TAATTTCTCGCCACTGTAATACGAGAAATACGACACCGTTCAGGCATCCTTTATCAGCTGCATCTTACAGTTTTCTCAAACAACACACATCGCCACCGGACATGGACAAGGCAACTCACATTGTTATGGACTCTACGGCGTTGTCTGAGTTGTCGGGCGATGGAGAGGAGAGACAACGACAGGCGACACCCCCTCCGTACTCAGGACCTTCAACCTCGCTGATTGCGCGATCACCCGCGCAGCAGGACATTGAGCGAACGAAGTTCCCGACGCGATATCCCGGACTCCCAAGGCTTGACTATCGGCTATACTCACCACCACTCTTCAAGCTGTCGAATGACTCCAAAACACTTTCTTCCCGGGCCGAGTACTTGTCAACCAACGCTAACGCACTGGTGTCACTGATTCGGGCCCAGGCGTCGGTCCCCCCCAAGCCCCAGATCCATATCCGAGGCAGCCGCGGTCGCAAAGTAGACTTTAACATCCAGCTGAACCTCATGAATCTTCTTGTGCCCGATGACGAAAAGCAGCGCATTGATTATATACGTTGTGTTGGCGAGGGCGAGCTAGCGTACCGTGGTGGTAGCCGGCCTGATGTTTTACCAGAGGTTGGTGAAGGGGGTTTGGAGGAGTGGTGTCGTCGGTATGTCCAGGATGCATCGGCCGTGAAACTCTTCGCCTTGGACCGTGTTGTGGCCAACCTTGACACAGAGTGGATGGAGGGTCAACTCCGGAGTCTCGTGGCATCGCTCAACTATCGTGGTGTTGTTGACGTGACATTTGTTGTCACCCACAGCCGGGTTGTGGTGCAGAACCCCGATAAGCTCAATACCTTCTTTACAAACTTGACCAGCTTGTTCTCCGGAAAGAATAAGTTTGAGGTGATTAAAGCTGTGTGGCCGTTTGCGACGACCAAGAATGGGGAACCAGGCCGGCGGTGTGTGGTTCAAAGCGAGGACATTTGGTGGAAGGAATGGAAGGACCCTATCAAGTATGCAATCTCCCAGAAACGGCACGGATGGGTTACAGTTGAGGATAAACTTGAAGCGGTCATGGAGGGCAAAGGCAATGCAACGGACACGATCGACTGGGGCCCTGAAGGCGCCGCTTGTTGATGAGTCTTGTGAGATTGGCCTGGTCTGGACGATAGCGCCCTGGGACAATCTCATCTGCAAAACTGCTGTCGGTTCAACATGCACCATCCTGATATGCTTCACGGTAAGCCAACGCTATGCAGCGGCGACTGAGACAAATCTATACGATCTTGTCCCTTGGCCTGTTAATGGACAGGTAGAAGAGATGGAATGGGCGTCAGTGTCTGACGGTGTCACCCGAAATCCCGCCTGTTTAGTATAATAACACACTCTGTGTCCATTATTCGACTGGAAGTCAATGGGCGACGTGTTGAGCTTCAACTTGACAACTACGAGGTGGAAGCGCTTGGGAAGAACAGGACGAATCGCGATTGATGTGCTGCCCATTTGCCGGCCGCCTGGACTGTAGCGAATAACTACCTACTACGAGTACTTAATTATGTAGTTCTTCATGGCCTAAAACGATGAGTAATACTATGGCGGATTTGGTCGATTAAACACATTAGGATCAGGTTGTCCCGAGGCCAGGCCCGTCCTTTGGAATCACTTCGCACGTGTCGAGCAAGCGTTTTCGAACACGCTGCGGTTAAGACTGGTTGAAGGTTCAAGAAGCTCAAACATCGGCAGAGACCTTACGCCATCTTCGCCAAGGCGTTTTCGTATGAGTCCTGATGATCTTGTTGCAGTCATCATACAATGGGCCCCGTGTGACTCACGGCTGAGATTGCATCGCCTCAATCAGCCTAACGGGGCTGGCTTCCTCAAGATTTGAAGAATGGGAGTCATCGGCGAAGGCATTAGAGTAGAGTCCCCGGGGACGCAATGTAACAAACTCCTGTAATGGAGAGGGTGTATAAATACTGCATACCTGCAGTGTTCTCCAACAATAGATAACATTGAGACTAAATCAATCACCCTCCGACTTTACCCGCCTCGCATCTATTCACAGCCCGTTTTAGTGACCAAGGTACCTAAAGGTACGCACCCCTGAAGGTACATTGCATCGGGCTGCCTCAGTGACCAGGTAGGTACCGTTAGTCCCACCCCCACAAAACGGCCGAGGTACCTTCCCGAGCCAAGTCCACCACCCAGTTGCTTTCCTCAAGGGGAGTCAGTCGTGCGATATCATGGAGCAGCCCACCGAAGGCCAAACAACGCCCTTCGCCTTCACATCTCACCAGACGGCCCTCTGCCTAATCCCACCACGAGATATCTGGCCAGATGCGGACCGCTTAAGATGTCTTTACGACAAGGCTTATGGCGCATGGCCTCCTCATATCAATGTCATCTACCCCTTCGTGCGACCAGAGGTCCTTTCGGACGCCGCCGACATCCTCAGTCAACTCGCGCTTAGCCAGCATCACCACCGCCGCATCAAGTTGGGTACAGGCGACGCCTTTATTCGCAAGCACCATAATACCATATTTCTCCGTCCAGACCATGGACCCGATACTGCCGCGCTCTCGCAGCTCAGGGACGAGATATGCGATGCCCTTGACCAGCCTCGTGGGCGTGACTATCGCCCACACATGACCATTGGCCAAAGTGACGACGCTCTCGCGGCGCCGCACCACTTCCTTATCGAAAAAGTCCGTCTGCTCAGTCCGCTAGCTTGGGATTTGGGTCAAATTGCGCTCCTCACCCGCGATGCCACTCATTCGGGGGGCGAAGGTCCCCGACCAATGATGCTATGGGCCACCTTGGACCTCTCATCGCAACTCCTCACCCGGTTCCAACCCCCTCAACACTTCTATGAGTCGCCGGGGATTGTATTTAAGTCTGGTGACCTGTCCCTTACTCCCAAGGCAACCGCTCAGCCGTCATTTCAATGCATTTCCGGGACCTGGCAGGCAACGGCGATGTCTCCAATTGTAGGCGACGCCCAGCTTGTCTTGGATAACCTCATCGTTGCATCCTACAACGTTCTGGCCGAGTTTGAGTGGCCTCCCAACTCAAACCGGTATCCAGGTCTTGTGGATAACTTGCTCTCCAGTCGTGCCGCCGCCGATGTCCTGGTGCTCCAAGAAGTCACCGACCACTTCCTGCCCTTCCTGCTCGCTAACAAAGACATCCGCCTTCGATATCCATTTGCCACACATGGACCCCCTGGCCAGCCCAATATTGGTCCCCTTCCTAGTCTGCTCAATGTGGTAGTTCTGAGCAAATTCCCACTCCAATGGGAGCATCTACCCTTTCAAAGAAAACATAAAGGTTGCGCTGTCGTCCAGTTTCCCACCATCGGTACACGCGATTCGAACGATCGATTTCGGCCCTGGGTGCTCACTGCCTGCCATCTGAGCCAGGGTCTTACCGACGGTGCTGTTGTTGCAAAAATGAAGGAGGTGCAACGAATGCTTGACCATCTATCAATCCATTATGCACAGCATCCCTGGATCCTAGCCGGCGACTTCAACTTGGCCACGTCATCTTACACTGTGGACGCTGCCAGAAAGAAGCAGGATATCACCTCCAATACGGTCCAATATCTCCACGATATTGACATGATTTTGTCAAATGCAGGCTTCCAGGACACCTGGCTGACCACTCGACTTGAGTCGGGGGAGTCATCTGACGTGGTGACCGACTACCAGAGCGCTGCAGACGCCTATGAAGGGGAGCAGGGTGCAACATTCAATCCTTTTGTCAACAGCCTGGCCGCCAAATTGGTTGGAACCGGTCTGAATAATCGCCCCCAGAGATATGATAGGATCCTCATCAAACCGAACAATCAATATCGCCCACAAGGATTCAACATGTTTGGTCAGACACCATCTGGACAATCTGATGGGGATGAGCCGTCATATGCCAGCGATCATTGGGGGGTTCGGTGCTTACTTGTACGCGCTTCGGTAGAGGACGACACGAAGGAATCTGTCCTGCCGGAAACAAAGGTTCACTTGCGAAAAGCGCCGCCCGGTCTTCACAACCTCGATGATCTGAAGCGGTGCTTGGACCGTCATGGCTGCTTGCCAACTGAAGTCGATGGAGCTGGACGGAAACATGCGCTCCTCGTTCTGGAAAACGCCCTGTTAGATGCAGATAGGCCTGGTGCACAGGCTGATTCGCGATCAGGTCTAGTTTTGACCATAGTTCCGGTCGGCTCATATGGCCTTGGAGTTTGGACAGATGCCTCGGACATTGATTGCCTCTGTATTGGGTCCATCAGCTCCAAGACGTTCTTTTTATTGGCTCTCCAGAGACTCAGAAAGGCAGCCTCAGAAGGAATCAAGGTCCTTCGACGGGTTAAGGCGAACTCCGGATACATGTTGGAACTGGAGGTTTGTGGTATCAAGGTGGATCTACAATACTGCGCTGCAACATCTATTGCAGAGAGGTGAGTCACTGGTCTGTAGCGTGCGAACAAAGCACTTACTTGCCACAGGTGGTCGGAAATCATGAAGAGACCGTCGACTGATCCAGTTTTTGCTCTTCCCCTACAAGCTCTAGTAAAGCTGAAACCTGCACGGGACCTCATCTACCTCCGTAGATCTATTCCTGACATGGGGCAATATCGACTTGCCCATCTCTTTATCAAAGCATGGGCCAGGTCCCGGGGTATCTACGCTGCCAAGTTTGGATTTCTAGGGGGTATTCATATCTCTGTCCTACTTGTGCCTGTTTGCAAGATGCTAGCGTGCCACGGGGAAACCGTTACTGCATCTGATATCATAGTCACATTTTTTCACCACTATGCAGTTTTCGATTGGAAAAGCCAAATGGTGTTTGACCCATTTTTCCACAAAGGGGTAAGGTACAACCGGACCTTCAGAGAGCCGCTCTGCCTGCTCGGCTGGCATACCCCGTCGCTGAACACTGCCGTGAATGCTTCTGTTCCCACAGTCAATGCGATCGCTGAGGAGTTTAGCCGAGCAAAGGATCTCCTATTGACGGATAGCTTGACCTGGGACAGCCTTCTAAGCGGGGGCATCAAGAACGATGCGGGACTGCATCAGCCTACTGGCCAGGGAGCTGCCGAGTTCCTGCAGGCGTATCGAAGCTACGTAAAGATTGATGCGCACTACTGGGGCCCATCGCCGGAGAAGGGCAGCCGATTTATCGGTTGGTTAGAGTCACGCTGTGTGATGCTTTTAGTTGGTAAGATGGTGCTACTCTATGCTTTGGCGATTCTGGACAGTGCTGACATGGTCAATAGATATCGATAGGAAGCTCAAGGGCATTCTAGCACGAATCTGGCCGGCCAGATTTGTGGACGGGTCTTCTGCTGCGATAGATATCTCAGTCGCAGAATATCATGGATGCTATCTGGTGGGCTTGGGGTGGGATGGAGCCGAGTCGACCAAGGAACAGGCCAAACTTGCACACGCGTCACTCCAGACTGTTCTGCAGGAGTTTGAAACCAGGATTCGTCGCGACGAAAAGTACTTCGACTGCCAATCTTGCTGGATGAGCACGTCGCTCGTCCGAGCCCATGACCTCGACGGTCTCGGACTTGATCAAAGTCGTTGGGGAGAGGATGTCGGCGACAGCGAGGACGATGACTCAGAGGACGACATGGATGCAGATGACGATGATGTTGATGCAGAGCAGCCGCCTCGTGGAGCCGAAGGAAGGCTGAACAAGAAGGCGGCAGCGCAGGGTTCCAAAACACCAACGCCCATCAAAGCGCCGGGGCTGGGCAAGTTTCGGACGGCAGCCGACGTGCTCAATAGGCTCCGATGGGACGGCAGCCTAGACATCAACGACTACGTTGTTGGATACGAGGACCGGTTCACTGGTGCTCAAGAGAAAGCGGTTGGCCAGTGGAAGAGTGAGCAAACGGATGAGGAATTCATCCCGCAGCACCGGATCCTCTACTTCAAACGCAAGTCTGACGGAACGATTATGTGGGAACGAAGGAGCCGGATTGACGACATATTTGGCAGTGGGATTAAGGCCGATGGATGAGCTGTCGTGGCTCAGACATCCATATATAGATGCAATGACAAGGATCCTGAAATCAACCCCCTCCCCAAAAGTGCCCGAGGGCACGAGGCCGGAAGCCAATGCGAGGTACCTACATTGTGCACCATGCACAGGCAGACGGCACCTCAGCCTGTTTCCGTACATACTAACTACGCCGTGGTAGGTCCAATTTGTCCTAGACTTGGAACTGGCAAGGACATGGATAGCTGAGGGACGGCTGTGCCAAGCGGCGCGCATTCTACCCACGACGTTCAGCATCAGCTAACAAAATTGTCGAGACCAGGGCAATTGGATTGGGTCCAGACGGCCATCCACTCAGAGGCTCCCATGCAAATGCAGCCTGGAATTTGGGCATCGACTAGACCGTACGCACATACTCTATGCCTCCTCAGCATGCGTGATGACGATGGCGATGACACCAACAATGGAGGCGTGGAGCATGGCTTTGTTTCACGTTTCATCCAGCACGAGTAACACTCAACAGGCGGCCACACCCCTACACTGATCCCTCCAACACATCCTCACATCCCTGTCACTTCAAATGGCCCAGATTGCCGGGGTAAAGAGGCGCTCTCACTCAACCTCGCTGGCGCATTGTCACAGTGTCACGGCGTCGCGGTGTCGCAGCCTCAGTGTCACCCCGATTTGGTCCCAATCAGCCTCACTTTTAGCCCCACAGATGAGCCTGTCGTGTCATTGCTGACCTGCCAGACCCCTGGACGCGGCTGAGGTATAAATCTTGTCTAGATCCGACAATCAAGTAGTCCCAGTACCGCCTCTCCCATCTCCAGCCAGCAACCTCAACAGTATTATCTGGATACCCAGACAGAAGACGACATTACTGTGCCTCCCACGCTCTATCACTATCGTCAACATCCCCAGCTTCTAATCCAAACCCAATCCACGAGATATGGCCATCCACGAGGCCCAGCCCGTCGTTGACGGCTGCTGCACCAGCTGCTGCAAGGCGAGCGACCTTGGCACCCACGACTACTGCGGAACTTGCCCCAAATGTCCCGCATAAACCAACCTGTCCACCTCCGTCTTTTGTCGGCCATTTTTTTTTTCTTGGGGGGGGGGGATTAAACACCTCGGCGCGGGCTCGTCTTGCGAGGCGTCGTTGTCGATATCTGGAGTCCGGAGTCATTAATTCTTGGCGAGGCGGCACTTAAGGGTCGCACTGGAAGGCCGAACTGGAAGGCCATGGGAGACGGATTCAATAGAATGTTCCTGGTGTCCAATTTCAAGTTCAAGAGCCATCACTCGGCGATATCCATTCAATGCAGGCCGCCCGAGTTGTTGCAAACACGTAGTTAACTCGTTGGACGATGCCCCTCGTGGGAAAACACGTGCTCCAGGTCAAGACGGAGATTGGTGCCGCGTACCTACCGGAACCCGTTATCATACGACAACGAAACCACACCACGGCATAGAGATGCGACGCCTTGGAGATTCCTGCACACATAAATCAAGCGGCAACAAATCATGACGCGAGACTCAGGAATACAGCAGCAATGGACGACTTGTCGTATTTGACGTACTTGCCCTTGCCCTTGTCAATCTCATGATACCGATCCCAAAATCGGTCATAGAGGGGCTGCAATTTCTGGCGGATATCTTCTCCAAACATCTTCCGCACTTCGCGCTCCATGCTGTAGGACTTGTGCCTCGAAACCATGTCGTCAAACGCGTTGTTGAACTGCGTAAATTTCTCCTTGATCTTGTCCTTATCCTTACTTCCTAGCCCCTTGATAACGGATGCCGAGTCAGCCGGGCCTGACGTGGGGCGATGAGATCGGTTTGTGTGTATGGTATCGAAGAGGTATACTGAGAGATCCTTGCAAACATCCGTATACGCTGCCGTAGACTTCTTGCGCCATTGATCAAGCATCTCGAGCTTTGGTTCGAGGAGAGGTGATAGGTCAGAATCATGGACCATGCGTCCGATGATGACGACGGTGTTGGCCATGAAGACTCCAGCAACCGCCTTGCCCTTCAAAAGCATCCGAGCCTTCTGATCAAGGGACGAAAGGAGCACATCAATCGTATCAAGGCAGTAATGGGAAAAAATGTCCCGACCATCTGCTCCGATGTCGAACGATGCGAGGCTGGGAATGGCATCCGTCGAACGACCGTTGGATGCCGCGCTTGACTTCCAGCCCCCGTCACCAAGTGAGACCATGATGCTCGAGATGGGTCGCAGGAACTCCACCATTGCCTGAAGCCTCTGCATCGACTCCGACACAACGGGTATTGGAGCGCCATCAGAAGGTAAAACTTGCAGGACGCCAATCTTTCGCCTCGTCTCGTCAAGTAGTTCGGACAAGGATGATTTTGCCGTTTCACGGACCGGCTTCGCTGCTGCAGCTAGCGAGCCCTTGAGCTCACCGGTCCGCGTATCCAACTTGCCAGACAAGGTAGACAAAATCTCAGTGACTTCGTATGCCAGATAGCAGTCGGTGTGGAGGTGGGTCTTGATATGGGCATTGAGCTCGCGCAGAGTCCGTGCTAGCTCCGCTAGAGCCGCTTGACAAGTCGATTGGAAGACGATGCCCCAGTCTTCCCGTGTGAATATGCTGCAGACATTGTCGTACTCAGCGAGGAAAAGGCCCTCCATAGCCTGGGCATATGTTCCAATGCCGTTGGTACCCGCCCGATAGATGGCATCTGCATTCTTCTTCTTGGCAGTGTTGACGCTGGCGGCAGCCAAGTTGGCCAAGGATAAGGATAGGTATGGCCCACGGACTTCGGCATAAATTCTTGCAACTGGTGACTCTTGGCCGCCCTGTTGCTGGCTACCGGAGACATAAGAGTAAACCAAGCCCAGGCGTGCGATCTTGTCCTGGGAAAGAACGGGGAAGGGCTTGTCTTTGGTGATGTAATGCAGCGGCTCAATAGAACGAGGAGTCTCGGCGCGGAGTAGATTGTCAAAGTGGTTCTCAAGCTGGGTATTGCCCGACTTGATGAGGCGGGCAAGGTCTGTCATTGTCTGCTGGTTGGCGCGCAAGTTGGACGCCTGCATGTCGGTCAAAGACTTAGTCAGGCGCTTGATGGATGCCAAATAGTTGGGTAGGCCAGCCTTGTCCGGCCCAACACGTATAATTTGCTCTTCGTCATTCTTACTATCGGCAGGCTGGCGCAGGCGGTCGATGGCAGCGAGCACGGAGTCGATATCTGGTCTTGGTCAACAAAGACTGACGTGATGCCATGTGGGAACTTGACACGATACTCACTATTTCCAAGCGTCTGCAAGCGCCTAGTTTCTCCATTCAATGGGCCAGTGACATCGCGGACACTTTTACCGGTAGCGTCAAGCCGGCCAAGGCAGGACTGGATCTTCTTGGTCAACTGAGTCGTCTTCTCGAGACGCGAGTTCAGAACGTCGACCTCGGCTCGCGCCTCCTCATCGAGCGTACTGTGGCCACTGCTGGCGAGGCCGACGGCCATGGCTCAAAGATAAAGAGGAAAATGTGTATAGGGACGGATTATGCGGTACGCAACGGGCATGAGAGTGAGGCAGTCGTGGATGGGAGATGGAGATGTTCCAAAGCTTCGAATTGTCGCTGTCGTTGGTATGGAGGGAGCTAGCTACCTAGCTACTTACGTCTTCCCCACTCCAGCCACTGGAGCTTTGAAGCTCAGCCACACCCCCTACCCAGCCGCTCCCACTTAACGCGAAAAGACGCGTCTGGTCAACGCGGCGCCAATATCCAAACTGCCCCCCTTCACATTCACCCCCGCCATCCATCTCTTGCTTGCACTCTAAGAAGAGGCACGGCATCACAGCTCAACAGACAACATGGACTCCTATATGCTCGATGATGATGGCGTGCGCGATCGAATTCGCCAGGCTGAGGAGTTTCTGGACCCAAGTACGGCCGACCACCCCTTTTACCATGCCCTGCCGAGTGCCGATGCAAATAGCTAACCCTTGATTTTAGAAAACCCCCAGGTGCGGAGTTACAGATCGGACATCATCCTGATGCTCCAGAAGAACGAGCGCCGTTTGACCGTGAATCTCGACCATGTGCGTAGTCACAATCCGGATATTGCACAGGGCTTGCTGCAACAGCCCTTCGATTACACTCTGGCCTTCGATCAAGCCGTCAAGAAGATCGTCGAGACGCTCCCTCAGGCACGCCCCGACCAGACGGCCAGAGATACTGTGTACTACTGTGCATGGGCTGGAAGTTTTGGTCTTAATGCCTGCAATCCACGCACGCTATCATCGCATCTCCTCAATTACATGGTCTCCATCGAAGGCATCGTCACCCGAACCTCCCTAATCCGGCCCAAGGTCGTCAAGAGTGTGCATTACAACGAGAAGAAGGACAAGTTCCATTTCCGCGAGTACCAAGATCAGACCATGACCAATGGAGTCACCACCTCCAGTGTTTATCCCCGCGAAGACGACGATGGTAACCCCCTCACCACAGAATACGGATTCTGTACCTATCGAGACCACCAGACCATATCCATCCAGGAGATGCCAGAGCGTGCACCTGCAGGCCAGCTTCCGCGTGGCGTTGATGTCATTCTTGATGATGATCTGGTCGACCGGGTAAAGCCGGGAGACCGTGTTCAACTCGTGGGTATATATCGCACCCTCGGTAACCGGAATACAAATCACAACAGCGCTCTGTTCAAGACGATGATTCTGGCAAACAACGTGGTGCTTCTCTCATCCAAATCAGGCGGTGGTATCGCAACAGCGACAATCACCGATACGGATATCCGCAACATCAATAAGGTTGCCAAGAAGAAGAATCTACTAGACTTGCTGTCCCAATCGCTGGCACCAAGCATCTACGGCCATGCCTACGTCAAGAAGGCAATTTTGCTCATGCTTCTGGGCGGCATGGAGAAAAATCTGGAAAATGGCACCCATCTGCGTGGAGATATCAATATTCTGATGGTTGGCGACCCGTCCACGGCAAAGTCTCAATTGCTGCGCTTTGTGCTGAACACAGCACCCCTCGCCATAGCAACAACTGGTCGGGGATCCTCTGGTGTTGGTTTGACAGCCGCTGTCACTTCCGACAAGGAAACAGGAGAGAGGCGACTGGAGGCTGGTGCTATGGTCATGGCGGATCGAGGTGTCGTCTGCATTGACGAGTTTGACAAAATGTCCGATATCGACAGAGTTGCCATTCACGAAGTCATGGAGCAACAGACTGTCACCATTGCCAAGGCTGGTATCCATACGTCCTTGAACGCTCGATGCAGTGTCATTGCCGCCGCCAACCCCATCTTTGGCCAGTATGACCCGCACAAAGACCCACACAAGAACATTGCACTACCGGACTCCCTGTTGTCGCGATTCGATCTCTTGTTTGTCGTAACTGATGACATAGAGGATACACGGGACCGTCACGTTTCTGAGCACGTCTTGCGAATGCACCGATACCGCCAGCCTGGGACCGAGGAGGGTGCGCCAGTCCGAGAACAGGGCACGCAATCCCTAGGTGTAGCTATCAGCAACCAGACCGACTCTCAAGGACCAACTGAAGTATACGAAAAATACGACGCTATGCTTCACTCAGGTGTGACGGTAACCTCCGGGCGAGGCTCAAATAAGAAGCCCGAGATTCTGAGCATCCCCTTCATGAAGAAGTATATACAATATTCCAAGATGAGAGTTAAGCCTGTCTTGACACAGGAAGCTTCGGACCGGATTGCCGATATCTATGTTGGCTTGCGTAATGATGAGATGGAAGGTAACCAGCGAAGGACGAGCCCGCTGACCGTGCGTACCCTGGAGACCATCATTCGCTTAGCTACTGCGCATGCCAAGTCCCGGCTGTCCAGCAGAGTCGAGGAACGCGATGCTATTGCGGCAGAGGGAATTTTGAGATTTGCCCTATTTAAGGAGGTTGTCGAGGACGAATCCCGGAAGAAGCGCAGGAAGACTCAGCCTGTCGACTTTGGTTCGTCCAGTGAGGAGAGCGACGACGAGGACGGCGAGGACGGCGATAAAGCCAATAGCGGGGCTCGGTCGACAGGGACACCATCACGATCAACACGAGCAAGCGCCCGCTTGCAGGCGGGCACATCGCACTCTTCGCGCGGCGCAGAAGATGCGTCTGGTGAGGGAATGGATGACGACAATGAAGAGAACAGCGCCCCTGGGCCTACGCCACGTCGGTCCGGGAGAGTGGGACAGAGATCATCCCAATCACAAACTTCATTCGCATCATCCATACCTTCTTCTCAGTTACCCTTACAGACGCAAGTGGAGTCGCAAGAAGAGGATGAGCTCGCCAGTGGTACGGCCGGGTTAGCGATTGACGATGCGCCTATCACGATTGAGCGCCTCTCTACATTCCGCGCGGCTTTAGGACAGCTGCTCAGTACTGATCTATTTGAGGACGACTCGGCCGAGTTGGGTGCTGTTGTCAAGGCCGTCAACCATAGGGTTGGAAATCGCGACGGCGGCGCCTTCGGTAAGGAGGAGGCCACCAAAGCCCTCAAGAAGATGGAAGAAGCAAACCAAATCATGTAAGTTGTTCATCCATGGATGCTCTGCGTATGCCCCTTGTGCAAGCAGCCGACTAACGTGGAATTCAGGTTTACCGATGGAAATTTGGTCTACAAAATCTAATGACGGGCCATGATGAGTATGAACTGGTTGTTTGATAGAAGCTATGAGTGTGAACTACCTGTTTAATGGAAACCATGGGTGTGAACTGAGACTCCTAGAAGCTATTCCACTCCCCACCATTCCCCTTCGCTCCAGTGTGTGATCAGCCCAACCTATGTCAAGAGATGTTGGGGTTGCGTGCCACATCATCCTGCTGAGCAACCCTCCGGATGTTACAGACTCCCAGTCTGTGTCATTTTCGCCTCAGATGTTCACCGTTTTAGGCTCAATCACTTGAGGTCATTCACAATCAGCCGTATAGAAGGACCAACCTTGCGCTGTGGCCCAGACTTGTATTATCAGCGGGGCCTCATCAGCCATATAGAAGGGTGACAGCGTGTCTGTGTATGCGACTGGTACTTGAGCCTTCACCTATTGGCTAATGCGCATGAGATCGTTAGAGGATAGGTCGGCATATGGACGGTCTTGTCCAAAACAAGTAGTGTTTGTTCTGGAGCCAACAGACAGATGATAGTTTATATCAATTAGATAGTAATTGGAAAATATGCGCCTACCAGGGTCGGGCGACTCAGTCGAATGCCCAGAGTGATAATGGGCACCAGGATGGGAACGGGATGAAGGTGGGGAGTGAACGGTCAGGTTAGTCACGTATGTAAGGGAGCGTAGGGCGTACCTATGCCATTTAGATGTTAGAAAGGTCGTCCGTAGATATATATCTTATTTTGCTATCCCATCACCCAATGACAGGAGTCGAACAAGCAGTTCCCGTTGATAGGTACTTATAGACGTTGCTTAAACTGGCGTATCCGAGCCTGAACACCCTGCCCATTCCAAGTCTCCTGGCCATCCATGTCTCTACCAAGCACGGGAACACCAACTTGTTCGATGGCAAAGCTGGCCGCTATCGTGCCCCATATAGCAGCCTCCTCAACATGCTCACCACGGGCAAGGGCAACACCAAGTCCGCCTAGAAATGTATTGCCACCGCCAGTGGGGTCAACCACCTTTGAAGGACCTTTGTGGTAGGCTGGAATCCATCGCTCAACGCCCGGGTCCACTTCAATCTCTTCGCGGGCGACGAAGCCGCCGGCGTCCTGAAGAAGACCGGCGAAGAGGGCTTCCATATCGGTGTCGGGCTGAAGGCCACCCCGAACATAATCCTTCTTGCGACGCTTGGTCGTAGAGATAGGGTCGCGCTGCCGCTTCCTCCCGCCATTTTTGGCGATGTAACAGCCCTTGTCGCCGGCACGGACGACAAGGGTAAAGGACTGAAGGGGCATGCTAGCCAGGAGCTGCTCACAGGCACGCTCAACCGCAACGGTAGATACCTCACCAGTTTCAGGGTCGAGCCCGTCGTCGCCCATGAATCCCGCCAGTTCGGTGTGGTTAGGGCTGCAGATATCGACAAGGGGGAGAGTGTTTGTACAGTTAAGCAACTCATCCGGGGTGCACAGATCCGGAACGGGCTCCCAAATGAAGATGGGTTTGGTATAGGCCTCTGCGGGTATGGCCCTTTTACGGAGCTTTGTGATGTCAGAGACGAGCTCCCTGCAGCGCGTAGGGGAACATATCAGATGAAAGGAACGCGACTGGAGCAGCGTCGGGGTGAGATCATCTGCGGTTAGACGCTTCTTGGGGGTGAGATACTTGAAGGCGCGCTTTTCGGAAAGGTCCTCGTAGCCGTTCCAGCCGCGGGTGGTGAGTCGAAGGCCATCGTGGCGAAAGAGAGCCGAGGTCGACCAGGAGTCAATGAGCGTGGAGAGGGCAGGCGGAAAGTCGGAACCCTGGTCGACAATCCAGCCAACTGAGGATGAGATGGGAGGCGGAGAGAAGAGACGGGCTCCCAGGGCAGAATAGGCACCGGCGCCACCGAGGATGTTCTTGACCGGGGGGGTCGGAGGGATAAAGTCAATGTCGTCTTTGGAAACCAATGTCATGAGTTGTCAGCAATTGCTCCGTATATACCAGTCATGAGTGAGGTGAGAATGAGATGGGTTTGGGGTGAGGCGGCTCAGGTAGCAGACGCTCCCAGAGTCCACGGGCGCGCTAACCGATGATGAACATTCCCAGGGTAACAAAATCAATGGCTACATCTTCTCGCGCCTGGGTGCTGTGCTGTTGCTCCTCGGGAGAGGTGAGTTGTAGTTGTTGTTGCTCCTGCTGCTTCAGCTCCAACAGCTGCTGTTCATCGTCGTCGAGTGGCTGCGATGGCTGGTCGGGTGAAACTTCGACAACTTCTGGGACCGCTGGGACTTTGAGACCATCATCTTGGATGGAATGCTGTAGCCGATCACGAGTAACCTCCATGACGGCCACTCTAATATAACAGAGGCTGAAAGGCTGGCGCAGTGAGTCAACAGCAAAGACTCTGAGCCTCACTCGCGTCGGTTCCTCTAACCCTGCCCTCGGATATGGGCAGTGAAAAGCGTGAGAAGGGGAGCTCAGTGGAGTTCAGCGGAGTTGGGTTGGGCGAGTGTTCTGAATTGAATCTACCCACGGATGGGAAATGGAAGCGGTATCATGGTTTGCACCTTACGGTACCAAGGCGAGCAAGGTCGTTATGAATGTCGAAGAACGGACTGGTCTCATTGTTGCTGGGCGGTGTCTCAAGTTGGGCTGAGGTTGGGTGGGACTGCGCTGCACTGCTCGCAGATCCGACAGTCAGCTTATCAGTTTCCCACTAGTATCTTCTGCAGGAGCGCAGGTATCGGGCCCTCGCTATTCACGCTTCGAGTGACCTACTCGTAAACTTCCGGGTACCTGTAGTGTACCATGCCATGCAATTTTTCAGGTGGGTAACTCACTACGTAGTATGCCGGGAGTTGGCGGCTCTTTCAGGGGGCTTCCATGCCAACATGGATGCTTACCTCTGCTTCCACGAACAAACCCACCACGCTTTTGCTCTCATGACGTGAATGTCGACTTCAGGGCTACTGATACCTTTGGGGCGTCATGTCATTCATTTGCTGGCCTACATGCCCTCGTATCTATCTCCGGGGAGTTCTTCACCTCGTGGGCACGTCTCGCAGGGATGGATATCATTCACGAACCTGCACCACCACGTGTTTTGGGCTGCAGGCATGATGTGAAGCCGGCAGCTAGAAAGCCATGTTAAGACGTAGATGTCAGATTTCAAGCTTGCATAGTCTGGAAAGATATTAGGCTGCCTGCTTATCTATGCACACTCAAAAGAAGCCAGGCAAGCAGATTAAAGAGCCAACCAGTTATCAAATCCAGGCACCGCCCCATTCAAACAAGTGATTGCTAAACGACCACAACTCTAGGGTAATGTTCATATTTACGTAAACGCTGGCCTGTCGGTTGCGGACCCAAGGCCGGCGTTCGGATGCTGAAGCTCCGGGGCGCAAGTTGCAAGCTAGTGGCTTGAGCTAGGGCCCAGGGGTTAGGGAAGGACAGCGCCTCTCAGTGATCACAGCACCCACCACCTTAGCTGCAAGGCAGCTACCTACCGGGGTACCATTTCCCTACTGCGACTCCTGATAATTACCCGTCCTCAACATCGTCGTCTCCTCATTTGTATCCGAAGGCTCCCACGCAATCCCGGGCTCCTTCACTCAACAGTAGCATCCCGCGATATATATATCTGCGACACAGCTCCTCCCTGCGCTACAACTCTCCGCGACTCTGAGGTAGCGCCTTTCCAGTGCCTGCACGCGCTCCGTCAGCTCTTTCTCCAGCTGCTTCTCCTTGTCCCGCCCCCTTGCGAGACATTCTTCGTCGGCCCATCCTGACCTCTCACCTGGTCTTTCTTTACCACACAGAACGCTTAGCTTGGGCAACACGACTAGTCTCTTCATCATGGCGGCTACGAACCACATGCACAACCTGACTACGCTCATCAAGCGGTACGCCTGCTCCCCTCCCTCCCCTCCCAGCGACCCTGTCCACCAATGTAGCTTCACATGAGTGCTAACCTCCTGTCTAGCCTCGAAGCTGCAACATCCCGACTCGAGGATATTGCCTCCTCCACCGATGTCCCTAACGATATCACTGCGTCGAACCCCCCCATCGCTTCTCCTTCCGTAGCTACCGCCATCTCCACGCCTCCCGCCGCCCCTGCGCCGCCCAAGCCGGCTGCCGAGGCCATTCCCGAATCCATCGAGGAATTCGACAACTTTCTCAGCTCCGCCGTCGACAAATATGTAAAGCTCAGCAACCAGCTCGGGGGCCTCGTCGCTCAACAGGTTCGTCCCCGGGGTACCATACGGAATTGCTTACTCTGGCAACTAACATCGACATCAACCAGGCCGCATTGGTCCACAAGGGACTCCAAGAACAACGCAAGTTCCTCCTAATTTCCACTAAAGCCAAGAAGCCCGACCTTTCTGGCCCGGACATGGTTGCGTATCAGGAGCTTCTCAAGCCCATCAACGAAGCTCTGATGGCTGTCACAGACCTGAAGGATAAGAACCGCCCTGACCCCATGTATACACAACTCAGCACCGTCGCCGACGGCATCATGGTCCTGGCATGGGTCACTGTTGATAGCCGCCCCTACAAGCATGTAGAGGAATGTCTTGGATCGGCGCAATTTTTTGGAAACAGGGTCCTCAAAGAGCAGAAGGACAAGTACGTCTCTCCAGGCATGTTCCCAAGTCGCTTTTACTGACCGATTGCATAGGGATGCCAAGCAAGTTGAGTGGGTTCAGGCATTCTACCAACTCTTCCGCGATCTGGCCGACTACGTCAAGCAATATTTCCCCAGTGGTATCACTTGGAACCCCAACGGCAGCTCAGCCCAGGAAGTCGGCAAGTCTCTCTCTGCTGACCCTAGCCCACCTGCTGCCCCTGCCCCTTCAGCCGGAGGTCCGCCGCCTCCGCCGCCTCCTCCCCCCGGCCCGCCCCCGGTTCTGGATATCAAGGCCGAACCGGCCCCTGCTGCGGCGCCGGGCGGTATTGGAGCTGTCTTCTCTGAGCTGAACAAGGGCGAGTCCGTTACAAAAGGCCTCCGAAAAGTAGAAAAGTCCGAGATGACGCACAAGAACCCGTCTCTTCGCGCAAGCTCAACTGTATCGGACCGCGATGGTTCGTCTCGCGGTAAGAGCCCGGCACCCGGCAAGAAGCCCAAGCCTGAGAGCATGCGACTCAAGAAGCCGCCCAAGAAGGAGCTCGAAGGAAACAAATGGACAATTGTAAGCTAATTCTGGAACGTCATGATTTGAGTATGCCTACTGACCCATGGCCTAGGAAAACTACGAAAAGGAGGCGCAGCCGATAGAGATTGAGGCGTCTCTGACGCAATCGGTTCTTATCAGCCGATGCAACAACACCACCATCATTGTCAAGGGCAAAGCGAACCAGGTTATGGTGGAGAACTCGACCCGACTGTCCCTCATTGTTGATACCCTCGTCTCGACCGTAGACGTGGTCAAGGCACAAAACTTTGCTCTTCAGGTTATGGGCACTATCCCAACCGTCATGATGGACCAAATCGATGGCGCCCAGATCTACTTTAGCAAGGAGAGCACCGGTACCAAGATTTTTACGAGCAAGTCTGCTGGCATCAACCTCAATGTCATTTCTGGCCCCGACGAGGACTACAAGGAGGTGCCCTTGCCGTCACAGATTTGTTCCTACTTCGATGAGGAAAAGAACGATCTGGTCAATGAGATTGTGGCTCATTCCGGCTAAGGACGTGATTGGTATTGCGCTTGGATATTTGGCCTGTAGGACTAGGATACCGCGAGAACCGCTTTTATCGTGTACATTTAGGAGTCGAGTGGCAACACTGACAATGACAAACAGCGTGTCTGTTTTTTTTGTGGTGCAATTGTGGCTAAGTCTTGGCCTCTATCTGTCTCTAAGTCTCTCATCCCTGCCTCGTTTGCCTTCTATCTCGGCTAAACATGAGAAGGATAAAACGTGAACGTGCAATGGCGCTAGAATACTGCATGGCAAAGACATGTAAAAAGGGCAGTTCCCAACATCCTAAATGACATCTCTAGAATAACTCCTTCCGCGCACATCGACTATGGATGGCGCCAACCGTCTGTCTACATAAATATGAATCCCCAACTCTACAGCTTAGCCTTGGGTGGCTCAAGGGTGGGAATGAGTAGGTCGCGCATCTCGCTGGCAGCTTCGCTCAAGTAGTAGCTCATTCGATCGCTTCCCAGACCCTTGGAAACGACGTTGAAGTTCAGGCTATTTAAACCGGTTAGCGTCATGCTCGCAAAACTCCGAAATCCGGGTGGAAGGATTGGGCCTTGAGTGCTTACCTGTTCTCGTTGATCATGTACGCAATGCCGAACCCGGCGTCAATGACTTGGCTCCAGCCGTAGCCGTTGAAGAACTCGGAACTCAGTTGAGAGGTGGACAGGTGCCAAGAAGCAGAGTAGGCGAAGGCAGGATCCTTGTAGATGGAGGGCACATCCTGGCCGGGTTCGAGGAGCCTCTTGAGTCCGAAGAGATGTCTATCGACACCCTTCCCATCGGAGGCAGCGGTAATGTACTCGAGGTGGCCGTTGATGGCCTTTCGGAAGAGGTCCACACGTGTCTTGTCGTCCAACGAGCCGTCCTCCATGGCCTGGCACCAGGCCACCGACTCATCAGACACGGTCCGGCACGTCTCAGTGCGGCCGAGCTGGAAGCGTCGAGTAGCAGCAGACTCGTATGTAGGACGGCTCTTGCCGTACATCTTGAAATAGGCCAGCTGAATGATCATCTGGACGTAGGCATCAGGAGAGCACTTGAACTTCTTAATGAGACCCTTGCCGTAGCCCTGGTAACCCTGGACGGCAAGCTGGTGCTGGGAGATGACGTCGTGGAAGTCCTTGGTGGCACGGTCAATCTCAGTCTGAACCTTTTGGTCGATGTCAAACTTAACAAGCTGAGGTTCAGGGAGATTGGAGCGGATGCTCGGGTCAGAAAAGTCGAGCTTGTTTCCGAAGATTAGGTCATTGACGTAGTCGTTTAGGCGGTGGGTAGGGGTTCCATCCATCATGGAGTGCTCGCCCATGAAGCCAGAAGTGCCATTGTCATTGACAATGAACTGGAGCGGCTTGTCATACCATCGGTTGGCACCGTCGCCATGCCAGTACTGGTGGGCACGCTCCTCGGAGGTGACAGGGGCGGCATCGTCCAGGCAAACAACGAACGAGGCTGCCTCGATGGCTTCGAGGGCAGCCTTGTTATTGGGGCTGGCTTGCAGCAAGATCTCACGGGCATCGGTCCAGATGTCGCGATTCTCCGAGGTCAGAGCGCCGACAGCGGGAACACGATAAGCAGCTTCGTACACACGCTTGAACTGCTGCTCTAGCTCCGAGGTGTTGAGCTGCTTGCCATCGACCTCATGCTGAATCTTGAAAAACTGATTTTTGCGGATGACGATGATGTGCTTGTGCTCGTCAGGGGAGAACTTGACAGGGTAGTCGGCGGGCTTGGCAGCGACGCGAGAGGCATTGAACATCCACTTGTAGCTGTCCATGCAGATGGGGAGCTTCTTCATGTACTCTGGCTCGAGGGTGCCAGCGTCGACCATTTTCTTGAACTCAAGAACCGAGGTGGTAATGGCAGCAGCACGCTTGGAGGGGTCTCGACGACGGCGGTCATCTCGGTGTGAGTAGAAGTAGCTGACGTAGGGAACGACTGGGTCGCGATACGCCAGGTAGGCGGCTTCATTCCACCAATCGTAGATCCAGTTCTTGGTGTTGGCATCCTCACGGCGGGCGGTGAGCTTCTCCTGGAGCTTGGAGCCAACGCCGCCAGGGCGAATGAATTCTTGGACAGCCTTCTCGCTGGCCTCATACTCGGCGGGAGAGAGGAGAGGGCGGAGGGTCTTGAGATAGCGCTTGGCGGTCTCGTCGAGGGAAGGCACGGGCAGCCGGGGCAAGGAGTCCTGGAACCTCAGCATGGGGCCCTTTGAATTGTCCTCGGCATAGCCTAGGACGAGTCTGTGTCAGCGGTATTGAAAGGGGCCGTGTGACAACGCGAAAGAGCATCTGTCACATGTGAATTGGGTGTTGTGGCGTACCCTTAGGAATAGAGCTACTGGCGCGCTTGGTTGGGGCCATGATGAGAGTCTGCGCCAGAGATGAAGTCAGTATCGAGAAACAGCAAGATGAAGAACGGGCCGGGCGAAGAAATGGAGCCGGGTAGTCGGGGATTCTAGTAAGAGCAGGCAGGCCAAGAAACGGAGATGAGTAGCTCGAGAGGTACCCATGCCACCGACCATCGCGGGCACCCGCACCACCACGACCCGTGCCAAAAACCCCGGTTGCCCGGTGCTATTTGGTGGAGGAGGTGGACAGGTATTCGCGGATGCTCATGCATAAAGAGTGAATGGACAGAGGAGGGAGTGAGATACAGACAGAGAAGAGAGCGGGGGACTGACGGTACGCGTTGCGTTGATGTGACGGAAGCTGTTCCTCAGAGCGGGCGATCGGGCTAAAGTCAACATGGCCGGCGCAAGCGAGGTGCGAGGGCTCAGAAGGATGGTCAAAAGACGCGAACCGGAAGGGACAGGACACGGAGAGAGCTCTGGTCAATGGCGGCGGGCGGCGGCGGCAATGGTCGTCTTTAAAGAACCCTGCTCGACAGAGACGGGAGACGGGAGTCGGGAGACGCGAAACAGTGAGACAGGCGTTGGTGGGGAGTAAAAGCCGTGGACTATCACGTAGGCCTCGGCTCGAGGACGGGAAGGATGGCGGAGCTGGTGGAGCTGGTGGAGCTGGAGCAACTGCTGAGGTCGGTAGAAGCTACGGGATACCTAGGTAAAGGAGGTGGGTAGGTGCGTTGCACTTGGAGAAGCAGCAAGGCAAGGCTAAGGACAGGCAAGGACAGGCAGGAATGGGGCCACGGAAGGAACGATGGAGACAAACTGAATCGTTTGGCGGGGGAAAGCCCACAGTGGCCGGCCAGGGTTGGGGCTGGGAGGCTCATGTCTTCAGAATTTCAGATGTATTATGATCGTGCCAGGAAGCAAGGCCGTTTAAGTTAGTCTCCATATGACAGAATCTACCTATGTATGTACCATTGCTAAGCTCTTATCCCTTCTTCATTGTGTCTCCTTCCACAACTTATTTGCATTGCGCACATGGGTGTGGATGAGGCCCAGCCGCCCGTGGAGACATTGGGGAACTTGTTCTGGGGGTGGTCCCTCTCCGCGCCCGCGTCCCGGGACGTCACCGCCCCGCCTCAGCCTTGGGCCGAGGTACAGACAGGCTGGGGCCAGGAGCAGGCACGGCATGCGGCTAACTAATTGGTACGTACTGGGTAATCACCAGAGTTCTCCCTGTTGTCCAGCAAAAAAGAAACATCTCGGTGGCCAATGGACCCCCTACCTCTCTACCTAGAGACTGACTGACTGACTGACTGACTGACTGACTGCGGATGAGTTTTGCTGCCGTCGGTCCCAGCGCTTTAAACATGTGCCTGCGTGTTGCTAAGATGAAAGGCACCACAATGCGCCGACCCGTTAGACTACTATTCCCCTTCAATCTCCCTCTCAACAATGCCAGCGACCTACTCATAATATTCTCCAGCAATACGAATGTAGAAGGCCACGTCATGCCTCTTGACCACGTACACTTGGTGTGTTCATCACCCTTAGCAGATTCGGTTTGGGAGACTATCAACATGCCGGTTCCCGGTCTTGGGTCAAGGTGGCACGGCACACTGGCGTCGGCCCATGGATTTCGCTGATGCGATGCGATGTTCTTCAACTGGCCTCGATGTTGCCCTCCGGCGGCGGCCGGCTCCTTCCTACACTATGATTAAGACTCCCCTCCGTACCTACCTAGCGCCGTCTCTCAACTCGTTGCCACCCGGCCCCCCGCTGGTCCGGACCTCTCCGGAATATGCCCGAAGTCGAGATGTGCAACCGCCGTTGCTCCGTGTTTGCTCTCCATACCTCACACATATACCCTACCTACTCACCCGACCCCCCATACAGCCCTGTCGTGTACTTATGTCGTGCAGCAGCACCAACCAAATGTCGAGACCTAATGCCACCGGGTTAGGCTAGTCTTCTGCTTCCCCACCATTACACTTGCTGCCATTAAAGAGTAGCCAACTGCTCTCTCACCCATTGCCCGAGATCCGTAGCTATGCACATCTACAGCACCCCTGGCATATGTCGGTAGGTACCTATGCACCACATCAGGTCCTTGTCGTGGACCGGCAATAGACCGGGACCTGGGCCAGGAATTGGAACCGAACCGTCGTCAAGTCAAATAAATAATCAAGACAGGTATTACTACTTAACACCTTTCCCTCGAATCACAGGTACACAAATCTCAAACAAGAAGAATCCGACCAAATCAAAAGGCATCTAGACGTAATAGTACAACCACACACGCAAAGACCAAATCCGACATGCGTATCTACCCCCTTGTCAATGTGCCCGCGCCAATATGCTATTTAGCTTGACGTGGCCAGCCATTGCAAGTCGTCAAGGGGCCTTCTCCCCCCGACGAGACCGTTCTCCCGTCTCGTCCCATTCGTCTCAATCGCGCCAGTTTGCCATGTCCTGCAGAGGTTTGTTCAGTCCAATCAATACACTTGCCCCCACGCGCCATCCGGACGCCGCCGTTGACTTGATCCCAATCTGTCAAATTGTCTCTCCGCTCCGTATTCTTCGTCCCCGATCCTCCCTCACTCCTAGTGCCGCAGCCAATCTACGCCTCGTAACTCTTCACCTGACCATCGCTGCTTGGCGGAGGCACGGCTTGCGCCCCGACTGCCGGTTGAAAGCTCAGTCGCTCTCCATCGTTCATGACCTCGTGAGCCATGCGGGCGCCCAGGTCACCCCCGGCATTCGCCGCCGCCTTGAGGCCCTCCTGAACATCCCGCACCCGCCGTCTGAACGCCAGTCGGTCTAGGAAGAGCTGTTGCCGTGCCCGTTCCAGTTCTCGACGCTCCGCCCGCAGGACCGCCTCCATCTCGTCAAAGTATTTGAGCTTCATTTCCAGCTTCTGAAGGGTCACGTTAGACGCTGCCGACACTAACCGCGTCATCTCCCGCTCCTCGTGTGATGCGAAGCCTGCGGCCCGGGCCCCTATCGAAGCCAGAGGGATTGAAGCCAGGGCAGTAGTCTTAGTGGTGGTGGTGGTTGTCGTCGTTACTTCCTGTCGGATGTCCAGGTCCATCGAATCACCCTTTTCCTTGCTGTTGCCATTGGCCTTTGTATCCTCACTTGACTTATCGCCGTCTAGTTGCTTGCGGAGCTTCCGCTTAAGCTCATCGGCTGACTTGTTGGCAGCCGCCGCCGTGCTGGCTGGGTCTGCAAGGCTGGCGAGGAATCCAACCACAGACATGACGGGGTTGTCAACCTGGCTGAACGGAAGTTGTCCTTGCTGAGGGCCGAGCATTGACAGCCCCGTCGGCGCATTGATGGGTGCCTCCGAGTCGAGGTATTTCTCCTCAATGTCCAGTTGCAGGAACTGGAGGACGCACTCTTCTCGCGTGCGGGTTCCAACGTGCTCTGCAATCTCACCCCAGTCGTCATCGAATCGCTCCAACCCTTCCAGGAGGCGTAGAATCTCTGCATCCGTCCATGGGGCATCTCGATCCAGGATAGACGTGTAGGTGGGGTTCTCCATCTTGACGTACATGTTGCTCGTATGGTTCGCAGGTAGACGACCCTCGGTGAAGCAGTTGGGGCAAAGGTCGTACTTAGCCTTGGGGTTGGCGTCCGTGTGGTTGCTGTGATAGTATATTCGAGTGCAGTCGTTGCCGCACTGGTGGCAGTTGACTTTGGTGATGGGTGTCTTGGTCGCATCATCCGCCCCAGGGACGCCGTTGGTGGCCGGTGTCTCACCATTGGCCTTGCCCTCGGTCTTACTGATGGGGGTTCCCTTGACATTGGCTTCGTAGATGTTGCGTCCGATCCCGAGGTTTTGATCGACCTTAGTAGAGGGGGTAGCAGTGGCTTTGTTATCAGTGTCCTGGCTCTTCTTTCCCTCTAGAACGACGGGGTCAGCCGAAGGCTGCCATGCCTGTAGACCCCGAGGAGTATCGCAAATGATCTTGAAGTGTCCGGTGAAAGGCGGGCCAACATGGGACGGGCGTTGATCGGCATCAACCTGGTTCTGGTTAGGGTTGCTTCAGCTCCCAACACGTAGGGCCATACCTGGTAGTTGATCAAACCCCATTGCTCTAGAAAGGCATGGACACGCATGATGGCGCAGACGTCGCCAGCCAAGTTTCTGCGACAAGCCGTCACCGTGAGGTACTCAATTGGATTGAGGCGGTAGGTGTTAATCATGAAATCGCGGTAGTCCTTGTAGACAGCTGGGGTTTTGCTTCGATTGCGGTTGTTGAAGAACTCGGCCATGGCCTTCCGTTCGATGTCGTGAATCGCGTTCATGTCAAACCAGGTGCTGTAGCTTGGTAGGACGATAGCGTGGGTTTGAGCGATGAGGTGCTCGCGAGCAGCGGACTCGATCGTCTCCTTTGACTTTGAATCTTGACCATCAGTTGCGGCGGCCGCGTCGCTTGGGGCGGCGCCATTCTTGGCGTCCTCGGGCGCGTCGTTCATCTCTTCGTCACCGCGAACTGTGAGGTCAGCGCAATGTCCATCCGATGGATCATGTGAGTGTGCGTGTGAGGGGATGTGGTACCTGGAGCAGGGGTTGTGCTATCCTGCTTGATGTTGGCCTCACTCATGAGACCCTCGGACATCTGGACATCTGCATACCGCGTCAGTGTCACGAACCAGGGAGCTGTCTATGGGGGCGCGCATACCTTCGCCATCGCCAGAACCAGATTCAGGCTGTAGGGGAGGTTGTGCGAGGATCGGATTGCTGTTGGGCGATGCGCCATTGCCAGGCGAGCCGTAGGTCGCGGAGTCGTCCATCTTGATGACAGTCGCGGTAGGCTGCCAACACTAGGCGAACGGGGATGAGGCAGGTCAATCGGGCGCGCGTGAGACAAGGGGTGTCGCGCAGCTGCTGAAGAGGCCTAAGATCACGCAGCAACTTGCGCAGAGGTTGGTTGATGTGTCGTCGGGAATTCGTTGCCTAGCGTCGTGATCCTGATGGAGTCTGGCAATGATAGGTCGCGTTTGGAGAAATTTTGGCGCGACGACAACGGGGCTGGCTGCTGCATCCTCAGTGCATACCTACCAAGACCGCGAGGCACTAGGGAGGTTGACCGGGGTCACGTGGTACAACAATATCACGTGAGGTATCACCTGCATCAGCACGTGCTTGTCGCAACCACCTGCTGGCATTCGCTCTCAATTGCCTTTTCCGATTCGGCGGCTCGGCAAGTTGGCTGCAAAACCGAGCAATCCCGGCGAGTGGCCGATGACGGCGGAGTCCCACGCGAACAAGTCGGCGCACGCTACCTCGGGCCGTCACCAACCGTCGCCGTCTTCAACTGCCCTCTTCTAAGCTCTCCCCCCAGCACCCAAACTCCGTTTCTTCGAGCAAGAATTTGGCCAATTCCACCCAAATTTTGAAACAATATGCTTCCCTCTGCGAGACGAGTGCTGGCGACTCAAGCCTCCGGCGTCATTGGCCGGGCGCCAGCTCTGAACCTCAGCGCACATGCCCGCCAAAGACTGTTGTCGACCCTAGCCATCTTGGAGCAGCGGGACGGACAGCTGAACCGTGGCTCATTGAGCGCATTCACGGCGGCCCAGAAGCTAGGTGGAGCTGTGCACGGCTTTGTCGCTGGTAGCAACATCAAGAGTGTCGCTGCGGAGGCTGCAAAGGTCGACGGCGTCGAGAAGATTATCGCCGTGGAGAACGGCGCATATGACAAGGTCAGGAATGGCACCGCAACCGCATACCCGCCCCCCCCCCCCCTTGTAATCCTGCCCCTCTCTCCATACTGACCTTCGACCAGGGACTCCCCGAGAACTACGCTCCTCTTCTCGTCGAGAACATTAAGAAGGGCGGTTACACTCACGTCATCGTTGGCCACACTGCATTTGGCAAGAATCTCTTGCCTCGAGTTGCTGCTTTGCTCGATTCGCAACAGATTTCCGACATTACAGCCATTGAGAACGAGAACACCTTCGTCCGACCCATTTACGCAGGTAACGCTATCGCCACTGTTGAATCGTCGGACCTCATCAAGCTTGTCACCATCCGAGGGACCGCGTTCGCCCCTGCCGACCTCGCGTCAGGATCTGCGACTGTTGAAGACGGTGTTGACCCCAAGGTCGAGTCGGCTACTGAGTGGGTGTCTGAGGACCTTGCCAAGTCCGACCGCCCTGACTTGGCTACCGCTGGTAGAGTCGTGGCTGGTGGCCGCGGCCTAAAGTCCAAGGAGGACTTCGACAATGTGATGCTTCCTCTGGCTGACGCCCTTGGCGCCGCCGTCGGAGCCTCCCGCGCCGCCGTTGATAGCGGCTATGCGGATAATAGTCTCCAGGTTGGCCAGACTGGCAAGGTCGTTGCCCCTCAGCTGTACGTGGCTGTTGGTATCTCAGGCGCCATTCAGCACTTGGCTGGCATGAAGGACAGCAAGGTGATTGCTGCTATCAACAAGGATGGTGACGCACCCATTTTCCAGGTCGCGGATGTTGGTCTTGTTGGTGATTTGTTCGAAAAGGTGCCCGAGTTGACGGAAAAGGTCAAGAGCGCGTAATGTCTATGATACACATATGGAGTGAGGTGTTATACAACAAGTTAAAATTTCCCACTAGCCCTCATCCAAGGACAGCTAACATGTCAGCTGTGCTCGTGAACTTTTCTCTCTCTTTTCCAGCTTTCTTCCCTCGCTCCCGTTCTGCCTGGTCAATTCTGTGCCAGTCACCCCAAGCAACAGCTCTGCCGTTGGATGCATCGGCCTCCTTCCTCACTTCCTCCCACCCGTTCATGGTTTGCTTAGATGAGGCATTCCCGAAGGGAGCACCTGAAAGCCAGTCCTCCACAATTGCATCTCCTGTGATGAAGGCATCTTGCATGGTTGAAGCAATGACTCCAGTGGGTCCCCTTTTGACCCACCCAGCGCAATACAGCCCGGGAACATTCTGGTTCTTGACATCCTCTGCATTGGTGCGGGACACTAGGCGTGTCACTCTACCTAAGCCGTCATTGCATATAATACCGCGCCGATCGTCAAACTGGATACCTGCATCATGGAAACCTGGAAGGGGAACGGACTTGTAGCCAACGGATCGAAAGACGATGTCGGAGGGCAAGATGACCGTTTCCCCAGTTGACTTGACGGATGACTGAGGGTCAAATGGAGAAGACAGCTCCGTGACATCGAATTCCGTGCTTGCAACGTTGGAGGGCGAATCTTGATGCCCCAAGAAGTGCTTTGGAGACAGACAACTATCCAGGGACCAGGACTTGGAGGCCGCCTCGTGCGGAGTTTGCGAACCCTTGACCAATACTTCCATCAGTCGTCTCGTCGCACGCGGCAGGCTCTTGAGTTCGGCCGGTACAAGGGACCGATTGAAGGGGTGGAATTCTACCCGAGACAACTTCATGAGCTCACGAACTTCCTTGATTGTGAATGCGGCCTGGAGACGGTGTGAGGAACTGATCGTCGCGCCGGCCGGGAGGGTGTGGTTACCTGCATCGGTCCACGTCTTCCGACAACGTGGACTCTCTTGACTCGGCTCTCAGCCAACTTTGCAAGGGCTTGTTCCGTGATGTCCGTCCCCTTGAGCACATCAATGTCTTCGAGGAGCATCCGCGCGACGTCGAGAGCGACATTCCCTTGGCCGATGATGACGGCCTCGTTACCGCGAGTAAGATCCAAGTCTAGGCCGGCACAATCCGGAAGGCCGTTGTACCAACCAACAACGTGGCGCGCCGAATATATACCGCTAAGAGTCGACTCGCCAGGAACCCCCAGCTTCTTGTCTTCCGATGCGCCGTAGGAGAACAGTACGGCGTCGTAGTTGTGTAATAGCGATTTCAGCTCAACAGTGCAATGCTGGGCGGAGTGGCCCGGCTGACCGATGGAGACATTCCCTATAAAGGTAAAGTTGGGTGACGAGGCGATTTCGTCGAACTTTTCCTGACAGTTCTACTCTCACACATTAACAACTGCTAGCTGGACGCTTTGGATATCCACATCGCACACCTTGACCTCTGGATGATCGGGCGCCACTCCGTGACGGACCAATCCAAACGGAACCGGCAGGCTCTCGTACATGTCGACCCGGGCGCCTGGGATCTTGCCCATGACCCGGTACGACGTGTAGAAGCCGGCGGGGCCGGAACCGACCACCGCAAGACGGAACGGCAAATCCGGGGATCGAGAGGATTGCCGCCGAGGGCCAGAAGAAAAAGCCCGGCCGTTGCGGGCGAACCCGCGTAGCTGGCTCGCAAGACCGGGCGACCGTGCAGTTCTCAACGGCATCTTCATTGGGGGTGAATGAAGAAGTCGACAGACATTGCGAGAAGAATGCCGCTGCCGCCGAGATGGGGCTCCAATCCGATCCGCCGCATTACCTCGCGTTATCGGCCTTCGGTACATAGTCAGGTTGTGCATCGGGGACTGACCTCCGAGGCGTTGCTGTGGCGACCGGGGCCGCATGCAACTAAGATGGTGTCCACACAAACCAAACCACCAAGTTTAGATGAGACACACCCCATTACTCTCCCACCTCGATTTTGGAACCACCCGGAGCCCGTCGAGCGTCGCATTCCGATCATCCCGCTTCGAATCTCGCAACTTGGCCGATTTGTCTCGTCGGCCTCATTCCAGCACATCCACTATTAGTGTCTGGCGCAGGCGCAGCGCAACAGCGCGCCCGCGATTCACCATGGGTGGTGCGCAACAGCCGTTTATGTACAGTGCCGTCCAGCGCAACGATGCGCGATACCCAGAGTCTACGTTCGATCCTAAGGCCGTCACGAGGGCGAGCTGGGAGCCCAAGAAGTTCAAGCCCAAGCCAGATGGACCCCTCGTCACCTTTAACCGGCATCCAGAGTAAGTGGCATCGCCAACGCCTCAAAGGGCCGCGCGGGTACGAAAGCTGGTTCTAATTGCTTCTGATAGTGCGCACATGGTTCTTTCATACCGATCGAACAACTACTCATCAATGAGCCCTCGCATTAAGAGTTGGATTAAGTGGCTGCGCCACTTCCAGCTTCTGCTTCGCGTCCTCGAGCTTGTGGGCGCTGTCGGAATCTTGGTCCTGGTGATTCTGATGACCAAAATTGAGTCGGTGACTGGCTGGATCATGAAGATCACGGTGAGTTTGCAACTCCATCATGCAATAGAAGCGTAGCTGACCCATCCCACAGCCTGCTGTCGCCACGGCTCACTGCTTGTATGCCATCTACCACCTCTGCCGCGATTCCTCTGGACGACCTCCCGCCTCGTCATCCGCTTACCACTTGTTTTCCGCAATGACGGATGTAGCTGCCGCACCCATCTATGCCTTTTGTGCTCTAACGGTGCACAACAAGGGGGACAGCTGGAAGACAGTTCTTGCGAATCAGCACCTCATGGACACCTTCGTGCCAGCCGTCTATTACACTTTCATCGGCGCAGGTGGCCTTCACTTAATATCGCTGTCTGCCTCGCTCTGGTTGGGATGGATGTTCCGCAAGATCAGTCTCATGCCCCCAGACATGAACCCGCTTGAGGACAATCTGACGGCCCGACCTAAACACAAGAAGGCCAAGTCCTCTGTCTCCACACTCAGCACGATGGATGCAGACAGCCGACTTTCCACCCCTCGCGATTCCCGGCGACTCTCGGGCCATCCCCACAATGGCGTTGAAGCACCTCCATCTATTCCCTTTATGCATACGCGGACCGGATCTAGCACCACTATCGGAAGCAGAACCTCTCGGCAGTACCAGATAGTCCCGGGGTCTCGCGACTCGATTGCTTCCAAGGTTCCTGGATTTCGTGACTCCATCGCTTCTAGAGATACCAAGCGCACCTCTGTTGCTCCGTCATACCATCGCGATTCTTATACAGAAATCCCCTTGAATGATCCGAACTCTTCTCGACCCCCGAGCAGCTCAAACAGGAACAGCCAGATTCGTCCAGCCAAATTCACTGAGACTTGGGTACCTACGGATTCGCTCATTTCTCGAACTAACCAGCGGAACCGCGAGATGGCGGCATCTAAAACGAGTGCCCAGAACCGGGGCAGCAAGTCTTACGAGGCCCTTACTCAGCGATACTACAACGACGACTCATCTGAGGACGAGTATGGCGATGAAAACATTCAGATCCATAATGATGAGGCCGACCTCGGGGGTGAGCTCCGCCCTCATCCTCTACGTCTGAATCCGACAGAAACAGAGCGATCTACTCCTCCTCGAGCTAAGACACCTTTCTACCCCCTTGGCAACTCCTTGTCCGAGGTTAGTTCGAACACGAGACGTGTTAGTGCCAGCCAGGACATTGCCGATGAGAAGCCGGCTTTTGCGTTGGCGAAGCCCTCTGCTCGAAACAGACAGAGTTCCATCCAAACGGAGGAGTCCTTCTACTCTCGACCATATGGCGAGCTTAAGAGTGCAACACCACCCGTCATAGTTGGTAACAACCGTAAGGTTTCCTCGGGTAACGACTTTGACTCCAAGTATGCGTCTGGAGCTTACGAGCGACGGAATGTCAGCGGCAAGGTGGCTGAAGAAGGACGGGGTGGCACTGCTGGGAATAGATTCTCTGTCTACGAAACTCGGTTCGGGCGGGACGAGTGGTGAGTAAGGATATAAAAAGTCCACATGGCGCTTGTTTGATGAATTTATATGTAAGATGGTCGCAGGTCGGTCTGGATAATGCGGTTTGGATGTGGGTATGGGACGAACGGCGCGATTTTGGTAGTTTCTAATTTATGTATGGAATGGATGGTGACTTAGTTGCCCCTTGAGTCATGTTCTGTCGACCTGTGAAGTGATGTCGTGAAATAATCGTCCGGCTACTCGTCCTGGGCGAACGACCGCCATGTCACTGCAGAGTCTGCTTGTCGGTCGCCCTTCCAACCCTTCTCATCCCACGACTGCAACTTGCACAAGTGCCTCATTGTAGGTCGTCCGTGTGGGCAGTTCCAAGGCTTATCCAACTCCCCCATGTGCCTCACCAACGTCTCCATCTGACCTTTTGTCAAAGGCTTCCCAATCATGATGCTGCTCCGACATGCCCTCATAGCAAACATCTTCCTCACTTTGGATGGACGTGGAATGTGTTTAGACTCGGAAGACTCGTCCCCAAGCAGTGATATCAGCTCTTCCAGATCAGTGAGAGTAAACGTTGTTTCGCGGCTGAGAGGTAAGGCTACCAGCTGGCATCTCGAGCCAACTGGCTCATCGCCACTCGTATCAACGTCGATTTTGAATCCGTTGGCCTCGATAGCCGCCATGTTTTCCATCACGACCTCCTCTTCAAGAGCAGTCAGCTCAAGTTGTTTCGGGTGGACAAGCCTTTGGGACTGCACTGCTGTTGTCGCTTGTAGTCTCTCGAAGTTGTACTTCTCATCAGTGGCGTGTTGATCGATGATGAATAACTCATCGTCCTCGACTGGTTCTAGCTCATCCCCCACCTGGGTTTTGGCTGGTCGAACCGCAATGATAAACCCTAGATTGAATTGTCCCGCAATCCGCATTCTAAAAAAATCCCCCTTAGAGATGGCCAGTGAGAGCTTCTCTTCAGCATCTTCAGCGTTGAGATCTGTCACTCCATCTTCGCCTGAGGTGTGTGAGCTATTGACTGGGACACATTTAGTCCAGTTTGTCAATCGTGATCGCAACGTGCTTTCATCGATCCGGAGGTGCTGTACTGTTTGAAAGGTGGCGTCCTTTTTTCGCACCCCGGATTTGAAGGGTAGGTCTCTCTGCTCTGCCGTGCTTGGCCTAGCGGAGGCCTTGGGGACCTGAGAACTTTCATCCACCTCCTGGGGGTCGACCTCGGCTTTATCCTGTTGTGAATCGGACTTGGGGCTGGACGGGCTATCATCGATTCTGTCGCTGTCGTCGATCGTGCCATTATCAATACTCTTAGGTTGTGCATTCTTCGAATTGATTCTCGAATGCTTTGGCGAGCTGCGGATATTAATAGAGTTTTTGTCAGATTCTTCGCCAAGTTCTTCTTCGTCATCCTCGTCGTTGTCTCGCTCTTCATCATCTGAAAGCATCTCGTGAGCAATACTCTCATCCTGCCCTTTCCTACTGGCAGAAAATAATTGTGTCAGGCGATTCCCAAATGACGGGTTTGGGTGATCACTAGGGCTTCTCTCCTCGACAGTACCCCGTCCTGGAGGAATAGCTCCGCCAGTCGGTTCCGGTGATGTATCCATTCTGCTGGTTTCTATGTTATCACCTACGCTCATGGTGGTGACTACAGGCGTATCCCGTATGCGGAATAATGGTGGCGCTTGAACTTCAGCATCGCAGTCTAACTCCGTCTCATCAACAGGTTGAGTAGCGCTGTCTTGAGCTTCATCATGACCAAGAGCCTCCTCAGATGAGGGGGATGAGGGAACGGATGCCTTCTCGACTACCCTGGGGATCCTTGTACTGAATTCTGCCAGTCTTTTGTTGAAGTCTCTGACCGGCCTGGGCTTTTCGATTTCGTCACTGTCTGAGGACTCTGTCAACCTTGACGGGCCATCGACATCCATTCCCATAGCTCGGCTCTCGGGCACTTCAGGGACAGCTGAAGGCGACTTGAGTTTGTTGGCGGGCCGACTTCCTGTTTTGCTCTCGACCCATCGACTAATCAAGTTTTGGCCGTGTGCATCCTTTGCCAGGGACCTTGATCTCCCCATGGTTATCGCTCTTCCTTGAGGAATCCTGCCAACAGGGGATTTGAGTTCACTGGCTTCGCTTTCCGACTGCGAATCCTGGCCAGAGTCGTCGCTGGAGGCTGTCGAGTGAGTAATTGGTTTGGGTGGTATGGGGCTTGTTATGGTTGGTGTTGCTTCTTGCTGTCGGGGTTTTAGAAGCTGGGCGGTGGGGATCGAATAGTCCTGTGAATCAAACAAGGCCATTAAAGAGTCCCGGAGCGTGTCGAGAAGGTTGTTTTGATCGTGCAGTAGGATGCTTCGCTTGTCGGGACTGACATTGACATCATACATGTCTGTATCCAGCTGAATATTTGCCAATATGAAGGGGCTCTGAGAGGAGTTGTGGGATCTATATACTTCGTTGAACACCTTGGCAAACTGTGGCAGGCCACATGGTCTTCCATTGACGAAGAACATTTGACGATCTGGCGTTTGTCGACCGTCACCGTGGGCGGGCCGTGAGACATGGCCAACGACCCGGACATCCCCGAAAGTGCGGGTGGCACTGATGCCCGCCTGCAAGCTCTGGCCAACAGTGGACGGCTTCATCTCCAGCTTCAAATCCAGGGGCACTAAGACTGTCATCGTTTTTGCTCCAAAAATGTTGATGATATTTTCTCGAGTGGTAGGGTTCCCTCTAGTGGAGAAGAGGTGAATACGCTTTCCCTTGGTTGGCTGTTGAGATACGCTGAACTTGAGGTTCGTCTGAATACATGCATATTGGTTGAGGAGCGCGATGACCTTGTGCCACTCTCTCTTGATATTCCGTTCGAGTTCTCGACGTCGAACAGGCAGGTTGTGAAACAAATTTTCGACAGAGACGGTGGTTCCCCTTTGAGCGGCCACGACCGTTGTGCTCTTGAGCTTGCCAGAAGTTTCAAAGGCGAGCTTTGAGCCCTTGGGGACTTCGGAAGCCTGGCAAGTAGTCACGGAAAGCACAGACAAAGCACAGAGAGAGGCAAGTGCTTCACCACGGAAGCCAAATGTTTGGAGAGAAGCGATATCCGAGTAAGACGAGAGCTTTGACGTGTGATGCTTTAAAGCAACGGATGGGTAATTGTCAGATGATATTCCAGTCCCGTTGTCCTGGATTTCGATCAGATCAAGGCCCTGGTTTTTGAAACGGACATCTGATTTAAGACATATTAGTACAAATCAACTGGCGGTTCAACAATTGAATGGGATGAAAGACAAGTGGGGAAAGCGAATTGAGGGAACATACCTATGCTAGTTGCTTCCGCATCGATGCTGTTCTCAATGAGTTCCTTGACTACGGAACAGAGATCGACAATGACCTGGCCAGACTGAATTTGATGGATCTAAACCCAGATGTTAGCTGCGTATTGTCTTATGGTGTTAGAGCGGCAATGTTTACCGTGCGCCCATCAATCTGCTTGATGGTAGCCATGGTGCAACTTGTGCATGGCTCACGAAAGCGATGACGGTTTAGTTGGCTTTGATCAGAGCTGGGTCATGAAAGATCGGGCTAGATGAGTAGTGCAACAGATCTCTTTTAGTTCATGGGGTCAAATGAGAAAAGGCTATGAGCCAAGATGTGAGGCTGGCTGTCGAGGCTGATGGTTCTTCACACGCCAGAGGTCTACTGTATCCGCGCTTGACTGGAACGCGTTGAGAGTCAGAACGCGTAAAGTGGAGACGGGTGGGTGGTGTAGGGATTCGAGTGATGCATATATACGGTATATGTGTATATACAGAAAAGACTTGGCTCGCCTCCTGACTCAGAGTGCTCGGCGTAGGCACGAAGGTGTGGAGGCCAGGGAATAAGTGAACTCCTCCCTAGATAATGGTGGCTGCGGATACATACCTATGTAGCGAACTACCATGTACCTTGAGAGGCTTTAATCTACGTAACAAGATACCTCTAGCTTTGAGGTTGGAAGTTGGGGAGAATGCCATTGAGGTCCACCTACCTACGGCAATAACACGGGCCATTTACGCCGCATCTCTAGATTCGGGTAACTTTGCATCATCGCCCACAATCATTTTTGAGTCAATCGAAGCAATCCGTGCATAAGCGTCAACGAGAGAATAGAGTGAAAACCACGGCAATGAAGCTTAATACTTTAATTGATTGAAGACTGGCGATCTTATGCCGAGCGTGGCCGGTTCTGTTTCTGCCACGCTGTATCCGTACACAAATAGTTAATCCGGGCTCTCAGAAGCCAGAGACAGTCAACCCACCTTGGCGGTGATTAGCCCCCCAGCCGCCTGATATTGGTTGATCATTTGGTTGATCATTTTTGGGACTCCGTTCGTACGGGCGGTGTTCATCTTGACTGGCCGGAGCGAGCAGGGCAGGCGGCTGCTAACTGCTTGTGACGAGGCGGGATTGACGGAAGTGACAAGGACCGACGCATCGCCAAGTTTCGATCGATCGGGCAGATATCAAGCCTCGCTTGGGACTTGGCTTTGCCAGCAGCGATGAAGAACCTGGGAATTGACAGCTCGGTGGCGGGGCTGGGAAGAAAGGGCGCAGAAGGTGGGCGGGATACGAGGCCTGAGTTGAGGTCAGGTCTAATTCCAGGAGCTGCGGTTGGCTGGCTACCTACCGGCTAATAGGTAGGTACCAATCTACTTTGCACTCCGTGGCAGAGGCAACTCGATGGGGTCAGGAAGAAGTACCTAAGTTAGGCCGTTTCGTGTTCTTGGCTGCTTCTGGTGGTTTTCTGGTAGTTTGTTCAAAACAGTGGCTAAGCCTCCCGGATCCTCGACCGGACATAGCCCCAGGGGGTTTAAGCCGATAGGCAGGCATGGTCCGTTTCATTTGGCATTGAATTTCTCTTGTGGTCTATCCCTGAGGTTGACGGACGTGCCCTTGGACCCTCGTGCTCTCGCCAGAGGAGATATCCCCAGGATGGTGGATACTGTCCGGGCACTCTGGGTACGAACTCCACCTTTTCGAAACCAGGGCCACGTACGTAGTAGGACGAGGCACGCCATCGATTTTCGATTCCAGAATCCAGACCGTCGGCGACAATTACAGCAATTAGCCTCGATACGATACGAATCTTTGTTCTCGTATTCTCGGTTTTCGTTCCGGGCACGTGGCCGAAAAGCCGGGTGTACGAAGCACGAAGTACGAGGCGAGCTTGCTGGTTGGTCTTCAGCGGCGGCGGTGCAGAACGAACGATACGCCCGTAGGTTCAGCCGTCGTCAGTGAGATGAGATGCCGGGTTTACCCACCTACAATGCTCCTTATTAGGGACCTTAGCTGACCAGGCCTGAAGCTATTGCCGCCGACGGGACACTATGTAGTAGCGAGCACCGGAAAACAACTTTAGTGGGTACATTTGATAGACGGCGTAATACTGGCAGGCGGGAGAAGAAGAAGAACAAGAACAAGAAGAAGAAGGTTGTTGAATGATGTTGGCGGTGGACTGGTGGATGGATGGATTGGTGGACAGGTCCCCTAATTACTCGAGTTTATTATGTGCAAAGGCATTTCGGGGGGGGGCGTTGACCCAGAAAAAGGGGAGACTCGCCGCTAACTGGCTGGCTCGGATGACTGAGAAGCCATCAACAGCCAATTTCCCACCCGCCCCGACGCACCAAGCACCCAGGTACCCACACAGCATGTGTCGCCTTTTGCTAGTGCGTCGTCGTCGTCGTCGTCCTCCACTTCCTCGGTCTTGCCCTCGCTGCTAACGTGCGTTGCCGATGCCATCGTTGTGGCTGTCGCTGTCGCTGTGGCCCTCTCCTCGCAGCTTCGCTTCGACCAGCATCCTCTCAGGCCATCAAGCTCCCTGGAGGCCAACGCACACACCGGGTCCCTGTGCGATAGACCCTCACACTCGTTTGATTTGTCCTCGCCGCCCCATCTTCCATCTCCCTCTCCCTCGCTCGACCTGGTTGCTGCTGGTTGCTGCTGGTGGCCTGGATTGCGCCTTTGCCAGCCCCCCCTGCTTCTACTTACTGGCTCCTGCTCCGGCTTGCTACTGCGGTTGCCGCCGTTGCTGTTGCCCCGAGCTTAGCTAACCTGGACGACCATCTAACCGTCCAACCTGGCCAACCTTCTTCTTCTTCGTCGTTGTCGTCGTCGTCGTCGTCGTCGTCGTCGTCGTTGTCGTCTTCGCTCTCGCCCTCATTCTGGATCTCAAATATCCTCCCGCTTCGTCGACTTCGTCCCTCACCTGCCATAACCACGCAACCCGACTGCTGTTCTGATATTCTCCATACCTTCGCTCCAAGGCTCCTGGAGAGTCTCGACGCGCCTTCTCCATGAAGAGGCGTTCTTCAGGGTCGGCCGATGACGGTGACGAATCCTCTCTCGACTCCGATATCCCCGACCCCGACCCGAGTCCTAGCACGCGCCCGTCCGGCTTGAGTTCACGCCCATCCTCTGCTAGGAGCAGGCGCCCAAGCAGTCTCAATTGGAAGCAATCAAATGGTCGCAATGGCCGCAACGGCCATGCTCGCGACGATCCCTTACCGACGACCGCAATGACGCAAACCTCACTCGCCGCTCCGTCCACTCCTAATATGGCACTCGCCAGGACGCCGCCCCAGTCACCCTCTCCGGCACGCCGTTTTCGTCGCTCCTCGCCCATCTCCATTCTCGTCCTCCTTACCTCCGCCCTGGGTATGGCGCTTCTCTTTGGCATCCTTCGGTCTCTCGTGACCCGCCAACTCGATCCAAAAGGTTGTCGCATGTCCTACATGCGACCCTCATACGTGCACTTCTCCGAGTTTGATACCGAACACACTCGCTTTGCTACCAAATATTCCTTGTATCTATATCGCGAACAAGGAGTCGACGAGGAGGACAAGGTATGTTCAATATCATCTTTTGCCCAGAGTTGCATATAGCCACTCTGTTACACCAACTAACCAAACTGCCTCTCATAGCTTCGTGGAATCCCCGTCCTCTTCATTCCTGGCAACGCAGGGAGCTATAAGCAGGTCCGTCCGATTGCATCCGAGGCAGCAAACTTCTTCCATCACAATCTTCAGCACGATAATGCTGCACTGGACGCCGGAATTCGGGGCCTCGATTTCTTTACCGTCGATTTCAACGAAGACATTACCGCCTTCCACGGCCAGACCTTGCTGGACCAAGCCGAATACCTCAACGAAGCTGTTCGGTATATCCTCTCTCTCTACTCGGATCCCCAACGCAAGACTCGAGACGGTCACCTCCCCGATCCGACCTCAGTAATCATACTTGGCCACTCCATGGGCGGTGTGGTTGCGAGAGCGATGCTCGTCCAGGCCAATTACCAATCGAACTCTATCAATACTATAATCACCATGTCTGCGCCCCATGCCCGTCCTCCTGTTACCTTTGACGGACAGATTGTGCAGCTTTATGACGAAATCAACGACTACTGGAGGCGTGCCTACTCACAGAAGTGGGCAAACAACAACCCATTGTGGCATGTCACTCTTGTCTCGATAGCTGGTGGGGGTCTGGACACAGTTGTGCCCTCAGATTATACAAGTCTCGAGTCTCTTGTGCCGCCGACACACGGCTTCACAGCTTTCACGACCGGGATTCCGACAGTCTGGACAAGCATGGATCATCAAGCAATACTCTGGTGTGACCAGTTCAGAAAGGTCGTCGCACGAACACTGTATGACATCGTTGACGTTCATCGCGCATCACAAACGAAACCGCGGGCGGATAGAATGAGGGTATTCAAGAAAAGGTTTTTGACGGGCATGGAATCAGCAACAGAGAGGGATCTTGGTCTGAAGGAAGCAACAACACTTGTCACACTAGATGACACTTCCAATTCTATCCTTCCATCTGGAGAGCGACTGATTCTGAAGAATCTCGGACACCAGTCAACACCCAAGGCGCATCTGCTTCCAATCCCCCCACAAGGCTCGCCAGAGTCCAAGCGCTTCACTCTTCTCACCGACGCGCGGCTTGACGAAGCTGGAGAGAGCGGCAAGTTGGAAGTTCTCTTCTGCAACGTCTTCCCTTCCCATTCGGGACAGGCCAACTCACTGTACTCCTTTCAAATAGATCTTTCCGTTGACAAGAGCCACCCAACGACGAGGTTCGCCTGCAAGAACGCTGCTTCAGACTTGATCCTCCTTCCGGCTTCAACCTCATGGACACAGAACCCATTCTACCTCGACAGGGAGCGCGAAATTTCACCATTTTCGTATCTTCAGTATGACCTGGACCAGGTTTCGGATCACCAATTTGTCGCAATCGTGGAAAAGGCTGCTTCCAGCACACGCAACTTTGTCATTGCAGAATTCAGCGATCAGTCGGCCTTCTTTAAGAAAGAAGACATTGGCCTTGCAAGGCTCCTCTTGGCCGGAGCGTCATTGGAACTTCCTGCCGATCGACCGATGACTGTGGAAGTCAACATCCCATCTCTGCAATCAGCTCTGCTCGCCTATAACCTGGAGATTACAAGCTCTCACTGCAAGCTGGACCACGCCCTCTTCCGCCCGTTAGTGCGACAGTACTTGGACCGGCCATACGAGTCGAAATACTTTGTCAATGCACGGAGCGTGGCCATCAGTCTTCACGGTGTCGCTCCCTACGTACCACCGCCATTGCAATCTCGATCTGAAAATGGCCTTACCTTGGAAATCTGGACCGATCCATCCTGTCATGCAAATCTCCAACTGAAGATTAAAGCGGATCCGTGGGGAAGTTTGGGGAAACTGTACATGCGGTATCGCACAGTCTTCGCTGCTTTCCCCCTGCTCACTGTCACATTGGTATTGCGGAAGCAGTTTCGTGTATATGACAACACCGGCGTCTTCATTTCCTTCTCTGAAAGCCTGGACATGTGTCTTCGACAATCGATTCCACTCTTGCTTCTCTCGTTGACGCTTCTGTCCACGTCGCTGAGCGGAGCCTCAATTGCCGGATTGGGCCGGCTCTTGAACCAAAGCACCGTAACGACGTCAGGTGTCAACTTTCACCAACACGAGAGCTTGATTGGAACCGAAGACCCGTTCTTCTGGTTCCTGGTCCCCTTGATCGGCGTCGTCTGCATTGGAGTTTGCACCGTCCTCCATTATTTCATGCTCGTCTTGACGCAGAGTTTTGGTCTGTTGTACAGCCTAGTCATTTCACGTGTTCTCTTGGGCGCTGCCGATGAGCAAGGTCGTACTAGATCGCCCGCGTTTGTGCCATCTACACCGAGGCGACGCATGATTACGACGGCTGTTCTTTTGTTTTTGGTCTCAACCTTCATTCCATACCAGTTCGCCTATCTCGTGGCGTGTATTGTACAGCTCTTCAGCGTTGTTCGAGCCCTGCGGATCAATGCCACCATATCGTCAACCGCCAACTCTAACTATTATCACTACGCCCATTCCATTCTCCTCCTAATGCTCTGGATTCTTCCTATTAATCTACCGATCTTGGCGGTTTGGATTCGAAACCTGGCGGTTCATTGGCTCACTCCCTTCTCATCACACCACAACGTTCTTTCCATCATGCCGTTCATTCTCCTTGTGGAGAACCTGACGACGGGCAAGATGGTCCCGCAGCTGACTAGTTGGCTGCGACACGTCACTAGCGTCCTGCTCTTTGTGACAGCCTTGTACGCGGCAGTGTATGGGGTGTCTCATGCATATATGCTTCACTATTTGGTAAACATTATTGCCGTGTGGTTGGTGGTAGTGCATTCGACGAGCGACTCTTGGTCCTTCAGCGGTTTTGGCGCCATATTTGAAGGCAACACCAATGATTCTGAGAAGAGCGGAAAATCCCCTTGACGACACCAGGCACACGACTGAAGATCTCTTTCTTTTTCAATTCCACCTACTTTGCATTCGTGGCGACGTTAGTACCGGCATACGTCCGATGCACCACCAGCGGACAGCATGCGAGCTTCCTCGTTTTGACCGAAGGATACCCTCATTTTCCTTACCATATATACCTTGTCTATTTCGTCATTCGAACGGCCTCACTTCGGATGGCCTCTTGTGTTCCAACCACCGCCGAATCCTGGTTTTCTCATCGTTGAGCGCGGATCCTGTCCCTTAATCCTCTTTTCTTTTCTTGCATTGTCGGGGAGTCAGCGTCTTGCAGCCTCCAAAGAGGCAAAGTTGGGTGGTGTGCTTCCGTTAGTGTTACTTTGCACTTGCAGCATTACTTCGGCGTTCTACTGGTAGACGGGGAAGAGGGAAGACCAGGGAGTCTTAAATCTTCCAGACAAAGGGAATTTCTTCATTTTAATGTGTCTTGAATAGTCGGCCATTGTTGGCCGTGGCATCATGGATGGATTTCATGTCAAGCTTGGTGGGCGAGAGTTCGATGAATCAAATGTCTCCGCCTTTGAGGGACGGCTTCGATTGACTGGTGTCGAATCAGCCAGGGCATACAACTAGATACCACGCACACGAGAGGAGACTGCCAAGCAGTCGAGGGATTGTAATCTTGAACCGGTACATCCATTGACACATAAACTCAAAGAAACTTGGCTAAGATACTCTGATATTGTTGCAACCGCTCCCGTCCTCATCTAATGGCGCCCACGTTCTCCACCAGTCTACACTTTCCATAAGTGACCAAATGACCATACCCAAGCCATATCTTATACACCATACGCCGGCAGTGCATGAAATTGATGCCAAATCACCCCACCCCCTCTAAATCTCCATACTCGCTATTGTACCGATTAATCCTCCTCTTCGCCTTTGCTATTCTCGTGGAGGAGTTGATTGTGTTGGTGGCGAATGACCCACAAAGTGATGACCAGTCCACCAGCACAGGCGAACAGGGTGGCGTCGTATGCCGAACGATAACATTCCAGGCCATCAAGACAAGATCGCTCACCGTTTGGCTGGACCACGCTGTGCTGGTCGTAAATCTTGCCGTAGAAGATATTGAAAATATTAGACGTGATGACAGGGGAAAGTGTCATGAATCCCCAGTTCTGGCTGAGCCCGTTGATGCCGAATGTCTCGGCAACAATCGACGGGTAGACACCGAAGAGGAAGCCGTAGCCTATACCGGACAAGCTGGAGACAATTACAAGCCAGTGAGGGTCGGCAATGTTTAGAGCACAAAGTTGAGCGAGCAAGAAGACGACGCAGGCGACAACCAGACACCAGAGCCGGCTGGCATGCAGACGTTTGACCAAAAAATCGGAACCAACTCCTAAAGACGATGTGAGAGTCTGGAAAAGCGAGGGTGAGTAACGAGGGGGAACTCACCGCTAGATAGTCTACCGAGGAAACTACATATGGAGAGGGTCGACACATGCATCTGCTGGCGTTGAATGAGGAAATCGTTGGTGACGGATTTATCGTAGTGCATCCACAACGCCTTCACGTCGTTACCGATGTTACTGGCATGCCAAGTCAGCAGGATTCATTCGGGGCGTATGGTAGAGAATGAATTGCATACTTGATTGTCATGATTCCGACACCAGCCAAGATTCCCATAATGGCGAAGAGTTGCCAGAAGCCCAGGGTTCCCAGCAAGGTGAAACCTCGAATGTCTACTCGGTGAGATCGATCAAAATCAATATGGTTCCCTACGAGTGGGTCATCATCGCCGGCCTGTGACGTCGGGCGGGACATCAAGGATGACGTCTCACCCGCCTCGGGGTCCTCGGGGTTCTCAGCAGTGACCACACGGCCACTATCAGGCTCGGATGGGATTCGAGGAACGGCCGTTGGATCCAGGGGGCAGTCAGAGGCGGAGGCGGAGGCTGAAGCGGAGGTGGATGCGAAAGCGGGCGAGGGTGAGGAGGTGGAGCTGGTGCTACTCTCTGTGTTGGAATTAGATAACATACCAGGTTCAACCACCGCATTGGCAGCGCGGTAGGTCTTGGGCTCGTCAGAGGAGTCCTGGCGAGTGTGTTGTTGGTGATCTGCCGCTGGGACGGTTTGATAATTGGAGTGAGGGTGGACCTTGAGGAAGAAGAATCCACCGAAGGTAATGCCGCAAGTACCCCAGGTTAGTAGCATGAGGAAGGCACTGGGATCACCAGGGAAGAGGAGGGACCCGACGAGGGAGAAGAAGAAGGCACTCAGGCCGAAGGCGGCGAGAGGAAAGGCCGTGGCGGTACCACGGCGTTGGGGCCAGTTCAACGCAGACGTTTTGATAGAAGCAGCAAACGCCATGCAGCCGCCCATGCCAGTCAGATATGAGAAGAAGCATAACAGCGGCACGGAGCCGGAGGCTTTGTCGTAGGCTTGGTGGAGGGGGAAGTATCCGGCAGCCAGCAGGATGGCGCCTCCGAGGACGGCCAGTCGGGGACCGCGCCGGTCGACCATGATGCCAATAGGGACGCCCATGGTGTACTGGCCTAGGTTGCCAGAGAGGCCGATGAGGTTGCTCTCAGTCGACGAGAGGCGGAGTCGTTCGGCGAACTGCGGTGCCCATGCCGAGTAGACATACTTGACCGGGTGTTAGCGATGGATGGAACCGCCCGCCTCCAGGCGGTCGAACAAGCGAAGAGGTCCTACATTCGTGCCACAGGCCAACGCAATGAGTGTTGCGGCGACGCTGGCGACGATGCGCGCGTGGTGCAGCTGTCGCTGCTGCTGTTGCTGGTGCATGATGCTGGCGGCAGGGGGATCGCTAGAGGGGGACGACCACGTGGACCATCTGGAGGAGGAGAAAGCGAGAAGAAAAAGAAACGTAAAGGAAATGAGGAGCTAAAGATGCAAGTAGGGAGGCCAGAAGCAGAATCACAAAAGGATGGACGCGTTACTCGATACGAGAGATGGAGATGGAGATGGAGATTGAGGATGGAACTGATTCCCGACTACGTAACTTGGGTATCTTAGTCGGTATTACGGACTATACACGGAGTACAGGGGCAGGACGTACGTATGTCGTTATCAAAGCCGCGGTGGAAATAGCGCGAGCTGATTGGCGACGCCCTGAATACGTATCTGCACGCGCGTGCCCATCGCCGAGAGCGGAACGCACCCAACGGCAGCCCAGAAGGTCCCGAGGGTGGGCCTTGTGATTACTCCCGGCCCGCTGGTTCGCGCCTGCTCCTGCCTCTTGCTGCGCTCCCGCTGTGCTCTCCGCTTTCCCGTGTTGGACTGTTTTCGTACTGTGCCATGCCCCAGACTGCAAGTACCTAGCGCTGTTCGCGGGGGCACACACCACGAGCCACCACGAGCCACCACAAGCCACCACAAGCCACATGTTCTGTTACGTAAGGCAGCACAAGTACCCAGTGCTGCAACCGCCCAGACTTGCACCAAGATGACGTAATCTCACGTGAACCGGGCCACGGTCCATCTCGGCCGTCGACACCAGCCTCATCGTCGCATCCGCCTCCTCCATCTCCCGACTCCACCTACGCAATCGCAAACATCACCAGGCTGCATCTCGCCCAGGCTGCTCGCCTCTACACCTAATTGACACCACCACCTCCGCGAAACCAACCCGTCCACGGGCTTCCTGCTCCCTGCTCGTGCCCTCTTCTCCGACCTAGACACGCCGTTCATCGCTGCCTCCCCGCGCCATACCAACGCCATGGGTGCGCTCTTGTCGCTGCCGCTGCTGGCGGTCCCGAGCGTGACCACCGTACGCCCTCCCAATACCTTTTCCTTGCCAGCAATCCTCTTATCCCAGACTAACGCGCAAATCCGTCCAATAGATCATGTCCTTTGCGGCCAGCTGCTGTGGCGCCGCAACCTGTTCCATGGTCTGCAGCGCTTGCGGAAAATGCGGCAACAGGTACGACAACATGAACATGACCAGCCCTACCATCCCGCCAGCTAACCATACCTCAACAGTGTCGCAACTCGTGTCGGATATGCGCTGCTGCTTCTCGTCAATTCCATCATTGCATGGATAATGTTGACGCCTTGGGCCATTGAGAAGTTGCAACACCTCATGCTCGACTATGTCAAGATCAATTGTCCCACCGGCAGCTGCCACGGGTGGGTTGCCGTCCACCGCATCAACTTCGCTCTCGGTATTTTCCATCTCATCCTCGCTGGTTTGCTCTTCGGCGTCTCATCTTCGAAACACCCCCGCGCCGCTATTCAAAACGGTTATTGGGGCCCCAAAATCATTGCCTGGTTTGCCCTGGTTGTCATGTCCTTCCTTATCCCTGATCCGTTCTTCGTCTTCTGGGGCAACTATATTGCCTTTGCTGGCGCCATGCTATTCTTGATGCTGGGCCTTATCTTACTCGTTGACTTGGCTCACAACTGGGCCGAATACTGTCTGGCGCAGATCGAGGAAACCGACTCGAGGGTTTGGAGGTTCGTTCTCATTGGATCTACCTTGGGCATGTACCTGGGCTCCATCGCCATGACTGTGGTCCAGTATGTCTTCTTCGCCAGAGGTCCTTGCTCCCTGAACCAGGCCGCCATCACTATCAACCTCGTGCTTTGGCTCGCCGTCTCCGTCATCTCCGTCAACCCCTCCATCCAAGAGTACAACTCCAAGGCCGGGTTGGCTCAGGCCGCTATGGTGGCAGTTTACTGCACCTATCTTACCATGTCTGCCGTGTCAATGGAGCCTGATGACAAACAGTGCAATCCTCTGGTTCGCGCGCAGGGCACCCGTACCACGTCTGTTGTCATTGGTGCCATCGTCACCATGCTAACGGTAGCCTACACGACCACTCGAGCTGCGACTCAGAGCCTTGGCCTCGGTAACTCCAATGGCATCCGCCTTCCGGAAGAGGATGAGCACGATCTCGTGACACAACAGCCTGCCGCCCGCCGTGAGATGCGCGCCGAGGCTCTTCGTCGTGCTGTCGAGGAGGGCAGTCTCCCCGCCGAGGCCTTGCTCTCCGACGACGAAGACAGCGACGCTGGTGATCATTCGTCCCACGATGACGAGCGATCTCAAACCCAGTACAACTACACCGTTTTCCACATCATTTTCTTCCTTGCCACGGCGTGGGTCGCCACGCTGCTGACAATGAACTTTGAGGAAGCTACCAAGGAGGGTGACTTCGCCACCGTTGGTCGTACCTATGCGGCAAGCTATGTCAAAATTGCTAGCTCTTGGATCTGCTATGGAATGTACACCTGGACCCTGGTGGCACCCATTGTCCTGCCCGATCGCTTCGACTTTTCCTAAATATTTTGTCTGCATATCGTAGGAGTTGGGGTGGTTCAGCGTTTGCGTGTTTGTCTTCATAACTAGGTAATCGCATTTCTTGGCCCTCTAGATATATGGTTATATGCATTCTTATAGAACGCAATGGAATTTCTATATCATCAATTCGGGCGTGACGACGGCTCATATGACCTGAATCGAAGGAAGCGGTTACCTCGTCATCTCAGCCCCACCGGCCAAAGGCCCCTCCGATGCAGGTCTCGGTCACCAGTCCGTGGGCGACAAATTGCTAGGCAAACATCAATGTCCTCTCTCTAAACCAGCACGTCTTGGCGCTGGAGGGGTTGGCAAACTTGGAACTGAATGGGGTTCGAAGTCCGTTCATAGATGCTGTGTAGCTTGAACAACATGAGATGGTCGTGTTACTTCGTAGACAAAGGGGATCTGATCCGGCACGTGGCTTATTGTCGCTTAGATTGCCGACAAGTTGAGCGAACGGGAGCCATCCTCATCACGATGAGCGTCAGAAAGGCTTGTCGTAGCTGGTCTGTACATTATGGCTTGGGAAGCTATCAATACGGCAAGGGTTGAGCACGTAAACGGCACTGGTTCAAGGTAGAGGATACACGTAATGGTATTCGGCCAAGTTAATGCACTTATAAACATAGTGGCCATATCAAGTCTATATTTCCCCCCGAATGGGTGTCGTGGAGATTACGAGAACCTCATATATCTGTTGTCTCTTGACCCTTTCCTCTTTCCCCTCTCACCTCCCTGCTCCCTGCTCCCTGCTCCCTGGGGATATCTCCCGTGTACAACCCAGGTGGCCGGCCAAAGCCCAAGCAAGCGCGTTGCACGAATAGAGCCGCGCCCGCGACGAGGCGCATGGCGGTGATGCCATTAATGACCGAAACAGACTCCCTTTGCTGAATGCCGTCACACTCCAGAATGCGTTTCGCAGTCAAGCTTACAAGGCGCATGCCTGACGCTCGCCTATCTTCGGCCAACCAAGAGTCTTGGTAAAAAAGGGAGCTTTATAGCCAGGTCCAAGCCAGCCACAAGAGCTGGAGGAACCCCACGAGACATGCGCATACACGATGGAAACAGTATTTCAAAAGTATATATATATGTGTGTGTGTGCGTCTGAGCCAGGAGAAGTGTTTTGCATAGTATCACTAGAAACCAGAGCCAAACAAAGTGGGCGTGTATCACTTTCGAAAAAGAATTTGACAAGGAGACTACTACGCTTGATACTGCCCAAGAAACGCACGATGCCTCAGAAGATCGAATCGAAAGACGCCGCAGTCAAGTACAGGTCCAAAATGTCCGATATTTAGCATCCAAGCACTCATCCATCCTCGAACAGGAACTCCCTATCGCCTAGAGCACTGTCCAAGGACATACCAATAGCTCCTAAACTGGAGCCAAAAGTTCTCTCTCCGATGCTCGTCGCATGGGCTCACGAGTCGAGGCGGCAACACCTGACCATCAACGAGCTTCTCCACCAGCACAGCAATGTGTTGTATGCCCTCCCACTTTTCATATCTTAGGGTCGTTCTCCAACCTATCACAGGTCACTCCGAAGAGTCTAACTCCATAATGTTCGCCAACGCCAGGTTCGGATGATGTTACAGGTTTTGGAAATCGCCAACTGTGCGATAAACTAGGCTCTTCTCACGACCGCCATGTCTCCCTCTCATAAGATGAGAGTAGCGTGACCGTCATAGCTGATGGCTTTCGGCAGGAATGCTGAAAACTCTTTTGTAGAGGATGGGAAGGATGACTGGAGGCCGAATGGACTCAAATCAGAGATTCAAAGTGTGATGGCTAGAATAATAGCCATCCACTGCTGAGTCGCAACTTATACAGTTAGGGGCTTTTCTCCCAACTCCTTGGCCGCCCCCGCGGCATGGAAGCCATCCAAAGTCACCGTCACGGCGCCGGCTTGGACAAGCTGAATCCCTATTTAGTAGATATCTCATTGGATGGAATGGGGAGACTTACTGCGCGTGAGAGGTCATCAATAAGATCATTCACGTCTTCAATTCCGACGCAAAGGCGAATAATGTCCTCAGGCATCTGCCGCTCTCTTCGTGTCTTCGCATCGATGCTGGCATGGCTCATCTGGCATGGCATGCTAATCAAGCTGTTGACACATCCGAAGCTAACGCTAATTGCCCAAAGCCGGGCAGCCTCCACAATGCGCTCAGAGACGGCGCTGTCGCCAGTCTCAAATGAAAGAACCGCGCCTGCCCCCCGTGCCATGGACCAGTGCAGATCGTACTGAGGGTGGGACTTAAGGCCAGGGTATCTGACCCGGAAACCCTTGGACTCAAGGAACTCGGCAATGGCCTGAGCGCTAGCCTGCTGCTTCTCCATGCGAATCGCGAGCGTCTTGATACCTCTCATAAGGAGGAAAGAGTCGTTGGGGGAAAGACCACATCCCGTAGAGTTGATGACGAAGAAGAGCCTGTCCGCGACCGAGGAATCGTTGCAGGCCATAACACCGGCCATGATATCGTGGTGGCCCGAGAGATACTTGGTACCAGACTCGTAAACAATATCGGCGCCCATGTCGAGGGGGTTGGCGAGCATGGGCGAAAGCATCGTGTTGTCGACGACGACAAGGGCCTTGGGGTTGGCCTCATGGACAAGACGAGCGATGGAGGGGATATCAACAATCTTGATCAAGGGGTTGGTAGGAGTCTCAAGCAAAACCATGGCCGTCTTTTCCGAGACCCGCGCCTGCACAGTCTCAACGGTAGTGGTGTCAACATGGTGGACAACAATGTCTTGGTTGGCGGCTAGGTAGGTGAGGAGACGATGGCTGCCTCCGTACAAGTCGTCGCCGGTGATAACCTCGTCGCCGGGCCGGAGAAGGCGGGTGATGACATCAAGAGCGCCCATACCGGAGCTCACGGCTAGAGCGCGCGAAGCATTCATGATCTTAGCCACATGGCGCTCCAGATGGGTGCGCGTGGGGTTGCCAGACCTCGTGTAGTCATACTCCTGCTGGCCACCGTTGGCCGAGGACTGCTTGAAGGTGGCAGACTGGTAAATGGGGATACTAGAAGCGCCATATTGGTCCTTGCTATCGGTGTAGACCAGCTCGGTGGCGAGGGCATATCTCAGGCGGCCGTTGCGTGGGCTGGAGGGGGCGGGAGAAGGAGGAAGGTCGTGTCCGTCGAGGTCGACCCGCTTCAGCGGGTTGGCGGATTTTTCGGTCGGCGTATTGGAAGTTGGGGCCGACATGGTTAAATGAGTGCCGGGGCGATGGAGGTATGGATATGACGGGCTGTAATTGTAATAAAGATGTCGTAGGTTGTGAAGAGTCGAGGAGGAGCCCCGCGCCGATCAGTGACTAGTGGGGGGAGGGCGAAAGGTAGGATAGAGCGAGTATGCGAAGCAATTGGGAATGGGACCAGAGGCAAGATGAAGCCACAGAGCCCAAGCCCAAAACTTTGAGAAGAATGCGAATGCAGATATGAAGATGGAGGAAGAGGAATGGATGGTGGTTGTCGAAGGAAGGCGGGCGAGTCAGAGTCCGGGGGGAGGGACGGGAGTCGGGAGTCGGGAGTCACTCCCGCTCATCGGCGGTCTGAGGATTTTTATCCAGGCGGCGTTCAGTGGCTCGTAGTGCTGCCCTTGCAGCGGACCGCAGCGTTGCTGCAGGGCCTCGCAGCGCTGTTGCAGGGCAGCTCACTCCACTGCCGGCGATGCTGCGCCGCCAACCGTCCACCGCCATTCAGTTGGGTCACCCGCCCGATGTACGGAGGTCAAGTCGTGATGCCGGGGTACCTGGGGTTTCACTGGACCACGCGCGCAAAGAAAAGTACCCCGCTATCAAAACCCCGGAAAACTCGGTGGGGTACATCAAATGACGTGATCCTGCACCGATTGATGACCATTCTTTTCGGGTGTTCAGCAATTGTCGGGGATTATTATGCCAAACTTGCTAACCCAAACCCGGCCCAAACCCGGCCTAAGATAGAGGTCTCGTGGGAGAAAAAGATGGTCGAGACAGTGCTGCGCGTACAGTACAGCACAGCTCCCGCTCGGAGGGCATTGATACAACCCCTCAAAACAGAATCATTAGTTTGTTGATTGGACCGCGGAGCGGTGATGCCATGCCCAGGGTTGCTTTCTCTATACATCGGATCGCTTGGTGGCTCCTAATCCTGTTCCTCCGCCACCAACTCATCCACATCCTCGTACTCGGTAGTCTCGCCGCCTGACCGCCGGGACGTCGCCGTTACATTTGCCTTAATCTGTCCCCCTTCTCGCCCCAAGAAGTCGTCGCTCCTCAGTGCCCGGAACTGCGTCGGGTCCACCGCCGACATCGACCCACCCTTTTGTCGGTGTTGTCGCATGTACTCACGAACAGGGACCATGGCCGCGTCTCGGCAGGCCTCCTTAATGTCGCTGCCCGAGAGACCTGCGGTAATCTTGGAGACATATTCTAGGTTAAAGTGATTGGGGTCCGTCGTAGTGTCTTGCAAGATCAGTTGCAATATCCGGCGGCGTTGCTCCTTGCCTGGCAGAGGTACGGGAAACTTTTTGGGCATACGGCGGAGGATGGCCTCGTCAATGTCGTGAATGCGGTTGGTGGCTCCCAAAACCATGATACGGGCGGGCATGCCGGAAGAATTTGACGACGTCAGTCCGTCCCACAAGGTCATGAATCTGTTCAATATTAGCTCACGTATACCTGGTCGTCTGATGGATGTAAGCGTACTCAGCTTTGACCATGCCGCTGGCCTCGTGCTCGCCGCTCCTTCGGGTCCCAAGAACGGCGTCAATCTCATCGATGAAGATGATGGCAGGCTGCATTTTGCGTGCCAGCGAGAAGACAGCCCGGACAATCTTGTTGGAATCTCCATACCACTTCTCCGTCAATGTCGAAATGTGCAGATTGATGAAGGAAGCCCCACTCTCGTGGGCAACAGCCTTCGCCAGCATCGTCTTGCCACATCCAGGTGGTCCATATAGCAACACTCCTGAAGGTGCTGAGAGTAGGGGCGCGGCGTGCGAGTAGAGATGCGGCATCGTGAGAGGATAGATGACAGACTCCTTCAGTTCCTCGATGATGGTGTCCAAGCCACCAATATCTATGCAAACGCAAAAGGCATGTCAGTCAGCAACATATACCTCAGTAGCCATCTCCGGCGTCAGGAAGCTGTGTTGGCATTGGCACAACTTACCATCAAACCCGACGGATATGTCCTGGGGAGGGACCATTTCCAACGCCACCAGGTTTTCGTATTCGTTGAGAACCAGCTCCTCCACTCGGGGTCCTCTCCTTGAACCGCTGTCGTCGTCGTCATAGTCATCATCGACTTGTCGTTGCCGGTTTAGGCGCTCGAGGTGTGCCTTGGCCTGACGTCTCGCTTGGTCGTGCTTCTCCTTGTCCGGGTCGGCGAGGTTGCTGAGGATTGGGTTAAGAAAGGTTCGCGCAACGTAGAGGCCGGCGGTCATCTAGCAAAAAGTGTCAGCCTGTCGATTCCATCCACGAGAAGCCGGACTCGCTCACCATGCCGGCAAAGAGCAGGAGGTCCATGGCGACATCGCCAAGCTTGCGTCGCTCCCCCATCCCGAGGATCCAGCGCAGCCACGGGGTCGACTTGTCGCTCATGAGGTGGCGCCGCGCCGATGGAAGTAAGGGAGGAAAGTCCGCAGGTGAGTGTAAGGGGGAGATGGCGACTATGCTGTGTGTCTCGGACTGCAGGAGATGGAGGAGATGCAAGATGCAAACGTGTGCTGGGGTCAGCCGATGGACCGTGATCGCGTTGCAGCCACAATTGATTAGCACATGCGGTTGGTTTATCTCGTTAGGTACTTCGCCTTATGCGTTCGGCGGCCATGCCATGCACGGGCCATGTCGGCCACGCGGGCACCGACTCGTCCGTCCCACTTCGCCGGACTTTGTTTACATTGGAACTTCTTCTATATCGGCCGGGGCAAAACATGCATGCGCACCCTCTCCCCCTCGTTCGCTCCCCTCATTGCCCTCGCCTTCGCCTTCGCCATCCCCGCGACGGGAAGATACGCCTAGCCAACTATTCAACCACGATATCCCGCGCAATTGGTCCAGTTCAAATTCCGATATCGCATCGCCATTGCTAGCTCCATTGCGCCCGTTGTCGCCTCGACCACGCACTGCTCGTCAAGACACACAAATGCCACGCGCAAAAGCGACAGCGCCTCTGGCAGGGCTCGTAGGGTCCGACTCAGAGCCTGACTTCGATGACTTCGACGTCTCCGATATCCAAGCTGCGCGCAATCAAAGACAACCCATAAGCACCACAAAAAAGCCCCGAGGCCGTCCGCCAAGCGCGAGCAAGGTTACGAAACCAGCACCGCGATCAACAGGTCGGACTAGGGGAAAGGCCGCCACAACAACAGCGGCGCCAGCAAGGAAAGAGGCCCTGGCGGGCAAGAGCAATTCCACTACGTCGCGCACTGCGCGGCAGGTAGAGAAACAGGCTCAAGAGGATACAATCGATGTTGAGGATGTCACGGAAACACCGGTTGTGCCATCGCCTCGCGCGAAACCGAATCGCGGCCGACCCAGGGGTGTTGGGAGCGCCGCAAAAGGAAACACCGCCAGCAAGATGCCAGTAAGCGTTCCACCGAGTGCGACCAGACCACGAGGCCGTCCACGATTACGTCAGGCCGCGACACCCCCCGAGGAGATTCCAGAAACTCAGCACGAGGAGCCCGAGGACACGATGGATATTGATGTTTCAGCACAAGACTTGGTCGACGTAGAATCGATTCCAGCCCCAGATCCGATTGAAGATGTAGTTGGGTATGACGCGAGCGATGTCTCGCTTCGAAGGCGGTTAGGGGACCTCACGAAGAAGTATGACGGCCTTGAGATGCGCCACCGAGATCTCCGAGAAGTTGGCGTCAAGGAAGCCGAACGCAATTTCGACCGCCTCCGGAAACAAGCTGATGAGCGAACTGCTGGTAAGGAGCTGCGAGCCATGGCGAAAATCCACACCGCTAACATCCACTAGCCGCGAACAAGCTGATTGCTGAACTCAAGTCAGAGATCGCAGCGCAGACTACCCTCACGAAACAAGTGGAGGAGTTAAGAAAGGAGCTAAAAGCCAGCGATGCCAAGGTGGAGAGTCTAGAAAGCACCGTAGAGACGCTCAACGAGTCACTCGCTGCGGCCCGGTCAGAGACTAAGACGATCTCGACGAAGCTAGCCGCCTTCCGCGCCGGAGAAGTCAATACCAGAGTGCCTGGCAGTGCATTGAAGGCCGGCGCAGCAGGGAGTCGCACAGCCCAGGCAGAGGCAGCCCACGCGGCGAACCAGGTAGCGCAAGCCAAAGAGGACTTGTACGGCGACCTAACAGACCTCATCTTGCGTGGTATGAGGCAGGAAGAAACGGAGGACGTTTTTGATTGTATCCAGACTGGACGAAACGGCAGTAAGTCTCTACCTTGTCAGGCCATTACTCGACATCGTCCTAACATCTTGTGTAGCTCTCCACTTCAAGCTAGCCGTCGAAAACATTGAAGAGGCCGACAGCTATGAAAACGTGCTATTTACCTACCGACCTCAGCTACACCCGGACCGCGACGGGGATTTGATGGACATGCTGCCGGATTATCTAGGTGGTGAGATTTCATTCCCTCGCAACCAGGCGTCCAAGTTCTACGCGAAGGTGATGAAGTACTTGACAGAGCGACCCGAATAAATGGGAAGGGATGGGGATGACTTTGTGCGGATGCTGCTGACGTATTTTCATGCTTTTGGTTCGGACTGATACCCCGGAGTTTGTATTGACTTGGTTACGAGTTTCGTTTCTCGGGTCTCGCAGGGAGACGCAGTTAAAGAGATGCCAAGGATGCAAGGAGATATTCTGCGTCATGGGGATGTTGGCATTGAGCCTGGGTTGGCATGACGCGCTTGCGGGTCATGGTATCGCACTCATCAAGGTTCGATGGCCAGGCCGTCCGGGTTCTTGGTACCCCAAGAGTTCAACATTTGCAAGCAGACAGGCGTTGAAATAATGGGTGCTGTGGATCGTCGTTTTAAGATGATCAAGGAGGGATACAGTGGCATTTATATCTACACGCAATGATACCCTCATTCTCAGTCAAATACTTGACAGTCGGTATCTCTCGGGCCCAATGCCTCCATGTGTAGGCCAGATTGTTCGTCGAAATTAGCGGGTTATGCCTGGCTCCTCACACAGGCGGTCGTTCAGAGGTCCAGAGGCAGCCAACCAACCACGTGTCAGTGCGCTGCGACAGGGGAGCTAGCGTCGCCATCCAAAGACCCCTAGCGCATCGGGGGCCCTGTAGCATGGGAGCATGGGCGGGCTGTCTGCAGGTACAGTGCTCCGTATGGAGTACGTAACCCTTTTAGACGCGACTTGACACCGCGTCCAGCCAGCATTAGCCATTAACTTTCGGCCACGGTTTTCCCCTCCATGCTAACACTACAAGTACGCCATCAACCTCGTACTCCGTCGCATCGCCTGTCCCTTGCACACACAAGTGACTGCAACTTTCTTCCCAGTGTTGCCAGCTCTCTCGTATCCCTTAAACGGCTTATTGTTGCGCAATGGACGTGTCCCTTTTCCCTTGATTTTTGCGTGGACGTTTCTTCTCCACCAATTCGATCTCCCCCCTGACTTACATCCGCCCACTCTCTTTTCCATTCTAGTCTCCCCTCTCTCTTGCGACACCCACCCAGGTCTCTTCCAGCTATCGCCAACCCGTCAAGCAAGTGTCATTACTCCAGGTCATCATGGCTGGCTACAGCCGCTTCGGCTTCCTGGCCGTTGCGGTCGTCTTCCACCTGGTCTACATCCTCTCCATCTTCGACATCTACTTTGTCAGTCCCATCGTCTCGGGCATGCAACTCTTTGGCGTCCAGCGGCCCGAAGCTTCCAAGGCGCCTGCAGATCGATTGGTCCTCTTTGTCGGTAATGCTCTCTGGTTCTAGGCTCTCTGGTCGACCTCTTCGCTAATCACTTTTGGCGCCTTCAGGCGACGGGCTCCGTGCCGACAAGGCCTTTCAATCCTTCCCCGAACCATACCCCGAGTCCGAGGAAGACCTAGTCCCTCGCCCGCTCGCGCCCTTCCTCCGCTCCCGAATTCTTGATCACGGAACCTTCGGCGTCTCTCACACCCGTGTCCCCACCGAATCGCGGCCCGGACATGTCGCCCTCATCGCCGGCCTCTACGAGGACGTCTCGGCCGTCGCCACGGGTTGGAAGCTCAACCCGGTCAACTTTGACAGCGTCTTCAATCGCAGCCGGCATACCTGGAGCTGGGGTAGCCCAGATATCTTACCCATGTTCGAGCACGGTGCCGTCCCCGGTCGAGTCGAGGCCTTCATGTATGACTCTGAGTTCGAGGATTTCTCCAAGGATGCGACTCATCTGGACTATTGGGTCTTCGATCATGTCAAGGAGCTCTTCGCCGAGGCCGCTACCAACGCAACACTCAATGCTGCTCTGCGCCAAGACAAAATTGTCTTCTTCCTTCACCTCCTAGGCATCGATACAACCGGCCACGGCTACCGACCCTACTCCAAGGAGTACCTGCACAATATCAAGGTGGTGGATCAGGGTGTCAAGGAGGTGACGGACCTCATCCAGAAGTTCTACTCCGATGACCGCACCGCTTTCGTTTTCACTGCCGACCACGGCATGAGCGATTGGGGCAGTCACGGCGACGGCCATCCTGATAACACTAGGACCCCGCTCATTTCCTGGGGGTCTGGCGTCGCAACCCCTGAGCTGTATACTGACTCCATCGCTCCTGGCCACGACCAATACTCCTCAGACTGGGGTTTGGATCACGTCCGGAGGCATGATGTATCCCAGGCTGATGTCGCCGCACTCATGGCATACCTGATTGGCACCGAGTTTCCTGCCAATTGCGTTGGTCAGCTCCCACTGACATTCCTGTCTGCGGATACCCGAGAGAAAGCCGAGGCATCGTTGGTTAACGCCCAGGTCATTCTCGAAATGTATAGGGTCAAGGAAGAGAAGAAGAAGGCGACAGAGCTCCAATACAGGCCGTACGAGCCCCTGAGCGAGCACGCCCTTACCCCAGAGCAGCACATTGCACACATCCGTACTTTAGTGGACTCGGGTCGGTATGAGGAGGCCATTGAAGAGTCTAATGCGCTGATCGTGATTGGGCTGCAAGGGCTTCGCTATCTCCAGACCTACGACTGGTTATTCTTGAGAGCTCTGATCACTGTTGGCTACCTCGGTTGGATGGCATATGCCGTCACCACCGTCCTCAACCTGTATGTTGTCCAGGAAAGCATCCCTCCCCAGCGTACCATCCTAGGAACCATGTTCTTCTCCTCTGTGCTCATAGCGCTGTACGCCTCCTTCATCGTCTCCAAGTCGCCCCCGCAATACTATGCTTACGCCTTCTTCCCGGCCATGTTTTGGGAAGAGGTCTATGCGCGCAGGGGGACCCTCGCCCAGGGCCGAAAGGCTCTCTTCGGGCACATCCAATCTGGAGGCGCCGTAGCGACTCTCGTTATCAACATCACTCTCTATGTTGGTGTAATCCAATCTTTGGTAGGACTGTCGAAAACGTTTAATCTCCCTCCCTCTCTAATTCGGCGTAGGCCATTGGATACATCCACCGCGAGATTTTGACTGGTTTGTACATCTTGGGCGCATTCTGGCCCATTCTCAACGGAATATCCTTCCTTCGATCGCATTTACTCCTAAGCCTGACCTGGTTCGTGTCCTGCTTGGCGATGAGCACTTTCACACTTCTCCCTGCGATGAAGGTTGAGAGCATACCTCTCATGTAAGTCGAACGCTAGCGCTTGTTCCCGAGGTGATTAGTAACAAGACCAGTTTGGTCGGTGGCGCACTCATGATCGTTGTTGGTCTTGCGTACTTGATATTTGAAGACTACGTCCTGTCCGACTTTTCGTCGCCCAAGGCCAAGAAAGATCGCCTTCATACCAGCAGAGCTCTTCTTGGTGCACAGGTAGGGCTAGCCCGCTAAGCAGAAAGGAATAGGTGGACGATAACTAACATTGGCGATGATAAGATTGGATTGACTATTCTCTCGATGGTGGTTACCCAGACCACGGCTATGTCGCTCCAGGCCAAGCAAGGATTGCCGCGTGGCAATCAGATTGTAGGATGGATCGTCCTAGGTACGATAAGGCATGTCTACACAGTAATGACGGCGACTGACGAAGGACACTAGTTGTTTCCCTGCTAATGCCGCTGATGTATCGACTGCAACCCAACAAGCACTATATGCATCGCCTGGTCGTCATGTTCCTGACCTGCGCTCCCACTTTTGTCATTTTGACCATCTCTTATGAGAGTCTCTTCTATGTCGCATTCAGCATTACGCTCCTCACGTGGGTGCGTCTTGAGTACAGTGTTGCAGCTATGCAACCAAAGGAAACGAAGGTTGTGCCGGGGACATTTCGACCACTCCAATTGTCTGATGCGCGCGTGGCACTCTTTTTTCTGGTATTATTCCAGTCGGCATTTTTTAGCACTGGCAACGTGGCTTCAATATCGTCGTTCAGCCTGGACAGCGTTAACCGGTTGATTCCTGTGTTTGACCCCTTCTCACAGGGAGCGCTCCTTATCCTGAAGTTGATGATTCCGTTTGCGCTCATCTCGGCGAACCTGGGAGTGCTGAACAAGATGCTGGGAGTAGCACCGTCGGCATTGTTCATGGTGGTGCTAGCGGAGACGGATATTTTGACGCTGTACTTCTTCTGGGTGGTTAAGGACGAGGGATCGTGGCTGGAGATTGGCTCCACCATCAGTCACTTCGCCATTGCCAGCTTACTTTGCGTCTTCGTTGCGACTCTCGAGCTGGTGAGTGCCTTTTTCATTGCTGGCATCGAAGTAGAAGATGTGCGAGGTGAAAAGAAGGCCAATGGAGGGCCAGTGGCCGAACATGTCACGGTGAAGGCCAATGGCAAGGCGGCAAACAAAAACTAGTGGTCTGGGACATGATGGGAATATCCAAACAGTGTATATTCTGCCTATTTCCTTGGGACTAGACTCGGAGTTGGGCTATATAATGGACGATGAATTCTGTTACATGGAATGTCAAGACCGGCGACGATACCCCATGATGTACAAGATAAGTACGCTGTGATGCTTGGGTTGGATAGGGCTGAAGTGGTGAGGGTCCGGAAGATGGCCGTACATCCTTGTCAGGATGACATTGAGAATGAAATGGTTGGTGGTGGTTGAACTCCAAAGTCATGGCGTGTAAGGCGATCTTGCTACAGACTCAGCTTGCTGCGGGGAAGAAAGGGGTCAGTGGGTCAGATTCGCAACCTACTCCTTAAGTAAGTACATGGCAATTAGGCACCACGGACTGTCGGTGTCGCACCTGGCCAGGGGACTCGGAAGTGGTGTGGCCACTGGGGAAAAGCCGTTCAGTCACGGGTGAGGATAACGATGGTGATGACGGGTGAGGCGGAAACTCCAGGGTGTGGTCTCTTGCCCCAGAAGTCGTCAAACCTGAGCTGTGTGGATCAAATTTGAACGCGGGGCAAGTGCCTAATTTGGAGCACAGAAAGGCAGGTTGAGGTGTAGTTAACTGCTAGCGCTCCACAGATGTACCGCGTGGAAGGCGCCTTTCGTATTTGCATGTGAAAGCCGCTCGTGTTGGAGGACTTGCGCCCTCGTGCCTCGTACCATCCCGTCAGCCCCCAGGATTACGTCGTTGTCGGTCTCGATCCCGAGAAAGCAGGCGACCGATGATGCACAGTACCGGATGCATCCCGTGCAGGACAACCTGAATGTAAGAACCAACGAAAAGCAGCACGGGAGCCCATCTGATGATGTACTCGGGCTCCTGCCGGAACCGGCATTGCCGTTGACAAAAGCTGAGCGAGCATGCAGAGTGAAGAACGCTGACAGAACATGGAGTTCACTCGCAGTTTTGAGGGACTAGGCGACAGTGAAATGAGGTGTGGCAGGAGGGGGTGTGAGGGAATATCACGGGGTGATGAGCCCAGGTCCAGGTTGTACGTTCGTGAGTTACGTGCTGGGAAACACAAAGAGAGAGTTGATAAGACAAGCCGTTCTTTAAAGGTGCGACCTGTATCGAGCCAGAAACAACCATTGGAATATTGACCGAAGGTGCCTGGTAATAAAACAATGCCCATTTGCTCATCGTCGTGTTCCCATAGTGGACATCGTGGACATCGTGGACATCGTGGGGCGCTGCCCTGCCTGGCCCATCTCAAATATCAGATGTTGAAACGGAGATTTGCTGGGTTGTTAAAACTCCGTGTCAATTATTTACCTACGATGCTCCAGGTACGTACATGGTACTTAGTGCTCAGCATTCCAATCACCCGTCCGGCAAGCGGGGGGGGCTTGTTCCCCAGCTTTCCAGGATGCGATCCTCGAGCCTGTCGCTGCTGGGCTCATGCCCGCTTTTCCATATGCCTGCTTCCCGCTCCTCATCGGTCATGATGGATGGATGGACGGACAGTGGGTAATGCTACGTAGTAAGATGGGCATCGACCCCCTAACCCAGGCCCCGTGTAGGCCTAAACTCCCCTAGGCCGGATCCATGGATGGAAGCTAAACAGAACTGGGGCCTACCGCCGCCGCCGTCGTCGTTCCGCCATCCATGATGACCCTAGCACCAGCCAACCTCCAACTTCAACCTCCAACCACCAACGGCCCAACCAAGCCCGCCAAGGAGCCTCCGCCTTCCCCTTCCCCGATTCTCACATGTCATGCATGTGCCTTCGAAATTTCGACAATATGTCGATCCATCGGGACTCGCCCGCCCATCAGCCCTCTCACCCCACGCTGCCAAGCCAATGCTGCCAAGCCCGCCCGTCTCGCAGGACAGGCACGCCGCATCACGCGCACATCTCCAGTCGGTCTCCCAGGCTGCACTCTGGGGCGAAATCTGAATAATCTTGATGCAAAGGGAAACGGGGGAGTGGGGATTACCGCCACCATCATCTTCACTCCCGTCGACCCGAACCCCGGAGGAGGAGGCACAGCTCAACCCCCCCTCCCTGTGACCTCAGCCCAAGGGTAGCATGGAACGTCTTTGCTTTTGCCTCTTCTGCACTCCGTTTCTCACATTTGGCCCTTGTGCTACAATTGACTAGCTAAGACTCGACTCGACAACAAGCAACAGGTGTGAGGTGACTGTATCACATTGTTCCCATGCGCGCTCAATAACCAACAGGACTGCGTATCCGTATCTTGCACAATTGGCCTGGCTTGGCCTGGCGGGCACACGTCTCAGATGATGCCCCCCCTCCCCTCGGGGGCCGACCGTCCCTCGTCGTCCTCGGGGATTTCGGGGGTGGTGGGAGCTCCATCTGGTTTATAACTAACCTGCCCGCATCCCTGACACTCTCTCTTCTCTCTCAGTCCGGCCGCTAGACCTGCAACTTTCGCGTTTCGACCTGCAGCCCCGGTTGGTCTTTGAAGATTTGCCCTGGCCTGGGAAAACTGTCCGGACAGGCATGGGCTGAGGCTTGGGCTTACCTTACGTAGGTAGCTTATTAGCCGCGCTGCTTCTCTCACTTTACTTAACTTTCCCCTAAATCGGATCTGCATTTGTTGGACAAACATCCCTCTTCCTACACACAACACGCGCACGGCGTCCTCAAGAGAAGCGTCCAGTTTTCTGATACAACTCTGGGTCTGACGGAACGTGCGTGAACAGCAAAGACAAAGAACCGATACGCTCAAGTCTGCAGTACCACGTAGTACGTACCTCGTCACTGACGGCCTGGCCTGACATCAACCTTTTCCCTGCAGGTTCAAGCCATCTCAGGCCCACTCAACTCCACGGGGCTTGTGCGTTGTGCGGCAGAAGTCCCCACGGTAGGCCCGGAAAACGGACCCAGTTTGTCCTCCACCATCTCCGAGACTGCAGGTCATCTTTTTCGCAATCTGGAGCAGACGCTCCCGGCAGTCCCGTTGTCCAAACTCCGTTGGGTTAATCCCCCTTCCTCGAAGCCCTCTTTCTCCTCAAGACCCGAAAGCATTCTTTGGTTTTTTTGTTGTTCCCCGGGGAGTTATTCGGATCTTGCGCGCCTCCCTTCCGGCACACGCCCCGTCCCGACTGGTTCCCGCTGCCAGATTCGTCGTCTCCCCCGCGGCCACACGACTCCGCTCCGCTCCTTTCCCTTTCCCTGGCGGCGGCGTGCGCATTGCCAGCAGACGAGTTGGCTTTAGGCGCTGGCGTCGACCATCCATCCTCCCTCTAACCAACATATCTGCTGCTTCGCTTCCTAGGCGCCAGGAAGGCGAGGTGTTTGCCGAGCTTTGATTTCGAAAAACGAACGACGCGGGAAGGTGTCTGCCAGGAGGGTAGAGTGTACCTGCCAGTCTTGGTTGGCTGGACTGGCTGCTGCGCTGGTGCCTCCGTCTCTGGCCGCGCACGGCCAGATCGCGACGACGACTTCTCTTCCCCCTCACCCTCGATTTTCGTCTCAACACCCGCTCCGAGCCCGACTTCGGTAACGAACCGGTTCCATGGACGTGGAAATGTCGTCAGGCGACGGGTTGTCACAGGTACAACCCAATCCGCAACCCCAGGATCAAGCCCAGACGTCCACAACTGGCACTCCCACGCCGCCAGCGCCCAACACGGCGGCGTCAACCTCGGCAGGACAGCTGAGCTTCAGGAGGTATGTCGTCACACCCTCACGACCCCAGCGGCTGCGATGCGCTCCGAGAGGGAAAAGACAGAAGAAAACACATATCGTCATTGCGCAATCTCACTAACGCCTCCTGTTATTTACAAAGACAACGAGCATCACGCGCGTGCGAGGTATGCACCTTTCTTTTGAGCCTCTTACGTCGAATACCGTGCCATGGGACCCCCCGTTCCCCTCAACATGAGCCGAGGCACCGGCGGGCACCATCCCCAATCTACCTTCAGATCCACCAAACATGTCCACATCAACTATTGAATTGAGTGCTGACCACATGCCATCAGACCTGCCATGCCCGAAAGGTATTTCAATCCATTTACCCATCGTAACCGTCATCATTATCGCCATTGTCGTTCACAAATACCGACTGCTTCTCTGCCACCGCCTCTTAATGTTACTAACAAATACAGGTTCGTTGCGACGCGGCCAGCCTCGGTGTACCATGCACCAATTGTGTCGCCTTCCAGATCGAATGCCGCATCCCATCCCCGAAACGAAAGAAGCCCCAAGGTGCTGGCAACCAGACCGGCAAGGATTCTGACAGGTACAGCTCACTGCGCCGCTTTCATCCCATCTTGTCCTCGCCCTCGTGCTAACCACAATCCCGTCCACTTACAGCGATCGAGGTGACACCACTGAGGATCAGTCACCCCGTCCGACAGCTCCTCCACCCGCAGCATTCCCTCCGCGACCCCCATCCGTATTCCACTCTAACCATGGGACTCCCTCTACCGCGCAAACGGAGGCCCAGGTGAGGAAAGATGAGGTTGACAGTGCGACCTACCTTGACCTAGTGATGAAGCCAAAGTTCACCCGCGCCCCCATCACCGAAGCTGGCCGAGTCGCATACCTCGGCGAGTCGTCCAATCTTACCCTACTCGTCCATGACCGCCAAGGCTCAGCCGATGTCGTCCACTATCCGCTACCCGAGAACGTCCGTGGCTCACGAGCCCGACTCACCGAACTGGACAATGTCGAAATAGACATCCTCCATCAGAGGGGGGCCTTTCTCCTTCCACCGCGGTCCCTCTGCGACGAGCTCATCGAATCCTATTTCAGCTGGGTACACCCCATTATGCCCGTCATCAACCGCACCCGCTTCATGAGGCAGTATCGAGACCCCAAAAACCCGCCGTCGTTGTTGCTCCTCCAGTCCGTCTTGCTTGCAGGAACCCGTGCTTGCAACAACCCTCAACTTATGGATGCCAACGGTTCGACTACGCCTGCCGCACTTACCTTTTATAAACGGGCCAAGGCTCTTTACGATGCCAACTACGAGGACGACCGCGTTACCATCGTTCAGTCCCTGTTGTTGATGGGCTGGTACTGGGAGGGGCCGGAGGATGTCACCAAGAACGTCTTTTACTGGAGTCGTGTCGCCACTATTGTTGCCCAAGGCTCGGGTATGCATCGTTCCGTCGAGCAGTCGCAGTTGAGTAGGTCCGACAAAAGACTATGGAAACGCATTTGGTGGACGCTCTTCACCCGGGACAGGTCCGTCGCGGTCGCGCTTGGAAGGCCCATCCATATCAACCTAGACGATTCGGACGTGGAGATGTTGACAGAAGACGACTTCATCGAGGACGAAGCAGACCGTGCCAGCGAATATCCGCCCGACCCAGTCCACGTCCAGTTCTTCATGCAGTACGTCAAGCTTTGCGAAATCATGGGCCTCGTCTTGTCACAACAATACTCTGTGGCCTCGAAGGGGCGACAAAGAAACGCCATAGACCTTACCCACAGTGACATGGCTTTGGCCGATTGGCTCCAGAATTGTCCCAAGCTGGTGTATTGGGAGATGCCCCGGCACCACTTCTGGTCTGCGCTCCTCCACTCCCACTATTACACGACCTTGTGTCTTCTCCACCGAGCACACATGCCTCCAGGCGGGACATCGCGCTTCCCAGATCACTCACCTTATCCATCCCGCAACATTGCATTCCAGGCAGCCGCAATGATAACGTCCATTGTCGAGAACCTTGCCGCGCACGACCAACTACGCTACTGTCCGGCATTTGTCGTGTATAGCTTGTTCTCTGCTCTGATTATGCACGTCTACCAAATGAGATCGCCAGTGCCATCGATCCAACAAGTTACCCAAGACAGGCTCCGGAGTTGTATGCAAGCTATGCGGGAAATTTCAAAAGTTTGGCTAGTAGGCAAGATGGTGTATGCCCTCTTCGAATCCATCATCGGGAACAAGGTGCTCGAGGAACGGCTGCAAAAGGCTGAAGGCAAACGACATCGAAAGATGCGCCAGAGCCTTTCGCAGTTGGAACAACACAGTCGGCAATCGGAGGCCGGAAAGCGAAAATACGACGAGATGGCCATCGACTTCAGCACCACCACCCCACAACCGCAGGAATCCTACGAACGATCACGACCGCAAACTCCAAGCGCCGCTAAAAACGATCCATCGAGCACCATGCACCCACCGCCGGTGACATCGCCCAATGCACGACAGGGTGCGGCAGATACGTTTATGGGAGGAACAAATTCGCGGCCCCAGACCCGACCGGCAACACCTTTCAACCCGTCCTTCTCCGTGCCTCCCACCCCTCCAGACTTATACCTCGTGACAAGAAACTCTCCCAATCTGTCACAGTCTCTATGGGAGAACTTCCAGCCCGATCAGTTATTCCCGGACAGTGCGGCCATGCCAACTTTTCCAAACCTGTCTCCGGTCCAAACACATACTGGACTAGACCACAATAATATGGGAGCGGTACCGCCAGGGAACATGCAAAGCGGAATGCATGGGCAACCAACAGGTCAATTCCAGCAGAGAGGGCAAGGCAATGGGATGATGCCACAGGGCGTCCCGAATGCATTTCAGGGACAAGCCAATATCTGGCAACCGAACCTGGACAGCACGTTACCAGAAGGCGAGAGTCCCGACAGCTGGAGCACGGGTTCAGGGCAAGGCCAGACGGTTCCGACAACGCTCAATGTGGAGGATTGGTAAGTTTAAATCGAAGCAGTGGCTGGCGGAGCCTAGCTAACGGATCTTGCAGGTTTCAATTCTTTGGCATCAATGGCGATACCAACAACATCAATCTTGATATGCCTTTGGGTTAAGGAGGAAGCAAGCCTATCAACGAGAAGGGTTCAGTGGCCAAGGAACGGGTTGAGTCTCGGAACGCTGACTCAAAGGAGAAGAGAAATGGCAATGCCTGGCCAGGCTGGTTGTTCAAGAGTGTCTAAATCCGCGTTAGGGCCCCTGCAAGAGTCAGGCGAAAGGCTCATTTGGTCGCAACATGCATCGTTAGACCATCATACTCCGACACAGCATGTTACAGCTTTGGGTAGCCGGCCAGGAAATCTGGGGCGATATGGACTTTCGGGTTCTTGGCCGGCTCGGGAGTCTATGCCAGAAAGGCAGGCGATAATTGGACCAAGAGGGAAATACTAAAGATATTCATGGTGGATATTTACTGAGGAGTGAATTTAGAGTGATGTTGAGGGTGGTTTCGACGAAGGCTACTTGTCAGTTAGAAGGTGATTGATATCCATGGATGAATCTAGGGGGGAGGAAATGGGAGGACAAAGATATGACGTACTGACCCAGATTGTCAGTGCAACTAGATACAGGTGAGAGATAGGAACAACCAAGTGTCGTGCATTGATTACGCAGATAAATGAGGTGGCGCCTCATAGTGGGGGGCCCTTCTGTGCATAATGATTACTGGTATACTGTACTTGGTGCGTCGTGCGAATGATTGTCGCGGCTCAAACCCTGATCACTTTACCTAATTACTGACAATCTTTGTAAAGCAAGGTGGGTGCATGTTGAAAGGCCTTCCTACTACGTAGTACGCGCGCACACAGTGGTAAAAAGTTAGCCACAGTGATAGACCGGTGGAGGTAGCAAGACGATAACATGATGTAAAGAAGAATTTGGTAAGAAGGGTGACAAATTAACCTTAGACGCCGAGAATTTAAAGAATCAAAATGTTAAAAAAAGAAAAATATGCACGCAACTTGTGATATTTATGCGAGCCAGTTCCAGAAGTGCGTCGTCGTCATGCTCGGGCCGTCGGGGGCCTGGGAGGAAGCCGAGAGTATTCCATTTCATGGGGTGGAAGAAAGGAGCCTGGTGGGGTTGTTACATTTGGGGAGTGACTTGACCCATTACTTAGGGGACCACGGTAGCAGACATTGGGAGGTTCAGTGGGCTTCAGTGGGCATCAGCGGGCTTCAGTGGGCGGCAGTGGCGGGTTGGGTGGAGCCGACGTTCAAATGCCTGACGCTGAAGCCTCCCACGCCCCTGGTGGATAGGTACGTAGGTCAGCATGGAAGTCACAGGACTCCAACAAGACCCCCCTAAACCATGTCCACTGGCCAACTGGAAGCTGACGACAGAGGGGATGGGTAGCCAGACTCATCAGGGTGGTGGACCTTTAACTAGTTCAGCCTCCACGCGGCCTGCTGAGAGTTCCTCGACCCTCCATCACCCACCAAACAAGCTACTAACTAGAGCCTACGTGCGTGCTGTCTGCTCCCTGGTGCTTGGGTGGCTGCCCCTGTGCTGCTGCTGTCCCTTCCGCTGTCCCTACCGCTTTCCGCTTCCAGGTTTCCACTGCAGTGCTATTGTGCTATTACTGGACTCGGTCTATTCTGAACGCATCCGTCCTATCCCATCCCATTACCCTGTATCCCTCCATCCTGGATCCCCCCCAGCCATCCATACCTTGAGCTGACTGAGCTTGTGGGCTGCATGATTATCTGGCCCGCCGCCCGTCCTTGAATGCGCTGCACGCCCTGGCCTTTCACGGTGCCCGCTCCAAACCGCAACGACAGCGAGGAAACCTACCACGACGCCGCCAACGACGACCTTCGCCTCCTTCGACAATTCTGCCATCAATAAATGCACTAAGTCGCATTGCTGTGTCTATCTATATTGGCTTGGCTTGTCTTACTCATCATTCTCGCTCTTCCACCCCCCTGGTCGGCCCCCCCATCTTTTGACGTCGTCGCTGTGTCCTCTTTCTTCACCCCTTGGTTACTTCGCAGCACCGTCTAGCGTTGGATGACGACGGCGACGATACCGACAACAGCGCTGGTCGAAGCCACGCACTGATGCAAAGCCGCCGCCCGACTCGCGACCTTTGAGCGCTGTCGCCGAGTTGGCGGTCATCATGACCGACCCGAGACGCTCCGCCAGGCCCTCGCCGCACCGGTCCTCGTCGGCCCTGGCTCCTGCGTCCCGGTCATCAGATGCCAACCCCGTCCGCCCTCGCAATCGCCGTCTCCTCAGCACCGTCGACGATGATGACAGCACCCGTAACGACGAGCCAGGTCCCCGCGGCCGCATCAACGACTTCAACTCCTCCTCCTCAACCCCGACCGCCAGTTACGGCCTGCTCTCGGCCTTCAGCCCCGCCAACAGCCGCTCCACGAGCCCGCTTCCGTCCGCACGCTCCGGCGACGGCCCCAATCGCGGTGCGAACACAGCCAACTTGACAAACTTCTTCAATGACTCGTTATCCCAAAGCTGGGCTTCCGTTCAGGGCTTCGCTTCGTCCCTCATCGGTGACGATGCCCAGTCGCGCAGCGGGAGGTCTCAACCGAGCACCCGTGCTAGCTCTCGGCCGGGCACCTGGGGGAAGAGCCTCTCCGACAATGCTTCAAGGAAGGGCCTCGGTGCCTGGGGCCCGTCCCCCCCTCACAAGATACCCTCCATGGGTGATGTGGCAGCAGGCTCACAGGAAGAGAGGGAGTCTGCCCTCAAAGCTGCCAAGCGAGCGAAGGTTCTGGAGAGCCATGATGGTGTCAATGGGGGGTTGGACGTCACAGGCAAGCACAAACGCCGGAATTCTGATGAGATGGCTCCCGAACAGCCCCAGCTCGAAGAGTACCTTGTCTACATCCACAAGGTTCAACCCAACGACACCTATGCAGGGCTCATCTTGCGGTATCAATGCAGGGAAGACGCTTTCAGGAAGGCCAACGGGCTCTGGTCTCGAGACAGCGTCCAGATTCGAAAGTGGCTTACCGTCCCGGTTGATGCTTGCGAGGTCAGAGGTCGACCCTGCGAACCACCCTCATGGCACAACGGCCATGGTGTCGATCTCCTCGCGCAAACCCCTAGAGCCGACGAAACATCGAACTCCCAAGCACCCCACGACGACTTCTTCAGCCGACCCGTGAATGGGACCCCCACCGAGTCGAAACCTGCCGATGGAGAGGAAAAGCCATGGACGCATGTCCGCTGGGTTCAAATTGATTCGTTCCAACAACCTGTGGAGATCTGTCGGGTGGCCCGGAATGCCATGGGCTATTTCCCTCCTCGACGGAAGAAGAGCATACGCACCATTTCGACCTTCTCCACACCCCGGCAGAGCTTCGACCTCTCCAGCAACCCTCCTGCGTCGGTGGAAGGGACGCCTGCTCGCCGGCCGAGCTCCCTAAACCATCGACCCCAGTTCGCCAACTTACTCTCCAGCCCCGGCAAAGCGATCAGTGAGGGCGGCGAGTCGCTGCCCGCTTTCATGCGCCGGCCAGGTGGTGTGGGATCCATGGGTGCCAACGCACGCGCACCCGGCCCGGATAGGGACTACCTCACGACATGGACTAAGAAACATATCCCGGGACTGAACATTGAAGGTCTTCCCTCCATGTCAGTCATGGGTTCGGAAACAGCACAGTTTGGCTTCAAGCCTGAGACGGCAGAGCTGGTGGAGGGCCATATCGGCGAAGGGCACGATACCAATTCCACGACTCAGCAGGGAAATGGGCTAGACAAAGCTGCGGCTGCCGTTGAGACGTGGCTGAGAGGTGCTCTCACGAGAAACCCGAGTTTAAACCTGGCGGGCATACGAGGCCAGTTGGGGGGCGAGGGCGACCTAATAGAGTTGACAGACACGGGCAGCGATGATGGGAAGCCAGCCGGAGGAGCACCCTCCAGCATGATGGAGGCGCTATCACTCGGTAGCAGCGGTCGAAGTGACGGGACTGGGACTGTCCGGGGCAGAACAGCTGGATCTGGGGCCAAGAGAGGCAAGGATGATTGATGGATGGACGAAGTTGTGACGACAAGGCAGAGGGCAAAAGGCCGTCTGTTGGATTACCTTGGGAGCAATCCCCGGCCAATATCACGGCATACTTGGGTTCCGCAGTTGGATTGAGAATGATGGCGTTGATTGCTGGCGAGTAGCTGCGGCTGGCCTTGCACAGGAGTCTGTATGGTCAACCAGCACGGCCTGGAGCGAAAACATCCCCGATTCATCAGAATACTGGGACTTGAAGAGATGGAACCAAAGACAACTAACCAGTAGGACCTACATAGGTAGGCAGGGCTGTGCTGGAGACCTTTTTCTTTCTTTATTTGGGCGACAGGAAAGGTGGCTCCCGATATCCAATGCATAAATAAATAAGTATACCTGCCAGCCTACATTTAGAGAAAGCAGTAGCAGTATAGAATTCATTCAATAGACGTCAAATCAGCCGTGGTTTACAGTAACAGATGGATCCAAGATGATGGTTGGCCACCTGCGATAAGATAGTATCTCCAAGGAAGGTACCTATTAGACGACTGCCGAAGGTAACTTCTCGGCGCGCAACGCGACGTGCATGATGGTCCCCACGTCATTTGCACATGGTACATTCTGCTGCGTGGCCCACTCCGGGATTGGCGTCCCGCCCATACAGACACAGACATGATGCATGCTGCCAACCTCCCACTCGAATAATTCATGCTCCAATAGCACGCTCAGCAGCACGCTCAGCAGCACGCTCAGCAGCACCCAGCAGCACAAATGCCCATCTGCATTGAGTGTCGGCATCCCGTCAAGACGCTATGGACGCAGTACTCGGGCGCCGGTGACAAGGCCAGCGGCCACAACATCCGCCTGACCGTCTGTCGCAAGTGCGGCCGCTTCTGCGACAAGTACGTCGAGCATGACTTTGTCGTGCTGTTTATCGACCTGGTCCTCATTAAACCCCAGGTCAGCCACTTGCTCCTATCTTCTCTTCTGGTTGCAATCTTGGCTTGAGCTTGGGACTCGGTATTGACGTTGCTGGGACAGGTCTACCGCCATCTCCTACACAACACATTGATGCGCGATGGAGATCGTTTAGATGTACGTTTTCTTGCCATCGTCTTCCCCGCGTATTGGTGTCAACGAAGCGGTACTAACATGTGTGCCAACAAGCCCTCTGTCATCCGGCTCGGGATCCTGCTTCTACTATTCGACGTATACCTGACATGGGCGCGCCTCGAGAAGCAGACGGCGCCGGATGCTATACCCGGTGAGAGCAACCTGGGCAAGCTGGCGCAGCAACCCATTGTGCTCCAGTACATGTTCTTCCGTGAGTGTCACTTCTTCTCTCCCTTTGCAATCATCCCCTCGTGTCGTCGCTTCAGCTAACCGTGCCATACCCTGTGTCCTAGTCATATTCTGCGCCCTCTCAACCGCCGCCTTCCACGTCATCATCCGCTTCCTCACCTCGTCGCCCTTCTCTCCGCTACACCTTGTCGGCATCCTCCCGCGATACCCCCGACCAAACTCCGTATCTACCGCACTCCTCGTCTCCTCCTCCACCAAGCTGTTCCCCATCCTCATGGTCGTTTGGAAGTACGACGTCCCCGCCGCCGCTCGCTCCCTCGGTTGGGCCGTTGTGGCCAATAACGTCGAGGCGTTGCGCATACTTCTCGACTGCCGATACTACGTAGCCTGCCTACTGGCCATTGCGGGTGCCGCCGCACGCTGGGTCGTCGGCCGCGCTGTCCTGGGAGCCGCTGGACTGGCTGACGTTGACTCCATCGGCGAGAGCAGCGTGGCGGCGGATGGCAAGGCCCTGTGGGCGTTGTTGATGTATGCCAAGGAATGGGCCGGTCGTCTTGCTGTAGGATAATATACTGATCGAAGCTCGAGTGTTACGTCAGGGGGGCGAGGGGTAATCATGATTTGTAGAGCGTATTTCAGCAGTATAGCATAGGCGTCCAACTCCGGTTGTGAACAACACGATATCCGTGTGAAGAAAAAACAACAATGATATAGATTACAGCCATCCGTCTTTGCATCCCGTATCCACGAGCTTTCCCGTGCCCAAAGCATCCGTTCATATGTGTTCCTCCATCGTCTCCGTCACGTCCGTCTATTCGAGGAACGATTCTCGCAGGTCGCTTCGTCTCGGGTTGATCAGGGGGTTGAGCTGGGCGAGGAAGGTGAGAGCCCACATGAGGTAGCAGCTCACGATGGACAGGATGAGTGATGACCGCCACAGACTGCTCGAGGTGAAACGTTCGTGTTAGCTAGAAGCATTGATTGGCGAGCTTGCAAGGCCCGGGGAGAGGGAACAGGGAGGATAGAACTGACACCTGGTTTTCTCCCTTAGGGGCGAAGAACCATGACGCCGCGCACAGGGCGGCGATGACGACGAGGCCAATGAAGACGGCGTATCTGTATGCGTTGAAATCGATGTGTTAGCCATTTCCCACGCGTCCTTGGTGCGTGTCTGCGGCGCTTCGAGCTGGAGAGTGCCCGGCCGCGCGGAGCTGACATACCCTTGAGCCATGATGTGCGATTCCGTTTAGCAGAGATGCGTTAAAGGGCCTGTTCCCGGCCGGCAGGAGACGTTGAGTTCGGTCGTCGGGGCGCGTGGGCGATGCGATTCGATGCGATGCAATGGGAGCGGGTGGAATTATTGGAAGCTGTTCGGGAAGTACGTAGGTCCAGGGTCGGTTTGGACCTGCAAGTTGCATCACCTAGCAGCCAGCAACAGCTTGTGATGTGGCTTAGTCATCTGATGCTTGGCCAGGCAGGCGTCATTCATGAGCAATTTGCTACAGGGTAGCTGCCAAGCACCTCTATTGTTGGCTTACACTCATGGCTGACAGACATAGATATCCTTACTTTATGAGGTTCAATAACCATATTTCGCTTGCATCTTGGTTTTCTGTACTTCATATAGCATCAGGCTTCATTTTCAAACTTGAGACCCGCCTCCTTCCTCGCAGCCCCGTAAATCCCGGCAATGTCTCCCGATGGACCAGCGTGCTCCTTCAGCTGCGCCAGATGTGCATCTGCCGTCTCTACGTTCCGCAACCTTGCCCCAGCAGCTTCGGCCAGGCTCAGCGCATGCCGAGCATCCTTGCGGGCCAGATCCACTGCAAATAGCGGTTCTTCCCGTTTATAGTAGTCACCAGTGCGCATCCGCGTGCTGTACGCCGCGTATGGCCCCGGGAAGATGGCATCAACGAATTTCTGGATGGCGTCGGTCCCCAGACCAGACTTCTCAGCAACCACGTGCGCCTCTGCCAATTGCTCCACCATGTTGAGGATAAAAGTGTTGCCCAGTACTTTGAGAGTTAGCGCCTTGCCGTACGGCTCGTCGCTCAGGTCGATCTCGCCACGCGATGTGACACCCGTGAACCACGGCTTAGCGCGGGCGACGCTGGCTCGCGGCCCCGCGAGCACACCGACGAGTTGTCCAGCATCAGCCATAGCGGGGGCACCGAAGACGGGCGCAGCGACGAACTCAGCGCCCCGAGCCACCACTTCCTTGGCGATAGCCTCGGTTGTGTCTGGGTGGATGGTAGAGCTCTCAATGAAGAGCTTGCCGGTGATGTCGACTTCGAGGATCGTCTTGTAGAGCTCCTGGACTGCCTCGTCGTTGGCAATGCATGAGAAGATGACATCGGCGCGCGAAACGCCGTCAGCCACGGACTCGACTACCTCGGCCTTCCCCCCAGGCAGAGTGCTGGTAAACTCCACAGTCCGCTTGGTTGAACGGTTGTAGACTAGGAGGGGAGAGTCGAGATTACCCTTTTGGACAATGTTTCTGCTCATTCCCTGGTCACTGTTAGGTGCTGCAAATGGTTCATGGCGAATGTTGTATTACTCACCCTGCCCATATTACCCAGGCCGATCCACAGAAGCGTGGGAGCCATCGCTGCAAAAGATGAATAAACTGCGTGAAGTATCAAGGAGAGGGTAAGGCTGACTCTGAGTATGTTGTCCTATCACTGTCTTTGTTTCTGCAGCATGAGAAACGCAAAGACGGGACCTCTTTATATCACTCCGAGTTGACGTTGGGGATAGTTGTCGGACAAGGAGAATATCGGGATCTCGGCACGGTTGATGTCAATGCCGCGTCGTTGGATGCTGCTTAGAAATGCAGCCATCGCAAAACTTCTGGCGCAACCATGGAGCATCTCGATGGGCCAAGCTCCCCACCCCGGGATGGCGAAGCCGGACTAAACTATCGAGGGACGACACGCGATACCTCCATCTAAGACAAACTTTGAGGAATATGCTTTGCCATTATGCGCAAAGTATGAGCCCCAGTTATTCGATGAAACGCCCAATTCAATCAAATATTTACCACATGTCGTGTCATTGCCCAGCACAGAGATGGATCACCCATGAGGGTTGCGACGGCCTGGTGGGACAATTTGCCTCCATATCTACCCTGGACCCAACCCCGCGATGCCCCGTGCCATCGCCGATACGGCCGAGTCGTCGCATGCGCGAGGTACCATTTTGTGCTGTTACGGAGCTCACTACCCAAAAAGCAGTCATGACCCCCATGTAGTGACCACAATGGCGTTCTTCTAGCACCATTCTAGAGTCTAGTACAGCAGTAATTTAATCTAATTGACCCGTATTGACCCGCTCGCCCGCGAAAGACGCAGTGGTCCTTCTGCTTTCTGCTCTCTGCAGGGGCGAAACCGGCGTCCAAGCTCGGGCTTATCAGCTTATCGGAGCCCAAACCCACGCCTCGGCCCCTCCATCACAGCTTTCGTCGCCCTCCGCTAGGTACCCGAGCTCCTAGATGTGTCACTGGCTACCTCTATTGACTCACGACCCTGGCGGTCACGATTGTGTCCCCCACATGCAAACTACGACCCTCCACAGCCTCAAACTCGTTCCCTCCGCCAGTGATGTTTTTTAGCTAACGACAGTTTATCCCTCGGCCGCAGCACACTCAACTTCTCCTCCACTGTCTTCCGGGGCCGCTCATCGAACTTTCGTCAGTTGCGAGTGAGCCCGGAATGCGTCATCGCCCTCCGCCATGACTTGCACCCGTGTCTGGAAGAAGGCCTCAAGCTGCGGCCAATGTCTTCATCTTACCGAACCTCACCTTACCCGCGGACGGGCCCGCCTGCAAAGCTATTCCCGATGCCTGATTTCTGGAATTGCTCGCGGATATGCTTCCCAAGCGGGCAGCTCAAGCTCCAACTCACCATCTCGCCTCGGCTCCGGTGCCGCTCGCTACATGTCGGGAGCATCTGCTGCCCGCGCCAGAAAACGAGCTCTCGACCGCGTATGTTCTCCGATCCTATTGCTTAAGGAACACCCTATCTAACACTGCCGCAGGACTTCATCGTCTCCGTCCTGGAAGTCTCGGCAACCAAGCGAGACGCGAAGGGGTATTTACAAAAGTATGCGTCCGAGAACCCCAAGTCCCTGGCCGAGGCCCCTAAGTTCGTCCAGGGAGGCGAAGACCAGCAAACAACGTCGGATGTCCCTCAGCCACTGCATGTGGCTATCATGAAACTCCGAGCCCCGCAAGAGATCGACTCGGAGACCTTGCGCGGTGTCGGCAAGACACTGTCCCAGTTGCGCAAGCTTGGCCTGTCGAGCGTGGTTGTGGTCGACTGTGGCCTTGAGGAGAGTCGGTTGACTGCTCAAGACCAAGTCTTTCGGCTCTGTGACGCCATCGACGCTTATGGGGGACCGGGTACTAGGCTGGTCAAGGACATGTTTTCTCAACGGGCGCGGGTCTCAGACAGTTCGCCATCATTTCTCTCGGACGACATACAGCTTGAAGGCGGAGCCGTTCTCGAGAAGATTCTCCATGATGGGAAAATCCCAGTTATTCCATCTCTCGTTGCTCGCGATCTAATTTACTCGGCCCAGCCCGTGGACTCGAATAAGATCGTCCTGGCCCTCACAAGGTACTTTGCTGGATTGCAGTTCAGTGACCAGACAGAAACAGACGGACGAGATATCGAACGAGCCGGGCCCAACACGGTTGCTACGGTAGAGAGAATTATCCTGCTCGATCCATTGGGGGCTATCCCGGCTACTGGGCGTCGCGCCTGGCATCGATTCATAAACATCGAACAGGAGTATAGCTCCATTATGAAGGAGCTCATGGGCCCGGATGGATCTCCTCTCGCAGAGGCAAATCCTGCCAAGGTCTCTGTGACAGCTCATGCTGCTAATTTGAACTTGGCCAAGGATGCATTGGCTATGTTACCATCTACATCTTCGGCCCTTATTACAACTCCGTTTGCTGCAGCGAACACGCATACCCATAATTACGGGTCCTCAACATCCATCTCGTCTTTTGGTTTTGGGAACATGGTCACTACGAGGCGCAAGAAGAATCCTCTCATTCACAACCTACTGACGGACAAGCCGGTCTTCTCATCATCTTTGCCAGTTCCGCGTGCACACATGGGCGGCAAACCCCCTGATTCTGAGCTGATGAGCGTATCGACACTTCTTAAGAGAGGAATGCCTCTGACGATTTTCCCAGACCCGACCATCAGCCCATGGCGTCCACCTGTACCCGGAGGACCCAGGCTGCGGTTGACAGATAACTGTGTCGACTTGCCGCGACTGGTTCATCTGATTGAGGATTCGTTTGGCCGAAAGCTCGACGTAGAAGACTATTTGAACCGTGTTAATGACAACCTAGCGGGAATTATCATAGCTGGAGAGTACGAGGGCGGTGCCATTCTGACGTGGGAACGCCCTTCAGGTATGGATGAGCGGACAGCATATGAACAGGGTCGACTTGTGCCGTACTTGGATAAGTTTGCAGTCCTAAAGAAGAGCCAGGGCAGTGGGGGTGTGGCCGACGTCGTCTTCAACGCCATGGTCCGAGGCTGTTTCCCCGATGGAGTGTGCTGGAGGAGCCGGAAAGACAACCCGGTCAACAAGTGGTATTTCGAGCGATCCATCGGAACGGAGAAGCTGACGGGGTGCAACTGGACCATGTTCTGGACGACCGCAGGATTGCATTCTCATCACCCAAACCTTGTGGACTATGAATCTGTCTGTCGAGAAGTGGAACCATCATGGGCGGATAACAAGCACATATTGGATTGATATGAACTGAAAAGGGGAACGGGCAGGAAGAAAAAAAAGCAAAGGCGGCCGGGGAAAAGGGAAAAGAATGAATGAATGCTTCAGAAGGGGTTTATTACGATGTTAAGGATTGATTTACAGCGGGAGTTTTGGCTTGGTGCTCAAAAGTCAATGCAATAGACAAACAATGTTCCAGTGAAGAATGGAGACGCATGCCGCGTACTAAGATCTACACAATTTTCGTGGTTGGCTAGCATCCGCGTGCCCACCTGGTAATCACAGGTAGGGATTCATATTTCGCACTGATTGTTAGACGGTTTTCACATCGTGCTCCTCCTTACAATGCCGTACTTTTCGCAGGGACTCGTCATCACAGTGGCGCTGTTGGTTGAACTCTCGACACCGCATCACGTGAATCATAATGGAAGTTACGTCTTTCGGTACGTACAGCGAGACGGAAAAGACAACGAAGCTTGGGCCACCTGATCTTCATACTAGAGGTCTCCTGGACGCAAGGCCGCCAGCCCATGTCCCCCCTGGAACACCCGCCTGCAGCAGCCTAGCCAAGGAGCCCCCCTCCCCCCCAGTGCAGGAGCCCCAGGGCATTTCGCTTGTGACAACGTTCCCATATCAACGCTGACACGCCAAGGCCAAAACCAATCCTCCAGCTTGCATCATCCTCACCATCGCTCGCCCTTCTCCAACGCCTCAGTCCCAGCGCAAGCGCCATCTTCATCGCCATCTCGCTCACCTTCCAACCCATTCGTCCGTCAACGTAAATCCGTCGCCATGGATTTCGCAAGCTTCGGCAAGGGTATCTCGTAGGTGGCCCCCCTCCTAGAGCTCGCTCGGCGCCCAGATAGCTCGTGTTCCGAAGGTATTGCAATTCAACCTCATCGACGACTGACGCCGGCAACAGCAACTTTGGATCCCAGATCACCCCCTTTGCGTCGCGCACCTTCCAGTACACGAAGGAGCAGCTTGGCCAGGCCGAGGACAAGGTCCGTTGTATCGCGCACCCTCACTAGCGCGACTCCCGACTAACCTGCTCACCCTGCAGACCCAGCTCCCCCCCGACTACATTGACCTCGAGAAGCGCGTCGATGCCCTCAAGCAGGCCCACCAGAAGATGCTTGCCGTGACGTAAGTTAAGCATATACGGTCCCCCCTTTGCCTATCCGATAAGCTTACCGACCGTCCGCAGCTCGCAATACTCGAACGAGGCCTACGACTACCCCCCCAACATCAAGGAGACTTTCCAGGACCTTGGCCGCACCGTGAGCGAGAAAGTCCACCTCCTGTCCTCCGCTACATCCCCCGCTGAGGCTCAGGCTGCCCTGGTTGCTCCTCCTAGTGCCAAGCCTCAGCCCAAGACCTTCAGCCACGCCGTTGCTCGCGCCAGCTTGTCTAGCAGCCACCTGTTGCATCAGCGCCATACCGGTGCCGGCGAGGACCCCCTGGCTACCGCCCTTGAGAAGTATGCGTTGGCCTCGGAGCGTGTTGGTGAGGCTCGCCTTGCCCAGGACTCCCAAATCCAGAGCCGATTCCTCGCTGGCTGGAACACAACTCTCAACACCAACCTGACCTTTGCCACCCGCGCCCGCAAGAACGTCGAGAACTCCCGCCTTTCCCTCGATGCTGTCAAGGCTCACGCCAAGGGAACTACCTTCAAGCTTGGCACCGGCTCGAACACCGGTGATCATCCTGATGAGCACGAGCTCAGCCCCGAGGCCCAGGAGGAGATTGAGAAGGCCGAGGATGAGTTTGTGACACAGACTGAGGAGGCTGTTGGCGTCATGAAGAACGTGAGTTGAAGCAACGCCTCCCTCGTGAATCCAAATTGGACATTCCTCTGACTGATATTAGGTTCTTGATACCCCTGAGCCCCTCCGCAACCTGGCCGAGCTCATCGCCGCCCAAATCGAGTACCACAAGAAGGCCTACGAGGTGCTGAGCGAGCTCGCACCCGTCGTTGAGGGTCTGCAGACTGAGCAAGAAGTGGGTCGCGCCTCTGCCTTTTGAGTTCATTAACAAGGGGCTGACAATTTGCGCCTCCAGGCCACCTACCGAAAGAGTCGTGAGGAGGCTTCGTAAACACGGAACGACTAATCTTGTTCTTGTGTGAATGGCTCGTCTTTTGTCTGTCATTGTTTGAAATGTTGATGCTTCCGATCCGGCGAACCCGATGATCTGGCTGATTCAACTATTTTCTTGTCCCAGTGTTGCGTGTTGAGGGTGTCGAGATTCCAATTTATGTCTGCGGCAGGTCTCAAGGGTATTGTCTTGACTATTGATATATCGGCAATTCAAGATGCCAGGGGCTTTCCCTGTCCTTTGTGTGGTGCTCAGTCCACTGGAGTCATGATAATGTCTTGGAGGACATGACGCGCTGCGACTGCGTGTATGCACCTGGTGCATGTGTATGTTCATTTTGCCCATGCGGCGGGTTTGGATCCGTTAGAATAGATCACGCCTCGTGGTATCTCTGTGTATCTCTTTCCATCATCCAGGTTTTAGGGATGCGATTTTTTCCTTCCATGTTGGAATCCATCACTCCCCGCCATGCATGTATGATTCTTTCGCTGGAATGAGACTCAGCGCATGAGGCATAGGCAGGGTGTCTGTTGGATGGTTGTCCGGGATTTGTTCGTGAACCACGTGACATAACACGTGATGGGTAGACCGGCAATCCTGGGGCTGGAGTCCAATGAGGTCAATTCAATTTCCTCTGACCATCAACTTCCGATCCACGACGAAATATTGCCAATTGACCTCGCCAGCATGCGGCCGACAGCTCGTGTGTTTGCGCGCTACCTGGAGGCCGGCACGCCAACCGGCCTCACGGGTCTCTGGACTCACGGCACGCCCCGATCGACCCTTCTCTACTTGTACGGCACCACCCTGAGCAAACTCCAGACGATGCCCGAGACATCCATGTACCGCCAATCCGTCGAAGCCGTGACCAAGCACCGCATGTCCCTCGTCGAGCAGATGGTGCCCCCCGGATACGACCAGTGGGCCATCAAGGCCAAGGAGCTCGTGAGCCAGAACGCCGCGCAGTTCCGTGTCGCCAGTGGGCGGTTGGACGGCAGCGAGGCCCGGACGGTCAAGCTCGGCGACAAGATCTTCATTGTCGGCCGGAAGCACGAGGCCGGCGATATCCGAGTTGAGGAGTGGGACGGCGAGGCCAACGAGGGTGCCGAGCTGGAGGGCGCTCGAACTGCGGAAGAGCGAAAGGACCAGGCGCTCTGGGCGGAGCGCAAGTCTCTCGAGAACCATGAGCAGGTTGAGTGGGACGAGGAGCCTCAGTTGACGGCGGACCAGTGCGTTATACCCCCTTCGGAGAGACACGGTTGGTGCTGTGATTTCAAGTACTAATTCCCGCGGGGTAGGATCTCGGAGCTGGAGCACAAGATTGGCGCCGGCTTGATCGAAGAGGTCATCCAGGTTGCCGAGGGTGAGCTTAACCTCATTGACACTATGGAGAAGGCCAAGGTGTAAGTTACCCAACATTTGGACTTTGGGGGAAGATTATCGAGGCTGACGAGGGAATATTTAGCTGGGAGGACCTCGAAGATAAGCCCGTCGACGGCCAGTGGACCTACTTCGACCGAACCAACTAAGCGGCTGGGAGGATGAAACCTTTGTGTAAAAGTAGAAGGGTGCTGTGTATATACGCTACGCTGCTGATGGATTGATGGGTTGCTTGGGCCAATAGTGCAAAGTGACTTTCGAGTCTCAATTGGGTTCTTTGGGTTGAGCAAGTGATGTTTGGCCTCCTATACACGGATATGAGGATGTCTACAAGTCCACCTTTGAGCGCACACATCCCGTGAATGCATCCACTTCCTGAAGCGATAATGTCTTGATGTTGATTGATGTTGATTATTTAAAACTTGATTCTCTGCTATTGGTCGCTCTCATGCACCTCCTGTCTGGAGACCTGCCTCTTGGGAAAACAACTCAGTGCCTGCCGTCGGTGAACCCAGCTCACTCATTCATTTTTGGTGGGGCACTCAGCTGCACTTCTTCTCGTAGAACAACCACTTTTTAACATCTACTTCGTTCTTCATCACCAACGCAACACAACCATGTCTCTCCTAGAACCGCCGTTGTTCTCGCAGCAGAGCAGACACGGAAAGCGCAAGCGGCTTTCCACAGCCAGCGAAGAGCCCAGTAGCAGCATTTCCCGGCCTGCCCACCTCCCCCATGACTCCATCAACCCACTGAGCCACCCCCCCGGAATGGTCCACCAGTTCGCCACCGCTGGTCTCACAGAGATGGATGAAGACCCATCGCAGCTCGTCCCGGATTTTCCACACCGGAGTCTGAGGCCCGGCGCCCCAGGCCGCAACGTCGAGCCGGACAGCGAGGCCGATGAGCCCGAGGCCGATGAAAACGGCAAGGCGTCGGGAGGGAAGAAGAAGAAGACAACGACCCGGGAGCGCGGGAGAGGTGGCCATTACGAGGTTCTGCTTCAGTCAGTTCATCAGTTTCTTGACCAAGGCGACATCGACAAGGCCGCGCGAGGCTACGGCCTGCTCCTGCAGCTGCGACCTGGCGGCATGCCCGTGGATGTCCGGCGGCACAGTTTATGGGCCATCGGGGCGGAAATCCTCATGCGGCAGGGCGAGCAGCCTATTGTTGACGGAGAAGCCACCGACGACGATGACCATCTGAGCGCCACGCTTGGGGGACTCAGGAGATGGGGACGAGCGGCCAACATGAACAAGGTCAAGGCATACTTCGATACCTTGACCCAGCAGCATCCCTACGACTATAAGCATCCGCGCGCCGTCTGCGCAGTGGACTTTTGGGTGGCCATGCTTAGCTGTGAAATCTACAACGCGCACACAGAGCACATCCTGGCTCTCGACCGCACCGTGAGCGCCACACTAGATGAGTCTCCTCAGTCCTTTGGAGCAGACGACAGCTTCGGGAGCGAGGAGCCCGAGGAACGCGAGGCACAATTGCAGCGGAGGAAAGAGGAGCTTCGTCTACAGGCTTTGGCCACCATGAGAGCCATCACAAAAAAGATGGACACAGTCATGCAGGACTTGCCCTATTCAAGGAATCATCAACTGCTCCGGCTGCGCGCCATGGCATCGCTCTACGTCGCAGACTTGGTTGTGCCCGTCGGAGATATCTCGTCTCAAAATATCCAAAACGCTCAGCGTGCGAGGGATATGGAGCAACAAGTAGCCAGGGATGCCCTCATGGAGATTGTAAACAACGGAGGCGAACACGACCAGGCTGCCCTGGCCGTCCTTTATCCTGCAGACGAGGGTGAGAGAGATCCCACTATGCCGTTATATTCATCCCTTCCCATCCGCGGGTTATAGATACAGTTCATTCCATCACTATTGCTCTTTCGGGGGCTCTTTCCGGGGTTCCTTCAGGGGCTCAACTGTCTTTGCTGGGGCCTTTTTCGCCCAGCGTTGCAATATGAGCGCCGTGTTGGAGCTTCCTACGATAACACACCATTCACCTCCTGGACTCCACGCGGCCTGCCGTCCGACAAAGTTGGCCGAGGAAGACTCAGTCTTGTGCGCTCTGAGAGGCTCATGGGCATCTTCTAGGCTGTATTTAGACGTCCACGACTCCATGGTCTCCGCATTGAATTCTTTGACATCCTCAGTCATCTTAGGTATCTCATCAGCCAGCCCTAAGGCAGGGGAGCCTTTTTCGACTGCGACGGATCGGGGTTTCCCTGTCGCCTCCCCTTTCTGACGGTGTTGTAGCGGACGAAGCCAAGAAGGACGCGGAGGGATGCCCTTGGTAGGGTCATGGTTTCGAAGTGCCTTCATGAAGTCGCTGTACACCGTCAATCGCTTAAAGTCCCAGAAGAAGATATTGCCACCAGCATTACAAAATGCAAGTACGGGATGCTGACCCGGCACGAAGTGCAGCTTGAAGCGCATAAAGAACTGTGGACCGCAGTTAGGGGTATGGAAGTCTAGCACTCGGGTGTACTGTGCCGGGCATTGCGGGGATATGGTCGGAACAAAGGCAGAGCGGGTCAAGCGGCCGGCCTCGTCATAGTTGGTAGGGACAATATTTTGAGGAGTTGGGGCAATGCTCTGGGCTGGTGGCGGACCATCGGAGGAGAAGCCTTCGATCCTCCACAGTGAGATGACATTGTCGTGACAGGCTCGCGACAGGATCTGATCTCCGTAGAAGGCGACGCTGTGCGTTTGTTAGCGCTAGCGTCCTAAATACAATACCAAGATGAAGGCTAGCACATACCAATCAACAATACCGCTGTGTACGGCTGATGTTGAGAAGTGAGGATAGTGAACACGGATAGGGGTAGTGATAGGCTCAGTGGGAAGATCGGGCAGAGTCCACTGATCAACGTTAGTGTCCATGTATTCCAAGGAACCTGCCAGAGAAATTACCAAGTTGATGATTTGATCGTGGCCGGCCGAGAGGATGTACCGGCCAGTGTCATGGAACGCCTGGAGAGGTGTGTGTGAGCGGTTTGAAGGAGTCGTTCGTGGTTGAGGGCAAGTACAACAGATACTTACCACGCTGAGGAGGTTCCAGGAATGACCCTCGCCGGCTAGAATGCATAAGCAAGGCCGTTCTTTGTGCTTAGGGTCAATGCTCCAGATGCGGACACTTGTGTCGTCCGATGCCGAAGCAATAATGGATGGGTCAGACGGGGAAGTTGCCAAGTCGTTGACATCCTGGATATAATGAGTTGAGGCCCGACATAGATTAGGGCTGTAGACTAAGTGGGCTTACACTTCCATGACCAGTAAAACACTTGATGTAAATGATGTTAAGCCGTTGAATAAGTTGATAAGTAATTGGAGATGGAACATACCTTGAACAGCTTGCCGTCTATAACATCATAAATCTTGACCTTGGCATCGACACCGCCAATACATATCAGAGGCCGTTCAGTTACGGGGTCTCTGGTCCATGTGCAACAACAGGCTGATGCCTCAACCTTTTAACGATGAATGAGCTTGACAATCAAACGACACAATTAAATCAGCGGGCCGTGGTTGCACATACGTCGTCATCTCTGATGACACTAACAATCTCGCAAGGGTTGGCATCTCCGGAGCTTTGGGATAGCCTACATATAACAACCTATGGGAAGTAAAAAGATCAGTCCTCGGAATGGATGGCTGGGTGTAATAACACTAACATGTTTCTTGCTTACGGCAGCGAATATTGGATCACAGTCTAAGGGCTGATAGGGACAGAACTTGACATCGAAGAACTCTGGTAAAAAAGGAGGAAACAGAGTTAGTAGGTACTTTGTGAGGCGAAGTTGGTTAATGCAGTTGGAGTGGTCGAGAGTCCAAGGAGGATAAAATGGGGGGGAGTTACCGGCGACGTTGTCATCATTGTCGAGGAACCCAGTATCGTTCTACACATTGGCCGTTAGTCAAGCAACGAGTGAAGGGCATTCATAGTAATTGGAGGGAGTACCTCGAAGCCGAAGGAGACTCGCAGCCTGGGGAGCTCAGAGGCAATGTCGTCATAGGTCGTCATGTCGGCAGTTAGGTGAGCGGCTGTGACTGGTGGCAAGGCTTTGAGATCGGGAGCTGATTCGAGTGGGTGTCATGGAATGTATTGGAACAGGGTTGAACCGAATTGAGTGTATTGGATTGATTGCTTTTTGCCGGTCACGGCCGCTGAATCCTGAATCCTTGTGTTGGTGGCGGTGTCTGTGAGAATGCTCTTGATCGTCACTCCCGAGAGCGGCTGAGCGCGAAGGACGCAGGCTAAGCCACACGCGTACGGACGCAGCGCTGGACAAAGCCGGCGTCTACTGTAGGCCTGTCTTGTCAAGACCTGGAAGGGGGTGGCGTTGGCGACGCGTTGGCAGTGGATGGCGCAAGTATAAGCAACGGGATGAGGATGTGTAGCTGGTGTGTTTGGATATTCTCGTGAGCCAAAGTGGGTATGTAGGTATGTGGGCAGGTAGGTATGTGGGCCTAGGAGCGGGAAAGGGTTCCAGCGCTCTGTCCCAGTCAGGGGCACTGTAACCCCAGCGGGCAGGCGCTAATTGTCCGGTCTACGAGGTCTAGCGCATAATCCCCAAGTATTGGCCAGGCAGGTAGGTACCTGCCACTTCACACACCCTCCGTCCCCCAAGCCTCGGGTGTCCGACCTAAATTCAACTACGAGTCGAGTGTTACATTCCAGCTCTCTTTCGCTTTGCGTTCCATGGCAGATGCCACAAAATATCAACACCTTGGTCGAGAAGCCAGATGTTGCGACTGGAACTGGAAAGCAAAACTAGCCTTTTTGGACGGTATAGACATAGCGCATTCCGAGAGAAGCCGGGCGCTATGCTATTCATGGGGATTGACCAGGTACATGGAAACCAGGATTGACGACTCGATCTGAGCTCGATCTCCGCAGAAGATTACTGCACGGGCATCGAAGCTGGCTGTGCCCTATCAGGTTGGCCCAGGAGATAAATGTTCTCACTCTTTGTCGATGCCCTGGGGCCAGGAGGGCCACATGGACCAGGCTGAGACAAAGACCGGGCCTGGAGGAGGCCTGCAACTAAGAAGCAAAGCTGCAGGCTGTTTGATGTGTCCACACACGATGCATACTACGTGCCCACCCAGAGGAGCATACTGTGTCAGTAAGATATGGGTGATCCTGGAGTCTTTGGATGCAGCAGGGGTGTTTTGTCATGGCGCTCTGAGCTGTGATGTGACGTGCTCTTGACTGTGCATGATCTGGCCTGGTCTGATCTGTCCTAGCCTCCGAGGTCTCTGGGATGTGGATGCGGAAGGCTCCCGATCTACAATGATGATGGGTGCCTGCTTCATCTCACATTGTTACATCCCAGGTGTGACGGGAAGAGGCAGCTTTCCTTCTCCCATGAGGAGTGAGTGAAGCCGGAAAGGCAAGGCGACAATGACATATCGGTCCCATTCTCTCTGATCACACACAAGTTCCGTTGCTTCCTCGGTCTTATTCGCTTCTTTTCCAGTGGCGCTTTTCGATGGACAGCAACACAGTCGAGACCATGCCGTCGCGCCCCTCCACCATTGTGAATGGTTCACTTGAATTACACTTGATCCTAAGAGCTGAAAGTGCCTGGCCGAGGTACCAATGCGCTTCTACAATCTATTTTCGGCCTTTATTTAGTCTTGCATTGACCACTGACTTTGTGGTTTTCGAGCCTTGTTCCGTCAAGGGCAGATAGATGCTTGCTTGGCCCGAGGGGGTCCACGGACATTGACTGGCCCCCATCGCATCAACATCCTAGCAGTCGATCATTACGGGATTGACCACGTCCCGGACTCTCAGTGGGCCTTTGGAGAGACACTGATCGAAACAGGACGTCAGGTGCTGAAACTAAGTACTTAGTCGTGGAAATATCTTCTCGATCTGGGCCATTGCCACCTCCCTGAAGGAAGATGAAGGTAGGGAGGTGGAGCTGTTGTGGTTGACCGCCCAACGGTATGTCGTCCCGATTGACACGGTCTGGGAGCTTTTAAACACAGCCTGCTTCTATCCGTTCACCATGTGGCTTGCCGGACGGGACCAGCCACCGGTCCACCGAGATGTGCCTGTTGGAGTGATGACCGACATGGGATTTTGAACGAACAGGGTGTCGCCGGTTAGGGTATTCAGGTGATTTCGGTGTGAGGTGCTGGGAGGTCAATGGAGTTGCTTCCAAGTCCACCGAGTCCACCCTCTACCCCGCAAGGCGTCGGGTGCAATGACTTCCGTCTCCACAATCGTGCGCCTACAGACTAGTGGTGACTTATCAAGACCCGGTCTAGGGGATGAAGATGATATACGACAGAATGTACGACTATGCATGTGCGTGGAAAGCATGGGCAGCGTTAGCAGGGCGTGGTCCATGGCCACGGGAAAGTCCTGGCTACCCCATGATCCTATGGACGGAATCACCCGCCCGAGATCCAGAAAAGCCATTCCTGCGCTGACCTGCCCTCATACGGTTTACCATAAGTGTCGCGCCTCATTACGGCCACTCCGGCCAATACGGACGGGAACTGGCGGCTAGAGCTAATTGCTTTCTCCCAAACCATTACTCCGTATTCCCGGGGCGAATTGATAACTATGGCTGTTGATCACCTCACCTATCCTTCTCCGAAGATTCGCACAGTGCCCCTCATCACATCGCTCGGGAACATCATTCCTTACATGACCTCGATTGCCACATCTTCCCTCAACCGCCCTCATCGTGATTGCCTACCCCCACGAATAACCGCTACAAAAGAAAAACCAGCTCTTGGCCATCACTCACCAAAGTCTTGCTGTGCTTTCCTTTCTTTTCTTTCTTTCCCTTTTGGTAAGTGCGCCGTCAGCCTGATTTTTCGCCTGCCCCGGTCAACCTGTCAGTTGGTCGGTTTCGTTATTAGTTTTGCTTTTTTGAGACACGATCCTCTCAGCTCTCTCTTGGCGCTCCCTCCCCCTCCTCGGCTCGAGGATGCTTGCTGCAGGTTGGCATCAATTCGAATGGAGTAAACCCTGAAGGCGCGTCCGAAAAATTTCGGGGACTCTATTTGGATGTATTCTTGTGCTCCTGGGGTTGGGCGTGGTACTGGACAGCCCGTACCTATCGTCCTGCGGGTATCCTGCCTTGGTGCGATGTGCATGGGGATCAACGCCGACTGTGGAACCTCGCTAACCGGCGACCCTGCCGCCGAGTCTTACATGGTACCTCGAGGACAGGTACATTGAGCCTCTTCTCCGCCAAAGCTGTGCCTGTCCCATGTCATTGTTGACTCGGACGAAGTACGCAGCACGAATGAACTACCTTGGAGCTACGGCGTCTGATTGTCTGATTGTCTGGGGCGAGGCGGCGAGGGGAGACAGGGAGGGAGGAGGTGTGCGACCTGCAGTTTGCCCTGTCCTGCACAATCCCGCAACCACAATCTCGCTCGAGTCCCCGTTTCGTCACCGGCTTTTTTCCTCTAACTACCTACTTACCTCTTCTTCCTTTTGTCGTCGATGGAGCTTGTCCATTCATACTTCCCTCAGCTTTTGCCATTCGCTGGGTCTGTCTCAACACCCCCTCATCTCATACTTCACGAGTGCCCTTATCTCTGGCACAGAGTGTCCGGAGCTACGCATTTGCCGAGACACGGTTCAGCCAGGCTCCATCTGTGGTCCAACATACTACGTATACCTGGTCGAACTGACCTGGTTTCCCTTTTAGCTTCATCCCCATCCACCGCACGCCAGCAGCCAACCGCCAGCAACCGCCAACCACCAACCACCAACCTCCCGCACCGCCACTGATCACTAATCTCCCCCAGCCCTTATTGCACCAGGTGCCATTGGTGCCGCTGGTGTCCTTTAGGCGAATTTTGGCACTCTCCCGCGCCTCCCGGGGTCATCGGCTACCGCTACCACGACCGCTACCGCCCCCTGCCACCCGCTGTACCTACGTTCCTAGTGCGCACAGCGCTTAGCCTAGGTACACGGAAGTAAAGACGGCTCACCTGAGCGAGCTGTCACTTCACATCGGCCTGGAGCTCGAGATAGCTTCAACCTTCATACCCACTTACACCAAACCTCTTCCTACATCTGCTATCGGTACTGCCACTTCATGTTCGCACCGTGTCTGTCCTCGGACTCCCCTTTCCAATCTATCAACCGGCCGCTTGATCACTCCGTCGGCATTGCTAGGCAGTTTGGCCTCATCTGAAGCAGCTCTCGTCGCGCTTTTCTCCCTTGAAGCTGCTTCCTCTCCGCCAATCCAATGGAGCAGACATTCATGACAATACACAGTGAGCTTCCGGTTCCTCGGGCAATCAAATACCGTGTTTCTGACCCACTCTCCATCAAGACTTGACTCCGGATGCCAATATCCTGTACGCGTCCGAGTCCATCGTTGACATCCTCGGCTACGCTCCCCGAGAGGTCCTCGGCAGGTCCAGCTTTGACTACTTTCATCCGGATGAGGTGCCATTCGCTCGCTCCGTCCATTGTCGCGGTGTTCTTCTCGACAAGGCTGCGGTTCTTCACTATGCCCGCATCCTCTCTCGCGATGGCCGCTGGGTAAGCTGCGAGTGCTGCTTTACCATCGTGCACGATGTTCTGGTTGCTTGCACTAGCATCTATCGGCGCGGCGAGAGGAGTGAGAGTATGTCATTCTATGGGCTGAATTCTATCGGAGCCCACCCTGCTCTGTCTTAAATCCGCCGAAGCTTACTTTATGTATAGGACGCGCCATTGAGGCACCCCAGATTCGCCGTCTCTTCTCCTGCTCGCCTAGAGACCCGCGCTACCACATGCTGGAGCATCTTTCTCCCAAATTCAAGATGCCTCCCGTGGAGCGCGAGCCTCGAGCTGCTCTCATTCTGAATCGCTTCACCCGAACTCTCTCAGTCATGTTTGCAACTGAGGCTGTCAATTCCATCCTGGGCGTGTCGGCTGAGCAAGTCCTTCATAAGAGTTTCTACGAGTGCATTCGGGAAACCTCCTTGGATGATGCTTTCAATTGTCTTGAGAGCGCAAAGGCCAACGACTCCATTGCTTACCTTCGATTCTGGTCCAGGGATCCCCGCCGGGAAGAGGACTTCGAGAACGATGAGAGCGAGAACGACGGCGATGATGACGAAGACGCAGAGGGGGAGGAGGAGGAGGACGCCGACGAGGAAGACGAAAGGGACGGACCTCAAATGGACCTACAGAATGTCGAAGCGCGGAATGAAGGACGACAGTCTGTAAAGGGGGACCACGTACCAGAAAGTCGACGTTCGAGCGATTCCGAAGGAGGGGGTGTTAAGTTGGACATCGGTATGGATATCGACTCACACCGGAAACCCAGCCCACCAATCAAGACCGAACCAGATATCGAAATGACGGACGGGATACATTGCCTATCGGAACCATCCATGGCTTCACGAACAGAAAGCTCAGCATCTCTTACATCCGCCTCCGTTGCCACTCACGTACACACTTCTATTTCGTGGGAGTCTTCAACGACTGAAGGCCCTTTCGAACCCCATCCTTTGAGGAGGTGTCGCCGCAGAAGACGACAATTAGCCCCCTCCGTTGAGATAGAGGCTGTTGTATCGTGCACATCTGATGGCCTTGTCGTCATTCTCCGCCGAGCGAGGCCACAGATACCAAATCTCCACCCTCCTCTCGTTCCATCCGGGTTTGATAACGGCCTGTTTGCGGCGCCTTGGGGGCAGCGGCCCATTCAACCTCAGTGGTCGCCTGAGCTTTTGTACACCTTTCGACCCCCACTTTTGCCTCAGAACATGCCGCTACGAGAAAACATCATAGCTGCTGGTGGTCCGCCCATCGATCAACTCATGAGTTCGATCCGAGATGTCGCCGTATTTGCTTGGGCTCTTGTGGGAATCAACGGGAAAATGGCGTCGTACAGCCGTGGCCTCCCGATGGGCGAGGCACAACCCCCGGATGGCCTCCCTATTTGGGATCCTAGTATGGCACAATCAACATACCTAGGACCCGAGAACCAAGCTGCTCAACGCTGGATGAGCCATGAGGACCCCAACGAATCATCACTCCGACGCGCCGAGCCATTTTCCACGGAGTTTTCGACGGAGCGACCAATCGACAACAGTCTACTTTTACCAGAACACGAAAATTATTCTTTCGGGAACGGAAGCCAGTGGTTGTTTCAGAGACCGTCACAAGTGCAGTCATCATCTTACACACCCCATCACACATATAACCCAAATCTTAATAATGAAGGCCAACTGCGTTCCCGCCAGGGGATTCCATTTGATCAAAGGGCTGGTGTCACACCTCAGTCAACAGGCGAATGGAATGGGACAACGAATACCACGGGGACCCATCAGCTGCCTCCAGAGGCAGGAGAAGAACCTCAGCACCCTCGGCACAATTGGTACGCCTGACAGACTGGTGTACCCGCTTGGTACATGCACCGTAAATCGTAATAGAAGAGGAGGATCAAAAATTGATGAGCAATAAGGGGCGATTATTTGGATTCCGGGGCTTATCACGAAGCTTGGTAAAGGACATGGCCAAATAGCATATTAAGCGTTCATCTTGTAATGGCCTCGACGATAGGTCTGAGATACCCATGATGCTACTAGCGACAGCAACATGACATGAGATATTTTTCTTCTTCTTCAAGCTGCATAACCAAACTGGCGGGATTTATGAATGCTTGCAATGCTCAAGATGGTGAACTTTACTGCCTCTGTTTTATTCAACATTCCAAGCTGTGAGGGATGGAATGAAGCAATGGTACGTACCTGGCTGTATCATTGTATCCCATTTGGGTGCCGGGGTCCATGTGATTGGCTGTGGCCAATGAGAAGCTTGGACCACATCTGGTCAAGGGGGCTTGGAGAGGCAACCGTGGAAGTTTCGCATCCGAGCAAGGTCAAGATACGTCAGCTTCAGCTTCGTGCTTCAACAACCTCACCTCTCCATCAAACCACAGCCCTGCATTGCGCGACCGGAAAGAGCGGCAGGGAGCGAACCGGATCGAATAACTGACGAACCCGATATCCAAGACGTACCCGAACGCGCACCGTGTCAACCGCCCCGCGGTAGCTCTTCAGAACCATGTCGTCCAGTGCTCGAGGCCACTATGAGAATCCACCCTTGGACGATGACGACTTGATGATCGACCCCGATGATGGTATGTTGAGGTGTATGCGATCTGTCTTATGATCGTCTTTGTGCTTCCTCTGGACGGTGCGAAACTAACGCAGCGTAGCCGATCTCAACGACTTCGATGATCCCCTCGGAAACCAGTCCTCGCGACAGCCCCTGACGGGCAACATCGGCTCCAGCTCATCCTCGCAGCCGGCCAACGAAGGCTATCTGACCTCCCGAATTCCCGGTGAAGACCGACAGGCGCCCCTGAACACAATTGACGAATCGGTATGGGAGACGTTGCGTCGCGATCTGCTGGCCGTCTGGGCCAAGCTGCGGGAGGTGCTCTACCCACGCTACCTCCTGGGTGGCACCATGTTCGACTCCGAGGGAGGCATCCGAGGAGCCTATTCGAACATCCGCGGGGCTGGCATTTCCGGAACGAGGGAAGAACTCACAGGACTGGCTAGCCGCATGATGGATGCCGAGACCCTGCTCCAGAGCAACATGACGCCTGGCTTGCGAGACTGGGATCTTTGGGGCCCTCTCATCTTCTGCCTGCTCTTGAGTCTTCTCCTGAGCTTTACGGCTGGTGCTGAGCAGAGGGATCATGTATTCAGCGGTGTTTTCGCCATGATCTGGCTCGGTGAGGCTGTGGTGACGCTTCAGATTAAGCTGTTGGGAGGCAACATGTTCGTACCCACTCTATCCCTCACATGGCTGCTGCAATCACTAACTGTACCATAGCTCCTTTGCCCAGAGCGTTTGCATTATTGGCTACACCCTGTTCCCCTTGGTTCTCGCGGCACTCATGTCGGCACTTGGATTGCACTGGATTGCCCGGATACCCGTCTACATTGTCCTGATTGCGTGGTCGCTTGCCGCCGGAGTTAGCATCCTGGGTGGCAGTGGCGTTGTCAAGAACCGCGTGGCCATTGCGGTCTACCCGCTGCTCGTCTTCTACTTGGGCCTGGGCTGCTTGTGCTTCATCAGCTAAGTAGGCGGCAGATTAATTTCCGGGGAGAGGTCCCATGAGACGCAATAACGGGACGGCAGCCCTGGTCCACGGGTGGGCACCTAACGGGACAGGCTGGGCCGCTGTATTTCTATGTTGAACACACTAGTGTTTCTACTGCACAACTGTATCTTGGGCAGGACGGAGCTCATATGATATCGCCTGGGTTTTTTCTTTCTTAGTTGCCTACGAAACTGTACATATGTTTGTATCTTTAGAATCTGAACACGGCTGGGTTTTGATTTCACAGCTGATATATATATGTGTTGCTATTGTGAAGTGGTTTGGCGGAAATGAAGAATGCCGTCTAATCTTGCAGCAGAAATGCAATGACACCGGGCCGAGGAGGCTGATGAACCACATGCGTGTCTGAGCGGGCGGTCCACCAGTTCACACCGCCCTGTTGGCCCCAATCATCCCTGCTGCAGCATCTTCGGTCGCGATGTTCCATGGAGGGTATATGGCTCGAGAATGCGGGTACGGTTGGTCATAGGTCAGTAGTTGCGGGATGTACGAATACTTGTGTTGAAGGAAGTGAGTGGTGGGTGGATGGCTGTGAATGCGCCAAGGAAGAAGCAAGGCAAGTAAAGGTACCTACTACGAAGTGATAAGTGCCCTAATTAACACAACCGGCTCGCTTACACCAATACAATACGCGTTGTTCATTTGCCCCCCCTGCTGTTGGCGGTTTCATGCCCAGACAAAGAAACAAAACGACTGCTGCGCCGTCTGTCATTTCTGAGCCTGTCATTTCTGGCTCTGGCTCTGCGCTCTCTGGGCCAAGTGCTAATTTACCCCTCCTTCAGGCGTGGACCCAATAGCGTGGGCGGTGAAGGTTAAGTGAATTTGACGTCTGCGGCTGTTCCGTCTTGATTGGAGGAGCGCAGGCGGCGCCAGTGCCCTCAGCCGCTGGCGCTGGACGCTGGGCGGGCTCAGTCTTTTGTTCCTGAGCCCAGCGACGAAACGAGGCACGAGCGAGCGACAAACAGCGACAACCAACGCCAACTCAACAAAGTCGAGTCGCCAGAGCCACGCCGGTGCTGTGATTTTCCTCATCGACACGGGAGGCATTCCGGCTTCTTCTTCCTCTTCCACTCCCACTTCCACACGCCCGCGCACTCTCCCACACTCGCTGGCATACCAGACCTCAACTCCATTACAGCGGTACTTTCTGGGCGAGTTCCTCTTTGTAGGCGTGTAGCCCACCGGAGCCCCATTTTCCTTATCCTGCCGGTGCCTTTCTGGACTTGTCCCAACCCATCCCATCGTCATCGTATCGTATCGTGCCGACCCCGAACCGCCGCATAGCCAGTCAGCCCGCCAGCTCGCCATCCCGCCATGGCCGACGACGCTCCAGACGCCAGCCCCAAGACGGAGCCCCTCAACGTCGACGCCAACGAGGACGCCGAGACCCGCGCCGCACGCCGCGAGCTCAAGCAGTCGTCCATCTCCGACCCTCCTCCGCCCGACGCCGACAACGCCAGCGCTCGCCCCGACACCCCGGCCGACCCCGACACCTTGGCCGATGCCCCCGACGACAGCGACTTGAAGGACCAGGTCGCCTCGCCCAAGAAGAAGCGTGCGCATGACCAGCTCGACGGCGAGAAGGAGGCTGAGGAAAACGATGCGAACAGTGTAGCGTCGACCGATTCCGCAAAGGACAGGGCCTTGCGACTGGAGCCCGAGAAAAAGCGACACCGAGATGAAGAGTCCAACGAGACGGACCTGGTACGTCGCCTGCGTTACTGGCTGCATTTCCGGTTGCATCTGTGTAGCACACCTTCCTAACGCAATACAGGCATCAACGGCAACAGCCACTGAAGAAAACACCGAGCCTGGCAAGTCACCAGCCAAGAAACACCAACCAACGACGTCGGCGAGTGCCTTTGCCGCCTCCAGCTTTGGCAAACTGTCGTCGGGCGCGTCGCCCTTCGCAACCTTTGGGGGCGCTTCTAAGGGTAGCGTCTTTGCGTCTTCTGGCACTTCTACGCTCACTTCTTTTGCTTCTCCGGTTGCCGCTCCGGCTGCCCAGCCTGCCGCTGCCCCAAAGTTGACATTCGGTGGCACGACTGGCGCATCGCCCTTTGCTGGTCTCTCAACTGGAACCAATGGCTTTGGAAGTACCCTGGGCGGAAGCGCTTTTGGCTCTGCTCTGTCCGGTATCAAACCCCTGGGCAGCTTTGCGGCTCCTGGAGGAGAGGCACCCAAGACTGAGAAGCCCGCCAAGCCCTTTGGTGCTCCCGATAGCGATGCCGAGGATAGCGATGAGGAGGGATTGGGCGACGACGATGCTCAACCTGAGGAAGCCGAGCGAGCTCAATCACCAGAGAAAGAATCCGAAGAGAAGAAGAAGCTTAAGCTCCAGAAGGGTGAGTGATATCCTCCAGATTGATGACCAGATTCTAACGGCGCCTAGTTGAGGTAAACGACGGCGAAGCGGGCGAGTCAACCATTATATCCGTAAGAGCCAAGATGTTCTACCACGATAAGGAGGCCGGTTGGAAAGAACGAGGAGCAGGCATGTTGAAGATCAATGTGCCCCAAGTCTGCGTCGAGTTTGACGACGCTGGTGCTGTTGTTCCCGGTTCCTTTGATGCTTCATCACTAGAGACGGATGACAGTGCAGGCGGCTCGAAGGGACACAGGGTTGCCCGCCTCCTCTTGCGACAGGATCAGACTCATCGTGTCATTCTCAACACGGCGATTTTGCCCACAATGGAGTTCCAGGAAAAGGCCTCATTGAAGTCTGTTGGAATTCTTTTCACAGCTTTTGAGGGCGAACCAGCGAAGCCTGTGAGCATTACGATGCGGGTACGTTGATGCGCTTTTGAGTTTCGATTTATTTGCGGATTTAAACTGACATTGTCTTTTAGATGACGGCAGCAAATGCTAAGACCTTTATGAACGAAATCGGCGTCATTCAAAGAGAACTCCTGAGCAGCTAGGCGTTGCAATAGGAAGACTCGGGGATCTGAGCTACTTGATAATGATGCGACGGCTGGTCGTCCGATTGACTACTGCCCTTGGTGGGCTCTATCTACATGCGATGGATGGTTTGGATGAATCAGATGGTCACATGAGAGCAGGGACAGAAACCAGCACGGTTGCATTGGGCAGGCGGCCTGAAAGGATACAAGGCGATGCCCGGTATGGTACAGAAGTGTTTATACAGGAGACCTGTGGGTTTACTAATGGCCCAGGTAAACCAGCATGGATAGAATTGTGTATACCTGAAGCTGGGGCGCCGGAAGATGGTGGGAGGGAACTCTTGTCCCGTCCTGAATTTCCCAGTCAGCAGGCCAACCCTGAAGTTGGAGATGCGACTCGTAGTTATGCCAATACATGCAATTTGTATCCTCTATATGCTCAACATAATCCGGCACCTACCTGTGAGAAATGTAAACAACTTCAGTCCCGGGGACGGGATGTTAAGAGAAGCTTGAGTCATGCACGTGATCTGGCGTCAATTCCGCGACCACCTTATCCCAACTACGTCGCCACTTCCACAGCTTCAGAAATGCCATTCAACTCGATCAGCGAGACAGCGATATCGCACCCTCGAATTCATGCCAGCGCGGCGAACTGACCATGGGAATGACTCAGCTTTGATGATCAACATGTCGGACCCGAAAGCTTCCGGCACTGTCGCTGGGCCTTCCACTTCAACGGGAGGAGGGAAACGGAAGCGTGACTCGGATCGAGAAACACCCACTGGAGGCCTTGATAATGATTCAACGAGTACTAAAGGGGCTAAGAATGGCATGAAAGGAGGAAAATCAAAGCCCCGCGGCAAGACTGCCCTCAACAAGACGGTCCCCTGCCTCATTGACTGGCCAGAGTCGTTCAAGACACTGGAGCAAACACACCGGGCCCTCAACCTTGTCTTCACCTTTTGCTGTACTCGCAAGCACCTAGTTACGACTTTCGACACAATCAAGTCGGCTGTCGAAGCTCACACAAAACAAAGTCTGTCGATCGAGGAAGTTGCTTCTATGGTAGCGCTCCGTCCAGAGTCCATCAACTTCGCATACGTGGACGAAGTCATGTTGCAACTCGAAATCAAGGGCATTGAAAGAGACGAAGTATTTCGGACCGGCAAGTCGGCAAGGTCACAGGCCCCAGCGTACGACGCTTCTGTGGGCGGGTTGACTGGCACGGAGAGCCTGGGCCAGCTTCGGAGTGGTGAGCCCGAGCACAGTGGACGCGAGGTTCTCTACTTCGAGTTCATCGACGCGGACTTAAAGCGACAGGTTCCAGACAAAACCACAGGTGAACCGACGCCGCCAAATCGGAAGCTGCGCGAGGAACAGTTGAGAATGCCAGTTTTCAGCCAGAAGCAGATGACGAAGATGATCGAGAATCGCAACCAGAAATTTTCAAACGCGATCAACGTCTTTATCAATAAATGTGTGGAAGACAAACTAGACCCAGATATGGTCCTCGCAGAACAGACCAAAGCACACGTCCCAAAGCCAACTGTTCAGGAAGATGCCGGGACAGAGAAGCCACTGGATTCTATCCCGGAGAGCATTCCCAAGGAGCGAAAGTTGATACCAGAAATTGTCCAGGAACTCAAAGACAGTCCTTGGTATACTGGGCAGGTGGTGCCAGATGGGCACCGAGTCTTTGAGCCGCAGGAAGCGGTATGTGGTGATTTGCAATTCCTCCTGAGCCAGAATTTGGTAAACGCCCTTTATAATGCAAAAGGTATAACGGAGTTCTATGCCCATCAATCCGAGGCTCTCAATAGCCTCCACAAAGGTCAGAATGTTGTTGTGTCAACTTCGACCAGCTCCGGAAAGAGTCTTATCTACCAACTTCCCGTTCTATACGCCCTAGAAAAAGACTACAATTCAAGAGCAATGTACATCTTTCCGACAAAGGCACTGGCGCAGGACCAGAAGCGGAGTTTGAAAGAAATGATGAAGTATATGCCGGGACTTGAAGAAACCATGGTTGAGACCTTTGACGGTGATACTCCGATGAGCGAACGCAACGCCATTCGGGATGAGGCTCGAATCATCTTTACAAATCCCGACATGCTTCATGTTACAATTCTTCCCCAGGAAGAGCGATGGAGATCGTATCTAAAGAACCTCAAATATGTCGTCGGTAAGTGGCACGAAACTGTGTGGTTGCTCTATAACTGATTGGGGTCTTGTTAGTCGACGAGCTGCACTACTACAACGGCCAACTGGGATCCCATGTTGCATTCATCATGCGAAGACTACGACGAGTATGTGCTGCCGTGGGAAATCGGCGAATCAGGTTTATCTCATGCTCTGCCACGGTAGCCAATCCCAAGGAGCACTTTCAGACCATCTTCGGTCTCGAAAATGTGCGATTAATTGACTATGATGGGTCGCCATCTGGACGCAAGGAGTTTTTGTGTTGGAACACTCCGTACAAGGACCCTGGCGACCCTGCCTCTGGTCGTGGTAGTGCCAAGTTCGAGTGCGCCCGTCTCTTCTGCGCTCTGATGCTCAGGGGAGTACGGATCATTGCGTTTTGCAGAGTTCGGGCTCAGTGTGAAATTCTTGTTAGCGCGATAAAGTCAGAATTGGAAGCCATGGGTAGGTCTGAGTGTATCAACAGGGTGATGGGCTACCGAGGTGGTTACACAGCACAGGATCGCCGGATGATCGAGACCGAGATGTTCGAGGGTAAACTTTTGGGGATTGTGGCCACCACGGCCCTTGAACTTGGTATTGACATAGGATCACTGGATTGTGTCATGACTTGGGGATTCCCGTACACCATCGCCAACCTGCGTCAACAAAGTGGTCGTGCCGGCCGCCGCAATAAGGATTCGCTGTCAATATTGGTTGGAGATTGCTTTCCCACCGACCAGCACTACATGCAAAACCCGGATGAACTCTTCACGAAACCCAACAGCGAGTTGCAGGTGGATCTCGAGAACATGCTTGTGCGTGAAGGACACATTCAGTGTGCGGCATACGAGATGCCGATCCGACCCATGGGAGATCGGCAGTACTTTGGACAGGACTTGCCAAAGATTTGCGACGAGCGGTTGACGAAAGACGAGATGGGGTTCTACCACTGCCACGATCGGTTCCGGCCAATGCCAGCAAAGTACGTCGCGATTCGAGACACCGAGGACGAGCATTTTGCGATTGTGGACATTACGAATGGGAGAAACGTTGTGTTAGAAGAGCTAGAGGCCTCCAGAGCAACGTTTACCATATACGACGGAGCAATTTTCCTGCACCAAGGCAACCCATACCTTGTCCGGGACTTCCTGCCGGACAAGAGAATGGCCAAGGTAGAACGGGTCAAGGTGGACTGGACCACGGTGCAACGAGACTTTACAGACATCGACCCTACGGAGACGGAAGCCATTCGATCGATTACTGGGTCGCTGTCCCATGCATACTACGGCACGATCAAGATCCAACAGAATGTGTTTGGGTTCTTCAAAGTGGACAAGAAGGGACGAGTCTTGGATGCGGTGCAGGTGGACAACCCGCCAGTGATCCGGTTTAGCAAGGGTATGTGGTTGGACGTGCCGAAGAAGGCAATCGATATCCTTCAGGACCGGCGGTTGCACGTGGCGGCAGGGATACACGCGGCGGAGCATGCGATCATGAGCCTGCTGCCGACTTTTGTCATTAGTATGCCGGGCGATGTACGAACGGAATGTAAGACGGCAGCGAAGGAGTTTGCCAAGCAGGAAACGAAGAGAAAGCGGCCAGCACGGCTGACGTTTTACGACGCCAAAGGCGGTGCGGGGGGGTCTGGGATCAGCACCAAGGCGTTTGACCACATCGACCAGCTGCTGAGGGACGCGCTGCAGCGAGTGGAGGGCTGCCACTGCGAGCGGGGATGCGTGGAGTGCGTGGCGTCGGAGCTGTGCAAGGAGTCGAACGAGGTGATGAGCAAGGCGGGTAGCCAAGTGGTGCTCAAGTGCCTGCTGAATATGGACATTGACGTGGAGGCGCTGCCGATAGGACCGGAGATGTTTACTCCCGTGGGGATCGAGACGGTAGTGGTTGCGCAGCCAGTGCCGTACAGGTCGAAGGAGGGGGTTCGAGACACGGAGGTGCAGCGGGGGCAACGGCACAGAGACGATGGTGACGCCGAGAAGTTTGCGGATCCTGGGGAGTCTGGGGTGGGCAGAGGCGGTGGCTTCGAGCAATGGCTCGGAGACTCTATATGAAAGCAACCCAGCTCATGAAATTTGAGCAGAGGGCGAATGAGATGACGCATGAGAAGACGCCCTTGTCGGGCTAAGAGAAGTCGGGCATGCACCCGAGTCCAGACCGCGATTTGTTAGCAAGGAGGTGCGATACCTGATCGAGCTGTGTCGTGTGGGACGATCGGTCTAGAACCTGGGACATTGATTATTTGCAGTCAGAGGCAGCGCCATCGCCGGCGCCAACGCAAAAGGACTGGTGGTAGTACAGGTGGTTGGGCTCTGTGAGCAGCCGGATACCCAAGCGGACGCACGCACTGGAGAGAGGCGACTAGGCAATGGACGACGTCAATATGGGGATCGCCGCAAGACTAGCAACGACCAAATTCAGCCGATGGTGCGCTACACATTGCACGGGTGACGTCGTACTGGAATAGTTGCATTAGGTCATGACAAGGAGCGAGCTTGTTGGGAACCTGAGTGCCGGGCCTGCCAAGCAATATTCAAGCAATAGCCAAGCAACACGCCAAGCAAATACCCGGCGACGGTTGACTCGGTAGCTACCCACTCCCCACTGTGGCTTCGATTCCTCCGCGGTACTTCGTTCATACAGTCGGTGCACGCGTACCAGCCAGCCCTGAAGGCGCGCTGTAATTTAACAAACGGGCCACTCTCCTGGTGACGGCAAGTCACTCGGTGCCGCCGAAGAGCATTTGAGACCCGCAGTGGCCCGTCAGAGCTAGAAGGATCCTGGTGGCAGGGTGTCGTCCATCGCAGTGCCAAGGAGAGCAGCAGGAAACCGTTGATGCCAGAAATCTTGGCATGAATGCGATGAAACTTGGCAGTGGACACCCTGCTAGGCTGGCCGTGATTCGCGGGCCCTATGGACGATTGCACATGGCCATGTTGAGCGAGGACTTGAGGATGTACCGGTATCATTCCAAAGTCCCCTTTGCCCATGGCCCGCAAACGACGCTATATTTTAGAACTTTGGTAGTCTGGAGCAAGCGCCTCAGCCATCGCGGGTTTCAGGGGTAAAAACAACAACCTAAACGACGACCTTAAATGACGGTGCCAGCTGAGTGCGAGGCAATCCCCACTCCAACCATTGCAGCACATCCACGGCCAGCCAGACGCGTCCCGGAGACCAGCGCCAGGAATGGGAGACTGAGGCTCGACCACGACAGATCAGGCCTTGCTTTTTTAGGCGTGGGACCTCGAATGGGACCTCAAATTGACCGTCCCATGTCTCAGCCGCCCCGTTTGACCGCTTCGTGGCTGTTTGTCTAAGGTAGGGGCCCGGAGGCCTGAGCTAACTGAAGTACTCCATACCTAACCACGTAACTTAGTACATAGTGCAGCACGACCAGCAAGGCGTATATTAGTCGCCTCCATTCCTTTCCTTTTATCCTGGATCACCTGTGTTTCTTGTCTCTCTCCTTCCCTGATCTTGCTTCCTGTTGCGAAACACGACGGTGCCCACCTTTCCATTGTTCGACACTAAACCTGAATCATCACCCCGTGCTCCTTGACGCCGGACGGAATTCCCTTTATTACTCTCCAACCCCCGTGCGTCCTCGTCTCATGGCGGTCATGACTGGCGACGCCTCGCCGCCGCCCTCTCGCCAACGCCGTGCACTTATGGTTCACCAGGACGACATCGACGGGGGCACGCTGCCTCCGCCCACGACGTACAACGAGTTCAAGCGCAACATGGACGACTCCAAGACTTCCTGGATCCGGCCGCAGGGCGAGAGCGGCCGCAGAGGCTTCCATCCCATCCATTTTACCCACATCTCGTTCAAGTCGACCAGCCGCGCCAGTCTGCTTTGCAACTTTCTATGGCCCGTCGTCCCCGCTGCCATTGCCGTCCGCTGTATGTTTCCCCGAGCGATACTAGAATTCAGCCCCGTGTGCTGTCTTCCCTGGCCACCTACTGATCTGGATAGACGCTCTGCCCGATAACCATGTCCTCATCTTCACCCTCGCGTACATCGCCATGGTTCCATGTGCCAACATGATTGGTTTCGCTGGCCAGGAGCTCGCCCGGAAATTTCCCCACGTCTGGGGCGTCCTGACCGAGATCACGCACGTTCCGACAGCCTCCCCTGACAACTCTCGAGACGTTCGCTAACCATTGCGACAGTTGCGGTTCCGTTGTTGAGATCGTCTTGTTTATGGTGCTTCTGTCCAAGAACCAGTTCTACGTCATTAAGGCTGCCATCCTAGGTTCTATCTTGGCCACCATGGTCCTCTGTTTAGGGGCCTGCTTCTTCGTCGGCGGCCTCTTAAAGGAGGAGCAAACTTTCAGCGATGCTATCAGCGAGGCCGGAAGTGGACTGCTCCTCACCGCGTATGTTGAATCTCCGTCTAAATTTCCGATTGCCTCTTTTGCTAACATATTACGTCTCTTCTAGCGGCGTTGTATTGTCTGTCCCCACCATCTTTGAACACGGTCTGGGCACCGACAACCTATCAACCGAAGACATCGACCACAAGATCCTCCAGATCTCTCGCGTCATCGCTGTCCTTCTCATCATCGCCTACAGCGTTTACGCTTTCTTCCAAGCCCGGACACACCACGGTATTTATGATGCCATCTTCGAATTCGACGAGCAGCGCGACCACGACAAGGACAAGGTGGAAGCCAAAGCCAAACTTACCTTGACCGAGTCTATCATCGCCCTGACCATTTCAGTCGGTCTTGTCACTCTCATTGCCGTCATCCTAGTTCTTCAAATCGAGCCTATCATTGAGCGTGGCGATGTTTCCGACGCCTTCATGGGTCTCATTCTGGTGCCCCTCGTCGAAAAGATTGCCGAGCATCTCACCGCCATAGATGAGGCTTGGGATAACCAGATGAACTTCGCCCTGTCCCATGTCCTCGGCGCCACTCTTCAAACCGCCCTCTTCACCGGTCCCCTTGCCGTCATTGTTGGCTGGGGCCTGGACAAGAAGATGGACCTGAGCTTCGACATCTTCCACCTAGTCATGCTGGTCCTAGCCATCCTTACCGTGGGCAGGTTTTTGCAGGATCAGAAGAGTAACTACTTGGAGGGCTTCCTTCTCCTCATCCTTTACTTCGCCATCGCCGTCGCTGCCTGGTACTATCCCAACCCAGAGACTCTCGGCGAGAGCGAGAGCACGAGCGAGAGCGGGCACTAATCTGCCTCGTCTCTATCGGCTATACATCACGATTGCACGACGGGATTTAATAAAATGTTTGATTTATACCGGAGTTTATCATGTTAGGGCAGCACCTTTGAGGATAGCGAGCGATCGACAAGAATGAACAGCGCTCCCCACGCCGTGCTTTTTATTGTGACTTATGAAGGAAGCAGGGTACCCCGAGCCAGTCTGTCTAGATTGTTGATAAAAATATTCAAGATGGAAATTGATAAACTTTTGGATTCAAGCCCTTGGTCGTATTCTTGAGGATGTTCCCCGTCGCCTTGACAGCAGTAACTATATACACATTTTGGACAATTAATTCCAATTGCCCCGAGATCCGCCAACTCATGATATCCTTCTTTTCTAACACGGTGCAATTTATGCATTCAATGGCACATCCATTTAGAAGAAGATGAGGTCATCTTCCTTCCATCCCATACTCGAGAAGATCTCTCTCGCGCTCTTTTCCATTGGTCCAGGTCCGCACACAAGCACCAACTCGTCCCCTGTGTCGTTGGATGCCGGCCTTCCCACCTCCTTTTCATACAACGCCTGGCTCAACCGACCAGTAACGCCCGTCCACGATGATGGTGGCTTGGTGAGGGCGTGGATGATCCGGCAGCGGCCCGGGTTTGCCTCGGCGAGGGCGTCGAGCTCCGCCTTGCACAGAATGTCCTCCTCGGCGCGGTTGCCGTTTAACACGAGACACTCGGTCGGGTCCTCGGCGTCACGCAACACGGCGCATAATACCTGTCGAATCGGCGTGATGCCGGAGCCGCCGCAGATCATGACGAAGCGGCGAACATGGCGAGTGCGACTGCCGATGGAGCATGCGCCCCGGCCCAGGTACTCGAACTTGCCCACAGGGCCCTTAAACTCAACGAAGTGGCCGAGCGGGAGGCCGTCCAGCGACTGTGTCATTTTGCCGCCGGGTCGGCCGGGTTCATCACGATATATCTTAATGAGTACATCAAGGCGACCGCACTGCGCGCCGTCCGAGTAGGGGGTATACGCGCGGAGGATAGCTTCGCGGGTGACGGGGTCACGGAGGCGCATCATGAGGTGCTGGCCCGTCGGGAGGCCGACTTGTTGGGCGTCGTGGTCGAGCCGGAAAGAGAAGATCTTTGTGTCCGAGGAGATGGTGTCCTTGCGATCGAGGATGGCCTTGCTCCATGTCTTGGACTGTAGGAAGATGGGGCGGGTATTATCACTTTCCTGGGAGTCGTCGCCGTCCCCAAGGGCAGCTCGGGAGGCTTCGTCGAGGGTGCCAACGTGGTAGTCTGGCATCATTGCCTTGGCGTTTTCGCTATCTATAGAAATGAGTCAGTATGTGAGAGTCATTAAAGACTAAGGGGAGAGACAACTTACGAATGGCGACAAACTCCTCCGTCACATCCTGGCCAGCGGCCCCGAAGATAGACGCCGCGCCACCGGGATGGCCCTCTAAGAAGGCCGTGCCATCGTACACTTGGCCGTTGACGACAAACCAGGGCTCGACATCGCCGTCGTGTTGCTTAAGCTCTGTAGCACTGATTGCTCGGTCGACCTTGGGGTTGGTCATGCAGATCTCCTTTTCTGGCGTCTGCTCCACAACCTCATCTGCCTCACCCGACACCTTTTCGCCCCAAAAGCCGTTGGCGAGGTTTCCACCAGACTTTTTGACTCGATCCATCCAACCGCCCGGTATTAGTGCAGGTTGTGTAGGGTGCTCGAACCGCAGGGAGTGGGCTTCCTTGTGGATCACCACTCGGAACCATGGGTTATTCATCATGCCCAGAACGCTCCAGTACATGTCTCGAGGCTGAACCATCATCGACTCATCCATTGCGCGGATCATTATGTCGTCCGTTTCTCGGAGCTCCTCAAGTGGAATATCGAGTTCCCAGAAACACCAACAGAAGCACGTCTCCCGCCACCACATGTCTACCTTGCCGCCAAACAAGGTATCGCCATCTGGAGCAAGTCGATACTCATCCTCGGGGTAGTTGATATTTGCCAGCCTCCATGACTTTCCCTTATCTAGGGTGACTTCTACTCTTGTGACTCGCCTTCCACCACCACTGTAGGCGTAGCCCCTTGCGGTGTACGTAGTTGGGGCGTCCACCAGGAGAAGTTTCTCGTCGTGGCCGGGGTAGCATATCGCGCTGTTGACATTAAGGTCGTAAATGGCATACCTCTCGTCCCTCCATACATCCGGCAAGTCGGCACTCGCCTCAGGTGTAACCATCGTGGGAAGCACGCGGTTGTCGAAGATGTGGTACCAGCTATCGCTGGGCTCAGAGGTAACGATTATCCTCTTCAACCACTTAACGCTCCTTCCACCAATCTGACCAGGGATGATGATACGAACGGGCTTCCCGTGGTCTGGATGAAGCGCCTCGCCGTTCATCCTGTGGGCCACCATGACGCCTCGATTGGGATCCATGCACCAGTTCAGCTTGATCGATGTTCCATAGTAGCCGTTGGGCAGCTTGTCAGCGCCTTCGAAGCAGACAAATCTGGCGCCTCGCTTTGGGCGTGCAGCAGCCAACAAGTCGCCGATCGGGACACCAGTCCATAGAGCGGTTGATAAGCCGGCAGCACCCCATGAGAAACCCTTCGTCTTTCGCACCATATTCTGTTCTTTCCGACGGTTGCCAGCACAGACGAGCGTCACGGGATAGGTAGCCTGCTCATAGTCGCGGATGAGATCCCTCACGCTCATCGAGATGGGATTTTCTACCATGCCCTCAACTGAGAACTCCCAGTCCAACTGGTCCTCGTCTTCACACTTGGGCACACCGCCATGATTGCGAACATAATGAAGGTCCTCGCTTGTCAGGAAGCCTTCGTCGTATAAGTCGCTCAGGGGGGCCTCGACGTTGAAAGGATGGACACCGGTAAGACGTATTAGGCGTGGATCTCGCTTGACGTGGCTATCTGGGGTTTTGAGGTCTTCGGGTAGAACATCTTTCGCTCGGAAGTTTGGAGGTAAGGGATACCGCTTGGGGAACTGGGTCGGCGGTAGGTCTTGTAAGTCTTGGAAACTATTTATTCGAGAAGGCTTTGCTGTGGCAGGAGGAGACGGAGGGAATTCTATGGCGGGTGATGGTTCCGAGTGCTCAGGAATGGTTCTGAGAACCAATGATGAGAGAGAATCCATGTTAAAGAGATGTGATTTATCAATGAAACAACAGTGAGAGACCAAGCATGGTCCTGCGCATGAGGATGAATGTGCAAAGTAGATATAACGCAAAGGGGTCTAGCCACTGAGCGGGATTGCGGACGGCACTGGCTAATAACTGGCACTTTGATGGGAACCTCGGTTTTTGCGCCGCGGAGTGTAGATAAGAACCTGCCGAGCCATTGCTGGCCTGAGGGTTGTCAGACGGGGTGAACATGATGGTGCCGTGGGTTTTGATGACACTGAGCGAGGAGATGCAAATTACAGTTGAGTGTGTCCGCGGAGGTGGAAGCATCAGGGTCGATCAACAGCCGCGGTTGACGAATCACGATGGTTGATAAGGAGAGTCGCTCCGGAGATGTGTGAATCGCTCTGGACCCACTGGGTTGCCAACCCCCAAGGAAAAGATAACGAAGAACTGAGAGAGAATTGAATGACGCAGGCACGCCACTTTTTGGTGTTGACATGAACCTTGGAGTTGCTCGTTGCGGCATGTCTTCGATAAGTCCAGAACGCTGCCTGGGAATTCACGATTGTCACAATTTGTCTGTCCAAACCGGCCGTGAACGTGTGTAAGTGGGAGAAACCATGGGGTGGAGTGACAGAGATTTGATGACACGGTCCAGACGAGATAAGACATCCTTTTCGGCGGGTCAAGCCAAGTCCAACAAGGTCTCAAGCGACGCATGGGGGGCACCGGAAAGCTTCATTCGAAGTTCCTGTCATGTCATGTCAGACGTTGGAGGTGATGCGAGATGCAGGTAATCCGCAGTGCAATCAATGACTGAGCCGCTACAATGTTGATCCGGCGCAAGAAGGTTTACGAGCGTTCCGTGGGCAGACAATGGCTGCACAGCTGAATTCCTTCAGCCTCAGGGCGGGCAGTCAGTACCTACACAAACTCGTTCCCACTGTGCGTGCATCGGATCCCACCTCGCGCTCACGTTGCCTCACTACACCCCACTGCTGCAGGGTAGGTAGGCAGGTTCGTCCCGTACCCAATCAGTTGTGGTGCCGGTAGGGCATCCGCCGCAACCCTCAACCGACCGTCTCCAACTACCTACCTCAATCAACCTAGCATCAAGGTCGCCAACATCGAAGACGCCTCCCGCGCTGCCCTTTCGCCATTCTCCCGTCCTGCTTCGTCGGACGCACCCATGTCGGCTCTGTTGGACCGTATACAACACCATTTCCCGGGGCAGCACATCCCTTAGCAGTCCCTCCCGCGCCGAATGTAGCGTCGCCTGAGTCTATCATCCATTCGACTTCGTTTACTCCATCGCTGCGTCGTGATCCACCATGGACCGCGCAAGGAAGCGTACACCGCCCCAGCGCCCCCCCGGATCCCGCATCCAGCATACTTACCTCTCTCATAGGCGAACTGCGCGCTCTGAACGAAAGGGCTTGGGACGACGAGAAAGGTTCATCGTCGCTGCCCCACCACTTCTCCCCGCTCCCGTTAACCCCAGGACTCTAGATCTCTTCCCCGTTAGCAAGACCCTCGATTCCTCCCTCAAGAAGAACACCGCCTTCATAAAGCGACTCCGAACCGCCATCACTGCTGCTACCCTCAGCACCTTCCTGCAAGAGATCCGAACTCTAAGCCTGCACAAGTACCTCTCCGAAATCATATCCGCCTGCTATGAAGGACTCTGCCGTCTCAAGTCTCCCGGCGAGATTGAGGCCGGCGTCGAGATTGTCAGCGCTCTCCACCAGCGCTTTGGGCCGAGCGAGTTCACCGAGTACCTAGCATGGCTGCTCGGCAAGGGCATGGCCACTCCGGATAAGAGTATCCTCAAATCGCTGGCGCCAGAGGTCCGAGAGAAGGAGGAGAAGGAGCGCATTACTCGCCAGCGAGCGCTGCTGCGCGTGGTCGCTGAATTGTGGCTGGTGTGCGCCATCAGGACCCTTGACGATGTGAGTCGACCTGACGACGCGACCAAGGGCGCCGCTGGTAAGGCCGCCGAGCTCAAGCCCCGGAGCAGCTCGAACAAGGGGGGCGCCGCCGAGCCCTTCCCTCTCGAAGTCCTCAAGGATCTCCTCGGATACGACCGCGAACATGCAAACCTTCCGTTGCTGGTAATTTTTGTCAAGTCGTTCAGCTGGGATATATTGGGCGTTAAACCTACTGGGGCTGACGGCCGTAAGACTGTGGAGGAGGACGGACTTGCAACTACAGCCAACGGGGAGAGTCAAGATGATGACGTTTATGAATCTGGGACCTCTTCTGCCGCAGACCAACCTTTCACTGAGCCCGAATTGCGAGACCGCTTCAGGAATGTCCTCAAGAGGTACTTTGAAGACGTGAAAGCACACATTGTGCGGGACCAGAAGTCCATCCAGTCGCAGGCTAGACGCAATGCTGAAGCCTACGTCAAATCCGGCGAAGTTTTTGAAGATCGCCAGGCCAATTACGAGAAGCAGGTCAAAGCCCAGGAACGTCTGGTCTCCAACGCCCAGGTTATCGCCGATGCTATTGGCGCTGATATGCCTGACTTGAAGGATTCGGACGACTCTTTGGGGGCAGCGAATGGATCTATCGGCCTTGTCAAGACCGGCGACTACTTGCGATCGATGGGGGATGGTGCTGGAATCTGGGAGGACGAGGACGAGCGTCGCTTCTACGAAAACCTGGTCGATCTGAAAGGCAAGGTCCCGCCGATCCTTCTCGAGGATGGCAAAAAGAAGAAGCCCGATGCCGATGAACAGGTTGGAAAGAAGATCGATCAAAACGAGGCTGCCGAGGCTTCCAAGCCACCCGATTCTGCAGACGACCAATCCACCGCCATCGCCAACAAGACAATCGGAGCCCAAGTTGATGCCCTCCTGGCTCGCTTACCTGAATTGACCAACAAGGATATCGTGGACCAGACCGCAATCGACTTTTGCTTCCTCAACTCGAAGGCTTCACGAAACCGCCTGGTCAAGGCATTGACTGAGGTTCCCAAGGGCCGAAGCGACTTGCTCCCCTCGTGGTCTCGCTTGGTTGCAACTCTCGGACGATATATGCCGGACGTTCCTAAAGGCCTCGTCGAGTACCTCGACGCCGAATTCCGCAGCTTGCAACGTCGCAAAGAGAAGGATTTCCTGGGTCAAGTTAGATTGAGCAACATTCGTTACTTGGCAGAGCTCACCAAGTTCGGCATTGTTCCCGAGCATGTCGTCTTTCACTGCCTCAAGGTTAGCCTGGACGATTTTTCACGCATGAACATCGAGATCCTCTGCAATCTCATCGAGAATTGCGGCCGATATCTGCTTCGAAACCCCGAGACGTCCCCGCGCATGGCAAGCTTCCTAGAGACTTTGCAGCGCAAGAAGTCTGTCCAGCACATTGGTCAGCCTGAGCGTATGCTTATCGACAATGCGGTGTACTACGTTGATCCCCCAGAGCGCCCTGCGATTGAGCAAAAAGAGAGAACACCGATGGAACTCTTTATTCGCAAGCTGATCTACGTTGACATGACCAAGAGGAATTACAGCAAGATCTTAAAGCAAATCCGCAGACTCCACTGGGAAGAGGCAGAGGTTGTTGCTATTTTAGAAAAGGTTTTCTCGAAGCCAGGAAAGGTCAAGTATGGCAGCGTTCACCTCCTCGGCATCCTGCTGAGCGCGCTCTACCGCTACCATCCCGCCTTCGTGGTCAAGGTCATTGATAACGTTGTCGAGTCAGTCAGCTTCGGGCTGGAACAGAACGACTTTAGGTTCTTCCAGCGACGTGTCGCCGAGGTCAAGTACCTTGGCGAGCTTTACAACTATCGCATGCTAGAGCATCCTGTCATCTTTGATACCATGTACAGGATCATGACGTTTGGATATGGTTGGTCGATACGGTTGACGTATGACGAGGCCTTTGGCTGACTATTTACAGGCGGTCCCCCCCAACCCGGCCGATTCAACCCCCTTGACCCTCCCGACGACTTCTTTCGCATTCGTCTCGTGGCCACGATGTTAGAAACTTGCGGCATGTTCTTCAATCGAGGCGCTGCTGGCAAGAAGCTCGACTATTTCTTGTCATTCTTCCAGGTATGTGACACGTAACAATGAGACTGTCTCAATGCAAGCTAATCATTATCGGTAGTACTATGTTTTCACAAAGGCCTCACTTCCGCTGGACATTGAATTCACGGTGCAGGACACTTTTGCACTAACTCGACCGCAGTGGAAGCTGGCTGCGAACTTGGAAGAAGCCGCCAAGGCATTCCAGCTTGCAGTTGCTCAAGACCAGAAAACGGCTGGCATCGACAAGGCTGTCGATATGGACGATGCTACGAGCGGTGCCTCATCGGATGACGACAACGACGACGGTGAAGATGATGACGACAGTGCATCTGACGAAGAAGAAGCCGACGTATGTGTAAGCAAGCTCAAGAGTGGTTTCGCATTGCTGACTTCTCCCAACTAGGATGTGGATGACGATTCCGATCGTGAGGGTAGCTTCGACGAAGAGGCCATTGTTGTCACTAGGCAGGAAGAGGAGGTTGATCCTGAAGACGAGGCCGACTTTGAACGCGAATATGCCAAGATGATGACGGAGAGCCTCGAGTCTCGCAAGTTTGAGCGCAAACAGCTCTTTGACGTGCCCCTTCCAGTTCGACCCAAGAACCGCGAGGCCTCGACGGTATCTGAGCCCAGTACTGCCCAAGAGGAGCAGCCCGCTCCTGGACATACCATGGCCTTCTCTCTTCTGACTAAGCGGGGCAATCGTCAACAGGTATGGCAAATGTCGATCGCACTTATGACTGTACTGATGTGCTAGTAGACGCGAACCGTCGAGCTACCTTCAGACTCGACCTTTGCGATTGCTATGAAGAATCAGCAACAGGCTGAGCGTGAAGAACAGCAGCGCATCAAAAACCTGGTGCTTAACTACGATCTTCAGCAAAATGACGATCCGGACGGTAGTACGGATCCATACCCCCTTTTTAGAAATACCAATATTCATTATTCAACCCAGGCCACGAACGTCCGGCGACGTATTATCACAACCGCCTGGAGCGGTCGAACAAGGACCGAGGCCAGAGGATCCGAAAGCTGCAGCTAAGCGACGTCGACTGGTAAGAACACTCGCATGTGGAAGTATAGCAAGGGTGAGTTTAGAGGCTAATCGGTACTCCAAGGACATGAAACCGATCCCACGGAACGGCTAGTAACATTCCCCCCAAATTCCAACTCCGCCCGAGACAAGGACCGTAGCCAACACGTGCCGAGCGAGTTCGCAACGGATGGTACCATGAATCCATGGACTCGCTCCTGACCTAGGGTAAGGTGGGACTCTGAACCAAGCGTCGTGACGCAAACTACATGTTGCTGCCAATGGCGCAAAGAGTTTGCTACATTGACGATGGGGCGTCGACGATACGGCTCAGCAGTGGCCATGGTAAGTAACATGAAACGTCGACAGCAATGGAGACAGTGAGATGAGAATGAGGTTGGGTTCCGTACGAGACTAAAGCCCATAAGAGGGTCGAGTTGCCTGTGAGAAGCGCGGAGCGCACTACCATCGTTGATAGGGGTCACACTAGATCCTGAATATAGATGCAATGTGCTTTTGGCGGCCTCAACCAATCGTTTTCAGAAGGCTCGTTTTCAGTGGATGAGATGCGTTTGTGGTGTGAATGATCTTGTTCAGTGTTCCGTGTCCCCCCGCCCATGCGGTCCGAAGTGCACTATGATGCATCATTCGAAGGACCCGGATGTCCGCGCCACCCGCGTCATGCTTTAGGGATCATAGTCGCGAATATCCTATGCCCAGAGCATTCTCTCCGAGGCTTGGATGGCAGCTGATGATACCTGCCCTTGGATGTGTGCGTTGCATGACGGACACGTGCGTTGTTTGTCTTGTTAGTCCGTTTACCGGGATTCGTTTTCGTATTTCGTACGACTTGAAGCAGTTGTGGATACGCATTCACAGACGTTTGTTTCTGTAGGGTTGGCTGCTGGCCTTGATTCTCAAATAAGTGATGCGGGCTTCTGGGAGCGCACCTTCCCTCCAAGTGTACACCTCGACATTCACTCGACCAGGCTCCATGTACGTAGCCTTTCGGGTCACGCTTTTCTGCCTAAGGTGCCTATCTGAAGCGCCTGGTATTTCCTTTCATTCTTGTCTGTCGTGCCCTCTCCTCTCTTGTCTCCTGCACGTAGCCGTGACAGTCCCACACACTCATTAGCTTGCTCGGGTAGTTGCAGAAAGGGCCAGCCCCTTGACCTGGTTCTAGTCTTCTTGAAGGAGCTCATTACTCAGCCTCTGCAATTGTTTGCAGACCCAACTCCAACCGGCCGGTTGGGGGCTCGCTGCATCGTTCCGCGCCCTGGCCTGAGGTGTCTGTTGTCCACATGGCGGTTGGTTCCCCTCAAGTGCGGCTCCAAGTCACTTCACTTCACTCTGACACTTCCATCACATGAAATTTGCCTGCCTGAACTTCGCAAACCGAATGCTGAGATCGACAAACAGTAACGAATCCTACCCAAAAGCTGCTGTCGCCGCTCTGCAAACATGGCCCCCCCGGACGAGTGGCCGATTCAAGACGTAAGTCAACTTCGCGATCTCGGCTCCGGCCCTGACGCTCACACCGTTTACTGACTGCCCATGCCATTCGAAAATTTAGATTGTCTACACATCCATCGTCGGAGTCATCATGATCATGGCATGCCTCGAATGGTTCCTCTGGCTCGCGGCCTTTGTTTACTGCCTCGTCAAGGTCTGGCAAAAATCAGAGCATTGGTCTATCAACATGCTCTGCATCATTGTCGGTCTTTCATTCATCCTATTCCGGTATGTTGCGTCCGAAACGAATACAACGCATGCGTTAAGTAGGCTGAATTACGGTATTTAGCATCATCTTTCTCCCCATCATGGTGGTTACGCTTCCGCTTCCTGGCCAGGTCACTCGACTCTGGCCGGAGGAGATGGTGGCCTCTCTACAGTGGTTCGCCTTCTGGAGCTTCGCTATCCTCCTCAATGTCCCCTGGCTTTTATGCATCTACCAGCTGGTGACAAATCAACTTGGTCGGACTAAGCGCATCAAGGAAATACTCGACGATGTCACGGCTCCCAAAGTAGTCATCGTCATGCCTTGCTACCGAGAAGAGCCCGAAGTTCTCATCACAGCTGTCAACTCCGTGGTTGACTGCGACTACCCGGCAGCCTGCATCCACGTTTTTCTATCCTTTGACGGCGAACAAGAGGACGAGCTATATCTGAACACCATTGATAAACTCGGCGTGCCTTTGACCATGGATTCGTACCCTAAGAGCATAGACGTAACATACCGAGCAGCGCGAGTCACTGTCTCACGTTTCCCTCATGGCGGTAAGAGACACTGCCAAAAATCAACGTTCAAGCTCATCGACAAGGTATATGAGCAGTACCTCAAGCGGAAAGACAACCTCTTCATTCTCTTCATCGATTCGGATTGCATACTAGATAAGGTATGCCTCCAGAACTTTGTCTACGACATGGAGCTCAGTCCCGGCAATACTAGAGACATGCTGGCCATGACTGGAGTCATTACTTCGACAACAAAAAAACACAGTCTCATCACCCTTCTGCAAGACATGGAGTACATCCACGGGCAACTGTTTGAGCGGACAGTCGAGTCGGGCTGCGGCTCCGTCACCTGTCTTCCTGGTGCTTTGACGATGTTGCGTTTCTCGGCCTTTCGTCGAATGGCGAAATACTACTTTGCAGACAAGATGGAACAATGCGAAGACTTGTTCGACTTTGCTAAATGCCACCTGGGAGAGGATCGCTGGCTCACGCATCTCTTTATGATTGGAGCCAAGAAGCGCTACCAAATTCAGATGTGCACGTCTGCATTTTGCAAAACCGAGGCCGTGCAGACCTATCGGTCCCTGGTTAAGCAGCGGCGTCGATGGTTCTTGGGCTTCATCACGAACGAAGTCTGTATGTTAACAGATTGGAGACTCTGGAAGCGGTACCCGTTCCTGATATTTGTCCGGTTTTTACAAAACACGATTCGAACGACGGCTCTGCTCTTTTTCATCATGGTGTTTTCACTAATTACAACGGTAAAAAAGGTGAATGACCTGCCTGTTGGGTTCATCGCTATCTCTCTCGGACTCAACTGGCTGCTGATGCTGTACTTTGGAGCCAAGTTGAGGCGGTTTAAGATTTGGTTGTACCCGCTTATGTTCGTTTTGAACCCGTTTTGCAACTGGTATTACATGGTGTACGGGATCTTTACCGCAGGACAACGAACATGGGGCGGGCCGCGAGCCGATGCGGCGGCGGCCGACTCCCACACGACAGCACGGGAAGCAGTTGAACAAGCTGAAGAACAGGGGGATGAACTCAATGTAGTTCCGGAGACGTTCAAAGCCGCACATGTGGCTCGCAGAGCAGCCTCCAAGCCAGAGTCGGCTTCGTCGAGTGGGCTTGAACGAACAGGAAGTGTGGTCCGACCTCCTGACAAGATTGACGGCCGATTCTCGGCGAGGCAGAGAACAGCGGCAGGAACATATGCACACCTCGACGAGTGCGAGGCGAATCTCGATGTCGAGACTGGGCTGTCTGGCCGCAGAGACTTGCACCGGCAGCAAGATGATAGGCACCGGCGAAACTCTCTGGACAGCACCTTATCCGACGCAACAGCAGGCAATGAAACCGTCACATCACAACAAGTAGAGGTCTTCATGGACGACGAAGACCGCCGAAAGTATGAGATTGCGCGGTTACTGAAGTGGGGAAGTTCGAGCGTTACTCCAGAGAGAGGCACGCAAGAGGGACTCGAGCTAATGGATGTTCCTGTGAGAGCAGCGGGTTACCTGACAGCAGTAGAACCGAGACCTGCTAATTGTCAGTATGATAGAGTTCCGGTGGGCAACGCGACCTCGAGAGTCTCTGGGGAGGGTACGGCGAGAGCGTTGAGAGCGAGTGAACAAGGCATGACATCGGGGCAACCTGTTAGAGGACATCATACGTCGTTTGCAAACCGAATAACACGCGTCCAACAGATGGTCACTCGATTGGAGGACGGGAAGTTTGGAGCTGAGAAGAAGTGAGAGGGAAGAAAAGGAGAGGAGTTGTGTTGGGATGTCGGAAGAAGCGGAAGGATGAGCGATGAGCCGCTTCAGGAGCGATGACATATTTTCTGTTTGTGCGCTAAATCAAGTTGCTAACAATTTCTTAGAGGGGATATTTTGCACATGGAGAGAGTATCTTCCCCTTCGTCAGAGAAATTTATAATACGATATCTCTCCAACATATGCTAGGCCGAAAACAAAACTTGATTTACTACAGCCCATCTCAGTATTAGGACCGGTATGGTTTGACGTTGCATTTAAAAGGTCGCTGACAGGTAGGTGGAAGACAGAATCAGGATTCATATGTACAATGAGGGAAGCTGTTCATCACAGAAGCCTTCATCGGTTACTCAATTAGACCAAGCGTCTATGGTGTAGTGGTTAGCATTGTTGCCTTCCAAGCAATAGGGAGGGGTTCAATTCCCCTTAGTCGCATTTTTTTGCTCTCAATACTTTTTGTCTCTTGATGTTTTGGTGGAATGGGGCATTTGTAAGTCGATGGGTGCGTAGTTCATTTACCCTGATTGTGACTCTTGTGTTTGGTTGGCATGTTAGATAATATGTAATTGGTCAATAGGCGATGATAAATGGCTGGATGGGGTCAGCAGTTGGCAGGTGAATACACTGGTTAACTTGATGATGAAATGCCCCGCCATGTGAGAAGCTTCCCAGTCCTATTCTACGAGTCTAGGACAAAGGAAATCCGTGGTGTTTATCTATGGAGGAGAGGCTGCAATGAAGATGGTGGGAGTTGATACCCGGGTGGGCGGGCTAGCCAGTCACAAGTGCATACACGACAAGGAGGTTGGATTGGGCTGCGGGAACCCAATTGGGACAAATATGGAAGCCCAAAGTATCAGCCATACTACTATTTACCATGTTCTTTATTACTCATCCTCCACTCGATTTTCTATTCTCGGAAGAGCATGGGATTAAGACTGACAAAAAAGTAGTCGGGAAGGGCGGTACGGTAGGCGGCTTTAGTTCTAGCGGGAGAGGAGAAGGAGAGTCTTGGGGAGTCTTGGCAGGTGGATTGAGGTGTGTCAAAGTCATGCAAACGCCAAAACTCGCAAACGAACGACGGTGGCTACTGGCCATTATGTGCTTACAGTTAGTCATGGTCATGGAGAATGCGAATGGCGCATGATCAAGCGCGTGGTTGCTGCTCTGACGGAGGGTGGGTGAGTGGGTATAATCCAGCTCCGTCGTCCAGAGAGAGCTGCCAACAACACGCACAATCTGGAAACTTCTTTGGCTTTCTCTGGGTGTGGATACGGCTTTTTTTTCTGATGCCAGCGGCGGCGGGGGAGGGGCGAACCAACCAAGGAACAGGTACTCCATACTGTATAAGCTGAAAATGCTTGGTACTGTGCCGCTGCCATGTACTTACTACGTAGGTAGCACAACAACTTATTATGCGCTACGTAATAAGGCGAATGCGAGGCGGAGTGGGAGAGTCGAGGAAAAACGAGGCGACTAATGACAGGGCAGTCGAATGAGTCGTCAGCCACAAGCTGGGTTACACGTTACACACCACAGCCAATTAACAAGGGTGGAACAATAACAGGGCCCGAGAGATCTGATATCGCCCAATCTTGTTTCGGGAGGGGGATCCAGATGCCTGGACAGGCCCCTGTAAAAGCAGCCGCCAAACGGTTGTTGCCATGCCATGTCATAGAGGGCCATCCATGTCATGGAGAACCAAACCGAAGGTTGTGGTTGATTCCACCAGAGTCTCTCTTGCGCTGCGGCCGCGAAAGCACAGACAGGACACCTAGGTACCTCTGCAGCGCACTGTAGCCGTCGGCAGTTCCAGGTACCTCGGACTCCTACCCACCCACACACAACGCAGACATTCACCGACGGACGTGCTGTAGACGCTACCGCCATGATCCTCCGTAGTAGGCCGCAGCGCGAGTAGGCTGTCCGCTCCAGGGCGCTTGCTCCATCCCACAGCAAGTGTCTGCTACTTGCTGCCGACACCGTCTGCGGTTGATTAACCGAGTACCCTGTACCTGCGGCGCAGGCGGGAAACTAAAATTTTCCCTCTGTTGCCCGTCCCGTTTCCCGCTGCGTCGTGGACGTGGTAGTGGCTGTTGAATGCGCTGCGTGCGCTGCGTGCCTGCTGCCTCCTACCTAACTCAGCTTATCGTCCCAATCTTCCCCTCCATTAATCATTACCCCCCCCCCCTCCCCCTCCACTCTACAAAAAAACAACCCAGCCCAAACACCTTTTTCACTCTCCATCCCACATCCCCACGACGACTCTCCAACTCGCTCGCGCCCGCCCCCCGTGAGCCTGTGCACTTCTTCTCTTTCTCCGTATCCCCCTTCTGCCAGTGCGCGCGTGCCCCGGGGCAAACCCCACCAACCGAAATCATGAGTGTCGTCGGTGAGTTTTTCCTGTTGCCCCTCGCTGGGTGCTGTGCCGGTCCCTGTCCTCTTTGGAGGGGCGTCACATAACCAAATTCGAGTTCGTGGCTGACCCAAACCTTGCGTTTCCCAACCTACAGGTGTAGATTTCGGAACCCTCAAGACCGTCATTGCCGTCGCGAGAAACCGCGGCGTGGACGTGGTGCGTATCCTCTTTCTCCTTCCTCTCGTCTTCTCCGTTTCCCTCTTCCCCGCCAAGTCGCCATCCCGGATCCCCTCGCCTCCCCTCCTCCCCGCCATGCCATCCATCCTCGAGAAACTATCGTCAACCTGACCAACACCACTCTCACGATCCGCGATGCCCGTCTACCAACTCTCCTGACTAACACCCGATCTAGGTCACCAATGAAGTCTCCAACCGAGCTACCCCGTACGTCCTCCCCTCTTGCGCTCTCCTTTCTTGCGCTGCGCCCCACGCCGCTCTCCCCGGCGCCATCGTGTTCCCTTTACTGACATGCTCGCCTCCTACAGCTCCATGGTAGGATTCGGCGCCAAGTCCCGCTATCTTGGTGAATCCGCCAAGACCCAGGAGATCTCCAACCTCAAGAACACTGTCGGCTCCCTCAAGCGTCTCGCCGGTCGAACTTTCGCCGATCCCGATATTCAGATCGAGCAGCAGTACATTACTGCGCCTCTTGTCGATGTCAATGGCCAGGTCGGTGCCGAGATCAACTACCTGGGCAACAAGGAGAAGTTCTCTGCCACTCAGCTCGTTGCCATGTACCTTAGCAAGATCAGACAGACCGCCGCCGCCGAGCTCAAGCTCCCCGTCTCCGACATCTGCATGACTGTGCCCCCGTGGTTCACAGACGTCCAGCGCCGCGGCCTCATTGACGCCGCCGAGATCGCTGGCCTCAAGCTCCTCCGCCTCATCAACGACAACACAGCCGCCGCTCTCGGCTGGGGTATCACCAAGCTCGACCTTCCGGGCCCCGAGGAGAAGCCCCGCCGTGTCGCTTTCGTCGACGTCGGCCACAGCAGTTACACCTGCTCAATCATTGAGTTCCGCAAGGGTGAGCTCTCCGTCAAGGCTACCGCCTGGGACCGCAACTTTGGTGGCCGTGACTTCGACAAGGCCCTCGTCGACCACCTCACCAAGGAGTTCAAGGGCAAGTACAAGGTTGACATCACCACCCACGGCCGAGCCATGGCTCGTACCATCACCGCCGCCGAGAAGACGAAGAAGATTCTCTCCGCCAACCAACAGTCTCCCGTCAACATCGAGTCTCTCATGAACGATATCGATGCTACTAGCATGATTACCCGACAGGAGTTCGAGGCTATGATTGAGCCCCTCCTTGCCCGTGCCCATCTCCCTCTCGAGCAGGCCCTCGCCCAGGCTAAGCTCACCAAGGAGGACATCGACATCATCGAGGTCGTCGGTGGTGGCTCCCGTGTCCCCGCCCTCAAGGAGCGCATCCAGGAATTCTTCGGCAAGCCTCTTTCCTTCACCCTGAACGCCGACGAGGCCCTTGCCCGTGGTTCCGCCTTCAGCTGCGCCATTCTCTCCCCCGTCTTCCGTGTCCGTGACTTCTCCGTCCAGGACATCATCAGCTACCCCATCGAGTTCGGTTGGGAGAAGGCTCCTGATATCCCCGACGAGGACACTTGTCTTACCGTCTTCAACAAGGGCAACGTCATGCCCTCCACTAAGATCCTTACCTTCTACCGCAAACAGCCCTTCGACCTTGAGGCCCGCTACGCCCAGCCCGAGGAGCTCCCCGGCAAGACCAACCCTTGGATTGGTCGTTTCTCCGTCAAGAGCGTCAAGGCTGACGGCAAGGACGATTTCATGATCTGCAAGCTCAAAGCCCGTGTTAACATCCACGGTGTCCTGAACGTAGAGAACGGCTATTACGTCGAGGACCAAGAGGTCGAGGAGGAGATCAGCGAGGAGGGTGACAAGAAGGATCCCGATGTGAGTAGCCTGGCCAAGTTAATTCTCAACAGCCGTTCGCTGACATTTGCTACCCCGCAGGCCATGGAAACTGATAAGAAGGACGACGGTTCTAAGAAGACCCGCAAGGTCAAGAAGCAGGTCCGCAAGGGTGACCTGCCTATCTCTAGTGGCACTGCTTCTCTAGATGACGCCTCCAAGGCTGGTCTGATCGAGAAGGAGTCTACCATGGTTATGGAAGATAAGCTCGTCGCCGATACCGAGGAGAAGAAGAACGAGCTCGAGGCCTACATCTACGACCTCCGTGCTAAGCTCGATGAGCAATACTCTGAGTTTGCCAGTGACGAGGAGAAGACGAGCATCAAGGCTAAGCTCGAGGCTACCGAGGTACGTTAACGCAGTTCCTGCAGAGGGTCACACCCATACTAACATATTATCGTAGGACTGGCTGTACGAGGAGGGCGAGGATACCACTAAGGGTGTGTATGTTGCCAAGATTGACGAGATTCGCGCCATGGCCGGCCCCATTGTCCAGCGCCACTTTGAGAAGGTTGACGCTGAGCGACGAGCTGTCCAGGAGCGTGTGGACGCCGAGCGTGCTGCTAAGAAAGCCGCTGAGGAAGAGGCTCGCAAGGCTGCTGAGGCTGAGAAGGCCGCCCAGGGCGGAGACCAGGAGATGAAGGACGCCGATGCTACCCAAGAGGAGGGTGCCTCCCAGTGAATGCGCTGATTTTAAGCAAGGATGGGTTGTGGATTATATGACGTGAGGACGACAAAATAAAACGAGGCACAAAGAAGACGAAGACCAAGAAGATGAAATGATGAGAAGCAGCATAGAAATGCCCACGGTTGCACGGCTTTATTGGGGAGGGATCATCATGACGGATATGTACCCGCGTTAGACCACTTTTACACCTTAGTCGCTAGGATCAAGAAACCAAGTTGGTTCAAGTAGTACCTGGCTGATTTATGTGTCTGTGACTCCTCGGCCGTTCCGCTTTGCACTAAACCGAGATGGGAGAAAGATTTGGGTTTGGCCTGATCTGTGGCGTGAGTTCTGAAGACATTAAAATGACGGTGAATCGTGGGCAAGGGGCCGTCACACAAACCCAGGAGAGGTGCTTGATGATAATAAAGGCGAGAAGCACAAGCCAGAAATGCAAGCTTGGACAAGTCGTGCTATAGTTATGGGATTGATGTTAACTGGAGATGCCATCAGAGGCATGTAGATCATTACAGAGTAGGCACGGTAGATAAGATGATGTGTTTCGCTTTTGGATACTGCCTCTATATATTTTGTGACCTCTCTCGCGATTCCTGTCCTGTCCTCTCTCGCTCCTCTCTCTCTCTTCTCACCGCCAATGTACGTTACACGACGATAACTTATCTTCACCAGACGCAATTTTCGTTCCTTCATCCATGATCCCACAACGGCGACACTTCTTTTCTTAATAGGGGGGAGCCAGAGAGAGAGAGAGTAGAGCGGGGAAGGGAGAACAGGGAGAAATACTCATCTGTCTGCGCGCCTGGAACCGCTCTTGAATCCAGGCGAATCATACTATCCCTCGCCCCCGGGTAGACGGAGCGCGCGCTCTCGGCCCCTGAGGTGCGTTTAGTTGATGTCAAAGAGGGGCTTGAGTTTGATGATGAGCTGCCACTCCTCATTAGAGACTTCCTTGCGGTAGAACTCCTTGAGGCAGTCAATGCTGGCTCGCGAGACGAGACTGTAAAGAGTGTCATCCTCCTCAAGATGGCGGCCATACGTAGGCTGATGGCCGCCCATCTCGATCTTGACAGCGACTGACGGCTGACCCTTCTTGACCACGGGGATCTGCTTGTGGTCTCGCTCGATTCCAGTCCTAAAAGAGGCCAAGGTTAGTTTCACGGATCACCTTCTTTTCTCAGGTAAGGAAATTGACTCACACTCTGCCCAGGCTGATAATCTCCTTGGCACCGGTGATGGCGTTGGTCTTCACAGCGGCAATGGGCGTGTTGACCTTCAGCTGGCCGTCCACGACATCGACACCCACGACGATGGGACCGGTCTTGTTGAAGACAGCGACGGGCTTCAGCACGCAGGGGAAGACGGCCAACATCTTGGACTCCTCCTTCTTCTTCTCCAGCATCTCGTCCATGTGCTTGGTGAATGCATCAAACAGATGGTAGATGATGTCGGCAGTGAAGATACGGATGCCCTGCTCCTCGGCATATGCCATGGCTTCCTTGTCGACCTTGACATCGAAACAAAGCATGACGGCATAGTCAGGAGACTTCTCCAGCATGACACCACACTGCATGACATCTCGCTTGTATACAGGACCGATGCCGACGTTGGCGACAGGAATCTTACAGTCCTTGAGGAAATCTAGCAGGGCTTCTAGCGAGCCTAGGGTCGAGGCTTGGACACTGACACCGCGGCCGGACTTTTCGACTCGGCTGAGCAGCAGGGCTAGATCGGCCTCGACCTCGTCCTCAATGTCCTCCTCGTCATCATCGGGGCCAACGACCATGAGGCGAGAACCAGCGATAGCACCTTCGAGACCAGGGGCACTGATCTTGACACCCAAAGCAGCCTTGACCTCCTTGTTGTGGACGTACGTCGACTTGAGACGCAGCTCTCTGAGCGGTGCTGGCGTGAGCAGAGCCCTGATGTTTGTTTTGATAGCTCCTTCAGTACCGCACAACACAATTCGATCGCCTTCTCGTAGGTAACCGTTGGAGAGGATGACGTCAATGGTCATACCGAAACCCTCAATGGCCTTGACTTCGAGGACGGTGGCCTGAACCTCGGAAAGGTACATGATGGAGCCGACCATTCGCTCTTGAGTGAGCTGGATGATGAGCTTCAGCATGTCGGGAACACCCTCACCAGTGTGGGCGGACGTAGGCACGAGTGACACAAACTTGGCCATGGACTTGTTCTCATAGAAGAGCTCTGAGTTGAAACCTTGCTCGGCAAAGGCCAACTTGGTTGCCTCAAGGCGGGTGTTGAACTCGTTGTGGACAGCCTTGTTCTGGAGAGCGAAACTCTCCTGGAAGCCGTTGTTGTCGACCTTCTTCCAGCCGTAGAGACGATCGATCTTGTTTAGGGCGACAATAAAGGGCGTCTTTCGCTCTCTCAGCATGCGCATCGACTCGAGAGTCTGAGGCTCGAGACCGTGCATGATATCGACCACCAGGATGGCAATGTTGCACAGCGACGAACCACGGGATCGGAGGTTAGAGAAGGACTCGTGGCCAGGGGTATCGATAACGAGCAGGCCGGGCACTTTGAACTCGAACTTGTTGTCCTTGTTGACGACAGCAGTCTTCTGCTTGATGGCGTCGACGGGGAAGTAGGTAGCACCAATCTGCTGCGTAATACCACCGGCTTCGCCTTCCTGGACGTTGGTCTGTCGGACCTTGTCCAGAAGCTTGGTCTTTCCAGTATCGACGTGACCCAGAATACAGCAAATGGGTGATCGGAGGTTGTCCTTGGATCGAGCTGCGAGTGCGGCCTGGTGGGCCTTCTCGCGACGCTCTGCCGCCTCGCGCTTTCGCTGAGCCTCGGCTTGTCGGACGGCTGACACTTCCTCGTCTTCAGAGTCGGATTCAGATTCATCAGAATCGTCGCCATCTTTATCACCACTGGCTTGCTTGCCACCGGCCTCCTTGTCGTTGGCATCATCGCCACTCTCAGCATCCCAGCTGTCCTTGACTTCGTTGTCAGAAGCCGCGGCGGCCTCCCAGTCATCCTCGATATCGCTTTCTGCAGCGGCCTTCTCGGCAGCAGCCTTGGCTTCAGCCTCAGCCTTCTCGCGGGCGACCTTCTCCTCAGCCTCCTTGAGAGCATCCTCGGCTTGCTGTCTTGCTCGGTCAGCGGCTTCGGCCAGAGCCTTCTCCTCGTCAATCTAGGGAAATGTTAGTGATTACGAGGTTCTCGTTGCGTCAATAGGGGGGTCGCATACCTTCTGCTGGGTTCTGCTCTTCTTCTTCCGGGCGTCTGCGGCGGGCTTGCTCCTGGGCTCGTTGTCTGCCTGGGGGCCGACCTTGATGCCGGCAGCCAGCATCTGCTGGAGCTTGCGCTCATTGCGAGCCTTCTCCTCCTTCTGGGCCTTGGTCATGAACTTGCCCTCCTTCTTGAGTTGCTCGATCCTCTCTTTCTCCTTCTGCTTCTTGATGGCCTTGGCCTCCTCGCGGCGCTTCTCCTCCTCGGCGGCCAGACGCTCTTCCTCCTCAGCCAGGGCCCGCGCCTCGGCCTGAGCGCGGGAATCCTCTTCGGCTCGTCGACGGAGCTCCTCCTGCTGTTTCTGGATCAAAGCAAGGTGGGCGGGGATCTTCTTCTTCTTGCCTCCTGTCTCGGGGGCGGGCGCGGCGGCGGCGTCGGGAGTGGGAGCAGCGGCCTCCTTCGCCGGCTCGGGGGTCTTTGCAACGGGTGCAGGTGCAGGCGTCCTCTTCTTGGCGGCCTGGCATGACGAGTTAGACAATACGTCTATAAGATAGAGAATGGCTGACACATACCTGTTCCTTCTTTCGCATCTTCTCACGCTCCTTCTTAGCCTTCTCCTTCTCGGCCTTGGTCAAGACACGGCCGGAGTCGGCATCATCGCCAGCAGCGGGCTCGTTCTTCTTCGCTTGCTGCTGCTTGTTCTTGCCGCCCTTGCCCTTCTTCTCGGGGAGGGCGAACTCGTCGTCCATGTTGGCCTCGGTGGGGGCCTTGGCAGAGAGGTCCTCGACGGGGGCTGCGACGGGCTCAGGGTCCTCGTCGACGATGCCCTTCTTCTTGCGCCTCTCCTTGTTCTTTCGCAGCATGGCCATCAGGCCGCCGCCACCGGCTTCGTCGTCATCGTTGGCGTCGCCGTTGGCATCACCAGCATCGGCGGCGGGCGCCTGCGGGGCAACGCTCTCGCCCAGCTCCGACTCCCAGTCGTCTTGGGCCTTCTTGTTTCCTTTCTTCTTGGGCGCCATCTGGGCGGTATTGGCGGCTGGTCCTCGGGTCGAAAGATGCAAGAGTCAAGTGTCAAGCCCTGCAGCGTCCAGCGTCCACAATCGTGAGTAGTGGCGAGGGGCGACTTTTTTTTTGCGGAGGATGCAACGAGAGTTGACTCTCTGGGTATGGCCCGTTTGGCTGGGTTCGCCTGCGGGACGAGGACGAGGTGGGCTTGGGTCACTGCTACGGGGTTTAGGCGGGGCAGCGGCAGCCCACTATCAGCTATCGGGTCGCCGTCGTGCTGTTTCGCTGGCTTCTGGCCGCTGTAACAGGGCTTTCACATCAGAACACTGTCGAAGCTCCTGGCAGCATCCAATACTTGCAATATGCTCTATCTCGGCCGTTTGGGACTTGGAATTGTCCCGTAGTTGAGCTTCTGAGGAATCCACCCCGCACTGTTCGTGATGTGAGGATACAATGCCCCTCGGGAACTAGTACCAGTTAGGTACACAACGAAAGAGGGCTATGACGCCGTTGGGTTGCCTGAGAAAAAAAAAGAGTAAACACCCAGAATATTTTGTGAATGCCATATTATGTAAGCACATAACCTCCCTCTTACATCAACACCATCTTGGTTCCCAAGGTAGGTAGAGAAACAAACACGGGGATTCCAGAGCATACCTATACAAGGTAAATGAGAAGCTCGATTCCAGACCGGCTCCTTATATTTTGTCTTGTATCTCATTTTTTTTCTTTTCCTTTTCTTCTTTGGCATTGTCTTCTTCTTCTTCCCTCTAACAAGCAAGGCCCATTCTTTTGATACTGCGTTGTCTGTCTAAATAACATTTCGATGAGTCTGGACTTCATCAATTTTTTCTTCTCTTACCTCATCCTGTATATTCCATCCGTCGCACGAGTTCATCGTGTTGTTATAGAAGCACCCAAAACGACGTTCTGTAAAGCTCATATCCATCGTGAATCATGTCCCCTCCTCCCCACTTTTTGCAACACAGAAACTCGCAAATAGCGATGTGAGCTTTACTCAAAATACTGGTGCCAGGAGATACGTCAGGATGTCGTAGCCCAGCTCGAAGTATCTTTCCCGCCCGTCCTCCACGCCGTCTCGGAAACCCGCGGTGTAAGCCCCATCGCCGATATCATCAAGGTACTCGTAAAACAGATCGAGCCCGTCTCCAAAAGTTGTGAGGTTCTCCAGTGCTCGGAGGTCGAGGCACCGCCGCAACACATCGCCGTTGATGTGCATCATATCAGGGTACGGTTGAGGCTCCAGATCCAGGTCCAGATCCATGTCCATCTCCGCGTCTGGCTTCGAGAAACCATCATATGTGAACGGGCATATCGCTGGAGTAAGTTGGGCCAGATTTTGAATCAAGCGCAGGAACCGCCAAAGTTCCAGCCCAATCAGTGAAAAGTGTTGCAGTGAGCCATCCAGGGAGATTCCCAAGATCTCTGCCCCATCGACCGTGCTGGATAAGCTATTATAGCGACGTTCGCGATCCACACTCAACCATAGTGGACGGGTGCGCCCTCGCCGGAACCTCCTCACCGAAGTCGGCAGTATTCCCTCGAAAACCACACCGAGTTCCTTGTTCCGCTGCCCCCAGGGCACCCACAAACCCGCGATACCACCTTGCCCGGTTGAGACGAGATTGACTGGCCACTTCCTTGACCGTTCAACCGAGTCTCCCACTTCAATCAGGTGCCAAGTATATCGCGTCACTTGATCACTATGGATGAGTGATATATCTGTCGCTTCTGATTCCACGTGCAAGTCTACTACTTGCAAGGAATGACTTGTGGTCAAGACACAAACCTTGCCATTCGTTATCTGCAATGATACCCCTGGAGAGTCGAGTTGAAACTGCTTCATCGGCTTCAATTTCTTGTCCACGAGGTCGAGAACTTCCCAGTGCAAGACGCTGCCGACACAGAAAAGTAGGCCTGCTGCATCTCCCACAACCGAATAGATAGGCTCTTCAAATCCCTTCTTCTTGTATCGGGTCCAATATCGTAGGTGTCTGACCCTGCCGTTGCTAGTTTCAATTTCTTCGACTGTAACCGATACGATCAGTAGCAGGCCCTGCTGTGTTGTCACGATGATGAAGCAGAAGGTCCTCCCGTCTTTGACGTAGAGCCACTCGCTGAGTCCAAACACCTTATCCCCAGGTTGCCCCAGTCCCGAAATATACTCGGATGATTGCATGTCCTTGTCAGCAGGGCTAGAGATGATCTCCCCAGAGTCTGGATCCACAAATGAGAGCGTCGGGCCATGATTCTTCAGATGTGCAACAATGAAACATTTCCATGTCTGAGAATAAATGACCCTGAATGGTGTCCCTTCAAGCGGGATGTTTCGAGGCACTGGGCCAACATGGGGCCACATCTCCGCGAGAAGTATACGAGACCCTGCCAACATCATCAAAGACATGTGGCCACGATATCCGGACAGACTCTGTTCAAGGCAGTGAACCGAGTGGATTGGCGGTGATGGTAGAGAGGAGTCATTCGAGTCTGTCGGCCAAATGGGATTTTTCGTTTGAAACCGGAGGTGTCGCTGAGAAAAGTCCGTCATGACAATCAAGCTGTTGTCGCAGCAAGCAAAGACTGCAGCATCTCCGCCAAAGGGGTGAGAGGCGGTGAACACGTTCACGGGAGCCATACCCAGACGTTCCACAGAGAATGATATTCGCTTAGTGCCTTGTTGGCCGACTCTGCCAGTGACTAGGTGGCCGCTCCGAGTGCCGAAGACGAGGACAACATCATCCACTCCCTCCGTCAAGACTGAGATGCTTGTAAAAGCTTCCATCTGGCCATGGGGCGCCATGCCATTGACATCTAAGACTGGATTAGCTATGCCGCTGAAGTTAAAAGTTATGAAGGATGATCGAGTACCGTTCAATGCCTCGCTGACAATCGCGCCACCTTCAGAGGAATAAATCGATATCCAAGGAGATCCATCCATCACCGAACCCGATACGATCAAAGTCTGCTCTGAGTATGTGAATATGGAAATGCAAGTGACTTCTCCTTGTGCGTCCCATGACATAGCTCGCGAGACGTTCATCTGGTCTATTTCTAGGATGTGGAGCTGAGATGCCTGGTCCTTGTGGCTAGAAATCACCACGAGGTCATCCTTGCAAAAGGCGTTCTCGGCCATAATGTCGCCCAGTCTAAGGATGTCGGCGTGGTTGTGTCGCGAGCTGCGATATAGTGATTAGCGTCCTGTCACTAAGAATTGATGTGCATGAAACTCGCGAGAGACCCATGGGAATATACCTTTGCGATGGAGCAACCAGAGTTACGGATGCCTCTGTAATCTGCACTATAGTCCCGTGTGCATTGTGGACAGCATAGATAGTCCGGGAGGTTGTGTCAAACGGTGAGGCGTCTGGAGTCAAGGCGTTGGCATTGGTAAAATCGCTGGAGAGATGAAGCACATCGGACGAGTGCGGTAGGGATAGGACAGCGTAGAAACCCATTTCGCCGCGGATCTCGACTGGAAACATCCACGACTGTCGAACTGGTTGATCGTACTCGAACTCCAGTCCAATTCTAGCCTGGATTCCCCATCGTAGCTCGGTCAGGCTCGAGTTAGGTCCACGACCTGCAGTGCAGAATATACGGTCAGGCTTTCTCAAAGCACTTGACGAACCTCTTCGTATCGAATTTAATTCGCTAGCCTGGGCTTCCGCGGTCCAAGAGGGGTATTCATCCGTCGTAGCCAGGTCGATTACGGGAGACCAGTTGGGGATGGTGCTCGTGTGTACCAAGGTACTGCGAGCGGGAATCTATCAAAGCAATAGTCAGCCGAAGCACTATCAGCAAAGCCACTCGCCAACTTACCTTCCAAATGCCACCAGAACCCGAGTCCCCCCCGATTATAAGGACGTCTGCAAAAAGGTCGTATGCGGTAGTGAACGCCGTGGAGATATTCGTATTGATGGCTCCAACGTGAGTCACTGAAGTCAACAGGTCGTGCTCATCTATCTCGACATGGATAACGAATCCATCTTCACGAGCCAGATAGATGATATCCTTCTTCTCGAAATATTCCCGTCGACGAAATGGCCTCGACCATGCAGTCCAGAGCGGCTCACCGGCTCCATGATGCAGTTTTGTTGGGCCAGGAGCATTAGTAACCAGCGCCTCGAAGCCGGTCGGCCCCTCCATGGTACATTTGACCATACCTATAGACTCCTCAGAAACGACAAGAAACGCCGTGTTGAATCGCAGAGGAATCATCAGCAGGGGCATTTGATGCTCGTCTGGGAGGCGGGAGCCTGGCTTCTCCTGGGCGAAAACGGACTTGAGGTCGTCACCAAGCTCCCATTCGTAATGAGCTAGGAAGGAGGTGTGGGCATGATGATTCCCGTCTCGTCGGGCTATGACGAGGAGCAAGTTAATGTGATAGTCATCATTTAGCTTAGGGTGCAAGAACTCCATCTTGCTGATCACGCCATTGACTGGGCGAATGCGAATCGATTTGACGGGTTTGAATGATCCATCGCGCATGTACTGAGCACTCAGGGTCTCTAACGATTCCAGTTCATACACGACAAATGCGCCTTCAGCGGAAGCGGCAGCAATGTAGTGTGATGTCGGGCTCGCGGCAAAATGGAAGCCCAGGTACTTAAGATTCCTCGGGCTTTCATACCTGGTAGTGATGATCTCGGGGGTACCATCGGCGCGCTCCCGGATGAAGAGGAAGACACAATCCCCAGACTCGAGTGCTAAGACGAGCAGCTGGGGAGGGAGATGCCGTGGCCGTTCGGTTCCAGGGGGTTTCGTGGCATCTTTCATAAGGACATCAGAATCCTCCGGCTTGATCAGCCTGGAAGGGTGGTTGTCGAAACCGTCCGGAGGGGGTGAGCCAAGGACAACGGCATTTCGAATTCTGGTGCCAAAGTCGGATTTCCTAATGATTTCGTGAGCTTGTCCATCTTCGCGAAGTTCGCTGATTTGAACGAAGCGGTCCTAGGCGTGTTAGCAAATTTCCAAGACGGAACGGTTGAGGGGTAACAGTGCAGCTCGGGCTGAGCGATGTATACGTCTGTCTCCTCCTCGAGACCTCGGGGCGAGGTGGCGACCGCCCTTGGCGATCTTACCAAAGACGGTTTCCTAGACTTCGCACACAGGCGATTTGGCCACACACAGCGCGATGTCAGGTTTTACGGGAGGGTGAGGGGTGAGGGATCGGGACGAGATAGGGGGACGGAAGCCGCGGCACCAGAGGCAAGAACTTACGCCGATAAAGGCAACATCGTTGGAGCACTGAGACCGGAGTCGCACGGGGAAAATCCAATGAATAATAGGGCTCTCGACAACGGTGCTGGACAGGATGCCGCAAGTTGGCACCTCAGGACGAGGCTCTGCGGCGAGTTTGGGTGCGGTTGAGGCTTTCAAGGCGTCCTGGAAGTTGACCGTCTCGGTCACCCACTCGCCATCTCGGAGAACACTGCTCTGAAAAGCCATGCTGACAGCCGCATGGCATCAAAGCCGGAGCAGGTCAACGACGTGGAAGCTCGAGGGCTCGAGGGCTCGAAGACTCAAAGGCTCGAAGGCTCGAAGGCTCGAGGACTAGGGAGCCAAAGAGCGGGAGCGGGAACGGGAGCGGGAACAGGGTCGGATCGGTGGGACAAGGACAAGGTTTTGCCTAAGCGGCGCACAGAAGATGCACTCGAGTCGTTGGTCTTCGGCCGGGGAGTGAGAGCATCTTAGTAGTGCCTGTGTCCGCGTGTGCGTGCGTGTGCCTGTGTGCCCGTGTGCCCGTGTGTCTGTGTGTGTGCGCCTGTGTGAGTTGGCTGTGGCTCGTCTCTGGACGGGCTTGATCCTGGCTGGTCCGCTCAAGGCTTGTCCGCTCAAGGCTGGTGTGGTCTTGGGAGCCAACACGACAAGGTGGTGCACTGGTGCGTGCAGTCCCAACGCCAGCCAGTCGACAGTCGACTGTCGACTGTCCACACGTCCACTGTCCACCAGCCTGCAGTCCACAGTCCGTAGTCCACCAACTGTCCACTTCCGGAGACGAGCAAGCGCGACAGCGAGGGAGCTGGAGCAAGGGGAGGGGCAGAGGGCGAGGGCGAGGGCGAGGGCGGAGGGGCCCTGGAGAAGATTGGTATCAGACAGGCCACCAGGGGTGTGCCGAGGAGTTCACGAGCGGTACTTGTGGTGCAAAAGGCGGCAACAAGACAGAAAGAATTAGCCTCCTCCGGAAGCAAGTATTCTGGGCAAGCTGGGGCAAGCCAAATGGCTACCTAGGTAGACAGCAAGCCAAGCCGGCAAAAGACAAGACCAACACGAGGCAAGCCAGCGTCCAGGCGTGGCGGTCACGCGGCTGACCGTCAGCGTGAGTGTGAATGCGAATCTGAAGCCCAACTTGGACTCCCCGACTTAAGCCGGTTGCTCCTCTCTTCTCCCGCACACGTCCGTCACAGGCAGGCCTATCTTCGATTGATGGTGTCCGTGCTTGTAGGGCTACCCCCACAGGATAAATGAGGCCACTCGACGAAATGGGATGGGTTGGATTTGGCAGTGGCTCTGTTGCAATCCTAATTCGAACGATGGCCGTTGATGGATGAGATGAGATTGAGGCTAGGTGGAAGGGATTCGACCGCCAATCAGTACCTACGTAAGGTAGTTACAGGAGAGGCCACTGTCTCCCTTGCAAAGAGGTACCTTAGGTACTGTACCCGACACTGACACCTCCACTCCTGGCCTACAACACCATGCTTTATTAAAGCCGCGGTGTAGCTCTCAAAAACCCAAGCCCGTACCGTGCACCTGTGCAAAGGCCCTGACCGCTACTAAGGAAGCAAGCCAGAGGCGTAGAGAGAGACATGAGTCCGTCAGGCCAATCCAACAGCAAGGTTAGTACCACATCCGGGATTCCAGGCCCGAGTGTACTGGAAGCGGGGGGGATCAGCTCCCAGCGGCCTTCTGTAGCCCCGTTCCAAGCCAACCACAGCTGCGGCCATGCGCCTGGAACCCGCTACCCGTGGCACAGTTGCACCGTACGACGCGGCTCGGCCCCGCTAGACAAGCGCGGTTGAAACTGCTGGGCCGCCACAAGGTCCGCTAAACAGCTGCCGAGACCACACCTGCGGAAGAATTACAAAAGAGAAACCATCGAGATTCGCGACCTAATAAGGTCTCTAATACAGGTCTCTAAACCTGGAAAGTTACACCAGCCCTCCTAATGAACAACCCAACGGCATCCAACAGCAGCGCAGCCTCCCCTTTACACTGAGGACGTCCAAGACGGCCTTGTGCCAGTGGTCCAATGCAGGTAGAGAGAGAGCACTTACGCGTGGCCGCTGGCAAGCCACCGGCCACGAGCGCCGGCATGATACCAACAGTAAATTTAGGTGGACATACCTACCTTGGGGGTGGCGCAGGTACCTGCGGTGCACCACCCAACCGCTGCAAACTCGCAATCTTGCACCCCGCTACACACCCCCCACCCCCCCAACAACCTCTAAGCCCCGGCAGCCTGGGCGCGCCGCCTTCCGCCCTGCCGCGGACCTCCTTCGCTACTCGCCGACGACTTGTTGGTCTCTGGAGCCGGCGCTCATCCCCTTTCCAAAAACCCAGCAAGCCATGTAATCTCTCGCAGTAAAAAGACGCAGTCCGTTCGACATCTGCTCCAGGGATCCCGGTTTTGTCCATTGTCATTCGTTCGTCCACGAGTCCCCTTGTTTGTAGCCCCTGCGCTGTCTCAGAGGGAAGTCTTCCACCCCCGGGACTTGACGCCTACGTGCACCGTCAACGCAGCCATTGAACAACACTGCAATGCAAGCCTCGGACTTCCGCAACACCACCACTCGACCCCCTTTGCTTTACCCATTCACACAAAGTCCAAACTGGGCGTATGGCGCAGGGCTCTTAGATAACGATGTGGCAGCTTTAGGCACCTCCATTCCGAATTTGGCTGATTCTCGACTGACACATCTTGCGTCTGATTTCTGATCCGTCTTCATTGAATTTAGTCGTGAATTCGAGGGTTGCACTCTGTCAGCCGAACCATTGCGCCAGCGTCCAGAGCCGTATGCATATGTCTAGCAGTACGAAGTGCGTAGTGCCGGCACATGAATCAGCTCTCCCCGCAGATGATCTGACCACACCACATCCTCCCTCAAAGGCTACAGTACCCAGAGACTTACGTTCCTGTCTCGGCCGAGCTCTTCCCTTGGTCAGCTGTCTTAATTGACTCACAAAGAGGACCGTATTTCATACTACTTGTGACAACAAAGCTCTGACTGGAAGCCAAGCACCTGGCCATTGGATGTGGCAACGGCTTGCTAATTGTGGTCATTGTCGCTAACGAGTCGAGTCCGATTGCGCGGTCGTCCATCGATCTGCACTAATTAATAGCGGGAGTATCTGTCAACCCACTTCCCCTGTTGCCAGCCGGTCGATCTGATCCGGAACAAGGTCCCCGGGTTGGGGCTTTGGATAAGTATCGAGATATTAGACAGGGCTTGCATCAGCTCTGTAAAGGACCCCAGCAATGGCAGGGGGGGCTGTCGAACAAGACTCGTCAATGAGCAAAAGGTCAGAACTACCGCTCGCAATAATTATCCATACCAATGCAGGCTTCCTCATCATATCAAGAATGGTTATAAATGTCCCACACGTGCCAATGCCCAGCCAGCCGTGTCCGTACATTTGTTAAAGCACCGAGACTTGACAACGCCTCCTCAGAGCCCATAGCTGGCAACTGGTCTCTCTTGGTACTTGTTACATGTTGCATGTACGCTACAATGTCACAGCACCGGCTACGAAAGTGGGTGCGAAATACAGAGTCGCATCTCTGCGCCATCTGTCATATTGTTGTGTGACAACTCAGCTTGAGAGACATGCGCCAAGGAGTTGGCTGCGTACATCATGACGCCGGCCCATTAGACCATTCTAGAGTCGGATAAAACGGACGATATAGCCCTCGGTTCCCCGGATCCCGCTCGGGGAAACTCGCAGCCGCTTCCATGGAGCCTTAGTCCCTATCACCCGCAGCATGACACGCAGGAGGGTTTCGATTCAATGGTTTGACTTGGCCAAATCCAGATATGGATGCATATTACGTACGGGCCATGGAGCATCGGCATGGTTTGAGGCAATATTACTGATCTGAAGACACTGTCTGTGAATCAGTCAGCTTCAGACCGTATATCAGACAGGGTGTACAGGGAAAGGCTACGTAGGTCTGATTCCGCTGTCCATTGTGGAGAGGCACCGATGCCAAAGCAGGGACACCACCACCTTATCAAAACGAGCCTGACTATGGAAGGCGTCGATACTGTCGCAGCCCAAAATCAGGGCCTTGGCGGCATCACGTCTGTGTGGCAGACGAGAAGAAACGGAACCATGTCAAGCTTGCAGTGGTCAGGCTAGGAGAGTTTTCTTTGATTGCGGGTTGACCGGCGATCAAGAGCCATTGATAGCGAATTGTCTTGAAGAACCGAGTGGACCAGCCCAGGTCTGGAAGGTCTGATCTCGCTCGTGGGTTAAGGTCGGCGGGCCTGGGTGGGCCTGGGCCGTATTGACAAGCGGTCCACCGTCCACGCTGTCTTATTAATGTCTCTCTCGTGTAAGGCGGCGAAGGGACGGAAGGAAAAGAGCGAACCATATTGCTAGTTGACGGATGTCCCCTTGCCTCGGAAGTTATTGTTGTCGACCAAGAAGCCTGTAAGCGAGACACGTAGTCGGTGAGGGTCCATCTCGAAATCCCCCGGAGGATGGCTGTGATTGCTCCATGAGTGAATGGTCTAGATCGGTCTGATTATGTCGTCAAGTTGCAACAAAAGTCTTCAGGGTACCCGCCTCGCTCACACATTAGCTTGAAAGCTATCGTCGAGTCTGATGTCGCTGGCCCAAGACCCACGACCTAGGAGACCCACACATTCGACGTTTAGAGGCAAGAAAGAGAGCGCGGGTAGATATTGACGCCGGCTGGCAACGGCAAGGTCCGTTCACTGCGGCTCCGATGGGCTACCGTGGTGTATGGGAGCTGAAGATGTCTGCAGCCAACGATTGGGCGATCGATCCGGCATCCCTGAGGAGATGGGTCGGAGCCCAGGAGATGAGAAAGGATTACCCTTGCCTCCTCCCTACTTATTTCTTACAGCCAGTTCCAGTTCTGGAGCCCCAGACGACTGGTCATCTTGACATAATTTGTCGTAGCCGCAGGTGCTGTACGGTAGCTGCAGAGTTCAGCGCGCAGCGCAGGGGCAGACTGCTACCTATAGAGCTCGCTAGGTGCCGGGGTACCTAGAGATTGGATGGCACCTCAGCACGTACCACACTAAAAGCTCTGGTGGGTATCGATGCTATGCACCTAGCACGGGTCCTAGCTCAGCCGAGCAAGGATCACCACTCCAACGACGACAGTTCCATGTCACCGTACGGGACACTGTACACCGACCAACAACAACACTCTCAACCCAGCGCAGAGTTGCAGACGCAGACGCAACGCAGACGCACAGTCACACACACAATCACGCATTCTACCTGAGACAACAACAAGAATACAGCAATCATCGTCTCCGGATCCCGGCACTATCACATCTCAACCGGTTGGTCGTGCCACGGTGTCCAGGCTCTGGCTACACTCCCTTCTGCGGCCATGAAGTGAGGACTCAGCATCGGCTCTCTGCATCCCCATTTTGCTGCCTTCGTGACGCGCGACGCCTGCTGGCTCTATGGATCCGGAAATAAACGGCCCTCAACGGGCTGTTGCGGCACCGCCTGCCGGAACCGACCGCGAGACTCCCGCTGCCAGTGATAGCAACAGCACCCACGCCGACTCCAACTCAAGCTCCAATCCCAGCTCCAGTGTCAGCGTTGCGGACAACGCGGGTGATGCCGACGCGGACCTCGATGCTTCCTCCAGCCAAAAGGCGGAGGACATCCTCGCCGCGTGCAAATGGAGGGACATCGGCCGCCTCCGGTCCCTCGCTGAAGGGAAAGGTGGCCTTCTCACGGACGCCTTGCGCAGGCGAGCCTGTAAGTGACCTTATCCCAACCGCGTGTCAGCCACATTCTTACAGGATGCCTCAAAAGGGCCCCTACTGCTTGGCCTCGAAGTCCCATCCGGCGACGACTGCAGTAGCGGCAGCCAGGACGGCCTCGCCGGTCCAGGTGACCCCCCTGTTGACTGGAGAGACTTGCCGCGTCATAGGGATGAAGATCAAGTCCAACTCGACGTTAACAGGTCTTTTATCTATTACCCTAGCAGTACGCCTCCGAGTCCAACTCCCTGTTATGCACACTGAAGAAACTGTGTCTGACCTTCTTTGTAGACCTGTCTGAGTCCGAGCTGGATCAGCGCAAGTCGGAACTATCGTCTCTGATCAACGAGGTTCTCCGTCGTTATCCGTACCTCTGCTATTTCCAGGGCTACCATGACATCTGTCAGGTGTTGTTGTTGGTGCTGGAGCCAAAATGGAGGGCTCGCTCCGTCGCCCGCCTCTCTGTATTGAGAATTCGCGACTTCATGCTGCCAAGCTTTGCGCCCACCACTTCCCAACTTCGGCTCCTCCCTGACATTATTAGTAACGCTGACCCAAAGTTACGGCAACACCTTGCGGGTATAGAGCCATTCTACGCATTGGCAGGCACTCTCACCATGTATGCCCACAACATCGAAGGTTATAGAGACATTGCTCGACTCTTCGACGTGTTTCTAGCTCGCGAGCCCGTCTTCAGTATCTATGTGTTTGCACAGATCGTTCTCGATCGCCGTGATGAAATCTTCGAGATCGACGAGCCCGACATGCTCCATGTCATCCTTGGCAAAGTGCCGACTAAGATGGACTTGGACAGGCTTATCACCGACTCCTCCAGGCTTTTCGAGAACCACCCCCCTGAGACTCTACCATCATGGAGACGAATATCACGCTCGAGTGCCCTGAAGACGGCCCGAGATGTTGAAGAATGTGCCACACAGTCCATGGAGGAGGGCCATGAATTCTTCCAAAGACAGATCAAAGATCTTCAGTGGGCGGAACTCTATGACCGCGTAAAGTGGACGCTCTGGGCATACCGCCGCCCGGCCAAGGCAATTGGTGTGGCAGTTGCAGTGGGTGCCCTGGCATTTTATATCCGCCGCAACCCAGGAATCATTAAGCGACTCGTTGCGCTATTCTCTCGATAAACTTGATCTTTATAACCACGTACCATGATATTCGGTTCAGGTCGGCGCATCTATTACGTAGAATCTGGCACGGTGTATTTTTTGTTTGACGGATAGTTGTCTAAAAGGAAACTCCGTCTAGCTGTATAGATCCATCATCTTCGCCCAGGACGCCGTACACATAGATCTTCCATGATCACGCTCGAATCACATTTTAGTCCACAAAATTCTGTCGCTTCTCATATCCCTTCCTCGTTGCACTTGTCACCTACCCCTTCTCTATGATGACTCTTGGAACTGCGCTTTCAATTCTTCAAAATGCTCCTGCTGCTCTTCCGCCAGCTTTCCGCTCGCGTCACTAATGATGGTGAGGATGAGGGAGTAATTGTTATACAGGAAACGGCCGCTCTTGCGCTTATCAGAGCCATATGCCTGGGCCTGGCGGGTCAAGAAGGTCTCGACCTCGGTGCGCAGGCGCCGCAGGCTAGCAACAACAGGTTCATCATCGCCGGCGTCGGCACTGAGGACGAGGAAACCCTGGAGGAGCTGGCCGAAGCGCTGTGTGGCAACGTGAGGGGCTGCGGACATCTTGGCCTGTTCGGAAGCGCGAGCAGGCTTGGTGGGCACGGCATTAGTCAAGGCACGGATGGATTCGCAGTGACGGTCCATGATGACCTGGAGCCGGGGCCAAAGGAGCATGGTGGTTGCGTTGATGTAGCCATCGCCCGCAGGGACCTTGCGGCGCTGCATCTCGAAAGCGAAATGCTGGTTGAGGCGGATGCACATCAGCAAGCCGAGTGCGTCGTAGGTGTCAGCGACAAGTGCCTTGGACAGTGTCCGGCCGAGCTCGAATGTAGGCTCGAACACATAGTTGAAGTTCTTAGAGATCTGACCGAACGAGAGGGCAGGGGAGAAGAATGTGGCCATGAACGTGTACTCCGCCGTGGCGTTATCCACCAACGCCAGGTTGAAGTTGCGAAATACCACCTCGAGATAGTGTGTAGTCTGGTCCTCCTCTGCAAGATACGACGACATGGCGGCCTGGTTCTTGGTCCTGAGCAGGTCGATCCTGCGACCCAGATTGAAGGCGTCGTGGGGTGGCCCTGGCATCCGCGAGCTCGAGAGAACGGCCGACTTACGATTCGTATCTTCGTGGCCGAGAGCGTCGTTCTTATCCAGGATGTGGAGCTTAATCTTACCAAGGGCTTTCTCATAGCGGGTAAACTGGTTGAGATAGTACCACCGCATCGTGTTCATGTAAGCCAAAGCGATCTCGTTCGCGAGCTGTGCATGGTGCTTGTGGAGGAACAAGAAAAGATCCTTGTATCTGAGAAAACTTTGTTGCTGGATGATTTGGGCGTTGATGTGAGGGGAGCGAAGGGCCTTGATTTGGGCCACAAGAAAGTCGCGAATGCGCTCGATGGCCTAGATAAACAAGACGTGTTAGATGGAGGGGTACCAATTACTGTCAGAGGTGTTCATACTTTCAGGGTTAGCCTCTCGAGGAGAGGTCCGAGATCCTTGGAGGCGTTGCTCTGCTGTGACTCGGTTTTCTTCTTGAACGAACTTGCTCTCCGGTCCAGCTCGGCGAGCATCTTGGCCCATGTGTCGTCTATGTGGCCTTCGGAGATTTTGGATATAACCTCGGGTGGCAGGCTAAGTTCTTCAACCAGCGGCCCTAGGGCCTTCTCGACCTCCTTGCGGTTCTCTAGTCTCCTGCTTAAAGCTGTCGATCGTGCTTGGAGGGATTCGATGTCGGATGATACGGTAGCGAGGTCGTTGCGGAAGCTCGTCAAGTTGTTCTCCACTGAGTTCAGAACATCGTCACATGCCGCTATTGATCGATGGAGATCTTCGAGTTTGGTTCGTTCAGATTCGCCTGTAAATGGGCCATTAGCTATCAAGTTGTTGCTTTGTGTGCGAATACCCCTACTCTCTACCACTGTTTGCGGCCTCCGGTTGCTGGACACTGTCGTTTCAGGGGGTTGCGATGCGGCCAGCTCCTTCAGGGACAGTCCACCAAATTCAGCATCGAAATCAATATCATCCTCGTTAATTGAAATCTTCTGGTTTTCCAAGGGAGGTTCTGGGCTTGCACTGCTCGCCAACAGTGCCTCCAACACTTCTCTAGAATCGGATGCGGGACCAATAGTTGATGATTGCTTCAGGCCGGAGCCATTGGGTTTGCGTGACAAGAGCAAGGACGAGGTAGAGTCGTTCGACACCAGGGAGAGAGAGGAGCTTCGAGGCGATTGGCCCGCGCGCTGGGATGTGACATAGGGGCTGAGGGCGCTCGAGGTCCTCCGTGGAAGCGGCGAATATGGCCTGCTCGATGGTTGAGGTGTGGAGGGACCGGGGGCGCTGGCCTGCCCTCCGGCAGCCAGTCGGTCGAGCCACATGGCGGTAGTGGGAGGGCGAGTATGGAAGATTTATTGGATCGGATGTCGAGGCACGAGCGCAATCGTTTATTTCATCATCAATAGCGAATTCTTGGGACAGTTGGCGGACAGATAAGGACGAGTTGGCACGCGAGGCTGGCTGAGCGCGAGGGTCAGCGAGCTTGCAGCCAGCTTGCAAGCAAGGCTGCGGAGGCCCCGGTGTGAGCCGGTGTAGCTGGAGCTTGTGATTGGATGAGGTTTCGGTGAGCCACAGCTTACCCATTTGCACTTGATGGTGTGGCTTGAACGCGGTGGGCCTTCCCGGGAAGTGCCATACGCCACACTACCAGGTAGCTGCACCGCCATAGCTACCCCGCCCCGCCGCACAATAATACCTAGGTACCTACCTAAGGTAATCAACCGCCACCAAGCTCCCAAGTTCATCTGGTTTGTGGGCGCTGCGGATGATGCTGCAGGCCGGGGCGCGGCGGCACTGTTGTCGCGGCAATGGATGGATTTTCTCGGAACTGCAACACGCAAGGATGCAAGCTGCAACACATGATGCCCCGCGCGCGCCACGGGAAGCAGCCATCCATCGGGCAGCGAGACAAGGAGCGGGGCAGGCGCCCGAAACGCAATCATGATGGCCGCATGACCAGGTGGAATGCGGTGCCATGGAGCTTGTTCGTCTGATTGAAGATTGTCTGTTTGTCATATCCCATCGTGTAATTTATTACAGCCCAGCAGGAAGCAGTTTGTGTGGGATGGCGAAAAACAAACCCCCATTAGAGTTGATGCCCTGCCTTGCCTCACATCAAACCATGGATACCAGCCTGGGAATGACCCCGCCCTCTGAGTGGCCCGCCACTTGCTAAATTGGCCCGCCTACCCGTCCGCAGCTGACCCAAGCACAACAACCTGGAACACAGTGGACGAGTCTAGGCAGGTAGACGTGCTGGCGCGGCTCTGGAACGCCCTGAAAGTTCGCCCGAGAAGCCCTGTAAGAATTGGCCCCTCCAGTGCCCCCTCCAAAGACCCCTCCAGGCCCTGGAAGCAATTGCAACAGGGCATCAGACGAGTCCGCTAAACAGCTGGGTGTCCACTGAGACTCCCCTCCACACCCAATCACAGCACCGAGAAAAAAATTCCGTCGAGGGCCTCCTCCCACCGTTCTAAACCCCCCCTCCATCCTCCTCCTCCCGAGTTTGGCTCTTTTCCTTTTCTTCTCCTCTCCATCCCACTCCAGCACCTCTCCAGCGTTTTTTCGGTGCCCTCCAGCTCTCCATCCTCTCTCTCTCCCTTTCTTCAGGACCTCGATTTCTTGTCAATACCATCACCATGTCGGAAGAGGTGAGTTCCTATTCCCCCCGCGCACGCGCCCTGCCCTTGCGTCCATTTTTCGACTCGAAAATTCACCCCGCAATGTGACTCGTGCCCCACGGTACCGAGTAGCCTCGATGCTGCCCTTCGGCTTCACCAGCCATCGACGAGCCATCGCCAGCGGGCGCTCCTCCATCTCCGCCATCTTCATCATCTGCTTGCTGAGCTCTTGCTAATTGCCTCGTTTTTACCTCTCCAGCATGATGTCACCTTCGAGTCGGCCGATGCCGGTGCCTCGCTCACCTTCCCTATGCAGTGCTCTGCTCTGCGTAAGAACGGTTTCGTCGTGATCAAGAACCGCCCCTGCAAGATCGTCGACATGTCTACCTCCAAGACTGGCAAGCACGGTCATGCCAAGGTCCACCTTGTCGCCATCGATATTTTCACCAACAAGAAGTACGAGGATCTCTCTCCTTCCACCCACAACATGGACGTCCCCCACGTCTCTCGTCGCGAGTTCCAGCTTGTGAGTGAACCCTTGCCCCGCTCCACAGGGGCCAACCCGGCACTTCCCCTCCTCGCCCCCGAGCCCAACAGCTAACACGTACCCAGCTGGACATCGCCGACGACGGTTTCCTTTCCCTCATGAACGATGATGGTGACACCAAGGATGACGTCCGCATGCCCGATGGTGAGGTTGGTGACAAGATTACCCGTCTTTTCAGAGAGGAGGAGAAGGACACCAGTAAGTTGCCACCCCGAAAGCTCCCCTGAGCTTCGTCGATGGATAAATACCAGTCGGCGACACTAGTTTTGACGTGGACATGCCACTAACACTGTCACAGACGTCGTCATTCTCACCTCCATGGGTGAGGAGGCCGCTGTTGAGGCCAAGGAGGCTCCCCGCCAGGGTTAAATGTCTTTCCTTGGTTACGGATCCAGCTCGCAGTGGCCCTTGGCCTCTCGGCAATCCCTTCTGATGTTGGGCTGTGCGTGAGGGATCGCTTTGTTTTGATGAATTATTGACACATCAAATATCCACGGGTGGCGAGTTGGGCGTCGTGCTGAGGGACTCTATCTGGACAGGATTGTCTGCTGGTTATGACATTCGGCAATCCGAAGCGCCCGAGTTGCGGCCTCGATTTTCCTTTGTTTTACCCACCTGCTGCAAATGCCTTCATGTCACGATATTCGTAGCGGCAAAATCATGAGATAAAAAATGGGAGAGCTTTGGAGTTGACAGAGTCTGTCCGATAGAAGGCCATTAAAACCTTTACGGAACTTACTTCCCCTCATGCAAAATCGTGATATGCATCCTGTGAATGTCTCATCAGGTACCGACCGTTAGCTAGGCCTAGATAATTATAGCAGTGGTCCGTTCCCCATGTTCATCGACGCCCACGCCGATAAGCGACGTGTGCGTGGCCGGATTGATGGTACAAGGAAAAAAGTGCAGATTAGATTAGATACGCGACTTGGGTATTTTCAAGTCAAAAGGAAAGGTACCGTGAATATTGGCATCGTCAGCATAGGTATAAAGCTCGGATGCTGCCTTGGCGGACGAGGCTTCAAGGGATTAGCCCAGTGAAGAAGAAAGCGGTCACTGGTGTTTGAAGTATCTTGCAGCGCCGTCTTTTTCCCGACAACCAAACACATCACACGAATCTTGTCTGTCCAACAGATCCTCCACTACGCCAGCAATCGACTAGGCCATTCGTGTCATGTAACATCTCGCCCGTGAGAAACTATGGACGAGCGGCGGGAGCTTCGCAAGTTCCCTAAGGGGGAGAGATGCCCGGAATGTGGCGTGAGAAAATGGTATCTGGAGAATGGTCTCCGATTCTGCTCTAACGGCCACCAGGTTGAGGTGCGTGCAAGCCAGCGGCACCCATCTGCCAGGCATCTGCTAGGCATCACATAAGCGAACAAGAAGTTGCTGACAGATACTCAGGGCTTTATTCAATTCGATATTGGTGACGAAGAAGATGCGGGGAAACTCGGTGCTGTCGCCAAACGAGAGAGGGAAGTCAAGGAGAGAGAGCTCCGCCATCTCACTGGCCAGGCTGGCAAGAACCTCTATCTCGAATGTCTCCAACTAATCCTCAGAAACCAAGTACTGTGGCTCGTCAGCTCCAGAGGCCACAAAGACGAGCTTGAGACGGTGGTTCGTGACCTATGGGACCTTCGCACTCGCGGCTCCAGCAACCTTGTGGCTGAGGATGCTCCCCAAGAAGACTCGCTCGAGATGTTCAGCTCCCAACCAGCAACAGAGGAACTGGTCAAGGGAGTTGACAACAGCAAGACAAGGGCACAAAGTTGGGATCCCAGCCGAGGATCAGACTGGCCAATGCCAAGGATGATTGAGACCCTTGCCTTATGCTATCTGGGCTGTCTCCTGCTTAGAATTCCGACAGGTGTTGGAGAACTCTGCACTTGGGTCAACAGCGGACACATGCCTTGCAAAAGAGCAGTGAGTAGAGCTTACTTTTAGTGTTGCAGGCGCTCTGCTGATGAAAGCCCTCAGTATTATGACCTGCCTCAAGAGATGCAAGACAGATTGCCTTCAGCGTATACAAGAGCTCTGAAGGTGCCTCTTCACGCAACTCTTCAGGGAGTTGACCTCCATTACACTGTCATGAATCTGGCACTTTCATACCACCAAAACTATGGGATGATCTTCCCTGCCATCAGCGACACGCCAACTCTTGTCGCCTACTCGCGACAACTAGCACTGCCGGGTTAGTTCTGAATTCGCATGGTCACACCTCAACTAACCACCTCCCAGTCGAAGCACTCATTACAGCACGAAGCATCATATCTGTAATGAAACTAGGCTTCCAGCTACCTATACACAAATCTCGACTATTCATCCTCGACTATCCAGAGATAATGTTGGTTTCAGTTGCAGTAGTTGCGACAAAACTATCGTCCCCACTCGGCGGTAGTTCGCCATTGCTTCAGGGTACTGGTTTTGAGGCAGGCCTCCGATTTAACTGGGACAAATGGCGAGAGGCCATGGCTGAGCTTGACGATCCATTGGCATCCCAGGGTGAGCCAAGCTTTGACAAGGTCACCGCGGATCAAGTGATTGCGATGACATCGGAGCAACTTGACAAATACTTTGCACGCATTTCGAGTCTAATAGACAAAAAGAGTGAGTGATCTAGAAGGATCAAGCGACCGGAATACTGATGAGTTCAGATGACAATGCCATCTCGAGGTTCTTCCCCACCGAGGACGCACCTCGTCTTGAGCCTCTACGACATGAGAGTACAGAGGAAGATGCGGATAGCCGAACCAAGATGGTCTTGGGTCAAACCGTGAAGGTGCAAAAGGAAGACAACTCCGATTTGGAAGATGAGCCGGCATCGAAACCCGACTTCACATACGACGCTTTTCGTGCGGTTGAAGACCTCACAGAGGCCGCACAATATTTTTACACAGCCGCAGGTAAGAGTTTCCCCGCTATCGCTCAGGATCGTGATACTCATATTATACCAAGGACGCGTGGCTGGCCTATCATTGCAGGAGATGGTTCGCGCAGTTTACATGCTAGAACAGAGGATACTCGCCTGGCAAAGGGAGAAGAAAAGGATGGGATAGACAGATATTATACCCGGTTTAAGACAAGTAATATGGTATCTCTGACCTCAAGATGATCAATACTCTACCGCAAAAATCAGGCGTCCATTCGTGATTCAGATGATTCACTCAACAATAACACCAAGACGATGTCCCGAAGCCCAATACCGCACAGGGTGCCTGCCAGATTGGGCCCTTTGGTGTGGAGTATCGTTTTGGTGCGCCACGTGATCTGGCTCCTGACCCTAGGGTTTTCTTTCGGTTGAACATTGCGCCCCACCAATATTGCGCGCAGAACCGGCTTCTCCAAACTTCACATCGTCAGCGTCACAAAAATCAGTCAAGAGTGAGTAGACCCCCCCAGGCATGGCTGCCAAACGCCAAACGCACGGAGAAATGATATACTGACTTCCTGACAGTGCAGATGTAAGCCCGAAGCCCGACGAAGCCGAATATCGCACCCCTCGTACTGACAACGCAACCCAGTTTCGTGAAGACCCTCACGGGCAAGACCATCACCCTTGAGGTCGAGTCCTCGGACACCATTGACAATGTCAAGTCCAAGATCCAGGACAAGGAGGGCATCCCCCCGGACCAGCAGCGACTGATCTTCGCTGGCAAGCAGCTTGAGGATGGCCGCACTCTCTCCGACTACAACATCCAGAAGGTGCGTGGGAACAAGCGACTGGGTTGACCCCCAGGTCGCGGCGGAATTTTCGCATGAGAGGGGAACGAATGCTTACTGGAATTACAGGAGTCCACCCTCCACTTGGTCCTCCGTCTCCGTGGTGGTATCATCGAGCCCTCGCTCAAGGCTCTGGCCTCCAAGTTCAACTGCGACAAGATGATCTGCCGCAAGTGCTACGTACGTTACAAGCCATTTCCTGGGGAATTTTTCTATCAACAATGGCATTTCTAACAGATGATGCAGGCCCGTCTCCCTCCCCGTGCGACCAACTGCCGCAAGCGAAAGTGCGGTCACACCAACCAGCTCCGACCCAAGAAGAAGCTCAAGTAAACGATTTCTCCATGGATGTGGCGTCTGGGATTTTTGGCATTCTGGGGTCGGTGGCAAGGACAGAGGAGCTTCTTTGTTCACGAGTCTGGTTGTTTTTTCAGTAGCATTTGCACCACAGGCAATACACTCTAAATGATGCCGATGAACACGTGCCGACGGTCACTCAGGCTCGATCCCCTAAAAAAAATACATTCAAGCCTCCGATTTATGACTTTGTTTGTATGGTTGTGCCGGTGTTGCATTGTGTCGCGTATATTGTAGAGGTTGTAGAGTGATGTCAGCTTGGCGCGCAGAGTGACTGTATAACGGAATCATTCAATTGTGCCGCAAATGCAATCATAGACTGGCGATGCAATACATGCCATGTTGATTCAATAACCCAATTGAAAATATTCCTTGGGGCTGGAGATCAAGGATTCGCAACTCACAAGAATTAGTCATTTTATTCCATTCCTCTAAGTTATTCACTCCCTAGACTTCGCAGAGTCCCGGTATGCATGTACAACCTACCTAGCCTAGCGCGAGACTATTGTCCGAGAGTCCCTTCAAGTAAAGATATTGGGCATTATTCGAGAGAACTCTTGCAAAGAAAGGAAATCAAGAGATTGTTTCTATATGTTTTTAATATTATTATTTAGATACCATATTATCGTAATCAAGTTCACGCAATGGATATTGGGGAGATGCTTGATGTGTGCGACTAACACTGCATTAAGATGAGGCTCATGAGCGGGTCACCGTAAGCGTCGGGAAAACTCCGGCCCCATGTGACATCGACACGCCTGCGCGCTCCTGAATTACGAGCGCAACGGCCAGACTGTCACCAAGCTGACAGCAAACGCCACGACTCCAGCCAGCAACACCAACAAAGCTCCGAACACGGCAATCCAGGCTCCGGATCCATCTACAACCGCCCTTCCGGCTTCATCTGCAGCAGAGCGCTTGCCAATACACAATGGCGGGGTCCGGATACGACGCCGTCGTCGACGTCGACGATGAGGTACTGCTTGCCTGGCCGTCATGCCCCTCCAGCTCCGGAGCTTCAGATCAACCAGCTTGAGAAGCTCCATCGCCCACACGCACCATCTCCCATTTCCATCGCATCAGTTACTAACGTGCTCCGCTTCGCAAACAGGGCGACCTCGGTCACACCGATCTCCAGGAAGACCTCGAATTCCACACGTCCAACTTCAACGACACGACGCCGGGCGCCCGCAAGCCCCCCTCGGGCGGCCTTCCCGCGCCGGCCACTGCGTCAGGCCCCGGTTCATCGAAGCGTTTCCTCTGGTCCATGTCATTCTACGCGCAGTTCTTCGATGTCGACACCTCGGCTGTCTTGTCACGCTGCTGGGCCGCGTTGTTCCCTCGCGCCAACTTCCTCGATGTGCTCGAGGGCAACCCCGACTTGTACGGGCCCTTCTGGATCGCCACGACAGTCGTCCTGATCCTGTTCCTGGGCGGCACTATCAGCCAGTACCTGTCTTCTACCGGCAAGGCGCCGTTTCTCTATGATTTCAGGCTGCTGAGTGGTATGTATTCTCCAAGGTCTCCTACACTCCAACCTCGTTTTGTGCTAACCCTGATTGCCCAGGCGCCGCCGGACTCATCTACGGCTACACCCTTTTCATCCCCATGGGCCTATTCTTGGCCCTCCGCTACTTCGGCAGCGAGTCGGCCAATCTTCTCGAATGTTGGGCTCTTTACGGGTACTCCAACCTCATCTGGATCCCCGTCGCCCTCATCAGCTCCTCGCCCCTCTCCGTCCTCAACTGGATTTTCGTCGCCGTCGGCTTCGCCATGTCCGTCGCCTTCCTCCTGCGCAACCTGTACCCGGTGCTCAGTGCCACCGACCGCCAGGTCAGCAAGATTCTGCTCGTCGTCGTCATCGTTCTGCACGCCGGTCTCGCCCTCGCTATCAAGATCCTCTTCTTTGCCCACGGCAGCCCCGTCGCTAGCAAACCCAAGGACGGCGATGACAAGAAGGGCAGCAGCTAGTCAGCTCGTACTTTAGGAGGAGGAATGAGAATCAGGAATTCAAGGGACGATGATTTTCGAACTGCAATGTACAAGAGTGTACCTATGTTTTCAGCCTGCGGGCACGGGTTGGGCCACGGACGAGCCCACGCAAGGGGAACCATGATATTTTCAGTACTGTATTTTTACAATAGACACAGGTAGCGCATCCATCCATCTATATGGGCATGCTTTTTTGGCCCTCGTTTAGCTATGTCTCTGTTGTCACATGTTACATTACTCGCAACAAATCGTCATGTAGACAGCCGTCCGTATATCACAATCGTCCTCACGTACAACATCCCCCCGCCACAGAAACTTCCCTGGTTATTCTTGGTTTAAACCTTCTCCACGGGACCATTCTGCGCCTCCCAGTCGAGCCAGCTCCCGGGGTACTCGCCGACGTTTTCCCAGCCGGCCTGGCGGGCAAGGGCGGCGGCGGCGCGGGCGCGGACTCCGGCCTTGCAGTAGATGAGTAGCTCGACGTCCTTGGCGGGCCGGTCGAAGCCGTAGGCCACCTGGAAGTCCTCGTCGGAGATATGGAAGCTCTGGACGGCGCTGGTGATGGGGATGTTGATGGCGCCGGGGATCTTGCCAGTTTCGAAAAGCTCGACGGGTTCGCGGACGTCTGTTCGGGGGGTAACGAGTGTTAGCAGGGCATGTGGCTATAGGCGTAGCCTTCACTGGAGACAGCGGACAATTGGGCGGTGTCCCCAATTGTAAATGGCCCGGCGATTCCGTCATGACGTACCAACAATGACAGTCTCTCCGTCCTTTCCCTTGTTCTTCTCCACCAGCGCCTTCAGCTCGTCAAACTGCCACAGGTGCCTGCCGGGCTCGAGATCGTCTTTGGAAACCGAGTACCAGCGGCGCAAGCCGGCGGCGGCGGGAGCGAGCAGGCGTGACTGCTGCTTGACGGCAGGACGGAGGGCGTAGGCCCGTGTGGCGGCGGCGAAGACGGGGGTCGCGGGGCGGAGGGCCGAGACGGAGGCGGCGCGCAGGGCGGAGGCCGAGACGGCGAGGGGGCGACGGGATGCCATGGTTTGTTATGCGTGGTAGATGTGAGAGGGCCGAGGGTAATTGAGGTCGCTAGGCAGTGCGGCAGGACAGGATGCGACGCCGGCGATAGTCGAGGTACGTCGATCTAGTCGAAGTTGTGGATGGTGGAGTTGAGTCCAGCAGCTTGAGAAGTACGTACCAGACGTTGAAGAGCGGCCCGGGGACCTGGGTACTTAAGCTTGGGCCATCCCCCGCGATGATGTAAGGCGCAATTCGGCAAACAAACTCCCTCCCAGCGCACAAAGATTCTACGCTACCAGATAAGTACATAGAGGGCCCTCGTACATGGAGAGATCGACGCATGCAGAGGCAGAAGATCTACAATGGGTTCTAATCCAACGTGCCCTGTACTACTACAATCCGGTCTTCAATGGCGCCACTGGCTTGATCAGCCAGTAAAACTTCTCTGCTCCGAGCTGCACATGACATGACAAAATAGTACATGATCAAAGCTGAGAAGGAATTGAGGCTGTGTCTCATGAAGGCGGCTGACGACTCCTGCCAGTATTAGCCATCTCACCTCATCCCATACTTACATCCATAACCCTGACCCGAACTGTGACCACCTTTTTCCATTGCCTCCTCTCTATAAAGACTCTCTCACCTCCTTTCCATGCCATACTCCTCATAGTGCCACCCTTTATGGCTTACGAGTTACATGCCTCGTCTTTCTTTTCTCCCAAATTCATGTTTCTTCATTTCATACTTGTCTTCCATTTGCTGTCTAGTGTCCAATCGCCATGTGTCTGGCTGCTTAATGCTCTACGGCCTGTAGCCCGAGGAAAACGCCTACGGGCCGCCCGCCAATTATATACACAAAGAATAGGTATTACAACTGATATCCCATCATGCCACTTCTTCTTGTTCCTCTTCCTCTTCTTCGATCGACGAAGCTCATTGTTCTAGCTCTTACCACCCAGAGCAGCATGACGCTTGTCCTGACTGTTTTCTCCTCTCTCAGCCATAGCTCGTAATCCGGTGGTTTGTTTTTCTCTTTGGGCCCTCTTTTTGGTCTGTCCCAGACTCGTCCATCAGTCATTTGTTGCCTCCTCATGGTCGTGAGGTGGTCATCAAATCGCAAACGTCAAGTGTGTCATAATTCAGCCGCACAGCGACCTCAGTCAATGCACTCAGCACTTCCTGTCCTCGAAAGTCAAAGGGCAGTCATCCTGCAACAAGTTAGTTCTCTCCTCTTTGGTTACCAATAATAAATCATGAGAATAGAAAACTCACCATGGGGAAGATGGTAGCAAACACCTTGATCTCCTCAGACCGAGGAGTGGCATGGTGCTTCCAGTTCAGCATCATCGACGCCTTTCCAATCATCAACGCCAGGTTCAGCTGAGCATACTGCTGGCCGAGGCAGTAGTGAGGGCCCACACCGAACACCAGATAGTTCTTCTTGCCCTTCTCCTCAGCATCGCCGGTGTAGTATCGCTCGGGGTCGAAGTAGTCGGGGTTCTCGTACACATCCGGGTCGTGGAGCGCCATGTATGTGGTGGGGATCAACATGGAACCTATCAAGTGTCATCAGTTAGCACTCGTCAATCTCCGTCATATGCCAATACACCAATCGAAGGGAAAACTTACCCTTGGGGACGGTGTAGGTATCGCTGATGGGGAACGGCTTCTTGACCAGGTAAGGAACCATCAGGACGGGGGGTCGGTATCGCAGTAGCTCGCGGACGACGGCGCGGGTGTAAGTCAGGGACTCAAGCTGGTCCATATTGACCTCAGCGGTGGTGTTGCCATTGCGGACCTTCAGGTTCTCATCTCGGACACGGTCTAAAACGTCGGGTCTCTGGGCCATGATTTGGAACAACCAAGTGCAAGCGCTGCTGGTGGCATCCTGCGAGGCGAAGAGGAAGGTGAAGATGGTCTGGGAGATCTCATAGTCGTTGAACATGCGGAGGAGAGGCTGAGGCTTCTCGATACCCTCAGTGTCTCCCTTCGCCTCGGCCTCGCGCCAAGCCTCGGACTTGATCATCTGCACAACCCAGCCGTCCATGATGCAGGTAATATCGCCACCAGCGGCCATGCGAACCTTGCTCTTGGCGGCGCACTTGGCAAACTCGGCCAGGACCATATCAGCGGCCTTCTTGCCGTACCAGGTCTTGGTGTAGGGGATGATGATGGGGAAGTTGACAAGCTCAAGAGCGGCAGTGATCAGGTAGTAGTCATCGGAAATCTTCTTGACGGCCTCATCAGAGATGTAGTGGCCGACAAAAGTGCGGCAAGAAACGGCGCACATGACATCACGGAATTCGGTCATGAAGGGCATGGGGTTGCCGTTGTTCTCCTTGGTGAGGTTGACGAAGCGCTCGAAGTAGGCGTTGTACACCTCCTCCTGGCCGGGCAGGTAGCTCTCGAGGGACTTGCGGGTGAAAAGGTTGTTGAGACCCTTGCGGAAGTCGACATGTGCCTTGCCATCAAGGAAGACCCAGTTGTCGTGGCCGAGGAGCTTGTGCGCAACATCGACGACGCAAGGCTTGACGTACGAGGGGGAGTTGAGGACTTTCCGAGCCATGTCTCGAGTGGAAGCGATGACGACGAACCTGTACAAGAATGTCAGGGCAACTGGCACCAGAAACCCAGCACGAAGGGATAGACTCACTTGTGGAAGACGGAGACACAGCTGAGGGGACCGCTGGCCCACTTGTTGTAGTACTCCTCGAACTTGGGGTCCATGGACTGGAGAAAAGGACCGATGAAGGGCATCTTCCAGGCGGGACCGACAATGGAGCCCTTGTTCATGAGGTAGCTGACTGCGACGAACCCGACGTTAGTGCGACAGATCATTGAGGATTGAGCGAGAGTGGGAGGAACGCACGCTGATCATAGACAATGCACATGGCAATGAAGGTAAATGCGAGGGTCCAGACTCCAGCATTGGAGATGGCATCGACAACATAGTCGAGCTGGGGGGGGATGTTGACGTTGGGGTACTTCGCGTTGGCCAGGGCGGACGTGAAGCCCGAGGCAGTGTAGTTGATGGCGTCCATTGTGGCTAACGGGATGGAGAGACGACACACGGGTCGAATCTACGCCAGGAGAATGCGAATTGGATCTAGGACGAGCTGGGTCGCGTCGCGAAAACGGAGCCCGAGTCGACGACTTTTGGTGTTGACGGGTTGAGTCCCAAGGAGTGCGCCGGGCCAGACGAGAAGGAACACTCGACGACCAAAGGTGTTGACAGGGACCTTTCGACGAGGAGCACTGAGCCTTGGAGGTGAGGAGAGGAAGTGAAAGAAAGAGAAGGGGGGTGGGAAGGGAAAAGTAGGTCGAGAAGCCCGGCGATGGAGGGAGGAGGCGTTAGTAATTCCCGGACTGGGCACCGCAAGCGCCGGTAGGGTCAGCGTGCTTTAAGGAGTACTTAAAGGACCCAGGAACGTTGGATGTGTGTGGATGGGTATGGGATCCAAAAAGGGCCCGGGGTTCCGGGGGTAGAAGAGACCGAGCCAAGGGTGGGATTTTCGGTGGTGATTTGGTGGATGAGGAGGAGGATGAAGAAGTGGATGAGACAAGGGACAGTGCTTGGGCGCTTTCTCCGTGTATTCTCTGCGCTGTGATCTGCTGCCTCTCGCAATACCGGGGACGTGTAGCGTCCAGCCGTGTTTTTTTCTCACCTTCTTCGCGAGTTGAGTCGCTTGTTCCTCGTCTGGTGGGCTTTTCTCTCGACCGAGATTGACCAGGGGAGGGGAGGAGAACAAGCAATCAACAGTGATGGGGGGGCGTGTGGTTGTTTTCGGGTGGATGCTCATGGTGGGGAGGATTGGAAAGCCACCACACACCTTCCCTACCGTACCTTCCCTACCGTACCTCTCTACCCGCAGCACTAATGTAGCAACAGAAGGAGCAGCATCAACAACAACAGCAGACAACAGCAGAGCGCTGGCGGACGACGCGGAACAGGGATGTGGCCGCGGCCCTACTTAGGGCTGGGCCAAGTCTCTCATTACCAATACACGCGATACGATAGGAACTAACCGGGACGATGAACCGAGCCAACACGGGGACAATTGCAACAGTGAATGGAATGGACAAGCCTGTGGCCTGGGGGGGTGCAGATTGAAGGAACTACGATGCTGGCCCTGACTCCGGGACATCTGAGATGACGACAATCAGCCCTTTTTCTGGGCTTCATTTCAATCACTTTTTTTTCGCAGGCTATCTCGCGGGGCGAACCCACCAGGAAATTTCCCATCGTGGTCTAGCGCAGCAATTTGGTTGGGCAAGAAGCACGGTTAACTTCTAGTTCATAGAAGGGCCGGCCGCTTCCTCCTTCCACTTTCCACCCCTCGCCCGCCATCGCGTGGTTGCACCTAATACGTAGACGTAGGTAAGTACAATGGGCAGCTCAGCAGGTCTGCACTCCCGGCCGGCTGCGCTGGGTTCCGGGCCACAAGAAAACAGACCACTCTGCGGCACCCGGAAGAGCGGCGACAGGCTGCGGGTACAGGGCAGGGAAGGCACGGAGCGGCACCCGCGGTCGGGAGCAAGAGCGGGATCGTCCATCACAACCACTCAGGCAATGCGTCAATGAAATCAGCTCAATTCGTTCAAACACCTAGTCAGTCCATCTGTCAGTCAATCAATCAATCAGTCCATCAATCACACCCCCCTCCATGATCGTCTCACTCCCAACCACCTCCCTCTTCTCTTTTTGGATCTTGCATCTTGCATCATCGCAAATTCATCGTCATAGTCCGCCGCTTTAACATCTCAGGGTCAGGCCCTTGCCTTGCCCACCCACACGCTTTCCCCACACCCACCCCACCACAGACACCTCTTCCATCCTCCAGAATACTTCCACAGCAATAATGTTTAGTTGGCGTATCAGTAGTCATCCAGCTAGATTGACAACAGATCCGTACCATCTTGCTCTGTAAGTTGCCCTCCATGGTATGTACGCCATATAGTCTACCGCCTCGGCCGGAATCTCGCAACTGCCCCGAGGCTTTCTCGTACATCGTACGTTTCCCCAGGGTTGGATAGATCAGGGCTGACCGAAGAGCCCCGGCTACCCGGTGCCCTATGCTCCTTTCTATGATTCTCGTCTAGATCCGCCCCGACCCGGCGGATTGGAGCATCTTCTGTCACCTCCTTGTTTTCTTCATCCCAAGACACTCGATACCTACTCAACAAAAAAGAGCCCCTGCTTGATGCGGTGTCTGACTATCTGCCAGGTGTTTGACCAGCCGACTGCTTTACAACCTGACAAACTTGCTTTTATACTACTCGCGTCATCAGATGAACTCAAACCCCCGGCACTTCGCTTGGCCTCGCGAGGTTGCGGGAAGACCTGAAACAGTGTTTCTGTCAGACATGGTACCAGAAGCCAGTCAAGTCGCAAACAACAACTTCAATACTGAATGTGTATAGTAATATGCGATATCTGATCTGTGATATTGTTTTAGGCCCTCCTCAACTTCGACTAGTCTCCCCTTCCGAGTCCTCCGGAGTCCTCCGCGCATACGTATTCGGGATATCACGCAAGCAGCACAATGCCCCATTCCATAGGGCCAGACAAGCACCTTCGCAGATACTGGTGTTGTATCCTTGCATACGCGCCCGTCGCTTTGACACGACTGATCCAGTCCTCGGGATTTGACGCCGAATCGAGGGCGGGCGTACGCAGTGCGCGTATCCGTATCGTCTCGGTCATTGACTGTGTGGAACATTCCGAAGCGAACAAGCCATTTGGGCGTCGTGGCCACAACACTGAATTTCAGAATTCCAACTTCGGCACGGAGCTATCCGCATATGATTTCCAATGCCAGCTTCTCAAGAGGCAGACATGAATACAATTCGATCTATCGTCAGATAACCCACCTACGGAGGCTAAACTGAATACCTTACGACCCCATTGACATCAGAAATTAGCGGGCTAGCATTAAATCATGGTGCAAGGGCGGCGTCGCACCCTAGCTTTATCCATCCAAGGCGCGAAGGTCATGCATCTGATTTCACAACTGCCAGACACCATCGACCAGACACAAATGGCCGGCTCCTCAACATGCCTCGTGCTGATTGGCGCATCTCCCTATCGAGCTCGTGGAGCCGTTCAAGGGTCGCGTGGACACAGCCAGTCACCACGTTAGGTACGCACAGGGGGCGGGCCATCAAGCATATGAAGAGATGGTTAATTAGTGAATCCATTGAACCAACAAGCGCACCCCACTTGACAACACGCGAGTCCTGTCACTCCGGGCAAGTCTGGATAGACAGTCACTCGTATTCGGCCAGTCGCCTCGTCAGGTGCCTTTTGCATCCTCCCCATCCTACATGCATAGAAACCATACCTGCGCAATTTGGGGCAAAACAACTACTGTGTGTACACGGGATACGAGTATCAATAATCACGATGACTCCATCGCGTGAATCATCAATGATGGAGACCGGAGTTCCTATCCGCTGTTTCGTAACCACATGGCTCCCCTGATGCGCTCGGCTGCCGCCGTCGATGGTGTTTTATCGTCGGCTCCCTCGGAGCTCCACGCAGCAAACCCATTGGCCAATTCGTCTACGCATGGCCAATTGATATTGACCGCTCTTCAGATGACTAATGGGCGTGTCGATGTGCTCGGGCGACCGATCCAATATCCATTTCTGGCCGTGTACGAATACGAACCGGGGGTCCGTCGCCAAAGAAACGACGCCGCCGCCACGCCGCAGAACCTCCCAACGATTGGGCCAACTTGGACCCTTTTTTCCCGAATTCGACTGTGCATATTTAGTAGTGCGCGCCAAGATGATGGGTGGGTGTGCACACATTAGTTCCGACCCGGTGATTGCTACCGTAACTGTGCACAGGCGCCCTGCACGGCAGATCACAGCCCGTTCGCTGTCCGGAGTTAAGGATGATGAGATGTTGGTGCTACTTACACAGTCTGCACTGTCCGTACCGTCCTGCGGTGACAACACTGAAGAGGGTGGTAATGGCTCATTCGCCTCCTCCTCCTCCTTCCCCTTCTCTAAAGGGGGAAAGTCGAGTGACACAGGCTCAGGGCCAACATTGACGCCAAGAGTCGGCGGAATAACCTTATTGTGAGGCGCTCTGGCATCGTGCCCAAGCGTGCCAATGCAAGTCGACGTCATTGCCCTTCATTTCTCAACTTGTCGCACGCCCTCTCTTCTAGTTCGGAGTTCGATGAGTCGGCCCCGGGTAAGGAGTCATCGGGCGTGTACTAGCCAGTTGATATTAAGCGGCTGAAGCTTTGTGGCGGAGGATTAGCATGACATGAGCAGGTGGCTGGTGCCTGTCATATGATGGCGGCTTACCCTATACTTTCTTTCCAAATTGGCAAATTGACAAACATTGCTGACGTATTGGCTTGCTTGTAGTCGTTCCAATGATGAATGTATTGCTTTGATGTCTTCTCTTGTATAATGTTGTCTCACGGGAAGTCGGTCCTCGTATTGGATGCAGCGCCATGGTCATACATGTCATCTCCATTGAACACGAATAGGTCATATCTTGAGATTGTTTGCACAGGCTTGCCATCTCATCAACATATACCCCATAGTTCAGGATCAGATATATTCCGACCAAGAATCACCATAGACTAGAATATTATCAATGCACTACCAAAGAATACACGGAGCTTGTCGAGAGGTAGATGGGCGATGCCTCGCAGAAAGCACGACTTGCTCGAATATATCAACTCTTACAATCCAGCCCTGAAACTGGATCCTTGCTTATCCTCTATCCCTGTCAGTGGCAGGCAAAAACCTGACAAGAAGAGCCGACAGACGAAGTTACCCTCCCCGATGTTCACGGGGCGGAGCTTCTGCAACGCTCGGCGAGGATGCGGAGCACCTGGCCCTGGTACCAGCGATGTGGGCCTTGAACCCACCCGGCCGCCGTGCATCCCCGAGCCGCCGGTGTCCGTGCCGGTACCAAGGAGATCTGCACCCGGCAGTGCCGATCTCAAAAAAGAAGGTTGCCGTAGCTTGGGGATCGAAGGTAAGAGGGTGGTTCTACGTGTGCGGTCTGTGGGTGACATTGTCATTGTGGACGCTTAAGGGTGAGATGTGTGGAGGGGCGTAGACGGGAGGAAGAAGATGGAGGATCTGGAGCAGGACAAATATGCGATTCTTTTGTTTAGATGTTTAGAAGGGCAGGATGATCACATGGTTGCCAAGATGATGTGTGATGATGTCTATCTGCAGAACACACTTGATGCATATCGTCCACATTGATTTGTTTGAGTGATGATGACATGGCCACGATTTCTGAATCACAGTGCCAAGTTGTCTCACATCGAGCTGCACGAAAACCAACACCAAGATCGCGCATCCACGTCATGGAATCCTAAGATTCGGCCATCTTCCCTGCCACACGCAACTCGTCCACGTCTTCAAAACCTGGCGGCTGCGGGAACATTGCGTCATGGGCGTCGTCCAAAAGTCCCCACGAAGTAGTTCTACCCTATAGCGGGCGGGTCCGAAGGAGGGGGCCTCAGAGGCAGCCCGAAACAGGCAACTGGAGCGTAGCCATCGATTGATTGGCATTGGATGGGCAGTATAAGCGGAGAGTGGGTGCGTAACGTAACGTACGTGTCTACGAGAGTAATGGTTATAGCTTGGGTTTCTGGCGCGTGTCACGCTTTTCAGCCCGATGGGTGATGACTGATGACTGATGACTGATGGCATATGGTGGTGGTGGTGGGTTGTGGGTATAACTGGAACCCGTCCGCAGTCGCAATCGCGTGAGTTTCATCATCACTCACGTCGAAGCTACCACTTGCAACCACTCGCCATCCAACAACATCATCGTTGTCATCTACAACACCAAGAACCATCATCGAAACAACCCCCCAGAAACCAGCCATCATGCCTACCTACATCGTAAGCAATACCCTATCCCGACCCTCACAGTCTCGCAGAACCCGAGGTTGCTGACAGCTTCTACCCCTCACAGGTCTCGTGCAATGACGACGCCACGCCCGAGCAGGTCCAGTCGTAAGGTCCCCCCGATGCCTCCTCGAACGCAGACGAGATGAAAAGGAGAAGAACAATAAGAGAGGAACTGACACGGCGTAACAGTGCCAAGCAGCATGCCATCGACCAGGGCGGCAAGATCGAGCACGAGTACACCCTGATCAAGGGCTTCTCGTGCGTTGACCCCTCCCTCTCAACCCCATCGTCTTGCTAATAGAGCCGCAGGGTCTCGTACCCCGAGGGTAGCGTCAACACGCTGGAGTCTCACGAGCACGTCAAGCTCGTCGAAGCCGATCAGCCTGTCACCACCCAGTAGAGGATGGCAGCACTGGGAAGAGCTGGGACCGCATCAAGCTGGCCGGTCGAGGGACTGAGGTTGTGCATAGATTTCAAAGAGCCTAGTTACCTGCTACCCCCGTCGTCATATCTATAGAGGATATCGGATCTGATTACACGTGCCACCGAAAGCCGTCTTGTATCTTGCGTGTTCCTCGGCACCTCTGCGCCCATCCCGCGACTGATAGGAACCGGCCCGGTGACGTAGAGCCTACGATAGCCTACAGTCGGCAGCCCCTCCGCAGACAGCCCCCCGCGCCCCCCTGTAAACCCTTTAAAAGGCCCTGTAAACCCCTTCCGGGGGTCGTCGCGTTAGCGCGCTTTCAGGCGGCTTATCGCGGGGCAAAGACGTGCTGCCGCTGCCGGGCCGTGGTCCAAGCTCCACTGGCTCCGGGGCAGACGGCGAGTCATCCATCCACCCGAGCATCGTCAGCGTCTTCAGCGCCGGCGTTTCGAACCTCGACCACGCTCGCGCTTCGCCTACAACGTGAATATCTGAGCAGGCAGAATGCTCAAATGAAGCGGCGGCAATGAATGGCTCATCTGCCAGGTCAATGAGGCGCTGTCTGCCCCGGAGCACCCAGGGCACCGCTCCGTCTGCCACCACTCTTCCCCGTGCTCTCCCTCAGGCCGTCTCCCGGTCTCAACCACTGTCACGCCACCATCACAGCCCATTGCACACCGTTCGGCGCTCGCAATGGACTTCAAGTTCCTCTCCCAGCCCGCCTGGCAGCTCGCAACGCCGCTACCTGCATAACCACCATAACCACCATAACCACCATAAGGTATCGGATGCCGAGATTGCGGCGCTGGCCCGGCAGCATCAACACCCACTCAGCCTGGCTGACCTCGTGAGGTATGTTGACATTGGCCCGTGATGGACGACAAGATATCACCATACTGACGACTTGGCAGACACGGCCGTCCCCCCCTATCATCCGAATCCCTCCTCTCCTCGGCCAACTTCGCCCTCTCGCTCCTCCCCGTGCGCCTCGCCCACCGCATCCAGGCCCTCCGCAACCTCCCGTACATCGTCGTCACGAACCCCAACATCTCACGCATCTACAACAACTACATCCACTCGCTCTCAATCCTCCTGCCCTACCTGCACGCCTCGCGCGACGGCCACCCCATCGCCTCGCTGGACGACGAGGTGCGCTTTACCAACGTGCTCGCTGAGCTCGTCCAGACGCACACCGACACTATCCCCATTCTCGCAAAGGGCTTCCTCGAATGCCGCCGCTACATCTCGCCGGTCGAGGTCACCCGTTTCCTCGACCAGCACCTGCGTGCTCGAATCGGTACGCGCCTCATCGCCGAGCAGCACATTGCTCTGCACTTCAGCAGTCAGCCTCACTTTGACCCGCCGGCCAGTCCTACGCCCTGCCCGGAGCACCCCTCGTATATTGGCGTCATTGATACCGTCCTCAAGCCGTCCGACATCATCGATTCGTGCGCCGGCTTTGTGGCCGACATCTGCGAGCTGCGCTACGGCGTCCGCCCGCATCTCCAAATCGACGGCGAGCCTGACACCACCTTCGCCTTCGTGCCCATGCACCTCGAATACATCGTCACCGAGCTCCTCAAGAACGCCTTCCGTGCCACTGTTGAGAATAAGTCCCGCGAGCCTGTGATCGTCACCATCGCCCCAGAGCCTCCCCTCCGCCTCCAGCACCCCTCAACCAGCGACAACCCGCCTGTCGCTGTTTCGCGGCCCTCGGAGGACGATAACCGCGGTGCCTTCCGTAACGGTGGCATCGCACCGCTCGACGACAACGCTCCCGGTGTCACAATCCGCATCCGCGATCGCGGCGGCGGCATCCCCCCGGATATCTCCCCGAACATCTGGTCATACTCCTTCACCACATTCTCCGACAACCCCGACGACTTCCCGGGCTCCGGCAGCGGTAGCGACGGCCTGGGCGCCATCACCTCCGCGAGCGCCGGTGGCAGCTCCATTGCCGGCCTGGGCTACGGCCTACCCCTGAGTCGAGCATACGCAGAGTACTTTGGCGGCGGCATCGCTGTCCAGAGCTTGTACGGCTGGGGGACTGACGTCTACCTCCGCCTCAAGGGCGTTGGTATGATTGATAAGTAGAGTAGGACTTGTCATAGAAATCCATTCCTCTCCCAAAGAGATTCAAGGTTCACAGGACAGAGGACAAGGGAATGAGCATAGTAGATGGCAACAATAGTTGATATTTCCGAAAAACATAGTAACGAATGGAACTAAGAAAATGAATCTAAAATGAGTGAATGCTTTCATAGTCGGAATAGAGAGCGTACGTCGTCAGATTATGACTTGGATTTACGAACACCGCAGCCAATTTCGTTGAACGGTGTGAATACACGGAAACAAGCACTGCAAGCCAGGCAAGCAAGCAATTAAACCAACATATTATAATAAAAGAAAATCCTCTCTGATCAGGCCAAGCGATACAGCATAACCCTAACCATCCCAGCCCAGTCCAGCCCGGTGCCATTAGAACACTCTGATCTCTTCAGTAAATGGGTGAAAATAATTATCCAAGGAACGACTCCCTCTCCCGAACACAAACGCCGCCGAGAACAAAATCTTTAGCTTTCATTTTGGACACCCAGAGCCCATCCGTCCCTTTTTCTTCACTGGTCGCTTCACCACCCGTGCCGTCGCGGGGGAACGAATGCCCGGGTGCGTGGGTGGTTGTGTATAAACCCAAAAAAGGTATGTACTGAGATCAGAAGAAAACATGTCTCCTTCTCCCCACGGTTCTACATCTTGCTCTCCACCGCATTACATATTCTCGAGCTCGTGATCGATCTGGCGATCCATAAAGGTACGGCGCTCGCCGACCAGCTCCGTCTGCAGGCGCTGCTCCACAAGGGCGCGGACCTGCTTCTTCGTGACCGTGTCTAGATCGACTTCGGCCAAGACGGAGCGGATCGACTCGACGATGGACATGTCGGTGGGCCCGCCCTGAGACTGCTGGAAGTCGAACGACGAAGTTGAATGCATGGCATCGGGCATGGGAGACCGGGTGCCATTGTTATTGAAGCCCAACGCAGTGCCCGATCTGCTGGCACCGCCCATCGCAGGAGATAGGCTGGCCTGGCCACGCAGGTTGTTGATGCTAGGCCGTTGACCAGGGTAGTCATTGTATGGGGATTGGCTGCGGTTGATGTCATGGATACCGGTGCCCATCGACATCATCGACTGGCGGTTCATGGGAGAGTCTTGGTAGGCACCCATGGCAGATCCACCACGGGCCATACCTGGAGAGTGAGGAGGCAAGTAGGTGCCGCGACCAGGCATGCCAGTTAGGACAGATCCCTGGGGTCCAGCTGAGTAGACTGACTTCATGTCGTCCATCTCGTACTGGTCACCGAAAGAGTAGTCGTTCTTCTCCTGCTGGTATCCGCCACGGCGACCAGGAAGGTTGTTGGACTGAGCGTAGTCGTCCCATCGCTGGAGGGGAATGGAACGAGGGTCAAATTCTTCTTCATCCACAGCAACAATCTGCTTGTCACCCTTCTCACCAATGACAATACGGGTGTTACCCCACGAGAAATTGTCCTGGTTCCAGAAGGAGTAAACAGGAAGGATAAACGAGTAGATCGGGTAGGCAAGAATGTAGATGATCATCCATCCGATGTGTTGCCACTGCCTCTTGAGAATGAAGATGATGGCCTGTAGACCGTAGACCGCGGCAATCATGATAATGGAAATCATGGGGAACTGGCCTGATCTCGTTGCAATTCGGTAGATCAGATAGCCCAGATACGCGCAGGTGGCCGGGAGAATGATGGTACCGCAGAGATCAATCAGGACAACGAAGCGCATACTGAAACAACAGAAACCACACATCTCTTTGAGGCGCATCAGTTCGACGAGGTTGTGAATGGTCGAGTTGATCCATCGACGACGCTGGGACAATAGAACGCTCCAAGACTCGGGGGCAGCCGTCTTACACAGGGCATCGGGGATGAACTTGTATGACATGCTCGGGAAGTGCTTCGTCATGAGGGTAGTCAGATAACGATCTTCACCAAGAGCAAGCAGGTTCTTCTTATGAAGAGTGTCCACATCGCAAACGGCATAGTCCCTGATAACAGCGTCCGAAATGAGGAGGGGTTTGCCTTTGTCCATGGTTCTGAGTCGATACATGGTGAAACTGGATAATGATTAGTGGGATTGCCTTTGTTTGGGGTTAATGTCAATACATACCATCCGGGCAAACATGTGACACTGCCGAAGAGAGACTCGAAAGCCTTGGCCAGGTTATGAGAGATGAAATACTCGTAAACTTGGATCATAGTCCACCAGGTCTTCTCGTCGTTCTCTAGAGTTGTCTCACCACAAATACCAGCGATCTTGGCATTGTTGGTACAAGCGGCAACCAGTCGATTCAAGGAGTCCTCCATGACGCAGGTATCGGCATCAACCATGAGGATGTATTCATAGAGCTCGGGATCCACACCAATGATGTTGTTGATCTGATGGAACATCTCGAGCTCCAATGGGCTCATGGGAGAACGGTGATGAACGCGGTTGAGGAAGCTCATTAGGAGAATCTGAGAGTCACGCTTTCCACGGTTGCCCGGCTTCGACTTGGACTGCTCGGACTCCTTACCAACCTTGACGACGACGACGTATGGGACAACATTGCCCTCAAACTCGTAGAGACCGGAGTAGACCTTGCCGTAGTTCAGCTGTTCGCTGCCAGTGCCCACAGACTTGAATGGAAGAGCTGGCGGGTCAACCTTGGGATCAACTCCGAGGATGTCGAGAACAATTTTGGGTGTTGGGCGATCGTTACCCGCACCGACAATCACACCATCACAAATCACACAGATGAGTTTGCGTTTGTTGTCATACTGAAGTGCTGTCAGGGAATCAAGAGCTTTTCGAAGCGAATCCTCGCCTTCGGTGTAGGCGGGGACCTGGCAGATGACAAACTTGTCCTGAGGAGAAGGACGGCGCTTGGAGCCGAACTGAAGGGCGGCCAAGAACTTGATGGCGATGACGGAACAGATGATAATGGTAAAGGCCAGAAGGATCCAGTTGTTGACCTGGCACTTGGCGCTGTCTCGGAAGTCGGTGATGCCCGCGTAGCTGATTCGCTGGATGCAATACCAGCTGTTTAGGATGTTGGCGTGCTTTGTCTTGTTGCCAACTGAATCCTCGATGAGAAGGTCAAGAGACTTCTTGATGTTCTCACCAGGGTTGTTTTTCCAGAGATCTGACACGTCACTGTTGAGGAACGAGTATTGGCTGATGCTATCCATCAAATCCAACGTGTAGAAGTAGTCCGTAAGATCATAGATCTGGTTCCCATACATCGCCCAGTAATGCTGATCGTTCTTGCCCTCGTTCTTGACCTTGGATTCCTTGTACACAAGGTCGCCATGGTAGTACTCCTTGATGGTAGGCTCGAAGTTGGTCCAGTACCAATCGTCCTGGTGGAGGGCGCTAGTCCGGTCAGTGGCATAGTAGCCAGAGGTGTGAAGAGCCGTGGTGTACTCGGGAGTGTTATTAGCGGTCAGGCGCGTAGTTTCCTTAATGCCCAATCCCTTGCAAGCCATATGCAGGGGAGGAACGAAGTACTCGTCCATCACGAGTCCGGCCAGAGGCTGCATGTTATCGGTGGTGACTTCGATATCAGTATCACTGTGCTGACGTCGCCAGAAGTCTGAGATGTCATAGACTTTGCCGTGGATGCCAACCCAGAAATCACTCTCACCCTGGTGAGTGGCAAGCTGCTTGACGTTCCATGCTTTATCGGAGTTGGGACAGAGCAGTTTACCAAAGCCAATAATCCAGAATACTATCAGGGCGTTGATCACTAAAATCAAGAAACACAAGACGAACTTCTCACGCCACGCCATTCGGACATCGGGTCGTCGCATACGACCGACAGTCGAGAGAACTGGAGAGGGGATCCAGAAGGTGAGAGCCCAGACAAAGGCTACCCAAGCTCGACGGCCAGGCGGAACCTTCTTGGTCTCGAGCTTTTTGTTCTTCGCCAGCTCAGGATCCAAAACACCGGTGAACTCGCCGTCTTCATTGTAGTAGACCTCACCCTTATAGGTGTCACCCTTCCGACCGAGGCCGTAGTCACCGGCGCTGGCATTTCGTAATGCACTCGGTGTGATAGAAGGCGCGATAGTGCGGGCCGGCATCTGGTTCTGCATCTGGTTCTGACCCAGGGTAACTTGGCTCATATTACCCTGGCTGAATTGGCGGTTGTGCACTAGGTGATCGTTGCTGCCGTTAAAGCTGTTGTCCAAAGCGGGTGGAGCAAAGAAGCCACTTCCGTTGGCAGAGTAGCCAGTATCGAATCCAGAGTTGAACGGGTTCGCAACCACACTGCGGAGGCTGTGGGCAGGCTTCATGTCCAACATGCTCTCAGCCTCCCACCAGGCACTCTCGCGCACCCACACGCGTTCCTTGCCGATGTAGACCTCGCCATTGCTCCAACCACGCTCCAGCATCCAGGTCTCGATTCCATCTTTGCCGTCCTTGCAACCGAGAGTCGAGTATCGTTGAACAAACTCATCGACATCAAAGTCGGCAGTGTAATCCAGGCTCCTGTTACGTCGATTCGCCCACTCTGGAAGTCTCCAAGATCGGAGTTGTCGAGAGACCGTGCCAGCTGACCAAGCTGAAGTGATGGCAGGAAGAGCAGCGAGACTAGCCGGAGAGTCGTCGGTAGGGTGCATGGACAGGTGGTACCAGGCACGGCTCGAGCTGAGGATGGCGGGGAGATCAAAACGGCCGGCTCTTCCAAGGTTGATGCCCTCACCCTCCACTGGGAAGAGCAACTTCTTGAGGAAGCCATCATCTTCGCCCGCATAAGCAATCTTCTCAAGAATAACCTCTCTCTTCTCGAGCTCATGCTGACGCTCCCGACCGGAGGGGCCAGTCATGATGTTCAGATCGGGTGCAACCTCGGCCACAGCCTGTTGCATTTCTCTGATGACGGAGGAGCCAGCAGGTGACACGTCCACGCCGTCCTGGATCATCTCGGCGTTGATACCAAGAGTATCGTCAAAGATGGAACGCATAGCGAGTGCCTTGCCCAGTGTAGGGTTAGGGATTTCAATGACGGTGATGGAGACGGTGTCGCCATTATCCTCGTTGGAGGTAGGGGTGCGGACACCCCGGCCGTCAACGGACTCATCGCCGTCTCGGATGCGGAGCATCTGAGCTGCAATAGCGGTGTTGGCCTTGGAAATGACCCAATCAACGAGTGCCTCATAAAGGCCGCCAACGAATGTTCGGCGGTCCTCAGTGCTGCACTTGTGAAGAAGGACGTCGGGTTCCATTCCAAGCAGACCACTGACATCCTCGCAGATCTCTTCTAGGTCATCAGAATCGGCAGCATAATCAAGCGAGTTGCCGAGCTTGAGCAAACCAGCAAGGGTGGAGATAAAGTTGCGATGAGCAGAACCCTTGATTCCGATCTCTTTCAAGGCCTGTCGGAAATCGTCGGCAGCAGCTGCATCGTCGGCAGTAGGCAGATATGAAGGGGGATCATATGTTCCCGAGCGCGTCAACAGAGCATAAGCCGAGGCGGACTTAAGACCCAGAAACTCACGCTCAGCCGGAGTGGAGGCCGACGTTAGGAGGTAATAGAACACATCGAAGGCGCGGTATCCAGCTTCGGCTGGGATATTAAGAAGTCCATTCGCTGTATCAATACCGCCCTGGGATAGTGCGAGAGAAGCCCCTGTGAGGTTGCCAGTCAGGTTTAGGGTCAGTGTCACACCAAGCGCAGCCTGCCTCGGAGTTGACGGATTATAAGGAGTCACGCAACGGAGGAACGGGCGAACGGCCTCCAGAGACTTGTAGACTGAAGTAGGAATCGAGAAAGGGAAGGTGTTGATAAAGGGCACGAGGGTCGAGGGAGCAGACTGATGGAGTGACCTGTTTTTGGGCTGTTAGCAACAAAATGAGGCTCGATGAAATTGGATTGATGAAACCTACCCCAAGATAACGCAGCCGTCTTCAGCACGGCGTCTGGCATGCTCCCAAGCTTGAGCTGCGAGGCTGCCATCTACAGTTGGGCCCGCCTGGGCCGCGGTGAGCCATGTGTTGACGACAAGGCTGGTGCTGCCATCGAGCTTATGGGGCTGCGAAGCCAGGTAGATGTTGTGGACGGCATTAAGCAGGGTGGTAGTCGAGACCTGAGCAGCCTGTGGACCGCCAGTGCGGGCACCACCCAGGGCATCGGATGCCACTGAGTACATTGACATTCGGTTCGCCATGGCTGGAGAAGGTGACGTCCTCACGGGACAATCACGGGGTTGACGTCGCGATCTTTCGGGTCGGTCGTGGAACCGCGTTTGTACCGATGACCGGATTCACGGAAGAGAGGAAGACCGGTGCAAAGTGGTCTGTAGAGAGCACACAGCGACTGACGAGAACGAAGGAAGAGTGAGCAGACAGAACGAAGGTTTGTGAGAGACGGGTCTGTCGGGCTGGTGGTGGTGAGAACGAAAGAATGGTCGCTCGGCAACGCGACCCTCCTTTTCGATAGTGAAGGCGTCACGAAGGCGTCAGTGAAGGGGATTAGATGAAGAGGGGATTAACGATTGAAGAAACACGACCAAAGCGAGTGAGGCCGGCCGATGAGGCTTGAGGATAGAGAGAAAAAAGACAAGCCCAGATCACGACAAACGCTTTCCAGGTGTTGAAGAAGCGACTAGGCCCTGGCGAAAAGAGGCAGCATGCCCCAGAGACGGTCCCTGAGATGATGGCCGTGCGGATAGCGCACTGTGTCCGGCGGACGAAGGGACGCAGCCGCGCAGGAATTCAGGGCCAACGGCCCATCTTTTTAGCACCAGGGCGGGGGGCCGGCGCCCTAGGGGGCTTTGCGGGGCGGTCGGTGGATGGCCCGATCCTACGGGGGGGAGCAAGGCCTGTGCGAGCTGTGTGCCAGCGTGTGCCAGCGCGAGCCACCCAGCGTCGGAGCTGCCAGCAGGCTAGTGACCTCCTGGGGCGGGAGCCACTCACACTGTACCGCCGTGTCTAAACTTGGAACAGCGGGTGAGCGGTAGGGGCAAGGGGGCGAGCCTGAGGGTGTCAGGCTGGGTGATGATGGTGTGGGCGTGTGGACACTGGCCTGGGAACGCTGCTGGGAAGCCGTGGGACGTGTGTGGCCAAATACGAGCCCAGCGGCGAACTGGCCGGCGCCGGCTGCATGGACTTTGCGTGAGCAGGTCAAATGCCGCTTCTTTTTCGGGCTGTCACTCCATCCCGTTCGTATCCATGACTGCGAGCCAGTGGGTTGGAGGAGGCTGTGCCGGCCAGACTGTTGAATACGCATATCTTGGATGCAACTCAACCAACGCAGCCGCCCTCAGTCTCTGATCTGGTGGTCTTTTCTCCTGCTGGCATATGCCAGCCACGACAGGCCTTAGCCCCTGTTGGCTGCGTGGATACGTGGATTATTCTGGGACGTGGCCTCTGTTGCACGTCCAATCCTGGCCGCGACTGGTCTCCTATCCATGCAAGCCGATACGCAGAGCAATCCATACAGCGTGCTAGCACTGGACCGTACCGTACCGATGGAGAGCACACCACCAGATATTGCCCACTGTCCAGAGCACTCGCAGGCCAGCACTGCCAGGGCGGGCTCCCACCGTGCAGTAGTCTCCTGGAGCGCAGCCGGTGTGCATTGGGTTCCCCCTAACGCCCTGGAGGATGTGATGGGTTTTGATGGGTGCGTGGACTGATGGATACTTTTTTTTCTTGTTGTTTTCTCTTTTCGTGATATGCAGCCGAGCGAGCAACAACAACACGTCACCACCGAAAGCCAAAAACCTGGTTTGTATCAAGTACCCTGGGAAAGCCACTTCTCCTGCTTCGTTCAAAGTGCACGCGGACGGGATCTGCTCCACCAGATCATCCTCTTTTATTCTTTTTTCGCTCCCACACCCGTGCTGCACATCTGGAGTTCATATCACATTCTGTGAGTACGTCCCCTTTCTTTGCTGGTTCCCGCCCCCAGTCTGTCACTGTACGTAGTGTGCTCTCTCATGCCCACCATGCCTGTTTGGTGGCGGTCGCGTCTGGCGCGCCCAGCTGGACAGGACCTGAGCCCCAGCTGGAACAACCTGGGCCAGCTACGCCAAGCCCGCGGGCGATCGATTTCAGCCGCTTGTCCCTAATTAGCGTTGACCTGTAGTCGGTCGGTGATGGGTAGCAGAACTGAGACTGGGGCAAAGCGAAGCTGAGAATTTCCAAGCCGTGGTCTCATGTCTCGACCACAGATGAGCCATTGTCTCGGACATTTCCACTGTGCCCTTCCACAAGCACCATACCTTGCAAGGCATGAAAGCCTAGGCTATCGTGGAGAAACCAGAAGGGAGGGCCTTTGACCTCCACAGGCCGATGTCCCTAAAATAAAATCAAGGAACTTGGGTCACCTTCGAGCCCGGCACTAGCATTCCCATCAAAGCATTCCAGAAGCTTGTAAAGGGATCGCAGGGCCCGTCGCCGATCGAGGCGAGGATGTGCTGAAGTGACAGGCAGGCCAATTTGAACTGGACGGGGTTATGCCGTCGCGGCCCTGCCGGCAGTGGAGTCTGTTGGAGGGCCCCTTGCCAGGAGATTACCACAGGGGGATGGACCGCTCATCCGGCTGCTCATCACTTGCTAGCCCCCATGAATGGGAAAAATTTCCTTTTCGCTCCCGTTCGTGTCGTCCGAAAGGTCCGGAGCGAAACTACAACGGATGAGTGGCTTCGGATGGCATGGATCGCGTGCAATACGGTGTTGCGCTTGGTTGCTATCTCAGCGAGGAACCAGTCGGAGCCTGTCATCTTGTCTCGAATACTTTGATAACCCGTCCAGTAGAGTTCACCCAAAGCCGGAGGGGAAATAACCAATTCGTGTGTCTGGAACCTGGACCATATCATGCGTGCCCGCGCCATGTCTAGGGCTGGATTGTCCAACATCAACGGCTGTCCCATCGTCCACTTCCATCTCGTTATGAACCTCACGCCTGTTGCTCGAGCCCCTGGCTAGATCTCTTTAGATCCATCAGACATCACTCTACCTGACAACAAACCGCCGTTAACTTCACAACCAACGCTGCTGATCTCGGAGCCCGTGAAGACCGTGTCCACCAGTGAGACCTGCTGGCAAGGATCCATTGACGTACGTAGCATCTACCTACGTAGTATGTACGTAGTTGTGCGGAGGGCTCTTTCAAATCTTGTCCAAGCACATGTAGTAACGCCACATCCACTTATCCCTGTCGGATACCTGAGATACATAAGGCTGTTACAAGCTCGTCAAGTTATCTGCTACGGCTGCTGTAACTTCAGGGGTAGTAGGCGCTGTTGACCAAGATCTAGCGGTCGCTGGTGTGCTGTAACCTGCTATCCTTTAGGGCTCATGGAAATCAGGAAGTACTTAGTGTACTAACCCTTGGCTGACTTAGTAGCGTTATTTCCCTTCCGGATGGACAAGACTTTGAAAGGGCCCTCCGTAGTGGTGGCAGAGGGAGCGTGCCATAAGTAATGTGCTATATGAGGCACGAATGCAGGATAAACAGCTACATAGGTAGGTAGTAAACAAGCATTTTGCATGACCCGTCGTATCCTGTGTTGGCCATGCGGGTAACATCCGGTGGGTGGCTCGGGTCCAGGGTGATTTCTTGGGGCCAGCCACTAACGGGTACGAAAGAGTCCATGATCACCAGCCCCATCGGCCTCGCCTAAGGATTATACGGACTCGCAGGCGTAATATTGGATTCATGAGTGACTGCCTGCTGCGTGCTGGGTATCCATCACGAGCATACCGCCTCGACGCGGTCGCCGCTGACGGGCGGAATCGTTGAAAGAATGAACCGCGAATAACAGGAATGTGGCGTGCGCTGACCAACTCAATTGAGACGCGTACAGTGTGCTTTCTTTCAGCAAGCCGCTGCCGCGCTCCTCATAATAGCCCAACAAGCAACCTGGATCGCCGCTCACGACATCATTGCGCACAGCTCCCGGCTCCCAGCCCCAGCCCGTAGCGCCTCCAATGCCTTGTAGCGAGTCACAGCGAGTCCCAGCGAGTTTCTGGAGGTGCCAGCGCTCCCGACTCAGACTCGAGGCCCGAAGCCAAGGCGCGGGTCCACAGTGTGGCTATGTGTTGGTGGTTGTGTCGGGCCCCCAAAAGCTCGTACTCTTTATGCCGTGGGACAAACATAGCACTGAATGTCGTGTGCTGAGGCGGTGCGCTACTGGTCTGTCCCGCCCGCCGTACCGAAAATCGAAGCCCGCGGCATGTGTTCGGTTCCAAGAAAACAAATCCCCTTTCTCAGGCCTGTTTGGCGGACAGTTAGTTACACCATCGTCAAGTCAACCCGACCTGGTGAAGGCCTTGCATCCTCAAGCCTCACCTTTTCCTCTCGCGTGTTTCTTCCTCCCTTCCTGACGCTCGTTTTGTCAACCCGCGCCCTTCACCCTCGTTCCTAGTGCGTCCTGCATTCGCTTCTGCTGGCTCCTGGGCCCTTGACAGCTCCGACGCCAGTCCTACGACGACGACCATCTCTTTTTTCGGATCTCATCACCACTCATCCACCGCCACTGATCGATTGCTCGACGAGCCCTTAATCGCCCGAGAGCCACCCGTTGGCGTCTTGATCGCCATGGCCATGAGCCTGCCACACTTGGGAGGCACCAGCGGAGGGGCTCACACTCAACCTTCGCTGCCCTCGCTCCCAGCCCATCTCCAATCCGATACGCACCTCACGGCTCACCTCGCTAGTCGCTTCCATGTCTCCCACCCCACCGCTCGACTCTCCTCCCACGCCTTGATCTCCCTCAACACCTACACGTCTTCCACCAAAGGCCCCGATGGCGGCAAGGAGGGAAGCGCCATGGCCGGTGCCGAAGAGATGGCCGAACGCGCCTGGTTGAGACTGGGCCACCGATCTGAGAACCAGGCTGTCGTCTTTCTGTAAGTTGATACCGTGAACCCTCTCGCGACGTTGACAATCCCGGCCACAAGCTAACCAACAACCCGCAGCGGCGAATCTGGCTCTGGTAAATCCACCATTCGGGCTCATCTTCTCACGGCCCTTCTCAACAAGTCATCGACTCCCCTTTCAACCAAGCTTTCACTGGCCGCCTACGTCTTTGACACCCTGACCACGACCAAGACTGCCACAACTGCCACTGCTTCTAAGGCTGGTCTGTTTTACGAACTTCAATATGACACATCTGCCACCACCAACCCTATCCTAATCGGTGGTAAGCTGCTTGACCATCGATTGGAGCGAAGCCGTATCGCCGATGTCCCCACCGGAGAGCGCAACTTCCACGTTCTCTACTACCTCCTTGCTGGCACCAGCGAAGCCGAGAAGGCTCATCTCGGTCTGGACGGAGCCTCTGGCAATGCCGGTGGTCCCCAGAAGCGCTGGAAGTACCTCGGCCATCCCACTCAGCTCAAGGTCGGAATCAATGACGCTGATGGCTTCCAAGTCTTTAAGAACGCTTTGAGGAAGCTTGAGTTCCCTCGCGCTGAGATTGCCGAGATTTGTCAAATGCTTGCTAGTATCCTTCACATTGGTCAACTTGAGTTCGAGACTTCCAGCTCCACCAGTGTCGCTGGCGATGACAGCGGTGGTTTCTCCCATGAGGGCGGCCAAACTATTACTGCTGTCAAGAACAAGGATGTGCTCGCTATAGTTGCCGCCTTCCTTGGAGTGGGCGCCGGCGAGCTTCAGACGACTCTGGGTTACAAGACCAAGATGCTTCACAAGGAGCGCGTCACTGTCATGCTTGATCCTAATGGAGCTCGAGCTCACGCTGGCGAGCTCGCCCGCACTCTCTACTCGCTGCTCGTGGCTTGGATTATCGAGACCATCAACCAGAGGCTGTGTGCTGCCGAGGAGTCCATTGCGAACACTGTATCCATTGTTGATTTCCCTGGCTTCGCCCAGCAAACTTCCACCGGGTCTGCTCTGGACCAGCTGCTTAACAATGCTGCTACTGAGGCGGTTTACAATCTCGCTCTTCAGAACTTCTTCGACCGCAAGGCCGATATGCTCGAGTCTGAGGAGGTCAGTGTTCCTGCCACCAGCTACTTTGATAATTCGGACGCTGTCCGTGGTATCTTGAAGCCCGGTAACGGTCTCCTTAGCATTTTGGATGACCAAACTCGGCGTAACCGATCCGATATGCAACTCCTTGAAAGCCTGCGAAAGCGCTTCGAGGGTAAGAACCCTGCTATCGATGTTGGTTCCGCCACTGCCAAGCTCCCTGGTAGCAACTTTATGACTGAGAATACTGCTGCCTCATTCGTTGTTAAGCACTTTGCTGGTGAGGTCGAATACCCCATCAAGGGCTTAATTGAGGAGAATGGAGAGATTATTTCTGGCGATCTCCTGAACATGATTAATGGGACCAAGAGCGAGTTTGTTGCCAGGCTCTTCGGCCAAGAGGCTTTGCAGACTGTCACTCACCCCCACGAGCGTACCGCTGTCATGCAGGCCACCGTCAGCTCGAAGCCCATGCGAGCCCCCAGTGTCATGTCTCGCAAGACGCATCGCACCGCACGACCCAACACTGCCTTCCGTCGCCAGCAGCAAGATGCAATGGACGATTTGGAACAAACAAGCCAAGCTGGCGAGTCGCGAAAGAACACCAAGATTGGCATTGACCAGGGTGCTTCAGGGCAATTCCTTTCCTCCTTGGAAAACGTTCAAAAGGCTGTCACTGACCCCGGCACGAACGCTTATTTCGTCTTTTGCTTGAAACCCAACGACCGACGCATTGCCAACCAATTTGATAGCAAGTGTGTTCGCACGCAGGTGCAGACATTTGGTATCGCTGAAATCAGCCAGAGACTTCGATCAGCGGATTTCAGTCTGTTCTTGCCGTTCGGCGAGTTCCTTGGCATGGCTGATGCTGAGACGATCCTTGTTGGCAGCGAACGAGAGCGCGCTGAAATGGTTATTGAGGAGAAGCAATGGCCCAACAATGAAGTTCGGGTTGGTGCTACTGGCGTCTTCCTCAGCGAACGTTGCTGGATGGAAGTCGCACAACTCATTGACGGTGGCTCTATCTCTGGCCGTTTCGGCTTCTCTTCTGACGCTGGTGATGGCATGACCCCGGGAGATCAGGCTGCCTTCGGCGCCTCCAAAGAGCGCCTCATTTCTGGCGGCAACACGCCACTGATGTATGGCGAAAAGGGAAAGAACGGCTACTTCAATGACGACACTCGATCCGAGGCTGGTGTTTCTGCCTTCGGCGGTGGTGACATGTTCAAGAACCTTGACACCCGAGAGCAAATGGCCGAGCGCGGTAATGAAAAGAACCTCGAGGAGATCGAGGTGTACAAGGACAAGCCTAGCCGAAAGCGATGGGTCTTCATTGTCTACTTGATGACCTGGTTCGTACCTGATTTCCTCATCCGATGGATGGGACGAATGCCTCGAAAGGATGTTCGTGTTGCTTGGAGAGAGAAGCTGGCCATCAACATGCTCATCTGGTTCATGTGTGTCTTCGTTGCCTTTTTCATGGTTGGATTCCCGTTACTCCTTTGCCCAACACAACACGTCTACAGTGCCTCCGAACTGTCGTCTTATGACGGCGAGAAAGGTAGCGGCGGCGCGTATCTCTCAATCCGTGGCTACGTTTTCGACATTGGTTCTTACGCACCGAGGCACTATCCCCCCTACATTGAAGTTAGCGATCTCACCGATTATGCTGGCCTCGATGTGAGCTCTCTGTTTCCCGTTCAGGTTTCAGCGCTTTGCCAGGGCAAGGATGGCTCTGTGCGCCCAGAAGTCACTTTGGATTACAAGAGCACCAACATCACTGGTTCGGCCTCTGTTGTCTCTGTAGATGATCTCACTGCCACATATCACGACTTCCGGTATTACACCAACGACAGCAGACCCGATTGGTACTTCGAGCAAATGACGTTCTTAAAGGCCAACTACATGAAGGGTAGAATTGGCTACACCCCCAGCTACGTCAAGAAGCTGGCCAAGAAGCAGCAAGCGATAGCCATCATGGGAAGCCGTGTCTACGATTTGACTACCTACCTCACTGGTGGTCGCAGGATGCGAACCAAGACTGGCAAAACCCTTCCCAGCAATACCGCTGACACCAACTTCATGGCCGACTCCGTCACGCAACTCTTCCAGTCCAGGGCTGGTGGCGACATCAGCAAGTACTGGAATGCGCTTGATCTGGACGATGCCGCCAAGGCCCGCATGGAGACATGTCTCAACAACCTGTTCTATGTCGGTGACGTCGATACGCGAAACTCGATTCGCTGTCAGTTTTCCACTTACTTCATTCTCGCTATTTCCATCATGCTGGCCTCCGTTATCGCTTTCAAGTTCCTCGCAGCCCTCCAGTTTGGAGGCAAGAACGTGCCTGAGAACCTCGACAAATTCGTCATGTGTATGATTCCTGCATATACTGAAGACGAGGACTCTCTCCGCCGTGCCATGGACTCAGCTGCCCGAATGAAGTATGATGATAAGCGCAAGCTTCTGATCATGGTCTGTGATGGTATGATTATTGGTCAGGGTAACGACAGGCCCACACCCCGCATCGTCCTCGACATTCTTGGTGTCTCTGAAACCGTTGACCCCGAGCCATTGAGCTTCGAGTCGCTCGGCGAGGGTTTGAAGCAACACAACATGGGCAAGGTCTACTCTGGTCTGTATGAGGTTCAGGGCCACATTGTTCCCTTTATGGTCATTGTCAAGGTCGGCAAGCCCTCTGAGGTCTCTCGTCCCGGTAACCGTGGTAAGCGAGACTCTCAGATGGTTCTCATGCGATTCCTCAACCGTGTTCACTACAACCTTGCCATGAGCCCTCTCGAACTTGAGATGTACCACCAGATTCGCAACATTATCGGTGTCAACCCGACCTTCTACGAATACATGCTCCAGATTGATGCCGATACCGTTGTTGCTCCCGACTCAGCTACCCGCATGGTTTCCGCCTTCTTGGATGACACTCGACTCATCGCCTGCTGTGGTGAAACGGCCCTGACTAACGCTAAGGCTTCGTTCATCACCATGATCCAGGTCTACGAGTACTGGATTTCCCACAACTTGTCCAAGGCCTTCGAGAGTTTGTTCGGCTCCGTCACCTGTTTGCCCGGTTGTTTCTCCATGTACCGAATCCGTGCTGCCGAGACTGGAAAGCCCCTCTTCGTCAGCCGTGAGATTGTCGACGACTACTCAACCATCCGAGTCGATACCCTCCACATGAAGAACCTGTTGCATCTGGGTGAGGATCGATATCTCACGACGCTGCTCCTCAAGTATCACTCCAAGTATAAGACTAAGTACCTTTTCAACGCGCACGCTTGGACCATTGCTCCTGATTCATGGGCTGTCTTCCTTTCTCAACGTCGTCGCTGGATCAACTCTACTGTGCACAACTTGGTCGAGCTCATCCCCATGGCGCAGCTCTGCGGTTTCTGCTGCTTCAGTATGCGTTTCGTCATCTTCATCGACTTGCTCAGTACCATTGTCCAGCCCGTTATCGTGGCTTACATTGTCTACATGATCTACCTTGTCATTGACAATCCCAGTGTGGTACCTGTCACGTCTTTTATCTTGCTCGCTGCCATCTACGGTCTGCAAGCAATCATCTTCATCCTGCGCCGTAAGTGGGAGATGGTTGGCTGGATGATTCTTTACATCCTGGCTATTCCTGTCTTCGGTTTTGGTCTCCCTCTGTACTCTTTCTGGAACATGGACGACTTCAACTGGGGTAACACTCGTGTCGTCGCTGGTGAAAGCGGTAAGAAGGTTGTTATCAGTGACGAGGGCAAATTTGATCCCGCCTCTATTCCTCGCAAGAAGTGGGAGGAGTACCAGGCAGAGCTGTGGGAGACTCAGACCGCTCGCGACGACGTCCGCTCCGAGATCTCTGGTTACAGCTATGCCACCAAGGCTCAGGGTGCCATGTCCGAGTATGGTGGCTACCAGGCCAGCCGCCCGGGCTCAACCGCTGGCTTCGCCCCCCCGATGCATCATGCGGGTGACCGCAACATGTCTCGCATGTCCTTTGCTCACTCCGAGATGCCTGGGAACCGCGCCAGTCAATTCGGCGGATCTCAGTTCTTCTCGCCTGAGGATATGGTCGGCCTGCCAAGTGATGACGCATTGCTCGCTGAGATTCGCGACATCCTTAAGACGGCTGACTTGATGACCGTCACCAAGAAGGGCATCAAGCAGGAGCTTGAGAAGCGCTTTGGTGTTCCTCTGGACGCTAAGAGAGCGTACATTAATTCTGGTATGTCTTGATTCCCATTATTGTTCTGTTTCTACAGTTTACTAACTGAATCCCGCAGCTACCGAGGCGCTCCTCTCTGGCCAACTATAAATGGCATATGAAATGACCATCAGTGCAAGCAGTCGCAACCTGCTCTCCTAATGCTAGTTGCAAGTTTTTGTTTTCATCCCGGCGGAGTAGACAGGACACCAAAAATTAAGGATGACTTATTGCTCGTGCCGAAGTCTTGGGGGATGTCGCTTGCGTTTCTTGTTTTGCCGGGCCGTTGAACAGGCCCTCAAACTTCATCTACAAACATCGTAATATTTCCGGGAGCTACTACTTAAGGAAGTGAAGTGGCTGGGGTATTTGGGATCTGAATCTGCGATGGGGTGTCTTAGCTTTTCTCAAGTTTGTTTGTTTTCCGGTGTTTTTTGCTTGGGGGGAAGAGTTAGAAGGATGTCTTAGTGATTGTACATAATAATGTACGAAGAAGCTTGAATTGACTTTGAAGTCTTCACATTGCCCCTAGACATGTAAAAAAGAGAACGGTGAGTGTGACCCTGCCATCTACGTAGGAGCTGTTCCGTACAGGGAGACTCTGTGGGAAGCAGACGTGCATCTGTCGTGATGATCGATGAACTCCGGAAAGTGGTAGGTGGTTAACCGTCCCCGTCACCAAGATAAAATGTCACTCGATGGGCTGATCAGGTGGGATGGCAACGCCGGGTATATTATCATGATACTGCCTATCTATCGATCCAGAAACCCTTTTCCTTCAATCTCTATGCCAAATTCGCTAGTAGCTTTTTCACACCGCCCTTGCTCCACGCCGTAACCTTCTCCTGATCGCACGTCTCCCAAACCCTCCTCATCAAGGCGCTGACGACATCGGCTTCGTCGGCGGCCTCACACGCAGCGCGTTGGGCATCGAGCCAGCTGAGGATGCCAAAGCGGGTGATGAGCGTCGTGCTGCCGCCTTCGATGCAAGTGGCACGATAGAGCAGTCTCAGTACGCGGGTGCGCAGGTTGAGACGCAGGTACGGGTTTCCACCGAGGACGAGGATCTTCTCAAACCAGCGCTTCTTGTGGAAGACGCCGAGGTCAAAGGGGGCCCGGAGGCTGTCGAGGAGGTAGACGAGCAGCCAGGTAATCTCGGTGTAGTACTTGTCGTCCTCAGAGGGCTCGCCGTGGAGGATATCATGGGCCATGGGTAGCTTCTCGAGGGACCACATGGGGCTGCGGGTGAGGAAGGAGTTGATCTTGGAGTAGAGCGGGTGCAGAGGGTTCTTGAGCACGTCCAAGGCGTGGATCGCGAACGCCGGGAAGGCTGAGGGTACGAGGCCAATGTCAACCTGGGACCTGGAGGATTCAGCCAGCTCGCAGAGCAAAAGCCAGACCTGGTCCTTTTCCTCATACGACGACTCCTTGATCTTGGCGGCCATCTTGAGAATGTTGGTGAAGGCCTCCTTTCGGATGCTGATGTGAGTCGACAAAAGAAGTCGGATCAAAGCTGCTGCCCAACCATCTTCTACCAAGTCCTCGACGTTTTTGGTTGTCCACTTGACCAAAGCGGCGTTGTCCTCTTTCTCCGGGTACGGTACATGCAGCATCTCTTCCAATTTGGAGAGATCCAATGTCGAGCCTTCCTTGTTATTCTTGCCAACGCCGTCCTCTGCATCAGCCATTTCATCGTCTTCGCTTGCAATATCAGACTTGTCCGCTTTCCTGAGACTCTTCAACTTGACTGTCTTAGGAAATTGCTCGGTCACCCGCTTGTATAAAGCCTTGGTGACTGGCTTCGCATGCTTCAGGCTGTATGACGCGTTGAAGTAGATGGATAGGAATTTTGCAAGAGAAGCTTGCTCGTCGGGCTTAGCTGAGGCCAAGAAGTAAGACAGTTGCTCAACCATTGTCACGTTAAGCAAGGTGGCTGCGCCCCTCGAAGAAGCTACACCCCCTTCCTTCAGGTACGTCTCCATCAAGTCAAGATACTTGATTGGAGAGGAAGCGCAGCGGTTGATGCAGTTGTCCACAAATGACCAAATCTTTTCCATATGGCTGGCCTTCACCTCGGACATCGTGCTCTGAAGTGCCTCGTACAAAGGTGTGAGCAAAGCCGCTTTCGTAACCAACTGGTTCTCTACAGCGACTGCGCCGAGGACTTGCTTGAGTTGATGGAATGGGAGCTCTCGGTTCTTTCCAGATAATATCCGCACAAGAGCTGTGTAAGGGGAAGCCGCTGCTCCATCGACGAGGTTATCGATCTTCGAGAACCATCGCATACCAGGAGAGTAGCTAGCGATGGACACCAAGTTCTCCAGCTCCATGACAAGCAGTGATTCATCCTCAGGCTTTTCGGTTTCCTGGTTGAGTTTGTTGAGAACTTCTGTAAAGAAAGGGGAGACGTCAAAGTTGGCAGCAAGAGCCACTTGGGGGATGACTTCGTAATAAAGGCGCAGCAAGCGGCTGGCCATGGTTCTGTGAAGGATGCTCTCCGCGGGAATACCCTTGTACGATCGAACAATCTCCTTCATGTCGGGAATTCGTTGACAAAAAGCATCTATCAGCCGTCGACGAGCCTCAGTCCAGTTGTTGCTCTTAGACTTTGATGCTTCGTCATGCATTTTTAGAGCCTCAGTCAGTTTCTCAAGAGCCACGATGAGGATTCTTGTAGCAAAGAATGATGTGAGGTGGGACTTGGTAGACAGGCACCGGATGAGGACCTTTTGGTTGATGGGCAGCGGAATGAGGTTGTCAAGGAGGATCGAGGTAGGAGGGGGGGCTTTGGCAGAGCGTACCCGGTCTCCAAAGCGGGTCGGGAGAGGAATTCTCATAGTGTTGAACAAGAATGCGGCATAGCCGATCCAAGTCATGGAGAGTTTCGGTTCGAAAGTGAAAGATCGATTGTTGAGGAAGTACTTGTAGGTGAGTTCGGGAGCAGCAGTAAAGATGGCCACCAGCAGCTCGCTGTGCTTCAAGCTAGACCAAGGGCGAAGCTTTTGAGCAAACTCAGCTAGGACAAAGTTGTAGACGGGGACATCGTCCTTGTACTTGTCTGTCAAGAAGGCACCGTCCGCGCCACCAGATGCGTTTTGTCCAGCAGGTTCATCATCTGACTCCTTGGGATACAGGCCCGTGGAAGGATAGAGCACGCCTGCGCTAGGGTTGGTGCACACATATATGAGGAACCTGTGGGCCTTGTAGCTCACGGTAGAGGCTTCATCTGCGGCATCGCTGTCACCAGAGTAGGTGTGTAGGGCCAAAATTCGCATGAGAGTCTTGGTGTTAAAGCTCCTGAACTTGACCTCTCGGGGGACCTTGTCGTCCATCAACACATGGGCTTTCAAGGACTCCAGGATCTCCATGACCAGATGAGGAGGATCACTCTTGAGCATAAAAGTCAGATGGGACAAGAGCTCCTTTTGTGTCAAAAGCTCCTTTCTGCCGTCTGAATGAAGGTACTTTAGGAGGCTCAAGAAGAAACGAACCGCGTTGGTTCTCACCGACGCTTTTCGCACCTCCTCTGGGCCATCTCCTACATGCCCGATTTCCAAGTTTCTTCCAAGGGACGTCAATGTGAAATTTCGGGCTCGGAAGATTCGCTTGGCATAGGCACCGCCATCGAGGCATACAGCCTCACGCAGCATGCGCAAGGTAGGCGAAAGAATGAAACCCTTGTTCTTGTCCGAAGAAAGGTTCTTGGAAAGCGACTTGAGTTGACGTTCCTGGATGATGGTCTGGCAGATTCCGAGTCCATGACGGACGAGGTGAAGCGACCCCGAGACGGCCTGGAGAATCAAGGCTAGGACGACGGCAACCGCTGACATGACTCCCTCGTTTCCGACCTGCGCGGCAAAGGACCACATCTCCATGATGTCGGTGAGGAAGACAGCATCTTCCGAGGTGTCCCTGGGCTTGACTGCTTCGAGGTACTGTTGCAGAATTTCCATGTTCGTTCTTCGATCTCCATCGTCGGAGACTATCTTGTCGAGGAGGCCCTTGAAGGATTGAAGCCCTATAGAGAGCGGGGTTTAGCTTCTGCGATTGTCCAGGCATTGGATACAGACATACCATGTCTCGCGTTGCGCAAGTCTTGGTCGAAGGTGAGGAGATTGCGCAATTGGTCGGCCGAGTAAACCTCCTCACTTGTGGGGGCCTCATGGACGACCTTTTGACGCTTCCGGTAGGCAGTGGCGCCATCTTCGCCCTCGTTGGAGATCCGTTTAACCATGCTGAGGACCTGGCAGCTTGGCGCGACTTGGATCTGCTTGGAGCTTTTTGGCGATGAACTTCTTTGAGATTTTGGAATATTGCCATGGCCGACCGCTGTCCCGCCTTCCCGACTAGGCGAAGGCGGACTGAGCTGTGGGGTCTCCGGGACATGTGTTAATCCGGGCGCAAAACATTGAACGAGAAAGTGCAGGTCTAACCGAGCCACCTGCAGACAGCCCCGCATGTGCTGAAGCTGCGGCTGAGAGCATGAGCAAGCCCTCGAGTACCGGCAGTTGCGCCACAACCGCCTGTCAGCAATGAAACGAGGCGAATTGCTTTTGGGATGAAGTCTACGCCTTCACGTGGGTGGGGGACTGAGACAAGTTGCCATCCATCCTCAAAACTGCGCCCTTGGCCTTTGACCTCTCCTCCGGCGGATGGTAGATGGCGAAGAGCATCGCCACCTCGTGTTAAGTTACTAACAGTTTTCAGCGACGATGCGCTAGAAGCAGTACAGAAACGAGCTGCAGCCCGCATGTGCGGCATGTGATGATGGCGGCCTCCACGTGCTCCTTGGCCTCCACGATCCATGCTCCCGGTCCCGGTTCTTCAACAGTACCGATACCATCCTTGCTTGGACCCAGGTCTCAGCAGGTCTGTTGGAAAAGGCGACTATTCTTAGACGGGAGGCAAAGTCAGGGGCACCTCCATCATGAGTATGGAGGGTCTTGAGGCCCTCCACCACGACTCAGTTCTGTGCTGGGTGGTGTCTACCGTCTCCTGCAGTGACACCTCCAGCATCCTTACTGGGAGAAGCAGGACGGGAGCGGACCGTCCGTCGATCAGCACGAGTCACCACACAAAAGGGTACGTCAAGAGACGGTTCTTCTTTCTCACCATCGCCCGTTGGTGGGGATGGTACGCGGTCTATCTGGCCTGGGTGAGGGAGGGCAGTATCGACTTCAAGTTCGAGAAGCCCTTGGATTCCCACAATCGTAGCCCCCTCGACTGTGCCACTTGCCCGGCTCCAGTTTTTACTCTACGTGGTTGTGTGCGCTCCTACATGATGCGTACCACTCAATGGCATGTTAGGGCAAAGGTTGACAGGTTGTGAGTAAGCGGGAATTCGGGGACAATCCAATGAAAACCTCACAGTTGGCTTTTTTGAGACAAAATGAGGGCGCAGCACCACCTACGTGGAAGCCATCACTGCGGCTGACACGAATGAGCTTGATAATAACAAGACAATAACAACACGACCAAGATGGTTGTATTCGGAGAAGGCAAGGCGGATTTTTTGCTATTATTATTTGAAATTATGCGTCAGCGCCTAAGGACCCTGAGAACTACAGGAACAAAGGACAAGCATCGTGGTGTTGGCATCCCCCACTTACTTCGGTGCATATGTTTCGGTTCTCGCACCCGCTAGGTGACATCACTGGGGCTCACGGTTTGGTGAACCTGAACCCGTTCCGGGATTCATGAAACAACAAGAGATGCCGTTTCCAGATGAGAGACACGCCATGGGACGAGGCGCCCTGCCTAAAACGGAAATTAGGGCAGGGACGGCACGGCTGCAGAGAAGCGCATAAAATACGGAGAGACAGGCGGTGGTTGAACGTCGCATGTTTCAATAGGAGATCCCGTCCACGCGCCAGGCTCCCTGTCGCGACAAGTTATATGGACATGGGTCAACCAAAACGTGCGGCAAACCGATTTGGCAAGAGCCTGGAGATGAGCGGCGTAGGGAGATGATGTACTGGGTAGCCCATGTTCCTCCAACGCGCGATCTGCCAATCAACCGGGGGGCCGGGGGCGGAGGCCAAACCCGCGGTGCAGCCCAAAAAAAGAAATCGAACTGTCATGTCACGTCAGAGGTCCGGGGATAAACAAAGCCACTGACTGGGTGAGAGGAGCCGGGGTGGGAAATAACCCGAAGGAGGAGCGTACCGGTACTACGTAGTATGCGCGCGTGTGAGCTTCCATGGGTCTAATAAGCATCGGAGCAGCGAGTGTCAAGATGCCCTGGCGAGCTTCTCTGACAAGGTGGAAAATAGAAGAGTCAGGGAATGGGTTCCAGGCAGCCAATGCTTTTTCCAGCTGGGGAACGGCCTGTCACACCCACAGACAGCTTGTTTTCTGGTGCACATGAGCTTGAAGCAGGGTGTTCCACCGGGCATCTCCCAAACAAACACCCGACCAAACACAAACCATGCAAGCTGCTGTACGTTGTACGAAGCGGGTCTGCGCCGTTCCGAGAAGTGCAGAGTTCGCAGCACTGTGAGATTTTGGGTCGTGCCCTACGTACATAGATTCTCGACGTCATCAAGAGTGAGTTCGAGCTACCTGCGCTGTGCTCTCTTTTCTCCACGCGGGATGTGACAACCCACCGAGTCAAGACTCGTCCGTACATAACACGAGCAAGCTCTAAGTTAGCCCTTTGTCTTTTTTTTTTCTGTCTGGCAGCGTGACGGCACACAGCCTCGACAAAGGAGCTCGACCCGGTCATCTTGGGTCTGCAGCCAATGCCGGCGCCGCTCGCGCCCCCCTCCAGCGGGTTCTGTGGCAAAGGGCGCCGCCGTCTAAGAGTAGTGGTGAATAGTGTCAGCCAACCAGGACGACGAGGACGACGAGGACGACGAGAAGACGGATGCACGACATCGACTCGCTGGGCGAGGTGCATCCTCTTCGCTCTTCCTCGAGAGAGCGACCCACTGTCCAGGTAGCTACGGAGTACATACTGTCCCCTGTACGAAGTAGGGCTTTCTGCTGGGTTCCCGCCGCCCTGCCCGAAACCTGAGACTACGAACCACGGCCTACGAGGGAGCATGTACTGGGGACTGGGCGCGACCTGCTACAAGGCCGACCTGCGACAGACCTCTACTGGAACACTGGAAGGCAACCTGGAAACCTGCTACAGAGGCCACCCCGGCGAGGTGTGCAGCGCTAGCATCGTCGCATCCGCATCCACAGGCGTCTTCTAAGCGCCGACTGGCCGGCCGTCCACCGGACCACCCCGGCCCATCACCTGCGCCATGATGGCATCCGACGCCCTCGTCCACTCGATTGGTATCGCATCTTGATGCCCGGCTGCCGCCCGTTCTCGAAAGAAAAAAAAATGGGCGTCTCGTCGCAGCTGTGCGCCCTCGGCCGCCGAATGGGCCAAATGGGCTGGCCTGCTGCATTTGCATCTGCATCTGCATTGTCCTTGGCTTTTTTTTCTTCTAATATCTGCTGGTTCGCCGCCGCCGCCGCCGCCGCCATCGCCATCTCCTCCGCCCGCTGCATCGAGCTGCACGCACACACACGCATCCACGCATCCACGCATCCACGCACGCAACTGCACGGGAACCACTCTCATCCTATCCCGTCCCTTCCCCTCCTTTGCTCTCGTTTGCGCTGTCCTATCCCGTTCCTCTCCTTCGCCTTTTTCTGCCTTGTTTTCTTTATTCTTTCCCCCGAGTCCCTGACCTTGCTGAGCTGGCTACCTCATACTACATATTACTCTAATCCACCCGTTCCTGCTCCGACGCTCTGCCTTGCGCTGCGCTGCGTTGTCTTGCCTTGCATTTTGTTCTGTTTTTGTTGCGTCAGATCGCAGGTCGTTCTCCCACACACACACACTTCTTCTTCTCTCGTTTGTTGGTCGACTAGGCATGACAGCCCTCGCCTCCGCCGGAACTACCGCAGCATGACAGTCGCCGATGCTCACGGTGCAGAAGCCCCTTGGACTTCATGGCTCCGCCTCTGCTGCATGTCCCTGGCTCCTACACAAGAGACTTCCGGCCGTAAGTCCTCGTTTACTACTATTTCTACACACGACCTTTCGTGGCCCTTGGGCAGTTTGAGCGACGACAAGTTGCTGATAGACCAAGACGAGAAACTTCCTCACGACGACATCATTTACAGCCAACCCGCTTACCATCCCCGTCCCGTGGCTGCGCCAGAGATGGGCTCTCATCACCGAAATGTGTTGGAGAAGGCTCCGCGGAGCAATGCTGGACCCAAGAGGAGGCGCTTCCTTTCACTCTCTTCATCTTCATCTACACGCCGACCAATCATCTCGGCTCCCTCCAACTTTCAACACATCAGTTCTTCCTCTCCCCAGATTCCCGAACCAACACCCTCGCGAAACTCGAAGCTACGTCCCGCCAAGCCGCTGCGCCGTCGCTCGTTTCGCCCTCTCGAGTTGAGCATCGCCATGCCTAACAACCAGCCCTCACCCCTCCTGCCTCATTTTGAGATGCTCACCACGCCCGGTCTGGTGTACGACCCGAACGTGACGGAAAATATGTCAGAGGACACCCTCTCTCTGCCAAAGACTCCAGACCAATCTGAGAGGCCACCATTGAGGGAACTCGGGTCGCCATTTACACCTATCCGGTCAGTGAAGCGGCCGGCGGAGGACTCCACCCCGTCGTATACTTCAGACCCAGTCGAAATGTTTTCAGAGAAATCACCCGGCGAAAATCAATCTATCGAGCATCAGAGGAGCTTTTCGTCCACATCGTTTCACTTCCCTCGCAAGCAACTCACCGACACCGACAGCTCTCCATTCACGATACACGAGGATGAGATTCCGCCGCTGATTCCACCCAAGGCTCGCGGCCGAAGCCGAGCCTACACGGCGCCGAGTGTGGATGCCATGAAGGAACGAGTCGCCAGTGCGATGCTCGAGGTAGAGAAGCTCCAGAAGCAGATCGACGAAGTCATCGAGCGACAGAGCTTGTACGCCGTCAGCAGACCAACGACGGCCCATTCCATGGCCAATACGATGCCTGGTGAGACTTTCGCCGTCTTGCCCAGCCCCGTTGCCCATCTGCTAACCAGCCGCTCAGACCTGGAGCCGATGCCTTCCATCCCCGCGTTACCACCTGCGGCTCCATCTTTTGCTGAGCGGCTCAACTCGGAGATTGATCGCCCACACACGGCCCCGATCAAGCCTCAAGTTCAGGCGCATCGCCGAGCCAAGACGGCCGGCGATGCATCCGCCAGCCCCCACACTCCTTCTCCTCGGGCAAGGAGGGATGACCGACCCCTCCCGCCTCCTTTACCTCTTGTTCTACGACCCCCGCTAAGGAAGAAGAAATCTTTTTCTCGGGTGTCAAATTGGCTCTTCCCTGGCGCTGGTGATGTGAGCTTCGACTCCGTCACCAACCTTCCCCGTCCGGTCACGGGCAAGGATGGCTTCTACCAGTGTGTCTCGCGGGGCGAGTCACAAGGTCGACGCCAAAGCACAGATTCGGTTGGAACCGTCACCACTTGGGAGACGGATGACGACCGCACATTCCCGTCGACTTGGTCTCCCGGCAGCACTGCGGTGACTAAGGCCGACGAGTCTCTTATTCCTCGGGCCGCCGCTTTCGGGCGGAACGACATCTACACTCGACGCACAAGCGTCGGGGTTGCTGTGTGAAGCATTCTTTTTTTTTTTACTGGAATTCCCTTGCAAGTTTAATGTCTACATTCAGACTTGATGATACCACTGTACCATACGACGTGTCGGGCCGCTCATAGCTAGACTATGGGGGCGGCATGCTTGGACCAATGTAAATAATCATGAGGAACATGTCATGAAGAACATGTTTGATGGGTTAGATGGGGCGGGTTGGGCTTTTGCTTCAAAATTTGCCCCGGGTGGGCTGGGATTTTAAACGACAGGCGCGAGAGTGCCCGGTACCAGAGGGGAGAGCGGCGCAGACGGGGATATTTGAGGGTTGTTCAGGGCTGTGGAGGGCTGTCAAAGACTAGGTGGGATCTAGGATTTGATCAAGGAACGATCAATGAGGAGGACCTTGTCTTTATGAATACCAGATAATTACAGCGCATCTCAGAGATGTGGATAGGATGTTATAAACCAAGGCGGCCGGGAGGGTCTGGCTATCAGTCAGCATGCCACGTTCTGACAGAGAGCTTACGCTTGCACCGTGTTAGTGTATGTAATCGACGGGCCAGGGCTTGGCGAGCGCTGGGGATCCTTACGGGACCCTTACAGATCCATGGATGCATCGCTCGGCCTGCACTACCGATGCACAGACGGCCGGTTTTCGCGGGCCGGGCGAAGCCAACGTTGACTAAACTCATCTAAGCTGCGAAAATGCGGAGAAGACAAACGGCGTGGGCGTCTCAGATTGAGTTGGCGGGAAGGCGCTGGCACTCGGCTCTGCTCTACCGGCCTAATTGTTGCCAAGTTGCAGGGTCACCTCGCGGAGCCGCCCTTGTTATGCGTGCATGCCTAGGTACGCGAGAGGGGATGAGAGCCTTAGTTTTGCTGACCCAATATCTGGTTTGCGGATTACATAACTGTGGCTGCGGGTTTAGACGTGGGTTACTAAGTTGCATTCAAACATAGGCGGCCCCGTTCCACGTTGTCCAATTGTTTACTTGTCCAATGACGACGGAATCTTCTGACTTGTCGAGTTTGCGTGATTACTTCCAGGAACCATAGCCATACACAGGCCCGCTGAGATATGCATGGGTGTCTTCGCCGCTACCCGAGCATTTGCATGTGGTTTCCCTACCTGGGTTACATAGTCGGTTTCCGAGACCGGCATCCTCGGCGAAGCTGCGGCCTCAGTAGGATGCTGCCCCCAACGAGGTCATGATGAGCGTATACCGCATCGCTCCTCTCCATCAGGAACCTCTCCCCGGTCCCGAAGTTTACACCTGGGATCCTTGGCAGCATTTCAAATGCAAGCATAAGCACCCCGGAATTCTATTCGGACCTGCGAGTTTCTTGGAAACCTTTGAGTTTCCTTGGCAACTGCTCGAACGTGTAGCATGCGTCGTAGTGGCGGCCGCTGCCATGTGGACACGCCCATCTCGCAGCCATCGCCACCATTGGCTCAGAAAGAGATCACCATCCTGACAAACGACCACTAAGCCAGGCTTTACTGATGAGCAATAGACACTCATCCGCCCGGCTTCCAGGCCTTGTCCATGCAACGCCCCGCTCCGTCTCGGCCATGCTACCGAAGCAATCTCGGCCCTGCCTCTGCCTATGCGGCCGGAGCAAGGTTTCGCACATTGGACATACTGACTAAACCATCGGTGAGATGTCAACACCACTGCGTCATTGGAGACTTTGGCGTTGTGACGGCTCCACGTCCCACCCCGAACCTGGCCAACGCCCCCGCTCCGAGCCGCCCTGGAGATAACGACGGGCTTGCATTGGAGTTTTGCAAGAGGAAATTAAGCTTCCCGAGATATTCCCAATGGCTGGGTCTAATGGCTAGGTCCAACGGTTGTGTCTAACGGCTGGGTCCCAATTTTTTCCTGAGCCACAAAGTTGTAAGCCGAGCGAGTATATATAGGCCGTGAACACTCCTCATTTGATTCAACTCACTCCCAAGGCATTCTGGATCATCAACACAGCATCCACCTCCTCCAACTCAAGTCAACCCTCGACATCCTTGAAAATGAAGTTCACTTCCGTCCTCGCTGCCGGCCTCTTCTCGGCCGTTGCCCTCGCCGGCAAGAGCACCAAGCCCAAGGGTTCGTCCTCACATGACCACCGTTTAAAGAATTTCAAGCTTCGGGTTTAGAACAACTTGTTTCTAACATCTCTACCAGGCCCCAAGTACGAGCGACTTGACAAGGACAATGCTGTAAGTTGACCACTCATCTCATCTGAGCCATGGACTACAGAGCTAACAATGACCCAGATCCTGCTCGTTGTTGATATCCAGGAGGGTCTCTACCAGATCGCCCGTGACTTCGACCCTACCCTTTACCGGGACCAGGCTCTTGGCCACGCCGCTCTCGGCAAGGTCTTTGATCTCCCCGTCGTCATGACCACCTCTGCCGACCAAGGTATGCAACACCACCTTAACTCCGGCGTCTAGACGGAGCTACGCCAAGGCGCCATGGCTGTTAGTACCTGCATAGAAGACTAACCTTAACCCACAGGCCCCAACGGTCCCCTGGCTCGTGAGATCCTCGAGATGTACCCCGACATGCCCCTTGTCCAGCGCCAGGGTGAGGTCAACGCCTGGGACAACGAGGAGTTCCGCAAGACCGTCCGCTCGTACAACCGCACCCAGATCATCATGGCCGGCATCACCACCGACGTCTGCACCACCTTCCTGGCTCTGTCCCTGCGTGAGGAGGGCTACTCCGTCTGGGCCAACGCCGAGGCCTCTGGCACCAACTCTGCTCTCGTCCGCGACATCTCCAACGACCGCATGGCCAACGCCGGTGTCCAGGTTGTCAGCCTGTTCTCCATTGTCTGCGACCTCATGCGCGACTGGCGCAACACCCCTGGTGCCAAGGAGCTCATCCCCTGGTTGAACGTCTACTACCCCGTCTGGGGCTTCCTTGCCCGCACCCACGCCGCCGCCGTCACCAACGGCACCATCCTGCCCGGTGAGGACACCCTCATCTAAGCGCGCAGAATTTCGGAACAGGCGGCTAGGGTCTCGACTCCTCCGTCTTGATTCTCAAATTGGATTTGAGGAGTCACATCTTCAAACAACAAAGAGAGTGGCGGGATCGCGGCCAGTCTAAAACGGTGGAAGGGGGTAGTACATAGCATAGAATTATAGGTAGATCACTGAAAACGAAGCCTAATAGGCATCTACTTCACAACTTATCCTGCATAGTGACTTTCATTCGTACAAGTGGCCACATGGAATGAACATATAACATGCTAACCTTCAAAGGATTGTCAGATGGCATTGCAATTAATCAATTCCATTTTCTCCTAATACCCGCTTTGTATTGTTCAGGTAACGAGGAAACTGTTTAGATTACTTGTCTCCATAGACTTGGCCCTTGGTGGTCTTCTATTTTCGTCCCAATGACAAAGTGAATAGTGTTCAACCCTCTTATTGATATCGCTCGGTTTTAGAAGTTCCAGCATCATTGAAATGTACGTTGAGTAATTCGTTATTGCAAAATACTGCATCATACCCTATAAGCGAGTCAAGACATCTTCATCTGCCAAGGAGTTCAAATGATTTGCTTTTACTATAGCTTGTACTATAATCCTCTAGGTTAGAATAGTTACAGCAGCATTCTTCACACGCCACCGCAAGTAAAATGTTATTCAATGCAGGGTAGCGCTTCACTTTCCACCTTTGCATTATCCCCTGCCAGTTTCCAAGACAGTGGTTCCTTTCTGATCCTTGCTCTGACCAGGGCAAATCGGTTTGTGTCAGCTCGATGTGCTCTGTTGGTTGATCGCACGCAGATGCAGGGGTCTATCTGAACAGCCTGGGCAGCAATCGCTAGATCAACGCGCGGTAAAATAACTCCAAAAACATAAGTTTTTTTTTTTTTTTTTTTTTTTTTTTTTAGAAAATGCGGATTCTATTGAATGACTATGATCCAGAATTGATTTTGAAGTCTTACTCGCACCAAACCCGTGTTAGTTACCCTAGGATAGCACCCGTGTGCTAGTGTTCCAATTCGTACCTAGGCATGTGCATTTACACACCGCCAAACCGAGTAGGAGCTGCCTGCGTTAGGCTGTGGATGGAAACCTGATATTTCAACTCGGGTATCTCGCTGGATATGCTTGACAGCTTTTATAATACCTGGATGGCCAACCCATGTAGAATGCTTATTTAAATTGTTGGCGCACGACGTGTCTCGGGGCACGTGGTCTCCCAAATGACCTATGAATGGCTGTCGCAGAATCACAGCAACAAAGGTCCCTTCCCGCTAATTTCCCCATCAATGCACCGAGCAACACCGAGCATTCGCAACTCCAGGAACAGACCTGCCGATTTCCCGAGACTGAGTTCATCAAGACGAGCATCATATCTCCGCCCCCGGTCTAGTCTTGAGGGCTCGGTCACCAGTTCGGTTCTCAATGGCGTTCCAGCAGCTTCCAATGCCCGAAACACCAAGTGACGATGAGCAAGACTGGGATTCACGAGCGCCGCTCGTCAACCATCACAGTCAACCTCTGCTGAGCGGCTATCCTGAAAGACTGCCCCATCCCGCTGGGAAAACCGCTCCTTCAAGCCCTAGCGTTGTTCGACTTTGGCGTCACATCGGAGCCAAGTTGAAGAGCACCTGGTCGCCATCCCCAGATCTTCGGCAGGTGGCACGGATTCCACGTCCATTTTCGGACGTACCATCCCGGACATTAGGTGGAGATGGCCTCCTCGGTGACATTGGAAAGGGGGCACCACCTCGAGAGGGATTTAAAGACGTTCATCCCCGGACCTTTGTTGGTCCAGTGTTACACCGTTCAAATGTCCGCGACGAGGTAGTAGGCGAGCTCCAATCACATTTGCAGAAGAAAAGACGACGGAAACTTGTCACAATGACGATTGCTGGATTGCTCTTCTTCACCGCAATCGGTTGCATTATCAATCCTGGGTATGTTATTTTCTTGAATGCCGGTCTAAGTTCTTGACTGACTCTCGCAGATGTGCTTCATCTGCGGAATGTAAAATAGATGGGAGCTGCAACGATATTTCGCGGATATGGGGCCAGTACTCACCAGTGTTCGCTGTCCCCTCGGAGATAGACCCGGCCATTCCTAAGGGGTGCGAGGTCACCTTTGGCCAAGTTTTGTCCCGGCACGGAGCCCGGTATCCTACTGCTCACAAGACTGAGACGTACAATGCTACTGTCACTCGCATTCAAAGCTCTGTCACCGAGTATGGCAAGGGGTACGAATGGCTCAAGGACTACGTGTACAGCCTTGGAGCTGACGACCTCACTGAATTTGGCCAGGAGCAGCTGGTTGACTCAGGAAAGGCTTTCTACAAGCGATACAAGAAGCTCGCTCGAAAGTCTGAGCCTTTCATTCGGGCTTCTAGTTCCGACCGGGTTGTCATGTCTTCATACAACTTCACACAGGGCTTCTATAGCTCTCGAGGAGAGTCGGGCGAGGACCAGATCGGCGACATCTTGATCGTGTCAGAAGACGACGGGTCCAACAATACCATGTCTCATGGCAACTGCGCCGCCTTTGAAGAAGGTTGGGTTTCCAAACTGGGCGACGACGCTTCGGACACTTGGAACCAACTATTTGTTCCTTCTATCACAGCGCGACTGAACAAGAAACTGCCAGGGGCTAACGTCACGGACGCCGAAACCATCTCCTTGATGGACCTATGTCCTTTTAACACAGTCAACACGGCTGATGCAGCTACTAGATCAAAATTCTGCGACTTGTTCACCAAGACGGAGTGGCGAAGCTACGACTATTCCCTCTCGGTGAATAAGTACTACGATTATGGAAACGGCAATCCCTTGGGTCCCACGCAAGGAGTTGGGTACGTCAACGAGCTCATCGCTCGATTGACGAAGCAGCCAGTTGTTGACCACACAACTGTCAACACGACACTGGATGCGTCGCCCAAGACGTTTCCCCTGGACAGGGCGCTGTACGCAGATTTCAGCCACGACAACACCATGGTGTCCATCTTCTCAGCCATGGGGCTATATAACGAGACACAGAAGCTGCCAACCAACCACATCGTGTCGGCCCCGAAGGCGCACGGCTACTCGTCGGCTTGGGTTGTACCGTTCGGAGCCCGCATGTACGTGGAGAAGTTGGAGTGCAATGGGAATTCTAACGAATACGTACGGGTGTTGATCAACGACCGCGTGATTCCGCTCAAGACGTGTGGCGGAGATAAATATGGACGCTGCAAGCTGGATGACTTTGTGGAGAGCCTATCGTTTGCACGCAATGGAGGGCTTTGGGACCAATGCGCCATCTAGAGTCGGAGAGTTACTCCAAAGCATCGCAAGGGACCAAGACAGTATGGCACTTGTGTGGTGGCTTGACATAATGGATCGTACAGCTCGGCAGCGTATCCATATATAGAAGAGAGACATTCGAGAGGCGGAGTGATTGTGAAGGAGTGGCCATGCATGATAATGAGCTACGAATAGACATTCTATAGACGTATATTTTCGAAGCAGGTACCAATTGAGTCCCTCACTTTTATCGCAAAGACTCCTGCAAGACGCTATCCGAAGGTGCCGGAGGCAGTGCTTGTGCAGGAGCCTTGGCACGTTGATTAAAAGTGAGACCTGCGTCGGGGCTGACGACGACGGAATCGTCGGAAGTCGGAGCTGGGAACTGTAGCTTTTTATAGTTGTGACGATCGACGACAGAGGTACTGACTGGAGTAGTTGGTGGCGGGGAATGAGCTGTGCGGGCACTGGAATGTGGCTGATGATATAGACCCCGGGCTAGTGAGTCTTTGGGGAGTCTTCAGTGGTGTTCCAGCGGACCCTCCTGTAGGGCGTTAGCGGCGCCAGCTCTAGGTGGGTTTAGTGCTACAGATGTGCTCAGACAGCGTCACAGCCTTTTGCTCATCCCCGAGTTTAGGCTGGACCGGTCCACGGGGATGAACCAGGGCCAAGCCCGGCGCAGAGATAAGAATTGGGCGGGAGTTGGATGATAAATTAGACAGTGGAGTTCCCCGAGAGTTGACGTTGGCGGGCTTCAGTGAGATTCAAAGGGGGGGGGGGGGGGGGGGGGGCGATTTAGATTTAGCCATTTAGCAGCGGTTCTATGGATACGGAGCACTGGATGCTAAGCTTTAGAGGCTGAGGTGGAGGAGGTGGAGGAGGTGTGTTCAGTGGAGTCGCCATGACCTCAGCGACTCGGCCACCACTAAATCGGAACCCACTTCATTCACCATCCTCCATCTTCCGTCTTCCGTCTGACAGTCTTGTCGCATGTTTCCCGTTTTCCGTTTCCCGTTTCCCGAATCCTCGTATTCCAGTTCCCTGATTGACCGGCGCAAAAAACACAATCCTAGCACTGCCAACCCTTGCAGCGCCTCCTCATCCGCCGCCTCCTCTGCTCCCCCGTCCACTCCTCGCTCCGTCGCTTGTCTCGTGTCTCGTGTCTCTCTCCCACTCCTATCACGGCTGCGACTTGACGACGACCTTCCCTCCGCCCAGGTCTGACCTGACACACGCAGCCTCACACGCAGCCTCGCTTGCTTGCTCACGCACCTCACACGCGCATACAGGCAACCATGGTGTCAACGGCTGGAGGCATTATCATTGCCATCGTCGTGCTGCTCCTCGCGGCCGCCATCGGCTGGATCGTCTTTACCCAGCTGCGCGCCCGCAGACTCGGTGTACGTGCTTCTGTCTTCCCATCTTCCCCTCGCGACCTGATTTCAATGGCACTCGCGCTCCGGATGTCCCCCCCCGGACTTCACGTGTCTTGTGGCGAGCGCATCGATTGGCAGATGATGAGCCTTTAGCTAACTTCCAAACCCCATAGCTCCCGCCGCCCAGCTTAGCATCATATCTGCCATGGCATAAAGAAGAGAATTCCTACGGTCCTCCACGGCCGGCCCCCGGCGGTGTCGTCGGTTGGTTCAACGACCAGGTCCGCAAGTTCAAGAACCGCAACAACCGCTCGGCCGCTGGTGCCTACGAGCAGGACCAACCCGATGGACCCCGCGGACGCCGCGGTTTCGGTCCCCTCGACCCCGATGATGCCTGGGATACCCGCGTTGGCCCTGGCGCCGACTCCTACGGCTATGACGAAGAGGAGGTTGGTGGCGGCCGCGACGGCCGGGGCAACGAGTACAGCGGTGGTAGCTACAGGATGAACGTCGCCGCGCCGCCGAGCAGTGGTGCCCGAGGCTTGGGGCACGACGACGAAGAGGATCGAGGACGAAGGGCAAGCCGAAGCCCCGGCTCCGGACCCGGCGGAAGGAACCCCTTTGACGACGATTCAGCCATGAGCCTACGCGGCGTGAGCCCACGACCCATCGAGACGAACTTGCCGGCCAAACAAAAGGGTCATCATGACCCCGACAGTGCAGGCAGCAGCCCGACGGAGCGGAGATCGGTGTTTAGGGAAAATGTGTAAAGCGATTTTAACTGGACAAAAGCTACGGGGATATCACCATCCTGTGCGACTGCAATCACTTGGGTGAAGCTTGTTGGTATACCAAACATGGAGGATGGGCTGATCTTGGGGCCAGGAGATGGCAAAAGACTGCGTGGGCAGGACCCTGTCCGTTTTGGCACGCTTCTCTCGCTGGGTTCTTCTTTTATCCGAGCAATGTGTGGGCTCAAGGACGGCTATTCTGCTTCGGAACTTGCTGGGTGGACCTTTGCTATATATCATGGCCTGTGTTTCTTTTTTTCTTTTTTACAGCTTGACTCAACGCACAAATGTATTTTGTCGGGTATGTAAAGGTACCTGTGGATGGATGTCAAATGGACGGCGTTTGATGAAGGACCGGGAGGGTCTGTATGAGATTTTGAATGAACATGTTAATATCCTTGCCAAGGGTCGGGGGAAACTGCAACAGGACCCAGCATAAGCACAGCGCTGCAACCATATCAGATTTTGTGAGGGTGAACTAACTGATTTACTTGATACAGCAGGGATGTGGCAAAGCCATTACATCCCGACATTTATCATGTGCTTCTCATGCTTGTGTCGCGGCGGACTACGGGCGGAGCTATTCCGACGCCGAACTCCCACCCAGCGTCACCGTTAGCCGCTGTAGATTCGCGCTGCCCCGCCATTGCCCCTCCATAAATCTCTCCTCCACCATCGTCATCGTCTGAGATCATCTTGATTGACCAACCGGCCAATCCTGCACGCATTGGTTTGAAACAGCTTCCTTGGGAACTTGCATTTGTCTCAGACCTCTTGTTATTCGAATTGCCCACTCCAGAAGCAGCGGCAAGCAACTCCCGCAACAATGGCAGAAATTGATCTCCAGGCCATCCACGATGAGATGGTCGCCGTCGCCTACCAGGCTGGTGTCATGATCCTCGCTGCCAACCCGGCCGACATTGACACCGACACCAAGCTCAACTGTACGACCTCCCGCTTGCCCGTCCTAACATGAACCCACGTCGTCCCGCCATGTCCGTCCGGCTAACATGAATTGCCTCGAAAAGCCGTCGACATCGTCACCGAGACCGACAAGGGCGTCGAGGCCATGGTCTCGGCCCGTCTGTCCACCGCCTTCCCCGACATTTCCTTCATGGGCGAGGAGACGTACAAGCCCGGCATGAAGATCGGCCCGGAGCCCACCTTCGTCTGCGACCCCATCGACGGCACCACCAACTTTGTGCATTCCTTCCCGTCGGCCTGCATCTCGCTCGGCCTCGCCGTCGACCGCCACCCGGCCATCGGCGTCATCTACAACCCCTGGCAGGACCTGCTCTACACGGCCATCCGCGGCAAGGGCGCCTACCTGACGCGTGCTCGCGGCGCCGAGCCCCAGCGCCTCCCGTTGGCAAAGTCGCCCCGGCCGCTCGAAGGCCTCGGAAGCTCGCTCGTTGCCGTTGAGTGGGGGTCGACCCGCGACGGCCCCAACTTCGACCTCAAGGTCGATGTCTTCCGCCGCCTGGCCGGCACCCGCGAAACGGGCGGTTCCATGGTCCACTCGCTGCGCTCGCTCGGCTCTGCCGCCCTCAACATCGCCGCCGTCGCCGCCGGCCAGGTCGATATGTACTGGGAGGGTGGCTGCTGGGCCTGGGACGTCTGCGCCGGCTGGTGTCTGCTCGAGGAGGCTGGCGGCCGCATGGTCCACGGCAACCCGGGCAACTGGGACCCGGAGCTCGAGGCCCGCATCTACCTCGCTGTGCGTGGGGCGCCGAGCGGCCAGAAAGAGATTGTCGAGGAGTTCTGGAAGGTCATGGGAGATGGCAAGCTGGACTACTCGGTCTAATAATGAGTCCTGTGTGCTGTAGTGAGTATATACAAGGAGAGGCGAGCTCATTCGTCTTGCACGAGTCATGTAAATAGTAACGAAGATAGAGGCCTGCCGCAGTGACAGGTAAGCAATGTGAATATGACTTCATGTTCGTGCATATAATCAACTGGGCACCTGAGCTATCACAATCATTCACGCAGATCTGGAACGGACATGTTTTTAATAGTCTTGTTTTGTTATTGCTAACATCGAACTTTGAACCCGTGGGTACCAACGCTGCCAGATAGCGAAGCACTTTGTCGTATCCCTGTGAAAATCCCACAATACAAATGCAATGGATGATTCCTTGACATGGCCGAGTCCTTTAACCCCAATTTTTTTTTTGGTTACTGTTATGGTATCAGAAAGGCTCCTCTCCGCACAATTATCGCTTGTTGATGAACTCCTAAGACACCTTGGTCTCCAGTCTAATCCTGCTTAACATCGACCTTCTTGGCGGCGGGCTCGCCGGAAGCACCGTCGTCGTCGCGGGAGCGCTTGCCGTTGGTCTTGGACTCGGCATCAGCGGTGGACTGGATGCGAGGCATGGTGCTGAGAATATGTTAGTAATGGTCAGAAGAATCAACGGCGACATTGCTTACTCGTTGCTGCTGTGCTTGGTCTCCTTCTCCTTGCGCTCGTCGTTGCGGTCGCGGGGGCCGTTACGATCACGGTCACGGCCACCATCACGGTTACCCCGGCCCCGGCCTCGGCCGCGACCACCTCGTCCGCCCCTGAAGCCGTTCTTCTGGTCGTGCTCACGGCGCTTCTTCCAGTCGTCGCTGTCACCGCCACGACCGCCCCGGTTGCCACCACGTCCGCGGCCGCGGGCGTTCCTGTTGTCCTTGCCGTCTTTGCCCTCGTAAAACCTCTTAGGAGTGTTGGTGTTGGGCTCGAGCTTGCCCTGTCGGATGAGCTCGCTCTTCTCGTCGCAGTAAGCCTTCTTGCTCATAATCTTCAGCTCGTGCTCCTTCCACTTGGGAGCAGGCTCGAGGGCCAGGAACTTGGTAGCCGTCTCCTCGTCAGCGTAGGTGACGAAGACGGATCCCTTGAAGAAGTTCTCCCCAGTGCGGCGGAGCTTGAGACCCTTGACCTCGCCGAATTGGGCAAAAAAGGTCTCGAGATCGAACTGAGTGTTGGGGGTCTCGTCGCCGAAGCCCTTGATGTAGACGGTGGCAGCCTCGATCTTAGCCTTGGCGGTGGACATCGGCTTGTAGGGCTCCTTGCGCTTGACCTCCTCCTCACCCTCCTCACCCGAGAGGTCGAGGATGGCGCTGTCCTTGATGGCAGCGACAATGGCAGAGTAGGGCTGGAAGGTGCGCATGCGCTTGAAGGAATGGATAGTCTTGAGCTTCATAGGCTTGTTCTCGGACCCGCCACACGACTCCCACATGAACTTATCTTGGGGGAAGTTGTAGTCGCCAAAGTAGAACTCGACCTGCTTGCGAATGGCCACAGGGTCATCTGTAACCTCGCGGGAGGCGGGATCGAACTTGCGGTTGTTGCGGTGGTTCTCATAGTCAATCTTGGCGGTGGTCTTGAGAAGGTTAGACTCGCTAGTCTCTGCGGGCTTCTCGGTAGAGTCAGCCTTCTCCTCGGTCTTCTCCTCGACCTTCTCCTCAGTCTGCTCGACAGGCTTCTCCTCGGCGGGGGCAGCCTCGGGCTGGAGAGCCTCAACGGGCTTGGTGGTGGCGTCGGCCTCGCTCATCTCGACGGCGCGCGTGTGTGGTAGGGTTCAAGAGGAAGAAGCGACACTGGCGATCAAGATCCGTGAAGGATCAAGGGCTATAAATCGCGTGGGAGGTGGTGCGGCTCTGGAGTCACGGGTGAGCAAGGTCGCGACAAAATGATGGTGGCGGGGTAGGGCGTAAGAGTCACCGGCGAGGGTAGAGAGCCGCGCCCGCGTGACGATACGAGATGCATACCTTGGGAGATGAAGCGCAGTGATTGTATAGTCCACGGGGACTGCTGAACTGCAGTAGCAGAGAGTGCAATTGAGCTGGAGAATGGAGGCAAAGCGCGAGAGATTCTGCCGGCGCAGGAAAAAAAAGCGTCGAAAATCTAGGTCTCTCACTAGCTGCGATTTCACCGCCCGCCGCATCTGGCGCCTGCTGCCCCCCCACTTGCCAGTGCCCGCTGTGGCCAACCCCACTCTGGTGCCGTCTTAGCGCTGAACCCAGAAGGATTCCAGCCGCTGAAGCTTTGGGCTTCAGGGAGTCACAGCGAAATCAGACCGCTGGGAGATGCAAGGGTTGTCGCTACAGGACCATGAATCGTCCAATTACTGCAGTTGCGCAAGGCAGGGAATGTAGGGAACCTAGACTTGAAGTGCTGTCGATGTACCGGTGCTCGCTGGAGCTAACCAGCTGTAAGTTATAGGCTCACACAAGTGACTGATATCCAAGCTGGGTTGGACAACCAGACTGGTGCAGCCTAAATGTGACTCGAATTAGCACCAGAGTAGGAAATATACCGGGTTTCGGTTCAATCGAGTTCCCAAGGCACTTTTTATTATTGCACCTGCGTGTCGAGGTCCTTCTTTTCAGTCGCCCGAGCCTCAAGAACGGTGAGAACGTACCGGGCGTTCTGCCGAAGTGGGCCGCTAAGAAAATACTTCCATTCAGCAGGACCTGGCACACAATACAATGTACTCTCTAACAGCTCTATCGTAAGCGCCTCATCCCTCTTTTGCCTGGCGTCCAACTTAAGGCGATGACATCAACATTCCCGTCTTGTTGAGGGAGCTACGGCACTTACCTAACCTACAATTTCTTCAGCCTCGTGGCCCAAATTTCTGCAGTCCCTTCACTCGGACCCCCCGGACCGGATCTGGAGAGGCTATCATTGTTGATCCTCCATCGTGATCATGCAATTGGATTGATTATCGCTCGCCAATTCAGTGGGGAGACTCAAGAGTCTTGGATAATCGCGGAAACCTTGGGCCGGGATGAACCGTAAATGCGATTCATCGAAAACTCCCCATCAACGATGAGATTCTACCGCGGCTCCATTGAGAGCCTTGCGAGGCTTGGCTCTAGGCTAGCCACATCTCGGTCGAGGATCAATCGAGTGCCGATCCAGCTACGCCGCACTCTCTTCTCAACACCAAGACAGAATGCCAAGCAACACAAACAACATTCCACGTTGCCCGCCGCGGTAATCACTGGCGGCCTCTTCATTTGGTGGCTCTATCCCTCTGACGAATTTGCGCAGCTCTCGAATAAGAAGAGAAGCGGCGGCCAGCATCTCGCAGACTCCAACGGCCAGACCACCGGCTCTCAACAAGATGACCAGCCCGCCTGGGCCACTTTTGCCCGCCGCTTCGAGGCCTTCACCTTAGTTAATGACCTGGAATGGCCTGCCATCCCGGAAAAGCTGGTCGATTTTATTGCCCCGGAATGGTCCAAGCTACTGCCCGTGTACATGACAAAGCTGCAGCGGGAGCTCTCCATGTCACCCGGTTCGTTGGCTGATGAGATATGGGCTGAAGCTCATGATCCCCTCGTCCATCCCGAGATTCGCTACGCTGCCGATGTTCGCGTATCTTCTGACCTTTGTGAAGAAGAAAAGACGTTCCTTGCTCGGCGTCGCAGAGTTGCAAGAGTGGGCCTGGCGAGGTATTTAGGTCTCAAGGAAGAGGATGTTCATCCCGACGACGTCCCAACCATTGCCATGTGCGGATCCGGAGGAGGCCTTCGAGCCCTCATCGCCGGCACGGGATCGATTCTCGCGACTGAAGAGGACGGCTTGTTCGATTGCGTGACGTACACCTCGGGTGTCAGTGGTTCTTGCTGGCTCCAGGCGCTCAACCTTACATCATTCAACAAAGGCAGCATTCATAACCTTTTGGAACATCTCAAGTCCCGAGCTTCAACCCACATCGCATACCCCCCTGACGCTTTCCAGTCTCTAGTCTCGATGCCAACAAACAAGTACCTTCTCAGCGGCATCGTCGAGAAACTCAAAGGCGACCCTCACGCCGATTTTGGCCTGGTCGATGTGTACGGGGTGTTGCTGGCTGCAAGATATTTGGTCCCTAAAGGAGACCTAGGAATCAACGACCGCGACTTCAAGCTCTCAAACCAGCGAGAGTATATTCAATACGGACAGCTCCCGATGCCAATTTATACCGCCGTACGTCACGAGATTCCCAACTTGACAGAGGCACAAGCCCAAGCGGGCATTTTTGGGATTGAAAGGGCCAAAGAGGAAGCCAAGAAAGAGTCTTGGTTCCAATGGTACGAGATCACTCCGTACGAATTCTTCTGCGAGGAGTTTGGGGCTGGCATTCCTACCTGGGCTCTGGGTCGGAGGTTTAACAATGGCAAGGATGTCCCCCCCGAGTACGGGTTCCATCTCCCCGAGATAAGATTGCCCCTTCTCCTTGGCGTCTTTGGCAGCGCTTTCTGCGCTACTCTCAGCCATTACTATCGAGAGATCAAGCCTATCCTAAAAGGTTTGGCTGGATTTGGGGCAGTTGATGGCCTCATCTCGGGACGGGACGACGATCTGAGCAAGGTCCACCCTATCGATCCCGCAAAGATCCCCAATTTTGCCTACGGCATGCGCGGCAAGCTGCCTCAAACAACCCCCGACAGCATTTACGACAGCGAGTATATCCAGCTCATGGATGCGGGAATGTCCAACAACTTACCCATCTACCCCTTGCTCCGACCCGGACGCGATGTCGACGTTCTGATCGCCTTCGATGCGTCAGCAGATATCAAGACTGACAACTGGTTATCCGTGGCTGACGGCTATGCTAAGCAGCGCAAAATCAAGGGTTGGCCTATCGGTATTGGGTGGCCAAAGCCTGGAGAAACTCCTGCGCAGGCGGTGAAAGAACTCGACGACGCGCAGGCGAAGTCTACCCGCGAGGCCGAGTCCAAACTTCAAGATGCCAAGGACAACCAGAGAGAAATGCGCAAGGAAGCACACAACGGTGGAAAGACTGAAAAGTCTAGCAAGGACACCAAGTTCGAGCCCGGTGAGAAAGACGCTGGAGACCTGGGTTACTGCACTGTCTGGGTCGGCAGCAACCAGGAACGCACCTCTGACTCCCCTCCTCGAACCAAGGCCATCTCAGAGCCCGACTCCTGGAAACTTATGGAACCCGACGCCGGCATCGCCGTCATCTACCTACCCTTCCTCACCAATGAAAAGGTGCCCGGCCTATCGCCCGGCACCACCGACTTCTTGAGTACCTGGAATTTCATCTACACCCCTGACCAGATCGACAAGGTCGTCCAGCTAGCCCGCGCAAACTATGACGAGGGCAAGGATCAGATTCGGTCCACTGTCCGTGCCATCTATGAGCGCAAAAAGAGACACCGTGAGGCCACTGAGCGCACGACACGCCAGGAGAGATATCGCTCCTTGATCAGGAGGGGCGAGGGCGTGCGGTTGGGCGAGGGTGACCAGTTCAGTTGAAGTGTTTCTTGTGATAAATATACCCGGGGACGACACCGATTAGAAGAGTAGAAGAGTGTAATGTAAATCTTTGATTTTGACTCGCCATTTGTCGAGGAGTTGGTCATTGTTCTACATTGTATCTTACATTGACGTTCCCCAGCCATTTCCTTTAGGAATCTCCTTGCTCCATGTATTTTATACAGTGCCTGGCCAAGGCAAAATTTGTTTTGTCATTATCCACACACGGCCGATGCATCCAGCCCAGCATCGCCAACAGCGCCACATCCACAAATACAACCATGAGTCTCGTTTAGATGATCTCACCAATGTCGATATGGGGCGCCTTCCAAGGCTTGGCATCCTCCTCAAACATGTCGCTGGGCACCCGGACCTTGTTGCCGGGGCTGTACATGTACCAGGCCTTGAGGGCGTTCATTGACGCCTTCCACCTGGCAATGTTAAGGCTGGGGCCGGAACCCTCGCCGAGCTTCTCCTGGCCACTATAGATGCCAACGACGAAGACGGGTGTGCGGGACAAACGACCGGTCTCACTCTCGAGACGGGCGATGGGGGAGGAGAAGCCCTCACGGGCGCAGAGCATGGCGAGTTCGCGGGTGGGGAGTTGGAACTGGAACATGGAGGAGAGGTCGATCTGGCGGGAGAGAATGTGGGACTGCACAAAGTCGCGAGTGGCCTCGCGTCCACAGTGGGTGTAGATGGAGCCAACAACGGCCTGGACGAAGGAACCGTAGGCCTCGTCTTGGTAGAATTTAAAGGCCTCGGGGTCGGTCTTTGGCGCCTGCAGGGTGTCGCCAAACTCGTCGTCCATGACCACACGACTGCTGATACCACGGCGAGCCTCGAACTGTTCGGCGTGGGCAGCCTCTGCACGAACGTAACCCCAGCGTGTTTGCAGGCCTGACGCTTGCGGCTTCCATTGTAGCAGACCGGGATCGACTTCCTCGCCGGGAGCGGCGGCGGCCTCGACACCCCACCGGCGGGCTATTTGGTGCAGCGATTCCTTGCCGGCGTAGGCGCGCAGGGCCTCGTAGAGGATAGTCATGGGCAGGCGGGGCCACTTGACGGCGAGGTACTCGAGGACGTGGTAGTTGATAAAGGTGCTTCCGAGGAAGGCGAGGTTGGAGTTGTTGAAGCTGGCGTTGACGTCGGCGGAGGGGACAACGAGGGTGCGGGCGAGCGTCTCTAGGGGGATCTTATTGGAGAGGGACAAGCGGGCGTGGAGGGCGGCGAGCTTGGCGGACTCGGCAGCCCGTTGAGGCGGAGGAGAGGGAAGAGGTGACCGCAAAGCCTCGGCGGAGATGTCGTCGGCGAGGGATTGGGCGGCGGCGGCCGACGAGGCGTGCCGGTGCAAGCTCGCGGCGAAGGGCTGTCGAGCTGCTGAAGCGGCCATGGCAGCTCCCGAGCGGGCCTGCAGCAATTGGCCGCCCCATCGTTGCAGGGGAGCCCGCTTCATCGGTGCAGCAGTTGGGGAGGTCGGCGCACGGGAGAGCAGAATTCGGGGCGTGGTCGCAAGGCGTCGAGGACGGGGCGTGGCATCGGCTTGTTCGTACCCGTCACCGAAAAAAGTTCTGCGTTCAATCCGTCTGGAGTCGTGTGAGCCTGCGGGACGGGCGAGTTGAGCCGGAGCGGAGCCAGAAATCGCGGATCAACCTCGGCCCGCCCGCCTTTCTCGCCTGGGCCTTCGGATTGCTCGCAGCCTCAACTTCTCGAGGTGGCCCGGCAGACGCATCATCAACGACGCCATTGTGCTCCCAGAACATTCCCTAAACGTCCGTTGACAAGTCAATCAAGATGGTATGTCGACTCCCCGTGTGTTCTCCTGAAGAGGCGCTGACAATTGATCCAGGGCGGCGGCGGAAAAATCCCGTAAGTCAATCCGATCCCACCACGAGTGTGCTCCCTCCTTTCGACCCCGACGACGCCTGACCGTTATCCTCCGAAAAGTTACCCCAAGCATGTCTGGTCACCGGCTGGTGGTTGGTACGCACAGCCTGCCAACTGGCGCGGCAACACGCTGATTGCGGGCGCCGTCATGTTCGGCATCGTCGCCATCACCTGGAACTTCAGCGCCGGGCGGGAAACCTGGGCGCGAAAGCCCGAGGCCTGGGAGTGGCACCCTAGCCGGTAGTACGTGGATTCCCATTCTGAGCTTGCCGTGGGATGTAGGCGACCATACTGACGATGTGATAGCTGGTCGAAGCAGTTGATTGAGTGGGACAAGGAGGACCGATTGAAGTTGGAGCAGGAGAAGGAGTCGAAGTGATTTCTCGGAGGTCAGCGATAGACCCGTGTACAAATTTTGCGGCAGATCAAAGAAAAAACGATTCATACGGAACTCTCGCTCCCCCGACGTGATGTCGTCCTACGGCCTTGGCTCATTGAGGGTATCGGTTATGAAGCGCTCCTTGCTCGGAACAACGGCAGCACCACCCCCCAACAAACACATTCCGCTAATGACACTAACAAGTAGCAGCTTTGCTTCTTGATAACATAATTGAGCACATGCAATTGAACATTGGTAACGAAATGCTCATCCATAACTTTTACGTCGCTTTCACCTTCGCGACGTGGTGGGCAAATCAGAGCCTGGCTAAATGTAATGAGCTTGGCCCGCGCCATTTCCGGGGCAGCTCCACGCCTCGCAAGAAGGTGGGTCGCATGAGGCTGGTTACGAAACATGGCCGCGATGACCGAATATGACAAAAACAGGTCGTCAAGTCAATTGGGTCGGATACGGGAGATACAATCATATTCAAGTGCATTCCTACGAGAGTATGGGTTTCACTTTCAACCCCCAATGGTTCGTGTGGGGGTATGTCATCCACCTGCTATATAGGGGAGGTGTGAATGTGCAAGAAGTCCGGTGCTGAGGACCACCAGCATGGCCCCCGTTGTTCAAATAACTACCTTCGCCTCGATTGTTGCGGTTGGGTGACTTGAGACTAGCGGGTTGCCGACGTCGTCTCCTGACTGGACACATGTTTCGTTAAAGGAGACGACGTTATAGACGGTCACAATGGTATACGTCGTGTTGTACCACACGCAGATGTCGTCACTCTGTCCCTCGTGGAAGGTATAGGAGTTATCAGTTTCTCAAGTCTACGAAACCTCAAATCCTCCGGAAACCGACCCATCAATTATACCTTCAGCTGACTAGCTGATGGTATAGGACTCAAATTAATCGTATCCGTAAGCTCAATCCTGCCGTGCGATTATCCGAAAGGATGCAACATAATGGTGCCATGTATGCGCACACCATCTGCATACGAGGCGCCGAGGTAGGTGACCAAAAGCTGAAGGGTATCGATATCGGGGCGATTGATGTAATTGAAACCGGGCGTATGTATGCATCCACCACGTAAATTGGTCCGGGAGGAATGTAAGTTACTTATGCGGTTCGCCAACATTGAAGGCGACTGGATCTGCCTCCTTGTTGCCCCCACGTAGCTCCGCCCAAGGCGTTCGGGCGATCGGGGCTATGTTTCTCAGCCGTTTGGTGGATTTTCAAAGAAGCGACATGTTTATCTTGGAGAAGAATTTAGTTTCGATAGCTTTATTGGTTGAACCAATGCAAGTAGAGGGTGGTCAGATGCAGAGTCCAGAGCTAAGAAGTGCAGCCAGACACGAAATTATGGCACCAGGGTTTCTTCCCAACTGACGGGCGTATTTATCACTTAAATATTAAAGATACTAGCTTTAGGGCTTAGGGTGCTGTAGCTGGAGCTAAAAAAACCGCTAAAAAGCGGCGACATATACGCAAAAACTTGAACGCTGGTTGGTCTAGCCCAGTTGTTCTGTTAGTATTTTAGATATTTTAGATGCTCTGTAGAGCTCCCTGGCCGGTCTAGTCCCTACAACGGCATCCGACGTGGGCTTCCCTCCACGTTGGAGTCCACGTCCGCAGTGTTAACTTGCACATCTGTGACCGCGCCTCTTTAGCACTGCAGATTACCGCATGCACGACGTTATGGGAATTGCACAAGTCGCTTCACTACACCTTCTCAGTGGCGGTTAGGTTTATGACGTGTCACCTAAGAATCTCCAAGGTGGGCTTTAGGAGCCGGCAGAGTGAGGGGCGCTTTGTTGAGTTGCTGCTCAAATACTTTTCCTCGCCGTCGATGCCAAAATGTTACCAAGTGAGCTACACGGTAACCTCACAAATACCTAGTGAAGTTCTCTTCTGACGCCATGCCATATCGGAAAGTTCCGACTCCCGCCTCGATAGGCCTAAATCTTACCTCTCCTAATTACGGGTCACCAAATATCGAGACAGAAGAGTCCGGAAGCGATTCAGAAGGATCCGCGATCCGGCTTTCACACCCCGATTCAGAGGTTCTAGCGTCAAGCTCATCACCGCCAAAGTTCAACGGATTTCGCAATGGCGGAATTCCCAAGTAAGTGGTGCCCAATAGCCCGCGGCGTCTTTAGCGGAGGTTTAATAGTCGAAATAGGCCAAGCGATGTGTTTATCGCTGTAATGGGCGTTACTGGGTCTGGCAAGAGCTCCTTCATCTCCATGTGCTCTGATACCCCCGTCGAGATCGGACATACCTTTGAAGCATGTGAGTTACTGGAAACCACGAGACAAGGGGGGACACGACGTACAAGGATTCTAACTACAAATAGGCACATCAACCGTTGATGTCTATTCCTGCAGTCTTTTGGCAGACCGCACCGTCTATCTCATTGATACTCCAGGCTTCGATGATACTCATAGAAGTGACCCTGAGGTTCTCGTGGAGATAGCTGAGTGGCTCGCCGAGTCATACCGGAGCAAAATCCTACTTCACGGGATCATATATCTGCATCGCATTACCGACACCCGTATGCAAGGTTCGGCAAAGAAGAATTTGGTCCTATTCAAAAAGTTGTGTGGAGAAGATACCCTGCAGAAAGTGGCTCTTGCAACAACCATGTGGAATATGGTCAATAAGCAAGAAGGGCTTCAACGCGAGCAAGAGTTGATGAACACGCAGGAGTATTGGGGTTCGATGTTGAGTAAAGGAAGCACCATTCACCGACATTATCACACACGAGAGTCGGCCATGAATATCATCACGCAGCTAGCCAGTCGTAACAAGCCATTCGCTACAGACCTACAGACACAGCTCGTGGACCAGCGTCTCACGCTCGATCGTACATCCGTCGGCAAAGCACTTCAAAGTGAGCTGCTGACACAGAGGCAAATATGGGAAGAGGAGCTTGGTCTCATCGGCCAGCACGACGAGCGCGTCGCCCGGATGGAGACGAGGCTACGAGAGCAACAAGAGAAGCATGCTGCACGCGAGAACCTACCGAAAAGAGCAGCTGGTGGTCAAGCCGGAAATTCAAGGTCGGGGGATAGAAAAGAGTTCTCACAAGTTTCAGTAGCGATGTTTGGATCTGCTCGAAACTCGTCAAAGGCTGCGTTAGAGGAACTGAAAATCGAAGCGCAGGTGGATGATACGACCGAAGCCGCTGGAGAGGATTCAAATGGCTTGAACGACCTAAAACCCTTGGATCTTGCCGACGATTTGGGCTCCGTCGTGGATCCTCCGGATGTTGCACAGTTTACTGATTCTGGCTACGCTTCCGTCGGAAGAGATGCAGGGCCAATGTCGGATGAAAAGACGATCCTGACGCAGCTCGCTGTTGAGCCTGATTCAACCAAGTCACGAAACGAGGACATGGACGACACCGCCACCGTATATTCAATTGCCTGGAGTGTTCCGGAAGACGAGTTAGATACATACAAGTCAGAGCTTTCCGAGGCCATCCTCAAGAACCTTCGTCGCCACGTTTCCGATGTTGAGCTCCTTGAATCCCTCGCGACGATTCTGCCATCTTCACTCAAATCATTTGCCCTTCGTTTGGGATGCCCAGGCTCAAGCAAAGCGGAAAAGGAGGTCATGTACTTTGTTCACAAACACAGAATGTGTGTATGACTTTTTTTCCTCTCGATTCTTGGGCTGAAGCCATCCAAAGCTAACTGTGTCACAGCGACATCGCACACCGCTTCAATGATGCCGCAAGGGGTATTCCGGAAGAGGATGTCTCAATTTTCCCCGTGGAAAAGTTGGAAGAGGCAGTCGTAAATAGAAATATTGGTCAATGGCTGCAAGATGTTTTACAAGATAACGCGATGGAGCGCGAGGACGAAACTCGAGATGCAAGGCCGGACTGGAACCAACAACTGGACGCCCCCGACGAGATCGAAGAGCAGCCGTCTTTGCCGGATAAGCGGGGGTACCGAGACGCTGTCTTCAATTCAGTCGCATATAAGTGGTTGATATCAAGGCTGATCAAAGCGCTGGTACTGGCTCCTGTTGAAGAGGATGACTTTTGCGCTCATATTCAATCCGAGATATCGGCTTGCTTAGAGCAGAAACGGTCTGTCAGCAGCAAGAGGGCGTCAGAGAGGTATACAATGTTGTTTGTTGCAGAGTGGGATCCAATGGCATTCCTACAGGAACAATTCCCCGACCATTCCAATGTTGGACGCCTTATGCATGAAGTTCTTACATTGACAGGATCTGCCACGGACGCACAAGTTCTTCCATGTGCTGAATACGTCCGCCAGACTTGGGAAACAACTGGACCGGCCCTTCTCGCACTCTTGATGGATGCTTTGGTGTTGGAAAAGAAGGTGTCCGGTAGGTGTCACCAGCCGCGACTCTATCACTGTTTTCGGGGACTGACTTCGTATAGGAGAGCTTGGGGATAAATCGGTCGTCAAGTGCCTCTTCCGAAAGTCCCACCTCGACGTACAGGTTGAAGGGACTGCAGATGCTATTGCAGAAGTTGGGGAGCAAATTGGCTGGCTTGGAGCTGCCCTGCGTCGGTCATGCACAGAATCTGGTCTGGCAACTTGTCATCCCAAGATTCAAACGTATGTTGCAACCGCCGGACCAGCAATTTGCACCATTCGGTTCGCCATGGAGAAAATATCCGCCGATACCAAGCCTCCCGGTGCTGGGCAATGCTGGCATGAGTTGTTCCAAAACCCAGTTGTGGTGAGAGGCTATCCAATCCCAAGGAGGACTCAATATGATTCGGGGCTCGAGATTCCACTGAATGTCATGTCGGGGTTGACCAAGTGCCCGCGAATCAATCGTTTCTTGGGCAGCCACTTTCTGAAAGGATTCTCAACTGCTCTAGTACCGATGAAGAGGCTCAGCGACGCGATCCTTTGGCATCTCTACTACTCTCCAGATGGGAGTAGACTTCCGTACCCGGATCTGGATGCAATGGACCTGGACCACGTTGATACTAGCCTAAAGGATCTAACAACAACACGACACATTGTCGGTTGGTGCTCAGAGGCGAAGTTCTATGCTGGTAAGTTTCGAACATGGAAAGGCCACAAAGTCTTTTCTCGGTCCAAATGCAGTGCTAAAACACCTTCCCAGGGGCTGCGGGGATGAATTACGCCATCAAGCCTTCACAACTTCAACGGCCTGGGCGGGACTTTGCTTTGGAGAAAGTGAGCTTCTCCGTGGGCGAGCTCGTGACCGGCGGGTGTACTTTTGGGATAGGTCGCAAAGACATCCATGTGCGAATCACTCGCGGCTCTTACAAGGCGAAGCTGGAATGGATTGACCAGAAATACGTCACCCTCTGGGACGTCATCGAACATCGCGGTTGGCTGGTGAGCGGGAGCGCAGCCCTCCTACACCTACTGCGAACGTCCCTCGAATCCTCCAGAGTGGACAAATTTAGATCCGAGTTCCTGTTTGAGCAGGACAAGTTCGAGGAATCGCCGAATCCCGCCACGCTTGGTTCGGCCGTGGATGTCCTTTTAAACCCCGTAAACCAGAAGCTCAAGCTCTACCCCAAGGACGAGTACACATACACTGAAACGAGGATTCTGCCGAACGGTCAGCGAGAGGCGATCACGAAGACCGTCACGTCTCAGACGACACTGAAGGATCGAGTGGAAGAGCTTTACGAGACCCTGGAGAAACTAATTGATCACAACGCTCGGGCAGAAGCCTCGTACAAGGGCGTCAACGCGAAACTTCGCCTGCACGACCAGCTTGATGGATGGGATTTCGCCGACATTGCCACGGATAGGGACCCTTTCTATCTCAGGAAGGCAACTCTGCCTCTCCATAAGCTGAGCTGGGCCGACTTCACGAAGGCGATCCCGGCCATCAACCTGTTTGGAAAGGGCTTTGGAGACATAATTCGCGCGTCACCGATGGGGCACGACAATCCGGCCGCTATCTGTCGGGGGTGGGAAACAGTTCCGACGAAGAGCCATCTCCTTTGCATCAGCGTCAGCGATCTTCGAGACATTATTGATCGGATAGGCGACCAATGGACCGACCCCATCACCCTGGCCCCCGGCATTACATGGCATAATCCATTTCCCGAAAGCCCGTTTCATGAGAATTGCCTCTGCGGTGCTAAAGGGATAGCGTCGCAAAGGCACATCCACCACCGTATTCAGGAGCTCGGGTCGTCTAAGACGCGATTTTCCGTGTCAAAACATGTTGTGGATCTAGCCAACCACCAAAACGGCGCCGTGATATTTGGGCTACGCCCCGAGTGGAAGATGTCATGGGGTTTATCGGCAGCTCCTGGGTCCTCCGAAGGTGAATCGTCTTCCAGGACGACAATAGGGAATAGCGGAACCTCCGAGCGTTCAAACGGTGACAACAATTCTTCTGGCTCGCTATCGATATCCACTTCTGCTAGCCCTGGACACCAAGAACAGGGTAGCTCGAGACATTTTTCGGGTAGTGGGACGAGATCATGCATTGGTTCGACCAGCGACGGATCCAGGTCCTCTGAGACACCGAATCCGAACTTTTGCAATCCGCCGCTCAACCCGTCTTCGGTAGCAGGTGTTACGAGGGAGTTTTCTTCGACCGGAGGCGACGACTCTGAGGATCTACAGGGCGAAAAGAGTGAGAGGCCGTCACGGATGCGTACAGTTGTAACAGTACTTAAGACGGCGTTTCGAGGACGCAAGCCGAAGTAAGGCGGCGTGTTATGCGGGCCGAGTTGATTCGACCCGAGTATAGATGTAGTGTTATTCGATCATAGCGTGCTCGTGCTGAGTTGTCGGATCAAGAGCCCTAGGATCCGTATTTTCTAAAGGCCATCATATGTACCCACTGAGTCCAACTCCTACGAGTCGTCACCCGGGCTGAGGTTCCGAAGGCGAGAAGTATTTGACTCATGCGTACGCGGACGGATAGGGGTTGGAATCAGAAAATTAATGAGGCGAAAATGTTTCCCCATGAGAAATCCTGCGTCCATGAGACTTTCTTGCGGCTGGTATCGTTCACAGCGATAGTGCTCAACTCACCGGACAGTACCTGGACGGTCTCGGGATTGAAACAGATGACACCCTCACCATCTATGCTCATATTTCATTGGATTCCCCAGTTCTCTCAAACGGAGAAGTTGCAGGCATCTCAGTCAGCACGTTGATAGGGGGCTTTTAGTCCTATGCGGCATTGGTCGTCTTTTATGGAAACATTTCCGGAGAAGATACAATGAATCAGCATACACAAAATCACCAAGCTGACCGTAAGAGTAGATACAGGCCCAAGGTAGTTGGCATGAATAAAATTTTATCCTCAGCATTTTGAGTTACCGACATATGGTGTAGGTGACGGGGCACCTTGACAGGCGAGGAATGCATTCGATGGGTGATTAGAAATGATTGGTTTCTTAAACTATCTGCGCCCTTTAATCAACCTGATATGTTAACTACACAAATTTCAAGACATTCTCGACGCAATACGCTATCCCCATGTAGCCAGAGAAAGCTCGGTGAACACACTAAGTCTATCAACCAAGCCAAGGACTATTTTGTAGACGATGCGAAAGAGCCACCGGGGAGATAATTCGTTTTTAATTACGGAGATTCGGAACTGAAATGCAGGAGCAGCAGTCCTGTCAGCCAGAAAACGGCCGCAGGGCTCATTTTAGTTCCCAGTGCGAGCAAATGCGCTGCGGTCATGTATCTGTTCCCTGTGACAAGATCCCCTCAAGGCTGATTCCACTTCGCGGGGCAGGCGTCTCTCCTTGTTTAAAGTCGACAATTGATTTTGGAAAACGCCCAGCACGGCGGTGCACCGGGAGTAGCCGATCAACTTCACCAGCGTACTGTTACTCCGCAGCTGTATCACGCTCCTACCGAAGGAGATATCCAACGTCATCCGCTTCATCGTCCGGCTCTCTAATCGCAGGCGGGATCCGCATGGAGTTCGGACCTCAATCATACCAGCTGGCTACAACTCGGTCCTCCCCCATAATGAGAATGACAAGTTGTCGGGGCTATACTATACTAATACCGGTCTAGCCTTGGCCGTGGTTTTGAATCTGTTTATGAAAGATGCAGCCCTCAATATTATCGTCTGCGTCACGATTGGTATCACCTTGGCTGTCAGCATGTTGACGTCAAAGTGCAGGTCGGTGCTGCGTTTCCTCGCTTTACGACGCACAGGCAGATTCGTGTAGTCGGATATGCCGTTTGTCAACTTCTTCTCACTCATCTACGTCGCAACAGCACGGGGAAATTCCTCCAGCCATGCGTCTCGAAAACTATGCCACACTCTGAGAGATTGTAATTGCTGAGCTGGTTTTCATGAAGATTCATATTGCGGCGACAGGAGTCGCGGGACAGCAAGCGAGGCTGCGGGCATTGATGGCGTTGGAGGAGGCACTTATGCGGGCGCAGGTAAGATACGTCCTTGGCGTTATACAATGAGAATCACGACTGAAGTTTTAGCCCTGTCAGGCACAATCGCAGGCAAATCGAAAGGGAAAAGACGCTGGAGAGGAAGTCGATCATACCGATTTCCACACTTCAGCGGATGTCTGTCATGGTCTTCACGACAACGCCGGGATGAAACCGGGTCGGTCCGCGAAGCCGAGGGACCTTTGAGTATTTCTCTACCAGCCGTAGGCGAATTTGTCGACGAGGGCCTCGGGTGGAAGATCCATCGCATTTTCGGAAGAGGCCATGCTGACTGTCGACAACCTGCAGCCGAGCCCGTCCAAGGGAGTGTGGAAACAATTCATCACAGTGGCGCACGGTGTCTTGTTGAGGCGTCCGGCAAGGATCGGGTAGTGTATGTACTACGGGGGACGCGAGAGGTGGGAGGCCAGATTGAGCACGTTTGGCGGTCAAGCATCAATCTGGTGGCTGTGGTAAGTTGCGTGTGGTTGGATGAGTTTCAGCCAGGTGATGCAGTTGGGACATACTATTGCTTTGCAAACTAGACCGGTCTGTCAAGAAGCAATGAAAGTATGAAGTACTGTTTGCTTCGAGGACGCCCTGCGGCTGACACTCACCGTTATTATACGCTCAGGTTATGTTTGCTATTAGTGGCCGTCAGGGATCAATGTGGCGTGTGATAGCTTGCATCAAGGCAGCAATTTCGTTTTGATGGAGGATGGCCAGGCTGTGGTTGGCCATGGAAGTTGATGGATGCCCAGAGACTCCGGCACACTTACCGTTGGGTGGGATTCCAGGTTCCAGGCTCGCATCTATGTCTCACTGCGTAGATTAACAGTGAGGGTGTTTTGGAAGCCGGTGGTACTGCCGCTGATGAGCCCCTACAACCCCGAGGTTGATATGATTCTGACAGGCATGTCTCGGGGAGATCAATAGTTTTAGCCGAGGTGGATATTTGTGTTGGTGGCAGAGGGGGGGGGGGGGGTAGATTGCAACATCTAGCAGCGCCATGTCAACGGCAAGTGTAAATATGCGTATGTGAGCCAACAGCAGGTTCAAGGCTGAAGAAGTGCAGTTTAACGTCGAATCACCAAATTAGACCCCACTCCACCAACACATTGTGAGGCACATTATGAGACTCGTAGGAAGGTATGTGGAGGTACGGTCAGCTTCCCTCCCGCCATCAATCTTGACGCAGCATCTGGAGGTTGAATGGACGGGAGCTCCACGTCTGCCCGACACTGCGACAGTGAACCACAGTCAGTGGGCAGTACAAGGATCAGGTACCATAAGCACCTCGTGGGTACAAGGATGCGGTGCCTTGGGCGCGCTGTGGATCAAGTGCCCCGAAGGTCGGGCCCGTCTGGAGGCCAAGTACCGAGCCCTACGGATGACCACCTGCAGCTGCTGCAGCACATTAGGCCGAGGGGCGGCCCTCCTAGGCTCCTACAGCGCTGAAGCCCCGTAATAGTGACAACTGGAACCTGGAAACACCCCCACAACTCCCACAGCTCCCCCGGCAGCCTGGCGAGGTAGGTACCTATTGTAGCGAGGTACAGTCCCGATAGCTTACCAAGACGTCGTCGTCATTTGACAGTGCACCAGCCGTCTTCCTCATTTCTCCCCTCTTCCTCTTCCTCCTTCTATTCTCCTGCTTCCTCCAGGCCTAGCTGTCTACCTTAGCTGTCTTCCTATCGCACTGCCTTGCTCTCCGTTTCGTTTGCATACCGCTCTTCCCTCGTCTCGTGCTCACGGGCCCTTCAATTCCGCTTGTTTGCGTGTGGCGCATGCGCGGGGGAGCTGCATGAGTCTCCCTCCTCCGTGCTTCTACTCTTAGACCCCCAACCGTTCTTCCGCCGTCGATTATCTTCCAACGCCGACCAACGGACATCACACAGAGCTCCCCAAGTACATGCAACCACGCATGTTTTGGCAGAGCCCATCGGTCACTGTGTATTCACGTACCTAGCTATCTGTCCTTGATTGCGGGCACACGCATAACCATCAGCGTCGCCTCACGCTCTTAAACCCGTCTCCTCCGCCTCGGCTGCTACTACAACATCGTTGCTCGGAGCATCCGTCCCCCATTCGCCACCACTGCCCGCTGCGCTGTCCGCTGTTCGCTGTTCTGTCGTCACCCGCTCCGAACCCGAACAACTCCACCCGACCGACACCTCTCCTACCCGATCTCGCCGCACCGCACCCTTCCAGCCATTCCTCCTGTCGACATCCTTTAAGCCGCATCTAGCTCAGTCCTTTGTTTGCTGTGCCACGTTCAGAAACGCGCCGTCTTATAACCTCCGGGGACGCCTGACCCCTCAACTCGCACCCAAAATCGACCCGATCCAAAGCCCAACCACAGCTGTCTTCAAGCAACACTCAGATCGGCTCGATCCGTCAGGCTGGCGTCCCGCGCGTTTCGTCTCGCCGGTCTCGCCGTTGGCCTTGGTTTGAGCGCCCTGACAGCCTACCAGCGCAGACAGGCGCAGATGGCTTCCCAGGACACCGCCCATGATGGCCACCTCGATGCGACCGCTGGCCGCGATGTCGTCTTCTGCCATGCGTGCTCTCATGAATGGTATCGAGACCAACATGGCCTCACATGTCCCAGTTGTAGTGGCGACATCACTGAAATTGTTCGTTGCCGCATTCCCCACGACTCTCTCGTTGTCAATATCCTTTGTCCTCCTCACTAACTTGTCTTGCTAGATTGATCCTGGAAACGATCCCCGCGATCTCGGCCACCGCTCCTCGGCATCCACATCCCCCGAGCTCCCTCCCCTTCGGAATATCGACGACGATGACTCGGATCCGGACGAAGCTGATATCACTGAGCAACTTGGCCCCCACGGTTTTGCCTTTCGCCGCAGTGTAAGGGATGGCCCGGATCACCATCACCATCACAACCCTGCCGTTGACCCCGTTCTCGAACGCTTCCTTAACATGGTTCAAGGGTTCGGTCCACCTCGTCGGCCTGTTACAGGCGGCCCTCCTTTCGCTCCAAATCAATCTGGCCAGCCCCCGAATCAGCCCGGCCAGGAGTCTTTTATGCAACCTCACATTCACCGAACAACCTTTACATCGGGGACCTTTGGTGGAGGGACAACTTCCGTCACGATTGTTTCCGGACCGCTCCATGGAGGTCAAGCAGGAGCCTCTCCCAGAGGCCCTGGGCCAGATCCCTTCCAAACGTATGCACCGTCCTCTCCGAATCGACCTCGGCCAACGGGCGGTTTACGAGTCACGAGCATATCCATGACGATGGGGGCTAACCATCCTTCCAGAATCTTTTCAAACCTCGTCCAGGATATGAGTAACCCTGATGATCCCAACACAGCAGACCCCGAAAACTTCAATGTTCCCGTACCCGCCTTTGCAAGAAGTCTGCACGATATCCTAAATCTTCTCAATCCTGGCAATGCCATGGCTGGCGACGCAGTCTACTCCCAGGAGGCTCTGGATAGAATCATCACCGGCCTGATGGAGGCAAACCCCCAGTCTAATGCGGCTCCTCCTGCGACGGAGGCGGCGCTCCAGAACCTACCCCGGAAGCCAGTAGATAAGGAAATGTTGGGCAATGATGGTAAGACAGAGTGCACCATCTGCATCGATGAGATGAAGGAGGGCGAGACGGTAATATTTCTACCATGCAAGCATTGGTTTCACGAGGCATGCGTTGTGCTGTGGCTGAAGGAGCATAACACCTGTCCCATATGCCGAACTCCCATCGAGAAGAATGACCGCGGGAACAACAGCAATGATAGCCGCGGCAGCGGTAACCCCGGCGCAGGGCAAAGCTCGCAGAGGCCACCTCATCGTCGAACGTCTACGGGAGTGTTTCCAAGCGGCTCTGGTTGGATAACGACCTTTGGGGGCTCATCTGAGACGCCGGATGGTGGTCAAACTCGCTCGACGCGGATTACACGGTCACCAAACCATACCCCTTCCTTCCATGATGCATTTGGCAGCACGCCGTTGTCCCAGCGAGAGCGAGAGCGCAACCGGGACCGGGGGACAACTTCCGGATTCAGCTACGATACTTCACGACTACAACGACGTAGCTCCCACTCTCCAACGAGTCCTCGAGCAGCGGGTCCTGAGGAGCACGCAGCCCGAATGAGGCAGAGAAGCCCTTCACAAAGCAGCCGCCGCTCAACGTCGGACCGAGACCAACGACGACAAAGCGGCGGCCATGGACCCATTAGCTGGCTCCGTGACCAGTTCAGTAGGGGAGGACCTGGCGGTGGCTCATCCCGCGACGGAAGGCGACAATAGGAGATGAACGTCCTCCTACGTGATTGATGCGAGGTTAAAGGAATTGGCTAGTCCAGCCGGGCTATAAGGAATTGGCCGGTTGGACTAGCCAAGCTATAACTGTGAAAGAAGGCCACATTACGACACTGGAATATTCGGTTACGGCTTGAGTTGGCATGGAAAATGAAGGTATCCAGCTGTGGCCGACTTATTCTCTACTTAACCCAGGTCCCTTTTACGGGGTCGAGAAGTGGCCACCCAGGGCTGCGAGTGTATTGGATGTATCACATAAATGAAGTTAGATGGGGTCAGGGCTCGAGGATCGGGGCAACTGTTCGGACGAGGACTCGAATTGCGAGCGGCATTGACTGAACATTAGAGATACCCATATTAAAATGAAGATTGGAATTGCCCCTCGGTTGTTTTTGGCGTGGATTGCAACTATCTTCCCCAGATGTAGTCTCCGAGATTCCCTTTCAAGCGACATGAGGCGTACCAATGCTGTCCAGACCAAGCTCATGATTAAAGTTGAGGACAAGCTCGAGCCTAGACTCCGGGCCGCTAGTTCCGGCGACTCGCTACTCTGGCCAATCGGGAGAATAGTAATTAGAAACGTGAGGGTGTCGGACAGCTTGCCCTACGCCGTCGCCGGCAGTAGTAGCTCGGGAGATTTTCTTGCTCCGTGTCCCAAGAAGGAAGGGTTACATCACTTGCCAATTCTCGACGCTCCGTTCAAAGTACGCATTGCTTAAACAGACGCAAGTAGCGTCATGCAGGGGCAGAAGCAGGGGTACTCAAATCGAAGTGCCACCTTGAGCGCCACCAACAGGATCACGAAAGGAGTGTCTAACTAATTTACGAGCCAGACGCGTTCATAAAAGAAGCTTAAATGTACAAGGTTTCCTAGCTTGATGGAAGGAAAGAGAATTAATCTAGCAAAACAATGTTGCGCCCGAGCTGTTCCAATCCTGATGAAGCCCCCCATCATATGCCCAATTCCCAAAACACCGAAATCAAAGTGTCAATAGCCAGATAATTACATGCCCGTGCTCATCTGGGTGCAGCAGACCCTTGCTTCATCGTAATTTGTGTGGATGGCGGTGGCGGTGGAGACGTCTAGACGCACCTAAAGCAACGACTGTCGTAGAGCGGCCCCGAACCACTCTCCCTGGCGTCTTTCATGTACAATGCCTCCTCGCTATACAATACACATAACCCATCCTGGTAGCTGAGGGAGGCACATTTGCCGTTGTTGAAGCAAGCCAGGGCGCAATCGCCTAGGCTAGCCGTGACGCCCTCGACAATCTTGTATTGCCGTACGGCGCCAGCGTCGGTAATCTTGCCGCATGGGAAGTCAAAGGCGGCTTCTGCGAGGTAATTGCACACCGGGGCGTCGTCGCTGCCACTGCTGAGGTTGTCTGGGTGAGTGACTGGAACTTGGTCGGAAAGCGTCGACTTGGTAATGGCGGCTGCGTTGGCTCCTGAGAGTGAGGAGATGGCGATGGCGAGACCAACGCCGAGGATGTGGAGAGAAGGCATGTTGTGTGTGAGAGGGACGGGTGCAACACGCCACTGATGAAGATGGTACTAGATATAATAGGCAAGTCTTTAGAATGAATTTGATGTGCCGCAGAACAGAATTTGCATCCAGTGTGAACAGGGCACCTGGCTCCTTATATCCTCATGCATCTGTGGACATACATGAAGTCCAGACTACGACGTGAATCCCTGGCCTGCATGAGTCTAGGGAGATCGGCACGGCCTGGGTCCAAGATCCAACGTTCCAGACCACCTCGTGTGAGTCGTGTCGTACATCATCCGCATGAGAGCCCTCTACGAACGTGTCACACTGGTTGGTTGATGGCGTGGACGGGGCCGCTAAAACCCGATACTTACGGTGGCCGGGATGGATACGGGAAAGGCTGGGCCGATTAAGTTAAGTCCCCGCGATGTCACCTGTTAGCCCCGACTTAATTTAATGCGTTAAACAGGCCAACGAACCGCCACCAACGGGCAATACGACGGCTAACACAGCGGAGCGAGCCGCGCCGTTTGGTTTGTGTTCCTGGCTCTCGTGTTCCCCAGAAACTCCCGTGTGGATACTCACAATCCGCCGCTACCAAAGTCGCGGGCGGTCAAGTGGGTCGAGAAATACAAACCAAAGGACGGCTGATAAAAAGGCGACCACGAATCAGGGAAATAGAATTCTGCAAGATGTAGCAATGTTCCCCATTCGGGAACTATGAGTTGGGTTGTTTATTAACAGCGGACTACGAACAAACTGGAGCCTCAAATTTGTAGGGCCTGACCAAACGCTCTAGGGTAGCCCGATTTGAGAGACGTCAATATCCCAAGTGATGACCACTTACCTATGGCAAGAACCAAGGTGCTGCCTCACTGCGTTAAACAGGTGTCGATATGCATAAACGTTTAGCAATACCCCGCTATCGAGGCACAGCATATCAACCTGATCAGGCGGCCATCTCTCAGCCGCACTACTTCCTCTTCCTTAGATCGCGACTCCCATTATCCCATCGTCCGTCAAAAACCAGATCATACTGAGCTGATGGCCTTGGCGCTTTCCCAGGCGGCGTCGGTCAAGGCCGAAATCAGGCTTCACCAGGCTTTGAAACAATTTTCTCTCGCGCTGGAACCTCGACACCAGGCCGAGTTCAACATCTTCAAGTCTCAGAGCGCCCCCACCTTCGAAACCGTCATTGAACTCAGCATCCAGGTCAGCCGAGACGGGAGATATCAGCATGCGGGTGGCTGGTTGCCGAAGTTCGGTCCTCGGTTGGAGCCGTTGCTACACCGGATCCAGTTGTTCAGCACAGCTGGCGATTTACTCATTGGCGGCTCTCAAAACTTGATTGCGAGTGGAGTCTGGGCCTGCGTCAGACTGTTTCTCAAGGTGAGAGAGGTGACCTTCTCTGTCGTGAGAAATGAACAAGCTAACCATCATAGGCCGCCATCGGATACCTCTCATTCTTTGACAAGTTCTCACTCGTTTGGGACCGCGTCGGTCAATCGGCTTTGATTCACGTGAACCTTGCGAGGATGTTTCCCCAATCTCCTTAATTACAGACTTTCATGTGCGAATACCTCATCGTCATTGTTACATTCTGTCACCAAGCCTTCCAATTTGTGACTCAATCGCGTCTTAAACTAATAGCATCGGCCCTTATGCTGTCCTTTGACCAGCAATTCAAAGACTTCGAGATTGGACTCGAGCGATGGGCTACTCTTATGAATGGCATGGTTACGGAATTGACAACTCAAATACACGTCGACAACGAACGTGCCCTTTCGACACAAAGCAACCGCCTTGCTTCCTTGATGCGAATCAACAGGGAACGACAGTTTGAAGAGCGACGATTACGACTGCTCAAGAGGCTGTCGCCCTCCCAGGATGAATTCGGATTCATCTGGCGACGTGAGCAGAAGAAGGGATCCGTGGACTGGGCTTTCCAACAAGATGAATACTTGGCGTGGAAAAAAAGTGATACAAGTGCGACACTTGTCATCGTCGGAACGCTGGGTAGTGGGAAGACGGTAGTTATGGCCAATTTGGTCAAGGATCTCTACAAGTCTTCCGACACCGAATCTAGCCAAACCAGCCACACTGTCGTCGCATCATTCTTTTGCCAGCACCAAACCAAAAAGACGCTGGTTGCCGAAGTCATCATTGGAAGCCTTGTCCATCAGATTGTAAGGAGTCTGGGTCCCGACGACATTGACCTACTACCACTTTCGAATATTAGCACCACCTCGGATGAAATGCCGATCGATTTCCATGCCATTCTTAGTCGTATACGACAAAGTCGGCGTCAGAAGGACCGGCGATATTTCGTTGCAATTGATGCCCTGGATGAATGCCCCGCAGAAGAATCTTCCATGGTTATCAAAGAGCTGGTTAGAATGACCAAGCATCTTCCTTTGTCCATTGTTCTCTCTGCTCGCAGCGAGTCAGTTCTTCTGGACCGTCTATCTCGATTACCCCCCGTATCGCGTCTCTCCATGGCCAACTCTACGAAAGACTTTGAGATTGCACAGTACATCGACAGGGAAATTGCCGTCCGCGTCGGAGACGGAAAACTCAATGCGGATATTGTGAATAAGATCAAGTTTGTGCTCACCTCCGCTGCCCAAGGCATGTATCTGTGGGTTGCGCTTCAGCTAGAGACAATAATGCCGCAACACGGCGGACTGGTTTCGCAGGACAACATACTAAGCATGCTTGAAAACCTCCCTAGGAACCTTCATGAAGCTTATGCGCGGGGATTGGCTCGGATCAATGACAAGCGCTACGGATCGCGAATATTCATGCTGGTAGCCGGCGCAGCGCGACCTCTAAAAATAAAGGAACTACGAGTGGCCTTGAACATTACCCCATGTGAGACATTTTGGTCTCCTTCGTCCATGGTGCTGGACCCGAGTTCACTTGTCTGGAGCTGCGGCGGCGGACTGTTGGAGATTGACGAGTCAAATGACGCCGTCTACTGGATACACCATCGCGCCATGCGATGCCTCCTCCACCAGAATTTAGGCAACGATCCCCCGGAGATACCAAAAGTACTTAGAGGCTTCCAGTTTCAGCTTAGTGACGCTGAGCGAGAGCTTGGCCGAATCTGCGTTACCTTCCTGAGTTTCGACGTTCACGACCGTCGTGTCCAAGTTAGGAGGCCTATGCTTAGGTCTGACTTGGCAGTCAAGGTAATCAATGACTCAATTCCAACCGACTCCTGGATCGCCAAGTTTAGGCGGCCACAGGCTTCGAAGCAAGGAGGGTGTGTTCCCTTAGCCATCGACATCAGCAGAGTGGCTGAGACACTTGGGGGGATTCAGATCGAGGATCAAGAAAGCTTCAACGATTTCCTTGCATATTCTCAAGAATACTGGATACAGCACTCGAGGGACTTTTGGAACTATCCGCCACAATCCGAAATTGATCGGATCTGCGAGGGCTGTTTCGCCGGCTGTTCAACCCCGAAATGACAGTAGCTACGAAGCCCTTGGCTCTGGACGATGGGGACGTGGACAGTGCAATTCTGTGGGCCTCAAGGAACGACAATCTGAGCGTCTTTTTTCATTTTACCAGTGGCCCAGGCAAAATGTTGACCGAAACACCAAACGAGTCAGTTGTAGATCGGCTGTCCAAGTTAATGGCGGACCATCCATCAACGTTCAAACTCCACGGCAAAATGATGACAATTATTCTCCAATGGAAACTAATATACTGTGTTCATCAAAAGGATTTTGAATATCTGACCACATACATGGATGTGTTGGTCAGACTCAGCCAGTTCTCCTTGGATGGGTTGAGCGCGTTCCACTTCGCCGTTCAACCTCCCCCCCAACTCGACACAAGATTGCCAGATAATGTGGATTGGATCCGTGTCCAACTTTTTAGAAAACTTTTGGACCACGGGGCGGAACCTACGCAACGACTGACAGATTCGCCTCATAACTTACTCTATTCGGTCATCGACAACCGCTGGACGGGATGTGTGAGGGTGCTGATGACTGCCTTTAAATCTCAAATACGGTCCCCGGCTATGAAAAAATTCAACCAAGGAGGCACAACCTTCTTGGTCTCGTAATCGAGAAGTTTCGATACAAGAGAAGTGGATTGGAGCTCGTTGACTCTCTCTTGGGTCCATTGGGCCAAGATCCAAGCGGTAGCTACTATAATCGAAGGCACGAGAACTAGATATCCGAGTCTGGGGGAGTTCCCTGGCCACATGATTTCAGGGCAACAGCCAAGCCCCCGTTGATTGTCGCGATTTCATATCGATGGTGGGAGTTGGCGCACCTTCTCGTCTCCCATTCGGCCGATGTCAATTGCGAATATTTCGGACTTGGCCAAACTGGAATGACACCTCTTGGACTCGCTCTTAGTTCATCCCTTTGGGATAACAGAGACGGCGGTTCTCTCAGCCTTTGCCAATTCCCTATCGAACAGGGGGCAGACAAGTCGAAACTATCTAGAATGGTCTCAAACTCTGGGTTTCCCGGAGACCCTCCACTGTTTATTGCATTACGAACGAGTTTGCTCAATGCGGCCCAAAATGATGGGCAAACATTGCAACTGGATGCAGTTTTAGACCTATTAGCACCTGACGGCCCCATTGACCTCAACACTCGCACATTCTATGGCTTAACGCCCCTGGGAATGATGACTCAGTTCTGCAAGCTTGACTCGATGGAAATCCTCTTGTCGAGGGGAGCAAATCCAAACCAAGAGTTCGGTCTCACACATACGACCTCGAAAACCTACCTGTCTCTATCGTATCTCCTCGAAGATGGCAAAAATTCCGAAACATCACGGCACTCGGCCTTTTCGCTCTTGCTGGAACACGGTGCTTCTTTATGGCAACCGATTGACGGGTTGAGCACAATCGAGAATGCGATTCGCCGTAATGACGAGGGAATCATCAGCCTGATCTACACCAGTAAAGCCGGTCGTAAGGCGATCGAGAACCCACCTTCAGGGGAATCAACAACAGCCGCCGATTTGGTGGCTGCCTACGAGAAGCAGAGAAGTGGAAAACGGACAGGTTGTGGAAGGGAAGAAAAAGATAAGGTTAATAAGTTAGGTGATGTATCATGTCCTGGTTGTAGGCTATCGCTCATTTTCAAGCATCTCTTTACTATTTACTTAGAGATACAGCAGTTCACAAGCAGGCTCGAGACTTTAGTCAAGCCTCAATGTGACCCCTCTTAACATTAAACTTTCCTAATACACAGAATTATTCTTAACTTGGTGCCGACAACTGTCATCGAGCCAACTAGCACATGATGCGATAGGCCTTTTTCCAAATTGGCCAATTTAGCTGCTCTTCTCGCTCTTGCTCGGTAGCAATGTGGACTCGGAAGTACCGCCGACCTGTGGTAATATCCATATCGCTTGCTCGAATAAAACCGGTCCGGTACCACAATTTGTGGATAACATAAAAGAGCATGATGATGGGGAGAGCCATGACCCGGAGGAAGAAGGCCTGGACTCTAGTGCTGGCGCTGTTATCGTCCAGCTTGATGGGCGAGATGGCGATCCAAATCTGCGCAAGGAGAATCAGGGAATAGCCAGCAAGCCCGAACCAAGACCCCTTAACGCCAACAGTTGAGCGGAAAGGGAGCTGCTCCAGAGGGCAAGCTGCATGAGCCCATGCCGCCCTAAAACGGATGTGGCAGAGGCAGATGCTCCCCCAGGTAAAGAGCATGCTGAGGGTACTGATTGATAGAAGCCAGTTGAAGACGGTGCCGTTGGCTTCCAGGTCGGCTAAGAAGGCCAAAAGGCCAATAAAAAATGCAAGGAGGATAGCCATTAAAGGACGGCCTTGCTTGTCAACATATGCAAAGATTCGAGGCGCGTGAGATTGCTCAGCGAGCGCAAGAAGTGTTCGAGACGAGCCATATACGGAAGAGTTGCCAACCGAAATGACAGCAACGAGAATGATGCCGTTCATAATGCTAGGCAGAATAGTAGTGCCGGCGCTCTCAATAGCAATAACGAAAGGGCTTGCCAGGGCGTCTGCGCTGCTTTTGCCACCCAAGAGACGGGGCTCGTTATAAGGGACGAGAAGTCCAACAAGGAGAAGCGAAACACAATAGAAAATGGTGATGCGCCAAAAGACCTGCTTGATGGCGGTAGGGAGGGACTTTCGGGGGTTGGCAGTCTCGGCCGCGGCCAAACCGATCAACTCGGTCCCGGCAAAGGCAGCGGACGATGTGACGATGACGGTGCAGAAGCCCTTGAAGCCATGGTGAAAGGCGCCAGGGTTCTGCCAGTATTGCCAGCCAATATAGCCGCTTTCAGGGTGGCCGCCAATATTAATAACAGTAGCGAGCAAACTATGACAGGTCAGCTTGACTGGTGTGTGAACTAGCTCATGAGGCGTGACTCTTGAAGCTAATGCCTACATGAGGGGGGCATGAAGAACAGGGGAGAAGGGAGAACTTACATGAAACCGACAACAGCCGTGACCTTGATGATTGAGAAGATGAATTCTGCTTCACCATATGCCTTGACTCCGAACAGGTTGATGATGATAATAATTAGAAGAAATATCGCAACGAAGACAGATTTGCTGAGGCTTTCGTTCCAATAACTAATTGTATAAGCTGCAGCAATAATCTCCATCGGCAGCACAAAGAGCCACTGGAGACAGTAACTGTGCGGTGGAGTATCAGTTTCTGCAACAGCACGAGGGCAAGAGTTAGAGTCGTAGAAGACTTACTTCCATCCCATGGCAAAACCCCACGAGGGGTCGAGAAAGCGGGTAGAAAAGGCAGAAAAGGAGCCAGCGACGGGGAATAGCACGCAAAGCTCGCCTAGTGACTGCATTGTGCAGTATTGCAAGAGGCCGAGGATGAAGAATGCGAGAAAGAGGGTGGCCGGTCCGCCGGTGGACAGAGAGCCGCCCGAGGCAACGAAGAGACCGGTTCCTACGATGGTTAGAAATAGTTGTTGTCTGTTGCAAGGAAGCAACTTACCAATGGCACCGCCAAACGCAATCATCTGCAAGTGTCGGCCTTTGAGTTCCCTCGCGAGAGCTGTGTTGGCCGTCCTCACATTTGCCGCACCAATGTCGTAGTAATGCTCGCCAGGCGGCACGAGCGGCGCGGGAGTCTGTTTGTAGCCACCATCGCGACTCTTCATAGGGCGCTTCTCAGCGCGGCGGAAGCCGTCGACCCAGTTCGTAGGCGTATTACACCGACCCGAGCGCTTGGTCGAGATGTTCCAGGTGGCGCCTCCCTTGTCCGGGGCGCCGTCTCCCATGTCGCCCATCTCGATGATGTCGACATCGCGGGTGAGGATGATGTCGCCCTTCATGGCGAACGGCGGCAACTTGGAGAGACCTGGAGAGATCTGGAGAGACGATGGATAACTAACGGCCAGTATTACCGCGTCGGATGCCACGGGGGCGATTAAAATAAAAAGAATCAAGATCGACAACCCTGAAAAGAACCCTTCCAGGTCAGGGGTAACTCTGAGCCACCAGGGACATCCCATGATGCTACTGTGTTGGTGGGCTATGTATGGTGTCTGTGTTTAAGCCTCTCTGGGCGTAGTCTCGCTTAGATTGAATTACGTAGCAGCTTCGTTGGAACAGTTGCGAGTGGTCCTGACTCCGTACTTAACCTTAATTATTTACACGAGTCGTGGGGAATCTCAGCGGTTTTCCTTTACGTGATGGCAATTCTGCATAGGGCTAGACTAGAGCACAGGGTCAATAGCCATGCATGTCAAGAAGATCATGATGCTCACTCATATATATGCAAGATAAACGTGAAAACATATACCGACGAAGACGAAGAACAACTCATCGAGCTCTCGCACTGTGAGTAATTCTGAGCAGCTTCCATGAAGTTCTTAGCCTAACACGACCGCAAGGGGTTTGCACCGTCAAAACGCCACAGTCCCAGCTAGACGCTAGACAAATCGGGATAGCTCGTCGCCGGGGCATCGAAGTGAGGCTGCCGGTGAGCGTCTGTGCGCGCAATTTCACAGTTGATGCGCCCTCTGCATCGCATTCGCAAGCTGAGACCGGCAACCTTGCCGAGAATTGCGACTTTGCAGTTCTTGTGTAACCCGAATAAAAAAGGGCACGGGGAATCGAGCCAATAAGAGAGGTATGGAGTGTGCGAGGAAGAGAAGCTTTCTGTCCTGGTTTTATTACGCCCGTTGAGAACACAACTGGTTTCAGGCCTGAGTTCTGTTCCCGTGATTGGTCGACAATTCCTCTCTGTAATTATTCACACACACACACAAGTTATAACCGCTCCATCGCCGTGCAGGGATATTCGCCGCCGGCCTCTTGGAAGCTGGAATACCCACGTGGCGCGTCGTTTACTACTGCAACTTCGTCCACAACCGCAACCACGGCGAGTCATGAATGTGGCTTCAACCCCCGGATACTTGACCCCGTGAGTAGGGCAGCGAGCCGAGCCTGGACTGGCAGGTGGGCTTGTCGTGTGCAACCCACTCGTTTTGTCCATCGGGTAAGGACTGAGAATGAATAGTCCAGAACGCATTCTCAAAGGCGTTCGTCTCTACAGGGGTCTTGCGGAGGTGATTCGGAGCATGAATCGCCCATCAACTTGCGGCTGAATAGTGCAACCCACTCGGGCGTTGTTGTTCACTACCCAAATCCGATCGGTTCCTTTTGTTCTCTTGGCAAGTGAACCAATCCCAAATCTGGCAGTATTCCCAATCCAGCAATCCACCGCGAGTCGCCGCGGCGGGTTTGAAGCATTTTGCCAATTAGTCAAGTGGTCGAACAAATACTCAGGAGTTTGGAGAGCTGATGGAACTTGCGAGGGTTCCAATCGGCGATACTGGTGCTGTCGATCGGGCGGAATGACGACGGAGCGAAGAGGAGATAACTAGTGGAAGAACGGTCACCCACAACCAAACACTGGCGTGGGTGGGTAAAAGGTGGAGGATGAACCGATGTAGTTTTCCTAAGAGGCAACACCTTTTTTAGGCAGGGATGAAGGAATGAGGGAATGAGGCATCTTTATGAAGTCAGCCTGCCTCAGTAGGTCAGCTGCCAGATTGCTACAGCCTACAACAAAGGTTAGATTGTGTACAAGCCCCACAGATGACCAGAAGTAGAGGCATCTGTAGCCAAGGCAGAATCTCTGTACATCAGGCGGCATAATGACTTCACTGAGCCAGAGGTAATTTATTGGAGGATACAGAATGAGGTGCTTACTGCAAGTAATTTGGCGCGAAAGTGCCTTGGCTAGTATTTGCCAATGAAAACTATTCGGATACAGAACGGTCTGTAACGGAACGCCTTGAAACCCCCCTGCACTGTTGCGCCAACAGCCAACATCAAGTGGTCCGCAACCAACCACTCACGGATGAATGAGCGGCCGGATAATTAATGCTCATCAGGCAGCTTTTCTGTTATTTGGCTGCGCTCATCCTTTCTTTCATTTTCGCATTTCCCCATCGTTGAACGGTATCGGGTGCTACCACCATGTTCTCTCATAAGCCTCTAAACCGCCAACGCACCGAAGTCAGGCTCGTTCGGTTTGCGCCCGAACTCAATCTCGCACAGGATATCGAACTCGAGCTGTGTCATGCGTCCCTCGTCGATAATACTACGCACTACGCAGCTTTATCCTACGTCTGGGGCGATGTCAACGATGCGCTCCAAGTTCGAATCAACGGCGAGCCGTTCCTCATAGGTCATAATCTTTATGCCGCGCTCGAACAGCTGCGACGCAGGAGAGTCGATTCATGGCTTTGGGCCGATTCCATCAGCATCAACCAATCAGACCTCGAGGAGAAGAGTTGGCAGATTGACCAAATGCATTCTATTTTTGCCCAGGCCGACGTCGTTTATCTGTGGTTAGGCCCAGGAAACGCGGAAAGTGATAGGGCCATGGACTTTATTGCACGCATCGGGACTCAAGCGCTCAGCTTGGGAATCCCAAACGTAAAGACCTACTGGAAACCTATCGAAGAGGTAGAACGTTACATTACCGCAAGACCGCCCTCTCAACATTCAGATGCATACGACCTCGTCGACGGTTCTGAACTAGCCGTTTTCTTCTTCGATCTATTGCAGGAAAGTGGTCTCATGTCCACAGCTTCTCAGAGCGGCCCTTTAGAATCGGGCATCATAAACCTTATTCACAGAGAATACTGGTATCGTGTCTGGATAATTCTAGAAGTAACGGTCGCAAAAGATGCGCGTATCATGTGCGGAGAGAAAGGCGCATCTCTTGATGTCTTCGACGCGGCAATACTCGCCATCACGCACTGCCGGGCGGGGTATTGCGACTCTCACCCGGAGTACCGGCTTTTTGGACGGAATATCTCTGGAGGACTCTGGAGAAACACCAAGCCCATTTTGACGCGGCAAAAACGCCTGCGCCATGAGCCGGTATTCTTGGCCGACATCCTGGTTCAGCACGGCCATCAGGCAAAGCGCCCGTTCTACACTGCTACTGATCCTCGCGACATCGTCTTTGCGCTGCTGGGCGTCATTACCGACGGGGAAAAGATGGGCGTAACGGCAGATTATACCAAGTCATTTGTCGACATCTTCTCTGCCGTAACACGGGCGCTGATTCGCGACGGAGACGCAGGTTCTGAGGCGTACCACCTTGATCGCTGCGTGCCAAGGGTCGACAACCAAGACGGCCTACCAAGATGGGTTCCTGACTGGCGAAAGGTCGGACGCTCGGGACTTCGTCCATCATTCGGTCGCAGGAAGGGGAGTTGCACCGCTGGCGTGCCACCGCCGTCGTACGCCGCGTGTGACGACAACTGGAGAAACCCCTTGGTCCTTCGTCGTGCTGGATGCAGGGTGGATGTCATCACTGAAGTTTTGCAATTGCCCCCCTCTGCACAGCTCAATCCTGAGTCTTGGCTCACTTCCGTTGTTGGCTTTACTGGGTTAGGCCCTTCGACTGATCCCGCAGAGGACTATGTTTGGCGAACCGTCTTCACGGGCCGCCTTCATCCTTACATCCCTTCAGAGGAAATCTCTCGGCTCACTCGCAAACTCCTGCGTCAAGAGCATATCGAGGTCAATGCTCTGACCCAAGACCAGACCGAATTCATCCGTGACTGGCCTGAGAGCTTTAGTCTCATGGGGGAGAAATCTTCCAACATGAACGAGCAAATGGCGGCATTTAAGCAAGTCTTACTGGAGCTTGCAATCGTTGATGGAACGACACTTTTCAAGACGGCAAAAGGTATGCTTGGCTTAGGTCACATCGTAATCCGAGCAGGGGATATGGTGACTCTGTTGTGGGGTGTGCGGGCTCCTATAATCCTGCGACCACGAGAGGATGAGAGGAGCAGCAACGCCTTTGACTTCATGGGGGACGCATATGTGGACGGAATCATGGGTGGCGAGTTCCTGGCGACTGAACCAACCCACGTGGAATTCGATATCTATTAACTTAGGTGTCAGTGCGCTCCTATATCTCAAAACACCTCTCGCTCTTTATTCACACCAAAGTGCAGCACCGAAGTCGGCCAGAAGTTGCGTTGTCGCGAAGCAGGCGACTCCAGCCCTACGTTGACCTTGCTCCTCTATAGGTTAGGGGATTTTCTCGTATCTTTCGCTCTGTCGGAGCAGACGCGGTTGGGAACAGATGTAATCTCTGCTTCTCAGACAGCCGATCATGGATCAAGGCCAGCTTCATGAAAGACCACGATGTGATTGCCCTTAGGAGCACAAAGACGGCCGCACACCACTTGAAGTTGTGTATAAGCGTGCCTCGCTGTCAGCCTGTAACAGCAACATTGCATCGTTAGTATGCGTAATCGAGCGTGATCTGGAAATTTGAGGGCTCGTTAGCGAACGTAATTGTATTGTGATTTTAAGAACTTAAATAGCTACTTCTATTTTTATCCTTTTAACTAAATAGCAAGAAAAAAAGAGCTAAATTAGCTCTTTGATTAATTAGTTGAGTTCTTTATTTTAAGGTAGAAGATATTGAGAGGACGTCAAAGATAGCGGAAAGTAGAAGGGTGTTGTTTCTTAGTGAATAGCAATGCTCTTGGAGTAATTTTCTTAATGGCGCTACTTAATATCACCAAATAGATCAAAGTCATGCAGTATTTGCAAACAATAGATGCTCTTGAAGTATCATAGCACGACTCAGCAGCCCTCATAACAAGGCGGAATGCCCAACACAATAAATGACAACAGTCACACCGGTGGAAACATAAATGAGCGTAATTGGGTGTGGATTCTTAATTCAGCCCATATTCCAGAGCCGTAAAACATGCACAAGCGGGTTCAATTCCTTGATGAACTAGCCCATGCGCTCGCTGCCTGCTTTCGCCTTCATCGACCGTCTCAGGTACGCTAGATACGTGTGTAAACAGGTCCGCGTGGTGATGCCCACGTTCAACGTGCAATTCCTTATCCCAAATTCTCAATGTCGAGTAGTCATGCTTGCAAAAACATGACCCGCCTAAAAATTACCCTCATCTCTAGTGCGCGACCATAGATCCAATGGTATCGTTCTTGGAACCTTGACGGGCAGGCATCTGGTTCTCAGGTGTTAGTCGGATTGTTCTTCATCGCGACGAGGGCGGGTTCAAGTAGGCATCGCACTAACCTCACTGGTCTGGAGAGCACCCTTTTCGAGGATAATCTTGATGACTTCGTCGTCGACAGAAGTGCCAAATTCACTCTCGAGCGTGCCCTTGGCGGCAGCGTCATAGGTTCCTTGGGCGCCTTGGCTGCAGGATGCTGTTAGCCACTGTTTCATGGTATTGCGGGTTGAGATGTGCACTGGGGGGTCATGTGTCATGGGTGGATGTTGATGGGGAGACACCATGGACCAACAGCGTGGCATCGATGGAGAGGAGACGGAGGGGAGTGACAGCTCAAGCTCAACATGACGGCTTCGACGCCCCAGATGTGAACGAGTACACCATCCACCCCACGTCATGGGTTGTGCCGGAGGTTTGAAAGCGGAGTAGAAGCGGGGGTGGCTTACTTGTGCGTTCGGAAGACCTGGAATGACGAGATGAAGTGCGCCAGCGGGACCGTCTTGTCGCCGTCCGACCACTTCTTGAATGCGTCAACGTCGTCGACGAAGACAAGGTAGTCGTCCTGGTTGCCCTTGAAGTGGACTTTGGCCTGGGTGGTTTCGCCGCGAGCCATGATGTCTGAGTTTTGGAGGTGAATGGGGGAAGTTTAGTGATGGACGATTGTCGCGTGACAGTGGTGTTAGATCGCTTTCTCTGGTGTAGGTAGAGCGAGCGAGAGTGGGTGATGTCGGCGGTGGATGATTGTTGATGGAGTGATGTGTGGGTCAAATGTGTTGATGAGAATGAAAGGAAGAAAAGAAGAATGCAAAGGGCGCGACGAAGCTTTAAAAGAAGCTCAATGGGCGGAGGGGAGCTTGCTGCTGCTGTTTGCTGATCGGAAAGCTACGTCATTACTCTGCCGAGAGCATCATCACTCTCTAGAGGAAGTACCTTTCCAGGGCGGGCGGCTCCACAATTTACCTCTCCCAGCTACCAGCTGCCCACCAGCTGTTCACTGCCCCGCGCTCCCTAATTAGTTCCTGCATGCAGCGAACCCACCAATTACGTCACTTGTTCCTCGTTTGACGCCGCCTCGTTCAACCACGACGATCAATCGCGTGCCAAGTCACGCACTTCATCAGGCATTCGGTCACCGGCCCGCTCGTCTCGGAGCCTTCCAGCTCTTCTCCCGCATTCTATGACATGTATTCTCCATTTCGCACAGATCCAATATTGCACTGCCTTGCTAGATGCACCGACTGACCATGGGCGCTAGTCGGGAGATGAGACTCCATGTCTTGAATAGTTACGTATGTTTCCATTGCATTCCGTCTCACAAGCCATCGCCCCAGTATTAGATGTTCCCGTGAAGTAACCTCTCCCCTAGACCAGTCCAGTCCCAGCTGTTGCCTTGCCTGTGCCTACCTACGACGTGCGCAATCACTGCTTCGCGCGCCAAAGTCGTCAGAGAAACAATACAATATGCGTCATGGCCTCGTTCTAAACTATCAGCCGTCCACTTCCCCTCAACCATCTCCACCACTGGTGTCTGGCATTTCTCCCCTCAATCCACAAACCGTGATACAACCGTAGAAGACGTGAACCCCACCGCTTTAGACTAACCACTATTTCCATCTCAACGGAATAGACTTCGCAGCCCTTGAGCTTTGCCCTCGGGCTTCGTCCCGCCTGCCCTTCCCCATCTGCGTCCATGGCTTCGCACTGTCGTATCCAACACAGGACATGCGTTCTCCTTCGCTATTGAGCACGAACTTGACTTCTCGGAGCAGGGGGACGAGCTTAGTTGAACGCTGTTGCTGGCCGAAGTGCGTAGGGTGGGCGTATCCTCGTTCTCTCTCGTCGAATCTGCTGTCGACGCCAGCTTGGTCAAGTCAAAAGTCCGAACCGTCCCAGACGTCTCCAACAGCTCGAAGCCGAAGGCCGCTGGTAATTCTTGGCTGTGGTTCTGTTCGCGAGTACCTCGGGTTCTTGGCCGCTTGGAAAGCCTCCCCGTACCAGAATGGATGCTTGCGCCGCATTCGGACACACAATCGCTTGACTTGCTGATGCGTCGTATAGTCCCCCCGGAGGCTGTTAACTCTTCACTTCCCTGTACTTTGTGTGACGCACTTCCCGGTCTCTTGCTGAAAGAGCCTGTGATACTGGCTACACTGAGCTTCCTCATCATCGACGACGCCGAGCTTCTCACGAGATGTTCGCTCCGCGACCGTGATGCCATTCCGGGGAAAGGCAAAATATCCCGACTCCAGATGTCCGCCAAAAGAATCTCGAGCCGCGTTCTCTCACTTCGAGGTGGTGCCAACACTGGAATTCTTGAGTTTGTTGTTAGGAAAGATTGTGATCGGTTTATACTTGTTGGCGACGGAACACGATTGGCAGCGATACTCGTATTCTTCAAAACGACCTGGCACAAAGGTGACTTTGGGCCAACCGTTGTAGCCCGATGGATAGATATTTTCCGAGCAATGGTACCTGGATGTCAATGAGCATAAAATCTCGGCATCTTTGAACCGAAATGGCCTACCTGGTCTTCCAAAAACAGTACCCAAACTCTTCATATTCAAGGAGAGGCTGTTGTAAAGGTTCGGATCTCTTGCATCAGGCTCTTGGCCAATTAGGCGGCATAATCGTTCTCTCCACTCCACCTCCTCCTTGGATGAGCAAGCTGTCATGATCAATTCGTATAACTGGTGATCTCCTTCAAACACGAGTTTCCAAGAGAAGGGGGCCGTGTGGCACTGTAACCCTGTTGTCTCACCGTTAATCGACCATTTAAATATTTCGCTCTCGAGGAAACTTACCTCGCCCATTATCAACCTCCTCAACCTTAGCTCCGTTCATATCAATGCAGGCCTGGATGGTGTATATTGGGTCAACCTTGCTCGCCGACGCCAGACACAGGAGGTCTCGATACAGCAGGCAGATCATATACTGGCCATCAGCGCCATCTTTAGTTTGCCAACAAACATGAAGTGCTCCACACAACTGGATGTGACCAAACGACCGGATCTGGTTCTTCGAAGCTGCATCGAGTCTCTACGAGAGTGTTAGAAATAGCATGAGGCGGAATTGGAGAAACATACCCGCTTAGGAAATACCAATCGGTCCTGCAACAGCCATGTCTTTTCGAGGGTTGCCCTCATGTGGTCATCATTCGTTGCGCGGTTGATCTCGGCCGTAGCTTCTCGAAGCCTCATCAGTGCAGTCTCAACTTCCATGTGAGAGTTCGGACAGTCACACACAGGGGTGCACTTGAGCAGCTCTGCAAACAAAAGTGGGTATTTGCAGACCCTTTGAATGGGCTGTCCACCGATATGTCAGTTACCAAGTAGATCCAGAGCGCAAAAGGGTGAATAACCTTGACGAGTAAGTCTCCGATGGTGAGTGACTTCTTGGACTTGCCACCACTGCTTCTGACAGACCCCAGGGTTGATGCCAGAGCCTCCAAGCCCTTTTGGTACGTTTCCCACTCAGGCATAGTCCGATGAGCCGATGCGACGTCCTTTATCATCATCTCGTACTTTGCTCCGTATTCCTTATATACGAAGAATCGGTTCATCTAAAAAATGTGAGCGCCTTTGAACGGATAAAATGAGAAACAACTGAGCCTAATATTAAGCACATACTTTCTTGCCGAATATCTTGGCCACTTCAGCGGCCACTTGAGGATCTGACACCATCCCGGGTACATTATGAAGCCAGGCGACACCATTCGAACTTTCTGAGACCCCATCGTGGCTCCTCCACCGCCGATGGCCATTTCCGGGGTTTGTTGGCTTTGCGAAAGGTAAAGAGAGATCGAGTTGTGTGTACTCAGAATGGGGGATAACGCGGTGAAGGTCTCCCAGTATCTCTTCATGAAGCTCAACAATTTCAGTCAAGTTGCGGTTGATTGAAGACCGCAGTCTCATAGGCAGGGTAGGAAGCGAAGCAAGTATGGTGATGTAAACCTGGATGGTTCAGCAGCTTGCAAATGTTTTGAAAAGGAATTCAACTTACATTCATGAGGAAGCGAATGTCTCCGATGTAGTTCTCCTCGGTATTTATGAGCTCCTCCAATATTTGCCTGCGTTGCAACGATCGTTGTGTAGCAGCCGTGTCGACAGTCACGGGCCTCTCCCTGGCCATGCTATCTTCGGAGAGTCTAGGGCCGGACAAGGAAGCTCTGCTACTGCGGTCGGTCCGCGATGGGCAATGGGAGCGGGTGGTGTTTCTCCGGGATCGAGTCACAGCACTGACACTAGCGAGACTGACACTGGCACTTTGGACAGCAGAAACAAACCCAAAAGAGGATCCCGATGACGACTTCCGATGACCGCGTCTGCGATGAAAAACCGATCGATTAGCGTCCTTGGGCTCGAGATGTTGCCACAACGGGCTGTTCCCGTTGGGATCCCATGCTGCCGGCCTGCGGGTTGCGCGACGATGCAACGACCTCATCCACTTGTGAAAAGGGCCATTGTTTTCCAAACCTGGGATGTGGAGTGCAGTTTGGCGAGTTTGATCAAAGCAATCGATTGATATTTGTGGGAAGGGAATGGCCGAGTCTTCGGAGTCGAGTATTTTTTCCAGGTTTGGACCCGGGGTGTCGATGCTATCCAAAGCCGTGAGAGCATCAATACCATCGATGCGGAGGCTATCCAATTCCGAAGCCAAGCCGATGTGGAATAATGGCCCTAGGCTGTCACTAGACTTTTTCCCCTGGGGAGGCTCTGGGACGCCGGCGGTAGTCCAGCTGGGATCCCGTGAGGTATGGATAGAACTAGTATGAGTGCAAGAGAGCAGAGGTGGCGGGTCGGCGAGGGCCATTCTGGAAGGCACACGGGGTGAGAGAGTCCAAGAAAGAAGATGTAAAATTGGTTCCAAGACACCAAAAGAGCCAGCAAAAAACCAGGGCCTGGGTAAGCACTCAAAACATTGTGGCGGTGATGGATGATGCGGTGGAAGAGAAACACGAGGGTCGAGAAGCAGCCCGACGCCTCGAAAAGCAATGCACCAAAGCCAGGCCGAGCAACGCAGAATGGGATGGACAACGGGAAGGAGCCACCACTTCAAACCCGGCCCAGATGCCTCAACAGACCCTTCCTCAGACACGTCTCGGAAAGAGCTTGGGAAGGACCCGAGCACCGCCATGAAAATGACCTCACGCGGAGTCGAGTCTCCGAAGCGGCGAAGACCTCGCCGGCTGCCACGCAGTTGGGAGAAATTTCACAGCATCATGGCTGCCGCCCGCATACAGAATCCCGGACTGTGGCCTCTCACAGCATCGGCGACGGAAGACCGGTGTTACACGGCATGGAGGCTGTAATACGAATGGCGTCCCGACCGATGGGCCTCGCAGCGGCAGGCGGAAGTAGGGCCGGGTCCCCCAGGGGCAGGGAAGATGGACGACTGCGAAACCACAGCGCCCAGTGGGGGATACAAAGAATGAGAAGCAAGGTCGCGGAACAGAGCTTGATGAGCACGCCGTATCTGTGGTCGCATCGCGCCTTTTGAACGTCGCACGGCCAAGATTTCGGATCGGGAGAGGGGCGATGATCACGATAACCTCATGGCTTGCTGTAGCTTTGCAGTGCATGGAAGCTATTAGAGTGTGAGCACCGCAGTGCATGCGGATCACAAAGGGGGTTGGGATCATGGATTTCTGTCCGCATGGCGGAGTGCGTGTTCGGAAGTGCAGATGAGAAGCTTAATGTTGCCAGGTCTTGATGGAGGGGAGGTTGGAGAGGGGGATTGCGTGTAAGTCACTAGTCACTACTTCGAGGGTGATGAGGCGATGACTGAACATGACGGGAGACGCCGTCCATCTTGTGGAGACAATGCTTTTCCTTAGCCTGGGCTGCCTCTCGTCTTGTTCTCGTTGTCTCGGGGTTTGCAAGGTTGTGGTTGATGCTGCGACTGTTCACGGGACTTGGCCGTGTTGCTGGGTGTAGAAGGGACTTGGTAGTGCAGCGCCGTGGAACCAGAGCAACTATGCTATAGACCCGGAGACGACTGATGGGCGGATGCCAAGGGGTTGGAGATGGTTCAACTGAGAAGTGGGAAGCCATCGATAAGAGGTAGCCATAAGAGGTGGCCACTGTTAACTTGTGCTTGCATGTGGCACCAGCGGGAAAACCCAGCGGGCAGGAATTCCCTCTCGTCTTCACGAGGCGGCATGATGACTTCACGGTTCCGTTCCCATCTGCTCTTACACTTCCGGATCCTATCCAAAGGCAATTTGGCCTTTCGTAAGTTTCGGGGAGCATGCTGGAGGGTGGGTGAAGGCAGGGTACTCCGCACCGCACTGCCGGACGTACATGCTCCATACTTGCGGGTGCTTCATAATCAAGAAAGCGGCAGCATGCCGGCCAAGCGGCACGTTAGGGGTTCTCGGCGCCCCATCGCATCTGGGGACTCTTGCGTCAGTGCCGACTGCACTCTGCATCTCCAGTGCTCCACGTAGTCGTATCTCTTGGCCATCCGCCGCAGCGGCCGTCAATTGGCCCGTATCGGGGTGGTCCTTTGGGTCCGCTGGTGGGGCGAAGGCCGGCCAGTCCGGCCAGTCCGGCATCGCCAACTTGGCGAAGGCGCGCCTTGAGAGGAAGGTGAGCTAAGCCGGAGTGGGGCAGAATCCGAGGCATCTCCGCCAGGAGTCCAGGTTACAGGGGGTTGCCGTCGGGCGTCGGGGCACTACAGCGCCCTACAGCACCTGTTCATCCCCTACAGCGCCGCCCTACAGCGCCCTCCATGGCTCCTCGGCGACCCTCCTCCGCTGGACGCCTAGCCCCAAACACTGCCTAGAGCTGCTAACACCAAAGCGGCGCGGGGCCGACTTCCGGAGAAAACGAACACGTTGAACTTTCGACGTTGAGCTTCGCGATCTACGACCGGGCCTAATCAGATTCCCATCCCCCATCGCTCTCTAACGTGCCACGTGCGTGGGTCCTCTTCTTTCGAATCGCCTTCGTGACAAATCCGCTCTGCCATGACGGGCCGCTGATTCTTGTGACACACATTCTCTCTCTTCCCTTGCATTCTCCTTCATTGCCTCGCCTTGTGTCGTGGTTCCCTTCCTTCATCCCCTTGTCGCAAACCCGGAACCTGTCTGTGTCTGCGACTCCCTAAATCTAGTCGCCGCCTCGTTTTCGTCTCGTGCGCCCGCCTGCGCTCTGCGCTCCGCCCACCATGGAAGACGCCTTTGCCCGCTCTGCCGACGAGGTTCTCGCCAACTTCCAGGTCGACAGCGTTGATGGCTTGAGCGACGCGCAAGTCGCCGACCTGCGCAACAAGCACGGTCGCAACTGTACGTCAACTCTCGCATCTTCCATTCCCCGCGACCGCCCCGCCACCAACCTGCGAAGACTTGCGCTCACATCTCTCTAGCTATCCCGGAAGAGCCCCCGACTCCCCTCTGGGAGCTTATTCTCGAACAGTTTAAGGATCAACTTGTCATTATCCTTCTTGGCTCCGCCGCCGTTTCTTTTGTCTTGGCTCTTCTCGACGACGAAGAGGGCTGGAGCGCATTCGTCGACCCTGCGGTTGTGAGTCTTCCCAACCACACACTCTCCCCTCAACTGCGCCCAGCCTAATACTGACTCTGAAACTCGCAATAGATTCTCACAATTCTCATTCTCAATGGTGTCGTCGGAGTCTCCCAGGAGAGCAGCGCTGAAAAGGCTATCGCCGCCTTGCAAGAATACTCGGCCAACGAGGCCAACGTCGTTCGCAACGGAGGACATGTTTCGCGAGTCAAGGCTGAGGAGCTGGTCCCCGGCGACATTGTTACCATCGCTGTCGGCGATCGAATCCCCGCCGACTGTCGAATCATTTCCATTGAGAGCAACAGCTTCTCCGTCGACCAAGCCATCCTTACTGGAGAGAGCGAAAGCGTCGGCAAGGATGCTGCCGCTGTGATCAACGACGAAAAGGCCGTTCTTCAGGACCAGGTCAATATGCTGTTTTCCGGAACTACTGTCGTCACTGGTCGCGCCAGGGCCGCTGTTGTTCTGACTGGATCCAACACTGCCATCGGTGACATCCACGAGAGCATCACTGCCCAGATCTCCGAGCCCACGCCTCTGAAGCAGAAGCTCAACGACTTCGGTGACAGCTTGGCCAAGGTTATTACTGTCATCTGCATCCTGGTCTGGCTCATCAACATCCCCAACTTCAACGACCCCAGCCATGGTAGCTGGACCAAGGGCGCCATCTACTATCTCAAGATCGCTGTGTCCCTCGGTGTCGCCGCTATTCCCGAAGGTCTTGCCGTTGTCATCACCACCTGCCTTGCCCTCGGAACCCGAAAGATGGCCGCTAAGAACGCTGTGGTCCGAAGCTTGCCCTCTGTCGAGACCCTCGGAAGCTGCAGTGTCATCTGCTCCGACAAGACCGGTACTCTGACCACCAACCAGATGAGCGTCAACAAGATTGTCCACCTCAACGAGGATGGCAGCGATCTCACCGAGCTAGAGGTTGAGGGAACCACCTTTGCCCCCCGCGGCGCCATCAAGTCGAACGGTGAAGTCGTTCATAACCTTTGCGGCTCTTCTGCTACCATCCGTCAAATGGCCGAGGTCGCTGCGCTTTGCAACGACGCTCAGCTTGCCTATGATTCCCGCACTGCTACTTTCTCGAGCGTTGGAGAGCCCACCGAGGGCGCCCTCCGAGTCCTCGTCGAGAAGCTTGGTCCTTGTGCCCCCGCCGACACTCGTCCTGAAGACTGCGTCCACTTCGCCAGCGCCCGCTATGAACACAGCCTCCCTCGCCTTGCTACCTACGAATTCTCCCGTGACAGGAAGAGCATGTCTGTTCTGGTCAGCACCGGCAACGAGAAGAAGCTTCTCATCAAGGGTGCTCCCGAGTCTGTCATCGAACGCTGCTCGCACACTCTTGTCGGTTCCGACGGCAAGAGGGTTTCTCTAAGTCGCAAGGTCGCCGAAGTCTTGATGGAGGAGGTTGTCCAGTATGGTAACCGTGGTCTCCGAGTCATCGCTCTCGCCAGCATCGATAATGTCGCAAATAACCCCCTTCTCCACGCCAAGACCACCGAGGATTACGCCCAGCTCGAACAGAACATGACCTTCCTTGGCCTCGTCGGCATGCTTGATCCCCCCCGTCCCGAGGTGCCCATCTCCATTCAGCGCTGCAAGGATGCCGGCATTCGCGTCATCGTCATCACTGGAGACAACCGCAACACTGCCGAGAGCATCTGCCGACAGATTGGTGTCTTTGGCGAGCACGAGGACCTCACTGGAAAGAGCTACACTGGCCGCGAATTCGATGATCTCCCTGAAAGTGAGCAGCTGAAGGCTGCCATGCGCGCATCTCTGTTCTCTCGTGTCGAGCCTGGCCACAAGTCCAAGCTTGTTGATCTGCTCCAGTCCGCCGGCGAGGTCGTTGCCATGACTGGCGACGGTGTCAACGATGCCCCCGCTCTCAAGAAGGCCGATATTGGTGTTGCCATGGGTTCCGGAACTGATGTCTCTAAGCTGGCCGCCGACATGGTCCTCGCCGACAGCAACTTCGCCACCATTGAGGTCGCCATCGAGGAGGGTCGTTCCATCTACAACAATACCCAGCAGTTCATCCGCTACCTGATCTCCTCCAACATCGGTGAGGTTGTCTCCATCTTCTTGACCGCCGCTCTTGGCATGCCCGAGGCTCTCGTCCCCGTTCAGCTCCTCTGGGTCAACCTCGTCACCGACGGTCTCCCCGCCACCGCCCTGTCTTTCAACCCTCCGGATAACGACATCATGAAGCGTCGCCCGCGTAAGCGTGACGAGGCCCTCATCGGTGGCTGGTTGTTCTTCCGCTACCTCATCATCGGCACCTACGTCGGCCTCGCCACTGTGGCCGGCTACGCCTGGTGGTTCATGTACAACGCCGAGGGCCCCCAGATCAGCTTCCGCCAGTTAACCCGCTTCCACCACTGCTCTGCTGATTTCCCCGAGATTGGCTGTGAGATGTTCTCCAATGACATGGCCAAGGCCGGCTCGACCGTCTCACTGACCATCCTGGTCGTCATCGAGATGTTCAACGCCATGAACGCCCTCTCGTCCAGCGAGTCCCTCCTCACCCTCCCCCTATGGAAGAACATGATGCTCGTCTACGCCATCGCCCTGTCCATGGCGCTGCACTGTGCTCTCCTCTACGTCCCCTTCCTCCAGGGTCTGTTTTCCATTGTCCCGTTGAACCAGGCCGAGTGGAAGGCGGTCGTCATCATTAGTGCGCCCGTCATGTAAGTCAACCTCTCTTTTCCCGCAGACTGCAAATCATGTACTAACTTAGACCTCTAGCATTCTTGACGAGGTCCTCAAGATCATTGAGCGTCAGTTTTTCGTCCAGACGACGACCGATGTCTCCCTTAAGACAAAGAAGGAGCAATAGACAGATACAGAGACAAAGTAGAAGAGATGCACACAACTGGCCCAAGCTAGAGATTAGTTTAGACATGTTTATGTACCATAGCCAGCACGCCGCCGAAGATAGACAGGAGGGCATGATCAGTGGCGGGTGCCCCCATGTAAGATGATCCAGAGAGAAGCATCAAAAATGGAAGTGCGTGCAAGTCATTACTATCCCCTGTGACAACACCGTCGCCGGGCGTATCAAAGGTCTTTGCTTGATGTGCTTGTGCACTCTCATTACCCAGCTTTGATATTGGCTGTGTATCTATTCATACAAGATGCAAATTCCGCCCCTGGCGCCGTCTTCCGCGTGCCCAAGCCTGCCCAAAATGCCACTCTAGTCTTGTCGGCCCTTTAGTAATCGCTTGGTGACCTTGTCCTTCTCGATAATGTAAACGTGCGCACCCCAACCGGAGAGGGCGTCGCGGTCAACGGCGTTGAGCAGTGCCTGGGAGATTGTCTCAAAGAGGGCATCGGGTTCCTGTTTGAGATGATTCATTAGCTAGATTCCACAGGCAGCGAAGAGGGGTGGGTCTCTTGAGACCCGCATCAGTATTGCGATGGTTGTTACGCACCATATCAGGCTCCCACAGACCCTCGCACATGCCAAAGAGCTGCTCCGAGGCGGTACCAGACACAATGAAGTCCTTGGCAAAGTCGATGCAGCCGATGCTGTCAAAGCCGCAGATGAAAGGCTTACTGGTCTTGGGATCGAGGCCAGCGACGACGGGGGAGACGAAGTAGGGACCGAAGCGTTTCTCGTAGAGGGACGAGGAGACCAGGTTGGCAAAAGTGCGGGGGGCGATGTCGCGCTCCTCGCGCAGGCGGTACATGTTGGTCTTGTAGCGGAAGACGTCACTGACGGTGTTGACGTCGGTGGCCAGGCCGGTCAGGCCGAGGAAGACGTCGCCGTACTGGAAGATCTTGGGGAAGTTGTTGGAGACGGTGAGGGCCTGGACACCGAGTCGGAGATCGCAAGCGATGGCAACGCAGTCCTTACCGACCATGGCGACAGCGGCGCCGCCGTCTGCGAGGGGAGGAGGCAGGTTAGTTTGGGTCGAGCTGAGGAGGGGTGGAGGAGGGAGGGAGAGGGCGTGACGAACTTATTGAGAAGGGAGACGACTGCGGGAAAGAAGGCGGCGGTTAGCTGGAGGATGCAGATGATGGGGGCGGCGTCGAGGGCGGACGTACCATGGTGGCCTCTATCACTCTTAACGTCCAAGATGGAGATGCGAGGTCGAGCTGTCGAACAGCGGAGCGTCAATCAAGCCGGTCTCGGTGACGGAGGGCGAGTCTCAGGGGACAAGCAGCCTTGAACGGTGCAGGCTGCAGGCGGCTTGGTGCGGGAGGTCGGGCGGTGGCTGTTTCGAGGGAGGGTCGTGGTGGTGATGGTGGAGTTGGCGAGAGTGAGGTTGGTTGATTGACGAAGCTCCTGGTACCTGGGGCTGGAGCTTGGTGGTCAGGTCCGAGGTACGTACTGTTTGTTACTGTACACGTCCCAGCAGCAGTGGCAGGCAAACACGGTCTGGCGTGGCCGCCGTCGGAAAATCCACGTCGACCGCCGGAGCCTGGTGCTTAGGTAATCGTCTGGATCTATGAGTTGAGCGTCGTACGTAAACCAACGAAAGACTATACGTTTCTAGTAGTAATAAGGATGCAAAATATACAGCGATATCTATATTCTTTCAATTGCACGTTGGAGCTCTTTTGTCTCAGCGAACTGAGAATCTTGGTATCGATGGGAGTTCTTTTGCATGGTGTGTACGGAGTACTGACAGTGTTGATGTACCCCCACGCCAAAGAAGTATCAACTATCACACGTGCGAACAGCTGTACTTGAAAAACGTTTCCTTTTGACAATTCTCTATTATATCAATATAGGATGCATGGGTGATCCTACACAATGACCTTCGTGACGAGGTATAAGACAAGAGCTGTCAACCAGGCGTAGGAACATGTGTTGATGCATACAAGGAGAGGTCACAGTGCTATGATATCAAGGTCAGCTATTTATGACGAGCTGCCTATGGGAGTATGGAGTTTCCCGGAATTGTATGGGGACAGTTGCTTGACAGTTAGAACAACTACCCATGCTGAATATCCTGGTAGACATTACGCCACCTGAGCAACTACAGACTACTTAGACACATAAGGCGAAAGTACCCTAAGCTTCGTCCATGCACGAAGTACAAAAATCACCAAAAACTAAATTAAAACAAAGCGCAACTGCGAGTAGATAAAACAAAAAGTTTACAATTGCTAACCCTAAGGAGCACCTTAGAACGAACCTGAAAATACTCAAGTGTAGGGTGGGAAGTCCGTGGCACAGTCCAGAAACCGCTGACATAATCCCCCGCCATGCCGAGCCCCTCTAAGAGGCACCGAGCTGATGTGGGCGTCGGTGACAAAGAGACGGACTCTAGGCATCCCATCAAGCTGCGTTCTTGCGACAGCAACTCTCCTTCTCACAAATAGACGGAAAACCGTCTTCTGTAGCTTCTCGAGCCTGCGTATTCCAACCTTTGCATCGCTAAACCGCTCTAGCGTTGCCTGTTTATCCTCCCCCCGCACCCTTGGTCCTGCCACAGCTACAGGTCCTAGCTTACGACAGCTTCACGTTTGCTTCGAAATCATGGCTTCCCACGTCGTGGTGATTGCCACCGACCTGCGGCGGACAACGATCAAGGTGAACCCCGGAACGTACTTGACCGACGTCCTCCAAGAGGCCTGCAGGAAGCTCAATCTTTCCAGCGACAGGTACCTCATCAAGTAAGTCTGTCCTTTGTGTCCTGTGTGTCCCCCGGCGCCGCTATACACCCGCTGACTTGACCCTCAACGCAATAGACACCGTCAAAAGCAAGTCGACCTCTCAGTCCCCTTCCGAACATCCGGCCTCATCCCCGGCGCAAAGCTCGAGCTCGTGCAAAAGTCCAACACGCCCTCCGCCATCCAGGTCGCCCTCCAAGTCCCGTTGCCGGAGGGTCGCGAGATCCCTGGCGGCCGCCTGATCCAAAAGTTCCCCAGCGACTTGACCCTGTGGAAGGTCTTGCGGCAGTTTGAGAGCGGCCAGGCGAGCAATGGCAAGAACATCAACATCACGGCCCGTGGCGTCGCCCAGACGGCGAGCAGCTCTGGCAACGGCGGCGGACAGTTGTACTACGAGATCCCGGTGTTGAACATCATGGGTAGGGAGCTGGCCTCTTTTGCCGACTTTCAGCGGACCCTGTCGCAACTGGGCTACAACTCGGGGAGTGTGCTGATCAGGCTGGCGTACCGCCAGACGGAACAGACACTGTTTGATGCCATGGCGGAGATCGGCCAGTTCTTCAACGAGGAGGAAGCACCAGCCGCGCCAGAAGCAGCAGAGAAGGAGACGAAGGAACCGACCGAGGAAACCCAAGATACCCCCATGACAGAACCTCAACCCGACCCTGTAGAAGAGTCACTCCTTGATCAACAGCCCCCCGAACTGGGAGAGACTCTAGGTTCATCCATCGACCAACCCGCCAAGGAAGATGACATGGCCGTCGACAACTCTCAACCAAGCAACCCCCTAGAACCCGTGGGCGTGTTCCTTGCACCATCAGGAACAGTCCCAGCTGCCGCCCTAGCCGAAGTCGAAGAAACCGACTACACCCCGTCCATCGCCCACGCCCAGATCCACCAGGCCCGTCTCCAGGAGCACTCACGGAACAAGCGCCTCCTCTCAGACAGAGAGCTCGAGGACAAGGCTGCAGCCGAGGCAGCCAAGGTGGCCGCGATCAAGTCCGTTCTCGTCAAGGTCCGCTTCCCAGACAACACGAGCAGCGACTGGCAGGTTGGTCCCGCCGAAACGGGCCGCTTCTTATACAATGCTGTCCGGCACGTCATGGCCAACGATGACCAGCCTTTCCACCTCGTCCTTCCTGGGACTAAGGCAGTCATAAAGAACGACGACGGCCCTTCCAGCAGCCTCATTAAGGACTACAAAATCTCCGGACGCATCCTCGTCAACCTAGTCTGGGACGATGGCGTTCCCCCTGCAATCCGAAAGCAGCCCTTCCTCAAGTCCAACGTGGCGCAACAGGGACAGCAAGTCAAGGTTCCCGAGCCTATTGTGGCTTCAGACGACAAGGGCAAGGGCCCGGCCTTGCCCACGCTTCAACAGCCCGACAAGGGCGAGGGCAGTGGGGATAAGAGTGGTAAGAAGATACCCAAGTGGCTCAAGTTGGGCAAGAAATAGAGAGTTGGAGGAGTTGAGCAGAAGGAGACGGAATCATCATGAACCAATGCATACAGCAGGTTTACATACGGCGTTAATTCATCAGGGACCAGTTACATCATTCGACGAGTATGTCGTAGTGTTCATTGTAGGGAATAGAAGGCGCTGGGTACATTCAGAGGACCAGACTTTGAGATAGCAGATATTGCTGGGCGTGCCGAGATAGTTGTTAACGTCACGTCCGCAGTGAAGCACGTTTGTAGTCGTTAAGTTATTGTCTTCAGAGTATTGGTATTCCGGTGAGCCGCAGCTTATCCCTGCCACGGAGCATCAAAGCCGTTTTTTTATAACGATCAAATCGTGACCACGCCAATCCATGCGAACCCCATTTGCCAGATTCCCAAATGTCAAAAGAGGCCGTTTAGTGAGCACGGCGGGCATCGGCGATGACGCGTTGGAGCTCGTCGACCTTCTTCTTGGCACGGCCGAAGGTACCGAGCTATTGTCTTGTTAGTCCTCGAAGTCACAATGTCGTTATGGGTGGCGATTCGACGTACTCTCTTCTTGGCGAGCTTACGGGCACGCTTGTCCTTGCTGTTGCGGAGCAACTCGATGACTCGGCGCTCGTAGGGGGCAAGACTGAAGAGAATCTGGTTAGCCAAATGTTCCACGAGAAAATATGAACCCTCCATTGACGACAATCCGAACATGACGCTTCCGGTGCCTCGATGATCCAATCGTATCCAATGGCCTGACAGGTATTTGCTGCACTAGACCCCTTCTCGATTGTGACTCCTCGCACTATTCGACGCCGGCGGACTGTCTCGTAAGAAAAAATCAATGACTTACCCAGAAACCTCCTTGACGACCTCACGGACGAAGGCGGTGCGCTTGCTCAGGTGTCCCTTGGTGCGGGAGACGCGGGGCTTGACAACGCGGGCGGTGGTTTTCTATAAATCGCAAAGGCGCAAATGTCAGCGTCCATCGTCTGCAAGAGCGACCTCGTGGAAGAGGGTGCGAGGCAGAGATCCTCCACGAGGTGAGACTGTGACAAGACGTACGTGGCCCTTGTTCAGGCCAACGGCCAGACCGGATCGTGCGGGGGCTTCAGCGGCCATTGTTGCTGTGGTTAGTCGACAGGTCGGTGATGGTCGAAGAAGTTCACGAGAAGCCAGAATTTGGTGGAGAGGGTGCACTTTGGGAGGGGAATTTTTTGGCGGTTGTGGGTCACGTGCCCGAGGGTAAAATCGATTTTTCGAGTGTGTGGGTGGTGGGGAGTGTGCGCGAGGGACCCCACCGAGAAAGGTCTGGCGAGGTCTGGGCAAAGCATTGGCCCACTTTCGCAAAGAACGAGAAGGCGCTGAAGGAAGTGAAAGGGCAATGCCAGGTTGGGAACAATCAACCACGGCTGCCGGTCGCCTCTTAGGTTGAGACCCAGCCAACTTCAGTGTTCCATTTCTATCATTGACCGTGGTTATGCATAGATCCTTGCAGAAGCAAAAATATGGGATATTCCTTTACACTATGCTCTGAAACTACCTAGATTACTTGAGGATGCGGAATATTCAACATGATCGGGAGACCAGTTGGTCGATGGTACCCCCATGGACGGTCCATCAAGGCCTGGGATGGCATCTCATCAAGCAGTCAACTGCCACGTGGGATTTGACGCAGAGGCCAGTCAATGCCCTGGAAAGTGACGCCCCATCTCTGAAGGAATGCAGATTAGTTTCACGAATCTAGCAACTTTTTCATACTAGGTAGGTCGAGAATAGCGATTGCGCGTCGACTCAGTTTCGTCCCTACTACAGAGAGGCGGTGCATCGACTTCGTATTTATCTCTCAGCATGTGTGTTGTCCCTCCTATGATGAACCGGGCACTAGATGAAACGCATGACCGCCATCCGACCATGTGCGATATTGATCAGGGAGGACGAAGAAAGACCAGCCCCGTCTTAATGCATCTCGTCTCATATTGAAAAGCTCCATCGGCTGCCTCCCCTTGAACCCGACTTTCCCGGGCACTCGGCCCTTTACCACAGTTGGTTGAGGATTGCCGTCATTGACGAGCACTGTACCTGTCGCTTAATTTAGAGTCCTTTCCGTCCCCATAGTGGGTGGACAGGGCGTCGCTCATCTTGAGGCAGTGTCCTGTCAATGCGCTCGTACCGGACATATCTCGATCAAGTATTCAAACTAGTCGCTATTCTGGATGGATTAAGCATCGTTGAATGGGATGACAGTTTCATTCTGTGAGAAAAGAAGCCTCCCACGGCCATCCCGTCACCGAGCTCGCTTCTAAGCGTACTACGTACTTCGAATTTTCTTTCGGCGTGCATCACATTAAGAGGATTCGAGTCCCCGTCACACGGAATGTTCTACCAACAGTCGCTGCGCCATCCACCGTGTAATGCACGTGTGTTGTCCAGAACCCACCGAATCGTAAACCTCCGGACAGGAACATGAAACGAGTGATCACCCAATCACACGGTCCCGTTGCCGGGCATATTGGATCATCGCTGGCAGTCCGTCTCGTCCAGAGGAGGTGGTGTTGTGTTCCGGTGGTCGGGAGCTCCGGGTTGGGCATGGATTGCCGTCCTGTGCTCCAGTGATTGCATCACGATCTGCGAAACACTGGGCAACGGTGGAATCTCTGGCCCGTTTTTTCTATAGCCATGGTCGCATGTTTGACAAAGGGGCTAGGAACCAACGTCCTGTACTGCCCCGACGTTGAGGAGGACGAGGACTTATAATTAGCTCCCCATCACCGCTTATCCATCTAGTCTTATTGCTGCACTTTCAACATCCTCTACTGCTCTCCTCCATTCCAACGCATTTACACACGCAACCACAACCATGCATACTGTTAAAATGCACAGCGCTCTTCTCATTCTTTCGGCCCTGCCCTCGGCTTTCGCGATCCACGCCTACTCCGTCCCCACCGCTCTCTCTCTCCAAGAGGCAGATACCAGCAACCCCTGCGTTCTCCCCGACGACTATCATATCAAGGGCTACTCGGCCGAGTCCGAAAGTGACGGCGAGACCCTCTCCTCCTTCAGCTTCACCTTCCTGGATGACACAACCAATGTGACAACGCCCTGCGAGTTCAACTCATCATCTGTTTCTGTTCCCGGAAACGGTACCCCACGGTACCAGTGCGATAATACGGACGTCGAATTTATTTGGCAAAATGCAACGCAGTATCTCACCATGGTTGAGAGGGTGTGTCCAGATGCCAGCGGGTAAGTGTCCCCAATCTGTATGTTGTTTTCACGCATAGGCTGACTGTTTGTTTGTAGAGCCGAGGCATATGAAGTCGCTGGTAGCACACGGATCTGGCTTAAGTGCCCAGAGTCGGGCGGCGCCTGCACCACCAATTCGACCGATTACAAGTCACTTTTCGTGAGCCTCAGCCCTGTGATGAGCCCGAGCCGTATCTAGAGTTTGGGTTCAAGGGAAGTAAAATGATTCAAATCTTATTAAATTAGACATAATAGATACAATAAAATATTCACTATAAAAATAAATACCTATCTTATGATATTGAGTATACTTAAAAAAAAACCGCAAATGAAAAAAACACCAAGTATTAAATAGTCTTTCGAAATAGGTATGTGTGCGAATAGCAATACTCTAAGATTATGGGTAATACGCCTTTCGGAAAGGTTCATGAATCAGGGTCCTGGCTGGGCATTACAGGCGGCAGCATCGGGTGCGTTCTGCAGAAGTCACGCAGTGAATCTCGTTGATGTATCTCATGAGATACCTGGGGACTGCGCCGTAGCATCAGGAGCAGGGTTGCAGGGTAATATCAACAACAAAAAAAAAAAAAGAAGCATTTGTTTCACAAAACGAAGATGAATGACCTCATCAGCCTTCCGACAGAAGTGAAGTGTGATGACGATGCATTCCAGAGGCCAAGTGCCGGCGACCTAAGGTATGCCAGGTACCTCCGATGGACCAAAAAGGAGCGCTAAAAATCCGGGGTACCGCAGCGAGCAGCCACTCACAAGACCGCCCACGCTGGCTGACCTCCACCCAACCTCTTCTCCTCCACACTTTGCCTTTGCTCGTTGGCATATGACCGCGACACTCCGCAGTCCGCTCCCTCACGAGACCAAAAAGCTTGACGGAGACCATCTTGGGGTCTGGGTCTCGGTCTCTGTCCCAGCCTCAGTCCCGGTTTGGACCAGTCCTGTGCCACTTGATTGCCGCCATCCGACGCCTAGCAATAGGGCCCCAACAAAAAAACACAGCCTGCGCCATGCGTGGCTCTTGACGGACTGCACGCTCAAGCGCTGCCCGCTCATCGCCTCATACTCATCCTGAAGCACTCACAGTCGGCTTCGCCATCACATACATACGAATCGACTGGCCGCTGCTCGCTACTGCGGCGCTCGGCGCTTCAATTGACAGCTCGTCGTCGCTGGATCGACTCTCCTGCGACTCGCGAAATGAACCATTGACCAAGTGGTGACCTGTGCTCTCCGCTTTTTCTACCATATACGCCATCAGACACAGAACTTGAACTCAACGATGCGACCCCGGGCCTTGGATATGCTGAAGATTTGGGCTTTGCAGCTGGCCCTCAGCGCCGGGGGCCTGGCATCGCCGCACGGTCAGCAGCCGCTCGGGAACGACCCTGCGATACCAGCTCCATCGACAGTGGCGGGCACAATATCGATGGCCTTGTTTGCAACGCTCGAGCGCCTCGCCCGACTCGTCGATATCACCTACTGCATTGGTACCACCGGTGTGAGCAAGCCCTTCGAATGTGTATCCCGCTGCAGCAACTTCCCAACTCTGTCACTAGTCACAACCTGGAACACTGGGGCACTCATGAGCGACAGCTGCGGATTTATTGCCGTCGACCATGGTGTACAACAACGCGACACAGCGACTAGCAACTCCATCTACACTACCGGAGGCCCTGCTATTGTTGTAGCCTTCCGGGGAACATACAGCATCACTAATACCGTCGTGGATCTCAGCACCGTGCCGCAAAAGTACGTCCCTTATCCCTCCCCTGACAACGGCGGAGAGGACCCCCCAGAGAAACCCGAGCATGAGTGCACCAACTGTACCGTCCACATGGGATTCTTGGACTCGTGGAAGAACGCGAGATCCCTTGTCATCCCGGAACTTCAGCAGCTCCGGACCCAGTACCCATCGTACCCGATCCAGCTCGTCGGACACAGCCTGGGTGGAGCCGTTGCCTGCCTCGCGGCCCTCGAGGTGAAGGTCTCACTGGGTTGGGAGGACGTGGTGGTGACAACTTTCGGTGAACCCCGGGTCGGGAATTCCGGGCTTGCTCGCTTCGTCGACGAGGTGTTCCATCTGGATGGACAGAAGGACCTGGAAGAGCGCGCATACCGACGCGTGACTCACCAGGAGGACCCGATCCCGTTACTCCCACTGGGTGAATGGGGTTATCAGTCACATGCTGGAGAGATATTTATTTCCAAAAAGGATCTCTCGCCCTCAGAAGACGATGTACATGTGTGCATTGGAGATTACGATCCAAAGTGCATTGCTAAAGATGACGATAATATGCTGGAATATATGCGTCACCTCCTCAGATTCAGGCACGCTGCCTCTACATCCGATGAGTCAATCGAGGCGGAGCTATTTCCATCGAGGTTTAAGCTGTGGCAGCTCTTCTTTGCGCATCTAGACTATTTTTGGAGACTGGGGCTCTGCGTGCCAGGAGGGGACCCGGCCAACTGGGGCCGAAACCCGTATGGGTTCCCAGGACCGGATGAACTATGAGATGGATTTCGTGTTGGGAGTTTATCGTATGGATTGTATTCTAGGTAGAGCATTTCTGAGATACCATTGCCTACCTAATGCCCACGGGACGTTTTGTTACGAGTTTGGTTGGCGGTGGTTGGAGAACCAGGACCGCCGTAGTCAATAAGTTAGGTTAATTAGATAATTGATGCAGTAATCAAGCGAAATCGGAGAATTTCTAAACGTAGCATGTCCCGAGACTGATCCAACCAGCATAGAGAATCGTGGATTTAGATTCCTAGCTACAAAACTCTGGGCGCTTTGCTGTGAAGCGAGATAAGGATGGGTGGTGGGGACGGCAGCGGGCAGCTTATTATCCCCCACCCATCGGCCGCCTGTTGTCACACAGAATGCGTGTTTGTTGGGTTTCCGTATCACCGACAGGTCTAGAACTTGGGCGAAGCAAATATGGGGGTTGAAATTAGAGGGAGACAACTCGAGGCTAGAGGCCGGAGACGGGTGCCGTTGCCCGTGACTGCGCGCGAGTGGGCGATTGCCAACTCACCAACTCACCAACTCACACCGGCCGCGCATCATCACCCTGGCTCGTCCGCGGCAAGACTGGGTTGCACCCCGGGCTGGGCCGAGCAGTGGAGAGGGAGACGCCCGAGGTCCACCACCTTGGAAGTACGTACAGAATTGTGCAACCTTGATTGCTGTTGATAGGCGCCGCGATAACAGATCAAGGGAGACATCGGAGAGACATATGAGCCAGTGAGGGGTGCAACAGTGAGGGGAATAGTCAGGAGTCACGGTTCAACCCGGGTCAGGGGCCGTCATAAGTCCGGGACAGCAGAAAGTCTCTCTGGGGATGCATGAGGCGATACTGGTTTCTCTCCAAGCCTTACTGGACTGGGGCCAGGGTGATTCCAAATGGGTCCAAGGTAGACGAGGCAGAAGGTCTGGATGTGGGGATGGGAAACGGGATGGCTTCTTTGTTCGCATGGGTATCAAGCATCAAAACTTGGCCCGCTTTGTCAACGCCCTCCATGCTTGCAGGGTACGAGGGGTTTGGCTGAGAGGCGGTTGTGAGGCGGACGGACGCCATGCGGTGGCGGTGTTGATCCTTCCGTTACCAAGCTGCAAGTGATCAATGCTGTACATGATCCTCAGGTCTGCAGTAGAGGACCTGAGGAAACAAAATCGAACAAGAAATACTGTATGGTCTTCTTTGGCGCTACTTCAACGCCAGTTCCCGCATCCAAGTTGGTGGGTTTTTACTTTCTATCTTTCGTAGCAGTAGCCTAAGGCAACCAACGGCGGGATGGTGATGCCAGAACGGGGGTGTATTCTGCGAGGAAAGTGGATGGATGGGGCGGGTCGCTAACCATGGGGAATTTGGGGGAGGAGGAAGGGTTTGGAAGAGGGCATGAAATCATCCAATATCAACAAAAACGCACGAGCAGGGATGGCAGCGAGGGAGATGGGCACATCTCGAGATTTGGTTTGGACAAAGCAATCTCGCCGTGGTCGTGTGCCTAAGAATGTTACGTCGTAGACGCGGCTAGGCCGGTGGCTGGATGTGCCTGAGGGGCAGGTAAATAGGCAGTCAGCGATAGTGACGCGGTGATCTTCAAAATACCATGTACACCCGAAGGCCGGTTGAAGGTAGCGTGATCAAACGGGTGGAATTGGGAAACTCTTGGCTTGGCCTGGTTGGCTCTCGAGCACATGTTGGACACCAGCTGCGTTTAATCGCCGAGGGCTCAACGAGGCCATCCATAGGCTGGTCCGATGATTATGGTGCGGCGGTCGATATTGGGTGCCTCATAGGCACTACCAATGACGAGCTAAGAATAAAAGAGACGCTGTGCCATGTTGTGCTGTGTTGTGCTGTGCTGCGTGATGTGTCCGCGTTGTGCTGGCGGGTAAAAAGGTACGTACCGCTGGCCAGAGATACCGGTGTGCGTGATGTGTCGTGTGTGGCGCGGTGAGAGAGAGGCAGATGCTCAGCCCTCCGAGAGGCGGGACGAGGCGGGACGAGGCTGCTCGTGTGCCGATCACGTCGAAACAGGCCGTGCCCGAATCTGCCCAAAGTGACATGAGTGTGTGCATGTGAGTAAGTGAGCGTATCAGTGAGTGACAGACAGGCAGAATGAGTGAGAGTGAGAGTGAAAGAGGCCATCCGCCATCCCAGCAGAAGAGTGAGCAGACAGTCGCGAGGCGCCTCAGAAGTGCGCGAGGTCCTGTGCCATGGGAACAGAGTGCCGCAGTGCGTACGGATTTGAGCCAAAAGCAGGTACGAAACCTGCTATTCTGCATCTGGGTGGTGCTGGTGCCAGTCGAAGTCGGTGCACAGGCTCCCCAGAAGCCACGCTAGGTGGTTCTTAGCGAAGGGCGTCCCCTCCTTTGCCTCCCAACCAGCAAGCTCAGGGCAGGGGGGAGAGAAGAGAATAGAAGAGGGGAGACTTGGGCGGGAGGCGATGCCATGTCATTGGGCGTGTGACGACATGGCATGCTGTCAGAGCGAGAGGGAGGGAAGATGAGGGGTTGACCAAGGGAGAGGGACTTTCGGCTTTGCTTTTTTATCACGGGCGCTCACTTGACCAGTTTGCTTTTTGGCATGCCACTGCCAGCTGGCGGCCAGTTGGTCGCCAGTCGATTGACACTGCGGCACTGCCAGGCATCTGGGCGCCCACAGCAACGGGCACGATTAGCACCTGGGCGTCCATCGGGCTAGCTAGGTAGGTACTGCTGCCATGGAACCGCAGCGCACCGTACCGTACCCGCCACAGGTTGCTCCAAAGACGCCCCGCAGCGCGCCCCTGGGCAGCCATTCATGGCATGTCAACGGCCCCGGCAACGCCTGGGTGGCAGCCACTCAGGTACCTACGGGCTACCAGAGCCCCTCTACCACTACGTACGTAGTATGCCTCTGGCCTGGAGCGGGCACCGAAAACCTGGTCGGCCTAGCCCCCAAGGGTCAGAACAAGAGTGAGTTCCGGTGCAGGGCGACGGGTGCTGGCAGGTGGCCGCTGTGGGCTCTCGAAACAGGCGCCCAGGCAGCCCCAAACTGCACCAAACTGCCCCGAGCAAGCTCCAAATAAACACGGCCAGACGCGCAAATCCGCACCGTCCCCGCCCGAAACTGCAAACACACAGCGCTTTCTCAACGCCTGACCCGCGTCCACCTCCACAAGCAGCAGCGCCAGTGCCAGTCTCAGGCCCAGTCCTAGCCCAGTCCACAGTCCACAGTCCACACTCTCGCATCCCATCCCCATTCATCCCTCCCTCTCCCTCCCTCTTATTCTAACTACGCACCCCCCCCGGAACCCAAACACCCAAATCTCAAACCAAACCTCGAAAACACCGTCGCCTTCTCACCTTCACCCATCTCTCACCATCTCTCCTTGTTCCTTCTTCCTCCCCGTCCGTCTCTCTTCTCCCTCTCCACCCCAAAACAACATCTCCAGTCACCATGACCACCGAGGTAAGCCCGTCGTCCCCCTCATCCATTCCTCCCCCTCTTCTGAGCCTTGCCCCCTCGTCTCCTCGTCCCCTCGTCCCCTCGTTTCGCTGCGGTTGTGCCCTTTTCCTCAACCCAGTCAGCCGAGCCTGCCCAGCCCAGCCCGCACTACAGAGTACCGCACAGTACCGCATAGCACAGCACAACCCCTCAGCAGACTGCCCCAGCGCGGACATCCCATCCCCATGGCGTCAGCGGTTATGGCCTCGCCCTGCGCTCTTTGAGCCGGCTCTGTGTCTCTGTGTCGTCCGCCTCTTTGCCCCCCGTTGGCCCCTCTCGCAGGCACTCTTTAATCTTTGTTGACAAGATGCTAACCATTGTCTCCTCGTCTAGCGTGAAAGGTTAGTCCTACTATCACGTCGACCCGATTCCTCGTCGTCGCTCTCGATCCCCTCGTTTTCGTCGTCGTGAACGGGATGACCCCACCGAAAAAAACCCGTTCAGAATCGCTGACCTCGTGCCCGTACCAACTACAGCAAGACCTTCCTGGCTCGCCTCTGCGAGCAGGCTGAGCGATACGATGAGATGGTCACCTACATGAAGGAGGTGGCTAAGCTCGGCGGCGAGCTCACCGTCGACGAGCGCAACCTCCTCAGCGTTGCCTACAAGAACGTCGTCGGTACCCGCCGTGCCTCGTGGCGCATTATCTCCTCGATCGAGCAGAAGGAGGAGTCCAAGGGCTCCGAGAAGCACGTTCCCACCATCAAGGACTACCGCACCAAGATCGAGTTGGAGCTTGAGCGCGTCTGCCAGGATGTCCTCGACGTTCTCGACGAGTTCCTCATCCCCAACGCCGCCACTGGCGAGTCCAAGGTCTTCTACCACAAGATGTGCGTTTTTTGTCCCTCCCCGCCCCTGCTCTCCTGCTGCCTTTCTATCCGTCTCGATTCACTTGGATTTTCCCTCTTGTGTCTACCCCCATCCTCTATCAAAACCCCCCCTTTTCCCCTCACCTCACCTCCCCTGTCCCTATCGCCGTAAGATAAAACCAAAAGACTTCTGGACTCTAACCTGGCTCCTCGATATAGGAAGGGTGACTACCACCGTTACCTCGCCGAGTTCGCTTCCGGTGAGAAGCGCAAGGGAGCTGCCACCGCCGCCCACGAGGCTTACAAGGTGAGGCTAAATCCCCTCCATCACATGCCGCGCGATCCGGGCCCCTCGCGTCCCCCGCTAACCGTTGTGCCCAACCACAGAGCGCCACCGATGTCGCCCAGACTGAGCTCACTCCTACCCACCCCATCCGCCTGGGTCTGGCCCTGAACTTCTCCGTCTTCTACTACGAGATCCTGAACTCGCCCGACCGCGCTTGCCACCTCGCGAAGCAGGCCTTCGACGATGCCATTGCTGAGCTCGACTCCCTGTCCGAGGAGTCTTACCGCGATAGCACTCTCATCATGCAGCTCCTCCGCGACAACCTGACCCTCTGGACGTCGTCCGACAGCGCCGAGGCCGATGCCGCCGGCGCCGCCGATGCCCCCAAGAAGGAGGAGGGCGAGGCCGACAAGCCTGCCGAGCAGGAGGCTCCCAAGGAGGAGCCCGCGCCCGCGGCCGCCTCTTAATCTTCTTCCATCCCATCCCCGATACCACCTGCATCTCGGCAAACTGGAACCGAGATGCGCTCTCGCCCCGGCTAACTCTTGTCTGCCCCCGGACACACGGATAGCTGGGCCTGTCTTGGGCGGACTGGCTGATAGTACGAGGCTTTTTTCGCGCAGTGCGTTGCTTTTCATGGCAAGGGAGAGGGAGGATCATGGGTTTGGCTCAGGCAAGGGAAAGTGCACGGCATGGATTCTTCTCCGTCTTGTTCCTCCGATGGACTCGGAAAGCGGCCGCCCCGCTCGGTGACGGCTTCTACCTGACAGATAAATCGCAAAGCTCCCCCTCCGTCCATTGCCTCCTTACCTACATAGTGTTTCTCTTTCCCCCTGGGTACTGCCATCGAGATCAAGTCACTGGTGGCCCCCTATTCTTGATGGATCACTATGGAAATGCTGTTTCATTTTACCCCGTTTTCCTGTCCCCCCCTTTGATGTTATTTTTTATCTCGTCTTTTGCTGTCGGCTCGTTTTTTACCCCCGGAGAAGAGACAAGGAGCTGTGTTTTTATGTTTTATGTTTTTCCCGCGAAACCCCAAATCCAAATTCCCGAATTCCCCCACACAAAGTTCAAGTCCTACGAATTTTACACGGCACGTCGAACGGAAAAGGAATGGCGATATGGTTTCCGTTGTTGTTGATCCGATACAACCTTTCTCTGGCCTCTGCGCGATGGCCATGTCCAGTTTCGTCTTTTAAGAGGCGGACTTCGGTCGGGCTACAAGGCGCGGTCGAGTCAACATTTGCGGCTCTCCTAACATACGATGTCTCGCAGAACAAGACTGCTCTGTCTTGTCTCAGGCGAGACTTGGTGTTCTAGGCTGAGGTCACTTGCGGACTAGGGGACTGGCTCGCGTTGAGACGGAGTTGGGGAGGGTTGAGAAAACGGAGCGATTTCGTCACGAGTGCTCAGTGTCTATTTGTAAAGACGTCGATTAATGAACAATAAATGCTATCATGACACATGTCGGCATACCCCAACCAGGCCAGGGTTAGTTATTATAATTATAGCCGCGTCCAGGCTCCTCGTAAGCGGAATAGGAAGCGAGGGGTCGAGTAGCGTTGCATCTACGGATGCTATGCCACAGCATGCTGGCCGTTGCGACTGCGCTGCGCGTTGATGACGGCCGCGCCCTCGTCCTCCCTCACGCCTCGGTTGAGCAGCCTCGCCGCCCGTTCCAGCCTCTCCTGTCTATTCCGTAGACCGTTGCCAGCACCTTCGTCACTGATCTTATCGGGTAGTGCCACGCCGTCATCGTCGTGGGCATCGCGCCCGGCGGTGGCCTGCTGGGGCCTGTCCTCGCGGTACATGGCCGTCGGCTCAGCACCTGGCGAAACAGAGGAGCCGTCGCGATGATGGCGGGAGAGGCGCCAGCTGAGGCGCTTCCAGAAACCGCGGGGTCGTGAGGGGGCGGGGCCGGGACCAGGGCTGGCGGCGGCGGAGGAGGAGGCTGCCGATGAGGAGGAGCGCGACGAGGCCAGCGACGGGGTCGGGAGCGAGAGGGCCGAGGCGACTTCAGTGCGCCAGATGAGGATGCGCTGTTGCTTGGCCGGGGGCATGAGGGGGTTCGTGATGGGGGCCGTGGTGGTCTGGGTGCCGGCGTCCTTGGACTCTGCGAGGGGATCCATGGTGGATGGTATTATTCGAGGAAAGATGGATGGGATGGGATGGCGATGGTGGATTAATCGTTGAGTCGTAGCGGTCAAGTTCCCGTCGTGGATGAGGCGGGTCGAGCTGCGTCAAGCGGCGACTTGAAGATGAAGTGCTCCCTCGCCGCACTGAGAACGATCCTGCACTGTTGAGATGCCGGAGAGATGCCAGAGGGACGGTGAATCAATCAGAGCCCGTCGGCGATCGGTCCAGATGCGATGTTGTCGGGTTGCGATGCGGTCACGGCGACTCAATCGCTGTGTCTCCCTCTCACGTGCAGGCGAGCGATGGTACCGCGGTGGGGGCGTTGATGCTGATGCAGGTCGTGTTTGGTGTTGAGGAGACCCGATCGGCTCGGTTGCGTCAAGGTTGTTGTCTGCGCTGCAGATGATGGACAGATGACGGCGTGCGGTCTCCCTTAGTGTACGGCCCGGCACAGAAGAGAGAGGCGCGAAACATTAATGATGAATGGGTGGGTGTACGACGAAAGATTGAATCCCCTATGCCGGTCTGGAGAATGCCAGTCCAGAGCGCGCAACGAGATTCCAGCACGAGCAAGGAAAGAAGTAGGGGGGCGGGAAGAACAAAGAAAAAGAGGCCAGGCGAGGCGAGGCGAGAGAGTAAATAATTAAGAGTCGGTGCTGGTGCCAAAATAGAGAAATTGCGATTTTCGGTTTCGCTCGCTCAAGTCGCTCCGTCGCCCACGAGGTTGGTTCTAGTGCAGTCGCCAACCGAACGAATCCTTGACGAGGCGCCGGCCACCCGGTGTTGGCGCTGGGCTATTGACTTTTACGCGATGACGCCCCAGCCCGGACAAGGCTTATCGGCCGCGAAGAGTTGGCAGATTGAATTGAAGAGCGGCGGGCGGGGTTGGGGGGGAATGATTCGGGCGATAGGCGAGAGAGGCTAGAGGCTCTGGGCTTGGGGTTTTGAAAAAGGGGAACAATAGAAAGCTGGTGGTGATACGGGGACGCCGCAGATGATATGATGTGATGAGCAAGCTGCGGTGCGAGGCTCTAAAAACGAAGAAAGTATCGTTGGTGGATGTGTCACTCAATAAAATATCATGGGAGTTGACTTCTAAGCCACGGTACACGGGAATCTTTGCCCGTTTAACTCGCGGGGGGGGGGGGGCGATCCAACCTGGTCATGAGGTCGTCCCGCGGTGAGCAACGATGATTGATGATGGAGGGTACAGGGTAGGCCGGGGCAGGGGACAGGCATGCTGCTGCGACGCTGCTGGGCTGCTACGCGAGACGGGACGGCAACGGCCAGTGGCAGATCCCCTTCGGTCCAGCGCAGTTCCGCCGAGCAGCCCCGCTGGGAATCGTCCCCCAGGTCCCTAGCCGAGTCAGTGCCACAGGGCGCCCGTAGCGCCATTGGGTACAACGCTGCGTGGTCCCCGCCGCTGACCGCTGCGTCCAGCCCGCTGCGTCGAGTCCGGTGCAACGCGACCAGCGGGCTACAATGGGAGCCGGGGAAGAAACAATGGATCCATTCACTCAGAGAAATGGATCCGTTCATTCACAGAGTCATGAAGCGCGTGCGCTGACCCCGGCTCGGTGGCGTCTAACCCTCGACCGTCGGCGGGCGCCCGGGGGGACTAGACTCGACTCGACCGGGCTGATTAAGGCGGTACATGCGCGTGGGTACATGTGCCGTAGCACTGCTGCTGCGGGTGTGCTGTGTATCGTCGTGTGTACGTGTGGGTGCTCGAATAGATGCATGTGCGCGGACTATATCTGAATAGATGCATGTGTACAGACTATATATGAATAGATGTATTACTTAGACGCATGGGTGCATGCAACTACTTCGATCCCGAGACACACGACATCCCGACATTCCCCTCGCTCACGAGGCCATTCCGTGGCTGGCCGCATTCTTCCCATCGAGGCCTCACGCGAGGACCGACGTCTCAGAGGGCACACACACTCACTGTCCCTCTCTAAACTCGTGCTTCATATATGGTATTCTCTGATGATCCAGACCCCTTTTTTGTCTTACCCTGCCTACTTCGTCCTTGGATAATACCCCCATCCGCTCGTCTATACTGTACCTCATGACACGAAACAAACATACAACACCCATAATTCAATGGCGCCAACCCGATCAATCCAATATTTTCCCAATCCGTCTCTCTGTCTTGCTATATCATGCCCTCGTGCTCGGTTTCAGAGTCTCCCAGCCTCCCACCTCTTGGCCTTCATCCAGCGAGTCCAACAAGTCTACATTGCCATTGCCATTGCCGTTGCGTTGCCCGTGTCCATTCCTATGTTCTTGCGACAACGGTTGCGCTTGCGACGGTGGCGCACGGCGGGCCGCGACCATCGGCCGGCCTTCTCCACCCGTCATGCCGGGCAAGCCTACTGCTCCCATGGGCGGTGTCCCTGATGCCCTAATCCCTAATGCGTTCACCGCGGGTTTCGGCGATGGCACGGGTTTCCTCGTCGATGTCAACGTCTGCCCAGATGGCAATGTGATACCCGACGGGCCTGCAGTCCCAGCGCGCGTGGGCAATGGCGGACGGAACTCCCCGTCGTCCATGGGGTTGTGATTGGGTACCGGGCTTGCTAACGGTGATATCGTAGCTAGATGAGCCGGCTTCTTCGCGACAGGCGGGGGAGACTTAGCGCTCCTAACGCCATGTGAAGAATGCGACGTGTGCGAGGCCGCTGAGAGCGGTCTGAGAGGCGCATGTACCGGTTGGGTCTGTGTCCTATTAAGCCCAGTCGCCGGCATCGTCACCGGAGCTGCCATGCCCCCCGTCTGACGCCTAGGCGGAGGAGGTGGAGGCGTTTCGCCCCGGCTTCCGGGTCCAGAATCGTCAGCGAGGCTCATCCGCCCGACCTTGGCCGGGAGGGTAGAGGGGTCGAACGGCGGAGGTAGCTTGCGAGGCGGAATACTTGACGCGGACGCCCCCATGGCGTGTGGAAGCATGACCTTTTCAAAAGGAGAGCTCGACATGCTCGAGAGAGAAGCTTTGGATGATGACCTGGGAATTGAAATCCAGTCTTGTTCCTCGTTTTGGCCGAACGGGTTTGATGCACGCCCAGGGTTGAGACCCATGGACTGCCCGTTTCGATCCCTGGGAATAGGCACCGTCGCTCGCGCAGGCTGCTTGTTATCGAGCCACCATTTCTGACGGTCTGAGCTGGCTGGTGGGAGACCGGGCTCGACGGAATCGTAACCGATGAGGTCTTCATCTTCAGTGTCCTCATCGCCGCCCGCATGCGCCGTTGAATCCCCAACATCGGCTTTGCGGCGTTGATATAGCTCCTGGCTGATCGTTTCGCGCAGTGCTTCGTCGACTAGGCTCACTTTGCATTCAAAGAGAGCATGTACGGGGCGATGGTCTGAGAACTTGAGAGGCGCCGAGTCGTACAAGAGTTGTCTAAGGTTGGCTCCTTTTCGGAGAATGCGATCTGTCCAGGCAGGAATGCGGGCTTTTTCACTAAATTATCGAATTAGTCCATGTTTTGTCTGGATGGTAAGCGCGTAGAAACCCACGATGTATCATAAGTGTCGGTGCCAATGTCAAACTTGTACGTTGGTGCGAAGTTGATACGGGCCTCCGAGTAGAAGGGGAACGACAGCCCAGCAACCATTTGCAAATTCAACTGGTCATTCTCGTACAGAACCCCGAACTGACGCTTCTGAACCAGGCTCCGTGCTGTTTCAAGGCTCAGGCCAACACGGTAATTGAAGTCACCCAGCCATACAACAGCGTCTGTTCATGTTAGTAGGCAAACATAACGGCAATTCATAACTGGACAATGGCTGTTTTAGAGCAGAACTTACCATGATCGTCAATGCCTCTGTTCCTCTGGAATCGCAGTCCATGGTGGATTGTAGCATAGTCCCGATTTCGTTCATCGTAATTCGCAAACCCAGCTGCCAAATGTGCTGTAACAAAACAGATGTGCGTGTTGGCATAGTCAAACCGAATTGCAACTGCGCCCTTGTTGCCGGCCATTCCAGACATGCCTGTCTTCTTGACACTGCCCTCAACGTTCTTAATATTGTCCAGAGCCGACGTCTTGACAAATATGCAAAGGGCAGCACCGACAAGCTGCCCACTTCGCAACAACACGTACTTTTCACCTCCTAGTCGCTTCTGCCGTTCGTTTAGGTTACCTCTGACCGCAGTCTCCCACATGTGCTTTCGAGTTGGGTCACTGTTCATAATTTGCTGTGGGCTCAATTCCACGATTTCCTGGAACCCGACCACGTATATCTCCGGCTGGGCATTACCCATAGACGGTGGGAAAAGCCATGGTCCCAGATCATGATCGACTCCTTCAGTTCGCCCATTGAGGTTGAATGTGCCAACCCACATATTTATGCTATTTTTCGACGAGAACTCGTCACTTCGCTTGGCCAACTCGACCGACACGAAGTCGCTGATGGGGTCGAATAGGTGAACGGGGGTCTGCCCAACAAGGCGGCCCAGCAGCATATCAATCGTAATTTGCCGAGAAGGATCGAGGAAATTGTTGTGATAGATGCGCTGAACAGACTTGCGCACATCAGCAACCGCTCCCGCCAAGGACATCTTTCCATGGCGTGTGAATGATGACTTCAATGCGCCAGTTCCAGCATAGATCTTGGAAAGCGAATCACCGTTGTCTGCCCACAGACTGGAGTGTCTCATCCAGAAATCGGACGCCGCAAACTCGCCTCTGTGTCCAAGGAAAGCCTCCACTGCCATCTGCGAGATGAGAGTCTGGATAAGGTTTGTTCGATCAAGGCAATCAAGACAGTTGGTTCTGAAAACCCCTTCTTGCTGGAGCACCACGACCAGACGGCTATGTGCAGATCTATAGGAGACCTCGTGTGAATCGCTGGCCTCTTCCGAGAGGAAGTATGCAAAGCCATCTGTCGAGTCTTCAATGTATCGCCGGATCTCGCGCGCTGCCTCGTACCCTGCAGGTCCTTTGGTCTCGGCATGGAAATCGTAGTGGGTCTCGCGCAGAAGCGCATGGTCCCAAGAGCCGTCGGGGCCTGGTCGGCTCAATGGGCAGTGTCTGACGCCGTTGCGATAGAGATTGCTGAGTTCAACCTCTCCTGGCTTGGATTCGCTGAGAAGATTGATAATGTGGACCGCACCATATGTCTGCTCGAGCTCCTCAAAGTGCTTGTTAAACGCTGGTTGGGTGCCATCTGGAGACCGAGTGACCGTAATCTTTTGCCGACCTGGTATTAAATCTGCTGCTTGTTCCCAAAATACAGGAACAGACCCTCGAACTTGGGCATACGAGAAGAGAGTTCCTGAAGGGCTCCAGAAGGTCGTTTCCGACTCGACAAAGTTGGCAACATGACCATCATCGTCGATACCTCGGGCGTTGAAACGAGTGCCTGCTCTTCTGCAGGATAGTCGCGAGATAAGGGTCATGTACGAGGGCATTCCGTTTTTGGATGTCTTGAGCGGCGAAGAGCTTTGTGGGATCGTCATCGTCTTGCAGAAGCCTCGGATGGCTGATGTCAGAATTCGTGAGGTGTCGAGCGCTTCTCGTTCCTGTGGCATGAGCCGTGAGCGGAATTGCACTAGAGGGCTGATCATAAACGAGTTCCATAGGAACACGTCGTCAAAGTTGTCGATCTCGAAGGAGTTGGAGTTTATCGGCCTACTGCGGATTAGCCTGGTGGCTGCCATGGAGAATGGACTCTCCCACGCACCTGTCCTGCACTCTGTTGGTGACGTCAAAGTCTGTACTGTAGTAAAAAGATCCATTGCTAAGGAGGGTGCGCAGCTCATGGCAGGGATGCTCTACTGGCACTTCCCTCCGGCTCAACCCTTGGCTATAGGCGGATGATTGGGTATAGACAGATGTGGCGTCGGAGAATTCGGGTTCGAGGGACTCGAGGGGCACGACATCATCGTAGTCGGCGCTACTCAGGCAGTAAAAGGCCACGCCGGCAATGCGCTCGACCGTCTCGCCTGGTCGAACCGTGGCGGCCCTGGAGGCGTGTGTGATGACGGATATGAAGACTTCGCCGTTGACGGCAATCAAGCCCAGTGTTCCATAAATCGGTCGATGTGTCAGGCGGCGGTAGTCTTGTAGCAAGCGCTGCGAAACGGGCGCAAACTCGACCATGCACTTGGAGACGGGCGACTCCCCGCCGTTCCCACGGGGGCGGGCAGACGCGACAGATGTAAGCGAGCCATTGGCAATGGCTTCGCTGGTCGAGGCAGTGTATCGTAGAATCAGGGCGTGGGAGGCGGAGACGATGGCGATGGATCGGTAGGGGTAGTCGCGGATGTAGAGCTCGCAGGACTTCTCAGGCGCGAGGGCCTGGGAGCCGATTGAAGCAGTTGGATAGTCCATGGTGATATCGATACGGAGGTGGAGGCGGAGGGGAAGCGCGGGACAGGAGCGTTGGACTAGGCTTCAGCGTAGCGATTGCGAGAAGGCATCGACGGGTCTTCTAGCCCATGGCCGTCTGTTGTTGTGTGCGAATACTGCGAGGGAGGGCTGTTGGCGGGCGGACGTGGCTCGGCGGCGGATTACACTGTTGAAGTTGGATGGGAGCTTTGGGCATTGGAGGTCACTGGAGATGACCCCTGCCCGCTTACGGGTACGTATTTAGCATGACGTTGCTGCGCTGGGCGGTAAATGCCCTGCTGACGGTGGTTCAGCTCAGCTCCACAACTGCCGTTTCTCTTCAGAGGTACAGACGCCAACCAAGAAATCAACTAATTATTACCGTGTGATGTACTCCGTGTATGCACCCGCGGCCTCAGCTGGGAACAGTTGTCTCGGAGAAGCGTGTCGGGTTCTACTTCGCGGGGTTCATGTCAAGCTCTAACACCAGATTGCAGAAAACGCATGCCGAACCAGATGCTGATTGAAAGCCTCTAGATCTGCCGACAAAACAGTTGATGTTGTTTTCGCTGGCTCCTACAAACCCGTAGTTTTATGCATCCGGACGAATCTGCACACGGCAGATGCAGTTGATTCATGCAAGCATGGGAGCGACTGTCTGGCTGCCTGCCACGAGCATCAGGAGTGGCTCTCTACAACGGTTGGAGGAGGTTTGAGCCCAACATGACGTGGACAACAACCTCAAAGCAGGGTGTGTCCTACTAGGTCATCGTGGCAATTTCACAGGGGGAGTGCAGGGAGAGGACAACAGAACGCCGTGAGTCAGGCTAGACATTGCTCGTTGTCGCGGGGTGCTTCTGGTGAGCACCCAGCGTGAGCATCACGGTCCTGGCCTATGCGACGAGAAAACTTCAATGCCATGCCGAACATTGCAGAGCTATCTGGAGAGGAAAGAAGAGAAAAAGAAGAGCGACGAGGCTTCAGATTCGAAATTGAGATCATGCTCTCTGTTAAGAGAGCGTTCAGTCTCTTCCTATCATAATATTTGAGTGGGAATCATCATTAGCCATGTTTAGAGGAAAGAAAAATCTCCAAACCTCCACTGCGTTCAAGAAAATATCAGTCGCTGGCGGTCGAGTGCTTAGTCATCAGGAAGCCGGCAGATTGTTGCCCCGGTCACTGCAGGAAGCTGAGCTGCAAGTGAGAGGGCGACTTGTGGTCCTTGTACCATCAGCGATTACCTGCAGGCCTGCTAACCGAACGAGGAAATTTTCAGCTGTAATTCGTGACGCGCTCGTGCAGCTGGCACCTCGAGGGTACATGATTGAAAGGTACCATCCCGAAAAAGACCCGGTTCTCGACCTGCGCGCGAACCACCAGCCCCTTCCACTCGCGACCCTCAGCCTTGAGCCTCCATCACCAATCTTTGTCAGGTTCTTTCGCCAAACACACTTAGCCATCATCCTAACCAGCCCGCGCCCTATCGGATCCTGATCAATCGCAGTACGCGACATAGTTTCTGGCGACTTCGACGACATGAGTGACTTCGGCCACTTTGGCGGCTCCGACGAGGAGTACACGACGGTGCGAAAGCACAATGCCGAGGTGGTAAGTCTTCCAAGGAGCCGCAGCTTCGAGTCTCGCAACTAATCATGTTCGTGCAACAGGAGGCCGACCCCGACAACTTCGAGAATTGGGAAAACCTCATCAAAGCATGCGAAACCCTCGAGGGTGGCTTGAACCGCAACTCCAGCCCGCAGGCTCTGGCGACATTCCGCGATGCCTACGACAGATTCCTCCTCAAGTTCCCTCTCCTGTTCGGCTACTGGAAGAAATACGCCGATATGGAATTCAACATTGCTGGACCTGAATCAGCTGAGATGGTGAGACTCTTGTTTGCGCCACGGATGAGCTTTGCTGATAGATGCCTGCCCAGGTCTATGAACGCGGATGCGCTAGCATCACCAATTCTGTCGACTTGTGGACGGATTACTGCTCCTTCAAGATGGAGACAACCCATGACCCACACCTCGTCAGAGAGTAAGTCTTGTCGGATAATTTCCTTCCCCTCCCCTTAACATGCCTGTCGGCGCAGTCTCTCGCTTGACCGGCATCGCCTCGGTCGACACATCCTCGATGGCTTCACACATTTCACAATCAACATGTCCCATGGTGAGATATGCCTGCAGTAGCCCCAAAACTGGGATGCTCTCTCACGCTTTCTGCCAGGCTCTGTTGATGTTCCACCGTGCTCTTCTAAACCTCAAGTCGTCATGGCGCAACACACGTCCCTGCTCGGAGGAACCTGATCGCGGTTTTGCTACTCACTTGCACAACCATTTTCCCCTCTGTACTGATCCTCTCCATCCCCATGACCTAACCCGACCCTTGAATGGTGGATTTTCTCTAACCTAATCGATTAGACTCTTTGAGCGCGGCTCGACCTTGGTTGGCTTGGATTTCTTGGCCCACCCCTTCTGGGACAAGTACATCGAGTACGAGGAGCGACAGGAGGCCCAGGATCGCATCTACGCCATCCACGCTCGCGTTATTCGCATCCCCATGCACCAGTACGCCCGCTACTACGAGCGTTTCCGATCTCTCTCGCACAATCAGCCCATGTCTGAAGTAGTCGCCACTGACGTTTTGGCCGGGTTCAAGTCCGAGGTTGAAGCGGAAGCCGCCGCGTTCGGCGGACCTCAGAAGCCAGAGCTGGAGATTGAGCGGGAAATTCGAGGAAAGATTGACAACATGTACTACGACATATTCACAGCAACCCAGAACGAAGTTTCGAAGCGCTGGACGTACGAGTCAGAGGTCAAGCGGCCGTACTTCCATGTCACGCCACTGGAACATTCTCAACTTGTTAACTGGCGCAAGTACTTGGACTTTGAAGAAGCCGAGGGTGACTATGGACGAATCGTCGCCCTGTACGAGCGATGCATCGTCACATGTGCCTTCTACGACGAGTTCTGGTTCCGGTATGCTCGATGGATGTCAGGGCAGACAGGGAAGGAAGAGGAGGTGCGAAACATCTACCTGCGGGCTTCGACAATGTTTGTCCCAGTGAGCCGACCCGGTATCCGAATGCAGTGGGCCTACTTTGAAGAGAGCACCGGCCGACCTCAGATCGCTTTGGACATTCACGCTGCTATCCTCTTCAAGCTTCCCGACTGCGTCGAGGTCATTGTGTCTTGGGCCAATGTTGAGCGAAGGCAGAACGGCATTGAGGCAGCCATTCAAGTTTACAAGGACCATATCGATGCTCCCACCGTGGACATCTACACCAAGGCTGCGCTGGTGGCAGAATGGGCAATGCTGCTGTGTAAAGCTAAGGGTGCAGTCGAAGAGGCTCGGGCCGTGTTCCTTAAGAATGTGCAGTGGTACGCAGACAGCCGATTGTTCTGGGACCGATGGTTCCAGTTTGAATTGGAGCAGCCAACGAGCACCGAAGCCGAGGCCAAGCAGGGCGAGCGGGTGAAGCAAGTCTTTGACGAACTTAGAGAGCGCAGCCGCCTCTCACCATCCTCTAAAAAGGAGCTGGCACAGGTGTACCTCAACTACCTGGTCCAGCGCGGTGACAAAGACTCCATGAAGGTGTTCTTGCAAGTTGATAGGGAAATGTTTGGGTAAGTACCAACCCCTTGCGCATGTTCTAGGCACAAGACAGTTCTAACTAGGTTATAGTCCATCATCAGTTGCGAAGTTGTCGAACGGCGCAGAGAGTGCCAAGGAGAATGGTGCCGCTCAAGGCGAACTCGACGACGCAAGTAAGCGGAGGGCAGAGGCTCGGTTCTTGCAGTTTTTCGAGACCCACGGAGAGCCCGACCCGAATGCACAGGGCACTGCGGATTTCAACTAGAAGATGTATTGGAAGAACGGGATACGGCTACGAGAACAGGAGCTTGAGGCGCTCGATTTGAGACGCAAGGGTAGAAACATCGTGTAGTATAATACTTGGAGCCTCTGGGAGTAGCAAGGCAGGCTTGGATGCAAGCAGCAGGCGGAGGGTGTACTTAATACCTCGGGGCCCAGACAATTGACAAATTCAGTTACCTTTTGGCTATCTGCACTTGTGATACGAGATCGTGATGCGTTAAGGGACCTGGGACGTGGACTCCACAAGCTTGGTTGTTCCGGTTTTGCTCATCATTCCGAAGTTCAAATCGACAACGCCCGAGACAGGATTGAGTGCGCAATGACGGACGGGTAGGAGGAAAGGGTTGAGGTATGAGTGCATGTGTAATAACTCTATTAACCTGAATACTATTTTCCAAGATCCATTATTCATATTACTGTGTTTATTTGACTTATTTGGGGGCTATATACTGATGATATTGAACGGGGTCGAGAAACCCAAAGAACTAGATACATCGACCTTGCTACCTTTTACTCGCTCCATCTAACTCAACTGGGCTCCTGGGTGGCAACTCGTAACTCCCAGTGTGTTGATATCCACTCTCAGGCCACTGAAACTGACGCTGTGCGACTTCTCTTGCAAATTGCACTTCCATCTCATCGGCTGCGGCTTTCTTGGCCTTTCGATTTCTCCACCAAAACCAAGCACCTAACAAGCCGGCGGCGACGGCAGCTACAGGAATCCCAACACCTAGACCGATTGCTAGACTTGAGGTGTTGTTGGCATCACCTGCGCTGCTTGACTCTTCTGCTGCTGAGGATGAAGTTGAAGTCGCAACTGATGCGGTTGTAGTCGATTCACTCGCAGATGTGGTGGCAACAGTTGAGCTGGTAGCAACAGTCGTCGAGCTGGTAGCAACAGTTGTCGAGCTGGTAGTGGTCTCCTCTTTCGTTCGGAAAGTGGCCGCCGTACGTTCTGGACCGTACGAGTAGGTTGTGCTTGGGGCGCTGTCTGCTACCTGGCCGTCGTTGTCGAGGAAAATGCCCTTCCCGTTGTCACAGCAGTGGCTATCGTCGTCGCAGCAAAGAGATCCGTCGGAGCAGGCGTTTACGCGAGGGAGAATGCCGGTGGTCTCATCTTATCACAGAGTTAGTAAGGACGCACTGTCAGTCGTATTGTCCATGTCGCCCGCCTCTCAACGGAGGCTTCTTGCGTGTGGTTTAGGGACAATACCCTGCAATGAAGGCTGGATAATTCGAGACTACTCACTATAGAGACAGATTTGCGCGCATGTGCCCGAATCGTATGGGTCGATGGCACAAGGGCCTCTCAAAAATGTACTGGCGCCGTCGTTGGGCTTGTGACACAGCCGATTTGACAAACACGTCGCATCAACACCGCAGCAAGCATTGGAGCCAGGGCAGCGTGTGTTGTTTGGATATGCGAGCCCCCCGTAGCCATAGCATGTAATGGTCTTGTCACCATACACTGTGGACTGGCCCCAGGCGAGCAATAAGGCCAAGGCAACCGGGAAGAGCAACATGATGGAGGCCAAGGGGAAGAAAACAAACGCCTTGGAGTATCAACAAGAGGGTTTCAATTACGGAGAACTGCAGTGAACGAGAGACGAGAGATGTTGGAGAAAACTACGGATGCAACGGGACACGGGTGTTAACGTGTTAATCACGCTCTCCCAACAGCAGCTGAAGAGACTCCTCCTTGGCTCAAACAAGCGATGCTGGGGTTACTCAAGGCTGGATCGAGCAGGCCAGGACCTGCGGCGCCTAAGCAATCGCTAATTGGCTAACAATTGGGGTTGTTGGTTGTGTCGTTGGAAGCATCCGGCCTTGTTCGTATACGGTCAGGTCCTGGTGAGTTCTGATTGATCAATACGTGGGCTTGTTGGTTGACAGACTCTCTCTGAAACGGGGGGCGCTCAGGCTAGTACTTCGTAAGGCAGACCCGACATGATGTGGAACGGGATGGCACAATCCTGCAGATTGATGAATGAGTACGGATGGACACAGCCCCTGTTTTATATGTTCGTTGAAGGGGCCTGCGAAGTTTGTGAGTTTGGAGTTTGTGAGTTTGTGAGTTTGGAGTTTGGAGTTTGGGAGTTTCGGAGTGAGTGAGTGATTTGAGTGATCGAGTGGATACCACTTAAACCCAATTCCGAAAAGTGGCGGGATCGTCCGTTCTGGGCGCGGCTGCTCATCCCTGTCGACCAGCGGCTATGAGGCTGACACTATTGGTTTAGACCCTGCGCCTTGAGATAAGCACAGAACGAGGCGTCAGCTTGGTGGATTTTCAATAAACGTGTGCCCCTGGTGTAAACGCCTTCTCCGGCTGCAGTATAAATGGAGTGATTCGGTCTCTTTCGAGTCAGCAATTCACAGCATCGACTCCCTTCGTAAACGCGCAAGGCTTCAGGGGACAGGGATACCCTGGTGGGCAATCGGTTTGGCCAAACGCAATGATCGACCGGGCGTAGTTGTCAGTGGAATTGCCGCTATGTATTGGCTCGATTCTCTGCTTGGTGGGGCCTCGCCACGAATCCCTCTATCACGGCATCGCCAGCCGAGTGGCGGAGAACCTGGAACCTGCGCTGCGTGAAAGGCGTCGTAATCAATTGCATTCCAACATTTGACGCCCCACTGGCGGCCGACAAAAGGAAATATGAGATCAAGTCACCAGCTGGCATGATGCCCAACAGGTGTCCGATTGAAGGGTGAATATAAACATCTGATTAGAAAGATACTGGCTATTCCACAGGCTTTTCTTTTTGTTTGTCCTTCATTCTACTGTAAGCTGACCTGCATATGTTGTTGGTCTGCCTCCCTCTCTCCCTCCACCCACCTGTCCACTGCTTTTTAGGCTCCTCTCTATACGAGCTTCTCGTTCTCTTGTCGCGTGTGCTTCTGCTCCCTCGATCATCTTACGACCTTATCCCTCGCGTCGCCATGTTACGAATACCGGCCATGCTCCGACTCAACGCACACTCGATCCAAATCGCCGCCGCTATATCCTTCCTCTGGCTGTTCCTGATCTTCGCTTTCCGATATCATGATGCGACCGGTGCATTTCCGTCTGTGAAGACGCCCAGCAACAATCCGAGTCGCATTGCGTTTCCCAACTCCCCCAGCCTGCAGAGCTTCAGCCCGATCGAACTGGGCGCCCGTTACTTTCTGGACTATCCCCTTGGCTCGCCGTACAAGGAAGTCTTTGGCGAACTCGGCCAGCGTGCCGTCGTGCTTCGATCGTGGATCGAGGAGCTGGAATCGCATGTTGAGGAGTCGGCTGGCAACGACAAAGAAGATTCACGGAAGGCCATCGCGGAACTCGTCGTGCAAGTCACCGAGTCTCTCTTCCCTTATCTAAAGCCTCAATCGACCGAACCTGTCCAATATTCCCCGCCCCTGTCGGCCATCCGAGATCGACTTGGCCTTTCAACCGATACCAACACCTCCATTATTCCTCAGAGCACCGGAATTGTCATCCCCACGGGTGACAAAACTCTGCGCTTTGCCTGCCATCTGATCGCATCATTGACGCGCGTACTCAAAACTCAGCTCCCGATCCAGATCGTCTACGCAGGACCCGAAGACTTATCACAAAAGGGAAAAGATGCGATCCAGAAGGCGGGGGATGGCAGGGAGATCGAGATGCTCGATATCCTCACTGTCTTTGACGATAGGACGTTGCAGTTGGCTCATGGAGGGTGGGCGATCAAGCCATTTGCGGCGCTGGCGAGCCGCTTTGAGCAAGTGATCCTCCTCGATGCGGATACTGTCTTTCTGCAAGACCCTAAAGAGCTCCTCAACCAAGATCAATACCAAGAGACAGGCGTCATGCTATTCCACGACCGCCTCCTTTGGCAAGGCGGCTTCGCCGAACGGCAAGACTGGTGGCATGAACAAATCAAGCACCCGAGCAACGAGACTGCAAAATCGCTTGTTTGGACGGAGCGTTACTCAGAGGAGGGTGACTCTGGACTCGTCGTTGTTGATAAGTCCCGCCTTGATGTTTTGATTGGTCTGCTCCATATAGGATGGCAGAACTCGCATGATGTACGGGAGGAGTGGACTTACAAAATCACATATGGTGATAAAGAGACGTGGTGGATTGGTTTTGAGGCCACCGAATCAACCTATACCTTTTCACCCCACTACGGCGGCATGGTGGGCTGGCTAGTGGAAGCTGAAGAGAAAAACCAAGAGGAGGAGAGCGAACAAGAAACCAACAACGCGAGGAGAGATGGTGGGCTTCAATCTAAGCCCGAAGTACGCGTGTGCAGCTTTGTTATTGCACATGTCGACCAGAGAGAAAAGTTGCTATGGTATAACGGCGGGCTGTTAAAAAACAAGATCGTCAACCAGACGGCCTTCGAGGTGCCAACGCACTGGATGATTGACCAACATTGGGTCAAGGGCGCCTCGAAGCAAGATATGAGCTGTATGGTAGGGACCGAGGTGAGCACGTTGTCAGAGCACGAATCGGATATCCTCAGTCGTTCGATTGCGGTGGCGCAGGAGGTTGATGAAAAATTGGGTTTAATATCATGATAGAAGGTGGCAAGCCTCGATGAGGAAGCCTAATGTATGAATAGACGGCGTTTTCATTTCAATTTTCCCGTTAGCGAGACCCCCATCTGATTCCCAGTTCGTTCAGTTCTCTCCGTTTCAACCTGATCCAACTTCGTCGCCTCAATCTGGCCTCGATCCACCAACCCAGCAGCTCATGATCCAGTCCAATCGGCAAATGAAGACTTCCGAAATGGGTGCGCCCGGCCCACACGGGGCATTACTAGGCAACGAGTTGACTGTCCGTACCATAGCTGTCAGCGCAGCATCAGATATATTCGTAAATACTAAAGACGAAGTAGATATCGGCCAAATACCGTATATTTGTGCTTTCCATGAGAAGGTGACTGTTAAGCCCCACGGGTTCCAAGAAAGCAAGGCAGGCTGCATCGATAGAAATGCTCGAAGACGAAGAAGCCGGGGTAGACATACTACTAAAGGCGTTATTCATCTCTGCTATCGGCAGGGTATAATACGGGTCCTAGTTCGAAGTGTTGCTGCGTTCCATAGAGCTGGTGTGAACGATAGCTAGTAGAGCGAGCGCGGATAGTGTGGGGCCTTGAGGTATTGGGCATTGTCTCCAAAGCTATTTTAATGGCATGGGAAGTTGGCCTGCCTACTGGAACGGAACATAGGCTTTGTATATCCTACGGTTCAAGATGAGGTTTCAGTAACGGGCACCATTGTTGGACACAGTGGTGAGGACGAAGGCGCAAGGCAAGGGTAAATATGCAGCAGCTGGATTGGCTCGATAACTGGATCTTCTGGCACCAGTGTGTTGAAGCGGAAAGACTTGGCTCATGAGATGACACCCTCCGAAGTGAGGTCAGTCAAGTGGGACAAACACAGCTCAGTGATAACAAGAGAAGAATGCCTCCCATCTTTAGTTCTTGATTTGGCGAGTTTGCTGTCGGGAGATGCAACCGAAGCCTGGGTTCTTTACTTGTGAATGGACGAAATAAGGCATTCGCAACCGCGAGTCTACTGCAGACTATTCGATGCAGCTCACTCGGGTACCAGTCTCTTAAGGGAAAGTCTCGGCGACGCTTACCATTGGTGCGTGGATGCGTGGAGGAGACCGCCTCCACGAGGCCGGAGTCAAGCGGAGGATTTTCGGGGATGGAGCTCGGAGGAGGGCGTCTGACGGGGGCTGTGAGCTTTTTCTCAGAGGAGCGGGATGCCGCCGTCCGCCGAGCCGCTTCCGGCGGCATCCGAGCCGCTCGCTATTGGGCGGCGGCCATAGCTGCAAGGGTTGGGCTGAATCTGGGGCAGACGAACAGAGCGAGAAACGTGGGAGATGAGATTCAAAGCTGGGGAGACGAGGAGATTTGACCCACCGTGCTGGCCATCCTCATCATTGCTGTGACGTCTACGGGTGGACCACCTCACGTCTTTTAAGAGTTGGCGGTGGTGGTTTATTAGTGCACAGTATGAAAGCACACGGGTCGGTTGAGCATCACTTTTGAAGCCGAGTATCGGAGGCACCGTTCTTGATTGTAAATCAGAGCAAAACGAACACGGGCCGGCGTCGGCATTGACCCTCGGTAAAGACATCGGTTCGGGCGACATCTCACGGATGACGAGAAAGTCAACAGGGGGCAAGAATTTGCACAGCACCGTCGACACATTGTCATACTGTATCTGAGAACGCCGAGCACAAATCCGAGTAAGAAACACGGCCAATTGCCGGCCCCTCCAGTGAATAAACACAGTATGAGGATGGAGGCAGACGTAATCGTAATTGAGTTCTCGGCGAGTCCCACAATCCATCATGGTCGGGGAGCAGATGACAAATCCAGCTCGGAATATGCATGGCAGGTTTCTCTTTTTTGATACCCTGCTTGGTGGGTTCCGCTAGGGCGGTTGAAAGTACCGGACCTGGTGGGCACGACATTTGGGACGAGATAAGGCAAATTCAGCAGAGAGGACTAGCCGAGGGACCAGGCTCGGAATAACAGCAATGGGCTGGAGTTGGGAGATGTCGTGATAGTGAACCAGGCTCGAGTCATTGTGCGGGGGGAGGGAAGGGGAGGGGACCATGAATGATCTGCTGCGACTCCATGGCCTCCGGAGACCAAGGAACGTGGGGATAATTGGGACCAAGATTTAGAATCCAGGGTCCTTTTTCTGTGTGTGATGTTTTCCTTCTTATCTACGCACCCAGGTTGCGTGCCTCGAATTAGGTCCCCTCCACATCATTCGATGTTCCCCCGGCCGCCGTTCCCTCCGTGGCCACATGCCGAGAGCATTCCGGGGACGCGAGAGCGCGAGGCATCTCTCGGTCTAAAGCGCCCACGCTATCAGCAACTGCGGCAGCAATGACAGCAGACAGCAGACAGTACCTTACCTGCAGGCTAAGTCGCAAACGGGAGTTAAACCAATTTGTCCGCCCCTCCTCTGGACCCGTTGCTCCAGGCCCGGAGCCCCTGTATCACTGTCGTCTAATCCCCCGATCGAGCACTTCGTCGTTAGCCCACCTGCATTTTTTTTCTCGCGGTTGGCCTCTCAGAGCTGGCCGAACAGCCATGACCACGGCCCACCAGCCCCAGCGACTCCACAGAGCGTTGCCCCCCCACCATGGCCGCCACGGGTCCGCGACGGCGCTGGGCCACTCAGCGAGTCCCAATTTCAATGCAAGTCGCAGAGCGCAGGGTTCCTCAGACGTGCCTGTCGGGGTTGCGCTGCGGACCGCCGAGGAGAAGGTAACTCGGCTCCTCCACAGTGACGAAAGTGACATGGGGAGGTGACCCGGCTCCCGTGCGCCCTCTCCCTCTCCCGAAGCCGAAGCCTCGCAACTGCCAGCGGCCCCAGCCAAGCTCGCAAGGGTTTCCAGGGTTCTCAGGGTTCTGTTCCAGTGGGGAGATGGCCTGCCAGACAGCTGTCGGCCACTCGGCCACGGCGTGTCAGGACGGCTTACATCCTTCGCTGGGGCTTTCCTGCCGCCTTCGGAAAACAAGGGCATCGGGGAGTTCTTCGCGTTGACTCGGCGGCAGCTGCCCGTGTCCCCTTGCCCCAAACACCCGGCACTCCCTTCCCTTTCCATTTCTATCTCCCAATCTCTCCTTCCTCTTCTTCTCTCCTTCCCCTCCCTCCTCCGTGAAGCTTCAATTCTTCTTCATCCTCTCTCACATCCCGATATCATATCAGATTAAAGGTACGTACATCTGCAGCGGCGTCTTCGAACTCCAATCTCTTTGCTGCTGCCCTCACAAATCCCTATCAGCTCCGTACAAGCTCCGCGCTCCTGCCGATTGCCACTCTCTCCCCTCACCATCCTCTTACATTACATACCCGGGCCCTCTTCACCCTTCTCCAGCACCGCAGAACCCCAATCTCACACTGACACCTTCACAGATGGCTTCCGCATCCCGTCAGTTCGTCCGCGCGGCGACTCGCGCCTCCACCCGCAGCGCCTTCTCCGTGGCTCCCCGCCAGGCTTTCCGCCAGAACGGCCGCCGCTACTACTCCTCGGAGCCCGCCCAGAAGTCCTCTTCCCTCCTGGTCTGGCTGACTGGTGCTGCTGTCGCCGGTGGTGCTGGTTACTACTTCTACGCCAACGGCTCTCCCGCCGCTGCTTCTGCCAAGGTCGTCAACCCCACCAAGGAGGACTACCAGAAGGTCTACAATGAGATTGCCGCCCGCCTCGAGGAGAACGACGACTACGATGACGGTAGCTTTGGCCCCGTCCTTCTCCGTCTCGCCTGGCACGCCAGCGGCACCTACGACAAGGTCACTGGCACTGGTGGTAGCAACGGTGCTACCATGCGATTCGCCCCGGAGTCTGAGCACGGTGCCAATGCCGGCCTGATCTCCGCGCGCAAGTTCCTCGAGCCTGTCAAGGGTTGGTTCCCTACCTGATCGTTAACTTCAATGTTTCCGCGACGCTGACTAAATCGCACAGCCAAGTTCCCTTGGATCACCTACTCCGATCTCTGGATCCTCGGCGGTGTCTGCGCCATCCAGGAAATGCAGGGTCCCGCTATCCCCTACCGACCTGGCCGCGCTGACGGCGATATCGCCGCCTGCACTCCTGATGGTCGTCTCCCCGACGCCACCAAGTCCCACGGCCATCTTCGAGACATCTTCTACCGCATGGGCTTCAACGACCAGGACATCGTTGCCCTATCTGGTGCTCACGCTCTCGGCCGCTGCCACACCGACCGATCTGGCTTCGACGGCCCCTGGACCTTCTCTCCCACTGTCCTGACCAACGACTACTACCGTCTCCTGGTCGAGGAGAAGTGGCAGTGGAAGAAGTGGAACGGCCCTGCTCAGGTAAGATGGCACTGAATGCCGAACGGCAATTACAAAGGACATCGATGTGCTAACCTACTGCCTTCAACAGTACGAGGACAAGGCCACCAAGACCCTGATGATGTTGCCCACTGACATGGCTCTTGTTGAGGACAAGAAGTTCAAGCCTTGGGTTCAGAAGTACGCCAAGGACAACGACGCCTTCTTCCAGGACTTCTCCTCCGTGGTCCTCCGTCTGTTCGAGCTCGGCGTCCCCTTCGCCGCGGGAACCGAGAACTCCCGATGGACCTTCAAGTCCAGCCACGACTCTTAGATTCCAACTGCCCGATGATGCAGGGTTTGGAAAGATGGACAGAGTTATAGAATTTGCGGGCTCCAAATTTGGCCTAGATGTAGACCGATACAAGTGAGGGAACGATATCCGGAGTTTTGACTTGTAACTATCAAGAGCAGGCTAGGTAGCCGGAAGACTCATGAAATTTTGTGAACCTACTTTGAGTTGCGCTTACGCAGTTGGAGCGCTCTTCGTCCTCTTGTAGCACACCATAAATTTTCCTTGTTTGTCATCATCAAAGCCCCGATTGTATCTCGTGACATCATTCAGACGGGACGTGTGCGGTGGTTTTAAGCGTCTGGAGCCATGTTGTCTAACAGTGGCCCATTTCGGCTTTGCTCGACTGTCAGCACCTCAACAAGGCTCAACAGCTAATACTAGCTTAACTGGGGAGAGTTGAAGTGGATGATGCCTCCGTCCCTACTCTGCACTCCTAGTGGTGGCTGTCTGTGGCTCGATACGTTCACATTTCTCTCGTGAGCCTCAGGCCGTCCTTATTTTGGACGTTGAGTTGTAGACTTTGGGGGTCGCATCGATGTGAGGGGGATCGACAGGGCTGTGGATGTTGGTTGGCTCGGGTATTTCGTTGCTCGTGGTCACCACGTTTTCGGAGTCTATATTGCGGCACTGGCCGTCATTGACTGGGTGGGGGACGTGGTGGCGCATTCGAGGGTGGCGGGCTAATGACTTTAGGCAAATATCGTGACCCTGTGGTTTCACCCGTACAACTCGGGGATGCTACAAAATGGATCTGTATGCCGTTGGCAGGCTACTGCTCGGTTTGATGGAGATGGTATATCGCTGCAGTGTGCCATAGTGGAGAGACCTTCATTCTCACCTCAGACTTGGACTTCCAATAATTAATCACGAGTTTTGCATACCATGAAGTCTATGAGACTATTGGTCTTACATGCCCTAGACGTACCATGGCTCTCCGCAGTGTGATATGTTGCCGTTGCAGTGAGTGTTGAATAGAGCACAAATAGGGTTATGAGGTTGGACATAGTCTCTCTATACACTACATCAGTGTTTCGGGGAACTCTCGGCGTTCGCTGGCCCGTTTTGTGCTAGGAATCAGTCGGTTGTAGAAGCCATGGCGATAGTGCCGGCCAATGTATGTGCATTAACCTCGTGAATTGGCTCGACTTGGTTGTGTGGATTGGGGTTTGAGTCAAATTTGGTCGTGTCTATGCTGCTCACCATTGACCGTGTTAGAATACCCGTGCGAAGCAGCAGAGACACGCTCGGCCAGTTATCTGGGAGGAACAATTGGAAAGCTCGTGCATGAGGCTCTGCCTGTATCGTTGTCGGATGTTAGCAGGGATGCCCTAGAATCACGTATTGATACGTACGATAGTGGAGAAACCCTACTAATTTGGTCCTCTTAATGAGTCTAGAACTCCATGGCTACTCCGCATACGATCCCTGACGATCAGATCGATCAGTATGCGATAGAACATGGTACTCACCTTACGCACCTGTCAGGAAAAGGGTTTTACGGCTAAATCTAGCTTGTGTACCCTCCGCTTCAAGAGGATGGAAAATAAAGGATCGGAAACCGCTGTGTGGTGGAGAATCGAATTGTTGGTGGCATTGGTCATCAGATCCTCCATCGAAGTTATCTCAAATCCTGACTCCACCACATAAACTATCTGACTAGCAACAGAAGTTTGGCAGAGCACTACTCAAAATAGTGGCGAAATGGTAACATATTTATGTAGTAGTTACTATGCCCGAATTTTAAGTCTCCATATGATCTCCATGGCAGTTATTCGGTGCTGCGATGGGAGGTACTCGAGCTATAGTTAGCTACGAAGCTCGACCTGACGGACATGACGGCTACCCGAAAGAAAGAAGCAGCGAGCTGGAGATCAAAGCTACATTGTGGTGGGCTTATTGCTCTTTGGCAGTCTTAATGGATCATTCTGGGGCTAGATGCGTGTTAATTTTATCCCCACCCGCTGACCTAGGTAAATATTCGGGAATTTAATACGATCACCCTGCTCTGTGATGTCTAGGTTTTCCCTTCGGGAAGCTCACAGCCAACTCTCAGCACTGTGGATCTTCCATCCTCCGCTGAAGTATCTCTCGAACAGCACTCGAAAGCCAAAGACCCATCGCACGGGTTTGGGATTTGAGGCGTAGCCAGGCCGTGTTCACAGTTCAGTTGCCAACCTGAGGCAAATGTGGATTGAGGCGGTTGAAATGATGTCCGAAGGCTATTGTTTCAGATTAGGAGCAAGTGTGTGAATAGGGTAGATGATGGTGAAGACTTGGATATCTTGGAAACAGCCTCTCGATGGCACTGTTGAGACTCGGTCGAGAGAAATAGTTTCACCCGTTTTTGATAGTCGGAGAAAATCATGCTTATTACCAAGTGACTTAAGGTTTGCACGTTAGCAATGAATTGCTCAGTGTTCGCGTAACATGGAAAGTATTAATTCGGGCCATCCTCTTTGCCGCATCTGATACGGGCGAAGTGGTGGCATTCTCATGTTGTCCTTGAACTACTGCGCTATCGACAACCAGCAACCTCAAAATGTGGCAACGAAACTCAGAGAAATCGCATCTCTTTTATTGCAAGCTCGACTTAGAGCCAGACCAAGGCAACTATGAAAAGTAGGACTGAAAAGTCTTCCATCAAGGCCCATGATTCTGGCGCTGTTGTTGAATCCCGAAAACTCTCCGCGTCTACAGCTAATCATGCTGCGGACCGTCAGTTTGTCAGCTCAGCATCACGCAGCAGCTTATTCATCAATGGACATGATTGCGCCGAGGAGGTGGGAAGTCACCAAGGGAACCTTGAGAATTGGCACTAATAGGCGGGTTTGCAACGGAGATGGCGACAATCCCCACACCACTTAGAACGGCACCTCACTACGCCCTACGCCCCTGGAAAAGGTCCACCGAACGCTGCTCTTAACTGGCGTGTATTGGCTACATGTTGGAGTTCTTTAGATCGCACGTCATTGTGCTTATAAATCCATCTGTACACCGCATACGATATACCGTAGAATGGAGTTAGAGGAGAGATCGACGCGCCTTTTGAAGCGGGCAGCATGAGAGAAATCAGTGTTGGACCATCCATTTCTTAAGCCCGATTTCAAAGCCATCGATTGCGTGCAAGCCGAGGAGCTACTTAATCCCCCTCTCTCCAGCTCTGACTTGGTTGGTGTTGCTGAGTTGAACCATTGACAAACCATAACCCCTCCTTCTTAGCCCCTCTCCTCGCCAAGAACAAGCTCGCTGAGTCGCTCTTGGGTAACGAGCTGTTTCGAGAAGACCAAAATCTCACACTTTCTGCACGTCACGTAGCAAAACAGCCCAGTCATGACCCTGTCAGACATTGAAAACAAGGCCGCCCCCGGCGTGCCGTACTTTACTCCGGCGCAGGAGCCCGCGGCCGGGTCGGCGCTGGACCCCGCATCGGCTCCGACTCTCTTCAAGCCCCTCCGCATCCGCGGCGTCGAACTTCACAACCGCTTCGTGGTCTCGCCCATGTGCACATATAGCGCTCGCGATGGCTACCTGTCCGATTTCCACCTCGTCCACCTCGGTCAATTCGCGCTCCACGGGGCCGCCCTGGTCACCGTCGAGGCCACGGCTGTCGAGCCCCGCGGCCGCATCTCCCCCAACGACTCGGGTCTCTGGGAGGATGGCCAGATAGCGCCGCTGAAGCGCATCACCGACTTCATCCACAGCCAGAACTCAAAGGCTTCTATCCAGCTTGCCCACGCGGGACGCAAGGCCAGCACCCTGCCGCCCTGGGTCGGCGGCACAGTTAACAAGACCCTTGCTCCCGAGAGTGTTGGCGGCTGGCCGGAGGACGTCGTTGGCCCCAGTGCTATCCCATTTGCAGAGGATCATGCCAATCCCCACGAACTGACCGTGGAGGAGATCAAGGCCATGGTTCAGAGCTTTGCAGATGCTGCCGTCCGAGCTGTCAAGGCTGGATTCGATGTCATTGAGATTCACGGCGCGCACGGCTACCTGCAAACCAACTTTCTATCACCCACTTCCAATGTAAGTTTCGCATAAATTCACAAACAAATAACCAAGTATTCTAACAGCATTGCAGAAAAGGACAGATCAGTACGGTGGCAGCTTCGAGAACCGAACCCGCTTCCTGACCGAGACGATCCAGGCAGTGCGGGCCGTCATCCCCAAGGAGATGCCCTTGTGGCTCCGTGTCTCCGGTACGGAATGGGTAGAATGGACCGGCGAGCCCTCATGGGACATCAACGAGACCATCCGCCTGGCCAAGCTACTCCCCGCACTGGGCGTCGACGTCCTCGATGTCAGCAGCGGCGGCAACAACGAGCAGCAAAAGATCAAGGTGACGCAGACGTTCCAGACAGACCTGGCGCGCCAGATCCGCAACGCCGTGCGCGCCGAGGGATTGGACCTGCTCATCGCCACCGTGGGCGTCATCACGGAGAGCGAGTTCGCCAAGTCGGTCGTGCAAGAGGACCAAGAGCCCTCGGCGGACCTCGTCCAGGCGGCGAGGCAGTTTTTGCGAGAGCCGAACTGGGTGCTCAGCGTGGCGCATGAGCTGGGCGTGCCGGTGAAGTGGGCCAACCAGTATCACCGAGCTCCGCCAAAGCCCAAGGGCCGATCGCAGTCGTGAGTGTCAGCCGGGCATGATTTTGAGCGTTTCATAGACTAGCGCGCCATAGAGAATCGAAACCAAGGGTCCTACGCTTAAACATGTTTAAATAGTAACAAGTGACACGAACCAAGTGGCTGGTTGAGGAACTCCTCTGGAATATCAACCGTTTTTTGATCTCGGCTTTTGGAGGGAGATGCCTCTATTATTTGACCTGACCAAAAAACATGTCGAGAAGCGCCTAAAGGAAAGTCATAGTAAAATATCCAAATAATTTTGTGCACCCTGGAGTGTTTGCTTGTGATGTAAGGGTCCGGGGCAAACATCTTGAGGCCAACGGTGTTATCGGAGGAATCTCTCCCACTGCTGACCGCTTTGGGGCCATCGGAGGTTGTAGCGCCGCCGGTTAAGTGGGGGCCATCGGAGGGGACGAGCTTGTTTAGCGGAGTACTCTGGGCGTTGGCAGTCAACGGGCGAGGCGGAGGGATGATGCAATCAGACCGAGGTACATGCCAGCCCCGAAATCTGTTATTCTATTGCATAAAGCGGCATCTGTACGAGCGGCCAAAAATAAAGCCCCGGGTAGGAAGTCGCACGTATATTTCCTGGAGCAGAAATCGGGGGAGCCGGAGCTGGAATGCCCGTGTTAGCTGCCCGGGTACAGTAGGGGTACCTGGTACATTGACAAAGCAAACACGTCGCCTGGGCGCATCATGACGACGCTTCTGGAGCGTCCTCGCCGTGGCAAACGTGTTCTTGTGTGGATATGTTTCCCTCAGTTTAAAAAAGAATAATACGGGCATGGGGAAATGGCCGAGCAATCTCTGTTGCACGGATTTCTAAGCCTCAGTCAATAAAGGCGCGGCCATCTGACAACTAACGCATCCAGGCCCTGCTGAGTCGATAGTTCCAACGAGGCTGGGTGGGTGGGGACCCAAGCTCTAGAGCTATCACAGACAACCAACGGTGGCCAAAACCTTCGACGTGGCCTCTTTGTAATCAGGATTTTGACTTCCGTGTCTCAAGTTGCCCAGGTAGGGGACGGCCTGTCTTACGAGCGAAGGAAGCCCATGTGTGTGGGATGGGAGGGCCGGGAGGAATGGGGCACTCGATTGAGAAGGCTGATGGCACGAGGTCCCCTCACAGAGTCCCTCGCATGCGCGCGCGCAAGGAGCTGCAGCAGCTGCGCCGGCACTGGGCGCGGGCGGAATCGGCAGGATATGCAGGGCGGATGCTCCTCCTACGCAGTAGTTCCACGGATGCTGCTACACGCTGGAGCCAGATTTATGGAATTATGGATTTGCAGCGAGCGGGATGGCGGGATCATGGACTGATTGACTGGGCCAACTGATGGATGGTCTGGTGGACTTGGCGATCCCGGGCCCCAAACCAAGAGCGCTTGGGGGGCTGTGGCGCACGCGCAGGGCACCTCGGCCTATGAGAGCCCCTGTAGCCGCCCCCCCTGGCGGATTCCTGTAGCGGCGTAGCTGCCCCTGTGCCCGCTGGGGCCAGCGGCTGGGGGAGCACTGGCGGCTGCTGGAGGGGTCGAGGTGGCCACTGTTTGCCTGTTTGCCTCCACCCGCCATCATGATTCAGCCGTGGGAAGGGGACACTTGTTCAATTGACCAGCTGCAGCCGTCTCAGAGCAACCTCCAGCCTTCCACCACGGCCCGCCAGCCTCAGGTACAAAACCTCCCCCGTCCACATCTCCGGCTGCCACTTTCTCCCTCCTCCCCCATCTGTCCTCTTGCCTGCTTATCCAGCGAGACGTCTTTTTTCTCTTTGCAGGATACCCACTCCCAATTGACAGCCCATCATGCATCACAAGCGCATCGCCTGCGGCCTCATGGCAGCTCTTGCTGCCGTCGCCTCTGCCGCTGAGGGCTCTGACGTCGAGCAGCTGACCCAGGCCACCTTTGACGATTTCGTCAAGGAGAACCCCCTGGTCCTCGCCGAGTGTAAGTCTATTATCCGTCCATCTTTGGCTATCTCTTCTAGCCATCTCCCCGCACCTGCTGACCGAGATCTCAACAGTCTTCGCTCCCTGGTGCGGCCACTGCAAGGCCCTCGCCCCCGAGTACGAGGAGGCTGCCACCACCCTCAAGGAGAAGAACATCCGCCTCGCCAAGGTCGACTGCACTGAGGAGGCTGACCTCTGCAAGTCCTACGGCGTTGAGGGTTACCCCACCCTCAAGGTCTTCCGTGGCCTTGACAACGTCACTCCCTACAGCGGTCAGCGCAAGGCTCCTGGGTAAGTTTGCCATTGCACTTCCGTCAATATGCACTGTATGCTAATCGCCACATAGCATCACCTCCTACATGATCAAGCAGTCCCTGCCCGCCGTTTCCATCCTCACCAAGGACACCCTCGAGGAGTTCAAGACCGCCGACAAGGTCGTCGTCGTTGCCTACCTGGCCGCCGATGACAAGACCTCCAACGAGACCTTCACCACCCTCGCCGACGGTCTCCGCGACACCTACCTCTTCGGTGGTGTCAACGATGCCGAGGTCGCTGAGGCCGAGGGCGTCAAGGCCCCCGCCGTCATCGTCTACAAGAACTTCGATGAGGGCAAGACCGTCTACACCGGCTCCGAGTTCTCTGAGACCGAGCTCTCCGCTTTCATCTCTGCCGCCGCTACTCCCCTGGTTGGCGAGGTTGGCCCCGAGACCTACTCCGGCTACATGGCCGCTGGCATTCCCCTTGCCTACATCTTCGCTGAGACCGAGGAGGAGCGCAAGGAACTCGGTGCCGCTCTTAAGCCCATTGCTGAGAAGTACAAGGGCAAGCTCAACGTTGCCACCATCGACGCCAAGAACTTTGGTGCTCACGCCGGCAACCTGAACCTCAAGACCGACAAGTTCCCCTCCTTCGCTATCCAGGAGATCGCCAAGAACCAGAAGTTCCCCTTCGACCAGGAGAAGGAGATCACCTTCGACAACATCGCTCCCTTCGTCGATGACTTTGTTGCCGGCAAGCTTGAGCCCAGCGTCAAGTCCGAGGAGATCCCCGAGACCCAGGAGGGCCCCGTCACTATCGTCGTCGCCAAGAACTACAAGGATGTCGTCCTCGATGACGAGAAGGATGTCCTGATTGAGTTCTACGCCCCCTGGTGCGGTCACTGCAAGGCTCTCGCCCCCAAGTACGACGAGCTTGCCGAGCAGTTCGCCGCTAGCGACTTCAAGGACAAGGTCGTCATCGCCAAGGTTGACGCCACCCTTAACGATGTCCCTGATGAGATCCAGGGCTTCCCCACCATCAAGCTCTACCCCGCCGGTGGCAAGGATGCCCCCGTTACCTACAGCGGTTCCCGAACCATCGAGGACCTCGCTGCCTTCATCAAGGAGAACGGCAAGTACAAGGCCGATGTCTCCGCCAAGGAGGCTGGCACTGAGGAGGCTGCTCCCGCCGCCACCGAGGACGGTGAGAAGAAGGAGGAGGAGAAGGCCGCCGAGGGCCATGATGAGCTGTAAACTTGATGTCACATTAGCACGCAAAAAAGGGCATGTTTGATTTCACGGGCGCGGGTTTGAATGGTGCGCTTATTGGAATGCACCTATGAGGTTTCATAGTTTCCGTCCGTGGCAATATTGGACTCTTTTATGATCACGCACACTTTCTCCAACTGTTACTCGTCCGTTAATGGTATGCGCAGTGAAATGTAATCTGTGACATGTCGCCTTATTGTAATCCGCTAGACCAGACTCGAGAATGCATTGGGATAAACAGTCGTATTCGTAGTGTAGCATAGGTAGGTAGGTAGATACGTACACAAATGGGCTCCCCGCGTTCTCAACGGCTCGATGGTACAATTGGACGATGGGCACCGACGGAACCCTCACTTATTGGTTCCACCCCAACTATCCTGGGAGTTTAGGAGAGCCCGCCCTATCCGATCTTTTATACATTTCCTTGAGCTCCGAATTCCATTACTTCTTTCCCTGGGACTTCTGTTCGAGGTTCTGGACGTAGTTGCTCAGACGGGTAACGGAGGCCTGGAGGGTCTGCAATTGCGCAGTTAGCTTTATGAACACACGGAGTAGCGGAGGAGAAATTGGCCCTGGGGGATAGAGCTTGGGTTTACTCTCTGGTACGTACGTAGATATCCTCGGTTAGCAGGTCGTTGGAGGTCTTGTACTCCTTGAGGAGGTAGCTGTAGGCGGCGCCACCGGACAGGAAGCTGCCGAGGAGGAAGCCGAAGAGACTGCCCACGGGGAAGAGGCCATAGTTAGCGATCCGATCTACAGGTCCGTCGCGGCGCCGAACTCACCCTCCACGGAAAGCTCCCATGGGCTTGCGGGCCGGGAGAGGCGCGGCGTCGGCCATTCGTCGGGCGGAGGTGTGGAAGCTTCGCGCAGCCAGCGCGCGGCTGCTGCTGGATAGGACTCTTGACGCCAGAGACATGGTTGGATCGGGTGGGAGGTGCGTTGTTTTGCGGGAGGATTGATGGAGGGAGCTTGATGCGATGATGGCACTGGCTGTTCGGTGGCTGTCGGGTGGTCGGAATATCTGCCACAAGTGTGGTGGCGCGTGATTGGCTACGTCACGCTGTGCCACAGTGCTGCTGGGAGGAACTGCCCCGGAGCTGGGTGGCGGATTTTCCGGCGCCGTCGTCTAGACGCTTGTGCTGTAACGCCCACTGTAAGTTGACTTGAGTACCGCAAAACTTCACCTGTGCAACTGCTGGTTATCGCCGTCTAAAAACTTCACTTAGGCTGTAACCACAGATATCCGTTCAATGCCACGGCCATCCCCACCTTCTTCACTTGGTTGTCATGACTCTTTTTCTCTGCTAGGCAATCGAATCCTTCCTTCAACGGTGGGATGACCCCCAAGTGGAGGCCGGCCTACCAGCGACGAGGGAGATCATGCGTACTGCAGGGCTGGTGGTGGCTGGAGGCAGCCTTATGCGGCGACCACCATCTTCCGCAGGTCGATGAGGAACGGCGCATATGAAATGGAGATGACGAGTTCCCCAAGCGTCATGGGCAAGGCTTCTGACCTTGTAGAGATACCGCTCTTGGGAGAGTTGCCTTCGGTCATCTGCTGCAACTGCTTCTGGAGAAGCAAGCGGGTCACTCCGTGGGAGAGGGCAATCATGACGTCTTTCAACGGCTTTTGCATCTCGCTTGGAAGGTTTTTGAGTCACTAGCTATTGAACACCCGCTGTATCGTCCAATGGACATCTTTGTTACCAATGTTCCTTGAATAATGGTTCCAGCTGAGCTTCTATCGCCTAAATGGAACATCTTTGTTACTAATGTTCCTCCGAATAATGGTTCCAGACATGGTAAATCTCAAAGGTTTCGTGGGTAGTTAGCTCAAGCAGGGGAAACTATGTCTCTCACTCTTCCAGTGTCAGACGCTGAAGGGTATCTCCCCTTGCGCAGAGTCGCAGACGCTTTTGTCACCGAATACTTCTCCAGTGTCCATCGCACGTACCTCGTCCTTCGCCAGCCCACGTTTCGACGTCTGTACGACCGCCTCTGGGAGCCAATAGGACCCCAGCAGCACACGCATGTGGAGGAGGAACTGGAGGTTTAATACTAAAACAAATAAAAAAGACCAACAGCGAGATTAACAATGCAAACCAAATACCCAGTCTACATAGGCAACAATGACTTAAAAAGGCTCAAACTTTCTAGCCCGACTAGTTACCTCTTGTGATGCCTTGCTAAGCAGTAATAACTTCTATTACAGCAGTTCGAAGTCAAGTCCTAGTATAAATACACACTAAGCTATGACCCCACCCAGCAGCTCGGCCAGGCCAGCCCTCTTTAAATCGATCCAGCTAGAAATATAGCGTCCCTTTAGTGATATAGATGATACTCACAAGCCACATTTCTCACAAGATCCATGAAACAGGGTCCCCAGTGCCACTTATACGGCTATAATACCTTCTATTCCTCATGGTCCACCTAGGATTTGAATACGGCATCCAGATGCTTAAACATTTCCAGCTCCCAACCAATATCCATTGGTGGCTTTCCGACACTAGGGTCAACGTAATGGGTAAGCGGTAGCTATATCCATCATCAGCCTCGTAAACCAAACTTTATATTACATGACTTACAGGAGAGCACACGTTCTTCTTCCACTCCTCGTTCTCCTTAAACTCCTCTTTCAGAACGGTATCGACATACTCATTCCATACAACGGTCATTTCGTCGACTAGAGACGGAGGGACAGCGATGCCAATGACAAGTGCCCTTGGACGAGGATGCAGATTATGCAGGACCGCCCCCAGGGTTTGCGGCGAGTAACGGTAAGGTTCTCGCGTTTCAACGAAATCGATCATAGCAGTCATGACATAGGTAGGCTGATGCTCGGAGAAGATTTTGGGCATAAAGATGATACCGTTCTCCCGTCCCCAGCCGATGACGACTAAAGGGATAGAGCTTGACTCGGGAGAAGTCAAAGAAGACATTGTAAAGAGTTGAATGAAGAAGTGCGGATGTGATGTGGGAGGGAAGTGAAGCGACGACTAGTAATACGAATGGTCGGCTCTGATAGTAAGAGAATTGAGAAGTATTGAGATCTAACACTATCAAAGTGGTTTATATCGACGCTGAAAAATATGGCCATTACAGTTGCTCGGCACTCGGTCCCCCTAGTCCGAGAGTTGTTCCGTTATTCGCGTCTTCGGCGAGGGACTTATGTGCCCATTGTCCCGCACATCATTCCCGAGTCATGTCCATCCAATTACTACCGCTGCATCAGTCAATGCAACATCGGGGCTAGGGAGTGCTGAGGCGTCTTGGGCCGAACAACGCTGCTCTCATCAGATGCCTGCATTGGTAGAAATATTATGGATAGCTATTCTCCCTTTACTAAACCATGTATTTGTCAATGGCGCAGCGCTCGAAGAAAGCCGACATGGAACAGACATCCAGGGCCATCACTCTCCTGGAACCCTTGACCTCAACACCACTTCTGACAGCTCCGGGCCTCTGCGATATCTACAACCGCCTTACTCAATCTGGACAACGATCCCCAGGATATTAGACCCTTATAGTACGTCGTAAGAATTCGCCGACCTCGTCAGGTGTCGCTTCGGCGAACATGTCCACCTAGTCAAGGGATAAATGGAGACAAGTCTTGGCGTAGAAGCTAAACAGCCAGCGTCAACTCCGATTTTTTTATATTCCGAAAGGACGAAACATCGAGGACCGGAGATACACCGCGTTCGGCCCAACCCCTGTTGGCCATTCCGGTACATCCAGCCACACCAATGTTTAAACATGTATAATAACCAGCCAAGACTGCTTCGAAGAAAAAAGAAAAAACGGCCCAAGTCTATCGCGCTCTTGCACCCTAAGGACAACTCCCTCAACTACAACTCTTCAATTCAGAACCGCTGCGACGTCCCGAATCCAGTATTTTGCACCCAGAATGGCTACCAACACCAAGTCGGCTGTGGCAACTGGCCCTTCCAAGTTCGTTTCTCCTTCCCTAACTGTAGCAATTGTTACTAATCGGTTGCTAGTATTATTCTTTTCACTGTGCCTTTGAATGACGAGAAAGTGACGCAGCTCCGCGAAGTCACATCCAAACTCAAAGATGCCAAACTGCGGGAACAGTTTAGCCGGCGCGCAAACACGGTTGGCTATACTCGAGAGAGTATGCAGCTGCAGCCTGTCAGTGATGGCATCACAATGTTTATTGTGATGCTGGAGTTCCCGGGGACCTGGAAGGAGCTGGAGTCGCGTCTTGTGGCGTACAAGGACGATGTTTTTGACAGCTGGTGGAGTGCAAAATGGGTTCCGATTGTTCAGCTGCCAAGTGCAAACGGACATGGTCTTGGTCTTCCTCCGGCTGAAGAAGTATTGAGGTGGTCTAAGGATGAGGCTTCCATGGAATCTTGAAGACTGTGAGGTTCTCCAAGACCTAAGGAAAGATAGATTACAAAGGTATTCTGCCGAGTTTTAATTAGGTCTAGAAAAGAAGGAAGTTGAAGAACGGAAGTGCTGAGAGGTAGATTGTTGACACGGGGGAGCAGTCTCATTCTGTTTACTGTAGATTCTTGAAGGAATAATCGCAAATAGGGAGAGAGGTTTTATCCGGCTAGCTAGGGCCGGACTCGGTCAGGGCTACACGGTTCCTCTCGGTACTGAAGAAAGGAATGTACTACGAAGTAGCGCTACTATGTAACCCCAGATGGGTTCAGTTAGATTATGAATTAACTTAAAAAATAAAAATAGCTTAGAGCGCCTAAACCCAGGAGGAAACGACCGGGATCAGGCCTGTTTTGGTCAACCGGGATGCCTTATTACTAATACAGCAAGCCACTGACTCGTGGGTACTCTGTCTGTATTCGCATCTAAAATACTAATACATCAACATCAACATGCATTGATCCTAAACACTGCAACGATACCACCGCCTTCTAATCCGTTCTTCCATCATTCAAGATGCAATTCTCTTGCACGCATACCGGCTGCTCTCGTTCATACCTGCGGAAAGAACATTTGACACGACACATGAAGTCGCACGAGCGGGCAAAAGAATTTACATGTCGAGAATGCGGCACGAAACTCTCCCGGATGTACGGATCTCTCTCTTCTCTCTTCTCTTTCTCCTCCAGAATCCATTTCGGATTTCTTACGCTATCAGGGACACATATCGCCGCCACATGGCTTCACACGGATCCTCCTTGCCATCCGCCCGTGTTGCTCAAGCCTGTCTGCCGTGTCGCCGGGCCAAGATGAAGTGCGATGGCCAGCAGCCGACTTGCTCCGGTTGCTCAGCCAAATCATTACCATGCGCTTGGCCCGTCTTGGCCAAAGGACAAAACCAGCACACAGAGCCCTCTGCCTCTATCATTCCAGAAAATGCTCCTGTTTCCCCGGAGTCTTCGTCCATGGAAGGTCCCGATGATGCGGAATGTGAGTACGAAAACGACCTATACGACCTCATGCTCCATGGACAAAACACCATGGCGCTCGTCGCCCCGGTAGCGGAATGCCCTGGCAAACTTGCCATGTACGATCGCCTGATCGCCTTCTATCTTCGCACGTTCCATCATCATTGGCCGATCCTCCACGAAGAGAGCATCCGATCGAGACGCGTGCCACAAGTGCTTTTGAAAACTGTCGTCACTATTGGTCTTTACTTGATAGGGAACGCCGAGGCAAAGAAGATGGCAACAGACACCCTGGAGCGTTTTCTCCACAATTCAGGTAACACACTTGTGAGTACTAGACAGGTGGCTGCAAGATTCCATGTTCATCAAGCCATCTCTTCCAATCAACGTATCCCCTACTTTAGAACACTTTCAGTCCGGTTATTCCAGTACTCTGATCAGCTCACAGGCTTCATATGTAACCCTTGGCGAAGCGGGACAGCTTTTCCCTGAGCCGAAGCATCTGTTCGAATTTCAGGCGATACTGCTCCAAGCCATAATGATTCCACGCCTCGCAGGAGAGGGCCTTGCAACAGGCATCATGATTGATTCAATGCTGTCCAGGGTTCTGATGCTTGCTGGCGTTTACGATCAGAACAAAATTGACACGGCGAGCAATCTTGCTGGCGGGCATAATATAGACCCCACGATACTCAGAGAATCTTACCAACGGTACGCTCCTTGCCTGGACACCCCTGACAAAGCGAACGTTCTACCATTCATTCTAACATTGGCCGACTAGTCTGGCCTTATTCCATTTCAAGTTCCATGCCCTGTTTCAAGTTTTCTGTCGGTCAAAGTTCCCCTGGAATAAAATTTCGAGGCTCATCGAACCCTTGGGACTTTGTGTTAAGCTTCCAGTGCTACTTGGAGTTTGGGACCATCAGCCAGTATTATTTCAGGGTGCTGGAGTCGTCGATTCCGGGGATTTTTCAGTTGCTAGCTCGGGGCAGCTCATTAGCGACATGTGCCAAATGGCCATCATGACCGGAGACAAGAAATCGCTTGATCCTGTCGATGCTATCCAACCGGGGCTCGGTACGACGCTGTGGGTTTGGTTGACAAGAACAAGTGACGATGATCCCGATTTTGTTAGACACATTAAGGAAGTTGGATGGGACAGCTTCCGGGATATCCCTGCGTATGCTTCCAATTGATCCTTCACCCAAAATACATATTGCTCAGATCCTGATACTATCCCTGTACACACCGCCCCTGTCTTCGCCTCCCATCTTTCAATTCCAAGGCAAGCCTTGATACATGTCCCCAGAAAGATTGTCCTCGTTCATCTAAGCTTTCAAAACTTCGGAGAGTGCGTTGTTGAAACCCTCGTATAGTTGGTCCAGGGACTCTTTCATGCCCTCGTCGTCCAAGCTCGATTCGCCTGACCAAATCACCCTCGTCTGCTTGTCGTTCACAGGCTCAAGCCTAACATTGCCGTAGTGCAAGGCATCCTTATGAGCGCTAATCTCGACTCTAAAGCGTTGAGTGTAGTCGGTTGCATTGATAGCCTCGAGAGTCTCCCTAGTCGTAATTCCAGGCCGCGTGGTAAAGTCGAGGTCGCGGACAGAGCCGATACCAAAGCCCTCAAGGGCTGAAGCGGTGCAATTGGGCATCCAGAGCTTTTCGGCGCCCCAAGATGCCAGGATGCCCCAGACATTGGCCGCGGGAGCGTCAACGACGCTGGCGTACTCGGTGACGAACTTGGCGGTAATAGACATGATGTGTAGATTGTAGGATAGGAGGAGATGTGTGAGGTTCTGAGAAAGTCGAGCTATGGGATAATATACGGTAACATTCAAGAAAATCAATACTTAAAGTAGATGCGAGGATCGGGAGGGGCGGTGAGTACGTGCTATTATTTCGTTGCTGTTAGTAAGAAGCTTCTATTTGTAACACTAATACAAAGTGACTTTATTAATTATCTTGTCGAATATTAAGTTCTATCCGGGATCCCACCGAGACCCCACCTGTATGCCTCCTTGTACGCCACCGGGATCCCGTCTGGTATCCCATCCGGCATCCCGTCCGGCATCCCGTCCGGCATCCCATCCGGTATCCCATCAACATCCTGTATATCCACAACCCCTGAGAAAGACGTATAGAAACCATTATCAATGACACCTTTAAATATATGTGTACATTCTCTTTTTTTTTCTCGCCTATCTCTATAATTCATTCCTCATCTCTATCTTGCAGTATCAAGTAAATCCTTCATCCACTTGCGATAGGTACATCTTCCTAATACTTTGCCCCAGTCTCAGTCAACTAACTAACTGCAAGTCAGATACCTCCTAAAATGTCTACCTCCCTCTCTCACGCTACTAGAACTGTCCATGCGTCTATTGGACAGGTCTGGGGTATCCTCGCAGCATATGGCTGCGAGAGCCTTTGGTTCCCGAATGTTACCAAGTCAACCCTCGAAGGATTCGGAGTTGGCTCAACCCGCTCTCTGTGGTTCGACAACGGACCTAAGGGGGGGGACGCTTGGGATGACAAACCTGTCCGCGAACTACTCGTCAACGCTGATGCGTCGATTTATTATCTGCGCTGGCAAGTCTTCAACGATAACATGGGCGACTTCCAGTCTTTCTCGAGTATCAAGCTTCGCCACATTGACGACAAGACGACGGAGATAGATTGGTCCGGTGAAACGAATTTTCCGGACGGACCTGACCGGGACAACCTAAAGGTTTTTATCGAAGCCATGTATACCAGGGCTATGGAAGCTGTTGCTAAGAAGCTGGAAAAGTAGAAATCCTAATAGCGTTATGAGTTGAATTGGGGGCATACTAGCTCAGATAGTGGCACGCTTTTCTTAGGTCGATCCCTGCCTTCCAAGTCACTTATATACCCTCCCCAGTCGCGGCCTTGAATATAACGTTGACTCTCAGTTGAGGATCTTCACACTACTTTCCATCTGCTGCCTCGTACCTTTTATCATAAGGTAGTTTTGATAATTTTGCACTCATATTGCAAAGTTTGTGATTGCTAAATAGAACCGGCGAGCTCTTCCAACTAGTTGACAACTGCATCCCTTAGAGCCTTCTGGACACGAAGTTTGAAATCACCAAGCCTTTTTCTAGACAGTCCTAGACGTCTCTTATGAAGCAACTCCGCGTGGTGGCGGCATATCTGTCACCTATTCCGTTCACGAGCCATAACACGGGCAGGTCAGGATCAATGACATCACCCTGTCGACGGTATTGGGCTAAACCCCCAAACTTCTTCCCTTTCGGTGCCAGTCGTGAGACCTACCAATAACCAGAGGCTTGGTTTTATAACGCCAATTGATTGCTATTAGGACGTCGTAAAAATGGACATCACGTCCGCTGAAATATTCAAGAATCCTTGGAAGCGAGCTAAACTTGCCACAATAGTCAAGACATCACTCAGATGGTCTTCAGAACTTGAGAATTTGAATAAGATCTCGGAGAAATTTGATAGTCATATTGGGGGATTTGACCGGGCCCTGAATGTGGCGCATATAGTGAAGACGACAGTCCAGCTCCCTCAGAAGGAGAGAGAGAAGAAGCAAAGATATCATAATGTCAAGTATGCGCAAGGAACTTCGCGATCTTGATGTCTTGCAAAGCTTGGTGGCTAATACTGTTCTAGACAAGCCAAGCAATCGCCGCCTTCTGATGAAATAGATATCCAACACCACTAAAAAGTTGGAAGGCCAGCACCGTCACGAGAAATTCCTCCAAGCAACCAATACTAATGCTAAAAAATGGGTCCTCTCCCACACGGTCTTCGAGGGTTGGAAGTCAGACGGAAAGCCAGAGATCCTCTGGGAAGATGGGAAGACGAGAACATGGGTTGCGGCAAATAGAGTTAAGCAATCATTTGTAGATTTAATTAAAGAATATATTCATACAGTGGTTCTTTTAAATTAAAATAATATCATAAATTTCATAATTATTATCCATTTAATTAAGCTATTTTAGCCTTATCTAATTATATATTTCACTGTGATAAAAGTTCCAAACTCAGCCGTCAGACCCAACTTACAGAATCACGAGATCTGACACTCAGCCACATCACGTGATATATTCCGACCAGTCAGGAAACGGGAGCGCCGATAGGAACATGTGGATTACAGTGGTTAATTCGTGAGAGCTACAAGCTGTTCCAACACTCAACTGAAGCGAATGCCACTCGGCTCCTGTCTCCTAATGGTGTCCGCATACACTGAACAATGAACAATTTCGGCGTCATCGAGCTTGCCAGCGCCAAAACCACCGCGGCGCCTGGTTGGGCCTACGTACCCGACACCACCATCAACCGCTCTGCGCCTACGAACCGGAAGCGAGCGAGGAACGTTCCGGGCCTCAGTATCGGTGACTTAACCGTTAGGCAAGAGACGAAGAGGCGCAAGGAAGCCGAGGCGCTCGACCGCGATGGTGGACGAGACAATACTATTCCGCTGCCGGTGAAGAGTGGACGAGGTATGTTGGCTGGTTCAAGTCGCGTTGCTTGAAGCTTGGAGACTGATTCGAGAAGCCCAGGGGAAGCACACACCGAACGTTCGAAAGATTTTGCAGTCCCAAAAGACGTTTGGGAACTACCTCGATGATTTCCTCGCCTTGCAAGCGTTGACAGAGTCCAACAATGCCGCTTCGTCTCGATCGACCGCTGCCAGCGCAAACAACAAGAAAGCCGCTCCGAATAAGAGGGACACGCCCTCATCCTCCCGACAACCCGCCCCAGAAGAAGATACCCAGATGCTCGACGCAGATCTCCCGCCCGTGCTCCCTCCTCCAAACAGGACGCCGCCGCCCGCCCACGAGGGAGACTCCGAGCCGCTGCTCGTGTCGCGCGTGCCCGAGATGCCGTCAGACGAGGAGCTCCGGAAGCTTCTCGCGCGGCCGCCACTCAACTACGGCGAGGCGACGGGGGATTGGGACGAAAAGTACCCGGTTAGGGTGTTCTGCGAGGTCTGCGGGTACTGGGGACGAGTGCGGTGCATGAAGTGCGGGACCACGGTTTGCGCGCTGGACTGCTTGGAGGCGCACCGGGAGGAATGCGTCACTCGATATGGCTTGTGATGGAGCCCTTGTGGTTCACACCTTGTGTTCTATAGCATTGCTACGGCGTTCTGGGATTTGCTTCGGCTGGAGAATGGTCTGATACCCCTTTTTATTTGGATGGACTCGTATTGATACAAAATCTTGAGCTCGATAAGAATGCCTCTTGATCAACGACTTTGCCGTGGTTTATTGTGACTACGGGTATGATCAAGCACACGAAAAGTATAAAGCACTTGTAAACCTAGTGCCATCAGAAGTGACGTGGCCTAAGAATTGTCCATTGGGAGTGAGCCGGATCTAGAAAAAAGCAATGGAAGTATCGGAACCTCTTTGGCCCAGGCCCAAGGGTTTTTGAAGCAAAACCCGGTTAAAAGACCCCGTTTTCAATTTTGCAGCTCAAAACGGTTCATCAAAGTTTTTTAGAACCGAGTACTTAAAACGTCCATTACCCGAACATGCCGAAATTAAGCCAGGTTTGCTACTATCACCACTATTCCTTTCTCCTGTCTTCACATAAGTTCGCCATGGACCACGGCTTCGCTAGTGGTTCCGGTCAACCGAGGGCCAGTCAGATAAACACCGGATTCCCAGACCAGAGGGAGCAGACTGTCCAGACTTCGGAGTGGTCACTTCTACCTATCGATATCCGATTGACCATATTTGGGGAAGTAGCTGAGATCATCGGCCAAGGTTCAAAAAATGGCCAACCAACAAAAGCCGGTCTGGCTCAATGTGCTGCTGTCTGCAAGGAGTGGCATTTTTTCTTCGAGAGACTTCTCTTCCGGCACCTAACATTAACACAGTCCTGCCTATGCGACTTGAAGGATCTTAGCCGCCAAAGACAATTCGTTGAACACCTCACTTTCCGTGTTGAACTGGAGCCATATCATTGTGATACTTGCACCAACAGGTTCATCAGCGCCTCTCCACACAACACCGCCGACGCAGAGATGTTTAGGGCAAGTATCAGTGCACTATTCTGGATCCTCGAATCCTGGGACATCCAAAGCCCTGGAACCACTACAGGCTTGACACTGGAGCTTGGCGCCTACTCCCCCAGTGACTCTGAGCACACCTTCAGAGACATGTACCTACACACTAGCTTCTTTGCTGGAGAGGATTTTGCGAAGCTCGAGCTCCCCGCCACTGACCTGTCACATGGATGGATTAACGGCCGCCGGTGGAGGTCTCCTAATACGGGCGAGCTATCGAAGCTTCATGCGATGTTGATTTCGCCCAGTATTTATGAAGGTCCTGTGGTCGTCAAGGCTGTGAAGCACCTCGTTATTCGACGAGAAATGAGACGGAGGCTCAATATCAAAGACCTCCAGACAATCACCAAGCGCCTACCGAACCTGGAGTCGATGCATTTTGAGCCATGGCGATCGTACAAGATGCTTTGGGATCGACGACATATTTCAGACGGGGGTACGCATGAATTCTCAGCCCCTTGTGCGGAACATATTGTGGAATATTGTGGAAGAACAGAAAATGCTAAATTAACCTCTACCAGATTATGAAGTCCTCGTCTCGACATACCTTCCGCATAGTCTGAATACCTTGACGATATTTGAAGACTTCAATGAAGACCATAGCCGAGTCAACTGCACTGAGGATAGTGACATCTCTTGGATTCTAATGCCCGACCTAATCAGGACGCCGGATCGAGGCATCGCCGGTGCCTTATGCAGGAGAAGTTTTGGTCTGGAGAGACTTTTTGCCTCTTACATCGTCGATGCAAGCGACTTTTTCGACTTGCAAGAACCCAATTGGGTGTGGCGTGACCTTACATCACTTGCCTTAACATCTCGGCTCCTAACCAGCACGGGTGACACCTCGGACATCAACCTGATGTTGATGCAAGCAGGCAAAGCGGCACTCAGAATGCCCAAACTTCAGGTGATGGAGATTTGGAATGGGACGAAGGGGAACGCTTGCGTTTTCCGGTTCGAGACAACATGGGCACATGCTACCATCGGATGGTGCGGCACCTGGGACTTGAATATGTACCCACGCTTGATCAACACTTGGAAGGCCGTTGCTCAACGCAATACAAAGCATCAGCTTTCAATTCTAGCAAGCCAGGTCTTGGATCCGCTAGATATTAAGTCACACGCAGTCGCAATCCGCAAGCTGGGACTTCAGAAGGGGGTCGTTCATCCTGTATCGTTGGAGCAGATACGCCGGGAGGCGCGTGGCGATACTCACATACCCGGTACCTTTTAATTATTTAAACAGTACAGTGGAACAAGAGTAAAATATGATCCTAATTGTTGTGCTTAAACTAGGATGATAGAACCAAGATGACATGAACAACAGTGAAGCGATGGATAATATACTGAATGAAGATTATAAAATGGTATCAAACGATAATACAGCCACTAATGTTTAAATTCGATAGACTCAATTACCAGAAATATATAGGCTCGCGTTGTGATGTTGGATTTCTCGCATTCATGGGGACTTCATTTTCATCAACCCCAGCACCATTTCGCTATTCCTTCCAGTTCCAAGTGAGGGCAATGACAGAGGTTGCAATCCTCCTTGAGATGGATAGTAGACGAATAGACAGCAACTAGTCTTCCACTCTAATTTCTTCAGGCTACTATCACCACCGCCACCACCACCAACAGCAGCGGCAGCAACAACACCACCACCACGGTCGCCACCGCCGCCATGTCACTGGTGGCCGTTACCGTCACCTCCTTTCCCCAGTACTATGGCGCTTCCGTGATTTAGCCGTCTCTCTGAGCCTCGTCCTGGATCTTGCATGTAGGTGGGCATTCGGTCTCACCATCGCCCTAATGGCGGCAAAGGCCGATTTCATAGCCGACTTCAAACCCGACTTGTAGGGCAATGTGTACTAATGTTTGCGACCTGGGGCTCAGAATCTTGGACCTCCGCTTCGTTGCCAACAGGATGTTTCTGGTCGAGATGCTCTGTTTCAAGCGGACAATTAGAATCTCATTCTCGATCCCCCCAGGTTTCTATTATGACATGACCAACATGGAAGGTATGATGTACTGGTTCCGATTGGGGTGAGCATATTGAACCGGTGGAGGAGGCTTGCAAAGCCCTTGGCCGCAGTTGTGTGGGGGGATTTCTTCCGATACTTTTACTCACTTCAATTAACCGCCGGTCCATTCTCTTTCTATAAATAGGTGGACGTAGATGCTATGTTTCCTAGTGGCCGGTTATTATTAACAAGCTCGAGCTTCTCGACTTCGAACATCCCTTGTGTGCGCCCAACTTCCGGACTTATACTCGGAGCGAATCGCTGATGGCCAATATGTCAACCGTGCCATGGACGATTACGATGAGGAAGAGGCGTCAGAAAGAACTATCATAAGTACCTATACTAAAATAAATCATTGTTGAAATCACTGTTCTGACTACTGTTTCAAATCCTGTGTATTGGGAAAGGTAACCAGTTGGACTAGAAACCTTAGTCTGTCTGAGTGTATTGTTGATCTTTGAATGGACTGGGTAAATAGTCTGTATTGTTGATACTATTGTTGGTGTTTTCTTTTTTGCTGTTAAGCTTCTAGTCCCCCCTCTGGGTATGTGTATACTAGGGCACCCTAACCTCTTGATACTAAAATAAATACCTAGTCTTATTATTGATTATTTTTATTTTATTTTTATATGAAGACTATACCCTAAAGGTTATACTCTTAGCACAATTCGTAGTAAAGAATAGCACGCTCCTTCCCGTTTCTGGTATCCCACCGAGCTCATGAGGTCATTTCCCACCAGCGAGCGGAGAAAACGCATGTATCCGTAGGTTTCAGCCTAATGATGACTCTCTTTTATGACTCTCTTTGATGACTCCCTTAGGTGCCCCTTTTCCCATCCCCTACATTTGCTGTGTTACTCAATTACCAGGAACATACAGGCTCGCGTTGTGATGCTGGATGTTTTACAATCATGATGGGACGTCATTGTTATCAACCCCAGCACCTTTTTCTCTCTTCCGTCCAGTTCCAAGTGAGGGTAATGGCATCGGTTAACAGTCCACTTCATAGACATTTCATAGGCAGGAACGTAGGAGTAATCTTGGCAAATCATGCTGTGAACAATATGCTAAAACAGAGGCAGGAAAGCTTATGAGTATCTGGATGAAGAAGTTGCAATCCTCCTAGGATAGAGAGTAGATAAATAGACAGCAACCAGTCTTCCACTCTGATCCCTCGCTCACCATCACCACAACCGCTGCCGCCGCCGACGCCGACGCCGCCACCACCACCACCACCAACAACAACAACAACAGCAGCAACAGTAGCAACACCAGCAGCAGCCCCCTCCCCCCTCCCCCCGCCGTCCGCCGCCTCCCCCTCGCCATGTCGCTCGTGGCCTCCGCCGCCGCCCCGCCGCCCCCTCCCCCTCCCCCTCCCCCCCCCCCCTCGCCGCCCGGCTCCCTTGGCAGCGAGGGCGGTTGGGCCCTGGAATGGGCCTACCTCTGGCTCCTTTGGGCCGAGCATTCGTTGAGGAGGGCCTCCGCCCTCATCGTCCGCCTGGCGGCGCGAGGGGCGCCGCCAGACGAGCTGGACGTGGCCGTTGCGGCCCGAAACGCCCTGGCGGAGTGGGCGCGCTTCGCCGAGACCGTCGTGGCCGGCCTCTGGCTGGCACGATACGTCCCTTATTTTTATCCACTTTAATCAACTGTCAGTCGTTTCTTCTTCTTAGCAATGACGCGAGCTTACAGATTGAAATTTTAGCCCTCCGACAATATAATTATCAACTTGTACGGTAGGCTTCACAGCTCACAAAATTTGGCACAGGACCTTGGACTGACTTATACCTACGCAGAGTACGACGGACGCATTCAATATAATTATCCGATGATATGTAAGTAGTGGTGTATTACATAAGCACTAGTCACAAACAGTGACTCAACTGCACCACCCCACCACAAACATGAAATGCCCCTGCCCCGCCATCCCAATGCTCAACTTCTCCCACTACATCTCCAACACCAGTCGAACCCACATCATGTCGTCCAAACAAGCTGAGGCGCCCAACCTGGCTGATGGCGCTCCCGAGCAGAGCCTCCCATCTCGTCCTGCGAAGCAACCCAAGGAGAAGGCCCCCAAGGCCAAGAAGCCTGGTCTCGAGGCTGGTGCCCCTCCTTGTCCTTCTTGCGATCACGTTCCCCAACCGCTGCTTCGTCATTGCGCTGGCATCATTTACTAACCAAGCTTGTAGCTACCAGAACTGCCCGCATTCATTCAGTACCGACTAGATATTTTTGATAAGATCAAGGCCCGCCAGGACGCTGAGATTGCTGGTGAGTGTTGAACCACTGCCTGCGTTCCTTAGAATCGACTGACGCGCGCAGCGAAACCTCGTGAGGAGATTACCGTCTCTCTACCCAGTGGCAAAGAGGAGAAGGGCACTTCATGGGAGACTACCCCTGCCGCCATTGCCAAGAGTATCTCTAAGTCTTTGTTTGAGCGCACTGTCATCTCCATGGTTGACGGTGAGCTGTGGGATCTGACCCGACCTCTGGAGAAGAGTTGCAATCTTGAACTTCTCGACTTTGAGCACACCGAAGGTACGCCAAAGTCCAACATCATACTTAGAGCATGCTGCTAATGCCAAATCCAGGCAAGAAGGTCTTCTGGCATTCGTCAGCGCACATTCTTGGTGAGGCTGCTGAGCGTCGTTACGGATGCTACCTCTGCAACGGCCCGCCTACCACTGACCCTCCCGGTTTTTATTACGACATGGCGAACATGGACGGGTATGTGTGCATCCGTCGATTGCGAAACCGATGCTAACAATTCCCAAGCCAGGCAATTGCTGATGAGGACAAGAAGGCCCTGGAGTCCCTCTCCAGCAACATCATCAAGGCCAAGCAGCCATTCGAGCGTCTTGAGATGACCAAGGATGAACTTCTTGAGATGTTCAAGTACAGCAAGTACAAGGAGCATTTCATCAACCAAAGAGTCCCCGAAGGAACCAAGAGCACTGTTTACCGATGCGGCCCCCTCATCGATTTGTGCCGAGGCCCTCACGTCCCCCACACTGGCAACATTAAGGCCTTCTCTGTGCTCAAGGTATGTAGCTACAACCTAATCTCAGGGCAGGGCCACAGTCGATCTAACACAAACACAGAGCTCAGCTGCCTACTGGCTTGGCGACAGCAAGAACGAGTCGGTCCAGCGAATCGCTGGTATTTCTTTCCCCGACAAGAAGCAACTGGAGGAGTACAAGCACTTCCTTGCCGAGGCTGCGAAACGCAATCACCGAAAGATCGGCCAAGACCAGAAGCTCTTCTTCTTCGACGAAGCCTCTCCCGGTTCCACCTTCTTCCTGCCACACGGTGTACGCATTTACAACGCCCTCGTGGACTTGATCAAGGGCGAATACCGAACCCGCGGTTTCGACGAGGTTATGACTCCCAACATGTACAAGTCCGACCTGTGGAAGGTCTCTGGTCACTGGGGACATTATGAGGAGAACATGTTCACCTTCGATGTCGAGAAGGAGCGTTATGGCCTGAAGCCCATGAACTGCCCCGGTCACTGCAAGATCTTCTCACACGCCGATGTCAACTACAAGGATCTGCCATGGAGGATGGCCGACTTTGGAGTGCTGCACCGAAACGAATTCTCGGGTGCCCTCTCTGGACTCACCCGAGTTCGCCGTTTCCAGCAGGATGATGCCCACATCTTCTGCACCGTCGACCAGGTACGTGTAGTGAAGTACTACAGGCATCTCAGCACATGCACACTGACACGAAATAGATCCGAGATGAGATTGAGGGAGCCTTTGACTTCCTGAACAGTGTCTACGGTGTCTTTGGCTTCTCGTTTAAGCTGAAGCTCTCCACCCGCCCAGAGAAGTACGTTGGTGACATCGCCACTTGGGACCTAGCCGAGAAGAAGCTTGAGGAGGCCCTGAACTCCTTCGCTCAGAAACACGATGCCAAGTGGGAGATGAACCCCGGTGACGGTGCGTTCTACGGCCCCAAGATCGACATCACTCTGTACGATGCTCTCCGCCGAGACCACCAGTGCGGTACCATTCAGTTGGACTTTAACCTTCCGCGACGATTCAAGCTTCGATACTTGGCAGGCAAGGATGAGAGTGGCGTCAGTGACGGCAGCGATCCCTCGGAGGACCTACCTGCCGGATACGCTCGCCCAGTCATGATCCACCGAGCCATCATGGGTAGCTTTGAGCGCATGTTTGGTGTGCTCACCGAGCACTTTGCTGGAAAGTGGCCGTTCTGGCTGAGCCCCCGCCAGATCCTCGTTGTTCCCGTCATGCCGGCAGCCAACGAGTATGCCCAGGAGGTGCGAGACATCTTCCAGAAGAAGGGAATGTATGCCGATGCGGATCTGAGCAGCAACACTTTCCAGAAGAAGATCCGTACTGGCCAGCTGGAGCAGTACAACTTTATTTTTGGTAAGAGACATTGCCAGACTTGCCGGATTCCCGTGCAGCAGCTAACAATTATGCACAGTGGTTGGTGCCGAGGAGGCCAGCAGTCGCACCCTTAACATCCGAAACCGAGACGACCAAGCCACCCAGACCAAGGGCTCGTTGGTCCCTGTCGAAGAGGCGCTTGAGAAACTTAGCCAGCTTAAGACTGACCGAGGCTTGGTAAACAAGATCTAAGCTATGGAGACGTGATCAAGGCATAAAATGGAGAGTATTGGTAGCGGCGCAGGGGTCCAAAATAAGGCAGCCGAAGCAACTATGGTGTAGACGAGTACCTGGCGGAGTGTAATGAGAACCACCGGAGATATCCACCTGTATGTATTATGATAGAGTGGATATATCACGACCAATGAAAAGTACCATGGAGCAAAAAGAAGAAGAAAAGAGACACGTTGACAAGGATATGCCGAGCTGAAGCAGTAAAGGGCGCGAGAGCACAGAGCGGCGTCGAGCGGCGGGAGGAGGCGTACAGAAGAGCACCGCTTGGGAGTTGGGCGTCGAGGCAGAAGAGACAGGTATGATATTCGCGGAAGCATGCAAGCATTTTCAGCTAGTCTAGAAACGAGGCGCACCTCGCATGCTCCACAGCACACAGCGAGAAGTTGGGTCACGAGAGCGTAGTGACGATGCGTGCTGGTTGGTGGTGAGATGTGATGGGCGATGTCGGTCTCGGGCTCTCGCGGGGGCTGCAGCATATGATTCACCGAGATCCACACGGAAGAGAAAGACGGTCAGAGGCGTCACATAGCATGGGAGTCAGAGATAGAGGCTTGTGGAGCAGAGACGCAGACGCAGGCAGTCATGGGAGCTGAAGACGGCAAGAATGACGAGGATAATGAGATGTGACAAAATACTGGTTGAAGTTACGAATCTAGAACATTGAGCGACAGATGGGCGTGGAAGCTAGTGAAGTCATTGCGAAAACGGACGTCTTGTCGTGGGCCGTGATTCTCTTTCGTTGTCTTTCGCCTTCTCCCCCCCTTCCCCCTGTTTCTTTTTCTCATCACAGTCTTTCCTTTCCTTTTCCAGCTAGAATGGATCTACCAGATTAGCTCTGGTAGTGCTGGTATCCTTGCCCGGGGCATTTGGCAAACTCCCATTCCCTTTGTGTTGCGCGCTGCTTTTGCTTTGCTTTACACCTCCCTACCCTCCCTGCCTCTCCCTGCTCCCGGCAAGCAGTGGAACTGGGATTTGCAGCAGGGATCAAGCTGTCATGGGCCATCACGGGCCAGTGGATGGGCCGGGGCCCCTAGGCTGGGGACGATTTCCCGTGCATAATGCTATTGTAGTGAATGGGTAAGTTAGGGTGTTTAATGGGAGGGATGTGCTTGGTAGTGGGAGTGGAAGGAAGGTGTTTAGTGGAAATGAGTACGTAGTGCAAGTTGAAAGTGGAAGTGGGAGTGGAAATCGAGGAGTTGTTGGCATTGCATGACGCTGCACCACGCTGCACCCCGCTGGACATGGCAATTCAAACTGACGATATGGGGAGATGGCGCAGGATCCCATCGGATAGAAAAAGCAGCACAAGAGTGAATCGGGAAGGAAGGAGGAAGAAGGGAGAGCCATTTTTACGGGGACGGCTGAGTACCGAGCTCTACTACGTACTACTTTGCGTATGGAGCAGCAGCATGGAACAGGCGACGGCGAGTGACATGGGGCAAAGTCATGGGCATGAGACCGCCGGATGCGCACAGTTAGGCGGATGGATGCTGGGGCTGAGGCGGGAGCTGCGTGGCGGAGAGGCGGAGAGGCGGAGAGGCGGAGAGGCGGAGAGGGAAAAGTTGATCTATCAGATTTCCACTTTTCGTGTGTTCCGTGAAAATGTGATCAAAAGACCGGTGAGAGATGATGGGCGTTTCCGAAGGGTGATAGGAGAAAGGGGCGGAGGATTAAGCCTGGGCAAGAATCAAAAGCAAGCAAAGAGAGACACCAACAACCAACAAGTACAGCGCCACGGAACCAGTGACATAGCAGCCAGCGTACTAGCTACGGAACAAGGTGTGTTACATGTCTTTGACAGGGACAAGGTTAATGGAAAGACGGGAACAAGGAGGAGCGAGGAGAGGACTGGAGCCGTATGCAGGCGGTATGTAGGTCTCGACACAATGGGTTTGCGAATGTCTGTACGTTCGGAGTAGTACGTAGATATGTAGGTCTGGCCGTGTGGAGTCGGGCTGGAGGCAAGGCAAGATTGGCAATGCAGGCGAGATTCGACAGGGGCAGGCAGCAGGAAAACGACGACGTGCAACCAGAAAGATGTTGGGCGGTCGGTGGCATGGATAACGGATGATGGGCATTGGCGGCATGCGGGTTCGATGACCTACGAGGCTTTGGGGAGGGTTTTGGGAGGGTTGGAACGGGCTGGAGTTGGTTGGAAATGTGAGACGAAATCTGTCAGCTCGCGCGTGGGGGGGAGGAAGAGAAGCCCTGCTGCACGCACAACGCACACGCGCACACACAAGGAGGTTGGCGCAGTTCACACTTCACGCTTTGTTTCTGTGTTGGTTGCGTGTGTTTGTGGCTTCTTCTTTTTCCCCCTAGAGTGCTCACTCGCACCAGGTGGTGGACATGTGTTCGACCGTCATGTGCGTGGTTATGCGCGTCTGTATGGAAACGAACAGCGCCATGGCTTTAGGGGGGATTGCGCGCTAACAATACTCAGCATGTACCCACGGCTGGATGGGGCATTTAAGGCAGAACCGCCACACCGAAACACCCCCGGTTTCCCAGAACGCCGGCCTGCAGCTGGCGCATTTGTTGGCTGGGCGCCCCCTTTCCCTTTTCGTGGCTGTACATGGTTTGTGAGATGCGATGGAAATGCGAGTGCGGAGGTCGGAGGGAGACGAAGAGGAGGGGTGTCAGCCCGTGTTGGGTGCAACCCCATGTAAGCCGGGTGGGAGCCGGATAGACAGCGAAGGAGTTGCATTACCTATGACCTCCAGAAGCGTCTTGATACATCGCTATGCAGGAAGAGGAGGTTAAGCTGGGCTAGCATGCATATTGCTTTTGTTGTGGGCTTTGTTGGAAGAGCTTTTTTGAGGCATCGACCAAATGCAGATGGCGCTGCAGACTGCTGCACTAGCCTACAGCAAGGCCAGGTAGTATGCATGTATCTCTCTCTGACTGACACGTTCAGCTTCGTCTAGCTCTGGAATAATGGGGACGGGGGACACCCGCAGCGCTGTCGTACATGACATTATTACTTTCGTACAGCAGTGAGTTACCAGCGGAGGTTGGTTGGTTGGCTGTTGGCTGTTGGCTGTTGGCTTACAGGCTCGTCGGGTGGTTGGTTGAATAGTGGCGGCATCGCAAGCGGCGGTTGTCGTAGCAAAAAGTGATGTGTGTGTTTATGGGGGGTGTCAGAGTCAGAGTCAGAGTCAGAGCCAGAGTCATCTTTATCGTGGGTCGATGCAAGTGAGTGAGTGAGGTATGGCTTGGCTCGCCATGGAAAGGAAAGACGACGCGTCAGATGGGTCGGGCAGACAATGTGAAGCAGAGCGGTCCAGCAAGTAATCAAACTAGCAAACCGATCAGAGCTGGAACGGAATGCCATTGGGCCGGCGAGAAATGGACACGAGGCCATCTCACCCGGATCATGGCCGTCTGGTCATCTATCATAAAAGACTAGACAGACCGGTCAAGACGAGGAGCACCGGCGAGCGACGCCCTGGAGACGCTCCGCACCTCCGGCCAGTACGGGCCACGGGGGAGATGGGGCACGGGGCCACGGGGCGCGGGCACGGGCATGGGGGAAACGCAGGCCAAGCAAGCAAGCAAGCAAGCAAGCAAGCATGATGCCATTATCGAGACCGTGGGCGGCTCGCAGCTGCGTGTGGCCCCCTCTGGCGGTGCTGGGCTGCATCGGGAAGTGAGGCGCTTCCTGGGGCTGCGAGGGGGGACGGGCTGCCGCGTCGGCGAGGGCGATTGGGCAGATGGGCCAGATTGGCAGGGTCTTTGTCGGTTTCGCGTCTTCTTTTTTTCTGGTTTCGGTGTTACGGTGTGATGTGTATCATGGATGCCCCGGTAGAATATGACGCCTACGGTCCCGTCACGGCGGACCGCGCTTCAGGAGGGTGTCCACGTCGCAGCCGCGATATGCGAGGGGGTTTTCCTGAGGGTTCTCGAACGGTGCCTACTTGAATTTAGTACGCGGACGACGGTCCTGTTCCCCAGCCGTCCGGCCCGAACACAGTCTGGCAAGACAGCCCACTGCGTTGGGACCAGTCAGGTGCAGGTGTGTTGGAACCAAGTGCGCGGTCCGAGGTGTGACGCGCGAGGCGTGAAGGTGAGGTGTGAGGTTCAGAATGTGAGGTGTACTACCTAAGGACGCTGTAAGTCATAATGTCGTAAGCACAGACTCCAGGCGCCAAGCCCAGGATATTGGATGTGGCATGTTTCGATCTTCGTTCCTCCTCGCCCGTCATGGAATTTGCTACAGCCAGAGACGGCCGCCTGCACCGCGCATCGCTGCACATGGCCCAGATGGTGGATTTGGCGACGAACAAAGACGCACACGGCCAGGGATGCGGCCTGCACGCAGCTTGGAGCTGGGTTTGTTACCAAGCGCTGACTCCCTCGTTGTACATACTCGACCGGCCCGCGTGCGACTCGATTCTCCCTCCCCCCGAACTAATAACAAAGCATTGTTATACGTACGTACGTACAGTACATGCGTCCGAGCCGAAGTGTACGAATTGCACCCCCTGTCTTGAGTATGCATGTTAGTTGGGGAGAATCCCTACGGGTGTACCGATGCATCACAGGCGATTCGAACTAGTCCCCTGCCCAGGTTGGTTACCTTGAACCCGTGAACCGAGCTGAGATGAGCTGAGCTGAGTTGAGCCAAAAGTGGTGTACCCGTCCGGTCTCGTAGCCGCCGTTGCCAACCTCAGCTGGGCCTCATCCTTGCGTTGTTCGTTCTCCCCCGCGCCTCTCTCCTACTTCTCCTCTTTCTGCTTTGACCTCTTTTCTTCCGGTGCCGCCCCAGTCACGCATCTCGTTCTCGGGAAATCCGAATCTCAAACCCCTCCCATCACACACCGTTCGATGGATGGGAATGCCTGTCCTGCTGCTCTGTGGCTGCTCCACGATCCGTGATCCTTCGCACGGCTTGGCCAACGTAGCCAACCAGCAACAGCGCCTCCGCGCTTGAATCACTCACATACGCACGCCCGCATGCACCAAACCACCAGGCTGGATATCCCTATCCTCGGCCATCCACCGGGGACCCGTTGCTAGCGTCTTGGGCCGCTATCGAGATACAGATATAAATACGTACATGCGAAGGCCAGGGCGACGTTGACAGCGGGATCATCCTCGACCCATCAATCCCTCCCTCCTCCGCCTCCACCTCCACCCGCCCGCCCGCCTAACTACTGTACTACACCCACATCCACCGCGACCACCACCACCACCACGACGATAGTCCCTCATCCCGCTTCGCCTTCCACATCCCTGTCGGCGCGGGTGTTGGCAACCGTTTGGCGATAGGTACACACTCTCCGTTCCCAGCTCGGTCTCCGGCATGCTGGACCGCCCACCAGCGTGCGACGAGGTACTAAGAGGGAAAAAGGAACCACAAGAGCAAAAAAACAGCCGCACTCAACTTCCTCTTCAGGCCCGCGGCTGAAGACTTGAAACGGGGGACGCTCTCGAGTCCCATTCCTGTCCCATTCCTTCCGCTGTCGCCCCATTTCGCCATCTCATCGTCATCTCACCTCCAGACTTCCGTCTCTCTTCCCGCCGCCCCCCCAGTCCCCCGTCCCGCCTCCCCTTGTCGTCGTCGCTTTATCTCGCTTTCCTTCGCCTTGCCTTTTCTGGTATTTGTCTCATGCAGGGCTCTGGCGTTGCCGCCGCGGCAGATCCCAATAGCCTTTGAACGAGGTCCTACAACGTAAGGTAGTACTTGCACTTACACCGATTTCTCCCACGACCGCCACTGCGGTGCGGCTGCATTTCACAAAGGGCTAGAATACAAAGACCCTCGACTCGCCTCGACCGCCTCCTCCACCTCCTCCACATCCGCCTCCTGTCTCCACCTGGGTCTTTATTAGCCTCCTTCTTCCTCTACCGGCACCGCGCTAAGTTATACTGCTCTCGCGCTACGCTCCGCACCGGCCTGCCAAACCAAATCCAACCCCCCGTGGACCCCTCCCACACGCCCAAGCCAAGCGACAATCGTTGCCTCGCCGCGGCACCAAAAAGCAACACTGTCTCACTCGAAAAGCAAGGCTTCGTCCGTCCACCAACACGCGAGCGAGTCCCGGTCAAGCCTTCCCGGATGCAGAAGGCCTCCTGAAGGACTTAAAAGTCATCCCCCCTCCGCTTCTCTTGCACGATGCGCCGTTCGTCCCCCGCGACAAAGACGGATCGCCATCGAGACGAAGCCGTCGCCGACTCTCATTTCCGGGATGAGGGCTTTCAAGCTCACTTGCACGACCCCGCCACTGTTCCGGTCCCCGGTCCCGTCGTCCTCTCCGTGCCGGAGCGCGCGTCCACCGAGCAAGATCCGAGCCAGAACAATGAACCCGAGTTTCATCGTCATACAATCGCCGCGTCCAACACGTCGATAGCTGATGCTTTCCCCGCCGACGGCGCTACCGCCACTCCTACCGCTACCGCTACCGCTACCGTTACCACGACGGCTTCCGGAACCGCTACTCCCAACACCCTAGCCTCGACGACTCCTCATCTCCACCAAAACAACGCCGACAGCGAGGATTACAGTGACAGTGACATTGACAACTTCGACTCCGACATAGACCTCGATCTCAGCTTCGACATCTCACCCGACATCGCCCTCTCTAGTCTCCTTCGCCCACCATCCTTCAACCACCTCAATCAGCACAACTTCCCTCTCAACCTCAATCACAACTACCCCAGCCACCTGGAAGACTATGACTTCGATATGAGCGATAGCGACGGAGGCGCCCCCCTTGACGACATCATTGCTGCCGCCCACATCGATTCTACCGTACCTCAACTAGTCTTCCAAGGCCACCCTCCCCCGTCCGACGAGGACGACGATGATCAAGTGCCAGATCCTGGCTCACTCAACTACCTACACCCGTTCGCCTTTCATATACCAGCAATGGAAGGTGCCGGATTGATCATGGACGTTCCTCCTCCTCTGGGCTGGGCCCCGCCTCCTACCAATGCTCCTCAAAATCAGCAACCGGCGCCTCAACTCGCGCCGCCTGCAAACGATGTCTGGGATGATGGTCCCTTGGTCAGCAATCCGAACCCAACCATGCTCGGGTCCGAGAACCTGGGCTTGATAGACTTTGTCCGAAACTGGGCCATACAAGCCCGCATGGCATCATCCCAGTCCACGGCGAGATCAAATGCTCCATGTCCTCACAGTATTCGCGAGCAGGCTACTCGCCAAATCGACGAAGTCCGATACTCGGACCTGCAGGGCGATGCTTGCGATATGCAGGGCATTGACTGGGCAGCTATGGGCACCACCCGAAGTCATGCACGGAAGAGGCGATATCTCACATATAGAAATTATACTAACAAGGAGGGGTCTGATCGATGGACAGTGAGTATTTACCTGTCTTATCTCGAATCTGCAATGACGGTCCCTAAACTGATTCGCAATCACAGCCTCTCGTGCGCGATGTCAAGATCCCGCCGCATGACAGTTTCTTCCGATTTCGAAACCTGCACGTCCGCCCAGACGTTTACCTCGCTCATTTCCAATTGCGTAGCGTCCTAGCATGTCCCTCGCGGAGTCAGGCGTTCTACCCTGGTACGCGAGGAATCAACTGCATTAACCCCATCTCCAGGAAGACGGAGTTGGCCCTTGATTTAAGTGGAATCAGTGGGCTTGGTTCCATCATCTCCACTCTCGATGCCAAACATGGCGTATTAATGGCTGGCATGTTCAATGGAGAGTACTGCTTGAGGAACCTCGAATCGGATGACAGGAGGCACTTTGTGGACGGTCAGATCACAGGCAACCCGGGCGGTATCACCAACCACTTGCAAATCCACCTCCCTCGGCGGTCATCACGCCCTGTGGCGGCTCTCGCAAGCAACGACCACGGATTCCGCGTCATGGACCTGAGCACGGAAACGTTTCTCATGGATACCGTGTATCCCTTCCCCCTAAATTGCACCGCCATCTCCCCGGACGGCCGACTGAGAGTCATGGTGGGCGACCACTGTAATGTCATTATTTCCAACGCGGAGACGGGCCAGATCCAGAAGGAGCTCACCGGACATCGTGATTTCGGCTTCTCCTGCGACTGGTCTGACGATGGTTGGACAGTCGCTACAGGCTTCCAGGACAAAGGCGTCAAGATCTGGGATGCCCGTCGATGGTGCAGCACGAGCGGCGAGGGCAGGCCCCTCTGCACCATCCGGTCCGAGATGGCGGGTGTTCGAAACCTACGCTTCTCCCCAGGTGGCAGCGGCCAGAGGGTTCTCGTGGCAGCCGAAGAGGCTGACTACATCAACATCATCGATGCTCAGACGTTCCGCACCAAACAGACTGTTGACATATTTGGCGAGATCGGCGGCGTTGCCTTTACCAACGACGGGCAGAACCTGAGCGTGCTATGCAGCGACCACCACCGTGGAGGACTCCTTCAACTAGAACGGTGCGGCCGCGGCATCGAGCCCTTCATTGACGATGAATGGCCACAGCAAGCTAAATACTTTTCCTCGCACAACCGGAAAGGTAACCAGATACGTCCCTACGAGCCCTACCGCCGAAGGCCAACCATGCTGGATTCAGTGATATTTTTATAATGGTATCAGACTCATCATCTTCTACACATCTACATATTCGGATTCATACCATGCGTCTTTTGGAAACACGCAACGTGCGCGGGGGCGCGCACAATCCGAATTTCCATCAACAGCATCGCATTCTCGACTACAGCATCGTTCTGGAACGGGATGCAACGGCGCTTTTGACTAAATTGGAGTTTTCCCACCAGACTAGTCATCTCTCTTCTAGACACACGCGTACGCACGCACATGTGTCAGGCATTATACCCATTTCTTTGCCATCTTGTTGGTCTACATCATTTGACAGTCGATACTCATGACGAGGTCAACCCCCGTGTCGGGGACGGCAGGGCGCTCGTTGCAAAAAGCCCATGACCCATTGCAACTCATTTCTAGTTTATTCTTCCACGGCACATTTCTTTTTCCCTCTTTCCATCGTCCTGTCTGCGGAAAACACATGCATGCATTACTGGGGGCTGGATACAACGGCATGGCAAATGGCTACGGTATTGCATATCAAATGGGATCCATCACCCGGTGGTGATGTGGGTTCCACTAAGGGGGTTTTGACATTCTGGCTGTCTTATATATCTGGTTCATGGGATCTTTTTCTGGGGCTGCTGTCCCAGGGAATTAAAGAGATGGGTAACACAATAGTAAATGCATCAATACCGATGGGTTATAACAGGCTTTCTGAAACCAAAATTGTTCCTGAGCAAGACGAAATCGCTTCGTTCAATGATTGGCAATCAGTAACAATATAACTCAGAATAACATGTGCATGATGGTCAGAGACGTAGGAGTTGGTAGCATTGCATAAGGTTAGCCGCCTCGATTGTTCTTTTGACGTGCTGATCTACTCCTAATTGGTAAGACCTCGGTCACTCTATTGGTTCTTGCCGACCTTAGTTAATTTAGCTCTCGATGCGCGCAGATGAACTTCATATCCCGGTTGTTTGCAAATTTCGGTGACAATGGACCTGGATTTTGACGAGTAATCATATGACCTCATATCTTTCCACTTCGTATTTACATGTCAGAGAACCACTACCCACACCTTGTAAACTCAGCTATAACAGAACCATTCAAAAGTCGCATTTCTCAAGCTTCCTTGGGAAGCATACAACTCTGGCTGCACGGTGCAGTTCCGTCGGGACGGCTGCTGCTACAGTAGCTGCCACTAAACAAATCTGAGGTACCTGTAGAAGTTTATTGCAGCGGGGTTCTTAGCAGTGGTTAGTGAGTGCCAGGGCCTGCAGGCTAGGTGGTCACAGGGCCCTTCGCGCAATGACATGGCGTTCCCTCTAGGGCAAAACGGCGGGGTCATGTGACCGTCGCGAGCGAAACCCTTTTGTCCCGAGATTCTTGCTTTTCTCTCTCCTCTCCCTTTATATATCTCCATACTCGGTGAGACTACCATAATCGCAGGTCACTAATCACGTGGCTCTCGGCCTGGTGGCCTAATGGCTAAGGCGTTGCTTTCCGGTGGCAAAGATTCTGGGTTCGAGTCCCAGCTGGGTCGAGGACTATCTTTTTGCAATTTTGCCTCCCATCTGAGTGCACTTGTGGCATCGCCATTAGAGCTTAGGGTTTTGGGTTTCTAACAAAATATGTGAAGGACAGTATTTCCCCTACCTTTTGGTATGCTTGAGTGTCGTTACTTGTGGCGGAATCTGTTGTGTAATACGGGAAGTCATTGGCAAAGGATACCGCTTGTAAACACATATTTGATCCGTGTGATTTGAACTTTGAATACGATAGACTGCAATGTATACCAAATAGCAGCCTGTAGGGCATTGAGAAACATGGTGGTTTGAAGGTCTGTATATCTTTTATTCGCTACCAGCTAGATCCTGTATGAACGTCGAACAATACCACGGAATTCATCACTCAGTTGCACCACTACACGCCAGGTCCATCACCTACATCGCATACCGCCTATGTAGTAACCCTTCCAACCCCTCCATGTCTTGGATATTTTCTGATTCCACATCAACTCGGCCTTCGAACATGTACTGCGAGGGATGCTGTCCTATCCCACCCCTCTCCCTGTCACACCGCCCTTGTCTCTTCCCTCTTGGAACTCTCCGAGACTGAGACACCTCTCTAGGCCCATGACACACGACAATGTCTCTCCTCGCCCTATCATTATTTCCTTTGCGGGCCGGGTGACCGACTCCGCAGCTACGTGTGATTGGGTCCATTGGGTGGTGTTGTTTACTCTTTTGTTTCAGCGCCACCGGCGATCGTTTCCCGACGCGTTACAACTCTTTGAGGAATCACGAGGATTGCTTTTTATTTACCTTCTTTTCTGCAGGGTGGAAAAGAGGGCACGCAAGAACTGCTGACTCGGACTGAGACCATGTCTAATGCGTGTGATGTTCGGTTTGTGAAATGAGATGTGACGCGGCTACAGGGGTTGGCGCTAGAAAAGCCGAAAACCTGGTAGACACGACTCAGGGGTGTCACATATGATTGAGAAACAGATTCAAGAAGTCACGTACGTGTTGGATAAGAATAAGCAACTTCAGTCTGTGAAGACACTAATAAATTACAGCATTATGAAGCAGAGGCTAAATGACAACCCGGCCAGATAGAGCGTACATGTAAGTCATCCCTCCCCAAATGGGTGTTTTACTCCCCTCTCGCCAACCATGAAAATATTTCAGAACCGTTCAGATATATATCGCAGACCACAAAGGGAAAACACACAAGATAGTAACCAAATCATGTGTCAATAGACAAAACACATTATTCCAAGGAGTCTTCGCTGCCGACCGGCTCCCCCGTCCCCCTTTTCGCTGCGAGGCGTGCGAAAGACGTGATGCCCCCCAAGCGCTCACTGTCTGTGAGAGAAAGAAGAGTGTTGGCGTGCCGGGCTATCGGACTCCGCCCGAAGGATGTGTGTAGTGTTGTGATGGTATCGTAGCCTGGGTAGGGTGGCAGAAGGGGATTTGCTGGGGAAGAGGGACTAACAGGGCCGGGCGGGGTTGAAGATGGCTCATATACATTTAGCATGTGCGAGTTGATATGTGCAGAGGACACAATGCATGCTGTAACCGGGAGCGAAGAATAGAGGCGGGAGCTTAGAAGTTGTTCTTGCAGCCCCAGCTCTGCTCACAGCCGCAGGAGCCAGCCTCCTTCCACATGTCGTTCTCGTAAGAGAAGAAGACGGTCTTATCACCGCAGTTCTCACGGATAGAGGCAATAGCGGCAGCCTGCTGCTCCTCACCGGGGCAGGCGACACCGTTGCACTCACCCTGAGTAGGCCAACCGCACTCCAGGTTGATAACCTCGTTGCCGGAGCAGATGTCGTGGAGGAGCTCGAGCTGACCGCTAACGAACTCACCAGCGGCAGAAGCCTCAGTGGCAGCGTTGAAGTAGGGGTGGATGTTGGCACCAGTAACGTCGACAACGGGGCAGATGGTGTCAGCGACACCAGTCTGCTGCCAGATGTTAAGGGTCTCGGCGATGGTATAGGGACCAGTGTAGCTGGAGCACTTGGACTTGACAACGGTGATGAGCTCAGCGAGCTCAGTAGCAGAGCAGTATCCGTTCATGATAGCCTCGTTTCCGACAACGAAGAGCTTGACGAGATCCCACTGAGCCCAGGCAGCGATAGCATCAACCTGCTTCTTGATGTCGGGGGTGTTGTAGCTGCAGCCAGTCTCCTTGACGAAGACACCAATGATCATGTCCATGCCGGTATCCTTGCAAGCGGGACCGACGGAGGTGAGGGTGTCGCAATCAGTGGAGTAGGATCGGACAATGCTAAAGCCCTTATCCTTGAGAATCTTGATATCGGACTTGACCTCGGAGGCGGACTTGCACTCGCCGGTGGAGGAGTCGTAGGGAGTGTAGGTGATACCATAGTGGTCGTTGCTGCCCTTCAGGTTGCCGCTGCTGTAGCTCTTGGAGCTTGACTTGGAGGTAGACTTGCTGGAGGTGACGCTAGACTTGGGAGCCGAGTAAGCGACGCTGGAAGGAGCCGAGTAAGCAACGCTGGAGGGAGCCTTGTAGGCGACGCTGGAGGGAGCCTCGTAGACGGCGCTGGAAGGGGCCTTGTAGACAACGGCAGTGGTGGTAGGGGCAGCCACCTTGACGGGAACCGAGGTGGTGGAAACGAGGCCCTCGCTGGAGTAGGGGCAGACGTAGACGTAACCGGTCTCGGTGACAGTGACAACCTGCTCAGGAGCAGTGTAGGTACCAGGGGCGTAGCTGGTGGGGACGGGGTAGACCAGGACGGTCTCGACATCGCAGGACTTGGTGATGGGAGCGATGGTGTAGGTGCCGGCACTGGGGCAGACATACACGGTGGTGTCGATCACGCTGGTAACAACGCCGTTGACCTCGGTCTCCTTGGCGTAGGGGCAGGTGACGGTGGTGGCAGTCTCGACGATGGTGGTGACACCGCCAAGGGTGTGAGTTCCAGCGGGAACCTTGGTGGTCTGGGCGCCGCAAACGGTGGTCGACTCGGTCACAGTGACGGTGGTCGCGGGGAAGGTGTAAGTGCCGGGGGTAGGACAATCGTGGACCTCAGGGGTGGGGAGAGGGACAACGACAACGACCTCGGTGGAGGTAGGGGCCGCCTCGGAGGTGGTGGCCTTGGAGGAGGTCACTGCAGGCTTGGTGGGAACCTCAACCTTGGAGGTGGTGGGAACTGGCGCGGCGCTGCTGGTGACAACGGAAGAAGTCTTGGGGGGAGGGTTGGGCACAACTGTAAACGGGTCAGTTCGAATACTCCGGAGCATGAATCGAGAATCAGTTCTTACGAGTGGGCTCGCCGTAGATGGTAGTCCAGATGGTGGTGCAACCGGGGACACAGCTCTCCTCGCCTCGCTTGAACAGATCGTGAGCGCGACGGTGGTGAGGGTAGGCGGCCTGGGCACCGGAGGCCAGGACCGCGACGGCGGCGGCAGCAACTGTTCCCTTCATGATGATTGGATTAGAGGTGTAGTTGGGTTGAGAAACGAATGCCCGCTAAAAGAGTGAAGCGGTAAGTTGGTGAGAGGAACGAAACAAGAGGAAGAAAGCGAAGTTGGCTGGGCTCTCAAAGTCTCGACATTGACTGGATCGTGGGGAGGAAGAGAAGAAGAAGAGGAAAGGAAGGGCACTATGAAGGAAACAGCCGGCTATGTTATTATTGCGGTGGCGGGCTTGAGCGCCAAGGTTAACAACTTGGTTCAAGGGTCGGGGCCTCCTCGCATTGGCAAAGAGCCGGTCGTAGTTAGCCAAGAATAGGCGGGACATTGATACGCAGGCCTCGGACAACCGTACCACAATTCAAGATTGACAGGGGCTGAGTCCCGACAGTGAATCACCGCGGTCACCGTTGGTGGTTGTGGCCTATCACTCATCCCAGGGTTCGTCGCCAAATAGGGGATGGGTGGAGCTCACGCAGTGTGTAATTTCAATCGCATCGGCCGCCCACGGGTGGTCAACACCCTCGACCGCTCCTAAGCTACCCTCCAGTACCCAAAAGGGCAGCCGAAGGGGGCGGCACGGGGAATACACGAGAGAAAGACGGGGGCCGGAGGATGAACCGGGCAAGCTGCCCAGAAAGGCGATGCCTGCCAGCAAATGAGCGGCCAATGCGGTTGGTGCTGGGGAGAGATCCTTGAAAGCGACATTAATACCACAGTGGCCCACGGCGCCTGGCTGTGCCCAGGATATGACTGGGCGTGACTGGACGTGACTGGCCATGCCTGTCCGGGGCCTTGAAAGGTGGCCAATGTGTGGTAGACAAAGCCCCGCTGGGAGATGAGCTTGGCCTCAGTCTCTTTCCAGTGTGGTCCAGTGTGGCCTCGCATGGCACGGCCCCCAGCTGCTTCAGCCTGGCCCTGGCACACGAGGTCCCTTCTGTCCAAAGGGAACAGGCGCATCAGCCGGCTCATCGGGGACGGGTCGAGAGATTGTTCCTGCATCTGCCAGGCCATATTCCCTCTAGTCCAGGGGGTTAGCGCCTGTAGCGGGGTGGAGGGTGACCTAGGCGCTCGTGTTGGTTATTAGTGCCTCTCGCCGCCTTGTCCGGCTGCTGGGCAAATCTGGGCAAATCTGGCAGGCTGATGAGCCGTGGTCACTGCTCGTCCAGAAGTCGCTGGCTGCAATGTCTTTCTTTAGCACTGGCGGCGGTTGGTTGCATCGTCTAACCAACCATCGAGGCGCAGTCACCCTCTTCTTTAATTGCGGGGATATAAGCGGCAACGAAGCCGGGGGTGTGTTTGACGATCGGATCCTGTCTGGCCGAAATAGCAATCCGAATGCGGTGCATGGCAGCCGACCTCGTAGGGCCCTAACGGTCACCGACTTCTCAGAGTTCGACTTCGGCGTCGCTGTCATTCGTGGCTGCATCCCAAACGGCGGGGGAACACCCTAGAACTCTTTGACCTGGCGACAATCCGATCACATCTTGATCAGCCGACAACTGCCACTAGCTAGTAGTGTTGTCAATCCACCACGATGCGATGGAAATTCGGGAGTCGTCAGTGCCGCCACTGGTTTGGTTGATCAATGGGACTCGGTGACCGCCGTTTCGAAGCAGGGAAACGCAATGTCGATCCATCGGGAGCCCTGTCTTGTTCTTCAAATCAAAGCCCTCCAAGCCCGCTTCTTGGCCTTCGGCCTGGTCATTTTATTCGGCAATGGCCGCCCCCCTTTTCTTATTCATGCCTGTCGGTCGCTGGAGCGAGGATGAAGGAACAAGGCATTCTGGCCCAGGATCCATCTCCATCAAACATTGTCGTCTGCGGGATTCGGCAAAAACCTTAACTTCGGTTCCTTGCCTGTCAAACACGTTTGCCATATTGCGGCTTCATGCGTTCGGCTGTGGGAGCGCACGTTCATAATGTCGGCAAAATCAGAGATTTTAATTGATAGTCCAATGGTACTTGTAGATGTGACATTGTTGTTGTGAATGAGACTGTGAGAAAGAGATGGCTCAGACAGCTCGGACATGGAGGTACTGACTTGCTCGAGCAAAGTGGCTCTCCATGTGCCACAGCTGGTCATGTGACAGCGTGACGGGATTTTGGCAGTCGCAGACGCCTACGCCAACGCGGTTGTGGCTAAAATTTTCTAGCCTCATGCAAGATAGGTATGCAGATGATATTGACACCGCCAAAAATGTTGAAGGCATCTAGGAGTCAGTACGTTTGCTGGAGGTGCATTGCACAAGGTCGCAATAGCCTACAATCTCCCAGCGCAGTGGTTGCTCGTCGATTGGATTCTGGGCAAAGAGTTAGTCTTGTCCCAAGCTGGAACATGCCACTAGCCATGATTTACAACTGATCACCTTGATTCCAGCACTCTGTTACTACACAACAACGCCCATCAGAGCATGGCTTTGGTCCAACAAACATCCCAAAGGCTACCCCTGCGGCACCTCAAGTCCCCGCATATCGGGATAGACGGCCTATACGAGAACAGTTACGAGACTGGGTCCCCGAAGGCGACAAGAGTTCCATCGAACACCTCATCCCCGACCGCACCTTCTACGGGAAAGTAACCAACAGTAACACTAGACCTCAGTCGACGGGTTCCTCAGAACTGGACTATTTCAGATCTTCTCTGGGGGGCATGGCCGAAATTCCTGATGGTGCCAGAAGTGAGGATGCCGAGGTTGCCGTCGTTGGCTCTAGTGCCCGGGTTCCTGGCGACCTGGTTGAGATGAAGTTGGTTTTCTCAACCCCCTGCCATCGGCATAGTTAACAATCTCATAGGCAACCTGGCTCTCGTACCCCAGTCTTTGGTATCTATCTGGGTTACTTTGGAGACCGACATCACTTCTATGCCAGCAATGGCAGGTGGATCATCAGCCTCGGCTTTTCTGCCCTTTTTACGGTGTCCAATTTCGCCACTGCTTCAGAGATACAGCCATTGCTAGCCATGCTCCCGATGGATGCCACCTCAGACGAGCTTCAGGAATTGCAGAGGGACGACAAAGGACCTTCGCGGGAGGCTGGTGCTCAGCTGATTAAAAAGATGGGCAAGTTTGTCTCGTCCGCTGATGAATACTACCAAAACAGTCTCACCAACTTGGATAAAGCGAGGGCTCTGGTCTCGGATGGTAAGAAGACGAAATACCTCAGTCTCTTCGAGATTACCGAGATGCTCTTACCCAAGGCCGCTAGACAGGGCAAGAGCTTCTCACCCGCTGCTCTCTATGCCGTCCACACAGCCCTCTACCGAAATGACTTGATTTTCCGACCCCTCAGTCCCTCATCTGACTGTCATCGACGGGACCACCTCTTCGAGGTTTTCCCATATTTTGACATCACAATGATCAATCGTGTTTCCACACTGGCACGGGACTACACTGCTGCGAAGAGCGATGACCTACAGGGTCCTTCTCCTGAGGAATTCGCGGAAACGTCACTGGGTAAGTTCATATTAAAGGCTAGAAAGGTTGTCAAGGCCAGTCGTGCGAAGCGTTCATGGACCCCGCATGGAATTCTAGCCCCTTCATCCGGAGTTACTGTGGAGGAAGTAGATTGGTCGAGATCCAACATGGACATTATTCGTTACATCGAGTGGTGGGCGAGCTATAACCTCTTTGAGGATTCCTCCCGTTACCACGCCTATGGCTCTATCATCCTCCGAGCTTTGGATCTATACGACGATGCAGTTCTGGACCAGAGTACCGCTTGGACCTTTCTCCAAGAGCTTGGTATGATCCCACCGTGGGAGATCCCGTCTCGATACACAGTCCGGTTTCCAGGAGTCAAGATCGAGAGAGGCGGAGGCCTGGTTCGCGATACGCCAACTAACCTCGAGGACTCCCGACGACCCGACATCGCTGCGGGCGCCAGAAAGGAATGGACGGATGTGAATGTCCTCTGCATTGATGCTCCCTCGACAATGATCATCGACGACGGTGTCTCCCTGGAGAGGACAGAGAAGTCCGACGAGTTCTGGATCCACATTCACACGGCCGATCCTGCGTCAGGATTGCTGCCGGATTCAGAGTTGGGCAAGTTCATGGAGTTGATACCTGAGAATATTTACCTCCCTGGTCACTTCCAAGCCATGTTGCCGTCTGACGTGGGGGTGGACAACTCAAATGACTACAAATCTGAAGGCCTTGTGCAGAGCTATTCCCTAGCAGCAGGACGGCCGGCTCTGACGTTCAGTGCGAAGGTCAATGAAGCCGGCGAACTCCTCGACTACAAAGTTGAGCCGGGTGTTCTCCACAAAGTGACATATCTGGACCCAGAGGATGTCTCCAAGTTTTGTCAGGAACCCGCACCTCCTGCTGTCCCTGAGATGACTCTCACTGTCGGGACACTTCCGAAGAAGGCCAAGCTAGCTCCCAACCGGCCGATGATTGCCGCCGAGAACTTGGATGCCGAAAGCAAGAAGGACCTCTTGACATTGTATCGCCTTGCTGAAGCCCTCAGGCGGAAGCGGTTGGATAAGGGAGCGTGGCCCTACTTTACCCCTGGGCCGTCAGTCGCAGTTGCATTCGAGGATGTCCCAGTGGTGGCAGGATCGTCGACGACCACCAAGGTGCTGCCCCCAGATCCCTATATCAAGGTCAGCTACGAGTCCTCCAACGGTGCATCGGTGGTTTCCAACACCATGGTGCTCGCCGGTGAGATTGCGGCGCGGTGGTGTTCAGATCGTGGCATCGCTCTCCCATACCGCAAGGACGCCAACTCGTCGTCCAACTTTGCAGCAATTCACGAGTACGCTACGAAAGAAATCTACCCTCAGCTGAACAAGGGAACGCCAGCGACGGCGGCACAGCGTCAGGAGCTCTCCCGTCTGACCGGGGGCATCCAAATCTCGTCGACGCCAGGTCCTTATTTCATGCTCGGCCTGGACATGTACGCCAAAGCCACGTCCCCCTTGCGTCGCTTCTCCGACCTCATCGTCCATTGGCAAGTGCACGCGGCGCTGGCTCATGAGCGAAAGGAGCGGCGGCGGATCGATGCATCCGTCGATGACCTAGACAGCATCCTCCCCTTTACGTCGGAGGGCCTCGCCAACACGCTCTCTCTCCTGCACATGCGCGAGAAGATGGCGCGGGTCGTGTCATACGGTGTCAAGGAGTGGATACTCATGGCACTTGTACGAGCATGGAAATTCGAGAAAACTGATCTGGGTCGGATGGTGTTCACAGTTGACTCGCCATGGCGACAGGGTCTGATGGGCCGGATCGACCTGTTCAACCTCAATGCCATTATGGACATCGAAGGCATCAATGCGCAAGTCCTTGTCAAAAACGTCAAGGTGGGCGACCAATTCGAGGTTGAGCTCGCCGACGTCAACGTTCACTCGCAGAACATCCTCGTCAAGGCCATCAAATACCTGGGACACGCCGAGACAGCATCCTCATGAGCTGACGGCGGCCACATCTACAGAAACCCCGTCTAGTTTAGGGCCTGGGGACCGCCTAACCTCCAGCGTCCGGAGAACTGTTCCCCTTCCCGACTCTCCTCTCTGGTGTACAGCACGTACTCGTCTCCTTCGCGGGCATGCTCTGCCCGTACCAAGATGAGCTGCGGAATGACGTGGAGCCTCCCCGCATTCTAGCACTCATTTGCGGGCAGCGATCGCCCCTGCGTTGGATACAACCCCCGTGCCGGTGTCGTCAATGCGGACGATTGGACGCATTGGCCTCCTCCATCGTGGGAACATGGTTTCGTCCACGGCCACTCAATGGCCACTCACTCAATGAGGAACAGCAGGACGGCGGCCGGGCTGCCTTCCGATAGCTTAATCACTTACCGTAGCTCACGGCACTCAATTGATTCAGGCAATGGGAACGGACCGTTGCCACACTTTCCGCTCAGACTTGGTCGTTACGTACCATGTACTTACCCCGTCCAAGGGTATAGGTACTGGCTGTACTGTGCACGCGCTTCCCCACGATGGAACGGAAACGTACGACGTGTGATTCGTTCCAACGCAGTGAATGAGGGAATGAGTGACCTTGTTCCCTGCCCGCTGGAAGCCTAACGGCCCCCCGTGAGCGCGCGGCTGATTGGCATCGTTGGCCTCGTTGGCATCCATCCCCATGACAAGTGCGGCCAGCGAGTTGATTGCTGGAGAGTCCCGTCCACTCGGTCAATCCGCCTCGGTTTTAGTGCACGTGGGTTGTAAATACGGGTCACGCGCACCTTTCCCGCGAAAGGAACACAGACCAGCGACGCCCGGTCCCCAACAGTTTTTTTCTCTCTTACTGCGTAGGGTAGGTACTCCTCACCTCACCTGCATCACGGGCGAATCCCCGGCGATTCCCCGGCGACGCCTATTCGCCCTCGGCCCGGGAGGGACCCTGGAGGCGGGGGCCCGTGGAGCAGCAAAAACGAGGCTGATTTCATGCCCTGTAAGCCGCCGTGGCGAGACCCAAAAGGCGCGACGGGTCTGCAAACTTGGCGGTAGTTGTGGCTCCGTACCTTGCTTCCACTTCCACTTCCGCTTCCCTCGCCCATCCATTACGGATTCTGACCGACTCTGACTCCGCGACCACTTTTTGGGGCGGTACTTGTGCGCCAGTGTCTGTCACCCACTACCAGCCAGTACCTCCATCCAGTACCTCCAGCTAGTCAGTCTCAGCCAGCACCAACAAATCCACACTCCCATCCGCTCGCTACCTATCCGTCACGAGGAGAACGACATAATTCGCGCTTTTCATGCATCAACCCCATATCAGGTGTAAAACTCTTGTTAACTCTTTTTATCATTCCCGCCGAGTGCGCGTGATTTTCCATGCCGTGCCTTGCCTTGCCTCCTCCCCCCAAACCCAGACCTATAGACAATGAATACACAAACGCACTGGAAATCTGCCCTTATTTGCTTTGCTCTTTGCTTTCCATTTCCTTCGCCGTTTACCAGTTGCCTTTCCTTTATTTCCTTTGCCGTAATCGCCCCGTGCCGCCCTCCAATTCGTAGCCCCCACTCTCCTGGGATATCATGAAGAAACTGCCAGAATCAAGTTGCAGAAAAAAAAAATTGTTTCAACGCCAAGGTCCCCGGGCCCGTTGCCCCCATGGTCCCTCCATCCGTATCCATTCCCTCACGCCCTTCTTGTTGAGGCCGTGAGGGGCGGTCACGAGGCCGTTTCGTGAGGCGGTAAATGTTGTCGATCCAGTAGCCCTCCAGTAGCCCTGGTACTGGCTCCGGCACCGGCCACTGTGTCCGCTGCTCCGGCCCTTGATTGTTGTCACTCGTACTCGTACACAGCCCCCCCCTTTGCGCTCCTCGGCTCCTCGTGATCGCTCCCTCGGTGCTTCAGGCTCTTTTCATCGAGAGCGTTGCTTTTCTGTATTCCGGTTCCGCCTCTCTCTCGCTTCCACCATGTCTGTTTCATCTCGTACAGACCCTGTATGATAAATAGGTCGAATCAAAATCGCTTTCCAAGTGCTGTCGTGACGTTGGCCTGGGATCCAGTTGTATGTAACCTGAATGTCCTCGAGACGCGATGATTCTGATAAATAAACGTCGTGGGGAATGCTAGCAGCCATATATGAGATGCTCGTATCAAGTAATGCGCCCTTCTTCAAAGCTGCCTCTCCAAAATGAGTTGCAGCGCATCGGAATTGTCCTCGTCTGAGTGGCCTTTGGGCAACTCGTCGTGTGAGATGACCCTAGTAGGTGAAATTGCCGACACATGCTAAGCCATTAGATATTAGAGTTAGGTTCCTCGGCCGCCGTAATGGATGGCTTGGAGGCCACCCTATTACTTCCTCCAGCCCACATTCCAGATGACATGGGCAATGTCGCGGGCTGTGTTCACTGTGTCAATTACTCGGCCAAAGATGCCCTCGCCATTTGCTGGGTCACCCTCCTCGTATGGCATGAGCATCCCCGAGGCTGTGCGTCGCATGCCAGCAGGGTCGTCACACAGACTAGTGGAAGAGACGGATCGCTGGAGTCCGCCATTGGAACCATCCGCAGGTGGCGATGCCCAGCCAGATCGGGGGCTCAACAATGCGTCGTCCAGGCCCTCGTCGTCGTCCTCTTCGCCAAAGAAGAACTTGCCGGAATGCTTTGAGGGTCGGAGTGTCTCCTGCGACGAGGATGGGGACATGAGGGGGCTTCGTGAGTGCTTCATGGCCGTTTCCTTTGGCTCAGGTGTGTCCTCTCGGTACTTGAGGGTAGTTGATGGGAGCTTGGCGATCGTCTTGCCTTCGGCAGTCTTGGTCTTGCATGCTCTCTTTCTGATGACAGGCCGCTTCTTGCTCGTCATGCGCTTCATCATAACTCCATCATCCGAGTCACTGTCATCGCCGAATGGGTCAGACTCCACGGCAACATCATCTTCATCGTCGTCGCCCTTAACATCAACGGCGATGCATTGTTCGACTTGCTCGTTGAAGTGAATGTGTTTCCGCTCAGTGCTTGGTGAGGTGATCCCGGAGGACTCCGCCGAGGGAGCCAGACTGCTGCTCTCCCCACTCATTCTTCTTGATGAGAAGGGATACGCAAAGTAATCCGTAGCCGCGCGTCCCATACGGGGCCTCAAGATTCCCCTAGTTTCCTGGGCTTGGACTGCTGCCGTCGCTTGCTTTAGTAGTGAGGCAGTAGACAATGATCTCTGAAGCATGACTTCCGACATGCTCCTCTTCTTGAGGATGGGTTTCTTATGAAGGTTGATGAGCGAGTCAGCCTTAGATAGTGACAGACTTGATGGTTCGGTCTGGGTATCATGGATAGGCTTGTTGCCTGACTGGAGGGGGCCATAGAGCCAAGTCACATCACAGTCCTTGAGCCTAGGAGGTGTTAGTACTGGATGCAAAACGAACTGAGTGAGCAGGTGTGTACCAATTGAGGGATTCGGGTGAAATTGTCTTGAGATTGTTCTTGGCTTTCATCCACGTTCTCCAGGAAGCGTTCTCCAATCGGGCACTGTTGGCAAACTCTCCGCGCCGGGTCACAATGTACCTCCAAGAGGACCAAATATCTTCTTCCCGCCATTCATGGGACAGATAGTCGACCTGGCGCGACGGCCTAGTCGAAACAGCAGTGTCATCTTCTGCGTGGTCGCCAAACTCGGGGGTGCCAGGTCTTGAGGTGTTGTTGGAACCGTCGTCGGAGCTCCCGTGGTCAGCAGGCGAAACAGTGTAAGAGTCGCCAGTCCGGGGACTCGGAGGAGGCTCCAGGTTGTCGTCCGGGTGGAGTTGGGGGTGGACAAAGAGCTTCTCCTGGGCAAAGGAAGGGAACATGAAGTGGTCTTCGGGAGATTCTGCAAGACCCAGGTGGTCGTCGTATTCGGAGGCAATGGAAAGATTGGTGGCCGGGGTGGAGGCGCAAGACAGGTCGGTGGAATCAGCGTGAACGGTGCGTGGGGAGGAAGGGGTTGAAGAGGATGTGGAATCGGAATAGGTCTTGGTAGGAGTGCCGTAGGAGTCGTTGAGGTGGGAGGCTGTAGAGAATGCGGAGGATGCGGAGACGAAGTTGGCGGAGGAGTGGGAGCGCCTGAGGGACGAGGCGGCAAAGTAACCACTATCGTCCGAGGTAAGAACGACGGCCATGATGGAAGACGATGGGGGTCCGCAGACGGGACCGTGACGCCGCAGCACCCGAAGAAATACTTTGCGGTTACAGACTCATGAGTGTCTATGAGATGGATGTTGAGACAAGATGGGATTTGGCGTGGGGAGGAGGAAGATGGGTTTGCCGACGGGTGGGGGGCGGGTTATAGGGAGCGCCGGGCAGGTGGTAGAAATGGTTTGGGACTAGTTTGGTGGTACCGAGTACTTCCACCTCCGTACGCGACGACGAGCGAGTGATGGGTCTTGAACCTGGTCGAGGCGTGGTGGCGTTGGAGCGGATTATGCCCCAGGCGGTGACGAATTTCGTGGGGGAAAAGAAAGGACGGCAGTCGGACCGGGGGTAGGGTGATGCAATGCGAGTGCGCCCGATTGTGTGATTGACGACGAGCGAGCGAGCGCTCCTTGTCTTTATGTAGTGCTGTTTGTTGTTGTTGAGAGTCCAAGAAGAGGAGGCCGAGGACGAGGACCAGGAATAAACGGGAATGGAAGGAAGATGGGGTGGGAGCCAGGAGGATGCAAGTAGAGATAAGGGACGAGAGGCACACGGTATTCATACACGGGGGTGCAAGTTGGAAGAAGAGGATGGGAGGGCAAGGGGAGGGGAGGGGACGAAGTCAATACAACTTGGCGACCGAAGAGGGCCTAGGATCGATTGGGGACGAGACAGGCGAACGGTATCCGTACTGTCCAGCGTCGAAGGGAACAAGAAGCGAGAGTAGACTCAGTAGAGTGCGGCGGGTGAAGACGGATCGGCGCTTGTTTCTGGCGGATTTGCTCTGCGCAAGGGCATGGGATGGGTCTGCGATGGGGACCGGCAGGACGGTGCAGAGTGAGGTGCAGAGTGTGCATGCCTGCAAACTAGAGCCCCCAGGCACTGTAGGTCCCAAGCCCCCCCCAGATGTCTCGCCCTCGGCCCCCCGGGAGGAACATCACGCACGCAGAACGCCCTACTCGAACCGGGACTGGATTGGACGGTTGCCGTAAAACAGACTAGAGGCTGATTGAGGGGCGACGAGACTCGAGACTGAGCACTGAGTATGTGCCGGGGTTGTCGCGCCAGGGCCGCCGCCCAAGCCCAGGTCTCGCTTCTCCACCGGCCGGTCGGGTTGACGGGCGAGGGAGGAGGTGTGGATGTACGTCCCTGTGGGAGGGGGAGTGCGTTGTATTGCTGTACTGTTGTACTGGAGTGCCGAATTGACGCTGTATCGCAGTATCGCTGTATGCGCAGGGCTAAATTCAGTCTGTACCGGCGATGGTAGGGTAGGGATTGGATGTGGGGAGAGAGGCCCAAGTCTAGACGGTTTCTATCTACTACGAATATCACTCTCACTCTCTCATTCTGTCGTCACCTCCCCTGGCATTTTCTGTTTTTTCTCGCTCTCTTCGCAGCAGCACGTCCATGGCACGGACAGCAAACGCAGGCCCAGCAAACTGCCTTCCGAGTAAAGTAAAGGGTGATTGAGTCCAGGTGTGGGTGGAGGCGTGGTGGTGGTTCTTCGGCCTCGGGAGGGGGGCGTGGGGTGTGGCTAAAAGCGTGGGAGGTCGGTCAGTGGACAGTACCGTAGCGTGGGTGTTGTCTTTGCGATATCAGAGTGTGTGACTGCGTGTGGCTCCTGTTCTGCCTCTGCTTCTGGAGTCTGTGTGTCGAACATACCTTGCCGTGCGTGGAGGTGGGATGGAGGGAGGGTTCGCGGACGTCGAGTCACTGTAGAGTCAGTCTGCGGCCCCTGTGGATTGCGCGAGCGTGGGAATGGTGGTGGTGCGTGGGTGTGTCCACTTTTGCGTGGGCGTACGAAGGCAGCGACGGGAATGAGGATGTTATCGGGTTCCGGGAAACCAAAGTCCGCGTCCTGGCTCGAGAGAGAGAGAGCTCGGCATAGCGACGGAGGCGATCAAGGGAGACCGGTCCAAGGTGAACGGAACGCCATAATCAGTCAGAATTCGCCGCAGACGACGCCGTTATGCGATGCGATGCGATGCCGCTCAGTTACTGCACAGCACCCAGACGACCTAAATTTACTGGACGCATCGGCAGCACACACATTACGGCGCCGGCCACTCGCTGTAACTACCCCAACTGTGCATAGCGGCTGGGGGGCCAGGGCACACCACGAACATGCTGCGCAGCTGACTGACAGCACACGGGCAGCATCACCCGCAGCAACAAAAGAGCCCGGGGCCCCCAGGCACGTCGAGGCCGCGGCCGGTGCACGGCTGCAAACATGATGGCAACACGGGTCAGTGTCATTTGCATTTGGTGCTTCATGACCGGGGAATTTGATGAATTGAATGAATTACTTGAATCAAGGACCAAGGGCTGGCAGGGTACCTAGTATACGACCGCTAACAGGCAACAACTCCACTGTCCGTGTCCGGGGGCGTCCCGAGAGCACCGCGGCGCCGCCCACTCTGTGCCCAACGGCTCCTTAATTATGACTTCTGTCCGTGACCGAGCTCGCGACCAAGGGCCACGGGGGACGGGGGGTCCGTAATTGGATTGCCTCCCCCGCTCAAAGAGAAATCTCCTGTCCCGTCTCCTGACCGGCGAGGGTGCCACGGTCCCAAGGTGACGAGGTGCAGAGGTAACTGTACCGCGGCGTGCCTGGGCGGAGGGATCCTCATGACGAAGAAACGACGCCGTTTCCCGTCAGGGCCCCCTTCAGCCGCAGTGTCGCAGCAGCACGACATGGCAGGTTGCTCGCTCCGTGCTTCCGCGCCTCGTCAGGCACTTCAGAACCCCCGAGTCCGGGGCCCGGCGGAGGCGGAGGGTCTCGTGCAAGGGGAACGAACGTGATGATGGGTCCCTCTGGGCACGAGGACGCTCGGAACTCCATCTAAGTCGAGAGTAGGGGCAAGGGGGCAAACCCGCGGTTGGAGGCGACAGACACGGCCGCGATTGAAAATGCTAGCCGAGGACCAGCGGACGTTGCAATCATACCTGAATTGTCCTGGAGTCACTCAGCAAATCGATGCCCTCGCCCTCTCTCTCTTTACCTAAGAGCTACTACCTTCTCCTCTCTTACACGCTCTGTGGGCTCTAATACCTCTTTCTGGCTCGCTGCTGGAATTCAGTCTCCAACTGCCAGATCCGACATGCCTTGCTAGGGGCAACCCAACGGAGCGGTCCACGATGGAGGCCACGCCAGCGCCCCGGGGCCCACGACTAGTTCCCCCGACGGCCCCAAGCGGCCCAGCGAACTGGACCAGACGGAGGTCGGGCAGGGATGGGAGACGCCAAAATGAAAATCCTGCACCGTCGCCTGCTGCTGGGACGCGCCAAGCATCGTCGGATTTTTTCTTCCTCGCCGTCGGCTGGCTTGCCAACATGGAGGCGAAGCGGGGACGGGTTCCAGAAGCAGCGCGTCTCGGTCCACCGAGACCCTCCCCTGGCCGGGGATTCGAGCATGGGGCCGTATTGGACAGAGCCGTAAATTGGGCTCGAAAGAAGAAGGAAATATGAGAGAAAAAAACTTCTTTGCAATTTCTGAAGCCGCCTGAATCCTCGACGCTTTCCGGGGTTGCTCAGATGCGGTTGTGCCTGGGCACTGGGCACTGGGCACTGGTGCTGTCTCACCGTGCAAGGGGAATGTTTGCGACGACCCTGAGTATGCCCAATTTGGCCATCTTGAAGCGCGGCATTGTAGGCCCGAGCAACGAGCACTTTCCCTCTCCCGTATTCTCTAGACTATGGCTGTGTGGCGTCTTCCATCCCCCTCGATCGCGACATGTCGCCTCCAGGTCTCGAAAAGCCCATTGCTCGAGTACGAAGAGACAATGACAATACCAAGGAAAGTCTGGTATCATTGGGCCGTCGTTGGTTTTCCCTGGGTAGCAATAGAACTCTGATAACATGTTACTCTCGGACAGCACAGCCTCCGTGTGTACGAAGTATGACAGAGGTATGAGTGGATGGATCCCATGTTAGTCGGAGTGCATGCCGACGAGACCTGTAGGAAGAGCCTCCTCCGCGATTCAAGTGGAGAAGGGCCAAGTCTTCAACCGAAACCTTGCTCCTGGGCGAGCTCGGCATGTACGAATACGGCCAACGTAGGGTAGGTGTAGCTTCAACGTCAAAGAGGGGATATCTGCGTTACGAGGGACTTTCTGTCCTCGACGGACCCAGGCGTGCCTGGATGGAGACTCGGGCCGGGAGTTGAATGCATTGTTGCAAATTACCCTCTGGATGATGTGTCCGCCCAGGCTCAATACGTAAGATGGAACCTACTATGTTGGGGCCACCTCATTGACTTTGCAACCATCTGCAGCAATTTTGCAACCATCAGCCACCAACAAGACCACCACGGGGGCCACCGAAGAGGGGAATAATCAAGCCCTTGTTTCCCCATCTGTCGATATGCATTTGAGTGCCGTGAGTGGCTTCGTACCTACTTCGGCCACAATATGGGTTGCTGTTGCATCACAGGAATGCACCAAGAGCGCCTCTGGCGAGTTGTAGATACGGACACGGGTTGCTTACTCGTCTTGAATGGGCCAGTGTCATTAAACTCCTAGGGGGGTTGTCTATTACATTATGCGGTGTAGGTTTGCTGCTCGCTGAGGGAAGAGCGAACGGTTCGATATTGGATCTTGGACTTCTCGGTGGACGAAGATCGTTACGAAAATGGCATTCGTCTCGCCCCCCGTACCTGGCTAGGTCGCTGTATGACCGAGGTATGATACAGAACTGAAGATTCAGTCGTAAATGATAACATTCCGATCGCGCACAAAGCGAGCCTAGACTAATTGCCGACCCAACGAGACCGCATTCTAAGCAGAAATCGTATCACTCACAGATGGCGCGGTGCTTCTGTGCCGCTGTGGCTGACGCCATGGAGCATTGTCCGCCACCCAAAGCTCCTTTGAGCCGTAGTCAAAGCCATCCCCTCCCGGTCCCGCTGCATCGCACCTCGTCGTCGTCCCGTGACCTGCAGTTGAAGCCTCCTCCGTGAGCATTGTGGCACCGACTTATCCCGCGATGCGACCACTGACTCAGAGGACAAGCGAGCCAGAGTTGAGGTATTGAAGAGCATGGCACGACAGCCAGCTTGGACAGTAGGCCGGATTGGGTGATCCGTATTTGGATCGGTATGTATTCTTGGTGTTTCGCTGGTTGGTTGTTGGTAAATTTTGTCGGGTTTTGCTGTTGCCTACCCTGTGCCCAGTTCCAGAAGCCCGAAACCACTGTGAGCCCTGGAAGACCACTGGCTTCAGCGAGTGGCTGCTGGAGAGACTCAGGTCAGACACGCAGGCGCCCCAATCTGTTCCCCATCCGAACCCCAGACTCCCCCAGAAATCACTCCCTGGCGCCCCGACGCCCCCGGATCACGCCCCCCCCGGGGCCAGGTATCCGGATGAACGACGCTTGTTTGTCTCTGATCGAATCCCAGCCATGTCTTACCACGTACTTAGTAGGTTGCGATGCAAGCGACCGTGTTGCTCACCGCGGTGTGATCCCGGCATCCGAGCCACAGCTACGTAGCCACTACTGTACACCTTGGCCATCTCACTCGTCGCGGCGCCCGGGTTCCGGGGCGTTGATTTTGCCTCTCCTCTCGGATCGTCCTCCGTCGAAACTCTCCTGTTCAGTTTTCTCCCTGCGCACGCTCGGCCTTCTTCCGATGGGCTCATCCACCAGCCGTGCGCGGTCTCCCTTTGGTAGGCGGATCAGCCCGAGCCGTACGGTTGTACGTAACTGAGCAGGTCGGCTACCTAGTCGAAATGCATTCGCCTCCTCTTCCAGCCAAAGCCACCGCCAGAGGGCAGGGCGGGCTCAGCACAGGACGCGCCAGACGCCAGCGTCCTCACGCCATCATGCTGATGATACTACCATTGGAGCATGGAGCATGGCGCGTGGAGCATGGCGCATGGAGCATGGCGCATGGCGCATTGACCATGGGGATCGGAGCCTGTTGTGAAACGTCTGCACGCTCCTTGAAGGGCCAATCCACGTTGGCGTATCTGACGTTTCATTCGCTTCGGCCATTGGTCAACTCCGACCCATCACCATTCTTTAACCTCTTCGCACGCACACTCTCTCGATGCGGCTATGCGAACACTGTCTTATCCATTGAAAGGCGCCTTATCTCGAGAGCAGCTCGGATGCGCCACACCAGGCACCCTTGCTGCACGTCTTCCCGCAAACAGCTGTAGTCTCGCAGCAGCTTCGCAGAAGGCTTGCAGAAGTGCCGCAGAAGTGCCACTCAACCCCAGGCGCTCTCAATACGCCAGGTGCTCGACTCCAAGCCACTCGTCTCGCCAAGCACCGGGAAGCATCCTTGAAGCATCCTTGATCGTGACACAAAGGCCGCGGTTTAGCTCTCCGCCCTTTGTCATAGCCGCCGCCCGCCTCCTCACGCACAAAGGGCGGGGCACGGCCGAGTTGCCCCTCAGATAGAGCTATCTAATCGCCTCCACTGCGATAACGCGATACAGACACCTCCCTAGGTCTCGCTATCTACCTTTGGCTACTTTCTGACCTACGTATCTAGTTCCCGAACAGCTCCTCTCGTCTGTCTCCAGATGGTTGCCTTCAGCGATGCCGTTGCTGTGGTCAACTGGCCCAGCCACAAACCCCTCCTTTCCACATATCCCCTAAACTCTCTGGTGCTCGGCCGCTGTACGTCGAGACTTTCCGCAGGGTTGCGTTCGCGACGTGGAGGAACTCCCAGTCCAAGCCGACGCAGCTCTGCGAATAGATTCCTTATCCCAGGCTCTCCGGTCCTATCCCCAGGCTTGTCCACCCAAGCGCTTGAACTGGTTGCTGAAACCCACTCATCCTTGGTTGCCTCGCACTGCTGAAGTCGACACGAGTTGTGCAGCCGGTCAGCAGCGAAACACCCTAAGAAGCTCCCAAGGAGCTATCATCCCGGCCAATCCGTCCATCTTCTCTCCACCGATGAACCCTCCCTCAATCGAAACTGCCATAGTGGTGGGGAAGAGGCTGCCTGGAGCTCGGACTGCGGGTTCTTGGCTTGGCCATCTAGGCTGCTTTGCAGATATATGGGTTTCCATTGTAACGCTGGGATAGCCGAGATCATGGCGTTTCCCAACTTGTTATCGTCGTCTTCGTCAAATTGGTGCGGCCGACACGAGTGCCGTTCTGTCATATCTTGGATCAGCTCTGGGCGCTTCCGTTACAGTGGAGTTGAGAGTTGCACCCAGGAGGAGTCTCGGAGAGCCAGGATGCTGCAGATAATGTCATCTCCGAGCATCTCCTGCCTCCTGCGCCGGACATGATGGCGAAACTAGCCCAGCGTAAGAACCGCATCATCAGACAGAGGCGGCGACGAACAAGCGCCTTATCAACAACCAGCAGCCCACTCCCTGCCCACTCTCGCAACGTCGCTGTCCCACGCGCGTTCACGAAGAACCCCCGGTACTATGTACTACCTTGGCCAGACGTCGCAATTGGACTCGGCATGCAGTCCCAGGGTTCTTAGTCCTGCGGACGCACCTCTTGATGCGCGGCACCCTGCAATGCAACCCCCCCAGACGACCCTCTTCGCTGACAAGTCATTTCTTCACCGGTTGCCGAATCTTGACAGAAACCAGAGTGCCTGGGACCATGAGATGCATCGTAGTACCCGAGTGCTTACCCTCCAGCCTGGACGATGGCCCGGTGCGATACGCCAGCGCTGAGATTGTCATGGGAGTGGGATGGGGGCGAGGGTGGCTCCGTCGACCGTGTCAATCAGCAAGCCTGTTTCTGCTGCCGCCCACCTGGCCCGACGATGGGTGGACGGATGCTACCACGGCCTTCTTCGAGCTCTGACAGGCTGCAACCGGCCGCTACAAGCTTGGTGTTGTCAACTAGACCTCATCGACATGGGCGCCCCGCGGTGTTCCCTGTATTGTGGATGGAGGTGTCGGCAGATGGTTGATTGCAGGGCCTTCGATCTGTGCGAGAGGCCGTATCCAGTGCCTTCGACACTACTTGTCACCATTCCGCCATTGTTTTCTCTCTTCTCTCCATCTTTTCTCTCTCCTCCCCATCTTTCCTCTCTTCTCGCCCCGTCTGCCACATTGCCGCGTGTTTTTGTTCCGACCCTGTTGTTCCCCGCTCTAGCCTTATATCATCCTCAATTAAGACGAACACACCATGCACTGCCGAACAGATCGGACCAATCACTCGATTGCACAATTCCTCACTGTCAGCAACTTGCCGTACAAAATCACCCCATCGATCGGGCGACATGGCGCACCATCGTCGCCATTAATAACCCAACTTGGCGTTGGATATAGTGGCGCCTCTAGTCCGGGGGAAGGGCTCCCGATGCGTAGCTTGTCCGCTCACATTTGCAGCCGAACGCGAAAAAAACACCTCTCAAGGTTGAGTGTCGTTTCAATCTAGGATTTCAACGCCCTCGTTACAGCTCCTGCACCCAAGACTTGATTCTTGCTAGCGACGGGGCGACGGAGCCTGGTCCACAACCCCCTGCACCAAACATGTGAAAGCCAGCACTGTGAATCTCTTCACCACGGAGCGATGTGCTCTTCTATCAAACTACCAAATCGTGGCTTCTTGAGTCGTTCAAGATAAGGCTGGTGTAACATACGAAACCAAGCCCTTACCACCGAGGCGTTGCCGCCACTACATACCAATTTCTTTTCTCTGCTGTGCAACACCTCGACTTGACATCAACACACGCTGTGTGCGTTTATCCTCAGCCTCATGGCTATCCACTATCTACAGACGCAAGGGCCCTCTCCCCACTCATACCCCCCCTCATCCGGGACCGACGTGCTGCAGCAGAACCCAACTGAAGATAACCCTGGCACGGATGGTCGATGCATGTCAATCCTGACGCTGACCAGACGATCCCCCTTCTGAGGCTCCTTGCAAATCCTCGTGCTAGCGTTGGAGGACACGGTCCAGGGGTGGCAGGCGGTTCATCGTCTATCCGTGGATATCACTTTATCCCTGTCGGCCATCGATCGATGGTCCGCGACGGCCCGCTAGGAATACTGATCAACCAGGTAGCAAATGCTTGGGGGTGATTCGCAACACCGTACTGGATGTGGAGGAGGGTTACAGTCCTCCCTGTCACGGAGCCCGACGGTTGAAAACGGAGCTTGGCCGAGAAAACAAGAGTTCGTGCTCAACCACGCCCGGAATTTGCCACCTCCTTCGGTTTTTTTCGGGCCTCGCCGGTTTTACGCGAAGTCGGACTTCCTGTACCGGGGCCTCAAGAGCTGTGGTGTTTCTAGGATGCATCATGGATCCAGCCTCAAGCGTCTCCGCTCCCAAATAGCATTGATAATTTCGTCCGAAAGTTGCGGCATCCGGTAAAAAAAAAAAAAAAAAAAAAGCACTTCTACCCGCCACGTCAACAACTCTGTAACGCCCGAAGCGCGTCATTCAAGGCGTCATTGTCGGACAAAAATATAAGCTGCCCTGGAGAGAGTTGCAGTTTGGAACCAGCACGCACACCGATGCTGCCATCCCTGCTCGCTGAAGGACCCTGTGGTGTGCAACCAGCATGGCCCCCTTGGCAAAGCCATCGAACCGACGTGGGGCCATCCCGCCCCGGATGGTATCACGAACGGGGATATTCTTCCGGCCATCATATTCTCTGGTACAACTCAAGATTCGAGGCCGGCGAGGGTTTTGTTGCATAATCTGACCAAATCCACCTTACAACGCCTCTTCCTGCATCTAGACGAGTTGAGTCGAGAACTTTGTTGGCGCGTTATCGCTTGGAGATGGGTCAAAGAGCGATATGGGAAGAGAGCAAACTTTGAACCAGGATAATCTGTGACATGGCTTGCGAGGAATCACACCGACCGGAACCAACATGACAACGTACAGACCTTGGATTTACTGAACCCGCTGTACGACGTAGAAAAAGCAGCAATTCAAAATATCCACGGCTGGTAACCGCCGCCCTTAAACTCATCTTGGATACCATCACACCACATTGACATGATGCAGCCACAGCAAAACCCGTGGGCTGCATCATTGGCCTACCAAGCCACACGCAGCGAATGTGTAAGCATGGCCTTTGGCTGGTCCCTTGGCCATTCAGTCTTCCCCTCCACCCTCCGCAAGCTGGCGTTCCACAACAGCCGCATCAGGTCAAATGCATGCGCCATCGGTGTGCAGCCCAACGGCGCTGCAGCGCAACAACCAAGATGTGCCGGGGTAGTAGCAGTAGGGGCGTGTGCTTGGGCCCAGACCAAAGGGGCCTCGAGCACGCCTTTATGCAGGATGCGAGCTGGACGCCATCCTGGGCGAACTACGGGTTCCGCGAGGAGGGACGATACTCCCCTGTCCACGCCAACCTCCACGACTGGTCTCTGATGTGTTCGTATCGTCGATCTCCAGGCAAAAAAGCCCCGGCGTCCAGGATTGCGTTTGACCGGCTGCATGCAGGGCCTTAGCTCTCTGTATGTCAGTGTGTGGGTGTGTGGCTCATGTTGGCGTCGTCGTCTGAGGATCTGAGGACTGGCGGCCACTTTTATCGCGTTCTCCCACCATCATTTCGCCGTTCCCCGCGGCGGGGAAGGGAAATGGTCTCGTGGGGATCATGGCACCTTTGGCGGGAAACCAGGACGGGCAGGCCCGGTGCAATACAACACAGTACGGTATGATCGCTGTCACACCAGGCAGGCTGCAATCATCCAGTCTCATCGGGCTTGAAAAGAGCCATCGAGACCCTCCGGCCGCCCGCCGGGGCCGAAGTCAACCGGGGCTATCTATGCTCTCGGAGCAAAGGCGACGTCGCGCGGTAGTCGGAAAGTAGCGCAGAACATCCGCTTCGCGGGTGCGACGTCCCGGACATCGTAGATAAGCACCTCGCCATCATTTTCGGGATCTCCAGGCTTGAGCATGAGGCCAATTTCCTTTTCGATTCTCTGGCAGATATCGATGAGGGGGGTCTCATCGTCGGCCTTGACCGAGAAGCAGTGGACGTGGACCATGGGCAGCTTAGCTTCGGTGTGGGGGGCAAAGAGCTCCTCATGACCATGGTAGAGGCCACGGTAGTTGTGAAGAAACTCGATGGCAGACGCTGGTAGGTTCATGACGAAATGCGAGATAGTAGGAGGGACTGGGATCCGGATAGGCGTCGGTGGGGGCGCCGTTGAGTTCCTAGGTTGCTTCGAAGGCTTGATCATCGCACAATCACCACGCTTAGAAGCCTCGAGCACGAGATCGGCGGCCTGATGAGGGAATTCGTGCCCATCACAATTGAATGGCTTGACGTATTGAGAGACCTGGACGCGACTGTTAGCCATGAAGCTATCATTACTGAGCTGAGCAAAATGAAACCTACTTTGTTCTTGCGGATCGCTTCCTCCAGGTACCGGTAACTCTCCGGGTTCTTGTCGTTTGCCCAGACAAAGACGCCCTTCTTGCCAGCGGGCACTGCGAACGGCCCAATACCGGCCATGACGTCTGCAACTACCTCCCCTGGCTTGAAGAAACTTGTGATGCGCTTGTGCTCCGTGTCAAGCTTGCTGTTCCAGTACACCTTAGAGTAGTCGAACTTGAAGACACAACCGGCCTCGTTGATCTCAACATTCAGGTCATCGGGTCCGCCGAGGACTTCGTAGGCAAACGTCCGGTACTCATTTTCTGAGCCGACATTGTCAATCTTGTTGATGACCGTCCGGAGATGAGGGTTCTTATCCAACAGAACCTCCGCTATGAGTTTCTTGTAGGGTAGGTACTGGTTTCGGATGTTGAGATGAGCTAGCTGGGTTAGCATCCCTGATGTAGAGATTGGTGACCAGGTCTCACATACCGACATGTCCTACAGTGTTGAATCCACTGGGGATTTCATCTTGAAGTTCCTCTGGCAGGATAGCTCTCAACACGTCGACTTGAGTTCTGTCAGTTCATCACGCACCAAAGCACACGAAAGGAAATTCTTACCGTATGACCAAAAATCGTAGCCAATCTCAACATCATACGGTATGATTTTGAGATCGCCCAACTTGGCCGCCTCCTGAAGGACGGGACTCCAGGTCTCTGGTGCTACAATTTTTATCATCTGTCAGTCCTGTCATAGTAGGAGTGTTTGCGACAGTCAACATGTTCAGCAACTCACATGATGGCTTGATCTGAGGGGCCAAGACAATGCATTTCTTTCCTTGGGCAGCCAGAGCCGGGTCTGGGTCGGGCAGTACAGGGTTGAACTTCTCCAAGAAGAGAATCTCGTTGGTCTTCTCCAGCTCCTTGCGATACTTGGAGAGCAGCTTGTTTTCCTTGACTGACGCGGCGGCGGCGTTGAGCGTCTTTGCAAATAGCGCCCTGTCCAGCGTCTTGGCTGCCCGAACGGCAGCGGGTGCTCGGAACAGGTTCATGTCGCGAAGTTGCGAGGTTTTCTATTTGCCGCCTGGTCAGTCTCTCATGGAACGAATTGCTCTTCGCAGGCGACGGCAGAACTGACATCCATACTGGCGCTGTGATGCTCAGATATCTTTGGTATCCGAAGCACTGACTCTTACTGAGACAGGGATTCTGGAGAGGCTGAAATGAATTTTAGGGCTTGTGGAGTCACTTTTTGGTGGCCGCACCGCCACGACTGCCGCCACAGCTCAGAGTTCGACCAGTCGCAAGGCTGAGGCTTCACAAGGTGATGGTTGGTCAAGCACAAAATCCTCCCTTCTACTTCAACTACTTTGCATTTATCCATTACGAAGGTCATTGTCCCCATATCCATTTGACCTTAAAGACTAATATTTAAAAGATAAGAGACTTAATCTATATTGATATAAGCCATAGTATACAAGGTTTAAACCCAATATTTAATGAAACCTATAGAAGAGAACGAACTCTCAATACTAGTAGAGACAACTCAATAAGAGATGCAATATTATCAAATTCTTGGAGACTTTTCTTGACGGAATATGTCATATAATAGAGTACAATTCTTCATCCGCTTTATAATAATATTGATACTTCTACAGGCTGAACAGTGCTTATTTCATACATGGTGCAAATTACTGGAATACGATTCCTCTGTGCTGACAAGGAAGAGCTGGTATTGTTATACCGCTGCTTGGGATTCCCAGTAACTCTCCTCTCGTTGATAAACCAACTCTTCACCTTGATGCACTCCGAACAGCCATTTTGACCTTGCGTTTTCGCTCCGCGCCATCTTCTTTATGATTTAATGCCCGTAAACGAGCTCAAAAAATGCATTCCAGTTCTGACGACCTCCAAGACAAAGTGCCCCCACCGCTAGATGCCACCCTTGATGACCTGCAGCAGGGACTATATCGGAAACAATTAACATCCGTGCAGCTCGTGCAGGCGTACAAGGTCAGAATAGACGAGGTCAACAGCCGTTATTGACCTTAATCCGGATGCCGAAGCCACTGCTCTGGAGTTGGATCACGAGCGGCAGGAGAGAGGAGCAAGAAGGTAACAAGGTCTGTAAGACTACGCATCAACGGTGGCCAAACTGACCGCGGCTGCTGCCGCCTGCTTCATGGACTGCAGTTTCTTTTGAAGGACAACACCGCTACCCTTGACAATATTGAGGCCACGTCGGGTTCAACCGCTCTGCTGGTCACCGGACATTGTTTGGTCGTTCCTCATAAGAAGTCAGAATCGTAGCCTATTTTTTCGGGAATGCATGGTTTGCGCGGTGAATTTAGCTGTCAGTGTGATCAAGGCACACAGCACCTTTTGATTTGGTGATGAAATACATCACTGCGGATCCCGGTTGAATGTAAATGGGGACCCTGCTTAAGAGCGCGGCAGCGAGGGTGGGACGGCATTGGAACCTTGACGAGATGATTCCCGGCCTTCAAGGTATGTTCGGGCGGTCCTTTGACGAGTTAATGTTGTGGGTTTCTGGGGTTATTGGGGTTTAGGAATGATCCATCTTGTCCCGGTCTTGATGTGCCGTTATTTGTTAAAGTACACTTCAGCTGTAGTCAACGTCTAGCTGGGCTAATTAATGGCAACGACGGCGATTGGCCCATCATCTGGCCTTCCTGGGGTAAGACTACCAATGTCGCATAAGCATTACTCATGGATCGCTTGGACCTCTATAGTGAGACCAGTCGATTTGGTGCAAAAGGCCAGCCATGAGCGGTCAGTGAAAAACGTCAGGCATCTCCTCGACTTTCTCGAAACAGGTTAAAGTCGAATAAGCCGATCTTCTTAAACCCTTTGTCCACTCTGTCTGGCCAACCTCGTCATCTCCTGAAACTCCCATGTCATTGGTCTTCTGTCTACTTGGAAAGAGCATGAGCTCTTGTCACCGTTGTCAGTATGTGTGTAGCTCGAGAGAATAAAACGCAAGGACAAGTCACACGCATGTATTAGCGAGTAACATGCAGCCCACTAACTCGTGCATCGTCAAGCACTATAGCTTGCGCATCAACTGCGATAGTACAATACAATCACTGAAGGAGAGAAGCAAGGCCATAGGTTCAGTGTAAAAGTCGACTTGATCCAAACTTTTAATCTAACGCCAAATGTGGAACCCAAAAATTCCTCGTATAAACCCATAGCCATTTCCGCACCTAATTCTCCTTGGTCTGATCCTCTTGAAGATCGAGGTGGAATGATCGGATAATCGAGTCCGCATCGTCGATGGCGAGGGGACGGATGTCGGCCATAGCCTTGATCTTGCTTGTTCTGATACACAGTCAGCGCTGCCCAAGACGAAAAGAAGGAGAAGCAACTCACAGTAGCTTGACTTGAGCGTCGGTCATGTGAAGGCCCAGTTGCTCGACTCGGCTCTTGATCGCGTTCCATCCGGTCAGACGGTGCGCAAAGTGGACATAGCGGCCCAAGCCGAAGTCCGCGGGGTTGATAATCTCGTAAGTACTGTTCTCGTTAGTTCTATGTGGGTTCTGGAGAACCAGACTCGTGTCATAGAGCCGATGGAGCTCCTCAGGAAACTCACGAAGGTGCATTCAACTAAAAGAAGGTCAGCGTGACAGAACAGCTTAATTTCAACGACCTCACTTACGATTGCCTTGCTGTGGATACCGGCCTAAACAATAATGTCAGTACATTTATAAAGATTGATATGAATGCGGCCGTACCTTGTGGGTAAACGCACAGAACCCAGTAATGGGGTTGTTAAAGGGCACGTTGACTAGCCAAATAGTGAGTACATTGGTTCCTGCGTAGATACAGAGGGACTTACTGTGGACAGCCTCGGCAACCATGTTCTCGATCTCCTTAAGACGGTGAAGGTCATACTTGCCCTTGACGTATTCCGGAGCCGCCACGATCATTCTCGCAAGGAATGCTCCCAGGCTTGAAATTCCATTCCTCTCACCTGTCATCCGGGTTAGAGGAGGTTCAGATTTGCTGATTCGAGGACATTTGTACTTACCGATGCCAAGAACACTGGTATCAACATCTAGGAGGAGGGGTATTAGCGGAAGAATGCCACGACAACAGTTTCACAACGGGAAGCACTGGGAACCACCAAAACCCCCAAATGGGTCTGGGGCGTTGGATCAAGGAGGACAACTTACGGGTGGCGCCAGCCTCGAGAGCAGAGTACGCGTTGGCAACAGCGCTTCACTAATGTTAGCACATATGGTTTTTGATCTGTGGTGCGAGCGAGAGGTATGTGTTTACCAGCTTGTGTCATCGTGGCTGCTTTACGTTAATATACGTATACTCATAGAACAATTCCCAGATTTAACTTACAAGTGGCACTCAATATCGCACTTGACAACACCACGGAGGCATCGTACTAGATCGTAGACTTGTCTCGGCGACGCACAACCTTGTGATTTCAGTTCCTGTGCCGCCACATTATTCTGAGGTGAAATACTCACCGACGGTATCGGCAATACCGACACGGTTCACACCAGCCTGATCGACAGCCTTGTAAAGGCTCAGAAGGTCGACAAGGTCACCTGCATCAATGTTAATATTATGGTGTTTTGCGGCGCCGTACGGGGTTACTCGCTCCTAAGTCAATGTTAGCGTGTCATGTCTCGCGTCGCCGTAAGGGTGAACGGACCTGAATGAATCCTCGCTAGAAAATCGCACTTGGACACCTCGGCTGAGAACGAAGTTAGCATGATAGGTACGAGCGACCAATGGCAGATTTGATCTACCTCTTGATGTACGCGATGACCTCTAGGGCCTGCTTGGTGATGGCAGCCATGTCCTTGCCATGTGAATGCTCTCGGAGGAAGCTGGAGGTTCCAATGACGACGTCGACGCCGTACACGCCACAATCACACGCTATAGAGACTCAGCGCCGTCTAAAGATGTCGTTGCCAGTCCATAACCTACCGATCTTGGCATCCTCGAGTGTACACCGGGTATCTAAGCGGCACGATTAATATCATGAATCGGTCGAGCGAACGAAGGACCTGGCGCTTGGCCATACTAACGAGTTAGGATCTTGGCCTTGGAAGGAGGTTAGCACCAGCGTAGACGAACGGAGTGGCAGATGGCCTACCTTGAGGCCGAGCTTGCAGATGGCCTCGCAATCAGCACGGCTGCTTGGAGACGCGCAAGGTGAAGTCAACTCAATGAAATCAACACCGAATTCAGACAGCGCGGTGGCACTGTGAATAGTTAGTTATGTCTCAAGGGAGACGGAGTGAAAGGTGTACATCTTGATCTTGGTTTCTGTTCACATGTAAGTATAGGACAATGTGGAAAAGAGGGGCGTGGAAACAGTACCAGTATCGAAAAAGGCATTGGCAAACTGCTCGCCCTCTCGAAGAGTAGACTCAATGATCTGGAACTTGTCGACGTTGGAGAGAAAGTCGCCGACAGACTGGTAGGGCGATGACGAGTGGTGGGGAGCAGGAGGTTGGACGACAGGGGTCGCAGAGGGGTTGTTTACGAGCAGGCCATTGGTGCCGTTGGTCGTCTCGGGTTCGCCGCACATGGTGAAGGTTTATTAGGATTCGATCTTTGACGGTCTCGTTGATTGTATTTTTCGGGGTCCAGTGAAAGGTATAGAGGGAAAATTTAAGCGTGTTGAAATGTGAAAACAACTGTTGGCTCACGGGATGGTGGGGAGGGGAGGGGAGAAATATCAAATGCAGATTGCGGGGCACAAAACAGTTCGACTCGCCATACGTAATACAGTGTCAACTTAGACGAAAAATTCTGATTCTGTACTCGCTTGGCTCCATAAACTACCATAAAAACTCTGTCTTACAAGTTAGCTTCTCCACGTTTCCACTCTTACCCGCGAAAGCGTCGCAATAAACACACATTATTGGTCCTGGGCAGTTTTGTGAAGGCGCTACCTTGTGCGAGCTGACCGAGCTGCTACAGTACAGTGTGCGAGCGATGTCGCACCCTGAATTACGCACAAACACGCTTATAGGTTCCCTACTTTGACTCAGAGCCGAAGATCGGCCCCCGGAAAGAAAAAGAATTTGGCGGGGGACCAAGCTCGACAACCCCGGGAGGTCCGCCAGCCCCTGAAGTCTGAAGTCCGCCACCCGTCCTCCAGGCGGCTAGATCAAGAGTCAAACCAGCCCGAGATTTACATTACATCAGGTCGGTACGCTCGCCTCGCAGCAAAGCAATGAATGAATGGACGCCGTATGTTTCAAGCTACCACGACGCTGGAGTGGAGATGTGTCTATTGGTACGACCTCTCGTCCCTGCAAGGCTCGCGAGTCCGATATTTCTTGATAAGTTATGGGTTGTCATCTATTTATTCTAGGCGGTCTCGTAGTGCCATGTAGCTCACTGCCACACAACACCTGGGAGTGCGTCGAGTGCCTGGGAAGAAGACGTGGTCGTTGGAGCGTGGGCATACGGCGATAGACCGGCACGCTCGGGCGGTTATGTACAAAATCTCTCCACCAGCACCGGAGCCGGAGCCGGTGCGGCCGAATGCCGGGAGGAACTCGCCGAGTCCCACCTGCAGCTACTGCGGAGCCTCTCGAATCCCATCACGTGCCCTACATTGGGGAGTTCAGGGGAATATCGAGTGAGCACGTCGAGATGGACAAGAGCCCGGTCCGCTCTCCCTTGGTAGCTGAGAAGCGGCTGCTTAGTACCCGAATTGGGGCGACCAGGGAATCCTTACTGTTGTGTGTTTTGGGGTGTTTCTAATTTTACCTCTTTTACCTCTTTTGTCGTTCTTGTAACTTTTCTATGACGTATTCTATCGTGGTTTTGTATTTTTCTCAATGATGATATGCGCCGTGTTGTTCTGTATTTCTAACAGTTTAATAGAGACTTATAGCAAGATCAACCAACCATCATCTGCATCGACTCTCCCTTTACAAATAAACCTCAGAAGCCATGTCTAAGAAACGGACCCTCGACGCCTTCTTTATACCCACGTCAAAAAGATCCCGTAATGAGGAGGAAAATCTCGGCGGGCAACCGCAAGAGGAGGTATGCTTGAGAATCATTAAACTCCTCGCCCCAGTGTAATTGATAGTGTGCTGACAAGTCTGCTCAGGTTGGTTGCTCAGAGCATCAACATTACCCCCATTCAATTCACAACTTCCCTTCTTCCATCCACAAAGAGCTATCAACACTACCCACCAAGACCGGCAGGAAAATAAATGACCAACCCGACTTGGATCTTCTCTACTTCCAGCCCTTCATTCCAAGCTCAGTTTCTCGAAAGCTCTTTGAATTTCTGCGCACTGAACTGCCCTTCTACAGAGTAGAGTACATGATCAAGCGGGGCGGCATAGAGACCCAGGTACGGACACCAAGGTAAGAGAGACCTCGACACTCAATGGAAGAAAGCCGGGCTGATTGGAATTGCAAGATGGACCACGGTCTTTGGGCTTGACGAAACATCCAGGTTCGATGATGAAGGTCATGTTGTGGATGTCAACCTTAGAACGAGGGTTTCGGACAAGTGTTACGACAAGTATCCGCCCCGACCCATCCCACAATGCCTTGATGAGTTGCGCAAATGCACCGAGGCGGCAACGGGCTGCAAATTCAACTTCTGCCTGGTGAACTATTACGCCTCCGGCTCCGACAGCATCGCCTTCCACAGTGACGACGAGCAGTTCTTGGAACAGGAGCCTGCTATTGCCTCCTTCTCGCTAGGATCGCGGCGTGACTTTCTAATGAAGCACAAACCTGTCCCACCAGGCAGCACAGGCTCACTTGCTGCTGATGCGAAGCCGTTGAAACTCCCACTGGGAAGTGGAGATATGCTATTAATGAGGGGAAAGACACAATCCAACTGGCTGCATTCGATACCGAAACGAACAGGCAAGAACCAGGAAGACGGTGGAAGAATAAACATCACTTTCAGGAGGGCCATGATTAAAGGTGGTACAGAAAATTACTATAACTACAATGTGGGAACTGGATCAGTGTACAGATGGAATAAGGAAGTTCGTGAAATGACGGTATGGAAACCTTGAGGGTATAGATGAGAAATGGACCTTTCACGGTGAGAAAAAAAAAGATTTACATCAAAGAAACATGCCTATTTTCCCTTGCGCATCTGAGCTTTCCCGAAATGTTGCAGGGCCTTGAGGAACACCTGGTATCCCACCCTTTCATTGTCTTGAAGGCAGAAAATCTCCGTCAACCGGATCTGCCAGGGCGGGTATCCTGATAACTCAAGATAAGGGCCGAAGGTGATCAGGAGCTCGGGCTCGGTCATGATACCCTCTGACAGCTCAGCGTCAATCAGCTCGGTCGAGATGTCTCGAGGAGAGAGCTTCCCCTTTTGCGACATCTCAGCCAGAGTCCTGGTCAGATCCACCATGGAGTCCCGGCCATCTTGAGAAGAAATCAAGTGCAATCTTAAATGGCCCTGGGGGTTTTCGCCGTTGGATGCTGGTAGGTCTTCCTTGTGCGGCGAAGTAACGGACAGTCCGGGGTGCTGTCCACCAAAGTAGAAGGTGAGCTTCTGGTTCGCGGCGTCATAGACCCGCGACATGTTCTTCTTCAGGATACCTGCTTAACGTCAGTACTTCTGTCACAGAAAACCAAGCAGAGCGCTACCGTACCAGTTTTTTCATACACAGAGAGCATGGGGATCTCTGCGCAGGCACACCATGTTGCAATCTCAGCAACTTCGTCTATCAACCGTTCGACATCGGCCTTGGCCCTATGGTTCTCCTTGGCCTTCAGAATAACGCTGAGATGCTTGGGCTTCTTCTTCAGGGCCATGACGTCCCTCTTTATGTACTGCGGGGTGCCGTGGTGGTAGTAGAAGACTGACGAGACCTGGTAACAGAGGATATTCCACATCTGTCGCACTCTGATGTAAAGTGAGAAGATACCATGCAACACGGCGAATATTAGAACGTGCATCTGGTTCTTGAGGAACCGTCGGACGCCTAATGGCGACCTTCGTTGCGCTCGCGCGTTGGACGACGGGATTGGGGGGGTTTCGTTCGGGGTGGGGAGGTATGCCTATTATTTGTTAGAATGGAAGATGCACAATAACCCTAGGGGATATAGGGCGCCAACCTGGAGCATCCGTTGCCTCTCTTTCTCGTTCAGGAGAGTGTGATTCTTGCCATCGTCGGCTCGATAGGCCTGGCGATCGCGGACCGTCATCAGGGGCATCTTGACGGCGGTTGCAGCCCGAGAGGCTGACTGGCGGAACTAGCGGTTGGAAGGTGATGTGAAGACGAAACAACGCGAATAAATGTCCGATTTGCGCGTGAATAACCTGGTTCAGGAGTGGGATTGAGCAGAAGCTGGGGTGGTGCAGCTTATATGGAACTGAGGATGTGTGGGCAGACGTGACCAAAAAGCTGGCCTTGCTGCTGTGGCGGTGCTGGGTGGTTACGTCGTAGGTCTCCACTTGCCGAGTCCCTGCCCAGATGCACAGAGTTGAGCCACTGAAAATACGTCGTTCACCATATTGGCCACACCGGCCATACTGGCATGTGCCTGCTGCCAGCCTTGGCGCCAGCTTGGAATCTGTGGCGCAGCTCCGCTGGACTCGGAAGGCGGGGCCCTGGAGCTCAGCCAGGTCCAAGCACGTACAGCACATGGATGGACTCGAGACATGGCCATACATATTATGTTTGAGCGACGGACACGACACTCACGACGCTGACGACGCGCACACGCGACCACGACCACGCCGACGACTGAATCGACTGAATCGACTGAGCCACAGCATCGAAGCTCGATTTCTGCTCCCCACATGTAGTCCCGCCACTTGCGATAGCGTCACGAGCCTCCCGAGTTCCGACCATGGCCATGGAGCGGTCCGCCTCGAGCACCAAGGGTCTCTTCCCCAAGGGGCCCAGCTTCACCCTTGACGACTTCTCCAACAAGGACTTTATCGTGCGCGACTTCGTCGACAGCTTGGCTGAGAGCGCTGTACCGCTGAATCGCCGATCCGGGAATTCGCCAACGACATTCGACCCTAAACCATTGATCCGCACCTTCGAGAGTAAGTCGCCGCTCTATTTCCCGGCGAGGAGCTGTCGCGCTAATCGAAGCTCCCAGATGCCCTATCCCAGCTCGCACAACTTGGAGATGAACTCCAGGAGAAGGAGTCGGAGCTTTTTTCCCAGGTGCGCCGCGCCGAAGCCCAGCACGACCAGACGCTCGACACACTGGGTCATAAGCTCGACCAATCCATGAGCTCGTTTGAAGCTCTCGATCTCTCCCTCAACCAGTCCAATGCGCATAGTCACAGTGCCAGCAGTCGCTCAGATGGTGGAGGAAACATTGCTGTGCAAATTGGTGAGAAACTGGAGGACCTCGACAGGAAACGACGTCGCGCTCAGGATGCCATCTTCCTGATCCAGTGCTGGACCGAAGTCAGCGAAACTGGGCGGCTGACGTCGCTCCAAGATGTCCAGCGCCAGGGCGGCTCTGAGAATAAAGTGCGCTGTGCTGTCATTGCTCGACAGCTCATGCGCATCAGCCAGCGACTGGATCCGGCTTCTTGGGGCCAGACCAATGGTCACAAGAACGGCAAAACGAACGGTGCCTTGCCTCCCACCAGATCACACAACACCCGCGAGGTTCTCGAAAAGTTCTGCGAGACCTTAGAACAAGACCTCCTCCAGCAATTCAACAACAGCTACCGTCGGCAGAACTTTGAGGACATGATGGAGTGCTCAAAGGTCCTGTACGACTTCAATGGAGGCGCCAGTGTCATTGCTGTTTTTGTCAACCAGCACCAGTTCTTTATTGACCGTGATCAGCTATTGACAGACGAAGTTACCATGGATGGCGATACTTGGGAACAGCTTGCTGACCCTGACTCCGAACCTCCGGTGGTTGAACCCAGCTTGCAGTCCCTGGTCGACGAAGTCAAGATTGTGATGCAGGAGGAATCTTTCATCATCAAACGCGCATTTCCGTACTACGAAACCGTCCTCATCAAATTTATTCAGCGAGTTTTCCAGCAGTCAGTTCAGCAGCGACTTGAGATGGTCTTGGACAAGACCGACACAATCTCTTCGCTGGCTTTCCTGAGATCGCTGCATTCTTCAAGAAGCTATATCAGTACGCTAGTTGAAGACCTCAAGTCGCATGGCTTGACGGAGCATCCGGAGCCTTGCTCAGCACAAATAGCCCAAACACTCGACCAGCAAATGGAGGACCTATTCGTCCCATATCTGATGGGCAACTCGTATATTGAGCGAGAAAGGAAGAGCCTGGACGCAACATACAGCTCATTGCTCTTTAAATTTAGTCTTTATCACTCCCGGCGGAAGAAGGCGCCCACGGGTTTCATGGCATCCCTCGCCCAGCAGGGCACTCAGCTTATCGCCTCGGCCAAGGACGCCTACATCGAGCGTCTCGACTCTTCGGAACTGACGGCCACACAAAAGGCCATGATGTTACGTGTTGCCGGCTTGCAGGACAAGGACAATAAAAACGAAATCGAGGTTACGGAGGAGGACGGCAGACTTAGTGTCGCCAATGCCAAGCGTATGCTGAAGTGGCTGGCGGAGAGTGTGCAGCGAACGCTCGAGCTCGGATCCCAGACTGATACCCCCAAGGATGTCAACGTCCTCCTCAACCTGTTGCTCACGAGTATGGGCCAGGTCTACATCGAGACTGCGCTCGATGCGGCACATGACCAGGTTGTAGCGCTGGAGAATTCAAAGACAGAGCCAGACTTGTCGTACTTGCCAGGAATCCGATCAGCAGTCACCATTACTAGCGTTATGGACAGGTTCATCACGATTGTTCTCATCCGTCTTGCGGAATCTAACACGACAGTTCGGCGGAGCATGGAGGCACAGAAGAAGGTGGCGATTGATAACATTGAGAAGAAGACAAACAACGTAATGAAGGGCAGCATCGATGTGGTGTCCAATTGGGTCATCAAGTCGCTTGGTGGCCAGAGGAAGCAGGACTTCCGACCCAAGGACGGCGAGCTGGAGTCGCTTCAGACGACGACCTGCCTCGGTATTTGCACGTTCCTGGGCCGTGCCAATAAGTTCGCCAGCCAGGCCGTCGACGGCCAGAACGCAGAGAAGTTCTTTAGCGAGCTCGCTCTCTCGCTGATCAAGCTCCTCTTCGAGCACTTCAAGAAGTTCCAGGTCAACGCGACGGGCGGTCTCATGGTCACGCAGGACATCGCCAAGTACGTCGCCACTATGCGCGAGTGGTCGCTGACCAAGGAGGTCGGCACCGCCGTCGAGATGCTCACCGAGATCGGCTCCCTCTTCATCGTCGGACCCGAGGCGCTGCGTGAGAAATCGAGGACCCTAGCGCCAGGGACCACCGGGAGCAGGGGCAGGTTATCGAAGGTTGACTTTAGGGCGTTTGTGCAGAAGCGCGACGACTCAGGTACGGTGGGAATCCAGGGCGTGTTGGCGGGTCTTTGAACGTGGCCGACTGCAGAGGATGTGATGTACCGGGAATATGTAGCGGAACTGCGTATAGCTTGGAATACGATGCCATGTTTAACCACACATACGTCCCGAGTCGTGTCTGGTTCGATGCTACCCCTGAGTCGAGGTGCTCACAAATCCCGTCTGAGACCCCCAACTCGACCCGTCTTTTCGTCGATCATTTCGTCAAGAAAGTCGATCAATTCGCACATGTTCGCCAACCCAGTCATATGCGTCCGCTCCTTCTTGGTAAGCAGTGACGATTTATCCGCGCCCATGCCCGGGGCGCACATCTCCTGGATGTGATGAAGGGTCAGCTTAAAGGGCAAGGGACAGCGGGCGACGTTGCACATGAAGGTCTCGACGGCGTCCCAAGGGCAGGCCGAGTAGCCGGCGAACAGCGCGGGGTTGGCGAGGAGTCCGCGAGCAGACATGAAGCCAGAGAGGTTAGTGTTGCTGGGCGATGGTGTCGGCTTAGAAGAGGTGGTGGAATTGAGGGTGAGCGTAGCGAGGGACACGAGGGGGGTGTCGTTGTTGGTGGTGATGGTGGGCTGCAGCGGCAGCGAGTTGATGTCGAAAACATCGCCGGAGAGGAGAATGGGGAGAGTTCCAGCATACTTGGCGGTGAGGATCTCGAGAGCTTCAGTTCTGATGGGAATGGTGGAGGGCGTGGACTTTGTTCTTGGGTGGATGGTGACCCAGTCAACAAGCCGATTCTGAGGGTGTCCTATCACGGTATCAAGAAAGTCCATGGTTCTCCTTGACACACACATCTGTTAGTCCTTTGATCTGCTAGGTTGTTTGCCGGGCGTGAAAATACCTGAGGTCATCGTGGATTCTGATCTTGACACTGACGCTCCGGCCCTTGGGACTGTCGATATCCCTCTCTAGGCCCACATGCCATCCATCCCTCTCCAACCGCTGCCGCGTCTCGACAACCATGTCCCGCACCAACTCGCGGTGCCCCATGAGCGCGGCGCCGAGCTTCTCCGCGCACGCCCACGACTGCGGACACCCGCAGTTGAGGTCGACGCCGTTGGTGCTCGGCGCAACGAGGGCCGCCGCGCGCGCCATCTCGAGCGGCACGTTGGCGCCGAACTGGACGATGGTGACCGGCTGGCCGGGGTTGGTCGAGACGGTTATGTCTACAAAGACAGCGTGTTAGCCCTGCTGTTTCCTGTATGTAAATGGCGTGGGGATCTTGCCGCTGTCGCGTGCGAAGCTGTTGCGGTTGAACTCCTTCGCGAGGACCATGGGCGTCCAGCAGAGATCAACGCCATACTGGTGAACTGTTTGGCGAAAGGCAAGCTATACGGAGAGGTTAGGCACATATTCCGGACAATACGAGCCATACATGCCTTTCCATACCGCACCATAGGTGCAAGGGCGTTCAGAAACCGGTCTTGTTTCCTGGTGATATCGAATATCTTAAGAGGACTATATCGTGAGTGAGTATATGGCTACCCTAGACCTGATCCACGGACATACTGGGCAGACTCGCCCTCCCCGCCGATTGACATGGTGAGCCGAGACTTATTATGGCCACTGGGTTGAGTGAAAATTATTGGGTAAATACGAGGGGTGGTCAAGTATAGTGGGCGTGCGGTGCTGGCTGGGTTGAGCAATGTCTTTCGGCATGAATCATACAGAAAGAGAGGTTTTTGTGAACAGGGCCACGTGATGTGGATGGAGCCGTTCAAACACCAACTTTGAACTGGCCACCGGTAGTATATTCACATCTCGATAGGTCGAGAAATTGACATTTAAGATTTCACATTTTTAACTGTCGTATTTATCAATCTTTCTACTACTATTCCGGAAACATTGTTCCCTCATGCAACTACTACAGCGCTGTCCGAGTCAGGAGCAAACAAGCTATCAGCGTCGCCCTCGACCTCTTGGACCTCCCATTCGTTCATGAGCCTTTCCCTCTCGAGAATGACCATCTCCAGCCACTTCTTCTCGGCTACCTTCTGGCTCGCCAAGTCCTTTTCCTTCTCTTCAAATGCCGCGTCCAGTCGGTGCTTCGCGCTGTACATTATCTCCTCGCGGAGGGACCGTTTGTCATTGAGTTTGGCCTCGTGGAGCTTCAAAGCCTCCTTCTTCCACTTCTGCCACATGTGTTGCCTCTGATCCATGAGTTTGCGCAAGTTTAGCATGGCGGATTCGATCTCGTCCTCGCCGTCCTTCTTCTCCTTCCAGTACTCTTGTAATTTCTCGTGATAAGCCTCCTCGATATCGTTCTCTTCTGCTGCCCTGATTTGGAAGTCTTTATTGAGTTCGTACTCCTTATCGGCGATTTTGGTCATCATTAGTGAGTCCAGTTCGGATCGCTCCGTTTCCTGCTTCTTGGCGAGTTCCTCTTTCGCAGTCTTGGTCTCCATGGCCAGGTCATTGGCCGTCTCATCCTGGTCGCCCTCAAACAGGACCTGCTGCAGTTCATGCAACTGATCAAGCATCACACGCAGCTCCTTGTACTTGAGCTCAATATCCCTGCGGCGGATACTCTCCTGTCGAACTCTTTCCTCAAGTTCGCGCTGTCGGCGTTCCTCCTCCAGCCGCTCCTGCTCTTGGCGAAGCATTTCGGCCTTGAGGGCCTCCTCGCGTTCGAATTCTTCGATTTGGAGAAGGATCTGGCGCAGCTCTTCGGCCTGGCTCTGCTCTCTGAGTTGTCTTTGTTCTCGCCTATTTTCGGCTGCCGTCTTAATGTCGTCTAGCTGTTGAGCTGTGCAGCTGCACGTCCGCCATCGCAGGCCGCAGACGTAGCAGAACTGCGTCCCGCATCGACATGTCATATGTTGACATGCCTCCCGATGCTCTACCAGCGCGTTGCAGTTGAAGCACCTCTTCCAACCCTCTTCCTCAGCCAACATGTTGGTCAATTCCATATCGGGATCTCGTTCGCATTCCTTTCCTTTGTGGCCAGCATCCCGACATATGGTGCATGTGGAATGGTGATTGTCGCAGGTACCCTCGCGCTTCTTGGTACTGATGTTTTGTGGTTTGATCAAGAGATTGCACCCTTGGTGGCTGCAGTATATGCGCTCACCGATGGGGATGTCCCATTCACTGGATCGCTCCTGGAACGTCTTCTTGAGGTCGGGTGGAATAAAGCGGACAATGGTCTGGACAGGAATCGGATTTAGGCAGCACTTGGGCGGCCACTGTTGCTCGTTCTGAACTGCCGCTGAGACGAGGCGGACAAAGCAGTCACGGCAATAACTATGGCAAGTGACCTTGATTACCTCCTTGGGCGAGAAGTCGTCGAGACAGGAGACACATTCGCTGTATGCCATTAGCAAGAGGATCGGGGAGATGGTGGTGTTGTCAACTTACACTAGCTCCTCGGGGGTTCCCGGCTTCAAGATAGTGGCATGTTCTGACGTGGAGTACTCGCTGCTCGTCCGAGCCTCATATATCTTGCGGAGAGCCTCTAGGGCAGAACCAGTGGTACTGCTCTCCCCCCTTTGGTGACTGCGGTGAAAAAGCCGACGAAGGGCGAACTTGCGCCGCTTCTCAGGCTTGGCAGGGACATCGGGGCCAATAACAGTGGAAGTAGATTCCGACTGGGAGATGATGGAAAACCGGAATGTTCTGTCGTCGGATATGGGTTTGTCTTGAGGGATGATAATGGGGAGGTATGGTTCTTTGCCCTTGTCGAGCTTCTTGGCGTTATCCGCTGCTAGCTTGCTTTGCTCCTCCTCATGGAGCTTCTGGCGCTGCTGGTCCGCGGCCTGGGTCTTGACATTCTCAATCGAGGACAAGATGATGTCAAGGAGAACCTGAGAGGTAATATTGGGGGCCTTCCTGAGTGCCTTTGGTGGGGTGTATTCGTACCAGTCGACGTTGGTGACATCGACCTCGGAGAGGTTGTTAGCAGACCAAGGAACCCTGGCTTCTCGCTCTCGGAAAGCCGCCTGAATGGACTCGAGGTCGTCAAAGGGGTTGTCATAAAAGTCGATGTAGTCCTCTGGGCTAAAGGAGCCTGGCATCAGCTTCTGCTTCCCCTTTCCTCTGGGGGAAAGAACCGCAGCCATGATGTTGGTGGCGGGGCGATGGAGAGGGTGAGGGTCACGGATCGAACGCTGAGGCGCTCTTGTGAGGGTATAAACGCATATGATGGAGCAGTTCAACGCTGGGAGCCAGATGAAGACGTCAACACTTGCGAGGGAGAGGAAGAGCCGAAGGACAGGAGGGACACGAGCAAGAGTGCTACTCTGGTGACTGGTGACTGGTGACTGGAAGCTATATATGAGGATGAGGATGAGGATAAGGCCAAGAGTGGTTCGTCTCGGTGACAGAAGCCGGTTACATGCGCTGGCCACCTGAGGCAAGGCAGGTAACGCCACGAGGGGACGTTAGGTACTCCGTACTTGGTCTCCAGTGCGGGACTGGAAGGATGCGCAGCACATGAAAGGAGAGTGAGTACATATCACGTCTCCAAAAGCCTCTAAAGCGCTGGCCTGGCAGGCTTGGGTCTTAGGGCCAAGGGGCGCCAGGCTCTCTGGGGAGCCCGAATCAGCCTCCGGGCGGCTGTAGGCCCGTAGCACGCATCAAAACAAGACGAGGGGTCATCGAGGAGGGCATAGTTCGCCGGGTGGGAAGCCTTGGAATGGGGGATTGCTCAAGCTGCTGTAGGGCGTGGAGCCAATGAGGTCCGCGACGTCGTGTCACGCCCGCATTTGCCTGGACGTGCTTGCAACCCAGCTTCTGCAACCCAGCTTCAGCAAGGGGGGGCTCAGCTCAGCCGTCTTGTTAGCGTGTGAAGCCCACGCCGCCGGCTCTGGATGGAGATGGGAGGGGGGCTTTAGGGGGGCGATGAGACGCGCTGGGCGTGGGCTATGCTGGGAAACAGGTCGACAGTTTGGTTATGGCGGAACAGATAACGAGAGGCTCGGGGCGATGATACAGAAACGGAGGTTGAACGGCCGGCAAGGAGACTGCTGTACGGGTCTACGGGAAGGATTCGACCATGAACCAATCATGACTGCACGCTAATCCATGGCAATCAACCAAGTAAACATTGAATCCTTCTTCTCTCCTGACTCGTGAGCGTAGGCATCCATCTACCGATGCTGATGTTCCATGCTTCCCCTCTGGGACTGGGCGGTTGATGCTGTAAATAGCGACCCATCCCCCTGCACGTTGGCGCTAGAGAAGGACGAACGAACTGGAAGAATGTCCGTCCCAGTCAACCCAGTCGCCTTGCAGTAACGAAATACGGACATCCATTCCAGCCGAGATCTGCGCCGCGCTAGGTCGGGCGTCTGGACAGTGGAGCGATTTCCCCACTGATGGATGCACTGGTGCTGCAAGGTCGTGGCGGCCCGTGTCCGCCTTCAAACAGATGTCTGGAGGGGCAAGGGTTGCTGATGTTTAGTATCGTCAGTTGGGTGATTGGTACTTTTGTCGTTTGCATCACGGAGAATTAGTCCTTCATCCGGCTTACTCTCGAACACAGATATATCCATCCGTGCCTAGGTACTGAGAGAGGTTCACGTCTATGACGTCCATGACACAAGATATCCATGACACCCACAAGGCCGCCACTCATCAGCCTATACTGTACCTATCGCCCTTCTACAGCCCCCAAGTACAGTGGGTAACAGTCTCACTCCGGCCGGCTCATAAACATCTCAACTACCACCAGGCAGTTGGCTGCCTTGCGACGATGAAGCAATTTCCTGCCTTTAAACTGTAAATGCTACCCTCAATTTCAAACCAGCACGTGGCAAATAAATCACAGACGTCTTCATCTTCCAGGCGAGTTGACGTTGATTGGATTAACCATCCTCGGTCAACCTCTGGACGCCGAAGGGCCGAGCTCCACTGCGCATGCTCGCAACTCCAGAAATTCCATTTTTACAGCACCTGCGTCAGTCACTCGGTTACAACTGCACCTCGTCTCAGTAAAAGCCACGCGACTCTCAAAACGTAATCTCATCCATCCGCAACAAACACAACAATGCGTCTTTCAGGCTTGCAGAAGGAGGTCCTGGCCCTCTACCGCCACTGCCTCCGCGAGAGCCGTAAGAAACCGCTGGTAGGTAAATTGCAACTGCAACTGCACTACCCGTCAGTAACTTGCCGACATTGACACGTCGCCAGGCCAGCAGACCGCATTTTGAGAACTTTGCCAGGTACGCCGCATCACCCGCATCGTAATTCCCCTGGCTCGTACGCACCGTAGCTGAGGCAACCCGCAGGGCAGAGTTTGTCCGGAATCTGAGCATCGACAAGCGCGACTTTGCTGCCATTGAGTTCCTCCTTCGCAAGGGCCGTCGACAGCTGGAGGTTTACTCATCCCCGGGCATCAAAGACATTACACCGTAATCGAAACTTCATCCCCGAAAACCGTCTCAGCAGGAGCCATGGACGTCGTCATCATCGGTCCTCCCCAATCCTGCATTTGGCCGGTTGGCCCTTCTTGAGCTGGTCTTGGAAGGACAGCCCACAATCCATCCGTCCCACCTCTCCAAGTCTACCAACGTCTCAACTTCTCCCAGAGCCAATCTTGCCATGGGTCTGAACACCATAACTTCTGCCACTGCTATTCCTCTTGCGCTCCTTGAATAATTCTCCTTGGAAACCTTACTCCACCACTTCTATCAAGATGGCTACGCTAGCATCTATCCCGAAATCAAATAATGGGTTATCCCAATCAATCGACCAAGCAAACCCTGGCCATCGGATCCCGTCATTTGAGAGACTTCGCTCCCGATCGCGGGTGGTTTTCCTGTCCAGACGTCCAACCCGTGCAAGGTACTCGAGGAAAAAGGCTCGAAGCGAATCCGGCTCTCAGCAGCTGTCTTCCAACTCCACGGCCTCGGATCCTACGCCATTAGGGAACACAAAACAGGCCATGAGCACCAACAAGGAGGTAAAAAGTCGAAACGATCAAACACACAACTGCCATGCACCTAGTGGAACGATCTCAGATCCGAAAGGTTATGAAAACGAGTACCTCGGTCACTCTGTACCCGCTGCCAACGGAACACCTTTTGACGTTTCACCTCAAAGTCTTGGATTTCCGGAAACGACTGGATCCGGGCATTGTGACGAGATGAGCAGCACAGCCAACTTTGACGGGCAGCATGGAATTACATCGACGACCACCCCGAAGCATACCCCGAATCTGTCACAGATGTATCAACCTTGTGAAACCACTGTTACCGAGAAACACTTACAACACCCTTCTCATGAACCAGTATGCGATACTCCACACGGGGTTACAAGTCCCTTGCGGCGATCTGGGGTCGACAGTCTGCTTGTGGAGACAATCGCTCGGAACGTTGCTCAACAACTCCAGATGTTGTCCATCAGGAGTGAGCCAAGATCTGATCGACAGACTCCCCGGGACTCAGATGAACAGTCCCCTGAATCGTATCCCAACTCCTCTAGAACCTCAAGCCAGCGAGTGGCTTTGGATCGTTTCACACGAGAACTCCAGAGATATGCTGAACATACTAGAGCTAGGGGCAGATTGCCCATCTTCACACCTACGCCAACAAAGTCTGGTGCAACTCTCCGCACAGTATCTGCTCTTGTCCCTTTCCGGTCCGAGTTCAAGGCTGCCGGCTTGGCTGTGACATCCAAGGATCAAGCAACACCCCACCCTCGTCGTACCAGGACCAGAGCGATTCGAGCTACTCGGCCACCGCAGCTTCCCAAGCTGTCCATCAAGGAGACACACCTGAGTCAACTGGATGGGAATGATGGCTGCTGCCCTAGCTCAAACACGGAGATTTCGTTCACTGCACCAAGCAATATGGATGAATGGAGATATGCCATGATGGATGAAGCAGCCCCTCACAGACACCGGAAGCCCTTGATTAGCAGAGCACCCAAATCCAAATGCCTTCCTTGCATCCCGAATTATCATGAATCGCCAGAATGGGGGTGCCTTCAGATTCCACAGAAGTCGCAATTGCGGATTCATGCACCCGAGCCTGTCACCAGAGCGCCGCACATCGTTAGTGATATGACATCAAAGATGGCCAAGCTTCCGGCTAAAGCTTCCGTTCCGGAGTGGAGACGTTTACCTGCACCTCATATTGTTTATCCACATCATCATCGACAAGGTCCTCGCACGAAGGTCAATCATACAGCTGAGCGAGTTCATCGAGCGGGACCTGGAAGAGAGCATCCCACAGGGGCATCATCCGGGTCAAGACAGTCGATCCCAGTGACAGGCCTTCGCCGACAGTCGATGACATTACCTTGGCAAGTTGCCGATGCTGGATCATTCCCTAGCAACTGTTCAATCGAGAGATCCAACCTCAAAAGGCAGCGGACTCGGACAGTCAAGGTAACTAGCACACCAAATGCTAGGCTTCCGATAGCTCAGTTGAAAGAGGTCAACTGTCAGAAACCAGCTCGCCATTCTCCACGGCGCCACCAAAGTGTACCTAACTACGACATAACTAAAGATTTGCAAAAGGTGAAGGCGTACCAGAAGCCTTTGCCAAATCTACCATCGACACCGAATCGGGACATTGGCACAGCTCCTAGCATTGAATCAGTAGCTGAGCCAGCAATAGAAATACCAGCCAAGGGCAAAGGGGCCGAGGAAGCGATAAAAATATGCCAGAAAACTCACGGTTGCCAACTTGAACCCCATCCTTCCCATCAACATGTTACCCCCCGCGCTCGAGGTTACTCGAGTCAACTTGCTGCCCGACCAAACATCCCCCAGAGAATGTCATCGATGAAGGGAAGTCTCCACTCGGCCAACTGGGAGGACTGTGATGACGAGGTCATGGATCGTGATGTGTTGAGGGGCCTGCATATTGCAGCATCCGCAGCATGCGACGAGAGGGTTGATGCCCTGATCCGCCGGAAGACGGGTTTCCAGATTCGGCGATTCCTAGTTGGCTTGACGCCGTTTGAGAACCTAGGGGATACGCCATTGCCGAAGATGAATGGGCAACAGGCGAGGAGGAGGGCTGAAGTAAGAAAAGTGAAGCAAAGGGTCCGACGGTCTCGGGAGGTGCGGAAGTCAATGATGGCGTGACCCTGCTCATTACGGATGCTTGGCCGCGACGCATTGCGTTGAGTTGTTGACATGTATTATCACACGAAGGCTTTGTATACTTGACTTCCCTGTTCATAGAACATGGTGTATTATAGATAGAAGGTGCATGGCACTAGGCCGCTGTCGCTGTATCAACATAAATTCAAGAGACGGTTTTGGGGGGATCATGCAAACCAATCCCCCGATTCATAATTGCATGGTATGTCGTTGGCCTGAAGCCTTACGAGCGTTGTAGTGTAGGACAAGCAGGGAATGTGGAGGTGGGGTAATCAACTGGTGGTGATGTTGTACGCGGCCACCTGCACAGCCCGTCGCCTCTCTCTCTCTTACACATCGGTGACGACGACGCCGTCAACACCATCAACTTGTATCGCCTCGCTCTGCCTCATTTCTGAGACGTCACGAGATCACCTCTGCTAAAAGGAAGAGCTTCGCTGGTGGCTATGGACCCCAACGAGTTCTCTGCTGCAGACATTGCGGCCTATCGGGCCAATTTCACAGTCGCCGAGGACCAGCATGAGCATTTCCAACAATGCTGGTCACATCAGAATTGCGACGGCTGTCTCGACACTGCGCGGTGTAGCTGGTGCCCGTATGTATGTATCCCATCTTTCTCTCATATTGTGCCTATCAATGTGATATCGACGTACTCATACATGTGCTAGACCTGGTCGTGTGTTCCCAATTCGCACTTGGTTCCGGCGCTGGCGCCGGCCTATGACGAGAACATATGCCCGCACTGGGCCGAGCGGTGGGAGATCCGCACCCGGCCGCTCGGATGCCATGTTTCGACCATTACCACCCTCACGACAATCGTGACAATTGCGTCTACTCTTGCGTTCGTGGGCTTGGTCTTTGGCTTGGTCCTTGGCATCCGTCGGCTCCGTCGTTACAATAAAGAGCACCCGGGGTGGTGGCGACTCCTCAGGCGTCGCTGGTGGTCTGCTTTACGGCGGAGGGGTGGGGAGGAAGAGCCGCTCCTCGGAGAAGGACATCGGCCAGGTCAAGCAAATGGCGAAGTACCGTAAAGGTGACATCTGCGCGGGATCAGAGCCCATCGCAGCTACGGGGGCTCTTACGACTGGCTAGGAAGCGGCTGACACGGACGCATGGACAATCATTTAATGCATTGACACTCCCATCAACACTCTAGCCAGAGCTTACAGGTGGAATTATGGCCACCTCGTCCGCTTCCTGGATTACGGTATCGTCGGCACCCTCTTCAGACACGTCTACATAGTCAAGATTGACGGTAACCAGGCAAGAGTCAAGCACCTTGGCCTTTATGCCGGGATACCGCGACTCCAGTTCGGCGAAGAGATTCCGGAGGGGAAGCGTCGCGGGAAGGGCTTCGTGGTCTTTACCGGTATAGGAACCGGCGCTGGCAAAGTAGAGGATGTTGAAGTGACCTGGAGGGGGCTTCGCTGCCGACGCCATCGCGGTGGTGATCTGTCTAAAACTTCTTCGACGTGTTAGCCGCAATGTTCCTTCTGCAAATGATGACAATGAAGAGGAGCGAGGAGATTTGGGTCAGAGATCTTGGTGATAAATAGTACATCAATGTATGTTTCAGGTAATACATGCTAAAAAGCATCATTCCCAATGGTGTGTAGAGGAGGTGAGATGATGTGGCTTACCAAAGAAGATGTTGTTTGCAGAAGCCTGCGTGTTCGTTAGTTGACGGAGAGGAAGAAAAAGAGCTTGTCCTCCGCCCCGCCGAATTTGAAGGTATTCATTTTCACGTGACCGGGGCATCAATGAGTACCCTGGACTTCCAGGGAAATTCGGTTCACGGCGTCTCGCAGGATGCGGACGGGATAGGAAAAGGCGGTCGATGCGAGACGTGATCGTAAAAGCTGCATCGATTCTGGTCGAGGGACTTTGTAAACTCGGGCGAGACCTGAAGATCAAAAATCACTTTTCGTGGTCGGATTCCATGCTGCAGAAGAATTGTTCTGGATTCGCAATGCCAGATCCGTGACTCCTCTAACAAATGAAACTGAGGTGCGGGTGATGCAGCCCCAGGCAATGTCCCAATACAAGGCGCGCCCGCCTCAGCATGCAAAGACCATCCGTCGTCCAATGTCCAAGCCCCCTTACTCCTCGATCGCAACGTTTATCGCAGTCTTCGGGCCTCACGCTCGGACTCGAGCAGGCAGAGAATGTCGTCCTCACGAACTAGATTGGGGGGTCGCTGGTCAGCACACCACACACACTCACACGCCATTGTCTGGTCGTCCATCGATGGGGATTCGCCTCTGTATCGTACCTGGGCCCTTGACGTTTCGGATAATGGATCGGGTCTGGTCGTCCATGAACTCGACGCGCACCTGGGTGACACCACCACGAGAACCTAAACAGCGGTCAGGTCCAATAGTCCTTTCGTTGGGGGTATGCTTTTGTGTGTTTTTATTCGACATCGAATTATCGTGGGGACGCACCGGTTCGGCCGAGGACTCGGGTAACCTTGACGAGCTTGACGGGGGTCTTGGAGGAATCCATTTTTGCGTCCTGGAGTTTGTGAGCTGGGAGTAATCGCGTGGGATCGAGGGCGTCGCCGTACTGTGAGAAGATGTGGATGTCGGTGGTCACGTACTTGAGCTGTAGAGTGAGGCCTTGATTGGGACTGAACTTTTTGGTGAGATTGTCAGGGTTTTCGTGTGCCAAAGCCCTTACCCCACCACCACAGCCGAAGTCCCGTGTGGTTGGTGGATGGTGGGGACAAATATTGTTCCGGGACTGCAACGCTGCCTCCTTGGACGCCTAATTCTCAGCCACTGTGGCGCTAAACCCCTGAGCCTGGACTTCTTAGCAAGGTCGGTGTCTTGTCATCAACGTCACAGTGTACAATAGTTACAGTCAAGTGAGCATTCCAAATCGTCTTTAATCATGCAGACTTCTTGGGGGTGCTAGGAAAGCTCTCAATGGGGTATCTGTGTAATGCTTCGTCATTATAAATCCGCAATCCGCTCTTCAAGATCCTTCACCCAACCCTCCATGACTGTCTTATTGTGTGCAACCGCGACACTGCTGTCCTTCATGACCGCCTCAATCTTCTCCAGACCCTCGTTCCACTGTTTGAGCTCCGCCGTCATCTCCGCTTGCTGGGTCTCAATGTGGCCCAGGGTCTCGCTAGCTGTGGCAGCGTCGGCGTGAATTGCTCTCAGTGACCGTAGTCGGTCGAGTAAAGGGGGAAGGATGGGGGTGAGGTTCTCGATCGTGGGTAGAATTCCGTAGAGTGCGTTGATCTTGGCTTCTTGTTCGGACTCTTCCGATGGAGTCGAGGGAGCATGTCGACCAAGCTCTTCTCGGAGAGACCTGGCCTTCTCTCGAGCATCGCTTAGCTTTTCCTGCTCGGAGGCCAGAGTCCTCACTCGCCGACTAATAGCATCCAGATTAGCTGTGGATGCTTGTGCAAGAGTTGAGATCTGCTTGTTCATGGAGTCGATGGTCGGAAGAATTGCTCGGGGGAGACCGCTCGCGTCGGCCTCCGGCATTAACGTGGAGCTGATTCCAAGCCCCTTTTCCAACATCAAAAGTCGGCGGTCAAAGTCGGCGGCCTTGGCTAGAGCATGGCTTTGTTCGTAAGTTGGCGCATAAGTAACGGTGTAGGTGGCATTGTCTCCCAATGGTAGCTCCGAGGACTCTTCCTGGCTCGGTTCGGGTCGTGCCTTTAACACATGAGGTGCAACCCGTGCACTCGTGGGCTTGGAGATCTCATCCAGGACCTGGCTGAGGGCAACCAGTCTCTCGTCGTTTGTGGCAGAATCGTGACTGTCTTTGTTCGAGCTCTTGGCCTTTCGCTTCGCATATTCATCCTTGGCTAGGGCCACCTCACGCTGGAGGCGGGCGATCCGTCGCTCGAGGCTCTCTTCATCGTCATCGTCATCGTCGGAAAGGTCGCCCAGTTCTTCGGTTCCATCTTGTAAGATGCGCTGTCGGCGGCTCGACGCCTTGTACGATTTGCGCTTTCCATCGACTCGGTCCGAGAAATCGACCCCATTGGCGTCAACGTTGGCCGGTAAGAAACGGGAGCGGGCTTCGTCTATTCGCAAGCGCGATCGCGAGATTCCGGCGGTGTCTTCCTCGATGTCGTAGAATTCGTCATCGGATTGGGTGCGCGCTGCGATGGTCTGGAGCTTCTGTGAGAAGGTGCCCGAGTGCGAACAGGATCGGTGGGCTCACAGGAACCGTGGAATTATCGTCTGTGAGCTCGGGGGTTTCATAGATGTCTGGAGCAGAATCCTTGATAGACGGTCAGAGCGGCAAGCACCATGTCCATGCGATGAAGCTCACCAAGTCTGGCAACGCCGCGTATTTCCGGTTGAGAGTCATTTTGTGCTATCGGGAGGCGAGCCTGCGCAATGTACCGATTGCAGGAAATTTGTCCAGTCTACCCAAGCGGTAGGTGAGTGGAATCGAAACACAAGAGCAAGAGGAGGTTGAAAGATGGGGAACAAAGAGCGGGAGGCCATCGCAACGTCGGGAGTTGGATGGCCCGATCTCCAGGGGCTTCCAGCGACCTTCAGGCGCTAGCGGCGAGCACTGGCACCTAGCAGCGCCTAGCTGTCCACTGATGTGGTGGGGAGCTCCACCTATGAGCCACCGCTCGGATTAAGTGAAGTCGGCTATCCGGGCGCGTTGTCGACGCGTCGGGAAACCCTCGGTGCATCTGCTGCGCATATTCACCCGCAGCCAACGGATCGAAGGCCAGTTGACGCGGGGAGACGCTCTTTAACACCTGGATGGCCTGCCGCACTTGCATTACCGGATTTCAACCTTGCTCTGACAAACGTTTCTTGCTTGATTCGAAGCAGCCGGGAGGCTTGACCGCATTCCCAACCCACCATCATTGAGCCGAGGGCGAGGCGACCAATCTGCATACGTACCCATACATGCAAGAGGCCGACGTTTTTTTTTCTGGGAGCCGCTAACGACAAGGCTGAGAGAGACAAGGCTGGGGGAGACATGGCGTCTGGAAGATCGGGCTTGAGCCTCAAGCAGCGGCCTGCACCCCTCCTCAGTGTGGTGGGTGGCAAGCCAGTGACCGGCCGCGAGTCAAAAGCCAAACTCATACAGCCAGTCGAATTCGATGCTGCCCCATTGTCCAGCGACGATGAGGATGAGGCGTCTAGACCTGCTGGAATAGTTGGGCCCAGTCGCTCAGCCCGGTCACCAACGGGATCATCTGATTCTGAGCCTGAGAATAGCTCCAGAGGAACCATCAAGCGCACCAACTTTGGAACCGCGGACGCCAGCAAACCTCAGAAAAGGGGAACGAGGAATGCGAGTTACTCTCAATCGAATGGCCTGGGGACAGGGGGCTCGGGGGATGGATCGTCCTCAAAGTCGAAACGACGCAGGCTAGACGACGATGATGGCCAAGGGCCAGCTTCAAAGAAGTCAAGCCAGCCCAAGTCAATATCCAGTTCCGCCGATCATCTCACAGATGAGCGAGGCTTCACCAAGAAACAAGCTGTCAAGTCGACTTATGGAAAGAAGTATGGCAGCTCTCAAGACTCACAGTCGAAACTCAAAGGTACCAGACTTCAATTTCCCGCCTCTAATGCCCTTGTTAACCCGCGAACAGTCAAGTCTGAAAATGCTCGCCCAAGAGCCAAGATTAAAGAGCCAGACTCTCTAGACAGCCCGAAGAAGCCAGCCAGGGCCAAGCTACGTGCCCCATCGGATTCTATCTTGTCGTCACCATCCAAAGCCGCACCCGCCCGGTTCATCAAGCAGTCGCAGGACTCGAATGAAGGTTCAGAAGACCCGCTTGATTCCCCCATTCGCAAAACTGCCATACGGAAAAAGGTTGTGCAGGCCTCCAAGCAGAAGAAGTCCGGTACTGTTTGGAACCCACTGAGGCCGCCCGTGCAAAAGCCTCCAAAGTTCTTGATACCTGCGGAAATACCAGACTGCAGCCAAGAGAGCAGAGAGGGCGACGATGGGAACCCAAAGAACCCCCGATCGCCACTGTCGGGTACTTCAGACCTTTCGGACCTTTCGGATCTTTCAGACCTGGAAGGACTTGGCAATTCTCAGTCGGTAACTGAAGCCTCATACGCAGGCGAAGGAGATCGCAAGGTGACAGAAGCGGAGTGCCCTTGGTGCGGCGACGTTGTCCCAGATGCCCTGCTAAAGGAATTCTCCAAGGGGAAACGGCTGAACGTGAGGATGCAGACTAAGTTCTGCCAGACACACAAGAAGCAGACGGCCATGGACACATGGCGTGAAAAGCAATATCCAGCCGAGATCTCGTGGCCTGATCTCCAAAGCCGATTTGAGGATCATCGTGATTTCCTCTTGGAAGTGGTCAGTGGCGAGCCGTCACACTTCCGCTCTATCCTCGCCAAGAAGATCGAGACGGGCAAGGCCCGGAGCCTCAAGAAGGAGGACAACCTGAACCCTGGGTACTACGGTCCTCGGGGCTTCAACCTCATGTGCGACTACCTTGTCGGCGAGTTTGGTGACTTACTCAAGGAAAAGGCCGTGAGCGACCGTGTTATTGCTGGCCGTGGGTCAGCCTCCTTTATCGAATCTGTCCTGGTGGCCGAGTTAGCTGTGCGCTTGATCCAGGAGGACATGGATGTGTCGACTGAGGAGGCGAGAGACATCATGGAGGAGAGTAAGGCACTTGGTGAGATGATACACGAGGAAGTCTGACGGCTGTACTGGCGGAGCGGGGTCGTCATTGGATGACCACAGGGTGTGGCATGAAGATGTATTTGCTTGGTTCCATAGCGAAGAACCCATGAGAGAGACAAGGACAGTCTTAGATGTAGCACGAGCTGCCTATGATAGGATCAATTCTGAACCAGATTTTATTCCATTTTGGCTCAATCTTTTGAGCTGGCTGGTCCTTGACTATAATCTATTTACTGAAGCACAGCCAGCGACTCACAGGAGGCGAGTCGAATCACCCCAGCGTTGACTTCCTCTAACGTCCTGCCCGCGGGGCTAACTAAAATATCTCGGGCCTTTACGGGCAGCTTCCAATCCACAGGCTCGGCAGCGAAGTTGCACACGATGAGCGCAGCATCGCCGTTCTCGGCTATCCTCCTATAGGCGAAGACCTTCTCGTGGGCCTCGTCGACGAGCTGGAAGTCACCGTAGACGAAGATTTCCTTGTGGGCCTTGCGCGTGTCGAGGACGGTGCGCCAGCAGCGGTAGACGGAGGCCGGGTCCTCGGTCTGCGAGGCGGCGTTGATCTCCCGGTAGTTGTCGTTCACGCGCATCCAGGGGCTGTCGCCGGTGGTGAAACCGGCGTTGCGGGTGGCGTCCCACTGCATCGGCGTGCGGGCATTATCGCGAGACTTGAGCTGGTACTCCCGCTTGAGGCTTTCGATGGTGGATGCATCGGCTGTGTCCTTGAACAAGCTGGTGGGTTCCCTCGTTAGCATGCGGCCTGCGTCGCGCAACAGTTGGATCTTATGCACTTACTTCCAGTGGTTGAGGCAGTCGACGTCCTTGTACTCCTCCATGCCCCAGTCCACGGGTACATTGGTCATTCCAATCTCCTGTCCTTGGTAGATGAAGGGAGTGCCGGACTGGAATCCGAGGAAGATGGCGATCAACTTGGCACTCGCCGCCCGGTTCTGGGGGTCGTCGTGCACAAAACGGCTCACTGATCGTGGCTGGTCATGGTTCTCGAGGTACAGGGCGTTCCAGCCGCTGTTGTCAATCATGATCCTTTGCCACTTGTTCACGGTCGTCTTGAGCTTGGAAAGCGGCCATGTGCCGGGAGAGAACTTGCCCTTGGGGCCATGGTCGAGATCCATCCTAGACAAGAACTTAGCAATTGGAGACAGGGGGTATGCACGGCATGGGGTCTCACAGCTCAAAGTGGAAGATCATGCTCAGCTCTCCGCGATCCGCTGCAACAGCGCGGATCAACTCGCGCTCGTCGTGCACGCACGGCATCTCGCCGACGTTAAAAGCGTCATACTCCTTGAGGATGTCACCTATCTCCTTGAGGTACTCGTGGAGCCTAGGGCCACAAGCATAGTACTCGCTGCCACGTAGCACGGTCTGCTTCGAGTCTGGGAATGCCAGGTCTTTGCTGACGAAGTTGATGACGTCCATTCGGAACCCATCAACGCCGCGGTCTAGCCAGAATCGCATAACCTCGTGGACTTTTTCGCGGACAAGGGGGTTCTCCCAATTGAGGTCTGGTTGCTCCGTGCAGAAGAGGTGTAGGTAGTACTCGTCAGTTGCCTCGTCATACTCCCAGGCGCTCCCTGCGTAAAGAAATCAGTTCTTTGTCACATTTAATAGTTTTCGGGGGAATGCAACCTTGAAAGTGAGCCTGCCAGTTGTTGGGAGGCTGTCGGTTACCGTCTGCATCATATTTTGCAGGCTTCCAGACGTACCAGTCTCGGTACGGGTTGTCCTTGGACTTGCGGGACTCCTTGAACCATTGATGCTCGTCACTGGTATGGTTCATGACAAGATCCAGAACCAACTTCATTCCTCGCTCGTGGAGCTTGTCCTTCAGGACATCCGCATCACTCACGTCTCCGTATGGGGGCCAAATCGTCTTGTAGTCACTGATGTCATACCCCTGGATCATGTTCCCTTGTCAGAGAGAATCTCGATAGACCGCAATGAGCAACAGGGTGTGGTTACGGGCAATACGCACCATGTCAATCTGGGGGCTATCGAAAATTGGAGATAGCCACACAATGTCAACCCCCAGGTTCTTGAGATAGTCGACGCGGGAGATGATGCCCTTCAGATCTCCAGTTCCCGATCCGGTGGAGTCCTGGAAGGAGGCTGGATACACTTGGTACACCGAGCTCTCCTTCCACCAGGCCCGGTGTGGCTGGGTTGTGGGACTCATCCTTTCGGTCACAGTGAAGGCTTCCAAATGATATATCAAGTGGTTCGTTTCACTGCGAGTTTGATATCTGGTGTGACGTTAATGGATGGATACACAAGCAAGGACATAAGCGAGAGGCGGCCGGCACTCACGATTAACGAGTGAAATGTCTCTTTGATTTCGGTCCCCTCTTTCTCTCTTATTTCGATCAGCCTAACCGTCGTGGTTCTACCGTAGGCACGTTTTCCCGGTGGATGTCTAATAAAGACGGTAACTGGAAATCCACAGTACGGGACGAAGCACTGTGTGAGTTCCTGTTGTTGAGTTGTTGTCATCAACCAACGAGCTGGCGAGATGACGTCGAGTCGGCGGGGCTCGTGGGGGGGAGCTGGCTCCTGGCACCCGTCTTTGGTGGAGGCGGTTTCGTCACAGGAAGTTAGGCCCAATTGATCTTAAGAAATAGCTCAACGAAGTGGAACAATGTGACACGATTTTCAGCGGCAGATCTGATACTAATAGGGCGTCACGGAGTATTTCCCGGAGATTCGAAGAGGGCTCCAGCGCCCCTCTCAACCACTGTAGGGTGGGTTGAGAGCTCTTGGTAGCATCGACGAGTCTCCCCCACCAAGGACCGGAAGTCGGCGGAAGTTGACGGATGTCGACTCGCCTCCGCGTTCCCAGCGCTGCCCTTCCTTATCTTTCGCAAATTGGTGGTTGATAGCGATCGATAGCATAACTCGGGGTAGGCCGTGCATGGATGCTGATCGCGCTGAGAAGGCATCCTGGCCGACAGCGGACAGTTCAGGGCTGTCCCTGTCTCGGCTGCCTAGTGTTGGACAAGGATGGGCCTGTCTCACTGCTGCGTAAAACAAAGAGCGCCGACCTGAAAATGCAACCCTTCATTCTCTCTGCAGGATGATGAAACTCTGACCCTTCGCGAGAACGGCGCAGCAGACTGAAGAAAGGTGGTAGGACGGCCTCAACCAAAGAATGGGTTGACAAAAGAGAGTACGGAGTAGAGGCAGAAAAGAAACATGTCTTGTTCCTGTTGCCTTCAGTGCCGAAAGCGGGCAGAGGCATGCACTCGCCGTTCTGCTCATTTCGACTGGGTTCGCTCTTTGATGCTGGGGGAGTTCGTCGTTGTTCACGATTATTGAACGCAGTAACTCCCAGCCAACGCCTCTCTGCAACCTGGTTCAACCCAAAACTGGGGGATTTCGCTTGATACCACAATGGGATCCGTGCAAGCACCCGCTGCCCTGTGCCGCGTGCCGTCTGGGGATTGAAGCACAGCGCACAGATCGCATTTGGAACATGACGCGCAATGTCAGACAGAGTTGAGGAAGCTAAGGCGAGACATGGACGACCAAAAGTGTGACCAAAAAGCCTCGGGCGAGATGGCAAAAGACAAGCACAGCACGGAATGGAACGGAACAGACACGAAGCACATGGAAGTTGAAGTTGGAGCCCCTTTTGGCACTGCACACCCGTTTCGGTACGGTTTCTGTGGCTTATTAAATAGTTACTACGTGCGCAGCGTCCTGCGGCCCTTTTTACGTCCAGGAGTGAGTGGGTGGACGCGGGATGCAGGTTTTCGGGTCTTCGGGCCCGGTGATTGCGGCAGCGGGCCGACTGCTCGCTGGCGAGTGCGAGAAAGTAGGTATGCAAGTGAGCGTATGCGTTTGAGCTCCTTTTGTTCCACGTCTCTCCACTTTGAGCTGCCAAGTTTTACCTTCCATGTCATCATGTCATCTTAGGGTTGAAAAATGGCGGTTGGTTAGCGGAGACGGACGTGATTTGTACCGCATTCTAAAATGCGGTTGTGATATTGGCAATTTCTGGTGGAGGTTGCCTCGGCCCGGACGGCAGGCCGACAGCAGGTAGAATTCCCCCAATAATCAAAGACCCGACGGGCGAGTGGTGAGAAAAGAAGCGAAAAGGTCATGGGACTTGGGTGGAGGATTGCCCATCTGTCCGTCTGTCAATCTGTCCACGCAAAGTCGTGTATTCGTATCCTGGCGTGGATGCAGAGTACAGGCGGGAGACGTAGGAAAAAGCAACGAGATCTCTCTCGAGCCTGTAGGTGGCCCGTTGCGGGCCTATAAAGTGCCCAGTCGGCTGGTGGGCGTGATCCGCTTCGGCCGATGTTCAGAGGCGTTTAAGGGCCTGCGAACCTGGTTAGCATGGATGGGGGATTCCCACATGGGTGCAGGTGGCAACGACGCCCCGTTCGGCTGTGGTGATGACCGAGGACTCGAGGACTTTGAGGAGGGCTCGGGAGCTGAGGCTAGCGGTTGACGAGTTGTGCCGTCGCGATGCGGACGTGTGTGGCGTCGTCGAGGCGTACTCCAAGCCTGTATTCGCCCTCGGTAGGGCTGGTTCCCTGCAGCTGGGCTTGGGGCTACGGGCTGCTAATTACCCAAGCGGGCTAATTACGCCAATGTACGCAGAGCTGTCTGCCTTAGCACCTACAGCTGTCGAGGAATAGCGGCCGCCCGAGGCGACGTGTGCATGGACGGCGAGTTGCCCCAAGTCCCAAATGCAAGTTGGTTAGGAACGCCGAGTACGCAAAGTACCACGCAAAGTACACAAAGCACGCCAAGAGCGAACAAAGTACGTACACATACAATGGATGCGACCACCCCGAGTAACCCTGCCTTACCACGTTACCCGCCTGACATTTGGATCCTCGAATGTCAGACAAAAGACACGGTTCTCTCCAGCTCCCTGTAGGCCTGTTGGCCTGTACGACAATGTCGCGCGGAGCAGAGCTAGTCCGCGTTAGCATCGCGGCACACACTGGTCGCCCCATAATAACCCACTGCGCGACGGTACCTGCCGCCGGAGTAACTCAGGGATGGATTGCTTTCCCCAGGCTTGCGGCGTGCCCACCCCAGCGACCCAGCGACCCAGTGAACCCCCTAGCCAGTCCGCGCCCCAGGTGACTGTTCCAGTTGGCCCCCCTCCCGTGGCCGCCAGTGGAGAGAGCTGCTCAGTGGCCCGCCCAACGGGACGGGAAGTCTTGGGAGCTGGGAGCTGGGAGCTGGGCGATGGAGAGGTGGCGGATGGCCCTAGCACGATGCCCTTCGTGCTCCCAGGTATGTATCTACGTACCTCCTGATACAGCTGCGCTGTCGGCACATACATGCCTCCCGTCGTTAGCGGAGCGCCAAAGAGCCCCAGGTCTCGCAGGGCCTGGACTTGCTGGTGCTCTTGGCTGCACGGCCGTGAGACGGGGGGGATGAGATGGGCCGCACGCACATGGCGAAAGGTTTGAGGTTACCTTTCCGGCTTTCCGGCTGAATTTACGTACACCTTGTGGCGGGCGTGGCACTGGTTCAGATGGCCTCAGATGGCTTCAGATGCCCACATGGAGCGAGACCTTGGGCCACGGTACCTGCTTACATGGCCGGTCGTCTTGGGCTTTTTGGCCTTTTGGGGGGGTCGTCTTGAGCAACCTTCCACCTGCGTAACACCATCCTGTAGCACCATAGCACCGTAGCACCTCTCAAACCAGCCAACCAGGTCGTCCAGCGGCCATGTTCGCTCCCACCACCCCCGTCGCCGCCCCGTCGTAGCGCTAAAGCCCCCCAGGAGCCACCATCACCACTGTCGAGACACTCGACAATTAATTCCATGCTGGCGCTGCGCGAACCAACTAAAGCAAGCGCCGCTTTTCCCCAACGTCGATTTCCCATCCACGAAGCCCGAGTCCAGCCCCATCTGCATTTCGCGACAGCGTCAGCGAACAGCGAACAGCGACAACGACTACTACGACTACGACACCAACCGCGACAGCCATCCCGCCCATCCCGCCCATCCCGCTCCATCCAACGTCGAGACATGACGTGAAGCCCAGCCGCCCGCGACTCAACCCCCCGTCTCCCGACCGACTGACGACTGACGACTGTTCGCGAATGCCCACCCAGCTCGTGCTCTGCCTTATGGCCTAGGGTCCTGCCATCGACGCCATCGACGCCCACGCCCCCCCGGCGACCATGACCAGGAATGAGGCCGGCAAACGCATCAGCTCCATCACGAGCTCCAGCACCGACAGTTCCCGCTCCGCCATCACCGTGAAGCCTGTCCCTCCCATTCCCATCCCCAATCCCGCTCCACGTCTCGCCGCCGACTCCCACGCCCTGGCCGGCGCTTCGTCCAACCCCCGCCGACGCCCTCCTCCCGCCCGCCTCAGCGCCGACGACAATGCTCTTCTGATGAACAACTGGTGAGTTCCAATGCCTCACCTCGCTCCCTCTGCCGCTGCTCCGCCGCTCCGCCGTCTCCGCCGCTCCACCTCTCTCGCCGCCCGCTCTTCTTCATCTAATCGTTCCCCCGTGTTAGGTCCCCCAAGGACGACCAAGTGTCCCCGACTGCCCCTTCCTTCCCTACTCGCGGCGGCTCCAATGCCGCTCAAAAGGACCGTCGCATGAGCGACCTTACCAATTATCGCCGCGATCTCGCCGTCCTCGAGACTTCCCGTGTGCCCCAAATTCAACACAACCCGCCAACCGGCGGCTCAAACCCCCAGATAGCTCCGTGGATGATGACTCCCAACGGCTCCTCCACGCCCTCCTCCACCATGCCAACCAGCTTCTACAACGACTCCAGCGACAACCTGTCACTCGCCTCCCAACTCTCCCCTGGGTATCCCTCGACAAACGCTCGACCCGGCCCCGGTACGGCGCCTCAAGACTCGCCCGATGCCGCCTACTTTAACGACAGCCGACGGCCGTCGGCTGCTAGCATTCTCACGGCCAGCAGTCAGGGCTCCAAGACTAGCGTGACGCGTGGTGGCTTTCGGAAACTTCAAGGCTTCTTTGGCGAAGAGTTTCCTGGTCGCGACAGCTCCGAGAGCAGCCTACCCACTTCGTTTATGGGCAAGGACCAGCGTCAGCGCTCCTACAGTCACAGCCGCCCCACCCAGCGAGATCGTAACTACTCCAATGCCACCGATCATACTCGAGATGCTTCTCCCTCTTCCTCCAGGCCTAGAACTCCGGTCCCTGCACCAGAAGTGGTCCCTTTTTTGTATCAAGATAACAATGTGCGTCAGTCATGTATTACCCTGCTTCATTCCTTCCATCCCCACAGCCCCGCTGTCATCACTGCCCTCGATCCCTCCTTCAGCAGAGCCTGCTGCGCCTACCTCTGCTCTTGAATCCTTCATCCGCTCCCTGCGATGGGGAGCTGCCCTGCTGACCTCCCGCCTGTAGGACATCGCACGATACGGCGAGGCGCCCGTTCGAGACATCTTAACCGGACCCGATCGAGAACGATACATGCCTGACGGAACCTCCCAAGTCCCACCCAAGACTTCTTCGTCCTCCCGCTCCGCCCATTCCATCGTCCACGGCCACCATCACCATCGTCACAATAAGAGCAATGAAGATCCTCGAACCTTGAGGCCGACCATTAGCAGGGAAGATACACCTCTTGGGGGCTCGTTTTCGCGTGACCGCGGAGCAGGCTCATCAGCAGCCATGTATTCGACAAGATCCAGAGGGCAGAGCCCGACACCGAGTAATAGAAGCGCTGGGCCGTCCTTTAGCTCAAAGTCAAGTCAGGTGGATGGACAGACGTCGCCAGGCCATCATGGGAAGCGTGGGCTGCTTAACCGGCTCCGACGACACCACAAAGACAAGGATGATACTGCGCGACTTCGTGACCTACCTCAATCGACAAAGTCTCTCCAGACAAAAACCTCAAAGTCGGACTTCCGACCTGAGCTATCACCCTCGGTCTTCCCTCCCGTGGGCCCATTGGGACTGGAGCACAGCGAAAGCTTCGACATGCGGCACGGTAACCAGCGCGGTGCGACCTTCAACAACAAGTTTCCCTTCTCGAAGAAAGCACGGATTCGACCCCATGACTTTGGCGAGGAGTCGATTGGTCCGACAGATCGCAACGACCCTAACAATGGCTTTCATCTCGACACCAACCTTAACGACATGGAGGGTATCTTGTCGAAGCCGCCGCAACTTGTGCCAATGGACGTCAGTTACGTCAACGCTCTGGAAATCGACCGTGCCGACTCCATTATTTCAGTAGCTCCCAAAGGACGTTGGGATGCTCCAGACAGCTGGGCTGTGAGGCGGAACACCGAGGACAATTCGTACAGCGCCCCCGATGTCGACGAAGTTGGAAGCCCACCTAGACCAGAGGAGAAGGCGGCATCGTTCTGCATCCGAATCTTCCGTTCCGACGGGACATTTTCCACTCACTCGATGCCGCTGGATTCTAGCGTCACCGACGTCATTTCTCAGGTCATTAAGAAGACATATGTTGTCGATGGCCTGGAAAACTACAATATCATCATGAAGAAGCACGACCTGATTCGTGTCCTCCTGCCTCCTGAACGACCCCTCTTGATGCAAAAGCGGCTCCTACAACAAATCGGATACGAGGACAAGGACCGGATAGAGGACCTCGGACGAGAGGACAACAGCTATCTCTGTCGGTTCATGTTCTTGTCTGCTCGGGAAAGTGATTTCCACGCGAAGACAACCGACATGGGCCTCGCTCGTGCTCAAAAACTCAACTACGTTGATCTTTCGGGGCGTAATCTCATCACTATACCCATCTCCCTTTACTCCAAAGCCCCGGAGATCATTTCCCTAAACCTCTCCCGCAATCTCTCACTCGACGTTCCTCGCGATTTCGTTCAATCTTGCAAAAACCTTCGAGACATCAAATTCAATAACAATGAGGCAAGGAAGCTACCGCCAAGCTTGAGCCGGGCAGGGAAATTGACATTCCTCGATGTTGCCAACAATCGCCTAGAGCAGCTGGAGCACGCTGAACTTAATACCTTGTCTGGGTTGTTGAAGTTGAACCTCGCGAACAACCGACTCAAACACCTCCCACCAGATTTCGGCGCGTATAAGTCTCTGAGGACTCTGAACATATCCTCCAACTTCCTCGACAAATTCCCTTCATTCTTGTGTGACTTGGAGAGCCTTGTTGACCTGGACCTCAGTTTCAACGGGATTGCTAGTCTCCCCAACGAAATTGGCAACCTGAAGAACCTAGAGCGGCTATTGATAACCAACAATAGGCTCACGCATAGTGTTCCGCCCACGTTTGGACAACTCATCAGTTTGCGCGAACTCGACATTAAGTACAATGGCATCTCGAAGATCGACACCATCTCGGAGCTCCCCAAGCTGGAGATTCTCTCTGCTGACCACAATTGCATCTCTGCCTTTGTGGGACAGTTTGAGGCGATTCGGCAGTTGAAACTGAATTCGAATCCTCTCAACAAATTCGAGATCGTGGAACCGGTGCCAACATTGAAGACCTTGAACCTATCCAATGCTCAGCTGGCCAGTATTGACTCATCCTTTACGAACATGATGAACCTGGAACACTTGATTTTGGATAAGAACTATTTTGTGTCGTTGCCCCAGGAAATCGGCACTCTGAGCAAGTTGGAGCACTTCAGCATAGCAAACAACTCCGTGGGAGAACTTCCGCCTCAAATCGGATGTCTGACGGAGCTGCGGGTGCTAAATGTCCGAGGCAACAACATTTCAAAGTTGCCGATGGAGCTCTGGTGGGCCAACAGGCTAGAGATCTTCAACGCCTCTTCGAATGTTCTCGAGCACTTCCCGAAGCCGGCGTCTAGAGCGCCCCGAGTACCCGGAGAGGAGTCACAACCCCCCCCAGTGGCGAACGGTAGAACCGCGCCTCTAGGCACCTTGTCAGCCACTGCGAGTTCAGAGGAGCTTTCCGATGATCGAAGACCGAGCGCAAACTCGAGTACGCTCTTGAGCGTTGGCCCATCTCCTCTTAATGACCGAAAGAGCTCCGTCGTGTCTGTCTATGGGAAGGGTGGCCGGAAAACGTCAGTCGTGTCGAGATCGACTACGGCATCCACGGCTACAAGGAAGGATTCCGGTCTCTCATCAAGGATGACGAATACTTTTGCTGGATCCTTGCGAAACTTGTACTTGGCCGACAATCGGCTTGACGATGACGTGTTTGATCAGCTCACACTCCTCTCAGAACTTCGGGTTCTCAACTTGTCGTACAATGACGAGATTGGCGACATGCCACAGCGATCAATCAAGAGTTGGCCACAGCTCGTTGAACTCTACCTCTCAGGGAATGGCTTGACAACACTGCCAGCTGATGATTTGGAAGAGTCCAGTCTTCTTCAGGCTTTGTACATCAATGGCAACAGATTCACCAATCTGCCGGCAGATATCTCGAGGGCGAAGAACCTTGCGGTGCTGGATTGTGGAAACAACTTCCTCAAGTACAACATCTCTAACGTGCCCTACGACTGGAATTGGAACCTGAACCCCAACCTGAGGTATCTGAACCTTTCTGGAAACAAGCGCCTGGAGATCAAACAGACAGCTGCACCAAGTGGACCTGGCGCTGTCAACCGAGAGGAGTACACCGACTTCAGTCGTTTGATGAACTTGCGAGTGCTAGGACTGATGGATGTCACTCTTACTTCACCCAGTATCCCTGACCAGAGCGAAGATAGACGTGTCCGTACCTCGGGTTCACTCGCGGGCCACCTTCCTTATGGAATGGCGGACACTCTAGGAAAGCATGAGCACTTGTCAACTGTCGATCTAGTCGTACCTCGGTTCAACTCCTCCGAGACGGAAATGCTTTTGGGCTTGTTCGATGGACAAGCTCTATCTAGTGGAGGATCGAAGATTGCCAAATATCTCCATGAGAACTTTGGTCACATCTTTGCAATCGAATTGAAAGCACTTAAGACGCGCTCCAATGAGACACCGGTTGACGCTCTGCGCCGCGCATTCCTGGCCCTGAACAAGGATCTGGTTACCATTGCGATTCAACACTCCGAGGAGCGTCCGCAGAAAACGCATAGGGGCTCTGGCCAACCCGTCATTCTCACGAAGGAAGATCTCAACTCAGGTGGTGTTGCTACAGTCGTTTACCTGCAGAATACAGAACTCTATGTTGCGAACGTGGGCGATGCTCAGGCGATGGTGATCCAGACCGATGGAAGCCACAAGATTCTGACCCGGAAACACGACCCCGCTGAACCGACTGAACGATCACGGATCCGTGAAGCTGGAGGCTGGGTAGCTCGAAACGGCAGATTGAACGATCTTCTCGAGGTTTCTCGGGCATTCGGCTACGTTGACCTGATGCCAGCAGTACAAGCCGCGCCATACGTGAGCAACATGACGCTCCGGGAGCAAGATGATATCATCTTGATCGCCACTCGAGAGCTCTGGGAATACCTGTCACCTGGCCTGGTGACCGACATCGCAAGGGCAGAGCGACAAGATCTCATGCGGGCAGCTCAGAAGCTTCGTGACCTTGCGATATCATATGGCGCCTCGGGCAAGATCATGGTCATGATGATCAGTGTCGCTGACTTGAAGCGGAGAGTCGAGCGATCGCGACTTCAGCGTGGCACTAGCATGTCACTGTACCCATCCGGTATTCCCGACGCAGCCCAGGTTCTGTCTACAAGAAGGGGCCGCAAGGGCAAAGGTGGTGTCTTGGATTCCTCGCTCGATCGTCTCGAGGCGGAGATTACAGCTCCTACTGGCAACGTTTCAATCGTTTTCACGGATATCAAGAACTCAACCAACCTGTGGGAGATGTACCCGAGCGCGATGCGGTCCGCCATCAAGCTTCATAACGAAGTCATGCGTCGGCAGCTGCGTCGTATTGGTGGGTACGAGGTCAAGACTGAAGGTGATGCGTTCATGGTGTCATTCCCTACTGCTACATCCGCGTTGCTTTGGACCTTTGCTGTTCAGATGTCACTTTTGGAAGTAAGCTGGCCGTCGGAAGTACTCAACTCTGTCTCTTGTCAACCAGTTTATGATAAGGATAACAGCCTGATTTTCAAGGGGTTGTCCGTGCGAATGGGTATTCATTTTGGAGACTGCGTCAGCGAGACGGACCCGGTCACTCGCCGTATGGATTACTTTGGACCCATGGTAAACAAGGCGGCGCGAATCTCGTCGGTGGCAGATGGCGGTCAGATCACCGTCTCGACCGACTTCATCTCTGAGATACAGCGATGTCTAGTCAACTACCAAGACGTGGACCGTGCCACCTCAGGATCTGAAGACACCTTTGACGAGGAGTCGTTTGCGACTGCGATTCAAAAAGACCTCAGGTCTCTGACCTCGCAAGGATTTGAAGTCAAGGAGATGGGCGAGAAGAAGCTAAAGGGACTGGAAAACCCAGAAGTCGTCTACTCACTCTACCCGCATGCCTTGGCTGGCCGCATCGAGACTCACCAGCAGCACGAGAGACGGGAGGACGGTCCCGACAAGCCTGCTTCTCTTGCCCCGGGAGGTGAACTTTCATTCGACCCCGACATGATCTGGACCCTCTGGCGTGTCAGTTTGCGTCTGGAGATGCTTTGCAGCAGTTTGGAGGGCGCCCCGGGCAGCAATATGGTGCTTCAACCACCCGAGACGGAACTGCTTGAGAGGATGAAGCAACGGGGAGGTGAAATCACCGATCGATTCTTGATCAACTTCATGGAGCATCAAGTTAGCAGGATAGAGGTAAGTTTCTGAATAACTTGTGCTGAACCGGTGCTTGAACCTGACGCTGACAACTGTGTTAGACTTGTATCTCTACTCTAGCGATGCGACACCTTGCTGTTGGCGGTGGCACTTTCAGTTTGCTTGAAGAGCTTGCCGGACCGATGTCTGACATCTTGAGCCACTTCCTCTCTCAACAAAAGCAACTGAAGCGTTACAAGAAGAAATATGGCAAATTGCCAAGCATCTCCAGCGGAAGCGAGGATGACGAAATCGATGAAGACGAAGACGAAGACCAAGACGACTCTACAGTCGACGGGAGCGAAACTGAGTAGGAGTGAGGGAGTTTTGCATCGTTCATTACTTCCGCAGTGTCGATGCTTGTCCCTATACCCCTGCCACAGCCGCACCTCGACGCTTATATATCATATAATGCAACCCCCTCCACGCGGCATGACCTGCGTGGTCCTTGGGGACTCAAACAGAATGGCTCTTGCTCCGGTCGCTTGCTGGAAAGAGGGGGAATGAGGGAAAGAAGGGATTGAGGAGTTTGCTCCATGGGTTCTTGCTACTGGGACTTTGGGTCACCTATTGTTTTTTGTTACGTTGTTTCTGATCGCCTGTTGTCTTTCGATGAATGCTGTGCCTGGTCGTTTGCGGTCGATTATGGATGAAACTTGGAATTCTCCGGGACTGACTGCCTTTCTGGATGGGAAACGCATACGGGACCCCATATGGCGTTGGGTTATAGGAGGCACGGGGCGATGGCCTGGAGGTCTCCCCTTGCCTCCACCTTGTATCTGTTGTTGTTTTTTTGGGACTGGGGTTATTGGATGCGGATGCCTCTTGGAGTCGAGTGTAGCAACAATGGCTTTTCACGTGAATGCAAGCGAGAGGCACAGGAAAAAGTTGGTTATAGTAATTTTAACAAGTGATAGTACATGTCTGTCCCTTTTGATTTGTGAAAGAAGCCAATATTAAGCTGGGCTATTATTATACATGACCTACCCACCCAAGATGATAAACCTATCAATTCCGTCTGAGAATACGGATCCGTGGCGACATTCGGGGACCAGCCCACCAGCCGCCTGTATACCCCCTTACCAAGTCTCGGACCGCAGCAACTTGGGCGCCAACACCAACGACTCTGTTGGCTTCCTTGCCCCTTAGCTCGCCGGCAGGATGACTTCCTGGCTTGAGAACCTCGATACCGTCGAAGCCCAAGACGATGCCAATCACCTCCCATTGTCCTAGAACCTTGGACGTGTCCTCAGCTAGAACATAGTCAAAGCGTCCCCAGAACCTTGGATACCCAAGCTGATAGCCGGACTCGGTCTTGTCGAAGAGGAAAATGGGGGCATCGGGGTTTTGAGGGAGCGGGAGGTCAAGGGCGACAGGGTGACCGCCGGGGTTCTGGCCGAAGAGAGTCAGGCCGGTCATGCATGTGAGGACGTCGGCGTGGACGTCGACGACGGGGGAGGGGTCGTCACGGGCAAGGACCTGGAGCTGCGTGAGGGCATCGCCACCGGGATAGTTGAGGGAGGAGAAGAGGAGCATGCCGGCGCTGGCGGCGAAGGACCCGAGGATAGAGAGAACGATGACTAGCGAGCCCGAGCTGTAGACGAGCGACTTGGAGGCGCGGGAGGAGATGAAGTTGGCTCCGAGGGCGGCCGCGGCCGTGAGGGACGGGACGACGTAGAAGATGAAGCGGGCTTCCTTGTGCGGCTGGAGGGAGTAGATGGCGACGTAGAGGAGGTTCGGGATGACGAGAGCGCGTGCGGCGCGGCTTGTGCCCGGCTGGAAGAGTGCAACGAGGATGAGCAACGGCGCAAGCGGGTTCAGCAGGAGGCGCGGTAGGGCCGAGGTGAAGTAGTAGTGCCAGGGCGAGACGCCCCAGTTGGACGAGGAGCCTAGGATGGCGTTGTAGTAGAAGCCGGCAAGCTCTGGCCAGAGCGGCCGCTGCCAGAAGTACGAGTCAATGGGCACGGAGATGGCGAGGGCGACGAGAACGGAGATCAGGGAGACGGGGATCAGGGCGAGCACCGTCGTGCGCCGGCTGATGAGGAGGTACAGCGCCGTGGTGGTGAGAAGGAGGGCGATCTCGGAACGGAAGATGACGCCGGCCAAGATGAAGAGAGCGATGGCCTGCTTTTGGCGGAGGATGGATCTCCGAGGATCGAGCTGGGGCAGGAGGAATGCCGAAGCGAGAGTTGCTAAGGGGCACTTCGTTAATATGTGTATCTCTTAGTTGGTCAATGAGAGCAAGGGGAACAATCGACTCACTTAGACCAAAGGCGTACATGTTGGGAAGCGTCCGCGAGAGGTAGTAGTTGATATGGAACTGGCAGACCAGCATGGCAACCCACCAGTTAGCCACACCTTTCCCAAACGCCTTGCGCAGCGAGTTCCGCATCACCAGCAGCGCCGCGGCATTAATAGCGCCCAGCAAGCCCCTGACGACAAGCTGGGCATGCTGGAAGCCGACGACGGCGACGAGCGGCTGGCCCAAGCCGGCGAGCAGCACAGCGCCGAGAAACGTGCGCGGCACGGCACCCGGGAAGGTGAAGTGGTCGTACGTGTGCGCCAGGCGCGCGCCCACGTCGCCGCTGGTGGGCGTGCCGTAGACGAGGATGTCGTGGGCCGCCTGCATGTTGAACGACTCCTCGACTTTGGTGTAGGGGGCGAGGAGCAGGTGCACCAGGGGGACGGTGAAGAGCAGGGACGTCAGGAGGGCGTCTTTGGGGGTTGGATTGCGTTAGCGGCTTGTGGTCTGTATAGAGATTTGGAGTTGAGCGAGCTTGCCTGTGGACGTCATTTTGGATGCCATGATGCGTGAGACGAGCGGCTTGGTGTTGAGAGGGAGACTGGTGCTCTGGCGAATGAGCTGGTTTCAAGCGACGACACGCAGCTAAAGAACACAGGCAAGAGATATAAAAACCTCAAGTTGCATCCACGAATTCCTCTTCATTCCCGCAATAGAAAGGCATGACAGGCCGGACAATGAGAGTGGCAGACAACTTAGACGTTGAAACGGCGTGTACGTGTAAGTTGCACGCCGCGATCCACAGCGCTGCACGTCGCTTCCCGGACCGTCGTCGGATCGGCGCAACCATCCCCCGGCGCACCCACCCACCAAACCACCAAGCTCTCTCTATAACACATGTCATCGCCGCTACAGCGCCCACGTCGCCCCTTCGCAACCGCCCATCGCAACGTCTTTGCGCTCCCTCCTCTCCGCCCACCGCGTGCGACGACCTCCCAGCACCGTCGCCCATCATGTTGTTCTTCGGCAACTTCCTGTACAGTAAGCGTTTGCTCCCGCCGGCTTCTGCGCTTCGCTAACCCTGAGCTTCTCCCAGTTGTCATTGTATGAACCAGCCGCCACGTTCTCGTTCTACCCTCGCATATGGCCTCGTCAATAACACTTCTCGCAGCTGCTTGTAAATGCCGTGGCCGTTCTCTCCGAAGATCGCTTCCTCGCGCGCAGTACGCAACCCCCGTCACCCCTCCCTTGGTCCGCACGCAGTATCCAGCTCCTAACGTCTCTTGCGCTTCTCCATAGTCAATCTCTCGCCCGCTTCTTACGATCCAGCCTTCGGTTCCGGCGCCGATGCTAGCGTCAAGGCGAAGATCATTCATCTCATCGCCAGCGTCCGAACCCTGATGCGACGTACGTGCTGCCGTTCTTACTCGACCCTCCTTGCTCGAAATGCGAGGACCTAATCCTTTGATACTGACTCCTTCAACAATATAGTGCCCTTGATATGTGTCAACACACTCATCATTCTCTACGAGCTTGTGCTGGGATAAGATGGCGTCTGGGCGAGGTAGCAAAAAGGACACGGGTGCACCACTCTAGGCATCAATGGAGGAGCATGGGCACCCCACGGAGTTGTATAATGAAATGATTCACGGCAGCGGCGTAGGAGTCTTTGCTACTTGGTATGGGGCATGTTGGGCATTAATTGAAGCTTTCCGAGTCGTCACTGAGGAGACACATGGGCGTGTAATACGCAGGGCCCCGGGCTCTGCTTGAGCGTCTTGTCTTCATCTTGTCTTCAGCCAGCCAGTCACGCAAACGCCTGGCTAGGGCTTCCGCTATAATACAACTACCGCAGCGACGCAATTGGCACTTGATGCCGTTCAAAAAGAGGCTCGCTCCCAATGATTAATTCAACTCAGCCGCCACGCTGTCCACTGCACACTCCTGACAACCACCACACCACACCATTGCTCCGAAGTCAACAGTCGTCTTTCATGCCCCGACTCCTAACCGAGGTGGAAAGCCACCTGGCCACTCCTAACCTGATAACGTCTGTCGAGATTATTTCGAGAAAAGGGCACGTGCCGAGAAAAACGCTTTCTGATGCTGTGTGTGCTCCCGTCCTTCTTTTTTGTCCTTTGCGGTGGAAGCTTACAAATGTATATCCTGTCATCCATCCGTACAACCGAGGCCTTAAAATGAGAAATGGCTTCGTGCCCCTTTCAGTATGCCATGCAAAAACGAAGAAAAGTAACTATGTTGATGAGAGTAGGTTGGTGCTCTTTTTCCGCCCGAGGCCAAAACTGAGTCGGTCTTTGAGCTTCTCGTGCTTGTCGTTCGCGTCACCGTTCTGTGACGTACCCAAGGTCTGGGCCGCCGCTTTATCCTTGTGGTGGAAGAGGCCGAAACTTTTCTTTGACATCGACTTGCTGCCACGCTTGGACCGGTCCAGGAAACTTGACGAGTGCGATGCGCTGCCGTTCTCCTTCTTCCGAGCGTCTTCCTCTTGCGCCGCAGACTTCTTGCTGGCCTCGAGAACCTTTTGTAGATCGTCTTGCTCAGCTCGTCGTGCCTGCAACGCCTTGGTTTGATCCTCTCGTCGTTTCTTCTCATCAAGCTTGGCCTGCTTCTCTCTCTCCTTCTCCCTCTCCTTCTCGGCCTGCTTTTCTGCCTTCTCTGCAGCCTCGCGCTGCTTCTTCTCACGTTTCTTCTCCTCCTTCGACTTGGCTTCCTCCTTCGTAGTATCTGATCTACGCAGCCCGTTCGAGGTCGGCGTAGGAACCACAGGAACCGGAGGCTCGTTGCTCACAATCGGAGCGGTAGATGGCATGACGGGGGCGGTAGTGGCGTGAGCTAGACTTAATAGTGGCTCTTGCTCCTGCATGGGAGGAATAGGCTGTGTCATCTGCCGCTTCAGAGGTGAAGATTCTGGTCCGTCGCCATTTGCTTGGGCTAGGTTTGCCGCCTCGTTGGCGAGCTTGACTTCTTCCATTCCTTCCTTCTCTTGCTCTTCTCTAACCTTTTCAAATGTGGTTTCTTGGTAGAAGAGAACGTATGCTGTGGCCATTCCCGGCTTGTCACCGAAGAAGTTGCGCACGAAGTGCTTGTCTACGGGCTCAACCATCTCGTCATCGAACAGGACCCACCCTCGGTCCTTGGTCTTGATGATGGAGACGTAGTGACCGTGATAGGCGTTGCCGCCAATGTGGACTACCACGGCATACAGCTCGTACAAGCGATCGGGGTCGGCTGCGTCATCAGTTGTATTGAACATACGCAGGTGGTAAGGATAGACGACCCGATGGAAGAGTTTCTGCAACCGACTGTAGTCCTCGGTGTACTTGAAACGCTTCAAATGCAAGGTGAGAACCTTAGGAAGACGCTTCACCTTCATTCGCTTTTCCGCTTCCTGCAGGCCTCCGCAGTGGTCGCAATGAAACTTATTTCGCTCACAGAGCATTTCTTCGGCCGAAAACTTTCTTAAGCAAGAGGTGACTGAGGAGTGTTCTTCCAGATCGATGGAGAGATCAAGGAATGTTTCATCTCGCTGGGATGCTGTCTCGCAGGTCAAACACTTGGTTTCTGACGTCAAGACGCCTTCGAAAATGTCGTGTACCCAACCAGTCCCAGGGGAGCGGATCCCTGAAGACTGATTCACCACACCAGCCCCTAGGGCGGTTTCGACAGACTGTGTCAAGCCATCCTCTAGTTGGAGTTGCATTTTTCGGGCTGTTGCCTCGACGTTCGCGATGACATCATTCAGCACCAAGCCGTAAAATTCATGGGCATCCTGGTGCATCGAGTTCCGGAACATTTCGTTGTCGCGTTTGAAGATCTCGAGAAATCGCTGAGGGCTCAGGACACCGGTATGGGTGTTGCTTTCAATGAGAGCCAAGAAGATGTCCTTGAGGCCCGTAAAAGTGGACTCGTCCATCCCGTACGCTGCTGAGTTCTCCTGCGCCAACTCGAGAATGGGACCTTTGAGCATGGCCTGTTTCTTCTTGTACTCGGGGGTATCGGGCTTGTCTTCGGGTCGGACGCCAACTTGACCTGGCAACTGATGGTTCAAGGCCTGCCTCTGCTTGATCACCTGGGACGTGCTGAGGCCCTTCTGTTTGGGTGGCTGGGCGGCAGGATTTGGGGGAGGAGGGGGTCTGATGGTGACGTTGACTTTGGGACGCGTGCCATTGGGGGTATCGGAAGGCGAATAGGGCGGGTACTTGATGACGTTCTCGCGGAACGACTCAGAGTAGAACAGTGCTTGAACGATAGAGTTGCAGTAGCTAGGGAGGGTCAGCGGGGTGGGCATACGAGGTGGCGCGCGCATTAGACTCCATACCATGTATTCCCAAACTAAATAACAAATCAGTTCAACGATGCTCAGGACTGGAGGATTGGACGGGCGGGAGGTGAATTAAACGTACGTTCTCGAGGCCAAAGAATCGATCAGTGCCGTCATCGCGCAAGGGAGGGGCATTCTGGAGCATCTTCTCAAGAGGGGTGAGGTCGAGCACAGGCTCTTCCTTCTTCTTGGCGAGGGCATCCTTGGATGGAGTTGAGGAGGCCTGTGAATGGAGCGGTATTTTGTCAGTAAAGGTCGGATGTCTTGGCGCAAATGAAGAGGGATGGAGAGGATCGGTCGGTAGGTTCGTAAATTGCGAGGGAACGGGAGCGGGAGGGCAGGGAGTTGCGACGCACCGTGCCGGAGCCCTTGATCTTGTTGAAGAAGCCGGCCATTTCGGCGTCGGGAAGTCGTCGGAGATGGGCGCGGGAGCAGCTAGCGGGCTACCGAGCCGGGTTGAGGACGAGGTCGGACGGCCGACCGCAAGAGCTGGGCGGCACCAGCTCAGCGAGGATGGTCGCAATTGAGGCCGCGGGTCATGCGAAAGGGCGTTGGCGGCGGCGAGTGAAGTCGAGTTGGTGAGAGCACGAAGCGAGAGACGCCGCGGAGCGAGGTGGTTCGGTCGCTGGGTCGCTGGATTGCCGACGGGCGAGAGCGAGGCGCGGGAGTTGTGGGGGTGAACGCGATGGCGCTGGACTGAACTGCTGGTCTGGGCGGGCGGCAGGTAAAGGAAAAGGCGGCGGCGTGAGGGGGAGAGGGCGGAAAGGGTTGAAGGAGGAGGGAGGATGGGATGCGAGAGGAGGAGAGGGAGATAGAGAGGTAGGAGGAGCGAAGCGCAAGAAGAGGTAGGTAGCTCAGGTCGCAGGCTGAGGTACGTGGTAGGGTAGGTGGTAGTGGTAGTGGTGTAGTGGTGGCGGGAGAGATGGTCTGTTCGGGCGTCCAGGCTTGAACCTGGGGGAAGAAGGGGGGGGGGAGGTTTACTGGGAATAGTGGGCGTTACAGTTGGGTGTGGTGGTACGTCTAGCGCAGTTGTAGGTACCTTACCTACATCTAACAGGCTTCGGGCGCTGTGGAGGAGGAGGCAAGGCAAGGCGGAGCGCAGGGCAGGGCAAGGCGGCGGCGATCGTGCAGAGCGGAGCGGAGCAGGCGGACATTGTATATTTAGAAAGGGCAATGCAGCAATGCAGTGATTGAACTGTATCAATTCCCCGGTCGCAGCGGCCCTGGAGCGACTGAGCGAGACTGAAGGTGGAAGCTGGGCTGGGCAGAAGCGAGGAACCCTCCATCACCAACCCTCCTCCCCTTACCGTCTCTGGGTCGCTGGGTGCTGGATGGGAGGGACGGGGATGCTGGAGTGGGCTGGAGTGGGCTGCAGAGTGCTGCAATGGGCGACGCAATGGGCGACGCGACCCCAGTTTGCCCGGGCAGGCCCCCAAAGGCCCCTAGTGGATAGTGGGTAGTGGGTAGTGGGTACAGTAGGTATGGTGGGCCACCCCCGAGCGGAAAACGGGGGGAGCGACACTAGGGGTACCAGCTACGGGCAACCAACCTGAGGTACCTGCAAGCCTGCAAGCAACCTGCAAGGAGAGGCAGCGAAGCGGCGCAACCAGAGCAAGGCCCAGGGACTCCAGGAGGCCCTTGACACCTTAGCACCTTAGCCCAAGCAGCCGGACACCTCTGCGAGCGTGTCAGCCAGTGGGGAGCCCCATCTCCACTGGGAAGAGAGCCAGAGGGGGAGCCAGGTGGAGCGGAGTGTGGTGTGGTGGGGGGGATGCCCTGGGGGCCGAACGGATGGGTAAAGGAAGGTCGTCGAGCGGTGGTTCCATCCGGGCCCAGGCGGGCGAGGGGCCTATTGGCTGGCCGCGGCTATGACGACGAGGGTTGGGACCTCTGGAGGAGTTGAGAGCCATGGCCACGAGGTACTGGCAGCCAGAGAGGCCGGGGTATCAGCATGGATGGGGGCATGGGTTGGGGCATGGATGGGGAGCCATGGGGTACGGCTGGACGAACGAAAAGCCCGGCAGCATCGCAGCGGCAGCAAGCAGCAGCAGGAACCGCAGCAGCTAACAGCGCGCGGATGCAGTAGACTCGGGGTTCAAGTGGTAAGCGAACTAGTCGAGGCCCTGGGCTAAAAGAGGAGAGCGAGAATTAACTTGCGGTAGTCCTTGTGGTCATTGTGGTCCTTACAGTAGGCGCCTCTCGGGTTGTTGGACGCCATGCCCGTAGGTACCTAGGTAGCTTGGCCTTTTCCGACCTTCTTCGGCACACGAGGTGGCTTGTAGAGAGAGGATCGGGTAAATTGGACGTTGGCTCGAACCGATCTAGTCGTCTGGGCTTCTCTCACATGATTGATACATTGATGACTGACCCAACATCTCGACTCATCCTTTACTACTTCGCAACAGGCCCGCCCTCGAGACTCCCTCGTGCGCCCCTCGCTAATCCGCGTGCCGCGCGCGTGCTCCGCCGATTCAGATTCGGCACCAGGAAGATGGACTCCAGCCGGCGACATTTGTGTGCCCCCCCCCCCCGAGTAAGGCGAGCTGGCTGCACGAGTCAACTGTAAGGCGACGCGCTAAACCGCGGCGCCACGACTTGGCAACCAGGACCGTGAGGAATCTGTTTTTTTTTCTCTCTTTCCCGTCTGCTAGATGCCGAGAGGCGTTGGGGGGAATTGGGATTGGGACGGGACTTTAACCGGTGGCCAGCGAGAGATGTCACCCTCAACACACTCGGGGGACGACTAGGGAAAACCCCGTTGATGCGGCGCGGTAAGTCATGGATGCCAAGGTCGGCTACATTCTCACCATTCAGAAATCGGCGGGGATGCAACCTACTAGCAACCTGGCAGCTGGGCTGGTAGATCTTCACCCACAGATATTCTTGGTTTGTGTGGGTAAATATAGGTAGCTCAGCGTAGTCTGGCTGGAACGATCCCGAGACACCACCATGGATGTGAATATCTGGTTACCTTGGTGCCTACATACCTACCTAATACCAGCCATAGAACCGCACCTACCAGACTGATGGGTCAGTAAACCCGCAGCCTGGGTTAGGTCGATCGTAGATGCGGCTAGGCTCAACAGCCACAGGGCCAGACGAGGAGAAACCCAAACGCAGCCGGAGATGCTCCAGAAAGTCCGATAGTTCAGGGCAGGACCAGCCTCGGGCCGGAGGTACATATCCACGTCGATGTTGTTGGGCTCTCGTGAGGAGGTACAGCAAGTCCAGGACAAGAGGCGTACGAGGCGATCGTTGCTTGGTGGGAATTATCGGCGCCTCCCTCGTCGTCGTGTTCCTCCACCACCACGATCTTTCCATCCTCCTTCGCACATGACTGCTTGTCTTGTCGCTTCGGGTCTGCCATGCCGTTGGGCAAGTCTGGCTGGCTGATCTCGCCACCATCGGTTGCACCAGGAGGGAATGCGGCCAACTCCTGCAGGCAACGTGCTCCCCAGGTCCCTTCGAGGGCGCGGCGCGGCAAGGCACACCATCTGTGGAAAGACGCCCCGTGTCACCCTGGTCCTTGCATCCCCCAGCTGGATTGAACCGATTCTGACAGTCGCGGGGCTTTGAGCGGCGTGCGTCTGTCTAGGACTTTGGTTAGAGTATGGAGTATGGATAGGCAGTGACTGATGAACTTGGCCCTTATCCTCAGTCGGGCAACCGCCGCTCTTCCTGCAGCGTCGTTGGCTTTAAGCGGGCAGCGAGCGACCTGCTTAATTGATGCTCCCTGTCCATGTCTTGCACCAGGGTTGTCTCTCCACTAAGCTGCTGTACATAAGGCAGGCATTCATTCGTCCCGTTTACGCATACCTACCTGCAGTACCTAATTATCATGAATTGATTCATCATCATACGCAAGAACAGCGTCTAAAAAGGCCACGACAGCACGACACCACCAACGCAGGTCGAGATGCTAGACGATAGACCCTGTTCGATCCCTGGTACCTTCTCACCAGCCATGTTCAATGATGCGAGAACTTGACAAAGTGTGGGGTTGCCTCGCGCCGCCTGCCCCGTAACCTGCTGTAACCTGCTCCCATCACCAATCACCCGGCCCCAAGCTCCCAACCACGACGCTGGTATCCTATCACACGCATCCCCCCGCGTCCCAGTCGGTCCGTTGTCGAGTGCTCGACATCCAGATAGGTGGCACTCGTTCTCACGGCCTCGAGCATGACCAGACGTGCATGCTGGCCGGCGCGCTCTGGCTGATTCTCCGCCTGTCCGCCTGTCCGACTGCCCGCCTGGGCCTCTGGACTGTCGTGCCGTGTGTCGTGTGCTCAGTGTACCTTACGGAGTAGTGGCTGGCGCTCTTACTTGCCATGCTCCGCCAGCGTTGGGTCCGAATGACCTGTTGTTGAGTGCCGCAACCCGACATGGCGCGCCCTTTTTTTACGATTCGGCATTGCTAACTACACCGACCCGAGCCAAGCTAAACGCTTCCCCCAACGGTCCCCGCTCTCGGAGTTGATGGACGCGAATATGAAGATGGCTATCGCGTGTGGCGTCGTTCGGGCGGCGCTTCTGCAGCGGCGGCGGTTTCCAGCGCCTGGGCTGGCGCACTTGCGCTATAATTCTGCATCATTACCCCTTGATTCCTCAGCGTACTTTCAGCTGGCTGGTGGCTGGAGGCTAGTGACTGGTGACTGGTGGCTGGTGACTGGTGGCTGGTGGATGGCCGATGGTCGATTGCATTTGTTCTGGAACAACGCCATCTGCGTTAGCGCGGTTCGCACTCTCACCCACCCTCGCGCACCCGCTTCAAACGCACGCAAGCGTAACCGGCTTCCCCGCCTCCATGTGCCATGACGAAAAATGTTCCCTTTTGGGTGACCGATTGATTGCACTGGAGGACACACCAGCCGCACCAGACGTGCCAGACGTGCCGTAGGCTCCAGTCATTGTTCCGAGACGAGACACCAGTCCTGCCGTCGCAAGCGCCTCAGCCAACTTAAACCACTCAACCAACCGGCCAATCAATATCCTCCCGATGCCCTCCCGTTTACCTCCCAAGCCGCGATGATCCCGGAAATAGGATTTGCGCTGTTTGACGCCCCTGACGCCTCATAAACGGCTGAGTAGCAGTCGAGATGGTCCTGCAGGATGCCATCTCACGGATGTTGAGATGGCCCCGCTCCGCGAAAGACCCATCTACAGACTCCATTGCGTACCCACTCGCGTTGTCTTCCATCTCCGGAGAGCTGACTCGCTTGTGGTTTTTATTGATCTCGATATCATCTGAACAAGAACTGACTCCTCATCTGAACATGACAGAATCACTGCCCGTGCTTAGAAAATGGTGAAACGTGTTCCAGCTGCATGGCTGATTCGTGATGGGGCCGCCGTTGCTGCAAACATGGATATCCCCTTGTGGACTCTTCCGAAGCTGCCGCCCGAACACCGACAAGTGATTACACGCCCACTCTTTTGCTTGCCGTCTTTGTCAGCTGTATCCCACGAATTTGGGACGAGAAACAATGGGTCATGATAGGCATGCTAATTATAACGCTGATTTTGATAGGAAATGTGATTAAATATCCGTAGGATCCGAAGTTCGGGCAACCGATCCACAAATAACTTATTAAACAGGAGCTCTTTGGATGATCTTCACATGATAACGTTGACTCTCTCTTCTAATCTTCAACCCCGCTTATATAAACGAATGAGTGACTAAAGAAGCGGAACAGGGTACAATACTGCCAGACGTATATGCACTAAGATAGATAAGAGTATCTTTTTTGCCTTGAGTGTGTGGGTGTGTGGGTGTGTGGGTGTTTGCGTTTATACAAATGTTATCACATCAAACCCTTGCGATTAACGATATCCTAAGACAATATACATATCAGATGTGTCCAGGTATGACTATTCACACTACAATTTAAAACAGTCCCCGAAGGAAGATGAACTACCGACCCTTATTCATCTGCAAGACCGACTCTTACTATACCAGCAACTCTACTGTGAGCGACAGGAGTCGTATAAGACATTGGTTAAAAACTCAGATGCTCTCCCTGGCAACAAGACCCCCATGATCCTAACCTCAAAAGCTCTGCCTCACTTCTTCTCCGCCGGGGGTGGAGCACCACCCGTCGTGGGGAAGCCCATGAAGATCTTGAAGTAGTCCTATCCGATTACGTTAGCATCGCTCGAAACTGCTTGAGATTGCCACGAGTGCAGGGCTTGGTGAGTGACTTACATAGATCATCCACTGAAGGCCAGTCAGGGTACCAATCATGACGATTCGCACAGGAAGTCCGTTCCAAAGACCCGAGAAGCCAATGTCCTTGTATACTCGGCCTATAGCACTTCCAAAAGCCTCGCCCGGAGCACGGGTTGCGTTGAGCTTGCTGACCATGACATCGGCCGGGTGAGACACAATGGCACACAGAATACCCGCCAGGTATCCACCGGTAAAGGAGACACCGGTCTGGGCGGCCTTGCCGTAATCATCCTTCTGGCCAGGCAGGCGGTCATATATCATCTCGACAATGGTTTCGAACGAAGCAAACTTCATCATCGTGTACGGGATCTGGCGGCCCCAAAGCGGGTACAGGCCCTTGTACAGGCCGGCAACGCCCTCCTTACCAACGACGGTGCTCAGGCCGTGAAGAGTGCCGCGATACGGGTTCGGGATGCTGCCCTGCATACGAACCTTGATCGCCTCGAACGGGCAAAGGGCGAGGTCAGCCAAGACTTCGGCGGAAGCTGAGGCCGCCAAGTACAGACCGGTTTTGTACTTGTAAGCGGCCTCGGGACCTGCCATATCCGAGTATGTCTTCTTGAAGTATTCATACCAGCCGTACTTGAAGGCGCCCTGGGCGCTGTAGCCGAGCAACGTGGGACCCCAACCGGTGAAGATGCCGCGGACGCCCTCGGCACGGTATATAGTGCCCCAGCCCTGGATGTTGCTCTTGTACAGCTTCGGTTCGACCTGGCGGCGGGTCTTGACGAGATCGAGCGGTGTTACAGCTGCGTGGGTAAGGCCCTGAATGTGCAAAGGATCAGTTCAATGCTTCGTCGAAGACTCTCAGGTATGACAAGATAGTCGTCAAGTCTGGAGTGGATATAAGAGACTCACACAGGCCAGCAGTCCACCAACCGTGCAAGCGGCATAGTATTGGGCGGAGAAGAGCTCAATCTTTCCAGGCTTGGCTTGGGCCTTGGCATTGTCGACGATGGAGTAGGCGCTGTACAGCTCCGTGCGGGCCTGGTAGGGAGTGCGGCCATTGACCGAGGCCTTGAAAACCTCCTGGGAGGGATGCAATGGCGACATGATGGGAGGAGCAATTGCGAACGGGGAGCTCGGGTAGTGGTGATCTAGGTTAAGGAAGCGTGTAAGTCAATGTCTGGAGAGGAAGATGCCGTAGGTTGATGCTGAGGAATAGGAGAGATTGGATACGGAACTCGAGTGCCTTATCGTGATGCAGCTTGAGGTTTATTCTGATGGATGAGAGAGGTGATGCGGCTCTTGTGACGTACCTCTGGTTATGACGTCGACGAATGGACGCAGTCGGGGAGCACGTTGGCAGGAAGTAGAGGGAGAGTACCCTTCTTGTGGTGACAATAGGAAGTGCCAAAAGCTGAGACGAATAGCTACCGACCCAGCTCAGGAATAAAAGAGCTCAGGAAACGAGATTGTCAAACAGAGGTCGTGCGGAGTGTTGACAATGCTCCCGGACATAAGATTCCGATTCCCGTGCCCCGACCCCCCGGAAGGATGCCACGCTCGCTAGCCACGGCGATTGGGCTGGCTGGCGGTACAGACAAGGACATGATACTTCCGGGTACTTTGCCTGCCACACGAGCGAAACGGACGGGTGCTGATAGGCCACGAGTACGATTGACCATCGCGTCTACGGTATTTTGTCCTTCTGCGCTCCACCGTGTAAGTGGAAGCTGCGCATAGTGGATCGATGCCCGTCAACGATTGACGCTGGGGGGTTTTGCGACAGAGAGCCGCCGGGCGCTAAACGTAGCGGACCGGGCGTCTTTCAAGGTCCCGGTCCCGCCCAGCGCTGCGGCTGCGGCTGCCCCACCATTCACTCAGAGTCACCGAACTTGCTATTGCTACTGCACGTAAATCCCTGACGTGCATTTGCTCGAACCACCACCGTCACCACGCCCATTCACAACCTCGCGATCCCCTCACTCGACGCCTCCAGGAAAGGCTCCTACCACATCTACGGAAGCTCGCGGCTTCTGATTCCCATTGATTACATACGCCGTCGCACAGCGCTCACCGTCACCATGGCTGCTGCTACCGCCACCGCTTCTGGCTCCGCGTCGCAGCCCCTCGTCACCAGCTGGTCGTCTCGATATCGCGGGGTAAGTCTTGATGCGCAACCTCCGTTGCTAGAGCATACTCTGCCCTCTATATCCCCTGCTTCTTGGCTTTTGCTCTGTACCGAATAGCGAGCTAACACCTCCCCTCCTAGGCCACCATCCAAGACCTCGACCCTCCCGCCGCCCTCTCCCTCAACCCCTCCGACTCCATCTCCCTCGCCCTCCTCTCTGCGTTCGAGCGCGACTACACTCACCTGACTATCGTCGACTCTAATACCCGCGCCCTGCTGGGATACCTCTCTATCCCGCATCTGCAGTCGCTGCTCGACAGCGGCAAGGTCAAGCCCGAGGACCAGCTCACCGCCGCCATGACACGCTTCCAGCGCCGCGGCCGCACCTACCGTGTCATTACAATGGAGACGCCCCTCGAGGATCTTGAGGACTTCTTCCGCGGCGGCCAACCCGATGGTGCCCCCTGGAAGCAGGAGTTTGCCGTCATCACCGACGAGAAGAGGAGGTTTGTCCTTGGCGTGGCCACCGTCCAGGACTTGGAGGAGTTTGCCAAGCGGAGGCCGGCTTGAGCTAGGTGAAGAGTGTTGGAAGGTAAGGAGAAAGCTTATAGAATATCCTTCTGGGAAATAACAAATGCAAATAAATTGCGTCAAAAGAAATAGCACGTCAAGCAAAGCATCATGGGCGTTGAATGGGCTAGACTGAATGCCAGTCAGTGTATGGAACGCAGGAGACATATGGGTCAATCCCACTTCGACCATGTGACAAGGACGATGGACAAACAACAGCCTTAGTAGCTAGGTGAAATACAACAGCAGAGCTTCAAAAGCCCATGCACACTACAACTTCTCATGCCAGATTCAATATTTCTTATGGTCAATTACAGGCTTGACCGATAGCAATTCTTATCAAGGTTCATCATTCTAGGGCAAACCCACATCCCCCTCTATCAAAAGGTATTCTAGTGCTATGAGTTCAAACTTGACCTGTCCTTGCATCCCGTCCAGCTCTAGCAAATGAGTTTCTAAGGGACGTAGTCGTACACAAGGCGGATTGCGACCCGCTGATCGCCCTTGGTCACAACAACGTGGCGACAGTACCGTCTCTCGCCATCGATGGTCTGGAAGCCCCAAATCTGGGTGGCAATCCAGCCGTTGTCCTGACTCTCGACGTAGCTCTTGAAGAAGTTCTTGCCCTCGCCCTCAATGAGCCAGTCCTTCTTGAGAAACTCGTCGTCGATCTCGTCGAGGCTGACCCAGGAGGAGCGGCCCTTGACGGAGCCGAACAGCCAGTCCGAGTTGTCGCGGAATGTCTCGTCGACGCAGCGGTTCTCGTGGGTGCTGCTGAGACCCGAGGCGGACTGGACGATGTCGACGTGGGTGACGATTTCGGTGGATGTGTTGGGGGGCTTGGGGGGCGCCTTGTACTGGTTCACGGCGAGGGAGATGGAGGCGATGCCGATGGCCTTGCGCGTCACCCAGCCGATGCCCTGGAGGGAGAGGACGGGTTCCGAGCTGTCGGAGAGGGTTTTGTTCTGGTATCATGTTAGTGTCGGTGAACAGTATTGGGGAGGGCTGCGGGCGTATCAAGAGTGGAAGGAGGGGCAGATATGTTGAGGGGTTACGGTTGGGCCGGGTGAGTGACGATTATGAGAGGACGTAAAACGTGAAATACGCAGAATTACTTACCATAACCCAGTTTCCACTGAGGTCATTCAGCGTCTTTTCCGCAGGGGCCGCCATTTTGTGGTGTTGTAGGAGGATGTTTTGTGAGGGATGTTTGGTGTGAGGTCAGGTAGAGTGAAGTCAGGCAAGGTGAGGCGAGGTGAGGTGACGTGCGTTGACGTGTGGATAGTATGCGCCTCACTGAAATGTCAAAGCTGCAGGAACGAATCACACAGTTTCTCGCTCTCAAGCTCAACGGACTGAAAAAAGGACACAGAACAACAGGCAGGAATGGGAAATGTGTAATCCACACGAACTGCACGAGCTAGATATATGAACATCCATCTTCATCTTTCACCCCGGTGTCTCCCACCCAACCTTGACAATCACAAGCAAAAAGGCGGCAGCCAAGCCAAGGCGAGACCCCAGAGCTCCGAGGTCGAACAGCAGTGCCATCGTCACATTCACAGGCCAGCAGGGATTGGGAGCGATCCCCACTACGTACTTACTACGTGCCATTGCGGGGTGAGGGCGGCCCCTGGAGATGGGATTTGCTCTGCTACGACGTGTTCTGGTCTGCATCTTTTTTTGGCTGGCCGAGACAGTTCTGCGGAGGACGCGTGCGAATGCGGAAATCGAGGCCGGCTGGCGCGGGGCTGACGCTGCCAAGAAAGCGGAGGTTTTGGCACCGGCGACGGCGACGCGGGATGGATTCATCGGACATCACATGGTTGGTCCGTATTACAGAGAAAACCAAGAAATTGGAAAATGGCAGTTGCCGGATTAGGTAGGTGGACGGCTCGAAAGAGAAGCGAGCTCATCTTCCTCGGGACCTGCTGACCAGGACTGTCTATACTTGGACGGAGGGACGGCGTAGATGAGCCTTAGCATGTGCGAGACTGGCCCCATGCAAGTCATGCCGATATGCAAACTATCTTCAGGGACAGAGTTGAATACATTGGCCTGCTAATTCCCCCATCACCTCTAAGAAAATGTGCTCGCAACTCTACGCCATATCATCAACACGTCAAGATACCTATGTAGACCTAAACCCTGACGCCATGCCTGACGCTATGGTCACTCCTCACATTCGCATGCCCACCACGAATCATTCAGACGTAACCAACCGATATTGACCATGCACTGCCACCACCCGCTCCCGGACGAGCTGCCCCTTGCAGCAGAGACTTCCACGCGAGACACCAGCAGTGATATACACATATGTGAACATCCGTGGCACTCTCTACAGCTTGACGCGACATGGAGGAAGACATTCCACGAAACTCCATCCTGGGGCCCCGCGATGTGCAATCCCGGCTTCTGACCTCGATCCATGTCGGCCGCTTCCACATGATCGCCTGCTCAGGTAACCACCTCGGCTGAATCGCTAATCTACTGATGACCCTCCGCACCATCGCCCCGTCCCCCTGGTCCATAGTCCACCGTTACCATCTGATCCGGGGAACATCTCCTTTAAAGCCTTCCATGACCATGCCCAAGGCGGGTCTGGCCCGCATCTTCGGGCCGTACGCACAAACAAGCTAAGCTGTACCTTATTGATATTATTAGTGTAGGTGTAGTTGTAAATCTCCCTCAAAATCTTTCAGCCGCCCCAACCAAACCCCCTTCATCCGTCACCGGAATCGCTCATGATCTAGTCATACACTGTATTGCGTCCCCGGCCCAGTCTCTTCCCCATGCTCTCTTCCCCAGACACGGCCACTCGGCCATGTCACTTCCGCAGCGTGGCCAGTCACGGCCCGTATCATGTGTCGGAGGCCGTCTCTCGTGCCATGGTCGTGCATCGTCCCTGGTATCGTCTCCTCCTACTTCAGACCGACTCTCCGCTCGGCCGAGTCCATGCACAAAAGAAAACAACTCCTGTATCCGTGCATGCGTGATATCTCTCCCTGAACCTACTCATGCTCAGGTAGCTCAAGGCCACCAGTTCATCTTCTTGTAACTCTCAATCACCTCCTCCACCATCTCCTTGGTCAGGGCGGGTTTCGTGTACTCAAACCCCAGCAGCTTCTCTAGCCGGCTTCCGTCCATGCTGAGATCTGTGTCCTTGAGAAGTTCCTTCTCCATAAACGGCGTCAAGGGACCGGGTCGCGTGATACCGGCTTCGGCAAGAAGGTCCGCCCACGGGCCCAGCAGCTCGTCGTTGACATCGTCCACAACGCTATCCAGATTCAAGCGGGCAAAGGTGCTGATGAGCTGGCCTTGGAATCCCGTCTCGATTTTGAAAAGTTCGCCGATTATGACGGCGACAGTACCTTGGCTGGTCATGCCCTTGTCCACCACGTTGAAGATGGGGTTCTTGCCCATGCTGCCCTCGTCCCATCCAGCCTTGCCAGCGTCGTACCAGGCGGCAGTACCCCACAGAGCGCGTGTAACGTCGTCGATATGCGCCGTGTTAGTTCGAAGATCCTTGGTCCATAGCCACTTCATCTCTGCCTCTAGGTGCTGATAGGTGCGCGCCATGGTCAAAGCTGTCGCAACCCACTGAGAAGCGTACGGGCCGTAGACGTGCGGCAGTCGCACAATGACGAGGTTCAGCCTGGGGAGTATCTCGTCAGCACAGACTACAACCAACATGACGAATCCAGTCTTCTTTGACTTACCCTTCAATCTTGGCCAGTTCTTCCTCAGCCTGCAGCTTGAAGACTGCGATCCTGCTCCATGGCTTCAACTTGTCCCCTTCCTTGCTCGGTGAGGAATCCGACTTGTACACCATGCCCGTGCTGAGTTCGACAAAGGCCTTGACCTTTCGTTTCGCGGCCTCATTGCCCACGGCAATGGACAGGTTCAAGGATCGCAGCTTGTAGACTTCATCTTCCTGCGAGTATCTCGTCTCACCGCCACAGTTGAAAACATAGTCCCACTCCTTTCCGTCGGCGCGATCGAATATTCTTGCTAAAGCTTCTGAGGCGGGGACAGTCGCGTTAGCCGCTGGAGCCTAAACAAACAAGACAAGCTAAAAAGGGGGGGAGGGGGGAGGGGGGAGGGACTCACCAGGTCTGCTGGCATCGGCCTGCATAAATTTGTCCTGAGAACAGGCCTCGGTGAACTCGGGGGCCAGCCAAGCGAGTTGTGGCAGCACTTTATCGACGAGTCGCACCTCAGAGGCGAGATTGTTCTGGTGGATGTGGAGGGCGAGGAAGCGGCCAATATAGCCCAACCCTCCGATGATTAACACCGAAGGTTTCTCGTTCTCGGCCATGGTTATTGCGCTTCCGAAAACCGAGATGTGGTGGTGGAAGAAAGCGCAGGCGACGCGGGGTTAAAGGTGAGGTCGTCGGGAGAGGGTCGCCGGGAGAGATTGCGGCGGCGGTGGTGCGGAGCGGCGAACAAGCGGCACGGGACGGGACGGGACGGAGACGCAGGATCGAGACGAGGTTCAATCGAGGTTCAATCGAGGTTCGTGTGAGCTGAGAACCGCAAAGGACGGAGCACCTGCTGTCGAGGAGATGCGTTTAGGAACCGGAGTGTCGGTGTAAATCGCCGAGAGCGAGCCTGACACAAAGACGAAGGCGGCTAAGTGGTGGGAAGCGTGGGAAGCGTGGGATGCGTTGCACTTCTCGGCGGTGGGGAATGGTGGGACAGGCTCGATCAAATTAGGCTCTGGGTGGTATCAAAGGAAGAAGCAAAGGCAATCTGAGGTAGAGGCACGAGCGGCGCAAGTCAGTAAGGTGAGGTGGGAGGGAAGCAGCCCTGGGCCGGAGTGCACAAAGGAGTTTTGTGCGTGTGAGAGTGTGCGAGTGGGCGCGGTGTGCCTGACGTTGCGGCGGCTGCGGCGACGTTGTAGCGGCGGAGGTGTGGAACTGGGAACAAAGGGGCAGAAGGAGCTCCAGGAACGGGGGGAACGACGGGAGGGCGGAAGGCGGAAGGCGGAGGGCGGAGGAGGAGCAGTGCAGTAGGAGGAGAGGGGGACAGTAGGTAATTAATTAACACGGCGCCAACGCACGACGGGGTCATCAGCCGCCTACCGAGACGAGGATGGTCTGGGTTTGCGGAAGGGTAAGTATGGGTATGAATGAGTATGAATGGGTAGTACGCAGTAGGTATGGGGCCCGGATGGATATGGGATATGGGGATTGGGAATTGGGATGGGGATTTTAGGAGCACCACTGCGTACTGCGTACCTAGGTAGTATATTCCTCTGCCGTCAAGGGCCAAGGGGGCACTGTGACGGAGTGGGTTGATGGTGGATATGGGCCAGAAACAGAATCGGGATGGGATGTGCGTAGGAAATACAACGGTAGCCAGCAAAAAAGGAGTGAGGGGTGTGTTAGAGGCGATGTAGGGATATGGCGGGCAATGTTGAAAAGAGGCCAGGCCTGGCAGCACAGGACACGGAGCGTACTTACTGCGTAGTGCTGCAGCAGGGCAGGGTATCCCATCGATGATATATGTCCGCAGATCGATGCCTTTTTTTTTTCCTCCTCCCGACGCCGGCAGACGACAAAAACACGACTCCCAAGATTCTGGGAGACTCCAGGGCGTGGATGTCGGGAGTGGATGGGAGTGGATGGGAGTGGATGAGAAGTGGATGACGGTCGACAGTGGACACTCCCAAGTAGGTACAGTGCGACACAGAGGCGAGTTTGTAGTACGTAGTAGAGTGGATGTGGAGGGGTTCGTTCTTCTTTAATATCATGCGCCGTCAAGACCCAAGAAGACCCGGGAAGGCCCAGGAAGACCCAAGGGGCGCCCGCTTTCTCTCTCCACTCCACGGCCGTAGCCAGGTAGCCTGTCCGCCAGGACCACTTCAAGTCAACCACTGTTCCATCCCTGGCCTGAGCTCCGGGCTCCTTTTTGGCCCCCTTGGGTCCGGGTTGAATTGGACAAGGCGGGAAGAGAGAGAGAGAGAGAAGAAATATGATGCCCTGGCTTGGAGTGGAGATTTGTGGCTATCAGGTGCGTCTGGAGTGTTACAGTCGACGTCAATCTTACTAGATGCCGTTGTGCTTCCGGGCTCTTTTTTCTAATTACTGCATTGCGCCGCGCTGCACCGCACCACACTGCTCCTGACTGCATAGCATGGCATGCATAACATGGCATACGGAACATGGCTCGCACACATAGCTTGGTATGATGGGCAGGGGTCAAGTCCAGCCCGCCAGCCAGCCAGACCAACGCCGAGTCATTTACTCATTCATTCCACAAACGAGCATGTCCCCTTGCAACCATCGTGAGCACCCTTGCCCACGCAAGAAGAAAAGAAAAAAGACTGCAAATGTGCCACGGCGAGCAGAGAGCCGACGCCAGCGGCGACGATGGCCAAGGCCACCACCAAGGAGCCGGTGGGCGGGCTGGCTGGCGGGCAGACTAGCTAGTCGGGCTGGAGCTGGGGGTGGGCTTGGAAATGGCCCGTTCATATCGTCTCGGCGGCGGGCTAGCAGCTAGCTACCGAGCTTGCGATGGGGCACCATGTTCGTCATTGTCATTGCGGACAAGGGGGATAGGCGACAGACAGGCGACAAGGCGACAGGGGACCAGGGAGGAGAGTCACTGCGCCGTCTGGCAGGGTCCGCCGCCATGTCTGATGTCTGGCACTTGGCCATCGCTCATGACTTGCTACGTAGAGTCTGGTTAGGATCGACAACCGAAGGACCAACGATCGAAACCTAGCATCAAGACATCCGGATATCGTGAGCCATACCGCTTGTTGGATGTTGGATGAGGAAGTCAAAGCACCCCCGGCCTGTCCAACTAGACAACAAGCCAACGGCCAACACTCAGAGGCCATGGTCAACCAGATGCCTCATCGTCAAGAGCTACTTTTCTTCGGCGCGGATTCCAGTCCTCCTCATGTTCCCTCTCGGCCTCGCTGGCCCCCTCATGTCTGAGCCCGTACCAAAATGGCTCTGCATCCTGCGCGTGCGACCCCAAAACCCAACCTCAACACCCACGCCGTCACGAACGAGGTATCCCGGCTGCCCACCCCTTACATCCATCCCCCTCCAATCGTCCCCCTCCCCCGCCATGTCACCCCAGTTGTCAAACCCTTGGTTGCCCTGGCTGACCGGCCGGACGAAACAATGGAGAGATACCTACCAAGCAGAGTGGCATCCTCTTGTCCTTTTCCGAGCCGTGAGGAGGTGCCCGTCTCGGGGTCCTGAATCGGAATCGGAAACGCCACGGTGACAATATCGAATGACTCTGTCTCGCTGCATGTCACTGAGCGGGACTAACAAGAATTTCATTACAAAGGATGCATAGTCCCAGTCCCGGCACAGAGTACTCCTACGTCAATGCTACCTACATACAGCAGTCCACCGGCCCAACAATGCAGCGACAGGGACATGGGCGTCATGCTGCCTCCTCCTCCACGGCGCTGGCTGCATGGACATGGACCGTCCTAGCAGCGAGGGCCAAAGCCCAGAGCCTCGTGCCCTTAGCGCTCGCAGCCGGCAGCATGCGCGTCGATCAGCGATCCCGTCCGGGCCGCCCAACTGGGACTCTGCTTAATTAAAAAGACCCGACGAGTTGACCAAGGTGGCCGCCGCTCCCTACCGTCTTGCCGAACCTCCCTCCCGTCGACTAACGTCTGTACTATCCCGATGTACGGAGTACGGCGTGCTACATCCGGCGGCCTTGATTTGTCTTGGAAAGAAACCGTCCCGGCTGTTCCCCCCTTCTTCCCACTTGCCGTTGTCCTCCTCCTCCTCGGTGGTTGACAGTGGAATTCAGGGGCCACGGCAGGCGGCGTCGGCAGGTTCAGGGACCCGCGGCGGGGCAATGGATGGATCTCTTCTAGAAGGCTTCCATCTGTCCAGCTCCCCAATGAGAGCACCGGGAAAGGCATGTAGTATTGGCAGGCCGGGCTATTGGATTTCGTGCGTACGCCGATGCACCTCCCTGGGTACGCAGTGCATGCCATGTAGTAATAACTTGCCTTACATATAAAGCCGCAGGTGTGCTAGAGGGACCCGTCTCCGCAATACTACCTCCGTACATTGCAAGTCAACGGACCCATGAGAGGAACCTTTTCCTTCAACACCCGCAAAGCCGTGCATGGTACGTAACAACCCGGTTAATCGACTTGTCATCTGAGACAAGTCCACCTGTAAACAATCACCTATTCCCTGCTGTGTCAGCCATATCAGCGTCAGTCCCACGCCAACGCCAACACGCCAGCGCCAACACCAACGCCATCGTAACCTCCAGCCTCAGCCAGGTGTCTAAGCCCGTCACAATAACAGGCTCGCCTGTCTCAAGCAGCCAGCCACGTACCGCCGACTGTACCTCGTACATGAGGCTTCTCCTAGGCCCACGGCAAATCCGTAGATGGGGGGGACGCACACTCCCACACGCTTCACTGGCGTCGATGAGATCCCATGCAAACCCGTACCGTTCCGCAGCCTAGCCTCGCGGGCAGGATCCGAAGACGGATCTGGGCCATCTCCAACCCCGGAGCTCAAGTCGCTAACCGCCTCGTGCGAGCTGCTAACATGCGAGCTGATAATATATCGCGCCGCCGCCGGTATGCATAGTGCGTGCTATAGACGATAGTATGTGGTCGGTTCGCTCGCGGCCACATGGCACTGGACCAGCTCGCAGACCCGTCAGACCGCCCTCACCGTGTCTCACATACATTATACATCTCCGGAACAGCCCAACTGGGTCGAAAACTACTCAGCCTAGGCGACGTCCTGGTCTGATAAGGTTCAGATAGCGTTGAACGACGTTGGCTGTCACATTTTCAGAGTCCCGTCGCAACCTCATCGGCGAGCTTGGCCTCAACTTCGCGCCGACAACGCCCACCTCTATCCACGTCGCCCGCCGTGGTCCGCCTTTGGCCACCACACGGCCGGTCCAGGCCCATGAAAGGCCGACGGATTGAGCTTCGCCCGGCGCTCTCTCCGGACTGTCTCACAAGTCTCACAGGAATAACCTCACATCAATTGCCTCGCCTCGGGCCGTCGTGCCCGCGCAATCCGGCTTCAATTGCCACCCCCAAAACTGACTCGGGAGACGCTCAACCTGCAGCATCTAGCGCCGCCCAGTGCTTGTCCGCGGCCACCCCTATCTGCAGACGTTTCTGTATCAAGACATGCTCAAACGGCGAAACCACAGCACGCCACTGGGGGCCTTTCGTCCATCAGCACACCCATCCCAAACGCCTCGTTTCGTCTTTGAATGTCTCTCCGGGTGCAATATCTCTAAGAGTGTCGAGTATGACAGCTCACTCCCTCGGGCCACACATCCCGAGAATCCTAGGCAACTGGTCTGTTTCCTCCGACCCAGGGGCCTCCCACGCCGTGGATTGCACCCCACCCGGCTATTGATTCGGTCGTTATTTAACGCCTGCGAGGCAGTTTGATTGCCCGTGGATCTACGCCAGGTTTAGGCATTCATGACGCCGTTCCGAGGACGAATTCCGGAGCACGGGCATCAAGTTCAGCTCACCTAGCGCCCTCGCAAGACACGGACACGCGAGCCTATGCCATTGCTTGGAGGTCATTGCCGTCAAGGGATGAATGGCTAAAGCTGCAAACTCTCGAGCAAACACGGAGTCGGTACTCCGTACGTGCCTACATAGTCGTGGTGAAGCGTCCTCCTCTAATACTAGCACCGCATTGACACCTTGGGTCCGTCGTCGGTGCTCCATCCTTCGGACCGTCGCCCACTTTCCCATGACTTCGCCCTTCCCTTCGATGCGATGTCACCGTGCCGTTGTCCCCCCTGGCAGCCTCGTCCCATTGCTAGATGATTTGATTCGCGTAACTGCAAGCAACACACCCTCACGAGCATCCTGACACGATTGCGGCAAGGGCGACAGTGTTCCGATATCGCCTGCATCATGTACGCCGCACGCAGGTGCTCTACGCATGGTTGTGCTTACATGTCCTGCCTTTGACGTTGAATTTGTCTCTATCAACCGTATCCTCGCAATGGCGGCTGAATACAGTGTCTAGCCTGATCTCACACAACAAACGGCATCTCCACTATGGAGTGGCGGACAGCACCAGGCTCTCGTCCGCCAGACTGAATCCTCCTTGTCTCGTCTCGTCTGGTCTCGAATTCCCACGCTCTAGGACTGTGAATGTCGTAATCTCCTGGACGGAAAACTTCGCCTCTCTATGCCCCGTTGTCATCATTTCCTCATGCTGCCGATGAGCTCCCGCTGTGCCTCTCGGTCCCGGGCGCCCTCGCTCAGGCTTCCGATGCTCCTCAGGTCACCCACCACGTCCTTGGCCTTGCCAAAGTAAACCTCCTGTAGTAGGTTGCGCATCTTGAGTTCCATATCCTCCACCAACCGTCCCACGTTGGCGATGTGGCTGTCGTCATTCTCAACGGGGAGATCCTGCTCCACCTGGCGTGTCATGTTGCCACTCAGGTCCAATTCGCCCAGATTGCCTCCAGCACTGGACAGTGTCAGGATCACAGTCGACGTAAGCTTATAGTGGGTGCTTCGGCCTCGCTCGATGGCCTCGAAGACGTGGATCGAGTCCCAGACACCCTCGGAGCTGCCTCCGGAGGGAGATGCTGTATAGACACATGTCAGTCTCTTGATGCCTAGTGACGACAGTCGTTTAAGGGTGTATCTCACATTTCTTGAGAAGCACAACACCGGCAAAGCCATCGTCGAGGTTCCAAAAGTAGACGCTGCTCACGCCGCCCTCGTAGTACAGCTCGCGGTAAATATCAAAGGCCTCGTTGGCCTTGACCTCCATCTTGCGCACTCGCTCGCTGGGGATGGCGCCCTCGCCCGCACCCTCACTGCCGCCAGCACCTACACCGCCGGCACCGCTCTCGTCCAGGGGAGGGTCAAACTGGTTAGACCAAGGGGAGCGGTAGCTGTCGCCATCGCGGTTGTAGTCGCAGAGCAGGTAGTCGCGGCCGGTCTGCTTGCACCGGCGGACGGACAAGGGCTGGTCGACGGACGAGAGGAGGTCTTCGGTCAGGTCCGGGGCGAGCGAGATGATGGCGTTGAGGTGGTCGGTCGTCTGCTTGGGGTTGAGCCGACGTAGGAGGTCACTGGATGAGGCGGAGGGCCGAGTGTCAGCGGGAGAAGCTGGATGGGAGATGGCTTTTGACGGCCACTGGGACGGGATGGGGAGACGGAGTGCGGCACTTACAGGGCCGAGTCGAACGGGTCAATGTCAGCCATAGTTGCGGCGGAGGATACGAGCCTGGTCTTCTGGCGGGTGAAGATGGGGAGACGGAGAGGAAATTTGTCGTTGAGTCGGAGATGGAGGTCAAGCTGGCATTGAAGCTCCGGATGTCCAACGACGGAGTGGCGGGGTTGGTCGCAGGTAGGGAGCTCAATGCTACGCTACGTCCCAAGCCTGGTCTGAGCTCGCCCCGCCTTGTGAACAGTCTAGGGACTCCCTTTCACCTTTAACATCATGGAGCCTCCAAACCAGATGATGGGACACTTGTAGAATTGACTCAATTATTACTGTATAAACACGCAAAGCAAGACAAGAAATCACAAAACACCAGGCGTTCACCATGTTTACGCAGTCTTGTTTATTCCCCCGTGACGGGTGACAGAACCAACGCTAACTATAACTAAAAGTAAGGTAGGAAAAGGTACGTTGGGTAGCAGATACTACGAGACAGGCATCGCATAAGATAGCCAACTAAACTCAACTAAATTCAACTCATCTTCAGGTAACGCACAAGGCACCATTCTGTCTCCATCCATATTGTATATCCCTCCAACATTCTTCCCACTCTTCCCCGTCTTCCCACTGCTTCCCTCCCGCCTCTTCCGAACCCCGACTTTGAGAAAACGACCCAACAACACAAAGAGAAAAGCCCCTTCCCCCACCCCCGTGTGCCATAAACTGACCGATTTCCAAAGTCATCATATTCCCGTAGATTCGCCACTAACGCCGCGCCCGAAGCATCCGGTCAAGGAGCTATCGCCAAGAAAGAACCCAGAGATTTATAAAAGAAGATCGATCAGTGATCGAGTCGGAGAGAGAGCCAGAGAAATGGTGCGGACCCAGCCGGAGTCAAGGTGTGGCCAGTAGGCAGTTCAAACAGCCACTGAAGAACTCAACACCTTATGCCAACGGAACAATGGGCTCCCGGGTTGGGATAGCAACTCTCTCCCGCGAGAATGGAAGACCATGGCGCAAAAGAAACGACCACATAATTTGATTGCAGCGCGAGCCACCTTAGTCGATGGTGACACCGCAGAGCAGGCAGTTGGCCTGCTCAGTCCAGGTCTTCTCGCCGCGCTTCACGTTATCCCGCAGATCTTCAATCTCCCAGACTGTCGGGCCGTCACTCATCTTCAGGGTCGCCTCAAAGAGACCCTGGTACGGCTTGAAATCGATGCTCTTCTTCTTGCGGTTCTTTTTCGCGGAAGCTCTTCCTTCGGTGCTCGGGTTCGAGGGCGTTGGGCCGGGCGTGGGCGTTGACGTCGTTCGCGGAGACTCTGGGTTGGGCTTCCTGACATGAACGTTATCTTGAGCACCGCCGGAACGCACATCAATCGTTGGCTGCGTCTCCTTCTCCTGTGCATCGGTTGGGCTGAGGGGGCGCGCAGCCTCCTCGTCCGTCTTTTCTTCCTTGACCATCGGCTCTTCCTTCAGGTGCGGCTTATCGGCGCCGAGTCGGTCGTATACCCTCGTGAGGACATCGTGGCTCAGGCATTCGTGGTGCATCCACTTCCCGCAATCAGGGCTTGTGCATCCTATTAACGTCCTATCAGGGTTCGCGGGAGTTTCGCATTTGCACATTAGTTCGACCGACTGGAGACTGTTAGAAGTGAGACGGTGACGTGGATATTGGATTGCTCACGGAAAGTTGCGCATTGCGACAGTTGAAGGCTTGTCGCCAATACAGCGCGTCTTGGATCTCGTCGTCATCGGTTTCGATCCATTGATTGACGGTTGCTGGCATCGTTACACTGACGACGTTAATAACGTCCACTGTGGCAACTTGTCAGCTCTGTCGCATCGCACGCACGCACGCACGCAGCCAATAAACACCGCTTACTGTGGTTCGACGCAATCAGCTCGTTTTGGCCGTGATATGGCTGGCGACCCTGGACCGTCTTCTTGCCGTCCAGCGTGCCATGTGGCAGCTCGTCGGGCCAGTACATCCAGTACACGCGCGCATAAACATGGTGCTCGTCGGCGGCTCGGATCTCGAGGATGCGGGCCACCCAGTCGTCGTCAGACTTCTTGATGGGCCCGACATTACCTAAACTCGCGGCGGCCCGTTGTCGCTCGATGGTCGCTTCGTTGGCGACGAAAACGAAACCTTCACTATAGTATTTGATTCCATTTACTGCCAAGGTGATTAGGTCAGACCCCTCATTTCCCGGGAGATGGGTTCGGATACGTACGGACGAAGCTGTTGTACCGCGTCATGTCTAGCCATCGCTTCCCGGGCTCGACGGTGTAGTAAAGATCCATAGTATCGTGAGTCTTGAACGCGCCGGTGGGCGAGAAGGGGGAGATCTGGATCTGCACCCGCTTCTCCTCCTCCTGGCCATCGCGCTTCCTCTTCTTGTTTTTGTGTCGCTCCTTTTCGGCCCGCGACGGACTGTTGACGTAGTTGACGGTAAATGGACATTCCGCGCGGTTCTCCTCCGCGACGGAGCGCGATCGCTTTCGAGAGCTCATTGCGGCGGTGGACTTGTTGATTCCGGGGGGTGATGATGAAAGAGTCGCGTAGGGGTGGCCCAGCGGCAGAGCGGGAGAGCGGGAGGGGTTTCCACACAGAGAAACAAACTAGTCGCCGGAGGCAGGGCCGCACACGAGCGCAGATCTGTTCATCAGGCGAAGGGCAATGCGGCGTTTGAGCTGAGCCCGGGCTGTCTGTGACCGACAAGCCGCGACCTGCGATGTCCTGTGCGCAAGATAAGATTTCTCCAAGACGCAACGTCGCAAACTGGGCGAGAGTTGAGGCAAAAGCACCAAAAACGCGTGTCACGTGATATGGCCGGCTTGGCCCAGCCAACGCGTCGCCTCCTCGTCGACGCTTAGAAATGGGGCCAACGGTAAATAGCAAAGCCCAAATCGCTCGCAATCGCGGATGGATGAAAAGCACAACGTCCAAAATAATTACAACAGCCAAACATCCTAACGGTGTATGTGACTGACGACCTAAGACCAGGCAGCAGCCATTTATCAAGCCTATTAGCATGAAGCCTTTGTCCCAGAACCCTTGCATCCTCCAAAACCAACCAAAGTCTCCGAATATCAAACCCCACCCAAATAATGCAGCCTAACTAAACGCCGTCGCTATGCAGCAATATCAAGACATAAAGATGTCACCGACAAGTCAGGTCTCAGTTCTCTGCACGCCCATTGGTAGCACCACGACCATCTCCCTCTTCGTAGTCAGCTAGCATGCCGCGTGATTCCGGTTCATCGTCGTCACCATTCTCTTCTGGGGTGGGGAAACCTTCGATTGTTTCAGCCAGCTTTGCTCCTTCACGCTTCCCTCGCTCAACGTCGATAAACCAGATCATTGGCGCAGGGAAGCCCACTAGGGCAGCCAGGAACCAGAAGGCGGGCCGGATACTCCCAGTCCTGTCTATGATGGCCCCGACAATTGTTGGGCCAAACACACTGGAGCCTTTGTCGGTGATGGCATACAGCGCATAAAACGCTGCCTCTGAGCCCGGGGGGATGAGCTCGCCGTACAGAGAGCGACAGTATCCGCTCAAGCCGCCTAGCACGAATCCGTACACTGCTGCCAGGGGATACATTTCCCATGGCTGCTGAAGTCCGATGACACCCCAATCTCGAACAAATGGGAGGTATCCCAGCAATCCGTAGATAGGAATGAGCTCGAACAGGGCAATGCAAACAAGTATAGTGTGGTGAGGTTGCAGGTTGAATATCCGTGAGATCCACGACCACCCGAAGGCGCCAAGCACCCCGAAAAGTGTCGAGATAACGTTGATCATTCCCAGAGCCCATGGCTTCATGTGAAGTTGGGTCTTTGCGAAGAGAATCGCAGTGGATGATGTTGTTGCAATTGCATCGGACAAAAGAAACCATCCCGCAAGGAATAGCACAATATCCAGTAGACGTCTCGCCAGCTGAACCGTCTTGAAGAGGGACTTCCATGCATGGAGAATATATGCGAACCCGGCCAGCGCATCTTTCTTGCCAGTGCCAACAAGAGGCGGTCCAGGTCGAGGTCGCAACCACAATGCAGCGGGAATTGTGAAGACGGTCCACCAGACCCCCACCAAGCACAGAACAACCCTCTGACCCCATGTGGAATTTCCCATAGCAATGAGAATGGCAATGGCGACACATTGTAAGAAGAGTGCTGCAATGTACCCGGTCCCGATTCCGATTGCAGAGATGCGCGTGGATAGTTCAAGCTCCTTGGAAGTGATTTCCGAGTGGCTTGCAGTAGGCTTCAAATGATCCCCGGCATCCGATAGCAAGGGCGACGTTGAGGTCACGTCAGAACCTTCTAGATCACCTACCGAGTCGCCGAGTGACCTCGACTCGAGCCCAGAAGCCCCAAAGTCAGGCGTGCTGGCAACATTCGCCTCAATGACCTCGGGATGGTAGCGCACCAGGAGGGGCAGGAATGAGTTTAGGAGGACGAACGAGGCGCCAAAGGATGTGTTCGAGATGATGGTCAAGATGGCGCCGAAAATATACGTCTCCTTGGAAATGAAGATGTAGCACATGACCGAAAAGCTGCCAATCCAAGCAAATGCCAGGAGTAGCTTCTTGCGAAAGTTCCCATGGTCCGCGGCGCAGCTAATGCTAACCACCAGAAGTGCCTGAACCAGAACACTCACCGAGAAGGTGTACATGGCGAAGCTGGCGGTGTTGATCTCCACGCCGAGTACATACACGATGCACTGGCCGTCGTCCTTCTCTTTGCTGTAGCTGGAGCCGCATGGTGTCTTTCGGTCTGAGAGCAGCACACCATTCTCTCGTGCGAGCGTTTCGAGGAGGATGGGGATGAAGGATCCTGAGACGAATCGAGTCAGTCCCCGCAGTAAATGCCGGTCAGGCTTCCGTCTCTGAAAACCGTCTCTGCCATTGACAAGCACCAGACAAGCACCAGAACATACCAATTCCGCAAATCACGTAGGTTTCGGCCGCAAATGCGTAGCTGTACCACCCGAGGAGCTCCTTTTCGCTTGTTGGTCGCGCGTCATGGCCGGCGTGACGCGGGACGATGGGCCGTCGCAAGCCGGCCTCGCTGCTGCTCGAGCTCATGTTGTAGTAGTCGTCGTCGTCGCTCGATGATTGCTCGTCGTCGGCCTCAAAAGCGGAGGTGGCGCTGGAGCGGAACGATCGTTTGGAGAGGAGAGAGAGACCAGACCAAAGGCGCTGACCCTGGAGAGGCGGGCGGCTGGTCTGGACGTTCGGCGTCATGGCTACCTAGAACTCCGGACTCCCGTGATTCAGCCCAGTGCACGTGATTGTCGTCACACGGCGTAGCCAGGTGAGCTGTTGGTCAGCTTCGCAAGTGGCTTTTCACCTTGCGGATTACCATAGCAACCCAGTGCTTTCCGCCGTTCTACTTCACCGATCACCAGGCTTTATCTCGTGTGCACCGGAATGGTTGTGAATGCGAGACGCGCGCATAGAGGGATGGTGTTGAGAACGGCGCAGTGTGTAGTCGCGTCGGTTGATGAAGAGGGAGCAGGGAATGAGCCACACCGAGACGTTTGCATCGAGTGCGGCCGGCTTCGTCGCACTCTTAAACATAACCCAACGCCCGGCATCGCCGCATTCTTGTCCTCAGGCCCTGCATCACGAGGCAACGTGGGATCCAGGACGTCCATCTATTGCTCAAAGAGGGATAACATGGCATCGTTCGCGACGGATATCCAAACCGCCCATTCGCTCCTTTTGGGTCTTTCTCACCGAGGGTAGCACCCAGGCAGGTATTTGTGACGATCTTCGAGACCGGTCTTATCAAGGGTCTCTCTCCAAGGGTCCGTCCTAACACTAACCATTGTGTTCGTAAGAGTTAGCTCGGAGACACGGTTCGTGAAGTCGAAAGCGGTTTAGTTGGCGAGGCTGGGAGAGACACGGCAAGATGAGACAGCCAATCCGGGATACTGGAATGGCTACCAAGCGCCCATACCCGGAGCGCAAGCCTGACAGATCCGACAAACTTGTCGATGAGAAAGTGTCAGCCCATCTTCGCGTATCACAGTGCTTGCATGCCTCTGTGTGGACCAACAGATGAGGGGAAGTGGAGTTCTGGGGGTGCTCGGCGCTGGGAGGGATCATCCTGGCCGCCTCTCTAAACGTCATGGCGGATGACCTTGGATCCATTATCGGTGCCTGATGTGCTATTTTCAGGCGACTCCAACCTCGACGGCGAAGGAAGGTCCCTCGTTTTATGTGTTTGTTCCGGGGTCCGCCGGGATAACCGGCTTGTGATATCGGGTTCGAGTAGATGTACTCCGGGAAGAGAAGCTGGCCACGGCTCCTAGTCCCGGTTCGAACCAGCTTTTTCGAGTATTATTTGAAGTATCAACACCAGCATGTACTGTTATTCCGCTACAAACTACATGTGTAGGTTAATGTGGTTTGAGACAAGGGAGTTGTGACTGAGACGCTTGGAAGCGATGTCACCTTTCAGTGGTGGGCCTATTTCACATGTCGCCATGAATCATGATGTATTTTGCAGCCTGCCAATTTGGTGAGGAATAATCTAAATACGCACTCAAGGGTGCGGTTGAAGATACGGTGATATTACTCTGTCAGAAAGAAAAGTAGTTGGGATATCTTGGGGTATTTCCAAAAAAGCAGCATCATCGACACATCAAGAGGCCGTTGGAGAACGATGAAGCTCTCCACGCAACCCATCTCCTCTTCTCCCCTTCCCTCCGTCACGATCCCCACTCCCCCGAAAGCAACAATTTATTTCTTGAAGCCGCCAAAGAGCTTGGCCTTGAGCTTGTCAGCCAGGCCCTGGGGGGCAACGGGAGTGGCCTTTTCCGCAGGCTTCTCCTCGGACTTCTTGCCCTCGACGTTGCCCGAGAATTCGTTACCGGCACCACCACGGCCAGTGTGGAAGTCACGGCCATCCTGGCTGGGTCGGACGGCGGCCTCGGGAATGATATCCTTGTCCGCACGCTCGCCAGACTTGGTGCCTACATCAGCAATGTTGCCGGCGCCTGTGATGGAGGTGTGTTAGCGGGATGCTGCCTATGACTGGAGGCGGCATGGTGTGTGTGTGTGTGTGTGTTGCTGTTTGTGATAGTCGGTTGGAGGGGGTTCTTATTGTGTCTCATCCGGAACCAGATACGAATGGGGGCGAGAGCAAAGAGAAGTTGAAAAATGCATACCTCCTCGACCGGAGCTGTATGCTCCATCGCCGTGGCTACCCTCGGCACCGGTTCGGACGACCTCACCGTCGACGTACTTGGTATCGTCGACATTGATGTTGCCGGCGCCGCCACGGCCGTGGGAAACCTCGACGGACATGGTTGGTGATAAGAGGGCGATTGGATGATTGGGGAGATGTTGGATGGAAGGAATCGAGGTATATAAGTCCGGTAGGCGAGCGACAGGATACGGGGTCAATGTTTCGCGGGGTGGAAATTAAGAGGTCCGCCTTTCGGCGGGAGGAGCGCGAGTCCAGGGCATGGCATCTCTTATAGCCAAATTTGCCGGGGGCGGTTCAGCTCGTTGGTCGGGACGAAGGAGGGACGACAGGCAGGGCAAGGCAACGCGAAACAAGGCATCGATAAGGTCAGACATTGGATCATGGCATCATGGGCAACCAGCGAAACGCTCCGTGCTATCAGCGGCCTCAGGTGCCGAGCGCTATCAGTGGTTCCTCTGGGGGGCCGCCGTACAGTGGGTGCAGCTTCTGGGGGCCCCATCTGGCAGCCCTGGAGCCGTGCTGGAGCACCGCTGAATACGGGATGGTGGCAGCGCCCAGGTGGCTGGCTCGGGCTGGGCGCCAGGCGGTTGGACAGCTGCGATGGGAGACGAGCGACGACGGGCCAGTAAGAGCAAAGAGTCGTCGAGTTTGTTACGTATCCGAATTTGCTGAGTTGGGGTGGGGAGACACATCCTGTACCAGCCGTATCATTGTCGAGGGGGGGAGGGATCAAGCTTATCAGGGACCTTGCATGTGGTGGTGGTGGGAGGTAATTAATTAGTGCACATGGCGCGTATGGGTACTTTGCTGGACCAGACCTGTGCCGTATTTGAGTGGGAGTCGATGTACTGGTGCAACCTGCAGCTGTACTCCGGGAATATGCATACCTGTGCATCCCGAATTACGGTTCCTACTCTATCTCTGTTCCATCTGGGTGTGTTCCACTGGGGCCGTGGCGCTGGTTCGCACCAAGCTGGCCAATCCTGTGAACCAACCAACCCTCTTCCGCCGGTGCATTCCACTCGAGATTCCAGCTATGACGCTTGCTGCGGCATCAAAAGGAACATGAGTATGCAGTCGACGTAAACACGTGCTCCCGTCCCGCAGCAAGATGATGCCCCCTTCTCCCAAAGAATCCCACAGCCACCGGATGGAAGGACGAGTCATTGACAGTCGGAAATTAAATAAACCACCAACCTCGTGGGGAGAGGTGAGGGGATGTGAGAGGGGGGGGGGGGGAGAAGATGGTTAGATATTGATAAGATAAGGAGCATGCACTTTCAACTTTTTTCTCAACTTGACCCTTGTACAGAATGAGCGGAGTCGGAAAACTTCCATTGAAGCCTGATCTGATTGTGACGAGGCGTCCTCAATCGTCAATTTAAGGTGCATTTCGACCTGAAAATAGCCCATGTCCAAAATGCACGCCGATTCCATCACTCTGCTCAGCGATTCCTCATATAAGTGGCTTACGCAGTATCCCACGATTTATACTGCCAACGTCCATATAATGGCGTCATGGGTGTGCCGCTGTGTCATCGTGCGATTGAATTCTTTTTGGTAGTCAGTTCCAAGGTACAAAAAGCCCGAGCCTTGATTCCCCAGGTAGGTACCTATGCGCTTTACTGGGATAGCTCGGAATTCCCACCGCACCCTATCATACGTGTTTCCGCCGACATTTCGGCACCAACTTCACGACACATGCAGAGTTGCCTCTGCTCTCGGCACATCTTTTCGACCGTAAATTCTTTTGATTTGATAATGAGATACTCCTCAAGTCACGACTTGCGCTAATATGTAACAAACTATCCTGCCCACGTCCCAAGGGTTTGGGGAGAACTGTCCCCGCCGATACCCTCCGAGAGCCGTCGCGGAATCGAAAACAAAATCGCCCCTTGCCTGCCGATAGGTCTATCCAATAGAATTAGGCCCTAAACGGTCCAATTCGTAAAAATCCTAGTCAAAGTGAATACGCCAGAGCTCCCGATCGCTTCCTGCCGTAAAGTCACTGCGCGTGTGCATCATCAGGATGTTGTCGTTCACCAAGAGATCACCCTTATCCCAGACGTGGTAAAAGGCGATTCGGCGATCGTGCAGAAGCTCAGTGATTGCGTCGCAAATCATCTCGCTGTCTTCGTTGTCGTCAATCGTCACGCTCGTGGCGTCAAAGCTAGTCTTGCTTTGAGGCCACGGCTCGTGATACCGCAAGCATGGCACTCCGGTTGTCGGGTGGTTGGCGACCAATGGGAGACCCTTCAACTTGGTCGCATCGAAAGATGAAGTTGACACAGTCCAAGTCATTTTGGACAACTTTTCGACTGTAAGCCAAGATGGGAGGTACTTGAACAGCAAAGTGGACGATGAAAAGAGGGTGAATCCGGTATCAGAAGGAGACTTTGTGGGAGTGTGGAAGAATTGGAACCTGTTGAGAACACCTGAGTTAGTAACGCTTATGGAAGGGCAATGAAGCGTAAAGACTTACTGAGGAGGCGTTGAGACCAAAACCTCTTCCTTGGTCACCTCGTCGATCTTCTTGACCGTCTTGAATAGGCCATCGTAGTGGAACGGCATCCATTCGGCTGAGAGCACATTGTTCAGACCGCGAGTATCCGCACCCCGGTCCTTGACCTCAAGCAGGAGACCGAACTTCCAGGGAAGGGGCTCGCCAAACTCATACGCCTTCTTGATGAAGGCCTCCTTCTCGGGCTTCTTCACAAAGTCACGCAGGATGATGGGAGAGTTGATCTCTGATAGAGCGCGGACCTTCTTGGAGTCAATGTCGTTCATCGTCAGAGCTCCACGGCCCTTGGCGGGTCGGATCATCAATCCGGCTGGGTAGATGGGCTCGCAAATAATGCCGCCCTTTTCTTCGGCCCAGGAATAGAGATCGGACTTCTCACGGAAGTAACTTGGGCGGCCGTTCTCGTACACCAGCTCAAGCTTGTCATCTTTTTCAAACTCGGCTCGCGGACCTGTGGTGGTAGTGCCATCGAGTCTGAAGACAATGGCCGAGTGCCACGGGGTTGTGTAGTATGTATCGGTCGGTAGGAGGTTGAGAGATAGCTTAGCTGCGCCCGTGGATGGATGGATGGACAAGCGGATATGGTCGATGTACTTTGTTCGGACTGCATTGGCAAATGCCTAAAAGAAAATTAGCCCGGTCAGATATGGAAGGACTGTCGAGCTTACATCTCCTCGTGCCATCATTTGTCTGGCAATGTACTCAATGCCCTTCTTGTACTTGGACTTTGTGCGGTCCTCCTTTAGGGGGTAGACATTCTCCAGATCGAGCTGGAGAAACTTGATGTAGCCGCGGTAAGTCATGCACACGTCCTCGCTTTGGCGGGCTTCCTCCCAGCTCCAGTCGGGCCGGGAAAAGCTGTTGAGCAAGGCACGGCGGAAGTTGGATGCGTTTGCGACGTATGTCATCTCGTTGAACTCATTGGGCAGTTCAATGTTGACGAGATCCCGGAGTCGTGAAAAGGAAATGTTCTTGAAGCCCTTGTCGATGGCGAGCTCTCGGAGAGTCTCGCCGTAGGCCCAGACATCTTTATCAGGCACACCGAGCAAATCTTGTACACGTCAACACCATTCCCAATTGTGGAATGCCTTCGAAGCTTACCATTGTACACGAGTCCATCGGAAATGATTGTCAGTTTTGCGCCAGGGGGATACACGTCGCCAATTGCCTGGCAAAGACCATTCAATCGAGCGAGTGCAAACTCCTCTGCCTTGTCAGGGAGGTTTCCCAGAACTTTGCCGACAGAGTTGGGAGACTTGAATGGGAATGCCGGTAGGCACATAGGGACCGCCCGTCCAGCCTTGACGTGGGTGTAAGTGAGGGCAATGAATTTCAGTGCCGATTCATCTGCCCGGTCGATGCTCGGCGAGCTGACCATACGATACCGGTCGATGATTTGAAGGATCTTTGAGGAGGTCTGGAGGGCCGAAGCATCAAGGGCGACGGGAAGGGAGGTCATGCTGTTGCCCACAATGCCCAAGGGCACAGGCCTGGGCTCAATTGCGCCAGCGACAGACATGGCGATCAAAGTTGAAAAGATGGTGTTACTTTGAGAAGAAAGCTAAAGTGTGGGAGATGATTTTTGTCTGCTTGTGAGTTGACGAGGTGGTGATTCCGAACGGTATTATATCTATATAGCAGTGCATCACAGCACAGCCAAACTGACTCCTCTCCTTTGGCGAATTCCGAGACGCGTTCCGACTCGGACCTGGTATCCCAAAAATCGTTTCATTCCGCTTTTGCTACGACCTGTTTGCCGGGTTAAACTACGTCAATACGTTTTCGAATCGCCTAACTTGGACCCAACTTAGACTCTTCTTTCGACTCAGCCGCGCGCTCTCCACGGCCAGGTCCGAAAGCTGCATAGATTGTAACGTACGAAGTATCCACCGACGAAAGATCTCTATCCACCCTGACAAACTTGGTATGTTTTGCCACCTGTATCCCACCCGGGGCCGACGGCATCACCTTGTTTTGTCGTGGGCCGTCCAGCTTCTGTGCACGGACAAGCATATGGAGAACGGACACCTGGTCGAAAATGGCAGGACGTCCTAGTTGCCTTTACGCATATCTCGATGCACACATTGCGGCAAGGTGAATGCAGGGCTGTATTCGGTATCGAACCGGATGCGAGAGCTAACGGGGTCTGGGGTCTAAGTGGTAGGAGCCGTCACAACCTTGTATCATTGACCCGAAACACGGCCACATCCCGACCAAGAGGTCGCATTCCGGCGGGGCAAGCTTGGGTGTCACAGACTCACAGAATGTCACCCAAGAGCGCCAGAAGGACCAAAGCGCTCCAGAAGGACCAAAGCGCGCCAAAAAGATCCTCGACTTAGCGTAGACAAGTCCCGATAGCTGCGCCGCAGCGTCAGAATCAGGGTCTGGAGTGCATCTTCCTGGATACGGGCGGCTGGCCAGTTGCCCGATCGGGAAATACGGGACCGAGCGATCTCCGGGGACGCTCCGGGACAAGGCCACGGCCCTGGCGAAGCCGCGCGATTTCGGTATCAGCCGCAACTCGACCTGCCGACCCAGGAAATGGCGTGAAAGGACGGAGTACAGGGGCGTTGAATTTTACAATCGGCCTGTGGTGACGAATCTAGACCGCCGCCGCGTTTCACTGTAGACCGCCGGGAGTTGCACCGGATCCTCCCGTGATGCCATGCAGAACATCACGTCACATTAGTGTCCGGAAAGGATCCTCGGGACGGGGTGGTCTGTGGTTCCGTATCATGGACGGTGCTGAGACTCGGTTTTCTATATTCTGACATGGCCGCGGCAGTATTGTTTCCAGAAATTTTGGCAAAGAATATTCACTATCTACACAATTCTGCTTGGAGACTACCACAGAGATCACCATACTATCCAACTTACTATACAACTTACTATCCAATTTTCGATTCATCCTCAACATGGAAGAAGTCGACGTTGCTATCATCGGAGGTAGCTTACCTATTTACCACTGCCAATACCCCTTGGCTAACCAATTGGCATAGGTGGACCTACCGGTCTCTTTACTGGACTCCTGCTCCATCAACTCGGTGTCTCAGTGTCTATCCTAGGTAGGAGAAATAAGCAGTCAACGCAAATACAGACACTTACACGAATATCACAACAGATGCCAAGCCCGAGTCTCTCGACTTGGGACGCGCCGACGCATTGAACGCCCGAACACAGCAATCATTCGAAGTTGCCAAAATCTTGGATGAGCTTCTGCCGCAGGGCCTCAAGTGCAACAGTGAGTAATTGCACAAAGCATTGATCCACATCGAGTATGCTAATGTGTCCATAGCGAGCTCAACATTTGGCAATGGAGAGTTCAAGTCCCGCCAGAACCAGTGGTGGGTTGGCATTGAGCACGCGCTGCACAAGAACTTTCTCATGATCGGCCAGCCCGTCGTGGAGAGGCTGATTGCCAGCCGTCTCGAGGGACGCGTCCACTACAATGAACAAGTCCTCAGCATCACGGAGGAGACCGATTCCGTCGAGATCGTGACTCAGTCCGGCCGCAAAGTTCGCAGCAAGTATGCCCTAGGCGCTGATGGCGCAAAGTCCACAGTCCGAAATTCCCTGGGCCTTACCTTCACTGGAACCAAGCCCGAGATGCTCTGGGCTGTCCTTGACACATTTATCGATACCGACTTCCCTGTTTGCCCGGAAATCATCACCTTTGAGCTGGATGGTCAGTCTCGCGTCTCATGGATCCCGCGAGAGCGTGGTCTCTGTCGTTTCTACGTTCTGCTCGAGGGTGAGGTCACTCAGGAGCTTGCTGAGCAGTCTATCAAGAAGCACATGGCCCCTTACAAGGTCGACTTCCTTAAGACAGAGTGGTACAGCACCTTTGATGGTAAGTCGAGCCTCACCAGAGACTATCTTTCAGTTTGGGCACTAACACGGCGTGTGCAGTGAAGGAACGAATTGCCTCTTCTTTCATTTCCAAGGAAGGCTCAGGCCGCATTCTCCTCGCCGGAGATGCTGCGCATGTGCACTCGGTCAACGGTGGACAAGGCCTTAACACTGGAATCGCCGACGCTTTCGGCCTTGCCTGGCGTCTGGCCATGGCTCTGCGGCCCGACCTGAAGAAGGACGCTGCGGCAAACCTCATCCAAAGCTATGACCTTGAGCGCAGAACCACGGCTCAGGAGGTCATTAACGTTGCGGCCGCCCTGGTGCGGGATACTGTGCACGAGGCCAAGAAATACGTGTCTACGATCCAGCGTAACGCGGCTTACATTACTGGTGAGTAGCCAATCCCGAGCGAAGTAACTGGGGAGCGTCTTACTGACTGAATCCCAAGGTATGGGTGTCTCCTACGACGGCATGGCTTCGCCGCTTATCAAGGAGTCTGAACATGGCATCTGGAAGGCTGGCCACCGATGCCCCGACATTGTAGTGAAGCCGGTTTCCGGCGCTGAGAGCACAAGACTCTACACTGAAATTTCCTACGGTAAATTCCTGGTTCTCCTCATTGGCAAGCACCCCGAGAGTGCTTTCGACTACGGCTCCGTGGCGGATCTGTATCACATCTTGCCCTCGAACGATCAGTCGGAGCCGAGTGGGGAGGCTCAGTCTCAGTTGAGTGTGAGCAACAGGTTCACCGCCGACTGGGTCAAGGCAGACGACTCTTTCGTTGTTGTCGTACGACCAGACATGTACATTGGATACGTCACAGGTGGCGACGATTCTTGGAACCAGTATCTAGCGGAACTGTTTGTCATAGCGCAGTAAATACAGGGATGCAATTTTTCTCTTTACTAGGGTAGAAGACTAGAACAATTGAGTTTCGGGACCATCAATAAGATGTCTAGGTTCGATCGTACGTGCCCCCGGATATATATCCTTGTAGTTCCGGATGATCTTCCAAGCTAGTTTTCCGCGCGAAAAAACGAAAGGACAATACATACTCCGTGTAAGTGAGCGGCCTCAGGGATAGTCGACGTTGAAATTGAGTCCATCCCTCGGCAAACAAGTATGGCATGTCAACGGCCCACGTCTACGGCAATTCTTCGTGGCGACCAGGGCCATGCCGGCAGGGCCAAGTCGGTCTGGCCGGGACGGCAAAGGGCTCATCCATGATCCATCTCTAATCTGATCCATCCCGCAGTGGAGAATCGTCGGTTTCGTTTGCAACGTTGAGCGGAGGCTTGCCGCTTCTGGTCATGCCGAAGCGAATCAAGCGATGACAAATGGACCGCGCGGGATGTGAACAACGGCAGTCAATTCCGATAACTAGGACGTGTGCCGACCTCATGGCATGTTTCCATCGTAAGAGCCGGAAGAATTTTCGAACTCGTAGACGCTTGATCCGCAAAAAAAAAGCAATGAGACAGACGATTCCTCGGGGAGCCATTCCATTATCAACTGAGCCGGCTACATTATCGCACGGGCATTGCAATTGAGAATATGGGGCGGTCGGTAATGCTCGAAGACGTGTCAGTCGGAACCCCTTCCGTTGAAAAAGATTCACCGGCTGTGCCTCTCTCGGATAACCTTGCATCATATATTCCGGACGGCGGGCTTCAAGCATGGCTGCAGGCTGCAGGCTCGTTCTGCCTATACTTTGGAACATGGGGTAAGATATGACAGCTTCAGGATATCCATGCAAACTGTAACCTCAACCAACACGCCACGAGATACTGACGTGCGCCCGCAGGCCTTGTATCCAGCTATGGCACGTTCCAGACCATCTATGAGGCCGACCAACTGAGCCGCCACACACCGTTTCAGATCTCCGTCGTGGGTTCTCTCCAGACCTTTCTCATGGTGTTTCTTGGCTTCGTCGTGGGTCCTATCTATGATGCCGGGTATTTCCGACATCTTCTGGCCACCGGGTCGTTGCTCATTGTTGCCGGTACCGTCTTGCAGAGCCTGTGTTCCAGCCTGTGGCAGTTTATCCTAACCCAGGGGATCCTTGTGGGCGTGGGGGCGGGCTGCCTCTCTATTCTCAGCGTTGCTATTACATCTCTGTGGTTCACCACCAAGCTTCCTCTAGCGAATGGCATCGCCGCCTCAGGGAGTGGTTTTGGGGGGTGAGTCTAGTTACCTCGTATACTCTATCGTCGATCATGGCTGACAAAATATTAGAGTTCTACTACCCATCATGCTTCGAGAACTCTATCCCAAGATAGGACTCCCCTGGGCTGTTCGAGCTCTAGCCCTGGTTCTACTGGTGCTTCTCGGTGTTGCCAATATTGTACTTCGAACAAGAGATCCCAAGTCGCAGGGCCGCAAGAGACGATCTTTCATCGACCCAACGGCTTTTCGCGACTGGCCGTACCTCCTTTTTGTTGGTGGTTGTTTTGTTGTGTTTCTCGGGATGTATACCCCCTTCGTCTACATCCAGAGTTACGCCTTAGACGAGAACATCGTCTCACCCGACCTTGCCCTCTACTTCCTTGCTATTCTCAACGCTAGTTCCATCTTTGGCCGTATCCTGCCCAGCCTCGTCGCACAGCGCATCGGGTCAATGAACATGATCATCGGAACGACGATTGCCCTCTCCATCACCAGTCTGAGCCTCATCGCGGCCAAGACGCAAGCTCGTCTCATAGTCGCCATTGTGTTCCAAGGCTTCTTTACGGGGACCTTTTTTGCGCTGCAGCCAACCATCTTCGTCAGGCTCTCAGCAGATCCTAGCAAGATTGGGACGAGGTTTGGCACGGCTTTCTCCGTCATGTCTGTGGCGCTGCTGTTTGGGTCCCCAATTTCAGGGGCTCTGCGGAAGCAGATGGGCTACAATGCCGCTTGGGTTTGGGCGGGTATCACGATATTCTGCGGGGGGATGGTCATATTAGCCTCTAGGGTATTAAAACGTCAGTGGACGAAGCCCGTGTAGTATAGATGCACACAATAATAGCATGATCTATTTTAAACCCAACGTGTTCAAGTTCATGTTACCTGGTTATTTTAAGTTTGTTGGTCATGAATACTACATAAGAGCGATGTACATATTTGTGAACAACTGAACTTGGTCCTTATTCAACTTTATGGCATTTCATAACTAATCATGGATAAAAGGGTGTTTTATCTTGTCTTCATATCATTTAGGCGACCCGCTTCCGTGGCGAGTCGCCCGTTGACTGTTTTCTAACAAATCAATTGTCCTCATTTGCCTAGAGATGCAATTCCATTCTGGTGGCCATCACTCTTCGTTAACGCCCACATACGCACCACTCGCCCAACTCCTCACCTATATCCACCTTACGGTTACCCTCCTCTCTACGAATACACCATTTCTCATCTATCAAGCTCTCCCCGCCCGGCCAACCTGCAAAATTTCTCCCGTCAAGGCGTCGTCACTCCGCAAGACTGGCCACGAGCTTCCGTCTGATTTGACAAGCGACAGCTCCAGCTTCGTTCCCAAGATTTTGAAAGACGACTTTTCCGCATCAATGGTTGCAAAAAGTGGCACGTCTGCCTTGTATCGCTTGGGGGGGGAATCTGTCGTCGTAAGATCCAGCACCAATTGCTTCTCCTGGAATTCCACCTTGGCCGTCTCCTTGTTGATCTTCTTGAGGAAGAATGAAGCGATGACGTTCGCCGGGGTCTGGTAGAAGTCGTGTCTGCCACATTGTTAGTTGGTGGGTTCTTCCAAACGAAGTGGTAAACCCAGAGCTTACCTGACCGTGGTCAAAACATCCTCGCTGCCCGCATCAGTCTTGTTCTTCTTGCTACTGCCAACGAACAAGTGTTGCTTCTTGGTCTTGCACCCGGCGATGTTCATGAACTGGTCAAACTCCAGCACTCTCCTCTTGCAGCAAGAGTAACCCTTGCTTCCCTCGTGGAAGATTGGCACTCCAGGGTGGTGCACACACTCCTCTGCATCCCTCGAGGTACCTTTCTTGTAAGTCGCACCACAGGTCCTCCGCTTACAACCAGCTCCGTCCGGGATCTCGATACCCGGCTCGTCGTCCTCGGACTCTAGAGCAGGAGGAGGCGGCGTCGGGGCATGTTGGGCGGGTTGAATCGGTCCGCGGGACGGCGGCGTAGCGGCATTGAGGTCATCAATCTTCTTGGCCAAGGAGGCATCGTCTTGCTGGGGCTTCTCTTCAACGCCTGGAGGCTTGTCGGTGGTCGAGTGGACGCCGGTGGTGCAGGGCGGAATGTCCATGAACTCGTCAAAAGTCAGGACCCGCGGCTTGCAGCATTTCCATCCTACGGCGCCAAGTCAGCATCTGGAATTGCGCATAGCTTCAACTCGGATTCAACCCATGCTTACCTTTCTGCCCCTCATGGAAGACGGGCGGACCGGGGTGGTACTCGCACTTCTCAGCAGCGTCCGTGTACTCCTTGCCGCAGCCCTGATGCACGCACTTTTGAGCCATGATGAAAGACTTCTGCGAGACTTGCTCGGCAGGCTCTGGTTCCAGGAAATTGGTCTGGAGGAGAGAGAGAAAAGATGGAGTATCTCCAAGTCGCTGGTGGGGTGGGAGCTTCTAGAATTCCGGTCCCCGATGACGCTGAAGCGCGGGAGCTCTCGCTTCACCGCTTTCCTGTTTGGGTGCGGGGTTGGCCTGCACTACTATTAGACCATGGCAGTTCCGAGGACAAGCTCGACATCTCGAACCATTTTCCTGCTTCAACGTCGATTGACCACCATATCGAAAACGCCCATTGGCCTCTCCTTTTGTTTCACAACATCTCACGCTCTCTTTGGCATACTTTCACCATGTTTGCAACCCGTCGCCTGCTGCAATCTTGCAGAATCACCTTGTTCACTCGCGAAACCTGCGGCCTCTGCAAGCAAGCCAAGGGCGTCTTGTCCGATGTATGGGACAAGCGGCCGTTTGCCTACACCGAGGTCAACGTCGACGCTCCGCAGCCCGAGTCAAAGGCGTGGAGGGCCCTCTACGACTATGATGTCCCCGTGGTATGCTGAAATTGCTCTAAAAGATGAAATGGCATTGTTAACCTAGGAGCTAGATACACATCAGCAAGACGGCGGCTCCTGAAGAGGATCCTGCCAGGTCTGGCAAAGCTATTAAGCTGATGCACCGGTTCACTGTTGAACAGGTCGAGGCCAAGATGGACAAGGCCGAGCAGAGCTAGTCGGCTCAGAAATCTCCGTCAGCCCGAGACCCAGAGCTTCTACTAATACGACTTTCCTCTCGCTGGCTGTGCTGCTCCAGTGGCGAAGCTCAAATGCTCCTTGGCGGTAAACTCAAGTGCTGTGTAGTCCGTCACTACATTCATCATGTCGAAACCTTGCTCCGCAAACATCTTCGCCTGGTCCCCACTGGTACAGTAAACACCGCACTTCTTGCCGGCGTTCTTGCCAGCAGATAAGACCTTGGCTAGAGCATCTTTCAGCTCTGGTGCAATGACCCCGTTGATGATGGGATGCCCAATGTTGTTTCCTATTACCAGTCAGAACATCAATCCATGGGTGTGACCGAGGGATTGGGGCAGACTCACCTAGGTCAAACGGCCCAATGAACAGGACATCAATGCCCTCCACCGCCGCGATCTCATCCACGCATTCGAGCGCCTCCTTGGTCTCGATCTGAACAATGGTCAAGAGAGCATCGTTTGCCTGCTGGAGATACTCGGTGAAACTGGGGACGGGGTTGAAGCGCTCGGGAGCAATGGGAGAACCGAAGCCGCGTCGGCCCAAGGGCGGGAATTTGGCAGACTGGACAAGCTGCCTGGCTTCTTCAACTGTACGAAGTAGAGGCACAACAATCTCGAGGACTGTTAGCAAGGTCAACGCCACGTAGCTATTAGTTGATACGCACTCCGTGAGCTCCGCTGTCAAGAGCACCTGGAGTGTGTCAGCGAGTCGTCCAAGATATACAGCCGCGGACAATCTTACGCTTTACCATCCACCCTTGCATGTCGGGAAGTCTCACAATTGGAGACACTCCCAGGGCTGCAATCGCCGGAACAGCATCATGCATCGCGCCATCTACAGCCGCGTCAGTGATCTTTTGCTACACAGCACTGAACACAGAGAGAGATCTATACCGTCCAAATTGCCGTGTTCGCAGTCCACCAACACCCAATCGACTCCAGACCTCGCCAGCAGTCGTGACACATTCGCTCCAGGAATCATCTGCCACGCCCCGAACGAGGTCCGGCCCCGGTTCAGCGCCGTTCTCAACCGGTTGGAAGCCTGCATCGCGGACATTGATCTGACGGCTCCTCGCATGCACAGCTGGTTTCTCAACGCGAGAGAAGGTCTCAAGCGGAGCGATGTTGACGTCCAAGCCTTCATGGTTCTATTTAGTAGACTCTGTATTGTGGGGGGAGAGGGGGCGAGTGACGCTTCCGGAGATGAATTGATGGGCTAAGTTATGGACTAAACTGGGGCCTGAGATATAGTTATAGAGGAGATGAGATGAGGCAACTAAAGCATCAAGCTCCGAGTTCATCTTTTAATCTATCGAGCTCGCTTCGGATGGCGCTCTTAAGTGCTGCCCCAGAGTGGGGGTTGCGTCTGGTGGTGTGGGGTTGCAGGGAGCATCACCAGACCATCTCCGCGCATCTTGCAGGTGGCAGCAGCCACTATGTACGATGAGTAATAGGGCGTAGGGCGTAATGCGTAATGCGTAATGCGTAGGGCGCGGCGAACCGGAGGCTTGGGGTATCTGATTTTCAATTTTTTAAAACTTGTAAGAGTCTAGTCGCCCGCGGCCAAGTCTCGTGGGAACATGGCGCGGATCCCCGTACAGCAGGCGTCTTGTGCCATGGCCTTGGAACCAATATCGAAGCTCCGCCCGCCAGCGACCGTCCGCCTGCAGCAACAGGCAAAGGTCCTCTTTTCTACATAGCGGTGCATAAATACCCCAACATGTCCGCCCTGTCCCGTTCCCAACCTCGCGAGCAGTCGCAGCCTAGTGCTCAAGTAGCCAATACTCCGCGCCACTGCAATCGAGGGGGTTGGCGGTCTGATCCATGTCGTGAGATCCAGGTAAATCGACTGATCTGGAAAAGACAACTTCAAACAATCTAAATCGAGTATGGTCATTCATCGTCATGTTCATGAATTAGTCTTGGAGACATCTGGAACAGGTCGTCAGCAATCGAGTCCCGAACAAAGGCAAAGTTCTCTGCATACCCCAGGTAGTCCTCCTTGATGCTGCCAATAGCCCACATCTCTCCAACCTCGGTTCTGGTACCAATGATCTTGACTCGAACGTGAGTTCCGGGCTCGATCACGGTGTCCTCGTTGTTGGTAAACTGGGGGGGTGTCGCATTGGGATCCCACTTGATGTCGCTAGGAATCAACTGTTTCAACCGTCAGTAGCCGCCACGCAGCGCGTACCATGGGCCCAACGTACGTGCGCCGAAACAAAGAGTCTCAGGGGTCCTGCTTGGGCGAAAAAGCCTTGAGGGTTGATGGAGTAGACAACAGCATCAACCTGAGGTGGGTCAGCCTCCTGAATGATGACGAGTCGCCAGATGGCGGCCTTACCGTCTCGCCCTTGAAAGGTCGCCACACAACTGCGCGGTATCCAACGGTGAACTCAGCAAGTCCGCTACTAGGAAGGATGCGCCCTTCTGAAATATCAAAGGTATCCATGATGGAAATGATGTAGTAGCTTCCAGCGCACGTGCCCTCGACATCCTTCAGAAGCTTGCTCGTCACGAGATCGTGCATGTTGCGACCGAAGTAAGAAGGGTGCAGGGTTACCCTGCGCTCCATGTTGTAGAGGAAGAACATGGTGAAGACGGGAGTCAGGACGACGGAGGTATGCGGTTACGGAGGAGATTGAATCGGTTCGAGGACGATGCGAGGTGGAAACCGGGGGGCGTCGCGGAGAGGCGCAGAGACTTCCAGAGAAACGCGAGCTCGAGCGCTACGCTCAGGATCAGCTACCTATGCCGCCGGAGCTTAACAGGGACGCGAAGATGAGGAGCCGAAGGGAAAGGAGTGGCGACAATCGGCGAGGAGCGAGCAGCGAGCAACGGCTCACGGGGCGGGCGTCGCGCGATGAGGAGGATGGAGCAAGGAGGAGCCGAGGCGCAATGGCGAACGCAAAGGGAAAGACGCCAAAGACGCCAGACTACACACAAACACCCGCCGTCGTCGAGCGTTGAGTGGAGGTTGCGCCGCTGGCCTTCCCGACGCAGATGGGTCGGTGGAAAGTGAGGGTGATGGTGAAGGAGGTTTGTCTGGCGGCGAGGCTGAGAAAGGCCCGTGGCGGCAGAAATCTTGCCCAGTGACGGCCAACCAAGCGCGTGGTCGGAGAGTTGGTCGCGCAAGGTTGGGTGGTCCGTGCGTCAATCCTTTGTTGGTTTGTTGAACAAGCCGGAGAGAACCTGGCAAGGTAGGAGGACTCTTGGTCGCACTTATCAGGGTTAGGCCTTCGTATTTAGTTCAGGTTAAGATTGATTAGGCCTTCATATTTAGTTTAGTTTAGGATTGATTAGGCCATCGTATTTAGTTTCGATTAGGATTGTCGTTTAGGATTCTACGATTCCACATCTTGATGCCGTCCTTCTGGTATCGGGAAATTGCTCTCTTCCTATCTGGTTCTGTGGCTGCAAAACGACAAATGTTCGTTACGGGAGAGTAAGACTAAGGGATAAATAAGACTATGGAATAAAAGTATTACTCCCTAACCTACTGTATTTGGTCTTTTTTTTACTTTTACAAATTCTAGAACCAAAACGCCATTTTTTTCTCTCGTAGATAGAAGATTTACAGCGGCTTGCCGCCGATGAAGTCGGACCACTGGCGGACCTCGGAGGGGATGCCCTCAGAGCGGGGCAGCTTCTCGCTCATGCATTGAGCGAAGAGGATAGCAGTCTGTAATCGAGTCAGTCAGTTGTGATGTAATACGGGTTAGCTAGAGGAGACATACCTGGGGCTCCATGAACAGAGGGACGCCAAAGTCGACGGCATTTCGGCGCATGACGTAGTCAACATCAACAGTGGTCTTGGCACGGGCCTGGGCCAGGTTGAAGGCACCGCGGATGTCGTACTTTTGGAACACTTTTCGGAGAGCTTGCTTGTTCTCCACGGGGAACTCAATCACCTCGACCTCGACCTGGTGCTTGGAGCTTGACTCAATGAACGCCTTGACCTCAGGAGTGGCAGCGTACAGCTTGTATCCGAGAGGGGAGACGTAATCGACAACCTGGGTGAGCCAGGGCTTGCTAACATCACCACCGAAGAGGAGACCCTCACCAGGCTCGGGCATGCGGAAGTTCATGGTGGACTGGAGGGAAGTCCAGTAGGCCTCGATCAGATCCTTGCCGAAGCAAGCAATCTCACCAGTAGAGGACATCTCAACACCCAGGAAGGGGTCAGCGCCAGCCAGTCGGGTCCAGGAGAACTGGGGGACCTTGGTAGCGACGTAGTCACGCTTGACAGCCATGAGGTCAGTGGGCTCGGGAACACCCTTGCCAACGAGAGCCTTGGTGGCGACGTCGATGAAGTTGGTACCAAGGACCTTGCTGGCGAAGGGGAAAGATCGAGAGGCACGGAGGTTGCACTCAATGACCTTCAAGAGGGGCTCGCCACCCTCGGGGTTTTCGGCCTTGATGATCTGCATATTGAAGGGTCCGGTGATCTTCCACGCGCTGGCAACCCTCTCGGCGATATCCTTGACACGGTCCATGGTGGTCTGGTCTAGGTTGGCAGGGGGGAGGACAAGGGTGGCATCACCAGAGTGAACACCAGCCGGCTCAACGTGCTCGCTAACAGCGTGAATAACCAGATTGCCCTTGGAGGCAACACCATCAACATCAATCTCCTGAGCGCCCTCAATGAACTTGCTGATGACGACGGGGTGGTCGGGTGAAACGTTGCTGGCAGCCTCGAGCTTGTCCTTGAGATCCTCCTTGCTCTGAATGACGGTCATGGCGGCACCAGACAAGACGTAGCTGGGACGGACCAGAACGGGGTACCCAACCTCATCGGCAAAGTCCTCGGCGGCCTTGACGGAGGTCAGCTCCTTCCACGCCGGCTGGTCAATGCCGATGCTGTCGAGAATCTCAGAGAACTTCTGGCGATCCTCGGCCTTGTCAATATCCCGGGGGTCGGTTCCCAGGACATTGGCACCGCCGGTCTCCTGAAGTCGGAGAGCGATGTTCTGGGGCAGCTGGCCACCGACAGAGACAACGACACCAGAAGCATTCTCGAGCTCATAGATATCCATAACTCGCTCGTAGCTCAGTTCCTCAAAGTACAACTTATCAGCAGTATCGAAATCAGTGCTGTACGTCTCAGGATTATACGATCGGTAAGTTAGCATTTATCTGAAGAGGAGGGTCAAAGAGAAAGTGTTGAAGAGAGTAGAGCGTGAAATGATGTGGGAGAGGATGTCGGCGTTTTCGCTTCCAGGACAAATTGGCCCCACTATACTTGTAAAGAGACGGGGAAGGAGCGTATTCGGCAAACAGTGGGGCCGGGGCCGGGCCGGGGGAAACGGGGGATGGGGGAAACGGGGGGGAAAGGGCAGATCCGCCCAGTTAGACACAGAGAAAGGAAAATCTTCAACTTACGTTAATCATGACAGTCTTCTCGCCCATTTCTCGGAGAGCCTGGGTAGCACTGACAGCACACCAATCAAACTCGACGGAGCTACCAATTCGGTACACGCCACTGCCGAGAATAACGGTACCCTTATCCTCAAAGGTGACATCGTGGGAGGAGCCGTTGTAGGTAGTGTAGAGGTAGTTGGTGTCAGCAGGGAACTCAGCGGCCAGGGTATCAATCTTCTTGACCCAGGGTCGGATGCCCAAACTCAATCGGTAGGCACGAGCCTCATCCTCGGTGGTCTTGGTAGCATTGGCAATCTGTCGGTCGGAGAAGCCCAACTTCTTGGCCTTCATGACCTGGTCCTTCTTCAGGGACTCAAGGCCGTCAGCAGCCTCCAGCTCCCGCTTGCAGTCGACAATGTTCTGCAGCTTGTAAAGGAACCACTTGTCGATCTTGGTCAATTCATGGACCTTCTCAACAGAGTAGTTCTCGTGGATCATGGCCTGGCCAACAGCGAGCCATCGGCGGTCGGTAGGGTTTTGCAGCTCAAAGTCGAGATCATCGAACTTATCGCCTTGGAATCCAACAAACCTGGGATCGACCTGACGGATAGCCTTTTGGAAAGACTCCTCGAAAGTACGACCAATGGCCATGACTTCACCAACCGACTTCATGGCGCTGCCAATGTCACGCTTGACGTGCTGGAACTTGGACAAGTCCCATCGAGGAATTTTAGTGACGATGTAATCCAGGGAGGGCTCGAAGTTGGCAGTGGTGGTCTTGGTAACAGCATTAGGCAACTCGGGGAGGGTGTGTCCCAGACCAATCTTGGCAGCAGTGTAGGCCAAGGGGTAGCCGGTGGCCTTGGAGGCCAGGGCCGATGATCGGGAGAGACGGGCGTTGACCTCGATAACACGGTAATCAAGGCCATCGGGCTGGAGAGCATATTGAACGTTGCACTCGCCAACCACACCGAGATGTCGGACGATCTTGATGGCAGCGGTTCGGAGCATGTGGTACTCCTCGTCACTCAGAGTCTGACTGGGAGCCACGACAATGGAGTCACCAGTGTGGATTCCCAGGGGGTCAAAGTTCTCCATGTTGCAGACAGTGATGCAGTTGTTGTTGGCATCACGGACAACCTCGTACTCGACTTCCTTCCAGCCCTTGAGAGACTTCTCGACAAGGATCTGGGGGGAAAGGGTGAGAGACCGGGCGGCCATGTTGCGAAGCTCTTCCTCGTTGTTGGCGAAACCGGATCCAAGGCCACCGAGGGCATAGGCGGCACGGACAATAATAGGATATCCGATCTTGTCGGCGGCACTGAGAGCCTCCTCGATGGTGCCCACGGCAATGGACTTGGCGATGGGGATTTCGATCTCCTCGAGGGCCTTGGCAAACAGGTCGCGATCCTCGGAGAGCTCCAGGGTCCTGACGCTCGTACCCAGGACCTTGACACCGTACTTCTCGAAAAGGCCCAATCGCTGCATCTCAACGCCGAGGTTGAGGGCAGTCTGGCCACCGAAGGACAGGAAGATGCCATCGGGCTTCTCCTTCTCAATGACATAGGTGACATACTCGGGGGTGACAGGGAGGTAGTAAACCTCGTCAGCGAGGCTGTGGTTGGTCTGGATGGTAGCGATGTTGGGGTTAATGAGAACAGAGGCGACACCAGCTTCCTTGAGAGCCTTCAGGGCCTGGGATCCTGTATATCGAGGACCGGGGTCAGCCAAGAGCTCATTGCGCGAGGGTCTTGTGAGTCACAAGAACCCCTCCAGATAGGAAGAGATTGGGAACCAGCAACAAGCAATCACGAACCTGAGTAGTCGAACTCTCCGGCTTGGCCAATGGCAAGGCCACCACTGCCAATGACAAGGACCTTCTTGACATCGACAGTTTGGTGAGGCTTGATGACCCCGCTATCGAGATAGGCCTTGGGGTTCGGGGCCTGCTGGGTGGCGGCAGAGCTGTAGGCGCGGGCAATGGAGATTGTTCCGATGCGCTTCGACTGTACGGGCTTGCTTGGAGCCATGAAGAAGCGACCGCGCGCGGCGAGAGTGGCGGAAGAGAACGACCGGACCGGCAGGGCCTGGGGAACGCGACGTCCGTGTCGGAGCAGAGCCGGAGCTCGGCCAGCGAGGGTGGCAGCCATGTTGGCAGGCATCGCAGCGGTGTTGCAGGCGGATCAATGCGTAAAAGGCACCGTTCCGCTGGCAAGCTTGCCCTTTTGAATCCCGATTGAGGCGTATGGGTCGCGATGCGAGGGAGACAAGAGCGGGTGACTCGTCGAAATCTGGTGGGGAAGAAGAAAGGTAGAGTTCCGGAGAAGAAAAAGGCGGTACAAGAGCTGGATGATAAGATAAGGCCTGCGAAAAAATTGGTGTGTGACGGTGTGCCAGCCAGGTACTTAGCCTGCTTGAAGGGTATGGAGGGGTACCTGGGCCCCTCTCAGAGCACTAGCAAGCAGGGGACGCAACAACAGCAGGGCGCCTCAACATATTTTTTCGTGGCCCGGCCCCGTCTTTTGTGACTCTCCCTCCGTTATGAGTCCGATTTGAATTGAGAAGAAAAAAACTGGGAGTCACAGTCACGGCAGAGCTTTGAGATGCTGTCTGGTAGCTTTCGCCTTGTGCCTTGTATAAATTGGCACATGTTTGCGTGCGCAAGTATCTGTCTGGATCTTCCCTCGGCGCTCAACTGCGATTGCGGAGGCTGCTATGCTTCCTTGAATACTCCGTACCTGCAGCCAAGTACCGGGAATGCATCTATTCTTCCTCGAACACGACACCCGGCAGCTACGGATGAGGGGAATTACAGACAAAGTACCGTGCTACGACATGAGATGGCGGTACCAACGTCGTCGTTGGTGTGATCGTGTATCGTTGGCGGACAATTTTGATCCCCACCTATCCAATTGCACTTACACCAATATGAATTTGCTCATCGAGATGCCGACTATGGTCGGGCGAAAAAATGCCCGTGCTCGTGACGCCGCTATCGCTCTGCACGCACCAAACTCTTCCCCCCCCTGCCCACGCCTTTCGTCATCAATGCCGTCTAATCACCAGGTATCTGCTTAGATTGGTGGATTGAATGAGGTAATTGTGTAAACAAATGGCTTCAGTCATTTGGGTTGAGCTTTCTATGCCTTGACTTCTTGGATTTTTCGATACCTCCAAATTCATCCAATCGGTGGTTCGCATGCAGCAGTGTATTTTGTACAATATTCACATGCTCGCAACATCGTGCATATCACTTGTGCGCCTCTTGGTCGCATTGTGTCAAGGATTTTTTTCTTTCTTCCACATGACGAAGAATACGTACTTCAACCACCGATACCGGCAGGATTTTACTCAGGTTCGGATGGACCCGTAGGGTGTGTATGCGTCCATCTACCCTACATGTCCCAGGAGAATTGCACAAAATACAGCAAAAATTCCTCAGTGCTAGCGGAAACACGCTCTGGTCTCCCGACTAAGGCGCGCCCTCAATCTGATCCTGAAACACAACAATATGTCACAATTACCGGCATTGCAAGTTGTACGTATTAGCTCACTGCCAGGGATTTGGATCTCGGAGCATTGGTGGAGCATTGGAGCTGCTGATGAGACTACTACGTAGTTGGGAGTAGAAGAGCCCTGCCATTGGGTCAAGCTCTGCGGGGGAGCTAGGATTGTGGAACGCCGGCAGTTAGCTTGGACTAATACGTATTGTTCCACACCTCAACCTCCCTGGAGCATCCGCATGAACATTACCCTGATGATGCAAGTGCAGCTCATACCTAACCCGATATCGAGCCCTGGCGTCGATATCTCGACTTCCCTCGTTCCAAAACGAAATCCGTATCGGGAATGTTCTATATCTCCACTGTCAACTGATAGGTGACGCCACACGCGCCCTGATGACTCTCCCGTGAGATGACACCCGGGAAGCAAGCACTTTTGCCTGCAACCGGCATTTCATCATCGCCCATTAGATTCGGACTCACAATCTACAAAGCAGAGGAGCCTCCACGATGCTGTACTGTACTGACTTACTGAGTCAACCCGGAAGCCATTCCGTCCAGCGGTGGAATGGTACATTGCAATTTTTGATACGCCAAATGCTTTCAATTGCTCTCGCTCCCTATCTACTGTCTGATCGGCGTCAACATTCCGGCCCATCGCGCGTGATGTTTTCTGCCAGTAGGCCATTTCATCATCGTTCAACCATCAAGGAGCAAGAATTTCTATGCACTCCCTCCACCAGTTTATATTTCTCCATTCCATAGCCCATTTACCCTCTAGCGGCCCAATCGGATGTCGCAGGTCTTGGATGCTGGATAGTATCTTTATAGGCTGTGCTGACCTGTAAGACCTTTGTTGTAAGCAATACCCCGAGAATGCACCGAGACAACTTTTCTGAGTCTTCATCGGAAACTGGTAGAACATGAATATCTTTTTGAGTATAAGATGCTACCAACTCCGCGACTATGCGTTGTCTCTCACCTCACTCACCCTCACCTTCACCCTCCAAGCTTAAGCATAAGCTAACAAGCTCATTCACTCCTTCGACCAACAGAAACTCACCTCCTTTCAATTCTCTCATCAATAACTTCTCAACAGCACACCCGAATTTCTGCAAATATGAAGTCAATCTCTCTCGCCCTCACTATGCTCTTGAGCAGCACTCTTGCCGCCCCTGCAGACACTACCTATGCTGCGTTGGCTGCTCGCGAAGAAGCTGAATCCTCGAACGGCTTTATTGGCGGCGGACTAGGCCCCCGCGACGGTTCAAAGCAAGCTGAACACGCTTCACCAGCTGTCGTGTCGACCGAGTTGGAGCAGGCTGTCGACTTGGGCAGCCTCGCAGCCGTCCTTCAGTTTTTGCAAAACTCTGGCGGGGTTTCGAAGCGAGAGAGTTCGGAACAGACTGAGCAGACTGAGCAGGCTCTGAAGATTGATCTTCTCAACAGTGTCAATGGCAAGCCTCGCGGCGGACTCCTTGGCGGCCAGCTCATCCCCGGCGTGCTAAAGCGAGGGGAGGCCGTACAATTTCCGGAACTCACTGTCGCCCAAGTCCAGGCTATAATTGCGGCCCTCAGGAACGCTGGGCTCCCAGCTAAGCAAAAGTTCACGCTTGAAGAGCGCGAGGAGACCCTTCACAGCCTGGGCGGTCTGGTATCCCTGGACGACCTACCACTTGTTGGCGAAGTTGCGGGAAAGCTTGACGTCAAGACTGGCCTTGACTCACTGTCTAAGCGCGAGGATGCCGGCCTCATCAGCGGAGCCCTTGGTCTCGCGGGTGGTCTCTTGAATGGCGTACTCGGCCTTGCCGACGGCATCCTTGGCGGTCTTACCAAGACTGGCCCCAATACTGCCACTGTAGACCCTGTTAAGGTCCTCGGAGGACTTACTGGTACAATCACATCTGGCAACCTGGGTAGCGTGGGAAGTCAGGCTGGTCTGAGTGCCTTGAATGCTTTGGGCGGCCTTAAGGGATTGATCAAGGGATTGGGCTCTCTTAGTGCCTTCAAGGATCTCAACCTCAAGCGCGATGAGACCGCGGTTGCCGGCGGCGCCCTCGGTGCTATGAGCCAGCTGGTTGCGTTGACTGCAGCTCATATCCCCGAGTTGCAGGCAGCCAACGCGAAGTTCGCAGAGGCTTGCGCTGAGATCCAGGCCATCGCTGAGGCCAAGGCTCTTGCCGAGCCCTCCGAGGAGACTGACAAGTCCCAATGAAGAGAAAGCCAAGCTATCTAGCATTGAATTGTGGAAGGAATTGGAAACGCGAATCTTTGGCGATCTCTCAGTCGGTTCTAGCAACAGACTGGAGACTCTTTTTGGAATCAGCAATTTTGGAATTAGGAGTGCGTAGCCTTTGATGTGTAGTTGTTGTTAAGAGTTGAACGGAATTCTTTTATCTTGCAAATCAATTGCGTTTGCCGCATGTGATGCCATCATCGATACGCCCCGGGAATCATGTGTGAGTTGGGACCGAGATAAAGGCCAATGACACACATTCTACCTAATTAAGTCACCCGTCGATAGTAACCGTTGTCTACAGTCTGAGACTAAATCCCGATAAATTCAATGTGGCCTAGCCTAATAAATATAATCATTAGGTGGGATAAATACTAAGAATAAGTTTTAGAATGGGTTATTTCCCAACCTGCCGCATTAAATGCATTGAGAGTTTTCATTAATATTGGGACAGGTACGTATATATGCAAACAATAGTGTGTATATGTGCGAATAGTGAGATCTTGAAATATGACTGACATGTTCCGCTTGTTCTGCTTGACAGACTAACTTAAACACTCATATCTTGAGAACACTCAAACTTGGGAACAGCACCAAGCAATGCGGCAACGATGAACCCAACCAACCGTATTTTTCAGGCAGAAGTCTTATTGCTCTGAAAACTTTGTGTTTGCCCTACTTAGATAGATATTGTGGGACTCGATGAATAGAAAATATGGCAACCTAGGATGATGGTGTTCAGTGAAGGAGGACACAATGTTCAGGGAACAGCTTGCCCAAAGTCCTATAAGTCATTTCACTCGCGCCTCCATCAATCCATCTCGATCTTGGAACTGCAAAAACCGGCACGAGGCATCATCTGATGCGCATCAGCCGAGACAACCGACAATCAACTCGACTTACACCAACTCGACTTACACCAACTTGCCAACCGAACCTATCGAGAAACACTTCGACACCACCGCCACGATGTGCTATCAGGTATACATCTTCAAATGCCACCACCTGAAGCGAGAGCGGGTCCCATGCCGCCTCGCGAAGCCCCGCAAGGGTGGTCCTCTAATCGAGGCCCTCTTCCCTACTAAGGGATGTAACGGCATGAAGGCGGGGATGCAGCGCCTGGATGAGGCATGCACAGCCTGTATGTCTAAGCCGATCAACGAGTGGCCCCTACAGAACAAAAACTATCAGCCCCAGACAGCATTTCAGCCAGGGCGTCAGCCAACAGCCACAACTAACAACAACAACTTTCAGAATGAAATCTCTGAGATCAGAGAGATGCTAGGACAAAGCCGCCATGAGGAGCATCGTGTGTCGACTCAGAACATCTACGAAGGCAGACGTCTTAAGAAACAACAGCAGACCCAGGGAGAGAACTTGGTTTGGTGGAAGGCCCCCCCAGAACCTCAGGGCCCAGGCCAAGGTGTGTACAACGACATTCGGTATCCTGTGACTGAAGCACGCATGAGGGGCAACGTCATGGCGAGCGGCGCCAACCCAGACGCAGGTAGGATCAGGCGAGTTCCCACCACCCCTCCCCATCACGGACATCAATTTGGTAACCTCATATCGCCGGCTGAGGCGAGCGAGGCTCAGCACGCCAGCAAGGGGATTCCAGGAACCCCCTGGGCTCAACACGGCATCGGGCCAGTCGATGGGCAAGTGAAAACAAAGGAGGCTTCCTTGAAGCGCAAATCGAGAGTCAGCAAGGTGGGAAAGAAACTATTGGGGTGGATCGGGATTCGCCGCAAGGATTCGCATGAGTCTTTTGTCTGCGCGAGAGCACGAATGGAGGAGCGAGACATGTAAGGAAATTTGCAGCAGGGAGATTTGGAGCAAGGAAAGTGGCAGCAGGGAAATTGGTAGGAGGGAAACTTGGAGGAGGGAGAATTGTAGGAGGAAACTTGTAGGAGGAAACTCGTAGACTCTCCACTCTAGACTAGACCGTAGGCTTGAATGATAACGCAATCATTCAGTAATGACTTTGCTTGCATTGGTGAAAACTCCCCGCGAGTCTCTCCATCCTATAACAGACTTTTTTATCGTACATATTCCCACCATAAGACTGTGCATGCTGAGTTGTGACAAGATCCTTCGAAAATAGAAAGGGAGTGACCAAATGAAGTAATGTGAACTGGAAAGCAATTGCAGAACGCTCGATTAGATCATGTAGGAGCTAGGAATGTACCCGTCTCCCCGAGGGGAGACCACCAGATCTTCCTCCTAATTAGGAAGATTATAGTCATCACTTCTCACCTGTTGAAGCCGAAATGGTTCCTTGTAGCTGGGTGAACCTAGAGATGATAGATTCCGTCTCGGATTTTGATATATGTCATTGCCTCGATGACTTGACCACGTTTTGAGCTTGTGTTCGAGGATAACATACCGCAGGCTAGGCGATTTATTGGGCCTTTCCGTTCTTTGATTTGGCCTGGAACTTTGCGATTTCCTCCTGGACCTTCTTCTCTACACGAGCCTGCAGCTCTGGGCGGTAGCCAAGCATGAACAGCATCTTAAGCCATACAAACATAGGTGCCAGGAAGAGAGCTTGGGCAAGGTTGTCAAGAAGAGCGGGGGCACGACCCTCAAATGCGCCGTGGCCAATGAACTGCATGATCCAGCAGACGAGATGAAGAGCCAATGCGCACTGGAAGGTAGGCTCAGGGTTTTGAGAGCGCATGTAGTTGCCAAAGGCAGCGCCGGCCATGCAGAAAGCGGCGAGGATGAAGCCAGCAAATGGCTCCAGGAGAAGGTAGAGAGAGGCATAGACAAAAGCAGCAATTGTGCCAAGGTTGAGATCAAGGTAGGGAACGGTGAGCCACGTTGGGGTCTGGATGAGAGTTCCGGTGTATGTGGCCTGAGAGAGGTTGTTAGAATACGAGATCTGCACGGGGTATTGAGGGTTTCGGCAGGGCCGGGTAGGGGGTTCATGAGAGGGAAGATGAGAGGGAAGACGAGATGGAAGACGAACCATGGTAAAGGCCGAGACCAGAATTAGGGGAACACATATCATGTGGATGGTGATGTTGACAGAATCATGGTGGTAGGCACCATACTGAGCGGGCGTTAGTGGAGTTGCACAGGGCGACGGAGCAAGACAGGCGACCAAGACCAAGGTCTAGAAAAGGGAAGTCATGGTCGAGCAAGTCAAGATGGAGGATCAATGCAAGGCAGAGTACGATATGGGGAGCTCACAAAGGTCAAGTGGTGCTCGAGATCCAGCGTCATGATTGATTGAGATGTGGCGAGGGAGGCGGGGAGTGCAAAGGAGAGTTTTTCGAGGTTGGCGTTTTGGCGTTGCAACGAAGAGTTAAAGCAGCAGCACGCGACAGGAGGCCTGGTGAGGGTGAGAATGAGAGCGAGAGTCGAATACGGAAGCGCCAATTAGCGAAGGGATGGCCCGTGGGCAGGTAGTAGTAGAGGTAGTAGGTAAGGTAGGTAGCTAACAAACAGCCTGGTAAGGCAGCTTTGGCGTGGTGGTTAGGTAGAGGTACTTAAGTAATGCACGTCGTCGGTTGGTTGCAGTTATTTTGGTAAGTGGTCCCAGCACGCGAGCATCTAAAGCGGTGGGAAGGAAAATATGGGGGCAAAATGGCCGGCGCATGGATGGGATGGAAGAATGGGCGGAGCGAGATGGGGCGGCGGGTGATTGTTATATGCCGAGGCCGATCGATGAATTGAATGAGGGGAGGGGGGGATGCGTTGGGAGTGAAAAAGAGAGGGAGTAAAAGAGAGGGAGTAAAAGAGAGGGAGTGAACATGCGAGTGAATAAAGTATGAAAGAAAAAGGACTCTTGACGCAGCGGAGACGGCGTCGAATCGCCCAAAAGAGGAGAGACTTGTGCCGTTTCCACCGCCTGGTGTTGCGTTGTTCATGTGCTTTTGTGCTGTGCCCGTTCTCTCTGGGCTTAAACGTGGGGCAAGTGCCTCGGATCAACTCCTTCCCCAGGTTCGGCCACCACCCTTCCTTTGCTGTTTCCTTGTCCGTCACGCCACTTTTCGGACACAAGGACAAATATCGAACTGTGCACCTATCGACCTGGATATCAACCTGGGTATTGACCTGGATAAGCAGTCACATCAATCATCAAATAGTACCATCTGCGGCGGCTGCCGTCTCGACCGTCTTGTTGGGGAGAGGGCGTCATGCCGAATTTCCATATCCGAACATCGAGGCCCACTATCCCTGCTTCGCCCAGCACCTGCCACTTGCGGTACGTACTCCAATCGTGGCGCCGCTGCTGATGTCGGCTTATATTGCGCAACAATTAACTGGTGGAACCGTGGGAACAGGTGCATTGATATTCGATACTTGCTTCCAAGTCGGCGCTTTTGGACCTTCTTGCATGAGAGACCTGGATGGACTGCATAATGCGGCTCGTCAGAAGATTGTAATTCAAGAGAGTGGGTTTGTCAATGAGTATCTACAGTACTCTACTATTCGCACACAGCAAGCCCCTTAAGCTAAACCTCAGGTAAACTAATATACCTTTTCTTGAACTGCTATATTAGAGTGATAGATAGCTATCATCAGGATTGAGTGAGGTGTGTGTGCAAATGGCAGTACTAAGAAAGTTCATCTTCCCGTTGATTGGTATTGTGTGGTATATTGTCTTGGACCCTGCATTCCCGACATCAACTATTCTATCCGCTTCACCGTCACTGATGTCTTTTGAATTATGTCGCTGTTCGTGGCACTTCACGAAGGCCGATTCTGCCTGAGCTTTTTTGTATACGCAACATCATGATACTTGTCCGCCCTCTACATGTCAAGCAATGCCACAAAGTCGAAGCCAAACACGCCTCCCCTTCCAATGTACACCCTTGCTGTCGCCAAAACGCCGCCCCAGTCACACATGCAACTGTCAATGGCCATGCTCGCAAAACACAAACCCCTATATGACCATCTGCCTCGGTCGCTTTCGATCCATATGAAATCTCTCACTGCTTGCCCTGCGCTGGGTCACTCTGACGGGGGCGGCGGACGGTCCGACAAGGTTCGACGCTCGTTCAGCCTGAAAGCAGCAAATCGCTTAGCAAGGGGCTCACCCGAGTCGCGAACAGGCAGTTGAAAAGACGAGGAGGACAAAGAGGAGGAGGAGGGCGCGAGAGCTTCGTTGCTCTCTCGCGAACGCTTGGGGATTCGCTCACCAGTCGATTGAAGAATGGCCTGCAGGGTTTGCCAACCCTCGGTAGAGCGGAGTTGGAACGTATCGGAGAGGTCATGCTGGCTTGCCACGCGGCAGAGTAGAGATTCTTCGTCCTATGAGGCAGCGTCAGATAACTCTCGTTGAGGAGAGCGCAATGCTAAGGAGGAAACGTACCTTGGAGAGGATTCCCATCTGGTGGATGAAGCACAGGAGGTGGAAGTTGGACATTTCTTGCCCATCACCGTTGGCTTTTTGACCAGATGATAGTTTCAGAGACTTGGCGAGGGAGGAGTGTTCTTGGCTCTCGCCGATGTACTCGCGATTCTCGACGGGAAATCCTTGCTGGGTGAACATGGGCTTTGGCTCGGCGGGGAAGCCGTGAGTTAGTGTCACGAAGAGATACTCGACCGGGAAGGACGGTTTGGCGTTCTCCTGAACATTGGCCTTGTACTCGTTAACCCTGCGGTAAAACACTTCAGGGATATATCGTGTTCGGCTGGTGGAGCCGTCATCTTCCTCCTCTTCGCGAACAAGCATGACGTTGGGATCGGCAGCTGGCTCGACGATATCGGCTCGGACCATTTCGACGGATTCGTTGGACATCTGGTATGATGAGATGGAAATTTCGCCGTCTTCATTACCGGTAATGATGCATGTGACGAAGTTGGAGCCGAAGCTGCCGGTATCACTCCACTTGGAAGACTTGGGATATTGCGCCTGGAGCCTCGACGAGTAACAGATCTCAAGGGATGAAAGGAAGTAGGAGTCGGCATGGCGCTTGCACACGACGGAGCCATCGCTGTTTCCAGCATCCAGCAGATCGGTCCAGATGACGCCGACGGGTTCCAGTCCACACAACTTTGCGACGTGGTCGATCTCCTTTTGGGATTCCCAAGCATTCGTCGTGATGCCGTCAACCTCGTCAACTTGAGGGGGCTCATAAATGGCCTCCACGACAGCTTTGACGCCAAGCGGGACTTCGGTGTATTCTGTATACTTTCCATAGAGGTACCCTAGACGCTGGGAGCCCGTCTTTCGCCAAGTGTCGATAAATGTGTCAATGATGGCCGGTGACGAGAATTCGACGTGGTCGACCATACGGAATTGCTGTGGTTGCAAGGTGATGGCGCTGGGCTGGCACTTGGTGCAGATGCCCTCGGGCCACGGAGGATGCCCAGACGGGCACTCGTGCTTAACTCGATGGTAGGGTTCCACCAGAGGCGGTATGTACGAGGCTCCAAGCTCGGGCTTGTTTGTGGCGGCGTTGGTCTTTCGGAGGTAGGAGTGGAAGGACAAGTACTTGATCTTCTTCTCGGCGAGGTATGCTGGGTCGAAAGGGTCCATGGGCTGGCAGTAGTCGCACATGCCCTTGGGGCCGTGGCGGCACATGCGGTCGCGGGTTCGGGGGATCTTGCCGTCGAGTCTGTCTAATCGGTCGTCCAAGGCGGACTGGCGCACCACTTCCCATGGGCGGGCGATGCGCTCGGGTTTCGGGTTGATAGGCAAGTCTTCGGTTGGCAAGACGGGCTTGCCGTTGAGTCTGGCTGAGGCACCGGTGGCTGCCTCACCATTGGTGGCATCGGCGTACTGGTATCCGAGAAAGATGAGGTCACCGTGCCTGGCAAAGGTAAGCTATGGTGAGACTGGACAGGGCGGCGTAGGCACGAATCACGTACTTGAGACCGATCTGGCCAACCTTGAAGTTGACAATATCGCCCAGTCGCTTCGAGTCCCCCCCGTTGGGTGCGTTGGACAGAGTGATGGTCTTGGGATCGACGGTCTTGGGAAGTTGCTCGAGAAGCTGGAAGCGGAGCCGTTGGTTAGTGTTGGGCACGCATGGCACACGAGCCAGGACTCACAATCCTCCCCAGCTCTCCAAAAGTAGTTGTTGGCTCGATGGTCAGGCGAGCCATGCCATCGGGTCCTCGGAGACGCAGCAACATGGCGGCGACGTCCTCGGCAGCGGGCGATCGGAGATGGAGCTGGAGATGCTTGGCGGGGTTGCTGTCTTGAGGCGTGTGATCAAGGATGGTCTGTTGGCAGATATGCAGCCAGCTGGGCGGTGTCCTCAGCGACCAGAGGACGGGTGCAGGTGAGTGAGTGAGTGGTGAGAGTGGTTCGCGAGGTGGTGTAGAGAAGAAGAAAAGGCTAAAGCAGAGAAGTAGAGCTTCAAGCCGTGGCGTGGAAGCTCACTGAACCGACGGTGACAGTGGGGGATGCAGCTCTAAGACAGTGCAAAAGACCCAGGTACGTACTAAGAACGCGGCGCTTTCTCAGCAATCATACAGCGTCATCAGGCGGTGCCTGGACGAGCCTAGTAGGCAACCCTGGCCACTGAATTATAGTGGCCGCACCCGGGGCAACCATGTTCCGGGTACGCTCTGCTTGCTCTGACGACACCGGCATTGAAGAGCATGCGCCACACTACAAGGGTCGTCGGCTGCAGCGCCACAGCATCAGCGACTGACGGTGGGCGATTATCTGGCCAGAAGCGAAGCTGTTCTTTGTCTGGGTGGCCACGGTGTAAATTGACACGGAAATACTCCCACAGCCTCTGGACAACAGCGACACCAGCGACCACCACCACCTTCGCTTTCCCCGTGCGCTCGTTCCTTTCCTTCGCCTTCTCGTCACTCCCTCGGCTGCTATTTTCATCTTCCGCCATGGCTCTGCCCGCCTTCCTCGACATCGACTGGAAGGGCCTTGCCCTTCCGTTCGCCTACGTGATTGTCCTCGCCGGTGCCCTCATGACCTTCTCGACCATCTACCGAAAACGCAAAGCTGGTACGCTCCCCCATACGATCCTAACCCGTGTTGCTTTCCCCCAAGGACGCGCCCAGAAACTAACAATGCCTCTGCGTGAATAGCCGAAAGCGCAAGCCTCGCGCCGTGGTTCGGCCCTCATCTCCAGCGCAATGTCTACCTGTCGCTGCTACACATGCAGCCCGAAGAGGGCGGCGAAAAGACGCCTCGCATCCCCGATAGCGTCCTTCGCGCCGCGCTCCTCCGCCGCGCCGTCGAGGACATCCGCCGTCTCATCCAGATCAAAAACGCCAAGCAGGCCTGCAGCTCGCTGCTGCAGAGGGGCAGTGTGGGCGATGACCTGTGGCAACGCTTCCAGCGCGCCGAGAAGGAGATGGAGGCGGAACTGAGGGATGTTGTTCAAGAGGTAAACACAGATTGCGTCTGGACTCTTCCTCCTCTTGCAATTACTGACTGGTGCTCAAAAGGCCAATGCCCTCGCCCCCAACTGGGGACAGTCAATTTTCCAGTCCGCCCACGAGATGGCCGCCAACGTCGCCATCCGCACCCAGATTGACGACCTCCTCTCCCAGACCGAATCCGAGAAGAAGTGGTGGGAGAAGCGACGTAGCCAGATCCAGAGCGACTTCATGAAGGAGATCGATAGCCCCGAGCAAAGCCCGTCCAAGGCCGCCAGTGAGGATGACGCCGTACTGGTCGACACCCCCAGCAAGAGCAAGAAGAAGGGCGGCAAGAAATAGACGCGAGGGAATCATAATACGGTTGCTAAACAGCGAGGGCGAGTGCGATGTTGAGTATCTACGGTACAAGGGCGTCTTGAGACACATTTTGTACAACAACTGTCGTGAGAACTGGTACATGCATGCATAGGGAGAGGAGAGGGGAAACAAAGTTCCGGCGTTGCGGGTTTGAAAACAACTTTAGGTACCTCATGGGCTTGTCTACTGATATATTGATACATCCCCTTTCCGGAATGTTATGCTTTTTAAATGCAACAAATGCGCTGGCCTGTAAACCTGTTCTCGGAAATGCAGCCTGAACTCGCCCAATGCAACCAACTACAAACTCCAAAAAGACTGAAAGGTACCCATCATCGTGAGACAACGGAACCGGAACAGAAAATACAATAAACGCCGCGTCTAATGCTCATGGGGCAGCTCAGGATTGCCAAGGGAACCGCTTTCGTCGCCACATCTCCTCCTCGGCGGCTTGTCTCGCCAACCGGACCTCGGCCATAATCTCCTCCTCCGTCTTCAGCATAATGGGCGACTCGCAGCCGCGGAGGCCGATGAACTTGCCCATCCTGCGGCGCTTCTCCTCGAGCGTCATGTCGGGGCTCCAGGTGATGGGACACGGGTACAGGCGGCTGAACTCGTTGGGCGTCTTCTGGTGGTAGAACTGGGCAAGCGACTCGAGCTGCTCGTCCGTCAGGAGCCAGAAGTTGAGCACCGTCCTGGGGAATGCCGGATGGACGCCGCCCTTGTCCAACTCGATGAGGGGAGCCAGAGGCAGCGCCATCTGCTGCAGCTTGAGGGCCAAGTTGGGGTTCTTGGCCAGTCGTCGGTGGACAAACGACTTGCGGTGTCGCGAAGGGATCTCTCCTCGCATCATTTTGAAGGAGTTTGATGTGAGGCGACGTGTGTGTGCGTGCGTGCGTGTGTGTGTGTGTGTGTGTGGTGGTGGTGGTTTCGGCAAGGGTTAGCTCTGTCGTGCTTGTGTCGTTGGCAGAGCTCTTTAGTTGGTGACGTCGAACGAATGCGATTGCGAGTAGTGAATGTTCGCTGAAGAGGTGTGCTCCTTGGGTGAATCGGGTTGAGCGTTTAGTGCTATAGCAGTGACGACTCCAGCCTCCAGTTAATGGCTCAATCCAACTCTAGTACTGCTGCTACTGAGTTGCTGGAGACGACCTGGCGAGTGGGGAGAGCGACGAGGATATTAAGCAAGGAAGAGGCGTATCTCACAATGAAACGATAGAACTGCCCAACCCCCGGCGCCGGCGGCCCTCTTGTATGAGAACCCATGACGGCCAGGGATCGCGAGCAGCCAGTCTCTCATGATTGTGACCGAACCCGTTCTTTGAACCAGCGCCCCCGCGCAGCTGCTCTGGGAAAAGCGGCCTTTGTCGCCAGCGCAGCACCGACCGCTTGCGCTTTGAAGGACTCGCCGGTGGTCCCCTCCTCCTGTCCGGCAACGGGAACGGCAGCAGTTTCTTTGGACGGACGCGGCGCAGGGTTAAAAGTTGGTGTGTGGGCGCGAGTGAGACAAAGCCGGACGGTCTAGCTGTCAACGTCGGGGCGGGGACGCAATCGGGTTGGGCGAACAGCGGGCGCCTGAAAGAGAGACAGAGGCAGATGAGACAACGGAGTCAGTAAGAAGAAGCCGCAGCGACAGAGAGAGAGACAGAAAGTCAGACGGAGAGACAGAGAGACAGACAGAGAGACAGGCAGACGCCCGCGCGGAATGTGACTGGCCGCCCTGACTCAAAGCGAAGCTCGAAACACGGCCTCGATGGGCTCCCCGTGAGTTTTGCGCCGTCGCTTCTGAGACCGACGTCTTTCACATGATGGCCGGTGGCGAGTCGCCGCTCCCGGCGTCTGTTCCGCGCTGCATATCTGGATGCGTTGGCGCTCGGGAAACGCCACGACACGACGCCCCTAGTCGCGATGTCTCAGATGTGACGACACTGGTCAAGTTTTGCGGCCTCACATGGCCGACGCTTGAACTAGCCGGACCGAAATAGCCGACGTCGCCGTTGCAAACCGACCTGCAAAAGTGGAATGTTGTGCACTGCGTCTTGTGCAGCTGGCATCGTGTCTTATAAAGTAGGATATGGCAGCCCGGCCTCACCCGATTGTCTCTCCTCTCTTCCTGTTCTGCTGTTCTCCTATCTCGCCGCCATGCTGAATTACAAAGACCAATTATTTGCGTTGGCTCGCTGAATGAATCGCTTCCCCACTTCCCTCTACCCTTCAAAGCCACTTGAGCTTGGCAATGTGATCCGCTTTCTTCTTGCTCGCTTTGACGAAACCCAGGGCCCTTAATTCGGCCAGAGCGCGGTAGAACATGACTAGGGCCTTTCGCTCATCCGTCTCCTCGTCACCGACGACCCTAGTAGCAAAGGCGGACCACAAATCAGCCACGTTGATGAGGCTGCTGGTTTCGAGATACAACTGGTACAGGAGCGCCGTTTCGGGGAGAGTTGCTTGGATGCCTTCCTCGCCCGGCTTGCAACATGCGCATGAGAGGTAGTCATGTGGGCGAGTGAGACTGCGTTCGAGAACAACCCGCGGCCGGGGCACGAAAACATCCCGTGCAGGTGTTCGCGAGTCGTACACCCAGCTCTCTGAAAGAAACGCAGACATCGGGCTAGAGACGTGAACATATGAGATCAGCAGCTCCGTCATCTTGTCGACAATGTCAGTGAATTGCTTGTCCTCCGCGGTCAAGGTAGCCGAGTCTTGACTGAGTTGAACCCTTTGCGCGATAACTGTGGTGCGCATCACCCTTCCCTGCCCGCTGTATTTACTCCGCAAGGTAATTTCTTTGTCCTTGGCTGTTGCACTGAGATCTTCAATCTCAAGAAGAAGCTTCGTGAGACCGTCTCGCACCTCAGCATGTTCAGGACGAGTAACCGCTGGGCCGAGTCCGAGGTCGACGTCACCTTCTTCCAAGATCGCTATGACCCGACGAACCAGGACATTAATCTCTATGATGTCCATCCGTCGCACAGAATCCACAACACTCGATTGTTCTGAGATTGTGATGCCGTCCTCCATTGCATCAACGTAGGATCTCGAGAACTCATCGTCTTGCGCGCCAGTTGCTCGAACAATCAACAATGCACGGAGAAATTCGCTAGCATCTTCCTCTCGGTTGTCGACACTTTGCCTCATTGCAGCCACCAAAGCTTCGTCATTCTCAAGGAGCGACCTGGCGAGAGAAAGATCTTCCGGAGTACCTTTCTCGACCGCTCGCTCCACGTGGTCACGGAACGAAGTCGTGTTCCTAGTTGCCTCAACATGTTCAGACTGCAGCCCATCGAACGGTTGGGAACCAGGAGAAATGAATACGCTAAGGGGATTTGCGTAGAAGTGACACATGTAGGCGTACTATTTTATACAGTTAGTGAAGCACAGCAAGCAATCTCGTGATGGAATTCACCTTTAGTGACATGACAAAAGTTTGGATACCGGAAACTTGGTCATGTTGCCGATCCAGCATACTGCGAAGAAGCGATGGTCCTAGGTGAACTGGGGCATCAGCCGCCGCCACGGCCGTCTTGAAGACAGTTTCCAGAATCGCAGATGTCTGGATAACGTCAAACTGCGCGCCATAGATGAGCTGACATGCAGACTTCAGCAAGCGAGCCTGAAGTAGTTCAACTGATGTGGCGATACCGAAAAGCAGCGTGAAGGGAATCCGTGACCGCCAGGAGCTGTAGAATTTAGTGGTTTGATCAGAGGATTGATGGGTGTTGACGTACTGGAATAACACCGTCAATTCAGAAAGGAGGCTGCTGTCAAAACCCTCGCTGTCTTGAAAGGCGACAAATATGTGCTCGCAGTCCTGTGGTTTGATAAAGGCGTGCAATGCCTCAAGATCGTAGTTGAGATACCGCCGACCCTAATAGTAGTGAGTACTGGATATTCCGGTTTGTCACCCATAGACCGACTCTTACCTCTCGGCCATCCCCAACTTCCAAGTCGTCATCTTCGTCATCAGACACTCTAGCTGTGACATCTCGGATAATCTTCTTCAAGGTGGCCTTCAATGTGGATGCCTCAGAAGACCGCAGCCTCACAAATCTGCTAGGCGTGGAGCGCTGGAGGGTCTCTGACATCTGCTCAAAGAGAAGGTCCTGCGAGGCAATGTTGGGTCCTGTGATGACGAACGCAGAGGGAACTTGATCCGAGCTACAAGTCTGTCAGCCGAATGCCAGTCCAATGATGAAGACTGATTTCCTCACCATGCCGTCTTAGCCTCGGCCACAAATGCGCTCACTTGGTCCAATGTTGCCTGGTTGGAGCTTCGCAAGATACCCTAAAAAATATGAGTGCTGTCCCTGATAATTGAGGCCAGGTCACATACCTTGATGCGATCATCAATCTTGGCCCAGCTCTCATGAAAAGCGGCCTCTCTCAGCTGCACGAATCCAGGAGTCTCGGCTCCATTCAACAGCGGCGTGAAGATAGATGCATTCTCAATAGAGTCCACGGCTGCCGCAGCCTGTTTTGAGACCCGCCGCCGCTTGGATGGCCGCTCATTGCGAGGCTCGTTGTTGTCAGGATCGAAGATGTAGGCCACCTAGCGACATGTGTCAGCACTCGAGTCACCGGGAAATGGCAGAAATATGGGCTACCTGGTGATCCTCCTGTTTGTAAACATCTTGTTTCACTTCATCCGGCGCCATTTTCACCGATTTCAAAGCGAATCAACTCTTCAAGGAGTTCTCCGTGGAGCGTGCAATGTCGATCGATGGTCGAGGTTGAATGAAGCGCGTCTTTCTGAGCCGAGACGCGTTGGTACACTGTACTTCGCACTGTACTTAATCGTTGCCAGGGGCGTCTGTTGTCCACCTACACACGAGTCAACAACCACAAGGCTTGCACAGATCACATCAGGGACACGCAAATAATGAACAGATTACGTCTAAGTTTGTATCGCATTGTTCATTTGTATGCTCCTAATCTCCAGAACCCTCATGCCTCTGTGCCCCAGTCTCGAAAGCCGTTCGTCGATGGCATTCTTAACCACCACAACCCATGCAAATCCGCACAAGCTCAAGGCGCCTCCCCAACGTCCCAAGCAATCCATTCACCCCTTCGGCCGTCCCTACTGTCCTCTCGAGGGAAGTCAACTAGCTTTGGTGTAACGTCCCCGGTCATCATTTGTACAGTCCAGCCACCTCGTCCTTTGGCGTGTGCGTGGTAGTTCCAAGCTCAAGACCTTGCTGAACTGACGATGCCTACCGCCAGGCATCGCGCGCTTTAATCGCCCCCTCGGCGAAATATTCATACAGAAACTCAAAGAGCTAGGTGATGTCACTTTTGGCAAGATAAAAGAAAAGAGAAAACCGAAAACCATTGCGCCAAAAAGAAAAATCGCATCTAAAATCTCCCCTGCTCAACCAGGTAGCAGATACCCATTCTGTGACTTGGAGAACCGCGCGTTTAAGCGGTAGCCTCAACAGCCTCTGGGATAGCCTTGGATTCGGTTAGACAAACACGAGTCGAGACATCATGAAGGGGAATGTACCTTGTCGGAAGTTGGCTTCTCGTCATCCTCGCCAGCCTCGGATTTTGGCTCAGAGGCCTCCTTCTTCTCTGGCTCGTCCTTCTTGGGCTCCTCGGTGTCTTCCTTGACACCATTGGCCTCGGCCTTCTTCTCCTCGGCCTTGCCATTGACACCGTTAGTGGCAGTTGGGGTCGATGCCGAGTCGCCGGCCATCAGCTTGTTCCACTTATCCAGTAGCGACTGGGAACGATCCTTGAAGTGAAGCTCGTCCTCGCGGGGGATTGACTCGAGCTTCAGGATCGCCTTGAGGACCTTGTTAATCTTGGTCGTGCGGATGATGGAGACTTCGAGGTCGTTGAAGTTCTCCAGGATCGTGATGTACTCGGACATTTGTTTCATCTCAGACTCCTGAGGTGGCAGATCCCGGGCCAGGAGCCCGCGCTGGAGCTTGTGACGGAGGTACAGAACCTCTTTCTAAGGAAATTGTCAGTATATTTCGTGTCATTAAAGCAATGATGCTTACCTCCTTGCGGTTCCGTCGCTCTTCGGGAGTCATCTTGGACTCCTTGGGTGCCTCAGCCTTCTTGTCACCGTTCTTCTTTGACTTGGTCTTGGACTTGGCAGCCGACTCGTCCTTGCCCTTAGGGGTGCCATTAGCCTTAGGCGTAGACGTGTTAAGCTTGATCTTTGGCTTCTTGACAGAATCGGGTCGCTGAGGTGTCTGGTGTCCATGTGTTAGCACTATTCCTAATGCACTCCATAGATTGGCGGTACTTACGCTGACAGCTTCCTCGGCCTTGCGCTTCTTAGACTTGGGCTTCTCCTCGATGTCGTCCACATCGGCCATATCCTCGTCCTCTTCAACTGCCTTAGCCTTGCCCTTCTTAGTCTTCTTAGGGGTAGCAGCAGCCTCCCTCTTGGCCTCCTCTTGAGCAATCATCTCGTCCTGGAACTTCTTAAGTATGTCCTTGTAGTGATCGATCGGGTTGTTCTCGGCCGCGAGGTGGAATGCCTCCTTCAGGTCCTTTCGCATCTTCTCGGTAACGGTCTCCTCGGCCTTCTCAGGGGAAAGGGCAGTGAGATCCTTGTTGGCAACCCAACCGCTGCGGGGCCTCGTTAGCAATTGTCCACGCGCCATTATATACTTAGAAAACTTACAACTCGTTGGTGTGCAAATACATGACAGGGAAGCTCCTGTCGTTGACACGTTTGCCGCCATCGGCATAAGCCTCAGCGTAGGTGCCATCGGGGCGAGCCGCAGTAACTGGGCGGCTGTTGACGAGCGCCAGAGGGAGCATGGACTCGTCGCAAATAATCGCGGGCCACGCTGGGAAGCCCTTGAGCTTCACAAGGAAATGGTCACCAGGCTTCGCATCGGCGTGAGTGAGCCGGGCCTTGGAATTCTTCCTGTTCAGGGTCTTGCCCTTAGATTCGCCGGCTGCCGACTTGCGACGGCCCTTGCCCTTACCCGCCGGGGTCTCAACAGTAGCGCTAACAGGCGCAGTCTCGCCATCAGCAGGGGGAGCAGCGCTGTCCGCCTCGGGCCCCTCGGCGACCTGCTCCTCGGTCGCGTCCTTCATCTCGATATCGCCACCATCAGCAGCGGGCTTCTCCTCAGCTTCAGTGGGCTTCTCGGTCGCGCTCTCAGTTGTCTTCTCTGAGCTCTCGGTCGCCTTGGGTTCTAGGAAGCGCAAGCAGGTCAGCGCGAATTCGAAAATCGGCAGAACGCGCCGAGGGGAAACGGCCACGTGAACAGGCAACCTGCAATCGTAACAAGCGTGTAGAAAGCGGCGCGATACGCGCGATTTGCGTGAAATGCAACTTACCATCCGCGGGCTTGGCATCCTCCTTGTTCTCGCCGTCGGTCTTTGCGGCATTCTCCTCAACCGAAGATTCGGTCGGCTTGGTTTCGGTGGCGGGAGCTTCCTGCGCGTCGGCAACAGGAGCGGCGACCTCGGTCTTCTCGTTGGGCTGATCTGCCATGGCGGACGAAAGTGACGATGCGAATCAGGTCAAGATGACAGAAGCGGAACGCAGGTTCCAGCCGGGAAAAGATAGTCGAACGCGTAACGGGTCGCGTATCGCGTGGTCAATGGGGCGCAAAACTTGAGGCGCGATGGTATGCAGGTTGTGACGATGAGTTGCGCAATTGACGATGCCAGCTCCTCCCGCGTTGTGCTGTGGGTTGGGGTGACGAAAGAAAAAACACTGGTGCGAGATGATGGGCTGGCAAGGGAAACACTTCAACGTCACCGGGAAGCTCGGTCACGTGATGCACATATAGCTCAGAGCGGGCGGCGTCATCGGCCGCCGTGAGCACACACAGCACGTAAGACCCTGCGCGGCCCAATCTGACTCGACACGGTAAATTCAAGGCATCCAGCGAGACGCGTCTGCGGCGTTTTAGATGGCCATCTTTTCGGCCTGTCCCTTGGCGATGTGGTGTTGTTGGGCAGCTTATAGGTGCTGCACTGCCTTAGCGCGTCAGCGATGTTGTCGGTCAGGCCGCTTGACCCCTCGCGCCTCACAACTGTTGTTGCACGACTCCGCGTCCGCACAACCGTAGTTGTATCCGAATAACCTTGTCCAAAGAGTAGATCTCCATCACACTGAATGCTCTGCGTTGCAGTTCCAACTGATGGCTTCGACAAATTCACTCTATTCGCGTTCGTAGTCTGTAGTAGTGTACACAGCCCTCCTTCGCAAGGAGTGGCAGCAGGAGAGCTCTTTTCGGCCCCTACTCCTCGTCCTCGTCCTCATCCTCCTCATCGTCGTCAACATCCATGCCTTCGGCTGCCGTCACTGAGAACTCCCGTTCTTGATCGACTCCCACATAACTATCACTCATTAGGAATAGCTTCAGCTTGTGCTCACCTGGCGTCGGCACAGTGTACTCGAGGCGAACGTTCAGTTCACGCCCGATCGTCACGCGCTTGATAGCCAAGAGGTTCTTCGTCTGCTCGTCGCCCACGACCAACCACCAGTTCTCCATCTTCTTCGTCGGGTAGAATGGCGCGTGCACGGTAGAATCGTGCTCCCCATCCTCGTCTTCGTCAAGGTTGCGTGCGACCTTGATGTTCAGGTATGCCGGCTCACCGGCTCTAATTTCATCCTCATCCAAAACCTCATGCTCAAGTTCCAGGTCAGGGTACTTGTCGTTTGTGAAGTTGGCTGCCTGGCCCAGCTGGCTCTGAGACAACCCGAGTCGTTTCACAAGCTCGTTGTAATCGGCGTTCTCCTCCGGGTTCATGGCTTCCATGAAGTCGAAGATGTCCTTGATTCTATACATTGGTTAGCTTCAATATCAACGTACCAACAAATGAGGATGCTTACCCAAAATCATTAGCAACCTTGACAACCTCCGGCGTGAAATGGGGAATCTGCTTGAGCGGACTATCCCGATCCCACATGGCCTGAACAATCATTTGCGACATCTCCATAGCACTCATGGCGTTGAGATGTCCGTCAGACGAGAGAATATCAACCATAGAGCTGAGGAGGCTCAGGGCTCGAGAAAGAAGGATTTCCTGATCCTTGGCAAGATCGATAGGCAGCTGCATGCGCGAAAAGTGCGCCTGCAGCAGCACAAAAGCCTTAAAGTGAGGAGAGTCATAGACGGGTTGAGACATCTTGACGGGGACACGGTCATAGATGCGCCGCAAGAGGCCGTCCTCGTGGCGCCGGATCTGGATCGTCTCGAACTCAGTCGCCGAGGTAACAATTTCCATGATACCCTTAAGCTTTGTCCGAGTACTGAGTGAAAGCAGGAAGGTTTGCATCGTGATGTACGAGATATTATAGTACGCAGCAATCATTGCAGCGTTCTGAGGCGACACGGAGCCATCTTCCTCATCGAAATCGATAATCTTGGACTCGCTCAGCTCACGGAGGGTGGTCTCCACCAGGTCAGACATGTAGTTGCTTAGGCCATCATGCGTTGTGCTTGTCAAGTTGTAGTAGCTAGGGTTTGCGAGCAGTCGTCGGTAGAAGTAGGTGAAGGTCGTCCAGTTGATAGCATCGTCACCGGACTCAATCATCTTAGTGCTAATCTCCGTAACGAAAGCATCGTGCAGATAGTTGTGCAGATGCGATTCGACCGGCAGAGCCTCGTTGAGGAACTTCTTGTAGTACTCACGCTTGACTTGAGGAAGCATGAGAACACCTCGGCCACGTCCGTCTCTCGAGGGGCGAAGGGCCTTGCCAAACATGTGCAAGACCTCGCTGAGGGGGTAGTCCACGTATCGATGCTCGCGACCCTCAAAGTATTGCGTGCCCATGACAATGACAAGGTGGGCGGTGCTGTTAAGCTCCCAGCAAACATCTCGGGAAGCCACGAGCACTTGGATAGCGCCGTTATCGTAGAGATGCTTGACGATTCGCCTGTCGCTCTGGCTGAGGGCTTCATGGTAGTAACCAATGCCGTGGGAGAGGGCCTCGGCAAGGGCCTCCTCGTGAATGCGATCAAGCAGCGGCTTCATTTGTTCCACATCGGCGTGAAGGAAGCGATCCTCGTCATCGTCCGTAACACATGCTGCCAGTAGATCCCGTGCAGTTCCTCGAGTTTGCTTGCGGGTGGGCACGAAGATCATGGCAGGCTTGTCAGGGGACATCTGGGTAATAGCTAAGTAGGTCGGCTTAGCCATTGCCAGCATCAAGGATGGGAAGTGAGGGTTAGAGAATGACTGGACGTGAAGCTCGAGTGGCACTGGTCGAACATGAGGACTGAAGTTGTAGATATCGTGCTTCTTTGCGTCAATCCACTCGCCGATATCACGAGCATTTGCCAGCGACACACTGAGGGCCACAATACGCATGGGCAACTCGGTCTGGGATCGGATGTAGTGCATACGAGATACAATAGTCTCATACACGTAACCCTGGGAGCCTCCGAGCAAATGAATCTCGTCAGCAATGAAGAGCTCCACCGACTGAACATTTTTGCGGCGCTTCCACTGTCGAGACAGAACATCCCACTGGGTGGGAGTTGCCAGGATAAGATCACCCTTCTCCAAGAGTTTCAGATCGGTAGCGGTCTCGCCAGTCAACTTCACAATCTCTTTGCCGCCACCCAGATGGCTCAGTCGCTTCTGCCAATCTTGAAGACGGGAGTCAACAAGCTCCTGGAAGGGCGCGATATAGACTGCTCGGCCAGAATCACCTTGCGTCCAGTGGCGGAGAAGGGCAAATTCGGCGCAGACAGTCTTTCCGCTACCTGTAGGAGCTCCGACAAAGACGTTTTGGTCGGTCTTGTAGAGAGAGTTGAAGGTCTGGGTCTGGATCCTGTTGAACTGCTTCCAGTCGGGATACAGGTCAACATAGCTGGAGGCCTTGAGAGCAGAAATTGGCAGAGGCTGGAGTTCGAGGAGCTCGGTGTGAGGAGGGAACTTCTCGGGGAGAATAAGTTTATGGAACGCAACAGCCAGTCTTGTCTCGGAATGCATCCACCGGTCCGAAATGACAGAAACGAAGTAGTTTGGTGGCATTGGGTCGGTGATGGGGACTGTGAAATCAACAATATGCTCGTTCGACTCAGATTCAGCATAGTCCTTGCGCAACAGGAATGTGTCGTGGTAGAGGATATCTTCGCCGTCACAATCCTCGACCAAGATCCAGAAATTCTCGGCAGCACCGTGGATGGCATCGTCCCACTCAAAGTTAGGGGTGATGCTTAGTTCGACACGAAGCATCGATCGAGTCATAGGTTGTACCTGAGTCTGCACATCTACTCGGGGGAACTTGGAAACCAGTCCACAGACAGTTCGGCCTGCTTTCGGCATTCCGAGCAATTCGCCCATGCGGGGAGGGTCAAGGTCGAAGTAGCTGCTCCATGCCACCTCGACTCTCTCAGCCTTCTGCACGATCTCTCTCGGGCACGTAGGGAACTGACGCAGCGGAGACATGGTCGGCCACATGCGCTTCTCGGCCATTTTGCAAAGATCCAGAGCCGTCTTTGCGACAGAGGCCCAGCCCTTCTTTAAAGCAATCTCGAAGATGGCTCGCAAGATTCGACCAGCAGATTGTGTTACATACACCATATCTGCCATCAGGGCGAGACCGTCAAGCTTGAGACGTGAGATGTATGCCTGAAGGAGGACATTAATCTTGGCATGAGACTCCTCGATACTCTCTTTAACCGGGATAGGGACTCGTCCCAGGAGTTTGGCAAGTTCTAGCTTCTCGTCTTGTCGAACAGGGATGTACTTGAACTCGGCGCTGAGGGAGAAGACTCTAAAAAGCTCAATGGTCGTGATGCTGGGCTGGATCAAGTTGTTATACGTGTCCATAGAACCATGAGTGATGTAGTAATGGGAGGCGATGCGGCCCAACTCCGTTGATTGTAGCTTGCCGGTCTTCTCGTCGTACTTGACGAGGTTGGACTTCCTCAAGGACATTGCAGCAGAATGAATCAAGTCAACTCGCTTTTGCTCCAAGGCTTCATCCTCTTCATACTCCGCGCCAACTTGATACAAGCCAGGCGAGCGAAGCATTCGAACGAAAAGGTAAGTGTATCCCAGCCACTCGACACCCTCGTCGCGCGTTCTGACATTGCCAAGGACAATCTCAGCATTGAGATTGTCAACCAGTTTGCTAACAAACTGACTTTCGATAGGCAGCTGCTGGTTCAGAAGCGACAGATAGTATTGCATCTCGCTCTGCGTCGTAATGATAATACCCTCACCGTACGTATCGTACTGAGGTCTACCTGCACGACCAAGCATCTGCAATACGTCCTGAGGGCTGAGCTCAACCCAGCTACCCTTCTCAGGAGAGTACACCTGTGTTCCCTTGATAATGACCGTGTGCGCAGGCAAGTTAACACCCCAAGCCAGCGTCGCAGTACAGACCAAAACCTGAATAGCTCCGCGAGCAAAGAGATCCTCGACGTCGGTCCTGTCGATTCTGCTCATACCGGCGTGATGGATACCAAATCCGTAAGGCAGGATGTCCTTGAGGTCGGCGTCTGTAGCCTGTTCTCCGGCTTCTTTGAGGACTTCGCGACTACCGGCATCGTGTCGAAGGATCTGGTTGATTGTGTCCATCTCGAGGGCCTTGTCTCGAATGTACCGGGCAGTCTTGGCAGTTTCCTTTCGGGAGTGGACAAAAATGAGCATCTGGTTTCGGTTGGTGCCGACGTGCTCAATAACCTTGTTGTAGGTCACATCGTTCATTGTCTTGAGTTGCTTGATTGCCTTGCGATCGGTGACTCCGACAAACTCCTGTCGCAAGGGGCAGGGTCGATATGAGCCATCGAAATGGAAGAGTCCCTTCTTCATGTCCACTCGAAGGAAGCTGGCAACATCTCGGTAGTTTGGCAGAGTTGCAGACAGACCAAGGATACGTACTGGTTCACCGGTCTGCTCAGTCTTGCGAATGGTTCTGCTTACAATGCTTTCCAGGACAGGGCCACGATCATCGTGAAGCAAGTGGATTTCGTCAATGATGATCAGACGCACCAAATTGGTGTAAGTCAGATCATTTGACTTTCTGGTGATGACATCCCATTTCTCAGGAGTGGTCACAATGATCTGCGTCTCGGCGATTTGCTGCTTCGTGAGCTGGCGATCACCAGTCAATTCAGAAACCCGAATTCCGAAGGATTCAAGTCTCTTTCCCAAGTTTCCAACCTGTTCCTGGACAAGCGCCTTGAGAGGGGCAATACAGACGATCTTGAACGCATCAAGGTCAATATCACCGGTCTCAGGGTTGCGGTGCTTTCCAATCTCTCGGAGAATGGTAAGCATACCAACGTTTGTCTTTCCACTACCAGTGGGGGCACAGACAAGCAAGTTGCCGTCGTCTTCAAAGGCCGATGGGTAGCACTTAGATTGGATCTTGTTGAGGGACTGGTTAGAGCTGAAAGGGCCTCGCGCCCATTCGGGTAGGTCGGTAATGGGCATGAGGACATCGCCAGGCTCGTTTCGCTTTTTGGGTGTGGGGATATGAATCTCCTCGTATCCCTTGAAGGTCCTCTTTGTCGACCCCTCAGGTAATCGGACCTTGGGGTTGGTCATGAGATGGTTTCCTTGGTCGAAGACAAGGTTTTCGAGGTTGATGAGTTTCTTAGGTTGAAGTCCTCCAATAAGCTGACCGTCGGCTCGGTCAGCCTTGGGGGCATCTGTAAATGAGGCGGGGACATCAATGTCCATCTTGATATCCGCCTTTCCCTTCTTGTCCTCGCCTGCAGTCTTGCCCTGCAACTCGTTAAGAATTCGTTGTAGGCCTTCCGAAGCCATCTCTCTCTCAACTTCGGTGCGTTGCTCTGGTGTCTCGGTCCGTGCCAACTTAGTGAGCCAGAAGACCTTTTCTCTGTTCTCGACGAGCTTTTGGACGAGCTCGTGGTGCTCGAAATCGAACAGTTCCATGAGATCGTTCTCGATTTCTCGCAGGGACTTCTCCTCACCACCGGCTTCGTCAGGCTCTCCTGAGAGGATTCGAAGAGCCTCTTTTGTCTTATCCGTTTGCTCGTGGGCATCGGGATAAAATGAACCAATCTGACGCTGGAGCCAGAAAGCATCAATATCTCGGGCCGGCACGGCGTTTTGATCTTTGTCTTTTTGCTTCCCTCCTGCTGGTGCAGAGTCCAAGACCATTTCGTCGTCTTCGTCCGCAGCGTCGTCTTCTTTAGGCTCTCCGTCCTCGATTTCGTCCTCGTCCGCCTCGTCTTCAGATGACTCGTCACGGACTTCATTGACAATGTTGTCGCCCTCATCTTCGTCTTCGTCGTCAAAGGCAACGGCGACACCCTGTCGTTCATCGATTTCGGCATCCTCGCCGTCGCCGCCGCCCATGGCAACATCCTCGTCGTCTTCCTGAGCATCGTAGTCTGTGATCTTCTTTCCCAAGTTTACCAATTCATTGAATTGCTTGGGGTTCATAGTCACGCCCAGGATATCGTCGATTTCTTTCTTCTTGTCCAGGTCCTTCAGGTCGTCGTCCTTTAGGTACTCCAACACGGCATCCGCAGCACTGCGCACAACCTCGTGGGGCACATCACCCAGGTTATTTGCGACGATTGTGATGATAAGGTCGAAGGTCGATCGCGTGGCGGCGGTTCGGGGTCGATAGGTGATACCTTCCACCAGGAGGTCGTTCGCGCCGAGCACGCCAGTCCCCCTCATCTGAGACTCGGCCTTTCGTCTCCGTTGCTCTCGCGCCAGAATATCTTCTCCTTCCCTCAGACTTCCTCGTTGGATATCTGGAAGGCCAGGTTGTTTCTTCTGCTTAGGCGCGTCCTCTCGACCAACTCTGGCGCCCATGTCCTTGATACTCAAACGCCCGGCCAGCGACTCTGGGTCTCCAGTGGACTCATCGGTTCGTCGTGTGACAAACCGACGGTCCGCCTGGAGGACCAGGTTCGACATGGCCGAGTACTTGTATTGCGACACATCTCGATTCGCGTCCGTCATCTTGGCTGGTGTGATGAAGCTCTGTTTTGATGGGGAATGTCGATGTTCTCGACAACCAAAGCTCGCGGAGCTCGACCGTTAAATAACCATGAGTTTTCCTCTGACGCGACTTTGTTCGATGCAGAGTCGCTGCCTAGGTGACTCAGGCTTCTGCGATTGATGCGCAGTCGTTGAATAGCTTTCGTTGGTCGTCGCTAGGATTTGGATGTGATCGCAATCGCAAATTTCAGATCTCAGCCTGGAAGGCTACGAAGACTAGCGTGCTATTGGCTTAGCCGCCTTGCCGCCTCAGGGGCTGAGATGTGGCTGGACCAGATGTGGCTGACAGGAACACCAACCCAGCAGAAGGTCTCAGCGGCGATAGCACTCAATGCTATGGAGGCCTGGGTGAAATTGAAATCGTTGGGCTGGGAAATCTCGTGATCACATATACCAACTTGGTCTCCAACCTTCTATCAATCGTGTATTTCAGCACCCTGACAAGGACCAAAGCCCGGAACAATAGGTTCACCGCATTTAAGCATACATAGCACCAGCCACACTGCCAGCTGGTGTGGGGACTGTTTACAATCGCCCACCGACACCACACCGAGAACTGATGAGCGTGTTCATCAGGGAATATCTCGGGGATTTTGCACTTCCTGAATGAAAAGCGACCATGCCTAACCAGCCCGATGTATTTGACAAGTTCCAGAGCACACTTGAACCGTTCATAAAGCCGCGGGAACAGGTGAACTACATCAGGCGCGTCCTAGCGCTCCACCTTGGGTCGTCTTGCTCACAAAATGGCCCGATCAAACAACCCGTGTCTCTCGTGGACAGCTCGCACGATGTCACGGTGGGCCCCGAGCTGAAAGGGATTCAAAGAGAGTACATTGAAGCTCTGAAAGCTAACATTGCTGCACGACGAAAGTACGCCGATATTGTGCAAGCCAATCCTTCACGGCCAGACTCACCTAAAGAATCACCTCCAAACAATCTCGACATTGTGGAGGAGCGGATCGGCCTCCTCAAACTCCAGAGCAAACTAGAGAGATTGTATGCTGTCCAGAAATACCTCGACCTCCTTATCCAAAAACCAGCGGGCTCGGTGGAGTTCCTCGACCCCGAGGACATGTTCTACAGCGCCGGAGAGCTTCCCAGCGTTCCCAAGGAGGTAGTCAACAGCCTCGTTGCCCAACAAAGTGCGGCAAAACCAGATCTCAAGGGACAGGTGGCCCAGTTAGAGAAGACGGTGCTGCGGGCGAAGCTACTCATGCGCCGCGAAGAACAGCTGCTTCGGGATGCGAGGAGCAACGCTCAGGGCATACCTGATGTCATCAGCAACGGGGCGAGGCTAGATGCACTCAACGCGACCCGCAACGAACTCATCACCTGGATTGAGACGGAGCTTGGGAAGGCCTCGGGAGAAGACTTTGAGGGGGGTCTTGATGGCATCTCGAAAAGTCAAGACAGAATGGCGGCAGATAGCGCAGCCATCAGCAGTCAGCTCGAAGTCATCAAGGAAAAATATTCCCGGTACCTTGATGCTAGACGATCTCTTCTATCGACAATTGCCGAACGGCCTGGCGCATCTCAGCCGCCTGTACTGAAAGCCCACGACCCTGCAAAACAACGAACTCTCGAAGCAGACCCAACTCCGAGCAACTACCTTCTCACGCCATACATCGAAACTCTTCTTTCTCTATCGAGAAACCAAAGAGCCACGATCACACAGAAGTCACACATGAACTCGACACTCAGCAATGAGACTAAGGAGGCTTGTCAGGTGCTCGATCATCTCGCTGAGGAAAGTCAACTCCTTCCGCAGCATTCCGCATCAGGGTCATCTCGACGAAGGTCTGGCCTCGGAGAAATCCTGGCTTCGACCTCGGATCGTGCTGGATTCACTGGCCGTATTCAACCATGGGTTTTTGCGGCGGACGCGGCCAAGATTGCCACCCTCGAAACAGTGGCGGAGAAGGTTGAGGGTGGACAGGTAGCCCTGGAGAACTCTATGAAGGCACTTCGGGAAATCGATCACCTGTTGGGACAGAATCAAGTGGATGAGTCGGAGCAAACCAAGGAAGAACCGGCGGAAGACGATTTCTGGCTAGCCACGGGGACCAAAAACGCCACTGGCACGAGAAAGCATACAAAAAAGGAGAAAGAGGCGAAAAAGGTGCCCAAGGATGCTTGGTCTGGTCTACATGGAAATCTGGGCCTAATCGGCCATGGAGACGGAGCTTGAGATGTTAAGACGGTGTATTTTTAAACGCAGATTGAAGAATTGATCGATCTGGTATTGCATGACCAGTTCTAACGCCGTGCCAAAATCTACCCCCAACTCCGTTCTCTGATTGAGAGAGCATCAGTGACCATTTTGAATTGTGCTTCACTTTTCCGACATGATGGCCGATATCCTCATGGCCAGATCCAGAATCGAGAGGTGCTCATCTGCACCATCGACTAGCCGCTTGTCGACTTCGGAGAAGACGAGGACAATTTTGTTCTTTTGGGAATCCGGAATCGTCTCGTCATATGTGATGGCTTGGTAAAGCTGTGGCATTTGTTAGGGCCGATCATCAATCATAGGGGTAAATATTCTCACCTGGCCGACAACTTGGCCTGCGCTCCACCCATCTGCCACCATATCCTCAACCACCTTGGAGACGGACTGGTAAGATCCAGTCGAGCCCCGTGGACGTATCGCCTGTACGAGATCCTCAATTGTGTTGTCCGGGATGACACCAGCGATATCCTCGATAATCTTGACCGTGACAGGCTTCTTGTCCACATCCATTTTCTCGTCGCCTTCGGCATTCTTGTCCAGAGACTGTGCTCCGACTAGGCGCGCAGCACTCTGCAAGTAAGTGATGGCCTTTCGCAGATCACCCTCACTGCACTTAATAAGCGTGTCGATTGCACCATCTTCAAGCGGCACACCTTCCTTCTCTGCAATTTCCTCCAGCCTCTTCTTGGCATTGCCTTGGTCCAGGCTCTTGAATCGAAACTTGCTGCATCGACTAGCGAGCGGGTCGATGATACGGGTCACGTAGTTGCAAATCAAGCAGAACCGAGTGATCTTGCTGTACGTCTCCATTGTTCTTCGCAGGGCACTCTGCGCATCTTGCGTCATGGAATCGGCCTCGTCGAGGATGATGATTTTAAATGGCGGGCAGGGGTATTTGTCTTTGTAGCCGGCGGTCGGATTGGTCAATTGCATGCGGGCGAAGTTCTTGACCTTGTCTCGGACGATGGAGATGCCACGCTCGTCGGAAGCGTTGAGCTCGAGCACTCGTGTTTTAATCAACTCCGGTCCGTAGAGCTCTTTTGCCAACGCGAGGACTGTAGAGGTCTTTCCTGTACCGGGGGGTCCGTAGAAGAGCATGTGCGGAAGCTGGGGATCGTCAGTGATGGCTAGAGTTGCAATCGGGGTCAACCACACGCACGTTAGAGGCCTGCATCGTTCTTTGCAGGACGGTGACGGTGTGATCTTGGGCGGTAACATCGCTAAGTGACTTTGGTCGACTGCAAAGCGTCAGTCGGGATCTCGTGGTGGACAAAGACGGTCTCGTCTCGGGGGTACAGACTATTTCTCGACCCAGGGCTGGGCCTTGCTGGGGGCCTTTTCTTGTTTTTGTTCGGAGTTGCCATTGGCGGCGGCGGCGGCCTTTCTGGCTTTGAGGTCGAAGAAGCTCGCCATGATAACTTAATGGACGGGCGGCGAGGGGAATGGCAAGGTGAAGGCGGAATGTTGCGTCGTCGAGCAAGCTTGGTGATATTGGCTGTGTGCACGTCGCTGAATGCGCAGCTGGTACTCCGTAGTAGAAAACCCATTAACGCGTCGGCTGCACGCACACGCGAGGCGCGTCACCTCGCTAGCCACTTGACTCCGTTAGCACAGCTGCAGGACCCCGCGATAGTTGCTGTTAGGCCACCTTAGGTACTTATCTGCCCTGTAGCCCCACCCCGCCCTCAAATTCACGAGCCGCCTCCGCTGGGGAAAGGTACATACATGCAAGCAATAATCAGGGTATGACAATGAGCAAACTTGTGAATTCTCGTGCAGCCAATATACGGGTGCTACAATACTTTCCAGGTGCTGTTTGATTTTTTCCCGTACCGGTCATTCTGTGGTTCACGGCTCTTTCTCTCGTTTGCGAGTTCGGAATCACCATCCGCCAAGTCCCCTTCCCCACTAAAATACAGATAGCTTCTGAAATTCGCCCACGTTACACAGGACTCTCTCACCTGCACCGCACGGGACGGAGATATACCTCATGCACGAAACCTCGGCGTACATAAGCTACAAACAAGGCTGAGCCCTTGTCTGGCGCTTTCCTCTCTAGCCTGGGCGAGCATCATGGCTGCACCACGCAACCCACCCCGCCAGCACATCAGTCGACCTACCCTAGATGCCCCAATGACATAGCCGCCAACACTGTGCAGTGCCCGTGCTAGCAACCTCAACGGTTTCCACGTGCTTCGTCCGAATCCTATCACGGTAGTGGGCACCTAAGGTAGCCAGCCTATTGTGTGCAGACATCGACAGGCGGAGCGGACTGTTTGCCCAACTGCGAGTGATTGCGAGTCACCGCGAGTCACCGCGAGCCACAAAGACGGCAAAGAACCCGTCACCCGTTGCCGACTGCCCGCCAACTGGCCACCGCAATCACGGGCACAGGCTTTATATCTTGCCGTTTGCTGCTGGACCCGTCGATTCTGCCTGCCAAACAACCCGCAGCAGGGGCCAGACCCAGATTATCCACTCCACGCCCGCCGGCTCAGCAGCTTAAACGAGACACCTTCCACCCACCCTGCCTGCCGCCTGCTCTGCCGCCAGCTTCACTCTCACCCACAGTCACCCTATATCATTCGCGCCTCGTCCTTGTGCCTCGCCTCTCCCACACTGCATCAACAGTAGTCTCTCTCTCTCGACTCGCATCACCCGCGGCGCCATGGACCAGTCCATCATCCGCATCTCCAAGGTTTCTTGCCCCGCTTCCACTTCCGTTGGCACCCGCGGGGTCATGAGACTAATGCCTGGCTCTAGGAACTCAGTGACATTCAGAAGAGCTCGGATTTGTGTATGTTTCCCCTCTCTCTCGCCGGTATTCCCGCCGCCTCTTGTGGTCTTTGGGGCTTTGTTGCCTCTCTAACATTCGCCTGCCCGTCTCCAGCACTTGCGGTTGCCTGTCGCGATGTCGACGTACGCAATGTCAAGGCCTTAATCATGGGTCCTCACGAGACTCCATACGAGTTCGGCTTCTTCGAGGTATGGCTCCCGTACGGCCCGTCCGCCATCATTTATTGGGCTAACAGAGAGGTGCAGTTTGCGATCCGATTCCACAAAGGCTAGTCTTCCATCCTTGCTCTCAACGCTAGCACCGTCTCAGGGACTGACTGATGCCGCGTAGAATACCCGTCCAAGTCGCCCAATGTCCAGTGCGCGACAACAAATGGCGGGCGTTGCCGATTCAACCCCAACATTTATGCGAATGGCAAAGTTTGTCTGTGAGTGCATGGAGTTGATCACCTCGGTAGTAGTGGGCTAACATTCGCAGGTCAATTTTGGGGTAGGGTGAGCTGTGGTCTCTAATGTTAGCACTGGTCTGACATCCCCATAGGACTTGGAGAGGAGAACGAGGAGAAGAGTGGTCATCTGCTCAAGGCTTGGAGTCTATCCTGCTTTCAATACAGAGTCTGTTGTCGACGAACCCCTACGAAAACGAGCCAGGCTTTGAGGATGCCAACGAGGACTCCGACAAAAAGGCACAGAAGGACTACGTTCAGAAGGTACCTCTCGACGACCCCATGCGGCTTGATGTGATTTCTAACCCCCCCAGATTCGCCACGAGACCCTGAGAATCTCCGTTATTCAGCGCCTTGAAGCGTACCTGGGACTTTCGCCTGACGGCTACCAGCACGGAGTAGAGGCTCGCGACCCCGATGAAATCGATGATGACGACATTGACGAATCCAGCGTTCCATTCGAGCCATTCAAGGATCTCTGCAAACGCCGATTTCTATGGTACTACGAATCCTATCTCGCCACCATTAAACTGGGAAAATCAGAAGTAAAGGACGGCCAGCACTTTGTGAGGATGCCCTTTGAGTCACCCAACAGCAACTCGATGGACGGGCGATTCAACTACGCTGAGCTAGAACGCCGCCTCCGCACTATCAAAGCAGCCATCGATGCCGAGCCCCTCGTCTGGGCCGAGGAAGGTCTTGCTTCAAAGGCCCGAGAGTCGACAGTTGCTGTGAACCTGCAGCATCAATTTGAGCAAGTTGTTGAGTCCTTCAAGCGGAGCGACATGCCGCATGACGTTTTCCTTGAGAATGGCAACCCCTTCATTTGGATGATCACGTACTTCGGACGGCCAATGACGAATCTTGATGGTGGCCTGTTCCGAGTCAAGATGAACTTCAGTCCTCGATTCCCTGACGAACAACCTCGTGTCAAGTTTGAGAGCAAGATCTTTCATCACTACATTGCGGCCGATGGCACGGCCTGCTACTCGCCCAACCCCATGAGGCGGGAAGACGTCAAATCTCACATCGAAGCCATCTTTGCCTTTCTCGAAGAAGACGAACCGGCTTACGATCCGCGCAAAATTGTGAACCCAGAGGCTAGTAAGATGTACTGGGGTGGTGCCGCGGACGACAGGAAGAAGTACAATCGGCGTCTGCGCCGCTCCGTACAGCAAAGCATGGAGTAAGAACCCCCAGATGACCCCGATGTCAGAATACGACTGACATTTTTCATAGGGACTTTCCCGAGTAGCCGGGGAATTTCGTTTGTCTCTACCATGGAACTTGTTGAGCATTTCTGGTGGCGTATTGCGGTGAACGCGGAGGGGCCAAAGGCACCACCTGCCGGTTTTAAGACGGCGTTGGGCGCTGTGATCAATACAAGGGAAAGGGAAACAAGCTTGGTCCGATCTTGGACGGGTTGGAATGCATGTGTTTGACTCTACACGAGGGATCTCGGGGGCTTGCAAGGGTACATAGACACGTGGGCCGCAACTTGGTACCATCGGTTCTTGATCTTGCGATAAGTAATTCAAGAGGTCTTATTGCTAGTATCCTCTGGAGATGTCATTTCCCCGTCTAAACCCTGAACGCCAGCGATGCGAAAAAAAAAAAAAAACCTATACGGCCGCGAGGCTAATAAAACACGACAGTCGTAACGCTCACTCACGCATCTCATCGTATTCGTCATTATCATCATGTCTTCTTGCCCTTGGGTTTCTTGCCCAGGCGGTCCTGGAGCGGCGCATAAGGGGCTGCGACACCCATGTACTTCTCCTGCTTGCCCTCACCCTTGAACTCGTACGTGCCGTTGGCACCGAAGGCAGCCGGGGTGCCTTGACTGGGACGGGAGACCTGCTCGCTGTGCAGCTTGTCAAGGGACTCACCGACGACAGCATACTGGGACCAGTTGATTGGGGGACAGCGGACAACGTTCTGGGGTTGAGGGATGTTAGTCCATTCCCTTGGCCGGGCGGCAGGAGGCTGCTTCGACGAGCCCTCTCCAGCGTCGTCTAGTTTCATTTCGTCATCATCATCATCATCGTCGTCGTCAGCAGTCGTACCGCCCGGGGCATTGATCTTGCCGTTGACGAGGTCCTTCACGAAGGCTTCTGGGTCGAGGACAGCGTCATCCTTTGTGCGACTCAGCGATTGTAGATCTGCGATGGCCTTCTGGCGCTGGATCTGCAGGATAGAGATGGCAGACTTGAGAGCGATGACGTCTGGGTTCCCATCGAACGCGATGGGTTGCGGAGGGGGCGGGGCAATGCCGGTCTGGTCGGGCTGGGAGTGCGCCAGGGCGGCCGGACGGCGGGAGTCACTGGCAGCGGGTAGCTGCGCGGCGGGCAGGGTCGGGGTGATGGGGGAGATAGGCGGGCGGTTGGGGGACGGCGTGCGGGAGCGAGAGCGGATGGGATTGTCGGTAGAGATGGTGAGGGCGGGCATGATGGGCCGTGGGACCATAGAACCGTAGGTGGCGAGGAGTCGTGGAGGGCGAGCGACTCGGTGCCGGAGGTTGCGATGCGGTGCGCGGGATGCGCGTCAAGGTTCGGGTCACGAGAGAGTCCGATTGCGGGAGGGGCTTCCGGCAGGTGACGGGAGGCGATGAGGCCGGCGGTGGCTGGCACGCAACGGCGTTGGAGCTGGACTTTGAGTCGGATCAATAGCGGGCCGGCGGCGAAGGGGGATTGACGACTGACGACTGTGACAAGATGTTTTGTGACACGGGGTCTGAGCTGTGGCGGCGTAGTGTTTGTGTCCCAACGCTGGGATGACACTAGAGGGAGGATATGCCCCCTCGCAGTGGGACGCACTGAGGCAGCGGGGTCTGACCTTTCTATGGACGAGGGCTGATTTCAGGGCTGGTGGGTCATGGGTCTCGAAAAGCAACTATTTGTAGAGGGGGAGTGTCTGACAATCAAAGTAGAAGAAGGGAAGCCAAGGAGGCGCAGTGAAGGCGAAACGCGTTGCATCAGGCAGCCAGAGGCATCATGAGGTTTGGATGGGGCCTCGGAGGCAGATGCCAGTGCACTCAGGCGGAGTCGGCGGGTAGGCGGGGTTTCTACGGAGCACCCTCTCTACCTACAAGTCGTTGGGAGCCGGATGGGAGAGCAGGAACGCAACAGCGCAGCAGTGCAGCAGCGTAGCATTGGAGGGATGCAGAGTGGAAAGTGGACCAGGCCAGGCCACTCTCCCCTTCTTCAATGGAAAAAAGGCTCGCTCCAGCCCCACTTGTACGATCGGGGAGATCTTGCGCCAGGCCCAGCGCCGATGTGAAGCACAGACCATCCATGCATTGACACTTACAAGTGACAGTTCGCGTAGGCCAAAAACCCCAACCTCGTAACTAACAAATACTAGAGGCCGTGGGCAGAGACAGGCGGGATTTGCCGTTATTTGTCTCTGCTCGAATCTAGACTCGCATCGGCTAACAGAAGAGGCCATGTGATGGACGAGAGGGCAATTGTTTCATCCCTTTGCCAGCCGCGCAATGTTTGGGACCCTCGCACACATGCCGTGTCTTGCGTCACCGAACCCTGCGAGCATGGATGTGGACACGCTCTAAGACAACAGGCAGCAGACCATGTTGGTAACCCAGGACTGCGGAACAATGGCTGGGATCTGCGGTTTTCTATGCCGATCCAACGTGAGGCCGTTGAACAAACGAACATGTCGCCACCTCGTCCCACGATTTGTCGTAGAACGAGCCATTTGCTTTGCTTCACTCTCATGTTGCACCAGAGCTTGTCTAACTCGGCACGTTACCTTTGGTATGCCACTGCATGAGCGGTCAAAGCACTGGCCTGAGACTATTCTCCCCGTGCCCTCCGCGTGGTGACTTGTTGGTCAAACCGTGGGACACATTGCCTCATGCAAACACGCGGGTCGCGGGCGTGTTTGCCCTTCCGTGGCGTTACCCTCAGCCTAGAGTTAGCCGATGGAGCGAGCGTGAGGGAAGGGAGGCTGAGGCGGCATGGCCTTTGTTCCCGACCCTGTTCCTGTGCCGAGTGGTCACACAGATAGGATAAAGCTGCGGGAAGCCCAATTCGTAGACTGCCCCATGACATAGTGCTTTTTCGGAGAAAGATGTGCCGGGAATGGCTGCTGTGACCGATTGTGATGCCGGCAATCTGTTGCTTTGACGCTCTCGGCCTGCAGCAAACACAATTTGCAAAGCTGGGCGCCATCGCCGATATGGGCGGTTCCGTGTGGGTTGCAGATTTGCTTTTCCTCAGCTCTTTCTCTTTTTTTATGCTAAGCGTCTCCGGCACTGTACGACGGACCGGGAGCAAAATTGCTTATTTCGTGTTCCCGCAGCATGCAGCTGATTCAATTCCTCGGGTCTCATCTAATGCAGGCCTTGGCCTTTTCCTACGGTGCTACCACACCGGACCCTTTGTTTGTTATAGTGCGTACTCGAGCTAGAGGACAATGTCCTAGGGTCGCGCGCCCCATCGTGACAGGGCGAGAAAGGTCTGGACGACGGGATTTACGCAGGGTCCAGGTGATGAGTGGGATGGCCCGGCCTGGACTCTCTGGATGCCTCCGCGAGATATTATTACAGGCCCCATTTGCAAGATTCGGCCCCCCACAGATGGACGCTTGGTTGGCACGGCCCACTAGAATACCCCGAGGTCTTGGGCATGTGGCATCAAGCAGTTTTGCTTGCCAACGTGCGGCGGGAGCGAGTCCCTGGGACGGTCTTGGCGGAGTAGTAGCACCAGGTGAAACCAGGCTGGTAGCAGAACCGGAATTTACCAAAGGTTCTTGCCATGTGGCTGTTAAAGGCCGTTGGTGAAGTTTGCCCTGAACGATGGGATCGCCTCTCGCGTCCCATAGGCCCGGGGAAATAGATCTGCTCGGGAAGGCGCTTGGCGTTGGGGACATGGGGACATGGGGACATGGGCAAACAGCGAAGAAGCAGCGAGGTGGCCGATGCGCATTACTCAATCTCGCTCCGCTCATCATGGGCATCGTCAGACAAAGCTAGATGCCAGTAGTTGGGCAGTTGGCGCAGCCGGAGACGATGTGGCTCACCTGCACTAGCGGCAGCTCCGGCAAATGATGGGCGAGGGACGAATTGTCGTCTGTGATGTGGTTGCTTTTTCTCTCTTTGTGTTGCTGGCCCTCCCGAGTCCCAAGCACCGTCTAATTTGCACTTACGACACGCCCGATGCCCTACTTTGGGACCTGGGCCCGAGCCTTGTTGGGACTTGTGAAGGGTTGCGCCCATCCGCCATGGCGTCGTCGGCGTCGACGCCACTTCTCGAGCGTTCAGCTGAGACGACGCCCACGCTTGTGCAAGTTTGTGCCCCAGATAGCACATTCATCCGTCACCCACTCAGAGTCATACTCCCGCTATCACACTACCTCCTGGGTCGACCATTCCTTAAACGGCGGAAATCGAGAGATATCGGGCTTGGTGGCCCTGGTCATGGGTGTCCACTCACAGCGTCGAGGCCCCAGTAGGCGAAAAGCCAAGACGGTTGACGCTTGGTTGACGCCGATTGACGTGGGCGATGTGGGCGATGTGGGCGGCTGAGCGAGTTTAATCCTTCACGGGCCTCGGGATGTTGGGCCTCGTCCCAGTCATGTAAATGCCCCTGTAGCCCGGCTACGTTCCTCTGCATGTCCTGCCCTCCTTCTGCTCTCGGACTCCTTCCCTCAAGCCATCACTTCCCACAAGCCTTTCCTTTCATACCAGTTACCACCCTTTACGTCACTCTCAGCAAATAGCATAACTTAACATCTTGTTACCTTCCCCCACACGGGCTTTCCTTCCCTCAAACCCATTCTTTCGCGGCCCTTCCTTCTTGAACCACCTCGCTTACAGCTGATGCATCGTCTTGCCACGGATCTTTTCCATCCACTTACATCCCCCGATCCTCACTCTCACACTTGTCTTCTCTCAATAGAACACATAAATCCATCACCTGCCCAGTCACCTTCAACGACAACCCAGCCGACTACCTTTTCTCCTTCTTCTCAGACCAGACGCCTGTCACCGGGAGGAGAAATCGCAACACTCTTGAGAATCACGAAGGAGATTCCATGAGTCTTGTTCTAATAGATTATGCTTGTGTCTGATCTATCTGGAAAATTCGAATCACCATTACTCCAGACCCTAGATCCCCTCGTCTCCCCATCTCCGGCGACTTCGAAGCACATCACCGTCCCCAACTTCTCGTACCCAACATCTCTTAGCCAACCTCGAGCCCTGTCCACTTCGTCGACCCTGCTCTCGGGGGATCTCCCAACTCCTCGCAGATCGCCCCATAACCATCTAACGCCAGGCATCCACGATAACGAGCCTACTACCCCAGGCGCCAAGGTCTTCACTGTTCCATACGTCGGCTAGAACCCAGCGCAGAAGAGACACAGAAGCGTTTTATCTCGGCGCCTCACATTCCTCGACTTTTCTAAGACATTGCCACATGCTCAGCAGGAAACATTTGTTGGCACCGGCACCCAAGCTTCAGGCCGAGATCACTCGCATCTGAAACATTGCCATCCCGACGACATTCCCCCCGGACCATCACCATCCAAGCGTATTTCTCTCGCTCGACACCACCTGGGCCATTCCCTCGACTCCAGATCACTGATTTCCCAACGTCTTTCCGGATTACGGGAACCATTGGCTTTAGGATCCCACAAAGCCAATATTCACCAAATGCAACCATCCGGTGCCTACTTCTCAAACACGTCCAAAATGCTTTCTGCAAACGGGACCCCGTCCGACACCTTCGCCCGCTCTGGCTCATCGATGATGACGTCGGATCCATCCCATTCTGATTACGACGTATCCACGAACGACGACGAGAAGTCCCGAGATTCCATGTCCGGCTCAAGAACACTCAAGAAGCCCCGATGGTTTTCTCAGGTCAAAGATTGGTTGTCCGTGAGCGAACCTTCGGCTGTGGCGATGAAGGAACAGAAAAGGATGACATTCAAGAAACATGGCATCGACCCCAAGGATCCTAGAGCTGCAGCCAAGCTGCATCTACCCATTGGGAAGCTTCCCGAGGGAGCTATCACCTCCACTCGGGGACCAAGTCCCGAAAAGGCACTGAAGCTAGCCCAACAAAAACGGGAATCCTTTTCAACCTTCAGCCAAAACTCCCGCTCCATGTCCAGCAGCATCTTCTCCGTCCCGACCAGTCCCCGGGAGACCAACCCCGTCGCCCCATGGGAAACTTGAAGCTGAACGGACCAACAAAATCCACTTCTATTACGAATCATGATTGAAATAAAATGAGGCTAGCGATTTCATATCCCTTTTTTCTTTCCTTTGTCATAAGCGCGGCTAGAAGTATGATGGACGACAAGGGAGTTTTTGGACCCGAGAGCGGGTTAATTAAATGGTTTCTTTTGCAATCTGCTATGGCCTACTCATATCAGCCGATACCCAACTATGGACGCGTATATCAATTTATTCGTGCTAGTCCTTTTCCGTCAATATCAAACACTTGGCTCTTTAACATTATTGATGACGAGTAAACTCACCGTGAATTGTGATGATTGACCAGAAACTTTTGGCATTACGGACGGCTGATCAAACGGCGGCGTCATAGAAAACCTTCCCGTCTCCCGTTGTGACCTGAAGTCCCAGTTAATTGGGAGGCAATGGCATGCTGGAACGATAATGCTCCGAGCTCGTCTAGCCTCCAATTCGGAGAAAAAGAAGCTTTGGGGCCAAGCAGGAAACCGGGCATCTGATCACACAAACTGGTCTAGCCGGTGCATAGCCTGGAGCTTGCGGCCGCCACGGCGATCTTTGGTTTCCACCTCGACTAGTCCCTAACGCGCTGTGATTGGCGGGCGCGCTAGACGAGGCGATTTGATATGACGTACTATACTTTTATCCTTAGATGGTATGAAGGTATATTAGAGCTCGATGTGAGCTGCATTCTGGATAGGGTTTCTTGTCCATGCCGGGCGAATGTTGCTTCACCTGGGTCGAGACATTTCTACCGGCGACGCACGCGCTGCTTGACGAGCTTACATCTACACTATACGACAGAGGCGTTAACCGACCCAATCTAGGCAATCACATCACATTCACCCTCGATGCCTAGGTTTCCCAAGCAAGATCCGGGAATGGAAGAAGCGCCGGAACCAATAGAAGCAGAGCAGCAGGCTGAGCCGGATGAGCATACGCGGTTGCTGCCAAACCGATTTGACTCAGACCGGGGCCTGCTGGCGCCAGACGACCCAGCGGTGTCGCCTTACAACCTCTGGAGCATCCGGTTTCTCCAATACTTGACTGTCGGGTTCACCTTTGCCACGCTGGTATGGTGGATCCTGATGCTGGTGTCGTCGTTTGCGACACCCCCCGGTTTCCAGACACGGGGCAGCGGGTTCTTGGCGTTCGGGTTCGCGAGCCTAACGCTGGTGAATACGGTCTTGACCTTGGTATTCTTCAGTGTGCCAGCCAAGCCCGTTAGAGTGTTGGCCATCTTCATGTCGGTAAGTTCACACGATTCCTGGTTGATGATGTGGTATGGTCTCTGACTCAGGGGTGGGGAATAGGCGATACTGGTCCTCGACATGGTCCTTGTCTTGTCTGTCCAGATGACCCGGTATGAGGAGGGCTGGGTTGGAGCTGTGAGTGTTATCTGGGCGCTGCTCATGAGTCTCTGGGCCCTCATGACAGACCACATTGTAAAATGGGGCAAGGCCGAGGAGGAAGAACGACTGACGGGCCGCGCTGAAACGAGGCGAACATTGCTGGAGTGGTCCTCTGTGATGCTGTCCACGGTGGGATATGCTATCATGTGTGCCGCCTTGTTCCTCATCACTCTGAACATCATCCTACGAGCTCTCGACGCAGCTGTGCCGCCCCCTGGAAAGCTGTACTGGGTCGACAACACCAAGTACCGGGTCCACGTGTACTGCCACGGAAACAAGAGCCACAGCGTCCCTACGGTGCTCTTCGAGGGAGGCGAAGACACTGTCGAGCATCAACTCTGGGACTTTGCCGACAACGGCCTCAAGAATGGATCCTTCCCGCGGTACTGCTTCGTGGACCGGCCTGGGTTTGGCTGGTCGGACACGGCCCCCTCGCCCTCGTCTGCTGGGTTTGTGGTGGACGCCGTGAGCGAGGCGCTGGCAAAGGCAGGCGAGAAGGGGCCCTGGGTGTTGGCGAGCGGCGGAATTGGATCCATCTACTCGCGCATTTTTTCAACCCGTCATGGAGACGCTGTGAAGGGTCTCATGCTGATTGATCCGCTGCACGAGGATTTCCTCAACGAAGTCGGTGCGTCGGGACGAGGGTTCCTGCTCTGGTTCCGGGGCGCCATCTCCCCGCTCGGCCTCGACCGGGTCCCGGGCGCCGTCTTCCGGGGCCGGACCAGCCGGGACCGAGTGTACGGGCGCGCGGCTTGGCAGAGCGGCAAGTACATCCTGGCGCAGCTCCAGGAGAACCTGGTGGCGGGGTCGTTCACGCGGCGCGACGTGGAGGGCAGCCGGGGCATCCAGGACAAGGACACGCCGCTGGTGGTCATCAGCTCCGGGGATCATATCAAGCATAGCAGCAAGTGGGAGCAGAAGCAGCGCGACTTGACGAAGCTGACGAACAAGCTGCGGAGCTGGGACATTGTGGACGGAGCGCCGCACGAGGTGTGGAGCACGTTTGACGGGCGTCAGAAGATGGAGAAGAGGCTGAAGGACTTGGTGCATGCGTGAGCGTGAGCGTGAGCAGAGCCGAGGCAGAAGCGAGAATGCGAACATGAGGATGGTGGATAATATCAGCGGAATCTGCCAGGAAGGGGGTGAACATGTTGAAGGCAGTACGTAAAAAGCAGGGTGGTAGCGGTATGTTGTGCTGGTGTCTAATAAATTTATTTTCCTCACAAATCACTTGAGGGAGGCATTCTTCTCTACGATAGTCAGACATGGAGTCAAACAGCTCCCCTGTCATTGTGTGATGTGATGGTAATGACGGTGACGTTCAGGGGGCCGGCTGTTGGCTTGTTCTCTGTGCCGGCTGTCCAAAGAAAGTGTGGGGTTGTCTTGGATTGTATTTCTCAAGTGCCGCTATTCGCACGTACTTCTCGCGCATAATAGGATACAACTAGTATTGCATTGGTACACCGTATTAAACCAATAAACCTTCCAGATGATCACCCCTTGGTCTGGCCGTGTCTGGCGTGTAGGTGCAAGTCTTGTCCTTTGAGGGAGAAAAGTTGCTCCTTCACTATGCAGAAAATAATAAATTAAATTAAATAAGCTTATTAATAAATACGACGGCGTTCTCCTTTTTATTTTTCTTCCATTTCTAAAGCAACGGCAAGTCGCATACGAGACGTACCCTTGTGTGTGAATAGCAGCCGGTGTGCGTGCGAATGGCGACGCTCTATTTCTCTTGGCTCCTTGGCGGAGTGCCATTCCTGGGATGAGATGACGTCGGGCGCCGGTTGGAGAAGAGGGGTGAGCGGCAAGAGGGGAGAGTCCTAGATGCATCATCTGGAAATACATCACACTCTACGGACCTGATTTTTCAGGTACGTGGTTTTGTTGCTCTTTTAATAACACCTAGGCTCTTTTGACGTCAAAAACAGTCCATGTATGTATGCACTGCAATGCGTTCGCGAAATTACTGTATTGGCAAGGTATGTATACTGCTCTGTTGGAATGGACGGTCGAGGACACGCACGCACGCAATTCAAAAGAAGCACACGATGGATGGACAGAAAAACGCACCCCCCTGGACATGCGCATCGTACTATGTAGCATGCCATGGAACTTGTGAAAAGAGATGGAGAAAAATGGAGCCACGGCAGAAGGTCAGCATCTGGTGAAATTGCAGATGGGATTGTCGCGCGGGAAGCCTCATGCAGGCCGACAGCCCCTAGGATCCACACACGTGATGGGATCTTCATTGCAATTTTGGGGCCGCTGACGGGTGGGCGCCTCAGGCCGACATGTCCCAGGGAGCAACCTGGCAGGAATCCAGGAACCTCTCAGAAGGTGAGGAACGATGAGGAGGTGAGGAGGTGAGGAGGTGAGGAGGTGAGGAGTGAGGAGGTGGACGAGTGACGAGCGGACAAGTGACGAGTGACGAGTGTGAGCGTCGGTGCATATCTGTGCGTGTCCGAGTGTGCCCTGGGGGCTGTTCGATAGCGCAAGGCTCGTCACTTTAGCACCAGTGTAGGCCCGTCAGCTCAGGCTCGAATGCCGCCTCTTGGTGGCGGGGAGCAGGAGAGACTCGAAAGAGAGGAGAGTAAGCCTAGGCTAGTAACCACTGTAGGCCTAAACTAGAGCGATCCCGGGCGAGTCTCTCTCTTCCCCTCCTTCTCTCCTGGGCAACCACACAGTCTGTACGGAGTAGAGGTAACGAGATCACTTGCATGACCGCCTCATCGATCTTTCCAGGTCTAGTCGGTGGGCATTTTCTTTGAAAACAATGCACAGAGGCAGGCATATGGTTGGCCGGGGCGGCCAGGGAGCCCCCTTTCGAGTGTGCATACGGCCGAGGCGAGGCGAATCGGGAGGTTATAAGACGGTCGGTACCTGATTATTACCTGATGTCGAGTCTCTCCTCCAGGGCTGCTTACGGCACACCTGAATGGAAAGCCTGGAACCAGAGCCAGCCAACAAGCTAGGCCTTCACGGGGCGCCATTCACCCACGTCAGAAACGGACCGCGTAGATACCTAGGTGAGGTACGGAGTAGATAGGGTCGTAGATCCAGCGTTCAGGGACCTTGGCCTAGCTCTGGAGATCGGTACATCCTCATGCCCTGGAAATTGCAGCCAACTCCCCTCTCTCCCTCGCGACCTGTCGACGCCTCTCCCCCTCCGAACCAGAGGTACCTGGTTCAATCTGGTCCCCCGGCTCTGGGTGCCCGCAGCGCAGACGTCTGGGAGTGCGCCCTGCCCTGCCCTTTGGGGGCTGCCTGCGCCTCTGCGCCCGCATCCACTAAAAACTCACCCCAGCTAAGCCCAGAAGTACCCCGCCAGCGTGGCTAGCGGGCGGAGGTACCTGATGCTGAAGCAATCCAATGCATCCTAGCGGGCGGTACGGAGCGCTTGTCCTCCGGCTGCTCTTGGGCTGAGCTGGGCTGGGGCTGGGGCTGGCGGCTGGGTGCTTCCAGGCGGTCGAGTCGAGTCACCGGCGGCCACTGGCCATTTCACTGGGCCATCCACTGGACCATCCACTGGACCATCCCCATCCCCATCCACTGAACAAACCCACTGAACCGCCGCACACACGCCCACCAACACACACACGTCCCACGTCCCACCGTTCCACGCCTCAGCTCCCCGACCACCAGCCCAGCGCCTCCTGCTACTCCATACCACTCCCACGACCGGCTTCGTTTCTCTCCCACGCTCCTTCGTCCGCGCCTACGACCCTGCGTCCACACGACTGCCGCGCTGAGCCGCGTCCCGTCTCGAATCGTCCCGCATCGTATCGCCGCTCTTCGTCCTCTTTTTTCTCCTTTCCCTTCTCGCGGCCCCGGCTGTTTACATGCTCCAGTGTCGAATCTCATCGGGCCCCCGTCCTCTTGTGCCGCATCGCTTCGCTGCCCCCGACTTGCTTCTCCTCCCGCCTCCGCCAGCCCAGCCCGAGCTGGCCGCCTTGTCGTTGGGCCGTCACGCGAATATCCGTCCATCATCGCCCCGGACGCTTGGTCGCCCGGGCCTCCCTGTCGCGCCTCGTATTGCACGTCTCTCCTCAATTGAATTGGTATCGATACCGTCTTCGCCGCCGTCCTAAGCTGGCGCTGATGCCGACCGCTGCAACCCCTCGTCGACCACTGTTGGAAATTTGGCGCTGAGAGGCCATCCGCTCTTGATTGGCTCGGGGCCAGGAGGGGGATCTGTACATAACCACGCCCTGGATTGCTTGTCATGATGGCCTCGGGTTACGACAATGCGCCGCCCGCCGACCATGGCCACGGCGACCACCCCCATACACACGACTTCCCCGGCCAGGACCTGGGTCACCCGTCCGATCCAAACTGGCAGAACGGCAACCACGGGACACCTGAAAGCGGCTACCGACTGAGGCCCACCGGTTCTGCGCCCTCTACCCCGAATCCTCCTCCGACTGGATGGGATGAGGAGCAGCCCCTCCGCAAGAGTGCTGAGCGGAATAGGTCGCGAGGGCGGAGCGGGAGATCCGCCAGCGGCCAGCAGAGGGTTTGCAATGCGTGTGGAGAGTCCTTGACGGGCCAGTTTGTTCGGGCCCTCGATGGCACCTTTCATCTCGACTGTTTTAAATGCCAGGTACGGCACTCGACGCCCATCCGTCAGCGGATCATCCCCTCCTTTCGCTCTTTTCATGCTCCAGCGAGACGCTAATCTGCCTTCGGGGTTTAGGACTGTGGCCAAATCGTAGCATCCAAATTCTTCCCGGCCGAAGACGAGAACGGTCAGGGGCAATATCCTCTGTGCGAGACGGACTACTTCCGGCGGCTCAATCTGTTGTGCTACCAGTGCGGAGGGGCACTTCGAGGCTCTTACATTACCGCCCTGGAGCGCAAGTACCACGTCGACCATTTTACCTGCTCCTTATGTTCAACCATTTTTGGAGCCCAGGACAGCTACTACGAACATGACGGAAATGTCTACTGCCACTACCATTATTCCACCCAGTTCGCACAACGCTGCAACGGCTGCCAGACCGCCATTCTGAAGCAGTTTGTCGAGATATTCAGGAACGGTCAGAACCAACATTGGCACCCCGAATGCTACATGATTCACAAATTCTGGAATGTCCGTTTGGCACAACCCACCGATGTCCCGCCCGCGCTGTTAGGGTCGGATGATCCTGCCGGCAGGGACTTGATTCGAACGGAGGAGGAGCGTATGGAAGAGAAGGTGTTTAAGATATGGAGTGTCCTGTCAGCCTTCGAAGAGTCCTCGGCGGCCTGCATTTCCGATATGCTTCTCCACGTTAGCAACGGTGCTTACGTTGACGGTGTCCTTGTTGCTAAGCGCTTCATCTGGCACGTCGAGATTCTATTCCAGTCGGCGGATCGGCTCGACGCCACCATGATCCGCCTGAATGACAAAGGTAGGTTCCAGGAACTCAACTTGAGTTTTAATGCAGTCTACTAATCATGTTTTTTTAGCAATGTCCTATGGACGAGAAGCCAAGCTTCTCTGTAAGAAGATTGTTTCCTTCTTCTCTTTGTTGTCAAAGACACAAGATAACGGAACCCGCAAACTTGGTGTAACACAGGAACTACTTTCTCTCGTTACCGGCCTCGCACATTACCTCAAACTGCTCATTCGAATATGTCTCCAAGGAGCTCTGCGCCTGGAGCGCGAGACAACCGCCTCCGAAGGCCTGTACCAATTCCTCGACGACCTGAGCGACCTCGACGTCTTGAAGAACGACGACGGCCAGTTGCAGGTGACTGCAGGCGGTGCGCGGCTCTCCGCCAATGACTCGGATCACTGTGCTCTGTGCAACAGATCGGTGGAGGATGAATGTGCCAAGAACGGCGACCTGCGGTGGCATCTGAATTGTCTTAAGTGCTCGAGATGTGCCCGAGAGCTCGGTCGAACACTGGACGAGGCTCGCTACAATGCCTTTGACCGCAAAATCTACTGCGCCGGTTGCATTGGCATCAACACAGAGCCGTCCATGATCTTCGAGCACGTGTCGAAGTTGCAACAATACGTGTTCCTGCTCCGAGTCGCATTGGCCCGACTCCTGGATATTCTAAGAAGTAATGGCGCCTTGCCTCCCTCTGGAGAGGACCCCGGTGCCAACGGACACGGCGCATCTGACGGCTCTGGTGGACCAAGTGACCCGAGGCAGCGTGGCGACTCTCAATCAAGGGGTGTTGGGGGGGACAAGGAGAATCATCGCGAGTCGTCTTATGAGAACACTCTGAATGACGTACGCAGACTCCGAAGCACGCGTCTCGACAGGCACCTCTCATCGAGTGTGCGACAAGCTCGAACATCGCGCGTGATGGATGCTGACGGCCGCGGACCCCGACCGGGCTCGGCTGGTGACGGTGGCCAAGCTCACGGTCCTCAGGGATCAACTGATCTCATGTTCGCACAAAACGACGCTATTACTCTTGACGACATTTCTAGGATTGTCGCTGTCGAACAGTCGCGTGAACAGCAGTCGCGAGCTCCACCGGATGGCCAACGGGGTGCCCTCGGCCCTGGACAGCTTGGGCATCAACGGACACGGTCAACTGACCGGGATCAAGATCGCGGTGCTGATGGCATGCCGACTCACATTGGTCGAAAATTCTTCTCGGAGCTTTCTGGTCTCGAGTACTTCAACGTTCGCCATCTAGCAGTTTTAACTATGCAACCCATGATCGAGCAGGAGTTTTCTCTCGATGAGCTGCTGAGCTTCATTGAGTCGCGGAAGCAAGCCACTTTTTGGAAGAACTTGGGGAAAGCGTTCAAGAACGACAAGAGCAAGAATGTCAAGAAGAAGGGCGTCTTTGGTGTCCCTCTGGAGATCATCATCGAGCGAGATGGCGCTGACTCGACCGATGGTGTGGGGCCCGGTACGCTCCGTATCCCCGCTGTTGTGGACGATATCGTGTCTTCAATGAGGAAGATGGATCTCTCAGTTGAGGGCGTGTTCCGAAAGAACGGAAACATCAAGAAGCAGCAGGGCCTGGTGGAAAAGATCAACGCTGAAGGCTGCGATGTGGTCAACTTTATGGAACAACCTGTTGTCCAGCTAGCCGCTCTCCTGAAGCGGTACCTGCGGGATCTACCAGATCCTCTCATGTCGCACAAACTGTACGGGCTGTGGGTCAGCGCAGCCAAGATCGCTGAGCCCGAGAAGAGGAAACAATGTCTACACTTGACTTGTTGTCTCTTGCCCAAGAGCCATCGCGACAGTCTCGAGATCTTGTTCAGCTTCCTCAAGTGGGCTGGCTCATTCCATCAACTCGACGACGATGGCGGATCAAAGATGGACATCAGAAACCTTGCAACTGTCATCGCGCCCAACATTCTCACCAATGCCTCCAAGGCACCCGCTCTAGATAGCGAGGCTATCTATGTTATTGATGCAGTAGAAATGCTCATCACGTATATCGAAGAGATGTGCCAGGTAAGCTAGTCTATTCCTGTTACATCGAGCCCACACTGACATTACTTCTCCCTCAGGTCCCGGATGAAATCCTCGGCCTTCTCAATGACCCATATATCTTCAGCAACAGCGGTGATCTCTCTACCAAGGATATCCTCAAGCGATTCCAGGATCGCCGAGGACAAATCTCGATTTCAGATGTCAACGAGGTGTACAACCGCCAGGATAACTCCACACGGCCACCAGCCAGGCGAGTTGAAACGGACCCGGCGGTCTGGCAGGGAGAGGCAACCGTGCGAACAATCCAGGAACCACCCATGGTCCATACCCAGAATGGCCCGGGAACTCCTCCCAATAGATGGAGGGGCCGGAATGATGGGCCCAACCCGTCCCCGTATGGCGGCAGCCAGTTCAACCAGTCAGACAGTCAGCTCGATAATTCCGAGCATAGCCAGCGACGGGAGTGGCGGAACTCCAATTCTGGTTGGAGACAGCAAGGCAATGGTGGACTAGGCGTGTCGGGTAACTCATGAACACTTTCAACAATGGCGAAATTTCAACTTTCGGACCAGGCAACACCTAGTCTCCGGCTTCGTTTGTTTTCCCCTTTCATTTCAGGAGGCATGCTTTGGGAGTAGAGTCACATGCATCGTCCACGGCGTTATCTTCGCTTCTCCCTCCTCCAGCTTATGCCACCCCCTCTCGAACAGAAAACTAGTTGACCAAACCCCCTCCCCTTTTCACGCACGTCATGACAGACCTGGATGTTTTTATCTTCTCCCCTCGGGTGAATCTCTACCCGTTCTTCTTCTTCTTCTCTTCTCCATCATCCTCTTCCCTCTTCTTCATCATGCCCGGCACGCGATTTTTTTGTCTTTGCCTCTTTTCTTCTTATTTTTCGGCTTTGTTTTTGAAAGTGGGCAGGAAGTGCGATGCCTTTTCATGAAACAAACAAAAAGGGTCAAGGCGGGGGGTGTTTTTCTATACCTGAGTTGGATGGAGTAGCGATGAGGGGGTTAATTTCCCTGGAGACATGGGCACAATGAGAGAGAAAGAGAGAAAGAGAGGAGGAGGACGCGCATTTGATGCGCTTTGCGGGTGCAGTAGTTGATGGGGCAGATGTGCGGAATTAACATGTTGGTTTCAGGGTTGAGACGGGTTTTGGTCAGGGATGGAACCGAGTGAGGCCTGAGTAGGGACAATAGATTCTTTTCCGATTGGATATTTACCTGTGTGCACCTGGTGAGATGATGACTGTATTCTATGTGCAACTCTTTGTGTGTGAGCACGTGAGAGTATACATACAAGTCTCGATGACTCTGGGTATTTGGTGCTCTCTAGGACCAATCAAGGTGCCGATGAACTCGAGTGGCGGATAACCCTCTGCCTCACGAATTGCAGGAGACAACAGATCATCATTCATGCCTAAGCTCGCGCCCGCAACGACCGACGGTGGCCCACGTCGAGTATTAAAAGCCCCGTCGTGTAGATTATAACCCCAATATATACGTACATGAAGATGGCTTTGACTTATGCCCTGGCCTTGGTCCATGTCCCTTTCTCGATGGACCAACTCCTTTTCCCTGCTCTGTTCCTGTCTTGTGCCCGTTTCCCTCATTAAGCCTTGACGGCAGCCTTCTCCTTTTCCTGCTCGAGGAACCAGTTGACGCCCCGAGTGACGCCGTCCTGCAGGGTGTACAAGGGCTTGTAGCGCAGGACTCGCTTGGCCTTGGTGATGTTGTAGTAGCGGGTCATGGAGCTGTAGATTATGCCCTTGCGGGTGAGGGTTGGGGTGCGGCCGAGGGCGTGAGAAAAGACCTCGCTGAGGTAGCCAAAGGAGATGCCGAGCGAGCGGTTGAGGGTCCAGACCTTCTCGGTGCCCTTGTCGTTGCCGGCGGCGCGCCAGACGGCACGGGCAAAGTCCCAGAAGTAGACGGGGGCGTCGTTTGTGATGAAGAAGGCCTCGCCATCCACTCGCTCGTGGTCGAGGGGCGTGGTGGCGGCGGCGGCTGTGGCTAGGAGGAGCTGGCCGGCGAGGAGGTGGGCGTGGGCGATGTTGCCGACGTAGGTGAAGTCGAAGAGGTTCTCGTTGTCGCCGACCTGGACGTTGGACTTGCCGCCACGGTAGGCGCCGAGCAGTCCCGGGAGCAGCTGGGCGTCACCCTCGCCGAAGATGCCCGCGGGGCGAATGGCGCAAGTGAGGAGCTTGGAGGGTTCTTCGCGGTTGGCCTTGAGGACGAGCTCTTCAGCAGCAGCCTGTGTATTGCACGCAATTGATTAGCGGGGGTGGTCAGGGGATGGATTGGAAGACAGTGGAGGTAGTGGAGGACTGCAATGGCAGACGGACCTTGGTCTCGGAGTAGTACTCGGTTTGCTGGGCGCCACGGATCATGGGCCACCTCTCGTCGGCATTGAGCAGGTCGGAGACGTTGTCGCTGATGACGCTGGCAGAGCTGGTGTAGACGAGGGCCTTGACGCCGGACTTCTGGCAGGCCTCGACGACGGACTGCGTGCCCTCGATGTTGACCTTCTTGAAGATGGCATGGGCGATCTTGGAGTCGTTGGCGACGGGCGAGGCGGTGTGGATGACGACGTCGGGCTTGATCTCGTTGAAGACGGCGAGCAGCTTCTCGGTGTCGGTGATGTCGCACTCGTGGTACTCAGCGTGGGCGTTGCGGTTGCGCCCGCAGCGCAGGTCGACGGCGACGACGCTGGTGGTGGTCCACGACTCGACGAGCTGGTCGACGATGTGATGGCCCAGGAAGCCGTTGCCGCCGACGACGAGCACCTTGCCGAGCGTGCCTCTGGATTGGGCCATTGCGGAGGTTTGTGCGGAGGAGGAGGAGGATTTGGGAGAGCGGGTTCGAGGAGGAGAGCGGGCGGGTGAGGAGGTTGTATGTCGCAGAGGCTGTAGGAATTGCTGCGGCACACCTGTCTCAGTACCTAGTCAGTCGGGGGAAGTGGCAGCATCAGGCTAAAGTCGTCGATAGTGGGTCGTGGTGGTTGAGCCTCCACAGTGGACCGCGCGTGCTAGTAACGCACTGGCAACTAACTGCAGGGCCTAACTCAATTACCAAGAGAACTTAGGGCAGTGACAGGGGATTAGAGAATTAGAATGCTGCCCGTACAACATCAAAGTGACTGGCTGCCTTCAGCGTGAATCGTCCCAAAAGGGCATTTGCGTTTGCTCTTTCTTGGGTCACGAGACGTGGCATAAGCACCACAACACCAAGGCCGGCCGACTGAACCCAGCGTCTTGCATCCTGCATCTTGCATCTTGCTTCTCTGTTTTTTGGTTGCCTGGCCTCTCTATTCTGTAATCGCTCCTCATCCTCCTCGACACTCACGATACCTCCGTTATATAACCACTTGCTCATCCCTTCTTGGATTCTTCTTCTTGGACTTCTTGGACCCCTCGTATCATCGCCATGGTTTATTGCTTCCTCCACTCACGGCACTCGCGAAATGGCCAACCCCCCCTCCTCACCCAAGGACGTCGAGATCCTCGTTCACGCCACCGCGCCCAGTCGCGCGGCCGATGATGTCGTCTACCGCCAGCTCGCACAGGCATATCTCGCCTTCGAGCCTCAGTCCCGTAATCAGCTGCCGTTTGCAGAACCTCCCTTTGGTGCGTGCGGTCCAGAGCAGCCATCGCCGAACCAAGCGTTTACCACACCCTCGTTCGAGCAATCCTTCGAGATCAAATCTCAGGATCTAAGTTTCCAAAGCGCCATAGATAACCGCTCGTCTCCGCGTCTACGATACACGTCCACTAATCGAGATGTCATCCCTTCGTCATCCCAAGAGAGCGGCGTTGGGTCTCAGACGTCGTGGTGCGCACCTCCGAGTCAAATAAGTGACTCGTATCCCATGCCGGATGGTGCACTGCTCAAAATCTCGCCGACCCGGGTTTTGCAGCGATATATAGGCAGACCTAGCTTGCCACAGCCCTCACTAGCATCTTCGTCTCCATCACCCCAGAAACGGGTGTCGTCGTCGCACGACCGCGACAGGGTGGATGTGCCGTCGTCAATTCTCGAGCCGGAGCAGGACTCCCTGCCAATGCTCCTCCCTAGATATATACGCGTCAACCAAACCATACCCGTTACGCCACAGGTTCAAAAGAAAATTGCTACCTCGGAGGCTCTCATCGAGTCAAGTGAGCTATACGCAGGCGAGTCTGCTTTCGACATTACTCACATCTCAAGCAGTGTGGTAAGCGATCTATCGTCAGCGCCACCGCTACCAACACTACATCGCGCCGAGTCGGAGCCACCCCCGGCTAAACGGACCAAGGCCAGTCATCTGCATCATGGCGACTTAGTACGAAGCTCGAGTGACACAGGCCCTGTGATCTCGTCCAGCAACCCAGTTGCCGAGGAACTCAGCTACAGCCTCGAGATTCGGCCACCCTCGCCTCCTGTAGGAGTCACCGACGTCGACCCTGAAGACTTCATCTCAGAGAAGATGGCAAAGTTAGCACGCGACCTCTCGTCACGTTACCGTCCAGACTCGAAGAGAGAGATCGATCCCTTGGAACGGGGTTACTGGTTACTCGACTGCGCAACCTGGAGCCCAGAGGTCCGTTTCGCCGCGTGGGTCTTTCTCAATAACTACCTTCGGAGCGGCCTGGCGGGCTGGGGTACGTGGTGTCGGCGTGATGACAGCCACAGCTGGATCCGCTTGTACTGCTGGGGCTATGTCACCAAGCACACATACCTCCTCCTCTACCTTGCCAGCGGGAGGCAGTTGAAGCACACCGGAGCCAGCTGGTATGGCGCAGATGGAGATCTCGTGCTGGAAGTCCCTCCGCATGACAACCAGCGATGACTTGGCTTGGGATGTTTACGGCGCATACAATAGGAGCATTCTGGATCAACGGGGGGCTAACGGGATGATAAAGGTCTTTGGAGTTCTTATTCTGGTCTACTATATAGTGAGGCGTTGGACAACTCGGATAGCGAGACTTTGCATACACAATACCATGGGCGGACTTTTCTATATTCCCTCTGTGGTGAGACGTAACGCGCGCTGTTATATACCCTCATTTTACTCCAGAAATTGCTCCTTCGAGCACTTTTATTATTACAGACTCGAGATAGGATAGTAATTTGAAAAGCTAACACACTCTTAAGATGTAAGCACCTAGTAAGTAATGCATCCAAATTCAAAGTAGTAGTGGTGGAATATATAATGTAATCGCGAATTTTAAAGGTACTACTTAAAAATGGAGGTTTGGAATAACATAAAATCCACAACGACATATGAACGGATATGTAATGGGGAGTTACTCTCATTGGTGTTATATTATCATCCCTAAGCTGCAGATATTTCTTTATTCTATATTTATACGATATAATTACAAGACGTTAATGTTTCGTGGGACCTATGTTCAGCCAATAGTCGCACAGTTGCATCTAGGACCAAAGTCTTCAACAACAAATCACAGCCTAAGCTCGACCAACGCTGACTTTTTCTAAGAGGCGGTCTCAGATGGCTCCAGGGGGATGGTTTTGTTCCGGAGGTGGCGGGGGAGCGTCGTCCACTGGGGGTATCGGAGGCGGGTTGTCTACCGGAGGGTTGTTTTCAACCGAAAGAGCATCTTCAACTGGAGGAGGGTTCTCTACCGGAGGCAGATTCTCTACCGGAGGAGCGTTCTCAACCGGAGGCTCAACCGGAGGCGGGTCGTCTACCGGAGGTGACACGGGTAGATTCTCTACCGGAGGGGCGTTGTCTACCGGAGACAGATTCTCAACTGGAGGGGCGTTCTCAACTGGAGGTTGGTTGTCTGCCGGAGGTGCCACGGGTAGGTTTTCTACCGGCGGTGGGTTCTCTTCCGGAGTTACCAGAGGAGGATTCTCTCCCAGAGACGGGGTTTCTACCGGAGGCAGGGGTTCTGAAGCCGGCGGAGGCGCTATCGGCGCTCTCAATGGAGACCCATCAAACAAAGGTCCACGTACAAGATGCTCCGTAGTGTTCTTCAATGGCATGTATCCAAACATTGCCGGGAAGTCCCTCATACATTGATGCCGAGTCGGCATGTGTGACGGCTGTGCGCTGATGCCCGGGGGTGCTGCATTGAAGGCCGAGTTCGCCCCAACGGCCTGGTAAGGGCCGGTGCATGTCAACATGGCAGCGATGAAGTTGAACGCGAGGTCGTCGCAGTTGAAGATGTCGTCGACGTATTTGCGAATCCTGGCCATCAATGGATCCGCCGAAGAGTAATATTCGAGGAACGAAACGTGCGTGAAGAGGAGGCCTGTGAGGACCATGTTGTAGTAGCCCTGTTGAGTGCAAAAGCTGTATCCCCAGTTGCCATCCGAATTCATTAGAGCGCAACGGGGGAATGCGCCAGTAATGCGGTACTGGCCTTGACTCCGCCAGGTTTGGAAGGCAAACTCCATGTCGTCAAGCGTGTAGTGGACGTCGTCGTCGTGCAAGAGAATGGCCTTGGTGCGGTATTCCGGATCCGGGAAGAACTTCATGTTCATACTGTTGTATTCGCTCACCCGATATCGCACCCTGACGCCGTGCTGTGAAACAAAGCCCTTTGGCGGCGGTACTTCAATATCGTTCCAGATTACAACAACTTCGTACAATGACGGAACTTTCTGGTAGGTGAGCCAGGCGATGGTGGCCTGGAGCATGTCTGGTCGACGGTATGTCAAGATTGCAACTCTACCAGCATGTCGACGTTAATACCAGCTGGACTCGGCATGCATCAGAAGTGTCAAGTGTGTAGGTACGTACGTGAATTTCTCATCCGTCATGTTTCCATATTTTTCCTCTGCCGCATTCCAAATTTCTGGCGATGCCATCCTTTGCCGGTCGGCACCGCATTCTGGAAGGTTGACGAATGTTTCATTCAGAGGAAGCCCTTGCGCAGATGATCCATCCAAAGATGTATCGTCGACGCCTGATACAAATGATGGGAGCATCTCATGGCTGAATGAGGAGAGGAAGAACAGTGACAGACATGAAATGCCGGCCGCGAGGACAAGCACAGCTCCTTTCCTTGACAGCCAATGCGGCAGACTCGTGAGCAAGCCGGCCATTGACGGCGACTTTTCATCGGGACCCATGGCGTATCGTGGCGTATCGTGGTGTATCGTGTAGTCTTGAAAAGCCTGGCTCGCTGCGAGCTTGAGTCTCTCTATATTGCTCCCAGTCACTCTCACGCCACCTCCTTTTCTCACAAGGGCGTTTTCAAGAAACCCCACCAGCGACGCGAATTGGCGATGCTTTTTTTACCCCATTGGACAAAGCCGAACGCCCACTAAGACGATGAATGGGGTTTCGAAGGGCTGACACAGGCTAAAAGCATTGTGGCTGCCGCTTCGTCGATCTAGACCTTGCCAGCCTTGTTTCTCTCCGAGGCGGCCTCGTCGCCATTGGTGAGGTTTCAAGTTTTAAGCAAGCTAACGAGTGAGGAAGGGAAAAGCCCCTTTAACCAGCTGAGCCATTTCCAACTCTCTTTTCCATAGTTGGTTTGAAACCTGGACTATTGGGATGTTGCGTCGCCCTGTATTAGCTAGCGCCTCCACTTGATTAACCCGATTGGCCACGCAAATTTGGCTTGGGGAACTTCGTGGTCCCACGGGTACGAGACGTAATTTCGAGTGGCACATTCGCCTTTAAATAATCACATGGCGTGTGGGCACTCATCGAATCCTATTAATACCATCCCAGCATGCGTTTGATAGCGCAACATATGTTCTGCTCTGGCACAGTTGATCGGGATACTGCATCTAGATCGTATAATCAGTTCGAAGCTGTCTGTGTAATGGTGCGCGGCCAGTGGCAGATATATCCTCACCAGCAACACCATGAACAAACACCACATAATGCATTGCTGCGACCCTCTCCTGACAACTAATCCGGTGCAGTAACTCTAGCGTAACTCTTGACATTTCGGAACCAGTATCGAAACCATACACCCGACTGAATACACGTTGTAAACAACGACAAAGGGAATTTCCATAGTTGCCGGTTCCAGGACTCATCGTACACCACCACACCATTTATCATCACCACATCCACTACTACAAAGGGCACCATCTATCGCAAGGAATCCCATATTCCAGACACGGGAGTGATTGCGCAAAGCCACTGGACAGACCCATATACACCTTTCCCGGAGTATTAAACAACACCGTCTACTTAGTCTCAGCATTGGCATTGGCCTTGGCCTTCGCCCTAGCCTCGGCTGCCTTTGCGTTGGTCTTTGCCCTGGCCTCAGCAGCCTTGGCCGCTGCCGCTGCCTTCGCCTCTTTTTGGAGCTCCTTGGCCTCGGCTCGGATCTCTTCAATCTGAGCGGCGTACTTTGCAGCCTCTTTGGCGGCCTGGGCCTCGAAAGGGCGCTTCTCGGCGTCGCTCAGGGCGGTCCACTCCTGGCCGAAAGCCTTTATGCTATCTCCCAGCGGGCTCCCGGCAGTATGGCCGCCACTAGCAAAGCGGGACTTGACAAAGGCGTTGTAGGCGCTGCCGTTGGACTTGGGCAGACGCTCGTCGTGGATGAGACGAATTTTCTTGTCCATCTTGCGTGAGAGGCGGCGGCGAGCCTGGTTAGCGAGGTAGATGCGAGCCGGAGGGTGTGACTCGACCCAGGCCTTGTGGTTGACCTCGTTGGTGGCGCGGTTGGAATTTGCCTTGGTCTCGAGGGGCTGGCGAGAGTGTTAGCTTGGGGGTAGTCCTTCAGTAATTTTTTTTTCCTTACCTCGCGCTCATAGGAATAGAGGTTCTTGAAGGCAGCTGAAATCTGTGACATCTTGCCTACGAGATCCTTCTCGCCTGGCTTCATCTCCTGGGTAATGTATACCAACCAGGGTGTTTCGGGCAAGCCGGTGATCTTGTTGAGCAAGGCCCATCTCTTCAGTTCACGGATATCGAGCTTCTCTTGCTCCTCTGGTGTAATGACCTTTGACTTCGGACCGACCTTCGCCTTGGGCTTGGGCTTGGGCTTGGGCTTGACGGCCTTGGGCTTGACGGCCTTGGGCTTGGCCTTTGTGGTGGCCGTCTTCTTGGCAGTAGCCTTCTTGGTCGCAGCGGCCTTGGTCTTCTTCTTGGGAGGGGTCTTGGAGGCCGGTAGACGAGTCCATGCCGAGACGGTGAAGGCGCGGGCGGCGACGGCTGGGCAGGTGACGGCGGCGACGTTGTGGGAGAGCAATTGGGAGGAGGCGGAAAGGCGGGTGGTGGTGGTGATGCGGCGGGCGGCGGCCCGGCCGATTGAGGTCAGCATTTTGGATTGATACGAGAGAAACAGAAGCTTCTGGGCGGGGCTGGCGCTGGTGATGGCAATCAATCGCAATGGCACAGCGGAGAGAAAGCGACGGGGAGACGGCCGACGGAGATCAGAGTCGAGACTATGCGACAGCCCAGATTATCTCTGACTTGGAGTCGCGTGCCGTCGTCAGTCGTCGTTGGTGAAGGAAATGCGGCGGACAGGCTGAGATTGTCGCAATGGGACGGTGCTAATGATGCCCGTGCTGGTGGTGTTGACGACAGGGCAGTTCTTCCTGGGTTTTGCCTTTGCTGGGAGCCAATGGGGTGCGACTGCCGCATGAGGTGGGCTTCAGCTTGTTGCTTGCGGCAGACAGCTCCAGAGTACTCGGTACTTTCTCCCACCACATTTTTAACATACACTCCAACGGTACACTATACCCCACGGTCGCGCCCTACCACCGCCACTCTCTGGAAGCTCCTCAGCTCTGTCAAGCTTCAGCCTCGGCCAATCACCACAGCCACACCCAGCTTATGTAATTTATCCACTCGCTGGGTCGTCGCAGTGGACGCCGCAGGCTGCCATAGGACGCGGCACTGGTGAAGCCTCCAGCAAGCAGCTCCCAACCCCAACTCCAACTCACTTCCGCCATCAACGCACCTCGCCCTGTGACGAAACCACAACCGCAACGAACCCGACGACCGGAATCACTAAATTCCTCTCCCTCTCTCGTTAGCCACCACACCGGGCAGCTGTCTACGCTCCCTCTGTTGCGATCGCCTCAACTCCCACCTCATCCACATACATCAGAAGCCATGGATCACCGTCCGCAAGCTTGGGGCCGCGTATGTCTTCCTAACCCTGACAATCCCGCCATCGAATCCTGCTGACAGTCCCTTCTTCAAACAGCCCAGAGATGACGTCTACGGCGCCTATGACAACACATTCATGCACGATAACAACGGCCCCAAGCAGAACACCCAGCAGCCCATCGTCACCGGTACCTCCGTCATCGCCATCAAGTTCAAGGACGGCGTCGTCATTGCCGCCGATAACCTAGGTCCGTACCCGCTCCTCTATAACTCACTCTCTTAACTTGGGAATCCAATATCTAACCCACGTATCTAGCCTCGTACGGCTCCCTCGCACGCTTCACCGACGTCAAGCGCCTCCGCACCTTCGCCGACTCCTCCGTCCTCGGTTTCAGTGGCGACGTTTCGGACATGCAGTACCTCAACCGCCACCTCACTGACCTCACCCTCAGCGAGGCCTACACCTCCCCCGATGAGCCGCGCCTGAACGCCGCTAACCTCCACCGCTACCTCGCCAAGTTGCTCTACAATCGCCGCTCCAAGTTCGACCCGCTCTGGAACCACCTACTCGTCGCCGGCCTCGACGACGAGGGTGAGCCCTTCCTCGCTGCCGCCGACCTCCTCGGCAGCACGTATAGCGCCCCTTCCCTCGCCACCGGATTCGGCGCCATGCTGGCCCAGCCCATTATGCGCCGCCATGCCCCCGACGAGGAGGCGGCCCGCAAGCTCTCCCAGGAGGAGGCCGTCAACATCATCAAGGAGTGCATGAAGGTTCTGTACTACCGCGATGCCCGCAGCTTGGACTCGTACTCCATCGCTGTCGTCACCAAGGACGGCGTCGACCTCAAGGAGAACGAGAAGTTGGAGGCCCAGAGCTGGGCATTTGCTGAGAGGATCAAGGGATACGGTACTCAGACTGTCTAAGGAATTGGGTGGAAAGGATATCGTGCCATGCAGGCCTTAGTCATTGGGATAATCGAAGAGAGGATGTGGAGAATCTAACTACTTAGAGAGAGACGCAACAAGCCCAGCAAAAGCACACCATCAAGCCCGAGAGCCTGCGGTGGAGTTCATGACACTCTAGGACTATCCCACCCGAAGCAAAAAACGCCCTTTGCAAGGGCGTGAAAGGGTCGGTCAACTAGAACGATGTAACAATAGACACAAAGAAAGAATTATTGTTTTCTTCTTCATCAAAAAGATCATAGATCCGTGATTACATTGCCAAGCACTACTTCTGTCGCATAACTAGGCCAACTTCTTATCGAACCCTCTTCTCGAGGGCCAACTCGTTAACTTGCAGTTAAATCATCTAAATAATATCAGGCCTAGTCCCCTTGGCCTCCCATTCATTTCATTTCTGTACCAAAATCTCATGCTACCCAGACAAGACTTGCCCATCCATTCACGCAAGCCCAATTTTGTCAAAGCCAACTCCAATGTTCATAATCCCGTGCGCACCAGCGCGACGGTTCACTTTACACCGCACACGACAAGTTGTCGGTGGCGAATTTACTCGACAGTGACCGACTTGGCCAGGTTACGAGGGAAATCGACGTTGAGTCCCTCCAGGACGGCCAGCCAGTAAGCAATCAGCTGCAGGGGGATGACGTTGAGGAGACCCTGAAGGCAGTCGACGGTCTTGGGGACCTCGATCTTCTCAGCCTCAGATGTCTTGAACTCCTCGTCAGCCTCGTTGCAGATGACGATGGGCTTGCCGTTGCGAGCAATGACTAGAAAAATATCAGTTAGTTTCGGGCATTAAATGTCAGGAATCTGTGAGGGACGTACCTTGCTGGTAGGCGTTGAGGGACTTCTTGAATAGGTCATCGCGGGTAAGGATCATGATGATGGGAAGGTTCTCGTCGACCAGAGCCAGCACACCGTGCTTGAGCTCACCAGACATGACAGCCTCGCAGTGGAGGTACGAGATTTCCTTGATCTTCAGAGCACCCTCGAGGGCAGTGGAGAACTGGCTACCACGGCCGAGCAGGAGGAGAGACTTCTGGTTCTGGAAGGTCTTCTCGCACAGAGTCTTGATGGAGGAGTCAAGGTTGAGGATGGTCTTGATCTGGTCAGAGATCTTAGACAGACCCTCCATAATCTCCTCACGGCGGGCCTTCTTGGAGGCACGGTCCTCGCTCAGGGACAGGGCGAACATGACCATGGCGATGAATTGAGAAGTATAGGCCTTAGTGGAGGCGACACCAATTTCGGGACCGGCATTAACGTGGACACCGCAGTGGGTAAGGAGGGAGATGGAGGAACCGACGACGTTGACGATACCAACGGTCAGGGCACCACGCTCCAGGCAGTAGCGCAGGGCCATGAGGGAGTCGGCGGTCTCACCAGACTGGGAGACGAAGACACAGGTGTCATCACGGAAAACGGGAGCCTGTCGATCAAGGAAATCGGAGGCCAGCTCGACAGCGATGGGGATCTCAGTCAGCTCCTCGAAGATACCACGGACAGCCATGCAAGAGTGGTAGCTGGTACCGCAAGCAATGAAGATGATGCGGCGGCATCGGCGGATGGTGGAGATGTAGGAGCGGAGACCACCCAGAGTGACGGTCTGGTTAGCAATGTCGAGACGACCACGCATGGTGTTGACGACGGACTCGGGCTGCTCGAAGATCTCCTTCTGCATGAAGTGGTCGAACTTGCCCTTCATGATCTCCTGGAGCTCAAGCTCAAGGGTCTGGATGGTTCGGACGTTGGAGCTACCGTCAGCCTTCTTGAGGCGGTGGATGTTCAGGGAGCCCTCGTGGATGTGGGCAATGTCGTCATCCTCGAGGTACATGACCTTCTTGGTGTGCTCGACAATGGCCGAGGGGTCGGAGGACAGGAAGAACTCGGTGGGCATGGGCATGCCATCATCGGTCATGAAAGCCCGGGACTGAGAGCGGTGCAACAGCGACTTGTCGGGGGCACCGAGGAGGTTGTTGCTGGGAGAAAGGAGATCGGCGGCGTTCTTCTTCAGAGCGACGTTCTGGGAAGCAGCCTCGGCGGGGAGGGCAGCGTTCTCATCGGCGTACTCGACATCGACGAAGTCAACCTTCATGCGCTTCTCGGTCTTGACACCAATGACGAGGGGAGAGCCCTTTCGGGCAGCGATGACCTCATGGGGGTAGTGAACGGACTTGATGAGAAGACCGTAGGCACCCTCAAGCTCCTGGATGACAGCCTTGGCCAGGTCGGTGAAACCGATGCTGGGGTGCTGGTCGTGGATGTACTTGGTCAACTTGGCGATGCACTCGGTATCGGTCTCGGTCTCAAACTTGAATCCCTTGCTCGAGAGGAGAGTCTTGAGCTCCTTGTAGTTGGTGATGATACCATTGTGGACGATGGTGAACTCCCAATCGGGGTCAGATCTGTACGTTGGTCAGCACACCGTGTCCAGAGCAAATGTCAATCTGGTAGGATCCCATCAATCTCCGCAACTGCTCATCGTGACGAGGAGGTGGGAGACAGAAGAGAGACCAGATAGTAGGCATGAGATTGCTTGCGCAAGCTGCATGTATGGGAAGTTGAAAGGTTTACATACCGGTGAGGGTGGCAGTTGACGGTGGAGGGGGGGCCGTGGGTAGCCCATCGAGTGTGGGCAATACCGGCATGTGAATCGAAAACCTTGTCCAGGTCGACATCGGACTCGTCAATGAGCTTCTTGAGCTTGGCGACCTTGCCAACCTCCTTGAAGGCGAAGACCTGCTTCTTCTTGTCGCCGTCGACAGCTAGACCGGCCGAGTCATATCCACGGTACTCGAGACGGGACAGGCCTGTTAGGGAAAGCAAGTTAGCGATTGGCCAGCGTCATTCGTCTCACCATTGACTCGCGCGGGCGGGGCAAGGTTGATTGAAGGGGAGGGGAGAGGAGAGGGGAGGAGAGGGGAATAGGAAAGCACTGACCATTAACGAGAGTGTCGAGGATGAACTTGCGGTCCTTTTCCACGAGGTAGTTGATGTATCCGAAAATGCCACTGAAGACGATGGTGGTTAGCTGTTGTGGTTCTCATCAATTGACCCGATTTCCAGCTCCAAGCTGCCTCGCCTGGCCTGCAGCTCCTCCATCGGTTCCGTCCAAGTGTCTGTTTCGCTCGCACAGGAGTAACAGTCGGTGGAGGGCGGGCTTGTTGGCTGGCTGGAAGGATGGCGGGCGGCGGGGCGGTGACGGTGACGGTGACAGGGTGCTCTCTTACCACATGTTGTCTGGCTCTCAACGATTCGTAGGGGAGCAATTCGGTAGGGGAGGTAGGTGGTCGGGGGGAAGAGCGAGAGAAGGTACGCGCTGGAGTAGAGGGGGGTATCACGAAGCAAGAAGGTATGTCTGGAGGAGAAGGAGAAGGAGAAGAGCAGGAGTGAGATCCAAGATGGGAGGAAGAGCTCGAAGTATATGTATGTTTTCTTGGGTGCATGCGTTTGCCGCTTTGAGTGGCCAGCAAGCGGCGGACAGAGCGACTGAGGCTTGGGCGCAGCTTTATTGTGGGGATGGAGAGGGGAGGGGCGCCGAGGGGGGGAAGGCGTGCAGCTACCGTAGCTGCTTCCCTGTAGCTTGCGACCCTCAGTTGCTGTGCGGTGGGCAAGAGCGTGGTGGGGCTGGATGACAGTGGGGTGGAGGGGGGCCGACGACAGGGGTGCAATGCCGCCACAACGACCGCTAGACTGCCTGGCGACATACCAAGGAATACGCCGACTCGACTGCTCCCGTCAACCGCCCAGGCGCCAGAGTCCACTGGAGCCGCCTACGCATTCAGCTGTCTCTCCCACTGAAAACCCGCTGAGGGAGGAGCCTGCTGTTGGACAGGGGGCCACAGGTGAGCGGGAACGTCCACGGGGCGGTATAGAGGCGCTTAGAAGTCCGTTTTTGTTTTCTTCTCCGTTGTCAAGTTTGAGGAGACTCAGGGATGTGCCGCCATCGGGTGTTTTGGGTTGACTGGCTATGCGGGAATGGACGCAATCCCCCATTCTCTTTGGAGCTGATGTTCCACTGCGTTTCTAGGTACCTAGTCATAGGGGCGGATGCATGTGTGGTGTGTCCTGTTGTTTGTTGGGAGAAGTGGGTGGAATCACTGTCAGCATCAATCATCACCTAGTGATGTGAACGTAAAACGCTACAAACCCAACATCAACCAACATCGAGGAATATTCTATTCTATGCCATGCTACGCCGTACCATGCCGTACCATGCCATGCTATGCGATGCCATGGCCACTCCCGAACCAAACTGAGACCTAACTCCGACTGTAAATCGTAATAATAGCACACCGGACCAGCCCAAAACGAAACCACACCGACTTGGCCCAAGTCCCGCTGGTCTGGTCTGGCCGGCGGCGCCCAGTGTCTGAGCAATGACCGCCCCCAGAGGCCCGCCTCAGTGCGGTATCAATGGACACGGTAACTACCTATTAGCAATGATGCATCACTGATGATCAAGGTTTCCAGTAAATTCGTCATGGCAACCGCACCTGTTGAGCCGCTTAGGTGAATCTAGCTCAAGTTTTCCGCATCTAGGTAGGCAGGTATGGGAGGAAGGTATCCAACGCCGGAAACTGCAACGCCGGAAACTGCAATGCCGCCTGCCTCCATAGTCCTCCGTAGCAACACGTCTCCCAAAACCAAATCAAATCCTTCTACATCCACTGTTGCCACACCCTCCCTCCACTTCACACACTCTCTCACAACAAACAAAACACAAGCATCATTCTGCGTGCGTCCGCTTGGCCCAACTTGCCGACGTCAATCATCATCGGAGCAAGTTGTTACATAGTAGATGCCTACGGCACGGCCTGCACATTCAGCGTTCAGAGGCATGGGCCTAGAGCATGGGCATGGGCATGGGCACCGAGAACTTGGGGGGCCAAATGGCGGACAGCCAGCGACGGGAAAGTGGATGGTGGATGCTACTCCAGATGCTTCCAGCTCGGGCCTATGACGCACTCGGAACCAGGTTGTACACGAGCATCAACGCTGTAAGGCGGCCCTGATTCCCAGTTCCCTTATCACCACCACCATCATCATCACCACCGTGATTCAACCACCGCCACTCCCCACGCACGGAGTCCCCGACCCTGTCCCGCCGCCGCCACAGAACCAGACACAGGGCGGAGACATGCAGATGCTCAATGGAGAAGCGTACATAGTACGTATCCGCACGCGGTACGAAGTGCTCCATCTCGATGCCACCTCCAAACATACTCATTTTCAATGCCACATCCACTTCTGCATCTAGGCGTCGCAAATCGAGTACGAGCTCTTGGCTGGATGGCCGGCTCCTGAGGTACGCACCCTAACAGGAGAGCGTCGTCATTCTACTTCGTATTTCTCCAGCTCGGGCGGCCAGTCCAGCCCTCGCATCCACCCATCCACACACCAGGTCTCGGCATTGGCAGGCCTTGCCGCACTTTCCCCTGGTTGCCCAGCATTGGGCCCCTGAAAGTTTGTCTGGGCTCCCCGGCCAACCTCCCTGGATGGATGGATCTCTGCCATGGCTTCTTTCCACGGAAAAAGAGCGGCGACAACCGGGCTTCTGCTTGGGGCGATGGCGCCAGATCGCCATGCCACCGATGGGTCCCTCACAGCCTCAATTGATCCCCTAATCACCTCCAAGAATAGCATTTCCAGCTCTCAACTAGCGCCATTCCGCTCGACGCTCCGTTCGTTCCCAGGCTCAAGCGCGAGCGGGCGGGCGTTGAGTGAGGAATTCAAGTCGCTTGTCCTTGCTTTGCCTCTCGGCTTCTCTCTCTCCGATGTTCCTGTTTTAGTTGTACCATTAGTGTGGGGGTCTTGCCATTGTCCTCGCACCACCACACATCGTGAAGGAGGGGATGAGAGATGAGCAGGAGCAACAACATGTTTCCCGCTTACTCGCCCGCATTGCTCAGCGCCAATGAACCTACGACCCTTACCCCAGGAGGAGGGGGATCGCTGGAGCCCCTCCACTCATCACCCATGCCGATGAGATTGCCTGTCAGGGAAAAAGGGCTTGTGCATTGTACAGCAGCAAGTACTAGAGGATGAGGCTGGCTTGGCCCAACCTTGAGCGTTCGCAAAGCGAGCCATCCAGCATTCTGACATCAGCCACGTTGCCTCATCAAGGGCCGCGAGGAAGATGTGGCCCACCGAGCTGACCTTACTCCATCATCCGTTCATCCATCCCCTGGAAGTGCGTGATCAGCCCAAGACCGTCGGGTTCCCCGCCGAGTTACTGTTGTTGGGGGACATCACACGACGAGGCTCTGCTTTACCATCGCCATCATTCATCGCACATTCCCACGACATGACCGCCTCTAATAATGTCCCCCGCTTTCCGCGAGCAACATGCACATGGCCAAGCCGTATTGGTGACTTACGGGCTGGCCCCATAAGCAACCTATTGTTCGGATGACGACCAAGGCATCTTGTACAAAGGCTCTGGTGTAGAAACTCTATGGATATGTCCAAAGGAGAAAAGTACTTGTAGCCTTCTGCACGTGGCTTGTACTCTACAGTGTGACCGGGCGAGCTTCACGAACAGCGGCGAGACAACAGATTTCCGTCCCGCAAAGAGCTAGGTCGAAGACTAACGAGTCAAGACGCTTCCTGATGGCGCTCGACTGTGAAGTGGGATGCACAAAGTCCTGATCCAAAATAATGTACTACAAAGCTCAATTGCTCATCACATCTAGCCAACTTTTTGGCTTTACTTTATATTCTATTCATATATAAAATAAGTTCTTTTTGTCGATTTTAGAGTATAAGCCTAAGACATTTATCCTAACACGAACCCTAACCCTTAAGATGGCAATACGGTATATCATTTAGATTAGCAGTCCACAACTCGGTGCATTACTTTGGATCATTACTTTGGATCAAGACTTTATGCCTTCCACTACAGGCAAGTCACCTTCGCTGTGATCAATAGTGCTCAGCAGTAAGCCAGATTCGGCACTTGGAGCACCCTAAGACGTAGCATGCAGAGGACGATAATTGGCGAGGTTGATTACTTGCTCGGGGACCAAGCCAAGTCTCACGAAAAGTCAGCCTTAGGAGGCTAAAAAGTCATTGGTACCCTGCATCTCACCAGACTCCACTGCGCAAGTGGCCAGCTGAGTGACTCAATTAGTTGCTGACACCAGCTTCATGCTCATTATTGTGCCTTGTGCTAGCACATGGGTCGGCATCTGGCAAGCCGGATCCGAAGCCGTTCACCGTGGTTCTTGTTCCGAGACGCCATTCGCATTCCTGCTTCTAGGGCTGAGCCATCTATGGCGCCAGCTCGTCTCTACTGTACAGTCTTACAAGATTACCAGTGACCTTCGTGTCCATGGCCTTCGATGCTCAATCCTTGGATTTCCCTTGCGCTCTATCCCACCTAATTCCAGCCCCCTCGCTTACAGCTTCTGGTACTCTAGCTTGCCCTCGAGCTTCTTCGACTCGGCGACCTTGCGGACCGCCTTGTTGAAGTCATCCTGGTTGATGGAGTCTCGGTAGTCCTTGATGGCGAACAACCCCCTATCAGGTGTGTCAGCAATGCGCCATGCATAGATAAGCTCCACAGGAGCTCTGGTGTTGGGGCACTTACGCCTCAGTAACGACGTTTCTCAAATCGGCGCCGTTCAGTCCGTCACTCATCTTAACCACGCTCTCGAAGTCGATATCTCCGTCGAGCACGACACCCGACGAGTGGATCTTGAGAATCTCCAATCGGCCAACCTCGTTGGGCAAGGAGATCTCAATCTTACGATCCAGACGACCGGCACGGAGCAGCGCAGGGTCCAGCGTGTCGGGCCTGTTCGTAGCCATAATGATCTTTGTCTTGCCCAGGTAGTCGAATCCATCCAGCTGGTTCAGTAGCTCCATCAGTGTTCGTTGGATTTCTCGATCAGCACTAGTACCCTCTGAGAATCGTCGTCCACCGATGGCGTCGATCTCGTCCATGAAGATGATACAGGGCTCGTGCTCCTTGGCATATCCGAACATCTCACGGATAAGTCGCGCCGACTCTCCGATGTACTTGTCGACAATAGCGGACGAGACAACTATTCATTGGTCAGTTTAGGCGTTTCTGGATATGGGATCAGTCACAGGAGAAGTACCCTTCAGGAAGTTGGTCTCCAGACTGCTGGCAACGGCTCGCGCCAGGAGAGTCTTTCCGGTACCAGGAGGACCGTACAACAACACTCCCTTGGGCGGCTTAATACCCACTCGTAGGAACAGCTCGGGGTTCTTCAACGGCAGCTCAATCACCTCTCGCAACTCTCGGATCTGTTCGTTCAATCCGCCGATACCTGCAAAGCTGACTTGTCCGGGATCCTCCAGCGACATGTTGTACACCAAAGGGTCGACCTCTCGGGGGAGCATTCGCATGATGGTGAGCGTCGTCATGTCCAGGGCCACGCGAGTGCCCTGCTTCAGCTTCACCTTGTCGACCTTGGATCTGCAGCCGACGACATATCGAGGACCGGAAGATGCCTTGACGATAACTACGATGGGAGCTGTCAGTGTCCGTTTATCCACGTGCGCCGTCTGGTGTAGCCTCACATCTCTCATCGTCGAGCTGTTTTAGGACTTCGCCGATGATCTGTCCGACACTCTGTAGCGCCTTAATGTTGTCCTCGGTTCGGTCGAACTCGCGCTGCATGTCCTTGATTTCAAGACGCAGGTTCTTGAGCTTTGCCTCCCATTCGCGGGACTCGATGAGCTTTGCCCGGTAGGAATTGAGGGCGGCCTGGCGCTCTTCTTCGGCAGTCATGGTGGCGAAGCTGCGTCTGTCGGTCTGTGTGTATATGTCGATATCGTCGGTGGGGAGCTTCGCTGGTAGAGGGGAGGTTGAGGTTCGGTGTTGGGAGCTCGAATGTCTAGAGGTGGTAGAGATGTTCGACGGTGACGGATGTTGATGGCAGACGGAGAGCTTACCTCACCGGCTGGAGCCTTCCGCTAGCCCCTGCAGGCCAAGACCATCCAGCTCGGCAGAATCTCGGAGAACCTGGTCAGCGAAGACCGCACTATGTCTAACAGCCTACCCTATACATTCGCTACTCACTGGCAAAAATGTGTCAAGAATGCTGGTGCATATGTATGTTTAGAAAATTAGAGAATGGAGTAAAAGGGAGTTCTATAGGTTGCGGGTGGTTTCTTCACGAGGCCGTGTTCATGTTACTCCCTCACGGCTATCGATAATGTACCTACCTGAACATCCTCGCGCAAAACTTAGCACCGGCTTGTGAGATGTGGATTTCCAACACAACAAGCGCCTACCTAAGGATAAATCACATCGGGGTTCAACACAGTTGGATGAAAATAACAATCCGCAATCTCTATTTTGAAAGGCGACCTACTCCTGTGGCTAGACCTCCCCCAGTCTATAGTTCCCAAACAAACTACCACGGCGTGCCCAGCAGACGCTGTGTCGTCCGGTTGCCCGAGTGTCTTGCCCTGTATAACCAACTCCTCTCCAAAGGCGAGAAATATTTGAAATGGACGGAAGGACAACGAACCAATAATGGTCGAGGCATTGAGCCATGTGGAATCTCTGAACATGAAACCTAGTGTTGCCTCTTCGTCTCAGATCCAAGCCACAGCCATACCCCCATCACCAGCCGGATGTGGGTTGCATAGATGCAGACGATATTTTCTATGCAGCCATAGACTAATAGAGGCGTCAAATGCGAGAGTTATGTCGCTGATATGCCATGACATTAGCAGAGGAGACTTCAATCCTCCTTGTCATCACCCTTGGTGGGAGCTGCATCCGAATTGGGCTTGGGCTCTCCTTCGGCATCGAAACCAAGCGCATCCAGCTCCCGAATCAGCTCATTGATTTTGATGACCTTGGCAATCTGCTCCGGCAGCAGAGCTTCGCCACCCTCCTTCTTGTTCTTTAGGTCCTTGGCCTGCTTCAGCTTCTTCTTAAGATTCCGGGCCTTTTTCTCGCGCTCAACATCAGGGTCGACCTCCTCGGGTTTGGGCTGTTCCGTGATGGGCGCATCGCCGTCGCCGTCGGCAGCCTTGGCCTTCCTACGAGCCTCGCGCCTCTTGGCGTTCTTGTTGCTGGCGGCAGATCCCTGCTCCGAGCTGTCCTCGCCGGCGCTGGCGGCACCCGGGATGCCGATTCTCTTGCCCCGCTCGCGGAAAGCCTCGGCGGTGCGGTTCTTGTAGACCTCGACGTCCTCGGCGGGCCGGTACCCAGGGCGAATTTTGATGGCCCTGCGCGTGCTGCCGTCGGCGCGGACGGACTGGGGGATCTCGCGGCTGCCACTGTTCTCGTCGGTGACGATGCCGGCGTTGGAGGGCTGTGAAGGCATGGCGACTGTGGCCGCGACAGCGGCTGCGGGGTATTTCGGTCGCGGTAGGAAATGTGAAGAGTGAAGAATGGCAGGGCAGACAGGGCTCGTTGGCCGTCCCGGCGTGGAAACGAAATGGAAGTTCTAGCGGCACAGCAACCCGCCTTGGGCCAAGGCGAGGCGACGCAGGGTGAGGCAGGGCGCGGGCGCAGGCGCAGGGCTGATGGTTGGAGGCGCGTCCTGGGTGGTTGAGCTTTCAGCCTTGTAGAGTCCGGTGTCAGCGTCGCAGCGGCGTCGCAGAGAGCACAGCAATCCAGCAGGGTGCGTACAGTGTATTACAGTGCCCTCAGTAAACGTTGGTGTTAGCCAAGACACTGTGCGTTTCGCCTGGTAATTATCCAGCGGACCTTCTGTGAATTCACCCCGCCGGCGTTGCTTATGCTCATGCAGTTGTGTGAGGTGGGTAAGTTAGTCAATGCGAAAGGGCATCCTCCAGAGGCCGTAGCGTCACTCGTTCATTGCCATTGGGTGAGGCCCCACTAAGACCTTGTGAGCTTATTGTGACCTTGGCCTGAAGACCAGTGGAAATAGACAAGCAATATTGCGTCGTGATTGGTTGCTGCCCCCTGCGATGGCTTTGTTTGTAGCTGAACACTCAGGTTAGCTGACGCCAACCGCGCGCGAGGCTGTTTTCCATGTTAGATTATTCATTTGCGCATTCCGGATGCTTCCCTTTAGTCGGGAAGCGAGTCGGGAACAAATAAATGCAGGAAAACATCCTGCAGTCTCCCGCACAAGAATCTGCGGACGCCAGCTTCGCAAACGGCTGCCTGCGCACGAGAGCAGGCACTTTAGGCTGGTGTTGGGTACCCGGAGATCCTCAAGGCACACGGTTGATGCGCTGGCTTCGCATCACCGACCCGAGTGGCGCAACCTTGAATGAAACAGCATGGAAACCTGCAAGCCCGTCTAATGGCGGAACAAAGCGGTGTAATGCAACTAGCTAGCTGCGTAGGTCGGGGCTCTACAGAGTACGTGTACCGTACGTCACATGAGCCCAATTATCCCTGCGGCCAGACCACAAGGGAACATGGCACAGAGGCCTTCTCCCTGGTCTGAGGCTGCCGGCTCGCGTCCCACAGACCGCCCTGCTTTACGTAGCACGCACCCTCCAAAGTCCCTTTATCCAATTGGGAGCCCACATGCACATCGTGGCACCTGCAAGCACCAAACAGTAAAAGGGAAGCCTGATTCAGGCAGCTTGTCTCAAGCCTGACGATGACGCCCTGTTTTTTCCCTGTCTTTCCCAGCAGGATTCGTTGCCAACGAAAAAAAGGAAGCAAGCCACTGGTGTCACCACCTCCGGTAATCGAGGGCTGGGCTCCTGTCCAAGGCCAAGAAAACTTCCCGTTGCTGACATGGGCCTACCCCTGGCTCCAAAACTAATGCGACAGCAACAAACAAGCTTAATTTTTAAGACGTACAACAAGAGAGCATCATCATCGTCACCAGAGATGATTGGCCCCTGGCTAGGGACGCCTGGTGGGCTTTGTGTCGGCATCCTACATAGTAAGACCCCCAACGTTATTGCTCATCTCCTCAACCGCCCGCCCTGGAGACGGGTTCCAGATCCTCCGCTATTCGCCTTGAATCAGTCATTTGTAATTTGTGTACACCCGGTTTGGGGTTGATTACCCTTCCCGAGCCCATCGGCACAAGGCAGGCGCTACCACCTGTGAATCGGCGTTGTCCTGCGTTTGCGCCCGTCTCACTCTGCCTGGTTACCTTAGGTACTTTATTAAAGGACCCTGCCAATATGAACTGACTGATCCTCTTCACTCTCCCAAGGCGCGTCATCTTTTCAAAGCCCCAAAGATCCAAGCCGGGCCTGCCCCTGTTATACCTTTGCTCATCATCGCCCCATCGCACCATTCCCAATACTGCCACATCTTTGTTCACTGCCGTCTTTAAGGAGGCCTCTCCAGGGCGGTACCTCAGACAGTTGACAGAACAGGGATTTGCGCGGCACCAGCTCAGCCAGCCCAAGTTCGTTGGTGGATCTACACAAGAAAACGCCCTGGTTATTATAAAGCCACTGTGCGGACCATCGCCGCCAAGAAGAAAGAGGTCCTCTTTCTTTCTTCTCCTCCAACCTCTGCGGCGTCGCTCCTACACCACCATCACCGCCAAGATGGCTACTCCCGATACTCCACAGGAAGCCAAGACCCATCCCAGAGAAGGCAACGGCCATGCGGCCCCCAAGATCGGCATTGTGGATACTGCAGATGCGTTGACCCCAGACCCCGGAACTGAGGACATGTTCAAAGTTGAACACAACCAATTCGCCTTCGCCCCTGGTCACCTATCCAAGCTGCTCAACCCCAAGAGCCTCAGTGCTTTCTATGCCCTCGGCGGCCTCGACGGCCTGGAAAAGGGCTTACGAACCGACCGAAAAGCCGGTCTCAGTGTCGACGAGACCACGCTGGATGGCGAGGTTACCTTCGAAGATGTGGTGCCCAAGGGAACACCGAAATACGGCACCGCTGGTGATTCAGTGCCCGAGGCCAAGGGCGAAGCATCTGTCCATATCCCTCCCCCCGAAGACCCAAACCCGACAGGGGCCTTTGCCGACCGCAAGAGAGTATTCCGCGATAATCGACTCCCCGACAAAAAGACCAAGTCCCTGCTCGAGATTGCTTGGACTACGTATAACGACAAGGTCCTCATTCTCTTGACTATTGCCGCAGTGGTTTCCCTGGCTCTAGGATTATATCAAACTTTCGGTGGCGATCATGAGGAGGGCGAGCCTCGAGTTGAGTGGGTAGAGGGCGTGGCCATCATCGTCGCTATCGTGTAAGTCGAGACCCAATATAAATCACTATCACCGCCACTGACAACAAACAGTATTGTCGTTCTGACCGGTACAATCAACGACTGGCATATGCAGCGACAATTTTCACGTCTTACCAAAAAGACTAACGATCGTACCGTCAATGTTATCCGCTCCGGCAAGTCGCAAGAGATTTCCGTTCTCGACGTCTTGGTCGGAGATGTAATGCACCTCGCAACCGGCGACATCGTCCCCGTCGACGGAATCTTCATTGAAGGCAGTTCGGTCAAGTGCGACGAGTCGTCCGCTACCGGAGAGTCGGATCTTTTGAGAAAGGTCCCTGCCGCCGAAGTTTTCCAGGCAATCCAGAAGCTCGACGCCAAGGATGCTGAGAAGCTGGATCCATTTATCATTTCAGGAAGCAAGGTCAACGAGGGCACTGGCAAGTTCATTGTCACCGCCGTGGGTGTTAACTCGAGCTACGGTCGAATTTCCATGTCTTTGCGGACCGAACAGGAAGACACACCCCTTCAGAAGAAACTCAACATCCTGGCAGACTGGATCGCCAAGTTTGGTGCTGGAGCGGCCCTCCTACTCTTTATCGTCCTCTTCATAAAGTTCTGTGCTGGCCTCCCCAACAACAAGGGAACACCCTCCGAGAAGGGCCAGGAGTTTATGCAGCTTTTCATCGTATCCGTTACGGTTGTCGTCGTGGCTGTCCCCGAAGGTCTGCCTCTGGCTGTTACCTTGGCCCTCAGCTTCGCTACTGTGAAGATGCTCCGTGACAACAACCTTGTCCGAGTTCTCAAGGCCTGTGAGACAATGGGAAATGCCACTACCGTCTGCTCAGACAAGACTGGAACTCTCACACAAAACAAGATGACGGTTGTTGCTACCACACTCGGAAAAGCCACGAGCTTCGGCGGCACCGATGCGCCTATGGACAAGAGCCTGAAAATCAACCAAGATGCCATAACCATCCCCAACGTCTCACAGTCTGAATTTGCTAGCGGCCTCAGTCAAGAGGCGAAGGACCTCCTTATTCAATCCAATGTGCTCAACTCCACCGCATTCGAAGGCAACCAGGATGGCGAAAATACCTTCATCGGCTCCAAGACCGAAGTTGCTCTCTTGACCCTCTGCAGAGATCATCTGGGAGCTGGACCCATTCAGGAGATTAGATCATCGGAAACAATCGTCCAGGAGATCCCATTTGATAGCAAGTACAAGTATAGTGCCGTCGTGGTCAAGCTTGCCAATGACAAGTATAGAGTGTACGCCAAGGGTGCATCGGAGATTCTACTGGAGAAGTGTTCCAGCGCTCTGGGCAACGTATCCCAGAGCGAGTTGGATATCGTTCCAATTACCTCCGAGGACCGCGAAATGTTCAACCTCACCATCAGCTCCTACGCCAGCCAGACGCTCCGAACCATCGGCTCATCGTATCGCGATTTTGAGTCTTGGCCTCCTGCGGGAGCTGTTTCCGAAACAGACCCCACCGTTGCCGACTTCAATGCGGTTCACCAGGACATGACTTTGATTGGCATATATGGTATCAAGGACCCTCTGCGGCCCAGCGTTATCGATGCCCTCAAGGACTGTCGACGAGCTGGTGTGGTTGTGCGAATGGTCACTGGTGATAACATTCAGACTGCCAAGGCTATTGCTTCCGAATGCGGAATCTTTCGCCCTGAGGAGGGTGGTATCGCCATGGAAGGTCCTGATTTCCGCAGACTACCAATTGATGAGCTCAAGAAGAAAATACAGCATCTCCAAGTCCTAGCCCGCTCGAGCCCCGAGGATAAGCGTATCCTGGTCCGCACCCTGAAGGAGCTCGGAGAGACTGTTGCTGTAACTGGCGATGGCACGAATGACGCTCCCGCTTTGAAGATGGCAGACATTGGGTTTTCGATGGGCATTGCTGGCACTGAGGTTGCCAAGGAAGCTTCATCCATTATTCTTCTGGACGACAATTTTGCATCGATCGTCAAGGGTATGATGTGGGGTCGTGCAGTCAATGATGCAGTCAAAAAGTTCCTCCAATTTCAACTAACTGTCAACGTCACGGCTGTGGTGCTGACCTTTGTCTCTGCCGTCTCTAATGGAAAGGGCGAATCCGTTCTCAACGCCGTACAACTGCTCTGGGTCAACCTCATCATGGACACATTTGCCGCATTGGCTCTGGCCACAGACCCTCCGACCAGAAGCGTTCTAGACCGAAAGCCTGACCGAAAATCTGCTCCTCTTATTACCTTGAGAATGTCCAAGATGATTATCGGCCAGGCAATCTGCCAGCTTGCCATTACTTTCGTCCTGAATTTCGGTGGCAGGAAGCTCTTCGGGTATGATCACTCGGAACACGATACCAAGGAACTCAAGACGCTTGTCTTTAATACCTTTGTTTGGCTTCAGATATTCAACGAGATCAAGTAAGTCGAACATCCTGGCTTTGATTCCTTCTTGCGCTAACCAATATATAGCAATCGACGCCTCGATAACAAACTGAACATTTTCGAGGGTCTCAGCCGTAACATTTTCTTCATCATCATCAACATCATCATGGTTGGAGGCCAAGTTCTCATCATCTTTGTTGGTGGTGAGGCATTCAAGATCACTCGCTTGACCGGAAAGGAATGGGGACTCTCCATTGGTCTGGGAGCCATTTCAATTCCATGGGGTGCTTGCATCAGGTGCGTACCGGACGAGTGGGTCGCCGCATGCCTGCCTGGATTTATTCGTAGGATATGGCTGGCTCCCCCGACTCAGGAGGTTGAAGCTGAGAAGTCTGATGACGACGATTATATCCGTCCGCCTCTGCGTGTCATGAGCTCGATCCGTGGGCCTCGCGTCCAGCAGCATATTGGTTTCCGCGACCGAATGCACAAGATCAAGGAGAGGGCCAAGGAAAAGGCCAAGGAGGCGACGCATGAAAAGGTGGCTGGGCCTGATGTTGACGAGGTTAAGAAGTAGAGGAGAGGAGTGCCTTGCTTGGATCTTCGCTTCGTCGAGTATGATTTCACTCGCAATTACCCTTCGCTTGGGAGCGGATGGAAGATCTCGTTTGAGAGATTCTATGCTTCGAGGCATTGTGATGACTATAGAAACATAAACGGGGTTCTATTACGTTTTAATTAATATAAACCAAGAATTCTGAGCGAGTCTGTAATGTTTTCACTATCTTGACTTGGCCGGATTCTGAAGAGAGAACGCTTGGTTAGTAGAATGTCTGAGCCGATATTGTAGACAGCGGTCATGGGCATCATGGAAGACCATACAGTGAATTGGAGACAATAATTCGAAGAAAAAAGAAGAAGAAAACGGGCGTAAACGAGGGAATTGAGAAACACCTATTTAAGACTCCCGATTTCTGTTCGAGGTTCGTTCTACAGCATCTCATTCAGATTCGAGGGTGCTGGAGCTGAAGCATGACGAGAAAAGCGGGTCTCGGGAGTGCGAGCGCAGCCAGCCAATCAGGCGTGGCCTAAAGCTGTCCCCGGAACTTCGCGAATTTCCTGGCCTGACAATCTCAGAGGATCCTCTCCATCTCGCAACCGAACCCTCAAACCGCCGGCCTCACGTCCATCACCTATTCGAAGCTGCATCTCAGACGCTCAATTGCGCTCACTAGCCAAGATGGTAAGTCCCTGGCATGCTCCGGGCCCTCGTCACTGACCGCATTGGCTAATCGCGCATCCCTTCCCAGACCATCACCAGCCGGCTCTACAGGCAAGTCCCGCGACGACCGAGACGAGATACCCACGATCCCAAATACTGACCCGAATTGCCTCGCAGCTCCTTCTTCCGGTCGAACTACCTGATGCTCGCGACCGTCTTCACCGCCGGTTTCGCCTGGGAGGTGTAAGGATGGCCCTCCTCCGGCCTTCGGGCCAACGGGACAGGATGCTGATTGCGGGTTTTAGGGGCTTCAACAACACCATGGACAAGATCTGGGATAGCCACAACCGAGGCGTAGGTTTTGCCGCGCCCCGAATTGGGTTGCTAGGGTGCTAACGAGATCGCAGCGCCAATGGAAGGATATCCGACACAAGTTCATCGAGGCCGAGGAGGATGACGAGTAGAGGATGCGAGACACCGTTTCGAGGGCCGGACGAGGGATTCACTCTGTGCCAGTAGCCGTGTACAAATTATAGGAGAAATAGAGGCAGGATCACGGGCGTTTTCCCTTTGTCGTCTGGATGCTACTTTTGGCCGTCTTGGAGACTCGTGATGCAATGCCGACCGAGGGGAATTGGCTGGTAGCGCAGTGGCCAATACCCGCCCGCCCACGCCCACATTTGGTCGCCTTGATTGACTGCTGCCAGCCTGACAAATAAAAAACAAATAAAATCTGCTCAAGGCCTTATCTGACTCATCAAGTGTACCGCTCATAATTGTAACTCTTCCTTTGCTGTTGTTCACGTGGTTTCGATCCCTCCGCTTACCGGTTGCCATTTGCTCAGGGAGTACCGAGTAGGCAGCCTAATATCTGACGTCGACCGTGCAGTCACCGAGGGGCAGTGGCCAAAACACACTTCAGCCTCAGGATACAGCGGGCCCGAGTGCAGAGCACCGCCCAAGATTCCACGACCTGAACACTGCAATAACACTGCTGCGAGTCCATCCACTGGTTTTGATCTACGGGTACGTCGCATTTGGGTCTTGACGGGCCCTATTTGATGCTAACTCCTTCGTGGCTGCAGTTATCCCACTGTCCTTTTCCACCGACACTCGCCAGCCTTTGCGAATCCCCCCACTACTTGACGACATCACCGACACCGCAATCGGACCGGCGCCCTTGAACCCTTCACCGAGGGCTACCATGAAGTCTTGAAGAACATGGAACATTCTATGTCAACTCAGGAGCAGCAGCTCTGCCAGTTCCTGGCGGAGCTGCCCGCCCGCTTCAACTACCGCTACACCGAGGAAGCCTCCCGAGAGCTGCTGAGGAGTCTGTTCTGGTCACTGGCCGGCGGCAGCAACGACTACATGCGGCTGCTCTTCCCAGATGGCAAGCCAGGCGATACCCTGAAGCTTAGTGATGCACAGGGTGCCGTTGAGGGAGCCGAATATACCGAGACAGCGAGGGGCAAACGATGCGGTCACATCTTCAAACCTGGCGAAGCGTCCTACATGTGCCGCACCTGCGGCACCGATGAGACCTGCTGCCTTTGCAGCCGGTGCTTCGACTCGACCGACCACACCGGACATATGGTTCGTATTCAAATCTCAGTTGGCAACAGTGGCTGCTGCGACTGTGGCGACGATGAAGCTTGGAGGACGCCATTGTTCTGCACAATCCACTCCGACATGCATGCGGATGGTCACAAGGGGAAGGAGAAGGAGGCAGCTGGGCTGCCGGAGGATGTTGTCGCAAACTTACAGATGACCATCGGTCGGGTCTTCGACTACGTCTGCGACGTCATCTCGTGCTCCCCCGAGCAACTGCGCCAGGCTAAGACGAAGGAGTCCATCATCGAGGACGAGCAAACGTCGCGGTTATCGTCCCAGTATTATGGCCCAGACGCCGAGCCCTGCAAAGACTACGCACTGATTCTATGGAACGATGAGAAACATACCGTCCAGGAAGTTCAGGATCAGGTTGCTCGTGCCTGTCGCAAGAGTCGTCGTGCCGCTGCCGAAAACGCTTGGGAAACCGACGCCATCGGACGCAGCATTCTGACGTATTTGCCAGATGTGGATAGGCTCCTCCATATGGCCACAATCATGGAGGCCATTCGAGTTACGGTGACAATCAGATCGGCGAGAGATACGTTCCGTGAGCAGATGTGTGGGACTTTGGTGGAATGGCTAAGTGATATCTCGGGCTGCGCAGTCGGCCACGACAACCACATTCTTCGCCGCACCGTTTGCGAAGAGGTAATGAAGTCATGGCGTCAGGGCAGCTCGGCCACCCATACATTGGGGCTGATCGATGACGAAGAGGAAGACGATCAGATGGTGGAGTCCCGTCATCGCTTCGACGGCATGAACGCCCGCTTTATCATGGCACTGCAAGCTGCCGCTGGAAATGCAACAGGTCTGGACTTTGAGGCAGCTGACTCCTCCGAGGATGAGGAGGATGATGGTGATGCAGATATGGATGACCAGGGCAATCATTCCCCTTCTAGCTCCGTTGCGGGGGGGGATGAGGACGAAGATGATGATGACGATGTTATGATGGTTGATGCTCGCGGAGATGTTGGTGATCTAGGCATGAACTGGAGCCAGTCTGACCAGGCTTTGGAAGAAGACGAGGCCACAATGGCCGGATATCCACCACCCCCTCCTCCACCTCCCGCTGGTGCTGTCGCCGCTACCCCAGCGGTCCTTGTCGCCACAGCTCCCGGAACTACGACTCAGGACAGAGAAGCAACACCCTCAGACTCGGAGGAACCTATTGTGGATTTGATTGCTCCATCGATCTTCGCCAAAGCCAATGCCGAAATCCCCAAGACCCCAGGAAAGACCGAGAAGATGACACCACGACCTGGACGGTACTGGATAGAGACCCCTGCCGTCTATACACAGCGCGAGAACGTACCTCCCGCAGAGGATGTCTTCCGACGTGTTCGTCTCGACTGGCTTCTCCTGTTCGACTTGAGAATGTGGAAGAAGGTCAGAAATGACCTCCGAGCACTATATATATCAACCGTGGTGCAGATTCCGGAATTCAAGCGAGTTCTTGCCCTCAGATTTGCCAGCCTTTACACGATCCTGGCTCAGCTGTACTTGGTTGGAGACCGAGAGCCGGATCATTCCATCATCAACCTCTCCCTCCAGATGTTGACGACCCCCTCCATTACGGCAGAGGTTGTCGAGCGAGGAAACTTCATGACTAGCTTGCTGGCCATACTATACACATTCTTGACAACCCGTCAGGTCGGCCATCCCTGGGATGTCTCCCCCGATGCGGTCCTGGCGTTTGAGAGTGGATCTGTTACGAACCGACGAATGTACCATTTCTATCAAGATCTGAAGTACCTCTTTGGAGCACCTCATGTCCAAGAGCGGGTCAGGTGTGAGCCAAGATACCTTATGCAGTTCTTGGATTTGGTCAAGCTTCACCAGTGTATCGGCCCCAATGTGCGCGCTGTCGTCGAGCACGTCGAGTATGAGGCTGATTCATGGATAACTGCATCATTGGTTACGCGCCAGATCAACCTGCAAGCTCGAAACCTCGCCGAAGCGTTCCGAAACTGTCCTCCAGATGAGATTCACTACTTACAACGAGCCATCCGATTCACTGCGAAGACAGTCATCTTGAACTCAATCGGGGCTGAACGCCACAGATTCAAACAATCCGAGGTCAAGGATGAAGTTCAGTTCAAGACTTTGACCGACTTTGAATTCGACATGGACGCAACATCATATGATGTGGTCAAGTTTGTGGTTGAAAAGGATGCAATCAGCTTCCACCATGCACTGCACTACACACTGTCATGGCTCATTGAATGCGGACGGTCTCTCCCCGCCTCCACCCTGAAATCGCTCTTGAGCTTCACGCCCCAGGAACTCAAGTCGAGGCCCAAGCTCATGGGTCGTCCACAGGTGCCCAGAAAGGACTATAGCGCTGATGACTATCTCATTGCGGCATTCGACTTTCCTCTCCGTGTTTGTGCCTGGCTTGCCCAGATTAAAGCAAACATGTGGGTTCGCAATGGAATCAGCCTACGACACCAAGCCAGCACTTACCGTGGAGTTGGCCAAAGAGATGTCTCTCATCACCGAGACATTTTCCTTCTCCAAACAGCTCTGGTCATCTGTGACCCGAGTCGGGTGCTCGTTTCTATCATCGACCGTTTCGGGATGGAGAGCTGGGTCAAGGGACTCTTTGAGCTGAAATCCGAGGCTCAGGATGATAACCAACACCTGGACGTGGTGGAGGACATGATCCATCTTCTCATCGTCCTCCTCAGCGACCGAACATCATTAATCCCCTCAGACGATGAGACCAACTCACGGCTCCTCGCCATGCGCCGTGACATTACCCATGTCTTGTGCTTTAAGCCACTATCGTTCAATGAGATTTGCAACAAACTCCCCGAGAAATACCAAGAGCAGGAGGATTTCCACCGCGTTCTAGACGAGATGGCGACATTCAAGCCTCCTGAGGGCGTTTCTGACGTCGGGACTTTCGAGCTCCGCCCTGAGTTCATCGAGGAAATCGATCCTTACATTGCGCATTATAACAAAAACCAACGCGAGGAGTCCGAGATGGCATACCGAAAGAAAATGGCAAAGAAGACGGGCAAGACAGTCGAAGAGATTGTCTACGAGCCCAAGGCTCGTCCCGTGCTCTCGGGCTTATTCGAGAATCTGAGCGCCTTCATGAGCACAGGCATGTTTTCCCAGGTCATTTACTACTCGCTTCTGTATCCCCTTGTGGCGCAGAAGTTCACTCCTTCAGTGCCGTTCACACGACTAGAGACCTTCCTGCAAGTCGTGCTTCATCTCATGTTGATCGCCATTCTCGAAGACAAGAGTGATGAGAACGAGATGACTGAGGAGTCACTCAAATCGTTTGTCTACATTGCTCTTACACGATGGGGCCGCAGCAACTTCATGCCCGAGGCGCCAAACTCCAGAACCATTGTGGCTCTCCTGCACATGATGTCTACCAAGGACGAGTTCAAATCAGTTCATCCCAAAATTGCGCTCGTACTCAAGCGACTCAAGCAGAAGCGGCCCCATGCGTTCGAGTCAGCGTATGTGAGCCTCGGTGTCTCAGTTGATCGTATCAACACGTCATCACCGGCCAATACGTCCGTCGAAGAAGAGCGCGAAAGACGGAAGAAGGCTGCTCTCAGCCGCCAAGCGAAGGTCATGGCCCAGTTCCAGCAGCAGCAGAAGAGCTTCATGGAAAATCAAGGGACAATCGACTGGGGCTCTGATTTAGATGAGGACGAAGAGGAAACAGAGCAGTCAGAAGAAAGGAAGCACAACTGGAAGTATCCCGTCGGCACTTGTATCCTTTGTCAGGAAGATCTGGATGATCGCCGTCTGTATGGAACTTTTGCGCTGTTTAACGAGAGCCGTATCCTTCGACAGACGGACTTCCAGGACCCTGATTTCGTCCGAGAGGCATCGCAGACCCCCTGCAGTCTTGATCGATCAGCAGAAGACGTTCGACCCTTTGGCATCGCCCATGAGAACAGGAAGATGGTTGAGAAAATCAACGCCCGTGGAGAATCCTTCCTTGCGGAACGGCAGACCATTGGCAAGGGCTTTTCTTCCAACATATCTCGAGCAGGCCCCGTGGCCAGCGGGTGCGGACACATGATGCACTACCGCTGTTTCGAGGTCTATTATGATGCGACGGTTCGACGACATACTCACCAAATTGCAAGGCACCACCCCGAAGACACGAGGAAGAACGAATTCGTATGCCCACTCTGTAAAGCGCTTGGGAACGCTTTCGTGCCAATCATCTGGAAGGGACTGGATGAATCTTACCCAAGTTACTTGCAATCCCAGGGGACTTTTGAGGACTTCTTAGAAAAGCAGATGAGTTCCGCTTACTGGATTGGCGGAAGCAAGGCGCGTGAGGTCGACGAACCGCCGTTCCCCGACTTGTATACTCCCAGTCTGCCCGGCAGTCTCGTGGAGACGCTCCTGCCGGCGAACCCGACGTCAGAGGCATCCTGGGGGCGAGAAGATTCGGAGTCTCACTCGTCGGCTGTCGGCACCCCTGCCAGCTTCGCATTCTCCGACATGAATTCGCCTGAACCGGTTCAGCCTCAACCTCAGTCAACAGCACCGACAACAGAGGGCAGTCAGTTGAAGATGGAACTTTTAACGGCTTACCGCCGACTACGAGACACGCTCCGGGTAAACGGCTTGCACACCAAGCATATCATTGACGCCAAGGGCGACAGCTCAGATGACCTCTACTCTAGCGACACACTAGTCAAGTCGGTTGGTTTCAGTATTTCTTCCGTGGAGATCCAGCAGCGAGGAACAGAAGTACAACCAGGCATGACGCTTCTAGAGAAGATCCCAGAGCATGTCCTTACCCACCTGCGTATCCTTTCAGAAACAGTTTCGTCCTACATCTCCGTCGGAGCGCGACACTCGGGGTCCGAGAACCGCATCGATGCCGAATTCAGAAAGGATAGCGAACGACAGCACTGCCAGCTATTCATGTCACGATACTTTGGAACCGGTACTCCGTATGCCCGGCGACCTTTGGACGTGTACCCACCTCTCTTGACCATGGATTCCTTCCTTTTCCTAGTCGAATGCTCGTATGGCCTAGTGCCAACCCAAAAGGCAGAGATAACACATGTGCTTCGGCTCTGCTACCTGGCAGAGCTTGTCAAGCTTGTGTACCACATGGGCCGAAATATCCCGGTTGCCAACTGGATAGGAAATCTTACCAACCGGCAGACTCAAGACCCTGCAATTAACAACTTTGCCGACTTTGCCCTTGCAGTAACTCAGTTTAGCCTGGAATTCCACGCAGCGCAGTTCCCTGATGGCGCCGAGTTTGGGGAGAACCGTGGCTTCCAGCAGCCGGGCGTCGATACTCTCGAAGGGTGGTACACTTTTGCGAAGAAGTATGCCCTGACGTTCCTGAGGAAGAGCGTCATCTTCCTCTATGTCAGGTACGGCGTAGATTTCAATAGCCACATCTCACCTACCCCAGATGCGGACGAGCTCGACCGCCTGACCGAAACACTTCGCGTGCCGAGTTTCGACGAAATGTGTGCCGCAGTGACAGAGAACTCAGCCGCCTGCGGATGGCCCAAGACGACTGGCGCACTGGTGTCGGGGTGGGTGAAGCACCAGGTGATGTGGCCTGGAGGCGACCAAGAGATGCCTCACTCAGCAGTTCTCAGCCATCCCGGCATATTCGAGTTGATCGGGCTACCCAAGAACTACGACACGCTCATTGAAGAAGCAACGAGACGGAAGTGCCCGACCACAGGCAAGGAGCTCACGGATCCCGTCATCTGTCTCTTCTGCGGCGACCTCTTCTGCAGTCAAGGAACATGCTGCCAGAAGACGAACTCATCCCCAGATGGGGTGGAATACACCAAGATTGGCGGCGCTCAACAGCACATGCGCAAGTAAGTGGTGTCTTGTGCAGTTCCAGCGGGATGAATGACTGACTTGATATAATTGTAGGTGTCAGCGCAACATTGGCGTCTTCCTCAACGTGCGGAAGTGCTCAATTGTGTACCTCTTCCGCATGTCCGGATCCTTCACGCCGGCACCGTACATTGATAAGTATGGCGAGACAGACCCGCAACTGCGACATGGGCGACAGCTCTTCCTCAACCAGAAGAGATACGACTCGATGATCCGGAGCACGGTGCTGAACCACGGAGTACCGAGTTTGATCAGCCGGAAGCTGGAGGCGGAGATTAACAATGGAGGCTGGGATACTCTGTAGACGGATGGATCGGGGAGAGAGGATTGTAGAGAGCAATATTTTATGACGGCAACTCTCTGGTTTATAGGCTGGATGGTGATTCCAGGTGTATTGGTCGAGAGTGTTTGTATCACATCATCGCATCTCTTAGAATGAGCCAAGGGACATACTTAATCAAACCATCAGAATGCGGTTCTTGTATTGTACAGTGTGGTTAGACAGTGTGATCAGACAGTGCGGGGCTGGTTCCGGCACCTTGCGAGACTGTCGCCTGAGGCCAATCACAGCGAGCGAATGCGACCAAGGCGCGTCCCAACCGTGGCTCGAGGCTTGGGACCTGAACGAAAGGGTCGCAGTGCAGAAGCCAGCCAACAACCCAGCAACAGCTTCGACCTTTACATCACATTCTCGCCGAGTTCCTGCACGCTCTGGGCTCGCTCATCGCCTTCACGGGGGACGCCGCATCGCACCTGCACCGCACCGCATCGCAATCATGGCAGGTAGACGATCTGGCCGCGCTGCCGCCAAGCGGGCGGCGGCTGCTCTAGGTGAGTTTGGATTCTCTCCATCGCCATCTCCGTCTTGCACCGCAAACTTCTACTCCCGCCACGTCCACGCCCACGCCCGCGCTTCCACCACCCTTTTTTTGCCTCGCCCGCGCGACGTAAAGACGCTGAATTGCCCGTCGCCGCGTGCCATTGTCACTCATTTTCGCCATGGCGCCGCGCCAGAAGATCCGATTGAAGCTGACGCGCAGTTCCAAATCCACAGAGAGCACGCCCAAAGGGTTTGCCGATGTCGAAGACGAGGCCATGCCCGATGTCGAAGACGAGGCCATGCCCGATGCCGGGGTCGCCGCCGACGAGCAGCAGCCGGTCCCTGATCCGGACGACGACGACGATGGAGACCACCAGCCCAAGGAGGAGTCGGGCGACGAGGACGAAGATGCTGGCGACAAGGAAGACGAGGAGTCGGCCAAGGAACCTACGCCGCCGCCCCAGCCCGTCGTGAGACGCAAGCGCCTCGGCCGCCCGCCCAAGAACCGCCCGCCGGACTGGGATAACATGGTGACGGTACCCGAGCGGGATGCCGACACTCCGCGACGCCGTGGCCGCGGTGGATGGCGAGGACGCGGCGGTCGCAAGGGCGGCCCCTCGGCTCCCAAGGCTGAACAGATCATCGACGCCGACGGCACCGTCGCTGAGATCGCCGAAGACGAGTGCGTCCTCCCTGAAGACGCCGAGGGCGAGACCAAGGTGGACAAGGAGGGCAACCTCCAGGGCGGCCGCGAGTACCGCTGCCGCACCTTTACGGTGTTGGGCCGCGAGAACCGACTCTACATGCTGTCCACGGAGCCTGCGCGATGCGTCGGCTTCCGCGACAGTTACCTATTCTTCACCAAGCACCGCAAGCTTTACAAGATCATTGTGGACGACGACGAGAAGAGGGACATGATTGAGCGGGAAATCATCCCTCACTCCTACAAGGGCCGTTCGATAGGTATCGTCACTGCCCGGTCCGTTTTCCGCGAGTTCGGCGCCCGCATCGTCGTCGGCGGCAAGCGCATATTCGACGACTACGGCGTCACCCAGGCCCGCGCGGACGGCGTCGTGGAAGGCCAGCTCGCCGACCCCGAAGACCGCTTCGTCGAGGGACAGCCCTACAACAAGAACCAGTACGTGGCGTGGCACGGCGCCAGTGCCGTTTATCACACCAATGTGCCTTCAGTGCCGGTCCCGAACGGCAAGGTCGAGTCCAAGAAGCGCAAGGTCAACGTCAATGATGTCAACTGGATGCTAGAGCATGCCCGAGAGGCAAGGTAGGTCGAGCTTCTTCCCCTTTGAGTCGTGCATGCTGACCTTTTTTTGCCTTGCAGCACCTTCAACGCCAGCATCAATGCCATAAGGAAGCTCAACAATGCGGGCGTCTATGACATCCACACCAACGTGATGCAGTACCCGGTGACGATGCAGCCCACGCGAGCCCGCTTCGAGCAGGTCACATCCGGAGACGATGGAGGTGCCGAGGGCACTGCCGTATTCCCCCCGATCCCGCCCAAGATGGCTCGCAACTTCTACGTTGCCGACACGTACTTTGCGACGCCGGCAGCTGGAGTCATCTCGGCGGCGGACAACCAGGCCGAGTCAGCAGACTTCCTGGCGTCGTTCAGCGGGCTGTCGGCCGTACCCGACGACATCAAGGACCTATTGCCACCCGAGTGCCGCAAGGCGTTTGACCAGGCCGTCGACAAGCAGACGACATGGCGATCACAATGGGGTCTCGAGAGCGAGCACATGTCCCGTCGCCAACCCATCATCGACAAGGCAATTGTGCCGTACAGCATGACATGACGAATTCTCTAGTTCAAGCTTGTCCCAAGTCCTTGTTACTTGATTGTGTTTTTCTGGAAGACGAGCGTTGGAGGATTGCTGATTTTGCTGTATACTACTATCGCCACAACCCACCCGCCACCACCACTGCCACTGGGAACGACAACAAAACGGTTATTGTTTTGAGATGGTCGGATTGTTCCCGGAAGCTGGGCATGGCGCGGGCCGGGCTCGGCTTTGCGGGATAGGGGCGGGGGAAACAGGCAGAGGAAATAGGCGTTGGGGAGTCGTGGATAAACTCAGGGCTGGCTCGCTGATTTGACTTGAAGATGGCAACCGGGCCAGAGAGGAGCCAGGAGCCAGGAGCCAAGAGCCAAGAGCCAGACAGAGACAAGACAATTCGGAATACCAAAGTGATATTACAAAGCTTTCCACCCCTTGGCGTGTGAAGACCCCCACGAGAATGGAACGCGTGAACGGCAAAGAGGGGAAAGGGACAAGAAAACAACTCGCGTCCTCGGCATCGGCACCGTCGTCATCGTCGCCGTCCTCTTCGGAGGTTCGGTAGTGCAATTTTCAGACCAGGGCGCCATGCCAATTTTTTTCCTGACCCGAAACGCACGAACAAGCCCGAGGCCGAATACCGGCATGGGACTGGGAGAGACCGAGGGGAGCAGAGCGTGTAGTGCAATACGAACAAGTTCTGTGGGAGTCTCGTCTCCATCGAACCCGCTCGGCACAGAGCAAGTGTTCTCGCGTTCTTTTTCGGCTTTTTTTTTCTTCGTCTCTTTTACAGATGGCCTGATAGGATGGATGTATTTGTTCACGATGCAAGACTAGTTAGTCGAGACTCAAGACCCTGGCCACGGCACCGCACCGGTCAAGGCAAGGCCGGCGCTTGCCAACGCCCCAACCCCCCGCTCTCTTGTCTTTTCTTATTCCTCACGGTTCTGTTCGCGGACCCTTGCCCCACGCAGCGGGGTGACGGGGTGACTGAGTTGATGCAGGTCACGATGGTTTTTTTTTATTTCACGCAAAAATAGCTCCGAGGCCACGCCTAGATTGGGGCTAAACACTGCCAAGCAGAAGCACTGGAGAAACCTTGGCTGTGTTGGTTGTGGTCGTGGTGGGGTCGAAAGCGTCCCCTCAGTCCCGTACCGCTGGCCACTTGCATGCCATGCACAGAGAAGCGGCCTGGCCGTGTTTCCATGTGAGGGGAAGCGAGAGGAGGAGCGAGAGGAGTAGCCAGAAGATGCTACTGTAGGAGAAGCACACCTGGCCCGCATTCGGGGCGCTTGCGAGCTTGCGTCCGATGCAGGCGGCAGCCGCAGTGGAGAGAAACGCGAGAAGGCGTAGGTCTTGCGGTGCCGAGCAGAAGGCGGGAATCTAGAGCGACCCAACGCGGACAGGTTGGATTGGATCGGACTGGTGATCTCGGCCTCTTTGACCTCGTCGCCTTGCAGCTCGTCCAAGGCGGTTCGACCGAGCTGCCACGCGGCAGCGACTAGATGGACGACACGACATTCATCTCGCAGAGTGAGGGCACATCGACGCAAGACATGCCCCTCTCTGCGATATGCCTGTCCACCGTCTAGATCTGCGCCTGCGAACCGCCTGCGTCCGAGATTCGGATGGCACACTTGTTGGCTGGCGGGCGGCTCTGCTGTTTGAGCGAAACGTCAGCCAGATCGTGGCTAGGCATGATTTTGTCGCCACTTGACAGGTAATCATTATTCGTATACGCTACTCCGGTGATGAAATGGTAGTTGCAAGACGCCCGCTCGGAGACGAGGTAGGCAGAAAGCCTATGAAGCATCTCTCTCTGGTCGATGATGTAACTGATTAGTTCCGCCATTGCGCAAGTTGTTTGTGACGAGAAAACATGATTTTCAGCTTCGTCTTCTAGTGCTATTTCCAGTGACCCACGACAACCAGCCATCTTTAGATGACAGCATGCGAGTTAGTCACGATGATGAATGAGTGTAGGCACGTATTAAGCACGAACGGGTCTGTGTTCACCATCGAAATGCCAGGGCATGCAACAACCAACCTCAGCTCAACATACTTCAAACTGTGAGACCATCGGATGCGTCTTCACTAACCCATGTGCACCCAGGCAGAGGATCCTGGCCTGCCCGTCTCGCAATAAAATATGTTTGGTTCATCAGGTTGATGGCCGCCGGGTGCTCCGTGTGTATGACCTGCCTAGAATGAACGATTCGATCATGACCAGCGTGAGTACTATCACGACGCTGAACAACTCGACCCCGGCTGACACTTCGCGTAATCTCCTGCCACGCGGCAGGCAATTAACCGTGTCATATGCAAATGCGCATTGCACCTCGTCAAGACTGTCATCTTTGCTTGGGAAATCCGAATCAACGTGGGACATGCCATCACGGCGAGGAGACCAACGTCATATCCCCTTTACAGACGCAGGAAGAAAAAAGAAGGCGATGGTGATGACGGGCCAGGTCCAGGGTAGCAGTAATTAGGGTCCAGCCCGCTCCACCCCGACGAAACAAGTGGCTCACAATGCTGTAAGCTACATGGTACGTAAACTGACAGAGAACGGATGCGCTCGGGAGATGGGGACTACTCTGCCTACGAATTAGGCATCGATGAGTCGCGTTGTGTCATGAGTTGAGGGTGTCGCCTCCCTCGTCGTCATGGAATCGACGATCAGGAAACCTGTCGACATCTGCCCGGGGGGACGGAACTGCTCATGCCGCCGGGTGAGACTGGGATACTGGGGTACTGGGATGCTGGAATACCCGGGAGCGGATGAGTCGAGCGAGAGTGTGCCATCCACTCTTCCCCTTGTTGGTTCCATGCGTGTGTTGCCGCCAGTGGCGGAAGCGCTCTGTGCCCCTCGTCCACGTCGGCGGGTTCATTGGGATGCATGATGACGGCTGGCCTCCCCACGGGTGGCCCACTGGTGGCCCACGCGGCTTGCCCCATGGTTTATCCAGCTTGCCGGTCGGGGATTGGATGAATGGTCACCAGAGGGCATCGTGCCCTTGTGCCGTTGTACAGCTCTCATGTGTGTACCCCGTGTGTATGTACCCGACCTGTCCTGGATGGAGATGGTTGCAGCATGCGAGGGAGGGCCGAGCGTGGGAATCCGCCGGCAGCTATCTGCATCGAGAATCGAGGGAAAAAAGGTAGGCGCGGGAGGACTTCCAGACTACTCACAGCAGAGGCCCGAATAGAGTAGCCTCGACGCCTAATCGACATTCGAGTGGTGTGGCAACGACTCAGAATGGGTGACTGACTGTCCGTGACCTGCTTAGGCTGTCGTTAACGTAACACACCTCGCCTCATCTCAGTTAAGCTGGCACTCTGGCTGTCTCCGCCGACGGATAGCCAGAAACCCAGCCAAGAAGAGGCTTGAGGCCAAGCAAAGGCTCCGTCGCCCGTTTCGGCCGCCACCAAAGAAAGTTGCTGACCCGTGTCGCCGGACGACTCGTTACGCGACGGATGCCCGGCCATGCCGCCCGAGCCCGTTCCGCCGGGAACTTAGGAGCCTGTTCCATACTGTATCTGGATGGTACAGTACATGATCGATGTGTGTGCCATGTGCACCAAGCACGGTTTGAGGCTTTGGATGGGGAACTAGGCGGCGCCCGGTGCACCGATTCCTGGGATGCTCGGTTCTTGATTCCTGATCCCCCGACGGCAACATCAACAGAGGGTGTCGTCCCTGCGGAAGTAGACGTGCCTACGCGCCCACGCGGCCCCCATGCGCTGCCTGTCACATCTCTAGGCCCGGGCTTTCCCAGAAGCCCAGTGACCAGCGACTACAGAGCGACTACAAGACGCGGAGAAGATGGCTAGGCAGTGACAGCCAGTCAGCTGGTCCCGTGGCAACGGGCTTGCTGATGCTGTCACCCTCTCGCCCTTCCTTCTTCGTCCTCCCAATGCGACATTGCTGCACCGATGCATGCAAGCGTCCCCCCGATGTAGGATGTCGAGATGATCATGGATAAGAGGTGCCTGCAGGGTGGGAGCAGAAGGCGTTGACCAGTCGGGTGACGAGGAGCCGTAACCTTGGGCTAATCTAGGGTAGCGGATTGGGAATTGGGCGGCTCTCTGCTCTTTTTCTTGCTCTGGGATAGCTTCGTGGACGACAGTACAGGTAGTTGAAATACCCTCAGTCGTGGTCCCCCGGTTGTGGTTCGGCTATCTAGTAGACAGAGGTAATACTGAGTGGCCGCCTCTGGTTTTTGGCACTGCTGAGGTGGTGGACTTTTTTACTTGATGCATCGCTTCCATATTGGGATTGGATGCACTTGCGGCTTATACTCACCGCCTCTGAGCGATTGCCCTACCTCATGACTACAAGTGGCTGAGAATTGGGTGCCAACTCGTCAACCTGTCGGGTCTTGTCATGTATCGCTGTAGACCAAGGACGTTCGCGCATGTACCATTATTTTGCCTCGATGCTTTGCGGGCGCTCTCCGTGCGCGAGAAAGGAAGGGCTGCAACGCTAGACGAGTTGTATCAAGACACACAGCAAAGATGCCTATGACCAATTCATCAAAGAGCCGCCCACTAAGGCCAATCATCGTATGTCGATCGGTGTGAGCGACAGAGAGAAAAAGAACTCATCGGCTGGGTTTGCCTCAGTGACGAAAGTGGGTGCATGCAACATGGAGTGGTAACTCCATCGTGATCTATCTCCTAAGTCCGGTTCAACACAGAAACGACAGATGCCGATGGCGCGGCGTGGCGAGAGCCAGTAGCATCGCCGACGTAGGACTGGCTAGTTGGTGGTTGGGGTCGAACCGGTATTAGTGTAGCCTCATCCTCACAACCCGCCCATCAGAGGCGCTTTCACCAGGTGAGTTCCGGGGTGCGCGTCCATGGTGCCGGCAATATCTTTGCCCTGTCACGCGAGTAAGGAAGCTGTTCTTGCGGTGAGGATTGGATGGTCGCGCCCCACTGCACAACATGCAGGTAATACTAACATCTTTAGATGTTGGAGAAGCCAGTAGGGGGCCTGTGGCATTTTTTTCTTCTTCGCCTCCTCTACCAAAGCGCGAGCTGCAGATGGTCACCTTGCAGCACTCGGCGGTCTGGTCTGGTCCAGGTCTTCCCTGGCTGTGGCGTTGTCCGTCTTCAATGCCTTAGCGTGACCTAAACGTTTTCCCAGTCCTCTAGATCCGCGTGCTCTTGGAGGTATACCTATACAGCGAGAAGGAATTAAGGCTGGGAAATTGTTGACTCGTCGCTGCTTGAAGATGGTGACCGCCATTGCATTCAGCTTAATCACGCTGGTTGAATTGTGACCCGACCCAGAGAGGCGACAGTTTTGTGGTCATCATGATCTGGGTGATGGTAGACAAGTACATGGGCGATCACTCTAACAGTTCCTGAAACTGCGGCAGCCGGGAGTGTTGATGCTTCAGATCCTGATGTTAATTTGCCAGGGAGCAGAGGCACGGTCTTCGATTGCTGGGACTCGTGAACCCTTGGACTAGGCCAGGATATCTCTTCGATGCAATTGTGACACCCAAGTTCGGGTTAGGACGCTGTTATCGTCTCATAGGCCAAGGCGTCCATCTAATGAACCCTTCATCTCCAGGGTTGCCAATTAGGTGGCCCTAATTGGATCTCGGGACCGCTTGGTGTATTAGAGACCTCGGGTTGCTAGACCCTTGGCTGTTGCTGTCGCCCCGAGCACTCGTCACTTGAGCCCCCAGCTAATGCCGAAGATATTCTTCCCGGACACTCTTTGACTCGAGATTAGGTACGCCTACACAGGCCGCGTACACGCTGGTCGTTCAAGTCGACTGTCCCGAGTTGCCCATGATACATTGTCGTGGATTCCGAGGCTATTTTTGTGAGCCATCCATCCATGTGGGTTCCTTGACTGTCAAATGTTGGTAGCGTGTTCTGTCCATGTCAGCCTTTGCAGGCATGACCACCAGATCGACAACCGCCAGTCCAAGCCTTCCGGCCCTAACTTAGACCAGAGATGCGCGCAGCGGCTAGCGCTGGAAGGCGCTGGTACAATTGAGGGTTCTTCGTTGCAGAGCTGCATATCTTCGTCTCCGACGGCGCAGGGGCGGATTCGGGGGGGGGGGGGGGGGATTTTAGACAGTGATGTAAATTGGCTGTCAATATCCCCACCAGAGAAACCGTACCCCTGGAGATGGGACTCTGAGCGTCATGTTGCAGGAAAGCTTGACTGGAGACCCTCTCCCTGTCCACAGGGAAGCGAGACAACTTGGTTATGTTGGAGGCTTGTAAATATGTGTTGCTGTTTGGCTGGGTCGTTGGCGTGACAGCGTACCGGTTCATTTGCGCGGCAGGCAGTGCAGGCAGTGCAGGCAGGGAGAGTGCTAATTGAAACGGGCATTGCGAGGTGATTCGAACCAACAATGTAGGCCGGCCCCAGTTGTGTTCACATGGTAATATGGCTGAGACGGAGAGACTGGTTGATGAATCAAATCTCCTGGACAAGGACGCTATTGGCCGGCAATCCTCTAACTCTGCCCCCCCAACGGACGGACCAAATCTCCTGGGGGTTGGTGGTGGCCAGGGGAGGCGCTGTTTGGATGACAGACCAGTCGTTGGTGCGTGAGGAGAGAGCAGCGGTGAATGGGCTGGGGAAGCGGGAGGGGAGAAGAAGCGTGACGTACATTGCGCGCAGCCGCGCCTGGCTGGTGCAGGCAGTCAAGGCGGCTGCGGTGGCTGCGGTGGAGGATGTCGCGTGAAAGAAAGGGGGGTTTGCTCCTTGATGCACGTCTGTCCTCCAAGGCGCGCCGTTGTCCGTGGAGTGGTACGCTGCCCTCAGTGGACCTGAGGCATTTCTCTCCGCATTCTCCATCCAGGGTGGCACAATAGACAAACGACAAGAGCGATGGCGGAGCTGCAGGTGATTTTAGCTGCTGGCGTTCCGAAATGTCAACTTATTGAGGGGGCAGGATGGCATCGCATGTGCGACTCCGGCCGCGAGCAGGGTGAATGTGGCTCTCTGGCTGAATCATCTTCGTATCTCACGGCTGTACCGTGCTGAGTGGCCCGGGTTTGTTTTCCTGGGCTTTGTTGTTTTTATTTACACAACTGTGCAGACGGGCACGCGAGGCATTTGTCGTTCCAAGATACAAAGAAAATGGCCACGGGCCAAACTGTGTGTAGCCCACTCTGCTAGGCGGGATTTGTGAGCGTACATACCACAAGCACCAGTTTGATTTGAAGAGCGAAACACCCGAGTTTCGTCTCTTGATTATCCCAGCCGTCGCCACCTGCTGAGCTTGACGTGCAGTAGACTTGCTGACGCCCCGTCGACTTGCTTGGTCCATCGGCGCAGCGCGCCAGGACCATGGTCCCACTGGGGCTTAGGCCTCAAGAACCGCTATACTGAAATGGCTTGATGGGAGAGTGCGAGGAACCCTGGCCCACAGTGGATGAGATCCTGGCCGGGTACTCGCCATGCCATGGCTTGCCCCTGGTCGCCCCTTGAGAACGGTGAGGTCTGATCGACGGCGTGTGAAATCCCTGCAGGCAGCGGCGCAGTACCTAGGTACCTATGTCCGTCTGTCTCGACAGTACTCCGGAGGGTACGTATCGTCAACTCCAAGCCTGTCTTTGGTGCCATTCTTCCTCATGCGTCCCGTGCAGGTTGTGGATGGGACGAAAGGTTTCTGGAAGCACACCTCGAAGGCTAGTCTTGCCACCCCTTCTTCATTTGCGCCCCCATCAGCCGACCTAAGAAAAGCTAGAAGGGGGACTGAGACGAGGCACAATTTGTACGTCTAATAAGCCGTGCTTGGAGGTGTACCGTGTTGTTGTTTTCGTAGTTTGTTATGTTGGGAATCTGGATGCCACAGGAGACGCAGTCAGGGGGATTGTTCAGGAGGGGGGCCAATCTCCCGACCAAACACAGTGACATGGCGCATGGCAAAAAATACACTTGAGGTTGATGCAGGCAGACGCCGAGCCAGAATGGTGAGGGCTGATTGAGGGCTGGCGATGATGAAGTTGATGACGAGGTGGATAAAGTGGTCGGGAGCTGCATGGGCGCCACTAAGAGAGGGCGAGTACGGTAGATCAGTGGCCACAGTGTTTTTCGTGGAAACCGCCCCGGGACTGGTGAGTGGTGAGTGGTGACTGGAAGGTGACTGGAAGGTGACTGGTAATTGAGAGCAACTGGTGACGTCCTTCCAACCACCCGACGCTTCTCAAACCAAATCCATTGGCCACCCGTGGACCAAGTGACGCACCCCCGGGGCCCCGAGAGGGAAGGAGCGTCTCCGAGAAGGAGGCCCCGAGATGGAGCCCCCGACAAGAAGGGCAACCCCGGCAACGTCAAGACGCCCGCCCTGGCAGAGATGGTAGTGTGCAGAAGCTCACTCGGAGGTATGTACCTGCGTACCTATGCACTGTCCTACTTCGTACGTTGGCCACAAAGGATTTGCTCAGGTCCGGATTGAGCGCATTGCCGCTGGTATAAGGTGTATTATTAACATCATCTTCTACCTTGCAGAGAAAGAAGGGCCCCGTGGATCCGACCGACATCCAGACTCGAATAAGCCGTCCAAGATACGCCCGTCGCGGGACATACACAGCATGGAGTTCTGCACAGAGGAGGAGTCTGGATGCTACAGCCCGATCGCTGAGTGGACAGAGGGACGGTTGAGTCTCGTCCCAGCCTGGTTCCCACTCCCATGTCGAAGGTCGGTGGAGCACCCCTCGCCTTCGCCCCGAGGACCCCAGGCCGGCCTGCCCCCAGGCCCGAAGATGCCATCAGCTGAGCCATCTGAGTGGCTAGAGCACTAGAAATAGTGTCCACAGCCCCCGAATTTGAGGCCAAGGGCCCATCCATCGGCAAGCACAGGCGTTAAAGAAAAGAGGAGCCCCGACCAGGCGGACGGGTGTGAGTGAGCGAAAAAAAAAAAATTCACCATGAACCACCCGACCCCCGGACAGCCGACAGTCGGGTACCTCGAGGTCGGGCTGGGCCAAGGGTACCTGTACGTACCGCCGGAGAGCACGGCCAGGGTTTGTTCACTGGGAAATGGGTAAACACATGGGACTGTCGGCTTGCTCGCGGAATGTAAATGAACCACGGCATTCAGGACACCAGAGACAAAGGTGCCCGGTTTGCTCACCTGGCGGGTTGTGCTGGCTCGTCTGCCTGACCTCATCCACGTATATGGTTAAACCTACCGATCCTATCCGCTCGGAATACGAGGTATGGTACGGAGTACTGGAGTACTGGAGTACTGACTGGTGTGCGCGTACTCCATACTTCGTGTGTAGGATAGATACGTATTCGTAGCCACACATGGAAGTGCAGCCAGAACCAAACTTCGGCAACGGACAAGAGAGCAAGCTGGCAAGCAGCCATGGGGCCATCACTCCAACCCAGGCTTGATTGAGAGCAGCCCCGTCCTAGGTTGGCAAAGTAGAGGCCTACGAAGTTACGAAGCCGAATGTACTGTACTGCCTAGGGGGCGGCCGGCATGCCCTGCTGGGGCCCTGCGCCTGAACACCTTGCCTGACTGGACTGAGGTGGTGGAGCGGTGGACTTGGTGGGCTCCTCGGTGGTGTGGGCTCCATGGTGGTGCAGTAGTACTGCGACTGTGCTGGACGGAGGACGGCTGGGCGTAGGAGCGAGGGGGAGCGAGAGAGGCACGGAGTACCCGCTGTCCGAATACTGGCTGGCTGGTACGAGCTGGCTGGAGGTAGTGGCGGCACTGTGTTGTGCGTGCACAGAGGAGGTGTCGGGTGGTCACCAGGCCGCGGCGGTGGTAGAGCAGTCCGTTTAGATGAGCCCGAAGTACTCCGTGCAGTGGGCGGCCCTGCCCTGCCCTGCCCTGGACTTCCCTTACCTTCCCTGGACAAGCCCGCTGGCTGCCGTTCGCTGGCTGGCTGCTGAGATGCTGGCTTGCGCGCTACCTCCGCCCACTGGCCATTGCCCACACTGGTGGCCAGCCCACAGTCCACAGCCCACAACAGCCGGTTGCCCAACCGTTGCGCTGCTCCGGGCCCAGGTACGGTACAGTACTATGGTACGTACCCCAAGCCGTAGTGGTGCTGGAGTCAGTCAGTCAGTCATTCACTCGCTCGCCCAGCACCTTGCCATCCGCCCGCCCCAGCCCAGCCCATGCCATGCCATGCCATGCCATGCTGCCATGCTAGCCTCTAGGTACCAGGTAGGCTAAGGGATCCATTTCCCACTGGCTCCACGCCCCACGCCCCACGCGCCGCACCCTCTCCTCCACGCCCTCACCCGCTCCCACGCCTCCTGGCCTCGCTCCATGCTGGGCTCACTGGGCACACGCTGGGTACGCTGCACACAACTCGCCGGCCCATCCTTCAACTGCCACACGCCCTCCTCCTCCTCCACACACTCCATCCCCGTCTCCCCCATCTTCCCATCCTCTCCCTCCTCTTCGTCTCTTGACCTTCATCCTCTTCTCCTACCTCCGTCTCCTTCCTCTTCATCCCTCTCCATCTCTCTCCTCCACGACAAAAACCGAATCCGCCAATTCCTCGACAACCACCAGTCACGAACCCCCCTTTGGTTCGTCGACGTCAGGATTCAGGTCTTTTTTCGCGCGAGCCTCTCTGCCCGTCCGACTCCAGTTTCATTTCTGGTGCAGGTCGCTGTGTTATTTCCCTAGGGTTCCGTGCTCCAGTGGTCAACGCCCAAGCGTCCACTTCTTCCACCAACCTTTGGGATATCGCAGTCTCGGGCTTTCTCCCTCCCTCCCTCTCCCTCTCTCTCTCGTCCATCGGCAACATTCCCTTCTGGTGAGTACCGCTCTGCCACTCTTCCATCTTCCGCGTCTAGTCCACGAGTTGTCGACCACCCGTTGCGTTACCTCCGACCACTCGATCATTGCTCCTCTGTTCTGGGAAACAACCTTTGTCCACGAAAGCATCGAGCGGCCTGATCATCACACAAAACGCACCGGTCCCTTGTTTTCTACGTCGACCATCTACTGCGCCATCTCCGATATCAGATGCCACCTTTCTCTCGACTGATCCGCCCACGCGCCTCTCCTAAACACCGACAATCTTGCCACAGACACTCGACCGACTAGACCATGAAGATGACATAACTTTGAGTATTTCGGCATGACTAATTTTGTCAGGGTGCTTAGATCCTCGTGGCCTTTTCCAGGTTTCCTACACAGGTTCTTCACTTGAACGATTCAGATCTCTTCATCTCGATCCAAACAGAGCTGCTGAAGGTCCCTTTTTTCGGTTGACCATCTTGTCTGTTGGAAATTCTCTCGAATACTCGAAACATCCACACCGTCAGTCTTGTCTACATCATCAATCGACAGGATATTTCCGGATCACCCTTAAATGGCCCGATCCGACAACTGAATCCCGCGTCGATCCTCCCCCTCTGCTTCGTCGCTCTCAAAATTTGACCTCGGAACTCGATCTCACTAAACTGTGGTATCTATCCACAGTCGTGTTTCCGTGCTCCGTCGTCTGTTCTTTTCCGGCAAAGGTCGCTCTTCGATCTTCGTCGGACTCTCCCAAATACCGTCATCATGCCCGGAGGCGTATGTGCCGTCCTCGATTATGAGGTCGACATGATGGCTGAGTACGTGGCTGAGATGGCTACGCGAGTCGTGACCCCTGATGCCCCGGTCACCTCGCCCTTCCGCAAGTTCGTCTCTCAGATCCTCACGTCGACGAGACTTCCAAGCACCACCATCCTTCTAGGAATGAACTACCTCGCCAAGAGAATCAACACCATGAAGGGACAGGGCCCCTACAAGGCCTCAGAGGGCCAGGTCTGGCGGTACCTCACCGTCTCGCTTCTCCTCGGCAGCAAGTTCCTCGATGACAACACCTTCCAAAACCGCTCCTGGTCGGAGGTTAGTGGCATCGCCGTTTCCGAACTCAACGCTCTGGAGTTCGACTGGGTCGAATCCATGGGCTGGCGTCTCTATGTCAACCTTGATCTTAGCAAGGACTACCAAGCTTGGCTCGAGAACTGGCGCGAGTGGCAGGACATGAAGAAGCGACAGGCTGCCCAGGTCAGCCGTGAGAGACTCGCTTCTCTCGTCCCCGCCATCGACACCGAGCTCGCGAGACACAGCGGCCACCGCACTTCTCCTCACTCGCGTTACCTGCAGGAGCAGGTCGCAGAGTACGAGCGTTACCAGGCCATGAAGGCCCAGCAGCACACCTACCGCTCTCGTGATGCCAACTGGGCTCACAACCCCTGGAGTGCACCCCTCACTCCCCCCGACTCGGGCTATGGCACTCCAGACTACTCCATGTCGGCCACGTCGAGCAATGCCCGCTACAACGAGTGGTTCTCTCAAGCTGCTGCCCAGTACAGCAGTCGATACCCCCAGCCCCCTGCCTACAGCAGCTTCTACCCATCCCGACACAACAATCACAACGGTCACTACCCTTACTCTCAGAACATGTGGGAGCATGGGTTGGCTGAGTGCAGTTGCCCCGGATGTGTGGACCCGATGAAGCAGCAAGTCCCGTACTTCGTGCCTCACGGTTACAGCCAGCCAGTCATGGGTTGATGGGGAAATTACCAATTTCCTCCTACTGGAAGGAGGCTTAATTGCCCTCGAAATAAGGGCGTTGGTCTCACAAAAAAGAAGTAAAGGTTTTCAGTTTTACGGCCACGATTTTTCTTCACGCGCATCCCGAGAACGATACATTCGCATCTTCAGATACCCCAGGCACGACAAAATTGTTCAAACGATGACCTTTCGGCGGATCATTCTCAGGATTTTTCTTTTTTTCATTGTCGCATCCGGAAGAGGAGTTGTGGGTTCACGAAGAATGCCTCCACGTACGGCATGGTACTTCACATTGCATCCAAAAGCTTCCTCGATACCGCGACATTTTTTTTTCTTTACTGGTATACGCTCTATAATGGTCACACCCGGCGTTTTGGTTTTGGGCTCCACATTACACGGTACGGTTCCGATAGACGCGCGGTTTTTACGTCTTTTTCATCCGACATCTGGCGTCTTCCTTCATATCATACGGTATGATCATGAATATCGACATATCTCAGCATTGCCACTCAGTCTGAGATAACGACTTGAACACAGGGCGAGGAGCCGTTTGCCGTCCGTTCATGTCCGATCACATGGATGATGCACCATCGCACTGCCCTGGGATCTATCTGGTTCTGATACCCTAGAAAAGGGTAGAGCATCGATCAGGTGAAAACAAAATTGTACCACTTAATGGTGGTTGGCGTGCCGCGGCCGCTCGCTTCATCTTTCTTTTGTGCGCAACGACTTCGAGATGCGACCCCGATTAGTTGCGTTTGGCCCAAGTCGATTTTTGTTCTTTGTCCTAAGAGGTTCACGTCCAGAGTTTGCACGACAAGACTCTCGCCTCAGTCTAAGGAAATTGCGTCATTTACGAACGGATTCCAACGAGACACCTCACTTGACGAACTTGAAAAAAAGTTTGGGGACAGTATATATTTTTGCACATGTTCATGTTTTATTGTTGGGTGTGACAGATGACGGTTTCTGTCCACGAAAAAGGGTCTACATGATGGGGTTCATGCATTGCGTTCTAGCGGGTAAAACGGGGAATATGGGATGGGTTTTCTTTGGTATGATACGTTGTTCTTCTGCTTTTCTGCCCCGAGGCTGGATTGATGCCCTCGCGTCCCTCGGACAAGCCGACGCGCAGATGAGCTCACCAGTTCCACTCGGTGGCTGTTTTTTTTACGATCTTAGACGTTGTCTTCATGGTTTCGGCATCAGTAGAGGAGGGGGCTCTATTAGGAAGTTTGCTTCTTTTGCACCGGCTTAATGGGGAATCATTTTGGTTGGGTGTCTTCAAGCTACCGCATCGGTTTATTCTTCATGATATGGAATGATATTTTATGGGACTGGCGGCTGACTTGGCCCGGGACAAGAGGGCAAAGGGACCGCTTGGTGAAGATGTTTCGAGTCTTGTTTGCCGTCTCGAAAGGCGTGCTCTATTGCTGGGTTTCGGGCATGGGCTCTTTCGCACAGCATTGTGCAGGGCAAAAGGGGGCAGGAATGCGATTTCGGGGGTTTTTCTTTCTTTCTTTTTCGTGTTCGAGGCTCCTGCACGACCTGGTCTCGCTTGATTTGAGTCTGGACGGCTTGGAGTTTCTTAGGTATGAAATCCGGAGCGAGAATTGTTCATTCGTTGGCGTGCCGCAATTAGAGCACGACCTCTCGCTTCGGGTCCTCCTAGATTAGCAAATGAAAATGAAATAACGCTCACTCGGATTCGAATTGTCAGTGCAAATGCCTTGCTGTCTGTCTGCCCTTGGTCAAGGATTGGGTATTCGTTGGCTGGCAATTGATGCTGCATTGCGCAAAGTCGGATGAAGTCCCAGCGTTGTAGAGTCCTCCACGGCTGATTATCGGAAAACATCTGGGCCTTCATGACCAGACCTCATCAGGATTCCTCAGTTGACAAATATAACATACAACAAATTCCTGAGCATCAATTCCAACTGGAACTAACCCCAGTAACTAGGCCATTGCGCCTCCTTAGCTCCTGCTGAACCCACACCGCATCGTTGCGACTGGCGACCAACATCTGGCAACTCGCATCTGGCACTCGCCATCTAAGAGAACTCCGGCACAGCCATCATGTCGAGCCGCTTCGTCTCGGGGGGCACTATTAGCTCCAGCGGCGAAGTCTCCAAAGACGCACCGGCCAGTGGCAGCACCGCTTCTGCAAAGCCCCTCCACGCCGGGGCTAAGACCAAGGAGTGGGAGGCGGTGCAGCAGGAACTCGAAGCGGACCGGCGCCGGCGCGAGGAGCAGCGTGTCAAGGCGGCGTCCGGCGAGGGTGAACGGAGTCTTTTTGATATCCTGGAGGCTAATAAAGGTTCGATGTTCTCGTCTCCTTGTCCCCCCAGGAGTGGCAATGCCCTTGTTTTTGGAGGATTGGTGTAAACTGATGATGGAAAACTTGGCGTGTAGCTGCAAAACAAGCTGCCTTTGAAGAGCAATCGAAGCTGCGCAACCAGTTCCGCGCGCTGGATGACGACGAGATTGATTTTCTCGACGACGTCCGCGCGGCCAAGCGCGCAGAGGAGGATCGCGTCCGGCGGGAGACGGAAGAAGGCCTGAAGGCGTTCCGAGAGCGGCAGAAGGGGGGAGGCGAGGCACCAGATGCTGGCGGCGAGGATGTAGGCGTCGAAGGCGAGGGCGAGTCGTGGGGCGTGGGAAAGAAGAGGAAGCGTGTCAAGGACCGCGAGGTCAAGGGCGTGAGGAGGAGGGTGAGTAATGGAGAGGCGGATATCGAGAAGAAGGCAGCCAAGGAACAGCCCATTAAGACTGTGGAGAGCGAGGTAAAGAAGCCGGAGGAGGCTACGAAGCCGCCGGAGAGGAAGGCTCTGGGACTGGTGGGATATGGAAGCGACTCAGACGACGACGACTAGCAATGGAAGCCAAGATACCAGACATGTTCTTTCGCCGCAAGTAGCATCTCTCAGGACATGTCGACTGTTTGTGAAGGGGAGTAAATGCTTTTGGATTACAAAGTACAGTAGCATAGATGTCGTCCCTCCTATATCCGTAGATGCACCGCACCACCTATCGCTCCCTTGCCTCCTGGTATAACATTGATATACAAAAGCATCCTCATCACATACCAGCCATTCCTCGCCGGGTTCTAATATACATACAGACACGTTTTTTGGGGGGCGTTTCTTGTCCTTCGTAGCCGTCAAATCATGTTTACTCGTCACTGTTGATGTCGCCTACGTTGGGGCGATAGGGCTTGCTGTTCCACGAGTCAACGCCCCAGCGCCAGAGACTGCGCAGGCCGCCCTTGAGCCAGCCCTCAACCTCGGCCTCGGGGACAACGAAGGCGGCTGCGCGGGCCTCGAGCTCGGGGCTGATCTCAAAGCGGCGCATGCGCTGCATGAGGCGGGCGTCGACGACGAGAGGCGATGTCCAGATCTTCTCCTTGGGTGGGGGGGCCGGAGCGTTCTCGTCGGCGGCCTCAACAGGCTCGTCCTTCCACACTGACTTGGGCCAGTCCTGCTCCTCCTGGGCCAGGACGAGCTGCTGCTCGTGCATGCCGTCGGCCTCGCGCCACTCCCGGGCGGAGGCGGCGAAGCACACGGCCGCAACTTCGCGGCCGATCTCGTCGGCCAGCTTGCGGCGGGTGAAGAAACGGCCGAGGCGGACAAAGGTGTGGCGGAAACCGAGGCGGTGGGGAAAGACGATGGGGTTGGAGGGGTTGAACTCGGCGGGGATTTGGGCGGGGAGGTTGGCCAGGGAGTAGTCGTCCGGGGAGTTGTACGGCAGCGGTTGAGGAGGCCGCTCAGTTTTCTTCTCTTCCTTTTTCTCCTCCTTCTTCTTCTCCTCGGGCTTGCCGCCCTCAGCCTGTTCAGCTGCAGGAGGGGTATCTAGAGGGGGAGGGACATCCGCGGGAGCAGTTTTCGTCTCAGGTTCTGGGAGAGAGGGAGCGTCAAGGGGTCCAAGCCATCCCTCATGTAGTCCTCGCACATATTCTTTCCATGCGTGCAGTCCGAAAACGACGTCGCCATTGACGCCCTCGTATTCTGGCACGCCCATCCTCTTTCTCAATTCTTCGACCATGTTGTCATCCGTCTTCAGCGCGTCCTCGCCTGGCCGTTCATGCCCCCTCCTCGACCGACGAATCTTCTCGGCCACTGCGGCCCTTACATCGCCCTGCTGTCTTCCCTGAACGAACTCCCAGTCGAGGCCGGACGCAGCCAGGACAGGCTTGGCGTACTCGAGGAAATGATCCTGGGTGACTCGCAGGCCATCGCCGGGAGGGGCCGCGAGGTAGATGGTTAACTTGCGAGGGAGCTGGTTGGCGGCGCCGATGGGCTCCGTGGCGAGGGGAGCGACGATATGCCGCCACTTGGCCGTGGCCCGTCTCTTCTCCCGCTTGTCGTAGACGATAGCGGCGGTGATGGTGCCGGTGATAGTCCAGAAGATCATCCAGTTGCGTGAAGGCAGTTTCCGGGGGAGGTTTGGCAGGCCCATCATCTTGAAGACGGGGTTCGGTTTCGAAGGAGGAGTAGGCGCCTTGTATGTTGCGCCGGTGCCGGTGCCGGCGGGCTGGGCGGGGGGGTTGGACTCGGCCATGTTGGAGGAGATCCGGGGTGAAGGACGGATGAGACTCAAGAGATATGGGCAAACCCTCAATATTCAGACGGATTAGAACCCGTTACCGGACAAACGACAGGCCTCGTTATACTGCTGGCCGAGTTGTGGCGGTTGCGCATCGTCCTGTAGCAAAAAAATTGGCCGCGATAAGAGCTGGGCCGATAAGCCCCGGGATGGAAATACTTCGGTTCCGTCTTCAAGCTTCCGCCTCCGCGAGCCGGAGACGGAGCAGCTGCATCCATGTCGGTTGTAGACAAGGGTATATCGGTGTCATTTCCTGGAAATCTGGCGAGGTAGCACGAAGGTCTTGGCCATGAAGGCTTCACTTGAGCAAGTAATTAAAAAGTGCTTGAAAATTGGCACTGGCGAATGTCGCTACATTGTCATGTATACTGGGGCTTCTACAAGGCTTCTGGAATATGACGAGACCCCGGTTGTTGGCTGGCAACAAGATTTCCGTGCCGCATGTTGGATGCACAGCATGCGGCATGTTGCAGGTCGCATGTGATACTGCCTTGGAAGAGACAATGGACCATACGTTTGAGATTTGTCGTAGGCGGCGGAGTTGGGCGTTATAACACGTTGTGTGTTGCACTTCTGTAGATGGAGATGGCATCATTGCTCCCGGACTGACTTTCCGGGATTGCCTAACTAATCTAGACAAAAGCAGAGTCACATCAACCAACGCTTGGACGGGCACAAAGAGCACTCGGCCGTGTGAAAGGGGGTATGTACTTGGTAACCCATGGCTCGCCATGTGGGAAGCACGGGCTGCGGATGCAACACGGGAGCGACGAAGGCGTGGCGGCGTGGCGGCATGGCGGCATGGATGACCCAACTCGACTCGGTTTATGAGAGGTTCAGCTTGACTCGACATGGACGCGTGTGTGCATCCCGTCTCTCGTCTCCCGTTTCCCATGTACTGTCCGGTTTCTGTTGGCGTCACTGCCCCCTTCACTGCCACCGCCCAGCGTGATTCAGGTTGATTTCGAATGGAGACGAGACGAGGACTGCAATGTAGTATAGCCAAGCCTGGCATCTCCATGGGCTTAAATCGTGTGTCTCGGGGGAATGTGTGCTTTTCCGGCGCCAGCTCTGGCGTGAACGGGTATAATGGGCCTACTAAAACTGAAGTGGGCGGTGCCGCAGGCCGCAGGTTGACCTGAGGCTCCGGCTCCGGGGGCGGGGATTGGACCAGGAAGCCCCTGACACGGCGAGTGTCGCTGGGAGCTCCCTGAAGGCGTGTTCCATCCCTGGCGAGCCAGCGCTGTTGCGTTGCAGTTAGCTGGTGTTGATGCTGGGGTGGTGGTGGGTTCGACGCCTGATGAAAAGGAGCTGCTGGAGCCCAAAGTTCGCCCCAGGGCATGAAGGCGCCTGAGCCACGGAGCGGTCCTCTCCATCCCGCTTTGGATCATCACCGCAGGCGGCGTTCTAGCTAAGAAGTAAGGTAATTAGTGTCAGTCTTGGCCGAGGGGGAAGGAAGAGGGGAGGAAACGAGAATTTGGGATGGGAATTGAGGATGGAAGGTGGCCGAAGGACAATTGAAACTGACCGACTTCGTTGTTTTGCCCGCTTCTTCTTGGCTAACCTGGGTTGCGCGTCCGACACCTCAGAATAATTATAGCAGTGAGTGGCGGTGGGAGATGCAAAGACGCAACCCTCACAAAGTGCACGGAACATAACTTGCCTCGATTCCTCGACTTTCTCTGGATCGGGACTAAAATCCATTAAATACCCGTCTGCGATGGAGAAATATCTTCTTCAATTTCAGATAAACGCAACTCGTCTCTGATATGGTACATCAGTCCCATCACGGGTGGACTTCAAATTCCGGGTTCCAGGGGGGTCCATGTTTTAGAGGGCCGCCTGTGGTGCGCGGTGGGTGGGTGCACTGAATGGGTGCACTGAGCTCGCCCGTGGATTGCCACTTCCAGCGCATGGCCCGTCGCCACTCCAGCGCATGCATGGCCTAACCGCCAAACCTCTAAACCGCTAAAAACCATCCATTGGATGCATTGGGTCCCGTCCATTGGATCCAAGACGGACCAGGCCGACCCCTCGAACCTGTGAGGTCCAGTGCCAGCGTCCTTGCGCGTTTCGAGACTCCCACCTCACCTCTTACTACCTACTTGTATCTGTCATCTCTCAACCTCTCCCCCCAGACCTCGTCCGCTCCAATATATCCCATCCCGCTCGCCTGCCTTTTGCATCTGGGCCTTCGCTAGCGCTTGCTCTGCGATCCAGCCCACTTGCTTCCTTGGAGGGATTCTAGCCTCCACAGGCTCTCCGCCATCCCAACTTAAGTTCTTATTAACCCCCCCCCCAAATCGCAGCGGCGCCCCGTCCCGCTGCCCAGTGCCCAGTGCCCAGTGTCTGCCCCCTGGACATCTCCTGAAACTCGCCGTTCCCATCCCTCTCTCCCCTCGCCCATCCGCCCGCTCGAGTCCAGTCGAGACGAGTTGATCCCACGATGGATTCTAATAACAACCGCCTGTTCCTCAACTTTGGAGGCAACAGCAACGACCGCCTCACCGCTTCCGACCGCACGTATCCAACCACCCCCTCGACATTCCCACAGCCCGTCTTCCCCTCCGGCTCTGGGCAGCCCGCCATGCAACACCAGCAGCAGCAACAACAATACGCCGGCGGCGGCTACAACGCCCAGGGCTATTTTGTCCAGAACAACCAGTACGCTCCTCAGTACCAGGGCCAACCGGGCAATGACTACGCCAACCAGAACGCCGCCTACCAGCCGCGATCCAACACACCGGGCACCAACGACCCCAACACCGGCCTTGCTCACCAGTTCTCCCACCAGAACCTGGGAGGCGCCGCCAGAGCCCAGCAGTATGGCTCTCGGGCACCTCCACAGCGTCCTAGAACTGCTGGCGCATCGGGACAGCAGCCTGGGTACAACAACTACATGAATGCTCCACCCATGCCTGGCCAGACCGCCGCTCCTGTTCCCGAGTTCCAGCAAGCCCCCGAGCGCAACCCCGACCGATACGGCTCCAGTGCCAACAGCAACCAGAAGAAATGCTCTCAGCTGGCCGCTGATTTCTTCAAGGACAGTGTCAAGCGTGCTAGGGAGCGCAATCAAAGGTTCGTTATTCCCGGGAAATCATTGCTGCATGTCTCAAGCAAGCCCATGTGACTGACTCGTGACCTTGCCCGTAAATAGACAGAGCGAGCTGGAGCAGAAGCTCCAGGACCCGGGCCAGAGCTCAGGTCGGAGAGAGCAGCTATGGTCCACTGCCGGAAGGAAGGAGGGCCAGTATCTCCGTTTCCTGCGAACAAAGGACAAGCCCGAAAACTACAACACCGTCAAGATTATCGGAAAGGGTGCTTTCGGAGAGGTCAAGTTGGTGCAGAAGAAGGGAGACGGCAAGGTCTACGCCATGAAGTCTCTTATCAAGACGGAAATGTTCAAAAAGGACCAGCTGGCCCACGTTCGATCAGAGCGAGACATTCTCGCCGAGTCCGACAGTCCTTGGGTCGTCAAGCTCTACACTACCTTCCAGGACTCGTACTTCCTCTACATGTTGATGGAGTTCTTGCCTGGTGGAGATCTCATGACCATGCTTATCAAGTACGAAATCTTCTCTGAGGATATTACGCGATTCTACATTGCCGAGATTGTCCTCGCCATTGACGCCGTCCACAAGCTCGGTTTTATCCATCGGTATGAGAACTTTCGTTTCCCCTTCCTTGAAAACATATCTGACCCTGAAACAGTGATATTAAGCCTGACAATATTCTCCTTGATCGAGGCGGTCACGTCAAGTTGACCGATTTCGGTCTCTCTACTGGCTTCCACAGACTTCACGACAACAACTATTACCAGCAGCTGTTGCAGGGCCGGTCCAACCGTCCCCGTGACCGAACCTCCGTGGCCATTGACCAGATCAACCTTACTGTTAGCAACCGATCCCAGATCAACGATTGGCGACGGTCACGAAGACTGATGGCCTACTCCACCGTCGGAACCCCTGACTACATCGCCCCTGAAATTTTCACTGGACACGGATACACCTTTGACTGCGATTGGTGGTCACTGGGAACTATCATGTTCGAGTGCTTGGTTGGCTGGCCCCCGTTCTGTGCCGAGGATAGCCATGACACCTACCGCAAGATTGTCAACTGGAGGCAAACCCTGTACTTCCCCGACGACATCACACTGGGCGTTGACGCGGAGAATCTGATCCGAAGGTTGGTTCTTTCTCCTCTCTTGATGCAGTTGGATGAGCGCTAACCCCTTTTCTAGCATGGTTTGCAACACCGAGAACCGACTTGGTCGGGCCGGTGCACATGAGATCAAGAGCCACGCCTTCTTCCGTGGCGTCGAGTTCGACAGCCTGCGTAGAATCCGAGCTCCTTTTGAGCCGCGCTTGACGTCCAACATCGACACGACCTACTTCCCTACCGATGAAATTGACCAGACCGACAACGCGACGGTCCTCAAGGCTCAGGCCCTCCAGTCGGGCCGTGGCCCTGTGGAGGAGACTCCGGAAATGAGCTTGCCCTTCATCGGCTACACTTTCAAGCGGTTCGATAACAACTTCCGATAATTGCAGCCTGGAAGGACAAACACTCAACCTACTTACATGATCGAGAGAATCTTGCTCTGCGAATGGACTTCCTCTAGCCCGGCGGGAAGAGAGTGGGCGGTAGCAATGCAACGAGCGCGGAAATGTTGCTGTTCAGCGGTTGTCAGACGGCGTAGCGTGGATCTGGGGCCAACTATCCTCTTCCACCTTTCAGGATCTGCCTCTCGTCTCTCTCGTCATTACCCCAGGCTCCTCTTTTGCAATATTTGTACGTAATCCAACAGGCGGGAGGGTTGAGTTGAAAGGTTGGCACTTAGACTTGGGTGAAGCGTGTGCTATATCTTGCCATTTTATTGTCCTGGGCATGTCTCTAAAAGATGAGGTATAGACGTGCTCATAGCCATTAAAGCCTAATTGAAAAAAAGTAGCTGGTACATGAAGATCTGTGTGCATGTGATTTGAAGCCCAAGGACCTGCCACCCAACTCCTAGCCAATAAGTATGGCCTAATCATACCTAATCATATTGTATATACATTCTAGTCATTATCCCAGGCCCAAGAAGCTGAAGATTCTTGGCCAGCGAAGAGCCTCTTGATGACGCGAGGTTGGTCCCTTCTTCTTCGTGCGCAATCCTCGCCTGCTCGTCGCAAGAGCGTCCGTTGCGCCATGCCCCTGAACCGCAGAGAGTGCCTAACGCCATCCTACTCTTCTGTGACGACTGCATGTCCCGTTATGTGGGCTGCAGCGCATGGTATACTTTTTTTGGATCGTTATGTCCCGTTTATCTTCGACATCTGTCCGTTGTGTCTCTTAACCGCCAACCCTGTCAGTCCCTCCCATTACCGCGCCGTCAGACCTGGCGCGGCGTTGAAGCGCTCCTCCCGCTCCGTCATGAACATAACCTGGATCCAGTACTCCTTGGCGTCCGGGTCCCAGAAGCAGAACTGACGGTCCTCGCGCTTGTCGAGCTCGCGGGCGGGGATCTTGAAGCCGACCGTCTCGTAGGGCTCGGCGGCGACGAGTAGGTACTGGAAGTTCTTATCGGGCTCCTCGATGTGCTGGGTGAAGGCGTTCATGACCTGCCACTTGGGGGCGGTTTCCGGGGTGGCGTCCGGGTACTGCAGCTGGAAGAGCAGGCCCTGCTGACGGGTAACGGGGTCGCGAATCTTTGTGATCTTGTAGCCGGGGCGGCCGATCTTGACGACGTTGCGGCGCGCGCCGAAGCCGACGCCCGAGACGCCGACGGGCAAGCCGGTGGCCGGGTCGACAGCCTGCTTGCCCTCCTTCTGCTCGCGGGCGGCGCGGCGGGCGAGGTTGGTCTGATGCTTCTTGCCCTGGGTGTGGGCGAGGTAGGAGCCGTCGTTCTGGTGGACGGTCAGGCACAGGCGGCACTCGAAGGAGCCGACGTGGTTCTTGAAGAAGTAGGGATCTTTGTCGAGGTCGATGGTCTCGAGGGCGAGCTTGCGCAGGCGCTCGCGGCGGTCCGCGTTGGTGGCCGACTGCGACGCGACGCCGCCGCCGCCGAACTTGGAGCCGGCGCGGTTCTGGAAGTCCATTGCGACTGGGCGATGGGCGGGCGCTTGGGGGGGTGGTTGCTCGAGTTGGTTGTAGAAGAGAGGCTGAAGTTGAAGTTGAAGTTGTCGGGTCGCGAGGCTGAGGGAGACAAGACGGTGGAGGTGATAGTTCCAACGCAGGGCTGCGAAAAGCTCATGGTCTGGGGAAGGAGCGCCAGCCTCACCAACCAAGGTGAGCCAGGTCGGAAAATTATTATGGGGACGACACCCACCAATCACAGCAGCGACGCCTTCACAGTATAAGGAACTTACAACCTCACAACCACAAGTTACAAGTTACGCTCATTATGATTGTTGGGGCAATTTTATAAAATAATTCTCATCCTCACGCTGGAACTTTTGGATTACTTCCGACCTCCGACTTGATAGAACAAACTCTCACCGAGATTGCACCTACTAAATACCAATGCGGCATCTAATTCCCTACCAGCTACAACCTGACAAGACCTGCATGTTTGGAAACAAATGCTTCCACGCAACGGACAAATCTCTCCAACTCAGACTCTGGAGTCTCCAAGACCAGGGCGATGAAGCCTCGCTGGACAACCCAAAAGCCCTCTTCCAGCATATCAAACCAGAAAAGGGTCCTTAGCCCCTGATTCTCCTTCACAACACCACCACGCTCAAAATCTCGAGTGCCATCCTCTGGAAAGTGGACTCCCAGAATGGTCCCCATGCCTGTGAAGCAAACCCTGGTGCCCTTGGTGACCTCGTTGAGTCTCTCCCTAAGCTCGTCTCCTCGTTTGGTGAATTGGCTGGCCACCTCGGGCGTGTAAACCTTGGTTAGGCCTGCGTATCCTGCGTGGGTCACCAGTGTGTTGTTGTTGAAGGTGCCCGAATGAGAAAGGGCTCCAGGAAGTCGAGGATCAAATGCTGCCATGACGTCTGCCCTGCCGCCGAATGCACCGAACGCTAGACCGCCACCGAGATACTTGCCAAAGGTCTTGAGATCCGGTCTCAGTCCTTGCAGTTCGGCCAATCCTCCGGCCGTGAATCTCGAGGTCATGACTTCGTCGAGGATCACCAAAACACCAGCCTGCGTCTGGTTAATTCAACATCTACTAAACGGGATATTGGGATGGCTTACCTGTGCAGCAGCCTCCTGGATTCCTTTTAGAAACTCTGGCTTTCCTGGAATAGCACCGCCGGACCCCTGCATGCCTTCGAGGATGACGGCAGCCACGCCATCGGTTGAAATGGCACTGCGAGCGCTCTCCAGGTCATTGTACTTTGCCACGATCCAGTCCTCATGGTCGACGTTATTCGCACCGGGCTTGTCCCCTGCGAAGCCAAGAACGCCGCCATGGTAGCCTCCGCCAAACGCAACGACCTTTCTCTTCTTCGTGAACGCCCGCGCGGCCGCCAAGGCGTGCAGGTTGGCCTCAGTTCCAGAGTTGGTGAACCGAACGTGCTCAATGTGGAAACGTCGGCACAACTCCCGGGCAAAGACTTGCTCCTGAGATGTTGTTGCGCCAATGTTCATGCCAGTATTCTGGAGCACATCGCCGATGGCTGAGAGAATGACTGGGTTAGAGTGGCCATAGAGGGCAGCGGTGAACTCTGCCGTCAAATCTGTGTATCTAATGGCCTATTAATGCACTCCTCCGTGAATAATCATCTGTGGGACTTACGTGTGACCATCCTCTGATGTGATTTGGAATCCCTTTCCGGATTTCATAGCCACGGGGAACGGCCCAACATGCAGGACGGTTCTTGTGTTTCCACCGGGCATTGACTTGACAGCTTCGTCATGAAATGCCTTGGAGCGAGGGTTGCGTTCAGCATATCGAGCTGTGGCCGCGTCTAGTTTGGTCTGGAGAAGCTGGGCAAATTCTGCGGACATGATGGATATTCGATCGATGAGAAGAAAATGTTGTACTATAGTCGGGGGTTGGTTGTTGAGCTACTGATGGAATACGGGATGGTGCCAAGTTTAAGTAGTTGTTCTCCTCTGCTATCGGCCAGCGACGGCGGTTGAGATCCGACATCGCCCTATCACTTTAAGCCTTGTGGCATGATGCCGGGGTTACAAGCCTCGACGACATTGCGAATTACGATAGAAATTGATACGAATTGACCTACAACATGCGATTCTAATTTGGTCGTTTATCCGATCCCGAGGCGCCGAAGACGTTGCTGGTCGCGATATCCTCACGATAGAAACCCGATGGTAAGTGCTCCAATTGGTGAAGGTTTGCTTATCGTCACGCCCGTCGGGTTTCGGGTCTCGGGTTTCGATTCCACCTCGGCGTATCGTAACTGAAGCCCAATCGCAGAACCCGAAGATGGAGTAATACTTGCCAGAATCTGATGAACGACTCACTGGCGAGGTTCGGGAGTTTGGAAAAACAGTAGTTGTTGAATTTAAAGGGAGGATTGTGATTCACCCGCATGTACATGCATTATCAGACCCAAAGACAGTATCAAACAATGCACACAATACACCAGAGTAAGAAATGCGCCTCATCTTAGTAATTATTCCTCCCAGTAATCATTTTCAATGTATGTATGAAGGAGAATTTAAATTGAAGGTAGGCACTTGGCTCAATCATGTTTCTTTTGGTTGCGCATACTCGCGCATTGCTTTAGCTCAGGCTTGGGAGAGGGGGCCGGTACCTGCGTGCGAATCAATACTCAATAAAGATGCGGTCTGGACTTGTGTATTGGGAATGAGTCCCCAAAGCCTAGATAATTAAATGAGTTAAATAATAATAATGATAGGGAGTTCACTTAATCCCCAAGCCTCTTGAAGAGAACAGGTTCACAAATTAATACACCTCCCGCACACGACGGTTCATGGGGCATTCTGAGATCTCGTTGGTTGGGTGGTGGGTTCCTTCCTAACTTACTGGGGACGCACCTTCCCGCCCAAAAAAACCAGGCCAAGGTGGGGTAGCGGAAAAGCGGTGTAAGAAAATATCCGGCAGAATCAGTATCCCACTTAATTTTTTTGCCATGGCCGAAAATTGGTTCTCACCTATCCGGCCCAGTCAAGCTGATATCTTCACGCAAACTGATCCAAAATGGCCGGCTCAATCAACAAGCCCAAGAGTATGCTATGCCTCCCAGTCGCCTCTATTTCAATTCCATGCGGGAATGCACGTCAGAGACTAACACCCTAGTGCAGAGCCCACGTCCAAGCGCGGGACCACTCGTCTTCGCAACAAGATCGTGAAGGCATCGGCCGCCAAGCAAAAGAAGCAGCGCAAGCTCGCGAAGAAGAACCCAGAATGGCGATCAAAACTCAAGAAGGACCCGGGAATCCCTAACCTCTTCCCCTACAAGGAGAAGATTCTCCAGGAGATTGAGGAGAAGCGCGTGAAGAAGGCCGAGGATGCGCAGAAGCGGAAAGAGATGGCCAAGGCCGCCAAGACGGGTGGTGCCAAAACCGAGCAAGTCATGGAGGACGTCGACCTCGCGGAGGATGACGTGGAGGATATGGACGAGGACGAAATGGACGAAGATGTGGATGAGTCTAACCCCATGGCCGCCCTCATCGCCAGCGCTCGTGCTGCTGCAGCCAAGTATGACCGACAGCTTGCCGACGACGAGGATATGGATGAGGACGACGAGAGCGACGCTGGCAACGACCGTGGTGGTGAAATGCCCATCGCACAGGCCTCCTCGCGGAAAACTTACGACAAGGTCTTCAAGAATGTTGTCGAGCAAGCCGATGTCGTCCTGTACGTCCTCGACGCTCGCGATCCCGAGGCCACTCGCTCGCGCGAAGTCGAGCGTAGTGTCATGGCTGCCGCATCTGGCGGCAAGCGACTCATCTTGATCCTCAACAAGGCCGATCTCATTCCTCCCAAGGTCCTGCGAGACTGGCTCGTCTACCTTCGCCGCTACTTCCCCACCCTACCTCTCAGGGCCTCCAACGCCGCTTCCAACGCCCACACATTCAACCACCGCGACATCACTGTCCAGAGCACATCCGCCGCTCTCTTCAAGGCCCTGAAGAGTTTCGCCGCCAGCCGCCAGTTGAAGCGCGCCGTATCTGTCGGTGTCATTGGATATCCCAACGTGGGCAAGAGCTCCGTTATCAACGCGCTCCTCTCAAGGATGAGCGGAAAGGCTCCCACCTCCAACAAGGCCTGCCCCGCGGGCGCCGAGGCTGGCGTCACCACAAGCATCCGGTCCGTCAAGATTGACAGCAAGCTCACTCTCCTGGACTCACCTGGTGTTGTCTTCCCGTCTTCCTCCTCGACCCAGTCTGCCGGCCTTGTGTCCTTGAAGAACGCCACTGAGGCGCATGCCCACCTCGTTCTCCTCAACGCCATCCCCCCTAAGCAGATCGAAGACCCCATCCCTGCCGTCTCTTTGCTCCTCAAGCGTCTCTCTGCGACCCCCGACCTCATGCAGAAGCTCACCGCCGTCTACGACATTCCCGCGCTTCTGCCCAGCCGGACCGACGGCGATACCACAACCGACTTCCTCGTCCAGGTCGCTCGTAAGCGTGGCCGCATCGGCCGAGGCGGCATCCCCAACATCAATGCCGCCGCCATGACGGTCGTGACTGATTGGCGTGATGGCCGTATCCAGGGCTGGGTTGACGCTCCCACTCTGGCTGTGGAGTCCAGCACTACCCCGGCTAAGTCTGGCCTGAAGAACGCTGGCGAGGACGAGGTTGCGGCTGACCAGAAGGAGATCGTCACCGAGTGGGCGGCCGAGTTCAAGCTTGATGGCTTGTGGGGTGACGATGCTGTTGACACCGCTGACAATGCGGAGGTTATGGGGCAGTGAGGATAGTTTGGTGCTTCTAAAAATGACGGACGGTGCATGAATTGTTCATAGGATAGTTTGGCGTTCCAAGGTTGGCTGGTAATACGGATTAGACCGTGCATATACCTTCATAAAACATTCTATTTCCTAACTCCTATCTCGGTTCCTATTGTAGATTGCCAACCGCGGCGCATTTCAATCAGCCTTTGAGTGATTCCATGTCGTTTATGACTCGATCAACTCCATCTTGACACCCCTCTTGCCCGTCATCTCATCCTTCTCGTCATGGACTCTAACCTTGACCTTCTGGAACAACTCCACCTTGACCTCTCGGCTGCCCTTGGTTGTCAGAGTGTATGTCTCCGCATCGAAGTCACTCTCGGGTTCGGTCTCCGCGAGATCTCTGAGGCGAATAAGACCCTCGATGCCGAATCGTGGGACCAGCACCACGAAACCATTGCTGAAGATCTTCATGACGAATGCCTCCTCCTCGGCCACCTTGCCCTTGAGGGCTTGGCCGACGTAGTACGCAATGCTGGCGCGGCCCGCCATCTGTGCGTTGCGGTGGCGAACGTTGATGTTCTTGCAGACAGCTTCCAGACGGCCGCGACTGCGGACGGTCGGGTGGACGGCTTCGTAGCCAATGGCAGCCGCGAGCTGACGGTGAGCAAGAAGATCGGCATAACGACGGATGGGGGACGTAAAATGGGTGTAGATCTCAGAGGCGAGACCATAATGGCGGAACTCGGGGTATGCCTGGGTGCCCGAGCAGAAGTACTCGGCACTCATCATGCAACGGGTGGCCATGATACGAACAAGAGTGTTGAAGAACGGGTCCTTCTCGTCGACGCACTGATCAAGAGAATCGGCGAGGGCCTTGCTCGAGTCGGTGCGCAGTTCTAGGCCGCGCTTGGTGCGCAGCTGGTTCGCGAGCTCGTCGAAGTTGGTCTTGGGAGGAGCGCCGTGACGACGGAGGATGGCGGTTTGCGGGAAGGCATCGTAGATCTTGGCAGCAACACTGACGTTGGCGAAAAGCATGAACTCTTCGACGAGAGAGTTGGTGTCCAGTAGCTGCTTAGTCTTGACATCGATGGGATCAGAAGACTCATCAGATTCAGTCTGGACCTTGACTTCGGGGGACGAGAGGCTGAGAGCACCGGCATCCATTCGCTTCTTCTTCAGCTTCTTGGACAGCGCAAGCAGCGTGCGCATTCCATTGGTGAGGTCATCTTGCTGAGAGGCGTCGTCGATTCGGAGCTGGGCTTGTTCGTAGCTGAACGCCTCGCGAGACTTGATAACCGATTTCGTGAAGCGTACGTTGACGATGTCGGCGTCTTCGTTCAATTCCCAGAGCACGGAGAAGGCGTAACGCTCCACATATGGCTTGAGGGAGCAGAGATCCGTTCCAAGAAGCGGCGGAAGCATGTCAATACGCTTGTCAACCAAGTAGACAGTGGTACCTCGGATGCTCGCCTCCGTATCCATGGCGTTGGCTGGCTTAACGAAGTTTGAGACGTCCGCAATGTGGACACCGACTTCGAAGTTTCCGTTCTCGAGCTTTCTCGCGTGCAGGGCGTCGTCAATATCCTGGCAGCCGACGGGGTCAATGCTGCAAATCAGGAGTTCTCTGAGATCCTCTCGGTCTCTCCAACCAGGATCCTCGGTGCTAGCAGGTACCACCCAATCATGGCCCTCTTTCGGAAGACAATCGAGGACTGTCTTGGGGAACGGTCGATATTGAACATCCCATTCAAGGAGTAGAGCCTCCGTCTCGGCCGCCTTAGTCTCCAACTCTCCCAGAGATCGCACGAAATGTCCGATAGGGTGTCTCGAGTCCCGGTCCCACGCATCTATAGTCACCAAGAGACGCTTGCCGAGCAGCTCGGACACCTGCCTCGTGCGCAGGCGAATCTTGGGGATCTTCTTGTCCATAGGAATGAGAAAGACGTTGGCCTGCTTGCGGCCTTGGGAAGACGAGCTGGCAGAAGAAGGGTCGATATGGCCGACATACTGGCGCCAGTTGCGCTTGATGACGCCGACGACCTTGGCTGTGGGCTGTGGGCGGCTTTCAGAAGTGCTCTTCTGTGTCTTCTTCACCTGTTCCTGTAAGGCCTTCCGTTCCTTTTCTGACACGAAGTCCTGGCCGTCCTCAGCATCTGCATTCTCATTCCTCGTGATTGCTTCCTCTTCGATGATCTTTGTCGACGGTTCCTTCCATTGATCTTCTGGGAGAACTTCAACAACCACAACATCGCCATCCACGGCACGGTTGATGTTCTCGCGTCCCAGGATAAGCAGCGGCTTAGGGAATGCTGGGACCTTGATCGAGCCCTCGAGGTAGTTGTACGGGGACACGTTGAAGATGCCCTGGTGCATCAGGCCAGCCTTTACTCCTGTCATCATCCTCGACAAGGTGAAATATTCGGGATAAAGCATCTGAACGGGTTTCTTGAAACCTCCTTGGCTCTGTGACTCTGCCACCATGTCAAGGAGCCTTTCGCCATCTTCTAGTCCGCCGACGTATTCCTTGAGAGAATATGCGTGGAGACCATCCGCCTTGGCTTTTCGGAGGTTGTCCTGATCGTCGCTGAGCATCACTACAGCTGGGATCTTCTCTGCTTTGGTCTGAGCCAGATGATCCCCATACCACTTCACAGCCAATCGAACAGCCCGATCATTTCGGTCATTCACAGACTCGTTAGGCTCACGCCGAACGAAAGTTTCCAGTCGGAAGTCATTGAAAAAAACGTAAAATCTCTTGTCCTCGCTCTTGGTGAGACCAACCAACCGGTTGTAGAGAGGCAATGATCGGTTTCGCAGCTCCTCCAACACAGTTTGCAGAATGACGACATCATAGAAACTCGAGCTCTGCTCAAAAAGATCCATCACGTTCAATAAAGCGTTAGTGTCGGGGACCAGGTAATGGCCTTGTGGAAAACTTTTGGTGCCTGCTGGCTTGTCCGAGAGGACAAACGGCTGGACTGGAAATCCGTTAGGTGGGCGTGACAGAATAAACGAACTGGGGACTCACCTTCTTGGGCTGCGTTCCTCGGCGCATCCTGAAGACAGATTTTGCAGAGCTTGGAGGAGCACGGGATGTCGGTTCGGAGGTAGACTTCTCTCACGATTTTCTGGACCTTGCCGCTGCGAGTTGAGCGGACGTAGACCTTGCTTGAGATATTTGATGCCAGAGCATCTGCCTCATGAGTCCTTTTCAAGCTTGTCATGTTGGCTGGCTCTTCTCCCTCAACTCTTGATGGCGATCTGAGATGCAGCTGGTGAAGAGAATGCTGTTCAGCGTTTTGGCAGACGAATCAAAGCGGCTAGTGCGTTTCTTATCGATACAGGATCTTTCGCCCGAACTTTACACCAACACTCGATCAACTGGGAAATGAAGGTCTTGGTTCGGATCGAACGGTGACTCTTCTTAAGCTGATTAATTTCTTTCCATTGCTTTGAAATGGAGCTCGACTCTGGCCGTTCGGAACTATTTGATTCTATGTCACATGATCTGGAGGTTACGCGCATCACGTGATCACACCCAGCCGCAGTGCATCAACACCATGACTTCAGCCTCAACTTCTACCCGTTGCATGATGAGATACTTGAATCGAACAATCTGAATGCAAAAGATAATTGCAACGGCAAGAGAGGGTTTGTAACGGACGACCGTTCGTAATTACTTTCTTACTTGCCCGGGACCTGTCACGTCGATCGTGGCCCCGATCTGACAGTTACAGCTTACAGATGGAGCCTTGACAACCTAAGCTAACGGTGAGACGTTATGCAAAACAATGATTCGAACTGGCCTGACCTTCAGGTTGATTTCTACTGCTATCCAATCGAAGATGCCAGCTGACATTACAGAAACATCTAGTGCTGACGAGTTCACGATCTAGTTAGCCGACCCGGGTTCTATTGACCAGCATGAGTGTTGAGAAACACGTTCTGGGGAAGGCTCCTCTCCGGGGAACGCTTCTCTCCGAGTGGAGACGGCAGCGAAGAAACAAAAGCGAGCCACGATTACGAACGTATGGTGACGCGTTCTCTGCCTCCTTATGGTGTGAGACCTCGGAACTGAAGGTCTCTGAGACCATGCTCTAAGTCTCATTGTGGCGGAGCGCGTATCCGAAATCACCAAGCCGCCTTGCAACGCAAGCCGACCTCATCCGATTATCTGGGCGTCCTCGCTTCGAGACGTCATAGACGTCACTGTTGCCGGATCCTTCTGGTACGCGGCAAGATGTCGGTGTGATGCAAAGTGGTGGACGCCTATTTCCCCGCCCTCTATGCCACCAACACATAGCGCAAGGACGAGAAATATCATTGATCATGACATATCGACCTCACCGGGTACCGCTCGATCCGGGAGCTCAGCTCTAGATGGCGTCCAACAGCGTCTGGACGCTCCCGAATTTGAGCAAGTGCAATGTCTGTTTAGTCAACACGAGCTTGGTGAGACATGAACTTACCAAGCTTGCATCCATTTAAGTGGTTATCGATGGGCTGTGGCGAAACAACGTGCCCACCCCACGTTATGCTGCCAAGGATTTACTGGGCCATGTCTTAACTGTCGGCTCGTGCATTCTTGTGTGATGCGGAACTGGTGGAGGCTGAGAAACTTGCCTCTCCATCTTGGCGGTCTCATAATCCTCTCCAAGCGATGAATGTCATTCCTATCATGGTCAGCTTTACAGTTCGATCCGGCAGCCTGAATTCCAGACAATAAGATGCGGTATACCTTGTCTCAGGCCTCCAAGGCTGTGACACTGTAGGGAGGTTGGTTGAGCCTGCAAGACTGAGTTTCAGGAATAGCGCCCGTACCTTAGATGCAGAATAAGCCACCCTCCACATCTGCGAGGACATGGGGCCAGATCTCTCGCAGCTACTCTATTGTCAGTTGCGACAGCATTTCGGCTGGCTGCTGGAGTTAAGCTAGAATGACCCGGGTTGTTCGGAGCCAACAGTCTAACAAAGTGCAGTGGGATGGGTACTGGGGGTGTGAGCTAGCCTGCCCGTGTGCATGTTGATGGTGGGCTCCTCTACCGTCCTCATGATGCACGCAAACGCGGCGACCAATAGAGAGGTGGAGATACGCACTTTCCGAGGCCACGAAGTGACCTCAGACAGGGAAGCCAAGTATACCCTCCCTCCAAACTCGTTCTTACAACCCGTGAGCCATTCACGGTGCGAGCCTTCCGTATCGACACCACCTCCTCGACTTCGCGTATGAGTGGAGAATGATGTCCCCCGACGCGAAACTGCAGGTGGTTATGACTTGCATTGTCGTCTTCGAAGCTGAACATATGGTCACATGGCCGGTCTCTACAAAGAAACCCTGCCGAGGACCGTGGCTAAATGGGTGAAGCCACGCAGATGCCAACGGCCAGACTAGAAAAGCCCGCGAACTAGAAGGTTCTCAGTGGGACAGTTGGAAGTCAGTGGACTTCCAACAGATCTGTCTATGCCATCGAAAGACGTTGCTTTCATGTTGCATATGGACTATCGCTGCCTTTTTCAGCAGTGACTTGCCGAGAAGGTTTGGCCAGGATAGGATACGCCTCTTCCCACAATACTACCTCTTGATGAACAATCCCATCGCTTCCGGCCAAGGCCGGTTTTCTGTATCGCAGCCGGGTCGGCCGAGAGTGGTCTACATGAACCTAGTAAACCATGGCTCGCTTGACACGCTCTCCAGATTCATGGCTTCCTCCTGGGATTTCTATTGATTATCATTCTCGGCAGGCTCCCTCTTTCGGATGGCCCTTCATGCTAGGATCCAATATTAAAGGCCCGGTTTCAGCTGTGGCGGCGGAATTCATGTCACCAAGGGCCGGGATCCGGGCAAGGCCAATCACGGATGGGGCGATCTTGGCTGTGAGCTTAGTCCACCGTTGCAGTCGCGAATATCCCTGCAGCCTGGTTTGAAATCCAGCGGAATGACGGGATGTTGGACGTGTTGCAAGGCCCCGAAGCCAGCCGCACGGAGTGAAGCCTGGACCAACATTGGACCGGCGCTGATGGCGCTGAGGAGGAGAAGAAGGCCCTTCATGCAGCTGGTTTTCGCCTTGAATAGTTCGCTCATCGGCCGTGCGCTATTCAGAATGGGGTCTCCGTGATGGTCTGGGCTTGGCATCACCTCCACACTTCCGAGGTCATAGTTGATGGGACGGCGTCGGCAATCGCAATGTCGAGATGCGTGTCTGCGTGTCTCCAAGGCCACAAGAGATCCGTGTTACCTTGTCAAACCCTCAAGGACCCGCTCGACAATGACGCGCACCAGTCGGCACCCAGTCAGCGCCTGGCGGCCAACGACAAGTTATAACAGAGTCGCTATGCAGCAGAGTCGCTATGCAGGCGCTGGTGACAAGAGGCATGAGAGAGATTTACCTACGCTGGGCTGCGGCGTGGCCCCGTCGTTTGAGGGACGGCTGTGGACCCGGGCCTGCAGCAGGCCGCATGTGTCTTGTTCTTGTCCTACCCAACTACAGCACTATCTGGACTCTGGCGTGGTGTTAGGTCTTCGTCCCAGCTGGCTACCAGTCCCGTCCGGGAATATGGTCATTGGTAATATCTCACACTGGCGTGGCTGCGGCCGGTGAACAGCGTTCTGGGGCCGGCGGTCGATCCATGTGATGGCGAGGGGGAGCGGCAGGCTGCTGAATTGGGAAATCCATGACGCCGGTTTGTCTACTAGACCCAGGATGTTTACGAAGTGACCCTCCCAAGAGCACGAAAACGCGGCGCGTCTGAGAAAGGCTCACGGGGTCGCGATTAGCGTGCGACATGCATTTGAAGAGTCAGGAATTAGGGAAAATGGAGGACATTCGGCGGCGAGGAAGACGTGACTTGACGAGAGTTAGGCAGGCCGGCCTAAGAGTGACTGAGCGACTGACTGCAGTCTGACCTCATCCGTGGCCGTACAGTTGAGGGCAAGCAAGCTAGACGAGGGGCTAGAGCTTGGGACCAATGTCGCCTCAGCGTGGCGCGAAGCAGACAAGGTGACTCGCTGCCACTGCATCCCCGCCCGTCGCGGTGGTATCTGTCTTCAGCAGGCATTGAATGTGTCTCGGGCGGATGATGATGCCCCGGGGCTGGCGAGACACAGCGGGGGGGCAGTTTCCTTGCTTTCACTGGGAGCGGCCGCCTCGTCGATGCGCGATGGCCACGACGAGAGTACTTTTATAGTACCGTATGCTGTACGTACATCTCACTCCCCGTACGAAGCGGACTTGTTGTTCGCCGTGTTAGTGCTGAACTGGTGTGAGGGGCTCATGAGATACACCGCTGTCGACAAGTGACACGGACGGTATGTGGTAAAGGTCGGCAACAATGGAACACGTTCTGATGAGGGGCTCGGCCGGGGCTTTGGGCGCCATCTGAACATAGCGTCCAAGCAGCAAGCCCAGCCGTGCAAGGGTCTGGAAACGAGGGCCGAGACAAGCCTGCGGCGCCAAGCAGACCCCAGACGATGCGAAGACGAGCTGTGCTGGGGCCGGCGTGATTGGTCCCGTTGCCCAGTCTGGGTAGGTGAAGCCTGGCCGGGCATCACAAGACTGCACACTGGGCTGGAGACGAAAGTGAGTCAGGCAGGGGTGCTACATCAGGATGATGCAACGCAAGCCCCGGTTTTCTGGAGCAGGTTTGATCTATTTTCAGCAGGGCCGTGGTCAAAAGGCAGCGAGGATGAGTACGCAAGAGGTGAGGTTCCGGTGAGATGGCGGCGGGCTGCAAGCCGGGAAGCCGGACGACGCAGGACGACGCCGAGGTCAATCAACCGAACGAGAAAGCGATTTGATATTATGCCGAGGCGAAAACAATTTGGGGACTAGCAGTATTTATCGGCATCGACAAGGTTTCACGTGCCATGTCGGGCAACAGAGCGTCTTGGCTGAGACGGTGACAGGCCGTCAATCTCCTGCGCCGCCGACAACTAAATAGCTGGGTGTTAGTATTCGGAGGTGATCTACCTCGCCTATTGTAGCACGGATACATGGCTTAAGTTATCATGCGGCGCTCGAGTCGGGTAGTGTGTTGTAGCGGATGGATGCGGAATCAAAAGGGAACCTGGCCCGTTGTGGCTGACAATAAAGTCGGACACTCTTGTGGGGTGATTTATGGGCTGGAACGGTGACGAGACGAGCGCCAGCCAAAAGGACAGAGGCGGAATAAACGGTCAGGCTAGGGGAGCGAGACATTTGGTGAGAGGAGGGGGCGGCTAACGGCATGCAGGCTAGCAGCGTGAGAAGAAGCGGCGTCACGGCGTCGCGGAGTGCAGCGAGAGTCGATGGCTTTGGTTTGAACGATGGAACAAATGGAGACGGTGGCTTGATGGTTCGTGGGCGCAGATGATGTGAGTCGCTTAAAGGATCCATTAGAGTGGGTTGAGAGAGGTTCAGCGTCGGTGTATCACGAGGGGAGGGGCGAGGCGATCAACGAACGGACAGGACGCAGGAGCCAACGACGTCTGGGCGCGGCGGGGGCTTGTTTCTCGCGTATCTCGTGTGGTGGACTAATAACTCCAGGGCCATGTGCGTTATAGGCAGTCAAGGGAAAGGGGGGGGGGGGAGGCCGCAGCTCGAGGTTGAGTGGATTTGGGGTGGAGGCGAAGGCGACGAGATGGGATCGCGATGCATGGCAGTGGCGTGGGAATCCATGGCGAGCGCGGGGGGGAGACGCATGGCGGAGCGTGGCTGATGACCAGTAACCAGGCGCATTCTCGCTGTCGTCTGGGATGTCTAGGCGGTCCGGGTGGACTGGTGTGGGTGCGTCTCTCTCGCATTCATATCTGGCACTTGAGATTTGAGATTCCGGGAGACAAAATGTGCGCGCGGGAAGCTGTGCGTGTGCGGGGACGGGGGCGGACGGGTGGTGGTTGTGATGTGTGTGTGTGGTCTGGGGTTGGGGCGATCGCTCCCGCACCTCCCCCATTCCCCTCCCCTCCCCTCCATGTTCCCTATTGCAACGGGCTGATCTGTCCGTTTCTTCGGTGCTGTTGGTGTGAGAGCGCACGCGAAGCAGGCCGGCGGCAGGGACCTGGGTCCGACGGGCGCAAGGCTATCAGCGAGGATCGTCGCCAGAGTCGTGCGCCTGCGATTACATGCTGGGGTGTTCTTTGACTTCGTACCACCTGCTGCTTGCTTCCTGGTGCTTGCTTCCTGGTGCTTGCTCCCTGCTGCATGCGCCTGCGGTGAGGTGCACGACACGACTCCTCCATGTGTCATTGCCCACAGGCTTCCCTCCTACCTCCTCCCTCCCCGGCCCTATCTCTGGAGATTCTGGAGATGGCTCCCAATCGCAGATTGGGATGGGCCAGCCCGCCTAGGATTTCCCACCGGCCCAGCCCAGGTAGCCCTAGACGATGCGCCGCGTTTAGTCGCATTGCTAGCCTAGTGTCGGGCTTGTCAGCTAGTCGCATCGCATCGTGGGCGATGGCATCCACTGTACGGATATCCAACGTCTGTCTGCTTGGACGGAGCACACTGGCGTCGTGGTTTCTTAACGAGGAATTCGCCGAGAACCAGGGAAGCGCCGTCCACTTTTGCTCGCTTGCTACCGGCAAAGCATGGCCTAGCACATGGCCCAGCAGGACAGGGGGGATGGAGCCATGGAGCCAGGCATTATCTACGTGGTAAAATGGCCCTCAGCCCAACTAGCCAAAGCCCTACCTGCTGCTAGGTGTCTCCGGCATTGACGCCAGCGGAAGCACCGCCGTTAGTAGACTGATCCGGTCCAAACCACAGAGTCCAATAACAACGTCAGCCCATCCATCCTATGCTGGTGTCAGAGATGGGACTCATGATTATCGCGCGTTGGAACCCTGGAGCCGCTGATGTCGTTCATCTCTTGTGCCGAATTTTCTTCATTGCGGAGAACGGCTGTGTTCCGACGTGTAAGACAAGCAAAGACAAGCACGCCATTGAGAGACAGAGATAAGGATATAGTGGCAAGGGGGATCGGCTGAGGTGCCCGCTGCAGGCAGTCTGGATCGCCGGCGGCTGAGGTGAAACTGGGGAGGCATGCAATGTGCAAGACAACCGACCAAGCAGAGACAAGACAGGACCAAACGACACAGCCAACCGTCCTCTTTCGTCGCTCCCCTCCCCCCCGGGCTCACCGTTGAGGGAAGTTCGGATGATTACGATGCCCTTGCACCTCGGGGTGCGGATTATGACAAACAACTCATCTGTCAAGCCCAAAGCCCTGACCGAGTAAGAAGCGCCACAAGCATCATAAAGTCATCTGTCCGGTAAAGTGACAGTCATCGCACAAGTCGGGTATGCGGGGAGGGCGCATGTGCAGACGCAGCGTCGCACAGAACCAGCAAAGCAACAAGCGCAGGGGGTGGTGCACAAGAGACCCGGGGGTGGTTTCTCCCTCGTAGATTTCCAGCATGGGCGGGATTGTACATGACAATCTCTCCGTGACTCTCTTTTCCTAAGCGGGTGGTTGACACTTGCATGTCACTCACTCACTCTATTCCCACGCTACGCTATACAAAGTGCAGTCCAGTTAAATGCGACTGCATGTGGTTAGCATCACGACGCACAAGGACGCAAGGGATGACGGAAAAGCACGGCGGCAGGCAGACAGGATCCCTCGTCAAAGGAACACAGCACGGTGCAACAACCAGACCCGACATCGTGGATAGGATTCGACATGGAATGGTGTCCCAGATACGAGCCACCACCAACAAAGGGAGCCGGGGAGGGCAAAAGCAAGGAAGGGGCTTGACTCTCCGGTCCGAAACTTTTCGAAGTCGAAATGAGGTGAGACTTTTCTAGCCCCGAACAGTCTTGCAGATGGATCACGGATGTGCGTCGCGCATGGCATTGGCATCCATATGCCCGACTCGTCTTGGGGCGGCCATGGCAACTTACACGGACGACCTACAATAGGAAGCGAGACAGAGACATGGCTTGGGTAGCGAGGCTAGCCACAAGTGTCCCAGCCGCGGGCAAAAGCAGAAACAGGCGCTTCTGACGCACATGGACAAGTTGGCATCGATACCTTGTCGTCGCAGATGCTGATTTGCTGCGCGGCCTGGAGGCTGACATTGATGACACGGGATCCATGCTCGTCGTGCTCATCGTCCCCCCCCCGGCGCTGATGCGAGCAAGATGCTCTCGCCGGCCGGACCAACGAAACCAACCAACCAGGGCAAACACCGGACGAGGGCAATCAGCCTGCTTTGTCCTTTATTCCCCGGCGCACGGTGTTTTGGGTTGGATTGATGGCATGCTTGCGATGCCTGGTTGCTTACTTGACGGAACTGGTTGATTGATTACGCCGGTGTATGTGCAGGTCTGCGGCGCAAGAGATTTACTGGCAGCAGCACTCACTCGCTCACACCCGCAGACGGCCTGCATGGTAAGGCGTTGCAAAAGCCTACCGGCTTGGGGGCAGCAGATATACCCCCCCCCCTCCCCAAGGCCAAGCATTCGCCGTCCAGATTGAGCGCTGTGCCTTTGTTCGGAAACGACAGCGGGCAAAGCGAAGTTCCAAATGCTGCAGAATGCCTGCGCACGCAATCTGGACTGCTCTTTTTTCTTTTTTTAATCGGCGGGCTAACTGGCTGTCTGTATCCTAGACTGACTGCGTGCCGTGTGCTTTATCCGGTATCCGGGTATCTTTTTTCTGACTGTACTCCGTCGGTCCCGTATCGTCATGGTATCGGATCGTGTCTATCTCGTTCGGGTCGTCTCTCCCCAATGGCAGAGAAGGGTCGCGAGAGATAATGCTGCTGCTACTGCGTAGTAAGTCAACGCCGCCACCAAACTAGGGAACGGCGACTCCGCCTCGTTTTCGTGTCGGTCGTATCATGCTTCACCTCCTCCTCTTACCGTCTTCCCTCGTCACCTTTTTGTTGGACAATGGACACGGTCAACTCGTGATGCTCCCTCTGACCCTCAGCCTGTGACTCTTACTCTCTCCGGGGTGCTCAGCTCACGCCCCCTTCACACGCCCCCTTGTCGGTTCTTGTCAGGGATTGCCCCTGTTCGGGCCTGTCCCAACCCTGGTCCTGTCTTGCGTCTTTGGCCACCATCCCCACCCCAATCCTCATCCTCCCGGGCGCTCGCTCTCACAATCTCTCTCGCGCGCCGGGCCTGCGCTTCTTGCTACGACGTGCTACGACGTAGGCTTCCGCTGGGCGTGGTGGGCGTGGTGGGCTTGCTGGGCGTTGCCGGGGCTTGCGCCATCCTGGCCAACCATCCGTCGTCATCCGTCTCCCTCCATCCGCGCCGCCGCCATCAAAACGGTAAAAGCCCTCTAGGGCGCTGAGCATCTGGGTCTCTGGATATCTGAGTCCCCCTCAAACACCCTCTAACACGCCCCCCCCCTCTCCCCTCCATCGAGACATCTCCCCCTCCATCCCCTCCATCTCCATCCATCCACCCATCCAGCCATCCACCTTTCCAGCCCGTTCAACCCATTCCCATCGCATCCCATCCACCCCAATCCCAATCCCTCCATCCCAGCTCAAGCAGCCCAGCCCTCTTCGTCCCACTCTCATCCACTCCTCCACGCCTCCACGCCCTCCCTCCCTCCTCCATCCGTCGTCGCGGTGCCCTCAAACCCCAACCGCAGCCATCATCATCTCGTCCACTGCCACCGACCGCTGCCACTGCCGCTGGCGCACTAGACCCCGTTTTCCCCATCCACCCCATCCATCCATCCCATCTTCGACTATCCATTCCATCTTCACCATCATCATCAACATCACCACCACTCACACTCTCTCTTTCCCGGCGCGTCGCAAGCCTTCACAGGGTCGACAATCGCACGCGCGCAAACTTCTTGCTGGGCCTGCGCCTTTCGTCTCTCGGCCGGCAGCATCGGGGAGCTGCGCAACGGACCTTGGGCTCCATCTTTTGCGGGGACCCGCGCACGCGCTGCGCACAGCTTGCTCCATCTTCATCGTCATCATTACCATCGTCGAGTCGCAATCAATCTGTTGCGCCGAGCCGCGCCGCCGTCGCCCTCGTTTATCTGTGATTGCGCTGAGCTGCCCTTAAGCCTTGCGCTACAGCCCACAAAACGCTGCAATTGCATTGCCCAGGCGCAGGAGCTGGAACCGAAGTTCCTTGCACACACTCACACTCGCACTCGCACTCACACTCACACTCGGCTACGCTTCGAATCCGCGCCGCGCTCTACAGGCCGCAGCTCACCTCGGGAACGGGGCTGTTTTGTCATCGACCAGCTTTCTCCACATTCACGCGGCCCTCGGTCGCATTACACTCGCAGCTCGCAGCTCAGCACCTAGCACCTAGCACCTAGCACCCAGTTACCCAGCAGCTCGCGAACAAGGTCTAGTGGTGAACCCACTCACCCATTCTCACACCCGTCTCCGCCGCCTCCGCGCCGCCGACGCCTCCGCCCTCTCGCCTGGCCTTGTCCGCGTCCTTGTTTGACCTTGCTACCTTGTCTACCTACCTCATCTACCTTGCCTGCCTCCCTGCTGGGTCGGATCCCCCGTCAGAGTCCCTGTTTGGGTCCTGGTCCTGTCTCGTCTGTCTTGCCTAAAGGTACCAAGGTACTACTGACTGACTGGACTGACTGGTACTGACTGAACTGGTATTAACTGGCTGGTATTGACTGACTGGGGTGCATATTTTTTCTTTTCTTTTCTTTCTTTCTTCCTTTGCTTTTTCTCCGCCGCCATCAACAACGGCCACCAACCGCCACGGAACCCAGCGCACAGCCAGTCCGTTCTATTCTTCCCCACTATTAGCACCCAGCACTTGGTATTTGGCACTACCAACTGCGCGTGCGATTATCCCCGCTTAGCTCCAGCGCTGTTAGCCGCTACCGCGACTACTGCTCGTGCGCCAAGGGCCCCCCCGTACCGCCACTGCCCACTGCCCTGCTTGCTACCTACAGTATACTACTGCACCATTCCCTCCCACCCCATCGCAAACCCGTCCCATCCACCATCCATCATCATCCATCCATCCACCACCACCATCCACTACTACCACCACCACCTTCTCCGCCTTCCGCCAACCGCTTCACACCCGCTGTTTCCATCGTCCAACCCTCCATTTGCCTCGTGAGAACACGCGCTCCGAGACACTCATCGTCGCGACACCGCTTGTTTCGCCCTGCCCGCCTTTCAACTGCGCTCTGAGCAGTCGCCGCCGCCGTCGTCGCACAACGCGCTCCGCGCCCGCCGCATCCCACTCCATCACCAAGTAAAGGTAATGCATCCATTCAAACATCCCCCCCCAGTCCCCGATCCCGTTCCCGTCAACTTCCCCCCGTCTTCGCAGCCTTGCGTTGCCTTGCGTTCGTTCGTTGCCTCGCCTGTCCTTCGCTTGGTTACACATCTTGCACATCTTGCTGTTCGCCGCCGCTGCCGCCGTTTGCCTTCTCCGGATCTTCCTCTTCCTCTGGCCCCAACGCTACGCCCGGAACCTGGCCCTGAGCTCCGCCACTCTGCCTGAGTCTTGGCCTGGCCGGCCGAGTCTCATCCGCTTCTCCAGGCAGGTTTCCTCACTCAAGGCCGTCTTATAACCCGCTATTGCCATCCCGCACTCGACGCGCCCTCCCACCCCCGGCGGCCAACCACATGCGCGATTGACGTCGTTCTCCCGCTGCATCTCCTCCAACCTTCAGCCCAAACATCTCACGACACGTCGCCGTCACCATCCTCGTTGCTGCCGTCGCCGCCGCTGCTGTTGGCCTGGACGCTCTGCCATGTACTCCGCCCAGCAAAGCGGCGCTGATAGTGCGACGATCAATCCCGCCGCCCTCAACTCACCTGGTATGTTCTCGCCTCCCTGCTACTGCCTGCTGTTCGCGCCCACCCCTCCACCATCCTATACAACCCGTTCCCGTCGCTCGTATTGCCCGCCGCACCCCCGCGTTGCTGTCGCAAAACACCATCGAGGTCTCCTCATGTTTGCGCCGCACGCTACCCGCTTCTCCTCCTGATATCCACACTCTTTTGTGACTCTGCTCGCGCCCGCCTTTCGGTGTTACCTCTGCTGGTCGCCATTACCAGTTTCTTCATCATGCTGACTCGTTTTGTTCGACAGACCCCCCGCGCCGTGGCCTCAAGCGCAGCCGGACCCCGGATCTCTACGACTCGCCGCAACCTGGCGATGACGGTATGTCGGGTGGATCCTGTGTAGCCCGACGCTGCACGGCGCGTCGCGGTGCGCCGTCGCGAAGCGCCGTTTGCGCCGACCCGCGAAACTGGCTCCAGCTGCGATTCCGTGTGACATTTCTCATCGCGCTACTTTGCTGCCCACACACTGAATCGCATCGCAAGACTAATAACCGAGGGAAGTCGCTGACCATGCTTTGTGTTTTGTAGGTGATTCGAGACCCCTTCGAAAACGAGGAAGACCGATGAAGTCGCGAACTTCAGGGGGCATCTCCGATGCTCCCGGCCAGGCGCCCGCTGCGAACCTGCCCCAGACAATCCCCCCTCCCCAGACGCCTCAGTCCCAGAGCACCACGCTGCCCGCGCAGGCTGCCTACACGCCAACCCAGGCGCCACCGAAGACCACACCAACCAAGTCTACCCTGAAGGCTCTCCCGACCGTCCGAGACCATACGACCGATCAGCTCAATTCGACCGGCGATGAGTACCTCCCGCGTGAGATTGACGAGTTTGGTGAGAAGAAGGTTATGGCCAATGGCACCCTCCAGGGTGGTCGCGAATACAAATGCAGGACCTTCTTGGTTCCCAACCGAGGCGACAAGCTCTTCATGCTCGCCACCGAGTGCGCCAGAGTGCTAGGCTATCGAGACTCGTATCTGTTATTTAACAAGAACAGGTCCTTGTTCAAGATCATTGCCAGCCAGGCCGAGAAGGACGACCTTGTCCAGCAGGAGATCCTTCCGTTTTCTTACCGTTCCAGGCAAATCGCAATCGTTACCGCCCGGTCCATGTTCCGCCAGTTTGGAAGCCGAGTTATCGTCAACGGCCGCAGAGTCCGGGACGACTACTGGGAAACCAAGGCCCGAAAGCAAGGCTTCACCGAGGCTGATCTCGCCGGAGAGAAGCGACCCGGCGCCACCAAGGCCAGGGAAGCGGCCGAGGCGGCCCAGAACAGTGTCCTGATGGCTGGCCCACATCCAGAAATCGTCTACAGCAACAACCCTGGACCCTTCCCTGGCCCTCCGCAGCCGCACCTTGTTCAACCAGGTATGATCGGACCACCACCTGGAAGCACGACAAGAATGCCTGGATTGACTCTTGGATCAGACCTCAGTGACTCCCGGCCGCGTGACTACTCCGGAATCCTCAAGACAGGACCCCGCCAGGAGATTACCGGCCCTGCTTACCAAGACCAGACCCGGCCCTCACCTCTCGGCGAACTGAACGCCCAAGCCCACCACGCCGCCGAGTTCAACCGGACCGTCAACCAGCAGCGGGACATGCGCAACGACTACATTCAGGGAATCTGGCGACGACCCCACGAGCAACCCTCATCCAACTTGACCCAGCAGCCCGTAGCGTCGAACGATAGCGCCTCCGTCCCCGCGAGCCGACCGTCGCACTCCCCCCATACCACGGCGACCGGTATGTCCCAGTCAGGAATGGTATCCTCCCAGAGCCCCCAGATGATGATGACGACGGCGCCATATTCTCAGTCCATTAGCGCCCAAAGCAACCTGACGCAGGCACCCATGAGAGGTATGGCCCAGTCTCCGACACAGTCAAATACCAGACCAACACCATCCCTCCCAGGCTCGAGCAGCTCCATTTCTCAGGGCACGCCCAGCTACAACTACCAGTCCGGACAAAGCATGTGGCCCCAGACCCCTCAGACACCGCAGCAGCACAGCTACGGCAGCTACACCACCCAGGGTCAACAGGCTCACCCGTCGCAGTCGCCCGCTTCCCACCTGCGCCAGCCGAGCTCGGGTCAGATGCAGCCCAACATGCAGTTCCCTGGCATGGCTGGCATGCCGTACGGCACCGGTCAGAGCATGTACCCTACAGATCAAACACCTCGACAGTACATGCCCCAGAGCGCCCCTGGGGGCCCTGCGGTGACGCAGGCTTGGTCAGGCCAGCACTCGCCAGCACAGCAGTGGTGGACTCCTGGCCAGCAGCCACAATGAGAACGGAGTGCGCTGAATGACAATGACCGGATGACTTTCACTACGATTTGATATTCTGCCTTTTATTTTCTCCCGGGTATTCTACCTAATCATGCGTTTGCTTTTTTCCTATCTCATATATTATTCAACCGGGAGACTCTGATCCTCTCTTTGGTCCGAACTCCTTCAGTATTCCTGGATACCCAAGCATACGAATTGGTGGAGAGGCTATGTGCTTTGTGGACCATCAGTCCATTGAAACTGCGTGTAGCATTTGGCCTGGATGGGATAGAGGAGTCGGTGGTGGGAACACTGGTTTTCGTCGTCGGGTTCGGCTATGGTGGTTTTTTGGGGTCAGGCATGGCTCACAACGCACGTTTTTGTTTTTCACGTTCGCTTCTTCCGCTCTTGTTTGGAGGCATCTTCGGGTTTGGAAAGTTTGTTCCGACGCTTTTTGCGAGGATGCGGTTATATCGGCGGTTCGCTTGTGCGTTCCTGGCAGCCTTTTGCATAGGCAAGGCATCTTGTACCGGGCTTTTTTGATACCACGTCACCTCTTCGATTCGTTCTTCTCCTCGATTCTTCATTCTTGGTACCAGGACACAAGTGGTACGACTACGGAACGAACACCCTCAGCGACGCCTCGATCGAGTCTGGGTCTCGTTGATGAGGTGGTCTGAAACCTACGGCTGGGCAGGTTTCCGCAGGCTCTGCCATGGGGATGACCTTGCGGTGTGGTTGGGCTTGTGGCTTAGCCAACATTCCTGGGTCTTGGGCAAGTTTGAAGCATTCATTCACCAGCAGCGTTTTATCGCTACGGGGTGGTTTTCTTGTCTTGTTTAGCTTGATTGTTTGTCGTTATTGATATTGATTGGATTCTTGGCTCCCACTTGGGACTTTCATTGATGTGGCTCGTTTGCTGTGCGGATGGGACATGTGCTTCTTGATCCCCGGGGTTCATCTTGTCGCGAGAGTGGTTGGCATTGGGACGGGTGGGTTGGGTAAGGCAATAGGGAATCAATTATTTCATATCTCGAATGCGATACTTCATCTTTTGCAAGCCTCCATCTCTGGTGCCTGTGGTGGAACTGGTAACTGTACATCACTATTGAGACAGCAAGGCTGATGTGAGACGGACGGTACATGGCGCCCACGTTTCTATATGACTTGTGTCTGGATAAACTGTATGCTTGACAAGACCAAAAAAGTAAAAGCAAGTTCACTCGTTTCCATCTCGTCCATCCCTAGTCAAAAGACACGAGTTAACCTTGTTTCCCTACCATGCTCGTCCCACCAGACTCGTCTCATCTCAACGCCTCGTGCTGCGCCAGCACACAAGCCCTGCCGTGCAACCACCCCCGGAGATCGGCCTCCCGCCCCCCTCCCCACGGGTGAATCGGGCCCCCCCGGAGAGGGAGCGTCCCACGAGGACGACGCTGTGGCACAGGCTGCCGTGGTGGTCTGGGGAATCGACCATGGCAGGAGGGGGGAGGGGTGTTGCACGTGGCGCCGGGGAGTGTGTTTCGGGTTGAGGAGAGGGTGGGAAAATTCGGACTTCGGAGATCGGGAGTGTCGGTTTTTGACTTCTTTTCTCTTCTTTGTACGATGGAGCGCCTGGGAGGGGTTGGGCTGTGGGCTGCGGGCTGCTTGTCCTACGGTTGGGTGGCTTTCATGGGAGGTGGAAGGGATGGGATATTGAGCAGACGGTGAGGGCGGTTGTGTGAACAGGGTTGAATGTAGGCAGTTGTGCGGATGCCAAGTACGCAAAGTAATCCAGAGTAGAACTGGTGCCAACTCAGTCACTCTCGTCTCCATCAAGCGCCTCATCGGCGTCATCTCTGCCCTCCTTCTCCTCCAGCGCATCCTGCGTCTCATCACCACTAGCCTCACCCTCACCCTCGTCGTCATCCTCCTCCTCTTCCTCGTTATCCTCGTCATCATCCTCCGGCACGGGCTCCTCGTCCTCCGTCTCCGCATCGTCTTCGACCTCCGCGGCCGCCGAGGGGTCGACGCGGGCGCGCTTGGTGCGCGGGCCCGAGGCCTCCGAGGCCATGGTCGTGTCGGCGTCGACTTGCGACGTGTCGGCCATGGAGGTGTCCGGGTCGTCGGACTTCTTGGCGCGGACCTTTTGGCGGTACGAGGTGCGCTTCTCAGTCTGGATGGCGTTGAATTCTAGCGTAACCGGGTCAGCACAGGGTTACATCTGGATGCGAGGTTTTGCATTCTGCATTTGTCCCTGGAAAAGGAACCGTGAGGCATACTTGCGAACTCAGCCTCCAGGGGGGCACGTAGGAAGGAAAACTCGGTGTCCTCGAGGGCTTTGAAGACATCGGCGGGAGTTACCGTCTTCTTGCCTGCGTTGACGGTGTTCTCATTTGCGCTGCGGAACGGGTCAGATAGGTACAGGTGGAAGAGGGACATGCGTACTGTGAGGCCAGATAGCTGATAAAGACGGTAGCACTGTTGCTCATGGCCAGGATGGCATTGGCCTGGATCTGTGTGTTGGCCGGTAACACTCCCTTGGCCAGTCTTGTGATTATAGACTTGGGCAATGTGAGGTCCTATCGCTCAGCCGTCAGTAAATATTTCATCCCTTGTCATCTCACTCCGTCTCTCGTCGTCCCAGTCATCGACTCTTAGGGAAGGAATAGTGCTTACCTCAATTGCTATGGCGTCATTTCGTTCCTTTTCTTTTTCCTTCTCCCGTTCTTTTTCCTTCTCCTTCTCCTTGTCCTTGTCCTTCTTCTCAGCGCCTGGTGAGTCCTCAGCAGCCGCAACCACAGGCTCATCCGCAGCAGGAGCCGGGGTGGGCTCTTTGGGCGGCGTGGCCTCTACGGGGACTACACGGGCGGTTGAGACGTCGCTCTTGCGCGACGTGGACTTGCGTGGAGGCATGATTGGGGATGGTGGTGAGGGTTGTGATGAGTGACGGTGATGAGTAGTGTGGCTGAGGACGCGGTCCAGGGGGGTACGGAGGCGCTGCGAGGAAGCCGATGAGGGGATGCCGCAGGAGTCTCACGTGGCCGAGATAATGATAGAGGACGACAAAAGCGTAGAGAGGTGTAAGTTGCGAGCAGTGCGCGCAGAGGCGAGGCAGTGAGGCTCAGCTCCAAAGCGATGACCACTCGGTCAATCCGTCCTCAACGCGGCGTTGCACAAGTCTGTCCTGTCCAATCCCAGGGCGAGTTGGACCATGCCACGTCCGATCCCGTCCTTCTGAATCCTTCGAATCCGGTAATCCCCCGGGGGTCTGCGAGGTGTCTTGGACGGCGGCGGAGCGAGTTCAGCGGGCGAGTTGACGATGGTTCCCTTTTAGTGGACTTTGGCGACTGCAGACGGTGCGCGGGCGAGAGAAGCGCGCGTCTGTGGTCTGTGGGTGGGTGTGCGACGCGACGCCGCGCTGTGAGTGGACGGAAGGCGCGTTAAGTGGCGACCTTGATTCAACCTCACCCATCAGACGCTTGGGGATGAGTTGACGGTTTCTATTTTATTTTCTCGCCAGCAAATCGTGCAATGGCTTGCGTTTCTTGTGCTGGATCGGTATTGTTCGGCTATGGAACGCCTAATCAGTTCAAGCGGCGTTCTAGCCGAGGCTCGCGTCGATTTTGACACTCCCAGATCCATAGACAACCACATGATGCTCTCCTACGTCAACGTGGGAGTAAGCCACCGTCTCGGATAGAGAATAGGAGCCGGAACTCACTGTCACAAAACATCATTCGTATGCTGGTCATAACCATTTATTCAACAAGAGAGCATGCTGACGAAACACACAATGCCCATGCAGGCCTCGTCTCATATCCAATCCCGTAAGCCCCCCTTCATCTCATCCTCCTCAGTGAGCCAACTGCCGATCTCAACCACGATGCCACAGGCCTCCATCCCATTTCCCGGCTCATTAGTCGCGATATAGGTGCAACCCAATGCTAATGGATACGACGCTGATGACGTCTCATGCGGTAATCTCGGGATCACCATCCACATCCATGGCCATGGCCATAGCTTCAGCCTCGATCCATCCATGAAACAGCCACTATTACTACACCCGCGCCTTGACCTTCATAGGCATAATTTGGACACATTTCCTGTCAATGCCAATCTAATTCAGGGCACTGGCTTCGTCCGGGTGCTCCCGCGTGCTCGTGGTCTGGCCGTTTCAAGCCCACTCTCCATTCCCCACCCCCATCAAACATCAAACCACCTCCATCGAAACATGTTGTCGAGAGTCCTCCCACCATAGGTTCTAAGCTACCCACACCCCGCGCTGGCTGGCCTCATTGCATGCACATGTGCGGAGAATGGAATCGCATCTATTTTGCTTTTTTTTTTATCGTTCCATTGAATTGAGAGTGTTTTGGCGGGCAAGCTTACTCGCTGCCGGTGCCTATTCTGCCTGTTTGTGGACTATTCTATCTGTACAGGCTCTCTTCTAGACCCGATTGGTCTTTGCACAGATTTTATTCATGCTGACCCAATTTGTTGGTCTCTGTTATTCCCATACCGCTTGCTCTAAAACCATCATGACATATAGAAGAAGAAAAGAAAGAAAGTCTCGGGGTATATCCGTCGTAAAAAAATAATACAGAAAAAGTCAAAAAGCCACCTCATCCTGGCTGGGCGCCGCCCGTCCAATCATCATCCTTCGAAGCATCGAAGGGTTCATGGTAGCTGGCGTGGCCAACTCGATTCCCAACTTCCCTCTTCAAGAAGGATAAAAGCAAACTAGACGCCATCATCTTAGGAGAGGTCTTGTAGGGAGTGTGTGCATGTGTGCTTGTGCGTGTGCATGTTTGCGTGTGTGCATGCATCTTCATATTTCGATGCAACGTGGAGCAATGGCTCTTCCGGGAGTCGGCGACGGGAGATTTGGATCTCCTTCTCGGCATATTAAGTGCACGGAGTCTTGTCAACATCCCATCCAAAATCCCTGGTGGTTTTGAAACACGTCGTCGGAGATCACCTCGGCCCCGCATTTCTTGGGACGGAGGGATTGCGAGGATACGGGGGTTGAAACAAGCCATTGTCTTGTCAGACCCGTTGTCTCTTCACGTCAATCGACAATGCAAAATGTCGGTCTGTGAAATTGTAGGCATTCGCTATATCGCTTGCCTAGTTTCAGCCGATGGCACGGCCAATCTCTGACTGGCGGATCAACGGCCGGGGTGAGAGGCCACCGAGGTAAATATCGTCGTCAAAGGACAACCGTGGGGGAGTCGAAATAGAATGAACCCGCTTTTGCCTCCGCATGTCAAGGGACCGGTTAGCTCGGGGTAGGTAGTCACTGGACATCCGGGTCAAGGCGTGTTTGTCCGGGTGATGTCCATGCCAATGGTCGTGATGCCCTGCAACGCTCACGGTACTGCTTCGGCTGCCACGGGTGCGGCTCTGTCGTGAGGCAGTGGGCGGAAGCTTTGCCAGACGTGAAGGCTGACGCTTGAGGGTAGGGATGAAGGCATCGTCACCTTGCACAGTCTCGTCGGTGAGGCCGGGGCGCGAGTTTGGGGCACGGGCGAGGACTGGGGTTTGGGGAACGTCCATGCTGCGCTTGTGCTTAACGGTGTGAGCTGTCAGCTCCTCCGATGCTCGAGACTGGCCATTCTGGTATATGATGACACTGGGTGGCTTGCAGATGGAGATGGAGCTCTGCTGGCGCTGATGGTGCTGATAGTCCTCTTGTTGAGCCTCAGCCCGGAAAGCTGCTTGTTCGATGATGGGCGTCTTCTCATCAGCCTTGTCCGTCCTCCATGATTCAATCTCCTCATCATCAATGGGGGTGATGCCCCTCTTGAGGAAAAGGAAACGGCGCTGTCGGGACCTGCGGCAGAGGACAGTCGTAATGATGGCGATGAGGCCCACGGGGACCGCTGTCGCAAGAACGATGACGAGAATCTTGATTTGGGTGTCGTTCATGGTGTCTTTGCCATCGCGGGACCACGATCAAGTGCAATATGGTGGGTTCTCGAGGTTCGTTGAAAGAACTGGCGCTGCCGTCCAACAAAGTCGCAGACCAGAAGCGGGATGCTCGGCTTGCTCTGCAAGGTCACTAGGAGTCGTCGAGTCGAGATGATAACTAAGGTTGTTGGTCAGTTTGGGTCTTGATGTTAGAATGGAATATGAGTGGTTGTAGGAAATAGAGGAACGAGTTGTGAGTGAGGAATACATGGGGGCAGTTGGGTGTGCTGGTGGTTGGCATGGTCGTGTTAGTCGGGCAGTTACGCCCGGTCCATGCTGCCATGCTAAGGCAAGTAGCCATTGCTTCCTGCCATTGCTTCTTCTCATTATAGAAGATGGACCAGACGAAGCAATTATTCAACGACAAGCGACGGTTTGGATGCCGAATTTGTATAATTGACAAACAAGGAGCCCAATACGACCAGCAGCAAAGTCATCGACTCTGACAGTAACATGAAAGAAGAAGTGAAGCGATTATGCGATGAAGAGTTGGACATTGATAGGAAGAGGGGATACCAACATTCGAAGCCGGCGAGCAAATCACAATGTGAGGCCAGACCGGATCGGATCGGATCGATTTGACCTGACGACTGGACGACTGGACTTGGAGCACAGCTGGAGAGGTGAAGTTGTTCAAAGAGGAGTCCCTTCGGTCCGGCCGTCCTTCAAGGTCGGTATCGAAGGATGAAGGAAGGAGGATATCAACCAGGCACGGGACGCCCTGGGGATAGCAGAGCCGAACGGGACGGGAGCGGAAGAGGGACGGGGGAGCGTTGAAGCTATATAGGGACTGGGGGCAAGCGGCAGCTCTGGGCTGGACTGGGGGAGGAGGGACGGACAGGACATGGGGCGTGGAGGCAGGGGGCGTGGAAGGCACGCAGTAGCTGTGGCAGTAGCGTCATGGTGTGGGATGGACGAGGGTGTGGGAGTGTAGCAAAGCAGCGTCGCAGCAGAGCAGCGTGTGGGAGCGAGTGAGAGTGAGAGTGACAGGCCAGGAGGAGGAGGTGGAGCTGAAGGTGTGTGGGAGGAGAGTTGCGAGGGGGCGTGTGGTGGTGTGGAAGAAGCGTGGAAGTAGGTGGTTCTCCTCACCACCACCGCAGCGAGCCTTGCCTTGCAACTCGCACTTTACACCTTGCAACCCACGCGCAATCGTATACATGATACATGCTACATGATACTCGCCTAGGCTCTTGGACGTGCAGGTCTAGTGTGTATCTAAATCCGGGCTGTATGTATTGTTTCCAACCTGAGCAGCGCCTATTTCTCAAGAGTTGAGAAGCGAAAGCAATGGCCATGATTGAGACGCAAGGTACCATGGTCCAAATAAAATAAAAATTACCTACTAGAGGTAGGTACCTACTGCAACCAGCGAGTGACCTGCCCGGGAGTGCAGCGCAGTGCAGTGCACTACTGCCATGTACAGCGCACGACAGGCACACTGCACTGCAGCGTGCACTCGGGGTTCTGAAATAATCCCGCAGAACCAGCCTCAGTCCCATCTATTTCCGTCGGCCTCTGCATGCCCATTGGATGCAGGTGGGCTACGAAGAGCGACTGCGCGACCGCTCGCTCGACCGCCTGCATTTCTGGCCTGGGGCCCCGGCGGTGGTGGTGGTTGGGCCGCGAATGCCTCCAGTGGGAACATGGCAACATGGCAGTGGGAACAGTCGCTGCGGCTGGCGGGTTCTGACGGACCTCCAGGCTGGTTTAGGGCACCTCACATGGCCTTCTAGAGGGGGGGGGGGGAGGTCCCGCTGGTCCACTAACGGCATGGCGCCATGGCCAGCTTTCCAGCACCACAGGGAACGTGGCGCGCGCAGGGGGGGCAGCCGAGGGGACCAAGGTCCTCCACTGGCCGGGGGGGTCAGTTTGCCCGCCCCAGGGCACTTGGGGCTTGGGGCCAGGGGCCGAACCGCCTAGGGAGGCCCAGCGTGGCCCGCCCCTGGAGCTAGGACAGCCTAACGATCAGGGCTCCACCTCGCGGCCAAGACTCCAAGAGAAAGAAGGCTTTTGAGGCTTTGCGGCGTTGTAAGAGACGCGACCCAACCGACCCGGGCCGGGAGTCGTTGAATGGTCGACTGGCGTACAGCGCATCATCATCGATCCGCCGTGCGATGCTAGCAATACTACCTACGTGCCATGTCAGGATCTTGGCCTGGCCGGCCCTTAATATCACACCGCTGGGCATTGGTTGGTGGTTGCATCGGCCACGCATGGCATCGCCGTCGGTCTGTCAGATGGGCCGCATACGGCACGGCAGCCGGGAGTGAATCGTCCTCTGGTTGTTGGGTCCGGTACGTCCGGTACGCAGTCACATCAAATTTCAAGTTCCTGAGCCTGTTCCTGATCCAGCTCCTGTTCCTGTTCGTGGCCGCGGCCTGGGCCAGACCTGCTCTGAACCGTTTGTACCTTGCGTCTCATTCCAAAACAGTCGCCCAATGGCCCCCAATCCACCCGGCTCAAACAAACCAGGTGCCGAAGACATTCCCCGACTCCGCGAGATGCCCTCAACACAACCCCCAGCCTGGCATCAACGCCCATCACATCACCTCAGCCCTTGCCTTCGCCGCCCCGTCAGCCCCCTCGCATTTGCCTCTGCGTCAAAGAGCTGGAACTCCTCCAACGAGGAGCCAAGGTCTCAGACACGCATACATGCGTGTAGTCGGTGAGCAAGAGCAAGAGCATAGCGCAAGCCAGCTTGCCAGCCTACGCAGTCGAGCTTACGCAGGGCTTTAAGACAAGATAGACCACAGCAGCAACTGTAATAAAAAGAAAGTTGTCTGGAGGCAATAGACGAAAGAAGGCTTGGGTGCGGTTCATGTGGCCATCCGTGCGCCGCATCCAGACCGGCATCGCCAACTTGACATGTTGTCCCTGCCCAACATTTGGCGTCCGGGGTACGTTGACAGTTCGTGTTCTTGAACGAACGGAGCTGCAAGGGAGAGACTGAGAACCACACGCCAAGGAACTGGAATGCAGCGCGATGGAGCCGGGCAGAATCCCATCGTCGTCATTGCCCACCATTATCAAACCACCAGGGCATGTTGGACGGCATGCCCCTCCCCCGCTGCCTCATCTTGTCTCGTCTGGTCCCTCTTTCGCTTGTGGCCGCGGTCTAGATGGGCATGGTCCAGGGGAGAAACACGTTACCATTGCGACTATCGTCTTTTGCAAACCTCCACTGCAAACCTCCACTGCACGCCCCCCATGATGGAAGACGCGGAGAGTATTGGATGGGCCGAGGCACACGGCACCACTGACTGCCGTCCGTATCTCGCATCCCAAACTACAGGCTCCGTGACGGCCCGTCACGCAATCCCCACGAGCTCCCACCGTAATCGTCACACAAAACCCAGTAGAATCATTTCGTGGGCCCCGCGAGCGCACACGGCGGGATTCTCATACGGCAAAGTAGACGGTGGGCCAGGAATAATGGCCCCGCCAAGCATCGGCCGGTTTGCCCGTCACGGCCTTCTACGCCGGTTTCCAATTCACGCTGCCGAGCTGAAGCCCGACCGCTTCTTCGTGCGGGAGGCGGCAATGTCGGTAGATCAACGATTAGGTCCATGATAAATCAACCGACCATCGATAGACATCCCGACGGCAAGCCGAGCTTTGACAGGACTGGCAAAAGCAAACGAACGGTGGGACGAACCCGCGTCGAGGCAAAAAATGGATTACTGAACTGGTTCACAAAAAAAAAAAGAAACGGCCGCCATGCCGATCAGGGGATTCCTCATCCGGGGGACGTCTCATTGCTTTTTCCTGACACTTGTTTCCCGCCTTAGGGCTGCTACTGTATGTACTCTTTTCTTTTCCCCTCTCCGGTCCCTGCATGTCTTGCTTCGCAAGTGGTTTTTTCCTTTTTGTTGCGCACGCCGGCGATCACGGTCTCTCCGCTTTGTGACGGATGCGATACGATGCGATGCGGTGGGTAAGATGGCGAGATAGGGACGGCATCGAACAAGGAGATGCTTGCTTGCGCGACACACCACCACTACACTACCTGCGCCGCAACGGAACGGTCTAGGTCGTTTGTATCTGCTCGCCCGCGCATTCGCATCTCATCTGGCGACTTGACGGGCGCCTATCCACCCACCCACCCACCGTCTTTTTGGTTGTAGTCCGTATGGAGCGCCGATAGAGCGTCGATGACCCGTCACCCACTTACCCAACTGGGTAGGTATTGGCAGCGAGTTGCCACGGATAACCCAGTCCCGGGCGGCCCCCAAAGCTCTGAGTAATCATGTACCAACCTCATCTCATCTTAACGTGCCGGTCCGCAGTCGTATCCAAACTGCGTGGTTTGTATTACATAGGACATAATTAGATAGTTACCCTGGCTTCCTGGGCTTATTCATCGTCGTGGCCAAGGCCTTGTTGAGCGATCCCCGACACCCTTGTTCCCTTCAGCCCAGCCCAGCCGGTCCGTTCCTGGGCTTGCTACGAACCGTCGAGAGCCAAACCAGCGACTCTGCCGTGAGCACGGAATACCGTCCGCCGGTGTCTCTTAGCGGCACTCAACTAGACGTGATCGAGCAGCTCGCGACAATGGAAGTGGCGTCTGCCAGACAACCCGTCTCAGCTAGAATTCTCAGCTAGATGCAATGGCCAACTCGCCATTGGCCAGTCCGAGTCACCGCCGCGCTCTGGTTGGCTCCCGTGCCGCAGGCGTTCCCCTTACGGCCCAGCGCTCAGCGGCAGCGCGCTGGAGCGAGACAAAATGCGAAAAAGACTGGGCTTGGCCAAAGCCTCGTTCCTGGATTAATTGACGGACGAGCATTCGGCCGACATCTAGACTGCGGTCGACACGTTGATAACATAGATAGGCATGTGCGTAGTGCGTGTTAATGATGATGATGAAATCGGCTCTCAGCGGGAAGTGTTTGCATACAGTTAGCACGTTTGGACTTTGTACCCTCGATCCTTGCCTATTCTCGTGCCAATCCCGTTCCTGGTTCCTGGCCTGGTTCACACCACCACCAACCATGTCCACCTTGACATGCAACGTCAAACATGCCCCCTGGTCCCCCTGCCCGGTGGGCTCTCTCTCTCTCTCTCTGTCCCTCACTTGGCTCGGCGAACGGCCAGGGGATTTCATTTCGAGAGACCTTGGAACTCCCCTACAGTCCTGCGGATATTCCACGGCTCAGACACGGCGCAACCGTGCGTCGCAACGCTGACCGCCACGGCGAAACGGTGGACATTGCGATGATCCAGCCATGAGCAACGCCTTTCGAGTCGCCGATCCGCGCCGATCCGCAAAGGCGGGACCACGCGGGAAAAGGGAGGGGCTCGCTCGGTCACGTTCGGTCACGTTCGGTGCAAAAGTGACAAGCCGGCAACGACTCTGGGGCCTTGGCCATGATGTGGTGCGATCGATCGGATCTCACCGTTTTCTGGCCAGTTCAAGCAGTTCCAGTGTCCATCAGCAGCTGTCAAAGTGTCAGTACCAACGTCTTTTGTCCGAGATGGCACGCTGCGACGGCCCTGGTTTGAGGTAGCATCTCCTTCTCCTGGCGAGGGCCGAAGGATCACCGTTGATGAGATTGGGCTCGCTTGCAAGTGGCCAGCTCCCGTCCGTACGGTAGCATTCTCGTCCGATCTTGATTTCACATCCTGCTACGTTCTGTACGCCGGGCCATGGCAAAGTACATGGGACCAAACGAAACGAACGCCAAGCCCAAGCTCCCTGGCTCCAGCACCAAGAATGACCATCCATCCATCCCTTCGCTTATTGTAGTAAGCCATTTAGGACATCCACTGGGTTCGAAGTAGACGAGTTGAGTGTTTCGCTCGGACCACAGCCTCCTGAGTAGCCGCGGCCACAGCCAGATGTGGAGGCGTGCGACAGGCCTAGCCATCTGGTGACGGGACGGCTCACCTCCGATCTTATTTAGCTCCCATGCCTGGCTTGTGGACTCGGCCGCCGCTTGATTCTCGGCGGATACTCATCTTTGCCAGGTTGAGTAAGCCTCCTCATTCCCGTCCCATGTCCCGCAAGCGACCTTCTACCGAGTACGTAGAACAACACTATACTGCATACCCAGCATGTCGAGAAACTCCACTCCAGACGTTCCGTTCCCCTCTTCCCCAGCACTCAACAAGCGCACGCGGGCAGGGGACTACGGAGTACGCCGTGAAGCCACCATGCCGAGTATCGTCCCAATGTGTGTGCCCTGTCCCGGAAAACGTGGGTGGGATTTCTTCTGTCCTCATGACCGCCGGCCGGCGTGTGCGGGCTGGGTTGGGCTTGCCAGGGCTCCAGCACTTCCAGGCCTCCTTCAAGGGGGCAGAGTGCTGCGAGTGGGGAGGACGGGCGAGGCTACGGGCAAAACTAGACCAAACGGCCCCATCGCTGTCCGGTGAGTGAGTGCGCTACGGAGGGCCGCTGTAGGAAGTGTGTGTGTGGGCGAGCGAGCCAGCGAGTTCAGTGTGTGAGGAGCTTGTTAGTGTGTGATACACCGCTTCTTTGCATGCGAGCCAGCCCAGCCTCTCCGCCTCTCCGCCTCTCAACCTCACCACCACCACCATCACCGCCAACCACCCCCAACACCCAGAAACACCCGCTACCCCATCCAATACTAGGCCCCGAGTGCCTCTCGAGACCCCAAAAGATGGTGTTGACCACTGAAACCGGGCCGCTTGGCACAGGCACATCTCAGCTGGGAATGGCCCATCGCCCTCTTCCCATGACCTATCACGCCCCCCCCCCCTCCCCATCCGTCCTGATGCACTGATGCAAGGCACCCTGCTGCTGCTACTGAAACTACTGATGCTACTGCTGCTCTTGCCGTCACTACTGTATGATGATGATCCCCAAAGGCTCAAGAAACCTGCGAGAGGCCGGTCTGCCTATTAGGCCCGGATAGGTTTGGCCTGGCCCTCTTTTGCGTGGTAACCCCCATCATGCCCCTCGTTGTCCATACTGCAACGGGCTCTCGCTTCACATCACGGCCTCCTCACTGGTCCAGCCCACGACGAACACCCAACCTCCATCTCCTCCGTCCGTATCACGGTCGTTCGCTGTCACCCCCCCTTGCGTTGGCTTCCCCCGGGCCACAATGACTTGCAGCTGCAACCCCGCTTCTCGACCTGCACCTCACCCGAATCAGCTGCCCACGATCCGTCTGGGCCCCTTCTTCGCCCTTGATGTCCATCACGTTGTCGGCCAGCGGCCTGACGTTCGTCCCCTCACTGGCAATCGGTGGGCTGTCTAGGCCCAGAGCGGCGTGAGGCTGAAGACAAGTTTAATTACAACAGATGCTCTTTGCCAGAATGGAATGTTGGGAGGTGTGTTATCCAAATCATCATCGTCACATTGGCGGTGCCGTCCTACCCACCCGGCCGGCCGAAGACGAGGAAGAGGGGTTGCAATTGAGACAATCCTTAACGGCACATGGCCCAGCCCGTCCGCCCTCCGACCCGTTGACATTATGGTAGTGCTTGCATGGTAGGAACTTTGGTGAGAGAGTTTGAGTAAGTCGATATGTCGAGCAGGTGGTGGGAGACGGCATCCGGATATTCTGTCCCTGGCACAGACAGCCGATGATATCCATAGCCCGGTCCTGATAACGCTGAAGCATTATCAACGTCTCTACCTTAATCCAGCCAGCTGACGTCGTAGCACATGCTGCATCAGCCGCATGCTTTTGGAAACATGGACCATGGATGGCATGCTGCTTACGTGCCTGGGGAATCCCGGCTTCAGGATCACACAGACATTACACTAATAGCATCGCACTAACAACCAACGGCCTCGATCCCTTCTGGCGGTGCAACAGCGGGGCGCCAGGCAGTGCCTCCTCGTACCTCATGCTCTTAGATCTGTAATTATCCATCTTGTGCTCCTCTGTGGCTGGGGAGCAAACACACCACCTAGATCCTCTGCAACCTCAGTGTTGCAGGCCTAGGCCATTAGACGATGCCATGTCTGGAGTCTCGACGCCAAATCGTCGTCATCAGATAAAGCGCCTCCACTCGTCCCGCTTCTTCCCCCGCCGACTCAAACCGCACCCCCTACGTTACGGGACCGTGGAGATGGACGGAGCACCCGCCGTCGTGAACGACCTCCGGCGCTGGCATGCTCTCACCGTCTTCGGGGTGCCGAGCTTTCCAGCGTCCCTTGGATGCTACGTCGTACGCCAGCAGCGGGCCGAGTGACATCTAACGTGTTTGATCTGCCCCTAGCGAGCTTTTCCCCCGCGTCAGTATGCGCACATAACCGCGACGGGAGAATCTCGCGCCGATGATGCGATGCTCGATGCTGCGGGTGGCCGATAACGTCCGAGACATGCAACTCCAACAACGGGTCTCGCCGTCTCCCCAGATAGAGTCGCATTCAACCCTGGATGAGGTTCACAATTTCCATCTCCCTCCGCCGACATGAGGCTAGCAGTACAAAGAGCAAAGTGCGGTCTAATAGTACATAATAGAAGCAGCACAAAGACAAGCCTCTCCTTGCTAACCGCAAATGTCAGTTGGCCCAGAACACTGAGAACACTGCCGGAGGGCGGCAATGGCGTTCTGTGTTACACCAAATGCCTGCCGCTCCGCTTGTCCCACCGTACGGAGGTCTTAACATGTATTCTATATCGCCGGGCTTACCGCCATGTAAGCTAGCTGTAGTCGCAAACCAACCCTGCGCGGACCCAGCCTCCTGCTTCAGTGCATCTCTATCATGCTCGTCGTCGCAAACGGCAACAAGCCCCGATTCTATTTTCCCGCGTCGAAGGGGACTCCAAACTGCGGGCGGTCTTCCACGAACGGGGGCGGCTGACAGGGAAGAACCCTGTGGAGAGCGATTAGCGACCTGGTCCCTGGACCGTCTGATAGCTAGGCTCGCTCTGGTATAGCCCGGGCTGGGGAGCGTAGGCGATTGGCACGTTTTCGACTTTTTGGCCTGGCGTTTGAGACTCGAAACTAGCTGGCCATCTGAGATTTCTTGAGACGGTCAGGCTGACTACTTAGAAATCAAATACGAACGGGCAGTGTCTCTCGAGACGTCATACCGCCAAGGTGAGAGAGACATGCTCCGTCATCAATCTCTAACCAACAACAGGGACGCGTCCAGGCAATGACGGGGCACAGCATTCCAACGCGTCCTTGCAGGCCATCCGTCTCCCCACTGCGGTGCGCCCGACTGTCTGGACGGCCAATGGGCATGGTACACAGCAGCATACAGCAACGCCCATCGGCATCACGATGCGGCGTAGGGAGGAGCTGAAGATGCCAGTTGCTGCGCGTCAATGGACCCTTCACGAGTTAGGCATGTAGGTGCGAGGTATAAGCTGCATTGCACGAGCAGCACGCGGTCTCCCTACCTTGAGCTTATCGCATTGGCCAATTACACGGCCAAACCGCCATGCTCGGACTTCACGATGCACTCATCCTCACCTCGCAGCACGCGTCGATCCAATCCAACATGGCCACACCATCGTGAATAACAATAACAGCAAACAGTCGAGACTCCATGCTAAGACACGCAGATCCCGGACCGAAGGGCGGTGTCGGATTGCGCCTCTGCTTCGCCAGCCTCGCTTTCTCCTTGTCTGTGTCATTGACTCTGATCACACTCGAAATGCCAACGCAAGGGGTGAGACGGCCAAAGACAAATCAATGCAATCCGGAAGGAATTGTTAGCGGTCGCCGAGGGGCTCTTCCCCCCTCTTCCTGCAACGGCCTGCTGTGACGGGGCCGGGATGCTCTGGCAAATCACCTCCAGCGAGGCCGTCTGCAAGCCGCGGGTGGTGCCAGCGGATTGATGCATGGAAGGCTCAGTAGCGTCCCTTGGTCGGCCGGGCCGTTGTCCGTTCTGCTGGGTGTCGTTCGTTGCGGACAACGACAGCCGGGCTTATTCGCCGCCTGTTGGGTTGGGAGCGTCTCACCCTCCCGGGGCCGCGGATTAGGAAGGGGGCGGAGGGCGGGCTGGTTGATGACCTGGCAGTGTGATATCGGGGTGATATTGGACATGGTTTCAACCATCATCATGATTAGGGCTGAGACGGAGGGCCTCGGATGCGGCCGTGTGTTCGTGGTGGAAGGGTTGTCTATCTGGCGCACTTTGTTGGTTGCAGAATAGAGGATGAGAGAGGCTGTCATCCAGTAACTTAGCTGTCAGCCAGTCCCTAGCTCACAGCGAGGTCCCGAAACTTGGCCTGGCCGTCAGGCATCAAACCGCTCAACGCCAATCATGCTCGTGCACCACCAATTCCTCCACCGCGCCGCTTCACCCTCCCTCACGAGTCAATCAACCCAGAATCAATCGACAGCCTCAAAAAAAAATCAATAAAAAAATCAATAGGAAAAACATGCGCGATCCTTGCACGCCACGCCACGCCACGTCCGGCACCTGCGCACGCGAGTCAACGAACCCTAGCCACCCAACCACCACGAACCTCCCTTAGCAGATGCAGATGCAACGTCCCCCTCATCGTCCACAGTAGTTCTCACCCGCCCCGGCCTAAGCGTGTTTCATCAATTTCTCTCAACTCGGAGCCAGACACGTGTGCCACACACACCTCGCCACCGGAACGGAGACTTTTGCGCTTTTCTTTTCTTTTTTTTTTTCAACCCAGGCCGTCAACTTTTAGCCTGTCAGGTGCACTTGGTCTCGCTGTGGGTGGCCTCAGACACCCACGGCCGTGTCAATCATGGCCCTGTCCTGGCTGGGCTCCGCGTAGTTGTGCATTAGCAGGCATAGGAGATCCTGCTATTGCCACCATCGGCACCCGAAGCCTTCTGGAGCCTAGAAGATTACGCACTCCGGCGTTGCGATTGGCTGCTATTGAAAGGTCGACTGGGATATTCATTGCCCGGCATCTAAGTTGCCCGAAGACCTCGTCCTACGTAGCCTCATCCCATCTAGCCTCGTCCCATGTGCAGCAAATCCTTGGAAGCATGCAAAAACTCTTCCCATTGACGCGCGAACCCGGCAACTAAGGAACCCGATTTCTTAGCTGACGACATACTGCACTGTAACCTATAAGATCCTCGATCTGCTTGACAGCCTAGCCATGTCCACGATGCAACACACCGCCAAAGCCTGCGCTATAGGAGCCTCGTTAATTCCCGGCAAGCCCAGACATGATGGAACACCTCGCGATTCACCTCGGCTTCTCCATGCCGGGTAGGTGAGCGCTTTAGTTGACGAGGTATTAGCCACCTCAGTGGCTGCATCGGTCCTATTCTGTTTGAGTGTGCTTCGCCCGGGACTTAGTCGTTTCGTGACCGTTGCTGTCCAGGGTAGAGTGGCAATTCCCGGCAAGTCGACATGGGAAACAGGGAAATCATGATAGCGTAAAGGCAATCTTATCAGGGCAACTCTCGGCGAGGAGTTCTTCTCTTATGATGGTCTAGGGTAGGTGCCATTTGAGTGGACTTTGGTCTAGACACCAATCGCATTGCATTGGAAGGTCTTCGCTCATATGGCAAGATTGATTTCCTCTCGGAAGTCGTATCAAGCGGAATAATTCGGGCTGTAAAAAATCATACAATGTCAAGTTGCAGAACTTTCCCATTGTGTCAAGCCCTCATCTAGCTAATCCCACCTCGTAAGGTAAGTTAACTGGATACATGCACTGCGAACCAAGAAGAAATACAAAACATCACGTTGGTAGCAAACTATTGACAGGAACAAGTAATACTTCGAATATATCGAGTCAGTCTATTTATGAACAGGTATTCCGACACCTTATCCCACAGGTCCAAATCTTCCACACTTGTGGTCCGGGACAACCCCGAGAGATCCTCCATGAAATGAGAAAACCTAATATTGGACGTAACTAGAGACTAAGAAGAAAACAATACTAAAATGCACCAGAGAAAGAAGCAAAACTCCAGCAGCTAGGAAACAGCCTAGAAAGCACCACTCGGTACCACGCCCCTTGGAGTCCGTTGCATCCCATGACACTTGTCATGAGCATTCACACTCGTAAGAGGCATAAAGTTGGCATTCCGTTCCTCCAGATACCTTCGCAGTGCCACCTGAAGACTTGGAGACTCATACAATGCTGGTTGTAGATAGCCGGCAAGCCAACATGTTACTCGTACATGGCATAGGGACCCTCGTCAAAGCCCAGACTGGGTTAGGGTGAGCTCTCCTCATCGTCCTCATAATTCTCATCACTAGAGACGTGGTTCAACAGCATGCAGTCAAACCACGCCTCCGCCCCTCGCTTCATACGCTCCTCGCAGTACCGGGCCTCGGCATAGCACCCAATATCCTCGAGGAGGTCCACGACATCATATTGGGCTTCCGTTCGCCCATCATCCTGGCTCAGGAGCCCGATGATCCGCATGAACTCCGAGGGCTCCGCGTCTCGCGCAAACTCCAGCAGGCGGCACTGAATCCGCGCCCAGGTTGCGATCCATTCGCCGTTGAGCGAGCCGCCGGCCTCACGGCTCTCGATGGTCATGTAGGAATTTCCAGACCTGGGCCGCATCGTCGGGAGCACGTTGAGGAACTCCTTGCTCTGGCCTTCCCAGTTGCTGCTGATGTACGTCTTGGTTCCCATACCCATGAGGTATGCGATTTGGTGAGTGCCAATGTCGCAGGAGAGCAACTCGCTGGCTCCAGACCAGGTGCCCACTCGGGCCGGCGGCTGGCGTTTATTATCAGCAGATGGGTACCGGCTCATGATGGCTTCATCCCCATAAATGGAGTCTACTGACATCTGGACTGCTTTCGGGCCATGTCGTTCACGGATAGGCTTTCGAGGTCGTTCTAGCTTCGGATCCTCCGGTGTTGCGGTAGTGGCGGTGGTCTCGTTACTTTGACGGTTTCTAAGGAATCGATCAACTGTTTCAGGTAGGGGGAAGTTGATCTGGGGAGGGCCGCCACTCAACTTATTGTCGTCAAGCCGCTGAAGGGTGCGCTTAGAAGGGAGGGAATCGTGACTGCGCAGATTGGTCATGCGGGTTGGCTGCATTCTTTGCCCTGGGACCTTTTTCGGCCTCGAGAAGGGTTCACTCTCAATCTCGTAGTCTGAGCTGTCGTCCTCAATATCCGGTCCCAAGAAGGAACCGTCCTGAGCTTGCTGTTGTTTGTCATTATACCACAGGAGCTTTCGGCTTGAGGCAATAGGTGCCTCACCAACCTTTCGTGCCCGCCCTTGATATCGAGCCACCCACTTGGGATCCTGAAGAACCGCTTTGTAGGCGTTGATGGCCGCCTTACCTGCCGCCAGGTTGCAGGTATTGAGTCGTCGGGATGACTCTGAATACTTGCACATGGTTCTGCTTGGACAATGCAGAACAGCGAGCTTGGGCTCAGCAGCCCAAATAAGCGCGGCGAAGTTCCGGGCCGCTTGTAAGTCCATTCGGTATGGACCGTTTCCAAGATGGACATGTATGCCACATGACGTATTCACCCTGCAACGGAACTTGCCGGTGACAAGGCTGATGACCACCTTGATCATATTGAATGCCTCATCAAAGGCATATGAAGCCGGTGACTTCAGTTCCACGCCCTTCCAAATGTACCCGCTCCCTTCCTCGCCATCAACCTCGATTGACTCATCGGAAGTGACTGCCCACATGTGCAGTTTACTTGCATCTCTCTCCTCTGAGTCTTTCGGGACATGGGCATCAATTCCATGCTGTTGAAGAAGGGTTGAAACCTTCAGAAAAACGTCCCCTCCACCTTCGTATGGAGGAGGCAAGGGGGCTCCATTAATCTGCCAGTCGGGGTCCTGCCCAGCAAATTCCCCGATCAGCAGCTCTATTTCGACACCGAAACTGACACGAGGTGGGCAGATTGGATTACCAGCCTCAAACTTGGCGTCAGTTTCATGTCGTTTCGGGGCCGACTTTGAGCTGGATTCCGGGGAGGAAGACTGGGCATTCCGTGACCTCTTGTGAGAAATCAATTTTTTCTGGATTTGTGACATTTTAAAAACAGTGAAGTTGCGATCTTGTGTAAGAAGATGGTCGTAGATGGTCGTAGATGGTCGAGTTGTCTGAGGATGATGATTGGATTCATTTGGCTAGAAACGTATCTTACTTATAGATAAAATATGCTATGGAACTCGCGGCGAACATGGTGAATCGTTAACGTCGCCATTGTCACTCTGTCATCTGTGTTGTATGTTCCTGAGAAACTCAACGCTTGTTCACTCGGACTTTGAAACTCAGAGGATCGAGTTGCCAGAAGTCTTTGTTAGCACACCAAAATGGATGAACACTTACACATATTCATGGACACCAACTTACACACACCATACATACACACACGTACGAGGGCTAGTGGAGGAAGAGTGACAACTTTAGTGATGTCAAAGCAGGTCTCAGCACAGTACGATCTGCGACCGATCAACTACCCAAGGTAAGCAATCGCGGTGTTGTAGGAGGCTCCCCTAAAATGTATCGAATATTGAAACACCTTTGTGTCATCTGGCAGCTGGGTCACGAGGCGCATCGTGCGGCGGATTTGTACGAGCGAATTAATGTTATAAGATCCAAGTGCCGCAGTCCAACCTAAGCTCTTCGACGCCAGCTTCAGAAAATTGGGACTCAGGATCTAAGGTTTGTACGTTAGCTCCTCTTTAAAGGCGGCCTTGAGTCCCTGAAGGTTGGAAAGCTCGTCAAGCATCGTCGGTAAAGATGCCTCTAGTCACCTAATCGTTAACTGTGTTGCTCGCTGAACATATGCTATGTATTCGCAAGTTGTCGAACCTCATGCGCCGGTCTTCGAATACAAATGCGCAACATTTCATCGCTAATCTTCAGAGAACATTGCCCACGATGGAATCACAAGGGTCAAATAAATGGTGCCGAGAAATTCTTTGTTCAATAAAGTTTTCCTACTCCCCTTCGCCTCTTGCTATGATTGGTTTGGGAATAAAAAAAAAACAAAGATGCCGAATAACGCATTACGCCCTCCTCCAACCACTGCCTCGATAGCAGCATAAACACAAATAATGCAAAAGTCGCAGCATAAAGCATTCAATCCGTCAATCAATCAGCCAAACCACCAAGGCATTTCATTCCTGGCCAAAACCTCCAAAGAAGCTAGGCCTTGTTCCTATCGTCGGGTCTTCAACTCATCAAAGGTATAGTGTTGCATGTCGAAAAAAGTAGTGCTCGATATCGAAAATGGTAACAGAGAAGCGAACTGGGGCACCGCGGTGACTAGAGTCTCCATGTTGATGAAGCATCCACCAGCACGTGGCGATGCTGGGATTACGCTGGCGTTGCCAATCGCGGTCCACCGAACGCCGCAAACGTTAAACCAGGTAAGCGAGCATGCCAATGGCGACCGCGGCGGCAGCACCCTTGCCTGCTGGCGCCATGGTAGGGGCAGCGAAGCCGTCGGAGCTGGTCGAGGTCACCGAGTCCGCAGTTGCCGAGGCGCTGGATGCAGACTCGGTGGCAGAACCGGAAGCGGAAGCGGCAGCAGTGGCGGTTTCGGACTCGGTCGAGCTGCTACTCGAGTCTGCATCGGGTGGGCCTTGAGTAGCGCAAAGATCCTGGATGTTCTTGGTGCATTCCTTCTGAAGCTTAGCGCTGCCGGCGTTGGTGGTGATGCACTGCGAGTACAGTTCCTCGCAGATAAAGGTCGGAACGGTCTGAGTGTAGTACTGCAGGCCGGGCATCGAGCTGTTGGAGGCGCACGTGCATTCCCACGACAAGTCGGTCTGGAGGAATCGATCGTTAGAACCTCGAGGCGATACAGGGGACAGGATCATCAACTTACCAAGGTGCAAGAGTTCTCGCCCGTGTTGTTGTCGCAAAGAGTTTCGCAGGTGTTGGTCTGGGCCTGGCACCACTGGGCTGTGTCAAAAGTCAGCGAGATGCGCATTTCGCTCCTGGTTGCGTTAGCACATACCTCGCTCGGTGGTTGTCACGGTGCCGGGGTCAATGGTCATGTTGAGCGAGCTGGTGTAGTTCGCGACCTGGGCCGAAACCGCCGCAGCGGAAACGGTGAGCAGAGCAAGTGAGAAGCGCATTTTGGAGAAAGGGCGCGAGGCGAATGACGTTCCCAAGATGTAGAGAGAGGGCGAGGTAAAAGTTGATGCTGGAGCTCTGTTGTCCGAGGTAGAAAGCTGCTGGCGGTGTGTTGGTGGTATGATGGTATTGGCAATGTTGTGATGTTGTTGTGGTGGTGGTGGTGGTGGAGTGATTGCCTGGCTGGGGTGGAAAGGGAGTTTTGTAGGCGCGGCCCGGACGATTGGAGCTTGGAGGGAGACGCAAACGGGGAAGGAACAGGGCGAGGGGATTCAGGGCCGAGGGCGGGAGCTATGGGCTTTATGAGCGAGACAGCGGAAAAGGAAACCACGGTCCAATGCGGCCACTACTACCTACTACGCAGTGCAGTGCTCTGGGCAAGTGGCCGGCCTCGGTTTGATTAACGCTGTGACGAACGATGCTTCCAGGCCCGGCCGGTCGAATCGGCCGGCACGCACCCACCTGGTCGCGCATTCGCCGCTTCTCAGCAGAATCAACACCACTCGCGCAGTCCCAACCGGGGGAAAAAGGTACGATGCACACGCACTCCCACACTAAGACCCAGGACCGAGACCAAGACCAGACGCAGCTAGACCCGTTCGGACACTGCGACGCACACCAGCTCCCTCCGACCCTCTCTCATCCTCGATCCCCGGCCCACTGGTCCACTGGCCCGCCCACTGTCCCACGCATCCACGCATCCAGGTACCCACGCCGCTCTTCCTATCCGCCCGCTTTCAGCCAAATACCTACAACGGACTGTCGCCCAGGCGATTTGTTCCGCGTACATGCCCAGTCGCAACAAGCCCAGGTACCACACACCCTCTTTCTCGCCCCAACCAACGCCATCTCGGTTGTCGTCACCACCTGCAGTTCAAGTGCTCCACGCCCAAGGTTGGAGATCTGGCAACACGAGCTAGCCTGCAGCGCATGGGTGTCGTTCAAGTCTGCAGGTCTGCAGGTCTGCAAGATGGCTGGGGAGCAACCAAGCTGGCAACAATAGCGCAACCCAATGCCAAGAAATGCAACGCATGGCCTGCAAAGTCTCGGCATCACGCTAGCCCTCCGTTCTTCGTAATCGTCACCCTCGTCCCCTGGTCCGCCTATCTTCGACCTCCAAAAGGCCCAGCCTAGCCCTGCAAATACGTCACGTACCCGTGCGAACGACACCGACAGCTCCATGCTATGGCTCAGAGAGCCGATCTGTCAGCGGGCCAATGGCATTGACTCTCTCATGTCACTCGCTACTATTACTCTGTGGCTCGAATACTGGACACGGACCATCTCGGTGGCCACCCGGATTGCTTCATGACCCGAGACGGACAATAGACGAGCGGCCGTCAACTTCCAGCTGGCAAGGCCCAATGCGCCAACCGACCGCGCTGTCTTGTTGCGCCACGAGCCTCCACCGTTGGTTGGCTCTGGTCTTGTAAGCGATGCCTATCTGGACTTCGTACAGCGCATGTGCGCCCCGCAGCGTCATCGAGCTCTTGATGCGAGGCTGGGGCTCCAGGTGAGCTGCCGCGCCCACGGGATTCCGGCACCACCGGAGAGTGGGAACGAGGGAAGAGGCATTTTGCCTCTGCAAGCCCGGACAAAACCATCCATCTGGAATTATCGTGGCCCAGGCCCATCGAGCCCGCCCGCCCGCCAAGAATTTAGCCTGACTTCAGCAGTCCAAGGGTCAACAGGTAGCTTGAGGTAGGGAGGGCGCCGATGAATCATGGCCCCGGACCGCCTGGCCATGTTGGGCATCTCATCTTATTCAAGCACATTCAGTCCAAAGGCCGTCTCGCCCGCTCCAGCACCTCAGATCATTATCGACTAGGAGTCGAAACACCTGCCCTTATCTCCCCTAGCATGTTGCCTGCTCAACGCGTAACAGGTCTACTGCCACACAGGATTGTGACAGGAAACGAGCTAATCAAATAGCATTTCGCTGCTGAAGGGATATCGGACATTTTGTGCGACAAGCCCAGGACAAATGGCCCCCTCCCATCTCGCGGCCCCATCCAATTTCTAGGGATATTTTTTTCCATCCTCCCAACCTTTTTACCTACCCATTTCCCCCCAAATGATTGCGACTCCCCTCGTTCATCTCTTCCCCCGCTATCGCCGGTGACTATTGGCGGACCATCAATTGGGCCCCCCCGGTCCGGCCGAACATGGGTATGGCTCATCCCAGAACCATTCGTTCTACCTGGAGCTTGAAAGTTGAAACTGGTCTCGTCTATCAGACGGAAGCTGTCGCGGAGCTTGTGCATCGAGCTTCCGGTAGCTGCCACCAATCACACATGGCAATTTGTGCCCCGCACGCGACGAAGGAACCGCGTGCATTGGTACATCTTCAGACCAAGCCAAGCCGGTCCTCATGCACCGGGTTGCCCTGTGCCAGCCTCCCTTTCGCCTGGTGCATGTTGCAATCGTCATGGTGATTCGAACACCCCTGATAGCCATGGCCTAGCTTGCCCTTTGCCCAGGGGTTCAGTTTACCCTTGTGAACGGATGAAGGTGGTCCAGTCAAGAAAAACTGAATCAATCACAATTTCAGACTGGAAACTGGTTTACCAAGAGATCCCAGTGTTTGAATGCCGACATTGTGAATTCTTTTCGTTTCTTCATTGACCCTACGAGGGTGTATGAGGCGTAATACTGCTTCTCGAGAACACCAATGGCAAGGTGGCCGAGTGGTCTAAGGCGTAATGTTTAAGAAAATTGAATTCTATTCCTATTCATATGGGAACCATTATATCGAGAGATGCCAGGGTTCGAACCCCTGTCTTGCCAATGCAAACTTTTTGCTCTCTTTATCTTCTCTTTTTGCTTACCATTTATTTGCGCGATAGGTAGGGAAGAGTCATCTGCCTATCTACCTATCATCTATTATCGATCGACAAGTGGTGGCTCGACGGCCACCCTTGCGCCAGCTGTGTTCTCGGAACCAGCCAGCGCGACCTGGCCGCACTCTCGTGATATTTCTTTATGCGCCGCTACAAACAAACAGTGTGTAGACTGTCCCTCGCGCCGGTCAATGCGAATTGCGCCGCACTAATTAAGACGATGCCGAGTGCCGTCCACGAATTTGCACACGAATAACCGTCATCAGCACTCGCGTGTAGTCCGCAAACTCAGCCGTGCCTGGTGCCGACCTGCCGGAGGCGCAACCCAGACACAGAGGCGTACGTGTGCCTAGTGGGCCGAACGGTTTAATGGTGATGTAATTTATTTACATTCCCCTGGTGGCTCGGCAAACCCTGCCGGCCGCTGTCGTCGACCTATGTCTTGACGTCCAATATTCCTCCCTCGACTAGCACACACTTCCACTGTCGGCACATAGTTGCCGCAGAGAGCTCCTTTACATTCTTCTTGTTAATTTCCTATCGTCGACAATCATCCACTGCCCTATCCCGCAAGAGCCTAGCCTTACTGCCGCGTTCTTCTCCACAGGGGAGAAGCTTGTTTCGTTCCTAATCATCAGATGCACCCCTCCATTCCCTGTGAGATTGTACCGCTTGGCAACCCGCAAAGCCAAGTCGCATCAGGTTGAGCCTCGTGTAGGCTCAGCCCTAGGCGTCAATCTTGGTGCTCCAGTTGAGCATTCGATGTTCTTGTGGCACTCAGGGGAAGCCATATCCTTGGTTCCGCGGTGTCCAAAACACCCGAGGCGACCGTTGTCATTGAAAAGGACATTGTCTACGAATGTCAGTGCGCGTTAGTCTGTGGGGTAAGTAGGCTACTTGCTCAGATCAAGAATCGTCTCCTTGAGTTGCTTGTTCATGTCGTGGCAGTTGCATTTGAGGAAGCAAGTTCGGTAGTCATTGCTTCGGACACTCTGGAGTATGCAGCCCTCACAGGTGTCTTGGTAGTTGCCACTTCTACGGTCAGTACCTGCATAGGTACATGGCAGGTTAGGAACATACTCGTCGTATCCGATGAGAGAGCCGGCATTATTTCCAACGCAGTATCGGAGTTCGATCCTAGGCCTGTGTAAGTAGTGCATCGAAGCATGTCGAATGGGGACGGCCTACAGAGAATACGTGTAGTTGAAAGTGAGCGCGGAGTCCTCTGGAAAGCAGTAGAAGCCTACTGCATCCTCGCTGTAAAACTGACCGTCCATGGGCTGGCAACCCTGCGAGAGGGACTGGAGGGCAAGGACGGCATGGAGCCACGCCAGGCCCAAAACAAGGGACTGAATTCCAAGGCGGGTCATTCTGGTTCGCTTTCAAGGAGTGTGACTTTCGAGTCTTTGGCGTGTGTGTGGTGTCTAGAACAAAGGTTCTCGTCAAGTTGTTGTTCTGTCCCGACTGTTGTTCGTGAGAGGATGAGGAAGAGCCAGCGTGGAGTGACTCTGTTCATTGCGCAGGGTGCGACTTGGTAGATATCTGCAGCTGGTAGACAGCTGTGGTGTAAACAACCCGACTTTCTGATTCACGTCCAACGCGTCCATTGAATACATTTTCTAGTTCGATTGGTGCTGATTCGCCCCGTCGCTGAGTGTTTGAGTGCCTGCTTTGACAGTTCCTATGGAATATGTTTTTCTAGAAAATCATTGGACTTATTTCACATAAGCGTCATCTGTCAGCCAATGAAATCTGTTTATTAGATCACAGTATGGTGTACTAATCATGCATCACGAGTTCGCGGACTACGTGCGCAGTCTCCAAACACACTGCCAGTTGCAACCACCTCTTGGCTTTTTCCGTTGGGCCTATTGCTTGCTTCCGATTTAATCTGGTGGACTTGTAGAGGATACAAACAACACTTTGGTCCCGTTTAATAAGTCGGACATTTTTGCGCTGTTGCTTAGTGGAATAACAGAATATTTAATTTTGGGTCAAGGACGACAACTGTTGCTCAATCCATTTGCAACCACTACAATGGATCACAACAAAAATAACTGTATCTTAGTTTAACATAGCATACATAGACACCTCAGATTAAAGTTCAATAACGTATATATCCCCCAGTTTGAGCACGCACTCGCTATGATTGTTTGTATTTATGAACGTCATATCTTAACCGTCATGAGGGACAACACACGCGACCTCTAGGGTAGGCGGCGTCATGTCGATCCGGATTCCAGTGGGGTGGATTCGGTACAGTGGGCCTGGTCCCTAGGTGCATATGACAAGCTGCCGCTGGAATTCCACTGTGCGGCCCCGTAGCCCAGTAATCAACGCCGCTTATCAACACTACATCCCATCATCCCGTCCATCAGCCAACTCCAACCGCCTCTGGCCGCTTCGCTCCGTCAACACCATCACCATCGAGCCACAACACTGCGATAGCCCGCCGGGATTGATCGATGCCACGCCGGTAGCCCCGATGCACTGCGATTGCCGTTGACCTCCCTTTCCATCCGCCAACACCGGCCTCGTCGCCATGGACCAGCTCCCGCGTGAGCTCGTCGACGCGATCCTCCAGCAATGTGTCGCCCGCGGCCCCAAGAACAGCGTCCTCCCGCTGCGCCTCGTCTGCCGAGTGTTTGACCAGATACTCAAGCCCTTCGTCTTGCGGACGCTTGACCTTGAGTTTTCACGATTGAGCAAGACGAGTGGCGAGGCGCATCCGCGGATCGATGCGCTGCAGACGATTGGATACCACTGCAAGAGCTTATATATCGACCTCATGGTCTTGCGGGATGACTGTGCGTACTCTACATAATTGTGCCATTCCCAAATCCGAATGATAGCTAACGTGGATATATCAATAGTAGAAGTAGAGTTCCTTGATACCGTCTTCGCCCGAGTCCCATCGATGACCGACTTTTGTCGCACCTTACACAAAAAGTACTGCATGAATGAGTCATCATTTACAGAAGTAGATTACTTCCGCACAGTCGAAGACCTCCTGTTCAATTGCCGAGACATCGATCGACTGCGGTTAAACCTCCCCTTCCAGCTTGTCGGCCGACACTGCAACGCCGCCACCATGATCCTCGCCAACACCCTCAAGGCATTTGCTAAGCGTCCCGAGGAGGATTCGGCAAAGTTAAACACCTTGGTATTGGAAAATGTGACGGATATCGCAATATGTCACCTGTGGTTAAACCCCAGCGACGTGATGAATATCATGGGGGTGTTGGAGGTCCTGGAACACCTCGTCCTGACTTTACGAAGACACGAAAATGAACCCCAGCGAGTTGGACTATTTGGATCCTGCCTTTGGAACTTGGTGGAGAACGCAGAATACCTCAAGAGCCTGTGCCTGATAGGAATGGACCACGACGACCGCCCTCCCCGAGGCCTCAAACAGACCAAGGCCTGGCAGATGCCCGTGGAGGAGTGGCGAGCGCGGGCACTGCCCGCACCGCACGTCATTCTGTCCAACTTGACGTGCCTCGAGCTGAAGCGAGTTGAGGTGTCTCCCGAGGTTTTGGTCCAGGTGGGAGAGAACTTTGGGTCGACGCTTCAGGAGCTCTACCTGAACGAGGTGTATCTAAAGGCGGAACAATCACAAGACTGGAACGAGGACTCGACAAAGGTGCTCTGGGTAGGGATGCCAAACCAGCGCCCTGGTGAGGATTGCCAATGGATTGCGATGGCCTTGAGATCGGCTGCAACACACTTGCGCATTTGCCGGGCGTCGTTTCTGGCGTATGACCACTACCTGAGGGAAGATGTCCCCGGAAACCCTGATTTCGACCTCGTTGATCCCTGTAGCTTGGGCAGAAGCATCTCTCAACGCTTTGTAGAGGTCGTCATGGGTATCCGGCAGCCGAACATGTCCAACGGAGACCCAGTTGAATACCTCCCCCGTGACTCGAAGCACGACAGCCTCCTCAACCAGCTCATTCCGCGGAGCCGTACGCCGCGGGTTACCGAGCACGACACAAACGCATACCAGACGGCCGTGGCAAACACCACATCGGAGTGGCATCGCAGCATCGACGGCATATTTCCTAATTGCAACTCCAATACCCTCGATGAGCTGCACTACATCGCCGAGACGGCCTGCCAGGGCATGAACGAAATCCACCACAGGAGGAACGAGTGGACCGCTGGCAGCAGTATGGCCAATGAGTTTACGGAAAACCTTTTTATGTCTAACGAATAAACGACAAGTCGACGGAGAATGAGGAGGTCGTCACATGATGGAAATGGAAAACATGTAGATGGGTTCCGAACGGCAAGTTCTTGATTTATCATTATGGAAACATAGAAGACTTAAAGCGTTGAATAGTAATAGCTTGTTATAGTCAAGCAATCCATGCCATCTGATATGAAAGTCAAATACTTTTTCCTGTCGCTATGAACGATGACTCGAGGCCAATGGTTATTCGTCTCCTGCCCCTGTCTAACTTGTGTCATTGAAGCAAAATCTCATCACACGTCATCACAAATATGCCAAAATTCTATCATTTATATCATCGCCCGGTTTTTTTTGGGTCCATTTTCATTGTCCGTTGACGCCGTTGCCATTGACTCCGTTGACGCCGTTCTTTGATGCCGAAACGGCCTTCTCGAGAGCCTGGAGGACGTCGTTCCTGAGATCCACAGCGTCCTCGACACCGCAGCTGATGCGGACGAGGTCGTCAAAGACACCAACAGCCTCGCGCTGGTCCTTGGGGATACCGGCGTGGGTCATGCTGCTGGGGACCTCAACCAGAGACTCGACACCACCCAAGCTCTCGGCGAGGGTGAAGATCTTTGTGAACTGGCAGAAGCGCTCGGCGGCAGCGTGTCCGCCCTGGATGCGGAAGGAGAGCATGCCACCACCCATGCCGTTGCGGTGCTGCTTCTTGGCAATGTGACGGTGGGGGTGGGACTCAAGACCGGGGTAGTTGACGGCGATGACGAGCGGCGAGGCCTCGAGGGCGATGGCGACGGCGGTTGCGTTGGTGGTGGCCTCGCGGGCGCGCAGGTGAAGGGTCTTGAGACCACGGTGGGCCAGCCATGCGTCAAAGGCCGAGGGGACGGCGCCAATGGCGTTCTGGAGGAACCCGAGACGCTGCTTGAGCTCGTCGCTGTTGAAGGCGGCGACACCCATGACAACATCGCTGTGGCCGTTGATGTACTTGGTGACGCTGTGGACGACGATGTCGGCGCCCAGATCGAGGGGGTTCTGGACGTAGGGGGAGAGGAAGGTGTTGTCGACGACAACGAGGACGCCGCGCTTGTGGGCCTCGGAGACGACGGCGCGGATATCCACCAGACGGAGAGTCGGGTTGCTAGGGCTCTCAATCCAGATCAGGCGGGTCTCGTCGGTGATGTGCTCAGAGATGTCGACCTCGATCTCCGGGGTGAAGGTGACCTTGACGCCGTGAGCCTTTGCGACCTGGGTAAAGTAGCGGTGGGTGCCGCCGTAGACGTCGGACACGGAGATGACATGGCTGCCGCTGGCGAGGCTCTGGAGGATGTTTGCGGTGGTGGCGCTGCCGGAGGAGAAGGCGAGGGCGTACTTTGCGTGCTCGAGAGCGGCGACAGCGGCCTCGAAGTTGGTGCGGTTGGGATTGGCCGAGCGGGAATACTCGTACTCGCCAATGGGCTGGCCGACGGCCGTCTGCGCAAAGGTCGTCGACAGCGAGATGGGCTCGATGACGGCGCCGGTGGTGGGGTCGTGCGGGGATCCGGCGTGGACCGCGAGAGTGCCGAAGGAGTGGACGGGGGACGGCGGGCGCGGCGGGGTGGCCACGGGGTCCGAGGTGAGGAGAGGAAGAGCGGACATTTTAGAGAGCAGCTGTAGCGATTTCCAACGCGTTGCCTGCGGAATTGAGGTGTTGTTGGACAGGCGGGACGTGGTGGACTTGGTGGTGGAGGGTAGAAAAAAAACCCTATTGAGGAGGACGGGACGGGGACTTGTGCTTTTTATGTAAAACTAAGGCACGGAAGACGCACTCCCTCTGCGCCTAGTCACACTCGGAGGCTCGGTGATGCGGCTTGTATCCCTCGGCTCTCGCAAAGGGTCGGTCCAGTCGAGTTTTCTCGTCTCGGTTTGCGCGATCCAAGGGCGCGATGAGGTGCAGGCGGTGGGGGTTTTATAAGACGGGAGAGGTATGGTATGTGCAGGATATGTATATATAGCTTCAAACTTAGACAATCACGTCAGAGCTGGCTTGGATACAAAATAGAAGCGAGACGGCGCTGAAAAAAAAAGGCAAAACCTTGAGGGTTCACAATGTACTCCGTAGCGGCCACGGGACTGCGAGGGGGCGTTTGACAAGAGCTGGGGGCGTGTGTGAACAATGTCTGGTGTTCTAGATGGACGGACGGATCCACGAGACAATGGGCTTCTTTATATGGGATCTGGGTCCGAAGTGGATGGGACGCATCTCCGAGTCTCTACGCCAGACCTGATTCAAATATCATTTGTAAGGCGGCCTTCAATTGCCCCTCTCACCATCCACCACCGCGGGGCAGAATAGGATGACGCACGGCGCATCCAGGGCATCGCATAGGGCGTGCCTTGGGCCAGATCATCCAGTGGTCCAACGGTACCTGGCTGAATCTTGGTCATTCGCCATCCGGCCAAGGCGATGAGCAGAGCGAGTCCACCGGGGCGTCAAGTCCGCACGTCAGGTGAATGGGGTGGTGGTGCGGTGACCGGTTGACAAATGCGCTCCTGCTTACCCTATCTTGGTGCGGGCGGGCGGAATGCGCGCGAATCTCGCGGGAGAAAAGTACGAGGTCGTGTGTTTTGCTTAAAAAAAAAGAGCGTTGACACCGACAGCCGGCCACCAGGCGCGTCTCGGAGGTGGCGGGCAGAGGCGGCTCATTTCGAGATGGAGGGGCGTGTGAGGTTGAAGTAGAGCCGATAACTAGGGTACAAGTGGAAGGTGTGGAATCACAGGTGGATTAGTAGGCGCGGGAGTTATGTAAGTCGAATTAAAGGTTAAGGATGGCGCAATAGAGTAATTTATTAGAAGTCGTCTGTTTCTAAGTGAGCAAGTCTGCGCAGGGAGAGACGCGGAAGAAAGGGATGTTTCAAAGAAGTCGTCTTGTTCCGTTGCGTGAGGGGAAGTTAGGCCGTTGGTGAGGTCAAGAAAGGGAAAAGAGGGGAAGAGGAAAGCTGAAAGCGCTGCTTTGGAATCACAAGTACTGCATCCTAGCACCGCAGCAAGGGCGTGATAACATTGCATTGCATCTAGTTGCTAAAAATGAGTCACGGCGCGATGCTGGCTCAGATGCTGGCTCAGTGGTTCTGGCGTGTATGGAATTACCATTGTCCTTTCTCCGAGACATGTCGTTGGTAGATGCGGGAGATGGGCCAGATGTGGTGGTGTGGTGGTGTGCAAGGGAGCGGAGCGGAGAGGGGCCAAGCCTCGCTCAGACGCAATATTCGTACCGGTCATGATGAGGTTGGTGGCATCAGATTCGATAGATGAGTGGATGGGATTGGATGCGATAGGCAACGGCCTTGGCCAAAGGAAGCCCAATCCACGCAGCCAATTCCATCGGGGCCTGCCCCAAAGTGGAAGCGTCGGGTGGTCGGGTGCCTTGCAGCTGTGGTTGTGGTGGTCGCTGTCGTCAGCAAAAGGACGACCCGATGCGGGCGGCACGGGGTTTGGTTGGAGTACGTGGTACGGAGTACATGAGAACTAGACGACTGCGGCTTTCTGCTGGGGCGATGCGACATTGTTGGGGCAGGAGAAGCAGCGCATGGGAGCATAATAGCATGGGAACATGGGAGCATCGAGGAGGAGGCATAAAAAGGGCCGCGGGAGAAGCAGGGACAAAGATGACTTCCAGGCCGCCCCGGTCCTGGCAGAGTGCAATACCGCTTCCGGCTTCAGCGCGGCCAGCCTTGTGTGCCAAGCAGCCGTAGGCAGCCTTCTAGAACTTGCCCGCACCAGAACAGCGCAAACACAAGGTGAGAACAGTGATTAATTAGTCGTTTCAGCGACGGCTGCCCGGGAGCACGCGCCGACGAAACGTGGATGACACGGCAGATGTGGACTGCGGCCATGGGACGTGCAATCCCTTCACCGTCAGTCTCTCCGCCCCGTCCCCCCCATCAATCGGCGAGTTCCAGCGGCGCCCAGCCAAAGCCATGATACGACTCGGACACACAGCATCCGGTCATGCTCCACGCGGGCGGCGCGGTGTCCGCCAGCAGAGCCTCGGGAGGGGCATCCATCATGCCTGGGCTTCTGGCCCCCCCCCCCCCCCCTTGTGTTTTTCCCCCTCTGGCCATGCGCGCCCGCCCAATCACGACGGCGCCATTGCCTGCGCTGCGAGACCCTGTGCTGCTGAGCTCTGCGTCTCAGATCCTTTGGCAGGCGGGGGTTCAGTTAATTCCAAGTCTGGTTCGGCCTGTCTCTTGTCCTGGTCGGACGCGGCATGGTGCCGGCTCCGCGTGAGCGTGTGCTGCGGTTGGATGAGCGTGCGAGTATGACATAGTACCGACACAACCGACTGGGCGCGAGCGATGCAGGCGGGGAGACATGGCTGTGGAGATCTCTGTCGCTTTGTGTGTTTGCTGTCATGAATCCTCAACAACTCTCTCCTAAACTACTCATACACTGACACAACGCTTTCTGTGCTGGCTCTCTCTCGTCTTTGCATATTGGTCACCACCACGTGTTTGAGGGTTTGAGGGCGACGAGACAGGCCTCTTGCGCCGGCTCCACAGCTTCCCCCGGCGCCGAAATCGACGCCGTCACCGACTCGGCCGCCGTCGACACCATCCCTGTTGTGGCAGTGCCCTCTAGCTTTCTCCTGCCCTCCCAACTGCTAACTGCTAACTGGGTGCCTGCCCTCTTCGGGTGCCCTGTCGGTGCGTCCTGCCTCGACCGCCCCGCTATCCGTGCCTGTCGTCCTGTCGTCTGCTCGGCCCTCTGCGACGGCTCGTCAACAACGACGCACACCTTCTTTTCTCGTCGGGCCAGCAGCAGTGTTCAACCACTCTCTCGTCCCTCGCCCGAATGCGCTGTGAGACTTGCTTCCCGATAATTCAACCACAATTGCATCCGCTCGCGACCTTTCCTTCCGCTCCAGCGAGGCCCTATGCCTCCGCGGCTATGCTGCGACTGAACCGTCCGACCTGGGTCCTCTCAGTGAATTCCCCGAGAGCTCGTTGACGACACGTGAAAACCTCCGAACCGCTCCGCTGCCATGCCTCCTCGACGCTCCCACAAGAAGTCCCGCGCCGGGTGCCGCAGGTGCAAGAACAGGAAGATCAAGGTATGCTCTCCCGTGTCGAGTCCCAAATCCAAGTGCCGCTGCTTGCCGGGGCATCCGTAGTCCATCAATCCTCCCATCTGATGCTCGATGCCGATCGAGTTGCGCTCGCCCGCATGCGTCCCTGATACTGGGCTAATTCGTTCATCTTCCACCACTGCAGTGCGATGAAGTCCACCCGAGATGTGGCAACTGTTCCAAGCACGGAGTCCTCTGCGACTTCGGTAACCCGGACGTGCTCGATGAGCTCGTCACCTCAACCACCAGCTCCGAGAGCGTTGGAGTGTCGACTCCGACGCCTCCCTCCGCCTCCTCAAGCACCCCAAAGACTCCATCGACACGCTCTTCCTCAATCACGGCGACATGCCCGAACCCCATCCCGACGTCTCCCCCAATTTACGCACAACCCTCGCTGGCCGTGGCCGCATCGCTCTCCGGCCAAATCGACAGGATGATGGAGTTGCGCCTGATGCATCAGTACACCACTGTCACTTCAAAGACCCTCTTGACAAACTCACCCGTTGCCGACGATATCTGGCAGCACGCCGTGCCTCAGATGGCCTTCTCGGGCAAGGCGGGCTATCCTTACCTGGCAGATGCGATTCTTTCTGTTGCCGCACTCCATCTCCGCTCTCTTACTCCGGATGACAAGGCGTTGGTTCGCGCGTCACATGCTTACTCTGCTTCCACCCTTGCGTCGTATTGCGCCTCACTCAACTCTGGAATCACCCCTGAAAACGCCGAAGCCCTGTTCCTGACGGCGGCGTTGATCGCCTTCCAGTCCGCCGCTTCCCGCATCTTCATCAAGGATGACGTTGACCCCAACGACCCAAACAGTCGATATGCTCTGCCGCTCCCCTGGTTCCACGCCTTCCAAGGTGTCAAGACTGTGGTGGCAACTTCTTGGCAATGGATCCGCAGTAGCAACGCTGTCAAGGCTGTGATTGATTCTCAGCCTAGTTTCCAGCTCGATCTCAACCCTCGATCTTCAGATTCCTTCTTTGGCCATCTCCTCGAGGGCCTAGAGGAAGAACTCATGGCGGAAGAACCCCACCAGTTCAACCCCACCGGTCAGGCTTACGCCCATTCCGTCTGTGTCATCAACTGGGCACATAAAAATTACTACCCCGCTGCCTCCCTCGCTTTCCCCGCTACTGTCTCGAGACGGTTTGTTGACCTCGTGGAGGAGAAGCGACCTCGTGCCCTTGCCATTCTCGCCTGCTTCTTTGCCCTCCTGAAGCGAATGGATAACGTATGGTGGCTTCAAGATGTAGCTCGCCGAGAGGTGATGGGACTGGTGGGCATGTTTGAGCCAGGTTCTAAGTGGTGGAGGCATCTTGAATGGCCCGTCCGAATCGCCCTGTGGGATGGCAATACAATCCCACAAGACGTATGGGGCGCGCATTGGGCTACGGAGGCACCTGAGCAAGTCGGCGTTGTGTCGTCCATGATGCACCACATTGAACTCATGGCCGAGATGTTGAACCAATCTCAGGGATTGCCCACAATGCCGCAGATGCCAGATGAGTACATCGACGCAGCGTCACCAGATTGATGAGGCATTGGAGCCCCTGATTCTGCAGTTGGCTGTGCCGGGAAGTCTACGACATCCCAAATGCCTTCATCATTGTTAGATACCTGACATTCAGCGATCTGTTTCACGACACAAGTGTTTTAATAATTAGGGCGGGGTGGCAATAATGAACATGCTACGAACAGGGCTTGGAGATTTTGGCTGAACAAATATGCAACTTACGTTAAGAAGCGATGAACCATTATGGAGGAGTTAATTCAACTTATCACCGGACCAATTAATCACTGGAACCCGCCCAACAGGAATCGGGGTGGGCTATTATGAACACCAAACACAGCATCGACATGGATTCTACTGAGCTACTGAGACCACACCCGATGCAAGCGAGCTATGATTGACGTAATGTCTGAGATCGCGGCAGATGACACTGTTCTAGAGATCGGATAGGTAAGAGGGATTACCCAATAAGGAGCCCTCAGAATACGGTATGAGATTAGTGTGGATGGGTGGGTTGCTGGGCGGGGTCCCAGAAGTGTGACAACCCTGGTTTTTACGGTCACAACAAGAGCAAGAAAGCGAGACAGAGCAAGCTACATATCCGAGTCCGAATATTGGTATTGGGTCCATGGGGCGGCAGGACGGAGGGGTAGGCGAGTCCGAGTCCGATGCTACTACGGCCGAGATGTGTGCTTGAAATGTCGTTGTATAATTGATAATGGACGAACTATGGCTTAATTTCATGACGACAAAGCATTCCTTGAATAAATTTTAGCGTACGTATTGAGTTTTGTATCGTTCTAGGGAGAAAGTCCGGATACTTGAATGGTGCTGCCTTGGTTGTAAGCATCATAAGATTACACTCTCTAGAAGCTCATGGTGTGGTACTAAATGTTTGTCTCTATTGTTTACAAATACCGCACGGCCAGACTATTCCTGACATGCCGTTCGCTATTCGTCCGCTTGGTGGCAATGGTGTTGTCTTTCGTCCTGACCGCAAACAAGAACATCTCCACTTGTTCAGCATGGGCAGATTCTCAATCATCTTCCCCGTTGTGTATCGCGGCCAGCCACTCCAGGAAAGGTGGATACTCTCCTTGAAGAGTTGTTGGATGGAAACGAGCTTTCCAGAGATAGAGTTCATAAACATCTGGAAACATCTCAATCTGAAGTTCAGTAGATTGCTGGTACCCGAGATACTCTGGAGTGCGAGTAAGCTGTTTCAGAAACTCCGTGACAACTTTGTACTGAGTTCCCAGGAGATTGATCGAGGAAAGCAGCTGGTCTAGGGGTACGAAATCTGGATGACTTGATGAGTATGCCGTCGATCTCTCTTCAGGAATGACCGATTGCTGCGAGGCAGCATGCCTAGTTGCGCGAGAGCACAGCCTCGATGCCCAGATCCGCTCGCATGACGAGCAGTCGCATGTTCCAGGAGGCGTGAGAGATATCTCCATCTTGCTTTTGGACTCGGCAAAGAGCTGCTTTCGGAGGGAGTCATAACGGCTTTTCCAGGCCTGCTTGGCCTGCATGCCAGGTGATGTGTGCCAGGTTGTGGATAATAGAGTCCACCTGGAATTGTTCATCTCTCCTGTATCTGAATCGCTCAACCAGGTCGGTTTGTGAATGTTTCGACCGTCTCGTTTGTTACAGCTCCAGCAGCGGCCTAGTTGACTGCTCACTGGGCGCCAAGCCTTGAGTAGCTCCTTGCTCGCAATACTGTCATCGGAGATGAGGGATCCGAACTCGTCGGCGAGTACACTAAGATAAGAATTGAGAAGGCGGAGCCGGTGTAAGATCTGTAGGCGATTCTGGATCCATTCCAAGTCGCCCTTGTTCATCAAAAGCACGTCGAATCCTGCGTCATCGTATGTGCCAGATGGGACAGTGTACAGAGTTCGTTTGCGGTGGATGTGGGTGGTCAGTACTGATATATTATCGTGCGGACCATCAAGAAGATGATCCGCGAAAGAACATCTATTATAGCAGTCAGCGTGAGAGTAGCCAGGCACATCTGGGGCGATTTATTACCTGGTCTTTTTCTCACAAGTCATGGTGGAGTTCTTCATCAAATACGCGTCATGAGCGAGCATGCTACCCCCGTCCCAGGATCTTGTCCGAACGTTGATGGTATGATCTATGAGATCCGAATCGTTGTGACCGAAAGAATCGTAAAGCTGAAGAGAACTCGTGAGAGGGCTGACAAAGAACTCTCCGTGCTGCATTTTGCCCGCAAAACTCATCATATAACGCATTGCACGAGTCTCCGCAGTCTGTTCACGTCTTGGAGGTATCCTGGGATACACACCGGAAAACTCAGCGTCCCATTCGTCCCCGTTGAAGATCATAGCGCTGCTGAAGTCCTGGCAATTGTTGAAGACCCTGTCGTATTTGAGCTTGACGCTTTTGTGGAGGCGCCTTGCGATGCAGAAAAGAAGTTCAGAGATCCTGGGGCCGTGGGTGTCTTTTATTTCCGCAACAATACGCTGAGCGAAAGACCTGAGGACAGATCGAAGAACTGAAATCTGCGCAAAGCGGTGCTCTTCGGTGTGTTGTTTCCATAATTTTGAAACGTGGATGAACTCTCGGATGATGCTTCTCTCGGCGTTGGCGACTCTTGGGAAGGATAGCGTGAATAGTCCGCTAGCAATCTGCTTCTGAGTGCTCATGAATCTCCGCTCTTGCACAGGATGCACAGAAGAATAGAGAAGTCTGTCGTGCGAGATGGCAAGGTGTTTTTGTGTCAAGACCTCTTTTCCTTCAGACCACTTAAATTCAGCTGGGTCCGAGATGAAATCTTGAAGGTCCTCCAGGGAGAGAGTGGAAAAATTGGGTACGTTGCGTAGGGAAATTCGAGCGCCAGAGGGCATGCTGCCGAGTATAATTAGTTCTGCTTCAAGCACAGGAGCTAAAGAATGGCTCACAATCTGCTGCCGTTCTCGATGATTAAAGGCCCAAGCATGACAGCACAGTGAGTGTTTCCAGCCGGAAAGATGTGACGCGTCGACGCACGAGAGAATACGGAGGCTCCTGAAGCAAGCCGATCCAGCGTAAGAGCTCCAAAGCCCATCAAAAATCGACCGTCCAGCTGGTCTTCCCACATGTCGAGCTGCAAGCCAAATGCCGCGCTCTTTGAATTTATAAACTTCCCTTCTGGAAACCGCCTAACAACGTGGAGATGGTCGTACGGGTGCGGTGATTTTTCAAAGCATGGCGGACACAGCGTATACGGCAAAATCTTACTCAATGATTCGCTTAGTACAACTGCGTGTACACTTTGCCCAAGGGATTGACGCTGCGCATCGTCGGAATCTGCATGCTGTGGCCGAGAGATGGAGAACATGTTGGTCTGATCAGGATGATCTTTGCAGCCTGACTTACATTCAAACCAGTGGAATGCTCGCACGCAGTGTCGACAGTTTGAGCACTGGACTGCTTCAAGCAGATACTCATCTTCATCAGCTTTGATCTGTGGCCGTTGACCCAGAGATCTGAAAGTCGGCCGACGATGTTCCCTGACGAAATCAATGTCCGTTAGACCCAATGCTTGAAGAAGGGCCTGGGCGCGTCTTTCCTCGAGCGGAAGAAATTCGAGCTCATCGGCTACTCTCTCGTTGACACGTTCTTTCAGACGGTGCATTTGATTCGGATCGCCAAGGTGTGCTCCAAGGGGACCTTGGGCGTCAAACGGATTCCAGAGGTCGATAAGTTCAGCTAGATGATCGGTCCTTAGATCTTCTGGTCGATAGTCCTCCACAGGAAGACTATCGGCTTGGTGCTCATTGAAATTTGCGAACGCGATGATGGCTGCCGCAACCTCTCGCTCGACACCAGACCAGTACAATTCAGAAACGTTGTCCCAGACTGTTTTGAGGTCGTCGTCTGATCTTCCTTTGGTGATCCTCTCCCATTTGAACTTTGCAATACTCTCATCGACGGATATGCCCGAGAGCTCCGGATCTAAAAAGTCACTGCTCATCATGTCTTGCGGCCGGTACAAATTTGGTTCCCCTTCCCGATGGATAGGTCCGAGGGCGAGCCCCGCTCCGTGAACGAAGTGATGATGATGATGATGATGATTGTATTGTTTGGTGTGAAGTCACGAAGATGAGGTTTTTCGTGTACATGGTAATGGCGCAGACGAAGAGAGGCCGCCCTTCGAGTTTGGTGGCTTGCGGCCGCAGCAGCGCGGTCTGGACCGAAACTAGTCTTCAGCCGCAGCTGAAATTAGGCATCACACGCTCTTCAGCCAATCGCGAAGGCAATTTAATCGAGTCACACACATCTCAAACATGACTATTGAACGCCACCCTTGGTAGTTGAATAAGTGAATATTGACGAAAAGGAACGGTAATAACTTTCAAGGGGAGGTGCCTGTGGGAGATCCAGAAAGAAAAGGGCAGTTCGATTCAGCATCATCAACTTTCCACCGTAAGGATCACGACTGCGGTTCGACCGAAGATATGAGCACCACCAAACGAAGATCTCGATTCCTTGGCATCTTTAGCAGAAAGGCTGTTGCCAGCGTCGAACCTCCTGCAGCAGTGTCTGCCAACAGTGCTGATGTGTCCGGCTGGGAAAACAGCGCGGGAGCATCGCACAATCTTGTAAAAGCATCCAAAGAACTCGACGACTACTTTCAAAGTATCGACGGCTCAGGTATGTAGCGATCAGGCTCTAGAGATTGGGTCGGGGAAGTGCGCCATCTCAATGTTTTGCACCTATCTTGCGAGGCAGCTTCGGGGCTCAGATACTAATCGATGCTCATAGACGCAACTCTCGCTAATATCCTTCATAAAAGTCGATGGGTGGAGAAAGCGCAGGCTTGCTCTAACTCCTCCTTTGCCACTTGTTCGCTCCCAGAGGCTCCACTGTGAGTCCCAAATCTCTCACTCTGACCACACGTTGACCAAGTATAGCGAGACGTCTCGGCGCCATCTTGTGAGACTGGCAGCCTTGAGCGCTGTAAAAGTCTATGCCAAGCCGGGAACTGAAAATCTCTCTTGTAGCGATTTTGACGTTGTCGGCGAGCCGGTGAAGATCGATGCCGACCTCTTGGGAGGCCCTGTCAAAGCTACCACCGCCTGGTTGTATACTCCAAAGGCATCCAGCACTAGTTCTAGCAATGTAATAGTCGTAGCCATCAGAGGCTCCGTCACCACGCACGATTGGATGGTTAATCTCAATGATGGAGCTGAGAGGCCTGTCCAAGATGCTTTCTTGGTGAGTATCGTCATGCTGATCCACCTGGAGCATGGTTTTGACAACGATAGGGCACTGATGACGAAGGTGGCTTCTACAGTGCTCACTCTGGGTTTCTAACTTGCGCAAAGGCAACTAATGCGACCGTTGTTGACCACATCTATCAGCTGTGGTCGAATAACTTCGCTGCTGGAGTTCGGTCGAAGCCCATGTTGTTGTTCACAGGTCATTCCGCAGGGGGTGCCGTTGCTGCAATGCTGTATGCGCACTTTTTGAAATGTGATCCCATTTCGGAGGACAGAAATAAGAGTTTGATGTTGAAGAATGGTATGAAGCTACCGTTTCGACTCAGGGAACCTGCTAACAGCAGCAATAGCATTCAGTACAGTCCATTGCATCACATTTGGAGCTCCGCCAATCACAACAAAACCACTCTCACCATTTCAAGCGGACTCGGTATTCCTGTCTATTGTGAATGATGGAGATCCAGTCCCAAGGGCTGACAACAAGTACATTAATGCTCTCTTGCGCCTGTTCTCTGGTCCGATGCCAGAGGAGGGAACTAAGTACGCTCTGCCACCCCGGGTCCTCTTTAATGCCGGCCAGGTGGTTGTCGCTCTGGACGACGGTCGTCTACTGAGGCCGAATGAATTCGGTGCTGGTAGCCTGGCGGAGACGGTCATGGGAAACAAAAGAGCGCATCCGATGAAGGAGTATCGGAGGAGGATCGAGCTATAATCAATGGACAGTCTTCTATATGTCGGCCTTTGTATCTCGAATCAAGAGCTGACACACCACAATTGTAATGCAGGCATGACAGCAATTATCTTACTCAAGCATGTGCAGTGGAAGTGTGCAACATTTCCACATCTTTACCCTCTAAAGAAATATTTTGACAATGAGTGAGAACCTATGTGAGAAAGTTTCGCAATGAGATAGAACAGTTACGCGCAGAAAAGAAAAAGAAAATTGATTGACACATGATAACTGGTTCCCTCCGATCACTCTTGACCCGCCACCCTCACCGGAGCGGTTCTTGAAGGACGCTGGATTCCCTGAAGCTCGCTTCGATGCACTTCGGCCTTTCAGTTTAGGTCATGGAAGTTTTCGGAAGTTGCCCTGGCCGCAAATAAGTGTTCCCGTCATGTGGGCTCTTCTGATCGTTACTGAGACTATTTTAGCCTTCCCTTTGCCGAGGCGAGCCTGGCGATAGCGAAGCTCATTTCCAATTTTGGTATTCATGGTGTACCAGGGAACGGAGACTAGACAGGCCAGTAAAAGGCGTATATGCTACGGGTCAAGAAGCCTTTTTGGGTTGTTCTCAAGTTTGTGTGGTAGCTAACAACTCACTGGCATCCTTCCTAGACTTGGTCCCCGGATAGTTGTAGTTACATGCTCGAGGAAGTTGCTTGCAAGACCAGCAATGGAGCGATTGAATTATACTACATGACGATTCCCAGAGCACAAATTTATAAACCAGAATGAGCTCCATCTTTTATCCGATTCCCATGTCCATTTCAAATAATCAAATTGACATGCTGTCGGGTAGTTAACTCTATCACGCCTGACCGTACCAAATATGTGAAATACGAGGGATAAATTCATCAAGGCCAATATTCACTGCAATCTATGATAAGGAACTCCACTTTGCGCTGCCTGTTCAATACCGCAAATATCCGAGGTCGAAAACAATAAAACCTCCTTCTTCACCACCATGCTCTGCCGGCTAGTCTGACGCGTCGCATGTTCGATTGAAGGCCCGCTCCACCTCGTCAAATAAAGCTGATATTGCATGGACGGACATAGCCTCAAGATGACGAAAATAAGCAGAAGAAGACTGCCCAAGATGGTAGTAAAGATAATCCAGCCGGAAGGTCGACGCGAAGAATCCGCCTACTTAACATCTCCGAGGCCCTGCATCTTCATCACCGTAGCGAACCTAGGGCTGAAGGCGGCCACCTTATCGAAGCCGATGGCGAGCTTGCCCTCGTACTCGTATAAGACCCAAGCCGATCGCTCCACGACCTGCTGCAGGTTCAACGGAGGAGAGAATGGTGTTTCGGTTTCTGGAGGATGCGTTGCGGGAGGCGGAGTATGTTACGAGCCCCGAGCTCATGGTTGTCGGAAACGGATTGGACAAGATTTAGGAAAGGTTGGATATCATTTGGCGGGGAGTATCAAGGTGGTTGTGACTTTGGAGTCGATGGTATATTAATGGTTACGACTGGACTTGGGAACTGTCGTTGGGCTCAGCAATCGTCACTTGAAAGCGAAACGGAACAGATAATAATTTATGGGATGCAACCCGAGGAAATTCCATCAATTGACATGGCCTTCCTAGGACCTTTTCCAGACGCCCAACTCCAAGTCCGCAATGCCAACCGCCCTCTATTGCTTTATCCTCTTGGCCTCCTCGTTGCTGGCGGCAGCCTCCTTGTCCGCCTTGTCCTCGTTCCGGCTGCGCTTCAGACCCTTCATCTTGCGCAGTTGCATCTCGCTGAGGTCCTGCTTGCCCAAGTGCACGCGGCCGATCTTGTCGCCCATGGAGTCGGTGGTGATGTTCTTCTTGGGGCGCTCCTCGAGGCCACGGGCCTTCTTCATGGCCTCCTTGAGCATCGACTCGTCGGCTTCGCGGACGCGGCCGATGCGGAAGTCCATGCGGGGGCCAATCTCCTCGACCTCGACGCGCGGGAGGCGCTGGCCGCTGCGCTTGGTGTGGTTCAGGTAGACGCGCAGGTGGACGGCGGGCTTGGCGTCGCCGTCGCCGGTGCTGTCCTCGGCGCTGACGGCCACGATGTACTGCAGGCCCTCGACGTCGATCTTGTCGGCGGGCTCGCCCTTGAAGAAGTCTATGAGCATGCTCTTGGCGAGGGTGAACTCGTTGGCGACGGGGCTCTCAAACGCGGTGCCGGCGAAGAGCAGCATGGGCCGCAGGCCGACGGCGAACTTCTTGGTCTTGAACTGGGCAATGGTGCTGAAGCTCTCGGGGTCGAGGTTGAGCTCGAGCATGTCAAGCACCTTGTAGCCAAAGGTGCGGACAAAGGTGAGGGTGTGCGGGCGCTTCTTCTGGCTGCTGCCAAAGACCATCAAGCTGGCGTCGTTCTTCTCGGAGAAGAACTCGAGCGACGAGGCGTCGTCGAAGGGGTGGATGGGGTTCTTCTTGGTGAACTTCTTGGCCAGCGGCTGGCGCATCTGATGCAGGTCGTTCAGCGCATCCTGCACCACCTGTGAGCAGGTGGTTCCTCGCAGGAAGAGGCAGGTCTTGGGGTTCTCGATGGCCTTGGCCTCGCGCTTCTCGAGCGCCCGCTTGGAGCGGGCATTGCGGGGTTTTCTAGGAGGTGTCAGCTTGGATTTTGTAATTGAATCATCGCCGTGGCGGGACGTACACTTGGCGAAGCATCGTTGTGTTGTTTGTGGTAGCTGGCCTTGGGGATGAGGCTTCGTTGAGCGGAGGCTGGATGAAGCCTTTCAAGGCGGAAGAAAAAAAAAATCCTTATCGATAAAGCACGACTGCTCACCGAGCGCACCTTTCTCACTTTTGTCACCTTGCTCACCGTGCGCACCTGCCTTTACCTTCCTCGGGCAAAGGTCGGGGAAAAACCGGGCTTGGTCGTCTCCCATGCACCCCGCAGTCACGTGGACACTCCGTTTCACGGAGCGAGCCTACCAGCCGGCCGGTCAGCCTCGGCATTTTCCCCGCCGAGCGTGGGACTACACTCCGAAGCCTTGACCCGTACTAACCAGTGGTGATCCTCCCATTTCCATCTGCTTCTCTTCAATCACCTTCAAATCCGTAGATATCCCTCTGTCGAGCACCGAGTGATTCTCCAATCCTCTCTCCCGTATAGCCTCAACCGGACCGACACCTCCGCCTCAAACCAACACCATGTCGTTCCTGAGCGGTGGCGCCGAGTGCTCGACTTCCGCGAACCCCCTCAGCCAGCTACACAAGCACGTTCAAGATGACAAGACCCTACAGCGTGATCGGCTCGTCGGCCGAGGGCCGGGGGGGCAGTTGAACGGGTTCCGAAGCCAGAACGCCAACGCCCCTCAGGATGAGGTACTCGCGGCCTGATAACGGTAGATTTGGTGCATTACTAATGCGGTCGTGATATTCCAGATGATGAACGGTTTCCTCAACAGCGGCCCCAGCATGCAGCAGGATTTCCCTATGCAGCCTGGCCATATCGGCCCCCTCCATCCCGCACAGGAAGCCCAGATGCGAGCCAGCTCTGCGTCACCGACGTGGGCACACGACTTTAACGGCCAACCTGCCATGGAGTCGGCATTCAAGCCCCCGGGAGCGCAATTCAGCGCCGACGAGTTTTCTCGATTCCAACAGCTCAACGGCCAAGGATCTTCGGCACAAGCGAACCCAATGCAGACCGGAATGACCAGTCAAATGTCCCCAATGTCCCAGATGGCCCTGCCGATGATGGGCGTGGGCATGATGAACCAAAGAATGGGCTTCGGCCAACCGATGTTCCAGCCCATGTACCAGAACCAACAACCCATGCAGCAGCAACAGCCCGAGGGTAAGGGTAAGGGCCGAATGGTCGAGCTCGACGAACACAAGTGGGAGGAGCAGTTTGCCCAGATGGAGCTGCAAGATAACGGAAAGCAGAAGGAGACCGAGGCGACTGCTGCAGAGCGCGAGCTGAACGAGATGGACAAGGCTATGCACTCTGAAACCAATGAGTTCGGTGACTTCGAATCTATCTGGAAAGGAGTCCAAGCTGAGAAGGAGGCATCTAGATCCATGGTCAACGAAGAACTGTTCGACCAATTCGATACCGAGTGGAGCAACAACCTCATGCCCGACTTCGAGGGCATGGGTGACTGGGGCCGCCTCGGCGACCCGGCCGTCGAGAACTACCTCTTCGAAGAGGACAACTTTTTCCGAGAGGAGAAGAACGCATTCGACGAGGGTGTGCGCATTATGAAGGAGGGCGGTAACCTCTCCCTGGCAGCCCTTGCCTTCGAGTCAGCCGTACAACAATCACCCGACCATGTTGATGCGTGGGTATATCTGGGGACAGCACAAGCACAGAACGAGAAGGAGACGGCAGCGATTCGAGCCCTGGAGCAGGCCCTGAAGCTGGATCCCAATAACCTCGCGGCCTTGATGGGCCTGGCTGTATCGTACACCAACGAGGGCTACGATAGCACGGCATATCGGACCTTGGAGCGGTGGTTGTCGGTAAAGTATCCCAGCATCCTGAACCCCAAGGACCTACACCCACCAGCCGAGATGGGCTTCACAGACCGCCAGCAGCTACACGACAAGGTCACCAACCTGTTCATCAAGGCAGCCCAGATGAGCCCGGACGGCGAGCACATGGACCCAGATGTCCAGGTCGGCCTGGGTGTCCTGTTCTACGGCGCCGAGGATTACGACAAGGCGGTGGACTGTTTCCAGTCGGCCCTCCACTCGTCGGAGTTGGGAACCTCTAACCAGCAAGAGCAACTGCACCTCCTCTGGAACCGACTGGGTGCCACACTCGCTAATAGCGGCCGCTCTGAGGAGGCCATCGCCGCGTACCAGGAGGCCCTCTCAATGGCCCCCAACTTTGTGCGTGCGCGCTACAACCTGGGTGTGAGCTGCATCAACATCAACTGCCACCAGGAGGCGGCATGCCACTTCCTGGCCGCGCTGGAGATGCACAAGGCCATCGAGAAGTCGGGTCGCAGCAAGGCATACGAGATTCTCGGTGACAACGCCGGCGGCGTCGACGAGACGCTCGAGCGCATGTCTGCCCAGAACCGCAGCAGCACCCTCTACGACACGCTGCGCCGCGTCTTCACCCAAATGGGCCGCCGGGATCTGGCCGAAAAGACGGTTGCCGGCGTGGACCCGGATGTCTTCCGACCCGAGTTTGAGTTTTAAGGGAGACGCGAGAGGAAGATGGGGTAGCGAAAGAAACTTGCATCGTGGCGCGTTGTTGCGGATATAATTTTTTCGATTTTCTTCTTTGGATGGATGTACGAGGGGTTGAATTGGATGGGAAATACGACTGCGTAGGTTGTCGTGAAGGAATGCTGGGAAAAGAAGATGGAGGAGTTGACAAAACATAACGACTCTTCCAACTGCCTTGCGTGGAGGGCAACGTAAGACTGTCTATATGCTCCCGCTCAATCCATATAATCATGTATATGATGGTTAATGCCACAAGTGTTTCTACATGTGAAGCTCTAAGTCCAAGGATGCGAGGCTTGGTTTGCACACCAGAGGGCGTTTCCCAAGTCTTGACGGCAAGCGTTTCCAGGAGCGACGCTGGGAATCTAGATGAATCTGCACCAACACATGCTCCCAACATACTAAGGCGAGAGAACCGTCCGCACCAAGCCTCTCCTCGGTGAGAGCACATCCGCCAGGCTTAGACTTGGGACGCATGGGCTGGACTCAAGCCTCGTTGTCACATCAATCGGTCGTGTTGAGACGGCATCGGGCCTGTTGGGGCTAAGGCAGGCACAATACGTCAGCTCACAGGTCGCACAGGCTTCCTGAGACCATGAGACCATAATGGCATCATGGGAAAGTCGATGGAGCGAGACAGGCATTCGCGCGTTTCCCATGACGATCCCTCTCCGCCTGCAGCACTCGGTCACCTTATCTCTGCGACACGGCATCCCCCCAACGCCCTCCCATCACAAGACTAACTCGTAGCCGACGCCTCTTTTGTCGGCAATAAGCAAAACTGGCCGTCCAAGTGCCTGAGGCTTCAGCCGGCGGCAAGAGGAAACATCCCGCGGAGTTGGTCTCCCTGGCCGTGCGCTGCGGCGCCATCCACGCACACACACCACCGGATGTCTTTTCCTCATCCGTTGCGACCGGCGCCATCGCGAACTGCATGTCTCGCAGAGCCCCCCCGTAGGATACACGCGGGCGCTATAGAAGCCGTCCATTTAGGTACATGGCGTGTTACATGGCCAGGCAGGCGTGGAGTCTATCGCCAAGAGGGGCCCGTCTGGTGTCGGCCGGCTTGTTGGGCGTGCCGCTAGAGCAGTAGAGCAGGACGACGGAAGGGAGGAGGAGGCGGGAAGGGGTTGGGAGGCACGGGAAAAGAAAAGAAGAGAAGCGGGAAGCCCAAGACGAGTAAGACACCGAGAACGGAACCCTATCGTCCACGGCCAAGACATGGGATTAGTGATCGCGTGTAGCACAAAGTCTCAGGCCCTGGAGGCGTGCGATCTTGGCTTTCGGGGCTTTGGAGGCCTTTGGAGCAGCCATTGGAGGCCAAATCCGACAATGGGATGGCTCCTTTGCGTGCTGGAGGCGTTTACCAGTTCTGGCCTTAGCAGGCGCTTGCTGGACGGGGGGGACTCGTACTATTCTTGAATGCTGGTGCCATGGCTTGTTCCAGCGTCTCGGCTCCGAGTTGGGCTTGGACGCGGGCTTGGACGTGGGACAGGGCTTAAACTGAACGTGGAACCTGGACATTTTGCGTGCGTCTTTCTCTCTGGAACGTGTGCTCTGAGAACGAACCCCCAGCAAGACGCCATCCGCTCACAAACGCGGGCCCGGACGATCCCAACCTCAAAACCCCACGCCGAACTGAACGGCCTCCACGAGGACTCTCCCTCGACCGCCCATCAGGATCGCCCAGCGTCCAGGTTCTCGGACCGGCATACGCAACATGATCGGCCGCGGAGCTGCCAAGAACGAATAAATCGTCCAGCGAATTGACACCGGCCACGGGGACCCGGGGACTCGGGGACCCGCGCGGAGGGGGGCAAAACTCGCCCGGAGACAGACTCGGCCTATGTATGCATCGAGACACTCTGACGCCACATAAGCGCTGGCTGGACCTCGTCCGTCAACACGCTGCATGGCCAACAACAAGCACGGCACAGCGTGTGGTTCGCATCCGGCACCCACTGATCGGTGTGGAGATGGGCGGAGCGGAGGGCCCAAGGGAGCGGAGGGCGTTGGGCTAGCGGTGCTGGGACTTTCGGAGGGTTGGATCGAGTGGCGGAATCGGGCCTGCTAGCCTAGGCGGCGATGAAAAAAAAGGCCCCAAGGACCCAAAGTCTGGGGTATCGGTATGTGCGATTACTACGTTGCAGCAACGAAGCCATCGTGGTCCGTGTTGTCCTCGCCGCACTGGCTATCTTTGCCCTGCAGTGGAGGATCATCATGTCAAAGCCGGGGTTGGCGTATGTGTACGGTATGTCTCCCTTTGTTTGTCTCTCGCCATGTCATGTACGTTTGCCGATCTGATGACCGTCTGCCTGACTCGCTCGACCTGCAGTAAACAGAAAATGAGACTTGCATAGCGGAGCAAAACCCATCCTTTCCAGCTGGACAGGGCTCGCACTTGGCATATCCGTCCCGCAATTAAAGGAACCAACCCACAACGGCCGCTGCAATGGCTTCCTGCCGGCCAGAAAGTGCCCTCTATCTCGTTCAACGGCTTGGCTTGATGCACCGGTGAGACAGCATGGCTGCCCGCCGTTGGAGCCTCGAGGGTAGTATGCGCCTCCTGCGCTTGGGAACCATAGCCTCCAGAACCATGCTCATCTCACCAATGGTGCCTTTGCGGAGGGCCCTCTCGTGTGCATAATTCGTACCTGTTCGATAGGTGTCTGAAGAATGCAGTCCTCATACCCAAGCCCGCTACACGGCAGCACAGGATCTACATACCAGGAGCATTGGTTGGATCAGAACCACTCTCAGGTACAGGATGACAGAACACAACACGAATGCTGTGCGTGATTGAGGCTCCCCGAAAGTTGTCGGACTCCCGCCAAGAAACAGCCTCGTTGTACATCACACCAATCTGTCGGGTCTCACTTCCGAGGACGTCACCCAAACAAACCACGGGTACTGGCATTGCACCGATCGGTCCGCGGTTGCATCGTGTTCCGCTGAAGCTTGTGTAATGCCAGACTCGAGGGTTGAGCCGAACATCACCGACCACAGGTTCGTGCTTTCTAGAGTTTTCCGGATTACGGCAGCGTCCAGAATGTAAGACATGCCGAGTCTCTATTCACAGTTCTTCCTTGTCGCTCGCTGGCACAGTGCATGATTTTGCAGACAGCGATGCACACTGGGCGACCATTTCACAGAAGTAGAGTTTGGCGCCGTGGCCAAGTCTCCGCTGTGGGTAGGATCCTAGACTAATTGGGAGTTTCATGCTCACTCGAACCCGGGGCCTGAACGCCTCGTCATGTGGCAAACCGCTTGCCAGATCCAGTGGCTCCGCAAACCCATTGGACTCGGAGTCTCAGTTCAACGGATGCTACTGTAAGTGACGGCCGGGCTGGCGTCCCGTAACATTTATTACCGAGTCAATTGTCGTCGACTCTAGTCCAGTTCTGGCGAGGGGGTAACACGGCTCAGAAATTTCATCAACTGTGGCGACGGAGAGCGGAATTGTCCAAAAGCAACACTTTGGCCGGTGGGTTCGTGTCACAAAGGGCTCGGGCTCGGGCCGCTAGATTTCATAAACGAGAGAACCGAGGCGATGGGCTCTAAAAGTGAGAGAGGACCAGCGGGGAACGGGGCCACTCAAGACTGAGACAAGTGGCACGGTATTGACGGCCAAATATCGGTTGGCTTCAAGATAACGCAAGCCGAGCCGAGAACAATTCATGTAGTGGCATAACGAAGCTGTGTTACCCTTTGCAAGCTGAAATGCTGTAGCGTGGACAAGGCGCAGCGGAACCGGCTAATACCAACCCTTGACGCGTGTGAGGCCAAGATCCAGCACAATAGTAGGACAGAGCGGAAAGCTGAATAAAGTGCAGCGGCTCTAGTAGTAAGTAGTATCCCGGAAGCACACTTGGGGGTCCTGGGCCCTCGTTTTGCATGCTATTAGCCTAACCTGATGCTGTGATAACTCAGACACCCACTTTCCGTATGTCAATACCGGGAGAGCTATGTCGGCTCTAGGAGCAAGGGTGTACTTACGACTCATGCGAATGATCTATTACCTGGCAAAGAGATTAGAGAAAAGAAACTATCCCAATGAAGAAAGGGTCCCGGTGTTAGGACGTTGGTGAGAACGGCGCGTTGTCAAGCGGCATGTCAGGACGAGCATCCCGCCTTGCACTAGTTGCAATGAACTCCTAGTGCCTTGAGGTGATGCGAGGGTTAATGGTTTCGGGGTGTGGGTCCTGGTGACAGCCCCAGATAGGGAGCATATTTTGGTGATAAGATTGTGACAAGTCGGATTTAGAGAGCCGTGGCGGAAAATCGGGAATGGTTTTCAGCTTGTGTTGAAACTGATCTTGATGTATCGGGGCAGCTGAGGGAGGGGTCCTGGTGTGAACTGCCGGTGCCGGTCACAACACCAATGCCTCAGTAAAACTTTTTAGTACAGCCCGAGAAGACCAACCAGGAAAGTTGATGCCAAAGCCAAAGTGGTGGTAGGCGAGGCGGACGGTCCCTCGTTGGAATTCGCAGGAGTCGTTCTCTCGGACCCAACCAAGCCTACTAGGTAGTATCTTGCATTGTTGGAGGACGATCAAGCACCTCGCCTAGGACTAGGGAGAGTAAGCGAGTGAGTGTGGTGGACGCAAGACCTCGCCATTGACAGAATGCCGTTGCGGCTGTACCAACGCCGAGGACAAGCAGACTGCAAGATCCTAGTTTGTGTGGTCCAGACCCAGTGCTCAGACTTGAAGCAAGATACCGAGGCCTGATCCAACCGGGCTGCCAGCCACGATTCATGATGCGAATAATCTGGACACTGGCTGGTCTTGCCTCCCGCCGACCTAACATGGTCGATCTCCCTCTGGTCGGTTGCCGTTAGTCCTCATGGACCAACACCTGCGCCATGCACTGGTTTGCTGCACCGGGGAGGCGGAGAGGGATCGGCGTTGCTGATAAAGCAGGGCAGCAGCACATGCACGGATGGAGAGTGACACCCGCCCCGACACACAGACGATCGGCTGGGGATGGTCCTTGGAGGATGACTTGACAAGATCCAGCTAGCGCAAAGCAATTGGCTAGCCGGGGTGAAACCTGGGGGCTTGAGGGGGTGAGCAGAAGAACTTGACCGACCAAGAGGCTTGGACTGTCTGTTGGCACATGGGCATGACAGTGAGACCCAGCTGCGATCGAGACGGGTCTGTGGTCAGATAATGGCCGGCGAGAAGCCGCAATGGAGCCGTGGTGGATGGGTTCGCGAGATGAGGTCATGAACTTGGCTCTGTACTTCTCGAGGGGAGCGATATGAGTGATTCACGCCAATCTGCTCCTCGTGAGTGCTTGGACCAACAAAGAGCCAAAAATAAAATGATGAATCTCACACAGGCGTGCCAGGCCGAAGCCACAGTGCTCAGACGTACCTATGGTTGGAGGGATGTATGTGGTGGGCGTTTGGGCTGGTCAGTGGCTGTCAGTAGTCGGTATTCAGCGTCCTCTCACTGGCCATAGTGCTATTTTGTCCATCAGCGGCCATGCCCAACAACTCTTTGTTCAGTGCTGAGTGCAGCATGGATGGACCTCATGGATTTGAGAATTTGTGGACCGTCGTCGCTAGGACCGTCGTCGCTAAGCTTGACGGCAGTTGTGCACTGTGCCGCAAACGCCGTCTCCGTGTCTTATCGCTTCGATGCCATGCTCAGGGATGCTGGCCATGTTTTGAGGAGAGTGAAGCTCTGAGAGGGCCAGCTCGGCACCAGAAACCACGTGGGTGCCGTCCCTTCTCCACTTAACACAGTGGGCGTGAGGCAACAAAACCAACGAGGGTTAGGGCGTGCGCAAATAGCATCGCAGACCAGTACCCGTACACCATCTGATCTGGCTTTGGATCTGCGGTGAGGCGGTTGCTTTTGGGAGACGGCCGCCTTGACCGGCTGTGGCTGGTTGCGGCAACTCGTCCGAAAATGCCTCCGGTCTTCCTACCTGCTGGACCTGACATAGCACGTCTACGAATGTCACTGTGGCTGAGATCGACGGGAGAGATGCCGCGGTGGTGTTAGTGCCAGAGTATTATTGATGAGGATCCCCAGAACACGGAGCCACCAGGCAGGGGCAGACTCAGGTTCCTGGATGTTGGATACTTTCGCCCACGTGAGTGAGGTTTTCCTCCTTGCCTTAGCCCGAAGTGTGTTGCGCAAAATCGCCGTGCATGGTTGGATCGTGGCGGGATTGCGTGTACTGTACCCCGTACCCATTCTTTTTGTTCCTACGTGACCTCGAAATTGGATGATGTCTCACTTGAGGGGTGTCTAGGAGTGGGATGACTGGTAGCGCGCCTGGACGTTGGGCTTCGCAGGGAACCGCATTGCGTTTCTGTCTGGCGAGGCTCTCTCGCGTGATGTGATGTGATGCACGGGTACAGCCTGCGACTGGAAAAAGCAATTTTGATGATTCTTGCAATCGTGAAATTCCGAGGTGACAGCCCACATGTTGGGCGAAGTCTAGACGCACAGTGCGCGCGAATGGACACGCACCAAACGTGGCTCAGGGCTTGGCTTCCATGGTTGGATGGGATGTGGATGATGGCAATGACATGTATTGGTAGAATGGGGAATTGATGTGTCGAGTTTGACCAAAGTTTAGCAGACGGACGTCTCGGGCAGGTATCTGCCACCTACATAGCCGGGTGTGAGATCTGCGATGGCCCACGAGGGCAGGGCGTTGCTAACTCGTGACTGCCACGCTGTCTGATGTGAACTGACTTCGAGACCTCTCGAGCATCTAGAACGCTCACAGCCGGAAGCAGAAACCCTTTGGTGAGGACGCGTGCGTGTGGCGGCGAGTGTCGATCGTTGCATCGCTGCCGCAACAAGGTCTGTACCTACATGCGCATGTGCGGTCGGGATACCCTCCGGCCTGCAAGTGACACATGGGTGTCTTTCGCACCGAGACGGCATAATTGGCACGCACACAGGTCCTGTGTAATGAAAGCCACCGGGAAAATACGTGGCTCTCCAAAATACGAGCCGGCCCAGATCAGATCCCAAAACGCCAGCAAAGAAGGCGAAAGGGAGGGGATTGGATTCGTGGGGGGGACGCGAGTTCGCTGGGCTGTCAACTGCAGCATGAACAGGGGGGTCTCTTTGTTTCTTCTGCTCGATAGTTGTTTCTTTTTCCTCTGGACACATCACCATCACCGCTCTCCCGTGCCGGCGGTCGAGAGCGCGCTATTGACGGCCATGCGTAGCCCGTCACCCTGCTCTAGGCACATCCCTGCCGGAACGGCTGACAACCGGAGCTTGCCATCGAGATTGAACAAAACAAATTCCCAGTGTGCGGACCCAACCGGCGGCGCCTGGATCGGCTGTGTTTCCGCCCACCCGCTAATGTCTTGCGTCTGCGTCTGGGGAAGAGAGGAGGATGAGTGGTGGGAGATGATGCATGGCATGTTGCATGGTGAGGTGAGAGTGTCTGCGAGTCCGCGTGTCCGTGTGTCTCTGTGTTTGCGACATGCTGGCCACGACGTCTCCTGTGAACACCATTTCAACAACGAGTTTTCAGCGGAGGAGTACGGGTAGAAAGGAAGCCGAGGATCGACATGGTTGAGTTGTGAGCAGAGGCCGTCGAGGGTGAGGGTGACTGCAAAGTTGTATTCGTAGGGTACAGTACAAGCCCAGAGCATGCTCGCCCGCAGCGCCATCAAGCCCGGCCTAAGCCCAAGCCAGCCCGCGTGAGGTCGCCGCCTCCCCCCTTCCACAACAGCGGACAGCGTGCTTCCAAGTACGAGCGGTACATGCGAAATACAACGTATGTACAGTCCTGGCTTCTAGGATGCAGCCCTGGACTGGAGCGCTTTAGAGCCACAGAGGGAGGGGAAACTGGGAACCCAGGGAAACTGCCGACGGACCAGTCATGTCGCGGCGCCATGGCTCCTTTGGAGATGCACCTCACGTGGCGGCGGAAGATCGCGCAGGTGGGAGCCAAGGTTGTTTGTCGCCCAGGACCCAGCACCAGAGGCACCACCAACAAGCACCGTGGGCCGCCCGTGGCTCGCCCTTCCAAAACGACCAGTCTCATCGACTCACGGCGAGCAGCGATGCCCACAACGCGTACCCAGCCATGGGCCCCGGCTTGGCCTCGGCATGGGAGCATGGGACCATGGATGCGCTAGTTGGGCGACGCACGAGGAGCCCTGGCTCGGTGCAAGCCACACACCCACTCGTTTCCCAGTCCCGTTCTTTGGGCTGACCAGCCGCGTGCCACAGCACCAGGTCCGATGTACTTTGTATCGCATCATGACGAGGGTGACCCCCGGAGCGCTGGAGTCTGTTCGCTGGTCGGTGGGCACAGGGCCCGCGACGAATCGCGAACCAAACCCCTTCACCCACGAAGCGCGGCGACAACCCCAGAGACCTTCGATTCCCAGGGGCATCCCAGCTGCTTCAGGACGACCTCCGAGCTGGCACTGGCCTCCAGGTGGCCCCGGGAGAACGCCATTCATTCAGCCCTGGGATGCCTCGACGTTTCGAAAACCGACGTTGTGAAGAGTTTTTATCCTCTTTTCTTCTTATTCCCACTCCCGTCGCCTGCATTTTCGCATGTCGCCATCCATCTCCATATTTAGTTCTTGGACACTCACTAAGGCCGGCCACTTGAGGCCTGAGCGGGTAGGACTACGTAAATTACATTGGCTGCCGTCGTTTGGGCTTGCACTGTACTGTACCAGTCGGTTTGCGTACAGCAACAAAGTGTGTGAGTTTGGTGAGGAACGTGCTCATCCGGATGTATGGCTGATGGTTGGTATGTGAGTGAGCGCATCGCGTGTCTGGGTGCGAGTAAACCGGGTAGAGACATTCCGCTGTCTCTCCAGGCTCGTGTCCCTGTTTAGTTCCCTCTTGCGCTCGTTCGATGCTCGCCACATGTCTCGAGTAAATCTGGGTGGACAAATAACAAGTCTACGGTCGCCGTGGCTGGCGTAGCTACTATGTACTGGCTAGATGGGATGGACGGCTGGGTGGATGCCGGGTTGTAGACGTCGTACAGGCATCTGTGTTTCCTCGGTGCACATGCAGGCGTCCCAATCCCCCTCCCTCATCTCATCTCACCACATGTTGCCATCTGCGCATCTGGCTCGGCTGGACGAAGGGAATAACCGATGCACTAGGTAGGTGGCCCATGAATTGCAGACCCGGGGAACCAACATGCTTGGCATGCCTCAGAGATCATCCCTCAGCGAGCCTATTCTCGGGACCTGAATATGTCAGCGGCACCAGGGCCTCGACATCCGCGGGACCTTTTTTGATACTGACACGGGCCTCCGACGAAGCTTGATTTTATCCGGGGACTCCTTATCAGCCACCGGGGACCACGGAGCCGTCGCACGCACTGTACAAGGTCCGTGAGGCGTGCTTCGTACTATGTACGTGAGCCGGGCGTGAGCTGGCGGGCTGGCTGCTTGTCAAGCTGTTCTGTGCCGTCTCTGATCGGTGGCCCGGCCGTGATCTCTGGGATTGATCGAGGGGGAACGACACCCCCCCTCCCTCTCCAACCAAACAGCGCGTCAGCTGCATGCTTCTCCACGGCCGACAGGTCAAGGTTTTTGGGGATGGCGATGGATGGCGATGGATGGATACAACTGCCAAGTACTACGTAGTAGGCACGCTTCAACACGCTCCGAGAGCAGTAGCGTGACGGCTTGTCGGGGGTATTGAGTCGTGCCAGAGTACCTTGACACATGGAACGGGGACCCGGTGGGGGCTACCAGAGGATTCTGTAGTGGATACCGGCCGGCAGTCCCCCGTGGCCTCGTTTCGGTGTTGCATCTGGCGGCTGCCCGGGCGCTGGGCCGCTGCGGGTCCCGCCAACTCTCCCTTACCCTCGACCATGGGTCAAGTCGACGGTACAAGGCATGCGGGTGCCTTTTTCATGGGTTTCTCGCGCCAGCTGCGGTCGCTAAATGGGCCGGGATACTTGTGGCTGCAAGCCGCCACGCGCGGGCCACCTGTCTTGGGACAAAGCAGCATCTAAACGGCGCCCTGGCGAGGTACCTTCCCCTACGACGCAATCCCTGCTCCCCTGCCGTCCAGTGGGAGTTCACAGGGTGTGCCCACAGGGGGAGCCCGCTGTTTCCCTGCCGCGGCGGGCGGGTGCACCGCACATGGGGAGGCGGATGGGGGCGTGGCCCTCGCAACCTGGAAGGCACTTGGCGCCAGCGTTGGCGTTGTGTCTGGGTGTCTTTTTGGGTCTTTTTGGGTGTCTGGCATAGTGAAAGTGACTGAATTGGGGAGCTGGGGAGGAGCAGGGAACCACCCCCCCGGCAGACGAGAGAAGCAAGAGGGCAGGAGGGAAGGAGGAAGGAGAAGCCAAGGGCCACAGTGCCCCATGGCCCCAGCCAAAAAGCCCCAAATCCAGGCCCAGAAGCATGTACCTCCACCCCCGAGTCAAGCACCAAGAGTACATCGGACGCCTCTCGACTGGGCGAGTCCCGGGGCGGTTTTGGGGTTTCTCGGGGTGTGCTGAAATCCATGTCGCTTCTTGTCGCTCTTGTCGCTTTCGTCGCTGCTCTCAATTCTATCCATTCTCCCCGTCCATCCATCCATCTTTATGGCCAAAGACCCCTCCCAGCCTCTTTCTCCTAACCCATCCCGCTCCTCTCTTCCACGGAGCCAGTCTGAGTGCGTTTTCCCACCTTCGTCCTCGTCCCGCCGTCGCCTTTTGTCCTCGCACGATCCCGCCGCTGCTGTCACCACGCTCGCCTCTCACGACCCTTTCCGGGGCCTCTGCTCTGCCTGCTGCCCTCTCCCGGCCTTGCCCGCCCCGACGATTCGCACAGCATCTCATCCCGTCTCGTCTCGTCTAGTCTCGTCTCCAGTTGACTCGACTCGCCCGTCGTGCCCGAACCCGCCCCGTGCTTTCGGCCAGTTGCACCACACAGTACCCCTTCTTCGCGCATTACGCGCAATACGTCCTGCGACCTGTGAACCAACTCAACGGCTTTTCCCACGCGACCTTGCAACCTCTCCTCCCACCACCTCACTTCGATTTTCCCCTTGACCTCTACTTGACGATTCTCGCCACTGCGTCCACCATGGAGACTCACAACCAGCAGCGCCCGCCTCCCAAGACGGCCGGCCTCCCCAACATCCTCAACGACGACCACGGCCCGGCCTCAGGCCCCAATCCTCCTCCGCACTTAAGAGATTCGGGCTTTTACTCCAACGCGGACGCATCCAGTAAGCGTATGCCGCTCATTGACATCAGCGGGTTACGTGTTGGCTAACCTGATCCCCCACAGACACCTCCGCCGCCTCCTTCAACGTGAATGGCCTGAGCCCAAGCGGTTCGGGATATCAATCCTCGTCGCAAGACAAAACTCCGTCGCCCATCGCATCCAACATGGTCCCCCAGGCTCTCGTGTCGCCTTCGACGACAAACATGAGTGTCGCAGCAATTGTATCGCCCACCACGTCAGGCGGCCTCGACCCGCGACGACCAATCTCCATCGAGTCCGGTTCCAACGGTGTCATGCTGGGGGAGACCCTCGCCCCCGGCATGATAGGCCTTCGACGAGAGAGTGTGGATAGTAGGATCAACCAGGGATTCAGCGACATGCGACTCGGAACCTCTCCGTATGCCACCAACAACCAGTCGAGCACATCTATCCAGAACACCCTTCACAACCAGCGCAACCCACGTGCCGGTTTCGACAACCTCTCCATCCACCGAATCTCCAATGGGTACCAACCTAGCAACGATCGCAACCCCGACAACAAGACAACGAAAACTGCGCCTGCCATTACCGGACCCGCCACAGGACATATTGCCCGAGCAGCAGAGCCTACTAAGGGCCAGGCCTGGGCTTTCCCGGAAGAGGATATTCAAAGAGTAGGCGTCCCTCAGTACAACGACTCGAGACGGAGCAGCATTACGGAATCAGTTGCTAGCAGCCAGTTCACAACCGAGTCGCGACTGCCACCTGGTCAGCGAGGATTGGATGATAGCGAGTACTCGCGCATGTCCAACGCATCTGATTTTCCTCCCGTCCATCACCACACTATGCAACACAAGCAACTGAGCGATCTTCAAGCCGAGGAAGGCAATGGACCAAGTGGATCTCAACCCTACAGCCGGACTCCCGAATTGAGGGTTAGCCACAAGTTGGCTGAGCGAAAGAGGAGAACCGAGATGAAGGAATTGTTCGACCAACTACGAGACCTGATGCCCCAGGAGCGCGGTTCCAAGGCATCCAAGTGGGAGATTCTAACCAAGGGTGAGTTTATTTAGTTGCCCCGACGCATGGGTTCATGACTAACACCTCACAGCGATTGCCGAGCATCAAAGACAAACAGATACTATTCGTGCCCTGCAAAACCACTACAACACTGCAGCGGCGGAGAATGAGATGCTCCGTCGTGAGTTGCAGGGACTTCGTATGGAGAGTGCCCAGCTTCGAGGAGAGCTCCACTCAAGCTCGTCGCATCCCCCTCCACCTCCTGCACCGGCGCCGGCTCAACAACAGCAACAGCCACCGCAAGCTCCCTACGCAGCTGATCCCTATGCCAACTCGACCCGGCCCGAGTTGCCACCTATCCGCTCCATCGGCAACAGCATGCCCAATGGTCCTGAGTCTATGACGGGTGTTCAATACGAGACTCCCCGCGCCAACGGATTCCGACAGGACAGATACTGAACCCTGGCTCGACAACTCTAATAGCCATCTCACAATGGCAACTTTTTTTTCTTTGTTACCTACTTTTACGCACGAATGAACGACAAGGGGGAAAAGTTATGATCCTGGAGGCATTTAACGGCCTCGCCATCTAAAAACGAATCCCGTGGCAGGCTTCGTCACAATCATTGTCGCCCTCATCGGCACAAACAGGAGGCATGGGCTCCTTGTTCTATTAGATTTCCTCTTTTCTTTTTCGATTACCCTTCTCTTCTGTTCTCTGGTCGGCATACCCATCGACCATTGTTTCCGTACGGCAAACGGACCGTGGAACTTTCTTGTTGGTGTTGTCAATCTTTGGTCTGATTTTCACATATAAGCTCCTCTGGGGCGGAGGAGGTTCACTGGGAGTTTTTTTGTTGTTGTCCAATTGGAACCTGGAAGCCATTAATTGTGGGGTGGACGAGCCGGGCTACGGAGGAGCACTCCCAGCAGCTCCATATTAAAGTATGAGGAGGCGAAGGGCGAGAGTGTCAGGCGGCGCCTCTGGTCTTGCAAGATGTGTATACCCATTTTCTAAAGGAGGTTAAAGGGGCAGAGACCCCCGAGGAAAGGATGGGTTGGGTTGGACTGGAACCGGATGGGTCAGGACTGGGTCAGGGCAGGGAGGGAGGTTTGAGCGCGACGTAGCTGTCTGGCTTTCGACGGTTATTGATATGCGCAAAACATAGAAGATGATTTGAGAGTTACCAACATTCATTCTGACGAATCCTGCTGTTCACGCATTGATGTATTGGGTGCTGAGTGCTTTGGAGGAGGCATGGGTGACGTGACAAGTTTGTATTTGTCTAGTGAAGAGGAAGCATGAGGAGAAGCCATTCGAGGTCGACACTTTGCATGAGATGAAGTCAAATGTCTAGATAAGATAAACCCTTTTCAACCCCGCCATCTCGGTCCCATTGATCGGCGCAAGAGTCGTCCCGACACGAGATGGGACCGGAAGAGCGGCGGGATGTGGAGCTGCGGAGTTGCGGAGTTGCGGACTTTGCGGAGGTTACTGACGGTCATGGCCGGTGGGAGACGGCGGGCGGCATAACCTTGAGACCGGCTGGACTTATCGGCCGGGGCACTTACATACGTCAGGAGAGACAGAATAAGCAGAATAAGTAGAATAGGCGCAGGCCTCAACTCCGCAGGATCCATCAAAAGCGTCCGAGTGCGTCTGGCTGCGGCGCATATTCCTCTGCCAACCGCCACTCCCCATCCTCCCGCATCTTCTCCCTCCGCCATACTCCGACCACCCGCATCGCCCACTGCTCGGAGATCGTCCCCCTCCCCTCCCCCCCGCAGCCAACGCAGAGGATTAAATACTTCAACTCGTTCGCAATGGACTCGCTGTCGCCGCTGACGCTGCGGAAGATGGATCGCGTCGCGGCTTCTCGCCAGAAAAGCTGCAACACCTGTGTGAGGGGCAAGCGCAAGTGCGACAAGAAGACGCCCCGGTGCACGCGGTGCGCCGCCAAGGGCCTCGACTGCGTCTACCAGAAGCTGCCCCCCGGAGCGAGCTTCCACGACGAGGACATTGGGGCTCCGTCTACGAGCGAGGTGCACGACTTTGACATGGGCTTTGACATTGAAAGCCTGGGCACTTCGACAGACACGACGACGACGACGGCTACGACGTCACCCGAGAGTCTACACAGCAACAACGTGACGTCGATCCAGCTTGACTCCAACCTCGACTTCTCCATCATCGACCAGCTCATGGCCAACGACTCGCCCAACGGCGCGGAGCTGTGGAACCTCGGCGACTTCGGCTCCAACAAGATGGAGATCCCGATGGTGACCGCACACCCGCCGATGGCCATCCGGGACATGACGCTGCTGCAGGGCGCCGACAGCTGCCTCGCCTTCAACCCGCTCGACGTGCACGACCCGCGCACGCGCATCGGCTACATCGTCGACGCCCTCACCAACATGTACCGCGGCTTCGCCCACACGCGCACGCTGCCCTTTGTGCACCCGCGCCTGTACGGCTCCAACCTGCCGCGCACCATGCTGGCCGCCTTCTCGGCCGCCACGGCCTACGCCGGCCGCACGCCCGAGAACAAGGCCTGGGTGTACAAGCTCGTGGCCGAGGCCGCGCGCGAGATCCACCGCGAGGGCGAGCGCGTCGACACCGCCGTCGAGAAGGTCGCCCGCGTGCAGGCCCTCGTCATCCTGGACTCGATCCGCATGTTCGACGGCGACGTGGCGCTCCGGGCCACGTCGGAGCGCGAGATGCCACAGTTCATGGCGTGGCTGATGGAGCTGAAGGCGCTGAAGGACGAGTTGGAGGAGGGCCTGAGCTCGGCCGTGCTGATATCTACAGACCGGCCACCGGCGAGTTGGGAGGTGAGATGAATCCGTGGCGGCTTGAAGGGACTGTTACTGACTTTGTTGTAGAGCTGGGTCCTGCTTGAAAGCACACGCAGGACAGTCATGATGGCATTTTCCTATGTCTGCATCAGCTACATCCTCAAATCTAATGAGCGTACGTACACTGCAGTCGGCTTTCCCCCAAGCTTCCATCACGGGATGCTAATGTTGAACAGCGCCCTGCGAAATCATGGATCCAGACATCTCCTTCACCGTATCGCGCCACCTCTGGGAGGCGCACTCATCGGTAGCGTTCTTCCACGCGTGGCACAACAAGCCGCAGTATTGCGTGTCCGAGATGGACTTCAAGGACGTGTGGATGCGAGCCCGGCCGGATGATGTGGACGACTTTGCGAAGCTCATGTTGACAGCGTAAGTTGAACTTCCAGTGCAGACGGTGTGAAGGGATGGACTTGCTAACTCGCAAATGTAGGCAATCGGGTCCTGATGCTATGGACTATTTTATGTTGGGGAATGTGAATATTAGCATGACGGCATGAACCGATCCATGTTGAGCTTCTGTTTGGATCTTGACGGGAAAAGAGCCGGTTTCTTTCCTTGAATCTTTACTGTATAAAGGCGGCTGGAACAAATTTGGCGCACGTGGGCCTCGGACATATCACACGCACAGTTGGCTACAGTAAGCCACGATTTCTTCTTGCAGGCTTAATAGCCCATAATTCACTGTTGTTTAGCTATTGGTAACGGACCATTAGACTAAGGTCTGGCTATTGGGATCTCGCAAAAGCAGCGCTGATTCTTGCACCTCAATATTCGCACCCTGCTCCCCATGTCCACGCTCACGAAACAGTAGACACCATTGTCCGGCTCCTGAACTGAATCAGCTCAACCTGTCCCGACGCACTGTGATACGTAGCCCTGTATCTCGGAGCACTTCCAGCCCACGCTTCTTCCCTGGCCACCTTTCGGACGACGCCTGCCACGAAGAATAGAAAGACAGCGACCACTCCCACGCAGATTGCGATCCAGAAAGAGGCGCTAGAAGCGGGCTCGGAATCGGATGGCTGGAGGGAATTCGAGATGGCGGTGTGCAGAGGGAGGCAGACGAGCGTTGCTATGAGTGCGATGACCTGGAGGCTATCGGCTAGGAGGGTGTACTCGACGATGTGCTCGACACGAGCGGCCTTGATGTCTGATTGGGTAGCTGGTTGAACAGCCGGTTTGACAGCCGGTTTAACGCTGAAGAGAATTAGCACATGTTGGAGGAGGGAAGTAGTCCGCAGAGTACGTACGGCACCTGCTGGACAGGCTTGGGGGGCGGCCGCGGAATCATGTGCCAATGGGCCATGGTGGAGGGTTGAATTGATGTTGATGTGATTCTTGATAGCCTTGTGCAGGATGGAGATGTTGAAATGGGTATGATGTCGATGGCTCTCTTGTGTGGCGGGAAATCTGCTTAAATGATCTCAAGGCTCCTTCCAGGTCTTCGCATAACCCTAAACCTTAGGGCAGTTCCAACTCGGCTGCGTCATGGGCAACAAGCTTCTTAACACTGACGGTACACCTTGGCGATGCAGGTCGTGCCCTCAACCTGCTCCAAACGGGCAACTATTGATGCCGAGTACATGCCGTCAGTCAAGCCTCAGTCTTTGAGAGGCGCCATGGCAACCGCTCGCCGCTGACTTCCTTCCGTCGCGGGATATGCGCCTCCGACGAGGAGTGGCTTCTCGGCGTCCTCGGACGTCTAACCGTCCTAGATGGGCTGTGAAAGCTCAAGGTTCAGGTCGGCAGTGGCAGAGTGGGCGATGGTAACCAAGTTCACTGGCACAGTGGCGGCCTCTTTGAGGCGCAACTCTGATGGGATCTTGGATGCTAGGTGCGAGGGATTGATGAGGTGAGGTGTTAAAAGCGACATTTGGGCGGCGCCGATTTTAGAGCAGACATTCTGGTCGACTAGAAAGAGAACTTAGGCCTACGTCTAATTTGTTCTCGCCCCATTCATAAGGCGCGTCGTCGATCCTCAAGTTTGTAAGCCTCTGAGCCATGCCGATATTTTAACCCTCCAAAGTGCCGACGAGAAAATGGTTCGTCCCTACGGTGTTAAATGGATATAATAACATAGCAGCCGTCTTATGGATGCCGTGGCCATGGGTAAATGGGCTGATTTAGGTGACAAGTTGAAGATTTGGCTCGAATTGGCATCCCGGGGCCATCACGCATCACGCATACACCTTGCGTAGCAATAAGCCCACGACAAGGCCGCCTCAACCACTGAGAGGACAGAGCGCCGACAAACAGCCCTATGGGGAGAATATTGTGGAGACTTGGACGGATTCCAGATATCCGAGACGAGCGTATAGGATCAGTCTGCATGGTACGGGGGGAGGCACAGGGTCGGGACAGGGCCGGGCCAACGTCGCCTGGCAGGTAACACACGAGGGGCGAATTGAGTTGACAGAGCATGAATCGACACAAAAATTGAATTGTCAAGAACTCATAGGGGTAAATTCCAGATGACCGATGGGCAATATATCCATTGAGCCATCGTCCTGGCCTTATCAATGGCGCGGCGGTGTGGCATCGCAGGCCGAGATCCATCACAGGAACATCCACCATCCATCATCCCAAGCACAAACGCAACAGAAGCGGTATCACATTACAGCACCCAACGCCAAACAGATTGCAGCGCAGATATCCCAGTCCCTCGTCTCCCGGCCCTCTCTCTCTTGTCGCACGGCCTGCAACAGCCTAGATTCGTCGTCGTCGTGCGGCTAGAGGGCTCCGGGGGCCCTGAAACCGGAGCCGGCCGGGCCCATGTCGACGTGATTCTTGGTCGTCTTGCCGTCCTTGGCGTCCTGCTTCGCCGTGGGCGGGCGGCCCAGTTCGTGGACGACGTCGCGCACGCGCTGGCGCATGCCGCGACGGGCAGCCTTGGCCTCGACGGTGGGCGGCGCGTCCTTGTAGGAGCAGGCGGTGGAGCCCGAGAAGGTGGAGGCGGCGTCGGAGCTGATGGAGGGGCGATCCATGGTTGGCGATGCGGTTGGTGATGCGGAGCAGATGGTGACAATGCGGCGACGGAGCGCGCTGGACTCGGATAGTCGTGTGCTGAGCGAGGTTGGATGCAGATGCAGATGTAGATGTAGATAACAGACCCTGATCGACCAGTCCACGCCGGAATGAGGGGTTGACGCCAGCCTTTATACGGATTGCCCTGGTTCAGCCAAGCCAGGTACGTAGATAATGATAGTGTTTTAAGTGCCCCGCGCCAGCCTGCGCGGGCGTTTCTTCACACGGCTGAGACTCGCACACTAACACGATTGATTTGATGCCAATGAAACCACGCAGAGCTCGCACGCAGCCCAAGCCACGAGGCCAGCCCAAGCCGGGGCATCGCATTAGCCGTTCGGGATGGTATCTTGGCAGATCGCATATGTTCGATTCTGTGCGTTTTGCGTTGCGAAATTGAAGAGGCTAATCGTGGCGAGCTGGGATTCTCGACCCTTGTCTATCAGCCCATGTCTGTCTCGTCCCAACCCTTATTTTAATCCCTTATTTTAACCCCTACTCTATCTCCAACCCAGGCATATCCCTCCGTGTGACGATTCATTCCCTGGCTATTCGTACAACGCCAAGACACCTACGAGAATTGTCGTGAACCTTGCGAAGTCAGCTTCAGCTCCCTCCTGCTCCTCCGCCGCCGCCGCCAACACCACCTCCTCTTGCACTCCCTATTACCCATGCACTCCTACTAACCACGAATGCTGTTCTTTGCCTGTCGAGCAATTCCTTATTTTTCTTAATACTGGCCTCGAGATATACCTTATCTTGGCCTTCCATGAGCGGTCGCATCTCTTCCAACCTTTTCAGCTACAACACAACGTCCGCCCACGGATCCAAGCAGCACGTATCGGTCGTTAGATGCTGGACTCTTGCAAAATCATCCCCATCCGTCGGCTGCATTCTTGATGATCTGAGACGCAAAGTTTCTCACCAAGTCTTGGCGAATGTCCCGGCGCCTGGGGGGACCTTAACTGGGCGTAGAGCATGTGTGCCTGCTGGTTGGCTGCTCTGCGGGATGATGCTTTGACAATTAATGTGATGGGGATGAGAATAATTAGGAACACAAAGGAACCAAGACAGCAACAACTGGAATAATAAACGTAGTCATGATGTGCAGCTTAATAAAGCAATAAAGATGAACCAGTGAAGCTTCAAAGGTGGAGAGCAGCATCTTGTCGAATATATGTATTCAAGTGCCACATTCGAATCCTCCCATATTGCAGCCTGCGCCGTACCTAAGCTACGCAAAAAATGCCCGCGTCTACCCAAGGAGGTAATAACTTCCGGGCGCAGCACCGTGTGACAAGCAAGCTAGTCATTTGCGCCCAGAGCACGAGCAAATTCGCCGAAGGCAACGCTCGTTGTCTGGCTGTGATCGGATTTGGGGGCTGAGCAATTGGGGTCCGCAATGTGCCACTCGATTTAGAAAGTCGACCTGGATACGAGCTCCAGGCGAAATGACCTCACACGGATTCTTTTGGCTCCCTATCCAAGTGTCATAATCAATTGAAGTCGAGTGATACAAGGCAGCGCTTAAAGTGGAACACGACGGAGGTACGCGGGCCGAAATACCCTCCAGCCAGGAAAAGCTCACGGATAAATACCGGTGACCGCTTCGATAAAATGGGGATGAGTTGTGTTGGAGGAATTTTCGGTGAGCAATCTGTTTCTAGAATCAAAGGAACAAACACTGAGGTTGCCAGGAGCAGGTAATAACGACACCGTTCAATATACCTTGGACGGGAATACAACATTGATATCTAGCATCTTAAATTAGCAAGGGACGTAATATTTGGTCATTCTTACTCATTGTAGTAAAGTGGTCGCCATGTGAATAAAGCAGTTTAGCCTCGCTCATATGCGTATATCGAAGTAACGTAATGAGTGACACTATGGTCTATCTATAATTCTCAACACCATCGGACCCACTGACACTGTCAGCATAACTTCCCAGTGCTGTTTTCCTTTATTTTAGATGAAAACTGTGACAAGGCAGGGTCTCGGTCTTGCATGTAGACAGCAGAGCAGGTCAACCTGTGGCAGTGAACGAAGGTGCCTCATCGATATCCCTGAAAATCCATCGACGGAGGAAATTCTAGGTTAAATAAATACAGGGCCCCAGCCCTCCGCCATCCCTTATTCGAGCCTCAAACCGAAGGGGGAACTGTGCCGCACTCAGGGTCGGAACGAGGGCATTCAGGGGCGTGTCTCGCAAGTAAATGCTGCAGAATGACTAGTTCGCGCTCTTTCACTCTCCACAGAATCTAGCGATCTCTCTAAAGCTCTATAACCTGGTTCAAAGCGCCGACATCTACTGCTTCAAACTGCCCTCAACTTGCGCAATGACAATTTCTCGCACCTTGGACCATGAGTTCTCAACGTCGGTCACATGTGTCTCTTTCTCGGCAAGCTCAACAAACTCAGCGGGGAGGACGGTGTTGAAATCGAAACCCGCCTCTTTTTCCAAGGCCATGGTGACGGCCGACGCAAACTTGGCCGGGTGAGCGGTCGAGAGCGAGATGTGAGGCAGCTCAGGTCCGGTTCGGCTGATGGATCGCTCCGCGGCGGTGACACCCACTGCCGTGTGGGGGTCCAGAACGTAGCCGATATCCTGGTAGTACTTCTTGATGGTTTCGATGGTCTGGGTATCGGTGACTCGCTCGCTCTCGAAGGTGCGGCGGGCGCTCTCCAGCACGTCAAGGTAGACGGGGCCGAAACCACCTTTGGTCTTCAAGTCGGACAGCCAGACTGTGACCTCTTGGCAGGCCTGTTTCCTGCTCCACTCGTCGTCCATGCCAGCCTTGGAGGCGAATTCGTAAGCGAGGAACCAGAGCAGGCGCTCGAAGTTGCTGGAGACCAGGATGTCCATGGCAGGGCTGAGCGTCTCGCGCGCGCCGTCGTCGCTCGCGCCGTTGGTTTCCGCCGCTCCATCTGTCTCGGGCTTCTTCTCATATCGGCCGGTCTTCCAGAACCGATCCAAGATGTCGTTCTCGTTGGTGGCGATGACAAGCTTCTCGGTGGGGAGGCCCATGCGAGTGGCAAAGTATCCAGCCAGGACGTCGCCAAAGTTGCCGGTGGGGACAACGGCTCTAACCTTGTCGCCGACATTGAATGAGGGCGAGGCTTTCGCCAACGCGAAATAAGAGTGGAAGTAGTAGACGATCTGGGCCAGAATTCTAGCCCAGTTGATGGAGTTCACCTGGAATATTGTCAGCTTCAGCAAAACACGGACATGGCTGGTCCTTCATGACGGAGTACATACAGCTCCGAGCTTTAGCGCCTTGTTGGCCTCGGGGTCGGCGAACAGTGCCTTAACAATGTCTTGGCAATCATCAAAGGTGCCCTCGACCGCCATGTTGTGGACGTTTTCATCCAGGATGGTGGTCATCTGCTTTTCTTGCAGAGGACTAACGCGGCCCTTAGGGTGGAGGATGAACACCGAGACATCCTTCTTGCCCCTGAGACCATAAATGGCTGCTGATCCAGTCTACAGATTGTTAGTGACTCAATTGGAAAGTTCTCGAGCACGGGGGAATTTACATCACCGCTGGTTGCGCCGACGACCGTCAGATGATGCCTGTCTATCAAATTGTCAGACCTTGGATCCTCGAGAGCTGGAACTCAGGTGACTCACCTTTCCCCTCTTTCCCCTCATTCTTGCGAACAAGGAAATACTCGAAGAGATTACCCAGGAATTGCAGGGCGCCTACAAATTTGTTAGTTTCACTGAGATGCGGAATAGTTGACCTCCATGAATAGTACGTACAGTCCTTGAAGGAATAACTCGGGCCGTGGAATAGTTCGAGGAGGTTGAGGTTATCCTTCAGATGTACCAATGGCGTGATAGCATCTGAACGGAAGGTCGAGTAACTTCGGTCGATGATGGCTTTCAAGTCGTCGGCAGGGATCTCATCAGTCGACACGTACAAGCTGATGATCTTGAAGGCCAATTCGGCGTATGACAAGTCTTTCCAACTTTGCTGAGGTGGTTTCCCGCATTAGCCTCATGGAATGGAGGGGAAATAACTTCAAATAGAGCAGTAATTGTGGACCACTGAGCACCTACCCAATCTGCCGCAATTGGAATTTCCTCGGGCAAGAAAAGACCGCCGTCTGCGGCGAGTCCCTTGAGTACAACAGTTTCAAATGAAAGCTGGGAAAGTTTAGTACGTGGTCAGTTGTATTCCATGTTAAGGAAGCATACGCCTTGGTCACCACCTCGGGTGGAGAGGTATGTTTGCGAAGCACTGTGAGTGCGTCCTTCCGGGATGGTCGCCATGATGTGGATAATGTCGGTTCAATGGGTTTAGAAGAATATGAAAGCTGAATAGCGATGACTTGTATATTGGTCCGTCCGCGACTTGGCTGGCATAATTACATGACAGCGGGAAAAGTTTTCATGGAACGTCGGGCCGGTATCGGAACATCATATAGTCCGTGCGGGGGCAAATGCTGTGACTGGCCGGCCGGAGATACCCGATTTGCCTCAGAGTTCAACCGCGTGGCTCATCGAAGACTAAGGAGTTTGTTAGTCAGGGATGTGGAAGACTAATGATATGGTGAGTCAGGGGTTCTCCACTGTCTATCGAATTCGAATCGCGGAGTAATTCATCAATTCTGTCATGGCGAACCAATACGAGACTATTTCCTATGAGGTTGTAATCAGGTGCGATCTCGGATGTGCCAAAAGCTTCCCTCAATGTAGCTCAAAAAGAAAATGCATACCTACCGAGCCAACCAAGGGCATCATATACTCGAGTAGTTCAATTAAGCACGTTTTTAACTTTCAGTTTAGAAAGTACCGAGCGCGGATTGCAATATCAAGGCCGCAATACATGATTACTATAACTCACAGCTCATGTAAGACTGTCCAATCGTCTACGTCATGCTTGAAGATGAGGGGCTCGGCACAATACTTACTTTAATACTACTAAACTTGGAGACGAAACTCTGACACCAAAATCCATTCTCTTTCTAGAGCTGAGCTCCTGTCGCTCTAAGCTGAGTTGATGCTGATATCGGGCTGAGGAACCCTGGGTCGAGGCTGGGGCGGGACGAGCTTGGCCTGAGAGTGTTGGTGGGAAAGGAACATGAGAGATATACCACGATAACTGCCGAGCATTCTGGAGATCTTCACTTTTACTTAGTCAAGTAAATAAACGGAGGGTGCCTGGGGCCAGTAGGTCATATTTGCCTCCAGCAGCCCTTCGCCAAAGCCGCTGCGCGTCTCTCTTCGCCAAGGCTCAGAGGGGCCAGGGCTTGGAAGTCTGCTTGCCTAGAGTCCTAGTGGTCTGTCGGATCGAGGTCTGGAGGTCTGCTTTCCCAGGGGCCTGGAAGTCGGCTGGATTAATCAGTCAGTCGGTCGGTCGGTCAGTCAGGCAGAGGGCTCATAGGTCTGCTTGCCTAGGGGTCTGAAGGTCCTCCCGATTGAGGGCTTGATGATCTGCCGGATCGAGGGCCCGGAGGCGGTGGCTGGGGTTTGCTAGGTCAAGGTCAGGATCCAAGGTCGGCTCATGGAAGAAAACCCCCCTTCCCCCTTGCAGACCGAGGCGCAGGCGTGGCGGCCTTGGCCAACTACATCCGTTTTCTGAAATCTCATTAAAGAAGCAAAGCTAGAAGCTGCTATTCGCTACGTTCCTTGCAACGTTCTTGAGCTTTGCTTAATAATGCAGCACCCCTCCCTCGTCTTTCTGACGAGCGGTGGATTCCTCATCATCAACGGCTGTTTTCAACATCACGAAGTACCTGCGACTTATCCTATCTCCCATATTGTCTAAAATTCTCGGATACCGTTGTCCCAATGACTGCCTCATTTAGTCCCCAGCCTTCTTTTCATCTCTGCCCTGACTTCAGCATCGCCCCACCGCCCAATGGCCAGCTAGAGCTCGGCTCTGTCCTGCGAGGCCTCGATTTTGACAGCGTCTTTACCCCGCTTGATATTGGCGGCACGATCAAAGTTCCCGATTCGCAGTTGAAGCCGCTTGACAAGCCGTCTGAGAAGGCGGGCTTTAGCCGCAGCCTGAAGGAGCTCCGAGGCGTACGAGAGCGAGGAGAGTCTTTCGTCGAGTTTTGACGGATCAACTCCATTAATCCTTGGTACGTATTCGGGTCAGAAAAATCTGGTGGGAAAAGGATGGCGCGAGGAATGATGCTGAAGACATTGTTGGGGCAACGCTCGGTGAATCTAAGGAGAAAGGCGAGAGCGTCTTGGAGTGGCTAAAGTACGTCGACGACGAAGTCGACAGTGGATCTGGACAAGAAATCGTGGATGAGAGCCAGATGGGAGAAGCAGACTCCGTCACTTGGATCTTACCTTGACGGGCTATTGGCAGCTGGCTTGCGTCTGTCCCGAGACCATAGTAGAAGTCGAATTATCATGTAGCAGGGTGCCGGCCCTGGCTCAGTCTCCGACAATCAGTTTGAGTTGAGGAGATTTGGACAATTGAGAATGCTTCCGTAAATATTTGAGTATTGCTACGCGCACACGTTCAAAATGCTAATCGCACACAAGTACGACCTTTTATACCGAAGCTTAGTATAAGACTTAAGGTATCTTATTCTGGAGATTATTTAGTTTCTCCCCTCAAATAAATTAAAAGATGAAATTTAAATAGTAAAATATAGAAGATATATACTTAGAATAAATTTATTTAGTTTTCTTAGGTTTAACTTACTAATTGGTATATCATTAAGACTTCTTAGTGAAATTGGCCTATATACTTAAGTGTGCGAGTAGTATTTTGAGTGTGTGCGCATAGCAATATTCAAATACTTTATTGCAATCCCTCTCGCTACCGCAGACTAGTCTAACAGGTGAATCCTGTGCTAAGAAAACAGGATGTTGATTGTATCCCAGACCCACCGGCTGCCAGACTCATTCCTCTCCCAGCCATCCCCCTAGTGATGCCACGGTGCCATGTAGAACAGCCGATCTCTGCCATTGCTCTTGGGAGTTGACATGATTCTTAGCAGCTTTTCCATCTCTTCAAACCTTTTGAGCTTCTTCTCCGCTCGGGTATTGATTGCCTCCACACGTGCTGCGAGATCCAGGGCTGTGGCGGCAATGCCGGCAGCAATGGGCGTTGCAAGCGACGTGCCGGACTTGACTACCGTCTTGTAACTCGGAAACTTTCTCCCACCCTCAGGTATCAACTCCCTCTCCATCACCTCCAAGCCTATTCCGAGAGTCATGAAGTTGAAGCCGCTGCCTGCGTCCGGGTAGGTGCCGTCACCTGTACCGTTCCCTTCCGAGGCATAAACGCAGAAAACCCATGGCTTATAGCTCGCCGGGAACGCACGTGGATCATTATTGCCGTTGGTGGAGGCAGCCGCAAACATGAGTCGCGGCGATTTCATCGCGGCCTCTCGAATCGCATCTTCAATATCGTCAACGAATTCGTGGTGCTTCTGCAAGGCCAGACGTTCCTCATCCTCGTTTCCATCGTCCCGAGCTTCTGGGGGCCTCAGCCCGAAGGGCATCGCAATGATATCCACGTCCCATGTGTTTGCTGCGTGTTCAATGGCCTATTGTGTCGTAAATGTTAGTATAAGGATCGATAATAGGCCATTTCTGAACTCAATCTCGGTTGCGCCACGCATGTCTTACCTTGGCTATGTTCCCGACCTCGTAAAACCTCAAGGCGTTCTGATTGAACACTTTCCCAACGTAGATATCCGCTTCAGGAGCCGCTTCATGGACGAGGTAGGCGCAGTTTGTCCCATGTAATCCATCGTCGTCGTTCTTTGCATCAGCGCCAACCCAGCTGTGACACCACTCCTCCTTTATGCGGCCCTTTTCCTTCGCGTTTATGATGCCCGGATGTCTGAAGTCAATCCCAGTGTCAAGAACTGCTATACGAATACGCCGTGGCGATTCTACCCCCGACTCTGTGATACGATCGGCGACAAAGCGTGAATATGACTTATGGAATTTCTCGAGACGTTCCCAGAACGCGTCAGCCCTTTGGGTTTTGGGAAGTGTCAGCGAATCCATTGTGATTATAAAAGGGGCGAGGGTTTTGTGAAGACAGACTTACGTCGAGGGCCTATCGGCCTGTTTTGCATCGAATGACACGATGCTGGATTTGCTCGGCTGAGTAGTCGTAGTACCGGCACTGGGCTTGACTAACTTCTCCATGGTTAGGTTGTTGTCAATCTGGACCAGAATGGTATCAAACACCAGCTTCCACGCAATCTCCATCGTCTGGCTTGACGGAGCTTCCTTCACGCGCTGTTGGTACTCCATGTGGAAGTCCAAGCAGCCCAGAGCAGCTCTCAGGAAGGGCAATGTCTCGAGGTCCTCTTCAGGTTCGCAGGTCAGCCTTTTGCTATACTCGTCGATCGTCCTCCGGAAATCCTTCTATGCATCTTGGAAACCTCGTTCTGACACTTGGGGTATCTTCACGCTGTCGAGACGGTCCCCGAGCCCGATTTGCAGCAAAACCTTGGCCAAGTGCGCAAACTGGGGCAGGGGTTTCACGCCGTCTTCGTATTCCCCAACGTTGCTAGAAGGACGCAGTCTAGGAAGAGCAAGACTGGTTGAGCGACTTGAGCGGTCTTCCTTTCTGGAGATGGAAATAAATGGCGAGTTTTGTGTATCCACAGGCTTCAAGAAATAAATGTGTTTTGAATCCCAGGACTCAAAGACGTGATCAGAATCCATGGACAGCATCAACCCGAGAATGAGCTTGATGGCAAGGGCCTTGCGCTGGTCGAAGCTAAGAATAGAGTCCTTTCCGCCGCCGCTGTGCAACAAATCCATGGTCTGTTCCTTTGCGAAGTAGCCTCGCTTGACAAGAGTCCAAAGGCTATCCATGTCACTCGGGGAGCTGTCGCCGCATATCCGAGTTCTCTCTGGTCTTTCAGGGATGTGAATAGGTAATCCATCGTGACCATCTCCCTTTGCAGTCTTCTGAGGCGTAGAATTGGAGATCCATGTCCTTATTGCGGCAACCCTCCAAAACACTGCAGAATTGTCCCTGAGTGCAGACATTGGTGTGTTGACTGTATTCCGACATGTCCCTTGGAATGTCAGTAACTGAAGGCAGCCGAGCTCAGGTGTCTGAGGTTCGAGGCAATGGGATGACATACTGAAGCAAATACATTCTCGCAGGCTGCCAAGAATCTTCTTGCGAGCACATGGTCAAGAGAAGTTGGACAGGTAAGTTCCCTTACTCGTCTGTGGAGTGGCAGTCGGAAACGTCCTCCCATCCTGGCAACTGTAGTCGGACCTCGTGCTTCGTAGACCCGCGGCGATCGCAAAGTCCAAACTGCGAGAATATAGCGTGACAGGCAGCTTTCGTTTGCCGGCGAAACTTCTGGAGCAGCGCGAACGACGCGAAAGACTCATTCGAGGTAGACGATTCAATCGGCGGCTTAGCGAGGTTGTCAAGATACCCTCCAGGGATCTGTAGCTTATCAACAAAACTGTTGAAGGCAGAGAAGCGACGGCTCAAAAGTCCGACTTCTTGAAGCATCCGCTGTCGGGTTTTCCTTTGAGGTCGCTTCTGTTCCCGGCCACTGAAAGAGACGAAGGCACCAGCCGTCGCTGGGTCTTCCGTAATGTTGAAAAGGAACTGCGTTGGCGCAGATCCAGGTATTGGAATAAACTGTAGACTTGTGGTAGAATGCGTTAAAGACTGAAGGTATTCCATCAGACGCGTCAGCCTTGGGTAGCCTCGAGTTTGGTCGCTATCTCCAGGTTCGACGGGGATCAGACCCGGGTTAACCCGCGCTTCGAGAAGAGAACACAGGTCGCTGAGATGAGACAATGCTTCCTTGGCTGATGGAAGAGCTCCATGGCCTCGTGAATCCAAGAGGTCATCGGGAGGAGAGCCCAGATGGGATTCCACGCTTGGATGCGAGCCTGGGCCGGAGCTGTCCCGGCTAGAGTCCTCGTCTGTCACCGATTCCAAGCCTGCCTGAGACACAGCGTCTGTCATTTCCGACCCCAAATGCAACAACATATCCAACCGCAAAGTCGTGAAGGTCCTTCGGATCTGCATGTCGAGGGAGAGGATATCACTGTGAAGCCCTTGCGTTCGCGTGCTGCCACTGTCAACGGCAACACATCCATGCGGGCTGATGTGATGACTGTTTTGGCGCAGCCGATGTATCAACTTCCACTCGACGGCATCATCAATCCTTTTGCTGGAAATGAGATCTTCCAGTAACATGGTCGCTGTCAAGCCCGGCTCACCGAGTCTCGTCCAAGTCCTAGGCTAACCGCTTGCCTGTTGCAAACTCTGACGGGACTCAATCGGTGGGAGATGTGGATGGATCAGTTCGGAAGTGTTGTATTCGAGGGGAAATCAGGCCTGACCTCGATGGGATGGTCGTGGCGATCGGGCTCGAAGCCTCAGGCGTGGAGACGAGGCTGCGATCAGGCTGTGATCAAGTTCGGGGCGAGAAACCGACGAGGCTCGTGACTGTTGGCAAACTCCTGATGGGTGAACGATGTTGGTGGAAGGAAGATCAAGCTTCAAGAGCTCGGATTTCCTGAGCTACATGTCTTTGATCAGCCTGCCCGGGCAGCCTTCCCCAGCTAGCTGAAGTTAAAGCTAGTAGAAGATGCAAGAACGCTATTGGTGGCAGCTTCCAGCGTTACAGGTCCTGATCGGCAACACTGTTCAACTGGACTGGCGGACGCAGGATGTGCATAACATCGACGCTAAGAGCGACCATTCCGTTCCTGTCACCGTTTTCTAGCACAAATTAGCGAATGCTGACTCCTCTTGCATATCTTAACCACTATCCTCACACGCAGCTGCGCTGGCAGCCACACTGACATTGGTAACTTTAGTGTGGCGGAGAGAAGACGTCGAATGCGGATGGGGAAAAGGTGGGGGGGGGTAATGTGATTTTACTGTACGCAAACTTCGTCCGTTTCTTTGTACTGTTTTCCGTTCACCAAACTTTCTTACGCAAAATTCGTGCCTTTCTTTGTACTATTTTCGTCCCCGTGACGGGCCTTATCCCTTTGTTACCCTGCGCTGGTAATATACCGAGTAGATGATCAGCCCCGCCGATGAGCATCAACAGTCACTTTCGCCAAACCATCAGCAAACGGACGAGGCAAGTCGGTCGACGTCGACAACCGTGCAACTTATGGCATTCTACTAAGCTAGAACCTTTGAAGCAATCGTACACTCTCAGCGGCCAGCGATGGCGACCATCGGAAATCATCCAGCGACTCCCGAGACTGAGCCGGTTGACCTGAGCGAGGAGGTCGACGGGCTCATCTCAACCATGGTCTCTCACTGCCAGTCAGACTTCTCCAAGAGTCTCCAGTTTCTGGAGTTAAACGAAGAGGAAACGTATGCAATTATTCTGCGGAAAATGGAGAAAAGATTCGCCGACTGGGCGGCTTATCTCGGTGTCTTCGCTGAAGGAAATGCAAGTCTTGACCATCGCCTGAAACGTCATCCACGATATGCAGACCTTATTCTTTTCGATTTGGATATGCTCAAGATGAACTTAATCCAGAGTAAGGCCGTTGCGAAATCTCATTCAGACTGCAAGCTTACAGAGTGTTAGTACCGGCCGACGTGAGTGATTCAAGTTCATCTTCAGGATCCTCAGATGGATCTTCAGATGGATCCTCAGATGACGAGGTGGACAGGCGAAAGATCGAATTTAAAGGCCTCCTGCGTTCGCTAAACGAGCTTGACCGACTTGCAATTCATGTCCGACTATCTTCTGTCTCCTCTCTTGATGCCCGAGTCATGGCATTCCGAGCAAGGAAGCCTGCAGAGGTCTATTCCTTCGAAGGAAAGGCGATATTCGCGGTCGAGATGCTCTATCCGGAAGCCTCTGAAACCCTCCGCCAACACTTGAGCAAGTCGATGACGCATAGATATGCAAAGTTGTTCTACTGGAAGTCTCACGACAAGAAATTGCGCGCAGACCGGCGTCGCAACTACAATACAAAACGGGGCGATGACTCCTTGCAGGCGCAACGAGAACCGACACCTCCGCTTGCCAAAGAATCATCGCATCAGCAAACATTAAAGGATGGAAATCGGACTCCCCAAAAGCCTGAACCAAGTAGAATCTCCGTTGGTACCTCGTTTCTATCTGGGACCTTTGCATCGGATCCGGGATCCCGACTCACCGCGCCGACTATGGAGGCGAAGATGCCGGTTCGAAGGCAAGTTGGCGCATCAACCGTTCTTGTAAGCGGTGCAAAGTTTCCCAGTCCTCCCGAATTCGAGGATGGAGAGGATCGAAAACCGTGTCCTTTCTGTCGAAAGGTCTTCCTGAAGGTTGACTTCACAGACACTGTGTGGTGGAGGTAAGTTGGTCCTCTGCTAATGACAACCCCCATATCCAGATGCTAAGTGTAGTGTTCCAGATGCCATGTCAACGAAGACTTGCTGCCTTTTGTGTGTGTTTCGAATTCCTGTTCGGAGCGTCCAACCTTTGCCAGCCGATCTGACTGGAGAGCTCACACTGAGGAGGAGCATGGTGTCGTCTGGCGGCAAGGCCCAAGCAGCCCGATTAGCAACGAAACATTGACTCGAGACCCTCAAGAAGCATCGGATTTTCACACACCAACAGATATCTGCCCCCTCTGCTGCCTGCCCCTTGACAAACCTAAACACGCAAAGACTAGCATGCCTCAACACTCGGCGTCGTCCGCGCCGCAGACCTCCAACGAACCACTGGAGACGTTGCCGCTGGAGCCAATAACCGCGTTAGGCAGTAGTAGTAGGAGCAAAAAAACAGTACTGTTCGAAGTTCCGAAGCAAGAGGGCGAGCTAGCAGGAGAGCAAGGAGACCAAGTGGCGACCAACACTCAGGCTGCGAAGGCGACGAAGACTACTAATCCTACGACTAACCCTGTGCCTCACCGCATGGCGAAACCTATGACGAATCTCATGATGATGAATCACATCGCCGATCATCTGCAATTTCTGGCCTTACTTACACCTCGATTGTCAACGGACAAGCTCGATGGGCATGTACATGATTTCTCCAGCTCCCAAGCACTCAGCAGCGACCGGATTTCTGGAAATGGGAGCACTTTGGACGATCAGTTTGGACCCACTGAAGGGAGCGAGGCTCAGGATATGGATGAGCACCTATTCCTGGACAAAACTCCTCATACCGGAACGGGTCTAACGCCGGATCCGGCATCGCCGCACGATGAAGAGATCGACTCGGTGGAGTCAGTGGATTGGGACATCTGTTTGGTCCCGGCGCCATCCATTGCAGAGGAAGATGATAAGATCGAGCACCTGAAAAAGGGGCGTGCAGATCGTGACAGGCTCTTGGAGGCAGCGTTGGACAGTCTTCCAGGCGGCAGTGTCCACAACCTCTCGGCTATGACACTTTTCATTCTCAGAACGATGGAGCCTAGCTTGTGGGCAATGCTCGGACTCGACAGGTTCAAAGGGGTGTTCTCGCGAGAAATAACCAGAGAGAAGATGTGCGAGTTCTTCAACAACGCATTGTCCTTAGTAGACCGCGGAAAAGACGACATTTTGGTCGACTACTGCGCCGAGCAAATCTGGGATCCTCGGCCCTACAAAGACCCGCACCAGCCGACAGAAGATAAAATTGCTTCAAGGCGAACATTGTTTGCTTTGTTAGTTGATTTCGGTCAGCCGTTGGATATTCTGAGGTGTATTAAGGAAGGAATCTCAGACTTGGACATCCCCCTGTGCCCCGAAAGTCTGAGACGATGTTTTCCCGCGTGGACTAGAAGGGATGTCTCAGATTTCACCGTCCTGCAGAATCATATCCTCGGTCGCGACACAATTCTACAGATGGGATATACAAGACCTAGGTGAAAGGTGAAGCACCAAGACAATAGACAATGCCTAGAAATTCTGTTCGAGACTGACCCCCGTGGCGACAAGAAGCGCATCCAAGAGACCAAGGGCGACCTACTCAGGGATTCTTACCGCTGGATCCTCGACAACGACGACTTTTAGCGATGGGGTGACGATCCACAGAGCAAGCTGCTCTGGATCAAAGGCGACCCTGGCAAGGGCAAGACTATGCTGCTATGCGGCATCATCGACGAGCTGAATGAGAAGGAACCCGGCGTTTGCCTGTCCTATTTCTTTTGCCAGGCCACCGAAGCACGACTGAATAACGCGACGGCTGTGCTCCGTGGCCTGATCTATCTTCTCGTCGAACAACTGCCGTCGCTTATCTCGTATGTTCGCAAGAAGCACGACCATAATAATTCTTGGGAAGCCTTGTCTCAGATCCTTACGGCCATGCTCAATGACCCGAGCCTGAATGGTGCTATCCTAATCATCGATGCCCTCGACGAATGCAAAACGAATCGACATCAGCTTCTTGACTTTATAATCCAACCTTCTCCCGTTAAATGGATCGTCTCTAGTCGAAACCTGCCAGACATCGGGGAGATGCTGAAAAGCGTAAAGCAGAAAGTCACGCTGGACCTCGAGCTGAACACAGACTCAATTAACAAGGCTGTTGGCACATATATTGGATACAACGTAGACCAACTGGCACGTACTCACAGATACGACAAGCAAGAAAGAGACACCGTCAACGCCTACTTGACATCCAATGCTGACGGTACCTTTCTCTGGGTAGCCTCGGTCTGCCAGGAGCTCGCACAATCTGGGAGTATCGGGAAGCGGAATCCACTCGCCAGATTGAAAGCATTCCCCCGCGGGCTCAAAACGCTCTATAACCAGATGGTGGATCAGATTGAAGATTTGGAGGATGCAGGCCCATGCAAGGAACTCCTGGCCGTTGCTTCGGTGGTCTACCGACCTATCACCTTGGATGAAGTGAAAATTCTTGCTGAGTCGCTCGCGAACACTGACCGGGACGACTTAGAGAGAATTATCGAGTCATGCGGCTCTTTCTTGACCCTTCAGGGAGGTGTCGTTTACTTTGTTCACCAATCAGCGAGAGATTTCCTGCGTAATCAGGCATCCGATCGAATTCTACCTTCTGGCATTGCACACCAGCATGATGCTCTTTTATCGAGGTCGCTGAAGGCTCTGCTAGCGGTGCTACGAAATGACATCTACGGCCTAAACAATCCGGGGGTTTTCCTCGATCATTCCTCGTCGCCCATTCTCGGCCCATTAGCCGCGATCCGATACTCTTGCGTCCACTGGGTCGACCATCTCGTCCACTCGCATCCCACAAAGAGGACAAATAACAACAGGCTACATAACGGTGGCATCGTCGATAATTTCATCCGACAGAAATACCTGCATTGGCTGGAATCTCTCAGTCTATTACGCAGTATGCAGGAGGGAGTCATAGCAGTCCATAAGCTTGAGGCCTTAGTAGTGAGTTGCTATAATTATATTTACTGTCGAGGCGGTCTGACAATTTCACAGAGAAACACAGAAGAACGACAGCTGGCAGGACTGCTGCAGGATGCCCGACGCTTTCTTCTTTCCTTCCAACCGGCAATAGAGATTGCTCCATTGCAGGTCTATGCATCGGCACTAGTATTTAGTCCCGAACATAGTCCCATCAGAGAGCTTTTCCAGGAGGAAGCGCCGGGCTGGGTGATATCGAAACCAACCCTGGATGCGAATTGGAACCCTTGCCTGCAGACACTCGAATACCATAGCAAGGCAGTGGCGTCAGTTGCGTTCTCAGCAGATGGCCAGTGGATTGCATCGGGGTCGGCTGATTGTACAGTCAAGATCTGGGATGCGGTGACGGGTGAATGCAAGCAAACATTGAAGGGCCATACCTACGGGGTAATGCCAGTTGTGTTCTCAGCAGATGGCCAGCGGATCGCATGGCGGCCAGGTAATAATCGTATGGCCGAGATCTGGGATGTGGCGACGGGGAAAAGCACTTCAGGGGATATTACTGACCTTGATGACGGCATGAGCAGTTGCGGAACAAGCGATTATGGTATAAGTGGTGATGGCAGATGGATTACGAAAGATGGAAGGAGTATTCTATGGCTACCTCCGGAGTATAAAGCGACGGTATTGACTGCGGCGGGATCAGCAGTCGCTATCGGCTGCTATTCAGGTCTTGTATTGGTAATTCAGTTCGTTTAGAGTGTAGGTAGGTACAACTGGTTCTTTGATAACAAGACGGCTTCCGTTTGCTGGTTGTTCAGGAGGCCTATTCGGGTCGAGGGCGGGAGATTAGTTTCTTCAACAAGGCCGCGTCCGCAAGGAGTCCGGTGTTGCCACTGGAAGACTGCCTCTGAAAGGAAAGATGATGTTCACAATGCGCGATCTTGTCTACCTGACGGCCTAATTGCCCTTTTACCATATTTATATTCTGCATACTGCTAAATCGAGGTTTATCATTTCCTTGGTCCGTCTTTCAATTATGGCTGGTACCAAGGACGAAGATGAAGCTACCCCAGTCTAGATCATTATCTTGATCATGCGATCAACTCGAATGGCCAAGCATACGGACGGTCCTAGATGGGCTCCTTCTTCAGTCTCGGTCATTCAAGAGTCGTCATGTTCTGTCGCGCAAAGCCGAGTGGCGGTATGCTTCAATAGAATGGAATGCAAAGCCGTTGTCAAACCTAATTCTGAAACCAACTCCCCGTGATAATCCCGATTGAGAGAACTCGGCTGGCACACAAAGACCTTTCCCGATCTGCCTCTTTTAAGTTTCTCCTTTGGGATGGCGTGCCAAGTCGATTCCCAAAAGAAGAAGACTAACGCCTCCAACTCCTAAAACCGCCACTTTTGTTAGCAACGGTTCTGACAATATGGTTCAAGTCAAGCGCCACGGTCCCCACTCACCACAACGGACAAGCCGGAAGTAGAACTTTGATTCCACTTATAGCATACAATAGTCACGAAGTGAGAGAAGGAGGCCGTTATACCGACCAACTTCAGACCGTTGCGGAGGTGTAAGCTGCAGCCTCCTTCGAAAAGCCCCAAAATGTTGCTTCTCTAACGGGTACGCCGCCTGCATAAACTTTTGAGCAAATGTCCTACATGATCGAGTTGAATCCAGTAATCTTGGGAACTCAGACATACCAAGGCCAAAAATGAGCAGAAAACAAAAGGACAACCTAAATGGCTTGCTTTTGAAAGGGCATGCTGTGCACTCGTCTGGATTAATGCCCGTGCTGATTCCAGGTGTGCCACACGATCCTAGCAACTTGGGACACAATGTGGAAGCCACTGAGCGAAAGCGGCACACAATAGAGTGGGTTCACAGAATGGAGTATTACGTCCAGATGATAGCAGAAGGCCGTATCGAGGTATCAAGAGGCGTTACACACCAAGCTGGCTGCCTCTTAAAACGGCTAGCTGATCGAAAGCTGTGCTGAGCCTCACACACCACGGCACAATGGGCTGGTGCTTGGCAAAATAGGGTATTCATCGGGGATACCGTGGTGGTGTGTACGATCCATCTCCTCCTTCAGGAGCCGCGACTCGCCCATTTTGTACATAAGGCCTTGTTGTCTCCCCGATTTCTCAATTATTTAATAATATAGGAGACTCCGTTAACCTCACAAGTCTCGTTCACATTGGGGAAAGCCTTACCTTTCCCTGTTGTTTTCCTCTCCGATCAAACCGATCTCTCAAGACTTAAAAGGCTTGCATGATGCGTCTCAAATGTCTCACCACTGCCGCCCTTCTCGCCATTAGCTCAGCCATTACGTTCCCCGGCTCTCGTGCTAATGAGTTTGGCATCGAGGCTAGGGATAGAGGTGAAAATCCGGTCAGTCACCTCGTCAGACGCAATGGCAACAACGGCAACAACCGAGGCAACAACGGCAACTACTATAACAACAACAACTGCGGTAACCATGCTTCTCCGGATTCCAGACGTGGCTGTGTTTGCGATACAAGCGGCGCAACCTACGAACGCAACAGCCAGACGTGCAACTGTCCTCCGGGCCAGAAAAAACACCGCAATAAGTGCGTCCCCGACTGCGGCAACGACGCAGACTACAAGCATGGCGACTGTGTGTGCAAGAACAAAGGCCAAACATATGATGATGCCCAGATGACCTGCAGTTGTCCGGAGGATCAAAAGTGGGATGGATATTGTTGCGTCAACAAATGTCCCGAGGATGCAAACTGGCCAGAGGAGGGTGATACCTGCACCTGCAAGAGTGAGACCAAGACTTATGATGGAGAGGCCTGCGAATGCCCCAAGGAAAAGAAGTGGAGCAGATCCCAGTCTCGATGCATCAATAAATGCCCTGATGATGCAACATACAAGGAAGATGGCGATACCTGCACCTGCACGATCCCGACGAAGGTATACGATGATGAGTCAAATACCTGCCAGTGTTCCGAGGAGCAAAATTGGGATGAATCACAGTCTGCATGTGCTGACAAATGTCCTGATAACGCTGTGTGGGTTGAGGACGGCGATACATGCGAATGCAACAACCCGGACTTCGTCTATGATCAGGGATCTTGTGGATGTCCTTCGGATCAAAAGCTGGACGGCTCGAACTGTGTCAACAAGTGCCCTGATAACGCCAAATGGAATGAAGACGACCAAACCTGCGACTGCAACAACCCCAAATTGGTCTATGATCAGGGATCTTGTAGATGTCCTTCGGGTCAAAAGCTGAAGGGTTCTAGATGCGTCAATAAGTGCCCTGACAACGCGGTGTGGAATGAAGACAGCCAAACCTGCGAATGCAAAAACCCCGCCTTTATCTACGATCAACACTCCTGCAGATGTCCCAAGGACCAAAAGTTGAAGGGGTCTAGTTGCGTCAACAGGTGTCCTGATGACGCGGTATGGAATGAAGACGACGAAGTCTGCAACTGCAAGAACCCCGGCTTTGTCTATAGTAGAGGCTCCTGCAAATGCCCCTCGGATCAACAGCTAGACGGCTCAAGCTGTGTCAACAGATGCCCCGACGACGCTGTTTGGAATGAGGATGATAACGACTGCGACTGCAAAAACCCCGACTTTGTCTACAAGAAAGGCTCATGCGGATGTCCTCCCGATCAAACGCTCAAGGGCTCCAGTTGTGTCAACAAGTGCCCCGATGACGCGGAGTGGAACGAAGATAGCGACGACTGCGATTGCGACAACCCCAACTTCGTCTTTTCTCAAGGCTCCTGCGGATGCCCTCCGAATCAAAAGCGAAAGGGTTCTAAATGCGTCAACAAGTGCCCCGACAACTCGCACTGGATTGAAGACGGCGACACTTGTGGATGTAACAACTCCGATTTTGTCTACAACCAAGGTTCTTGTCGTTGCCCTAAGGGAAAAAAGTTATACGGCTCGGGCTGTAAAGACAAGTGTCCGAGTGGCGCAACCTGGGTTGAAGCTACCGATAGCTGCAAATGCAACAACCCTCTCTTCGTCTATAAAAAGGGCTCCTGTGATTGCCCTGAAGGTCAGAAATGGGACGGCTCTGTATGCAAGAACAAGTGCCCTAGCAATTCAGACTGGAAGGCAGATAAGCCGACCTGCATCTGCCGGAAGAGCGGGCAGAAGTATAATTTGGTGAAGAACGTCTGTGAATGCCCCGAAGGTCAGGAATGGGGTGACTACGGCTGCAAGAACAAGTGCTCCGACGTTGCAATCTGGAAGACCGATAAGCAGGCCTGCATCTGCAAGAAGAATGGGCAGGGGTATGATTCGAAGAAAAAGACGTGCAGCTGCCCCAACGGTCAACTCTGGGATGAGAAAGAGTGCATCACTGATTGCGGGGATCAAGCATACTGGAACAAGAAACAGTGCCTTTGCAAAAAGAGTGACCAAAAGTATGACTTGAAGAAGAAGACTTGCAGCTGCCCCAACGGCCAAAACTGGAATGGCAAGAAGTGTGTTTCCAATTGCGGAGGTCAAGCGTACTGGAACAACAACCAGTGTCCCTGTCCAAAGAGCGGCCAGGTGTATGACTTGAAGCAAAAGACTTGCAGCTGTCCAAGTGGTCAGAATTGGGACGGCAAGAAGTGTGTCTCAAACTGTGGAGATCAAGCATACTGGAGCAAGAACCAGTGTCATTGCAAAAAAGGCGGCCAGGTGTATGACTTGAAGCAAAAGACATGCAGTTGTCCCAGTGGTCAGAATTGGGATGGCAATAAGTGTGTCTCCAGCTGTGGAGCTCAAGCATACTGGAATAAAAACCAGTGTCTTTGCAAAAAGAACGGTCAGGTATTCGACTTGAAGAAAAAGACTTGCAGTTGCCCCGATGGCGAGAATTGGAATGGGAAAAAGTGCGTCGCCAACTGCGGGGACCAAGCCTCCTGGAATAAGAACCAATGCCTCTGCAAGAAGAACGGCCAGGTCTATGAGTCGAAGACGAAGACGTGCAGTTGCCTCGGCGGACAGAAATGGGACGGAAAGCAATGTGTTACAGACTGTGGTACCCAAGCTGTCTGGGACAGGAAGTACAAGAGCTGTGTGTGCAAGCGCAGTGGTCAGATCTTTGACGGAACGGCAAAGACTTGTGCTTGTCCCAAGGGTCAGGAATGGAATGGGAAGAAGTGCTCTACTATTTGTGGAGCTCAAGCAATCTGGAATGGGAAGAATAAGTCTTGTGTGTGCAAGAAGAGCGGCCAGATCTTCGACGGAAAGGTGAAGACTTGTGCCTGTCCCAGAGGTCAAAAGTGGGATGGAAAGAAGTGCATTACCGACTGCGGAACTTACGCAACCTGGGATGGGAAGTACAAGACCTGCGTTTGCAATCGCAGTGGTCAGATCTTTGACAAAAAGGTGAAGATTTGTGCTTGTCCCAAAGGCCAGAAGTGGAATGGAAAGAAGTGCTTCACCGACTGTGGGCCGCACGCTACCTGGGACGGGAGGAACAAATCATGCGTGTGCAAGAAGATCGGGCAGATTTTTGATCGGGGATCAAGGACTTGCGCCTGTCCCAAGGGCCAGAAATTGACTGCGTATGGATGCCAGCACGACTGTGGCAATGATGCTTCCTGGAACGAAGAACGCAAGGCTTGCGTGTGCAAGAAGAAGACCATGCAGTACAACAAAGACACCAAACGGTGCAAATGCACGGGCGGCATGATTTACAAAGATAAGTGCACTTGTCCGAAGGGACAGACGTTTGACAAGTCTACGCAGAAGTGCCAGCGTAGCCGCTATTACATTCCCTACTAGTGTGCTATACGAAATTTGTTAGTTACTGTTGTTACGAGACTTAATATTGACATTTTCTTTTCATATAATTGGCTTTGTGAACTTTAAAAGTGCCAGAAGCCTGCACTTCTGCGCTGCAATAATGAACGGGTATCATAACAAAATGCGCTATCAGAGTGATGTAGTTCGTTTATCATCAGCAATTAATGATGTGATTTCACGCGCTCAAGTGGCACAGTATAATATGGAGGAGCTATTCAATCCAGAGCAAAGATTTTCTCATGCAGTCATAACTCTTCGCTTCCCAAGATGCCGCCGCGCCTACGGCGGCACCTTAGACCAACTACGCTAAAGTGCAAAAATAAAACTCCAGATATTAGAGATCGCAAAATCGCAAAATTACAGCCCTAGAATTATAGAGCCTAGCCCCTATATTTATAGAGCTCTACCCACTACAGCCCCCTATAGCTTACAGTCTTTCCAGTAGGCTATAGCAGCTATAATTCTTAAGATGTATTCTTGCCAGCTAGCCCTCTAGATAATAGAAAATTACTACTGCTACAGCAGGCTGTATAGAGAAAAGCTGCAGCTATTCTTACTTACTATAATAGGTATTATTATAGCAGCTGCTATTATAGCAAGCAGCTAGTATCTTAATAGGTAGGTAGGGATATTAATTATAAAGCTGAAAATTACAGTTTTATAAAACTGTATCTTTAATTTTATACTGCAGCTGCTGAAATATTACCTCTTACAGCAGGCAACAGTAAGTGTAGCTTTCTTCTGTATATTCTGCTATAGCAGTAGTAATTTTCTATTATCTAAAAGGCTAGTTAGTAAGAGTACAGGGTGCAGTTACTACAGCCCACTGGAAAAATAATAGACTATAGGGGGATATAGTGGGTAGAGCCCTATAAATATAGAGGCTACGCTCTATAATTATAGGGCTATATTTTTGTGATTTCTAATTTCCAATTTCTAGATTTCAGTTATTGCACTTTAGCACAGTTAGTCTAAGATGCCACCGTACTCTATTTCCGTTTCATCCCACCTATACCACGATTAATTAATGTCTCAAATCCCACTTGTTTAGTGTGGGAGCCGATGGGAGGATATAACGGGCGTTCTTTTTCCTATTCCGGCAATCGGCTCCTCGGTCTGATTCGTAGAAGCAAATGATGTGATAGGCAAATGTTTAGCTGATACCAGGACGTTTGCCGTATCTAAGATCCCGCTACTGCGCCCACGTGATCGGAAGAGAGAAATCGGTGCCGGATTTGCGGGCGCGTGATGGCTGAGCTGGCGCCGGCACGGCAGATAACGAATCTTTAATGCTACTTCTTCGGTGGTGGGCGAATCATGATTTAGGTTGACATTTTTTATCGCAGTCAATGTGGGGTTTCCCAGTCGCCACCACAACGACAGTATAACGCTTCAGCCCAACATCACGCAACTAAGCAAGCACTCTTTATTATTTGCGGGGGCGGATAATCTAATGGGAGCGCCAACCCCCAGTCCATCTTCCAGAATATCAAAAGAAGCGATGGACTCGCCGCTTAGTTCATTCAATTATTGGAGCTGGCTGGGCTCCTTTCGATCGTAGCGTGGTATGCGCACTTACAGCCACAATATCCGTGGGTCTATCGCCCGGACTCAACCACAGTGGTTCTACCGAGATCGGACCATCAGTTTTTGCTTTTTATTTGGATGTGCAAGGCTCGTCCGGCTTATCAATCCATTGTCGCTCGTAACGTTGTGTTGATCAAATGCACATGCCCCACGCTGACACAGATTCAAGATAAGAGGGGGCGTGGCTATCTACGTAAGTGTAAGATCGAAGCAACTACAGAACAGAGGATCATAAGCCTCATGCATCATCGTCTCTGGTGTCTCTGATCTCCCCCCACTTAAAAGGTTTTGCGGACAACTTCCGAACCTCCGCCCAGATTAACAGGTCGGTCGGCGAGCCCAGCCTCAGAGGTATCAATCATTAGACGCTCCCATTGCAAGTCAAGTCCCTCATGTTTGACCGTTTTAAAAAAAATAAACTCTCAGCCGAGATATAGAACTGGAGTTACAATATTTATCGCGTAGCTCCGGAAGAACGACTCAACGCTCCAAGGGGCGAAGGAGGTGTAGCCGTGACAGAGACAGACAACACTCGTGCAGATAGCGCCAATTCAGACACAGTAGTGTTGAAACCAACCAATGTACGGGAAATATTCCCAGTCGAACCCTTGTACCTAGCATGCGCGTGGAATTGTTACTTGCCTTGCGTGTAGAGTAAAGTCTTTGGAGTGCCGCATGCCGAAGATTTCGCCGCATTTGGAATTGGGCTGGTAGAGACTAGCTGGGGCAGCCTCACTATATTTGGCCGAGGATGGTTATCGAAAATACAGAGAGAAAATTTAAAACGTCCCTCTGGCCAAACGAAAATGGATAACAGAACTGATATCGACCGTGTCCCGAACGACGCAACAGCGCTTAGGAGATAGATCTGCAGAGCATCTAGGTATGCCCTTCGTATTTGCGGGGCGATAGCAAGGCCTAATCTGAAACCCTCGGACACAGAACTACCGACCATGTTTCTAGAAGGTGGTTTCGGCAGTCACCTGTGCGCTCCGGCTCCTCCTCAGATCTAAATGCGGACACGGTGCTCCCGGAGTCGGAGCCGACTCCGGCTCTAGCATCACATCGATACCCCGGACTGCTCCATCTACCCCGCACGAACGGGTCAGCCCGTTGCGCTAAAGCGAGCGGACTATCCCTTTGAGTGCGGTAAGGCAACACTTAGGTCACTAGCAGGGGGGTCCAGCCAACCAGAGTATAGCAAATTAAAGGTACATAGATCCCCACCTATTTTATATGGTGATAGAAGTCCCAGCAATTCCCCCCTCTACATAACGCTACATTACACTGCTGACAGCGATATCGCGATTTCTTTAGTCTCTGACCTCTGTTGCCGTTGACTGCCCGTAACGGCTGCGGCCGACCCTCTCCAAGCCGTATTCCTTTACAAGCTTGACATGCCGAGGGATTCTTATTCCGGACCCAATTGTGCTGTATAACAGGCGTAAATTCGTCTCCAGTCCGAAATCTCTGTCGGGCCTGACTGTCAGACTGATACTTTGCGATAAGGTCATTAACAATACGTTGGCGCCAATTGCCCTGTGATATCTCCGGCTTCCACTGTGGCTGCCCTCGCTGCTGTAAAATATAGCTGTTAATAAGGGCTATTTCTAGCAGGAAGTCCCAAGCTAGAGCCCTCCAGCCGCCCCTACGGGCACGCCGGGTAGGGCTCCAATATGACCGCATTTGGTCACCGCGATCTACAGCACCCATCTCGTCATTGTAAACAGCAGCGATGGATGGGATAGAAATCAGCTTGACAGCCTCGTCACCAAAAAATCGCTGTATTGGCCGTGCTTGCATTTGGTCTGTTGTCGGTCTCTTCCTTATGCGTTCGAGTCTCTCAGTGCCCTTGAACACAGTGGACAGGAATAGCACGAGGGCGTTATCTTTCCATGCGATCTGATTGACCTAGCCGAAGACAAATTAGTAGGGAAAATCAATACAATCCTGTCTCTCTGACTGACTTGGTTATCTGCTGTCGGGATAGCTTTGATATCATTGAATTGAAGGCTGCCGGCAGCTGTGTTATCTGCAGCTTTGAGCTTGACAAGAGGCTTGTAGATGCCACAGTTCCTGCGGGCTGTGCCTGTGGCACCGTGGCCGCATTGTCGGAGCCGGCGAAAGAGGTCACAGGAAGAGAATAGGTTATCGAGAAATACATGGTATCTGGCTTCCGGCAGCAGATTTACTAGGGCAACAACCACAGCTTGGGTCGGGTTCAGATGGATTGTCTTCCTCTCTTGTCGCTGCTGCCGGGTCCGCCGCAGCTGTGACGGCAGGCGCCGGTAGCTCAGCCGGATACCAACAGGCCCGTATTTCCGGCCGGGCCGGTGCCAAATCCACCGCAGGAAATAGCCTTGTTGGGCTACAGCCCACACTTTGAAGCCTGTGGGGATAGGTTTATTAGGGACTGTTGTTGTCTCAATAGATCGTCCGAGAAAGCGGACCATACACTCATCTACAGCAATAGATGTGCCCGGAATATAGAATAACGTAGACGTATGTTGTATATGGTCAGACCAAGCCTTAATCCGGATAAAGGTGCGGCCGTAGAAGCTTGTGTTAGGATCCTTATCGATGGTTGTAAAGTTAAAGATCTGAAGATATCGAGATAGCAGCTGGAATCGGTCATAAGGCATCCATTTAATTACTGGATGAATAGGGCGTAGATCCTTAGATCCAGAAGTCTTCCAATACAGCTTGATCTGCGGCTCGATATGTATTCTCATATATATCAAGATCGCAAGCCATATGTAGATTTCGGCAACAGAGGTCGGCTTCCAATCCAGCAGCCGAGACCGCGGCTTCAATCTGCAGCTGCCATCTTCATGCTGCTCAAGCCGGTGACTGACCCAGCTGTTGGTGTATTGGGCCCAGCCTTCTACTAGGGAAACAGGCAGGAATTGCTGGAATAGTGACAGCGGCTCCGGGGGTAGGGTTGTTATCTCAGGGACCCGGCTTGGAATGACCATCGGATCGAAGTTGTAACCGCGATCCGGAACCGGATCATATATCGGCCGGCAGGTGTTATCAGTCGGCTGCTCGCGACGGCTGTTATCAGTGCCAATGAAGCTATTGTCATCATACGCATTGACTGCCTGGCTGGAGAGCTGTTGGGAATCCATAAGTGCACACAGAATGAGTTGTACGGTGAATTGGGCGGGGTTGATTCTAGCGGTGCTTTAGGTCACTCTAGGTACCTCGGCTGTGGCAGGGGTGTGGTGGGTCCCGTGACCTAAGTGTTGCCTTACCGCACTCAAAGGGATCCCTGTCAAAGTCCCTGCTTCTTGCAACTCGAAGCCGCTTCCCAGTATAGGCAGGTTATCCCGGACTAGGGGTCTCGAACCTCGTCGGCCCCGTGACTGGTATATAGGTAACGCCCACGTGGGGGGTCTGAGCCCCCTGAGCAGACCGGTATAGAGACCCTGGATTTGCCTTAGCGTTGCATGGAGAGTCACTGAACGCTTCTTTAGTGCGCTGAGAAGCCCAATCACCTTGCGTGTTCTTACGGCTAAGGCGTTCGCTTGCTCGTCCATATCATATTTGCGGAGTTGTTTTATATCCGTGAGTTGCTGCAAGTCCGTTCCGCACGCATTCACCTGCCCGAGACTCCTCACTTTAGCGAAGGCTGCCAAACCCCATCGATGTCACTGCAAAATTCTCTCTTGCCCTAGCTCGTCTTGCTCACTGATGAATTGGTGCCGTCAATGCCGATGGAGTTGCCCTTTTCGCTGAGAAACTCCCATATGGGAAAAGCCCGTTGCGCCATCACTGTCAGACTCTCAGGTCATTTGTCATTTTGCGGCGTTAAACTTTCGACACAGATACCGGTATTGCAAGGCTAGTTGCGGGCTGGACACGATACCAATCCTACGATGACTAGTCGACTGGAGGTCCCTCGTTGGTCACACCACGGGTTCACAGCAGTAAGCTAGGCACGGCGAGATTGAAGGCATCGAGAGCAATCTCCAATAAATTATCTATTAACAAAGACACTCTATATTGAAGAACCAGCACTTTTGGAAAAAGCATGTGCGCGCTTGTCGCTAAAATGAATCAAACATGGGGTTCCCAAAATTTTCGTCCTCCCACCATCCCATACCCCTAGATTCGTCAATCGTAGGCTGAGAGTTGTCAAATCCCCCCATGTCCTCAATGTTGAGCAGTTGTGAGGAGTCCGCGTACAGCCACGGAGTAGTCGTGAAGGCGAGACTGTCGACCTGCTCAACGGACGGTTCGTCGAGGACAGTGTTTCGCGATTCGCGCGATGAAGAAGGAGGGGGCTTGCATGATAACGTCGGCGCTTGTTGCCCGCCATCCGCGGTGTTGATGGTGATCTCTGGTGATGTTGCGACGATGATCTCAAGCGTCGAGCTTTCGCCCAAGTCTGCTTGGGCGATTATGGGGGCGAGCGAGGCGTCTAGCAAGCCCGCTGTTGGAATTTCTTGCGTGTCGGTTGTGGAGTTGAATTGGAGGATGTCCCACATCAAGGGCACACTGAGGTAAATTCTAGATGGCATCCAGTCTTCCACATCCATGCTCTCGGAGCCAGCGGCAATTCGTGTCATCTTGTCTAGATTTCGGTCCTAGATACTGTCAGCTCGAACCTTTCAACGACTACTTTGGAAAACATACCAGTTCTCGGCAGGCTTCGGAAGAGGGAATGAAGCTCTTCAAAAACCTCCTGCATTTCGCAAAGTCCGTATTGGACTTGTGTTTGAGCTTGGTAGCCGCGGCACAGCAGTAATACAGATGCACAGTGGCCGCGATCGCAGCTACGTGCCCGAAAAACGGATCCACCAGCGGAACCTGCTTGTCCACAACCATGTCTATCATGCGAACGATCCAGGTGGAGTGCAGTAGGGCGAGCTCGGACGATCTCCTCCAAAACGTGTTCGGGATGGCTAGATTTGGATTGTGCTGCGCCCCCACAATGTAGAGGAACGGGTGATTCAAAACGGTGTGAATTGAATGGTACGTGAACTGCTCCTTCAGCCACGGCGCGAAGTAATCTCGGTTCATCCTCACCTCCTCCACCTTGCGTTCGTAGAATTTAACCGAGTCATATCGATGACACATGGGAATTCTGTTCTCAGTCTCCATGAAGTCGGAAAGGACCTTGGCGTACATGGAATCGTACCTCCAAGGTTCCTCCAGTTTGTTGCGGGAACAGTCGGACACGTATTTTCGTACCTGACTCCAGACCCATCCTAGATGGACGCTCGTGTTCCAGACTCCCGTGTCGCTTGGTGATGAGCATCCAAGTTTGTCTCTGGGCAAAGGGGGCCCGTTTGGGCTGACTTCAGAATAAGATGGTCGCCATATGTCGGTTGGGACGCTCAAGAGTCCTGTTTGTCGACCGTACGATTGCTCGAGTATCTGGAGACTCCAGAAAAGTCGCTTCTTCCGCTCCGTAATTGGGCCATCGATAGCATAAACGGATGTAAGATCCAACATGGCAGATCGGCAGAGTTGAAAGGCGAGGCCGAGATTAAATTGGCCGAGGTGAACATTTCCGTCTGTACTCGTGTTAGCTCGAGGGTTACTGCACGTCCCAGCCAGCTTTATCATACCCATAAAGGCAGAGTACGCAAGTAGACACAGGCTTTCGATGGTTGGCAGATCTACGGTCCCGTTTGCGATGCGAAGCATGATTAGACTCTTTGCAATATTTCCATGTAGCTGCGCCTGGTCCCGAGTCTCGGAGAATCGCGAAGTCAGTGCCAGAATACTGCAGGCAAGCTCTTCGGAAATGGAGCCATAGTCGCTGACTTCTTCGCGCTCGAAGCACCAAATCGGTTGCCTGTGGCAATACTTAAAGTAGAGGCCGATGCCAATGGCGATGTCGGATGGGCTAGGCCGTAGATTTGAGCTCTCGGAGTCAAACGTGGCTGTTGAGGGATGGCTGACGGGGTAGTTTTGCTCGAGAGCCGGAGGAGATGCTGAGTAGGACTTTTCTGAAGTGTCGGCGACTTCCTCGATTACTTGTTCATGACGTATGGAGCGCTTTGTCCTAAGGACTTGGTCAGAACGTTTGATCGCCGCATTCGTCGCAGTCGCATGTACAAGCTCCCACTCAAGATGAGTTCCAGTTTCTCTTCCAAATGCGCCAGCCGCTCGTCCTATGGATTGTCAAAACGGTCCGGTCTTTGGAGGCGATGGCGGAGGAACGTACCGATCGGCCGCCTTGTGACGGTCGTCTCGCGGGCGGATAGGAGCACGGCTGCTTAAGGCGGACGCAGCTCGAGCAAGCGGGCTTCTCGCCTGGGCAGCGTGTCTTTTTCCTCCTGCACGACGGTTAGCACGCGATGGAAAAAAAAAAAGAAAAACGGGCGTCAACGCGACAGACTTGCAAGTGAGACAGGCGTGGTGCAGTCGCCGCCTCCCACGAGAGCTGGTCATACCCTCCTCTGACGGCATCATGATGGATCCTAACCGGAAGTCCAAGAGGACCGGCGGACCAAAACGTCTACAGGGGACTCTCCTCCACTAAATAGTGAACCCCTCCCGTAAATCAAGGCTGCATTACTCCATGTCAACGACGATTGGCCGTCTGCTATCTCACGCGGGGTCGGTAACTCAAACTGCATGTAGCTAGCCCATGTATCTGCGGATGTGGGTGCGGGGTGCGAATAGCATGCAAAAGGGGTATATTTTCCAGTTTTCCTGCGCCGATTCGACCAAAGGGGCAAAGTGTGACGGGCATGCGATAGCAGATCGGCAGCCGGCTGACAAAAGACGAGAATGAATGGGTCAACCCGTCATGGCTGATAGATAAAGAGAAGGGCTGCCTGACAAAGGATGGAGACAACTCCCTGGTAACTTGGTGGGGAAAGAGAAATCTACAGACAAGTTCGATTTGCAGGAAACCTCACGATGGCCGGCCACACACACCGAATGAGTGGCGCATCTGTTGACCAGGCCCTAGCTCGGCGATATCTCACCCCGCATAATGTTAAATTCTCCCGGTGTCGGCCAGATGTCTGCCACGGCATCGGCCATGTGACGTCGAAACCCAGGCTTGATCGATTCTGGGTATCGCCAGGGCTCCCTTCTGGAACAATGTGCAGGATCACCGGTCTCGGCTTATCTGATACGTAACACATGGCTAGCCTTCCTCGATTAGGATACCAAAACACAAGATGCACAGGATATCTCCACCTCGCGCCTGTGAAGGCGACAGTGCCGGCCCGACCGGCAGGGCGTCCAACATGGCAATTTTTGCAAACCTGGTTCGGGAGAACCGCCTTGGCTGAGACGCGGACTCCAAAGGGGAAATTGGAGAGAAGCGTCATAGAAAAGATCGGCGTTTGCTGTATGTATGCAGTCCCAAACGTGAATACCGGTCTGTTGAATGGAATCATGCAAGGAACACCAGAGCGCTTGGGGGAGCGGGGTAGCGAGTTTCGGGGGGTTGGGATAAGACGGCCATTATGAGATAGTAGGACTAAATAAGTACGGAGTCAGGCAGACTAGTACTGGCAATGAGACATGCCGCTCGATCCCACTTCTGCACCGCCTGCTGCTCTTCTGCAGTTCTGTGGCTCTGCAGTTCTGCGCTTCTGCACCTGCGATGCGGAACTCCACACAGATACACAAAGGTCAGCAGACCGGTAAGCGGCAGACTGGTTTCCCGCGATGGTCGTACACAATCTCATTTCGCGCCGCGACCCGATTGCTACGTGACTGATCCAACGTAAATGCACCAATAATTAGGGTTCCATTGGGAAGGACGCGCTCCGGACGGACTCAATGGCTGGCACACCCATCACCAGTGCGCGCGCCTGGGCGTCCTTTGCCGGATGCATCTCCTGGCTGCCTCTTTGGTCAGTAATGCATTCTGGCTGATCCACTTGCCACGCGGTTTCGAGGATCTGTCTCAAGGTTTTACTGGGGAATGGAGGGAGAATGAATCACAGATACTATTTGGGACGTCGATAAACTGATGAGGTAGCCGGCCGTCATCAACCTTGGAGAGGGGAGGGGAACAGACGAGAACAAGGAGGAGGGCGTTGCCACCTCTGCAGGCGCCTCGAAGGGATCTAGTTATCGTGATTGACGTGGTCGGGTCCGGCAGATATTTTGGTTCTCCCTGCCGCGCGTTGATACCCAATTTTTTTCCGCAGTTGGCGTTTCCGTTACAAGCGAGAAATCTCGACGGACGGCTGAGGGTGTGTCGCGCAGAGGAATTGACACGTCGTAGAGCGGGGTCCTCCAAAGAGGCAAGTCGCTTCAAAGCACCACGATAAGGCTAGTCAACGAAGCTGCTAGCCGCTGGTTGACAACAGTCTTTGTGTGTGTGTGAGTCCTGGCGGATAAATGATTGCGGTGTCGATAAAACTGCTGCAGATCGTCTTATCAGGCGTCTTCGGTGTTTCCGAGGACGGGGAATGCTTGCTGGGCCGATGTCTCCCGATTTTTCCTTTCTTTTTTTTTCTTTGACCACAGGACGGGTCAACCGAGTAGGCGGGTAGATGAGCATGAGCATACGAGTACGCGAGAGTGGACCAGTGACAGAGGCGCAGATGGTCACAGGATATAGTCTGATACAGTTAGCAAGGGCCTGCTGAGCGAACCTGTGATCACGGCCGAATCGCCATGGACCTGCAGAGGCCATCATGCTGCGCTCGCCAGCAAGGCCATCCAAAGGTAGGTGCCTCCACACACGTGGACGCGGTCCGGGAGACGAGACGGTGAGTCCAAAAAAAGATGGTGGCCTCGCCTTCAGTTATGAGGCCCCTCCATTCTGTCAGGTGCCGTGTATTCCGGCTGAACGCCCCCGAGTCCGACGGTGGTCGATAAGACAGCCGGCGCCGAAGGTAAAAGCCTCCGATCAGGTGACCGGAGTTGCGACCCAGTGGAGGGCGCCACCTGATTGTCTACACTGCGGACATCGGACAAAGGCATGCGGTGGTGAGAGATAAGACGGACTATATCAAGCTGGCCATGATGGTGGTTTCAATAATTCGAAGCATCTTCAAGTCTAAGAGTAGTAAAGCAACTTCTTCTACATTCTACCCACGCTAGTCATCTTTGACCCTAGACATCTTCGACCCCAGACACCATCTACATTTCACCATGTCACTCCTAAAGAGCCACATGGGTCTTGGATCCGAGGCCCCTGCTGAGGAGACTAATTCCGCGGCCCTGCCAGCATCCTGGTACACCTCGCCGGAAATGTACGAGCTCGAGAGGCGGGCAATCTTCTCCAAGAAGTGGCTCCTCACCACGCACAAGCTCAGACTCGTGGAGTCAGGGGACTGGCTGCGATATGAGGTGGCCGGCTTTGAATTTGTCATCACCAAGGACCGCACCGGAGCCATCAACGCATTCCACAACGTCTGCAGACACCGGGCCTTCCCCATTGTCACCGAGGAGAAGGGCCACAACAGCGTCCTGTCTTGCAAATACCACGGGTGGTCGTACGGCCTCAACGGCAAGCTCGCCAAGGCCCCGGGATATCAAGATCTCGCTGGATTCGACAAGGCCGCCAACAGCCTTCTGCCGCTCCATGTCCACGTTGACAAGAATGGATTCATCTGGGTGAACCTGGACGCCGGTGCGAAGCCGGAAGTTGCCTGGTCCGACGCCTTTGACGGCGCCGAGCAGCAAAAGCGGCTCGCTGCCTACGACTTTGAGAACTACCAGTTCGACCACACCTGGGAGTTGGAGGGAGAGCACAACTGGAAAGTCCTGGCCGACAACTACAACGAGTGCTATCACTGCAAGACGGCCGGTCCTGATGTTCCCGGCGTTGCGGACCTCAGCTCCTCCGACGTCGACACCACGGGCGGCCACATCCAGCACCTTGGCAACCCTACGCCAGAGCAAATCGAGCGTGGCTTTTCGGTTACCAGCACCTCCTATTTCCCCAATGCCTCCATGAACATCAGGTAAGTGCATTGCTCTAACCACATTGCCCTAACCGAAGCATCGAAACATGGCTAATCATTTCATAGCCCACACTTTTTCGTCTTGCAGAAATCCGTGCCATCCGGCCCCGGCAAGTCAAGCATGAAGTACGAGGTCTACAGGAACAAGAACTCCAGTGGCGAGGACTTCCAAGTAATCAACGACATCTACAAGAAGGTCGCGTCAGAGCTAGGGCTAGGGTTGTACCTTTGCACCAATGAGCAGAAGAAGCCCAATGCCGGCGTCTTCATCAACGGCGAGACGCAGCCCGCGTTCCAGAACTCGGTGCGCGACCTCATCCAGGCCCACTACAAGCGGGAGGTGGACGCTGACCGCGAGATCTGGCCTGCTCGCCAGGTCCTCCCGGAGTCTGCCACCGCCACCGAGAAGGACATCGGGTTCTGCTCAAACGTGGATTGCTGCAGAATCAAAAAGGAGACGGCCGCTTTCTGAGCAGGTGCCAAAATGAAACAGGTTTCCTTAATAATTCCACCCCTTCAACTGCCAATTTAGCGCTATTTAGTTGTCGACGACACACATTTTGATTCACGACTGCATATGCCATAGTCGAATACTAAAGAAGTATTCAATCTAGAACAATTGTTCCCCATGCATTGATAATCTCACTCTATCTCTTGACTATGACATGCTGTTCTTTCAATTGATTTTTGGATCAGTAGTTCCAGTGTACTATGGTAAGCTGTCATGCCTTCATGATGTCATGATGTCACACCGATGGCTCACCGAACCTCCCACCGACCGCTAGGAGCCTCGCATCCTTAATGCATACATCCCAGGTTCTGCCATCATCACCAACATGCAATTATTAGTGAGGGAACTGTAATAACATTATCAAAGAGGGTTGTGGCTAGTATCTGTCACTTGAGGCGAGGGATGAGGCAGACTGTTGGAGGGCGAAGCACATCGTCGACGGTCTTGGACTGACCGAGGCACACCGAGATTTTGATATCAGGTGGGGCTGGGGACGCAGCCAGCAGTCCACATTGCCCAGGCTTCATCGGCGCTAGGCTTGGCAATGTGAACTATATAGCAGGTTATTGTCCCAAGGTTGAAAGCTAGTAGAAAGGCAATCATCTCTACCCAACACTTGGGCAGTGCTCTCTGAGGCCTCGTGGACCGGTCTCGGGTGGCCAACTCGTGCTCTCTGCGTCAATAACCGAGCCTCGCCCCCATCCGGGCCATTGAGCAACCGAGAGTCCGCCTGCATGATGACCACACTCCCAATCAGATCATCGACGTGGGTAGCACAACAGCTGCGAGTGGCGCGTGATGGCACAGCACACCCGACTTTCGTCAATGAGGCTCAAACTACCCCTCTTTCTCCGTCCCTCGCCGCTCAGTCCCTAAGCTCGAGCTGGCTTAGATTCCATCTCTTCTTCTGCTGCCAATTTTTGAGTGGACCTGTGTCCGATTGCGTTTCTTGAGAGTGTCGCGCAAAGCGAAAAAGCACCCGGCGAATAAAATCACCAATAGCGAAATATTGCGCATTTGTGACATCTAAAACTCAATTCACCGATCTTCACGTTTCAAACGGCGCGATTACCCTTCGGACACGGAATCTTAGGGTGCACATTCCCCCCCAATCCGGAAGCCCCCGCGACGCGACATCCAAGGCGCAGTCTGAGCCATGGCTATGATAGTCGACACATTCCCCGAGTACCACTTGAAGAAGGGCGACCTCCTCACCTACCTCAAGAGCATATTCCCGAAGTATATTGATTCGATTTCGGTCACGGTGAGCACCTTGTCAGCCTCAGACACGTCAACCCTGGCACTAGCAGGGCTGGTGCTCATAGCTAACCCCCGTGCAGAAAGACGGCACATCCTATCAGCTCACGATCCCGGAGCGATTGACATCGGTGCGACTTGACTTGTTCCATCTCCTCTCTCTGATCTTTTGCAGTGTAAACTGACCTTAGCATCCGGTGATAGGCCCAGCGAGACCACATCACGGAGAATGTGCGTTACGAACCGGACACTTGAGTGAATAGTGTATAAATGAGTGTCTGGTTCCATGTCATCTCAATTTGATTTTCAAATTTACAATCCATGGAACTTGGATATGACGTGAGAGCTTCTTGGCCCATTTCATGTCTCGCAGGTTTCGAGAGCACCAGTCAGGTTGTGTGGTTCAACAGTGGACGGGAGCGCCCGTCGCACAAGGATGGCATGCGCTGCCTTGCCGCAATCCGGTGCCGGGTCAAATGCATCCTTATGTTTCATTTTCATCTTGATTCTGCTTGGGTACTTTAAACAGATTGCTCCGTAGTAAATCCACTTTGTTTTCCTGCATGTCCCAGCTGCGAGCAATGCCACAACGCCACCTCAGCTGTGTTCCAGGATTCCAGCAATGCCCTGCACACAGCCTCAATAGAGAACGCACCACAGCCTGTAATCTGAATTAGGTAAGGCTTTTTACGAGGCAACCGCTTAAAATCGGCGCCCGGATTGGAGAAGATTGCATAATGAAAAAGCCAGTGCCCCGCAGCAAAGAAGGCAAGAAGGCGATACTCGAAAGAGCCTCAGAGCCTAAGAGCCTCGAAGGCTCAGAAACAACATTCTGGATATCGCATCCTGTCCAAGAACGTCCCTTTCAATCATAACTATATCACATTATTCAATCCCTCGCAATTCATCTCAACTATATTTCACTACAAGCCTCATTTCGAATGCGCCATTGACAGTCCACTCGCCTCGACTTCACCAGCAATTCTGTCAAAATGTCCAACGTCCAAGAAGACCTCGCCGAGCTGGCACAGTCACAATTGCAGGCTCATGAGTATCCTCTAAATCTTGTCCGAGCAAGCGACTTTCGATACGTCCTGGAAACGTATCGAACCAGGCTCGAAAAGGAAGAGAAGAAGCTGTTTAGCGCCAGGAAGAGCTTGGTCGTCATATGGGATCTGGTGAAAGCTCAAGATAGTTTGTGGCCCATAAAATACTAGCATAGGCTGATCCTATGCCATACTGACATATTCCTGCGAACTTTAGCAACCTATGTCGAAAGCATGGCCAATGATGTCGAGGAGCTCAGAAGTGCCCTGGACGGTGCTGCAACCGATCCGTGCCGTAGATTCATGTACGTCGCTACAAAACAGTTCCCAGCGTCCTTGAGTGGTATCAAGGAGGAAGAAATTAAATCCGTCTGACTAAATTTCACAGATTCCTGCAGTCTGCGAGCTCTCGAGATCCGTTGAGGTGCACTCGGGAGCAGCTTACTCTTCTTCTCACGCATCACCAGGTAATGGCATCCTTCTTGGAGGTTGTCTTTACCTTCAAGCGACGCGAAAACCCGCATTCGTTCACTTCGTTTCGATGCGAAAACTACTTGAGCCCTCACCATCAACAGGCTGGATTGCAGAGCATAGGTCGATCTGGAATCAGGTTGCAGCACTGCTTCAATATTCTCGGAATAGAAGAGGACAATGAAGTCAAAGATACATGGCGGCTCCGTCAAACGGCAGCATACCACTCATTCGACCTCATCGAGGGACGCGCGTTGTGGGTTGTCATGAAAGGCAATGCAAAAATGCGACAGCGCATTGAAGCTACAACAAGGGAGTCTGCACAGAAACGCCGTGGATCTTGGAATAGCCTGCAAGATTCATTTGGTCAGACTCTTGATGACCATCTTTTAATCTTGCAATGGTGTGCCGAGAACTGGGAGGCCTATACAGAGTCTTTAGAAGTCACTTATAGGCCCTTCTCTAGCATAACGGAGCATGCACCAGTCAAGGAGCTGGCGGACGACATTCCAACTAACAGGGCTATTGATCGAATGAACTCTCTAAGATTCGAAGTAGCCCCGAGGCGCCACACTGACGGCTCTCAGTCTGCCCCCGCTCCACAAACACTTCTTCGGAGGCTTTCAACAAAACTTACCGATCTCAGCGCCAAATCAAGCCTTCATGGTACGATGCGGCGAGGCACTGGGCTTATAAACGGGAGAGATCAAGCCCCTCTCTCTCCCAAGATAAAAAACCTCAAACTTGAGGAGTTGGTTTCTTTCAAAATGCTCCAAGACCTCAACAGCCTTGACAAGAGCCTGGACGAGGCCATCTCAGTAATTGACCAAAACAAAAGAGTTTTAACAGACATCAAAAGCCACTACTGGAAACTCGTTAATTCGGCTGCTTTTGAGCTTCATGTCGCAGAGAGTAGTGCACTTCAATCGTGTAAAGAACACGCTTCCGACTTCGTGCAGAGGATAGAGAGGCTAGAAGGCGATCTGGACAACTACCAAGGGAATCTTAAGACTATTCTGCGCGGTGTAGGGAAAACGGGCGTAATGGTATGTTGCTATTTGGCCCTGGGCAATAACTCACGATTAACTCGAGTCAGTTCAACAGCATCCTCCAACACCAAAGCATGCGAACCGCAGAGTACTTTGCCAAGTCATCTGAAGACTCGGCAGGGGTCATGCAAGTCTGGACCGAGCAAATGCACGAGAAAACCATGTCTATGCACGTCATCACCGTCTCCACACTCATATTCCTGCCCGGGACATTCGTCGCTGTAAGTGTAATCATGTGTCTACAAGGTCTGGAGCTAATAGGATGTAGACCATTTTTGGCAGCGGTATCCTCACGTTTGGGGATGACGGTAGTAGCGGGTCTGGGCCTAACATGGGAGATTGGAAAGTTCGACTGGCTGGGTTGAAACTATTCCTTGCCATCTGCTTCCCACTGATGACGCTGACGTTGTGTGCTTGGCTCATGGCTTATTGCTTTGCCAGGCTCAGAAGGAGTAGTTCAAGGGACAGTGGGGTATTGAGCGAGAAGGTAACTGAAATGGTCTAGGTTTTCATTACTGGGATGGCGGTCATGTGCAGTATTTTGTTGGTATATTATGGCGCGAACAGTCAATTGGGGAGCTCCATGCCTTGCTCTCACATTTGTGGTAGGCTCCCTCCCAATCAGCCTGATTAGACCGATGGTGCTGCTCAATTTCATTGGATCTGTTTGGTATCAGCACATGCTTATAAATAAAAATCACGCATTTTCTTTGGGGAGAAATAAGGACCATGTGCTGCTCAAGGCCGCAGCGAACCACAAGTGGCGTACCCGAGTTTCAACGTCCGTCAGCTCTAAACGGGACCCTCCTGTGCCAAGAGCTGAAAATGGAATCCCGGTCTGTGGCTGTGCTACTATTTACATATTAGATAGGGGCCGCATCCCTCTGTGCAGATGGTGTGGGTGGCGTCAACACAGCCGCCTGTTGTCCGCAGCCGAGTTGCGGTACGCCTTATAAGGCGTCGGTCATACATGGCGCAAGGCAGCCTCGGCGCTTGCGGTTCCCTTGAGGATGTGGAAAATGGCGGGGTTATTTGTGCTCCGGCAATGGCTTCTCTTCTTCTTCTTCATCTACGAATCTCAATCCCAATCCCAACTGCATCGAATGAGAGACTCGGCCCGAGAGACGGCGGACCATCCAGCGGTATTTCCGCCCGCCCAGGCGCAACCGATCTCTGTATAAACCGCGATTTCTTGCCTCCGCGCGCGCCATTTCTTCGTTTCCCATCGCTGCCACCTTTCGTTCATTTCTCTCCCTCTCCCTCTCCTTGTTACACAATCCGCGTACGCGCGAAACACACCGCAGAACCCCGCGAGTTCGGCCGGCTTTCACCAGGGGTTGATACCACCAGTCTCCCATGGTCCCTCGTCACTCGACCCAAATTTCTTGTCCGATCGTTACCTCGAGCCACTTCCCTCCGACACACCTCAGCATCCTTCCACAGACTCCAAAAGGCTGCATTTTCCCCATCCCACCATGGGTTCAGACAAACACATCAGGCAATTTGGAGGGGATCTTGGAAACCTGAAGAAGCAATACGTCGGTCGAAATGGTATAGACGGGGAAATACCAAACTACATCCCTCTATCGGAGCTCGACAAGTTTTGGACTCCCTCAAAGATCAGCAAAGTTCTGCACGCCGACCCCCGCCCTCGCATTCAAAACCACGTAACCATCACCAAACGCTTCTTGCGCGTTTTCTCCCTTCTCGTCTACATTGGATGCGTGGATTGCCTCGATGATTTTGTCGAGGATGAACTTCCCGATAAAAAGTTCCCTATTGAGGAGTTCCCGACTTCATGGGCAGATACACCACCTTTGCGCAGACTCTTCGAGCAAGTCCAAGAGTCGCAGTGGATATTTTTCCCTCTCACTCTCGACCCCCATGGGCTCTATAACCAAGTACTCAGTCCTCACCAAATTCTACCCATCTACGAAGAGCAAGAAATCAGGAAAGGAGAATCCGCCACCGTATGCAAGATAAAGACGAGTAAGGAGTGCACACGTCTCGACAAGGTACCAGACTATGAAACGCCTTGTCGGTCCAGCAGCTAACACTACCACAGACGACTTTCATTCGGAAAACTTACCGCAATCTATCTCGCGATCAATACGATCGGGAGCTGGAGGCTTTCAACAGCCTGCAGAGCCATCCCTCCCCACACGTTGTCACTTGCTACGGCTCCTTTGTCCAGAAAAGGATTGGCAGAATAGCTACCGAAGAAACGCTTACCTACAACCTAATATTGGAGTATGTCGACGGCGGAAACCTGGAAGAGTTCTTTAAAACCATGGACCCACCCCGATCATCTAAAGAAGTAAATCAGTTTTGGGCCGCCTTCATTGGCGCCTTTGAGGGATTATATCATCTTCATCTGTGTGCGGACAACAACAGAACACAGAGACACCAAAGGTGAGTGTACCTATTCAATACATCCTGCTACCGAAGGTATCTAATGATATACCACAGAATCCATCAAGACATCAAACCTGAAAATCTTCTTGTTTCGAAGGGACCTACAGGCCAAGACTTTGATTTCTCCCTCAAGATCACAGACTTCGGGTTCTGTCATACCAAGATCTTCGAAAACGGTGATGATGACACATTAGGTGTAGACTCTCACGGTGGTCAGACATATGGTAAGCTCCTCCCTCCCTCTACCCTGAAACCTAATCACATTCTCGTTACTGACAGCCATATCAGGTGCACCTGAATGTAGCCATCACGCTAGATATACTCAGCGTGGAAGGAACCGCATCACCACCGAAGCCGACATCTTCTCCATGGGAACCGTCATGAGCGACGCCGCTGCTTGGGTGAATGGCGGTCAACAAGCTCGTGACGAATACATGCGGGAGCGGGCTCATGAAACGAAGGGGCTTTCTTCATTCGACGACAGCGGTCATGAAGGATGTTTCCATGATGGCGTCCAAGCGTTGGAGGCTGTTATGTCTATGCATGAAGCCATCAACGCCTCTGTGGCAGAGTTCGATGTCATTACTCCAGAGGTTCTCGAGTTGGTCCATAACCGCATGCTCCTTCGACAAGGAGATGGGCGATGGACAGCCAACGAACTTCGCGAAGAGCTCCTCAAGATCAGGCAGGCCGCGGAGGAAGCGACATCATCAACTTACTCGACTGACGACCAACACATCCCTTTGGCGCAAACTCCAAGCTCTTCATCGGAAAACATTCTCACGGGAAACGGTGAGCCTTTTTTTGAGGCAACTCCGTCTAACCCTATACCCGTTACCTCACCTACTCCCACTCCATCCTCTCCATCCTCTCCAAGGACGCCTGGGAGTCGTCACGAGAAAAGGCTCACCGTCCCTTCCGAGAAGCCTGACATTCAAATTGTCGTTCCTCAGTCTCCACAGTCTCCTGTGTTGACTCTTGACCAGGCACATAAATACCGCCTTGCCAAAAAGGCCAAGATACCCGTTGACGTGGAAGTTGAACAAGTGATTGCGCGACTACACAGCAACTTGAAACATCGAGATCACATTTTTTTCATCGACACGTCTGAAACTATGAAAGACTACGCCACCGAGTGTTACGAGGCTTTTAAAGGCCTCAGCTATATCGCCAAGCTCATCGATCATGATGGGATCGAACTTTGTTTTTCTTCTGACCCTAAAAAGATTCATAAAAAAATGGGTACCGCACGCCTCTTGAATAAATTCCCAGACCAGAAGTGGGATCAGATCGCCTTCGAAGATAAATTTGGAGTGTTCATTGACGACCATGTTATTCCCCGGCTTTCCTCCAAGTTTCCCAAAATCATCCGTGGTCGACCGTTGAAACGCCTCAGCATTTTCGTCTTCACCGACGGCCGATGGGGTCAGGACCAGGAAGCAGCCGGTGGTGTCGAGAATCCCGTCCGAAATCTCATCGATAAAATAAAACAGATGGGATTAGATCGTACTCAGGTGATGCTTCAATTCATTCGGTTCGGGAATGACGAGGTTGGCAAACTCTATTTGTCATATCTTGACAACTACGGCATAGACCTCGGCTGGTAAGTCGTGTCCACAGTCAACATAGGTTTTTGAGCCTTCCGATTAACAATATCATTTAGTGATTTCATCGACACGAAACCAGTCGATGGTAACCTATATGAAATGTTTTTCGGAGCTGTTGATCCATCCATCGACAGATCGGGTGAGCCCCCAGCCCAGAGAAGTCCTTCGAGGTCTCCATCATCCGACCAAAGGAGAACCTCGAGTATGAGACGGCGATTCAGGACACAGAACTCAAGATAAAGGGCGACGGTTGAATATGGTGTTGGTGGCGATGGGAATTGAGCTTAATATATACCCAAGGGCAGTAACCTAGCAGAACTAGAGTCCTAATATTCAAAGTAATAGTTTAGCAGCATTGACTGCTTAAGCAACGCTATCACATACCTATCTTCGCTCACCACGTGATGGTTATAACTGAGGTCGCGGATTCGTAGCATTTTCGACGGGGCTGGTAAACTGACGAAACGATAGTCACAATCACATCGTCCATCACGGCCGCGCGACGCTTGACTATTGACGACCACGTCCATTGCCAGCTTCTTTCGTTGGCAGAAATTCACCCTACCACCCGATAGGTCCGCAGAGAATCGGAAGACTATGTTGGAATTACCGACAAAATGAATGCAGACGTGGTCCAGGCCGCTCTTCCTGCTTGGGCAGTGTAGATGCTGAAAACCGTATTGTCAATGATTTATCTGAAGTCATCAATTCCTTCATCCGCATGGGTATGGTAGCTTTGATATAATAGCTCACTCCGAATGAATATGGTTTGCGTAGCGAGAGCTAATTTGTGGGAGTACGTGAGTTCAAGAGGTTTGCTAGGGCTTCTGCCAGGATGAGCACTTTAAAATTGAAATTAGTTATCGTTGTAGAAGGATATATGCTTGCCCGAATAGCTATCGTGCGAGGTTCAAAAAATCAAAAGCTTTCCAGTCGTGGGCATCCAATCCCCCAGCCATTGTATAGGCTGTAGACTGATGTACACTTAAGCCCCTGGCGAGCAGGGGCCGTGAGCAGGGATACCCTGGTCGTAAGTGACTGCCTGCTCCAATGCCCGGGGGAGCTTGTATTCGGAAATAAACTCCCAAGCCTTAAGTATAGGGAGAGCGAATGGTTGCATCAGGGCTCGTTGATCTAGCTCCAGGGGGGCGTTGCTCATAATGGCTGAGAAACTCGACCTCACAGGGTTGAGAAACTGCAAGAAATGAGTACATGAGAGGGTAAAGATAAACTAAGTGAATTAGAAGCTCTATTTTTTTTTTTTAGCTTTACATAATATCATCAGATAGATCAAAGCCATATAGTATTCTCAAACAATAGAGATAAACAGCCCCTCGATGAGGGAACCTAGTGTTTGAATTTACTGCATTTTCGTTGCGCGCACGTCACAGTTGCCAAGGCCCAAGTTTTGGGTTTCAAGCTGCTTTTTTCTTCTCTGCCGGAATCCTGTCTAACTTTTTCGACTCTAACCTTGATGAATGGCAAGGTCGTTGACTGCAGACAATAGGGTTGAAGTCAGAGGGGTTGAATGGAAGCTTCAGGCAGAGACCGGTGGGCAACAACCTTATTGTTCAGCTACTGTTTCTTCTGGTGCTGGGTGTAGCCCTTATTGTTTATTCCTACTGTTTGAGATTACTGTATGGCTTTGATCTATCTGATGATATTGAGTAAAGCTAAAAAAACCAAATAGAGATAAACAGCAAGTGCTACATCCAGCACCAGAAGAAACAGTAGCTGAACAGTAAGTTTGTTGCACACTGGTCTTTGCCTGAAGCTTCAATTCAACCCTTCTGATTTCAACCCTGTTGCCTGCAGTCAACCAATCCAACTTCTCTCTGCTCCCTCAAGGTGAGCAAGTTGCCGGCACAAGGTTAAAACCTGTATGAATATATAAGTAGTCAGTTCAAGAAGCTGAGTCCTGACTCTTTCCCTCCTTCACACATCATCTCTCATTCATCTCTCCCTTTGAAAAGCCATCATGCCCGCAACAAGAACTCTAGTCGGCCCGGCCGACGTTACAAGCCCAGCGTCTGCAGTCAACAACCTTGAGATAGGAACCTTATTCCGAGCAGTAAGGTATAAGAGAGACTGACGTCTCACGTCGTTGAAATACCAACTTCCCTTCCAACAATCATCTAATTTCGTTAACTTTCATCATGGAGACTACCATCATCCGTACAGCTCTTGTTAAGAATGACGAAAATTCCTTAAAGAATATGGGCTTTTCAGCCATTCACTCCACTATGCAGCACGCTTAGATACAGATCACGTTAGCTATTTTCGGATACAGCTTATTCCTTGACGATAGGGATAGAGTCGATTCGCAAGGAAATGCAGTCATCGGTATAGACCATGGCTTTATACGGATAGAGAAGGCCGCGCTGCTGAAGTTGACCGAAGACGTCGAATACAGTAACGATACAAGGGGCCGGGAGTTTATCAAGGAAATTGGCGAAAAGATGTACAAGCCCTGGTTCCAGGAGCTGATGTATTGTATGGAGGTGGTGCGGATAATAGTCAGCTAGGGCACTGGCTAGAGGGCGGATTCGGATGACTTGGATCTTGGGGCGTTCTGGAAGTTGGGTCGTGGGGTTTGTGAGTAGATACAAAGGTTAGAATAGCTGCAGGGCGAAAACGTTAGACAGGATTCCGGCAGATGAAAGAAGAACAGCTTGAAACCCAAACTTGGGCCTTGGCAACTGTGACGTGCACAACGAAAATGCGGGAAATTCAAACATCAAGTCCCCTCATCGAGGGATTCGAAGCTCTATAATAAATTAAACTCCAAAATGAATGTATGGGACCCAGTATAAAGGCCTCAATACTTCACTATCATCTACTAGTTTGACATCTCGCAACAGTCGATCGTCTTTAGAATCCTCCCGGCTCACACTGCGAGTAGTAGTTAGCTCTCCTGGGCTCCTCTGTAGTTTCTCTTCTCTTGCTGTACATAGCCAACGGTCTCGCAAATTTCGAACAGCAGTATGGAGCCCTATACAAACTGATATATCCGTCATGTTGCCGCGCCGCATCTCTTTGTATATGCTCACTGCTGTATCCACGCATTGCTCATCATAAACCTCCCATAACGTTCCTATCACATGGCGGAAGCCTGCAACCTGACAAGCTCCAATCAAATGAATGCTCTCGTCAACAAACTTGTCGTTTTTAATTCTACCAGTCCCGCAGGCTGACAAGTAGGCGAGAAAGGGTGAGTGCTTGTGTAGGTTCAACTCCAACAGATTGGCTACTGTAAGAGGCTCGTTTCTTCCCTCTTCCAATAACAAATAGCTGTTCGATGGATCATTCTCATTTGTGTAACCGTGACCAGCGAAGTGAAATATTCTGCAATCATTCAAGTATGATAAAATCTCTTGCTTGCGTCGCTTTGGTTCGACTGTCGTGAGGTTCATTGTGACACAAAGCTTGCGTACTTGTTCAACCTCCTGTCGCGCAAATTGGAGATGAGCACTTCCAGGAGTGTCTTCCATAGCAACAAGGAGTGCCATTGCCTGACTTGACACGGAAACACTTGTTTGTCGGCGGCCAAGAATCATAGCCCGGATCGAAGAACTGTAAGAAGACACAACCCTATCCAACACAGTTTCGGATGAGTTTCGTAGATGGTATCCAGCTGCATGTAGAGGAAACTTGCAGAGAGCGCCCGTAGGAATCCACCAGATATGAGGCCACTCGGCGTTGACGGGAGGTTTAGTGAACCCCAAACTGATGAGGATCGGATGTACAACAACATCCCATAGCCACTCTAAGGTTTGTGTGCCTCCTAGGCTCGTCTGGGCCTTATCTCTTATTTCGCGTCCGCTGAGTTTCGGCAGCGGTACATACCGTATCTGATGTTGCTCAACTATTATCGCATCGCAGCGGAGCACACTGACATTGATGACCACGATTGGACCGAGTCCCGCAGCCTCCTGCATCCTGGAAGCACTCGGAGCCATCAAAAATTCTTCAAAGCCGGGACTTTCGCGAATCTGACCAAGAATCTCGTCGAAGTATTTGTCCAAGTCGGGCCCTGAGGACTGTTGGTTTGTATCTGTCGGCTTCCGCGTGTTGGACTGCTCCAGTTCCTCTCTGACGTTGGTGAACTTCTCTGCCAACTCAGGGTGCTTGTCTCGGAGTTCGAGAACATCAGCTCGTACATCCTGGATAGACGTTGCAAGAACACCACGACCTTGTTCGAGGAAGCTTAGTGCAACTTCTGGCCTTTGGCCGGAGCCTAAAGCTGCCGATGCAGCCTCACAGGCTAGTCCGGCGACTTGACTGATCAAGTGTTGCTTGTCAGAAGTATCCAGCGACCGCAAGACCAATTGCGGAATAAGGCGAATGGCGGCATCCGCAGCTTCGAACGCTTGTTGCCACTTAGAACCGACCGCGAGCCAGAAAATGAGTTCCCTGCTAGCATGTATCCGAATAATCAGTGGCGAGCTAGGGAGCTCAATTGCGGCTTGGAAACACGAAAAAACTTCATTCAGGGCCGTAGGCTCCTTTGTGAAGATGAATCTCTCGGCAAGTATGGCGCCGAGGTTGCTAAGTCGTCCAGCCCGATCAGGGTGATTGTGAGAGGTCGCATCGACAGACTCACGACAGTATCGAATCGCTTCGTCAAGATCAGCCATGCTACTTTTCATCTTGTGTTTTTGAACCATCAAAGCACCCAAGTTGTTTAGACAAGCCATTCGGAGGGCATGGCCTGTTGGTGAAGCGTCTAAAGCTTGTTTTCCAACATCAAAGGCCGTCTTGAAGTCGGAGTCGAGTTCGGTCCTCCGATATCTCTCACAAAGTCGTCCTCCAAGGTTGAGCAATCGCCCAATCCTATCTGCGTCGTCTTTTGGTGTTGCATCGACGGATTCCTGGGCAATCCGAATGGCTTCATCGTGGTCATCCACGACACCTGTCCTCGAATATCGGTCACTGAGGCGTATAGCAAGGTTGTTCAAGTAAACCGATCTGTTAGGATGATTCGTCGGGGTTGCGTTGGAAACTTCGCTACCAATTCGAATGGCTTCATCCAGGTCAACCACTCGCCCGATCCTGGAATATCTTTCGTATAACCAATCCCCGAGGTTGCTTGATCGAATCGCCCAATCTGCGTGAACTCTGGGTGTCGCATCAACTGATTCCTGAGAAAGTCGAACACATTCATCGAGATCGTCTTTGTTTCTCGTCATAGAGTATCGACCACTGAGACAAATTGCGAGATTGCTCAAATATCCCGGGTGGTCGGCATCATCTTGCGGGCTTCTGCCAACAGCGTCTCTCTGAGCTCTAATGGCTCCCTCTATATCAGTAGCTTCTCCCAGCGCCGAGAATCTCATTTGAAGCAGGTTTCCAAGCATACTGAGTCTTGATGGAAAACGTGGATCACTTTCGAACGTTGCCTCAACTGATTCTCGTCCTAGCTGGATCGCTTGTTCCAGACAATCTAAGTTCCCGGTTCTTGAATATCGACTACTCATCTGCGAGGCAAACGAAATAAGGATTTGTGGTTTGAAAGTGTCCTCTGCCGAAACTTCCTGTAGAGCCTCCGATATGATTTGGACAGCCTCGTCCAGGTCGGTCATTGCTCCTGTCCTGGAATGCGTTTTGCCTAGCAACACGCCAAGATTGTGGAGAATTTCGATTCGATCTCGCGACGAAGCTGAAGTTTGGCCAAGAGCCTCTCGCGTTATCCGAATTGCTTCTTCCAAGTCAGAGGGTTTACCGTACTTTATACTTGTCGTGGAGGTGACCGCCAACATTACTTAACCGGATCGGCCGATCAGGATGGCCAAATGGTGTGACTGCCACAGTTTCCCATCCAAGCCTCAAAGCTTCTTCAATGTCGGCAATTTGTCCTTTCCTTGAAAATCGTTCACTCAACAAATTCGAGAGATTCGTTGAACACCGTGGCGTGTCTGCGTGCCCTGGAGGAAGCGCATCAACAGCTTCCTGAGCTAAACGGATTGCTTCTTCCAAGTCGTCGGATTTACCCAGCTTCAAATATCTGGCACCAAGCCATGCTCCCAGGTCGCTTCGAAATCGTGCCCGATCGCTATGCCCTTCCGGAGCCATAGCGAGGGCTTGACGTCCCAGCGAAATTGCTTCCTCAATATCTGCGGTTCTTCCAAATCTAGCAAATCGTTCCCGAATGACGGTTGCTAGGTTCATTAGTCCTGTCGGTTGGTCGTTTTGGCCTTGTTGTGGTGCATCGATAGCCTGTGTTCCAACCCTGATAGCCTCTGAAAGATCCGATGCAGATCCCTTTCGTAGATATCTTTCGCCGAGCAAATAGCAAAGATTATTCAATCGCCTTGCAAAGTCTTGTCGATCTCGGTTGCCAATTTCCAGCCCTTCCCGCATAACCCGGATAGTTTCCTCAAGATCAAATAGTGCCCCTGTATTTTTGTACAAACTCACTAAGCGATTTCCAAGGGTAATGAAGACAGCTTGATAGTTTGGATCGTCTCTTGGGGTTGCATTGACAGCATCTCGTGCCGCTTGAACAGCGTCTTTGATGTATGTGACAGTTTTTGTTTGAAAATATTTGGCTGCAAGTCGGTCGCCAAGATTTGTCAAACTGCCAGCACGATTTGGATGACTTTGAGACATAGAGTTGACAGCGTCCCTTCCAATCTGTAGTGACTCTTCAAGATCGCTTGATGATCCTGTGATCCGGTATCGACTGTAAAGGAATACTCCGAGATTTTCCAAGCACGTTGCTCGATGCGTATGACTCTCCAGACTCAATCGCCAGGCTTGACGTGCCAAATCAATTGCTTCATCAAGGTCCTTGAGAGTCTCCTGGGGGGAATCCGACTTCGCCGCTCTAAAACTCAATCTGGCTGCTAGGTTGATCATCTGCAGTGACTTTTCTAAGTCGTCGTCCTGAGTCGACAACAGGGCTTCTCGCCCTATTTGAATGAGGTTGTGAAGGTCGCCCATTGATTCTCTTCTTTCATATCTGCTACCAAGCATGATACCCAGATTTTTGAGGACTGGAAATCGGCCTAATCCATCTTTGTCCACTGCACCAAGTGCTTCTTGGCTGACTCGGATTGCCTCTTCAAGATCGGTGATTTTACCTGTATGTTTGTACATAGTATGGAGAACAGCTCCGAAAGTGACTAAGCATTCTGAATGGTTTCGATGATGTGGCTGAGATACCTGAGAGGCCTCTCTAGTGAGCTGAACCGCCTTTTCAATGTCAAAAACAGCTCCTGTTCTGAGATGTCTGTCTTCAAAACGAGATCCAAGGTTGGCTAATCGCTCTCCTCGACCTGGGTGGGCAGGGGGGGTCGCGTTGACAGCTTCTAGTCCAATTTCGATCGACTCGTTGAGATCGGTCATATTCAGCGTGTTTGAATATTTCATGTGCCAGAGTGAGCCGAGGTAACTCATCATATTCGGCCATTCTGGATCATCTTGGGAGGTCTTGCGAATATCCCCTCGTACCAATTGGATGGCGTTTTCCAGCTCTTCCATTCTATAGATTGAATGCTGGTCGAACGTGTGGCCTCGGTTTTCTTTCTCTCCACACTCACGTACTATTCATGCTCATACGTGGAAGGTTCGCGCAAATATCGGCGCCAGTGGCAGTTGAATAATAAGAGATGAAAGATGGAGATCAATGCTTACTGCGGCTAGAAACGCTTCTTATCCTATCGCACATGCACATGGATAAGCCAGGTAACCAGTAACAAGTGTGAAATGGTCAAAAGTGCATTTGCCTTGTAACGTAGCATGTACACGTATGTACACATAAGGCTGCAAGGGTCGATAGCCAGCCCTTTGTAGGGGTACCTCCACCCAAGCAATCGTTCCGAGTCGTAAAAGCAGGAGCATTAACAGGCAAACTAGTATACTCGCAGCACCTGGCTAGTTACAGAAACCAAGCGTGAAATGGTTCTCCCGATAACTCATCGCCAAGACTGGAGCGAGTTCAACTTGGTGCTACTAATCTGCAATGTCGTAGTCTCTGACCTACCCCGCAAACCCGGGAGAAAGAGTAATGAGTAGGAGACTTGGCTTGACCATCAGGCTGTGCGTCCCACACCATCATGCATGCATGATATGAGCTGGATTAAAATAGCACGGCATTGTTGCCCATAATCACGCGGCTCGGGATTTCTTTTTTACGCCGCGCAAGACTGTGCTCATAAATTGGGCTGTTGGGCACTCATCTTAGGTTTATATCACTTGCTTCATTCATGAGTATTATCAAACTCATTTCTCCTCTGGTGTCACATTATTTCCACACAACCACTGAAGAGCCAAATATGACTCCTTTGAATCTGGATTCTCTGCCATTCCCACTTGGGAAGACGGACGAAGATGCTCGTAGGGATCCGATACTTTGCACAACTTGCTTCAACATCCACCCCTCGTCAGCCCGTACTGCTGTACTGAGCCCTCAAATACGAATGCATGAGCGCAGCAACTGGGATGGTGCCATAAGGGCAGCTCAGCTTATTGATGGAGTTAAGGAGACGGATCGGCTTGTTCTTGAAGCAACTCTACCCAAGTTGGTATCGTGGAATGTTGAAATAAATGTCGTTGATATGTCAAGGTCATCATCGGGCTGCGCAACTTGCTACCTGCTTAAAGAGGCCCTGAGAAAAGTATACAATGGGGTCTTGAATCTCGATGACTCAAGCTTATTCCTTGACGTTGTGTTTTGCGAGAAGATTGCCCTTCGCATTGGAGTAAAGCGGGAACCTGAGGATGAAGAGAGTGAAATCCTTTTACTTTGGGAACATAGAACTCTGGAACCAGTGGCTGGCTTGGAAACCTTTGAGCTCTACACTCTCCCTGGTGAGTCTTCAGTTTCGGCTGCTAAGGCATAGTTTCATGAGATGTACTGACATTTGCGAGGATCCCCTTCTCCGTGGCCCACGGTGGGATGTCTCATGAATCAAGAGTTTCCGCGCTCGTTTTTGGCTCCTTGGTTGGGCGGGCTTGCTGGACACGTCTCATCGGACCCTGGCTCTGATAATTGCTTCAGTACCATCAAGAAATGGATCAGGGATTGCAAAAGGAACCATCCCGTCTGTGCAGAAGCAGACAAAGCAATGGCAACTCCCTTCTATCCCAAGCGAATAATCAGCATTGGGCCTGATCTGAATAAAGAGATCCACCTCCTGGAGAGCAACAACCAGATCCAAGGACCATACATCGCGCTTGGTCACTATTGGGGGAAAAGCGGACGTTTGGCCTCAACAAAGGCCACAACAGAGCCACAATCGAGCAGAGTTTCTTACGACGGGCTCCCGCAAATCTTCCAAGATGCGATTGAAATTAGCAGGAAGTTGAGTATCCACTATATCTGGATCGACGCGCTGTGCATCGTTGAAGATGGTGAAATCGATTGGGAGATTCAAACCGCTGAGATCGCCTCCATTTATAGCCATGCCGAAATGGTTATTGCTGCAACCGGATCAGTTGGTGATGACGGAGGCTGTCTCTTTCAGAGAAAACAGTTCGCGACAATTGCCGGGACTTATCCAACTGGGAAACCATTTGAGATATACGCACGCCAGTCAAACTCGCATGACCAGTTCAAATGGGGACCCTACGACATCGATGATTTCACGGGCTCATCTAAAGTCCCACACGACACCCACTACCCACGTTCTTGGTGCTTCCAAGAGAAACTTCTGAGTACTCGAATCCTACACTTCACAAAAGACGAGGTTATTTTTGATTGCTTGGCTGGGATCGACTGCGAGTGTGGAGTGCTTTTCCAATACGAAGATAACCCCTTGCTTCCACATCGTCGCATTCTCAAAACCGGTCACAAGCATGTGGCCGGCCGCACGAGTTATCGGCCCTCTGAAGATTCCGAGTTTTACAAAGGAGTCACGTTTAACGAAGACGACGATGAATTCGCGAATCATCACGAGCGTTGGCGAGATCTGATTGTCCAATACTCTATGGACATTGAAAACGAACTCGACCGTCTTCCTGCGATAGGCGGTTTGGCGTCTAGATGGGCAGATGGGCAAACTGGGAGATACTTTGCTGGACTCTGGGAAACGGATTTGTTGAATCACCTCCGGTGGTACCCGGAGAAAGACGAAACCAACGAGACCCAAAATATCGACAGTGAGCTCGGATACATCGCACCGAGTTAGAGTTAGGCCAGTATCAACAGAGGCGTAACCTAGGGGGTCGCTACCTTCGAAACCACTCAGTCGTTTGTACAGGTCGACTTCAATAGCACTACATGTGGCACGAGAGACCTCAGCCCGTTTGGAGCGGTTACGTCTGGCCATATCTTTCTCACTGGCACAATTCTAAAGGTTAGCCTTTTAATATCACATGGTAACGCCCGGCTCAAGAAAGATGGCCATGATAAGACCGTGGCGTTTAGGCGGCCAGACAATGGGTCTATTCTTCGGAAGCTCGAGTCTGGGGACTTCTTTTGTCTTCGGTATTGCACCAAAACCTGGACGCAGAACGCATATGACGATGATTGCGCATTGGTATTGGTAAAAGCAGATATGAAGGATCTGACTCGGCAACAGAAAGAAGTCCAAGAGAGTGACTTTGTGTACAAACGGGTCGGATTTATTTTGAATTATCCTTCAAAAGCCTGGGATCACAACCGAGATTCAGTCATGGTCAATATGTACATAGTTTAACGGTAGGGTGTAAACGAATTTTGATTTGAGCTTATATCGATCAACTCTTCCCCAGAATGTTCAACCAACCAGTCAGTGGTGACATTAGGCGAGTTGGCAATTTTGCCAACGACGATGTGAACCAAATATCCTGTGCTTTCTGGCATGGGGGCTACTTTTGGTAGTTTGGAGCCGCGCTGAAATTCTGAGAGATTTGGTTCGCGTCCCCTGGGCTGAGTTGTTAATATTCTAAACCAAAATCCTCAAGATAATTGAAGATGTCGGGCCCAGTAAGAGCACTGCGAGCTCCACCAACGACTGTGGTAGTCTCGGCTACCACAGCTTAATTTACAATAGAAATATAGTTAGTGCCAGATTGGTGTCCGAACGTTGAGTACTATAATATCTTTTACCTTTGGAGCTTAAAGGTAAGGTTTAAACGGAGGGAAGTATTCAGTACGTACGTAGGGTTTCCTATTGCCAACGGTCAGTAAGGTCAGAATAAAAAGGTGAGTGAGTCGGGGTTTTCCGGTCTTTGGGGATAAAGGTCATCTGATCAGACGCTTGCAGCTAGGATCGGTGGCTTCCTTCAACAGGAAATACCGTACCGGGTAGGGACCAGTAGCCTGACCTATTGGGACCATAAATTGGGATGGTCTTGTATAAGACCTGTTAGCAAGAGTCATCTCTTTTAGCTTCTCATTCAATTGACAGTCTTTTGGCCTATTCTTTTGAGACCTCTTAGAGATATATTTGATCAAATGGTATCAGCTGAGAAAGTCATCAATTTTGTTCAGTCAAGCTATTTATCCACATTTTGATCTTGACCCTATCCGACCTTTCCGTCACAGCACTATTGCGGTCATCACAGCTCTGCCTCTGGGTGGGTTGTGTGTTCTTAGTGCCCTCTGCTCACTCCCTCACTCATGAGAAAAAGAGCTATAGAAATCTACGTGTGATATAGCTCTATTGAATCCAGTTTTGCATCTCTTAGCACTGAGCGTGGGTACTAAGCGTGTGGGTCTTTGGTTGCTACTTTTATATGTTTGACCTGTCTGGCGATATTAAGGTTAGAGAAACGAAATCAAGTTTCTCTACTTATATCCGGCTCAGTAGCATTGGTTTAGGTGTTGCATTCTGACATACGGCTAACTTATCAGGTCAAAGTGGAATTGGCACTCCAACAGGAGGCATTGATAATAGCGTATATAGAGATGCCTAAATATGCCATTTTATCATTCATTCATGGAGTAAGTTCAACCTCATCTTCTGGACGCTCGTTCAAGCCCTGATATCTCATACTCTCCGCTATGCCAGCCAACTCAACCCGTACGACAGTTCTGCAAATTATGGCGCTGCCCACAAACCTAGCAATTATCATGACCGAGTCTACCACGCTGAAGAATAGGAGACTGGACATCACGAGGGTGCCAAAGACGACGTGGACGAGGATCCCCAAATTCAATAGCCACGATAATACGGGAAACCAGAGGGTTTCCTTCGGTCGCCATCGAAGGAACTTCGGGGACTGGAAAGCACAGGGAATAAACTCCTCAAGGACCCACGATGGGAAGCCATCTACTCGTCTCCCGGTGCGGTACTTGGATTCGTTCCCAGGCCGTACCGTGACGCGCAAATGCAGAACGAGCGATCCCCCGAGGTGAATTACCACGGCCAGAAATGCCCACAGAGGCAGCAGGTAGGTCGTCTGGGGCGCGAACCCCACGACGGCGTTGACTCCCAGCCGATACGTCAAATGCGCGATATTGGCAACAGCGCAGCCAACGAGCAGGTATTCGAGGATGCTGATCCACGGCCGCAAGTACGGACTCAGCAAGCCCATCCGCACGCCGGGGATCGTGTCTTCGGCCTCTCTGCCCTCGACATATTTCTCCAGCGTCTCGACAAATTCGCTCCCTCTGGCTATGTTCACAGCCGGGCTCCCGCCCGCCAGCAATACGGCTAGGAAGGGCCGCCTACGAGCCAACACGGCCGACTCAGCCGTCCGGCTGCCGAGGCTCTGCAATATCGTCGGCAGCAGACCCAGGATGACGGCGCTGGCGCCAAGCTCGGTCTTGCGAAACTCGGGAAAGTTGTTGAGGATGCATTCAATGAGCGGGGTGATGAGAGATGAGGGGCTGTTAGGAGGCTGGATGCGGTCGGTCCGATAAGACTCGAATTGTTTGGAACAGTTGTTGTGGATAATATCTTGTAGATATGTGTTCCAGCCGGGGAAGAATCGATCAAAATGGTGTGTGGAGGAGCACTGGGCCAGGGATGAAAACAGTGACGCCGTTGTCAGAGCAAGCTGCCATGGCTTCATTTTGAATGCGCGAACAAAATAATAAAGGAAGAGCTTTGCCATGTCAAATAGGATAAGGCCGGCCAGCACTCATACTAATCATTGCCTATGGGGGCCAAAAGTGCGAGGACAATCGCAAATACCTCATGTGATCAATCAAGAGTCACATTAATTGGGGGCCAAAGTCTGTGGAGTTGAATGGCTGGATAGCCTGCCCTGCAATTGTCATTTCAGGTCTCTAGCTACCTGCTCTATAGACATGTACTATTAGGCTGTCGCAGCTACAAATGGTCTCGCCTGCTGAGTCCATATAAATATCCCGTCCACTCGTGAGGGCGATGGAGTTGGTAAGCAGCGCGAGGAAACAATACGTTGCAATAAAGGAGGAAGAAACATGTATGACCATTGGATGCACACAGAGTTGTCAGGCGCCGCCTCACTTGCCTCCAAAACACATCTTCATTTTACCTCTTGACTAACCTAGCATACACATTGTGCATGAACTAGTATATCAGGGCCTCCAAATCGCAACCTCACATCGCTCTGATTCATATATACATAATCCCAGACGCCAAAAACTCCAATCATGATCTGTCATCCACCCAGGTGGCAGCCGTCATGGTACTCCAGTCCTACCCAATCCCTTCATAGTGGCCGCGTGGGTGCCCAAGGTACAAGTACAAGAAAAAAAAAGGCATTAGAAGAAGATGACACAAATGTGCTCCTAGTTTATAGATCCGCCTTTCACGAATCGTTCGGAAACCTGGACCTTGTCGTTCCCGCGCTCCAAGATTTTTGCGACCAGCTTGTCGTCGTTGTCAAGCGCAACAATGTCGTCGGCACCTCCAATGCTCACACCATTGATCATAATGTTGGGGACCGTCCTCCGGCCAGTGCTCTTTGCGAGCTGGTCTTGTAGAGCAGTCATCAAGGGGTGCTTGTCGAGCTCGACGACGTAGGGCTCGGGGGAGATAGAGTACTTTTCCAGCAGGATACCTTTGGCGCGCTTCGAGAAAGGGCAGTAGGACTTGGAGAAGATGATGACTGGATGGTTGTTAGCAGAGTGCCGCCACAAAGTCTGTCGTTTCACGTACCAGGGGCTTTGGCAAGGATGGAGGTGAGCTCGGATTGCGCCTCTCGCACTTCCTTGCTCGCCTCAGTTTCCTTCTCACCGGACTTAGCAGCGTCACTGTTGCCACTGCCACTTCCGCTTCCGCTTTCACTCTTCTCAGTTTTGTCCGTCTTCTCGGTCTGGCCATCTTTCTGGCCGTCTGCGGAGCTTCCAACACCAACGACCTGGCCGGGGGCATCGGGTCGCAAGCCGCCCTTCTGGTTGGCCTTTTCCTTGGCCTGCACCTCGGCGGCCTTCAGCCTCTCCTGCATCTGAGCGGCCATTTGGCGGTCATCGTCGTCGACATCGCCATCAGCATCCTTATCGGCGGGAATATGTCCAGCTTTCTGGCCGGTCTGGGAGTCCAGGACGGCTTCTCCTGCGCGTGATCCACCGTGCATTGCGTCTTTGGTCTTCTGGATAAAACCATGGGGGTTTTGCAGCTCGGCATCGTGGCCGGAGTCGAAGCCGGAGGTATAGAAGAGGATAAAGACAAATGTTAAAAAGGTTGCCAGCATAAGCAGGCGAACTCGACGGGGGGAGGGCATGGCGTCGGGAGGGGTGGTCTGTCGCAAGACCACACGAGGGCGTCGAGGGAGTCGGGTACGGGTGTTGGCTTGAACAGAGCTAGTCGGAGAGCTTCCGTGAGATGATCCACCGAGACAATCCCAAAAGAGTGAATTCAGTGAATGCGCGAAGCGAAAGGAACGTCACAGCGGTCGGCGGTCCGGTTCGTGGTCCTTTGGAGCATTGAAGTCAGGTTGTCGGAAATTGCTTGACGCCTTGACGTTCAGATAGGAGACCTGACCATAGCTCCTGGCCCGTATCTATAATTGGACGGACCCCGGGTCAACAACGGCGCGAGGTGGGGCTGGGCCGTGCGGCGTGTGCAAGAAACTGTGTGCGTACCTTAAGATGGCCCCGATGCGATGAGATAATGACGAGACTGGAAGAATAGATGCTCACACTTTGGCTATTATTTAATTGTATGTCGGAGCAAATATTGACTTAAGGTTAATGAGTTTAAACATTCCGCAATATCTGACTATCCAGTATGGGTATTGAAACCACCAAATCGAAATGACACCACAAACTCCCTCCCATCCCACCTCCATCACCATACTCCACCACATTAGAGTTCAATTTGTGCTGAGCCGTTCCCTTGTAAATTACAATCATCCTGATGTACCTCCATAATTAATCATTCCTGCTGCTCGAGTTAATCAGGGTTTTGGTCAATCCGTCACTTTAACTCACCTTGGAATCCCCATAATTTGTGTCACAGTATAAACAAAGCCTCGATAGTCATGACCATCTTCAGCGTCATGACTCTGACCTGCAGAACCATCAAAGCTCTCGGGAATTGCTCTCGCGCTTGGTTGCTCTTGTTCCTCGAAGAGAACATGAGGCGCTGAAGCAGGCACCTCCGGCTTTGCGTGATGTCGATGCATGAGTTGAGCATGGAGGGCTCTGTGGCGGTGGATGGCGGGCGCGGCGTAGATGCCCATGGCCCAGACAAAAAAGACCACGCAGAGAGAGAGTCTGAAGGAAGCCATGATTTATTAGCTGAAGGCGTTTGAAGTGAATTGGATTGTTCTTTTTGTCGATATCACTGGATTTGGCTGCTTCCTTGATGCTAACTTATACCTGGGCCATCGCCGTTAAATGTCCCACTTACACCAGCCCCTCCCTGTAATGAACGTGACGACAGATGATCCTTTCCCGTTCACTAGTCTCCCCGTGACGCCCTGCCGATAGTAATTTGAGGAATTCGAGGTCATTCTGAAACATCGTCTTTTATCTTGGTGGTAAACGGTTCACGGTATGACTGCCCCCAGCCGCCCCCGACAATGCGCCCACAGCCGCGCCGCAGATTGGCGCCTGATAGTGCGTCAAAGTCCACATGAACGGACCGATTTCTTGCACAATCCGACTTTCGCAATTCAGCAGCGTTTTTTACACATAGCATGGAGCCTTGGAGCCCGCCGCTCCCTGAGAGTCATTGGTGCTCCTCGAAAGTAAGGGTGGGAGGTAGCCTTGAGACATTCCCAACACTGAGCCCCTTCAAGGCTTCGCCTCCTTCACTCATCTTGGAAGGGGAGAGGAGCCAGGACGGTGGTGAGGGGTATCGAGTGAGGGATGCGCTGTAAGAAACCCGCCCTGTTTATTGAGCCCGATTTGCGAGCCAATATCTCATGATTCGCGGGCAAATGCGGTTTCTTGAAGACAAGCCTCGTCACCATCATTGCCTCGAGTCCGAACCCTCCGAGGCTTACAGCGGTGGACGGTGGGGCTTGCAGCGGGTTGTTTAAGGGATGACTAAGCGACCGGTAAATTCTGGGCCAATGAGAGCGTGCCAAAACTCATCTACCAGTGGCACTCTAATGATGCCAAGTTGCAATTGTACTAAACTTCTAGCGACTTCGATCCATCTGAATGAAGTGTCCTCTATCGTCAGATTGACTCATGATCGCGGATTTGCTGTTCTTTTCGCACCAAACACTCTCCCTTATAATCTCTTTGAGTTGAAGTTGGCTGGCCGATAATTCATCCCTTAATTCTCCCATGATACCCCCCTCGACATTATCCAGGCCCTGAATTCGCCCTCTCACCAAGGTTAACGCCCTGAAAGACTCCACTAAGACGCCACTGGGTGCAACGTCTAACCGCCCTTCAACCTCCAACCCTCCAACAACTCACCGCACATTCGGTTGACGAAGCGGGTACCGAATTTTCAGGTTCACAACGATGGCTCCCTCAAGGGCAAAGGCAACGACCTTGCCATTCCTCCTCGCCATGATATTTGGCGTATTGCTGTGCATTCTCGCAGCACCAGCCCAGGCCTCTTCCCCATCACAACCTTCGCCATCGGAGGATGTTGAGCTCATCTGCCACACCTCCAACCCAGACGAATGTTATCCCCGCGTGTTTCAACCAACGGACGAGTTCCAGACCGTTCGCGAAGACCAGGAACTCCCCAACGGCCTCCACGTCCGCCTCAACATCTGGACGGGCGAGAAGGAGGCCAAGATTAATGTTCCCGACGAGATCGATCCCTCGCTGGAGGGCCTGTCTGTGGAACAAGCCGTTGTCGTGGTGGATCCTCAAGAGCCCGACGCCCCTCCTGTCCCCAGAGGCGCGCCGAAGTATGAGACAGCGGGCAAGATCAAGGAGCCGAAACCGGAATTTGAGGCGGAGCCTTTTTTCCAGGCCGTGAAGATGTTGAAGAGCGGCGGTAGCCACGAGGGCAAGGCGTTTGATGTCGCGTTGGAAGGGATGGAGGACCTTTCTCACGACATCTACTACGGTCTTAAGATTACCGAGGACCCGGCCGTATTGAAGGGGTTGTTCTGTTTAATGGCTGATCAGGGAGTTCCCTCGACCGATGGCGCCACCCCTCGGGACCAGCAAGCGGCGGCCATCCTCGCCGGCGCGCTGCAGAACAACCCGACTGCCCTGAAGGAGGTAACCAAGGAATGGTCGAACATCATGGAGTTCAAATGCCCCCAGAATGGCAAGCCTTTGAGCGAGACCTTCTACTCCAGCTTCATGCCGTCCAACCCCGTTACTGGCGAGGACGCAAAACTCCCCGCCTCCAAGGCCAAGGCCAAGGTGGCCGCCATCAACGGCCTCATCAAGAGCGACTCCGTCAGGGCCGACTTCCTGAAGAGCGCCGGCATGCGGAACCTCCTCGAGGTGCTGGTTCCCGAGGGCAAGGAGTGGGCGACGGCGCAGCGAAAAGTCGGCCAACTAGTCCTCGACACCTTCCTGGACGAGGACATGGGCGCGAAGCTGGGCCAGTGGCCTAACACGCCCAAGTCCAGCGATGCCCAGTGCAGCACGGCCGACGGCCAGACGGACGAGGGCTGCTGGGACTACCACGTGGAAAGGATAATGAAGGCGAACAAGCGGGACAGCGGCCACTGGAGCAAGGACCTGCATAACCGGCTGGCCGTGGCACGAAAGAGCGGGAAGGTTGCGCCTAGTCATGGTGAACTATAGAGTTGGCATCAGTAATGAGTTGGTGATGCGGCTTAGGGACGACTATTAGGACCACACATCCCAAAACATTCGAATATATAGATTATGCCCGTCCATCTCTTTGATCCGAGGAAATATAAATACAAGCCTTCCGTATCATTTTGGACAGTCTATGTTCGCTTATATGACCTAGATGGTATGTTGTAAAATCGGCGGGTGCGTTGGTGGCCTCGCGAGCTTCATCACCCACCCAGTGTGAAGAGAATTTCACGTTACTGCTGCATCTCATCAACACCAACAACACACGAACCCTTACACCCTCTAAGCCACCACAACAGCAATTCCAGACTGCCATCTACGCGAAATTCGCAGCAGAAGTGAGCGGAGCAGAAAAAGATGTCGCCGTCGCCCGCCATCCAAGTCCGCCCCCACGCCACCAAAGGCCGCGCCCTCTACGCAGCGCAATCCTTCACGCCAGGCTCAACCATCCTCCCCTTCACGCCGCTGATCCTCCTCCCCGCGCTCTCGCACCTCGCGTCCGTCTGCGCGCACTGCCTCAAGCCCGGCACGCCCCGTGCCTGCTCGCGCTGCCACGCGGCCGCCTACTGCGACGCCGCGTGCCAGAGCGCCGCCTGGTCCGCCGTCCACTCCAAGGAGTGCAAGGTCCTGCGCCGCGTCGCCGCCCAGGGTCGCCCCGGATTGCCCACGCCTGTGCGGGCCGTCGTGCAGGCGCTGTTGAAGAGCGAGATTGGGGATGCCCTGCAGACGCTCGAGGGTAATGTTGAGGCGTGGAGGCAGAGTGGACGTTGGGCGGACATGGAGATGATGGCCATGGGCGCGAGTGCCTTTGCGGGCTTGGGGACCACGCAAGAGAATATCCAGAAGGCGGTTGGGCTGCTGTGTAAGGTATGGTTCTTCAAAACACCCGTTCACTTAAAATCAAGGCTCACGGTTGCCATAGATCCAGACGAATGCGTTTCATAGATACGACGCAGATCTCGGCCAGGTGGGTATCTTTCTGGAGCCCACACTCGCCATGGCCAACCACTCCTGCATCCCGAATGCCATGGTGCAATTCATCGGGAGAAAAGCAATCCTCAGGGCAGAGTCGCCGATTCAAGCTGGGGATGAGATTCAAATTTCTTACACAGGTCTGTCCTCGTCCACGCATGCTCATCAAATCATCGATTCTTATCTTACTCAATCTAGACTACACATATCCGTTATCCAAGCGAAGAGAAGCGCTGTCTCCATACAACTTCACCTGCCAATGCCCCCGATGTTCAAGAGACTTGAACATTTATCAGGTGTGCGCCCTGTCTCCTAACATCGACTTGAACCTTGCAAGTCTGGTATCCGACCTATCCAAACTCCGACGCCACCCAGCAACCACGAGCGATAGTAAAGCAGCGCTTGCAAACAAATACAGTGAGGATGTGGTCGAAATAATTGACTCGAAAGAAACTCCAAGCTTGCTTGATGAACGCCGAAGATATTTGCGAATCCAATATCGAAAATGCCAGCCGCTTGTCCGCGAAGGGTTTTGGGGTGTGTCGCCGCTGCCCCAGGTGCTGACCGAGATATCCATCTACTATGCAGAGGAAGGCAATTTTGTGTACGCCTTGGCCACAGCATGTTATGTGGCCACGTTCTGTGACCCATACCGATACGTGGCTCCATTTCATCCTGTTCGGGCGAAGGGTCTCTTTTTGATCGGCAAGTTGCTTGCCAACACAGCGGCTGATACAGCTGCCCTGAGCGCTTCCGTCAAGGCCATGGTATCCAAAGGGAATTTCGACCAGAAAGCCCTTCAGGCTCTGCAAGAAATTGACCAAGTATCCTTGTGTCAGATGTTGCTTCACATGATCATCCAGCAGACACCCGAAGGCTATGTTGAAGAGTGGGAGCTCTCTGTCTCAGCAAGGGAAATGCTAAGCGACATCGACCAGTTGCCGGGCCGGGATCAGGAACTTTCACTTATCAATGCTTGGAGACAAGATCCAAGCAGTGATCAGTCCCGTGCATTTTTCGACTATGCCGTTCTCAAGCAGATCGATGCTCTGGCGAGCCTTGGCCATGAGATTTTCATGACCGACTTTGGCGCGTAGATCAAACGTCGAGGCATGACTGAGAGGCGAGGAACTTTTTGCCTTCAATTGTCCTTGGCCTCCGTTGCTTCTTCATCTTTCTTTGCTTCTTCATCTTCGACCTTTGTTTCTCCGAATATCCCCGAGGACCGTCGGGCTGGGCGGCTCAAAAGTCCATTTCTCTTAATCGCACTAGCTGTGGGGGAAGAGTGTTGTGAACCGCCTGAGCTGGCGAATTCCGGTGTTATGGCTACGCGTTTCGGGGGGTTGCTGGTAGAATCGTCGTCACCATCCCTCAACAACGATGATCGTTTCATGTGAGTTCTTCCAGCGAACTGAAAGACGTTGCGGCGGTCTAGATCAGTCCTCAGCTGTCCGATATCTCCTTTCAACAAGGAAAGCTCCGATGCAAGTTCTTTGGCTGTTTCACCAGCCTCCCTCGCAATCTGCCTCGTCTTTACCAGTTCCTCCCTGAGACGCAAGTTTCCCTCCTTTAATTCGTCGAGTTCTGCCTTAGTCTTGGACAGTTCATCCTGAACAGCAGCATCCTGTTTCTTCCGCTGCTTCTCTCCAACACGGCGTACGGCGCGAATGTCCCCGTGAACTTTATCGAGTTCCCGCTCGAAGTACGACAGGACAGATCGAAAGGCGGATGCCACCTCGGAGTCTAGTACAAACTCACGCTGCGTATCGTCGGCAGTTTCGAGGGCTGATGCCTCTGTCTGGGGCTTTTGGTGCGAAGAGGGTTCGGAGGGTTGATCCGCAGGTGGAGGAGATGGGTCCCTAGGGGGGGATGATTGATCCCCAGGTGGAGATTGATCTCTAACCGTAGAAGATGGGTCCCTGATTGGAGAAGATTGATCGCTAGCCGGGGAAGATTGGTCGCTAGCCGACGGAGAACCGGGCACGTCTGCGTCTGCCGTAGTGGTGTCAACCGTCCATGAAAGAGAGTGCCGGATTTTAGGCTCAACCCTGCGGCGCCCATCGACAGTCGACTTGATAGCGACTGATTTGACGAGGAAGATGTATTGTCCACTTCGAAGAGTTAGTCACGACAAGGAATGCGAAACGTGTCATGAAGCAACGTACTCGTAAAGAACGTGGTTAGAGGGACTCTTCACACATCGTGTACCAAGCAATGCACTACACGAGGAGCATGCAATGTCTTGAAGTTTGCTGTTCGTAATAAACGGCGTTGATCAGCATGTGTTTGAGAGGTGCTCTTGTGACCATAGCTTACCAGCCCTTCAGAATGGTGTCGGCCTCTCCCATCCGCATGGCCCTGGACCTTGTCTCGAGATCCGGATGGTCGTTGACGTCGGAGACTTGAGCAAGGTACTTGTCGCCGAGCTGGATCCAGAGATTGTCGACGGTGCCCAACTTGACACCGCATTTGGCGCATTTGATGGCGGCAATAGCCATGTTTAGAGCAGGCGTAGAGGTGCCAGGAGGACGGATACAGTGTCGTAAGGGAGAAAAAGCAAAACAGACGTGGGAAATTCGGCGTAGCTACCCAAGCAAGGATCCAGCACCCCGCCAGTAAATGTTGTGTCGTCGACAAGGCGGTGACGCTCCTGATTGTCTGTGCAATTGGCATCTGTCGCGTCACCGGCCAGAAAGCGCGTAAAGTGCTTCACGGCCCAGTGCAAGGGTGATGTGGTGTTGATTGGCCAAGAGCTGCCAGCCTTCCAACGGCAAGATCCACCCGAGACCCGCTTGCCGTCGTTGACGAACCAGTGCACGGAAGGAACAGAACTTGCGGTACGTACCGCGTCCTTGCATGCGCTTGCAGCCAGCCTCGAAGTTTTTTGTTCAAGCGCAACAAGTACAGTGCAGGGTCTTGCATCTACAACTTCGCAGCCTTCCCCAAGCCCACTTCGCTCACCGCATACTGCTATCTTTGTTGACGGTGCGCATCGCTCGCACGCGTTCCAAGCAGTCGCCATGGGTAAGAAGTCCAGAAGAAAATCACAGCGCGCCGCCGAACATGCCCTCACCGTCCTAGGAAACCCTTCGCCCGCTGCTGAACCAGGCGCCCAGGTCCCTCACGCGAAGCCTCAAGATGCCTCCCCGCGCGCGGAGCAGCCCGATGAGACCAAACTCGTCGTCACAGAGGCCCAGGCCGACGACACAGAGCCCCAAGGCCAGAGCGACGGCAGCCTCAAGCGCGCAATGCCTCACGACGCCGATGACGCTGTCGATGATGGCGGCTGGCAGGTCGTGACTCGACCCAACAAGAAGCTCAAGAAAGTGCCCAAGCCTGGAAAGAAAAACTACCCGACCATCGCCTTCTCCCCCAATGCGCGCTTACAATCCAAGATCAATCTCTCCAACCTCCGCGACCTCGTCACCTACATTTTCGCCGATGGCCCAGGGCCTCAGTGGGTAGGCATCACCCATCGCCCCGCCTTTCGAAAGATCGTTGCCATCATGCTGCCTGGCCTTGAAGAGGCCATGTTTAAGTCATCCGTCGACTTTTCCGCCTACAGTAGCGACTCTCCCAAAGGGGAAAGCTCTGATTCACCGCCCGACGACTATTATCCCCGGCCGTTGAAGAAGGAGGCCCTCCCCGAGGCATTGCAACCTTTTGCAGACATGTTTCCACATCTATGGCCAGTCAAGACACCAGGTGATGACAGGCATGGAAAGATGCATTCTCCCTTGGCCGCGTTTCTCACCGCGCCCGCTCCCAAGGATAAGAACAACAAAAAAGCTGGTGTTAGACCTGCGTCCGAACCCCAAGGATGGAGAAATGAGAGGACTCGCATCACTGAATTCCTCTGCACAGCCGACGACCTAGCCGATAACGGATATCTCGTCCACCCAGCCCTACTACCGGAAGGCCTGCAAAAGGAGCAGTTCGTCGCCCCTGAGGGATGGGTCGTCACAAAAGTGGACAAGCTGGAGGATGGAGACGTGCCCGAGAAGGACATACAGCAAGGCAGCGTTACGGCAGGCCGAGAGGTCTTGGCCCTGGACTGCGAGATGTGCATGACTGGAGAGAACGAATTCTCGCTGACGCGCATCAGCGTCGTGGACTGGTCTGGCGAAGTGGTTCTCGACGAGCTGGTCAAGCCTGATAAGCCCATCACCGACTACGTCACCCAATATTCCGGCATCACAGAAGAGATGCTTGCTCCTGTAACGACTACGCTCCGCGATATTCAGAACAAGCTCCTCGACATCTTGAACCCCCACACCATCATGGTGGGCCACTCACTAGAATCGGACACCAAGGCCCTGAAGCTCACCCACCCCTTTATTGTCGACACTTCCATCATCTACCCGCACCCCCGAGGACCCCCTCTCAAATCCTCCCTCAAATACCTCGCGCAGAAGTACCTGTCTCGAGAAGTCCAGAAGGGCGGCGCTAGCGGACATGACAGCATCGAGGACTCCAAGACCTGCCTGGATCTTGTCAAGCAGAAGTGCGAAAAGGGCAAGGCTTGGGGAACTTCTGATGCCCAGGGCGAGAACCTCTTCCGCAGGTTGGCGCGAGCAGGTACTGCCTACAAGGCCCAAGGTGGAGAGGTTGGTGGCCTCGAGGTTGGAAAGACGAGCGCTGCGATCGATTGGGGTGACCCATCCAAAGGCGCAGGAGCAGGCGCGACGTACCAGCTGGGATGCAAGACGGACGAGGACGTGACTAATAACGTGATCCGAGCTGTCAAGGGTGACGACGACGGCCTCGAGATCCGCGGCGGAGGCGTCGACTTTGTGTGGGCGCGAATGCGAGAACTCGAGGCCCTACAGGGCTGGTGGAACCGCAATCGCGTGGATAACGCCTCTAGCGATGGCGGTCCTCCTCAGGACGACGTCGAAAGCTCTGCCCAGGAAAAGTCACCACTCGAACAGGCCCTGGTACGTCTCACCGAGCGCCTCACCCGGATCCACGAATCTCTCCCGCCATGCACCGCCTTCATCATCTTCAGCGGCTCTGGCGACCCACGCGAGATGGCGCGCCTTCAGCAGGTCCAAGCCCAATGGCGCAAAGAGTACAACACGCCCGGCAAGAAGTGGGACGAGCTGAGCGTCAAGTGGACCGACGTCGAGGAGCAGGCCCTTAAGGCAGCGGCGCGCAAAGCCCGGTCTGGCATCGGATTTGTCAATGTGAAATGAGACGACGACGAATTAATCCGAGGATAAACTTGGACGGGGAGAGGGTGATGCTGGCTGAAAACAAATTTAGTGAAATGGCTTGATGAGCCTGGACGTCGTGTAGGCACACGGCTTCAGGTTGTGATACCCCATGAGCAGCCAAAGTGCTGGATCTTTATTACGAGACATAGAGACGGGCCTGGAAATAAAAGGAATAAAGCCCACTGATCAAGATTATATAAGATTACAAGGCATATCATTACTACTCTCGTCGATGTCGGACGTGAAACTATGAACCCCCACTACTCTTCTCGGGGGGAACAATATCCAACTCAAGTCACATCCAAAAACTCGCTCAGCAAGGGTGCCTAAATCCCACGGAAATGATTCCAACCATCGCTGTGCTGGGCTGCGCTTTCCATTGCCTTCTTTTCCTCCGAATCCCTTCCCTATTGCCCCAGCTTTTTTGTTACGCCAACGCTAGTATGGACATTCTTAAACCGCCCGCAAGAAAGAGACAAGTTTCAAAACAATAACCCAGAAAAACGCCTAATCCCTTCGATCCTCCATAGCCGAGACCCAAGATTTCTGCGACGGCCGTGATCCTGACCAAAAGGCACGTTTTGCTTCGCATGGGGGCGGTGCGAGTGGGCATGCAAAAGTGCGTGTGTTGTGTGCGAGTAGTTCTATACATCGTGTACATTGGAGCCACCCAAAAGACAAAAAGAAAACATTATGTTGCTACCTGCTTCAGGTGCAAATCGAGTGATAGATGGTGGTTGATATAGGAAAGAACCTGTCCCCTAAGCAGGTTGTGTGATATACTGATGTAATCAGTCATGGTTTGGTGTGAAGTCGGCTCATGTTCGTGGCCGGGGAGGATCATCGACCACTAACTCGGCAGAGCTGCCAAGAAGGTCGACCTCGCGGTGTAAAGGGTCAACCTTGCTGATGCTATGGTGTGGCACCCTGCCGAAACTGGCAGGCCGTTCCTCTCGTCCTCCTTGGAGGTCCACCTGGGTGAATTCGCCAGGGAATTCCATGGATGAGTTGGATGACAACCGCTTCTGAGATCCCGTGCGCTCAAATGGGAGCCGTGACGATGCGGACAAGGTCGCCCGGTGTCGACTGGAGTTTTGGCTTGCAGAATCAGACCCTCCCATGTGCTTATCGAATGAGAGGTTGGATCCAGGCATAGTAAGACTGAGCAATGGTGCTGGGGCCTGTCGTTCGTGACTTCCAGAAGCCCGCTTTGAGCTCTTGCGCGGAATATCGGGAAGATCCATATCAGCAGCGACCTGGCGGAGCGCCGCACTGTGAGGTTTTTTCGACAAGGCCCTAGTTGGCTCCCTTGGGAACCTCTCGCCATCGCCGAAGGAGCGACGTGCCCGCTCAGCAACAGGGCTCTCAGGCTCTGAGTCTTGTGGGTCACCATTGTCATCAAGCAGGTCGCCCTCGTGATGTCTTGGTGAGCGCCTCGGAGGTTCGTCATCATCGTCTGAATCGATAGGGCCGTTCCGGAGCACACCCATGGCCACGGGAATACCTTCGGGTGGGGCCTCGCCGTTGAGGGCAGCGTTCCGTGCCATCATTGCAGGTGCTCTTGCGCTTCTGACGACTTCAAATCCCTTGCCCTTCTCCTTCGTCTTAGCACCGAACATGTTCCGTATCCATCCAGATGCCGTGGCAACAGGTCCTGTGGGATCCGCCGGGCCAGTTCCTAACCTCCTACCAGGTCCAGCGTTCAGAGCCGGACCGCGAACGCCATAGTAAAAGTCGACTTCACGGGTTGCATAATCGGGGCGGTTCGGGGGGAAGCTGAGTTGAGAGTATGCACCAGGAGGAGCCGGAGTTGCACCGCGGGAAATCTCCGCGCCCATATCAGTTGATTCGGCCGGGGTCCCAGCTCCAGTCTGGCTAAACCGTTTGGTTTCCGCGTTGACAGAGCCGGCCGGCATGTCCGAGTGTATCGAGTCGTTGAGCGTCTCACGGCGGCGTCGTGGCGGTCGATAGTAGGGGCCTGGAACCTCGGAGGGATCGGTAATCGATGTAGAGGGATGGTGGCGTGCGGCGGTGGGCGAAGGGAGGAAGGAAAATGTACTCGCCTCACCGGGTGTGTCTGGCATGTACGAGCTACCGCTGTCCATATTGCGCTGCATGCCAGTATAGGCGTCGATGCTATCGAGTGCCGAGCTCTGCCTGTGATGCGCAAGCATTCCACCCAGGCTTGCACCAGACTCGCTTCGTACTCTCCCGCTTGGCATGGCGTACCCTGACTTGCCGCTGTCATCGGCATCTAGCATTGCGGTGGTAGACAATTGGCTGGCTCGTGAAGGCCCAGCGCGATGCGTGACCCGACGTGACAGCTGCCGCATGCCGAAGATCTTGGACAATCCTCCTCGGGTTTGACCCTGCAGGTCGTCTCCGCCGGCACCCAGCATTCGTGCGACAACCTCAACGATCGTCTGAAGAGCGTTGAGGAAGAAGCCGAAAATCAGAGCGGCGCCGTGAACTCCCAAGATGACGTATCCAATCCACCCTTTCTGCCCCTCGGTGACGCCCAGGGAGGGCAAGAATGCAACCATTAACAAAATGGTGATGAGTCTCAATGAGCAAAATAGGGTGTGGTAAGCGTTCATCGACGTTGCAGACTGAAATGGACGGAAGGCGTGAATAGTGAGGATTTGGATGACCTCGCATATAGCGAGCAGCACCACCTGCGCGATACCGCTGGGTTGAACAGCACCAATGGCGACGCCGCGGATGAAGGTGATGAGAACCGGGATAAGGGCGTAGGCGGCGGCCTCGTCGGAGTATGTGTTGTATAGGGGACCATACAGGAGTACAGTCGGGAGATCATCGTAGAGAAATGATTTGGGTCGCGTCCTGATGATGAGGTAAAAGAGGTAGCAGGCAAATACAATCAGTAGAACGATGGTGACAACGGCAAGGCCGACAGTGGAGGCAGGGGAGCTGCCTGCAACCACTAGCTGAAAGCAAGAGAGCGCCACGATGGGTAGCAGAAAGAAGATGAAGACGATGCGGACAACGTTACCCACAGAGAAAGGGATATTCTTGGCACGCAGGTCTTCCTCGGGGGTGTTTCTGATTTTGCGGTAAAGCCACTGGATGAGAAATCCGGCCTGGATGAGGACAGTGACGCTCGCGATGCAGACACACAGCCAGATCATCATACCAGCCCAAGCATCCTCAACCTCAGCCATGCCGACCAGCTGGCCGACCTCCTGGAGTCCATATGTAGCATTAGTGATATAGATGCCATCAACGACACTCTGCCACGGGGGGGCTCCGGCAACAAAACTCTCATTGAACATGAGGGTCGACCAGGCCATCTGACTGACAATGGGCTGGTAGAAGCCAGGGTAGTCGAGAGTGAGCCCGCCGGTCAAGGCCACAAATTGGATATACTGCAAACAGTCGCCGAATCCCGGAGTGACCAACCGGAGCAGATCCGCATCGCGGCCGTAATTTGAGGTCCAGTGAAATATGTCGGACGAACCCCAGGGACTATAAATCGCGGAAAGGAGAATTGCAAATCCCGTGAAGAGAAGAATCACGAGTGGCAGGAACTTGAGGAGCCACGCGAGGCCGCCGAGATCGGGAGTGATGATTGCAGAGATGCATCCGATATCCGTAGCGGCCGCGTCGCCATATATGATTAGGAAGTTGGTGTCAATGGAGGCGAAGGCGTAAGATGAAAACATATCGTGTGTAGCATTAATTGAGGGTAAAGCATAAGGCATCGACCTATTTCAGAGCATCAGTTATCGCTTCTTTATCCAATAACTCACCACGGCGTCCGAGGGACTGGGACTGGGAACCTACAAGTTTGTGGTGTCAAAGACCGGAGACAATGGGCAGGTGCCGTTTACCAAACCCGACTCGCAGAAATCTACGGCGTCTCTCCATGGCTCGTAAGACAAAAAGTTCACCTTGCGGATAAGTGTTGTCGCCTTGGCATTGTTGGACGAGAGGTCGGAGCTGCGAATGATCTTGCCGTTGGTTTCATTGTCGTTCGTCCAGTACGGGTCCCCTGCAGCTGGAAGATCGGCGACGTTCTGGGAACCTGTTACATTCCCCCAGACGATAACCCGGAGGGTATGGCTGTCGTTTTTGGTGTCAAACACGGCATCTATTGCCAAAGGGATCCATTGTAGGGGATTGTTGTCGCTTTTGCGATAGGATTCGTCGAGGCAGTTTTGGATGGGGATTCGAACGGCGGTGGTGGGGGAGATGGCGAGTACAGCAAGGAAAATAACGAGAACGAGGTTCGTGGAGAGTCGTGATACGGTGGATAGTCGAGGGGGCCATGCCCTGCGTCTAGAACTGGTGCCCATGGTCGAGCGTGGAAGGCGCTGGGGAAGCGCAACAAAGGAGGATGGAGGAGAATCTACGGCAGTAGCGAGTGTCGTGGGCACAGAGCCAGACGGTTTAGAGATCGGGGGGCGTGCCGCATGTCGCCTTGTCGGCTCACTCTGACTGGGGTGACTATCGTGATCGTGGGGGAGGTGGTGACGACAGTGGTGGTGGTGGTGGTGGTGGTGGTCAAGCGAGCGCGCACCACCAGCGCTGGGATGCATGTTTCGAATGCAACCAGGAGCTATGAAAGAAAGAAAAAAGTAATGGGCGATAGCGAAGCGAAGCTGCAGACGGCAAATGAGACCTTGCGAGGACTGGGCCGGGGGGGAAGAAATCTGAGGGGGGCGGGTCGGCGGAAGGATTCAGGCGGCGGGCATCTTGCTGGAGGAGTCGACGGCCGCTGGGTGGGATTGCAGCAAGCACACGAGGGACGTCAGAATCTCGGGGGTGGTGAATTCGGGGTGTTGAATCGGGTGTGGTGAGGCGGGAATAGCTTCGGAGAGCGGACGACCGCAAGAGTTCAGGGCGGAAAGAAGGACGGAAGCGAAAGGAGGAGGATACGAAGAGAGGACGACAGAAGGAGAGAGTGAGAGAAAGAGAAAGAGGGAAGGCGACAAAAACGAGAGAGTCGAGATACGAAATCAAACCCCGGCCGTCCAGAGTGCGTGTGGGAGTGTGGGAGTGGGTGTCAGGTGTGTGTGTGTGTGCCTTGCTTCCTTGGCCCAGATGCTTGGATGCTTGGATAAGGGAAGGAAGGAAAAGAAGACGGTCGGGCTAAGGAAAGTAAGCAGACCTACCACGTACCTACCTAGTAGCTCCGTGCCCGTGGTGGCTTGTTCGCTGTCGCTGCGCTGCACTGCACTGCCTGGAAAGCTGGAAAGCCTGGAACCGCCCAAAGCCCCTCCCCTAGCGTTCCAGGGACCTCTCTGCGTGTCTCTCCCCCCCAAAACCGCCGCCCCGCCCGCTGGGAACCAACTTTCTAGACACCCGGACACAACGCGCTCGCTCGCGGTTCGAGCTTGGGGCGCGCCACTACTGCTGCGCTCCGAAGGCACCGGGTAAAATTAGCGGCCCTGCCGGTGGCCGAGCTGCGCCCAGGCTCCTCCCAGTGGCTCCACGGGCGCAGAGAGAGCTAGGTACCAGAACCCTGCAGCGCTGGACAAGCTGGACACTACTTTTTTTTGCGTTACCTGCGACTGTGGCTGATGGCAACGCCCAGGCGCTAGCCAAGGTACCGAACCCGACGCTTTTCTTGGTGCTGACCTCGTACCCATGGCCCCCCATGCCCCTTGGAGGAGAAATCATGGCTAGCATGTTTTTGTTCTTACGGTTTGTGTATGTGTGTGTTCTTATGTCTTTTGGGTTTGTCGTTTTATGTTTTCGAGATGAACCCTGTCACGTTTCCCTCCCGCCGCAGCCCCCCAAGTTCTCGTTGACGGCGTGCAAGGGCCCGCGGATCTCTATGCATCCCGTAAGAACTAAGGTAAGGGAGGCAGCGGGCTTGAAGAATGCCCGACGCCGGCACTCGCCGGTGCCATTCAGGTCTCGCCAGTGCCATTCAAGTGCCTGAGATGGTCGCAAGATGGGCTGCGACAGGCGACAGACTGCCCAAGTACGAACGACAGGCCACTCTGCAGTGGTGTTTATGTACCACGTACAGTCCGGAAGTGCTGGAGGCGGCAGTTTTGGGAGACTAACACTGCCTGACGTCTGTACGTCATGGCGCGCGACGTGGGTACCTTTTTGTGGCCCTGGCCGGAGGGACGGGGTTTATTAGCTGGACAGGCATCGAGGGAAAACACCGGCCGTCTGCCCTCTCTGGCTCGGTACGAGATGATCGCCATACGGGACAATGCAAGCGTTACCTGTTCGTTTATTCCCACGGATCAAACACAGATGCAAGGAGCATCGCGAGCGCCTAGCCACAGCCACACTCCGCGGTTAGGAGTCGTCCCGATGCACCAGGTGAACCGGCCGTTGAACAACCCAGCTGCCAATGTCGGCTCCGCTTCCTCATACTGGCCCATCGTCATCATCGACGCGTCCATCCGTCATCCGCGCCCTCTTTCATCCTGTCCTCCACCTGTTTCCCCCACTCCCGTTCGCTGGCCCTGCCTGCAGTGTTATTGCGACTACGTACGTCTACGTCGGTGCCACGTTACTAGAGGGACTGCCGTGTTGTGTTGCTGTGCTGTATAATAAATGTCGTCTCCCCTTCCCCCCCCCCCCCCCCCCAAAGGACCGTTATCCCCATATACCACCACCCAACATCTCAAACCCTCAGCCCATTTCACAAATCCCACATGCGCTACTCTGCCCATCCACTTCCATGGTCCCCCCGTCCGCCAACGGAAATCCTCAACGGCGGCGGACCGCGCGAGGGCGGGTTAGACCACCGGGCCACCTCCGAGTGAGCCAGCGAGGGCACGCACGCAGATACGAGAAAAGACCATCCGCCCTACCACGTAAAACGTTCAAGCGACCAGCACGTAAGTTACGTAGGGGCGGTTTCGTCTTGGCCTTTCGGAGACCAACGATGCCCATTCGCCAGTGCGCCGTAGCCCCCCCTTGTGCAGAGTGCAAACGGCTAGCCTCGAGAAGTCGCGGCTATTTTCAGAACAAACCCCATCCCGCCAGAGGCTCAGAGTCAGAGTCAGAGCCCACTGGGTACCCACTCTCACGCATCTCGCCTCGCGACTCGCCTCAACTCACCCTTGCACATCCAGCTCGGTGCAGCAGTACGGGCTTCCCCCCCTTAAATTCCCACACTATACGGAGCCCTACAGAGCCTGACTGGATCAATGTACGATCACTGACGGAGTACCTACCTTGTGTTTGTTTTTTATACGGAGCAAGGGGATGAAAGTTCCTTCACTCTGCATCTCTCCATCTCGCCAAATATTCACTCGCATTCCAGTGCAAATAGCCATCTTCATCGTCATTGTACATAAATAAATACGGATGCCATCAGCTCACTTCCGCACTCACCACCCAACCCTCGCATATGTCCATACATAGTAACTTGTCTCAACACTGATCCATCCATCCATCCATCCATCATGTCATCATACCCCGATCCACGATCTAGACCAACCACCGTGTCTCACTCCCCACACATCGTCGACGCCTCTTCACTAAGCATAGCCACACTCAATCCCCTCCTCCCTTTTCGCCCTCCAATTCGACATCGCTCCTATCTGCCCTGCGTAAACTTGCAAACATGCATCTTTCTAGCCTCCGACAACGCAGACTCCCTCACCACTAACATTAGAACTGCACACACTACTATCTCTACATACCTTACCTATATCTGTAGTTCAAAAAGCCCGTGTCTGCCCGCCCCTCTCAGAATTTAGCTCGCACCGTCTTGTCAGCACTCCCACCTGCAACAACATTGTCGGCCCGTCGTTAGTGAGATTCATATTCAGGACTTACTGCACCTCGTAACCCTTAGGTCCTCTCGCTCCCCAACCATCAGCTTTTAGCCATTAGCTCCCCGGCTTTCAGCTCCCTCCCGCCTTTTCGCCCTCCACATGCCCTCACCCCACACCTCCATTGGCCGTAAGCGGGCCACCAACACCTGATTCTTGGCTCGGCTCCCGGCAATCTCGACACTAGCCACTTCAAGCCTCTTGGACATGCAATCAATTTCGACGTGAATAGTTAACCACACTAGCAATCTAGACTTCTCAGCTTCGTAGCACAGGTAATTTCCTGCACACTCCCGTTTGTTGGATCGGTGGCCCCAAGATGTCAGCAACAGATAACGCACTTGTCGAGAGATGGCTGCACATTGTTTTGCCTGCTCCCGAGACATGTACATTGTACCATATCCTCACACCCTCGACTTGCCCTTGGCCCTGGACTTGAGTGTGAATTCGTATTCCGCCTGAAGACCGTCCTCGCCTTCCATCCACGAGCTCACCGCCTCCTTCAATCGGCTTTCAACAATTCCAACCTCTTCCATGTCCCTGAACTGTAACGGCGAATCATCATCCCATACTTGAAGATCCTGTCCCAATGCCATATACTCCCAGATCGACTTTCTCAAGTCGCCAAATCCAAGCCCAACTCTAAGTGAAAGTTGTCGGGTTTCATCCTGAGTTGGCGTTATCTCTAAGGGTAACATGTGTGAGCCTAGCCTTTTTGTTCGTCCACTTAGGGTTCTGGAACATTTTCGGTTCATCGAGTGATGTCGGGGATTTTGTTCCTCCTTCGTCGACGCCTGGCTTCTTGACCGGCTTCGATGGCGTTTGGCGGACCGAGCTCGAGGCAGCGACATACCACTCCTCTGTACCAGGGCCGAACCATCTCCATGTCCTTTGGTTTCGCTCCGGCTGCTTTGGTTGGATCTTTCATCGGGTGGCGCAGATGTTCTCATCAGAAGTGCTTGAGACATGTGTGACCATTGTCCGCCTTGTTGCCGTAAGGTCTCACCGGTAGCCATGGCCGGAAGTTGTAAGAAATCAGGGTGGTGGGATGCTGCTTGGAAGAAAATGTCATGTTGATCAAAGTTCTGGGATGAATTGCCTCGGCTTGAAGACTGCTAGTCTTTCTGATGTTCACGCCCATTATTACTCTGCATTGTGCTATTCGTGTGGGAATCCAGCGCATTGTGGCTTGATGTCATCGAGTCTCGTCCATCCATCAGAGGGCTTACGTGGTATAGTGCTTGCAGCGTGCGCCCGCTCTCTTGCACATGTGGGCTACTCCCGAACGAAATCGTTGTTGGTCTCATGCTGATGTCTTCTGCCAAAGATTCTGGCTGTTTTGAAACTCCGCGAGATGTTATCTGGATTCTTGTCAAGGGTGCGCTGCTGCGGGAGAGGGTTGTTGGTTGAATGTAGGACATTCGCTCTGGTGGCAATGTACCCGATGAGGGTGGCGTCTGCAGGGCAGTAAATCCATCAAAAGCCGGGGACATGTCAGGAATTGCGCGAACTCTCCGTTGTACTCGAGTGACAGACCCGGGTGGAGTCCTTGCTGGGGGGAGAATCGTTCTGCCATGTTCATTTGGGATCATATCCGCCTCGTCAGCGGTTATATCGTGTGATCCTTCAGTCCAAGGAGCCACGAGGTCTGCCCGTGGAGCATTATGGGGTATGGGCACATCTGGCTCTGGGCTGGAGAAGTCAGACATAGCCTCATTTCCTTCGTCTTCGTCGTCCTCTCCTCGAAGCGCGTTCAACATTGAGTCCGTTAGCTCCCTCAACGGCTGGCGTCCAATCTTGTGCTGCCTTGTAGTCTCACATATATTGGATTCCTCATCGTTATGCAGGTTTCCTAACGTGGCAGTTTCATCTGATGCAATCTCTATTGGCGGATCCCTTTTCGACTGGAAATACCGACCAATGCCTTGCTGATGACGGGCTGGGGCTGAATCATTGTGTTGCAGACCAGATGGCGCCTGGTTGGTTGTTGGGGAGGTATTGCGACGTGGTGCAACCTGCACTGGAACCAATCCAACTGTGCAACCCTCGTCGCTAGTGTTGCTTTCTGTGCGGCCCAGGTTGACCTTGCTAACCACCCGCATCATTGCTAGTACTGTTTTTGGGTTACCTGCGTCACCCGGTTCCTCGTCATTGGTTTGTGTAGATGTAAGCGCCCGTTGGCTTTCCAGCCCCGTCGCACCATGAGGGGGCGCGTTGCCGTTTGCTCCAGAGGCGGTCTCAAAATTATCAAGAGCCGCAAGGAGTTCCAGATCATCTATCAAGAAATCATCCTCACCGACATTAGGTGATTCAATATCGATCGGGGCTGCTCTTAAAACGGAATGATGCTGAAAACTGTCCTCGGGGAGGCTTGCCCGACCACTTCTGGGTGGTGGTTTTGAGTTGGTCATCCTATCGTCGTCGATCTTTGCACCGGCATTTGTGAGAACTCCGCAAGGCGAATCTCTTGGCTTGTAAACATGATCGCATAAAGCCTGGAAGGAGTCTAGCAACCCTTGCTCGTCCTTGAAGATAACTTCATCTTTCAAAGGGGACACATTGGGATCGTAGGACCCAGGTTGGCAGTTGATGCTCAATCGCAAGAAAGGTCTCGTCGCCCCACCATCTGTCAATGCTCCGGCGAGTTGGCTTTTGAGGATGGCAGCAATCTTCTTCCCTATCCCCCTTGATGACAGAATTGGTCGAGAGTCAACAGAGATAAAAGACCCCTTGTCTTTGATGACCCCCAACTGGGCGTCTGACTTTGGAAGGAATGCACTCAGAGTCCCCCATGTTGACACTAAATGCGGTTCTGTGTTCCGGGTTCTCAAAGATGTGGTCACTTCAACACATTGATCCACGAGGGAACGGCCGAAAATTTGCCTGACAGCTTCGCGAGTGGTTGATGAGGTTATTGGAGAGTATGACCAGGCTTGGTGAGAATCGCCAGGCACTTTGAGAGAGAGTCGCAGACTCGGAAGAGCCAACGCATATGTCTCCAGCAGCCGTTTGATGTTCGACAGGGTTTTGCGGCTCTCTTTCAGTGCAGTTTGCTTTCGAACAGGGAGGTTATCGAAAAGGTTCAAGGCGAGAACCGTTGTTCCGGTGGGTGCAGACCACGGCTGCTTCCTCTCGACGCCGCCGTCACCCGATCTCAACACGATCATGTATGCCACTGTCTCTTGAGCGGTTTTCGTAATGACTTTGACCGTAGCCAGAGAATTGGCGCTGGCAAGGGCCTCGCCTCGGAAACCCAGAGTTTGGCCGCCTTTTGTCTCCAGCTCTTCGAAGTAGCGAAGTTTGCTTGTGTGTGCCCGGCGACCGAGCAAGTCGAAGTCGTCGACCGGGATGCCCCGGCCATTGTCTCGGACTTGGATCTTGTCGAGAGTATTTGGAGAGACGATGACCTCAATTGAAGTTGCGCCAGCATCCACCCCGTTGTCAACTAGTTCCTTGACAAGGGAGACTGGGTTGGTGATGACCAGGGAGGAGCCGAGGAGGCGCGTTGTGGACGGTGGCAAAGAACGTATCGCCATGGCTGAAATGGCAGGTGAAGATTATATCGAGTGAGATAGGACCATTGAATTAAGATGCCATTAGATGCAATGAATTTATAACGAGATGGATGCTGATTCCATAGATGAGCATGCTATCAAGGCGACATGGTTCAGTCCGTGAGTGAAGGGGTGAAAATATTTCTCAAGCAGCAAAATTCCCCATTGCCAAGTGGAATCGGTGCCTTAGGTTGTCCGCCTGAAGTCACTAGGTGGGTGAGTAAGGTGAGTATATTCGGAAGGAAGGGAGGGTGAAGATGCTCCTGCCAACTGCCGCCCATCCCTGAGGTGATGTTAGTCGGAGGTACGTACCACCCAAGCCCCGTCCCTGCATCTCAAGCTGTGACGTGACGTCCTGACCCCGCTAAACATGGCATCAAGCTGCGGCTTTCTAAGTGCGCTTCGAGCCCCGCACCACAACCACATCTCCCCCAAGGCATCCCACCGTCATCACTTACGACTCAAAGCCTCTCGCAAAAACTCGCAGCTTCATCGCACCAATTCTCACACTCGCCACCAGAAAAACCCCACCGCTCAATCATGTCGTCGCTCAAGGGACCTTCCCCCCAACACCACGAGGGCTCTGCCCTGCGCATCGCCATCGTCCACGCCCGCTGGAACGAGACCATCATCGAGCCCCTCGTCACCGGCGCCAAGGAGAAGCTGCTGGCCTGCGGTGTCAAGGAGTCCAACATTGTCGTCCAGTCCTGCCCAGGCTCTTGGGAGCTCCCCATTGCCGTCCAGCGGTAACCCTCCTCCTCCCCGCCGCATTCCCTCGTCGAGCCGAGTCTCCCGGTTGTTCGTTGCTGACATATGTATGCTACGCTTGCCAGTCTCTTCTCCGCTTCTCAGATCCAGAGCACCGCTACCGGTGGCCCCTCCGCGACCGACCTTCTCGCATCCTCTACCCCAGACCTCACCTCGCTACCCGGCGGCTCGTCTACCTCCTCAGGAGCTTTCGATGCCATCATCGCCATTGGTGTCCTCATCAAGGGTGAGACAATGCACTTTGAGTACATTGCGGAGTCCACTTGCCAAGGCCTCATGCGTGTGCAGCTTGACACGGGCGTCCCTGTCATCCTCGGCGTCTTGACCGTCCTAACTGATGACCAAGCCAAGGCTCGCGCTGGTGTTGAAGGCAAGGGCCACAACCACGGCGAGGACTGGGGTCTGGCCGCAGTCGAGATGGGTGTCAAGAGGAAGGAGTGGGCCAATGGAACCATTGACGGTTAATGAGACACGTCCTCCAGTGTCCAAGGCATCAGGATAAATCGGCCGTCAACGGAAGTTTGGATCAACAGCAAGTGGACTGGTTGTGTATTATAGACTTGTTCGGCCTAAACAACAAAAAATAAATGAACACGTTATGCATATGGGAGAGCCAAGTAACTATACTTCAATGACCCCCGAATTATTCAATTACCGGCATAGAGATTTATCTATCATGCACCAGACGCGAATCCCAGCGAGCCGGTGCCCATCACTTCTTTCCCAGCAGACGCCCAACATAAAACCATAGTTCTAGAATATACAAAAATGTATGGGGCTTGCAGTTACCGCAGTTTGCTGTCCAGTCCCGCATGTTTTCGACATGTAAAAATAGGGCGTTTGAAATCCAATCTCTTCCCTGATAGTATCTTCATGAGATGGCACCTGAATTAAATCATCGCACTCAACTCGCTACCCAGGCCCTTCTTGCTCTTCCACATCGTACGCTTCTTATCTCTCTTCGCTTTCATGGCTTCCCAGCCCTCGTCATCGTCATCATCTGACCCATCACCAGGCTTGACAATGTTGATGGTGGCTTTGGGCTTGCTCTCGTCCCAACGTCCGAGCGCTCCAGACATGGTGCTCGTCCGGCGATGAGCGTCAGGGACTATCGGGTTGAGCTGGGACACGGGTCGGTATCGGCCAGGGAGGCCGACGTTGCTTCGCTCAGATGGCGCAATTGACGGCGTGTAGCCCATTCCCATTCCCATCCCCAGCACCGATCCGCGGATGGACCCAGCATATCCAGGCTGCTGGATGAACGAACCTGAGCTGGGCTGCACCATACTCATGGTGCGAACTCCCGGGTCCATCAGGCGGGGAGGCTCCATTGTCGGCTCGAACATCATCGAGTGCCGTGATGACAGGTCGTTCATCGACTGGGTCGCCGCGAGCCCTCCGTAAGGTTGCTGCATTTGTTGCATTTGTTGCATCTGTTGCATCTGTTGCATTTGCTGCATCTGTTGCATTTGAGGCATCTGGGGCATCTGCTGCATACCAGGGTTCTGAGGCTGGCCGTTGGCGGCCATCATTTGCATGAATTGCATTTGCATCTGCATGAACTGCGACATCTGCTGGGTCATCTGGAGCTGAGCTTGATCTCCAACAGTGAGCGATTGCTGAGGCATCTGGGGCATTCCAAGCATGCCTTGCATACCGCCCTGCCCACCCATTCCGTACATCATATGCTGGGGCATTCCTCCCATGGGGTCGAAGCCTGGTCCGTTCATGTTGGGCATGGGCTTTTGGCCATCAATGTTGGGGCTTCCACGTCGCATGGCTCTGTTCCGCTCCTCGGAGGCAATCACGCCAACCAGACCACCAGGTGGGAGCATCTGCTGGGGTTGCTGGGGTTGCTGAGGAGGAACACCGCCAGCAAACGACAAGGATTCTCGAATCGCTGGCCTATTAATGCCAGCACCAACAAAGGGATCCTGAGGAAGGTTGCGGGCAAAGGCGGGGAGGGTCGAGTGGCGCTGGTTTTGGTTTGAGCCACCGTCGCCCATCGCAGATCCAGGTCGAGGCTGTAGCTGAGCAGAGCTGCGGAGGTTAGGGTTGGAACCCATGGTGCTTAATCGAGTCGGTGGTCGGTTCTTGCCAGGGAAACCGTGGGCCTGGAGGATAGCGAGGGGAACTTCTTCGTCCTCGTCCTCATCAGAGATACCAGTCGGTCCAGGGGATGGCGTCTTCTTCATCAGGTGCAGTTGAGGTGCGCTCATGGACGGTGCCAGGTGTGGGCGGTCAATGGGGTTCATGTCCGGCTGCTCGCCAGTAACCTTCATCATTTGCTGTCGATACACGGCCATGTGAGCCTCCTGCTTCTTCCTCTGCTTGGCCTGCTGCCTCGACTTCTCGATATCATCATCGTCATCATCGTAGTTGATCTCATCGTCGTCATCGTCATCGTTGGCGGTAGGTTTCTGCTGAGCGGGTTCAGCTCCACCATGGCGCTCCTTGTCCTGGCGATATTTTTCAAACTGGGCGGGCGTCATGACCTTGTTGCGTGGAGGGCTCGGTGCTCGGGAGGCGTATCGATGGGCGAGTCGCGAAGAATGTGCTAGAGTTCCCTCAAACATGTTGTCGTCGCCCTTCTTGAAACTCGAGCTGAGAGGTTTTCTCCCGAAAGCGGCGGTAGTATCGAAAGTGTCCTCGTCTTGTTCATATCGGTCGGGTTGCGCCTTCGAGTAACCGTTCGAGTCGGACAACATTCTTCCGACGGCGATGGAATCCGAGAGTAACTTCGCATCCTCGTCTTCGATGATGTCGGATGGGCGACTGGCTGTCTTGAAAGAACTCTGGTGTCGTGGAACAGGTGGCGGCATATCTGGCTCGGGCGAGTTCGGAGCGGAACCCAGGAGACCGTCGTCCGAATTGCGGCTGCTGTTCCACGATGCGGGAGATGGCTCAACCCTGGTCGACTTGTTGATGCTGAGAGGAGCAGGCTGGACTGAACGATTACCGGTCAGAGAACGTGGTGCCGCGGAACCAGACTCGAGATTCTTCAAAGTAGCCATACTAGCTCGCTTGTCGAATGACGAGAACATGGAGCCAAAATCTCCACCCAGATCCATACCAGAATTCTCTTCTAATTTCGGAGGAGTTGCCGTGCTGGTTGTGGAATCAGTCATTCCTCTCGCTCGTCCGGTGTAGTCCTGGTGCTGGATGGTCGGGATAGGAGGCACTTCTGGGACTGTCTCCTGGAGAGGAGGAGCGCTGTGCTTCTTCTGAACTCCAAAGGAAAAGGTCCGACCAGCTCGGTTCAAGAATCCGGATCCGCTTGACTTGGGTGCTGCTCGGGCTCCAATGTCGTGGAGGTTCTTCTTGCCAGCGTGCTTTGAATCGTCGAGGTCTGCTGAAGAGGGAGCAGTCGAAGCGTTGCTGTGCCTTGAAGAGGTATCAGTGGATGTGGCCTTAGTCGTGTTTGACGCCCCACTTCCCCTGAGAAGGAGTCAGCGCCACGGTGCATGACTATTTTCATGTGAAAAGAAAACGGACATTTTCACAAGAGGGGTGTAGTGGAGAGGCATTCCATGGGGGTGTGGGAAGAATGTGAATACTCACCGATTGCCACTCTTCAGGTCAGCAAACATGTTATCCTCTGCTTCCATTTCGAGCTGGCTGGGCCTGGAGACGTGACCAGTCGCCCTCGCCATCCTCGCACCTCCGTCGAACGACTTGTTGATTGAAGGGTCTGTTCGCTCGATGACTCGGAAGGATGATTGTTCAGGTGCTACTTGGGCATGCTGGAAATCTTCCGAGGTTGCGGTCGACTTCCGCCTGTTAAACGCGACACCGAATCTAGGCATGAAGGCGCTTCGGGGACTCGGTATAAATTATGTGCAACCCATAAACCAGAGATTTAGGGCAGATTGAAATGAAGTGGTCGATCGTCTAAAATCGTATGCGGAGGCGGTCGGCACGGGAAAAGAGAGTCGAAAAAAAGAGGATCCTATACGAGGCCCCTGGTGGCAGCGTGACGATGCGGGTATTCGTGGCGGGTCGAGTCAAGGAGCCGGGGTATGAGCCACAGAAACGGGCAACTGCATGATGGGAGGTTCCAGTCAGCGGAGGCCAGGGCACGAGAGGATGTGACAATCCCGTGGTGATCGTGATCGGTCACGCAGGCAAGAAGTTGGAGAGAGGCAGGACACCGGGCGCGAGGTTCGGACAGAAAGCTTTATTGGAGCGGGCAGCGCAGGCAGCGCAGGCCGAGCAACCAGGAATCGGCAGTTGTTTTGGCCGGGCGGTCGATTTGAGACTCGGGTGGTTGGTTGGCCGGACGGAGACGGGCATGTGTCATTGAAGGCAAAGAAAGTTTGGGACTCACATTAATCTCCAGAAACGAGGGACGGGTGGTATTAGGACAGCGCGTGGCTGAATGGCCGAACAGGGACGTCGGGACAAAGCGAAACAAGACAACGGGCACGAAAAAAGGGTTGCTGTCGGGTTGTCCAAAGACGCAGACAACAGCAACAGTTCAGGCGAGATCGAAAGCACAAAAACGGAGAGCGTGGATTAGGGGAGAGATTGGTGGTGAGGTTGAATAAAAGAAGAGTGCGACCAAGTGGCCCGACGGGTGACGGGTGACGGATGGGTGGGCAGGACAGGACGGGGATGGACGTCGCACAGTGCTAGCAGACAGTGCGGGGGCGGCTCGGCTGGGGCCTTCAAATGCAAATGCACGGCCTCGGTGGCTCTCGTCGGAGGGGAGCAACGAGCAACGAGCAACGAGCGGACTTGGACTTCGTACTGTAGCAGAGCCAGGAATGCGGGTCGATAGTGCAGAGGTGAGCGTCGGACAACGAAGGCGACGACGGGTGGTTCTCGAGAGACAGTGAACGAGCGGGCGGGCGATCGATCGAGCGAACGAACGACGGAACGATGGGACGAAGGATGGCGGCGTGGGTGAGAACAGGCCTGAAGCGAGTGGAGGTGGAAGAAGGAGGAGGAACGAGACGAAGCGATCCAAGCGAGGCGGCGGTTAGGGAGCGATGTGTTATTATTTCCCAGGTTCCCACCCACACGGCGTCGACTCGCGGGCCACCTGAGGTTTAGTGAGATCTCGTAAGCCAGGTCCACGACGGGCTACTGGGCCACGGGCTGCGGGCTACTGGCTACGGAGAACGGAGACTACGGGTCCCAGAGTGCATAGGTAGGTCGTAGGTGGTAAGGTATCGGGCATACATGGCCGCAGTGCGTGCAAAGGGACTTGGAAGTACCCGAGTTTGGCCCACGGCCACACCTCGCTCCTCCACTGCCCGTCCTCTTTCGCAGCGGCGTTGCTCCATGGGCACAAGGCGTGGGCATAGGGAATAAAAGGCGACGACAGGGCCCTGGGGGTGGGCGACGGGCAATCCCATGCCACCACATGCCACCGCGGCCGTGCGATGCTCCATCCCATCCACTGCCATGCCTTGCCATGCCTTGCCCATGCTCCCAATGTTCCCCAACCGGAGTACTTGCACGTACATACATGTTTGCGTGCTAGGCGGCGGCGGCGTCGGCGGCGTCGTCGAAGCTAACGTGCGGCCGGTAGCCAGGCTCGGGGCTTGTCAGGGCAGCTCAGCCGGGCAAGGTCCAAGCCCGGGAGTCCGGGATGACCTCTCATGGCAAGGCTTGGTTCGCTGTCTTTCTTCCCAGCCCCGGGACGACTATTTTTATTGGGACGGCGAGGAGGGCCTCCAACAAGAAGAGACTTGGTGGTGGGACCCCGTCATCCTTTTTCCACGCCATCCCAAATCCTTTTTCAGTGGGTTGCTACAGTGGTCGGCTGCTTGGCCAACAGCGGGCGGCGGTGCGTTACAGCTGGGCCACAGGGCGAAGTCGGGCCTCTGGCGGCGTGGCTCCAGCCCAGGACGGGTACGGTGGCTTGACCCAGCTGCGGGCCAGGGGACGACAGGCTGGGAGGCGATTAGCAGCGATGCCGCTATGGGCACTAGCGACAGGGGAAATCCGGCCATGCACACGCCTGGAAATTGGGTGGCATCGCTGACCAATAGTTCCGGGGGAAGCACTTCGTACGTGCTTCTGCTTGGGTGGTCCAACCGTTTATTGATGGTCCAGATGAAAGATTTCCGCTGCTTTCACGCCAGAAGCCAGAACCCAGACCCTGCAAGGAAAATATTGCCCTACAGGCTCATCGTAGCGTCCCCGTCCTTACCTACCTCATCCCTACCTGTCGTGCCTATTCTGGGGGGCTCGTGCAAAGGGCCAAGGACGTGCGTGTATCGTGCTCTTCGCACCTCGATTGGGGAACTTCGGCGACGGCGCGCGCGGAAAGTCCATTGTCCAGAAAGCTCGACTTTTGAATAAGACCAGGCGATGGTGGATACTCGAATGTCTCACAGAAAGCACTGCTGCGTCACGCTGCTAGCGTCCACTAACTCCACTGTCCGTTGCTTGGGAGTTTAGGCCTTGGGCCCTTTGGCGGCGCATTGCTAGGGTTGATTATGGGCTCCTTTGCGTGAGGACAGCAGCGGCAGGGCCGGCGGATTGTGTCTTGTTTTTTTTCTGGGGTCGTCGTTGCTTTTTCTCAAATTCAATGGTTTGCTTTTGAGGACCCTGTCTATCCCCCGGATGCAGCCTCCCGGGGTGAAGGGCAGCTAGCACCACCTCGGAGCGGGCGAGCGAAAGCAGCATGACCCCTGGAGAGGGCAAGCACGCAGTTCACTCGCGGCGTCCCGAAAAATGCTGTACATGAGGGACCGTCCGTTGCGAGCCGAGACGACTCGAAGGAATCGCGAGTTGTGGACGCATAGGACAGTGCGGCGGAGCGTTACTATTTCAAGGACGTGTGGATGCCCAGGAAAGGAAAGGTGGATGTGTGTCAATGTGGATGGATGGATCGGGGATCAAGCAAAAAAGTGTCGGGGCTCCAGGAGCTGAGCAGCTGCAGTTCGAGTTCCAGCAGAATGAAACTCCACAGGGCTTGGGCTTGAATTCGACGATGCGGTGGTGGGCTTGCATGGCATACCGTGCTCTCTTTTTGCCACGACACGAAGGCCGTCAGAGCGAAAGAGGCATCGCCGTCCTGCTCAATCTCCGTTACGTCTCCTCTCGTCATCTACATAGTGGCATCTCGCAAGGAACCCGCAGTAGACGCAAACTGTAAACCCAGCTAAGATCACAGGCTCAGCGACGCGATGTTCTGCTGCAGCCGAAGTGGCAAGTACACAAGGTACGGGCCTTGGAGAATGGACCCATGGGGGGCTCCATCTCATCCATCATATTTACAACCGCCCCCGGGTCTGCCGGACATCAGAGCTTCGAGAGTCGAAGAACTTCCAGGGCTTCCAGGGCTTCCACTTCCAACTCTCTCTCCATCGGCTCCATGCCACCCATGCCATCCATCTATGCCTGAGCAGGCTGCGATGGGGCTTGCCGCCGTGCCTTGCGGGCTGGGGGTTCAGGGCCCGGCCAGACCCCGGAACAGGGCGGGCCTGGGGCGGGCCAGGCACCACAACGCTCATCATGGCATCAAAAACGAGCCAACAACAACAATAACGCGATGATGATCCATGCTGGGGGTCGGTCCCGCCGTGGGCGCCTCGGATGGATCGTCGCTCGACACGAAGTCCCGAATGTGCCTCCCCTGCTTCCCCTGCTTCCCCTGCCGGGCAGGTTCCTCAAACGTGCCCATAACCCATATCCCATATCCCATATCCCATGGCCCATGCCACCGGTGGCCTGCCGTCCAACTGCACCGCTGACGTCGGTGACCCATCACGATCTACAGGAACTGGACGATCACGGCGGCGTCATGATAAGTTGTCCGCCCCAGGGGGGGAAACCTAGTCAGTAGGCCAGTTCCGGTCCCCCAAACCCTCGGAACAGGTCCTACGCGACGCCGCGAATGGCGATTGACCGACCGGATTCACTCGACTGGCAGCCCAATACGATACACACCCGCCCCTCCTCGTCCTCGCAGGCACAACATGTTCCCTGCCCCGTCACGTATTCAGATGAAAATCATTCATCAGAGACCTGGGTCCCCTTTTTTTATTTTCTGCCACAGTGGGCCGGCCTCGGCGGTTTTAGACCCAACCAACCGATGGAGACGGGGATGCGCATTTTGGGGGCGATGGGCATTTTTAGTCCATCGCCATCGAAGCTTGGCCAATGCACCAGCCAGGGGCCGATTCCTGCTGGCTGGACGTCCGTAGTCCACTTCATCCCTTCTCCGTCGCCGTCTCCTTTTGCTCCACAGGCTCCATCAGAGCTCCAAGACAGCCGTGCAATAGCGCGTGTATCAGTGTCAGTGTCATGTCAGTGTCATTGTGTGGATTGCGGTCGAGAAAAGCTTTGTTTGTCTCGCCTGGCCGGCTTTGCTGCGCTTCGCCGCCTCGGAACCGCCCAGAATAAGCCGCCAAGAAAGGGCATCCCTCCTCAGCTGGCCTCAGCTACGCCCAAGCAAATACCGACGAGCATCGCGAAGCCAACCCGCCTCAAGCCTCCCGTGCGTTGTGGCACAGCAGGTTGCTTTCCCGTCATCTCACAGGGCTGGAGCACTGCACGGCCGAGTAGCTGAGTGTATTCGTATGGTCGCCGATATGCATGGCTGTCATGGCTGGCGCTGACCTGCTGAGACGAGGGCAGTGGCTTGTACCGTGTTCTTCAAGTCCGCAGGCAATTACGCAAAGACAAAGTCACGACTACTACAGCCGAAAGCAAGAGTCTCACGCTAAAATATGTGCCTCGATCAAATGCAACACTCCCCCTCTGCTCTGCCGTCGTCTAAGGATGGATTATTCTACAACGTGGGCCTTGGATACAACCATTACGCCGTCATGTTCCGTCTAGAAGAGACAACATCTCAGAAGACGAAAACTCATGCCACTCATGCCACTCATGCCACGCATATTCCATCGGTGGCTGAATGGCTCTCGAACACCACGTACGTGCTGCGCCCAAGGACCTTGTATCCTTGCGAATCCAAACGCCGCATGATTATTACTACGGGCATTGGGGGCATGGCGGTAGCACCGTATCTATTTTTTGAAGTCCGCAGGTCCTAGCAGCGCGGTAGCTCCGCAGCCAAGGGTGGAGAATCCTCAAGCAACAGCCGTCTCACGTAACCCGAAAACCCAAACCCAAACCACCCCCAATTCTATCGTCCACAACGGAGGGCCCTTTCAAAGGTCTTGTCCATAAGAAGTAAGTCCTAATCATTAGGTTAGATAATAAGTACACTAAGTACTTCCTGATTTCTATAGGCCCTAAAGGATAGCAGGCTACAGCACACAGCAACCGCTATATCCTGATCAGCAGCGTACTACTCCTGAAGTTACAGCGGCCGTTTAACGAGACTGTGACAGCTTCATGTATCTCAGGTAACCGACAGGGATAAATGGATATGATGTTACTAGCGCTTGGACAAGACTTTTGAAAGAGCCCTCCGTATCGTCCACCCGCAAACCAGCCAGGAGGGACATCCCATTGAAGGACCGACAGGCGCAGCAGGCCCATCAGCCGATCAACACCGACGAGAAAGCTTTTTTTTTCTGCTCCCCTCTTTTATTCGGTGCTCTCCCCTCTTTCCCCTGCCCCATTTCGCATGTCACTTCTCCACCGCCAGGGGCTGGTTGCTCTGTGTGCTATGCGGAACACTGGGGTTAGACTGGGATGGGGCTGGGACGGACTGGGATGGACTGGGAGGCGACCTTGCAACACACGTCAATAGGCGGGCAAACCGTGGAGCCCATGGTGTCCTCGCGCAGGCGTGCCCAGTCGTGCCCAGTCAACCAGTTCAGGGCCCCCCGCGAGGATGAGAATGGTGGGTGATATGATAGTGGGTGATGATTGACGTGCCCCTCCAACCATGCTCGTTATTAGCGGCAATCTTGATCCTCCCACCCCCGTTCAAGTGGCGATGGATGGCGGCTCTGACACCCAGATGGGTCCAGCTAGCGAGGCCCCTCCCGGCACCTTGTTGAGAGCGCTTGCAACTTGGTTGTGGGCTTGCAGCCTGTGGGCTTGCAACTGTGGGCTGAACTGTGGATGCTTGCGCTTGCAACGCGTGTCTGTCGTCAACAACGGGCCATTGCTCTGGCGGTCGGCCATCTCGAGCTCGAGGTGCCGTGAGGGCGAAACACCAGTCGGAGACCTGTCAACAATTGATTGCGCGGCCCCTTGTGGATCAACCCGGACCCGGACTGCAAGACACAATACCAATCGAAATATGTACCGCACAGGTGTAAGCGAAAGCGTGTTGAAGAGGCGCTGGAGAGAATGCGATAATAGCAAATCGTTGTCGCATTCCGCACCCAGGGCGCCTGCAAGCAGAAAGCCACCCACGCACTATACATGGCTTCGCGGTTTGCCGTGCCTGGGTGTCCCGTACCTGGGTGTCCCGGGACGGGAGCCGGCTGGGGCAGATCAAGTTCAGCCGCCGTAAACCATCAAGAAGTCGGTCAACGTAGGTTCCTGAAACCAGCCAACCAGACCATCGCCATCTGGTCAATTCGTCAACTCTCTCCGTGGATTGAAGGATCGACTATTGACTAGGGCCGTGAACGGCGGCTGTCGGCTGTTGCCTCACGGGCAATGTCTCGCTGCACGGTGCTCGGCACCGTCCCCGTCTCACTCGCTTGCTGAGGCCCGAAGCATGGTTGGCTGTTGTCGACTCCAAAGTGGGTGGAGCTAAGCGGGAGAAGGTATGAGAATGTGTGAGGTTGAGTGGAAATGCGTGTCGCTGCGACTGTGAATTCCATCTGCAGTTGGGTCCCCGAGCCACTCACACAACGTCCTCACAACGTCCACATGCAAAAAGCAGACGCAGCTGAGAGTGTGTGTGACTGACGGGGCGATGATGATGATGACGATGCTCACGATTAACGGGCTTTAGATCGCCGAGGACTCGGTCTGGAACGTCGGGGCAACCAGTCAGCAGCAGATGCAATGCACACTATGAAGCTCAAAGCCACCTCCGCCAACGCCAGCGCCGACGCCGATCCCGAATGTGCAAAGTCCATGGTCCCGTTCTCCTCACCATCTGCACGGCTGATGCAAGAGCGAGAGCCAAGAACGGGGCAATGATACCCTATGAACCATGATGGAGCAAAACACGGACGGCCAAAACGTCCGCGACTGGCCGCTCTGACGCTGGAACAATTGGTTGCTGGGGATGGGCATGCCTTTGTTGGATGGGCTTGGCACACATGTGGCGCCGTCCACTCGCTCGGTGGGTGGTGCCCGTATTTATTTTATTTTATTCTTTTACTCCTCGATGGATGCTCTGTCACTGTTCAGCACCATTGGAACTTGGCTAACACGGAGGTGTTGCCCAGGTGAGTCTCGTCAGCCAGGAACGGAGACGAGGCGAACGGAGATGGCCATTTTGAGGCACTACGGCAGTAAGCTTAAGTGGCCCGTTGCAGCAGTTGGCGAATGGAGCAACTTGCTGCTGAAGAAGCTTTTCGTAATAGGACCAGGGGACCCATCGAGCGATATTGTGGTTTTCCCCTACTAGAGGTCTTGGCCAACTGGGGCCCGGCGTCGGATCAGGCCTGTAGTCAATCTGGTCGGCAAGCATCCTGCGAGCTTGATCTGGGAGACTGAATCTGTGACGTGTCGGATTTGCGCAACACCAAACGACGGCCGAGGACTTGCCTTGATCAACATCCCGCCGGCGCCTCTCTCTCCCGCGGCGAAGCGACGTCGCCGCCATGGCCGCCTTGCCCCCCGAACCACGGTTACGTTGAAAGAGACGCTCGCTGGCGGGACTGAATCTGAATCTTGCCGCGGGACATCCCAGCAACCCAGCAATGGCCCCATACCTCTATGCCCCTTCGAGCCCGTTTGGAGCGGGCGAAGCAACACCATCTGAGCATGCCCAGGGTGTGGCGGCGATTAGCCCGCTCGCCGGCCGGTCAAGGCTGCGCAGCCTGGGAAGTTTTGTGGGCGATGGTGGGCGAAGCTACCGGGAGCTCGAAGCGATTCATCTAATCAATCAATCAATCAATCTCTCATCCTTCTCCTCGTGGTATTTGGCCTGCTCAATCGCTCCCTCTGCCTGCTCTGAACCGACCGCATTGCCTCGAGACGTCGCCGCGACCCTATTTTTCTCCAGCTTCAACCGCCGCTCGCGCCCTACCTGACTAGCATCACCACCTCCCAGGGTGTGCAGCTCTCCATCGCGGCCCCCACTCGTCCCGCGCGCGCCTTGGCCTCATTCTCGCTCTTTTCTTCATCTTGGCCCCTTTGCGTCTCCTTCTTCCTCTCGTCAACCACCATCCGCCGTGATTCATCAACCTTCCGCTCCCTTCACCACCGCCATCGCCGTTGCCGCAGCCGACGCCATGAGCTCCCCACCCGCGCCCCCCACGCCCGGCCGCTCCATACGCCGCCCGTCTCTGCTGGCTCAGGACGAACCCAACCCGCTCGGCACCCGGAGCGGCGCTCTCCAGTCGCTGATCCGGAGCCGCTCCGCCCAGAGCATCCCGAGCATCACGGGCTCCCACAACTCGCACTCCAAGACGCCGTTCTGGACCGGCCCGGACGACGAGGAGTCCCTGCGCGGCGTCCGCTCGTCACTGGACAATGACGAACTCGGACGCCTGCTTGCTGATGAGCGCCGTCTCACCGCGCTCTTGAACGGCCCGCAACACCGCAGCTTGAAGCTCATCGGCCGCAGCAACCCGCGATACCGCTGGGAGCAGTATTGGACGCGCCAGGACCAGCTCGATGTCATGTCCAAACCCCTGTAGGTCCCCCCCCGTCATCGGACCCTCAATTGAAACTCGAGGCTGAATGAACCTGGCCAGGCGCGAATACTACGAGCGACTCAACGACCTTGTCCAGCAGTACATGTACATCGACGCCCTGCTGGACTCGGCCATTCCCCACGATCTGCTCAACGAGTACCAGACGGACATTGAAGCCTCCGCCTTCCGCCCCGTCAACGTCCCCGATACCATCAACGAGGAGTCGTCGTCGCCCGACTCGCCCCCTCAGAACAGCAACTTTACGCCCGAGTCGTACGGCACCATCCGGCCCAGCTCGGCGACCAAGCCGCTGCCGCTTACACGCACCCCGAAGGACATATTCCGCTCCTCGGAGAGCCTGCCGCTGCTCCAGCGCCAGGACGACGAGGATGAGGACGACGAGATGCTTCCCGACCACCCGCCGGCCCACGAGGACGGCTTCGGCCCTCGGCCCCACCTCCCGTGGCTCGAGGACGCCGAGGTTGACCACGACGACCCCGTCGTGACTCTCGCCATCTGGGTCAACTTCATTGCCAACGGCATCCTCCTTGCCGGAAAGCTCGCCGTCATCATGTCTGTGCCCTCCATGTCCGTGCTCGCCAGTTTGGTCGATGCCGTCCTCGATTTCCTGAGCACTGTCATTGTCTGGGTCACCACTCGCCTCATCTCCGCCAGTCAGCAGGACCAGCATAGCTACCCCGTCGGTCGTCGCAAGTGAGTTTTCCCCAGTCCAAACAACCCATATCAGCTGCAGTTACGACTGCCAGCTGGTCTTCGCCGCCCCGAGGTCTCCTACAAGGACCCCTAATTGCGGCTGGCGCATCAGCACGTCTCGTAGACTAACACAACACCCCGCAGGCTCGAGCCCCTTGGCGTTCTCGTCTTCTCCATCATCATGATAACCTCGTTCTGTCAAGTCGGTCTTGAGTGTATCCAGCGCCTTATGAGCCCCGAGCATGCCATCCTAGAGCTCGGCGCTCCCGCCATCGTCATCATGGTCACCACCATCATCATCAAGGGCGGTTGCTGGGTCTGGTGCCGCCTCGTCAAGAACTCAAGTGTCCAAGCATTGTAAGCGCCTCTGCCCCATGTCCAATCTCCACTTTGCGGGGTGCAGTCTCTAATAACTTCGCTCAGGGCCGAAGACGCCAAGACGGATGTAATCTTCAACGCTGGCTCCATTCTATTCCCCATCTGTAAGTAATAGCCCTCGTATGCGAGATCGGACGCATGCCCAATCTCCAGTTCCAATTCCGCACCCGCCCACCCGTGGCCCCTGCTAACCGAAGTTTTCTTCTCATCGACAGTGGGCTTCTACGGACGTATCTGGTGGCTCGACGCCTTTGGTGGCTTGTTCCTGTCCCTGGTCGTCATCTTCAACTGGAGCCACACCTCGGCCCATCACGTCCGCAACCTGTCCGGCTTCTCGGCTCAGCCGGATGAGCGAAATCTGCTCCTGTACCTGACCATGCGCTTCGCAACCGCCATCCGCCAGATCCAGAACCTCCGTGCCTACCACGCCGGCGACAAGCTCTTCGTCGAGGTCGACATTGTCCTCTCCGCCGCCACGCCTCTCAAGGACAGCCACGACCTCAGCGAGGTGCTCACGTACTTCCTCGAGTCTGTGCCAATTGTCGACCGTGCCTTTGTCCATGTGGATTACACGAGCTACAACGCTCCGACCCACATGCTAAAACAGTCCGCTGCGAAATAAGGGAACAAGAAATCATCGGGACCAGCCGTGAGTGGCACCTAAATCTCTCACTGTTGAGTGCTCAACACCTTTTTTTGGGAACGCGGGGGCGCTAAGAAGAGTTATTACGGTGGATGGATGGGACACTGGTAGGGAGGTCTGATTGTACTATATAAATACTAAAAAGAAACTTGTGTACCAATAGAAAAGACAAATAATTACTCTGCTATGTAGAACAGGGCCCGGGTGCGGGAACACTTGGATGATTAAAACAAAATGAACAGAATAGGCAGTCAAAAAGCAGCACAATCTTTGCCATTTTAATAGGGAATGCCGTTTGTCAGAAGCTGGAACTGGTCGTATATGCCAGTGCTGTAGCTCGAGTAACTGGTCTTGATGAGACCCTTCATGAAGTCGGCCGCCTCGCGCTCGCTGCGGTCGAGGACGAAGCGCTCGCGGAAATGCTTGACACTCTCGGGCTTGAAGCAGGGCAGGCCGCTGTCCATCATGAGCCAGACGATCTGGCTGAGCTTTTCGCAGTACTGGCGACTGGCTAGGAAGGCCTTGACGCAGAGCTCCTCGAAGCACTTGAAGCTCTGGTGGTCAGTGGAGCCACCCATGACGGCGAGCATCTCCGACGTGAGCTTGAAGGGGGCGCGCTCGAACTTGATGCCACCAGGGGCAATGTCGAAGCAGAAGCCAAAGTCGATGTGCAGGATGTGGCCCGCGTCGTCGATCATGATGTTGCCGTTATGTCGGTCCTTGAACTGCAGGAGGAAGGAGATGACCGAGTACGCCGCCATCGACTTGACAAAGTTGCTGCGGGCGCGCTGGAACCGGAGCGAGTCCTCGTTGCCGTACTTGGAGATGAAGTAGTCGTAGAGTCCGTTGACGGCCTCGCGACCCAGCATGTCTCGAGAGATTGAGTTGGGCAACACGTCAATGACACCACAGCCGGGAGCCGTGGCGGTGACTCGGTAAGGGAAGACGTAGACATCGAGTCCAACGTCGTGGAAAATGCCTCGGAACGCGGCAATCATCTGCAACGCCAGAACATCCTGTCGACAGTCATCACCAACCTTGAAGATGGCAGACTGCCAAACCTCAACGCTGGTGCCCTCCTGGTGGTTCTGGGAGTGCCCGTTGGTCGTACCGTTAGTTGTCCCGTTGGTCCCCTCCAACATGTCGTCATCTTCCTGAGCACCACCCTTGTTCTTCTTGATACGGAATGTTGCCATGTAAGGGGCCTTGGCGTGACTCTGAAGAGGCTTTCCGGACTTCCGGTCGATGCCAATGACAACACCGTCAGGGTTACTGGGGAGGTAGACACCAACCTCGACCTTGATCTTGCGCAGCTCCTCCTCAATTTTCTGCTTCTTCTCTGGCTTGGACCGCTTGATGTATGGTTTCAGCTTGCCGGAAATATCAGTGACCTCGTCAAAAAAGGAAAACTCTCGCTCGTAAAAGTCACGGTCTTCAGGCACGAAGCCGTTAACCATCTTGGCCATGACAACATCCAGGCTTGGCTTGATCTCGTCGGGTATCTGCGCATCATCGTCCTTGTACGAATTTGCCTTCATGTTCCAGATAATCTGGTGGGCGAAGAGCTGGGAGAACTGTGCCGTCTCGAGGATATACCGTTGCACGTATCCAAGAGCATCATAACGGAGACTCTGCACAATTTGGGGAACATAGAAGAATGTGATATCGGCTGAGTGGCTCTCCAAAGCACGCATGGCATATTGGATGATGAAGGGATGGTCCTGATAGGCTGGCAAGAACATGGTGACTGCCGTGATAGGATTCACAGGTTGCCAAAACAACAAGTACTATACAAGTTAGATCTAGTGGATGTCTTGGATAGATGAGTTAAAACATACCTTGAGCTGCTGCAGGTTGACGTCCTCTGGAAGGTATCCGCCAAAGATCAGGGGAATGGCCTCTGGCTCAGAAACAGCCTTCTCCGGCATCGTCAGGAGCAGGAACCTGACATCGCGCTGGAGACGGGGGTATGGGAATCTGGTTGCAAGTTCAATTGCAATGGCAGGGTCCTGCCACCAAGCAGTTCGTACCAGGGGTAGGAGAGCAGCCTCTGTGGTAGCCTTTGAAGCTGCCTGAGCTGGCAACTGGACAGCAGGAACATTGAGCGGGTTTACCCACACAACCAATCGTGACTGTTCATTCTTCAGCAAAAGCTCAAGCAGCTGTTCCTTGGATTGCAGCGACTTGGTGTTGCCGGCTGGCTGCGATCCCATGAGAGAAACATGTTGCAAGGCAGTGATGACGTCCGAGATAAGTCGGATTTCTGTCTTGATTTGCAAGAGGTTGCTTCCGAACGACCATCTCGGTGAATATTTGAACCAGCTAAGACCAGCTGACAGGAGCTTCTCCTTGAGTCTCCACTGGGCAGTAGGCTTGAGCGTGGTGCTAGCTCGCAGAACTCGCAGGCCAAACAAGACAATCTGGAATCGAATCTCTCTTGCCATGGGGTGGGACGCAGATTGCTTGACAGCGTCTAGTGTGAGGTCCAACATTCGCAAGAACACCTTTTGGGTGTCTGGGCTTCCGTGGCGGGTAGCATTGAAATGACTGGCAAAAAACTGGAGCAGTCGAGTATGGGGAGACAGGATGTCATGAACGACCTGCTTCTTCTTCGCCAGGGCTTCCAGTTCACTGGGTGCGAACTCTTCCTTCAGGAAGAAGGGATCCACGTGCGAAAGGGCTGGACTGAACAGTCCAACCTTCCTGGCAAGGGTAAACTCCCACTGCTGAACAATCTCATTCAGGAGCTTTGACTCTAGCCTAGGGTTCTCGTTGATTACGCCCAGCCACAACGAAACTCCAAGCTTAATAGATTGCTTCGTGAAGAGGGCGAACGGGATGCTGACGAGATAATGAGCAACGGCAGAATCATCTCTCTCGGTACGGCAAAGAAGAGCGGCAGCCCTTCGTAAGATATCTCGTACTTCGGTGATGGATGTATTCTTCTTGCTCAAGATTCTCGCTTCAACGTGAGCCAAGGCGGTGGTTGCGTTGGCGCTCTCTTTGACAGATGACTGCACAAAAGACATGCGGCGGTTGTGGTTCATGAAGCTAATCAACTCAGTACCGCGGTCTGGCAGCGTCTCTCCATATCGGTACTCCTGTCGAGTCGTATACTGCGCCACAAAATCAGATGCAGTGTTGACGCTCGAGTTGCCAATCTTGTCCATGGATTGCAGTCGATTGTCTGTGGAGGGGATTACCGAGCCGAGCTCCATCGCAAAGGATCTTCCCAGAGAAAGGTGGCCATAAGCCCCCTCATCGTCGAATTCGGACAAGTAGGTTTGCAGAAGACCCTTGATGTCCAAAGGGGCCAGGTTGATTGCGGCGTTCACCCATCCCTTGGCCTTACGGTGAAGGATGTCAACTGTCCATCTTCGGAAATCGTAGTCATCGGAGAGCTGGACCGTGACTCCCCCTAGATCTGAGGTGAAGATGGATTGAGGGTCATAATGGTCTGTTTCGGCTTCCAAGCAACTCGACCACATGAGGGAAAGGAGCTCCAGCAGAGCGAAAAGGGATGACCGATGACAGAGCGCTGACGGCACGTCACGTAGGATACGGTCCGCACAGACAAATGCGGCTTGCTGTACTCTCTCGATACGGTGACAGCAGCTGCAGAAGATAGCTGCAAGTTGGGAGGCGGCGTACTGAGCAGAAAAGCCCGGGTCCACCATTCCCTGAGTCTTTTTGACGTACTTCTCGACAGCCGCGGACGCGATACCCTCCATCGTGCTGCTAACCTCACCCTTTTGCATGCTGGGTTCCAAAAAGTATGATAAAACTTTGGTGCAGTCACCAGAGTCCGCTCGAAGGCTCTCCATGAGATACGCAGCTTGGAGGAAGACGACTTTCCGGTAGCTCAGGCCCTTAATCTCGGCAGCCTTCGATGGAATAAGGTCACTAAGAAGCTTTCTCTGTGATGACTCTCGATCGTTGCTGAATCCGCGTCGCAAGACAGTGTTGAGTTCAATGTCACTTTCAACCTGTTCGCCTCGCTGCTCTGCCACCAAGGGGGGAGAGTGGATCGAGATCATCCGGAGTTCGTTGAGATACTGCCTACCACGATCGGTGTTGGTAGTAAAGCCGTGGACGACAATGTTGAACCAAGCATCTCGGAGAAGGGCATAGGTCTCATCATCGGCAATTGGCTCAGCCGCAAAATCGTTGCTCGACATGAATACAGCAAGAGGGTGCAGGAGTTCTGCAATCTCCTTCGCAGCCATCTGGACATCTGATTCCTTTGTGTGGTTGGACGAATGGGCGTCACCTAGCCCAACAATACTGTCGAGCAAGTGCTGTAAGAAAATTTCGAAAAGCGGCGAGTCACGCCGAAGGTTTGAAGAGATATGAGTACGTGCATTGCGCACCTGTAAATGTTAGTGTCTTCACGATAAGTAGTGAGGTCTTTACTCACGGCTTCCAGCAGAAACATTTGGTTCTCAACGACTCCAGTATGGCAAAGCCTGGTGAACATCTTGAGCAACGAGCGGAACTCCAGCTGTCCACCCTCGAGGGCCAGGGCTGCGGCACCGCTGATGATGCGAGCATCGACGCCTGTGTTGACCTTCTCAAGTTTTTGTTGCAGCATCGACTGAGCGAGAGCCGTGATTTTCTCGTCGTTGCAGGCTGCGGCAACGCCACAAATAACCTGCACAACGTTTCCTGAGACGAGCGCAGTCTCTTCTTCGCCGTACATCTGAAGAGAAATGGAGCTTCCCATAGACTGACGGTTGGCATAGATCGAAGCAAGTCCATTTTCGCCAACGGCACCATTAGTCTGACCATTGGCAAAGGCCTGCTCGGTTCCGGGACTGAGAACATTGCCCAAGGTATACAAGGTGCTGATCACAGCATCTTGCGAGAGCATTTTCAGGACATACGCCAAACTGTTGGACGCAACCTTGACTGTCTCGCCCTGAGGCGCACCTTGAACAATGAATCGCGGAACAATTCGGCTCACGGCCGAAGAGAAACTTGGAGAGGCCTGACATATAAGGGCCAGGCAACGCAAAGTAACGGAAGCCAGCGTCTCATCTGCCATTTGGACAGAATCGTCCAGAGTTTCCTGCAGCCAATTCATAAGGATATCCGCGTCGGCCGCGTCCTCGTTCAACAGCGAACAGTTCAAATAGGAAATCAAGGCCGCGGCCTTCACGGAATAGGCCAGACTCTGCTGATCGGGGGAGCCCATCCGGATGAAGTCAACTCCAGCATCAATGTAGTTGATCTCGCCAATCGTGAAGGCAGTGTAGGCTTCGACAGTTTGAAAGTCGGCTTCATGGCCCTGGAGGAATTTTCCACGCAAATCGCTTCCCCTAGCCATGAGAATATCCAAAATGTGAGACTCTCGCAATTTGCCGCCAGTCTCCACCATCAACGAAGTGCTAGCAACAACCAGCCACATGAAGCTCCGGTGCAAAAGCATCGCCCCCAGAGGGCGCCCGGAAGAGGCATAGTGGCGCAGATATCTCTTCCACTCCTTGACTTCGCGATCTTGGCTATGGGAGTTTCGAATGGTCGAGAGGGCGGTTTCCACGGCAATCATAAATGGTTCTGAGAGAAGCGACTTAATCTTCTGGATCAGAGCCAATCGACCACCAGCTCTCCAGAAATCAGCCTGCGCGGCTGCAGCATCCAAGAATCCCACCAATGCCACGGTGATGGTGGCGGTTCGAATCGCATCCTCCAGGTGTGGGTTGTCGGGATCTCCAGCTTGCGGGGAGAGGATGCTCTCGGTAGCTCGCTTGCATGAGTTCACAAACGACCATAGTTTATCGGCCACGTTCTCTTGGAGTTCGTCGTAGTTGATGCCGAGTGCCAGCAACGCGGCGGTCACATGGAAGGCTAGGGCTTCGGTCGGGGACGGGTCGATCTTGCGGAAGAAGGGCGACGGATCGAAAACTTGGACATATGCTTCAAGTATGTACGGGAAGAGTTGATAGGAGAGCCTCTGCGCGCTTTGGCTGGATTTGATTTTCGGGGCGGTCTTACACAACGCGAGGAGGACCTCGAATTCTCGAATGGACTACTGATGTTAGCTCCTCCATCCCAGGTCGTGTAAAGACGGAAATCGGCGCACCATTGGCACTCGTCCCAGAGAGCTCATAGATTTGGCATTATAACCATTAGTAAACTCCTTGCCCTTCGTCCCAACATGACAAGCCCTGCATAGTCTGTCGAGGTCGGATCGATCAAACGACGTCGTCGAGGTGGTGGAAGACAGCGAGGCAATCTTCTGCAGCGCCTTTGCGCGGATGTCGCGAGCCATCTTGACGGATTGCGCGATGGATTACGCTAGAAAGAGAAGAAATCAAATGATGAAGCCCCCAAGGAGCGATGTCAACAATGTCATTTCTGGAGGTGTCGCTCCTGGTTGCGGTGGCATCGAAATGACGATTGCCTGATCCAGACTGAACCCCTGTCTTGGGCTTAGTCATCCGAAGCTACCCCAGCTAAGCCCAGGCAAGGCTGCAAGCTTGACGCGTGCGTCGACCTCAGCTCTAGCCACAGCGACAAGGCAACTCCGACTCCATCACCAACATCCGCCCACGTCCACCAACATCAGCGCTCGATTCCGACTCTTCCCCGCCTCGCATCACCGAAACCCTACACCAACCGATCTCTTTCGGACCGCCGCACCGAATCCGCAACGATGGCTGCCATGTTCAGCCAGAATCCCTTGATGAACGGGCCTAACTACTCGTTCTCCGATGCCCCCAAGACCAACAACGGCGAGCTGCGAGAGCATCGATTCAACCCGTAAGCGGCCCCTCGGCCACCGGTCCAACTCTTTTCTGACTCTGAACAGCTACACCGACAATGGTGGCTCCACCCTCGCCATCGCCGGCGCCGACTTCACCATCATGGCTGGTGACACCCGCCACACCAGCGGATACAGCATCAACTCTCGAATGTCCCCCAAGGTCTTCAAGATCGGTGGCACCACTGCCTCCCAGGACGATGCCACGATAGTTCTCTCTGTGTGCGGCTTCGCTGCCGACGGCGAGGCCCTCCGAGACCACCTCGACACCATCTGCAAGATCTACCGTTACCGCCACGGCAAGGCCATGACCATCAACGCCTGCGCCAAGCGTCTTTCCACGATCCTCTACCAGAAGCGATTCTTCCCTTACTACTCGCATGCGATGCTCGGCGGTCTGGATGAGGAGGGCACGGGTGCCGTGTATTCCTACGACCCCGTGGGCAGCTACGAGCGAGAGCAGTGCCGAGCAGGCGGTGCTGCGGGCAGTCTCATCATGCCCTTCTTGGACAACCAGGTCAACTTTAAGAACCAGTATATCCCAGGTAGCGGAGAGGGCCATGAGCTGAAGGAGCGAGAGCGCCGTCCCCTCACCCGAGTAGAGGTCGAGACTCTAGTCAAGGATGCGTTTGACGGTGCTGTGGAGCGTCACATCGAGGTTGGTGACAGCCTTCAAATCCTCATCATCACAAGAGATGGCATTGAGGAGTCATACCTGTCCTTGAAGAAGGATTAGACTTGGTAATGGAGTATGGATCAATGTATAACAGCAATTCGCTAGACGTCAAGGAATGAATGTGTCGTTTCCAATTTGCAAGGCTCCCTGGCCACATATCTGACATCGCCTGAGGTGCATATCCGCCCACATGTTGTAATAAATCGAAAAGCCCGCTTGCCTATTAATGGACCCGGCACTCATTGTCCCTTCGGATAGATAACCATCCCAGGCGAGAGATTCAAGACAGAATCCACCAAATATCCTCAACATTTTGAAGTGTGGTCCAGACGCAGGACGCCCATCGATTGATCATGACGTTCCCAAGAGGGCTAAGGACGAGCCGGCCTCTATGGATTTCAATTCGCATAAGATTGTTTCCAGCGTAATAAACTTCATAACTTATTCGCATGAAGTCAAAGCGGTTAGAGCGAGGTGGATGCTTGGTGATAGACCTACCCTAGAACACGTCACCGAGTCAATAACGCACAACAATGCTGTCTATCTCTTAAATACTTATCATATTGCGACCTGGATCTGGGTTGGTATTGTTGAGGTAGCTAGCCTAGCAAGCTATGTTGTCTCTAGATGAATCAGCCGGAACTTGTGCCTATGACGTTGATACAATCATGATCATCAGAAACAACGAGGCAAAAGCCCCGCATACCACACTACTCGAGGTTCTATGGGCATTAATATGGATGCAATGGGCGATAGGTTATCTGACGATTACGTCCTGGGACCCGAGCTATTGATGTTGACAGACTTCTTCAAAAGATGGTTCACCACACGACACTTGTCCACATGAATATCATATCATTGAATTAGTCGTCATTGATGCACGAAACCGTAAACGTAAACAACTGCAGAAAATACTTGCATCAGATGGTAGCATCGATCTGTCAGACCTCAACTGACACTGCAAGGCTTACTGAGGGAGGGTGAACAATCTGATGTGTAACAGGCTAGGTAGTTCAACCCCTCGCAGCCACTGCTCTTCACATATGGCAAGTGCTCTGTACATGAGACTTTACCAACTCAAGACCGTAGATTTGACATGAAGTGGTGCCCCTGCTTAAAACGTCGCCACCAGCCACGTTTCTTAAGACGTCATCTCACCGAGGCGGGCTAACTCGAAGCTTGGGCTGCCACACGGGAAGCATTAATCAGGATGTAAACTGCGACCGGCATGGGAACTGCAGTAATTCTATGAAACCAAGGAAAATTTACGACGAGCAGGTAAGCGCAACAGAGCTAGACGACCTGATGAAGCCTCCTTACACGACATGTCACCCCCCGGCTTTAGGTTTGATACCTCCTCACTGCAACGCAAGACGGCGTCGTTTGGATTCAAAACCGCACCACAGGGGACCTAAACCAGATTGATTATCCGGATTCATATCTAACCGTGCCGCCTTGCCGCTGATTGCAGCAGGTTTGGGCGGAATATGCAACCTCCAAGGACGCTTCACGTCAGGTGGTCTGTCAGCCCCTGCCGACCGAAACCCCGCAAATTAATGGTTATTGGCGCTTAACAAGACGCCACCGGAGCTCATGCTCCTGAATTACGAGGCGGCTGCAGCTGCATGAGAGCCAGGCCAGGGCGTCGCTTGGATCGATCTAGACCTTCACTGGAGGTGGGTGTCCTTGGTATGTTCGACCAGGCCCCCGGCTACGATTAAGGACAAAAGTCGGCTTTAAATCGATGACGAAAGATCCTTGCTGCTAATCAAAGCATTTGCATGAATGTAACGTGAAACGGGCCATGAGAGAGCGGCATCTGGGCCCTGGGCCCTGGGGCCTACCAGGAGGAAAGATCCATGATGACCAACGGTGGAAAATGTCCGGCCCAATCAGGATCAAAAGGAAGGAGCCGAGACAGAATGCAGAACCAGAGCAAGAATCGTGGCTTGTGGCAGTTCCCCACTCGTGTAGAATGGAGGTCTGCTTGCGTTAGTGGTGGTGGTTCTGTGGCAAAGGGGGACCCCCACAAGAGACCGTTGTGTTTCCACACCGGTTAGTATGACCTGGCGCACGGGAAGAAAGCTACCAAGAGGGAAAATTCAACGGTTGGGTAGAAAGTTCCCTCATAAAGTTCACAGTCGTCTGCCGAGTTGGCGGTATTCATTCTGTGGAAAGACTCAGAAGGGGTGCCCGTTATTCGATAGTGACACATTCATTATCCATATGACCATAGCCAGGCTTAGAACAAGAATCCAAGAGCGGTAAACATTGATTAATACCTGTCATTTTACAAAAAAAAGTGTAGAATGTCTCATTCCGTGGGCTCCGTGTTCGGCATTGATTTCTCGGGACCGAGTCGACTGCCCGTCTCGCACTAGCTGGGCCTTGACTGGCACCATTACAGGTAGCTTATGCATGGGATTATTAAGGCAAAATGCCAGAAATCACCCTGAACTTACAGCTGCATACAGAGGCCTTACTTACTGTGCAGACATCCAGTGTCGACCTAGTCGGTAGTTGAACCTAGAAGCGCGGTATCGCCACACATGCTTAGCCACAAACGGTTACCGAAACATGCGACACCTTGGGGCTAATAACCTCCGCCCATCATTGATGATACGATCTCTAACGGCGTTTGCGGAGATCATTGTCATTATCTTCAGTTTGGTCAGCACGGACTCTGTTTGATTCCGATGTCCTGAGCCTGTAAAGCCTGGCGGGGCGGAGTTGCGGAGTTCAAGAGACTCATCAAAGGTAACGTCACTTTGACCCAGACTTGAATAAAAGGGAGAGCCCCGATTTAAACGTGCTGACCCAAACAATACTTGATCTGCAAGGTCAATTTTAGCGACTTGATCATGGGCGGATCCCATATTCTTGTACTTGGGGGCACTGGCCCTGCGGGGATCTGCCTCTTGCGGGAACTACTATATCGCGGATACCCTACTATCGCCTACGCGAGGAACCCGGCCAAGATCCCCGATGATCTGTCGTCCAACCCACTTCTTCAGGTATAACCAGACTAGCGGAAATACTCTTCTAATTGTGGATGTGGCGTTGACACTTGTGTCCAGGTCATCCAGGGTGATATGAGCGATCTCCCGAAGCTCTCGCCAGCCATCGCCCAGGCCAGCGCCATCATCTCGATGCTCGGTCCAAACTCCTTGCGAGCGTCAGACCCGCGGCAGTTTGCCGAGTTTTACTCGCAGAGCATCTTTCCTCTTATGAGAGAGCACTCGGTGAGCCGCATCCTCGCCATGGGAACGCTGTCAATCTGGGAGCCGCAGGACAAGCCCTCATGGATTCGGTGGCTCCTTGTCCTTGTCGTACGAGTAATTGCCCCAACGGCCTACAAAAACATCCTCAATATCGCACACGTGTTTGAGACAGAGGCAACGGGACTTGGTTGGACCGTGTATAGAATTGCAAGAATACCAGGGGGCTGCGACGAATCTAGTTGGCGGAAGGATAGAACGGACGGCGAGACGTTTGTGGGGGGGATGGCACATAACGGCTGGTGTTCTTGGCAGAGGAGGGCTGCTTTGACAAGGTGGCTTGTCGACGCCGTTGAAGGGGGAGCAGATGAGTGGATCGGAAGGATGCCGGCCGTGAGTCGACTGGCGGGGAGTAAGAGTAAACTAGACTGACGGTCTAGGCTGGACAAAGAGCTCCTTCGAGCGATGGCTTTAAAATTAAGGCGATATAGCTCAATGGGCAATGCTTGCTATCTAACAATTTTCAAATTTGGCCCCCATATTTCCTACGAACGATGTACTTGGCAAATCCAACTTCCATTGAGTCACTCCTCTCTAAGATGCAGGTAAAAACGTGACCATATAACGAATATCATACCCGGTTGGAGTTAAAGGAGAAGCTAGGCAGGTCATCGGGAACTTGATCCATTGGGTTGGTTTGGGTAGACTTGGGCGGAGCTTGAAGTCTATCACAGATTTTTGAACCCTTCACAGCTGAACATAAGTGGAGCCTTAAGCAAGGCAGATTCGTTGAATTTGCCACCTCGTAGCTGAAATGCGATGCTAGTTGTGTCCCATTGTGGGAGGATAGGACCCTGAAAATCCCATTACCGGGGCCGCCACTGGACGCGTAGACACTTTAGACTTGATGGTGGGATCGATGGCAACAAAATCGTGGCAACAAAATCGTGGCAACAAAATCGTGGCAACAAGGCAGACAGTTGACATGTGAGATTGCTTAACTGCCGATTGTCATTTTAATTGGAGACAACGTGATAATCGCCATCAACGTACTCATCTGGAGACCCGCATGAATGCGCAGCACACCTAATTGTGACCCTTGTCACTTTGGTATTGAGTTTTTGAGCCAAGACCGGGAAATGCTTGTGACCGGTAAAGCCGGTCCTGGCGGGAATGGCCACTGGACTCATTCCCTATTGAGCCCAGGATCTGTAGATCAATAAACCGCCTGGATCGATAGACCAAGCCACATGGAGAGTTTGATAACTTCATTCTCAGCCACGGCTCGGTGTGTGGGAGGACAGCCCGAAGCTCCTTGGTCTAAGAGTTAGCCAGTGAGCGGACTAGAACATCCTAGCATCACTAAAATTGGATATGAAATTTGCCACTATTGAGAGAGCGATCATGTGGCTGAAGGCAGTGGAAGATGAAGTCTAAAATGGGGATTCTTGATATGCGTGATGACTACACAAGCTGGGCAGGGCGGATGACGGAAGCAGGCAGTATTGTGGGAGGTAGCCTGGCACAAAGTTCTTGGCCACGTACGTTTTCTGCAGATTAATTCCCTGCTGGATGATTGAGTGTCGAAGAATCCAACCAAGCAACCCACTGAGTGGCTGAGGCTCTTGGGCGACGGTAAGTGGCGTTTCCAAGCGAGGAGTTTCAACTTGGGCAATTGTGTGCTGGGGTTGTTCGGGCCTTCAACGTCGGAGGACCGCTGCGGCTTACACCGTTACACGTCGGCGCGCCTTGGCTGATGACGCGACGATCCCCTCACAAGCCACGAAACCCCTGCTTCGAGCTCGGGTTGTGGGCAACAACAAGGACTTGAGCAAACCCCGAGGTCCTGTCGTCAGCGGCAAGTATGGAAAGGCCATTAACAACGTCGGCATGTCGTCATTGCGGGATGTTGGATGGAGGAACAAGCGGGCGAGAGGTTCCCAAAACGGCTACGATCGGCCGGGGCTGTTGAGACCCTTGCTGACAGGACATTGGCTTGAGTGGCAGCAGCGCCAATCACGGCGGCGGTGAATAGCTGCTCTATTGTGGTGCCCAATCGGCTGGTTCCAGGGACACGGCTGTGTCACGCTCTTTCGCTTCCCACACTCAGAACTGGCTTCAATCTTGTGCCTCGCCCCTGTTGTTTATTTCGGTATGTTGGATGGCTCCATCAGGCCGGATTGACAATTCAACCCGACTACGTTGTTGAGTCACTAAGTACTTTTGTTAGAAGGGACCCGGAGCTTTTCATCCGGGCCGGAGTCGACTCCCAGCCCCTTGGGAGGATTTGATTGGCCAAACGGCGCCTCAAGGGGTCTTTTCCAGGGTCCAAGGGTCTCCTCCATGACACGGTTTTGTACTACGCTACTTAGTCCAGATGTAGCAGTCGTACGACAGGGACTCGGAGCGGGAACCGAGGGAGGTGACTGCGATTTGGGAGGTGAGGTGGGATATGAGGAAAGGAGGAGATGAGCCGATGCAGACAACGCCGATGGGTCCCAGCAATGCGATATACCGAGGGCTGCGGGACAAATCACTGCCTCCGATGGATATCGGGGTGGTGCAGGAGGGTGATGCAAGGGAAAGTCCGCTTCAGAAAGCCTGTTGGAGGCAACCAAACCCCATTGTTGACTAGCACTGGGAATGTCGCCCGAGGGACCTGACGAACAACCCAAGCAAGCCCCGACTAAGGACATCGCCCCTCCAATCGGACATTAGTGCCACGGGAGGCTTGGTCCCCGGGCACCTTAGTTAGAACAATTAGGTGGGTGAGTGGCAGGTGAGTGGGGAGGTATCGAGAAGCGGGAAGGGATCGACGAGATGGATGGGCCGGACGTCTCCTCCAAGTTTTGAAGCTCAAGGTGTGGACACGAGAGCCTTCAAGATTGTGTCATCTAGTCTTGGTGGCTTGTGCTTCCGATCCACAGAGGCAGCGGCCGGCCTCTGGGTAAGGGTGTTGATCGACAATCGAAGACCCTGGGCCTACTGTAGGGATGGCGTTTGATGGAGGCTCTTGCGGTGACAAACGTTGGCCGACCAGATTCAGACCTGGGCTAAAAAAGTCATGGACTGGCCTGGACCGACCGCTAGAGAACCGCCACGCTGCCTGCGGGCATACGACTGTAGGTAGTGTCGATGTGCAACCAGGGCCATGGTATCGTCCATCGGGCCGGTGAATTGACTTTCGGCCGTGTAGTGGCGGGCTGGTCGTGTTGTCGATCAGATCTCTGGGACCTCCACTCTCCCCCCTCGGCTATTCCCTGTCTTGACCGGATCCCTGCCTGCTGCAGCTCAGAAGAGCGGCAAGCCATCGTCTCGAACCACTCAGTGGCGACGGGCGCGTGCAGGGCCGGTGCCTGAGAGGGAACCGGCTGCGTGCTGTCGTAGAAGATGGTGTAGTCCCGACCGGACGGAACGGATGACGGGGGAAGATGAAGATGGCAATTGCTAGTCTGCCTTGGACGAGGCGGATGGCGGATGGCGGATGGCGTGGGTAAGAAAGAAATGGAGAGTTCTTGGCTCTCTGGAGGTGCCGCAAGCCAAGAAGGCAGGGGCTTGGTTGCGTCTCTGCGCGCCTGCCTGGTCGTAGTTGGCATCCGGGGCTGGGGGGTTCTTTCCCACTGTCGGTGGTACCTACGCAGGGAAGACGGGCAGTATATCTGATGCGTGTGTGAATCACAAACCGACTTCACCTGAACACAGCAGTAATTCCATCCCGACAACAACAGCAACGACAACAACAACGACGACAACAATAACAAAGCACATGGCCAACCTGTGCATGCGTTCAATCAAGCCAAGAATTTGGTGCGCAATTCAGGGCGTGAAGTGACCAGGGTTCGTGTTCTTGAGCAACGTCGGTGCTTGCAGAATCCGACAGCCCAACCCAACCCACGAGCCCCAGGCCGGTGGCGAAAACATGTCTCAACCTTCGTCCTTGGTTGTGGATGCACCCCTGTTTTGCCCTGCCAGTTTAACGCCGTTTCCAGGGCTGACCTGCGCTGCGGGTACGTACCGCGAGATACCGTCGATCCCTAGGTACGTAGTAAGTCCGCGCATCGTCGTTGGGGATGGTGCCAAGGTAAGTTCTGGTACCTGCAACTTACACTCCGCCACAGACGACGAGCCGGCTGCAGCGCGGAAGACCCTCGAGGAACTAAACAAACCTTGTCCCCATCTGTGGCGAAGAGCAAAACTACATGCATGGAACGAACGGCATTTGGAAGATCTGCTTCGTTTCGGACGGTGGCACCGTGGATCTAATGATGGGTCGTGGACTGGATCCGTCAATGGATCGGTCTATCTTCGAGCAAGGTGACGGCGACGCCACCTCAGAAACCAACCGCCTCGTGTTTGGCTCATCTCACTGCCAGTCGACATCCATTTATTCCTCAATATCTTTCCTGCATTTAGGCCACAGTCCACGCCACAGGATCCCACCTCACCCCCCCACACACCCCCTCCCCCTGGTCCCTGGGCCGGTGTGTGGCTGTCTCTTCCTCCGCGCCGTCCCTCAACCAATCTCTCCTGTCTCGTCCCCATCAACGGACCCCCCGGTTCCTGATGAGCTGTGGCGAGATATCGCCCTAGAGGAGCCACCCTCGTCTGACGGAGACCTCGAATTCTGATCTTGGCTGGGCCGAGTTGGTACTACTGTACCTCGGTGTCTGCCAGGTTTCTCAATGTAGCCCATGTACTGTAACGTCCTCGTCATGTACTGATCTTCGGCCCTTCACCTAACTCTTCACCATCTCTCCACCACCTCCACCTTCTCCTCCGCCACATCTACCAAGCCCACCACGTCTAGTTACGGAGTACCACGCGATCCCAAAACCTCATACCTGCTGACTGGGGATCGTCCACTGTCTTTCCTCATTTACTATGATATGATGGTCCCCAGATCCGCGCCCCTCCGTCCCTGCCATCTGGCCTGGTCTCGAGCTGTCTGATTATCCATTCTCGCCCCCATCTGGCCACTGCAGGAGCCCTAAGCCGCACCCTCCTCTGTCGTTTTGAAAGCCCAGACCCTTGGCCTAGTCCCGTCGGCCCCTGCTTCGCATTGTTCGGCCGCATGGTCTTTGCCTCTCACAGGGCTTTTCTGCAAGACATGGGGTCGATGAATCCCCCATTTCCACCCCTCCAGCACCTGGTAGCTCCATACTTCACTCCTCTTTCGCGTCCGTCTCCAAAACACCTGGAGACTCACCCTCGCGCATAGAACTCTTCGTTTCTCGACCAATTCGCATATTGGGTCTCGGGTCTGCTTTTGGTGCCAGAGCTTTGCACGGTCTGCGTGACTGACCGCTGTCCGATGGGTATTTATTCCCTCTTCAAAGTTCACCGTCTCCGAAACTGTGGCTCAGAACCTCGTTGAACTGGTGTCCCGAGCTCCCGTCCTGGCCCCAAGGCCACCCATGTCCCTGGTTGCACTAAAGAGCACAGCGAGAAGTGTTCTCCTGCCACCTGAAGTGCCCTGGCCCTCCCCCTCCATGTCCTGGCCGTTTGGTCCCTCCTTACGCCTTGTTTCGTCCTTTACCCCTCGACTCCCCCAGGCCCCCGTGGGGCATTAACTGCACGACTTGAGAGCGTCTCCCTGCGTTGAATTGGCGTTTCCGGCTCATTGCCATTTGTCCTGGCGTACGATCCGCAACACACCGCATAACATCTCCAACGCACACGATCCACCAACAACTGCCCCCTCTTTCGTCTCTAGTACCCATCTGACAACAGCTCTCTCGACCCCGGACTTATTTAGCCCTCCCCCTCTCTTCCCGCTCTAAGCTTCGACCAGTCACAGTTCAGTGAACAGGGGCTAGGTAGTTGCTTATGTGAAAATAGCCCTGTCCGCATGTGGCTCCCTCATCCATTAGAGAACAAGAATTTTTCTCCTTATTAAAGACATCTTTGGGTCTGGATATCCTAGACTGTTGGTCTTAGCTCACAAGGCATCGATACTGTCGAAATAGGTACGAGCTCCATGCCATCTTAGCCCCAGCTACAAACGCCTGGAGCTGACTGTGGCCGGATTAATAGCGACACAATCCTCTTTCTACGTTGGGATTTCGACTTGACGACACAAATGGGAGATCTTCCCCTCGCCTCGAGCCCGGACGCCCGACCCAGCGACCAGAGTCAACAGAAGACCGAGGATGCAGAGGGTGAAACGCCAAGTCACGACGAACAACGGATAGCCCTCGGGCATGGGCCTCCTCAGCCTCACCACTACCCCCCAGGACTCCCTTACGCATTTACGCCTCAGTTTGATATGTCTCAGGCTCCTTCAGTACACCGTCCAGGGCCTTACAACATGGGGCAGATGACCAACTCACCTCCCCATGTTGCCTATCGCCCTGGACAGTATCATCATGTCAATCAACAGCCGCAGCAGCGCTACCACCTATCGAACTCTCCGTCCATGATGCAGCATATGCCCCAGTTCATGGGACACCAGACGGTTCAAATGTCTGGTCAAGGATACTATGTCCAGCAGCCACACATGGGCCAGTATTATGAAGGCCATCATCTGCCACAACACCAACCCGGCCCAGCAATCCCTCCGAGACAGGCCATGGCATACTACCCCAACCAAATGATGATGAACCAGCAGTCATCAGCCTATTATTATCCTCCGACCCAATACATACATTCTACCCATGCAATGCCGAATACAATGATGCCCAGCCAGTTTATGCACCCAGCTCCCGCCACGAACGATACTCGAGCCACGTTTCAGTCGACACCAAACAGTGGCGTTCATTCTCCTCCCCCGAATCAGGGGCACGGTAGGCTTTGGAAGCAGCCTCTGGTAAAACCCGAGCTAAGCCATGGCCCAGACGGGACCGAGAGGCGGCAAAGCGCGGTGCGAGGACCGCCGCGGAAGCCACGCCAGAGTGGTGAGGAAATAAACTTCGATGGTCCTTTTTCTCTCAGCTAACTTTGACTTAGGCCATGCAATCTGGGTCGGGAACCTTCCTCCGCAAACCGACCTAATGAGCCTCGTTCACCATATCTGCCAGGAAGCATCAGGATTGGAGTCGCTGTTCCTTATTTCGAAGAGTAACTGTGCATTCGCCAACTTCAAGGATGAGGACACATGTATGGCGGCGCAACAGAAGCTGCACGATTCCAAGTTTCAATCCGTTCGTCTTGTCAGTCGACTTCGAAAGAGCACTGTGGAAGGGGCAACTGGAGTGACGGCCCCGACGGGTCCTGCCGTTGTCATGAATCTGGCCTCGAAGAACGAACAGTCCCTGGATCCTCTTCCCTCAGATGTCGGAAGTTCTAGTCCGGCCGTGGAACAAGTCACGCAACTCCAGCCAAGTCCGCTAGGAGAAGTCGAAACAGCACAGAAGGATAAATTCTTTATTTTAAAGAGCTTGACTGTGGAGGACCTGGAGCTCAGTGTTCGCACAGGAATTTGGGCAACCCAATCTCACAACGAAGAATCATTGAACAACGCGTTCAAGGTAGATGAACATCCTCTTATCGAAACCAAACTATCCCTAACTAACTTCGCCAATAGACAGCCGACAACGTATACCTCGTCTTCTCCGCCAATAAATCGGGCGAATATTTTGGCTACGCACGCATGACGTCACAGATCAATGAAGATCCTGCGGCAGCTATTGAATTCGCACCAAAGACTGCGTCGACAAGCGATCTCGATCTACCGAAAGCGATACCAACCGAGCCAACCGAGCATGCACCCAAAGGGAGGATCATTGATGACTCCGCGAGAGGAACCATATTCTGGGAAGCAGAGCGGGATGAGTCTGATAATCTATCTGACACTGAGAGCATCTCTAGTGACAAGAGCGCTGGTGGTGAAGAGGAGGCGACCAAGACTTGGGGAAAACCATTCAAGCTTGAGTGGCTCTCAACAACCCAGTTGCCATTTTACCGAACAAGAGGACTGCGAAACCCGTGGAATTCGAATCGGGAGGTCAAGATTGCCCGTGATGGTACTGAAATAGAGCCATCGGTTGGGCGTAGATTGATTGGACTATTCAACCGGGTTCAGAGCCCAGGTCCGGCTACGACTGGCATGCAGGTTCCAATGGCAGTGATGCCCAACTTCCCACACATGCGATCTTACGGACAATGACGAACTTCATGGATGGACGATTAGGGCATTCTATAGGTGCTGACGATGGAATTCGTCTTGGACATTCCCTTCCAAGAGTTGCTAATTCAAAGACCCGGCAAGACTGGGGCTATGTGCTGGACATGGTTGGGATGATTATTGGATGAAGAAGTTCTTTGACTGATTAAACCTCAAGTACTTTTTTATAAGCTACGAGCTAGCTAATGCACTCTAGTCCCGTCGCTGGGGACGAATTCTTGCTCATCGTTTGATTTGAGTGGCACAGGGGTCGAATGGATACAGACCCGCTTTCATCTTGGTCTTGGCTCTGGATGACGGCAACTGCTAAACTAGGCGTGTACGTGGTGACCACGAGTGTTTCTTTGATTAGCATCAAGGAAATCGGCCAGAAACAAACTATTATCGTCACGCCTCGCAGGAAATCTGAAATTGATGTACATATGTGTACCACTAGTACTGCAGTAAACTGGGGAGTGTCTGCAACCTTAGACTCCGAGCTTGCAGGCATGCTATAAATAGAGACATTCTAAATACTTCAGAGGCATTCAGTGGTTGGTGTGGCTGGAGATGCTAGTTATAGTAGACCTATATTACTACCGACATCACCCATTAGGTTTTCGGTGAGCATTTACCAGACCATCCGAATGCAATGTGAGAGAGGTGGCAATTATAGCGCGATGTCGATATTGGGTGGTTTTAGCTCCAAACCCGTTCCAGCCAGGGAACGACTTTTCGAGGTTATTCTTTGGAGGAGGGATTCTTTGAAGACGATGTGACGTCATGAATTCGCAGTGAGCAGCAACTTTCATTAGGTAAGCCACACTAGACTCGCGCACGGACCATGATCCTCTCTTGTAGATTCATGCGAGGAATACTGTTGCGACGACGACTTAGGCTGCTCAGGCAATCATCGAAGAACGGTGCGCATCAATACGAACGATCGTGAAAGCTCACTAGCTGCCCAATTAGCTTGAAATTGTTTTCGAGATGAAGAGTTGCGAGTAAGGTAGGTGGTTGTCTGCTCTATCACTCTGGGTTCTAGATTCTGGTACGTGCTGGAATCTTCCACCGACATCCACCAGGTTCGAGCATCAACCAGCATCAGGTAGGACGTGATTTGTGAGTGTACGCGTCAGAATCGCCCTCCCAATCACGTCACTTTTCGTTTGTAAGACCGATTCTGCCTGTATCCTGCCATTCAGGCGAGTTCTAGAAGTTCCGAGTGGAATGCTTCGTGATCATTCCCGAATATGTGCGAAGCCACGATCACCGTCTCCTTTCTCCTTCCTCCAAGTATAAAGCAAGGATTCACATCCTCCAAAGTTGGAAATACTTCTCCATCAGAACACACACAACAATCACACACAAGAGCTTTTACACACTCTCGCAAACCAACTTCTCTTCAACAACTCTCTCCGTCAAACTGAACCACTTCTCCAACAAACCCACTACCCACCACCAAGCAAACACAATGGCTGCCTTCTTCCCCCGCAACTTTTACAACACCGACAACACCTCTTTCACCCCTCTCTTCCGCCTCCTCGATGACTTCGACAACTACTCTCGTCAGGGCCAGAGCGCTCGCCAGACCTCAATCCCCCACTGGCAGCCCAAATTTGATGTCCGCGAGACCAGCACTGCCTACGAGCTCCATGGTGAGCTCCCTGGCGTGAGCAAGGAGAACGTCCACATCGAGTTCACCGAGCCCCAGACGATGCTCATTCGCGGCAAGACTGTTCGCACCTACACCTCTACCACCCCTGCTGCCGCCCCCGTTGAGGAGGCTAGCGAGACCGCCGCCATCACCGAGGACAATGAGGAGCAGCAGCGCCCCCACAGCCCCTACCAAGCGACCGTCGAGGACGAGTTCAAGGATGTCTCTCACGGGTCCGACTCCGAGGCCACCAAGGAGGTCGAGAAGAAGCAGCCTGACGAGGCAGCTGTTGAAAAGACACAGCCCGCCGACAAGGTCAAATACTGGCTTACCGAGCGCAGCGTCGGCGAGTTCGCCCGCAGCTTCAACTTCCCCACCCGGGTCGACCAGGACACCGTCAGTGCCAACTTCCAAGAGGGCATCTTGACCATTGTTGTGCCCAAGGCCAAGAAACACGAGTCCCGACGCATCACCGTCTTCTAAGCGATCAACATTGGATGGCAATTGCCCACCTCAGCACACGGCACTCTGATTAAATTTGCAACGGCATTTGCTTGGACCAGCCAGGGTTTTAATAAATCAGTTTCCTGAGCTCAAGTTGCATGGATCCATGTTTTTGGAATGCGCAGCACATTTCTTTGCGACTCGTTGATAGCTTCTGGGCTCTACACACTCCCTTGTACACTAGCACAAACCATAATAACTACCAAAGAGATTAAATTGAACTAAACAATCCTTTCTTAAATGCAGTGGCATGTTTTCATTATCCACTTGGTTCTTCCAGTATTCATCATGCCATGCACTCTCCGTAAGCGGTGGCAAGCTAAGTGCCTACATGGACCTCACGTGACTTGGCGTACCCTAGTGGCGCTGTTGCCTTCTCCCAAGACGCGTCCACCGCGCTTTCCATCAACACCATCCCCTCAAATCTCAAGCCATCCTTGATTACCAATCCCTCCCTCCCAAAACTTCAGGACATTTAGCATCGTCCCTCTGCACTCTCCCAGGACGCGGAACTCTACCCGTACAGCAGCCACCATGGCCGAGGAGTATGATGAAGCCCAAATGGAAGAGGATGGTGGCCAAACCGGCCCCGGCGCTCCCACACCACTTGGTGCTCTTGAAGTAAGCCATCCCCGGTCTAAATGCTGCAATTGGTACTGACGGTTTGGGGCTTTAGGGCATCGCTGGCTTAACGAAGCGTGATATCCAGCTCATCGTGGATGGAGGATACAACACAGTGGAATCGGTGGCATATACCCCGCGGCGAATGCTGGAACAGATCAAGGGCATATCGGAACAGAAGGCAGGCAAGATCCTGGCCGAGGGTTAGTAATGTCAACTTGACGGTACCCTTTGTGCATGTTGCTGATTTTCTCGAAGCATCCAAGCTCGTCCCGATGGGATTCACCACAGCCACGGAAATGCATCAACGCCGAAGCGAACTGATCTCCATCACGACCGGATCGAAGAATCTAGACACCCTTCTCGCCGGAGGCATTGAGACCGGCTCGGTTACTGAGCTTTTTGGCGAGTTCAGGACGGGAAAGAGTCAGATTTGTCATACCCTCGCTGTTACATGTCAGCTGCCTTTCGATATGGGTGGTGGTGAGGGTAAGTGCATGTATATCGACACCGAGGGCACATTCCGCCCAGTGAGATTGCTTGGTGTCGCCAACCGGTTCGGCCTATCCGGTGAGGAGGTTCTCGACAATGTCGCCTATGCACGTGCCTACAACTCAGACCATCAACTTCAACTTCTCAACCAGGCTGCCGCCATGATGTGCGAGACGAGATTCTCTCTCCTTATCGTGGACAGCGCCACGGCGCTTTACCGTACAGACTTCTGCGGCCGTGGTGAGCTTTCGAACCGACAGACTCATCTTGCCAAATTTATGAGGACACTTCAACGCCTTGCAGACGAGTTTGGCATCGCTGTCGTCATCACCAACCAAGTTGTGGCCCAGGTGGATGGTGGTCCCAGTGCCATGTTCAATCCAGATCCCAAAAAGCCTATCGGTGGCAACATTATCGCCCACGCCAGCACCACCAGAATCAGCTTGAAAAAGGGTCGCGCTGAGACGAGAATTGCCAAGATTTATGATAGCCCATGCCTTCCAGAGAGCGATACTTTGTTTGCCATCGGTGAGAACGGCATCGGTGACCCTGCCCCTAAGGATATGGAGAAGGACTAAGGAATGTTTTGGGAAGTTTGTACGAGGCGACGGCGTATATGATGATGTTAATTTGCATGATTGCAGGCGTTTGTGTACAGATGGGTGCTTTGCCTATCTTTCAACCATGATGCAGAATTGCTGGGCTTGTTGGAGTGAATATGCCCGTTTGGCGAGCGTATTTTCGTAGCTGAGGATGCAGTTAGGCAGTAGAGCATAACTTGCTGTGATCCTTCGGTTTAAATTTATTCAATCCCAAGTAAAAAGTCTTTCAAAGAAGTCGCAAATCGTGGAAACATGCGTCCGTGTGATTCACTCCGTGAATATGAGGCAGAGCTGATTTCCCTTTTGGGTTAGCGCGGGCGCGACTGTGCACTTTCAACTGGGAAATTCTGCCATGCAACGCGACCGCACCTCAGCAACCGACTTGCGCCCATCGCAACCAACCTCAAAGACACGACACCAGCCTTCGCGATCGATCCGCTTTATGGAGGCGAGATGGATTCAGGCGAATCCCAGTATCTCTTCAAAGAGACCCGCTTGAACCTCGAACCTCCAGCCTCGTCATCCATCGTCACGATTCGAGTTCCCGGCAACTCCTCCACCCACGGTCGCAGCCATCGCAAGAACGAGCGCGACAACTCTGTCGAGGACGAGACGACCTTTCGATTAAAGAACTTGGCGGTTGCGTCGTCCATCTACCACCGACAATGGCACGACACGCCTCGCAGCTTTCTCTGGCGGGTCTTGGAGGACGGGACTCTACTCAGCATTCGGGTTGTTGATGTTTGCAAGAAGGCCCAGGCAGCAGATGCGCCTCTGGTTCTGAATTTTCACTTCCCCGTACCCATACAGCCGGGCTGCGTGACATTCTCAGACCCGGAGGAGCATGATTCCCTTTGTGTCTACATCCTGGACCAGTCGAACCAGCTGTACACATTCACCCTGCGGCCTGACCTCTTCAGAAAGCGAGCGGCTATCGATGCTGGGCTTTCTGAGCTCGGAAAGGTCCAGTCGCCGGCGGGACTGGGTTTCAAGCACGCGCACCGGATGGTGGCTGTGACGGCGGAGACTCTCCTCGTGACCGTCAACGACGGCGGCATGATTCGTTTGGACAGGAACAAGTCCCATGTTGGTGAGTTGAGACTGGATTCGGGACGAGGCCCTCGACTAACAGATCTTTCAGCATCGGCTCCCATTTGGAAGGAGTCATTCTTTAACGTCCAGGGATGGGCACAGAACCTTCGCAGCTTGCTCCCATTCCAGGGGAAACACACGATCAAGTACGGCAAAACCAACATGGAATACAGTGCGGCGACAGCAGTACAGGTTTCGTCATTTGGACTGGACGATTGCCTTTTCGCCATCACCGTCTGTCTCGACCACCGAATGCGAATCTGGAACGTAAACGACGGCCAGATTCTGTACACGGGCGACATCCTAAACGCCGAGAGGAACCCACAAGAGATCGGCAAGTGGGCGATTGATCCCACACAAGCTAACCTCGTCCAAATCATCGGACGAAACCGAGGACAGAGAATTTGCGCGACCTTCTCTCCTATCGGTGCTGGAGAGTTCAAGTTCTGGAAGATCATTGCGAAGAACAGCCATTCCATCGTCGTGGAGGACATCTTCCCTAAGAACGCCTTGATTCCTGTGACGCCGTCGTCGTCCGATGTATGGACCCTGGCCGATTTTGTGCTCTCATCACCCGCAGAGAGTGCTATCCAACTATGGACCCTGTGGAAGAATAATATGACCTACCGGGTGCAAAGGCTGGAGGTTGATCGGAAGAACATGGCGCAGTCTTGGGAATATAACTGGGAGGGTGTCTACGTGGATACCCCGACGCAGACGGCAGAGACATCTGGACCTTGCGATCCCACCGATGTCACAGAGAAGTGGCTCCAACTGATCATGAAGCCTGGACGATTCACAAAGGCCACGTTGGAGACGGCCTTGTCAATCTACGAACGGGGATTGGGCGCCACGAAAGAGGTTGGCAAGGGGCGGGGACTGGCTGAATCGATATGTTCTGTTCTAGGATCCACAGCTACGCTGGACCGAGGCGCTGCTGGTGCCATGGACTACGAGCAGTTCCGTGCATCCAGCGAGACTCAGTGGAGAAGGTTCCATCGGCTTTTGATGGAGCTCGACAAGCAACGAGGAGAGGCCATAGGCCTGTCTTTGGACCCCAGCAGCGGCATGACCTGGGTCGTGTGTTCCGACTTCCTCTCGGCCATTAGAGACTGCAGCAGCATCGAGCGGTTGTACCATAACCTATCAGCACCAGAGGAAGATCAGGAGCAGCAAGCCGCTCTGGTGAGCTCAGCCCTGACCTTTGTAGAAGGGCTCCCGGACAACCTCGCCCAGCTCTGCCAATCTGTTCTGCGGCCTGAGGTCTTCGAGGATTCATCAAAGACGGACCTTGAACGGATACAGTACTTCTTTGACAAGTCTGGGTTCTGGCGAGGCATCACGGATGAGGATTGCAACCAGGTTGTTGAGTCTCTGGGCCAAAACTTCAGCACAGTGACCGACAAGCTTTACGCCGACCTCATGAACCTGATTGCAGCACCAGTGGACGCTAAGAGCCGAAATCTCCGCCACCCTCTGACCGAGTTTGGAAGGAAGCTCGTCGTGAAGGCAGTGCAAGAGAGCATCGAGCTGCAGTGGAAAGTCTGCTTCAGTCAACTGGTCCTCCTCGTTCTCATGGAATTTGAGTGTGACCAGGATACGGATGCCCTCCATAACCGTGTCGATATCGGATTCGTTTACAGACAGCTCATCGGTGCTCTACGACGGTTGGAGCTTCTAAAATGGCTCTCCCAGACGGAGATTTCGGGGGTTGTCGTCCGAGAGAAGGGCGAGGGTGCCATCGCCAAGAAGGGAGCTGAGGATATCCAAGTGGTGACGGCCCTCGAGGCCAACGTGGGTCACCTCCTCGGTTTTGCCAACATCAAGAATGAGCCGCTCGCCAACAGCGTCACCGATCTTATCGTCAACCTTTGTGCGCCGGATAGCGATATTGAGGTTTCCCCGTCGCTTATCCAATGCTCTCTGATCAAGCGGGAGAGGGCTGATCTAGCTCTGGACCTTGCTCCCTTCTGCGATCAGAACCCCTTTTCTGTCTACGTGCAGGGTCGTGTAATGTTGTCTCTCAAGGACTTTGGCTCTGCTGCGATTCATTTCAGAAAGGCGGCGATTGGAATGAGTAAGTCAGCAGCCATAACACTTGAAACAATTACTAACAAGTCGCTAGGTACCGAGAATGTTGAGATAGATCGCCATAGTAGTGGCCTTCTTGACGACACCGAGTGGAACCTTCTTAACAACGGCCTCGCCAAATACTACTCTCACATTGTGGCGCTTTACGAGAAGCAGAAGGCGTACTCATATGTGGTTGAATTTGCTAGACTGGCTATGCAATTCCTCAGCTTCAGGCCGGATGCCGCCTTTATGAAGACGGAAATGCAGAGCCGCTTGTTCAATGCTGCTGTAGCAACGTCGCAGTTCGAGCTTGCCCATGCTAGTTTGTTATCGATCAAGGACCAGGCTATGAGGCATTCGAGCCTCCGAAAGCTAGTCGACAAGATGTGCGAGACGTATCACAACATCGAGCTCGTGGCGTTGCCGTTCCCCGGCATGCAACAGGAGGTTGATGACATCCTTGCTCTGAGATCCAAGGCGACCCTAGACGTTATGGACGGATTCCCTTACCACCAGGTTCTCTATTCGTGGAGAATCAAGCACAGCAACTACAGAGGCGCGGCGTCGGTGCTGCTAGATCGCATCCAAAAGCTGCGGTCCGCCGGAGAAGGAGATGAAGTTACTGGGGACGATATCCTTGACACACCCGTGACGAGGCAGTACTTGCTTCTCATCAATGCCCTCAGCTGCGTGGACCCCAAGCAGGCCTGGATATACGACGAACAGACGGCGGGACAGGAGCGAAACGGCGAGACGGCCGGAAAGCGCAAGGTGGTATCATTGGCGGATATCCGGAAGCAGTATCAGGATGAGCTAGATCGGATTGCAGCCATCCACAACAACCAGTTTGGATTTGAGGCGGACGATCTCATGGAAATTGTATGAAGAGGGGAGGAAATCATGTAGACTAAAGGTGTTGCTTCAAAACTCTCACAGGGCGAGATACCTCGGACATGTCATGGGATTCATATGGGATTAATCATTTCTTTGTTTTTGTTACGAAACTCGGGGACTTCCATCACCTGGTCTCCCCATATTTGAACCTAAAACGCCAGGACCGATGCTAGAAAACTTGCAAATAGCTGATAACAACGTACACCATTTACGAACCGCGAGGGGGTGCGATATTAGGCCTGAATTGCGGCTAGCTTATTCTCTGGGGGTGCATGTAGTTGCTGGGTGCCGGCGCCAGTGTTGGGCACAGCGTCAGGGGCCTGGCGGTAAAGGATAATTTCCGACTGCTTGAAGTATCGTCGGGCGTCTGCGACTGTGTGAGGAGGCTGTGTACATAGAGGGGTGGGGATTTGGTGGAGAGGAACTGACCTTCGTCGATGAGGACGAGACTGAGGTAATAGCGGGTGGAGAACTTCTTGTTGACATCACGGAAGGTGGGCGTCAGGTCAAAGCCTCCGAGGAATAGTCGGATGGGAATGGTCTCGCCGCGCGACGGTGAGCCATCCATGATCTCGAAGCGCACCAGGGTCTCGCTCTCATTGTACTGGTTGGGAGCAGCGCCGGTGGTCTCCCTCCGGATGATGGACAGTTCCATGTGCTTAATCTTCAGGCGGACCAGGAGGAAATAGATGCGGCCAACGATGACGTCCTTGAGGTGGTACTTGCTCTTGCTGTACTCGAATTCAATGTGCAGGCAGTCCTCGATGCCGACATCCATCTTGATGCTACTGTTCATCTCCGGGGGGATGCGATAGCTGTAGACCCAGATATCCTTCTCGCGGATGACGTCGGCCATGCGGCGGGAGACGGTGACGCGGACAAAGTAGCGCAGCTTGACGTTGATGCCGTTGTACGACTCGTACTGCTTCTCGACATTCTTGAAGTTGAAGTCGAAGGTCTGCGGGTGTTGCAGCTCGCCGGGGGCAGCGAGTTCTTGGTTGAGGGAGAGGAATTCGTAGTGGTTACCACGGTCGAAGAACATTTCTGGCGATGGAGTCAGTATCGAGGATATCGAAGCAATTGCGGCCGGTGCGTCGCGAGCGGTTTATCGGGCTCAATGGAGGAGGCGGGGGCGCGGATGGATTGCTTCAGGGGCGGCCGGGAAATAGTCGCATACCTATGGTGCCGATGAACTGGACCTTGATGCCGGTGTGCTCCAGTCTCTTGCCATCCTTGGGGCGGACGGTGACGGCGCCCTTGACGGACTCGCCGTCCATGAAGAGCGGCGCCTTCTCGCGGCGGTTCTTGTCGAGCTTGACATCGACCATGGAGCGGTCGTCGGTATCGTCAAGCACGACATCGATGTCGACGGGGGTCGCGAAGAAGTACGACATGGCGGGCGGGCGGGACGGACGGACGAGGAGAGGAGTCGACCGGTGGAGGAGGAGGAGATGCGGAGGGACGGCGGTCGGCGCACAAGTCGAGTGACGCTGGATTGGGACGGACCACGGCGGAGGAGACGCTGGATCGCGAGGTTGGAGGCTGGCGCGGCGCAGGGATGGTGACCTAGTAGGTACGGTAGTGTTCACTGTTTGGCGCTCGCTGACGTATCGACGCCCGGTAGCGACCCACCCGAGCTGTCCGTGAGCCCGCTGGAGCTGGAGGCTGTGCGATAACTACAGCGCAGTGGGGAGCCAGAGGCGAGAGTGAGCTGATGGGTTATGTCGATGCCTAGAGCAACAACCCACGCGAGCGATTACGGGATGACCGGCACAGCAATGAGATGAATACAGAGCTGCAGTAGTCTGTTCCCGGCAACTCAAAAGCCTCCTACACAAGATGCTCCGCTGTTGAGTCGACCTCTAATAGCTGCTTGCTCGTCTAACAGCAATTGCGCAGGGTGCAGAGTGTCTACCATCCGTCTCGTCTATTGGCTGGAGTCCCACCACACCCAAAATCTGCAGCCGTTGGACCAAGCTCTGGAAATCACGTGCGTAGTCACGGTAGCCCGCTTTGGATTGCTTTAATCCATCTGTCTCAGCCCGGGTTCTCGGATCAACACGATGAATAGGATATCCCAGGTTAATTCCCCAGATGATTTCGCCTACAATTGAAAGAAGAGGATAACCAGCTTATCTTGAATTGGTCGAGAACGGCACGTCTTTACAAGGCTGGGAAACCTGCACAAAGACTCTGTTATCAAAGTACATCATCCCTATTCTGATCAAGACATAAATCAATAACGGAGTGGAAAAGAAGGAGCTGAAAAGAGAGGAGAAAATGGAAAACGGACAAGTACCCCGCCAAGAAGGAATAAGAACAAGAAAAGGGCTCCCGGCAATGTGGATTGAACATAGAATCCTTCTCACTAACATCTGGCCCCCATCCTTGGCTCCGTGGGGACCCAATTGGCCGAATCGCATCAGCCACAACGCCACATTGATTCACGGGAAAACATAAACCCACCACAACTCCATATCAACCCCGGCCATCACGTGGTCGCACAAGCCCTACCTCCCGAACTTTCTAGCCCACACGGAATTTGTCAAACAATTCGCGACCGCCGACGACTCCAGATACCCTCAACCCCCGACATCAACACCACACAACCGGCAGGATGAAGTACATTCATTCCCAGGAGCTCCTTGAGATCCCCGAGGGGGGTACGTCACGCCTCCTATTCTCATTTTCGCCCCGGATCGATATCGACGTCCCGAGAATGCTGGCGCCCAACCATCGCACACGGACGTCGAACTTCGAGATGGGCTGCGAACAGGAATATCTCCGCACGCAATTGGAACTTGGATTGCTAACCGGTTTGCGCGTACAGTCAAGGTCGCCATCAAGTCGCGAATTGTCACTGTCGAGGGTCCCCGAGGTACGAAACACCATTCCGCCAGCCCTGGAGCCCGGGGCTGGCCCGCAAAAGACGTGGGACACAATTATCTGACTCGGCGGAAATAGGCAAGCTGGTCAAGGACCTGAGCCACCTGGCTGTGAACTTCACTCTCCCCAAGAAGAACACCATCTCCATCGAGATCCATCACGGCAACCGAAAGAATGTCGCCACCCTCCGCACCGTCCGATCCCTGATCAACAACCTGATGGTCGGTGTCACCAAGGGCTTCAAGTACAAGATGCGATACGTCTACGCCCATTTCCCCATCAACGTCAACCTGTCCAAGAACGCCGAGACCGACCTGTACGAGGTTGAGATCCGAAACTTCATCGGCGAGAAGATCGTTCGCCGCATCGTGATGCAGCCCGGTGTCGAAGTCGAGACCTCCAGCACCCAGAAGGATGAGCTTGTCCTGTTCGGCAACTCCCTCGAGAACGTGTCGCAAAGCGCCGCCGATATCCAGCAGATCTGCCGAGTGCGAAACAAGGATATCCGAAAGGTAGGAACCGACCGACCCCCGCCCCCTCACTATTTTTTTTTCTTCGCCGGGGCCTGACGCTAACAAATGACAGTTCTTGGACGGTCTGTACGTTTCCGAGAAGGGCAACGTCGTTGAGGATGAATAGACGCGGACACGGATCTTGTTTCTTTTGCGTTTCTGGGTCTCAGGAGTGGCGAAGGGTCCATCATTGCATGTCATGTAGCAAAAGGGCTACAAAACAAATACTAAAAGCAACGAGATGATGCCTCTGGTGCCAAAAGTCAATTTCGCACATGTGTGACCTGCGGAGTACACGGGACGTTTAAGCGAGGGTTCAGGGGGGTTTCTGGCGGTAAATCCGTTTTTATCATTTCAATGAGGATGAGCGCGAGCTCCTGAAAAACTACCGCGGTCTTTCGTCTATATGCAGCGCGAAATCAAAGCCCCCACCGGAACCGACACAAGACGTAGACAAGGCAAATTGAAGCGAGCGCAAAATTGGGTTGTGAAATGTCTCTTGGGCAGTGCCCTGTGAGTGATGTCTTCATTTATCAAACTCATCATAATTCTTTCTTCTTCCTTCATCGTTGGTCATTTCCCTTTCCTTCATGACGTTAATCTCTTTAAAAAAGCAACCGAGAAACTCATCAAAACATGTTGAGAAAACGCAGAAAATCAGTCCCGCAGGGCAATTATGTATGTCAAACCAAAGACGCCAGCAGCCCTATGTGTAAAAAGCAATGGATCGAGCTTATATCCAGTGGAGCTCGAGATCCTATGTCGAATGAGGAGACATGTACAGGATGGATGTGTGACGAAAAGCTGCGCTTAAGGTCGCTCCGAGTTGGAGTATGATCTCGCGCGACTTGCGCGGCTCGCCCGACTGTCTCGGGTCCGGCGAGTGCGTTGTGTGCGTCCGCCAGAGCTTGAGCTGCCTGTGGAATTGGTCAGTGACTTGTCACATTTGTAGCGCTGTGTTGATGGGTAGGTTGTGGTGACTTACTGGGACTTGTGTAATCGCTGTATGAGTAATATGAGTCGCTGTACCGCGATGAGCCTCGGGATGAGCGTGAGCCCTTGCTTGCTGGCTTCTTGTCCTTTCGGAGGTTGAGAAGGGCCAGGAGAGTGGCAGCAAGGCCGGCGATGCCAAGCCACTTCTTGCCGCTGGACTCCTTCTTCTTCTCGCGACGAGAACCGGCAGACGAGGGGCCGCCACCGCCGCCGAACCAGCCCTTGTGTGAATCCCTTCGGGAGTGCACCGTGGCGGGCCGGCTTCCATGGCGGGAGTAGCGCTCCTCGACGATGTCGACGCGCTCGCGGCTCTCATCCTTCTTCTTGCCGAAAATGGCGACCCAGAGTCCGCGGACAATGCAGCAGAAGCAGAGAAGCAGCAGGAGAGCGACACCGGCAATGGATCCGATGACAATACCGGCGATAGCTCCGCCACTGAGATTGCTGCCAGTGCCGCCACCGGCGCCAATGGTGTCGCTGTCGCTGGTCGCAGTGGAAGTCGAGGCGGTGGCCGTCTCGGATACCGTATCGCTTCGGACGCCCTCGCTGGTGATGGTGGTGGTACCGGTGACTCGGTACGGGGCAGAGTACTGGGTGGTGACCTTTCCGTTGGAGGTGATGACGACGGTAGTACCATCTTCCATACCAGACTTAGCAGAGCACTGGCCGGTGAAGGCGCACGTCTGCCATCCGGCGCAGCAGATGGTACCACAGGCTTCTTGTGCCGAGTTTTGAGGCACGCAGTCGACGCCCGCAGTGGCCTCGGGGGCAGCGTCCCACAGCGTCATGACGGTGCTGGTGTAAGTCTTCGTCTCGGTCCAGGTGGTGGTGATGGCGCCGACATAGCTGCCCTCGGCGATGCAGGTAGCGACGCTGTCCAAGGTGGTGCAAACTTCGTCTGAATTACAGCAGTACTGGTTATCGGCGCCGCAGTATGAGTCGCAGGCGCGCGGCATGAGATACGAGAAGCCTGCATCGTGGAAGCTGTCACGGGGGTAAGGCTTAGCCGAAGTCAGGCCTGCCGCAGCGAGGAGCAGCAGCGGCCTCGACGAGTAACGCATGGCTGCGGTCGCTCGCTCAATGGCAATCGAATAGAGGGGGCGACTGAATCGAATTCCTCGGGAAAGGTGAGAGTTTTGTTGTCTTAGGCCTCGTGTTCTGGGGCCTCGTGTCTCACTCAGCAGCTCCGGAATGCGGGAACAAGTGGGCTTGGGCGACGGGAGCGGTGAGATGAGCTGCAAATACGAGGGCTGTTGGTACCCAAAGTTGTCGCTGGCGGGGTGGTTGCTGCGAGGATCTGCGAAGGTTTCGAAATGGGCGCGAAGAAACCAACAATGGGGCAGAGTGCGATGCTGGAGGAGGAAGAGAGTTTGGGTGGGATTTTGTGAGGGAAAAAAGTTACGATGAGGAACAAGCACCGCAGGAAAGTTCTGGGCGCTGCAGGATGACTTTTAAGCGGCTGGTCGGTGGTGGGCTGCGACAAATGGCTTCGTTTCCTGCACTCCCAACCTCCCACTTACACCCAGCCTCTCGGTTTTTGCAGTGCGGCAACCACCACAACACGAGACAGACGACGGGCGGACGGGACAAGGGCAATAGCGTCAGGAGAAGGAGAAAAAAAAAAGGAGACCTGGTCCACAGTTGATGATCAGCAAATTCTAGCGCAAACGGGGCTCGGGGTGCACTCAGTCCTTTTATCTCGATGTTTTTGTCGCCTTCGCTGTCACGATGATGGATGTTGGGCTGCGGATGACGATGAGATGGCGATGGCGGGGGAGAGCCGGAGAGGAGAGTGGGCGGCCAGCTCATGACACCCAAAGACGCACCGCCAGCGCCGTTTACTGGACAACAATCGATAACTGCAGCTCCCGGGGGAACCCAGTGGCGCTGGTGCGGGCCGGGTTGGGCGCTGACAGGCCCTGTGGCCCATGTGCTGGTTGCCCACCACCCCTGGAGCTAGGTCGCTACGTGACCTTTCAGCGCCTGCCTAAGGTACGCTCCCGTCGTCCCGTCACGGCCTGGAGCGCTTGGCCGGGGCACTTGCTCAGGGCGACGTCGGGGCCACTCCCGCTGTAGTGACAGCGCAAGTCCGGCAGGGATGGCCAGGGCGGGTTTCTGCAGGCGCGGCGCGAACCCTCCGAATGTTAATTTCAATCAGGGGCGGCTGTCCCTGCAGTGGACGGGGTCTAAGGGGTCCAATTGGGGTGGTTTAGGATCCTGGGGTTGTGCCCTGGGTGCGGCCATGATGGAAACTTGGGAGGTTGGTATGGAAACCATTTACTGCTGCGACGGAGCACCCGGGGACTTCTGCCACCGGGCTCATCTTCCGAACCCCGAATAGGGAATGCCAGGGCGGGTAAAACACTTAAAGGTAAGATAATACGAAGAAGAAAAACTAATCAAATTTAACGGCTTTTTTCGGTTATTACCAAGACTCTTCCTTACTGTACGTTTTCTTAGAGCTTTGGCTTCTGAGCAGTGGGTGAGTGACAGCGGGCAGACTCCAAGAATTATAGTGGCTGGTAAGCAGTCATCATTAAGTGGGGCTTCGGTTTTCGGAAAGTGCTTGCGTGGCGGGCCAACGCCGGCGACTGGCAGCCACACCTTCAACAGCCATCAAGCCACACTCTGACCTTGAAGTGTTACCTAGATGTGTGGCTTAGCTCAAGGTCCCGAGCTCCCAGTAGTTCCAAGTTAGAGGGAGGGAGCTGTGACGCTGCTGCGTGGTTGCATCACCAGCAACCTCATCTCATCCGCGCCTTCGCCCTCCCGCCATCGCCCATCTCCCCCCTTCCTCCTCCCATCCCCGTGCCCTCCTCCCGCCAATCACCCGCGGAACCGCCGTCCGTCGACTCTTTCGCAGCCGCGACGCCGTCACCATGTCGCTCGACCCGCCGACGTACCTGGGCTCGCTGCAGAGCAACATTCGCCAGCGGCCGATTCCGTGGGATGGGGCTGTTAGAGCCGGCACCCTGACGGAGGAGCAGTATTCCAAGATCCGCGCCGTCGACAAGGCCAAGAAGCCCGAGGCGCGGAAGGAGATTGTCTCGGGCGACCTGGATGGATACCGGGTGCTGTTTGTTGGTGGTTCTGGAAAGTCGAGCGTGCTCGAGACGGCAGGAAAGCATGCGAATGTGATCCAGTACATCCTCGTGTTGCTGGGCGACTTGCTCGAGGGTAAGTCCACTACAGTTCCATCACATATACACATGTGGGACGGCTGCCATGGTTGTATCGATTATCTATGGCAGCTTCCCTCACGTCCCCAGGCCCATGATGCTAACATCTCCTCTTATCCTAGGTGCCCCGTCCCTTGCCAAAGCCATCTTCAAGACCCAAGATCCTTATCGACATTTCTTACCTCTGCTAAACTCGACCAACGCTGAGGATCCCATCCCATTGCTCACCGCGCACGCCCTTACCACTCTCATGTATCTCGCTCGAGACGAGTCCCAGGCGACTCTTCAGGCCCTGCCTATCGTCCTCACCTACCTATCCGGCCTGGCCAAGAGCTCCGACGCTGGCCTACAAGACATTGCCGTGCAGGAGTACTCTGCGCTGCTCTTCGGGCATGCCTCGCGAGAGCAGTTCTGGAACCAGCGAAGCGAGACCGTTGCGCCCCTCGTCAAGATTCTCCAGACTGCCGCTGGCATTGGCAACGGCGACTCATCCGCTAGCCTCTGGAGCGGCAACACTGCCGCTCGCAGCACTGGGTTCGAGGGCTCGCTCGGCGGCGGCGTCGGACTGCAGCTCCTGTATCATGCCCTCCTCGTCATCTGGCAGATGAGCTTTGAGGCTGAGCAGATTGGTGATGATCTGAATGAGTGAGTTTCGTCGTTAAAGGTCGCCATCCGTCAATTGCCACTAACACGCATCTACAGCGAGTATGACATTGTTCTCCTATACACTCAGCTCTTGCGCTTGTCGCCCAAGGAGAAGACGACCCGACTAATCCTCTCCACCCTCTACAACCTCCTCGAGAAGAACCAAAAGTCTCTTCTGCCCACTGCGGTCCTCGCTCGTCTTCCCTCCCTGCTTGACAACATTGGCAGCCGCCACCTTACGGACCCCGATCTGCTGGAGGATCTCTCGAGCCTCAAGGAGATGTTGGAGGAGTACACCAAGACGAAGACTACCTTTGACGAGTACGTTGCTGAGGTTCAGTCCGGCCACCTGCGATGGTCGCCCCCTCACCGAAACGCTATCTTCTGGGCCGAGAACGCCCGCAAGATCCTCGACTTTGAGAACGGCGAGATCCCCCGAAAGCTGGTTGAGATCATGCGACAGCCCTGGGACAATGACAAGCAGGTGCTGGCCATCGCCTGCAACGACGTTGGTTGCTTGGTGACGGAGGTGCCAGAGAAGCGATACCAGCTGGAGAGAGCTGGACTAAAGACGCGAATCATGGAGCTCATGCAGTCAGACGATGAGAGCGTCCGATGGGAAAGTCTCCGCGCGTTGGGTGGCTGGTTGAAGTACAGCTTTGAGGAACAATAAAGGCTTGGTGGATTGATGGGAGGGTCACTGCGGAGTCTTGATTTTTAGTGGGCGTCGTTGTCGTTGCGAGTCACGCCTGCGAGCTCATAGAGTCCTTGGTAGAATGAGCCGCGGCGGGAGGCATCAGCTGTAATTGGCATAGTTATTTGGTATCGGGAGAGTCTGTATGAGGGCTCCGACTACATCGCTGTGTAAGAATGAAATTTCCAAGCCGCATTCACCTGATTCTCAGCTCTTGTGTGTTTTGCGATGCGGAGAGAAGAGGGGGGACAAAAGACAGGCGCTTAGTAGCTATTCCGTTCGTCGAGGCTGCTGGATGCCAAATATTCGGACCGCGCTCCGGGGCTCCGTGGTCGGTCCAAAGTCCCGAGACCGCGGCTATCCGGAGGCCCACCGAACTCAACTGAAGAAGTGCTTGCCTTATCAGTTTAGGTGTGTAGTAACTGCATGGTGAGTAAGTGAGCTATAGCTCTCGTCTCGCATCTTTCATCTGCTCTTCACTTCTCTCCTCTTCACAATCGATCAATTGGCCGCGCTCAGTCTCCTATCGTCAATTGAATCATCATGAAGGGTCTTTCCATGGCTGCGAGGGCAGGTCCCCGAATCCAGGCGGTGCTGTCTGCGACCGCCCGTCCTACGTCATTCTCTGCCGCATCGGCCTCCGCGTTGAAGCAGCACGTCCGATGGGCGTCGGATGCACCCACCGGAGATCTCAAGAAGACTCCTCTCTACGATTTCCACGTTGCGAACGGCGGCAAGCTGGTCCCTTTTGCGGGCTACCACCTGCCCGTGCAGTACGATGGCTTCTCGCTCACCAAGTCTCACAAGTTCACCCGCTCCAATGCGTCGCTGTTTGACGTGAGCCACATGGTGCAGCACATCTTCAAGGGCCCTGATGCCGCGGCGTTCCTCGAGAAGATTACCCCTTCAGACTGGAAGAACCAGGGGCTCATGCAGAGCAAGCTGACGACCTTCCTGTGGCCCGGCACCGGTGGCATCGTGGATGATTCCGTCGTGACGAGACTGGGCGAGGACGAGTACTATGTCGTCACCAACGGAGCTTGCCTCGACAAGGACACCAAGTACTTTGACGAGGAGCTGGGCAAGTTCGGCGGCAACCTCGAGTGGACTGTGCTCAGCGACTCCGGCCTGGTTGCCCTGCAGGGTCCCCAGAGCGCCGAGGTGCTCAGCGAGCTGCTGGCCACCGACATCAACCTGAACGAGCTCTACTTTGGAAACGCCGCCTACGTCGAGCTGAAGCTGCCCGACGGCAGCAAGACACACCCCATTCTCGTCAGCCGCGGCGGCTACACGGGCGAGGACGGCTTCGAGCTGTCGTTCAACGGCAAGCTGTACCCGGCCTTTGAGACCACCACTCCCACCATCAAGGCCCTGCTCGCCAAGGCCGGCCCGGAGCGCCTCCAGCTCGCCGGCCTCGGCGCCCGAGACTCCCTCCGGCTCGAGGCCGGCATGTGCCTGTACGGCCACGACCTCGACGACACCACCACCCCCGTCGAGGCTGGTCTGAGCTGGATCATCCCCCCCGCGCGGCGCCAGGCCGGCGGCTTCCACGGCGCCGAAGTCATCGTGCCTCAGCTCACCCCCAAGAGCAAGGGCGGCTCAGGTGTCGCTCGCCGCCGCGTAGGCCTCGTCGTCGAGGGCGCGCCTGCTCGCGAGGGCGTCGAGATCCACAAGGACGGCGAGAAGGTCGGCGACGTGACCAGCGGTGCGCCCAGCCCTTCTCTTGGTAAGAACATTGCCATGGGCTACGTGCGTGACGGCCTACACAAGGCCGGCACCGAGGTGGACGTCATGGTCCGAGGCAAGAAGCGCAAGGGCACTGTGACCAAGATGCCTTTCGTGCCCGCCAAGTACTGGAAGGCACCTACTCCCGCTTAGATGGTACTGAGGGGGTTAGATGGTTTTTGTGTTTGGCTTTACGTCTCATTTTCGGGTTGTTACGGAGCATGTTTATGTGGTAGCTGAGGATATTCAACATAGGTAGTTTGGGAAAATCGGGATGGGGTGAATATTTGTTCTCATACTGGATGGAGTCAATACGATGCATAATTAAGACAATTTTGGGCTACCAGTCGTCTTCTTTATTGTGTGCAACGCTGCCCCCTGAAGGTCCACGTAGACTGACCAGCGAGAAGTGTACTTAAACCTGTCATCAACTCACGTAGGAGAAGACCTAACCTCACAGGTTTCCCAATACTAGTTTACCAGCATTTGTTATTGTTAGTGTTTTATATTGTTGTCTTGAATTTGATTCTCTCTACTATTTCCTTGTTTCAGATTCAAACCGATTTTTTAATTGGGTATAAGTTAAGTTGGTGGCGTTGTTGCTCCCCTTTTGAGCCACCTTTCGAAGCGCAGGCACACAACAGGATCAATCTGGTGTCTCTAAACGTGGATTGTCTCGGACTTTGTTGGATGTGCTAGCATGAACAAGAGCAGTTTTATGCCCCTTTAATAAATGCACGTCTGTATGTTATCCTGTTGTCAGACATAATGGCGCCATGGACTGCTCCCTGTCATGGAGTACCTTAGCTGTGGGGATTAACTTATGATGTGAGAGAAAGAAGCAAGAATGGGGCCGGGGATAGCTACTTTTATTTTTTCAGTGGCAAAGAAGCATGACGAGGAAATGTACTCCAAGTAGAGAAGAGAAACAGAGGCACGGATGATACAAAAAAATACGGAAAAAGACAGGACAGTCAGACTGATTGGAAATGCCTCTGAGTATGAGTCCATATGAACTTTACATTGCGGGTATGAGAATTCTGGACTCTAGGGTAGGCTAAGTCGAGATTCAACAGCTCAAAAGCTGCGAGACAACTACGACCGAGAAAGCCCAAAACCAACAGAAATCATGTCTTAACAGACCCGGGCTATGGCCGAAAAAACATCCGTCCCGTACTCCCCGAAGAGGGGTCCTGGCCGTATGTTGCCTTGGATCCGGCACTAGGTACCAAGGAGTCACGAGCAACTAAAAAAAACATCACGGGTCTCAGCAATTAAGCGGAGTCGAACACATCGTCATGTAGCCACAGATAAACCATAGGAAGCCATCACACATAAGCGTACAACCTCCCTCAAACAAGGGCGAAATAGTCTAGCAACGGAGTCCTCGTGTACAGACCGTCTGTAGAGGAAGAACGGAGACGGTCAACGCCGACTTGGAAGAGTGGCGCGGATGAGGAACTGGTGTTGCGTGGTGAAGGAAGGAAAAGTCAGACGCGCGAAGAAAGGAAAAATCCCTTTTTGGAGGCCAGTCGGCGGAGCTGGTGGGGCATTTAGCGTCCCTCTGGTGACCCCCACTTACAACGAGGACAGGCCGTGTTGCAGCGCGGTGGATGCTCTGAATGCCCTATCAGAGCGCTGTGGGAAGCCATTCTGTTAGTGGCATCCCTTCTGAAGGATCAATATGTCTCCGCCACCACGGGCAGAGTAAACTTGTTCTCCCCGGACTCACAGCCTGGGGAAGACAGGGAACCGACCAACTAGCAGCCTAGATGATTCCCGCCCGTCTAGATTTCGGCGGGAGCCTCGGCCGTAGACGATCATGGGAGTGATCACGCCTCCAGAGTTGCGGGGAGTTTCTAGCTTCGGTGTTTTACATGAGAAACCAGTGTCAAGAGGGTGCATCACGGGGCCAGACACGAGCGGCGGATGCCCGTTGCCTTATACGGAGCCACACACACGGCACGACACAGGGTAACGTTGGGAGGCGGTCGTGATCAACTCCACGTACGGATTGTGTCCGGTATGGGATGATGGCCGAGGCAGCTGGAGGAGGCTGCTGATTGACTGGAGGATTATGCCTGCTGATGGGGGGGGGATCCATACCTACGAATGGATTTGACACCTTGAGGTCTGGTGAATTGAGAGGCGACTGCTTGGACTGGCTGGAAGGACTGGAATGGCAGTACCTTGATGGCTACCATTACGTACGCTACAGACTTCGGCCCCCTTTCCTGGACGTCTTGGACCCTGAGAAATGACGCAATATTTTAACTTGCTGGCTAGGCTCCATGTTAGCGACGACCTGGTGGGCAGAGACGGTGAGGTGAGACAGCCACGGTGACCAGGAGACGGGACAGTCACGGAGGAGAGAAACCCCCAATATTTGGGTCAGCAAATGAGTCCGGATGTGTAAGAGGATGATGACATTGATCGCCCCAAACCCAAATGTCATCCCAAATATCATCCGAGACTGGTCGTGTGCTCCAGAGTCATCCTGGTCACCTTAAAGCGCCGCTCACAAGATCCCATGTACTGGATGGGCACGCTCCCGTCCCTCCCACCCGCAAACTTAGCCGCTCTCCCGCCGCCGTCTGGTTGCCATTCCTGGACACACGTGTAGCCCATGGCTCTCAAGATTGGCTGCTTTGCTGCCTGGGCGCTGGTGTTTTGGAGGTGTCCCCGCGATCGCGGACTCGCAGGCGAGGCAGGCTGAGGGCTCGTCATTCAGCACCCGTCCACGCGCGTGCCGGCGTGAGCACACCGCACAGGTTGGATCTGGAGGGTGATGAGGGGAGGGGCATATGCAGATGTGGATGCAGGTGTGGGATGGGCCTGTCATTCCCTCAGTAAGGCAATTCTAGAGTATGCGTCGATGAGGGTACGGCGCTATAGATATTTCAGCTCACCCGCCTTTCCTCGCTGCCGCCTACTTATACGGCGGGAATACAGTGTCTCTCTCTTCTTTATAAAGCGCTCCAAGGCTCGAGGGATGGACCAGAGGCTTTAACCAAGGAGACGACAAGCGCAAGACCACGGCGGCGAACTTCACCGACTGGTGGAGTCTCATGTCCCTTTTTTTTCTTTCCCCCAAGTCCACGGCGCGTTGCTACTGGCTGGAAACCAGTTCGTGTTTGGCAGTCTACTTTTAACAATCTCTCTTTCTCTCTGTCCCGGCCAAGAGGACGAACGGGACCCTGGTTTTCTCATCAATAGGGAATGTCCTTACACCTGCCCCTGAGGCACTGAGACCCTGAGGCCCTGACGCCATAGCGCCTTGACTCTTGACTCTTTCCACAGGTCATCAATTGTCTGCGCTTGCCCTGCCAATCAATTCCTTCCCATCCTTGCCTCGCTCTTTCCCCTGCGTGCCATACATACCTTACTCTTATTACGTACCCTCTCCACAATCCATCTTCCTTTTTGTCGACCTCGAAATCCTTCAATTCTGCATATTCGGAGCCTCAATCGTCATCGAAGCTAAAAAAAAGGAGGAATCGGGAACAATCCCCAACACAGAGACGCACCCCAAAAACGCCTTCCGCGCAGACCGCTGCGTTCCCCAACCATGGCGACTTCAGGCGCCCGGCTGCTGGTCGCGGCCGCCCTCCTGTTCCCTGGCGTATTATCATCGCCAATCCACGATGCCAGCCAGCGCCTGATTGCTGCTGCGGAACCGGACCACACATGGCCTTCCGTAGCACCGCCGCTGCATGTGCAGCCGAAGCAGAATCGAAAGCTGCAGGGCAAGTTCCTGCATATCACAGGTATGTTTGCTTGCTTGCGACCTGTCGCATTGCGCGGGTCTGTCCGTATGTGCGCGGCGCGCATGTGCACATCCCGGAGAGTGTGGTTGTATTTGGCGTGGTGTGGTGTGGACGTCTCCCTCCCTCTCGCTCTCTCGCCGCGTGGCATAGCCCGCGTGCGTGGGATGGTGTGTCGCCGTTTCGTCTCAGAAACTCAATTCTCACGCATTTGCAAATTCTAGATTTCCATCCCGACGAGTTCTACAAGCCGCACACCTCCACCGACGAAGGCGTCGCCTGCCACCGCAAGAATGGCCCCGCCGGTACCTACGGCGCCGAGACTACCGACTGCGACTCGCCCTTATCCCTAATCGACGCGACCCTCGATTGGATCAGAGAGCACGTCAAGGACAACATCGACTTTGTCATCTGGACCGGCGACACGGCGCGCCACGACAGTGACGAGAAGATCCCGCGAAACACGAGCGACGTCCTCGGCACCAACCGCCTCGTCTCCCAGAAAGTCGTCGACACCTTCTCCGACAACGGCCAGCTTACCGTCCCAGTCATTCCCACCTTTGGCAACAATGACTTCCTCCCTCACAACATCTTCTACCCGGGGCCCAACAAGTGGCTCCAGGCTTACAGCCAGATCTGGCACCGCTTCATCCCCGAAGAGCAGCGCCACTCCTTCGGCTTTGGCGGCTGGTTCGAGGTCGAGGTGATCCCCAACAAACTATCCGTCTTCAGCCTCAACACCATGTACTTCTTCGACCGCAACGCTGGCGTTGATGGTTGCGCCGACCCCACCGAACCCGGCTTCAAGCACCTCGAGTGGTTGAGCATCCAGCTGCAGCGCCTGCGCGACCGCGGCATGAAGGCTATCCTGATCGGCCACGTCCCGCCCGCCCGAACCGAGAGCAAGCAGAATTGGGACGAGACCTGCTGGCAAAAGTACACCCTGTGGCTCAAGCAGTTCCGCGATGTCGTCACCGGCGCCTTTTACGGCCACATGAACATCGACCACTTTTTGCTTCAAGATACCAAGGAAATCGATCTTAGCCTCTATGGGCAGGGCGCATCGATCCGAGGCCCTATCGAAGACGACTTCTCCGTTGATTCAAAGGGTGATTATTTGCAGGAGCTTAGGCAATCTTGGACCGATCTTCCCGGATCAGTTGCGAAGGGAATCAACTACTTCGCCAATGACGAGGACGAGGACGATGACGACGAAGATACGCACGATGAAGGCATGGACGAACTTGCGAAGAAGAAGAAGAACAAGAAGAAGAACGGGAACAAGAAGATAGGTGGCAAATATGGCGAACGGTATCAGTTGTCGTTCATCAGCCCCAGTATCGTCCCCAACTTCTTCCCCACCATCCGTGTCATCGAATACAATATTACCGGTTTTGAAGATGCTCCTGTTTGGGTTGACTCTTTTGACGTCAATTCGGAGCAGCCGCTAGCCAACTTTGATCTGTTCGATGAGGAGGATGTCGATGAGCAAACACGTCTGGAGTTGAAGCGCGACCTTGAAGCCGAGAAGAAGGGCAAGAAGGGAAAGAAGGGAAAGAAGAGGAAGCCCAAGAAGCCCAAGAACCCCCAGCTTGTCATTCCTCCGGATCCATCCAAAGACTCGCTGCCCGGCCCGGCTTACTTCCCCCAGCCTTTTACCTTGACTGGTTACACCCAGTACTTTGCCAATCTCACTTACATCAACAACGACATGACCGACTCCATCAAAGAAGCCCGTTGGCGCAACGGAGACTTTAGCGGCAGGGACCCGAAGGATAAAAGGCCACAACCTCGCAAATTCAACTACGAAGTCGAGTACAGCACTTTCACAGATAAGATCTACAAGCTGCACGACTTGACCGTCAGGAGCTACTTGAGGTTGGCGTACAGAATCGGGAAACACGAAGCGAAGAAGGACACCAGCAAGCCAATAGAGTACGAGGATAACGATACCGAATACAATGAGAGCGAGCTAGATGCTTTAGAAGATGGGACAGATGATGCAGAGGGAGAGTTCAGTAACTCGGAAGATGACTCCGACGGAGAACTTACTTCGGAGGATGAACCCGAGGCCGACAATCAACGGAAGAAGGGCAAGAAAGACAAGAAGAAGAAGAAGAAGAAACAGGAAAAGGTCAACAAAGTCTGGAGACAATTCCTCCAACGGGCTTTCGTCAGCACCATTTCGAAGAAGGAGTTGAGGAAGTTGACCGAATAACGATTATACGAAGATTCTTTGGGACAGGACCCCTCATTTCAAGACGGAGAATAGGCAGGCAAGCATATTTTAGATAGAGAGGCGTTTGGAGCATGGATATCGGATGGCTTGGGCATAGGAAGCTAAAATCTTCATACTGTTTCTGCTTTGGCGAAGGAGAAGCGATGGGGGCTTGGATACTACCCAGATAGGTTTTTATTATTTCTTGATTATATAGATGATATAATGACCAAATAGCATTTACAGCACATCATGCTATTTGCCGTGGTGATTATTACATGTGAGCTCTGACTTGTATCAGTCTTTAAGAAAAGGGGGTATCAGCGAATGATTTGGCTGCAGTCTGTCGGGTCGTCATCGTCATTTTCCAATCCCACCACCAACCACAAACACCGTATTAAAGAAACCTGTTATTACCCGGAAGCATACCTTTCCAATGCGTATTTCCGCATTTATATGTACCTTACTCGGCCCCATTCACCACTCTCAATGCCCTCCGCGGCCCGAGCACCACGCTGAAGAAACTCGGCTCCTGGCCCTCTAACAACCCTTCGGCTGAGCTTCCACTCCCGCTCGTCCCTGGCCGCGTATCCTCGCTGTGCCTCACCAGGCCGGCGGCGCTAGAGCTGCCGCCGCTGGGGTTGTCGTACTCTTCACCGCGCCACTTGGGCTCCGCGACTCCGCGGTCACTGCCCACCCAGCCAAAGAAGCTCTGCTGCGAGGACGGCCGGTTGGGGTGTGAAGAAGAATGACCGAAAGATCCGGCGGAGGAGGCTCCGGAAAAGCGGTTTGTGACGGCGAGGTGGTGCTTGTAGGCGCGGACTTGACGGCGGTACAGCCAGGCGCACCAGCCGAGGTACAGGGCGAGGGCACCAGCGATGCCAGCGACGACTCCAGCGGCGACGAGTCTGGGGCTCGACTCGCTAGTATCATCATCAGATTCCTCACTAGATTTCCCAGTAGGGTTGGGAATAGACGTGATAGTTGCCGTGGGCCCGAGCTGCGTGATGGTAAACACGGGCGACTTCCCCGTGGCAAACGGCCCACCCGTCGCCGGCCCCGCAGCCGGAGTAGTCGCCGTGGCGGCGCCGTTTTGGTTCCCGCCTATGACCCCCTGAACGGCTCCGGGAACACTGTACCCGAACGATCCGGCGAGGACGACGTTTTCGGCGTGCCAGTCGGCCTCGTGATCCCCGGCGCTGAACCTATCCCGCCATTGAAGCATCGACGTATCGAAGACGTACATGGCCGAGTCATCGCACACAATGTTCCTGCCGACGCCGCCTATAACGATCATCTGACCGTCCTGCATTACGCATGAGTGCCCGGCGCGAGGGGCTGGCGTATTCTGACCGCTCTGATCGACCTTAATCCAGGTGAATGAGGGAATGGTCAGGATATACATGTCATCATACTGTGTTTGATTTCCCTGCAGCGACATTAGTCCTCTGATTCATATGCCCAAATAGGGGCTATTGAAGACATACAAATGGCAAATCCTGACCGCCGAACATGTAAATCTGAAAGCTCGAGGCGTCAGGGGCGCTGGCCACGACGGTACATGGGTTGACGCGAACACTGGGCGGATTGCCGGACGTCTCCTGGTGGAACCACTCCGAGTTCGCAATGTCGTAGACGTCAAGCGTCGTGAGGTCGTCGGTGAAATTATCTGCCGTACCGCCCGCAAGTCCGATAAGAACGCCCATATCCCCCCATCCAGGGATAAATACGAGTGTGCCATCTGCCCGCTCTGGGAATCTGCCCGCCTGGATGCCGCCTTTGGTGATGTTCCGGAAAGCGCCCTGATCCCCAGCGCCAGTACCACTGGAGAGCTTTTCGACGCCCGAGTTGACGTATCCCGGGTGTGTGAACTCGAGAAGACTCTTGAGGTACACACGATCGATATCCTGGGACCAACCGGGTGTTGTCGACCAGTCGAGGTGCCCGCCAAAGTACCAACTCAACCCGAGCTCTGGGACTGAGAGACCGGCGCCTTCCGCGGCACGGTGGACGGCAAGGTCAGCTGGGTCAGATTCGTTGCCGGCAGAGGTCTTGGGGTCTTGGAATTCGGTCCACGTGCTGTCTTTTATGGAGTACTTCCACACGGACTCTGGCCCAGGATCGACAAAGGGAGAGTCAGAGAACTGTCCGCCGTAGAGGTAGAGGTTGTTGTAGTCGTGCCAGAGGTAGCCCATGGAAACCGCGGGAGGGCCATCTGGCTGCTCGAGTCCCTTGAGGGCAGAAGATCCAATATCCCAGTCATTTGTAAGATCGAGTGTGATAAAGTAGTTGTTCCAGGTATTGTTTTCTTGGTCTCCGTCCGTTTTAGCCCGTCCGCCATACAAGTAGAGAGTGCCATTCAAGAGCGCAGACTGGAAAGCCCATCTGGCACAGACATCGGTAGGGCTCTGCTCCCGCGTTGTAACGAGTCCCGCATCCGCACCGCTGATTTCTACCGTGTGTCTTCCGTTATGCCAACCGAACGCTGGGAACACAACAGCGATGAGCATTGCCAAAAGGGTAAAACGTTGTAGGCCAGATATAGTTCCAGGCGGTGCCCCCGATGTGCTTCTTACCCTCGGACGACCTTTCGAGTTGGCCAGCCTGGCGTACCACGGCTTTGAGGGTAATGTGGGTTGTTGTGTAGGAGATTGGGGGCGATTTTGCGATCCTTTTTCGATGCTGGGATTGTCATTTTGATCACTCTCCTGTTCTTGCTGTTCTTGCGATTCGGGCTCAGATTCGGCACCGGCGATGTCAACAAAGTCCTTTTCCTTGTCCGGTGTCATGAATGATACATGGCGGCCTTTGCCTGATAGGGCGGGGGAGACAGATGGCGAGAGATAGGCTATATCATATTCTAGGCCGACTTCTTTGAAAACAGATCTCCTGCCTTTTCTGATACAACCGCCCATCTTGAATGGTGGACAGACGAAGCTAGAGCCCTCTCGCAATCGATCCGATGTAAGTTGGGAATTAAACTGAGGTCGTCCGGGAGGAGTAAAGCTCGGCACCGCGAGCCTTGTGTCGGCTGAGGGGGGCGGTTTAACAGCGACCATGGTGTCGGGAACTGGGAAGTGTGGCGATAATGGTAAAGAAACGGGAAGAAGAGTTGGTCGATCCTGGGGTGCTATGATGTAGCCACCCTTGTGAAATGCCATGCAGAACGGGTCATGGCCTGCTGCAGAAGAGCGATAAGAGATGAGACGTCGGATCAAGAGCCACAATGACGAGGTCCCGGATTGTTTAAAAGACAGAGAAGAATCAAGAATAAACCGAGATAATGGCGGGTCTAAATGGACGAGATGATCATCGTCAAGCTGAACGAAAACATGCTCAGCTCCCCCGCTTCACGCGCCAGCAGAGCACCAAGGCCGTAGCCATTCCGCCAAAGGACGAAGCCGGACAGTGCGTTTCAACCCCTGATCCACTACATCATCGACTTGGCGCAAGACGGCGCGAGGGGACGAACGGAGGTGAGGATGGAGGCGAAACAAGAGGGTCTCAACGCACGGGGAGTGTTGCCCGAGCAAGCTCACCGTGGAGGCGCGCAATTCGCCGGGTGCGTTCCATGGCAACCCTAAATCCTGTAACGTCCAGAGTAGGTTGCATCGGCCCATGATGGTCCATGTCGGTCCATGCCGGTCCCTACCGCATCCATCCAAGACCCCGGCGGCGGGGTTGAGGTGATTGGGCGGCCCCGTGTGGCGATGACCTCACCTTAGATCGACTCCGGGCGATGTTGGGCAGTGGGCGCACCGCATCGTGGTCTGAGCCTTGCTGACGGAGTGCTATAATCCGGGGGCGGAGATATTGGTTGATAGGGGTCAGCGACCAGGGTGCAAAGCCACGATCGAGATGATGGATGCCGTTGGTTATTTGGCGGAGTCCTGGTTTCGGTCTGGTTCGACATTGTTGGTCAATGGGAAAAGGCTTAGAGAAAATGTTGACGTCAGAACTTGGCAATTCACATGCGCACTGTGCGTTATCACTGACATTACTGCTACGAACAGTGCGAATTGAACGACAAGCCAAACACGATTGAAATGTCACCATGATGGCTCCAGATATTCAAGGGCCGCTTTCAACACTACCGAAGCCATCCTCGTAATATCTCAAGCCCCATCGACCATCTGTCTTAGGGCATCTCTGTCTCAGGGACCGATCCGCACCAAACACGAGTTTCTGTCCAAAAACAACTCGGCCACCGACTCCTCCACTGCCGCCACTCGCCGGATGAAGACTAAGCTGTCGATCTTCCTGGCATCTGTGGAACGTTGCACTCCTTTACTGTCGCCCACTGCGTATTCTAATTGAGTAATTGAAGCTGAGGGATCCCCCGCCAGGCCAGCGCACCGCCACAGTCTAAGAATCTCCAGTCCGCCACAATCTGAGCGGCGATCACTCGTATCCAGTGCAGCTAAACCATCTGGACCCCTATTTTAGGGCTCCGGATGAGTCTACTCCCGGGCTAAGAGATGTTCGGCTGTGCTTGGTGATGTGGGTTATCGTATCTTTGCCACCGTATTGGGGCCTCCCATTTCATCACACGGTCATGCCGATTGTCAACTCCAATACTCATAGTTTGCTCCGGGAGTTTGTCATGCAGTTTGAATCATCAAGTGTTCCCAGAAGCGCGAACAGATCATCGTGGTAAATGACTTCACTTTGCTCGTATGATACCATTGTGGTATATTACTTCCTCAGACTTAACATGGTCGTTGATACGGAACAAGACGACTTCCACCTTGACCGAAAATTCTTACCGGGATATCCTAGCCACGGTTTCCTTGCCAACAATTCTTACACACTGGGGATATGTTCATAACTTTCGTCCTTTACTAAATCCAACGGCTCCTGGGCTTCGAGTGGGAATAAACTAGGCCCAGGGTACGCCCTGAGGGCCTGTCTGACCCCAAGCTCACGCCCAATAAAGCGCAACGACTTCTCTGCCACATCCGACTGCTCTGGGAGTGTTGAGGGGATAACGTACACCGACGTGAGGGGCCATATCAGCTTCATGGCGTCAAACAATGTCCGCGGCGAGGGGTTTTTCCGGAAAGCCTCTTGGTTGAGAGTGCGAGGCATGCTGTCCACGATCTCCTGTGCGTATTTACGCACTAGCTGTATGCATCGTATACGCAGAGCTTTGAGAACGCTGAGGGGGATTGGAGACGCAACATGGTGAGTCAAGAAGTTCGTGTATGCCATCAGAAGATGATAGCCTTTGACGCATGTCGAACAATACATATTGCGCATGTATGGATCGAAGTCGCCAGTGCCAGGGTGGGTTTTGAAAAAGGCCGCCACGGCCTCTTCAGCTTCAGCCATGCCCCCGACCAAGCTGTGATACTCTGCCGAGGCAGCAGCGAAGTCTCGGCTAAGGAGGATGCTGAGAATTCGAGCCTGGACGTGGCAGACCTTGGTGATAAAGCCGCACACTTGAAGTCCGATGGCCTCTCCGGGACCCATGACTTCCCTGATCACGCGAAACCATTCTTCCGACTCCGGAGGGCAGTCGATATTTGTAAGGAGGCATTGAACTTGCTACATCATGTCAGGTAGTGGTCCAAAATGAATCACGATGTGAAACCCACCACCATGTTGTATGAGGGCCAGAAACCTGCCCGCCCATTCGGGCTGCGCAGCCATTCCGACCCTCTCGCTTTGAGAATACTATAGAGGCCACGAGTGTGGAGATGCCATGGGCTCATGGGTTCTGTGCGGTTAATCGAGCCCATTAGGAGCTATTGCTAGGTCAGTCGTGTGTACAACATCGACTAGCATGTCACCCACCTCGTAGTTGGACAGAATCCAAACTGTTGCAAGAACATCGTCCCTCATCGCCCCGCCAGGGGTTTTCAATGCTAGATTGACAGAGCTCAAGGTCTTGCCAAGGTATGTGCCTAGTTCCCGGTCGGTCTCACTAACTGAGCTCTTGTACATGGCTGTTGAGTGCTGGACATTGGTGACGTATGTCCGAGAGAAAAGGTGAGCAGCCCACTGGAGCGGGCCATTCTCGGTGTGCTCTTTGTAGATATTATGAAGAAAATCCAGGGTAGAGTAGACATTAAGAAGGATAGGCACTGAGTGAGCCGTCCAGTGCTCATTGAGCGACTTGGGCAGTGCAGGGGTTGAGTTGAAGGGAACTAGATCTTGAGGAGTTGATTGGATGAGGAGCTCTTCAAAGCCATCATCCAAGAATGTAGATGGGGTTGAATAGTCTGTGGTGGTCGTCGATGGCGAGGTTCGAGACGAAAAAGCTGCCTCGGATCCTTGTCGAGGTCCCTGTTGGGTTCGCTGCTTGCGCTTCTTGACGTTGTTGGGGTTTGCATTGCGGAAGACGAGTTCCTGTTCGGTACGATAGCCAGGGCATTCCGCCCCGTACTTGATACATCTTTGACAGGCCGGTCTGGCAAGATCGCACTGAGGCATGCGTTAGATGGTGAAAGCGGAACGTCTTAGACCGCGTCTTGGGACAGGAGTGGATAAGAGAGAGTGTGGAGTGGTTAAAAGCCGGCGTTACTAACCTTGACACGCCGCGACCGACAGAGATGGCAATCTTTGCTGGGTTTGCCCGTGTTAGGCATGGCGAAATACCTCGGCCGCGACTCTCTGCGGAATCACACGATGCAGCGAGAAGTGCGAGATTGAAGACGAGATAGAGAGTCAAAGAGGCAACCCATTCGAGGAGGATGCGGCGATGACGTGGTTGGCTTCAGTGCTGTAAGATTCTCCTCATTCCGGGCTAGCGGCGTCGCAGGGCTGGCGGGGCCTGTGCCGGGTAGCCGGTAAGCAGCCAATTTCGTAGGGCGACGAATACATTCGCAGACAGAATGTGATGGGGAAATCTGTATCTGAAATAGAGGTCATTTATTCTCAATGTTTGAGAGACATGTTAGAGTATTCCTGCTTGTACGCAAAGTACACATGACTCTGGAATATGCACCACCGTGATGGGTGATGCTTGGCTCAACAGTTCTACGCTGCCGAGTATCAAGCCCTAAACGTTCATAAACATAACAAATCAGATATGATGGATCATATTCATAAATACTATGGTACGATGGATTATGCACTTGATATTATTCAAAACATTATTGCGGGTGTTTTGATTGCCTCATTATCAGCAGACAATGCAGGGATACAACGCGCAAAACTCGAGGGTTCAGGAACCATTAAGGTCTCACAGTATAAGCACCTCCCCCATGAGTAAATATCTCTTCGTTCATTCGGAGAACTTGCATATGGTGAATATATTTCGACCTTCATAATAGAATCAGAAGATGCTAGTCAATGTCCAAAATGTCAAGTCTTAACGTGATTTACGTATATTCATAAATATTGCACTAATAATCATCCCCTGCCTGGATATCAACTAGACTCTCGCCCCTAGTTCTCCACGGCTCAATTTATATCGCTCCTCTCGCGACTCAGTGCCCCTAGCCAAACCGCGGTACAACGCAGTCCGAGCATCTTTTTATGCGCTTTTATGCTCGCGCATGATGTACATCAAATTCATATCCGGTGGTTCCCGTAAACTCCTCAACATCAACCAAATATCAAACGTCAACTGCTTCTAGCACGTTGTACCCTCGCACTCATCTTCAATCTTGATCCGTTTCAGGTACATATTGCCTAGACCTCATTGCTGGGGTAGGTGACCTGGGTCGTAGGCATAAACTCCTCCTTGATCGACCGGGCGTTGACGAATCGGGTCAGCAGGTTCTGGCTGCCAGCCTTGTCGTTAGTGCCGCTGGCTCGCGAGCCACCAAAGGCCTGCTGGCCCACCACGGCGCCAGTGCTCTTGCAGTTGACGTAGAAGTTGCCTGCGGCGTTGCGAAGGTGCTCCTCAGCAAATCGGACAGCCTCTCGGTCGGCGGCGAAGACGGCACCGGTCAAGCCGTACTCGGAGGTAGACTCAACCAGCTTGCAAGCGGCGCCGAAGGCATCGGGAGCCGCATCGTCGTACACGTAGGTGGTCAAGATGGGGCCGAAGAACTCGGTCGACAGGAACTTGTGGTTGGGGTTGGTGGTGGCATAGATGGTAGGGTGCACGAAGTATCCCTTGGAAGAGTCGTACTTGCCACCGGTAACCAGCTCCAGCTCCTTGTCGGTCTTGGCCTCGTCGATGGCGCCAGAGAGTTTCTTGAATGACGCCTCGTGGATCACGGGACCCATGAAGTTACCGTACTCGGTCGGCTCGCCGACGGTGAGCTTCTCGACCTCAGCGGCGAGCTGCTCCTTGAACTCGGGCCACTTAGACTTGGGCACATACAGGCGCGAGGTGGCACTGCACTTCTGGCCCTGGTACTCAAAGGCACCGCGGACAGTCTGCTTGACAGCGTTGTCAATGTTGGCCGAGGGGTGGACCAAATGGAAGTTCTTGCCGCCAGTCTCGCCGACGACGCGAGGGTAGGACCGGTAGCGGCCCTCGGCGATACCCTGGCCGATGGCGCCGTACAGCTTGCGGAATATGGCGGTGCTACCAGTGTAGTGGAGGGCGGCAAACTCCTTGTGCTCAAGGGCGACCTTGGTGATCTCGACAGGGTTGCCAGGCACGAACTGGATGACGTCCTTGGGCAGACCGGCCTCGAGGAGGATCTGGTAGACGAGCCAGTTGGAGGCGATGGAGAAGTCGCTGGGCTTCCAGACAACAACGTTGCCCAGCAGGGCGGGGGCTCCGGGCAGGTTACCGGCAATGGCAGTGAAGTTGAAGGGGCTCACGGCGTAGACGAAGCCCTCGAGGGCGCGGTACTCGAGGCGGTTCCAGACGCCGGGGCTGTGGTGCTCGGGCTGGGTGTTGTACAGCTGCTCCGCGTAGTGGACATTGAAGCGGAAGAAGTCGGCCAGCTCGGCAGCCGAGTCGATCTCAGCTTGCCAGGCGTTCTTGCCCTGGCCGAGCATGGTGGCGGCCATGATATCGTAGCGGTACTTGGTGGAGATGAGGTCGGCGGCCTTGAGGAAGACGGCGGCGCGGTCGGCGAAGGGGAGTGCCTCCCAGGCGGGCTTGGCCGCGAGGGCGGCGTCGATGGCCTTGGAGACATCGGCGGGCGTGGCCGTGTGGTAGGAGGCGACGGTGGTAGCGTGGTCGGCGGGGTTGACCTGCTTGGAGAGGGCCGAGATCTTGATCTGTGGTGTTTCCGTCAGTCTTCACTTTCAATCCATTGTCACGACGCCCATTGTCTTTTACACAGCTGGCATCTTAAGGGAGCTGGCAACGTACCTCCTTGCCACCAACAACAACAGGGACCTCGAGAGGGAGCTGCTTCTGGAGCTTCTCAACGGCGGCAGTCAGGCCAGCGCGCTGTTCGCTGTTCTTGGCAAAGTGGTGCTGTGAATTGCTACGTCAGCTTTCTTATCTTTCCAAGTCCTCGGCCATTCTCGCAGGCACAAAAGAATACGACATACGTTGGGCTCATTGAAGACCTTGGGCGTCCGGAAGGCGGCGAGCGTGGCAGCACCCCTCATCTGCTGCACCCGCACCGCGGAGCGCAGGCCATGGGCACCCGCCCGGTTGAGAAGCATGGAAGGCATTGTCGCGAGGTGCGTTATCGTCGACGAAGGGACGGACGTCGTGGGTATCGGATATCACAAGAGGCAAACGAAGCTGGAGGCAGAGTGAGGAGCGGGACGCGGGGGGGAGCTGTATAAAAAGGAATAAAATCGGGGATTTGAGACAGCCGCCGAGAGAAGGTTCTCTTTTACCTTCCAGACGTTTTCATTCGTGTCAGCCTCCCACCAACTCGAGCTTCCCTTGTTTCGCCGCCTGTGTCTTGCACCTTCGCCCACTGCGTCGCGCTGCACTCGGCTTATCGCGGCCTAAGTGTACAGCACTGGCAGAAAGGCCGCCGGCGCAGTGGACAGAGATGGAGAGGAAGAGGGGCCGTGGGGCGCCCGACCGCATGACGTCGCACTGTTCCTGAGCGGCGGCATAGCTAATAGCGCCTGTATCGCAGCCTCTGAGACGCTGAAGACCCTCTGCCAACCGCTACCGAACCTCGAGACCAGTGGCTTGCCAGCTGCCAGCTGCCAGCAGACGCGCGCCGCCGGTCCAAGCAGGGCGTTCGTGCGCGGCGATTGGCCAATGGCTTCCCCTCTCCACTCCCCGGCCCCGCCGAAACCGGCGATTGGGGGGCCGTCGATTTTCTTCTCCCGCGGAGAGCCGCACCCGGCGCCCATGCCGTTGGCCATGTGGTGGGCGGTTTGGTGATGATAGCGCCGACGAGAGCAGAGACCGCGCTTTGCCGACGAGACATGGGGCCGTCGATATGCAGCCGGTCATGTGCTCTCGCTTGCATGGGATGGCTGGTCATCAACCCCACGATCCATGCTGTCGAGTCACTGGGCTGTCATGGTCAACTTCCTAGACAGATATGCAGTCAAGAGGGTATGATTTACTATAACAAAAGACTCGGCCACCAATCAACACTGGCTTCCTTCTCCAGAATATCCACGTGAGAGTCTCTCTTATCCCCCAGTCTGTCTCGAAATCCTCCAAGGTATCACAATCCACAACATCTGAACTATATACGGTGTACTATCTATACAGTGCATAAACATGAGGTGAGAAGAGCTCTATCGTAATAGCTCCTTCTCCACTGGGTAACCACCGCTAATGCCATTGTCAATACACTGCGGCTCTGGTGCTGGTCGTCTCCACCTTCGGCTCATCCAGGCTTATTCCAAGCCCTGTGTCAACCATCATCGGACTCTTCATCCCGACCCACATCATCCGCCCGTATTGCACCACCTCCATTCCCATTCCCGGTTGCGGCCGTTATTACATAGATAAGACAAGACAACGTCTCCTTAATCATCTCCCAAAATCACCACAACCGAACTCAGGCACCCCACAGCTACTGTGGTACGGCCGTTGCCGGAGGCGTCTCGGGCTCGTCTCTCTTCACATAGTCCAGCAGCGGCACAGTCATTCCGTACATCTCGGTCCGGCCATCTGGGTCGTGTTGGTCAATCTCCACGTTGATGCACACGTCCAGCGTCCCGTCGTTGCCCGCTCCGTGGGTCTCCCGCGATGCCGCCTTGTGGTTTGTTCCGGATCCCGTCTCACCCTGGTGCAAAAAGCTGTGGCCGTCCTTGCCCAAGAACGATGGCGCGTCGCCTTCGACCTCACTCCCATCGGGACCAGCCACGTTTCCGTTGGTGTGTGTGCCCACGTTGTTGGGCGAGTTCTCTGTAATAGATGCAAAGTTGCGGCTCGGCATCGTGCAGTTGTTATGGCTGGCCGTCTTGGTTGACTCGCCCGGATCCTTGTTGAAGAGATCCAGCATTGTCTCATCCGTCTTATGGTTCAGGTGGTGAATCTTATTCCGGCGGGCAAGCAGGTTCGCAACTGCTTGTGGAGGGGGCTTGTTAACAATTGCCGACGAGACGACGTTGACCATGTAGCGATGGTCCTCCTCTGATGGAATTTCTAGGTCCGGCTTGGAGTAGAAACGTCCCAATGCCGCCAGATGCACATCGCCTCCTAGGATCGTCACTCGCACGGAAAATTCGGCAGACACGTCCTGAAGCGCCACCATCAAATCGTGTCGTTCCTTTTTGTGAGTCTTGGCGGTGTAGTGATCGTCCAGGTCGTCCAGAAGATCGATACTACCGTCAAACTGGTTGAAAAGACCACCACCGACACCGAATCGACGGTTCAGAAGCTTCACGGGACCCATCAAGGGGCTTCGGAAGATGTTCTCCAGCCACGTCAATCGCTACAACTCTGTTAGCCTCTATACCATGCGAGTCAACAATCGTGTCATACAGGGTACGCGATAGGAATTCCAAGCAACAGGATCAAGTGCTTGATGGGCTGCCCCGAATTTGCCGCCGCTTGCAACTCAAATCGCAATCTGTCAAAGATGACGTCGTATGTCTCTGGATAGTTGACCTGATGTCGCGTTCGCTGTGCGCCTTGTTAGCTTCGGAATGATGAGTTTCAGGATACGAGGCCTACCTCAGTTCTCGCGTCGATCCCAAGGAGTGCAATTCGTGCGCCGAGTCGAGCATAAAGATTGTGCGAGTGTTCCGCCACATACGGTCCGGGTTTGGTGCCAAGAATATACTGAGGTTCAGTCTTTTGGGGCGCCACATATGTATCGATGAGTTGGTTCGGATCGACCCTTCCTGTTGCTTCTGCTACCGCGGCATAGTCTACAGACAATCAGCTTTCGTTCTCGTGAGGGAACCTTTTATCCCACCTGTTGTGTAAGTGGATGGCGGCGGCGGCATATGATGCTGGAAAAGCATATAATACTTGTGCGCAGTGCCACCGATCCCTCGGAAAACGTCGCAACGCATGAAGTGATCCGTGTAGGATCCAAAGCCGTCAATAATCTAGGCACTTGTCAATAGGCCGCTGTCTGGCTTCCACTTCCCAAACTTACGTCATGATCATCCCAGATGTTGACCTGAGGAATCTGCCCATTGACGGTCGCAAACGGCGCCGTGTTGTACCAGCGGATGTAGTTCTTGAGGTAGTAGTCGTCGCACTCTGAACGGAGCTTCTCGGAGAAGGGATAATCCCTGCGCTTCTTGGGATTGTTGATGTTGGTCCACGGGCGAAGCGGGCCATCGACGCGGATACCTTTATACGTTAGCAACAAGGAAGTCATGACTTTATTCGATTTCGCCTACCGTCATTGTAGATTTGATCTCCTCCTCCTAGCATAACATGGAAGGGAACCGATCTATGTTTTCGTACGACATCATTCCACAGAGCTGGGCCGCTCCAGGCCTCCTCGTCGGTGCCGACGCTGAAGCCGTTGCACGAGTGGAACATCATGCGCATAGACTCGGTGGCGGCAGGGACGAAGAAGGCGTTCGTTCGGGGCTTGTGCTCGCTAGAAAATCGCATTTCCGGGATTTCATATTCGTAGCTGGTCTCGGTAGCTTCGATCGGCACCTCGATATCGAACGCCCAGAAGGTGTTTCGCGGGTCCGAGTAGAGGCAATGCGACTCAACTCGGGTTCCCTCGGCTTCTCCGTTCGATAAGTCGGTGCCATTGGCATTGTCTTGCGCCGTATGCTCGAGTTGGTGTGCGCGCGAAGCTGGTCGCAACGTCAAGAAGGGCTGGTGCAGCGGCGTCTTGCCACCACCTCGAACAACGACCAAGACGCTTCCAAACCAGCGGCCCTTGTCCATGCGACGGTAGTTTAGCAGAGGTCCGCAAACAATTTCCTTGCCGTCTGGCGCCTCGAACTCCTGCGATTCATTCACGGTGTCATCGAGATTTGCGCCGAGGGGGCTCAAGGCGCTGGCAGCAACAGTGAGGGGCACATGTCTTCCCACGCTGTGGGCGCTTCGAGAATCGCTATCGGGGCCCTCAATGCGTGACGAGTTCAGAAAGTCGGCGAGATCGCCTGTGCTGCCATGGTGCTGCACAGGGCTTCGCGCTGCAGCGTGGTTCGCAAAGGCCGACGACTCTTGGTGCCGCCAGCGGCTGGCCGACGCATACGGGTTGCGCTCGTCGGCGGTCAGAGGCCGCTCGCCATCGTACGTCGACATGTCGCAGCCCGTTGGCCAATTCGGGAGCTGCAGGAGAATCGGGAGACGGCAGATGAACGACAGGCGTCAGCGTTGGTTGTGGGTTGTCGTCGTGGCGGGCCGAATTTGCAGATGAAATGTCTTGCTTGAGCGAGGCGCGAAACGTCACGACGACGCACTACGCTGTCTGTGCAGGCGGCCAAATAGCTGGAGGGCGGTTCGAAAAACTGCACTGAGACGCAAAAGCTGTGGCTTGCACTGCAGGGAGGGACCTAAGGCAAGGGAGAGGAGGGGAGTGGCAAAGACGATGTGAAGGTGTCTAGAAACGAAAAGCAAAGCAGCAACACGCTTGGTAAAAGCGACACCAACAATGGACAGATGACGCAGCTGCTAAGGGGGGTCGAGCCTCGAGGCCAAGATCCAGATTTCGGTGCCAGACAGGGATCTCGAGGACCAGCAGAATCACACATCCACCACGAAATCCGCTACGGTATGGGCTATGACACTAGCGAGAGGAACTGCAACTACTACGTAGTATGTCCGAATGGGATAAAACAAATCAACAAAGGGTGTCCGTATATGCACCGTACTTACAGCCCACCGCATCTGTGTTTTCCTGGCCGTTTGGCTGCCTCCCTCTGAAGATCCTGGCAGACGGACGGACGGACCCTTGTTTGGATCTGCTTATGGTTAATTGCTGGGCAACCCATCCCAGCCCAATTGGGCACTATCAAAACGAAAGTTCATTTGATAAATCTATCCGAAGTTTCCGTTGTTACGATCCATCTCCGCCAAGGCGGCCTCCAGACTCGGCCACCTGTGCAATCGCTGGCCACGAGGCCAAGGCGCAGGATCAAGACAATAGCTGAGGTGGTGATGGTGCCCTTGGAAATTATCCAGCTTCCCATTGGCTGACCGAGACAGCTAGCAGCACGCCTCTCCATATCAGCTTCCTGCTCGCTGGTCGCGCAGCTTGTGTGTGTGCCTGCATGTCCATGAGCGCTCCAGGACGCCCGGCTGACCATATCATCGTTCCATCAGCTGACGGCGTCTCGTTCACAGCTCGTCGTTCCCTCTGGCAGCTACACGGGAAATGCCGAAGTCTTGATAAGATGATGCCATGTGTTTCTCTTCTCTCTTCACCAGTCGCAGTACGAATATGGGTCCGTGCCTTCAAGACAGGGTAGCGCGAGACGAAACGCTACCACAACAGATGGCAGCAAATATTTGCATCCATGATTGCTTTGTGCGGACCACTCTTTCGTACTGTGTACGGCTGTGAGGGACAATCCTGAATGGGGTTTTTCTCAATAAATCAGCTCCGTAGGAAACGCCAGAGGCATCCAACGCCGTCCCAATCTTAGTTCACATTCAGTACCCAAGATCTTCAGCAATACTTTCCTATCCGGCAAGGATTAGAGGGTCTCGTGTGTCAAACCGCTCGCTTAGATATGGTGTTGCTAATCTTGCCAACGCTTGTGCTAGAGAAGGGGAAAACACACGACAGCCGTGTCAATGTCCTCCGCCCGGTTTGTTCTCAGTGGTCGTGCACATCGGCCCCTCAGACCCTCTTCTTGGGGTTAAATGCGGCGCCGGCAACCCGGTTTGAAGCCTCCTGGACGCCGGCCTGAAGGAGCCCCGTCTCACCGATCTAATGAGATTCAATCGGTAAAAGCAGTTCACTTAAGAGTCTTGGTCCAGGGGTTCTTTGGCAGAGTTGACTGATAGGCGATTCCACTGTGACGTCATTCTATGCAGTTGGCTAATTGGACGGCACTTTGACCCGGCTTGGTACCTGGGTGCGTTGATCCTACCCTGTATCTTCCAAGTGCATTCCTTCGACTGCTACGGACCAACAAAATACCAAAACATGTGTCTTATTGTGTGCTTTCCAGGCAAGTGAGGTCAGTGTTTTTATTATGATCTTTAGGTAGTTGAAATTTTGGTCTGTTTATCCTGTAGCTATGAGATGGTTTTAGCTAAGGTTACTTTTCACCTGACTCTGGCTGAGGAGGTGAGTAACAAACAGTCAAAAATGAGTGTTTTGTTAACAACAACAAAACACATCCATTGAGAGCACAGGGTTGGGAGTAAATATCGACAAGACTAACAGTGATAGATTCAGAAACTCAAGATTTTGGAATATCCATCCTCAGAGTCAGATGTCAAAAACCATGCACTCAACGTGCACAAAGTAAATGCATAAAATGCACAGGTTGATAATGTGCATCCACTAAGGCTCGTAAGGACACAATCGATTACATAAGCACCGTTGACCATATCCTTGGCCCACCGTCGCGATGAAAATTTCTTCTCTTCCAAAACCTGGATCATCTGAAAGCCAGAATCATCTGAGCAGTATCAGACTCGAATACCAAGCTGTCGCTTGTTGGAAAGCTGACGTGTCTCACCAACACTTCATCCTCAAGGGTGACACGCATTCCCTGGTCCCAGTGATCGCTGGCCGCGGAACTCGTGTCTTGTGCAGTCATCTCTGCAGTCCGCATCTCTGGATGGAACATGGACTCGGGATCGACGATCAGCAGCAGCCGATGGCATGATTCCGGCCTCGCTGCTCGGCAAGGGTAAGTTCACCGTGAAACTATGTCGTGCATGTACAAAAGGCATATGTGTGTACAGCAACGGGTTCTCTCCGTGCCCTAGTTGCTGAAGGAAATATCAACGTGCCAAGATTGAAACACCCTACTATTTACCAAACACCTATGTCGTAGAATCCGACAGACACTGGTGCATGGAGTTAGGGTGACATGACATGCAAACTAAAGTTCATCCGTGATTGATCATAATAAGAGTTGTCGCACCATGTCGGTGCCTCCGTTCGCCGCATGGCGGAGACGCAAATTTTTGCGGTGATGGCGTTGTCGTTTTGACGTCTCCCCACGCATGGGCTGGTTACGGTAGGCCAACTGCAAGCACCTTGGTTGTCGGTCTACCTTGGCTGGCCCTGGACTCCTGGTGTGTTGTGCTTGGCCGTGAACCTGGGTCGCACCAGCTGAATCGTCCAATTGCCTCACTACGCTTGTCGAGGCTTCAGCTGGCTTGGTCCGTTCCCCTCAGCACCGGGTCTTCTAGAAGGCCGGCTGAGTGGGAGTGGCTCCCCTCCATCAAAGGATGATGCAGCTTTCCGTCTCAGGTCGAGACAGACGAACGCTAGCTGGCGCCCACCAAGCCTGGCGAAACACCAGCTCCCGCACATGGACACTTGGAGGGGAAGGGAACGCCCGCTCCTTGGGACATGTGCGAGACTATGCGGAGAGAAAGAATTGGCGGTGGAACGGCGTCGGATCACTGATCGCGGATCAGGACCGCAGAACGGTATGTGCATGCGCCTCGGCGGCCCCATCAGTCTGGAACTGCACCAGGGGCCACAGCCGGGCCCTCAGCCGAGCAAGGGATGAGGATGAGCTAGAACATTGAACACGTATGTACCTGAGGGGCAAGGGTGCCGCCATCGTGAGCTAAGATGTAGTTTCCCCCCCCATTAACACTTGGCAGGCTTTGGTGCGTGTTGGGCCAGATCAGGCAATGCAGGTTTGCTGGCTGGTCTGTCGACGGCGATGCGGCTTCACGGCTTCACGGCTCATTAAGGGCTGGCCGACCCCTCGTCCTCCTGGCCGCCCCGACCGTCAATCAGGGGGCTAATAATGCAGACCCTCACCGAGCTGAGACCAGGCATGTACTGAGGCCCCTCATCACTGTACGGTGGACGCTTGGCGGGAGCCGTAACGAGCGACAAGCATGCGTAGTATACGCGGAAGCAGACGCGGAGGCAGACGCGGACTCTGTTGTAAGTTGCAGAAAAAATAACATGAGATGCACGATATCGGAAGGATCTTCTCTGCGAGGTTCTTCCCGGGAGAATTGGCCAATGGCTAGCTGCACCCAGCTGCGGTTGCACGATGCACTTTGCTTTGGTCGGTTACATCATCACATGGACAAGCGCCCATTACCAGCCGCGGAACTGGGTCACTTTTGTGCGACCTTCGTCATGCAAAGAGAGACACACAGGACGGGGTTTAGGAATGGACATCAGACCACTGGAGGATTTGTGTGGTGAAATTAGATATGCCGTCATGTCTCATCCCACTGTGCTCCGCAGCTTTGCCATGTCTGTCTTAAAGCAAAGAAGAGCGAGTGATTTAAGCCAAATTGGGCAATATTCTCGAGTCCAACCTCGGATTCTCAACCTCCTGATTAACACCAAGGTGCCTACAGAGCGGTACCTGGGTGTTGGGTGGGTGGGGGACCGTAATGAAATGAGCTGGCTGTGTGGTGCAGCCGCATATGCAGCAGTGCGCCAGATGCAGTGACCAGCCACTGGTCTTATGCTCTTCCCTCAGGTAACTGATCCGGAAGTGAAAGGGCGTCTGTCACTCGGGCTTCGGGAACAAATATCGAACGGGAAGATGGGATGAGATTACTGGGCCATTGGACGCAGATAGGCCTGAGAAAGTACGGGTAGACAGCCGATGGACAGGCGCTGGGCCTGCTCATTTGTGATGGCGGCTCTGTAAAGGGAGTTCCCCAACGGACGAATCGCAACACTTGCCATCAGCGCCAGCCGTGTAATTACTCTGCGGTGTGGAATAGCACATGAACAGCTGGGCCGGGGTATCCTGCGAGAGGCGAGCGGCGAGCGGCCTGCCCGTCCCTCCATCTCGACAGCCGGACTCCGCCATCCCGGACAACTCTACCGCCGTGGGCAGTATGTAATTAGAGGCGGCCAGAATTGAGCCCGTGGCGCCTGGCTGTCAGCTCGCCGGCCCCTCTTTGCCAAATCGCCAAATCGTCTAATCGCCCCAGCTGCATGTCTCCACCGTCCGTGGTTAGGGCGGGCCTTGAGTGCTGAAGCGAGGCCGCCTAGAACCAGACCAGCCTTTCTCGCTGCGGATGATTCGGGATGGATGGTGGTGCTGGCGGTGGTGGACGACAAGACCCATGCCCCCTACTGCTGGCCACTCGCCAGCCTTCCAGCGGGCCAGCTACCAGCCGACTAGTGCTGTGGCTACCAGCGACCAACGGCCAGGCCAGCGCAGACGGGACCAGTTCGACCAGTTCGAAGCCAAAAAGCCAACCCAGCAAGGGATTGGTACCTCCATCGAGCCAAGCAACTTTGGCGGTGGGTGCAGCCTTGGGGCGCTAACAGCCAGGGGAAGGGAATGTACCATCTCATCCCCCACGGATCATCAGACAACGTATGTACGCCATGACGCGGTATTAGTATATTGATGGTTTCTCCAGTTCTTGAGATTGTCTAATATCGAGATGCGAAAACCTAAAAAGGTTGGAAATGCGGGAAAATTGCATTTCACAGAGGCTCTAGGGGATGTTACAAGACACATTGCGCTGCTGGCTCCGGAGGCTGAGGGCAGAGGCTGGGGATTTTTTTCTTGGTCGCCACTGTAGTCCCGAGACAGTTGCAGCAGCTGCAGGGAGAGTCAATGGACGGCAACGACGACGCCCGTGAGGCCAATCAAGCCAGCCAATGTCGGGAGAATAGAGAAAGTGAGGAGAAGCAGCAGCAGAGGCAAGGAGCGGCAGGGAGACGCAGGGAGAGGGGGGTGCGGCTGTAATTAGGTTGGACGAGCTGGGGCAACCTTGGTTCTCTGCCGTCGCCCTGTGAGATGAATGAGGACTGGGAATGGATGGATTATTCCCCGCTGCGGTGCTTCAGATATCACTGTGCATCATATTGTACGAAGTACGCTCGGGAGTACGAGCGCTCCGGGTCCGACTGCAATGAATGTCTGGGTATATCCCGGGACCTAAGTTATGTGCTACCTAGTATAGCACGTTCGTCACGTTCGTCGGTCCTGTTGATCGTGACGTGCGTTGCCTTCCATCGCGTTGCTTTGCCTTTTGCCTTGCATTTGCATTGCCTTGCCCTTCGTTGCCTCTGCTGGGCATTGCCTGGTCTGGGCCCCCTTTTACTTGAACTCTCTACGGCGATGCGGATTTGCTTGGTCAGGGCGAATCCTCCAGGCGTGGCTGAGTCGTGGTGTAGTCAGAGGTCCGAAACGCAACAACAGCGGCGCGCACACGGCGTATCGGTGCCTACAAACCTGGAAGCTAAAGCACGGCATGCGCAGCCCGAGCCAGATCAGTTACTTTTCGACGCCAGCTGCGGCGTCTCGTGCTTCTCTTTTTCTTCTGTTCCCCGTAAACCGATAGAACCACGCGCGCGCTCTGACTCCACGCCTTGCCGAGAAGGTCGACGTCTTCATTTCCCTGGGCGCCAGCCGTGTCGTCAGTTTTTAGGTCGGCGTTGGCGGCCACCCGCTCTCTTTGTGCAGAAACCCGCGGCTCCGTCCAGCGCGTGTTGGCTTCCTCTCCTCCAATTTTGCCCTGTCGACATTGACACTCGACACTGCCTCTCCGGGCTAGTGCGCGTCGCCTAGCCTGCTCGCTGTCCCAATACTTTCACAACTTCACAACCCCTGGCCCCCCTGTCCATCACACTCAGCCCCCCCCGGCCAGGCCGTGGCGATCTCGAGTGTGGAGTGGACGCAGTGGACGCAGTGGAGGTGAGGTCGTGCCAGCACCAGCACCAGCGCCAGCGCCAGGTACCAGCGCCAAATCGACTTCTCGCAGCGCCTGGGATCAATCTCGTCCTCGTCCGCCAGGTCGGTTCAAGCCAACTTCTCTCATCCGAAACCCTCCAATTCACCTCCTGACTACGACCTAAGCCTTGCTGTCCCCATCCCTCTGCCGGTCAGAGAGCGTCGGAGTGATGTTGATCTAATAGCGCCTTTGCTTCTGTGACACGGCCGGCTTTCCCCAACCACCAGGAGGGCCCCCCGAGAAGCAAGCACAGAAGACGACCACCACAAAGAAGCAGCCTCAAAGGAGCGTCCCTCACAGCTCTCGCGCGGAAGGCTCCTTGATCCCACTCACCCTCCATTTAGTGTATGAGATGGGAGCTTCTACCATGATTATGGCTCCGGCCGTGGAATCCTCGACCGCTTTCCCTCGCTCGCACTCTACTCCGGACCTGCTCTCCTTGCCTGGCCTCGACAGACCCGCCCCGACCTTTTCCTTGAACCAGAACCAGCGCCCTCTGGGCCAGTCCCTTTCCTCCCTCCCGAGCCTCCCAGACTTCGACGTGCCTTCTTTCAACTCCGACTTTTCGCTCGACACCTCCGTCTTCCTCGCCGGAAACAAGGCCGCCCCGAACCTGCCGGCCCCGATCGTCCGCACGGAAGAGGTGGTTCCCGACGAGACACCCCCAACCAATACCAAGCCAAAGTCCAAGACAAAACCTGCACGATCCAGGACGGGCTCCCTGGTCGAGCGCCCCCGATGGCTCCCCAACTCGCTCACCAACGGAGATTCTCAGGATGAGCCACCTACCCGTCCCACGACCTCAGCCGCCGACATGAGATTTGGTGGCGGATCGTCCGGCAAAGACGACTCCAAGGCTCTGGAAAAGAGCTCGTCGACAGGATCATTCGCGAGCTTCGCCAAACGATCCTGGAGGTCGTCTCGATCGCCCTCCCCGATGGAAAAATCTGACGCAGCCAACGAGGATGTCACGGGTCGGGGGCGTTCAGACAGCATCACCTCGCTGAAGCTCTCCAAGACCCGCAAACGCCCTGGCCTGACCGTTGATCAGGTGGACAAGAACCAGTCGACTGATTCGCTCAAACCAGCCTCAAAGGCGTTTCGCGCGAGCAGCTACTTTTCCAAGAAGAAACAGAAGCCAACGGCCCTCAGCAAGCTCAACACAAACACAAACATCGGTTCAGACAACAGCTGCGCTTCCTCAGCTACTAGCCTCGCTCCACCCGCCTCAACCAGCACAGAAGGTCGAAATTCACAGTCAACCCTCGTCGAGATCAACACCACCCTCACCGATGAGTCGTCGATCGAGATGCCGCACCCTCAGACCCGCGACACCCTGTGGTCCACTTTCAAGACGCTCGACGTCGAGTTCAAGGGGTTCCTGGCCAAGACGACTGCGCAGCGTATGGTGGTGGTCCAGTCGTTGGTCTTCCCATTTCTGCGCAACACCATGAACCACGAGTCCATCAAGCGATTGTATCCCGAGGACGTGGACCGAAGAGCGACTATCCTCAATAAGTGGTGGACGGCCATGATGGAAATGCTCGAGGGCCAGTCGCCTCAGCCGCTACCGGGCGTTGACCGCCAGATCATGTATGAGGCAGTGACGTTGATGATGATGCGGCCGGAGTGGCGTCAGACAACATCTTACTTCCAGCCGCTCTCCAGTCGATCGCCATTCGAGCGGGTACGGGGCAGGTCGGCCACCGACTCATCTGGCTCCTCGATGACCTCCAGCCAGGCGGCATTCCTCGAAGAATCATCTGAGCATAACGTGAGAACCATGTTCGTGACCAACCTGGTCAGGCAAATGGCTTTCGTGGTTGAGAAGATGTCTCTCCGACATGCCCCGCCGGGCCTCGTTAACTTCGCCGGCAAGGCCTGCGCCTACGCCTTCTTCTTTGCCCCTGGAGTCGCAGACATTTTGGTTCGACTCTGGGGTCTGTCCCCCGAACTCATCCGACGCGTCGCAAACGAATATGGACTCCCGTGTAGGAACAGGGGCGAGAGTGAGGATATCGTCGCACTGTTCCCCCCGAATCTCAACATGTTTGGCTGGACGACCCCCAAGGGCATGTGGGACAACCTGAAACAAGTCCCCAAGCTGCCAATGCTTGTGTCCCGGATTCCCTGGACCGGTCCATGGGTGGCAAGATGGAAGGGTCGGGATACTGACATCTTTTTCATTTTCTCCAAGTACTTTCACATTCTGTCCGAGCAATTCATGCCGTCTGGTCTGCCGTTGATTGAGAAGGCTAGGTCTCCTGCTTTCGCACTCGTTCATGCACAACTCCTCTTCGTCATGGACACCATTATCCACCGCCAGATCACCATGGACGGTGCCTGCAGCCCAGCCCAGGTCGACTCTACGAACGGCGCGGATGCTGCCATGACATTGCCGCTTCCCTCGGGCAATGGGATGAAGGGAATGTCTGATCAGAGACTCGTCGTGTTGTTGAAGGACTTACTCTCCGATGAAACCAGTGATATGGCTGCGGCTCGCCATACGTTTGCAGAGTCGTTTGCTTTCCTGATGAAGGCATCCGCGCGCAAGACGCCACAATTCAACCACACGGAATGCTTCACCTTGTGCGACTTTTTGGAGGAGATTTTGGTGTTGTACAGCAAGTACGAAGACACGGATGCCACGACAAACTACATCGACTGGCCGTTCTGGTTTGACGTGTGCAAGAAGATTATGAGCTCCTTTAATACTATGTCAGAAGTCCGGATGATGTCCTTGATCTTCGGGATCTGGGATGCCATTGCAAAGAACCCCCAGCGAAAGTTGGCTCTGTGTCGGGATTGGCTTCTGTCCGAGGAAACCTTCAACGACTTCTTCAACCACTGGTGTCCCATGGTCCGAGCCTACTACCAGCGCTTAATCTGCTGGAGAATGTGCCGAGACAATGGGAAGCAGGACGAGGTGGACGCGTAAGACAGGTCCAATGACCCAAATGAAGGAGCGCACGCTAACTTGGACTATAGCAAAATCTTCATTCTTGTAACGAAGAGACTTAGGACCACCTGGGCTCATTACCTCTATCTCAAGCATACTGCCGAGCAAGAGCAACGATCACCTCCTTCGACTGCGCCAGTTCTGCCTGCCCCAGGCAAGCGGTTCATGATTATCCGACAGGAGGTGAACACTCCTCAGCCTGGGCTTTTCATGGGATTTGATTCCCTGCTCAAGCCCACAGGTGAAATGGCTTCTAGTGTCGGGAACGATACTACTCTCCCCAAGAACGACTCCAAGAAGCGGTGGTCACTCCTGGGCAAGGTTCTATCCCTGGGCAGCAACAGTTCTGATGGCGGGGACGACGACCTCCAGGCTGCGCGCCGTGACACGGCTGAGGCAAGATCGGCCCTTTCACTTCCACCTTCGAAGACGCCCTCGTTCCATGGCCCTCTGGCCCGTGATTCTGACGATGATCTCCCTATTTACGAGGAACCCAAGTTCGTCTTCAGGTTCATCCTAGCCTGGCAGAACCAAGCAGCACCCTTCCGTGACCGATTCTTGACACGCCCTCGCCTACCCGCACCTGCCCAGTCTCGACTCGTACACTCTCCTGCGAACAACAGCCCGCAATCGCCTTCCAGCGGTTTTACCTCCCCCACGCGCAAGTTCTCTGGCGGCCCGCAACTAGGTGGACTGATCAATGGAGCCAGGAATGCGAGCCCCCTGAGTTCTCCTGTCGATGAAAAACCCCGACGCCTCTCCCTTAGCCTGATTTCGGTAGGTGGAACATCCGAGATTTCGTTGCCAGATCTAGGCGACGGAACGGCCATTTCAGCTGCTCGCAAGGGCAGTCCTGCACCGTCCACACCAGTTGGCCAGACCAACAGGAACGCGGATCGATTCGAGGACGGAATCACTGAGCCCGTCAAGCCTGCTGGCATTTACAAAAGGAACGTCGTCTACGCCGGACGAGCGCTCGCCGAGTGGAGCCAAGTTGTTTTCGAATGCAACAACTTCGTCGAGCGCCGTACTGACGAGGGCGTCGTTGACATTGGTGATATGGAAATCCCAATACTTGGAGTTGACGGATTCCGCAAGGTCGGAGCCTAGTAACTGCAAAGTCTTGCTGGGCCGCCAACGTAGCGCAAGGCATCAGACGTCTCACTCACACTTGTCATATATCCTCGCATGGATACATATTTCCCCAGCCAAAACAACATACATCACCCGGTGGCGTTGGCAGCATTTGCTTTATTACTGCACAAAACAATCATTTTACCATCACTGGATGAGTTATTACTCTCTATACATTTGCATCTGATGGATATTTTGGGGCACGCGCCCCTGCATGCATTATGCCATCATCTGACGAATCACTTGGCGTGGTTTGGTCATGTGTTCGAGATTTTCGACACCTGGTTTTACATATTTTCTGTTTGCGCGATATTAGCGGCGTTTGAGAAGGATCACTTGGCTGCCATTTGTTTTGCGCTTTCTTTCTTCCTTCCTTTTTCATGGTTGTCTAGTCATCCGGGCGGCTTAGGGTGGGCTTCTTTGGATTCCCCGGTGTGGTGGATGGACGTCAATACATTGCCGGCATGGCATGCGACATCGGTGTTTGGTTTGTAACGGTGGTCCGTTGTGTATATATCTACTAGATTGGAAGTGGGCATGGGCCTTGGTGAATACAGAAGACATTCCTTCTGAATAAAATAAATTACTTCAGTGAATGCGATAATGACTGAGTTGCTTTCCTCGTGTCGTGGAAAGTAAAGAATAAAACATAGACCCAAGCACAACCTTGTCAAACAGTCCTCCATAGGCACTATCGAGTACTGAGGATAGCCTCGAGCTCTTCCCGCCACTGAGTAATAGTTGGCTTCAACGCCTCCATTCTCTCTCGGGCATCATCCCTCAGCAGTGCATCTCGGCTGGGGTAGTACTCCTCAAACTGAGGCTTCCTATCATTGACGGCGAGGAAGGGCTGGCGGCTGCGCGTGTAGATGTGCACGTCGGGGGCAACCTCCCACGGCTTATCGAGGGTGCCCACACGCACATAGGCGACGTACGGCCCTGCGTCGGCGTAGTAGCACCACAGACCGGTATGACAGGCCGGACAGTGCGCGACGGTCTGTCCGAGCTCGGACTCGGTCGGGATGCAAACGAACTTGGGTTTGGGGCCGGGCTTGTTGTGGGTCGAGGGGACGGCGTCGGTGAGGGTCGCAACAGCGGGGATGAGACCGGTCGGGACGGGTTCAGGGGCAGCACGGCTGCCGGCGATGGAGGGAGCGGTCGGCCGGAGCTGGCCGAGGGCCGAGGTCTCGATGGCAGCGTTGAGGGCGAAGGCAGAGCCGGTCTGGCGCTGGCACGCGGTGCAGTAGCAGGAATGCACAATGAGGGGTGGCAGGGTGAGCTGGTAGCGGATAAGGCCACAGGCGCAGCCGCCAGCGAGAGGGAAAAGGTCTTTCTTTTCGGAGTAATGGGTAGTCATGGTGATGGCGTCGGTGAGTGAAGTTGAGGGTAGTATGCGATGCCAAGAAGTGCGTTCACAAAGCGAGTATGTCAAAGGCAGGGCGTGAGAAATCAGGTGGGAGAGAGCGTGAACGGTACGACGTGAGGGAGAAAAGGAGAAAGGACGCCCGTGTAAGTGAGCAAAGGTGGGGTTGCGCTTGCTGGCCAGTGAGCTTGGGGGAGATGCCCGAATTAGGAAGGCAGTGAAAACCGCAGGCGCAGTCAAGTGAGGGGTTTTGATGCCCTAACGGTGAGAAGGAGCAGGCAACCAGCCAGCCCCAAGCCATAGCTAAACATACAAAGAAAGAAGAGTCGACATGGATAAATAATGAAGGTATAAAACAATAATAAAGTATCATGTCTATTTAAGTAATTTGTTGCGACTGTGTTACCCTGCATTAAGATGGTTGCTGCCCTCCACCTTTCCGATGTTGCCTCCTACGAGGAGGCAGACATTATAAGTGATTCCAGTCACATCTAGCGAACAGCGATACTCAATAGTTTATCACAGGCGAATACAATCAGTCGATGACTAACCTTCAAACTGGCAAGATATGCAGATGGGTTGGGGCTTGAAATATGTGCGCCTCCGAGCAGGTATTCCGCAATGATTGCTCAACCAAAGCACATCCTGCGCAACGATGCCAACCCTGAGATAGCCCATAAGTATTTACACCAAGTTTTTGCGTCTCTTTGAATCTTTTCATTCTACTTACCAGTGCGCATTGGCCACCAAATACTTCTCGCTTAGACCAGTCGTGAGCGTCAGGATGGCCCACATAAGGCGAATTCGGTGGGTCATCTAGCACATACGACCATAGCTCTTAGAAAATACGGGATCCCGTCCGCTCTCCCTTAGTCAAGCTGAGAAGCGGCGAATTAGTACTCGGGTCGGTGACGACCGGGGAATCCTCGCTGTTGTATGTCTTCCTTTTTGCCTTCATGTTGGATTTTTGTTGCTTGAGGCTCTTCTTGTTCGACCGTCATTCCCCAGTCAAGAGGGTCCTGTGTGTTGGTGTTTTGGATGGATACAGGAACTATGCCTAGGTAGCGTAAGGCAACAACAGGGCTGGAACCTTTTGTGGTTGGGTAACCAGCAATTAAACTAATATGAAAGTCAGGACATACCTACGGAGATGCAGATGCTGAGGGACAGGGTGCGAAAAGCAAACCGGCCGAGACCGTCGTGTTTACCAAAGCTCAAACAAGCTGAAGAAAAACAGAAATCTAATTGTGCTTCCCTCAGCGCATTCAAAGATAGTAGGAAAATAGTACCCAATGCCTTTGCCTGTGTTCTGACAGGTGTGGCCCATGTCAGATGGTCTGCGCATCCGCAACCCTCTCATCATTTCACCAGCCACGACCTCGCACTAATGGGAATCTTCTATGAGTTGGAATACCATTGTGTCACCTTGAAAGTCTGTGCATACTTGCGGTTATTTCTATCTGCAGCGTCAATTGTCTTGCCGCTGATTATCTTGTTCAATGCCGTCTATGAATCACTGTTTCCGCTGTCAGTTGTCATACAGCTGCACAGGCAGGCAGAAGTTTTCTGCCATCTCTCGTGGTATCAAACCAAAAAAAACTGCTTCCAAAAATTCATGGTCATTTCACCTCCCGCATCTCAGCCTTTGTATCACAATTTTCTCCTTCCACGAAGCTGCACGTTAGTTACCCCTGAGGCTCTTCTCAGCAACCCAGAAAGAAGAGGCTGTGCTATAGCAGTCGCTGTATCAAACATCCACCCGACATGGCTAAGTCGACGCCTGGCTCTGAGAAGATGCCATCTCGATCTGTCTCGCCTCCAGGTACTGCAACGCCCGCTGCCACAAGCGCGACCATCGAGTTTGACCCGGCTGGAGACCTTTATCTGATCGTCGGCCCCTCGTCTCAAGAAATGCGCGTCGACTCTCGAGCGCTTTGTCGATCGTCTGCAGTCTTCCGTAAAATGCTCAGCGAAACGTTCGCAGAAGCCAAGCCCGAAAAGGGAAAATGGCTGGTCAGGCTGCCCGAAGATAACGTGCACCCATTCGCACTGCTCATGGACATTGTGCATAGTGTTTACGAACGGGCCACACCCAAAATGGCGGCGTCTCATCTGTACCAGCTTTGCATCTTAACCAACAAATACGATATGGCGCAAGCTTTGCGGCCCATGGCATCAAAGTGGCTTGCTCCCTATTCTTCCCCTCAAATTTTACGGGAACCCAAGGGATTCAGCATCACAAATATGATGTTTATTGCATGGGAAATGGGTCACTGCGTAATATTCGAGGCCCTAGCGAAGGTTGTCGCCTGGCGGTACAACTCCAACCTTAACAACGACCTCGTCTATCCAAATGGCACTCTCCTGGAAGATACTTGTCGCTTTAGCTCGCATGGAACTCTAGGTAAGTAATCATCAAATATGTCCCTCGAAACGTGCAAGAGTCTGACATTTCAAGAACACATCACAAAGTATCGTCAGGATGTCCTCGCGGTCGTTCGCAAAAGCTGCCATGACACTATCCGAAAACTACTTGCAAAGGAACGAGCATCGACGTTTTGTGTTCGAAACAGATGTACCCTTAGAGCAGGAACAATAAATGACGCTGCTGTTCTAGGCGATATCCTCCAGCGAAGCCAAGAACTCGGCATCATCGAGTTCTTCGATCACAAGGAAGGGTCTCCTGAATTCACTGGAAACTTGACCGATCTAAAGCACAAGCTCAATACCATTCGAGATTCGAACGTTAGCTGTAGCTGCGGCGGTCCAGTTGCCTCAATATTGGCATCTATGACGCGAGAATCCGATGCCAAACACCTCCTTGTGGTAAAAGATTGGCACAAGAAGCACCTGAGCATCCAGGCTGCAAAGACCAAGGTACTGGTGTAGGCATTAAATCCCCGTGAAAGATGATGTCCCCAAGTTTCTTCGGATGGGCCACGCATGTTGCTGTGGGCGGATAACGGGAGAACAAGACTGGTTGAGATCATGACTCACGGAGGCACACATGAGGGGAGCCAGGCTACGAGCACGTCTCACGTTTGATGTACATTATCCAATTCGACCCAGAAATGTAAAGATGCTCAACTCTGTCAAATACCTCTAATATATTTGCCTGCTTGCTTCTTTCTGTTTATGTGGGCATCACTTGCTAGCAAGTTGTCTGGGGTCTGGGGCCAGCGGGCTCATATTGATGCTCCGCTGCACCTCGACTGTCTATCCGTTCCCCGAGAAAACAAGCCAGTAGTTGATTGATCCATAGAGAAACGCCTGGAGTCGAAAATAGCGCTGGCTAAGCAATTATAGTGATGGGCTCTAAGTCTGTGTGCCGCTTCACATTCAAGAAGGACTTGTGTATAACAAACAAACTGGCTCCTGCTAATCACCCCAACGTTCGCCAGGCATGTGAACGTTCCAAGACGTCTTACTCAAGATAAAGGTCGGAAATGGGCTATATGGCGTAAGGCCTTGAGGGATTACCGCGTTCAGTTCAAGGATTACGAACACAACTGGAGTGTCGGCCCTTTCGAGGAACGAGCCAGGCGCATGAGAACGTCGCGATTGTGTCGGTATTTCCCGTCAACGGCATTGTCATACATCGCTGAAGGTCAATATTTATCTGGGCATCGGGCTCCCTCGAAATTCAAATGCAAAATGGGCGAGAAGCTGTACTCACTCTGGTGCGTGAAAGAATCCCCCGGCAACTGCTGAGGTTCAGGGTACCAGCGGATGGAGACGAAACAATTACTCCACATTTTGGAAGAGCTACGGAGCTGTAGTTCGGAGGGGAGGATTACAGGCTGGATCTTGGCAGTCATGTTCTTGGACACTCTGGTGGCCATACATTGTGGAGGCCCGGACGGATCACTGTGTACAGCTCGGGACTGAGGAACAAGCCGGGAGTTTCAGGTCTTCCGAGGGACAAACCGGGCACACCCGACTATTCATTTGCTCGAATGGTGGTCTGGAGGTGCTTTGGGTAAGCACTGGTTCTTGAGGAAATGGGCTTGAGTGTAACTCTGTGTCACCTGCCATCGTGTCTGGGACTTCCTGGACTCCAGAGGAGAGAGAGCAAGCACAAGGCCAAATCCACCGTATGCCACAGATTAAGGATGCCTCCGTAAGGGGTATGCGATACTTGAATGCTTGTCAGATGTCGGCATGCTTCTAGAAGGGCCGGCCATGCGAAAGCAGCCCTTTGGCGAGTCCGTCAATAGCTCACTGATCCGCCCGATCTACGGAGTGCATACAGAGTATGTGGCTCCAAAGTGCACTAGAGTGGGACGAGACCGTGCTAGAACTCTGGGGTCATCTTCATCATTCTCACTCGAGTTGCATGATCACTTGATGTGAATATTGGCGGCACCACATGCCCCGTTCTGGACACCCTCTGTGTAATGATGTATACCCCTGAGAGCATCCTTTGCGTACTGTTCTTCCGATAATTGCCTAAAATAGGCACAAATATCTCATTATGTTGAGGGCACCTGAGTGAACAAGATGCTTAATTGTGAACATCAGAGTCGGTCAAGGATACTGAATCGCGGGACGATGATATTCGTGGGGCCGTGGTGGGCTAGGGGGTTGAAGATGGTCCTGTCTCAGAGCGCCGAAAGCCCCCACGTTGGCACACGCGGGATCGTGATGGGTGGGTTTACCCTGTAGCTGAGGGTGGACGGATGGACGGATGGTCATGGCCCTGTGAAGAGGTAAGTAGTTAATTGACAGTCGCTGGAGGAAAGCCGGAGACACGTGCTCATCCCAGTCTCGGGACGAATTACGGAGGCCAAATTTCCACGACCCCTGCAGACCCTTGTAGATCCTGGTTGACGGACCCCGTCCTAGCTTGTTGACTATGAGCAGATGGCGATTCGACTAGTGTTGGAGGGGGTCTGAGTGAGCACCAGGATCTGAGACGGGGACACGTGCTTGTCTGCCCTCGAACCGGTGGATTTCGGTTTTTGTTGTGGTGGGAGCTATGACATGCTTGGCAGATGCGTGGTGGAGGTGGAGATGGATGATGGAGAGGAGAAGTGGAGGTCTGGACGATATGGGTGAGGGGCCGTGTAATGGCTTACTCTGTCTGGAGTCATTAGGCGATGGAGGGACATTTCTTGGTGTTGGTGTTATTTCTGGCGGCGATGTCTGGGTGTGCTACAAAGACCATGGTAGAGATAAACCCAGGTGAGTTGTCGACGGAATGACAGCAACAGAGTAGACAAAACGCTCAATGGAGGCTTGGCGATTAGTTGATGGGTCTGGAAAGTTGGGGTTGTGATGGGTCTGTGCGAGGCTTGCTTCCCAGGTTGGCCTGCCTTTATTTCGACGTCTAGGATAAGGGCGATAAAGACAAGACTTCGCGCTCAAGTGCTCCCCCTTGGTGTTTGCTGGCATGTAATGGCGAGGTGTAAGGTAGTCTGGTTTTGTGTCCGGTGTAAGTAGGTACCCAGTACGGAATCGTGTAGTACATGCTGAGGCAGCTGCCACCTTGACGACGGTTACCTAACTGAGAGACGCCCGTCCTGACGTCGGCCAGCTGCACGCGAGTCAAATGGCAAGTCCATCACACATGCACCTTCCCCTCCATTGTACGGTTCTCTCCTCCGCCCGCCTCCATCTCGAAGCAGCCCGCAGCAGAAGCTCAAGCCAAGCTTTTTTTTTACGGCCGCTCCTGCCCCCCTCGAGCCCACCCCTGACCAGCGCACGCCTGCCGTGAACGCCGCACCGACGACCACATGGGCGAATACCCCGCGCTGATTCGCCCGACAGCTTGGACAGCATCGGAGAGCACGCGACCATTTTCTCGATGATGCTTGGTCCAGAGCAAAGTCGAGGTCCGTCCGACCCCGAACCGGGTTCCATCATCCATCCTCCCTGGGGCCGGCGCGAGCGGATTGGAGGAGCTCGAAGGGCAGGAGCGGATTGAAACTCTCTTGCCTTGGGGATTGTGGCTTTTGGTGGTTGGGGCCCTGGGTTCCTCCTTCTCCATGCTCCATGCTCCATGCTCGTGCTCGCCCTGTCTGGTCTCCTGCGCTATGGAGATAGCGTGTGCGTGTCGTCTCGCCGCCTTTCATCTGTCCCTCCGAGAGGGCTGCGGCGAGAGGGTGTGCTCTTGCGTTTCCTTAATATCTCCTTGGTTGGCTTGCTGGCTGCATGGTAGTCTGCCATTACACCTGGGACGTGTGAGACCTGGTACCACGACCAAGACAAACAATCGACAGAGCATTACATCCGACTTGTAGCCTCGCTCGCTCTATTCTCGGCGTCCGCTCCTGCCCCATCACTGTCACCTCCTGCCTTTCCTATCTCTTGCTTGCTCCTGCCCTCGTGCCCGTGCTCCTCCTACTCGCGACCGGGCCAGGCCAGGCCGCACCAGACCAGACCGGATCCCAACCAGACCGGACTCGGTCAACGACAATCGAGCGTCTGCGTCTCCTCTCTCGCTCTTGCCACGGTCCCGGGCCTTCTTTATCTCTTCTTTCCTCCGTCCCCTGCTTCTGGCTCGAGGAAAGAAGTGTGACTGGTCCTGGCTGTCAATTGTGTCCCCGTGACGAGAGTTGGTTCGCATTGCAGCACGTCGCATCGCATCGCGATCTTCATCCACCACGCCAATATCGACACCGACGTCCACCCTGGCCTCCTCTCCCCCCACACCTACCACTTACCCTCTTACCTACCCTCACGAACTTCCTCTGTGCCTTCTTTCTCCCTCCCTCCTCGATCACTCCCCTCTCACTCCCCAGTGAGTCCTCACACGACCTGGGTTGTCGCCTCCACAGAGCCCCGGTTCTCTGAGACTAAGGCGCATTCCCCCATATTCGCCCAGTCCACAAACACTTCTTTTGTGCTCCTTTCCCTCATTCCTTTCTGCATCTCCACACTTGCCAAGATGCCTCGACCAGGTCTTCCACTTACACCAGGCTCGTCCTCCGACATCAAGGGCAAGGATGGCACTCAGCAGCTCGCTACCTTCCAGCTCTCTTTTGAGTTACCGCCTCCAGCAATTCATGATGCCTCCCGGATATCACCTTCAGGTTCTCGAATTTCTCCCACCGATCCTAAACCTCACCCGCTTGCGACGACTTCGCCCGCGTTGACGTTCCCCATGCAACCCGCCGAGACTGTTAAGGCCCGGCGACGATCCTCGGCTGCCAAGGAGGCCAAGGACAACACTTTTGCCCTACCTCCTCCCCCGACCCGCTCTCGGAAGATCATCCAAATGAAGCCCCGGACTCAAGATGGGAACACAGATGGTGCCGGAAAAGATATGTCCAAGTCGGGTGGCAAGGCTTCTGCAGCGACGAAAGCAGGGCCCGCGTCTGCGACGACAAAGACAACAACCGCCGCCAAGACCGACGACGCTGCTGGGGATAAGGGCAAGAAGAAGCAACCAAGCGCAACGAGTGCAGCAGGTCGGAAAATTGCGAGAAAGACAGCACACAGCCTAATCGAGAGGCGGCGGCGAAGCAAGATGAATGAGGAGTTTGCCGTGTTAAAGAGCATGATCCCGGCGTGCACCGGAGAGATGCACAAACTGTCCATCTTACAGGTTTGTTGTTACCTTGCAGGCCCAAATTTCAAACCCTGTGACTAACATGGGTTTTCTGAACAGGCATCCATCGAGTACGTGCGGTATCTTGAAGACTGTGTGTCCAAGTTGAAGGCACAACAAGAAGAAGACGACATGACCCACACCGAATCCGGCCGCCAGACCCCCACGGGCCGCGACCGTCTGCCGTCAATCCGCGAGTTCCACCCTACCTTCCGGGGCGATCCCGCTGGTGACGGCGATATTGAAATGGAAGACTCAGACGCTGGGTCACCGACGATGCCTACCAACGATAGACACGCACACCAGCCGTCTGTCTCGCCAGCGTTGCTACCCCAAGACGCCGTTTCAGCACGCCACCGTCAGCACTCGTACTCATCTGTGTCGACAGACGCGCGCCGGTACAGCTTCAGCGCCTCGGCTACTACTTCGCCAGCTTTCGGCCCTCAGGTGTTTAGCAATGGCCACTACGCCCGCAGCGATGCCTCTGCGCCAGCGTCGACATTGACAAGCCCGGCCCTCGATCCTCAGAGTGAACTGGACCAAGAGGCCATGGCTGCTTTGATGATGCTGAATAATGATCGACGGGGATCAAAGGGGCGAGGCCTGTCAGTCCGTGATCTGCTTAGCACATGAGCCGCTGTGTTCGGTGACTTGGCATCCGTACTTAGCGGGAGGGTAGGCGCTCGGAATTTGGTAGACATGCTACCTTGGGATCTTCAAAACGGCGTTCTCTGACAGGCACGCGACTTGCTGGCAGAGAGGGGCTGCGTTATCGTCCGATTCATAGGGCGAGGCGGTTTGGGAGCGTTGCATCGATGCTCCCCAGGCGTTCAACGGAACCCGCCTACGGCCATTAGGGGCTAGAGTGCAACGTCGCGAACCAAACGAATGGAACTCTGACGAGCCTCAAGCCACATGCATGTCGTGTCAACTTTTTAGAGGAGTGGTTGGGGGTCGGTCATGATGGGAGATGGAATCGGTTTATTAGAATTGAGATGATTATCCTTTGGGTCGGCTGGTTTTCTTTACGCGGCGTTGGAAGATGTGGGGGCGTCGTTTGATTTAGTTGCCATTTTGGACTTTTTTTTTTTTTTTTTAACTTCGTCACCTGCACAACATGGGGCTCTTTTGGGCTCTTGCCACAGCATTTATTATTTGGATAGAGATGCGGGAACAGGATGAGACTGGGATACTTTTGTCCAGGGTAACACTTGGTGTCCTGTGAGCTGGGCCGATAGATAGTTGCAGTCAGGAGTCTTATCATCAATCAGCATGGCATGATGCGCCAGACTATCAACAAATCAAGGTGGCTATTACGACGCCCGGATAATAAACCACGACGAGCCCTGAGCTTATTGTCCGAGCTTAATGTGATTGAATGTGATATCAAGGGAGAATGTTACTGTATCCCCCCGCACATCTTGGCTGTCCATGCTCCCAAAGCCTCCATCCCAAGACACATGGCGTCCCATACCCCGGCCTTTCAAACACAGACCTGCAACACGACGTCCCCTTCTCCTTCTCCCACTCACCTACAGGCCACGTCCCCGGCGCCGTGCTGCTCCGCTGCCCGCTCACAGCCCCCGCATAACCGCCCGGATCGCCGGAGGCGCCAACTTGCAAACACGGAGAGCGGGCTGCCTGTCTAGTTTCACAACTCTGGCCCTTTGGCGCAGCCACGACCGCGCCGTTTCAGCTCGCTCGCTCATCGTACGAGAGCGTGAGGTTCTGGGACCATACGAACTTTTGACGGCATCTTACGGTGTTGAAGATGCGAGCGCGGGCGTTGTTGCGAGTGAACCGTGCTCCGAGGGCAATGCGTATATAGATGGGCTTCGACGCCGCTGTTGGGACGAGGAGAAAGATCATCATCCAGATCAAGCAACAACAACAACTTCCTCCTTCACCCCTTCTTCTCTTCTCTCACGCGGCCTGGTGCCCATTTGTATTCAGCCTCTCTCCCCTTTTTTAGCCTTCGCTTCTTAATTTCCTCGTCCCTCCCTCTGCCACCTGCGCAGGTGTGGATAATCTACTCTTCGACTCGTTCTGTCTCTGTGTCCCCAGCTTTCCCGTCAGCCGGCCTAGGGAAAGCGATCCAGCCAACGCGCCCCGCGAACTCCCTGCCTACTCCGGTCCCGACCTCTCCAGACCTCCGTCCGACGCCTTCGGAGTCTCCGCCGGCGCCCCGCTCCCCCGTGTCCTCCCGCTCAAGCCCGAAGGCTACGCCGTCAACCCGCCGCCGTACTATCCCGGCCGCAGCACCAGCCTCGAGGTCAAGCCGCTCCGTCTTGTCCGCGCATCCCGCAAGCGAAAGCCGTCCCGCAAGCCATCGCCGCCACCGCCGAGCTACTACGAGACCTGTTCTCACACGCTGTACCAGTCCACCACAACTCTGAGTATCGAACCAGCAGGCCCGCCGCCCACATACCTCGAAACCATGTCTACCCAGCCCATGATGCCCAAGGTCGGTCCCGCAGTCGCGCCCCCGGCCGCCGCTCCCCGGCCACTCGGCCCCGGTGCCGGCGGCAATCCCCCCCGCACCGCGGATAATGTCATGGCTGACTTGCGTCGGCAGCTCGACGACTCTGCCTCCGATATGGGCTCCAGCGTCGACTCCCGGGGCCGCCGCCGCCGCCGCAACAACAAGCAGCTCGCCACCACCGGCGGCATCAAGACCGGCCCCGTCCTGCCGCGCCTGGCCGAGACGAAGCCCGTCCGCCTGCAGCTGGGACTCAACCTGGATGTCGAGGTTGAGCTGAAGGCGCGCATCCAGGGTGATGTTTCGCTCACTCTGCTGTAAGTCTTTGCTTGCAGGATTAACAACCCAACCCAGAGAATTATGCTGACGAACATTAGGCAATAGAGTTGAGAAGAAGAAGGCCGCTCGCAAGTCCACAGAGCTAAAGCCCAACATGTTGGGAGAGGTATCCGCCGAGGAGCTCTTCTTCATGCGCCTGGGCACGCTGCGCCTCCGCCAGACATGGCTGGATAAGGAGGTGAGCGCGTCACTTACCGCGTCGGTAATGCTGGCCATTGGCGCGGCTGGGTTCCTCCTCGGGTTCGTATCAAGCAGGCTGATCGACTCATGGGGGTATTCGGGGTTTGTGGTTATTCGGGGCTGACTCTCTGTGGACTTGTGCATGTTGGTTTCCTGTATTTCGTTTGTCACGATAAGTTACGACCTGGACATAATAAGCTGGCGAGTGAATGCTCTCGATCGCTTGGGGAGCTGAAATTGACATTGCTTTCTCAATTATTGTGCCTCTTGTTTGACGATTGACTGTGAAATGAGGGAATTGGGGGACACCCTGCTGACGTTGAATTGTGGGAATAGACATCAAGTGGTTGGTATTGGTAAATGCTCTAGAGATTTTGCCGCCGCCCCTGAGTCACTGCTGAATTGGCTGTCCCTGAGATTGTTGAGTATTAGCCGAACTGCTTCATTAGGTCGTATTATAAATGATCCTTGCTATATATTCGTCCAGATCCCCACCGTTAGAATTAACACTATGTTGAATCGTGGCCTTTGTTTACGGCTCTACGACTTTAGTCTTTGACTCCCAGCAATATCCTCCCTGGCGTCCTTGACCAAAAAGCTGCGTCATGTTAGCGCATTTCGGATTCTTTTTTTGGAATTCCAACTAGACTCACTTGTACCACACAATGGTGGGGCCAATTGTCATGAGATGCCATAGGCTGTGGGCATCTATGCAACCTAGCCAAGGGGGGAAATCAAGCAACTCCATGCTCATGGCTAAGATAATCCAAGCAACCACAAGACCAGGCCAAGCTGCCCACACACGCTTCGACTTCCTGTATCTATCGAAACTGAACCATGTCCAAAGGGAGTGCTGGATAGCTCCCACCACAACATTGGCAGTCATGTTATAGGTATAGTTCCACCTGACAAACTTGAGGTATGAGACGTGGCAAAAGTACAAGAAGATGCACAGTAGAGTCCAGGCCCGAAGGACAGACTGCCGGCGCGGAGTGCTTCTGTCTAGACGGAATACCCTGATGGGCGTGTAGTATAGGCCGTACAGCACGTTGGCGCCGGCGGCAAAGTAGTCGAACTCCTCGGTGATGCGAAAGTCGCGGGTGTGGAAGATGGAGCTGGCGATCCACGACACAAGGCCAACGTAGCCGAGCCAGATGTAGAACGGGCGCAGCGAATATGACGCAGGGATCTTGGTGCGAACCTTCTTCAAGCCCTCCCAATGCGCCCAGAGGTTACCCAAGGAGAAGAGGACGCTGAAGGGCTCCTGCATGCCCAGAAACCGATAGAAGGGCCATTTCCCGTAGAACTGCACAACTTCGGCCCCGTATTCGATGCGTCGACCAGTGATGATGTGCTGGCAGGCGTAGTTGCATTCGCTGGCGCAGTCCCAGAGGAGGAGGCGATGGTGGAAGGCTGCGCAGAGTAAGGTCAGCTTGTGATGCAATGGATGCCTCGGCGAGGGGTCGGCAACGTACGGATCGCGGTGTAATCTTTTCCAGAGCCGCAATTTTCTGTTTTACAGACCTGCGAAGGGGTACTGTTAGCGCTTCTCGTTCGTGCCAAGACGCCGGGGAATCCGCAGCTTCCTGACCTTGAGACAATCTTTGAATCCAGGAAGACGATCGCCAGCGGAGCCATGCGCCGTAGCGGCGAGGGCAAGGACGAGGACGGTCAGGGAGAGGACCCGTGACCATGGCCGTCCCCTTTGAGATGCCATTGTGCAAGCATCGACCTCGGGCAGGAAGGATCGCGAGGGCGAGGGCGAAGAGCGAAAAGGGAAGCGACGTCAGAGGCGATGATGTGGTGGGAGGATACGAGTTTGGATTCTGGGGTTCCTCGCTGGAGATGTGGCCGCCCGTGGCCGCCGCCAGTGCCAGTGGGAGTGGAAAGCTGCACGGCGCGGGACACAGGCCTGGCGCCCTGATTGGCCGGGCCGCCCGCCGTCTTGGAGCGGCATCTTCAGCGGGTTTGCTCCAGGGGCCTTAGGGGCCTTCGGGGCCCGGCAGTCCACCTAAGCCGCCGAGGTTGGCGGGAGTTTTGTGGGGAACAGCGCAGCCTGAGAGAGTCTTGACTAGGTATCTGCCTACTCCGTAAGTTATAGGTAGGCAATTAGCCCCTAACGAATGGCTGGAAGGTCGGTGTGTGTAAGTGCCAGGTTTGTTGTATATTGGGTGCCTGTTAAGCTCAATGCAGTCGTCACCGACAGGTCACGAAGCCATCATGGGGCGGGGGGCTTCGTGCAAAGTGCTATCTGCGTCTGCATAGTGGATTGCAGCTCCGTTTTGCACCAAGTAATTTATCCGCTGAAAGAAGTAACGCACCCTGCTGGATTCCACGCCGCTGACCTCGCTATCGGCTGGCTGCGTGAAAATCTACTCCGTAGCTGCGTCCTGGCTCCTGTCCCATTGGCATGTTTAGGCGCCAACGCATACCCCGAGAGTCCCACGGAGACTCGGTTTTTGTTTCGCCAGGCAGAGCGGTAGTGTAAGCACATTTCTCCCCGGATTCATATTTCTCTCAAATTTCTCTCAAATTCCGAGACCACCCCGCGCGACTCGGCACAATTATTTGCTGCCCATATCTGGTGGTGTGTGACGTTCTGGACGTCCCTGGCTGATCTCTCAGTCTCGGCCCGCCTGAGTCGCGTCACTGGGGGTCCCGTTGCTCTGGGCAACCGCATCGACCCTGATTGGCCGCGCCGCTAGCATCCAAAATACAGCTCCGTCCATCCAGCCATCTTTCTTGACGATGCCCCCCGACGCGCCGCATGAACTAAATTTCTGGTAATTTTGCTCCGGTTCAGACCATGGGATCGACCGACACGTAGTGCATCTTTTACTCTTTGACGAACCATCGCCAATTCCTCCTCGACTCGATTCGATCGTTATCTCGCTCCAACGCGCAGACTGTGCAAACAACAACAAACATGGCGACTGCTTCGCCCACCCCCATGGGAAACGGCCTTGTCCGGAGGACCTCCCAACGACAAGCCCTTCGACGACTTCCCTCGAGGCCGGCTGTGAACCACAACGACAGCTTCCAAAGCAATGCTGGAGCTGTGCCCAACGGCCATCACCAACCACAGGAGCGACAATTCCACGACGACAGCTCCGAGGATGAGATCCCAGTGCCCATGAAGCTCAGCGCTCTCACCAAGGCTCTCCTCAATGGCGGTGCCCCTGAACGAGCCGAGCGTCCGCCCTCGCCTCCCCGAACCCGACGACGCACAAGTGCATTGAACGCGTCAACCTCTTCGGCATCAGAAAGCCGAAGACATCGCAGATCCGGAAGCGTGCAAGTGCAGGATGGGAAATCCTCAAAACCAACCAGCCCTGCTGCGAGCCGGGAGCCCAGCCCTGTTAGGAGGAGGGTGGTCCGGCTCAGCAACACGCCCCAGAGCCTGAACCAAATGAAGCCTGTCAAGCGGCGATCAAACTCAATGTCTCGGTCGACTCAGCGACCACGACCTGAAAGCCGTCCCGGTAGTCGGGATAAGTCTTCAGATGAGAGGCCAGGCTCACAACTTGATGTCAACACCCCTTCCCAAGGCGGACGCGTCGTCCGGATTGCTGCCGGGTCCTCCGGCAACCGAAGCCGCCTTGGTTCGACTGGCCCGTCGTCAGGCCGGTCTAATGCGTCTAATATGGAACGATCCATGATTGACAAGTCCAGTATTGACATGGAAAACGACCAGCCCGAAGAGCTCGTAGAGCCTTCAACCGTCGCCCGCAACCCGCCTCCTTTCAGCCACGGTAGCGTTTCACGATACCCATCAACTGGCAACAGGACTCGGCCAGAAGACAACGCCAACCTGCAAAGCTCGATGCGACCCAAGCGGGTCGGAAAGGTGGCAGGAAGCTTCCTCAGCGGACCCGCCCGGCGAGGTCGACGGAGACAAAGTGAAGAGGAGGATGAAGATAATGCTGATGGCGAACCCTTGGCATCAAGCCAAGAGCCAGAAAGTCAACCTGGCGAGGATCCCGCCGCCTATTACGGTGATGGGATCCGGAACTTCAACTCTGGAAGCCCGGTCAGCGGAAATGCCGCTGCTAGAGCTGTTCACCGAAGACACGCTTCAAATCTTAACCTGCGCATGGGGTCAGCGAGGCCTTCTCCTCGTGAGAACTCTCCCCGTGAGTATTCCTCCCGAGAACCGACTCCAGAAATAGCCCTGTTGCCAGAGGCCGCACCGGCACCGGCACCAGCCTCGATGCTAGAACTAGAGCCGGAACAGAAGGAACCTGAGGAAATCCACTATAAACTTCCCATGTCACGTCCCGAGATGCCATCTCGACGCGACCAGGAGAACGAGGTCCCGGCTAGTTACAAGCGGACCAAGGCATCGGTCGATCAGATCCTTGAGAAGGTGCCCATGCGTCCCATGAGCGCAGAACTTGGTGCTGCGAGGCCGGTCTCGCCAGAGAGGAAACCCCTCGCCTCCATGGCCCGAAATACGCCCCGTCGACAGGAGCCTCCACCACCACCAAAGATGTCTGTCTTGGAAGCGGCAACAGCTACTGCAGGTGCTGCCGCGACCGGCCACGCCAAGCAGAGACGAAACATTCTGAGGGTGAACGGCAAGGCCTACACCCGATTGGACTGCCTTGGCCGGGGTGGCAGCGCAAAGGTCTACCGAGTCACTGCTGAGAACGGCGAGATGTTTGCCCTCAAGCGAGTTGCGCTGGAGAACGTGGACCAGGGCACTCTCCGGGGATACCAGGGAGAAATAGACCTTTTGCAGAAGCTCAGCAAGGTCGAGCGTGTCATCGGACTGAGGGATCATGAGTTGAACTCAGAGAAGAAGGTGCTTACTTTGGTGAGTTCCTCTCGTTACTAATTTCTAATGACTGTCTGCTAACTGTGTATAGCTTATGGAGATGGGTGAGCTGGATATGAACAAGCTACTGGGCGGACGGCACGCCTCAGAATTCGCAAAGTTCGACCCAGTGTTTGTGCGATTTTACTGGAAGGAGATGCTCGAATGTTTGCAGGCAGTGCACGAATACGACATTGTCCACTCCGACCTGAAGCCGGCCAACTTCGTCTTGGTCAAAGGTCAGCTGAAGCTCATCGACTTCGGCATTGCCAACGCCATCCAGACCGACGAGACTATCAATGTCCACCGCGAAGCCCAGGTCGGCACCCCCAACTTTATGTCGCCCGAGTCCTTGATGGACTTCAACAACCCCAGAGGCGGACGGATGCCTGGTCACCAGAAGCTTATGAAGCTCGGCAAGCCCAGTGATGTCTGGTCACTCGGCTGTATTCTCTACCAGATGGTCTATGGTATCACTCCATTTGGCCACATTTCCAACCAGTTGTCCAAGTGTCAGGCCATCATCAACTGGAACCACGACATCGAGTTCCCATCCCGTGGCATGGGTGGCTCATCCGTCCCGCCCTCACTTATCCGCACAATGAGGCGATGTCTCAACCGGGACATTCACATGCGCCCTACCTGTGAGGAGTTGCTTCACGAGACGGATCCCTTCCTCTACCCCGCGGAGCTCACCGATAAGGCCCTCCCTATGGACGAGGAGCTACTCGGCCGAATCATCCAGAGCGTCGTCTCAAGATGTCGCGAGCGGATGCCCACCGAGGCAGAGAGCGTGAGCGTTTGGCCGCAAGCGTACTGGACCAGCGTTAAGAAAGCTATGGCTGGTAGAAATTGAGGTGACGACACGATCTAGCATGAACCGGGCAAAGTTTGTCTTGGGATGAAAAGAAGTATGACGTTTTTTGTTTGATATTCATTGGGAAGGAAGCATTTATAGCTTGGTGTTGGGGAGCATTGTTCTTCGTCTTTCATTGCGACTAACGATTACCCCATTGTTGCTTTTTATATTCAGAACCTGGGACTTGCCCAGGGTTGTAATTGGAGCAGACCTGGATACATATGGAGTCTAGGCTATGATATCGCATTGTAGCGAGTGTTCGAATCAAACATCTTTCAGCGGCTTGAACTATTTATTCAGCGTCGTCAATCAGTATATGGGATCCATTGGCTTGCAAAAAGTGCTTTATTATTGTACAGCCAGCTGCAAGCTGGTAGGTGGTACAGGTCTAGTTTGACTGTTTTGTACACGTTCATCCACACCCCGTTCTTGAATTTCTCCCATCGGATCATGTTTTTGGTCCGTCCAGCCTTACTCGGACGATGCCTCAATGTCCTCCACGTTGTTGATGTTCAGTTCCGAAATCCTCAGGATGGTATATCGGTGCTTGCTCTTCGCCTGTCTCGATCTTCTTTGCCTCCGCTTCTTCTTGATCTTGATGCGTAGGGGCTCCGACTCCGTGCCCAGAATAGTAGCCCGGCACTCAAACACACGCTCGTCGATGTGAGGCGCACCCTTCATGGTGTAGTCTCGGCTACCGAGGATGCTCGCACGGTTTAGCCGCAGGACATCGCCGGGCTGCACGCCAGGGAGGCGGAACGGTAGGCGGACCTGGTCACCCTCACGGACGAGGTAGGGGAAGCCGTGGATGTGGACGGTGATGTAGTGACCCGGTTGCGCGGCGAGGAAGGGCAGGAGGTTCTTGACGGAGTCGGAGATGGGCTGCGGCGGCGGCACGGGGTGGCTCTTCTTGAAGGCTAGCGGCCGGGGCTGTGTGTCCGAGGGATTGGCACCATTCTTGATGTGACGCTCCGGGATGGGCTCGACTATGGGCGTGGTGGTGTTGAATGCGCGGGCACGAATTGGCAGCAGGAAACTCGGGGGGAGGCGCGCAATTGGGGCTCGAAGCTCCAGCACGGAGCGAAGAAGTGCCCTGCTCATTTTGGACCGCAGTGCCGTTCGGGCGTGGGCACTATTTGCTGGTCGGGGAAGATATCGCACCGGCCGTGAGGTCAATGTCGTGTGTCGAAAAAGTTGACGAGTTCTGGATGCATTGGCCCGGATAAGCGTGGCGCCGGCTCCGACGAAATCCTGCGCCGACCACCTACCGCCTGCGCCGCCTCCCGATAAACCGCCGCTTTTTTTTATCGGTAGGGAAATTTCAGCATCACATCCCCGCCAGTACAGTCCAAGTCCCTTACCTGGGCAACACCGCAATTATGGTATGCACGGCGGTTTCTCGCTGGGAAAACGAAATGCTAATGCCCCGCAGCCTCAGAACGAGTATATGGAAAGGTGGCGCAAGCTGCACGGCCGCCGTCTCGATCACGAAGAGCGACAACGCAAGCGTACTGCCCGTGAGGGCCACAAGGCTTCGCAGGATGCCCAGAACCTCCGTGGTCTCCGCGCCAAGCTCTACCAGAAGAAGCGCCACAATGAGAAGATCCAGATGAAGAAGGCCATCAAGGCGCACGAGGAGCGCAACGTCAAGACGGCCGACGAGAAGGAGCCCACCACGCCCATGCCCTCTTACCTGCTGGATCGTACCAACCCTTCGACCGCCAAGGCCCTCAGCAGTGCCATCAAGAACAAGCGAGCCGAGAAGGCGGCCAAGTTCGCCGTGCCGCTGCCCAAGGTCCGAGGTATCAGCGAGGAGGAGATGTTTAAGGTGGTCAAGACCGGCAAGAAGACTCACCAGAAGTCGTGGAAGCGCATGGTTACCAAGCCCACGTTCGTTGGACCCGACTTCACTCGACGCAACCCCAAGCACGAGCGATTCATCCGACCCATGGGTCTGCGTTACAAGAAGGCCAATGTCACCCACCCCGAGCTCGGCGTCACTGTGCAGCTGCCCATCATCAGTGTCAAGAAGAACCCACAGAACCCCCTCTACACGCAGCTGGGTGTTTTGACCAAGGGTACCGTCATCGAGGTCAACGTCAGCGAGTTGGGTCTGGTGACGGCTGGTGGAAAGGTTGTCTGGGGGCGATACGCCCAGGTTACCAACAACCCGGAGAACGAGGGCTGCATCAACAGCGTCCTGCTGGTGTAATCGAGGGTTGCTTGGCGAGAACCCCATGGATCATTTGATATTCAGAATGCATGTAAAGGCGTCAGGGCGTTTTGCGGTAGTTGAAAAAGAGGCTGCGACATGGGCTTTCACTAAGGGTGGAATGTCGACTGAAGATTCCCGGTAGCGATGAAGAAGACACACTCGAGGCCATGGGGCCTGCTTTTGCTTCCCGGCGAGACAAGACCACGCTGGGAATTCGAGAGGATGAGACAAAAGACTATATCACGGTCATACATAGAATACTTAGGTAGTATGTACTAAAATTTGAAATGCTTGACTGGCTGCATTTCTAGAATATTTACTACAACTCTTGTTGCTTGTGAATTCGTCCTGTCTGAACAACCAAGACTTCCGGTCAACGCCATTGGCCAGTAAATAATGAGATCCCACTTGCCGAACACACGCGTGGCTGGCGATACAAGTCATGTCGAGTCGTGTCGAGTCGTGTCGAGTCTTGGAAGAGACTTCAGCGGCGGCTCCGGATCCACCACGCCGCAACCAGCTGGGTTTCTCGATCTGGTGCTGGTGCTACTTTGATGCAAATGGGCCAATCACCGCCCAGCTACAGCCGGCAAAAACAGGCAGCCCCTCTAAAAAAGGCAGCCTGTAGGGGATCATGCTAGTGGCCATGAGGGGTCCCTCGCTTTAAGCTGGCGCACTGGGCGCTGAAAATTTGGCGGTGACGGCGATTTTTTCATTTCTGCCAAATCGCATCCTGTATTTGGTCTGCCCCTCCAGTCTCGCAGTTTCCGACCTTCACATCCCCAAAACAACGACCCTTTTTTTTCCTCTTCGTTTCTTTCTCTGGTTTATAACCAGATCCGAATCATAGCCAGAATGAGCGGTGACAAGATGGAAGTCGAGATTGCCGAGGAGAAGATGAAGGGCATGGAGCACAGTGAGCAGCACTACTTCAAGAGGTCAGTTTTGTTCGCGTTCCCCCCACTGCGGTCGCCCTGCCGCGGCGTAGCATGAAGCTGACTGGATTCGCGTGTAGCTACGACCACCATGGTACGATTGAGTGATACCCTCGATATCGTCGGCTGTAGAGGCGACTTGGATAAAACGGCTTGGCTAACGTGCTCGCATTGCAAAAGGCATCCACGAGGAGATGTTGGTATGGAACCCCTCCCCCGCAGCGCAATGCAAATGCAGAACCCCGCTGACAGCTCGACCGCACTGCAGAAAGACGAGGTGCGCACACGATCGTACATGAACGCCATTATCCAGAATAAGCACATCTTTAAGGATAAGGTTGTTCTGGATGTTGGCTGTGGTACTGCCATCCTCTCCATGTACGTCTTCAAATCTGCACTCTGCAGTCCGCCCCGGATTCCCGTGCCCCGCTTCATCTTCACGCCGCTGGTCCCATCGTGGCGGCGCAAGCAAACATTCCTCTCCCGCTCCATGACGAGACTCTGCAGAACCAACCCATGTCCTAACCCGCTGCAGGTTCGCCGCCAAGGCTGGCGCCAAGCATGTCATCGGTGTCGACATGTCCACCATCATCTTCAAGGCCCGTGAGATCGTCGAGACCAACGGCCTGTCCGATAAGATCACCCTGCTCCAGGGCAAGATGGAGGAGGTTGAGCTCCCCTTCCCCAAGGTTGACATCATCATCTCTGAGTGGATGGGATACTTCCTCCTCTACGAGTCCATGCTCGACACCGTTCTCTACGCCCGAGACACCTACCTCCAGAAGGATGGCCTCATCTTCCCCGACAAGGCCACCATCTTCTTCGCCGGTATTGAGGATGGCGAGTACAAGGAAGAGAAGATTGGCTGTGAGTTCTTGGCCAATAACCTGCTCCACCGCTATTACACGCACTGACAACCCCCCTACCAGTCTGGAACGATGTCTACGGCTTCGACTATACTCCCCTGAAGGCCACGGCTCTGTCCGAGCCCCTCGTTGATACCGTCGACATCAAGGCCGTCGTAACCGACCCCACCCCTGTCCTCACCCTCGATCTCTACACTTGCACCGTTGCCGACCTGGCCTTCTCCACCAAATTTAACTTGACCGTCAAGCGTGACGACTTCATCCACGCCCTTGTCTCGTGGTTCGACATCGACTTCACCGCCTGCCACAAGCCCATCCGCTTCTCCACCGGCCCCCACACCAAGTACACTCACTGGAAGCAGACCGTCTTCTACTTTGAGGACGTCCTTACCGTCCAGGACGGCGAGCAGGTCGAGCTCAGCCTCGACGTCCGCCCCAATTCTAAGAACAGGCGCGACCTCGACATCCGGATCGCCTATGAGCTCGAGACCCAGGACGTCACCCGGGCCTCCAAGGGCGACAGCGAGTACCGGATGTGTTAAGTGCCCTGCAGCACTTCTAATGACGGAACGACGGTAACCCATGACGACGCCGCAAGGAGAGGCGTCCGAGGAGATTTTATCTAAATCGGGACATCAGTACAAGGCGGCTGGCGTCTTTGCAACTTAAACGTGGGTCAACTTTTTGGTAGATAAAACGCGAAGGATGGTGGCTGGTTGACGACCCGTTATGAGTGATACCACAAAACAGCACTCCGGCTACCTAGTCAATAGATCATTTTCTTGAGCTGTATAGAGCGTCTTTGAGACTTCTCATCAACATGTGCATCATTTGCTTGGCGTCTGCGTAGAAGTTGCTGGTGCACCGTAAAACTTCAAGTTCAAGTGAAGGAGGCGAGTATAAATTAATGATTCATCAAAAGTAATAGAGATTTTCATTCATCATAAATCCAGGTTGAGCAAATTGCTCGTTCTAACCTAGCTAGATAGCGAGGTGCTATACCCCTCCAGAGCTTTTGGTACCCGAAGTATTCATATCCCCCACGTGCGGTCTCATCCGTCCTCACAGGCTCACACTTCACAGACACACCTTGTTTTTCGTCGTCTAGATTCATTTCCATGTCAATTCTACCACTCGACAAGCGAAAGCTCTTAGGAGCCGTAGTGCTTGACGATCTGGGAAACCTTGTTGGCCAGTTCGTCGGCCTCGGAGCGGGTAGCGGCCTCGGCGTAGACGCGGCAGGCGTTCTCAGTACCACTGGCACGAGCGAAGGAGCGTGCGTTGGTGTACTTCTTGACACACTCGTCAATCTCACCCTGGGCACCGGCAGGGTGGCTGAGGCGGCGCTCGGCGTCGGTGGTTTGGAAGAGGTCCTTGTCACCAACCTCGACACGGACGAGGCGGTTGGGGAGGTCGTTGTAGGTAGTGGCCCAGTCCTTGAGGGTCCATCCCTTGTGGGCGAGGATAACCTCAACCATCAGCATATCAGAGAGGGCATCACCGACGGTCTGGTTGATAAGGTCGCTGATGGCAGCAAGGGTGTCAAGGGCGTCCTTCTGAGCGGGGGACTGGGGGGCGGTCTCGCGGAAAGCGCGGATGGCCTCCTGGGAGAAGACAACAGTGCCGTGGCCGTTAGCCTCGAAGTAGACGCCAACATCGAACTGGCAAGCGGCGTGGTGCAAGTGTTTGACACCAGTCGGAGTGAAGACAACGGGGAGCTGGAGGTGCTTCTCGATGTAGTTGGTGCTGGCGCCGTTGGCATAGGCGGTCTGGACAACGCCGATGCGGAGGTCGTCAACCAGGCCAGCAGAGCGGACGAGATCACCGATGAAGGCGGCGTTGAGAGAGGAGATGCGGTCACCGTCGAGCATGAAGAAACCAGTATCGGGGTCGATCCAGTAGTAGATCAGGCGGTCGGCATCGCCATCGAAAGAGCAGCATCGGACGCCGGGGAGGGGCTTGGGGTTGGGAGGGGCTCGCTGCTTGGTCTTGACGTAGTCGGCTCCAGACTGGGGGATGGTCAGCATTAGTTGACGTGGGGAGGTGTTTGGTCATCTTACGTCGAGGTTGAGGACCTCAGGTCGGAGCACATCGTCGTTGACGACCTTGATATCGAGGCCAGTGACGTCCTTGTTGACCACCTTCAGGAACTCAGAAAGCTTGGGGCCGCCGACACCGTTGGCGCAGTCGACGATGAGCTGGCCCTGGATCTTCTTGCCACGAAGGGCGCGGACAAAAGCCTCTGCGTGCTTCTCGTAGTAGCCAGCCTCGCTGACCTCGCCATATGCCTTGGGGGTGCCCTCGGTGTTGACGCAGCGAGTCAGGTAGTGCAGCTGGGGGGTGGTGAGGATCTTGTAGTCGGTGTAGTCGGTGCCGGTGGCTACAAGGGCGTCGGCGAGGGAAGCGACGAGGGAGTGGCCGGAGGGACGGGTGTCGCGGCCGTAGACGACACGGCCCGAGGCGCTCAGGTCGATCTTGAGGTGGGCGGCGAGAGCCTTGTAGGTGTCGAGAAGCTCCTGGTCGGAGGGGCAGTTGACGAGCTTGGTGGCATAGGCCTCCCACTCCTGCTCCAGCATCTCGCCCATGGGGTCGACGATCTTGACGCCATTGTCGATAGCCGGGTTATGGCTGGCAGTGACCATGACGCCGATGGCCTGTCCATTGAGCTTGCGGCTGCGCAGACCCGAGAGCAGACCGACACGAAAGGCGACGCCGTCGAGCAGGTCAGCCTTCATGCGGAACCCCGCAGTGCCATACTTGTAGACATGGTTGGCCACGACGGGGTGCTTGGCCGAGGCGGCGAGGATTTGGCTGTCCATTGTGCAGGTTTACCAAAAATTGGATGTACTTGGAGGAGAGGGAGAAGTGTGGAGAAGGGAAGAGGGAGGAGTCGTGGAGGAGTGACGATGATGTCGAGAGCCTTATGAAACATCGAGACAGCGAGTCGAGGCGGGGAGGTGGGATGTCCGCCAATACCTCCAGCTACGTAAAGAGGGGCAGCTCCTCCCTTACCTCCCTTGCCTACGTAGTAGGTACCTGGCTCTATTACTGCTACAGGGCCCTTGCCACTCGCCAGCCACGGTCACACCTCAGCGGGCACCTCAGCCCACCGCCCAGTACAGCCCAGTGTATATCAAGCGCTGAAGGGAGAGAATTGTTGCTGTGGTGGTGCTGCTGTAGTGCCAACCCTGCCAGGTTGTGCGAGGTGGCCCTTCTCACCGTTCGTCACTACCATGTACCAACACCCACTGCACCAAAGCTACATACGAGGTCCTGCCCCAAACACGCCCCGCTTGGTCCTGGTCACTGGCAGTTCGAACTGGGCTGGCATATTGGATGCCGCGCTGAAGCAAGGGGGGATCCATCCATGCTTGCAGGTGGGAGCTGCAGCCCGACTGATTGGGCCAAGGAGCTACAGCGCCTCGTCCGCTGGCATTGGAGGGCCAGGCCTCACGTCAGCAGCCGCCGCCGCCGCCAGCTCAGCCGCCAGGCCAGTGTGGATTAAGGCTCCAGTGAGGTTAGATTTGGACGCTTCAGGGTTGTTGGTGTGAGGTGTGGTCTTGTTTTACTTATTTTTATCTATTACTTTCTCGTTTCGTCGTCGGCTTGGAGGGGCAGTGAACGAAGTACCTACGTACCTCCCTACCTAGACCACCTACACACGTGATTTCGTGTCAGTCATCGACCCGCTACGCAAGCACCGTCGCGTCTCCTGGAAATGTTCACAAGAAACTTCACCGTCATCGCAGAACCGCCAAACGTGTTGCTGTCTCACGTGTGGCAGGTTCCTTGGAGTGCTCTCTAGCGCAATTTTGGAATGGCTTCTCGCCGTTTGCAACCCATTGCCGTCGGTGTACCATGGACGACTCCGAATCTGCCAATCCCCAGCTACTCGCCTGGGTCAAGGAATGGCTGGACGTAGCCCGCGACAGAAACTCCAAAGGGATCACTACCTACAAACATGCCTACGACTCTCTCAAGGCGTGCCCTATTACCTTTGAGCATCCTGCTCAGCTTCAACAACTCAAGGGGTTCGGCCCAAAACTCTGCGAACGTCTCGAGGATCAGTTAAAAAAGCACTGCCAAGAGAATGGCCTCCCAATGCCCCAACATCCCCGGACGCGTAAGGCCTCACGAAATGGCCAAAATAACGACGACGACGACGATGAAGGAGGGTCTTCAAGGCCAGCAAAGAAGGCTCGGAAACCTAAAGCCTATGTTCCTGCCTTTCGATCCGGTGCCTTCGCCCTGGTTGTCGCGCTGTCTAATCAGGATGAGGATGTCTCTGTGGGCATGACAAAGACTGACCTTATCGAAGTCGCGCAGCCCCATTGTGATTCATCTTTCACAGCCCCTAATGATCCGACAAAATTCTACACGGCTTGGAACTCAATGAAGACGTTGGTACAAAAGGAGCTCGTCTACGAGAGGGGCCGGCCGCTAAAGAGGTATGCTCTGACTGATGAGGGGTGGGACGTTGCGAAACGAATTAAAGAAACGAGGCAATGGCAAGCCGAGAATGGCAACGGGAACGAGATACAGCCCACAGGACGAACTTCCACCACCAATATTAGTACAATCTCCGAGTCTAGGACAAGGTCGCCATCGGTTGAATCGCCAGAACCTCGACCAGAAGCTGGGCCAGCCCCGTCGAGTTATCAGGACCTTGTATCGGATGGTCCGATGGTTGACGATGATAGTGGCCTGCCTGCATTTACTCCAATTCGACTTCCCCCGGGATCTTTTTCTGTCCACCTGCTCCTCGATGTTCGGGAGGTCCGGGCGAAGACTGATCGTGACTATATGCAAGAAGAACTTGCGAAGCAAGGAGCGAAACCCATAATGAGGAGTATGGAGCTGGGCGATGCCCAGTGGGTCGCCAAATGTCATGACTCGACCCTGCTCTCAAGACACGGTGCCGAAGGGGATGAGATTGTCTTGGACTGGATCGTGGAACGAAAACGTTTGGACGATCTGATCAGCAGTATCAAAGATGGTCGATTTCATGAACAAAAATTCCGCCTGAAAAGGTCAGGGACAAAAAAGGTTGTATACATTATCGAAGAGATCACCATGGATCCACAATCCATCCAGAGGTACGAGGAGGCCGTGCAATCCGCCATTGCATCCACCCAGGTCGTCAATGGCTACTTTGTCAAAAGGACGACGAAGATGGATGAGACGATTAGGTATCTGGCGCGAATGACGGCAATGCTGAAGCGGACATATGAGAGCAAGTCTCTAAACGTTATCCCCACGAGGGTTCTCACGGCTCAGAACTACTTGCCCCTGTTGACCCATCTGAGGGAAAAGGACCCGTCAGCCGGGTTTTATGTCACCTACCCAGCATTCTCATCACTGGCGTCAAAATCGGGAACGATGACGCTCAGAGATGTATTCCTCAAGATGCTCATGACAACCAAGGGTGTCACTGGAGAGCGGGCTATTGAGATCCAAAAACGATGGAAGACGCCCTACGACCTTGTCAAAGCTTTCGAGACGTGCGGATCAGGAGAACAGGGAACCAAACGCAAGCGAGACATGGTTTTTGCGAAGACCACACAGCTGGTCGGTCGCAAGAAATTTAGCAAAGCTTTGAGCCAGAAGATTGCAGAGGTATGGGGAAATGCTTGAGACATCGAGCTGATTGATGAGAAATGATTATTCGAGACTGAAACGAACAATTACATCTTTGAACGTATTTCAAGGCTTCGCTCCAAGACCCTGTGCCACGATCCTCTGGACCATCTTCTCCAAAAGCGGGATCGAAGCAGTGCCAGACTCGGCGCCTAGGATACCCGCCAGAGACTTCTCGGCGTACTTGGCCATCATGTCAACCTCAACATTGACCGTCTCGCCCTTCTTCTTCTGTGCCACAACGACCCTCTCCTGGGTGTAGGAAATAAGCATAACTTCCCACCAACCCTCAACATCATCCACCTTGGTGACGGTCAAACTAGTGCCGTCGATGGCGATGAAGCCCTTGTACACGATGTAGCGCAACATGTCGCGTCTCTTGGGCTGGAAGCGGAAGGTCAGAGCATTGCCGTCCTGCTCGATGGAGAGAATTTCGGCGGTGGTATCGACGTGGCCCTGGACGAAGTGGCCGCCCATGCGAGTGTCGGCACGGACAGCACGCTCAAGGTTGACCCTGCTGCCCTCAACAAGGTCGCCGAGGTTAGTAATGCGCAGCGTCTCCGGAGCGACACCGATTGTAAAAGCCTCGGAGGTGAACTCAGTGACGGTGAGACAGACGCCATTGATGGCGATGGAGTCGCCGTCGTGGCAGTCTGAGAGCAGAGAGGACCCGGTGGGGGGAGTGACGATCATGGAGGTTCCACCAGTGGAGTCATTGGTGTTGAGGTTGGAGATGACTGGGAACTTTGTGAGATGACATGCCCCTCCGTTTATCCTTGGGAGAGTGAAGACTGACCTCCGACATCTTCGACGATTCCGGTGAACATGGTGACGAACGGGGGTATAAGAGGTCTCTGAGATTGTCAGTGTTGGTTCTCACGGGACCGGCTGGCAGCGTTACTCACACAGAGAGGGGATGATGACGACGAGAGGATGTTACGGATAGACGCTGCACCAATTCCAAGCAATCGAATAATGAGCCAGAATCCACGGTTGCAGCAGGTTCAAGGACAATACCGCGTATGCTTCAAGGTGGAAGATTTATCTGCTGGTGCGATGACAAATGATGTGTCAAGGCCGGGCGCTCTCGGAGGTTGAAGTGCACCGAACCCCTACGAAGCCCGTGGTGATGGCCCCGCGCCGTGCCCCGCAGTTGGCCTGTTATCGATAACGGCCCACCCAAATTTTTCTGCTTCCCAGTCAACACCATCGCGAAAAGCGGGTTGGACAAGGCGGTCTCTTTGCGACAAGCCCAGCTTTGAGAGAATCTTTCTTCACCCTGCGCACTCTCTCAGACCTATCGAGCATATACTCGGATCCCCTTCTATATCCGGGCTCCCAAACCCATCTCTCAAGCTCTGGCTCCTCCCATACCACCGTCTTAATCATCCGCTCGCCTCCGACCCCGCCAATAAGTCAGACTTCGCAATGGCGCCGTCGCGGCCTGAAAACAAAAAAGCCAAGGCCGACGTGGCCAAGCTCCTCGTCGACGCCCAGACCCAACTCGAGGTCGGAAACCTGGATGAGGCTTCGACAATCGCACAGCAGGCCCTCGATGCCACGGGTGCAGGCGGCGATTTCGAGCTCAGCGCCCTCAACCTCTTGGGCACCGTCCACGTCGAGTCCGGTGACATCGAGGATGCCCGGGCTTACTTCCAGCGCGCCGTGACGCTCGATTCAGACGGCTCTGTGGATGAGAAGATCGGCGGCGGGCCCGAAAAGTTTCTCCTACTCGCCCAGCTCAGCGAGGAGGGCGGCCAGGACAGCGTCAACTGGTTCGAGCGCGGTGCCGCCGCCTTGCGGAAACAGATCCAGGCCCTATCCGAGCTCCCCTCCAAGACCCCCGAACAGCAGGCTATCTTGGGCGAGAAGCAGCAGAAGCTCGGTGGCGTGCTCTGCGCCGTCTCCGAGGTCTACATGACGGACCTGTCGTGGGAGGCCGACGCCGAACAGCGCTGCGAAACCCTCGTCACCGAGGCCATGCTCATCGCACCGCAGTCCCCCGAGACGTGGCAGGCGGTCGCCAACGTGCGCATCTCCCAGGAGCGCACCGACGAGGCCCGGGCCGCCCTCAAGCACAGCCTCGAGCTCTGGCAGGACCTCCCACCTCAGCACCCGGCCATCCCCGAATTCGCGACCCGTATCGGCCTCTCCCGCCTTCTCATGGAGTCCGAGCTGGAGGACGAGGCACTGCAGGTCCTGGAGCGCCTCATCACCGACGACGACACCAGCGTCGAGGCGTGGTACCTGGGCGGATGGTGCCTCTACATCATTGGCGAGAAGGCCCGCTCCACTGCGGGAGACGACTGGAAGACGACTTGGAAGTCCTCGCGACAGTGGCTCACCCAGTGCCGGAAGCTCTACGATTTCCAGGACTACGAGGATGAGCGGCTGGGCGGGCACGCGCAGGAGCTACTCCGCAACATCAACACGGAGCTCGGTGCGCCCGTCGATGGCGAGGACGACGACTGGGAGGATGCCAGCGGCGACGAGGGTGACGAGGATGAGGAGATGCAAGGCTAGAATACGTTTCTATAAAGACGGAGATGTTTGGTTGACACGAAAAAATGGCATTAGACGGCGTTTGGGCAGATAAATGGGTATGTCTGGAAGTAGGGATTACTCCCAAATATATAGTGGAAATTTCGTGGGACCAAACCCCGAGATCTATATACCCAAGAATTTCGCGGGCAACATCAGGACCATAGCGTCCCTTTTCTAGAGGTGTTCTCTCCTCTCATCTCTCGTCTCTCGTCCGAATAGTCCATCATCTCGTAGCGGGCTATCTGCCCGGCATAATGAATCCCATCAAAGCCCCAACTCCAAGTAATGCATTCCCATACGGGGCTATTTTACGCCGCCTCGACCTTGAGCTTCTCAATGGCCTCGATCGGCACGTCGTCGTCCTCTTCCTCGACCTTGCCAACCATTCCGCCCTCCCAGAGCTGTCTACCCGACAACCTAGTGGGTTCCTTGACCTTCGCCTTCTTCATCTCGGCCAGGCGCTCGTCCTCCTCGCGCTGCCGCACCTCCTCCATCTCCTTGAGGAAGCTCTCGCGCCACTTGAGGAAACTCTCCGGGGTGACGGCGGTGCCGTGGAACTTCTTGTTCTCCTCCACCTCGGCGGCGGCGCGGGCCTCCTCCTGGGCTCTGGTGATGACGTCTTTGCGATCCTGGACCAGCTGTTCGGCCGACTCCTTAAGCATCGAGACAATGGTGAAGATCATTGCCATGCCGAGGTTCTCTTCGATGGTCTCGTCGAGAGTAGACAGGAGCTGCTCGCGGTCGTCGGCGACATTGAAGAACTCATGGGGGACCGCATTGGGAGGGGCGAGGACGTCGAGGTGGGGGGCCTTCTCGGGGTATTCGGGCGGGTAGCGCACTTGCAGGAGCATCGTCGGGGGCTCTTCTTCTTCCTCGCCTGGGATGTCCAACGCGATTGATACTCGATACTCGACCTCAGATATATCTACCCGGTTTGAAGGTTAGCCAAGAGGGATTCTGCGTCGCTTCGATGGCGAGGCAGGTCGCACCTGTGATCTCGTCGGGGAAGATCGACTCGAGCACCTCGCGCTCTTCGATCTGATCTTCGCGCCCCATTCTGAATTAGCTTCCTCTCTGGGTATCGGCAAATACAAATATAATCCCGTCGTTGGTGGTCTGGCTTTGAGCCTCTCTTGAAATGGAGACCTGACGTGAGTGCAAGTGGGGAGGTCCCCCATAGCGGGGTGTCTCTACAACAGGCTTAGCGTACCTCTGACCGCCCGGCATTTTGGACAGAAATTTTGGAACGACTTCAGTTTGTCGCGGCAGAACGATTAGACCGCCCGAGCTCTGGACGCCCTGTTTTGGACAAGTGCTGCTGCTGCTTTAAGGCCTTGGGGGCTCATTTCTTGGGGGCTGGTTTTATGCCGCCATGGACTCATTAGCCTATATGAAAGTCGGGTTATGAAGCCAATTGTATTTTATCCCGCTTATGCAAGTGTGGTAACAGACGGAAATATGGACTTTTGTGAAAGCACAACTGTGGAACGGGAGCACATCGTCGACCGTCGACCGTCGGCCGTCGGAACCGAGCCATTTCGCTCCGCAACGTCCGCCCGTATTCCGAAGATTTCTCGCGGCTCAGTAATTGAGGATTCCAATGGGCTCATTTCCAGTCAAACCTTTGGCCCTCAGCCTCACCGCCCGCCTTGCCAGGTAGCCCCGATACTGCTCTTTGGGGGTCGTCTTGGCGGCGTCTTCCCACACCTCGTAGCGGACGGCCTCCCAGACTCGGAGCTGGTCGATGAAGTTGTCTCGCGGCTTCACTTTGCGCCGCTGCCGCACTTCTGGGTACACAGAGTCGAGGCCCTCGCGGCGCTTCCGCATAAGGTAGGCTATCGCGACCGTTGCCGAGCGAGACACGCCCAACTGGCAGTGGATCAACACGTTGGCCTCGCGGGGTGTCTCCACGCCAAGCTGGAGAGAGCTCTCGTCCCATTCTTCCGAAGGAGTCGAGGCTACTGAATGAGGAGTCGAGGCTACTGATTGAGGAATCGAGTTGCTACTTAGTTGTATTTCGATGAAATCGCAAATCTCTTCTAGAAGGGCGAGGATGTCCATCGTTGAGCTGTCTAGGCACGGGACGTAGAGGTGGCAGTCCTCGGGGATAATTGCCCTATACTCGGGATGGCTCCATTTGTTGTAGCCGCCATCAAGCAGCGACACGACGGCGGTGATGTTATTTTCGCGAAGGACCTGTCGCTTCAGGGAGCTCTTCACGTTCCCCACAAAGAGATGGGGCGCGATCTGTGAAATCGAGGCATCCATCCAAGACGTGATGTTGCACCGGTTGGATCAAGTGCTCGACTGGTGCTGAACAACGAACGATTTTCGGACGGCGGGGATCGTGAAGCATCCATACAACACTCCGGGATCGGCAAGGATACAAGTGTTTCAACATCGCATGATGGCCACTCACGTGAGAAGACTTGTCCCGGTGGCGTTCTGCACGTCTCTGGGATGATCGATGTCACTGTCCTCTCTCCTGCAGCAGCGCCGGAGCATTGCTAGCAAGGTAGGTTGAGCCGGTAATAAGCAACTGCATCCTACACCGGGAAGTATATCAGCGCTATTATACACCACGGCCTAGAGACATTTGACACCTCTTATATGTCCGGCTCGTTTTCTTTCTCAATCCCAGTAAAACATTAAAACAGAGACAGTCCAAAATACCTTGATTAGAGTCAGGAAGCACTCCCGCTTATGCAAGAACCCATCGTGCAGTGGGACACGGCCCAGTCAGCTACTACTATTTGTGCCGTGTCTCGAAATATTGACCAAAACAAATGCATCAACATTTTGACTAGTCAACGTGTCGACCATCATGGTTGGAGTGTGATACTGGAGCGAAAGCACCCAGTCGTTTTCGATCGTCAAAGGTGAGAGTGGGCGTTCAGTGGGCAGGCCATGTCAAGATCCTCTTATTGCTGTCTCTCCGACTAAATCGCTATTGAGCCACGGGTCACTCATCAGTTCTCTCGCTCTCGGCCTCTCTTCAGGCTGCCAGCGTAGCATTCTCCGCATAAAGCGAAAGAACATGTCCTTTTCGTGTTCTGAAATACATGCTGGGGCTTCGTCTTCCCATTTCCGTGTACGGGGTACTAGGTCGCCGTAAATAAATTTGCCTATAAAAAATGAGTTGGAGCTCATCAAAGGGAAACGTTGGACTCACCGTCGTCAGAAAAAAAGGGCCCGCCATAGTAGTCGACGACATTGTCGCAATGCTGTCCCTCGGCATTGACTACTTCCGGCATCCACCTCCAATACCGCATCTCCCTTTCCTGCTTTAGGAGCGCGCTCGGAACTGGGCCGAGGATTCCAATCATCTCGCTTAGATGACGTGCGGCGCTATATGGTTGGCTTTCTCCCCCGGGGTCGAGAAAAAGGGTTCGTCCTGTCAGGAGATCCCATACCTGCGTAACAACCATTAGCACAACGCCAAGAATCACAGGGAACTAGAACTCGGTCTGTACCAATATCGCGAAATTCCAAATGTCAGCGCTATAAGACCAACCTGTACCCAGGAGGACCTCTGGGGCGTGGTAACGGTCTGGCTGTATGGGATTGATGAAAGGCCCAGGTTGGCTACCGTCCTGGGCGAGACCAAAGTCTGCCAATTTCGGCGTCATCTTTAAAAGAGCGGATTTATCCTTAACGTCTCCAAAATTATTTTGACACTGGTAGACTGCTCGGCCGCCAAACATCTTTCGTGGTGTTGGTCGGCCCGCCTGCGCTTGCACAAACGTTTCAAGTACCGAGTGGTCCTCAAATGTCATTAATATGTTATCGGTCTTGAGGTCTAGTTGGCATTGTTAGATCATATTCTCATCAATATCATATATGCATACCTGTGTGGATTATTTTGCACTCCGAGTGGAGGTAATCTAGACCGCCCAGTATAGTCCGTAGGTGCCGCTTCAGAATAGGGAGACAGTTCTGTGTGACACTCCCGTTGTCGCTGAGTCGTCGCTGAAACATCCACAACGGTTCTCTCATGGGATCGAAGACCATGCAAAGATGCGATCCCCTTCGTGTGGGAATGATGAAATGATTAACTGCAGTTAGCAGAGCCGGGTGGGCTTTCTGATATGGGTTGTATGGCTTGGAGGTGGCGATGTGATGAGACATGCTCAGCTCATGCCAAGAGTCATCTCCTTCATAGTTATTTGCGTTGATCTTTATTGCCACATACTTCTTTGGTCGGGTCACTCCCTGGCTGCTCTCCGGTTAGTTTCCGAAACTACTAGTTCTCTCGCCGGAACTTCACTCACTCATTCGAAGCCAAATCCAGCGCCAGCCAGACTGTAGACGAGGATCCATAACCAATCTTTACTTTTAGCTTGTATCTTCCATACAGGATTTCGCCTGGGTTTGGATGATAGTAGGTCTGCCACCTGTACCCAGAGACTTTCTCCTCGTCAATGGGGACATCCAGGGGGAGAGAGTCGATTCTTGAAGTCCGGAACGGGTAGAGGCTCGCAAGTTTAGTGAGGATGAAGGACCTGGAGAATATTTGCATAGGGGGCCGAATTATCCGGCGGCCAAAAAGGCCATCTTGGTTATAGACACGGCCAAGGCTCCGCGTCGAGGAACGACTTGGTCGACATGTCGCACATCGCAGCATGTCTAGTCGGCGAGGACGCGACTACGTGGACGGCGTCTAAAGCGGGAGCAGAAGCAACAAACCAGAACATGTGCGAATTTTATTTCAGCTGATGAATTTGGTACAATAAGAAATGAAATGACCTTGACCAGGACATTGTTGTCCGGTTTCTTTAGAGTCCGTCCTGGGGCCCTGTCTATTTACTTGCCGGTATGATTGCCGACGACATTGGGGGAGCTTTATGACTTCGGGTGAAGACGCGGAACGGATTTGCACAATTTCGGATGCGACTTATGCATGTATCAGTGGGGGTGCACAAGCAGCGGCGAATTGTGGGGTCGTGCATGCCACCTCGCTGCAAAAAGCGGCGACAGATTGAGCCTATCGCCTATCGCAAAAAAAAAGTTCGAGAGGCTGTCCCATCAAACATTTGGAGTGGGAATTTCCATCTCCAACCAACAAACCTCCCCGCCATCCAATTCCACCCCCGTTGCCGCGAAAATGGCCACGAAAAGTGCCTCAGTTGGCAGCAAGCGAAAGTCTGCCCCCTATGCCAAGGGCAAGTCCGGCTCCAAGAAGGCGCGCCTGGACGAGACCAAGGCTCGGCGGGCACCCAAGGAGGATCCTGAGGACGACTCCAACGATGTCTCGGACTCTGAGGACGGCGGCGCAAAGCTAGACGACGGGGCTTCCGGGAAGGAGTTCAAGAAGTCCGTCTCCGGAGTCAATGCAAAGACATTTGAGCGGTGTATGTTCTTCGCCGCCAGTAAAATCACTGTTGCAGCTGCTAACGTCCCCCAGCCGAAACTTCTCGCGAATCCCACGCCAAGCAGAAGCAGCTCGCCCAAGATCGCAAGGCCGCGAAGCCCCTGGCCGACGAGGTTCAACGGACGAAGAAGTTGTGGGAGCGACTGCGAAGAAAGTCGCATGTGCCCAAGGAGGAAAGGCAGACCCTGGTTGACGAGCTCTTCACCATCATCACTGGCCGCATCAAGGATTTCGTTCTCAAGCACGACGCTGTCCGAGCAGTTCAGACTGCCATCAAGTACTCAACGCCCGAGCAGAGGAAACAGATTGCGCGAGAGCTGGCCGGCACATACGTCCAACTTGCTGAGAGCCGATATGCCAAGTTCCTGATTGGCAAGCTGTTGGTCCAAAATGACGACGAGATCCGCGACATCATCATTCCCGAGTTTTACGGCAAGGTCCGAAAGATGATCAATCACCCCGAGGCCTCGTGGATTCTCGACGATATCTACCGAGGAGCTGCGAACAAGGAGCAGAAGGCCATCCTCCTGCGAGAGTGGTACGGCCCCGAGTTCTCTCTGCGAGAGCTTAACAAGGAGGCGAACCCTACCTCGGACTTGAAGACCATTCTTGATGCTGAGCCGAGCAAGCAGGGGCCCATCATGAGGAGTCTGGCGGACATGATCAACTCCCTGGTTCAGAAGAAGATGACTGGTTTCACCATGCTTCACGACGCTATGCTACAGTACTTTTCCAACATCAAGCCCGACACGGAGGATTTCACCGAGTTCGTCGAGATGGTCAAGGGAGATGAGGGCGGCGATTTGCTCAAGAACATGGCATTCACTCGCTCTGGTGCCCGCCTGGTCTGTTTGCTGTTGGCCTATGGTTCGTCCAAGGACCGAAAGCAGATCCTCAAGACATTCAAGGATACATACCTCCTCATGTCCGGCGATGTGTTTGCTCACGTTGTTATCCTGACGGCTTACGATGTGATTGATGATACCAAGTTGACCGCCAAGACTATCTTCCCTGAGCTGCTCGGTGAGGGTGAAGAGAACGCCCAAAACATTGTGTCGGCGGCCAACAACCCGTTTGCTAGGACGACTATTCTCTACCTGTTCGAGGGATTGGCCAAGTCACTCTTCCCCTCCAGCCATTCGTTCGATGTCGAGATCCTAGAGGAGGTGCGCGAGATCCGCAAGGCGACTAGTAAGAAGGACGATGATGCCCGACGCAGCGAGTTGATCGCTGCGCTGTCGCCGCAGCTCATTGCCGCCATTGAGGCCATGTCTTCCGACCTCACGACGACGGCGTTCGGTTGTCAATTTGTTGCCGACGTGCTTCTCTCTGGCGTTGGCGACAAGTTGAAGGCGCTTGAGGCGATTGCCCAGTCGGCGAGTGGCGACCCTAGCCAGGAGCCAGCGGAGGATGACTTGGCACCACCCCATGTCCACATCTCGCGCACGCCCTTTGGCGGCCGCATGCTCAAGTCATTGATCCAGGGCGGAAAGTTCGACAAGGCGACGGGCAAGGTTATCCCTATTGACCCACCCCTAGAGTTTGCCAACGCCCTGTATCCCGTCATTCAGGAGTTCATTATGGATTGGGCTACCGGGCCAAGCTCCTTTGTTGTCGTTGGTCTGCTTGAGGCTGGCGACTTTAGTGAGGCTGCTGCGCTGAAGAAGCTGCTCAAGAAGAACAAGAAGGCGCTGGAGAAGGCCGCGACTGAGGAGACGGCGGAGCAGAAGGCCTCGCGGGAAGCTCATGAGGCGGCTCCCAAGGGCGGCAAGAAGGGCAAGAAGAAGATTGAGAAGCCAGTTGGCAACATGGGAAGCAAGCTTCTTCTGGAGAAGCTGTGAGCGAGGAAATATTGAGTGACTGGAAGCGGATAGAACGGACGGGACATGAGAAGATGTGTGCCATTTTGATGCTCCCGTAATGTATTAGGCGTTTGGGTTCTGGTGTCTAAAAGGAACAAATGATGATGTTACCTTCGCTTTCGGTTGCCCGCTTTCGTGAAGTCGCGCCATGTGGATATGTGTGTTACTGACGCGGTATGGACAGTACAGATCCCTGACGTGATTTAGCTGCAGGAGAACAAGATACCAAGATGTATCGTGATTCGCCCGCTAACTATTTGTTTGTCGGAAGGTAAGAGTACCCAAGCCTTTAGCACACTCAAGGCCGTGAAGGTATCTTGATCATCCATGGATAACAAACCGCAACGAGATATCAACTAGGATGCCGCGGTGTCAATATGATCGTAGCTCTCTTCCCAGATTCAGATGACATATTGCCATGACGCCTTAGTTCATCCATCTCGATTGCACAACAAAGGGCAGCGGGTGTTAGGCACAGCCATGTGTAGCGTGGGGCGTTTCTAGTTTGCCAAGGCCATCTGCAAGTTCCCGCGGTTTCAGGCGATATCCCAGATCGATATAATGTCATGCGTCGGTCCTCTCAGAGAGGGTGTTGTCTGAGGAGACGACATGGGCTCTTTGCGCAGGCCACGCCGCAGTGCGTGTTTCTAAGGTCAACTCTTCGGGTTCAGGGGCGTCGGATGGGAGAGAGCTTAGAGATGGCTTGCGTGAAAGCGGAGGGAAATGATAAGAAGGTGTTCTCTTTTGTGTACCGTAGTAGCCCGGTGGTGCAAGGCAATCAGGATGGGAAGAGTGAGTTTCAGCGTGTGGCTTCGATGCAAGGGGCAAGCTGGAGTGAAGGCCACTCGGGCTGCAGCTCTCGGAGTCCAATAGTAGGGATGGATAGAAACCTATACAAGAAGCTGACGGCCTGATTAGGTGGGAGCGTCATTGCAGAAACCTGACTGGTGTGGGCAGCTGGCAACCGAACGTTTCTGGCAAATGCAATGGCCTTGTGACGCACTGCACAACTGCAGGCCACACCTGCTTGTGATCGTGTACAGTGAGTGCCATGTAGCTCACTTGCTCTTTCCTTTCTTCTCACTTCTTCTTCACCTCTTCACTCCCTCGTCTAGTCACCTTCTCAGTTGCCCCTAAAGCCTCTGGGGCGCCACGCCTGCGGTCCCTCTTTCCTCACTGACTTCCCACCTTCCCTCCTTCCTTGTCTTACCTTGCGGGAACGTTACTCAGTGCATCCACATCACCTTCGTTGCCTCCCGCCCCACGGCGGTGCGAATGAGTTACTCAACTTCCTCCGCACTCGCAGGGGATTTCGTTGGCAATACCTTGTGGTTACAGTACGAGAAAGGAACAGTTCGGAGTGTTTCCTTCCTGGGTTTCTCGTGAGCACCCAGGTTGAATTCATGTTTCCTCACCGTGCACACGTACCTACACAAGCACGTACGCAAGGCCTCGCCTCACTTCGCCTCGCCTCACCTCACCTCACCTGCTTCTTCCTCGCTTCCTCGCCTTTCTTTCTTTGCTCGATTCACACCAGTCACTACCACCGCCGCCACATAATCATCTCAGGATTTGATGAGTTTCTTCCTTATCTTTCCCTATCCCCCTCTCCCTCTCCTTGATCTCCTTCTCGTCGGTCGCCACGATGCACGTCGACGTCGTCCCACGCCGTGACGACACCGCTTGTGACGACAAGCAGTATTTCTGGGTGTGCCATTCCGGGAAATTTAGAGGATGCTGCACCGAAGATCCATGCGGCCTAGGATACTGCCTCGACGACGACAGGGAGAAGTGGTTGAGCACGAAGCGTGCCGCCAGCGCCAGTTCCGCCAAGTCCAGGACAGCGTCTTCCACTCTCACGTCTTCTAACGATGACGATGAAGGCTCGACTACTGAGACGGAAACCAAGACTGAAACGGAAGAACGGCCAACAAAAACCATGACGGACTCGGGCACCACCCACACGATTCCTAACAATGACCGCGTCACTGTCACCAAGCACACCCTCATCGTTACCGACAAAGCCCCTTCTCGAACTCCCACGCCCACTGTTCCCTCATCCTCTGTACTGGACTCGACGGGAGTGCCCTCGTCTGGGGCCACCAGTGTCGTCCCTTCTGAGACAGCCTCAGCCATTGGCGGTTCTCTCGAAAACAGCGCCGGCAGCTCGTTCTCCACGGGGGCCATTGCCGGAGCCGCCATCGGCGGGTTCATCGCGTTGGCCATCATCGCCATCCTTGCAGTTGTGTTCCACCGGCGCCGAAGACATGCACGACGATACTCCCAGGATAGCATGAACAATATTGCAGAAAACGGTTCTGGCGAGAAGGCCTACTTCGAAGCCATGTCGCCTCATACCACGGGCACCCAGGGTAGTAGCGATCCATTTGCCCCTTTTGGAGGTGCGAATCACTCACCCCTAACCTTCCAACACCTGCTAATGTTCTCCCAGGTCGAGCTGACAAGGCAGACGATGCCCACCAGCCGCCAAGCCATACCTTTGAGATGGATGGGACCAGCAGCGCACCAGTTGAACTGCCTGCTGAGATCCATGGTGCGGCTGATTCACGCTTCCAATCGGCAACACACTCGTTAGACACGACCATTCGAAAGCACCGCGTTCAGCCGAGTGGCCCTACTGACCCTCGTGCCAATCTCAATGCTTCAACAGCGGACCGTCGTCACAACACTTACGTCAATCATTGGAACCAGTACCGCGGTCTGGGGCCAGAACGCTAGGCAGATTCGATACCAAGGGGGTTTGATTTTGATGAGCATTTTCTGGAGCTGCGCATAGATTAATACCCTGTTTAAGTGTACGGCCCGGCTTGATATCATGGAAACGGTTTGAAGTTGGAAGAGGCTTCGATGTGGCAATGGCACGGATCTAGTCCGCCGGCAAAAAGGGTCTCGACCTATATAAGAAACTAACAATTTCATTTCGTCTTTCGTCATGAGATCAATAGTACAGGAGATTGCCTTTCTTTCCAAGTACGGGGTGATTGTTCTCTCACGTACTCGCGTGTTTGTGTTGTGGTTGTGTCTGTGTCTGTAGAGCCCTACCTGCCATACGCCTGAAATGCAAAAAGTTGGCCCGAGGGGCGTGGAACCGTCTTATCCCATCCTTTTTAAAGTCTTTATCCCCTTAAGTAAATAATTCAACACGCTGTGGAATATCAAGTGGTGTTTTCGTTGTTTCCGTTTCCGGTTGTGAATTGCGACTGGATTACCGGTTTTGCAGCTTGGAAATCTCATCGAGCAGGTCCTGGAGGTCCTCGTCCTTGATCTTGTCGGCCAGCGACGGGATCAGCGTCTTAGCCTCGTCGGCATTCTCGCAGCATAGAGAACCTATGTATGGGTTAGCCTATTCAGGGGTCCGACAAACGAGTTGGAATCGCTTCGCACCGAGTTGTGCACGCTCAAACTTGGCCAGGTCCTTATGCGCACTGAGCAGGCGTTCGACGGCCTCGACGTTCTCCTTCTGAGTGAATCGGGCGAAATGGTCCAGGTAGTTAAGCGTCTGGTTCAGCATTCTACAGCGAGGAACATTCTCACGGTCAGCGATTGACAAATGGAGCAGGGCGCGAGGCCAGGGCGAGGAGGAGACGAGGTGGAGCGTACTCGGTCTCGTTCACATTCTTGCGGTCGTTTCGACGCTTGGCGACGAGGGCGTTGAGGACGAGGGAGGCTTCGGAGAGGGTCAAGGTGTCGACGTTCTGGAACTCGCCGAGATTGAGGTTGGCCGAGGCCTCTTCGTTGCCGGGCGGCGGCGGCTTGGGGCGAGAGGTGCGCGGGTGAGTAGGCATGTTTTTTTGAGCAACGGACGGCCACGTGAAGAGGATGCGATTTGTGCGGATTGAACGATGTCGGGACCGGAAGACGTGTCGCAGCGAGAGAATGGAAACGCGACGGGCAGACGGGCGGTGACGCGGGGGGTGATGCGCGGCGCGAAGGTGTAGATGCAGATCTAATCTAGATGGAGGCGTAGAAACAAAGAAGCGTTGCAGTGGGCGCCGGGCGGAATGAGGCTGAAGAGGTTGTGAGAGGTTGGCTGTCGAAGCTACCTATCGTAAGTGCCGACCCCTGCCTGATGCAATTTAGTGGGGCGCCGCTTGCTGCCAAAGCGAGATGCCCTTTGGCTGGCCTGGCACAATGGAGTCGCGTGGCGGCTTGAAGCAGCAGCTCATCCACCGAACGCAGCGCAAAAAGGGACGAGCAACCGACAAAGATTATGACCAGCCCGGTTGGAAGTAAATAATAAATCATCGCCCGGACCAACTTCTTGCTCTATTTCAGAAGCCACAGGTAAGTGACCCTCCAGGTTCCCCCACCTTTTAATCAATGCGCGGACAGCTGGCTGACCGTTGCGCCTCTACGGACCTCAGGGTAGTTGATGGTTCTCTCATCGATGGACCGGTGAGCCTCAAGGGCCAAGTGGAACCTGATATTGGAGCGTTGATGAGCCATCCGCCACACCCGACACCATGTAAGAATGCTCAATGCCGTCGCATGGCTCTCTGACCGTCTCGCTCTGACCTTGTGGCTCCCCCTCCCCTCCATAGGACTGTCTTTGCCCTCATCATCATCAACAAGGCCGGTGGCTTGATCTACAACAAGAACTTCCACGACGGCCTCAACCAGATCAGTACAAACGACTACCTCGTCCTTGCCGGAACCTTCCATGGGTAACTCCTCCCGCCCTCCCCCTTTTTCCCTCGGTGCCGAAGAAGCTCACGCTCCCTCCTCAGCGTCCACGCCATCACGGCACGCCTCAACCCCGTCAAGCCCGCGCCTGGCTCCACGCCCAGCGGGAGCAGACCGGAGCCGCCGTCGGGGCTCGAGGTCCTGGAGACGGAGAACTTCCGCATGCAGTGCTACACCACCTTGACGGGCACCAAATTCCTCATCTTCACCGACACCACGCAGGCCAATGTCGACGTCACCATCCGCCGCATCTACGACCTGTACTCTGATTACGTCATGAAGAACCCCTTTTACTCCCTGGAGATGCCCGTCCGGTGTGACATTTTTGACCGGAAAATGTTGTCGTACATTAGGGAGATCAACAATCGATAGATGGGCCCGATGCTGGCCATGGACGGCCGCGTGGGCGGGGGATACTAGCGGGGGAGCGAATGGTGGGCTACAGTATAGAGACGCTCATCTAGAGTGTCATGGCACGAGGATATACGCAGCTGGTAATGACTTTGATCTTGTTTCGTCTAAAACCCCTGACCTGTGTCTATTGTACAATTGCTGAGGAGGCGACGGAGTGTGCTCATGCATCGGGCACCGACTATGACGTGTCCATCTTGTCGCCCTTATCTTGACTCTTCTTGTCACCCGAACCGCTTCCACCCGACTCATCCTCCTCCTTGACGCCCTCGAGTGAGGCCTTCTTAGCAGCCTCCTCCTCCTCGCGCGCCGCCTTCTCCTGTCTGGCCTTCTCCTCCTCCATGCTCATGCGCAGAGCAAGGGCCAGCTCCGGCTCCATGGCGGGATCGAATCCAAACTCAAACTCCTCGTTGCTGCCACCTGCGCCGCCGGCCCCGCTGCCGGCAGAGGCGTTCTCGCCGAGGAGGATGGGGGTAGCAATCAGCTGGTCGCTGAGGAGCTTGCTGCTGGGGGGGATGACCACCAGGTGGCAGCCCTCGTTCGTCTTGACAGTATCGATGAAGAGTTGGAGCTTCTTCTGGGTGGTATCATCATCAAGGTCGCCGAACAGGATGAAGTCGACGGCGACGTTGGCCTTCTTCATCTTCTTGGCCAGTGTCGTGAGCTCCTTCTCGGACTCCTCCACGGGCGAGCAAACGAACACGATTATTCGTTGGCGTTGCGATCGGTTCTGTCGGTGCTTCAATGCGAGCTTTGGGGACCAGTCAGCTAGGGGACGGGGATAATGCGAGAAGGTAGGAGATGGCACATACAGTAGCTACTTGAATACCAGTCTTCAGGTGGGAGGAGCCTCCAATCTTCTTCTTAGTTCGGTGCAGGCCCTCGAGAATCTTGCCCTGTTCGGTGGTGAGGGTGACGAGGACCTCGGGGCCCTTGCCGCCCATGCTCATCAGACCCACAGAAGACTCCGGGTTGCCTTGTGTGATGGTCTGGAACAGGATGCCGACAGCATCTACTTGTGAGTCGAATCGGGTTGGTTGGTAGTCGCCATTCCTGCTGCTCTCACTGTTGTCCACGACAACCATAACCGCCTCGAGAACCATCGTGCCGGATTTCTGATGCTGAGTCCCTGTAAAGATGGATGTGTCGAGTCTGTGGGTGCTGGATGTAGGGATCGGATATCGGAGGGGTGAGTTGCGAGTGCTGGTGTTGAGCTTGGCCGGAGGTGAGAAGGCTGGAACCGGCGAAGCGACGAAGCTCCCCAAGTGTCGTAAGGCAGTTCAGCCTGGCAGAAGTCCAAGCTTAGCTAAAGGTGTACAGGTACCCTGTTAGTCTCGCATATTCGCTGTCAGAATGGGTACTAGGTACATCCAGGGCGGCAGAGCCTGTGCACCTTGAATTCAGGGAAGCTGTGATTACCTAAGAGCAACTCCTCCACACCGCCCCGTTTGTTTACTTAGATCTACGCTCCACCACTTGCGGCGCGCCTGGGGTAATCTTCATATTTGACACAGCCTTTCGTGTTGAACATATCTCTTTCACAAACGACGCACCCCTCAAAAATCGACGTGCCCCTCAAATCAACGCGCCCAGCACCCAACATGGCCCCCGTACGAACAAAGCAGCGAGTATCAGACGCGATGGCGGATCAAAGAGTTCCCATACGGCCCAGCCCAACAACACCTCACCACCGAAGCCCAATCAAGAAGCGACAGGGAGGAATCAGTCTACACCAGAAGCAGGCTCTCATCGACAACCTCCAACTAGAAAGTACGAGAGTTTCTCCAGATGTGGAGGCGCGATGTGATGTTGACAATTCTCCCAGTCACCGAACGCGCTCGAAGACTACGAGCCCAGTACAACCTCCAGGCGCAAGGCCTCCGAGCGCGTGTCGAAATTCGAATTAACCGAATTCCCGTGTCCTTGCGAAAGATCAAGATGGGTGATCTCCTACTCAAGCACCTGGAGCAAGAGGAGAAGCGGTCAACAAGAGCAGCAGTTCCTGCCAAGGTTATTTCTGCGCGATCCCCCCAGAAGCCGGCGCAGACCAGCACTCTCGCTGTGAAACCCGCCGGACGCGCTCAAAAGCGCATGAGGTCAGTGCAATAACAAGCGACGCGATATCCTCTTATTGACATTTTATATTAGCGACGCGATCTCTGGAGACAAGGAGAATGACTTGGTCGAGAACGCCAAGAAGCGGATTCGTGTCAGGCCAGGTGCAGACGTTCGCCCAGCACAGATTTTGTCACCAACCTCCTCCAATTCGCGTCTGAACCGACCCCGACCTGCATCCCCTGTCAAGTCTGCCATCGCACGCCCCGCTTCACCGCTAAAGAACTCTGGGCCGACGCGCACCACCGCGACAAGTGTCTTGTCCAGCATGGTGGAGAAGGCCAAAGCGACCCGGGCTGGAGCGGCACGGAAGGTGACGGCGACTTCAAACGCGAGCTCAAGTTCTAGTGGTACGACCGCTGCCACGCGAACTAGGCGGGCGGCTGCTCCTGCAGCATCTCGAGCCCCTCCATCCCGGCCTGCTACAAGAAACGCTCGCAGAGTTAGTGACAACAGCGAGACCAGCGAGGGCAGCACTGGGACAGTAGTGAAGCGGGGGGCTGCGGCCAAGCCGGCACCCGCAACGAAGAGAGGAATGATGAGCTCCATCAGGAAGGGGGTGACAGGGGGTGCGAAGAAGGCGGCTAGCAAAGCTGCCGCACCAGCTGCCGCTCCAACAACAGGTACGGGGCGAGTGCTACGGAAACGAGGTTGAAGCTCGGTCTCTGAAGAGCATTTGTGTTTTTTCTCATGAACGGCGTTACTGGGATAGGACGACTAGGAAAGAGTCTGGCTAGTTCAATTGGCAGGGGACATGTAACGGGAACAGGAGGTGACGGGAACAGGAGTATATGAGCATTTAAACGTCGAGTCAAGACCTAATAATGATGAATGCGTTATCTGCGATTGTCTATGGTGGGGGTGCCGCCTTCTTCTTCTTCTTGTCCTCGACAAGCTCAATGTGATCCTCAGGTATCTCCTTGTACTTTTCAACCAAAAACTCCTCGATCTCGGGGCTGACATCGCCCTGCACCACAATCTCCTCTCCTCCGCTGGGAAGCTTGGTCACCGAGGATCCAGTCGCAAATTTCTTGCCGAGATCCTTGGCCACCTGGGGGATGAGTTAGCAAGTGCCGCTCTCGGGACACAACCTGTCTTGCGGCTTTAAGTGGCCTACCTTCTTCAACTCCAGCCCGAAAAGCTCGAGGCCTATCACGGCCGTGACGTATTTCTTCTTGTTTCGCTCGATCCGCTTGATGGTGATCATGCTCTTGGCAAGCTTTTCAACCTGCTTGGCCTCGGCGGCCTCAGCCTTTGCCGTCTTCTTCTGGGCGTCCTTTGCGGCTCGCTTCTGGGCTTCGACGGAGAGTGACGCGGTGGCAGCCTCTAGGGCCTCTGGGATGGGCGTTAATGGATGTTCAATCCCGGGTAGTGTGTCTGGAAAGACCAGGGGGGTTTTCGCACCTGCGGACCAAATCCGTTCGTACATGACGGGTTCGTTCTTCTCTAGCCATTCCTGGCACTTTCTGACGGTGCCACCATACTCGCAGTACTACTTGGCCATCGTTAAGCTTCGGGGGTCGGATTCGCGGGGGGGGATGTCATATGGGAGGGGGGAGCGAACCTCGGGGGGCAAAGTGCAAACTGGTCAGGGTCAGAATTAATTCAGATTTTCATCGGAGCGAGCAGACGGGACAACTGCTGGAGAAAAAGAAGACATACCGCCGCAGTATACTACATGTCGGGCCTGGGGCTCGCCCTCGGGCTGTTCTGTGTCTGCCATGGCGTGTATGTGCAGACGTGGTGTAGGGGAAGCTCTTGGATGGCGAGACGCGTGCCAGATACGATAACTCAACCCATGGCGGGGTAAAATTCATGGAGGGGCTTGCAGCGCTGCCAGCCCAGCGAGCACCGGCAGGGAGCGGAGCGGGTGGCGGGGCCGTTCGGGCCTGAGGCAGGTTCCCGTTTCTGTCTGAGGCACCGAGATCTGACCCCAACTCTCCAACTCCCCGAGTCTCCTCCCAACCTCTTCTGGACGGCGTCCCGAGTTATTAGCTAACTTCACTAACCGCCGCCAACCCTCAATGGACGACACTGCAAAGCAACGCCAGAAAGGGCCCCGAACACAATAGTGACACTGCAGACTGGGGCGCATCTGCATAAATGCACTTACCCGCCCGTTTCCTCGAGGAACTATTGATTCCGGCTCCGGTCTGATGGCACCTGGCGAAAGTTGTGTTTCCGGGTCAGCGCTTGCAGCCTTCACACGTCGATCGATGTGGCCGCCATAACTGGCGCGTCAATCTCTGGGAGCCATTTCCACCACCAGTTCTCGCCCCCACTCACGCCGCCCAAACGCTCATGACATTCGAGACGTCGGCGAGCCGGCCACCTCTAGGGCGGGCTTGTTGCATGATTTGTATCAATCCACCGTTCTCGTCGTCCTGTCGTCCTGTCTAGTCATGCGCCCTAGCATCGGTATCACAAGCCCGCAGCCTCCTCGAGAAACGGGGATATGCGAGGCCAAGCAGCAGTTAGCCGCCGGGAGAAGGCCAACTCCACGATTGGCCAGACCCCTGCCATATGAGCTCAATCATAGGCCACCAATGTCACAGTTTCGCGCGCGCCAGCCAGTCGTCATCCTGCCCGGCCCAGCTACTCCATCGCACCGCTGTCACCCAAATATAGAAGCACGAGCTGCATGGCAATTGTTTCGTTCATTGGATGAAGCCGCCAACTAGTCGCTTGATAGTGGACGCGGCCAGGACGGCTATGCAGGCCACCATCCCACTTTCATCCATCTTCACGCACTCTCACGCACCTTCACGCGGCGCGGGCTGTGAGTTGGGCGCCGCCGGCATTGCCCAGCACCATGCACTCGCCGCCCTGCTCACCAGTCAGCTCCTTTTGGAGGCGCTGATGATGTCTTCGCCAACCTCCGCTCGCTCCATGCGGTAAGACAGTTCAGGTCCGTCGCTGCATCGACCCACCGAGATGCGCTTGTGGGAGCGCATGGTTCTTGACATGGCTTGTAGGTGCCACTTTTGCGACTGCAGTTGCTTGCCGCCCACCGCATACCCGCTCCTGGCTTCTCGCCCCGGCCTCTTTAAGACTTTGCCAGCCCCCAACCGGAAGCCTGGCATCTTGCTCCGCATTCACTTCTTCCATCTCCAGCTGTCGCGCTGTGTCATTGCAAATCTATAATAGAGCTTTCGTTGATCGAAGCATCCTGTCGTTTATACGTACTAATACCCAGACGCCGGTCGTCGATACATACATTACCCTTACCACTAATACCCATTCACCACCAGTGTTGCGTCGTGCCAACCGGCTACAGTCAGATATTCAGGAATATCTGATCTTCGCAACATGGCTGATGCACTTCACGTACCTAGACACCAATCCCCGGAGTCTTCGCAGGCTCGAAGACAACGGCGGAACCTTAATCCAATAATCGAAGAGGAGAGCGACGGTAGTCTGGTTCAAAACACCAAGGACCGAAGCAGGCGTGCGGAGTTGACGATCGAGGCCTGGCTGTCTCCGATGAGCGATCATTTTCCAACCCCCAGAGGAATTCACTACCTCTCCGCCCCAGTCCTCCCCTCGTCGCCCTCCGCCGACTCCACCGACACTTCACCAACGGCTTCCGCCAACCCTTGGAACCGTGCCAGCGTCGCCACCGCGGTCACCGAGTTCGAAGATCTCTACGATGTGTCGGAGGACGAGGATGCTTTGGCCAAGATGCCTAAGCGCATGTCATCTGTCAGGTCGAGGCAGGCCTCGGCCAAGCAGCCCACTCCCTTGGTCATACCCGCGAGCCGCGAGAACTCCACAGACTCATGGTCCGCGGTTGAGGGACTGAAGAAGTTGTCTTCTCCAGTGCCGCTTACTCCGTCTGTTCAGTTTCCCATGTCTCCGGCTCAGTTGGAGTTCATGGACATGCAACAAGCCATGGAGATCCCAACCATCTCGGCTCCTCCCTCACTCGATGGCAGCTTGACTTCCGAGCAACTCGCGGCCATGAGTGCCCCGCCAACCCCGATCATTGGGAATGACGAGGTCACCACCGAGGAGGCTTGGACAGGCGTGCAGCTTCAGCCTGGTGCTCTAGCTACGCTCCAAGCCTTGTCGCATGGCGACGAAGACCCTCACGAGCAACCGTCTCAGGTCCTTGAAGTGCCTCAGCTGCTCGCACCACCGCAGCCTGTTCCCGAGATGCGACACAACAATACGCGACTCGTCGGGATCCTCAAGCCGATCATCACTCAGGGCACGACCTTTGCCCCAAACCCGCACCGTCAATCGCTCGCTCATTTGACAAAGCTCGACATTCCGTCACCGGGAGGTTTCTTCTCTGGCCTCTCTCCCCGGACTCGAAACACCTGGCATATGCCTTCCAAGTCCCCTGAGGATCTGCCCCCTCCCACCTCGACGACTGCTGAGCACTTCTACAGGTGCCCCTGGAACGCAGGAACCAGTTCCCCGCTCCCGCCTGTCCCCAAGCGCAAGGAGATCGCGGAAGATTTCTACAGGAATGTCAAGTTCACACCCGCTGCCACAGAGCCCCAAGTCGTTGAGCACGTTCTCGAATTGCACGATGATGATTTCTCTGACGATATGCCCACTGCCCGCCCCGTCATTGAGCACAGAAACACCGACTCGTCCACCGAGACCCTCAAGGCCCCTCAGTCTCCGGATGACGAGGACGTCCCGACCGAGATTGTTGTTGACTACGACCCTAACTATGCTCGAAAGCAGCAAGTGGAGGCACTCGGGAACCTTGATCGCACTGAACTGTGGCTCGTGGCTCAGCGATCATACCTCCGACCCATTGACGACGATACTTCCGAAGATGATGGCGCTTTAGACACCATCGCCGAAGTCTCCGAGGACGAGGAGACGAAAGGAGTCAAGGCTGAGCCCCAAACTGAGCCCCAGCCTGAGCAAGCTCTTGTTCGAAAGAAGACGGTCCGCTTCTCCAACCTAGTCTCCGCTTCTGTCCAGCCAAAGCGTCTTCCGTCGATGCTTTTGCGCCAGGAGTCGGCCTACTACCGTGCTTTCCAGGACTACATCATCAGGACTCAGCGCCAGGATGTGTTTGTTCACCAGCTCGCCCGTTTTGAAGCCCTCCAGGGGCAACGGGTTTCGCTTCGAGAATCCCACCGTAACCAGCTCCTCGGCAAGTACCAGCTCAGCGTCGTTCCCCAATCTGCCAAGAAGCGACTCAGCTCCAACGTCGCCCGTGGCGATGACAACTTGACCGACGACCCTGAGAAGCTGCGTCGGGAGAAGGAGGTCGAAGCCATGAACCAGATGACTGTCTCTACCTGGCATGTCGCCGCCATCAAGATGCTCAACGGTGGCCGTCTAATTTCCGCCCCGGTCACCAAGCGTCTTGCCCGCCTCTCACGCATGGCTCCAGGTAAGGACGGCGTGACCCGCGACCGCGCGAGGATCCTTGATCTTGGTGGACAGTCCGCTTGCGACTGGGCATGGCACTGTGCCCTCCAGTTCCCCAACACCAAGATCTACACTGTCACCACCAAGGCTATCCGCCAGCTCTCCAACGCCAACATCCGAGGCCCTCCCAACCACCGCCAGGTAGCTGTTGAGCGATTGACTCGCCTCCCGTTTGCGAACAACCAGTTCGATCTCATCTCGGCCAGGGAGCTCCATAGCATCCTCAAGTTGTTTGGCGAGAACGGCGAGGACGAGTGGGACGGCTGCCTTAAGGAGTGCATTCGCGTGCTGAAGCCTGGTGGCTATCTCGAGTTTTCTCTTCTCGATTCTGACATCATCAACGCAGGCCCCATCGGCCTTGCCAAGAGCGTGGAGTTTGGCTTCTCCCTCAAGACCCTCGGCTATGACCCCAACCCGACCAAGCTGTGGCTGGGCCGTCTGGCTAAAACTGGCTTCCAGGATGTCCGACGTGCCTGGATGTGCTTGCCAATGGGTGCGAAGCGAAACATTCATAAGCCCCCCACCCCACCCCTGAAGGATAGCCCCAATGGCCAAGACGTCAAGACCTGCCGGCTCAGTGCCATTGTGATGGGGAGCAGCGACGATGTCGCGAGCGTGAGCAGCATTGTGGGTGGATGGAGTTGGGAGCGGTGGCTCCTTCGATGTGAGATGGAGAAGGTTTCGGGCGAGCTTCGACTTGCCGACACGGTGACTGCCGGTACTGCCATGGAAGAAGCTGGAAAGTGCCTCGATGGCGTCCCCGCTGTGATTGAGGAGGGCCGAAACTGCAAGGCCGGATTCAGGATGCTGAACGGCTTCGCCAGAAAGCCCAAGGCCGGTACCGAGGTTATTCAGATTGCTCTAGGTAACTAATCGGAAAGCGGAGTTTGACACTCCTGGGGGATCTCTTTTGTTCATTGGCACATTCTCGACATAATACGCAGAGATGATTGATGGTTGTTTTTGGGGGACATAGTATGAGTGGTGAATGGGATCATGAGTGGGCAATGTCCTTTACGTTGATGGAGGCTTAGCTCTCATTTTTGTGCTCATTCCGGGTAGATACCCTTTGGCTGGCGAACGGGGTTTGGATATCATGTCATGTACTTGGAAAATGTTAGGAATAGTGAGGAGCATGGGATGTTCTTGGTATAAGGACATCAATACACATATAGCTGTAAGAAACGAGGATGGAGACGACAATGCAGACAACTGTTTATTACTACGACTCAATGAAGAATTAAAAGAAAAGAGATTCAACACCACAAATAGCGATAATACACACAGAGCAGTGTTAGATCATTTCATGCTGTCTGACAAACATATTCTATAGAACAGAAATGACGTTGCTGGGGTAGGTTGTAGGGTAGGCCCTTCGGCACTTTTTGGTGGAGTGTGAGAGCACGGGGGTGGGTCACGACACGGGAACCGCCGACGATGGAAAAACGGGACCCATCAACGAGAGCTTCATCGAGCAGCTCCAACGCCACCACTCATCACTTCGACGAGCCCACGACCGCCAAACCCGCCACTCCCGACATCTCGACTCGATCCCAGGTCGCGACCGTCCACCAAATCACTCAGGATGTCGCAGAACAACTGGCAGGACGAGGCCATGCGCCGCCTTCGCCAGATGCAGCAGACGAGCGGCCGAGGTGGCGGCCCCAAGATGCCCCGAGCAGCTGGCGGTGCCCTCGCCGGCGGCATTCTGCTGGCCGGCGGTGCGATGCTGCTGTCCAACTCGCTCTTCAACGTTGACGGTGGTCAGCGCGCCATCAAGTACCAGAGGCTCAGCGGCGTGAGCAAGGAGATCTACAACGAAGGTGAGGAGGCGCCCTCGGAGGAGCCGGGACTCCGCGTCGCCGTGGCATTCGAGCTGACGGGCGGTTTCTAGGAACGCACATCAACATCCCCTGGTTCGAGACCCCGATCGTGTACGACGTGCGAGCGAAGCCGCGCAATGTGGCCTCGCTGACTGGCACCAAGGATCTGCAGATGGTTAACATTACCTGCCGTGTGCTCTCCCGGCCCCGGATTGAGGCTCTGCCCCAGATCTACCGCACCCTGGGTGTGGACTACGACGAGCGAGTGCTGCCCTCGATTGTGAATGAGGTGTTGAAGAGCGTCGTTGCCCAGTTCAACGCCAGCCAGTTGATCACCCAGCGAGAGATGGTCGCCAAGCTGGTGCGAGAGAACCTCTCTCGACGAGCTGCCCGATTCAACATTCTCCTTGACGATGTCTCTCTGACTGTATGAAATGCCGCTATTGCAAACTATTCCCCCGAACCATCCGGCTGACACATGGCAATAGCACCTCGCCTTCTCCCCCGAATTCACCGCCGCCGTCGAAGCCAAGCAAGTCGCCCAACAGGAGGCCCAGCGCGCTGCCTTCATCGTGGACAAGGCCCGACAGGAGAAGCAGGCCATGGTTGTCAAGGCACAGGGTGAGGCCCGCTCCGCCGAGCTGATTGGTGAGGCCATCAAGAAGAACAAGGCGTACGTGGAGCTCAAGAAGATTGAGAACGCCCGGCTCATCGCCCAGCAAATGCAAGAGTCTGGGTCCAAGAACCGGCTGCTGCTGGACTCTGAGGGCCTGGGGCTCAACGTTTTTGAGATGCCCGAGAAGAACAACTAAGCGGGGTGGCAGTGATGAAATGGAGGGGAAGAGGAACAGGGATAAGGAAATGGGAGTCCCGGGGTTTGCTACGAATCTCCACTGTATGTTTACCGCGAGGATGGAATGTATTATAGGAATACCAGGCAGCAAAGACTACCTAATCCAACCTTTTTATGAAATGCCTTGAGTTGTGAGGATGGCTGAGCAGTTGGGAGTGAGTTTTGCAAGTATGTGTTTCGTGAAGAAGCCCAACGCCTGCTTCCAGAGGAGAGCCACCGTTGCGAGGAACATGAGCAAACGGAGGCAGGCGCTTGTTCTAAAGGAAATAAACCAACCCTTATTTCGGTAAACTGAAATATATCTTGTTTGTGCCCTCCAACAGTCTGCCAACCGAGTCCTTGGTCATCACGTTATACCCAAGGTAGGAGGTACTGCATCCTAGCTCCGTCCCGCTTCCGTCCGCCGCCCCTCCTCCACCAACCAACCCCACCATCAATCAGTCAGCCCAACCCACCATCGCTGCCTCCTCGCATCAGCCTTGCGCACCCGCATCTTGCACTTGTACGACTCTCTGACGCCTCCAACTGCAAACTCCACGCTCGAGGAAGACCTCCACATTACCAGAATCGATCTCAAGCTGCCACACCCGCAGCCACAACCGACGCCATGTTGATCAAGTGCGTGAACCTATCGCCGCCGCCGCCGCCCTAGACGGCCAGCCCGAACACGCGGCGGAACGGACGAGCTAACAGCTGCCTTGCAGGGTCCGAACGCTGACCGGCAAGGAGATTGAGCTCGACATCGAGATGGACTACAAGGTATTTCGCGAATCGTCGCACTTGTCCGTCAAGCTGGCCGTGTTGGATTAACCGCCATCGCAGGTCTCGCAGATCAAGGAAAAGGTCGAGGAGAAGGAAGGCATTCCCCCCGTTCAGCAGCGTCTGATCCACGGCGGCAAGCAAATGTACGGCCAGCTCCCTATCCTCCCTTCCCACAACCCCTTCACGTATATCTCGCCATGCGGACAACTGGAGCTGACTGAACAACCCGCCACAGGACCGATGACAAGACCGCTGCCGAGTACAACCTCGTCGCCGGTGACACCCTGCATCTCGTCCTCGCTCTTAGAGGGGGACGATCCATGGCCTACTGAAGGAGTACCGGGTTCAAAGCTCGGTGGTCGAACCCCGACGGATTGAGATATGAAGACAACGAGATGGTGGACGGGGACGAATCGCGAAGGCTGCATTTTCGGGCGTTGGGCGGGACGACATTCACGATATTTGCGCACGCATAACGAAAGCTGTGTCTCAGACTCATGCAGAGATGATCGATAGTTTTGCCATGGTAAAACGGGACCGCCACTGTATTGCTCTTCGTGTGATGATGCCTCGGTCGTTCATATGGAATGATGATACCCCAAGACTCGCTTGAACAAGTTGGTCATGATGCAACTTCCAGTATTTTGCACTCAAGCTCGCAGCTATCTATAAAAATCTAGATGTGTCTCTGCACTACCGGCTACAAGTCCAGTCATCCGTACACAAAATATCACCAATATGCAAATTTCTCCCGTTCCCATGCCCATATCCATATCCAGACCGCTGTCCGCCACACATATATATGTCTCCCCAGGCTAGTTTCCAGATGCTTGTTATCCACTTCCCAAAGCTATGATATTCTTCCAACGTAGTCGCCTAAAACTCGCGAGACCAGAAAAACGCCTGCTGACAGCTACCCAAGATCCAGACGCAATGTCAAATACGCCTCCATATTCAGGCTTCAAGCTCTCTTCTTACGTTTCATAAAGATATCCACGGCCTTCCTCTTGCGTGGTGCTGTGATGTCCGGGATGGGTGGTGGTGAGGATGGTCCTGAGTCCATTGCTGGAGGCGGGGAAGCTTGCGCGCGAGGCAGGCGCTGAGTTGGCCTGGGAGGCTCAGATGATGGCGCGGGCCTCGAAGGTGCAGCGGTGCTTGATGATGATGCAGTTTGTGTCTTGGCTGCGGAGGACTTGTAATTGTTTGATAGGATCCCTGGACGCTTAGTGGTGGTCCTCGGTGCGGAACTCGTCGAAGAGGATGTGTAACTCTTAGTGGGGGACGCGCTCGACGACTGTCCTGTTGGTCTCTTTTTGAGAAGTGATGTGGCGGATGCCTTTGCAAAGGACTTTGTGGGCGGAGCCCGAGCTGGAGGTGGTTCATCATCATCGAATAGCTCGTCATTGTCGTCATCATCCTCAGAGTCCGAGATGAAGGTTGCTCGCTCTTCGTGCTCCATGACGGCAGAAGATGGCTCGGAAACCTTAGGGATTGGCCGGTAGACGGGTTGAGCGGCCCTTCGGTAGTCGTTGACCATGGCCGCAGGGGCTTTGCTCGGCCGTGTCAGGGCTGCCGTACCTCGAACCGGCCTGGAGAGCGCTCCGTGGATACTGGCAATCTCCTTGGTCTCGCGTCGCACCTTTCTCATGACACTGGCACCGTTGGCGGTCTTGGTACGACTACCTCTGGCAAATGCGAGAGTACTGGTGGTTGTGTCCCGTGGACCCCAACCTCGCTTGGGACCGACTCGAGGTAGGAGCCTCCTATCGAGCCTCCTATCGATGATTGTGCTCGTGTTCTTCTCCTTATTCTGCCTGAGACCGGCCAGGGTACTCATGAGCTTCGCCTCGCTCTCCTGGAGGGCTTGGTCGTGGTCCTTCTTGTACTTCTCCCATACGCGGTACCACTTCTTGGGGTTCTGGGGCTTGTATGCCTTGGCCTTGTATTCCATAGGAAACTCGCGCTCGATGATCTTGAGCCAAATCTCGCCGGTCTCTCCATCGACTTGGGGAGAGTTGAGCTCGATCTGGCGTAGCTGGTGTGCGTTGTTGACCTTGAGGAGGATGTGGCGCACATTTTCGTAAGGGAGGTAGTCGCCAACGCTCTCGAGTTCGCGGATGTTCTTGATGCACGCCGCGGTGGCGAGTTCCATCAAAGACTTGACACCCATATCGGCGAGTTGAGTCGGGGGGACGACGGTGTGGATTGGATGTGGTTGTGAATCAGCGCGATGGATTCGGTGTCGCTATGTCGGCGTAATTGTAGCTTGGATGAGGATGACCAGGACTGGCGGGTTCATGGTCTCTGGACTAGGCGGTAGAGAGTTGAGAAGGGCGGGGAATAATATAGTAGCCGGGGAAGGAAAAGACCTGGATGCGGTTGACCATCCGGGCCCTAATGTCACAAGATCATTCTTGTCTGGTCGAGTCTCGTTGATCGTCGAGACTTGAGAGGTTGTAGGTTATTCGCGGCGCCGGGAAGACACAGGCGCTGGAGTTCAGGGTACGTACCGACCTGGATAAGCCGACCATTCCCCAACTGGGTAGTAAGATCTAAGCCACATTAGGGCTAGCGGTTAACTTACTCGCGTACAGTGCACCTTGGAGCTTGCTTGGCCCGTGCGCATCAACCTCTTGAACTGGCGCTCCAGCTCCCATTTCGTCACTGCAGCCTTAAAGACTTCCCTCAGGCCTTTGACATCGCGCCTCTTTGTCCATCGTCAATCCTCTCCCGCACACCCTCTCTCCCACGATCCCTCTGTCGCAAACGCACGGCCCGACCCTTTTCATCTCAGCGGACCCCAGAGAGCCTGGTCGCACACTCGCTACAGCTACCATCACAACCCACCATGGCCGACGCCGGATTCATCAAGCCCGACCCTGAGGCTACCGCCTCCCCCGCGAACGCCGAGGAGGATGACCTCTACGAAGATGCCGGAGACCTCGAATTCTTCGACAAGAACCTTCCGAACAGCCCCTTTGAGACTCTCTACCTCGCGCGCGTCCCCAAGTACATGTGGGACGCGTGGGTGAAGATGACGGAGCGACTGGGCGACGACGACGAGATTCAAATCGGAACACTGCGCACATGGAACGAGGCCAAGCCTGACGGTGCCACGGATGTAGGCAACAATGCCATTGCAGTCTCCCCAGCAACTGCGTTCTGACATGTTCATAGACCAAGTTGCGCATGCTGCTTCATCCTAACTGCCCAGAGCACCAACTTATCCCCCGCGAGTACGACCTCGAGGTCCTCGACGCAAACGTCAACAACCATTTCATCTTCAGTGAAGAGGACCTACCAGGGTTCAAGGCGCGCACCAAGGCGCGCCAGGACGCCTCCAACGCCGGAATCCCAGCCTCGATCCTGAGACAGAGAGCTGCTGCTGCTAGCGGCGCCGAGCGACCGACCTATGACCGGAGGAGTCGATACCAGCCATACTACCGCAAGGCGGTGCCAAGTTTGTCATCACCTTGCTGGCTGTTTGCCTCCATGCTAATTTGACATTACAGAACGAACCAAAGTGTTTGGCAAGATCCACTATGATGTCCGTGTGGAGCCCAGAGACGTCCAAGAGGAGGAGCGTCTCTTGGCGCAACGCCTGATGGATGCCGAGCAATCGAAGTCTAAGCTCCAAATCATCAGCCGCAACAAAGCATCCTCCATCATCAATCCTGGTACTGCTGGTGCAGTCAGCTGGGGAGGCAACTTCATCGTATGTTTCGCTTTACTCAGTCGCGTGCTCTCATGGCTCACATTTCTCTAGAAAAACACGGCTCCGATTGTCAAGCCCAAGAAGGGCGAGGTGTTCAAGGCCGCTCGTATCCCCAAGAACCAGCTTTTGGATCTTATTTTCGAGTGCTTCCGTCAGTTCCAGTACTGGTCTATGAAGGCGCTCCGACAGAAGCTGCACCAGCCCGACACGTATTTGCGTCAAGTCCTGGAAGAAGTTGCTGTTCTGAATAAGAGCGGCCGGTTCGCCAATCACTACTGCCTCAGCGACGCCTACCGGGACAAGGGTGGCTCGGAGTCTAAGGAAGCTGCGGCGGAGGCGGTTGATGATGGCGATGATGACGAGGGCGAGGAGATGGAGGACGTTTTGCCCACGCAGTAGTATCGTGGATAATGTTCGTTCACATGTCCCAGAATCGGCAAAACCCGACGGGAGTATTCTTGTTCCTTTACTGTTGGTGTTTGGGGGTTAAGGCATTAAGGCCAGGGTTTTTAGAGTATGATACCCTTTATTATTAGAGATTAGGACAGATGAGAAGCCAGCGCAGACTTGCCTCTCTATGGGCACCTGATCACCTGTCGTTAAATTAGGCTTGGCGTTTGAGTGAGAAGTGATGAGTGACAAGTGAAAAGTGAGACGACTCAAGGGAATTCGGCTTCTTGAAGCTCCACAATCGGCACTCTGTAGCATCCACATCAGGACCTACGTAATACAGCTTCTTCCCCGCACGCCATTAACCATGAAGCGGCTTTAGGACGGAATGGGTTGATCAGGTCACCAGGTGTCGACTATCTAGTGAACTGCGTCTTGGTGGCGGAACACCTCGGGACATTATTAAGTCTGACGCCAGTAACGTTTCCGGCGATCCCATTTTCCAACATCATTTACATATACAACAGCGTCCCTCTCTCAGAGACGAAGCCCTCATCCGCAACCATGCATCTCATATTCGATTTTGATGGAACAATTACCCAACAAGACACTGTTGGAGTACTCGCCAACTCGGCTATTGAGTATCAGAAGCGCCACCGTGGCGAAGATCTGCAGGCCGAATGGGATCAAGTGGTCCGGTCTTACATGGAAGATTACCAACGCTACAGCAGTGAGCACCCAATGCCGGCGGAGGAACGGAAATGCGTCGAGGAGGAAATACGTTTCCTATCAGGCATGAAGGATGTCGAAGAGGCGTCTCTACATCGGGTTGCGGCGTCACAAGTCTTTGCCGGTCTCGATGCCGAGAAGTTGAGGCGCGCTGGCGAGGAGGCTGTGAGGAGCGGCAAAGTCAAGATCCGAGAGGGCTTCGAGGACTTGATCAACCTTGCGGGAGAGAAGGAATGGGAGTTATGCGTCGTCTCGGTGAACTGGTCCCGCGCCTTCATCGAGGGCGTGCTCCTCCCGCACCAGATCCGCGTCATCGCCAACGAGCCGCACGCGGACGGATCGATCCTGGGACCCGAGTTCCTGGGCGGGCGGATGACGAACGGCCATGAGAAAAGGGAAGCCCTGGATCATGTCGTGACGGACAAGAAGAAGCGGGTGCTCTACTTCGGGGACTCGACGACGGACATGGAGTGTCTCCTGGAAGGCGGCATCGTCATATCGAATGACGAAGCCTCGTCGCTGATGCGCACTCTACGGAGAGTGGGCGAGCCAGTACCGCATGTTGGCGAGCGGGAGACTGCCTCAAACTTGATGTGGGCGCGAGACTTTCGGGAGGTGTTGGAGAGCGGTGTGTTGCATGAGTAGAGAGGGGGCTTTTGCAGCGTCTACGTGTTTCGAAGGATTTCTTCTGGCCCAAATGTTTGTGAACAATCGGATACTTGCCGATGAAGTCTTGGGGCTCTGTTGTGGTGTTCTTTGTTACTATGCATGATGTTCTGGTGAAAGGGGCTTCTTCCCGTCGCTTGTTGGCATGTTTCGCTGTTGGCAGTACAGGAGCCCGAAAGACAGAAGGACAAACGTCTACGAGTCAGAAATCACTGAATTATAAATTCAAGAAAGATGCGTGTCTTCTGCCATCGCTCATCCGTGAAGGAAGGAGGCGAAAACGGCAGTCTTCAGCACCCCAAGATACATCGAGAGAGCCATATCGACTCTGACCAATCATACACAAAAATACTCAATAGTAGACACTCCGGCTATGTGTGTTTATACACGCTCAATATTCTCCTGTACGCACCACGTTTGGGGCCGGCGCGTCAGGCGATGCAACACCGCCCAGGACCACGCGCTGGGCAAGTTGCCATTCGGCTGCCGAACACGCAAGCCGCATGGCCTCATGTCGCGAAAGGTGCAGGGGAAGTGCAACAAGTGTAAGAGGATGGACAACAAATTGAAAAGGGCCAAAGTCGGAGTGGAGTATTGTAGGAGGACTCTCCGGAATATGGGGTTGTTGGAGGAAGGGAAGGGGGGAGAGGAGCAGGAGAGAGGAGCTGAAGTGGAAGTTGGTTGTAATGATGAAGGAGAAGTTGGGGATGCAATAGGAGAGAAGCAACTCTGGACCGAGGGAGGGGTTCTCTTTGAAAAGGTCCACGGCAACGAGATTGACTGAACATACTTTATGTTGTCGTATGGCATAATGAATATCCTGTAATATCTAGACTTTGGTGTATGTGAAATATGAACAGAGACCCGCCTCAACAAGACTGTTTGTGGACGCAAAGGATACTCTAAGGATCAATGGATAGCTCAATTAGCGCAGAGAAAAACAATCTGACGTTTCCAAAAGCAAGTTATAGACTAATGTACTGAGATACTCGGGGGGAAATAAACGACGTCCCATGTATATCCACTATTCAACCTCTCACAGTCCGTCTCTCACAGTCCGTCTCTCACATTCTGTCTCTCACAACCCAATAGCCGTGTCACACTCACACAGCCGTCGACCGCTGATTCATACTCCACATTCTCGCCTCCATGATCTGCCGCTGTCTCATGCTCGCACTGCGTGCCGGGCCACTCTCGCTCCCGTCCTTCATCATCGAGTCCATGGCTTCGAGGTCGGGCAGCTCCTCATGCACGCGGGCCTTCTCGTCGCGCCGCGCCGACAGGTAGAAGAAGTCGTGCACGAAGCTATTGTCCAAGTTGCGAGGCATGCCGTCGGCGGTCCAGAACCGCTCCTCACTGAGCTCGTGCGAGAGGTGTCGCCGGAAGTACCGGTCTTGCGTCACCCACCACGCGCGCCACACGACGAGGATGAAGACAGTCACGGGGATTGCTACGGCCCAGAAGACCCAGAAGCTCTGGCTGAAGCGCTTGACGTTGCCCACGCCATCGTTTGAACTTGCGCTTGACCCTTCGTCCTCCTCGTCGGGACCGAGCCAGTCGAACATGGACATGCCGAACAGGCTGCTGAGGAACTCGCCGGGGAGGAAGACGGCGGTGATGACAGCCAGAGCCTTCATGGCGGAGCTGTCTCGAGAAGACGCCACCGCCATGCGAGCATTCAGCACGTTGTCTTCCTGAGCCATCTTACTGTAGATCTAAGGCGTGTTAGCGGTGCTTTTGAACAGGTGTGATTCAGGAGTAACTTACCATGTCGATCTGCGCACGGCACCGAGCCTCAGACATACGCCTATCGGTTTCAAGGCCCATGCAAAGCCGCAGCAATCCATCGAGGTACTGCCTGATTTCGTGCCAGTGCGAGCCCAGCGAGTCGCCGTCTATTTCTCCGTCCGGAACCTGGACCCGGAAAGTCGGAGGGAGCACTGGGCTCACGGGAAGGCCTCGCTCCGGATCCAAGATCAGGGGGCTCAACATGCTGAGGTCCTGGCCGAACTGAGGCGAGCTCCCCATGCGCTCGGCGAGCTCGTCGCCGGCCAAGATCAGGACCTTGACGGCGCGCTCCATCCAGCGGATCGTGTCGAGCAGCTTGATGGTGTCCTTCAACACCTCGTGCGCCCGCTTCATGAGGTTCGCCATGGTCATGGGGCCCCAGGTGACCTTGCCGTTCTCGTCCCTGCTCATCTGCCGTCTCAGGCGGAAGGGGGACGGTTCCTCGGTGTCGAAGCCGGCCACGTTGCTGACGTCGTGTTCCAGGGCGGCCACGTTCATGTTGTTGTCGGAGACGGCTTCTTCGCAGCGCATAAACTGCACCTGAAGAAGCACGACCGGCATGATGAGCGGGTGGGCCCAGTGAGCTCGGCATGACTCCAGACGATGGTCGTACTCATCGAGGTCGTCGAGGTTGTGCCTCCTGGGTTCCCACGACTGCCGGACCAAGATGGTGGCAGAACGAGTGTGGACGTTGTACGTCATGGAAAGGAAATCGCAAGGCGTCCTTGGCATTTCAGAAAACGACAGAATCACACCTGGATCATTGTAAGCGCGAGTTACAAGCATGAATTCACTCCTCATGCACTTACTCAGTTCAGATCTGTCTTTGGACCAAAACCGCGACTCCGTTGTCGTACGGGTCGAGTACTGGAGAGTCGCCGGGTGCAAATTCATGGCGGCCAGGTCGCCCACAGTCATGCTGAGGATATCCCGACCGCCATCTGCGGGTGTCCTGCGTTTGAAGCAGATGCTAAGCCAGTCAGTTAATCGTATTCAACGGAACATGGTGTATCGCGGACGTACACTCTGCGGATCCGACCTTCCATGCGGGCCGAGGGAGATTCCGTGCCGTCTGGCCTACGAAATTCGCCCTAACAAGTCAGTAACTGGATCAGGTATCTAGCTCTTGTTGAAAAAAACATACATTACGATCCAGGAGGAAGCCATGGCGGAATGCTAGATCGAACAGGGTGGTGCCCGACGCATCATCTCGTGTGAAATGATGGACGATGTGCTCCTCTCCCTCTCCAGGGGAATCCTTTTGCGGCCCAGATTCCAGTTCTTCGGGCTTCTTGTAGACGACATACTCGTCATACTCGATGTTTGAAGGGGTGCCGTCTTTGGGGATGAGGACTTGACTAGAACAGACTCGCTGATCGTAGTTGAAAAGATCTAAACCGTGGTGTACAAGACCCATTAAGGAGGTCGCGTGTTGCCGTCGAAGTCCGACAGCATAGGCTTGCGAAAGTTAACAAGAAGAGCCACCCTGCTACGACGGGCAGCGACTCGTGGAGACATGGATTGTGGGGGTGGTGATGATGGAAACAAGCACGTAGTAGATCTACGTAATGAGACGAGAGTCGATGGAGGTCGATCTTTTTTTCTTCCAAAGCAGAGATCCATCAGGTTTAGAAGCGGGTCGCACGTCTTCTTTATGAGGAGCTGATAGCTGGAGAGCCAAGACATAAGCAACAAGGGTACCCAGCTCGCCAATGTCATATCGAGACAATCATTGGGCCCGCGGGAACGTCATCGTACCGCTCGTACCCGAAGGAGCGCCTACGCCTCGCTACGATGTTCATGTGAGCAGGCGCTGGGGGTTGCAGATTGGGGCTGATTTATCCCCGTAGCGGCGCCCAACCGGACACGGCGAATGAGGAGGTGAGGCTCCGCGGCCGGGGCGGAGCATCACGGAGCCGCCCGGGGTGGTCCGGCCAGGCAACGGCGTTTTGGGAAGCGTGGCGGTGGCTTAGATCCGGGGTTGGTTCGTGATGGACAGGCTTCTAGAAAGAGTGTGGGGGAGGAGGAACTTGAGAGGTGAGAGGTTGGGCAGCATTAAGACTGGGCATGCATTGAAACTGGATATGCATCGTGGCGATAACATGTGATTAATTCAAGGTGAGGATCAGCTCCTCGCTGCATTCTTTGTGCGTATCCTTTGTTGAAGCGTTGGAGTGAGACAATCTCCGCCTGCAGACAACAAATACAGACAACTTTGGACGTCATTTACCCTGCATCATATGGGAATTAGTCCAATCCGTTACTCAATCAATACCCATCTGATTGATATCCATCCCGGTCGCCGTTGGATCCATCCGAAAGATTCCCGTTGGGCATCATTCACCTTGTCTGCTGATAGAGTCCCGATCCCCCCAGCCACACTCGTGTTGGTTAAATCACTGGTTAAATACACTCGCCATTTGGCTTCAACTTACCACTTGCCTAAAATGGCTCACCTTCAAGTCTACCGCCAGGTCACCAGCCTCCTGGAAACGAATAACGGGTCATGCGCGCAATATTCATGGCGAATGCTCCACCTCGCCGCGTCCGATATTCTGCTAGGTCCATGGCCAAGTTCTAACTGCTCGATACATTAAATACTCCCAATACGGAAATCCCCGAGTTATCACCATTGCAATTGGGACGAAAAGAATGTCATTACCTACAGCTACCGGGATATGGGAATTAACCGGGTGTAAGACACTAACTACCGCCACGTCATTGCTCCTGTGACCTTGCAGGCGAATTCTGTCAAGTGGCTGGAACTGGCAACCGAGGATTGACTCTAAGTTAAGGATTGACTCCAAAGAGTGGACGTCAAGTTCAGGACGCTTGCACCGGCGCAATGAGGCGCAATGAGGCACTTCGTCCACTCGTGCGAGTGTCTCGGCTCGGACAAGCCCAGAGCTGCGATAGCCCAATCGGGAACAGGAAGAAAGGGGCTTCTTGGTGAGACCCGCAATCCAACAAAGGGGAGATGGAATGGAACATGCGAGTGGTCAATTCCAACTCCCGGCGCGAAGTTCGACTATCGATGGTGGCTTCGACTAGCGCTGGCCTGAGAGAAGCTGAACACTCAATTATTTGTGCTAAGAAGAAGCTCGGGACGCGCGTGTTTGAGCTATTCACCCTCAGCTAGGGAGTTCACCTTCAGCTAGGGAGTTCACCCTCAGCTAGGGAGTCTGGGAGATGTGATTTTTTTCCTCCAAGATGATCCCGTGATGGAATGCCGACTATTAATTTTTTGCCCTTTGTCATTGACGGAATAACCCATCGCGTTGCCGGGGATCGCGTGCAAGGAGAACTTAGAAGGCCGCGCCCTCAGGGATGATCCCGCCAAAGCAACGACGCTTGGCAAAGTCTGGACCGAGCGCAAAATGTGTCTTATCTGGACAGGACTGCACTAGAATCCCATCTTGTATTTGCCGTCTGACCTTGGCAATACCTGGTTGCGCCACCGAGGCAGTCAATTTCCTCCACCTGGAGCGCAAGTCAAGGTGCGCGAGGGCACCGGGACAGTGAGACTGTGGCTAGACTATGGGCCGTGGAGGGCCTCGGGGTGATATTTACAGCAATTTTGTGTTACTTGGAGGGCAGCTTTAGAGTTGGAAGGTATTTGAGGGCGAATAATGAGTGTGTTGCTGACAGGGATCGTTTCGTGATGTGGATGAAGGGGGATGATGAATGAGTCGGTAGTTGACTGCCCAAGATGGCAAATTCGCAACAGAAGGGATTGTATTGTATTTGAGAGTTGACAGAAGATGAATTCTATACAGGTGTAATTAAACGCAGGACCAACGGGCGTTCAGTAACTACGCTAGACCCCTGGATGGCGTCTACATCGTCGGTGCCACTTGATCTAACTCTAGGTTGACCCTTGAATATCCCAATTAGTCACTTTACACTAACATCACGAGTCCCTTTCATCACCAAGGCGCAATCTAAGACCAGTTTGGACGTCTGAGCCCTTCCCGTGCGTCGTAGCGTCGAGACCATTGATTCTGAACATTCTAGACACTCTCAGACACTCTAGTCACTGGTGCATTCCTTGCTTCCCACCACAGACACGCCGACATGCCCACGTTTTGGCGTCACAGTCTCAGCTGACGCTCTACTCGATCGAGATGGCTCCCTCAGCCTCCCCGACCCATGTGGAGAGCGGCATTGCCTTTTCAGGCCCTGCGGACTCTATTTCACTTCTGCCCGAGATCACAGCTGGAGCTGTTGTTGACGCGCGGCGTAGACTGCTTGCTGTCGCGTGGAATCTGGCGCCAACGGCTCTCTCATCGGCGGGAACCTTCAGACGGACTAATAAGTCTGCCGCAAGCCCCCCGTGTTTATGGTGTCTCCGTGAGCCTGCTTGTTTCTCCATCCTCGAAAAGCACCAAGTGTGTTGGCCGTATCATAATCTGATGTGCGCCATCTGATACCGCCTTCTTCTCCGTCACATTCTCTGAAGTGGTTGTTGAACGGCTTCGCAGCTCTCCGAGATCCCCAGCCCTCCTCGAGTATCTTCGTTCCAGACCCGAAGGTTGGGAACCCATGCTTGGAGTCCAAGCTACGCCATTGCAGACACGCTCTTCCGCACCCTGTCTTATCCACCACGAGGAATACACACACCACGCCAGTTTAGACTCAGACCGCATCATCGGGTTCTCATAAGAAGCCCTCGTCGGCCCGTTGTCTTCGATTTGCCATCCTGCTTCACCCATCACACTCAGAATCGCAATCACCATGCTTCGACTACTTCTCACCACCGCGCCTCTTCTGGCGCAGACCGTCCTCGCTGCTCCTGGACTGGCCCTACGGGACCATGGCGTCCGCCACAAGCACATCACTACCACGGTTACTGAGACCTCCACTGCTACCGTTGTCCAGCAATTGGCTACCACTGCCGACCCAGTGGTGGCTGTCGACTTGTTTGTGCCCGAAGCAGCGGACCTGCCTCTTCCCGATGATGAAGACACGGAATTGGTTGAGGATAACTCCCTCGAGCTCAGGGCTACGACGAAAAGAAACGTCCTCTACTTCACAAACTGGTATGTCATCAACCCATAGCATTAAATACACAGCATTGATAAGGTCCAGGGGTATCTATGGTGGCAACTTCCAGCCTCAGAATATCACGGCGGATAAAGTCACCCATCTCCTTTATTCCTTCCTGGATATTGGTTCAGACGGCACGGTGTAAGTGCCCTCAAGACTCACGTTGACAATCCTCTCTGACCTTGTGGTGAAGGAAAACATCTGATTCCTATGCCGACTTGGAGAAGCACTACAGCACCGACTCTTGGTCGGAAACCGGAAACAACGCCTACGGCTGCGTCAAGCAACTCTACATTCTCAAGAAGAAGTACCGCAATTTCAAGACTCTGCTGTCTATTGGTGGCTGGACATGGTCTTACAAGTTCGCTCCCGTTGCTGCCAATGTCTCATATCGCAAGAACTTCGTCTCGTCTGCCGTAAAGCTGCTTGCCGACTGGGGCTTTGACGGAATCGATATCGATTGGGAGTACCCTGCCAGCGCTACTGAGGCAGCCAACTATGTATCCCTCCTGAAGGAACTCAGGGCTGCGCTGGATGCTTATTCGACCAAGAACAAGCTGAATTACCGCTTCATCATCACCGTTGCCACATCGGCCGGCCCAGCGAACTACAACATGATGGACCTGGCAGGGATGAACAAGTACATCGACGCCTGGCACCTTATGGCTTACGACTACTCCGGATCCTGGGATACCCTCACGGGTCAGCAGGCCAACGTCTATCCTTCCAAGGCCAACCCCAAGGCCACCCCGTTCAACACTGACCAGGCTGTCACCGACTACATGGCCAAGGGCATCGCCGCGAGCAAGATCATCCTCGGCATGCCTCTATATGGACGTTCCTTTGCTAAGACTACCGGCCCCGGTAAGCCCTTCAGCGGTGTCGGTGGTGGCTCTATGGTTGGAGGAACCACAACGGATGGCATCTACCTCTTCAAAGACCTGCCACGCCCTGGCGACAAAGTCGTTGTCAACACCCAGGCTATAGCAGCGTGGTCTTACAACTCCACGACGAAGGAGTACATCACCTACGAGAACATTGCCACAGCCAAACAGAAGGCGACCTACATCAACACCAAGGGCCTCGGCGGTGCCATGTACTGGGAGGCCAGCGGCGACAAGACGGGCGGCCTCAGCATCGTGAGGAATGTCGCAGCCAAGATGGGCACTTTGGACATGACCCAGAACATGCTGTCGTACCCTGTCAGTGTGTACGCCAACATCAAGGCGGGCATGCCCTAGTAACGCTTCGTTTGAGTGGTTTGGTTTCTGTACGCATTTTCATGGCATTGGCATCGGTATCAACATCTCTCGTTCTCTAGATATCCCCGTTTTGATTTTTCAGTGATAGAGTCCGACGAAGCATTAGATTTTGTCTTTTAACTATATACGAGGTTTTGATAATGACCCTTCTATAGACAATAGAGTGTTATTCACACACGTACACATTACGTTTGTAACACAACGAGATGACTCGGTCTCAAATATAATTGTGACGATGCGTAATTAAGCGATTTAGGAATCGAGATTTTAATAAGACCAATTCTCAGTATTGATACCCCAGGAATACGTTATTTTGTTTATTGTGTCAGATTTGATAATGAAGGTAATAAGCCTTTAACCCAAGGTCGTACTTTTTGATTGCACGCATGGTTGGTACATTTGTTTAGCGGAGGCTTGGGTGTATGAACTTACACCTGGGTGAGAATAGCCGTACTCTAATAATATGGGCAAGTGTACTGTCGATCTGACCCTGTCTCTAAACTCCATCGCCACAGAGTTGTTGAAAGAGATCAAAGGCACTTGGCCAGCATCAAACCCGTGATCCTTGCCTATCCAAACAAAAAGGCACTCGCAACCAACACGCCCAAACCAAGTACGAAGTTTGGAGTCGATCTCTGTCCCAGGGATGTGACACTAGAAGGGGTGCCTGTTGCAGACGCTGATGTTTGCGCAAGCGTTTCTCCCGCGACGAGTGTGATACTCGCAAATGTCGTTGAGATGCCACCGGCTGAATTCCCAGAGTTTCCGGAATTCGAGCCATCATTGCTGTTTCCTGAGCCGCTTTCGTCACTGTCACTCTTCCCGTTGTCGCTCCCACCGTCCTTATTACCCCCGTTGTCGTTGTTTGAACCGCCATCGTCACCGCCGCCGTTTGATTTATCCCCTGATCCAGAACCCGAACCTCCAGACTCTTCAGAATTACCAGCAGAGTTGGTCCCTGATGGGGTAGTACCGGCCCTGGTGGGTGTAACACCTGAGCCATTCGTGCCAGCATAGCCAGACCTCGTGGCCTCCGCAGTCCCATTGCGAGGCATCGATGCTGTGATGACTGGGTTGATCACCGGTACAATCCCTCCGGTCGGCTTCGCAATAACCGTGTTTTGAGTTGCTGAGCCGTTGGATCTGTCTTTGTCGAGACCAAGCGATGGCAGCAAGCCCAAAGCAGGGCTGCCGGTCCCCGTTGCAGAAGAGAGCGTCTCAAAGGGGAGAGTCACCTTGGTGGCCTCTTCGTCGAACCCAATGGCCTGGTGACAGTTAGAGAGAATGGTCTGAGGACCGGGAGTGGGAGATTCCAGTTATTACCGCGTTAGGTGTGCTGATCAACTGGGCCACAGCGGTCGACGCACCCATCATCATGACCAACCATCGAAGTGATGAATTCATCGTGAATAAACAATAAAACAAAACAAAATATTAAAGAAAGTCGCTTTGAAGGATGGTATCGAGATTCAGCAGCAATTAGGAACAGCGCCAGCGCTTCAGTCAAAACCCCGACAGCCACGTAAGGAAGGTAGAAATTAAAAATGCTGCCAGCAGCCGTGAAGAAAAGAACCAGTAAAGAACGGTTGTTGGATAATCCTGAGAAAAGCGGCGATGCAGCAATAGCATATAAGTCAAGAAAGCAGCCAACACACCATCCCAGGAATGAACTCCTGACAAGCCAAGCTGCCCCGGCCTCGGCTCCCCACGGACAACGGGCAACACGGTTCTCCATGATCTGCGACGTGACAGGTCTGGATATTTCGTCCCTTGTAGCTGTGACGCTCATGCTTTTCAGCCCGGAGAGCATCTTTCAGGGCCGTGTTTCGGCGACCAGCCGGATGACAACTTTGAAACCCTGACACAACCATAACAAACCCCTGGTTCGCGGCGATCAAACTGACTCGCCTCGTCTCGTCTCGCCGCATAACGTTTAAGCACTCGGCATCCAGCCGAATGTAACGGCGCGCTCAATCCTGCCGGTTGCTCCCTTGGCGTAAGCCGCGAGCTGGGAATGTTGTCTGGGCAGGATACTGGTGACACACGAGGTAAATCGCGTTCACGACGAACTTGTCACAACTCCACTCGCTACACCGAACTTCAGACAAGAGACCCCTTGTTCAAATTTCCCCGGCCCGTATTCTACAGAAAACTAGGTACAGCATCGAAAAACGACTCGTACAAACGGCAAAAAAAAAAACACAACCGTGTCAGGCATCAAAACAGACACCTCTGACACACCGCGCCATTCTCCATCGTTTCAACATCACTCAAAGCCCCCCCGTCTTCGACCCACACAGCAGTGAAAGGCGCGTCCTTTGAAGTCTAGACTGTTGACTTGTGATGTGCCCTGTTACTGCTGCTTCCATTACTGCCATGCGGCGTGTCACCAAGGATCATAACAAGCCCTACATGTCTTGCCCCTGGCCTTCCGCTGGAGTGCCCGAGGTTTCGACCCCGTGGAAAGCATCACCGAAGGCGGAGTCCTCCATGTCCATGTTTAGATCTAGACCATCGCCAAGCTCGCCCGCAGACCCATCCAGGGTTGGGCCATCGAACCCAGCTAGGGCATCCCCGGCGGTGTCGAGGTCGCCCAGGGAACTGAAGTCGTTCTGATCGAATGACACAGAGCCGCCATCTGTGACAGCTGGCGTTGCGGCAGCCGACGGCGCCTTGTTAGACCCAGGGGCTTGCCTGGCTGCTTCGCTGTCTTCCGTGGCCGACGCTGTTCCAGCCATGGACGCGGTTGTGGCCGCCGGAGCATTTGGGTCTGGGGTCGCTCCGCCTTTAGGAACCACGACCCAGTCTCCACTACCTGTGCCTTGGTCGGGTGCAGTTCCAGTCGACCCCTTCGCCGGTTCGTCAGTCCCGCCCATGGCCACATCAACGCCGCCAGTCCCTTGGTGAGCAGCGGCCTGCAGGGCAGCAGGTGACCGGACATTGGCATTGGATGGAGTAGCCGCGCCCGAATGAGCGGCTGATAGTTGAGGCTGAGGTGTAGGGAAGTTGTTCACAGGGGTAGAAGTGGCCGAGAGTCCTGTTCCCATCTGGTCCAGCAGTCCAGCAGCGGTGTTGCCCATATCGATATCTGACTCGCCAACCAAGACGCCGCTGTTTTGCGAGCCGGACTGAGAAGGCTGTCGTGACAGCTGCGTGGCTGGCACCGGCGCCGGCGCTGGCGCCTGATAGCCGCCTTCTTGAACACGGGAAATTGACGACTTGGCCTCAACCTTTCGACCGGTGGAAGTCTCAACTTCCGCAACAATCTGATCAATCGTCTTCTTAGTGGTAGGACGGGGCCCGGCGTCTTCATCGTGGGGGTCCAGTCGGCCCTCGAGTCTCCAAACCTCGGACCCAGTGCTCTCAACCACGCCTCTGAGCTCCTTCTCCTTGCTGTTCAGGAGCGAGCTCACTTTGAATTTGGCAAGAGCCTCGGCATGGGCGGCTTGCATCTTTTCAATCTCTGCTTTGGTAGAGTCCAAATGCTCATTGACACGCTTGCGGAATTCGTCCGCCTGGCCAGCATCCAGACGGCCAATGTAAGGCTTGTCGGGCACCGAGCTGAATGCATCGTAGCCCTGCGCTTGGAAAATGCCCTCAGTCAACGAAGCCAACTCACCCTTGAAGCCCAGGTTGAGGTCTGCAGGGGTAATCTGGCTGATTCTGTAAGGAGAAGATAGGATCTCCTCCATCCACTCATGATTCTGCTGATATCGGCTCAATGAGATCTCTCTGGGAGTGAGATGATCAAACATGTCGCCCCTCGAGACATCCTCGTCGTCATCGAATGCAGCATCCAACTGAGGCATCCCAGAAACAGCCGCCTGCTGTCCTTGGCTAGCAGCGTGCCTTGCACGCTTAGCCGGAGGTCCCTGGGGAGGCTGAGGAGGATAAGCCATCTGTTGAGGAACCCCACGGGGAACCATCTGTGGTGCGACCTGCTGGCGAGTGGGGTCTGGAAGCGTGGGCCAGTTGACTCGATCCGAAAGCATGAACTCCTTGCGACGAATCTGGCCAGCTCTTTGCAGGAAGTGGCGCTGCGACATGAGGTTGTTGATCCGCTCATCAAATGGAATCATCGAGATGGGGACTCGGTCGTTAGGCTCGGCAGGCCCATAATGCACGACGAAGAGGCTGACGTCCGGCTGAGGAGGGTTGGGATGCCCGGGGACGGGGACTAGTCGGAATCGTCGTCGGGCATGAAGGGCGAACTGTTCACCGGGGATGTAACCGGCTTTTTGGTAGTAGATTTCCAGCATCTGTTATACTATTAGCATGCATGGTCGGCGAGCTAAGTTTGTAAACCTACCAGTCCATTGCCTAGGTCGTGCTTGTAGATCTGCTCAGGAGGCGCCCACACGAAGCCATCGGTCGCGAAGTTGGTACCTAGGCGCTGCAGGGGCTGCCAGGTGAGAAGAATTGTGCCGTCGGTGGGCTTGTCGAGGTATGTCCAGAAGAAGGGAGCTCGATCTCGCGCGACTTGGGGAGCACTCATAAGCCACTTGGCCACCTCGTTAAGGTCGAGTCGGGGCATCGCCGGGTATCGAAAGGATGAAATGAGGTGGACATGGGGGATCTAGAAGAGGGTCAGCGACGAATTGCGACGGTCATCGGTGCGTATCTGCACGTACGAGGTCCTGGGGGACGCCCTGGCTGGGATCGGGTTGAGCCATGGTGACGGTCGTCGCGGTCGGGGGGACAGCGTGTCCACGGGTCAGGCCTCGCGATTGACGCCTGCGGGGAGTCGCACGCTATTGAAGGGCCTCGTTGATGGGGTAGCGACGAGGTGAGGGGCCGGATGGTGGCGATGGGATGGGGCGGCGCAACGAGTGATGAGATGTAGTTTGACAGAGCGAACGACAATGTCCTGGCGCGGCTCCAAACTTCTCGCGACAAGGCTGTGGATGCCTGACCAATAGTCGCGGAGGAGGGCGGCGCCGAAAAGCGGGTCCAGCCTCAACACCAATCGAAGAGCCTTGCCGCGAGCTTCAGAGCTCAAACACACCGGGCTGCTCATGAGCTCATGGTTTCGCCTAGTTGATCCTTCAATTACTAGTTCGTGTTGTTCAAACCCCGTTTACGCCAAGTCATCATTTGTCACATTTCATACCCTCACAATCATGCACGAAGCAGTCTCGTCATGATTGTCATGATTGTCATTTTTTGTTATTTTACGAATAAGCTGCAGGATTTCAAGTTCTTCCTCCTGAGCATTCTAAATCCAGCCCATTCAAGCCCATTACCCAGTGCAGCGCCAGTATTCCCTGCGTACCTATTCAAAAGCCTACTCGCATGACGCAGTTACCAGACACCGATTGATCTGGCATATTTACCCTCCTCCTCCCATCGCCTTCTACTCGCCAAGCCTTTATGCCTGGTAGGTAGAAGCCGACACGTTGCCACCACGGCCGGTCCAGTTGACGTGGATGTCAGTGTCAATGGGGTACTTCTCGCTGGCGTTCTCGGGCTTGATGCGGAAGGTGTGAGCACCGAAGTAATCACGCTGGGCCTGGAGAAGGTTGGCGGGAAGGTCCTTGGTGCGGTAACCGTCGAACCAGGACAGAGCGGTAGAGAAAGCGGGAGTGGGGATACCCAGAAGGGCAGCCTTGGCGACAACGTCTCTCCAGCCGGGCTGGGCCTTGTGGATAGCCTTGTTGAAGAACTCGTCGAAGAGAAGGTTCTGCAGCTCAGGCTCCTTGCGGTAAGCAGAGGTGATGTCCTTGAGGAAGACGGATCGGATAATGCAACCACCACGCCACATGAGGGCGATGGAGGGCTTGTTGAGCTTCCACTTGTACTCCTTGGCAGCCTACGATGACCTATTAGTTTGTGGCACACATGGAGTTTGGGGCACGGCTATCTTACCTCCTGCATGAGCATGAAGCCCTGGGCGTACGAGATAATCTTGGAGGCGTAGAGAGCCTGCTCAAGGTCCTCAAGGAACTGCTCCTTGTCGCCCTCGAATTTAGTGGTGCGGCTGATGAACTCAAGCTTGGTGGAGGCAGCGGCACGCTCATCCTTGATGCTGGACAAGCATCGGGCGAGGACAGCCTCGGCAATCAGAGTGACGGGCATGCCCAGGTCCAGGGCGTTAACGGCAGTCCACTTGCCAGTTCCCTTCTGGCCGGCCTTGTCGAGGATCTTCTCGACGAGAGGGGTACCATCCTCATCGTTGAAGTACATGATGTCGCGGGTGATCTCGATCAGGAAAGAGTCCAGGACACCCTTGTTCCACTTGGTGAAAACGTCACCAATCTCCTTGTTGGAAAGACCGAGGCCACGCTTCATGATATCGTAGGCCTAGAGTCGGTTGGTTAGTGCCAGGCGCGCGGTGCAAAGTAGTTATGCGGGATTGCCATACCTCGCAAATGAGCTGCATATCACCGTACTCAATACCGTTGTGGACCATCTTGACGTAGTGACCAGCACCCTCGTCGCCAACCCACTCACAGCAGGCCTCACCGTCGCTCTTGGCGGCGATGCCCTGGAAGATGTCCTTGATGTGAGGCCAGGCCTCCTCGTTACCACCGGGCATCATGGAGGGGCCATATCGGGCGCCCTCCTCACCACCGGAAACACCGGAGCCGACGAATCGGATTCCCTTGCCAGCAAGGTATCGAGAGCGGCGGTTGGAGTCAGGGAAGTGAGAGTTACCACCGTCAATGATGATGTCACCGGTGTCGAGGAGGGGCAGAAGCTTCTCAATCCAGTCATCGACAGCAGAGCCGGCCTGGACGAGGAGCATGACACGGCGGGGAGACTTCAGCTTGCTGACGAACTCCTCGACGGACTGAGCACCAACAACGGAGGTGCCCTTGGCCTCGTTCTCGAGGAATCGGTCGACCTTGGAGACGGTTCGGTTGAAGGCGCAGATGGTGAAACCATGGTCGGCCATGTTCAGGATGAGGTTCTGTCCCCTATGAGAGCTGTCAGCACGCAGGGCGAGGGGAGTGAGGAGTAGAGACGGGGTATTAACTTACATGACAGCAAGGCCAATGAGGCCCAGATCCGCGCTGGGAACAGAGTCAGTATGATTCCCATCTTGAGTAGCCGCACCAGAAAATGACGTTGGTGTTGAAGGAGAGGCGGGGTGTTGGGCGCCGCCTAGCTTGAGATTTGCAAGACGGGCGCTGCCTCGAGACCATGAGCCACGTCCACAACGGGGGATTTTTCAACGCCGTCGACACTACGGCCACGATCGCAAGCTCACCGCGAGGATTTCTCGCGATTTGCAGCGCTCGGCGTGCGCGAATTGAGGCATGGCCGGCAGAGCAGCGACATGAACTCTGGGGCGGGGTGGTGGGGTAAAACCAGCGAGATGATGAGGGGTGGTGGGAGCTGTTGGAGAGAGATCGAGCGATGGACTTACACGGGGCCAGACATGATGGGCAAGTTTGAATGGATGCGACGGTGGTTTGGAAGAGGAGTCGGTGGTTGGAGGTTTGAGGAGGAAGAAAAAAAAGAAGAGAGAGAAAGGAGGAGAGGAGAGGGTTCACGAGAGAAATATCAAGGCCTGGGGAGGAAGGAGGAGAAATATAGGTAAGAGCGGCGAGCGCAAGCAGGCGACGGACATGGTTACGGGCTACGGGTCACGGCCACGGCCACGGACACTTGGCCCTACTCGCTCAGCGAGACACGGCGCAGACGGAGTCAGTACGTACTACGTACCTCATCCATGCTGTCCGTCGCTCACCTCAACCTGCAAATCGCAGATGGAACTGTCGCTCGGGACGTCTCTGGTTTGACCGGACGCGCCAAGAAAAGCGGGCACCCACACGCATTGGCGGGGTCCCACTATCGTCATCACTGCGCCGACGACCAAAAGGTGGTGCTCTTACATAGCACATTTACCTTTTAGACGCGGGCTCAGTCCCCAATCATCGAGCACTAGCATCTAAGATGGGGGTTTGGATGGATGCTTACAAACGGTGGGGGTTGCTTGTTAATTCCTGCCTCATCTTCCTTTCCCTGCCGAGCTGTCCGTCGTCGAGAGCTTGTGCTGTATGCTGCTGATGCTGTATTCAGTCATCATCCAGCGGCCGTTTTTGATAGACCATGTCCTGTGTATATCACCATCATGTACTACCTACGTAGTTCACAAGGCATGGCATTGCACCCTTGCTGGCATGGCCCATCATCATCATGACTGATGCCCCTCCCGCCGCCCTAGTGCCTGCGAGACGAGGCTACTTCGCAGGAGGTGTCCAGTAGCCACCGACCGAGTTCCAGGCCCCACGTCTATTGGATCCCAGCTCGACGACGGATTTCCCCCCTCATCTCCCTACAACATCTCCGGGTCACGGAGTTCTGTGCTCCGGAGCGACGCCGTGACTCAGGCAAAACATGCGCTGTTAGAAGCAGCATCCGGCTGCGCCGCGGCCGTGTTTCGTCAGGAGTCAATCCTGGGGCATTGAACCCCCATGTTTGACCTTACTAATGCCCTGAATTCCCCGGTGTAGCGTGGCGTTGCTGCCCCAAAGGAAGAAAAAAAAAAACACCTCCAACCAACCCCATCCATCCCGATGATCCCGCGGGGGATATCTCCTTGGCCCATCCCGAGGAGATGATTATCACTGGCTGGAGGCTTGGAGGGGCGGGAAGATTGCCCGCACTACACAACAACTCAACAGGGACTCCCCCAAGCATGCCCAAGCATGGGCGTCTGCGCGGCGGACAAGTAATGTACATGAATACCTACATTATCTAACCATTCCGACTTCCACAGTCTTCCACCGTCGCCGTGGTTTGCCCCGTTGGGATTCCGCCGTCCACGAACTGAGGCTGTCCGACTGTTGGGGCCTCTCAATGGGTCTCCAGGGCCGCCTTGCCACTGCCGTGCCAATCGAGTCCCCCGTCGGACAGTAGCCCGAGCCCCAACGCGCGCCCTGAGCTCTGACGGGACGAACCAGGCGCGAAGCCGAACCGAGACGGCCGAGGAGGGGCCAGAAAAGGCCGCACAGCACACCTTGCTCAGCCAAGGAAGGCCATGACGGAGCCAGGCGGTCCAAGGTCCAGTTGGCCAGTAGACAGCCATGGACAGTTAACGCCAGCCCAGGAACGTGGTAGAGCATGGCTTGCGGTGGGATGCGTCAACTCCGCAGGACCCCCCTTCACCTCCGCCACTAGAGAGGAGGAGCTCCACCGGAATTAAATCCGGAAAATGATACGGCGGCGCGCGGCGAGGGCGCCGAGTTCATGCATCCCAGCCTTAACGTCCGAAGTCGCTCGCCGAGCGGGACGAGGCAGGACAGACTAGGTAAGCAGCACGAAACTGCGAGCTTCATGATGAGGCATGGTAGCGGGTGCAGGGACATATCTAGACAGGCCACCCACTCCAACCCCTCCAATCCACTTGATGGCAGACCGAATAAAGGCCTCTCCCGGCCCCTCCAACAACTCGGTCTTCACCGATTAGCCGCCGGTGTCAGAATCACCCCCAGCAAGGTGAGGGGTTGGAGGGGTTGTTAACTTCCCCGTGGCCAATCTTTGGACTTCATCTGCAGAACTGCGCTCTTCCCAACGTAACGGCTTCTTGGTGAGCTCCAAAAACTGCCCAACTTGGATGCCATGAGCCCCGCGGCCCCCACCCCCAAAGTATGTCCGACGAGACCAGCCTAAAAGCACCTATATGCGGAGGAGGTTGTTCATCATGCCTCATGTATCGGACTCTTTCTTCCATGTGCCTTGCGGGATAATGGTCGTCCTTGATTTCAAATAAATCCGTCCATCCTCTCCTCTTCCTATGCCCCACGAGCCGATCTTCCACCCAGGACTGGACCGCTTCTGGGAACTTGGATGCAGGTAGGTTGCACTGTTGCAGAGTGTGAATTGTGATGGAGCCATTTGTGTCAGTGTGGAAATTGTTGCAAGCATCATTTCAGCGTCCGCTTGGAGGTTACGATAGCAACGTGCAATGTTATTCACGCAATCTGGATAATTCTCAGTCCCATGGGGGATATCTCACAAGCTTTTTCCGCGCATCATGGAAAAATTCCTTTCACTCTTACACCCGCATCGACATGAGGTCGGAGAGGTGATTAAACAACCCCGATGTCCAGGCGCACGTGACCAGTGCCTCACCGCTCACCGAGCCAAAAAAAATTGTCCACCGACCGAGGCTAAGGCCCAAAGGCTTGGGTGGCAGGCTAACTCATCCAGTTATCGTCATTTCTGCAACCTCCATCGCCAGTGATTCTCCACGATATCAACCAACAACACAGTAACGCCACCACAACGAGAGCTGGTAGCACGCACAGGCAATTGCAGAGAGGAACTTTGAGCAGCACAAGGCTCAAGGTACGTTCTTACACAAAACCGCAGACCATCCATCTTTGTCGCTCTATTCATCATGGCGTACCCTCCCCCTCCAGGCATCAACAACCTCCCCGCGAGACCCCCAGCCTCCAAGTCTGGTTTCAAACCAGCTTTCACTCCCTCGACCCAGGCCGCCGCACCCTCATACGCCGCGCCCTCCTACGCCAACGCGCCTCCCTCCTACGCAGGGCCCTCGAGCTACTCGGCCGCACCCGCCGCATCAGCCACGCAATATGGCTCGTCCTATTCCTCCTACCAGAGCGGCCCCGCGCCCGGCGGAGTAACGTCGTACGCGCCGCAGCAGCAGATGCAGACACAGGCACAAAGCTACGGACCTCAAAGCGCGGGACCTCAAAGCTACGGACCCCAGAGCTATGGCGCTCCCCAGATCCGAAACCCCTTCCCCATGCCGGGTACTGGCCCTGCCCAGAGCGACTACGACCCCGACATGGCGGCCCAGATTGCGCAGTGGCAGAGCGCCTACGTGAGCAGGGATCCCAAAGACGGCAAGCCCAGCACCGACTCGCCAAAGCCAGAGCCCCAACCCGCCGCCGTGTCCAACAGCACCGATCGCAAGAAAACCGTTGTCCGCGAGGGCGGCGGCAAGAAGTGGACCGACGACACGCTCCTTGAGTGGGATCCCTCACACCTGCGTCTCTTCGTGGGTAACCTTGCTGGTGAAACAACTGACGAGGCCCTCCTCAAGGCCTTCACACGGTGGAAATCCGTCCAGAAGGCTCGCGTCATCCGCGACAAGCGCACTGCCAAATCCAAGGGTTTCGGCTTCGTCAGCTTCAGCGACGCCGACGACTTCTTCCAGGCCGCCAAGGAGATGAACGGCAAGTACATCCAGAGCCACCCGGTCGTGATCCGAAAGGCCAACACCGAGATCAAAGTCTCCAATGCCAAGGACAAGGACAGGGGCAAGAAGCACAACAAGAAGAAGGGCGGAAACGGGAACGGGAATGGTGGTGGTGGTGCTAGTGGCGGTTACGAGCCCAGCCTGGGTCCCGTTGGTGGTGGGGGAGTGACCAAGCCTGGTCAGAAAACAAAGAATGGATTACGGTTGTTGGGTTAGGCGGCGATGAGATGGGATGGGGCACCCATTGTTGTTTTATCTCGTGGCGTTTGGCGTTGGGATCGGCTCTGGCATACCCGGCCCGGAGAATATAATTTAAAACATAGCAACAGACTGCACGGCACTGGCAGACTGGTAGAAAGACTGGACAATGGAGAACATATATTATACGCACACGAGAGACAACCAAGTAATTGACATCCAAAGTTATGTGAAACTAGTATTGGGTATCTCGGTGATGCTGCGCATGTGCCAAAGCATGCCAGACTCTCTAATCCATCTCTCCAACCTATACAATGTTGACTTGTCTTCTTCCACTGCCCATGTAAAGTAGCCAACCCCCAGATACAACCCATCCCGTCTATCGATTCCGTCCGTTTATCCTTCACATGATGCCTAGTTTACTTAATACAAGATATAAAAACAATGTGATTCCGAGGTCATGTTGCGCCCGATGAACAATGCTGTGTAAAGAGGAACTATCCAAAATAATACGTCACGAGGACATTCAGTCCAGTCGTCGAGCCCGGTGCTCGTCCGAGGCCGTTAGCGGCTCGAGCAGAGGCTGGAAGTCACCGTCGGAGGTGACGAGGGTGTCATGTCGATCCTCACTAAGGTGCAGGAGTCCAGCAGATTCCTCGCGGGGGTCTTCGCGGTCTTCGTCAATGTCGCTGCTGCTGCTACCGTCATCCTCCGTGGTGATGTGGCGGTCGTGTACTTTGTGTTGAGCATCCTGGCGCATTTTTGTAATTTTGATGTAGTTGTAGGCAATGATGGCGGCTAGGGTGGTGAGCAGGCCGATGAAGTTGATTAGGGTCAAGTGGTCGTGGAAGACGAGGGAAGCGGCGGAGATGGTGACGACCTCCTTGAAGATGCCGGCAATGGAAAGGGTCACGACGGAGGTGCGCTGCAGCAGGGCGAACTCGGCGGCAGTCATGCAGAAGGCCAAGCAGCCGGGGAAGAGGAGGAAAAGGGGCGCGAGGACGGCACCCCACTCGTTGCTGAGGATCTTGAATCCCCCGATGAGGTTTCCGAAGCCTTCGACGGGGATTGCGAGGGCAAGGAGAACAACGAACATGACTGGCGTGAGGTAGAATATGCTTGAGAAGGGATTGGATGTCGAAGGGTTGCGGAGGAGGAGGATCTGGGTCAGGCTCCAGCGGAAGCCGGAGAAGAGGGCGGCGGAGATGACGAGGGCAAAACCGCCGAGTTTGAATTCAACTTCGCCAAAGACCATGAGAACGACACCGAGGGTCATGGTTGCGATGATGGCGACTAGACGCCAGGTCGGGGTTTCGAGGCGGAACATGAAGGCGAAGATGAGAACGAAGGCGAGGGAGGATGATTTACACATGGCTAGAGTCAGGTCAGATACCAGTGAACAGTGAATGGGGAGGAGATGAATAGGAGGAGAAAGGCATACTGTAGAAGGTGAGGCTAATGAACTTGAGAGAGGTGTTGCCCAAGCCAATGTCCAGACCTGTAGCGGCACCACATGGTCCGATCCTCGTGAGGTAGAACATCTTGGTCATGCCAGGGTTGGATTCCGAATCGCGCCTGGAACTTCCCAGATCTGAATTGTGCCTGTGATTCGGTCGTAGGCTCGGCACGAAGTAGAGGACGACACCGGACAGGATGAACTGCACCACCATATGCATGCATGTGGTAAAGAGGGGGAAGGCGAAGTTGAGGTGGTCTTTCGCGAACATCCACTTATTGTACTGTGTTTGCCATGTTAGTACATCTACTCAGGGTGACGTGGGGGAACTGCGCCGGCGCAAAATGGGCAGAGGGGAAGAGATTGAAGCGTACCAATGAGATGGATAGCGAAAAGATGTACCAAAGGAGGATCAAGACTCCATTGACGACCAATCTCTTGAAAACATCCTTGTCGGCCTCCTTGCGCTCGTCGGCGGAAATGGTGTTCTTCTCTCTGGCAACGCGCTGGTCCAGCTGGGTATTCCTCTGGCGCTTCTTCTGCCTCCTGCGCTTCCCCTTTGTCGTCAAGCCCGTCTCCTCGTCATCCTGTAGATGATCCTCGTCGGTGTAGCTCTCGTCTCCGGAGTCATCGCTACGGTTCGCAAAGCCGCCAACACTGGTGCCCTCCTCGGAGATCTTGGGGGCGTTTCCGATGCCGGAAATGGGTGTGCGTGATCTGGAAGGGCCCGGCTGGCTGTCCGCCAGGCTGCTCCGGCGGCGGCGATGGCCGCCGATGGGCTCCATCTCGATCTCGTCGTCTGTTTCGTCGTCGGTCAGGGACGACCGGGCGGCATAAGACGACGGGCCGGCTGCTGCGTGACCAGTTCTGGAGCCTATATCTGCTGTTTCTGGGGGTGCTGTTGCCGCTGAAGATGAGGATGATGAACCGAATGGAGTTCGCAAGGCGGCCGAGGACTGGCTAGGGGTGGTTGAACTGGTCGGAGTCGCCGAGGGGGGCGGTATCGATTGCGGATGGAGACGAGAAGGGGTGTTGTGGTTAGAGCTGGCGGGAAAGACGGAGAGATCGGGAGAGGTGGAACGCGAGGACTCAGAGGACTCGGAGGACGGAGAGGATGGAGATGGTGATGATGGTCTGGCGGTGGACTGGGGGTGAGGCGCGGGCATGATGGGAATGGAGCATTAATAGGTCTTGTCGAATGCCTTGGACGGGGACGGCTCAATAGAGCGATAGAGGGAGATCTCCTGGCACTCGCGCTGGCGCGGGACTGGGGGACCGGGGGACGCTACGGGGCTCGCTGGGTCGCCTGGACAGGTACGGACCGTAGGGGGTCTGGACTGGCGCTGGCTGGACCGGGCTGGTTGGTTGACTGCTGGCCGCCGAGCAGGTTCAGTTCGGATCAGTTATCAGTTGCAGTAGAGCGCTCGGTGGTCGCTCGGTAGGCCGGCAGTCCACACGTTGAGTGGAGGAGGCGTTTGAGTATTGGGTCGCGTGGAGCGAGCTAGTACCTGAGACGGGCAAGGAAGAGTGGCCACCTGGACACCAGGACACCACCAAGATACCTGCTGCCGCGCTTTTGGGGGAGAGAATTGGTGGCTTGCGTTGGAGTCTCGACGGACTCTTGATGGCGTTGGCGATTGTTGGACTCTTTCCAGTGGGCTCGGGCTGGTCCTGGTACTGGTGTTGACACACTGACACTGACACTGACGCTCACACTGACGGTTGTGATTCTGGCGCTGCTGACGATGACGACGATGCTGATGACGCCGACTTGGATCTGCTTCTCCCCCAAAGCCAGATGAAATGTGGACCGTGTCTTTCTTGGCGCACTGCCGTCGCTGCCATTTTGCTCTGTCAAGCGATTTACCTCCCTGATAAGTTGTTTATAACTGCATGCCCAGAGCATAATCCCGCCGTCCAGATGCCTTCCATTACAATCCCCTAACCCAACTGGCGGTCACCCCCGAAGCCACCTGCGGGGAAGCGACTGACTATAGAGCCCTAACCAGGGTTGCATTTGTCCCTCGGGATCAGGAAGAAAGCTGTCACACGACGCACAGATGGTCATCTAATACCTCGAGCCGTCACATGTTGCGCAAAGCCCAATGCTAGATCAACCGGCCGGCTCAGATCAACCAAGCGCCTTACCACGTATGGCATCACCTCTGCCCTCTCCAGACGCCGGAGTGCTCCCTATCCGTGTAGGGCTGGATTCCAAGTTTTGTTTTCTTGCTTAGCCTTGTCCCATGGCGTCTTCTCGCCCTTTATTATTACTACGTAGTATGACCTTACGTGCAAGTGTCGCGTGTCCTCTGATATTCATCCCTGATGTTTATACGAAATTGAGCAGTGGACCAGACCCTTTAGCTCTAGCACCCAGCTCAGGGGGGTCTGATCGCTAGGGCCGCTGTCCGAGGGCTCCCGTTAGGTATTTGGTGGTTCCCCGGACCCCTAAACTTCGGCCTCTAATTTGGCCAAACGCTCCGTCCACCGAGCTCCCGAGCGGTGCTTGGAGGCCTGTCCCAGGATGCGAAGTCAATTACGGCGCAGGCAACCATTGATCTCAATTGAGTCTTGGCAAAAGAACCTTTTCTATGTACTCCAGCAATCCCTGTCCATCCATCGATTCGATTCTCCCTTCCCTTCCATCCACCGAACGGCCTCCGAGACAGACGATCCGCTTCCAGTGACGTAGTTACCTTGTGTCTGCCGCCCCATCCGAGGCCATAGACATCATCTCTCGGATACGAGGATGTGGACAGTTGACTTACTACGTAGTAGACACAGACTATGGAGGACAAAGTGGACCGAGCCATTCACTAATTCAAGCGTTGTGATGGTAGTTCCGTCATCACTATTAAACGTTTGTGTAGTTTGGCTCTCAATGATCGACCCTTGGGGTCCTGCGTGAGACTTCCGTCCCTCAGATGGCCAAGGTGCTAACTGACAATTTGGTTAACTTGGGTCCCACGTCATGGTCAACGTTTCCGTCATTAGCTTGTCTCAATTCTCCTCTCGTGGAATTCAGAGACAAGAAGTTCAAACGCCGTTTCGTCCTTGTCTGCTACGTCATCATCAAGATGCCAACATGTCCCTTCATCCTCCCTGAAGCCACAGAAGATGTTCAGTCACCGCTGGTGCTATCCATGTTGAGGGTAGAGCTCAAACATGTCGTGCTTGTCACGGGATATCGTGTCAAAAAGTCTCTGTCTACCACACGTTTCTGTTGCAATATATAGTCGTAGGTCAACTAGGCTCTTCAAAGCAAGATCCGACTTAAAGGCACAACTGTTGAGTTTGCAGGTAATTGGTTAAGTATAGGTAGTTATATGCTTACCGCTTTGAAATGAGTGGGGCAATAGCGTTATCGCCGAGGCTTGTATCCCGTAATTAGGCAAACTTTGGCTTGAGTCCTCCCCAGTATGCTGCTTCGTCGTCATTTTCTGACCTAAAAGTCAGGGAGAAGGTTCGAGGAGAGAAGATGAATACATGCCTCACTTCTACTTCATGCGAAGGTGTGCATCTCTCACCGGAAATCAGGCTAGTCTAGTCCGTATTGAGCCGTCTGGTTTGAAAGCGTGAACTTCTCTCCAAGCAGAGGTTCGCAATGACCACGGGCTGCCATATTGGGACACGGACAGGAGAGACACTTCCACTTCCACGAATCTACACCAATTGTTGCACTGAAATATTGCACTGGGTATCTAGCAGATGTATACGCGGGAACAACACCTACGAGTCGTAATAATCAGAAACTATGACCACAGCCACATAATTGAGAATGGGATTGATACAATGGTGCCGAAACATGTGTACAAGGACTAAGCCTCCTCATCAGGAAGATGGTGTTGAGGTCGAGAAGGTCGCTGCAAGCCCACGGCGTTAGACCGTGGGTGGTGAAACATGGAATTAATTCGGATGATTGAAAAATTCGAGTATACGTTACACGAGAATCTATTGGATAATTTCTTCTCTCGGGAATAATGCAGGTATGTGAGCTCGGCGACATCGCCGTTCGCGGCGTAGGCCAAGACACAGTCAACGCACTTGTCAGCACCGCCTTACTCTCACAGCCCAATAGCCATGAGAAACAACTCTCATTGAGGCCTGCCCCCACGAATCTGACGGGGCTGTTTCTACGTGGCCATGTGCCCATCTCCATTTGGCAACGGTGTGTTTGATAGTAGCCACACATCATCTAGGAGGCACACGCATCGTGGAAGTCTAAGTGCATCCCCGCATGCGCTTTACTCAGTCTATCCACGGCTTGAAAAGCCACTTACTGCAAGGCCTCTCTTGTCTCCGTGTCTCCGCCCAAAGCTGTGCTTCGTCATGTGAGCTAGTGCTATACGATCCGCGCAGCTGGCACATATATAAGTCCATTGCGTCATGCATCCCACGACTCCAGCTGGGGGGTGACCTTACCACACACTCAAACACCATGGCCTCTCAATGCCCATTGATTCACAGTGGAGGTGCTCGGAGAGCCCAAACCGGGGGCTATCTCCCAATTGAGGACTATGGCATGATCGGGAACATGCACACCTGTGCCCTGGTCGGCATGGATGGAAGTGTAGACTTCATGTGCTGGTAGGAAACCCTCGTATCTACTCCTGGATATTGCGGCTGAATCCCTCTCAGGCCTGACTTTGACTCCCCGTCCGTCTTTTGCCGTCTCTTGGATAAAAACATCGGTGGCTACTTCAGCATTTCTCCGCCGCAAGGTATCAACTGCACCACCAAGCAGCAGTACCTGCCCTCGTCCTGCATCTTGCAGACACGCTACATCCACGAGGATGGCGTCGTCGACTTGGTTGACTTCTTCCCGCGCCCCAAGAGCGCCCAGGTCATGACAAAAGGCTACAAGCAGAACGCCTATCGAGAGGCCACCAAGGTTCAGGAGGAGCTGAAGAAATGGCTTGTGAGACGGGTAGAATGCATCCGCGGTTCTCTGACACTTGGTATGCCGCGCTTATAACAGTCAAGCCAGCTTGAACTGACATTTCCAGACGTTGAAATATTCCCTGCCTTTGGATACGGTCAAGATGAACATGTTACCACTCTCCTCCGGGAATCACACACCTGTGTTAGTCCCGAGAGCAAGGTGGCGTCCTTCCATAGCAAGGACGTCAAGCTCCAGCTCGATGTGGCAGTGGACAACGGCGAGGACGAGAAGAGCTGCCCTATCATCATGTTCAAGAAAGTGAAGCGTCCTGGCATGCATGGTGAAGGCCTCGTTGCTCGCATCGAGATCCAGGAAGGGCAGAATATCTCGTTTGTTCTTCGGAACGATATTCCCAACCATGTGGCTCCGAGTATCTCGACTCCTATTCTGGATGCTCAACAGCATGATACCCAAACCTTCTGGTTCAATTTCATCTCTCAGTCGAAGTACAAGGGACGGTGGAGGGAAGTGGTATCAAGGAGCTTGATGATACTGAAAATGATGACATACGGTGGGAGTCCTGGCCCTGAACTCTGGTCTTCACCTTCTAATTAATTGGCAGAACCTACAGGAGCAATCGTCGCCGCGCCGACGTTCTCGGTCCCCGAGGCCATTGGAGGCGTTCGTAACTGGGACTACCGCTACTGCTGGATCCGTGACTCCAGTTTCACCATTTACATCCTGCTTCGTCTCGGCTTCAAAGCCGAGGCCGACGCGTACATGGAGTTTATCATGGAGCGGTTCGTCGACTCGCGTGGACCTGATGGCGGATTGCCCATCATGTTTACGATCCGCGGAGAAACCAATATCCCTGAATTGGAATTAAACCACCTCGAAGGATACCGTGGTAGTAGTCCTGTTCGAATCGGTAATGGAGCGGCATTCCATCAGCAGTTTGATATCTATGGTGAGCTCATGGATGCCATCTACCTGTACAACAAGTTTGGCAAGCCGGTTGCATGGGATGTGTGGCGTGCTGTCCGTGGCATTCTCGGTAAGTTATGGCATCCTCGTCTGTAGGTTGTTGCTAAATCACAGTATAGATTATGTGTTGACAATCGTCGACGGTAAGGTCTTCAAGGTTGATGAGAGATTCGTACGGCTTACAGTGTCACGTTCATAGACCCCGACATGTCCATCTGGGAAGTCCGAAACCACAAGCAACACTTCACCTACTCGCAGATTATGCTCTGGGTTGCCTTTGACCGCGGTCTCCGCCTCTCCGAAAAGAGATGTTTCCCCTGTCCCAATCGTGCCAAATGGATGGAGGCCAGAGACAAGCTTTACGAGCGGGTCATGGAGAAAGGTTTGTGTCACCATTCCTCCCGTCCCCAGATCACAGAAACTCAGCTTATTATTACCAAGGCTACAACACCGAAATGAAATGTTTTGTTCAAAGTTTTGAAAACAACACAATGCTTGACTCTTCTATCCTCATCGCACCTCTCGTCTTCTTCATCTCTCCTTGCGACCCACGCTTCACCAACACACTCGATCGCATTCTTCTTCCCCCTGAGAAGGGTGGACTGACCAGTACTGGCTTGGTATACCGTTATGATACAGAACTCGCCGATGACGGTAAACATTCACCATCTCCTGATGCGGAATATGATCTCGCTGACTCGTCGGGATCATCTATAGGAGTTGGTGGCACGGAGGGAGCCTTCAGCATGTGTACCTTCTGGCTCGTTGAGGCCATGACCCGCGCCAGCGTCTATGAGCCTAAGTATCTCGTCAGGGCGATTAACCTCTTTGAGAACATGCTCGGTTTCTCTAACCACCTTCTTATGTTCTCCGAAGAAATCGCACGCAGCGGCGAGCAGCTGGGAAACACGCCGCAGGCGTTCAGTCATTTAGCCCTGATCAGTGCTGCGTTCAATCTCGATCGCGCTACGGAGGGTTGGAAGGAGACGAGGTGATTAGCTGGGCCAGTGTCAAAATCGCTTGATGTCTGATATTCATGTCACAATGTAGTGCGGGACGCATTGGTGAATAGCTTAACAAGATATATTGGCAAATAACCCAAGTAATCAACACATGGTACCTTGAGTTACAATGCGACGCTAGAAGTCTCAAACGCCTTCCATGCCATGCGATGCTATGCAGGAATTTTTACTTAGTCTCTTGCTTCCACGGTGACATCCTCACCGACTTCGATAGTCGGGTATTGCGCTTCCTTACTGATGTAGTCGTTTCTGCTGGGAGGGTCATGTCGCATGTGAACCCCAAAATATACCTTTCCATCAAATCTCCTCGTCTTGGCGAGTGTGACGAATGGTTCTTCCTTCTTCTCTGCGGTCTCTTGATCCACGCAAACCATCTGACATCTGCGGCACGCGCCAAGGAGCTTGAAATTCTGACGGCCAATACACACCGAGGCCCATCCGTCCTCAGCGAATGCTTGATGTTCTTTCGCGCCACCAGCTGGTTCGAGCACCACGTTTGCCCGAAACGCTATGTCTGCAACAATATTCCCGCCTCTGCCTCGAATCTCCTTGTTCAGTGCGCCAACACTTGAACTATGTATCATTAATATGGGGCTCTCGTTCGAAAGTAGAATTTTCCCCCGTCGTTGCTGTTCGGAGTCTGAGTCGGGAGGAGATGGAATTTCTGGAAAGGACCCGGGCAGTCTCTGGTCCCTATCCGGTTGTTGATACCTCTGCATTTGCGCTTTCGAGAATCGACTGCTCGCTCCAAGGCCACCTGGTGGGAATCTAGCCAATATACACGGCACTCCGAGTGATTTGGAGAAGAACTCATTGATATCGTCGGAGGAGTACATCTGTGTCGAGATCTGATCGCCACAAACTCGCGACTGTAGTTGTTGAAAGGCTGTATCAATGAGTGATGGGTTTGCAGACAAGGGTATCGAAATCTGGGTTGGACAACAGTGGGCTGGTTTTCCAAGGTATTTCACTACCAACATCCCCCGGTTGAAATCCAGCGAGGGTTGCAGGAGTGTCATTTTTGGACAACGTTTTTGGCTGAGGGCATATCCAGATCCCTGATGTATCAGACACCATTCTCGGTCCCAAGCCAACCCCTCAGGCCGAATTTCCCACGGCACACCTGGTGGAATGGAAACTCCGCCACAGCTCTTGATAGGGAAAACAGTGATAGCTTTCACCCGGAGTCGAGGCTGCGTCTGAGCTATAGTCGTTTCATGGGGGTCGAAATCTACCGCCATCGCTTCAGGCAACGTCGTCTCTTGGAAGAATTCCTTCACGAAGCTGACAAAACGGTCAACATCTGATATTGTGCTCATCGCTCCAAGACTAGCCCGAATAACACCAGTAGGTTTCCCCGAAATGATGTCGTTTTCGGCGCCGCATCTATACCCCGCGGAGAAGTTCCGCTTCATCTCCCATGGTTGTAAGCCTAGTGCTGATGCTATACCCCCGGGGTTGCACAGTCCGCCAGTTCGAATATGCATCATTTTCAGATTTGCAAGCTTCTCGAACTCTGTCAGGCTTGTCCAGGCCCCGAGGCTGTTCTTTATGTTAAAGGACACAGCCGGACCGGTTCCGAGCGATTCTGGGTCGTTAGAGAGCTCGGTATAAATCGAGCAAACGGGCGCCCCATTTGCATGCCGCAGATGGTTTAATCCGCAGAGCAATCGTTGTGTCAAATATGACGTGTGTGAGCTCACCCGGTCCATTGACCCAAATAGTTTTTGGTGGACCCCCATAGCAATGTCCAGTGCCACTATACTATGGAAAGGCAAGGTGCCATCTTCCAAACGCTCGTGGAGGAAGTGCGATTTCGGGGCATGCCACTGCTCCTTGCCGCAGACAACCATATCGACGGTCCCCCCACCGAAATACTTGCGACGGTCAAAAATAAACTCTGCAGAACGCCGAACTATGAGAGCCCCGATATCAGGGAAGCCAAATATTTTGTACAAGCTGAAGACGATGAAATCAGGAGAAATGTTGTGGTCATCGAGGGCGAGACGAGATGTTGCGCTGAAGGAAGATGCATCCAACAAAGTGAATATTCGAGATTCGGGACTGGTATTTGCCCTCTTTATATCTTTGCTCCATGACAAGGGATATCGTTTCCCATCCATGTGAGATTGAGCTGGGTATGAGAAGAGTGTGACAGGAGGCTGCTGGTGAGGAGAATTGCTGAACGGATCTACACCATGTATCCATGATTCAATGGCGGCATCTTCGAGGCACAGACTATGGGTGGCTTCTTCTCTGGCCCCGACTAAACTGGTGTGGCATGCTTGATGATATGCATAGAACCACCCCTCAGGTTGAGACCGCATGGCATCGACCACAAGTTTAACACCAGCTGTAGCATTGGGGACGAATACCAAGTCATAATAAGCAGGGTCTGCGCCAAAGAATGACAAGAGATTCATGCGAGTATCCTCGATGCGAGAGGTAGATAGTTGAGATGACGGAGAGGCGGAGTGTGGGTTGCCATAGAGGGCTGAGGTCATCTCAGAAGCGAAGGCGTCCATGACGGACTTGGCACACAAGGTACTTCCCGCATGGTCAAGATAGACGGAGTCTCGAAGAAAATTAGAAGGACGAAATAGACGGGATCATAGAAGACGGACCTTTGATCATGGGATATTCTGTCTCTCTAAAGCCCTCGACGGCGGCGTTGTACCCGGGACCATGGGGGGCAGGCATCTTGGTGATCGGCCCGGGAAAGGGAGGCGGGAGCGGCTTCGAGATAGAGGTGGTAATAGAAATATGTAAATGGGGGCAATGAAGGGCGATCGGGGGATAATCCGAGGCGGACGGATTCCATGCTTTTGCCTGGGAGTCTGGTGCGTGTCTTGGTGCTGCCCGCTATCATCGACGACGAGTGGAGCACGGCGATGAAAGTGGAAGCTGGGTGAGACAGGCAAGGATGACGGTGAGAGACGGTGAGGGCGGATGTGTGTTTGCCTCTGAGTTAGTCAGCCCAATGAATTCCTCCAATCTTCAAGCCGCGATGTCGAGGGAGCATCCCAGGCAAAAAGAGGTCAGCGTGTTGAAGCCGTATCGCTGGCCTTTAAAGAGCAAGCGCTACGGTCGGGCCCATGATGTAAGGGCGGCGATTGATAGCACAACGGCGAGCCCCAAAGCCGGAGATCGCCACCCTCCAGCCGGACTTGGCTCAGTTTGTCATTGGCCCGAAGATATGCGAGCGCAACCGGCACCGCACTGTGTGTGCCCACCAACAATTGCATATACAGCACAGTGCTCGATATCGTCAACGCGACAGGCTACCCACCACGCAACGCGGTGCGGTACGTACCTCGCCTTGTTACCCCAGAGCGGCTGCATCAAACCCGCAGCCGTCACAACGCGGCCGTGCCAGCTCCACCTTCGGCCAGCGCAGCGCAACTCCGACTCGCCTCAACTCAGCCTCCTCAACTTCACTTCATCACGTCGCCATCGCATTGTTGTGAGGTGAGGCTTGTTGGAGCGCAACTCTCTGCCACAGCGCCATCTGCATCTTCAGAGCCGCGCTCGCCCGCCCAATTAGTTGGTCTCCCCCATTTGCATCCTCTCTTTCTCCCCTTGTCCTTTGTCCACCTGGTCGACCCAGAGCCGATCGGCAGCCTCGCGTTTCTACCCTCCCAACCTCCACGGCATCTCCATTCTTGTGCCCATCACTGTCATTACCCTTCTCCCATCTTCTCTCATCTGTCCCTCATATCTTCTCTATGAGCCAGGGTCTTTAGCCCGCTTAGCCACCTTCTCCATGGCGCCTCTTTGGCATCCCTCTACGTTTTCTTGCTTCTCTTCCTGCTTCCCATGGCCCAAACCTTGTTCAAGATGACTTCTCTAACCGCAATCATATCGCCAAACAATAGGCTCCACCTCCAATCAGGCCTGGATCATCCTTCTAGGGTCAACTAGCAAGCGCGATCCGACCGCACCTCAGCCGAGAAGGGCCTGCTCTTCGTGCTAGGTTCAATCGCGTCCAACACTACCGACAATGGACTCGTACACGTCTTTCCGGGAGGCCCCAGCTCGATCGCCAGTTGAGAGAAGCTGGAGTCGCGATGATTCCCGAACCAGAGAGGACCGAACCGATCCTTTCTACCGCGGGAGATCTCCTGGTGCGTCTCCCAACGGTCCTTGCGGCCTTTCACCCTGAATCTCACGTCGCACCAATCCTCCCTCCCACGGTGCGACTTTGGTCGGAAAGCAAACCTGACAGTAGTTTCACAGGTCACGAACGCCGTGAACGTCGACGATCCCGTTCCCCAGCAGCCGTCGATCGTTACGAGCCTAGATCCCGTCGAGATGATCGAGACCGAGATGACCGACGTCGCATTGGTTCGCCTCCTGCGAACATCGACCGATATGTCCCGGGCCAAGAAGCCAGCGCCTCCGCTGCGGGCGGCATGACTGCAAATCCTCTTGCCGATCCTGTCAAGCTCCCCTACCAAGTTGGCTTCTCCTACTTCGGAGAATGGTGGAGAATGAATGAGAAGATCAAGGAAGATAAGGAGAGGGCCCGCACCGGCCGTCGGCGCGAGCCAGAAAGAGTCCGCGGCCCCCGAGAAGCACAAGAGGAACGCGAAAAAGAAAAGGTCAAGATCCAGGCTGCCTACGATACGTACAAGGAGGAACTACAGGCCAAGATGGCACGCACCTTTGTATCCGAACACAAGAAGGAACAATGGTTCAAGGAAAGATACGTGCCAGAGATTCGTGACGACTTCCGAGGAAAGCTCAACGAATCCCGGCGAGGAGCCTACACTCAGTGGGAGCAAGATCTGGAGTCTGGAACGTTTGACGAATTTTCTCTCGAGGGACTCCCCAAGAGCGAGAGCAATGGCGCTGGTGGTGTTGTGGAGAAGGAGGAAGGTGAGGCAACTGCTACAAATGAAATTCTCGGAGTCGGCGACCTTGTTCCAGGCAATGGTGCGGACATCCGGGATGAGAACCAGTTCCAACCGACTCTTCTCATCAAGACAATCGCGCCCCACGTCAGCCGCCAGAATCTCGAGGCATTCTGCAAGGAACACCTTGGTGAGGAGGAGGGTGGCTTCAAGTGGCTTTCCCTGTCCGACCCCAACCCCAGCAAGCGGTACCATCGCATTGGATGGGTGATGCTGCATCCTTCCTCAGAGACCGCCATCCCTATTGATCGTGTCGATCCCAAGGACGAAGATGGCGATGAGCCGATATTGTCGCCTCAGCCGGTCTCCACTGCTGACAAGGCCCTCGATGCCATCAATGGTAAGACCGTAAAGGATGAGGTCCGTGGTGACTTTGTCTGCCATGTGGGAGTCCACAACCCCCCTGTTCATCCTCGAAAGAAGGCGCTCTGGGATCTCTTTTCTGCGCCTGAGCGCATTGACAAGGATCTCCTGCTGGTCCAGCGTATTGTCAACAAGTTTGAAGAGGACTTTGGCTCGGATTTCCAGGCGACCTTGAAGATCGAAGAGAAGGTTGAAGATCTGAAGAATGCCGGCCATCTTCAACCTGCCGTGGCCCCGACCCCTCAAAAGAAGGTCAAGAAGACCCGAGAGGTTGGCATGGATGAAGCCATGGATGAGGAGGAGGATGGCATCATCGACATCGAGGAGGAAGAGGAGGAAGAGGGAGCCGTTGATGACGAGGAGGAGATCGATGATGAGGAACTCCTTGTCAAGAAGAAGACACTCGATCTCTTGATCGAATACCTTCGCCGTGTCTTCAACTTTTGCTTCTTCTGTGTCTTCGAAAGCGACTCTATCCACGAGTTGACCCGAAAGTGCCCCGGTGGTCATCTCCGTCGGCCTCGCACCACACTCTCGTCCTCGGCTAGAGCAGTTGCCAGGGCGAGTGCAAATGGAGAGCCCTTCCCAGGCAAGAAACGCAGCGAGGCCGCTGAAGAAGCCGAGGGTGATGGCATTGATGGGGATAAGAAGTTCCGCAACACGTCTAACAAGACTGAGCAGCAACTTCTTCGGGCTTACAACTGGGTCAAGACCTTTGAGGACAAACTGACACAAATCCTGGAACCACAGTCGGTGGATATTCGCAAACTGGGTGGTCGTTCAGCTGATGAGGCAGTTGAGGAGGAGCTCTTTAAGCATGTGAAACAGGAGGACGAGCACAAGTGGAGGTGCAAAGCCCCAGAATGCTCAAAGCTGTTCAAGGAGGAACACTTCTGGAAGAAGCACGTTGAGAAGCGTCATGCCGACTGGCTTGATAGCATGAAGCAGGAAGTAGGTACAAGCGCCCCAGAGACAACTATTCTTGCTAACAAACATTTCTTCCAGTTCGAGCTCATCAACGCCTATGTTATGGACCCTGCCCACATCGCTCCCTCCAGGACCGACGCCAACTCGAACGGCCACTTCCCGCCCGCAAATGGCCAGGCGACCACTGGAACTCCTCGTGGCTTTAACCTGCAGAACTTTTCCATGAACGGCATGATGGGAATGCCAGGGTTCCCAATGGCTCCAGGCAACTTCCCCCCCATGTTTGCTGGCATGCAGGCTGGTGGATGGAACCCAATGGGTGATGACCGCTCTGGAGGCCCGATTCGACGAGGAGGCATGTCTGGCGGTGGTAGAGGTGGCCAGTATCGCTCTGGGCCCTACGATCGCCGTGGCGGCAATCGATGGGATGGAGGTGGTGGTCGAAACCGCGTGGGAGGCTCTCGTTGGGGAGATGGTGCGGGAGGTGCAGCGGGAGGGCCTCGTGAAGCCGTTCAGGGTCGCAGTCTCAAGAGCTACGAAGATCTGGATCAAGTTTCAGGCGGCGGCGGTGGAGAGCTCAACTACTAGATTGGTTTTGGAGATCTGAGGAGCAAGGCGCCGAAGGGGGAAAATCCTCAATGCGTTGACTTGTACTTTTCCACGCCGCGGCGAGTGGGTTCCAGGGCCACCCGGCATTTCGGGTTTGTCGAAGAGGTTGCCAAGAGGGTAGGGAGGCGCCTGGAAGCCCGTGTAGAACATCTCGTAATTGCTTTTAGCATTTTGGTTTGCAAAATCTATTTTGGGGGAATCGCAAGCTACATTCAAAGGAGATCTCGTATTTTGCTATTCTTTAGTCAAAAATTCAGACAGCTATCATTGCTCAGAATGTTCCGACCGCAACCATTCAATCTTACAGGTTCGGTGAAGGTCTAGGTGAAGGTCTCGGTGACGGTGGGCAGAGCTGAGGTGTGCTGATACGGAAATCTGCTTCCGCCAATCAGAGGCTTCGATAAGACAATTTCACTCTTATCCACCCCCACCGCCCACCTTTTTTTCCTTGAGCCATTCCTACCTCTCCAAGTCTGTTCCAGCAAAAGTCCGCGAACCGGAACTCGACCAGTCGCAAAGATGGGACTTCTCGCTGAGAACAAGACGTATGTATTCTAATCATTGCATAGCCCTGTTGCCTTATAGACTGCTAACTCTTCCCCTGTAGCCGGTCAAAGATCAACAAGGATCCTAACAACACCAAATGGACTCGCGATACCACCACCTTCGGACAGAAGATCCTGCGATCTCAGGGCTGGCAGCCGGGCCAGTTCCTTGGAGCAACGAATGCGCCACACTCTGAACTCCATACCGCTGCGAACGCGTCGTACATCCGGGTTGCGCTCAAGGATGACATGAAGGGGTTGGGCTTCAGTAGAGCCAAGGAGGACGAGATCACCGGGCTCGACGTGTTCCAAGACCTGCTCAGTCGGTTGAATGGAAAATCAGAGGGCGCTGTTGAGGAGGATCGCCAGACGCGACTGGCTGTCAAGGCTAACCACTATGTCGAACAGCGCTGGGGTCCCATGCGGTTCGTCCGAGGTGGACTCCTGGTGGGCGACGAGTTGAAGGAAGAGCCCAAGACAGAGGAAGATTCCGATGGATCATCGAGCGAGGCTGAAGGCGAGGAGGCTGCGGATGTAGAGATGAGCCAGGATTCCGCCCCAAAGGAGTCCAAGAAGGACAAGAAATCAAAGAAGCGCAAGGCCAGCGACGATGACGATGAGGACACCTCCGGCCGAGACTCGGAATCCAAGAGCAAGAAGAGACGGAAGGAAGAGCGAAAGTTGAAGGAGGCAGACGACGGCACCGATGATGCGAAGGCCAGGAAGAAGGAGAAGAAAGAGAAGAAGCGCGCAAAGAAGGCCGCAGCCGAGGGCTCTGAGAACGAAGGCTCGGCCTCAGACGAACGATCGAAGAAGCGAAAGTCCAAGTCGAAGGACGCCAGCGAGGAGTCAGACGATGATCGAGTGAAGTCAAAGAAGTCAAAGAAGGATAAAAAGGACAAGAAGGACAAGAAAGACAAGAAGAAGCGTAGAAAGGAGGAGGCCGAGGCTTCAGACGAAACACCTGCCGAATCGGTAGCAGGTACCGGAACCACGACCCCAGGCACCGGAACTTCAACGCCTCGAGGAAGCCGAAACTTTGTGAGGTCACGATTTATTGCGCAGAAGAGACAGGCCGTGTTGGATACCAAGGCGTTGAACCAGGTTCGTATTTGTGATGATCTTCTTTTTCGGACTTGCCAGTACTAACAGTCGACAGATCTTTATGGTTAAAGCATAAAAGCGACATGACTATTCAGGCGCGAGGAGCGGGACATATAATTAGAGATTGCGGCTCCAGACACTGGGTTGCCAGTGTCCATTCTACATGCGGCACTGTAGACACTCTTGGAGATTTGATTCATGGAGTCTAGGTTGCTTTAGATGGGTTTGACGCATATTCGGGAGCGTTGGGAGAGTTCGAGCTTGGCTGGTCGCGACCGAATCGGTTGGCAGAGTCGTGTGGGTTCCTGATGATCCTCGGCCAATATGTCACCATGCAGAAAAGTCAAGCAATAGCACAAGTTGTGTCGATCAATTGCCTCGTTTCCCTATTCCTACAGCTCGACATCCGTACGCATTCATCTCATAAACTATGGTTCTGGGCCTGAATATGACCCAGCTCGCATAGACGTATCATATTATACAGCACTCCATCCGCCGTCATTGTTCCAATCTTCGACGGGGCTTATTTGCCAGCGTTCTTGCCAAAAGTGCTAAGAGAGGTTTCGTCGTCAATTATGTACGTTATGGGAGAGAGCACAAAATGGGGTGTGTGTGGCGTTGGCATGAGGTAAGGGGCAATGGGTGACGTACTTGTGGAAGAACTGGCTGAAGATGCCGCCCTTCTGTTCCTGGTCAGACATGCTGGCACGGCGGGCGGCGAGGGCATCAGAACCGCGTTTCTGCTCTTGTAGGCTCGCGAAGGCTGGCATAAAGCCGGAGCTCTGGTGGTGGTGGTTAGTGGAGGAAGACGGAGGGGAGGGGAGAGTGTACTCGGCGGCGGGTGGTGTTGGTCGGGCTGGGCTGCTGGGGAGTCTCGGAGTTCATGTTCGCGGTGTTGATGAGGATGTTGGACGAAAGTACTGATGTATAGAGAGAGAGAGATGTTGTTCAATGGCGAGACTGTTGGAGTATACAAGGCTGCTTGATACTCGTTCTAGGCGGGATGATTGAAGAGGGAGGGGAGAAGCGAGAAGGAGGGTAGCTCTGATCACCCGTCTTATATGTGCTTTGACTCGGCTCGGTCTCTTCGTTGGCCTTGTCCTCGATGACGGGGAACCTACAGGGCGCCACCACTTGTCTCTAGTCTCTACTCTCTCGCCCCCAGGCTCTAGTCTCCCCGGGTCCCCTCCCGCTCTCACGCACATACATACCTCACGCTCGAGCTACAGCAATGCTCTGCCTCAGCTCCGCAAAGCTACCTGGGTCCAGCTAATCACAGGCCGGCGTGTCGATGCCAGCCCGTACAGTGAATGGCCGGCATGGCGACGAAGCTTCGCCTAAAGCGATCCCCCCCGGCCAGCCCATGACCCAAGTGGCGTCGCACGCCAATCGCCGTCGCACTCGGCCCAACCACGCCGTCTCGAGATGCATCCAATGGATCCTGGGTCCCCCGCAATTCCCAAAGTCTGAGGGACGAGACCAGGGGGGCGCCAAAGCGGGGGTCCTGATGGGTCCGCGGGCGTCTGGGCATCATGGCCGTGAGCTGGTGATCGCGAGTGCATGGCGTAGACGGGCAGCGTCACGCCACCTTATAGTAGGCCAGGTCAATTACAAAGCCGCCGTTGTGCTGCGGGTGTCACACGGGTCCCGGTTTCTTGCATGAAGGGGGGTCGCTTTCGCTTTGTAATGGCCTGTCCAATACTGGGGAGCTGTTGACATTGCAGTGAATGCACTCCTGGTCGAGCTCGGCTCTTCGTGCTGTTTGCTCGACAAGGCGAGCGGCGGGGAGGGGCGTCGTAGTGGGGTCGGTACGCCGCCGATGCGACCGGCCTATTCGGAGACTTGTGGGGGCAGGGCCTTGAAACAAAGTACAACTGCCGGCTGAATGCAGTCGTTAGTTGGTGACGAGCTCGCATCTCACGGTGGATGGAAGCTGTCTAGAGCTTGATTGGGACCTTTTTTACTAGTCTTATCTATGCTTTGTTCATCGCCCTCCAAGTCTGCGCCGGACACAGGAATGCGCATCGCCGGCGCCCGCGGTGGGGTTGAATTCATGTCGATGGGCATTTGACATGACGACTTGATCTTTCATTACAGATCAGAGATCATGCCGGGATGAGAGGCTTCCATTCCGCAATAATGTGACAGCATCTAGCAAGTCCTGGGTTTTCCATCCCAATTGGCTTTTCCAGATTCTTTCCAATTCATCCAGTAATATGGAGATGCTACTTGGGCAATGAGGGGACGGTGACATAAACCCAGCTAAGCTTCAACCCGGCCCATCAACTCAGCATCCCGTCGGAACACGCCGCAATAGCTCTATTACAGAGGGCGACCTGCTCCCCCAACCCCATTGGAATCACCCAACGTCAGATCATAATCAGCCATCGCAACCCAAAAATGGACTTCACTTGGTTGCATTGCTCCCCCAATGGCGGGGTACGCTCACCACGCTGCAACACTGTGAGTGACGTCGGTCGTCGGATTTAATGTTGTTCCTCAGCCACAGGCAATGGCGCCGTTGTGGCACGCACCCGTGAGCTGCAGATCCCTGCAATCTTATCACGGCGCCGATAGAGCCTCGTCATCAACGCTCGCGGACCAGCGCCCATACGACCACCACTCACCAGGCACCAAAGCATTGCAAATCCCCGAATCTCCCGACGACTCTTTGTGGCGTCACCCTCCACCGCGCATAGATCCCCTGCCTGCAGCACGCAGCTACGCAGCACGCAGCACGTGTCCCCCGGCTTCAACCTCTCCACGCCAGCCTTGCAGAGTCCGGAATTCAGGGCCCATGACCTGCACGCGCTGCTCATCCTGAGCCATCGCCCTGCTCCTCATGCAGAATCGGCTCGCCCTCGCCCACGTCCTCAGATGACGAGAACCCGAGAATGAGCGATGATGCCTCGCCGAGCTCCCCGGCGCGAATCGCGGGCTCCTCCGTCGAGCCCTTCGTCGAATCCTCCGTCGAACCCTCCGGCAGCCGTGTCGCCTGGGACGCAAGCTCCGAGCTCGCCACCCCGTCCCGCCGCCGCGCCCAGTCGCAATCGCAGCGCCGCAAGAAGAAGAAGAGTAGGAGGAAGCGCAATCCTGGATTGGCAAGGAAGTTGGAATTCGTCACCCATTTGCTCAAGAGCCTTGATACCCTGGTGTTTGTGGAGTTAAGTGCATTATACTACATGGAGTATGTCTTCATCCCTTCGTCGCTCCCCACGCAGCCCTCGCTCCCTACGGCCCTCGCTCACCTCTGCGTCCCATCTATAGATGTTCCATGTTTCGATTTGTCCTGCGGGCTGTGGGCCAGTACATGTACCTGACCCCAAAGGACGACTCCTTCCCCTTCCTCATGCCCGCCACCCGCATGCATGTCATGTTGGTCGTTATTCCCAACATCATCTGCATGCTCCTACATCTTTTCTGCTCCCTCTCAGTAGGGCCGGATTATCATCGAGGATACATGCATGGCGGATTGGTCATCGATTTTATTGGCCAGAAACCTCCCACCTCTCGACTGTACTATTTATTGGCAGATGTGGCCATCCTTGCCATCCAGTGTCTGATGCTGACCGTCCATACGGAGCGAGAGAGGCTCCGGGTCATGTTGAAGACGTTCCGCCCCTTAGTTTCGGACCTGGCCCAGCAGGTAATGACGATACCCAGCATAGAAGACCTGGATGCGGAGGAACGCGGCGTCTCCCGGGACATGTCCGGCTTCGCAACGACGGATGAGACGAATGATGTTGAAATGCAGCCGCTTCGTCGCGCGAGCGATGCGGACGACGGCAACGAGCAAAACGGAGAGTCAGAGTCGCTGTCAAGAGAGTCATCGATGGAGGAATCTTCGAGGTCGCATCTGTCAGACGTTCTGAGCTCTGGGAACGCAATACTCGGCGAGTATCATGTCATCCACTCCATTCGCTCGGCAGCCATGGACCTAGAGAGGACGGCTGCCTCCTCCCTCCGCTCGCTGAGCTATGGGGCTACCTTGGCGGCCCTCGAGGCACGTCGGCGGGGGGGCAATGTGACAAGCCGGCCTGTGCAAACCGATAGACAGCAGTAAGATCAAGATGGAAATTCAAGCGTGCGAGGGTGTTGGAGCATTAATGTGTGTGTGTATGTATGTGGGTGGGTGTGTATCATTTTGAATATTGAAATGTGGTGCTTTCACGCTATCTTCCTACCCACGTTGCCAACGCCAGATCCCTTTACAGAAACAATGATATCGTCCGTCTCGTCATCCACATCCCTCAAGCCCCAGCTGCTCGCTCCAAAGGTCTTCAAATCTCTCGCCAATCCCACCAACTCCTCCGTGCCAATAACGTCCCTGCCTATCCGCAGACGGCCGACATCTTCTGATCCCATTGCCATCAGCACAAGAATCGTCCTGGCCGACACCTTGGTGACGCAGCCACCCTGCGCAATGGTCTCCAGGAGCTGGTGGGCGCATCGCTTGCCGATTTCTTCAGGGACGACTCCACCCTCCGGCGGGACGACGACATCCGCAGAATAGATGACTCCCACTGCGCTGGACTCGGCCACCAAGCTCAGTCCAAAGCCAATGCCCAGCCGTCGCTTGCTTCCTGCCTTGTCGCCTGTGGAGACGAGCGGTGCTTGGTCGTATTGGGCGGCGACGTGGATATCGGACACGAAAGGGTTCAGGACTTCTCGCGCGGAATGGATCATGCGCGCGTTGTTGGACGCAGAGACTCCTGTGCAGTACGCGACACCTCGTATCCTCTTTATGCGCCCAGGGCTGCGGTTCAGGTGCAGCGTCTTGGGTAACCGCACTTGGCTCGCAAATCGTAGCTCAACACATCCACCGCCTCCTCGTCCACCAGGTCCAGCGCATGAACGCTGCAACACCCTCAACTCTATGCGCGCGGGAGGGATGCCGAAGAGGCCGAAGAGAGGGAGAATGGCGGTTCGGAAGGAGTCGACGGAGATATCGCCCGTCTCGGTAGATGATGTGATGACGCCCGGTCCGGTAAACCGAACATTCATGTGCGCTTTCGAGAAGGGTGCCAGGAGGCAGAGCGGCAAGAGGAAGTAGGTGACGCCGCGGGTGCAGGTCATGGGAATGTTGTGCTCAATGACATCTCCGTCCGAGGCTCCAAAGCCAGCAATGGTTCCGGTAACCAGACCCGGGTGGTAGGTGATTGTTGTACCCGTGTATGAAATTTGCATGGAGCTGCCGTTGGTGACGGCCTCCATGAGGCGCAGGAACGAGATCTCATGAGGGGCCAGGCCGGGATTCGTCGGCGACGAGCTTCGGATTTTTGCGATGTGGACGGGCCGACCGGTCAGCGTAGACAGGACCACCCGCTGGGTGAAGGCCCGGTGGCCAGAGAATCGGAGGAATTCCGGCGAGGAATTCGACATCTTTGGTTTGGGTATCTTGGAGAGTCACTCGCAACCTTCGCATCCCGCTGCTAGAACAAAAATTATCTTTCTGCCGGTGGAAAAGTTGTCGGCTCTGCCCAACAAAGCAGGCGGTGAGGAGCCAATATACTGTCTCCACCTGGGATGGCAGATTTCCAAGTCTTATCGATAAGCCCGATGATGGTGTTCCAGCGCGACTGCAGGTCCCAGAAAAGTTCGAGATCCTGCGTCAACCAAGCTTCACTTGCTTCAGATTCGAGACTGAAGGCTCGTACGTTGTGAAAATGGCGGGCCGGCCGCTATTTCTCGATCTACGATGTCGAAATAACACCATCTGCCGCTCATGTCGACTTGCGATCCGCCAGCGACCGCCGCAACTCCCATGGGCTGCCGCCTACAGCTCTCAAGCCTCCAAGACTGCGGGACGACGACCTACCGACGAATCCATCGCACGAAAGCCCAGTAAACTGGAATTAAAGCAGTATCTCGAGCGCATTAGATCCCTGCGGAGTCCCAAGAAGGACGCAGACAAGTCTTTTTCGGTTCGATACTTTGAACAGAACAACAACCAGAGAACCGAGCTCTCCGACGAGGAGGCCTTTGGCGATTCGCTCAATCAACTCGATGCTTCAGAGCTCAAGGACGTCTTATTCGAGATCAAGGATGAGCTCGTAGGGAAGGAGGAGAAGGATGCCTTTGATGAGGTAGTTGCACATATGGGTGAGGACTGGGACAAGTTGAAGACAGCCGACGACCTGGAGAAACTGGTGGCCAGAATGGACGCATACACGGCGGCAATCGATGCGGAAATCGACAAAACAGGCGCCGAGTTTCCCAGGGAGCTTTTGGAGGAGCTTGATAGGGAGATTCCAGGATTACCAGGGATGGGCAGCCTGGGCTCACGGATCGCCCTGCCCCAAATCCCAGAGAAGCCATGGACAATGAACCAACGGAAGAAAATCACGAGGCTCAATTCCATTCTAGCGCGTGTCTCGAGAGAGATGCGCCGAGATTCGAAGCTCACCAAGAAGAGCGTCCAGGGAGTGTACAAGGCCTACCATTCGGCAAGGCTTTCCCTCGCCCATGGATGGAGCCACGTCCCCCTCGGAGTGTGGGATTTCCTATGGAAAGTATTCTCCGTGGATGAGTCGGTCAACATGCATCGTCTATCGCACATTGCACTGCTTGCACGCGACATGAGCGAGGCCAATGTTGTCTTGAGCCCTGTACAGCAGCTGTTGACCATCGAGGCCGTTTTCGTGGATGGCTGGGAAGCCAAGGCCATTGAAAACTGGAAGCGATGTATCAGCTCGCTGGGTGATGAGAACGCAGAGACGTTCCAGGACTTCTGGGAACTCGGTGTAAGAATGTACTGCCGCGAGGGTGATCTGGAGCAGGCACAGAGGGCTATCAACAAGCTGCTCGAGAGGCAGACAGACCCTCGAATTCTCATGCCTCTTATTCGGACATGTTCCGAATTGGGCACAGAGGAGGGTCAGGAGCGAGCCTGGTCCGTCTACCGCCAGATGCGAGGGCTTCTTGGGCAAGACATGAAGATTACGGATTACGACCAGGTCATCGCCTATTTCTTGGCCACAAACCAAGCCGAAAATGCCCTGCACGCCTTTGTCGATATGATGAGCGACGGGAAGATCGACTTGAAGAGGCAGACATACCTGCCTTCGGTTGTCGCAAACAAGTTCTTCTTTGGAAAATGGCTGAAGAGGCTCATTGGCGCTGGTGACCTGAATGGCGCCCTCAGCGTCGTCGAGTTCATGCGGAGGAAGGGCGTCAACGCAGCTCCGATTCATCTCAACGGCCTCGTCGCTGCTTGGCAACGCGCGGGTGGCGTGGAGGATCTTGAGAGAGCTGATGAGATGGCATGGGGGATGATCGAATCACGAATCAGCTTCGTTGAGACCAGGCGGAACGAGAGCAGCCGCAGGAAGGCCGAGGCTCTCGAGAAGTCGGGCACGGCGCCACTGCCCAGGGCAACCCTCGAGACCTTCTCCCTGCTTGCAGAGAACTATCGCATGCGTGGCCTCCACGACCGACTCCAGGTGCTATGGCAGTCATTCCGGGACGCCGAAATCAGCCCTGATGCCTTCATGATCAACCAGCTCATCGAGTCGTACATCCAGGCCGGCCAGATAAAGGAGGCGCTCGAGCTGTATAACGCCCTCGTCACCGAGAAAGGCGTCAACCCCGACCCCTACACCTTCAGCTCCCTGTGGAAGACGCTGGGTATCAACCGCCTGCACTCGGTCTCCGAAGATGCCCTCGCCGGAGAAACCGAGGCGGCCCGCGCCCTGTTCGCCGAGACGGTCAAGTTCAAGCATGTCTTCGAGCCGGAGGGCATGGATGGCCAGCTCGCCCGCAAGATCCTCCACACCCTGCGCCGCCTCAACGATCCGGCCGGTCTCATCGTCGCGCTGACGGCCCTCCGCGATCTCTTCCGCTTCCTCCCCCCGAGACGCTCGTGCTCGAGATGGTTCTCGGCACCACCAAGCTCTCCCTGGATTCCACCGGAAGCCGGAACCGCCTCGTGCTCGCCAAGCGCAACCTCGACCGCGCCCTCGTCGCCTGGGCCGACGGCGACACCACCAAGCTCGAGGGCCCGCGCCGCGGCGTGGCTCTGTTCGAGTACCTCCAGAAGCACTATTGGCCCGCGGATGCCGATGAGTCGGCGAAGAGGACTGCCTTCCGAGATGCGGCTCGGCAGATGGGCGTGTACGATTTGTTAAAGAAGGCGGCGAAAAAGCGATGATGAATGATGCCTCGGAACTTGTACCATCTCCAATGTGCGGACACATATAGACAGCAACCGGCAGTAGTCCAACCCGTTGCGGAATTGTATATTAGGCACCACAGAGGCTGTGGGCATACCTGTATAATAGAACACACCTGGCTCAGTCGTCTGGAGTTGCAGCAAATTTCACGCACATCAATGAATGTTGGGCGTATCGGCGGGTGTAAACGTGATAGATATTAGCTAGTTATACGGATACCCTCGACAGCAGTTGTGGCTTGAAGCAAAGAATCCTATCGCGACCCGTAGGCAGGACGTCCTTTAAGCCAACAGTTCCATCTTTTCCATCCGTCCCGTCCGAAACTCCGGCGCTATGCAAAATGATCAAAACACTCCCCTCGTTGCTCCCGTCTCCCACGCGCGACGCTTCTTCATGGAGCACTGGACGGCCGTTGGAGCCGTCGCTGGTGCAAGCCTCCTACGACAAGTCCATCCCCTCGTCGCCGTCTAGACGGTCGCCCACCGAACTCAGGCCCGAGTCGTCGTCATCATCGCTAATGTGGCCGTTTTGCTGGGGCGCCGCTTCCTGTTGTTTGTTCTCTTCCTCCTCGGGATCCACGGTCCGTTTGGAAATCCACTCGGCAATGGTTGTGTCTGGACCGCCTTCGACTTGGACCTCGCCCGTGTCGTTGCCGCGGCCGAGGATAGTGCCGTGGAATTTCGCGTCCTCGCCAGTTTTGCTGTGCTTCTTCTTCAGAGCTGCGAAAGTGTCAGCCATCTCGAGTCTCGTCTGCGCTTTCTCGCTGCGAGGGCATAAATCTCACCATTGAGGTAGTCGGTCGCATCCGATTCGCCGTCTCCGTTGCCAAACTCCATCATCTCCTTCATGCGCTGTCCCGCAAACCACTTGACAAACTCCTCGACGCCGCGGAGGTCCTCGTCGCCGCGCCACTCCTGCTCAGTTTCGACGCGCTCCGGCAGCAGGGCGCCGACATCCTGCAGCGCCATGCGGATGTCGACGACTGTGAAGTCGGCGCTGTTGCCCTGGTTGTGCGCCGCGTGATCGGCGGTGGCCTGGCACAACAACGAGAGGTAGCGCGCTGCGAGGTCGGTGAGCGAGTCGAGCACGGCGGGCCGCGTGGAGTGGTAGCCGGTGGACCGGAGGATCTGGAGGATCGAGGGGCGGAGAAGCGCGTGGAAGAGGGAGGGCGGCGTGGTCATTGTGGGCGAGGTGTTGCTGGCTATGCAGCTCGTTCGCTAGTATTGGGATTGGTGTTGAAGCTGTTCGAGCCGGCGCTGGAGCGTTCGTGGTTCTAGTCGTAGCGACGGTGTCGCGCTGGCTGGGACGTCATCGGCCGGAGATTGCAAAGGTCTCACAGCGCGTGTCCGCCCCGAGCGCTGATTTCTCTGACGTGGGGAGTGGGAATCTGGAGACGAGGATGTTGGAGTCGCGGCTTTGACCTTTGTGAGCGAGAGCTTGGAAATTGGGGCTTCAGCCTCGTCGCGGGATGCACAGTGTGGGGTTACGTCCCCACACATTGTGCACCTCTCTGGCTTGGAGCTTGTCATCGATGCAATACACGAGCTCCGCTAACATAATAAGAAGACTTCTTTAATTTATACCCACCCCTATGTTTTATTTTTCGTCATCGTGGGTGTCCATATTTCCGTATTTCTATGAAAAAAACCGTACTCTATTTGCTAGCAAGTTCAATGAGATTAAAATACATACATCATGACAATAAAGACATCTAGTGATTACGTCTTGAACTAATTTATGCCCGCTATCAATTACGACGCGATGCAAAGGTGCAATGGGCCTTGCCGATTAAGAAATTCTCAACGTCATGATAACTATTGCTTTCATTCTCATTCAAACGTAACTTTGTACTCCAAAATCTTACAAGCTCCCTTCAAGTCAAAGTCCCAGCTACACAGTAAGCTTTCCCGTGCGCGACTCCAACTTGGTCTCGTCGGAAATACCGCTGTACTTATTGATCCAGTCCAACACTTCCCTATGCCAAACCAACGAGTTCTCGGGTTTCAGAACCCACTATTTCATTGTGTTAGTCTCAAAACACACAACTCTAGGTAGAATTTTCAATTGTCATCACTTACATGGTTCTCGTCGGGGAACATGACGAACTTGCTGGGGACTCCCCGGGCCTGGAGGACATTGAACATAGACAGGCCCTCCGAAATGGGGAGGCGGTAGTCGAGTTCATTGTGGATGACCTAAATATTGTGAGCAGACTGTAAACTAACACGAGGCAGTCTCGGCCTACCAGTTGTGGAGTGGCCCATTCTCCCGTATGCTTCGACGGATCCCACTTCTCGTATCCGGGGCGATTCTCCCAGAGCGTTCCGCCAAAGTCATGCTCAGGGAAGAACAGCTCCTCAGTTGCCCACTGGTTCTGCGTGGAGAAGACGCCGTCGTGGCAAACCAGGGCCTTGAACCTACGTCCCAAATCATTCCCCTGGATCCAGTCTACATATTTGTTAGTACGATATACAACCATATGGATGCTTCTTCCAACTTACTGATCATATAGCCACCGTACGACGCGCCCAGTGCCACCGCTCGGTCGGTGTCCACGTACTTGACCTCGTTTTCAAGGTATTCAAAACATTTGACCAAATCCTTGTAAGGGCCGCCTCCCCAGTTCTCCGTAATAGCATCGGTATGAGCCTGTCCATATCCTGTACTTCCAATCGGGTTAGGACACACAACGACATATCCCTGCTCCGCAAAGATGGCCGGATTCCACCGAGTGCTCCAGTCGTCCGTCCACGCCGACTGTGGACCTCCGTGGATCAAGAAGGCCAGAGGATACTTCTTAGAGGAGTCGAAATGAGACGGGGTCATGACCAAGGCGTGGTTTTTATACCCTTCCGACCCCGGGTACCAAATCTCGGAGCATTGCGATTTCGAGAGGCCAAAGGACCTGCCATGTTTGGAGCTGGTGGAAATCTCCTCGATAGACCGTTTATCAGGGTGGAGGATAGAGTAGCTGGAGCTTTCGATGCGGGACTTTGAGCTTATGAGAAGTGAGTTGCTCCCGCCCAATACTCGCGCTTCAATGACACAGCCGTCTTTGTGGATAGCCTGTGGAAGATTCGTGGCTTCCAATGGCGAGGCAGGAACCTCCCAGAGCACCATCCTTCCGTGCTTCTCTGCCGCAACGTACAGCACCTTGTCATCCTTTCCCCATACAGCCCAGTCTGGTCTCAAATCCCAACCACCCTCGCCATCCTTGGTTTCATAAAACTCCTGTACGTTGCTCAAGTCGGTAACATCCGGGAGGAGAAGCAATCTCGTCTTGTCAGATTCGTATTGCTCGCTCCTCATCCTTGCAAAGACAATCTGTCGTCCGTCGCTGGAGAAGGCGGGCGAGAGAGTGTAGCCCCTCAGACGACCCGTCTTGACGAGCTGGGGTGTTGAGGGCTTCTCGGTCCACGACTTGATGGGCACGTAGTAAAGGTCGGTTTTGGTGTGTCTGGCGGGGTTCAGTTCCGGGTCCTTGGAGACGAAAGCGATTCCCGAGGCAGAAATATCAAAGTCGCCAGTGCCGCCAAAGGGAGCAACGGGGCAGCTCAGCTGAGTACCTGCCAGGAGATTGGTAAGGCCCGGGTTCTCGAGGGTCCATTTGCCGTCTCGCTTCACAATGAGACCGTACCACAGCGAATTCTGGTTCGCGGTGTTCCACGCATCCCAGTGTCGAACGAAGAGGCCAGTATAGATCTTGGCGGATGTGTGAGGCTTAGTCTCGGCGGCAGGCCAGTACATGTCTCCATCGGGGGTGGTCAAGGCAGAGCAGACAAAGGCGACCTTGTCTGAAGACAGAACCTTCACTTTGGGGTTGGAGATGCTTCCGGCAAAGTAGTGCATCATGTGTGGCCTTTGGAGGTGTTAGCCGTGTTCAATTGAAGGTGTATCGTGGATGCAATTGCCACCAGCCCATGTGTTTGGTAGATGGATCCCTATAATAGTAATTGACTTACGCAGAAGACTTGTCGTAAACATCTTGAGAAAGGAGCATGGAACAGCCATTGTCCCCATTCTTAATGAAGGCAACTTCAGTCTCACTAATCCAGATGGGCTCGCCAGTGGCGGTATCCTCCGAAACGAGGTGAGAAGAACCGTCTTTGATGTTCAGAACGCGGATCTGAAAGGTCTTGGAGTGCGTCTCGAATGAGTAGGTCGAGACCTATTGAGGGTGGATCTTTGCGTTAGCTACGTGCCCTGGTCTGATTTTGTAAAAGAGAGATCTGAAGGAATCGGGCGAGAATTTCAAGTATGTGAAAGATGAAAAGTACGAACCGTATAGAGGGCCAGCTCGCCAGTAGAGTTGGGTACGCCGGCGGATCGGCGTGGGGCCGAGAGAAGCACCTCGGGTGTGAACCGCGATGCCTGGATCGTCATCATAGGCGGTGGCGTGAATCAGGTGATGGGGGAGGCAAAGCAGCGTGAGGAGGAGAAGGAGAAGAGGGGAAGTAGAGGATGATGTGGAGGATGACAACGACGCGGACGACGAGAAAGACGAGAGGGAGTCGGAGTTGTAATATAAGGCACAGGTGGAGTCCGGCCAAGGTAAAGTAGGGCGAGAGAGCAGGGCGAAAGAGCAGGTCGAGGATGAAAGTAAGGCAAAGATGCAGAAAAAATGCAAGTGTGAAGAAGGACAAAAGGAGGAGGAGAGGAGAGGAGAGGAGAGGAGAGGAGAGGAGAGGAGAGGACTCAAGGCAAAAAGAAGGCGACCTGGAGGGTAGAGCCGCGACAGAGCCGGAGTTGGAGCTCGAGCTGGGGTAGCTCGAGTTTCCTCCCAGGTTCCTTCCCAGCCTGTCGAAGCTTCCCCTCTAAAAGCTCCCCTCTCTTGTCTCTCCACTCTCCACCTCCGCGTCCGCCTCCTCCATGTCTCCTCCGCCGGCCCCTCCGCTTAAGCCGCGGCCAGCAATATGTGTGCGTCTGTGTGCGTCTGTGTGTGTGACAGTACGACTGAGCGACAGGTGCAGTACCAAATACATGCGGAATAACTGCGCCGGATGATGAATCTACTGCATTGGATGGCGCATCTACCTGATGTGCACTGCATCCATGTGCCCGCTTTCGTAGTTGCGTTGCCACCATCACTCTCTCCTCATCCATTCTCCTCTCGTGTCATCCAACCAGGCCCAGGCCCGGCTTCCCAGCCGCCAACCCCGCATCTTACAGCGCTCGGTCGACTAATAAAACCATAGAAAAGCCACCGCCGCAACGACAATTGACGGGATTGGATTCAACGTGACGACCAGTTGTCACTGCCAGGCATGTGCTCTCGCGCCCTCACAAGCCGTACAGCAGTAACCTGCGTACCTGGTACTTTGTAGCTTAGCAAGGTGGCGTCAGCATGCGCCATGGCCATGGACGCCCCGCGGTGCAGGTATCCATGAGCGGAGACATTTCCCCTCCAGCAGCTCGGCATGATACCAATTCGGCCATTCAAAAGGTCCCGGAAGTGACCCATCAAGGGACTCCGAGAGACACTGATCGCCAGCCTTCAAAAGACCCCAGCCCTTAGTTACATAGTACTTCACAATCACAATACCCGGTCCAGCAGCCAACCTCAATCGAGTCAATCCTCGGCCAAACCCCGTAAACAGAGGCAGGGAATCAATCATCAACCATCAACCATCCCCCACCCATGTTCCATGTTCCATGTTCCGTGCTGCTAGCGCTGTCACCACCCGACCGTACAGTGGATAATGGATACTTCAACCCTGATAAGTTCCCTCAACCAGCTGCCATGTTCAGAACAGCCCCAGCACTCTCCCTCAGACACTGTCGGCCCCAAATCATATGCAAATCAGCCGGTGAATCAATCCCACTTGAATTCGGTGCCTACGCCCGCTACATCCCGAAGAGGCTATCCTCGCATCCCACAATCACCTGATCGACTACAAACGTCAGATTGCTACAACAGGAAGCTACCCCAAGTTCATCTCTCCACCTCGTAGGTTAAAGGGGATCCGATTCCCATCCTACAATCAAAATAGAGAAAAGTTTTCCATTGTGTATGTCATCGATCTTTGTATAACGCCACGCATCCCTCTGTCAAGCCGAGCCATGTAGCTTTCCGCTTTGTTATCCCAAACGCCCAAGCCAAAACCCACCCCATAAATCAAGTCTTCCTCGATCAGAATTCGGGGTTCCCATACGTGCACCCGCACGCCCTTCAAACGACCTTCCTCTCTACTTTCGCTGTGCACCAAAATTTGTCCGCTTCTTGTTCGTCTGTGCATCGTTCTCGCTATCCTCGTGGTCTTTCTTCTTCAGCTTGTTCGCGTTCTTGCTTGTCGTAGACGTGGGTGTCGCATGGTTCGACCCGGGGTCTCGGAAGGGCGCAGACGACGGTGTGGCATGTGAAGCGGGAGTCGAGCCTCCAGACCCTGGGGCAATTCCTTCCTACGTGGCAAGCTGGTCAGCATCCTTCTAGTCGAAGGTCTCAGCCTGTGGCGGTCCTTACCAAGTTGTTCGGTCGGTACGAGATGGAAGATCGTGAAAACACTCGGTTCTGCTCCATGGGTCCAGCCTTCCGTCTCTGAGCGGCCGCACCACTCGTCCCCTTCATATAGTTATCGAAGCCCGTGATGATGTTTCCGGCCGGAGTGCTCTCGAGATACGCGGACTCCTTCTGTGCGATGCCATCTTCCACTTGGGTCTACTAGAGTCAGCAAGGCTCCGAAACAGACAAATCGTCGCCACGCAAGCACCATGCTCCTTACCAGACGTCTCTCCAGCAGTCTTCGCTTCTCAACCAGGTCGCGCACCCGAGCTTGCGCCTTCTTGTACTCTGACATCGTTGGTTGGCCCGCCCCAGAACCACCAGCGATTCCTTGCTTCCTTTCCGCCATGCAGCTTGCTTTTTAGAGTTCGTTTTCGCTTCTAGCGGGGGCAGTCGGTCCGCGGCGGTTGAGGTCGTCAGCTGGCGTTTGTTGTCTAAGGTTGTTGAATCCAAAAGTCGGCTGCGCGCATCGGAATCGCGGGGTGTCATGGACTCGCGTCAGTGCGCTTAATCACGTCCGGTGGGGCCGCGCCGCGCGCTTACAAGGCGTCCATGTGGTATCATTTGCACGTGCCGCTCCTCTGCCCAATGCTGAGGCACTCCCAAAGGCATCAACCGGTACGAAAACATCACGTAGTTATCCAGGTGTCACTGTTCAGATTTCATTGATTCATTATTCTACGATTTGATTCAACCGTTTTCTGCTCAAATCTCAGTTGCTTTTTCGTATTCCAAAGTGAATTTTACAAACGACAGGACCCAATCGGGTGGAGCGCTTCAACAACAGTTAGCCTTGACTGTCGAAGAGCTGCTCTAAAGAGGATCTCATCTTCGCAATCGTCTCCCCTTAACTTCAGCCTTCAGGAAATTTTGCTATGCAAATTTGTCTTTGTCTGTGGCTCGCCACTTGTCAGTGTCCATGACCACACGACTACCCTTCCTCCCATGATACTCAAGGCTTACCACCTATTCGTCGGCTCTCACAAGCTCAACATCAGGTTTCGATGGCGGGACGCGAGGTTCATCTTCAGAAATATCAGCTGACTTGCCCTGTGTTCTGGAGGGTGATGCAGGTGAGGAACTGTTCCGTCGCCGGTCGTTGCGAGACTGTGGTCTCTTTGACCGGCGTCGGCCGCCTCGACCTGGGCTGGCCCGCCGACGACGACGGCCATCATCCTCCACATCTGATGTATCACTTTGTGCGCCTCTTGGCCCTTTTCCACGGTTCTTAGGCGATGCACTGCGGCTACGACTACGAGACTCGGAAGAGCCCCTAGATCTCGATGACGAGACACTTCTCGAATATCGCTTTCGACGATCGACTGATCGGCTTCGTGACGAAGAATACCTTCTTCTTTTTGGCGTAGGCGAACGCCTCTCGGAAGACACAGAACCTGATCGACGATTGGGGGCGTATCGGCGTCCTCTGCCGTCGCGATTCGGTCGTGGTCGATAGGCATCTCCTCCTGCAGGCGATCTTGATCTCTTGCGCTGGTCTCGTCGTCCTCCTGGTGACCTCCGTCGAGCCTGGCGGTTCCGACTGTCTGATCGATCGCTACTGCGAGAAGCGCTCCGACTGCGCGAGTTGGACCGAGACGATGCCGAACCCGAGGCAGAGCCGGAGCGACTGCGCGACCGCCGGCGAGTACCACGATCACCGCGGTCGCGCCCTCCACCACGTCGACCTCGTGGAACGTAGCTGTCACGCCCGTACGAATCTCTTTGGTCACGGAATCGTGGCGCTGGTGATCGGGATCGGTTTCCAGTCCTTCTAAAATCACCTCGCCCCCGATTGCCGCGATCGCGATCGCCACGTCGCCCTTGCCAGGTATCACCACGTCCAGCTGTCCGATCTCGGCGGTCACGGTCTTTCATATCGGCGATTTCGCGATCTCGGCGGTCCAGCTCGTCGCGTCTCTTTCTAGCGTCCTCGGCGGCGCGGTCTGCTTCAATCTACAAGGTCAACGTTAGCTTGAGGCGATGGATGCGGCAGCGCGATCTGAAATGTACCTTTTCTTGTATGAGCTCAAGCTTTTTGGCTTCCAGGAGCTCTTTAGGCACCCCCTGAGGGCTGCCTTGGGCACTCAACAGTAGCCTCCATAAGTCTTTGCAGAAGGGGGCCGTGTCTTTGTCGAGGAACCCCGTCAGTTGGATCTGTAGGGACTTGATGTCCGGCTATGAGGGCGCGGTTAGCACGCCCAGGATTTCTTCGAGGCAAACGGTAGGCATACGTATCGCGATCCCTCGATCAGATTGAAGCAAAGCTCAATCACGACATCGTCTTCGCTGCCGAGAATTTCAGATATCTTGCTGGCGATCCATCTGGACAGAGAGTCAGCAAGGACAGCGACAGATTGGGGGCGGCTCTGACTTTTTCATGACCTGGAGGTTGACTTTCTGCATGTCGACCTTCTGGCTGAACTCGGCAGGGAACTTTGTCGACTTCAAGAGTCGCGCATCTACCCCGGTAGCCATGATGGGCCAAATCGCAGTGCCAATGTCAATGAAAATGCGTTGTTGGGCAAAGTGCTGAGGATGAAAAAGTGACGTCGCCAACCAGGAGTCCTTCGGAGTTCACTTCTGGCTCATGCCGAGCAAGCGTGCACGGGCCACTCCATGAGGTTTCAATGCTCCTTGTTCGTCGAGTAAAGGTACGTACCGACACCACACCACTGAGCCACTGCGAAAGCCACTGCGAAAGCCACTGAAGCTCTGTCTGCGGCGCGTCATCCAAGGTAGCCTACACCACTTGACGTGAACTTCATCTCGCAGGTGTCCAGCCGTTCCAGGCTTCATACGTTTTTCAAAGAGTCTCACCTAGTTATGGGATTGCCCCTCAGAATGAACAACCTCCATGCGCCCACAGTCCCGTCCGGACAGACAAGCTCCTACACAAGCAACGGCGATGCGGGGCAGATGAGCTTCAAAGAGCTTGAACGATGGAAGGACGATATTGAAGCAGAACTCAAGGCACTCGGCAGCGTGCTTGACTCGGTATCTTTCATAAGCCTTGCTTCTATGCATGCATTCGGCCCGCATTGCTGATCAACCGTCAGCATGGAGTAGACATGAACACGGCGCTCATCACGAGAGACGGCTTCCCTCGCTCTGACATCGACGTTGCTCAGAGTACGATACATCCCATGCCTTGCCCTCACTCAGCAGCTGACCAGTCCCAGTTCGGACAACAAGGGCTCGAATCATTCGACTCCGAAACGATTATAAGGGCCTCATGACTCGGATCGAAAAGTTCCTCCACGATCATTTCGCGGGCCTCGATGCCGACGGCGAAACAGCTCCCAATTCCAGTGGCGAATTGCCCATCCTTCCAGATTCGCAACCCGAGTCCCTAGACCCGCCGTTTGCGAAGGTCAACACCGTTGCCGCAGGAAGTCCAGCTGAGCTGGCTGGCTTGAAGGCTGGCGACGAGATTCGCAATTTCGGCTACGTAAATCGATCCAACCACGACAACCTCAAGAAGGTGGCAGAGTGTGTGCAGGGAAACGAAGGAGTATGTCTGATGACCCAACGCCAGTCAATACGACCAACTAATTTGTCATCAGAGCAACGTATTTATCAAAGTGTCACGACCTGCAGGCGTGGCGCAACGAGAGGAGCTACGGCTAACCCTGACCCCGAGAAAGGATTGGGGTGGACGTGGAATGTTGGGCTGCCATATCCTCCCCCTCTAAGGACGGAGATCAATGTACACCTAAATCATGGGCGAAGCCTCACGGCATAGCACAGCCGACGTGCTTTGAAACTGCTCGCGTAATCATGTCGCCAGAAGGCCCAGCAGATAGTCAAAAAGACAGGGTATTGGGTTGCAGAGCGAGGCATGATTCCGATGAAGTTTAGGCAGGGGGCCGGCAACGTGACGCCAAGAGTCAGATACTACACTTTTGGGCGAGAAAGGATTACAAAGCCGTCGCAGGCGTCTCAGGCCCATATCTCCACATCTTTGGCAGCCGCAGTGACTCTTGATTCTGGTAGGCCAGCTAGTACCAACAAAACAGTAAAAGTTGGCAGCTCAGGTGCCTTGTGGCGGGTTGGGTTGGTCCCGGTCACGGAAGGTGTTGGCCAAGCGGGATACTAGGGGAGCCCAAGATGGATAGGCCCGATGAAAATGGAAACAATAGCGCTGCATACCTGATGTAGTTTGCGTGGGATTGACAACATGATTGCGTATCATGAAAGGTGACTGGTTGAATGAAGCATTCCGGACGACGGGTTTGGCTTGATGGAAGCACGCTTTCAGCACTGGCCAGCCGCCGGCCACATGTCTGTCATTGAGCTGCAGTGAGACGTGCGTGTGTAGCTGTAGGTGACTACATGTTGGTAGGCACAGTACAGTAGCTCCGCCATGTACTTGATTGCCAGAGACATGCCCGTATACATGAAGGATTCTGCCACCAGAGAAGCTGGCCAAACACAGGCAAATGAACGGAGGAAAAAGGCATTCCTGCCCGAACCAGACCAGCCAGTGGCCCGAATGCCGAAACAGTGCAGTGCGCATGGCCTGGCTGGGAGAGGGCCCTTGCCACAAAATTCTGCCCATGTCACCAACAAAGAAGCGAAGGGCCGGGCAAACAGCCATGGGCAGGCACCGGGTGGGCACCTAGCACTCAGAGTCAGTACCCGGCACTCAACAGGCACTCAACAGGCACCCAGCGCGTAAGTTATGGCAAAACCGGCGGTGCCCAATGGGTGGAATATTCTAGGCGGCATAACTTAGGCATGCCACTGCACAAGGCGGTGACGGCGACGGTGACGGTGACCCTGGCGGGCATACGCAGTTACGCACCATGCTAGGTAGCTTGCAGCATGGCGCCGAGCGCAAAATACTAGGCAAAGTACTAGGCAAAGTACTTGATGATGTCCGTGATCCGTGCTGCGCATCACGTGCAGGCCGCCCACCTTGGGGCGACTGATTTTTTCGCTTAAGGCCCTTCCCCTGCCCAAGTTCCCCGCCGCCTTCAAAACATCAGGTTGACTGCGCTGTCAAGTTCGTCAATCACCACGTACCCACCTCCAGCGACGCATCTCAAGGTATTTAGGATCCCTCTCCTCGCCGTCTGCGACCTTGGGACGATGCCCACTCCCTCCGACCGACTCGCTTGCGCCGTCTCGATCGCTCTGCAGTAGCTAACTCCCGCATCCCAGCACCCCGCTTGTTTACGTCCTCCACACCCGTCGCTCCGACACCCTTCACAAAATGGCTGCGCAGGAAGTCCCTCCCACCTTCAAGCTGGTGCTTGTCGGTGATGGTGGTACCGGAAAGGTGTGTACAATCCCTCGCCGCAAATCCTCCCCGCCGACCTTATCGGCGGCCTTCCATCACCCCGCCTCGCCCCTCGTCGGGCGAGAGATGTCATGATTTTTCGGAGCTCCAACGCTGACTGATATCCTCGTTCACGACAGACCACCTTCGTCAAGCGTCACCTGACTGGTGAGTTCGAGAAGAAGTACATGGCCACCCTCGGTGTCGAGGTCCACCCTCTCGACTTCACCACCGTAAGTCTCACGACCCCACGTCGCCCAGGCGGGGTACTAATCTATCATTTCAGAACTACGGCCAGATCCGCTTCGATGTTTGGGATACCGCTGGTCAGGAGAAGTTCGGTGGTCTCCGTGACGGTTACTACATCAACGGCCAGTGCGGTATCATCATGTTCGATGTCACCTCCCGCATCACCTACAAGAACGTCCCCAACTGGCACCGTACGTTATCCCCAGTCCGGCATGTCTCTGAAGCCTGCTGCTAACGAATCAATCACAGGTGATCTCGTCCGAGTTTGCGAGAACATCCCTATTGTTCTCTGCGGTAACAAGGTCGATGTGAAGGAGCGCAAGGTCAAGGCCAAGACCATCACTTTCCACCGCAAGAAGAACCTCCAGTACTACGACATCTCTGCTAAGTCCAACTACAACTTCGAGAAGCCTTTCCTCTGGCTCGCCCGTAAGCTTGTCGGCAACCCTCAGCTTGTACGTTCTTCCATCTCCCGCAAAAATTATATCAAATTGCTAACCCGTAACCTAGGAGTTTGTTGCTGCCCCTGCCCTTGCTCCCCCCACCGCTACCGTCGACACCGCTCTTCTCAAGCAGTACGAGGAGGAGATGAACGAGGCCGCCAACAAGCCCCTTCCTGGTGAGCTTTCCGACGATGACCTGTAAATGGCTCGACCGGTCTCGGGATACTTTGTTGAGGAGGATACTCCGTGTCCCACGGAATGGGACATGAGAAGTATTTGAGGATGGCACATAGGCAGCCGGAATGACCATTTATGAGATACAGGACGAAAGTGCTAGGGTTACAGTAGCGTGATTATGGACGGCACAAAAGACGGCCGTCGTCCCTCACTTGAGGTAGAAGGGGTGGTGCCACTGCACAGATCGGTGGCCTATTTAGTTAGCTAGACATCCTTCAAAACGACACCATGGCCAAGTTTGCGTGGCTTGGTTATGAAGTTTTCCTTCATATTCGCACGCCCTTGTCATTTCGTACAATTGCTTCAACTGTTAATGGGTCGGAGCGAGGTGGGCAGTCCACATAGCAACGTGAGGACTCTGTTACTGCGTGACCCATGAAATAGCAGGTGTCACAGCTTCGTGGTCTATGATCGGCCATGATATGAACTTTGGGCTTCTTGAAGTTTGTTATGTTTGGAGTTGGCAGCTTGTCGACCCAATCTAGTACGCACTGGTGGACGGAGTGGGAGTCTTAGACCAAACAACCGTGCATGCCATGATGTGATGTTTTGTGTAATTGGAGTATGACGCAGATTCATTTGACTCTCCAGCCAACCACTGGCAATCGGTAGCACCGGCATGACATGTTGACTGAGTTGGCCAAAGAATGAGATTTGATTGCTTAGCGTTCTTGCCAGTGCGGCACCCCAGTCCATTTCGACGCAGCTACCCTGCACGTGTCTTACTTAACGCCTGGATAATGATGCATTTTCTCGAATACCATATAAACGACACGCCCAGAGCATGATGCTAATATACGACACTATATGTGGTTGGGAACTAATCACACATCGTAGATGCCCATCTGTTGTAGGTGACATAGTAAAAGTCGCCTACTGCCCGGACAGCAACACTCATTCCAATATCACAGCTTCTCGATTCGCCCCCATGGAGTGAGCCCAGGTCGAGTCTGAGCATGGGCTGACACACTTTTGAACCACAGCCACCGTTTTGCTTGTATCGTGTGACTTGATATCCAGCCCCGGGTATCCCTGTCGAGAAGATTCTGACATTATTTCACGTTTGTTTTCTTCATCAAGCAGCATCCCAAGATGACGATATTGCCATGCTCGGACGACAGCCTCAGCCCAGTGATCCAGTGGCCCATGTGCCCCCGCTTCTTCATTCAGCCGCGGACTTAATTCCCATGTACTCTGTATCGCGATCCTGGAACGCGACTTGTTAAAGATAGATGACAAGGACCACGACAGCAGGGGTTATTCGAGGATCGATTTAATGAGATTAGACTTGGCGTCGTGACTTAGTTAAATGGGATGGATGGCGCGCAGAAGACCCCTGGCGCTGGCGCATGCAGCCACTTTATGAAGCAGGGGTCGCGAACATGGCCATGAGATGGCCGGGGGATCATCAAGACCGTTCACTCAGCGTGGGGCGGAGGGGGAATGGAAGAGTCGAAGCATGGCGATGGATGGAAATGAGTGGGCTGTGTATGTGTGCGTGCGTGCGTGTGTTGTTGTTATTGTTTTTCCCCGTCACATCAACAACGGGCCAACAATACCCAGCATTAACGAGATGCGAGAATGGCCCGCCACTGCGGCCCATCATTGGAGCAGTCTCAGCTCAACGGAGTTGGCGGGAAGGACCGGGGGCTGGGAAGGGCATGAGTCCATTTTGAATGGAAGAGAAAAGTAATTGACCACACAGACCGCACACGCGTGAGGGAGCGCGTCGGTTGTTCGGTTGCGGGGGAGATGCACCTGTCAGAGGCAAAAAACATGGGTCGAGCCAAATCTCGTATCGGGGACCAAAATAAACGGAGCGCCAGCCAAAATATTGAAACCGCGACGTAACTTGAACTGCCGCACCGCACTGCGCTGCACCGCACCGCAGGGGACAACATGGCTGGGAAGCAATGGGCTTTGGGCCTCAACAAAATGGCCAGTCATATTGCTAGAACAGAAGGCGGGAAGGCGGTCAGGACAAGCGAAGAGACGGGACAAGAGAATAGAGTCATAGTCGGGAGGTTGGGCGGTACTTTGGACGCACGTATGGAGTCGTTATTCGTCCATCCGCATGCAGTTTTGTATGTGTTTTGTCGAGTGGAGAGGCGGCGACATATACAAAGACAGGGGGGCACGTGCAACGCGTGTTGACATGGTTTCCCGATTGGGACACGGCCATGACAGGGGCGCGACGCCATTGGCCAGAAACTGGGCAAAAAACGCGGAGCAGAGGGCCAGGCGGGCCAAGAGGGGGGAAAAGGGAAAAAGGGAAGGGACGATGGGGCCTGGGCCGCTTCGTTCTAGCACTTGCCCATTTGGCATTCCTCCTCTCCGCGGTTCCACGCCCACGCCCACGTTACGTTCACGTACCTCGCACGCCCAACGCCCCGTCGCCAGTTGCACTACGACTTCACACGACAACCTCTTTTTTTGCTCTTCTTCCTCCTCTCCTCCTCTCCTCTTCTCCTCTCCTCTTCTCCTCTCCTCGACTCATTCCCTCTCTTGCTCACTCCCGCTCCTCCTCCAGCCGCCCTCCTCCTCCCAGACCGCCCCTCAGTAATGCCTCTCGTCGTCTCATAAGGCCATCTCCATCTCCCTCCTCTCTCCCCGCGCCATGGCCAACACCTCTCCCGCCGCCGCCTTCGCCGCCTCGCCGGACCAGCACGCGGCCGCCTCCTCCAGCCGTCATGACGAATCCTTCACGTCACAGATCCTCCCCCCACTCGCCGATGCCGCCGCCAGCCCTCGGCCGGGCTCCGAGACCGAGAAGCACCCCAAGGGAAAGCGGAAGCGGACTGCGTATGTTGATACTGTCACCTTATGGGCACGATACCGCTCGGGAAGCCTCAGATGAGCTAATACTGGGTCAATTGGGTAATATAGGGCCAAGGATAAGATGATCCTCGAGGAAGCATACAGCAACAACGCCAAACCCGATAAGCAGGCGCGTCTCGAGATCGTCCAGCGCGTCTCATTAAATGAGAAAGAAGTCCAGGTACGCCAGAATCCCCGCATAATATATGAACGCATAAGTTTTCATATCTACCCACGTCCGCGTCCATCTCGGCTCCATTTAACCACAACGCGTCTCATCCTATGCCTTGGAAACATACATCAACTAACACGTTCTTCTAGATCTGGTTCCAGAACCGACGACAGAACGATCGACGAAAATCGCGTCCTCTATCAGCACAAGAGATTGCTGCTCTTAGATATGGAGGCATGCACGTCATTTCGTCGGACCCAATCACAAACATTACTCCCTGCAAACCCGAAAAGACCTTCCCGGCGTCCGACCCCGCTAGTTCTCGACCTGCAAATTCCATCAATGCATCTCCCCGACCTCTTCACCAGACTCCTTCAATTTCCCGATCTCACTCCGATATCATTGCCAGCACGCCCCTCCCCGCTGGCCACGAGGGGATCCCTCGCTCCTATCCCGAAATAACTCCCAAGCACGACGAATTCTCCCCATCCCATGAGTCTCAAGATGGCTCCCACTCTCTATCTAGCTCCATGTCTAGCTCTGTTGGATACCTCGCAAATCGGTGGAATCTTGGCAGCTCTTTCTCCACACCGGCCACTCTGGGACGTGGCGGTGATGATTCCTTCCGGTATGTCATGTTCTCTCTTGAATTATTGGAATCCACACTGACTTTTATCCAGATTCGAACCCTTCCCTCCATCTTCGTGCTCCTCTGAACCATCCCAGCCTTCATCCCAGTCTAAAGTCCGCCTGTCACTGTCCCTGGAAGGGAAGGCGGAACTCGTCTCCAACCAAGTCTCTCCCACTCGTAACCTTCCCCCACGACCGTCCTCCACTACTCCAAGCCTGCCCCACGTGCGCCAACGAAGCCTCCAACGGAGCCATAGTGCACTTCCAAGCATCACTCTCCCTCCCATCTCGACCCTCACAAACTCTTTGCCGCCGCGACTGATGCGAGGCCGTTCTCGTGATGTGCATGCCTGGGAATCTTGTGCAGATGCGGAGAACCGCGACGAGCTCACAGCTCAGGCAGAACACGAATCAAACGGTTCAGCTATCGCCGCCATTAGCCTCCTCAGGTCATCTAGCGGAGTGCTCCAGCCAAGCGGCGCCAAGCGCAACGCGCCCATCTCGAAACCCCAACGACCTCACCATGCAAAGAAGGCAAGGCTCAACCGCAGCGGGTCTAGCATTTCCCAGCTGGAGACGGAGGAGGAAGAAACCGAGAAGCCTGAAAAGGAATACGGAAAGGTTAAGGTGTCGATGCTGGTTTCGCCTTCGGGGGATTCGGATAAGGAGAACTGGAGCCCGGACGAGGACGGAAACCAGGCAGAGTCCCACCGCCGAAGACCGTTACCGCCCGCGCCTCCCAAAGCTCAGAACCCCCGACGACTCGGTCGAGTGCTTCAGGAGCAAAAAAGCTCTAACATACTCGGAAACAGGTCCAACACTGCCCCATCTCGCCACCGCAACGTGGTTAAGGAAGGACTCGAGATTTTCGAGGATGTGTTGAAGTGCCCGCCGGTGTCTCGTGAGGATGACGTTGAGAGATTTATGCGAGGCGAAGTAAGCCCCAGCAAGAAGCCTGACATGGATTGTGTGGCTGGATTGCTGTCCCTCAGCCAGGGTGCCTGGCGATGAATGCCGGACATCATGAACAACCACGTGGTGCAGGCGGAGTGACGCCGGAATCACCCGCTGGAATGAATTTTGTGAGGGAAAGCCTCCGATGACGAGTTTCATTTTGGAGGTTTTTGTGTATACCCATATTTGGGAGAAAATGTGTTTTTGTTGCATTTCAACGACGTGTTATTTTCCATCGTTTTTAAGGTCATGGTTATGGTATGGTGTTTTGTTGTTTGGGCTGATTGGGGATGGGCGGCAACATGGACATGTTGGATTCAATGTAGATATATCTGTCCGACCGAGATTGTTTGAGCTGGAACAGCTAGACTCGGCTTCTGGCCTGGAAATGAAAGATTGTGACGAGCCAAGGAGTGTTCTCTTATGAATTGGCTTGTTTTAGTTGCCATTTACATATCAAGATGATGGTGCGGTCACATGTGCATGAATTATCGGGAATCGTGGCTCATAAACAGCAGAGGGAATGCTCCAGCAACCCCATCTGTGTCTTGTATTGAGGATATGAGGATGCAGGCGGTCTTGTCCACCATGCTTGGCCCCATGGTCTATCTATGAGAAAACGCTGTACGCGGAGTTTCTATATATTGTATAAGTCTGATAACAACCAGGGTAGTACCTTATCTTATCGTATCGAGGAATCTAGAGCCTCAGATACATCCATTGCCGTCCGTCAAAACCTCCTAGCTAGTTGACCAGACAAAAGAAAACCATAAACACCTAAAACTCCGTACGCAGGACGTCAAGAACGAAGGGAACAGCGCTTCAAGATTAAGAGAGACGCCAACCAACAGCCAATAAACCTGTCCCTTTTCCACCTTACAAACCCAAAAGACTCATCTGGCGGCGGATGGGGCTCGCGCTGACGCTGCCCTCCTCACTGCCGTAGAAGGCACTGTCGGTGTCAATGTCCCAGCCCAGGTCGTCCTGGTTGTCGTCGGCGCAGCCCTCGATATCAGCGTCAAAGGGCTTCTGGGCCGCGGCACGGACGTTCCAGCGGAGGGTCCGGCTGACGCTGTCGAACCACTCCGTGTCGGTGCGAGTGACGGTGGGGAAGGGGTACTGCGAGGCCGTGATGGTGACGTGGTCGCCCTGGCGGAGCTCGAGGCGGCCCTTGCCGTCAAAGGCGCAGTACGCAGTTGCGCGCGAGTTGCGGGGGATGGAGACGCGCAGCGCCATGGTGTCGGAGAGGACCATGGGCCGGAAGGACAGCGTGTGCGGGCAGATGGGTGTCAGGAGGATGGCCGGGATATCCGGGTGGACGAGGGCGCCGCCGGCGGAGAGGGAGTAGGCCGTGGAGCCGGTCGGGGTAGAGAAGATGCAGCCGTCAGCCTGGACGACGGTGAGGAGCTCGTCGTCGCCGTAGAGCTCGAGGTTGGAGACGTAGGGCGAGGGGCCGCGGTCGATGACGAGCTCGTTGAGCACCTCGAACTGCTCGCCCTCCTCCAGGCGGGTCTCACCGGGGAGCCCGCCGCGGTAGACGGTGCAGGTGAAGCGCATGCGCAGGTTGATCTTCATGCCGTCGTCGCCCATGACGCGGTTGAGGTGCTCCTTGTACTTTTCAAACTCGAAGGTGGTCATGAAGCCCAGGCTGCCGAGGCTGAAGGACAGCACCGGAGGCACGATGCGCTGGAAGAGCCAAGAGGTGAAGAGGACGGTGCCGTCGCCGCCGAGCGTCAGGACGAGGTCGAACTTCTCGGGCTGGCTCCAGCACAGATCCGGGGTCCAGTACTTGAGCATGTGCTGGAAGCGCGGGTTCTCAGCGAGGATGGCCGGGGCGTCAAAGCGGCGGGAGCCTCGCAGCTTGGCATCGACGTAGACGTTGACGCCCAGGTCGGAGCCGTAGCGGGGAGTGCGCAGGAGCCACGAGGCGAGCTCGCGGGTGAGGTAGACGAGCTGGTTGTCGCGGGCCTTGGTGACGATCATGATGTTGCGCACGGCACGCTTGACGGGGCGGCGCTGCAGCTGCTTGGAGACCTCGCGCACACCGGTGGCGGTGGCGACGAGGCGCGAGTGCGACATGGAGACATCGTTCTTGATCTCCTCGAGCACCTTGTTGATGTCGACGGCGTCGGCGAAGCGCTCGTGGTAGAAGCAGGGCGACTGAAGAGCTGCGGGGAGGAGGGTTGTGGCGGCAGTGGGCGTAGCAGCGGCAGCAGCACTGGCGGCGTCGGCAGCGGGGAACTGGCGGCCGCGGGCGCTGGAAGGCGCTGGAAATCCAGCGGCCCCAGCGATGGTTGAGTGGATGGCCGTAGTGGGCGTAGGCGTGGGACTGGTGGCCGTGGGGGTCAGGCGGGACTTTGCAATGTCGTTCAGGGCGTCAGTCAGGGTCTGCGATGAGGGGGACCTGATCTGGCTATCAATCGCCGCATTCACTCCGGTCGACGGCGCGGCAGTGGACGAGACACCCGCCTGGGGTCGAGCCTCGGACAGGGCCTCGTCCCCGCCCTGAGCGGATTTCATGCCGGAGAGGATGGAGAAGGATCGCGACTGGGAGCGAGTCCGGGAGTGACTGTGAAGGCCCCGCGGTGGAGGAACCAGCGAGAGGGCGTCGGGCTTGTGTTGGCGTGCAACCGAGGCTAGGGCCTTGATGACAGTCTGCCTCGGAATTGAGTCGCGGGAGGGCGAGTTGCGTTGGTGGCCCTGGCGGAAGTTGGAGGAGGAATAAGAAGACAAGGGGAGGGTTGCAGAGAACAAAGATGAAGGAGGGGAGGAGTCTGAAGAAGAGGAGGAGTAGTCTGAAGAAGCCAGAGTCTCAAGCGGAGGTGCAGGAATAGACGGGGATAATTGCGACGAGGAGGAGGCTCCACCAAACGAATCTCCAGCCGTAGCGGGAGCAATCGCGGAAGCTGCAACAAGAGGGCCCGGAACCGGGTCAATAGCTTCTTCCTCTGACGGCAATACACCCGCTGCCGCCGCCACTGAGAACGCTGCCGACGATTCTGAGGGAATCGATGAGTTGCCGTTGGAACTGGGGCTGGGGCAGGGCGTGGAGGTTGTGTTATCAATTGTTGGCGACGATGTTATCGGCGAGAGTTTTGTAGTCGAAGTGTCTATCTGACCCTGTCTCTCGCCCTCAATCTCGCATGCTCCGTCAGCAGCGACAGGTGCGCTCTTAATAATAGATCCGTCTCGCCCGGGGCTGCCAAGAGCCGGGTGGAGTGCCGTCGGCGACGAGGCGCAAAGTACTCCTGTCATATTTCCCGCGATGGAGGGCATGGAGGGCATGGATGGCATGGATAGCCTGGATTTGGATGCACCTCGGGGGGGTTTCTTTTTTGGTTGGGAAGAATGTAGAGGGGTCCCGCAAAACTGGGGGGTGGATACTTCTTCTCTCAGTCCGCAGACACAGAGGTGCGAAGTACCTTGACACAAGGACAAGGACAAGGACGGAGACAGAGAGACACAACAGGCTGGCTGGTTGTGTCGTGTGCCCCTAGTTTTGCGCCTTGGCCCCGTTCCGCAAAGTCCGTTCCGAGTCGCTAATTGCGGAGTCCGGCGGAGAAGCGATCCCGAATCAACCGTTTGCCACACAACAGCAGGGAGCGGAAAAGTTCCAATCCCACTCTCTCACAGAAGTGGAGGTTGTTGGGTTAGGCGGCGAGTTAGCTTGCGGTGGGTTTGTTGGTTTGCTGCCTCTTGCTGACGGCTTGCAGCTCTATCTCTCCCTCTTTGTATTAACGCGGAAGCGACTTTCTCCTCTGTTCCCCGTGCTTCCTCGGAGCCCAAGGAGATGTGAATTAGGAGGGCGTGATAGTGACTGTGAGAGTGACAGTGATAGTGGCACCGGATGAATCAATCACCTGGCTTTGTTGCGAATCAATCACTCGTTAGTTGCTCTTAGAACACTCCCTATGGCCACCGGGGCTGGTTCCAATTGGACTATCTCTTCACCGTCACTTTGTTGCGCTGAAAGTTCCGGCGTTAACGTCTCCCTTGGCAGATGCACGAGTAAGTGACTGGGGGGAAGGGGGGAAGAGTGGGATACGACGTAGAATCTCGTCAATCCTCAGTCTGCCTCTTGATGCACCAATTGTCCAGATTCGCTTGCCGGGGTTGGTGCGTTGGTGTGAGAGCCCGAGCCGAGCGGGAGGGATTGGCGGCGATTGGTGGCCGGTTGTGATGAGAGCGATGCAGCCGCAGCGTCACAGTGCACGTGGGTGACTGCACCAGCAAATAACGACTGCTGAACCTGGGGACGGATGCAACAAGCCCAAAAATGGAAGCGAGGACCAGGAGGATCGAGATTCCAGATGGAATCAGGGATACGTGCCAATCCAGAGGATGCAAGATGCAGGGTGGACGGATGCAACGCAACGCAACGCAACCCAGCCCGCAGGTATGCAAGATGAAAAGACGCAAATCCTCCTTCCAACGACCAGCGCAGAAAAGAACAAGAGAGTGGAAAATATTAACGAGTAATAAAAAAGGTATAAGCGACAGAAGTCTCAATCCCGCCACGTGGGAAGAAGAAAAAGAAGAAAAAGAAGGAAAAAAAGGAAAAAAAGGGTTGGGTCGAAAAGAAGACGAGAAAGACAAGTCGGAGACGGGGGCAAAAGGCCGCAGGCTTGGGCGACACTGGCGTGCAGGTGTGTGGGTGGTTGCAGAGAAGACTCCCAGAGCTCTCTGAACTTTTTGCTGCTGGCTTGATGATGTGATTTGTGACGTCTCGACTTGTCTTTTGTGTCTCGTTTTGTCCCCCCGCGGAGAGAGTGGGTGGCGGAAAACCCGGAATGGGGAATTGGACGCAACGAAAGAATGTATGAGGTGTACCTGCAACTCCCTTCTCCTCCTCTCTCGCCGATGGGAGGAACGGCTTTATACTAGCTGCTAGCTGCGAGCAGACCTGTAACTGGGAGGCTGTATCCAAACGTCGTCCCCCTTTCCCTGGCCGTGCCTTGTCATGTTGCTGCTCTCCCTTCCTGCTCCTGTCGATCTAGTGTTAGAGACAAGTCTCCCCTCCCCGTCTTACAGCATGGATTGAATCTGCTAAGCTACCACCTAAGCCTAGTACGCGCCGCGGCGCCCGCCAACGCAGCTTCTGGCCGCTGCCGCTGGGGTTGCAGCGTCGGGTTCTGGGGGGCATCCCATCCGTTCGGCTCCACGGTTTTGCAACGGCTTTTTGACGTCGCAGGGGCGCCAATCTGGTTTAGCGGCCTTGGTGCCCTGGCCGTGTCAGGGATTGCTTCAGAAACCTCGCTGTCTGATTACGCGCTTTATGCACGAGGAAAAAAGCCATTGCTGTGAAAACGGTGGCAGCTGCATCTCTGCATATGCCTGGGTGAACTTGTATCCACATGGCGGATCTTACACGGGGGGCGTTGAGCAACCCAAATCTGAGATATCGTGAGAAGGCACCCACGGCCATGGTGCCCCCCTATCATGTCCATTGTTGTCTCTTTGCCCCCGAGCCTGGACGATGATGTGGCCCCGGCATCCCTCCATTTCACGTCCCCCATCTTGTCGGGGGGCCCAGATATCGATCGGTGCCATCTGGCAAAGACAATTTAGACAGGGCTGGCCGTCGTGGGTATCTGGTTATTACGGTGGGCCAGAACGGAAACCTCTGTGAAATACGGTGCCAGACCGATTGCGTACACGAGCGTCTTGCCTCTCACCTGAAGCAATCGGACATGCTTCCCCGACTTCGCGTGAAAAGCGGCATGGTCTAGATCAGAGATCTAACGCCGAGCGATGGGTAAGCTTGGGTTTGGGCAGCTGTGTCGTATCGGCTAGCTGTGACGTCGCATATCCTTCATCCTGGGGGGCCTGGGTCCCACAAGCACCACACGGGTGCGTGATAGGCTGGCTGCGAGGCTGCGTCAGAGTCGCATCAACGGGGTTTGGTGATTCCGAAGTCGAAACGCCGTGATACTGTGGCTTTTCGTCTCAACTCACCCCTGTCCCCCAATGATCGGGCTCTTGGCACAATAACACACCGCGTTGTGGCGTAGGGATGTTGCACGAGGGACGGAGACAGCTGCCGCACCTTCCTGGGTCAGGCTTGGGACGTTTCTGCGCGAATGGGGCTGGGTGATTGTGTATTGTCTGGCGGCTATCTCATACTTTGATTGTTGACTTTATTCCAAGCTTATCGACGCCGTTGAGCCAGCTGGAAATCATCTTTATGTCATCTGTTCGACCTTGGCATGTGTATTCGAGTGCTCGAGTGTCGATATTAGATAGGGCAATGCATTGTTGATACCCTGCTGCCTGAATTGCCTGGATTTTCCCATTCCTTTTCGCCACCTGCTGAACCGCATAGAAGCCATGTTGTTTGATGACAACCCCCCAAATTTCGAGGTTCAGATGAAACACCGCGTCGATTTCATGCCCCAGCTAAGGTCGTCCTAGCCTCTAGCATCTAGTCATGCCGCTAGCTGCTCCTCTGATTGGACGTATTGTTGTGGCCATGAACGTTCCCCTGGGAGGCATATCCGATTGCTGTTTGATCGTCTGATGCGTGACGACCACACCCTCTCCTTTACCATCCGCCCTGTTGTGATGCTGACTATGTTGTAGATAGGACGCGATGCATGAGTTGTCACAACATTCGCGGTTCAGATAACAGGACAGGACCAATACGCGCCTTGGCCGGCGGCATCAGTCTTATCACTCTGGCGCAGAAGTCGTTGAGTGGCTGCAACCCTAGAGAGCCGTTCATTTCCAGTAGAGGTCATCTGCCGTCTTAGCCGCTATGACGGAACGAATAAAGTCCTTCATACTCCGAGATTCATGGCTATCTCCTGCCATGGCGGTGTCAAGACCGGGTTGTTGGTGCTGGCAGCATATGCGCTGTCCCAGCTCCAGGACCTTGTTCCACTCATCGACAGTAAAGGAGCCTTCGCTCTCTGACAAGAGAAGCTCGTCCTGAGAGGTGAAACCCAGGACGTGGAGCGACCTAGCACGGTCTGCCTCCACCGCGGTTGGATCAACGATGACATCCGTGTTGTCATCGGGGATGGCAATGACAGTCGCTGCGGCGATGGCCTTGAGAGGGATCGCGGCAGTTAGAATTGCCAGGATGGCTGCGTGGAGCAACGCAGGAATAATGGGAAGGTTCTGTTATCGGGTATCAGCAGCCAATCAAACAAATTGTTAGTCTGGGCATCTCACCAGCGAAGCCTGGACCAGCTTGGTGTTGACATAGGCATTCTCTGGTGTTTCGGCCACCTGTAGGGTGATTTGGATCACGCATCTGGGATAGTTCCGCACAGGAATCAGCTGGCGGAAAGCAGCCTGCAATAGCGACTCAAGTTGCCGCTCCCGGGTTCCTATAAATGATGACGGTTAGAAAACCCTGGTCATCCCGCTGCTCTCGTTGAGTCTCTCACCTCCAACCCCTGCAGCAGGCCGCACGATGACATCCACCAGAGCCTCAAAGGCGTTCTCGTCTCGTCTTTGCGCCTCGACGGGGCCGTTGACGGCGGCGACTACGGAATAGCCGCCGTAGGAAAAAGTGGCAGAGCCATCGGCCTTGGGGAGATGCGACAGCTCAGCGGCTGGTTCAGCAGAGGGAGCCATTTCTGTGGTGGCTGTGATACGGGATGCTGTAATAAACAAGGCTGATAAAAATTTCGCCAGCTGGGAGGTTGTGACGTGAGAACCTTCAATGTAGTGTCCAGGGTAGCTTTTGCCCCGCGGTCCCCTAAAGTACAGAGGGTGGCGGCCCCTTCCAGTGGCGTTGGGGCGGTGGGTCCGTTCCGGCTGCAGGTGACTGCTCCGGGCCGCTGCTTCAAGCCATCGCATCGTGGCCCGGCAAGCTCTCGGACAAGCTTGACAGCTGCATCATCATATCGAATCTTCTACGCGATGGCCTCACCCGCTACTACACAGTCCGCACCCTCACAACCGGGGGCACCCGCGATCCCCAACCTCAAGGACAGGATCCCAAAGCTCGAACCTCGCAGGCGACGAACGACACAGTCGAATCCCACTCCCGTACCCAAGACTCCCAGTCTGCCCGCGCCACCCGACACGTCCGACTGGACCTACAAGATCCCCTCGCGCAGGATATTGTCAAGGAAAGACCACGAGCTGTTCCTGGAGTCCCCGACATACCAGCTGGTCACGGCCTGGGTCTTTGGCCTGGCGGAGGCTGTGGTTGATACACCGTGCTCGGCCGTTCGCGATGGCGATCTCAGCGACAAGGTCAAGACCATCTTGCACATTCTCGACGAGGCGGAGCAGCTCGTGTCCAAATCCCCTCCAAACGAACAGGGTGGCTCGCGTTTCGGAAACAAAGCCTTTCGTGGATTCCTCGACCTCGCCAAGGACAACAGCTCAGACTGGCACCGCCAGCTTGGCTTGGACAATGAGGATGCCCTCGCCGAGGTGTCCACATACTTCTGCCAATCCTTCGGTAACGGCAGCCGCATAGATTATGGTTCTGGCCACGAACTGAACTTTATGATCTGGCTTCTCAGTCTCTTCCAGCTGGGGCTGCTGCAAAAGTCTGACTTTAAGGCTATCGTTCTCCGCGTCTTCGTGCGGTACCTCGCCGTGATGCGAGTTGTCCAGATGACCTACTACCTGGAACCTGCTGGGTCCCATGGTGTCTGGGGACTTGACGACTATCAGTTCTTGCCGTTTCTCTTCGGCGCTGCACAGCTATTATACCACCCATTCATCACACCACGCGCCATCCACCAGGATCTCACCTTGGAAGAGTTTGGAGCCGACTTTATGTATTTGGGCCAAGTTAGCTTTGTGAACAGTACCAAGACAGTCAAGGGCCTTCGATGGCATAGTCCGATGCTCGACGACATATCGTCGGCAAAGTCGTGGACCAAGATTGATGGGGGCATGCGCCGAATGTTCGTGTCGGAAGTATTGGGCAAGCTGCCCGTCATGCAACACTTTCTCTTCGGGTCACTGGTGCCGGCGGCTGACGGTATGAGCGAGGAGGATGCTATTGGTGCTGCCGAAGAGGAAGCAGGACCTGAATCTTCCGACCCGCATACGGGACACGCACACGAGGGGAAGGGCTGGGGTGACTGCTGCGGCATCAAGGTACCGAGCAGTCTTGCAGCTGCTCAGGAGATGAAGAAAAGGGGCGTAGGGGAGAGCTTGCGGAGGATCCCATTTGACTAAGCGCTTTGTAAGGCCTTAGAGGTTCTCGAAGCTGGCAAGACAGGATGTTGTATTTACGTCACATGCAGCCCCTGTCACTGAAATAACGAGTCAAACACGAATTGCTACGAGTGACCTGTCCCAAAGCCCAATATATCGTTTTTAGTGACAAGGCGTAGTCAGTTGTGGTGTTCATCTTGGAAGGAGAGTAATGGTCGCCGAGTCCTGTACTGTTGGCAACTTCTCTGGCTTCTAGAATCTACGAACAAGAAAATTTATAGCAATACCATTCGATTTTATAGCAGGTTCGTGCCTCGGACAGATATGATTTGAATTTGAATTTGGGTTCTTACACGACGGAGCTCCATAACCAGAGTCATGTTCACTCAGAGCGAGTCAATAGAGAACGAACACATGCTTCGGCACGCGACATAAGAATGAATACGAGAATAGTACAGCAAGAATGCACGGCTCCAACCGGCTGAAATGAATATTTACGAGCCCGTATGTGCGGAATAGATGAGGGCGGCCGCTCGAAACAAGTCAGACCAATGAAGGAATGCAGCTGGGCGATGGGACGCTTGGGTCTAGGCCCCTAAGCCCTGTAGCCCGGCCCGTAACTGCGCCGTAGTCCCCTGTGACAGGCCCAAGTTTGGGGGATCTGTCGGCCGCCAGAGCTAACAAAGTGCCCGTCGTGTAGAAGCCCCTGATGGTTCAGGAAGGATTGGAAGGCTGAGCAGCCCCCAAGACAAGACCTGAGTTAACAAAGGCTTGCCTATGCCCTATGAGAATGTCTCCAAGTTCCCCAGGCGTCATATTAGAGACGCCTGTGGGTACACGAACCCCGCAGGCGCTTTGAGGAGAGGGAGGCTGAGTCGCCAATACGAGAGATTGACGCCCTTTTCGCGCCGCCATCTCCACTGTTGGCTCTCATGGCGTGGTGTTGCGAGTTCATCTGGACGATCCCGGGCACTCGCGCTCCTTCGTCGTTTCAGACGCCATTCCGAATCCATCTTGATGCGGTATATGACGGCCTCGTTTGCTGCCTTTAGTTTTCGTATCGAGTGAATGCTGCATTGATGCGAGGTGTATATGCAGTTGGTTGTTGTCACCCACCAACACTATAATTGCACACTTACACCGACTGCTCCTAGAGAATTCTGAGGAAGTAACCTTTAAATTCTACAGGGAGATTGAGTATCTCCTTATGTCTCTTCTGTTCTGTTGAAATATCCTCGACACCATGGTGTCCTTCGACTTGCGAGCTTTTGCTCGCCAACTTCGTGCCCTCATTTACAAGAACCTACTTATTGCCGTTGTCAGAAACCCCATCGGCTTCCTAGTTTCCATCTACGGAATCCCCATTGCCATTCTCGCCCTTCTCTCGTCCATCCCCTCGCTTCTCTCTTCCTCGAACGGGTTTGGGGTCGGAACTCCAGCACCGATCAAGAACCTCGCCGACACCATCACCGGGAAGCTCGTTATTGTTCAGCCTCGCAACATAGGGCCCGACGCCGTCCGTGTCATCAAGACCTTCACCGAGCCCCTGAGCAAGGACAGAATCCTGTTCCTCGATGACGAATCCTACTTAACGACAGTGTGCCTCGCGAACCTTCGAGGAGTCAGCGACTGTCATGCTGCTGTTACCTTCATCGACTCCCCCCTGACCACGGGCAAGATTGCGAACAGCCAGAGTACCAACCATACTTGGCAATACGCCATTCGCGCTGATCCCGCTCGCGATGACACCAAATTCGATGCCAAGACCCACAAGAGCGATCAAGAGAACTTATACCTTCCCCTTCAACTCGCAATCAACAATGCCATCACCAACTCGACCATTATCCCCGAGGTCTTCATGTTCACCCCGGAGACGCAGGAAGAGCAGGACCGGGAGCACCGGCAGTCTTCTGTCTTGCTCATCGGACAGGTCTATGTGTTTGCTCTCTTCGCCTGCTACTTCGTCATCATCTACCGCTTCACTGGCCTCATTACCACGGAGCGAGAGTCTGGCATGTCCCAGCTGGTTGATGCAATGGGCGGTGGCAGTGCCACGGCCGCCAGGGTATTGGCCTGGCTGATTATATTTGATATACTCTGTGTACCCTGCTTCGTCGTCTTCGGCGTGCTCTATGGGCAACTCATGTTCCCATTAGCTAGCCTTAGCATCATCATCGGCTGGCAGATTCTCCTTGGTCTGGCTGTGAACAGCTGTACCGTCTTTGCTGCAGCCTTCTTTACCAAGTCTCGTGTCTCAGCCATTTACGTTATGGGAATGTTCCTTCTTCTATCTGTCGCCGGACAGCTCTACAGCTTTCAACTCCACCCTCTACCCCAAAGAGTCGGTACCCTTCTCCTGTCGCTCTTCTTCCCAAGCTCCAACCATGTCTTCTTTACGCAGCAGATGTGCCTCTGGGAACTCAACGACACCAGACCCGACCTGAACAAGATCCCGCCCGCTGATTTTGGAATCAACTCGGAGTCCTACAACGTCACCCAGGCTACGATGCTTGGGTTTCTTGCCGTACAAATCATCGTGTACCCCATTGGCGCTATGATAGTCGAACACCTCATGCACGGCATTGAGTTCCGAAAGAGAACGTTTGGGAGGAGCGCTGCAGCCGCCCCGGGGGTTGTCGCTGCTACCTTTGACCTCAAGAAGCGATTTGTTCCCAGCTTCTTGGAGCGTATGTTCTGCTGTGGGAAGAGGCGTTCTGTGACGGCCGTGGATGGAGTCAGTATTGAAGGACACAGGGGCCAAATCCTATGTCTTGTGGGACCAAATGGATCAGGCAAGACTACCACTCTACACATGATATCTGGCTTCATCACACCCACCGAAGGATCTGTGAGGCTTGATGCCCTGCCTTCCCAAATCGGCATATGTCCACAGAGGAACACCCTGTGGGACGAGCTCACTGTCTTGGAGCATGTCCGCCTCTGGAACCAAATCAAAGCAGGGCGAGAGACACCCCAGGAACTGGATGAGCTTATCAAAGCTTGTGATCTGGACCACAAGCGCAACAGCAAGTCAAAGACCCTTAGTGGCGGCCAGAAGCGAAAGCTGCAACTGGCATGCATGTTTGTTGGCGACTCAACTGTGTGTCTTATTGACGAGTGCACGTCCGGCCTGGATCCCCTTTCTCGCCGAGTCATCTGGGAGATCCTCCTACAGCAGCGCTCGAAACGCAGCATCATCTTCACCACGCACTTCCTCGACGAGGTCGACGTTCTCGCCGATCACATTGTCATCTTGTCCAAGGGCAAAGTGAAGTGTCAAGGAGCTGCCGCAGAGCTCAAGAACCTCTACGGCGGTGGTTACAAGGTCCTTGCCCCGTTGGCCGCTTGCAGACTGGATCTCGGGTATCCCGCACTTGTACACCAAGATCAACTTGTCTATACGACCCCTGACTCCCGCTCAGCCGCTGAGCTCTGTGCTATCCTGGCCTCAGTGGGCGTGACGGATGTTTCCATCTCGGGCCCTCAAGTTGAGGATGTCTTCCTCAATGTGGCCGACGAACCGGAGCTGGAGCCTACCAAGAGCCACATGGCGGCAGTCGAACCAGATTTTGAGATGACCCCTGGCGAAGCAACTTCATTCTGGGACCAAGTCGGAGTCCTTATGAGGAAGCGATTGACCGTGCTTAGGAGGTTCTGGTGGCCGTACCTTTACGTGCTGGTCCTGCCTCTCGTCATCACCCCTAACTTCAAGAACCTTCTAAAGGAGTATAAACAGCCATCATGCGCGGCCATCACACCACAGCTTTACCCTCCCACGGCCCCTATATTAATGTGGTCCGAAACTTGCGTTGAATATGGCTGCGATAGGATTGCCGTGGCTCCAAGGTCCGCAAACAAGACTCTCTACGACATGGTCAAGGCCGACTATCAAGAAGTGGCCGAGGTTGTCCCTGCGCTTTACGAGGGCTTCCCCGTTGTTCTCGACGATCGTCAGGCCTTCCTTGACTTTATTGCTAAGAACAGGACGACTGGACCCGGTGGAGTCTTTACTGGATCTGAAACTGAAGCACCTGTACTGGCCTACCGCTTGAACGCGTTCGGCAGTCAAACCGGAGCCATAATGATTAGCCTGTGGAGTCAGATGAACAGCAGCGTGGAAATCATTGCGTCTCAGGAGGGCTTTGCCGCAACTCGTCGTGTAAGAACACTACTGTCGCTACATGTATAGTGTTGTAGACTGACATTTCTAGGACGCGAACAATATTGGAGTAATCTATGTTGTCTTCTTTACGCTCCTACAGGCGATTTATCCCGCTGCCTTTGTACTCTACCCTGCCATTGAGAAGGCTAGAAAAGTTCGGGCTTTGGAATATGCAAACGGAGTACGTCGCGGCCCTCTTTGGGTAGCTTACGGATTGTTCGACTTTATGTTCGTTCTCGCCATTTCGGTGGGAGTGACGGCAATTATCAGCACCCAATTGACATGGAACGGACCTATCTGGGTCATGTTCCCGATCCTGGCGTTGTATGGTCTAGCAGCAATCCTCCTCGGCTACGTCGTCTCACACTTCGTCTCCGGGCCTCTCAAGTCCTTCCTCGCGGTGGCTGGAGTGAGCGTGCTTATGTATGGAATTGCAGCCATATCGTTTGCTGTAAGTATCCTGTTGCTTCTAGAAAGCACTGCGTGCTAACAGAAACAGGTGGGCTCCGGGTTTTCCGATGCGGCCCAGATGGACAAGCTGACGCTTGGAATCGCCTTTGGTGTCTATCTTATCCTCCCTATTGGAAATGTCTTCAGGGCTCTTCTCATCGGCCTCAACGTGCTCGAGGTGGGTTGCAAAGACGGAGAGCATACGCCAGCAGCATCAATCTATGGTTACGGCGGCCCGATTTTGTACCTCGTTCTCCAGGTTATTGTTCTGCTCGCTATCATCATCTGGATCGAGGGCGACCTTGCTTTGTTCCACCGAAAAGGGACTAAGACTACGATGTTTGTCGACTCGGAGAAAAGTCCGAGTGCCGTGACAAGCAGCGAAGTCAAGGAAGAGGAGACTAGAGCCGAGAACACGGACTCAGATCTCCTCCGAGCTCTTCACTTGAGCAAGGCGTTCGGATCCAACCAGGCTGTTGACGACGTGACCTTTGGACTGCCAGAGAGCGACGTGATGGCTCTCATTGGCCCCAACGGTGCTGGAAAGTCAACACTCGTCAACCTCATCCAATCTGAGTTAGCAGCAGACAATGGAAAGGTTCTGCTTCGTGGCGAGAATGCTAGGACGCGCTCTGCGCAGAAATACCTAGGAGGTAAGATGGATGATTATACTCTTGTCTAGGAGTTATATGCTGACAAAATGGCAGTCTGTCCGCAATATGATGCGCTTGACTTGATGAACACCCAGGAGCACTTGTCCTTCTATGCTCGAATCAAGGGTATCAAGGATGTCAAAGCCAACGTTAACCATGTCATGAACCGACTCAACCTGACTCCCCACGCCCAGACACTGGCTTCGAAGCTATCTGGCGGAAACAAGAGGAAGCTGAGTCTAGCAATTGCGCTGATGGGCAAGCCGCCGGTGCTGGTGCTCGACGAGCCCACCTCCGCTATGGACGCCGTCGCCAAGCGAGCGTTCTGGAAGATCATCCAGGAGATCGCACCGAACCGTTCCCTACTCCTTACTGTAAGGACCACAAGTGTTAATTTAATGAACTATATGAACTGACTCACGGGAACAGACGCACAGCATGGAGGAAGCCGATACGCTTGCCACTCGCACCGCCATCATCTCCAGACGCCTCCTCGCCGTCGGCACCACGCAAGCCCTTCGCAAGCGCTACAGCAATGTTTACTACGTAAACCTCCTCCTTGAAACAGCCCCTAACTCAACACCCGATGAGATGGACAACGTGCGACATTGGGTCCTTGACCACCTCCCTGGTGCGCAACTCGAACGCGATATGTTGGGTGGCCAAGTACGCTTCACCATCCCCGGCAACAGCCCAGTGGCCGGCGTTATCGGGCTCTTTGAACGAGGGAAGCAGGAAATGGGTATAGAGTATTACTCGATCGGCGGAGCTACGCTTGAGAGGGTCTTCCTGAGCGTTGTACGGGAGAACAACGTCCAAGAAGAAGATGGCAAGGACAAGGGAGGGGTTTGGAGTTGGTTACGACGGTGAGGTTGGCAAGGGAGTGTTATGGCTGTAGTAAAGTAGGGATGCTCTCGAGAATTCTCATTTGTCTTTCACATGTATTATTGAACAGCGTTGGTTGCAAATTTCTTAGACCCGACGAAGAAAATGCACCTTTGTGAGACCCAGACGCTCGACTACTATCTTCTCCGTAGAACAGCCATGTCGGGACCGACAAAACAATCCCGATACTTGCATGACACGATAATGATCAACCAAGCACCAAGTTATTTGCCTTTGCGACATGCACAAGACTCGATGTCCAGGGACGCCACAGTCACGTCACGGAATACAACGGAGGGAGTAAACTTAATGGACATCAATTCGCTGCAGGCTTGCTCGGGATTAACTCTTGCCTGCAGGACCTATCTTTCGGTTGGCGGAATGCACCATGCATCCTGCGCTTATAATAACACAGATCCTCCACCATGCACCATGGCCGGGAAAAAAAAGACTGTTACTCCGCGCTTAAGTCAACCATGTTCGTTCGGTGCCGTCATCGCACAGTTTGAAGATCATCAGCGCGTCCCAGATACCTAAAAAGCAATACAGGACGCCGTCAATGGTCGTGTGAATCATCGAGTTGAAAAAAAGACAACCAACCGCCCTCGGAGGTATCTTGACAAACATTTGAAAATGAAAATAGACCATATATCACCTGGCCAAGGAGCAGGGCCAAGAAGAATACCAACAAGACGTTGATGAACAGAGCCAAGTGAGAGACGAGGAAATTTGAGAAACAAAGTATCCTCGCAGCTTTACTGCAAATTAAGTGGTTGCATTGGCATGGGGCCTGTCTCGTCAGGGTCGTGAGAATGTAACAGAGGCTGACGAAGGCGATTCGCCACATGGATGTCGATGAGCATCTCCACCAGGGCCTCAGCGTCTTGGTGAACATCTGCCAACTCGGACTTGCTTGAGCCAACGCCCATCATATTGCCGTCAGCTCTGGGTTTCCGGTAAGCTGCAAAGACGATACCTCGATCGCTCTGTTTCACTTTCGGTGAAGAAGTGGAGTTGCTAGAGACGATCGAACCAGTTCTCGAGTACTGGCCTGTGTAAAAGGCACAAGCGTACCCACGGGCGAACTCGTCGCTTCGCGCCTCCTGGTTCCGATACTCGATCCAACCTCCCGAGCGGAGGATCTTCCCATGCACACCAGCTGAGATTTGGAAAGGAGACTTGACGTTGTGAAGTCCATATGCAGCTAGCAAACGGCCCGTCATACCCCTCGAAGGCTTGGCAGAGAAGTCTGAGTCGAAGGAAGCAGTGTCCTCCTCTGGTCCCGACGTTGGAGGCCCGGAGACATCAGGCCAAAGGTTGACGACATAAACCAGATCGAAGTTGTACCGTTGGGCAATCCTTGCAGCCTCAAATGCGGCAGCCGTGGCAGGGCGGCTGGCGTATGGTGGTGTAAGTGTGAGGAGAGATTGGCGCTGGCGCGGTGAAATAGTCGGCGCCAGCGTAGAAGGAGGAGAGTGATCCGGCTCTGAAGACATGGTAGGACTATCTGGGCTTATCTCCGCGATATCGTCGTCGCTCAGATTGAGAAAGTCAATGACATCGGGTTCTCTCAAGGTCGAGCTGCTCGGTGACCCCCTGCTGGTTGAGAGCGATAGGCTGGATTGACTCAAAGTCCTCCGTAGTGGAGGTTGCTCCAAACACTCGTGAAGTTGGCGGTGAATATCCTGATACACCGCTTTGTTCAGAATGTCGATGGATCTTGATTCTCTCAGTTGGGAGTCTAGGACCGGAGAGAGCTCGGGAGAAGGGCCGGGAGTGGGTAGGGCGCCGTGTGGAAGTTCTGGGAGTTTCTTGTTTCGGAAATATCGAGGGCAGCGAAAGTCATCGTCCTCAAGATCTGAGGCTGGAGGAGTGTCCAGTCTAGTCGGGCCAATTTCTGTCTTCCGTGGGGAGCAAGATCGAGGGCTGCGCTGTCCAGAGAGCTCAAAAGATGGCATTTGGTTGGATGTTGACGATGCTGGTGAAATCTCCCCTTTGCGGATTGGAGGCTGCGGAAACTGGAAGTCTTCAAAACCATCGAGCAGGTTTTGTCCCTGAAGATACCTGAGCGAGGACGTCCTGATGGGCGAGTATTGCAACCGATACGAGTCTGAGGAGTACGTCGAGCTTTGCGCCTTAATGGATCCCATCCGGTGAGGCGAATGCACATCTGCCACCGAAGGAGATCGAATAGAGCCGGGTTGTTTAACTATGACTTCTTCTCGGGCAGCCATACGTGTGGCTTTGGGGCGAATGAAGGAGGGAGAAGGGAACTGGGGTTCGGTGGTGGAGAAGCTGGTGGTGATGATGGGCTCAATAGAGTCGGCCGTGACGGTCGACACCTTTCTCTTGGCGAAGAACCGCTCTAGGCGATCAAACCCGTTGGCCATCTTGAGTGATTGTAAGATCGTAGTGACAAGAAACGACGTTGCGCAGGGTGTCTGATGAGTTTGTGTAAGCGCGAAAATCCATGAAAGGCCCAGGTGTGCGAGCGAAGAGCATCTGCATGCTGACGTACCGAGGAAAGCGTGATAAGTTGACGAAGTTGGAATGGTGAGGTCGGGGTGAGGTGCAAGTGAAGTTGGGGTGAATCAGATCTGGGGGGGTTTTCGGATTGCGAGAACAATATCAAGACGGATTTTGGAGACTGGCACGAGCCAGTTTTGGAAGAGATCGGGAGTGATTGTATCAGAGAATGGCGAGACCAGCGCACAGGAACCAGGAGCTTGTGGCTTTGATCGCGAAGTCGTACTCAGTGACCTCGACCTGCCCACCAACGGCGGAGAAGGAGGGAGGCACGAGGGGAGAGTTGCACGAGATGGTGGATCGAGGACTGTAGATTGTGTCGAAATGTCTGTATGAGGATATCTCGGGTCCTGCGTCGCGTTGTGCGGTGCTGCACTGTGTGGTGTCGTGCGGTGCTGTGTCGTGCTTCGTGTTATGCCGGCCTGTGTTGATGTTGAGGTTGTGGATGCGGATGCGGATGCGGTTGCAGGTATAAGTGAAAGGGAGTGTAGCGCGCCGCCTGGTGCGAGGTGTGCGGGCAGTTGCAGTTGCAGTGACTGGCAGCTGGAGTGGCCAGTGAGGCAGGTGCAGGTGCCGAGTGAGTGAGGAGCGAGTGAGAGTGATGGAGGGTTGCACAGGAAAGGAAGGAAGCAATCACGGTGATGGACGACGGTGACCTTCTCCGACGGAAATCGCAACTACCTCTACACAATGAAGGAAGGAGAAGAAGCCAGGTCAGGTATGTTGGAATTTCGCGCAAAGCACTGCCATCAACAGAAACAGAAACAGAACAGCGTCTTCTTTCAGATCCGACTCACTCGTTCCCCGGGGGCCCAAGGGACCCTTTAAGCATCGTCTGGGGAGGAATGCCACTGCCATTGCCGCGTGCCGAGACGTTGGACAGAGACGACTGTGGCTGCTGCGGGAGCAGGGATGACAACGTCCTCGGACTTCTCAAGATCCCACTGGATCCCCTTTGCGGCACAACTACGTAGTGAGTTAGTGTACTCCGTACGTCCTCCCTGAATTGCTTTGTCTCCATGTCTCGCAGGCTCTCTGGACTCGACCGAGACATGCACGCCACCACCACCAGTGCGGCGTGCCCAGCGGATGGACACACCCCGGCCAAGACTCCCAGACTCCCAGGAGGACAATCTCGCCCAGCCCAGCCCAGTGTCCAACGTGTGCGCCACAGCACGCTCACTGCTACCTCGCAACGAGATACGTTGCCAGGGTGCAGCAGAGTGATCTCGGTCTGGTCTCTTGTCCAGCTTGCCCGGTCTCCGTGTCACTCGGTAGCTTGCTCACTCCTGCTCGCCGCCTCGATTGTCCCTCCTCTCAATGGCGGCCCGGCTAATGCTGAACGTAGGGAGAGAGTACGGAGTACGGATTACGGAGTACGTATGCAATCAGAAGCGAACGCAGCTAGCAGATGCCCGCCCCCAGCTCGCAAGTGTGTTGCGTTCGTGGGATGGCGCGCTGGCCAGAAGCATGGTTCCGCACTTTTGGTGTTCGGTCCGTGGCTCGGGGTAGTGAACCGCCTACCCGCCGTTCCCCTCCACTGCAAGGAGCCCAGCTGGTCCGGCCCCAGAAGTCGCCCAGGCCGTGGCTTGTTTCCTCCCCACGATCCCTTGGCCTGTCACCAAGCCGCCAGTGGACGGATGGCTTGCTTTTGGCTTCTTTGCAGCGTACACCATCCTGCCTATAGCGTGGTCGCTAGGGTCGTCGCCAGGGCTAGTCGATGTCATCCAGTGTCGGAGCCCGTCGGTGCCAAAGGCGATGGATGCATCGAGTGGACTCGCCGATGAGACCAATGCATCGCTTACCATCACGGTCTACCAGAGGCAACACCCGAGCATTCCTTCTGTTGGTGGGGACACGAAGGCCATTTGCCTTTTAGACTGCTCTCGGATGCGATGCTCTCGAATGCAATGCTCTCGTCAGGCTCACCGTGGCCATCAGCCGTCTTCGTCTCCTTGTCTAGCCAACGTGTATACACGGGCCCAACACCCACCACACGCTGGGCTTTCGAGTGTCTTCGATGGACATAATCCCCCGGGATTGAGTGTCAGCAACTTGTGCTACTGTGTCAAGGGAAAAAGCAATACCCAGTATTGGCTGCTTATGAGAACCGTGCCCACCATGCGCGGTACAGTAGTCCCTAGGTGCTCCCTCCAGCTGGTGCCCCCTCCAGCTGGTGCTGCGGCTCCGATCCACACCTAACTGATCAGTCACCCCTCGTTGCCTTAGTTGCCATCAGTGACCAACCAGCCTACGAAGCTATCGCCTACACCAAGACATTTTTTCTTGATTGCCGCGCGAACGCATCATGTTCTCAACTTCCTTTGGTTCGGGATCTCCGCGACGGTGATGACGTGGTTGCACTTCACCCTACCATGGCATCACGATGCGACACCATTTCCACACTTAGTCGTACCTGCACCCTCTTCTAGAGTGAGCACGAGACTAAAGTAGTACTGGGTGAAGTTGCGGTTCCCAGGAAACGCCCCCCCCCCCCCCCCCCCCCCCGGCTGGTTCTCACCCACACCAGCTTGGCCCAGCATTCAACGGCTTGAGGCAACCAAGGATAGGCAGACTGGCTCTGTGCCCAACCAAGGGGTCCTAAAAGCAAGGCCATCATCAGTTAGCTTGCGAGGGATATGTCACTTACATGCGTCCAGCACGGGAGGGGAACCCTAGCTTGTGAGACGGCCTAGACCCAGGACACATCGGTCGGATGAGGTAGCAAGCCTCCCGCCAAACTGTAGGTTGGCCTCTGCCGTGTCAGAACGCCCTCAGGGCCGGGACTCATACGTCCTACCCAACCCTGTCCAACCCTAATCTGGATGTAAAGCTTTGACTGAGCGGCAATCTCATCGTCGATCTGTTAGTTCATTTCCCAAATCTGCCCTTCTCCAGCCGGGCTGTCCCAGCCTCCGGGGCGCACAGGCACTACTCAAGCCTCCTAGTGGCCCGTTTCGGCGATCATTGCTAGGAGCAGCCCCCAATCCCTGCGAACATCGCCGTAGGGCGTTCGTTCGTACATCCGGCCCTTGTACTAAAAAGAATTCATACAGGATGGGTGGGAGTGGTGGGTAAAAGAGTCGAGGCCCGGATAATAGTGCGGACGGAAGTTGATGAACCTTGGAGGTAGAGGAATCCATCCTGTCACTATGCTCAACCGGCCTCCTATAACGAGATGAAACGGCTACAGCCAAACCTACATGCACTTCGTCCTATGGGCACGAGACATGTCATCAAACCTGTCTGATTGCATTTGGTCTATCCCGATTTCCCCTGTCGCACGTTTCAGAGCTATTCACGATACGAGATGGAATACATGGCTAGCTTGGCCGAGTCTGTCTGTCATCATGAAATGCGGACAGTCATCCGCCTCGCCTAAGTGGCGTTCGGTGCTGTTGAGAAATATCAACAACACCAGGGCAGTGTGCCCTCCTCCGCAGACGGGCTTTTGATCAGTCCCTTTGACTCCCTGGCTCCTCCAACTCCACCAAACCCTAAAGGTGGTGGATATCATATTGCTTCTTTGGATTCCCATAGCTCATCCTATTGGTCATAGCCAGGGGCCAAGTGCATTGCCCCGCTTCCATGGATTCTTTTTTTGACAGCTCAGCTTTTGACCAGGCACATGTCCCTCTATTATGATGAGCTTGGCCACTTTCTTACTACTGATCCCCTCTTTACTTCCTCTCTGTGCCTATCGGAGGCAATGCCCTTCCCGGGTACTGCGCCCCGCTTATGGTGGCGATGCTGCAAGTTGTCGCACGCGGTGATGGTACATAGTCCGCCTAGACTTGTCATCTGCCATTCGTACATGATCGCATCGCCATGTACCCAGCAGACGGACGCCGGAAGTTGGCAAATGCATTCGCGGGCACACACACACGCACGCATACGCAACACATACATGCGTATATACAGATCCCCGCGACAGCCTTCAAGAGCCATTGTGATCCAGTTTAAGCTGCAGCCCAGCTCTCGACTATTCTCGTCTGTCAACAGGCGGGCCCTCTTGGGCGATAGCTCGGTGTGTCTAGTCTCTAAGCTCACAACTCTCTTACCCTACCCTGCCCTAGTCACCCCGAAAGCCATCACTTCTCAGATCTCACATACTACGTCAGGCCTTGTCTTGTCTCCTACCCTACCTGAACCAAGTTTTCTTGCATCCTTCCACATCTGGTCTAAGCTACGAGCTATGGTGGATCTTAGCCTCTGAGACAGACTGCGTGGCGACCCTGCCAGTCGGCTTAGAGCAGTGCATTTCATTGCTCCAGCGCATTTCATTGCTCGAGAGCTTCTCGCTTTGCTTTTTCATCATACGATCTCTGACCAAGAGAATGCCTGTCCGCCTGGGTAGCCATCGACGGAGGGCTATTGACGTCTCAGGCCTGGACCTGACCGTTGCGGACTACAAGTGGCAACGACCGATACAGAGTCCGCCTTGTGCATCGCGCCGATCGAACGCATGGCCCTGCGGTGGCCTTCCCATTTTCGGATCCCCTTGCCTTTTGCCTCCGGTTAGTTTCGCGCGTGCTGGTCGTTTTTCAGGTGACACAAACTGTCCACACCAGACAGATCCGAGGAACACAATTCAAACAAGCAATCAGAACCTGTCGATCGTCTTTTCCCCTCAGGTGTATTGTGTGCTTTTCTAAGCGAGTGTTGCATCTTCGAAACCTCCCTCAGCCGCCTGGCTCCGATGCGCATCCCTAATGTTTCTCACTGCTAGACCAGCTGTTCTCTCCCCTCGATCCTTGCCCTTAGGTCCCCCGGCTCCTTGCCACCCGGATCTGAAGTGATGCTGTGCTTTTGCCTTGAATGATCCTTGTGCTACCAGGCATCTTTGCATTGTACCCACTCGGTTCCTCTCCATCAGTCGCGGCCAACAGTGGCTCCCGGCTCCCGGCTCCCGGCTGCCTGCCGTGGGACTCTGACGCGAGACATGCACTGAGAGAGCAAACGCCATATTCTTGCTTTCTCAGGATGCATCACCAATGGATATGGGATGAGGCACCTCTTGCCCTGGCCAGTTTCAGGGTTCCACCTCTTGGGACAGTTGATTGTCGTACCGAGAGACTAGATGCGATCAGACCCCTCAAACTGGCGGCTTCATCCCCGTCGTCACTGACCAGTCACATAATCCAGGTGAGCCAACGGTTTGTCGAAACGAGGGATACGCCATCGCGCTCGTCTACGCCCGCAACTGGTGCCCTGGATGGACATTGTTGCAACGGCCAAGGCATTGAGCATCCTCAAACAAGCCCAATTCAATATTCCACTTCGGCGCTGCGTCACCCCGACTGAGTCTCTGTCGCGTCTTCTTACAATGACGCCGGGCGCCCTTCCTCCCTTGCCATCATCCTGCTTCATCTCGCCCCCCTTGTTCGCTTTCCGTCAAAATCCATTGGCTCTGCTTATGCGGACCGGGCCCCTGCAACTCGAGACATGCTGAATCTTGCGAGGTTGGTTACACCAGGACGATGCTCCAGGGCAGCCGTGACTGGGGGGGCTGCGGCCATCACGCCTCGGGAGCTTGCCTGACCCGCTGCCCGCTGCAGCTGCAGCTGCGTGCTTGATCGGGTCCTCTCCGTAGTGGCTACTTAGATGTTGGGGTCTTTGCAGGTGAGTGGGGTTCGAAGACCTGCTAAGTGGGTTGGATTGCGATCCAGATCAACTGTGAGGCTGGCTTCAACAGAGATTGACCACGTTCTCGTGTCTTTGCATCGGGAGCTAGAGCAGGCAGGCCAAGATTTGGGTCGCATCACAGTCGGGTCGGCTCTTCTCGTCAACTCACGGCCTGCCCTCCCTCCAGGCTCCATGTGGGAGGCTGTATTGGGACTTGGGGCAAGCCTCGTGTGCTCTCATCACAGTCCTTTATATTGTTTACTTCTGGACCCAGGTGTGGCGCATCTCGCGCCGCCAAATCCCCATCTTTAACGATAGTTCTGCCGCAAAGGCTCCATTGAGGCGTACTAAGGTGGGTAGGAAGTTTAACAACTTCCCAAGGTATAGGTACACATCGGCCTACAGTATCATACAGTGCGTAGGGCGATGTCTTCCAATACATACCTACCTGATCGGCCCCTCAGATCTTGATTATTGAGTACTTAGGTAATGTACTAAGTTCATTTCTTATTTCTAAAAGTGAGGGTTTATTGCTATTGCTTAACTTAGGTAGTCGATCGGTCGCAGATTGTGCTGTGCGGGGGCTGTCCTGATGATTGAAATTGTCAAACTTCCTGCGCCAGCCTTCGTACACAATACATCCAGAGCGGTCCTCTTTCATCCTGCAGCTAGCTCCTCTACTGCAAGGTTCATCCCTCTCTCTTCGCTGCACGTTGAGACGGTTGTAGCCGGGCCACGTTGATATGGAGCCGCTATCCTCTGAAGCGCGCTGTGGCTGGCAGCTTTATTGCTTTTAGATGCTTCTGGGCATCGCATTACGGTGTTTTGACGGTGGGCCTCGTGGGTCTGGAATAGAGACAGCGCGCGTGGGCGGCAGTGGCTTGCTTGCATGTTAAAAAACGAGGCTTCCACGCGAGACGACGGCTCCATCGGCCATGAGGGGTGCAGCTCATGCTCAGTTATAGGTTCTGGATGTCCATTTAGCGAGATGGCTTCTTGGCGTGCTCCCTTACTTGTTTCCTGTTGCGTTCAGGGAACCTCGCTCAACGTCAAGACGCTCCCAGACTCGTCATATCCTGTGTTCAAGGTGTCGATCCCTCTCGGGCAAGAACATGGCCTCTGGAAGATTGTTACTAACACTTATGTTAACTATGTGCTAACTGCCTAATACACAAGGCAAGGCAACATCCTTCAGTAGAAGCACACTCCATTTTGGTCACAGCTGGTATTCAATTCGTGTAATCGTAAGCATTCCCTTCAGCAGCGTGAGGCTGGCTACAGCCTAGAAGCAGCAGCATCCTCGTCAACCTCGCCAAACAAGTTCATAAACGCCGTGTGTACCTCATCCGTCAAATCGCTGGCTTGGAGACTCCGCCCCTTCTTCGCAAAGGCCAAGCGGGAACACTCCTAGTCGATTATCAGTATGTCGTGCGCAATTGACGTGCTTTGGTAGTAGATAGTCGTTGTTTCCAACTGAAGTGATGAGAAAGATGGAGTAAGACTCACCTTTGTAATGGCACTTCCAGCGAATGCTGCGAGTCCAATCGTCTCATGCTCGCCAAGGGGATTCTCACCCACATCCCACAGACGGTCTAAGTAGGCTTTCCTCCATCCCAGGAAAGTAGCCACGGCGCCGGTCAGCGTATCCCCTTGTCCGCCGCTCCTCTTCTTGCCACCCATAAGATCCACCGTCAGAGTTATCTCGCCGTTGGAGATGTAATCTTTGCCGCCCTTCTGTATAATCGTCACGCCCTGCAGCGCCTTGGACAGCGCTTCGACCTTGGCTGTCTCTCCAGCGTCCTCCTGGACCTCCAATCGCAGCGCCTCGCACAGCCGGCCGAACTCGACGATGTTCGGCGTCAACACCGCACCTGTGTAGCCCATCACCAACCCAGGGTCCTTCTGCACGACCAGCAAAGCGTCGGCGTCGAGGACCATGGGTATGTTACGGTCGCGGGCGGCGCGGATGACCCGTGCCACCGTGGCTTGCATGAGGGGATCGCGGCCGAGGCCTGGGCCGACGACGAGGACGTGGAGACGCGGAAGCATGTCGATGACCTTGCCGGAGATGTGCTCGGGGTCGCTCTCGGGATCTTTCGAGAGCGTCGAGTGCGTCGGGATCGGGGCGGAGGCAAACTGGCTCGGGGAAGACGTCTGGCGCATCAGAGGATGGACCATGAGGTTCGGTGAGTAGGACTTGATAACGGCGGCGGCGGCGGGTGTGCAGATGACATGGGACTACGTCTGGTGAGCGACATGGCGAACAACCCGCGCTGAAGCGATTCAGCTCTCTTCTGCAGCAAGCACACTCACCATATCACATCCCAGCCTCGCACTCGCCATGGCGGAAAAGTACGGTGCGCCGGTATAGTCCTCGCTGCCTCCAATAACCGCCACCCGTCCCAGCTGGCCTGCGCGCGTCAGTCCACGGCGTCGTCACACTCCGGGGACAAGCACCTCACGAACCCTTATGGAACCGCTCCAGCATCGGCGGGACCATCCGTTGAGCGCGGGCGAGAATGTCCTTTGTTGCGACAGACATGTTGGGCAGCGCACCGTCAGTCGACATGGCAGTGACGTAGCGAAGGACGCTGGGCGGCGAGGGATGAGAGAGTTGGAGGCGAGAGGTGGTGGTGGGGAGTGGGGTGATGGAGGGGGACGATAGTTTCGGATGAAGAAGGAATTGAGCACCAACAAGCAAAAGAGGAGCCCAGAAGATGCACTGAAATGTCGCGGGGTTATATATCTAGCATCAACAAACCATGAGGTAACAGAAGGGTCATTAATGATGTGAGCCATGGCGGAGAAGCAGGTTCATGATGTCACAGCTACCTAGGGAAGCTTCAGGGGACGGGTAGCTGACGCCACGGCCGACATCGCTCCACCTCAGAACTTTGTTTAAATGCAATTATCACGTTAAGAGCAGAGCCTCATAAGGACGTTGTGTTGTTAAAAGTGTGTCACAGATTTTGTGAACAAAAGGAATCGAGGGCGTTCATTGAGTTTTGTGCTCTATTTTACAAGTGGCAATACGACAGGCGAATCTCCCTCAACTCATCCTGTCGCTCCCCGTCAGGCGCAACCCCTCGACTATTCCCTCCGCAAGAGAGAAAAACAACTACAGTACTTCGGTATAGACAGCAGCATCCCCAAAAGCCCCCGTTATGCCCCGCGCATGATGCTTTTGATTATGATTTAACCCAAGAAGCTCTTGACGAAGGTCTGGGTAACGTCACGGAGCTTGGCCTCGGTCTCCTTGCTAAGGGCACCCTCCTTGTCGATGGTGGCAAGGAGCTCAGTCTCGTTGGTCTTGAGGTGGGCAAGGAAGTCAGACTCCCACGTGAGAATCTTGTCGACGGGGACGGTATCGAGGAAACCGTTAACACCGGCGAAGATAAGGGGAACCATCTCGTTGACGGCCATAGGGGAGTACTGCTTCTGCTTGAGGAGCTCGGTCAGACGCTCACCACGGTTGAGGGTCTGCTTGGTAGCGGCATCAAGATCGGAACCGAACTGAGCGAAGGCGGCGACCTCACGGTACTGGGCCAAGAACAGCTTCAGGGAACCAGCGACCTGCTTCATGGCCTTGACCTGGGCAGCGGAACCGACACGAGAGACGGAAAGACCGACGTTGATGGCAGGTCGGATACCCTTGTAGAAGAGCTCGGCCTCCAAGAAGATCTGACCATCAGTGATGGAAATAACGTTGGTGGGAATGTAGGCGGAGACATCACCACCCTGGGTCTCAATGATGGGAAGAGCAGTCATAGAACCACCACCAAGCTTGATGTTCATCTTGGCAGCACGCTCGAGGAGACGAGAGTGGAGGTAGAAAACATCACCGGGGTAAGCCTCACGACCGGGGGGTCGACGGAGGAGCAGAGACATCTGGCGGTAAGCAACGGCCTGCTTGGACAGATCGTCGTAGATGACGAGCGCGTGCTTGCCATTGTCTCTGAACCATTCCGAAATGGTCGCGCCTAGGTTGAAGATAGTTAGAAATTGTCTGGACGTTGTATGAAATTTTGTAAAGCGTGACGAGTCTGGATACGGCATAGGTGCCACAAAAATGGTGTTGTGAGATGAGAGCTGCTATGCGCTTGTAGCAGCCCCCTTCCTGATGTGCTTCTTGGAATTGAGATGCTTGGTAAGGTGACCCGTGCGGTTGAAGGAGAAGGTGAACACAAGGAAAGGACGAAAATAATGGACAAGTCTTACCAGTGAAGGGAGCGAGGTACTGAAGAGGAGCAGCCTCGGAGGCGGTGGCAGCGACGACGATGGAGTACTTCATGGCGTCGTTCTCCTCGAGGGTCTTGACGAGCTGGGCGACGGTGGATCGCTTCTGGCCGACGGCAACGTAGACGCAGTAAAGCTTCTTGGTCTCGTCGTTGCCGCTGTTCCATCGCTTCTGGTTGAGGATGGTGTCGAGAGCAACGGCAGTCTTGCCAGTCTGACGATCACCAATGATCAGCTCACGCTGACCACGGCCGATGGGAACCATGGCGTCGATGGACTTGAGACCGGTCTGGACGGGCTCGTTGACGGACTGGCGAGGCAGAATGCCGGGAGCCTTGAGCTGGGCACGTCGTCGCTCGGTGGTCTTGATGGGACCCTTGCCATCAATGGGGTTACCGAGAGCGTCGACGACACGGCCAAGCATCTCAGCGCCGACGGGAATGTCGACCTTTGGTTGTTGGTTAGTCTTGATGTTGATGTATTTGGTTTGCAATGCAGGTGAAACTTACAATCTGACCGGTACGCTTGACGGTCTCACCCTCCTTGACGAGACGATCGGAACCAAACAGCACAACACCGACCTGGCCGGCCTCGAGGTTCATGCACATGCCCTTGACGCCGGAGGCGAACCTATAGCTCGTTAGCTTTGACGTGAACCGTGATGCTCCAATTTTCGCTCGTAACATACTCGACAAGCTCCTCAGCCTGGACGTTGGCCATACCGTGCACACGGGCGATACCATCACTAGAAAGCCAGGGTCAGTTTAATTGATCTCCAATTGTGTTCCCAGAGCCCCCTTGATGGATGAGCTGGCTGGAAGGCCAGCTTGTCCGGGCATTCTCAAAGCTCCACATACCCGACGGAGAGGACACGACCAGTCTCGGCAAGGTTGGCCTCCTCCTGGACACCGCGAATTCGCTGCTCAAGGATGGAAGAAACCTCGGTGGGAGAGGCCTTGGCGTCGGAGGCGTAGGATCGCAGAGCGTTGATGGTTGCGGGTGCGGCATTTCGAGTCTGAGGCGAAAAGAGTTAGCCGAAGCCCGAAAATCCCACGACCAGATGAGCAGCGACAACGGCGACAAACAGCTCGAAAAAGCTCATTGGATGACCCGGATGACGATCCAACTACTCAATTGAGCTCCCTCGATGGTTTGCTGATGGATGCACGTTGTTTTGGGGCCGTGGTTGATGACCGATGGCCGCGAGGCGGATTCGGGGCTCGGGAGCAACACTTACCGCGGCGACTCTGCCAGCAGCAGAGACGGCGCCGACGGCGCGCGTCGACTGTCGGAGAGCGTTCCGGAACATATTAAGAGAGGTACGGGAGGTTTTGGAGATGAAAGGAGAGCAATTGCAACAAGGTGCAATTGGAGGGAGGGGAGATTGGGGAGTGTGGTGCTGCCTTTGCAGGAGAGCAAATGGAGATTTTTGAGAGAGGACAGTGATGGCGAGCAGAGTCTGTCTGAGGGAGAAAGTGGGTCTCCGATGGTCCAACCGCCCAATCAGGGCCTACTGCGCGGTTTTGCCTGGAACTCCCGAGGCAGCCTTAACAATTTATTAGCTTATTGTTAGCCGCTCCATTTCGGACCTTCATTTCGTCCGCCGAGGACACGTCCGATGCCGCATTTTGTCGACCCTGACGAAGTTTTGCGGTGACGAGACATTGCCAATTGGCAATTGCAGGTCCAATTCTATAGTCAATTAATTGACTGTGGACAACTCCGGGACCAAATAGGCCTCCTTATGGTGCTGCGCGGTCAGCCCCGAACCTCGCATCTCTAGCAACTCCCGTACCGCCGACCGACCGGCATTACCCGGGTTGGCATGGACAAGTTAGTGCCTGGGAAATCTGGTTGGCGAATGCGCCAGAGACCTGTGACAGCTTGGCCCAACGAGAAATCAATTCGCGGTGGACCTCTGCTGGCATGGTGACCAGCTACGGCTGTTCGCCTCAGCGGCTCAGCCTTTGCCAGGAGAGTCCCAGGTATTCCAGCAATGCCAGGGGAGGTCCACAGCACTGTGCAGAGTACATGAGGCCTGGAGGACCGCCAAGGAGGCTGCGCGTCCTCACTGGACACGGGCAGTGGCCTGGCCGGCCGGACTGGCGGGAGCTGCTGTTACCCGTGCAAAGCCTCGCAGCCTTTCTCATTTCACTTCCGGTCGCCGGTGACGGCTCCCCCATGCTGCTCCAGATGCCGTAGCGGTCAATCTGGGGTCCTTCTCCACTGAAAACATTTGTCTGGTATCCTCACAGCCCGTCGTGGTGGACAACCGGGGTGGCTGTCCCCAACGAGATTCCAGTGTCCGATTGTCCGTACCTGCTCCAGGCGCAGAGTCAGCATGTGCTTACCCACCTATGCATAAGTACTCCGGCAGTCTGCTGAGGTTGCGAGATCGCAATCGCACGTTGATGAATCCGAAACGCAACTCCATCTCTACAGACATCATCAAAAATGGGCAGACGTGCTCTCCATAGGAGGTGTATGGCAGACAACGGGGGCACCACGCTCAGTCGCACTTCCGCCGAACCAGTCCAACATCATAAGTCCAGCATCATAAGTTCAACACCATAAGTTCAACATCATAAGTTCAAAATCATAAGTCCAGCATCCTAAGTCGATTAATCAGTCGTAGTTCAGTCCAACATCACCATTCGTAAATCAGTCGTGCATCAGGCAGGATGGTTTCTCTGGGGTGTTGAGGGAACAGGATCAAATGAAGCGCCGCCTGTCAGGCAAGAATGGCATCTGTCACATTCAACAGTGAATACTGGAAAGCCGGCAGAGGTGCCGGTCGGTCTCTAAGGCCGTAGCTCGACTCAATTTCAAGTCGAGCTGATGCAAAGGCAACAAGAAATACATGCCCATGTAATTTTCCCCTAATATTCGCCGTGACCATCCGTGAAAGACAAGAAACCATTTATCGGACAATGCCGTCGAAGCGAGACTTGAACCACTTGACGGTCTCATCGCGCTTGATGCGGTGGGTGGCACCAATTCTGTTCTTGGTGCGGCGGCGGCGGGTGACGCGCTCACCAGGTCGGGTCATGCAGCAGTAGAAGTCCATGCCGTAGATACCGATCGAGGGGTCGTACTTGATACCGAGATCGATGTGCTCGCTGATACCGAAGCCGAAGTTGCCGGTCTCGGAGAAGTTGCGCTTGCGGAGCTCGTACTCCTTGACCTTGAGGCCACGCTCGAGAATCTCCTCAGCCTTGATGGTTGTCAGCACCTTGTCGCAATGATTCGCACAAATATTTGCCAATTTACCTTGGGGCCTCGGACGGTGACGTGGACAGAGATCTTCTCGTTACGTCGGATACCGAAGGTACGGACGGTGTAGCGGGCCTTGCCTGGTTGAGGAGTCAGATCGAGTCGCTTCGCATCGTTCAGGAATTCGCCAACGTACTGTACACGGGGGTTTGACCGGACAGCTGCTCGAGCACCTTGGCGGCACGGGTGAGTCTGTCACCAGATTCACCGACGGAAATGTTCAGAACCAGCTTCTGGATCTTGAGCTCCCGCATGGGGTTGCTAGTCTTCTCGGACGCCATGGCTTCGGTTGTTAGTCGACGGGTTGGTTGAAGTGTCGAAGATCGCAAAGTTGACGAAGAGTGGGTTGTGAATTTTGTGAAGCTCGAAAATTCGAGGGTTTGTCTGCCCTCAAGCGAGCGAGGCATAAAAGCGGGGCGTGCTTGTTCTGAGAATGGACTAGTGCCAAACGGTACTTTCTTCATGTACCTTTCAGCCTTTCGCATCAGGCTCCGCAGATTTTGGACCTCATCCTTACCTTCAGAGCTCCAGGCATTGAAGGTCGTCACGGTCGCGCAACAGCTCCGTGTACACATACCAATTTTTGAACATCCGAGGCACTGCGTCAGCACGTCCTCAATACATCAGCCAAGATGTCGAACAAGCAAGGAAAGATGGTACGTCCACTCAATCCCCTCTCCCTCACGCGTCAATGCTCGTTGTTGATCTGGATGCTGACCAGCTCGTGACTCTCTATAGGCCGGTTACGTACGTCTCCCCCCAATGCGCATGATAGGCATCATGTCGAAGACCTCCCGATCGCTTGGTCGAGTACTAACGGCTGCTATAGATCAACTGGCGGATGCGGGTAACCCTCAACGACGGCAGGTCAATGACCGGTCAGATGCTCGCCTTCGATAAGGTAACGTCACCAGGGCTCCTCTAACCGCATAACTGCTAACGTGCAAGCAGCATATGAACCTGGTCCTTGCCGATACCGAGGAGTTTCGACGTGTCAAGCGCAAGCAGAACAAGCCTGCGGCCCCCGGTGCCTCTGGCTCCTCCGCCCAAACGATCGAGTCCGAGGAGAAGCGAACTCTCGGTTTGACGATTGTCCGCGGCGCCCACATCATTTCGCTCTCCGTCGAGTCGCCTCCCCCCGCCGACCCCAGCGCGAGACTTGGAAAGAGTGCTCCTGGTGGAATCCCTTCTGCCCTGGCTGCTGGCCCTGGTGTCGCCCGTCCCGCTGGTCGCGGTGCTGCTCCTCCTTCTCTCGCTGTATGGTCCCCTCCGTCTGCTTTCTCGCGTCACAAGCTAATATTTATCAGGGTCCTGCCGCTGGTGTTGGCGGTGCTGCGCCTCCTGGCTTCCCTGGCTTCCCTGGAGCTCCCGGTTTCCCTGGTGGCCGAGGTGGTAGGTGTTTCCGCCCCAGATACCCGAGCAGGTTCTCTAACAATCTTCAAGCTCCCCCTCCCGGTTTCCCTGGAAGCTTCCCTCCTCCCGGTTTCCCCGGAAGTGCTCCTTTCGCCCCTCCTGGCTTCAACCCTGGCGGCCCTCCTCCCCCTGGATTCAACCCTCCTCCACGACGATAGATTATGTAGGCGCTGGATAGAGATTGGGAATTAATGTTCTGCAAGAAATTACGATACCTTTTCCACAGGCCAAAGACGTCGCTTTCCTGTAGATCAGACAGCTTTGAGTGCAGGGTGCGACGTGGAATGTTATGAGTTTTGGGTCAAACAAAATGTACGTGAATTCCTACATGACGTTTCAACCATATTGGCATGAATATTGACTCACGTTGCCAAGATCTTCCGTTCTGGGCAATTGGATGGGCGCTTTTGGTGTTTGTGACATAAATGAAGGCTATCGGCCATGACGTACAAAACATTGCGAAACTTGTTATACTGTAATCCTAACTAGGTTGGAAAGGCATATATATTGCTAATAGCCAAAGCTGCCAGGGAATTGTTACCCGTGGCAGGGGAGTAGGATTCTATCAACTAGTGCTTACTAAGTACATGTCAAATGTATCGTGAATTAACGTGAGTCTTTTGGAGCTTCCTTCGCTTGTTCAGCTTCCTCACCATGCCCGAGTTCAAGTTCGTGGTATCAGACAGAGCTACTCAGCGACCATCAGCAGCCGTCAGAAGTCATGCCGTAAAGAGTGGTCTCGAACGCAAGAACCGGGCGGAGGTTGCAAGCGGGTCCAGGGACTCTCAACTTACCATCCGACAGAGGGATTCGCTCAAAGGGCGGTTCAAGCTCACAGATGCGACATTCAAGCCCAGGAAGACGGCTAAAGTGGGTGTCAAGAGTGGTGATATTGCCACATCGCAAGCACCAAGGGCAAAGGACGGTGTGATTTCGCGAGATGGCATGGTACTTGATGCAAGATATGCCAATCCTTCGCTTTCAAGTGCACAGATGCAGCTCGTCAAATCGCCCAGTCAAGGAAGAAGTGATCCGTTTGGCACCTTTCCAGTCCCCCTAACTGGAGATGTCGAGAAGTTGGCCAAGTTCTGTATGTTACCGCGCCGCCTTCTGTTGCTTGTACTGACTCTATAGTTGTTTCTCGCTTCAATCTTCCCGTGCCCATCGCGGCTATTCAGAAGCAGTGGTGGGATTACGCTCTTTCCGATGCTCTCGTCATGCACTCGACATTGGGCCTGGCGGCGGCAACATGGTCTACGCTTGTTCCCAGCACAAAGAGAATCGCCCAGGAGGGATATAGGCAAAAGGGTCTTGCTCTCCAGGGAGTCCAGGAGAGACTCGGTAAAGGCAACACTGCGATGGCTTTGGTCGCGGTCATAGCTAACCTCGCCAATACTGAGGTTTGTTCATTCTCAGGTTTTATGGCCATGCCGTGTACCTAATTGCGAGACAGGGGGTCGAGGGCAATTTCGCTGTTGCTCGTGTCCATCTTCAAGGGCTGGACCTGCTCGTCAGGGCGTGGGCCGGCGGATATGACGAGATCAAGAGTAATGTCAACGTGGCGAGAACAGTGAACTGGTGAGTTCCAAGGGAGTCCAGACATGGATTTTACCTAACTCGTGCAGGTCGGATATTCAAGCAGCAAACGGGTTGGGGTTGAGGCCATTGCTTCCACTGGTCATGCCTCTCGAATCTGTTTTACTGCCACTCAGTGTCCTGACTGCTGCGGAACAACCAAGTCTGTCCCATTTGCAGGCATTCGAAAGGAACTCTGACGACGCAACTGTTAGGTTCTGCTTTTCGCTCGTACGGCAAGGCCAATACTCGTTGGCGAGCGACGAGGTTCCACCGTATGATTTCCGCATCATCATCAATGCCTTCGACCACTTCCTTGCCGACGCATTAGGAGGCAACACTCTGTCGGACTTGGGACGGGTTATCGTGACAGCAGCACAGGTAACATACTACGCCATCGTCCGAGGAGTCCCCCCTACTGCTCTTCTCCCCCGTATCATCGTCCGAAGACTGCGGAAGCAACTGGACATTGCGATTCCCATGTTTGCAAGCCGCTCAGAGTTTCAACATGGACTTCTCTGGTGTCTTGTGGTAGGATCAGCCGCCGCCTACGAGACGGGCGAAGACTGGGATACCTTTTCCAAAGATTTATCAGCAACACTCACGGCTGGGAATATCGAAGGACCTCGAGAATTTGAGGCGATTATGAAACGTTTCGTGTGGCATCAGAAGTTCCCTGGAAACTTTCTGGATAATCATGCTTCATCCTTATTTCCTCGAAGTTTGATGCACTGAGTAACGCTGAGACAGCTCATGCTCTGTTGCTCATTAGTTTAGGTGATACCGTAACCTACATATCATCTGAATTACAACCAGCGTTTCTCCATGCAACAAAAACGAAGCAGATGATTGAGCCGAGAAGCAGGAACACACAAAATCGAGGCCTAAAATAATCGGGCATGTGAGTCTTCCTTGTGTATAGTAGGAAGTAATGCATTGTAAATTTCTAGCTGAATTCTTGTCATCGCAATAGCGCTGCAATGGCCAGATCCTCTGTGATCACTCAACTCCAAGACTCCTAGGTATCCTGCCATCCCATGTGCTTCGTAACTAAAATATTACTTCAAACCCCAACAGCATGGCTGAAGACCTTCGCCGCCAGCTGACTGAGCAATCTGGCTCTGGCATCCTGAGGGAGTTCCTGTCCGACAGTTAATTCTCAGTTGACACTCGATCACGTAGATATCATGATACTCACCTGGAACACGGCGTACACACTCTTCCCCTTGGCATCCCGAACAGCTCCGAGTCTGTTTCCCGCCACAGCGCCAGCAACCATGCCCGGCACGTTGGCGACAATAAATCCAAGCGCTCCTCCGCTCACGCCGCCGAGCATACCCCAGAACTTGCCCGTCGGGCGGTTGCCGTCCCCCTCTGCCAGGCCCTCCTCACGCATCATCTCCTCGAAGACGTCACTGAACTGTGCGTTTTCCGTCTGCTCGCGCTCTGGCTGTGGAGCCCCGCCAGCGTTCTTGCTGAAGAAGTTCCACGCCCATGAGTAGGGGTTCTGCCCCTCCTCGGGCGGTACCTCGGTTTCAGCGTCAGAGTCGAAGGGGTCCGCCGGCGTGCTTGTGTTGAACAGCCTTCGCTGTGCGTCATACTCGCGACGGCGGGTGGTGTCCGAGAGGGTGTAATAGGCGTCGTTGACAAGCTGGAACTTGCGGGTTCGTTCGCTTCGCTCTGGGGATTCGGCGGTAACGCGATCCGGGTGTGTCTTTAGGGCGGCACTGGGTTCCAAGGGTTAGCCATGAATAGCATCGCTGGGTTTAAAGCTTACCGCTTGTAAGCATCTCGGATCTGTTGCGTCGTCGCCGAGTCGGACACCTCGAGGATGGCATCTGGAGATACGCGCATTAGCAAGGATGCGTTTGCAAGTGGTGGGGTAATCACAAGGGAACCATACAATAGTCAGGAGGAGGACCAGAATTCATGGTGACTCTGCGAGCTTGAAATAAGAATAAATCGAAAGGGAGGCAACACTCTGCCGTAGGTAAGCAAAAGGGGTGTGAAATCGAGTTATAGGATCGAGAAATGATCGATAACCAAGTTCGTCGGAGATCCAGAGACACGGGAGAAGTGTCAACGTCATTGTGGCGGCGCTGTGGCTAGGCAGCTGCACCCTTGTCGAGGTGGGACGGGTTCTAGTCCAAAACACAGGACAGCCACAACTCATGTGCTACAATTTTTGGAATGAGAATGGGAATATGATGCCTCTTGTTTATAGATAAGCCAATTATATGCATTCGTGGTATATTCAAGCCCTCGTCCCGTGATGTAACCAATCCATTTATAACCCATGAAACCCCGTCAAGAACCGTCTAACAACCTGACTCTTCCATGAGTCTTACCCAAGGCCGCTCTCTAAGTATTTCTGCGCTCTCAAGAGTGCATCCGCAGTTATGGCCTCTGAATCCTCTTGTCGGCCAGCTTTTTGGTAATGGGCAGCGAGCACCCATAGGTCTCGAATCACCCGCAAATTGTTATTGGTGCCGTGCGCCGCCTCCCGCTTGCTGACAGCACATCGTAGGTTCTCCTCTGCCGTGTCCCATTCTTGCCTGTCCTGGTGGACTCGTGCCAGCATCTTGCGGGCATATGCATGGAACCTGTCACTTGATCTCGATGACTCGCTAGAACTCGTCCGGCTCAGTAAGTTGATGGCCAACTGCTCCGCTTTGACCTTGTCACCCAGATCCATCTGGGTAAACTCAAGCATGAGTGCTTCGATTCGTAGCTGATCCGATTCGTCTTCAGCGGCCGCTACTTTTTCGGATTCCGCCATGGCTTCGAGGGCGCGGTTCATGGCTTCTCTCCTCTTGGCCAAGTCACTCCCTTTCCGTAGCCGAGTTCGCCCGTCCCAAATCAGTTGCTCGTAAAGCCAGAGGCGTTGTGCCCCCGATGTCGGGATGTGTTCGGCCAGGAGGTCCACGTTTCGTAACCAGGCCAGGCGCAAAAGGTGGCAGACGAACTTTCGTCCTTGATCAGTCTGGAAATCACACTTTCTCAGTTGCTGAAGAATCCGGACGAGTGGATGCTGTGCGGGAAGTTGATGTTGTGCCAGCACAGTGGCATGATCCAGAAACATGCTAAGAAGCTGGAGGTGTCCTCGGTCTACCATATCATAAATGGTATCTAGGAAGTGCCAGACCAGGTCGGGATGGTCATCGGTCAAGACGTACTCGAGGACATAGAAACCCCTTCGTGCCGCCATGCCAGCGAGGTCCCCTTTCCCGTGGAACCACAGATCAAAGACCAACTCAAAGGTTCGATACATGGTACGACTGTCTTGGATAGGTGGGTGGTTCGGATTCGCAAGGTATTTTGACATGGGATCTGAGATGACGTGGTGAGAGTCCAGCTTAGCCTGGCTCCAGGTGAAGACACTGCCAAGAACAAACTCGAGGTTTGCATACTGTCCGGTATTTGACGGACGGACCAGGGCCATGGAATCTTTGTTGGCACGGTCTGGGCTCTGCTTCTCTAATACATCGTGCCCATCTGTGTGGTGGCTGACACCCGGCGACTCTGGGGCCTGAGTGGTGGGAGTGGAAGTAGTGGACTCCGATGGGCTCCTGCGATATGTTCGCTTTCTCAAGTTCCACTTCTTTAAACGCTTCTTAAACATTTGTTCTCTGTGAGAGGCCCAATTAGCCCGATCGTCACTGAGTTACACGATGGTGCATGAGTAACTCACGTCGCGGCGAATCCATGTCTAGCCTGCAGGATGGCCATGGTCTCATTCAGCTTGCGGTTGTCACGAATGTACAGGGTCTTGATGAGGTCTCTCATTGACTCCCACTCGTCCTCGGTGTGTTCTTTAGTGTAAGATCTGTCGTCCACGACGGGAGGGCAGCCGGGGAGCCGGGGCGCCAAGATTGGCAATGCGGCCATCATGTCGCAGGGCGAGGGGGGTGAGCTCGAGCCTGACCTGAGCCTGACCTGAGCCTCTCTCTCTGGCACTCTGCTTTTGAGTCTGAGCCTGGCTCAGCGGTTCTGCAGTTCTGGTCTTTGTTTCGTCGGGGCACAAACGGCAATCTCAGCCGCCGCAACTTGGATACCCGCCACGGGGAGCCTCAGAGCGTGTTGGCAGTCTTGGTGTCGGCATCGGTATCGGCATTGGCATGCCGGACCGCTGCGTGTGTGCGTGTGCATGGCGAACGGAACTTGACATGTCGGGACGCTCCTCTTCAGTATTGAAGAAGCATGATGGACGGCGGCCTGGCGCTGATTGGACAGCAAAGTTCCGCGCATGAGATCACGCGTCTAGACCGATTGCAGACGTGGCTTGCGAGGCAATCACGCCACAAATTTGGGCCTTGGGTCTCGCCTCTGCACTGTTCTGCAGTGAGAGAGGGTGCAAGTTAAATTGTGTGCAGACTTGACATTAGCGTTCAGCCCTATCGAATGAGACTCTCCCGTCAACTGTCATTATGTCGGCAATGGCATCTCGATCCCGGCTTAAAGTTGTGCCTCCGGAACATTACATACGTAGGTACCTATGCACAGTAGCCGGCTCGCTCACCTTGTGCATGACTCCACTATGCCGTGCGCATGAGATGGGATGCAGGAACAAAAACGAACAACCACTGAAGATGGACATCCCCATACGGTTTATCAATCTAGTGATAGCATCGTGTTCTCTTTTTGGTGCTTGTGTCGATGTTGGCTCAAGTCCGTTTTCATGATGGGTTCAATGGTCTGGAACATTGCGTGCAATCCTCAGGCAATACGTCAGAGTGAGTGGTCGTGGGTGTTGCGTTGGATTTGCCAGACACGATCCACCCATCACCTGTCAATGTCTCATCCACCCTCCCTTTCAGGCTTTCAGCTTTGGCAAAGTAGACAGGGTTCATTCTTCGATCAGCAAAGTTACTGCAAGGAGGTGCGGAAAAGATGTATCGCATCGATGATAATGACTAGGGTCTCAGTATGAACGGTATCGCCAGAGCAAATTCGCGCCTTCAACCTTCAATGGTGGCGGCTTCGTCCGCGTATCAGCGTGCAGTCTCCTCTCCGTAGACAGGTAGATGGCCTTCAAGAAGCGCCGCCTGAAGCGCCTCCAGTCGTCATTCGTCGGTCTGCGATCACGCTCTTCTTCCTCATCCTCGTCCTCAAACTCGTCCACGTCAGGCTCGTCTTCCCTGGCCGCCTCAACCTTGATAGGATAGAACTGGACGTCATTTTGATGGAAGCGCCACCGATTGTGTCGGCTGACTCCAGACTCCCCTTCGTATTTACGGGAGTAGTTGTGGTGGAATAGTTGCAACCCATGAGGCAAGGCGAGTTTTGGGCCGGCGAATTGGAACTCTTCATGGATAATGAACAAAACGTTCTTCAGGCGAGGGAATTTCGATAGCTTCGCGAGAAGCATCTTGATGTTGTTCCTCGATACTTTTCCGCTGATAATGGGATGGAATATGCCCGTGCTAAATCCATACGACGTTCCAAGTGCGACTTGGCTGATGTTATCTCTCATCTGAGATATTTGCGCGAGAAAGTGCAGCGCACGAAGAAGCCGCCTAATAAGTAGATACGGCTCAAGTAAAATGATGTCTCGCGAAGGGTCGATGTATTTTATTGTGTGGGATAGCGTCAACGGCTTGTAAGTGCGGAGCACGAATGCTCGCGACTCTCGGCACACAGTTGCCAGGGAAGGCGGCGGCTCGTGGCAGCTGTTAGCAAATGTGAGGCCATCTTGAGCCGGGGTTTTGAGGTTCGATTGTGGTGTGTCGAGTACTTCGAAGACCCGTGGTTCTGGCAGGGCGTACATCCATACCATCGATCGAAGCTCTGGCGGCAGCTTGGGAAATGCCGGGAAATTTGAGGACATGTTCGCGGCTATGGAAAAACATCAAAGTGACGGCACATGCGTAGTCTCGTGGTTCTGCTAATCCAGACATATATTCCTCGGTACGCGTGGACAACCCCGGTATCGTGGTGCGCCCCAGCCCATCCACAATCACCCCACGATCCCATCCCCGCTCTCAAAGTCGCTCGACGTGGTGGATATCGGGGGAATGTACGTCTACGCAATCTATAGTCCCATAGTAGTGAATGCGGTTTTCGCACGAATGGCGGGTGTTCTTCTCAATCCGCCGTCCGACGAAGCCACCGCTGGCGGCGGCGCGGGGACGGGCTTGTTTCGGATAACGACCTGGCGAGATATGATCGGGGAGCGATTGGGCGCTAGCTCGGGAGAGCACCGGACTTGTCATGGGTTGATTGTCATGTCTGTGCGGCATCGGATCTGTTGTGTTCGTACAAACAGCTCGGTAAACTGAGCTTGAACAGGGGCATCTGGTAGAAACGGCCATCGACCCCGAGTTGGAGCTAGGCGCGGTCAATTGACGGTGGAAACCGGGGTTGCTAAAAGCCAAATGCCGTGTTACGTAGATGCAGGTCTTCTGAGCACTTATCTGATAGCTCTATGCAAGGTCATGGTTGGCAACTGTCTGAAGTTGATGATATCCCTGGTCACGATATCGCGGGATACCACATCTGGCGGAAGGATTTACACCGCCCGCACGAAACCGTCCTCACGTCCGAGGCCACTGCTCCGGATAATTTATTGACCACAGAAAGAATACCTAGATATAGACGTGAGAAGGGTTCAGTAGGTTTCCTTTACATGAACAACTTAACCGCGATGACTACCCTATACTGTTAACCAGCGTACCCCGGCGAGCGCCGGATAAATATATGCCGGATAAGTAGTTAATCCGACACACATAAACCGGCCCGTTCAGTTCACGAACGGCATAACTTAAAGATCTCAAGCGGGTGTCGAAATGAAAAGCGACGAGGGCGAGGGAGACTAGTCAAGCGGCTATTTGAATTGTAACCACTCTACCCAAACCATGCCACTCTAAATGTTATGTTCTGGGACGTGGCACCATTCAGCGCCTATCCTGCACAACCTCGTTGCTAACTTGAGAGTGCTATGCACAAGACTCAGTGGCTAATTAAGGGCAGTAAAAAATTCGTCTTGATGGGGCTCACCCATGGCCTTGCGGCCCTCCGACGCTGCTTGAGCGTGGATTTGACAGCCGCCCCCACTGCGGCTCCATCCATTTAATTCCATGTGGAGTCACCTCGCCAAACGGCATTGAAAAGCGGACCGGATAAACAGTTAATACGGAACAAGGTGGGCCTCAACAGGCTATAAAAATCTCAATTGTTCGTCGCAGCTTCGCTGCCCTCTCCTTTGAAAAATCGTGCGGCTGGCATAACCTGAATTTTTTCTCCGTGTTGCTCGAATCCTTAACCCATGGATCACATCGCAGCGTCAGTTGTGCCCCAGATTAATCAAAATTGCAGGCCCGCCCTACCATCGTTTGGTTCTGGTGCTTTCATGCACCTCAGTCGTGGTTGGGAGGCAGGACATTTCAATCCCTCGATTTTTCGTTTGACCCTCTGCAGGTCAAACAAGTTCTGTTAGGACACTCCTAGATAGCTCGTGATATCGCTGTAGGACTGCTCTGCTACCACGTGGTCGTCTGAGAGAGCTGGCTTGATTGAGTGGGACATGTTCTGGATACTGATCCACTGACATGACCCTCTGTCTATTTTCTACATGTTTTTGAGCGACGTGGCGTCGCTATGTTTGCTTCCTGAACTCCGTCGCCGGCTACTACCCCGAGCAGCATGCCTGATGCACTTTGAATTGCCCTGAAATACCCGTCATTCACTATTGTTATGGCAAGATGACGGATCTCAAAGGATCCGTCCATCATCCAAGTTCCAGCCCTTACTCGTCCTCGCCGACCTTCTGGAGCTGCCCCATCTCCCTCTTGGCGCCCGCCTCACCAATCAGCTTCACTCTGTCGATGCGAACAGTCTCTCCATCACCGTCGCCCTTTTGCACATAGATGATCAGACTGGAGGTCTTCTGGAACTTGACGAATCGCAAGCCAATGTTGACAGTTCCGTCAGCGTTCCAATCCTCAGCGGACAGCTCGATCGCTTGGGTGGGTTCGGTGTCGTCTGCTTCGCCAAAGTCGAGGTTCTGGGGCCTGTTGATGTAGAGATGGATGGTGCCAGGTCTCATAGGCGCCTCGTCGTCGTCGTCGTCGTCGTCGTCGTCTTGGGGCGGCAAGGAAGTGATCTATGGCATGCGGTTAGAACGGAAGAGTCTCGCTGCAATAGAACTGCGGTGTAGCTTGCCTGGAGAGTGTGAACCTTGACAATACCCTGGAGGGGAATGTAGAGGAGCAGCTGGTCGTCAGCACCACTTTGGACCCAGTCCTTGGTCGCAGCATTGGCCTTGCCCTTGTCCAGAGCACTTGGCTTGGAGCTATCGAAGAGGACCTTGACGGGGCCAAAGTCCTCGTCAGCGTTCAGCAACTCGCAGTTCCGAACCTCAATTTGATCCGTGATATCGCTGTAGCCTCGTGGGATCTCGGCTCCCTTCCACTGGCCGTCACTGCCACTGCCAGAACCCTCCCCGAGAGACTCGACCTCGCTGAGCAGCTTCTGGATGACAGCCCGCAACTTATGCTGGTCTGCGCCCTGGACTTTATCAATCACCTTTCCATCACGGAAGACGAGAAACGTGGGGAGCGCGGTGATGCCATATTCTTTGGAGATGTCCTGCTGGTTGTCGCTGTTGATCTTGACAAAGGTGACGGCGTTGGGGCGTGACAGGGACTTCGCTAGGGTCTCGTAGATGGGAGCAATCGCCTTGCAAGGACCGCACCAGTCGGCGTAGACTGCAGAGCCAGCACACGTCAGCCTCTTCTCAAGCAGAACACCACGAGGCGCATCTCGACAACCTCACGGGACCTGTGTGGCGGGGTAGGTTTGCTGCCACAGCGACCAGTGGAATGGATGGAAGGTTCTTACAGTCGGCGACGACGATGCGCGAGGACTTCAGGAGGGAGTTGAACTGCTCCTTGGAGGTTATTAAGACCAGGCTTGTCGACATTTTGGAGGCTATTTGGGACGGCTATGTTTGGCGGTTATGACGGTGTGGCAGAACTGGGGAATGGGAAGAGCGCTGAGCCCCTCCAAAGTCTACTTGATTCCTAAGCTTGCAGCGGCGGCGCCGAGTGCCTGGAGGGGTCATCGCTGTACCGGGGCTAGCGTCATCACAGCCAATAACGGCTGCCTGCAGTCTCAACGGCAACGAGCCTCTACCATGGATGGCTAAGGTGTAATTGAACGAACGAGGCACTTGATATGCAAATTTCTGGAATATTTAAAGGAGCCACAGAGATTTGACTGTTTATAGCGATGCAGGTAAATTTAACATGATATTTATTTGGTGGAGCCTAGGGAACCCTAGAGGGCCAATTCAGGATCGAGACAAATCGGCACTTAGTAGAGGAACCCGTTGGAATGACCAAGAACGAGACCGATTCCCTAGGAACCATCTACATAGTCCACAGTGCTTAAACTAGGTGCCAATGCCAGCTGTCCCTATATTCTGGACGAAATGAGGTTGAAGAGAATCGGGAGTCCGAAGCACACTGGTCGAGAGGAGATGATTGAGAAGTGCTGGTTTGCCACTGAAAGTTGCTGGGAAAACGGAAGACGTATAAAGCACGTGAGGAACTTTTGACAGTGTTTAGGATTTCAATCTTGGCATGTGTATAATAAGCGATTGCTCATTCTGCTTGAGCAAACATGCACGGATTGTCGCTAACTGGGCTATACCTTGCCTGCTGAAGTGAGGGTTTCCGGACTCGCCATGAAAGATTATGTGATCGACGTGATGGCTTGGTTGAACCAACCAGCAGGTTGTTAAGTACAATGTCATCGTGGCTTGATTATAATCACCAATGCCAAGTATGACGTCCCGTCACAGCAGGCTGCCATTTGCTGTGCGGTGCAGCTGCAAGCACCCGCGATCCACGACGCCTCCGCCTCCGCCTCCGCCTCCGCCTTTCAGCTCACAAGAAACCATTCACGGGGCGGACTCAGAGACCCAGAGTAGACACCCGGCCGACAGCTGGCGACAGCCCGCGAGGAAAATGGTCCATGATTCACAACCAAGAGCCGTCGGCCATGGAAGCGCGTCGCTATAAAAAGCCGTGCAACACAAATACTCCCATGCAACCACAAATGCCCCTGCGCGCCGCGCTATTTGCCTGCGCTCATTGCTCACTTGTTTGTCGAACTGAAGTGCTCCTGACCTCAAAAGGTCGACCAAAGACTCAACTCAACATACTGCTACTCTGACCTAGGTGCATCTTCGCCATGGATCGGCTGTCGATCGATGGAAGGCCGAGGAAGAAGACCGGTGCATCGTCAGTTGCATCTTCTAGGAAGCCCCAAGCCTCAACAAAGCTGCGGCCAGCTTCTCCGCCAAGAACAAACCCATGGGCTCGCCCGCAAACAAGAACCGTCGCCTGCGATGACTTTCCGCCGCTGCCCAACGCCAGTAGTGCCGCTCTGCCAGCACCAAGCGCAGTTACCAGGTCATCTCGAACATCCTCAGCATCATCTTGCCCCCGAACAGGGGACGCTTCACAGGTTGCACTTACAGCATGCTCCATTTCCACCTGTTCAGAAACCTCCCGTCACATCCTTGAAGCAGCTGCTCCGCGCGCCACAGAGAGGTTGGCCTCCCCCGTGTGCTGGCGTCTTTCGACCAACGGCTGATATTGTCGACAGTCTCTGGAAACATCCGTTTGGCGCGGATGTGGTGGTACACACCGACACGATGAGCTTTCGAGTCCACCGCAACATTGTGGAACCCGAATCAGGTTGGTTTCGCGACAATCTCCCCCCTCCAAACTTGGTACGGCGCCCAACCTCCCTCTTGGTTGTGAATGAAGAGATCTGACAAGTCGCTCACAGGATGGATCCCCGGTCAAAGTGCGCTTGGGCTGTACTGCCGAGGCTGCTGCGCATTGTTTGAGATTCATGTACACAGGGAGTGAGTTTCCGGCCCAATTCCTGGCAACCCAAGATCCAGGTTACTAACCAAAGGACCTAAACAGGAATCGAGATTTGCGACATTGATCCAAATTGTCCCTGGAGCATCATCCACCTTCCACGATGTGTTCTGGGATACTGTGCAGCAGTGTTCTTGCGGGTGAGTAGGATGGCAGCTCACCTTCTCCGAATCGTCGAAAAAACATCCGTCGAGCTTGGGACTTTGGTGACAACGCGCTATCTCCATCAAAACCTGGACGATTGCGAATGGGTGGAATTCTCCTGGCACTATCAGAACGCCCTGGACATTCTCTACGCCCAAGGCTCTCAGACTCTCATGATGCCGATGAGATTGGCGATGGTAAGCGTCCTTGACACCACTCTCTTCTGGCTAGTACGACATCCTGCTTTCATAAATCTCCTCCAAACGACTTGGCAGCACTTTCCAAACACGCTGTTGCTGGACCAGGCAGAATATCGTCGACTCCTGAAAGAAAACAATCCCACTACCAAGAGCCCTGTGCCGACCGAAGCCGCGCTCGAAAAGCTGTTTGCGAAGGAGGAAATGGAAAGCACAATCAAGAACGAGTGCGTTATCCCTGGAACTACGGATCTTTCTGCTGGTCGGACAGTGCTGGCGTCTAGAGGAAGGGCACAAAGTTGCTACCGACGAAGAGGTAGCTCGCTGTGAATGGAACTAAGAGAATTCAAATAATGCGACAGCTCTCAGCAAATGCTTGAGACATGGCTTGAGAAAGGGGTGGCGAGGAAGCTGGCTACAAACGAGCCTTTTGTATATAGATTATACCAACATTCAGCTTGGAAAGATTATTACAGTGGAGGGTTGCAGCTGAGGGTCAGCTGGATATGTAAATGGCATGGGCTTGACAGAGCTGAACCGGTTCCAGGGGTTGTTCCAGTGACGGTTAGTGGCCAGCCCACCAAACGGGCTGGTCCGTGCCGAAACTGACAATAAGCGCTAGGCTAGGTGTAACCTCACTTGCCAGCCTCACTCCGGTTGCAGTTGCTCTTGCGACGCGCTCATAAAAAGTTGCCCTCCAGCATCTATCTGCTTGCAAGCTAGATTCAAAGGTTGAGTTGTATTTATACGGCCTTTGTCTTCTATGAACAATGGCGCAACGTGATGGCGGAGAAGGCCGTTCTTCTCATGTTCGCTTTGCGGAGAGAGAAGAAGTCATCGTGGTACGTGAATTATTTCCCCGACACCTGAGTCTTAGACTGAGCCGCAATAGCAACGGCGACCATACCGTCAGGACTCGAGAGGCCACGCAAGACGCGGGACACATGAAAGCGCCGATGGCCCTGTAAACGAGAGACAGCGCTACCGGCGCGACAGCGGTGACAGACCTAGCCCGCGCTCGCCAGTTCGTCTCGAGTCGCCGGTGACCAGAACCAGACGAACACGCGTCGTTGAGGAAGTACCCATCCGAGACGCCAACGAGGATGTTGAACCCACTACTGTCTATGAAATGGTGGAGGAGACGAGAATCACCGAATCTCCTCCGCCTATCGACGATGCGTGGGATGAGATACCACATCGCAGACCGAGTCGTCCACCCTATGACAATGATTGGGACCAGAGACCGAATCCCAGAATGGGTCGTCCAGTCTACGGGGATAACGATGCCGACTTAGACCGCTATTCCTACGGTGATGCAATCAAGCCTAGATCCAGGTCCCGATCCAGGTCACCAACCTATTCTCGATTCGAAGACCCAATGGCAGAAAGGTACGCCTCTGGACGCAACCGCTTTCCCTCATACATTGCCGATCAATACGGTGCACAACGGCCCTATCGACGGACCAGTGCATCTAGTGATGACTGGGATCCCTACGATAAGTTCAGCTTGGACCTTATGTCCCAGTCCATCACTGAATCATCAAAGGATGGTGATTCTGACACTGAGTCACCGGAGACGGATGAAAGGGTACCAGTGAAGGATGAGAGAGGGAAGCCGAGGACTGCTCATGCTACGGCTGTCAAGACCTCACAGTACACAGGGAATGCCGAGCTTGGTGGCTTACACAGCGCGACACTGACAGCAGTGCATGGCACCAACGACCGCAAACAGTCTTTGTTTAGGTGGCTGTAAGTCCTGCAAGGTGCCTCGCTTCGGGATTTTCTGCTGACATTTAGAAGACATGTTCGCCAAGAGGTTATGAACTTTGAGGAGCTATGGGTATAACTTCTGTGGAGCTTCGCCGTGACTCGGGTGCTAACAATCCTTAGATGGAGATATCCTGCGTGTCTGGCCTCTCTGACCTGGAAAAGCGCGCGGTAACGAGACTTCGAGGAGACGTCAAGAGCTCTCTTAAATCGCGACATAACCCCAAAGGAGCGAAGGTCGGCTACGTCGAGCCTCGATCTATCGAGGTTCCTCTTAAATCACTGACAAATAAGAACGCGACGAGGGAAGCGGTCACAGGGTCAGCTAGATGGATCTGCATACCATACTTTTCTCTCGATCAATACTCGGGTTTGCTCTCGGCATCCAACTTGTCCTTGTTTCCGGCTCAGACTTTACTTCAAGCTCAATACTCTCGCAGCACTCTTCAGAGGGACATGGAGCAAGCGGTCTGCCAATTAGGGAATGCTAAACGCGGAGAGTGCTTTCACATAGCCCAGCTGTGGTGTGTCGTCATTGACAACAGTAAGGGATTTACCTCCACTACACCGGATATGGTTAATATTGATGAAATCTGACAGGTCTACTGGTAACTTGTGGAACTATGTCTCAGTCTGATCTGCAAGGAGATATATTAAAAGTCAACGCTGAGCCTTCTCGAGATCTGACAACGGACAATCAAGGCAAAATCCTGGTTTCTTACGGTGACTCCGTCGCTTGGTCTTTGGCAGCTGACGAGTGCCAAACATGGTTTGTAAGTAAAATAAACCCCATTCGTGTATTGTATATATGTCTGACAATCATCCAGGCTTTTACCTCGAAATTCCAAGCCTTCTGGCCTAAGAATATTGAGTTCTGGCATCAAGACCACATCATAACAGCTGCGAAGTGGCCCAGGATCTTGCGACTAGTTTCACATGCCCAGTCGAGTGTCAAAATCACACTGAAAATAGGGTAAGGTGGCGCCGTATTCAGCTATTATATAAGTGAGGCTAAGCTAACGAGCTTGCAGATGCCTCCCTGATGTACCTCCGCGCGCGGTCCTAAAGCCAGAGACTGAGAGTGAAACAACCTCTGGGGATGAACAGAGAGAGAGCGACACTGACGATTTCATTCACGTCATGATGTTACCCCAGACGAATCGCAAAGGTGCCTCCGCTTTTGCCAAAAGCAGTACAGTCAAGACACAGCTTGATTCTGCCCACATGTTCTTGATGCAGGACACGTCATATTCGAATCGAAGCGCGTACAAAAACTGCAAACCGGGGACAAGAAAGGAGTGCCACGCATATCTTGATTCGCTCGCAAGTATTGTCGAAGCTGACGGTACCGATAATGTGCGGCGTGCGTATGAGGAGAAAATCGACATCTTCAACACGACGGAGACTTTGTATAGATTCTTCCTCCCGCGGGACTTTGAGGATCCAACATCAGGCAAATTCTGGGGAGCCATCAGAAACATGCTGGAGGTAAGTGCTATCCCACACACATTGCCGTGACTTGAGCTAACAATATCCGGCAGTTGAAACAATTACAACCAAACTACACGCACGCGATTACTGATAATACTGTGCCCCAAATCAGAAGATTCTTGAGGAACCTCACACCGAGCCTTATTGCGTTCCAGAACATCATGTCTCATGCATCCGAATCAGAGCGTGATGGTGTGGAGGCACCGCGGGAGTTCGTGACTGCATGGTTGTACGTGGTCATGGGCATGGTCTACGGTTCCCAGGACCACAGCCGATGGAGCAGTCGGACATCTCGGATGAGAGAGCTGCTCGAGCAGGGAATGAAGAAACTAATGCATTCGCTCCCCAACAAAAGCCTGCTAGAGAGGACCAGCATGATGCCCCTTGAGGTTCTTTCATTGGTGACGTTTGGCCTACTTCAGGATCAGGTTGGGAAGTCGGATGATATCTGCGAGACCTACTCGCAGTACCTCAACTCACTGGTAAGTTAAGATGACAAATGTAATTGCTCATTGTTGCTGATGGTCATAGGAAAATTCGATCATGTCGAAACAGTCAGACAGGTCCTACCAGCATCGGATTGATCTTGTGCAGCAAGAAATCTCGGCCGTTAAGCGCACGCTGAAGAGGCAGCGGAACATCATCTCCAACATTCGAAACTCCCTCACAGCCCTCGACACTCACAAGATAGTCTTACAGAATAGAGAAGAGGCGGCCATACGGAGGGAGAAGGAGAGGGACAGGTATACAGATGCAGCTCCTGGCCCTCCCCCTCCTCCCCGATCACAATACGCATTGAGGCCTGGCTTAGAGGAAATGGCGGTTATCCGACCCGCCAACGATTATATGGGTCTCGACGACGAGTTTATTCAGGAAATTTCATCGGCATCGAAGCTCTCTTCGACAGACGCGGGTGGCCTCCGCGGGTTGTTCTTCATGGAATGCTCACGGCTCATCGAGCAGCGCGAGTTCGAGTTCTGGAGGTACACAGACTACGCCAACGACCTTGAGCGAGCCATCAATTTCAAGATGAGCTTCGCCAAGGACCGACAAGAGAACGCCATCTTCGCCTTCACGCTCGTCACTATCGTGTTCCTGCCGATTAGTACGGTCTCAAGCATCTTCGGCATGAACACAGCCGATGTCCGCGACATGGAGTCCTCGCAGTGGCTGTACTGGTCCGTCGCACTACCGCTGACGCTGGTTGTCATCGCCGCGGGACTTTGGTGGATGGGCGAACTGGGCAACATTGCTCGGTGGTTTATGCGCAAGCCACGAGAGTCATCATCGCGGGGCGTGTACGGAGGGCCCGTCATGATGCCCCAGCCGGTCGATCAGTCCTATCTTACACCGGCTAGTATGCCTGGTCCTATGATGATGAATTATGGTGCAGCCCAGTATGTCCCTGGCACCAATCCCGGCATGCAACGGGTCAGGACCCAGGAGCACTATGCACCGACATCTGTTTGGCAGGGCCGGGCGCGTTCTGAGGGATACTGATATAGTGTTGGGAGCTGACGGGGGGGATTTTGAAATCACTTGTTCGGATAGAGATCAGATGAACTTGGACAATAATAAATTTCAGTTTGCCTCAACTCCATTCGTACGTATTACACCGTCTTGATACACCTGTTTACCCCAAAATAACATAGCCAGAATCGTTATCATATCATATAAGGCCGTTAAAGTAAAACCCGTCTGTTTCTGGGACCATCTTGCTCATCTTCTGTAGTACTCCCGATCGTGGATGTGGACTCTCGTGTGCTCATCCTCAGTGATCATTTTCCGAGGAGGCGGTGGAGGGGAAGGTGAGGGGGCGTGCCGTCGAGGGCCATCGACGTATCGAAACGTCTCATACTGAGGCTCAACGGGGACCGGAACGGGAACAGGGACGCGTACAGGGACGATCCTCTCCCGCTCGATGATGACTTCGCGGTCTCGTCCTCGGTGGCTTCTGCTGTGGGAGCGCGACGAGCGCGACTTGGAGGACTTCCTCCTGTGAGACGGCTCAACGTCAACGGCGATGACCTCGATGGGATCATCTGGTGGCGACGGCGGCCGCGGAGGGAGAGGCGGCATGGGCTTCACGACCGGCGGAGGAGGCGGCGGAGGTTCGGGCTTTGGCTCGGGCTTTGGTTCGGGGGGCGGGGGGATGAAAACCGGAGGCGGAGGAGGTGGCAGGGCAGGCCGTTCAATGATCATCGGCGGCGGCGGCGCCGGTGCAGGGATGATGCGCGTGACGCGGCTCCGTACAACGGCATAGTCGGGCTCCGGGTGGTGGAGATAGAGCCTCTTCTTTTCATACTCTCGAGTGACTGCGGAAGTGACGTCAGCGATGCTTGCGGCCGGATAGCGGGGTGATGGAGAGGGGGCTTACCCATGACGAAGGCGGATCAGTGGAAAATTACAGCGACGTATATTTAGGCAGAGGGCGAAAATAGTAGTGTATGTTGGACAGGAGTAGGAAGCCAAATGGGGGCCAGTTTGCGGGTGTGCGAAGAGTACAGACAGGTAGGCGTACAGACAGGTAAGCGTAATGGCGATGATGATGATGGATCCACGTGAGACGGCTGGCTGACCGGATGACTGGATGGATGACGGGATGGTTGTCGGTGGCGAACAGATCAAGTCCAGAGCACGAGAGAGAAAGGGCCGATCTTATATGTAACTAGGAACAGAGGAGAGGGAGAGGGCACGCGCATACGCCACGGCTTCTACGCAGTTACCGTTGGGAGGCAAGGCAACTTCTACCATCCACCATCCGCCATCCACCATTCAGGAGGCCCAGCCAGTGTCAGCCCAAGGCCCAGGCCCCATCCTCCATCCTTTATTAGCTGCTCTGCCTGTTCGTGCCCGGGTCGCGGTGGCATTTGCTCACCAGGCGAAGCCGATGACGTCGGGCATGCACATGCACGTCAGGCCCCTCACCCGCAGAAAACAAGATTTCCCGCCTGCGCGGCGCCGGGAGTTGGGCAGTGCAGAGCAAAACCACCACTGCAAGACCGCCCAGCGCCGGCCCAGTCAATCGAGTCGAGGTCCAGCACGCCAGTGGGTGGGCCTCACACCATCTCCGCCTCTGTGTGACCTGGGCCAGTCATGCGCCGCGCCGTTGCACCCTGGACCCTGGGGATTGCGCCTTGGGGTCGTTTCTGTCGCAGGGCTGGGCCAGTCGCGATGGGAGACGGGCCAGGGAAGTAATTGACGATGAGGGACGACAAAAAAGCCTTACCCTAGTGGATATGACGATGGATGGGGACGACGAGGATGGGGACCACCGTGTTGGATGAGGGAATTTGCTTTTGGGAACTTCGTGTTTACGGCCGGTTAGGCTGTGCTGTGTAGATGGTGAGCCTGCGGCAAGCGACTTTCCCGATCAAGGGAAAAGAAACCATCGCTTGCAGATGGATGCAGCCTCTGGATACAGACTGCGAAACACGTAAGCTCTCGACGAACGGATACGCATTCTGTCGCCATGTCGATGGTGGTGGTGATACCTCACTCGGCATCGCCTCCTCCCGAAGACCCACTCAATCGGCTCCGAAGCTGCGGAGCACCGGCCGCCGACCATCCGCCTTACATCCGGTCGATCGCCGGCCACTCTCCCTCGGCGACCTCCACTTCCGGGGACACCACCCCGGGTGCCCCTCTCATCTCGGCCACCCTTGTCCTCTCCACCCAACCGACAACCACCGAAGCCGTCCCCTGAAACCGGTTCGACAACCGAGAGACCATCGAAGCTTCAAGGGTTTCAGGACCAGGGGCAGAGCCTAAAGCTTGTCATCAAATGCATGGGTTAAGGGGTCGCTACCGGAAGGAGAAGGTGTGGGATGATGGATCTGAGCATGGCCACGTCAACGGCGATCTGAAAGGGTGAGTCCACTCACGGCCTGGGCATCTCTCCGGGATCTGGTGGAATTGTTTGAGGATGGGATGCAGGGCACCAGTGTACCAAGGATTGTGACAACCGATGGTGGCTGCTTGCGCTCTGTCACGGCATCTGAAAACAGATGAGGATTGCGGAGGGTAGCATCGCTTCCAGTGCCACAAGCTGCAGAGGAGGGGGGGCTCATGATGATCAGGGGCACGGATAAGATTATGGCGACGACTCTGCCTCAAAACTCTCCGGAATGAAAGGGTCAAGCTCGTAAAGGGTCTACAGATAGAATCCTGGAGTCTGGCGTGCTGGCGGCTGTCAAATGGTGCCAACGAAGCCCACATAGTTACAGTAGCCCGGCACTGTTGAGTTCAACCGTCGGTTCTCGGCCCTAGACAAAAAGCAACGCCGTCGACGAGAAAAGCAAAGTCATCCGGCACCAAATCTCTGTGCTACTGTGATTGTGTAACGAGTTGGAGATCGTCAGAGCTGCAGAGACTTGTGGGAGCCAACAGGATTGCGCTGCTGTGCCGATCCGCACGACCCGAGAGCGGGAACAAGGGGGCGCTAGGAGCTGATCATCATGTGCTGTTATGATAAGGGACCCTCAAATCATGAACGGTCGAAATATTTCCCGTCGTACTCTACGCGCCTGGGATGGCGGACAGCTGGTGAGCGGGCTCTATTTCGGAACCCGTCGATGGTGAGAAGTACAATGAAATTGCACTGGCGTCATGGTACAAGCGCCAAAGGCGCCGCTTGAGCAGCCGCTGTCTTTGCCACGGGGTCGCAGCGGGAAGGACCAGTGTAATAAAGGACTAGTGTAATAAAAATAAATACTGACTGATCAATAGAGGTCTAAGAGCGATACGACCCAAGGGGCCGCAGAGAGTTGGCAGCGACAGTGCAGCGGCATTGCAGCGGCATTGAAACTCGGCGGGCAGCTGCGTGAAGATCCAACTCATCACCAGGTTGGTTGCAGTCTGTAATGGAGCGACAGGGATCATCAAGTAGTAAACGGGCGGGTATCTCATGAGGGATGGCGCTCATCTCATCATGGCGCACACTGGGGCGGGAAAATAGGGGGTTTCTTCCCGCCTTGTTGCGCAATGAATGCTCCGCCCTTCCCCCGACGGCAAATGAGGCGCACAGCTGGCTTGATTCTCATCACACCGCCTGCCCAGGCTGGGGTACATGTGAATTGGAGTTGTCGGCGATTGGCAGAGCTGTCGAGGCCCTCGGAGCGTCGTTGGATCCGGGCTGACACTGTCTCCAGGTTCATTTGGGTTGTCACCTCGATGATGGCCACTGCGGTCTGTCTAAGCGTCTGGGTACTCTGTCGGACGGGCCATTTCTAAAGTACCTACCTTACCTACTTCGTATCTTGATTAGTCGTGGGCAGACTACGGCGCCTTTGGTATTAGCTTCCCTAATGGAGAAGGTCTACCTACTGACCATGACATCGACATCGCGATGGGTCACGTGGAGATCAGGGACAGTCGGCGGAGTAAAATGGTAGAAAGAGCCAAGTTGAATAGAAGAGTGCCGGCGGCGTAGTTACCAAGGCCGCGGTGCAGCCGGCACGGGAGTTGAGCACACTCATACACAGATTCCTCATTCCAGGACCCGTGATGATTACGAGTCAGCCGCTGGTGGGTTCTCCCGTTCCCCATCTGAAGGGGACGGGAGTTGGGTCCTTTTAGTTGGATGTTTCTCATGCAGCTCATACTTGAGGCGTCAGATCGTGGGCCTCGCTAGTCTGTAGTAGTTCCGTGTCCAGTTTCACTTCGTCTGGGTCCAGTCCCGGTTGGGGGGTGGATGACCGACAATCAAGAGGGTCCATCTCCACCAGCCTTGGTGCGCCTCACTGCTGAGCAATGTGCCGTATGCCATTGTGGCGGCAGAGATGGAAAGGTTCGCCTGGTGAGAGTGTGCCTACCTGTGTTACAGCGGGCAGAATGCTCAGTCTACCCCATCGAGGCTGGGGTGGCCAATATCTCGGCCTCGGCCTGGATCTTGGTTGCAGGTAAACCGGCCTTTGTTCTCTGGCCACTGCGTCCGTATGTGTGGCCTAGATCCGATGGCGTGGGTGGGCTTGTCTCCCCAGGCTGGGAACTCCCGGTCGCATTGAGGCATGTGGCGCTGGTTCGACAATTGGGCAACGGGGAGAGTATGAGAGAGAAGTTCGTGCTTTCTTTGTTTCAAGAACTAGGCGAATATGCAGACGGGATGGGTCCCGAATGTGACGTCTTCAAGGTGGCTTGCAGTTTGATCCAGAGGGTTCGTGTTTGCGGGCGATGTGTCACGGGCGGATGCGCGTTGGCATGCGTTTCGGTGTGGCTCCAAGGGTGATTCAAGTTCGGCAAACAACGTCAGAAGTGGTGTCGTTACCACCATTTTGTGCACTTTGGTAGTAAGAGCTAGCATTAATGGAGTATTGCCGCACGAAGGAGGTACTCTATCATGCATGGTGGTGGTGTTTGTAGCTAAAATTGGCTCTTGAGAGCAGGCGGCTAAGACAACCATGGCACTGGTGGTTGACGTGATGGTGGCCTCGCGAGCAGTGGACAATATTGGATGAAATGGGATAGATCTCCGGGCCAGTCCAGATGGGCTAGATTGTACCTGCAGCAAGCGGAGCTGTCGTCTGGCAGTGGGACACGTGCAGCGGTTGGTGGTCACTTGGCTTGAGACTTGTTGGTGTTGGTGAGTGGGCGCGCTTGTCTTCTCGTGTCTCCCTCGTTCTTGGTGGAGGACTGCCGTTTGGGTGTGTTTCTGGTGGATATGGTTAATAAAGGGGAAGTGGATCTCAACGTGTTTTCCCATCTCAGGCCATTCCATCCCAACTGCAGTGCTAATGCAGTGTCTACCTTGGGGGAGAGGACCCGGTGGTCCTGTGCATATGCAGGGATATATCGTTTGCTTCTGCTGTTGCAAGCATTATAATTGCTTTTTATTTTATTTTATTTTATTTATTTCTCTTTCTCTCCCGTCTCTGCCGTTAGCCTCATCTCCTTCCCGACTCACGGACACAAAGGTGGTCTCGCCGACTCTCGAGGCGCTCTGGAGCCACGGGCTGGCCTGTTTGAATGCTCCAGATGCGGCAAAGAGCTGGGACCGGGGCGGATGGAGGAGACCCCAGCGTCATAGCGGGCACCAGGGCGATGATTGGAAGAAGCATCCCACGATGACACCAGGGGCTCGGGACATGGGGGATTATCCTGGTCCATGATGTCCACTTTTAATTAAGGCCATTCGCAGGTTGTTGTGGGCGAGTTCCATTCAGTGGTTGAGAGACTGATGAGAGAGACATCCGGGCGCTAAGTGAAGCTTTGGAAAATCCACTATCACTATCTTGTTATGCACATTTCGACAGCGGACCACACGCACATGATGTGCATTTCGTTTGGATGTTTACAGAAACCCAATTACGTTACTGTGGCTCCGGGGTTCCTAATATAGATCAATGGCTTGTCTTGTGACGGCTGATGAGAGTTTGGGTGAAGGGAGTGAGTGAGTGAGTGAGTGCGTGCGTGCGTTTGCGTTTTGGCTGACGTGAGGGGAGACAAAGCTGCGTGTTTGAGCAGGAGGGGGAAAATGAAAATGAACAGCTCGCTTCCAGCGTTAGCAGCCAGCCCAGCCCCCTCTCCTTCTCTTTGCTAGAGTTCGTTCTTCGTCGTTACAGTACTACGTCGCAAGGAACAGAGATAGTGCACTGTACCTGGCAATATTGGCTGGTGGACAACCCCCTGTTTCTGCATTCCTCGCAGCCGGAGGGCTGTTAGCGTGCTGTAGGTAGGTAGGAATAGACGAGCGCTGATGGCGCTGGCATGTGCCCCCTGGACGACCTGGACGGGAACTCGCAACGTCCCGTGATCCACCATAGCAATGTCCCAGTTCCAGGTCCAGTTCCAGCTCTTGGAGTTCCAGTTTGGTGTTCCGGCTGATGTTCCATTGGGTATTCTAGCTAATGTTCCAGTTCGAGTTTGAGTTCCTGTCCTAGGCCCAGAGGGATGTCCCGTGTCTTATGCGAACCGATTGGCGGGAATGAAGCCCAAACTCTTTCCAATGCCCCCCAAAGCATCCTCTCGAAAATCATCATTACTGACGTATCATGGCCTATGCTACCCGTACATACAGTACGTACGTAGTATTATCGATTCCCCGCAGATGCCGCCCGCACGCGCGCTCCCTGTCTCATTGAGCAGCATCTAGCGTTGTGCGTCAATGGCCAGCCATGCTTCACGACAAGTGGCCCTGCAGGGCTCTGTTAGCGCCATTCAATTTTCTTGTTAGTGGCAGTTAGCGGGAAAGCTGTCCCTGGCTCCTTGCTCCGACGGCGTCCCGTGGACTTTTACTGGGATACCCCTTATTCCTTCGGGGAGTCTTGGGGCTTTACTGCGTGGTATGGCGCTCTGTCGCAGATTCTGGGCCTCTGTCACTGGCTGGCCCAAGTGTTGCCGAGCTGCTGCTAACGGGACGGCGAGGGGCCTTGATCCCGGTCTCCTGCGCTACGACGACGAACGACTGCATCCAGCCATCCAGCCATCCAGCCATCCAGCCAGCCATCCACCGTCACCTCAGCCGATCACTGCTGGGGTCGGATGTTGTTATTGTCGTTTATGTGTTGTACGTAGCACGGAGTATCTTACGTAGGATTGTGTAGTGTAGTGGGATGGATTGCCGACAAAGAAGCGAGTCACCGACTCTTGCCGGCCACAGAAGAAGAAATAGGGGGGGAGGGGAGGATTCCCAACCAGCCGGTCGGTAAGAAGTAGTCCGTATAGTACGGGCGAGTCAAGCCTCACTCCCCCCAAAGCAAGGAGCGAGCAGGGTCCAGCGGTACCGGTGAATGCACCTCGACCCAGCCAGATAGCCTCCAGACAACCCAGGCAAACCCAGAAAGTCCATTGTCGGCTTCTCTGGCCCATTCTCCCGGAGCTCTTCTACGTTGGGTTCACCGGCGCACTCGTTGCACTGTTTGCGCCTTTCGTTCCATCCAGTAACTAACTACCTTTTAGAGGCTGGAGTGCCGGCCTGCCACCTACCGCCTGTACCTAACCAAAACCGTCCCAAATCTCCTACTCCCCCCCATCCCTACCAACCTGGCATCCCACTTCACACACTCTTTTCTTACTCTGCGCTGCCATCTCCGCCACCACTCTCGCTCTCTAACTACCAAAACGTCCCCTGGCCCGGCCTCTCTGCCTCGCCGTGCCTCGTTTCGCCTCACCTCGCTTGGTCGTTGTTCCATACCTTGCGCTTATCGCCTCCTCCGCCCAGACGCACCGGACGGACTGTCGTGTTCTGCTGCCGGCCACTCACCACACCACCACACCACCACTTCGACACTCACCACAGAATCTCCACCCTCGAAACCGAAACCCGGCGCCGGACTCCTCCTGCTGCGCTGACCTGCACTGCATCGCCCTGTGTCGCATACAACCTTGCTCCGGCGGTTTGACCACACAGCGACCATCTCGAAACCTCACCCTCCCGCCCCGGCACGTACCCATTGGCTGATGTGTCCCGCTGCATGAGGATAGCGGACCATGTCGCAGCTTGCGCACCAGAGCGACCAAGCCGCTCCCACAGCCTCTGCCTCTCCGTCTGTCGCCGCTGCAATTGCGTCTGGCTCTGCGTCGACGACGACGACAAGCTACGTCGCCATCTCCGCCTCCGCCTCGACGCATGCTATCTCATCTGAAGCGGCCATGGAAGCTCGTGCCGATGACTTGCATCATTTCCACTCCCATCAAGACTTTATGGGCCAAGACAGTCCAACCGTCGGTCGCATAACATTCTCCAACTCGCCTTTCTCGCCGCTGGGCTCTTTGTCGCCGGCTCCCAGGTGAGCATCTTCATCTCAAGTCCACCCTCCGTATTCCATCCCCACACCCCCCCGGCTCCCCGCTGATCCCAGGCCTCCTGGCCACTTTCACCGTTCGCTTGTTACTCACACTTCCTCTCTCCCACACATATTCTCCCCAACGCCCGTCGCTTTCCCCCAACTTTGGTTACATGTGTCGGCTTTGTCCTGGGTTGAAGTTGTGCGAGGCGACCGATTGTCCCTCGTGCCCTCTACCTGCGCTTCCCCTCTGTGGCTTGCGATCCTCTGGCGTCCTGTCGTGGAACCATCCACCACTCCAAACCTTCCTTGACTAACAAGCCTCAAAGTCCGAGATCTCCCCGACCCGCCATTTCGAGCCCACTGTCAACGAGCAAAAGCCTGGTCTACGGTCCCACGAGTCCAAGCCCTCGTTCCGCTGCTTTTCCTCTCCGACCACCACCTTCTCCGGCAATTTCAACCGACCAAGCGCCAACCTCGAAGGGCCGTGTACAACCCAAGGAGACCGCCTTCTACAGCGATTCCTCCGATTCAGAGTCCCCGGAACCTCGGAGTGCTAGGTTCGTATCGACAACGGCTACCGCTCGAGTCCAACGATTCTCAACCTCTCATCCCGCTGCACTTCAACTAACAATCAACCCCTCACAGACAACCATACACCGGCAATTCGAATGACTCGCGAACCGTCTCTGATCCTGTAATCTTGAAGCCTTTCCAAGGCTCGTTCTCGACTCCCCGGCCGGCCATGGCTGGCCCGGTAGCAGCGGCGCAGGCCGACTCCCACAAGGTGGCTCCCCGCAACTCGTCAATCGATTCAGCCATATCTGCCATCTCCGCAAAGTCACAAGGAGCCAACGGCCCCCAGGATGTGCAAAATGGCGCCACGGATATCGCTCGTTTAATAAAGACCGCCGGAAGCCCAGAGGCTGTGATCCAGTATCTACTCAAGGAAAAGCAGTCACAGTCGCAGCAGAACTCCCAACTTTGGCGCCTCGTCGACAAGCAACGAGCTATGATATTGGGATTGAACAAGGATTTGGAAAGGGCTCTTCAAGACAAGGAGAAGTACAGAAAAAAGTTGAAAGAGGTCATGGCCATTCCTGCCATTTCCATGGCTCCCGGCTCCAAAGGAAGAGGACAGCACGCACCTCTTCTCCCCGGCATGACTATTCCCCGAGTGGACATTGAACGAGCCAAGGACAGCATCATTGCTCCAGACTCGCCCATACTCGATTCAGACAGCACAAAGAACTCGCCCATCGATGTGACGATGGCACCCTATCCGATCACACCTCCGGCAGACCAACCGAACCCGCCACCATCTGCGGTTAGCGAGATCCTACAACCGGCTCGTACTATGCCGAAACCCCAGGATCATGCTCTGGATAAGTTCGACCACGAGGAGGACGAAAGGATCGCCGATCAGGTGCGCAAGGAGAAGGCCGAGCAACAGCTAAAGGAGATTCCCTTCAACCTCTCACTTCCCCCTTCACGTAGTCTACCCAGCGAACCCCCAAGGATGCCACCACCGAAACCCCCGAAGGGACACCTTCCCACCGTTGCTGTGCTTGAGGCGACACCACAACCTGACGAGGGCATTTCCCAGTTTCCCGCACCCCCGCCACGAAAGCCCCCGCCCGCACCTCTTCAGCTGAAGCAAGACCGGCCTGTGAACATAATTCCTCCCCCTGAAGAGGACGAAAGTGACTCGGACTATGACGACATTTTAGAAGTTGATGAGATTGTGCACGAGAAGCGTGGCCGACGAAAAACCCGAGAGGAGGATGACCGGGAACGAGAAATCATTGCTTTCAAAGAGGCGGCGGCGCGAAGCGCATCCAAGAAGAACAAGTCCAGCCAGCCCGGGTCTCCACGCGACGATGCTGGTGCGATACCTCCGCCACTAATGCAGGACGCCGGCACCGCTTCGCTAGCCGGCATGCTCAGTGTCCAAAAGCCCAGAGAAATCACGGCGCCGTTGATGAGTCCTGGCCTCCCCGCTAGCCCCCGTCCTTTCAACCTGAAGGCACCGATTACCTCGCCTCCCCTATCGCCAAGGAATGGAGCTCAATTCCCTTCCGCTCCTCTGTCCCCGCGACCTCCCCGCCAGCCTATCCCTCTACCGCCAAATACCCCCCTGGCAACTCCAGCAGTTGCAGCCACTGTTCAAGGGTCTACGTCTCCACGGGTACAAGCCAGCAGCCAGATCGCTGGGCAGGGAGTTGCGGATAACCCAGCCAATAGATCCAGCCCGACTGAACGCACACGGGTCTTTAAGGGCCTCGTGACGGACGAGTACCCCGATCTCCTACTCCCGCCCAATGCACTGCCTTCCATCGAAGTAAAGGTTGCCTCCTCGCGCATGAAGCCGTCCAGAGCGAGCATGCTGTCGCTCACTCAGCTTGAAGAGGACCCTGTGTTTACCCTTGCCATTATCTCCCGTGCCGACGGGGGTGAGTTGTGGCGCGTTGAGAAGGAATCAGCGTCAGTTGCGAAATTAGACCAACGGCTGAAGCAATTCGCTTCGTTCACGGCCAGGCCTCCCGAGCGATCTTTGTTCAATGGACATGCACCAGCAAAGCTGGACGCTCGAAGGACCATCTTGGAGCAATACATGGATGAGATGCTCAACACCCCATTTGACACAAACACGGCACTTGAAGTGTGCAAGTACCTATCGTCGAACGTGCTCCCGCCGAATTCTGATGACGCTGTCTCATTAGGTGATTCAGGCTCCGAGATCAGCGGCAACAAGACCGGCCCTGATGGTCGAGCCCTGCGCAGCGGCTACTTGACAAAGAAAGGCAAGAATTTTGGTGGCTGGAAGGCGAGATTCTTTGTACTCGATGGTCCTCACCTGAAGTACTATGAGACTCCTGGAGGGGCCCATTTGGGAACGATCAAGCTTCAGAATGCCCAGATTGGCAAGCAGTCCCAGAATAACGATAATCATTCTCCAACTCGTGCGGCTAGTGGAGAGGAGTTGGATAACCAGTATCGCCATGCTTTCCTCATCTTGGAGCCGAAGAAGAAGGACTCAACCAGCCATGTCAAGCATGTACTGTGCGCTGAGAGCGATAGAGAGCGGGACCGTTGGGTTCAAGCATTGCTGCAGTGGATTGATTACCGCGACCCCGATGACTCTGAGGCCCCGAACAGGCCTGGTACTGCCCATGACCGTCAACCCTCGGGTCCACATGAACGCCCAGGCACCGCCAAGAGCAGGAAGGCGGGTCACAAGCCGTCTAACCACCATCAATCGGATTCAGACACTCTCGTCGGCATGAGGTATGACACAACACAGGCTGGAGACGCGCCACAGCTCACTCCTGCCCGACCCAAGACATCTGGTGGGCTTCCGGACCACCACCAAGGTCATGGATTTGAGGGCCTCTCAGCAACTCAAGCCAGCAAGCTCATATCGGCACCGAAGGACCCCCATGTAATATCCGATTCCACTTCCTGGGGAACCAAGATGGGCCTCTCTATCCCAACCACCGAGGAGAAGAAGCAGAGGAAACGTAGTTTTTTTGGGTTTGGACCTAAAACTCGTTCATCCTCAGATGGGCAGGACTCGCTGTTTGGCGGCAGCGAGACTGGCGCAACACCGCCCCAAAACGGCTATCATGGACCCGTTCGGCAGGCCTTTGGAGTGCCATTGGCCGAGGCAGTACGATTCTGCTCGCCGACGGATGTGAACGTGCCTCTCCCTGCCGTCATGTACCGTTGTATCCAGTACCTTGACGCCAAGGATGCTATACTGGAAGAGGGAATTTTCCGGCTCAGTGGCTCCAACCTCGTCATCAAGCAGCTTCGTGAGAGATTTAACACAGAGGGAGACATCAACTTGGTCACCGATCCACAATTCTACGATATCCATGCGATCGCGGGTCTCCTAAAGCTTTACCTCCGGGAGCTGCCGACGACAATACTGACTCGAGACCTCCACTTGGAATTCTTGGCGACTACCGAGATCACAGACCGCACAGAGAAGATGGCCGCGCTCAACGAGCTTGTCCAGAGACTTCCTCAGGCTAATGGGACTTTGCTCAAGTATCTGATTGGATTCCTAATCAAGATTATCAACAACTCGGACATCAATAAGATGACCGTTCGCAATGTTGGTATCGTCTTCTCGCCAACCCTCAACATCCCGGCGCCGGTGTTCGCCATGTTCCTTCAGAACTATGAAGACATCTTTGGTATTGATCCAGAGGTGTATGAACTACCGTCGCCAGTCTCCGAGCCCGACCTGCCATCTCGCTTTGCTGATGCACCACCGCGATTTGATATACCTGCTCGTCCATCCACCTCTGGAAGTAGCTCTTCCCACACATATTTGCGCAAGGATCCCGCGCGCGATCTACGGTCGACCCCTACTCCACCACTCATGGGGAACTCGAATGCTGCTCGAGCATCGCCTCCCTCCGGGTCTCGACAGGGCTATGAGCCTACGTATGTCGGACAACTCAATGCAGGTCAAAATGCCAACGGATACGGGCCACAAGCTGGCTATGATGTCCACAGCCTCCACCCTTCGGCTCGAACGAACCCTGGATACGACCGACCGCACTATCAGTCATCCCACGAAGAGTCTGGTAGTGGGGGAGGAGGGTATGACCAGCCATACACCCCAAACCGACGCCGTGAAAGCGCTATCTTCATGGGCGGCCTCGTGGGGCCACAGCACCAAGGATCCAAGAGCCGCCTCCGAGAAGAAACTCGATTTTAATTGTATATGAAATGACCGGTCGTTGATTTTTCTGTCATTCACCACATACCCACTCGTTTCAACAGCGATGATACCATTTTACAGCGTTTTTTTTTTCATTCATTTTAATTCCGGTACCATGCGATTCATAATTTGAGTCGAGGCGGAGGTATTATTCATATCTTGAGAAGTCTTGATTTCAAGAGATGGAAACGTGCTCTAGGACCCTACTCCAGGACGGCTGGATGCATGTCGGATGGTGTCTTCTGGAAAGGAGGACCAGAGATTGCAAATGTACAAACAACATGATTCAAGATGCACTGGAGTTTTTGATGGGTCTGAGAGCGACCTGGAGGCCTTTATATGTTTGTCTAATGGCAACATACTGCCCTGGTTGCACGGCGTTTACGGTAGTTCACACATTAGCTTCATATGTGGGATGAGATGGATGAGAAATGGGTATTTTTTTTTTTGAATTAGGCCCATAAATAGCTTTGGACATGATATATTGGATTAATGTTATTTCGGACTTGAAAATGTGACTTTGATATTGAATCTAAAACCCGAGTCTTTACGTCCATCGGAGGTGGACTGATGCTGGGATGACGGAGAAATCGGCTGACGTAGTCCCGACCAGCGCTTAGTCATGTACTCACTTGGCGATTCTGGGAGCAGTATCGTCGGACCTTCGGCGCCAAAGATTGCCGTCCTCCATATCCCAGCTCCCTGAAGCTCCAGAGACGACTGGCCGCGCGACAAACCTTCCCCGATGGAGCTTGATCCTCGACTCGCTGCGGGCAGCGGCGATCAATCACTATCTGCTAATGCTGCTGCCGCTCAATCTCGGAACCCGTCGCCGTCTAGTCAGCTGACTGGCCCTATTAGCCGTCTCATGCCGCCCTCCCACAACGACGGCGACGGCGCCGAGACATCCGATGCGCCGGAGGCCGGCCTTGGCGGCTTGCAACATCACGACGCGGATGCGGACGCGGACGGCAGTGATCCGAAGCGGCCCCGGGCCTGCGAGGCCTGTCGCGGGCTTAAGGTGCGGTGCGAACCGGATCCCAACGATGAGGGGCCATGTAAGCGGTGCCGCAAGGCTGGGAGGAACTGCGTCGTCACGATGCCCACGCGCAAACGCCAGAAGAAGACGGACAGCAGGGTCGCCGAGCTCGAGAAGAAGATTGATGCTCTGACGGCGAGCTTGCAGACGAGGGCATCTGGAGGACATGGCATGTCCAGTTCTCCAGCAATTTCATACCGACCGCCGCCGGAACCGCCATTAGGCACCATGAGGAATGTATGGATGGATGCGGCGGGTCCGACTTGGGGTCCATCGACGTCGACACAAAGTCCGATTAGCCCTGCAACAGAGCAGGGTGGACAGCAAGATAGGCAGCAGACAGGCCATCCTACTCCGTCAACGACCACGGCTGGGCAAAAGAGAAAGTTTGAGGGACAAGCAGGAGTCGACCGACAACGTAACGAAGAGGCAGGCGGAGAGTCGTCATACCCGGCGTCTTTCTTCTCAAAGATGTATCAGGGCGACATTGTAGATCGCGGCATCATTGACATGGAGAAAGCGGCGGAATTGTTTGCGAGATACAACAACGAGATGATCGTACACTTACCGGCCGTCGTGTTCCCGCCTGGCTTCACTGTCGCAGAGCTGCGCAAGACGAAACCGACACTGTTCTTGGCTATCATGGCAGTCGCTACCTCGGAGTCACCCGCAATTCAAAAGGGTTTACAAAAGGAGCTGATGCATGTGTTCGCCGACAAAGTCATGCTAACGGGTGACAAGAGCGTCGAGATGGTTCAAGCACTACAAGTGGCCGTCATCTGGTACTGGCCGCCCGAGCACTTTGAGGAGCTCAAGTTTTACCAGCTTGTGCACGTTGCCGCTGTCATGGCCCTCGACATTGGCCTAGGCCAGAAGCTGCCTCAACGCCGTGGCAAGCTGCTGATGGAGAGCTGGAGGGTCAACTCAAGCCGTCGTCCAGCGCCGCCGGACCCGACAAGCATCGAGAGCCGCCGCGCATGGCTGACTTGCTACTTCCTAGCTGCTAACACCAGTATGGCTCTGCATCGACCGAATCTCATTCGCTGGAGCTCATTTATGGCCGAGTGTGTCAAGATACTTGAGACTTCTCCTGATGCAGCGCCCACGGACGCGTACTTCTGCCACCTCGTCTGGACACACCATCTCGCCGAGGAGGTGGGCATCCAGTTTGCGCTCGATGACCCTAGTGTCTCAGTCAATATCAGCGATGCAAGGACGCAGTACGCCCTAAGGGGCTTGGAGCGCGACCTTGAAAAGTATACCGCCTCGGTCCAACCAGACTTGATGCAGCGTAAGTCAACATCATCCGCGAACATGGCCCTTGAGATCTAGAGCTAACCCGCATAGCAACCCTCAAGATGAGCTTTCATGTAGTCAACTTGTACATGCACGAGATGGCCCTCCATTCCGATCCAACAGATCAGTTGCGGCCGCCCATTTCGACCGACGTGCTGCGCGAAGGTCTCATGAACGCAGACCCCCTTTCGGCGGCTCACATCAGTGCCCTATCAGCATCGCTAGGGGCCATCGACGGCCTCTTGACGACCTTCTTGGGCATGGAAGTCTCTACCGTGCGATGCTTGCCCGTCTTCAACTTTGTGCGTGTCGCCTACGGCCTCGTCATGCTGATAAAGCTTTACTTCTCTGCATCGGCGCCAGGCTCGGAGCTTGGCCGCGTCATTGACAAAGACGACATGCGCGTTGCTCAGCACCTCGATGCATTGCTGGACAAGTTCCGCGCCACCGCGGCCGACGACCGCTCCCGCCCGGCCTCCAAATTCCTCGTCGTCCTCGTCATGTTGCGCAGCTGGTTCTATAAGCAGAACAAGTCGGACGCCAAGGACTTGGGGTCGTTGATGCCGCCCACTCCCTCCACCATGCACACGCCGGCGCAGCAATCCATGCGTTCTGCCAACAGCGGCGAACATCCCCATGCAGCCAATACGCCGCTTCAGCTTCTGTCTGAAGTTGCGACTGGCACTGGCGCTGGTGCTGGTGCTGGCACTCCCGGCCTTGGGACCCCCGATGCTTCGGGTCACCTGTATGGCCGATGGCCTGGAGGAGTCCGCCAGCCTCCGCAACCCTTCTTCCACGACACGACAGCCGCCAACAACTCCACTCCCCCTGCGGTTGGTGGTCCTGGCACTGGCTCGTCCTCGACCATGACGATGCCTTCCTCTATGGATACGCCCGGGGCAGACCTCGCAGCCGCTATGGCCCCGGGCATCCCTTCCCTCGGTCCCGGCATGGACCCCCAAGGCGGCGGCTACTCATCCAATCTCGATTTCAGCCTCAACGTGGGCTTCGACCTCGAGGGCATGGGCCTCGGCCCCGGGTCCCAGGGCATGTACGAAGACGGAGTGCGCATGCTCCTCGACGAGCCCTGGTTCAGCGACATGTTCCAGAACATACCCGGCTCGGGCAATGTCTTCAACTTTTAACACTCGACGACAACCTCCCTGTCCCCCATCCACCTTACTTAAATCCTTTTCTGTACATTGATATCCAACCCCTACCGAAAAAACTCACTCGACCTCACCATATCCATTAACAGCACCGACTAGCCCCCCACAGGACAGCCTTTGATATCACTTCCTCTCGATCTAGCGCTCAGGGCAGCATTGGCAATTCAGTGCTCGTGGTAACTCTGACGACCGGACTTAGCGCGGCAGTGGGGACTAGCACGTGGGGGAGCACTGAGAACTTGCTTGGGCAAAAGCCGCCATTTGGGCTTCTCGGGATGGTGGACCGAGGGCCATCATTATATCCACGTGGGAGAGGTGGCGAAGGTTTTGGCGAAACGGAACATGCTTTCTTCGTTGAAATAATATCTTCTTCCCTTTTTTTGTTGAGTGGCTTCGCCACCCTTGGTTGACGGGCTATGAACCTGTTTTGGCCCGCAGTATGTGATACCGTCATGTTTCTGTGTTGCTATTTACGCACACCTATTGCTAATTTGTACGCATCAAATATATGCCTGGCGAGTGGATACACGGCCGTATCCAATTACCTCGCCCGGTTTTTGTGTGCATGTGTATTTCTAGAAAGTAAACAAGAGATATGAATTGTAAATAAATCTGAGGAGAGTAAATGCAAAGGAGATCAAAACCACGAGGTTGTGAATGAATAAGCACTATGGGAATTCATATTTGATTTGCTGATCACCAATTTATTCCAAGGCACTACAATTTGCAGCTGAATGTTACAAGACATACGAAGCCCAGGACCCTGATACTTGCTTGTGCTTCACTCCTCTAAAGCCGAACCCGATAAAACAAACCTCTTCACTGTGACAAGGATGTGAACTAGCTGATAGCAAGAGACCATTCATTCTAGCCTAGGTCTAAAGCTGATATCCCGTTCCTGCTCTCGCTAAACACAGATGCGCCTTTAACATGCTTCGCCTCGTTGACAGAATTCCCTATCGTCCTAGGTTCCGAAGGTGGTTCTAACCCCTTAAGCGACAGGCTCTCCATCCCCTCATGTTCCGGCTCACACCTCCGCCAATAAATAGGCCAGTACTCCTACACGCGTTCGACAAATACATATACACAAGCCATGTACGCCAACATATCCGGACCAAGATAACCAAAGAACTCCCATGCTCGCTAATTCTCCCCTCCTAGGATTGTCGTTAAGCCGACCACCTACTGTCCCCTTGATATACTCGGGATAACCCATCCGAATATTCTGTGGGCCCTTCCCCATATGCTCAGATCCTTTGCGCCTGCCTCATAATGGAGGCACCATATTTGATTTCGTTTTTTCCATGTCCCTAATGACATACCGTCCTCAGGCCTTGACTAAAGTAGAAATCCCAAATGCAAGCAAAAAAGCCAGATCTTGAGCGAGAGATCTTCTTGACACAGAGAGTGTGAAGAGGGAAAGTTCCAAGGAGGAACAAGATTGTGCAGCATAGTCCAACAGAGAGAAGGGTTCAGACAGATATTATGGTTGTCGGACAGAGATGGCGTGGCCGTAGTTGTGGTAGGTTTTGTTTGTGGTCGTCATTATCATGATCGTGAGTTATGAATTGCTCGGTGCCATTCATTGCATCATCGCTCAGTCCATATAAAAGTCTCCCTTGAGGATTCTCTCTTGGAAGGCATCGGGTTTCGGACGCTCCTGCCTGGGCTTGACAGCCACGGCCTGAACAGGAGGCTGTGGCATTTCGGAAACGGACTTGGCGCGGTCGTGCATGGAGTTGCCGCGAGGCGGAGAGCTGGACGCGAAAGAGAAGGATGGGCGAGTGCTTGTGACGGAGCTCTCGGCGCGAGACCTAAGCTGCTCGGACCAGTTGAAACCTTGCTGGTCTGGGCGAGGATAACTGTCAGAAGGGGCTCTTGGATTCTTGGTGTTGCTTGCCTGTGGAAGAGAAGAAGCGGGCAGGATCGTGCTGGCGCGGCGCCCAACAGCCGACCAAGTGGCCGAAATGCTGGACCCCTGCGACGGCGCGCCCGCGCGCGACGATTTCTGTCCACTCTGCGTCTGGCGACGAGACAACGAAGAGGAAGGAGAGGAGGTATTATTACCATTTCCGGGGCTGCCGCCGGGGCGAGCGGTTCGCATGCCGGGGGCACCAAAGCTCATTCGCCGGACAAAGGGCGTGTTGGGCGCGGTTCTAGCGGCGCCAGACCACATTTCATCGTCCTCAATGGCGCTCTCATCAATAGAATCAGAGGTGTTGGAGTTGGTGGACAGGCTGCCCCGACGAATGTTGAAGGGTTGAGCACTGCTGGGGGAAGTGCCCGAGAGGCCGAGCGTGGTGACGGAGAGCCGTCGGCGGTTGGCATCAACAGAGTTGGCCTGAGTGGGGAAACCAGAGCCGGTTGGGACTGAGTTGTTCCTCTGGAAGAGGTTTGTGAGGGCAGCTTGAGTGATGGAGCCCCGTCTGTTGCGTGCGTACATTTCGCCGGTGCTGGTGTTGGTGTTGTTGGTTGGTGCGCTGTCGGTAGACATTGTGAATGAAGGATTGACTACCGAGGGCGGTGCCGGCAAATATAGTTGTAAGTGCGGCGTACGTGCGGTGTAGGATGGCGAGACGATGAGCGCAGTGGTGCGAGGGTGGTTCGACGCGCGCAGTTGCAGTGTAGCACGTGGGTTTTGAAAGGTAGCAGTGTTGGGAAGGTTGTGGGCTGATGAATGACGGGAAGTGTGGGAAAAAGTTGAGTAAGAGGGAGGAGCAGTTAAGAAGGGAAGACGTATGTTTGCGTAGTGGATGGGGGAGGAAGGGGATTGATAAAGAGCCGAGAGAACAGAACGTGAAGAGCGCCGATCAACTTAAAAAAGGGGAGCGAACACGCCGGTCAGTGATGAGGGATCGCCGTTACCGCTTTGGGGAAAAGGCAAGTCCTGAGAGGGGAATGGGTAGGTAGGTACGTATCGAGGGCCGTAGGCGGGGGAGTCGAGTTGGGGCGAAGCGAGACCAACTGCGGTGGACCAGAGTCAGAGGCTCTTTGACCGGGGTAGAAGAGCGAGGACAAGAGGCCGAGGCGGGACGGGGTTTAGGCCCGAACGATGAGGAGCTGGCGCTGTCGATGGCCGTGTTGGCGGAGCACGGCAGCGGCAGTGGTAGCGTTGAGAGCGTGGGCAATGCGGGTACTGTACTGATAGAGAGCAGCCAAGCCAAGGGCCCAGGTCCCTTGGAACAGAATGCGGGCAGAATGCGAGGGCGGGAGATGGGGCAAGATGGGAAGATGGGGATATGGAGGATTAGGGACGATTGGCGGGGGGGCGAGGTGACGTAGTGTGGAACGCCGCGCCGCGATCGGGTGGAAGCCACGGGCCAGGGTTGGTCGACTGGCTCAATAAATGCAGTAAATGGAGGGTGGGAGAAGCACACTTAGCACACTTAGCACACTTAGCACACTTAGCACACTTCGGTTGGCACTATGTAGGTAGGGGTTGCTCCAGGGTTCAGGGTTGATGACCACCCCCCCCAGACAGCTATGCGGCGCTTGTGCTTGTGCTTGTGCTTGTGCTTGGCCGCTGGCTTTTATTAGCAGTTGGCTTTTTTGGCTTTCCTCGTTGGTGGTTGTCCGACCGTGAAGTCCGTCGAGTCCGTTGATGCTGCAGAGTCCGTTTGATCAACCGCGCGAGCTGTGATGGGCCCAGAGGCGTTGGTATGCGACGCTCTTGGTTTATCTGCTGGCCGCGGGAACGTTTTGTGTGCGTCACTAGGTGGGCCGATTGCGGGTTATGCCGAAGGAGCTGGAGTTTCGTTTGCGTTGCGGGACGAAGAGAAACAGAGTTTGGAATGGTGAAATGGTGAGGAAGGGAGAAGAAGCACAGTTGATGGCCTGATGGAGTTTGAGGTGTGAATTGGCAACAGCAAGTGTCTGAATAGATGGATGAAGCGGGGCGAGATGATGCGAGAAGAGGAAGAAGGGAGACGTGAGAGAGAGACAAAGAGAATTGGCAGGCCAGCAGGGAAGCAGGCAGGTACAGGCGTTGGCACGTCAGAAAGAGGCAATGAAACGGAAATGAAGTGGAAGCGGAAGGAGCATGTGGGCAACACGTCGTGCACCTCGTTCTTACCGGTCTTGCTGGCTGGTGGCGGTGCCATATCGGTCTGCATCTCTCTGTCTGATGCAACCCCCCTTGACTACCTCCTACCTCCTACCTCGACTTAGAGGATGAGGCGAGGCGGGTGCACAAGAGTAAAGGGGAACGGAAGGCACGTCAGAGGCAGAAGCGATGGCCTCTGGCACATGCCTGCTTACCACAATTCCCAACCTAAGGTACCTACCTACCTTTCACCTTGCGTCCCTCTGCCTTCCTTCTTCTCTCTCTCTCTTCTGTCTCCATTCCATTCCTCGCCCGCCGTCGCCACATACCTCCCTACCTCAACGAAGCCTGCCAGTACCATCTGTCAAGAACTCCTTCATCAACACCGACACAGCGCGAACAAGCGACAGCACGTCGTCCGGCTCTCTCTCCATCTCACACTCTAGTTCTCAGAGCTGGACCCCTCCTGCAGCCCCCATCGGTCGGTCATGCTGCCGCCCGCCACAAAACCCACAGGATAACCTCCAAACTCCGACCTCCAACCTAAAATATCCTGCCTAATTATGGCCGACCTGGAATGCGCATACTGCATGTTGCATTCTGCATCGCCTCCGAGAGCTGCCCACGACAGCAGCGGCTTGGGCAGCCGTGCGGTGTGTGGTGCATGGGACGTGGTGGTGCGTGGTGTTTGGTGCTAACAATGCGCTGTGTGCTTTGACCATGTACGCATACGTGGGGCGCATCTGCAAGTGTCCACTAACTCACTAACCCCCCTCGCTCGCGCGCGGAGGCTGCGGCAAGCACGCACGCTCCACGCACGCTCCACGCACGCACCCATCCTACCTAAGCTTGCTCCCCTCCTCTCGCTAGTGCGTCTTAGTGCAGACGTCCCAGACTTGGAGCCCTCCGGAGTGCGGAGAAGAGGTCAAGGGTCGTTGAAGCGCTGACGAATCAGGCCTGTGGCCACTGGAAGAGCAGAGGACAGCTTGCCAAAGGTGCCAGCAACCTGGCCTCATCTTGGGGGATCACGATTCTCTGCTTCCTACGGGGCAGGTTGACAATATATCCTGCCTGTGTGGTGGGTACCACAAGACTGTCGAATATCTCAAGGAGCCTCGAACGATCCACGTTGCGAACTCCCTCTGTCATATCTGTGGGCTTGTTCGACTATCGTTTCCATTAAAACGGCCTTACATCTACCCAGGTTGGGGCTTCAGTATGCAAGACAATCGCCACGAGCCGTCGACATGGGCGTCGACATGGGCATCGACAAGGGACAAGGGCGCCGACGTCACCCACACACCCAAAGTCGCGAACCCACACACCCAGAGGTTTGCTTTTGCGGGGTAACGAGCCTCCCCAGAGCCATTGCTGCGACGACCATCATCCCCCTGCTAGCATCATTTTGGTTTGCGCCCCTTAGTCGGATTCCTGACTGAAGGCTGCCTCCTCTTCCTTGCAATGCTGATCGATACTCGGTGTCTATCGACTCCCCGTCGCCGGCCTCAAAATGGTGGATGAGCAACACCATTCTTCATCAGCTTTCATGTCAGATGAGCCACCATGCAGAACGCCATCTACCGGCCCCGTCACGACAACGACAACTGTAACAAAGAGGTGCGAGTCTGAAGCAGTAGAGGGTGGGTAGAACAGCGCCGAAGGACAATAAGCGTCTGCTCCCGTCCTTGTCTTCACTCTCGCAAGGTCCAAACCCTCTCCGATTCTCTCTGATCTCTCCATCTTGGGTTTGGACTGCTTCTTGTTTTCTGGGGAAGCTTCAACTCTTCGTTTGGTCTACCTGTCACAATGCCACAACTCGCATCCACTCCTTGCTTTAGCGCGCCTCGTCTTGGATCAAGTGATGTCGACCTTGTCAACCTCCCAACTACCAAGGAGGTGATGATCGCTCGCAAGCGAGTTGAGTGCCGTCCCTTCGGCTCCAGCTCATCTCTTCCCCGGCAGTGCTGCAATGAGGACCAGCGCCAGCGCCAGCGCCAGACCCGGCCCCGAAGCAAGAAGGCCGAAGAGGAGCCTACCACGCCTGCACTTGCATTACCTTAGGTAGACATGGCACCATCCCCACGTCTCACCTGTTTCGTCCCCTCAAGCTCCAAGCTCCAAGCTCCGGGCTTGTTGATGCTTCTTCCGCTGCTTCTTCTGCTCCTTCTGTGACTTTGCCTTTCTCCCTTCTCTTGTCCTGGACTAGCCCCAACCTTGGAAACCTGGGGAGCGCTTGTGCGGCCAGCACGCTTCCGCCCTCGTGTCTTGGTTGCCACGCATTCTTCTTCGTCCCTTAGGCCTTTGTTTCGTCTGGCTGTTGAGGTACGTACCTCCAGTTGCTCTGAGTTTCCAAGAGAGAAGACGCCCCCAGCTTTTCAAGCTCTGTGCACTCTATTCACGACCCCGTGTGCTACTCTCTCTAACAGCTCCTCCATGGTGTTGCCCGACACAACAAGTCGCTGCATCATATCATCCTTACCCACATCTATGCTACTCAAGAACGGAATAGGTACCGTGTCAAATTAATTACTTCCTCCAATTATAGGCCATACTACTACCCCGCGCGCACATGTTTCCGAGACCGGCTACCGGCACCTTCGGCCGCTGCGTTGGCGCCTCACTTGGGCATCGCCCATCTTATCCCACACGCACACAAGCGCACACCGCACACACACACAGTCTCACAGCTCACCTGCTGTAATCCACACAACCATCCACCAAGACTCTCACACCCTCACGCTTGGAATTATTGCCTGAACCAATCCCTACACGCACACTATCCGAGGGAAACCCAAATCCCATTGTGTCTCTCAAAGTCGCTTCCCGCCTTTCATCCCCCATTCCTCATTACTCATTATCTCCTCCGTCAATTCGCATCGACACGCCAAACTCATATCCACCTCCGATGTAGTGCAACTCCATGGCATTATGTCCTTGCTAATTCGCCCATCTTAGCCGCTGATGACGTAGCATGCATGCCTTATTCATCCGGAAGCCAGGGCAATTGCAGTCGCGGTGTATACCTTGACGGCCAATGAGCCCACTCTCGATTCTCATCTTCATGTCCCCCACCAGCCGTGGCATCTACGACACTAGGCCGCCCCATCCCCTTTCGCACAGTCTTGGCCCAGCTTTGCCCCTATCGTGCCCACCACCCCTCCAGAGATTGGCGAGCTTGCGGCTGCCTATCAGGGGCCCGCGGAAGTGACTTGGCCTGCAGCAAACGGGGCCGGGCGTGCTTAGGCGTGGGAAGAACGGGGAATGGGAGGGGAAGTATGTCACAACGCCGCGGCTTGGCTTAGACGGGCGGTACAAAGACGATCAGTGATCTTGGTCGACGGCGGTCTAGACCTCGGCGAGCCTTTGGTCTATCGGACGCGAGTTGTCGAATGATTATGTTCCAGCCATTATATACTACCATAGTGCTAAATATGTGCATCGAACCGTTGCGGTGTAGGTGGTGCGGGCAACCTGGTCCATGTACACGTGAGGTGGATTGTCAAGGGGCTCTCAGTAGCTCCAGATCGTCTTTGACAGATCCGTCAACAGATTCCCCCCCACGCGCTCGAGCTCGCACCTCTCTTGTCCTCTTAACTTCTCCTTTTATCTTGTCCCATATACCGCCTTCATCTCTTATCAGCGACCATCCGTCTGTGTTGACTGTCCCCCCCAAACTCTACAGTTCCTGGAGCTTACAGATCCTGGTTCTGCGGCATCTCGAGCGTAAAGCTCACGTCACCAGTCGAAGCGCCCCCCACACACGTCGCCGAGAGGCTCCCCGTTGGGCACTGGTCGCGCGCCGCTTGCACACACCGCATCCACAGCTCCTTGGAGATGGTGATGGAAGCGCCCGCATCGTCCGCCGTCACCGCGAACAGGGCCGAGCCGGCCTCGCCTACAGTCGCTGCGGGCGCGCCATTGCAGCGGTCGATGGACCCGGCCATGCCGCCGCATATGCTGAGCTGGGCGACGGTTTCGTCGTGAAGAATGATTTCCCTGTGAAAGCCAGATGTGTAAGTAGCTTTGACATCCCTCCCGTTTAGAGACGGAGAGTGATATCATACTGGCTGGAGTCGAGGCACGTCGCCTTCACCAAGACGCTGTGGTCCACCTCCATCGTAGCACGCGCTCGGAGGACCTCGTGGTGCTTGGCCATGCTGGGGATCCTCGGCATGAGTGGTACTCTGTCTAGAAAGATCGTTCCCTGGGGAGCGGCGGTGGCAGCTGCGGCGCCGGCAACCACAAGGATGGCCTGGAGAAGGGCGTGGGTAGAAACCATTTTGGCGGTAGAACAGAGTAAGAGGATAGTCGAAACGTAGGTGAGGATCGTAGATGCTAGATAGGGGTTTGAAACAAGAGGCGTGTTTTCGACGAGTTGGGCCCGCCAGAGAAAAGGTCGTAATGGCGATGTAGAAGCAGCACAGGTAAGAAGCGGCGATCACAGATCGTGCCGGGAGAAAGTAAACCCAAAAGATTCGTCAAAGCACAGGAGACACTGCTGGCAGCGGAAGAAAGGTACGGTACAGAGAAACGAAAGGTGACGAAGGGAGAAAGCACGAAAAGCGAGGCGTAAATTGTTTTGTTGAGATGGTTGGCGCGGGCTCAGGGTGAAACAAGCCTTCAGCTGTTCTGAAACCATCTGTTAGTGAGGGTGGGGTTAGGGGGTTGACTCCTTACCCGTGCATAGTCCTATGTGGTGACAACGAAGCCAGGCCTGCATCAATTGGTTTCTTTTTCTACCTCGGACGCACATGGTGCTGTTGTTTTGTTTCTCAGGCCATATTCATGTGTGTTACACCTCTTGCTGCCATGTGCATGTCTCTAGTCATCATGTCGTATCCCAACAACTCTCCGGTGTAGCCTTCAACAATGCCCCCCTGGTTGAGGCCCAGGCCCTTTGCAAGACATTATATGAACAATCCGATTCGTCCACCATTTAGACCTCGCCAGCATCCCCTCGCCTCTGCCCGCAAAGCCCACACACTCCGCAGTCGCCCGCGTTGTGATAAAGTGTGTCCCTGCATGCGTCGCTTTGGCATTGCCATGACGTGGAGGTTGCCGTAGGATCCAACACATTGGCGCACATGGCGCAAGTGAGTGCTGGTCTGGGATTGGAGAACGAGCACATTGAACACGACGTGTTTTGTGCACTCTCACTATTCCTGACAGGCCTGTTTGCTGTTGTTGAGGTTTATTTCGAAGGGTCGTCTCGAGAACGCTCAGATACGCCCGGGCGAGCCTTGATCGCTGTTGTTGACCTTGCTGGTACATCGATCCCCGAAGGCTCATCGATCGGCTCCGCCTTGACCCTTTGGCTCGATTCCTCGTCCAGATCATCGTCGAGAGGTTCCTGCTTGACTCTCCCTTTCCCTTTGACGTCCCTCGCTACTGCCGGGGCCTGTGCCTCGGGCGACTCCCTCTTAACCCTCCTGAACATGTCTCGTAGTTCAACAAGCTCGTTCCTCGCCGAAGGGTCATCGGCATCTTCATCTTCGCATACCTTGACCATTCCTTGCCCTTTTCCATCCAACATCCTCTTGCCATTGGCATCCACAGCGTCTTTCGTAATGGGTCTCATCGCCTCGTCATCGTACTCGCTCTCGCTGCCCGACTCCGTCTCGATATCCTCCTCTTTGGGGGGTGGTGACTCCTCCTTCTGATTCCCAAAGCGTGCCAGCGCCGCCGCAGCCCGGAGTTCTCGCCCCCTTGCACTTCCAGCCACGCGAGGTTTGCCCTGTACCTTCTTCCCCCTTTCCAGCTTAACTTTAGTCTCCTCATCCGCTCCAAGGGCCATCCCGTTCTTCCCAAACTTGTTTAGGATCCTTCTCTCCTTTTTCTCCTGATATGTCAAGGTCGGTTTTGCCTTCCGCTTCCTTCGGGATCTGTATGTGCCTCCACAGAGGTGCTCTGGTAAGACTTCGTCCGCAAGTACTGTATTACTCTCCCACTGGCCACTCCCTAGATTTGCGCCCCGGCCCCAGACACCATCTCCCGTGTAGCCCTTTGACCAAAGTTCAGTCATCTGCGCTGCATACGAGTTTCTCACGGCCCAGAATGCCCGGGAGTGGTTCATCTGCTTGCAATGCGCCAACTCATGCATCATGACCATCTGAACGTACTCAAATGGAAGCCACCGGCCGGTGCTAGGTGATTTTAGGACAAGCTGTACAACCTCTCCAGCGTTGAAATTGCGCCCAACAAATTCACGGTTCGGTTCATACTCCTCCAGAGAGGTGACGAGGAGGGTGTGTTCTCGCATGATAGGTCCTAGGGCACGGCTATTGTCAGGGCGGTGCTGTCGAATATCCAATCAAATGAGTAACTTACGGCACTGTGCTGCTATCCTCTCCAAGAAATCTCGGGCAACCTTCTCATCGGGCCCAGCCAAGGGTTTGATAAAGACAATGTTTGGATTCGGCTGCGACTTCCTCTCGTTCAGCCGCTGATATCCAGCAACCATGGCAGGCATGATAGCAAGATTGCCAGAGAAAATCTTGCACAACGACCAAAACAGTAAAACCTCGGTTTTGCGATCAGTATCAGTGACGAGATTTGTGTAGACATTGATGAAGCAGGAAGACCAGGTAGCCAGGTGGAGCCCACGCCTGAGACGCGTAAAGTGGAACTGGCGGCACGCGAGATCATGTGACCGCCCGTAAGTGACGCTTCCTTTGTGTCTTGGGACAGGTTTTTGACCATCTCTTCATAAGCACCCGGGAAAAGTAAATAATGTTCATGTTGTAATATTTTAATGTCTAATTCTCCTCATATGTATTGCCGAGTTCTATCTCGCAAGACGCCATTGGTTGATGAATATGCTCTAAACCAGTATAAATGCACGCTGATGATGAAATCAACCCAATTAACGCCAGCAATGCCGATGACGCTCTAGTCTATGAATGCAGCTGTTTCGCGTCAGGGGAATCATAGTGCCCTGGACTCCGGTCTCCCTTCAACATTGGCAATTGCGCTCTGCAGAGCGTTTGTCAAATCCACATGGAACAGGGGCATATCCAATCCGTGGACCACAGCTCCCTGTCTCCTGAGCTTCTCAGCCTCCCCGGGTGGCATTCCATCACACGGAGAGTACTCGCCAAGCTCTTCATCTTTCTTCCGTTGTTCTACCCTCAGGTGGTGATCCCGCTCGTTGGCTACATCCTCGGCGATCGCCGCTGCTGAGTCTTTGCCACCAATCTCTGCCACACTAAAGATGGATTTCCATCTGCGCTGTGCCCCGCCGTCTCGTGAGCCAGCTGGAACACCAAATCCTCCGGATATAAGGGCTCGCTTAGTCCATCTGTTGTTGATGCACGCAATATGCCAGTCCACCATGTTGGGAGCTGCGTACAAGTCGAGTTGGTTCCGGATATCGATGAGTCTCTGGATCGACGTAATGTCGACGTTATTCACAGAGCTAAAGTCTAGAATTACTGCCTTCAGCGGTGGCAGGTTGTGGTTCGGATCCGACGCCGCGGGCCTCTTGGACGACTGCCGGGGCCCGGGGTTATTCCAAGGTCGGTCTCCTGGACGCTCGAAGTCCTCGGGGCTGGTACGTCGCGTGTGTGCTTGAACGAAGTTGGTCAAATAGTCCAATGCAAAGTTGGCGTTGGGATAGTTGAAGCCTTCGGAGAAGCGGTAGATGAAAATGCCTGGATAGGGATTATCAACTTCGACCTCGGGATTGGAACCATCTCCGTGATCAAGGGGAAGGAAAACATTTCGCGCCGAGCTGTCCACGTGGTCAAAAGTTCCATACATTCCCACCACCTGACGATGATCATCTCCGATAATGTGGTCTCCAAGAACAGAGTGAACCTTGACTTTGCCAAGGAATCGCCCCCTGGCCTTGAGGATTCGATAAATGAGAACGGCTGCTGAGAGACAGACAGTTGCATACAGACCGTCCTCAATCTGAGTAAATATGCTGACAAACACACCAATGAAGAAGATGAAGACCTCAACGGGCGAGACTCGCCAAAACTGATAGACAGTGTTTGGAGGTGTGATGAGATCACCCACGGCGTGAATGATGACGGCAGCTAGGGTGGCGCTCGGGATGTAGAAGAAGACAGCGGTCAAGAGGTATGTGGCAATAAGTACAACAGCACCTGTGATGATTCCCGAAGCAGGCGTTCGGACTCCGGCTTTGGACTGGATAGCTGTACGGCTGAAAGATCCGGTGGAGGGATATGCGCCGAAGAAAGGTCCGATAATGTTTGTCATGCCAATGGCCACCATTTCTTGTGATGGGTCGATAGTATAATTGTTCACCCTTCCGAAGGACTTCGAGATGGCAATGTGCTCGACCAACAAAACGATGACGGTGGCCGGCAGGTATCTTCCAAATTGAGAGACAATATCACTCGATATGTCGGGAACGCCGATGTTCCGAAAACCTTTATGTAACTGTTAGTTTGGCATTTCAAGTGGATTTCAGCAAAACATACCCTTCGGGACAGATCCCAGGATCTTGAACATCGGATCGCTTCGCCTGGAATGGTTGACGGCCCAACTGATCAACGTGTATAGGAGAATGACGAAGACTGTCCTCATCGTATTGGCGAAGAATAAAATGCGCCTAAATCGTGGGTAGCGCTCAGCGGCAGTCGCGAACCCGAAACGGATGAGGTAGAGAAAGACGAGCGCCGACAGCCCCATGGCAGCGTCAAGATTTGTGTCCCCGAGATGTTTCAACGTGTTGATGAAGACCTTGTAGGGCGAGTCTCGGCTTGAGAATCCCGTGAGGCCCAAAAGGGATGGAAGCTGGCCGACGCAAATTGTGATAGCGGAGCCTGTCATGAAGGCTGAAAGCGAGGTGATTGAGATGAGATCAACGATCCAACCACATCGAAGCAAGCCGATTGCGAGCACAATGCACCCGGAAATGATGGATAGAGCGGAAGCGATGACATGGGCAGGAACATCTTCGTTCGTGGCAGTCAGGTCCGAGACAACATTGCCGACGACTGTGGACAACACAGCCACTGGCCCGATAGAGATGTCCTTGGAGGTACCAAACACCCAGTAGATCAGAACACCGATGAAGGACGAATAGAGACCAAACTGAGGGTCAAGGTTGGCGAGGATGGCATAGGCCATGCCCTGAGGAACAACGATTGCGCCAATTGTAATCCCAGCCACCAGATCGCCGGCAAGCCATTGCAAATTGTAATGGCGGATCCATGTCAGGAAAGGGAATAAAGACCTACCGTACGCGGCCACCTCTTGACGGGATGGAACCTGCTCATGAAGCCATTCGGAAGAGGTGGGGACGCTCTCGAAGAACGAGTGACTAGTCTGCCTCGACATGATGGACTCTCCCCTAGTTACGTCATCTTGGGACGACGAGTTCTGGTCCTCGAGCTTGATGCCAAGGACTTTAGCCAGACCATGGCCAGCGGCGGCGGCGTAGCCTGGCATTGCGAAAGAGCGACTGTCGAAAGATGGGACGCTGCGCTATAACAAGCACTCCAGGCCTGCGGTGCAAGGTGCAGCCTACTAGAAGGATCGGGTGGCGGAATGGGACGCAGCCGATTCGTTGCGCAACCGCAGCGTTGCAAGGAAGATCAACGGCCAAGAGTCCAAGACTTTGGTACTCAGAAGACCATGGTGCGGCAGGAGGTCTATATGATGGATATGGTTGTCTGAGGTCCACGGGGAGTTGGGAGTCTAATAGGCGCAGAGGAGATGGTCAGCCTTCAGAGCACCACTCTGTTCATCCCACGCGGCGGGATCACCAGGTCTGGGGCTGAGGTTGCTGATTCGAGCGCTCCGTGTCTCGGAAGGTCGGCCAGAGTGCGGTAGGGCGCACTAGAAGGTGCAAAAGACGGCAGTCTAGCGAATGGGAAGCCGTCTGGGAAGTGTTGTGTGTCTTGTGGCCTGGGTCTCAGCTCAAGGTGGATGGCGAATATCGTGGGGGGAAAGGCGACATCCGAGCACTGGCAGGCAGTCTGGGACAAATGATATACGACCAACAGAAAATAGATAGTGACAGTCAGGAGAATAAGAGGGAAAGAAGAAAGAGACAGTTGACCGGGCCATTATTCCTAGGTGATTGATTACCTCATTATGTGGAGAGGAGCGAGAGGAGCGAGAGGAGCGAGTACGCGTAAGATGATGGCACGGCGGGAATTGGAAATCCCTGATGACGACTGCTGGAGTATTTTGGCCTCCGGGTGTCGGGGTGGACACAGGGACGCAGATGGGAGGGTCAGATCGGGCCATCGGGTGCGCAGAGGACGAAAGAAGACAGCAGCAGGTCCTAGTTGGAGCCAAAAGCCCACATTCTCCCACGCCCATGACGAAGAGTCGCGACGGACGTCCCGTGTTGTGGGTTGTGAAGATGTTGAGTGGTGGTGTTTGGACTGACATGACCGATGGTGCAATCGCCGCCTTGCCTCTTGCGGAATGGCGCGGCCGTGTTCCCGGTTCGCAGCACAGTGTGTGCCTCTGTCACGGCGTGTAAATGGCGATCCAGAGAGGCAATTAGCATCCCAGAAACAGCAGTCAGCGTAGCAGATGCGCGCATGCGGGACGAGTCCTGCGTAAAAGACGACGCACACCCCACGGGCCGGTTCGCCTTGCAACAAGTCTATTGGTAAGCTTCCAGAACCGCGCGAAAGGGGGCGGCAATCTCGGGGAGTTCAGTCGTTGCCCCCATGTCGTTGCCATTCCCGGACCCGTCGTCGACGGCCGACTTGCTCCCATTCGAAACAGGGACCCCCGTTTTAATTTATATATGCCAGAGATCGCGGGTAGAGAGGGGAGGGAGTACGGAAATATTCAGAAGAGTAGTGTTGCTTAGATATCCCCCGGACCATCGGCATTCGTCAGCTCGCCCTCTTTGTCGCCGGCTGTTCAGCCATGCATGTCGTGGCTATCAAGGGCATGATGTGACCCTGGGGATATTTTTCTATCCTCTTTTATTTTTCCCACCATCTCTTTCCCCTTTAACCCTTTCACTCTCCATATTGTTATTACTATTCTTGTATAACAGCTTGCATGTTCGTTGCCAGAAAGTTCGCCGCTTAATTCTTAGGTCACGCAACTAAATGCCACCCCAGCCTCCCTCCCAACTCAGCTCCCAACCTCTAAAATGCGCTGTGAGCTCCAAGGCCATGGCGAGTCCGTCCCAGCATAATATCCCATGCTCGGAGAATTTCCAAGACTTGCCATCAAATATCATAATGCGTACCAGCTTGTCTCATTCTTCAATTTGTCTTGTCTCAAAGCCTTGAGCGTTGCACCGACGCGAAACCAGCACGGATGCGGCGTGCGAGAGACGGCCTTTGTCCCACCAGTAGCCAGCCGCATCATCAGCCCTGTTCCAGCCTCCCCGCTAACAAGTTTGGCGCAGAGCCACATCCGGCTTCAGCGCAACATCAGCGGCAAGTGGCATATCCGTGCTGTCGACGCTCGCTGGCAATTGCTCCAGTCCTTGTCTTCTATATCCCCCTTCTCTCCTCTTCATCATTGTGCTTCTTGTTGATACTTTGCCTCTAATTGAAACCTCCCGCTGCCCACCAAACCATGTCCGAGCCTTCGTCGTCCTCCGCAGCTTCGTCGTCCTCCAGGCCGGTGATCCCCTCACTCGCCGCCTCGCTCATCACCGAACTCCAGGCCCCTCCGTCGCCGCGCACCCATCGCGCCCTCCGTCGCCTCCAGTCGGCCCATACTCTCGGCGCCCGCGCCAACAACCCGCCCTCGCTCATCTCGCAGCAGCGCCAGCGCGAGCAGCAACACAATGTCTCGCCTACTCGTGCTTCGCCAAGCCCAGGCACTCTCGCCCCCGCTGCCCCAGTCCACCGCTCGCCCACGCGCGGCCGCGCAAATAGTGATGCGACGCCGCCGCTTGTCCACCAGATGAACGTTGTCACCGCCAGCAAGCGCGCGGGTGCGAAGAAGCCCGTCTTCTCACACGGCCACCTGTCTCTGCAGCAGATCATCCGCGAGGGGCCGACAGACGGCGACTTCCTGGGAGCCTTGGAGAGTGCGCGCTGGAAGGTCATTGATGGAGGTGTCAAGAGCGCCGAGGATGGAATGGTGAGATTTCCTCTGGAACAAACATGGCCCCGAAGCCGGCACTAACATGCGATCCGTGACAGTCAACGCTGAGGATCTACGTCTGGATGGTCCTCCTCGACGCCCCCATCCTCTCGACCGATGACTACCTTGCCCTCATCCACCGCGGCGCCTCGCCGGCCTACTCCAAGATCCGCAACGACACCTTCCGCACCCTCACTACCGACCCGCTCTTCCGCCGCCGGGTCAGCGAGGCCAGCCTCATCCGCCTGCTCAACGCCATCGCCTGGCGGCTCCACGACTCCCGCGAGGAGCAGCGCCAGAGCCGCCCTGGCAGCAGCCGCGCCTCCATCTCTAGCCAGTCGCACACCAGCACGTCGTCTCCCACCGCCCGGAGCCGCGCCCGCGCCCTGACCCTGACGACCGAGGGCTCCGAGTCCGGTGCCGGCGCCGCGGCCCCGGAGCCGGGCACATATGTCCAGGGCATGAACGTCCTAGCCGCCCCGTTCCTCTACGCCGCCCGCAGCGAGGCCGAGGCTTTCGTCGCCTTCCACTCCCTGCTCACCCGCGAGTGCCCCGGTTATATCCGAGGTGCCATGGACGGCGTGCACCGGGGCCTCGCCCTCGTCGACAAGGTCCTTGCCATCGTAGATCCTAAGCTAAGCATGTATCTCACGGCCAAGGGACTCTCTGCCGAGATTTATGCATTTCCCTCCGTGTTGACTCTCTGTGCTTGCACGCCTCCGTTGCCTGAAGTTTTGCGTCTCTGGGACTTCTTGTTCGCCTACGGGCCTCACCTCAATATTGTTTGCATCGTTGCTCAGCTTACCATTATGCGATCTCAAATCCTCCAGTCTCCAAGGTAAGCTCCCTCTTGCTCCTATTTCATCGAGATCAGTTCTAACTCTAAACATAGCCCCAACAAAGTCCTGCGCTCATTCCCCCAGCTGAATGCGGATCTCGTCAAGTCTGTCACCATCGGAATCATCAAGAAGATCCCCGATGATGTCTACTCTGAGATCGTTTCCCACGCCCTCTAAAACCTGGATCCGCAATCAATATGATAGTGAGATGTCGGTAACAGGCCACAACGCCCGGTCAGGCAAAGCATCATAGGCAGGGGTCCTAATCAGCAGCCCCTTCAAGCTGAACCCTCGCTGGGCCTGCCACACGAATCGGAGATTTTCCCCTTCTCGAAAAGGGAGGGGTCATCGAATGTGCATGATGTGCCTTACCGTGGCAGAGTTCAACGGCCCGATCCGGATGTCAGGGCTGCTCCGGAACGTCCGGATGACATGCATCGCGACGATGCAAGATCAGGCAGGCCATAGAACACCCACATACATCCCTGGCGGCTTCTGGGGACGCAAGCGTATTGGAACACCTTTCACATACACAGCGTCCGAGTCGTCTTTTGTATGATGCATGATTGATGAGTGGTGGGGAAATTTGGGATGTTTTGTTGTTATGTCTTTACACGCCAAGCTTGAACCACGGGAGGCCATATACATATAGGGTCTTGATTTAGCTCCTCATTGGACGAATTAATGAATGAACGAATGCTTTATTATGGTACTTGATTATTTACGCTCTTGATGCAGTTCTAAACTGGGCTCCAAGTGTCTAAAAATGCGTGCTAATACTATGCGATGGACCAACTGTTTGAGCCCAAAGCCAACAAAACGCCTATATATGCAAATGCAGAGTGCTTTTGCGAAAACCAACACCGGCTATTGACTGCCACCTGCAACCAACTGCTAGTCGCCGCTTGAGAGAAACAGCGCGGTTTTCATTCATCATCCATCGTCCATCATCTATGCATAAACGATACACTCGAGTCCACTCTATCGTCATGAGTCTCAACACATTCCTTCTTGCACTCATTACTGGGGTGATTGTCGCCGGTATTGACATGGGTCAACCGTTCGTGAAGTCGCAGCTTTTATCCCGCGGTATTGCGATTGAACGCAAGACACGCAACTCCGTCCTTGGCAAAGTGAGACACTTTCCAAGCTGTTCGCCATCATCGATTCTAATCATGTCCACAGATGTGCTGCACAGAGGTCTTCGAACACTGCGAGGCCGGACATTATTGCGCACCTGTCGCTGGAGACCGCTGTCTCGAGGTACCTTGGCTTCTTCCCCGTTTGAAGAACAAGCTGACGATATGGCGAAGGGCGGGACTATCGATGACTGCGGGAAAGCAGAAGGCGTTGGTATCCAGGTTGTTGTTAATGATGTGGATGTGACGACAGTCAGTGTAACGAGGACAATGACAACAGTCATCACCCTCTTCTCAACTCTCGGGACAACCACAATTGCAGACCCTAAACTGCTTATCCGCCAATCGACGACAGAGGAAGTATCGACAGGTTATGATGTCCATATTGAGGTACCGACCATCACAGAAACCATGGCACTGCGTATCGGCTCGTCCGAAACCGTCCGGCGGGGGCCATCACCGGCCTCGTTGCAGGCTACAATGATGGTCATTCTGTTTGCTTGGTGACACTGTAGTCGGGTTATACCCATTTGGAACTTGTCCTGGATCCGTTCGGAAAGGCGGGAGGAAGTTGGTCCGTGTCCACGAGTAGTTTGATGGTAAACCAAGAAAAGGGTACTCAAGGGATGGCACATTAGAACGCAGGTAGCTAACACGACCTGACGACCCGGCGCCCTGTGGACCGATGTTTAAGAAGTGTTCCATCAGAAACAATCTCCTTAGTAGCTAGGGCAGCCTGCCTCAGCGCGGCGGAAGGCGTTAGCGAAGAATGTCTCCATTGCTGTGTAGTGAAATAGGATACCGCCAAGCACTGCAGCATGCCAAAGGTTGTGGCTGCCTCCCACATAGTCGAACATGCCAGGGCACCACCGTTCGGGTATCTTGCTGGCGTAGACAACAGCTCCGCCAAAGTAGACCAGCACGGACTTGGTGATGGGCGAGTAGAAGTCGTAGACAAAGTCCAACCCATGCGTACACCCAAGCTGGACAATAGGCATGAAGCCAGTCAGAGCCAGGCCAACATAAAATGCAACGCGCGCCCAGGCCATATCAGCACCATTGAATCGAGGGTGCCAGGGAAGGATAACACCTCCGATTCCGAGCAAGGCTGTCAGGGTCATATAAGTCCACCGGCTGATAGGGTCACAGTAAAACGCAGTGTACTCGGTGGTCATGATGGACGCAGCGATGAGCAAAGAGATGCCGGTGTAGTCCACACAAGCAAAGAGGGAGATGGCGTTCATATCAGCAACGGCATTCATCGTGTGCCAGATGGTCGAGCACACAAGGGTCAGGCAAGCCATCATAAGGAAGACGGCAGCCACAAAGACGTCTGTCTTGGTGCTGAGGGAGAAGCTGGTGCTGCTCGGGTAGAACCAGAAAGCAATAGCGAGAACCACGATGAGGCCGAGAGCATGTGACCAAATGTTGACCGATTCATTGGAGAAGTTGAAGGCGGACCAAACGCACTCAAGGTATGATTCGGTAAAGCGATACCCCTTAATGATATGTGGGTTGTTTCGCCACGGACTGGGCAGGTCATCGTAGCGGATGAGACGAGCCTCCTTCGCCTGCATGATGGCTTGTTGGATGTGCTCCTCGAGAGACATGGCAGCCCGCATGGCCCGCTCAATACTCTCGTTGGCGACACGTCGTCCCTCGCCCATGAAGGCCTCGGCGGCGGTGGCGGCGTTGGCGATACCTTGCTCGCGCAACTTGTAAGCGCGGTTCTCAAACTCGGTCAGCATCTCCTCCAGTAGTTCGACGCCGACTCGAGCCTTTTCGTTGAGCGACTCTGCGGCCTCAAGGCCATCATGATATCTCATCTCCAGAGTCTCAACCATGACATGTAACCGTCGTCGGCCGGCGCCAAGGACCTCCTCGGAGGCGTGAGAACATCGAGAACGGACGGCTTGGAGGGTCGACCACGCGCGGGAAATGCTCATATCTTTACTTAGGTCGGTATAGCTCTCGATGACGTCGAGGCGGCGCTCAAGTTCGGAAAGGAAAAGATCGACCTTGAGCAGGAGGCTCTCTTCACCGTCCATGATGGAGCCAACGATGGAACTGCGACGGGGGATGAAGAAGGAATGTCGACGCTTGCGGGGTTGGTCGGCACGGAGGTCGGAGCCAGAGACGGTAGCAACGTTGTCGTCGTCCTTGGCCCGGCAGGCATAGGCCGAGGCGATGGCGGTGGTTACGTCGGACATGGCGGCGGATTCGAGGTGCGACGCTTGCTGGTGGTCTTTATTATGTCTGCGCCGACAACTAACGGGGCGACTCTATTGCCAAGGTCGCCAGCAAGCCAGGATATGCGCAGCCTATGTGAGGCTTCACACACGACGTCGACGAGGCCACGAGTTGTGAGTGGAATGCGCAATTGGCCAGCTGTTGGCGGTCGGATCGGTCTACAGATGTTCGGGAGAAGTTGGGGATGCGGAAGCAGAGTCGTGGGCGAGCCGTGGTGGTGATTGGCCGCGAGGAGGAGGAGGATTGCCGGATTTGGGAGGTGACACCTGGGCCAACGTTTGTCACGGGTTTCGCTTTTGGGTCTGAGACAAGAATCCTATGATTGCAACAATGTAGTATAAGTCTCAACGAAAATAGCGCGGCGGAAAGAGTCCCAGTAACGGGTGCAACGGTGCCTGATGAGTGATTTGGCCCTCGCAGAGAGGAGAAGGTTGTAAGGGTGAGAGTGGAAGTCAATAGCGGACGGAGGCGAGCTGAAATTGGGTCCCTGGATGGCCTCTGGGGCACCGGGCTTGGCGATGCCGGACTCTCTTGGGGCGAATCCACTGAAGAATAGTGATTGGAGGAAGAGTAACGAAGGCCCAGCGGGACTATGCAAATAGGAAAATACACCGCAGCATCCCAACATACGCAGCTGCATCCGGCGGAAATGCCCTGCGGCTTGCGCTGCAGAGTTCCAGCGCCGCGACAACTAGCAGACGCCCGAGCGGAGGAAACTCCCAATCGTGGTCTGTCGCCCAGCAGTAGTCAGCGGGTATGCTGTAGCCAAGACGCACAGGACTTGGCTGCCCTGGTCCAAAAAGCAGATGACAGTGGACGAAAGCTCGCCACGGCCCGTCAGCGCATGTAGCGCCCGCCAATCGTTGCGCAAGCGCTGCAATGCGTTGCTTGGTCCCCTAGTCTCGGTCTCGGGTCCCTAGACGGCGGGGGGGACGTTGGGGGATGGGCCCCTGTAACTAGCGCTTGGCCTTGGGGGTCCTCAGGGTCCACTGTGGTTGGTCCCTGTGCCTGAGCCTAGACGATCCGCCCATGATGCCTCTCGATCCCTCGGTCCAGCGACGGGACGCGGACGTCACCAATGTCGACGGGGAAATTTGGTTTCCATGCAACATCGGGTATTACACCGCGGAAGTTCCATGTCCCCTCGACTGCGTCTACCAAGAAACTTTGGAGGCCTCGATTACGTTTCAGTACCAAATTTGGTTTCACACGTCTCTTGCCGGTTGGTTCGCCACTCATTCTCACTGGGCTCATTTCCCGACTCATTTGATCCGCTCCGATCTGTCACCGCGTCTCAGCCTCGTCTCCACTTCTCGCTGACACCGCACCAACAAGCAACGATTTTGTCGTCCACTCGCACAGAGTCGCAGCCTTGTCGTTGGACCTCCCACGATTTTATCGCATCTCAAGCTCAACATCGGCTTCAAACCGTCGCTCTCTAGACCCCGTCTTCAAACTCGCCCATCACGTCGCCGCCATGGCCATCGACAAAATTGTCACCGAGCCCAGCCTCGTTGCTGTCCTGCAGATATCCGACCAGGCACGCGATCAGGCCGAATCCCTCGTCAAGGTCGTCGAAGAAATCGGCGACGGGACCCTCTCTGCCGAAGAGCAAGCAGACGTCGCGAAGCAGCAGAAGCTCCTCTTCACAAACATTTCGCATCTGCGAGGACTTCATCGGAACGCCTGCTTCTCCGCGCGCGAAACAAAGACCGAGACTGCCGAGGCGCGTCAAGAAGTTGACCGTTTGCATCTCCAGCTCCAGAACCTGTTCTACGAGCAGCGACATCTTCAGGGAGAGATTTCAGCTTGCGAGTCTTACGAGTGCGTAGCTGCCGTGCAGCATCATCGTCGCCATTGACACGGGTGGAGTACTAACTCGTGCTGGCAGTCACAAATATCAACAACTCCCTCTCATCCCTTTGGAAGAATTCCTCACCCAACACCCCGAACACGCAAACGATGATGAAAACACATTGATGGTGGCCCGCATCGATCACGAACGAGCCGAGCGCGAGGCATTGGAGCAGCAGAGACAGGAACTTCTGAAGCGGAAACAGAAACTGATTGCCGACAACAAGCGAAGGAAGGATGACCTGGCCAGTCTGGATAACGATCTGGAAAAGTTCATCGACGTAAGCCCCCCACACGTGCTTGAGTGGTTTAGTCCATTCTATGCGATCAGAAACTTACATATCTCAGGCCGCGAAACCCATCCAGAAGCTGTTCGAAAAAGCACCATAAACGAATGACGATGATGACGACAATGACAACAAAGAGGACGGGGACATTGAGGCCCAGCGGAATCGCCAGAGCATAATACGAGAGAACCACACAAATCTCAACAAACAATGCATCTCCAAGCCTAATTCGAGGTATGCACGTCATATATTTCTATCCAATAAGGATGAAGGGCTGAGACTCTTAATTCAGCATGCTCGAGGAGAAATGCTGGTGTGTGTTCGACCTAGGCGGCATGAACGGCGAAAGTAAATGACTACGCTTTGGCGGAGATATCAAATCAACATTGGAAGATACCCTTTGGTTTACGGTGGGAAATGAATACAAATGAATACAGGTCGATATTGTTTCTCTGACGTCTGTATCCACCACGGGAAAGTCGAGGCCTAATAATCGACGTTTCGTTTCAGAGGCCTACATATGGAATAGGTACCACAGCACAAGACGAAGTAAATGTCATAGGCAAGGTGGAGTTGCAACAGATGCAACCTCGCCCCATTGGGGACTCAACGATGGCAGCTGTCCTATGATTGAGTACTCGTTGGACTCAAAGGGGGATGCCGACTCTCCAAGTTAAGTTAGGGATTGGACATACACGATATAGACTAAGAGCCGTCTCGCGCTAACTTGAGACTGTGTAACTGTAGAGCCAAGTCCAAGACGAGCTTGTAGGCCACTTTCTTCTCAGTACCAGTCCCGCCACTCGTGAGGGATGGTTTGTCTGGACAAGGCCCCATTTACGCCATATCTAGCCATGATAACTTGAGTCATAATTAAAAACAAGTCATTGTTTTCAATGGATACCTTGGTCACTAACACTGGTGACATTGGGACTTTGGAAAGTCGGTATCACTACGGAGTAAGCGCAAGCTTGTGAAACGGTTGGAACGGCTAGGATCTAGTTTTGCTATCCCATGACTCCCAGGATGACGGCATGACCCCCCACAACAGGGAAAGGTGCGCATCAGAAGGATTGCTGATCCATTTCCTGGCACGACTCACAGTGTTACCCGCCCAAAGCGCCTTGATCGGCTTGGAGATGGTGGCATCTCAAGATGGACGTGGAATAATTTGACAGGGGGATGCTCTCAATGCTTGAGCGTCTAGGATCCAATCGCTCAGACATGTGGCCAATGGCGGGCGAGATAGGACGGCGCTTGGAGATGGACCCAAGGTTGCCCTAATTGCTGGGTTGCAGACACCGCTTCGGCTTGAAGGTCGGGGCCGCTTTGGGTAACTTATTAGCGAGCAGTGGACTGGGCCAGTAGTAGCAACGCGTGTCGTGGACAAGCCTTACGATTGACGAGCATGTCTCAGCGGCCGACCGCGTGCCCAGAACGCCCTAAGGTCACGCCCGGGTTGTGGCGGACCAGTGAGAGGGGGCGGTGTGCAAACGTTGGCCAGCAAAGGAAACTCAAGGGTCCAAGGAAGATTTCCATGCCGCACTAGGGGTGGGTTACTAAGTCGCTTGTGACCCGAACGGACCTCAGGTGAGCTTGATGATGAACCGTCATAGAGGAGGATCACCCAGATGGAGCTAGGGGACCGATAAGGCCAAGGTGGGGGGGACGAGTAGTTCGGCGGCAGATGGCATATGTACAAGAGAACCAAAACAGGGTCTCGATGAGCGTAGTGGAGGAGACGAATGGTTGGTGTGAAGGGAATGATTGGTTTACAGATATGCGTGACCCAGTCCATTGTGCAGAGTCGGCTTGGGGGCGTACATGGAAGTGGTGCAACCATCCAATATCAAACACGGCCACTGGCAGCACAGTGCAAGCCGGCATCGGCTTTTGTATCACATGGACGAAGGCATCGTAGACGGGAACGTTTCATCAACCCACCCGAGCTCCATCTTCCAGATCGTTTCCTCGCCTCGGCTCTTTTCTCGTACCAGACGAGCCAAGACGCACGTCAGGGTTTGACATGCGGCGAGGAGTAGCTGTGTACGCCGTGCGAGCTGGTTGGCTTGCCCGTGTGGTGGTGTTTAGTGTCCTCAGTTGAGTAAAGACCGTTCCGGAGCAATGACGCCAGGGTGCATGAAACGAGACAAGAGGCTCTAATTCGCAACGGAACGGTGGAGGGAGGTCACTTAACATTCTCCAGACATTGCCTAAGCATGGGTCCCCTTGCCCAACAAGCCGGCTAGGGAAGTGGGAGAACGGTAGAGGGGTCCAGAATAAACCGAAAAACAATACCAAACCCGAAAATAAAGGACCAGGGTAGCGGACCACCCAGGGAAATCAGAACAAAAGCCATCTCATCCAGCCCGGAAAAAGGGACTTCATGTGCTAAACGCAACACAGTGCACAGTGCTCCGTACAGTGCCGCATACAGCCACGGGGCATCTGAACGGACCGGGGGGGCCAGGAAATCCAGGAACCGACAGATCAGCGGGGCCGAGCGACAAGCTACGAACGAACTGGGCTGCCAATGGCTTGGAGAGTGACGGTCAAGATCAATGAGTTGGGGCTACCCAAAGAATCTAGCCTGCCGAAAGTAAAATAAAAAATCTTCCATCCTCAAACCCCAGCCGGTGGGTTTGCTCAGTGAACAGCCCTCCCAGCGACAGGCCTTTTTCGCTTTCCTCCCGCCCCAACCCAGAGCACGCTAGGATTCTCAGGGGTGGCCTGCACCGCAGATTTTGATGTCCCGTTTGGGAAATTTCGCTATTCTCAAAGCGAATAAGACGTTCTGTCCAGCGCAGATGTCTCACGATGGGCACGACATGTACAAGGACAAACATGGACCCTCCGCGTACAACTCGGGACCTAATTTGACCAATGTCACCCAAACAAGCTCACATACCGCGGACGACTTCCCGTCAAGTACCCCCTAATGTGGCTGTGAGGCTGTGAGGTGCAAAAGGCCTTACACGATCAGACTCCTTCGTGCAATTTACGTATAACAGTCACAGTACGTATGTAGAATTCGTTTGCGATGGATAGGTATGGACCTCTAAACGCCACCTGGTAGCAGCTCCTGCGTTTCGTTCATCGATTGATCTTCTGTCGGGGGCGCACTGTGCTCCGTACATTGTAAAACGGGCAATGGTGCTGAGCCCACCTCCTCAATTGAAGCCTGACGAAGAGGCATCCCGTGAATCAAGCGTACTGACTAGACATGGGTGTATATCGTTAAAAGTATGAAATGGGGATCTGGCTGCGGCGTCGGCCATCCATCCAAGCTGGATCTGGATTCGGGTGCCCAGCAGCCTCCACAAGGCCTGCGCAACATTTCACCTAGGGCCGTGCGAACTGGGGGCTGGCTAGGTTGAGTGCTCCGCTGGCCAACGCTGGCTTTCTATATGCTCCGTGGCTCGATTCGCCAGCTGTGAGTGGTCGGGGCTGTGAGCAGCGGACTGTGTGTTATTGGGTATGGGCTAAAGGGCTATGACTGTGCCCAGTACAGTGTGATTTTGTTTGTCTTGTGGAAACATGACAACAAATGAGGTCCCCATGCTTCATGCCTCATGCCCGCTCGCTCTTCAGCTTCCTCCTCGCTCTCCACGGCACCATCCAACCGTTCGGCGAACATTGCTTTGTGCCTACCTAGCCACATCTCATGCGCTTCTGCTCTACCGTCAGAGTTATCTGGAGTTCAGCACGCACTACCTTTGTCACATGGGTCTCTACCACTAGTTCTCCGATGCACTATCATAGCCTCATGCCCAGCCTTGAACCGTCTCGACTTGACTCGGGTGTGGGAGGTGTGTGGGAGGCGTGTGGGAGGTACTGCTAACTTGGATCATGTCTCCCCTGCCCCTTGCCTTTTCCTCATCCATCCATCCATCCTCAGTGCGGGCGTGGTTGGTGAGTTACAGCTAGCTTAGGTCGTCCATTGCGACCTCTCCCGGGGGTCAATGGGTCAACGGGGTCAAGCTGCTATGTACTAGGAGCTTAACAGGCCTTTGCTAATCTGCACTATCGGTACTTCACGTTGACCGCTGCCCTGTCACTAAACTTGGTCGTCCGTTGCCGTCCCGTTACCTCACTCACTTCACTCGCCTCTCTCTCCGTCATGTGCGTGTGTGCTTGGTCGTGCCTTCCCTCCCCTCTTTCGCCAGGCTGACATCTTCCTCGAGGTGTTCAGCCTCTTCCACACTTACTCTCTGTCTCCCCGGTCTAGCTCCTTCCTCCCATTCAAGCTATTCCTCCGTTTCTTTCTCCTTCCTCCCTCCCTCCCTCTCTTCCTCAACTCCTCTCATACCCGCCACCACTTTTCTTCTTCTCCTCCATCTACATCCACTTCTCTCTTGGCCGTCGGTGCCTTCTTGGTGCTCTCCCTTTAGGCCTCCTTTCTCTCATCCCTGGACCTCGACTGCGCGCCTCCTTTAACCTGCCCGCTAGCTGCCAACCATGTCTCTCTTCTTCTGGGTGTCGCGGCGCGCTGGCGGCCTGAGCATGATAGTACTCATTGCGCTCTGCTACTGGGTCATCTCGCAGGAATCCTCGGTTGAAAAACATCGATACAAGTATGAACAGCCCGACAGCCAAGGTTCGTACTACTCTTCAACCTCCACTACCGGTGCCGGTATTTGGACCTACGCCTTCGCCTATTACTGCCTCTTCATTCACGTCCTCGTCTGTCTCTTTCCGATGCGAGCCTGCTGGACTATCTGGAACCTCACCCAGACCCTCAAACGTGCCGCCCACAGCAACTCTCTACTCGACCTCAAGAAGCTCGCCTCGCGCCGTAGCTCATACACCTCTGTGTCGAGCTCCGAGACCCTCACCTCGAGCCACAACGGCGGTTCCTCGTCCACCACTAGCGAAGCTGGCGACCTCGATCCTGAGTCGTACACCGACGGCGTGTCCACGGCTGCCGACAATGTGATCCACGCCATTGTTATCCCGAACTACAAGGAAGAGTACGACACTCTCAAGGAGACGCTCGAGGTTCTGGCAAGCCACCCACGTGCGCAGGATTCGTACGATGTAAGTTGCTTCTTCTAGCCGCTTTTGTGTGGATGATCTGCGCAATTTCAACGACATTTTCCTTGTCAATGTCGATGCGCAACATTGTCACAGACTGAAAAGGGTTGTTAACATTTGTCCATAGGTCTACCTCGGAATGGAGCAACGGGAGTCCAACGCTGAGACCAAAGCTTTGGGTCTCATTCAACAATTCGCCAAAAAGTTCCGATCAATTGATTTCACCCTGCACCCGTCAGAAATTCCTGGTGAGGCTGCTGGAAAGGGCAGCAACATCGGTTGGGCTGCTCGCAAGCTGAGTGCCAAGTACTCGATGGGAGTCAGAAAAGACGTAATTATCACTGGGATTGATGGTATGTGCGCCCCTTGGCATGAGATTAGCTTCTCACGGTACCACACCTTATATGCTTGTTGTTGACGAGGGTTATTCCCGACACTACAGCTGACAGCCACCTCGCTGCCGATTACTTCACTCTCCTCACCAATTTGCACATGTCCTACCCAGAAACAGCAACGACGACTGTTTACGCAGCTCCCATCATTTTTGATCGCAATGCGCATAATGTCCACCCCCTGGTCCGCGTCGCCGACATCGTCTGGGTCGCCGCTGGCATGTCCGGCCTCTACCCCAGTTCCAGTATTGCCCCACCCACATCCGTATACTCTCTGCCTCTAGATCTCGTCGACCGTGTAGGTGGCTGGGATTGCGATGGTGAGGCCATTGGTGAAGATTTGCACATGTACATCAAGTGCTTTTTCGCCCTCAACGGAAACCTGACCAGTCGCATCATCAACTGCCCGGTCAGCCAGAGCAACGTTACTGGTGCAGGCGGTCCCGGTTGGCGTGGCGCTTACGCTGATATCAATGCTCGGTACAAGCAGGCCCTTCGTCACATGTGGGGTGCTCTCGACACAGGTTTTGCGATGCGGAAGCTGGTGGAAATGTGGCAGGAGCGAAAGCACACATCCCGCGCATACCAACCTCTTCATTGCACCCACGCCGACGGTGCGGACCTGTTCATCCCCGAGAGCCAGCTCAATGACGACGGCGCAGACCAACCTACCGACAATGGCATCTTCTCTGATATTACCAAGGACACGATCAAGGAGCCCCATTGGGAGCACGTGTTTTACATGGTTCACCGAATCTTCGAGGCCCATTTCCTCCCGGTTCACATGGCCATTCTTGTCATTGCATCTACGGTTTACGTCAAGGTCATGGACGGCAAGGATGACCCGCACAATCTGGCTTGGCTCTTCAACTGGTGCAACGTGATCCGAATCTTTGGCTTCCTTCAAATCTCCATTTACCTTTTCATGTACGAGAGCTTTCATCGCGTCAGTGTCGCCGCCCGCGAGAAGGCCATGGTCAAGGCCGGCATGGCTGATGGAATGGATTTCTCTCGACGAAGCCTGGGCAAGAACTGGAAAGACTACCTCATGGTCCCTCTTGTGGCCCCGTTGTACGGTACGATCCCTAGCGCCCAGGCATTGATCTGTCAGCTTTGGAATCAGAACCTGGTGTATACTGTCAGCAAGAAGGCGACTCGGAGACATGCGCCGCCTGTGGTGAGGGTGGATGACATGGCCTAGGCAGCGACTGAGAAGGCTATCGCCCAATTGAGATAGCACGGCATTGTACAAAGGGTACATTGATATTGCGGAGTCATGATGCGATTCGATTACGGGCAGAATGACCTAAAGCGAAGTGTATATACGGCATGAGTTTCCGTCTTGGTCGGTACAGATGGGCATTGGCATTGCGATTTTTCAGCTTCAAGGAGGCTCGTTCGGCGTTAAAGGGATCTGCATCAGCATCAGCATCAATGGTGCCACAGGTGTTGCATAGACTAGCTCTTAGATAGGAGATAGTAGACTAGATATGGGCAGGGCGGTAATATTGCAAGGGGAGAGGATGCCCAGGACAAGTTCTGGCATGGCCGCATCAGAGGCGAAACAGACGGTTGGAAATAAGCCTAATCACATAATCCCATAGTATTTAATACCACCGGAAGAATCCGACGACTTCCGATGGAGGTCGGCGAAGATGGTTCTCATTTATGAAGACGAGATTGCCAGTGCAATGCATAAAATATAGTGCCACTGAAGCCATGATAGATTCATAGACGCCGAGCAGGTGAAGAACGGGTAGAAGTGGAGTGCGCTGGTCAAAAAGTACGACCGAGCTGGACGTGGCCGAGTTCCGATGGGCTTCGGATACTAAGTGCAGGACGGCCAATCAGAGGCGGGCTGCATGCCAATTCAGTCATTTTCAGTCCAATGCTCCAACAACGAACTCCGACCGCTCAAGTATGTTCCAGCCGGGACGGGTCAAAGGCTGCACACGTCGGCGACCAAATAGTCCGGTAGAGTTATTTAAATGGTGGTTGCTGGCGTGTTTCCTTCCAGGGGAGTTCGGATCTCGATTCCTTCTCTTCAAATATGATTGTTTGAAGCTGGGTGACTTGACACTCGATCCATCTATCTATCCATCGACTCCAAATCTATCTTCAGAACCAAATCGCCTACAAAGAACCTCCTATCAGCAGCCATGTCTGCGAAACAAGTTCGCATTGGCGTCTTCATCCCCTCGGGTGCGCAAGCACTCGATGTCGCGACCGTCGACGTCCTGGCCGTCATGTCCAAGGAGTATCTTGGCATTCTGCCAATGCTCCCAGCGCACATGGCCGAGCTGGCCCCGAGCGTGACCATCTCGTACATCACGACGCCAGAGCAGGGCCCGGAGATCCCCCTCACGGCCCACATGACCATAAAGGCAACGCACTCATACGAGGAGCCGGAGGTGGCGCCCGGCCAGCTCGACATTGTCATCATCCCCGGCCCGGACCCATTTGATCCGCTTGAGGAGGGCGGCCTCAAGTGGCTCCGGGCGCAGTTTGAGACACCTGGCGTGGATATCTTGAGCGTATGCACGGGTCTCTACATCTGTGGTGCGGCGGGGATTTTGAAGGGCAAGACGGCGAGTGGGCCGAGAGGACTTCAGGATGATCTGATTAAGAAGTTTCCGGGTGTGAAGCTAGTGGGAGAGAAGTACCGTTGGGTCCAAGACGGGAACCTGTGGTCAAGTGGTGAGTTATCCGCTCCTCTCGATTCTGCCATATTCCATTGCCATAATTCAGCTGGAACTAACACCGAGTACAGGTGGTATCACTAATGGCAACGACCTCATGGCAGCATACGCAAAGGCCTGTGGGCGGTGGGCCCAGCCAGTGGCCGAGTTAGGACCGGTGCTGACGGATGTTGGCGACCGCGGACAAATCTACGGCGAGAGCCCGAACCGATTTTTGCTCGGCATTGCGTGGACACTCATCAGGGGATGGTTTGCCAGCTTTGGGTCGTCGTCTCCTAAGGACAAATCAGTCTGATTGTTCCTGGGTCGCATGAGCCATTGGGCCTAGCAAAGAGGACCGGGAGCTTGTGGGTGGCACATCGGTTATATTGTATATTAGTAGAGAACCTACGTATTTGCCCACCCGGGCCTGTTTGTTACAGAGTAGAATTCAGGGTGGCGCGTACCGACGATTCAGCATAGCATTTCGTTCTTCCCAGACCGCTTCAGAGCATCGACGATCCCCAGGCCAGGCAAGGATGCACAACACCTCCTTCCTACCCCACAGCCCGTCTTGCCTTCGTCTTGCCTTGCGGTGACCCAATTGGCCCAGGTTTCTCTTGTCGCTAAAATACAGTTATTCGTATGGGGATGGTGTCTGTAATCCCACGTGCTACACGGCTTTGGCGGTTTCTGTGCTACTGTCATGGCCGCTTCAGGCGCTTCTAGGCTGGCCGTTTCGTGGATACCAGTTTGCAGGCCGCCTGGGAAAATCTGCACAGTAGCGGGGCGTCTCTCCGACCCTCTGGTTGCTGAGACAGCGCTCGCCCCGTTGCGATAAGGGTCTTATCTCCATCTCTCATTGGTCACCTCTGTTTTGGTAGTGGGGGCAGCGCTGGCGCAGGCTGTCCAGGACCCAGAAAAAAATTTCGAAGCTCTGGAGATGCTTCCTGAAATCTTTTGGTTTTCTCTTCCCGTCGTGAACTCCATCTCTCATCTCACACCATAAAACTCTTTCTTTCCTTCCACTCTTCCGCAACTCCCTCTCCCCAAGTATACCCCTTCTCTCTCTACAGACCTCTTCTACCTCACCTCACAACCGCCACAATGTCTGCCGTTCCCGGCCCCGTCTATGGCCTCGAGGTCCCGCCTGGCGAGATCCTCATCCCGGCCGCGATGGAGTTCCCTGCCTCTGTAAGTTCTGCTCCAGCCCATTGGTGCTGTCAAATATCATGCTACGGCTTCCTGTCGCTGTGCCGGGTGCGCCGACACTCGCCAGCGCGCGCCGCCAGCTTCCCATGACCGCTGCCACGCCTATCGCATCTGCCTGCTAACCGCCAAAATCACAGTTCCGCATCACCATGGCTGCTGTCGATCCCACTGAGGAGCCTGAGGCCGATGACGAGGGCAACGTTCCCTCCGTCCCTCGTTCCACTCTCCGACTGGTCAAGCGCGCCTTCCCCGGTCTTAACGACGAGGACGATGAGATTGACGAGGAGTACATGAGGGCCCTTATGGGAGCCTCTGATGATGATGATGAGGACGACGAGGATGAGGAGGCCAACGGTGGTCCCAGCGACCCCGCCAAGTCCAAGAAGCAGAAGCAGGCTGCTGCCATCAAGAAGCTCCTCGAGGCCAGCCAGGAGTCCTCCGATGAGGAGATGGAAGACGCCAAGCCCAACGGCAAGGCCAAGGGTAAGGCCAAGGCCACCAAGGAGGAGGAGGAGGATGACGAGGAGGAAGATGATGAGGAGGACTCTGATGATGACAGCGAGGATGGCGCTGATCTCGAGAACTTTGTCATCTGCACCCTCGACACCGAGAGGGTACGACCACCCCAACCCCCCCTTGCCCATTTCTTGATGCATTTCAGTCCACTAACAGTCTGCACAGAACTACCAGCAGCCCCTCGACATCACCGTCAACCACGGTGAGAAGGTCTTCTTCGTTGTCACTGGTACCCACACCGTCTACCTCACCGGCAACTACATCATGGATGATGATGAAGATGAGGATGACGAGGATGAGGACGACTATGACCTTTCCCCCGATGAGCTCGAGTACGCCCTCGGCGAGGACGCGAGCGATGATGAGAGTGACGAGCTCGACGGTCTCGACGACCCCCGTGTCACCGAGGTCGACTCCGAGGAGGAGGCCCCCAAGCTGGTCTCCGTCAAGAAGGGCAAGAACAAGCGCACCGCTGAGGAGGCTACCGAGGGTCTCGATGAGCTCATCACCAAGGAGGACACCAAGCTGTCCAAGAAGCAGCAGAAGAAGCTCAAGAACAACAAGGGCGAGCCCGTTGCCACCGAGGACAGCAAGAAGAAGGTCCAGTTCGCCAAGAACCTCGAACAGGGCCCCACCGGCTCTGGCGAGAAGGCCAAGCAGACCAAGGCTGCCACTGGTGTCAAGGTTGTCCAGGGCGTTACCATTGACGACCGTACCGCCGGCAACGGTCGCACTGCCAAGAACGGCGACACCGTCGGTGTCCGATACATCGGCAAGCTCGCTAACGGCCAGCAGTTTGATGGTGAGTGATGAAAACCCTGAACAGAAACTGTGCCGCCTACTAACACACTACAGCCAACAAGAAGGGTAAGCCTTTTGCCTTCAAGGTCGGCAAGGGTCAAGTCATCAAGGGCTGGGACATCGGTGTCGTCGGCATGGCTATTGGCGGCGAGCGTCGCCTGACCATTCCCGCCCACCTTGCCTACGGCTCTCGTGGCATGCCCGGCATCCCCGCCAACAGCCAGCTGACCTTCGACGTCAAGCTGCTCGAGATCAAGTGAGCGTAAGGCCTATGCTAAGCGTTCTTGATCCAGCGTCCACTGGGAGTGGGCGGCGTGTACTAATACCCTCCTGTGGCCCGCCGCCTATGGATATAAATGGGCTATCAGCTGGGTGACGACAATTTTCTGGGTTTTGGGTTCCTTCCATCTGCTCACTTTGTACGCTACATGCGATGAACAGGAGCCCTAGACCTGCGCCTTCCGCAAAGATGCGGTGTTCACCAAAAGGACGTCGCTTCGCGGTCGGGTAGAGCAGGGATGATGGGGCGAGGACCTGCATTGCATGAATGGCGTCTCACGAAAAGGTTTTTCTCTTTGATGCCGCAGGATGTCCCTCGGCAGTTGCAACGGATGATTGATTAGGGCCGGTTGTGTAGGTAATAGGGATTTGCCAATAAAGACTTCTTATGTTGATACGATACGCTCCATGAGGGTTGGTTTCCTTGTGAAGTTGAAGTGTTTATGAAGTGTGTAGAGGCAGACAATGCCTAATGTCGACGAATGGTTGTAGAGTCGTCTGCTCCTTCTTTCATGTTGAAGTCCTGGTCTTTCCCTGCAAAACCATGACAAGTGGGTTGCGGGAAGCTGGGTCCTGCAACTAACTGCTCTTCACAACTCTCCTGTGGATTGTTTCTCCCTTTGCCATCATCATCTCGTCATCATCTGACGGTCCCCATTCCCCCCAACCACTAGTAGCACAATTAGGTCTCCATTCCAGTCATTCACTTCTTTCTTTGGAGACTTCATCGCTTTTTCTTACTTCATTATTGGTACCAATTTACATGTTGACTACCCTGGAACAGCACCATGGGTCCAACCATGCACCGCCAAGGCAGCCCCCCATTAATGCATACGCTTTCATTCGACTCAATTGAATCCCCTCCCAAATCATCCATGCCATGTCCTCCTCCTCGAGATATTGCTGCCGGCCAGCATGTGCTGAGGCTCCGTCACACTAGCTCAAAGGTGTGGTCCGACATCCGGGGCGCCATCAAGGCAATCGGGAGAAGCAGTAACGGCAGTAAGGGGACACTTTGAGTCTTAACAAGTCCACAACTTATGATTACTAGGTTTTCAAGATCCAACGGTGGCCAAATGGACTCCCAGAGGCACCACCCCCGAACCCTGCCACGGCAAGATTATCGCTGTGAATAACGAACGAGTTTTCCCCTCAACACCCCAAGTCAAAGGCATAACTCCTAAGGATATCCTTAGAAAGCTACGGCTCAAACACCCAGCTCTAGCTTCAAACACTACGGTTGTGCTTCGAACGCCTCCCCTCCGGGGTCGAAGTTCACTCCAAGCTCTAACCAGCGTCCACTTCCCATCATCCAGCGAGCTCGGTTCGTCGCACTCTTCAAATGAGACAAGCAAGATGTCCACTGCCGCTGACGAGTCAACACGAAAGACTTCGGTGGACTCGCGATTCTCGTGTTCGACCAAACCCACAGCAAACAGACGGCATAGCAGGCGAAATCCATGGACACGATCAAGCCCAGAGGGCGGTGCTCTTAATACCATACAGGAGTCGGGTATCTCTTTGGCGCAACCTACCGTCGAGACCGTAGAGAGAGCTGCCGCTGCCAAGATCTACCTGGAGACGAAGTTCAACGAGTTGCTGCACAAGCCCAACACGCGAGGAGTCCGGCGACAGTATCTCGAGTCCCAGCTCTACTACAGCCCTCACCTTACCCTGGAGCAGAAACAAGCCATTTACGAGTCCTTCAACAACCAAGAGACATGGCACCTGAGAGAAATACGGGTGATGAAATCACAAAGTCTTGCCGTTGGGAGGGAGGAATCGGCTTGTCCGTACCTCGACCATTACGAGCCCCTCCAAGTCTTGGGAAAGGGAAGCTTTGGGGTTGTCCGGCTGGTTCGGGAGAAGCATGCCACAGGACACACATTTTCAAGACAAGTGTATGCGATGAAAGTGATTCGAAAGTCCGAAATGCTGCGAAGTTGCCAAGAGGGCCACTTGAGGGCTGAGAGAGACTTCCTTGTCGCGTCCGAGGGATCGAACTGGTGGGTGTTCCTAATAATTCTGGCGAAGATTTGAAGGATGGACTTGCTGACATTGTTACCACTAGGGTTGTTCCCTTAATATCCAGCTTTCAAGACACCAATCATCTCTACTTGGTGATGGAATACATGCCAGGCGGGGACTTTCTGGGGCTATTAATCCGGGAAAATATTCTCCATGAATCTGTTGCGCGCTTCTACATAGCTGAGATGATCTTGGCTGTCGAAGAAGCACACCGCCTTAAATTCATTCATCGAGATATCAAACCGGACAACTTTCTCATCTCCGCATCAGGACATCTCAAGATCTCAGATTTTGGCCTTGCCTTCGATGGCCACTGGTCCCATGACGCCTCGTACTATAATTGCCACCGGTATTCGTTGGTTCGAAAGCTTGGGATCAATGTTAGCGGAGATGAAGTTGACCAAAAGAGCAACCGCGGGATGCTGACACAGTTCGAATGGTACAAATCACTCGTCGAGGGCCTGGAGCGGCACGGAAAGTTTCCCATCGATGCGGACGAAGACCTTGAGGACCTCGTCGGTTGGAGAAACCAGCATGGAAACCGCACGGCCGCGAATTCCGTTGTCGGAACGAGCCAGTACATGGCCCCTGAAGTTGTCTTGGGGCAGAAATACGATGGCAGATGCGATTAGTAGAGCATCGGCATCATCCTGTATGAGTGTCTGTACGGGCACACGCCGTTTCTGTCAGAGGAAGGACGGAAACAAACCAAGCGGAATATTCAGGTGAGTATCGCATTAGGCCGAGCAGGTGTTGGTTTGCCAAAACTTACACCCGATAGGATTACAAGAGTCACTTCTACTTTCCCCAGAGACCCCTCGCCAGCGATAAATGTAAAGATTTGATATTCCGTCTGATGCAAGACAAGGAACATCGGCTCTGCTCAAGAAGATACTATATGAAGGACCGCAGTCAACCTGATGGCTCCCGATTCAGGGACTTCTTTGGGCGGCATGTCTTCCCAGACGATGCAGAGGATATCAAGTCGCACCGCTGGTTCAAGAACGTACCTTGGGACCGCCTGCAGACAATAACTCCCCCGTTCATCCCAAATATCGAGGGCGCAGATGATACACACTATTTCGATGAATCAGATATCATCGACGATTGGTCGGAGTCGTCGCCCTCAGGGGCTATCTTGACCCCTGAAGATGTACGGCAAGTGTTGCGTGACTTCGAGCCGCGGGTACAGAGCCAAGCGGTTAAGCTCATTGAATCTCCATTCGACTCGACGAAGCTACGGAAGATGGACCGTCAGATCGAGGAGTCGCGGGAGCTGAGGTTGGAAGAGAAGGAGATGCTTAAGCACTTTGTGAGGCTATATGGCCAGAAAGAGCGCAAGCGACCTAGGGATATTTTGCTGCGGGACAATAATATCAAGGACGGCGTAATGGACATCAGAAAGAAAACGGCCTTTATGGGCTACACTTGGCGGAGGATGAGACCAGGGGGTTATACGGCCACGAGAGTGACCGACTGAGGGCGGATGGCTACTGAAATGCTCGTCTAACGAGCAACGAGGGGCGAGACAAGACTCGAAAGGCGGCCATGAAGCCGATTATGAATAACAGTAGTAGCAGTAGCAATAACAGCAACAGCAGCAGTATTATTATTAATAGACATTATTTACTATAGATTCATTACTCCTTACCATTTGATATCAAGTACGTTTCCAGCTTTCATGATTCTTATCCATGACTCATCAATTTCAACAAACATTCGATTCATTGCGTCTTTGAACGCATCGCAGCACTGCCACCAGTCTCCGTCTCAGTCAGGGCAACCAGGTCTCCAGATGCTACGGCCTTCGCGTTGCGAATCTCCCAATCAAATTCCTTGAGGCCGCGGATCTCCCAAGAAAAGAAGAGCAGCGAAAGGAGCCCATCCACAACGCCGGCGACTAATCCCAGACTGCTGACAAGCATCAGGATGAAGGCAACAAAGTTGGCAGGGCTGAACCAAACGCCGACCAAGCAGGCGACCCAAACGATCAGGGCAACGAAGAAGTGGACGCCTCGCCAGTAGCGCTGACGAACTTCGCGAAGGGTGTACTTGTGGATCATGGCGAGGATCTCGTCGTAGACGGCCATGGGGAGAGGTTCGTCGTCGGGGTTATGGAATAGCTGCAGGTCCGGATCAGAGGGGAGTGCCCTGGGGACGGACCGGATGCTACTGGCCGGGCTGCTGTTGGCCAGGTAGGCGCCTGTCTTTAGTAGGGCGGAGGGGGTTTCGGATCGAGCGTACGTCGGTGCGATCATTGACGAAGGAGTGTGCCGGGTGAGGGTTGCACGGACAGCAAAGTGGTCCGAGAGGGAGACGTGAAGGTCGGGATGGCGCTCGGTGAGGGCGACAATTGCCGTCTTGATAATCCAGCCCGGAGTTGTGGGGGGAGCTTCCGGGTCAACACCAGTGGAAGCAAAGATGTAATCCAGTCGCTTGCCTCGAGGGTCGATCGCATCCGGAGCCACATCACAAGGCTTTCCGGCTTTCAAAAGGTTCTGCTGATTCTTGGTCCAACGCCAGGTGTTGTAGACAGAGTCGCTGGTGGCGCCATTCTCGAGGAGGTTGTAGTCGGCGGTGGGGATGGGCCTGTGGCGAGCCTTCTCGGCGGGATGGTGAGCTGGACCAAGGGCGCTGTTGGGGTGGAGGACGCGCCAAACGTCGCGGACGGGAGCGTGGGCGGTGATGAGGCGGTGGGCGAGGGAGAGAGGCAGCATGTTAAAATCCCCCATGGCTACGACAAGGTGACCACGCTCAGCGGCGCCGCGGAGGAGCTTAGACATCTCCCATGCCTGGGAGGTGCGGTGACAGATGTACGAGTCGTTGGGCTCGCGCTCGTAGGGTGCGTGGGTCTGAGAGGACAGTTAGAACTGATCTGAACCATCCGGAAGCAGCTGGATGAAGCTGTCTAGTGGAGAAATGCAGAGGGCTGGACTTACATGCGTGTTGAAGACCTCAATAACGTCCTTCCTCCGTGGCCCGAATCGAATCTTGGCGCAGGCGACACCCTTGCCCACATACCAATCTCCCCGCCAGAAGGCCGTGGGACGGCCGTTGAGAGTATACTTGACCATTGTGCTCTCTTCGATGGGCCATCGGCTCAGGATGGCGAGGCCACCACCAAAGGCGCCACTGTGGTAGAACTTGCCATAGGGAAGGATCTGGCGGGTATGGCGACGGATGGCGCGGTAGTCGTCCTGAGTCCAGCACTCTTGGAGGGCGACGATGTGAGGAGCAGGGGTGAGGAGGGCAAGCTGGCGACCGATCTCGTCAAGACGGGGGGTGCGGAGGGCGGAGATGTGCAGGAGACCCCAGCAGTTGAGGGTGAGGAGGTTGAGCTCGGTGGGGAGAGCGTCCTCGTCGTCGACGGCCGTGTTGGTGGTGGGAGACGGGACGATGTTGTCGACGGCGGCGTCAGTAGCGACGGCCATAGTGACAGTGGATGCGACGGGAGAGTTGGAGACAGTCAATCGAGCCTGTGGTCGCCGAGTATGAGTGGGAGTGGGCCGAGAATCGGATCGGATGGCGAGTAGATGACGCGATTGAGTTGTAATGGTGAGTGAGAGGATGGAGTTTCGGGGCCAGGAGCGGGATCTACGGTGTCGCGGCCATGGGAAGGGTGGGATTAATAGAACGTAGACGGATACGGGGCCGATATGACACGGGGTACGACACGTGGGAGAGGAAGAAGAAAGCAGCCAGATTAAAGGAGCGTGAAGGCGCGTGAAGGCGTGTGTGAGAGTGAGAGTGAAGTCGTGAAAAAGAAAGGTGAGTGATTCCCCCCTGGACGAGACGGACGTAGTAAGTTACCCATGTCGTTAAAATGACGGCAAGGTACACCGAGGCCGTACCTTCCCACTGCCGTGCGGCGTGCCTGCCCCAAATTCGAAATCGCCAACTTCCTTGCTACGACTAGCCCAAGCTAGCTGCTATCGCGCTGCGGCACGGGATTGGTGGAGTCAGACTTTGTGCAGATTAATTTCAGGTAATTGCGTGAGCAGACTGCTTTGGGGTTGGCTGATCAGTTGCCAAGTCGTGCCGTGGCCGCTTTTCCTGTGAAATGCCCTGGCGAGCAAGAGCGCCGCAAGTCTTCCATGTGATGGATGAAACATGAGAGATGAGAGGCGGCAGCTGGGCGTTCGGTAATGTCTGCATTATACGAAGGTACTGCGTAGTTCCGAGGCTTCGTACTTGGAGATGACATCAAAGAACCTGCTTCGGCGATTTGTGTGAGCTTCAGTACGTGATGTGGCCTAATTAACACTCCGTCCGTCTTACCAACCGATGGATGATTCCATCTCGAAAGTGGTCAATGATATTTCGTCTCAACCCCTTGGTGTTTCGATCTGCACACCCTGTTTCGCGTTCCCCTGCATAGTTGACTGTCCCCACCACCCAAAAAGAAATAGCTCCGGGAGAGCTTGCCACACCAAGCTGTCGCCCGCCGCATTCTCGTTCCACTAACACCGACAGGCCCAGAACCGTCGTCCCAGGTATCGCTTCGAGGCTGTTCATTGGTTGGGATTGCAAAGAAGTTCACATGAGCTACAAGGACGTCGGGAGTGGTACTGTAAGACAATACTGTCCTCGGCCTCGTCACTGACTTCCTCGGTATTGACCTGACGTTCGCACAGGCATTGATGACCACGTTCACCTCATTATGGATCACCGAAAGGAGCTCGAGATTGTAAGACCATGGCACCCTTACTTCACCTCATCTCGCCTCCTTGGATACCTTAACACAGAACTCGCATCAGTTGAGCCAATCGTCCGTCACTAGATACGTGTCACCTTGGCATAAGCTTCATCGACGTGAAGAAAAAAGAATCAAGTGCGCCATTAGAATCAAGTACCTCGGGAGCTGTCAATTGTTACAACATGGCCCCCTGCTCCAACAAAACAATTTCACTCTCGCCAGCTCGTCCCAGTCGATGAAATGCGAATTTCCCATCCTGTTACACCTGTCTATGCCGTTCCTACCGCCCAAGACCCTTTCCCTGGAGCCGCAACTTGGAAGACGGGCTTGGGGTGCCATTCAACCACCTCACATCAACCAGGCTGTTGACTAGGTATTGAATGACTTGTGCAACAGCAATTCTTTCCTTTGTCTTCTCCCACATAGATGAATAGATATCACGAATCCCCCTTTTTTTCCATACTTTAAAACACCTCGCCGTCGAGATAATGCACTCCTCAGAGCGCCCGGAGTATCGTCGTCGTCGTTATCGTCGTCAAAATTAGATGCGATGTTTCTCCGATTCTGTTCAAAGGGCGGATACGTTAGAATCTCAGTTACTGCTGGTTTTGTTTTGCACCTCACCAAGTCGAGAGTAGAGCATGTATAGCGCCATGCGGTTGGCCTCTTCCGTTCCAGTAATAGTGACCAACCGCTCGTTGCTGTTATCCTGCGGCTCGTTAATCTTGATCACGCTGTTGCTCATCTGGCGTATCTCGTTGATCTTTTGTCCACCCTTGCCAATAATGGCACCGACCATGTCGTTGGGGATGTAGATCTGCTGCGTAATCGGGCCACCGGGAATCGCTCCTGCCATAGGCTGCGCTTGAGGGGCACCACCATGCGGCTGGGGGCCGGCGTGCGGTGCCATATGGGGTTGGATGTGAGGGGCGGCACCATATGCTGCTCCTTGCGCACCATACTGCATGGGCATCACGGGATTTCCCTGGGCCGCAGCGTGAGGATACTGCTGGGGGTAAGGCGCAGGCGGCAGGTGGTGAGGGCGACGCTCGCTGTGACGGCCATAGTTCTCGCCTCGGCCGTAGTGTCCAGACGCCGGTTGGGGGCAATAAGGAACAACTTGCATCCCTCCAGGAATGGAGCCAGCGGGGGCGCCACTTCGGGTTGCGTATGCGGAAGCAGCAGGACCGCCGAATCTATCGTTGAGCTGCTCCAGTAGGGTGCTGCCGACGTAGTAAGTGGCGATATGGACGGCGTCTGCGACGCCCATGACTACCAAAGAACGTTCGCTAGACATAGGAAGGCAGGAGTCGGACGCATTGAGGCGCGCGCCTGAAGCTTCCTGGATCTCGCGAATGCGCGCTCCGCCCTTGCCAATGATGGAACCAATCAAGATGTGGGGGATAAGCAGACGCAGGGGATAGGTCTTGGAGGAAGCGGTCGAGGACTCGCTCAGCGGCTCGTTGTTGAGGGTTCGAATGATCAAACCGAAGGCCTCGGGGATAGTTAGTACGTGGACACGAGAATACCTAGCTTGAGAAAAGAGAACCTACCTTGGCCACAGCATCTACTATTCCGCTGACGGTTAGAATACGCTCAACGGCTCCCTTCTGGTAGTCGCTGACAGTGCACTTGGCGTTGGAAAGCTTCCTGATGTTGGAGACGTTCTCGCCTCCCTTCCCGATAACGGTCGCTGCCTCTGGGCTAGAGATGACGGCGCGGATATGGATCCAAGAGGTTTCGTCGTGGGCGGCAGCGGAGGTGACTGCGTTTGATGCTGAGGCGGCGACGGTGGCGGCGGCGGCAGCTTTGATATCAGAAATCTCCTCAGTCGCCGGGGCGTCACCTTGCTCAGACTTGGTGCCGTTGGTCTTATCATCGCCGTTTTGCTCCTGAGTGTCGACGATTGGCTCGGCGGGAGCTTCAGGCACCTCCACGTCATCGTCGTGGTTCATGACCTTGTCGAGCGCGGGTCGCTTGGCATCAGGCTGGTCAGTGGCGCGCGAAGGGGAGGAAGCCTCCTCGAGGGGGCGCTTGGCCGATTGGGTGGGCTGGGTAGGCGAAGCGGACATTTTGCTTGATGTAAATGGATCACGGGCGGATGTCTTGGTTCGTTTGAAACGATCTTTATTTCGTCTTATTTACACTCAGGGGGTTTTCGAAGGAAAACGTGCTGGTGTAGTGACTTTGGATCGGTGGGATCGCGCTTCGGTGAAGTATTCGTGAAGTGACTGGTGTCGCGAGGGGCGCTGCCCAGAGAGTGACGGAGTGACGGGCTTAGTGGAAGAAGAAGTGATCTCAAGGGCAATCCTTTCTCGGGCTCCAGAAGTCTTGCAACGGGTGTCGAAATGGTAGTACCCGGAAGAATTCCCAGACGGTGGGCGGGAAGGAAAGGGCGGAGATGATGGCTTGTGATGAAGAAGTTGAGTGGTTGAGGAGAGGAGGTGAAGCGATATTCGATACTGGGACGGAGGTCTGAAAAGCAGAAAGGAAGAGGCAAGTGCTCAGCTCAAACCTTGTGACCACGGGTTCCTGGGTGTCGCAAACGATTCCGATCAGCTGAGATGGGCGAATAAAAGACTTCTGTCGCGTCGCAAGTCGCTGGCCACAATGTGGGAGGAAGGGCGGGCGGAGGGAGGAGCGCGTTTCGAGGGCCGGTGGTGTGCCAGGTCTGGTGTTTGCTTTCGCGCGCAGGGAGGGGGCGACAAGGCAAGAGCGCGGAGGCGGCCAATCCGAAGGAAGCGAGAAGGAAGGAAGAAAAGGGCCTCAGGACCAGTCTACGATAGTCGCCGGGAATGGGAAAGATGAAAAACCTCAGCGGCCGAATGAAAGGGGGGTGGGGAGATGACCAGAGTCGGGAGTCGGGGGGAGGAATTTGGGAGAAGGTTCGGGAGAAGCAGCTGAAACGACTCCGCCATGAGATGTTGGATGTGCTGGCAAGTCACGTGGAGGGCTCCCCGTGGCGGTCGGGGTATTAGCACACAGTGCGGAGAATCTAATTGGGTCCGTCTGGGGAAGCCGTGCAGTAGCCCAGCTTATTAGTATGTGGCCTCGGGAGCCGCCTCGGGGATTCTGGGGAGTACGCACCAGCCTCAGCCGCCAAGCTCACTCACTGTAATCGAATGCTACCGTGCGAAGTACAGTGCATAAATTCAACCGCACCCACCACAGGACCGAACGCGGGAGCGAGCTCTTAGCACACCCCATTGATCAAGGCATACGCGTGCCACACGCATCTCAGAGCCTCGCCTGTATCAAATCCTGCACAATTGAGATACCGACCGCAACAGGTGCCGAATATTCCCGGGGCCTCTCCAGTCTCGAATCTGAGTCGCTGACCAACAAGCCTCGCCGGCGCCGTGAAAGCGCAAACTGTCGCATCTAGATTCGCTTGCCTGCCTGTCCAGCGCATCACGCATCGCGCATCAGTGGGCACGGGCCGTGCATGAAAGAGGTGTAGGTACGCGGGCGACCGGCGCCACAAATTGGCCCACTCCATCTTGAGCCTTGAAAGATATCGACTGCGATATTCGACAGTCCTGCGAACCAGTCCGAGTCCCTTCTCATTTACAAAAATAGCATCAGTGGAGCTTGCTTCGCCGGACCATGAATGAGAGGTCGCACGGCGCAGAGGCGCAGTTATACACCGCCAACCTCGACCACACGCTGAAAGAGCTTCAGAAGAAGATTCGAGAACATGAGAATGAATTGCAAAAGGTAAGTCGGCTCTCAGACCAAACTCATTCGGCACCTGTTGACCAGGGATCAGCTCCGTTCGAGCCAAGTTGAACTTCCCCCCTCCGTCAAAGGGCAGGCTCAAGTGATCAAAGCTGCTCTGGACGAGGTGACAGATTCTGAACCGTTTTTGCCGTCCCCAGGATCCCTCCTCCCGGCATTGCTGGCCTTGCGCAAGACACATCAGACGATCAAGGATTCCAATACCTATCTTGTGTCGCAACGCACCAGCTATGAGCTGGTCGCGCGCCAGCTGGAGGCAGACCAAGCCCGACTAAAGGACCAAAATCTACTCAAGGATGCTCTTGAAGCGCGAATCCAGTCCCTGCGCAGTGAGCTGGACGTCAATGCTGATGTGACCCCAGAAGCGGGCGCGCGAGAGCACCTCCAGGAGCTGAGGAAAAAGAAAAAAGGGTATGACCAGGAAACCTCAAAGCTCATGAAAGTACTGCTCGGGTTCATCAATGACAATCTCGCACCAATGCTCGCAGCGGAGGAGCTCGGTGGGCCCGTCGTGGGCGATCTCATGGACATTGAGGGCGACGATCTTGCGGCCGGCTTCAACTCTCAGGGAAAGTTGAAGAAGGCCCCAGAAGGCGCAGGCAAGGACGACAAGCGTCAGCGGCGAATCGATGAAATCTGGGGCCAAGCTGGCAACGACGAGCAGAGCGAGAGGACTGGACCGCAAGACGAGGTTGTTGCAGCTAGCGCGGAGATGAAGCAGCTCACTGAAGAGCTCCTCAACACGCTCTCCGAGGCCAAGGGCAACACCGAGGCGGCATATGTCCAACTACCAAGAGAATCAGCCGCAGCTCGGTTCCTTGTGCGGTCAAAGGTGGCACAGTTCCACCCAAAAGATGCGACGAGGCTCAGACTCATTGACTTTGGAAGGGAGTTGGAGGCTTAGAGTCGCAAAAATGGGTACACAGCTATGTAGCACTGAGTTTGGAGTCCATACACTGAATGATGATGAGAAAACGGCCTAGCAGGCTGAGAACGCGGACTTCACTCCCCTGTAATTTCCCTGGACATCACGCTTCGAACCAGTCACACGTTCTCTTCACCAATTCATGTATGCTTTCATGCCCTAATTCGAGCGCCAATTGTTGGTAGAGTCTCGCGATGCTGAAGAAGCAAGCACTTAATGCTAAGCCTCCCCATTGGCCAATTCGCACACGCGTGTCCGCCCCCTCGCGTCGCGTCCCTACGAATCCCGTCAACCTCCTGCTGTTGTCCGTCTCTTAAGCGCAGCCTCGACACACCGCTCGTCCTGCTCCGCCAATTCTCCTTCACCAATATGTCTTCCGCACCTGAGTCCAACAACACCACCATTTCTTCTCCTCCCGCTAAGCGCATCAAGACCGCCGCTGCCATGGAGCCCATCCCTCTCCAGATCAAGAAGCTCTCCGAGAAGGGCCGCCTGCCCACCCGCGGCAGCGCCTTTGCGGCCGGCTACGACATTTACGCTGCCCGCGATACCACCATCCCCGCCCGTGGCAAGGCCCTTGTCGACACGGATATTAGCATGGCTATTCCTGAGGGAACCTGTGAGTTTGCCTTCTGCCACCATGTAAATGCACATGACTGGATGCTGACTTGGGTTCCAGACGGCCGCATTGCCCCCCGCTCCGGACTTGCGTCCAAGAACTTCATCGACACGGGCGCGGGCGTCATTGACGCCGACTACCGTGGCCAGGTCAAGGTGCTGCTGTTCAACCACGCCGAGGCCGACTTTGAGATCAAGGAGGGCGACCGCATTGCCCAGCTCATCCTCGAGCGCATCTACACCCCCGAAGTCGTCGAGGTCCAGGAGCTCGCGGAGAGCGTGCGTGGCGCCGGCGGCTTCGGCAGCACTGGCTGAGCTTAGTGGATACGGGATAAATTTTATGAGTCAACGAATGAGTTGGTAATGTCTACAGGAATCTACTAGACTTTGGCTTCAGGAGGGGGAGAAAAAGGAACACGGAACAGGGGGTTGGAGAACAACGATAGATCAATAAACAGGGACGCAAGCTCAACGCCGTTCCTTATTTTCTTGTATGCACGTCTATTCTGTCTTTGTCTTTGTCTTCGTCTATATGACCATGGCTGGGGCCGTCTTCTATCCTCCATGCCTACTCACCTACATGGCCTTGGCGGGGAACAGCTTCGATGGCGAGCGCAAACAATCGAGATTCCTCACGAGCTGCAACTCGGCCGCCTTGCTCCTCACCAGGTGAACCTTCTTATCATCACTTCTCTCCTCCGGCGCCATGTCGTCCGTCGTGCGGTCGACGACCTTGCGCATGCCCTCGGACGTCTTGTACAGCACCTCGTGCATGCTAGCGATGACCTTCTCGGCGGCCTGAGCGAGGGGCAGCTCGACCGCGGGGACATTGTCCTCGCTAAGCCAGCTAGGGGTGAAGCTCAGCTCCTCGTTTGCGTGGTGGACGGCCTCACGCATGCGGATGACCATGAGGGCGGCGAACATGTCGCCCGTGCCACTGAAATAGCAGTCGATGGACGGGAAGACAATCTTGAAGAGGCGGGCTTTTCCGGTAGAGGTCATGCTCGAGCCAACGACAGCAAGATGTGAGTCCGGGTGGTCGGGGGAGGCGAGGTTAACCGAGGTGATGACGATATGAGGGACCTTGAACTTGTCATGCATGAGCTGGATAGCCTTGGTTAGGCTATCCATGTCGACAATCTTGGACTCTGAGAGCAGTCTCAAGACGGATACATGTTAGCGCACATGACGATAGTTGCGGTTGGATGAGGAGGTGGGATGAGAAGGTTGGATGAAGCAATGGGAGGTGAAGGAACCCGGTGGACATACTCGGCCTCGAACTGGTTGGGTAGGATAAGATCTGCATGGTGGATGAGAGATCTGTAGGCTGGGACGACATCTTCGGCGACGTAGAGCCTCCCGTTGTCGCCCATGACGGGATCAAGGACCCAGAAGAACTTGCCTGGAGTCGTCTTTGACTTCTCCTTGAGCTCGCGGCCGATGGCGCCCACGGCATTGACGGCCTCAGCTCCCGGGATGTATCCGGAGAGCATCATGTCAAAGTCGTCGAGGTAGGACTGCTTCAGACCTTCGTACAGATCCTGGATCTCCTGCGCCGAGACCTTTGTTCCTTTCCATTGCCTGTAGCCGGTGTGGTTGCCTTTGATGTGACTCGTGGGTTAGATCTTCGCTGTTCCGCGGCTTCGGATCTTGTGCGCCGTGGGGGAGGGACTGACTAAACTGCACCGTGTTGAGGGCTGCGACATCGCATCCTAGAGACTGCAGCACGAAGACGGCAATCTTGTTTCCCACGTACCTGAGCGCCTCCCGAGTCAGCAAAAATTGGCAAATACGACGCAAGCAGGCAGGTAGATGCGAGGTTGAAGATGAACCATGTCTTACCCAGAGACAACCTGCAAGTGAGGGCATAAAGTCAGTCAATGGCATTCGGCTTTGGAGGGGCAGTCATGATTGCGGGTCGTACATGGCTCGCCACAGCGAGAACCCGCGTGTCGGGCACAGGGAGGGGATCGCGCATGGCAGCCTAGGTATAGCAAGCAACCTGCGACAGCCGAGTTGTGTGAGGGAGCGCCTCTTGGCGGGCGAGGAGGGAGTTGGTTGGCTGGGATTGCGCGGATGCAACGGACGGGGATGTGAGGATGACAAGAAGGTTCTGTATTGGGGCACTTGGCTTGGTGGGAGGAGGATAGCGATAGAGTCGGTTTCGTTACGAGAGTTAGCCAGTTGGTTGGTGCGTCGCTAGTCGCTAAGTTAGTCGCTACCGAAGCAAAAATATCTTGGACAAGCCGCGGTTAGAATGAGGTTGAGAGGGAATAGAGACAAGATGCGCGCTGAAATGCACATGCACAACGACGTCGCCCTCTGAGATGACTGGCGTTTGAGTCAACCGGAACATGGCTTGGTAACCTACCTAAGTACCTAGTGACGGGTGTTCCCCGCCAAGATCCGATGCGATGCGCGCTGTGCCCCGCACCCGGAGCCCTCTTTTTCTGTCTCTCTTTTTTTGTCTGTGTTTTCCCGTTTCTCTCTCGCTTTGCAACTCGTGTGTGGTTGCGCCGCTTCCAATTGGAAGCCGAAACCCACCGGGGTAAAGAAATGTGCGCCCGGGAATATCATGGAATATACGACCATCATGTCATGCTAACGGCTTTCTCCGTCTTATTTGTCTTTGTATTGCTCACGCAGCCCGGGTGACAGATAGATAAACCGCGGCCCACATTCAAACGGGAGACACGCCCTTTGCGCAACAGCCAAGTGGACACCGCGTGACTGCTATAGTGTCATGCCAGGTCAGGAGACGGATGGGACGGAGATAGAGACAAGAGGTCGGCTCGCATGCCGGAGCGGTCCTGGGCAACCAAAACAAAGGCTTTAAAATCATTATCGTGTCAGGGCAGCTGACCCGGAGCTGGCCCACAACAAGCCATCATACAACCATGGCTCGTACTTGATCTAGTAACAGATATCCTTCTGAGGACCCCTCTTCCTTCTCCCCTCTCCCTTCTCCCCTCTCCCCCGTAAAGAAACCCCTGGTATCCCATCTTGTCGGCGGAGCCCCCTCCGCGCCAAAGCAGGATTACCACGTCCTCGCAACGCCGGCTGATAGTAGGTAGGATGGTGGTCATGTCATGTTTTTGAGGCAAAGGTTTACTCGTCATCGCCAATCTGGAGTCGCGGGTTAGCACAATGATACCGAGCTGTAACTGAGAGGGGGTCGCCATACCTTTGGCGCAAGGTAGAAGCGCAGGTAGCTGCTGCCAGCAAGCGCGTACTCGACCAGGAGCGGCACCTCGTTGGAGAGACAGATCTTGACCTGGGTTGACAGGGCGGCAGCCTTGCAGAAGTTGCCCAGGTACTTGAGGGAGAAGGTCAGGGACACGGGCTCCGTCAGCTCAATGTCGACGTTGAGCTCGGGCTTATCGACGTCGGTGTGGCTTCGGAGCGTCACGGAACCGTTACCAATGTCGCCGGTGGACGCAAACTTGACGCCATCCTTGGTTGCCTCGATGTTGACTGCAATGTGGAAACTCGAATGTTAGCATTGGCTGAGTCCTTGACCGAGGGAAAGAAGAGGACGAGTAACGACGAGGAAAGTAATGAAACAGGGAGGAACCGACCTGATTCTGACATGGCGGTCAAGTCCGCGACGATGCGTCGGAACTCGACAGAGGGCATGGAAATGGTGGAAGCGTACTCGGTTTCCGGGATACCGAGGTGCTCCTGGTCAATGTCCATGAGCTTGAGGTCATACTCGCTGATGCGGTCGTTGGCGCTGCTCTCAAAGACCAGGTTGAGGACGTCGGGGCCATCCTCGGCCTTGACGGTGAGGATGTCCTCGTTCTGGGCGGCGCGCAGGACCTTGGTGAGGGAGGTCAGGTTGACTCCGAGGGAGATGTTGCGGTCGCAGCGGAAGGGGGAGAAGGCCTCGGCCTTGAGCATCATCGACACCAGCGCGACATGGGAGTTATCCATAGCCTGCAGGGCGATGCCTGTGTCATTGCAGTCGAAGTTGCAATCCTGGACGAGATCCTTGATGGCATCGACGACCTTCTTCAGGAGGGCGGCCTGCTCGAGTCGTGCTTCCAACATATCTGCGAGTGTGTGAAGTTAGCAGGCTGAATCTGGTGAATCTGGCGGCGGTGCGGGCGAGCTGTGTGAGCTGCGTGAGCGATCTGCCTGCTGGCCAGAAAAAAAAAGGCGGGGGCGGACGCGGGCCACTGACTGACTGGCTGGGGATTGTGAGTTGTTAGGTGGATGGAGAGAAAGGCGGAGAGAGAGAGAGAGTCGGATCGAGGATGATCGAGTGTCGGGTAAAAAGAGTCGTTGGGGAGACAGCAAGATGGAGGAAAGTGGTTGCGAGAAGGGAGGGTTGGCGAATGCAAGATTACTCGAGGGCTGAAGCCAACCAAGGCACGCAAGCACTTAACACGCGGGCCGCGAGCAGTGGTGGGGATAAGACGCGTCGTGACGCCAACAAGACGCGGGGCACCAGAGACCTAAGCCCAATTAATCAAATTTCCCACATTTGTCCACGAGCTGTTGACGCCTTTCAGGGGAGGAAAACAATGTCCCATGTTCAAATAAATTTGGAATTTCCTTTCTTTGTCTTCTCAAGCATTGAATATGCTGCGTTGAATTATACCTAAGCTGTTGGTTGCCCTGACGTCCCATATTTCGGGCACTTATCAATACATGGCAGCTAAAATGAACCAAAAACACCGAGCATCGAGCATCGAGCAAAGCAAGAACAAAAGAAAAGGACAGGCCCAATCGAGCACAGGAAACATGCCCATGTGCCCGTTGATCTGCCGCTTGTGCTTGGACACCGGTGATCGGCTTTGTGGCTTAGTTCCTATCTAGGTACTCACCGAATCACCGCAATACCCAAGCTCAAGAGTAAACTATCCCGGTGGGATCAAAACATCAAACAAAAAGCAATTTAGCCAAACCAAAAATAATCCCAGATGCCCATGCATGCGCCTGTTTCCGTTCTATATGATAATGTACCGCCCAAGAAAATCGTGCATGTCGTGACTTGCTAAATAAATGCAGTGTGCATGCCGGCGCACAGGTGCATGCGATGTGGTGTTGGTCGTAATAGTAGCAACAAAGCAAATAAAAGTCGGTTCAAAAGTATTACCGCGTTGATGGCGCGAGGATGGCGGCGGTGGTGATCGAGGTAGTGGGTTTACATGGAGACAATCCGTCCAGCCGGGGCACTCATGCGAGTTCGAGGCCGGAGGTTGATGACTGTCTCCAGCTCCCGGAGCATGCCCTTGGTTGCATCGATTTGTTGACGGGCAAATGCCTTGTGCTCTCGGTCTTCCTTCATCCTGACTATCCTCTCCTCTCGTGTAAGCATGCTTCGTGGTCGGGGCCGTGCTACCGCCTCAAACACCTCCGGCGCTTCGTGGTCCACAGAGCCATTGTATTCGGAATTTGGCGGCGATTCGCCCGTGAGTGCTTTCAGTGCATCGACGGCAGTACCGCTTTCGTCGACGGTGGTGAGTCCACTCAGGGAGCTGGCGGGGGATATCAGAGTGCTTATGGACGAAAGCCTCTTCTCGTTTCTATCGATCCCAAGGGCCAGGGCGGCTCGGCCTTCCTCCCAAGCTGCCATGAGATCCTTCAAGTCCACGCCAATGGATTCGAATTGGGACATGAGGTTTGGCCCTAGTTCCGAAATGTCGTTCGAATCGTTGAGTGTCCTATCTGATTCCTCGCGCAAGAGCTGAAGCTTGGCTTGCAGCCCCCTAATCCCAGTGGAGAGCGAGTTAAGTTTCCGAAGCCGAGCCTGCCAGCGCTCCCTTCCAGGGGTAAGTGCGTTCTTCGGGTTTGGTGACAATGGAAATGCTTGATACGTGTTAGTAAGGGATTGATTGGCTACTTCGCCCAGATGCACTTACTCTCTTCCTCGCTGAGGATAGTCTGCAACCTGTCGTATGTACTATTCGTCGTGGCATTGACACTCCGAAGAGACTCCACTGCCGTCGTCCACCGAAGCAAGTCATTTGCGTCGCCGCTGGCATCAAGAGCCAACAGAGCACAGAGGAACATTTTGCGGAGGGTATAGAACCGGGCAGCGAGGATCTTCAGGGTCCTCAATGACTCCACGTCTTCAAATTCATCGATATCGAAACCGCGCTGCGCATCAGACATATCGAAATCGCTAATGTCATAAATGTCATAATACTTCTCCAGGTCGGTCTGCTCTGCGAATCCATTCACAACGGTACACATTTGATTGTACGTCTTGAGGACGCCAGATAATGAGTTCTTAAGCGCCCTGCGTAACCGGACGCATTTTCGAGTCTGGGTACGGTCTTCGATCCGACTGATGGGAGGTAATGGTGCGCTACTACTGATTGTTAGAGCTGAGGTTCAATCATAGAGTTTGGGGCTTGTGGACTGACATTCGGTAACCACGGGAGACCAATTCCACCTCCTGGATTAAAGACAGGGCCGCCCCTGAAGCGCTGTCATGGCTATGAGAGTTTTCGATAAATTTCGTTATTTCGGATAAAGACTGCGATCTTCGATATCGTAGCCATTGTCTTCTCATATGAACCTGTCCAAGGAGGATGCTGGCTGCACCGAGCAGGACGAGGAAGACTAGTCGCTTCCGCGTGACCCCGTTTTCCACGACCCAGCTCAAGATCACTGCGACTGCCAAGGCAGCAAGTACCGAAGCAATAATGCCCTCGGTTGATACTAGAGATTGATCCTCCTCGCTTACGGGCGCTACACCGACATCAGCACTCAGTTGGTGCTGTCCTAGCCCAGAATGGCCGCTCAACAGTTGGGAGGCGATGATCGTGTAACGGAACTGCTCGAGGAACTTGGCATTGTCGGCACGGTCAATGCTCGCTGCTACCACGGCCTAGAGAATGAGTTGATTAGATGGGTCTGCGAACAAACAGTATAGAACGGTGTAGCGGACGCACCGAATATTTTTTCCTAATAGACCGCAACGAGACGGGTTTTGCGACGTCGAGGTGGAGGGGGCCAGGGACTTTATTGCGGAATCTCGCTTTAACAAGAGGTCGGCCTGTAGGAGCAAAGGGAGAGGGACTGGAAGGTGGTGAAGGGCTGGATCGACCAGCCGAGGATTCGGTATCGGGAGTCGTCGCGCCGGGCGCCCAGTCTAGCTGTGGCTCGTCTCCCCCATCTTGAAAACAAATGTTAGTTGAAGCTCTGGTGCACCGAGAGCAGAAGGCGCAAAGGGGCTAGGGACAAAAGCCGTGGAGGGAGGCACTCACCTCTGAGGTACTCGGCTAAAGGCGACTCCTCATATACCACGGGCTCCATCTAACAGCGCTATAACGTCGAGGGCGAGGATAAGAAGGCACGCAGAGCCATGGAGTGGCGAGCGGCAAGCAGCGTAGTGGAGGACGGCGGCGCAAAGAGCAGGATAACCGAACAGAGCAGGAGAGGGCGGATCAAGGCGTTGGGGAGTTGGATGTGGTTGTCGACGGTTCAACAGGGCAGTTCAGGAGAGGGCGGCAAGGACAGGCTGGTGGTTGTTGATGTTCCTATTTGGGGAGCTCCACGCCGGCGTGCTGCAGTGACCAAGCTGGGGCAGGGCGACAAGGGTGGACAGCCGATAGGCGGAGGCGCAGAGGCTCAGGTCGGAGATGTCGGTGATGCGCCGCGCATGGACGGAGTGGCCGGGGGCAGATGAAGCGCCGTTGGACGGTTGGACGGTTAGACGGTTAGACTGTGTACTTTCGGAGTCGGCGGCCTGGAGTCCTGGACGGGCGGACGGACTCTTAATGGCAGACTGCCAGTGCTTCGTCTTCATCCGTACTGCGACGGGGTGACTGACGGGGGATGAACGGGTCGCTCCAGGGGCCCGGATTTCCGCAAAGCAGCAACTCATTAGCAGGGCGCAGGGGCATGCAGGTTGCAGGGGGCCACCAGGTCGGACGAGGCGGTGGTTGGTTGTAATGCGGTCCAGACAGCATACTACGTAGTAGAGAGCGGTAGCGGCGTGGGCACCCGCATGGGGCACCTGAGCACTTGGTTCAGGTGTTGTGACCAGAATTAGCGAGTCCGGGTCGGATTTACCTTCTCCCGCGCCACGAACCCCAGCAGTGCGGTCTAACCCAGTGCCGCTTACGTAGGAAGGCTGGCGTAGGAAGTTTGACAGCTTCAAATGGTATTAGGGCACCCCACACAGTATAATCTGCAATCGATCAACTACCTAAGACAAGCAAGAGCAGTGAACCCGTACTTTTAGAAACAAGAATTGAACTTTATTTTATTACCCAAGTACCAAATAACAAAGGTTTGAGGGGCTGATTAGGTAGGTATTGAAAGACACTGTCTCTACCTAGGTAAGGTAGGTACACACTGTAGTCCCTATGGTAGGTACACCCACAACCCACCTTACATAATAATACTCAATTGGAGCCGTCCTGGTTGGCTGATAGACCCACAGCCAAAAAGATGCTCTAACCCAACTCCCACCAACTTGCGAACAGTCAACATCGGCGTACTCGACCCTTCCTGAGACGGCGTCTGCCTCTCTACCCGGTCTCAAATTTACAGGCACGCCTGTGCGGCGCAGAGGCATGAATGAACCTCTTCGATACGGTCCACCGCGCCAGTCTGCCCAATGCCCCCGCGATGCGCGGCACTTCGCTCCCGAGCGAGCTGGTGCCCGGCACCAACAGCCTCGCCAGACAGCGTCTGGATCACCGACACGATGCTGCGCCAAGCCATTGAGCGCTATCACCGGGCCTCTGCGCAATCACGCCGAACTCTGAGCTCTTTCCCGGGTCCTATGGAAAGTCGTCGGCGGATGGGCAAACGTCATATGACGGCCGTCATGTCCGACTCGCGTTCCGCCGCATCGCCCTGGTCCATTGAGCTCCCCCTCCAGCCCGGCGAGTGGAAATGGGAAGCTCCGACTGAACCAGGAAACCGAGTTCGAAATGAAAACAAGTTCAGCCTACGTCGGAATATGGACCGCCTCATCGGATGGCTTGAGAATCCCGATGAAGACACCCCGATGACCACATCCATCACTTCCACCGCCCAGCCACGCGCGGTTGAAGCCACGATGGTTTCCTCTTTCCAGCGGTCGCTTACCGAACTCCACCAACGCCTCGGGGCCATTGACCTCGCAGATTCCGACGAAAGGGCAGTCTGGGTAGCTTGCAAACCCTTCTCCGACCACATTCAACACTCAATCCTAGAGAACATGATCACTAGCGACGATATGATCATAGCACTTGACCCTTTCGATTCCCAAATAAAGGATAAACTGACCGTTGGATTGCTGGACGCGATACGTGCCAGAATGGCGACCCAGCTCGTCCGAGCCATTTATATCTCCCGACCTGATAAAGAGCACGATCGCTACGCCGATCGATTTTGGAAGGCCAGTGTCAATCTACTCAGAGAAATGGGGACACAGCAGTTCCAGACCTACTTCTACTTTTTCCGGCTCGCACAGTGTATCCCACGCAAACGCCACGAGCGCCTTAGCAAAGCCCTCGTCTTTGACATGATAGCAGCATACGTCGAATTTCAAGCATCTCTCCCTTTTCCGCACAAACATTCGACCAACCATAACATCATTCTCAGTGCAGCCATCAAGCACCTGGACCGAGAGAGACCACAATTGATGTGGGAGGCAGTCCTCGAGATTCTGAGTCAGAGGCATAGTGGGGAGCATCTCACCAGGCTTCAACGCCAGGCGGTCATGACCATGTCATTCAGCCCGTATGTGACAAGTCGGGAGTGCTTCGAAATGTACCCTAGTGAGTGGACCAGCACCGACGCGTTTCTTTACACAAAGGGCCGTCTGTGGGCCACCAGGTGTTTTCAGAGGAACTCCGTGCCCTCCTTTATACACCTAGACGTCGCGGGTCTGGACTGGGCAAGCATTGTGAAGCATATTTGGGATGCTCCCGAAACAGAAAGGAAGATTCTCCTGAAACACCTCTGTCGGTCCACAATCAAGACTGGACAATTCCGGACAATGGCAGAGCAGCTGGTAGAGAAAATGCCGTGGAATACGAGACTATTTCGGGAGATTGCCATTGCCAGTGGAAACTATCGAAAGGCGCGATTGCTTTGGAGGCTAGTCCGCGACAAGTCAGGGATTACGTACATAATCCGATGCTGGGACTGGACGGCATGGACCCCATACGTGGAAGCCATGATCAAAGACCCCGACATGAATATCAGGTTCATTTGGCGGGTTCTCGCTCTCAATTGGGGCCAGCCCAACAAGGCTGACCCTGGTAGGGCGTTGTGCGGCATCAATAGCCAGACGGAGCTCCTCGAGCTAATGGCAAGATGGTTTCTCGAGGCGGATCATCTCAGCGAGCGACAAACTCTCCACTGCATCCAGGAGTGTCTTGCTGTGTACCAGTCAATCGACAAGAACCTGTCTCCGCAAATAATACTTTGTATGGTCGAAGTCATACTGCGGGATCTTGAACGAGGAAATTATGGTCGCCAGGAACGATTGGCGTGGATGGTGCGCCTCATCAAGAAGCATCTGGGAGATGAGGAGGCGGACAAGGTCCTGTTTCAGCTCCGAGGGTGGCGGTGGACTATTGAGAACCGAACCCAGCGTCCCGAAAAGCCTACGGTCAAACAAATCGAGGACGAGTTGGCGATGCTCGCCAAAGAAGCTGCGGGGGGAGATCTCAAAGGCAAACCCTTGGCGATGATCCAAGGGCTAGAAAAGATGCCAGAAGACAACCTTTCCGGCATTGATGAACATGAAAACTTGGAGGCCGTCATCCGAGAAATGAGAAAGATGGACAGCGCGGCTGGCTAAGGACTGAAGCAAAACAGACGATAGGGAATCATGGGCAGGTCAAGGAAGGACATACATAGAAAAAAAAAGAGCGCGCCATATATGGAGTGTAGAACGGGGGCTTACAATCAGCCATTCATACTAGTATATTAGTATATAGATACAGCAACAAGTGGACCAAGAGGTGGCCACACAGTTCCAGGCCTCGATCATGATGCAAACCTTGACCTCTTGAGTATACAGAAATTCACCATGATCTAGGGGCACTAACTCGACGACAACTCAAGCGTAGGGGGTATCGATGATTTCATGTATTCTTTAATAAGACAGGCAGCTGGGCTGGCAGATGAATGTAATCGAACGAACAAGAAGAGTGTGGTATGCCATTACAACGTGCATATGTACCAAGCCAGATAACTCCAAAAAAGAAAAAGAAAAAAAAAGAAAAAAGACCAACGAGACGCAACGGGGCGTGATAGCGTACAGGTAATAAAATAGAAGCCCATCCGTACAGTAAAAAGGAAAACCACATTAGCCAGGATATCATGAACCTTTTGTTCCCTCTCAGTAGCCCAAAAATAACAAAAAGAAAAATACGTCGCTGTAGACCGTGTCATATCTAATCAAAACAACCACCATTATCTTGCACGAGTTTTTCTAGTCATCATCGTGCTTCTTAAATCCCTCCCTCCAAATATTCTGCCTCGGGCTGGGCCATGTGCTCCGTCACAACACTGATGTGACTGCGAGCTCCAAGGGATGTGCCCCCGACGTCGCTCGAGCCTCCAAAGTGAAGCTTGGAGCGAGCGATGAGCACTTGGGCGGGACACACCACAATCTCCTCGTCACCCTTGCCCGTGTCGTCTCCCTTCTTGACGACAAGAGGGAAGAGAACGACACGAACCACGGCGCCTTGAGCCTCAAGGTCTTCGTTCGTCATGTTTGCGCTGCCGCTGCGCTCGTTCATCATCGAAGCGTTGAATTGAACGGTTGCGGCCAGCTCGCCATCTGCATCGTACTCCGGTTGCAGAGGCGGCAACATCATGTACTCAGCTTTTTGAGTACGCATCTCAACTGAGAGGCCCACGGCCTCCTTCATCACGCGTCGTAGTTGAGATTGGATCTGATCCTCCAGGTTGCCGGGCGGCGGGAGGATCTTGCATAGGGTCTGGAAGACAGCCTGGACGACGGCTTCTGTATCCAGGTCACGTTGGCGCTTGAAGCTATCGCGCTTCGCCAGTAGTGTTAGGGTCACGGCGCGCCATTGTCGCACCGCTTCCGGTGGGCCAACCTCAGTCAGCAGCTTCTCCAGTGACTTGAGCTTCTGTCTTTGCTCTCGGTCCATGCCGAAGAGGTAGCGGGTAAAGACAAACTCCCAAATCATGTTCATGGTCATGGACATGAAAATGTCTCGACGCTTAACACGGTCTTTGAGGTAGGTATCGACATCGGAACCGTCGAGGACGGCGTTATCCAGTCGATCGATGGTCTTCTCATCATTGATCTCGCTTGTCAAACGACAGGCGCGCATATCGGAAAACTTGGAGAAGCGCAGCACCCATTGCTGGACGTGGGAGCAGAGCTGCTGACAGCGATGGTCGAAGTGATCCTCGTCGCGGAGGTTGAGGAAGTGCTCATCGCTGGCTTTGGTCTCGAGGATTTGGCGCTGCATTTCGCGTATCTTCTCCTTGGCAGTCTCGAGCTGTTCGCGCAGCTTTGCGATTTCATCGTCCTTTTCTTGCAGAGTCTGGTCCAGCTGGCCTTGGGCGCCACGCGCGTCGTCGAGTTCGCGGATGATGGTTGCATGGCGAACCTCGAGATCAGTATAGCGTCTCTTGTCTTTGTTGGCAAGCTCGGCATTGGCGCTGGCGAGGCCATCGTTGACCTCGGTCAGGCGGGAGACTTCGTTTTGGAGGAACTTGAGGGACTGCCTGAGGGCGTCGATCTCGGCGTCGCGGTCAGCCAGAGTGGTGACGGCGCGCTGGCTGACGCTGGTCTCGGCCGTCGCACGCGCGTCACTGAGGGCGCGGTTCTCGGCCAGGAGCTGTTCGACCTTGTTCTCGAGCTCGAGCACCTGCATGCTCTGTCGTCGACGCATGCTGTGGGGCCGTGTGGGCGAACGGGGCGAACCGATGCGGCCCTCGCCGAAGCCGTCCTGAAGGGCAAATCGAGTCAGTCGCAGGGCCAGAGGCGGTGAAGGTCGGAGAGACGGTGAAGGTAGATGTAGATCAAGAGAGGCAGGGAGGCAGGAGTATAGAACTTACATAAACATCGGCCATGTCCTTGGCGCGGACACGACCTTCATTTGCAACGGGCGTGGTGTTGTTTTGGGTGCGGAGCGTCCGTAGATCGCCGCTCATTCGCTTGTCGACTCGACGAAGCGGCGGAGTGGGGGTGCCTGACGAGCGTTGGATGCCTGGACTCTCAGGCCGCAATTTGAGCGGCTCTGGCGTGCGACGCCGCGAGAGGCTGGTATTGGACAGGGATCGGCGCGCGAAGGCTTCAGGCCGCGGCGATGATTGGCGTGAGAGCGGCGGATTGTCCGACACGCTGCGAGATGGCGTGGATGTTGCTGATCGTGCTGCCAGTCCCGCTGCAGCCGCTGACACCGCTATTCCGGCCACACCTGCGGCTACCAGCCCCCCGTATTGCTTCTTCTTCTCGGGCTCCGGCGTCGCGGATTGCGCCGGCGGCTCGCGCAACACGGGCGTGCCTCGGGGCGACCGCCGGAGCCGTCTCTCGCTCGCCGGCTCCGGTGTCTGTAGTCCGGCGCGTTCCCGGCTTGCACGCTCCCGGTTTGCGCGCTCCCGGCTGGCCGCATCACTCCAGTCTCCGCTTTGAACACCACTGTCGCGCTGCTGCTCCTCGTTCAGCGCCTTGCTCCGTCGCTGAGGGTGTGGCGAGTCTCCCGCGTAGCCGCTGTCCCGGTTGGCATCCAGCTGCTTCAGCCTGCGCTTGGTCGGCTCTGCCTCTGCCTCCGGGACTTCTGGTACTGGCTCTAGAAGGCGAGAAGGTGACCGTCGAAGTTCGCCCACTTCAGATCCTAGCTCTCCGAACGACGTCGGTGTTCGGCTGTCTTCCCTCAAAAGACCACCCACTGGCTCCTCCATGTCGGATCCTCGGCGGAGAAGTCCCTGGAGGGGTGGACGAGGTAAGTCGGTATTTCCTCGTCCCAGCACAGGACTTTCCGCCATGTCATCATGGTCAAGCCATTCGTTTTGTCGAGATGTCTCCTTCCGGCCTGTGAAACTGTCCCTGACCACCACTGGTTCGTGGTCCTTGCTCTTGCTCTTGCCTTTGGTCCTACTTGACTCCTTAGCCGTGATTGTCGTATTGGCTTTGTCCCGACCCTGGTCCTCAAAGTCCCGCTCGGTTCCCTTGATTGTCTCTTTTGGCTTGTCACTGCTTCCCCAGAAAGCCTCGTCCATCTTGACCCTTGGCTTCTTTCTCTCGTGAAATGAGCTCTGTCCAACGGCAGCAGTCTTCCTCACGTGAACATCCTCTTCCAACCCTTGATCATTGAACATCTCATCTTCATCTTGCACTCCTCGGTCCGTAAACTTTCCCACGTTTCCCTTCGTCTTGCTTCCAAGCTTGTCGACAAGAACCGTGGCCCCTGTTGCGGCAGCTGCCGCGGCTGCCACTATTTCAATGGCGGATGTTGTCTCTTCCTTGCCGTGCGGTGTGGATTTGGCCCTGCCCGCCGCCTTATAATCTCTCGGGGGGGTGACAGGGAGGGACTCGTGGTCGACCTTTGGTGCCCGGGCCGATGTTTTCGACTGGCTGGCTTTGAGGCTAGGCGATGGCGCGACCCAATCATCCACGAAATCCATATCATCATCCAGTAGACCTGAGCCCTGTACATGATCGATGGGTTTAAACTCCTTCTTCTTCTTCCCATGCTTGGTAGGCTCTTCCAACCGGAAATCTCGTGGATCGGGAGCTTGTCGTTGAAGCGAAGGTAAGTCCTCGTATGGCGTCTCATGTACTCGATCGTCTGCTCGTTCAGAAACATCCCTGGAAATAGCTCCACCAGACAAGTCTCGGGCATTGTCGACACTAATTGCAGCAGCGTCTTCCATCACCAGGGACTTCTCGATTGTCTGGGTGTCTGGTTCCGGGGTCACCTCTGGTGTGGGCTGTTGGGTTTGAGTGGAGCTCAGCTTTCTCTCCTTCTTTTTCTTGGTCTTTGAGGTAGGAGAGTCCTTGGGTTTGTCATCGGCGACTTCTGTTCTATGGCTGCGCTCGAGGACAATCACGGGATCGCGTGTCTCGTCTCCTCGAACCGGGACAGATGCCTCTTCCTTCTCCAGAGAAATCCCGCGCGAAATCTGGGTGAGGGATGGAATTGCTGGCTCCTCGGCACCCTTCATGGCGATATCGACATCCATGGGCTTTGGCTTCGCTTCCTTGCCTTTTCTCTTGAGAGGCAAAGCCCACTCTTCATCGTCCTTTTCCCGCGATCCACTTGGTTCTATTGACTGGGGGGCCTCGGTATCAATGGATCTGGTCAGCTCCAACGGTGGGCTGGGTTCAAGACCAGCCTCAGATTCAATGATCCGCTGAGACTCCGTGAATGTAGCGCTTGGCTCATTGAAGGCCGGGAGATCCATCTCAACATCAGGAACTGACATCGGAGCGCTATCAGGCTTGCTCCTGATACCAATCTTCTTGACGGGCAAGGTCCATTCATCATCATCTTTGTCGTTGGCTGAAATCGGTAGGGGCTCATCCATAGCTTGCTGGACTGGGGTCTCTTGTTGCTTCTCGATGATTGACTCGTCCGCGGGTGAAGATTCGGCAGCCGCCAGTGACCGTGCGAGCTTCTTCGCGTTCTTCTTGTCCTTCTTAGACTTCTTAGTAGGAATCTCGGAATCAGGTTCCTGGATGGTTTCGTCTAGAATAGGGATAGGGGCAGAGGCATCTTCAGCTGGAGGGTCACTGGCGGTTGGCTCCTTCGGAAGGGCAACCTCGACCTGGGGATCTTGCATGGCAATGTCGCCCGAGGGTGCACCTCGAGGGAGATCTTCGTCCACAGGCGAGTCTGGGACAGCGGCTTCTTGGGCGGGGATGTCTTCAACGGGCGAAATGCCAACAGAAGAAACATCCACCGGGGTAGCTTCAACAAGAAGGACCTGTTCGACAGGTACTTCGAGAGGATCATCGGCAGGTGTGGAAACGTCGACCTCCATTGGCTCAACATCGGGTGCAGGACGAGCTTCCGGGACAAGTTCAGTTGTAGGCTCCAGAATATCTTGAACGGGGTTGCCCTTCTTCTCTTTTTTCTTGTCCTTAGAGGTCTTTGTCTGGAGGTCTTTATCTTGTAGCTCTTCGGTAGGGGTTTCTTGGTGCGTCACGACATCAGGTGCTGCGAGCTCGCCCATGTCAATTTCCTTGGCAGCAGCTTCTGGCTGTTGTGGAATAAGTTCGATGGCTTCCTCAATGGTAGGCTTGGTTTCCAAAGCGCGTGGGGCCTCTTCCATCGGACTTGGCCGATCAGCGATTTCAGGAGTCTCCAATTCTCGAGATGGGGTATGCTCTCGAGGTTGCTCGCGTCCGTCGAAAATGGAGATGGACTCATTGAATCCCACCGAGGCCTCGGGAAGCAGTTGGATGTTCTCGGCAGGTGCCTCCTCAGTCAAGGGCACAGGTTCAGTCATTTGGATACCTCCACTCATCACTACTGAGCTGGAAGGCTCATCATCAGGCAGAGCGTCGGCGTTGCCCTTCTTGTTCTTCTTTTTCTTATCCTTCTTTGTGCGCTTTCCAACCGAACTATCCGGCCACGCATCCAAAGAGGGTACTTCCGGCTGAATCATAGAGGCATCGAGCGGGGTTTCAGAATCAAAAGGTTGTTCTCGGGTGTCTTCCGGCGCATAAGTGGGCAAGGGAAGGTTTGAAGCTTCAATTTGGGTCACCGACTTCATGTCTTGAAGCTCATTGAGGTGTTTGTCGGTCTGGACCTGGCCAAGCTGGTGTGGGTCGTTCAAGTCGTGGTCGTTCCCCAAACCGGGGTGTCCGGCTTCGGGGGGATTTTGGCTGACCGCCTCTTCAACGTCAAGCTGCATGGGTGTTGAAGTAGAGGCGAATTGAGCGGTCAGCTCGCCAGATTCCTCGACTTGTGCAGCGAGCTTAGCCTTTTGCTGCTGCTTCTTCTTCTTGGCCTTCTTGGACGTGGTTGCACCCCGCAAGTCATCCTCCTCTGTCTTTGCTGGGTCGGCCGCGGTCTCCACATTGGGCTCTTTAGAAGCTTCAGGCTCCTCTGCCCGAGTCGACTCATGAGCAGGCTCGCCAAATTCTCCCAGCTCCTTGGGAGGCTCAGTATCAAGTGGACGGTCAGCTTCAAAGTCATTTGTCGATGTCGTCTCAGCTAGCGTCCTTGGCTCAACTGCAGCTTCCGGCGCCGTTGCAAGCTCGGGATATGCGTTTGGCTCTGCAACAGATTCAAGCTTTGTGGCTGTCTCGGCTAATGCAGTTGCAGGTTCTAGCTCCCGTGCCGACTCAAATAGCTCAATCTCGGCCACTGCCTCTTTCACAGGTTCAGCTGGTTCCAAGTGGACATCAGCTTCGGGCTCCGTTATCGTCTCAGATTGCTCGGGGATGGCATCCAGTCCCTGGGGGACCTCATTCGATTCATGAGCATGTTCTGGCTCATTCGGTATCTCAGATAACTGAATCGACTCCACAGCAGACTCTGGCTCGAATGCAGGCTCAGCAGGCTCGCCTTCGGTAGCTTTGCCCTTCTTCTTTTTCTTTTTCTTGTCCTTCTTAGAAAGGCGGGGGCCTGGGAGTTCACCTTCCTGCTTCTCTGATCGAGGTTCAAGCTCCAGTCGAGAATTAAGTGTAGTTGCTTCAGCCTCTCGCGGAATGTGCAGCACATTTCGAGACCCGGATTCGTTTTCTGCCGTGGGCTCGACATCGAACTCAAGTTGGGAGTCGGGCTGAGCCTCAGCTTGAGGTTCCGGCTGAGATTCAGCCTCGGGTTCCACTGGAGGTTTGGTGACAGTTACTTCCGCCTCGTGTGCCATTGAGGGCTCCGTTGGAGACTCAGTCTGGGAGATCAAAAGTTCTTCTCCCAGAAGCTCGGCAACCGAGTCGAGAGTAGAAGATGGTTGATGTGCCTGCTCTTCAAGCTCCATTTCCTTTGATTTTGCCTTTGTCTTCTTTTTCTTCATCATGTCCTGCTTAGAAGTTCCGGTGCGTTGAGCGTGCACATCATCCTTCTGTTCCACCTCAAGCTGAGCTTTGACGTGCGGCTCAGACTCGGTAAGGGCAGATCTTTCAGCAACCAGAGGTGGGACTTCAAGAGCTTGCTCTGGCTCATCATGTTGAGATCCTTCGGTAGCAAGCGTTACTGCTTCTGGCGTTTCGACCAAGTCAACATCCTCTACTTTGTCTTCTCGGTTCTCCTCGGAAGGTCCAAGGCTCGCAGAGTCCCCTTCCTCCTTGGTGATGAGTTCAGGTTGGGATTCGGACTCAGTCTTGGGCTCCTCAGAAACAGCGAGCTCAGCAGCACGGTCCAAGTCGAATGGCAGCGTAGCTTCCTCAGTTGGCTGAGATGGCTCCTCAAGGTCAAAGGCGACAGATTTGCCCTTCTTCTTTTTCTTTTTCTTTTCCTTCTTGGAGAGGGGGGCATTCTGCTCATCTTCTTCCTTCCGCTCTGGCTCGGGTAAAATCTCGCGGTCGACCTCAGGTGTCGGAACAATCCCTGGAACTGGCTCGGGTCTTGTCTCTGTCTTCTCTGCGTTCTCAGGTTCAGCCTCAGGTGTACTTCCGGCCTCTGGAATCGCCTCAGCATAGAGGGAACTTTCAACCACCGGAGTAGTCTCTGACTGGACCTCTGAAACGACGTCTAATTCAGCCTCCCGAATGAGTTCACCCTCCGGTGTGTTTGTAAGCTCTGGGGCGAGCTCTGTCTCTACCGCGGGTTCAGCTCCTTGTGTTGATGTTGTCTCAGGTTCAGCGGTATCAACCTTGGTGTCCTCGAGTGGCCCAGATGTGAATTCATTGGGCGCTGTGTCTTTAGTAGGCTCAGGGGTTTCCACGGTATTAACGGCTGCAGCCTTGGCCGCCTTCTTCATCCTTTTTATCTCCTTCTTAGAGAGGCCAGCATATGGGTCGACAAGGTCTTGTGGCACGGTTGTAGCCTTAGGTGTGGCCTCGGCTTCGGGTTCAGGCTGAGCTTCAGGGACCACAGGCTCGAGGTTGTTCAGAGAATCGGAGGCGGGTTCAGTCGGTACTTCGGACTCTTCGAAAGCACCTGGCGACTTCTCTTGGTCAGGGTAAATGCTTCTAGAAAGACTGGAGCCAGGTTCGTCATCTTGCTGTGGCTCCTCAGGTGGCGGTTTGCTGTGGAGCGCTGCAGGCTCGGGTGCAGGATCAAGAACGGGTTCGAGAGAAGAATCAGGAGCGTTCTCTGGCGCAGGCTTTGGCGCAGGCTCTGGCGCAAGGTCGAGAGCGGCTTCAGGTTCATTGACAAGCTCTGCCCCTTCAAGGGAGGCGGAACTCGAGGCCTTGTTCTTCTTCTTTTTCTTCTTGCTCTTCGTAGACGTAGACTCTTTCGGCTCGTCCTCCTGTGCCTGCTCAGGCTCTGGTTCAAGTTGGCGCTCAGCTTCCAGTGCTGTTTCAATGGTAGGTTCGACAACGTCAACAGGCCTGGCAGGTTCAGAAATGTTAACGGACTCGACGATCTCAGCAGTCTTGACTTGTTCAACAGACTCTAGTGGCTCCACGACCTCCCCGGCTTCAGCGGACTCAGCGTCAGGCACTTGGACAGGCTCAGCCGGCTCATTACTTTTCGTCGGAATAGCCAGCTCAGAAAGACTAGTCTCAAGCGCGACCGAGTCCTCGGGTTCCAAGGGCCTTTCGGGTTCATCTAGAGAGTCAGCAGCGGAGCCCTTGCTCTTCTTTTTCTTCTTCTTCTTTTTGTCTTTCTTAGACAGAGTAAGATTATCTACCACCTCCTCTTTCTTCTCAGATTCTGGCTCGGGCTCCGCGATGACATCTTCCAGAGTACCAATAAGGTTCAGCTCATCAGCGCCCTCAGAACACGGTTCAGTGGACATTGCTGGCTCTGGTTCCAACCCGCGAGTGAGTTCGGGATCATTTTCCTCTGCAATCTGACCCTCCGGTTCGGGTACGAAAACCTCGGAGGTGGGCCCAGGGGCAACCATTGCGTCGGGTGCAGGAACGGTCATTGTATCTGTTTTTGTCTCGGCGGCGACTTCAGGATTGGTTTCATGGATATCTACTGTTCTCGGCGAAGGCTCGAAAACGTCAGTGGTAGCTTCAGGGACGAGTGTTGCCTCAAGTTGAGCAGTGTCAGTCGGCGCAGATTCGGGGCTTATATCAGCTGGTTTCGGCTGCTCAAGTTCCTGCGATGCCTCAAGGTCAACGCCCTTGCCCTTCTTCTTCTTCTTTCGCTTTTCCTTCTTCGTCAAGCCTCCGTTAGTATTGTCGTCATCTTTCCTCGTGGAGTTCGGTTCAGCCTCGGCGGCTACTTCAGGAGTGGGTGAGACCTCGATCTCGGCTTCTGGTACGTTGGCCACATCCGGGGGAGGGTGTGTCTGCTCGCTGAGCTCCTTGGGTGTGTCCTGTGCCTCTACTTCGGGTTTCGTGTCCAGTTCAGTATCACGCCCAGCCGCAGGACCGATGGCCACAGCCTTGAGCTCGCTAGGTTCAAGACCAAGCTCAGCGGCTTCTTGCGCAGATTCGGCGGGCTCTTGCGTAGGCTCAACCACAGCTTCGGTGGATGGCTCAACAGGGATCTCATCTACCGGTCCTGCAGAGTCGGCCTCTTTCGGGGCCTGAATGTCTTGTGGTGATTCAGTCTCAGCGTCTTGACCCTTGCTCTTCTTCTTTTTCTTTTTCTTGTCATTCTTTGGCAGGGCAAGGGCGACTTCGTCCACGTTTTGCTCGACGGGTTCTATCTCGAATTCGACAGTGACCGTCTCCTCAGTCGCGACGATCGACTGCGCTGAAGTGGTGGTTTCGATAGGTTCGCCAGGCGTCTCGGCAGGCGTTGGCAAGGTCTTGGGGTCAGACTTCGGTTCGGTTTCGATCTCAGGTTCAGCTGTAGGTTCAGTAGATTCGGCCTCGACATTGGGCTTTTCTCCAGCCACAAGTTCTGGCTCAAGGGCATCAGAAACGCTCCGGTCCACCAGTTCATTCTCATGCGCAAGTTTGGATTCAGTTTCCAGGTTAGGATCAGCTGCGGGTTCGGCAACAAGCGGCTCAACCACAGATGATTGAGTCTCGGGGTCGACCAGATGTTGAGTCTCAGTTTCGGGCTTTGATTCAGCTTCAGTCTCGGGCTCAACTATAGGTACAGTCTCGGGTTCAAGTCCAACCGTGGAGGTTGTCTCATTCTCAAGCTTCGATCCAGAATCGATGTCCGGCTCGGCGGTCGACTCGGCAGCCGGTTCAGTCTCGGGCTCGGGCTTCGATTCAGGCTCGGTGTTGGGTTCAGCCACAGATTCCGTCGGTACCTCAGAGGTGGCCTCGGGTTCTTTTGGCGTCTCCGGCTCGACTGAGGACTCCAAGGCAGCCAATGCCTTGGCCCTCATCATCTTCTTCTTCTGCTTTTTGGACAGGCCAGCATATTCATCGTCATTTTCCTGCTTCTCTGTTTCCTCCGGCTTTGCCTCAGACTCAACAGGTGTCTCGAGGTCGATGACAGGTTCCTTCCCCTTCTCTTCCTTGTCCTTTTCAGAAAGTCCCAGGTTCCCAGCATCAGCGTCGGCCGCGGCGTTTGCGTCCTTTTCCAGTTCCGGTTCCGGTTGCGGTAGAGGGTTGGTCTTGGGGTCCTGCAGGATTTGAGAATCGTTGTCTTTAGCCTTCTTGATCTTTTTGTCCGTATTGGACATCTTCGGACTGAACCCACCCCGCTCGTCTTCAGGATTAGCATCTGGCTCCAAGCTGGATGCAGGCGGCTCTCCAGTTTCATTGGATTCCACCAAAGTAGATACGTCGGCCGGTGCCGTGGTTTCGGCCTCGGGGACTGGCTCCGCGGCAGGGGTTTCCGTCGTCTCGGTCTCCGGCGGAGTATCTTCGCTAGGATGCGCAGCCTTGTCGACGACTGAATCGGCCGCTTCGGTTGCAGGTCCAGCGCTGGTCTCTTCAGACGGAGTAGCAACTCCAGACTCAGGCTCCGTAGTCTCCTCGAGTGCAGCCTTCTTCTTCTTCTTTTTCTTTTCCTTCTTGGACTTTTTAGTGGGAAGGGACTCGGGATCCTCGGCGGAGGGGACCGGTGGTTCAGCGGGAGGTTGTTCGGAGGCAGACGCATCGGGGGCATCGGCAGCCGGAGCATCTACTGGATCCTGGACGGGTGGGGTTTCTAGGAGGGTTTGGACATCAGCCGGCTTTGTCTGCTCATCATTTTCTGGGGCAATTTCGGGGATCTTCTCCGGATCCAGGGGAGTTGTGGATTCGTCAGTAGGGGGGAGAGCCTCGATGGGCTCTTCACTGCCCTTATCCAGCACGTCGAGACCATTTGGGGAGGCTTCATCCTTGGCAAGATCCGTGGTGCCATTGAGATCAATTTCTCGGGGGGCCGAATCAGAAGGCTCCTGAGATACAGGCTCGCCCTCCGGCAGTTTCTCGCCGTCGTCGAGGGAGAGAGAGTTCTTCTTCTTTTTCTTCTTGTTCTTCTTTCCCTTCTTGGGAGTCTCAGGTTCGGCCTCTGGCTCAACGGGAGCTATTTCTGCTAGTGACTCGGATTCGGCAGGTGGAGGGTTCTCAGGATTTTCCTCTACCGGGGGTGAGACAACCACTTCTTCCTGGACAGGCAGTTCTGCCTCAGTGGCTACCGCAATTTCATCGAGCAGCTTCGGTTCTTGAGTGAGAGACGCTTCCGTGAGGAGCTCTTCAGTGATAGGCTCTTGAGTGGGAAAGTCTTCTGTTGCGAGCTCTTGAGTGGGAAGTTCCTCAGTGATAGGCTCTTGAGTACGAGGTTCGTCTGTGACGGGCTCTTGTACGGGAGAATCATCCTTGACAAGCTCTTCAGTGATAGGCTCTTGAGTGGGAAGTTCTTCTGTTGCGAGCTCTTGAGTGGGAAGTTCCTCAGTGATAGGCTCTTGAGTGCGAGGTTCTTCTGTGACGGGCTCTTGTGCGAGTGACGCCTGCTTGATGGCCTCTTCAGTAATGGGTTCTTGGGTGAGAAGTTCTTCTGTCACGTGCTCTTGAGTAAGAGGCTCCTCCTTGGCAGGCTCTTGGGTGAGAGGTTCTTGGGTGAGAGAAGATTGTGCAGAATTCTCAAGTGGTGAATCCTGGAGTGTGTCTGGTTCGGTGAGGGACACAGACTTGGTCTTCTTTTTCTTCTTCTTGGATTTCTTTCCGCTCATCGGCGCGCTCTCTTCATCGGCGGGGACCTCCTGCACCTCTGAGATCTCAGCATCACGAGTTACCTCAGTAGAATCATCCACAACAGGACCATCAGACGGCTTATCAACTCCAGAGTCCTCAGTAACTTGGGCGGGGTCAACTGGCGTGTCCCCAACCTGGATCTCATCGGTTGGCGGGATTTCACCGAGGTCGGGGGTTTCCTGAGGAGTCTCGAAGATAGGGGCCTCTAGAGGTTTATCGACACTAGATTCCTCGACAGGCTCAATTGGCTGAACAGAAATCTCCTCAGGCTTGGGCTCTTCAGCAGGAGTTTCGGAAGGCTCCTCAGCGGATTCAGCAGGGCCAGGTGATGGCTCCTCGGCTTTAGGCTCCTCGGTGACTTCTTCTTGAGCAGCCTGGTTCTTCTTCTTCTTCTTGTTCTTCTTGGCCTTCTTCTTCGAGGTTCCGTCTGTTGGTTCAGTTGTCTCAGTTGCCGGGGACTCAAGTGCCTGGGTCTCAACATCCTCAATGGCACTAGCAGGCTCATCACTGGTAGGAATGTCCCGCGTGACATCGTCGAGAACAAGAGAGGACTCCTCAGGTTGGGTAGACTCGAGGTCAATCGATGTTGCTTGGGAATCCTCTACTGGAGCATCGTTTTGGGAGAAGAGTGGTTCGGAAACATAAGACTCCAGAGTGGGAGGAGGCTCATTCACCGTCAGTACGTCGTCGGCCTCCGGTAGAACATCGGTCTTGCTCGCAGCCTGGTCGAGTTCTTCAATATTCTCTGGAGTTTCAGTTCCAATGTCCCAGGCGGAGAGAGCGTCGTCTGAGAGGTCTGCCCCAGGTTGTTCGTCAAAACTCTTCTTGGTGTCGGGTTCAAGCGCCTCCGTGGCTAGAGTTGCGTCCTTCTCAAGCTCCTGGGAACCTTCGAGAACAGAGGGGGTGTCATCAGCATCAACGGACTGATCGTTGCCTTCCGAAGGTGGAGTCGGGGTGGTGTCCTCCTGAGCAGCAGCAAGGGGAGTGGAAGTCTCTTCTGGCTCCCAATGGACTGACTTTCTCTTCTTCTTTTTCTTGCCCTTCGGGGGTTCAGCGGTCTCTTGATCAATCGCAATCTCGGGCTCGGGCTCGGTTGCTAATACTTCAGGTGAAGGTCCATCCACTGGGAGGGATTCCGTGACCGATTCAGGCATATCCTTGGTACCATCGGTATCACCAGACTGTTCCACTTCTTCAGACATGATCGGCAAGGGCTCTTCGGATGGCATAGAGGTTTCCAGAGTCTCAGGAGGCGCAGGGTCTTCAGATTGTGCACCCTTCTTCTTCTTCTTTTTCTTCTTTGACTTTGACGGGGACTCCGATGTCTCGACTAGAATGGGCTCCACGACAGACTCCGGAAGGGGCTCTTCAACAGGCTCGGCAGTAGGTTCGGGAGCATGCTCAGCGACTGGCTCGACGACGGGTTCCACAGCTTCGATAACAGGCTCTGAAACGGGCTCTAGAGCAGGTTCAAGAACTGGCTCGACGACCGACTCGACGACCGGCTCAACGGCCGGCTCAACAGCAGATTCAGGAGTGGACTCGACCACTGGCTCGACAGCAGGCTCGACAGTAGGGTCGACAGTAGTCTCGACAGCAGGTTCAGGAGTAGACTCAACCACTGGCTCGACAGCAGATTCAGGAGCAGGCTCGACCACTGGCTCGACAACCGGCTCCGAAACGGACTCGACGACGGGTTCCACAGCTTCGATAACAGGCTCTGAAACGGGCTCTATGGCAGGTTCAGGAACTGGCTCGACGACCGGCTCAACAGCTGGCTCGACAGCAGATTCAGGAGCAGACTCGACGACTGGCTCGACAGCAGATTCAGGAGTGGACTCGACAGCAGGCTCGACAGCGGGTTCAGGAGTAGACTCAACGACTGGCTCGACAACTGGCTCCGAAACGGGCTCGACGACAGCTTCCGAAACAGGCTCGGCAGTAGGTTCAGGAGCACGTTCAGCGACTAGCTCAGGCGTAGCTTCAGGGGCATATGCCTCAACTTCGGGAACATATGTATCTGCCGAGAGAACATCACTTTGTGTGGAAGAGTTGATTGGTGTTTGAGCTGCATCTTCCAAGCTGGGCTTGGGGTCAACGACTGCAAGTTCCGTCTGTACTCGCTCTTCTTCCACTGCGGCTGCTGCCTTGCTCTTCTTCTTCTTTTTCTTGCTCTTCTTGGATTGGGGCTGCGTAGTGTCCGCCTCGACCACGTCTGTGCTTAGCTCGCGAGAGGCCGCGGCTGCGTCCTCGGTTGGGAGAGCATCAAAAGATGTTGTAATAGGAAGATCCGGGCTAGGTGTCACTGCCTCGGGCTCAACCACGGCGTCCAGACTTCTGTCAGTTGTGAGAGCCTCAGAAGGTGTCGTATCAGGCTCCTGAACATCAAGGCCGACTGTCTCAGGCTCGACTATGGCGTCCAGACTTGTATCGGTTGCAAGGACGTCTGGCTCCTGTTCGGCAGGCTCCGCCTCATCCAAAGCCTCGGCCAAGGGCTCCTCAGAGTCAACAGTGGTAGAAACGACCTTTTCCAGAGACTCAGGCTCCGTTGAAGGAACCTCTACAGGCTCCTCCACGACAGAGCTTAGCTGTTCCTCGGTCTTCTCGAGCTCGGTGGGCACGTCCTTCAAAGCAGGTTCCTTAGTAGAAATCGACTCCTCGCCCTCGCGAGCCTTGACATCGTTGGGATCCTCTTCAGCTAGCGCAGGGGGCTCTGCAGGGTCAGTGAATACCAGTTCCAGACCCTTCTTCTTGAGAGCCTTCTTGATCTTCTTCCTGTCCTTTGCTGCCAGACTTTCCCATGCCTCTTTCGTGTATTCGTTCTCAGCGGGTTCGGGAGCCGCTTGAGGCATGGGCTCAGTGGCGGGTTCAACAGCAGCCTCAGCAGGTTCAGAAACAAGCTCAACGGGAGGTTCAATGCTAGCCTCAGCAACAACTTCGGGGACGAACTGGCTAACAGGTCCAGTGACCAGCTCAGAGGTATGTTCCATGAGAGGTTCGGCGACAGGCTTGGGAACAGCCTCGGTGATAGTTTCGGGTATCACGTCCGTAGTAGGCTCAGGAATGATCTCTCGAGCAAGTTCCTCAGTCACAGGTTCGTTCTCCAGTACCGTCGGGATGTCGGCAACAGTCTCGGTGTTGGCCTCAGGAACAACTTCTCCGGCGATGTCCTCACCTACAGGCTCCTTCACAGTCTCAGTAACAGCTTCAACCAGGGGCTCGGCGGGTTCGTCAGCGGCCTCGGCGATAGGCTCAAGAACGACTTGTCGGGCAGTGTCCTCGCCTGCAGGCTCCTTTGCAGTCTCAGCGGTAGCTTCAACTAGGGGCTCGGCAGGTTCGGCAACGGTTTTGATGATGGGTTCAGGGGTGACAACGCGGCCGACTTCCTCAATCACAGGCTCCGATATAGGCTTAGCAACAGGCTCAGCACTGGGATCCGGGAGGAGACGGCTGAAGCTGTTCCGGAGCCAATTGAAAGGAGTCACCTTCTTGGCAAACTGCTCCTTGGTGTTTGGGGCTTCACGAGGGGCGGAGAGCGGTTCCTCAGGATCTGGGTCCTCTGAGCCACCTCCCACAACGTCTGGGATATGCTCGTCCACGGAGGTCAAGTCGTCTAGATCATCATGTAGGTCGTCATCATCGGGGCCATTCTGTCTGGTTGGCGTGGTCTCAATCGAGCTTGTTGGGAGGGCGGTGTTGTCGACTGCTCTGAAGGAGGGTGGAGTGAAGTTGCGGAAATAAGAACTTCGGATATTGGTCATAGCCTCAACGGGCTTTGACTCCGGCCTCTCGGTCGATGACTGTTGCGGAACATCCTTGGCCAGCTCATCTGTGAGGACTGGCTCACGAGAAGGCTCGGGCTCCTTGGTCAATGACTCTTGGAGAACATCCTGAGGCAGTTCCGCTGTGACCAGCTCACGAGAAGGCTCGGGCCCCTCGATCAATGACTCCTGGGGAGCATCCTTGGGCAGCTCGTCTGCAATGACTAGCTTGGGAGAAGTCATAGGCTCCGTAACCTCCAGAGGTGGCTCATCTGCAAGGGCTAGTTCGCGGGAAGCCTCAGGCTTGATGGCCGCCATGGGGAGTTCAGCTGTATGAACTAGCTCAGGAGAAGCCACAGGTCCCTCGATCAATAACTCTTGGGGAACATCATTGGGCACCTCGTCTGCGCTGACTAGCTTGGGAGAAGCCTTAGGCCCTTGAGCCTCCACGGACGGCTCATCTGCAAGGGTTAACTTGCGAGAAGAGTCAGACTTGATGGCCTCCATGAGCGGCTCATCTGCGAGTAATGGCTGACGAGAAGGCTCAGTCTCCTCGGTTGAGAGCTCTTGAGTATCAGCGGGCTGGTCATCACTAGCAACAAGCTTATGAGAAGATTCGGGCTCAATAGCCTCCATAGGTAGCTCATCTGCAACGACTAGTTCGCGAGAAGACTCAGGCTCTTGGGGGACTTCCACAGGCTGCTCATCTGCGAAGACGAATTTGTGGGAAGGCTCGGGCTGAATAGCCACCATGTGGGGTTCATCTGCGAGGACTAGTTCTCGGGAAGACTCAGACTCTTGGGGAACATCCCAGGGTGCCTCATCCGTCAGGACTAGCTCGCGAGAATACTGGTGATCAAAAGCCTCCATGGGTGCTAGAACTGGGAACTCCGGCCGAAACTCAGCACGGGGAGTTGATTCCCCTGATCCTGCGTCCTCATCACTTGGCATGGTTGGGAGATTCGTGTCAATTTGCAGGTGAGGATCTGCGAAATGAAGAGCTTCAAGGCCAGGGCCGAAGTAATCAGAATTACGATGAGACTCGGGCTCAGGTGAGTCCCGCTCGCTTGCTTCTGAATCTCGCTCACTGGCTTCACTTGGGGGGAGCTCTGGAAGCTCAGCTTCGTCCAAAGGCGGGATGTTGCGGGAGTGCTCGACAAGGTACAGCGGCTTGAATTCGCGGCTGCTGTCCCAAGAGGTGGGGCGGGCTGCACGCCTCGAAGAGCTGGGAGAGTAGTCGGCGGCAGTGGTAACCGGAGAGCCAGCAGGTGGTGAGGACCTGTAGCCGATAGGAGATTGGGGGCTTGAGCGATTGGCAAGACGGAGTTGGATGGGGATCGCAGTATGACTAGGCGACTTTGTCGGTAAGTCATGGCTGCGACGTCGTTGGTGTGTCATAACCTCACGCTTGAAGGCGCGTAGCTCGGGTGGGGTGTCTGGTCGACTGTCGGGAAGAGAGGGCAGCTCTCCGGGTGAAGAGTAGGGGCTCCCAGGTTCGCTGGGGGGGAGGGGAAGAAGGTCGCCATATTGGGGGTCAATGGCGGGTTTGATGGCTCGGGGAGCAACCTCGGGGTCGAAGGTATCAAAACTTCTGACACGGCGGATATCGCCGAAGGCATTATGCTCCTGGTCCGACAGAGGCTCTGAGGCGTTCAAGTTGGCAACGACAGTCGCCGCAGCCGCCAGGCCGACACCCGCGCCAAGGGTGTCGGCATTATCTAAAAAAGAATCCCGCTTCCCGTCCTTATTGCCGTTGGATTTGAAGAGACTGGAGAAGACACCACTGGACCTCTTCTCTGGGTCCTTGCGGTCTCTGTGATCCCTGCTCCGGCGAGAAGAGCCAGAGCCGGGGGCAGACACGATAGATTTGATGTCGTCATCGTCGAACCGCGAAGGCTTGCTGCGTCGATGTCCTCTATCTCGATGACGGTCATCGCCACGAGATTCGGACACGACAGAGCTGACATCACGGTCATCAAAGTGTTCTCGTCTGCGGTCAGTAGGGCTGCCACGGTACCCATAGACATCCTCTTCGGTTCCGCTCCTTCGCTTCTCCTTCTTGCTTCTGCGGCTGCTGGAACTACCGATGGAGATTTCTGAGGGCGCTACCGAGCGTGGAGGAGAGTCGTAGGTTGCAGAATCGCGCTTCGATTTCGACCTACTCGACTTCCTCGGGGTTTCCCACTCATCATCGGACTTGATGTCTCTCGACGAGCTCTTCCTCGACGAGTGTCGTTCGTAGGTGCCTACAAGAGCAGAGACACGAGACCCGTCGTCATTATAATACTCTCGGTCCTTGTGGTGCCTCTTAGGCTTCGGGGGGGCATCCCACTCATCATCAGACCGCGCATCTCTTGATGGGACAGTTCTCGACGAATGTCTGCGGTGCGAGGAATCAATGGGAGCAGACACCTGTGAGGCATCCCAATCATCATCACGGCTTCTCCTGTGTTTGGACTTTCGTGAGCCATCTCGCTCATTATCGCGTCTGGATTCCCGAGATCGGGACCGTGATCGACTATCCTTGGCCAGCTCATGGCCGACAAACGCGAGCGCGCCAAGAGCAGCGACCGGTGCAACGAATCGGGTCATATCGCCACTATCGGAACCGCGCCTTCGCTTGTCGTGCTTGGGAGCATCCCACTCGTCGTCAGATCTCGCGTCTCTGGATGAGTATTCACGAGGGGAATGTCGGCCACGGTGGGACCCGATAGGGGCGGAGACTCTGGAGACCTCATCGTCATCGTAGTCACGACTTCGGTGGTGTTTCTTGGACCTCTGTCGACCAACGTCCTCCCAGAACATTTCCTTGACCTCCTCCCGGGGTTGCACAGGTTCAGGGTCCATGACGCGGCTTACACCCTCGTCTTGAACTACCACGACCTTGTCACGCCTGCGCTGTTCCCTCTTGGTTTGTCTCGGGGGGGATACATCGTCGACGCGGGCGGCAACTTCATCGCTCGGCGAGCCTGGGATCTCGGACGGTTGCGCACCAGCAAGGTAATCAAAAGGCTGCTCTCGTTCGGAATCTGTTGGAGCACTTATGCTCTCCTGAGGAGTCTCGACCTCGCCTAGAATAAACCCAGATTCAGGTGCTTGTTTCGACACAGGGATTCCGGCAAAGCCGGCAACGGTCTCGGAGTAAGGCTTCTTGTACCAGTTGTCACCGTTTGCATCTTGCACTCCTGGAGGAGATTCTCGTCGGGCAAAGGAAGGATCTTCGATAACCATGTCGGGGTCAAATCCAGTGTCCTTCAAGCCAGCGGCCACGGTAGCTGTGAACTCGATGTCATCCGCATAACCACCAGGCATGCGCTCCGTCATTGGGCTGGTAGGTTTCGGGCCAGGAATCGGGGGCTCTTGGCTAGCGTCGTCGGCGTAAATTTGAGCGGAGTGCACAGGGACATCTCGAGTCTCATGGGGTAAACTTCTAGCGAGTTCTTGATCGTCGACAGAAGGGAGCTCGATTTCCGGTTCATTGACAGGCTCCTTAGAGCTAACGGCCATCGCGGCTGCGATAGCACCCCATCGGTGGGCCTTGTTCAGACGAGGGCGAGGCTTGTCAGAAGACTCCGATCGGACGTAGCCCTCGGAGTCACTTCTGCCATCGGGGCTCTCGACCTCGAAGCTTTTGGTCTGGTTCTCCCCCCAACTGACAGACTTGGAAGAGGGGATTGCATACATGACTTCGCCCTTGGGTCCGATGATGACATCGTCCACTTCAGGCTTCGAAGTTGGCTCTGCAACGTCTCTTGTTGTCTCTTCAACTTCCCTGGTTGTCTCTTCAACTTCCTTGGTCGTCTCTTCAACTTCCCTTGTTGTCTCCCGCGCATCCGGGATCGGTGAAGGCTCACGGCTATGAACTGGCGTGGGATAAACCAAGTTGAGAACAGGACGCTCTCGCTCTGCAGAGGGATCTCTTGATTGAAATCTCGGGGTATCGAGGTCCCTTGACGAAATGCGGAACCGGTTTTCCTCGTTGGGGAAGATTTTATTGTCGATTCTCACATCCGCATCAGGTCCATCGTAGAGACTCTTCTTTGGATCCTTGTCCTCCAGATCCGGGGGCGTGACAATAGTGAAGGTTTCGACAGAAGTGTCTCGCCACTTATCCACAACGGAGGGTTCTGGAGAGGTACTGCGAGAGCGGATCTCGTCAGAGGCAATCTTCCGCGCGATCACTGACTCGCGGTAATACTTGTCCGCTTCGTCTTGGACAGCATCTCTTGGTCGAGAGTTGTCACGGGAGCTGTCCTCCGAAGACTTGCCCCTGCGCTGCTCTCTTGCACGATCCTCCTCGACGGCGATGGCAGACGCCATTGCAGCTGCTGCCACTGGGATAGTGGCGCGCTTCGCTTGGTCGTAGATGGACATTGCTTGGTGCTGTTCCTCTTCGTATTCATGACCTTCTCGAGGATCCCTGTACCGAGATACGTCCTGTGTTCCCTGTCGGTAGTCCTCGACCATCTTCTCAATCTCATACGAGTCTTTGCGGCTCAGTCGAGCATCTACCGCCGAAGTTCTCGGTGGTGAGTCGTCGAAGGTGGGTTCACGCTCCACTGTGACGACCGTGGGCGTAAGCGGTCGTTGGGGAGTGGTGAATTTTGGTGTCATAAAAGCATCATCAGCAACCTGGTATTGGAACGGGTCGACTACCACACTCGTAATCGATTGCGTGGGCTGCGTGGGCTGCGTGGGTTGGCTTGATCCCGTAACAACTTGTTGGCCTGCCATGGTTGACGGGGGGAGCTCTCGTCGCTCGTCGCGCGCATCGTACTTGCGACTCTCGACGCGTGTCTCCGGTTCATAATCGACTGTGATCTCCTCCCCATGGCGTATGTGGGACACCGGGTCCCGGTGGGGTATAATTACAACGGCCGTCTCCTTATCCTTTCTCTTTCTAAGGGTATCGTCATAATCATCAAATCTTGAAGACCCCTTGGGGTCTCGGTCATCAGCATACTTGGAGGGTTGAGAGTCTCGGTCATCGGCAGGCTTGGAGGGTCCAGGGTCTCGCTTGGACCTGCGAAGCTCCTTTTCCTGTTGCCGTTGTTGACGCTCTTCGTCTCGTTCCCGACGCTTCGAGGCCTGGTACCCCTCCTCGTCCCGATAGCGTCGGTTCTCAAGGTCCCGTTTCTCTTCCACTCGGGTTTCACGTCGCTCTCGCTTCGAGTCCTGGTACACCTCCTCATCCCGGTGGCGTCGGTCCTCAAGGTCCCGCTTCTCTTCCACTCGGGCTTCACGTCGCTCTCGCTTCTCCTCCTTGCGAGAAGACGAAGATGCAACTGCAGTTCCGATGGCAGCAGCGGCGAGGCCAACCGCAGCAGCCTCACCCCAATGACTCTTATCGTCAGATTCTTGACGAGAATGGCGAGAATCCTTGCGGGTGACGTCCTCAAACTTCTCGGCGTTGTACACCTTTGAAGACACAGGCGCCTTGGGGATGGGTTGCTGCAGCGGGACGGGGGCGGGTCGCGCGTGGTGAGGGAAGTCTTGGCGGGATGAGATGGAGGTTCGGTTTGCATCAAACCTCGTAGTCTCGGGAGGGGGGACTGGGTAGATGGGCCGCTCATTCGTGATGGGGGCCGATGAGCGGTACTGAGGTTGTGCTAGATCCCCAAAGCCACATGGGGTATTGATCATCCCACGCAACGAGTTGTAGGGACCAAAGAGGCGAGGGTCAACGACAGAGCTCTTCTGGCCGTAGTCCCGGTAGGCTGAAGGAGAGTCTGTGCTAGGACGATAGGCAGAGATGGCAGTAGCAGCGGCTGCGGTCGCGGTTGCAGCAGCGGCTACTCCGGCAGGCTTGATGGCCTGTGAGACAGCATTGCCACCGCCGTATGCGAGCACTGAGCCGTCACTGCTAGAGGACTCGTCGTCTGACGCATCCTCCCAGTCAGATTCGTCGTCGGAAGAGTTGCGATGGGGTTTTGAGCTGCCCAGTCCGCGGCTGTTATCTTGCTTTTGGCGACCGTATTTGGATGCCATCATAGATGCTCCAACTGCACCAGCCGCGCCAAGCGCAAGGGCCTTGCCTCGGCCAGAGTGGCGATTTTCCTCTTCATTCTTCTGCCGCCTCGCCAGGTCAGTCAACTGACGACCAAGATTCATAATTTCGGCATCTGGATCCCGTTTGTGCCTCGCTGGCTGCTGCTGTTCACGCTCCCGCCTTGGAGGGAGCTGTTGCGGCGCGTCAGCCCTTCGGAATTCTTGTGAGGCCCTCCGACTCCGGGGGCTAAAGCTGCGGCTCTTGGTTCCTTTGATGTATCCAGCGCCGTAGGCCATGTCGGAATTGACCGAGGACGAGGACGAGTTGCCAAAGTAAAGAACGCGCCGCTTTTTCTTGGCGCGGCGACGCTGCCGGTTGTTCTCCGAAGGGGCGCGAAAAAAGGTGCCAAAGATGCCGCCGAATTGCTTCGTGTCCTTGTACCGTGAGATGTCCAGCAGGGATGAGTCGCTGGAGCTGGTGAATGAGAATGTCGGGGAGGGAGTTCGCGCGCGGCGTGCTTCTTCGGGGGGTGGCGGCGGCTGGTTGTAGGCAGGCATCGCGGGCGGGGGCGGCGGCCCTTCTGTGTATGGTTGACGCGGGTCTCGAGGATCATACCGCCGTCGCCGGTCGCCCTCCGGGCTCCGGGCGCGGTTTCCTCGCATCATGGTGCCGTTCTATCGGCGTGTCGATTGCGTTTGTGGTGTTTTGCTGGAGTTTGTTTTGGCCGTCGGGTTCAGCTCTCATAGGGACCCCGTCGTCCCGGCCCGCTAAACAGGCGGTGGCTGGGGTGGTCCTACCCGACACTGGCGCTAGGCCCCGTCGTTGGCTCGAGATTCGAATTGGGTGGGGCTGAGATTGGATCTGCCGCTGGGTGCTGATGAGCCTGGGAGGCCTGGGCGCCTAGCCAGAAAAAATAGACGGCCCTGTGATCCAGAGCTTCGGACGAGGGCTGATCGTTTCGCGACGACCACAGGGGTGGGATTGCCTATTCAGTGGGCGAGAAAGCAATGGTATGGGTATGCTGCGTGGGTAGTAAGAGGGAGGCCGCCAAGGATGTTCTGATATAGTCGATAGCACGACGCTCACATGCCGTCAGGCCGCCACACATTGGTCCAGCGGATGCGTCATCTCCACTCATTGCCAGCTGGCAGTCACATGCGAGGACACGTGCCATGGTCGCTTTCTGGGCCGCAGCTTATCACCAGCCTACCAGCCTCTCAGCCTGCGTGCTGCGACTTGGGTGGCTACACGTTGATCGTCCCTTACCCTAGACCTTCTGAGTCGGCGCGACGAGCCCCAGGAATCGTGTGGTTTTAATGCTGTCCTTTCGAAACGTCGTGCCTCTCGAAGACGTGTCTTGGTACCTCTCATAAAGTTGCGGATTATACCGATAGTTTGTTTCGTTCATTGGGTCCATCCGCCTATTCGGCGTTAGTCAACCATCCACACGAAGGAACTTAAAGACAACTGGAATGCAGCTCACGGGATACAATAAGCCATCATGGAAGCCCAACTGATTAAGTAGATAAGGTGCCCAAGGTCTTCATTGCCCAACAAACTCCGCCATCCATGTAAAATCCCAACCCAACCACACGGTTACAACGAACCCCATTACCATACATGAGCCCCAGCTGCTGGTCCAGTAGGGCAAAACCAGAATGGCGCGCATCAATATCCACTTACAACCTTAACCTTGACGTGCATCCCCTTGGCGGGCCTTGCCGTCACACCACCCCTTATATCAAGCTTCTTCTCGTCTGCGAGTGCTGGATCCGCGAGGGCAAAGTCGAAGCGGCCGATCCACGACGCCAACAGACAGGCAAATTCAGCCTTGGCGAAGCTCTGACCGATGCAGCTTCGCGGGCCGTGTAGGAATGTCAGGAACGCGTAGTTGCTGCTGGCGCCTCCGCTTGCGGCTCTCTTGTCGGCCCCTTCGCCGCCCGATGGCATCCACCGCTCCGGGTCGAAGTGTTCGGCGTCGGGACCCCAGAGCGAGCTGTCGAAGTTCGTGGCCCAAGGGACAAGCATGATACGGGTGCCTCGGCGGACTGGGTGGCCCAGAATAGTCGTATCGTGGACCGTCTCGCGGACCGTGACCGGCACGGGGCTGTAGTAGCGGAGGACTTCGTTGCAGACGGCGTTGAGGTAGGGCATGCGGTCGATGTCGAGACTGGTGATGTCGACATCTGAATCAACAGACGGCAATCTCTCGCGAATCTCTTCTCGCAGTCGGCTCTGGACCCCAGGATATCGACACAACAAATAGATGGCCCACGTCATGGCCGATGCAGTCGTCTCATGCCCGGCAGCGAGGAAGGTCATGAGCTGATCGACGAGATTCTCATCCGAGAAGCCGCCGCTCTCAAGAGCCACAGAGAGAATGTCGACATCGGGCTGTTCCTTGTTGGTGATATTGGCCTTCTTCTGCTGGATGAGATCTCGGCACACGGCGCGAATCTCGTTGGCGGCCGCGTTGATATCCTCGTTGCGACGCACCGGTAGCGCACTGAGGAGCCGAGTGGGGACAAAGAAGCCGAGCACGGCCAGAATCTGAGCCTGTCTAGACGGCTTGAAGACCTTCGAATAGGTTTTGGCGAGAAGACTGTTCTCGTCGCGGATTGCGCCAAAATCGGACCCCATGCCCGCGACGCCGATAATGTCTAGCGTTGCTCGCGACGCCCACGACATGACTTCCACGTCGGCCTCGCCCTGGGTTCCAAACTCAGCCGTCATGGCCTGCGTTGCCTCGCGGGCCTTTTTCCAGAAGACAGGATACAGGTTCTTGACGTGTCGAAAGGCAAAGGCTGGCGTCAAGCTGCGTCGCTGCATCTTGTGCTCCTCGCCTTCGGCTAGCAGCACGCCGACGCCGAGAATGCGACCGAGCGACCATCTGACCTGGGACGGCTTCGCAAATGCGTAGTTGTTGGTGACCAGCACCTCGGCCAATGCCTTTGGCGACGCAATTAGGAGACGCTCCTGGTTGAGAAGACCACGATACCGGATGAGACCGTCATGTGGGATCTCATTTATCCTACCCCTCGCGTCAATCCTGAGTACTTGGCCAACGCAGTAGCAGCGCACTGAGACTTACCACTCTCGCATTGGAATACCCGAAGGTTCAGCAAAAATCCTCTTGCCCTGACCAAAGAGCCAGTGGTTGCCCGTGGGCTCGGGGAGATGGCGCAGCGGCGAAACAAATATAGGATACACCCACAAGGACCAGGTCACCCAGATCATCAGCCCAGCAATCCACAGCATGGGAAAGCACCCAAGCAGCGACCACCTAGTCCATTTGTCCTGGGCCCAGGCGATCAGCAAGGTGCTCGCGAAGGCGCCCCCCGTGATATTCTCCCAGGGAAACGCCATGGCGGACTGTTCTTCGACTTGGGGGAGGGTTTGGGAGAGTTGAGATTAGAGAGTTGCAACACGAAACACGGGCGACAGCAGAAGGGTGTAGCCAAGATCTCAATGGTGCCGGAGGATGGCACGGGGCGTCTCGACTTTAAGCGAATCGCCCACCTTGGACGTGCGCAGATTCGAGTATACCCGGGAGACGACTGATGTTTGAGAGTCTCGTAGGGCTTCAACCATCAGCCGGAGGGTTTCATATCGGCCACGAGAGTCCGATCGGTCGTCAAGATTCGCCGCCCCAACGGACTCTTTCATCGCAATCCAAAACCCCGGTCCGCGGGCACCTTGCACTGCACCAATGAGGCCTGGCCGATCTGATGCGCTAACTGGAATCGGTCCTCCATTCGAGGTGCAGCTCAGTGAATGCGGAGTGGCCTGGAGCGGAGTGCGGACTTTTGGCTTGGTCGTGAATGCATATCGAGTTAATTATGGATTCTGGAGTGGATGTGTTTCTTCTTGTGTTGTGCAATTATCGCTAATTACGCTCCTGTAATAGGACAGATAGCTGTCTCCCCGTGCCAGGGGTGTTGTGGTTGATCCCACCAAATCCTCGCAAAAAAGTCCCTTGTGCAATTTCCATCAAGTCTTGCCTTAGCTCTGCTTGCCAAATCCAACGCCGTACCATGAACCCTCCGAATCCCTACCTTAAAGTGCCATATGTGCTCTACCCCGCAATCCGTCCTTGTCATCAAATCGAATTCGCTCCTGTCCGGTACGTAGATTCGTGGCCTCTGGCCTGAGAGACGTAATAGCCTCCGATCCTCCGCACAGTCTCCTGGACAGTCTCATAAAACGCCAGGGAATACGTCACCAGCACTCACGTGGTGCAAAGGCGCCACTCGCCTGTCGAGTTGCCCCCCATCCGCACATCGTCTTGTTTGTCACTCCAGTGGCCATGGCTCGCTTTACCAAGGCCGGTTTCTGTTGTTCTGATCGGTCATGGCCTGGTTGATTTCAACCGAGCCTCCCTGCACGTTACCCACATTCGATCGGGGTGTCGACGCATGCGAAGTGTCCGGCTGTCCTCCCCGCGCCACACCGTCGGATGATTGCAAGGGATTCGGGAGTCTGGACGACGCTGACGAAGATGACGATGGCTGCTGCTGTCCTGCGGGTGTCGTGAGGAAATCCGGTGCCCCACTCAAGTTCCCAAGCCCTCCTCGTGGAAAGAAGCTGGGTGCCGAGGGAGACATCGAAACCGAAGGCTGCAAAAGCCCGGGCCGTGAAGGATAGCCAGACAAATCCCTTGTCGGTGAAGTAGCAACGTGGCTCGGCCAAGGTCGTCGATGTGTTGTTGGATGAGTGCTTCGCGGAGACGTGCGTGCGAATAGGTTTGCAGGCAAGTTTCCTTCTGGCCCGGATGACGAGGGTCCTTCCATTGACATGGGGTGAGTAGTGGTGCTGGATCCCCGCGTTTCTGGGTCGCTGTGGCGTGGCCGGGTTCGACGTTGCTGCTCAGCCGCATCGTCCGGCGGCGAGCGTCTGCCACCCGACGAAGTCTGCCGCGAGGATGAACGGCCTGAACCACCCGGAGGTGTCATGGTCAGGGCTCGGATAAAAACGTCATCTCCACCCGACACCAATCTGTTGCATTTGTTAGAAAAATCGGCCTTTCTCCAAACTAAAACAGTGTCAGACACGTACCCTGGGGGAATATTCCCCCCCCGCATTCTCATCATGTTCATAATGGCCCTCGCCGACGAGCCATGCTGCTTGGGCTCCGCATGGAGCTTGTCGCGGCAGTATGGACAGCTGTCGGAATCCTCGAACCATTTCTTGATGCAGTGGTCTCCAAAAACATGCTTGCACTTAGGTAGGCGAAGCGGAGCCTCGTTGATACCCTCGGGGGCCTCGACGCCGTAGTCATTATAGCAAATGACACAAGCTATAAGGAAGTTAGCCCTTGCCTCGCTTGCACTCGGCCGGGGAGTGCACGAAAACACCTACTCCTTTCGGCCTCTGGGAGGTCGTCAATGTTGACGCTCTGCAGCGAACGCAGCGCCATCTTGGAGGCTACCATTTTGCTAGTCATTGAGCCTCTAACTAGCTGGATTTGACGGACGAGGACATTGTCGACAGATTGTTGGTCCATGGAAGAAGGATCTAGCCCAGACGAGTTTTGGATTATGTGGTCGAGAAAGAACTGCCGACCCAACTCGTCGTCGTCGTCGTCCCGGCCCGACTCTGAAGATATGAATCGTGAAGACATCGATCGTCGTGCTCTAGGGTGCGGCCGGCGGGATCCCGAGGGAGGTTGAGAGGATCCTACCACATGTGTTAGCGACGGGGAAAGAGGATACAACAAATGAGGGGGCTGATGCCGGGGAAGGTTTGAGGGTTTCGGTTTCGCAAAGTCATGACCTTGTGTCACCATAAAGGAAAATGATACGGGTCGAGGAAGGTGAACTTACTGGCAGGGGACGATGCTTCACGAAATGCCCTCGAGGAAGACGTGGATGACGAGGGGAAATGTCCTCGTCGAGACTGAGTTGAGTTGAAAGGACCGGGAGGTGGAGGAGGGGGTACGAAAATCGAGTGGTTATGGTGAGGAAAGTTGTTTGCTGGGAGTTCAGACAACGCAAACGGCGGGCGAGGCAGTGAATTAGGTTCCGAGTTGTTGCCAACTGGCGGTATCCCCATGCCCACAGGTGGTTGAAAACCTAGAGGTCGTCCCCCGGGTACCTGGTTCACAAACGCCCCGTCGTTTACATGGCCGTTTGGAACTAGCTGGTGCCCCGGGACCGGGAGGCTGCCCAGCGGCGCAGACATTCGGTGCGGCGAATGGTGCGGCGAGTGATGCGGCGAATGGTGAAAGTGTCGCGGCGGCATCGCACCCGTGAAGGTATCTTGTGGTGGGCCGCCGTGATAGCCCGGGACCGGTGCGGGCAGGCCGCCGATCGGGCCGAGGTGGAAGGGATCTGAGCCCGGAATCGACATGGCAGGTTGTAGCGGGTGGTGAGGATACGACTGAGGCATGCCTTGGCCATGAGACTGCCACGGGTAGGCGGGGGAGGATTGAGGATGAGGTATCCAGGGCCCTGAAGCGGCGTGAACGGGATCGTAGTGGGCGGCAGACCGTGGATGGTTGTGTAGAATGTAGTCCATGGGATCCATCACGGGCAAGCGATTCGAGCGGCGAGTTGTTGTCGCAGCGAGCGAAACAAATGGGGTCGGGCCTGACGCAGGCCCTGTGCTCGACGTCGTATATCGTACACGGCGGGGACGGCGAGGACAGCGGTAAGTGGAGTGGTTCAAATGGGTACGCAGCAGATGGTAGAAGCGGATGGAGAAGCAGAGGCAGAAGCAGAAGCAGAGGCAGCTCGACGATAGCAGGTGAGGGCAGTATTCGTCTCTTTTCTTAAAAGCAGTGATGGACTAGGACTATCGGGGGAACGCTGGGTCACAAAGCGGTGATCGGGAAACACGGAGCGGTTGCGGTCATGGGAACAGAGGCCCCGGAGCCCGAGACGAGGAGTTGGTTGGAGGGGAGGCAGAGGCGGAGACGGCGGACGAGGAGGGGCTATCGTTCGTTATCGGGGGCTGGCGATAGCGCCGATGACGATGGTGGTGGGTTCTAGCGGCGTCCGTGGGGTGAGGGAGCGTCAGAGCGAGAGTGACTGACTGCGACTGTGACCGTGACGGTGGCCGCGATGGAGGGGAATAAATGAAGGGCGGGAGGAGGAGGAAGAGGAGGAGGAGAGCGGAGGGCCAGACGAGCGGCGAGCGGGGGAGGAGGAGCGAGTAAAATGCAAAAATAAAAGAACGAATGCCACGTCTTGTAGGACTAAGCTGGAACTGGGCCTGGTGATGATGCTTGCTCGGTTGCAGGGACAGGCTCGGGCGGCATTCAGCAGTTCCAGTGTTTGTCCGTCTTGGGCTGGGCCGGGCTGGTCTAGACGTGGAATGGATGCACAGCAATTTGCTCCGCCAGGCACGTAGGCGTACCTAGGCGTAGGCGTAGAGGTAGACGTGCTTGCCTCTCCCCGGCGGCGGCGGCGGGTGCGAGGCGTGTGAGGCGAGACGAGACGAGGCGAGACAAGGCGAGACGAGGGGGTAGGCAGGCAGACAGACAGACAGACAGACAGACAGATAATAGACAGTTCAGTCAGGTATACTGTAGGTGTGTAAGGCACTGTAGGTGTGGACTCCAGACGGACTGTAGGTGTGGGCTGGAGGTGTGTGCCGGGTTTGACGATGAACGACGGACCCTGTCAGGTTCAGGCAGGTGTTTCCTATGGCCGACTCTGCCTCCTTGCCCTGTCTCTCTTCTTTCCCCGAGGGCAAGACAAATAAAATTCAATATTCACGCCCCCCCTCGTTCGTGATGGCAGCCGCCCGTCGGAAGGAGACCGCAGCGGCCAAGCCGGGCCGGACGTAGTTCGGGAGGGAGACAAAAGCAGCCCAACAAGGTGGAGTGGATGAGAAGGATGGGATGGCGGAACAAGTGGGATAGCGGGCACCGGGGGGGTCAGGGAGCGCAGGCACGGCTGGAAACAGCAGGGAGATATGGAGGTGACACTGGGCGGTGGTGAGCCGTGGGAGTCTGGACAGACAGAGGAGAGCGGGCTGGCTACAAGGATCAGGTGTGTGAGGATATATGATGGAGGAAGCGACGGACGCTGGAGGAAGAGGATGATGATGAAGAGAGGGGGGTAATCATGAGAGAAGAGGGGACAGAGGGGACATGACGGAGATGGAAATGGGACACGGATACGGAGAACTCAAGCAAACGGAATTCACCCAGCTGAACCTGAACCAAACGAGCCAAATGAGCCGAACGAACCAAACGGAGAGCGAGGCGAAAAAAGCACCACCACGCACCTACCCACTACAGGCCGGCCGCTACGACGAATGCCCAACTTGACTAAAGCACGGCAAACGCCAGAGAGAGAGAGAGAGAGACAAGATGTGCGAGAACGGGGAGCAACAAGCGAGAGTCATGGTCATGCGCAACAAAGGAAGTCTACTTATTAACTAGCCGGGGGGCCGGGGGGGCGGGAACAGCAAAAGCAAGGGAGGGAGAGGAGAGCCAGCCATGTCCACTCCAAAACCCGCCCACCAGCAAACAGCAAGCAGCCAAGACCCAGCAGCCCCAGGCGGCCGCAACCCGACGAGGCAGCGAGGCAGCGGGAAGACGAGGGAGAGACAGGGAGAGAGACAGAGAGAGAGATCGAGACTTGTTCTCTCGTCTGTGGACCTCTTGGGCTGATTGATTTTGACGGTACTTCGGGCTGGCAGGCAAGGGGATGTGCTGTAATACCTCCCTCTAGCCTGTACCAATTATGTGGTGAACCCCGTCGCAACAGCATGCCTGCAGCAGGTGTATGCACATGAGCATGACGGTGGCCAAGCAAAACAGAGCCCAGTCCGCCCCGTCAAGTTCAGCGCCGGACGCCTCCGTAAATGGACACTTCCGACAATCAGAAATCAATCCGACGGCGCGGCCCAGCGCCAATGCCAATGCCAATGCAAATACCAATGCCCATACCCGGTGCTAGCGGTCAGACAAGCAAGCTGCCGGAACGGTGGGTGGAGAGAGACGAGAGACGAGACATGGCGGCCATTATGCAAACCAAACCCTCGCCCTGCCTCCGTACGTCGTACACACCGGAGCAGCCATGACAAAGTCTACCTTACCTTACCTAGCAGGCATGATCATCATGTGAGTGCACCCAGCCCGTCCGTCTCGTGCCTTGCGTGCCTCGAGCCATCCATCACCTCACCAAACAAGACACACATCATTACTCGTTTGAAAGGCAGCCCGCCTCACTTCAGTCGACCCAGCGTGGCCAATATTTGTCGGCGTCTTTATGTCGACGAGCCCCCCCCCCCCTTTGAACCCACTCCGTCTTTCCCTCATTCCACCACCCTACCTCCGTCCACTTTATCTTGCGTTTGACGGATATGGCAATGTGATGACGGTCACAACCCCTCCCTCAACACACTCCATTATTACATTATCACCTCTGCTCGGCTGCTTACCCTGCACCCTGCCGCACTGCACCTCGGGGTCGACTCGGTCTCGAACTAGCAAACAAAGGCCGCCACCGGCGCAAACTGCATGTACGGAGGACTCCGTCGCGACGCACGAATATGCCCGGAGCCGCTTCTGGACCCTGCTGAACGTACTCGGATGTGAGCTGTGCTGCGGGCCTCGATCTCGGAGCGGCTACCAGTGAGTGAGTGCTACAGCTAAAGGGCCTGGGCTTTCGGTAATTGTTGTGTTTTATTGCCCCCCTCCCCCTTCTTCATGTGTTTGTCTCTGCCTGCCTCCCTCCCAAAACGAAAGAAAGGGGAGAAATCATGACGCCAGCTGGACACCCCATGTTCGTGTCTCGATCTGTTTGACGCCGCTATCCATTTCTAACTCTCTGACTGTCACCTTTAGTACTCTAGCGCGCCTCACCTGACCACCTCATCAGTCAACCTGGACAAAGAAGGCGTCTCATCTTCCTGGTCGCTTCTTGTCTCAAAGCCATTTGCCCCTCACCTACCTGGTATCCATCCACCCATCCACCCATCTACGGTACTCATCCACTCATCCCATATCGTCTGCCCTGCCACGTCTGGTACCTTCTGACCTGTCTCAATCCCCTCGCCGTGTGTCTCACGTCCATTCGCACCAGCCAAGTCATATCGTATGCCACTTCATTTGGACAATAGCAACACCGCCCCTGTTGTTGGCTGTTAGCTGCTGGCCTGGTCGTGTTTCCCACAAACGCTGCAACCACTTTATCGAATGGCGTTTTTGCACTCGTCACACACACGTCCTCGCACAGGCTGCTCATGCCAATGTCACTAGTACCGAGCATCAAGCTGTCATCAAATAAGAGCCCTCCCTCCGGCTCTTCCCAGCTCATCGGCCTTCACGCACCCTTCCTCTGATTCGCCCCCGCCCTTGAATCCTGGCGCCGATCATAGGACTCTCCCGTTTCGGGCGCCGTAGCGTCATGTGTCTGTCGCTATTTTGACTCTTTTGCATTGCTCCCCTCTTGGATCGCCAGCACTAGAGTCTTCTCCAGCACAAACCCGCATTGCTAGCCTAGTCGGGGCTCATGAATAGATACGTATCGCCTGTAAGCTCGATATAAATACAACCCGGGGATGCATTCCCCCACCATCGATGCATGCGGCCGGGCGATGGGTGCTTGCTTGTACGAAAAACACGTTGCCTTTGCCTCGGCCTTTGTCCCGCCTCTGTTCTCGTCCCGGCTGCTTGTTTTCGACAGGCTCCCGAACGCCGCCAATCTCTTCTGCATCTATCAATTTCACTCGATGCGACGTACACTGCTGCCAAGTCGTTTCTCCATCCCAAACGGGCTCACTAGCTCCTCGTCACATCTTATCACCATTGCACTGTCTCAAAGCCAATCCTCGTATGATTGCTCTGACAGTAATTGCTGACAAGGCCAAGGGCATGCAGGCCGTACTTCCAGAGATAACGCCACATGCATGCACCCACAGTGCCGGAGGGAGAAACATGCGGAGTTACGCCCCAAATGAGTGATTCCAAACCGTCAAAAGCCGAGCCTGATTTCACTTCTTCGGTAGACGATACTTGCCGCCCACTAGCTCTAACTCATTCTCCGCCACTTTTTCTCCGAGGAATTCCTGAAGCTCTTCATTGCTCCAGGGGCAGCCGTCAGCAATCAACATCTTCATCATCATCAAGATTTGCCCCAGAGGCATTGCTGGTGCCGAGTTTGTCAACATGCCCACAATAAACTGCCAATAGACCGTCCGTCGCTCGTTTTCCTTCGAATCCACGTTCTTCGGCTTGCGTGGCGATGGTTGGCCGCCATCTTCTGTACCCTGCGCATTTGAAGTATCCTCCGTTTGAGCCGCAGCACTGTCGTCTAAACGCTCCAGGACCACGTATGTCTGGTTCCCAGCGTCCCGTAATACCCGCTTGCTCACCCAGAATCTCAGAGCAAGTTCCAGAAGGTCTTCGTCAATCATCAGCTTCTCCCAAATCTCATTAAACGTTCGTTGTTGAGGGCCCGAGTCTCCCGATCCTCCTTCTTCCTGGAAGGTGTAGATGACGGCTGCCTCATACGTCTTACATTCCAACTCTATCGAGCGGTCTTCAAGGTCTAACTTGACCGTCGCCGACCCAAGGTGATCTAGCCAAGTGAGTTTTCGTGATGATTTGAGCTCCTCGAAACCCTGTTCGTAACGACTTCGAATCTCTGCCACTGGAGGGGGGACTGTGAAAGGATCTTTGGGCAGGCTGGGCCAGAAAAGTCGGGATAGAATCTTTGAGTGATACGTGACGTTCTCTGTCTCAAGGTTCGAGTTGCGCCGTAGGGTTTTGTTTAGTCGAGCATCTACCCGCTTTGAGTCTTGAATATCTTTCATCATGACATCACAATTCTGTAAAGCATTCTCGCCGAATCGCTTCTTCAGCAAACCAAGCACCTTGGTCTCTTGAAGGAACGTAGCCTGATTCGAGAGTAATCGCTCAGCGATGATGTGCTGGAATTCCTTGATGAATATGTCTTGAGAGCCCAGTGCGTTGATCAGAGTGCCAATGACATCCTCGTTCTTGGGTCTCTTGTAGTTGACACCGGCATCCACCGGGTCAGGGACCCAAGTCATGTCATTCCAGTCGAGGTCTTCATCATCTGTCTCGCGTCGTTGTTGTTGAGAGGCCGCGTTTAATAAGAGTGCCAACTCTACTAGCTTGGTCTTTCCCCCGTCGGTTTCAGTGCTGTTAGGGTTTGCGAGTAGTCCTATGACGACAATGCGGATGGCATCATCTCGCTGACAGAGGTATAGCTGGAGGGCGTGTACAACGCGGTCGAGCAGCACTTTTGAGTGGTCCAGAGCATGGAAGGTTCGAATCATAGATATATAGGTCTGCAGGATGTCCAAGGTAGAGCGACCCGGATGAAGAAGTCGCTTCTGCAGCGCCAGAGAGAACGCATCAGTTAGCTGAAGGCGACGTTGAGGTGTAGTGACAGCTAGACGGAGGTCCTCTAGCCCGCCCTTGCTTTCGGGCCAGTTCAAGGCGATGTCAAAGAGCTCATGGATGCGCAACGTGGCCAGCCGACCAACGGCGATGTCTTTCCAACATTCAACATCACTCCAGGCAATTTGGGTATCGAGACGGTTGAAGACTTCAACAGCAAGGCGCCCGTAGTGATTCTCGACCCAGTCGGAGAGATGAGCAAGGCATCCGGATAGAAGGGATGCGGAAGTAGTGCTTGACGGGTCCGCCTTTTGCCATACGCCTGCATATGAGTTCTGGATGAACTCGGCCATGATCGCATTCATAATCTCTGCGAACTGGACCTGGAAGCTCTCGCCGGCCAGGCCGACATTTTGGAGCGATTCGAGCAGTCCCAGGAGTTCCCCTCGTGCTGCCGAGACGCGATCACTATCTTCTGAGTCTAGGGGTTCCAATTCTCCATCGTATCTTCTTCCAGAGCCAAGAATCATGCGGACAAGCTGGTGCACCACGCCCCGGAGAGCATCCGCCAGACCCTGAGTCATCGAGTTTCCGATGATGGCATGCAGATCACGGCGGAACTTGGCCATGGCAGCGGCATCAGATACGTCATCTCCGAACCCCCTGGAGATGAGTCGCAGCCCATAGAGATACTGGCGATGGGCAGCCTCGAGGGTAGAAATGCTTGCCAGGAGCACTTGCGCCTGCCCTCCTTGGCCGGCACATGCAGCCAGCAATGGCATGACGTGGTGAACGAAATGCTGGCGGACCTGCTGAGTATGCCACAGCAGGATGTCATCGATATGGGTGGCCTGAGGCAGTGCCCGGCCAGGGTTGAGGACTAGGGCCAGCGAGTCGAGGAAGTTGCCGTCAATATCCAGCTCCTGCGACTCAGGAGCAAGGGTACCAAAGGAGTCCTCGATGGCAACCGAAGAGGGCAGCTGAATACGAGAAGTGACAACGTGCCAGGCACGATCCCACCTCACCTGGTCGCTGGCCTGATGAAGGGCCGCGAGACGGGGCGGAGGAGGAGGAGGAAGAGGGGTTCCAGCGGCCGCGGCGCCAGCACCATGCTGGCTAAGGGGCGGTCCGGAAGAAGACGAGGGTAACGACGCGTGGGGACCGCCAAAGGCGGCGCCGGGCTGGGTGAAAGGCGCGACGGGCGTGGAGAGCGGAGTCGGCTGGGAGACGTCGGTCTCGAAGACGGACCGGAGGACCCGCTGCTTCCGAGCCCGGTACCGCGACGCCGTCATGGTGATGGCTGTGGGCGTAGTGGTAAAGAGGTTGGGCCCGGTAGTGTTTTGGGGGTTGTTGTTTGGACTGTTGGTCGGAAGTAGGCAAATGAAGCTTGGGGCACGGGCAGTGTGGTGCCCCACGTTTCAGCAAGCACGGCAGCCGGAGCAGGCAAGAGGCAAGTACAAACGCCACAGTGCCAGGGGCAGCGGGATCTGCGCCAAGCAGCAGCGCGCTTAGTGCGCTAAATCCCGAAGCGCCACCGAGTGTCCTCGTCGCGGCGCGAGGAGAAGAAAAGAGGAGCGAACCGCGTGCCCGAGACCCGAGACCCGAGGGATCGTCACAGAGGAGGCGAGGGGACGTGATTCCACAGCACCCGGCCGGGATTGCGACCACGGCGCTGGAGCCGAGTCCGAAGCCCGCCCAACACACCGGGATTTTGAAGGGGTGCGTGCGTGCGAGTGCGAGTGGGCGCGTGCAGTTGAATGTGCCTCGGAGAATGCCTTGCGCCGTGCACCTCGCGCCGTGCAACGACCGTCCCTTGTCCCGACTCTTCTGCGTGCCGTCTCCGTAGCCTCGTTATGCGCGTGTCCCGCTGCCAGTGCTGTGGCCATGGCCGTGGCTGCTGCCGTGTGCCGTTGGACGCAGCCCAGCGCCCGGCACCAGCGAGATTCAGTCCCTCACCTCACGCCCCTCAAGTCTCATGTCTCATGCTGCGCGCCACAGCGGTGTTGTGCGCGGGTGCACGTGCTGGTGTGTGAGAGAATATGTCCCAGCTTTGGTGCTAGTGCAATAACCACACAAAGTGCTCCGGTCCAGCAGTTATGTCAGAAATGTGTAAGGCTGCCAGTCCAGCACAAGGATCGTGTCATATATGGGCCCAAAACGGCCGGCCGGGTTGCCCTGGCCTGTTTCGATGGCATTTGATATTATCCATGGTGGCTAATTCGTAGTGCGGACTGGTTTGAATGAACCCGTTGAGCGGGGAGGACGGGAACGTGGAGCTCCGAAACCCGAAAGGATGAAAAGGAACGGCTGAATCATGAAAGGGGGGTGGGCCGCTTTTGCTTGACAGAAGCCTTCTTAATGATGGAGATATTGGTATAAGATCCAAGGAGCTATAATACGAGAAGCGAACTAGTATTATTTGGTTATATCAAACACAATGGGTAGGTAGCGATTCCTACGACTCCTACTGCTACTACTACGCATGTATTACGCAGGCACAGGGCAACGTTAGTTGACAGTAGTATTAGTGCCATGGCATGATCCATGATCCACCTCCTAGGATCTTTTACACGGAGAGGACTTCTAATAAAATTATCGCCATACAGCTGGGACTCGGCCGGTGGAGATCCCCCCGGCTCCGGAACTATCCACCCTCGCCTTCCCGGCCGATTTCTCCCGCCGGGGTTGGTGGCAGCGGGGGCCCGGCATCACGAAAAGGCCCTTACTGTGTACGGGATGGGCGCAACTCAAAATTCCAAATCAACACCCGCCCACCCGCCGCCCACCCGCCGCCCACCCGCCGCCAGTGGCGCGCCGATTTTGTCCAGGGATAAAGAGTAGATGCAACTGAGCTGGAGCACAGAAGAGAACTACTACGTAGTAGGGCAGGGCACTGGGGGGCACAGGAAGACGACAACAGCCTGATCCGCTTTTCCCCCTGCTGGCAACTCTCCAACCCTCGAACCCTCCATCATAAGAGGATACTCGCTTCTTCCCCTGCTCCATCCCATCCCCATTAATCCATCCTGGTCTTGGCGTGGACTCTTCAATTACAGAGGACTACGTAACGGCCGCCCCCATACTTCTCCAACCCACAGTACGACGTGGTACTGCGTAGTCAGGCCCGCCGAACGCCTCCATTACACTCCATAACTACCCATGGCACCCCTGGCTTCTTCTATCCAGGGCACGGCTTGAGCAGCATCCGGTTCTTCATCCTTGGTACCCACTGCTGTGTTCTCTGGGACCTTGCCCTGTAATTATTATCCCTGTCCGGCTCTCGCTCGTCTCCCCGCCACTCATAACGCTCCGTCAACGATGCACGAGGTCTCTCCAACTGGTCTCTCCCACTCATCTGGTCACACAGTTGACTGTTCCCAATCTCGACGTTTGCCATGCCACCCAGGCCAAGCTTAGGCCTGGTTGTCTCCACTTGGTCCCCACTGTATCCCGCCCTGTTCCCGCCTCTCGCCAGCACTCACTCTCCTGCTCCATCCCGCCTTATCCCAATCTCGCTCCTCCTCACGCTCTCGCACCCGGTAAACTAGGATCATATCTTCCCGATCTCGCCCTCATGTCACCCTTCACCTCAATCGAATCACTGGCTACACGCCGCTCTCATCTTTTCAACCACACCCAATATCCGCCCCCATTTCTGAAATCAAGCATCCTTTCCTCGTCTGCCCTGCCAATGTGGCTAAGTGCCCTTGCTAGCCAAAACTAAAAGTGACAGAAACGTAGCACCCAGGCTCACGAATTGCCCAAAAGAATTAGCTGGTGCCTGGCGGTGTCGATCCGATCAATCTGTCTGCCGCACCCCAATGCGACGGGCATATCCGGTGTCTCCGGAGCTACGGCTCGACAGCATGTCTCATTGTCTCTGGTTGGAAACACCTGGCCATTGACCAAGACGGCTTGGCCCCCAGGGGTTTGGCGACGCCCGTTTCTCTTGGGGTCGCCGAGTCATAGGTTTGGCGATAAGCACACCCCTGGGTCTTGGCCCCTGCCTTCTACCCCCCCTTCTAGCTTTGTGCTCTTCCCTTCTGGAGCTTCCATAGCTGCTCGCGTTCCTGATGGCGTCTTTTAGTCCAACGGCGGCGCACCTGGCTGCATGTGAGCCTGTTCGCCCCTCATGAAGTCGGGGAGTTTGAAGGGGTGAATGTCGAGTCCCAAACAGGGGAGCAGCCAGGGCGACGGCAGAGACATCCACAGAGCTGGTAATCCGGACGGATACTCCGTACCAAGTGCTACAGTAGTCCTAGACTCCTGGCTAATCTGATGCCACTCCCAAGCCCCAAAGCTTGCGGGGATCGGGCGCCTTGTTGGGCGTGGGTGGCTTTTGCCGTCTACTGGGTCCGACATCGATCCGACCAAACGCCCCGGAGCCCTGGAGCTGGACGCACGTGCGGCCACTATCCATGCTACAAGCTTCGCGTGGTTGGCTGGTGCGGAATAGACATGGATCGTGTGTTGATCAGTAAGTGAGTAAGCGAGCGAGCAAGCGAATAGGAGAGGGCGCGGGTGTGAAGGTCAGCCCGGCAGAGGCACAACGGCATCATCGTGCTGACCTTGGTGGTCCGCGTCCAATGCAACAGCGCTCGCTTGACCGACCATTCAAGAGTTTCCGAGTTTGGCTGCGGCGGCTGGCAGATGGAACCGGATAGGACCCAACAGTAAGGCCTAGCAGGGCCTGGCATCTGGCAACTGGGAGGGGAATGGCGCCTACGCCTACGCCTGCGCCCGCGCGCGCCCTCGCCCCGCTGGCATGGCGAGCGTGAGTGTCGGGTGTTGAGTCTGCCGTGCTAAGTCTGGAGTTGTGCAGCATCCAGTATTCAGCGGCCAGTGCCTATCTGGTGTTGGTGCTATTTGTGGCGCGGCTGTGTGCTGCAAGCACAAATGTTGGCCATGCTGTTGCTGCTTGGTGTATGCCGGGGTGAGGACTGGTGTGCGCGAGTGTGTGGATTGAGTGGGTTGAGTGGATTGAGTGGGTTGCGTGGGTTGAGTCGGTGTGGGTGTGTGGAGAGAGAGATCCTGGAATGGATGGACTGGGGACCTTGCTTTGCCGTGACGATCATTTGCCCTGTGGCTTAGGTAGGTGCCTCTATAACCCTAGGTACCTGTGGCCCTGTGGCCCTGTGGCCCTCCCCTGTGGCCCTGTGGCCTTGGGGCCTTGCAGTTGCAGTTTGCAGTTGCAGGCTAGCCTCTCCTCTTGTCCAATCCCCACACAAAGCTCGCCCAGGCCCAGGTGTCTGGGGCATCCCATCCTCAGGTGTTTCAGATGTTCTGCGTCGTTCGATTCTTGCATGGCTTCTGCCCCCAATCACTGTCTATGGTCGCTTTTACGAGCCTCGCTGCATTCCAGCACCTGTGGCCTTCTGACGCCCAGAGGCCTGTGGGGATCTTTGTTAGCCTGGCTGGCAGTGGCAGTCGACTTGGCCACACGGGTTAATTATGGATTCCTCCAAAGTCCAAAGTCCAAACAACCAAACCGAAATTGTCTTTGCCTTGCGATTGCGTGAACTCCCATGTCCATGTCCAACAGCAGGGGTCCATCTCGAGTTTCGCTTCCCCAAGCACATGCGCTCTGCCACCATCGTCATCCGGTGTGTGTCTGTCACTTCTCACAGCAAGAAAAGAGCAAGGTTGATCAAACGAGGATTCCAATGAAAACTGTTCCGACTATATCGGTGGGTATGATAGATAAGACGAGAGAACAAGAAATTGGACAAGAAAAGACCAACAAGAGTGACAGAAAGTGAACAAGAAAAACGCCAATAACATAACCAGACCCAATGAGAACCTCCAAATGATCACAATGGTTCCGGTTCCCAAAAGATATCCCAAGGCATCCGTCATTCCCTCATGCATATGTTCATACCGAGCACCCCGATTACCATGCCCGACCCCTTTCTATTCCGGTCCAGCACTAAGCCCCAAAAGTCCCTTGCAAAACCGGCAAGAGGCTGTTTCCCCGAGTAAAACGCCGTTCCATCCAGTAGTAATAATAGCAAATGCGCCAACGCAGGTTAGGATGCGATTTGGATGAGTAACCAACCCCCAGTGAGGCTGCGCCCAAGGCTGAGCCCCGAAGTCCGAAGGGCGCTTAGGTGTATCCCCGCTCGGGACCGACGCCAAGAACGTCGCATGAACATCCCAACCCCCGGATCATCCAGGTGGAAACACCACCCTAGGTGTTTCGCCGACCCTTGCATTTGTCGTGGAGGAGGTGTCCGTTTCGCGCAGTGGTCCTGGTGAACTCAGCTCCGCAGTTGGGGCAAGACGCCTTAGCTGCTTGTCCAGATTTCTCGCGTTGGTGCCGCAACAGGTTGCTAAAGGTCGAAAACTGACGCCCGTTGCAACCGTGTTCCCAGCATCGTGGTTTAGGTCGGCTCTGCACGACTCTGACGTGTCCACCACCCTCGTGCGAGCTTGCGCCTCCAGTCGTCATGACGGCAGGGACCTGGTACATGAGACCAACGTCCTGACCAACAGATAGTGATGTTGGTCGAGTGCTATTTCGAGAACGATTAGCTAAGCCCGGTGTCAATTTGTCTCGCAGGACATACCTGTAATGGCCAGGCCCTGCATAAACGGCGGAATAATCAATCGGTAAGTTGTAGTTGTGTTGCCTGTGAAACAGAAATTAGCGTGGCCCAGGCGCTGTTCCGTAGCTTCGATAACTTACAAGCTTTGTGGGTACGAAGTTGGGTACACCGGGGTTGCCTGCGCATGTTGCTCCTCCGCCGAAGGGCTGTATGAAGAAAGATATGGCGACGTGCTCATCGTAGCAGCAGGTTCCGCCATGAGGGAGACAGAAGCAGAGGCGGTCGTGTAGGCCGGTAGGCTCATTGCACTCGAAGCATCGGGTAGCTGCATGGCCGATGATGGAGACTCCACGTAGGGGGGGCTGCTGGTTCGGCGCACGCGCGACATGAGTCTTGTGTCTCGGCGGGCTTTGTCTTGTTGTCGCTTCAATTCACGCTGCTCTGCTGTGAGGGAGAATCGTGGAGGGCTGGATGTCAATGATCTCGTGTCCATCGGTGGGGTAAGGCTGGGCTCCGATCCGTGGCCCATCGAAGATAGCGCATTGCTCAGGACGGAGTTGCTGGAGGCATGGGATTCGAGTGGGCCTGTTGAGATGCGTCAGTCTAGTTCCCATGAAGGAGAGAACTTGTTGGTACCTACCTGGCCAGGTGAATGCCGACCTCGGTCCCATGGAGAAGGAAGGGTCATACTGAATTGCAACGGCACTTTCGCTCGGGTTAGTTACTGAGCGGGGGTTCTTGCATCGAGGATCGCATACCTCATGTTGGATGATGGTTCAGCCTGACGAAAGTGAGGTGCTTGTTGGAGTGAAGTTCCGTGGGTTTGCTGGTGGGAGAGGGGTGGGATGGAATCTTCGGGGATTGTGTCGGGCTGGGACCAGGTCGAGTTTAGGACTGCCGGGCTCAAGACTGGAAATGGGGAGTAAGACTGAGAGGCAGGTGTGGGGAGATAAGCCGAGTGCGCTGCTGGGGTGCTCAGGTACGCCGTGGAGGAATACGCGTTTGATGATGAAGTTGACGGCCGGACCGCTTCGTTCGAGAGGCTCCGAGGCGAGGCGGTTATATCTGAATTGGCGACAAACTGCCCTGTGAGGTCGGAAAGTTGACTCCCGGGACCTGATCTGGCCGGCGGTGAGCTCGGGTTGTCACAGCTCCCATCTCTAGTAGTCGAGTCCATCTTGACGGATGACGGGGGAGATGGGGGGAGTTGGAGAAACTCGGATTGAGACATACGGAAAGACGAGAGACAACGAAGCCAATGATGAAGGAGGGGGCGGCGCTTTTCGGGGGTGAAGTGCCAGTGTGGCTGGATGGACTGAATGAAGAGCCGGGAGACCGAGACTTATAACTCGCCGTTGTGAATGTGGCTAGAGGTACAGAAGCATTGGGTGGCAGCTGAAAGAAGTGATCTATCTATGGACCGTCTGAGCCTCGAAACCTGTCAGGGCCAGGACGTCGAGGGCTTATATGAAATCGGGCAGTGGAGTTTCTCATATCCAACGGGCGAACGTGGGTGCATGACGAAGGGGAGAGAGCACTGACAGGGAATAAGCTACATCCCAGAGAGATGAGCGGCATGGACCAGACAGGCTTGGGGCGGCATGGGCACAGTCCATGGCAGGGTGTGAATTGCAGTCCGTACTCCTTCCAGTGGGCAATTAGAACAAGTTGCCGGCAACAAGGGTGTGGCATCATTGCGGGAGTGGTACCATGAAATATGGGTGGAGGACGAGGGGAGAAGTTGGGGAGGGGGGGTGTAGGCCTGGGCGTGGGTGTGGGTGTGGGCGTGGGTGCGAGATCCAAATGGCAAGGCAGGCAACGTCCTAGGAACCCGCGGGCAAGGTGCAAGTGTGTGGCGTAGGGGACAGGGAAGAGCCTCGATAGGCTCGACCAGCAGTGCAGTGCTCTAGACCCGTGTCAAGTGGTCCTGCTAGGCTCATCGCGGTACATGCCATGGCCCCGACATGAGAGGATAGGGCCTGGCATGGTAGCGTGCAAGCCATGGGTGACAGCCCACGCATCAGACGCCGCCCGCGCCAGGGAGTTTACTCTGACATGGAGACCAGCGGGTCGTTGCAAGGACCAACAGTCCCTACCCAAGATGGGAGACCGGGGTGATGAGACGAGGGACGACACTGGAGTTGGGGCTGAAGCGGGAGCCGCAGCTGGAGGGGTTGGAGTTGACAAATTCTAGCCTTCGTCAAGTCTCACGATGAGAGACGCAAGGTCATCAGTACGTCAGCGACTTGGTTCGACCCAAGTGGAGAGTCGAAGCCGTCATGTCTGTCATCTGCCCCATGCTTGTCAGTCCGTTTGTTCCACGGTAAAAGGCCCTGGTACTGAGTATTTGGTTTAAAGCAGGGAGGGGGGTGTGGGCCAAGGATAGGATCCCGCTGGTAGTCATGGAGCTTTGCCGAACCCTGGCCACTGATGAGCGATGATGCTGTGCTAGCTCAATAAGGGCAGGCTGGGTACCTGGCGTCTCGACTTGTATCTGGAGTTGGGCTTTTAGGGTACTTTAGGGCATTGGGGTCTTAGATCATTGGCAAGGCCTCTCCTTGCTCACTGTACTCCCCACGTCAACAGCAGATGGCCGGGAGGCGACAAAGGCGGGAACTTGGGCAGAGCCGTGGGATTCATATCCCTGTCGCCTTGTGGCTCCCTTTGTTCTGAGGTTGGTACGAGTGGGTGGTCAAGGCAGTAGGAGAACCGTGGCTGGAAGACAAGACGGCCGACCGGGTGAGCTAATTGTGGGGGGGCGGCGCGTGCATCCAGTCAGTGCGTCCTATTGCTTGATGACATGTCGAGAAAGCGCTGGAGAAGGCGTCGAGGACGAGCAAGGGCCCCAAAAGACGGGCCGGCAGGGCCACCAAGACAAGACCTTGTCGGGGGCCACGGGAAAAATAGAGAACAGCGGTGTCGTTGGAGACTGGGAGGCGGTTCAAGGGACAGGGGCCACGGGCCGGGGGCCAACGCCCGCTTGACGTGCTGTCGAAATCGAGTGCCGTGGAGTCCGTGAGGTGCCGTGGAGTCGTCGAGGTTTAGTGTCGTCAACTCGCCGAGCGCCAGTGGGATGCACGTCGCAATCTTGGGAAGCGGTGCGTGCGCGTTTCGACTGGTTGTGCGTATAGCGGCAACAGGCGACACAGACGCCTTACCGCTTCGGGGGGCGGGCGTTGTGCTGTGCCTCTTGCAGGAGGCACGACGGAAGATGGGATGGGCCTGGTTTCGGGTGATACCTACCCGGGAAGTCTGCTGCCAGCGGATGAGGCAGGTGTCGGTACGCTCCAGCTGGGTACCTACTTACCCATCATACCTGATCCCAGCGGTACCAAGGTATCTTAGGCGCAACGGCCTGCGCTAGACGTCTATTGCTGCCGACCGTTGGGCGGAATGGGCGTCCCCGTTGCCGCGGACCCCAGGTCTCCTTCCTTACTTCCCTACTTCCCTGTCCACTGTCAAGCCTGCCCATTACCCACCGCCTGTCCACTTGTAGTGCACCCAGTGCCCAGCACATGTGTGCTTTCCCCCTCACGGCTCGTGCCTCCATGCCTCGTGTCTTGCGTGGATTCCCTCAGCGACTTCCCCAACGGGTTACCCATGGTATACCACTATACCTTCTCTCACGACTTTGTCCCCTCGCTCATCTCTCTCCCTCACTACACCTCGTCTCTACCCCTACTGTTTCCGCATCGGACGTTGTTATGATCTTGACTACCTTGCAACTAACTATGCACCAGTCGCGCACGCTTTCATCCATCCATCGTCGATTCATAATCCTCCATAGCCTTCTTCTAGGCACCGAGATATCCTGCAAAGGTTGGTGGGCCTGCTCCGAGGCCCTGACGGGAACTTGACAGGCATGCGGCAAAGGCAGGCATTGTACGTGACTCTTCAAGTTCGAGATACTACCTTTGTATCCTTCCTATTTTGTGCCCTCGCATACTACATCCTGCCTTCCCACGGTAACACCCGCGATCCGGCCGGTGACTCGATCCGCCCAGCAACACACACCCCTTGGACGTACTGTAGCCACCACATGAACAAAGCAAACAACCGACCAAGTTCAAAGCCTTATCCCTTGTACTCTATACATGCTCGTACATCACTGCCCCCTCGCCATTGTTTTCCCAACGGACTCAACCCGGCAATATCTCTTGAAGACAACGGGTACGCTTGTCCCGCTCAACGGCTCCGGTCCACTTGGCCAGCCAGCAATGTGACACCGGAGAGCATTGATGGCTGAGCTCATTAGCTCGAATTGTTGCCCGAGATAGGCAAGACCAAGAGTGTCGGCGTCTATTCAACCCAATGACCCAGCCCCTCTCTAACGCAGGCGCGCCAGCTGCTTAAGGCTGGGATCCACGGCATTTCACGAATGAATGGGCTAACGCGATGGTACGTACTCGCACAAAAGGTCATTGGCGAGCATTGGCACCCTAACTTGATAGCGGCATGCGCACGGCCCCAATCGGAAGAATTGGCTTGCCCACAGCTTGGAACCCGCTGGTGATGTTTCTGAACCCCTGACCTTCGGCTCCAAGGTCTATGCTGGTAGACATCATCACGCTTTGCGCTCCCTGCAGGCCTTGCGCTATTCTCATCGGACTCTCGGCTTGGGGCGCATCCTTGCTTGGCCAAGGAATCCAGCTTCTCACCCCTCCCTAGTCCAGGTCCAACAACCATTTCATTGTGTGAGTGGAACTGGGGTATTTTTACAAACCTACATTCTCTTGCAGCCAACGGCTATTGCAACGCTACGAACAGAACCCGAATATTTGTCACTATGCGGCTACGTCAACGAGTGATCTGCTGGAGGGATCGGCCGCAGGGTTGGGGTCCGGGTTCCAAAAGAACGCCTCGCACCCTCCACGTGCACATGATTGTGGCACTTGACGGGAACTACCCCTGCAACCAGCATGCTTCATGAGACCGCCAGTGAAATTGGCGGGTGGGCGAGGAGAGAAGCCAGACGACTGGGGGGGACGGGCCACTCGGTGAACAAGCACGTCCTGCTCCAGAGTGCGCTCAACTTGAAACACCACTGCAATTTGCTCCTAGATTTGACAGTCAGCATGTCCTTTGTACCCCGGACCAGGGCTCTGTGACAATTGGCGTCGCTCGCTCCGAGTCTGCGCTCCTGAGCACGATCTCCGGAAACCCCAAATCGCCCGGCGCGGACCCCCATGTGCCAACGAGATCTACAGCTGACAGACCGGTTCGCCAGAGTCTGGCCCGCTTCCCATGTTTACTAGCGCATTGCGTATTGAAGCCCGTGAGTATTGATGCCCTTCCCTCGTACAGTGTCCAACCAGGTTAACATGACCGCTGGGCACCCACAAACACTTGGCAACGTGCATAGTGATGGGTAGCTTATCGCATTATCTTGGAATCCGATCACGTATCTATGGATATGAGCCCATTGGATGTCCCGAAGCGATGGGGCAAGCGACTCTCGAGGGTCCCCAGCGACGCAGCACGGTTCCCAAAGTCAATCCAACGACAAGGTGCCGACAAAGTACCGACTAGCCTACGTTGGGCAGGTCCAAATCTTTCCTGGGACCTCTAGCGCTGCATCTGTCGATTGATGCCTAGAAGGAACTCAACTTAATTGAGGTTCGACTAGATGCCAGAGAATGATTGATTAGCGTCGCCTTGCGAACAACATGTCCCCCAGACACCCCTTCTTCTTGCTAACAACTCAACGACGTATCTCGTTGCCATGCTCGATCTTGAGGCGCGCCATTATACGCGCGCGAGGTAACTCCACTTTTACTGGGTGTGGCTGTCGCAAGAAGGCACAACAAGGATTCGATCGCGCCAACTTGGGAGATGGTGTCAGCCACGGTTCTCTAGCTTGGGCCTTTGTCTTGTGTCCCCGCTATTCTCTTAGGGTAACTAATGAAGCTTGGAGAAAAGCCTCAGAAAATCATAACTCAATGTCTAATCTGCAAAAGGTACCGCGGCACAACGAATTTTGGTTCTCTAGCAGCTGACCCTCCTTAGTGCTGATGATTTCTTTCTTCTTCCTTTCGGATCATGCTCTCCATACCCCATTGTTCCTATCTGGGGTGAATAATACGAAACCAATCAGCCTCGCTGGTGTTGTAGGTTGTTCGTGTTGGTTGCTAACAGCCTCTGCCATGGCGCTTAGTAGTCGATTAGCACAGACATAGCACCGCCAGGGGGGTTAGAGGTGGCTTGACAGTCCAAACCACCAAACAGCCAATAATCACACACTAACCCAACACCTTACTGCTCCACCGCAACGGAGTCCGCCTTACGAACGTCAGCCCTGAAACGTATCGCAAACCCTCCGACATCGATCGAAACCCCTCCGCCATCGATCGTAAACCATCCGGAGATCAACAGACCCGGCCTTCGCATATCGAGACCGGTGCAGCGCCACAGCAGCGCCCGTCAGTGCCATACCAGTGTCAACGACGCTTGCTATGTCAGAAGGAGCCGTCGAAGCACTAGTGACCGCGGGAGTCGAGTTGCGGGTTGGAAATCGTCTGCCAAGCCGCCTGCAGAGACGATCACACGGTTTGGGCACTTTACTTGCTACTCTCGCGCGGCCGCCGCTCACCCGACCGGTTGGTTGGTCAAGGACCTACAGTGTGATGGCGTGTTGCGGCTGTTCTCTCCGTTACCTTGTTGGTGACCATTCTATTCTCTGCGACGATTTCGACTCGTTTGAGGCAAGGCGAATTCTAACCGGGGACGGAACTAACACAGCCAATACTCAAATATAGTATCTGTGCAAGCTGCTGCATACATGAAAGGTACCACTTAATCCGACAGGGACACGATGGATGTGACGAGGGTCCCGCAACCGCCTGCGCCTCGCATGTGTACTGGTTTGTTTGGTCCCACGTACAGGGCCTGGGTGTCACACCGCGCCTTGCAGGGCAGACAGAGGCTCTCAGCCCCCAAAGAGCTGAGGCCTGAGGGGCGGGTGCTGTCGATGAAACGTGCATCGCCATCTTCAATCTCTTTTTGCGGGAACATCGACAGCTGCTGGGACTGGGGAATCCTACGTGCTGCGCCAATTGATCCTCCGAGTGTGGCTGTTCAGTTTCGAAAAACAACCAACGAGTGTGGCCGTCGTTACATTGGTATGGGGCGCAGTGCTCACCCAGCACACTGCACCACCAGGTTGGGATCAAGGGACCCGGTCATGTTTCAGAACCATCTACTCTACACTGCGCTCCCGTACATGGTGATAGATCCTACCACGCCCATTTGGATGCAGCATTCTTTTCCTTCTAGAACGTCGGTGCGTTATCGGAAGGTCGGGTCCCACATCCCCGGTTCCCATCCTCTTCACCGGCCGTGGAGCAACATCTGCAGATGCTGCCATGAGCCACCCTCGCTCCCGTTCTGGCGCTGGAGGATGCGCTGCTGGGGTGACGATCCTTCTGGCCCATCCGCCATGGCCCATCAACCATGGGACCTGCGCAAGCAGAAAACCTGTGGCCCAACCAAGTGTCCAGGGTCACCTCTACCTGCAGTCCAAAACTATCCATCAACTAATTACCTAGACCGAGCAGAGCTGGGTGGGTGGTGGAACGGCCCCCACCACTTGCCGAAGAGGTGGCCCCCAAGATCATAAGCGCCGTCAGAGCAGCCCAGAGTCGCACTGCTCCTCGTGGAGCCCAATCCAACCCCAAAGTACGACCGAAGACGAGAGGGTGATACTGTGTCCCAGAGTGGGGAGTGGGACATGAGGCCATTGCAAGTCGGCACCAGGATGCATCATGTATATCCGGCTTCAGGTTTCCGGTATCTGTTTTGCCCCCCGGGGACGCCGGTCTAAATGTGGCAGCTGTGGTTCAGCTCAAGCATCCTTTTGAGAAGGATTTCTCTCCTCGGTGATGAAAGGAATGCCGACGGTTGCCAAGGTGGGCCGAATGATGGCTGTTGGGGAAGCAGACGCATTCCTTCCTCGTCACATCACAGGGTACCGTGCCGAGCTCTGAAGATTGCAACCTTCTCATCATAGAAGAAGATTTTTCTGAGTCGATACGTTTTGTTCGACTCCGACTTACCTCGCTCCAGGGCAGACCAGTCATTTTCCGTCTGTCTTCTCGAGGATTGTGATTCATCATCAGAGTCCTCGGCTAGAAGATTGTCGTCGTCGCCCAGGGCTCCATCTATGGACGGGGGGTTCATATCCGAAGACATACTTGGGAGCGATATCGAGTCGCTGCTCCATGACCCGGAATCTGACTCGGCTGCCCCACGTCGGGATTCCACGATTTGGAAGCACGCGCCCTTGATACCGATGAAGCACAGCCGGATTTCTGGGCGGAGGGTTATCACGTCTACAATCTGATGCCCCAGTTGCATGGAATCCGGTGTGGACGAATCTCTGCCTAGGCTGAGGATATGCAACGCCGTCAGCTTAGGGATATTGGGTAGACGCTGAAGAACCGTATGCTACAAGATGTTAGCGGTAGGTACTGCGGGAATCGGGAAAAGTGGAAAATCATACCCATTCCTTTGGAGGTATGCTGGCTGAGAGCTCCCTGAGAGCTCCCATGCGGCCGCTCGTCACATACAGGATCATCTCTCTCCTCAAGGGCCAGTACATGCGCCTAACGTCGCCATGATGAAGCAACCTGTCCGGGTGAGAGCTGTCCAGGAGGAGCTTCTTGAGGCTTGCATGGTGTCTTTTGACTACTCCAGTAAAGATAGGCGCAATCGGCACCACGGGATGGCTTGTACGTCGCCGGTCATGCAGGAACAAGACCTCGAGCGAGTTTGGAGCCAGGGTCTCCTTCAGAAAATGTATCAAAGCGAACGTAGTCACGTCGACGTGGATATTCTTCAGCTTCAGGTGGTAGGTTGGGGCTTCTTTAGACTGACGCCCACCAGGTCCCCGATGAGGTGCTCTACCCGGGGGTATTGGTCGGAACTGCTCCCTTAGGGCTCTCCATAATCGATCCTGGCGGTCACAGCCCAATATCGTCAGGGTTGTCATGACGGTCCAGTCAAAGGCATGAGTGGAAAGTGCCGTGTGTAGCGGGAGTCTGGCTAACTCTAGACTCTCAAGCGCTAGCTTGCAGCCGACGTCCGTCCCCGTCTTAGACGATGTGACATATGTCGCCTCCTTCCTTGGGGTTTCAGAACCAGCCGGTCCGTCATTCAATGTCGATGCCGTTTGTCTCGGTATAGGATCTGTAAGTGGCGCAGCAGCCTCGGGATTTTGATGCGCAGGTCCCAGTCCTTGGTCCGCACTAGCAGAAGTGCTCGCCATCCGGGGCGGTATCGGGCTCGAGCTCGATGGCTTGGCGTCGGAATCCGTTTCCCCCTTTTTTGGACGAGGATGGTTCTTTCGCAGATCATAAACACGGGCCAAGATGACGCCCAGGACGCCACCCAATCTGCGGTCTCCAATCCTGCTCTCGCCGGGCCAGCGGGCTTCGGGGTCATACTGCCGTAGCCCATGTTGATCGCCCTTGATCTGAGTAAAGTCGTCACTCGCGGACTTGGTGGCGATGCTAACCCGGAGCTCTTTCAGCGTGGACTTGGATCTCTCAATGAGAACCGCCAGCTCGTCTAGATATGATAACTGGTCGACATCCAGGGCAGCTATGCTCCGGAGGGCAGGGAGGATGCTGTAAGTGGGATACTGGACGTCAGATTCCGCGTAGGCAACTCTCTGGTACGGAGACAGTAGGCGGGAAGAAGGCTGGCTGCCGAGAGATTCCGTGTTGCTGCTCGGGGGGGACGGCGGCGCCGGTGGGGGCTGCTGAATTCCCGGAGGAGGTGGAGGTGCAAGGCCGTTGTGGAAGATGCGAGAACTGGACGACGACGAGCTGGACGGGGGGTCATCATGCCAGCGAACCCAGACCTCGTCGAGCTTGCCAGTACAGTCGTCATCGAGCGAAGCCAAAGCCATGAAGACATTGGAGGATAAGCCGGTGGGCATGTCCCACTTGAACGACTCGAGGTTGGCCATCTTGGGGAGAGCCAAGGCGACGAGGGTGTTGAGCATCATGCCCGCTTCGTTGGTGATGGAGTAGTCATTCACCCACTTGGTCGGGCCGTTGTTGATTTTGAAGGTCTTTATGAAGCGGGCATTACTCCCTTGCTTTCTAGGTGGAGGGAGGCCCTGCAGGCGGTGCATTGTCCGCGCAAAACGGCTACCCAGGGCGAGGCTAGAGAGGCCATATGTGAGGGCATCGAGTTGTTCGCCGATACTGAAAAAGTCGGCGTCGGGCCAGACGATGTTGAAGGCGGAGTACACATATGGAATCACCAGGTCATGAAGCGTCGAGTTGACAAGGAGCAGAGTCAGCAAATCTTCCTCGTTAGGCTGAGCTACCTAGAAGAACGGTTCAGCGATGGCGATCGGTGTAGGGTAGGTATCGAGTTGCGCGCACCTCATGGAAGATCAAGCGCAGAATGTCGACGGGCAACTTGAGGAGGGTCAGGGTGCCGGTGTCCTCGAGCGGCAGTGGAAATGGAGGCATCTCCAGGACCTTTCCCTTTCCCTTCCAGCGTCTCCGGAGTTGTTCGGCGGTGGCGGCGACGTCATCGCCGGCGTCATGGCTGCCGGGGCCGTCGTGGGTTTCGCGGTGCCCATGCCCGTGCGGCGGATAAGGATCGGAGGGCGGGGATGAGGATGAGTCCATGGACGATGGGGGGGTTTTGGTATGACGGCGAAACGCTGCAGGCAATTACATGAGGCAAAAACGAAAGGCGAAAGGGAACAAAAGGATGTGAGGAGGAGAGAGACTATGAGGCTGAGGGCGCGTGAGGGCGCTGGAGGGCAAGAGAGCAAGAGGGCGAGCGGACGAAAACGAGGCCCTGTTTGATTGATTGGACTTGAGCGTTTGCGCGTCTCACTCACAGCACAGCGACGGGTGATGGCCACTGACGCTTGCTTGTCATGCGCTGGCTGGTCTTCCGCATGGCCCCCAAACCTAGGTCTAGGTACCTATTTGAATGCGGTGGTGACTGACCAGATGCGACCTACCCTAGAGCGTTGGGTGTAACTTAAGGCCCTGGTGACCTGACTTGCCTTATGTAATCCGCTGCCCCTCCCTCTCTGCGTCCCGCACTCAGCCAAACATCGCGTATCGAGCCATTGTCGGCATTAACACTCACCACGCTTCCCCGTTGCTCTGCCCGTTCTCCCTCAACAAGATAACCCGGGCTGCTCTCTGCACTTGGCCCCGTTTCTCGCTGCTGCTTCCGGCGCGTGTGCGAGTCCCTTTTTTGTCAAATTCTTTAATTCCTTTCCCGCTGTGGACACGTTTAGTTGCCGAGGACACTTCTCCAACGTCGTCCCCCTCCGCCCCCCCACTGACGTTCGATGACATATTACACAAGCTAAACAAAACGCGGGTACCTCCAAAACGACCGCCGCCCTTGCCTGAAGCCATAACAAGCGCGGCCAGGCAGCGATCTCGCGACCTGTTCATCAGGACAACATATACAAAAACCAACCTTGAACATCGCCCCCGCCTGTAAATTCCTTGCGACCAAATCCCTCTCGACTTGCGACACTCCGCAGCCATCCTCACGTCCCTAATTCGACCCAACCCAACTCGACCCAACTCAACCCAAGCGAACCGAAGACCCCGAAGCCAAATCGCCGTCGCAATCGCAATCATGGCCTCCTTCATGGTCGACCTCTGGGAGGGCATCTTCACCCCCGGCCCCACGCCCACCCTCCTCAAGGCCACCAACGCCTCCTTCGCCGCCCTCCAGCTCGTCCTCTTCCTCCTCCTGCTCGCCACCTACAGCGTCCACTTCGTCGTCCTGACCATCCTCTGCGCCGGCCTGTGGTGGAGCGTCAACTGGTTCGCCACCGAACTGTACGCCGTCCAGGCCCGCGAGCGCGAGGAGGAGGCCAAGCGTAAGGAGAAGGAGGGGGAGAAGCAACGGCAGTCGGACGCCGATGATGATACCGAGACCGAGGTCGAGTCCGCCGACCCGGCCAAGAAGCCCGTTCCTGGTCCGGTCCCCGTCCCGGCTGCCCCGGTTGATGCGGGTCTGGAACCGATCGATCCCCGGGGCGAGGTGACGCACCGTCCTGGACCGGGGACCCAGTCGAGCGCCAGCACCGAGGACGAGTGGGAGAAGGTTTCGGAGAATGAGAATGACAAGGATAAATAGACAACGGATCTATGGAGCCGCCACTGCCACTGCCATGGCCATACGATGATAGTGGACGAACTGCGACGAGGAGGATGTTGAGGATACCCCCTAGCGACACATTTTTTTGGTTCTTGTACATGAGACAGCGTGAACATATTTTTATTCCCCCAAGTTTCGAGGTGATCATTTTTGTCTGTCGCTTTGTTGTCATTACCTGTCTTCCTCTATGAGTCCCTCTCATGAAGCATGCGAGATCAGTTCCCGTCCCGCGGGTCCCTCTTTGACGTTTGTCCGGCTTATACGACCCATTTCTACCCTTTGAACGAGCGGATATGTACCAGCGCCCCGTTTAACCCAATAAACCCAAATCCGTAACTTCCATATTCCCTCCCATTTCTTATCATACATGGCCATACATACCGTGTCTTACAAAACTCTCAGTTTGCGCGTCATGTACGCCGCAACAAGTGTGCTCATAGCCCCGATGAACAAGCACACCGAGATGGGGTTTGGTCCCTCAGAGTCAGGCTGTTTCCCATCTCCTGCCGGCTCAGAGTTCTTGCCGGGCTCTAGGATAGCGAAGACAATGCTAGCGATAAAAGTGCCGATAAACTGCGGCAGCGTGGTGTAGATATTGAGGATACCAAAGTAGATGCCAGACAACTCCCCGGTGGATGCTGTGGCTGACAAGTCATTATCTGTCCCATGCTCCAGACGCAAAGGGGCGTCGTCAGACTCGAGGTCCGGCAACTCGATATCTTCATCATGGGATATGCGACGGTAGGTAGCGCCATCCGCACTGCCACTGAGCTTATTGACTTCAACACCAAGAAAAGCGACAGGGGCCCACATGGCGAGCGTCCAGGGACTGGGATATTGATTAGTATACGTAGCGAGCAACGAGATGATGACGAGTCTTACATTCCACAAAGGCACACCAGCACAGTCGCAAAACGGAAACTGGTCGCAAAGGGTGCAAGCGCCATGGCACCAGAAAACATTAGATGTCCCAACATCCAAGCTGTCAGCAGGTCTGGTTTGACCTTGGTGAAGCGCTCTAGGAATCTGGCAATGGCTTGTGGTGGCCGTTGAGTGAAGGGTTTGTCTTCAGGCGACTTAACCAGGAACGGCAAGATCCAAGCACCGCCGAAGGTAATCATGGAGTAGATGACGAGAGAGGTGCTGCCGATGCGACCGATGTCGCCAAGCGTGTCCTTGGACTGCTTCGCATCGGCGGGGACGTCGTAGCGAAAGTAGGTCTCACCAATCCACGTGGTACTGTAGAAGAGGAAGGGGAACCAGCCGATCCAAGCCCAGAATTGAGCCCAGCAGATGGCCTGGATGCGAGGCGGGAGGTGCAAAAGGGTCGAATATATCTGACGGAAAACCGTGAAGCGGCCCTGGTGTTGGTTGGGCTTGGATGATACAAGCACTCGTTCCGTAACGGCCGAGCAGGTGACAGCCGTCGATGCGAGGATAGTGATGCTCGCGATGATGCTGAGCTGCTTGAACTGGGTGTCACCAAGCGTCGTGCCGAACATCTGAACTAGGTCGAGAGCACCGGCGCCATAACCGATCACATGGCCCACAGCGGACATCCGACTTGCTGGATACCACTAGTTAGTTGATAGTCGATCTTGGATCGAGCCAGTTCACCTACCCCATGCTGCACCCGATTGTTGCTTCTCGATGGGCAGTGTATCGACTATCAGGCTCCTGGAACATGAAGTGACTAGGCTTCTATTAACATGACGCTGGTCAAACCGTAGGAGCTGGTCCCTCCATTGTGTACCTACCCGCATTGATGGCAAAGTCTACGATGTATATGGCTATCACGGCCAGAACAATGGTTGGCATCCTGGCCGCCTTGTCATCGTGGATGAACCACCCAACAATCTCGCGTGTGAAGCCCAGTATCAGAAGGCTGACAGCTACAACGACGGCGCCGATAACCATGAGGGGCCGTCGACGACCCCATTTCGACTTGCTCTCGTCGGCGATGACACCTACAATGGGCTGGACGATCAGGCCTGACAAGGGGCCAGCAATCCAGACGAGGGAGGTATTGCTCTTGGTGAGCCCGAGGTCGAGCAGGTATGGAGTGCAGTCTGACGTAGACTTAGCTTAGCAAGTGCGTTCGAGGGGACGAGGGGATAGGGGTGAGCAAGCAAGTACGAACATGTCATTTCTATGCCCCATGTGAAGCTATCAGTGAGGCGGTTAGCTGGACAGCTCCTATGGACGCGGATGGATGTGGAATGAGACTCGACGGCGGTTGACATGACATGACAGGGCCGACGAGCTGGAGTAGTTCACAACGTACGTGATGCCAATGGTGACAAATGTCAAGAGCACCATGCGCACCCCCTCGGAGCTGCCCTTGATGGCGGGTTGTCCCGCCCAGCTGGCCATGTTGGCCGGGTTGTAGTGGTCGTAGCCGAAGGTGTCGCTGTCGTCGTGATGGCGTCTGTCGCGGGGCGTCTCGAAGTCTTGATCAGTCAAGGAATGAAGACCATTCGCGTCGGCGCTGGATGACGACGGGGTTCGCAGCGCCGGGGAGGATCCGCGAGACGAGGCTGGCACGTCAATGGACAGGGAGTGCGACAAGGCAGCGGACAAGGGTGACGGCGATGGTGACGGCGACGGCAAGGCGGAGGGCGGGAGGGCGGCGGAGACGGAGACGAAGGACGAGGAGGCCGACGACCCCGAGACGGGAGTTGGGCGGCCGGAGGAGGCGGACACCGAGACGGCGTCGGGGGCGAGGAAGCGCGAGCTCTGGCCGTTTCGCTGATGATGTTGGCGAGCGGTGGTGGTCTCGGACGGCGCTGCGGTGCTATGACGACGATGCTGTGGGAGCGACGAGCTTGTCGCAGCCATGTCGGGTTGGGTGGGTCATGGAATTGTGCTATGTACGCGAATGGGTCGGTAGGGTCGGTAATTGGGATTTCGTCGGATGCATAAGAAAATGCTTTGTTAGTTGAAGCTGCATTCGCTTGTGGTGGAGAGGAGTTGACTAGGGAGGGAGTCGACTGGGGAGGGATAGGGATGCACGAAACACACGTACCTTCCCTCACCAATACGAGTCGGATGATGACAGCAAGCAAGCACGACTCATTCGTCCGTTTCTGGTTTGGTGTGGGGGCCGCAAGTCCCGTCCGGTCCCACGTTTTACTGCCACATTAGCTTGTGCTCTCAGATCCGGGGTCGTGAACGAGCTAGTACGACTTCTGTATAATAGTCCGAATATAAGGCCATGGAATTTATCCACTTCTTGCCGATCCCTACAGTAGACTAATCGAACTGCATTCTTTCACTGTTCACTATTGCTTTACACTTATGTTCTTCCAGATTGACCTTATAGCATGACACAGGAGAGCCAGGTGGGCCGAAGATTAAGCATAGGCCCGAGAGGTTCTAAGTTGCTGTGGCTCGGCACCTTGATATAATAATACATACGTATTACCAAGAGCCAAGAGTTAATTACGGACCACTTCTCGTCGAGCTTTCTCAACATGGATACTTTTCAGTGGAGAACGCCATGTTGAAGATGGAGATAGTACCACATCGCCAAATTTTAGCTTCATAGATGGCTCGTCGTTGACTACTCAGCCCCCGCTTTACGTCACTCACGATAGATCCACATCATAGGTATGATCAAATCATTTTGGTCTGGTATCTTCGTCTTTCACCCCGATTCCATTTCCTCCTACTGTACTTTGGCTAGGTCCTGATGCTAGCCCTGCCCGCTGCTTTTCTTTGCTCGTTTGGCCCTAACATCCGAAATCTTACATACGTGCATGGTATTTTGTTCTCAACGCCGAGCACCCTCCTTCATCTCCCCATCTCTCAAATCCCCAGGGGCTTTCCATCCCTTCTTTCCTCTCCAGATAGCTCCTGATTGCACCCTCGGAGGGTGAGGAGATAGGAAAAAAGTGTCAAACAAATGAAAAGCCTAATTAAGCAAGAGAAATGAAGAAAGAGCACAAAAACCGAGCAAGTCAAAATGTGATAAAAAGGCAAGGTGAAGAGAAAAAGAAGAAGAAGAAAAGAAGAAGAAAAAAAGTAGAAAAAGAAGTGATGAAGGGAACAAAGAAGTCTGGAAAATTCATTGCTGAAACCTCATTTCCCTTGCATCTTGAATCGCAAGTCCGTGGAAAAAACGCCTCCCCCTTCTTGAGCCCTGGTACATATCCTCTTTGATGCATTATAAAGTGTCATCGGGTAATTAATCCATTCCCTGGTTTGCTCCTTGCGCGCCAACGCCCTTGCCCAGGTCTTATTGCTTTTATGCATCTGCTAGCTTTGCAAAGTGTTTCGACCAGATCCACCCTACTTGGTCAGCTGGGTCATCCTGGTTCTTTGCCAGCCATAGCTCGCCTTTCTCGGCGATGACATCAAATATCTGCACCCCGCTAGTTAGTACATTATAACCCATTGAGCGCCTTTGAACCATGTCCACTCACCTCGCCAGCCTGATAAATCAGGTAAGGGTAGCCGGCCTCATGCTTGGTGGCAACAATGTTGAACTCGAAGAGTGAGGCGGCTAGCCAGAGCACATTGTATCCATCTGCTGCTGGCGCACGCTCTCGAGACGATGCCCGAGATGACCGTTGACTCTCCTCCGGACCATCTGGCAATGGTAGTGCGGAGTGGAAGATGCCCGAAAATCTGCGGTTGCTCTCATGGGCTGGAGTGTTGGAGCTGTACGTCGTGCTTGAATCCCGTATGTGCGGTTGGGGCGCCGACTCCGTGCTTTGTCTTGGAATGCCGCCAGAATCGAAGCTTCGCCCTGTGCTGGGCCTTGTCGAGGCAGCCATTGACCGGGTGCTTCCTGGAACATCTGGTGACAATGGTGAAACTGCACCCGGCTGCTGACCGCCAATGCCCGAGTAGAAGTCACGAGAATAGTAGTGGTGTGGACTGGGAATCGTTCCTGCGCCGGCGCTGGCTGGGGACATCGCAAACGAGCCGCTATGACGCTTGAAATCGGGAGCTGGGAGGCTGGGTGCCTGATCGCCATTGATCGAGAGCCCCCTGCCCCGTGAATCGCTTTCCGACGGACGTGATCGAACCTTGAGCGAGGATGCTTCGTCCATGCTGCGCGTCGTCGACTGTGACATTCTGCCCCTGTACGCAGGGTTCAAGATACCAATGTTGGCGATTTGCTCCTGCGCGTAAGGATGGTCCCGTTGGAACGTGGTCACGATCTCCTTGAGGTCGGGAATATCGGGGCAGTCGTTGAGAACTGCCTTCATCTTCTCTTTCCAGATGCTATACCAGTTGACCTGGATGTTTACAAAGTTTCCCAGACAGATATTGCCGATCTTCTCTGTTAGGGCGGACAGCTTTGGAAGTTCCTTCTTGAGAGTGTCGTTGAGGGCGTCGTACTGCTCGACCAGCTCATTGAGCTTGGCATCGGGGGTCTTGCCCCCACGCTTTAGCTGTTCATATCGCTCGTAGTCCAAACGGCGCTTTTGCCGCTTCTTCATGGCCAGAGATGGGTTGCCGTATGCCTTGATTACCAGTTCGAATGGCTCGATGACGTGTTTTCGGACTTGTGATAACTGTGGGAATTAGCTAGGATTCATTTTAACCTTCGAAAATGCTCATCTTACGTGATCCTCAAGGGCGACCTTCTCCAGATCCCGAATCGAGATGTTGAATTGAACCCACTTGGACTCAAGTTCGGGGTAGCTTCCGGGTTGAAATCTCATGACCAATTCGATCGACGATTGATATTGAAGGAATTCGTGGACGTAGGCAGACACCTGTCTTGTGTAGAACTCGACGTCTCGCAGAACGACTTGTAATCGCAGGTAGTCATCTCCAAACTTCTCGTTTAGCTTTGCATATTCTGCGTCCTCGGCTGGTCGGTTACCCGATGCTTGAAGCTTGTCGACTCGCTTTCCGAAAGCGCGGGCGAAGCCAGCCTTGACATCAGACTCCTTTCGTTTCCTACCAACAATCTGACCAACGAGTTCAAAGTTTTTCTTGGTTTTGTTGATCTCGATGATTGCCGTCTCGAGGATGTCCTTGGCTTCAAGTAGAGCCTGTCGGTCAGGGTGATCATTCGGCGTGTGCTGTAGTAGAGTGATGATAAGGTTTGGGTACTTCGTGATGCGCTGCATCGGCTTGATTAGCAGTGAATCCAAATCCCAGGCAGCTGTCAGGTCCTTTGCAACCTCGTTGCACTCGTTGAGCCACACTTGGACCGTGGGGTCTTGCTGAATTTGGATGAGGGTTTTGGCAGCGTGGTCGCTGTTCCTCAGGAACCCTTCGTGCGCCAGCTTCATCTTCTCCATGTTCTTCTGGAAAACGGGCCCAATCGAGGTGCATCGGTCCTTGCCATCATCAATATCAGACCCATTGACCTGACCTGGCTCGGACATGAACGAGCCCTCCCTTGACAGAGCCGAACGTCGACTTTGCGGTGCATAAACGCTGGAAACAGCTTCCTTGATCTGTGACAAGAAGTAGGTGTGGAATTCGATAATCTCGTCGGTATTTCGGAAAATGAGCTTGACCGTCTTGTCGTCCAACTTGGGGCAAGCCTCCGCCGTCCCTTTGTAGATTTCCTCGACAATATTCATGTCCCTCACAAAGACCGCCTCAGTGTCGAGCAGTTCCTTGATGACGTTGCGGCGCTGCATCAGACGGTGTCGCTCCTTTCCAGTAGGTCCATTTTTGGCCTGTGCATCCAACTTCGGATCACTCTCTGTAGCTGCGGTGCTGGCGAAAAATTGGTCCTGTGTCGCCAGGGAAGCGGTCTCCATGGACTGGGGGGTTGACATCATGTGCATGTAATCTTCAGAGCCGCGCTCGGAGCCAATGAATGTGCTTCCATTCTGTGATTGCTCATAGAACACGCCCGATGTTCGTTGTGAGTTACACGCGGAACCAGAAACGGGAGTGGGAACCGGCGGTGGTTCGTGATTCGGTGACGGGACTTGGGAGGAGGAGAAGCTTTTGCTTGCTCTTTGAGAAAGGTAGGGGATAGAAAACCCAGACCCAGTGTCAAGCTCGGGCAATTGATGACCCAGAAACGATGATCGAGTCGACTCCACCGATGGACGAGGATCGAACTGGCTGGGGGGGTATGCCTCCTGGACTCGGGAAGCTGGTCGGCTTTGGCTGTGAATCGACCTGGTCTCGAAAATGGTTACATGGCCGTGCGAAGCGGGGTCATCTTCATCAAAGTCTGGCAATGCAGGCGATCTGCCAGCATCGGAAACTTCCGGGCTTTCGATTGTGAAATCCGTCCAGGCCGACTGCTGGCTGGTTCTATCAACTCCAGATATTGACGGCACCATGAGATTCACTGTAGACTCTGGTCGTTGATGGTCATATGCGGGGTAATCCAGGTCGTCCATCGTGCCAGCTTCCGAGGACTCGCACGTGGATGCCCTGTGAGATGAAATTTGGTCATCGAAATGGGATTCAGATCGACACTCCTCCGTTCTGTTGTGATCATCGGTCTCTTCGGTGCAAGCATCGGTCATCGCGTCGTCATCATAGTGGTGAATGTGCTGCCCGCTGGCACCAGGATGGTCAGACACTGATTGACAATCAGATTCATAATCGGGTTCCATGCGAGGAAACGGTATCGTGTCTTCGGTTCCGCTTTCTGGTCGCACATCGTCCGGTGGAGGCAAAACAGTAATGGTGGCTTCAAAAGGTGACAAAGCCTCGCGTTGAGCTTCATGGTGTACCTGTTCCTGGCGAACTTCTTCAGGACGAATTTTCTCATGGTCAACTTCCTCGAGCGGAAGTTCTTCATGATGCGCTTCATGTTGAACTTCGTGTTGAATCCCGTGTTGAGCATCATGCTGAATTTCGTGGTCCATATCCAGATCGTCAGTGAATGCTCCAGGAATCACAGGTGACGGAGCTGGCTCATGTGACTCTTGCACCGTGTCTTGGCTCGTTTGCGGCAGATCTGGCGAATCAGGCTCATCCTGGAATGGATATTGATATTCTATTCGGGTACGTGGTGGACTCGATGGTTGTGGACTCGGCGGTTTGATGATTGTGATGGGGACTTCCACGGGAGACAGGGCCTGCACCGGTGGGGTAGTTTGAGCCTCGTTGTCAAACTCGGTTGTCTCTGACGCTAGTGATATGGCAGTCCTAGGCCTTTCCACGGTGGTCGCAGGGGGGCTGATTGGAGGGAAGCTTCCAGGAACGCCAAGTGTCGGAGAGTCGACACTTTGTGTAGTTAGCGGGGCAAGAGGCACGGGCTTCGGATCCGTGAAGATCATGAGTGCAGCCGGGGGTAGAGCGGCGGCGATGTCGGAAGCCAACATAGAAGGATCTTCTACAGCGGGTGATGGTGGTTCCTCCGTACTATCCGTTATGGGCTCGAATGCGTTCTCGTTACTGGTATGGTCATACGAGGTATCCAGGTCAGCTACATTATCCGGAATAGCTGGCACAGGTGGAATGCCTGGTACATCGACCACCGCCGGTTCTGAAGTTGGTGTCGTGGGGGAGGTGGCGGCAATGGCAACGGCGGCAGCGGAAGCCTTTGCCCTCGCAGCCGCCTCCATGTCCTTGCGACGTCGATCCGCGGCTTTCTGCCGTGCCTCGAGGGCCTGGCTTTCGCGGATAGACTTACTATACGCGAGGCGAATGTCCTCTCTTCGCTTCTCAAAGTCAATGGGACCGACAGAAATTTTTCGCCGTCGGGTGGTGGATTCCGCAATCCTCGAGGGCGGACGCGAAAGCGTATTGGGAGATCTGGCCCTTTCTATCGCCTTCATCCGGGAACTCGCCGTGCTGGCAAGAGAAACTGGTTGACGCGGACGGGAGCTCCTCAATGTCGGGGAAAGCTTGGGAAGAGGGGCAATTATATTGGCTTGGAGCCGTGCGTTAGTAGTTGGCGTAACCAGTGCTCGAGGAGCTGGTTTTCGACCGCCGGGTGTTTGCGTCGGCGTCTTCGCTCGGGAAGTCGGGGTTTTCGCTCGAGTCGTGTGTGCGCCTGCCCTGGAGGCCCGCCCATTCGTATGGGGCCGTTTGACTGTAGATGGAGAGTTGGATCGGGTGGACGAGTGGCTTGGGGTCGGGCTGCTGAGTGTCCTCACGGATAGTGGGAGCTTGGAGGAGCCGCTCGTGGTGGTGGGTTTTCGGGTAGCTTGCTTGCGAGCAACGGGCAGAGCGGAGTGTGACCTGGGGACATCACTCTGTGAACGTGCGTGACCCTTGTGGGCAGGCTCCGGCTGAGGCTGCCCTTCGACGCTGTCCACGTTGCCGTTGAGGCTCCGATACCAGCTGGCGGGAGAAGAGGGTTCGACATCGGGGTCGGATAGACTTCGTTGGTGGGTCCAGGGATTGGAAATACTGGATTCTGATGTCCTGCGTGGTCGAGATGCTTCAATTCCATACCCCGCGGTCAAGGCATCGTGTTGCTCGGGCAAGACTTCACCAAATAGCAGACCCTGCGAGCGCGAGGAAGTGGGGGAGGAAGGAGTCGGTTGAGTTGGCTGTGGTGGGGACTTCGGGGCGAGGCTGGTCATTGACCTAGATGCATTTGGCTTCCCGCTAACAGCACTTCGAGGCTTCCCGATGCGGCTGGCAAAGGATTGAGAATTATTTGACACCTGGTCCTCGGCGACAAATTTTGATCTTTGCGAACGAAGCGACGAGGACGAAGGAGATGCAGTATTTGACGTGCCGGTGCGGCCACGCAGGGTTGAGTAAGACGTTGCACCGTTTCGCGGCTGTGTGCTGGCAGCGGCATCTCGCCTGGACCTTGCTGCAGCACCCAACGACATAGGAGCACGAGGGATGGACGATACACTAGCGCCATTCTGGTCGAAGCGCTTCTTGAGGTCCATCACGCTGGGATGGGCACCGCCAGGCTTGTAGCCAGCAGCGGTCGGCCTGCTGTCGACTGGATTCGAGGCGGACCGTATTGCCGTCCGGTTCGGGGACACGACGGGATGCCTGGGGGTCGTACCATCACCGTTGGAGCGCAACGACGGTCGAGGAGAGGAAGCGGCGGCCATGGGGAGTGTGTCGGGATTGTTGTTGAGATGGAGTGCCCGGTAGCTCTTGTAGAAGTCGTCGGGATTCACGGGGGTAAAGGCATGGTGGGCGTTGGAGGAGACAGAGTCCAGGTTGGCGGCGGCGTAGGACGCAGGGAAATGGGCGCCAGGGTCGTCGATGTCGAGGTGCTGAGCGATGGAGAGATTGAGGTGGTGCTGATCGGGTCGAGGGAGATGGCCGTGGTGGTGACGGAGGGCGGGATCGTGGGTGCGGTCTTGTGGGTGGTGGGTGTCGTAGACGCGGTCGTGGTCGAAGATGCGGTCGTGATCGGAAAGCTGATAGTCAGGGAGAGGATGCGGGAGTCGATGTCGCTGGGAGTGGTGCTGGAGGTTGTGGTGAGGCTCGACATGGGCTCCTCGTGCTGGGCCCGAGTCGGCGGCGTGGAAGTCAGCGTGGAGGTCCGCCTGGAGGCCCGCTGGGAGGCCCGCCTGAAGGTCCATGTCCATGCCGTTGTCCATGGTGGCCTGAGCATCGGTCAGGCTCGTCGAGCGGAGCGACTGGTTGGGGGACTAGAGACCCATGCAGCGAGCATCGATGCGCTGGCGTTGGCGTGGGTGTTGATGGTGTGGGTGTGAGAGCTGGCGTTGGCGTTGGCAGACACGGTGACGGGACGGTGCGGTATGGGACGGTGACAGGACCTCTTGTGGACCAGAGACCAAGGAAAGCCCGAGGGAGGGATGAAGAAGGTGAGTGGAGAGGCTTGCCCGCGGGCCGGCTGTCACTGGGGCCCTGGGCAACGAGGGGGATGCTGGCAGCGAGCACAGGGAACCCGTAGCGGGCTGGATTCAATGGAGCACCGAACAATTAGGTATTGTTGGACGATGGGATAGGGTAGGATGGGATCGGATGGGATTTCCAACCGTCACAACAAGCATAAGCCCCAGGCCCAACCAACACAACCAGAACAGGCACAGCTTTCAGGGAGAGCGAGCCCAAACTTTGGGCCGTTTCTTCGCGGTGCCTGTGCAGTGGACAAGCGTGCGCGCGGTGGAGAGCAAACGCTGCCGCACCTTACTGCATTTGTCCATCCCGTCTCTTCCATCGCCCTCCCTCAGGTACCGTCCCTGTCCAGAACGCACCCAATTCCAGTGCAGAGAGCTGCGCGAGGTACATCAGCCCAGGCACAAGCGTGCAGCCAACTTGCTCCCTCGGCTTGCAGCTGCAGTTGGGGGCCGGTGGATCGCAACCCGTGGCGGCCTACGATGGCCCTACAGTACATGCTTCAGTGGTAGGGATAGGGAATTCGCCCCCCTCACCCCCTGTAGATTTAGTGCCGGAGGAACGCAGCATTTCGCGAGACGTAGCGACGTCCTGATCAGATGCAGGCAGGCGTATCTCACCACCGGAACGGTCAGGGTGATGTGCTCTGATGTCCTGTACCTGAAGCAAGGCACAACCAGACCGGGTGCTTGCCAAGCTGGGTAAAGCGTTGTGCGATGAGGGTGGGTGAGGGTGTGGTTGCGCTGAGTGTGGTCGGTCACTTATTACTCCTGTTTGGTGGCATTTAAGAGAAGCCGAGAGCAGCGCCCTGGAACAGCGCCCTGGAACAGCGCCTTCGGCCAGCGCCCTTTGGGCTGCCGCCTTGGAGTTTGGTCACTTGGTGCGTTCCTCCCATTAGACGAGGGAACCCCATGGGAGCCCCTGTGGGCTGGAATGCGGGAGGGTTTGCCATGCGTTTTAGCGAGTGGAATGCAATGTTGGTCTTAAACACCGCATTGGCCAACACAGCAAACTCAGAGGCAACCGCTGGGCCGCATCTATTGAATCCTTTTTCTCAGGGGTCTCAGCGATCCAATCCCTCTTGCAGCTGAGGCCTCGCTGCTCGCCTCACGGTCATGAACCCGTCTCGAGCAGTCGTGTGGCTCGGCGATCATTGAGCCCAGCCCAGCCGCGTCCAGTCGAGCCCGGTCGAACCATGCAGTCAACTTCCAGGGGTTCCAGCGGCCTCCTCGACGGCCGCTTATCGATCATCCACTGAGCGTGGGCGGCGGGCATCAATCATTACGCGGGCACCTGCGAGACCTTCCATCACCATGTCCCCGACATTTCTTCTCCCGCCCCCTGATATGCCGTCTCGCATCGCCGCCTCTTTGGCTGGGTATTGGACATTGCCGTATCCGAGATGTTACCCCAGGTCGCCTCCAAGTTCCCCCCCCTCATGTTGTGCTCCCGCCCCCTATTCCGCCTTGTGTCTCCAGACTCCCGACCTCTAACTCACACATCTCGATCCCTCTTCCGCTCCCCACGTATGTATCAGCGCCCCCCCAGGAGCCTGCCTCGCACAACGATGGTGGGGGAAAACTCGTCATGCGACGGCCCTAGCAACGGTTGCGCTGGATCAAATTTCTATTCCAGAGACACCTAATCCCGGTCTGCCAGCCCCAGCTTGCCTCGTGTCCATCCCTGGAAGCCCTGATACCCCTGGCACCCTTGAAGATCCGTGATGCCCGTGAGTCCTTCAACATGCCCCGGTCCTAGTCATGTCTGGTCTTTGTCGAGTCTCGTTGCTGAAAAGCTGAAAATCAAATTCCCTCTACTCCAGCCGCACCCGGTATTCCCGAGTAGTTGAATGAGAAAAACTCTTTAATTGCCCTTGTCTACCGAGACTCCAGACTTCAGACGACGTGGTTGTAGATCCGGGGACCCATGCAAATCACCCAATTCAATCGATCGTACCATCTGGAGCATCATCAATGTTTGCTTGTCTAGGTTTCCTGGCTGCCGGCTGCCCTCCGTGCTCCCCGTCCTGCGTCGTGTTTCCGGCTACTGCTGCTGGTGATGGTGATGCTGCGGAAGCCGCCAGTCTGCTGGCGGGTAGATGCTGAATTGACCGACCAAGTCTACTTTCGTCATCGCGGATGGACCTCTGGACTCGAATCAGCCACATGAGATCGCCTCGACTCATGAGTTGTACCTGCCTTAACCCATGGACCTGTGAATATAAATAGCGCCACTCTGAAGCCAGCGCCGCGACTGCCATAGCCCCATTGCCTGATCCAGGCAAGCGCCGAGACTCCACCAGCCACGCCGTACCTAGCTAAGCCACAAATTGACAATTATCTACACCATAGCGCCGTGTAGCTGTGGCGTCGCTCAACGACAACCCTCCATCTTGACGAATACCCTAACCCGTCGCGACATGTACGCGCAACACATACCTCATTGATATGGCTCTCAATTCGAAAAGGAAGAACGGCCACAATGACGCGTCGACCTGCAAGAAACATAAAATTTCAGGCAGCGACACGCCTGTCCGGCGGGATCTGCTAGAGCGCTCCTATGCCCGTGTGGCTACATTGCGAGAACACATCCTATCTCATCTTCCTCGCAGCTCCCGCCTTCGTCGAAAGAAGATAGCTTCTTTAGGTCAGAATGAGGGAGCCGGCGACGTCGAAACTCAGCTCGCCCATCTTCTGGATACCTCTCTCGTCTGTACCCATCAGCTAGAGGGCCAACGGGAAGACACAAGGTGGGAGCAATGGCTGTCATTTTCCCAAAAGGGAGATGAGTCGCATGTGACTCTTTCCGATGGTCTTTCAGGCTCAATCTATTCCCAATCCGAGGTTCGTAATAGAAGTTTGTGCATACTGCCCTGTCGCTCACGCGGTGACAGATTGTTGACTTTGTCATCTGGCTACTTTTCTCAAGAGAGCTGAAGGCAGGAAAGCGACCTAAGCATCTCCTATGCGATGGATTTAGGAGAGGCACTGGCCCTGGTGAACAGGGCGGGGTCATTGTTCCCGGCCTTTTTAGTCTCTACCCGAATTCAAATGTCAAAGCCCTCAGAGAGGCACCTTGGCCACAACTGTTGGCACTCCTCGGAAAATCTGGCGAGAAAATGATGATTGATCTCCTTATCGATTACTCCATATATGTGGCTATTAAGGCAGGTTTCCACAACTACGAACAGCGAAGTGGTCAGATACCCTCTTGGTTTCCTCACCTTGACCCTCACTCACAATCATAGGTATTCCCATATCTGAGCTTGACCTGTCTGGAAGCGCCACATCGTTCGGAAAGGCCGAATTACCGGGGTCCCGAAAGCCTGCAGAAATCACGCTGGTGAGAAGCAGAATATTCTACGCAAAGCCGTCCCTCACTGCAAGGGGACTAGTTCAGCCAGGATTCAAACATATCCGTACGCTGGTTCTAATACTGTTGATGCCCTCGATATTGTCGCTAACCGATCACAGATGTTCTCAATCGATGCCCTCGCATGCCAAAATCTGTCGAGCCGGATAAAGCGGTAGGCGACTTAGCAGTCGACGTGGAGCAGCGACGAAATATCATCAAGATTATGATGTACATGTTTCCTCTCCAATTCGGACTCCACAATGTCTTTAACTCACAAGTCGATACCTCTCAAACTGCGCAGCGATTCCAGGATTACACCCTGAGAGAGGAAGAAATCACGCTTGCTTTCCCACGAAAGCCCGATGGGCAAAGCCAATTGCCGAAGTTGCCAAAAAGATTGCGCGGTGATGCAGAAAAGCTTGTTGAGCGGCTCCAAGTTCGGCATGGTCGTTGTTCTTTTATTGAGCTCCTTAGACACTACTGCCCTTGCATCTTCGATGTGCAAAGTCGGAATCGGAGGCCAGGCCCGAAGAAAGATGCCGCTGTATCCTGCAAGGAACAACCCACCATGACAACTACTCAAAGTCGAAGCGCTTCCAAGAACCATTTCCGTAAACCACAGCCCAGCACTCAAGTGCCTCCTTCGCCGCAGTACAACAAACTCGTGGAGATAGCGACCCCGTCGTCTCAGGTCTCGGCGTTCTGCCAAGCCGTGCTGTCAAAGATCATTCCAAACCAGTTTTGGGGGGATGACGATACCCAGATTCACAACAAGGCCATGATTTTGCAGAAGATTGATCACTTTATCAAGTTGAGACGTTTTGAGGCCATGTCACTGCATGAGATTTCCCAGGATTTAAAGGTACAACGATCACATATTTTTTCCATTGTGTCTCTGACGAACTTTGAAACCCTGCAGATCACAGACATTTCCTGGCTTCAACCTCCTGGCCTCGGAAACCAGAAACCTAGTAAAACAGATACTAACAAACGACATGAGATTTTTCTTGAATTTTTGTACTACATCTTCGATTCCCTTTTGATACCCCTTATCCGCAGCCACTTTTACGTTACAGAGTCCAACTCTCATCGATACCAAGTGTTTTATTTTCGACATGAGGTCTGGAAGTATATTGCAGAACCCTCAATGGCAAACCTTAAGGAGACCATGTTTGAGGAAGTCAAATTAAATGATGCCCTGCGAATACTCGAGTCAAGACGACTTGGATTCAGTCAGATCCGTTTGTTGCCAAAGGGCGACAAGTTGCGGCCCATTACGAACCTGAGGCGCAGAGCTCTAGCACGAGGGGCACCCAAGGTCCTTGGTCCTAGTATCAACTCAATACTCGGACCTATCCATACTTTGCTGAAGCTTGAGAAGGTAAGTGAAGGCACAAGTCTTTGGAACGTAAGCTGACATATCTAGACCCTCAACCCCTCGAAATTGGGCTCAACCATGTTCTCTGTCAGTGACATGTACACTCGCTTGAAGGAATTCAAGGAGAGACTAGGGCCGAACCATGGCAGATTGTATTTTGCTAAGGTGGATGTCCAGGCAGCCTTCGACACCATACCGCAGGCGGCAGTTATCAACCTGATGGGGTCAGTTCCGAGCCAGCCCAAGTACACAATCACAAAACACGTCGAGGTCAAGCCCGGCGACCGAGTCGAGCTTCAGGGGGACAAGGCGCCCACCAAGGCAATACGTCGGTGGCACGCAACCGCAATACCGGAGGGTAATATCTCATGCTTTTCAGAACGACTCGAGGCAGGTTTGGGGGGCAAAAAGAAAAACACAGTCTTCGTGGATAGCGCCGTCCAAAAGACACACAGTGTACACGAGCTTCTGAGCCTCCTGAAGCAACATGTAGAGCAGAACCTTGTCAAAGTGGGCAAGAAGTACTATCGGCAGAAAATGGGGATCCCGCAGGGATCCGTCTTGTCGTCCTTCCTATGCAACTACTTCTATGCCGACCTCGAGAGGACGCACCTTAGCTTCCTGGTTGCGGCGGACACTCTGTTGCTGAGACTCATCGATGACTTCCTTCTCATCACCTTGGATCGCGACAAGGCCACCCGGTTCGTGGAGACAATGCACCGTGGCCTCCCCGAGTATGGCGTTGTAGTCAACCCAAAGAAGACGTTGGTCAACTTTGACATGTGGTGCAGCGGTGGAGATATCCACAAAATGGATCAAGGACCTGGGTTTCCATACTGCGGAACTCTTATTGACTGCCAGACTCTTGATATTACCAAAGATCGTCAGAGGGACGCTGGCGTCGGTAAGTGTTATGACCAACCCACCTTACTACTGATAATTCTATTTCTGACGCAAAATAGACATATCAGCTTCTCTCACGGTCGACTTCGGCCGTGCTCCTGGCCAGAATTTCCAGCGCAAAGTCCTCAGTGAGCCCACGGCATATAGTCTTGTGCTTGAAGAGCAAACGACTAACATAATGGGATATAGACGCGTTTAAGATTCAATCGCACTTGATGTTCTTCGACACTGCGCACAACTCAGCCCGGGCTGTCATCACGTCGCTCAACGGTGCATTCGTCGAGACGGCCAACAAGATGTGGGCGTATATGCGTTGCCTCGGCAAATCTCAACGACCCAGCAACAGCATAATTATCCGTGAGTTTCCCCGAATATTGTATCCTATTTAGCTGCTTGTTAAAAAATCTACACTGTAGGAACTATTTCCAAGGTCATTGATGTTGCTTTCTTACTGTTGACCAGCAAATCCCGGACGATGCGGTATCCTCAGTATGCATGCGGCGTGCGGAAGACCCAGGTGGCCTTGTAAGTGATTCAATTGATTAGCCACCGCTTCGCCGGTATTGATTTTCATGTCTAACTGGAACAGGATTGCTTGCACTGCATTTACCAAGGTCTTGTCCAAGAAGCCTGCCAAGCATCACGAAGTCATAGAATGGTTGCGGGCAGAAACCGAGAGACTGAGCTCGGGGAAGAAATGAGAGGTTCGACATGCCACTCAAGGATAACGGTCAATACTATTTCCGACATGGACCGAAATGGAAATGACCAGTTGTCATTGTAGCATAGTGCGATAACCTGTTCGACCATGATTGCTCTACCCATATCCTAACACCTAATCTGTCCAGGGTCTAAGTGCGATCCTCTGTCTATCTATCCAATAAACCAAGACCCTTTACAGGAAATACCTCGTACTATTCGTCTATAAAAAAATACCTTGTTTAGAACCCAATTCATGAAATAGCAACTGGTTAAATCTGTAAACCAGTGGTCCACCAATGGTCTCCTGAATACCACTTCGGGAACTGCTGCTGGTTCCATCGCCACCAATGGTCATTAGGATGACCGAAACCAAAAAAGCGGAAAGGAGATATAGGAATAGGCTCGAGGAGCCAGAGTCCCGTCGACGCAATGTCGTCGCAGAATAGGTGGGCGGTCATCTGTAGCCAAGCGACGGTAAACACCAAATTGAAGATCTGACGGAGCATTTTGGGGAGACGGGGAAGGTAGGTGTCGATGATGCAGTTCAAAGAATTCTGGATCATAATGCCTGGAGGCTGGAGGAGGAAAAACGCTGGAGAGCGCCAGATCTTGGTCTTGGGCATGGAAGACTGGCTCCCTGATGCATGGAGCAGGCCCGACTGGAAAAAGCACACATACATGGTGACGATCTGGGCAGTCAGGGTACCCTTTGACAAGTAGCCATTTCTGATGAGATAGGCGGCTGGAGAGCTGAATTGCAACCGGAAGGTCTGATGCCAGCAGGATCCCCACCAGCCAGCCAGGCCTCTATCGAAGACCTGGGAGAAGGAACCAAAAATGGAGGTGTACTGCCAGAGTTCTCCACGCATAGGGAATATATGAGAAAAGATGAAATACTGGAATAGGTCGTGGAGGTTGAAGATGGCGCCGATGGCAGCGAAGATGCCGGATAGAGCGAACAACTCACGGTAGGTGGCCAAGGCCCAGGGGGGTAGCAGACTCAAAAAAGAAGGCAGCTCGTGGCCGCTACTCCGCTCGGGGCCGAAGATGCAGTGAGGATCTTTCATGCCAGAGACGGCGAGGAAGTCGAGCGCCAGATACAGGACGGTGACGGTCCCAAGGCGGGACCAAATAAACTCGGACTTCGTAAGGCTGCGACGGTATCCGCTCCTGGAGACGACAGGCATGCTATCGAGCGAGACAGGGTCCCCGGACCGGATGCGAGCAGGGATCTGCGGCAGGGGAACGGAGCGGATAGAACAGTTCCAGCCTGGGTTGTTGGCCAACGTGTTAGCAGGGAAGCTGGGGTTGCATCTCTTCGGAGAGGCCGAACGCACCTATGCACCTGAAGTTGGTGACGAGATCCATGGACCAGTTGAGGCGCTGCAGGAATGAGCCGTGGTCGGGAAATGTCTGCCAGACGTAGTCGGGCTCCTCGTGTTGCGAGTTGTCGCCGTCATCTCGGGATATCTTGGAGGTGGCATGGATATGGGTTCCGGATATAGCGACGGGGTCTGTTGTGCGTTGTCGCAGCCCATTTCTCCGCGGACCCTCACCGTTGAGTTTGGAGGAGCTGCGCATCATGTCGCCTCTGTCACCTCTGTTCTCTCTGTTGTCTCTGTTGTCTCTATTCCCTCCTCGGGGAAGCAACACAGCCCTAGCAGCGTCAAACTGCGGCCGGGACCAAACGAGCAGATGGAGATTGGACAGAATGCCCCAGGAGCCCATGAGACCGGCTCCATAGGCGCAGGCGACGTTGTAGCTGCTCACCGAGCAAATCAGGTCGAGGTTCAAGCCGACGACGAGGCCGGCGACGAGCCATCGGGTGCGGTAAAGCCAGGGTCGCTTGGTGTGTGGTACGGCGAGCCAGAGCGGCGTCAGGACGAAAGAGCCCAGCAGGGCGTACGGGAGAATGAGCGGGCGGGTGCGCTGCTCGGCTACGGCGCGGACGAAGGCGTCTCGGTAGCTGAGCCTGGCGATGTCTCCCAGATCGGGCAATAGAGTGGTGGCCATGGCGGTGAGATTGGAGAGATGCGCAACGCAACGCAACGCAACGTTGCGAGTTGTAGCGCGTCGGAGCGAGTTGTAGCGAAGTCCTAGGTGGCCCCCTCCCTAACGCCGTATCATGACGAAAGAGAAGAAAGGAGAGAAGTTGCTGGGGTCGGCCTGGCTTAAGTCGGACGGCCTGCAGCCTGCACTGAGATTTTGGGTGGAACACACGGGATGGAAGGGGTTGTTTGTTCCCTCTCTTTGGGCTTCACTTTTTGCGCTTTTTGCGTCAAATTCATTGGGTCATCCCTCAACGCCCGGCGATGACTTTGGGGCTGAGCTAAGACCTGTCCATAGTAGGTACCTGTAGTTGGAGCGAGCTTGCTGCGTATTGGAGGTGGAAGTCAGATGGAAGCATCATCGATACACCGAGACGGTCCACGTCGTTAGTGGAGGGTCGAAATAGGTTCCAACGGGTTGGCTACACCACCGCGAAGCTGGCTGACGTGGGACGCCGGAATTCCCAACCCAACTATCATTCAGATGTTGAGAAGAATTGGCCTCGTCACAAGGCAAGATTTGCGACAATAGCGCAGGTGACCCGTTGTGGTGATGTATGTGGGCAGGCGTCGGGTGCTTGTAAATTACAAGGAGCTACAGGGTATTACAGGGCCTTCCAGGGCGCTGACATGGCACAGTAGGTGTCTGCCGCCGGCGACGGGGTGTTCCGGGTGGGTGCCTGTACATCGGCCCCCAGGTGACATTCGCCGTCAGCCCTATGACCCTCCCCACTGTGACATCCCCGCTGTGACCTCCCCACTGCCCCTCCAAGACGCAACACATCGGATTTACATGGCATCATGATACATCCGCATCCCTCCCGACCGTACCTATAACCAATCAGGGTTCACTCGCCGTGGTGCTCATGGAGTGGAGAGAGTATTTGTCAACGAGTTTCGACCGCTGCTTGACTGCTCGACTGCACACCCTGCGCCATGCATCCAGTACAACAGCAGCTTGGTGTGCAAGCAAATGCAAGCAAATGCAAGCAAGTGCAAGCAAATGCAAGCAAGTGCAATAGCTCCGCCTTCGCTGACTTGAGTGGGTAGGTAGCTCTAATTCTTGGCTCTGACATTGCCATATGAGAGAAGAGAAACGGGGCACGGGGTTTGGGATTCTTGCGGTTGGAATGGCGAGCACCTCGTATTCCAACCGGTGTCCTGCACGCAGGCTTCATCACAGGACCATGACTGACCCCAATGCTCCAGATCCTTCGTTCGACAACGGAAGATACGGGTTCCATTGTGTCCCGTCCCGTTCTTCCCACTGTATATGGTCTTGACCGGACATGTTCAGACGGCGACTGAATCAATAAAGTGGAAGAAAGCCTGAACCACCACAACGCATGGTGAGCTACAACAGCTCTCAACTTACGTTGAAGCCCGAGCTCGGCATCTCAGATCTCCCCACCCTACCGACGCTTCCCGTCCTTTAGCACGACAGAAACATCAGACCCATGGCTAGCTGGACATGCAAGCACAGACCGAGTCCCAGGCGCAGGCGCAGATGCAGGCAAAGACAAGAACCTGGAACACAGCCGAGATCTATCAACACGGCCGAGATCGAATGACTGGGTCCCTGTTCGGCTGAATCACGCCAGCGTCCCGGAGTCGCCATCGTGTCAAACCACCATCTTGATGGATCCATGGCCAACGTTATTGGCTGCTGCATGGAGACACGTCGGGTCGCTCCTGTACGTCAGATATCGACAGCACCAACAGCTGACGTGGGCCAGTCCCAGCCAAGACATTTTCGAGTGAAGATGGCTGGGGTGTTGGTGAGGGATGACCCCACGACCTTGTCATTGGGGATTGCCGGACCAACAGGACGGTACGAGTCTTACGAAAGCCCATCTTGGCGAGGCTGTCGACGGCACAATCGAGTGCAAAGCTCAAGCTCCGAAAGATCTGCAGCGGGGTTGAGGCAAAATGATGGAATAAACAGCGCTGGCGACGGTGGGGTTGGGAAGAAACCCCCTCCCCCCTCCCCCCTCCCCCTTCTCTCTCCCGTTCTCTGTTGACCGTATTTCTCGACTGGCCTCTAATTAAGCTGGGTATTTCTACAGTGGAGAGCTACTCTGTAGGCAACGAATGCGAGGGCGAATGCGAGGTTCATCCCTGGGATCAAGCCTTGGCAGGCATATGGCATCCACAACCGGGCGACTTTGTGGGAGTCAATGCGGCGGTCGTCACAGCCCTATCGGCCACGGACCTTGAGCATATTATCCCGTGGCAATGGCATGGCCACCAGGCAAGCAGCGGGAGCGGCAGAAGAGCAGCAGATGCAGAGGAGCAGATGCAGAGTCTCCGCCACTCCCGGTGGACCGTCAAACGGGCCATGCATCAGTCCCGCCGTCCCGTCCTCAAAAGAACCACATAGCCACAGAACCAAGCGACCAAAGTTCCAAAACGGACCCTTCTTCGGCCTGCCAAACGCCCAACCTTGCTCGGCTGGAGCCATTCAGACGGCCGCGCGCGCGTCCCGGGTCCGGGCGCTGGGCTCCTGGACGCTGATTTGACTCGGCGGCCCCATCTCGGACCCCATCTCCTCACTTCTCCTCACAGGGCTGAACGCACTGCAACGCACTGCAACGCAGCAACACCACAACCCCCTTGCGAGTGGTGTTGCGCTAGACCCGGCTTTATAACCATAGATGCGGGACCTTCCTCCGGTCCAGTGGCTTGCTTAGCTTTCTTGGCTTGCTTGGCTTGCTGGGCCGCGTTGCGCCATGCGTCTTGTTGGCGACCGACCAGGCCTAAGTGCTGACAGTTCAACCTTCTTCCTCCCTCTTAGTCGATTGCGGTGCTTCATCTCGACTCCTGCACCTCATCGCCCGTTTTGGTTGTAACTCGCGCTCTCGCTCTAGCTGCCGGTACTTGTTTCCGCCATCGCTGGCATCCTCCATCCTGTCCTGCTCTTCTTCTTATATGAAGGCGACGCTTCGGGGGATTTGTTCAAGCGTCGGAGACTTTTCTGTCTTTGCTCCACATTCATCACCCCGACTCCGTGTACCACTGCGCAGCTTGTTGGTCAAATTCAACATTGAGCACCGAGGCGGTATCGACATCGACCCGTCTTTGCAAATCGTCTCCGTCCTCCGTCCGCCGCCATGAAACCTTCCGTCCCTCCTCCGGCCCCGGACGGTGTCCCCAAGCACCGGGCCTGCGATGAGTGCCGTAAGTGCTCCTGTTCCGAACCCCTGATCCGGCCCATCCGGCGTCCGGCTCGGAGACTTATTGACCAGCCATTTAGGATCTCGAAAACTTGCCTGCTCCAAGGAAGCCGATGGATGTGCCAGGTGCCGGAAAGAGGGCATTCAATGCCACTATTCTCCACAGAAGCCCATGGGCCGCCCTCGCAAACGACGCCATGTCGAGGAAGAAGCCGTACCCGCCGTCACTCAACAGCTGGTGCGCGATGACTTGACCACTCCGCCTTTGGGCACAATGAGCCCCCAGCTACCCATCTCCATGGGTAGCTTTCAGATGCAGCCGCCTCTTCCTGTGGACCCGAGTTTCAACTTCCTCGATGACTCCGGCCCTTCCAACATGGAGTTCTGGGATCTCCTCCCCGGCAACTACCTGGAGATGCCTACTGATCCCAACCTCTTTCTCCCCACCGATCTTGACCCAAGCGGAGGAGCACCTGTTGTTCCTCCCATGAACATCACCGGTGTCGACCTTCTGGGATCCATCAACTTTAATGAGCCGGACCATTCACAGGCCGTCTCAAGAGACCTCAGCGATTCCTTGCAGCGGTACATGGCCGAACAAGTAAGCTTGCCTCAGCGAACGAGCTCCTCGACGCCCGCCAACTCATCGCTCGGCAGCGATCATGGCACGTCGGTGGGTTCCCCCGACGGATCCGTCTCGACGCCGCCGCCGCCGTCATTGCGGGCAGTCCCAACCATCAACTGCAGCTGCCTCTCGTCCCTCTTCCTCGCACTCGACAGCCTCTCCCGCCTGCCCCAAGAGGTGATTCCGGCCATGCGCGTCGCCCGCAACGCGTCCAAGGTGGCCCACGACGTCATTAACTGCCCTAGTTGCTCTGCTCCGCTCCTCGACGGGTCTTTCGCCCCACCGCCGATCCAGTCCTTCCAGAACCTCATGTTCCTGGGGACTCTGGTCCCATCCGCCTGCAACGCCTACGCTACTATCCTAGAGATGGTGGACACCGAGACAGCCCTGGCCAAGAAGCAAGGACGCACTTTTTGGTTCTCCTTCAAGGACATCGGCGGCCTGTGGGGAAAGGTTGGCGAATCATGCGACAACTGCTCCGCTATACACACCTACAACAACTCCAGTATGGCCCCAGACCTGTGGCGGATGACGATCCGTGCACTCTTGCGGCTCGACGTGTACGGCGTTGGCCAAATTGACTCTGGAACGCCGAGCAATGAGATGTACACCCAACTAGGGCTAAAAGACGTCGTGACCCTCCTGGAGGAACGCACACGCAAGCGCCATGATATGCTCGATGAGCTCATCGCAACCGGGAATATTGCAAAGGCGATGCCTATGGGCGTCATCTACCCGAATAAGCCATGCACCCCCGAGGAGCGCAACTGCGTCAGGATCCTCGAGACGGCGCGCGTGGCCCTAGACAACCTCGTCATCGCCTAGGGCGTCTGGAATTCTTAGAATCATGAGCGGAATGAAAGGCATCTATTCAAGGTGGATGCTATATACTATCTTACTGGGAGATGGATGGAACAAATGGCGTGAATATGGACGAAATGAACAGACCAGTCGGCCGTTATGAACTTGGGAGGCACAGGCATCCTGGCATTCAATATGGGTGAGTTAAGTTCGACAAACATGGGAGGGCGTTTAATGAGTTTCATTGCACTCTTAATGACTATTTATATTTCCGGGGGCTCAAGGCTACACAATCTATTGCGAATCTGGGTGTAAGATTCTTGAAATGAATGCATCAAATCGGCCTTTCTCTGCGTGTATTATATTATGCCCGTGTGACGTTTGCTTCGGATGCCGAAGGCCCATTGAGATGGATACCCGAACATACATACACTGGGGCGCAGAAAGTTTGTGCCAGAATGCTTGTACTATGACAACTTCCTTGAGTATAACAAGATAGGTAGTATGTTCTTCTACATGAGAATAATTTTTCTTTTTGAAAGAAGTAAGAATACATGATTCTCATAAAGTTAATAAGTACGTAAATATGCGAAGGTAAATATAAATAAATACTTTACCCCAACCCTTACTTTATCTCTTAACTATACTGGTGATGGACTTTATTCTAATATTCCTGGACTAGTGTATTGTATGAGTGACCTGGATCGGATGCAAACTTTGTGCATCCCACCGTATTACAACTGCGGACATTTCGTCATCGGGATTGGCCACCCAGAGTAAACCCCTCCACAGACCTCGGCACGACGGCTGTTGGCCTAGTCACTCGAGAGAAATACACCAGCTAACTGCGCCATGTTGAATTTGCTGAGTTTCATTCTTCCGTGGTATATATAAAGGCCCTAAGATGCCATACTCCAAAAAATAATAGGCTACCAGTACCCAAACGCGATGGACCCAATATATCCAGCCCTCCGCGGCGACTAGCCAACCTGAGCCGATACAACGCCGTCAATGCTATACTTAGATATCCAGGAATGATGCCACACCAATATACTCATCCCTCCAACCACCCCATACATATCATCGATCAATGACTAACGCCTGAAGATGGAACAGTTTCGCGTTCTGGGATCCCCCATTGGCATCCCCTCAATCATGGTCCTCCATCATCCCGAGAACATCGAGTTCGGTGTGAATGAGACGCTCAAACTCGTCACGGTTGATACCCGAGGATCGTGCCAGAAAGTACAAACTGCGGATGCTACGGGACACGTGCTGCTTGACGCCAAACTCATTTTGCTCCTGCTTGTCGGCTGTGGCTTCAAGCTTGGCAACGGTCTGAGAACCGTTGGAGCTAGCGCTCGAGGCTGGTCGCGGGTGAACGAGTGCAGAAAGACGATCGGCATCGTCTCCGCCTGAATTCGGATTCGAGTCGGTTTTCTCGAGCTCAGCGAGAGTCCATGCACCTTGCGTCTCGTTCAACTCAGTTGCCTCCGGAGACTCGTGGGTTTTGACTTGGCTGAGACCCAATGGTGGGGCAATGTGTGCTTGCTCCGTCGCCTCGTCAGGGTCGTGGGGGTCCATGGCAGGCTGGACGTCATCATACTGGGCATAGTAATCGTCCTCGGCCGAGGCTGAAAGTTGGCCGCCTGCTTGGGACGTGGTCATTGACGGGGGAGCGGGAGATTGCTTCTGGGCTGGTGATCGCGCAGGCGTGGCATCATACCGCGCCCAATAATCGTCGTCGTCGTCGTCATCGCCATGGTCATCGCCAGGGACATGAAGGGTGTGGTTGCCGGTGCCGTTGAGCTGGGGGGCGGGCTTTTTCGCCTGACTCTCCCCGAACTGACGTTCAGCTTCTGCCAGGGTCGAGAATCCTCCGAACTGCGAGAACGGCGAAGGCTTGTCAGCAACTGTTGCCTCGCCGACCCTCCACCCATCGCCGCCGCCCTCTTTATCGCCGACGCAATGGAGAAGTTGGAAAGCTAAGCCGAGGCTGTCGAGCACGACGAGGGCCTGTATAGTCTCCTGATCGACCCGTCGAAAGCGGATCTCGGCATCGTAATCCCAGTCCACCTCAACTTCGCCAGACACTGGATGCGGCTCCAGACTGCCACCCTGGGCAATCTCGGCCAGCTTCGCAGCTTTGGCCGTGTCGTAACACAACAGTCGCAGCCATGGCTCAGTGCTGGACGAAGACAGGAAATTGACTCTCTGACGCAAGATGGGGGAGAGGAGCGGCAAGATGCCAATCGCCGGTTGAGTCGACATGGAGGCAGCGGGGAGGGCGGGGAGGAAGGGAGCAAGGAGCTCCCCCGGGTTCGGAGACGGGATGTGGGAGGCCATTATAGAATTCGGAGAATCGAAGGCGGAAAGCTGAACGGCGCAGACAGCTAAGCGAGAGGGAGATGTAGGTGGATGCGCTTCAGATGCGCTCTCGCCGTCTCCCACTTCGGCTTTGTACTGAAGAGTTTTTGTCGGACGAGGGGAGTCGAGGTCGTTTAACTTTGCGATATGGGACTTCGCATGTGACGGCCGGAGGTGGTCTCGGTCGTTCCGCGGAGGAGAGGACGGGATGGGAGGACGGAGCGGGCTGGCACCTGGTCGACACGTGCTGACGAGATCGACAAGGGCTGGATGTCGACGGAGAAACGAGATGGTGGCCAGAAAGGTGCACGAGAAGTTGCACTAAATAAGGATCATGGAAGAGAGAAAAGGAGAAAGATGGAGGAAGAAGACGAAAGTGGATGGGCATCAGGGGACAAATATGCCGGAGAAGTGGAAGGACCAGAGGCAGCAGCAAGTGCAGTCGCAGCGGCACCTTCCTCCGTCAAGTGACGCGCCGCCGTCGTCCGGCCCCTCTTGAGCGAAGCTGGGCGGGAGCCACATCTGAGCTCCTGCTCGCAGGCAAGGCCGCAAGGGCAGATGGAGGCACCTGCGCCGCTTCCGGGGGGGGAGGGGGGGATGTTCCTTCCACAACGCCTGCCGATGGGATGCCGAACTGGCCCGGCCAATGAGGCAGCTCCGGAATGGGCAGCACCCTGCTGGCGTCCACTGTGGTGATGGCTTCAGCGGCTGTCAGTGGGCTTTCAGTCGCCGTTTAGTGGGTGGCTTGCTCGGGGCAATGGAAGCTAACGCCGTGAGGCTCGAGGGCCCTGTGGGCCCCACGGTGGGATCCGCTGACTCGGTACGTGTGTGGTTCATCGAGCATTCGAGTGACTGCGCTCACCAGGTATTTGCCTTGTGGCTTGTTCGCTGATCATCGTGGATGCTTGTTTGTGCGCTGTCTCGATGCCCGAGTCCCATGACATACTTGGGTGGGTGAGTGACCTCCTTCGACTACTACAGGTCAATGTGGCCTCGTGAGCCACGACATAACCAAGTGCACGGCGTGTATTTTTGTGCTATCAGCTGTGTCTTTCGTGAGATGGCGACCTGGACTTTTCACTTCCTCAACGTAGCGTGTATGTACGACACAGTGAGATTTGCCACGGTTTCTCACTCTCTCCGAGTGGCTTTCGGCCGGGGGTCAACGACGGCCCCTCTTCGTCGCGGCTGTGTTGCTGCTGCGGCAGTGACATGCTGAGCCCTGCGGCGCCGGAGCATTTCCGTACCGAATCAACCGTACCTCCGAAATCATTGGAAATCAATCAACAAGCCGACGGTTGGTTCCAGCGGTCCGAGCCAGTGGGGCCGGGGTGTTGAAGTAGATGCCGTGAACAGTGAAGGTTGGGAGTTTGGGGTCCGTCTGCTGGAATGGCAAGCCTAATTGCGCTTTATTCGCGACGGATCTCGCTAAAATGGACCCCCAAACTGTCTGACCATGCCGGAAACAAGGCCCCCAACCGAACGGCGGCGGGAAAGGAGAAGAACATCACCCAACCCACGAGGTGGTCCGTCCAGCAGATCCCGCCTCCGGAGATCTGATCATCTCGGGCGAGTGGCATGTCTTTCCCAGGCCCAGCATGCCAGCCCAACCTCGGTCTACAAGTACTGAGGGCCCTTAATCGAATACAAAACAAGTAAACGCCCATCCGGAGCAGACGCAGGGGAAATTTCAACACCATGCAACCCCAACCTTTTCTTCACAACGCACCCCCATCGCATTGCATCCCTGATTCCTTCTGATTATCAACCAAATCCCCCCCCCCCCAAAAAAAAAAGCTTGTCGGGGGATTGTACCTCCGCTGGCTTGTTGAACCCGCCGCCAACAACCGTCTCAACCCGTCCCGATGCCCCTGGTCGCCATGGCGTCACTGCTACTGCTCCGTCGCCCTCCAAAACTTTTGCGCGGGTGACCCCGGGATTTTGGCCACGCCAACCAGATTGCAGATTGCAGATTGCATTCCCACGACGATAACCTCAACCTCGACTCCCCAGGATACAGGCACAGGCGCGACACACTGAGTACTCCTTCTCGTATTTTCTCCCGTACGGTCTTGTAATACGCAGCGCATTTCTTGCCACTTGGCATCCACCATACCCCTGCCCTCGCCCTCGCCTTCGCCTTCGCCTCTCGGTACTCATCCTCCGAGAACTTTTACTTCCCGTCGCATCTTCTTCCGCCGAATCTCGGCGCTCGTCAGCAACCTTTTTTCGTCATCGCCGCCGCGCCCATCGTCGAATACATCGCCATATCCTGATTGCAATAGCTTTACGCAAATAAGGCCCACCGAGGGTGGATTGAGCAGCGGATTCTGCGCCACGGTCCGTAAGGTCAAGGCCGCATGCATGTCACACAGAGATGGAGGCCGCCTCAAGGATGAGGTATGATAACCATACACGATCCCAATCTCGTTCTCGATCGTATCAGACTGACGTATCGTCGTCTAGGGCTCTAGGCTGCAAGTCGTGTCGGCCGGCGCGATAGCGGGTCTGGTATCTCGGTATGCTTCCCTCCTCTGTCGCATTCAACACCAAAGACTAACAACTCTATCTGCAGCTTCGTCGTCGCGCCTCTCGACGTCGTCAAGATCCGCCTTCAACTCCAGCCGCACTCCCTCTCCGATCCCCTCCTCCCCCTTCGCAACGCACCGGCTTATCGCGGCACTTTCGCAACCCTCCAGCACATCATCAAGCATGAGGGCGTCACCGGACTCTGGAAGGGCAACGTCCCTGCCGAGCTGATGTATGTCTGCTACGCCGCCATACAGTTTACCACCTACCGTACCACCACCCTCTTCCTCCAAAACTCCTTCCAGAACCGCCTCCCCGATGCCGCCGAGAGCTTCATTGCCGGTGCCACCTCCGGCGCCACCGCTACGAGCCTTACATACCCCCTCGACCTCCTGCGCACACGTTTTGCTGCACAGGGGCGTCATCGAATTTACAGGTCCTTGCGTAGCGCAGTCTGGGAGATCAAACGTGATGAGGGATGGCGAGGGTTCTTCCGTGGCATTGGCCCAGGCCTTGGCCAGATCGTCCCCTTTATGGGCATCTTCTTTGCCACATATGAGTCGCTTCGGGTATCTTTCGAAGGCTTGCATATGCCCTGGGGTAGCGGTGATGCCACTGCCGGCATGCTTGCAAGCATCTTCTCCAAAACAGCCGTGTTCCCCCTCGACCTCGTGCGGAAACGTATCCAAGTCCAAGGGCCCTCCCGGAGCAAGTATGCATATAACAACATCCCTGAGTATTCCACGGCACGAGGAGCTATCCGGTGCATTATTCGTACTGAGGGCTTTAGAGGCCTGTACAAGGGCCTCGCGATCAGTCTTATCAAGGCCGCGCCGGCGAGCGCTATTACTCTCTGGACGTACGAGCAGAGCCTCGGATTCATGCTCGACTTCGACTCGGGCAGGGAGGTTGCCATACGAGATGAACTTTAGGCCAAATATTTATAATAGAGCAATCAGTGCACACGTCTATGTCCTATGAGTACACTACCCGTGATAAACCCCTCTATTGTCCCATTTTGTCCATTTACTGCCCTTGAGCCTGGTTGGCCGCATCCGCGCGCTCAATGCACTCCTCGATGACTTGCCAAAACTTGGGAATATCCACTCCACGCGGGATTCTCACACCCTCTTCACCTGGAGACAGTGCCTTGGCGAGCGTTCGACCGGTCTGCTTGCCGGCCTTGGCCTCCTCGAATGTGCCCTCAGTGATGACCGTCACCTCAAAGCGTTCCTTGTGCTCCGGACCGTGGCTGCGCGCGGCATCCCACTCCAGAAAGGGGATCTCGCCGTCCGTGCCGAGGAGTACGGCGGCAACGGCTAGGGGGTCATGGAGCGGCGGTCCGGCGGTGATTCCGAACGTGTCGCTGGGGTTGACATGTTAGTCCGATGAAGAGCAATAGGGAATAATTGACGTACGCGTAGGTCTTTGCGAAGAAATACAGAAGCTCGACAAGCATGGTCCGCAGTGTCGTTTTGCCGGGGCCAGTCTTGTCGCTCTCGGGCCCGTACAGCAGCATCTCCCTCACCTCAGGTGTCGCCAGCACCTGGTGACTAAGATCCAGAGGCACAACTGTTGTCTTAGCTGCAATTTCCTTATTATGGAACACGGTTGCCGCCGCCTCGGGGTCAACGAGGATGTTGAACTCAGCCCATGGTGTATAGTTGCCGATCCTAGCGTGCCCGTCCACCATACCTAGAGGCGCATCGGAGAAGCCACCGCCAATAGAACCGCCCATGAGACTCAGCCCCTTGATATGCGGGATGAGCTCCGGATAGCTACGGAAGAGAGCACCAACGTTAGTTAGCGCGCCGGTAGCGACAATCCAAGCGGTTCCGGGTTCCTGGGCGCGGATGGCTTCGGCCATGGCCTCTACTCCGGGGACAGAGGACGGGGTAGTGAGGGGCTTGGGGAGAAGTTCGGTGCCGTCTAGGCCGGATTCGCCGTGGATGTCCGTAGGCGCGTGAATGGCCGGCCGCTCGAGAGCTTTGGATAGGCCAACGTGCAGGGGAATGTCCTTGTGCTTGCCGATGGCGGTGAGGAGTGATGCAGCATTGTGTGTGGTGTTTCTTTAGCGTCCAGGTGTCAGCGACGCGAAGGTTCGGGGGTGAAGGATGTAGAGGTGAAGACGTACTCGAGTGAAGCATTGCCGAAGACGGTTGAGATGCCCAGAAGTTTGATATTGGGATGGTAGGCGGCCAGGAGGATGGCGAAGGCGTCCTAATTCGAGGTGAGTCTCATTGGTTGATTACGCCTTGATTACGCTTGGCTGAAAGTGAATAATAGAGTGTTGGGTGTTGAAAAGGGGTCGTTCAACTTCATGCTGTGTATCCCACCACCATATTCATCACCAAAGCCTCACTTGAGTCGAGATAACGATTGGATGAGACGGAGGATGGCGAGCCGTAGCGTGGAAACGTACATCATGACCTGGGTCACAATCCAACCAGACGGGGATTTGAGAAGACGACATGGTTGCCAGCGGTTGGAGGGAGAGGAAGGATTGGACGAGGAGAGAGAAGAACGAAAGAGCGCAAAATCACTCGACGAGATAATGATAATGAGACGGATTGAGGAGTGAGGTGAAAGCAGCGACGTTTCATTGGGGGGAGGCTTACTGCATGATGCCAGGTGTTGATGGTGGGGTTGGCGCATCCATCCTCTGAAGCGTGGACCCCGCTTATTGCCAAGGTCCTTCCTGTACCAGCTAACAACGTGTGACAGTCGACCACGAGCCATCATCTTAGCGCATGGCGGTGAACTTTTGGAGCTTCAACGGCGAACCTGGTGAGTGGCAATTCTACAGGCTTCTGCAATGTAGATTGCACCGGATTGCAAGACTTCGAGCTTCCTCTCGCTAAAACCGACTAGATATGTTGTCCATGATGAAGGGGAGGACTCAGACAGGCCTAACTTGGTCTCATGATGATGGGTTTCATGATTTCTTGCGTGCCTCCATCACTCGCAACACATCCGCAGCGCTGTTGGCATCACCCTTGCGCTTTTTTGCTCCCCGCTTCCGTTTTGATGGTCCGCCTTTCGATTGTCCGTCGCCCTCATCGGCCTTGCCCCCCCAAGTCGACAGCTTGACCCGACTCTCATCAAAGTCTTCCTCGTCCTCAAGGCGACTCGTGCCGAAGCCCATGTCGAGGTCCTGGTCGTCCCGGTCGGACATCTGAAGCAGCTTCTTCCGTCGCTCCTCCATGGCCTTGTTCTTTGCCGCCTCGCCTTCTTCTTCGTCATCATCATCGTCGCCCTTCTCCTTAGCTATCGGGTTCAATGCTGCCGCTCGCTTAATGGCCGCCATGATGGCGGGGTCGGACATGGACGGTGCCTTGGTCTGTTCCTCCGATACAAGGCTGGTCTTGGCGTCCTTGAAGTAGTTGCGCGGTGCAGACGGCGCCTGGGGCTTAGGTGGTGGAGGCATAGACTTATCTGTAATCGTGCCACCTTCCGCATCCTTCTTGGCGTCGCCTCCGTCTTCGGAGTCGGAATCGGATCCATCCATACCTGCGAGGGGATTGTAATCGTCACCAACTCCGTCGAAGATGTCAATGTCCTCGTCTTCTTCCGCAGGTTCCTCTTTCTTTCGGTATTGTTCCGGAACCTCCATTCCCAGGGGCTTGGCATCCTTGTCTGGCATCAGAAGACCGCGAGCTGCCTCATCGTCCTTCTCTGTTCCCGGCTGTATTTTTCGGACTTTCCTCTTTTCGTGTCCGTCTTCGTCCACGATGATCAATACCTCCCTTCCTTTGTTGTCTCGCTCAATCCGTGTACCTGGCATCTGTTTGGCCCCAATCTTCTTGAACCGGTCTCCGAGCAAGTCCTGCTGCGCTTTCGCTGCTGCTCTCGAGGCTTTCAACTCTGCCAGAATCTGATCCCTTGTCCGTTTTTTCCCCGGCGCTAAAGACACGGTTGATAGCTGACCTTTTTTCTTCTCCTTCTCCTTGACAACTGCCATGACTTCCGGGTCCTCCAGCTGGTCAAACTCCTCGTCGACGTCTGCTTCCGGCTCGTCTTCTTTCTCTTCTTCCGGTTTCTTATCTCCGTAGACATCTTCTCCTTCCTTGATGCGCTTCAGAAGCTTGAAGTCAAGGCCCTTGACCAAATGTGTACTGCTGAGGTCTCCGCCTGCGATTTCGAACCGACGCTTCTCAAAGGTCTCTTGATCGATCTCCTCGTTCTTCAATGCCTCATCCAGTTCCTTGAGTTGCTCTGCACGCTCATCTTCGTCATCCTCGCGCTCTTTCGATCGATCGACGTATCCGGTGGCGAGTTTGACGCCTCTGGGGTTAGAGGTCTTAAACTTCCGCTGAGGTCGGGTCGCATTGTTTCGATCCGCAAGCTGTCGCGCAAAATCGGCCTGAGACCCTCCAACTGAGCGTCTGCAAAATGTCAGTTTGTAGTCATGACTTCCTTTGGGACGGAACTACTGACGGTGTCATTGGGATGCTTGCCCGTTGTCGCGAACCCAGAGCACCTCCCTTCGCGGGGGTCGCGGCGCCTGATGATGCGCCATTCTTGTCTTTTGACTGCTTTGCCGAGTCTGCAAGCATAAGCTTGCGAAACTGCGAGTTATTCATGCTTGTGGTGACGACTTTGAGCAGTGTTGTGGATTTAGAGATCTCTCGGAGTGATGAAATCAAAGGTCAGCCTCGCGTGTTGAGGCTGGAGAGTGTGGCGCATGGATAGCTGGTCACGAGCCGACGTGTGAAAGGCGCGCTCCACTTAACGCGGTTGACATCACCGACGTCTCCGATTTGCTTCCCTGCGATATCTGGCGAGACAACAACACGACAAGATCGACTGCCGTGGAAAAAATATGAAGCCTCTGCTTCCTTCAGATCCCAGCGGATTTTGATACTTGTCTGATGAAGCTGGGTTCACCAGTTCGGCTCACCGGGACCAACGCACTCCACGCCGCAAGAAACCCGCCAGCACTACCGTGAATTCTAATCAAATCACGACCCGGCCATCTGTTGCATCGACTCAAGATGGGGAGTGTTCTCGACAAGAACTCCTCCCAAGTGAGGAAGCGCATTGAAGCGCATACCTTTGATGACGAAGAGGGAGACGAGTATGGAGCCAGCGAATTCCGTGGCTTCGGTGATTATTTCAGGCGGAAGAAGATTAAGCTCCAAAATCTCGATGCCGACATGCGCGCTTCTTCAGATAAGCCTCAGATATTCAAAGGGATTGTTGCACATGTCACCGGGTACACCCAACCTCCGCTTCACATGTAAGCCATATCCTCCGGTCAATCCCGGACTCTTTCTGACCACGGCCAAGACTTCATCGCGAGATTGTACAGCATGGAGGCGGCTTCCTCCAGTATCTTGACTCCAAAACGATGGCGACGCACATAATAGCGTCAAATCTACCACCAAAAAAGTCTGTGGATTTCAACAGATACAGGATTGTCAAACCTGCATGGATCATGGAATCGGTCAAAGCCGGAAAACTACTTCCATGGGCGGACTACCGAGTCCTCGATGAGGGACCTAGACAAAAGGTTTTGAGGTTTGGTGGTGACAATGGTTTGACCCAGTCAACTCCACAACCGAAACAGGGCTATCGAGAGCAGACAGACAACAGCTTTTACACAAGCCAGTTGAAGTCTGCAAATCTCCCTAGCCAGTCCCTCAACCAAGTCGTGGAACAAGCACAAACTCCCGTACGACCATTTCCTCCCGATTCGAACCCCACGTCAGACGGTGTCGACACCCCTTCATGCGAAACACCCCAGATACCGGCAGAGCAGTCATTGAATGATACAACAGAACCGGACTCGGTAGATTTGCACTTACATTGCCGAACTAGACAGGCTGGGCAAGCCAAATCTGCAAACCCTCTGAAGAACATGACCTCGGAGGAGCACAATGCATGGCTTCTATCAGACCCTCGACTGCGGAAGTCATCAACTGCAAACCCGAACTTCCTGAAGCAGTTCTACTCAGAGAGTCGTCTACATCACCTCTCAACATGGAAATCAGAGTTAAAATCCAAAATGCAACGGCTAGCAACAGAAAAAGGTCCTGGTGAACAGAAATCGAAGAAGAGGCGGCCAGGCTCAAGGCGATATATTCTTCACGTGGACTTTGACAGTTTCTTCTGTGCGGTTTCCCTGAAACGCCATCCAGAGTACGTGGATAAGCCAGCCGTTGTCGCGCACAGTACTGGAGCAGGGTCTGAGATTGCGAGCTGTAATTACCCAGCTCGAGAATTCGGTGTCAAGAATGGCATGTGGATGAAAGGAGCTCTCGAGCTATGCCCCGACCTCAAGGTCCTACCATATGACTTCCCAGCCTATGAAGATGCGAGTCGCATATTCTACGAGTCTATTTTGGATATTGGTGGCATTGTGCAGAGTGTCAGCGTTGACGAGGCACTGGTTGATGTTACATCAATTGTATTAACCTCTACTGGCTCTCAAGGAACTGAAGTCGAAGACGGCAGCATCGGCAGAGAGCAAGATGCAGTGGCAGACATCTCAAAAGGCCTCCGCGAAAAGATTAAGGCAAAGACGGGTTGCCACGTCTCTGTTGGGGTTGGTGGGAATATATTACAAGCCAAGGTTGCACTCAGAAGAGCAAAGCCAGCAGGACAATATCATCTCAAGCCTGAGGAGGTCTTAGAAATGATGGGAGAACTCAAGGTGGAACAGCTACCTGGAGTTGCACGCAGCATCAGTGGAAAGCTCGAAGAAATTGGCGTCACATTCGTCAAAGACCTTCGACATATTTCAAAAGAGCGCCTCACGTCCACTCTGGGGCCGAAGACTAGCGACAAGCTTCGAGACTATGCTCAGGGTATCGACCATACTGAGGTTGGCGAGCAACCGCCAAGGAAATCAGTCTCGGCAGAAGTAAACTGGGGTATCCGCTTCATCAACCAGTCGGAGGCGGAGGAATTTGTCTTCAACCTCTGCAAGGAGCTCGAGAAGCGTCTTATGAACGAGCAAGTGAGGGGGAAACAACTCACAATGAAAATCATGAGAAGGTCTCTGGATGCACCTCTTGATCCAGCAAAGCATCTTGGACATGGCAGGTGCGACACATTCAACAAGAGTGCAACTTTCGGCGTTGCGACTCATGATTACCAGACCATTGGAAAGGAGGCCGTGTCAATATTGCGATTTTTTAAATTCAGTCCCGGGGATCTCCGTGGCTTGGGGGTTCAGATGACCAAGCTGGAACCCACCAAGACGAGCAATTCCGCCCCAGACGGAAGTCAAAAGAAGCTCGCATTTACTACATTCACCAAACCGTCACCTGCGAGAAAATCTTCCAGGGCAGAGCCGATCGATGAAGTAGACAGCTTGGAAACCCCGAAGGGAACACCGGGCCGAGAAATCCATCAGGATCCCATCACTGATGATCCGTTAACGCCACGAAAACCAAAACCACACCCTGCCCTGGCGCTCTCGAGGGCCAATCAAGACGACGTGAAGGCCAAGACGCCTCTCAATGTTTCCGGAACTCAATTTATCATTCCCAGCAATGCCGATCCAGCTGTTCTCGCAGAGCTACCCAGTGACATTCGAAGCAAGTTAATGGCCCAGAAAGCAAAGACAACTGAGTCTAGAGCTCACACCCCGATACAAGCGAGGTCAGAAAGCCCAGCGTCGGGAGATATGCTGCCATGTCAGGTTGATCCCGAAGTATTCAATGCACTGCCTGAAGAGATGAAGGCGGAAGTCCTAGCAACATATGGGCGAAACCCGGTACAAAGCACACCACACTCCTCACCACGAAAGGACCGGTCCATTCAGTCAAAAAAGCCAATCACACCTACGAAGCGTGGTGGGACGCGAAGCATACTTGGAAAAGCTCAGCGGGAGAAGGATGCTCAAGCTGGTCTTTTGCAGACCAACTTTCGAGCCCCGAGGGAAGATAGCGAGGACATCGAGGACATTGAGGAATTAGATCCAGAGTTTCTCGCTGAGTTACCCGAAGATATGCGAAAGGAAGTCATCGCCGATCATCGACGGCGGCAACTAGCACAGAGGTCAGGGCTCGATGCGCCTACACGGCAACACTACACGCCTGATCCGGAGAGCGTCCTCGCAGGTGGACAACGTACAATCCAGTTTCCCGCCCCGCCGCCGAAAATTTCGTTTGCAAAATCGGGTGTTACTTCGACTCAGGAGATGAAAGAAATGTTGGATGCGTGGCACATGGAAACGCAGAAAGAAGGGCCGCATCGCAGAGACGTGGAGGTTTTTGAGAAATTCCTAGTGCGGGTTGTTCAGGAGGAATGTGACTTGGAGAAAGCTGCGAAGCTTGTACGGTGGTTGGATTTGGTGGTGGAGCAGGATGGAAGAGGTGGAAAGGGCCAACACTCTTGGAGACGATCGGTGCAGAGCGTGAAGGATGCTGTGCAAAGAGCTGTCAAGCAACGAGGAATAGCGCCATTGAAGCTGTAGTCGAGAAAGTAAGATACCCGCTGATCAATACCACTGTACGAGGCTCGCTGAAATGATCACATCGTCTCAACCGGTTCAGCTTGAAACATCATGCAGAGTCTCAAATGCATAGAGTTTAAGAGTTTCAGTCAGTGTCTGGTGAACCCGATGCAGCATGAATGGTCAAGGAATAACGGGTGCGGCGTGGCACCTTTGGCTATCCAGTTATAGATATACTGTAGAGATGGCTTATGTGTGGAGTTGAGAATATGGCGACGTTTGCGTCGTCGAGTGTGAGACAGTGGAGCCATCCCGATGAACGGAGAGAGCGGGAGGCGTTCCTTTGCAGTTATCTAGGCACCACTGACCACTGTGGTCAATACGTAGTCCTCCGCCGTGGGACGGGCGTTCATAGTGGATATCTTACCTACTAACTCCAGATAAGAAATAAAGCACTGGCCAATTTATTCAGCGTTAAACGATTCGTGGCAGGTGCTAAGAGATTACGGTCCAGACTCGATCGATTCTCATCCTGGATTACGTATTTGCTTCTTGTACAGTACCTGCCGTTCCTGCCCTGACTCGGTGTATTGCTAGGTACCTCCGCCACCGCGCCCATGTCCCGGCGCTCTTCTCCGCATCATACCATCTTCTAGAAGCCCTCCTCACTCAGTGCTTGTCGCGTGGCCCCAATTTTGCTTGGTGGGGCCGAATCGGGCTTAGCAACCACTCGGAATCCCCACATTAGCACAGGACCTGTCTTCCCCAGCCTACCACTGAACTGGAAGGCACTGCACCGGCTGCCATCAGACCTACTCTTAGGTAGCTAACCTTGTCTGCTCCTCATCCTTCCTGCAAGGCGCTGCTCCATCGTTCCTCTCGCTCTCTCCTTCTTCCTCTACCTTTCGCCGTCTTTCGCCTCCTGTCGCCCTCATTCTCTTCTTTCCCCTCTCCTCCCCATCCTTCACCACCATCGCAAGCCTCTCTAACAGGCTCTAATACTTCTCGCCGGCCCCTCTCCCGGCGACTTTTTTGCGACACCATCTCCCGTCGCAATTCCCGCGCCCCTCAGCCTTTGGCGCAAATCGCAACTCCGCAAAGTCGCCTCATTCTCTCCGCCAAGATGAGTTCCTACATCGATTATTCGAAGACCACCAAATCTTCAAACTACCAAGGAACTGGCTCGTTCGCGACGTTCATGATCATCGCGCGTAAGTCCTGTCCACCCGCTTCATTTCCCTCGATCCCCCTCGCGCCATATCCCCTCCACGGCCTCTCGCTGACTCCAACCCACAGCCGTATGCTTCTTCCTCGGTGTCCTCTTTGCCTCATTCCCATACGATTTCCCTCTCCTCTGGACGAAGGCTCCCGTCACCGATGACTTCCTGAACCACCTCGAGACCCATCTCAAGTTTGTCCACCAGTCGCCGCCCCTCATCAGCCGCATGCTCCACATCATTATCTCCGTTGGCTTCATCGGCTTCTTCATCAAGCTCTTCCGCCCCAGCGAGGCCAACTTCCTCTTCGATGGCGCCTCCCTCATTCTCTACATCATCGGCTTTGGCGTCTATGTTGCCAACATCATCAAAGGTCTCCGCACCATTAGCGCCGACATCTGGTCTGACGACGAATTCAAGGGCCAGACCCACGATGGCGAGCACGGTGAGTTGATCCTCGGTCGCGAAGACACCCTGAAGGTCCTCTCCGCCAGCAACACTATCCTCGCCCTTGTCCTCGTTGGCATCCTGGTCCTCCAGGCCGGCCAGTGGTACGCTGAGAAGAAGGACGCAGACGATATTGCTGCCGCCGACAAGAAGGATGCCGACAAGAAGGACTCTGCTGAGAAGAAGGAAGCTTCTCCCAGCAAGGCGGCGAACAAGAAGAAGCAGTAAGGGATTAAATCTCTTCAGCCTTCACAATTTGGAAACGGTGATACCACGAGAACGCTGTGGACCTAACCCCCACGTCCTCCTTGCATTTGTAGTGTTATGTATTGTAAAAACCTGTTACCATAATTTTGAAAACAACTCTCAGTATCTTTGCAAACTGTCATACATTCTCTTCTTCCCGCAAGGCCATTTTTCAAGCATATCGATCCTCCCACAATCCTACAATTAAGAAAAGGGGCGTGCAGTGGGCCCCGCATCCCTAAACGGCCGTGTGCTTATCCATGGGCGGTGTTCTCCGGATCCGCGCACGGCATCGCCGGAACGCCGCACCGGGAAGGTTTCCGACACTTTTGTCCCAAGACCACAGTAAAATATTAACTACCCGCGGACGCGCATAACGACGTAGTTTATTCTCTAGCCTTGAGCTCTCAATTCCCTATATAGCAACGCCATCTATCCCTTAACAATTGGCCAACCCATGATAAATTGCAAAAAAGTTCTTAAAACGTTGCTCATACAGACATCTTCATCGCAATTGTCTTGTGAGGGTCATAGCCCTTGATCACAAAGTCCTCTGCCTTCCAGCCATCAATGCTCGCTCCCTTCTCGCGCGAGATCTCCAGCTCGGGGAACTCGCGGGGCTCGCGCTCTAGCTGGACGTTGAGCGCATCAACGTGATCGAGGTAGACGTGGGCATCGCCCATAACGTGGGTGAGGCTTCCCGGAACCAACTCACAGACATGCGCGAGCATGTGAGTTAGCAGCGCATAGCTCGCAATGTTGAAGGGCACGCCGAGACCCATGTCGCAAGATCGCTGGTAGAGCTGGCAGTGCAGGTGGCCCTGGGGCTTAGGCTCGTCACCGTTCTCTGAATCCCGCTTCTGGCGTGGGTATGAGACGTAGAACTGGGCAAACATATGGCAGGGTGGCAGGACCATTTTCTTGAGGTCGGCCGGGTTCCAGGCTGTGAGGATGAGGCGGCGGTCGTAGGGGTTCGTCCGCAGCTTATGGATGAGTTCGGCAATCTGGTCGACACCCTGTCCAGTGTAGTCTGTCTTGGAGTCAACATACTCGGCGCCAAAGTGTCGCCACTGGAAACCGTAGACAGGACCAAGGTCACCCTCCTCACGGTGAGTCAGGCCGAGGTTGTCGAGGAACTCGCGGGAGCCATTTCCATCCCAGATCTTGATGCCAGCCTCGCTAAGGGATTTGGATGAGGTGTTTGCCTCGATAAACCAGAGGAGCTCGGCGATGACGGCTCGTGTGAAGACACGCTTGGTGGTGAGGAGGGGGAGGACTGGGTTGCCGTTCTTATTTAGGGAGAACTTGAGGGGACGAGGAGCAAAAATCGAGTAGGTGCCGGTGCCCGTCCTTAGAAATTTGTTAGTGGATTCCCTCAGATCAAAGTTTCGAGGCAATTGCGTGGGTTGTGTTTTCTCCGCATCCACGTCGCATCGACAGGGAGTTGAGCTTGGAGAGGGCGACTCACCGGTCCGGTCGACGCTCGCCGCTATCGAGGATCTCGCGCACCAAATCCAAGTACTGGTGCTCTTCATGGTTGACAACAGGAGCCGAGCCGTTTGAAGGCTGGGCAGCGGGATTAGTTTGCGAGGCCGTCATTGTTGGGGTTGATGTAAATCGAATGCCGGACCTCGAGGCGGTTTGATTGATGAGTGTGACCGACCTTAATTGATCTGGGCGCTCGACGCGTCCAGGCGCGATCACACGCGCTCTATCCCCACCTTGACGCGCCCCAGCTGTGAGTCGGCGGGCCATAGTTTTGCCGCTGCCGGCCACGTAGAAATTACGTCCAGGTTTCCAAGCCAGGGGCCGCTCACGTTTGCTCAGAAACTGGCCTAGTGTGACTGCCGCCGCCGGTACTTCGGACGTCCAGTACATGTCCCATGTCCAAAGATCCGGAACCATCCCGCTAGAGAGGAATTCGCGCAAACCAACAGCGCATCGAATTTCCGATGACTGTATTTTATGCAGCGGGCTGCGCCATGGATGAGGTGGCCCCCATGCGATCCCAAAACAATTATCAACGCATACTTTAACGTGGTTGCGGAGCCAGGATACCAATATTGGCGACGACGCTGCTCAGGACCGGACTGAGACAGATGGGAGCATAACCAACTATCATTGGCCAGAACAGCCACTACCGACCAAGCGGGCGCTATAAAATGCCGACTGGGCCATATTTGAGCACACCATCACCGGCAGCGAGTACGGGACCGGCACTGCAGAATTGCTAGGCGCTGCAGGTCGCCGTCTTGGAAAGTACCAACATTGGTATGCCACCGTAGTCTAACAGCCCGGCGCCGGAGCGGCCATCTAATCAATCAGTCGATCAAGTTGCAGGACGCTAATTGGCATGGCTTTTCCTTCCAGAGCTGTCGAATGGCATGCAAAGGCCACCAAATGGAGCCGTAACGGGGCATTTCATGGGGGGCCTGCCCTGGATGGCCCGAGGAACCCCTCCAGGCCCCTCTCGGCCCCTCCAGGGACCCCCTGTCCGCCCCTGTGCCCCTCCAAGTTCCCCCCCCAAGCCCGCTCCGAGCCCCTCCAAAAATACGGCTGACGGTCCCTGTCTGGCCGCGTGCCGGGTCGGGTCCGGCGCACAGGCGATCTGATAACTGTGCTAGGCCTCTGGTTGGCCTTATACGGCCGAAAAGCGGATACCCTGATGTCACATGCATTCCCGATAAGGCGATAAGAAATTTTTGCTTGCCTTGATGGATGGCGCCCGAAAGATGCACCAGCGCTTTTTCATCCACTCATCCTGCATGTCCGTAGGCGATGGTTTTATGTCGCAGCCCACTGTCGTGACCCAGACAGCGTGGGAGGCACTGGTTTCGAGCCTTTGCCTAGGACCAAGGTAGCCCTCATTGTCTTAAAACCCCGTCTCCTCTCCTTCCCCAACGGCCCACTTTGCCTCGTCCCAGCTTGGTTGCGTGTCTCTCATCTCGTCTGTTGTCTCCCGTCCCTCCTCTGTCTCACCAGAATGCGCTGAGGAGAAAACGATCCGGCCGCGTTGCCCTCCTCCCTTCTCCAAAAGCCCTACTTTCCCGGTATCGGTGCGCACGCTGCGAAATGCCCTCCGTTTCCCCGCGTCAACTTCTCTATCCGTGTTAAGCTTCAGAGCTACACCGACATCTACAAGACTACCAAACGGACTACACACCTTGACCACTCCCGAGCAAACGAACCACCCCTCATCCCAAGTTTCCAAAGGACATATATTGGAACCCGCCATTCTCTAACGCTTACTGCCCTACTCCTCCTCTTTCCCCTTTCCCCTTTCACCCCCGTCTACCTCTCCCCTCGGTTGTCCTACCTCCCATGGATTCTGCTCCTGTCGCGGTCGACACCGCAAACATGACTGCGATCCCGGCTACTGAGCTTGCGCTCAAGAGCAAGACAGCTGCCATGGAGGCCATAGAGGATGTTGTCTGTGGCTCGGTAAGCTCCACCCTCCATAGTGTTGTTTCCTCTTGCTAACCGAGGCAGATTGCTGGAGCCGTAGGCAAATACATCGAGTACCCATTCGACACCGTCAAGGTGCGGCTACAGAGCCAACCTGATCACCTACCCCTACGATATAGCGGTCCTCTGGATTGCTTCCGACAAGCTATAAAGAGCGATGGGTTCCTGGGACTATACCGAGGTATTAGCGCTCCGGTCGTAGGAGCAGCTGCTGAGACGAGCAGTCTATTCGTGTTTGAGAGTATTGGGCGCGAGGTCATGTTCCTAACCGGATTATCCTCTCGGGAAAAGGGCCTGTCCCTACCCGACCTGTTCCTTACTGGTGCCTTCGCTGGCGTTTTTACTTCGGTTGTTCTGACGCCGATTGAGCTCGTCAAATGCAAGATCCAGGCTCCAATGGGAGATGGATCTGTAAGTACCCCGCTCCGCCCTCTGCCTGTCATCAGAGAAATCTTCCGCCACGAAGGGTTGAGAGGTTTCTGGCATGGTCAGCTCGGAACTCTGATTCGAGAAGCTGGTGGCGGCTCCGCGTGGTTTGGAGCCAAGGAGACGGTCACATCCCTGTTCTATCAACACAGAATCAAGGCTGCCACATCCGAGGCTGAAAGACGACAGATTTTAGCCACGCCTCTGCCCTTTTGGCAACAAGCCGTTGCAGGCGCATCGGCGGGTGTCTCATATAACTTCATCTTTTTCCCTGCAGACACCATCAAGTCGCGCATGCAGACAGTCCCACTGGGAAGTATGGGGGAGAAGCGAACATTCTGGAACGAGGGCGCCGCCCTGTGGCGGCAGCATGGAATCCGCGGCATGTACCGCGGCTGCGGAATTACATGCCTTCGATCGGCTCCAAGCTCTGCATTCATATTCATGATTTATGATGGACTGAAGGCACACTTGCCTTCCCACTAGAAATTTTTATAGGGAATTGGGCTCATTTCTTGCAGCGGGTATTTGAAAAAAGCTTTCTCTGGGGAGCCATGATATGCGTGGCATTTACAAGGCGTTCGACTTTTTTGGGTGTTTATTTTCTCAAGTATTAAAGGACAGGCAACGAGTTGGTGGATGTTGCACACCTGGGGGTATTTCAGAGCAAGGGATGCGAACAGAAAACGAATAAATGGGATAGACATGGCAATTTAGTACAGCGTAATAATGTTCAAAGACATTAGTCCATTTTGCAAAAGTTCCATACCAGGAGAGCTCTACTTCATTCTCAAACAATCCTCTACTGCTTCTTGGCCTCCGCTTTGGTTGACTTGCCGGACAAATCCCAGTTGTTCAAGTGGCCAATGCTAGCACAGAGGTATGTAGCAAAGCTCAGCCAGCCCAGGTAAGGGATCTGACACCAGCCAGCGACGGGGTCGATGGTGCTCCAGACATAAGTCAGATACCCGTTAACACCGATGAGTCCAATTATATCAACCGTCGCTGCAACGGGGCGGTTGAAACCAAAGAAGAGGGGGGTCCAAATGAGGTTGAGTCCAAGTTGGATTGTGTAGAGTGTCATGGCCTGCCTGGTCGTCCGGATGGTCTCAGGGGAAGAGAGAGGAGAGAGGCCATTGAATGTTGCACGATATGCAGCGTAACCCATTACACTAGAGTGATGGATCTCTGGTCAGCACTAAAAGATAAGGCGCATATTGGATGCGCGAGGCGCTCACCCATATAGCATGGTCCACACAGGGCCGAAGAGCCATGGCGGAGGGTGCAGATCAGGTTTCTTCAGACCAAGATATGTCTTTTGGGTCTCTATGTCGGCAGTATAATATGAGGTTAGTTAAATGGACTGCAATTTGGACGCAGGTAGAGGAAACTAACGCCTCGCGCTGAGGCCGACGGCAGTCCCCAGCCCAATGGGCAGCAGGACGGACACTGCGGGATTGAGAAAGACTGCAGAGGGCAATGTAAGGGCAGGGATGAAAGTTGTCATCTTAACAAAAGATCACTCAGCTGGTCGAAATGGAAAAAAAAATTACTTGAACAGGTGAAGATGGGCACAGATACAATGTATATGAAGACGAAGAGAGAATGAAGGGAAATGAGAGTTCACAGTTGGGACTCAATGACGTAATATAAGTATTCAGAGCTAGAATCTGTTCGGGGATATTATGGGACATAGCCTCAATACCAAGGCGCCAGGTGCGGGAGAGCCCCAATTCGGCCAACAACGTGGCCTGATGCCATACAATTCCAGATTTGAAGCGATCGTGAGCGAGACGGCGATCGAGTTTAATGGGGGTAGTCTACAAATAAATCAGAGGTGCCACACAATGGGGCGTCATACCCCTGTCAGACTGCACAAAAGATGGCACGTCTGCGAATTGCCTCCCTCATTTGGATTTGGATGCGGAGAATACCCGGCGTCATCACATCCAATCGACGCGTGAGCGATCGAGGAACCTGGCGTGGCTCGTGGCGCGTGGCTCGTGGCGCAAAAGTGAGGCGCGTATCTGATGCGTCTCAGCGCACGGGCCATTTCTTTAATGGACTTTCGCGACTTGGACGCGCCCAAACGCGTCCAACACGTCGTGCAGGCCGAATCCACGTCTGGCGCGCGGCTACGCCCTGGCCTGGGTACTAATGAATTCTCCATCCGGCCTTCATCATGCCCCATCCAACTTCCATCCCTCAGCTTCAGCATCGTACCTTCCAACAAGTGTCATTCAACCCATTTGTGCATTTGAACTGGAAGCTACCATCCTCAATCATGGCTCGATCTTCGTTAGGAAAGCGGACCCGGAGTGTCGATGATACCGGTAAGTCTCAGTCCACTCCAGGAAAGGGGAGGAACGAAAGAAGAAAGGAAACATCCCGGTTGCTAACCACAACGACGAAACAGATGCAAGCCCGGTTCAGACTCCTTCCAAGCGAAGCCGCCGCTTAGCAAAAACGGCTCCAGTATACAACGACGAGAATCAAGACCCTCAATCGCCCCTGGACGACAATGGCTTCAAGCCGCTTCCCATCATCCGACACTCTCCCTCCCAATCCTCCTCCATCAAGCAGAACCCCGTCACGCCTTCCACACCCCGACACCGAGATGCACTTGCCGTTCCTCCCACTACCCCCCGACATGCCGTCATGTCGGCAGGCAAGCTTTTCAAGCGATTGACTCCCCAGACACCGCTCTCGCCCAATACTATCCAGACCGTCTACCATTCTGCACGCCAACTCTTTGCTCGCGGTGCCGAGCCAGGCCAGTTGGTTGGCCGAGAGTCTGAGCGTGAACAGCTCACTACCTTCCTCGACCGGTGCTCATCGGCGACCCCCAATGGATGCCTGTATGTCAGTGGACCGCCAGGAACCGGCAAGAGTGCCATGATTACCGAGATGACTCAGGCCTGCTCAGAACGCGACAACGTGCGGGCCGCCTACATCAACTGCATGAGCATCAAGTCGTCAAAGGACCTGTACACCACGCTCCTCGGGGCCCTAGACCAGGCTAGCGACTTGTCCGAGGCCGATGCCGTTGCAGCACTGCAAGCATCCTTCGTGCCCAAGTCGAAGTCCAGCAAAGTCTTCCTCGTCACGCTCGATGAGATCGATCACATTCTCACCATGGGGTTGGAGAGTCTATACCGAGTATTTGAGTGGTCCTTGCAAAAGTCGTCTCGTCTCGTTCTCGTTGGGATTGCCAACGCCCTGGACCTGACTGATCGGTTCTTGCCTCGACTCAAGTCGAAGAACCTAAAGCCGAATCTTATGTCTTTCCTTCCGTACACAGCACCCCAAGTCAAGAACATCATCATCACCAGACTGAAGTCCCTGATGCCGGCAGGAAACGAGAGCTACGTCCCATTTATCCACCCTGCTGCCATCGAACTTTGTTCCCGGAAGGTGTCCAGCCAGACTGGAGATTTGCGGAAGGCATTTGAGATCTGCCGACGAGCGCTAGATCTAATTGAGGCCGAGACGAGAGGAAAGCACGAGGAAGAGGCAAGGGAGAAGCTTCTGCAGATGACACCCTCCAAGCGACCTCTCGGAGAGAACATCAATGGAGCATCCGGCAGCGGGGCACGAAGCGTCATCCAAATCATGGCGACGTCGCTTAAGGCACTCAATGCAGAGACAGCCCCTCGAGCGTCGATCGGACACCTCAACAAAATCACATCGGCTGCATTCAACAACGGGACTTCGCAACGACTCAAGGCTCTCAACCTACAACAAAAGGCCGCCTTGTGTGCTTTGGTGGCTTGTGAGAAACGAAACCGAGCAGCGGCCAAGATGGCCAATGGTCTGACCACGCCATCCAAGTCGAAGCTTATGGCGCCCACAGTAAAGGCCTTGTTCGAGGCCTACTGCCAGCTGTGTACTCGCGATTCAGTCCTCCACCCGCTGTCGAGCTCTGAGTTTCGTGAGGTGGTGGGCAGTCTGGAAACGCTGGGGCTGGTCAACGCATCGGATGGCAAGAGTGGCAGCTTCGTGACACCGCAGACACCCAGCAAGAGAGGTCGAAAGGCCGCCATGCCCAGCGGGGACGAGCGTCGGGTCACGAGTTGCGCTGGAGAGAAGGAGATTGAGTCAATTGCTGAAGGCGTTGGCGCGGGAATTCTCAAGACCATTTTGAGTGGCGAGTCTTTGGACTAGATGACAAGGTTATGAATGAGTGTGGCATTTTGCATTGTATGGCGTTTTTGGATTTGATGCGAAGGATCACGGTTGGGGAGTTGGATGGTTTCGGTTTGGCTTGTCTAATATTGCATCGCTTTGGGCTGTGTTGCATATGACCAGGGCGGGAATCCCTGGCGCATGATGATACCTCTTGTAATAGATACGGACGATGATGGTTCGAGGATGAAGCATCTATAGATGATGAAAAGATAGAACAAAAGAAAGAAAGAGTCAAAACTACATCTAATTTCATAATATGGTAACTTTCAGAGAGATTCCATCTTGGCGAGACCAATCCCAGCATCGCACTTTGAAGAAAGCTCCTAGTGGTAGGAGGCGACTAGGCCAATATTAGGTGAAGCTCATCTCGCCCCCTGACAGGCCAGCGCCTCATCCGAGTACAGTCGATTGGTCGAACCCCTGAAACCCTTCGACATAGCGCTCCCACCAACCACAGTCCTCCGTTCCTCCACGAGAAGTCCCTCTCATTATATTCGTGCCTGAGGCGCCGAAGCGGAAGGCACCGAAGGATCATCAAGGGTCCGGGGTGTTGTCCCGGAAAGCCAGACAAGCTCGTCGAGCCAACAACCAAGCTTTTCTTGGCGCGAGCGGCAACTTGTGAAGCCTTGGCATATGCAAGCCCCAGTTGACACCTGGCAGCCAGCCCCCAGAGGCGCAAGGCCACAAGTGGAGAGGTGAAGGAGACGAGACCAGCGGAATACGTGTATTCGTAAGGCAATGGTGGTGATCGACATTTAGGAGGAGGCACGAAACGTGGGCAGCGACTCGGGTCCTGCTAGCTCAGGGGTAGCATCCCACTGGCGGCGACGAGACAGTTAGTGCGGCTCCAGGGGCTATTTCCAGCGTTCTTTTGTAGCGCTTGAGCCCCTACTTACAGGCGTATGTACAGGCGTATGTACAGGCGTACAGGCGCACTGGAGAACGCCCGACGATGCCGTGGAAGGTAGCAGTGTACCACAGTGCACTGGGACGCTAATCGTGGCGCACGACACGGACTCCCGCTGGAGAAACTAACCTCCACAGAGGCTACGCTGCCCCCCCTCCATCCTCTATCGCTCCATCACTCCATCGCTCCATCGCTCCATCAGCGTCCGTCTCTTCGGCGGGCGGCCCTCCACCTCCGCCTCCACGCTTCAACCCCAATCGACGTCTCTCTCCCTCCGTCTCCTTCGCCTCCTCCACGCCCGCCTGCGCTTTCGCTTCCCTCTTCCCAATCCACCCTCCTTCCCACCGTTCCGGCGTTCCCTTTGAGCCGCGCCTCCGCCCAGCGACACGCGAGCCTGACTCGAGACGCGCCGCTCGTCCTCGACCCGTCGACGCCCAAGGCAGGCCCACGATCCACAATCCGCAATCCGCAACCCGCAACCCGCAACCCGGGATCTATCTACATCTGCGTCGTCGAGTGCGATCTCGACCTCGACCTCGACCCCGACCCCGGCCCTCATGCCTTCGGCATCGCAACTGGGAATGGGCAGCCGGTCGAGATCCTCTCCGTCGCTCTCCAACAACTCCACGTCTAGCTCCTCCACTGCTGCCGCCGCCGTCGCTGCCACATCCCCGTCTCCCGTCGACCACGTCGAGCCCCCAACGTCTACGGAGCAGGCCTCCTCCCCGGCTCCATCCACGACCTCCTCGCGCCCAGGCTTCTTGTCGCGTCTCAGCCTACCCCTCTCGCTCCGTAGCCGCAACCGAAATGTTACCGACTTTCACATTCGGCCGGAGGAGCCGCACCGGAGATACGGCGCCGGCGACCACGTCCGCGGCTCTGTTGTCCTAGCCGTAGTAAAGCCCGTCCGCATTACTCACCTCGTTGTGTCGCTGCACGGCTACGTGCGCGTCCTCAAGGACCCAACTTCGATTGCCAAGACCCAAGGCGCGACGGTGCTACCTCTGGGCGGTGGTTCTATGCAGCCGCGCTATCACAGCAATGGCCTTGCTAGTCTCTTCCAGGACGAACAGGTGTTGAGCGGCGAGGGGAGGTTAGAGCCAGGAAAGTACGAATTCGGCTTCGACTTGGTGTTTCCAGACAAGGGGTTGCCGAGCAGCATCGATGTAGGTTTTGAGTAGGCCAAACTGACTATGGGATCAATTACTAATGATCGCGTAGTTCGAACGAGGGACGGTTTCATACAACATTACTGCGACTCTAACAAGACCGACCTCAATCAACCCGACCACTTCGTGCGATCGGAAAGTAATGTTGGTGGAGAACATCGACATAGGATTGCTACCAACGCCCCCGCCGAGGACCATCTTTTTAGAACCCATATCCAAGCGCACACGGAGGAAGAAGTCAATCGTTCTAGACAAGGCTTCCATGCCCCCGACAGAGGTGACCGAGGTTCCCCCCGATCCGGATGATCCAACCGCCCCCGGTGCCTCCGACGACTCTCGCGACCCCACAGCCGACGCACGAAGCCCAATACAGAGCGACGTACGAAGCGAAGTCAGCGGAGATAGTGCCAGCACCGGCGTGAGCCGGAACGATCTTTCCCTGTCGCAGATCGGGACATTGACAGCATCTGCTAAGCAGCAGGCGGTGGACAAGAAGACCATTACAGCGACTGTTGAGCTCCTAAGAGGAGGTTGTTTACCGGGCGATGCCGTCACGGTGCGAATTTCAGTCCAGCACATCAAGCACGTCAAGAGCATGTCGGGTATTATTGTGACATTGTACCGACAGGGGAAGATTGACAGCTCCCCGCCAGCGTCATGGTTCAGCGACGACATGAGTAAGGAGGACCTTAAGCGGGCCGAGAGGGAGGACATATATCCACGATCGCGGACTGGCCTTGGGGGCCTCTCCCTATCATCATCGGGCTCCACGAGCATGTTTCGCAAGGATCTCGACCAGAATACAGCGCCTCTAATCATGGATCCGACTACCTTGCAGACCTCGGTAACGGTCTCAGTCAAGCTACCTGATGACTCGTTCCCAACGATCAAGAGCGTTCCGGGGGAGATGATCAGCTTCAAATACCTGGTCGAGGTTGTCGTCGATCTCGGCGGAAGATTAGCGAATCAACTGCAAGGCGGCCCCTCGTCCCGGTTTGGAACATTCGGCCATGGGAATTCAGAACCTAGCCCATTTGTGTATGGTCCGAGGAGGGGAATTAACATCGCTGATACATCACAACTACGACGCGAGAAGGGTGTCATATCGGTGTCGATGGAGACGTTGGTAGGCACAACGGACTCGTCGAGGGGTCGCAAGAGGTCAAGAGCATCGCCATCGTCACGAAGGATGGCTATGCCAGAGAGTGATGACGAGGACCCCGGCCGCACAGAGATAGGATATGTGGAAGATATGCCCTACGAATATCAGGCCAACGGTCAGCTCTCGCCTGTTGGCTATTTCCCGGCTCAAATGAACGGGAACCGTCATCCGCAACCTCACATACTCCCTCCACAGCCATACTCACCCCTATTACCGTCACACCCGTCACAACATTTACCACTAGGCCAGGGAGACTTCCAGACAGCCAATGGGTTCCCTCCACCCGCAATTCCTGCCTACGTTCCTCCACCTCAGATTCCAGAGCAGGATGAGCTCTCTGAGAAGGACCGGATTCGCCAGGCCGAGACCAGACTCTTACCAAGTGCACCTCCGGCAGCCGGGCCATCTAACAGCAATGACGATGACAATATCTACGATGCAGAAGACACTTCCCGAGCTCCGCCCCTCGAAGCCATATTCCGGCCTAATGATGCCGATGATGCCCCGTCGGCACCTTCGCAAGACGAAATCGCAAATGCAACAGCTCCCCCAGCCAACCGGTTGGAGGATAAGCAAGAGCAGGAGCGCCATCGACTGATGAACGAGGCCAGCGCGCCGCCCGAGTTCCCAGATGATGTCGACCAGAGGAATAGTGGTCCTTCGTCGAGAGAGATGGCCCCCGAGATGGCTCCCGATGCGGAGCCAAGTGCACCAAGTGCACCATTGCTCGACGAGTTGGATGATTTTCCGGGAATTGGCCCCGTGGCGGGCCCATCCGGAAGCGGCAGCCGTGGTAATGGAGAGCAATTGCCGGCCTATCAACGATGAAAAACAATCTCGGCTCTTTAAATACGTTTCAACAGGTGACGAGATATATATTCTGGGCAGAAGAGAGCTGTACGATTTGAAGCCGGTTGTTGGATAGTAATCACGATGGCGTTTTGGATATATGGGCAAGGAATGATGATGAAATATTAATACCGAGCGACTGCGAACAAGGCGTCATCCACCGTCTTGTCTGCGCCAGGGTTTCAAAAGACTATTATTAATCCTTCATATATTCTTCACATATCTATGTATGTTGACCAGATGAGTGGAGTCTTTACTCGATAGTGGTGGCGTGTCCAGGAGCTGAGAATCTTCCGATATCAATGTCACACCGCAATCCCCTCCAACACATTGCCTCTGAATACAGCCAGTCTAGTCTATTGAATACACAAGCAGGACTCTATGTCCTTGAGGGGTGATTGTTCATCCCATCCCATCCAATCCAATCGCATGCCCATCCTCGTTATTTTAGAATAGTGTACAACCCAACCGGTAGTTCAATGATCAGGCCATTTCCCCAAGGGATGACGAAAGAGTCAGGCGATGCCAGCTCCGCATCTCAAGCCGCGAGCCGCATCCAAGAAGAAGAAAAAAGCCCCGCACCTCCGGACACGGCGCCGAATTTCAAGGCGTGTGAACCCCTCCTCCGAGCCCGTCGCAAACCTACCGGTGAGGTTTTCAAATATGACGGCCTCCGGACCTCCGAGGCTACGAGCCTCTCCAGTGCGCAGGTTGGTCTAATGTCCCAACACAACGTCCTTGCCCTTCTCCCAGTTGTCGAGACTCTCCTTGATGTTGACCCAGTATCGCAAGCGAACGGCCTCGTGCTTGGCAGCGTCAACGTCATCATGCTGGAAGGCATACTCTAGGGCCTGCTCGCTGGCCGCGATGCGAGCATCATTCTCTCCCCGGGGGGTATCCAGGTCCTCTTCCGACTCGGCCTCGACAATCTCCTCATGTGCCTCGAGGACTACCATCAGCAGATCGGGCTCCTCGACCTTGAGCGCTTCGTCGTTGGCCACATCGACGCCGCGAAGGCCGAGCAAATACTGCGCGCGCAGGAGCGGGTTGGTGAGAGTCTTGTAGGCGTCGTTGATGCGGGCCGATATCGCCTCGGCGCGCACCTTGTTCTCGGCCGGGTGCATGTCTGGATGGGCGCGAGCCTGGAGGCGGAGGAACTCGCGGCGGAGGGCTCGAGTGTCTATGGGGAAGTGGCCTGTGGGCGGGGGTCCGTCAGGGAGCGTCTCGGGGAAGAGGTCATAATGCGTCTGAGGCGGCGGTGCCGGCGACGGGGAAGACTCGGCGGGCGCGGAGGTGCCGGCGGCGCGGCGGGCCTGGAGGAGGGCCGCGGACGGCGACGGTGATGACGAGACCCGAACGGCAGCTAGACGCCCAGCAGCGGAGGTGCTGATGCCGGCGGGGATCGCGACGGCGGAAGGGCGCGTCGTAGGAGACAGGGCGGCGAGGGAGGATGCTCGGCGAACTCGGAGACGACATCGGACACAAAGCCGAGAGACGTCGCGGGCGGCGACGGAAGCGATAGAGGGTCGCATGTTTGGGGGATATTTGGAGGGAGGAGGGTTTAGATTACGACGGCAGCAAAGAAAGACGCAGCAATCAATGCAGCGGGCGATGCATAAGAAGAAGGGCGGCAGCGCACCCGAGATCGAAGGGTGGAAATGCCGTGAAGGTCGGTTTATTGGAGCTCGAGACAGTTAATGACGACGGACTGTAGAATTATTTCACGGGTGTGGCTAGTGGGGTTGTGGCAAATGACGAGTGACTGGCTTCCGTCGGCTAAGGTAGAGAGAGAGTGTTGTGGCGCGGCGATTGTCCCTTGTGCCTTCCCGGTCGGTACATTTGAACAAACCGCCGGCGCCGGTGGTCGGACAATGGGAATATGGCGGCCCGAGAGGACGCAAAGGAAAACGAAAGGAAAGTGGGGGTAACGACGTGTGGCAAGCACCTTCCCTGGGACATTGGGGCAGGTTGGGGACGTTCTTCTGTGCGAAATCCGGGGTTGACCGCTTGCAAAGTGGTTGGTTACTAGCTAAGTCAGCGGCCGGTGCCCCATTAACCAGCAGATCGGACGAGGTCGGCGGGCGCGTTCGGCGTCCAGTCCGATGTGGTTGATTTCTCGACCGGGGCGCCGCCTATCGCTAGACTTCCAGCCTACCAGCCTACCAGAGAAGTGGTCCAATGGCCGGCCGGCCAAATCAACACGCTGGAATGGTCACGGTCAATCAGCCGTCTCTCGACTCGGCGAGGTGAACCTCAGGCGATCTCTGGCGACATTACGCTGTTGCGGAGGTTTTTGCTTCCTATTTCCGGACTTCAATTGCTGCAAAAACACGGCCAGACGCGACCAGGACATGGGTCGCCAGTAGCAGAGCGTTTCTCCCTTCTCACCGGTCCCCTTTTTTCACCCTTTTGCCTTCTGCTTCTTCTGCTTCTTCTTCTTCCTCTTCCTGTAGGCTGTCCGTCGCATCACGTCGCCGGGATTACCATTCCGTCCGCGGCGCAAAAATCACAAAGACGCAAAGGCGCAAAGACAGAGCGACAGACAGAGAGCCGCAGTTCACCCAACCCAACTTGCTCTCACTAACACTAGTCCCGGCCTTGCTCCATTCATCCATCCACCCATCCATTCATTATCCATCCATTATCCATCCCGCCCCCAAAGTCCCCAGCCAGCGTCTGTTCGGCTTCCACTCCCGCAGCTCAATCCTAGCTGTTCCCCCCAATGCAACGGGTCAGACGTCGCCGAGTCCCATAGATTCATCCTCTGCATCCAATTCTTACACAACGCAACAACTTCAACCTCAATCGCCACCGCCGCGAGATAGAGAGATAGAGGCCTCATCCCTCGGCCTCTCTGCCTGAGCTCTTATCTCAGCTCTGTCCCCTCTCCCAATCCCCCAATCGGTCACAAACAGAGACCATGGCGAAGGTCTTTGACGCCGCCGAAGGTACGTCTCCCGCGCGCCCAAAATACATATGCGCCCTCCAATAATTGCAACACCATGGGTCACGGTCCGCGATGCATGGTTCACGTTCACTAACAGCCACCGCCTTTTCTTCACAGTGGCGAAACACAACACGGCAGATAGCTGTTGGGTCGTGCTCTACGGCAAAGTCTACGACGTCACAGACTTCCTGCCCGAGCATCCTGGCGGCAAGAAGATCATCCTCAAGTTGGCTGGCAAAGATGCCACTGAGGAATATGACCCCGTCCACCCGCCGGGCATTCTTGAAGAGAACCTCAGCCCAGAGAACTTTCTCGGCACCGTCGATGAGGGCTCGCTTCCCCAGTCTGAGGTTGTCGCTGAGGACACCAAGAAGGACTCAGATGCGCCGCCACCGCTGGGTCTGCTCATGAACCTCGACGAAATCGAGGAGGAGGCCACTAAGCGCATTTCCAAAAAGGCATGGGCCTACTACTTCTCGGCCAGCGACGACCTAAGATCAAAGTCCTTCAACAACCTTGTCTACCAGAAGATCCTTCTGCGTCCCAGGGTCTTCGTCGACTGCACCTCCTGCGATCTCTCCACCAATTTCCTAGGCCACAAGGTCGGCATGCCCATCTTCGTTGCCCCGGCTGCCATGGCCCGTCTTGCCCATCCCGACGGCGAGCAAGGCATCGCCAAGGCCTGCGCTCGCTTCGGTGCCATGCAGATCGTCTCCAACAACGCCTCCATGACCCCCGAGCAGATTGTCGAGGGCGCCGCTCCCGGTCAAGTCTTTGGCTGGCAGCTATATGTCCAGAACCAGCGCGAGAAGAGTGAGGCCATGCTCAGGCGTATCAACGCCATGCGCGACCACTACAAGTTCATCACCCTGACTCTCGACGCCCCCGTTCCCGGAAAGCGTGAGCTCGATGAGAAGTCAAACTTTGACTTCGCTGATACCAGCCCCGCCAGCGGCGAGGCCACAGAGGCCAAGGGTGGCGTGGGACAACAGCTCTTCTTCGGCACTGCTGCCGACCTGACGTGGAAGACGACGCTCTCATGGTTGTCTGAACACACCGACCTGCCCATCGTGTTGAAGGGTTTGCAGACCCACGAGGATGTTTACCTGGCTACCAAATACCCTCAGGTCAAGGCCGTCATCCTGTCCAACCACGGCGGACGTGCACTCGACACGGCACCTCCGGCCATTCACACGCTGCTCGAGATTCGCAAGTATTGCCCAGAGGTGCTGACCAGGCTCGAGGTATATGTCGATGGCGGCATCAAGCGGGGAACAGACGTTGTCAAGGCTCTTTGCCTCGGTGCCACGGGCGTGGGCATCGGACGAGGTGCGCTGTTCGGCCTCGGTGCTGGAGGCCAGGCGGGCGTTGAGCGTGTATTAGAGAGTAAGTTTCAGCCGGGACGATCAAACCACAGCAGTCGTTTTACTAATACGCAAACCTATAGTTCTAGAGGGAGAGACATCCACTTGCCTGAGGCTGCTCGGCGTCAAGAACATCTCGGAGCTGGGCCCTAGATTGGTAAGACCCTCCCCCAGACTCCCCAGACTCCCCCATTCTTGGCGATCTCGACTAATTTTGGTCGGCAGATAAACGCTCGCAGTGTGGAGCGAGATATCTACGATGGCGATCCGGGGTTGGAGCGGAGAGGCCTGTGGTCGAAATCCAAGCTGTAAAGTAGAGAGCATCAATTTCAGATGTCAAACAGAGGCCTCGGCTTGCGGGTGAATACGCCCCACCCCTGGCCGACCGGCCGTCGCGCGACGGCGGTAGCTTTCGGACATGGCGCTGGGCTGGCGCCATGCAAGCCGGGTCTGCTACGCCGAGGGGCTGAGGTTTTGTGCGGCACATACGCAGAAAACGAGGCACCGAAGCCCCGAAAGCTGAGGGTTGGTTGCGAGGGGTCCGGATGAGAGCACCCACCGAGATAGAATGGTGTTGAATGACAAGATAGGTCAATGTTTTGTCAATGGCGCGAGGGCGAGGGACGCCCTGTGGCCAATTTTGTTTCTATTAGAGTATCCCGGTATAAGAATTGAATATGAAGACCACGGAGAAGTTGTGGATTTGATCAATTCATTTGCCAGGCCTGCGGCACAAATGGCTTTGTCGCAACGTATCAGGACTCACCTCCACTCACCCCTCAAACCCTCGTGAGAGACCGGAGCACACGCCTTATACCCGGTCGCCATCGATACGATTGGCCACCGGGATGGCCACCGGGAACCTTCCCCCCTCGTCGGAGACGTCCCATCGCGGGTGGAGGTACATGATCGTCGCGGACAAGGCAATGGTGGTGTCTGCAGGGACGGGGGTGTCAAATGACACCACATGCTTTCCAATGCCAGGAAGCAGCCCACCATGGCAATAATTACTTCGTATATTCCCCTGCTTCAGTTGGTGGCCATAGGCTAGCCAGCTGGCGAGCTGGTTGGTTTGCCTCCCGGTAGCAGAGTTGGGGCAGGGCGCAAGATAGAACAGCTGAAAAGCTTGGGTGGCTAGCGTGGCCCAGACAAATCTCGCTCCAGTTGTTTGGTGAGAGCCTCCCGTATCGAAAACGCCTCTCGAAGTTGGCACATCGAAGTTGAAGTGGCGTCGTACCGCATCTTTGACTGGGCGATTGATTGGTATTTTTGTTTGGCCACCATCCAACCTTAAAATGCGCAGGGGCGAGCGAGATTGGGCGGAAAGGCGTGGGAAGCGTGCGATGGTAGGTTACTGGCAACCATCAAGAGATTGTAGCCGTACATGCCGGCGTCTTGTTGGACACATAGGGGTTAGCTCCCTTGCCGCTCGTTCGGTGAGGGGTCAAATGTCGCGTGCAGATCGCCAACGAGACGTAAAAGACGCTTCCAACGACAGATATTGGCTTGGCTAATATTTTGTGGTGTCGAGTGGTTGGCTGTCGAGGCCGCCTCTGGTCCGCCGCATGCATCACCGTTTTCCTGCTTCTCATGGCGTTCTCCTCCCGCCACCCGTCGTATCGTTGATGACAGGTTAGCACGGCGTAGTTCTGCCTGCTGAGACCAGCATGTTCGAAGGATGGGATGCGCATCTGCCAGGGCGTGTAACTGCAGGATCAGATCACCGTAAGCCAGGCCGTCCGGTGCCTGGCATGTGAATCTTGGTGTTCCCGGCCTGACACACATCCACATCTCTGTTTCCTCTTGCTACAGTCACAGCCACAGCCACAGCGGCCCGGTGGCATTGCCCTAACCCTCGAAACCGCCCGGAAAGCCGCAAACAATTTCAATACGGCTTCGCAGCCCAGAGCCATGCCACCCACAACTGAAGAATGGCCAACTTTTTCAGTGACACATGACTGACAATATTGAGGGTTGCCACCTCCAGCCTCAACCCACTCGTGTCGCGCTTAAAGCGGCGAAAGGTTGCGCCCGAGATGCTATAAATTGCTCCCGTGCGTTGTCAGTTGCCAGTCAGAACCGGTTCAAGAGAGAGATCCCTTCGGCGGGGTCCTCTCCAGCCATGCCAAGCGTCGGACAAGGCGTCGACAAAGTTCTCGCGCTGTTCCCAGCTCGGCGCTTCTCCCGTCCGCCACAGAACAGGGGGGTGGCTTCACCGGCCAACACCCGTGGTCGCGAAATGAAGGGATGGGGCCACCCATGGTTGCTTTTTTCTTTCATGTGGGCGCGCCATCACAAGATGCCGAGGGACCTTGACATTCGCCAGAGGGGAGAGCGGGCGAGTGGACCGACTAGGGCATTGCCATGACCGGGGGAGCCCTGAAAGGCGCTCGTTCCCTCTACCCCAGAAGCGCGATGGACTCCCGATGGGCGCGAGATGGGCTCCACGCGGGGCAAACCTGGGGAATAGCGCCAATGGGCTTGTTCGGCGAATTGCCTCTTTTGGAAGGCGATGCCCGAGTAGAGATGCAAAGGAGCATGGGCGAGAAGATCATGGTGATCTAGTCTCTCTCTGGGCGCCCTCCGTGCCGTACGCGGGCTTGCGGTGCAGCTGGTTCGTTCCCCTTGCCGTGCAATGTAAACGCAGCGTCGTGCTACTTAAACTGTAGTCTTGTTCCCTTGCTTTTACGGCCGTGTGGTTGATATTTGGCTTGCCTCCTTTCGACTCCACGACATCCGACCGTCACATCCTCTGCCTTGGTTTATTTTTTCAGTCTTGCCCCTTGCCGTCGGTTGATCCTATACCCCCGGGGCGAGAACCCTCTCAGACACCGACAGACACAGACGCCCTTTATCGAAACCATGTCGGACAAGCCGGAGTACAACCAGGCCGAGAATGGCGTCGCTGTCAAGTCCAAGAAGAAGACCGTCGCACGACACTGTAAGCGGTTTTGGTGGGTATATGTTATCCTCTTCATCGGCTTTGTCGTAGTGGCTGTCCCCTTGACGTGAGTAAACAATCCCTCGGTGGACTCTTCGATGTTTCAGGAGAACTGACGCGCTTCCCCGTGACGTAGCATCTTCGTCATTGTGCCCAAGATTGCTCAAAGCAAGATGAACGCGGCTCATCTTGAGATCCAAGGCGTCAACATTCTCCAGACTGAGAGCAACGCCTACCACATGGAGATCAACTCCACCATCAAGACTGATGGGTCCATCAAGGCCAATATCGATGCCTTTGAAGGCGAGATGTACCTCGAGGACTATGAGCCGCACACCGCATTCGCGACTCTCCTGTTCCCGAAAACCAATGCCAACAAGCACCAAGTCGTCAACGTCAGCCAGGAGATCAAGATCACCGACATGACGGCTTTCACCCGCTTCAACGTCTGGTTCCACAACAACGAGACCGTACGGATCACCATCAACGGCAGGACAAAGGTCAAGCCACATGGCCTGGACCGCAAGTACGGCGTCACCTTCAAAAAGACCTTGACCATCAACGGCCTAAATAACTTCAATGGCACCGAGGTCACCGACGGACACATCTCGCTCGAGAATGACGACAACGGCCGCAACTTCAACGGCACCGCCAACATCCCCAACAACTCCGTCTTCACCCTGGACATTGTAAGTTGCCCACGTAATAATGACTCATGTTTGATCTTTTGCTCACCACCCCTTCAGGGAAATGTTTCTTTTACCAACTTCGTTGGCGACGAAAACGTTGGTACCCTGTATATCCAAGATTTGCTCCTCAAGCCTGGCGACAACGTCCTCAACATCACGGCGACCATGGATCAGCTTGCGATCCTCTCTGCTGTTCGCAAGAAGCCATACTGCAACACAGGTATCCTCCCATTTAAGTTGCTAGGCAAGTCGGTGGTGAACAATGGTGATGATCTGAGCTACTTTGCCGCCGCTCTTGCCAGCACCAACCAGACCGTTAATATCGACATCGGATCCATTATTAAGAATGACTTGGGGACCACGGTCAAGTGTGCGTAAGACTAGGCTGATGCAGTTGGTCGTATGCTGTCTATATTAATTTAGGTTGTTGTCGTTTTGATTTCCGGGAAAGTAGAGGAGACCATCAGGAAGGGCTTTGTATATGATTGCTGGTGCATCTTGCAGTGTATCGCGCGCTGGTAGGGCGGAGGTCGAGGAATAATATCAGACAGGTGATGGTCAAGCGACAGGCGCATTCGGATTCAAATGATACCTTGATGCAGATCATCACGTCGAGCCTAAGGGGCTACCGAAATCGAATGTTGAAATCGTCCTCTCTCATTTTTTGGGTATCATTCTTGGTCCACCTTTGTTCCTGAGCTCGAATGCATCTGCCGTGAATCCATCCAGTGAGTGCAAGTCTACGCTGGTCAGTCTCATTTCCATCCGCCCTTGCGCTTCTCGCCTCGAGATATTCCTCCAGACCCAGACGTGCTTCCGCCTAGAGGGGTCGTAGATGGGACGAAGTCAATGGCGGTTCTCCCACCGCTTGCTTTTTCGGCTTCCTTCTCCTTCGCGAACTTTTCCACACTTCTGCGGAGCTTATCCTTGAAAGCCCACTCTGGAAAACCGTTTGGATCCCAGAGATCGGTCGGCAAGGTCGTGGAATACTGATTTCCTTCATCAATCTCCACGAATGTCATGAGCTTGTCCATCAAACTAGGGTTCTTCAGCGCCGAGGACTGCTCCAACTTTGCGTTAAAATGCACGCCTTTCTTCTTCAGTTCTAGAAACTGGTCGAACTTCTTGTTGGCGCCTGGCTGTGGTGACCCGGGTGGTGACGGGGGGATGTCCATGTTGGGCACTGAGGGAAGCGTGAGGTCACGCAGCAGTGCTCGATTGGCAGAATATGGTGATGAAGGAGTCTGCCCTGAGGGATCTTCCTCATTGATCAAGGGCTCGCCCACCGGCGGAAGTGATGGCCCCAGGGGCACGGCATTTTGCTGTACTGGACCGATGACCACAGGGTCTTCCTTTCCTGCTGCTATTCTGCAGGTAAGCATCATAGGCAGCCATGGTTCTTTTTTTCTTTTTTAAATTCAAAGCCGAGACGTTCTATACATACCCGAGCCACCTGTCGCGGCTGAATTTGCGCTCGTGACCTTGTCTGCTGCAGGATCCGCGACCGTTGCCTTTGGTGGTGCCTGGAGAAAACCAACATCAGAACTCACCCTCAAGGTGGGGTTTGATTTATAAATACCTCGACGGACGCTGTCTTCTCAATCTCCTCCTCTTCATCGCTGCTGGCGTATTCAACTAGCCCGGCCATTTCTTCTTTTGAGGTGTTGTGGTGTAAGCTGATGATGTGTTTGTGAGAGTTAGGAGCATGAGACAATACGATACCGAGGCAGAACAAATCTATAACCATTCTTGGGTTAGCGCGGCTAGTGGTTCCTTGGTCGCGTCAGTGGGTAAACTTCGGCTTGGCAGCCCCAGACTTTTGATCATCGTCTAAATGTCGTGCCTCGCCTTGTAATGCGCCTTCTGCATTCTGACCACCCCTCATCTGCCCGTCTCATCTGCATCCATCCTCGTGAGCCGGCGAATCCATCGTCAGACTCCTTGTCCGTTGCTCTAGAGGACCGAACAGGCCCGAACAGGCTCTAGCTGCGCGCTACTTCGAACGTGGCTACGCGCCTTCGCTGGCACCACCAACGTCTTGGCTACGTTCACAAAAGTAGTACTCACCAACGTAGTGTCCTACTGAGCCTGCGAGACCGCAACAATGGCTCGGCCAAGAGACTCGCGCTCACCAAGTCCTGCAGGCAGTCCCAACAGCTCACGCCGCCCCCGCAAAGATGACGACCGACGGGACAGGGATCGCCGCGATGATGGGAGAGACCATCCTCGGGGCACGAGGTCGCGCAGTCCTGATGTGAGGAAACACCATCGCAACGCCCGCGGGCTCTATTCTGACGAAATGCTCCATGAACAGCCCCGATACCGCAACCGAGATCGTGATCGAGACAACAGAGATCGAGCCCGAGATCGCGACTACTACCACCGCAGGGACCGCTCCCTAGATCGACGAGACGATGACTACTACCGCGGCGGACGTCGTGACCGCCGAGATAGAGACCGGCGAAGGTCGCGAGACCGCTTTGACGATAGAAACCGATCGCCAGACCGTCAACAGAACCGAAGCCGAGGAGGCGACAGGGACTTCAGAAGGCGAGAGGATTCCCGCGACCGAGCGCGTGGCCACCGCGAAGGTACGGCTGACTCGCATGCGCGTAGCATTCGCGATGAGAGTCGCCATCAGAAAACACCAATGGGCGACAGCGGCAACGCGAGCAGCAACGAGGTTCGTCACTCTGACCGTCACCCAAGAAATACTCCCGTTGACAGAGTGCAGGCCCAAAAGCCAAAGGCGACCGCTTCCCAGGCCGAGGTTGACAAGAAAGCTGAACGACTCGCGAAGCTCGAAGCGTGGAAGAAAAAGAAGGAGATCGAGAGCCAGAAACAAAAGGAAGTCAACCCAAGCCAGACACGAAACCTCCTGGCTGAGATGGACATGAAGGCAAGTGGCGCCTCATCAAGAACAGTGTCCCCTGTCGTTTCCGCCGTTGCTTCACCTGCTACCAAGGATTCGCCAAGCGCCGCTTCCCCCGTGACACCTTACACTGGGAAGTTCGATCCCAAGGCCATCGCCAAGAAGTCGGCAGCTTCGCGGTCCCACGAAGCCGGAAAACCAGTTCTTGGGGCGTTTGGTGCGCAACCTGAGACGGTATCAGTAACTGTGAAACAAACAAGCACTGGTATGTCACTGTTCACTCCTCATATTCCGGTCACTGCTGACAGACAATATTCAGCCTCAGCCCTTCCCGCGAATCGACTCAAAGCCAGTGGTTTCGGCTTTACCAAGTCGCATGCAGAGAATGACAAGCTCCCCAGCAAGCGCAAGCTCGACTTGGACGAGGAAGATACCACGAAGCGAAAACTCACGAAGCTACCCGCCCTCCCGATCGAAACCGACGATACCCCTTACGCTGATCAGGATGAGGATGACGAAGAGGATGGAGATGTTTTTGCAGAAACTGAGGAGGAAGCAGCCGCCGCCGCTCGTGCTGCTCATGAGAAGCGGCTGCAGGCGGAGAGCCAGGCAGCCCAAAGCGAACAAGAGTCAAAGGCAGCCGAAGCTCAAACCAACGGCCAGGCGGCCACTAATGGTGAACCTGAGAAGCCCGCCTCGCCGGAACAAATGGATGTAGACGAGGGTGACGGTGTGGACCCGTTGGATGCGTTCATGGCTGATCTAAAGCAAACGGATGTCAGGAAGCCAGCCAAGGCATCTGTGACAGCCAAGGTTCAAGAGCCTGAAGCTTACTTCAGCGATGATGACTATGCGTTCAAGGCCAAAGAAGAAGGTGACGCCAATGCTTTCCTGGCGATGACGAACAAGCGGAAGAAGAAGGACATCCCGTCCATCGACTACACCAAAATCGAAATTGAACCTATCAGAAAGAACTTCTGGGTTGAACCAGCGGAGCTAAGCTCCCTCACTGAAGCCGAGGTGGCAGATTTGCGCCTAGAGCTAGATGGGATCAAGGTCAATGGAAAGGACGTTCCCAAGCCTGTCCAAAAATGGGCGCAGTGTGGTCTGACACGGCAAACCTTGGACGTCATCGAACACCTGGGTTACGAGAAGCCTACTCCGATTCAGATGCAGGCGGTGCCAGCAATCATGTCTGGTCGCGATGTTGTGGGTGTTGCGAAAACGGGTTCAGGAAAAACGGTTGCCTTCCTGCTTCCCATGTTCCGACACATCAAGGACCAAACTCCGTTGAAAGACACAGACGGTCCCATTGGTCTGATTATGACACCGACGCGAGAGCTGGCCACCCAGATCCATCGCGATTGCAAACCTTTTCTAAAAATGATGGGGCTTCGTTCGGTGTGTGCGTATGGAGGTGCCCCTATCCGGGAGCAGATTGCCGAGCTAAAGCGTGGTGCCGAGATCGTTGTCTGCACCCCAGGGCGAATGATAGATCTGCTAGCTGCGAACCAAGGCCGGGTAACGAATCTTAAGAGAGTCTCTTACGTGGTCTTGGACGAGGCGGATCGAATGTTTGACATGGGCTTTGAGCCCCAAGTCATGAAGATTTTTGCCAACATGCGACCGGACAGACAGACAATTCTCTTTTCAGCGACCATGCCACGAATCATCGACTCGTTGACCAAAAAGGTTCTCAAGGCGCCCGTGGAGATCACTGTGGGTGGCCGAAGCGTCGTAGCAAAGGAAATCGAGCAGATTGTCGAGGTTCGCGAGGAAACCACAAAGTTCTTGCGGATCCTGGAGCTTCTGGGCGACCTTTACGACCGAGACGAGGACGCACGCACACTGATATTTGTTGAACGCCAAGAAAAGGCTGACGATCTACTCAAAGAGTTGATGATGAAGGGCTATCCTTGCATGTCCATCCACGGAGGCAAGGATCAAATCGACCGAGACTCGACCATATCAGACTTCAAGAAGGGTGTCGTGCCCATTCTGATTGCTACTTCTGTGGCGGCACGTGGTCTCGACGTCAAGCAACTCAAACTCGTCGTCAACTACGATGCTCCAAATCACCTGGAGGACTACGTCCACCGCGCCGGTCGTACAGGGCGTGCTGGAAACACGGGTGTGGCTGTAACGTTCGTTACGCCGGAGCAGGAAAACTGTGCCCCTGGCATTGCAAAGGCGCTAGAGCAGAGTGGCCAGCCGGTACCTGAACGTCTTAATGAGATGAGGAAAGCCCACCGCGAGAAAGTCAAATCTGGAAAGGCAAAGGATACCTCTGGCTTTGGTGGCAAGGGCCTAGACCGGCTAGATCAGGAACGAGAGGCCGCCCGCCTCCGCGAGAGGAAAACGCACAAGGCGGAGGGCGAGGAGGAGGAGGACAAGGAGGAAAAGAAGGACGATGAGGAGAAGGCCGAGAAGGCACTGAGCGCTATCAGAGCAGCTGCGTCGGGTGTGCAGTCACGTGAGACGGCGAAGACGGAGCAGCCAGAGGTGAAGCCTGTGCAGCCCGTCATCCATGGTCCCACTGCGACTACCAAGGACAGCAAGGCGAAAGACCCGCTCGACAAGGTCAGTTCGGCTGTCAGTGCCATCAATAGCCGTCTGGGCAAGGCCGGCCAACTACGCGCCGGCCAGCCCATCGACAACAAGGGCCCGGATGCAGGAGCGTACCACGCTACGCTGGAAATCAACGACTTCCCCCAGAAGGCCAGATGGGCCGTCACGAACCGGACGAACGTGGCCAAGATTCTGGAGGCCACGGGCACCTCCATCACCACCAAGGGCAACTTCTACCCTCTGGGCAAGGAGGTTCCGGCAGGCGCAGAGCCGAAGTTGTACATTCTCATCGAGGGCGATACGGAGGTTGTAGTAAGTTCGGCCTTGACCGAGTTGACCCGGTTGTTGCGCGAGGGTACGATTGCCGCAGCAGATGCAGACAGCCGAGCCCCTGCGAGCGGCAGATACACCATTACTTGAGTCGCGCCATGGCCGAGGTTAGCCGATACGGAAGAGGGAAAAGTGCTGCGAATGACACCAACGGAAAAAAGAGAGCTACTGTATTGGGCAAAATTGTTCAACGGGCGTTGCGGCGGGAAAGGCGCAACTGGGCAACTCGCCATGTATAGGATTTCAAGGAGTTAATGGGTGGCGGATGTCTAGTAAAAGAAACAAAATCGTTATTCTCGCACGCAAGCAAAATGTCCCCTCTTAAGCAACAGCAGCAACTCGGGCACACGCTTCCGTGGCCTTGATGCCACCCCTCGCCGCCGTAATAATCTCAAATGCTATGTCGGATAGTTGAGAACCACCCGCAGGATTCGACAACTGAAGCAAAAAGTAATTGGCCACCGAGCTCATCCACCATTCACAGGGAGGAATGCAAAACCGCCCATCCAAAAGATTCCCATGCAAGTATCGCCATCCGTATGCTCGTGGGAGGTTTATAGGTCTCGTCTTCGTTCTTTCAGCCTTCACACCCATTACCACTCTTCCTCTCAGTTCTCTCACTCCCCTTCTGCGTCTCGCTTTCTCCAAGCCCCCGAGACAGGGTTTCAGTCCCACCTCTGGATCTCGGTGTCCTGCGTGCTTTGGTTTTCGCCCCTCCTTGTCTTACTAGCATCGTTCAGATGCTCTAACTGGCTCTTTTTTTGCTGCGAGGTCAACTGCGATTGGAGCTTGCCTCCGCCCGCAGACGAGGCTTTGGCTCGAGCCTGGAACGTGGTGGTCAGAAAGTTCACGATAGTTCACGATAGTTGGCACGATGGTGGTGGCGGTGTGAGCTTTGGATGGAATAAGGGAGTGTTGGATTGTTGGTGTGTTGGTGTGATGGTGTGTGCAGTCGAGCATCCCTGCCAGAGATGCACACAGCCCTCGGCCATGGGAAGGGTGAGGTCTATTTCGCTACACAGTACTATGCAGCACGGCGCGATGCGGGACGATCTGGGGGAGTCATAGATGCTGTACTCACTAGGGCTGCCTCGGAGGCCTTGCGCCGCGCATCTTCTTGGCTTCCCGATGCTTCAGCGGTCGATGAGCCACCCAACACTCGCGGGGGCCCTCCAACCTTCTTCGGAACGGGGGCAGTCGTCGGTCCTGGGGGTGGAGCAGAACCTAAGACACGGCCAGGTTGATCAAAGGGATCCGCTTCGGTCTTGCCGCAGATGTTGCCCATCTTGACGACTCGCGATGCGCCGGAGTTGAGGTCCGGGAGAGACGAGAGTTTGAATAGGGCGGGTCGACGAAGAGTATGGTTTTCAAAGCAGGCAATCAACCAACTTTGCGATGGGGTTGGTGCAGGGGAGAGTGCGGCGAGCAAGCAATGGTTTGCGATGCGCTCAGGTGTGCGAACTGCTCGTGATCTAGAGATGCTGCTGCGCCTCGAGAAAGCTTACGACGTCACTCTGCAAGGCAACTTGGCGAATGGAGAGGCGTCCGAGGTCAGGGAGTGGGCATGGAGTGGATGGGAATGCGTCCAGAGGTTCCTTTTTGCCTTGCGATAGGACCTGGAACTACAACCGAGCCTGCGAGCGAAGCTGCAAGTTGGTTCGCAGAGACGATAAGTAAATAGTGGCTGGTCGGTGAGGGTGAGTGGATTGGATGGATGGATAAATTGGTGGGGCTGGATGCACGGATACACGGTACAAATACTGGAGTGCATGCAATAGGCCAAGACCCGCTGGTGGGGGACGGTCCTGGAGGAGCGAGCGGGGTTCGGCCAGTTGCGCCAGTTCTGCAATGGGAGACTAGGGCAATTAAATAGACAAGACAAACTGCATGTGTGCCAGACAGAATATGCGCGTGGAAGAGCGTGCAGCAAGCGTTCCATGGTACCTGCTGCTCTGCTGCTGTGCTGCTGTGCTGCTGTGCCGCTGCTCTGCTGCCGTGATGCTTCTGGCTCGTATGCAAAAGACATGCCTCCGCTCGCACTGCATCGCGGCACGAGACCATGCCGATCCGAGCGCCGTCTGACTTCCTCCGGCGGCGGACAAAACCTCGGCGATCTGTGCGCTATTTGACTCCGGGTCCCGGAGAGTTCGTTGCGGCCGGCGTGGACGCAGGCGTGCGCAGGCCGGTGATCCATGCGCCGGACACGGGTCCGATTGATGGAGACGCCGTCCCACCGCGAGGATGGGCTGCATTGTTGAGCCTTGGGCGCGTGACCACAGTGTAACTGGTTGACTTATGCAGGTACCCTGGATGCCGTTTTCAAGGGGGAGCAAATGGTCCTGGTGGCTTGAGCTTAAGTTGACTGGGTGGGTTGGGGCTTTGGAAGATAAGGGGATATCCATCCATGGTTTGCTGTGTGGTTGAACGCCACCACACGAATGCCACACGAATGCCACACGAGACGAGCAACGGCGAGCTCATCCCCGCAACCAACAATCAGTTGAGGAAATCAAACGAATAGTAAATTTGCCGGGAATGCACAAAGCAGCTGAATGTGTCCATTCTGTGCATGAAATCGCATAAAATCGTACTGTAACGGCCTGTTTTTCACTTGGTACAGGGTAAGAGGCTCGCCGATGCCTGTCTCTGGCACCACCACCACGCGATTCGTCCGCGACGGGGATTGCGCGGTTTCTTTCGTCCATCGTGGTCGGCGTTGAAGCACAGCGAACAATGTTTTTTCGGCTAACATCTGCGACTTTGCAATGTTGCCTGCCCGGTCATTCCGATAATAACTCTTCCTTCGAGAGGGTACTACTTTGAGATTACCAGCTAAACCAACGAGGTTAAACGGCAAGGACGGCAACTCGTCTCAAGAATACACCTTCACGAAGACAGAACATATGAGTCGAAGAGTGGATTCAGTGGAGAGGCAGGGCAAGATCTCACTGAATCAGCGCCGTCCACATCCCCACGCCCCGACTTCAATCATCTCCACAGTGGCTTGCCTGCATGTTGCACAGCCAGGCACACGCTGTTGGCACGTTCCTGGTGCAGCAAGAAGCAGCCGGTGGGCATGGTTGAACTTTGGAAATTCGACAAACTAAAAACCTAATGCAAGATGCAAGGCGTCTCTCGTGGAGGGACCGAGACAGAGGCATGCCGCCCATCAAGAATTAGTTTTTCTTCCCGATGCATCTGTGAAAGCTACCAGCCCATACGTTGCCCTCGTGGACGGGAAAGAAAAGGCTGGACCGTCGTCGACAATTCTTCGTAGTATAAGAAGACTGGCAAGGACACCCTTCTGATCCTACCTTTTCATCCCAGCAAGCATACTCCTTCCCTTCACTAACTACCCTGACTTCCCTCACACTCTTCCCACCCCTTGCCTCACTTCACTCACACTCTTCACACTCTTCGCATTCTTCACACTCTTCCCTCTTCCCGCACTCTACTCCACAAACGAACCGACAAAATAGTCGAGCACTCTATTACTCTTTCTCCACTCCTGATTGGCTACCCCCCACTCAGCCTATCGTCACTGCGCAGCACAGACTACCTACCCTAGTCTCTGCCCCTCAGCCTCGAGCACCCAGGCCATCCGGGTTCTCATAAATCGCTTTTCTTGGCGCCTGTGCCGATCTCAAGTCTGAACATCCCACTCGGGAGTCGGGAGAGGTCTAGGCCCATCCCCATCATCCATCCTTCTGCCCATCGCGATTTTTATTTATTCTGCCTCTGTTTGGACTTTTCCGAATGGATCAATCCATGTCCTACGAGGGCCATCAGGGCATGGAAGGCATCGACCTGGATGATGGTATCAACGCTGGCGCCAACCTGCCGTTGGACGCGCACCACTTCCAGATGGATCTGGATCCCATGGTTGCCCTCCAGACCCTCAACTGGAACCAGTCTCAAATGCTGCCTCCGGCCGACTTCATCATGCCTTGGAACCCTCACACGCAGTGGTTGCAGCATCCGTGGGCAGTCTCATTAGACCAACAGGGAGCCCCTAACGTGGGCATGCTTGGTCAAGCCTTCACCGGCGGCACTACTTACGACGATGGTGCCTCCATGGCCTGCAGCTCTCACTGCGGCGTTAACTGTACAGACCAATGTGAGGAGACGCCCGATGCGTCCTGCTGCTTTGACGCTTCCTGCGTCGATGCGTCCTGCGGTGGTCTCGCGATGAACCATTCTGTCTGCTGCTTCGATGCGGCTTGCGGGATGCCGGATCCATGCCTCGACGACGAGTGCACCGAAGCAGGCGACACATGCACTGACGCGAACTGCATGGTGCCGCCCACAGTATACACGACACCAGCATCGGCTTCGATTGAAACACCACCAACAATCGAATCTGATCCCATGATCAACCCTGTCACGACCCCTGCTGACGCCAACACGGACTGTATGATGCAATGGCACCCGAAACGCTTCAAGGGCCCGACTCCTGGCTTGAATAACCCGACTCCTGGCTTGAATAACTCGACTCCTGGCTTGAATAACCCGACTCCTGACTTGAACAACCCTACTCCTGGCTCGAACATCCCGACTCCTGGATTGGATGTCCCAATTCCTGCATTGAAGGACCAGCCGCAGTCTATCAGTGCGGACGACCAGTTCTCGTGTCGATGGGTTGTCGCGAACGGAGACCTATGCAGCTTCAAGTTCGAAAACCACAAGGACCTGCAGTCTCACTGCAAGGAAGCGCACCTCAAGGACCTGGAGAAGGCGACTGGTGGGTTCAACTGCTCGTGGTACGCTTGCACCAGACGGACTCCGTTCTCGCAGAAGAGCAAACTAGAGAGGCACATGCAAACACACACAGGATGTAAGTTGACACTTGACACTTCCAACCCCAACGTACCAGGCCTTGTCCTAACGATAGCAGTCAAACCCGTCGCGTGCAATATTTGCGGAATTCTTCTTTCAGCGAAGCAGTCCCTCGAGCAGCATATGCGAACTCATTCCGGAGAGAAGCCCTGGAAATGCAAACACCCAGGCTGCACTCAGTCTTTCAAGCAACAGAGTGCGCTCAGTAAGTCCACACTTCCTTCACCTGCTGACAATCCCCGCTAACCCGGCCCTTAGCTATGCACACCCGCACTCACACAGGAGAGAAGCCGCTGATGTGTGAAATCTGCGGCAAGAGGTTTGGTGAATCATCCAACCTGTCCAAGCATCGTCGAACCCACAACGTGAAGGGCGGCCACGTCTGCGACGTCTGTGGCAAGGACTTCCACCGCTTGGACCAGCTTCGCCGCCACATGAAGACCAAGCATGAACAATTAGAAGAATAGACACAAGAATACCCCCGAGGGCATCGTTTCCTTGGGCGAGACGGCCTGGTGTTTCGGCGCAGTGGTTCTTTCTGAATGGTCTTGTTTTTGAGATATTGTTTTCGCGTGGCATTGGTCGACAAGGGGAAAAGTCGAAACCATCATGTCACCTAGGTAGTGATAGACATTAATGATAAACGCTCTTAATGTTAACTTGTTCAATAATGCGGATAGTTGTTCGCGCATATACCTACCTATGCCCATTTGCAGGCACAAGATATGTCCTAAACTCGACCATTAATCATGGTATGGTATCCCACATGAAATAGAAAATGAACAAATAACCCATAAACTGAATCTCCCGCTTATCAATGAAGCTTGTTATTTCATTTAATTCAATTCAATTCATTCGAATGGTAAGTGCGCAGATTGCGCGACTTCATTGTGATGAGCTAGGCCTGGGGGGGGGGGGGATTGGTTTTAGATGCGTAGTGAAAACGATTGTTAATGGCATCGGGGAAACAAATAAAGAAGACAAAAGAGGGGCAGAAGATATCAAGGCGAAATTTTAGGGCTCTGGTCGCTTTGCTGCCTTTGTTGGGGATGGTTAGCTGTTTAGGCCCGTGATCCGATTCGGGTCTTGCCGTTCCGATTCGGGTCTTGCCGTTCCGAAGAGTGAGTGGTGCTCGATAGTAGGGATGGCAACGACTTCGGATTGGGCGACAGATGACCTTACCACGAACGCGGCTAAGAAATCATCAATTATCACTCCCTTTATGCTGAGGCTGGCAAGTGTAGTGGGAGTGAAAAATCCCTCTTGCGGAAAGGCCGTCGATGTTGTTTAGAGTGCAACTAGTCGTCGGTTCGGCTCGGAGACAACGCATTCCCGCAAACGGAGCGAGTATCCTGGCCACATCTACGCCTCAGCTGCATCATTGCAGTTGCATCACTTCACAATTGGCCCATCACTCATTTCACAGCTCTCTTGGGAAGGTGGAATACGCATGCCTCGGCGTTCTTGATCATGACCTCATTTTTTTTAGGCTGCCTGACCGGGCAGCCCATTGTGGACATCCCGTCCCAGAACGAGGCCCAAACCGGGAAATAAGTACAAGTCAGACCGAGATTCCCTGAGCCATGCGATGCAAGTTCGAAGCCTTTTGTTCAAAGAAAAAGCACGCCACGCCCTCCATACCCCGTTTCCCTTCTACCCAGATGTCCGTCAACCCTTCAAGCAATTTAAGCCTGCGATTGATCGTTAGCAAACCATGTCCAATACAACAAATCATCACGTCCGCAGCGGATGACAGATTGCGTCTGCCACCATGACTACGACGTCGAGTCCTCTCGTACCTTGATGGCGAACTTGCGCTGGGGGAAGTGAACGGTGCGCTTCTTGGCCTTCTGCAACACGCGGGCCTTGTCTTCGGGGGATAATCGGCGGCGGATGGCGCGGGTCTGCTTGGGTCGGAGGTCGAGAGGAGCGTACTTCTTGTTCTTGTAGAACAGGCGGAGCTGAGCCCTTTGCTTGGCGTTGATGATGGTGAGGACGCGAGCGATGGACTTGCGGAGGTCGTGACTGGAGATCCACCGGATTAGCACAAGTGGCCTTCCAAAGAAAAAAAAGTACAAGCCCAAAGTTTGCTTTGGGAGAGGGATTCGGCTCACATCTTGTTCAGCTTGCTGCCGGAAGAAGCGACCTTCTGGATGCGGAGCTGGCCGAGCTCAGTCTTGAGCTCGCCGAGTTGCTTCGTCAACTCATCCTTGTTCTTGCTCCAGAGCGCAACCGCCTTGACCTTGCCCGACGACTATAACCTGTCAGCATCCCATTCCTCTGAATTCTTGTGCATGGTGTTGTCGCTTCACGGTGGAAGACTCGATAGGGGGAATCGATCGTGTGAGTGACTGTGCGTGTGTTTGGTCGTTGTCGAACAATTCGATTGGGGTGTGAAAGCGGATGGGAGCGACGACACGGTGCTGACGTCCGAGTGAAAGGGGGCAAGAAGGTGTGTACTCACCATCTTGATTAGCTTCGAAGTGGTTGGCGAAGTGAGTCGACGAGTGTGTTGAAAAATATCAGCCTCAACCGTAACCGTCCGTGTCGCGATAGATCGTAGGCGTAGAATTTAGAGAAGTTTGCCGAGAGGGTGAAAAATTGCCCTAGGGCTTGAGGAGCGTGTGCGAAATAGTGGAGAATATGAGTGGTTTCACAATTTTTCATTGGACAGTGGGCTTTGGCAGTCTGAGAGGGGTCCCCCAAACACGTGATGTACCTCGTGACGTTGATTTCGCGCTAGTGAAGGCGGTGAGCTGTTCTGCCGATTCCGGGATGGTCCAGGTGTCGGTCGTCGTCGTCGTCAGGGAGTCGGTTGTCGACAGGGTGTTGCGTTGAGCCTCGCTGAAGCCATTCCATCATCATTTGTCACTGAAATCTTTACTTTCGCAATAATGGCTGCGCCGTCGGGGAATGCTGGTTGGGCTCACCTGCGGCAGCAGGCCCGAACATTAGAGACTCAGGTCCGTCGCGAGTGGCATCATGCGTCATGAGGAGCTAGCTGACGTCGTTGCAGACCGAGAACCTATTCCACACATACTCGCAGTTCTCCACAGCTACCAACATCCCGGCGAAGCCTACGGATGAAGAGCGCGAAACAGAGCAGAAGCTGGAGGAGCTTCTGGAAAAGGTACGCTTTTGCGCCCTTACGTCCCGGTTCGTCCGGCGACACTAACCCATATTCGCAGCGCGATGCCAGCATCACCCAACTCTCCCGCCTCCTCGACTCCGAAGCCGCCCTCACATCATCCGCCCTCAAGCAGAACAACCTCTCCCTCCTCCGCGAGAAGTTGACCAACCACAAGCGTGACCTGACACGACTGCGGTCGACCCTCCAACAAGCCCGCGACCGCGCGAACCTCCTTACCAATGTCCGCTCCGATATCAACGAATACCGGACCAACAACCCCGAAGCCGCAGAGGCCGACTATATGCTCGAGGAGCGCAACCGTGTAGACAACAGCAACAACATGGCGGATAGTGTGCTTAGCCAGGCCTATGCCGTCAACGACAGCTTCAACCTGCAGCGCGAGACCTTGGCGAGTATCAACCGCCGAATCAACCAAGCCGCAGCCCAAGTGCCGGGGCTGAACTCGTTGATTGGAAGGATATCGGCCAAGAAGAGGAGAGATGGCATCATCATGGGAGGCTTTGTTGCATTTTGCTTCATTGTCTTCTGGTTGATGATGTAAAACACAACGAGACGGGAATTTGCATATCTCATAGGCGTTCAGGGGTATCAGCGTGCATTTGTTGTACAGTATGGTGGGGACATGGGATATCTAAGTTACAGTATCCTCTCTTGATAGAGAGTGTGAATTACAATGCCTTTGGGACCTCGAGATGTTGTTTTCCCGGGTGCTGCTCCCGCGCTGTTGCAGGCAGCGTGGTCTCCCTGTTGATCTCATCAACGAGCCGTCCAAGGCCCTTTGCTAGGCCCTCTCGCTCATCAGGCTCGCTCGGTCCGCTCCCTGCCCATCGCACTCGGCAATATTGGTCAACCAGGAAGACGTAGCCGACCTTGCTGTTTAACAGACCGATCGACTCGCGGATATCGTCTGTGATGCCGCGGCGCACTAGGAAGTACTTGTCCCAGTCCCTTTCGGGAAACTGCTTGCGGAGCGAGCTCATGAAGAAGCGCACGAGCCATGCCTTGCCTGCATTGTCCTCGTAGTTGAGATTGACGAGCTGCGCAAGGTCACCGTGCTGGGCCAGGACCTGGTGCAGCGCCGGGTTTTCCTCCTTGGAGGTAAAGGTGGCTGCTTGCTGCTCGGCCCATCGGCTGTTGAAGAAGGCGACGACGCTCGCCTTGCCCGTCAGGAGCGGTGTTGTATCGCGCGGGTTTCGGTCGGCCTTGAGGAGGGTCTCGCCGTAGAAGTTGGGAAAGAAGAGCGAGAGCTCCGCCTTGAACAGTCGTGGTGGGGCAATGAAGGATTTGCCCTTGTGGTGTTGCAGGTTGCCCCAATCTCGGAAATACGGTCTTGATATTTTTGCCGTCCTGTTTTAATAAAGTATCAACATGTGTTTATCTTATGCCATCGTTTCAGACGTGGTGCTTACAGTTCTTTTCGCCTTTGCAAGTGCTTGTCGTAATTCACGAAGTCTTCGCGGCGCTGCCGCAACGTTCGGCTGTCAATGCCAGAATTTTCGCCTGCCTTTGGCGGGAGCGGCATGCCAATTGGCCTCGGCAGAGGCTTCGGGGTGAACTTGCCCTCGAATCGCTTGCCGTAGCTTCGGGGAGCTTCAATCGGGGCGCCGGTGAGGTTGGCCTGGGGGTCCATGGAGGAGCCGGACGCGGGCTTTTCGGCCCTCGCCCCGCGGATGGCGGACGAGGTGAAGGAGCGGCGGGCCTCGCAAAAGAGGCATGTCAGCGGCCGTCGTGAAAGGCCGGACAGGGCCAGCTCGAGTCGTCGTGACGCCATGGCGGGCTTGATCGCGTCGCGGGTGCTGCGCTGCTGGTCGGGAGTTGGAAATTTCACGGGCCAGGGCCCACGCTTCTCCGGTCGGAGCCCAGAAACGCCGCCGATCCATGGGCACGGAGCAATCGGTCGCGTGTGGGGACGCGGACCAATTCGGGTTAGCGTGCCGTCATCCCCAGACTCGGCTATCCACGGGGAGCTTCACGGCCAAAGTCACAATGCCGACTGAACCCCTTCGGCTTTACCATACCCATGGTTCCTCTTCTTCCTCGAGCCGGCTCAAGATGGCTGTGCTTGTTCCTTCTCTTCCCAGCTTCAATTGCCTGCCATCATGTTTCTCCAGCGTGGATCTCGAGTGCTTCGAAAACAATGGCAAACTGCCAAGGGCATGAGCCAGACGGCCATGACATCACGGCCCGCCGTCGTCTCTCCCAGATGGTTCAGCGAGTCGAGAAGATTAATGGTGATTAAGCCGGTATTGCTAGCCGACATTGGCGAGGGTAAGTAAATACTTATGGCTACCTCCCGAAAACAACTTTGCAAAGACAGAGGACTAACTAGCCCAGGCATTGTCGAGTGCGAGGTCATCCAATGGTTCGTGGAACCCGGCGCCCGCGTCGAGGAGTTCTCCCCACTGTGCGAAGTCCAGAGCGACAAAGCTTCCGTGGAGATCACCAGTCGCTTCTCGGGTGTGGTCAAGAAGCTCTACTACGAGGCCGGCGAAATGGCCAAGGTGGGGAAGGCATTTGTGGACATTGACATCGAAGGCGATGCCAAAGTCGAGAACATCGAACCTTCGCCCCCCAAGCAACCTGAGAAGGTAGCTATCTCTCCGGCGCCTGTTGTTGCGTCGGAGTCAATCACGGAAAAAGAGGCCGATGCGATTTCTGGGGAGGTGGCGCCTACGACTCCGCGCAAGGAAAAGGGCAAGTGCGCAAGCCTTGCTACGCCAGCTGTCCGGCATCTCTCTAAGGAACTCAAGATCGACATCATGGACATCGACGGGACGGGCAAGGATGGCAGAGTCCTGAAAGAAGACATTTACAAGTTTGTCAAGGCCAGAGATGCCCAACCAGTATCCCCGTCCCTGGCATCGACCTTCCCCCAGGATCCGTCCATCCAGACGGAAACAGTGGTGCCGCTGTCCAACACACAACTGCAAATGTTCAAGACCATGACGCGGTCTCTGACAATCCCCCATTTCCTCTATGCCGACGAAGTCGACTTCTCGAATCTTGTGGAGCTGCGTACCCGCATCAACCGCGTGCTCTCCAAAAGCTCAATGGCGGATGGTCAGCTCTCTAAGCTGTCGTACCTACCGTTCATTATCAAGGCTGTTTCGCTGGCGATATACCAATACCCCATACTCAATGCAAGGGTGGATGTTGACACTAAGACCAATAAGCCATGCTTGGTGCACCGTCCCCAGCACAACGTCGGGATCGCCATGGACACACCCCAGGGATTGATGGTGCCTGTTATTAAGAACGTCGGAGCTCTCAACATCGTGTCGATCGCGGCAGAGCTGGCCCGACTGCAAGGCCTCGCTGCACAGGGGAAGCTGTCACCTGCAGACTTTTCGGGTGGCACTATCACTGTGACCAACATTGGCAGTATTGGTGGTACATACGTCAGCCCGGTCATTGTCGAGCGCGAGGTGGCTATCTTGGGTATCGGACGTATGCGTACCGTGCCAGCATTTGACGAGGCCGACCAGGTCATCAAGAAACAGGTGTGCAACTTCAGCTGGAGTGCTGATCACCGAGTCATTGATGGCGCAACCATGGCGCGGGCCGCAGAGTTCATCCGAACAGTAGTAGAGGAGCCAGATGTTATGGTGATGCAGCTAAGATAGACATGATATGCGATTACATTAAGACCCAATAAACTTATCGAGAGTAGACAATTCACTACACCTGTCCGTCCCCCTTTTCCCTGAATCGGGAAGTCCACCTTGGGACTGCAAGGGCTTAGTTTGTTTATAAGTTGGCACCGAGATTGCAAGCAAACATAGATGCTTTGGCAGATAGCTGTAAGCCGCAGCCTCTGGGGGTAACTCGACGATGAAGATGTCTCTTGGTGGGTGTCTGTGTGGTGCCAGTTGAGGGGCCGAGGGATAGTATACACACCGTTTGAGCGTAATATTACAGAAGTTGAGTCTTTCATGACGAATTCTCCTTTTTTTCTTCGGATATAAAATCGGGGTTGGGATATTTACCTGCAACGAAGGGAGGGCTATGAAAGCTACGATAAAATGGTGGACTGTTTGAAATCCAATTGAATAAAGTTATGGGAGACCATCAAATGTTCCTTTCGAATATTTTAAATACACACATGATTTTAGAGCATTCTATAGGTTTTTTTTAATTAGCAGCTTTCTCAATTTCAATTCGTTGTTGCGTACGATTAGGATAGGGTAGGCGACACTGAAAAGGAGCCAACCATTCTTTTGCTCACATTTTGCCAATGGAGGCGGGAATATGGAACGAATATACTTATCTGCTATGGGTTTTCCTCCAGGTTAAAAAAAAAAGATTGCTCCTAAATGTAACCTCCGCCAAGGTTTTATGATCGGCCGTCTGTAGCTGCATGTGACTGCTAGGATCTATGGTCTTCATGCAGAGGGGTGGGATATTTGGATAGAATCTGTTGTTGTATTCACGGCATGGTTCTAGGCCCGACTGAGCCGTACGCTTGGACCTGGATTCTCAAGCCCCGACAGCTCCGGGCTGCTGTTACCGACTCTCTGTTGAAGCTAGGGCAGAGGACCTGGCCGCCTAAAAATCTCATGAAGTCTAGTTAGAGCAAAGCGATATGCAACGATGATGTTGGTGTCAGCAATTAAGACAGCTGAGGTTTCTCGTGACCATCTCGTGCAGCTGGCTTCCTGTACGTCGCCGTGTACGTCACCGACTATTGCTCGTGTAGCATGCCGGCACCCTCTACAAGTTCCAAAAGTCGCCTCTACTCGAGCGATGCGGTTGAAAATTGCCTGTTTCGTCCACACACATATCTCCCTCGTCCAAGCCTCCCCCAACTTCGGCTGCCACACCGGCTTCCTGCAATGTCGAGGGGATGAGGGGTAGATGGATCAAGCGGTGGCTGCAACGATGGGTAATTGCGCTATGGGGAGTGGCTCATGTGAGGGTTGCAGGCGGGGAGCATGTACGTAGGTGGGACACCCGAGCTGTGTTCTGGCAAACTTCCATTTGCTCGCAGTTGAGAATGCCTGGCCGGGTAACATGCAACATGTACCGGTAGTACTGTAGTACGCAACGCGCAATCTGGAACAGGGAATATGCAGCTTGTTAATGATGACAGATGGCAGACGGCAAATGACATATGACTGATTATGGGCGCGGACCGATGAAGCGTCGGTGGGTTACACAACCCCCAAGCCAAGGCCCTGCCCGGACGTAACTATTCGCATCCGCCCCTCCCGTCTGTCCTCCCTTGCATTCTTTTGCAACCCATGTAGGTTGATCACCCCCTTTCAACCTCCCCCCGCACCCCGCGCGTTGCCGCTGCAGAGCGCAGTCTGTATGTACATTTGGTGTGACGGCTCTAATTTAGTTGACTTGCGGGGGCGGCTTCCAGCCTAGCCCCATGGCCTCGGCTTAGGCTGGGTCGGAGAGTTCCCCGAGGAGCGGCCTAGTGGCCAGCCGAGTAATTTGCTTCCACGCAACGCAAGAATCAAGTTGAAAATACAAAAAACTCCATGATGGTAAAATCCAATCGGGACCAGTAATGATGGTCGACTTGAAACGCTGTGACTCCAGGCTAAACCAATTTTTTGCGAATACCGTACACTTCCGGATGACGAAAGTGTATGCTCGTGTGACCAATGCTTGTTGTTGTTGTAGTAGGTGCATGCGGGTGTGTAAGAGTGACTTGTGCGAGAGAACATGCAGCCTATAGTTCGTCATAGTCCTCAGTCATGGTCTCCAAGACATTCGCCAAGGCGGCTCGCTTGACCTCATCGATGGATACGCTGACATCGATGGTGACGACGTCCCTCTCGTCGCTCGTGGGACGCTCGAGGATGTCGAACTGGCTGTGGACCATGTTGGCACCCATGTAGTGGTTCTCTCGCTGCGAGACACGGGCGAGGAGGACTTCCTCGGGCGCGTTGAGGAAGATGAAGTGGATGCAGAGGCGGTGGTCGAAGTAGCCGGCGACGCGAATGACGTCGCGGTACTTGCGCTTCAGGGCTGAACAAGTGAGGACGACACCGTCAGCGCCGGCGTTGATCCGGTTAATAGACTCCTCTCGGAGAGCCGTGAGCCAGTCCCAGCGGTCCGCATCCGTCAGAGGAGTGCCGGTGCGCATCTTTTCGACGTTGGCAGGAGGGTGGAACTGAAAGTCGTGTTAGTGGTGAGACCGTGTAAACCGGAGCACGCGGCAGCCACCCGGGGCACGCCACAGGAGGGAAGGGGTCACACTCACGGAATCACCCTCGATGTAGGGCATGTTCAGGGTGTTGGCCAAATACTCGGCGATGGTGCTCTTTCCACAGCCAGCCGGGCCAGTAACCAGCCAGATGTGCTGCTGGTCTTTGGCGTTGTGGCCATTGACGGCAGTCGAATTCAGGGAAGCCAGAGGCGACGGCGTGGTAGGGGTTGCCTGCAGCGAAGGTGGCAAGGGAACAGAGGCCGGGGCCCGGGGAGCCTTGATGGGCATGGCGGGAGAATCGTAGGACAACATGTCGAGAGGATGCGAAGGGTGTAAGTCGAGGTTGGAGCAGGAAGGATGAAAGCAGGGTTCGATGACTCCTTTGGCGTTGTGGTAGAGAAAGGGAACGGGTCGGAGTTGACGGGACGGCAGTCGTAGGCCGAGTTCGGTGTACATGTATGAATACGCGCAAGGGCAGTCTAATTCCAGTCAAGGAAGTAGAAGAGGGTTTGTGAGGGTTGGTATTAGGTTCAACAAGGCAATGCGAGGTAGAGCGGCAAGGAAGAAATCCAAAGGATCAAAAAGCCAACAACTTAAAATGTGAGATGGGGGTTCGGTCGGGGAGGCAAACGACTGGGCAAGGGGGACCAGAGGCTTCTATTATAAGGCTGATGACGAGAAAGACATTTCCGGCTTCTGGCAACGGGGAGAAGGCCGTGGGCCAGTCCGTGGATCAGGCCTCCCCCGAGCCTGTTACGGACCGTCCGTACTCGCGCAAGTGACGTGGGGGAGTGTGTAATAGCTAGCAGGCGCCGGTGGGCCGGGTCACTTGGTCACTAGTTGTACTGTGGAACCGACGGCGTCCCGGGTGTCTTCCAGCCAGCGCCGGGGTGTGTGTAATGCGTGGTAGTGAGTGGATGCGGTTGAATTGGAAGAGGCCAGGGCAAGTTTTTCCCGTCGTGTCCACTCCGACCCAAGCAATTTTCAGGCTTTTTTTTCGCCGCTTCTTTGTGGGTGGAAGGGTGGAAGATGTAATGCATGGGGAGAGGGGGTGGATTACAGGGGAGTCAGGGGGGCTTGGCCGTGATCGACCCCACAGACTTGACCTGGGACTGAACTGGGACTGACCTGAGCAGGGGTAAAGTCTCAGAGATGGCGTACATTGACATTGCAGTAGTGACAGGGAAAGGGAGTGGAAGGCAAGGGGGGGACGCAGCAGGATAGGTAGAAAGCAACAGGTCATGATTGTTGTTTAGAAGCTGGAGAACACGAAGAAGACGCTGGGAAGAACTGGAATTGCTACGCAGTCTGGACCTACGCAGGGTTGGGTGAGCGGCAAATAGGTAGACAGGGGAAAAGCGACTTTGGGGGCGTGTCTGAGTGTCTGAGTGTCTGAGTGTCTGAGTGAGTGAGCTCCTCTTTCTGGGGGAGCCGGGCGTCGGTGTCGGTGTCGGTGACAGGGTTGGCATGTATGTATTTTGGGACAGGTCACGAGTACACTCTTGGTGCCTCGAGGCTTGGCGGCGGCTTGATGTCACAATGAACAATCATTCCGGGGAAGACAGACAGCGTACGAAGTAGCGTGGCATGCTACGTAGTACAGGCGACGCACGCATCAGCGGTGCATGCAGTGGCTTCCGGAACAAGCTGGAGGTGAGGTGGGGGTGTCTTGGGGTGTCTTGGGGCGTCTTGGGGCGTCTCGCCGTATTACTTGATACGACTCACTCACCTCAGACATGGGGAAGTACAGTGTCGGCCTGTACAGTACGATTCTGTTGAGTACGGAGTACAATCGCAGTCCTGCAGAGTGACAACCCTCTCCGCAATCCAACCGCCTGTTGTGGCCTGCCGCAGGGCAACATCCCGTCCAAAGCGCTCCCACTGCATCCAGCCCTCCATCGATTCTGGAGATGTTGCATCCCATGCCATCCCGATCCCGTGCCCAGACGCAAATGAATGCCCGGCCAAGCCAACAGCCCGACCGAGGACGTGGAAAGCAACCCCAATCCCAACAACCTCGAAGCAGCCTGCCGTTCTTGCTCGGCCCGTGGTCCAGTGCGCTGGGCTGGGATGCATCATTCGACAATAGGGGACGATCCGATCCAGATCGTCGTTTGACAGCAACAAATGCCGTTGGGCAACCCTCCCACAGCCTAAAACCTTGGTCACTCAGCCGCTTGGGGGCCACTCCGTACGTGCTGTACGTGCTGGGACCAGGCAATTACGGCTGCTGTCCCCGGCACGCGATGGAGGTCTGCCGCCAACCTGCCGTGATGCGCCATGGGTATCTGGCTCCGATGGGCGTCCGGCGGCGTAGGGCAGAATATTCTGTGCGTCTCGATCGGGAAAGAGGCGCCGGAGCGGACTACGCCGATGTGGTACTCCTTTGGTCCCCGCTGCCGTCCACGAGTCCGGTCCACGGGTCCCGTCCTCGACAAACTCGAACCAAACAGAACAACTCACAGGCGCAGCAATTGACGAAATGGCGGGCAGCCAGGCCAAACAGCGAGGCCTCTTCGGAGCAGACAGGGACCAGGCAGTTACTTTCCTACATATTCGTACCAAAGTACTGCATCCGATTTCCTCCCCACTCCCCGCAGTTTCTCCCGCTGGTTGGGGATGCACCCTGGCCCCAGCCAGAGAAGAGGAGAAGAAGAGCGAGGAATGTCTCACCAAAAAACGAGTGCGAGGGTAGTCGGGAGGCGTTGTTACACACCCCCACCCCACCTCCAGCGATCCTCTACAAAGTACTATGTACTGTACGGAGTACTACGAACGGATACCACCCTCCAGCGCTCTCCAGCGCCCTCTCGCACCCACTGACATCCTCTGCGGCGTAAAAGGAAAAAATCCTAGTCGTTGTCCAGCCAGGCCGTGTCCCGCGCGTGGAGCTCGACCGCATGGGTGTGCTGCGTAGCGTGGGGGTCGCAGATTTCTCGAGGTCAGGCGGAGGTGGTGCCCCACAGAGCCGCCCCATAGCCTGCTGTTCCCACTGGCCGCTGACCGGACCTCATCTTCACGCCCGATCGTGACTGGTGAATGAATGAGACGCAAATTACAACAATAGAAATGAAACAGAGAATGGAGACCGAAGTTGGATACGTATACTGCGTAGTAGTTCTGCTTTGGTCACTCGCAACCTCAGTTCGGGCATGACGTGAAAAGTCATCACTCAATTCGTCTCGATCGACCTCCCGTCACATCACCATCTCCTCCACAAACTAGTCCGGTCATGGGCCATTGCCAACCACTCGGGACGTTCACCTCCCAACAAGGTAAGCATTCAATTCACCATCGACCTTTCCTGCTTCCCCGGTTGGCGTCTCTGGGCTAGCTAACTAACCAGATTAACTCCCCACCCTTCGACGTTCGGTTCGGCTGGCAGGTCGACATTCCGAAGCAATGGCTCGGTGGATGTTGGTGGACACTCCGACTACCTAGGCGGACACTCCGACACTGTCGGTCATGCTAGTTAGTGCTTGCTTGCAGCACGCTTTGCTCGCCGAGTTTCATCCCCTGTTGCTTCTGTTGCCAGATGTCGCATTGGCTCCATGTCAAAGGCCACACCGCTCCTGCTCATCCTCATTCATCGGAGGGCCATCTTCGATTTCTCCAAGCCTTGGGCTTCACTGAGGGGCAGCAGGCTTGATTGCAACTCTACCAACCCGATGTACCTATCGTGTTCTCTATACCCACGCAACGGCACAGCCTCTAATCAGCGCAGAATGACACCCTCCCACTTTCTAGCATTCCCGTCGTGCTCTCTAGCACTCCCGTGGTTCCGATTGCTGAACCTTTGTCTGGCGATCCGCTTCTCCGTTTGCACCCGTTCCTGACTTGTCCTGCATTCACGCGGTGAAGCTGAACCTGGCACTACTCTTCAACTAGTGACCGGGAGGTACATTCGGCAGTCCATCCGGTCTGCAGTATCGGGTCGGTATGCTGCACATCGTGTGCGTAGGCGGCGAGGTGCGGGTGGGACTCAACGTTTGTTTCCGACCGACAGCTCTCATGACATGATGTGCCTCTCCCGCCCCATACCATGCGAGTGCGTCGGATACGTATCTATTGAGCAATCAGCTAAACTTGTGCGCCCGTATAGCACCGGATTCCCCCGCGGGTGTTTGAGTGGGGGCCTCATCCTAGATGCAGGATATCCACGTAGAAATTTCGTGGTTGTTTCTTTATCCCACGCGGAGCGATTCTCGGCCGCGCCCACCCGGTCCGAAGTCACCGACGACGGCTAACTGATTCCTTGAACGTCTGGCCTGAGATGACAAGGCACAGGTTGCGGCCCTCACCGCTTTGATCACTGTATAGAGCTCTGAGAATAAAGTTAAGAAGATCTCATAACGACCCGGATTGTTCATACGACATAGGTGGATGTAATGAGTGCCTGATCCTCAAGTTAGCTGGGAGGAGGCTGAAGAGTCGCCAACTTTCTCAACCTAATCTTGAATTGAGCCCAGGTCGGTTTAGGCATGTCTGCTTTCGCACATATACAGGAGGCGCGGTCATTTGTTGGATGGTGTCTAAGAGGGGCATATAGCCGCCGAGCCTCGCTACGTTATCTACGAATAACAGTTACCAAGGACGTCTAATTAGGCAAGTATACCCAACCCATTGGTTCGAGATGGAACGCCCTGATAGGAAAGGCAAACAAAGCCAAGGATAGACGCACGGAGCATGTGATTGTTAACTGCAATTGTTTCTGAATTGTTATTCGCACACGAGAATATTACTGTTCGTACACAGGGACAAGCTTCTTTACTAAAGCATCAGTTGGGTTGAGGTACCTACCGTGTGTGTATAGTAGTCAAAGGCGGTACTGAAAATGGGACCTAATAAATCTATATAAATAAAATAAAATGAATACTCTAAACTGCTCTAATATGATACTAGATGATCACGAATAGGATTAAGAATGTAGTTATGTGTGCAAATAGTAATACATGTGTGCGAATGCAATACTCTTGTTTCTGGACAACACGTTCTTTTACACTTCTTGGACGGTTCTGAAACGATCCCATCTCTGCTCGTCTCCGGCTGGCCACCTTCGTTTCTGGTCATCATGGGATACCTTGAAGCTCCTCGGCCTTCTCGTGCCGTACTTGCTTGTGACGAGCCGCCAATTGCCATGGCCTAGACAAAAAAGTACGACACCACGCCATCTGTTCCCGCAGCTTGGCGGACCCGTGAGCCCGATCTGGCAGCTCGACATGATGGGAGCCCCTCCTTTGGAGTGGCTGAGAGTGGCGCCACCGAGTTCCATTGAGTTCCAGTGAGGCAGGAGGAGTAACATCTTGGAGGGGTCGACCAGATTGGCACATACAGCGTGCGTAAGCTGACACCTAGGCGGGGCTCTGCCCATGGCCACATCAATATTGTGTCGACATGACTGGAAATAATTCATGCTTCTTAGTCCCTGAGACACCCTGCTACAGCCCATGCAAAATGTATTGCATGATCTTTTTGTCCAAAACACAAACCGGAGGCTTCCTTGGGCAAGTTTGGTTCCTGTCAGGCCACTGCCCCTCGATGCAACTGACATCACCACCTCTGCCTAGAATGTAAAGGCGGGGAAATGGACACATGGACACTAGCCGTAACAGGCATCTGCTGCCTGCGCCTCACCAAAGGTCCCCGCGTCTCCTGGACACGTTTGGCGGCTGGTCCAAAGGTCCCCAAGGTCGATTGGGCGGCAGTGAGAATCGGCCGCTGTAAACCGAACCCTCATGTCTTCTCCAATCTCACCGTCTTTCATTCTTCGGAGACTGCCTTCACTCCGAATCGCAGCCTTCAAGCCCTCGATCCCAACACGCCGTCGCGTCCCTCACTTTCCCAGGTCTTTCCGACAGACTCATCAGAGATTTTCCACCTCAGCCATCATGAACTCCAACGAGCTGGTCCACTACCTCGCCGACCAGCCGCCCTCGGTTGTCAGGCTGGAGATTGAGAAGCACTTTGAGGCTTTGACCGACAAGCAGAAGCGCTATGCTCACTTTATCAGCAAGTATGTTGTTCTCTTGCTCCCCAACGTCTCATAAGCTTCGTCCCCGTGCTGGTAGCTAAACGTACGCACCAGGGCCGCCTTTGCTGGCACCAGAATTGTTTTGCGACAAATCTCCCCTGAGTCTGAGGCTATCTATGACCTGATTCTCGCTCTCCACAAGTCTGTCGGCGGCGACTGGAACGCCCTGGCCAGCAAGGCTGGCATTGAGGAGTCTGAACTCACTCTCTTCCTCGAGTATGCTGTCATGTTCCTCGGCAACAACGGCAACTACAAGAGCTTCGGTGACTCCAAGTTCATTCCCCGATGCAGCGAGAAGAGCGTGGCTGCTCTCGCGGCCACCTGCCCTGTGGCTACCAAGTTCTACGAGGCCACCGGAGGCGCCATCTTTGGTGCCGCCAGCCCGGCCATCATGCACTTGGGATACCCGGATGACGGCCACATGACCACCTACTACCCGGAGTCTTCAGAAATCACCAAGGAGGAGATCAAGGCCATTTCTGACTGGATGGAGTCCAAGGGACAGCTCCCCGAGAACAACCGGTTGCGAAAGCTGTCTGATGGCAACTTTGAGATCCTGATTGCTTCTGCTGTGACTAGTGTTCCCTCACAGGGTGGTGACATTGGAAAGGAGACTCAATTCACTATCGAAGATGGTGTTCTGAAGGGCAAGACTATTAAGCTTACCTTCGGAGACTATGCCGAGGAGATGAAGAGCATCGCTGCATACATCGACAAGGCTGGCGAGAACGCGGACAACGAGACACAGAAGAGCATGCACTCAGCTTACAGCAAGTCCTTCGAGACTGGTTCTTTGGAGGCATTTAAGGACAGCCAGCGATACTGGATCAAGGACAAGGGCCCCATGGTGGAGTCTAACATCGGTTTCATCGAGACGTACCGAGACCCTGCTGGCATTCGTGGCGAGTGGGAAGGCTTTGCTTCCAGTTCGTTGCCCCTCTCTTACCTACGTTATATGTGTGCATTGATTTGCTAACGAGTTTTATAGTGGTAAACAGTAAGCTCAATACTTGCTTGCTCAACCTAAGGAGCACTAACTGACGCATACTAGTGGAACGAACCCGCGCCTTTGGTGAGCTTGTCGCCGCAGCTCCAGGCCTTATCCCACTCCTGCCTTGGGGCAAGGAGTTCGAGAAGGACAAGTTTTTGTCCCCTGACTTCACCTCCCTGGAAGTTCTTACCTTTGCTGGTAAGTGCTTTGCCTTGTTCGTCTTGACAATGCTAATTAATTCTCAGGCTCTGGTATTCCTGCGGGCATCAACATGTATGTGTATTTCAGGCTCGACTTGAGTCGCCAGCCAAACTCTAACATGCCCATGTCTATGTGACTAACTGATGAAATGTAGTCCTAACTACGACGATATCCGACAAACTGAGGGCTTCAAGAATGTGTCTCTCGGAAACGTCATGAGTGCCAAGGCCCCCAATGAGAAGATCCCCTTCATTCGAGAGGAGGACCTGGAGGTTTACAAGAAGCAGCGTGATGCCTCTTTCGAGGTCCAAGTTGGTCTTCATGAACTTACTGGTGCGTTTGTAAATCTGTGTCTACTTCCCCCCTGCTAACTCGCCTCAGGTCACGGCTGCGGTAAGCTCCTGCAGGAGACCTCCGCTGGGTCTTTCAACTTTGACAAGGAAAACCCTCCGGTCAGCCCCGTCGATAACAAGCCCATCTCAACTTGGTACAAGCCTGGCCAGACTTGGGGGTCCGTTTTCGGTAGCATCGCTGCCTCGTATGAGGAGTGCCGAGCCGAGCTTGTCGCCATGCACCTTAGCTGCGAGTTCCCTGTCCTCAAGATCTTTGGTTTTGGCGATGGTTCTGAGGATATCAACGGCGAGCCCGGTGATGTCCTATATGCCTCTTACCTCTCCATGGCTCGCTCTGGCCTTGGAGCCTTGGAGATGTGGGATCCCAAGAGCCAGAAATGGGGACAGGCTCACAGCCAAGCCCGTTTCTCCATCCTCAAGTGCTTCCTCGAGGCCGAGGACGATTTCTGCAAGCTCGACTACAAGGAGAGCGATCTGTCAGATCTGACTATCAAGTTGGATCGCTCCAAGATTCTCACGGCAGGCCGCGATGGTATGTTACCCAAATCCCAACTTCCCAGGGTCTCATTCTCACAAATTGTATAGCTGTTGCCAAGTACCTGCAGAAGCTGCACGTCTACAAGTCCACCGCTGACGTTAAGACCGGCACGGACTTCTACGTTCACATGACTACTGTTGACACTGAATTCTGGGGCAAGAAGGTCCGCGACGTTGTCCTTGCCAACAAGCAGCCCCGTAAGGTCTTCGTCCAGGCCAATACCTACTTGGATGATGCTACGGGTAAGGTCTCGATTAAGCACTACGAGGCGTCGCTCGCTGGCATGGTTGAGAGTTGGGCAGACAGGAACTTGTAAGGTAGCATAACCGGGAACATTTGGCACTCATGATCATGAAAGAGGGTTGGATATTGTAGAATAGAAGAAAGCAAGCCATGATGCTATTTCGGAGCCGATTCGCGACAAAATGTTTCACCACCACAATAGTTGATGATAATTCCGCCAGCCCGAGACACACATTCTTGAATCTTGAATCTTTATCTCAAATCCAACCCTAATGTCCAGCCCAGGCCGGTTCAGAGAGTGTGCCCATACGTTGCTCGCGTTCTGTTTTTTTTTCACCCCAGGAAAGAATATTGATGCTCCGAAAGGTTGTTTATCATGAGAGCCTCTCACCGGAAGCCTGGTAGATTTTGTATGCTCGTTTGTTTTTTGACTGTAAAACCTGATTACAGACGCCAAAATGTGACCGATGCCGTCGACTTCCAAATGCAATTGGCCAAACCAGCCCATTTCGGAGACCCTTCCCGTTCTACAACCCGTCGTCGCAACCCTGGTACTCCCCCAGCCCCGGCGTAAGATGCACATGTTTACCAAGCCATCTCGTGGGGCTTGTCACCCTTTCGCAAGCTGAAGGAGCTTCCGAGGTAGCTAGCCAACAGGTCCACCTTCTTGATGTTGGCGATCAGGGCCTTGTCGATGGCCTTCTGGTCGGCAGCACGGCTGCTGTTGATCTCCTTCTTCTGTGGGGCCACAAAGTCAGTCACCAAAGAAACAAAAAAATCCAGTTTCCAAGAAATCATACCTGGGGCTTCTCTCCCTGCTTGAAGAAGGCCTCCTCGCCGGCCTTCTCCTTGGACTTCTCGGCGGTGAAGTACTTGGGTTGAGAGATCTCCTCGATCTTCTTCTCATCGAGGCCAGAGATGTCGACCTTGTAGGAAGTGGCGATGACGTATCGGGAGTTGACTCGGCGGAGGGGAACACCGTTGATCTTGAAGGGGCCGGTGACGAGGAGGACGCCCTGGTCAAGGGTCTTCAGGAGGATGACACGCTTGCCACGGAAACGGCCAGCGAGGAGGATGAGGACAGTGCCGGCCTCGAGGGACTTGCGGGGAGTCCAAGATCGGACGGCCTTGCGGACCTGTGATTTCCAGTTGTCAGCACATATGATTTTGTGTGAAAGCGCTGAAGCCGCTGTGGAATATCCACGGTGCCAATCGCCATCTCATTGGAGTTGCGTATTGTCTGAGTTCGAATGTCCGGGCTCCGTCTTCGCGAGCCCTGATTCCAGGCTCTGACTCCAACGTCGGCGGAATTCCAAACGTGCAGCCACTCCCATTCGACTCCCAGATCAATCCGTGCCTCCAATGGATGTGTGTCAAGGGCGTTGCGAGGCAGCATCATCAAAGACTCACCTTCTTGCTCTCGGCATCATCTTCGGCGCTGTACCACTTCTTGGCCTTCTCCGAGGGAGCGGGAACCTCCCGGGTCGACTTCCCGAACGTCTTGGTTGTGGGCTTCGTCGACATGGTGACACTCTCCTGGCTGGTGGTTAGGGTTGGGTGATAAGGAAAGGAAGACACTTGGTGATGATGCGCCCGGAAATGTTAGAATTCTTTGTGAGCGCCGCTAGCGAGTTTGTGGGAATCAAAATGTGAACCCTCTGGCGCTAACCTAATCTGTAATCAGTACGTACCCTGTTGCCGCTCCGTGAGCCGGGCATGGGGCTTCCGGCACGTGGTGATAAGATAAGACTTTCGGAGCTGCGGGCGCCGGAAAGTACGAGAAAGTGCTCCTGGCGTCATGAGACCTCTGGCGAAGCTTCCCGACCGATTGATATTGCAGCTGTTTGCCCCTCGAAGTTGGATTTCCTCCCTCTTTTGTTCCCATCCCTAATTCTCTCTCCTTTTTCCTATGTATATGCTCCGATCACCAACATGCAGGCACGCAGACAATTAATTACGTCGGCCCAGCGACTTGCTGTCGCACCGACCCGATCCCTCCGGCCACTTACACGACTCCTAGCGACGCAAACTGTCCGCCCGACAACATTGCGATTGATCCCGAACCTTTCTATCCGAACCTACGCAAATGGACGACCTCACCCACCCGGTGGGACGCACCGGATGGACATGGGTGGCGGCGAAGAGGAGAAACCGGCTCTGGAGCAGTTTGGTATCGACCTGACTGCAAGGGCAAAAGATGGAAAGCTGGATCCCGTGATTGGAAGGGATGCCGAGATCCAGAGGACCATTCAGATTTTGTCACGCCGTACGAAAAATAACCCTGTGCTGATCGGTAACGCGGGAACAGGAAAGACGGCAATTCTCGAAGGACTGGCGCTACGAATCGTCCGTGGTGATGTCCCCGAGAGTGTCAAAAACAAAAGGGTCATCAGCTTGGACCTTGGGTCACTGATTGCCGGTGCCAAGTTCCGAGGTGACTTCGAGGAGAGGTTGAAAAAGGTGCTCAGCGAAGTGGAGAAAGCAGATGGTGAGGTCATCCTGTTCATCGATGAACTTCACACCCTGCTCGGGCTGGGTAAGGCCGAAGGTTCCATCGACGCCTCCAACCTTTTAAAGCCAGCTCTTGCTCGAGGAGAGCTTCAATGCTGCGGCGCCACCACCCTTACAGAGTATCGTCAAATCGAGAAAGATGTTGCGCTGGCCCGAAGATTCCAGCCCATTCTCGTTACCGAACCCAGTGTCGAGGATACCATTAGCATTCTTCGAGGTATCAAAGACAAGTACGAAGTTCACCATGGCGTCCGGATTGCGGACGGGGCTTTAGTGGCTTCCGCAACGCTCTCCAACCGCTACATTACCGACCGCTTTCTGCCAGACAAGGCCATCGATCTGATGGACGAGGCCGCCAGTCACCTAAAGCTCCAACACGAATCCAAACCCGAGGACATCATGCGCCTTGACCATAAGATTATGACCATTCAGATCGAACTTGAGAGCCTTCGAAAAGAAAGCGATGTGGCAAGCAAGGAGCGAAGAGAGAAACTCGAGAAGGACCTCCAAAAGTGCGCTGACGAGAACGCCGAGTTGAATGCTCGGTGGGAGAAGGAAAGAGCCGAGATTGAATCGGTCAAGACGGTCCAAGAAGACCTCGACAAGGCCAAGTTTGAGCTCGAACAGGCGCAAAGAGAAGGCAAATTTGCCCGTGCGTCCGAGCTGAGGTTCGGTGTCATCCCTACATTGGAGCAGAAGCTTCCACAGGAGGGCGAAGCCAAAGAGTCCAGCGATGATGTTCTCATCCATGACTCCGTCACCGCTGATGATATCGCTAACGTTGTCTCCCGAATCACTGGTATTCCCGTGACCAAGTTGACTTCTGGACACATTGAGAAATTGGTCCACATGGAAGACAGTCTCCGCGTGGCCGTCAAAGGTCAGGACGAGGCCATCAAGGCCGTCTCCAACGCGGTTCGCCTCCAGCGAGCTGGCTTGAGCGGCGACAACCGTCCCCTGGCGTCGTTCTTCTTCCTCGGCCCTACTGGCGTGGGCAAGACGGAGCTCTGCAAGAAGCTCGCCAACTTTCTCTTCTCGACCGAGTCCGCGGTGGTGCGTTTCGATATGTCAGAGTTTCAAGAGAAGCATACCATTTCCCGTCTCATTGGAGCTCCCTCCGGCTACGTCGGTTACGACGATGCTGGGCAGCTGACCGAGGCCGTCCGCCGCAAGCCATATGCGGTTCTGCTCTTTGATGAATTTGAGAAGGCGCACCGAGATATTTCGGCTCTACTGCTGCAGGTCCTTGACGAGGGTTATCTGACCGATGCCCAGGGCCACAAAGTCGACTTCAAGAACACCATCATTGTCCTGACTTCCAACCTTGGTGCCGATATCCTTGTCGGCCAAAACCACCTGCAGCCTTACATTGAGACCCCGGATGGCGACATCGACCCTTCGGTCCGCAAGGCTGTCATGGATGTGGTCGCTTCTGCGTATCCTCCCGAGTTCTTGAACCGCATTGACTCCTTCATCGTCTTTAAGCGCCTGGCCCTCAGCGCCATCCGCGACATTGTCGACATCCGCCTCAAGGAGCTACAGCAGCGCCTCGATGACAGACGCATCGTGCTCTCTGTCCCCAACGACGTCAAAGACTGGCTTGCAGAACGCGGATATGACCCCAAGTTTGGTGCCCGCCCTCTCCATCGACTCATCACCAACGAGATTAGCAACGGTCTCGCAGATCAAATCATCAAGGGTGATTTAAAGATGGGTGAGACGGCCGAGGTAAAGATCCGCGACGACAAAGAGGGTCTGGATATTTCCATCATCCCGAAGGCGTCTTGAGTTTTACAAGCAGCATATGAGTTTATCGGTTAATGAATTAACGTGTACCATACCCAATGTAACATTTTGTATTTGCAGAGATACTCTCCACTGGCACCAGAACAGTATTTACTTGATATTATCAATAGAATAGCTAATTGCCTTTCCTCTCGAACACATTGGCTCGTGATTTCTAGGCTCCCCGTTGCTCAGAGTGTCAGCCGACCGCTTATGACGGATCCCGTCACAATATGACTTGCAAGTGACATTATCATTAACGCATCGTCAGCCCACTCCCACCTTAAGATCAGCCCATGCAACGACTGTCAACAACGTGTTGGTCACCAAGAGAATGCCCAATATGCACCAGGATAGGGAGATACGTTCCTTTGTGCGATGTTACTATGTACTACTGTGCATCTCCCACTAACCGGCCCGGCCATGGCCAAACCCCTACGCTCCACATGCGACAATGAAAAGGCGAGGACCCTTGCCCAAGTCTGGCGTCCACAATTCCAGGAGCCTTTAATTAGATACAGCCCAATCTGATCAAATCTGTGCCGAGATATCGATGCCAGGGGTCGATCAAGAAAAAAAGGAGCGTATCATTGTAAAAATCGGGTCCTCATTGCAAGGGCTTTCGAAGCCTGACAGCCGGAAATCCTCGTCGGTTCCCTCGAGTACGAAGCAGTGTGGTTTAGATGAGATTTTCATGTTGTGTGTTTTGCACGATGCCTGAAATGAAGAGTGAAAGCATAGAAAACCCCTGAAAACCAGAGAGCACCACATCAGTGGAAATGTATTCTTTTCAAAGAAAACGAACACCCGACTGTACAATATCCCGGAGTTTCCCCAAAAGACGCCTCCACCAATCGCCCGACTTTTCCTCCAAAGACTAAAAGAAAGCACGTTGTGGTCCTCGGAGCGAGTTGGCAGAAGACAAACGAACGACCATTTTGACCGAGGCTCACGAAAGCACCGTTTGGGGGAGAGAAGGGGAGGGAGCCGTAAAAGAAGAGACGTGATATTGGTTCAAGGATTAATTTCGATTGGTTGACCGATAACTTTGCAAATTACAACCGAATCCTCGAGTCGTGGAGAACCATGAGAGACCTATGTGGCAGAGAGCAGGAGTGAGAAGGCGGCTTTGTTCAGAGGAGGCTTCTCGTAATCTTCTACTGGTGGCCCGCCTTTCGGAGGGTGGTGGCGAGCCACTCAAGACCCTCGTACAGACCATCACCAGACGTGGCACAGGTGGACTGGATGTACTGTTGGAGGAAAGGGACTGATTAGCATGTGATTTGGCTATTGAGGGAACTCGGCTGAAACCGGGGCAAAGGAGACATACCCAGGCACGTTGTCGCAAGCTGTGGAGGCCAAGCTTGTCTGTGATCTCGGCGGCGTTCATGGCGTTCTAGATAAAAACACGTCAGCAAGAGTTGTGGTTGGTTAGGTGAATCGATGGGCGAATCGATTGGCTGGAGGCGAGAAGACGGATGAAAGGGGGAGTGGGGGGACTCGAGACGTACGGGAAGATCCTGCTTGTTGGCGAAGACCAGGAGAATGGCGTCTCGGAGCTCGTCCTCGTTGAGCATGCGCTGGAGTTCCTCTCGGGCCTCGACGATACGGTCGCGATCGTTGGAATCGACAACGAAGATGATGCCCTGGGTGTTCTGGAAGTAGTGCCTCCACAGAGGTCGGATCTTGTCCTGACCACCGACATCCCACACGGTGAACTGAATGTTCTTGTACTCGACGGTCTCGACGTTGAAGCCTGAGGGGGGGGAAGGGTTAGAGGGATGCGCTCATTTGGCTACCAGGAGGGTTGGTGGCTTCATACCGATGGTGGGGATGGTGGTGACGATCTCACCAAGCTTGAGCTTGTACAGGATGGTGGTTTTACCGGCGGCATCAAGACCAACCATCAGAATTCGCATCTCCTTCTTTCCCCATAGTCGATCAAAAAGCTTCGAGAAGGCGAGACCCATGATTGCGGTTGGAGGCTTCGCGGCCTAGGTGCAAGGTATTAGAGGGAGGTCCTAGAGTAAGGGCGCGTCCGAGGTCAGCTCTGGTGCAGAACAAATGGCGAGGCCAAGCAAGATGGTAAGATGGCGACGGAGAGTTGAGAGTGTTGTGGATGAGAGCGAAGAACAAGATAAGGGGGGGCCAGAAAGGGTAAGCGCGGGAGGGAGGAAGAATGTGATTTGGATTGGAGGTTGGTGATGATTGTTGCAGGAGGCAGGATGCTTTATGGGCCAGTGTCGCAAAAGGACACCTGGATAATGGGCAAGGCAGCGCGCATTTCCATCCTAGGGCGACGCCCATGTGCAGCCGGGCCCCCTAAAGCCAGGCTGCAGCATTCGGTGCAGTCGAGTGACTGAGTGACTGTGCACCATCCGCCATCCATCCAGGCAAAGCTGAGGGCCGTCACCGAGGCTGCGGCCGTGGGTCGCGGGGGTGCAGCGGAGGGAGGAAGAGGCCACGGGGGATCATGACGGGACGACACGCAAGATGAGGCCATCGCCGTCATCAGCGCCGTCGTCGCCAGCAAAAACAGGATGCAGCGAGCGGAGCGGCAGGCAAGCAGAGAGCATGAGGACTTACTTGGAGATCGTGGGGCGGTCCTTGGGTGGTGTGCAGGAGGGACAAGGACGGCGTCGTGTGGTTTAACTTGTCGGTGTAGAGGTGGACGTGGACGAAGGACACGCTCGACTTGCGGGAGGCGGAGGGGTGAGAAATGGGGACTTGGGGCCTTGGGGCTGGGCTGCTGAATTTTGGGGCCTGGCGTTCTTTCGAGGGGGCGGGCCCGCAGAGCCACACTTGAGGGAGGTACCTACCGCCCCCCTTCTAGTGCAGTGGCCTCAGTGCATCGCCCACTCTCAGCACGCCAAAGCAGGGCAAAAACAGGGTACCGCAGCGCAGCGGTACATTAGGTACGGGGCTCCATTACGGGGCTTCATTAACTACAGGGCGCCAGCCAGGTGGGGCGGAATCAGAATCAGCATCAGCATCAGCACCAGCCCAGCCACACTTGGGCTTTTTACAGTGACGCTGGGTGACAGATCTCCAGTGCGACAACAGATAACCAACTGAATGCTCCGGACGGGGCCTCGGATCGACCAGCCACTCCCATCGCCGGTCCACTCCTTTTCTCCCCAGCCGCGCAATCGTGGGTCGCCCTTGTATCATTTCGTAAGGGACGTGGTAAGTTGGGTACCTACCTTACCTTCCCGAGCATCCAATGAAGCCAAGTCAGCCGCTCTCTTTCCAGCTGTCCGCCGTTGTTGCCACCCGCAGTGATGCCATGGCATGCCATGCCATGTCGTATCGCTATCTCTCTGTGGACACGGGTCCCCTATCCCCTTTTGGACAGTTCGCCTCTCGAAGAAAAAAAAACCCGCCGCCCAAGCCACACTGCCTCACCTCACCAGTTTCCCTCGTGCTCCACCAGCGCCACGCCCCACTGTAACCGCTCCTACCTCCAACGCACCCCTTAAAGTTACTTGGCAGGTCTTCGGCTAAACCCTGGCTCAAATCAGCCCGCTGCCCAGGCCGGTGCGGATAGGTGTCAATTCGTCGCGATCCGATCTAAGCTCCCGTCCAAGGGCACCAAGACGACATCGTCGACATATCACGAGGACATTCGCCAACGAACGATTCGGGTCTCCCTTTCCACTGCCACCGTCCATATAACGCTCCTTTGATACGGCAACAACCCACCACCGGCCATGTACTTCGTCACCGCTGCGAGGGCCCTCCTCGCCGCCGCCGTCTTCCAGGCCGCCGCTGCCCACAACATCGTCCTGCCCGCCCACGGCCGCGAGTGCTTCCACGAGAGCCTCCACAAGGATGACACCATGACCGTCACCTTCCAGGTTGGCGATCGCGAGTTCGGAAGCGCAGGCAACCTCGACATCGACTTCTGGGTACGTTGTCCGCTCCACTTGGCAGCTTCCCTCGTGGCCCTTCTGCGACTGGGGGGTGTCTGAAGCTCGAGGCAGCAGCCATCTGGGATATAGCATGATGCCAGATAGCATGATGCTAACATGATGGGACAGATCTCCAACCCCAGCGGCCAGTACGAGGCCAACGAGAAGACCGTCTCCAACGGCGACTACTCCTTCACTGCCAAGCACGACGGCAAGTACACCTACTGCTTCGGCAACGAGAACTGGGGTGCCAACACCAAGGAGGTCTCCTTCAACGTCCACGGCATTGTCTACGTGAGCGAGTCTGATGTCCCTGCCGATCCCCTCGAACGTGAAGGTAAGCTTGCCCCGCCACCTACCGAACCCTCCAGGTCTCTCAAAGCTAACCTCCACGTTTACAGTCCGCCGCCTCTCCGAACTCCTCGCCCAGGTCAAGGACGAGCAGCAGTACATCATCATCCGCGAGCGCACCCACCGCAACACTGCCGAGAGCACCAACAACCGAGTCAAGTGGTGGAACATGTTCGTCATCGGCATTGTCATTGGCGAGTCCCTCTTCCAGGTCTGGTGGCTGCGTCGCTTCTTCGAGGTCAAGCGCGTGGTATAAATGGATACTCCTAGGCACATAGGGTATCGGGGTATGAGACAAGAACAAGGCTGGGGAACTATGTGAGCACAACTCCCATTGACTGGGCCGTGGGAAAACCAGGGGTGCTGTTTCTCTGATTCTTGCTGGCGCAAAACTGGAGGAGCCTTGAAACTTGGGTGGGATGCTACGCGAAAAAGCGACTGAGGATCTACGCATTGTGTGGTAATAGGAGCCTGTGTATAAACATTAGTCATGTCTGAAAACAAGAAGATTTAATTCATCCCCTGTCCGTTGCCGACACAATTCACAATCACGAGCCATGTAGCGAACCCAAGAGTCGGGAACAATGTCATGTAAAATTCATATCCAACGCCCAAAACAGGGCTTTTGCACATGATACGGATCATTATCATCTAGTGGCATCCCATCCATTAGAAACAGAACAACATGAATGCCGTTAGAATAGAGTGATATCCCAAGGCCAAATCCTACTCCAAACGCCTCCCAAAGCTTCCGTAGTCTAGAACAATTATAAACACAGCTCCATCAGGCATCTAGGCATTGGGGTCCGACTCGGGAGCCTTGCTCTTGCCCTCCTTTGGCGTCTCTGGCACCTCGACGGGCAGCTCTACATCCTTGATGGGATGAAGTAGCATAGGCGGGAGACACATGCGACCTTCGCCACCACGCATGTTGTTGACGCCCTTGCCCTTGCGGCTCTTGTCTTCGGTGGTCTCGAACTCGTCACCGCCGTCATTGTTCACCTTGAGTCCGAGCCAGCGGCGGTACAGATTAGGCGCGAAGCCCGAGTTGTAGAACCACGACAGGCCGTGCATGTTGTGCTCGCGGTCGCCAAAGATGCTGGTGCGGGAACCACCGCTGGCACCGTCACGGCCGTTGTTGAACATCTGCGCCATGTACCCGACAGGCCACTTGCGGTCGACGTAGACGGGGTGCGGCGCGTAGACGGCTTTGTAGCCGTGCTGCAGCGCCACAGTCGCTGGCCACATCTCAGGGAAGGCAAACTGCTTCTTGAGCGCCGTCATCCTGTGCATTGTCAGGAGCAGTCGTCGTGACATGCGGGACGTGGTGATGATGTTGGCGCGGCGTGGAGGCGGGCCCTCGGTGCGGTTGAAGCCCGTGATGTCGTCCTTGAGGCCCCAGGTCGTGCCGTCCGGGTCGAAGATGGGGTTGAGCGAGATGTAATCGGCCTCTTCGCCGACGCCCCATTGGTAGTGGTCCTTCTCATAGGCAATAGGGACAACAGGATCGTTGCCGGGCTCGAACCAGTCGTCATCGTCCTGAGGGCGAACAGGGCCCCAAATGACCTTTGCGTTCCCCTTTGACTTGGCAGGCGTCTTGTCGTCCATACCGGGCACGTTCTTCCAGACATCGTCGGCTCCAACAACGCCCATCTCACTCTGTACGCGGGACATCTGCGAGAAGTCGTCCCAGGTGCCGTGGACAGTCGGGAAGTAGAAGCGGGCGTTGCGGTCCCACAGCCCCTTTCGTGGCTGTTCCTTGGCGAAGTTCTCGAGCTTGGTGAACAGGTCGTAGTAGTGGCCGGTGTAGCGGACGTCCATCTCCCACTGCCAGAAGTGCTCGTACTCAGGGTGCATGTAGGCAAAGTATTGCATCGCCATCGACAGGCCGCGGTAGACGCCGTGGACGGGAAGCTCGGGGCCACGGCTAAAGAGGTCATAGATGCCCTGATATAGTGACAGCATCTGCGTCTCGGTCCAGAGGGTGACGATACCGCGAAATTCCTGGGGGATAACATCTTCGACGCGCTGTCGGTAGACTTCCTCGTCGGCCCAGATAGGATGGTCAGCATCATTCTTGACCTGGACCAGCAGGTGGATATCATAGCGACCACCTGAGCCCAGGGCCAGCTCCGTGATCATGGAACGAATGTTTGCAACATCATCTTCGCGCCAGAGATACTCGTCCCAGCATCGCACAACCACAGCAGTTCTCGACTTCTTCCCGGTGACTGTCTTCTCCTTCTCTGTGGGAGTGTCGGTGCTGTTAGACTTGGCGTTCGTTGTGGTCGTCTTGGCCGGCTTTTCGGCGTCCTTCTCCTTGACATCACGCGCCTTGACGGACTCCGTGGGTTTCTGAGACTCCTGGATGTAAAAGCCATGGGGAGTAGCCGTCTTGCGTAGAACCTCATTGTACCGGTTGGCGTTCTTCTTGAAGCAACGGCGCTGGACGTCGGCCCAGTTGACCTGTCGGTAATCGACGCGGGGAGTCTTGTCCCAGACGGCTTCGGAGCCTTCCTTCTCTCCATGCTCGCCAACGCTCAATCCGCCGTTCCTCTCCGAGTAACCAAAGCCGTAGGGGCCGTAACGGCCAAAGCGGTCGAAGCAAATGTCCTCGGGCAGACTCAAGACCTCGTAAGAGCCAATGATATGCTCGGGGAATCCTTTCGGTCGGCCGTTGTAGTACTGTAGCTCCGGAACACGGACGGTGCCTTCAGCATCGACGAAGCATTCCTGGATGTCCGTCTCCTCGTTCCTTCGGGTGTATCCGTTCCAGCCCAGGCTTACAGAGACATGTCTCTTGCCGGCCTCACCCTCCTTAGCCGAGTCTACTTTAGTCTCCTCCTTGGCCGAGTCTGCTTTAGTCTCCTCCTTGGTTTCTTGTTGTACCTCACTGTTGACATTGTCACCAGCTTCCTTGCTCGCCTTCTCTTCGGCCTTTTCTTCGGCCTTCTCCTCGGCGACTTCCTCCAGCAGCGATGCCTCATCCGGCACATAGGGATACTCCGGTTTGTTGTCCTCGAGGCTTACCAATGTCTTAATGCCGCCATAGTACCTCTCCAGGAATTCAAATTTCTCCCATACGGGAGGAGGAGGAGGCCGGCTCTCCACTTGGCCATTTGCAACCTTCCAGTTCTCGACCTGGCTGGCGCGGACCAAGCTCAGGATCATGATGACAATAAATCCTACCACAAAGCAGACGAGATATCTTGTGACCTTTGTTGGCAGTCGATAGGGGTATACGTTGGCAATTCGTCTCATGGGTGGAGGCTTAGCAGCCTGTCGGGGCAATCTCAATAGGCCAGTTGAAGCCGAGCCGGATGTGCTTCTGGAGGAGCCCTGGGAAGAGCTTCCCGCCGAGTATGGCTCATCCTCGTCGTCAGATGTGTAGTCGGAGGTGTCATCGTCAGAAAAGTGCTCTTTGCTCGGGGACTCGACTTTGTGGTAGAGCGGAAGCCCTGGTTCTTGGGTCCGCAGACTCCTGGGTAGTAACCCCATGGCTGGCTTGGTTGGGAGAGCTATAACGGCAGCGGCAGTCAGGATACGGGAGTCGATATATTCGGGGTTGGAAGCTTGCCTACCGATGGGTGTTCGTAATGCCCACTCCAGGCAAGTGTCTCAGGGAGGTGCCTCCGAACGTGCCAGTCCAGATGAAAGGATGAGCGTGGGCAAACACGGTGAATGGTCGTGAGCAAAGCGTCGTGCAGCAATGGAGCTTGTATCTGGACAGGAGCAATGGAGAAGAGATTGTGAAAAGGAGCTGATTGATGAATTGGGTTACGTGAGTACGCGTCGTCGTCGTCGAGCCTTGTCCGGTCGAGTGCCCCGTCCGGATGTACTCCTCTGAGCCGTCATTTGCGGGCTTGTTTGTGTAGCGGAGCATGGGCGGTTGCGGGGCAACGAGTTCTAAAGGTGGGGGCGACGTCAGCGACTGTGCATGTTGACATGTAACTTATGATAGACAACCACCCATTAGGTGTTATCATGTTTGTGCCAGTTATGATTAGCCACCCCTGTTCCGCAGGTCCCGGATAGCCTAGTTCTGCGGGATGTGCTGTAGCTGCCTGCACTCATTGATGCTGGTCTGAGGCACAGGGGTTGTCACCCACCGCCTCTTATTCCCATGGTGGTGGTTGTGTTCTCCCACCACGACATGGCTGAGTCCGTGATCGGTCAAGGCGGACCATCCTCGCGGTCTGTGGCGTCTGTCCAGTCTTGTGGATCTCGTCGTCCGCATCTCTCATGAGAAAATCAAGGCATTGGCATGTAAAATAGCAGCTGCCTGGAGGGGGAAGATTGTAGCCATAGATGCTCAGGTGGTTGAATCTGACATGGTTGTCCAGGGTAAGCAACCCGGCACTTGACAACCACAGGATTACACCGCCCAAACGCTAATCGTCGATTGCCAATCACCTACACTGTAAAACTTCCGAACTACAACATCCCTTTTGGCGCCGTGCGGTTAATAAGCTTTGAATATTCTGGGAGGGGCATCCATTGGAACCGCACCCTCTGCTCCAGCCCAACTTTGTTCCCTCCAACTCTGTCCGCCACCGCGCAATCCCATTGGCGTCTTTAAGCAGCCAACCCCTCCCCTAAGCTTAGCGCCCTGCTGTGTTCGCTCCCCTTGAGTAACCTCAGTCCAACGTCATGGCTCAAACGCCAATCATGCCCATGAGCGACCTCGGGCGGGGAGGTCATGCGCTGCAGCGTGCCGTCCGCATCGTGTCTTTGCCCTAACGCCAACGCGCGAGGGACACGGGACAGCGCCTCTCTGCTCTCTAGCCGGTTGTGGCCAGCGACTCGTGCCCTCGCTCCCGGAGAGGAATCTAGTCCACACGGCGTACATACGCAGTAGCAGGGCTTGGGCCGAGAGCTTTGGGCTGAGACCGCGGTGAAGCCTATTGTCGGATATCGGATGTCGGTCTCTTGGGCTGCCCGACCCGTGTGCCCTGTCTGTCAGATGACGATTCCCTTCTTGTCAGGTTTCATTCTTCCTGTCTTTGATCTCCGACCTTTGACCTCTCGCCTCGCCTCTGACCTCTGACCTCTGACCTCTCGCCTCTCACCTCCCACCGCTAACCTCCAACTTGCCCTGAAATCTAGCAGCGCTTGTTAGGGACTGCAAGCAAGTTGCATAGCTCCTGGATTGACGTCGTGTCAGGAGCCAGTGACTTATACACGAGCCAACCTGCTTCCTCCGGCTCGTCGACGCTACTCACTTACACAAATTGTCATCCCACCAGCTGCCCAGATCCTACCCAATCCTCCCCATCTCCCCAGACTTCAATCCCATCCCACCTATCTGGCCGCCCAATTCACAGGCCATTCGCCCCCAATCGCTACAATGTCCGTCTCTGTCACTTCTTCAGAAACACTCGCTTCGCCTCCATCAAACGTCCAAGCTGAGGCGGAACGGGAGACGCTCAAGCTCTCGTATGCCATCAGGCAACATCCCGTCTCTGTCACACTCGATGGAACCACCATCTTCCTCTCGGCCATGGCTCTCGTTCTTCTCATCCACTTTGTCGAGTCCTACCATGCCGAACTCCTCGTGAGCCTTGTTCCTGTACTCCTGCTCGTCCACAACGACTACCACAACTTCCTCAACCTCGGTCCCGGCGGCACACCCTCTACTTTCCAGGGATACCTCCGCATAACTTGGTTCCGTCTATGGTCTCTCCGAGATCCCTTCGTCGCCCCAGACTCTGATCCCTCGCGTCTTCCCACGGCGGGCATTCTACGCCGCTGCAATCTTCCCTACCGCGCGGGTCCCCGCCCTACTGTAGCCGGCATCGCTCCCCAGCGCCAGCTTGACCAACACGGGTCTCGGTACTGCTACCGGGCTCTCCGCCGGTCGATGGCGAAGATTGCAGACCAGAATCCCACCAAGTTTGGCACAGAGAGGTCTTGCCTCGAGAAACATGGCCTTGCACTCTTCGCCAGACACCCGCTGCAGACCACTTGCCAGGGCGAGATCTGCCATGTCCACGACTCAGACCACTCCATGCACATGTGTTTGCATCCAGATGACATCAAGCAAGTCCTGGACAAGGGATGGGGCCAGAGACACCCACTCGCCTGGAGAAGCCGACTTCTTAAAAGCCCTGTGTCTGCTGACTTTGTCATGATTTATGCGCCTCGAGGTAAGAATTGTCCCGTATATTGAACTGAAGCCTGCTGAATTTGCTCCTCTGGGTATTAGATGACCAAGAACTTCAAGTTGTCTGCAACATCATTCAGGCAGCAATCTGGTATACCCTTGCCGAGGATGTTGAATTGGGCGTTGATCTCAAAACCGCATAACTTCAACGAGCCAATGCCTGAAAAGAAGCTGAATGAGACGCCCAAAAATGAGGGAGGGTCCTAGTTTAAGTTAAAAGGATATAATAGGACGCCATAGTTCGTCCTTTGTCGTTGTTATTCTTTGGGTATCTTACATCCTAACCAATCCTAGACGTTGGGTCTTCATGTACTGTAGCGGTATCTCTAGTCCGAATCCTCATCATTCTGTACCTTCTTGGACTTTTTGAATTTCTCCCCTCCCGTGGCCAGGAACGCCTCCACTGTGCGGCCATCGAAGCTCCTCCCATGCATGAGCTTGATGCAAGCAAGAGCGGATTGGGCATCTTGGAACTTGACCGATACCATCCCATCGGGTTCTTGGTCAAAGAGTACCACGTTCGTTACTGTTCCCAGCTTGGCACACTCATCCCGGATATCCTCCTTGATCTCCAGCAATGCAGCCGGGTCCTCTTCGAGCTCTGCCAGAGTGAACATGTGTCGTAGAATCACCACCTTGTCCCTCTTTGGTGCCTCTGCCTGCGCCTGATATGGCAGATCATCATCCCAGTCGGCAAGCTTCGCGTCTAGTTTTTGGGTCTTCCTGATGATCTTTTGGCGATCTTGATTGCTCTTCTGCGGTCTCCGCTCTGAAACATCCTTGGCACCTGCTGCAGCCCCCTCCTGGTCATACTTGACCTTCTTGTAACTTGAATCCGCTGCCTGCACTCGTATTCTCCCCTCTCGGGTGCCACTCGCCGTGATTCGGAAGTCCGTGTCGTCAAGGAGCATAATAGCCATCTCGACACTCTGGGGCTTGAAGAAGACGATTAATGCATCGCCCTTGAAGGTGCCCTCTTCATCGTTGTACAACTTGATGCGTGGCGCTCCGCTGTCGATCTCTTCGGCGACGACACCACATTTTCGGGAGAAGAGCTCGTGCACTTCATCGACGGTTGCGTCGGCGGGGAGCCCGGTGACGTACACGGCTGTGTTCTGTCTCGGCTGTGGAGGCGCCTTTTGTTTTTTGTTCGGTCGAGGAGGCTTTGGCGCGTCCGGCATCTAGAAGGAAAGTGGTCAGCGCTTCTGCATTCTTGCTCGGCATGCGAAGTCCGAGGGATCGCATTGGGATGGGATGGTTCTTGGCTTTAGAAGGGTAGGCTCACCTCAAAATCAGGCCCCGAACCATTCTTCCGTTTCCTCGACTCTCCATCTTCAGCCCCATATGCTGCGCCGTCGTAAAGCTGTTCATGCAGATCGGGCGCATCGTGTTCCTCCGCAGCAGGCCCCCATCGCTTCAAATCGGCATCAAACTCATACTCGGTGCCGTCATCGTGGACGGCGATGAACTTGTTGTCGAGCTTCGAAAACGATATGCGATCGTCACTGTCAAATTCGCGAACGTCCGTGGGGAATATTGAGTCCATCGTGTTACCGCGCTGCGGGTTGGGGCTGAGAGAGGTCGGAGGAAGAGGATGGAGGGAGGATGTTACAGAGCTCAACCAAGGTACCTCAGGTACTAAAATCCGGACGTGGATACGTCAGAGTCCTTCAAGCGTGGGGCGGCTTCTTTCCCGACAGGCGGTCCCACTCCCAAACACACGCTTAAGCATCAACGTGGACCAGCAATTCATGATATATGCGGACAAGTGGTAGTAATTTGGCCAATGATTAATTAGACTAGTTATATCCACTGTGAGAAAGTACCATTGCTCGATTTCATGTTCATTGAGGTTGATGGCAAGGATGTTGTTAGGGTTGTCATGCACTCGTATATTTGGTTGTTCCCGCAACGCCAAGCGTACCTAGGTCTACTTGTACATGGATATCAAATTGTATCATGACGTATAAGAAGGAATGAAGACTATGCACTGGATTCCGAAAAGTTCCGCGTGATCACATTTCATTTCTTCTCCTCCTGGGCCGTCTTCTTGACTCCCTCGACAAACGCCTCGACGGCATGACCTCCTCCGAGGGGCATACCACCTCCTGGGATATAACCACCGTTCTGCACCTTAACGCCGAGCGCCTCTGCGATGCTAGGCAAGCCGCCGTCTCGAATGGCCATGGTCAACGTGCCAAGTGCCTGATTGAACTGAGGGCTTCGGAGCACCTTCTTGAGCAGGCTCCGCTTGTCCTCGAGGGTCAGGGACGCCTTGGCAGCCTCCACAGCTGCAGCGGACGGCTCGGCTTTTCCATCAATGGCGTCTGGTGCGCCGGTCGCGAGCACAATGACGGCCGGAGGCAGGAAGCTGATCAAGGCGTCGGCAAACTCCACCGGTGCGGCATCAATCATAGGGACCGTGATGGATGTTGGCAGAAGATGGTTGAGATAAGGGTACGGCTTCTCGGCGCCGTGCTGTCGTTGTCCCCCGGATAGTCCAGACTGATCTCTGAGAGAGTCGAGGAAGTTTCTCACTGCGGCTGCGGCATCAGGGGCAGATGAAGAGACACTGAAAGGAGGTCAGCGTTGTCACGATTGAATACTGACACCAAAGACCCGACGTAAAGACACTAGTTCCCAATTCTTCTCGTTGAGGCAAGGAAATCTAGTTTTACACTGTAACCAGCCGTTCCAGGCCCTGTGCCACACACACAACCAGGCCCAATTTGCGCCGTCCGTCACCAACCGTGCAAAGGGAATCACCTACGCTCTCGCACCATCAGCTCCTCCCTCTCTCGAGCCCTCGCCCTCCTCTCTGATGTCTCCGCCAGTGGCGCCAGGTCCAGCTCCACCGCTTCCACTCCCACGGTGGGTGTGCTGGTCACGGTGACCCTCAACGTCCTCCATCGTCTCGTCATCGTCGTCGTCGGGTCGGTCGTCCGTGTTGCGAACAGCCGCAAGCTCGCTAGTGACATCCACTTCCTCGCCCTGGAGCAAAAGGTGAACAATTTCGCCAATCTTACGATCCCGGGGGCTGAAATGGCTGGGATCACCGTTTCGGCCTTGGGGCTTGGACTGGAGCCAAAACAGGTACCGCTGGGAGGATGACGAGAACCTGAGGGCGAATATGCGGCCGTTGGTCTTTGAAGTCGGCTGAGGGGTCGTCTTGTATTCGTAGGGAACAAAGCTGCCGTCGGTCGGGACCATAATTAGGTCCAACTCGGGCTCGTCCAACGAGTCGCTGCGCTTGCGCCAGCAGAAGTGCACCAAGTCTGTCCGAGGTCAGTATTGTGAGACTGGGCGGGGGATAGCTTGGAAACCAACCATCCTCGGAGTACAAGTAGATGTAGCCAGGCTCGGGCTGTGGCTTCACCTTGAACGGCTTGGAGGAGGTCTGCGAAAGAGGCAGGTTAGCGTGTGGACTGGTGATAGGAAGCTTGGGAACGGAGCCGTACATCAACCTCGCATTGGCCGGCTTTGAAGGTAATAATCGGCGAGATCGGCATGGTGGGAGGTGTAATGAGAGCGGCTTGGAGGATTGGGAAAGAAAGGATTAAATGGGGTTGAAAGGTGAAGCTCGAAGAGGGCGCCTCTGGTTGGTAAGGCACCTAGGTATGTCAGGTACGTAGCACTTCGCCCGCTATTCGGCAAGGCTGCAGGAGCTCTTACGTCGAGCATCACCTAAGGTGGTGGGCCCTGTGGTGGTTGAGCCACACCACCGGCCCGATGTTTCTCCATTCTCCACACACCGCCGCCACGTTCCCCTCAGCAACTCATGCCATTGCCAGATGCCCCAGTCTTGGAAATTTGGTTTGGGTGAAAAATCTCATAAACCCCACCTTGGGACATCGACCAGACAACCCCATTTTCCTCCTCCCATCTCTCCCAGCTCTACAAATACCCGTCTTTCTTCCCTCTTCTTCCTCACGCAAACTCATCGTCATTCAAAATGGGCTTCTCCGACCTCCTTTCCGATGCTGGACTCACCAGTATGTGGTTGCTTCTTTTGCGTTTTGCGCCCATCCGTCAGCGCCTCAGTCACTGACAGCTGGACTCTGCTCAGTCCTTAACAGCTGGTTGACCACCCGCTCCTACATTGTCGGGTATGTACAGATCTCTCATCTGGTCTCCAGATGCCCTCTTCCCCCCTTGAAGCTCTTTCACAACATGATGAGAACAATTGGTCCGTGTTTCGGAGGCGATTAAGACCCGCCTACTGACGAAACAACAAGCACTTGTGCACCTCTGAGTTGTTTTTGATTGCCCAAAACTTCGTTCAAGCTCTCGCTCGACATGATGTGCTAATAGCCGTCTACAGACACACTGCCTCGCAGGCCGATGTTGCTGTCTTCAAGGCCATCCAGTCTGCCCCTGACGCCAGCAAGTACGTCCACGCTGCCCGCTGGTACAAGCACATCGCCAGCTACGAGCCTGACTTCGCCACCCTCCCCGGCGATGCCTCCGCTGCCTACTCCACCTACGGTCCTGAGGCTGTGACCCCCGCCGCTGCCCCCGCCGCTGCCGCCGAGGAGGACGATGACGTCGACCTGTTCGGTAGCGATGATGAGGAGGAGGACGCCGAGGCTGTCCGAGTCCGCGAGGAGCGCCTGGCTGAGTACAAGGCGAAGAAGGAGGCCAAGGGTCCCAAGCCCGCCGCCAAGTCTATCGTCACTCTCGACGTCAAGCCCTGGGGTAAGAACCATTTTCCCCGATTGTACCCTAGTATCAATGTCGCTGACCAACCTTAGATGACGAGACCGACATGGCTGCTCTTGAGGCCGGTGTCCGTGCTATCACCATGGACGGCCTTGTCTGGGGTGCCTCTCAGCTTATCCCCGTCGGCTACGGTGTCCGCAAGCTCCAGATCAACATGGTCGTCGAGGATGAGAAGGTCAGTGTCACTGACCTCTCCGAGGAGATTGAGGCTCTCGAGGACTACGTCCAGTCCACCGACGTTGCTGCCATGCAGAAGCTGTAAAGTGTTGTGCGCAACGGGATGGATCATGTGATGAGGCACGACGACTGGGATTTGATGACTCCAACAGGAATGATGTCTTGGGAATGAACCTCATGAAAGGGAGGACCAGCTACGAAAGCTACCCCTCGCACCTGCCATAGACTATGAAGAAATGAAGAAAAATACATGGGGCAAAACACCCAGTGTCCGTGTCAACGGCGTTTCACAACACCCTCTTGTCCTCTTTCCCTCAGTGATTGAACGACTTGCACGTACATGTAGTGAGTAGAGCGCTCCGAAATCGATGCTGCCTGATCATATTCTTGGTGCTCCACGAACCTGAAGGAGGGGTAAAATTTGCCCAAGCCATCGGTCGTATTCTTATAAACCGTATTTTGGCGGGGTAGCCAGGGTCTCATGCACACGCGACGGAACCTGCCACTCGCCGCGGCTGCATTGACGCGACACCGAATCTTTGTCTCTGAAGAGTTTCCCAATTAAAATCTGGTCGACATTCATCCTACGGCCGGAGTTCACCCCAACGTCTCAGTTACGCGCTTGGATTTCAAAAGCCGATAGGCCTCTAGATGTGCACATTATCATCCTAAGAGCACACCGTTTGGACTGACGGCGCCATGTACGGGGACTTGGGCAACAAGCTGGTACCGAGTCTTCTGCCATGTCTTCTCCCGAGGCAACCGACTGACAGACGTGTGAATACAGGTCCACCATGCCAAGCGAACGCAGAACCTGACCCATCTTCCTCCATACCAAGCTGAGATTGTCCGCGCCGTGACGCGAGAGGTCAGGGATCTAAAGAAGGATGTAGACGAACTCCTCGAGCCCTTTGACGATGGTTTCCAACCGACCGAGGAACAAGCTATTGCCTGCACCGTGCTGGTAAACCACCTGGCGATGCGTCGGAACAAGCGGTGTTTGCTTGCATATCATCGAACGCGGACGGATAAGCTCGAAGAGCTCGTGTGGAATGGATCAGATGTGGTTGATCTGTCGGGCCAGCAAGTGCGGGATGCCGCAGGCACATCCAATGGCGGAGCTGTTGGGGCCGGCGATGCAACAACAAGCAGCCTGAGCCCTCAGGAGGAGGAGTACGTCCGCCAATACGGAGACCTGCTTGCGGCGTACAAAGGCCAATGGACGGACATTGATTTGACGGGGAGCCTGGAGCCACCGCGGGATCTGTTTATCGACGTGCGTGTGCTAAAGGATGCCGGAGAGATACAGACAGAATATGGGTAAGTGCAACACTACTACATTGATGAGGATGGCGAGAACCACAGCTGACGAGGGCTATAGCGCCATCACTCTGACCAAGAACAGCCAGTTTTATGTGCGGCAGGGAGACGTCGAGCGACTGATTGCGCAGGGATATCTTCATAAGCTGGGCTGAGGCTCTTTTCTTCGGTCCCCAGTCTTATTCCTTCCCCTCTTCCTCTTCCTCTGCCTCTTCTCTCCCTTCCTGTTGGAAGCCATCGTGGATCCATCCTAGGGGCCGAGGGAGGTCGGATCAAAATGCCGTCTGGATATGTCCCGCCCACTCAACCGTGCGGTCAGGTGACAGTCGCATTGCTTCGCGTACCGTTGAGACAGGGCCAAATGCACTAGCAACCCCAGCCAACGCCCGCTGTACCTGGCCGGCCAATCCCAGACCAGCAATGGGCTTGACTGGTTGGTGTTAGTGACACAATAATGCGCGAGATGGAGCATTAGTGGAGTTGCAAACTCGACCGTTTGTCGCCATCCGGAGGGGCGGTTTCGGGGGCCGGCTTGGAGGCGAGACCACATGCAAAATAGTATGAGAAGGGAAACTTGGCCGCACTGGAGCAAGGTTTCTGCTCCGACATGGGGATGCGACTAATACTACAAAGTACGTACATAGCACTGTGCATGTGTACTATGCCAGCTCCGCAGATAGCACAATTGATGGCGCCCTAGGCTCTGTCCGCGCCCGCTGGTGCCATGACCCACCGGCTCTCAGTCATTGAGTTTCGTCACTCCATTCCCCGTGAGCCCTCGCCATCGGTTGTCCGGGGCCTGGAATGTTTTACTTTCCTACCGACTCCCTTCCATGATTCTTTGAGTTTTTTTATTATTATTATTATTGCTGTCCGAGCCCCCCCGCCCATGTCGTTGTCCGAGCCCTGGTTGTATTAATACCCCGACCAACCGCAAACCGCAAACCGCACCCTGCCATATCGTGGAGGGTGGCCAGGTACGAGCTCGAGCCGATCCAATGTCATCCCCACTCGGCTTCACTCCGTGGAGGAGGAGGGCGTTGAGCTCGATTTCGCAGTGCGATCCCCCGCTGCCTGGTGGCGATGTCTCCAGCTCCAGCCCTTCCCACGGATCCCACCAGACCTCGATCCCTCCGGCGCGCCCGACGTCCATCAGCTCCGTACCGGGCCATAGAGAGCCGATCCGGTCCTTCATCCACGGCTCGGTGCGAGACGACCTGCTAGGTGCGTTTTTGCATGTTTTGCATGCGCTCTTGCGCCGTTATGTTGTCATCATTCATCATCATCATCATCATCACCATAACCGATCCCCATCTACGGCGTCACGTCGTCTTGAAACCCTACTCCGCGTCAATCCCTCAATGGAGAGAGAAAATATTTCTTCGCCTCGGCTAACTCCCAGAAGCAGTCCCAGTCGACAGTGTGCAGAATGCGCGAAACATCCGAGAAGACACTGCAGAGCTTGCGACCTACCTGCTCTCCGACGGCCAGGTGCAGCTAAGCCCTGCGTTCCTGCAGCGAGCGCGATCCTCTTTCCACGAAGCTGCCGACTCCGAATGCGGAGACGACGCGTTCACGGCCGACCATGCACGCAACTCGGAGACAATCCTGGAGGTTTCGGAGCCGCCATCGCCAGAGACCGAGCGCAATTGCGATGCGCCCGCTGGGCCGTCCGTGCTCGCAAACCTTCTCAAGGGATCCCCTGCTCAGTTGATGGCGCAACAAGAGCCCACCAGCCCCGGATATGACGAAGACGCCCAAGACGACCAAGACGACCAAGGCGAGACCGAGCCGTGTCGCGCCAGCCACCATGCCGATGCAGCCTCGGAGCGAACCCCGCTCCTGTCGAGGGTGACTTCGGATGGGAGGCAGTCCTATACTGAGGACCTGGAGGGCCAGAAATCTCACTCGAAACACCCGTGGATAAGTGGCTTGGTGGGAGTCAGCCACAAGATGGAGGAGCGGATGACCCACGGCGTTGCAGTTGCTGTTAACCCTCGCCGCTGGGATCGCAAGGCAATCTGGCAGAATACTGTGCTATTGCCGGCTTCTTGCCTCCCTGCCGTGGCTGTTGGACTTCTGCTCAATATTCTCGATGCCCTCTCCTACGGTTCGTTGAGCGGTTCTAACATGTATCTGACATTCACTGACGCCGCGTAGGCATGATTCTTTTCCCCCTCGGGAGGCCCATCTTTTCCCATCTTGGCTCCGCAGGCATCTCTATTTTCTATGTCAGCACTATTGTATCACAAATCACCTTCTCATCCGGGAGCATTTTCAAGGGCTCTGTGGGGTCTGAGTTGGTACGTCTCCAACACTGCAATTACGATGTCCTCAACTAACATGCATAGATCGAAGTGGTTCCTTTCTTCCACAACATGGCAGCCAGGATCACCGATGTGGTTGGGGAAGACAACCCCGATGCCGTCATCGCTACCACTATTGTGTCATATGCTATCAGCTCCATGATTACCGGTCTTGTCTTCTACCTCATGGGCCGGTTCAAGTTTGGGTACATGGTGGGATTTATTCCCCGGCACATCTTGATTGGCTGCATAGGCGGTGTCGGATGGTTCCTGGTTGCCACTGGTTTTGAGGTCTCAGCCCGTCTCGACGGTAGTCTTGAATATGACCTTGAAACGCTGAGGAAACTCACAGAGGCCGCGACAGTACCGCTCTGGGTTACCCCCTTGGTACTGGCCATTATCCTCTTCTACGGGCAGTCAAAGGTTACCTCCAAGTTCTTCTTGCCCCTCTATATATTGGCGATTCCTGTAGTTTTTTACTTTTTCGTAACGACGCTCGATGCCTTGGATGTGGATGTCCTACGGGACCATGGATGGATCTTCCAGGGCCCTCCCTCTGGAGAACCGTGGTGGTATTTCTACACCCTCTACAGTAAGTTTCTTGAGCTCTCGTGTTTATCTTTCAAACCCATGCTGACAAACGCATCAGAGTTCAAACTTGTACGTTGGGATGCTGTCATTGAGTGCATTCCTGCCATGTTCGCTTTGACATTCTTTGGCATCCTGCATGTCCCGATCAATGTCCCCGCCTTGGCTCTGAACTGCGGTGAGGACCATGCCGATCTCGACAAGGAGCTAAGGCTGCATGGCTATTCCAATTTCCTGTCTGGTTGCTTTGGTAGTATCCAGAACTACCTGGTCTATGCGAATACCGTCTTCTTTATGCGATCCGGCGGTAACTACCGGCTTGCGGGATATATGCTGGCAGCTGCTACTTTTGGCATCATGCTTATTGGCCCATCTCTTATTGGCTTCATTCCAGTCATGATGGTTGGAACTTTGATCTTCGATCTCGGCTTTGAGTTGATGTTGGAGGCCCTGTGGCTCCCCCGCAAGAAGCTCAAGCTAGCCGAGTACCTTACCGTTGTTGTTATTGTGCTCGTAATGGGCATTCATGACTTCGTGGTAGGTATTGGGGTTGGCATTCTGCTGGCCTTTGTATCGCTCATTCTACAAACCTCACGGGTATCGGCTATCCGTGCAAACTATTCTGGCGATATCGTCACATCCACTGTGAGGCGAAATCCCTCACAGCACCATTATTTGCACGAGGTTGGTCGGCAGATTTACATTGTGAAGCTCACCGGATATCTCTTCTTTGGTACCGTTGTGAGCGTCGAGGAGAAAATTCGAGGCCTTTTGGAGGAGAGTACATTTGCCAAGCAACCGATCAAGTTTTTGATTTTGGACTTGTGGCACGTTACTGGGCTCGACTACTCGGCCGGGGAGGCCTTCAACACCATAAGCCGACTGCTCGACCACAAGGCAGTAGACCTCGTGCTGAGTGGTGTGGATACTGAGAGCCAACTTGGGCGAAATCTGAGAGCTGTGGGACTGGGAAGCGATGGTATTGAGGTCATGATGCTGCCGGATCTCAATTCTGCATTGGAGAGTTGCGAGAATGAGCTCCTCAAGACTCTCTATGCAAGGCAGGAAGAGCTTTCGCTGAAGCGGATTTCTGCCCAAAACCTGGACGTACCTGCAAGGGCCTCCGCATTCTCGTCTTTCGATGCGCCATTCAACTCACCTCGCCGAAATCACCTTGTTGAGGCCGCACGAGATGCCCTCAGCAGTGTCGACGTCCAACGCCCGTCTAAGTGGATGAGCTTTAAGGAGCCGCTCCGGCTCATGCTGCAAATTTTCCAGGGCCTCAGCGAAAAGAATGAGGACTTCTGGTTCCCGGCCGCCCACTACTTCACTCGCCGGGAATACCCCGCTGGTACCATCCTCTTCCGGCGCGGTGAGGAGGCGAAAGGATTTTATCTTCTGGAGCGAGGTATCATCCGTGCCGAGTACGACTTGCCCCAGGGATGGCTCTGTGAGAGCATCGTGGCCGGGACAACATGCGGCGAGCTGCCTTTCTTCTCTGAAACGGATCGGACCGCAACCGCGGTTGTGGAGCGAGATTGTGTAGCCTGGCTGATGGACCGTGAGCAGTGGGCCAATATTCAAAAAGAAGAGCCCGAGGTTGGAAGAGAACTGTTGCGGGTATCCCTGAAGCTCACTAGCGAGCGGATGAGCGCCATTACATCGTACATCTTGACGACGGCGGGTTAGAAACTCGGCCAAATCGCAGAATGTCAAAGTAGGGAAGGGAGAGCAAATCCTAACAATAAACACATTACAAAGATCAGGAACCAAGTCTCGTCAGCAGGGATAATGGTGACATACTACTTTATTCCAAGTGATAGTTCTTGATTTAGTTGTTCATGTTTCCCAATTAGTAGTGGGTGTAGGACGAGACTAGTAGGCGGGTTGATATGATTGAGCATCGGCCTATTGGCTATGTATCTACTCCCCCTCTGTTTGAATCGAATATTACACGTCACTAAGGCTATGCGCTTTCCAAAAGCTTGAATGATAACAGCCACGGAGACTATTCGAGTAGCGACATGTGTGTGGAATCTCATACTTCGCTAGGTCTTGGCGAGACAGACTATCTGACTAGATCCTGATGTTACTTTGAGAGCTAAAGCTCTCGCAATTTTTTTTTACCTAGGTTTAAGAGAGTGGCTTCAGCGAAGGAAGGCATGACGCCACATAGGTACGTAGGATACGGCATCCTCTCTTCAAGGCTGCCTCGCGGCTGCCTGGGTCTAGGCAGGCACTGACTGGGTTGGTTAGGTAATAGCTGAGATGTAACTTGTGCACACCAAAAGAAATTGTTCTTGTTGACAACAGCAGGAACCAGGTTGTCTCCGTTGACATCGGAGTGTGTCCTTGTTCTCTAGCTCTGCGGCGATGCTCACTCAGTGTCCGACACGGATAAAGTCCATTTGAGTCAGATTTCCCCACTATTTTGTCTGACAACCTTGAAGGGCGTGAACTACACACCACATGAGACAGGCCCAGTGAAGTCACATCCTGGGGCGATCAGGCAAATCCAGGTTCCCAAAGAAAAAATGCCGAAAAGCATACGTTCCATATTAGGAAAACCAAATCGCGTTACCAAAGCCTCTCGCCCGTCTCCCGCCAGACAGCCAAGGCCAAGCGGATCACCCGTCAAGGGCCGCAAGCCGAAGGATGAAGAAGCAGAGCTCTTCCAGGACAAGCTCGACGACCTGGGCCTGACCAAAATACTGGAAGATGAGTTGACGCTGCGCGATGTCATCCAGGCAATGCGGTATGTCCGGTCGCGCATGTTCAGCCCCGTTCCGGCAACAGGCCTCAACTCCACGCGAACCGCCGAGGTGCTCAACTACCGAGTCGCCGCCGCGCCCATCGTTACCGTCGGACATCTCAACGCCATCTTGAACTCACCGTCCAAGGTGTCTCGGGAGATGGCTGAACTAACGGGCAAGGGTATCGTGAGGAGAGTGAGGGTGGAAAGACGTGGTGGGATGGGAGAGGCTTTGATCGAGACGGCCGACCTGTCTGGGATGCTTGACAAGGCTCAACTGGGAGAGGAGACGAAGATGAAGTTTACGGCATTCTTGAAGGAGAATCCTACAGCTCAGACACTCCCCAAGGGCGTATTGGAGAGCAGCCATGCGGATGAGCTCGTCCGGGCAGGATTCCTTACCGGCTCTACGCCGTCCAATCCGGGAAACACCCTCGACGTCCGCCCCGAGGATCGCACGACAATGATGTCCATTCAGCACGTCTCCCGTTTTGCATCCGGTAGCGTCTCTGCCGTAGGAGGCCGCAATGCCATCCACCTCGCCGGTGGCGGCGGGGGAGCCCCAACACTTACGTACGCGGCATCGCTGGACGCATCACCGGCGGCGTTCCGGCTCGCGGTCCCGGGCCACGGACGGTACCTGAAGCTGGCGAACGCCGCGGTGGACTGGGTGCGGGCCGCGCTGGGGCGGACCAAGTGGGGTGAAGGCCCGGAGAGCTGGTTACAGGAGCGGTTCGAGGGCGGTGGGCTGTACGGGCCGCGATGGAAGGAGTTCTGGGGAGTAGAGTGGGAGTGGGTACTGGGTGAGGCGGTTGGGCTCGGGGTTGTCGAGGTGTTTGAGACGGGGAGTGTGGGGAGGGGAGTGAGGGCCTTGGGACCTTAGGATAAAGGCGTTCGTGCTTGATGGATATGACTATGATGCAGGATGGGTAAATGTTACAGAGATATACGAGGTTGGAGTTACAAAAGAGGAGGGAATGTCTAAACGAAACCCCGGATAGCATAGAAGGGAGTTGTTATGCAAGGTTCACATCTTCCGTCAAGCAGAGTAGATAGCTTGTAGAAGAAAACGAAGCCTTGAGCTCTCTAAAGATATAGACTGGACGGAGAGCAGTCGTGAATGCTAGGCCCTATACGAAGGCTGGTGTAGGAAGTTTGGCAACTTCAATGTTATCTAGGTAGCCCCCAACACAGTACGATCTGCGACAGATCGATTGCCTAAGGTAAGTAACAGCGGCGTTATACGAACTTGAACGAAAGTTTATTCAAGATCATACTTTAGGCTAATAGGAACCAAAACGTCACTTCTTAGAGAATGGGAACTAAGTTTAAGTGCACTCCTAAGTACTAAATAATAATGATCTTAGGGCTCTCGACTGACAGATGCCTACTCATGCAATGTGTTACACTGCACAGTTCGTATGTATATATGCTTTTGAATGTTGTCAAACTTCCTGCGCCAGCCTTCGTACCCGTCATGGCATTGGATCTTTGAGACATACGTTGTGCCTCCGTAAGTGGATGCTTGAGATACTCACTTTGTAACCGACATCACGAGACACCCAAAAGCTGCGAGCGACAAATCTAGCAGAGAAAAGAAACAAGCGGCCGGTCCAGCCTGGTGGGTTGGCCTCCCCAGCAAGAACCCACGTCCGCCTTGTTTCGAGTTTCCCAGGATGCAGCGCCTGTACGAATTTCACAATCCCATCCTCATCTTCCATCCTTCGCAGCTCAAGGGTGCAAACAAAGCTTGCCGAGTCTGGTGATGATCACCGAGTCGGAGGGTCGTTGGTGGAGTGAGCGAGCGAACCCATTTCTTTCGTCCGCCCAGGTTCATAGTGCAACTCCACACCGTGGGACCCGAGATAATTATCCCGAAGCTGCTACCGGGCCCGGCTGGAAAAGGGTCCTTGTCGGAGAAAAGATTCTCATATGAAGGTTTGCCAAAGGACCAGGCACGGAAGGAGCATTACAAACGTCTTAAACGAGCCTCAACGAGCCTTTATAGACCGTTGACTGGCTACCTGCTTATCAGCGCTTGAGATTGAGGCTTCGGTAATGGTGTTTTGCGCTTTCGCAACTGGCGTGTTGTTTATTCAACATTCAGTTTCGAAACTAGAGCGAGCGTCTCCACCTGAGTGGCTATGGGGGACCGCAATTATTCTGTTACACTGTTTCAAATCTTTCCGCTGGGCAGCCATATGGAAATGCGAAAGTTACATTAGAGCCGTCACTGGCGCGTCTGGCGGTACGTATGGGCGAACGCATTCTTGACAAGGGCCGTCGAGGGGGAAAAGCAAGATGAGAGCGGGTGCTTACAAGGACTATCCTTGACTGTGTGCAAGACTCAAGCTACCAGCTTTGGCAGTCCAAACCAAGTCGAGGCCAAAGTTGGACACGCTCAATTGTCGACATCCGGCCGTTGGCCCCGTGGCGCATCGACAAAGCAAACCTGGTCCTGCTAACTGGGACATCGACTGGGGTGAGATTGTGATGGGGATGGTACTAATGCACGGGGGCTTATGAGGAGATACTGTGATGAAGCCACGTGCTTTCGGATGCGAGCATTGGAGGGATAGGAGTGGATAGGATGTGATATGGAGCATGCACGGCCGACGTGACAGAAGGATTCGTGATGGCAGGCGAATATGGTAGGCGAGGGGATTAGAACTGCCCACGGTATGCCCGACGATATCACAAGTTGAGAAATGACGGACAATGCAGCGCGCAAAGACTCGTACGTGGGGTGCCATTGGCCCATGTGTGTTCATCCGTGGATACGAAGTTTCGAGCGCCCATCGAACCCGAGTAGGCGGGAGTGCAACTGACGAACCATGTCGCTCAGGGGCGAAGACCAGGAACATCGGCTCATCTCATGGGCCTCGTCAACGGCTCTCCACAAGTAGCCAGGGGACCCTGCTGCGAACCATGTGAGCCCTGTAAACGGTTTGGGCCGAACCCCGAGGTTGCTTTGTGGGAAGTTAGGGTGCCGATCGGTTGGTCCTTCGAGCCTGTTGGGCATCTGGCATCATGTTCAATCATTAGCAGTATCGGGTGATGATTCGATCCTTTCATCGTGGAGCGAACCCGGATGCGGTAAGGGCGCAGACAAGGCTCCCCTTCACGGTGTGGCTCACGGTCGCTTTCACGAGGGTAAACGTTCGGAAGAGGAGAGATATGATAACTCGGCATACGACTGTGATGCAGCTCTTTAATTAGCTGGCATAAACAAGCCGAGTTATGAGCGACAAGGGGGTTGGAAATTGCAGCCACATTTGCTCGGACCCGACCAGGTCGCCATGTGAGAGGGTAGGCGACAAGATGAGACGCTGGCCAGGTGACCAGCCAGCGCCATCGCGATGCGGGTGAAGCTGCCGGCCACTGGGACAACAAGCTCTGCTGTGGATAGTGCAAAACGGAATGAGACCCTCATTTAGCACCATGTATGTCAGCATTGAAGGTGATTGCTAGAGGCCGCACCAAGCATGGCCATTCGCGGGGCAATGTTTGGTGTCTGGTCGATGCTAGTTGAGGGGTGGTCAGCAGATAAATGCCGAGAGGCCCCTGGTGATGCTGATAGTGACAGGCAGGGCTATGACAAGAATGCAGCCATCATGAGGATGCATGAGTGCATGCGGCACTGAGATTGCGTCGATTATTGCCTCCTTGGGATGGCGATCGCCCATTGAGTGGGCTAGCCTGTTGCACTTGCGTCTGTGCCTGCGTACAACATCCGCCGCCGCCGTGCATACGCATACCGGACCACCAACCCGGGCCATGCTTTTGACGACACTCCTTTTCTTGTCAGTTTTTTACTCTGAACTCTCGTTGGACGACCTAGTTCTCTCAGTCTCCGCAGGCCCGAACGGTGCTTGGGCCACGATGCATGCCTGAAAGTTCGCTCGGGGGAGAACCTTAGCATGGCCGCAGGACGCGCACTTCCACGCACACGTAGAAGCACAGTCGAGAGATGTTGTCATTCGAGTTGCGCTGGATGCAATAAGGAACAATGCCGCGGTGGGCTTCCTCATCCTCCACGTATCCGCATATATTCGATCGGAGAGAATTACGACTCGCGTGATGACGCAGCCAGCAGCATATCACATATCGGGATCAGTGCCGCACCCGACGGAGGCGCCCCCAACTGTCCTCAACTGCCCCCGTGGCGCGTGATGGTCCATGGGCAACGAGGAGGCTTGCGAAGCTCGACCAGGCAGGGAATAACTCGAAATACCGAGTTTGATGCTACGTCCTTGCTTGGTAGTGAGTGCCACACCTGGAGCTAAACTAGCCGCATGAGGTCGGACAGTAGCCAGGGGTAACAAGTTCGCCCATGCATACGTAGCAAAGGCTACCGAAAGATGGCTTGGTCAGTTCATCAATTTTTTTTTTTACTCCAGCAGATTCGGAGGGAGAAAAATTAGGCCTGCGGGGCGACTGACGATGGTATGCACTTTTGTACACATCGAGCGGGTTGAAGGGCTGCAAAGGCTGAAGACAACGAAAGGGCGAGAAGAGGGAGACAGGATCAACAGGGGCGAAACACGTTTTGTACATCGCATTCACGAACACAATCTAGGTTCCTTGGCAATGCGACAGTGAGAGACAAGGAGACGGGTGGACAAGGAAGGCCCGACGGACGGGAGCGAGGATGAAGCCGACGCGATGCAGGTAGCCGGTGAACAGTGGAGGACCGTGACGTAGACAGCCAGTTCCGTTCGGGTAGCGACATGTCTGATGATGAAGAATTCGAGTCCATGTATTGCAATTGGATGGAAGCTGTAGCGCGAGAATGGACTGGTGTGAAAAGCGATTCATGGATGAGGCTTCGAGAGGAAGATGGAGGGGGAGTCCCGTGGAGTAACGGAGGGTCCGTTTGTTGGCTCGGCAGGATCTACATGCACGTACTTGCTACTCCGACCGTATCAGTGCATAGGGAAGGTACTACGCAGTAGGGAGCAATTATACGAAGGAAGTAGCGTCCTACGTAGTGCAATTCTTTCCAACTGTGAAGCCCAGGCCTGATCAATCCGACTGGCCATTGCATCTCTGTTAGCCGGCTTCAGTCCGCCTGCCGACCAACTCAGCCAGCCATGTGCACCTCACCTGCCCTGCACAATACTGGAACATAGGTAGACATTAGTTAACATTAACATTAGTGCTACATCGTGAGTACCCGAGGCACCGAGCTGGCTTGTTCAGCACAGGTCTAGGGCGCCTCCAACTGCCCGCTCCCAAGGCATTGGCCACTAACTTGGCCAGCTTCGCCCAGCCTCTGCACCAGCACGCCCCGGTTGGCGCCCCCCGCTGCCAGTCCCTCCCTCGAGCCCTGCCCTCCTACATCGCCCCAACCCTAGCGCATCGGCTAGGCACCGGAAGACCCCCAGTGGCTTTCAGTGGGATGTTGCAATGGGGCCCTTCGTGGACTCGTAGAGCGGCGAATTCTCCCACCAAGGCTCGGCCCTCCCTGTTGGTCGCCCGCCGCCACCCTGGACCCCGGAGCCTGGGGTGGCGCCCTCCGGTTGGCCAACCCAGTGCGACTGCCCGGGGCCTGCATATCGCAATTACAGTGCCCGGGTTCACCTACCGTCTCTGTCCCTCTCTGCAATCTCTGTAATCTCAGCGCTGCTCTGCAGGTGCTCGCCTTGAGTCTGCGGTACTTTGCTTTCGGCGGGTGCTGCTATGCCATCCTGGGTACCATGCAGGCGACGCTAGTCCTGTACGCACTGTAAGGCAAGCCGGGGCGGGAGTACCTGGGTTCACGCCTGGCCTCACCTCACTGAGAAGGTAACCCAACTGAGCCCCGTCGTCCGTCACGAAATAACCTTCTTCCCCATCTGGGACCCTGAACGAGTTTCTGTATCGTCGCGTAAATCTCCCCTAATTCGCGTCTCTGGCCGGTATTCGCACATTCTACCCTTTTCCCTTTTGCCTCTCCTTTGCGGTCCAGTCATTCATTCTCGTTCGCGTTCCAATTCTCAATTCATCCGCTACCCGCCTTAACCCGCGACGTCACGCCACTCCACTCATTCTCTCGCTGTCGAGTGGACCCGCGTGTTCTCAGACAGTCAAGCCCCAGCCTTTCCAGCACGTCGCTGGCGTCCAGCGTCTAGGCGTCCTGGCGTGTCCCGGTGCTCTCCTCGCCTCGCCTCCCCCCCACCTCAACACCAAGCACCGAGCGGCACTTACTCTCCCATAGCCCGTCGACTACGCCGGCCGTCTCCCAATCGCCTTCACACCCTAGCATTAGCATCGTCTCCGGCAGCGACGTCGGCTCCCGCCCAGACCAGGCCACCGCTAAGAGATCAACATCCCACGCCTGCCGCCGTGTCGCCTGGCCCTGATCTTGATCCGTGTTGCTTGCCTGACCCGAGACAGCGCCCACTTGCAGGACATCTCCCCCCGATTTCCTGCTCCCTCCAACCTACCCTGGCCAACATCGTCACCGTGCCCTGTAGTAAGGAAATCCGAGCAGGCCGTCTGCTGCGCTACTGGCCCCTAGCCAAGAACCTTGCCTCGAGACTTGGAGACGCTGGGACTTGGAGGACTTGGGTCCGTGGTCTTTGCTTTTTGTGAGAGGGGTTTCACTTTCCTCCTTGTCTTTTGTTGTACTGCTCCACGGCGAGATCCCCCTTCAACATCCCCCCCTTTCAATTTGATCCCTCCTTGGGCACTGGGAATACTTTCTCTAAGCGACTGCTGGTACGTCGACTGCGATTCTACCTCGACTTTCTTCAGCTTCTGTCCTCTGCATAACTGCATGTGGACTTCGGCACCTTGCACCGTCACGACCCTCGGCTGCCGACTCCTCAGCGCCACTAACGGGTACATGCTCTAGGTCAACCGATTCCCACGAGGAACAGTCCTCCCAGCCGTGTCGCACACCAACGTTTCAACATTACCGCCTCCCTTGATCGACCGGACGCCTTCACTCCGCCCCCAGCCGGCATACACGCTATCGATTTGGATCTGAGTCGCACACGCTTTGGCGACGGAGGGTTGTACTGCGACATTCATCGACCGAACATTCATCTCGTTCTCGGGGTTCATGGACAACCGATCCCTTTGAAGGGAACACAGATCTTGCACCAGGTCTCCAACACCCGACCTGCGAGCATTCATTCCCTTATTCTCCGACTTAATCCATCGTCATCACCATGACGACTACCTTGCCGCGCCCATCGCGGCCATCTCTTGGACCTCCCAACATGGCCCTACCCGCTTTGCCAGTCAGCAAGACTCGCAAGAGCACTGGAGGTATCCCAAACGCGCCCTCAATCAAGTCAGCGCCTGGTACCCCTCGGTCGGGCCTGAGAACACCTTCCACAATGAGCCTTGTTCCCCCTTCACCAGCTCCGAAGGCAGCGCTTCCGCAGCCAAAGCTTGGAGTTCCTACAAATGGCGCTGGAAAGACCATCCGAAAAAGTGTGAGCATCAACTCGTTCCCTCAACCACCGCGGGGTGACACCCGTCCAAGTGGCGTGCCGCCCAGCCCAAGGGGCAGCGAGAAGAGCCGACCTGCCAGGAAATCAATGGCCTCCAACAAGGACTCAATATACAGCACTTTCGGGTCAAGTACCCCCAGCTTCCTCAACGGAAGCGCCGACGGCAAGTCCATTACCAGCGTGCGCATGTCAGATGGCTTGATCAGTGTCTCTTCACCACCTCAGAGCCGTAGCTCCTCAGCACAAGACTCGTATTCCACGTCAGCGACAACCTATGATGATCCAGCCGAGGGGTCCGCCCAGAAATCCGATTCGTCTGCCGACAAGTCTGCGTTGAAAGCAGACGGGAAGGGCAACGTGTTGGTCAGTGTCCGTGTCAGACCTGACGCAGGCAACAACAGCGGACACCCAGAGGGCGAATGGATGGTGGATGGACGGAAGTCACTCATCTCATACCGAGGCAAAGATGGTGGTGACCATTTCTATGGTATGCGGAATGGCGAACAAGATAAAGTTGAAAATGCTAATTGGTTCCGAACAGACAATGTCTTTACGACCCACGATAATAACTCCCGGGTGTACGATCATATTGCGAAAAGATTGGTCCGACGAGTTATGGAAGGTTATCACGGGACGGTATTCGCCTACGGTATGACCGGTACAGGAAAGACCTTTTCAATGCAAGGAACAGCCTCGTCACCAGGAGTGATTCCCCTCGCCATCACAGACATCTTCTCCTATATCCGAGAGACGCCTTCCCGGGAGTTCCTGCTACGAGTCAGTTACCTCGAAATTTACAACGAAAAAATCCACGATCTTTTGAGTATGCCTACGGGCAGCGGTGTCGGGGGCAACGCGCAACAGGATGAAATCAAACTGCGCGAGGACAGCAAGAGAGGTGTCTATGCCACGCCACTGAAGGAGGAGATTGTACAAAGCCCCACCCAACTTTTGCGAGTTATTGCCCGTGGAGACCAAGCTCGACGAACCGCTAGCACCCAGTTTAACGCCCGCAGTTCACGAAGTCATGCCGTTGTCCAGATTGTCGTCGAGAGCCGAGAGCGAATACCAGGCGGCAACGCTCCCGGTGGGAACAAGCGATCTGGTCTCCCCCCTGGCGGTGTCCGGGTGTCGACGCTGAGCCTTATCGATCTGGCGGGTTCCGAAAAGGCTGCCGAATCGAAAGAACGCAGACAGGAAGGAGCACATATCAACAAGAGTTTGCTCACCTTAGGAACCGTCATTGCGAAGCTTTCGGAGTGGAAAGAAAAGGAGGCCAAGGGTGGCGATAAGGAAGGAAAGCATCTTCCTTACCGTGACAGCAAACTCACACGCCTGCTCCAAGGCGCATTATCCGGAAACTCTCTCGTCAGTATTCTCTGCACCATTCAGACTGGTGCAGGAGGTAGTGCAGCATCAGCCAATAACCACACCCTCGAGACAATCAACACCCTCAAGTTCGCTTCGAGAGCGAAGAATAATATTGTCAGCCACGCAAAGAGAGCGGAGGAGGCACTTGGGGCCGGTGGTGACGGTGGTGCGCGAGTACTGTTGGAACGATACCGGATGGAGATTCTCGAGCTGAGGCAACAGTTGGATACTCAGGCTAAGAAAAAGAAGAAAGACACGGTCGAAGAGAACAAGATCCAGAATGAGGAGGAAGAGAGAGCCCGGGAAGTGGAAGCCGCAGAGCGTCACGAGGAACAGATTCTCGAAATGCAATTGGCGCGCACAGCACTCAAGGAACGAATCGATCACCTGAACCGCCTCATTCTCAGCTCCAAGTCGATTGGCGTCAACACAAACGGGTCCATGAGTTCCCTTGGGCAGTACGCGCGGTTCTCGCAGATTTCGTTGCCAGCGTCCATCCGATCATCAGTGGCAACCTCGACAGGCGGCAAGTCGATACTGGAGCGAACGTCGTCAATGACCTCGGCATCTTCAACTATTGGGCGACGGTCTAGCGGTGGAAACCAAAGGGCCACCGATGATTCGGGCGAAGCAGACGAGGATAGCGTCGGCGAATTCGGAGACGGGACAGCCTCTCTAACGGCGCAGAACCGTGCTCTGCAATCGGATCTTGCTGATAAGAATCGATACATCGCTACGTTGGAGAAGCGGTTGCTACAAGCCCGTCGGGCCAGCTCCTCACGCGCCTCCGTAGGGTTTGCAGCACCCAACAAGGCCATTATGGTTGGAGAGGATCACAGTGTATCTGCAGCACTCCGAGACAAGGACAACGAAATCGCCGATTTGCGAGCGAGACTGGATGACAAGGACCGGATGTTGGCTGCTCTGCGTACTGCTGCCCGGTCGCGGGATACGGCCGAAGCTTCGGCTGAGCCCCGGTCGCCGTTGTCGCAGGAGAGTCATTCCTCATTGCCAGGTAGCCCTCTGGTACCAGAAGCCGACAAGAAGCGGGCCCGAGGAGTCGACGAGATGAACAAGATGCTAGATGAGATGCTCCAAGATAGAGTGGAGACTGGACATGCGGTTCGGGGCATGCGGGGAAGTGTGCGAGTAGCCAATGGACAGAAAATGGATTCTTTAGCAGAGCCCATTCAAACCATGGAACCGCTACGCCAGAGCCCGACACCAGGACCTGCGGATGAACCGAGGACTGTCCCATTAGATGGATAGAGCGGAAGGGGGTTTGAGAGGAGGGAGGTTTGATTTTCTATGTTATTCTTGTGAAGAAGCCAGTACCTGGAATTTGAGCAAAGCAAGCGGCGTTGGGGCACGGGATACCCTTTCAAGGGAAGGAGGTTATTTGCGTTATACCCGATCACTTTCGTTTGTCGCGGGAAAAGGGAACACGGGAGAGGCGAGGCGAGGGAACATTGTTTGATTCATGATGTGGGCACCCGTGTCGTTGTTTCTGGGAGGCGAGAACGGGACAGCAACTGGCTCGACGAGACGAGAACGGGACGGGAAACGCCGCATATGTGTGTGAGTAATCTATCGTGACAAGAATGACGCGACGAGACGTCTACATTGGGACCAATTTCTTTTCTCGTGTGTTTTGCAGTCAAAATATCTCTATATATGTATTATAGTCGGGAAGCAGAGGACGCTCTGGACGGCGCTTTGTTGTTGAATGGGTTAGTTATGGAAACGAGAGGGCACAGAGCCTAGAGAATGACAAAGGACAAATCCATCTACTACACATTTGATTGTGACATTAGGATGAACTAGTTCGTGATATTTTGATATAGCTTTGAAGTCCTGGCGATCTGGATACGCGGATAGAATTAGCTCAGCAGGGACGCGATCTAGGTTCGAAGTAACAGTCGGGCTGACAACTCGGAGCTACATAGGTAGGACAAGCAGCTGTAGCTCAGACGAAGATAGAGACAAAACGCTTGGACTGACCACTGGTCAACGGTCAGCGGTCGGCTGACAGCAAGACAGTCTCGATCTCGCGGTTGAGAGATATTTTACAAGGACGTGGATTCGAGGAACTGACAGACGCCGACTGCAGGCCAGTGGGGTGCAGCCCGCAGGTTGCATGTCACAGACCGCATCGCTAACAGTGGCCGACGAACGTCATTGGTGGATATTGAAGGTCTCCTACGTATTGGGCTTGCGACAACGGCGGAGAGGACGCGTTGTCATCATTGTCGGTCGCCGTGTGTGGTGATGAGTCTGCAGCATGGCGAGACGTGAGCAGTGTGAGGTGAAGTGGCGGTGGGCAGCAGGTTGTGGATGGACAAAGACGGAAAGCATGAATGTGGGAGAGATGGCGAGACAGTGGGCGAAACTTGGGCCGAGGTGAGTCGCTGATCAAGGCAAAACAGGGGGCACAGTACGGAGTACGGATCAAGAGGATTCGCGGAGAAGATATTTTGTTTTGTTCTTCATTTCGTTTTGTTTCTTTCATTTCCATATCCGGGTCAGTCTGTATCTTAAAAAAAGGCATGTTTGGTCTAGACAGCTGCCAAGATGTTCCGATGCGAGGGTTGGGATCACAACTATTCCCAAGTAGATACACAGATACACACACCACGTAGTGTTAGTGGCAAACGCCGCGACTGAGAGATTGGGGATCCACACGGAGCAGACGGGACGAAATGGTGCTGCGGGATGCTGCAGGCCGTTGCTAGTGCATCTTGGTCTGTGGTCTGGCTGACAAGGACCCAATGACAAACGGGCCACAAGTCTGCGTCTGCTTCACACGAAGCACTCTCAAGGCGGCGCCGAGATTGCCATGGTCTGTTGAGCAGCTTGAGCTTCGAGCCAGGCCCGCAGTGATTGGCCCGCAACGCCTAGCAACCCTGGCTTAGACGTTGGACTCGCTGGTTGGGCTTTCAAGGTGAAACGGGCTAGCACAGAGGGGCGCAGCGGCCGCCTTTTTCGACGGGGCCTTATGGGGCTTTGGGCGCTGTAACCCCTGCCAAGCCACCGCGTTCCTGCAGATATTATGTCAGGGACTTGGGGACTTTGCGAGCCGGAGACGGGGGTGAGACTCTGGCCGCGGGTATTCTCGCAAGCCTTTCTCTATCAGAGAGTGACTCTGTGGTGAGGTACCCTTTTGCTGTTGTTTTCAGCCAGAGCAGGACGAGGCTGATCTGACGCAGGATGATGATGAAGGATGAGGAAGGACTGAAGAATGGCCACTAACTCGGCCCATGGTACGTGTGATATGTGCAATGCAGCACCTCAACCTTGCTACAGGAGTGGCTCCTTTGCCGGCATATGCGTTGCTTTTCCCATTGCCACCTTGTCTTGTCTTGATTATGTGTGTGTACGCGATCTGCCTATCGTTCTTCCAGCATAAACATGGTCATTTCGAAGTGTTCCATCTTTGTGAGGGGCGTCTTGTCTTGGTTGGCTGTCGAGCAACCGCCTCTGCAACCTCTAACTTCTTGCCTCGAGTCTGTGTATCGTGTGCCGGTGTCCTGTGTGTCATCATCGCACCGGTTCCCTGGTTTACGTTGACTCCTCTTATTACTGTGTGCTCCGTCCATACTACGTAGTATATAGCAGTCTTTGCTGTCAAAGTTTGCTGGTCCTTGTGCTTCGATCATCGGTGCTTGCTCATTCGCTCGTTCTCACGCACCCCTGAGATCATCAATCAATCTGCGACTAGGGACGACCGTTTGAGCCTCCCCGATGCCGCCGGCCTTGCGAGCTCGCAGCTCCATCTGACAGATATGGTCTGAGGGGCCGGGGGCCTTTTGAGCACAAGGTTTCCTAGATAGAGCTGTAGGATCAAGGCCACTCAAAAGTGAGAGATCAAAGCGTATGCCGTCCTATCATTTGCGTCTCAACACCACCCATCGTACACACTGTAACTTGGTGACGGTACCGAAGCGTCATTCAGCGCATGGCTCGTAGTACCTGAGAAGCGGTCTGGAGCTTTGAGTCTCGGTAAGGACGGGTCGCTTGCCACCTGTGTTCGTACCTACCTGCCTTGAGAAGGCACGACGGCCGTAGCCCCGGAGCACCCTTCCCATCCTAGTGCCAACGCCTTTTTAGCGATCAAACCCTGGACTGCATACTGCGTACACAAGGAAGGCACGCTGCACAACAACCCCAAGACCACCCCACGACAGGCACAGGCGCAACACGAAACCCTGCCATGGGCCTTGCCATGGAACGCCAACCCAGAGTCTCGGGGGTCTTCCCTGGCACGGCGGGACCCGTCTCCTCTGTTTAGGCGTCTTTGGTGCCCGCCAGAGTCCAGCGCCCAGGCCAACGCCAAAAAGCCATCATCCTGAATCCCGACGCTTCCTTCCTGCGCTGCGCTTCCTTCCTCCTCCTCACCCACCCCAATCTCACTCTCTCCATTTCTTCGCACGGGGGCTTGACGTCTTCCTCTGCACCCCGTTTTTTGTTTGTTTGCTTCTTCCGTCCGCTCTCTTCCGCATATCTTCATCTGCCTCTCCTTTGGCCTTCCGATCCGTTGATTCGATCCGCCGGCCCCTTGATCGTCCTTCTCTTCTCTCACGCCCCTCCCTTCCTTTTTTGCTTGGGTGTTTGTGGTTTCGACGCGCTCAATCATTTCCGGTCTCGCCTCATTGCTAGCTGACTCGAGCTTAAGCTGACCTGAGGAGCTTTGGCCGAGCTAGACAAGTCCCGTTGATGAATATTATCGTCGACGCCGTACTCTCTCCCACTTTGTCCTCGCCTTCCTCCTTTGCTCGTGTTTAAGCGCGGAGAGAGACGTTGGTTTCGTGCCTCCTCAGATGTAGCTTCATCTACCACGACTAACTCGTCTCTTTTTACTTCCCTGGTTGCACCAGCGGCTTGACGCCTTCTTGGATACACACTCCCTCTTCTTGTCACTCCTTCGTCCCTGGAACTTGTTTCGACGTCGAACGCCTTGACTTGCTTCACTTTAAACCACGATATATCATACTGTTGATCCTGACTCGAACCACCTCGTTCGACCTGTTCAACTTCACTCTCTTTGATCAACCATCGTCCTTCCTTCAAGACTTGAATACGATCCTTTCACCTCGACGTTACGATGTCGTCTCACTCAACTCACACCAAGATGCTGGTTGCCCCAGCTCGACTGAACCTCCGCCGAGGCGGCTCCTACAACCACCTGGAGCGTGGTCCGCTCTCTTCGACCTCTTCTCGGTTCAACTTCAACCACCTTCTTTTCTCCCCCCCGCCTTCACCGAGCCTTCCGGCCTTGGTTCCAAGACCCAAGAGGTCTCCCTCGCAGATTTTGGTCGCTCGGCCGAGCCGTGTCTTTCGCCGCCTTTTCCTTCTGGCGGGACTGTTTACTATTGTGTATTTGGCGGTCCTTCTCTTCGGGAACCGCGATGCCATGCCAGCGGTCTGGCCCTACTTTGCTCCGCAGGAGGACATCGAAATGGTTGGCCAGGACGCCCTCCCGGACTTTCCCACACCCGTCGTTATTAGCGACGTCAAAGGCCGATCGAAGTGGACCATTTCTATCCCTCACGATTATGATTTCCCCTTGTCCATTGACCAGTACGCAGACATGAGTGGACAGTGTCGAGAGGTCTCCTCCCGAGCCAGGGATCTTCATCACAAAACCCCCATCTCGGAGCAGACAATGCTAAGCTACGATGCTCCGGACGACTACTTTGTTGACGTGTATGAGGCCGAGAGAACTGGTCTGCTGCCTCCCCCTCCCAAGGGACTCCGCGCTGTCAAAGAAGTTGGTCACATTGTTGGAATGGACCAAGAATCAATCAAATACAAGCCCGTCTGCCAGAGCTCCATGATTTTCGTGTTGGAGACTCCGGATGCCGGCTTGGGAAACACTCTTATGATGATGTGGACGTTTTATGGACTGGCCAAGGAGCAAGGCCGGGCCTTTTTCATCGACGACAGTCGCTGGGCCTATGGTCCCTATACTGACATATTTGCCTCCCCTCCCATCCCCGACTGTCGGGCACCTCCTCGATACCATATGGTTCCCTGCCCATTCCAAGCTCGTCACTTGGTCGTCTCCAGTGTGACCGCAAAGGAGATCTTCCCGGCCTTGCTGGCCAAGAGTCACCGCATGGGTGGTGCCGACAGTGGGCTGCGTGGTCTCTTTGAACTTGCCCACACAGGGTACCAAGCTATGTTTGGCCTCAACAAGCAGGACCAGTCCTACGTTGATGGTCGCATCAATGGAATCCGGACCAAAGCCAAGGTAGACGATGCCAAAGTTCCGGATGTGCCCGTCATTGGACTCCATATTCGCCATGGAGACCAGCATCCCATCGAATACCAGTACCGTGATGGTTACATTCCCTCCGAGGTGTTCCTCGAGAGTGTCGGAAATCTCGTGGAAGAGTACTACAATAAGACATTGACAGACGCCGTCACCAGCCGCGATTTCATGACCATCCTCGCCACCGATGACCCGACAGTGTACGAGGAATCCGAGTTTTCCAAGGTCGTCGCCTCCCAGGAGCGAATCCGTCTAGCCTCGAAAGTGGCCATTGACGAGGCCAACCCTAACCCTCACGCGCTCCGCCACTTTGTCGACGAAACTTTTGGTTGGGAGGGTGGCTTCTTCGCACCCATGTTTTGGAACCTCGGCGTTGACCGCAAGAACAACGCCGCCAATGCCCCCAACGGCGTGGATGTGCACGATGTGAATATGGAGGCAAGACACATGGCGCCCCCATCGGAGGCGACGCTGAGATTGCGGAGCCTTATCGGACGGGCGTACATGATGGACCTAGCAGTACTTGCTGGCGCAAGTGACCAGGTGGTTTGTGCCGTGAGTGCCATGGGGTGTCGACTGTTGGCTGTGATGATGGGCTGGGAAGATGGCATCGAAAAGGCCGGCTGGGTGAATGTTGATGGGTCGTATGGGTGGACTGGAATCAACTGGTGATCCTTGAAAGCTCAATGACTGTTCTGCATTTACTCCCGGCGCATTGATTTGTTCGTTGTCTCATAATTCAAGGAGGCTTAGATGGTTTGAAAATATACCCACCCATTTCACGGGGCACTGGTAGGCGTTGGTTGGTGGCATGTATACATTCTTACGTTCATTGTACCTATTACATCAAATAATCAGGCTCATATGGGCAAGCCGGTTTACGGTTGGATCTCAACGCAATACAAAACCATACCATGTTGACAGTTGATGAACCAGATGGTCCATACAGAATATCAGTGAATGCACGAGCGCAGACTGATCTCTCTTGTGGAGGCGAGCATAAGCTTCCTTACGTGAATCAGTGCACGAATAGCCTAGCGCTTTTAATTTATTAATAAAATCAGCTCCATTCAGTGATTCAATGTAATGAGGATACGTCCTTGCTCGTTAGCCTCAAGTCCAACCTGCGGTGGCTTTATCGCGGATAAAAGTGGGGGTTCCGCCACGCTTCCGCGTCTCACGCCTGCAGCTTTGTACCTGACTTTAACATTGCTTGTTGCCTTTCAACTTCAACTCACAACTCACCACACACGCTCGTCATCGCGAACCGATTTCTGACCGTTGCCTCACACCTCAGAGGCCTGCGCCCCGCGTCTCGTACAATTATCGCGGATGACCCTTCGTCGGATTGATACAGGGCGCTCGAACTTGCACCAGGCTCCTCTGCGTCAAGCAGAGAGCATCGCCCACTGCTGAGCTACGCCAACTTCTCGAGGAGCGTTCCCAGTCGCCAGCATGTCTGCACCCGCGCCTGGCGCTGGCTCCGCGCCGCCGCCGAAGCCGCGACTCAAGATCAATGTCAGCAGGTCTTCGTCCTTTGTCGCTGACGCCAACGCGACACCCTCCGCAACCGCCGCCGCCGCGCCCACACCCACTGAGAACGGCTCTCGAAAGGTCAAGCTCAAGATCAGCCACTCCACCCCGACGACTCCCGCCGAGAAGCCCCCCGCAAAGACCAAGGCCGGAAGGCAGACGAAACCGACGCAGAAGCTGGTCGAGAGTAAGAAGCGGCCACACGATGACGACGACGACGAACCGCTCTCCGCGTCGCACCCGACGACCAAGATCAAGCTCAAGGCGACCAAGTCCAACATGTCCAAATCCGCAATGACCAAATCTGCCATGTCTAAGTCCGCGATGACCCCGACGCTGGTAGTGAAGCCCAAGGGTCGGGCGCCTATGCATCCGCCTGGCGATGGGTACGACTCCGAAGCGAGCGACCGGGAGAAGGACCCCTCGATCGAGGAGCAGTTTGTTCTACGGATGATGCCAGGGGAGCATTGCGACTACGTGCGTTGGTGTATGGAGAATAGCAAGATGGGTGTTGCGCGAAGCATGGGCGGAGCCGATATCCAACTCAAGTTCTTCGAGGAGGACACGCGCCGAGCAGTCTTGACGGTCAAGGGCCAACGATATGCTGCCGTCATGGTCGATTTGCCCACCATCACCGAGGCGATGAAGACGTGGGATCGCAAATCCTTCCTCAAGTCGGCCGATATCTGTCAAATGCTACTGGTATTCCAAAGGGTAGTCTCCGATGCCGAAGCCAAACAGGCCCCCCTTCCAAGCATGATCGACACGCATTTCAAGTGGCCGCACGGATTGACGCCGCCCATGCATGACTGTCTGAACCGCCGCTTCGCCAAGACCATCAGCCGGAAAGAGATTGAAGACAAAGAAGCCGAGGTCGAACGCCTGCTCGCAGAGGACTCTAAGGCCGGTTCTACCAAATGGGAATGGGTCGACGAACGAAACCAGGATGGCGACGACGAGGATGGTGATGAGGACGCCGAGGGCGAGGTGGACGACAGCATGGACTACTTCCAGAGCCAGGACATGTTCGGTGAAGATGGTGATGACGATCTCGAGGCCGATCTAGAGGCTGCCTTCGCGGACGACATCATGGCCGAGACGCCCGCCACCGGCCTGGACATGGGAACGCCCATGACGGGTACTCAGGTCAACACCCCCGCGGTGCACGATAGCATCGAAGCCGACGAGTCTGAGGAGATTTCAGACGATGACGATGATGATGACGACGATGATGACCTAGACGACGACGCCCGTGCCCAGCGTGACGAGGAGCAGGGCGTCAAGGACATCATTGCCGACCTGCAGAAGCAGCTAGGCAACAAGCAAGTCGAGTTGGGTCGCACCGCCAACAAGATCCTGCGTACTCGTCTTGAGGCCCAGATCAAGCAGCTCAAGTCGGAGATTGAACTCAAGAAATCGTCGATTGGCATTGAGATCGATGACTAGGATGGATGATGGGGTGATGGTGCGGAGGATAAGAGCAGGTTTTTCATGGATACTATCAGGAGGCAAAATGGCGTTTGAGGTGTTTACCAGGACGGGGAATGGGAGGCTGGTTTGCGGGTTCAGAGTTAAAATACCACGTCCGTATATGTTAATGCCCATAAGGACTTTTGTTACAATATATTGCTCCTTTTGAACGATTACTTGACACTGCTCACTCTCGTGTGCTCATATGATCGCCACTATAGCCCCTTTCATGCACCACTAAATCATCACACAATCACCCACCTCGCTACAACTCAAGACTCCATCGCTCGTTCCAAGAGCCTCGCCGATCTCTGCCCATTGACCACCAAGACATCCTTGACCATGTCGGTAACATCCTGCCACGCCACATCCCGGCAGAGCTCCTCGAGGTTCCGCGGCTGGGGCAAAGTCTTTCCCGAAGTGAGAGCAGCCCGGAGGCGAATTCGTTTCTGGAGTGAGCGCTGGAGAAGGACTGCCATGTCCGGATCTCGCTGCGATTGTTTCTTTAGATAGTTTGCGGCGAACTGGGAGTCCGGGAGCGGGGTGACTTTGTGGTCGCGATTCCAGCGGCGGGTGGAGTTGATTGCTTCTTGGATCCGGGACTTGATGTTCGCAGCTGCTGTGTCTATGAAACCAAGTCAGCTAATGGATGTTTTGATTGGAACGATAGTGTTGTTATACTTTGTTGGTCTGGAGGCTGTGTGTCAGCCTGTGGGTTGGCACGGCGCATCGCCCTTGTCTCCATACCGCGAGAAGGTGCGGCTGGTGCGACTGGTACTTGAATGTCCCTGTTTATATCATCGAAGCTTGGAAACTGGTCAAGTTGGCTATCAAGGCCGTCAATGAGGCCCTTCAGATCCATCATTTCCCTCCTAAACCCATCAATGACCTCAGTCGTCTCCCGCTGCTGCCTCTCGAAGCCACCCTTCAGGTCCACTTGCCCATCTGTCGCCGTAGCCATGAGCGTCTTCACAGCTTGGATTTCGCACATCATATCAGCGAGACGCTTCTCGTTTTCACGCCGGAACTCCTTGTCCAGCTCCGTGCGCAGGACGAGCTTGCGGACCTCGTTCTCAAGGTGCTCAGCGTGGCCACAGACGGCGCGGAGGTTGAGTTCGAAGGTCATCTTGGTAAGTGCATCGGCCTGAGCGAAGAGCTTTGGGTTCTTAGTGGGCGCAGTGAAGGAACCTGACGAGGATGCTGTGGTGAGGTTTTGTATGCCGCCTTTGGTTGCGGATAGGTCATGGCTAGAAGTAGCCCCTGGGGGGACTGAACGGCGGCGCTTCTGCATCATTATCGTTGAGAAGAATGGTGCAGGTGTCGTTGGAGCCGAGCGTGAATAGGCGCATCCGTATAGATGTGTGAAGAGGACAGGAGTGGAAGAACCAACTTAGACAGAGTTAGTGTAGATTCTGTGATAATGGGATAGAGGCTCCTTCGGGGAGTTGGAGGTTGAAGATGCATTCAGAAATGGCTTGGAAGTTTAGGCTCTTGTTTGCCTCAGTGTATGAGGCAGGTACTTTAGATGGCAGGCACCTTAGGTAGTTGTGGGAAGGGGACCAGTCGAGGAAGGAGCAACGGGATCCAACACGTGTAACTACCTTTACCAGGTGCCTACAACACCAACCAGATGCACATACCAGGCATCATAGCACCTCGACACATTGAAAACACTTTATCTGGAAACATACGTGGGGATCTAAGTGGGATTAATAAGACATATGGATCCTTCTCCGCGGCCAAACAGCAGACCTCGATAATAGCAAGAGAGTTGGCACTCCAGCATCCTCTTCACGGCTTTTGTTCGTCAGCTGTTCCTCCTTCTTCTCCTTCTCCTCCTCCTCCTCCTCCAAGCCCCTTCAATATCTCACTGCCCTTCTTCTCCCTCTCTGTCGCAACCCACTGCATAAACATATCCACATCCTTGGCAATCTGCCCCGGCACCGCCATCCGCTGCATCCACGCCGGCAACACCCCACCCGCGTTGGACGCCGTCCCCATGATCCACTCGATCTTGCCATCCGCTGTCTCCCTCACCACTTCGACGCTGGTGTACGCCGCTCGCACCGTGTTCTGATGTCCAGCAGCTCCGGCCTCTGTCTGGTCGTCTCCGGCTTGCGCTGCAATCTGCACCACCAAAAACTCCCGCCTCCCACGCACCGCCGCCGTGGCCTGCACCACGGGGAACACGCGCCGGTGTAGTGGTGCCGGCAACTGGTGAACCGACTCCTCGCTGCGTAGCGTCCAGTCGACCCATGCCGCGCCGCCGGCCTCTATCTCGACCTCAACGCCCGCGCAGTCCCACTCGCGGCGTCGCTCCGTGCTGGCGATGTTCGGCGTGAAAGCCACCTCCGCCTCGGCGTGCCGCTCCTTGAAGCATCGCACGAATTCAGCCCAGGAAGCCGTGCCCCCCGTCGCCGTGTCATCGTGTACGCTCTGGCGCAGCGCCCATGTCTCAGGCTTGATGTTCCTGGCGTCCACGCCTAGCGGATGGTGCTCCTCGACGACGGCGCGGAGGTGCTCGGTTGCTACGGTGCGCTCGTAAAGCTTAACTATCGCAGTAGAATGGGGGAAATTCTTGGTGGACTTGGGCTTCCACGCAGAGGTACCAGAAGAGGAGGGTTCTTGGGCGAGATTAATGAAGGGCAGCGCCTCCTTGAGAATCGACGTGAGCAGAGGCCTGAGGTCGTCGCCCTTGGCTCCGGCGAGCGGGAGCTGAGAAGGATGGATGCCCCAAAGACGGACCAAAGGGCCGTACTCTTCCCCCATTTAGACTTATGTAAGAGGCTGCCCCCTCGAGTTAATATGATGCGTGGGCGAAATATACTAAAGCACAATGCCCTTGGTTGGAGCTTCGGGTGGTCGGTTATTTGGCTTGAGTTTACTATTGATCTTATCAGCACGTCGCGTCATCAACTACGCGGCCAAGGTCTTCGAAGCTCACAATAAATGTAACCGGGTAATGGCATACAAGCCGCCTATCTCGACTCTCGCGTCGGAGTGGTCTAGGAATGTCTAAAGAAGCTGAAAATACACATCGGGCTCGGGTCTTGGAGGTTGGTGTCATGACGAGATGCTGCCGTCTTACCCCAAGTGGGGTTTACTCCCGGCATCTCAGTGCCGACCTACCCAGGAATTAACGTACACCCATGACAGCCAAACTACACATGTCACATCACCGTGTCAGAGTCGTCATCACGTCTTTCTAGCTTAACGGTTTTATATTAAGATATGTATAATGTACTGCCGGGGCACTTTGTCGCCACTGCACAGCAAAAGGTTTTCATGCCAGCCAAATCATTATGTTCTCAACTCCTCTGCACGCCCGTCGCATTGCTGCGTATATACAAGTTTGACGTTTTTCTTCACATCCAATTTAGTCTCGCTTCTCCCAGTAGATGTTGGCAGGCTCCAGGGGTCGCGAGAAGAGCGACGCGTAGTTGGTGCCAATGAGGGTGTTTCCGCCGTCCACGTTGCGGAACTTGTATTGGCGGACAGTCTCAGCGACGATGGTCTGAAGCTGCAAGTTGGCAAAGTGCTCGCCAATGCAGCGGTGGCGACCAGCGCCGAAAGGCAGGTAGGGAGAGGCAGAGCCCTTGCTGACCAGGCCGTATCCGTAGTCGATCTTCTCCTCATCCTCGACGGGAGCGCCGTTGCGAATAATGGTAGGGGCGTTGGGGGAGTCGACCTCCCAGCGGTGAGGGTCCCAGAGGTCGGGGTTGGGGAAGTAGGTAGGGTCAGAGCCGCTGACACCGGGAGCGGCAAGGAGGGTATGGCTGGTCGGGATGACGAACTTAGTGCCGGGGACAGCCATGGGTTGCTTGACGGCGCGCATGATAGAGTGAATGGGAGCGTGCAGGCGGAGAGTCTCCTTGATGATAGCCTGGTTGAGGGGCAGCTTGGCCAGGTCCTCGTACTGTAGCGGGGGGAGATCGGCGCCGAGAGCCTTGACCTGCTCCTGGTAGAGCTCTTCCATGATGTCGGGGTTCTGGGCGAGGCGGAGCATGATCCAAGAGCTGGTGGAAGAGGAGGAGTGCTGGCCAGCCATGAGCAGGGCAATCATCATGTGGGCGACCTCGTGGTCGGGAACCTTGGTGCCGTTCTTGTAGGTTGCGTTCATGAGATGCTTCATCATGTCGAGCTCCTTGTCAGCGTCGCCCATAGCGCGACGCTCATTGATGGTGTCCATGTAGATCTTGGCAACGGTGCGCTGAGCATGGTCACGCTTGCGGTTCCAGGGGAGAGGGGCCCAGTGGAGCACGAAGTTGATGGAGGTGAAGCCCATATCGAGATCGTGGTAGAGGGAGGCGAGGGAGACGTCAAACTTGTTGCGGATGATGCTGCCCTGAAGGGCATGAGAGGCAGTGAAAATAGTGATCTCGGCCATCCTCTTGGGGATATCGACAACGCCAGACTTGCCCTTGAAGTGAGTGCTCTTCTTGAAGTAATCGTTGACCTCGCCGGAGATGATGGGGACGTAGGTTCGGAAGGCTTCGGTGGTGAGGGCAACCTTCATAAACTGTTGACGCGGAGGTCAAGTTAGCGATGGTCGTTCGGATATCAACAAGAAATGGAGTATAGGGGGGATTGCGAACCTTCTTCTGCTCCATGAGCTTGGCGTTGGGGCAGTCGTAGACGACATCCTTCCCGAAGACAGGGGTAGTGAGGACGGTGTAAATGTCCTCAGCGCTGACGTCTTTGAGCTTGCCATTGAGGATGAAGTCGTTTCCGGTGGGGCCCACAGCAACAGTGGTCTTCTTGCCGAGGAGGACGAAGGTGAAAACATCACCAAACTGGAGGGGCTACTGTTAGCGATTGCGACCAAGGACCCGAGCCGTTCGCAGCATAATGCTGCCACATTGCGGTGCGCGCGGTTCAATGGGCTCGTCAGAAGTGTATTGGAGACTAACCTTGGCGCGGTTGTCCTTGAAGAACTTGGGAGGATCCATGCCATAGATGACGGTGCTGCCGATGAAGGGGAACCAGTGGAAGACCATGGGGGGTTCGTTGGGGTTCGCGAAGAGGAGCTGGTTCGCGACATTGAGGAAGACAGAGAGGAAGATAAAGGCACCGAAGCCAATGGCGACCTGGGAGCCGAGTCCCAGAGTCTGGAACTGCTGGGCGAGCGGGTGGCCCGCGAGCTCCTGGAGGAGGCCCATCGCGAGAAGGCAGCGGGTGGGTGTTTTGTTGGTGGCGGAGGCGACTTGGCTGCAAGTTGGCGTGCGATCTTCGGGGAAGAACAGAGGCAATGCGGTAAAGAAAGGGAGTCCCGATAGGGAGGGAGAGAATGAACAGCAGAGGAGCCCGCACTTCAAGTATCTTGATCGAGGACCAAGATGAAGACGCAGGAGAGGATATGGAGTAGAGAGGAGATGGACAACAGCGAAGGAGATTAACTGATATGTAATTGCCCGACGTTTTTTTCAGACAAGGGGACCAGGGGACCACAGCCAAGAGGGACAAGAGGGCGGACCAGGGGGAGGCGCTGGGCGGGTGGGGAGTGCCATCAGTCGGGGGAAGGACCCACCGCTAACTTCCACGCCGCCGTCTGCTCTGTATTCGTACTTGACGCATTGGGACTGTGAATGAGGCGTGATGGCTGCACACAGGCGGTGTACCAGGCCCCCTGGAGGCGCTGTTCTGTGCTCTGCCGTGCCCTGTGGCGCCTTGGAGTGCCCTGGAGCAATCCCCTGCGGGTTCTCCCACCTAAAGAACGATGCCCGTCCTGGTGCCTGGCGGGCGGCAGACGTCCAATTACCCGTTCCGTTCCCTGCTTGGGACGGCACTGGATGCACACTTAGGTAGACAGCCGACAGTCTAAGGCGACCAGGCGCGGCGCCCATTGGCTGCTCGTATTCGTATGTTGTTCAAACGAGATCCCCCACCACCCTTTGCTCACCACTGCACCAAACAGAGCCTCCTTTCACTCCCTGTGGCGGGGATTCGCAGCGGTGCATGATGCGACCTTTCATGGCGGTCCATCGTCCCAGATGCTGAGGCTGCTCGCGGGCAATGCCGTCGCCCCAACCATGATGCCCCGGTCCCCTGTTGTTGTTGGTGGGCTCTGGCGCGGCTTCTATTGACACGCATCTCGGCGCAGTAGTCGTAAATTACCACGCGGGAAAAGGACCCTCCTACTGAATGGGCCGATAAGTTGTCAGCAGCATTGGTGATTGGGCTCCAGGCGCCTCGTCCCTCCTTTGGGAATTTCTGGACTTTTTCTGGCCGATCCGAATAAGAACGCGACCTGATTCAGCATGCCGTCGTCACCGCCCGCCATCACGACCCGTTACCATCTCCCGCCACTCATTCCCCTTCCCAGTCCCGATCCCTGATGAACCCGATGAATAAGACCATTTTGAAATCTTGCCAATTGGTCAATTGGAGTTCTTTTTTTTTTTAAATGGGTTGGATGAGCGTCATCACGCCATGTCACCATCATCACATGCTCCTCTCGCCGAGTCGACATTTCGAAGAGGACTTGTACGTCCACACAAGATGCTGACCGATGCTGACTTGCATCCCCAACTTGATTGATCGTATCCGGCATCTCACGTATCATGCCACAAACCCATTCGTCTCCTATTCTATCATTGGTAGCCACGGTAGATATTGCAATTGTAGATACCCGCCAGTTCGTAACTAGTACCACACACGTCTTCAGCCCATCCCCTTGCCAAAAGGAAATCTGCCGAAAAAAACAACCCATACCCATCGTACCCTGCTTCCAAAACATGCCTTCCCCTCCCCGCAAGTTCTCCCTCCCAGTTCTCTGACCATCTCATCTCATCCCATCCCATTCCCATCCCGGATCGCTCCGATCATCGACTACCGTGCCTCCGCCCCGCTAGTGGGCTGACCTGGCCTGCTGGCGACGCTCGCGCGCGACGTGCGAGCAACACGCGGCCCGCCTTCCGTATTCGGAACGGACCCTGAAACGCCAACGTTGTGCCCCGGCCCGGCGCCTGGATCCCCGGACGCCGGCGACCCGCGCTCTGCCGCGATCCATCGGAGCAGATGACCGGACAAGGGACCGCTCCGGGATACCAGAGCGCCGACGTGAGGGACGATTGTGCACACGTGACATGTTTCTTATTGAAGTGATCAACCGTTGGTATGTCAAGCGTGTTCGCTCCCGATCTCGAAGGACCCAAACAACCAAAGTAGAACGTATGCTATCGATTATCCCGAATTCGAACCCGAGCTGGCAAAGGTCCCAGACACTTCAATTTCAAACGCCAATCTCGGAGTATATTCTCACTAGTTTGTTGAACAGATCTATCGAAGCGCACTCCTGATGCAACCAAATCTGCCTACGCGCTCACCCTACACGACATATCTACGTAGTGAGCTAATCCTTTGCTGCGCAATGCCTCCGGGGAACAAAGAGGGGGACGCCACATGTGTTCTTGGGCATCATTAGCGTGGCTGTGCCTGTCGTGTGGCTATCGCTCTCGCCCAAGTCAGCCGCAAGGTGATGTCTCTTCGGATGCAACCGTGCCTCTGTTTCCCAATGGGTCGCATTCTTAGCAACAGCCCAAACTTTGGTCCCCAGGTTTGGGACTTTTTCACGTCTCCGAGTAGCTCTAGCCCTGTATCTTAAGTCCACTACGACCGGCGGATCCCTGTTGAAATCTGTGGCCCGGCTTTCTCTTGGCGCAGATATACCTTGGTTCACTTCAGGATAAGCTCACAATAAATGCCGTGCGAGGCACACTAAAAGAAATGAAGAGACGAAAGAAAGCATCTGGTGAGAATATGAATCATGTGCTACTGGACGCATATGATACAGCCATAGAGAGAATCAACAGACAGAAGCCCGGCCTGAGGGAGCTTGCAATGCAGGTCCTCTCATGGATCACTTGCGCCAAAAGACCACTCACGACATCAGAACTTCAGCATGCCCTTGCGACAAAAAGGAACAAACCGGTCCTTGATCCTGGAGATCTTCCACAGATTGGAGATATAGTCTCTGTATGTGCTGGGCTAGTCACAGTCGACCAACAAAGCGACCTTATCCGGTTGGTCCACTACACAACGCAGGAATACTTTGACGCAAACCGAACGCTATTTTCGAATGCAGAAGCCAATATCACAGCAACTTGCGTTACCTACTTGTCATTCGATGTCTATGAGAGTGGGTTCTGCCCGACCGATGAGGAAATTGCAGAGCGGATAAGATTGAAACCCTTCTACGACTACTCTGCACAGTACTGGACCGAGCATGCTCTTAAGACTTCAACTCTATGCCAGGAGGTCATTGAATTTCTTGAATCCGACACAAAAGTCTAGTTATCTGGCCAATTACTGATACCATGGACAAGGAGATACACCCAAAACGACCCAGTGTATATGACTGGACTGCACTTAGCAGCATACCTCGGGATTATGGATGGCGTACAAGTACTGATCAATAGGAATCCCGTGGACCCGAGGGATAATTTCGGCAGGACACCACTATTATATGCCGCCAAGAAAGGACAAGAGGCTATCGTTGAGCTGCTTCTCAGTAAAGCCGACGTTGGTGCTAGAGATTTGGATGACCGAACACCGCTTTCGTATGCTGCCGAGCAAGGGCATGAGGCTGTTGTCAAGCTGCTCATTGATACGGGAAAGGTCGACGTCGATAAGGGAAATGTGCATGGCCGAATACCGCTTTCGTGGGCCGCCGAGCAAGGGCATGAGGATGTTGTTAAGCTGCTTCTCGATACAGGAAAAGTTAACATTGATGAGGCACTCTCGCGGGCTTCTAAGAAAGGGCATAAGGCTGTCTTCAAGCTGATTCTCAAATACAGTAGCTGGTACCGCAGGAGCTCATCGTTTGCAGCGAGGATATAATGGCAGAGTCAAATTATTATCTGAGAGTAAAGCGTGTATGGCACTGGTGTTACTGATGGATACCCTTACAATTGGCGGCATTGAGCACACACAAGTTGAATCACTGCCTGCGACAATTTCTGAGGGTCTTGATCTTAGGTATAAAAGATCCTGGTTTTTTTATCGTAGGCGTAGGTTAAGGTCTTTGTCTCGCTACAATAGAACCCCAAATCGACCGAGCGGGTAGCCATGATGGATAAGAGGGATAATTAGGGAAAGTAAGATAGACGCCCTATGCACCGACACTCAGAATACGGATTGGGTGCTGCTTGTAGACCTTGCTTGGATATAATTAAGTAATTATTTCGATAGTAATCAGATCCATCCTCACAGTGCAACATCTTCTTAACCCTCGATTTCGTCCCATCTCAAATATGCATACGGAGGGCTCTTTCAAAAGTCTTATCCAAGCGCTAGTAATATCATATCCATTTATCCCTATTGGTTACCTGAGATACATAAAGCTGTTACAGTCTCGTTAAACGGCTGCTGTAACTTCAGGAGTAGTATGCTGCTGATCAGGATATAGCGGTTGCTATGTGCTGTAGCCTACTATCCTTTAGGGCCTATAGAAATCAGGAAGTACTTAGTGTACTTATTATCTAACCTAATGATCAGGACTTACTTCTTATGGGTAAGACTTTTGAAAGGGCCCTCCGTAATCTGTACATGAGATATTCTAGGGGAGGATACCAGACGACATCCCAGGCTGATTGCCTAGCCCCGTATGACCTAGCACTCTTCTTTTGTCTTTGCTAATGCAAGCCGTTTCTTAACACCTAAGTTTCTAACCTTGGATGCGTCATTGTAGTTGAAGAAATTATCATCGGCCATATCCAACTTCGTTCCCCAAGGCACGTTTGACCAAACCACGGCCGGTTTGACTCTCCTGTTCAACCAATTACCTGGCGGGAACAATGGTTCTCGGGTTTGGGATTGATCCAGAAATAATAGAATTGGCTAGTTCGAGCAATCATTATGCCCGTTACTTGATGGAGCCTACTAACCTTAAATACCACGACCAAAAACACAAGAAAACGGGTATTAGTTGGGTGTTAGCCATGCTCCTCTCGGGCTTAGGATGTGGATTTTATCAACAAAGCAGCACTTAATGTTCCATACAAAAGCAAGGAGCTGCAATACAAACGAACCACCACAAGAAACGTGCTTCTTTAAGAAGCTCCAAGAGAACTATTTTACCGGCATATATCATCGAGGAGAATCATTGACGCCTTGAGTTGAGTATCTACCTGATGCGATACCTGATCCATATGATTAAATGACCATGCCAACCTTGTCTCCGAGTATCCCAATGTATCCCTGCCAATTTGAAGGGCAAACAATAAATGAAAGCACATGCCATCCGGCCTGTGCTAATAAATAAGAAACGCCGGCATTGTCTCGACAGGGCCGTGGCTTGCGTATCTCGTGAGAATACACATCACTCATCGGTCCGAAACGCCCCCAGATATTGTCCAAAACGGAGACCCGCCCGCTCCTTGTGACCCAGACTGAAAAATTAACACAGGGTCAACCGAGATCTAAGCGACGATGCTCTTCCCCACGGCTCCCCACCGGAGCCGCCGCAGCCCGCTGCTAGACGACCGAATAACTTCGCCGCCACAAGACGTTGTTTCGTTAACGCTGCCAACACTGACCGCCAGCGCCTCCTGCTTTCCGACCTCCCGGCCGATGACATAGCCAGCCCCAAAGCCCACAACAGACACGAGGACGACGACACCAGCACTGACAACCCATGTGAGGAGAGTAGGAGAGATGAGAGTCTCCTCGGACTGAGCAATCTTCTTCTTCTTGGTAGCCCGTGGTACCGAGCCAGTTACGGCGCCGTGCTTGATCTTCTCCGCAGATGCGGATCTGGTTGGCGAGCCCCGTTTCCGGGGTGGAGTCGGGGTCGCATGTCGTGCACGTTGGGCCCGCGAAGGATCCGCATCCAACTCCGACTCCGCAACCAGTCGCAACCCCATGGGCTGCGAGCTAGGGCCCACTCCAGTGTTGGAAGCCCGTTGGACTTCCGCCTCCTCCTTGGACTTGGGCAAGCCTCGGGCAGCCGCGGCGCAAGAGAGGAGTGTGGTCAGAGACGCTCGCAGGGCGGCGTCGTTTTCTTCGCGAATGGCGGGGGACATGAAGTTGGGGCTTCCTTGGTTGGGCCGCACCTGAGATCGCTGAGAGAATGATGGTCGTGTAAAACCACTGTGGGGATGAGGTGGAGGTGGCATAGTTGAAGGGGCAGAGCTGTTTCTCTGATGAGTTTGCTGTGATAGGGGATGTGAGAAGGCATTTGGCTGTGGTCGGAAGACGGGTTGGTCAGATGCTCGCCCTAGCGCGGTGACGTTATCACCATCAGAGTCGGCGTCTGAGTCCACATCCATCTCCTCCTCCGACGGGTGCACGTTCTCCGTCGAGCTGGTTAGGACTTGATCATCCTCGCTCTCGCTCTCACTCTCCTCGTATTCCTCCTGGCTGCTTGCCTCGGCGGCGGCGGCGGCGTGGATGGCTGTCGGTTGCTGCGGGAGCGACCTGGCCGGAGGTTGTAAGCGGCGGCGGCGGGCATAGGGGCCACCGACGCGCAGCCCAGTGGTGACGATTTCATCGCCGATGCTGGAGAGGGAAGACGAAGAAGGTTGCGAAGATACCTCTACCCATGATTCTAGGCTCGTTAGTTGGAAAGTCGGATGGCAGGAGGAGGGCGAACACAAACCATCGAAGCGTCTCTGTTGCGGGAGGCCGGGGCTTGATCGCGAACCGGCTCGCGACACCCGGCCACCTTGCCAGCTCTGGCTCGTTTGCTCGGCCATGGTTTATTGTTTTTGTCCGTATGTCGATTAAGTCAAAATCCGACTGAAGTTCTGGGAAGCCTAGGCTGAATGAAAGTGCCTGATATCGGTCGGATGCACCGTAGACCTGCCAAGTCAACGTAGGAGAGCGCGCTTCGCAACTCTGCTTATCAAAGGATGATGAACCAGGGAGGCGCTCTGGGATGATGTTTCGGCAGCAAAAGCGATGCCGGGCGGGAGATGAGACGTGTTGGGAGGAAGTGACGGATAAGGGAACAAAAAAAAAGGAGGCTGTGATGATGACCTGGGCAGCGAAGTCGGGGCTGGGTCGGTGAGGGATGGACGGAGTGGTGGTTTGGGTTGCCTTTGTTGGAGCACGAGAGCATGCCAAGTTGCCCGTCGATAAGGATCTGCGTACTAGTACTTGTAGGGTGGGTGGGGGGACAGTGCGAGCGCATCACGCGCCGACGTTAGATCACGGACAGGTTGGCTCGAGACCGATCGCGTTTCTTTCCAGTTTGGCATGGGCAACCATGACGAAAGCGCCCAACCGCACTGTGCTGGGTGGTCCCGCGGATGGTGAGGCAGCCACGGCCATGTACCAGTACGCCGTGCCCCCGCCCGGCTCAGGTGCACGAACCGGCCGGTCATGAGCTTGCTCACCAAGCCGACCAAGCGGGGGCTACCCAAAGCAGTTGAGAGGCTTGCGCCTAGGTACCTATCCATACATCCACGCGCACGCAGCGCAACAGCGCAAAGCAGGCCGGCACAGCAAAGCGGCATTCTGGAACCCGCGCGAGCCTGCATTTGTTGTTCCTAGAACGCACAGTGCCCAACGTGCAAACGTGCAAACAAGGGCTTATCCGATAGATCTGCCTCCCTGCCTGATCTGAATCTAGCCAACGGCCCTGTCATGTCCTGCCCCGTTCTGGTTGAGATGGCATCATCTGCCGCTGCTATCAGCTGCCGTGGCGCATTCCCGCACACCATGCTTATGCTTCCACGCCTGCGTCACCTCCACGCAAGGTCTCTCCTTGTGTGTACACAGTACCGGTACTGCAACGCCACATACTCGTAAATGATTCACATCCCGCTCAGTGCTCACAGCGCAGCTTCAAACAAAGAAAGAAATATCCAAAACATTACCCTTGCCTGTTGAGCCTTCCATCACCCCTCCTGTCCCCTCGTTCATCGTGCCAGCCCGCCCCACTCTGTTCGACATCTCTGTATGGAATGGGGCAAACATGCGAGTGAGCATCTCATCGACAGACTACAGTCAGGCACTAATTACTTGCTCACGCGTGGGGCTCCCTTATTACAACTGCACACGCCACACGCGCTGTCTCAGTATCGGCCGTCGACCATCCTCAACGCGCCAGGCTCTCCAGGGTCAAAACGTCCTCTTGATAGGCTGGGGGCCTCTAATGTCTCGAATCATCCAGTCCTCAGCTTTGAATGAGCCCACAACTCGGCCGTTTTGACGTGCGGCATCATCTTAAAACGAGCAACACCTGACCTCAGACCGAATCGTTCGACTGCACGAGACTCATCATTATAGTACACGCACTAATTTAGGGATCACTGGAGCGGGTGACGTCATTTGTTTAATCGCAAAAAACATGATCAACTTTTATTACGCCTCTAACTATGTGTCGATGCCGATTATCATCGAAAAGCACGCGGCAGTGGGATACTTACCGATACAGAAAAAACAAAAGCGACTCGGATGCAAGTGTACAAGGTGGCAAGAGACTGGGTCGTTGCAACAAAGCGAGACCCCGTCCACGTAGTGACGTTTATCGAAAAGCCCCCAGGACCCTCAGAAGTATTGAACGAACCAGCTTGGTCCCCTCCGAAGTCTTGTCAACAAGACAAGACAACGGGAGATTCTTCCCAAAAGGAGCCGACAAATCCCTCAGAAGCCCACATGGTTTCCTGTCGAGACGACAGTTGTGTTCCGAACCCAAGATCAAAAAGCGCAGAGGCGCATCTATTGCCCTCTGGGTGCCCTCTAGTTGATGCCACGAGCCCACGGTCCCCAAGTGTAATTGCCCCCCAGGTCTGACATTGCTTCATGCTTGAAGCGCATTCTCAAAGCCCACAGCTCCACGATGGAGCCCAACTTGTTTTGAAAGGACAGCCCACAAAAGCCCACTGTAATGGTAACCAGCCGAAAGCCCTCGTTTTCGTAACTCGTGAACGACGTTTAATCGAAGTTCATCTTGGTGCCAGAGAAGGCCGGGGCACCTCCTCGGCCACCACGGCCGCCGCCACGGCCACCGCCGCCGCGACCGCCGAAGCCACCACCTCCACCACGGCCACCGAAGCCGCCGCCACCACGTCCGCCGAAACCACCGCCGCCACGTCCACCGAAGCCTCCGCGGCCTCCACGACCACCACCACGGCCGCCGCCGAACCCACCACCACCACCCTCACGGGGGGGACGGCTGCTGGCATAGTCCAGACGAACACTGCGGGACATGCGTCCGTTGCCAACGGGGGCACCGTTCTTGGCCTCAAGAGCCTTCTTGGCATCCTCGATGGAAGAGAAGCTGACGTATCCGAAACCCTTCAGGTTACCGGTGTCGCTGTTCAGGGTTAGTTATAGGTCTTTCATGATGAGTGATAGAAGTACTCACGGATCGGTGGGAAGTCGGATGCTGGCGACAGGGGCGACCTCGTTGAAGAACTCGCTGATCTGATCCTGGTCGACATCGAAGGGCAGGTTGCCAACGAAGAGAGTATCGCTCTCGGGGCTGACGGTGTCACCGAACTTCTTGGAGCGGTCGGCAGCGCGGGCCTGGGGGTTGGCATCAGCGGGCTTGGCGTTGGCGTAGTCCAAGTTGAGGGCACGGCCGTCGAGCTCCTGACCCTGCATGGCATCGTAGGCCTTGGTGGCAGACGCGCCATCGGTGAAGTCGACGTATCCGAAACCACGGCTGCGGCCGGACATCTTGTCCATAACGACACGAGCACTGGCAAGACCCTCGAAGGACTTGAAAGCCTCGTACAGAGCATCGTCGTCGATGTTCCAGCTCAGGCTGCCAGCGAAGAGGGTGGTGGCCTCATCAGTCTTGGTCTTCTTGGGGGCCTCCTCGATCTCATCCTCAGCCTTGCGCTTCTTGGAGGGAGCCTCCTCAGTCTTAGCATCGGAATCGGACTCATCAGAGTCGTCGCTGTCGTCAGAGTCCTCGTCAGAGTCGGACGTCTTCTAAATCTGGTTAGCTTGGTGTTTGGAGAACGACAGAGCAGCTTTACTAACCTTCTCATCAACCTTAGCACCGCTCTTCTCCTCCTCAGTCTCGGAGTCGGAGTCGGAGTCAGAGGAGTCAGAAGACTCAGCCTTAGCCTTAGCGGCGCCGTTGGTCTTGGCAGCCTTAGCCTTGGGCTTCTCCTCCTCGGACTCGGAGTCGCTGTCGGAGTCGTCAGAGTCGTTGTCGGATTCGGAGTCAGAGTCGTCGGAAGAGGCAGCAGCCTTAGCCTTGGCAGCACCGTTGGTCTTGACGGCCTTGGCCTTGGGCTTCTCGTCCTCAGAGGAATCAGAGTCGGAAGAGTTGTCAGCCTCGGACTCGCTGTCAGAGTCGTCGGAGTCAGAAGAGTCGGAAGACTCAGGCTCGACAACCTTCTTGCTCTTCTTCTTGGACTCCTTCTCCTTCACGACCTTCTTAGCAGCGGCCTTGGCCAGCTCCTTGGACTTGGCCTTGGGAGTCTGGGAAGGCTTGGTGACGCCGGCAGCCTTAACAGCGCTGAGGGCCTCAGAGGCCTTGGCCTTCTTGGAATCCTTGGTAGACTTGGCCATTGTGAAGACTGATAGACAAGGGTATAAAAAGAAGAGTCTCGAGTAAAATGGTCTACCACGAGAAGATGAATGAAGAGGGAGAGGTGGGTGGAAAAACAGGATTTCCTGGGCCTTCTATGGGTTTTAAGCCTGGTGGTTGGGTCTGCAGCTGGCGGGCAGATTTTTTTTTTTTTTTCGCCGGCCAAACTGTGGGGCAACCAAAAGCGGTGAGTTGACATGCGTCGACCGTCGAGGAAGGTGGTCAGGGTGGTCAGGGCGGTCAGTGCGTGCCTGAGAAATCAGGTCGTTTGTCATTGGACATCGATCAATTGAGCTCAAGCTAGAGTGCCGACATCCAAGTTGCCGAGATCGATCAAGTCCAACCCAACCGCGCATCTTCGCCTTGTAACGACGTCCAATTCGACAGCCCGAGGCTCAATCAAAACCGCCGCCATGCCTACCGCCGAGTCCGATCAGTTCAAGGCCCAGAAGCCCGCCGTTGCTCCCACCTTCAACGGAGTCAACTTCGACGACACCAAAGCGTTCAAGGCGGCCGAGGATGCCATCATCCGGGAGCAATGGGTCGGCGCCATGATGACCCGTCTCGTCGGCGAGGAGTTGGGCAAGTGCTACGTGCGCGAGGGTGTCAACCACCTGGAAAACTGCGGCCACCTCCGAGGTTAGTCGATGCGACTGGGTGAGGGAGTGAAATTTGAGCATCCACTGATCACGACAACCAGAGCGATACCTGCAATTGCTGAAGACGAACAAAATCAAGGGCACCAAGTTCTTGCAGCAGAACTACGTGACCAAGCAGGATGAGGAGATGGACCTGCAGGCCAAGGTGCACACCAGCGACCAGGTTGCCAAGATGAACCAGGCTAGGTTTGCTTCGTAAACCAGGATCTCGGCGATGTTGCAAACTTTAGAGACGGCGCAGAGGACACTGGATTATCTAAACGAGAGGGAATTGTGGCCTCTATGAGATCATGGCATTGTACTGTCACAACCTCAGTCTCGGCCGTGACGGTGAAGGATCCAATCACTTCGACCCTGTATGACTGTGTATATATCAGGAAGCAATGAAATAAAAATGAAGCACATATGCGTGGCCCAATCCCTCCTATTTATATCAGAGAACTTGGTCTCGACTCATGCGTTCCTTTCGCGCGTTGGCTTCGGATAGCGGGCTTTCATGGCGAGGCTGACAATTGGCTCTTACAATGGCCCTGATTGGCCCCTCCTCACCTCCACCTCCACTCCAAAATTTCTACAGAAGCTTAAGCCTCGCCTACCACGACTTCAAACAAAACCACCAGTTTATTCGCCATGTTCTGCACCAGGTGCCTTCGCGCCACCGCGCTGCGGCGCCCACTCCCAATCATTCGCCAATTCTCGACGACGATCCCCTTCCGATCCGCCGAGCCTGTCCTCTCGACCCCCATCGCCGAGGCTGGCGAGTCCAAGGACGCCCCAATTTCACGGTCCTCGTGCCCCGCTGGAACCAAGCTCACTGGGCTTAACTACCTGAAGAATGGCCAAGACCCGGTTGCGCTGAAGGATGAGGAGTATCCCGAGTGGTTGTGGTCGTGCCTGGACGTGATCAAGTCAAACAAGGATTCCGCAGATGATGGTGCCGGAGACGAGTTCTGTAGGTTACCTGTGCCCCCCTCGGCTTTAACTACTATATCTTGCTAACAATTTCCGCAGCGAAATCGAAGAAACAGCGAAAACTCGCAGCAAAGCGCCAGAAGACCATGGAGGCTCAAGCACTCGCCTCGGGTAATCTCGACGCCCTAGCCCCCAAGATCCCCCTGCAGCACCAGTCCGTCAACATCACCGGTGACGAGAACAGCACTGTCGAGCACAATATCGAGGCGGCGCAGAAAAGAGAGGAACTGAAGAAGGCGATGCGCAAGGAAAGGAAGGCAAAGATCAAGGAGGCCAACTACCTGAAGTCTATGTAAATTTGACTCGGTTGGCGGTGTTAATGTACAATACTGCAAGCGCAATGTAACTCAAGTGTACTATACCATGCCGATAGACCTGGCGTGTTGCTCACTGAATTGGCTTTCAGGTGAGATGGATTTTTAAGTACGTTACGTTACAAGGAATGGCCCGGTCACGGAAAATAGACCACGAGAAAGCGATAAACAGTTGTGTGACCCATTGATTGTGACCTGGTATTGACATTTCCAACCTATACACATCTGATGGAACCATGTAGCCTCCTCCTAAAAACACGACTGGGGCATTAAGCCTCCATGGGCTTTAAACCATGTCCACTAATCACGCCTCAAACTCCAGCTCATAGAGCACTTAGATCTAGTGGCACACTGCTCCCCCTTCCAGCTCTGTATTTTTTGGTGCCTCCGATAAAGTCCCTCGGCTTTGGGAACGCGGATTCATCCTTGAAATTCCATCTCGTGTCACTCACCACGAAGCGTTCGGGCCCGGAGCCATTAGAAGGAGAGGTTCGTGCCGGGCTAGGTGATTTAGCGCCGTTGGCAGTTAGAGTAAAGGCTGATGGATCAAGCATAGATTGGCGGATCGATGAACCCCTCGACCTGAGTTGAACCGGTGGCAGCGGAGAGGGAGCGGAGGGTGCCGAGGGAGTTGATGATGGTGGTGGTGGAGGGGGCGGGGGGGCAGAGCTTGGAGAGGCTTGTCCAGCCGCGCGGATGGTGGCTTGCGCAACTAAAGAAGGTGTCGAATGGGACGCAGGAGGCGGAGGCGGCGGAGGTGGTTGTGACCGTGGCGCCGGCGCCGGCGAAACACTTGGTCGAGGAGGTGCAGATGACGGGGGTGGAGGCGGAGGTGCAGCGGGAGCGGCAGCGGAGGATGGCGGTGGAGGTGGAGGTGGCGCCGGGGCAGAAGGCGCAGGAGCTGAGGGAGCGAAGGATATGGACGATGGCTTCCGGGACGTCGGTAAAGGTGGCGGCTTCTTACCAATGGGCGGAGGTGGTCCCTTGGATCCCATCGGTGTCGTCTTTCTTAGATTTGCGACTCCCCCAGGGGGCGGCATCGGAGGTCGTCCACCCGGGATTGTGGGCGCCGCCCCAGGCGGAGGTCTGGGTGCAGAAAAGGCCGGAGGCTTCGGCGCTGAACTTGTAGGCTCCCCCGGATCTGAGAGATACGTTGAATCTGTGTTTGCGCCGGTATCAATGCCCCCTCTCTTCTTTAGTTTAGGCATTCCTCCAGCAAAGAGTCCGGCCAACTGAGGCGCAGCGTCCATGCCTCCAGCTGTTGAATCTCGGGAGCCTTGGTCGCTGTTGCTTCTTGCCCGATTTCCCGGAACGGGCGGCGCAAGCCCGCCTGGAGGCTTTGGAGCTCCGCCGAGCATAGGAATTGGCGGTGCGCCGCCGACTGGAGGGCCTGACGAGGAAGAGGACTTGCCGACGACTGGCGCCGAGCGGTCATTGGTGACAGCCTTCTTGAGAGCCCTGCCTTTGGAAATGTCTGACAGGAGAGCATTCTATTGTAAACTGGTCAGTTTGGTCATTTCGATGGCGGCCATCTAGAGGGATGTCAGAGCCTTGGAGGCTTTGCTACATACTCTGTTTCCGCCAGCTGGAGGCCTCGAGGGCATGTTTCCCGGAGGAGGAGGGGGCGGCGGTGGTGGTCCACCAAAGCCTGGCGGCGGCGGAGGAGGCGGAGGTGGAGGAGGCGGCATGGTGAGTTTGGCCTATGGGCGTGGTGTGCTGGTGATGTTGTGTCGTTCGATGGGTGGTGATAAGTTGGGCAGAGGTGTTGCAGCTCTCAGGCGCTGTCGATCGAGGATTGGGCAGCTTTACGATATCGTCAAGAGAAGCTGCCCTCGGTTGAAGTGGTCTAACGGCCTAGAACACACCAGGGAGTTGGTCGCGGAAGGGCGGAGGATGCAGTAAAGACGGTGGTGATGGTGGTGGGAAGAGAGGGCCACCCGCATACGGTCGAGAAGGGTTGGTGTTGAGAGTAGGCCTGGGGCGATGCTGCAGCCGCGTGCGATGTTTCGTCATGGCCGCCGCTTACGGTGCAAAGGGGCACTGCTGCAGGCCGCTATTACCTTCACGCTTGGTTTAGCGCCCCGCTTTCTTCACGTGGAACTTTGGTCAGTAAATTTAGCGGTCGCATCACTGTTGCTTAGTGACAGCCCCCTGTAAGCTAGGCCATGGAAGAAAAAGGAAGGAAAAAAGTGCATCTACACGGGATGAATGCAGGACAAATAGTAGGACTGGAGCAGATATGCTATCCTCCTCATTCAAAATACTTATGAGCGAGATCTCCTTTTATTCATTCTTCCCATGAGTCCAGAGAGGTTTCAGTTAATAACTGCCTTGAGCAAAAAAATCAGTTTAGGCACCACTGACCAAAAGGCTGCCATCATCTCTTATTAGTGTCTATCCGAATCCGCGTATCCGAAGGCCGAGTGGGGCAGCTTCAGAGGCTCTCCAAAACTCCAAGGTCTTCCAAAACGCCCATTATGTCTCAAAAAGGAGGATATCCTTGATTTCATGGATCGTGAAAAGTAATGGGTCTTGAAGGACCTTGTGAGCTGCGCAGTGAGTGCCCGGAGTGAGAGCCTAAGAGTGTGATTTGAGTTTGTTGAACGTGAGTGACCGCAAAAGGATTTCCGATATTACTGTGGACTTCGGCTATTGCTGGTAGGGAGAATTTCATAAAAAAGTCTATTTACGTCGAGACAACGATATGAAAAGCTCATGGAGTTAACTATTTATTTCCCCACATAGTTATTGAACACCATGGAAGTCATCCAAGCACGCTGCACGATTGTGTTTCTTACACAGCCGTATCTTGCACCAGTGTTCAACTCGCTTCCGGATACCATGGAAATAGTTACCTACACATTGTCGTCTCATATTAATTTTTAACTCTGAAAGGAGACCATATCGTGAAGTAGAAACGGCGAGTACTCTGATGAGAAGTTGTCCGTTTCTGGCCGCAGACCGTTTTGATTCCGTAGCACGGCGCTAGTCACCTGACTAAACGGTGGCCCTGCAACGGTTGTACTAAGAAGTCTGATCCGCCTACGATATCAACGCCGTGGGAAAACCAAGAGTCAGGCTAGAAACCGCAGCCAAGGGCGCTCAATCAGGCTCAAGCCATCGAACCGATCCTCCAGGGAGGCCGAATTCGCCCGGTCCTCTCCGAATCGTCACCGAAGCCACTACACGAGATCGGCCCGCCGCACCACGACAATGCGAAGAGCGACCCCGAAGCAGATCGGCTCCGTCTGCCAGCTGTGCCCCGTTGCGTCAGCCCAGATTGCCAGCCAGAGGTTCATCCGCCGGGCTCTATTGTCACAAAGCCGCCATGTCCGAAGCCTGAACGCGCGGCCCGTCGGTGTGCGATGGCTTGCAACCGCATCTGCGATTCCCGAACCAGCTTCTGCACGACCCTCAGTCCCCGCCACCTCGAACACCCCGGTGGAATTGTTGAACCCTGCCCAGCTGGCCAAGGCAGTGGAGGACACCAGAGACAAGTTTGTTTCTACTGATGGGATCCCGGCCAAACAATTGACGGCCACGGCGCTCGAGACATGCCTCAAAGCTGCGGAAGCCCTCCAACCATTAGTGAGGAGGGCTGAGGCCCAGGCTCGGGCTTCAACCTCGAAGCTCATGGCCCTAGGCTCCGAGCGAACCGGCGCAAAGCCATTGGTAAATGCTGAGTTGAGGGACAGCGTCAATAAGATCTCATACTCAGCATATACCATCATCAGCCAACCTAATGTTGAGATGTCGCCCGAATTTCTCGAACTGTACGTCGTGATCCAGGCCACCCTAGGCCGCCCGGAGTCACTGCCTGCTGTCCTAGAGCAGTTCGCCACCAAGCCTCGGCCTGTGGTCAAAAATGGTGTGATTCAATACGTCCGCCGGAATCCCAATTCTGCCGTTAGGGCCATTGAGGAGGGAGTCGCCGACATGGCTTTGCAGACAGCCATTGATGCCAAGAACTTGGATTCAGCTCTAGGCATCGTTGAGGCCTCGTTCAGTCTCCCTGCCTTCAAACGCCAAAAGATGCTCAAGCACTCTACTGCCCCTGCCTTGGCTCTTACCACACTGCCCTTTGGCATTTTCGGCCTAGCATCTGGCTACGCTGCCTACTGGCAAAACACCATGGATGTCACGACCGCAACGGGTCTTGGTGTCGCTGGTATCTCGGGCTACTTCCTTGTGGTGGGATCAATGGGCCTGATTGCCAAGCTTAGCAACAAGGACCAAATGAAGCGAGTGACCTGGGCGCCGGGCACGCCGCTGCGTTACCGGTGGCTGAGGGAGGAAGAGCGTGCGGCACTAGACAAGATTGCGTGTGCATGGGGTTTCAAAGAGCCTTGGAGGCACGGAGAGGAGTCGGGGCCTGAGTGGGAAGGCTTGAAGGAGTATATGGGCTACCGACAGATGATTCTAGATCGGGTGGAGTTCATGGATGGGATGAGTTAGAATACTCTCCTTTGTCCGCTCATGTGTATAAACAAGTCATGTATAAAAGTAAAACGCAATGCTCCAAGTCAAACTTACCCTACGGACGAGTTCCAGGACCGATAACCCCCTCCTCCGCAGTCAACTGGTCATGTTTTGGCATAGCACACCAGACACTCCATAATAACCATTGATCGAGATTTCGTGATACAGAACTCGAGGCAAGGTAATGGAATGAAAACTTCAACGAAATACATCTACTTTAAATGTAAAGTCAAAGGGAACATCCTCTCGAGCTTTTTGTCCCAGATCAAGTTTATATCAGACCCAATATTCTGTCTTCTTTCGGATTGTAACACCCTTTGAAGAACTCAAAGAGCCATTGCTATGCATTAGATCCAACGTAAACTCTTCGCTTGCACCCTCCCTTGTACGTACGGCCATGCTGTGGGAGAAGCCTTCGTGAAGCCAGGATATTCTTGTTTGTCGAGGCAATGGAAGCGCAACTGTCGCCCCGGATCGACAGTCCCTCGGCCACTCATATATTTGGGAGCAGGCGAGAATTCACCCGGATGTTGGGGCAACAGAAAATCTCCCGGGAGGTTGAGAGGATTCAAGAATGAAGTCAGGAAGCCACTGCAACCCTGAAGTCTCCACTCGGCGACCCGGATGTAACATGGCACAGTCGGTTTCCGAATAACCGCAGCTGACAGAGTTAATCGGTAAATTCAAGAAGCAAAGAAAGACGGGCAGGGGCTCGTGGAAAGACCCCAGACTGTCCAACGGTCGAGAACACAGACTTTCGGCCGAGCTTCTGGATATGGTCCAGGAAGGTGGTGCCGCTAGGGTGAGCCCGGCCAGATAGTCAGGGGAATCCCTGAATCCCTGACGACCCTCCGTAGACGAGACTTCACGTGAATGCGGAGAGAAAGAAGCAAAGCCTCACAGACCCGAAGACTCCGAGAGGCCCTTTGCAAAGTACACCAAACGCTAAGTGGTCCAAAGCGGCGGGTTCCTCCGTCCCGCGTAGCATCACCACTTAACCGGGGAGGGATTCCGGCCCATCATCCGGGCCTAGCGAAGGAAGAGGCATCCCAACCAATCAACCTCACCCATGCCGCTCACCCAGAATCAGCACAGCGTTCCAATATACGATCGACACAGCCTTATTAACCGGCACAATCGATTCGATAACCGCAGTGACGGCTTCGCGTAAGCTAGGTACGATTCCGGAAGGTTGGCAGAAGAGGCCCGATCCTCCCCTGGCCCGGCCATATTACCTCCATCCAATGGAGCTTGCCCACGCCATTTCTGCAAATTGTTAACTTGAATTCTTGTATAAGTACGGTCTCAACAAGTGCCAGTTTTCTATCCTACGTCATGTGCCTTGCATCCTTCCATCCCGCACCATCCACTCGTAGCCCCCTCTCTCTTCCCCTCTCCCTTCACCGCTGCAACGCTCAACACACTCGCTTTGATAACATTGAGGCACCTTCGCCATGAGGTTCTCTCTCCTTTCCACTCTGTCGGTCGGCCTCCTCTCAGCCGGCCTTGTTGCCGCTCAGGCCAATGGAACTATCTACGAGGGTACCGTCGGCGAGGACCTCAATGGCTCCAACTTCACATATCCCTACCCCGTGAAGCTGTTCAGGTTTGAGAGCCAATTTGAGAACCTCGAGATGGCCTTTATGGACGTCTGGCCCAGCAACAAGTCCAACGGCAGGACGGCCATCCTGTTCCATGGAAGGAACTTCTGTGGCGCCACTTGGGAGGGCACCATCAACGCTTTGAAGAACGAGGGGTGGCGTGTCATCGTGCCCGATCAGATTGGCTTTTGCAAGAGCTCGAAGCCTGTGGGCTACCAGTTCAGTCTTCATCAGTTCGCCTGGAACACTCGCGGGCTGCTTGACGCGCTCGACATCGACAAGGTCACCGTCATCGGCCACTCCATGGGCGGCATGCTCTCGACCCGATTCTCTCTGCAGTACCCCGAGACGGTGGATGACCTTGTCATGGTTAACGCCATCGGATGGGAGGACTACATTCAGAAGGGCGTTCCTTACATCAGCATCGACAAGACTTGGGTGACTGAGTCGGCATCCAACTTTGCCTCGATCAAGAACTATGAGAAGACGACCTATTACGTCGGCGAGTGGAAGGACGAGTACGACACGTGGGTCAACATGCTTGTCAACATCTACTACGGCTCCGAGCGCGAGAACTACGTCAAGATCCAGGCCAAGATTGTCAACACGGTCCTCACCCAGCCCATCGCCCACTATTTCGGAGACATACAGGCCCGAACCCTGGTGATGGTGGGCGAGAAAGACATCACTGCCATTGGGTCTGCCTGGGCGTCCAAAGAAGTTGCTGCAACACTCGGCCATTTTGACGTCCTCGGAAAAGAGGTTGCCTCTCAGATCCCCAACGGCCATCTCTTCAAGTTCCCCGACCTGGGACATGCGCCCCAGATCTCCCAACCTGAGCGCTTCCACCGCGCGTTACTGCGTTTCTTGAACAAGAAGCCCAAGAACTAATGTCACTGCTCGCGATGTATGTGGCAAAAGAACTTTGAATTTTAAAATGTTCTGTATTCAATTCCAGTCCATGGCGCTTCTTAAGCACCAGGCCAAGGGGAACGACTTGGATGCAAATTATTTGCCTGTGATTCTTGATGGCTCTAGGCTCGGCCACGAATAGAACCTCCCTTTGGTAGGAAAATTATCAATTTCAATGACTTTCTTAGTTATTGAAACGACGAGGATTTGACTACTGGGCCATGGCGAGCGCGCAATTCGACTCAACGAGTGTTTGCTGTAGGGTAAACGATGAAGTGAACCGCCATTTACTGCATTCGATGCACAGTAACAAAGAAAATGATTCAATCATGTGTAGATCACAGAGTGACTGTTCATATTGGAAGCCGAACTATAACTGCCTAAGTAGCTTTGTAGTACTCATGTAACTCCAATTCAATTAGTCGGATGTAAAAATAAAATGCCAAGTACAGTTCGGACAGTCGTTCATACTTTCTATCCCTTCACAACGTTAGCGAATTCATCTAGAAGAAAAAACAACCTCAATAGACTTCATTATGCGACAGAGTATCAATGAATATCTCCGAGAACACCAAGGCATTGTATTTGGTGTAAATTGGCATTTCTTACAATGTCACGCAAGTATTGTCTTTGTGGCGGGTGAAAGGGGCCCTTGATTTGCTTGAGCTGATTAGCTCGGGAAGCATTGTTCTAGCGAAATATGCAGGTGAACACTGAAAGAAAACTCCATGTTCAACTTCAGGCCATGGTAGGTTAAAAGGAGAATTCAACACTCATTGTCCAAGGTCGTCTGCGTTAGACTGTTCCCCAGAACACATCGGATTTCTCGGCGCAGTGAAGGTCCCTCACATACGCCTCGGGACAATCCAATATTGTTCATTTCGTATAAATCTGGGCCCTGGATCCCCTGGTATGGGTCACTTCCTCTTCCACCCCCCACCTACACCAGTTTCGCTACATCGGATTCCAAAGCAAACCACGGCCTCATCCACACCACCAGACACTGTTGAGACGCGCCCGAAGGAACGAATTAAAACATGATTAGCCACAAGACTGAAACGGGGTGCATGGTAGACATGTATCTCTCTGAGAAGCTCGATCAACCACCCTCCCAGTTACCTCGCAGGCCAACCCTCCGCCGCGGGCAGAGGTTCCGCGTGGATACCAGGACAGAATCTGCCATTTTCCCGAGAACTGATTCTTTGACTCATTTCCCTGACATCCCCGACTTCCTGAACGAGCTCGAGGACTGTGATGCGGAGTTGCCTCAACCGACAAGGCCCCAGACACCACGACAGCGACGCCGGACCGGAACACACATATTCTGCAAGCATAGTTTCAAGGATAGTTGCAGGTGCTGCACGCCTCTGAAACCTGATGGCGAGGGTGATTACTGCCAGCGGTGTTGGGAGGGCCGGTGTTCTGGACCCAGACCGCCAGGTTCCAAATCTGTAAGCCAAGAAGAGAAGCAGGGGAACTTGATAAGACGAGTTAGCCTTGTAATAACTGGGAAATAAAGAAAAATTATTTAGCGTATCATAATTTAATCGAGGACAGCAAGCTCTCGTCCTACACAAATGCTCCATTAATGGCGACAAATACAAGCACACATGATGATCCTTCTTCTGTACATATGCAAGTGAAAACGTGACCAATCGTAGTCCACCGGACACTTCTTCTTTTGGCTAATACATCTTCAATTCTCAACCGGCTCGAGTTGACCCCGAGACATCTAGGTATCATCTGAAACATCGCCAGGCCAGCAGGGCGGATATAACGCTAACAAAACAAGAATGGAACTGAATAGACTCCCCTGCTATGCATGAGAAACCCTAACGCCGTGTCCATAGTGCCCCCAAGAGTTGACCCTTGATTCCCCATTTAACCGCCAATACAGTGTTCAAACATAGCCAACCGACCTCCCTCAGCCTGTGGCCCTCCTTACCCAGAGTGCTGATCCCTCGAAGTCAGACTCTCTTTCCAGACGCTTGTTGGCCCGGTAGAGTTTCAAGCCCAAATCATATTCCTCTCTCTGAATCTCTGACAGCTCTTCCTTGAGATCCTCCACCTTTTGTTTCTCGATCTCTCGCTTGCGCAAAACTTCGGTGCTGGACATCAAGTTGTCCGTTGGCATCAACTCCGTCATTTGCTTGATACCCCTGTTGATGTTGGTCCGTCGATGGGCTAAGCTTTCGAGCCGAGCGTTGAGATATGCAACACGGTCGTTTGCGGACTGCATCTCCGGAGGGGCGAGGGGGAGAGCCTTGGTAGTGGACGTGATGGAAATGGGACGATCAGCGTTGGCCCGGTCAGCTCCCGCCTTGCTCGACGAAAGAGTGGACTTGATGGAAATGACGATGGGCTCATCTGTAGGTGACTTGGCGCTTTCGTTTCCAGGAACAGGCCTCCTACGGTCCATCACTGAAGGGAGCTGCTGCTGCGCAGGAGGCATCGGAGGCATCGGAGGGCGGTCTTCGTCGATTGATCGAGGAGAGTCTGGAATTACTGTGTTGCACGTGGTGACGCTGAAACGGGAGGGTGGAGGCACCCAGGGGTCCTCAGCTGTGAAGGGACTCGTCGGCGCTGCCGTAGACAGGTGAGGGACGTATGTCGCCACGCTCTGGTCAGTGTAGGCCGTATAAACGGAGCTAGAAGTTGAGTGATGCGGGTTGTGAGATTGAACATGAGTCGACGGCGACGGCTTTCTCCTGATGGCCTTGTTCGGGTCAGGTAGATTGGGAGCGAGGCGGGGGGGTATCTGCGCGGGGTGGCTCGCCAAGGCAGGGGGGTGAGACTGCGAAATTGGAGAGTCGTTGTAGGGAGGGCTGGGATATGCGTGGGAGGGGGCCATATGCGAACTAGGCTCTGGAGAAGGTGTTTTGGAAGTCTCCTTGAGCTTTTGGTTGGACCTGGAGGGCAGCAATCTTCGGACAGTTGCGGCCGCGGTATTGGACGTTTCAGGCGACACACCACCAGTCCGCGCGCCACGCTTGCTATTTCGACGTCCAATATTCAGAGGTGGAGCGGCTAAATCATCCCGGACAGGCTCAACGAGTGGTGCACGGCCGCTTGCTCCATTCCACGGAGGCCGACTCTCCACGGGCTCCGTCTTTCCTCTGGTGAGTTGTCGCATGCGCTGACCAAATGTTGTTGCAGGGTTGCCAGATCGATGGACCTGGGGCCCGGTGACGGTGGTAGTGAGTCCGAACTCTGGACGGCCTGCGGTGGGCCCTCTGATCGCACTAGGGACTGCTTCCCAAGGATGCTGAACGGCATCGCTCTGCTTCTCGCGACGCATCGTCGGGATATGGCTCCGGGGCGCCTGCGGAGAAGTGTCTCTAGCATCGTGGAGCAGCTCCTGCTGAGACTGATCGGGACTGTCGTCAATGGGTGAGACATCTTCGTGATACCCTCTGTATGCGAAACATTGAATTAGCCATGATGTACGGAATTTGAGCCACCTCATTCTTGTATGGGAATTGGCCTTTGCTGAGGGCGATGCCGAAGAGCGCGTTGAGCAGCCGAATTGAGATCCGCGAGGATTCTGATATTCGAGGCTCAAGGAAATAGTGACACTCAAAAGAGGAACGTGGCCAAGCGACAAAAAGGCCAATAACCAAGAAATGCGCAGCGGAGTAGTGCAACAAAGAAGGTAGACTCACCCGTATTTTGCAGCGCTGATGTCAGGCGAGCTGGGCGGGGAGATGTCGAGGCCTGTGGGACGGCCGTACATGTCTCTGGCAGGTGTCTTTGACTTGGAAGGTACAGGGGGCGGGTGGTGATGGTCGTTGGTTTCGTTGTCGCCGTAGATGGAGGAAGTTGGGCGCCAGTCGTGAGGGTTGAGTCGTCGTGGGTTTCGAGGAGGAAGATCTCCGGAGGGAGGAGCTTCCGGGTCGTCGGAGTCGTGGGGAGGAGAGCTGTGGTCACGGGAACAGTGTCAGTCAGGCCTTGCTCCTCGTAACTGCTTATTATCGGGATTAAGGAACGAAGTATTTCGAGGAAAGGGAAAGACAGCTCATGGCGATGTTGAAGGAAGAAGGAAAACCGAAGGATTCGGGAGCACGGTACACCCTGCCACGACACCAGCCCGTGGATCCGCCTGTATCAGCTGAAAGCGTGGTTGGCTTGCTGGCGCTGAGTCCACAGGCGTGTCAATGCCGACTTGGGCTGAAGACAGGATTGTATTGCGCCAAGGCGGCAGTCGAAGAGTGCTGCGCCAACATACGGATCCCAAGGTGGCATGCTCTAGCTCAACTGGCCTGGCTTGCATCAACAGACGCATTGCTGCGCCTGCCTGGAGACGCAACATCTTGCAGATGGTCTTGCACTAGCAAGGTCACGCCAGCAAGTCTGGAGCTCTATGGATGACGGACGAGAAACGGCATTCATACTGCGAGCGCACTTACAGTTGACGTTGTAGAGTGGAATCAGGCCGGGGAACGGTCTTGCCACGGCGAACTTCGAATCGTTCGGGACCGTTGCGGATCCCAAGGCCGTTGAGACGGTTGTCGAACTCGTTCTGCCAGAACGCCTGGTCGTCTTCGGCGTAGTGGGTATTTTGTCTGCTGGCGTCGGTGTCGGTATATTGTTTCGGATGTCGTTGCGCTTGTTGTTGCAGGGTTTGGGAGCGAAAGGCGCGCTCTTTGAGGGTTTGAGGCGGCACCAGTTTGGGTTGCGAGCCGCCTTGGGGCCCAGTGGCGGGTTTCTTGTCCCACGTGGCGGGCATCATCAAGTGTCAGACAGGTGAGTCGGGCACTGGAGACGCTGGGCTGACCACCCGTAACAAGCGCCAAGAGTGGAACTGACGCAGCGGGCTGAGCAGCAGTTGTTGCGTCACGGTGGGCGGTGGGCGAGGGGCAGCGTGCAGCGTGCAGAGTGCCTCGTGTTGCCGCTAGTTATTTTTGGTTGCTCGAAACCACAGTTGGTTCGGGTTGGCGATGAGCCCGCTGACGGCGTTGGCGAGTGAGAGTCGACGCGGCGAAAGGCCGGGGGGATCGGGAATGGCGGGGAACAAAGTGTGGCGGAGGTGCTTCCAGAAGTTATGAACCTTATTTAGCTGTGTCTCGTACATAAATCAACCGAGTGAGTGAGTGAATGAATGAATGTATGAGTGAGCGAGTGTGTGAATGAGTGAGCGAGAATTGAAAGGCAAGCAACAAAGAAAACCGAAGCCAAAAGCCAGTCGCGGGTGTCAGCTCCAGGCTCGACGAATTCCAAAGACAGAGCGGAATGATTGACGGCAAGGAACAGCAAGGAGCAGGTCGTCCGGTCTTAAGAAGAACCCCAAGGTGCGACGCTGGCCGTAGGGCCCATCGTCTTGACTTAATTTGCCGCTGGTACACCGTACTCCGGCTCAACGTCTGTATGCATGCATTACCTTTGTACTCCTAACATCAGATGGAGCCAGGAGCCAGGAGCGTGATTAGGTCCCTAAGGTAGGTATGATTAGCACCGGGAGGAGCAGTGCAGTAATTAGCTGCCGGCCAGTGGCGCGTCGTTTGTCCCTCGATTGTGCGGCTGCTGGCAAATGAACCAGGGAGGTGACATGGAAAATGACGGGGTTTGTTGACTTTGCCGGCTCCCCGAGTGCCGTGGGCCAACCATGTGAGCCCAGGCGTCCAGGTCAGGCCGCGCAGTCTGGGTCGTTCCAGGGCCGAGGCCGTTGGCAGGCTGGCGACTTGTGCTTTTGCTTGCGGTGGATGGGGCGGCGTCAACGTCGCGACGCCAAGCGCTGTGCGAGCTCGTCTCTGGCAATGCGGCTTGACTGGGCTGAGAGGCAACTGAGGCTAGGCGCTCAGGTGCTCGTTCAGGCGCTGACGCTGGGCGCTAACTAGGTAGCTTGCAGCTCAGACAATCAAGGCTATCCGTCGTCGGCTGTTCACGCTCAACGCTGTGGTGTTGCAGGATCATGGGCATCAAATCATTGCACAATGGCTAGCCATCGCGTTTCGCCGAAAACCCCTTCCCGCCGTACCTGGTCGGTTGGGGGAGAGACTGCCAGACGACTGCTCGCCTTGTGATGAACCATCCCCTGCACTGTCCAAAAAAAGAGTTATCCCCCTTGCCCATCGCAATTAATACACTGGGCCCCGTCTAATACGGCTTCGTCCCAACTGCCAGCGGATTGTGGATGCCCGTCACCGTGCCTCGCCCACCACTCCAGCGTAGTGTGCGCCGGATTGACATGGTCCTCGTCAGAGCGTTTTCCTTTACTCGTCCAGCATCACGTCACTCGAGCGAGTTGTTGGATTTGCTGTCTCCCGTCGCCATGTCAGACATATTGGCAACAATGATACCTACCTAATTAGGCCTTTTCCAAGCGGAAGCACATGCTGTACATGTTCAAGTCTTTATTTGAGTTAAAGGCCAGAGATTCAGACCGTTGCCTCATGCAGGAACCGTCGGTATCTAAGGTGGTAGCACGTAGCCTGAAGATTGTAGGGAGAGCCCCACCTGCAAGTGGGCTGTTTCAGATGAAGTAGAGATGGGGCAGGGACCTGGTGAAACTGGGGGTTGCACCTGCTCTGGGACGACATCGAGTGGACCGTGGCATCGTCCGTCCACTCGTAGCCGAGAACGCCGCAATCCTTCATCAATTGCGGGATTGACGAGGCATACACATTTTGTACTTTTACAATTGTGCAGAGTGAGGCCTCTGGGTCTCTGTCCTTGCTCCTGGCTGGTCCTCTTTGGCGGCCTTGTCCTTGGTTCCCCTCCGTTTCTACCGTCACCCGCCTTCTGGAGCAGACTGCCTCCCCTCCAAATATCCCCTTCGGTGCAGTCATCTTCTGATTACCTGCAGTTCATCAATTTGCCTTTTTTCTCCCTCCTTGCCCCTGCAGTTCAATCAAGAGCCGCCCGCACTCGAGATTTTGTTCCGCTCGTGATTTACTCGCCCCTGCAGAATGGCACCTGCAGACACGACGTGGCTTAATTAATTTGGCTGCTAGACTGCTGCTAGACTGTTGCATCTCGCGCTGGATGGTCGTTTCCGTCAAGAGCTCCGATATATCTAGGTTACAGACATCACCAACTCCGTCAGGATCCGACGCTGCTGTTGTCGGCAGTCTCTGCGAGCCTCGGTCCTGGTTCGTGGCCAATAACTCGGAGCTACGTGTGACTCCGAGGACATGTTGAGAAACGAACGAAACAAACTCAATGTAAACCACGGGCAGAAACTAAAGGACTAAGGTATCGAGAATGACACATTGCAGATAACCTCACACTGCGACATCATGATCGCCTAGCATGGCCATTATCTCACTTCCAATTCGTCAAGACTGTGTCACCCTGCTTGATCCCGGCAGCAATCAGTCCGTAGTCCCACAGGGATTTTCTCTTCGTTGCATCCCTCGCCTCTTTCGATGTCTCAAGCTCATCCGTGCCGTTCAAGTATAGTGCCTTTCCCTTGGGAGCGTCAACCTCAAAGCACAGTCGTAACACATCCCCAGCGCTCTTCCACAATGGACGCATGGCACCATTCGGGTTGAACTTGACTGCCAGGTAAGCCATCATGGGGAGCATAAACTTGATGTTGAAATGCATCGCAGAGCTGCCCCGTCGGGTCAGGTCTGAGCTCATTGCGCCAGGGTCCAGCCCAACGACTGTGATGTTGGACAACGCTGGGTCTGTTGCGATGCGGTTGGCAAGTTCGTGCCTAGGAGCGGTAAGCTTATGTTGAGCATGCTGTTATTGGGGTACTTACATGAGCATGACGGCACAGAGCTTGCTCGCTCCATATCTTCGGAAACCTGTCCACCATCCATCGCCATCCTTGGGAGTGCTCCAGGTCCCCTTGGCGAGCTCCTCCACGCTAGGAAATAGCGTGGTGCGGCCCTTGTACGGCTCGCCACCGATGTTATTGCGTTTGTCGTCAATGCTGAAACAAGGTGTCAGAGATATTGTGATACATAGGTTCTATGAGAAGATACTCACTCATGGGACCAACTGCCAAGGATGAGAACCCGGCCCTTTTCCTTGTCCATGCTCTGGAGAAGCATGAGAGATAGCAACTGGTTCGCTAGGTAGTTGACATGCCAGGTTATCTCATAACCGTCTGCCGTCATGTTCTATCCTGGTCAATGCATAATTCTCCTCCGGTGGAACAGAAAACTCACAAGTTCCTCGTGGTCTTGATAGGCGGCATTGAGAATAAGCGCCTTGATTGGAGGCAACTCCCCTGCTGCGACCCGGCGGTTCAGCTCGGTTGCCATCTTCCGAACACTGGCTAGGGAGCTGAGATCCAAGTCCACGATGTCATGCTTGTGCGACTTTGATCCCGACTTGAGGACAGTCTTAAGCTGTGTAGCGGTTGTTACTTTGCGGACCGTGTAGACGCCGGTGTAGGCGGCAAGCTCAGGCTTCTTGAGAATGCCGGCAACAATGGCTGAGCCAAGGCCTCCATTGGCGCCTGTTAAGAAGATAGTGCCTTGAGAAGATGCCATGTTTCCCGGGCCTTTTCTTTAGTTGGAATATTGATTATAGCGACGGAGGGTATTGGAAGTACTTAGAAGCATGATCAATGTTCTGTAGGCCATGCTCTGGCACTTATACCCTTCCACCGCTGGAGACATGCGAGTACGCTTCGGTGTAATTTGATTCGCCAGTGTCAGTGTTGAGCCACTCATTCCACCAATTCCCGCAGTACATGCAACACACGCACTAACAAAGGGCTGAGGTGAGCCACTTTACTCACAACTCCGCAAAGTCCGACGAACACCATCATGACTTGGCCAAGTGGATCCGAAGCCTGCTGCTTAAGTTTATGTTTTGCCTTTCTTTTCCATTTTCGGACGAGCCGCGTTGGTTCATTGACAATGATCCAATCGGAGGCATGAACCTATCGCCGGTGTCTCGACATCGTGCATGCTTATGATGGTGATGGCCCTACACATGATCTGATATTGGTACGAAAATCATATTCATAAACGTCATCAATTTGAAACGGAGGAACTGGCTCGGGCATGCCGGCTTTAATTGAACAACAGCTCTGCTATGTAACTTATTCGGTTCTGGCATCTGCCAATATGTACATGATTGAAGAGAGAAAGAGTCGTACTTGCAGCATTTAGGTCGTCGCAGACAACACATCAGCCTAGTAGAACAGCTCAACAGCATCGAAGATGAAGTTGGGGTTCAAGTAAGTGTCGCCAGTGCTTCCGGAGATGACATCGATGGTAATTGTGTTGGTTCCGGCAACCAAGGTACCAGCGGGGATGGTCGCATCGTAGACTTCGCCGAGGCCACGATAGGCACCGCGGGTCACACCTCGGGAGTCGATCTTGGTCGGCGCGCTGAAGGCCTTGGTGAAGCTGCCGGCCGTGACTTGGGGGCGGCCACTGGCGAAGGCGAGGGTGGTTCCGATGCGAAGGGTGGCAGCCTTGGAGATGGCGGAGCTCAGGGTGAACTTGATGGTGACGGGGCCGTTGACGGACTTGAAGAGCGCCATGGGGAACTGGCCAACGGTGCTGGATCCGACAGTGTATGTGAGCGGGCCCCAGCTGGACATGCGGCTATCGCTGGGGTGCATGCGGAGCTGGTTCGCAGCGTTGCGGAAACCAGTGGGCTGGCCGTCCCAGTCGCCGATCTGGAAGACAGTGGTGTGCGAACCGGTGGTGATATCAGAGGTGGCGCTGATCGAGGACGAGGTGGTACCGCCGGCCGAGACGGTGACGCTCTTGGAAGCAACCTGGAGCTCGGTCTGGTAGAGAACCATGGTATACGTGCCGGGGACCATGTAGGGAGAGGTGAAGGAGCCCGAGGACGAGGCGGTGGTCCAGTACTGGTAGTTGGAGTTGTACCAGTGGACCACGGGGCTGAAGCCAGACTTGACTCCAGAGGCGGTACCGCTGACCCTTCCGCGAGCAGAGTCCGCAATGTAGTTGGAGATGGAAAGGCTGCTGAAGAAGCTGAAGTCGAAATCGCTCTTCTTGGGGATGCCGGAGCGCGAGAAAGACAGGACATACGGTCCGTGGAAGCCCTGGCGGTAGGACTCGGTCTGGGCGTGGTTCGAGTTCATGTAGAAGGTCAGGGCGCTAAAGCCGCCGTTGTTGTTGGTGTTGATGTCACGGAAGAAGGGGCCGCCAGAGCTCTTCTCGTAGGAGCGCGAAGCATGGGGAACTATACAGGCGTGGATGTCATTGGCGCTGCTCTGGAAGCAGTATGAGTCGGTGTCGATGAAGCGCTGGGACGAGTAGAACTTGGAGCGGGTCTGTCCGCCAACGTTGTAGACGTCGGAACCCTCAATGGCAGTGCCGCTGGAGGTGTCGGAGGCTTCGCCAAAGGGATACTCATCGGGCAGCTTGGATCGGTCGAGGCGAGCAATGTACCGCAGCTCACCAATGGCAGGCTCCGAGTTGGTGTCGGTGGCCATGTAGATGTTGCTCTCGCCACTCTTGAAGACGTAGTAGTGGGTTAGATCGAAGTCGCTGTTGGAGGCGACACACTTGACCTTGATGTACGTGCCTGTGGAAGTAAATTAGAACCGTCATCAATTGACCTCTTACAATGGACATACTGCTGATGGTCGTGTACGAGACGGTCGCGGAGCCCAGGCCAGAGGCGATGTGGGACGTCTGGGACGAGTACTGGTACTCAGTGCTGCGGTACTTGAGCGAAGTAATGGAACAGTCACTGCGCTTGATAGTGACAACGAAGCCATTGGAGCTGCCCGTGTCTACAACATAGCTGGCGGTAGATTCCGTTACGCCAAAGGCTGCCAGAGCCGGGACGGCGCTGACCAGAAGCACGGCCAGACTTTTCCAGGAAACCATAATGATGGATTTCCGGTCACAACGCAACTAGGCGGTGATGACTTGCAGGGAGGATTGACAGAAACCGGTTCCTGAAGGAGGAGACAAAAGCGAAGCAGAGGGAAAGGAAACGAGTAACCACGGGCCAAAAGGGAGGTCATGGCAAGTTGACGCTGACAACCCGCTGTATATATGCATCGCGTTACCAGCGAAGCCATGCTTGGCTCCCAGCACGATGGTCCTTCGATATACGGACATGCGGGCACTGATTGGAGGAGAAACAATGAATCGCCCGGTTGGAGGGTATGGTGAAACAGGAGGACCACGTTGAGAATCGGAGAGTGGGCGCACGAATCAACGGATGAACAGGGGTCAGGTCAGTACCGGCATGGAGCGGGAATGTGACGCTGACACGGGTTGGAGGCTGAACTTGGCAATGAGCGGGCTAACATGGAATAGGTCGCCTAACGAGGAAATTTACTTGGCATAGGCCTCGTCAATAATGCTATACCTAGGGAATATTACGGACGGGAGTCTGTTGGAAACGCATCGTCGCGCAGTATTGTCAGATGATGGAATACGCGGGGCTGTGGAGTACTCCGTACGTACCGGTTTATTCCAGGCCTGCTCTTCCTGTTCGGGGGCATCCTGTCTTCCGTTCCCGAAGCGGCGGTGCGATATTGCAACAGGGGTAAGTAGTAAGCTTTCGAAGACGAGAGTCACAAGATATACTCGCCATTAATTGTCCCGAATCTTCCGGCCCCGCTACGAAGTCGAAAGAATAGACGCAGGGCGGTGACGACGATCGGTTCACCGGTGGGGGGTTTCTCGGAGATAGGATGTTGCAACGTTCTCGCTCAGCACCCACAGTCACCTCAACATGGCGATCCTCCGTCGGAGGGTATGCTCATTTGGCAGGAGCGACAGCTAACGTCATTTGCTGCTCGAAACACGAATTCTTCGATACCATGTGGCGGAAATAAGATTATAAGATGCGAGATGAAGGACCCTGGCATAGGGTTCGAAATAAATTTCGATCTAAGACCTGTTCGCAAGCGGGGATACTGGTGCTATAGCTAATTTGGATAGAGCTAGATCCGAGTAGTTAGTTGGTGTTTTGCTGGTGCCGTATTTCCGGGTTATAAGTTAGCGTGCCTAGGTTTAAGTTGCTCAAGACCACAGAAAGCATATCACGTACGTCGACCAGAAGAAAATGAACTTGACATGTCGATACGAGTTTGTAAAAACCTCAATAGTCTAGGATACCATGGCGAATGAATTTAACCTCCACAACAGCAGAGTAAACACACTTATCAACCAAGAAGTGGAATGTTTGGGAAGCTTTTGGCAGAGTTCACGAAACAATGGATACGAAACATTGGGGGTTGTTTGAGATCGTCATCCCAACCCCCAAAGAGAGGCGATGCACTATGCTTGATTGACATGGTCCCAAGCTAGGACGAAGCTCCTCGCTGGATATTGACCCGAACTCCTAAGCGCCGCATCGTGCGCACACCTTAATGTCGTAATGCCCCCTAAGAATTACTCAGACAGCAACTAAGCACACCCATAATCCGAATATAGACAACACCACCGTCTTGCTTTTCGAGGACCTCGTTCCAGTACTTGAACCACTGGTACCATTTCCATTGCCATTTTCATCGTATTCGACCGCGAAAGTATCCGCCTTGCCCGACGGAGTGCATCTCGTCCCCGCCGCGCACTGGATCTCCTCGCTCCACTGCCCACTGGCACACCGCTGCCACGAACTTGTCATGCAGTTCCACTGACCCTCCGAGTCGCACGCCGAACCGACTTCCTCGGCCCGGCGCACAAGGGGGTTGTGTTGGGCGGTGAAGGTTCTAGCCAGGCCCGAGTTGGGTGTTGCCAGGGACTGGAGAATGAGAGATGACAGCACGAGCGCAGCCGTGACTAGCATAGTCGCTGAGAGCTGAAAGTTGCCGCTGAACCGCATTTTCGCAGTTGGTAGATCCGGCTCCGGAACCGGGAGGATGATCGGGATCGGCGCCGATAATGTGTGGGGAATCGGGGACGGAACCAAAATGTTGAGGCAGACCGCTTATTGACTCCAGGAAATGTTCGCGTTTGAGGGCCTTTAGTTTGCTACAAAAGACAAAGAAGTTTTGGACGATATGTGAGAAGTTACAGAATGACCTGACGTTAAATAAACTGGCCCTCTTATACCGCCTTCCACCTTTTTGCTTGAGTGAATTCCTGTTGATGCCCAGCGCCATCGGCGCCGTGGGTAGTGGGTCAACCCCGGACGTGGATCAGTCTCATTGGAGCACTGGTAGGGTAGCAAGCGACAATGGTGAGATGAAAATTTAGGGCGAGACATCAGTGCCGTCATTCTGTGTCATTTGGGTGCATTATTGTCTGCCGATGTGATTGTTTGCATAGAGTTGGGCTTGGTTGGTTAATTGGCCATTAGTTAGGACGAGCTGAATTGATGTGCGCCTATGAATGCTTGAGTTAGGCTGCAAGGGACCAAGATTCAGACACAGATGCGATGAACGATAAAACACAAGAGAAGGCATGATTGAGAATGTCAAATTCTCCGATTTAATTATGAAGGAGATCTACATATTGTCTTCAGCCCCGAGCTCGTGCGTCCATGACTTTGGAGTTGTGGACGGCGTCGTGGTGGGGCGTGAAATCGCCATGAAATCCACCAGGGATATCCGTACATTTCCATGGATGAAGTAAACCAATCAACTAAAACACACACCCGAAGAAGGAAATATTGTGTCTCTGCCGCCTTGGTGCGCCCACCCGTTTTCCTGTTGACCCCACAACCCAGAGATTCCTGATCTCGATGTAATCCAAGCAGGTAACATCCGCATCCACCGCAGCGACAATGCACCCACTTAGACGTTGGCGTTGGTATCCGATGCGGTGGTTCGGGCCGGGAGACGGGTGACTATCTCCATATTGCGGCGGGGTCTATGGGCCCTGTACGTCAAGACCATGAAGACCACGACGGTGATGATGACCGCGAAGATGAAGCCTCCCATGGTGGCAGCCACAATCAGAGATTGCTTTCGGGCGACGACGTCCCTGGAGGGAACCATGGTGGTCGCATTGAGACGGTCGACGCCGCGGAACTGGCCCTTGGCGGAATCCATTGTAAAGTGTTGTTGGTCGGAAGTTGAGAATGGAGAGCGCTGCTCGTGTTGCTTCTAGCCAACCGTCAGTATCGTACATTTGCGCAAGGGATGAAGAGGATCTTACAGGGCTGTAGGGGTAGTGCTGGTGGAGCGGTTTGCAAGAGTGATGGTCGGAGTAGTGGAGAGTCGGTTCAGGTCGTTTCCACAAGATGCCAGACCTTGCTGTGATGATTGTGATGTCAGGTTTCCAGAGGACACCGCACCTCTACTTATAATCGATCCTCAGCGGTGGGAAATGTCCATGTTTGCTGGTTTCGCGACCGACATTTCGTTGGCGGTTTCATTCTTTGTGGTGAGCTGCGCTAGAACGGCCTCTAGATGCAGCCACCAACATGCCTGGGCGCAACTCACCGTGAAGTTCTACCTGACGTATCATATTGCACTTCGCAACTTCTGGAATACCGGGAACTGTCCCGGCACACTAAGCCTCTTGGCTCTTGACCGGGCTCATAAGCGAAAGAGGCGTCTGGAAGAAGCACGCTTGAAACGAGCACAGGCAAGGGTGTTGGATAAAGATAGAACTGGTCTAAAATGTCTTATTGAATTACTCATTACGTCTGACGAGGCGTCCCAGCGCTTGGTACGCAAGCCTTCTCTCCGGCTATCTAAAACCCCTTCCAATGCGTGACAAAGAAAATCCTGAGGATGCGCCGTCAAGGATGCTGTGTCATGTGTAATTTTCCTGGTCGCCATGCCCCTTTCCATTTCCCATTTCCCATTAATCCCAATGCTTCGTACTCAAACATGGCATGCTCTAATGCATCGACTTGTTTCGTAAATCATCTCGCAATCTTGGAGGTGGTAAATCAGCGGCCAAAGAAGGTGCCGTTGATAGGGGGGTAGGTGGTATGCCACTGGCCGTCGTCGTACGTCTGAGGGGTTGCAGACGCCTCAGGGACGCTAGACATGCTGATGGCTGAGGTGACGAAGGTGGTGGGGATTGTGGAGAAGGTCGTCTGCTCAGTGGTGATGGTTGCCTGAGTGGTCTCCTCAGAGGTCGTGGCGTTCGGTGATGCAGTCTCAACCGGGGCGGTGTACTCAGAGTTCTCGGTGGTGGTGCTTGCCACCGTGACAGAAGATGTCGACTCAGCAGTAGACTCAGTGGTAAAGCTTGCTACCGTGACAGAAGTTGTCGTCTCAGTTGTCGATTCAGTGGTTGCAGCCGAGCTCTGTGCCGTTGGGGCTGGCTGCACATAAACCTGGGTGGTAGGCTCGGAGATGGCGATAGAAGTCGCGTCGGAAGCCTCTGTCTGAATAGTGGATGTGGAAAGCGACGTCACGCTCTGCTCTTCGGCCTCGTGGGAAGTCGAGCTGGTGGAAGTCGTGCTAGTGGAAGCAACGACTGTGACAGTAGTGACGTCCTGGTTAATGTCGATGATAGAGATGGTCGTCCGGGTCTCCTTGGTGACAGTTCTCGCTGGAGCGGTCTCAGTGGCTGTAGCGGTGATAGTCTCCGCCTCCCCAGTGCGGGTGATTGTCTGAGTGACGGGATCGTCGGTCTTGACAACTGTCTTGACAACGGTTACAGTACTCTCATCGTTCCCATCGCCACTTCCTGATTCAGATGATCCTGAATTGTCGCCGTCACCTTTGCTGGGTTCCAAAGGCACTACTGAGTACTTGGGCTTAGAGGCGGGCTCACGGACCACGATCACAGGCCTGGGCAGAGCAGTGACGGTGGTGTAAGAGGCGGAGAGGGCCAGAAGAAGGGGAATGAAGCCGCGCATCTTGGCGGGGCTTCTTCGTCAGGGCGGGTTCCACGAGTTGATTGTCGATGAGTCAGATTTCTTGCAGTAGTTTGTGATGTGTGTTGGAGGTGTGTTGGTGTTGAAGAGCGGGTCTAGCGCGAAACGGGCGAGTGACGTAGGATGAATCTTGTACAGCGCAAGAAAATCACTGTCAATCGCAGCCGATGTAATACGAAGACAATCAACGGATGCAGTTGTGGGTTGCAGTTGCATGAATGTGAGAGAGAGGTGAGAGAATACGAACCCAGGTTTCCTAGATTCGTTATAACAGGTGCAATTGAGATGGCTGGTGAAGCTGCGAATTGGTGGTGGTTGGAGAGCCGGGGTTGCGCTAGGTCCCGTCCCGCGTGCCTGAGTGGCCCAATTTGGTGCAGGGGGCCGTCCGTCAGTGGTTCAGACGCCTGTGATTCAGTGGAATGCGCTGCGGTTGGGTGAGCGGTACCGCGGGAGCGCTAGGTGGGGGGTACTATCGGAAGTTGCGCATGCGCCGCGACCGGGGTTCTTCACCAGCCACCCAGAATCAGGTGAACCAAGCGATCTGATTGGCTGTGGGTGATTCGTGGCGGTTTAGGTTCATGGTGCAGAAAGTGAAAGGGCGACGCAAGCCCCATTATCCTTGGCAGCGGGACGCACAGGATGCAGATGGTACATGTCAATTGTGCTAAACTTTCTAGATGCATGCGCGTCTGTTGTGCGCTGTACGGTACCTGTCCGCCGATCCCTTGGCAGGCATACAGCAGTTGTGAATCAGGGTCATCGCTGCTTCGATGCGAGCTGGAATTGCGTAAGTTTCAGTGGCGGTGCGTCGTCTTCCGAGCGGCGCGAAGGATTTGCGAAAGGTGGCTGGTGCTCCGAGTTGGGGCGCGCCGGATGGGGTCATAGACTGGGCCCACCCCGTCATGGGGCTCGCTCTGGCCGCTGGGTCTCGACTGATTTTCGCAGCACACTTTTCGGTACATTGGGCTGCATACAAATTTACAGTTATGCCTTGTACCTTGGTTTTGGACTAAGAATGACCTTCACTTAGCCTAACCCTTCCCTGAATGGGTTTAGAAGCAGCGTCCCTGCGTCACCAAGGCCACAGACCACCCAGCCCACTGGCATTCTGGCTTCGTGCCTCTCAGCTGAGGCGTTTGTGGGGAGACGGGATGATTATATCCAAAGCCCAGGCATGTAAGGTTAACTTACTCCATAGCAAGAGGCACCAAATGCAGAGTGTGGCGTTCTGACGCTGCATGGAACGATGCAAGTTAAGTTAAGAATAGGCTTCTGCTCCTGCTGTGCTCTGTACCGGATGGTGGCAAGGTTTACCTGCCAAACCACTGGACTCTGGAACTGTAGCGACGGTACGTCCGTCCATGTTGAAAAGTCCGAGGATATGGGGGCAAAATCGATTGGTCTCGTGGACCTGCGCCTGCACATGAGACGTTGTGATGACGTCCAGTGGCTCTGGGCTGTGGTAGCTGCTCCGCCACGCCTCTGCGCGAAAGCGCCAACATCCGGCCATGCCCAGTATGTACGTAGCACACCCACAATGCCCACCATCAAGGCTGAGCACTGCAAGCGGCTCGGCGTTCTGGATGTCGCCCAACCTATTAAGGCAGAGTTGTAGATACCTAAGCAGCCGTCTATCCGACCCTGCCTACTTAAAATAGAGAGCCGCGCACCTCTGCGAGATCCTGTTCTTGACTCTTGCAAAGCAGCCCACCTCCGTCCAGCCCGTTATATTCCCCTCCCCCGCACACGTCAACGCGACGACGCACTCGACAGCGAGAAGACCCCTCCATCCCACAGCTCCCGATCTGACCCAGCACCAAAATCCCGCGGTCATGTCATACCAAGGCTACGGCGGCGCACCTTATGGTCGTGAGTATTTCCACTCCTCTCAGTCGCAATCCTCCCAGTCGCAATCCTCCTAACCACCGCCGCAGAGCCACCCCAGCAAGGCTACGGCCAGCAGTATCCCCCGCAGCAGTACCCCCCGCAGCACGGCCAGTACCCTCCTCAGCAAGGTGGCTACCAGCAGCCTCCCCCCCAGCAACCGCCCTACGGCGGCTACCAACAGCCCCCGCCGGGCCAATATCCGCCGCAAGGCGGTTACCAGCAGCCTCCCCCTCAGCAACCGCCCTATGGAGGCTACCAGCAGCAACCTCCACCTCAACAATACGGCGCGCCTCCTCCCCAGCAGTACGGCCAACCGCCTGCGCAGTATGGCGCTCCTCCTCCCCAGCAATATGGCGCGCCGCCTCAGCAGTACGGCGCACCCGCTGGGCCTCCTACGCCGGCGACGTTGGGCTACGGCCCGCCCCAGATCATTCAATGGGACCCCAGCGCGGATGCCCAGGCGCTGCGCAAGGCCATGAAGGGATTCGGTACAGACGAGAGGACCTTGATTTCCGTCTTGGCGAACAAGGATGCTTTGCAAATCGAGGCCCTGCGCACGGCCTTTGACCGTTCGTTTAAGCGCAGCCTTGTAAACGATATCAAGAGCGAGACCAGCAGCTGGTTTGAATTGGCACTGGTTCAACTTGCCCGCGGCCCCCTTCTGGCCGACGTGCACAACTTGCACGATGCTATGGTCGGTGCTGGCACCAAGGAGCGTATTCTCAACGACGTGCTGCTGGGACGATCAAACGCCGATATTCAGGCCATCAAGAGCGCCTACTACCGCACCTTCCATGACAAGCTCGAAACCGTTGTCCGTGGGGATCTTAGTATGAAGACTGAGAGGCATTTCATCATGGTCCTCGATGGCAAGCGAGCCGAAGACTCCGCTCCCGTCATCCCGCAGCAGGTCGACGACGACGTCATGCAAATCTACAAGGCCACTGAGGGTAAAATGGGCACCGACGAGATCTTGGTCTGCAGCATCTTCACCAAGCGCAATGATAACCAGATCCGTGCCATTGCCCACACCTACAAGCAAAAGTTCAACAAGGACCTCGAGAGAGTCATCAAGAGCGTGAGTTTAAAGTACCCCGCACGTAGTTAATACTTTACTAACTTTCGTCTAGGAATTCTCCGGTCACATGGAAGATGCTCTGCTCTTCCAGCTTCGCAATGCTACCGACAAGTATATGCATGCTGCCAAGCTCCTCGAGGACGCCATGGCCGGCATGGGAACCAAGGACCACCTGCTCGTCACTCGTGTTATCCGATTCCACTGGGACCGCGCCACTCTCGCCAACGTCAAGGGAGCCTACCAACAGCGCTACGGCAGAAGCCTGTCAAGTAGAATCAGTGGAGAGACATCGGGCGACTATCGGAAGGCGTTGCTTGCTGCTATTGGCGAACCATGGTAATGAACGCAAGTGTCTCGAACACAAAAAGGACCTTGTCAAAGATATCATGATTGGGTGGGAATTGCATTTTTACCACAGTGTTACGGTCGCTGCTATGGAGGACAGGCGTTAGGGAATTTTTGATACCATGAACCACGGCGTGTGTCTTACAGCTGCGCATTGGAGTGGAGATGCTGGGATATGGATACCAATGGGTGCGACGTCAAGTACAAATACAAATCCCACAGTGTTACACTCGAAAAACAAATACCCCCTTCTGATGTCTTGTTATTTTAACGTGGTAAAACATGCGTCATTCAACTTTGGCAATTTATATGCTCTCAAGCGCGAACAGAACAGATAGCAACCCAGCTTAGTTAGGATAACGAAGATTCTAGGCACCATGTCACTGAACACCTAGCTTAACTTGACGTAACATATTTGCAAGAAATATAAACCTAGGTGTGAGGAGTCCAGTATAGCGTTGTGCGGCGAGAGCTCACAGAGCTCACTCTTTCTTACAGTGGGTGTGTAGCACGATTCCAAGTGACGCAGCTAACATGGATTGACTGATCTTTTCGGCTTATTAGGACCGCTGCATACTTAATAGTAGTGTTGATTTTTTTAGAAGACAGAAGGGGGGGATACAGATACAGTATTAATTGTTAATAGCTGTACTATTTTAGCCGTAATAAACACAATAATATTATTAAAGATAATAAATAATAATATAAATTAATATTTAAAAATATTTACTGTAAAACTTATTTTAAAATAGAGTATATACAGTTATAGCTAATAATATAATATCCACCCACTTATTTATATAACTTAGGGAGATAAAAGATATTAGTCTGATTTTAAGTTTTTAAAAGGTAAGTATAAGTAGCTTTACAGGAAAAACAAGCAGTGTCAGCATTCTTAATACTGCCTGATAATTTAGGCATCAAGCTAAGCTTACAGCTTGTGATTGGCTATATTGTGTGGGTCCTAAGACGCTAATAAGCCCGCTAATAAACTTATAATCAAGCAGCATCTCCTTTTTTCCCTGCACACCCTTTTTCTCCAGCGGGCGATTGAACCCATTGCCTTACCTGTTTTAGCGGCTCACTGAACGCGTGCCGCGCAGCTGCTCCCGGAACGAGAAGGCGCTATATCAACCTGCCTCGAAAGTGCAGATTCAGATCGCACTTGCCCAGCTTGTTTTATGTTACAGATGCATAGTACCTTCCTCAGGGCTTTTGTTCAAACTCGGTTTTACTTATGATCACGGAAGCAACGCCTGGACTGACGGTGCCATCCATTGAGAAGCTCGTCACATCAATCGCATCCCTGCACAAAGCTGAGACGAAGCTCGACAGCAGTGCTGGGCGCAAAGGAGTCGCGCAACCCGTCGCGCAACCCGTCGCAGCGCGGTTCAGATCCAAGATGGCTACGCACGCGGCCTTTCCTTCCTCTGGCGGGCCTGGTCAGAGTGTCGTCAACGGCGTTATGGCGGCTGTTTCGCCCTCTCCTTCGCCCAATGTTTCTGACTCAACTCTGCCCAACAGCGCGCCAGCATCGCGTCCAGCTTCAAGCGGCTCCCGTCTTTCGGCGCCACCCGTGACAGCATCGATGGCTGTGCCGTCTCCATACATGCATGCCACTCATGCTCCTGGATCTCATAGCTCACCACCGCTACCTCAGCATATGCCACATAATGGTTTTCCCTATCAACCGCAACCTGGTGGCTTGCAAGCTCCCCCTCCTCAGCAAGCACATCCTTATCACCACCGTGCGCAACACCTCCCTCATCAACAACCCATAGGACCGCCTTCCAACTTTGCGCCACCTCCGCCACCACCAGTCAGAGGAGATGTTCCCTCACCGAACAAAGGGTTGACATCGCCAACTGCAACCAACACCGTGCAGGGCTCGCCAGAGTACCATAACCTCGTGAACATGGTCTCGGCGGCCAGTCCTGAAACCGTTCGTCAGGTCATCAGAGATCGATGGGAGAAAGCGCTTCTGGGTTCACAGTATCACGTTGCATTCCTTGTAAGTCCACCCGGCTCTTCCTACGCTCTATCGCCACAACTCTGTTTGATCCTCAAGTCTTGTTCAGCTACGTTCAAGCGGCTCCGTCAAGCACTCATCTTTCATGCCAACTGTAGCATTTTAGTTGTTCTTTATCCCCACCTCCACATGTTCCTGATTCACGCCGGATTGTAGCTATTTCTCTTCTGCTTGAAACCCAATCGCGCTTATCATCTCGCCGAGATATCGTCACAGCTAACATGTAAGATAGTTGAATGCGACTATACACCAAGCCAACGCTGAGACGCTTAACCGAGCAGTCAAGGACTTTGGGAGCAATATGGTCAAGGTGTCAAAAGAGCACATAGTGCGACATCTAAGTGCCGAGGACTTTGACGAGGTGGCCGACTTGATACTTGCCAAGGTCAGTCCTGGCTTCTTGGACAAGGCTCTTGCTCGACGCTTCGAGACAATCCCGGCGCGGCAGCTGGTCAATACATTGGCACGAGCGGAGCGCCTTGGATATGACGTTCAGGATATTGTCAACGAAGAGCACGTCATGCCGTCTCTGCATTCCCTGGTTGTGCCATCTCTTCCTTCAAAGCCTGTTCCGTCACAAGCTATTCCATCCCAGTTCATGGCGCGGCAAAATGTTACTCCACAGCCTGGTTCGAGAGAGCCTATAGCCACACAGCTAGCGGCACCGCAGGGCGCCGTGGGCGCACCTACATTCACGAGTTCTAAACCAAAACCAGGTGGTATTGTGCACTGCGTCTGTGGTTGGCCTTGTAGCTCGACAAAGGCGCAGGAATACGTAAGTAACCCCCCTTCACGAACGATGCTGAGTGCTGACAACCCGCAGCATTGGAAGAAAAGTGCCTGTCACAAAATTGAGGACACGGACAAGGTGGGGAAGGATCTATGCCCTCATTGCGGATGTCGGTTTATCAGCGGCAACGGCTTGGCCTATCATCAAAAAGTAAACGTTTGTGGAGCATATACAGAAGAACAAGCAAGGAAAATGATGATCGCCATTTCCGCCTTCCGCAAAGAGAAGCAGGGCCAAAGCGCTGCTTCGCAGGCCCCTTCGCAAGACTCGCCAGCCTGGCGTCAACATCAAACCCCTCCAACTCAGGGAACTCCCAAACCGGGTTGGACGACACCATCGGGCGATCCGTACTCGAAGCTTACACCCGACCAACGGCGAGACTTTGAGAAGGAGATGAATGAGGCTGAGGAGTACTATGGCGGGTTGATGAGGCAAGCCATGGAGCTTCCGGAACCCGAACAGGCAAAACAGTTGGCGAGCTTAAAGAATCGATACAACACAAAGCAGAGCGTGACACGCAAGAAATACGGCATTCGACTCCGTGAGAGACGTAGCAAGGCGCAGCTCGACGCCCAGCGAAGCCGTCTCTTTGGAACGCCAGATGGGACTTCGTTATCAGGGCGTGATGATGATCCCCCTGCATCCAAGAAAGCGCGGACTAGCGAGGAGGGTCAATCCACCGTCACAGCGCAGGGTAATAGTAGCCAGGGTGACACGCCACGCAAAAGGATTCCGGTGGCCGAGATGGGTGGACTGTCAGGATCATCTGCAACGGCAGAACTAAATGATCCTACTGTTGTATCGACCCAGCTGCACCAGACACAGCAGCCCGGCCATACGAGTGGGCAAGCACCGAGCCACGTTCATCCTCCTCGGCCAGGGATGCCCGTGGCCAGCGGGACTCGGGATGAACCCATTTCTTTCGAAGATATTTCAAGTGACTCAGATACTGATACTGATACTGATGATGATGACATCCCTGCGTCGCTTCCTACGACTCAGGGCTGAAGGACCGCAGGGTGTCGGAGGTTGGCGTTTCTAGTTTTGAAGCTATTAAGGTGGAGGATGCTTGGGGCAATTCTCGGATCTAAGGAAGCATGGAGTTTGAGGCCCAGGCGAAAGGAGCTCGGCGGCTGGGAAACATGCTAACGATTTTGGACTGAAGTCTGCCGAATATATTTTGGGTCGTCGGAACGAGAACATTAGGAAGGGATGAAGGTTGACGTTCACTCGAACAAACAAGGTTCTAGACTCAATCATCCGTCGCTAGTTCTAGCTGGGGGTTCAGACTAATATATGTGAATCAGAACTATTGAGTCTAGCTCGCCCGCCATTGGTCCCGTCTTTGCCTTACTATCGGCATCCCAGCCTTTCGAGGAACAGTCCACTCGAGTCGATCAACTCAACAGCGAATTTGCAAGAAATGCGACAAATTGATACCCCGGATGCATAGCGAAACCACAAGCCAAAATACACACCTGCTAGGTGTATTCTTCAGAGTTTCTGAATGGTTGATTATGATATTTTTAAAAAAGGGCATCCGCCACATTTGAGTTTCACTGACAAAAACCCAGGGGGTAGGATATCAGCTCCAATTGAAGGGAGAGAGTGAGACAGCCAGGCAGCCAAAAGGGAGAAGATGTAGGCAAATTTAATGCCATTTATAGTTAAGGATACTATGCATTCCAGTGGCGTTTGGGTCGAGTATGTTGAGCTGTCGTCCCTTTGCTCTTCACGCCATCCCCGAATCCCGTCTTCTGTTCCCTACGAACACCTCATCATCACTGCTGCTATACGATGACCTACTCCAATGAGCAACGCGGCTCTTTGTTGAACGATGACGTCAATGCCACCATCGACCAAGGCCAGGATGTCTCCCTCGCAAAATGGACCGAGTTCCGATTTCCCCCGCTGCGGCTCCTCCTCTTCCGTGTCGCCTGGTTCCTCGTTCCCAGCTTTCTCCAGAGCCGATATATGCGTGAGCACGTCCGCCCGACGAAACTGGGCCCTACGGCCTATCTCGACGGTGTGAGAGGCGTTGCTGCGCTCATTGTCTCCTTCGGCCACTTTACGAGGCCAGGCTACGATACTCACATTGGCTGGGGGGTCGATGGCGGAAACTACCAATTCATGCGTCTGCCCTTCTGTCGTCTGGTGTACAGTGGAGGGGCCGCTGTAGCCGTCTTCTTCGCCATCTCTGGCTATGTCCTCTCGTATAAACCCATACAACATATCCAGAACAGAAAATGGCACACCTTCAGCACCGAATTGAGCTCCATGGCCTTTCGGCGTGCGATCCGGCTTTACCTGCCGACTACGATTAGCACGGCAATCATCGCCTGCATTATGCAAACGGGTATATTCGAGCGGACCCAATCGATCGAGAACAATAGAACATATTTTAATTACAACGTTCCCTTTCACATTCGGGCACTTCCCTCTGCATCCGAGGAGTTCACGCGCTGGGTCGATGTTGTTACAGGGGCGTTCTTCCCCTTTAGCTGGGACAAGTATGAGCCATATCAGTGTAGGTTACTGCATTTGCCTCGGTTCCCCCTTCAACTCCATGCTAATCAAACACTAGGGTATGATGGTCATTTATGGACCATCCCTATTGAATTCCGTGGCTCGTTCTACTTATTCGCTGTCATTTTGGCAACGGCTCGCCTCCAGACTAAATATCGGCTCCTTACTGTTGCGGCCATCATATATTACGGCTACATATGTTCCAGATGGGAATTCATATTATTCCTCAGCGGCATCCCCCTCGTTGAGTGGGATCATATTCGCGGGGCTCACATTCCACCTTCGGTCCTAGGAGCGAAGGAAACCACCCCCTCACGATCAACATTGAAGACAATCTTCTGGCACCTGGTCAGCGCCCTGGGTCTCTTCTTCCTGAGCCAGCCTGAAGAGGGAGGTGAGACAACCCCTGGCTGGGCTTACCTCACATCTCTGATCCCAGAGTGGTGGCAGGTTGAACAACAACGCTATTGGCAAAGCGCCGGTGCTGTCTGCTTCCTGTTCGGTGTCGCCCACTCGCCATGGTGGCAGCAAGTCTTTACCTCACGCATTGCTCAGTACTTAGCCAAGATTTCATACTCTATATACCTTGTCCATGGGCCAGTGCATCTGTTGATCTGCATGCCCTGGCAGAAGTTTGTGTGGGATCTCACGGGCGTTGAGGGAAATGCATTCCACGTCGGATACGTCTTGGGCGTCTTGTTCAGCATCCCAATGGTTATTATGTTTGCTGATATTTTCTGGCGGGCTGTGGATATCCCTACAGTCAAGTTTGCTCGATACGAGGCCAAACTCAGTGTTAAGGTCCACTAGAACACCTCCGCTCATTGCATGCAGCTTTGTCGCTCCTCGCAGCGCCCTACGTCAGGCGTACGCTTGGATCAGGAGGCAGTCGTGGCTGCAAGGTAAAAAGAAACACCGGGTATCCGGGAGCTATGACCGACACCGATCAACACTTCAGAAGCTCCAGAGCACTCAGCTCGTGGCACTGGTGGGGGGATGAAATCAGCCTAGAGACACAACCGACCTCGCCTAGTTCTGCCGCGTTTCGTCCAAGGCTCCAGAGGTGAGAGCATGGTGTGGGTAGCAAGGCGAGATGCGACTGTGCGGGTGGCGGAATGATGTAGTTGTGCGTCGAGATGTGTGTCGAGTTGACGAGCTCGAGCATGTGGGCGTCCAAGTTTCCGGTCTTGTATTATACTTGAAGCTAGAAGCGTCACATGGGCAGCGAGAGGGCTGGGAGAGAGGTCCGCCAAGTCTTGGCTCGGCATCCGAACGAACCGGTCTAAGCTGGTTTGGTTGATGATGGCCGTAGACATGGATATGAATATGGATGGATGGGGAGATGGAAATTCGCCGCTGAGGGGAATCTGGGCGAACGGGCTGAGCTGTAGTGGGTTTCACTAGCATGCAGTCGGGATATGGCTGTCAGAGAAGTTAGCGGCTGCAAGTCTGGGGTCAAATAAAGTAAAGTAAGTAAAGTATTCGCAGCTGTCATTCGCGGAATTGACGGACGGGGAGTCTAGAGCTTCTCCGGACGTCCTCGATCTTGCGGTCCGGTGTATCATCTCCACTTCGCTGGGCACTCTCCACCGCAACATTCCTTGTTCGCTTCTGGCATCACCAACGGGCCAGGCATGGGAAGCGCACACCAGGACGACCGGGATCAGACCGGGACGGACGAGGTGCAATCGGGGGCAGAAACAAAGCCAAACACCAAGACGGAGACGGAGACAGAGGCAGTGTCGGGAACCGAGATGCCTTCGTGGTGGCCGCGTGGGCGCTTGTCCTTTTGGCGAGACTGCGACTCTGGGCCACGTTTTGTTGCGCGATCCCGTCCCCTTGTGTGTTTGGAGAAGCTCGTGCGTGCGTTTGGAGTGCCTCGTCTGTTTGGCGCACCTCGTGTTTGAGGTGCCCGCCGCGATGGAACTCTCTCGGTGACCATCACAGATTAGAAACTGACGGGTGGCACCATGACCGGGCTACGCGAGCCAAGACGGGCTCGCACAGAGCAGAGCAGAGCAGAGAGAGTAGAGCACACACTGAGAAGAAAGACCCGGACAGTTCAGGGCTGGGGTGTCCTCTTCTCTCCCCAGCCAAACGGTGAAGCGAAACTCGACAAGGCAAGGTGGCAAGGTCGCTCGTATGAAGCCGAGACGAGACAGGAAGACCGTCAGCAGCGCGTCCAACACCCGGTCATGACCGCATCCGCGCGGGGCTCAGGCTTCCATTTCCTAGATCCATTTCCTAGATCCATTTCCTAGGATCCATTTCCCTTGGATCCTCGTCATAAGCGGAATTCTTTGCGGCTGTCACCCATCCGCGATGCGCGACTGGTCCGTCGACCGCTGGCGCCGGCGCGGGTGTTCCCTCCAGTTCCCCATCACCCGCCTCGCCCGCCTCGTGTGACAATGAGACAATATGAGAGCGACGGTGGGAGTGACAGTGGGACCGGGGTCGTTTCGCTCGTCGGCTTTTGGGCCAAGAGCACGTTTGGCGTGTTTTGGATCCGGCAGCTTGAAACGTCAACCGCCCCGGCCCGCTTGAATGGGATGCGCGCGATCTGCTAGTCACGGGGAGCTGAGCTGCTGCAGAAGCTGAGCTACATACGACTAGCTACTGAAGCTGAGCTGCGAACTACCCCCTTGGTGCTGGAATCGCCACTTCGCCACTGTTGATCATTCGCCAATCACTGGCTTGCCGTTCTCTATCCGCCTCGCGCCTCGCGCCTCGTGAAGCCTACAAGATGGCGTCGACGGCGCTGAAACCGCCAAGATGCGGTTCGTCTGTGCCCCGTTCGGGCGTCTGCAGCGCGTCCTGCGTCATGACTGGTGCGCCCTGCCAAGCCGACCCTAGGCCTTACTCGGGGCTTTGCAGGCTTTGCAGGCTTTGCAGGCGTTGCACGGCCAGGCGCTGCACGCGAGAGAGCCCAGGATCAAGGATCCAGGGGTCTATTCGCAAGCCAGAGTCCTCCAGCCCAGGGGAAAAACTCCAGCCTCAGGGCCGTCCAGGGGCATCCTCCCTGACCAGGACAGGATTGCCAGACTCGGTCGGGGTTCCCTCACCAAAAAAGACGCCTGTCCAGGGGTCAGCCAACCCACGCTGTAGTTAGTTGACGACTCGACAACCCGTCTGAGAAGGAGAATGTGACTGTGACTGTGTGAGAGCGTCAGAGTGTGTGGATCTCCGGTTTCTGTTGCCGCCTTGTTGATAACGTCCCCGTGGGCCGCTCTAGTGACGCCCTCCGGTTTCGATTCCTCTTGTTCCTTTCTCCCCATCTGGCCGGACCAGCATTTTATGTTTCTTCTTCGTCGATCAGCGTTTTGTTTTGTCTCTCTACCCGCCGCCGCCTATCCTCTTTTCCTTTTCCCTTCTCCTTTGCCAGTTACAATAACACCCAACCTCTATACCCCCTTGAGTCTGTCTTGTCTTGTCTGGCCTGCACACGCCCACATCGTCAACAACAACAACCTCTACACCACCTACCATGGCCCCGATCCTAAGACCAGCCAGTTTCGAACGCATGGCCGAGGCCGGCAAAGGATCCCGCTCCTCGACGAGCCGTCCCTCACCAACCTCGCAAATGATGGTTCCAACACCGCCGCCTCCGGGCCCTCTTTCAACGGTCCTCATCGGTCCCAAGCAGCAGCGCTTCAAGGTCAACAAGCGTCTTCTCTGTGCCTCGGCGTCCTTCTTCAGCGAACGCCTCCAGGATCCCTCCCAGAGCCGGCCCATCTCGCTCTGGCTCCCCCGCGAGTCGGCTTCCATGTTCGCCCTCTTCGTTGAGTGGGTTCACCTGGGGCCTCGCTTCCGCCACTACATCGACGATGCCGTCGTCAACGCCCGAGAGACTGGCGACCAGCACCTCCGTGATTTCCACTGGGCCATGATCCGCCTTCACCTGTTCGCGTCTCACCTCGCCCTCCACCGCCTGCAGGATCTCGTCATGGACGCCGTCCAAGACCTATATCTCCGCCGCGACTGGGACGTGCCCCCGAGCCTGATCAACTTCCTCTACACCGAGTGCGAGGACCTCGCCGCCATCCGCCTCCGCCGATGGGCCGTCGCCATGGTTGCCTTCTCCTTCAACGGCGGGCCTCACGGCGACTTCGACTCCCAGGACCTGACCGAATCGGAGCCGGCCCGCTTCACCGACCTCCTCGACCAGCTGCCCGAGTTCTCCGCCGACTACGACCTGCACATGCGCAAGATGCGCGAGTCCGGCCTCGACATCCGCTTCAAGAACCCGCAGCTCCGCATCCCCGCCAACCGCCTGCGCAACGACGAGCGCGCCTTCGGCTTCCGCCAGTGCTCCTTCCACTCACACCGTGCCACCGTCGGCGAGCGCCGCTGCCCCCACAACGGCGGCGCCTCGGCCAAGTTCCACCGCATCCACCACTCCGTCACCGGCACTCGTGGATCGGTCGTGGCGGGGCTGTCCACTCCGAGCCGGAGGAACCACGATATCGTTCCTCCGCCGCTGTTCTCGGGGCGACTTGACGAGGACGAAGAGGGAGATGTTGACGACGCCATCTCCAAGGCCATCAAGCACGTGAGGTCCATTTCCAGTACGCTGAAGACATGAAGGGGGAGTATGCTTGTACGAAAGCAAACCCCCCGAGACGGACGGGGCAGGGCCTTGGTGGCTTGTAGCTCTTCCTCATGAAGGAAGCCGATCCATCCCCTTGTCGTCCCGCCAGACACCGCGAGCCCGAGCATGTCGCCTGAGGCGACCTCGAACTCCAACACGGTGCTGGATTCAAAGTCCTGCAACTATGCGGTATGCCTGACTAGTCGACTCACCCACGACCTACAAGAGCGGCTGGCCGCCTACCTTGTGTTGCCGAACGGTCAACCTTTGTTGGCCAAGGCGAAGTCGTCAGTTGACTGCGACCCGACGCCGATTCCGCCTTGGGAGTCAGCGTCTCGGTATCGCTCATCCAGGGCAAGTAGGTAGATTATACATTAGGTAAATAGTAATTCATCAAAAAGATAAAATCGTCTAGAAACCCAATCGTATCATATAGTGAGATAAATGACATTATCACGGAACGGGACAAGGTGGAGAGAGATTGTGTCAACTGTATAGTATTTCTCGTTCTATAGACACTACTATCCTGCCCCATTGATTTGGATTCGTCTTCCCCTTTCCTATCCAGATAGGGCTACAGGTATACCAGTGTCCTCATCAAGACTAGCTTCCAGGAGGAGTGATTGCGCACTCCTGCACACTACCGCCAGCACCATCTGGCGTCCCTCTTGGTGGGGAGAGTGGTGGCGGCGGCGGTAGGGTTGAAAAATCAAAAACACGACACTGAGGCTCTGTTGGCCTGCTAGCTGATCATTCCATCATATCATATCATCATGAGTTGTAAATCGTTCCGAATCCAAAAAAAAAAAAAAAAAAAAAAAAAATAAGGCCCTTGATCGATCCGAGCAAAAAGGCAAGCCATCCAATCTGACGAGTTCACCAAAACGTGACTCGGGTCACGGGGAAGAATCCGTTTCCTGGCGTAAAGAAGAAATGCTGAAGAGTAAAGAGAAGCAATAGTAGGCTGTCGTCGAAAGCTCGCTGCCGTCTAAGGTATGCATCATGTTGGGGGTATGGCATGCGCCTTTTGATATCGATGGCGATGACTCCGGTCTCATATATGGTGTCGATGTACTCGTGAATCTCGTGAGACAACATCAAGAAAGAGCAAATGTACAAAAGAAAAATTTAGTAGCGTTATTAAAGCGGCGACTCGGATCGTCGCCGAGGTAGGCCCCGGCGGCGAAAGTCCTTGAGGCGGTCGTCGATGTAGGCAAGCCGGGTGGCCAGCGATGAACGCGTCACAGGGCCACTGTCTCCGGATGGTCGAACAGTGTTGAAAGGCCGGCGAATCGACCCCATGTCGATGCTCGAAGAATGCGTTAAGCGATTTGGAAAAGAGTGACTTGAGTTTGTGAGTGAAAAAGGCGAACCCAGCCGTGGGGGAGCCTCGACTGGAGCCGCCAACATGGCCAATTGGGGAGGTTGGGGGCGAGAAGCCTCGAAAAGCTCTTGGAGGTTCGCGCGAGGGACAAACAAGCTGTCTCTCTCCTCCAGAGAGGAAGAGCTGAATTCAGGCATTGCCGGTGCAGTGCTGGGCTCCTCGGTGGCAGAGGTTGGATCCACCCACAGATCGGATCCAAGACTGGGTCGCTTGATTCTGCGAGGCTCCAGCAGCGGCTGCTTCGACCGTCGTTTCTGCGTAGATCGACTGCGGGTGAGTCTGACGGGGGACTTCAGAGCCCGGCGCGGTCCGGTTGTGTGACTTTGCCTATGCAGGTCTGAATCGATGACGAAGCTCGAGGGGAGCGAACTTGAAGAGCTTGGGCCGTAGCTTCGAGTGGTAAATGGCGACGCGAGCGGGGCACCATCAGACTCCAGAGGCTCGTGTCCAGGGAAGGGAGGAAATGCCTCCGTGTAGGATGGTGGAGGAGGGAGCTCCTCGAGTTGAGGAGGGTCAGGGAGCGAATTGGTGAGCTGGGCCAAAGGACCCTGCAGCTGCATCGACTCCGACGTACTGACGGCCAACGACATGACCATGTCCTGACCAGAGAATACCGAGGCAGAGCGGCGGCTCCAGAAGCGAGCCGCACTCTTTCCAAAGGGGGTTGGGCTGGGAGCCAGGTACTGCTGATTACGTGCTGACGTCCTCGCATTAACTTTGGAGAGCTCTCTGAGATGGGCTCGGGTGGCTGCACAAGTATGCGGCCATTGGACAAAGGTGCCGGAGCGCTGCGCGGTTGGTGTTGTGCTACCGCTTTTGCTGTCGGCAATTGCCTGCGACTTGGATCCTTTCCAGCTCCTCTTTGCCTCCCGCGCAACACGCAAGCATACACCGTGTGGGGGGATCCCGCTCTTACCGAGCCGAATAGGTGTAACTTTGGGATCTTGCAGGTACATCATGTATGTAGACCACAGGTGCTGGCTCATTGGCTTGGTCCAAGGTGCCCTCCTCAACTTTCCTCTGGATACTGCACTCGGTTGCGCCTTGATGGTCTTGTCGGCATCTTCAGCCGAGGGCAGCTCGACAACGTGATCGCCTTGTTCTGTGTCGGGGCTGACACATCCATTCAACTCCTCGGAGCTGATTGAGAAGTAGCTGAGCAGGGAAGTGCTGGTGTGTGTTGAGTGCGCAGTAGAAGGACGGCTAGACTCGTAGTCTGGGCTTGACTCCAGGCTGCTGATGGTCGAATCGAGAGACCATTTCGGGAACTGCTTTGGGGACAGAGAGGGTACGAGTCCGGGCGCAGGGGTTTTGGGAGGCGAGAACATGCGCTCTGGGACAAGAAGTGGTGTCAAGGGCATGTCGTCCATGTCGCTCAGCTGGGACAACGGGTACATGCCACCATCCATATCCTCGTCGAGCACACGGGGCTCTTCGATGCTCGGGATGGGGATATCTGCAGCCGCTACTGAGGCGAGAAACTGCTGCGTGGGCGCGGTAAGATTCGACGCATTCCTCCTCTTAATTCGGAATCGAGGTCGCGGAGGGGATGGCGGCTGCGCATCGCCCTCTGCCGTAGGCTCAGGGGTCTTGAAGAGAGCATCGCAGCAAGCGCCTCGCGACCAAGCGGCCGCGAAAGGTTGCAAAGGCGGCATGTTGGAGTAGGAGGTATGCGGTTGCGCAGTGGTGTCGCGCAGAGCAGGCGGTGTCGCAGTATAAGTAGGCGAGGGTAGCGACGATGGCCGGGGGCAAAAGGAAGCAAGCCGGAAGTTTCGGGGCGTGACAGTAATGTCTTAGATCTTGTCGCCGTGCCGCTGAGTGTTGATATTGGGAGAGGTTGGATTGCGATAAAGTTATAAGCAAATGTCGAGTGTCGGTGACGCAGAAGTAAATCTGGGCGTCGTGGAGAGGTCAAATCAGTCGACCAGCTCAGCTAAGACGTGTAGCTCGCTCGTTTAAGGTGCCGGGAGGTTGGATAATAGGCGGCGAGGAGAACAGAGGTGGCGCGAGAGCGACAACAGAAGGAAACGGGTGGTCGTCGCGAAGCGTCGTGGGAGCAGTCGAGTCGTGCGGGATAGTGTTGGCTATGTGCGAGGCAAGACAGTAGAGTAAACGGAGCTGTTTATTGCGTCGCCGTCGTTGTGGTGTTGTGGCTGTCGTTGTGGTGGTCGTCGCCAGCAGTGGACGGAGTTGCCGGTCGCAACAGTACTCACTCTTTACTTGCGCGCGCTCTGTCGCAGCTGTGTTATCCAAAGTCGGACGGGCACAGACACAAGTCGACAAGAAGTCGACAACGAAGATTGAAAAATATCGACAGCTCAACTCAGGTCACCCGGCCGGTAGACGGCGCAAAGGCACAGAGAGGCACGGGACACAGGGGGGGATGGGCGCAAACGAAAGACTGGAATGGGGAAGAGGTGAAGAGGAAGGGAAAGGGAAGGGAAGAAAGGCGACGGAGTGAAGGTGGGTGTGGCGGGCGGGAGGTGTGCGGTATGTATGGGGGACCCTTCGTGTGCTGGTTTCCCACTGGCCGCTGGGCTTCTGGGGAGTCCTCACTAGGCCGGTACCTACCTGAGGTACCTAGCTCGACCCAAGGTTGGGTGCTGTGAGGCCGCTGGGACACGCCTTCAGCACACGCCCGGGGCCGTCGCAAGGGCCGTCCAGGTGGGCCAACAGCGAACAGCGGGTGGCGCGAACCCTACCAGTGTATGGAGGTACTTGTGGTACTTCGTTCCTGGCTGCCCGCTAGGTGCCCCCACTAGCACTCCCCCGGGCCAGGCCCTCTCCCAGGGATTACAGCGGTTGTAAGCGGGCTGCCAGGTGGTGGACGAAGTGGAGGGCCATGGGCTCTCGAGGTACCTTGCCGTAGCAGCTGTACCCGGCACCCTCTGGCGTCTTCTCCCCCGACAAGCCCCCCCAACAGTCGCAGCAGCTAGCGCACACGCCCTGGACAGAGTCCACTCCGGCAGCGCCCGTCGCAAGAGGCGATCAATCGGCGGTCAGTCGCTGGAGGGCACGTTCGACGATGGTACGTGCTGGCGGGGAGCAGGGGCCCTGATAGTGACGGACGGGATAGGTTTGGCTCTCATAGTTGGAGCGCTCAGGGCACTCAGAGCACTCACAGCACTCACACAGTTCGAGAGTCCAGATGGGAGGAGAAACGAGGCGGTGGAATGCAGGACGGGAGACGGGAGCCAAAGTCTGGGCCAACCTGAAGCAGTAGCTCTCTGGTTTGGTCCCCGAGAGTGTGGGTGATGTAGTAGGCTGGAACTACTTACGACATGCAATGTACAGAGTACTGAACCATTGCGTCCCGAACACCTGCGTGGTCCGCGCCGTGCGTTCTGCAACTCTGCACACGTCCTGGGGCTTCTGGGTAATTTCACAATCAACCCCGTCCTGAATAGGAAGCGGCAGTATTAGACTTGGCCGGGGCCGCGCATACGCAAATACGTCGCACGGCTAGGCGTGTGGGAGTGACCGTGGGAGTGGCTGTGGGAGTGGCCGCGGGACGCACCACGACAGCCGGAGCTGCATATTCATACAGGTTAAACAGCTCCACGACCAGCAGCGGCAGCAGCAGCAATAGCTCTGCTCCGCATGCCCTGATTGTCGCCTGTCGTTGGGTGGATGAGGGCCAGTGGCTCAGCAAGCCCCCAGACTACAGCAGACGCGTTGTTTGGAATCGAACGCGACGAGAGCCGGATTGGCCAGTGGCTTTTGTTGTTATGGTTGAGAGTGAGACAAAAAGCCAGCACAGCTCGGGTCCCAACAGGCAAAGTCAGGTCACTTGAGGTAACTTTTGGGCGCCCCGTTGGAACTGGGGCACTTGGCACCAGCGAGGGATACAACGTAGGTAGTATTCGTCGTGTCCGTACGGAGCAGCTGGCGATGGACTCTTTCGGGCCCAGAGTGGCTGGTGGAGCCAACAAGCGCCTTACCTTGGGTAGGGCGAGCCTCTTGGCCAGATTCACGGCCACAAGCCAATCCGGCAAGGTGACTGGATGGGCGTCCGGAAAGTTTCCAGCGTGTGTGAAGCGGGAGGTTGGCTCCAAGACGGACGGCCAACGTTGGGCTAGGGTTGCTTTTAGGGTCTTGAGGCGTGTGGAAGCTGGTCTGCTATTGACCTGGGCCAATTGTGGATGTGATGTGCGAATGCAGGTCGGCGGCAAGAGAAACAGTTCCGGCTGAGTCGCTGCAGCATAAGTAAGGTAGCCGGGGCTGTTTGGGGCTGTTTGGGCGCATCAGGAATGGGGAATGGGGAATCGACCAAGTGAGGGGTCGTGATGATGCGCAGCGCAGCTAACATGATCGGATGCAGGTTGGGGACCCGAGCAAACGACCCAATTCGAGGCTGGATGATGATGGCAGTATTTCAGCTTGGATGACATATTTGTCCTGTCACTTACAATGACTTCGAGTCTATCCTTCATCGCCCAGCGATTATGGAATGCCTTGGAAAGAAGGTAGAGGTAAAATCTCTGCGCTCCTAACCTAGACGCGATGAGGGGAGAACGCGAAAAATACGCGCATGGACGCGTTGCATGTGGCCGTCGAAAAATGGCATGTCACACAAGTTTTGCAGGTACAACCCAAACCACCATCTCTCAATTGACCGACCAGCCTCCCACCCAGCATCTTTGAAGGCCAAGTTCACATGTCCATTTTGGGATTGCCTTGACCCTTTCCGATTTTTGCGCGGTTAATGTGGATGTAGCAAACCTGGGCGCTCAAACCATGCGGCGAGTCATTTGTGTGGCTGTAGTCGTGGTGGTGGTGGTTGTGATACCAGAGTGTGAGAGTGATTGTGCGCGCAATCAAGCTGCGTCACTTCTCAGCTGGACGGTTGGATGGGTGGAAGGCGTGGGCGAGTGCTACCTAGGTAGGAGGGGCAGACAACCCAAAAGTACCCACCGTGGCTACCTAGCTCCAGCCCAAACCCTCCAAGAGCAACAAATCAGAGGCCAAAGAGACAAATGTGACGGCACAGAAAAACGACAACGAGCCACAGACACACACGCCCAATGCCATCGTCATCCGTGCTGTTGTTGTTGGTATGCTTGCTCGGAGGCTTGCGAACCAACCAAGCCCAGTTGACCCGTCCTGGCACCGCCAGCAAATGTACTAGGCATCGGTACCAACGCGATGCCTAGAACGCCGGGCAAGACGAGACGACGCCCAGTCCCAAACAAGAGACATGCGGTGAAGCCGCTGGATCACGGCCTTTCCGCTTCCTCCTCCTCGTTTCCTCCCTGCCGGCGAACTTGATGGCCGTGCTCGGTACTACCGTGCGACAATGTGACGCCGAACCGACGACGAGTCGTGCCCTACCCGTGGCTTGCAACACGGCTTGCACCTCTTGGATCGTACATACTTCGCACGTACATAGTGGTCGGCCACAGGCACCATGGATCATGGGCCCCTCAACCATAGGAGCTCGCAGCAAGGACCAGGGGACCACGGCTTTACAGACAGACAGACGCCGCCTGCCGATCCCAGCTGAATCCAGCTAGACCCCGTCCGCATTCCCGTCCGCCGTCTGGCGAGCGACTTCATGGTGGATTGGGCTGGTATAGGGTGTTCTCAGCTGGTCGAAGTGACATGTCCTGATCATGTTCATCCCCCCGGTCGGCTCCTCGTACAAATGCAACGGTCCGCATGGGGGTGCACATGGGGGCGCGCGCGCAGGCACTGCAAGCAGGCCAGCTCTGGCTACTGGGGGCGACGGGCGACGGGCGACGGGCGACAGGCTATGGATGAAAGTTCCACGTCGTCATTCGACGGTCGTCGCCAGCGACGCCAGGTCGCCGCCATCGGTCAACCGCCTGCAACCGCCCGATGGTTGCCGCCAAATCTCGATCCACCAGCTCTGCAACCCTTGCAGCCGTCATCGCGTGTCGTTTTTGCGCGTTTCGGGTTGACCGTTACGTCGTGCTGTTGCAGCTAAAACCGCAGCTCAACCGGCCGTCTCTTGGGCCGGAGTTGTGCTGTGTTCCAAGTGCTCACCCAATTTCGTTGTCTTGTCATTTGGGAGGCTATGATTTATAGACACACGGCCATTGCACTTCTCCCTCGCTCCCACGATGCCACCAAGCGCCTGGCAGCTCCCACGTCGCGTGTCTGAGACATAGGAACCTTTATTTGTTTACTTACTTTGTTTTGTTGTTTTGATGAGTGGATTCGCCTCACGGAGTAACAGCCAGCTGTAAGCCCGTCAGATCAGATCCCGCGTGGAGGGCGCTGGTGCGACGCATGTGCGTTGGCCTGCTGCAGACCTAGGTGCATTCCTGCCTCCTTTCACGTATGTACATGACTGCGCTGACGAGCTGGTTGGCTTGCACGGGGTTGGAGCTAAGGTAGGTCTGGCTACAGTAGCTAAGCTGAGCGAGCTGCTGGGATTGACAAAGGTCCTTCCCCGCCGCCTTGGAACGAGGAGACGCGAGGCGAGGCGAGGCGCGGTGCGGCGCAACATTAACATCACATCATGTCTCTATCGTCTCTGGTCTCTGTTTGAGCGGAGAAGTAACAGGATTATCAGCACAAGCCTCAATCGTGCCTCTCATTCGGTCCTCTAGGATGGCCTAGAACGCTGCTCTTGGTCGAGGGAAGCAGAACCAAACGAGTTGAGGCGCGAGCTTGCGGCTGTGGGCTTGGACTTGTCTCTGAGAACCCTGACGTTGAAGCCTCATGGGCCTATCCCAGCCAGCTGTCATCCAGACCCCGGGTAGGGGGGACTGAGACATACAGGACGGGCCACGCAGGTACCTGCTCACGGATGTCGAGCACTGGAGCACTGGAAGCACTCACCGCCACGCCATTCGCCATTTGCCGGCGCTTGCTGGGTTGGCACAGAGGTCTCTCAGCGCGGGCCTTTGGGGGGCTTGGGGGGCTGTTCTACCTGGCCAAGCTTGTGGCCTATGGCCTTTGGCCTGGCCTTTGCTTAAAGTAGGTTGGTGGCTTCGGAACATTTTGTTGGCAGAGAGTACTCCGCCCGTACGCTGGATGTACTGGGGCTATGGCTTTTCCAGCTCGCCTAACCCCTGTGACGGTACTACAGCAGGTACACATGGCGCGCACTGCAGCCGTTGTTGGGGTTAGTGGATTGAGACCCATCTTCTGCCCAAGGTACCAGACTTAGCTCAGTCAGAAAGCATTGTCCTTGCGAGCCAGCTGTCGAAGTGTGCCGCTGGCTGCCAACGTCTTGTTCTCCTGAGCTGGCTGAGAGACCTAGTGCTGGTTGGTGAGTTGGATTCTGTGGCCATGGTGATCCCGTGCCATGTTTCCCAAATAGTGAAGAGGCTTTCGTCTCATTCATGGGCCGGCAAATGGGCTTCACGCCCGCAACGTCTAGTTCATGCACCCATCCCTCGACGAGGAAGCGGGGAAGCTGCTCTTATCAGCCCTCATGTCCCATTCAGGCACTTTGCCATACGCTCCAAGCAGGCCATCTCAGCGGCGACCGCGCTGGCAAGCTGTGCCCACGTGTGTTGGGAACTATTGTGACGTCGCCGACATACAGGTCGTCAGGACAGAGGGGTTCATGGACGCTATGGACCAAGAGGCGTCACCCGTACGGCGCAGGATGCACCGCTGCCCTCGAGATGAAGAAACCATCAATCCGGTACTTGGACACGACCTTCAACGTGCATGTGGCTGATGTCTCGTCTTACCATTCTCATTGATCTCTACCCCGGAATGGTTGCTGTTTCGAGGCCAAGAAGTGTTCCACGGCGAATCCAACCCGGCCCCGTTTCGGCTCCGAGGCCGGTACGGTAACGCCAAGACCAACAACCTATGCGGCTCTATGAGTGCGAAGCCGTCCCGGTTCGTAACCTCAAGCTTTACCTGCGCAACCTCTACGCCCAACCTTTGTGGCCCATCGGAGAAAGAAACCCATCGGAGAAAGAAGTATGCAAAAGGATTTAAATCGCTTGTTTCCTACTGCTCAATTTCATCTCACTCCATCATCCCCTTCTCTTCTCTAAACCTGAAACTTCCATCTTAGACCCACAGATTCTCCTCTCCTACTAGCCGACTTGCATCATGGACAACTTAATAACCCTCGAGAATTTGAAGGAGAAGCTTCCACCATGGAACCCCAACTCCGAGAGCCAGCTCTTCGCCATTGTCGATATGGGAAGGTATGTGTCCTTGCTGATTCCCTATTATAGGTGCCTTATCTAACAGTTTCTTTAGCAACGGCACCCGCTTCTCTATTACTTCCCTGGCACAACCTACTACTCGCCTCCTCCTCCCCGTCTATGCAAACCGTGCACGCATTTCTCTCTTTGATGTTCTCAGGAAAAATGACAACTTGTTCCCCAAGGAGACTATTGACGAAGTTGTCGACACCCTTCTCCGCTTCAAGCGGATATCTATCGAATATGGCGTGCCAGACGGTCAGTTTATGGTTCTCGCCACTCAGGCTATGCGCACTGCCAAAAACGCCGCCGACATGCTCACTGCCATTAATGAGAGAACCAAGGGAATCTCCATGAACATCCTTGATCCGAAGGTTGAGACGCTGTTCGGCGCCGTCATGGGTTCCCGCAGCGGCCTGGTGAATGCCGACGACGGCGCCCTCTTCCTGGACATGGGTGGTGGCAGTGTTCAGATGACATGGGTGAAGACAGGCCCAGAGGGCTATGAGATTGTCTCAGCGAAAAACGGTACCAGCTTGAAGTTTGGTGCTGTTGCGTTGATGGACATCTTGAATGATGAGAAGAAGACGCATGGTCAGGCGCTCAAGGAACTCGACGCAGGCATGTCGCAGGCATATGACGACCTCTGCAGTGCATTCCCCGATCTCAAAGCCATCAAGGACGCCTACGAGAACGGTAACAAGCAGTCCAAGGTCAACGTCTACATGTGCGGTGGCGGCTTCCGCGGCTACGGCAGCATGCTCATGCACAACGATGCCACTTACCCTTACCCCATCACCTCCACCAACGCCTATACGGCGCCTGGGAAACTTTTTAAGAAAGTTGACAAGATGAGCAAGGTCAACGAAAAGGAAGAGGGCGAAAGAATCTTCGGCATGTCCAAGCGCCGCCGCGCGCAGTTCCCGGCCATCGCCCTCGTCATCGAGGCCTTCATCAAGGTGGTGCCGAACATCGGCAATGTCTCCTTCAGCGGCGGTTCGAACCGCCAGGGTGCTCTGATGATGATGCTCCCATTCGAGATTCGCGAGAGCAACCCCATTGATGTTCTGGCTGCCGTCTCTGAGGAGGAACGGCCAATTTTCGACGCTGTTTCGGGTCTCCTACAGGATGCTCTACCCCGCGAGGTTGACTTCTCAGAAATCCCAACCGTCTTCACCGCTGGCCTAGACGGTCTGTTCGTCCGGGATATCTGGGGACGCGCTGGCTACGACAAGGATGCTGACGCTGCCTACGCCCTAAACAACGCGATTCTCCGCGACCCCGAGGCCCCTGGCCTGACGCATCTTGGCCGGGCTCTCCTGGCGCTGACTGGATCAGCTCGGTGGGATGGGCACCTCGGACCCGACGATGCCAAACTCTTCAAGGGACTGACTGGCATCGTGGAGAGCCAGAGCGAGGACTCGCCCGTCTGGGCTGCATACGTCGGCGCTGTGGCCAACGTCATTGCTGCCATTCTCCCGGTCTTCCCAAAGAACCCGGATGAGGTGAAGAAAACCATCAGGTTAGTGGCGCACTCTATCCCTTTCTCGTATGATAGTGAAATATTAACAATCATTTAGGATCACGTCAAGCATCAAGAAACACAGGGTTGTTTTATTGATCGGAGTCGCCTCCAACGACATTACAAGGGGTCTCGACCTAGACGAACTTGTTAAAGTAATTGAAGGGGCCGCCAAAAAGAGGAAGGAAAAGAGCCGCAGCTTCAAGATTTCCGCCAAAATCCATTTGTTATCATAACTCGTGGCGCATATAATCTGCCCAAAGAAAAAACCACTCAAAAGCCAGGTGCTTAGAAATATAGAGAAATAAAGCGTCATGACATCATGTATCCAATACGAATAGCCCAATACCATTCTTTTTTGATTTGAATTTTCTTTTGTGTATCCGAAATGACTGGAATTGGCGCTTCAACCCTACTCATCATCGTCATAACCATCAGATGTATGGCTGCTTCTTGACTTCGATGAAGAGCCCTTGGGAGTTCGTCGTCGGGCACTGAGCTTCTTGAGTTCATGGTTGACAACCAGCGCGCAAAGCATGTGGTCGATTTCGCCATTGGACTGTTGAATGTTCTCGTCTATGAATAGTTAGTGACCGTGGTAGGTTGCAATGGGCTATAGGGTACGTACATAAACCCTTCTTGGAGCTCATCATGTCCTTGGTGAACTTGCGGATCCTCTTGCTATGGCATGCTCGAGAAGGATAAGTCGATGACTTGAGCCAGTCCAGTGACATATCCAGGCTCTTCTTTGTTCTAAACTGGTAATGGTAGAAGATAGCCAGAAGTGGGAAGACTTTGTCGGTCATCCATTGATAGAGGGATTTTGCGTGAGCTATTACCGCTGATTAGCACGCCATATTTTTTAAGAAGGTGAGCGACTTCATACCAACGGCTGGGTCATGGACAGGACCCATGCGGGAGATGTCGGCCTTGAACGCATTGAGAAGGTCCCGGTACATCAACATCAGCTGCCACATGCTCGCCCAAATAGCCAGCTTTTCCTGGGTCTTGGGAGGGCCCTGGTGTGCCACGCATTCATCCAGCTGCTTGAAAACATCGTGCTCGAGGGACTCGAGTGCTTTGCGTGCAATGTGCCTCACCTCTGCCTGAACAGACAATGGCAGGGTGACCAATTTGTTGCTTGGGTCGAGGCATGAAAACGAATGGGTCCTCCAGATTCTGAAGAAACAGTTCATTCTGTGAACCTTGCTCACCAGGTCGTGCTAGCATCATGTTAACAACTGAAAGGATGATAGAGGAGAGATAGTGGGTTACCTTGGGGAGACCATGGCCTTCCTCAGAGTAGGCCATGAGAAAGCTCTGTAGCGAGTGTTTGAAGTGGGAGCTGCTGCTCTCGCGGTGGATCTGGGCCTCGACCCACTTCTGAAGCTCATGGTGACCAGGAACTCTCTCTCGAGGGAATGCTGCCTTTCTGGGATTCTCCTCAGTGCCATCATGGGACCGGTAGGCCTGGACGGTGGCACGGAGGGCAGGGGAGTTGACGTCCCGCGAAGAGACGAGAATCGCAATTTCTCTAGGCTTGCCGATAAAAAATCGAGGTTCCAAGCGGAACCTTTCTTCCTCGGCGGGGTTGACAGACCAGACATCTGAGATGTCTTAGTTACTATGTCTCATTCCATATGGGGGAGTTGGGTCTTGACATACCAGGGGCCCTGCCAATCACGGGCCAAACCATGACCGGGGTCATACGGGTACAGACTAGGTGCGAGTGCTCTGGGAACGCTTTCCGACATGTAGGACAGACCCCACTTTCATGGCACTAAGACTGGCTCAGTTTTGGATTCTTTTAGGGAGTTTGAGTCATGCCTTACACGGGTCTTGGAGACTCGACATGGGAGGCATGCCCCACTCTTCCGGACATCAGCTGTCTGGTCGGGGTCAGAGACAACTCGTCTCCTTTCCAGTGTATTGCCAGAGCGGCGGCGCTTGAGACTGGAAGTTAGGTCGAATGGCCGCCGAGATGAATCGTCTTGGACTTGAAGGCGAGGTGGGTATCCTCGAGTGGCGTGCTTGTGAGGGACGGTCTGAGGGTAGGTCCACTCATCATCCTGGGCCTGGACCTCTCTGAGACTAGCCTCGGGACGTCGACGAGATTCATCTGCCCTCTCAAGGAAGATAGAGCCGGAGTGGTCCGAAGGAGAGGTGCTTCCACCCTGGATGAGCTCAGGTGGCGTCTGACCGGAGTAGTCAGACGGGGTAGCCTGTTCATCATCGGGAGAGAAGGAAGTCTTCATCCTTAGGAACTCTGACTCTAGTCTCTCAAGAGATAGATGATCAATCACGGAGGGAATCTCCGTGATGAGCTTATTCAGATCCCTCGTGGACGTTCGGCCGTAGTAGGGGGGGGAAACGATGTCCGAGGGCCGGGTAGAATCACAGTAACCCTGCCAGTCGAAGAAGGAGTCGAAGAGCTCATCATCCAGGTCTGGGGAAGTGGGAACACGCGGGTTTTCATGACCTATCTGGGCAAAGTCCCTGGTAATATCCATGTTGATTTCCGTGTAAGTCACGGGGATCTGGTGGAACCTTGGCTTCTTCTTGGGCGAATTGTAACACGCAGCTCTTGTCAGATGGCGATAAGGTGAAAATGCCCAATGTGCCAGATGCTTGTGTGAGATTTGAGCGATTCAGAGACGCGTCCTGGCACCAGAGAGTTATAATTTGGCGTTCCATGGAGGTTCTTGTGGACTCATTCACTTACACCATCCCCAGATGTGCATTCTCGGTGAAAGCCGGGGCCCTGATTGGCCAGTGTTGAAATAGACCCACTAATACCGACCAATCAAGGACCCCTCTTTCACCGATTTTGACATTTCTCTCGAATAGGTCACGAGAACGGTCATGTGACGCCAACTGTCGCTGTATGAGGAACGAGAAGAAGTGCTGAAAGTGACCGAAAAGGAAGTCCCATGATGAGAAAATGGTTCTATGGACTCTCTGTGGTGAAGCTCGGTTGCTTGGGTGGTCATTGGGGCTGGGAATCCCGGGAAAGTGGCCAGGGGTGGACCTGGCGGCCCAGACAGGGCGAGCATCTGAGACGACGCCATCTCGACGGGGATGGCAACGATTCAACTCATTTGTCCAGCGGAGGTTTGTACTGGAGCTCGGCTTCGCGGTCCAGAATCATTCTTCGAAGCAGCTGGTCTTCTGGGGCCGTCATCCAAGGCGACTCTCGTTCTGGCGGCAGGTGAGCGGGGGGTTTTCGAGGGTTGGTTGAGTTGAGACTTACGGAAGTAGAAGCTCTCGGTGCGAAGGTTCATAAAAGCTTGCACTAGAGATTCGTCATCATTCAGCAGGTTCCGAGTGGCTGCCACTCTGAGGTCTGCATAAAGCGGGCTGGTAGCGCGGAAGAGGGCGGCGTATATCGAGACAAGGTAGTGGTAGAAGTGCGTGCCAGCCTCCAGCTTGCATTGTGGAAAGCCACTGTAGTCCTCGGGCACGTGGCACGGAAACTGCTGGAAAGCAATATAGGACCGGACCAACTTCCGGTACATGAGAATCAAGCACCACAGACTAGCCCACAGAGCTATGGCGTTAGATGGTCCGATCCCGGAGGCGCCGAAAACTAGTTTTTCTAGTTCTCCCAGAACATATTTCTCAATGGGCTGGGAGGCCGCCTTGGAAATTTGGCCAAATTGGGTGTGTAGGGCACATGACGGTGCGGTCGTCTTTCCGTGTTCATCCACACAAAGGACCAGCCCCAATCTGATTTTGGTCAAGCAGTTAAGCTCATGGACTCTTTGAACCAAATTATGCTAAAAATGTCAGTCGTTTTCATAATTGATTCTTGGATTTGGGACTCGTACCATTGGCAGAGATGTTGACGATTTGGAATATCTCATGATGAAGGCGTCGACCGCCTGCTGAAATCCAATATTCCGAGTGTCTTGATGGGTCACGATCTTTTCGACCCAATCAACGAGGGTCTTGGCAGGAAGCAGTTGAGGGAGAGCGTATCGGGCGCTCTCTTCTCGATGAAACTCGATTTGGCCATCAACTTGATTCATCACTACCCAGCAACAGAGCCAGGGCGGGGTTTCATTGCCAAAGTAGTCCTGCACGTCGACGTGGAGTGCTGGGTTGTCTGGATAGTCCATGCTGATGGCGACTTGACGAGGCGGGCCAAGATGAGTAGTTCCAGCAATGAGTTCCTGATCCAGTAGACGAGCAGTGTAGTCGATGTAGTGAAGGTCTAACTTGTTAGTACGCAGTGCGTTGCTTGCAGGCTACCGTACTCACCGCCAGAGCTGAATCTCATTTTGGTCAGCTTCTCCCTGATACAAAGTTGAGGCCCAAGAGCCCCAGCTGCCCTCTCGCAACCTTTACAAGGATCTCCGACACCGCACTGTTCATCGCCCAAATTGTCAGCCCGTGGTTCATGCACGGCCCCGGTTTGGAGCTGGAGACCCAGGAGTCCATGTCATACCGAAATTCTTCGCATCTTGCATCGGAAACAGGCCCCATTCCTGCGCACTTGTGCGACCTCGAGCCGCCTCTTTTCATCGAAATCCCTCCTCTTCTTCTTGATCCCGGCCGGCTGGGACGGATTGGAAGGAAAGCATATGACGGAATACTCGGGGCGGCTTGTGTTTCGTGCCGAGACCTGTCGTTTGAGCTTTGAAGTTGAGCTGATAGATCCTTCTGCGCACTCAATCTGCTTTGCGGGTTTTCCGGACCGAGGTTGGGCTGCGCTAGCCGGTTCCGACGTCATGGAGCAGTCCAGCGGTGTATTGTCTCTCCCGACCCCGTCTGATAGGGAGTCCTGGCAAAGACTCTCAAGATCAAGCCATATCCCAAGGTCATCATCCGCCGAGGACGGGATTGGAACCGCCGATTGGGACGAATTGACCGAGGTCATGATTTACAGACGCTGCCTTTGAATGTGGAATCTCTGATTGCTCTGAATAGAGTTGAAGTCTAGTCGTCTAGTCATCTACGTTATGCCTTCCTCAACCTTGGGCGGTGCGGTTTAAGTGGACCCCGCCCAATGAGAGGCAAGGCCGCCTCGCAACTCGGTGAAGCTGGAAAGAGACGAAAGTGGAAATATCCGGTCACGTGAACGATTCATCCGGCTCATGCACGTCACGGATGTTCCAGAAGCCAGGCACCGAATGTAGGGAGTCCCAAGGACTCGGGATTCCTGAATCCTCTGATTTGCACAGCAACAACTTCACATCTGTCTGATCATCCATCCGATAAATTTACACGTTATGTATTTAATCTCAAATAACCTCAAATACGAGAGATTGACTAGTAATTTGGCTTCCGGGGAGCATGTCGCTGCGCCTTTCCACAAAAACGGGCGACAGCCGGAAGATCTAGAGATCTGGCTCGGAGTGCACTGTGTGGACATGAGCACGGCCCACGTTTCAGGACAGGAACAGGAGCAGGAATAGAAGAGAAAGCCAGGGGAATAATATAATAGTATCCTGGACTGGACAAGGAAGCCCAAATGATGGATGGAGTGCGACGCCGTTGGAGGACAGGGCTCCTTGGTGGTGCGACGTCCTGGGACATTTCGAGCAGCGCGTCAGTTGGGGAGAGGTTCCTTCGCCCGTGGATTCGGGCCATGTGTTATGGGCCGCAGGTCCTGAACCAAGGACTTTGGGGAAGCGAAAAGATGCCAATTGGCCGTGATTTGCATGGTCCATTTCAGCTCTGGCTCAGCCACCCTTGGACTCCTTCACAACAGAGCCACTGTCCTAAGCAGGGGTCTGGAAGGATTATGATGCAAGCGCAGATCTGGGGCGGGTCTCAATGACAGGAGTTGGGTCCCTTTTTTTATTTAGAGCAGGGTGCCAAGAATAGGTACTTTGTAGCCGAGGGGCCAAAGGATGAGGCGCCTTTTGACCCACGGGCAGCTTGGGAGCCAACCTGCACCAAGAGTTTTTTTTTTCGTCTAATACCCACGGGTATTCACTGCTCAGCGATGTGCATCCACCGTCAGCCTGAGCTCCCATGAACCGCGCCGATCATGACTGAACTGAAGCCTCACAACAAGACATTGAAAGGGGAATTCGGGGTAAAATGCATATTTGGGTTGTCAGAGCAGCGGGAGGAGCGGAGCGTGCATCCACTGACTGTCTGCTTGCTTTCTTTTTCCCTTCCACTTCTCGGCGCCACGCCGTCAACCAGACGATGGAGGCCTGTCAAAACTACCCGCTGGATGGTGTTGGATAGTTCGTCGGTAATACGCTTTTCAATACGACCAAAGTACTTAATCCGGCTACGTGTACTACATACTACTTAAGTATGTAAGTCGCACGAAGAATGGCTGGCCAATGCAAGTTCCCCCAGCGGAACCAAATAGAAGCTGGAAGCACAAGGGCTCTAAGACAAAGCCGGCTCGCTGATCTTACGACGGAGGCATTGCGCGCAACGGGTCACGACCGAGGCAAGGCAAAAGTCTCCGAGGGAGGGTGCAGCGGTCTGTGGCTCCATTTGCTACTGGCGCTGCGGCCTGTGATTGCTGATACAGCTGGTTCAGCTGCTGATGCTGATGCTGATGCTGATGCTGCGGATGATGGAAACAAAAGGACGATTATAATCATGGCTGTGGACTGGAGTTCGCAGGGCGATGGAGTTGAGGGAACTTACGCTGCTCCGGTCATGATTCCTGCAGAGTGGGGTACCCGGGATGGCAGGTTGGTCGTCAGCGTGGGCCAACCAAAGACCCCTCCAGTGACGACCACACAACTATTATGACGAGGATCAGGACGCGTGGTAATACGGCAAGGCGACGCCGAAGCGGTGCTGGGCCTGTACAGTGCGCGGGGCGGCGCGGAGGCAGAGCGGTCATGCGCGCAGTTGAAGAGGAGACAGCGGAACGTGTGCATGTACGTGTGAGATGACGAGAAGTTGGGTATCGCCGGAGCGGTGTTAGATGCGCACCGGGTTTGTAGGATGACCCCTTGGTTGGCTAAAGTCTCATTGAACCTGAAAGTCAAATAGACAAACAAACAAATAAACAAACAACCGACGGCCTCTTCGCAAGTGCTAGACTCCGAGTCCCATTTGCCTCCCTACATACTGCGTAGCAGATGTTTCTCGGAGTCCAAACAGCCCCGAAACCACCGCTTGGGTGTGGACAGGCCCGGGTGGCGCAGCATCTCGCGGCACCGTGGGGTTGTCGGTTGGCTGTCGCCGAATCTGGCCAGAGTGACGGTCACTGGGGATGCGACTGGACTGCCTAATTTACCTACCAGAAGCTGGGTGCCGTGCCAATGTCAAACGCCAGAACGGCGGAACAGCACCTCATCCAATCTCGCTCGCCCAACCAACGCGGATTCACCCTGAGTCCCTTGCTTCAGACGATCGCGGCTGGGGGGTCGTTGTACATCCATTTCCGGTTCTGTCTAGCCCCGCCTGCGTGGCTACGCACTATTAACGCCGCGGGATCAATTTCAATGTCAAATATCAATTGTCGACGAGGTGATGCCAAACTCGCCGCTGCAGGTTCCCGCAGCAGCTATCGCCATGATTATAATTGCACTGCATATTGCGGACTGAGGGCTGACTGGGGGTCTCTCGTGCCCTCATCAAAAGACTAGACTGGCCCCCTTCCCGTCCCGGACAGTCCGTCATCCCACCCCCCGGTCGCCCTTCTAGCAGCCCTTCCAGCACAGTTCCGTGGATTGAGCCTAACAGCATGACCCCTGCCAGAGTGACGCAGGCATCGGCCAAACCCCAGGCGGGTCCTGACTTCAGACAGAGGTCATGCATTGCGGCATAGATGGATGAGCAAGAGAGCGCGTATAGCTGTCCCCCATCGTTTCAATGGTGCGAGAACAAGAGCCAGGTGTTGGTTAGTTTATGGTTATGTCCCCGTGTGCCCCTGGGATGTACTTATGACGACGTAGTTCGACCAGGTGAGAGGCCACAAGCAGTGGAGGGGCATCGATTCCAAAACCCCCACCACCAACAACCTGCATCCATAACTCGCCGGTGATGTGACGTCTTGCATTGCCAATAGAATTGTTGATCTGAGCAAAGCGATGAACACATCTCGCTGTACTGTACTTGCTATGCCCCCCTGGCAAGGCAGAGAGAAGGGTCAAGTACGAGCTCGAGCCTGTAACTGGACTCGGCGGTGACCTGACTTACAGGGCTCCGGCTCCTCCATTTCGGTGTCCAGCCGGGCTCGAGCTGGGCTGGTCGTCGTCCACTGCCGCAATTGCTTTTCTCGTCTCTCGTCACCACGGTCATCGGGATTGCTGCTCCACAACTTGTGTGTCCCAGCTTGTATCCCAGCTTGTATCCCAGCGCCCAGTCCTGGATCCTCTCAAGACCCGCCACTGGTGGCTCCCCAAATCCCAAGTCCCCCGGCGACGTGCGACGTGCGACACAACACGACAACACGGGCGGACACGAACAACGAGGCGCTGAGCACGCACGAGCCCCAGGCCAGCGAGCCCTGCCGGACGAGACATCCGGGCTCATCACGAAGCAGCCCACACGACGTCCCCACACGGAGCAGCCACTCACCACCTCACATACGCAGTCACACAGTCTCACACACAGTCTCGTCTCCTCCGTCTCCCTGCTTGTGTCCGGCGGGCATCGCGGCGCCGTCCAGGGGCCTTTGCCGCTCTAATTGTAGGTGCATACATAGCACTGGGTGCTCTAGACTCTCCAGACTTCGTACTCTAGACGAACTACTCGGCTAGCCGCCTCTGTTGCCGCCACGCCCCTTGCCCTAAGCTCTTCGCGAACGAGAAGGGAAAAAACTTCCCCTCCCAATCCAGTCAACGTCATCGCCGCTCCACCAACTCCCGAAGCCCCGAGCCGTTGATCCAGAGACGGCGGCGCCCCCAGTGCGTGCCCCAACCTGGCTCCGGTTCTGGAGCCAAGCCCAGCCAAGGCAGGCCCATCAAGGCACTGTGGCACTGTGGCCCCCCCCGGGTTAGCCCCCCCGCCCGCTAAGACCCAGGGCACAGCGGGTTCAGCTACGGGCAGTACAGTACGAATTGCGGCTTGCGAATTGCGGCTTGCAGGTCTGGTCTGCAGGGCAGAGCATGCGCAGGGAAGTTCCTGTCTAGATCTGACACGCAGCCACAGGGTACATGTCCTGTCTGTCGCTGGACATACATATCTTGCAGCTTCGACCCGCCTGCCTCGTCTGCGTCTGCGTCTGCGTCTGCGTTGCCTGTCTGCGTTGCCTGCGTCTGCGTTGCCTTGCGTCTGCGAATACGTACGTTGCCTGCTTCGCTTTGCCTCGCCACTTCGGGCTTCCATTCTTAGCATCCTTTGCTGCATGTAACGCTGGCTGCTAGCTGCTAGCTGCTGTCGGACCGTCAGTCATCACGCCCAACATGACGTCCAGCAAATCCTTCCGGGCCTCTCTCATGCCCTCGGTCCTCCGTTCCAACACCGATCCCGAGTCCTCGTCCACATCCTCCTCCTCGTCTTCCGCCGCTGCTACTGCCAGCAACAACAGCGAACCTCGCAAGAAACCGTGGCACAAGTCCTCCACCATCGACCTCTCCCACATGCGAGACCCTGGATCTCGAGACGCGGCACAAGCCAGCGACAGCGCCGCTCACACGCAGCACAACCACGCTGTAAGCGGTACATCCAATACCACCACCAACGCCAACAATACCACCAACAACGCCAACACCACCACCACTGCCACAAGCGCTGCCGCTGGAGCCGAAAAGAGTGTGCCTCCTCAGCCGCGGTCTGCAGCGCCAAACCGAAAATCAAAGACCTGGAGCAATCGCCTGTCCTCGCTGCTTCCCTCACTCATGCTTCCCTCTACAGATTCCGTGCCTGTGGTTCCAAAGCAGCCTACCACTGCTCCTCCTCCTCCTCCAGTGGCCGCTGCCGCTGCCGCGCAAACACCCATCTCAACTCCGACGTCAGCGCCGGTTGACACTCCCGCCCTTACTAAATCCTCCACGCCTACCGATAACAGCCCTACGTCTTCCACCCCCAGTATCGTCGAGACGCCGACTATCCGAATGACGGGCGACGACGATTACAGCCTGGGCTTTGTCCAGCCCACCAAGCAGTCGCCCCAGGGATCCCCGCCAACCCTGCCAACGCTCCCTGCCCAGGACAGCGACACTCTGGACATTTCCCGGTCAGGCAATAATCCCCAAATCATGGCACCGATCCCACCTTCTCCCGAGATGAGCCGCGTCGCTCCCAGCATCCCCAGCGCTCCCACTATCGCACCTCCCGCGGTTCCACCTCCCGCTGTCCCAGCCGCCGGTGAACAGTCCCCCGTAGAGCAGAACGCCGATTCGCTCAAGGTCGGAAAGCTGCGCAAGGAGAAACCCGACACTCGGCGAAGAAGCAGCTCTCTCCAGCACCTCGCCAGCGAGATCCCTCCCATGCTAGGACTCAAGTCTCGAACGGACTCCCCCGCCCCCGAGCTGCGGGGCCGTCGAGCCTCGTCTGTTCAGCCTGCCTCAGCTCGCGGGAGCCCAAGCAGCTCTCGCGTCCCGTCCGCAAGCATCAATGTCCGCCCTGGTTCCTCAAAAGGCGCAGAGAGCCCTACCCGCGGCCGTCTCCGCCGGAGTTGGATGCCGGGTGGTCGGTCTCGCTCCAACTCAGTGGACGTGTCTGCACAATCCGCAGCGAGTGCTTGGGTCTTGTCAGACGACACCCGAGCTGAATACAACGCCTCATTCCTAAAGAACGCGGAGAAGGTGCGTTTCTCCCTGCGCGAACTTGTCGCAAAGCTAACTTGCCACCTTAGGTCCCAGAGCTCTGGAACGAGGGCGGCAACGTCTACGTTTTCCTGTACCCCCGTATTAGCGGATGCGGGCCGTCCTTCAAAGTTCCCGAGTTCACCGTCAGCTCATCGTACATCTTCAACGAGCTCATTCAGGCCGAATTTGATACCCCTACCGGTCGGGGCCGAGGACGCAGTTTTGGAGGCCGAGACAGTCTCAGTGTCGAAGATGCAACTCGTTTCATGTCCCCGCCCAGTTCCCCGCCTCCTATTGACACTTCTGGCGAACTTCGATTATACTTGCCTTCGCCACCACCATCAGGATCGACCCCGTTGGCAGCACCCGGCCAGGGCTCTCAACAAGAGCTGGACAGGCTTGTCGCCATTCGAAACTTGTTTGCTTTTTTGACCGGCCAACCCCTCGTGGCGACCAAGACAAAATCTACCAACTTCCAGGCATTCCTCCAGATTGCCGGACTTTTGGAAGAGTTTGGTTTCACCAGCCTTGATGGAACCACGTTTGGCGATGCCGTCGACCTCAGTTTCGGTTTCTACATGGACCAGATGGGTCTCGCCGACTGCCGACACAGCCGAGAGAAAACGCTAGAGGCTTTGATTCTTGGTGAGCGAATGCGATCTATTGACCTATACAACGAGGCGTTTGCCCATGCCGCCGGCAAGTACGCGGCCATTATGGATCTGCGACTACCACTGTTCGAGCAGGTATCGCCTCAAACTCGACAGGGCCTTGAACGAGCCCACCTGGACCTCGTAAATCGGCAGCACAATGTCAATGTCCACTTGGAACAGTTCGAGTTCCCTGCGTTCTTCTCGGGTATCGCAAACTCAACGTCAACCGTCGAGTTGAAACAGGTCCGCTTCAAGGTGTGGAGGAATTCTTTCAACCGGATGCGACACTTTGTCCTTGGTTACTACAAATCGACCTTTGGCAACTGGCCACCCAAGGCCAGCAGCAAGAAGAACCCTTTCTCCGAGAGTGGTCTAAACAGATTGGTGCTCAAGGTTCTTTACTCAGACATGTGTGCGTTGTACGATCTTCTTGTCGACCGAACCAACCGGACCTCCAGAGTGATGGACGAGGTTCCCACCCTCTCCGCGGAAGCGGATGAGATGACGTTATCAGCGCTCCGCAACATGCTGTCTGAATTCGACCGTTCGAAGCCGCCTGTCCTCCCTCCCATACCATATGACACTCCCAAGATTCCCTCTCCAGCCTCGGTCTTGGAGACCTACAACTCACTCTCCACGAAGAAGCAGATCAAGTTCGACAAGAACATCAAGGAACACGAGCTCAGCCTCATCTTAAACAAGGCGTACAACTACGACACGAATAGCATCCAGCTCCCCTTCCTAGAACAGTTCAAGGATTTCGAGCAGCGTGAGGCCAAGGGTAAGATGTCGCAAGACTTCGCCGATCAACGATATGGCTACTGGCTATTCGTGTACGCTGTGATCCAGTCGTTGCCTGTCCTCGTCGTTGACGCTCCCGGCATGTCTCACACCGAGGGTGTTGAATACTTCCTCTGCGAGCCACCGATGGGCAACCCTCCTTGGGTTGGGGATCGGCAGGTTCGCAAGATGTGGTACGAAGTAGCGGGAGGTGGTGGTCTCGTCGAGCTCTCTACCGATGCAGTTCTCTTCAGTGTCGAGGCGACTTACCACCGTAGCCACTGTTGGCTTTCTGCGAAGCAATGGGAAGGACACGAGGGTGATCTTATGCCCCCTCCTCCCCAACATGAACCCCCAATGTCGCCTTTGCATCCACCCCCCACCATCTTCCCCGGCGAGGAGGACTTCATGGGCAACAACCCCCCGATGGGAGGGCCAAACACGCCATCACCACCCCTTGGTGTGCCGCAGGTTGCTTTGCGCCCCCGAACGCACTCTCCGGGTGGAACCCGCGCCAACCAGGCATGGCGATCGAGTATCGCGATGGGCTTGGAACCTGTACCACTCGCCCCGCCCAGTCCTTTTGGAGAACGGACCAGCTCCCTTGGAGGGCGCCCAACCAGCATGTATATGTCCGGCAGAAGCCAGTCCGTCGGCAACTTGGCCGTGATGGGCGGCGGCAGAGACCACTTGGATCCGGCACTTGACGCAAATTCTGGCGCGACATTTGACGACATCTTGGGCAACGAGAAGAAGAAGCAGGAGCCAAAGAAGAAGGGAAGGTTCTTCTAGGTCTGTTGCATCGGCATGCAATCTTTTGGATCTCTAGAGGGCATTGGTTTACCTTTCGTGAACCCTTTATTAAGCTGCCGGATGGGTGTATGCTGTCTCTTTCATCGGCACATTTCGTTGTTGCGTTTTCTTGGTTTTTCTAGGGCTGTACTCTTTTTGGCATGGAAACACTGTCAAATTTTCTATTTTCGGAGTTTTCTTGATGCATAAACACTTGGGATGAGGGCATCTGGGAGAGAAATTACAAAATCTAACGACCAAGCATGAAAAAATCTACACAGATGTAGGAGGACTATTAGAAGAGTTCGATAGACTAGTCCATATAATTCGGATGGACGAAGAATTTAATTTACTGAGCGTGTTGAGTCCGTTCAGTTTAGTGACAGCCTGTGGTTTCTCGTTCAAGGTCTTCAGTTCACGTACGTGTGTCTACATGTGTTTGGAGAATGCATCTCACCTCACCGATACGCACTGGTCGTTGTCGAGGCTTATGCCATGAGGCTTTCGCCCGCTGCTTATATCCGAGTCTATGCGGCAGTTCATTATGTGGAAATATTGTACCTTAGAACTGCAACATGGATGTGTGCGAGTCGTGATACTATGCTGCCAACCTGCGTGCGCTATGCATGCCTATATTTTCCTTCATGAGGTTTTGAACAGCTACACCTCATCGACTTTTCGTGGCTGGATTCTGTTTCTCACTTCTCTCTCGCATGCCCTTCCTTCGTCACTCCTTGCGCCTGAATAGCCTATTAGGCCTTGACAACCCGGAGTTGCCCTTGGCGTCTTGGCCCCCCACGGTCTGTCGAAGGAGTTTTGCTATTCGCACGCGCTGTTATATACTATATACTTACTAAGGCCAACAATGAACATAAAATAGACGTACATTTATCTTTATCTGCAAATTTCTTAAGACTTCATCTGTATTCTTCAGAAAGCCCATACGACACTGTTTCTTTCCGAACCGGATACCTACACGCACACCAAATCTAACATGCCCAGTGCCAACAGTGGGATCATGTAACGTGTTACGTTTATGCAAGCGTTTGTATCTATGGTGTTCACATAAATAATAATACTCCTGGCAAAATACCAAGTATGTTTGGCTTTTCTTTCGTCAACACTCATTAACCTCGAGTGTAATTAGGGAGGCCTATAACCTGTGTCCCAGTTTTAAAATCCCCAGCGTGGTGAATGACAAAAACTCCAATCATGCCCACCATTCCCATCCCGTTTGGATATCAGCCGTAAGTCATAAAATAGTAGTTACATGAGTTTCCAAAATTCCATGCCCAAAGGGAAGCTAGATCTTTATCTCTTCCTTATTTTCGTTCAATATGTGGTCTCGTCCTCTCTCATTCTCTCTCCTCTCTCTCTTCACAGAGTCAGCTTCGTCCAGCGACCGCGCTCTGTATGCCACCATCTTTCCTTCTCCTTTCGATCCGCCATGAAACCGTCACGAGTGTTCCACCGGCCGAGGCAACCCTCGCGGCCACCAGCGAGACTCTCACCGCCGTCACCTTCGAGATCCCGCACATCAATTAAGCCGCCCTTCTCGTCGGCAGACCCGACGTCCGGCAGGAGGTGGTACTTGATCTGACTACCAGACGTTCCGATGAAGCCTGCCATGGAGAAGGTCTCGGTCGTTGTGCCGTCCTCCTCAATGACATTAACGGTGAAGCGTGGCCGAGAGTGCGCCGCCTCGAGGCGTGCCTGGGCGGCGAGGCGTGAGGCGTGCAGGTTGGTGGCGGGTGGATGGCGGCTGCTGCCGTTTGGTGACTGCGGAGACCGCGGCGACGGGAGCGACGTGTTGCTGGAGGACTTGAACAGATACCGTGTCGGTGAGATGGGGCTGGTGTTGGAACTGGAGTTGAGGCTGAAGCCTGGCATCTCAACGGGAGTCTCTGGGGTCCGGAATCGGTCCATGTGAAGGTCGATCCGCTCCACGGGGTAGCACAAATCCTGGAAGAGGCCGTCTGGGTCGTTGGGCACTCGCAACGTCCGTAGCGCCGGGAACCCTCCGGCGGCGATGCTCCGGGAGAGGATGTCGTCGGCGGCATTGACGGAGAGGACGTGGGCGGTGATGTCCCAGTGCAGCTTCTTGAGGCTGCCGGAGGCCAGGTACGGCATCATCCAGAGCGTAAAGGAGTCCTCCTCGGGCATCACAGGTGAGAAGGCCTGGATGAGCGAGAAGGTGGTCAGGGAGCGCAGATTGGACAGGATACGGGCGAGGGCGGCCAAGGAAGTCAGCGGCGTATGACGGAGGTGAAGCTTGCGCAGAGAGACGCTGTTGGCGCGGGTGGCGAAGGCCGACAGGCCATTGGTGGTGATGCCAGTGATGCTGGAGAGCGTCAGGGTCTGGAGAGGGGGCAGGGCGAGGAGGTTGCTGTCGTTGAAGGCGTTGGCCGGGATGTTGGAGAGGTGGAGGTGCTTCAGAGAGCGGAGGCACTTGAGCGTCGTGGTGAGAAGGGTCTCGGGCGCGAGAGTAGCTCCCGGGCAGCAGTGGATGGTGAGGGTTTCAAGACGTGACCAATTCCGGTGATGGTTTAGAAAGGTCGTCTCCTGAAACCGCATCAGCTCTCCCGGCATCACTAAGCCGAGTTGTTGGGTGCGAGAGTGAATTCGCTGGTGCTTCTGGTGTGGCGAGGCCTGGACCAGCCAGCTCATCTGCTTGAGGTTGCGCCGGGTCGATAGAGCATGGAAGATCTTCTTGAACGAGTGGTCGTAGGTGGTTGTCAGTCCCGTCAAGCTCTCCAGGTTGGGACAGGCCATGACGAGCGACGCAACGAGGTCATCGTAGTCGGCGACATTGCTCCCCTTGACGGGCGCCTCGGGCGCAGGCACCTTCAAGACACGCACAATGGCGGCGAGCTGGGGATTCGCACGCAATGAGCGCCGCAGCAGCCTCACTCGGGCGCCCTGGTTCAGCTTGTACTTCTTCTTGTGCGCTGCCAAATCAGCCCCCACGAGCTGAATGTCATCGTATCTGGGCCGCCTTGTTAGCTCGACGCCACGAAACCGCCCGGCGCGGCATCTTGGCCGCCCGAGTCACGGACGGGACGGAACTTACAGGGCGATACGAGCTGACTTGTAACACTTTCGTGAGGCCACGCTCACGTTGCACACGTCCCGCATCCAGCAGGTCGCACAGCTCTCGCTGCCGGGTGTGAGATGGAGATGCCGCAGCTTGCTCATGATGAGGCCCAAGACCTCGGCCGGCAGCTTCGCGAACATCTCGTTTGGCGGCTGGGCTGCGCGGGCAGGCGCCTGGCGTTTGATGGCCATGGGTCGCTGGTACATGTATTCGGGTCTCCATTGTGCGATGGACTCGGCCGTCTCAACACTCGTCCTGCTCCCCCACGAAGCTGACCGTCGACTGGCGCCCATGCTCGCTCTCGTCCCCATCTTCATGCCCTCGTTGCCGTACATGCTCGACATGGTTGCCGTCGAGCCATTGGAAAGTTTGCGTGGTCGGTTCAGCTTCGCCGCAGGCAGCGAGTCGGTTGCCTTGGCCGGGTCCGCAGCAGGCGTCTCCAGGCCGGGATAGACGGAATAAGTCGAGAACGACGAACGGGGCACATTTCGCTGGGCGGTTGTGGTGTCGGTCTTTGACAGGAAACCACCGACAGAGTCCTCGCGTACTGGATACAGATCCGTCACTGGTCCGAAGGATGACGGATGCATAGGTTGAACGGTGACTGTAGGTCCCTTCATCGTCGACTCGACTTTCTTCGATTCGGCCCTGCGTGGGATATCTTCCACCTGCGGTGGTGTGGGCTCCGATGGTAACACTGCTGCTGATGAGAGTGCACCGTGGGCAGAAGCTCGTCTCCTCGATCTCAACTTATTAGGCCCTGGACGTCTAAATCGGTGACGATCACAACGGTCAGCTAAGGGAAGTGGATAGGTTTTTTTTTTGGCGTCTGGAAGCAAGCAAAAATAAAATAAAATTGAGAAAAGTCTGGGGAACAACGGTGCAAGTATAATAATAATAAAGTGCCGATGAGATGCACGAAACAGCTCTCAAGGCGTCAGGCTAGGCACACTCGGCTTCGAGTCACTCCGTCTAGAACCCTTCTGACGTATTCGTAGGACAAAGGGCTGATCTCTTGGCGTCTCGTAGCGTGAGGCTGCCAGGCACCTTGAGTGCGCCACCAGGGGAAATAGTGGGCGGGTAATCAAACCAATGCAGCTCGTCGTGGGCCAAAGGTCCAAAAAGGGCGCCACGGAACTGGCTCAAGCTTCTTGTTGGCTAGTCTGTGGAGGGATGTTGATGGCTTTTGCGGGAGCTGAGGCTGAGACATTGGGGGAGGGAGAAAGCGAGACGCCGCTGTTTCTGGTGGCGTGGTCTACTGTGAGGCAGACAGCACACTTTGTCGGTGCTCGGCAGTGACGGGCAGGGAGTGAGGGAGAGAGTTAGGGAGGGAGGTTTTGTCAAGGGTGTGTGTGTTATGCAGCACAATAGTGCTGTATTGGTTTGTATCCGTTGAGGAAGGGGGAGGAGGGTAACGGCGAGCAGAGGGAACAGCCAGCGAGGGGACGAGGGATAATAACAAGAACAACAAGGAGATGGTGGTTCATTCGAGATGGATCCCTTCCTAGCATTGACTCCGTTCATGGAATAGGATGGGATAGGATGTGCAGAGGGAGATGGACAGTGGGGAGCGTCTTAGCTGGAGCCAAGCAGGCGGGATGGATGGACCCGTCCCTTAGATCACCAGTATTAAGACACCGGAAACGGAGACGAACAACAGACACGGAGGGAGAAGAAAACGGAAGACGTACGCAAGTTCGGTGGCGCGCCGGCTTCCCTTCCCCGACAAGGGGTCCTCGTCAATCATGGTGACGGCCCAGACATGGCGACGAAAGGCTCCGGCGCGCTTGTCGTCAATAGCCGTCATCGAGCTGCGGCCCGGCGAGAAGAAGCGTTTGAAGTCGGAGCCATGGTGGTTGTGGTCAACCTCAAACATGCTGGAGGCGGTGACGGTGGTGGTGACGAGCTATAATGAAACAATTATTGGAGGGAGGCGTCCAGACGGCGTTTCCACGTCGTTCGTCGACGAGGCGAAGAGTGCGAAAAATGCAATACAATCCCCGAATAGGTCAGCTAAAACACCATCCAATCGTTTCTACCAGAGAATGATCCCTTGTTCCCTTGTTGGAGAACCAGTCGCCCCTCGACCGACCGACCAACCCCTGTGGTCGACCGTCAGCTTGGGTGCGGGAGCGGACGCGGCTCGTTAGGTAAATTCGGTGGAGGTGGAGCGAGGCGGACGCGCGGTGGACCGGGTGCGATGTCTTTGGACGGGTGCGTCGGGGAAATATCGTATATCCAATATCCAATTCCAATGTTGAATATACGGCGTGCCGTACGGGCAAGATCGACGATACGAGGGTCGCCGTGGATGTCCCAACTACAGGGCCGGGGGGGATTGACTTGGTGGGTTGGATGCCCTGGACAAGAAAGGATAGACAGGGACGGGCTGCGTGCGGGTTTGACTCGTATGTTGAGAAGGGGAAGAAGAAAGAAAAGAAGAAAGCAAAAGAAGGTCCCCAATCTCTTTTGCAGCTCAGCAATCAATCACACGCCTCTGGTTCAATTTAGAACCAGTGGCGCTGGAAGCGTGTCAGACATGCACTGGCGACAGCTTTCCCAAGGAGCTGCAGTGCAGGGGGGAGCTTCTGCGATGGGGAGTCTCCCCGATGGACCTCTGCTGATGGACCTCTGTTGAGGGCTTCTTCTTTCCTGTCGCTCCGGTTCCCGTTTTCGTCCTGGATCTTCCTCCGTAGGGCATGAGGCGGGCTCGACTGCGCTCTTCTCTGCGACGGAATCCAGGTGGCTGCAGGCTTAAGTATGTCGGATCATGCATCAATGGAACAGGCTCCGACAAAAAAAAGCCCCTCCTCTCCAAAGCCCCCCTAAGCGATGGCGGCCATTGCGAATGTGTAATTAGCCAGCCCAGTGCATCCAAGCAAAGAAACACACTGCCAGGCCGCCTGACCCTCGGCCCTCGTTTCTAAATCCTCCCCCGAAATCCTCTGTCGAGGCGGAGCTGGCGGGCCAATGAGGCTCCGCCGCGGGGCCAAGAGACATGTCACAGTTCCCTGCTTGGTGGTGTTTGGACTGGGTCCGACGGACGACGTACTGTACACAGCCGGCAGAGAGTGCGCGGCGTGTTGGTGTTGGCCATGGACCATGGGATGAGATGCGTGGGATGTGCGGGAACGCCATGGGCGGGAACGACGGAATCCACCGCAGTTGTTCTCGCCGCGAAGGGCCTCTCAAGCGCCAGCCAGCTGTCCAGTGCCAGATCGAGATCACGGCAGACATCATGGCAGCTGCTGAATGGTTGGCGTTCGCTGTACAAGAGTACTTCGCACACACCAACACCAATAACCACGGCAATTAGTAGCCCGTGGATTCAAAAATAGCACGTCGTCGTCCACCCAGAACCCTCCGCATGCCGCCAAGCTAAGCCATGCCAAGGCTGCTTGCGTGCCTCACGCCAGGGGTGCCATCAGACCCTCAGCGGACATCGTTCTAATGGACTGGCTCGTCCACTTCCTTTACTACCGGGGCGTGGATCCAGCGGAAGGATTTTGGGGCGGCGCCGCAGCGGCTAGGATCCATCTTGAACACCTGTTCGCCCAAGCCATCCGGCTTCCTTGTCCTTGACCTTGACCTCGACGAGTAACCGGTCTTGATTCTTGTTGAGGATTGTTCATCTCTTCTTCACCTCGACGTCCCGACTGTGCGGCGCCTAGTCGTCGAGCTATCCCTCCCCTCGGAGATCCATGCCGTACTCTCGATACAGCATCCCGTATCCATGTCCTTCACCGTGCGACTCTGCCCCTCCACACGTCCTATCCCCCAGGTCCCCCCCGGCCTCCCGACTGTTGACTTTGCAGAGATCGGAGCAGGGGATCGTCAGTTCCTCCGAAGCCTTTCCATATCCTGACACGCCCGGAGGAGGAACCGGGACACATCCACAGGCCATTCAGTGCTTCATCCTGACCGACAGAGCAGTTGCCAAGCAAAAGGTGCCACCGAGATTCCCCAGTCTCCATGAAAGCTCCGGGGTCCTAGACAGTGGTGGACACGGCCGCGTACCCAATAATCAATCGCCCCCGCCTAATGTGCCATCATGCGAATGTCGTACTTATTATCGTCCCCAGGGCAGCTTATGGGAGTCATGAACTATTCACCCCCTAATGCTTGAGCTGCCACTTCGTGCCTCAGTTAGACCGGGGTATGCCCCCAACCGCCCGGCGCCGTTGAACTCACTCACGAGTCGTCACCGTCTTAAACGATATCCTCATCGTCAGCATTACTTTCGGAGGATCCGGTTTCAAGGTTCACCTCGTGGCACCAGGCGACACGCAGCATGGTTTCCCCGGCCATGCATCTACCACAACCCAGTCCCTCCGTCAATGGTGGCTTCTAGCTTGTCACTGTTCGTGCAAAATTTGCCTAATACCACCGTTATTATATATAAACAAATGAATGATAAACGAGCCAAGCACAGGTTTGCTTTGATGACGTCGTATACTCAAGTTGTTTGCGTAGGTGATTTCTTGCCTTGCACCAGTGCCCAAACCATCGCAGCCGTGCCTCTACTTTCGGGATCTGATTCCTCGTTTCTGGTTACTCGTCTGCGCTATGTTTAGCAGCAACAGGACTGGCAGTCAGGCTCCCCCGTAAACGTTCATGAAACTCCTGTGAATAGTGCTGTGCAGTCGTCAGATGGGAGACAGTTTTTAGTTTCAGGTGCCGGATTCAGCCCTGACCATGTATTCATCGTATTTGTCAAACCGATATTCGAAACAGATTTGGGTCTTCTTGACCACCTAAATTCTGCAGAAAAGTCATTGCTCTCTGCGACCATTCCGGTGCATACTTCCGATGCGTCCCCCATCCGAGTTGTCTTGGCGCCCACGAATGATGACGATTCGGCGACCGCAGCACTTCACTCTTCGTCCGAACCAGCAGTGAACCGCACCCTTCTCGCTGGACGCGCGGCCAGGTCTCGCTTGTTCTCTGGCGAGCCATTTTCTCCGGCTTGCAGCTGGCTGTCATCACCAGGACCAACGTCGTGCGCCCGTTTTAGAACAATCAACTGGCGAGGCTCAGACGGCTCCACCGCGCCACTCTTAGCTTCACCTGAATCATCCAATATGATACCGTCGTCTGGATGCATGGTGCGGCCAAAGCCTCTGCCGAACATGTACTGAGGCGTATGCAGTGCGGTCATCTGACTCATCTTGTCATTTTTGTCTTCGGGCAGTGGAATGATCTTGGCTTTCTTGATCCAGTCGTAGATGGGGCGAATATCCAGTATCGTTTTCACCCGTCGATGTTCGGCTTGCGACATGTGCATTTTGCGTTCGAGGATAATCTCCTCGATACTATTCTTCAAAACTAGTGTCTCGACTGAAACTGGTTTCTGCTGGCTGATGCGGCGGACACGACCGATAGCCTGCGCCTCGACTTGGGGGTTGAGAACCGGGTTAATGAAGTAGATTCTCGATGCCTCTCTCATATCTAGCCCGAAGGCGGCCTGAGATATGTCCATGAGAAGAACCCTAGAAGGAAATATCAGCTCAAGCCACCAGGACCGAACCGATTCAAAGGGTACCTGAAGTCTTTGTTTTGATGGAACGTGTTCACATATTGTGCTCTCCGTTCGGGGGTTAGACCCTTGGCGTAGATGAGATACTGGATTTGGAGCTGCTCCTCGTCAGTCATGCTTTCGTACCGGGAAAAACGGACTTGACTTACAACATCAAGCATAGACGCAAGATACCATGCAGCGTTCTCATTCTCGTAGAAGACGATGATTTTTTCCTCGTCTTGGTATTTGACAATACTATCAATCAAGTATGAAAGCTTTGAAGATGCAGTTGAGTTGATTGTGGTCGATTCGAGCGGCCCAAGGAATATGTCAGCAGGCATTCCTTCGGTTGGCTTGACACCATTCACCCCGTGGGAGCGTATCCTCTTTTGGCTCTCGCCCCCAAGCTTTGTATTGCCAGCGAGTGTTTGTGATGTTCTGTGCCCTGACGAAGATGGCTTATCAGTGGATTGTGACACCAGTATCCGTTCCCTTTCGGTAATTCCCTCCTGTATTAGCTTGCCATTCAAGAGGGAGTTGAGTTCCTCGGGATGTTTGGCTGATTTGTGGATAAGCTTCTGAAGAGCCAACAGCATGCTTGCCGAACTGCACATGACACTCTCTGACTCGCCGTCCAAAGACCACGATTGAGCAAAAATATCTGGGAAGCTGTGGACAGAGACTGGCATCTCATGGAACTCGTTGCTGAGATTCCTGAGCCTATTGGCCATTGCCACATGGCCGATCTCAATAGCTTGCTCGAGGAGCAGCTGATCTTCAGCACTGATTGGGATTTTCTTTTCACGCAAGAAGTCCTCAGCGGTCTTGACAGCCTTTGAAATCTCGTCAGACGTAAAGAATGAGCCACCAAAGAAACTTGCCTGCTTCAGGTTGTGCACGATCTGCAGCAAACTTTGCTTTTGTTTTGGATGGAAGAAGTAGTCCCTGTCTGTCCGTTGTGATTGGACGGTGTTGAAGATGATCATCATCGAGAAAATATTCAGTGAGAGCTGATCTTGGTATGATCCGTCCAAAACAACCACCTTCTCATCCACAGGCGGCAGAAGATCCCTCACTTCATGGATCTGGTGCCGAACTATGAGCGAGTTGATCGTGTATCTGAGACTGTCCCAGCGGCCACGGCTTTTTGGATTGTGTTTGGGTAACAGTAGGTACAAGGACCAGTTTGCCGTTGAATCAGCGTCCACGCTTGTGTTGGCCCATGGGCGTACCTTCAGATAGAGAGCAGCGATAGACCCAATCCTCTGCAAGTCTTTTCTTTCCATCTCAATCATTGATTCGCTAGGATCACTGGTGTTGGGTTTAGCTGGTGACTCTAGATTTTCTTGAGAAGATGTTTCCGTGACGTGAGTGTCAACTCCAAACAAGCCGTGCGATGGTGTTCCCGTCACGATCCAGCGAGATGAAAATTTCAAACAATCCAGGGCGATGAGCAGGTTGCTCCTGTTGCTTATCTTAGAGTTGCCTAGTTTATGGCCTTCATCCACAATGCAGCGTTTGAAGTGTACCTGTGACAATGGAGACTGGTCGATGCCGCCATCGTGCTTGACCAGTTTTTCGAAGCGTGTTTGGGAGAAGAGAATCAAGTCGTATTTCAAAAGGGCTTGACGAGGTGGAACACGATCATCTTTAGTCACAACCAGGACTTCAAGGCCTTCCGTGTGTTTGCGAATCTCTTGTTTCCATTGAGCCAACAGATTGTTCGGCACCACCACAATACTACCTGAGCTCAGGTACATCTTCTTCCGTAACGGAGCAGGGCCGTCCTGACGTCGCGCAGAGCGAGAAGGTGGGGGTGCAGGAAGAAAGTAGTAGCCCGAGTTCCGTTCCAAAGCTTCGATGCAATGGCTGAATTCTTCGCCAAGCTGCTCTTTGTAAAGTTCGAAGTAGGGTTTCCACGGGACGGCGTTCCTTGTCGCACACGATGCAGCCATATCAGCAAGAGATGCAACGCGCCTCCGTATAGGTACTTCTCCCTCGCGATAGTGTTCTGGCGGTTGTGTGGGGAGGTCTCTCGTGGCTAGAATTAGGGATAGGCAGATAATAGTCTTTCCAGATCCCATTTCTTCTGCGAGGATGCCGCCAGAGACTCCATCGTAAAATCGTGGCCCTTTGAGAACCGTACCCACAACCAGGTCCACGTACCAATCTGAGCCTTGCTGGTCACGGACATGAAGCAATCGAGGGTCCAGTACATTCCCCGGCCAAGCCTCCTTCTGGAACATCAAGGCGGCAGACCGTCTTTGGTACCCATATAACTTTGTCCGGAGTCCCGGGACCTTGCTGTCCAAGAGGGAGTACATGACAGTCTGTGAATGTGGCTCCGACACGGTTTCAGGGTCTGGTTTGGGTGACGGGATTTTGTTGAAGAGCTGTAGCAGTGACATTTCCGTGTCGTCGTCCTGACTTAGATTGTCAACAAGGGGCGGGCTGCTCATACGTGGACACTTGAGATCCCCATCCCAAGCTTCACCAGAGTAATCAAGGCAGCTGAGAATCACTTGTCTTAATTTCAGAAGGCCAGGATCCGAGCGGTTCACGATACTGCGGTCGACATCATCCGGGAGCAGGTATACCCTCATGGTACCTCGGTTGGAATCCACATGATGGACTCTAAACTCAAGTTTGATCCAGGACTCACGAAACAGGCGTGCATAGGGACGGGTTGAGGGGGTGTCGAGCAATAGGTCTCGCAAGTCGGGGCGAAGGAACTGATGTTTGATATCAAGGCCAGACGTCGAGTCTTCGGGCAGTGAGAGCAATCTCCAGCTTCGGAACTCTTCCAAATGCCAGCACTCAAGCGGAAGATTGCTTTCACCCTGGAGGATCGATATGGATCCCGCAGGAATGTACTTTGCGAGTTGCGAAGGCATTGTCCTTATCCCGCGAGTAGAGTTCAGCCGAGGCGAGGAGGCGTCAACAGATTGGGCTGGCTAAATGAATTGGAGACCAGAAGATCGGCTCTAATGTTTCGTAATCCCTGCCTGTATGATACGCCTTTGAGTCGGCGACGTGCTGAGACTCGGAGTGGGCGTAGTTGTGTGGTGTGCACGGGTGAGAAAGATCTGGGATGGAAGCAAATGGTGTTGGTTGCCTATTCGCTCCGTTAGTAATGAAATGCGCACTGTGCCCAATATGAGGATTACAGAGGTCTCACTGTGCTAAAGGCACTGTTTTCACCATGAGCCGCAAACTCACAGTGAATCGCGAGGGCAGAAGGAATTTCATATCAATGCTCAGTTTTTGCAGGTTTTGGGGTTTTATTGTAATATTTTACTTTTTAGACACTTGGTTCCCATCGCCCAAGTAGTCCAACCTGCCATTCCTTGAATGTCCTCTCACGTGTTGGTAGTAGAAGACCACTCAACAACAACTTTTCCGTCGCAGCTTCAATAGCCGGCTGAGGCAGGCTGATCTCCTGCACATCCGAGTTTAGGGAATCAATTAGTCCATTCCCCTCCTCTACCCCAATGCCTCTGTATAGAATCTTCATGGCGGTCTTGCTCCCACTGACAGACGAAGATGAGTACACGACGTTTGGGTTCAATACCCAGAGATACAAGTCCCTGCGAGACACATCTGGCTCTGATGACGACGGGCCCAACATATGAGGCGTAATTATCGACTTGGACGATCCGGATCTCGATATGGTAGCCATCAAAGTTGCTGCTAGGCATTCGGAGCTACTGGGGCTTAAGCTCGGTGCAAGGGTTTGGCAGGTAATCTGCCACTTGAACAGAGTCACAGATAAGGCCAGGATATTGAAGAGCCCCACCTCTGTCCTGCATTTCTTGCAGAAGACATGGAGGAACTTTCTTGGGGCAGTGTCATCTAGTGCCAATGAACTGAGGTCAAATCCGGCATCCACGGTGGAGGAGGAATACTGTAGTGTGTAAGCGGCGAGTCAACATCAAAGTGCACAAATACTATCTCAGGGGAGATTTGCTTCTCTCTAATCCCCCGCCTTCCATATCTTGGGAAGGCTGGATGATAGAGAGAGGCTGCGTCTTCAGGGTCACTTCAAGAACCCATTCCCTGAGGAAGGGTTCAGTCAGGTTGCCTGCCCACGGTGTGGGGACGACCAAAGCATAGTTCTCGGGGAGTTGTATCGATGGCCAAACCATTGCGTGGTTCTGGGTACCGACATGGTCATCTTCTTTCTCCCCGGGTGGAGGCTGAGGTTGCAAACAAAAATGGGGGCCAAACGAGCAGTGGCACAAAGTTGAGTGGACTTACCGCCAAGCCGCTGCAGTTCGACTCCGAGAAGAGGAAAGACGTGAGATCGACAAACCCAACACCTGCCTGAGCGGAGATAGCGCTGTTGGCACCATATCCCTTGCTTGCCAACGACTCCGCGTCGTGCTGATTGTCGTCATGTGGCTTGTGGCAATGCCAAAATTCCATCATCTCAGCCCAATTTTCGCTCGGCAAGTCTTTCCAGGCCTTTATGGTGCCCTTTGATACAAACTCTCCATCGCATTGCCGACAGGCTATTCGGGAACCGGCCTCAATGTCCACAGACGTCCAAGGTAGTGTTTGGTTCTCCAGCGAGAAGTGGGGGGGTTTGGCCTCAGACGGCGCCACAGGGAGTCTCCAGGATAAATCCAGGACCCCTTGTCTGGGTATTGGGAGGGCCTCAGGGGCTACCACCTGTGCCGGGAGAGAAATGCTCTCTATTTGCCCTTGGTGGGCTACCTGGAGTTGGCGGCCATGCTGTGACACTTCAGCCTTGGTCGACGCGTCGGCTGGCGATGACAAAGACACGACGACCGAGACCTGTCTGATGTTGGACAGTAGCTCGGCATATATCAAGAAGTCGCCGGTGGATGCCATCTCAGCGCAGACGGTTAACCCTGTAGGCTGTCACCGAGGAGTTATATTCAGCTCGAGTGTCTCGACGGAAGGTGTTGGCAGCTTGCCCTTGGGTTTCACGGTGTCGCGACGACCGGAGTTTTGCTTGGTCCGTGCGTCAAGGTCCCGGGAGCCGCAGGTCCGGTGCGCCCCAAGGAAAAGCTGCCCCGCCACTTTTTAGCACCCGCGGACGACCCCAACAGAACGGCTCGGCCTTTCCCAGTCGGACATCTTGGTGATATTACTTTCCTCTTGCATAATACTCACATAAAGCGCCGTCACCTCATAATGGCAAGCCTTCTTTCGTACGTGCCCATCGTGAATCGGGTCTTGGGCTCAGGCTCAAAGACTGAGTCAACCAAAGCGCCTACCATCGATCTACCTTCGGTTGAGGTTCATCATGTTGAGACGAACCCAGACCGGCGCGCGAGGTGCCTCAAGCATCTGTTGAAGGCGAATCATTCCAACTACTCTATCGTCTATCACAACCTTCAATACAACAACCAAAACCCCCACATTCTGGCCTCTGCGTATCTTCTGGGCGCCACGGAGGTCCAGCTGAATCATATTTACGACAATCAGATTATTGAGCTGGAATCATGGAAACCGTCCCCAGCGGAAGTCGTCGATGATGACTGGGAAGATTTCCTTGGTGACAGGCGATATCAACGAGCCTATGTCGACTTCTTTGAGGAAAGACTTGCCATGCGCTTTTCCTACGACTGGAAACAAGAATTGAATCATTTCTTGTTCCTCGGCGATGAACCATTGGTCCATGGTCTAATTGGCGGTCGTGCGTACCCTCCCTGAACAAAACATACATTAACAAATGCTAACACACTTTATTAGTTGGTCACTCTCTCGTTCATTTGGCTTATGCCTATGAAATGGACTGCAAGGAACTTGCAATGGAGGCTCTGGGGCTTGTCTGCATTGAGTACAACTTCTTACACAAGTACCTCGATGACAAGTCCTATACCAAGCCATCAACTTTCAGCTCGGGTTCGCCACTCGAACTCATTACTAAGCTAGCTAAGGATGGTCGGTTCAATTCTTTACCAAAGAATTCCAGTGTGGACGATATGGAAGAAATCTTCATTGAGCACGAGACTCTTATCCTCGAATACTGGAATGCATGGGTCATCGATGACCCATTGAAGCAATTCGAGCTGTCACAGGAGGCCGCTGTCGCGTTGCTAGTTGCGACAGTTCGACCAGGAACCCACGCCTTCGACTTCCTTCTTGTCCATCTCTTGACAACCAGCCATGCTGTCAGGGTCCTCTTACCTTTTTTCCCGGAAAACTACCGCATCACACTGGTCAGGGAGTGGTGGCTACTGGTTTTGGCCATTTTTATTCTCAAGGGACGGCCACTGCCTGATTCCGATAATGTTGACCATGAACTGAAGGGCAAGACCTGGAAGTATGTGGAGGATAAGGCGCTGAATTCGGCTTGGTCAAAGGACGCTCACTTCGTAAAAGGTAAGAATTCTGCCAAAAATAGCTCTCAATTGCAACTAATTCCTTTTAGCCATCCGCGTCATGAGAGAGGCATCCAGGACCTGGGGGGATGTCCATGAGTTGTACCTCAGCTCCGCGGTAACATTTGCGGATAATTTTGAAGGATGGGTATTTCCCTAGTTCCAATACTCTACTGCATAGAAGGAAACGGGGTGCATGAAGAGATGAAGAGATGAATATTAGATATTAAAAATACGCATAAGAACATTCAATGGTGATGGGCAATTGTATCATGCACACGAGCGTGCACCTTGTGAAAGTTCTACCCTGGAATATTTGATTGGTGAAAATCCATGAGTAAAATACGATGAATCTAAAAATGCAATCACTAGGGACACTGTCTGAAGACTTACAGTCCCTTTAAATGGAGAGGGTAGCCAGACCTCGGTCGGTGATTAAGTGCGTGCAGAGGGATTCTCAGGCAAGCCAATCACAGTACAGTGCGCGTGTGGAGCGCCGTCTATCAACACTGTTATGTGGGTCTCCGACGTCAACATCGCGGCGTGCACAAGGCAATCATCACGGCAATTGTCACTCTTTCATGCGACTGCCATTGAGCAAAGCTGCCCCAGAAGACGCACCGTGCATTCTTATGGCATGCCCACCCTGCAGATGCAACAGTTGCGTTGATGGCCCCGCCCGCGAAGCGCCGCCGGCGGAATGTCGTCGACGCTTCTGACGATGAAGACGAGCAACCGCGAGCCAACACGCTGACGAACTTCCTGCTCTCCTCGCCGAGCTCGCCCGCCAAGATCCGAGCCCCGACCGCATCCCCGAGTCCTTCGAAAAGCAGAAACATTTCAGGCCCGCTCTCCACGAATGGTTCCAATCGCCTGACCCGTCGAGCTACGCAGAAGAAGGGGACGAGCCCTAGCCCCAAGAAGTCGAAGGATGTCGGAAAGGGAAGGGACGATGGAAAGACGGCGGATTTAAAGACACTCTTTTCGAAGCAGGCGCAAAGAGCCACGAAAGCTGGAGGACTCGCGGATAGAAAGACGATCCCTCTCGACGACATAATCAGCGACCCCATATCAGAGGACGAGATTTCGGAGCTGAAGACCAGCTCTTTAAGCTTGGTCAGCCAACATGCAAAGAAAAGACTAAGGAATGGAATACAACCGGCTTCAACGGATAACCCGAGTGCCAGCCAGAGATTCCTCAAGCCACCCAAACCAGCCTTTTTAGCGGCCGTCAACGATGATTCGAGGCCATGGTCAGAGCGGTTTGGACCCAGAAACTTGGAGGAGCTCGTGGTACACAAGAAGAAGGTATCGGATGTGAGGAGGTGGCTAGAAGACGTCACAGCGGGACGCATGCGACAGCGGCTGCTGATCCTGAAAGGTGCTGCCGGCTCAGGCAAGACGACGACTATGCGACTGCTCGCCAGCGACATGGGATGCGAGCTCCTAGAATGGAGAAACCCTACAGGCAACTCTGGGCTGGGGTTTGTTTCAACGTCAGCGCAGTTTGAAGAGTTTCTTGGACGGGGCGGCAAGTTTGGTGCGCTGGATACGGACAGTCCCGAATCGACGGCCCCTAGCAGCTCACATGCTACCTCGAAGCATCAGTCCAAGCGTGTCATACTCATCGAAGAGTTTCCGAATACATTCTCGAGGTCGTCGACGGCTTTAACCTCGTTCCGAAATACCATCCTGCACTATCTGGCCACCAACACCCCTTCCCTGTCCATGTTCTCTCCGCATTCGCAAAATGAACAAGTCACGCCAGTGGTTATGGTCATATCGGAGACTCTTCTGACCACAACATCCGCCTCGGCCGACAGCTTCACAGCCCACCGCCTGTTAGGGCCGGAAATCCTTCGCCACCCAGGCGTGGGCATTATCGAATTCAACGCAGTTGCCCCTTCATTACTTGCCAAAGCTCTAGAGCTAGTAGTGCAGAAAGAAGCTAGGAAGTCTGGCCGAAGGAAAACGCCCGGCCCATTAGTGCTGAAGCGTCTGGGAGAGATTGGCGATATCCGGAATGCGGTAGCTTCTCTCGAGTTCCTCTGCCTGAAAGGTGACCAACAAGCGGACTGGGGTGCCAAGGTGGCATTCACAAAGCAGAAGAAGAGTGTCAGGGATGGCATTGGGCTCACCCAAGGCGAGCATGATAGTCTGGAGCTGATATCCCAGCGTGAAGCGAGCTTGGGAATATTTCACGCAGTGGGAAAAGTGGTATACAACAAGCGGGATGATGTCGCTCCTCGAAACGACGCCGTGGAGAACCTACCGGGCTTCGTCTCACACCACTCGCGACCGAAGCGTTCGCAAGTCTCTGTCGACTCCCTGATTGACGAGACTGGGACGGATACACACACGTTTATCTCAGCGCTGCACGAAAACTACCTCCTCTCCTGCGAGAGCACCGGTCCCATGGACCTCTCTACCCCGATGGATTATGTCAACGAATGCATCGAATACCTCTCCCAGAGCGATCTCCTCTGCTCTTCTAGAGATGTGTTCTTCGGTGGTAGGGGCGGCTTCTCAGGGAGAGACTCTGGCAGCCAGCTCCTGCGTCAAGACGAAATGACCTTCCAAGTCGCTGTCCGTGGCATGCTGTTCGCGTTGCCCAACCCAGTCAAGCGAAAAACAACCACCATGGCCAAAGGCAGTGACTCCTTCAAGATGTTCTACCCAACGAGCCTCAAACTGTGGCGCGCCAAGGAGGAGCTTGAGGGGCTTGTCGACGTCTGGTCCTCGAAGCTCCTCAAAGGTGAGGCCAACGCACCCACCAAGAACCTCACCGATGGCGCTACGGCGTTCCGCCTCCCGAAGCAAACTTCTAGTGACACCTCATGGATGCAGCGTAAGCAGCAGAGCCGCCCGGATGCAATCACAAAACAACAAGATGAGGAGTCTGAGGAGAGCGCACCGCTACTCTCACTGGGCAGCGCCGCACGGCGCGAGATGCTCCTCGAGCGCCTACCTTACATGGCACACATCGCGCGTGGCCGTAAGACGTCTACCATCCGCCTTCGCGACCTTGAGAAGGTCGTCTCGTTCCGGGGCATAGCTGCTGCCGACGAGGAATCGGACGGCGATGAGGAGCAGGTGGCGGGGGAGGCCTGGGCCACGGACAAACCTTCTGAGGAGGCGAGTCCCCGAAAGAAGAGCTCAGGCATCCGGCCTGGTGGCGTATCGGGTCTCCTGGCACAGAAGCTAGTACTGAGCGATGATGATATCGAGGATTGAGTCGGGGCTGATGATGGGAATCATAAACTGTATGTACACTGTAAAATACCAGGACGGATTGCATTTGGTTTGATCATGGTCGGGATCGGAACTTAGCTTAGCTATAAAATGGGCATGAACTATTCAAGGATCTTGGGTTTCAGGGCTTTGAAGCTGTGAATATATTGAATGTATGTTCAAGCTCAGCAGTGTCAATTGAACCACATATGTATCCAAACTGTGAGAACACTCACATCAACAAGCACTAGCTTCGGTAAGATGGCCGAGTTGGTTATGGCGCCAGGTTAAGGTCAACCTTAACACCTCAATTTCCTGGTGGAGCAATCCTCCTGGGTTCGAATCCCAGTCTTATCATTTCTTTTTGTGTTTTTGACAAATTAATTTTTTTTGCATTTTGGCCTCTGCTTTTTTGATTGAGCAGCGTTTGGCTCATAGTGATTCACTCATTGCTGAAGACTGCGGGCGAGGGCGGATCTTATTTGTTGGGTTGGCTTACCAGTGGGATTGCCTCGTTGGGAAGCATTGAGTGGACATCCTTGTATACAGAGTTTCTGCACAGGTCAGGTGCTTGTAGGACTATCCACCGTGTTACTTGCTCCCCGCCAGTCTGGTAAATATTGTATGGCAGGTATTGAAGTCGACCAGTGCAGTCAACTTATTGAACACGATGTCCTTTACAGAAAGAAACCACCCTTTGAATCCTATTCCAGAGAAACCCTGCCCGCCTTGAACTCTGTCGTCAGGGTGCTACCCTAGACGCAGTAAAGTATGCTGTAATACTGCATGAAAGTGCAGTGTTGCGTGCTCAGCGGCCAGCGGTCAGCGTGCTCTGCTGCCTGAGTAGGTACCTACCTACTGGACTCCAACCCACTGACGAGGCCATGTAGGTACCTACCTCTAGCACCCTCTAGCCGCATCCATCCCGCTGGATCCTCCATCAACTCAGCCCAGGCAGGCAGCCGATCCCATCTTATCCGACCACGACTCATCAATCAACCAGCCTCGTCTTGCCAAATCCATCTCCCCGTCGTCAATAAATCACACGCAAAGCTCCCGTCCGCACAGCCGTCGCCATGGCCCGCAAGCCCCTCCGCATCCTCTGCTTCGGCGACTCGCTCACCTCGGGCTACTTCTGCTTCGGCATGGACTCGCACCCGTACTCGCTGAAGCTCGAGGACAAGCTCACCGGCGCGCTGCCCGGCGTCGACGTCGAGACCGTCACCAACGGCGTCCCCGGCGATGTCGCCACCTTTAAGCGCTTCACCGACCGCATGAGAGACGAGTGTGGGTGTCCTTTTCCTTTATTCCCATGCCGCCGTTCATGCTTCAAGAGCTGCCCCCCACTATGGCACGCGATACCCCACCCCCAAAACATGGGCCTTTGGTCATGAAAGTGATCGATTCATATCGTGAATGTCGCTGACCTTTTACTCTCCCGCTTCGCAGACAGCAAAAGCTCATTTGACTGGGCCATCGTCCTTGCCGGGACCAAGTATGTACCCCTCACTCATGGGCAACCTCAGCTTTGTCATGACTGGTATCTAACCCGTTGACTTTCCCGCCATAGCGACTTGGCATATGGCATCTCCACTACAAGCATTTATGAGTCCCTCCAGGAAACTTGGAACATAGCTCTTTCCAAGGGAAGCAAAGTCCTCGCCCTCACTGTCCCCGAGTGCGAGTCCAGGTCAGAGAAGCTCACCAAGAGGCGAGACGAGCTCAATCGCAGCATTATGAATCACCAACAACCCAACTTGTACGTGTGGCCATTCTCACAGCATCAAGCACCAACCCGAGACATTGTCGCGGTTTGCAGCTAATCACCCAACAGCCACTGCTTCGACCTTAGATCTCACATCCCGTTCCACTCCCTTTCCGAGGATGACCGCGAAAAATACTGGGACGACGGCCTGCACCTGCGGGACGATGGATACGACTGGATGGGAGGCCACATCGCCAATGCCCTGATAAGCATCATCAAGCAAGGTGGAGAGCCGGGGCCAGCAACCTCAACGGCTAGGAGGCGGTCATCTAGACCGTCTAGAGAGGAATCATCTCTTTTAGAGGAGACCGGCAACCCTCGCAACATCAGCGAGGGGTATGTGGTCGTCAGGAAGAAAGACCTGGACTGAATTTTGACCTCATTGACCATGCCAGTTTAAATCCCAATGAATCTCTTGCTATGCCTTGGACAAGGAAAAGGAAAAAGGAATCCTGGACACCACCCAATTTCCCCAAACGCCATGTGCAATGAATGCTCCCTCTTTATTTTTTGTCTTCTTTCATACGGCAAGATTTGCGGCCACGAATTCCTTGCAGATAGAGTTAGCGCGATAAACCGATATAATGATTGAAGAGGACTTACGGGAAACTCCTTTTGCAATGCGTTGGTGACATTCTCTACTTCCTCTGCCAAGCTCTCGACATTGGCGTCCCACTTGCGCATCTCCTTGCCCACAATCACCTCTGCTCGGCCGCTGCCCCTCTCACCGGATGCCTCACCGCCCTCGAACCAGACGATGCCGTCCAGCTGGTCCATACGGCCTACTAAGCGGCCCTGCTCAATCATCCGTGCCGTGGTCTCCTCGGCCTTGTCGGCATCTAGGCCCAGGAGCACCCCAAGGGCCTCGAAGAGGATGTTGCTGTACAGCCTGGAGGCTCCCAAGAGGTTATGTTCGACGACGGCCTTGGCGAGTACCGTTGAGCCGTCTGAAGTGGTGGCCAGCTGGTGCGGTTGCAGGCCCTCGGCGAACTTGTCAACTTCTTCTGGTGACAGCAGGCGGTCGAGGAACATCTTCTCGAGGATGCCAAACTCGTCCAGCTGCACCGACCGCTCATCTTTATACAGTCGTCCCAAGGTGCGACTCCGCATGGGACCGGCCGGGGCTAGAACTGCGCACTTGACGGCCATGCTAAGGGTGTGCAAGCGCTCCTCCTCGGAAATGGCGGGGGAGATGCTGATCTCGTGATATCGCTGCGAGGCCGACAAGAAGTCTCGCTTGGCATCCTGGATGCGGGCCTGGGAGAGCTTGAAGTGCAGGGTCAAGTCCTGGTCGGGCACGTTGTGCATAATGTTCTTGAGCTTGTTGATGTACATCTCGGCGGCGGTGGAGTCGTCCACCTCGAGGTAGTTGCGGACGATGCGGACCCAGGTGCGGGCCTTTTCCTCGTCGGTGATTTTGCGCTGCGAGCTGTCGAGGGGGATGTCGGCCAGCGTCTTGGCGGCGTCGAGGAAGTCCTCGTTGTTCTCGTGGGCGGTGGCGATGAGCTCGCGGAGGGTGGCGCCGGCGTCGAGGAAGGACGACGACGAGGGCTGGGCGGAGAGCATGTCGAGCGTGCGGTTGCCGACCTCGATCCACATGTCCTCGTTCTTGAGCCCCTTGAGGGTGGCGACGAAGGCATTCAGGACGGAGCGCGTGGCCACGACGCCGAGGCCCTGACCGAAGAAGGAGTCGACGACGGCGTTGAGGTCGTCGGTTGCGGAGGCGGGGGACGAGAGCGTCTTGATCTCGGCGAGGAGCTGTTCGTAGAGCGGGCCCTTTTCGCCGGCGGCGGACGCGGCACGCGAGAGGGCCTCGGTGACCTTGGGGTTTGGCGCCATGGTGGTCGGTGGTCGGTCGGCGGGTTGTGTCGTCGAGATATGGAGATGCGAGATCTAGGTGGAGGGAACTGAAGTGAGGTTGCGGCGATGGTCGAATTAGGCAGAGGTAGGCTCCGAGGGTGGGGGAGAGCTCTGTGAATTAGCGGGGCAGCAGCTAGATCCGTTGTTGTTAGTGTCCCGGCTGCTCCATGCATTTACCGCCCCGATATGTCTAGATACCGACCTATATAACCAATTGCAAGCCTCGGTGTCTGGTAAACGACGGGATTGTAAGAGCAAATTCATTCACATGCCCAACACAAGTTGACAACGAACCGTAGTATTCCTAATGGTTTCTGTATACCTGCCGACCTAATCTCACATGCAAAAGCGAAGCCTCCGTCTGACCCGATGACCTTCTAGCCCTCTTCCGATCTCGATGGGTGTCTTCCATGTAAATGCCACCGGCCAATGTCCCAACATGCCCGTCTTGAAATAATAAAAACAACATCGACTACGCCGAAACGCCCAACAACCCGAGGTAAGAGAGAACCGCCTACCACCCCCCCGTCTTCGCGCGAGCCTGCGTCTATTTGTTGTGCCAAACCAGGGTCCGGAGCGAGTCAAAGTCGTTGCATTCCTTGTAGATGTACGTCATGCTGTTGCGCAGGCTCGACTGCAGATCTTCCGGGTGGTAGCGGAAGACGAGCATCACCATGGCCCACGACAGCGACGCAAACGCGGGCCAGGCGTAGTGGTTGATCTGGGAGTTGAGAGGCTCGGCCGTGATGGCGGGCAAGCCGACGCCGGGCTTGACGGCGATGCGCGCCAGCGCCAGCATCACGCGCGCGAAGACGTAGATGACGATCTGTTGGTTGACCGACGAGATCTTGCCGGTCCGCTTGGAGCGTCCGCCAAAGACGAAGTAGCCGCCGACGAGGCCGCCGAAGAAGGAATCAAATGTGCCTGGATCGCAATGGAGTTAGCAAGTACTCGTTCTGCAGTAACGGCGCAGGAGTGGGGATGGGAGTGGCGTTACCCTCTTTGCCGGGCGTTGCGCCAAAGTTCTTGAGCGCAAGCATCGTCAGCTTGTAGATGACGGCGAAACGTGCCAAGTTGCTGGCATGATGTCTCGTCGCCCGTAAGACCAGTGCGCACTTGTGTCGGAACCTATGCAGTCACGCGCGTCAGCATATTGTCCATGGCGATTCGGGGGGTTCTTTCGGCCGAGGGTAGCGGCGGCGGCGGCGGAGGAGGTCGAACGTACGTTCCGGAGCGGAAGAGGAAGATCATGCTGCAGACAAGAACACACACAACGGGTCAGCGACGAGATTAAATCACAGACAATCGGGGGGAGTACTTACACCAGCGCATGCGGAAACCGCACCTTGGTTCCGTAGACGGCGCCATTGCGGGCCGTCTTGAGGATTGACAGGAGATCATGGTATCGCGGGTCCCGGATGATTTGCTCCAGCGCGTTCTGCATACGTCAACGTCAGCCAACTGTGCGCGTCGCCCGACCAGGCACGGCCACGACGCCTGAAGACATGGCCTTGCGACCGGTCGGAATCGCATCGCATCGCGGGACGTACCTTGATCCCTTCGAGGGCGGTCGACGCCATGGTGCCGCAATGGGGTCCGGCCTCGGCAAAAGCGTCTCGAGGTAGGGAAGCCGGTGCGGTGGGCGGACGTCGCGAGATGGGAGGCGGGAGGTGACTTGTTTGCGGAGCCTTTACCACGACATCGAAATAACATAAAAAAAGAGAATAAAAGTACCGTCGAAATGGGGTTTTGTTCAGCGAGGTTGTCAACGGGTCAGGGTTCAAATTCCCGAGGCAGAAGCCCAGATCGATGAGATGTGGATGTCACCTGTTCCAAGCCTCGGATGTGGCATCGTCTTCGGCTTGTGTTGCGGAGATGGCAGCTAGACCCGGCATCCCCGCCACGGCTGCGGCCTACAGGGGACCAAGGCCCTATGACGCAGGGGGTCGTCACTGAGTGCTCACTGAGTGCCCACTAAGTCCTTTGGAGCGAGCTTTCAATTCCCCACGCTTTTTGTGGATAACATTTTGGCATGTGATCTCTCTCCTCTCACGCGGCGGGTCAACGGGACCAAGATTCAGATCCTCATTGCAACATTGGCATTTGATTTCCCTTTTCGGCCAGTTTCTAGTCTTGATTGTAGCAGAATACAGCTTGTTGCGTATTACGTAGTATGCTCCTTGTCCAGGGTGCTTCAATCCATGTCGTCCGTGCTATCCATGTCCTCCATCTATCAATCATCAATGCAAACTCCCTCGCTATGCAACTTCCTCGCCTTGATCCTGAACAACCAAACAATACACCTCATATCCACTGAAACCACCTCAACACCATCTCTCATGAGGTTCTCGCCACTTAACGCCCAGAATCTGGAAAATCTTCCTCTCGTCCCGTCCCTCCACCAGCTCCCCCTCCGTCAACTTGACCCGTTGCGGCCCGCGCATCACATCCTTGTACAGCCCGCGTTGGTTGAGCCGCATGCCTTTCTTGGATGCCAGGAGCCGCAAGCTGCGGTTGAAGATGTCGTTGCCCGTAAAGTAAATGAGCGCAGCCCCCATCTCTGACTCGGGAACCAGCAGGAAATCGATGCGCCTCCATATAGGCCGGTAATTGTCGTCGTTGAACCCGCTGATCTTGGGCAGGATGCAGCACCCATGCCATTTGCTGCCATCGCTGGCTGTCCTGGACGATGCTAGCCTGGCGACGAGGAATTGCTCGGCCTCGAGTCGCTGCACAATGCCGTCGAGGGCTGGTCGCAGGTCGCTGGAAGACTCCGTCCCGGGTTTGGTGATGATGAAGTCAATGTCGCCAGAAGTCTCTGCTCCTCTCCGGTAACTTCCCCCGACGATGAGCTGCACCTGTGAGTCAACCTTCTGGGCTGCTTTTTTCGCAACCGCACCAAGGGCCTCGACTTCGCGTCGTGGGATCCGAGTGTTGAGGTCGTCATAGTGATCCAGCCCGACCAATTGGTTTTGGGTGAGGCTCGCCTTTTCCCTCAGGTCCTCCAGGGAGCGAAACCCTTGCGCGATCCATTGCTGAGCCTGATGATTCCCCACGCCATATATACCCAAGAAGAGCTGGAGTACCTCGTCCATAGGCTCGTCCTGGGCGTACTCGAGCCGCTGCAGCTTGTCCGTCGTGACAATCTCCTCGATTTTTTGGGCCAGGCGTGCCCCGATACTTGGGAGTCTGAATGCCTCTTCCTCCGTCGTTATTTTGACGTCCTGACGCTTGAGGGTGTTGATAGCCCTGCGGTAGGCCGTTGTTCGCCAATTGTCGTTGACTCGATCGTAATAGTCAGCCATGAGCTGCAGCACTTCAATGGTGCGGGTGTTGGGATTGCCCGCCTTAGCGTCTTTGACCCCAGCTAAGTTGCAGGCAAATCGGTCCTCGTACGCCAAGCCTTTGCGACCGGGTCCCGTTTTCCTCTTGTTTAGTTTCCGCTTCTGGAGCTGCTCATCGTCAGAACCCGAGGCATTAACGGCATCCGAGCCGTCATCCCCCAGTTCCGGCCCGGGATGGGCATCTTCCTCTTCCACATCCAAGGGTAGGTCCTTATACTCCTGCATTAGTGCGATGTACTCCGTGAGCTCATCCTTGGGCTCATCCCTTTCTGGTGGGTGTCGCGTGACAGCTGCTTTTGAGCTGATACTGTTTGTGGCCTTGTGGCCTGCCGAGACCTGGTCACGATTTGAACTCTCAAGACCTGTCGCGTCATCGTCGGATACGTTTGGGGGAGATGCCACAAATGCTTCTAAATCGAGAACGACGGGCTGGGAGTCTGTGGGCATCGGAGTCAGAGCAACTCGACTCGGTTGCGGAGATTCCTCGCTCCGAGTCGGTGTGCCGTTAGGAGGAATATAATCCCATCTCCTTGGATTCCTTTGCGGTGGCTTGAGCTGTAGAGACTGAGCTGATGTATTTGGCTCATTCGAAACAAGCGATGTCGAGGCTCCTGGCTGGCCCGTAAGCTGATACTTCTTCTGGTTGCATTGGAGTATAGCCTTAAACTGGATACAGTCGATTGGATAGTCTTCGTTGACTACCTTGGGTGGTAGATCTTTGCTGGCACTTCTTAGAACGCCCTCGACGTCCTTAAAGGCAATGTTCTTCTCCACGATGATGTGAGTTGCGCTGCCCGGATTCCTCGTCCAAGTGGCGCCAAACTCCCTGGCCTTTGTGATCCTCAGCCGTCGCGCGGGCGCAATATCGTTGTCTGGAACGTAGAAAAACGAAAGGTCTTTGAAAAGTTGCTCGCGCTCGGGCCGTAGCTTCAACGCGGGTTCCCGTTTCCGTTTCTTCATGGCGATGCTGAGAGATGGCGAGTCTTCTCTCATACTCCCCAACAACCGCTTCGAAGGGAACACCGGTGTAGAATCACCCCTCGAGATCCCCCTTCGAACAGGCCGAGTCGAGTCAGGGATAGGGGTGTCGTCTACTAGAATGACCTCTGCACTCTGCGTATTCATCAATGGGCCGAGTCTTCCTTTCTGGCCCGATGCTGCGATTGGGGTGCCTTTGATGATTTTTGTGCTACCACTTGGAACTGGAGTCGGCGCTGAGGCGACCCTCCTAGGGGTTGATTTCACCTCTTGAGGTTCATCTTCAGTTAGGTCTAGCACGACCGGTTCTTGACGAATAGGCGACCGTGTCGCCGCTTTGGCCTTGAAGAAACCGCGGCTTTGCTTCCTCTCGTCTTGCTCCTTCGCGTCGAACTCGTCGTCGCTGTAGAGAGGTTTGAGCTGGTCAAAGTATGCCGTCTTTTCTTGGAGCGAAGTCATGTCGGACAGCTGGTTGCTGATGATGTGGCGGACGTGGGCGTTGGGTGTGAGGTGTGAGAATGAGAAACAGCGTTGAATCACTCTATATCATATCCACCACAGGTCCCGGTGATGCCTGGCCGCGAAATTCACGAAGTTGTGACCTAGCTGCGCATCATGTGAGGCCTGGGTCATTTCAGAGTGGAGAGAAGAAAAGTGCTGATGCCGAGTCGTTCGGGTCTTTTGATGCAAGTTGGAGCTCTGAGCTGCAGCATCCTTTCCGGATTGGAGAATGAGGGAGGGAAACGTGCATGACAAGGGTTCTCGGGTCGTTGAACAGGCTAGGCTACAGCGCTAAAAGATGGGGGTGACCCGCTGTGCGTCCACTTTTGGGTGACATCCCGGTGGTCCTTAGGGTCCGTCATTATTTGAGGGTTATTACCTATTTAGAGACCTTGATATTCTTAGAACATAAAGTGATAGTCATTTCTATAGGTAAATAGGAAACCAAATAGTTAAGTCATCTCTCGGCCTCAGCCTATCCAACTCGAACCGGCCTATCCTGAGCTTTCCATCCATCGCAACGTAGGCACACGTGTTATTGTACAAGTAAATATCCTTCCGCCGAATATAATCAAACAACCCGGGTATCAATAATAGAAGAGAAAAGAAGATGACGCCATCTATGTGTACAGATCCAAGACGTTTTTTTGTCCATGCACTGGGCCGTTGGCGCTCACAACCGACATTTCATCGTCGGGCTTCTTGCCGAGAAATCTGTAGCGAGCCTCATTGAGGGAACGCGACTGGGGCCGGTGCAGGTTGCCCGCCAAACATCCTCGCGTCTATCAGGGGGATGCTGTTCTTCTCGTAGGGGTGGAACGCTGACGGATCGGCCGAGTACCGGCTACCGGCCTCGTTCTCAAGGTCGTTGACCACCTCTCGTGTGAGCTCGACGTAGTCGTAGGCAAACTCACCAATCTCGGCGTCATCAATACCCAGGACCTCGGCGTCCTCGGAGGCGCGGAGGCGGAGCCCGGGAATCATGTTCATGATGAAGAGGATCAGGCAGGTTCCGCTAAACGAGTACAGGCCGCCGGTAAAGGAATCGGCGAGCTGGTAGCCCATCTGAATCCAGTGGTGGTCGAGCCAGCCACCATCGATGCGGGAGTGACCGTCGAGAGCAGCGATGGACTTGCTGGCGAAGAATGCGGTGCAGATGTTGCCAACCAGGCCGCCGACGCCGTGCACGGCGAAGATGTCAAGGGCGTCGTCGATGCGAAGGAGGAACTTGACCTTGGTGGCATAGTTGGAGAAGGAAGCTCCGAGGACACCGAAGACGACAGCCGACCAAGCGGGGACGTATCCTATTCAAAATTAGCCAATGACCTCAATATCCATGTCCAAAGTTCTCCTTGTACGTACCAGATCCAGGGGTAATGGAGACCAGTCCGGCAACGACGCCGGAGCAGAAACCCACAGTCGACCACTTTCGCTCCAAGCGATAATCCAGGATACACCAGGTCATGCCTCCGACACAAGCCGCCAAGTTGGTTACAACAGCCGCCATGACGCCGCGAAGGTTGGCGGAGAGGGCGGAACCGGCGTTGAAGCCGAACCAGCCGACCCAGAGGAAGACGGTGCCGATGACGATGTGGGTGACGTTGTGAGGACGGTAGTTGAGCTCGTGGGTGCCGTGGCCGCGGCGCTTGCCCAGCATCATAGAGTAAGCGAGTGCGGCGCTGCCAGAAGCAATATGCACGGGGGTACCGCCGGCGAAGTCAAGGCCACCCATGGTGGTGGACCATCCGCTCGGGTTCCAGGTCCAGCACGCAATGGGATCGTAGATGACGGTGGCCCAGACGAACATGAAGATGACGCAGGGGAGCATGCGGCCGCGTTCGGCGACGGCGCCGGTAGCGAGGGCGACGGTGATGGCAGAGAACATGCCCTGGTAGACGGCGAAGAGCAGGTCCGGCACCTTGTCGGAGCCGACCGAAGGGCGAGCGAGGACATTGCGGAAGGCGAAGTTGGACAGGTCACCGATGAAAGGGCCGGCCGTGTGCGAAAAGGTCAGTGAGTAACCCCAGAAGAACCATTGGAAGCATGTCACGGCCGCGCTCATGACCGAGAGCCAGATGAGCGAGAGGGCCGACTTGCGGCGAGCCAGGCCGGAGTAGAAGAAGCTGCGTTTGCGCGTGTTAGTGACGGCCAGCCAGCCAACGTTGCTGCATGTCCTGCATGCACGTCATCGGACGGCAGCAACGGAGCCAAAGACTTTAGAGTCAACTTACCCAACGCCAGGAATCATAAGCAGGACGAGAGCCGTGGACGTGAGCATCCAAGCAATATCCCCAGACTGGTTGTGCGGGCGCACCAATGTCAGCTTGCGGGCGCTCTCTGAAGGCGCGGGCCCTCATTGGGCGGAACTAGACTTACCTCGTACCAGATGTTAACGTCCATCGTGAGGGGATCAGCGCCCTGTTGGCCGGTGCCATTGTAGGGCACCAGCACTACGCCTTCGTCGACTGCCATGGTGGAGAGGGTCGCGATGGTTCGGGCGCCTTAGATCTGGCGTGTGGTTGCGGGAGAGTGAGAGAGAGAGAGAGAGCGAGAGCGCGCGAGGGAGAAGACGGCCGGGGGGGCGTGGCGGGTTGAGATAAGAAGTCGTCCCGTGTAGGATAAGGCGGCGGAGGCGGAGGCGGTCCCACAGCCCGATAAGGGATGGAAAATCCAGGCGAGGGCGAGAGACGGCTGAGAGCACAGGACAGCACTGGGCAAAAAGTGTCGATGAAGGAAAAAAGAGAATGGGTTTGGTGACAGACAGGACGGGCTCGGGGGAGAAAAGATGGAGTTCAGTTCGGGGTGGGGAGAAAGCTAGACGCGAAGGAATGGTTAAAAGGAAAGACAGAGTGTGAGAGTGTGAGAGTGACGGCAACGCCTCGCCGACGGCCACAGCCCAGAAGCAGCAAGAGTTATCTTTGGGGATAGCGCTCGCTCTGGCTCACATCTCTGGCCGGGGAGTGACGGGGGGGCGAGGAAGAAGCAATTAAAAGGCGAGGGGGCTCACTGGAGAGGGTAAACGCTAGCACGCCTAGCACGCCTAGCACGCCTAGCACCGTCAGTGGCCTGCTTCAAATCCAGTCGACGCTTCCAGTGACGCAAAATACTGCCGCAGCCTCCCGCAAGCCGCCCATACATTCCTGCGCCGCCTATTTTGCCCACTGAAGCTTCAGGTGGTGGGGGGAGTACCTGTCCCCCAGGTCCCTGGGACTAGTCCCGGCTGGGGCGGATGCTTATCGATTGGTGAGACAAGGGGGCCATCGGCGCGGCCTGGAAAAGTACCTTGCATACAGCACTCCGGCCTTCCATAGTAGTCGCATCACGCACGTCAACCAGAGCAACTGAGCACACTACAACCCAATCCGCAACCTCTCACCGAGGACGACAAGACGGGTACGCATACATAGTACATGACTTAAGCTCCTTGGATTTCCGCCGAAAAAACTTAGACAAGCTTGCGAAATTGCAAGGTTTCAATCCTTCGGTCTCTCCCCCCATCTGGCTGCTCGCTGTGTTCCACCCAAAACTCCCTCCATGACCAGAACAGGCGACTCAGATAAGCAAAGGCGTCGGAGGAGGCATCGAGGTCGGTCTTCCACCGGGAATAATCAGCCGTCCTCAGCCATTCATTTCACTGATATGTACCTCGATAACTCGCGTCGACGTGATGAGATGGTCTTCTCTCAAGTAAAAGAAAAGACACACAACACGGACGCAAAGACACCCGCACGCCCCTTTCCCCCGATAACCTTTCCGCCTGATAAGACCCATGGACCGCAATCCCTGACTCGCATTGTATTGCCTTACTTCGAACCCCGGTCCTCTCCGCATCGCAGTGGCAGCCAGTGGCAGTGGCAAACTCAATTGTCTTGGTGATGATGATGAGATGTGACATGTGCTCTGTCGACTGCGCAGCATATCCTCCGACCTGTGTTTCACGGATTCTGCCGACAGAAGTCCCAATACCACCTCGCCGGTCAACCGCTGTCGGTCCTCAGAAGTCCCCGGATACGTGAGCCATGAGGGAAGGCAGTACGTGAAGAGTCCTGGCCGGGAGGTGGCAGTGTCTGGCACATCACGTTCGGCTCCGGGGGCGACCAACCTCAGAATGAAGGGACACACAGATGCTCAAGGACGCGCACTCAAACGGCCAGTAAGAGCTCCCGGAAAGGTCTCAATTTCAACAGGGGGCGGTCATGGACTCCGCGGACGGCCGGCGCTGATGGCTGCTCGAGCTTATCTCCAAGACATTACGGTATTATGCCGTCCATTCAACGGTCTCGCTAGACCCTGATGAGGTCAGTGGCTTTGAATGTCTTCCAGAAAGGAAATTCTCAACCGAAGTCGTCTTGCATTACAGCGGAAATCGCCGTCATTCTGTCTTATTGTTTTCCCATGGACTGATAAACTGGCTTACACAGAATGAGAGACCTAAGGATGCGAAGAGGCCGGAGAAGACGAAGTGGCAGATCCCAAAGAACCAAAAATCTAAACAAACAACGGCAAAAAAATGAAAAAATAAAAAATAAAAAGATGTCGTTTACATGAAAATCGCCGCTGTCGACAACGAGCTCGAATGGATTGGTGATGTTAGGCCAAGCAGTGACGAAAGACGAAAGAGGGCGTCCTCGTCGCTGATAAGCACCCCCACGCTGATTGGCCGACGGAAATGGTGGGGGCTATCAATGCGCCGCCGCTGTGCTTAGCTACCACGAAATCGTAATGGCTTTTGCTCCTTGTCAACTTGTCCCCCTGTCACCTCCATGATTTACAGATATGTGTTCCCTACCGATGCACTAACACCCCCTGTCCCTGCTCTCCCTACTCCCCTGTTCCCCAGTGCAGGCATCGCATTAAGCTGCTTTGTCCCTTGCTTCTGGCCCCTCTTTGCCATTGTTTCTTGGGCTCTTCCATCTGCATCTAGTGTTCCGCGTGTGAGCCTGGGCCCTCCCCATACATGGATCAGTAACTGATATGTCTATCTGGGCCATCTTGTGCCCCTGAAACTGGACATGGCTCCTTCCTTCCTAAGACACATATCATCATCTCATCGTCGATCGTTGTCTTGTTCCTGGAATCCTTCCACAGACCGGGTTCCTAACAGGACGCACTTCCTAGCAGGACACACACCAAAACGACAACACGCTCCACCCGCATATCATGGCCAACGTCAAGAGCTCGGGTTTAATCATAATCGACACGCCTTGTCACACCGGCTTCGCCCCCAACGGCACGGAAGAAAGCAAGGAGGGACCTCCGAGGAAAGCCCCGGTCGTACGAATACGGTGACCACTCATCCCAACCCACGCTCTCGACGCTTGTAAGGCAAAAGCAAAGAAAAAAGCAGATTGTCACTGGGCTGACCCCATGGGATCTTCGACCGGCCCTGCCCCTTTATCGCCGTCGACGATCCGGAGAAGCAGAAGCCCGGAAGTGGATATTTGACCCATCCCAGTGTGACTCTGACTAGATTACCAAGCCCCGGATGTACATACCCAGTTTCCAAAGAAGTAAGCAATGGCCTCGGTTAGCCAGTAACTTCAACTTTGAACGAACAAGAGACAATCAGTAAACCGCCCAGCCCCAACTTCGAAACCTCAGCCTCCACCACCCTCCTTTCCCCATTACCATTCATCCCGATCTTTATATGAACTGCCCAGCTGCGTATTGTCTTGGCCGTCATATTACCACGTACTCTTAGTCAACAACCCAGAAGGACACCAACACCAATTGCCCGAGACCCTGACCGAGACAGCATGAGATACACAACCATGGCACCCCAACAACGGGGTCACCGTGTTATTCACCTGGAACATAATCTCTCATAAGATCGACCATATCTGCCGCTCGTCCGAAATCAACCTCCACACTCTATCATGACACATTAAATCACCTCGTCATGATCGATGCCACACTGGACTGCGTATCAGACTCAGGTCAATATGCACAAGAGTGGGCTTCACTCGAATTCACGCTTGTCTCGCCAAGTTAGATCTATGTACCAGATGCACTACTCCCCCCACCGCTTTAGCCCCATGTTCTGATACTCATCGTTCGTCTTGCTGGCTAGATCCAAGTCGCTGTTCCCCAATGACAAAAATTGGGTCGAAAATATCGCTGGATGCTAAGGATACCGCCACTCACGCCAGGTGTTCGTTCGAGATTCGAATCACCTCCAGGATCCAATCGCAGAACCGTGTCGCGTAGTACATTACCCACCACCAACACAACATCACGAAGTTCCGCCACATCCAGACGAGCTATGGCTGGTTGTGGATGGCCGCTTCTCTCCTCTGGAACAAGGCTGGCCAAGCGAGGCGGTACACGACGTAGCTGACCTGCTATTGTCAGCATACGACGCTCTTTCCTCGGCAAACGCAAGAATATCCCGCGATAGATCATACCGTTTCAGCAACATCGAGGAGTGGTGAAAGGAGCCATGCGTGGATAAACATCTGCATCAGAGTAAGATCTTCAGGGAACCAGAATCCAGGCAGGTCAACCTATTGACCAAGGATCCTGTAGAGAGTCAGCTCGATCAGACTGGTCACTGCGGCAAGCGACATGAGTCCCATGATCGTAGCCCAAATCGGATTCTGGCCTCTTCCTCGTAGCATTGGATATTCCGAAAGTATTCCCATTCCGTAGACTTCGATGTCCCGTCTCTAGATGATTCCTAGTTAGCAATCTGCTTCCAAAGATGACTGCCAAAGCCAACAACCTACATCCCGCATGATGGGCTCCAGAGTACCAAGAACCAGAAAGCTGGTCAGCCCATGAGCAACCAACATCCTGATGCCATCTTCGTCAAACTCATAGTTTTCTGGCATCTTGCCCACGAACCCCATCTCTAGGACGACCTCATCCGACGCCACGCACAGCGCGCCCAAGCTGGCCAAGTACACCCAGTACATCCAGTACAGCTTCTTCTTCTTCTTCCATATCATGTATACTATGAGCCCGTGGATTATATTTTCCAGGAGGGGCTCGGCGAGGATAGAAGGAAGGTATGCGCGAAGGCGATGGCGGAGTAGAGCGACGGGGATAGTGAGGATGGAGATCGTCCAGAAGAGGATGTGGTGCTTCAAGGAGAGCATCTCATCGGTGCCGTCTATGATCGCTGGTCAACGCAGTGGGCTTTAAGTCGTCGTCGGGTGTCGTAGAAAACTGGCTCGGATAATATCAAGATGTTGTTGAACAGGCCGAATAATAACGACTCAAAACAAGGTAAACGAAAGACTGATAGTTAGTGGTGTGTGGATTCGGATGGAGTTGGATGAAAACAACAGTCGTCCTGAAGCAAAACTCCTGCTCAACAGGACATTGTCACTCTATGGGTCGTCCCTTTCCTCTCGGAAACGCAGCCATTGGAAGGTAGGGTCTGACAATGCTTCGAAGAGAACTCGGCAAGGACGAGCGGACCCAGAGCCCCACATGGCCTACAACGGATGAAGGAAGCGCAATGAGACAGAATGTATATGTAGAAACTAATATTGATATTGTCAACATGGACTATAGTAAGACTATCCGTATTGTACACATCACTCAACTATATAAACTTGTCTCTAACCGCCACTGTATACATACAATCTCCTCTTCCTCGACCCCTCTCAATCTCTACCAAAAGCCAGGCAGTACTACAAGACATTATATACCAAATGTTCCGCCAGGTATGTATGATACACGCGTATGTGACTTGCGCGTCAAGCAGGTGGCGGCCTGCCAAAAAAAAACTCTTCCAATCGAGTATGTGTACCCAATGTTTGTGCGCGTATGTGAGCGCGTGCCAGTAACCCAAGTCAATGCCCAAACTCAGCTCTGCTCCAAAGCTGCATAGCAGTCAAACAATGTCTCGATGGCCGGCGATCCTTTGCCAGGCCGGGATGAATGCGTTCCCATATAAAGATGGGAAAAATCATGGGAACTCCGTTTCGCTAAATGCACCAACCCTCGCTTGAGCACAGGTAATGTGCTTCCCGTTCAATACTCCAAAATGGTACCATTCCATTATGTTGTTCCTCCTCTTTAAGCGTTCACGCTCAGCGTCTTGAATCGCTCCTCAAAGGATTTCATCTTTTCTTGCTCGATTATCTTCTGCAGGCGGCGGGTCTCTCGCACAGCAGTCTCACGCTCCTCCTGAAGGTTCAGCACCTCGATCTGCGCAACGCTCATCCTAGCCACGACTTCTTGCATCTCATTCTCAGCATCTTCGAGAGCTTTCTCGAGCTCTGAGACGCGCTGCCGAAGCGCGTCCATCTGGGCTGCATCCTCGAAGCTCTTCTCGGCGAGAATGCGGGGTGAGAGCGGGAACCTCGGGGAGAGTGGGCTCAAAAGTGACGGCTTGCGAGGCGATAGGAGTCCAGGGGATCGGAAGCCTCCGAGGCCAGGGCTGCTGTCCATGCGGCGAAGCTGTTCGTTGTGAGCCTCTCGGAGGGCGGCGATCTCCTCTTCATGACGGGTGACCCGATCCTCAGAAGCAGTCTGGGCGGAGATGAGTTGATCCTCCATGTCCTTGAGGCGAACTTGTAGGTCAGCGATGCGGTCCGAGTTGGCCTTGTGATCATCTTCGCCTCGGGTGATGGTAGCAGCAAGACGCTCTCGGAGGGAAGCGTTTGTCGCAAGCTGTTGCTGGATCTGAGAGGCGAGTTCCTCGACACGGCGAGCCGACTCGCTGAGCTCATCTGCGAGAGCTCTTTCGCTCTGGAGGGTCTTGGACTCGCTGGCACTGACATTGTCGAAATGGTTCTTCAGAGCGTCGATCTCATGCTTGGCAACATCACGTTCGGTGACCGCCACGGAGAGGGTGCGCTCTAGACGTTCCATAGCAACTTGAGTCTTCTCATCAGAGGCAGTGCCGAGCTCAAGCTTCTTAATTCGGTCTAGGGATTCGAGGTAGGCCGCTTGGAGGTCTTGGTAAGCTTTCTCAAGTGACTCCGATGTCACTGGGCCACTGGGGTTGCCGAAAGAACTGCTAGCGGTGCTAGATCCGCTCGATCGAGCAAAAGAGGGGGGGATGAGGATATCCTTCTCCTTAAGAAGATCACGAAGAAGTGCGATTTCTTCCTCGGCTCTATCGAGGTCCATCTTCAGACCGCCCAGACCCTTCTCAACTTGCCACTTCTGCTCAAGGGCCTCTTCAGCCCGACGGCGGAGAACATTGATCTCAGTTCGCAAATTAGAAATGTCTCGTTCGAAGCCGCCCTTCCGGGGGGATGCCGATAAGAGCCTCTCTCGCTCGTGCTGAAGAATGCGGATCTTCTTCTCATTCTCTCGGTTCTGGCACTCTTGTCTGTCAAGTAGGTTCTTCAGGGCGCTGTGTAGGGCGTCCCTCTGTGCCTCAACATCCTTGAGCCTCTCGGAAAGGGCCTCGCGAGACTCAGCTGGGCCGCTATTCTTCACGCTATTCGACCTCGATAGCTGAAGGGCAGGAGGTCGTTGGCCCCGGAATGAACCGGTTGCCACCGAGTTAGACCTAGCGAGACCACCAGACATGGCACGGGACATCCTGTTCATTGGGGGTGTTGAGGTCCCTGACATTGCTGAGTGTCGCAGAGTATCGTTTTCTTTCTTAAGTAAATGGAGCTCCTGCTGAATCTTGCTTGACTCATATGTCAAGTTGGAATAGTCGGCGGCCTCGGATTCGAGACCCTCGACACGGGCTCTCAATTGAGGAACAATTTCGTCGCGGAGATTGTCTCTCTCATTGCATGCATCATGCAACTCACCTCGGAGGGCAGTGAGCAGATCCTCAAAGTTGTTCTTAACTGTGCGTTCCTCTGAGAGTCGTCTCCTAAGGTCTCCGCAGGTGTTTTCGAGGTCCTTGAGTCGTCCATTGGCATCCAGGTTGTTAATCTCGGCAAGGTCGATCTGAGATGCCCTCTCAGCCAGCTGCTTAATCTGCTGATCAAGGGCTCTCCGTCTTGATCTCTCATCTTGGAGCTTGTTGGTCAGTTCAAGCCGAATTGACGCCTTTTCTTGTTCTGATCTTCTCTGGATTTTCTCAATCTCCTCGCGGCCCTGGTCGGCCTCGCTCAGTTTGGCTGAACTGTACCCAGAGTCGGAGAAGTAGTCGCTGCTCCTCTTGCCGGGAGCCTGAGGGTTGCTAACTTGTTCTTGTAGTCGGTCTACTAGGTCCTCCAAATCCATCTCGCGACGGATGGAGGATGCCAGCTCGACGCTGATAGCCTTCAACTCGTCCTCCATTTCTTCGAGTTGGGCCGGTGTAGGTTGTGATGATAGGTATGATTCGCGGTATCCAGCATTCGGGTTGGTCTTTGAAAATTCCGCAAAGGAGTTGGTGGCGGTGGTGTAAGGGGTATCATTGGCTGTACCGCCCCGAGAGGGCGAGACGGGTGTCGATAGGGAGGAGAACTCGGTGGCCGAGGGTGAAGGTGCTGCCCAACTGAATAGAGCAGCAAAGGGTGAGGCTGGTGGGCCAACTGGTGACCTGGGTAACGGCTTGTTGAGCTGTGGTGATGTGTTTGCGTGCAAGGATGCGGGTGATTGCGAGCTGCTAGATGACTGCGGCTCGTCTGTAGTTATCGAGAGGGTAACTTGGTCGAGCTTGAGGTGAGGTGGTGTCGGCTTCGGAGCTAACATGGGCGCAGGAGATGAATTAGAATTAATATTATCAGGTTGGATAGCGCGCGTGTCAAGGTCTGAGTCGGGGTGCACGTCGATAACTTTGGTTTCGACGACTTTGTTGAGGGCAGTGTCTTTGTCGTTGATATCGAGCTTCTCGGCCGTTTCTTTGTTCACGTCGCGCAGGTCTACTGCAGTTTCGGGCAAGGCGTCTGGTACGGAATCTGATTTGTCGTCTGGAATCAGATCGTCATACCCGTCCAGGACATCAGAGAAGTCAGAGGTTGAGACGGTAGGGCTAGGAGCCGGTGGTGGAATGCTTCGCGACACGGGCGAGGCCGCGCTGAGGGAAGCCAGACTCGCGTCGGGGGGCCTAGGAGGGGAAGATTCCAGTCAGCAGGACGTTCCCCGTCGTGAAGTGGGTGTGGGTGTGGGTGGCCAGACGTGGGAAGGGGCTGCGACACATATCGGTGGGGATGGGGGGATACTCACTGGCACGCCAGCGGCGAAGCGCGAGCGGCTGAGGAGAACTCGTAGAGGGTCGGACTGTCCACCGAGAAGGACCTTGCGAACCTCTGTTCTGGCTTGGGGAGCTCGAGGGGGGACGGGAGAGGAGAGCCGGAGGAAGAAAAGCGCAAGGCCACGGCCGAGGCTGCAGAGGAGAGAGGCTTCCGCTTGATGGGTTTGCCCGACGGAGGACGAACGACAGTGGCAGCGGCGACAGCAGAGGCGGAAGCTGTAGGGCTCTGAGAACTGGGGAGACGGTCGACAGTTTGAGATCTCGAGTGAGATGCAGCGTGCTTTGGCGAAGCAGGTGGTAGCTGACGGTCAGTGTGACTCTGGTGGTGGGCTGACTCTGGTGGTGGTGGTGGTGGAAAGTCGACAGGGTCAGACGGAGACGAAGCGGTTGGAGTGTCGGAGGGACTTGTAGGAGTATCAGAGCGAGTATCAGAATATGTCGTTGAGGGCGGCAATGGGACCCCAGGCCCATGGAGAGGAGCCGGGGCGGGTTCCATAATTGGTATGGAAGGTTGCCGACGATGGCTCTAGTTCCGGTTGTGTAGGTACGTTGTATTAGTTTGCACAACAGACGACAGATCGACGGTCTTGTGCGGCACGAAGCAAGCAGGCAATCCAACCCAATGGATAGGGATAGGGAGAGGGGCGTGTGAGCGCCAGATGGAGGTGGTTGGCAGCCAAGCGAAGGGCGTGCGACTGGCTCCCCCCAGCGCGTAGACCAGCAATAATGTCTTATCACCGGAATTGGGCCTGGTCTTGGTCTTGGCCCTTGTGATGGAAACGGACGAAGCGAAAGGACAGCGGTGTGAGCGGGATGAAAGAGAAGAGGGAGAGGAAGCTTGGTTGGATCTTGGAGCTAAGGTAGACGGTCGCGAGGGAGAAGGCGAGAGGGCCGGTCGTACGTATCGCCGCCGTTGGCCGGGGCTCCCTGCGATTTAGTGACTTAGGGGCGCCACAAAGAGCCACGGGGGGGCCACGGCGCGCCAGGCCCAGTGGAGCGATGAGCGGTTCAGTGGAGAATTAGTGGTGGAGCCCCGGAAAGCCTCAGTTCGGAGTGCAGGAGTGGCTTGGAGGGAAATAGGGGGAGCCCCAGTCTTGTTCTGACGACCGGCCACTGATGGGGCGCGCGTGCCTGGCGGCTCCGGGTTGGATGTCGGCGGCGCAAAACCGCCAAACGTGGCCGAAGGAGCCGTTCAGGGGAAGTTGAGCCAGAGGGAGCCAGGAATGCGCAATGGGGGTTGCGCCGTGGAGAGCCGGATGACTGGGTACCTCGGCGGGCAGATGGCTGAATGGCGAACTCTGTGGATGAACGCCTGCAGAAAGGTAATCCCAAATCCCAAATCCCCAATGGGCGATGGTCGACGGTTCCTGCGTTAGCGTTGGACAAGCCAGCCCTGTGCTTCAGGAGGCACAGCACCCGTTTTGGGCGGTTCTGGGGAGTTGACGTCCGTGGAGATCCCTGCTTCGGCACGCAGGGGAGGTCAGGGGTCCAGGGGCTTGCAACCAAGGTGGGCCGAAGGAAGCAAAGAGGCCAAGGGGGACGCCGCCTGCGTCGCCAGGGGGAGGCGCCTCCGATGCGATGCAACCTCTAGTGTCGACTCGACTCGTGGGACTCTTCTTCAGCGGTTCGCTGTGCAGCGGCGCGGTGTCACCCGACCCCGGTTCTGTTCGCTCGCAGCGATGGAGCTGAAATAGTAGACAGGGTTGAGCGCACGGCGCAGCAAGTCGGGATGATTGCTCGACGACGATTGATTGATTGACAGGCGGGTTGCTTAATTGATGGATTGCCTGCTGACAGGATGAACCTGGAGGTCGTGGCCCGCTGGTTCGCCTGGTTGGCTGCGGTGGGATAATGGAAGAAGAACAAGTCGAAGCAGGGACGGACAGGGACCGGCCGGTGATCAATGCCGCTCGGTGGTTGGTGGTTGGGCCAGGCGTGAAAATGGCTGGCGCCTGTGGTCCAGTGGGTGGGATTGCGACCACAAGGCCCAGGACGCGACAGTCGCAAAGCAAAATCTGCAGTCCTTCCCGTGCGCGGGCGTGTTTGGCTTGCGGGATTGCGGGATTGGAACGGCCTCCCGATGGCCTTCAGCGGCTTTTAAAAGCAAGTTTGAGGGTTCACGACCGTTCCGCATCGGCCCATTGCGGCGGCAATGGAAGCCTTCGCTGCATGTAGCCGCCCGTCTGCTGCTGAACGGTGGTGGCACTCTGCCATGCTAATTACCATGCACACCAACCTTCAAGGTAGCCGGAAAGCCGGAGTAGCCGCTGCTAACAACCCAGATAATCCTGGCTTCACCAGCACAACCGCCCTCGTGGACCGTACGACGCAGGGACCCGTGCTCGTGCTCGTGCTCGTGCCCCATTTCATTCTCGAGTCCACCATTCATGTCAGCTATTTTTATGTCGCAATGGGTTCACACTGCAGAGCACGAATCTTGCATCCTGCAGGATGGAGCCTATCCCCACCAGCCATTCCCGCGCGTCAAGCGAACGCGTCGCTGGCCAGGGCTACTGGTCACTCCACAGAGACACCGTACCCAGTTGCCAAGGCGAAGGCCAAATCGCCAGATCGTGGTCTACGTAGTAAGTATCCAGTCTGGCGTATAGACGCGGATGCTGTACGAAGTGCAAAGTACTATCACCCCTCCCCGCGTTTTTCAGGCGACATTACTCGGATACAACGCGACCAATTAATTAGCTGGTCGGCCTAGACTCTTGCTATCGTCATAGACCTTCCAGGCCTGTAGGCTCTACTGAATCCGTGCTTCTGCCGATCGCCGACACTGCCCATGCATGTGCATTGGCGCCGTCACAAACAGCTCTTCTTCCACGGATGTAGATGTACGCGTATGTACTGCACCCTGACGCTCTCTGCAAGAGTACCAGAGGTACAGGACAGGTTGCCCCCCTGGTTACGGTGCCGTACGGGGGAAAATGACGCCTTTTTCATTTCTTTTCCCTCGTTCCCCAGCCCGCCAGGCCCTTTTCGACTTTCCTGCAAGCTCCGCCTTGCCAACCTCTCTTCCGTCTCTTCAACGATGGTTCTACGTAGTTGTGACAAGCGAAACGAGGGACCCGTCGCTACGTACCAGCTGTCATGGGCGACCTAACCACCTGTCGCCCTGAACACAAGCTTCCGTTGGGAGATAACAGGGATTGAGGGGATCCAGGAGTCAGGGGACCAGAGTCCCAAGGCCCGAGCACAGCGTTGAGTCCAGGAGGCAGCCGAAGCACCGAAACCGTCCAGTGTGAACTGACAACCCGGGGGACCCACAGGCCTAAATGGGCTCTATCACCGCCAACCCGGCCAGGTGATTGGACCTGCGAAATGGTCCCTGACTAAACCCAAAGCCTTCACCCGTTGCGGCTTTAGCATCTGGCACTATGATGGGGCGAGCCGGTTTCTGCGGCAAAGGGGATGGATATCACACAGGCTGATGGGTTACGGATCTGGCCCTGTCGTCATTGCCGATTGCCCGTTGTCGGATGCTTAATCTACCGAGAGATCTCTTTCTGCTTAAATTGACGATCATACTGCGGATGAGTCTGCGGTGAGCTATGGCGATGGCGCCGTGGGATATGAATTATGGGTGCATCTATGCATAGCCTTGGTCTCATCCGAAATCTCACAGTATGTACAGCGAGTCAACCAGCACAATCCTTTTGGCATAGCCAAATCCCCATTATGCTTAGGCCAGCAATCTTCCATCTGCCATCTGACCTATGTACATCCACTAGTTCCAGTTTCCTGATGCGTCACAGCGCGGCTTACACACTGGCCTGGCTGGTTCTACGCCTGCGTGCTCCCACGCCGATCGAAATGAGTGGCGCCAACAGCGCCAACCATTCGACTCAGCGGCTCGTGTCCCCATCCAATACCTGGAGCAGATCCATCCTGGAGCCTCTTATCACTTACGGAGCACAAATTACACACAACTCACCGCACAATGCCCCATTTATAAGCGCCTCCATGGGACTTCTCCACAGGACACTAACCACTCCGAAAGCTTAGCCCGCCTCTCATCTGACCGGCATCCTCAATCGGAAGTTCGGCGCCTATAGGGTACATCGTGACGACTACCGCCATAACCTCATTGGTCAATCTTTATTATTGAGACACACCACTTGAGCCAATTGCACATCACATTGTGCGATTGAGCTCAAGGCCAGGCAATATCCACAGTCTCAAACCTACCATGCTACTCCTGCTTGGTGGCTACACAACTCTCCAGTGATTGCTTTTGCCGGATGCCTGGTTCACGCCATTCTGATGCTCACCTGCACGCCATCAAGGAAGTTTAACCGAGAAGTGTCTAGGCCAATGAATTGGTTGGCATTCACTCACCGCAACTCCATATGTGATCACTTTCAAAACAACTTACATTGTACTGCATGTCCTGTTAAACCCCCTGTCACCTAAATTGTGTGTAAACAACATACCTTGTCATATGATGCCTCAATCTATCGGCATCCGAGCCTGGCCATAAACATCTACAGCAACTCCGTAGACCGCTTGAAAGCATCGCAATTACTAGGACATCAAGATGAGGAATACTTTATATAAAAACTGTCAACGCTGAGTGTTTGAGAAAACACTCTGAACATCCCCTACCCACACAGACTATATATATAACGCCTAGTTCAAAACACACACTGCGATCCCACCCCGACGCCTATATAGATGTATGCCCTCAAGACAACAGCTTACCCCTTGGCAACAACGTCCAAAGTCCGCTACACGCACACTTTCGCTGCTGGGCTAGAACAAACGAGAACCCGGGGCGGCTCACAAACACATCCTCCATAACCCCCGCGCATCGCGCGCACCTGCGCCACTGCTGGTTCGGGCCCGGCTTGATCTCCAGTCGCTTGAACACGTCCACGTACATCATGCCTCTTGCCTTTTTTGCCGCCAGGCTGCGCTTATCGTCTTGTGCTTCGAGAAGGTCGTAGTTTGCAAAGAACAACTTCGCCGGATCGGTAAGGGTTCGGAATGCTCGGAGGTCCTTATTGAAGAACTTGTTCATGATCTGGAGGAACGGAGGAGAAGGCGATGCAGATAGGAGCAATGCCAACTCGAATTGGACTCGTGTCGACTTGACCGCCATATCAATCTGTTTCCCTTGCAACGCCGCTTGCTGACTCTTGACGAGCGACGGGAGGACCGTTTGATAGGTCTGTCGAATGTCGCCGCCAAGAACTGTCAATAGCTTTTCGAACTCGGTCACCTTCACTAGACCCGAAGACGTAACATGCTGCATTTTCTGGTACGCCTGTTGAAGCTGAGGGGCTGCCTTCCCAGATGTCGATTGATCTGCAGCCGCTGATTGCCTCCTGTAGAATTCGATGGCCCTGGTACTGAGGGCCTCTAGGTGCCCTAGACGACGACATACCGCGGACAGGAAGCCTCGAGTGGAGGAGCTCAGTAAGAAGTGAAGAGCGATATTGTTCTGCTCATGCAAGTAAGGAGCGATTTCGGCAAAACGTTGTGGTACCAAGAGCTCCATGAACTTGTCGTCGTTCATCAGCTCAAAGAGACAATCGATCAACCATGCAAGTAGGTCCAGGGACCATCTAGCACAGCCGGCGAGGGTTTCTACAACCTCTATATGGTATGATAAGCATCGTCTCTGGAGCCTTGCCTGGTGTGACTTACCGGGTTCATCCAGTGGGCTCAACTTCTCCCTGACAGTCAATGGTGTATTGCTCGCTATAGTGATCAGAACAACCACATTTCGGACGTTGAGAGACAGCATCGAGAATTTGCCCTGAAAGGACCGAGGATTGAAGTCTCCTCGGAACCCCAAGGCATTCATAATGCTCAAGCACGACTGCAGGGAACCATTCCTCACAAGCGAATCATGATGCGTGTCCTCCGAATAATCGACCTGAATTTTGAGAATCCGAATAAGCTCGGTGACCCAATCCTGGGTAAACCCTAGTCTTGTAAGCAATCCACATATTATTCGGCCAGCATACAAGACCTACTTTTCTTCGTCGTATAAGGCCGCGCAATAGCAAGCATGTCGTCATAGTTGTTTTGGTAGAACATTGATGGAGCTATCGCCACAGTCAAGCCAGCAATGCTAGCAGAATAATGTGCTGCATCTGGTCAGCTAATAGCCACGATGGCTTTGCGGATTGCTACGTACCATCATGGTTCGAATTCCCAATATCGCCCAAAGGGTAGTGTAACTTGTTCCACCTCACTTTCCCATCATCGCCCATCTGAATCATGGAGGAGTAGGTAGGGGAGAATGCAACCTGTTGGCCTAGATTAACGTTAGTTCGGAATGTAACTGAAACACACAAAGAAGAGTGATAGGAGACATACATGGCCCCTCATCCGCGAAAGTCCAGCCAACTTGTCGAAGACTCATCACCTTGGTTGTGTCTTCCGTAGTATATAGCTCCTCGAATGTAAACCGGTCCCGATGCTCTACCGACCCATCGGCGAAAGCCAATACTAAAACCTTCCCGAAATTGATACTGTGAAACCCAATAACGACCTTATTAATAATGATGGGATCGATTTTGCGAAGTTGCATGCCATTGGGTACCTCGGAAGAAATGCTGTTGCGACGATTTCCCAATTGTTCGAAAGCAGGATGCAAGTTTTGCCGCTGTTCCACAGCTTCCCAGCGATCAAGAATACTCTGCGCCGTCTGGTAGGACCCGTCGCTTGGGGCACGGGACCTGATTGCCACGACCATTGGAGGGACTGTATTCTTACCGGTATTATCTACCAAAGACGGAAGAACCTCCAAATGAGAGAGCTCGGCCATGTACGCATCGTGGCTTGCGTCACTTGCTCCACCCTGTAGCCAACTTGTAGCTGCCAAGTGCTTCTCAGCGAGAGATGGATTGAGGATTTTGGCTTGTTGAGTGTTGGTTTTGTCAGACTGACTTGGCACGCCCCATTGGATATCGATTTTGACCAGGCTCAGCTGTTTGGAAGTGGTAGCGAGAGCAAGTATCAAGAACTCTGATGGCATTTAGCACACGGCTACACTCTTGGGACACTGGGGACTTACTCTTCTCCGAGGCGAAAGTGGCGTGAGTAACCTGATCATCTGATGAGTTGACGCTCTCGAGCTCTATAGTGGTCTCTTCAATTCTGTTATTAACTTGAGACCAGAACATCCTGAGCGTTCCATTTGAAGTCACGGTGAATAGAGCACTTTTGGACGGGTTCGGGTGAACGGGCCCTGCAGCGTGCACGAACGAGCTTTCGTAGGCATAATTGTTACCATGCTTGTTGGCCGGCCCATACATGACATTGTACGACTGAAAATGTTAAATGGCTAATCATTTCCCCATGGGTCTAGCGACTTACCTGCTGGTTGGACGGTGCGATGCTGAGCCAGTAAGCGCCCATGATGCCGTGCATATCGTCAATGGAATCTGCGTCCCATTTTCGCTGAAGATGGGGATGGTTGAGGGATATCGAACAGCTGAGGATGGTAACTCGGCCTATGGCATCAATAACAGCCAGGTCTGGAACACTAGTCCCAGCCCATGCCAGGTGGACGATGGGAATCGTGGGTGAGCCATTGACAAGATCGCATGGGGTCGGCTCGCTGAGGTCCCAAGAGCCATTGTCAGGATTTCGCTGAAGGTAGCGAAGCTCCACGGTCAATCCATCCGGAGTAACGGACGCGATTGTTCCTGTCCTCGACCAAGCCACTGTTCTGCATCAAAGTCAGCTATGGCAGCCTCGTCAACATTGGGGAAACGCGTGAGCTTACTGGCAACACCCGCGGCTTCTCAGCTCGTCCATCCTCTGATGAAGCTGCTTGCTCTGAGATCTCACGGGAAGTGACAGTCCGACACCGTCACCAAACAGGTCGTCGACATCGTTGAGATCTACCGGCATGGGGTTGTCCAAGATCAACGGCATTTTGTCTGAAGTCATGAGGACAAAGAGACGTGGGAATCACAAAGGGTATCCAAAACATGCAAACTTAAAAATACACGGAGCGCAGAATGGGACTTGGATCACCGGAGTCTCATCATTGAACGAGCCGCTGCGGTACCGGGGTTGCGGAGTTGCGGGCGGGACGAAGATTTAGGGATGGGATGGATGAGAACCTAGAAAGGCTGCTGCTGAGGCCAAAGGTGTCGTGGTTCGCATTGGTTGATTGGCTAATTTCCCGGTGCCAGTGGATGCGCCGACGGTAAAACGACGGCAAACAATTGGAGCTTGGGCGCTCAATCGTCTCGAGTCCTTGCCTTCGCCGCCAGCACCTCAAACTCTTGAATTCTAGGGTAGGTGCCGTAGACGCAAGTGCAAAGGATCACAATTAATTCGTGACTTGCGCAATTTGCAGCGTCATTTCCCGTTTCGACAGAGCACATAGAAACGGGTCGGGCACTCAACACATGCAGCCATTAGGGCGTGCATGTAGGTGCTACCAATGGGAGCACTCCGTAATGGGAATGACCCTATGAGAGCTTTTGTTGCGGAGATGTGCGATGTGCCGAAGACGGATGCGCCTATCCTACAGTGCAGAAGTTATCGCCATCACCAAACAACCCCACCATCGCCCATTTACCCCGCCAAACTTTTTTTTCCCTTCCAGCCGACGCCTGACGACGCCCATTTTGCAACTCTCCCCAAGCAACATCTTGTCATCCCTCAGAATGTCGTCCCAGCAGAAGATCGCCATCGTCTCGGTCTACGACAAGACCGGCCTGCTGGACCTGGCCAAGGGCCTCGTCCAGCAAGGCGTCCGCATCTTGGCGTCTGGCGGCACCTCTAAGATGATCCGCGAGTCTGGCTTCCCCGTCGAGTACGTACCCCGCGGAGCGTCTTGCGCTCCCAATCGACTACCACAAAGCAAAAGAGTAAACCGCTCATTTTTGATCGTGTAGGGATGTCTCCGCCATCACCAATGCCCCTGAGATGCTGGCCGGCCGTGTCAAGACTCTCCACCCCGCCGTCCACGCCGGCATCTTGGCCCGCGACCTCGCCTCCGATGAGAAGGATCTCGCGGACCAGAACATCAACAAGGTTGACTATGTCATCTGCAACCTCTACCCTTTCAAGGACACCGTTGCCAAGGTCAATGTCAGCATCCCTGAAGCTGTTGAGGAGATCGATATTGGCGGCGTCACCCTTATCCGCGCCGCTGCCAAGAACCACAAGCGCGTGACCATCCTCAGCGACCCCAACGACTACGCCGGGTTCTTGAGCGAGCTCGAGAAGGGCGAGATCTCTGATGCCAGCCGCAACCGCTATGCGCTCAAGGCATTCGAGCATACTGCTGACTACGATGCTGCCATCTCCCAATTTTTCCGCAAGGAGTACGCTGGCAATGGTGAGCAGTACATGGCTCTTCGCTATGGCGCCAACCCCCACCAGAAGCCCGCTGCCTCCTACATGCCCGAGGGCAAGCTGCCTTTCAAGGTGCTCTGCGGCTCCCCGGGCTACATCAACCTCCTTGACTCCCTGAACGCCTGGCCTCTGGTCAAGGAGCTCAAGAAGGCTCTTGGCAAGCCCGCCGCTGCCAGCTTCAAGCACGTCTCTCCCGCCGGCGCTGCTATCGGCCTGCCCCTAACCGAGGATGAGCGCAAGGTCTACTTCGTAAACGACATTCCTGGCATTGAGACCTCCGGCCTCGCCCAGGCCTATGCCCGAGCCCGAGGCGCCGACCGCATGAGCAGCTTCGGTGACATCATCGCTCTCAGCGACATTGTCGATGTTCCTACCGCCAGCATCATCTCCAAGGAGGTCTCTGACGGTGTCATTGCCCCTGGCTACGAGGAGGCGGCCCTTGCCATTCTTAAGAAGAAGAAGGGCGGCCGTTACCTGGTCCTCCAGATCGACCCCGAGTACAACCCCCCCTCAACCGAGACTCGCACCGTCTACGGCATCAACCTCCAGCAGCACCGCAACGATGTTGAGATCTCCCCCAAGTCCTTCAACACTATCATCACCCCCAAGGACGCTACTGCTCTCCCCGAGAACGCTACCCGCGATCTTACTGTCGCCACCATCACCCTCAAATACACCCAGAGCAACTCCGTCTGCTACGCCGTTAACGGCCAGGTTGTCGGCCTTGGAGCCGGCCAGCAGTCCCGAATTCACTGCACTCGTCTTGCCGGCGACAAGGCTGACAACTGGTGGATGCGTTTCCACGAGCGTGTGCTCGGCATCAAGTGGAAGAAGGGCACCAAGCGCCCTGACAAGAGCAACGCCATTGACCTGCTTGTGAGCGGTGAGCTCCCCAAGGATGGTCCCGAGCGTGAGGCTTTCGAGGCTGTCTTCGAGGAAGTCCCCCCTGCTTTCACTGCCGAGGAGCGAGACGCCTGGATGAAGCAGCTCAAGGATGTCTGCGTGTCCAGCGATGCCTTCGTAAGTTACCCTCGACACAAAACATTGATCGGTTTGATATTAATGATTTTCCAGTTCCCCTTCATTGACAACGTCTTCCGCGTTGCCCGTTCGGGAACCAAGTACGTCGCTGCTCCCGGCGGCAGCCAGAACGACGGTGCCGTTTTCGAGACCGCCGAGAAGCTCGGTATCACCTTCGTGGAGCAGAACATTCGTCTCTTCCACCACTAAATGGGGGGGCGTTTAAAAAAAGGAATAGGGGCAAGGTAATGGTGAAAACGATAGGCTACCAAACTGCCAGATGACGAGAAGAATGAAAAAGGGAAATTGTAATCTGGATGATTACGATGTTGTATATATGATAGACTTGATGCCGCGCGATGACGCTCACCTCAACGTGATGATGACATGGAACACCTTTGCAGTACCGTCCTAGCTCGCTATAATCTAGTGATTCTTGATGTGTCACTTCAATGTCCGAGGCAAGTCTTGACGTAGGGGATAGACAGGTTGTTGCCGCCATTTATTAGTGGTGGAATAAACAGGGCGAATACTAACCAAGTGTAAGATATCAAACTTGGGTCTTCTATTACAATAGAGTATTGCTATTCGCACACAGTCAAAATACTACTCGCACACTTAAGTACGCAGGTAAATTTCACTAAGAAGTCTTAATAACATACCTGTAACTAATTAAACTTAAGAAATTAAATAAACCTAATTTTAAGTATTTGTTTTTTCTTCTTCTTTTTTTTCTCTCTTTTTTTATTGTTTTTTTATAGCTCTACTCAATATCATCAGATAGATCAAAGCCATACAGTAATCTCAAACAGTAGAGATAAATAATAAGTGCTACACCCAGCACCAGAAGAAACAGTAGCTGAACAATAAGGTTGTTGCCCACCGGTCTCTGCCTGAAGCTTCTATTCAACCCCTCTGACTTCAACCCTGCTGTCTGTAGACAATAGGGTCAGTCAACGACCCTATTGTCTGCAGCCAACGACCTTGCTGCCTAATTCTAAGTATTTATTCCCTAATTTCTACTGTTTAAATTTTATCTTTTTATTTATTTTAGAGTAGAGACCTAGAGTGGGTGTATAGGTAAGGTATATTACCTCGCACTAAACTTAGGTATAAAGGCTTATATTTGTGTGCGATTAGCATTTTGAACGTGTGCGAATAGCAATACTCTCATAATATAAGAACATGTACTTTACTCTTTACTTGTGTAAGTATATGTTATTGGAACCACAAGTTCCAGGGGTGACACAACGCAGGCTGCCGTTTCTTGAAAAGCATTCCTGTCTGAAGTTGATTTCTGTTACACTGCGTCTTCCGATGCCTTTGCAGCACCCTGGCCTGTAGTCCTGCTGACCGCTGGGTCATGACCGGGTCTGAACCATCATGGTCTTGCGATAGGTGGGAACTATCTTACACCTCGACTTGTCCGGATGCGGGCCGCTCAGACCTCGAGAAATAGATCTCATCTGCTGGACTCTGTTGGGTTGGCTCGGTCGTCCGTCTGTTGCTCACCGCATCCGAGAATCGCCCTTGTGAACCCCGGTCGAGGCATCCGTCGTGCCACTCGATAGGACACGCCAACGATGAAAGTGGAATCCTTTGGCGTGCTCAAAGAAGCTACGTCAGTTTCTGGGAAATAGCTGGACCTGATCTCGGCAATTGATCATCAATCTCTAACGCCGTTTGAGAATGAGCCTGCCGGGCCTGCCCTGTCCCGAGGGACGAAATAAAGGATTTCCCAGGTTTCCCTTGTGTCCCGGGGGACTGGGTTGACCGGCGGAGCCCCCGAGAGGGTCATGACACCACGTCTGGGCGAGATGAGCGAGAGAATGGGGTGACATCGTGGCGGCACGGAAGCGCTTCTTTGAGGCGCACCTGAATTGTGCATGCGCGCCGTCTGTGCTTGGTGTATTTCGTACTCCACTCGCCATCACGCCGTGTCACCATCTGTAATTGCTAGCTCTTATACGATCACTTGCCATCAGTGACTGCGGTTTCTGAAACAATACCCCAGCTTCGCAGATGCAGGCCAATGGGGTCTCAGCAGCTTTTTGAGCTCTGTTGGCGCGCAGCTTGTGCCGGAGCTGACGACGACCCTGACCCTTCGTACAACAGGGCTGCTGCCATTGACTCTAACTAGCATTGTCTGTTCAACCATCTGAAGCAGATTTCGGGCCAGTCGGAACTTGTGGAAGGCCTGACAGGGAGTCTAATCTCGTTCACGAGATATTCCACTCCGTGGTAGCGATGCCTGGAATGGCCCTCGAGGCTTCCAGAAAAGAACGACCCATGTGTTGTGGAGAAGCACTGCAAGGTCTGGGTTCATTCTATCAGAAAGCCACCATCATCCTGGCGTCACGTCGTCACGCCAGAACAGATAAGCTACGATGTATGCAGGTTGCGGTATGTCGATCATAAACCATAATATAGCTGGTTGAAACTGTTCGATGAACACTAAATTAGCATGGCAGGCCGGGTTCGTCGGATCTAGATGTTGAGCACGGTCTAGAAACACTACAAAGCTGTAGTACCGGGGCAGCATGCGGCTGGCCTGGTACCGCCGATGTAGAGAAAGAAGTAGCAGCATGAGCGATTCGCGATATAATAAAACTGCGGTGATGTTGACGAGAGACCCCTAGAACCACGCACCAATCGGATCACGACATCCGTAAAGCCTAAGAGGATGACGCTCGGGAACACTCTCAGTGCTTTCCTTGCACGACACATCCTTTGATGAAGAGCCGGCATATGCGGTAAGGCTAAGTCGAACCCGGTAATTGATTGACGGATATCCTAGTTACTAACAGGCTGACGACGGTTCTCGGCTTGATCGTGAGGCGCTGCTCACGGTAGATAGATCTCCGTCGCCGGAGGAGCGAGGATGGCCGGATGGATGCCCCTTTTGAGACTACACCCTCGTCGAACAACTCGTACGCCCTGTAAACTGTGTTGTCACCTAGTCTCTATGGAGAATTCCGCATCGACCCGTGGACAGACGACAGGAATAGAATTGGTGTTTCGTACATATGGGATTGGCAGCAGGGTCGTACGTATGTCACGGTATTTGGACACGGGTTGAGGACCATTCATCGTTGGAAGCAAGGGTGCGTCTGTCTGTGAGAAAGCGTAGTTGGGGTAATACAACAGCTGTAACATATTGGAATATCAAGGCTAGGTCTCGGGTTCAGCCCGGCTCTGTGGTGGCAATAGGCCGTGGACAGTAGCAATTGCCCGAGCATTCCATTCAACGCCGGTATCATGAAAGTAGTCATTCGACAAGTACTTCGTGAGGTCAATGACTACGGCACATACGGAGTAGCTCGACAAGATATGAGGCAGACCTAGGGACAACTGGGGGCATGCCGACCAAGCCAGATCTGAAGCAGCGTTGTGGCACAGCAGCAGGCGTAGTCCACGTCACACAGGGAGCGGTCCCTGGAACATTGGCTGGTGGCCGTTGAATCGTTGATTATTCCTGCCGGGCCCGCCGAACAACCAGTTGCAGATGTCGAGGCCGGGAGAGTCAAGCTGTAGCATGGAGGTGATCGGGAGAGATGCCCAAAGAGCACTCGTGGGTGAGCCAAAACGGGAACTGGCGTCCAGGGCCAAGGCCGCCTCTACCGGGGATGCCCGGAGGGGCGCCCGCAGGGATCAACCCCTGGCTGTGCTTCCTTTCCGTAGCCAGCGGCGTGACTGGGCCGCTGAATGGTACGGACCCCTGACATCGGGTGTGGAATGTGGTGTTGGCAGCGTCGTATTGGGAAATCTGGCATTTGATCTCACATGTCCCTCGATAGGAGAGAAGAGGTGACGAGGGGTAGATGACTGGTCTTGCCGCCCAGGTACGGACTTGGCTAGGCGAGGATGATTGTAGCCAGCTATAGACGTCTGGCCTGGGGGACCAGATGTGACGAGGGCTGGTTGTGTGGTTGATTGGATAATGGGACGAGGACCTGATAGGGGCCCCTGCCACAGCGAAGAAGGGGGACGAGGTAACCAGCAGCAACAGGAGCCTGCCGACAGCCGACGGCCAACAGCCAACAGGGAGAATGTCTCCCGGCAGCTGCAACTCGAACCGGTGATCGGTTACGGAATCATGGTTTGGGGCGTTTGCTCTAGCGACGTGCTCGGTGCAGCTGTCGGAGAGAGTCGCCAGTCGTCAGTCGTCAACGCCACAGACGCATCCTTTGGAGAAAGACAGGTTCGCTCTCTGTAGAGGGGCGCCAACGGCCACGGGCTAGCAGCACAGGGCAGTAACAGGCTCGTGGTATAGGGGCTAAATTAGCGGCCCTAGGCCCGTTGTCCCCTAGGAGGGGACCCAGACAGGCGCTGGCGCAGTGGGACAGTGGAACCGTGGGACTGCGGCCAGTTGGTGGGCAGCTCGCCTGGGCCGCGCAGCGCAGCAGCCCACCAGTCCACCAGTCCACCAGTCCACCAGTCGTCCAGTCCACCGCCGCACCACCAGATGCTCACTGCTCCCAACTCAGCCGGGAATCGTGCGCCCAGAGACCTGGGATGCTAAGGGCCACCCAAGGTCAGCATCCCACCAAAGCGGACTGTGGCGGGCCCGGAGCCAGGGCTAGCTGTCAGGGACCGGGGCCGCAGGCGAGGCGGGGACGGGCACCGACATAGCTCGACCCAGTGGGAACTTGCCTGTGAGATATCGACGTAGACAGTTAGGCCGTCAGTTGGTCAGTCCAAGTGTCTCCGTACAGTAGCACTGGCAACCCGGCCTGCGGAGTGAGGTGGCCTTGTCCATGTTCATGCTCACGCTCCATGCTCGTTCGTTTGCCGGGGAGAGTTGAACGGTGTCCGTATCAGAAGCGGTGCAGTTGCCCATGCAAGACGCGCGCACCGCCAAGGTTGGATCATGGCTGGGATTGCAGATTTTCGGTTGTTCTTATGTAGAGGGGAAGCATCTCGACTCGATTCCTAAAGTGCCGCCACGTTTTCTTCACCATTGCCCGACTGCTCGACGGACAGCAGGCGCAGCAGGCGACGAGCACGAGCGACACAAGTCGTACCTTCCTACCTTACCTAGTCAGCCGCTGGCTCGCCCTTCGCGATATTTATCCTTCAACCTGGGAAGGGGCACTTAACTTCCTTTCGTGCCTGCCTCCAATCCCGTGCCTCCTCCCTCGTTCCTCCCTTCTTCTTTTCCTCCCGACCCAGGCCGGCAGACAGCTCGCGGGCCTCATTCATTCCCCAGCTCCCGCGCCTCGACATTGTTCATTTTCTATTTTACAGTCCGGATCTCCGCTCTACGCTCGTCGCCCTCCATTGTCTGCATCTCGCAATCACACATCACCTGTTGCCTTGCACACTAATGTCTGACATCCTCGTCGCCTTCCTCGACCCGCAACCCTGAAGTGCATCCGAAGCGAAGGAACCCGAAGCTACGCCGCTCAACCAGTGGACCTCGCGACGTCGCTCATTTCCAGTTTCCCTTCATGATCAGCGCTGCTTGTCCAATCTCATCACCGCTCCCTGTCAAAGTTTCCCAAAAACCCTGCTGCTCTAGCAGCTGTCTGCCCCAGTCGTCCGTCTATTGGGCGTCGCCATGGGTCAGGGTGATGGTGAGGTTGTGACGCCGCTCTCCTGTCCTGGCGGCTGGACTAGAGGCAGACGGTTGGGACCAGACCTGGTATCCGACATGGGAGGAGACGACAACAGCAACGTCGAGGACCGCTTCGATTTCACTAATAAATCCTTCCTCGAAACGGCGACTTTGAGCTCTCATTCCGGAAGCCTCTCCCAGCACCGACCACGACGAACATACGACCCTGACGTCGGCGACCACCTGCATACACATCGAGCGCATGCGTATGCACACGCAAACACAAGCATGCACGTACAGCCATGTGCGCAACCGCAACCGCAACCGCAACCACAGCCGCAACGTCCCGCCACGGCCTACGATCACAGAGCTGGTAGGCCCAAGGACCTGGGCGACGAAAGTTTCCTTCTCTCGCGCCAGACGAGTGCTGCCACAATGGCCTTGACAACATCCTCTGCAACTGGGACCGTTGATGCCACTAACAGTGCCCATCAACCGCCGTTGTCAAGCCTCCAGAGTCTCTGGAGCCAGGAACCAAAGGTTGAGTTGTACATGCCGCTAGAGCCCCAAACCGACGACGAGCATCGGACAAACCCCCATCGCAGTCAAGGACTACTTGACAGCCTCGATAACGAACTCTTACTTCCCGACACTCACCTCTTTGCTGCCTCGGACGACCGTCCCTCGTCGTCACGCAGCCACCTCCGTTACTGGCGCCGTAACCGGAGTCCAGGTCCGGGTCCAGACGCCTCTAAATACCAGCGTGTCTCATCCGACGGATCGCCGCCATCGCCACCGCTGGATAGCATCCGACCGTCCATGCTCATCACAAGAGAAGAGTTCGAGGCTCTTCCGCCTACGATACAACGCAAAGTAAGTCAATCGCCTTTTCTTGTTCATCAAATGATTTCTCTCTGCGCTTTGGCATCTTTCGGTCCGGGACGCGGACGCAAAAGCAATGCCAAAAAGACCAAACCAAGCACCGAGACACGCACCCAGACATGCATCCAAGCCGTTTCCCCACTACATGTCAACACACATCGATTTCCCTCCCTATTTGCCCTTCTATTATCGCTGCGCATCATTTCCTACAAGGTCGCGATTGACTTGTCTCGAGTCGATGGAGCGACTCCCAATGAAAGCGCTCCCTTCAATCCCGAACCCCTTTGCATCCCTTCCACACATACACATTTCACATTCTTAGTTCCTGGGATGAACTTGCCTGGCATGACTCTACATGATTGGGTCGAACAAGGTGCTGCCAGTCATCATGATTCGGCCAGTCGTGTGTCCATCATGCAGCTGCCGGGGCTAGTAACCGCCTGGACATCAACGAACTCCCACCACAAGGGCCACAAGCAGGCCCGGCCAACACCAGGCCAGCACCCACCCATGTCTTGCCTAGTCTGGCTTGTCTTGGCTGTGGGCGGCTCGGCGGTGGACCATTGGCTGGGTAAGCCCAATACGCCCCTCACCCCTCCCAGATCCTTCCCTTTGGGGACTCCCATCACATCCGGACCCTAGCCGGACGTGACGACGTCCTGGCCTTGCAGCTCCGTATGGATCCATGCCACTGGAGTTGTGGTGCTCCAACACTGCCAGCAAACCAGGCCTCATCCGAACCAAGACACTGCAGGGCTCGCCCTGGAAACCCAATCATCCACTCTCCTTACTGCAGCGTTTCGTTCCTGCATTGAGACATGTCCATTCCCCTTCGAGCCTTGCCCCTCTCCCCTGCCTTAAGACCCAACAATTCCCCCTCAGTGTGCTGCAGTCATGTCTCCATTGCCTCCTTCATGTTTGGATTTATCATTGTCGGATTGAGAGACGACTTGTCTTGTTGTTCTGTCGTGTGCTCGTCCTTGCCGCCCAAGTACTAAACGTCGTTACCTTGCAGTACTTTACCACCATAGAGCGTTCTCAGCTGGCCCATCCACCTGACCCGGACGAACATATTCGCCTTGAAACTGCCGACTACGACGAACCTTTGCCCTCACAACCCGTGTTGGCTAAGCCCACCAAGCGTCGACGACATCACAAGCATAGGGCCACGTCGGACTCTCCTATTTCCTCACCCCGCCGATCCCGGATCACTTCAACAGACCAGCGCTTCTACGCAAGTCTGCCTGAGAAGATCAAGCGCCAGCATCTGACCGAGGAAGAGCAACTGGCCGCTCATTACCGCCGACAGACACTCATTTTCAGAAACTCAAGCGAGTCATCACTTCAGGTTGTGAAACATCAGCCGAAGGACGAGAAGATGCAGTCTCCGCTTGTTAGCCCCGCGCTTTCTGATGGCCACTCGTCACTATCAAGCATGCAACCTCCGCATAATGACCAGGTTCCGCACGGGGTAGAGAAAAGGAAGACCGACTCTTTCTATGACAGCTTCCGATGGCTTGAAGAAGATGAAGGCCTCGATCTGCGCCTTTACCTGGACGACTACCACATCAATCTTCGCGAAGAGGTGCCGGTGCCCAACCGGAGTCGACGACCGTCGTTCCGTCGCCACCTGTCCATCAATAAGCTGCCTTTCGGCCGCGGTTCTGTTTCTTACAGCCGCCCACCCACCGTACCAACGTCACCCACATTCGTGTCGCCTTCACAGAGCCCAGACATGGGCTCAGGAGTTCATGGCCGCCGGAGGTCACGGGCATTGTCCCTGATATCACCCAATAAACAGCCTCTGCCATGCATGTCTCCGACCATTGATCCTGCGGCAGCTCATTATAAGGACCCAGAGGCCCGAATGAAATTGCGTGTATACCTGGCGTCACCCCAGAAGTTTGATGAGGCCATTGAGTTTGGCTTTCCATCAGCGGATGGGGCTAGACCGGTCAAAGGGAGAGACGGCGCCGACACGTCGGAGAAGTTTCGTAGCTTCTTGGAAGACGATCGATCATCGGCATACAGTGATGGGCTCACGATCGCCGATCCCGACTCCCCCAAGACGCCACATCTCTTTGAGAAGCCCGTGTTTTCGCGCCCAGTCCGACCAAGCACCGAGCGCAGCAGTGACCGTTCCACTTGCCTCAGGGACGACGCCAGTCGAGACCCGGTGTCGAGCCGGGAGATGACACTGCGAATGACTCTTACTCGACCCGATCTTCGTGCAAACGAAGAGCACATCTACGGCGCGTGGAAGCCAAGCAGTGCCCGGACCTCTACCACACGACAGGATGGGACATCTAGCCCTCTAATCTATGCGCGTGATGAAAACCGAAAGGAAAGCATCGAGCGGCAGCTTGCGGCCATGGACCGGTGGACCGACGATACCTTGGCGGAAAATGGGGTCGTTAAACGCATGTGGAATCGAGTACGACGGTCTTAGATGCGCATTGTAGCGCAAAGGAGAAATGCATCATACACCACCACAGATGAGGGCCAGTACGTCACGACATGATGTCATTTTTTATTATTTCTCTCGTTCACGAATACCCCACCATTTGTTTTAATACTGCCGATGGAACTATTGCTTCCCTTGGACACGCGGGCGGACATGTCTGGTCGTTAGATCTGATGCAATCACTCAATGGAAGGAGTTTACTGGAGTTGGGATTGTTTTGTATTGCCGAGATTTCACGTCTTTCGTTCAAGCACTAGTGGAGCGGGAAGGGGGGATTTTCTTGTTTTGTTGGTGACCAATAAGCGCATGACGGAGTTGAAGGCTTCAAGATACAGAATGCGCCATGAGGAATTAGCCAGCAATCGTGTACTAGAAGAATAATTGAAGAGCGTCGGCTGAATGGTAGGGTCCATTCTCGTGCGCCATGTTTCAGCAACAGGTGGTTATGTGTCTCGGTCTCTTTTGGCTTTCTCCCCCGTCCCGACATATGTGGGTGACATCGCGTGTCATGTGTTGTTGGTTTGGCAGCTGTTGTTGCTTCTCACTACTACGTACACACGACCGAATCGAGGATGGGCAAGGCAGATAATGAGTGGGTTGGTTTCATGGCTGAGACTGACAAAGCTAGGTGCCTCGCTGTGGGCTTGGTATATCACATGGGCTGTGTTGAGATGGGCACGACAAAGATTCCCGCATCTACTTACTCGATGGAGTCGCCGTCGTTGTTCAAGACGCCGGATGCCGCCCCGCCTCGTTCGGGCACGCACCAGTATGAGGGCTCCGTTCAAGCCCGGGACTTGGATGCCAAGATATTCTTTCAGCAAAAGGGCGGCCGATGAAACGCTGGCTTGGTGCAGCTCACGGCGGTGGCAGCCATGTCATGCAGGCGGATGCGGGCTATGAACCACCACCACCACCACCACCACCACTAACAACAACAGCAACAACAACCGCTGCACCCGGGATTCAGGAGGGAGACTTTTGCCCCGCGGAATAAACACCGTGGGCTAAACGGGTTCGTTCAGGGATGGATGGAGACACGAGCTGCGCTAATACTGTACAGCTTTGCGGCCGACGGGGCGAGAAAGAGGGCTTTGTCGGCTTCGGGCTAGCAGCTTCGAGGCGGCAGTCTTTTCTGCAGAGACAGCATTTTGGCTTGCGCCGCCGTCCATGGCTCAATCGATAGTCCCGCGGAAGCCTCTTTTCGGCCGTTTTTTTTCTCTTTCAAATGGTACTTTTTTTCTCTCTCTTTCTTTCTCGCCATCGGAGACGGCAGATGGCGGGTAAAGGAGGCGTCGGCCGGCGGAAGCGCTGAATCGAGAGGCGGCGTTTCCCCCTGACGGTTGGCATTCATTCTCTTTGCTTTGCCCCCTCGCTACCGGAAGACGACGAAACTCACTCACAACCCCGTCCTCCTAATTCCGCTCGGGATGGGAGAAGCCGAACGCCGGGTAATGTGCAATTATCTTCTCTTCCCTTTCTCGCATTGCATCGCTGTAATTAATTATGATATGTCGTGCAAGGTTGGCCTGGGCCGCCGCAACAGACCAGCCCTGGCATGCATGGATTGGTAGTTTATGCGTTAAGAACCAAGACGAGCTGCCGCGTTCGGATCTGCTCCCGGCGTGCCTCGGAATGGTGTCCTCACACCACCACCATCACGACCTCCTCTTACTACGTAGCTCGTAGCTGCAGCTCGCAGGTGTGTGTGCTTGTGTGTGTGATGCCGGGGACGCCCGCGCTTACCTGCATGCGCTTCTCAGGTTGAGCAATGCGGTGTATACCTCCGCTCATCGGCCGCTTGGTCTGTGTTATATCATGCGTGATATGCAAACTCGTGTGCTTGCGTCGTCAAGACAAGCGCCCGTCAGTGGTAGACGTAGACTAATCAATGATGCCGTATTCAAGACCTTGCGTAAAGCTGCTAATTACCTAAACCGTCCGTTCTATATTGCTACCCAACCCGACGGCCGTCTGCTGCAGATTCACACCATGCTTCCGCTTCCTTGCCCCTTGCCCCTTGCCTCACGGGCAGAAAGGCACACACCATAAACATGCTCCCGTGTTGCTCACACCTTGGAACCCTCCCACCCATACGTAGCTCGTACATCCCGTCATCAGACCTCCTCGTCGCTCTCCTCTCCCAGTAGCTCGCCCTCGTCGTCATCCACAGCGGCATAGTCGCCCCGCCCGCGAGCAAAGCTGTCTCGTGTTGTGTATGGTCTCGTGCCGGTGCCGGCGCCAGAGAACCAGCCATCGCGGCGTCTACCGCTGACTCGCTCGTACGCACCCGTGGCCGTTCGCCAAAGACTGGTGGCAACCAGCGGCAACGCAACCACCACCGCAGCCATGGCCGAAATCGCGATGACGGGATACTTGATCCACGGCTGGTCGCTGTCAAACGTCGACGAGTTGTCTCCCAGTCGGATCTGGCCGAACGAGCTGTTCCAGTTGTTGTATATGTACCAACCGATGGCCCCGGCGAGGCAAAATGGAATCAAAATGGAGAAGAAGATGACCCAGCCCGACGTCCGGTGCTTCTTCTCAAACTCATCCTCGTAGCCATCACAAGCGTGCTCCGTCGACGTCTTGTCCCACTCTTTGCCTTTCTCGCAAGTCGTCATAGGAAGCCTGCGGTAGCCCGTCGGCTCAAACCACGTCGTCTCGTTCGGGTTCTGCTTGCACCAGTCCTGGCCAGAGAGAGGCTGAAATCCAGGCACCAGGCTGCATTGCCCATGGTTGTCGAGCTCATAGTTGTACGCGCTTGTGCAAGTTAGCATTCCGCTGTCCGTCTGTCTCAGGGTTGCCATCTCTACTTACCATTCATAGTCGCTGCGCGTGCACTGGCAATTAGTATACTCGTGAAGCCGTTTGAGGTTCCCCTTGTTGTAACATTTTCGGTCCGTTTTCTTTCGCAGGTACGTCGCCACATGCCCAAACACGCAATCATCGTCCTGGAATGGATGCGTCGGGGACCATAGGTAATAGTCCGAGTCGCCCTGCTCTTTGAACTCGCAGGCCTTGTCTGCCAGTCCCGTAAAGTCAAGGTTGACCGAGAACAACTTGCCCTTGTCGGGTTTGCACCAGAGGAGAAAGTTGCGTGACGCTCCGGTCTGCACCGTTGTGATGTCCAAGACCGTCACCTCCTCCTCAGAGAACTTGTAGTCCGTCCATGTCTTGCCCTCGTCCGCAGAGTACGAGACTATTTTGGTCTTGGCCCCATTTCCGTGAGTAGCCCGCTGTACGAGTACAATGATACCGCCCTGGTCGCCGTATTGCCATGTCCAGTGTCCCTTCTTGACGTTCTTCCACGTGATTCCACCATCGGCCGTCATAAAGGTATCGGCATCCTTGATGTCCCCTAGCTTCGACCCGACGTTGCCGACACCAAAGAGGAGGCCAACTGCAGTGCTAGCCGCAAACGTCTTCCTCTTGTCGTCTCGTTCTGAGTAGTTGTGGAGATGCAACGCACACTTTTTGTCGCCACTGGAACTGCACTTGTACGACTTGCCATCCGCATCTTTCTGAGGTGGCGGTAGGAAGCCCCATTCGGCGTTGTCATTGTGCGAGATCTTGGTCTGAAGTTCCTTGGCGTCCTTCTTGTCTGGGTTGGCGACAACGTTGATCAAACTAACGCCCTCTAGCCCTGAGACCGTCTCGAAATCAACCCACCCGCCGTCGTTGGAGTTGACGTTAGAGGCGCTCAGGACATACGTGGTACCGTTGGAGTTGCTCTTGATAATCGAGCCGAGCTTTCGGCCCTCGACCGTTTTGGTGGCCACAAAGAGGTTGATGGCATGATATGAGCTGTCTAGGACAGTGTACGAACTGTGATGGGTGTCGCCAAAGTTAAAGGGGAAGTGAGCAGCTTCGAACTTCTTTCCATCAAGACTAGCAAGGGCCTGTAGTCCACCATTCCCGTCGGTGTCTTCGGCAATGAGAACGAATTCACTCATAGTCGCAAAGTTGATAACCGACCCATTGAAGAATTGCTTATCCATGTCAAAGAAGTCTTCGCTCGACACGATTGTGTTACGGGCATTGTTGTTCTCCTCCCGCTTGGCGAGGCAGACAATCTGTTTGATGGAGCGGAATTTGTAGGCTGAGTGCCCGATGAATTCGCACCTTTCCACGTAGCGCAGCATCGTTTTCCAGTTGTCGCCACGGTCCGTGGAGATGGACGCCTCAAGAAAGCAGTCCTTGCTCCCTGACACATCATCACAGACTTCACCCACCCAGATAATCCAGTCCTTCTTGTCCGGATGGAAGCTCAAGGCATGGCCTTTGTTGGCCTTTGTCGGTCCCTTGAAACTGTGGAAGCTCTGACCTCGATCAATGGTGTAGATGACCTTTTCGTCAGACGTGGTGAAGAAGATGACATCCTTGAAGTAGTCGTGAGGGTATATGGCCACGATTGTCTCCTTCTCTAGGATGGGTTTCCATGACTTCCCGTGGTCAGTTGTGCGCCAGAGGTGGTCTGCCTTCGACACACTACCGTCCTTCATGGCCAAGGGTCTGACAATGACCGTCTCATCCGTACCGGCGCTGGAATCGCCGCGGTCGAGGTAAACTTTCTGGAAGTCGTTGAAATCAGAACCAAACTCAGTCGTCTTGTGGCTGACTTCTCCGCTGGCAGGGGCATCAGGAGACTGATTATCACCACCGCCAGATCCGCCGGAGCCACCTCCATCAGAGCAGTCTCTTTCCGTTTCGTCGTCCTTCTGAGATCCCTCCTTTCGTTTGCACTTGTTTCCAGGAATAAGTCTCCAGCCGGATGAGCCCTTGAACTTCCCGTCTGCCCCATTTTTACACGAGCCCTCTGGAATCGGGATGGGACCAGCTTGCTTGCAAACACCTCGGTCCTCAGGGTCTCGCTGGAAGTTGTAGTCGCATTCGAAATCGGCGTCTGTGCACTCGCACTCCTCCGTCTTGGAAACGGGGTCCTTGAAGTCGCTCTTGACAAAACAATCGGCGGACTTCTTGCGGCGATCATATGTTTGCTTGTGGCCCATGATACATGTTGGCTTTCCATCGTCATCCACCCGAGCGAACCAATCCTCCATATCCTTCTTTCCACATTGAGGTTTATCAAGGGCGCTGAAGTCGATGGAAATCATGTGGTAAGTCCTGTCCTTCTCACCCAAGAGTAAGAACTTTAGACTTGTTGAATCCTGAGTGGTTGTCAGGATGCTTGGTTTGATGGCGAGGTCTTTTGGCAAAGACACGGGTTCCCAGTGGTCGCCATGGTCCAGAGAGTAGTGAAACTCCTTTACATCCTCCTTGGTAGAATCTTTGATGGCAATGAGGATCGAGCCGGAATCGCCAAACTCATACTTGTGTGGTCCGTCCAACGCCTTCTTCCACGTCACTCCAGCGTTGTCAGACACGAAGAGGTTCGAGTCGGCGAAACTGGTCAGGGATTTTCCGGTATTTCCGTTTCCCATGATAAGTCCTGGGGCTGGACTCGAGTATACTCTACCCACGTTGTCCATCTGGGTGACGGAATGCAGATGGATCGTATCTTCCCCAGCCTTGATGGATTCGAAAGTTCTGCCGTCGTCGAAAGTCATCTTTGTGACGATAACCTTCTCGGCACTTTTCTCGTCGACGTCTTTTCCGTTTTCAACAACATTAACTAGGAAGATTCCCTGAATTCCACTGATCTTCTCAAAGTCAACGTGACCCTTAGTGTTTCGGTTGGTATATGGGACATTTTCGGTGAAAAAAGTGCCGTCGGAGTTGCTGGTAAAAATGACACCCATTGGGTTCGACGGATGAGATGTCATCACGTCCACCTGAAGGCTATAATCAGTGCTCTCCAGCACAGTATACGCCTCTTGGTTAATCTGGTGAGAATGGTCGTGGCTGTCGTCCGTGGGGAACATGGCTCGGTGCCAATGAATCGTGTCATCAGTGACGTAGAGGGCCATCTCGTCACTGTGGGGGGATGTGGTAGCAACGAGGATGAATTTTTTAACAGCTGCTAGGTTGACAACGCCGGACACGCCTTTGCTGGGATTCATGTTGGGCTCAAACTGCTGGTATGCGCCGTCTTTCATGACAAAGAAGTCGTCCGAGATGTACAGTCGCTGATCCTCCTTAAAGAAGGAGAGCTGATCGGCGATGATACACATGGTTCTCGACTCGTCCAGGTCCTTCTGACCAGTCGTGAATCCCTGAGTGGACTTGGCCCACCAGCACCCAGCAGTCGAGGATCGGAGCCGGTTTACCGATTTGAAGCCGTCGAGCGTATATGTTGCTTCCTCATCGCAGAAAATTCCATCGCAGTTCATACCATTGAAGATGATGCGCTTCGGATCGCCGGCGTGGAAGACGAGGATTTCGGGCTGGAAGACGCTGGGGAGGCTGCCACTTTTGAACTCGGACCAGCTCTTGCCTTGATCGGTGGTCATGTAGTGTTTCGAGTCTGTAGTCAAGACGAATGCCGTCTTGGGCTCAAATGGATGCATAACTAGCAATGCGGCGGCGCCGTGGGGTATATTTTCCACAGTATTCCATTTCACGCCGGCATCCGTGGACCGGTAGATGTTTCTCTCCTCGACATCGTGGAAGATGATGACATCGCTGTCCTCGAAGTAGTTGATATTGATCGGGGGGTGTTCAAGCGCGTTGACAGTGATGCCAGGCTTGTCCTCCTTTGCGACGACTGTTGTCCAGAACAGGGAGAGCAATAGGAGGCGCCATGAGGCTGCAGCGGCTCTGCCTGCGAACCTCATTGTTGCGGCGGAGCGTGGGCGGCGAGGATCATGAAGGAGCTGATGGATAGAGCGAAAGTCGGCTATTCGTGGGGTATCGTGGGGAACGAGGTCGGGGAGAATTTGCAATGCCGTCCGCGAAGTCGTGTTGCGCTGGCCGATGATGGAGATGGAGATTGTTCTTGGACAGTTTGCATTCGCGCGTCGGCACGTCAGTGCCTGGAGGCAGCTGTTAACTGTTTCGCCCAGTGTGGCGCAGAGCTGAAAGCCCCCGCCACAGCTCCTCCGTGCCACGTCATGTCATACTAGGCATACGTGTGGCTCCTGAGCGTCCTAAACTTAGGTAGCTGAGGCCAGATTCCACCACAGGACGAAGTAGGACGAGAGACGCCAAAAATAATGAAGAACACAGCAGTGGAAAATTGCCCGCTCTATCCGTCCGTCTCTATAGACTGAGTCTCACTTGGTAGCTATGGGGTGTCACGGTAAGGCTCGTGGGTCACCCGGGATAATACAGAGTATTGCATTCGCATACATGCCTATTGCTATTTGCACGCATAACTATGTTCTTAATCCTACTAATAATTATATAATATCCTTCTAGAGTAGTTTAAAAGATGTATTTTCTAAAGATTAGCATTTATTTATTTGTTTATTTATTAGGTTTACGCAATCTCATGAGAAAGACAGACATATAGTACTACCTTTAACTACCTTACCTAAGTATACATAAGGCAGAGGCGATAAGTACCTTAGTCAAGCTGATGCTTTAGTAAAGAAGCTTACCTGTGTGCGCAGAGCAATATTCTATGCGAATAACATTGATAATAAATGGCTGGTTGCACGGACTGGAATCATGAGCAACCAAGCAAGAACGACATTCCTATTCATTGCGATTCATCATGGAAAGTAACCGACCCCACGAGGCAGTTGCAGATATGCTTGGGCATCCAATTGGGAGCACGTATCGCGTACTGATCGTTACAAGTCAAGGCTATGCACCTCCGACGGAGCTGATGCACCATGTGTCGTGTTGTGTCCTGTACCTCGCATTTGCCTTATCTTGGGCGCAGCCTGAAATAGATGCAAGCATACGCCATGTCGGGTTAGCAAGTGGTGGTCAAGCTAGGCAGATGCCGGATGTAACTTGCTCAGGGAGGCTCCCGGAAGCATTTTAGCTCCCCGTAGGTTGCCATTTTTCCAGGTTGCCCATGATTAAGATGGCTCGTGCTGGCACGGATGGAGCCGACATCTCCCATGGTGTTTGCCTCTCTTGCTGGAGTGCCCCTCCGTGCTCCACGAGCGACAACTGTGGGCTTCCCAGTTCAAATGGGGACGACTCGGTTGAGCATATTTGGAAGCGGGCAAGGAGTGCCATGAGGCTCAAGAGGGAATGGCGCAAGAGGGGATGAAACACGGTGGGGCTTCGCGAGCTTCTTCCCGGGCCAGACATCAGCCCCATTGCGGCCATTTGTACTGCGGAGGTACCTTGGAGTCCCGTCAAGCTGGACGCGTGGAGGAGGGACCGCGTCTGAGATGGGCTTACCCCTTTTGGGATATAGCATCGCTGATATTACAGGTCAGCTCGGAACGGAGGATGATGTCGAAGCTTTTGAGGTTGACGCGGGAGGCGCATTGTAGCGTCACTTAGTTGTCTGTCCGTGAGCATCGGGGAGAGAATAAGAAGGTGGTCAAGAATGGAGGCTGATCAAAGGCGCAATCTTCGTCCAAAGTCATTCCCAAGCTCGGATGCAAACTCGGGGGCGCAGCCCACTAACAGCCCAGAGAGCTCTTCGTACCTGCATCTGGTCTGGAGTCAAAGCTCTCCACCTCGGTCGCCTGGCCAAACAATACAAACAAAAGATGATTGATTTTCCAATCAAGGCCACATCCGGCGTTTGCAAGCCAGAAACATCGGGCTTGGTGTTTGCTCTAGGATGTCATTGCCCCTCGTTGAAATGCGCGCCGGAATTACGTAGCTGACTTGCACCAAAGGAATGGACGTGTCTCGGCTCGTCGTCTCACTCGGGTTGATCGCAACGGTCGGTCGGTACCTGCATCGCATGTACCTTAACCTCCGACGCGACCCTGGGGAGATTGCTAGCTTCATGCGCACTGCATTTGGGTCAGTGACATGCGCCGGGGACGCAGGATAGGACACGGTTGTAATAATCTGGTCAAGATTTCCGAGATTGATGCATATGGAAGGCTACAGGACTGGAGCAGGTTCCGCTGGATACCTATGCGCATCATCGCAGCGACCCAGATATCACTGCGGAGCATTACTGAGGGAGTTGAAGATGCATCGAGTTGCGCCTCAAGCTCTACACCGACCGTTAGGAGAGAACAGACGAGGGCAAGGCTACCTGCCAAACAAGTAGATTCGTCCGCCAGGGAAGCTACTCCTTTCATTTGCATCCCGCTTCTTTCTCCAGACTGGAAGCCGGCGAACCCCCCTTTTACCCTGACTTTTTTAGTCCCGACTGCACTCTAACAGGTACAAGGCCGGTACCCGGCGCAAGGTACCTCCCGTCCACCCCTGGCTTTGCGCCCCTACGCCTCTACGCCCGCCCATGCCAACCCACTTCGTTCGCACTCTCCCACAACCCCAAGTCCGGAGCACTCTCCTGCGCTCACGACTCCACGTGCTTGTTTTGGATCCGTGTTTTCCTTCCCTCTCTTCACCCTTCTTCATCTACATCTGACTCCATCCTCAACTCTCCCACCTGCTCATCCAGCTCCCGTCGCAACTCCCGCTCCCTTTGCGCCGCATCGAGGTCATCTCTCCTCCACCCCAGCTCCCAACTCCCAAACCGACTCCCTCCCCGTTTCCCTCGACGAGTCGCACACATCTCGTCCGCATCGCCATGGCGGCCACCTATAAGCAGTTCCTGGCTGCGCCCAGCTCGTCGCTGCTGGCTGACACCGCGTCGCTGCACTATGTGACGACCACCACGTCCATTTCTGGCCCGACTGCCATCATCAAGCATATCAATGTTCTGCAGAAGCAGATCGCCAAGAAGAAGGAGGACATCCTTAACATTGTCGACGGCCAGAACATGATTGTTCTCGAGATCGACACCGGCTTGGGCTTCCTGACCGGCGGCGGTCCCTACCTCCCGGGCCTCGACGACAACTTCCTGACTACCAATGATGCCTACCTCCCAATTGTTCGTCGCATCTAAGACACGGCGCGCCGGCTCTTCTGCTAGAACGTAAGCTGACTGTCCACCCTCTAGACTCACTTCGTGTCATTCGATGAAGCCGGCAAGATTACCCAGATTCGCCTCCAGTGGGATCAAGGTTCGCTCCTCAAGCAGGTCGATGTCATCGGAAAGTCAGGTCGCAACTGGCCCATCATCGATAGCAGAGAGCAGATCTCGTTCATTCAGGCCTGTCTCAAGTCCTCCGGGACCATGGCGCCTATCGCCCCTACCCACAACGAGTCCATCATCCGAACACGAGGCAACTCTAACAATGCTCTTCGGGACCCGCACGCGTCCCTGCAGCTTTTCGGGCCTCGTGAGGAGATCGAGGCTCCCCCACCTGGTAACGTCATGACACCCTATGGCGGCAGTCGACCTCGACAGCGCTCCTTCACTGAGATACTGGGCGACGAGCCTGTCGAAGGCGATTCTCCGAGCGCAAACCGCCATCGATCCATGTCCCCGAGCAAGGGCGGCCAGGGTAAAAACTTCAAGCCCTCGCGAATCTTTGATGGCCAGCAGCAAATCAAAGAGGTCGAGGAGCCCAAGACCAAGGTCAACCGAGCAATCCGCCCCAATCCCAAGAAGTTCTCTCACTTTGATTTCGCCGACGGTACTGATCCCCAGGACGCCCCCGTGCCCGGCCAATCGTTTCACGACAGACCCAAGTCCAAGCACGACAGCCAATGGTCCTTTGACGACTTTCAGACTCCCCAGAAAATCCAGCCCTCCAAGACCATGCGGACCCAAGACGCCCGTCATTGGGACGACAAGACCCTCGTTGGCGAGACCCCGGCCCAACTAGCCGCTAGGCCCCGACGCGATGCCGATACCCATTTCGAGCTCCAGGATGACGGTGAGAGAGTGCCCCACCCTGCGCGACCCGGTGCCAAACCCCCAGGCTTCACCCACAACGAAGGTCTTGGCCTATACAAAAACCAGCTGTTTGACAGAGAAGATCCAGATTCAGGACCGGACCGTGCTCTAGGAAACATTACCAACCTCAAGGACCGCGGCAAGACCTTTGAACACCACTTCAACATCGCCGACGATTCCCCCTCCCAAACCCACACCGCCCACCACGTTCCTGAGGGTCACAAGAAAGCTGTCCAGATGATGAATTCCAACTGGTCATCCTACGAACCGTCTCCTGCCCCCCGGAAGGAGAACAATCCTACCAAGAACGCAAAAGATGGCATTCACATTGCTGGCGACGGAATGGGAGGACGAGCGGGAACGAACCGAGACTGGCTCTACGGCGAGTCTGCCGATGTTCCTCAGTCCATTCCCGGCCGCAAACCCAATGCAGGCCCAGCCTCCGAGGGACCCAAGAACGCCCGAATCCACATTGCTGGTGACGGCATGGGTGGCAAGAGGGGAGTGAACCGGGATTACCTGGAGGCCGACAACATAGATGACCAGGCTTCCCAGTCTGTTCCCTCGCGAAAGCCGGGCCACAGCGCTGCTGCTGTCGAGGACGAGAAGACCAAAATCAACATCGCCGGTGATGGTATGGGCGGCAGGAAGGGAGTTAACCGTGACTACCTCGAGGCCGACAACATGGGGTTCAACGACGCTTTCAAGTCTGTGCCCTCGCGAAAGCCGGGCCACAGCGCTGCTGCTGTCGAGGACGAGAAGACCAAAATCAACATTGCCGGTGATGGTATGGGCGGCAGGAAGGGAGTTAACCGGGACTACCTCGAGGCCGACAACATGGGGTTTAACGACGATTTCAAGTCTGTTCCCTCGCGAAAGCCGGGTCACAGCGCTGCTGCCGTCGAGGACGAGAAGACCAAAATCAACATCGCCGGTGATGGTATGGGCGGCAGGAAGGGAGTAACCCGGGACTACCTGGAGGCAGACGACATGGTTGACCAGGCTTCCCAGTCTGTTCCCTCGCGAAAGCCGGGCCACAGCGCTGCCACCGTCGAGAACAAGAACGCCCGTATTCACATTGCTGGCGATGGTATGGGTGGCAAGAAGGGAACCAACCGAGACTGGCTGTACGGCGATCTAGAGGAGAACACGCAGTCTGCGCAGTCCGCCCCCACTCGAAAGCAGGGCACGACCTCTACTGCTAAGAAGGACTTTTGGGATTTCTAAGTGATGGGCACTTGAGCAGGAGGGCTTGCGAGGATACCCACGATATCTGATTGCCGGTTTGCTTTTTTTCCTCGGGAGTGTTTTTCTTTACTCTGACGACGGTATGCTCATATGCGGTACATTGACACACGGGAATCAACCTTGTCACATTTTCCGCTTGGAAAACAAAGAACCGACGGAGAAATCGCAGCCCAGACTTTTTTTCGTTTTTGTATCTGTCTATTTTCTCTGAAACGGCCTTCTCCATGGACGGTGTTGGCAAAACATGAGGTCGCATGGGAGACGGAGTCCTCCGAGAATGTTACGGCTTCTGTTTGTTGTGACCGCGTGCGGCCTGGAGGAAAATCCTGAGTCTATTACAATATGTATGGATATCGCCCGGAAGCTCAATCAGATTCTACTCTTGCTTCTCTGTTCCTTGCGGAAGTGAATTGTGCCGTGACGTGTGAGTGTATCGACGGACTCGGGAACAACGAGTGTGTAATGCCAGGCGCCGCCAAGGAGCCGCTTAGCTTCTCATACTTCTGAGCGTATGTTAATGATTGTGAGTTGGATGAACGAGACGACTAGATGGTTAGATTCACCCGATCTCGAATGGCAAAAAAGGAGATTGTTTGTGTACTCATGGGGTTTGATATCTCTTCACTGAAGTTCTTGTGAGTGTTGCTGCCCGCGTCACAAGATCAAGCCATATTCTCCTCGGCAGTTGAGATTCATTCCTACTTGCCACATAGCCGATGCACAGATACTTCTCTCGTGAGAAAAAGGCAAGAAACCCGGAGAATCATGAAGTTGAATCATACATTGCATCATTCATTCTCGTCTATCCAGTGACGAGACCGACTATATATAATAAATAAGTGCCTCGTCCGCTCATCAAACCCTCAAGGTCTTGGAGATATCAAAACAGAAAGCATCATTAATCAACAAGGCGTAGCAGGGCTTGCTGCAAGCCCATAGCGTCCCCCAAAACGCCGAAACCCAAACATGTCTGGTGGTATATGAAGAAGTGCTTAAACACGATCCCGCTATCCAGCTACATCCCTAGCCCGCACCCAAATTCCCAAATAGTGATACAAAGTATGCCCCGCCCAATACAGTTTATTCCAGTGCCCGATCTTAGCACAGGAACTTGTAGAACCTCTTCCAGCGGGGCCAGGTCTCGCGCTCCTCGCGCTCCTGGGCAACTAGGATGGGGACGTTAAAGTCGCGGCGACCTGTGTCGATGTCCATGTCGTTGAGGGTCACGTACGTGGTGCGGTAGTAGAGCTTGTGGCCGCCGTAGAAGAAGAGGACGAAGGGGGCGCCTACCCATTTGAGGAAGAATTCTTTGGCGATGTGGGCGCTGGTCATATGTTCATAACCAATGGGAAATGCGCCGACCCAGAAGTGCGCGACGAGGACTAGGACGTTAAGGGTAATGCCCACGTACGAGCCCCAGATACCGACTTGAGATTGGAAAGGAAGCTCGTCAGGGGTGCGGCCTCGAGCGGCCCAAGCATGGCGGAATCGGATGTGACAGACACAAATGGAGCCCCAGGTGACGACGGTGGAGATGCCAGAGATGGCGAGGAGCCAGTCCAGGATGGCGCCTTGCTCGGGGAGATCGGCGAGAAACGCAATAAGGCCGACACATGCAGCGGTGCCGATGGCAACAAGGGGACGGCCCTTGCGATCGATGTAGGCAAAGATCTTGGGTGCTTGGTTCAAGTTCGCGAGGGCGGCGAGGGTTCTTGAGGAACCGAAGACTGCGGAGTTTCCGACGGACAAAACGGCAACTAAAATAACCGCGTTCATAACGGACGGTAGGACCTGTATGCCGGCCTCCTCGATGGCGATGACAAAGGGTGATGCCTTGGCGTCTGCATCACTCTCACCGCCGAGGAGCAGCGGATCGTTGTACGGTACGAGCAACCCAACTAGCGTCAACGCGACGATATAGAAAAGGGTAATTCTCCAAAACACCTGCTTCAGTGCTGTGGGCAACGACTTTCTAGGGTTGGCCGTCTCAGCCGCTGCGAGACCGACGAGCTCGGTGCCAGCGAAGGCAAACGCCGCAGTGACGAAGACGCTGCATAGCCCTTTGAAGCCGTTGTGGAAAGCGCCTGGGTCTTGCCAATACTGGCCACCAATGTAACCGCCGTCAGGGGTACCACCGCAGTTGAGGACGATTCCTAGCAGGCTGGAGAGGATGGATCAGTTGAAGACGCAACAACAGATCAAAGGGCCCGTAAAGGACTTACATGAAGCCAATGACAGCAACAACCTTGATGATGGAGAAGATGAACTCGGCTTCACCATAGCCCTTGACGCCAAACATGTTGATAAAAATAATGATGAAGAGAAAGATGCTAACGAATATGGCACGAGTAAGTGATTCGTCCCAGTAAGAGAGAGTAAGCGACGCGGCGATGATTTCCAATGGTAATACGATTAGCCATTGCATAGCGTAGCTATGTTGGTGGTTAGCATTGGCACGTGGATGAACTAGTCTCCCGAGACATCAAAGGGATCTGCAATGACTTACTTCCAACCAACGGCGAAACCCCACGACGGGTCCAGAAAGCGAGTCGCCCATGACGAAAAGGAACCGGCAATGGGGAAAAGAACAGCGAGTTCTCCCAGGGCCTGGCATGTGCAGAACAGCATGGTGCCGACAATCGAAAAGGCCAGGAGCAATGATGCTGGGCCTCCCGTTTCCAACGCTTTGCCAGATGCAACAAACAAACCGGTACCTACGGCGCACCAGAAAACAGAGTCAGCCCAAGATTCTTACAGCAATGCACTAAATGAGGGGGTCTCTGTAGTGTTGCCGACGAGGGGCGCATGGGACGTACCAATGGAACCTCCGATGGCAATCATTTGTAGATGTCTCCCTTTTAGCTTCCTAGCCAGACCGGCGTTCGCTGTCTCGAGGTTGGCGAGGTGCAGGTCATAGTAGTGAGCGCCGTTGTGGACGCGACCGCTCTCGAGACGGCCTTCGGGGTTGCCAAGCGGGTCGTTGGAGAAGAGGGCCGAGTTGTGCTCCCGTTTGAAGCCATCGACAATGCGATCCCAATAGCGCGGCGGGGCGTCTTGCTCGTAGTCTGGTTCGCGCATGCTGAATGAACTGCCCAGTGCGAGCGACTCCTCCTTCATTTTCAGAGTGCTGAGCTCAGCCTCGGGGGGTGGCGACATGCTTGCCGCTCAGCTCTGCAGCAGTTGCGTCCCGCGGGACGGCTGGCGGGAGGTGTGCACGAGCTCGGAGGGGGAAGCGGGTGATACGATGTAGACGGGAACGGGCGGGTTTCAATCGACCTGGGTTCGCAGGGTCGCGCGTCGGTCGCAGCCGGGGAGTGTTGTCGAATGGTTTGCGCGGGATAAAGTTGGATTGTGTTGTCGATGTCGTCGAAAGTGCGGGAGGCGAGATGAGGCTATCCGAGAGTCTACCGGCATCTCACCAGTCGACGGGATGGTGGTTGATACGGGAGCAGGTGGGTGGCAGAGTGACAAGGCCAGTAACGCTTGTAGAGCGACCCTCGGCGGACAAAAATGACAAAAATGCAACAGACGATGTAGTTTTGAGAGATACAAAGCGACAGAGCGACAGAGGGGAAACGTGGGAAGAAGAGGGTGTTGTAGGACAGGACGGTCGGCTAGGAAGGGGCTGGCGGGCAAGATGGTGGTGGGCTTATCATGCTGGACGCCGACGACGGTGACATTTGCGCTTGGCGTTGACAGGAGCAGGCAAGAGCAGACAAGAGCAGCCAAGAGCAGCCAAAAACAGCCAAGAGCACTTAATACCAAGCCAAGGCCAATGCAAATCCGTCTCGACGCCAGCGCCAGCTCACTGCCACCAGGAACCCGCCACTCACCACGCCCGCTCCAGATTCCCAGAAGCACAGCGGCCTCAGCTCACCTCAGTTGCATTGCGTGCTGCCAGCCCGCCGCCCATCAACGGCCGCGACCCCGGCGGCGCGGCGGCCAGTCGCTTCAACGCAAGCTCCTCGTAGGCCAACCCCACCGCACCCGGTAGCTCGTCAATGTGCGCCCGTTGGCCCAATCTTCAGCGCCATGGGAGGCTGCTGAGCGCTATCTCGCAGTGGGGCGCAGGACCGGCAGGGGGGCCGCCACGGGCGTTTGAACGGTTGAAAGACGCCTGGGCCAGGCCTGGGTCGAGGTCCATGGGCGCTGTGGCGGCGGCGTCCCGGGGGGAGGGGGACTAGCCTAACTAAGCCCAGCCCAGTCCAGTCCAGCCCAGTGAGCGGATCCGTTCCATACCTGGAATCGTGTTGTGGCCGATAGGTTGCACAAGCGACCACCCACGCGGAGGATTAAACGAGTCAAGTGACGTTGATGCGAAAAAAGGGCTTCTAATTAGCTCCAGAGGCCAGAGGCCAGAGCCGTCGACAGCCGTCTGCAGCAGGCAATGTGCGAATGGCGGTGCGCATCCTTGTCCGCGATGAAGCAATGGGCAGAGGGATAGATAGCAAGGCACACTCACACGCTTATTATTTCACACCTAGGTACTGGTACTCACCCATTCACACACTCACTACCTACACTCACACACACACGCACACGCCCACCCCACGGCGGGCACGACAACTCCCGCAGAGATTCGCCTACCATACGGCATACGGCAGTGCATGGGTGCTGACAGAGGCACACAGACTGATTGAGCGACTGCGAACGGATTGGTTGCACCTTGTGAAACCAGGACATGTCATGTCATCCATCACCCTCCCCTACCCTCCCGCCCACGCCGCCCCCCGTTCAAGCCTCCGCCTGCAAGTGTTGGCAAACTGTTGCCTACTCTGCACCTCGGTGCGGGCGTCAACTGCAATAGTGTCTTCCACAAGCCCCATCTGTCAGGTGGAATAAAGTTGCAAAGGGACGGGCAATCTCCAATCACCACCGAAGCCGCGAGCATGGGTCGCCGCCAGGCTGGGGCTAGGTGGCCATTTTATCCCTCGGGCCTTAAAAGGAACGTACGGAGCACGGCAGGGTAGTAATTGCGACAGGTACATCTATCTACTCAGTAGAGGATGGGCGACATGGATGAGGGCTCCAGGGATCTCATTCCTCCTCTTCCTCCTCTTCCGTCTCCTCCTGAGACTCGACGACCTGCTCCGAAACAACAAGGGCTATTACTCCCTCTCCCAGGTTGTTCCCTCCGCTGCGTTGATCTATTAATTCACTCTCCCCAAGGATTCATCGACCTCCCTCACAATCAGGGATCTGGCTCCCTCCCGTGCAAGGAACCCAGGTATGTAAGATGCATCACCGCCTTTATGGAGTACCAGAGTAAGCAAGATCGCTTGGTTCATGACTACATGCAGCGGAATCAATTCCTTCCCGCGCGCACGAGCCGCTTAACAGTCGGCGCACCGGGAATCCTCCGCTCGACAACTCGACAGCTCAGTATCCTGATCCGGGCTCGGGCTTTATACATTAACAATGCCCTGCTCTCCATCGTACAAACAATCTAGCCACCGCCATTGTGTCCAACTAAATGCCACCACCCATGCATGCATGCAAACTCATGTCATACCAGTCGGCGCCATTTCCAATCTTCTTCTTCTTTCCCCCCATAAGAGGTCAAGCCACATCAAGATCAACAAGAGCAAGAACTAGGAACTCTCTTCGTCCACCTTCTTTCCAATCATCACACCGTTCTCATCTCTTGGTTTTCGCTCCCAACCCGTCTTGAAATAATCCCCCATGTCGAATCGAGGCAGGGGATGAGCCTCAGTGTTGAGCACCATCTTGTCCAGAGGCAAGATGTCGTTGGGCGAGAAGAGGAGGTACATGTACTTGAGAGTCTCGGCCTGTTTCATGTTAGTTGACTTGTTTCCCTCCCTCGCCATGGCAACCTTTACTTACCAGCCAGAAGCTTTCCATGTTGTCCTTGACCTTGGGCGGGACGATGTTAGCGTTGCTCAAACTTGTGAATCCTCCCTCGTTTCTGACAGCCGTATGGTTGACGAAAGACTTGAACATCTCCCATCCCCACTCCCGGTATCGAGTATCACCCGTGATTCTCCACATGTAAAACAGACTCTCCACCGTCTCCGGTCGCTGTAGGTTGTGGACATCGTTGGCCTTGACCATGAAATCGTTGCGCCACTCAGCCTCGGGGTCAGTGTCGAATTCTTTAGGTGCCTGATGGGCGGCTTCAGATGAAGGTGGAGGCCGGGCAATGGTAAAGTGTGTGATCTCAGCAGACAATCCCGTCGCCATGTACTTGTACATGCCCCAGCAGGTATGCATCAGCTCCCGTGCCAACTGCATATCATCCTCATCCTTCTTGGACCAGGTGGGCAGCTTCCGGGCCTCTGCCTCAGTCAGGCCTCCGGTTGCGCCGAGGGCAATTGTACCAGGCATGAAGCATACGAGGTGATCCATCTTAGGTGACATTGGCTTCTCCAGGCCATTCGGTCGTTCTCCGATAATGGTAAACTGAGAGTTTTCTGTGTATGTAACCAAGTGCTTTCGCACTCCTCGCATCGCCTCGTCCCACATCTCCCGGTAGATGGGCTCCTTGCTGTTGGTCTGGTAGTACTGCTTGATGAGGTACTCGTAGTACGAGTCGCCTCGGCTACCCAGGCGTACATTCTTGCCCCTGAACTCGCCGCTAGTAGCGTAGACGTAGATGGGCACCAGTCCGTCCTGCGCGCCGTTGTCGTCGATGACCTTCATGACCTTCTCAACTCGGTCCCAGTAATCTTTTTCTCCCGTGAGCTTGGCCAGGTATTTGAACTCGAGCTGCAAACTCGTAGCCTCGGCCGTCGAGGAGGCACCCATGTCAGCATGGGATGGGATACCTTTGTACTTCTCCAAGTTGACGCTGGCGAACGGAATGCCTGATGGCGAGTCGAATGCGCCCATGAGGCGATCAGCGAGATCCTTCGCCTTGTCGAGATACAGATCCTCTCCAGCGGCTCCCTCGTCGTCATCCGTCAAAGCAGCGAGATGGGGATATTCATTGGACAGATAATGCGCAGACAAAAGACCGCCCATCATCCGGATCGTCGTCTCAAAGGTATTGACGTCCTGATCTTGCTCCCAGGTCAGGGAGTTGGCGATCCACTCTCGCGCATCCTGGACTCGAGATGTCAGGTTCATGAGCATCATGGTGTCCAGTGAATCGACAATGATCCATCCCAGTCCCTTGGGGGACATGTTGTTGCCCTTCTTCGAGATGGGACTGTACTCGTCGTAGCCTGCGTAACACTCCCGTTAGCTACAAGCTCGTTCATCAATGACTATACAATAGGACATACCCCAGGCATATCGCTTGTAGGAATCCCAACTCAGCTCAAAAGCGTCCACGACATGTTCCCTCCTCTCGTTCCAGTCTGCCACTTTCTCCTCTTTGGAAAAGGACATCCAGCTCCAATCCTTAGGCGCATCCTGTTTGGATGTTCCCAAGGAGAAGAACCCCCTCCAGTATAGAACAAAGAATACGATGGCGGCGAGGCCAACTACCCGCTTGCGCTTCCAGAACGGCGTGTGTGACGGTAACCGGCCATACGGCTTGTCTTTGTACATGGGCAATCCTTTAGAATGTCCGGACCTCGCACCGGAGCCCCAGACTCGGTCCTCTAGGTCTCGCTGGGGGTTTGCAAAGGCCGGCAGGTTCTTGGGCATGGAGAAAGACATTTCAAAGTCATTGGCGACGGCCCGCGATGGCTCGTCTCGCTGGTTCGGGCCAGGTCGTGGGGAAGTGGGTTTGAAGGCGCTGTTACTGCGGTGGAGGTTGAAAGGATCGCGGATCATGAGCACTGCTGCAGCATGTCGGGGAGGAGGTCGACGAGGGTTGGCAGAACGACGACGTCTCGGCGGCAAGAGCAGCGGCCCTGGGCGTGATTGAGGATAGCTCGAGAGGGAGAGAGAGAGGGAGTTGTATTCGTACAGCGACGTGGCACGCCAGCGAGATCAATAAATCAATCGAAGGACTAGAGACAGGAGCAAAAGGTAACGTCAACGTCAACGTTGAACCAGGCGCTGGGAGCTTCAGCGAGTCCGAGCACGAGACCAGATTTCACAAGCATCCGTATGCGCTCCGGACCCCTGTACGGAGTCTTGGATGTCTTGCCATGACGAGCGTCCCCGCAGCCACTCAAGCTAGCGCTGCGCTGGTTGGACCAAACGCCCTGAGGCTCCTGTCCGGGCAGGTGGTGAAAGGACCCCTGTGGACTGAAGAGCACGCATTAGGCATAGAGGCGGCCGTTGGTCAACGCTGTCGGATCCATTTTGTGAGGCACCGTAGCATGTGTCTGGACCGCCAATCTTCAGTGGCTCCAGCGACAACGCCGCTACTTTGACCTGAGCAAAGGGTGACCCGTTTCAGGCTTTATGCCAGCACACAGTCACTGACACAGAAGGCAATACGGTGCCTGCACACTGGCGCACTACCAGGCTCCAGACCCAAGGCATACGGCATCGATTGACACCACTGCCGACTTTTCTGTTCCCTGGGCCTATGGCCAGGGGCTCGAGAACGAAAAGAATATTCCATTACGGTGGGCATACTCAAATTGTAGACTGGCGCATCGTGAGGGAATGAACTACTAGTCATCCGAGCTCACTTCTGGTCATGAAATATTGCCTTACCTGGTCGCATCCCAAGCCCGAAGAGCTCTTGGCCGTGCTTGGGATTTCCCCAGGCGGCCATTATCATATTTGACACAGAGTCAAAGCAACACCGTCTTGATCGGGTGTACAGCGAAGTCAAAGTTTCAACTCAAGAACCCGCAACTCTGTCTCCGGGTCTGGGACACTCCTTGAAAAAGTTGGCCCTATGGTAGGGAGTGTTTATTCCTAGTTTTATGGCCATTGGTCAGTTGAAGTACTGAGGGCTGTAACAAGCATTGAAAAGGTGGGATCGGCAAGGCTGGCGCTTTGAGCAAGACGACAGAAGAAAAGGACAACAGTGCACGAAATAAAGCAAGAGGGAAATCTCTTCCTCCTCTTACACTTACACTTACTCTTAACGTCCGGCCTCTCCCTACATTACGTTATCATCAGGCACGACAGTAAATGGCATCCGCCTCCCGTCTTCGAGTCTCACCCCCGCAGCCGCTAGAGGCGCACAAAGGGCGGGGAATGGAATCTATCGGCGACACCGCGTCCAAGGCCGGCAAGGTAGGACGCCCGGTTCTTCTCTCGTTCGATGAGATGCTGGAATGGTTCCAACGTGAATCCAACCAGTGGGTTCTCCACGGCTATCGGCCCATCTCAGGCTCGGCTCGAGCTTCGTTCTGCAGTTGGTCGTATATCCACAACGAGTCGGTCAACATCTATTCCCACCTCGTCCCGGCTGTCTTCTTCCTGCTCGGCGAGTGGTATCTCCAGCAGTACCTTGCCAGCAGATACTCCGGGGTCACTGGAGCCGATTTTATTGCTTTCTCTATCTTCATGTTGACGGCCGTCACCTATCTATCGCTGTCGGCGACGTACCACACCTTACTGAACCACTCTCAACACATAGAACATCTCTGCCTGCGACTGGACATGCTGGGTGTAGTCATCTTCATACTGGGCGACCTTGTCTTGGGAATATATATAGTTTTCTGGTGTGAACCTTTGCCACGCAATATCTACTGGTCTATGGTTAGTCAATCTCTCTATATGCACAGTTTTTGTTTCTTTCCTCAACTCAGACCTGGTACTTGAGTCTAACGCTCTTCTTTCCTCGGTTAATAGATTGGAGTTTTCGGGACGTTGACAATCTTCAAGACAATACATCCCAAGTTCCAGGGCTCAAAGTATCGCCTCTTCCGAGTATTGATGTTCGTGGCGACTGGCTTGTCCGGTATCGCGCCCTTGATCCATGGACTCATTGCGTTCGGCATGTCGCAGATGATGAGAAAAGCTTTTCCCTATACTCTAGCAAAAGCAGGCTGCCTTCTATCTAGGACTTCGTTTTATGCAGTAAGTCTCCCAATTTCGCAACAAGAGAGAAATTGACCCCAACACATGTGGCGGTTCTGAAGACAAGGTTTCCCGAAAGTCGATATCCTGGTAAATTCGACCTATGGGGCTCCCATGCGATCTTTCACATTCTGGGGTATGCGCCGCTGTGGTCCAGTTGATGGGGTATCTGGATGCCTTCGACTATGCTCACGCAAATCTTACTTGCTCGTCTCTTTGAGTTATGTCGTCCCACTGGTCGTCTCTGTGTGGGCAGCCGACTTGGCGAAAGTGGCTGCTGGGGGCTTGGGGCGCTATAGCTGCTGTAGCTGCTGAAGGCTTGGGTGATCAGAGCCTGAGGAAGAGCAGCGTTGCTGACTAACCAGGCTAGGATGCGAGCTGCCCGAGTTTCGTGGATGACTACCTACCTAGGTACCTGGGAAGGTAGGTAGGCTTCCACAGCCAGCGTCGATACAAGATACCACCACTCGCACAACCTGACTCGACAGAACGTCCCGAGCTTCAGAGAGACAAGGCCTTTTCCGGCTCCACAAAGTATAGTATCCAAGACAGCTCCGGAGAAACAACCCAGGAAAGTGTCCGCCAGTCACCAAACTGCCCCTCCATCTCGCTGTTACACCCGCTTTGACGGCCCAACCCATGGATTCCTGAGACATTTGCGTGGGGGAAAGCAGCCATCATCATAAAGAGTAAAACGTACTCTGGAGGCCGCATCCGGCAGGTACCTAGCCATGAGCATCGCCAACTACCCGTCACTCAGCCCGGAAGAGTTCTCCGAGGCCTGTCACCACTTGGACCGGCAGTATTGCCGCGCCGAGTTGGGCCCGGAGCGGCTCCGGTGGAAGCTCAGGGTATGTGCGGCCCTCGACACAGACTTTACCTTTGAAGGGGGATACACTACGTACATTCAAATCAGGCGGCCGCTGCAGACGGACCTGGACCACGGTGACCTCTCGCTGGACCTTGACAACTTTTCATTCTCTGAGGATCCAAAGGGGGATGCTGCACTTGCGGGGGACAGCGACATGATGGATGCTGAGAATTCGGACGAGGTAACGGAGCTTCATCATGTATCTTGTTTATTTGGACCTTTTCTCACAAGCTCCCAGGCGGTCCTCATAAAACAACCGTCCCGTCTAGACGTCGGGGTAGCTGAATATGAAATCCATCTTCATCCTACATATCGAGTGCCTTGTCTGTGGTTCACTTTACGTGGCCTCCCCGCCCAAGAACCCGCCTTCAATATCGACACCGTCTTCCGCCGCCTGGTACCCGACGAGTACAAGGCGGGCCTCCGCTCCCTTGGCGGAGTTGGTGGCATCTCGGCCGATGTGAGTATTGGGAAGTGCTATTTCCACAAGTCAATTCAAGATTCTGGGTATCGTAACAGTCGTTTGGCCTAACTAACACCTTGCTTCCCAGCATCACCCTATCACGGGTGTTCCGTCCTTCTTCGTCCACCCTTGCCTGCTCGGGGATGCCATCTCCAAGTTCGAGTGCGACAGGACGAACTACCTCATGATTTGGCTCGGGCTTGTGGGAGGGTGCGTAGGCTTGTGGGTGCCCAAGGAAATGGCAATCCAATGACGCGACCCTGGTCGTTTAACGGGTTCCGTCTCCTATCGATGTACCTGACCATCGACTCGGTCCATTATTCATCATCGCTGTCCTCCTCCATGGCCACATCGTCGTCACTTTCGTCCTCGGAGTCACGGGTTCGCTTCTGGCCGCGATCCCCTGGTGAGTCGGCATCCTTCATGACATGGTCCACACTCGTCGATGGCTTAGCGGGCAGACCAGAGCCAGGTGCCGCCGCCGTTCCAGGAGGAGGAGCGCTGAAGATGCTCTGTTGCAGTTCCGTCTGCTCAACAACAGCAGCCCCGGATCCGCTGGGCATCTTGAATGTTCCATCGAGCTTGGCCACAAAGTTTGACTTCGATTTGGCATATTGGATTTTCTAAAGGCTGGTTAGCTTGGCGCATTTCCATAGTGGGATACCAAGACACGCACAAGGTCACGGCCGAGGAAAGATTGTCCCTCCAGAGATCTCATAGCCTGGGTGGCTGTCTGCACATCCCGGTACACGATATGGGCTTGGCCACGCATCGACATGGTCTTGAGAGCGACCACATCCAACACCGGTCCGTATGTCGAAAACAGCATGTACAGCGCGGCCCGCAGATCGGCCTTCTGGACTTTCGATGATGGGAGGTTCGTCACATAGAGACTGTAATATGTCAGAACATAGACGCCAAGTTGTTATGCAAGAGAACTGACGTCTGGTTGGGAGGGATGGGTTGCACTTTGGCGGGCAGGGTGGAGTTGGGCTGAAGACGAGGCGGTGCGGCGGTGGCGGCCATTGTGACGTCGGTTCGGGGATGGGATGCCTGCTGTATGTATCGATGCTCTTATAACCAAGAAATCCGGCCCGTTGGTGCCCGTCGCAGCAAGATTGAGGAGGGGAAGGCTTCGCGCGCCTGCCAGAGTCGTAAATGTGTTGATATCGATGTTGTGTGCAGGTGGAGTTTTTTGTCGTCTCTCAGCCTCGCGGAGCTTAGCGCTGTACTCCAGCAGCGGCCTTGGGAGTGGCCCAAGCTTGGAGCTGGCTACGTAACCCCACTGATCCAGCATCATCGTCAGCCTCCCGATTGCCAACTGCACAGCCCAACTCCTCTTCCTCCACTCCCAAGATCTCCTGCAGCGGTAGTAGAGAGCTCCTCCTATCGCAATTCATACAATCATCCTACACCATGGCCGCCCCCGAGGTTCACCACCTGTTCCACAACCCGATTGTCGATCACTCGTTCTCGGCCGATCACTCTACCTTGGCCGTTACTCGAGACTCGACCATCGAGCTGTACTCCAAGGTTGGCAATGCCTTCAAGCTGAAGGATGAGCTCAAGGGCCACGACAAGACCGTCACCAGTGTGGACATTGCTCCCAAGAGCGGCCGCATCGTGACCTGCTCTCAGGGTGCGTTCCGTCCCACCCCGAACCAACCCCCTATGCCAACACGCAGCTAATGCAACCTCAGATCGCAATGCCCTTGTCTGGGAGCCCTCCCCGACCGGATACAAGCCCACTCTAGTCCTGCTTCGAATTAACAGGGCCGCGACTTTCGTCCGCTGGTCGCCTTCCGAGACCAAGTTCGCCGTCGGTTCCGGTGACCGTGTCATCGCCGTCTGTTACTTCGAAGAGGAGAATGACTGGTGGGTGTCCAAGCACATCAAGAAGCCCATTCGCAGCACCATCACCAGCGTCGCCTGGCACCCCAACTCCGTCCTCCTCGCTGCCGGTTCCACCGACGCCCACGCTCGAGTCCTCTCCAGCTTCATCAAGGGCGTTGATGCCCGACCCCCCGCCGGCGTCTGGGGCGAGCGACTTCCCTTCAACACTGTCTGCGGAGAGTTCCTGAACAACTCTGCCGGATGGGTTCACTCCGTCGCTTTCTCCCCGAGCGGTGACAGCCTTGCCTTTGCCGCTCATGACAGCAGCATTACTGTCGTCTACCCCACCGGACCCGATCAGCCCCCTCGTGCCGTTGTCACCATCTCCACCCAGATGCTTCCCTTCAAGAGCCTGCTGTGGAGCTCCGAAGATGAGATTATCGCTGCTGGCTACGATTGCGAGGCTTTCCGATTCCAGGGTAGCGAGGGCGGCTGGCAGCTGACCGGAACGATCGAGTCCAAGGGTGGCGCCGGTCTCGGCGCGCAACGTGAGGAGTCTGCACTGAACATGTTCCGACAGATGGATCTCAAGGGCAAGGCCAAGGATGACACCCAACTCAAGACTGTTCACCAGAACACCGTCACCATGATTCGTCCGTATGAGACTTCCGGCGACCGCGTCACAAAGTTCAGCTGTAAGTTGAAACACCCAAAGAATGGCGATTTGAGCGAGTCTAACAAACGATACAGCAAGCGGCGTCGACGGTAGAGTTGTCATCTGGAACGCTTAGACAGATCTTCATAGAAATTTACAGAAATGGCAAGGCGTTGCCACGCTGAGTGGTACTGAACCTTCGTTTTGCCCCCAGCCCATAAATTTCTCTCAAATACAACTGCTCTTGACACGCCTTTGCTTCATCCCCTAATGTTCAGCGATATATCTATACCGTGATGTTGTCGAGGGTCTCTCAACTTCATGTTAGGAGTAGTAGCGAGGCCTGAAGTTCAATGTTCGCGTTATTCGCCGACAAGGTAATTTTTCTAACTCGTGGAGAAAAGAGTTAACACACGACCAAGGCAATCTTGGTAACCAAAATAAAAGCCGAGATAACGAATGAGGACCCTTCTTCAATCATTCTCCGATTTTTAGTCAGAATTTATCTCGGAATATACAAGGTCAGCACTCGAGGATTAGTGAGAGCGAGGAGGAAGAGTCTTGGCAATTCTCCGTTCATTAGATGCCAGTCCCCAACTTACCTTTCTGCTAGATGTGTAGATATTTGTCCCGAGGTCAATAGGAAATATGTCGAAGAGTTCATCAGAACGTCCAAACGTATCAAGACAGGATCTCGCAGATTGTCAGGCCGTGGCTCAAAGTCGGTAATTCGTTGGTCCCCCGAGGTCAAGATCACAAGGAATACAGAAGAGGTGGTAATTCATATATTTTTCTTGTTTAGTAGTCCATTCCGTCCAAGCTTTCTAGTTGTAATTTGACCTGTTTAGGGGAGGGCAATGGCCTCAATCTCAACATCGACGTTCTTGGGGAGGGTCTTGACCGCAACGCAGCTACGGGCGGGCTTGTGGGAGAACCACTGCTCGTACTCGGCGTTCATGGCCTATGACGAATTTGTCAGTCACGATTGAGTCCAGATGAGGACCAGCCTGATCTAGGCGGTGAGCGGAAGGATGAGGAACGTACGGCAAAGTGCTCCATGTCGGACAAGAAGATGGTGACCTTGACAACCTTGGTCATGGAGGAGCCAGCCTCCTCAATGACGGCCTGGAGGTTCTTGCAGCACTGGCGGGTCTTCTCGCCGATAGTGCCCTGAATGAACTCACCCTCGGGGGTGAGGGGGATCTGGCCAGAGCAATAGATGGCGGTGGGGGTCTTGATGGCTTGGGACTGTTCAGGTGGTCAATATCGCGTGTCCCCAAGGTGAGTGGGGTGAGAGGATGATTCCTCCAGGGAGACATACGTAAGGGCCAAGAGCTGAGAGCGTTGTTAGTATCACTGCTACAAAGATCAAACGCGGGGGAGTACTCACCAGCCGGGGCGTCCTTGGTGAAGATAATGGTCTGATCAGACATGGTGGATTGGGTTCTAACAAGGTGACGTGTGAACCTGTGGGCTCGCGGGATCGGAGGGGCAGACCGAAGAGCGGCGGCGACGCGGGGCGCTCTGCGGGCGAGGGGCGCCAACATACCTGGGAGTAGAGGTGAGAAGAGGATTATTTTTGGAGTTTTGGGATTGGGGATTGAGATGCGAGGTGTGAGTCTTGGATGATGGAGGATACACAAACACACTTTGGGACGATGCGAAGAATGGGCGGCGAGTATATTTGAAGTCCGGGGGTTTGCTCCGCTTGTCTGGGATGCGCGATTGTTAGTGGAAGACGGTAGAAATAGCTCTTTGCTGCATCCCCCGGGCCCTCGGACCGCGCCCTACACGTGTATCGACTGGGCCATACATAGTACGACTTACGTTACCGCGCATCCAGGCAGTCCAGGTCTTTCCCCTGATCGGCTAACCGCCGATACTGTTACGCTGGGAGACCACCCGATTCTGCTCCGCTGCCCCGCCCGCGCCCTCCGGACACGGCGCGCGGAGAGTTCTGAGAGGCGCGGGGCTCTGGCGTCCACCAAAAAGAAATGGAGGGGTACTGCGCGGGGGACAGTGGACACGGGTTCCGACGGCCCAGATCTCAAAGGGCGGGCAATTACGTATATTTATAATTACATACTCGGATACTTACTGTACGCAGAAAAGTGTAACCCAGTCTTGGAACCTCAATGATCTCTGGGCGTTGTGTTGTGGCAGAGGAGAGGGCGCGATTTGCTAAGATTCATTATGGATGCGTTTGGTCCTCACCTGGCAGCTTATCAACGCCACAGCTTGTTGTCGTGAGTCTTGCTACAATCTTAGCGGTCACCGATAGAACCAAGGGTACATAATCTTATCCATATTCCCCATGTACGGAACACATACAGCTCTGCACGATATTCAAGAGACAGTCAATCATGGTGCACTCGTGTCGACAAAAGACCTCTCTCCCCACTTCCAGTTAAAACGAGTCACCAGCCGTTATCGATAAGCAGCTCTAGACAGCAGCGGTCTGCACCACAGCTGCAGCACATCTCAGGAGATGGCCTCACGATGAGGTGGGTGATCCGTCATGGATCCCTCAGCCCTGTCCCATCCGACCAAGGGGGTCAACTGGATCGCTGAGTGACTGGGTCAGGGGCAAAAGTGGAAGCCTCTCCGAGAAGTTGACCCTGGCGTAGCTCGTAGCTCGCCTGCTGTCCCACAAAACTAGAAGGGCGATAGCTTCCAATAGTGTCTCTGAACCACCGCACTTATACTGACAGTGGGGTCAGCGCCACATCGTCAATCAACACAATCAACCCAGTGATTTGATGTTAAAAAATTACGATGATGGGAATCGCTCCCAGATATGATGGCTACTGCTAGGGGCTACCGGAAAAGAAACCTTGCTGTTGTGCGATGACTTCTACCACGTGAGAAACGGTCCCAGTAAAGATAATGCAGCCAAGAGGCGTTCGTGTTTAAATTATAGCTTCTCTTAGCAGGAGACTATTGGATCTCGCCAATGAGCGTTTGGGATATTAGGAGTGTCTTAGTGCAAGCCAATACCGCTCATGGTCTCGAAATGATGGATTTTGATCCAAGTCTAATCGTATAAGATGGAGAGTCATCCAGTCCATAAATATTCAAGCTCCTTTCGTCCATCCGATTTGCCTCGTCAAACATGCTGGCCAAGCCCTTCATCGCCCTCGCCGGCCTCGCCATCAATGGCATCTATGCGGCTGGTCCATGTCATCTGAGCTCTTTTTCGGCTTCAATCACTTCAAGTACCCCGACCACGAGTCCTGGACTACCAACAACATCTGCCTCGACCGATATCAGCACCGCCGCTCTTAGTACGACGAGCTCCGAGGAATCAACAAGCACTATTACCTCAACCGACATCAGCACCACTCTCAGTACGACGAGCTCCGAGGAATCAACAAGCACTACTACCTCAACATCGACGACTTCTGTACCGGAGACTATTTACACTGGCGGGTTTGCCACCTACTTCTTCCAGAATGGCAACTACGGTAGTTGCGGATACGTTCACGCAGATCGAGACTTGATTGTTGCACTCAGCTCCTCGTTTGATCCAATGATCGACAGGTACTGCGGTAGATCCGTGCGTATTACCAACACCGACAATGGTCATTCAGTGGACGCTATTATCGCCGACAGTTGTCCAACCTGTGCCAACGCCAATTCGTTGGACCTGTCAACCGGAGCTTTCGATGCTCTTGGCTCTCGGGATGATACAATGCTCCCGATAGTGTGGAAGTTTATCTAAACAATGTACATGAGTATTGGATTACTGCATGTGGCAAGGAGGTTTGGGGTTTCGGCTTTTTTTTTTTTTTGGAGGTTTGGGGGGGGGGGAGACGATGCTGCACATAGGGAAAATTGAGTTCTCATAAATATTTAGTAATTGTTATTGCCATAATCCATGATTTCGACACGTGGTTGTCGACCCAATTATGGCGTGGTATCTCAAGCGCAGTCGAGGCAATAGGGTGAGTCTTGCAAGTCGCGATTTGTGAAGCTGATTTATTAGTCGTGATATCGCGGTAGACCGAGTCACAGTGTTGATAGATCATACCTGTCTTTACGTTTGCCTTAGGTCGAAGCATGTTTCTCAAAGATGAAAGCTGTCCATCCCTTCATATAAACCCGAAACAGCTGACGCGAGCATAGACTAGAAATACTCCATCGCCAACATGTGCATATTTACAGAGGTTGGCCAGCTTGCCGGTATCTCTGGTAGGTGTTGAGCCAGCAGCAGTACAAATGGCTGTGAGCAAACCTGGCTACCAACAGTTCAGGAACTGAAAGAGTAGTTCTATCTAAGGGATGTGCCAATATGTCAATACCGAACGAATGGGTTGCAACTACTAAGAAGTACAGTGAACGCGACACCCAATCCTCATACACGGACGCGTGCATCACCAGCCAGTGGGGTTGTATGTAAGCCACGGCTGGCCGAGGTCGCCTGTAATACTTTAACAGAGGACTGCAAACCAAACAAGGCATTTTCCTTGCCAACCCACTGTCGCAGTCCCCGTTGTTAGCCCCTCAATAGCTCCAGCTCCTATTCCGTCCCCTGTTAGCCCTGTTAGCCTGATCCCTCCACTGGAAATCACGGGCCTGGAGCAGGAGGAGGAGAGTGGCCCAGAAAATTGCTAGTGGCGAAGAAAGTGCCAAGTGGCCAGAAAGGACAAAAAAGTGGCGCCAGACCCTTCGTTGGGGCCCCCCCCTGCATCTAAGTTCAGCTGGGAGAACTGGAAGCTGGCAAGTTGTCCTCGACAGCTCAGACGCGAACGAATCCTTTGCTTTCTGCAGACGGAGAGAGGCTCCTATTATCACCTCTTCTTTTCTTCTTCTTTCCCTCTTCTTCTCCTCTCCTCAGCTCTCAGGCAGGCTTGCCATTGCACCTTGCCTCTTATTCTTCCTCTTTCTCTCCATTCTTTCATTGCCCCTTGTTCTTGTTCGCCTTTTTCTCCCTTTCCCCCTCCCTGGCCATCTGGCCGTAATCGTTTCCGTGAGGCGAGGTGAGTTAGCTACAAGTCTCAGAAGTTCCCATCCCTTTTCTGGCTCTCGGCGTGTGAGACCCGGCTCTCCCAATCAGGACGCGTCAGCTCCCTTTCTGCAACGCCGCCGACAGCTCTGTCGCTACCACATATTGCTACCAGGGAACACGCCTGGCTAACCATCCTCCTGCTGCATCACAGACACCAATTCGTGCCTCTCCTCATTCGAATCCCACCATGGCTCGCCCTTCCACGCCGCAGGGCAGCCTGCGACAGCGGAACCCGCCTTCCAAGAAGGCCGAGGCTGCTGTCTTCGCCCCCGAAGCCGAACTCGATAAGCTCGCAAAGGCTGGCGCCCAGAGGGCCGATGCTCAGTACGATGCCGACTACAAGATTGGCTTCTTTTTCATCACCGTCCTGGCCTTCGTCACCCGCTTCTGGGGCATCAGCCACCCCAACGAGGTCGTCTTTGACGAGGTTCACTTTGGAAAGGTATGCGACTTCTGCCGCCCTGCCCCTGCTTAACCCCCATCGCCAATGCTGACACCTTGCGCTCGCAGTTCGCCTCCTACTACCTCGAGCGAACCTACTTCTTCGATGTCCACCCCCCCTTCGGCAAGCTCCTCTTCGCCTTCATGGGCTGGCTGGTCGGCTACGATGGCAACTTTCACTTTGAGAACATTGGCGACTCTTACATCGCCAACAAGGTCCCTTACGTCGCTTACCGCGCCTTGCCCGCCATCCTCGGCGCCCTGACTGTCTCCGTCACCTACCTCATCATGTGGGAGTCCGGTTACAGTCTCCCTGCCTGCCTTCTGGCCGCCTCGTTGATCCTCCTCGACAACGCCCACATTGGCCAGACCCGCCTCATCCTCTTGGACGCCACCCTGGTCCTCGCCATGGCCTGCAGCTTGCTCTTCTACATCAAGTTCTACAAGCTCCGACACGAGCCCTTCTCCAGGAAGTGGTGGAAGTGGCTCATCCTCACCGGATTCGCCCTGTCTTGTGACATGTCGACCAAGTACGTCGGTCTCTTCGCCTTCGTTACCATTGGTTCTGCCGTCATCATCGATCTCTGGGATCTGCTCAACATCAACCGACCCGGTGGTGCCATCGAGCTCGTCGACTTCGCCAAGCACTTTGCTGCCCGCGCCTTCGGCTTGATCCTCATGCCCTTCCTCTTCTACCTCTTCTGGTTCCAGGTCCACTTTGCCGTCCTCACCCGCTCCGGTCCCGGCGACGATTTCATGACCCCTGAGTTTCAAGAGACGCTCAGTGACAACGTCATGCTCGCCAACTCCATCGATATCCAGTACTACGATAGTATCTCCATCCGCCACAAGGAAACCAAGACCTATCTCCACAGCCACGAGGACAAGTATCCTCTTCGATACGATGATGGCCGTGTCTCCAGCCAGGGCCAGCAGGTTACCGGATATCCTTACAACGACACCAACAACTACTGGGAAATCCTCCCTGCCAATGACGATAAGAAGGCGGGTCGCAACGTTAAGAACCACGACCTGGTGCGCCTTCGCCATCTGGGCACTGACAAGATCCTTCTTTCTCACGATGTGGCCTCACCCTACTTCCCCACCAACCAGGAGTTCACCGCCGTCACCCCCGAGGAAGCCTATGGCAAGCGCGAGAATGACACTCTCTTCGAGGTCCGAATTGAGCACGGAAAGAAGAACCAGGGTTTCAAGTCCGTCTCTGGCCATTTCAAGCTCATCCACAATCCTAGCAAGGTGGCTATGTGGACTCACACCAAGGCTCTGCCTGAGTGGGGATACAAGCAGCAGGAGATCAACGGAAACAAGCAGATTGCGCCTAGCTCCAACATCTGGGTCGTTGAGGACATCCCTTCTCTGACCGCGGACGACGCTCGCCGTCAGAAGCCCGAGCGCAAGGTCAAACAACTGCCCTTCCTCCAGAAGTGGTTTGAGCTCCAGCGAGCCATGTTCTACCACAACAGCAAGTTGACCAGCAGCCACCCCTACTCCAGCCACCCTTACCAGTGGCCTTTCCTGCTCCGAGGTGTCAGCTTCTGGACCCAGGCCGATACCCGCCAGCAAATCTACTTCCTCGGTAACCCCTTCGGTTGGTGGCTTGCCAGCAGTCTGCTGGCCGTTTACGCCGGCATTGTTTTGGCTGACCAAGTCTCCCTTCGCCGTGGCATTGATGCCCTGGACCACCGTAAGTAACCAAGGCGCAGTCCGATTCATACTCGGCATGCTAACAAGTACACAGGCACTCGTTCCCGACTGTACAACTCAACCGGATTCTTCTTCCTGGCCTGGGCCACTCACTATTTCCCATTCTACCTCATGGGACGTCAACTTTTCTTGCATCATTATCTTCCAGCTCATCTCGCGTCCTGTCTGGTTGCCGGTGCTCTCCTCGAATTTATTTTCAACTCGGAGCCCGTCGACGAAATCGTCGAAAGCCCCAAGAACAAGAAGGCGATTGCCGGCCCCAGACACCACGTCACTGCCCGGGAGCGGTTCGCCGGTCAGAGCATGCTCAGCGCATGGATTGCTTGCCTGGTTGTCGTTGTCGTCGTCATTGCAGGCTGGTACTTCTTCTTGCCCTTGACTTACGGCTACCCTGGTCTCTCTGTAGACCAGGTCCTCCGACGCAAGTGGCTCGGCTATGACCTGCACTTTGCCAAATAAATGGCTACGCAGGTGATGAATCTCATCGACTGAGGGTGTTGTGAGATGAGGTTCAGGTTGAAATTGTAGGAACATTTGAAGCACAACGGGATGTTATTCACGGGCTGAATGGTGGACTTATAGACCCAAGAAGATACTTGGCGGCCACTGGGTAAACCGGGGAAAATCCCGAGGAAATGTACCATAGCTAAAGAAGCACAATCTCTCATCGCCATGGTTTCGGGAGAAAAGTAAGATGTACGGAGTGGAGGAGGTGTGGATGAATTCTTTACTTGATTGTCCTCTAAAGTCTTTGAAGGTTGTGTCAATGCGCGTGAGCTAGAGCAAAATTAACTCAGGTACCGGGCATGTGGCGGGTGTGGCGGGTGTGGCGGGTGTGGCACAAACTGGATGAGCCACACCTCCTTTGTCGTGGCCATGATGATCAGCTCCGTAGCTATTGGTAGGTGCACGCAATCCACCATCATCGAGGCTGAGCTCCCTCGCCATTAGATGTCATGGTTGTGTTTACGACGCGTCTTCCATCAGCATAGGATTCTTACCCAATTCCGCATTTGTGCTGTGTTGTGCTGTGCGACGCCGACAAGAGCCTCTATGATGCGGCATCGCTGTCCCAGGCTACACCTATCCATATCCCGAAAGGAACCATGATCCTCTCACAGGGGAACCGCCTCTACATCCGCCGCCTCTTCCGCTCGCGAGCCATCAAGATCCTCCTCGTGCTCGCCTGTCTCATCAATATCCTCGACGTCCTCCGAATCCACCGCGATATCACCAATGCCGACCGAACGCCTGCGCCGCGGCCCTCGCAGCCCCCCGAGCGAATATATATTGCCAGCATGCACTGGAACAACGGCGACGTCTTGAAGCACCACTGGAACGACGCTGTCATTAAGCTTGCTGAGACCTTTGGGCCGGACAATGTCTTTGTCAGCGTCTATGAGAGCGGCAGCTGGGACGACACCAAGGAGGTACTGCGGAAGCTCGACAGCGAGCTCGAGCGCAGAGGTGTGCCGCGCCGCATTGAAACCTCGCTCCAGACACACCATGATGAGATTGCGCAGGGCGACCATGGTGAAGGCTGGGTCAAGACGTCTAGAGGGACGGAGCTGAGGAGGATACCGTACCTGGCCAAGCTGAGGAACAAGACGATACGTGACCTGATCGAGCTCCACGAGAAGGGCACTACCTTTGACAAAGTCCTCTTCCTCAACGATGTGATATTCACGGTAAGTTTTGCCCAATTGCCACTGCTGAGGTATGGGGGACTCAATAGCTGACTGTTTTCAATTCGCAAACAGACCGATGATGTCTTGAAGCTCCTTAATACCAATGGCGGCGAGTATGCCGCCGCCTGCTCGCTCGACTTCTCCAAGCCACCGCTGTACTACGACACCTTTGCGCTTCGGGACACCAAGGGAAATGCTCATGTTACGCCAACTTGGCCATACTTCCGATCCAGCGGTTCGAGGAATGCGCTGGTCAAACATATCGACGCCGTGCCTGTCACGAGCTGTTGGAACGGGATAGGTTCGTTCATTACGTCCTCGAACTATCCACACGCAAGGAGATGCTAACCGTCAACCAGTCGCGATGCCGGCGGAACCTTTCGTCTCTTCCTCTGCGCTCCGCTTCCGCGGCGTCACAGACTCCCTTGCGACACACCACCTTGAGGGTTCCGAATGCTGTCTCATCCACGCCGACAACCCACTGTCCAAGACTCGCGGCGTCTTCCTTAACCCGCGGGTCCGCGTTGGATATAACTTGCCCGCATACCAGGCTACGCATCCCGCCGACGGGTCAGAGCCTTGGCTCTCAGTGTGGGACATCTTCACCGGGCTGTGGGCCAACCGCCTGCGCCGCTGGGCCACCTTCTCGTTTGACAGATGGGTGGTCAGACGGCGCGTGGGGCGGTGGGAGAAGGAGGGCTTGGGGAATCGCGAGCCCGGCGAGTTTTGTCTGATCAACGAGATGCAGGTGCTGGTTGACAATGGATGGGCTCATGTATAGATGGGACAGGACGGTATGGGAATGGTAAGATGGGATCACCAAATTGCAGTGCGACACCTAGGAGACTGAATCTCTTCTGGTTAGTGAATACAAATCCAGCCCAAGTCATAAGGGTTGGCAATACTTCGAATCATCCATTAATACGTGATCTACCACTCCGCATGGGCTTAAAATGGAGGGCTTTGCACATCCTAAGTTGTGTTGAAGAAACTGGAAGGCGAATGAGACCCAAGACACGCATGCACTAAAGAAGGCAGAACACCATTAAACTCCAGTTATTGGCGTCGTTATGACTGTTGCCATAGACTGGCATATGTTTTGACAGTGCTAACTACAACTCGCAGTCATGTAAGATGTTGAGCACATCGTCCTGGAGGAGCCGGTGACTAAAGAAAGGGCGAGATAGAATACGGGAGAATCCAGACACCAGGATTAGTGTTCTAGGGGGAAATAGATAGTCAAGGATAATGGGGAGAGAGTAAAGAGATGGTTCCCAACCAACTGCGTATGTAGGAAGAGTAACGTCTCAACGATGTCAATAGTATCTTGCTTGCGCCCAAATCTACCCAGGATCTACAAATACCTTGAGGCACCTCAAATTAAATGATATCAAGAGATTAGGGTGCCCTAGTACACACATACCCAGAGGGGGGACTAGAAGCTCAACAGTAAAAGAAAACACCAACAATAGTATCAACAATAATATAATATTAAATGATATATTTCACAAATACACCCACCACATCAATCTGGGCATATAACTGTGGACTCTGCTTCCTCGGGTCCACTGCCTCGTCTCTCTAGTGCGGATGATCTAGTTGGGGATGCTAGTAAACAGGAAATATCTGTGTAGGCAGTGATCAGGTGCAAGAAAGCAGTTCTATCCACTTCCCTTATCCCCACACTCTGTTCCCCCTAACAGTCTCTATATGTCTTAAACTTAGTGGAAACTCTCTGGCCTGGATAGCATTCGGATACACGTACCCCAGAGGCCACATTATTTCTCCATAGGCTTGCCACTGATATGGGAACTGTCTTCAGGCCATTTGTATATTGGGTGGAAATATGAGGTAGCCATTGAATTATGCGGTTTTATCGGCAGAGAAAAGAAGACGCGAAGCTCCGGGGGGATAAATGGTCACTTTTCTCATCAATCTAGGTAATGTATGGATGTGAAAGCACCTATTCTTCAAGTAATCCGCATTCGCCCTCCATTTGGTGATCCTAGGATGCCTAAAAGAGAACACGCTCCTCGCGGGACTTCTCGGTCAAGTCAAAGTCGCAGGTCAGCCCCTATCAAAGGGCTGTCTGAATGGACGGCGAGGCCGCTGTGCCTAGTTCAACAGACAAGTTGGAGTGTCACCGGAGCCACGACTGTTCAGTTTAACAAGCCTCAGATGAGAGCGCCAGGGCTACCAACGGCTTTCAGTGCTAGGGGCCCAGAAGAATATAGATTGCGTGTTGATCTCGGATCGAGTGCGGGTTGGTTTTTGGTATATGTTAAGATTATGGACACAAATAGAGGTGTGAAAATGGAAAAGATGTCCAATGAGAAAGCTAAGTGTTCATCTGTTTGGCTTCGTATCAAATGCTTTAGCGGACAAACTGTAAGTATTTGCTATGTTCAGACAAAGAGTTAGCGTAGCTTTACCTTCTTTTGAAGGTGCACGGTGCCGTATCATGCACACCATTACAGTCTTTGAGACACGCGAACAATCCCTTGTTTGACTCTTTGTTCACGCCCATATTTGTGCTTTGAAAAGTTGGAAGAGTTGTTGTTCAACGGCAAGATATCAGAACACACGTATCGGTACAGGTACTTACAAGTCGATCAGTCATATCCTGGGGGAAGATATATAGAGACAGCTCCGCATCACAGCCACCAGCCAAACAGAAACTGCTCGGTGAGGGACAAGATTTCAACAAGATCATAGCAACCAAAACGCCATCATCATGTGTAAGCTCCGTCACGCCATTTACCAGTGCTCACACACCTACCAGCAGGCTCCCATCCCCTGCGAGGCCGCCAGACGTGGCCCCAAGGGCTGGTTCTCCTGGTGTACCCCAAGTCCGCCACCCTGCCACGAGACCCGGAGCTACAGGCATGCCAACGGGTATTGCCCCTCCTGTATTATCCTGAACCAGGCTGTGACGCGCGCGCCGCCGAAGCGACGACCAGCTATGAAGAAGCGGCGCCAGAGTGAGCGAGAGATCCCGAGAGAGCGAGAAAGAGTGCGTGAGCGAGAGACTCCGAGGGAGCGAGACAGAGTGCGTGTGCGAGAGATTCAGAATGAACGAGAGAGAGCGAGGACTCGGGAAAGAGCTCGTCGGCGTCTGGATGACGGTGACATGCAACAGACTCATATCCCTCGCAACTCTCGTGCGGTCATCGAAAACCCGGTGGGGTTAAATGCGTCGTACTACGCAGTCCCGACTAAGGGAGACGAACTCTTCATGCCGCCCTCTAACTCCGACAATACCCTCAGGGAGCTCACAACCCAGATGGTGCTAAACCGACCGTATCGCTCGGAGCAGACAATGGTTGCGGAGCAAAACCAGCCGAAGCCAGACGACCCACCTCGCCCTGTTTCGCCCTTGACTGCGTCGGAGTTGAACGGTTCGGCTGCGACGGTTAGCGATTTGGATCCGGAGTTCGATGCCTGAGGAAGTTTCCACGAGAGCGATTACCAGGAGAGTCATTTAAAAGGAGTAAATCGGCCGTAGGGTGTGAATCATAGAGTAGAGCTCATTAGATTGGTTGGCTTGGATGAGATAGTGGCAAAGGAAGAGGCGTAATATCATGGCGAAAAAATAGACAAAGGCATTGATTTTTCAAGTAGATCTCATATTGTGAAGTGTATTAACGTGCTGATAGCTGTCCCGGTGGGCTGAGAATCCGGGTGTTTGTCTTTTCTGAGCATTGCTATAAGCACACATGCATCTTGCTGTTTGCACTCAATTACATGCCTCTTCAGCTAAACCACAGGCAAACTAAGGGTACCTGGCATAGACGGTCAAAGGCTTGGTTTATCATTAGATCGAATTTGATAAATACACCAAGAGTAATTGTTTGGGGATACATGCGAAAATAAGGATTATAAAATGATATTCCTTAAACTGCCAACCAGGTGAGTTCTTAATCTCATCTTGAGGACTGGAGCATATACTTGTCTTGTGTGTGCGAGAAGCAATGCTCCGTGATTTTCAACAGCTGTTTAGTCTGTGACGGCATACGGGTAACGGCTCAGACGATGGCATCAGAATAAGGTAGTCCATGCCCATACCCAAATGGCGTCATTGTTCAACATTCCGCGATAACATGGTGGATGGTGGATGGCTACAGCACAGACTTTGGGACTAACCTGGAGCTGTCCCGATTCGTAATCTCGAATGGTGGCGAACAGGGGAATAAGAATAAACTGACGTCAACAAAGGGTCCAGACTCAAAAGGCCCAGACTACGGACCGCTGTGATAGGACACCCGTCGATGGGATGAAAGTAGGCAACTATGAATTGGCGGGTTGAAAAAAAAAGAGGGTTAACCGAGCTGGGGAATGCGGATTGTCCACGAGCCCTTCCGTCGTCGAATGGGGGCGGTCAATTAACAGCTGCCTTGCGACAGAAGATCAATTTTAGGACATGTCATGGGGTCGAGATGGGGAAACAATCTGGCGACGGGACATCGAGCCGCATCCTGGAGCGCGAGATCGGGGATGTCTCAGGTCGCACGCAAAAGACCACGCTAAGATGCGCGAAAAAAGAATAAGCATCGTATCGACCCAAAGGAGCCGGGCCAAATCTGCTCCATGCATACGTATCCCCTGTTGTTGAAAATACGGGTGCCTTGGGATGGAACAGGCCGAGAGACACCAAATGCGGCGGGACGTTTGAATTTGGGGAGCGTCTTTCGTACTACTCAATAGGCTGCTCGATAAAATGGCACGCCATTGGCTGGGCGAGGACCAATACGACCCGCCCCACGATAGGGCTGATGGCGAAGCGTCGATTCGCCAATGTTCTCGTTTGCGGTGAAGGGGGGATTGCGTGGATACGTGTCCAGTCGCGAGACATTAGTGGCCGGTGTTTTGCAGACGTACGTACCCTCCGTACGAATCCGCAGGATCCCAACTTTCGATGCTTTGTCGACGCCAAGCCAAGCTTTCTGTCGTTTGCGTTGCTTTCGGTGCCGTACAGAGCTAACCTCGAGCGCGTGATGGGGCTGGATGCTGCAGGTTTCAGGAGCGGCGCTGGGCGCTGCGAGGATGCGTCAACGAGAGTCGTCATGGACCAGTTGGCATCGGCCATCTAGGACGGCAGCTAGACGCGCGCGGTGCGCGCAGTGCGCAGAACAGAGTAGGACCTGTAGGAATCTAGGAATCTAGGAACCGGAGACTTTGGCCTTCTAAGGCGACCCAAACGGGAAATGCCCGAACATGGGATTGAGTCAACGCCGCTCGCCGAGTCTCCTCTCTGGCCCCGTCTCTGGCCCCGCTGTTCCGCTTCCCCTGGCCCACCAGCCCTACTTGTGGATCGGGCGGAGCAGAAGAGAGAGGGACTGGAGGATCCATTGGCTCCAGGATGGGTTGAATGCATGCAGAATGGTTCCACCTGCGGTCTGCGGGCGGATGTCTTAAGCAGAGGTCGGAGCCCAGAGCCTAGGACGGACGGCGACATGTCGACCGAAGACGCGGACGAGCCAGGGATAGGAACTGCGATCCGAACGGGAGGGTAGAGTCGTGCCCAGCGCCCAGTAGGGCGAGCTACCGGCTCGGCAGCTCGCCAAGAAGACGGAGAGGGTGGGCAGATGACGATCCCGGCGACGCATGCACGACGAGGTTTCTAAGCGGGAGGATTCACCTGGTGCGCGTTGCGTTGCGTCAGTGCCGTGCGTCGTAGGACTTTTGGGGCGGTTTTCTTGTTTTCCGTTGTTATCGAGTTCTCCGGATGGGCCTCGAACCCCACGACGGCGGCATGGGGGCCAGGGACGATGGCCACGGGCTCGGTTGAGTTGAGGCATGTGCGTGAGGAGATGTGGCCTAACAACCAACCCACGAGCGGCGCCCAATGGCCGGGTTGCTGCTCGTCGTTTTGTTCATGGATGGGCGCGCCTTGCATGTTGGATACCCCCTTGTTCTGTGGCACCTCCCCCTCCCTCAGCCACAAAATCTGAAGCTTTTGGCGATGCAGAGTAAAACAAACTCGCGTGGTGGTGCTGCAATGCCTGCAATGCCCTGGGCGGGACATTGGAAACAAGGGGCGAGAGCGAGTGGGCTGCGCAGCGCATCGTGGGCCACAGTGCACAGCCAGAGAACAGGGCTGAGGTGGAGGGTAGGGATGCATCGTGTGGATGCAAGCCAGAGAAACACTCAAACAGAGCGACAGAGCATGGGAGAGAGTGTGGGAGCGGGTGTGGGAGCGGGTGTGGGAGCGAGTGAGAGAGTGGAGCAGGGGTGTATTTGCGATGGATGATGTGTGACTCCTCGTGAGCCCGGGTCAGACGGCGTGGGAGAAGAAAAAGGAGGCTCTGGGCGGGCCAAAAGCATACTCAGAGCGTCCAGAAGCGAACACAGGGCCAGTTTCCCGGTCCATTCCGCCAAAGCTGACTTCAGAGGTTGGTTGCAATGGCTTCCTTTGCCTCCCTGTTGCCCTGCAAGCAGCCATCGAGGCGAAAGCCCAGTGGAAAGCCCACGGCTAGTGGGACTCTAGTGGACACCTACCGCCGTAGCGCCGCCGCCCGTACACTTATGGAGAGGGTGGGACGCTTGACCAGAAGCACAGTAACAACGGGGTTGCGGCGACGATCCCGGCGTAAGGCGTTTCCATAGGCTCATGGCCATGGCTGTACCATCATTGCCACTGGATGGGGAGGATAAGAATTCGGCTGGAAACGGTAGCGGCACCACGATCTTTGAGGCTCGACGTCACTGTCGCTGCATCACCCACTGTTGTTGATCTGTAGGTCGTCATGATGGGCGCCATCGTGGGCCACGGCGGACACCCTCACCAGGCAGTTAGGTTCATCGTCAACCTCAAACACACACCCTAATTCTCTATCGTATCGTCCCTTAGAAAATCAAAATAGATGAGGGGCGTGCTTCTGTTTCCAAAATAACGAAAAACGCGAGTCTTGGCAAGCCCATGATCGCCGTCATGGACAACCCTGGGGACAGAATCAAGGAGAGGGGGGATGCCACGACATCTGGGTACGCAATGATGTCCTTTCGGCCCCCAAACGTCTGCTCGTGGTCCTGCTTTGGAGCACTCACAGGCCTGAGAATTTGTCTGCCTCTGCAAGCGTCGCCATGGGCCGCCATAGTTTCGCACGCGCGCTCGCACGGAGCTTGGCCGACGGCACAAGGCGACCGAAACGGGCAGCTGTGCGAATCCACTCAGACTGGCAAAGGACCTTTGGAAGTTTGGCCGGGCGGACTTGGAGGGCGGGTTTTGGAGGACGAGGTGGATGAGGTTGGGACCCACGATAGTTAAGGTACTTAGAGCTGTAGCCCGTAGCGTCGACGCCGTTGCTTCCGGCGACGGCTCCCCCAGCACTGTGCCGCGCTGTGTTCCGTGTCTGCTCGATATTAATTAGGGGGGTCGCTGTGTATTGTCGGGGCAGTGCTCGCTACCGTGGGCGGGCGACTGGACCACTAGCCCGTACCAACTGGTCGCCGTTGGACGGCGTCGCACCCTGATGGAATGGCGGAATTTGCAGTGCGAACTGGCGAAAACTGTTAGTGCCAAATGTACTCCCGCACCTCGTCTGCTACCACCAGCGACGTCCGGCAGGGATGCGCCTCCTCCGCACTGGCTTCGCCTCAGCCCACGGCGCCCGCTAAGGCCTGATTGGTGCTGGGCTCTAGGCAACAGCCTGAGAGCCCCAGCCGTGGGCTGAGAGAGGCCCCCCCCAGGAGGTTTCTAGCACCCATCCTCCACTCCGCTGACCCCGTCCATCAACCTCCGCGCCCGTCTTCAAACGCTTTCCCTCCCGTCCGCCGTCCTCTCGTCAACTCCGTCCCTTCATCCTTCACCCTTCACCATTCTCTCTCGTCCTGAGGCCGCCACCGTCATTTCAACCCCGTCCCATCGATCCTCTGACTGCTGCGGCCGTTTCCTCGCACCGATTCGCCCATTCGTCCCTCGCTGCGTGAATCCCGGCGCCTCCTGCAACCCCCCTCCCTCATTCTTCATATACCCTTTTGCGCCCCGTCCTTCTGCCCCGTTCCACCCACCTCTCTCACCTCCCTCCCATCCGCGTCCGCATCCCCATTTCATCGCTTCGACTCTCTCGCCGCGCGCGTCCGTCGTCTCGTCAAAAGCCTGTCCGACTCTGGTCTGCTTCTGTCCACGTCTTCCCTGTCGAGAGTGCGAGATATACTTTCCGTCTCCCGACCTAGTCGTCACCCGCCTTCCCTGGCGTTCCATCCTCGTCTCTGCTTTCGCTGTGCGCCTCGCCCACGACAACATCGACATCTGGCTACGCCCTTGGACGCACCATCTTGGTACGACTTGACTTCTCTACTATTCTCTCTTCCTCTCTTGACCCCTTTCACCATCCCCGATCCCCAGTACCCTGCTCCTGGCGTTCTTGTCCTGGATTGCCAAACACTGCCCCAACCAACACAGGTATTGGCCAATCCCCCCCATCCCGTCAAGACTCGGTCGACGTCTAGTCTAGTCCTGTCCTTCCTCCCCCAGTCCCGGGTGTGTGAATTAGGAACCTCGACTGTGACTCACTCCGTCACTCACTCCTCCTACTTGCATCGACTCTCAAACCAGACAACTAACGCTACTCCCCCGTCCCAGCTTCAGGACACCCGTGGCCATCAGTCGACTCTACCCGTCTGCTATTCCCCACTCTCAAGTCTAAGCCATGTCCTTCTCCCACCCTCGTCGAAGGACTCCGGTGACTCGTCCCGGCACCGACACTGAGAATGCTCTATCACTTAAGACCAACATGACCCTCCGTAAGGGTGCAACCTTTCATTCTCCTACCTCTCCTTCGTCTTCCGACTTGGACCTCACCTTCGTCCCTCCTCGTCTGTCTCGATCTCAGTCCCACCTGGATGATGTCGTCGATGCCAACCGCCGTCGCATCGCCCTGACACTCAACGACATCGACGAGGCGCTTTCCAAGACTGAGGAGCTTTCCCTGTCACCCAAGACTCCCAAGGCCAAGGCCCTTCGCGACACCAGCTTTCCCGTCCCTCGCGGCTTCCTCGACCTTCCCGTCGTCGATCCCGCCATGGCGAAGGAGGCTGAGAGGCGCGTTCTCCGCCCTCGCTCCGTCCGCCGCTCTCGACACCACGCATCTGACAGCGGCTTGGGCACATCCGTTGCTTCCACAAACGAGAAGCTTGCCGCCGACTCAGCATCAAAGAAGGACACAAAGACACAAGCCACCCGCTCAGCAATCACTCGCTCAGCCGCCGCTTCCGCCATGGAGAGGCTTCCCAGCCTTGGGCCTAAGGCCATTAACCGCATTCACGAACACATTCTTCGACCCCTTCGGGCCAAGCCCACCTTGAAGGACTTTGAGCCCATTGTGCTTGACGTTCCACGACGCATTCGATCAAAAGAAATCATCTGCCTACGAGATCTTGAGAAGACCTTGATCTTTATGGCGCCGGTAAGTCAGCTTCTGACTGATAATGGTGTTTGGGGAGATGCTTATCGGACATTGTGCCTGAAGGAGAGGACCAAGACAGCCGCCTTGTACCTTGATTTCTGCCTCACCTCGATCCGATGCATTCAAGCGACCGTCGAATATCTTAGCGACCGCGAACAGACCCGCCCCGGAGATCGACCTTACACTAACGGATACTTCATCGACCTCAAGGATCAGATTCTTGAGTACGGCAGACAACTAGCAGCAGCCAAGGACGGCCCTGAAGACATGGATGTTGATGCGTATGTGCCCAACTTTGTTCCCCTGGACCACCCAACTAACTCTCCCTCAAGAGGCGACGAGATCAAGCTCGTTGGTGGCATTGCTGAGAACGGCCGCCCCGCCGAGCTTGTCCGTGTCCGCAAAGACGGCACCCACATCTCCATGGCCACCGGTAAGCCCGTCGACGTGACGGACTCGCCCATCCAGATGAAGCGCTCCCTGAGCCAGCAGCGGGAGGATGAGGAAGAAATCATGCGATCCATGGCTCGACGCAAGAAGAACGCAACCCCAGAGGAGCTGGCCCCCAAAAAGTGCCGTGAGGCTGGCTGCAACAAGGAATTCAAGCGCCCCTGTGACCTCACAAAGCACGAGAAGACCCACTCGCGTCCCTGGAAGTGCCCTATCCCGACTTGCAAGTACCACAACTATGGATGGCCCACCGAGAAGGAGATGGACCGCCACATCAACGACAAGCACTCTGACGCCCCGGCCATGTACGAGTGCCTGTACAAGCCCTGCCCGTACAAGTCCAAGCGCGAGTCCAACTGCAAGCAGCACATGGAGAAGGCTCACGGCTGGACCTATGTGCGAACCAAGACCAACGGCAAAAAGTTGCCTGGTCAGGCTGCCAGCACTACTCAGCAGACCCCTCCTCTCGGCAATGTGTCGACTCCCTCCACCACACCCGCATACAGCGTCCCCACTCCTCCTCAGGAGCACTCTGCCACCTTCATTGGTGACTTCCCTCTCTACCCCACCGACTCTGACTGGATCTCCACGTACGGCATCCAACCAGACACCCTGGATGCCATGGACCTTGCCCTCGAGAACACTTCTCCAGCCTCTGCCAGCTCCTATGAGCAGTATGCCCCTTACCAGAACAGCTCGGCTTTCATTCTGAACGACGAAGACCTCTACGCCGCCCATGTTCAGATCCCTGCTCACCTTCCCACCCCTGAGCAGGTGGCCATGTACGAACCCAACCCGAAGATGATGGCGCAGCAGATGCCCATGTTCCAGGCTTCCCAGCCCTGCCCTCCTCAGAATGGCGCCCCTCACTTCTCACCTGTTGGTCAGGAGAACGCCATGCTCTTCACCCCCAACTCTCTGCGTGACGTTGATGAGGGATTTGATGAGTCGTACAACGGAGATGGCATGGACTTCCAGTTGTTCCCTACCAACACTTTCAAGGCCAATGACATCCAGCCACTCTTCGGGGATATTCCCAGCGCCAACGTTGGCTTCTCTCAGACCTCTCAGCAGGACCTGTTCCCAATTGACTGGTCAAACGTGGATCTCCCCTTCTCTGAATAGGAGTCCAGAGAACAGCAGGATGGTCCCGTTGAGGACGAAGAAGAAAAGATATAACAGATCACTCATCTCGAGATTGTATCAACCCCAGCGAAAACACCAATGCTTGTTTTGGTTTTATGAATTCACGACGGATATTGAAGGCCACCCAGTTTCGGTTTAGGACCTTTTTTCATGTAATAAGAGCGGAGTCATGTACCTTTTTGCCACCCATGGCTTTTGTCGTTTGCTAGGACAAGTTGACGAGGAAGACGGGTGGATCGTTTGAGGATTTGAGGATGAAGATTGGTGATGGGGAAAGTTGAAGAACCAAATTGGCTATCAGACAACACGGCACGGTACAGCGCGACAGGCTTTGCGAGATCTGTTTTTTCACTGGAATAGAGTTCGCCTCTCTTTCTCCTGCTAGGGCATAGAAATCAACCCCACATCAGTCATCACAATCACTGTGTCCTCTCATTTGTCTCTTCGTGATATGCATATGAACACTTAACGTAACCTCCGCACTCCCGTCTATCTAACACAGCTCCAAACGCTGATCAGTGATGACTCTTGCAACTGCTAACATGTATCATTATCATATTCCTCCCATCAAAGCGAGGTCTTGCTGCGAACGACCAACCAACAGTCGCATGTCTCCCGCAAAGTCCCTCACACCATGATCCCGGCACCAACTCCCAACTCCCAGAGTCCTAGATTCTAGCTCTACAGGGATAAGTGCCACCTCAGAAAGTAGTTACGCACACGCCCCCGGTTGACTCATTGGCCGGGTTAGACACTCGATTGGTGGCAGGAATGCGCAATATGTGCATGTGTCACTGTTGCGCGCTGGATCTGGACTTTGACCCACGACGGCGACGAATAGCCCAAGACCGGATCCGACATAACATGGACCCGATGGATCTAGTACATGACTAGGGCATCGATGTGGTTACAGCTGGGCCCATACTTGCCTCGAGAGCTTGCGGGTTGATGATCAACGGGCAGTTCCGGGGTATCGTCCCTATCTGTCGAGACAACACACAGTCATTGAGGGAGTGTCTAAAGATAGCCCAATCTACATCGCGGCGGCCATAACAGCCTCAGGCAATCGGCACTAGGCCACCTGACACTTTATCTTTGGAGTGATGTTAAGGAGAGTTGTGACAGGGATGACAAGCTGCTGGCTGGGGACCCATACATCATGACTGAATATTTGACTCTTCTCACATCTTTTGCTAATGGATTTGGTCTTTGCAGCTGTGGTAGTAATGGCCGAGGCGAGGTCGGCATTCTCAGGCTCAGTGTTCCAGTCTCACACACTACTGTGGGTTGACGGACAAAGAGGCACACGTAACGTCGTATGGGAACCATGATAGCGCCGTCAGCAGGGCACTTTAAAGCTAAGAGATAGACAATGTTCCGCATTACGTATATCATGTTAGGTCTATTTTAGTCTCATAGCTATATCCTGGCTCGATATTTTTGAATACTTGCGATCCCTAGTCGGTGGCAGCCAGCAGAAGACCAAACGATTGCGCAGTTCTACTGCAAGTCACTGGATCACCACGTCACCCATATACAAATGAGTGTTTTATTATTTACCAAGCTCAATCATTGTTGAGATCATGTTATTGCTATAGTGTTAGACAGAGGTAACAGGGCGGCGATGGAATATCCATTCGACAAATGTTTTGGGTATATTCGTGGTGAGCGGTGAGACGGATACAGAAGTAGAAATTGGCCATGGCTGCCTGGACCTCTCATTAACCATGGATAGGTCACCAACATTCACCAGATAATTCCTTCGCTCGCCCCCGGGTCGCTCTCTGCGGTTCTAACCGCTTAACGATCTATTTGGTTTGTTAGCTTTACTTAACATCATCAAATAGATAAAAGCCATGCAGTAGTTGCAAACAATAAGAGCACACATTTAGCACTACACCCACTACCAGAAGATATAATCAGTTATACAGTAAGGTTGTTGCACACTTCCCTTTGCCTTGAGGTTTCCAAACGTGGGCCTTGGGAACTGTGACATGCACAACGAAAACGCAGTAGATGCAAACATTAGGTTCCCTCGTTCATCGAGGGGCTTAACGATCTATAGTAGGTGATCCCACCCAACTTCTGGGGAACACTCGTAAGCATCCACATGCTATGTGTTGGTGAATCCCGTGTCATATCTACCGGATGGTCTGTACCGGATTCTCATGTTCGATGCAATTTATCTTGCGATGTAGGGTTGCAACCTATCAGTTCTTACTTCAACTAGGGGCTTTACGCGACGAGCATGTTCGGGTAGTTTCAGAAACCGCCACATGTATTGAGCAGGGCCTTGGGGATCATCAAGCAAGTTTCTACTCCGGGGTATCAAGAGGTTAGGGTGCCCTAGTACACACATACCCAGAGGGGGGACTAGAAGCTCAACAGTAAAAAAAAAACACCAACAATCGTATCAACAATACAGACCATATACCCAGTCCATTCAAAGGTCAACAATACACTCAGACAGACTAAGGTTTCTAGTCCAACTGGTTACCTTTCCCGATACCTTTATGAGCTGCAGGTAACTCCGGGGTATTCTATCTTTATATCAGAAGGACCAGTGTCCCTACCGCCAGGATCAACGCCACGGCCGGACATCCAGCAGCCTGTGGCGCCTTGGAGCCACCCTCTGATGTCTGCGCTGCAGAAGCGGCGTCAGTTGTGGACTGAGTCTCCTTGTCATCCACCACCGCCGAAGCAGTCTCCAGCGCACCTGTCGCCGAAATCGATCCGTTCGACGCGCCAGGCGTCGTTGATGGCGAGGTCGTTGAGACCATCGTTGAAGGTGCATCGGTGGGAAGCACCTCTGGGCTTTCGAGCCATCCTCTAGAGGCCGCATCTTCGATGCCCTTGAACCAAATCTCAGCCATCTTCTGGTATCCTGCGGAGTCTGGGTGCGTTCCGTCAACGAGATCTCCCTCCTGGGGTCCGTCGCTCGAGTGCATGTCGACAAGGATGACCTTCCTCGATTCGGCCGTCATGTTTTCGGCGAGAGCCTTGAACTGCTTGTTCACCTCCAGCACCCTCTCTTCTACATCAGAGTCCCCGTTGACCAGCAACGTTGACAATATGACGGTTGCTTTGGAGGAGGCTTTCCACAGGTACCTGAGCATCTCCTCCATGCGGCCGGCCGCGTTCCCGATATCGTAGTCTTGAACACAGTCGTTGGTGCCAACGTTGATGGTGATGAGGTTGGGGAGTAGCTCGGGGACCGATGCCTTGGCTTTCTCGAGGACTTGATCAATCCGCAGACCATTCCAACCTTCGTTTTGGTTGTCATCCATGTCTCCAGACTCGCGGGATCCGACCATGTCAACTTTGTTCCCGTCGGCCACGAGGAGGTCCCGCAATGTTTTACGATAGCCATTGCCATCGTCGGACCCCTTGCCATCTGTGATGGAGGCGCCGAGGGGCATCAACCGGAGCTCGACGTTGCCCCCAACCATGACTTTGGCGTCATCAATGTTATCGTTTCGGGTAGCGTAAGCTTAAAATAAAGGTGAGTGCTAGGTCTCGGCTTGTCTTAGTCTCGCGGTGTACTCACCTGGCACTGTGAGGGCGAGGCCAAGGACGGCCAATTGCCCGAGAGGCTTCAGAAGGGACCGCATCATTGTAGCTGGGCAGCAGTTTGTGTGAGGTGAGCTGGAATCGGGAAACGGAAGAGAAGGAAACAAAACATTCACGGGAAATCGCAGCTATTATACGATGGATGACGCTAACACGGCCTCAGCCCCTGTCTCCATCTACATGCAACCCAGATGTAACCAACCCAGAGCCGCAGATCAACACAACCCCACTGAGACTGCGGAGGCGCTCAACCCCTAGCAACTGCATCAATTTGTCGCCTCGCTATTGCACAGTTACCTTTCAGAGCTGAGAGAGCCTGTAGCGCATCCTGCATCATGCAGCTTTGACTGGTCTTGGGTTGACAGCTCCATGGCGGCTTGAATTCCATTCCGTCTTGGCTCTATATATGTATGCCATTGGTAGTAGTGCCGCCATTCATGTATTCATCGTACCAGTTGGACGCCCCATGTTCTTTCTTTAGGCCGCATCTGCACATTGCATCGCCACCGCCAGTTGCTTCTGGCAACAGCCTGTCATTGTGTAGCATCCTTTGACCGACTGTGCTGATTGCTTGATGTGAGGTGGATCCTGTGTTTCAAAACAAAGTTGGGTTGCATGCGGAGGAGTCGGCTTTATTTGTTGAATGCTCCATGCATGAGGGGGACTGGTACCGTGTTACTAAACTTAGGAAGATCAACCGGGCAGTAAGCCAGAGAGTAGCAGATCCATAAGACGAGTAGGGCAGTGCAGTATTGCGGTCTTTCGTGATATCACGGTCGGCGTATAGGGTAAGCGAGCTCACGAGCAGCTGATGTCATAAGTGGGGAAACCGCAACTTCTCCAAACGCCAGAATCTTTAACTTAAATGCTTCTCCAACAAACGCGTTTCATCCCATCGCTTTGACGCGCAAAATGTGCGGCATCCATGCTGCCATTTCGTCGTCCCCCGACTCTGTCATCTCGCCCGAGCTCACCCAATGCCTTGCAAAGAGAGGCCCCGACCACACTGGAACTGTGCAGACGCAGGTCGCCAGTAGGGACCCAGAGCAAGCCGTGCGCTTCCTGACCTTTACGTCGACGGTGCTTTCACTCCGAGGCGACCACGTGGCCAAGCAGCCGCTCGTTGACGATGCTTCCGGATCCGTCCTCTGCTGGAACGGCGAGGCGTGGGGTATTCGAGGAGAACCCGTCCAAGGAAATGATGGCGAGGCGGTCTTGGCCCTGCTGACTGAGGCGAGCCGTAGTGCGGCAGACTCAGATGGCGTTCTCGATGCTCTACGTGCAATCGAAGGCCCATTTGCCTTCATCTACTTTGACAAACCCACAGAGCGCATGTACTACGGCCGCGATCGTTTGGGTCGCCGGTCGCTGCTTGTGAAAGCAGGCCGACCGTTTGTCCTATCCAGCGTTGCAGAGACTCCGGCTGAAGGCTGGTTGGAGGTTGAGGCTGATGGATGCTATGTACTTGCGCTGGACGAGGGTGACTTGGTTACTGACATGATACCTACTCGACATGACTGGGCACATGATCCTTCCCTTGTGAGTCTCTTCGCATTGGTCTCCTCGTGATCCTAATCTTACTACTTACCTCTGCAGGTGTCAAGCATCGGAGTTTTCAATACGGAGATACCACAGGCACCCTTCAGGCTGGCTCTCAATTCGAGGCCAGTCCAGGCCCTACAACAGCATCTCATTGAATCGCTGAGACTTCGGGTCCTTGACGTGCCCTTGCCTCCTCAAGCGTCTGATACAGATGCAAGGATCGCGGTTCTTTTCTCGGGAGGACTTGACTGTACCGTTCTGGCGCGGCTTTCCCACGATCTAGTGCCCTTGAAGCAGTCGATTGACCTGATCAATGTTGCATTTGAGAATCCCCGGATTGGAGCTCAACACCCTGACTGTTCCCGAGACGATCTTTACGAAAAATGCCCAGATCGGATGACCGGGAGGAGCGCCTTTGCAGAACTTAGCAAAATCTGCCCTGACCGAGCATGGCGCTTCGTCGCGGTATGAGTCTCATGAACCCTCCAGTGTACCAGATGAACTGATTTAAGGTAGGTGAATGTGCCTTATACCGAGACCCTGGAACAAAGACCCGAGATCGTACGATTGATCCACCCACACAACACGGAGATGGATCTCTCGATAGGATGTGCGCTTTATTTCGCGGCAAGGGGGCAGGGACTCGGCGAAACAGTGTCGAAACCAGAACCCCAATCATATTGCACGACAGCTCGCGTGCTTCTATCTGGACTCGGGGCGGACGAACTCTTTGGAGGTTATGTTCGACATGCAACCGCGTATTCTCGGCGAGGCTATCCTGGTGTTGTGGAGGAATTGAAGCTCGACGTGAGCCGGCTGGGCAAGAGAAATCTTGGCCGAGACGATCGAGTGATGGCGCACTGGGGCCGAGAAGTGCGATTCCCGTACCTGGACGAAGGATTTGTCAAGTGGGCAATCGAGTCGCCAGTCTGGGAGAAATGCGACTTTGAAAACCAAACCGACGAGGTCGGAGTTGACCCTGAAAAACGGGTACTGCGACTGTTGGCTAGGTCCTTGGGGATGGATTCAGTTTCGCAGGAAAAGAAGCGGGCCGTGAGTGAATTTGCAACTTGTGTTGCAACCGGCGTTGTAACTTGTGTTGTAACCTGTGTCGTATCACACGCTGACTATCTGGTGGTAGATTCAATTCGGAGCTAGGACAGCCAAGATGGAAAGCGGCAGGGTGAAAGGGACGACTCTTATCTCAGGGTGAAAAAAGGGGGACGGGGACCAAGTGGTCTGAAACGTGACGGGTGGTACTCGGCGATGATGACACTCACAGATACTTCCGAGACGCTGCAACAGCAGAAAACATCAAGCTCGCGTGTGTGCGTTTGCTGCGATGAAAATGGCAGCTAACCCTCGGCGGGCGAGATGGATCGACCTCTGCATGGAAGCGTCGATGAAGTCGTAAAGGCAAGTCTGAGCCGAGCCATAACTACATAATTAAGGACAAGCATATGCAGTAATTCTCCGATGGGACCAAGCTTCCACGTTCGATGTCATGAGCGAACCAGAGCGAACGAGAACGGACGTGGAGCCAAGGCCTGATGTGAAAACTGCCGACATGAGACTACAATTCTGCAACGGTGTCGATCAGCGGCACAGGGAGTGGCCTGAGACGCGCCAGGTTGTGACGGGTAACATTGAACTGGTATGCAACAATGCGATGATCGTTTGCTGTTTTGAGGCCAGCCAGACACGCGGATAGCTCATGGACGCACAGCTCAGGGACACACAGCTCAGCTCAGGGACACAGCTCAGCTCAGGGAGAGCTCATCAGGGAGAGAGCTCATCAGGGAGAGCTACTGTAGTAGCTCCACCCGCATTCCCCTCGTAGCCAGTAACTGTCGCACTCGTCCCCGTGCTGTGGAGTTGATAGGGCAAAAGAACACTGTGGACGGGCGGGCGGAATGCCATTTTTAGCGGAAGTACGGGGTTTATACGAGGCGCGACCTGTAGAAACTCGAGCGCGGCGGCCTGGTGCGACAAGCCCCTGGCGATGCGGCCTCCCAAGGCGTCAGGGATTGCGGCCATGGCGGTCTCCAATACGCGCTAACGGAGCCTGTCACGGCGGGTAGCACGGCGGATGCTCCAGCGCATGCTCCAGCGCGTGCCTGGCGGCTCGCTCGACCTTGGCGGCGCTCGAAAACACCACCTGCTCGCCAATCGATGCGTGGGATGTTTTACTTTTATCGCCTTGAATTATTTTCGTCGCTTTGCTCTCGTTTTGGCCCAGTCGATGTAGGCTGACTTTCGTTCATTTATTCCGTTTCTCTCCTTCTCTCTGTTTCGTTCTCCATTCTTTTGTCGCCCTCATTCCTTTACGAGCTGGACACTCCGCATTGGACAGCGCTGGACAGGTTTCCGCGCATCCAGCACGCAGCATCCAGCACACAACACCACGCAACGAGAGGCACACCCAACTCACCGGTGACCTCATCGTTCGCCACGACACTCATTCCATTTTCTTTCCCGGGAACCCCAATTCACCTTGATGTTCAAACTATTCGTTCATGTAAACGAGCGGGGCAGCTACTCTTCCTCTCCCACCAGCACCTTCAGATCTCGACCCTCCGTGTCCCTCGCCAGCCCCAGCTTCGTCGACGACGACGCCTACATCACCATGGCAAAGGGTCGTCGCCCCCCGCCCCTCAACCTCAGCATCGATGCCCGGCCCAGGAGCCTGCCGCGGATATCCAGGACACCCGCCAACAAGGAGGCCACGCCGCTGCTGACTCCCCTCCCCGAAGACGATTACGAGGACCCGCCTGAGCCCATCGTTCGGGTCGTGCGTATTGCTGTCGATTTCATGCACCTGGTCGCTTGCATGATGCTGGTGTTGATGATGTCCATTTTCCTGGCTACTTATGCTCAGGCCATATCCTCGAGTTACGGGTACGAGAAGCCACAGCCAATTGAGCCAATACGTAATCTTCAGCTAACGATTGATCCCATCTCCAGACCAAAGGCCGTGCTGCTTATCATAGCGCTGGCCTGTGACGTCGTCCTCGACATGAGGTCAATCCGTCTCTGCGACCGTTCCTGGAATGATTGGGCCCTGTTGGCCCGGTCCCTCTCATCGTCCGTCTACCTTGGCCTTCTTATTGCGTTCCTTGCAGCGGAACGAGTCTTTCCGATTGACTACACGTACTGGAACATGGCCCCCGAGGAGGCTGGCGAGCCGGTTATTGCCCTCGTATGCGTTGTCTTGTAAGTCTTTCAACATGTTACTCGTTCTTTTTTCCCATACCCCGGGAGAGACACATGCAAGCAAACAAGAAGCTAACTCTGTCTGCCGCAGAGGATGGGACATTGTGCACCTGATTCTGTCTCAACGGCGAGCAGGTTGGTGGTGGACGTGGGCGCAGTCGCAGTGGCAGCGCGGGCCGAGCAAGATTGGCGGAGGCGGCCCCGGCGTCGGAGGGGACCGGAAGCGGGGCGGACGGGCGCCCAGACGGACAATGCGAGGCTGGACCTGGAGTTGTGCGTCATGAGAAACAAGAAGAAGGCGGGTTGTCTTGGAAGCTCGTATTTCGAGCAAAGTCCCCCGGTTCATACTTCCATGGACGGCGGCGTTGAGTTTTTTTGTCTCACCGGGGGAGCCTGTAATGTGATTTGTAACAATCTACGACAAAAGCATACATGAACCGACGTGGAGTTCCGGAACAGGCGGATGTGGTAGGTAACGACGTAATCAGAACTCATGGAGCTGATGTGTATGTCTTTCATTGTGTCTCGAATGTCTCTCCGCTTACTCTATCACGTCGAGTGTATTGCCGGGACCTCTCTAGTTTCCGGGCGAGCGGGCATCTTTACCTGAGGGGGAGCTGCACGCAGACTCCCCTGTAGCAAGAGGCAATTCTCTGCATATCCATATGATATCCGTATGCATGCATGAGTACCTTCGGAATCATGATGCGGCTTGGTTTAGGTTTTGGACACGACTTCCTGCAGGGGATATGGCACTGGGTTGAGGGGGTTGAGAGATGACGGGAGATGGGGAGCAGAGACTTCGGGATAGCGCAGGGAATAAAGTAATTACGCAGTATGCGGGTAATCCCTGCGTAATGAACAATGCAGGGAAGCATGGTGATGTTGGTGACATCCAGCTGTAGACAAGGTCCAGGATATCAGCAAACTACATGTCGCGAGAAACAGTCCGAGCGTACCTGTGGCGAAGCTTGCAGCTGAGTGCCAGAGACAGAACAAGGCCCCGGATTGGGACACCTATGAGGATTCGAAGTGGACACATCAGAAGGTCCTTGTTATCCGTTTTGATGACTCCTGGAAAAGACAGAAGGCCCCGGTAGCCGCCAACCGGAAGACACATGTCAGATTCGGATCAGATCAGGTCCAAGCGAGCTCAACGTCAAAGTTTGAAAGAAGCAATATATTGCAGCGGTAAAAAATTAGCTCGTCCCATGGGTTCAGTTCTGACTTATTTGAGATGCCAAGGTGTCAGTGTCGCCGATCTGTCCCATTTGAGGGCGTTGCTTTACACATGTTGGTGATGGATGTCGGCTTAGGCGGCGGCGAGGGCCCGGCTGTAAGCTGAAGTCCCTCGATTGGATCATATATCCCCGGTTTAAGCCACCCTAGCGCAGGTGAGCCGCCGTTGGTGTTCTGGTGGTGGTTTGGCCATCATGCCACCTCGCGATCCAGGCAATTCCAGCCAGCGCAGGGCCAATCCGCGGCCGACCCAGGGTTGAGGGCCGAGCTAAAACAAAACAAAACAGAATCCAAAAAGCCAGCATTTTCGCCCATACTAGGGCCAACCTGGGGACCTACCGGCAGATCAATGCCTAGTACTGATTAGAAAGAGGCACTAGAGAGGCAATCCAAAGAGAGACTGCTGAATGCTCCCCTGAAACACGTTGTGGCTTGAGGGATCCGGAGATGGCCAGCTGTTGTCGGCCCACACCTCCATGAGGTCCGCTACACCTGAAGCCTACCGCAAATCCACCGTGCACCGCACCAACGACGGAAGTACAGCGCAGCACGCAGGGCAGCGCAACGTAGAGGATGCTGGAGCAGGTGTGCGGAGAGAACTGTGCTTGGGTGAATCGATGGTTGCTGCGAGTTGTGACAGTGGCTGACTGGAGTAAGGATAGGCTCGCCCCAGTTGGCCAGTTGATTCAACCAACTGGCACTCGGCAAGACGGAACCTGAGACGTAATTTCTAGCAAAGAAACAAATCATGGCGTTTCCCTTTACAGCTGAGTTCTGACCATGATCTGTGAAATGAGCAAGGCTTGTCGTGTTCCTGCAAACTTGCGTGTGACCTATCACCGGACTCTGGGGAGGGAGAGGGGCTAGCGGGAGAGGCTTGGACACGAATAGTACGGTGTTGTCTTGGTTCCTTGTTTTTGGAAACTTTGTACTTGCTTTTCGCAATGGAACGGGAAAGATGATGGTGGTTGTGAATCTGATTTTTTTCCCCGATGAAACCCCTTGCATGAGGCTCAAAGTAAATCATGGACATCAATCTAAGCATACGGGCGCCCGACCTCAATGGCATCCGAGCTCAGGGCGATAAGATCCAAGAATAGGCCGTGGAGAGTCAAATTCGGTTGCCGGCGGGGAGTCAAGGATCAAAGGGAAACAATAGGAAGGAACAACGGCACTCGAACAACGGACCCGGCCTCGCAGGGCTTCACAGGGCAGAAGGTGCAGGGCAGGGACGTTAGGAAAAGAGGTGGAAGGAGCCAGGGGTCACGCCGATCTACCGAGGATGGAGTTCCGCGCTCCACCCCCACAAGAGCTGCACTAACAACACCACCACTTTCACCACCACAACCACACCCCAGCCTCCACCACGAAAAGCGCGAGGCTTCGGGAATCGGGCCATTAAATCCTTGGGCGCGCCATGCATGCGTCTAACCAATAACACAATGGCCCCGGAATCGCGTTGGAAGGTCTCGCCCACTAGCGCTCCGCGTATGAGCGACGCATTCTGAAACTGGGGGTCCGAATTCGTGAGATTACCTCTAGGATCAAGGACCACAAACGCCCGACCGCTATATTCCGACTTCCGAATCGATCAAAAGCACCCGCAGGCTAACAGCCCAAGAAACGACCGACTTGACCGCAATTGGGACCTAAATTTAGGTACATTCGACTCAGATTCCGACTCAGTCTGTCCGTGCTCCTGTCAAGGGCCAGGCGCCTCCGTTTCGACTCAGCTGGGAGTCAAGCTCCCGCTCACCCTTGTCGATGTTCTTCTATGTGACCGTTGCTTGCCGACGCCCACCAGCGCGCTCTCCGAACGCTGTGACACTCAGCTCCAAGATACCCTCACCGTAGCTCTGCGGTCGTTGTGCTATGGCGCTGGCGCTGGCGCTGGTGGTGGCAAACCAAGCTTATTCACTGTCGGCTTCACGGCACTGCAACACCCACTCGGCCGGCCGATGGCCTGTGACTCTTATTGGCTCCCCCCGAGACATGTATGCGGTCCGTTTTTCAATAGCCTCGTTTTGTCTTGCCTTCTGGGCTTGTGTCGGGTCTGCCCTTATTGGTGAAATTCGTACTCACCAAGGTGTTGACCCGACCAGAGGCGATCTGTCTCAAGGCCGCGAGCTGGCTCCAGCATCAAGCATAGGAGACTAAGACTATCCCGACCGGGGTCTTAACTATTCGGTGCTTGGACGCGCTCGGGACGCCAGCTGAACTAGCATGGCTCCGGGGTGGCCTTTCCTTCTCCGTGTGGTGTAGATGGATCACGACGGCGCGAACGAAAAGTCTCGCTGCAAAAAAGTGTGCTACTACTGCATGTGTGCGGTGATGGGAGAGAGATTACCTGTGATGGGACCAGGGAATCCTGGCTACTGGGGAAGTGTCTGAGCGGCAATGATCATCACCCGAGAAGGCCGCTCTGCGGGAGCCGGTGATATCATGGTTGAGAGACTGTCTGCCACCCAGATGTCTTCCGTTGTCAAGCTATATAAGGTCTTGATGGCTCCCGTCTAGAAACACCTCTCCCCATCACCAACAACCACTTCGACACTCAACAACTTCCTCTTCATTAGCCTTCCGGCTCTAGTCTTTCGTTCTCAACCCAGATTTTCTTCACTCGCTTTGAAAAATCCACCTTCACTTGATCCCCTATCTACCAATATCTCTACAACCTTTTAGTACTATTACTTCCTCTTCAACCTTCATCATGTACTTCTCCAAGTTTGTCATGACCCTGGCGTCTCTCGCCTCCATGGCCTCGGCCACTGCCATGCCCCAGTCTCCCGTCGAGTCTGGTCTTGATGCCCGCGACGCTGGCAGCATCTTTGAGCGCACCTCCTTCAAGTGCCCCACCGGCATGAACTACTGCTCCTGGACCAAGGCCTGCTCTTGCAAACCCGGCCAGTCTTGGGACTCCAAGAAGGGCTGCTGCTCTGGTACCGTCAAGACCGGCGCATGGCCCAAGCCTTCGGTCAGCGTCTACGGCTCCGTCGATGCTAAGCTCGGCGCCTTCTGCGCTTGCTCCCCTTACAAGATCGTCAAGTACGACTCTAAGCACGCCTACTGCCAAGCCTCTATCAAGAACGTCGTCTTCCTGGCTCCTCTTGAGATCGAGGCTGAGCTCAAGGTTTACGCCGGTGCCGCTATCAATGTCAACGCTGGCTGCAGCGTCAGCCTGAAGAACACCTGCGGTGGCCTTGCCGGTCTCTACCTCGAGTCTTGTGCCGATGCCGTCACCCTCTTCAACACCAACGCCTACGGCCTGTCTGTCTCTGCGGGCGGTGTCATTGGCGGTATCGTCGGCGGCGTCCTCAACACTGTCAAGGGCCTCACCTGCTGGCTTGGACTCACCCAGTGCGCTACCTACGATTGTGTCTCTTACTGCACCAAGGGCTGTAAGAACCACATTGACATCAAGGGCTCCGTCGGTGGCTACCTCAACGGTCTTGTTGGGTTCTGTGTCCTCCCCGATGTTCTCCTGTTCGTTGGCGCCGCTGGCAGCATCGTCAACGTTGCCATTGAGCACCTCCAGTGCCTCGTCGGTAACATCATCAAGAGCATCCTCAGCACATTCGACTGCGGCTGCAACTAAGCCGTTTAATCACACACCGGTGATCGGTGAAAACCACCCCAAACACCTAAAACGATTGGAACGATAACAATGTGCTGTTTTCCGAACTGAGGATATATGTTCGGTGGCTGGACTGCCCATTTACTTACTACTGTCGGTCGTTGTCTCTGTGAATAATATTTATATGAACTTGAATAAATGAATATAGAGCGCATGCTTCGCACTCTGATCTCTTCCTCGCCTGCACTTGTGATGAATGTAACGAAATCACTTAGATTCAGGGGCTTTTGAATTACCTTAGCTTGCTATCGAAACTCTGTGTGCACAGACTGATTATGAAAAGAAACACGGACAAGGGGATGCCTCTCCCAAGGAACCTAATTGTACATCGCCGTCACATGTCGTCGGCCTAACCTCCAACCGCCTCCACAATTTGTTTCCCGAAGTTGTCCACCAAGAAGTGACTAAAAGATTCCTCGTCGTTCTCATCCAAGAGCAATCCGTTGTCCTCCGTGTCCGGTAACAGCAGCTTCGCGTACAACCCTTCATCGGCTTTCGCCCATGTTGGCGGCAACACGTCCACGTCTTCTCCAGGCATATCCGTAACGACCTCTATAACACGCGTGCGTTTCAAGATCTTCTTTGTAGCGTTGGCCTTCAGCTTAGCTTTCCCGTTCAGGATCACATGTCCATGTCGTGGCTTCTCATCTGCCCTTGAGCCTTTCGCTGGACGCTGGGAGCTCGGCAATTCTGTCTCCCAATCGGGCGAACCAAATATGGGTAGGTCAGGGTGTTTTTTCGAGATTGAAACGAGGATGTCCGCAAGAAGCTGTGGTTTGAGCTGGTCACATAAGGAAAGAATGTTGAGAAGATCTGTTTTCTTCACATGCGAAAAGTATTCGTTGCGCTGTATAGCCGAGATTAGTAGTGTGTCTTCACATGAAGAATGTGTGGCTTACTGCAGAGTCAGGGGCACGACCGGCACCGAATCCGACAAGCTTAGACTTGGCAGGGACGACACCTTGAGGGAGAACGGCCAGTCGCTTCTGGCGCAACGTCTCTATTTCATCTCGTCTTTGGTGATTTGCTTTCCTTTTTAGGTTGGCTGCTTGTTCTTGTTCTGCCACGCACGTTACGCACACAAAACCAACTAGCTTTACCATTTCGTTGGTGACTGCAGGAGAATGGCACTGCTGGTGCCAGAATTTGAGACAGCGGCTGCATTCAACCAAGGTGTCTTCGGGAGCCCGGGATTGTCCATCGCATTTCGAACAATTCCCAGAATTCAGCTTTTTGGGCTGAGCTTGACCTTCAGAGGGCAGACTCTTTGGTTGGTCAACCCATGGAAAATGGATCGTGTTCTGAGTAAAGTCCACATCGGTTGGTGCATCCCGCTTTCTCTTTGAGCTGGCGTTCAGAAAGTCCCGAGTGCTTGATTTCGGACTATGATGAGAGGCTGATGAGGGGGGCAATGGCATCCTGAGAGTGTCGCTCATGTTCTGCGCTGGCCTCGATCCAGTGCCCTTACTGGCGACATTGTTCGATTGGTAGGCTCGACCTTCTGTGGCTGCGATGGTTGGATTTGCATTAGGTGAATTGAGCTTTATTCGATTTAGGATTAAGCTGTTGGTCGCAGAGAATTGAGGCACGTATGATGTTTGTTGCCTTGGCGTCGGAGTTGAATGGATCGGCTCCTCTGTTGATGGAATCTCGATACAGTCATTATAACCAAGAGTTTCCGGTCTCTCAGATTTCATATTTTTATTTGGCGCGTCGGTCATTTGGGATCCTTGTGTCGTGAGCAAAGTCGTTGGGCACCCAGGAAAGATGAGGTGACCGAATCCGGGGTCGTGTGCCAGGCCCTCCCAGAAGTGGAAGAGTAGGCGATGTCCCTCTTCCTTGGATCGGAACTGGAAGGGCAATTGATAGAGAATAAATATTTTGCGTTTGTCAATGAATATTTGCGTTTATTGCGGCATTATGGAACGAACGCGTGTTGTTGATGACTGTCAGAGTCCCTCCCTTGGGCTTGGTGTTTGGAAGTTGAGAATTGGAGATGCGCACGTGTGATCACGTGAGCACAAGCCAACACCAGGGGTTCAACGGACATGGTTGATGTCATGTAATCTTCATTTGACTAGGTATCTTGTCTACAGCTTTTATTATGTATTTTATGCGATGGCACCGCTTGCCTTGAGTTTCGAAACCTCGGATTGACTGAGCCCCAGGTGCTCTAGAAGCACCTCGTCGGTGTGCTCTCCCAAAGTCGGAGGTGCGCTTCGGATGGTAGGCTGAGTCTCGGACATCTTGATGGGCGTGTTGACCATCTTGATAGTGCCGCAGGTTTCGTGCTTGACTTCCACAACCATGTTGCGGGCCTTTGTGTGCTCATGGTTCAGTGCGCCCTGAACGTCGTTGATGGCGGCATATGGCATGCCCCTGCCCTCAAAGACCTCGAGCCACTCCTGTGTAGTCTTCCGCCTCGTAACGTCCTCGATCTTGCCCTCGAGCTCCTGGCGATGTGCGACTCGGTCAGCGTTAGTCTTGTATCGAGCGTCGTCCTTCCATTGAGGCTCGCCCAGGCCGTCGCAGAGGACCCCGAACAGGCGGTCGTTGCCGCCGCCAAAGAGGATATCGCCATCTTTGGTCGGGAAGGCTTTGTATGGAACAATGGAGGCTTTGAACATTAGCAGTGCATATGTGAGGCGACTATGAGACTTACGATGAGCCGTGCCCCATCGCCCCGAATCCTTCTTCCCGCTGATGAGACAGCTGCTCGCGATATTGGCCAATGTTGCCGTCTGGCAATCGCTCAGAGCCACGTCGATGTGCTGGCCCCGTCCGGTCTTTGCCCGTCCAAGAAGCGCGGCCATGATGCTGTTGCTGGTGTAGAGGCCGGTGGTTAGATCGGTTACAGCCACGCCAACTTTGACGGGCGGCCCATCTCGCTCGCCAGTGATGTGCATCAGACCGAACTCAGCCTCAACCATGACATCGTACCCGGCCCGACTGGAGTATGGGCCGGTTTGGCCATAACCAGTGATGGAGGCGTAAATTAAACCTGGGTTGATTTTGCGAAGAGTTTCGTAGTCCATGTTGTACTTCTTTAGCGATCCGGGCAGGTAGTTCTCGACCAAGACATCGCATTTGGCAGCTAGTTTATGGAGAATGTCGACTCCTTCCTGATGTTGGAATGAGAGTCCTACCGACTTTTTGTTTCGGTTTGCCTTGAACGGTGACGAGACATTAGATCTCTAATGCTGGACTGGGAGAGGCTCTAGACTTACCCCTATGAAATAAGCTGATTCGCCCGGCCCCTCTGAGGATGAGCCGGCCTTGGGCTGGGCATATGGGGGACCCCATGCCCTTGTATCATCACCGCGAACGGGGTGCTCAATTTTGATCACCTCAGCGCTAGATAGCACGGGATATTAGCACAATTGAATTGCCTAGTTGCGAATGCTTTGCTGGACTTACCCAAGGTCTCCCAAGATTTGCGTGCAGTAAGGCTGGCTGGGTCAGCTTATTCCACCAGGCGGAGCGCTGTTTTATGTAGACTTACACCAGCTAGCACGCGGGTCATGTCCAAGACGCGGACACCGTCAAGCGGTAGACCGGTGCCCACAGCGCTCGAGTACCGGCGGAGGCCATAAGTCGCGCGGGCCCAGCCATTGACAGGCTGCGCGCGGAGGGATCTGGCAATGTTGTACAAGCTCATGTCTGTGAGAATTGGCCAGGGCGGTGCAGCCTCGTTGAAGATGGAAACGGGCGTCTTAAGACCGGCGATCGGAGCTGTGGTCGCTGTGCATTATCGGCGGCTAAGAGCGGGCGGACAGTTTCGGGGCAGCTCGGTATGCCCCAGACCCCAAAACTACGCGGGGCCGGCCAATCACTGTCGTGCCGCTGCTCCGCGCCTGGAGCGTCTGTTGTCGGTTCCGAGAGTTGATGGCCGTGTCCTGGGCTTTCGGAGCCGAGCGCCGCCATTTGCAGTGGCATTTTGGGCAGATTTGGTCAAGTATCCGCGGCGAGGCGGCGTAGCGGCTGGAAGACCGTCGTGTGCGGGCAAATGGGCTCGGCGTGCGGGCGCGGGCGCCGAGAGCACGATTTCGAGCCCCGTCTCTGTGGCTAGGCTGGTGCGCTTACAGAAGGGTTGGCCTCTGGAGTGGCTGAAGGCGATGAGAGTGATGCGCACAGCCACGCTGGGTTCTTCTCTGATCTTGTCTGGCTGGGAATGGGAAATTGGGAATCAATCCTGGAGCATAAGTTACGCATCAGTAGAGCCTAGATCCAGGTAGCCAACCGGGACGGGCGGGAGCGATATCCTTGCATGGGAGCAATTGGGTTGCAAAGGAACGATCCCTCAACTTCTTCATTGCTTCTTTCTTGGGCGTCACGCTGATTTCCAGTTCCTTTCTTTGTCGGAGGCCTGGTTCCACGAACGAACCGTCGTCGTTGGCTGTGCAGCGCCTCGCCTCTCGGTGTGCATCCAAGGCGCCCACCCTAGTCTCTTAGTCGTTGTCCTGAAACCTATTTTTCGTGTTTGAATGGCCAGATGGTCATCCGTGACCCCTTTGGGCGTTGGCATAGCCTCCTTCAGCTCGTATTGCGGCTGATGCGTGCTGCACGGTACTCTGCCGGCAGTGCAAATGAGATCTTGGTTGGGTTACATGCGAATACACTTTCGGATTCGCTCTCGCCCTCACCCTATCTGGCTCGGTGGCGGTTTTATTTCTGCCGTCGTCAGCGCACACAGTATGCCATATTTGTCGCGTGTCCGGTAGATGCCTCTATCGCTCTCTGTCGCTGTTGGAAATTGTCGTCACTGTGGCCTGTTGCCCAGCCATCCGCGTCCCGGTTGACAGCAAAGACATGGCCCGAGAGCCGGATGTCTTGCATGATTTCGCAAGCATCCCCCGCCTTGGGGAACGGAATCATTGCTCCCGACGCATCAATGGCTTTTTTTGCAGGATTCTGGCGCATCTCCTCCCTGGCCTATCTGACGTCGGCCATGGCCACACCGACCCTGGATACGGCTGAGGTCACCCGCTTCCGGCAGGGTGCCAACCCAATTATAGCACCTCGGGTCCTCTAGTGTCCGCGTATCTAATGTCCGGCCCGACGCCATTAAAACACAAGAGACTGTATAGCTATATCGCTTGGCAATAAATAGATTACGTGGCATTGCGTGGCTGTCTACTGTTGGCGTTCGTCCCCATCGCCAGGGATCAAGGTGCTTTCGTGGGGAGACAAGGCTGTGTTTTCCGAGTAGACGCAATATATCCCCACTCCTCACCTGGTGCTCGACGACCTTTATTATCTCGCCAACCACCATCGCTCTCCAGCGAGGGGGGGATGCTATATCCTGACTTGGTGTTTTTGTACTTGCATCGTTGCCACCCTCGCTTCCGCAGCCATGGCTCTTCTAGCGTTTTTGGTTTCCTGCCTGGTGAAGAAAAACCCCCAGGACACAGAGGAGGACCCCAAGTCGTTCAAGACTTTCATGACTAAGTCGAAAGGAGCGAAGAAAAGAAAGATGTCCGATGCCGACAAGGAGGACGAAGAAGATGTCCAACGACAGATCATGATTCGAAAATCCCTGGCCAGCCGCGCCTCATCACGAACGACAACCCGAGTGAGCAAGGGGAAAGCGCCCCAGGAGGAGGATGAGAAGAATGACTCGGAGGAAGACTCGGAGGAGGACCGGCCTACCAACAAACGCAACCCGGACAGTCTAAAGACCGATTGGAAGGCATATGAAGCCGATCTTCAGCGCAACCGATCCGTTTTGATCCGCCGCCATCCAGGTGTCGATCGCTCAGGAGGAAGTTCCAGCAAGGCTCCGCTCTCCCCCATATCGGCTACGTCGCCTACATCACCGACATCACACATGTCTCCCCCATTTACTACGTCACCTCGCCCAAACCCGGCCCCTCGACAGCATACTTTTCCATCCATCGCTCGAAAGCCTGTGCCGCGGACAGCAACAACCATCCCAGAATATCCTGCATCGCCAGGGGGAGAGTGAGAATACCACAGGATAAAACACCAACCCACCTATTTCCTTTCTTAGCGGCTCGAGGAGTTGATTTGACTACACGGCGTATGAATCGATGCGAACATGAAGGCGTTTTGTAAACACATAGGAGCATAATCGGCGGCGGCGGGAGAGAGAGAGGGGTCTCTAGATTTTGAATTTATGAAGAACTTTTCCAACATAGTCCTGCCAGAGGCGCACTGCTTAGGCGCCAATCTCGTTTGTGACGTCAACAAATGCCTCCCACTGCTTCCAGGCCTGGCCGCTCTTGAGAGCCCAACGAGCTCGGCGGACACCTTCCTTCCAGCGCTGGCCAGCAGGGCCACGCTCGTGGACAACCTTACCGTCGTCTCCATGGCCCATGTCGCTGGTGTCAGCCTCGCAGATGCCGGATGCGACGAGCAGCGCGGCCGTGTTCATAAGAACGAACTCCAGGAGGGGAGAATCATCGGGAAGCTCGTTGTGCAGAATCGCGGAAAGGATATCAGCGTTCTCGGCCGGCTCCTTTCCGGGGGACACGGTATCTAGGGGGTGGGAGCTGAGGCCAAAGTCACTGGGCTGTATGGTGAAGTCCTCAATCTCCACCTCGCCGCCAGGGGTCGTCTCCTTCAACATCCAGCAGAGGGTTCTACCAGCGCAGCTAACCTCGTCCAGCTCCTCCTCGCCGCAAATGACCAAGGCCTTTTTGCAGCCAGCAATCTTCAATGCTTCAATAAAGGCGGGGCCAAGATCTCTCCTGGCGACACCAATGACGCGAGCCTCAAGGACGTCCTCGACAGGGTTTGCCAAAGGACCAAGGTTGTTGAAAATTGTCCTCCAGGGGAGTTGTCTGCGAATAGGAGCCACGTAGCGCATCCCAGTATGGAAGACGGGAGCAAATAGGAAGGTGTAGTTTGTAGCCGAGTACGCCTTGACCAACGTGTCTGGGCGGACAGCACTGATGATGGGAGGACGGGGCTTCATGTTGTTGACCAAGTCGGCGCTGCCCGACTTGGAAGTGCTGGCCTTATTTCCATGCTTGGACACCAGGAGCAGTGCTGAAGCAAGAATAGACGACGTCGTGCTGATGTTGAAGGTATTGTGTGAGTCACCACCAGTTCCAACAATATCACACTGTCGCAGTTAGTCTAATTGTTCTGTAGTGAATTGACGGGCTTTTGGACTTACCAGACCGCCATTGTACTTGCCCTCTTTCTTCCCTCGACGCTCAATCACGGCTCGGAGCTCCTCTGCGGGGATTGGCGCTGCGGCCGCTCGCATGACGCGGGCACTCTCAGCCAGAACATCGGCACGAAAGTCCATCCTCGTGAAATGAAGAGCCATAAGCAATGAAGCCGTCTGAGCTTCAGTCACTTGATTGGTGAAGAAATGCGAAATCGCCTCGGCGATCTCTGCCGGAGAGACTTGATTGCCGTTGGGCCATAATTTGGTCAGAAGAGGTTTGATGTCGACTGGAGGGAGGGCAGCCTGCCCGTTCCCACTTCCTTGGGCCGGAGATGCCATCGCTACTCAGCAGAAAGAGAGAGCGTGCAGATAAAGAAGTGTAGCTAGACGGCGAAGGAAGCGAATGACAAAGAAACTCGCGGAAAAACGTAGAGTTTTAATGTTGATTGATCATACTTTTGAGATTCTATTGACTCACCAACGATGAATTAGGGAGTAGTCGGCACTTCGTACCAGAGTGCGGAGTGCCCTGGTAGCCGTGGCCGATTGGCTGGCCATGATTCAGTGTAACCCGCCACAGGCACGCAGCCACCTAGACTGCCACTGTGGCGCATGTCACGCAACTCAAATCGCTGAGTCATCTGATGGAAAGGTTCGTCAGGCTTCCTCCGCATTTGGAGGGCCCAAAGCAACCGCCTCAGTCTCACTCCACCGACTGTCATTTCTATCCCAAACATCCTCCTCACCCTCACGCTCTCGCCGCCTGAAGTAGGTCCGCACTCGCGTTTTCCTCGTCCTGAAGCTGCCGGTCACTTTTCTCAGCGATCGCGACGACCACTTCGAGCCGACTCTTCGTTGATCTGGGGTTCTTTGCGAACACAGACGCCTTTACTGGTTCTGAACAGTCGGCTGGCAGAGTTTACGCTCCCTTGTTCCCTTTTTTATCTCTTCGAACCCCGACCTTTGTCGAAAAGCATCGCTACCCTGAAGCATCAGCAGCGAACAGACAGTCAGTAGTCGCTTTTCACCTGTTGGCCTTATCGTCCGACTCGATAAAAGCAGGTCGCTCAGCGGTGGTCCGACAGCGAGAACTCTTCCCTCCGTCCATAGCATCGCCAAGCAGATCCAGCGCCGAAATTGCCACTACGCGACGAACGTCCTGACACAACCGATTTCTCTCCTCTCCACGAGTGAACGCTTTCACTGGCGTTCGCTTCTTCTCTGCACCCCCAGCCGCCAAACTGCATTCGCCGCTTTTCGTTCAGTTTGTCAACGATCGCCTCTGGATTCGCGAATCTAAAATATCCGCCTGCACAGTTGCGAAGGTCACTGTAGACAAGAAACGGCAACAACTGCGAAGGCGAAGAAAAGAGCAGAAACGATCCCGAAAGGTCTTTAGCGAAGTAACCAACATCTACGTATCGAGACCGTATCAGCCCAAGATGATTCCGCCCACTGGCGGTGATGGAAGTGGTGGGGCATTTCAGGAAGATTTGAGCAACATTCTCTGTTGCCCAGATTGCAAGGAGATCCCCCCGAACCTGGCGGAGGAGTTTTCGAGCGGTGACATGGTGTGCCGGAGCTGTGGAGTCGTCGTTGGTACCCGAATCATCGACACCCGCTCCGAATGGCGTACCTTTGCCAATGACGACCAGGGCGGTGACGACCCCAGTCGTGTTGGTGGTCCCCAGGACGAGTTCGTCGAAGGACAGCAACTTGCCACTACCGTTGCCTTCTCTGAATCCAAAGCCCACAAAGCTTTGTCCCGAACCCAGAACAACACAAACCAAGACAAGGCTCAGAAGGGCCTCATGCAAGCGTACAAAGAAATCGTGTCGCTGTGTGAGGCCATCAACATGGGACAGAACGTCTCGAATGCTGCAAAGCACATCTTCAAGCTTGTCGACAAGTACAAGTTCATGAAGGGCAAGCCGCAGGAAGCCGTCATTGCTGGCTGCATCTTCATTGCTTGCCGACAGAACAATGTTCCGCGAACTTTCCGTGAGATTTTCAATCTCACAAGCGTTAGCAAGAAGGAGGTGGGCCGAGTGTTCAAGCAGCTGCAGAGTTTCCTGCAGAAGCTCCAGGATACCGAAGGCGAGGCCACTGGCCTTAACACCGTCACCAACTACGAAAACACATCCGTTGGTGCCGAAGATCTGTGCGGTCGTTATGTGTCGCAGCTCGGTTTTAAGAACCAGCAGAAGATCTCCAAAATCTCCCGAGACCTTGCGGAGCAGGCCAATGACATTTCCGCCTTGGCCGGTCGATCACCCCTGTCAGTCGCCGCAGCATGCATCTACATGGCATGCCACCTGGTCGGCGAGCCTCGTCCGTCCCTCCCGATTGCGAAGCAGGCTGGCGTTAGTGATGGTACCGTCAAGACAGCCTACAAGCACCTATTCGCCGCCCGCGAGCAGCTAATCAAGAAAGAATGGCTCGAGGACGGAGGAAGCATGGATAACATCCCGCAGGTGCAGGTATAGGACCCTGCAAGTGGGAAGGGTTCACGCAACGACATGATGCCGCGCGCGCCAACTGGGGTGGAGCTCTTGACACAAGTCGGCGGTTAGCATTGCTACGCAGGGCTCCGGACGAGTTGTTGATGCGGCCCGCACGTAATGCTTGAGGCGGAGTTCTTGGCGATCTATGCTTTTCTTGTTTTCTTTTACTAGATTGGACTCCATGGACTAGGAACAGGGTTGATCATGGAAACTGGCTTCATGAGACTTGCGACGAGATTGATACTTTCTGACATACACTTCGTTCAGCGAACATGGTTGATGAATCAAGCTTCCTTGGAGTCTCATGTATGACAGATGTGATGCCAGTGCCCCTGTCCAAGTTACGTGGGGGCAACCTAGACGAAATCCATATCAACCCAGTCCCTGCTAGGACTTGTCAGGCCTTGGCAGCATATGGTTGGATGCATGAATGCAAGGCGAAGGAGTCTGCGTACGTAGTGCCCGTATGTGCCGCAACCTGGATGGAGGACTGGCGTAATGTGCGCTTTGTATTAGTACTATGTATGTGCGTCCTGTGTATGTACAGGCTGCAGGGATTAAATATGTGCTTCCTCGGCAGTTTGATTCGCCATTTTTCGTAATGGCAGTTGGTGTAATGGAGCGATTGAGCACTTTGGCTTCTTTCTGGGGACTTATTTTCTTAAAATGCTGTAATGCTTGGGCATCCTAAATGCTAGGGGATAATATTAATACTCATCTTTATACATTTTTTGTAACAATCCAAGGATCATAGGCTCTTCTGGGGTTGTCATAAGATTCACACGTCTAATGCATGTGGGCTGAGTGCGGTGGATGTACTATGTACGGTACACGAGAAGAGGTAGGTCGATATGTAGGTGGTGAAGCTACAGACGCACGTTGGGCCTGAAACGGAGCCATCAGACGTCTCGTGGTAAGTTGTCCGTCTTCCGTAACACCCAGCCAGCCACATCCTCCACTCCTCCACTCTGAGTTTCTCCTTCTTGGAGATGTTGGTGGAAAGCGAGGCCGAAAGTTCCGCGCACCTCCGGGTTACGACGCGACGGGACCGCGGGGCCAAGCCGTAAGCATTTGGGTTTTGAATGCCGGCGTCGATTTGACCCAAAGGGAAATTGACGGGGGGGCGGGAGTGCCGTGTGTGAGACTCTGCCCATGCGGCAAAAACTCTGCGTTTAGACTGGAGCTTTGGTCAATCAATGGTCAGTCTCCCGCATGAATGATGAGTGAGGCTGCGTGAGAAACGGGTCGAGCGTTTATGCTGAAACTTTCGGGTCCCCGGAAACGGCGGGATTCTAACTAGTACACGGGTGGTTTCTTTAGCTTCAAGGGACAGCCCGTTGGAATTAGCGGAACCTACGCACGACCACTACTGCTACATACTACGTAGTACGTCCTAAGACTGGAGTACGCCCTTGGTCTGGTCTGACGGAAGCAACTAGCTCGGTTGTCTGATTGTCAGCCATCATGTGTTGGGTCTTGGAATACGATACCACCATCAATTTCGCCGACAACCAACAGAAGATTTCATTTTGCTATCTGTCAGAAAATGCACTACGCGAGGACTGGAGACGGGAGAAAAAACCCAACCTGGCATGTGAGAAAATCGGATGGAATTACCTCAACCGGACGGGGCATCGGATGATGAGCCAGGTTCGGAAGCCCCACACCCTGTCAGGCACAATGCGTGCTGCGTCTGTGGATGGGTAGAGGTGGTTACTAGTCTTGGCGGCAATCGAGCGACCAGGCTGTCGTACCAAGATGAGGAGGGGGAGGACAGCAGGGCGAGGCGAACCAACAGGTTTTGCAGTACTACTGCGTACGTGAGTGTTTCAAGGAGAAGAGAGTGAGGCTCTTTCTCTGATACAACCGCCGCTGGTCGTGCTGGTCGTGCTGGTCGTGCTGGCCGACGGCATTCCATTTCGGGTAACGAATAAGTCCACGGACGCGAGCGATTGATGAGCGGCCGAGGGTCTTCCTTGGAGGCGTTGTTTTCCTTCCTGTCCAGGCCAGGGTCAGTCAGTAGTAAGTAAGATACCCTGGGTGCTCTTGGCAGAGTACGGGTGTGCATGGGGTGGGGATATGGAGACTACGCTTGGGAAAGCTCAGGCCTCGGGACGGTTTACAGAAGAAGAGCGAGGCCAATATTGCAACCAACCTTGTCAGACGATGGGGCCGGGGGTCGTAAGATACGTCCATCCGCGACTGTGTCTAGGCAAGGCAAGGTAGGCAGCCAGTGCCATGTACTGCGTAGTAGTCATGTAGACTTGTAAACATGTAGACATGTAGCCGTATGCCGGCCCGGTGCACCGTGCTTGACTAATTATAACCCGAATTCGACCATTGCGTACGGGAAACGGGAAACCGGGGGATCCATCTCGTCGAGACGGCGGCCGTGATGACGAGCTTTAAAAGGATCCATAGCTGCCGCCTGGCCGCCGCTCCTGGCCACTTCTCAGGGACGTCATCCAGCAGCACATCACATGTATATATCAGCATGCCTTCATCAACTACAGCGTGGACTGCCTATTTGTGGCGCCTCATCGTGAGCATGTTGGCTCCGTCAAGCGCTCTGCTGCCCTTTGGCGCGTGGGCCGCGTCCGTCTGGGGCTCTCCCGTCCCCGAGCTTCATCTACAGCCGCAACAACATGGGCAGAACCAACAACAACAGCAACAACAGCAGCAACAACAGCAGCCCTTTGTAGGCCACCGGCACGTGAGCGAGTTCAATTGCTTCAACGCCAGCCTCCCCAACATCACCATCTATGCCACCGGCGGCACCATCGCCGGCTCCGCCAGCTCGGCGGACCAGACCACGGGGTACCAGGCCGGAGCTCTGGGCGTGCAGGCCCTCATCGACGCCGTGCCGCAGCTGTGCAACGTCTCCAACGTGCGCGGCGTGCAGGTCGTCAACACCGACAGCACCAACATGAACTCGACCATGCTCCTGGCGCTGAGCCAGCAGATCCAGGACGACCTCGACAGCCCCTTCACCCAGGGCGCCGTCGTGACCCACGGCACCGACACCCTCGAGGAGTCGGCCTTCTTCCTCGACCTGACCATCCAGAGCGACAAGCCCATTGTGGTGACAGGCTCCATGCGCCCAGCTACGGCCATTAGCGCTGATGGGCCCATGAACCTCCTCTCTTCCGTCACCGTGGCTAGCAGCGAGAACGCCCGGGGCCGGGGGGTCATGATTGTGCTAAATGACCGCATTGGATCCGCTCGCTTCATGTCCAAGTCTAACGCGAACCAGCTCGACGCCTTCCAGTCGACGGACGGGGGTTTCCTGGGCGGGTTTGTCAATATCCAGCCCGTCTTCTACTACCCGGCCTCTCGGCCTCTGGGCCACCACCACTTTGACGTGAGGCGCATCCAACGATGGCGCGGCGAGGACGCTAAGCTCCCGCAGGTGGACGTGCTGTACGCACACCAGGAGCTCAACGTCGGCCTGTTCCAGGCGGCCATCGACCTCGGGGCCAAGGGCATCGTGCTCGCGGGCCTTGGTGCGGGCTACTGGACCGACTCGGGCTCCGAGGAGATCCGGCGCGCGTTGCAGGACACTGATATCCCCGTCATCGTGAGCCGGCGGCCGGGCTGGGGGTTCGCGAGCAGCAACGGCCTCGAGGGCGGCATCGGAGCAGGCTTCCTGAACCCGCAGAAGGCGCGGATACAACTACAACTGGCCCTGGAGACGGGGCTGGAGATGGAGGCCATTCGGCCCATCTTTGAGCATCACGGAGTGCACTAATTGCGCGGCCACCAGGTCACAACCCACACACCCACACACACACACGCAGACAGTCACACAACTCTCCATCACTGACGCAACTCACACACCCACAACTGGGCCGCCTGTATCACCATCACCACCATCTATTCTGGGTGCCGACCAACACCTACAATCTGCAACTCAGCATGGAGTCACGCACACACACACACACACACACACACACATACACACGCACATACATAACATGCACACACAAACATAATGCACACACTAACACTAAAAGGGGGAAGGAAGATTTGTTAAGGGCACATGACCGAAAGAGTGAGCTGCCCGCACCCAAAAAAGTCGATGAGGAGTACATTCCGCCTTGGAACAGGGGACTGGGATGGTGGTGAGAGTCTGAGCAAGGGCATGGGCGCAGGATAAACTTTTTGAGAAGAGAGCGCTTCGGAGCGAGAGGGATCTAATCCATAATTGTACTGTACGAGCAACGACTGTAATGATATCCAGCAAAAATACACCAAGGTGTATCTCATCCGTCGACTCTCCTAGTGACCGTGTAAGTCGCAGCCCTGCGTGTGTCATCCACCAGACTATGACGGTGTCGACTCAAGCGTCGTTTTGCATGCTTTTTTGTTTTGGGCTTCCCGCCCCCATCTCCCCGTCCTCCGAAGTCTGGGGCACGCCTTGGCCTTGCCGCGTCTTAAGCTGCCGCGCAAGAAGCAAAAAGCAAATATACGCAGCCCGTGTGGGCTGACAACCCTGTCCCCATGGACATGATCCCCCTCCTCTTGCGCTAACGCAAAAGTCTAGAAGACTCAAGGAACTCCATCCCCCGAAGGAACCCAGTGGAGTTTGGTGGGCCTGCTACAAAAGTCTACTGCCGGACCACCTCCACAGGGGATAAGGTTCCATGTCAATCTGTTGAAGATGATCCGAGCATTGAAATGGAGTGTATCTGCGGTGGCAATCTCGCCGCCGTCCCCAATTTGGCTGTAAGAGGCAGCTGCGGTAGCGAGAAACGCACCCCGCCGTTGTGTAGCCGTCCGGAGGCTCTTAGCCCCCTCCTCTGAGCGACGCCCCTGGCCAACCGTCGCTGATCTGATTACAGCAGTCGCCAAAAGTTGGTGCAGCACAAGTCTGGGCAGCGCCAGGCGGCCGGGGGGCCCTGAAGCCTCCCATGCTCGCCAGAGGAGCCCCCCTGCGCTTCCAGGACCTACCGCAGGGGAGGCTGGCCGCTTGGTGCCGTTGGGGGCAGTGGTGCAGTGCAAACGGCAGGCTGCCGGGCCCCGTTACAGGCGCAACATACTGCAGTGGCTGCACCATTTCGGCGGCCCCTCTCAGTGAGCCCCAGGGACCCCCCACCTGGGGAGGTCGTAGCAGTGGTGGAGGGGGCCTCCTGAGAATCCATCCCCCTGCGAATTGCCATGCGGATTGCCCCGAAAGGTTGCCCTGCGCGTGTGCTGTGCGTGGTCCTGCGGGGACGGTACAGGACGTACAGTACGACGTGCAGACGGAGAAGGCCCCAGTGATTAGCAGCTCGAGTTGGAATGGCGCCGGACCATCCAATCCTGCTGTACGGCGTACTCGCTGACGTGGTTGATCTAATCTTGGAGCCAGAGCTGGAAAGACGGAGTCGCCAGCAAAACTTGGCACAAGCCACAGTGCTCCACAGCCACTCTCGCTCGTGCTCGCCTGCCCTTTGCTGCATTGCTAGGTGACGGAGAGGCCGGAACTGCTGTGGCAATTAGCGACACGACGAGATAAGCCGACAAGCATCCATCAACTCACTCGCTCACTCAATCTCTCGCGCCGAGCGTCCATCTGCAATCCGCAAACTGCCAGCCGGCCACTGAGCACGCATCGTCCATCGGCCGCCTGTTGCTGGCGCCGTCCACTCGCTCAGCCGCTCTCCTCTCCTGCCGGACGAACCGGGGCCCGTCTTTCGTCCAAACCACGCCACGCCACACCAGCCGCGTCCACGCCAACACCCACGGCCCGACAAGACTGTGCGTTGCGACGTCTCGATCGGCGACCGAAGCCCCTCCCATCTCGTCATTCGTTAGTCCTGCAAGCCTCGTCGCTCGATAGCTCGATTGTTCGTCGCTTCCAGCCGCTCGCTCTGACACCCTACATGGCCGGAGACCGCACCCGTCGATAGTCGCTCCCTGGTTGCTCGCCATGTCAGAAAGCCGCTCCGACTTGGAGAAGCGCTCAGGGCATGCGGCGACGGACAGGGCTCGCCGTCACACTCGGCTGCGTAACAATGCTGCCGGATCCTCCGCCCCGGTGGCCCGTCGCCTCAAGGATGCCATCGCCATGGCCTACCAGAGGACCATCGTCGAGATGATCCTCCGCCGCAAGCACATCGTCGCCTCCTCCGATGGTCGTCACATTCCCCTCGAGCTCGAGCACGAGAAGCCTCTCATTGACACCAACCGCGGCGTCTCGTACGTCTCCAACAATATCCGAACCTCCCGGTATACAGTATGGGACTTCTTCCCGAAGCAACTCTTCTTCCAGTTCTCGCGCGTGGGAAACTTCTACTTTTTATGCGTCGGTATTCCACAGATGGTATGCGCATTTAACCTTAAATTCCGACTTGCAGTGGAACTTTGGTGCTAACTCGACGGACTAGATACCGGGCCTGTCCACCACCGGATCATATACCACCATTCTACCGCTCATGTTCTTTGTCCTCTTGACCATTGTGAAGGAAGGCTATGACGATTACCGACGACATCGACTCGACGAAGTCGAAAATGCCTACTTTGCGACAGTTCTTGGCAGGGAAGATAAATACACCGGAAAGCTTCTGGTGAACAGTTTCTGGAAGCGCTACAACCCATTTATCATCAATTCAAAGTCCGAGCCCAGACCAGTTCCCGAAGAAGACTTCCAGGGCATCCGATGGGTCCCCGTACGATGGAGAGATATCAAAGTTGGAGATGTCGTCAGATTATCCCGCGACGAACCTGTTCCTGCCGATGTTGTGTTGTTGCATAGCGATGGAGAGAATGGAATTGCCTACATCGAAACCATGGCCCTCGACGGCGAGACGAATCTCAAAGCCAAGCAAGTTACACCCGCTCTAGAGGGTTGTGACTCAATTGAAGGTCTCTCCAAATGCGCTGCCCAGTTTGTTATCGAGGACCCTAACCCTGACCTCTTCAACTTCGACGGCCGCGTCACTGTGGATAAAAAAACCGTTCCATTGACCCTGAACGAGGTTTTGTACAGAGGCAGCGTGTTGCGCAATACCAACTGCGCTTATGCCATCGTCGTCAATACGGGCGAAGAATGCAAGATCCGAATGAACGCAAACAAGCACCCGAAAGCCAAGAAGCCTGCATTGGAAGGGATTGTTAACAGGATTGTTGTCACATTGGCTGTTTACGTCATTATCCTGTCGGTTGGAGTTTCAATGGGATATGTCAAGTGGCAGAGGGATACGGAGAGGCACTCTTGGTATCTAAACCAAGCAGCGGTTCCGTTCTACCAGATCATCATTGCCTTCATCATCATGTTCAACAACGTCATTCCACTTGCTTTGTACATCAGTCTGGAAATCGTCAAAGTTGGTCAGCTCCTCATGCTGAACTCCGATGTCGAAATGTACGACGAAGAGACGGACACACCTGCCCGTTGCAATACGAACACTATCCTCGAGAACTTGGGTCAGGTCGGCTACATTTTTTCGGATAAAACTGGAACTTTGACAGACAACGTCATGAAATTTCGCAAAATCAGTGTTGCTGGTACCGTCTGGCTTCATGAGATGGATCTTGAGCAGAAAGATAATGTTGAGCTCGAGGCTGCGAAACTAGGAGACGATGACTCGAGCAGGGCGCCGTCCGTGTTCAATCTTGAACCTGTTACGGTGGTTATCCCAGAGGACGAACCCCAACCTATGAACAACATGTTACTCGCCTCGCCCACACGACCGTCCATGTCACCATCTCGACCTTCCATGTCACCCTCTCGGCCCTCGATGGTCGGCCGCAGATCATCCTCACAATGGCGCTCAACAGGACGACCGGACCACGTTCAGCCAGACGTTACCACAACGGACATGATCGAGTACATTCGTCTTCGGCCGAACTCGATATTCTCCCGAAAGGCTAAGCAATACATCCTGGCAATGGCACTGTGTCACACTTGCTTGCCCGAGCACAAGGAGGATGGTGGAATCGAGTTTCAAGCCTCGTCCCCAGATGAGCTTGCTCTCGTCAGAGCTGCTCAAGAACTTGGGTTCCTTGTTATCAACCGCACCACTCAGACAATCACATTGCAAATCAAACATCCCGAAGGGCGGGAAGAAGAGCAAAAGTATCAGGTCTTGGATGTAATTGAATTCAGCAGCGCTCGAAAGAGGATGTCCATCCTCGTCCGCTATCCTGACGGTCGAATCTCTGTCATCTGCAAGGGTGCCGACTCTGCTATTCTCCCACGCCTAAGGATGTCGACACTTGCCAAACAGAAGGCCACAGAGGTACGAAAGAGTGCAGACTTGGAACGCGAGCTCTACCGGCGCAGCGAGCAGCAAGAGCCACGCAACAGCTTTGGTGGAAGACCCAGTCTGACAATTCGCCGGAACTCTGCCTTGCAAAGAGATCGAAGCACAGCCGGACGCCCCAAGGCAGATCGAAGCAAGTCATTCGAATTCAGTAGACTTGCGCGCCGATCCGAAGACAAACCTCGCCTCTCCATTACTACTCGCGGCGTTTCGATTGACGTTCCCAAGGGCAGTCAATTCCTGCACACACCTGTCCACTATCAAGCGCCAATCCCTGACCATTTTGACTTCCTCGACGATCCATCCATGCACGACGATTCTGAAGTGTTTACGAAATGTTTCAAGCATCTAGACGACTTCGCTACCGAAGGCCTGCGGACGCTGCTCTTTGCGCAAAAGTTCGTCACAGAGCAGGAATACCAATCATGGAAGAAGATCTGGGATAATGCCACGACCAGTCTTGTCGACCGACAGGAACTCATTGAAGCTGCAGGTGATCAGATTGAACAATCGTTTGATCTCGTTGGCGCGACTGCCATTGAGGACAAGCTTCAAAAAGGAGTCCCCGAAACCATCGACAGACTGCGCCGAGCCAATATCAAGATCTGGATGCTTACTGGCGATAAGCGGGAGACTGCAATCAACATTGCGCACTCGGCCCGCATCTGCAAACCAGGTTCTGACTTATATATCCTCGATGTCAGCAAAGGAGCTCTTGACTCGCAGCTAATTGCACTGACAGAGGATCTGCAAGTTGGCTCCGTCCACAGCGTGGTAGTCATCGACGGCCAGACTCTTGCCACTGTTGAGAAATCGGCGGAGCTTTCAGCCCAGTTCTACAATGTGATGTTGCAGGTTGACTCGGTCATTTGCTGCCGAGCGTCTCCCGCACAAAAGGCCCTTCTCGTTCGAACTGTTAGGTCTCGGTTGCAGAGCTTGCACGGTAGCAAGCGACGAGGGCTTACCCTGGCTATCGGCGACGGTGCGAATGACTTGGCTATGATTCAAGCCAGTCACGTCGGAGTTGGTATCTCGGGTAAGGAAGGTCTCCAAGCGGCGCGAGTCGCAGACTACGCCGTCGCGCAGTTCCGATTTTTGCAGCGATTGCTGCTTGTCCATGGGCGGTGGAACTATGTACGCACCGCCAAGTTCATTCTTTGTACATTTTGGAAAGAAATGTTCTTTTATCTTCCAACGGCTCAGTATCAGAGATACGCCGGCTACAGTGGCACCTCTCTGTACGAGGCGACGAGCTTAACTGTATTTAACACTCTCTTTACCAGTCTTTGTGTGATTTGTATGGGAATTTGGGAGCAGGACCTTCGGGCGGAAACCCTCCTGGCGGTTCCCGAGCTGTACATCTACGGCCAGCGGAACATGGGCCTGAACCTCTGGAAGTTCGCTAGGTGGATGTTACTTGGGGCTGTCCAAGGCGTTGTCTGCTGGTATGGCATTTGGGCCGGTTACGCATGGATCTCGCCGGCCGCACGCGACCAAGGCCTGTATGCTTTGGGCACGCTGACGTTCACGGTTGGGATCCTCTGGATTAACTGGAAGCTCTTGTACGTCAAACCCTCTCCCGTTACACTTCGCACCTTTGCTAACGGGCGCAGCATTTTCGAAACACACTACAAGACTAATATTGTCATGTTTTCCTTTTTCCTTACTACTTGGGGTTGGTTTGGGTGGCTCTCATTCCTCGATGCTGTCTATGCTCCTGAACCATCCGGCACATACTCCATCCGCGACAGTTTTACAACGTTGTTCGGAGACGATGCTGTATGGTGGTCGACGGTCTTCATTGTCCTTGGGCTTATTGGCTTGATGGAGATGGTGATCAAGACCGTGAAGCGCCAGCTTCTCCTTGCCGGTCTGTGGAAGTGGCCGCCATGGAAACAGAGCAGGGTCGGCGACAACATTGAGGAATGGGACGTGGAACTCTGGCAGGAGCTGGAGCAGGATCCCGTCATGCGAGAGCGATTATCACGACTGTGCCGCGATGAGCCCCTGGACGAAGAAGATGACCCGGATCTCCAAATTGACATAGAGGACACACGATGAAGGCAGATTAGACTCGGGTACCGGCGCATTGCATTTTCGTTTGTTGTGATACCCACTAGACAACGAGTGCTGGTTGTTTTTGGTTCAAGGCCTCGCTCAAGCAATACAGCGATTTTTAGACGTATTTGTATTACCAGGCACTTTAATTCATGTATAATCTCACAACAGTATTTAGTTTAGTTTTATCACCTTAATATGGATCTTGACATCCGTCTCAGGCCGTTTCAATCTTTCTGCAAACTTGTCTCCGAGCAATGCCGGCGTCAAGATGCCTCCTCCGCGTTCGTGCGCCGGCGTCCCACCTTCCAACAACAGCAACGCCGCCTCGGTCAACGACACACCTGTGAAGACGTACGGATCCCCGTCGTACGCAAAGGTCACCTCGACTTGCGGCGCCGCGGTGTCCTTGGGCGTGTCCGCGACCGCGATCGTCCGGTAATTGAAGTAGTTGCCCACCCGCTCCTCGGCCGACGGGCCTGTCCCCGCCGGGAAGAGTCGCCGGCTGACGAGGGTGCGTAGCGGTCGGATGTTTGCGAGGGCTTTGGTGAGGAGCAGGTAGGCCGTGCGGAATCCCCAGCCTGTGAAGGCGTTGGTGCAGCGCATGCGCGACGAGAAGTAGAAGTCTTGCCCGTAACTGTCGGGACGTTGGGCGCCGTGGGCCACGCCGGCGTACAACCCCCAGCTGCGGCCGACGATGGCCGTCTCGATCTCGGCCTGTGTGCTGGTGACCAGCGCGCCGAGGCCGTAGACGGTTTGAACGCCGAAGATGTTCGGGCCCGGCAGGACACCGCGGGAGGTGATCTCAGCGGTCCGGCGCGGCACGGGAGCGAGCCGGAACGGGGCCGAGGCGGCGGCGATCCGGGATGCGCCGTACGTGCTTATGAGGTCGCACAGAGAGTTGATGCTGCCGCCGCTGAAACTGCCCTGGATTTCGTCGAGGGAGACGAGGACCTCGCGCGTGCGCAGGCCGAAGGTCTTGTGGATGTGCTGAACGGCCAGGTAGGTCGAGAGGTCGGCAGGGACGGCGCCGCAGCCGGCTGTGATGATGATCTGAGAATGGTAAGCCAGGCTGGCGATTCTGGATATAAGTCATGGCGGCATACCTTGGAGCCAGAGGCATAAGCAATCTCGTCGTACTGATTGATCATCTCCTGCAGCCAAGGCATCTCGCCGTTACTACGCATTATAAGCAATCTTGCCTCCAGCGATCCACAGTGAGGACAAGGGAAGCTTACCAGTCAATATAGTCGGTTCCGTTCTCGGCACACGCCTTGATAACAGACGATCCGCGCGTCGATGCATAAGGCCCGATGACGTTGACAATAACCCGCGTGGACTTGGCGAGCTCTGCAATAGCCGCGTCAGAGGTGAGGTCGAGTGCATAGACGCTGCCTTGAGGACAGTTAGCAAAGGCCCAGCAAGTTACTAGATAGTTTCATCCTCAACGTGACAGACACTTTGCTGCCCCTTTATACTCCAATTCTCCAGCTAGAGTTCTGAGTTTAGTCTCGCTTCGGCCTGCGATGACCCAAGCTACAGTCTCGGGGAGAGCCTTGGCCATATACGCAGCACACAGCCGGCCAGTGTACCCCGTCGCGCCGAGGAGGGCAATATCAATCTTGCGTACCATGGTGTCGATCCCATAAGGAATGCTGCTTGTATGAATTGAAATGCTTCGAGTTTAATACAAGAGTCGATATATGAACTTGAGAGTTCGGCCGAATCGCGGACGAGTTCGCCGTGAAGGTGCCCACTTTCTCGGCGCAACACACGGCCGGCCCGGGGTAACGGTGAGACTCAACGGGGCCGGTGCAATTGAGTGCGACAACATGCGACGGAGTCGGACCATGAAGTTCGCTGATTGAGTCTGAGGGGGTATTGGTTTTGATAGCGCACGGTATACAAAAGACGTCTGCCTCACATCACATACGGCGATGATCCTCGTGGGAAATTCATGTTTAATTTATCGATGCAAAGCAACTGCTTTTTAACTCCTAACCAATCTTCTGGGTATTTATATAATTCAAGTTAACCAAAAATCTTCATCATCCACTTACAGCGACTTTTTTTCCTTTCTTCTCATCTCAGTTATACCGTCCGTCACAGTTTATTGTCCATCACCTCCTCTCTAGGTCGTCTCCAGCGTCGCTGTTCATCATCCCGTCTGGCCGATCTGGTCGATCTGGCTTCTTGCCGATAATCTCCATGCTCCGGAATGTCACCACCACCAGAGCCAGAGCCAGCACAGCAATCACAAAGTTCGCCCAGCTAGCAGCGCGAAGGCCCTTGAGCGATGGTCCATCCCAGGCTTCCACGGGCCCGACATTCTGTATATCGACGTCTCGTGCAGAGGCCATGGTCGAAGACTGTACCGCCGTGGCAATAGCGAGAGCAATAGCACGGCCAAACATGCCTGTAGCGTTGATGAGGGCGCCGCCAACGGCCTGATCTTCCTGTGGAAGTGCGCGCGATGTGTAAAGCGTCAGGCAAGGCCACGCAGTGTCGGCACCAATAACAGACAGTATCATAGCAGGCAAGCCCCAGGCGAAGTAAGATGTGCTAGGTGGGATAGGTACAGCATAGAGAAGCGTGGCAATACAAACGCATGCATGCCCACTAGCCAAGATGAAGAAGGTGGGGATGCGGTGAAGAAGGTTGGCGACGATGAAGGCGATGATGAAACCGCCAATTCCTGTGGGGATAAACCGCAGCATGGTCTGCAGGGGAGACAGGCCTTGATAGTCCTGAAAGTAATAGGTAGCATATATGAGGTAGTTGTTGAACGAGCCGAAGAAGAGGCCCATAATAACCATAACGGCACTGAAGCGCCAGTTCTGGAAGACGGACATCTTGACGAGGGGCGGGCGGGTGGTCTTAGTTTCGAGGTAGTGCTGCCAGAACCCAAAGGCCACAATGATGAGGAAGGATACAACTATGAGGACTGGAACCCAAGGTGTCCTCCAGCCGACCACATTGCCCTCGGTCAAGGCGAACATGAGGGCCAGCAGACCGACGGTGATCATAGTGGCTCCAATCCAGTCGACGGCGGCCGTCTTAGACCTCAAGCTTCCGTGGGCAGCAGGAGGCGTCGGGGGAATGGGGATGAACATGATGCCGGCGACGGAGATTATCCCAGCCATGATGGCGAGAGCACCAAAGACCCATTTCCAGCTGGCCCATTCGGCAATAAGACCAGAGACGAGGTTGCCGCATACGCTTCCCAGGGGGGCACCGGCGGCTGGACGATAAGTTAGACCATGTGGATTTCACACTCTTCGAGCCAAAATGACTTACCGTACGCACTAAAGGCATAGTTCTTAGCCTTTCCAGGAGGGAACGTAGTACCCAATATTCCAATGGCAGTAGGAACATTCGCAGCAGCTCCCTGACGATACAGAGTCAGCCAGAACTCTCGTAGAGTCCTTGTGTAGGATTGAGAAACTCACAAGACCGTGCAGGGCACGAAACAAATCGAAAGGAATCTCAGAAGGTAAGAAGGGGTTCACGACGCAGCATATGGTGACCCAGATGGAACCGAGGATGAAGATGAGTCGCTTGCCGTAGATGTCGGCGATGCGGCCCCAGAGGAGCAGGAAGCAGCCAAACGCTAGGACGTACGAAGACACGATCCATTGCTGGCGGGTATCGGGGATGTCGAGATCGCGGCCAATATGAGGCAAGATAATGACGACGCTCTGGCCGGCGAGAGTCTAGGAAGGGGAGTGTTAGTGAAGCTCGGAAGTCGAAAACCAACAGCCAATCCAGGCAGGGGAAAACCGTACTCACGTTGAGAAACGAAGCTCCTGTCACAGTAGCGACTAGGGCGATACAACGGCCTTTTGAGAGGGCGAGTTCATCTTTAGATTCAATAGAATCGGCGTCGTCGTCGGGGCCGGAGTTGAGGTTAGAGGTCGGGAGCGGAATAGTCTTTTCCGAGCCCGCATCGACTGCGGTGGCAGGCACGGATGAACCAATTCCCGCCGCCTTCTCATTCCGCTCGGCAGCATAAACAGAAAGAGAAGAATTTGTATCGACAACGGTGCCGATAGGGGGCGCGGGCGAGGCCTCGGTTTTATCGCCGGGTGTCATATTGGGTTGCTGAATTCGTTCTCACGGAAACAATCACTCAACTGTCACTCAATTGCACTTCACGGGCGCAAGAACCCTCCGTCTGCATGTCCTACTCGGAACATGACCGTGGAAGGGGGCCGGTCTAGAAGAGACTGGGGGCCAGCACAATATATATGCACCCACGACCAAGGCGGGCCACCACCTCCATGGGGGCAGAGCGGAAATAATGCAGCAAACAACGACGACTTTTTACTGGGTTTGGGGAGAGGAACTGGGGAAAGGCGGACGGTGGGGCCGCGAACTTGGCGAGATGGCGAAATGTTGCAGAATGCTGATTGACGAGACAGACGCCCAACGCCCAATGAGCGACGGGCCCCCGCTGTGCGGAACCCTATCTTGTGCATGTTCGAGAGATACGGGGAATTATTCACCATGGTCCTCACTAGTCACTACGCACGCACAAACAGGCTACTCGTATCCCCGAGCAAGAACGGGGGGAGGGTCTCGCAACAGCCGGGTTCAGCTTCCGAAACCGTCGACGGCCGGACAAGATTTCTACTTACATCTGCAGAATTCCGGCCATCGGAACTAGTTCTGGACATTCATGGCCAAGATAGAGTGAGTGGATGGGCTTCGGCGGATGGTCTTGTGACTCTTCTCTTTCGCCATTGCTTGCTCACTCACTCCACCAATTCCCTCCATCCTGTTTCTAAACTCGTGCGTCATCCATCCCCGCTCGCTGCTCGGAAATACCATTGCGAGATGAGATGGTGGGAGGAATAAGCCGTGGCCCGTCCATCTTAGCACCGAGCATGCAGTGTTGAGATTGCCGACTAGGAGAGCCAGTAGCGGGGGGGTTCTCCTCACTTGTTGGAGGGTCCATCTCCTCGTGCTATTGGCCTCTTTTCGACCTTCTGTCATTGTCTTCTGTGTCTTGTTCAGCAACAGGATAACTACTGCAAAGCGGCATCAACTGAGCGGCATCAACTGCAACTGCCGGTCACAACCCCCACCGCGTTCCCCCTCCGCATCGGTGTGACTGACCGACTTCCTCCATGATAGCCGGAGCAATTATTCAGCAAATGCCACCTTGTAGATAGATAGATCCCTTGCATGTACATGTACGGGCATACCTACCGAGATAAGTAGGCCATGCAAGTTTCCACTTCGCCGCCGTTTTCTCTCTCATCCCACTCATCCCACTCCTCCCACTCATTTCTATGAAGTCACTGATTTCACATCATTCATCATACGCCATGTTTCCTCTCCAATTTTTTTCATTCATTGGATGTCGAGCCCTCATTCGGGCTGCTCAATCTCAATCCGTTTCGTTTGTACCTGCCTGGCGAATCCCTATCCTGCCAATTCACCTGGTCCCGTCCATCCTCATTCCTTCATCCCTCATCCTGCTTTCTCCCAAAGAATACAATGTCGCAAAGGAACACGTCCATTCCCCAAGCCTGCCCGCAAGTGCCCTCCAATTAACATTTCCCGCCGTTGAAACCCCCCCGAAAAACGACCAAAAATCAAGCAAGCAACGCGTGGGAACGACGCGCAATCCCGTCGGTCCGGCAAATAAGACAAGATCAAAAAAAGCGACGGCCGTCATCCACTGACTACCCTTCGTTTTTTCATCGCCAATGCCACCCTGATTCTTTTTTAGGTGATTCTCGAAAAAAGAAACAATCGTACACGCAGACACATTGAGGAGAGAGAAATGTCCGCGGTTCCATCCGAACCGTAACGCACCCGATGCTGATTATGTTCCCTCCCGTGTCTCGTTATCTCTTCTCCTTGGATATATGGTCATGGTGATCCGAGCCCTAGTTTCCGCGTCATGCGTATCCTCTGGGCCCCAGACCATCATCCAACACATCCGGGGCGGTTAAGGCCTCGCCGCCTACCTTCGCCCCTGCAACTACCACATTAGTGGTAGTTGCCTCCCCAGCCGCCGCGCTGTTGCTGCTGCTGTTGCTGCTGCTGCTGCTGCTGGTTGCCGCCATAGTAGCCGCCGCTGCTGTTGAAGCCCTGACCGTACGAGCCATAGGGGCTGTTACCGTGCTGGGTGGCGCCCGCGTTAGCACCCATTCCGTAAGCGTTGCTGCCGTGGAGGTTGTGGCCTTGAAGGTGGCTAGGATATCCGCCGTAAGCACCCATCTGAGAGTTTTGGGGCGGGGGGAGACCACTCTGGGCCGCAGGTCCAGTGTTCGTAGCCGAGCCGGGTCGAGCACCACCCATAGAGGGTGAAGGACCCGACGAGGTCTTGGACTCGCCAAACGGCTTCAGCTCATCAGTAGCGGCAGTGGCGCTAGGCTGAGCCTGGCTGTTGAACGACTGGCCCTGAGACTGGAAAGAAGAAGCACCACGGGCAAAGCTGTCATGAACGCTGCCGAAGCTGCTACCACCCAGTCCTGGCTGGCTACCAGCCTGGCTAGAAGCGGCACGGCCATAGTCGCCGAGACCAGAGCCGAGACCGCTCTCTCGATGCAGAGAAGACTGGGCAAAGGCAGCAGGAGACGATGTGTGGTCGTAGGGGGCGTTAGGCGGGACGCCATACGACTGGCCGTACATGCCTCCCTTGCCATATGGACCAAAACCGCCCTGACCGTATCCGGAGTAGTACTGGTGATAGTATGGGTTGCTGTAGTAGGGGTGGTTGTAACCGGGATACTGTTGACCATGAGACTGAGGCTGTGAGCCTTGAGCGGGCTGCTGGCCCTGCTGACCTTGCTGGGCTGGCTGCTGAGCCGGCGGCTGAGTCTGAGGCTGGGCCTGGGCGGCTGGGTTAGGAGTGCTGGCGCCGCTGTTCTGGGCATCGTTCGCGTTTCCACCGAATCGAGGTTGGTTATGCAAAGCGCCGCTCTGGGGATACTGGCTGAGGTTATCCGCCTGCGAAGCTCCGTAACCGCCAAAGGGTCGTTGGGATGGGGCAGCAGCGTCCTGCTGACCCTGAGCTCCCTGCTGACCAAACTGCTGGCCATAGTAGTTGTAGGGGTTTCTGTCGGGTTGGTTCGCGGTGTAGTATGAGGCATAGTCGCTTGGGGCGGAGCTGAAAGCGCCGCCCGGCTGCTGAGGCTGAGAGGTTTGGGCCGAGAAGTTATCGAAGGGAGGCTGCGAAGAGGGTGTGTTTTGCTGGGTAAAGGGGTCCAGAGGCTTCTGGGGAGCGGCGGCAGCGTCCTGCGCGCCAGCCTGGCCGAAGCGGCCGAACTGCTGGGGGTTAGGAACAGCGGGCTGAGTGGGGACAGGTGCCTGAGAAGCAGCGGCCACGGAAGCTGAATGATTGTTAGTAAAATTACTCTGAGACATGTGAGTGGGAGTGGCCTTACCGGCGGGGGCCGCGATCGGAGGGACAGAGGTAGTAGCGGGCTTCTGGGAGAAAGGCTCTGGGACAGGGGGTTGGGCAACGGGGGGAAGCGAGGTTCGAGGATGGGCCACGGGAGAGTCAGCGGGGGGTTGAGCCCGAGTCTCAGGCTCTTCGCGGTCTCCATCAACGTCCTCCTCGCCGCCGTTCAGGCTGAAAGCGCCAAACTGGACGGCAGTTCGGTCAACCTCGCGGTTGCCGGGCATGCGCACAGCCTCCTCCTGGTCAAGAACTCGTCGCTGGTGGTGGTGATGGGTCGGGGTTCGGATGGTTCGCTCAGCGGTGGCCTTGGCCGCAGAGGCGGCGAAACCGCTGGCATCAGGTCTTTGGGTGAGATGCTGCTGCTGGGCAGCGGAGAGGGGAGTGGCAGTGAGGTTGCCGGGAGTCTGTCGTGGATCCCAAGAGTCAGCGGCGGTGCTAGCGGCGGTGCCGGTTGGTGGTGGCTGGGAGTCGTCAACAACCTGTTCAAGATTTGTCTCGGTGAGTTCGTCCTTGGAGGGCGGAAGGGCAACTTCGGGCTCAATCACGACCTCGACAGGGGCAGCGACTTCGACGACGGGAGTGGGTTCTGTCTCGGGCTCGGCGGCGATAGGTTCAGGTTCGGATTCTGGTTCAGCTGGTTCGACGGTGGGTTCAGATTCAACGGGTTCGGGGGCGGCCTTGGGTATGGGGGCCTCCTTTGGCTTGGGAGGGGGAGCCTTGGGAACAGTCGATTGTCGGAGCATGCTCGCCCAAGTCTTGACTGGAGGAGCGGCGGGTTTGGGGGGTTCAGCAGCGGCGGGGGGAGCGGTCGTCTCAACAACTGTCTCCTTCTCCTCGGTGACATCGGCCTTGGGCTTTTCATTACCCCAAGCAGATGACTCCTCCGTAGGGATGGACAATTCCTGGTTTTCCTTGTTTCGGGCGCCATTGGTGGGGGGAGCCTGGGCAGGTCGGCCTCGAGTGCTGCGGCCACCTCGCTCTGTGGCCCGGCCTCGGCCTCGGCCTCCCTCTGAGACGGCGCGGCCGCCGCGGGCGGTTCGGGGGGCGGTGGATGATGCATCGGTGCTCGAGGGGGCAGGAATTTGGTCCTTGGCCTTTGCGCGGGACGTCTTCTTGGGCTTGGAAACTTCACCCCATTGAGAGATTGAGCCTGAAAAAAAGCAGGTTAGCAGGTGGACAATGCAGTACGAGGGCGCAAAAGCAAAAAAGTGCACAGGCGGCTTGCTAGGCAGCGTGTCGTGTGCAGCGTTTGTGCATTTGCCATTCGCCATTTGCCAGTGTACCAGCGTGGCAGCTTGCGGTGTGTACTATGCAGGGGAAAAAAGGCCACACGTACCCTCAGCGATGCGGGTGACAGCCTCATTCTCGTCGCCGTTGGTCTCCTGGAGAGCAAAGAGAACGTCGACCTCGGACCAGTCGGGGAACATCTCGCGGATCACAGACGTCTTGTCGCCGTATTGCTTTCGAAGCTCTCCAAAGTCGCCGCCTTCGTCGTCGAATGCACCGAGGGACTCATCGCCCTTGTGCTCGGGCTTGTCGCCATTGGTTCTGCGGCCGCCTCGACCGGCGAAACCGCCTCTACCACCGCGGCCAGAGCCTCTGCCGCGCGAGGCGGACGGCCGTGAGGTCGCGTCGGACATGGGTGGGTTTGGGTGTGGTTGTGAGAGCTGTGCTCGAGAAGAAGGGAAGAAAACAGGGTTGGCCCGTCAGCTGTCCTCTGCGGGAGCAACAGGCAGGAGGGAGAAAATGGTCGACAGGGACCGAATGGTGGATCGACAGATGGGGCGTCGATGAAGGAGAGGCCAGATGATGGAGGAGAGTTGGATGGTGCTAGGTAAAGGGAGGAGAAAGAGGCACGAGGTTTTCCCCAGAAGCAGAAGAAGGGTTCAGGTTACGAAGGTTTTGCTTTAGCGGCTGGTGACGCCCCAAGCCCCTTGGTACCACCGACCGCGTCGGCACAGGCGAGACCAGCGGCCAGTGGTCAGTGGTCAGTGTCCAGTGGCCAGTAGGTGCCAGCCAGTGAGCATGCCGCAAGCAGATCGCCCACAGAAGGCGCCCTTCAGTGAATCGCCCAGCAGCCGCAGCCGCAGCACCTCCACCACTCCAGGCGCAAGTTACCGCGAGGTTACTGTACTTTGAGCACTGAGCACGCAGCACAGGGCACCCCAGCTGCACCCTGCCGTGTCAGGTACTTGCCCGTCAGGTGGCGCAACGGGGTGGCCGCATGTATCTGAACAACCCGGGCTTCTCCAGCCTGGTACTTGGCCTTTGCCCTGACAACACGCAGTGGCCGTGTGTCACTCTTGGTCGCACCAACGGTACCACCCTCACAGCCCTCTTGTACAGCCCTCCCTTGCTGCTGTGCTTTCTTCTTTCTCATCCCGAACCATTGAAGCGCCAGTACCAGTACCTCAGCACTAATGACATCCTGGGACAATCGCCAGTCGCTGCAGCGGCCGCCCTCCAAGCCCACGCGAGCACGCAAGAAACCGGGGGACGGGGGACGGGGGACGGGGCTCGCAACGCACGGAGAGTATTGCGGAGGAACATGCGAATACAACACAAACGACTACGACCACCCTTGACAGGGCACACGAACAGGGGAGCCAAGTCGCGGCTAGTATGCTAGAAGAAGGCAATGACGCACCGACAACGGACTGGACAAGACTTGACTGGACTTGACAGCACAAGACTGGACAGAAGGGGTAACCCAGACTGATCACGGGCACGCTCCCAGTCAGTCAACTAATACACACGCGTAGGAAAATGCAGGCCTCCAGCTTGGTGCGAGGTGTGAGGAGGAGCTTGCCCTCAGTCACGCGTCAGCGTCAAGTCGCCCACGGCCCTTCGCTTCGCAGCTTGCTCTACTCCTCGCATTGGTGCATCGCATGCATTGGTGCCAGTCGCCTTGGCCGAGGCAACGCAAGGCCCCCAAAAGGCATCGAATATCTCCGCTCGTTGCGCCTGGCTGGCTGCACTTGTTGCCTGCTACGTGCCTTATTACGACGTATCGACATAGTCCCATGTACATAATAGCGCCTCCTTGCCTCCCTTGCTTCCCAGGTACAGAGCACGTATCACGACGGCTGCTTGCGCTTTCAAGCCTGTTCAAGCCTCCAATGCATGCAGCTGTCCCCAGTTGCAAAGTACAGGTACCTCCCTCAGCGGCCTCTCCGCGGCTGTCGCGCTGGATCTAGATGTCTCGGCGAGTTTCGGTACCTTGATTGCGACCCAAAATTGGGGCCCAGGGGGGCTGCATTAACCGTTACTGGCCAAGCTTTGCCCCACCCAAGCTCCTTGCGTCCAGTGCCTGTTCCCAGTGCACCATCCATCTCATCTGATCGCTCCTGGTACGTACCTACCTCCTAATACCTTCCACGGTACGTACTGTGCCGCGGGGCACCGCAACCTGGGGCTCTTTCGGTGCTGTCCGTGTCACATGATGCGCCACCCGGTCCCACCTGTGGCCTGCGACGGCTCGTCCCACGATGGCATCATGATGCACCTCAGGTCAACCGTCACCGTCTCGCCACGCGCCCCTCGTCGGCCATCCACGTGAATCCTACGCTGCGAGTTGCTTCACAACCACTCTCACTATTCTCGGGCAGGGTCTGCCGCTGGTAGCGCTTCCCCTTTCTCCAATTGCCCCCGTTCAACATGTTTTCCACCAAGGCGACCCAGTCGTTGAAGAACCTCTTCGCATCCTATCACGAACCCCTTCCCCTATCAAAACAACAATCTCAAAAACTACTCGATGGCCTCAAGACTTCCTTCCGGAAGCAACTCGATCACGAATATGGCCAGACCTCTGACACCCCCACCGCCTCGTCCAAATCCCCCGATGTCAACCCTCCGATCCGACAGTCCGCCACCAATCGCCACTTGAAGGACATCCTCTCCAATCCTTTGTTCAGCTATAATAAGGACGTCAACTCGACTTTTCCTTCCACTCTAGCACCCCCGAAGCGTGATCCCATGGAGGTGTTCGATCATGCCGTGGCGAGAGGAATGATGACGCCCAAAGCCGCAATTGGCTGCATGGTCGCCAAATCCAAGCAGCTCCATACCCTGGAGTCAAGCGGCAGTGCCTTTATCTCATCGGGCACCGCAGCTCGAGTTGTCCGATGGCTGCGGTCTTCCGGTTCGGAGCAAGATTTGCGCTTCCTGGACAACCAGACTTTTGTTCGGACACTTGCTCCATTCCTGGTCGCCGAGGGCATGGAAGAGATCGCTTGGGAATGGCTCGTCCGGACCGTCAATGGGCCTGGGAACCTTTCTAACGAAAAGCGTCTCAAGAGGGCGTCCAATCTGCTAGCAGAGGTTGTGCGAACCAAATGCCAGCCTCAATACGGCAACCTGGATTCGGGAATCTCAACAATGCTTCAAGCCCAGGAATTGTTCCGGAAGAGCCCTCTGCTCTCTGATCTGCTCGTCCTCTCGTGGAGGTCGGTATCCTGGTTCTCCACTGTCGAGGCATACAGCCGAGCCGCGCCATCCGAAGAGCTCTTTGATGCTCACATGGCCACGGCCGACCGCTTACCCCAGCCCTTCCTCATGGAGCGGGCACACCTGCACTTGTACCACCCAACGCACCCCGATCACATCCCAGCACTCCAATTTTTCCGAGATAAGGAGAAGCTTCGACATTTGGTCCATGCCATCGGTCCCAAGAAGTCCAAGCCTGACAAGCTAAGCGTCGTCTCGTGGCTCGCCTTCCTCGGGCATGATACTATCAACCATCTCACGCAGTCCGGCAGGACACAGGAGGCTCAGGGAGTTACAGATTTACTTCAGGCGGAAGTGGCAAACCTCTTTAATGCCAAACTAGAGCCGGCTTGATCATGTCTGGGAATGGTCTCGATTTTTGCATCATGGAAGATGAGTGTGTTCGGTCACTGGGGCCGAGAACTCGTCTTTCCGTCAGCTCAAATGATGTCTCATTCAAATGATGAGACATCATTTACCAAGTCACCTCCCCCACGACCCCGACTTAAGCCCAGTCGCCGCCTGGTGGATTTCAGGAGGGTCAAGGTCCGAGAAGAATACGAGGAAGGCATGCATACAGTATGAGCATACAAGCTCCTGGCCAAATTGTATAGGAAGGGGAGGAGAGGAACCTTGTATATAAACACTACTACCCCATATATTTCGAAGATATCCGGGATCAAGGGTGCATGGTATACCCCTGAAACCACCACATAGAACACCAACCAGCGCCCCGTACAAGGGCAGACATGGGAAGAAATCAAAACACCTTTTTTTGAAGAACTCTAAACGAAAGACTCTGCTATGCTACGCAGTGGTATTATCTAATTCGGCAACTACCTTTTTAGTCGGACTCGCTTTCTACAGAGTCCGAGAAGCCCTGGAACTCCTCCTCGGAATCATAATCCTTGGGCGCAGCCCCCTCGCCGTTGCCTGCGTCTTGCTCCTCGGACTCGTCGTCATCTTGCTCCTCAACATCAAAGGCGCCCGAGATGTCCCAGCGATCACCCGGGGCATTCTTGCTGACGTACTTGACGAACTTGAGGGTGCCGCTGTCGCGAAGAACAATGGTCAGCTTGTTCCAGGCGGCGGCCTGGTAAAAGAGGATGTTGTCGTCGTCGCCGTCGGTCTTGTAGATGGCGGCATCATCGTTGGCGTCGTCTTCGCCGGCCATGAAGACCTCATGGCCGCCGACCTCCTCGGTCTCCTCCTGGGGTTGCTCCTCTTCCTCCTCGACCTCGACGGCCTTGCCCTTGCCCTTGCCCTTGTTCTTGCCCTTTCCATTAGCCTTGGCCTTAGCCTTGGCGTCCTTTTTCTTGGACTTGGGTTTGGGCTCTTCCTCCTCCTCCTCCTCCTCCTCATCGCCCCAGCCAGATGTGGGGGTGAAGCCGAGGTTGAGTTCTAGGCGGGCCTTGCCCTCTTGGCCGGTGGCAAGAGTGTAGTCCATACCGCGGCGGAAGCGCCGGGCGAGGAGGTCAGAAGTTTCGACAGTGCACCTGGTGGCTATTTGGAGCCACTGGCGGAACTGGCGACTGGGCAGGAAAATGTCCAACAGCTCAGTAATAGGCGACTCCTCTTGAGAGGTGCGGAGCTGGTCAGGGCCGCTAGGTTGTTGGTAGAGGTAGCGGTACTTGTGAGGGGGCTTGGCAACCCTCCACGCCGAAGTCTTCTCGATGACGGCGGTGTCCTCCGGGGCGGGCTTCTTTTCTTCAGCCTCGACATACTCTCTCAGCCTCTTGGAGAACTTCCTCGACAGAAGATCGGGCAGGGTGATGCTGCATTCTTCGTCGAAGTGGTCTGAGACGCGCTCCAGAGTATCCGGAGTCAGATAAGTGGGCGCCATGTACTTGAGCAGGAACTCAAGGTCAGACTCGTCAAAGCCTTCATCGAACTCTTGGGGGTTGTCGACCTTGACGACCTGGGGCTGAGGCATGTCGTACTGGGCAGGGTTGCCTTGAAGCTGCATCAGGCCGCTGTTCTTAGCATTCCGCTCTTCCTCGCCCTTGATGTAGCCTTCCTCGCCGATTTGAGGGATGTGGAACCATCCGCTGATGGCCATGCGAACTCGGCCACCCTGCTTCTCAAGCTCCTCCTTGGTTTTTGCGTGGTAAACCTCCTCGACGTCGTGGAAGCTCTCGCCAGGCTGGACAGCGAAGAAGCTCAGCTGGTTCCAGGCCGGAGGGATGACCTTGGTGACGTCGGGCAGGGGCGTCTTTGCGACATCGCCGTTCTTGTCCTCGAGATCCTGGACGGGGAACAGGCGAAGAGCGCCTCCCCACTCAGGCTGCCAAGGCGTGTCGGGATCGACGAGGTAGAGGATGTAGCTGACACGGCGGCTGCCGATGACGTCGTCGTGGCAGAGCAGATAGCAGCCGGGGGTGTAAATGTTGATGGCGAGATCGGTCTTGCGGGCGCTCAAGGGACCGCAGTCGGTGATGTGGGAGACGTAGTTGCGGAAGGCCTCAGAGTAGATGCCGTCGCGGAGCCTCAGCAGCGAGGGCAGCTTGGAGAGGGACTCGTCATCGAGGCCGTCGAGGTTGGCAAGGTCGCCCGACTGGTGGATCTTGTAGATGTCGGTCTCCTTGGGGGTGAAGGAGACGTTGGCCTTGATCTCGTCGCGCACGGCTCGGAGGAGGGAATCGTCGATGAGGCCGTTGATGACGGCGTGCTTGTAGGGAGCAGACTTGGCGTACTGGTCGGTATACGAGTCGAGGACGTCCTGGTCAAAGAGCCCGGCACGGAATCGCTTCTTGGCCTCGGCGGCGCTCAGAGCTAGAGGTCAAGGAAGCTTGTAAGCGGGAGCTCGAATGCGAAGGCGGGACGCAGCGAGGGAGAAGGGATTGGGGAGTGCGTACAGGGCTTGGACCTCTTCTTGACGGCCACTTTGGCGTCAATCCTTCTCTCTGCCTTTCTCTTCATGGTGGAGGCCGCAATTGATGTCGGTGAGAGAACAGCGCTGGCGGGAGCGGGTTGGGAGGGAAAAGTGCGAGGCGCGAAGCGGAGCGAAGGTGGGCTGACGTCGCCAATCTATAAAAATTCTGGCTCCGAAATCGACCCATCCGATGGCGGTTGGGACCCCCAGTACCTTGTCTGTCGGACGAGAGAAACCCTCCCGCCCTGCAACGCCTGGCGCACATTATTTATTTATTCCTGTCGTTATTTCCCTCCTCTTGTTCTTCGTCCAGGCGGCCAATAGCGGTCGGTGAATGATAAGTATTGGTTGTGTTGCAGCGGCTGACACGCGCTCGCTGGAGAAGGATGGTGACATTGGCATCCATTTAAGCAGATGCCGCCCTCAGCGCCCGCGGAGCAGTCCAGCGCAACCCAAATCCCCAGCTCCGCAGCACCCTCCCTCTTCTTCAAGTCTGCACTATTCATGCACGTAGACGCTTGGGCGACATTGGCTAAAACACGGCTTTTCGAGCTTCCTGCCAGTCGGGCTTTGAAACATGGAAGCGCAAGCGGTTGCGGACGCAGCTGGATTGGTCTCCTTAGACCTGCAGATCGATAGCCTCGCTGTTGCAGGTCGTGCCTCTTGGCTGCCGAAATGCGGCGAGATCTGAGCCTCAGACTACCTTATCCAAGCGCGTAAATGATATTTTTAGGAGCGGTTACTATTCGCACGCACTCGGTGTTGTTGGCACATGTTAAATAGGCGACTTCAGGACGTGGGGGTTTATCTTATGGTATACGGAGGGCCCTTTCAAAAGTCTTGTCCATAAGAAGTAAATCCTAATTATTAGGTTAGATAATAAGTATACTATATACTTCCTGATTTCTATAGGCCCTAAAGGATAGCAGGCTATAGCATATAGCAACCGCTATATCCTGATCAGCAGCATACTACTCCTGAAGTTACAGCGGCTGTTTAACGAGACCTGTGACAGCTTTATGTATCTCAGGTCACCGATAGGGATAAATGGATATGATATTACTAGCGCTTGGATAAGACTTTTGAAAGAGCCCTCCGTACCTTACCAAGGTTTCTATGTCCGAGTGAGTCTCGATGTTAGCAGGCGCAAGGAATTACTTATAAATTTTCAGAGACAAAATACAAGGGCCTTTGTTTTGTCTTATTTTAATCTTCTACTTTAGAAAAGATATCAATTTTAACGGTCAAACTCATCTGACTTCTGCGGGTGAATGACATTGAGTTTGCGTGTGGATAGCAATGCTCTTTCAGCAAGCTCTCTCAACAACCAACTGGTGGGGTTTTATCGCCTGAGAAATAAGCCAAAAGTGCATCATCTCAATTTTTCACATTGTCATAGCTCATATCACCATTCAACTCCCAGTCTATATGTCTTCCCAACTAAATACGCCACATTTACACCTAAATTCTGGACTTGCGCTCATCCACTGACTTCCGCAGCAGAGCGATAACCTCAGAGGGGTCCTTTGCTCCAAAGACAGCGCTGCCTGCCACAATAACGTTGGCTCCAGCATCGGCAGCCTGGTCAATGGTGCCAGGTCCCAGGCCGCCATCCACCTCGATGTTCAGCTCGGGGTACTTTTCTCGCAGAGCCTGCACCTTGGGCAGCTCCGAGGCCATAAATTTCTGGCCACCGAATCCGGGGTAGACCGTCATGATCAGGACCATCTATTGGAACATGTTAGCGCTCATATGCTCGTGGTTGGGTCGTGGATCCATCATCTAGCTGGTTGCCGTACATCTGGCCGTTCCTTATCCTCGGTGGTCTCCAAAATATCCCACAGAACATCGACAGAGGTATCGGGTTTGATGGCAATGCCGGCGAGAAGGCCTTGGTCGTGGATGTATCGGATTAGAGCCTTCGGGTTCGTCTTCTCGTCGGTTGTGTCCTCGGGGTTCTCGGCGGCACTGGAGAAGGCAGCCTCATAGTGGAAGCAGTAGAGATCACAGCCAACCTTCTTGAACTCCTTGACCCATTTCTTGGGCTGTTTGTCGTTTGTCAGCCCTCGCTCCACTCAACAGCTCCCGTGCCCACGTCGGGGCCAGAGGGATTTACCTCTGCAATCATCATGTGGCAGTCGAAGGTGCCGCGTCCGTGGTTCTCCTGGGGCTTATCGACATGGCCACGGATCTTGGCAACGACGGGGGGACCAAAGGTGATGTTGGGAACAAAGTGACCGTCCCTATGTATCGACGAGCATCAGTGAGCATCACCCCATCAGGATTGGCTGGAAACAAACATGCCACTTACATGATGTCGACGTGCAACCAGTCGGCGCCCTGCTCAATGGTGCGAGCGCAGTCATGGCCGAGGTTGCCGAAGTCGGCCGACAGAATAGACGGGGCGATGATGGTTTGGGGAGCCATGGTGAGGACGCGAGGAGCCTGGAGAGAGGTGTCAGGCGAGTGATGATGCGAAGAGGGAGTTACGTCGGCGGCTTCATGGCCCAGAAACTGCCAACGTGGTGGGGTTTGGTCGGTGACGTTGGCGGGGTTCTTTTTTGCGGGCGCGGTGAATGGCCCAGGCCATGTTAGGACGGAGACCAATTGGCGGGTGGAGCCGTCTCGACCAGGTGCCTTTCCCCGGCAAGAATCCCGTCGACTTTAATTTAGCCTCGTACTTAAATGCCGAGAGAACTCTGGGGTTACATCTCCTCATCACGTATTCGGATATTGGGATGGTCATGTGGGGTGTGGTTACTGTTGGCTTTCCTTGCAAGATTTCCGAGGTATGAAGCTCAAAGGTATCCCGACCAAGATGTCGTCACAGTCGTCCCGCCCAATCCCAAGCTCAAATTCAACTACACGGATTTGATGCATTTAAAACAACGCCGGTTTCATATTTAACAGTAGCTTTGCAGCAATTATGGTAGAATGTACAGATATTAGGCACTACACTTGCCAGTACAGCTCAGAAGAGAATCTTAGTAACGCCACTCCCAGCGTCACCCAGCACACCTTTGGCCTTTCATCCCCAAGACCATCCATCAGATGACTTCCATCACATGCCTTGAGACTGAACAGTCATTAATCCATCACAACCCGACACTGATGTCCTGTCTCCGTTGCATTCCGCCTACAGAGCCGCGAGCATAGCGACGATGGCACCGAGAAGGCCACCTGCGTTGCTCAGGCCAGCCGCCGCCCCGGTCGAGCTGGTCGATGAAGCCGCACTATCGGTAGCACTTCCCGTCTCAGTGCTGGCGCTGGTGGTTGTCGTCGAGACAGCAGCTGAAGCCGCCGACGCGGTGGAGGAAGAGGCCGCCTCGCCTGTCACTGTGCCTGATGCGCTCTCGCTCGCGACCCCGGTGGCACTAGCACTGGCGCTGGCGGTGCCGGAGGAGGTGCTCTTGCAGACGACCTCGTCCGGAACGGTCACCTTGGCCGCCGAGCAGATCTGCTGGGCATACTTGACGGCGGCAGCCTTGCCAGCGGCATCGCACTGGCCCTCAAGACAGCAGGCGATGCCGTTCAAGAAGTCGGCGTTGCTGCAGATGCACTTGACGTCGATCGCACTGCATCCGGCAATACCATCACCGGTGGTGTACTTGTTGATGCACGAAGTCTGGGCGGGTGACACCAATTAGCCAATTTCGCCCATAATATTTTCCCCGTAGAGACTGCGGAACCAGTAACGGGCAACCAGCAGCAGACAACCAAAACACGACGAATAGGAGCGCGGAGAGTCAACATACCGCACAGCTGGGAATCTTGCCCGCTTGGGCGGCGGCCAAGCCAGCGAACAGGGCGAGGGAGAGGATGGACGACTTCATCGTGGAGACGTTCTTGCGACAGCAGCGATTGCGACTAGAAAGGGAGGAGTAGATGGAGTCTGAGATTATGAGCAGGGCGAGGTTTTAATTACTGTTATGAATTGACTTCAGCTTGGGTGCGTGAGACTTGTCAGCAGACGGCCTAGGTCGGTAGTAGCTTTCGCGAGGGGGGAGCTAGAACGGAGCTCCGGCAAGCTTCTGGGCGGTGCAAGCAGCCCAAGGCCACGGCGCAGCACTAAAGCACCCGGGAAATGCCCCCTAGAAGCCCCATCCATCCACTAATCCATCCACCAATCCACCAGGATTCACCCGTCACACTATCCAAAGCCAAACCCGCGCCATCACTTCTGCCGTGGACCAATCGACGCCGCTCCACGTCCACTCCCTTGCAGCCTCCAGCTGGACGCTTTCCGGTTACGAAGGAACCACACAACGACGGCCCGAAGATCCACGCCATCCGAGTGCCTGGGCCTGGCACATCCGCAAGGGAGAGACGCCTGAATCAGTGCCCGGGTTGGCAGCTTAGGTTTACCCCCCCCCCCGAAGGTCAATGTTGCAGACCGGAAGCGGTCCTTTTCGCCGACTGTTTCAATAGAACTTAGCTACCCTATTCTGTCTAGTCTCACCGTCCGGCCCGGGTCTCGGTATCATGTCGCATTCGCGTTCGTAGACGGCAGGTGGCAGGTGGCACATCCAAGACGGCATAGGACTGAGAGAACGCATGAAACCATGTCTGAGAGTGTTGTGTCATACAAACTACGGACCAAGATTCTTGGGTCTGGATCCATTTGAGACATTCAGCTTCCGACACCATCCCTGTACCCGTAGCCGTCAATAGCAGCCCGTCTCATATTCAATAGCCAGGATGGCATTTCTATTCATTCGTAAATAGGGTCTCAATAGAGGCCGTCTCGACGCCACATTGACACGTTACAGTCACAAGGACCATGTCTCTGTACAGCCGCGTCAGTGCCAGCTCTCCATTGCTTCCGTCTCCCCGTGCCTGCAAGAAGCCAAAGAGCCAAGACTTGCACAGGGTACATGGCTCTACCTGCCAGCATGTAAAACCGATACCCGATGCAAGACAACCCGCTTCAACCAAGTCTGGGTTCTCGCCGTCAGTAGCTCGAGTTCATCCTACACCCTCTTTCCTTGCTTGATAAGTTCCGACACCTTTGGAGGCAGCACCAGAGCACTACGGTCGTTTCTGCGGTAGAAGTCCACAAGTGACACCGCTGTCTTCTCGGGCAGGTCTTCGTGGATGAAATGTCCGGCCTCCGGGAAGACCTGCAGGGCGTATTTCCCTGTGTTCATATGTGTAAGCCGCCAAGATTCAACATTGAGCAAGGTTTACATTCCATACCTTGCATTTGGCCAATCGTCAATTCGGTATCAAGCCGATCAGTTCCAGCGAGGAGGAGTAGCTTTCCTCCTCTCGCCCCCAGGAATTTCTTACTCAACCCCACAAACCAGCCCTCCCAGAACGGTTGCGTCGCCCCCAGGTTAGTCCGCCATCTCCAAGGCCGCGTCGGGTCCACGTTTGCGTTAAACACCAACAGCGCTGGGACCGATGTCCGAGCAGAAATCGAGTTGCGGATCGTCCGTGATCGGATATGCCAGTCGATCCCAGCCTGCAGTGTGGCAAAGCCCACGGGCCGGGTGGAAAGATATGTGTGCATGCTCTGCAGGGCATCAATAGCAGAACCCTCGACCACGTCGAGCACGGTGTAGCCCAAGAGAGATGTCCCCAGTTTGCCCGTTTTAGCCAGGTCGGTAATAACAGCTCCGCCTAGGGAGTGACCCACGAGAACTATCGAGGGTAACTCTTTCCAGTTCATTTCCGCCTTCGTCAGTTGAATCACAGAATATAGATCTGAAGATAGTGTGCCGAGACCAAGGTCTAACTCCTCGTCATCCGGGGAAACAGTTGAGCCATGGCCTCGGCAGTCAATGGCTAGAATGCCTGCTGAGGACAGGCGTTTCCGGATTTCGCTACCAACCACAGCAAAAGACAATCCCGAGGATCCCGCTCCGTGGTGCATCACAAACAATGGTCCCTTATCCACAGGCGATGTGAGATACGCATGATAGACGACTGCGGGGTCGGTTTCCGATCTCAGCGTCAACTCTCGTTCAAAGTAGGTTGTCCACGGGATTTGCTCTAGGGTCCTGCCTCGGGAAAATCTGCGTCCCGTCAGTCTGACCCAGCTTCACGTAGCGAAGTAGCCTACCCTTGGGGTCTGGCAAACAGTTTCTGGTTCGGCGACGGGATAACTGTGCCAGTTGACGACATGGACGACGCCGACGAGGCTGAGGAGGAATCGTCATCCACTGGCTCCGGCAACTCGGAAATCTGATCAGTCTCCATTTCCTCGTCCATCTCGTTGAACATGTCGTTCGTAATGCCCATTTTGGCCTTGGCCCAGGCTCGTTGAAGGTCGCTCATGACGTATCATGGGTTGAAAGGCGGAGAGGAGGGGAGAGATCAACTATCCGCCATGCGTGAGAGCAGGCTGGTTGCGGCGTCGACTCGCAAGGCGTTGCCTTCGTGCAAAGATTATGGATGGGCAAGAAGACCAGCCTTCTTTCGCCTCATCTGCAGTTTCTTCCCGCACTCTCTGAAATTGCAACTGCTGGTGGTAAAGTTGGGCCTCAGACACGCGCCAGTCAGCCGACAAATCCATTGGTGGCAAGGAATGGGGCACACAGTGTTTTACACGGCGGGATGTTTAGACACTGTGCAAGCCCACTCATTTCGCGTGGTCTTAACAGTGCGTATCTTGTCCTGCCGCAACCCACGACGTGGTTGGGGACAGAATGAGTTTGGGTTTTCTATGGATCAAATATATCAAAGGTGGGCGAAGTGATAGTTTCGCTAACCTCGTGGGACGGCGCGTGCTTGTCGCATTTTGTGGCGTTGTCATTGTTAACCATTGCATCGTTACGCGACGTCATCGGGCGCATTAGCAACAGGTGGGATGAATGCCTACCACTGTGACCTCACAACTCTCCTCGACTAGGTAGGTTTGGGATTTCAGCTCCATTTTTGCTCATTCTATTCTAATTGTGACTGCTGGAACGACATTGGAGTCTCGCATTCACTGATAATCCCATATGCCAGTGTTGGCCCAGCCAAATCTCAAATTGATGTTGTAGATAATCATCACTCGCTATAATTCCTACGTTTTACTTGCAGATTTTCAGAGTTCATTATCTACCCAAAGAAGGTGTGGGATTATAGCGTTGTTAGCATGGGTGATGTGCAACGCTGCAAACAGCATACTGCCATATGAGCACAATCACGGCGACAGTTTACAAATAACCAAGTTCATGTGCCTTGTTTTGATACATCAGGTTACTACATAGATCACTATCCGAGAAATATAGCAAATCTCCATGGTGACTATTGGTTGGTTTTACCTCCGCGTTGATGGTATAGAATCTCAGATATACCCTACCCTATATTACAAGCACATTGCACTAATTTCTCAACCCTCCATGAGACTCGTGGCTCGCGGTACATTTTCTCCAGTTATCGATGTGTGATGTTTCAGTTGGCCTTGGACCAGGCCGGCGACGTCGACAAACGAGCCCGATACAAAGAGAAAGCAAGCTGCGCGGGTAGCGAACAGGAATATACAAAGGAGAGGTTTTGCCCTGTCAGGGCATTGTCCTAGACTAGCAGACGAGATATGCACTGTAGGCTTATCTTAAGTAGGATAGTGTAAATTTCAATCAATCAATCAATGCGTGATGTTTCATTTGGCTATGTAATGTCTCTACATTCTTCATGTCTTCAGTCAACATAACCGAGGGGCGGTGTCGGCGTAGCCGAAAGAAAACAACCCGTACGTTATTGCGGCCCAAAAACCTCCCCTTGAGTTGTTTTGGCTTCCACAGAACAATGCGTGTATACTCACAGACTAATGAGCGGTGGCGTTGCCAGTAAAGGGATCCTGGTCTTCAGGCAACCTCTGGTGCTAGACCATCTGTACCTGCATGCCCCGGCACGACTTCCCCGAGGACGGCGCAAGACAAGGGCAGTGCTAGTATGGCATTCTCTGAATTCCCATTCGAGAAGGATGCTAAGTTGGCTTGGCAATTTGGCCTCAGACAATCATGTAAGGATTGGTCAGAACTGAGGATGGCCTATGAGGGTAGAGAGATGGCTAGAGGTCTAGCCGCAGGCTGCATGACATGGTGGGCTGAGACTAGAGCTGAGACGGGGAGGTTAGTACCGGCGACAGTGACACATCCTCGCGCGCAAACAAATATTCTGTCTCGCTCAATGCTGCAAACATGATGTGACGAAACAATGCAGGTATCCCTCTCGACGCCCCCCCCTTAATCTAGATGGTCTGGATCCCTAGGCGTGGGGGACATGGGTTCCCAATAGGTGGGGAGGCAATTTTGGAGTCGATACCGAGTTTGGAGAAGATCGCCCACTCAATGGGAGCTGAAGTTGAGGACTAGTGGAAAGCAGCAGAGGATTGACGAAGACGACGATACCGGCTGTGCTAGAAAGATTATGGGTTGCGGGGCCGGTCCTAGAAACTCACCCTGGATGCACGAATGAAGTCGGAGTGTTCGTTGAACGAGTTGAGATGGAAGTGACCTGTCGAAAACGACAAAGCTTGACCTGTCTTAGGTGCGGATGGAGACAAGCCTGGAAGGGTCTAAGGGTCTCTCGGAAATTTTACAGGGACAACCCAGGTTCCTCAGAGATCTAATTCCGATCCAGGCGTGGCGTCACCCACGATGCAGCCATGGCTGCATGCACCTCCAAAGAACCCACTGTGGCAGGGCCTCGGCCAGTCCTCGCGTCCTGCAATAGCGATGTCATCGGCCTTCAATGCGAGATGCCACCCCTGCTTGACCGCCGGTTGTTGCGAGACCCGGAGGGGAGCTAACACATCAAGTGCGGCACGGCCGACCGCTTGTGGAGGATTGAGCATGCTGCTCATAGAAAGAAGCAAAGAGACTGGACTCGATCGTCACCCTTAGTGGCGGACTGGGCTCCAAGACAGAAGAGAACTCAGCACCCGCAAACGCGAACGGGTAAAGGGCTAACGAGGACCGTGGTTCGAGCTGAACATAAAAAAAACCACCATGTCGACGCAGCTAGTGCTATATCGACGACGAGATCGGACACTAGTCTAGCGCCGCTTAAGGTCTTGACACTACAGAATATGGCTAGATGTTCGAGTGAGTAAGTTTTTCAGGAGAGAGCAGACTCATGATTGCGAGAGAGTGTCCGAGAACGTTGCAATGCTCTTACTGTGGATGGATGTACGTATGTACATGTTTGGGGTGAGGGGAGGGGTGTTGGCAACACAGATCGCAATCGGTAAGATTAGCCATTTTGGACAAAGCCGAGGACCCTGGAGCAATCGGAGGTTCCGAGAGCTGTGAGTCGATCCTCACCCCGTCTGTGGAAATCCACTCGAACCGGTGGGCCCGCGAAACATTCAGTGGATCAGCCCTTGTCTTCGGCAAGGGCCGGTGGGGTGCGGTTGTTGAAAGGCGGCCCCCCAAATGTCGTGGCTGAAGAGGAGGCCAGCTTTGGCCCATTCTCATAGCCTGGCGGTAATTTCTTTGATATTTTGTGATAGGATTAAGTGACTTGCTTTGCGAAAACGAGAAGGGATGCCCGAATGCTAATACGGCGGGGAGTGTGACGTGGGCGTAGAGTGTGGATGAATGGGTGTCTCACTGAGAAAAATATACTCTCTTGGCAAACAGATCGCCGAATAACCGTGCCGCAGCACCGTGGCCGTGGCAAGACTGATTGATTGAAGCGATTTCGCTCTCTGGATGTAATTCGCCCTGTGTGATCCTATCTGACGGGTGCTGCGAAAATATCGCCGTGTGAATGCCTCAAGACTGTCGAAGGTAGCCAGACAAGCTGGCTCGTAGCGCGCTCGTTGAGTTGTCTTGGCTCTTGGCGACGACCTGAGTAATGGAAGTCGAAGAGGAAAGAAGACATGGAATCCTCAATTGTCTTACCAGAGGATCTGGAGCGAATTGACATTCTCTCATTTCGGCGACCGTGTGTTCAGGATTGGCGCATGGGGAAGAAACGGTGATGGATAGGGAATCGATAAACGCATTTCAATTGACCAGTGTGCTGAGAGCTACTGTTCCAGTGTACCTCGTGGCTAGCCCGTACTCCGTAAAGCTGGGGCAGGTTGGGCACGATGGAGAGATGCTTGACGTAACAGAACGGCCTTATTCCGTAGGGGGACATGCCGGGACATTCCCAGAGCTGAAGGCGACCTAATGCAACTCGTAGCGAAGACAGATCGTAGAGCTTGTAGCGGGACAGGCCGGAGCCGGCGCACTGATGCATGCTGGAAGCCCAAAACGGCAGCCCCATAGCGGCAAGGCATAGACATGACTCGAGGGGCCTCTATAGCGTGGTGGTATTGGACTTGTGACATCGACACGATTCAAGGGAGTCGAGATGGGAGGCCTGGCCCGGGGAGAGACGATGGAGGTTGAGGAGACACCCTGTGTAGCAAGACATGTCGTGATGCCGTCTTGGGGAGTCCCCATCGTGAGCCCCGCAAATCTCGAGTCCGCTGGGCTGGGGATTAGAGCCGTCAAGGGATTGACTGTCACTGACAGCTAATTAGAACGTGCATCACATCCCAGCCGCAGCCCTAAGGATCTCTCGCGGCAATGCACGAGCCTCTGCCTATCCATCGACCTGCGGAGGGATCGTTGTGCGCCCGCGGCCATAATTCTCTGTAGTACTGGAGTGAAATGCGGCTTGATGGGGATGAGAGCGTCGCGAGACGTTGCCTGGGGGCTCTCATCACTCTTTCCAAGCAGGCCACAAGAGCGTCACCTGCCGACTCGCAGTCGTCCTGCCGAGCTGGCGGATCAGCTGGCCGGTTGACCGAGAATTCGCCACCAGGACTCAAATACAAGTACGTACCTCACGGCGTGCGAGGGACAAGATGAATTTGAGCTGGAGTTCCCACTGTGGTGTTCAATGAGGGTCTTTGGGGGGTGCGGGCGTAGTGACAATTTGCAAAGGTGTGGTTCTTTGGACGCCGGTAGTCGTGGTGGAAATATCCTAAGTGGGGCCTCTTCTTTGGGAGCTCCCGAAGCGGAGCTAATAGCGCTCAGAGCATTTAAAGGCACGTGCGGCTGCGGGAGCTGGTTTCCCGAAGGACGGCCTCGCCAATAACCTGCCAATTACAGTTCCTTTCTCTTCTCCCAGGCGCCAGTCGCGGCGGAGAATCATCGAACCCCAGACGCGGCTAGTTTGCCTGCCTGCCAACGCCCATCAATGTTGCATCCATCAGACATCCCGCAGGCCATCCGCTTCCGCTGGTGTTGTTGACAAAGCACAGGGCCCATTGATGCATGCCGCCCACCGATCGAGATCTCCAAGACCAGCTCCATCCTAGTAATGGAAACCGGGCATGTGGGGAACTCGTTCTCGACCTGTCCATTTGGCTGCGCAGCAATCTCGTCAACATGAACTGTGCGGCCTCCTTGGCCAGTGACGTTATGCACCACCTTTGAGTCAACATCTGGCCGTCAGAGACAATGGTGGGACTTTCCGCATATCATCTCCCTTTCAAGGGTCCCTTGGAGTCCGGCTCCCCGTCTTCTCAGCCTCCGACGCCTCGTGGACTCCCCAGCCCGAGTACCTAATAGGCCTTGCACCTGACACACATGACACCTGTCTGAGTGGCACCTTGCCCGAGGCCGCAAGCATCGCCAGCCTGACGACCATGTTGACGAGATGGACTGCACGGCCAACTTAGCCGCGTGCACCAGGGAACCTAGACGAGGGCCCAACCGACGCACAGACGGGCCATTAATAGCCTCTCCGAACCCAATCTACTATGTACGATGAAATGAAGGGGCCTGGGGCACGCTGTGCATGTCAATCTGTGCACTGGGTGCTTCCTGCTCCTCCCTTCTGCAGGCGAACCGGGATGTCTCTTCAGCAGTGAAATCGCTCAAGACCGAATATCGGCTACATGCTGGCATGCCTCAGACTCTTACTACGTACTACGTGGTAGTACACCATGTGCGATGTGCCTCTAAAACGTGAGGCGTGGGGTTTTAAGGTTTCTCGAGGGAAAAGGAGATTGAGGCTTGAGCCCTGTCCGGCCAGAATTCCACAACAATCAAAGAAGCCATTGGAAAAAGGAAAAAAAGTGGCGGCACCTTGCAGTAGCTGACCGACGACGTCGGGGCACACACAATGCAATGCAGGCCGCCCCAGTGTTGCTTTTTCCCACCAGAGGCGGCGGCGCTAGGATCTCGTCTCCTGTGATTGTTGAGCGGAGCTCAAATCACCCGGATCAATCCTCGCGGCTACGGTTCAAAAAGAACGAGGAGGGAAGAGACAACGATGTGCTTGTTTGTACAATGTACGTTGTAGCCCTACCACAACACCAGGATCCTTTTTTTTTTTTTTTTTTTTTTTAACTGATGTGTGTGAAACAGGGTTTTACGGCCATCATGAGGAATTGCCCCGTTCAACAACCTTCTCGTTCCGTAAGTGGAAGCTTCCCCTGTCGTCATCACCCGGCACTCTTGTATGTGGGGATCCCGATTGGGAGCTGCAGACTAGGCTCAGGAAATGGTTGGCCACTAGGATACTGCCCCTAGGTTGCACACATCCCTTTGCAGGCAAGTTGCCGCCAAGGACATGCACCTGAGCCTGCTTGGACATGGGTGGAAATGGGTACTACTACGTAGTATGGTGGCAGATCATGGTGCTGGTACTTCATGCGCGATTGCCCAAAAAAAAAAAAAAAAAAAAAAAAGGGAAGAAGAAGCCGATTTGCAGTCGGCGCATCCGAACGTGTTAGTGCCTGATGCATCCTGTACCGCCGTCATCATGCATACGTACATCGGAGAGTAGCATGTCTCCCACAAGGCCTCATGGAAGAATGGACACGAGCAAATCTAAGACCCCGGCAGTGCACCATCCGGGGATTAAATCGAGAAATTCATTACCCGGCCTTAAAAGTTGGAAGGACTAACGCTCTTGGGTTACCTAGAGAGGACTCCAGGCGGGTAGCATGGTTTAGCTCCTGACGTGGCCCTTCTGCCCGTTGAGCTGATGGTCCTCCGTCGTTTCATCTTAGAAGTACATTTGTGTTGACCAATTCGATAGAGGGCATTGGTCTTCAGCCTCGGCAATCTCTGAGGACGGGAGGCTTTGTTCTCGAGGAATCCGAGGGAACTAGCGTCAAGGTTGTCTGGTGACCCATCATTCCTCCTCGACGCCTCTGGAGTCTCACGGCTCTTTTCCCACCCCCATCCTTTCTTCTTCCCGAGGTGGATTGCTATGCAGGTGTGCCAGCCACATCTAATGCTCCGACTTAGGGAGCACCGCACCCTTCCAATCGACCTCGTCCAGGCCACTTCGACAACACTGGAGAAGAAAGGGAAGAAAGCCGTCGATCCATGGCTTCTCGATAGACGCCCAGGTCATCCGCCAACTCGCGGCAGCCGATATTACCAGTCGGTGGCGCCCAACGCCAACTCGCCGTCACCGTCCACTCGTTGTCCACCTATTTTAATCGTCAGTACTTAGCGGTGAATACCCACAGGCCTGATCGTGCTGGCTGGTCGGTTGACCCTTGGAAATGTCTTGTCCACACCCCTCCCCTCCCCGGTCCGCAGGCTTAGTTGCCGCCCGCCATCGTTGACGGTGTACTATGTAAGCTCCTTGACTCGGGCTGGCGCTAGAAGTCGATCTCGCCAGGCACAGGATTCAAATATTCATCGAGGGCCGTCTCGGCTGAATGGTCTTCCTGCAGCCATTTGTACTTGGTCCCAACCCTTGCTCTTCCGTGGAAACTCCATCTTCACATCTCTTCCTCTCTTCTCCGAAACATACCGCAAGCAGCCGACCGGCGCATACCTCTCGCCACTGACTCCTGTTTTGGCTGGAGTGACGAAAGAGCCAGTCGAGTTGTCATTCGAACTCTCCACCAGGGTACCACTCCCACTCCCACGAACAGCTCCTTACGTCGTCTCAATTGGCCCAGTGTTATCTGTCGCCCGCCTTCCTGTCTTGCATCCTGCGACCATAGGGCAAACTTGCTTCTTTGGCTCTTGCATCGCCGACCAATACTGACGACCCATCTGCCATCTAACATGAAATCAGTGCTGGGCCAGGGACACACGTTGTACTAGACGGGTCAGTCTTTGCCACCCGGCGTCAAGTTGTGTCTGGCCATTCAGCTGGTCCAGGGCTTGACTCTCGAGGTCCCATTATCAAGCGGCCTCCAGAGTGCAGCTGAATCCTCTTCTATGGCCATCACTATTTATCCATCTGTGATTTCAAAACACCGACATTTAGGTACTGGAAATTTGTGGACGGACAACCTGCCACCAACAGAGCCCATGACCTCGATCATGTCGTACCAATATCCCCCGCCGCCTCCTCTCGGTGCCGAGAGGGACATGTCACACCCAGCCTATGCTCCCACCTACCATACGCCTCAACCTCCTTCCTCGATTGGTATGACGAACATCTAGGACTTCTCTATGCATTGGGGGGATACCATGCTAACTTTGAAAGGATCTTTCCCGACGCCAGGTGCTAGACCGACACAATCATCAAGCTCTGAGCTGTACCATCAGCACTCTCTGCTAGGAAGTGCGGCAGACAAAAAGCGAAGCAGGCTCGGATATCATCGAACAACGGTCGCTTGCGGTAGGTTTGAATTAGAGAAACCATTCCTGTGTACTATGCTGAAATATCCTTCAAGGTAACTGCCGACGACGAAAGATCAGATGCGCTCCTGAGCCTAGCGATGATCAAAATCGATGCACCAACTGCATTCGCCTGAAGAAGGACTGCAGCTATTATCCCGTCGACCAACCTCCGCCAGCCGAATCTCAAGGCAAGCAGACACCAATGCCATCGAAGGGACCATCAGCCTCATCGTCACCAGCAGCATCGAGCGGGAACCTTGCAGAGCTGCCAAAAAGCCAACCATTCTGCCCCGTACCGAAACAAAGCTCAAAGATCCCATTCTCGACAGTCAAGTCTAGCAGCGCCGAGGTGTTCCCCCCTGACGCAAAAGGTGAGTTACCATAGCTTTTCGATAACAATAGACAGACACACTGACACGATCTGCGTCAAGTACCCTTGGGATCATCCACCAATCGATCGCTCGACGTTGAAGACCGACCGGGAGGAAACTGGGACCCGGCAGATGTAAGCCAAAGCCCAGGCTCTAAACCGGCAGACTTGAATCAAACTTGGCGAGGATATCCTCCGGAATCTCCAATGAGTGCCCAGTACTCTCCATTCGGCCCTGGACCTCCATCAGCTACATGGACATCCGCAGACTCGGAACCAGGGTCTCGAGGAGACATGCCATGGGGAAATTACCCGCCACCTGTTCGCTCGATGTCTTACGGGGGCGAGTCCCTGGCAAGTCACCACTCTATACATTTCCCCCCGGGACACCAAAGTCAGCAATTTGACCGGAGGGCATCCACCCTTTCTGACGTATACACCCCGTCCATGGGAGCGCCTCCCCCACAGGTATTTGGGGCATGGAATGAACCGCAGCAGCCCCAACAGCACCCAGATTATTCCTGCCTAGAGGCTTGGGGGTATGGGGAGAATGAGCCGGGCCAACTAATGCACGCCGAGCCTGGACAACTTGGCGACAGCGAACCTCCACCAGGTACTTACTATGGTGCTAGCTGACAACTCCGTCATGTTGGACTATCGTTTGGGAATGGGATTGGAAAAGACTGTTATATCCACGGCCTACCGGATATCAGTTATCTACCGACCCAAGGTATGATACTTGGCGAAACAATGATTCCGTCAATGGGAGTACTTGACGAGATGTCTGCTACGAATCCTTGGTTCCTCTTCTCACACTACGATTCGTGTTATCTAGCCTCGTTGATCGAGGCCAATCATTTCCATAAGTTGTTGAAAATGAGACTCCAGCATCTTTCTCTGGAGAGAATAAATTAATGCATAATCTTGCAATGTCACATTAATGGGACTCGAACCAGAGGGCGACATACACCCGGTATTTTTGTTTGCCATCTTCTTCTTTCCTCGATCCCGTACCTATGACCAAAAAGCCTAAAACGACTCGGCTGGGGGCCAACTTGGTAGAAAAGAAAGCAAGAGCGTCACCGAGCGGTGGCTCCGCTGTCGCCTTCACATCCGATCGATATTCTTGGTCGTCTGCCAACTGAGTCGCTGGCGACATCCCGCCACGGTCCAGGAACCAAGAATGAATTTTGACCTTGGGAACCACTCGGGCTCTCTGTCAGTGGAGTAGGTGGTATGAGTGCGCCTTATCGTTTCATCGAGTGAGTCCCAGGACGAGAGGTTTGAAAATTTCAATGTATGAGGCAGGTGTTCAGCCACCAGGAATATACACTTGCGCTCTAAGGAGAATGGCGTTAGTCTACTCATAGAATGCCCGACAACGGCGAAGCCGTGAAATAGTATTAATTATCTAGAAATTAGAGAGGATTTTGTGTGGCGCAGGAGTTTGGCCAGGTTTAATTGAAGTCGGCAAGGGAGTAGCCTTTACAGCTATTTGTGAGTTCCAAGAACGTGTGTTTTGGATTCTAATACTTGTTGGGGAAATCTCGTGGAAGAACCCCTAAACGGCCGTTCAACAAAAATGAGTTTCACGGGAAATGGCCGGCATCTGTTGTCAAGGGCCCCTGCACGATCGATCCAAGTGTAGAGGGAATAACTTATTCTGAAGCATATTCTTATGTTCCTGGGTACTCGCAATCACCATATTTTGGCATTTTTACGTTAATTCTGTTTTATGGTTGTATAAAAGCTCGTTCGAAGTGCGGCTCACTTGCAGTGGAAGAACGTGTATAGGACCTTCACAATTTCTGCAACTATCCTTGACGCCGAGTTTGCAGTTCGGCGACTGACATCTCATCCAAGAGTTTGAACTATTACGTAGTAATTAATGCCTTCAACTGGATTTTGATTGTTGGCAGCGTACCATGCTGGTATCCCTTCGTCAAACATGGCCATAGCTAAGTAGGAAAGGCAGGCTCATGGAGTTGAACTGGTAGCTTGAACCATCACGCTTCAGAAGGTAGTGGAATTACAAATTTGTTGATTGGAACCCCAGGCTGAAGCTTAAATATCTATATGTTCATGAATGAATCCAAAGTCCTTTCCAATTCATCATACATCGGAACCTCAAAAGCCTGAAAGGGGCCACTTATATATATAAGGGTAAACACTATGAGGATCATCTTGCTTAGCCTATGATATAAGATGCCACGTCAAGACCATTAATGTCACATAAGCACTCAAACTGAGGGCTGTTAACAGGGCTACACTGTTGCCACTCGTCCGAAACTTGCGCTCGAGACTTCCATCCGCATATTTGGCAGTGAAGAACTGATGATTGCCCTCGAAGCGGCGATAGATGGCGACCAGCATCACGGCAACGCCATAGACAGCAAACAAGGCACCGATGGGATAGAACTCCGAGGTGAAGACCTTGAGAATGATGAGAGCGAAGGAAAACTGGCCGAGGGCAGTTCTGACGTAAGCGCCCTCGAATGTGCGTTGGGCAGCGCGGATCTCGACAAGCCTACAAAAAAAAATAGTAAGTTAGATAGGGTGGATAGGCATGAACAACATTGCCGTGACGGTGTGGAACGATGCCAAGATTCGAAGTCGATGGGGCGGGTCCATTGTGAAGGTCCATGCCAGGCAGGGGGCTACTCACTCCTGTGTTGTTAAGACTACGGAACGTGCCCGGTGGAGGCGGAGGTGAAGATGCTCCTCTGGATGCGGCTAATCACAGTTCATCAGCAGGAAGCCGGGGATTACATCTGGAGAGGTTGAGTCGGTCACAAACCTGGAACATTGCGACCACAGCGTTGGACGAAAGACACACGAACTTGGCCAGCTACTGGACAGTGAGACGAGCGAAGCGTATGGGCGGTGTACACGCGCGGAGATGTAGGGACCTAGCGATACAGATAAAAAATTGTACAGGTAAGAGACAACGGTGGCTGCAGTAGCAAAAATGGGACGTGTCGGATGAGATGCACGGGGCAATGAGGAGACGAGATGCGACAAAGCTGGAGTTGAGGTTGAGGTTGGAGTTGAGATGTCTTGATTTGGGTTAGCGTCTTAAGGTGTCATGGGTTCCATCATGGCAAATCCTGACATAATGAGTGATATCACGTGCCAGCCTTCAGTGAATAAGTGAGTGATATCACGTGATGTTAATCCCCTAAAGATAAATGCTTCTGAAGCTCGGTCGCGGTGGTAGCCTTATCGAGACAGACACGATGTGGACACGGACACGTGCCTCCGGTTGTCGGATGGGAGGTCCATCCTCAGGGATTGGCAACAAGGAACTGGAGCGGAGGATCCGGCAATTTAGGGTGGCTCGTGCTTCAAAAACCTCCGCAAGTACGAAGGATTGGCAAGGTATCTCTGCTATGGTCCGATATGGTAGGCTCGCCGCAAGTAACGGTGCGCCTATTACCAGTAGGCGCGTGAGAGTTTCAAAGACTGGCTATCTCTATCGCGACGAATACTTGGCATTTGCGTTGCCAGAGACTCGTTGTCATGACACCATTGGGTTCAGCTGGGAGCGCCGAGTAGTGAGCTTCCCAGGGCCATCACCCACTTACTTAGGTAGGCATAGGTACTTCGTGCCCCATATCAAGCACCATTTCAAAGTTGCCAAATGTTCTCAATCCAATTAGACGCTGATTCAAATGTGACATCGCGCGGTTCTAAATCGTGTCCGGTCTTCCCAGCGGATGGCCCCATCCTTTGATCATTTCCCCTTTGGACGGACGCCGCCGGACGTGGCCTGCAGTAGGTTCGATTCCCCCAGCCACCCACTGGTCCATGCAGCAGAGATCGTACATGCCTTCTCCCTCTGGACTGTAACCGGGCGCAGGAAACGTTTCATGCTGGAGCTTGCACCGATGTACGTGCTGAGCTTGTCGGGATACAGCATGTTGTCGCAAGGCAGCCTGCCCACGACATTCCGCTTGTGGCCGTTCTCAATGTGCCTGGGCGACGGTAAGATGGCCCGTGCGCTCCATATGCAAGACAAAGGGAGCCTTACGGACAATGTAACCGTCCCGTTGATGAAGGGAGACGTTAAAAAAAAAGGTTGAAACGAAATGAATCTGACGGCGCCTAGTGGAGGCCCCGGTGAAGGTTAGATGGCTCACCAAGGAAAGTTTCCAGAAATCGTTGCAGCCGATGGCCGGCTAAGATGATCAACATGCCGGGGGGCTGTCAGGCGAGGGGCTGTGCTCCACGGGGCGGACAGCGGACAGTGGACAGCGGACAGCGGACAACGGACAACGTCACAGCGGAAAGCGAGGGGCTCGACACCGGTTTCAGCCGCACACGCTGAAGTGGATAAACTAAGTGAGCCCAACGAGAAGAAAAGCGGCACAGGCTGAGTTTTGTACTGCCTGGTTTGTGTGACACAATGTCTGAACTGAACCCCAAGCTAGAAGGGCTGGATTCTGGATGCTGGATGGCGGTGAAAGATTAACAGCGGCATTTGACGAACTATGTATTGTGGTAAGACCTGGACAATGCGCAGCAGCTCAGAATAAGCCTCGTTCCTCTGTAAAGGTCTCACCTTACATGGTATCGTGACATCAAGCCTGATAAGGCTGAAGGGGAGACCCCCTGGTGGTGCGCCCCGGACTTGGCTTGGTTCGCAAAGCTTGAGAAAGTTTGGGGGGGGGGGATTCAAGTGACGCAGAATTAGGCGGGCCGACCCTGCCTCAATGTCAAGCAAGCCAGCATGGGCACTGCCGCAGATTGCGGTACATACAGTAGGAACTGGACCGTAATTCGACATGGCATGAGAACGCCTTGGGAGGTTGACACTAGGCGAGCCAGACGCAGACAGACGGCGTGTGAATGGCTGGACGGCGGATTGGGACAACCCACGAGAGTGGGGTTCGGGCGTGGAGCTGACACCAAGTGTGCCTCGGCCGTCAGAACGCCCCGTCCAGAACGCCTCGTGGGAAACAAGATGGCATAGGGAGGTACCGGCGGGCGCGCGCAATAACTGCTCGGCGCCCTAGGTACCGCGGCATCGACCAGGTGCAAAAAGCAAAAACGCCAGAGATGATTGCGGCCAATGCAGCCAGTAACAGCCACTGGACTGTGATACCCCATCTGAACCCCCGGCAAGCTTAGACACTACCCCGGCGCTCCGCTCCGCTGGCTGGAGCAACAGCCCCTCTTCCGCTTCCACACATCTGCTTCCACTGAACCAAGTACGCCGACAAGCCACAAGCGCCCTGCCTCGCAGCTAGTCTGCGCACTTGAAGTCCGGACCAGTCCTGCACCAGACAGACGAGAACCAGGCGTCCAGACCAGTGACATACTTCGTACAGGACAGCACGGTACAGCCTGGTCGTCACAGAGCCCCAGCACTCTCCAGCACTCCAGCACTCCAGCACACCCCCCGTCCCTTCTGTCTTCTGTCTAGCACAGACTTACCGCCCACCTACCGCCCACCTTCCGCCTCGCCGCCATTCCATCCACCCCATTTCATCCCACCCAGAACGCCCACGCACCCAAGCCTCACTCTCCGTCGCTCATCGCCTCTGCCACATTTCACATTTCGCATTTGCTTGCCTGCTACTGGAGGCCTTTCCGCCCTTGCGTCTCGCTGTTTACTGCTGCTGCTGCGTACTTCTACTTCTTCAACGGGCTTGTCCTCCCCAAATCCTCGCCTCGTTCGCATCGCCACAGCCAGCCAGCCTTCCATTGCTTGCACCGGCCCCTCCATCGTCCACTCCACGCCCGCGAGCCCGTGCCGCTGCTCCGTACTGTTGATTCCCGTCACTCCCAACACCTGCACGCCACGATCCGCCCTGGGCCTGGATTCTCCCTGTCGTCTGCCGGGTTCCATTCTATTGGGCTAGCAGGGGAGCCGACCACCCTAAGCGCTCTTGTTTGATCCGTACCCACGCGCAACGCCGCATTCCAACTTCAGCCCTTCCCCCCTCTCTCCTCCCAACGCAGATCCCAGGCGGCATCACTCACCTGCACCCGACCAGCGCGATCCTTCCACCGCGCATCATCTCTCCGGACTACCCGTTGACGCGGCTTCGCTCGACTCTGCACGGGTCTCCTGCTTCAGTTCAGGTTCCGTCCTGTCTTGTCTTGTCCCGTCTCATCTCATCTCCACTCCCCGGAGCAACCCACGACACCCACAACCCCCCTCATCCACGGTGCTTCTGGTCCGAGGACCATGATCCTCGGCCTGTGATCTAGCATCGGGAACACACCCAGTCAAGATCCACCCCTTGCATATATACCTACCTTCCTCCCAACCCGCCCATCCTCGATCCGCCGCAGCCATGACTTCGACCTTCACCTACCCACCTGCAAGCTTCCACGACCAAGACCACAACCCTCCTCCCCACCATCCCTTCCCGCCTGCTGACCAACATCGCTCGTCGACTACCTCCGTTGACTCGACCCATCTGTCGCCTGTCTTGTCGCGTGTCAATAGTGACTCGGTCTCCCCCGCTACCAACCAAGAGACTCCTGCCGGCTCCCACTCAAATTATCAGTCCAGCGACTTTAGCGAAATAGACGAGGACCCCTTCTTCGGCGCAGACTTCAACGCCTTCGACGGTGCCACCCCGTCCTTCTTGGAGGACCACCATAACCCTATCGGGCTGGACTCGACCATCTTCGCAGATACCCCGTCGTCGGAAACCGGACCGAGCCATTATGACGAACTGAGCACATATCCCTTGACACCTGAGCAAACGGCGTCGATACATGCCACCTCACCGCGGAGCGAGCTCAAAGGCGCCCTCAAACTAAACATCGAATCACGAATCCCGCATTCTATTTCTCCACAGGAGCTTCAGAAGCCCTTCAACTCAGCACCCGTCCTGACTCAATCGACCCAGTTAACCCCAAGCCAGAGCAGCAGTTGCCGATCGAGCGAGGACGGCCTGGCACCTGCTCTCGTTCCAATGTCGGCGCAAAGCCCAATGGTCACCGTCTCATTCTGGGGCAAGGATAACGACAACTCCGCTCCGCCTATGCAGCGCTCCTTCGAGGACAGTCCAACGACAGTCCGCGGCGGATTTGCTGGTGATCTCATCTCCTCGGCCAATGACGCCCCATCCGCGCCCCGTGATTTGACGGGCCGATGGCAACCAAACCCAGCGACCGGCCATGGTGGTGTTGAGCCTGAAAGTCGAACTTCGGAGGAGGTCCCAAGTGTCAATGAAATGGCTGTCAAGCGCGAGCTTGACGACCAAAATGACGTCGTTGGGAAATGGCTGTCTCAAAAATTCAACGATTTATCTGTTGAGCCCACCGCCACTGATGACATCGAAGCCCATGAACAACCACGCGATGATGCGGAAGACAAGGTGCCATTTGGCCATGAGACGAGGAACAACTACATACCAGGCCAGACATACTACAGCAGTAATGGCGGCAACATCAGTCAGGAAGACTATGCCACGATCCTGTCAAACCGTAACTGGGCCGATGCCCCGATGCATCACTCGATCACTGGAACCCGAAACCAACCTGAATCATCGCAGGCTGCCATCCAAAGATTTGAAAGAATGTGCCGTGACAACGATTCAATTGTCTCGAGAGCCGCTACCTGGGGGACACGGCGGCGTAGTCTCCCCAGCGTCATGGACCTTGAGCTAGAAGGAGGCAACACTGGCGGTATCCTGAAGAAGTTCTCCATTAGTTCCAAGCCAGGCGGCCTTCTCAAAGATCTTCGGGGTCTTGTCCGACGACCCAGCGCCTCCCAGATTCGGAAGCGCAACCGAGGTGGAAACGACGAGGATAGCCCAGGCAGTGACAGCCGAGGCAGCCAGGAGTCGAAACGTGATAGCCTTCCTCACCTTACTCCGGGGCGCATGCCGAGTTGGACGGTAAAGAAGCAGAGGCCCACCGTCAACACGAACACGCCCACTGCCTCGGCCTTGGTATCAATGGCATCCAACTTTGCGTCAATTGGAGCAACCCACACTCGAAGTGGCTCTATCAGCGCTACGCCGGTCACATCCCCAAAGAGCCCCTTTAGCGGTCTTACCGTCAAGAACACTCTCAGACGACCCCGAAGTAAGTCAGAACTTACCAAGTCTAGCCCGGGAAACCTTCACACAGACAGCCATCCAAGTCTCGTTTCAATGTGGAGGGGGGCTGGAGGACCACCCGTCGCAAACCTTGCAACAACAACCAATAACGAGGTGGAAGAAGAAGAAGAGGACGATGATGAGTTTGGCGATGAGGGCGAGATGAAGGGGAATGCAAACATTATTGATAGCATTACCCCGGATACTACTGGGTTCCAGCAGCATATCCTCAGCCTGAACCCAACCTTGGCTTCAACAAATAATTACCTCGTGGAGCGAATCGCACATCAGCAAGTAGTCAGGTACAAGCAACTTCTGAGGTCCAAGGTCATCCATCTGAACCAGGGTGCCAACTGTCCTTCCGGATCCCTTTGCATTGCATTGGGTGGATCTGCTTCTATCCTCGACCAGCCCGGCGATACTCGAGAGCTGGACCCATTGTCGCTTCCCGATGACGATGGCACTCCTACCGAAGGCAAGATTAACGACACCAGCTTCCCTGCAGACATTCCCATGCCACCAACTACACGTCTCCCAGCCGAGTTTGAATGCCAACTCTGCTACCAGAGCAAGAAGTTCCAAAAGCCATCTGACTGGACGAAGCACGTACATGAGGATGTCCAGCCCTTTACCTGCACGTGGGACAAATGCCGAGAGCCAAAGATCTTCAAGCGCAAGGCCGATTGGGTTCGACATGAGAATGAGGGTCACCGACATCTGGAGTGGTGGACTTGTGATGTCGAAGGCTGTCATCACCAGTGCTACCGCCGAGACAACTTCCTCCAGCATCTTGTCCGGGAGCATAAGTTCCAGGAGCCTAAGGTTAAGACTAAGGCAGCTATGAAGAGGTCTGGGGGGGTCGACCTGACTTGGCAGAAGGTTGAGCAATGCCACATGGAGACGCCAATCCGACCACAGGAGGAGCCTTGCAGATTCTGCGGCAAGTCATTTCAAACATGGAAGAAGTTGACGGTCCACCTGGCTAAGCACATGGAGCAAATCTCCCTCCCTGTTCTGCGCCTTGTGGCAGCAAAGGCAGCTGAGCTCAAGGAGGATACCGTCATCAGCCCAGTCCAGGATCCTCCTCCCCGGCATATGCTCCCGACGCCTGTGACACAAACCGCTCCCACCATGCAGTTTCCTGCAGGTATGCAGCAGCAAATGACGCCCAACACCCATCAGACAGCATTCCCAAACCCCGGCCAACTGGTCTATCCGGTTATGCCAACGGACCAATTCCAACAGCCCAACTTTTACCAACACCACCAATACGAAAGCATCGGCCAAAACCTACAGTCAACGCCGATGGGCTTACACTCAATGAACCAAGGATACGACCAGACCAGGCAGATGCAAGATATACCCGTTACGACAGCACCTTTTGGGCAAACGTCTGGCCAGTACATTCCGACCCATCCCACTGGGATGGAACAATACTCCCAGATGAACGCCCTTGGTCTACAGAACCATGGGATGCCGGTGGGACAAATGGTTTATGATGGGATCATTGACCCATCAAGCACAAACGGAAGCCCATTCAGTGGCTCGATGTCACCATACCAGCACTCTCCAAACCAGAATGTGAACAATGGAGCTGGGTTGTGGAGTGACAAGCGAATGTACTAATGAGTCAAATTTGACATCATATTTTTCTTTTACCTGATTTTGCAGAGCCCTCAATTTCATTCGGAGGCAGAATGGGAACGAGAAAAGAGCGGACTTTGGAGAGTATTTATTTGTCAGGGCAGCATGCTGGATTAACGGCACGTGGTTTTTTGGCGCTGACGAGGGACTATCTTATGATATACATGTCTGATCTGCTAAGCCGTGGGTAGCGGCCGGGTGCCCGGTGGCACAGATCTCGTTGGATGATTGTTTTCTTTCTTTGGAGGGAAGGATTTTATGTTGAATATTGTTGATGACGAGCGTTATTGTCGGGGAACAAAGCCAGCGGGCATATCGGAAATGGCGCCTGGTATACTTTATGAATGAATATGCGATCTACTCCAATTCGCTTGAGACACAAATGTGACCTTGAATCTATTCTTGGCGAATGCCTTGAGATCCTTGGCACTCCTAACGGTTGGATAGCCGGCGCAGATGGTCAAATTTCCTAAATAGGCGGTTGGACTTGGATGGCTCTCAAGATGACGAAGCAGCGGGCGTGCGGCGTAGTGAACCAGGGTGAACGGGGTGAAGTGGGGAAGGGACTCAGGGAGGGAATGGAGCGCCGGGTGTTTGAGGTTGAGGGGTGTCAGACTTGGTGGTAGGAGGTAGGATCGGGAGCTGATTCTGGGATGGGATGGGATGGGATGGGGCGAGTTGGGCTGGTGAGCAAAAACTTGAAGCTTGAAATCGTCTCGATTGTGTCTTGACGGTTGAAGCGAGAAAGCAAGCTTGGCTAGTTTTGGCTTTTTCGGCTTTTTGGCGTGCGATCCGCAGATAGCGTGAATCCCAGATGGAGTTGGCGTGGAGAGGGAACCATGGAGCCAAGCTATATTACCGAGATTTGGCATGGCGCGTCATCTCGTACCTCGGAGCCTGGCAGGTCAGTGGCGCACCGGATCGACAAGGGAACGCCTATCAAGGCAGATGAAGACCAGTGGCTGGACTAGCTGGCAGTTCGCAACAGAAGCAGCATCCCAGGCTTCGTTGAGTTGAGCTCTGGAGGCTAACAAGAGGTGAGCTGGCGCGGGGCTTGACTCATGAAGAAGGTGAAACTGCCAACGGCAAGTCATTGGCAGAGGCGAAAGCGTTGAGCAATCCCCATCACGTGCAGCGGGCGCATCTTTGATGATAAGCCAAGGGTAGTCTGGGACATGCTATGTATGGAACACGCCGGCCTGAAGCAGTTGATGCTTCGTGGGTCATGGCTTGGTGGTCGGCTCCACTTGGGACGCTGCAACGGGTGGATGATCGTCGGAGTGCGAAGCACATGATACAGGGCACAGAGTAATTGGTGCACAATGTGCATGTCCTTTTGGGAATCTTGCTCGAGGCTCGAGGCTCGGTGGACGAACACGAGACGACACCCTGACTGGGGGGTCGGGCAGGGGCCAAGCTTCAAGGGAGGCATCGAGGATCCATCGGGGGAGCCATAGTACCACTGTGAGTAGTTGATAATAAGAGAATGGTCTCGGAGCAGGGCCTCTCCATGGTCGACTCATCAGGACCCATGAGAAATCCATGAACGACTCATCAGAAACTCGTCAGGGAGCAGACGGTGCTAAAGGATCACTGACGAGGTTGCGTACAGTGTGCATCCGTGGGGATGGCACAACAATTAGACGCTGGAGCGGGGGGGCGATGTTCAAAAGCTTGGCCATGGCGACTGGTTTCAGAAGAGGCCGGGGGGTTTCAACCATGGCGGCTGGCTAGCGTCGGCCGTGATCAACAGCAGTGGGATACGGTACCCTATGAACTCCCGTCCAGCCGCCAGCGGGTGCTCTTGGCACGGCGGCCAAAGTGCAGGTTTAACAGGCGTCAAGCAGGTTTTCAGCAGCAGGGAGAGCCGTCGCAATGCCACTGGAGGCTGGGCGGGCGTTGGCTTTGGGGGGGTGTTGATGGAGTCTATACGGAGCTCACTGTAATGCACCGGGCTGGCGGTGGAGTCTCGGGGCCGGGACAATACCAGCGCAGGGCGGTGGTGGACCGTGTCGTTGTCCCGCGGGGCCCGACAGTGACCAGACAGTGCCAGACGGGACCTGAACCAGAGGCACCAGAGAGACGCACCAAAGACAACACACCGCTGCACCATGTCGATGATGGCTCTCTCAGTCCCTCTCGTCCATCAGTCCAGCAGCACCCTGGGCCGCCGAGGAACGCCAACGCAAGGGCTTCCCCTGAAGCGTGGGGCGTGGTGGCCCGGGGTCTCATCCCGGGCTGCTATTCAGGGGATCTCCGGCCGTGGTTCGACAGCCACCCTGCGCTGGCCCCCCCCAGAAGCCCCCCAGAGCCCCTAGCGCGGGACCCTAGCGCCTCCAAGCGACCCCCCGGGAGGCCTGACTTGGGGCGTGCTTGCGCCAACCACACTCCTTCCTTGTTCCATCCCGTCTTCGTCGGTCCCGTCGTCTCGGAACATCTGTTCGTCTGCCCAGCTTTTTCCTGTTTTCTCTGCTCCGTCATTGCATTGCACCCATTGTATTCCAGCGTCATTCCCTATTTTCCTCCTCGTCTCGTCTCCATCTCTTGTTGCGTGTGTTTTCCATCTCAACTGTCTGGTTTCGCAAGGACATGCTGCTTCACCCACGGCATCGTCGTTTCCTCGCATCTTATTTCAGCGTCACATAACCAACCATAGAATAGAGCCTCGCTCGATCATCCTCTTGCCCGACCGCCGCAAACATCGCCGCTGTCCATTCGAAGGACACGCGACTCTCTCGATATCCTCGACTCCGCCGGCATCTTCCAATACCGAGGGCCTCTAGGCAACTCGTTGCCCTCTTCCCTCTTCACTTCTTTCCAGGTTGATCCTCGGCCATCTTCATCTTCTTTTGTGGTTGTACCACCCCCCCCGTTCTTTGATTCCATACCATCACCTACTCTTGTCTATCTTTACCATTTTATTTGTCGACTTTTGTCTATCAACGCATTTTCTCATTTTTGATACCATTTCTTTACCTCCGACGACTTTCACTATCTCGATTGCTCTTGAATCCGTCCCTGGATACCCATCGAAATCCTACCAGTCCATCTATCCCGCTATTTATATCCCACCCGGCCCGACAGCAACAACAGCAACAACAATCAATAACGACATATTTCTCGAGTCTCTCTTAACTAGAACAGCTCCGTTCGAGCAACGAATTTCCCGCTCTTTTTACTTGCACGGCCTATTGCGACAATGACTCGATTTGGCTCAACATGGAGCGCGTGGAAGGTGGCATTGGCGGCCACGGCTATGACCACGGGCGTCTTGGGTAGTAACGTTCTCGAGACGTCTGGCTTCACTGATTGCGGTTCGGTAAACGGCATCAGCGTCAACGCCTTGGATATCAAGTACGACGAAGGCTCAAAGACGGTTGAGTTTAACCTGGCCGGCACGAGCGACAAGGAGCGCAACGTTTCGGCTACCCTCTCAGTTATGGCCTACGGCAACGAAGTTTACAGCAACTCATTCAACCCCTGCAAGATAGAGACCTACATCCCGCAGCTGTGCCCTCTCCCATCCGGTGATTTCTCAGCGAAAGGCAGCCAAGCCATCAGCGATGAATGGGCTGGCAAAGTTCCGTCTATCGCCTTCCAAGTTCCCGATATTTCCGCTCAGGCAACGTTGAAGCTAATCAGCATCGATACCGACGACCAAGTGGCTTGCATTCAGTCCGAAGTCACTAACGGCAAGACCATCTCGCTCCCTGCTATTAAATATGTGGCCGTGGGTATCATTGGGGCTTCCTTTGCCCTCTCTGGCGTGAGTGCCGCTTTGGGTGGTGCAGGTGGTGGTGGAGGTAGCGGAGTTCCCAGCCCCAGCTTTGCTGAAACCGTCGGATGGTTCCAAGGTATGGCAATGAATGGCATGTTGTCTGTCAACTACCCGACTGTCTACCGAAGCTTCACCAAGAACTTTGGCTTCTCCGTGGGTATTGTCCCCTGGTCGACACTCCAGACATCCATCGACAGCTTCCGTTCGAGCACTGGCGGCAACCTCACCAACGACAGCTTCGAAGTCCTCCAGAACGCGACCTTGGTCTACAATGACAACTCAACCAGCACTACCAACGACAAGATCAAGCGTGCTCTCACCGAGTTTAGCACCCTGGTTGCGCGCGACGACGGTACGGATATTACCAAGGTCCAGCTCACGGTTTCCGGAATCTCAGCCTACGTCCAGCAACTCAGTGTCCCCAAGTCCAACACGTTCATGACTGTGCTTCTCATCGTGGCCATCATCGTTGCAGCTATCGTTGTGGGTATCTTGCTTGTCAAGGTCATTCTTGAGTTCTGGGCTCTGTTCGGTAGCTTCCCCAAGTCCTTGACTGGATTCCGCAAGCACTACTGGGGATCCATTGCTCGCGCCATCACTTCGCTCATCATGTTGTTGTACGGAATGTGGGTGTTGTACTGCGTTTTCCAATTCACACAGGGCGATTCTTGGGCCGCAAAGACTTTGGCCGGCGTCACGCTTGCCATCTTCACGGGTATCCTGGCATTCTTCTCCTGGAAGATTTGGAGCACAGCCCGCAAGTTGAAGAACGCCGAAGGCGACCCCAACGGCCTGTATCAGGACAAGGAAATTTGGGTCAAGTACTCGCTCTTCTACGAGTCCTACAAGAAGGATTACTGGTGGCTTTTTGTCCCTACCATTGTTTACCTGTTCGCCAAGGGCTGCGCCCTCGCCGTTGGGGATGGACACGGTATGAGTCAGACCATTGCTCAACTGGTTGTCGAAGGCTGTATGCTTGCCTTGCTTATCTGGAGTCGACCTTTCGAGCGAAAGTCTGGAAATGTCATTGGCATTGCAATTCAGGTTGTCCGTGTTCTCTCCGTGGTCTGCATCCTCGTTTTCGTTGAGCAGCTGGGAATTAGCCAGACCAGCAAGACTGTGGCTGGCGTGGTGCTCATCGCTGTGCAGTCCACCCTGACGGGTCTTTTGGTTATTCTCATCGCATGGAATGCTATCAACGTCTGTATCAGGGAGAACCCTCACCGAAAGCGCAGAAAGGAGTTGGGTAAGTCACAGGTTCAACAGTCTATGGAATAAAACGCCATGGCTAACAAGCAGCAGAAAAAATGCAGCGTGATATGGATACTCTCACGCCCTTGGACGCGCGTAACTCGTTGCTACTCGACCGCAAACAAGATGGCGATAACATCAACATGTTCCCCATGTCCAGCTCGCTGAAAGAAAAGGAGTCCCAAAGGTCTTTGTACCACGACCAATACTCCGATGCCGAGGAGGGCCATCGGCAGAACCTGTCGGCCAGTCCGCCATATCAACGAACGTTGACTCCTTTGGATGGCAACGATGCTTCACAAGGCCTCATCCAGTCTGCGGCTCCCGTGGGATGGAGTAACCAGGCACCAAACGCGGCGGGTATGGGACGGTACGATAACTACGGCGGCTACAATAATTCGAACCGGCAATCGTACGGTTACGCAAAGGGAGGCGGGTATAGGGGGTTTTGAGACAGGGCGGTTCAAGACATAGAGCGAGACTATCGCAACGGTACATAAATGGGATCCTTGTACAATGACGCTTATATGCTTGGCTGCGTAGACGAGCAGCCCGGGCCATGTGCATTAGAGTCGGAGGATCCATCTCACTTTCATTCGAGGAGGAAGGTATAAAGCGAAAGACTTGTTTACCACGGAAGCGCATCACTTTTTGTCAATATAGAACCATTTAACTCTGCACATTGCCTATGATATTCTTCAAAAACTAGCTTGCCGTTGATGAGCCCCTCGCGATGATGTTTGCCCAATTCGAATAAACGAATAACGCCTGTTCTATGCCCTCGGGTTGCGTTGCTCCCGATTCTGTTACTCTCCGTGTTTGAGCAGATACGAGTTGGATATCGCCTTGAAGCTGAACGCTCCATCAACATGTTTCAGCACGATCCCCTCCCTCTTCCGTCCGTGGAGGCCCTTGCCGTCCGCCCGCGCCACCAGCTCCTTGACGCTGGACGCGATCTCCTTCAGCGGCCGGTATCCCTCGACGGCGACGTGCTTGACGCCCAGCCGCGGCGCCCACGTCTCGTGCACCTCGCGCGGCGGCAGGTATTTCTGGGCGTCGACGTCCCAGATGGAAAAGAGGTAGAACTCGTGCGTGCCCGCCGCGAAGCCCTCGAAGTTGCCCTGGATGCTCGACCCGCACAGCTCGCCCTGCAGCGCGAGGTTGCGGCCGCACCGCGCGAGCGCCTCGGGGATGCCGGCCTTGCGCGCCGTGGCCCAGAAGAACGACTTGCTGCGCACTTGCTCGCCGATCTGCTCGCCCAGCTCGCGGTTGCGCGAGCATACGCCCGCGCGGCCGTTGGCGTGTTGGCTGGCGACGCTCCCCGGCGGCAGCGGCGGAAGCTGCTCGTAGTAGGGGCTGTCGCGGCGCACGAAGTAGACGGTCATGGACGAGCCGTCCATCTTGGTCGTCTCCTGGAAGATGTCGTCGCCGCGCTCGGCGAAGACACCCGGCATGTTCTGCACGCGCTCCTGGTCCGTCTTGGGGATGAAGGCCGGGAACTCGGCGAGCGGCTCGGCGCCGCCGCTGGTGGTGAACTCGAGCGCCGACTTCTCGAACTTGCGGACGCCGAGCACGTCCTCGAAGCTCATGGCCTGGATCTGCATCTCCATGCCCTCCTGCCCGAGCACCCTCCGCAGCCGGTCCATGGCGCCGGTGACCTCGGGGAAGCCGGACAGCGGCATCAAGAGGCCCTGGGACAGCGTCTTGCGGATGCGCAGCGTCTGGATGCGGATGTCCGGCGGCGGGTCGGACGCGGCATCACCGTGAGGCGAGAGGGACGCCCATCGCTTGTCGGAGCCGGGCAGCAGGCTGTCGATCTCGAAGTAGAGGCCCAGGTCGCCCGGTTGGAAGTCGCCCTTGGCCACGATGCACGTCCAGCCGTCGACGGAGGCGGTTTCGATGCGGTCAGCGCCTTTGATGGGAGCTAGGGAGCCGACGCGGCGAACGGTTACGAGTCTCCGTGTCATGGTGACTAGGTAGTTCTCTTTATTTGCAGTTTGCTTCTGTAGACCGAGAACAAGACGAATATTCCAAGTTGCTTGGTCAAAGATGGTCCGACTCACGTACTTCTGTCGTTATATATGTTATTTTGGGACAACCTCTCTGTCTTACATGCCGCCGGTGCGATGAGTCAGTTGGCCGTGATTCACAAGGTGAAGGAAGGCTGAGTCAGGACCCTGTTGGCTCTTGCCGCAGCACAGCTTATGCTGACATGGAACATGGAACATGGATGTTTGAAGTTTGGCTTTACGATCGCGACAACAAGGTACTGAAAAGCTTCTTAAATACCTACTTCAGTTTCAGTCCGGTTGGGCTGAGTCATCGCTCTTGAACATGGGAACGGTACTGAATATATTCAGATGATTTTCTTCCGCGAATGTACAAATTACCCATAGGCTTCAACATAGTCTCATGAACAAATGTTGGCCTTCACTCTCCCTGCTACGCCTTACAACTTTATCACTCGTTCAATATCGTTTCAAAGATCACACGAAGACAAAGGAAGAGGCAAAATGGATATGGTATTCATGTCATCCTCGGATGCGCTATGTAGACAACGCAAGGCATGCATCGACCGCCAGACCAACCCTGTTACCATTAGCATCAATTCCGGAAGCAATCATGGAAGAGAATAGTCGGGTGTTGGGAGGAAGCGATTTTAATTGACGTACCTTCCCTCTTTTTGATACACCACATCGCTGATGATATCCTTATCAAGGTCGGGGAACATCCCAGCTAGAGTCTCCACTACATTGGCATGCTCTGCGCGGTGCAGCCTCTGGGCCTCTGCTACTTCTGCGCTGGCCTGACGCGCTGCTGCCTCCTCTGCTGACAGACTGTGTCCAGAGGACGGGCGTTTTACATCGCGGGCCTCGTCTTGACTATGGCGAGGCGAGAGATGTTCTGGTGGTGCTGGAGTGCGAGGTGCGCTGCTAGGACCGGGAGGCGTTGATGTACCTGGCTCCTCGGCGAAGATCCGGCCGATAGTCGACAATGGTCTCTGGATCGACTTTAAAAGGCCGCTGATTGCCGCCTTGTCTTCGCCAGAATACCCGTCATTTGATGTCGACCTCCGACCCTCCTGTCCATCGAGGGAGGTGCGCAGAGAGGACTCTCCGGGATTATGATAGGAAACCTTTTCATTAAAGATTGGTTGCTGAGGGACCGTCGGGGACATAGCCTGGTGCTTCTCTGCAATGGCTGAGACGGCTGCCTCAACATTATGCTCAAACTCATCGTCAGTGATAGTCAGCGTGGTGCGGTCCATGTTCTCGATAAACTGAATGGCTCCCATCTATGACGTCGTTAGAAATGTAACCAATTGCTATCAGCGGACGAAACTCACAAGCGATGACAGATAGTAGCCAGCTTCGCCACCAAGCTTCTCCTGGTTCCTGAATCGCAAGATGTATTGCACATTAGACACTAGGTGTTCGGGGTTTGATTGCAAAACGACATATATGAGTAGGGGCATAAAGGAGTCGGCCGAGGAATCCGACTTGTTGTGCTTCAAGAGGCCTATAACCATTAGCGCCACCTTATTTTGACATTTGACAGTCTCAGCCACTCACCAAAAATCACTTTGCAGCAGTTAAGGACACATATTATCTTGTCACGGGGAGCCCTGTAAGATTTGATTTTAAGAAGTTCTATGCAAATTAGCTTGACGGCACATTGATCAATGAAAAGTGTTAGCTGACCTTGTTGTGCCAATTTAAGGAACCGCCGTCCACTATCGCCGACTGCTGGAATATCCAGATGGTCTTCCCTCACCCATCCGTAGATGTTGATCTTCTGTGTGACAATATCATCGCGCTCGACATCTTCTTGATGCTGGCCGCGTCGTCCTGGGCCCATCGGGGCATCCCCTCCTTTCCGCTTTGGTTTGGCACCGGGAATGGGCTTCGGCGGCATAATGGCCGGGGAGAAGGTTTGGGTGTATAACCTGTTCATGACCAACTTCTCCATACCCTCACGTGCGTTGTCGAATTCAGCATCAGAGACCTCCCTCCAAACTTCGCATTGCGCCATCTTGTTAGCGATGAAAGCAAGAAAGTCGCCAATGATCTTGACCTGCTCATGAACCATCCATTGACGTTTGCCAAACTCGAATAAAAAGGACTTGAGGTATCGTGCCACGGGGTCTGCCTTCTTGTTCCGCAACTGTTCTAGAAAGCGGTGGAAGTCGAAAGGCTGAGATGGCTCCGGTTCGGGTTCCGGAGGGGGAGGTCGATAACTCTGGACGGGCGAGGTTGGATCAATACTCCCAGATCGGTCTTGCTTTGGACGCGGAGGCGTGCCATGCACACCATCTTTCGGGGGAACTGGGGGACCTTGGTCCTCGCGGGTGGCCTGCATGATGCCGGTACTCGGAGGGGAGGCCGTGTTGATGTGTAGGCCTTGAAGTTGCTGTATAGTACCAGAAATCGTGGGTGCTGCCAGCGGCTCCAAGCTCGATTTGCGAGGTGGGTGTTGAACAGGGTTGCCCAACATGGGCGATGCGATCTCCAACCTAGGGCTCATGACTTCTTCAGCATCTGGCCCGCCGCCTAGCTCACTAAACTGCTCCATGATGCTCTGGATCTCAGATCGTGACCCGCGTTCCTGTTCATCCTCGCTCGTATATCGTTTGTCTTCGTACTCGGCGTCCGACTTGAACGGGGAGACGTCTCCGGAATGGGGCGAACGTGCGGCATTTGAAGGAGTTCGTGAAGGGGGCTGTGAAGTTGTTGGGGTAGCAGGCGTGGGGTCGACATAAGTGGACGGTTCGGCGGTGAGGTACTGCGTGTTGGCATCGTTCGAGGAAGAGAGGGCCATGGGCTTAAGTGTGGCCATGGATGACGACAGGGTCTCGGTTGCATCGCTTCCAGTTTCCTGGGGTTCGGCCGCTTGCTTTCCCTTGGACGCCGCCGAGAGCGGCTTGTCGGAGGTCTCGTGCTGTGGCGATGCACTGGAAGCCTGGACCTGCAAGTCGATCAAATCTCCAGGCTCCGGTCCGCCTCCCGCCTGAGCGGGCAGGGCTGTTGAGCCATGGGCATCTTGTTCCGTCATATCGACTTCCCCCGCAGAGGGGTCCGTGGGAGCTGTCACCTCGCCATGGGGCTTGCTGGACAGCGTCTCGTCGGGGACAGACTGGCTGGAGGGGTTGACTGAAAGCTCCGGCGGAGACATGCACGACTTCAGGGCAGCGGATCGAGGGAGAGGAGATGGGGCGGTGTCGGGGAGGAGGGTCGGGGTGCGTCAGATGGAGGGAGCCAGCCCATCCGCTTGCTTGTGAGGCTGAAGCCTAGGTGCTGAGCTTTGAATCGACAAGGCGGGGATGGGTAAGCTGGTCCTTGTCGGAGCGGTGTTGGGAGGTGGGGCAAGCGAGCGAGGTTCGTCGAAGCTGGCGATTTCGAGGGTCCACGGAGAAGGGACTGCCGCAGGAGGGGTCCGAGGGAGGGAGATATGCCGGGGCAGAGGTGTTTTGATGATATTGTTGGTGTTGAGTTTGGTATATGGCGATGGAGTTGGCGCGGCAAGTCCCCAGGCCGTCAGGTCGCCGAGTAATGGAAGGGAGCTGGCAGGAAGGAGGGTCTTCTCCACCGCGCTGCCGGGGCTACTGGATCGGCCACGCTCGCTGAGGAGGTACCTATCGTCGCTATCTTTTTAGTGGGAGACGCGCCTGGTCAGGTGGGCGCAGTGTCGAGATGGCGGGGCAAGGGGTCACACAGCATGGGCTATGGGCCATCTTAGTGGCTTCCACGCCCTGTGACGTCGCATTAAAATAGCCCACCCTCCATCCACACGCCGAAGACTCACACCTTACTTTAGTCTTTAGCTCCCTCAGCCGTTACCACTAAGATTCGAGGAGCCTCAACCATCTGTAGATGACTCTGTAGAGTGACAAGTAATATGAATGGTATAAGAGACCCGCGTTCCCCACGAACATGTGAATGATCATACGACAACACCAATCTGCCTTATTTCCATCTCATCATGGCCGCTGTCACCACCGCCTCTCAAGTCCCCTACCGGCAGATACGTGCCCTTTATGACGAGACTACCATCACTGTCTACCAGGCTTACAAGGCCTCCATAGCCGATGCCGCTGTCAACACCCAGAGACTCAATGCCTCTCCCGATTTTAAACCCGGACGTATGACCTGGGTCAAGCCCAGCTGGGCTTGGATGATGTACCGCGCGGGCTACTCCCACAAGGACCCTGGCCAGTCGCGCATCCTCGCTCTCAAGATGACACACGAACACTTCATCGGCCTGCTTGAAAGAGGAGTTCTGTCCACCCACGTCCAGCGGAACCAAGCAGCAGACAGCAACGAGCAGAAGGTCCCCGGCGGAAAACGTCAAAAGTCCGGCGACGTGAGGATCCAGTGGGACCCTGAGCGGACACCCAAACTCGGTGTGCTCCCATATCGCAGCATCCAGATTGGCATTCCGGGCGCATTGAGCGAGACGTGGGCCAATGAGTGGATTTACGAAGTCGAGGACGTGACGGAGACGGCCCGTGAGCTAAAGAGGGTCATTGATGAACAGCCAGGCATTACAATTGAGGAGCTGGTGAAGATGGGTCTGGTTCCTGATGAGAGGCCATTTGATGTGCCGGAATCTGTGCTGAAGAAACTTGAAATGACAGTACCTACTGCTTCGATCGAGTCATGAGGATCGGCTTCCGACATGGAATTTAGCTTATCGACGATTCTTCAATTATCCCCGACATGTTGTGGGGTTAAATGTCACATAATGATGTATGTATATAGCGTATTAGCCTCAAGGACAGGTCGTGTATGATTAATCATAATATTTGCGGAAATATTGCCGCCAAGGTCCATCTCGGGCTGTGTAACCATAATCATCCATAAATCCACCGGTTGGCGGTAATCATGGCGTAGAACTTCACAGTTGGACGTAGCCTTTTAACACTGTAGTTGATCTAGACCTGGATGTCAGCTTCAAGGCTCGACGGACGTGGTTAGTGTGGTTAGAGCCATCAACCTACAATGGCCCGCCCCTATGTCGACAACAGTAGTCACCAGAATCCACCTCGCCTCTGATGAGCAACTAAGAGTTGATCTTAGCAGACACGATTAATGAGAGATACAAACAAGGCGAAACCAGGCTCATTCAACACACTGTGGCGACCCAGAGCGTCCACACTCTCAACGAGATAGCATGCGATTATTAAACGCCCAGACTCTAGAAGTAGAGTCCTTTGCTGGAAATGATGTGCCAGGATATGCGATTCTCTCTCATACTTGGGGAAAGGAGGAGGTGACCCTCCAAGACATTCAGAGATGCAGCCAGGCTGAGATGATGGAGCATGAGCGATACGGTAAGCTGCGGGGAAGCTGTGAGATTGCCACTTCTTTTGGACTCAACTACATCTGGATCGACACCTGCTGCATCGACAAGAGCAGCAGTGCCGAACTATCAGAGGCCATCAACTCCATGTTCCGCTGGTATGCCGAGTCGGCCGTCTGCATCGCCTACTTGGAGGACGTCAGCAGCACGAGTGCTTCTGACGGGACAAACTCCATGTTCAAACAAAGCCGTTGGTTTACGAGAGGTTGGACCTTACAAGAACTGATCGCCCCCAGCAAGGTGGTCTTCTACAGCGACGACTGGACGCCCCTTGGCACCAGAGACTCGCTGAAGAAGGATATACAAGAAGCCACAAGAATCCCGGAAGAGATGCTTGAAGTAACATCCCAGTCTAAATGGAGCCGGGATCGAAAATTACGCCAACTGTCTATTGCCGAGAGAATGAACTGGGCAGCGAAGCGGGAAACAACTCGACCGGAGGATATCGCCTATTGCCTTCTTGGTCTCTTCGATATCCACATGCCCTTGCTCTATGGCGAGGGGCAAAAAAACGCCTTCAAGCGACTTCAAGAAGAGATTATAAAGTCCACCGACGACGAGTCCATCTATGCCTGGTGCCTTCCTCGACACCTCAGCGAAGGACAAGACTTCTGGGGCTTGCTTGCTGACAGTCCGGCGGCGTTTGAGATTGACCATGGACTGGAGGATATCAATGGCTTGGTCCCTCAGCGATCCAAGTATGTTTCGCTCCGATCCGGGTTTTCTACGGCTACGACAAACCGAGGTTTGCATCTGGAACTCCCTCTGACGCCACTCCCGACGGATGAGTCGGGGACCATCTTTTTGGCCTTCTTGAACTGCGAGTTGCGGAGGGGTCAGGGCTCTATCAATCCGGCAATTCTACTCCAGAGGACTTCGTGGGATAACGACGCCTATTTTTCGAGAATCCGACCCGACATGTTGGCCCTCTCAATGATGAACAACATCATTCTCCCCGATGAGCTCCTGAGCATTCTAGCAAAGGACCAGGCCGAGCCTTTCACAGAAGCGGTTCCCCGGCAGATCTTTGTACCTCATAACGCCCCGGAAATCAGGTATCTCAAGGGCATGATATTTCATCCCGAGATGAAAGACCCAGAAGAAGAGTCGCCTTACGCCGTCCACGTTAGCTCCCGATCACCGACCTGGCAATACTTCTATGACGTGACCAAGGAGTTCTCAGGCTCGCCAGAATCCTACGAAATCAACTTTGACCAGGCTCCTGGCCCCTCTGTGGAGGATTTGACGAGCCCCAAGGTCCTCGGGGTGCTTGAGCTCAGCCTCAACGGCGTGCATGGTTCACAACCCGAGGGAACATGCTTGGTCACCGGCGTGGAGCCTCTACCACCGAATCCATTCGACACCGCGGCCTTGTACTACGTGCCGTGTTACGCGTTCGAGACTCAATCGCGAATTTCGAAGGGGGACTTTGAGGGCGTTCTGGATAAATCGCAGCGGGCGGACAGTTTGAAACTCCTGCACACTGTGAGGGCATCGATTGGACTGGAGAGTAAATACTCCAGTTTGTTTTATAGTATATCCTTGAAGGTGGAGGTTAAGAAGGGGGGGGAGGGTGGTCTCTTCTGGTTTTAAATGAACCAAATGACGTATTTCTCAGCTATGAAGCTTGACAATCCGTTATGGGCTATTTTCCTGACAGGCCGCCTTCAGGGGCGAGGACGGCCCGCTCAACCGGCGGCGGCAAAAGGAATGATATCTAAGCATAACAATTATCGCTTCTCGGCTATGTTCTCTCCTCAAGTGGTTCGAACAATGCCATAGATTCTCTATCCATCGAGAATATCCAAAATCAATCATTGGCGCGTTGTCCGAGACGCGGGCGACATATGGCAGCCGACACCCAAATGATGAATCCTAGCCATGCCTACCTCAGGCTGAGCTCCCCAGAAGCGCAAGTTGGCACAGAAAGCCAGAAAACCCAAGACAACAAATTGAATGATTCGTCTAAGTATTCGAACATTTCGTACATGGCGGGATGCCTGCCAACCCGCACTTAATGATTAACCGTCCATTGTGGCGCGCCCTTCCTCTCCTTCAGCTTCAAGGACGTGCTCGTCCATCGAAAATACCATGCCGGCCCAAATTCAAATCGATACAGTGTCCAGAACGCCCGGTTCCGCTTCGTGCTCTATCCGCTGGTGATGTCGTTACAAGGCAATCGCGCCTCTTCGGCTCTCGCGGGTGTGTAGAAGTCCCTGGATTCCGCAGAAGACGAAGAAACCCTGCAATCGGTCAGTGTCTGCGCGTAATTATGCGGTCGGTGAAGGGATGGATCGGGCCGGAATGAATGCGCGCGGGTCGAGGTTACGTACAGTGTAGACGATGACGGCAGTAAAGATGGTACCGGCCACTGCCTTGCCGTCCTCGGGATCCTCCTTACCACCGACGAACTCCTCGTGGCCGCTACGGTATAGAAGAGCGATAGCACTGAGGATGAGGATGGCGAAGACGGAGAGAACCGTGCTAAAGAGCTCAATGTTAGCTGCGTCATGTCGGGTTGAAGCTAGGGCGGATGGGATTGGCGCACCAGGACCACGCGTTGAAGGCGCTGACGACGGGCTTCATGATGGGCAGAATCGGGGGATTGTATGATCGGAGCGAAAGAGGAGTCGAAGGCGTTGCGAGCAAGGCGGGCGGCGGGGTGGTTGTGGGAGATGTTGATGGCGAGACTGTTGGTTGGAGCTGCCTGCTTGGGGGTGTTGTTCCTGGCTGTCGACAGACAGCCAGTTCTTGCCTCACTGATAAGGCTGGAAGCATGCGCCACACAATGCAATCGGATAAGCAGCGTGCGCCACACTTCGCCTGCCACACTCCAGAGTTCCTGAATCAATAATAGATCACTGCATCTTTTCGGCTCTCGTCACTTGATTAAGACAAAGAGCAAACATGATTTCTCATTACTCATGCTCGGTGCGCTTCATTCGAGCTACGCATCCATCTGTTTCTATTCTGGGAATAAGGCGCGTGCAGCCAACAGCCTTGATACTTAGAAGCGACGGAGGATTGGCCGCTAACTGGAATCTCTCAAGCTCAGCTCATGAAGGGATGCAAACCGAAACCCAGAGGGATATTAGCCTGTTGGCTGCTGTATTCCTTCCATGCCCCTTTGAGTTTCGGGCTTGCACAACGTTGCATGTTGCGATCCTTGGCGGGCTACCAACGCGGTTATATTTATCGACAAGGCAGCCAGCACGACAGCTATCCTTCTAGTTGGAATTATGCAGTGAACAAGCGCCCAGATCAGTGATTGGGGTGTCTCAGCGATACCCACATCCAGCGGGCGCAGCGAGGTCGATCGTTGAAATCCATGACGCAAATTTATAGTGATACATTGCAAGCGACCTTGGCGCTGACGGGGAGACGCTCTGCCGAGATGGATGCGCCAATGGTTTGCAGCGTCACCCACACTGCTTGAAACGAAACGAAACGCCTCTCAAGCCATGGCATCCCATTTTAGCCCATGGAACTGCAGCTGCACCTTTACCCAACAACACAATTGTTTGATGGCGGTGAACTCCTGATCCAGTCTAGACGAAAGATATGGTCCCATGAGGCGGTTGGTTGGCTGTTTGCTCCAGTGCCAAGCTTTGATCATCAGGGAGTGCTGCAGTTGAGAATGCTCCAAACCGCGAATCCAGGCACATATTTGAATGTCGCTTCTCTCGGAGTTAGTCCTGCAATTACAGGCGTCCACTGTTGCACGTCGTGCAGCGTCGTACACTTCCTTTGCTTTCCAAACGACGAGCTTGTCAGCACAGCCTCCGTCGCCTTGGCGATGAGGTCCGAGAACTGGATCTGCGACATGCAAACATCCGCCACCGGCAGAGTACGAAGAAGAGAGCAGCGGCCCGACGGTCCCGGTCAATAGAAACAGAGGCCGCTGTGAAACCAAACGCCACGGCGTCCTGGGATCCCGGCTGCAGCGTCTGTCGACAACCAATCGTGGCCGCGGAGGGCCAGCCCAAAGAGACGTCACCCCGGCAGCAGTGCCCTCCCCGCGTTTGAGCGTGGCATTGATTCGTTGAGGCTCGTCTAGATGCAACAGAGCCTCCTCCAAAGATTCGAACATGTGTGTTGTACGGGAGCGGCCTGCATTGGCTGCGCATGAGCGTTGTCCAACCGCCGCAGCTCCGGCTTCCATACCAAGCCCCTAGAGAGAAGCCTTATAATCCCGTCGTTCTGCACCTGCCAGCTGCCTGCCAGACCGTCGCGCCCTGGCCTCAGCTTTTTCTCACCCGCTGTGATTCATACCTAAATGCCCTTCAAAGACAAAGGACCAGCCACACTGTAAGGGCCGTCTCTCTCCCTCTGCCGCTGTCTCACCTCGTCTTCCTCGACAACCTAGCAACATTTGCCCTGCACAACAAAACCACCGCTCTGACGCAACCAAGTCCTTCTCTCACCTCAAGCCACCCTACATCCATCCAAGATGCGATCCTTTGCTGCCCTTGCCGCTTTGTCCTTGGCACTCGTCGGTCACGTTGCTGGCCGTGACGCGGAGCCCGTCACCGACAACCCTGTGGGAGTCGTGTACAAGGCTACTCTCCCCAAAGATCCCTTCTTCAAGGGCGCTGCCCTCGACGGAAACGTCAAAGGATTCATCACCGCTATGGCCGCTGAGGATGAAAACGGCGTCAGGTTCAAGGTCAAGTTCGAGAACCTTCCCAAGGAGGGTGGCCCATTCCGTGAGTACCCGAATCCTGTGTTTGGCTGAAAACACACAGTAGTTGACACATGATAGTATACCACCTTCACGTCGATCCTGCCCCTGATGGCAACTGCACCAAGACCCTTGCTCATCTGGACCCTTTTGAGCGCGGCGAGGAAACCCCTTGCGATAATTCCATCCCCGCTTCGTGTCAGGTCGGAGATCTCAGCGGGAAGTTTGGCAAAATCGAGACGGATCCGTTCGAGGTGGAGTACACCGATTACTATGCATCCACCAAGGAGGGTATTGGTGCCTTCTTTGGCAACCGATCCTTTGTCCTGCACTACGCCAACAAAACCCGCCTTACATGCGCAGACTTTGCCCGCCTGGAGGATGCTGTACCACCTCCTTCCAACGTGACCTACACTCCGCCACCAATGGCCTCCCCTACATCCTCAAAAACCGGCGGGCTTGTGCCATCTACGACTGGAGCTGCCGGGCAGCCATCTTCGACAGGGACCCCCATCCCATCCACAGCTTCTTCAAATATGCTGTCGGCTTCCTTCCTGGTGGCGGGCATCGCTCTGCTCTGGGCTGCGCTATAATGGGACTTATTTGTAAAACCTGGGCTTCTTGCAGGAAGCATCAAAAAGGGTTGAAAATGCGAGGATGGTAGGCGCTAGGAAACAGGGTTCTCGGAAGATGAGAACTGGCGCCGAGAGATTGATGGATTCGCCAACATGTCAGAGCATATTACCGGCATACCTAGATAGAGGTAGACACTTCCCTTCATAGGGGCTTTACTTAGGTCCGGTATAAAAACTACCTAATTCACACAATGAACTGTAATATGCCAGGGGGGGTATTGGCTATTATTTATTTGTATTTTACCAAAGAGATGAGCTAATAACTCTTATAGCTCGAACGCCGATATTGCAATCCACATATTTAGTGATTGTAACTATAATTCGGCCGCAAGTTATTTCTAAATCTAGCTACTGACGCCAGGGTCGCTACATGGACTTGGCTCTCTGGCCTTGACTGATGCCCATATTAAGGAAGGTCAGTGGCAAATAAGTCCCCTAGAATGCATATACTTACCTTATGGCCTGTAGATTCCATGACCGCTGCATACTACATCGGATAATAGCATGCCTAATGCTGCGGTGACCTTTTGTTCCCGCTAATGTGGGAAATCTGAGTGGCGTCCCCAAGCTTCGGGAATCCCGTCTGCAACCATGCAGCTGCCGCCTGCCGGTGAGCTTATGGCAACCCCAGAACTCAAGTGGAGCATCAGAAACTCGGAAAGGAAGGCATTCCAAAAAGGGCCGAGTTGAGTCCTGCAAGCTAATACCTAGTTTGGATCGATATTCCTGGCTCTAATCGGGCTGCCCTTCATCAAAGCGCGGATACCGGCTCTTATACCAGGTTACAGAATCCAGATTGTTACTCCTACCAGTGCCTACGCAGATAGAGTATTCGTTGCAGCAAATAGGTCCATAACAGTCAATTCATCTATGAGTATTCTCATTGAACTACAGCGAGGAGACGGAGCCTCAGGGCTGAAGGTAGTCTAGAGTTCGTTAACAACACAACAAAGCAATACAAGTTTGAGCCACGCGTTTCAAGAAGCCGGGACATCCGCTAATTGATTGAAAGCTAGTTCAATTTTAGCAACAGACGGGTATCCCTAGCCTCTGCGGGAGGCAGTGGAGGGGCTTGGCTTGTTCAACGCGTGGTGGGAGAAGAGTCTCCGGGCCTGAAACCAACTATATCGGCGACCAGTGCTCTCAACAGGTCGCCGGCCTTTAGTACCAGTGTCTTTATCGACAACACTAGACTATTCGCCAGTTGTACGTCACTATTACTCGGGGGTCGCCGTCCTCTTGTGGTCGCCGACAAATATGGTCGCCGAAACTCGAGCTCGCCGATATCTATAGTCGCCGAACACTCAGGTCGCCGACGTTATCAACTAATATCATAAGCTATTGCGTCTTCTAGAAGTTCAGCAGGCAGCGCATCTATGTGCATGGAAGCACCAGCCTCAGCCCTGTGGATCCACCTCACCACATTCACTGCCTCGCGAGACTCATGCTTGTCCCCGTCCTACAGGGATGAGCAACTCGCCGATCCATCACCCCCGGCCTAATTTTCCAGTTCCTTGAATGGAATCCTCCGTGTTCCTGCTGTATGGTACGCGATACACTGTGAGATCTTCGATATTGGGACTGGCAAGGCCTCCAGTGTATTCGGGCATCTCCTTATGGCCAGGGAAGGTGTGTGCCTTGTTTTCAGCCGCTGTGGGGCTGGTGGGTGAACGCCATCTAGGATATATGTCACCATGATGCCTCGCCCTGTGGTGTTTTTGTCCAACTTCTAAGAACAGATCAGACACATTTAACGACCTCAAGCTTCTAGTATTCGTCAATTTTTTTTCAATTCCTCAACCGAGCCTCTCAATCTCAACAACCGAAACTATCCCCAACTTGTTTCATTTTCAGCCATCCCTTCCCCCACTTAGACTTATTTCTCACGCCGCCACACCTTTTGGGCTCGCATTCAGCTCCGGACCATCGGTCCATCGCCACGCCACCAATCATATCAATACAGATTCAGCTCTCGGATATTTTAACCGAGTCGGCACCCTCCTACATGCCTTCTTCGCTCCTGGTACGTGGTTTTCCTTGATTACCAAGACCGAAGGATCTGTAGCCACGTCTTCGTCGCCCTAAATTTCAGCCCCAGCTCCCCTCACAAGAAGTCCGCTATCATTTTCCCACGAGAAGATCTTCAGCTTCAAAAAGCCGCATCCAGCGACATGACACATGCTGCTTTTGAGGCCATATATGATGCTAACAGCCTTCTCCTCCAGCTTGAAACCACGTCACTGCCTCCAAGACCGAGAAGGTCAGTGACAGGGCCGTCAAACATGGAATACAATTCGTCCGTGGACAAGTTCCGAGATGACGAGTATCCCAACATGTCTCAAGGTGCGAAACGCCAACTCCAGCTCTTATCGCGCAAATCTTGTTAACGCAAACTCTCAGGGGCATATCTCGATCATGGAGGCGCAACTATCTATGCCCGCTCGCTCGTCAGCAGCTTCTCGCACGCAATGATTAGTAACCTCTGGGGAAACCCACACTCTGAGAACCTCCCAGCGAAGCTATCTGGAGAGATGATCGACAGCGTTCGAATCAAAGCCTTGGAATTCCTAGGAGCTGATCCTGAGCATTTTGACTTGGTCTTTGTCGCAAACGCCACTGCAGCCATTAAGCTGGTAGCCGACGGGTTTCGCGATCTCGGGGAGAAGACGCCAGGCAAGAGCTTTTGGTACGGTTACCACAGAGAGGCTCACACCAGCGTCATTGGCGTTCGGGAGTTCACTGCTGGTGACTATCACTGCTTTGAAGACGATCAGCAAGTAGAGCGTTGGCTGGAATGCCCGACCAACACCCCCGTTCGAAACTCCAAATCCACGGGCCTGGGCCTGTTTGCGTATCCTGGGCAATCCAACCTCAGCGGACGTCGACTACCCAAGGGATGGCTAAGGAAAATCCGAGAGAACCCGCAACTTCGAAACACTTACACGCTCTTCGACGCCGCTGCCCTCGCCATGACGAGCTCCCTAGGTTCACTTTTTAGCGACCCCGATGATGCCCCCGATTTCACCTGCTTGTCATTCTACAAAATCTTTGGATTCCCCGACCTTGGCGCCTTGGTTGTACGCCGGTCATCGGGCCATGTGTTGAATCTGAGAAGATATTTCGGAGGAGGAACTATTGCTCAGCTTTTCCCTCTTAATGGAGACAAGCGCATCGCGAAGAAGGTTCCGGGTCTGGGAGACCAGTACGACATGTGGAGCATTCATGATGGCCTTGAGGATGGAACCCTTCCGTTTCATAGCATTTTGGCGCTCGGTCTAGCCATAGATACGCACATCCGCCTTTACGGTTCCATGGTAAGATATGTCCTGATCTTGACAAGGGATGGAAGCTAACCGAGCAAAGGACGTCATCTCTCGCCACTGCAACTACCTCGCTCGTTCACTGTACAAAAGTCTCGTGACGCTAAGATATCCTAACGGCTCCCCTGTTGTTGAGGTCTATGTCGACGACCCGACTATGTACGGAGATCCTTCGCGACAGGGTGCGACGTTTGCCTTCAATGTGCTGAGGCAAAACGGCACCTATGTTCCTTGGACCGATATCGAGAGGCTCGCCAATGAGGCCGGGGTCTACATCCGAGCAGGAGGTGAGAATATTGCACGAAAATGAGAGACCCATTGACTAACGGACTTAGGTGTATGCTGTCCTGGCGGTGTATCAAAAGCCCTCGAGTATGAGGAATGGGAGTGGAATCGAATGTTTTCTAGTGGCCACGCCTGTGGCGCGAACGAGATGGCCATCATCAACAGAAGACCTACTGGGTAAGCCTCAGGAGAATATTGGCTTGTCAGAGCAATGGCTAACCTCGTTTCACAGCATTGTCCGTGCCAGTCTCGGTGCCATGACGACAAAGGCAGACGTGCATGCATTGCTCATGTTTCTTCACAATGAATTCATCGCGGAGGCAACTGAAGTGCAATTGCCATCACTTTTGGAGCCGTCCAGAGAAACCCTCCGACTTCCCCTCCGAGAGATGAATCCCAACTATAATATGGCCAGCGTCGCCTACCTGAAGGAGCCATGAAGCTGGAGGCTTCCAGCTTAAGCCTGGTTGGGTTATTGTAACTTTGAACATACATGTTTGATTAGAATTGTTTTTGTTTGATACTGGGGAGCATAGCAGCATGCATACATGGAGTTTGGAGTTTTACACACACCACAGATGAGTCAACGCAAGACGTTATCGGAAGATAGAGGTGCCGGCACCAATAGTAATGATAGATGTTTGATTAATTGTTTGAAGTTGGTTTATTATATAGCCACTGTATACAAACGGAGCGGAGTTTCCGGCCTGGTCAGCGCTACGGATGCAAACGTGCGTATCATTGGTGTCATTGTCGCTTGTCCATTCCTGTGTCACAACTAACCCGCCCAGTGGTTTTAGAACACTACCGCCGAAAACCATCTTGCGTACGCGGCGTTTGCCCTAGGCTGCCTGCAGGGCATTTCCCCCGGACCACGCACTGTAAGTTCGTATAAGTAGGGAGTTGATGCTACACCCGACCGGCAATTCGCAACTCTTACACAACCAAGTCTGGCGGCACACCTTCACGTGATGCTGCATTCAAGACTCAGACGTCAAGACGCAGACTTCAAAATCGAATATTGCATCACAAAGGCCATTTCCCACTGACGATTTAGGCACGGAACAGCCAAGCAATTCGCCTGCTTGAGAGGGTGAGGATCTTCGAACCACATTTGACCAGCGCCCCTCCCAAACAAAGCGGATGCGCCCCTGCCATTTTCTTCGCATCCAAGTTGGCGAGCAGTGTTGACTTCGAATCCTGAAATAGTTCACTACCCCACGCCGCCCACCTTCTACAACTTGCGCCAACATTTGTGCGGCAGCCCTCCAAGCCGTTGATATCGGGACTTGCGGGCGACGGCCTAGATCTCACCGGTTCTAATGCGATAATACAGGTCTGCACAATGGCCAAGAAGAAGAGCAAGCAGGCGCCTGGCGACGGAGCGCAAGTTGCGCCAGAAGTCTCGCCCTCTACTCCAGCGCTCGCGATTCCTCAAGTCCCCGGCACCGGCGCGGGAGGGACAAGGACGAATTCCAAATCGCCGAGAGTCGCTCCGCCAGGTTCCCCTTATCCTCCCCTCATGCTAAGTCGGAACAAGTAGGTCCTCTCCCTACGCGCTGAGTCTGCAGTCTTGGGTTGCGTCTGTCCGTCGGCGCATTGCAAGTCGGCGCTGGGGCTCAGTTTGCTAACAATCGGGCCAAGGCACTGGCGATACATCTCCTGCTTTCACGGCCCCTGGCTCCAAATGCCCATTGAGATCCTCGAGACTATTGCAAACGTCAACTACAACACCCCGCGACCGCGGCCCATGGATCCCGCCGCCTTATTCGATCTGGTCAAGATCCGGCGGCTCGTCGATGAGGCCACGAACCTTGCCGTGAGGGCTACCGGTGATATCGCCTCGCCAGTCTTGACGGATGTAAATGGCGGCTTGCCTTCATTCACCAATGCAGGACACGGAGCAAAACTGAGTCGAGAACGAAAATTCCGGATGAGAGAGCAGGCAAGCCAGAAGCTTGCTCGCGCATATCGCCTGGATGAGATCGCAACCAGCGTCGCGACCATGCAAGGAGCCGGCACTCTAGAAGAGGTCGGTAGGCTGGTGCTGCATCGCATCCCACAGGATTCGGACGCCAAGTATGTTCATTTCTTTCACGAAAAGATACCCGCCCGCCGGCTGGCGGCCTCCACCAGCGTCCAGTCTTTGACGGAGATACTATCCGACAGACCAACTGAGGGAGAGGCATTGCGGACAAGGGCCATGGTGAAGGGCTTCAAGGACGACTTTGAGGGTGCGGCGCAGGACCTCACACTCGCTCTATCAATGTATCGCTCTCATCAACAGCCGCATAGCGCAACCGAGGACGAACTGCGCCTTCAGGAGTCGCATCGGACCGGGAGACGGCCCCAAGACGTCATCTTGGCTGAAAAGGACCAGCCCAGCAGCTTGGAGGGTCAACTATTGTTCCAGCGAGCTACGACCTACTTTACCTTGGCCTGTCAACATGCGTTAGACGCCGTGTCGTCGCCCAAGGACCTAAACAGCCACGCGAAAACGGGGGATTCAGGTGAGCAGCCAGCCTCGGAAACCAACAGACGTGGTTCCCCTGATCCGGACAGGGAGTCGCAGCAAAAGCAGGTCGAATCGCGCAAACTCGTCAAGACCTATGCGAAGCGAGCACTTCGAGATTACATGTCTTTCATCTCACGGTTCGAGTACGCCCCAAGCCTGCCTGTCAGGGTAGCCAAGGATTTCAGCGACCGCGTTAACCTCGCGGCTAACGGCATCCGCAACCCTCGATCATCTGAACACAACTCCCTAAAGGAGCCTTACCCAACGTACTCCCTATCCGACCTGTTTGCAGCAGTTCCGCCGTCAAACCTACCTGGGTATCCGTTCCCAGACCCCCCAATATCTGACACGACGACTCCGCCCCTTGATAGAATGTGCCAGTGCGTCACATATCATCCATTACTGATAGACGCGCTGCACTCACTACTACTCTGCCATTGCCTTGTCCAAACCTCGTCCAAGGAACTCCTGCGCCATGCCAACATGGTGGCTCGACTCATTCGCCTTGTGGATGGATACCCCCTTTTCCACGCCAGTAAGTCCGATGCAAGGTCGGACTGGATCGACGTGATCCGTCGCGCAGACAACTGGCTGCATCTGAGCGCCCCTTGGGAGACTCTCTGTGCACCTGCACCCCTCCCCGTGTTTGATGTCCATACACAGAAGAAACCAGGTCCCTGCCCTGCCCGGGCGGCCTCTGCGGCGGCTGCGATGCTCAGTGGAGGGACAGTTCAGAATACCACCCAGAAGGAACGTGATGAGAGAATCAAGGAGGGAATCCGTGAGCAAGCCATCCTAGATTCCTTGGACGACGGCTGTGTCCATGAGGAAGAGGGCTTCTGCCCTACGGCGGAAGATCGTGCTGCGTTCGGCCCCAGTTCCCCCTCCCCAGGGGATGCGGATACATGGTACAGCCCCGGTGACACTTTTATCGACATGGCTGTGGATCCAGCAACCCAGCGGTGGTCCATCATTGACGCAAGGGAAGTTCCCATCCTCACTGAGCGGGCGACCACTATCGCCCAATGGGTGCGCGAAGCACCCGTCGTTACAGGCACGACAAGGCGGAAGAAGCGCACCAAGAGGCCGGGCAAGGCGGAGGGCTTGGATAGCGCCATGGGGGAGTTGGGGCTTGGGGAGGTGGAAGCAGCGAAATGCGAATAGCGGAGAGCTAACTTGTATGAATCCTCGCATTACATGCAAATGCGGCATCATACACGGTAGTTAGTAACTATCCTCCTAGCCATGTAGTATGTCGCGGGCCGATGAATTGATTATAACCACGGTCCAAATCCATCACCTCAACGTCGTCGTTTTATTTGGAGGGGGACAGGGACAGTCTTCTATGTCTTAATCGTCTCCCCCATCGTCGTCTCCCATCATAAAATCGTCATCGTACAATCAGGTTCGTCTTTTCTGACTCTTATTAGGGTACATTATTCTGTGTGCAAATAACAAGATCCGTGTGTGCGGTTAGCATCGCACTACAATGGTTGATGGCACATGTGTATGTTTGAAACGTGATGCCTGCTGGTGATTTTAGTATCGTCAAGAGGGTGGAGGCAGATGGTCATGACGAATCACACACGGAGTTACGATCTGCAATGCAGGATTTAGATGCGTTTGACACAGGAATTGTGCGGCCTGCACAAGATTAGGCGTGTCAAACACGGGGCTCAAACGCAGCAAACACAGAAACACAGTGCACCCTCACTAATACCGTCATTGACAACGGCTTCTATCGATTGTTTGTTACCCTTTTTACAATTAAATTCGAAACAGGAGTCCAGCAGAAGATGCCGTCGAAACGGAATGCATATCGCTCAGGGATGTTAGTTACGGCAAGTCGAGTCTTACCTCCATCCCCACTCTCTGTCGGTTGGGGGTTCTGGTGGTTTAGTATCATGAAATGGCACAGCAATTAATACATGACGGGCTACGGATGAAGAGCATCTGGCAAGGAGGCACATGCATGATGTGACCGGGTATATTCAATAAATACTTAGATTATCCCCGTGTTCGTACTATATAAACCCTCACAAGGCCATCTGTCCAAGCGCCCAACTCACAATGAGCAGTCACCAGCTGCAGAAGCGTCTCCAGTGGGAAAATCAGACACCAACCTCACGTCGTCGCTCCGACTCGTGAATCTCCGCACCATCCTTCAGCTCAACAGGCGGGGCCTGCTGCTCAACACCGACGCCAAGAATCTGGGCACCCTTCTCAGTGTGGTCGGCGCCACCAAAGATGACATCCATCTGCTCAAGGGCGACACCCTTGGTCTCGGGGATGAAGAAGTAGACAAAGGCGCAGAGCAAGAGGTTGACTCCCATAAAGAAGAAGAGACACTTGAGGCCCACCTTCTTGAGGAAGGTAGGGAAGAACTGTTGGAAGATGGTGTTGGCGACGTTCTGGCACTGCGAGGCCATGCCGATAGCCTGGGATCGGACGTTGGCAGAGAAAATCTCGGAAGTCCACATCCAGACAGTGGCACCCCAGGAAGGCTTGTAAAAGAAGCTGTGATACAATGTTAGTGGACGATACAGGTGCATGCGCCAGCCTAGGCTATGGGAGGAGACTTACATGAAGAGGAAAAGCAGGAAGACAATACCGATGGCCACGGGTTGAGACTTGACGCCGTCGGTGGTCGGAGTGGCCATGCTAATAACGGGAACAAGCATCATGCAAAGAGCCATACCAATGGCACCAACCATGAAGAGCCAGCGACGACCGAAGCGATCGGCAGTCCAGGCCGCGTTAAGAGTGAAGAGGATACCAAAGGTGGCCCACAGCGCGTTGATGAGGTTGCTGTTGGGAGGGTCGACGTTAGCTTCTCAGTTCAAGGCAACGGCGGCGAGGAATGGGGACATACATTGTCGTATCGGACTTCCAAACCTTCTTGTAGATGGACGTAGAGTAGGTGTTGAGAGTACCCTGGCCGGTGAGCTGCTGGCCGACGTTGAGGACGACGGCGAGACCGAATCGCTTGCGGACAGAGGGATCCTTGAAGAGGGCCGAGTAACCGGGGCTGATGATCTCCTTCTCGTACTCGATAGCCTCACGGATGGCAAGGAGCTCCTCCTCGACCTCCTCGTCGGTCTCGCGGATGCTGCGCAGGGCGGCGCGGGCGGCATCGATGTTGTTGTTCTTCTTGATGTGCCAGCGGGGCGACTCGGGCTGGAAGGGAAGAGCGGCGAGGATGATGATGGGAACCAGGATCTGGAAGATGACGAGGATGCGCCAGTCCCACTCGCCGAGCTTCTCGCGGTGCAAGGAGCAGGCGTAGTTGATCCAGTAGGCGATGAAGGCGCCCACGGAGTAGTTGAGCTGCCAAAAGGTCATGACCTTGCCACGGATGCTGGCGGGGACGACCTCATTGATGTAGACGGGACCGGCAGCTGCACAGATTTGTTAGCCACGAAGTCTTTTTGTTTCTCAAGGGGAGGGAGAAGCATACTCAGAGCTGTGCCCTGGCCCATACCGATGAGGACACGGCCAAAGATGAAGACGCCGAGCTTTCCCTTGGGCGAAAAGGTCTGGATCAAGGCGGCAATAATGGTAATGAAGCATCCAATGCCCATTCCCCATCGTCGACCAAGGAAGTCGGCCTGGGATTGACTGTCAGTACCGAGGTGAGAGATGAGCGAGGGAATGTTGACTTACGATGGGGCCGCCCATGAAGAAACCACTGACAATGGCACCGATGGTATAGCAAGTGTTGATCAAGCCAATTCTGTAGGTATCTTCTTCCTGGAGGGGGTGGTGTTGTTAGCTTGGTGATTGGCTACCAGGGTGACATTGATGCAGGTAGGGATGAAGCCGAGGCCAAGACTTTAGGGCGGTCTGGGCATCGGGATCACGGCACTAAGGACGAGGAATAGATGATGGATGGATGGATTGGATATGAGGACATACAATATCGAGGTTGAACCAGGCGAGCCAGTGGGCTGAGCCTTGGAGAGCCTGTGAAGAAGATGGGAGTCAGTTATCTCACACACACGTGACTTGGTACTTGGCTGCTGAGAGCCAAGGGCTTCCCTCTGAGCATCAAGCGGTGGGAGAGGGGAATTACATTGAAAACACTAGAATCGAAGCCATAGAGCGTCATGCACGACGCGGCGACGAGACAGATGAACCAGTTGTACTGGCGCGTCTTGTTCATCTTGGCGGTGTTGGGTTGTGTTGACACAAAAGTGTGAAGCCGAGAATTGTCTTGTGGCAACTTGCCTCGGTTGCGATAGCCTCTCACCAAGGGTTGCGGGATGGGTGCCTCAATCAGGTCAACAAAGACACGACAGAAAAGAGGCAAAACGTCCCAAAGGGGAGGATTGTCTCGATGAGCAGTGGGCGAAGAGAGAGAAGGGAGAGAGTGAGATGTGCAAAGGCTCCTGGGGAAAGACAGAAAACGGAAGACGAACGGCCGGTCCTTTTTATCTTTCCCCAGCACTCAGTCAGTCCAGTCCCCCTCCCCCCCAGGATGGTAGGCAAAACACGACTAGGATGGGATGGCCCCGGCATTCTCGCGCCCCGGACCAGACGATTCAGAAGGTTTGCTAATTCGCCAGAGATTAAAAAGGGCGACTCCACCGGCGATGAGCTAGGAACAAGTGCGACTAGGGATGCTAGTTGTGTAGTGTAAGGTAGCATTGCGCACGCTGCGTTGGATGACACGGGTACATGACACTCTGCGCATTTTACGAGTATGCGGTGCGGTACCTGGGCTATAACGGAGGGGCCGCTCTCTACCGATGTATGTAGCCAGCATCTAGGCGAGTTCATGCCCAAAAGCGAGGCAAACGAAAAGGCGAGGTGAGGTGAGGTGAGGTGAGGAGAAGGCTACCTAGGTAGGTGCGGGCGGTTGATAGCGTCCGTTCAGCGCAACAATGCCATCTCCATCAAGTATACCTACTCACTCGGTCCTCCTCCGAACCCTTCACCACCAGGTAGGTCGGTACACACTCACACACATACACGGACGTTATGCCCCCAACGCCGAGAAATGAATTGCCCATTCCTTTTTTTCCCCACGCCCGAATAAAGCAACGAGTCCCGGGCTGTTTGTTGCCGCTTTCCCACCTTCCCCGGGCCCCCTTCTCCACCCGCTCGCCGCTCGCCGCCTCGTCTAAGTATGCCCATGGGCCTCTCTCCGCTCTCACCCGCACTTTTTCTTGCGCAAATCGCATCTTGGCATTCCTCCTAGACTGGCGGGCGTCTGGGGCAAGCAGACCACCAAAAAAAGTGGTGTGGGGTTTCGGGCCATCTTCCTTGGCAGGCGGCTGAATGGGGCGTCGCGAGATCGCATGTCACACCAGGCCAGAGGCGTAAGGGGGCCCTCCCATTGGCGGGAATAGATGTTCCGTGCGGAATAGCACAGACGCAGTGAGTTTGCGGACCTATTTCGTAGTTTCGCCTCCCCAACCCAAGCCTCGCGAGCCCTTGACTTACATGCTGTCCCTGGTTAGTTGGTCTCTTCTTCCCCCCATTCCCAACCCATCCTTCCCTCCCCCCCGTGCGGAGCTCCCGCCTTTCCCCGCACCCCGTGTTAAGCTTCGTGGAGAAGAGAATCTGGGAAGGGGCAAACCCCAAGATCAAGAACCATTGTGAATTTTGCCGGTCGTTGAGGATGGTCAGGGTCTCGTCAGGTCTCGTCCATTCCATCGGCTGCTCGGCATGCCTGGTAGCGAGACGTCAACACGTGGCCAAGACTTGATCAAGATGATCTGCCACCCATCATGTCTGTCCTGCAGCATCATCCTTTTTTGGGGCTTCAAAGGCGGGAGGGGGAGGAAGCAGACGGTCTGCGCATCCATCATCCCATGTCCCGTTGGAAAAAAGATAGCCAGACCATTGCCCAAAGAGTGAACCAGACCCTCACCGCAATCCAATGCGCCTAGCCCTGGTAATCCTTCATTCATCTTGTCTCGTCTCGTCTCGTCTCGTCTCGTCTCGTCTCTCTCTCTGTTTTCGTCATCGTCTCCGTCGTGTCCTTGCTCGCCGCTCCCCTCCTCCTCCTCCTCCCCATCCTCCCACGTTCAATGCCCAATACCCCAAAACAAGTCTTGGCCGCATACGACAAATACCCCGGTCCCCAGTGCCGCTGACCAGTCACCCACATGCCCAGGCCGCGTTCCTGTCGGGGCGCCAGGGATCTCCAGAGCCAAGAGATGAGAATTGGCCGATTTATCCATCTCAGCCAACGAGGTCCCGCTCTCCCGTTCTCCCGCCTAACTAACGTCAACGTCGCCGCCCCCGTCCACCACCCCCATTCAGACATTGGGGGTTTCTCCCTTTCTCCCTCTCACGGGCTGATCTCCCAGGCCTCTCCGGGGCTTCCTAGGGCTTCCTAGAGTTTTTCCACGGCCCCATCCCCTCTGTGGCCCACCGTCGTCACTATATCCCGACTCCAGACCCTCCAGGCGGTGCCGCTATGCCGCTTCAACCGGTCAGGGCCGCACCGAGATTGGTCCACGTCCTGCAAATGGCGTCCTGTGGCGGCGGCGGCTTCGATGCGTCTGGGGACGTCTGGGGAGACGTCTGGGGGGCTCTCTCACGCCTTGCCGTTCGCAGCCCATCCTAATACGACGTACTACGCAGTAAGTCGAAAATAAAGCTGAGGCGCCACTAGCATCCGTCGACACATTTATCCACCCATCACAGTCTCGAGATCTGGCCGCTAGTCATTGTCACATGAATCCTTTCTCTCGGGGAAGCAAGCCACCTATTGAAGTAGAATCCAGCCTCGAAACCCAACCGTTTGCAGCCACAAATTCGTCACAACGTCGAGTCATCAACCAGTCACGCAGCCATTTTCCCATCCTCTATCAAACGAAAGTGTCGTGTTCTCCGTCGCCATCCCCGGTCATTTCGCTAGGCCCCCCTCCTTTCAACAAAGACACAACCCACGTTTGCTCGCCAAACTGGCCCAATCACTCCCAGTGGCAACCCTTCTCTTGGCGACAGCCCTTCTCGGAGGCCTTGTTCGTCTACAATTGGGCCTTGACTGGGGCAATGAACAGGTTACTGTCATCCCCACGTCCAGAACAAGCAACCAAAAGTCCCTTCCTCGCCGCATTCGATGCCAATATTTCCACCCAACACGCATCAACCCATCACCGTCTGCAGCCCTCTCGCTTGTGTACAATGACCAGTATCCAACATCTTTTCCCTCCAGAAATGGGGACAGCCTTAGGCTAATTACCCCTTGGCACAAGATGATGATCGACCCGACAATGCTGCAGTTGGGCCACACATTTTCCCGTCCACGTTTGGTTGACAGGGTTGCAGTGTCCACGAACCTCCCCGCACTCTCATGCAAGTCTCGGCCGAGACACGCTCAAGAAAAGTACTGCATGTTTCCCTGTCACCAAGTCCTGTCAAGACTGGGAGATCAATCACGATGCAAAGAGTATGACTCTTCGAGTAAGCCTTCAAGATGATGGTCCCGACAAATGACGGGTTGCCGCGCCGGACTTCAAAGCAACGCGGTGGCGCTCCAGTATCGCACATTGACAAAATCAGCAACAGGACAAACTCGCGACCCGCGGCCATGGTCAAGGTTTTTAATAGATTCCTTTGGGCGTCATTCCTGGGGGTTTCGAGCTCGCGACTTCTGAGTTGCCATAACCGGGTTGATAGTAGATAGGGATGGCGAACAACCGACCACAGTGCTGTTTGGAATCGAGTCCCCCATAAGATTGTCACCATCGCTCGCGATCACGCTAACATGCCCTCTACTTAGCTTCAGATCCGAGAATCGGGAGCATCGGCTCAAGTACAGCGCCGTTACGCATTGCTACGCGAAAATAGGGCATCGAAGAACCTACCGGAAGTCTCGAATACCCCCGTGAGTGACACGCTTAGACATTCATTCGTCTATAGCTTATCCGGGATCGTACATGCGCAGTAATAAATGCGGTCAACCGCCAACAGGCGTCATTCGGTTGATATCCGTTGACTTCGACAGGATCTCGAAAAGACCGTTGGCGGAGACCACTTAGCACAGTTGGGTTGCGGAGGGAGGTTATCCCAGTGAGAGATGTGCCCGGAATGGTGAAACTGCGGCGTCTTATTCTCTCCATCTAATATCCGCCAAGCCTCTTCAACTTCCGCGCGTTTCTTGGAGAATTTATTGGGGCAGCCCTCCTCGCATCATCTGTGCAACGTCAACGCCCACCCAACGCATCTCCTGGGGCTGTTGTCCGCCATGCATCTGTACCGGGGCCTGTTGAGGCTGCATGCCCCCATTTTGGTATTGCATCTGGTGCTGTTCCCTCGCGACGTCTCGCGCCTGCTTTCGCCTGCTCAGTCGCTCAACCACCTCCTCGGATATTCTCCCAAAGCTCTCTCTCCACATCGCTGCATCTTCCCAGCGATCTCCGTACGTTCCCAGTGTCTGTGAAACCTTATCCAAGCATCGCAAACTACGATCAAGGTTATCCTCCCCTGCTAGACCCTGAGCTTGTAATCGTCTTGGGAGTGGGGGAGCTGGCGCAGCACCAGGGCGAGGGATGGGGATAGGAACCGGCACCCCGGAAAGCAGCATATCTTCTGCATCCCTCAGGACAGCGAGGAACTGGTTAGCCATGAAGTATATCCGCAGTACATCGTGGTACGTGTAGAAGCCTGGGTTTTGCGACCCATGAGCAATCTCGTGGATGGTATCCAGATACGCCATGGAATGCTCGAAAATTAGTATGCGGTTGTAGTCCGTAATTTGCGGTGCCCTAGCTGAGGGCGCAATGCAGTAGACGTAGCTATATCGTAGCTCTTGCTCAAACAACTGTCGAATTCCTGGTGCAAGGGTGGGAGGAAGCGATTCGGCCCATTCCCGCATGTCCAAACACATGTTCCAGATGTAAGAGATAGGATCTTGCAGAGGAGTCGATCCCGACTGGTATAGCTCTTGGTACCAGTGAGACTGCGCACGCCGAAGCTGGAAGAGGAGCAGAGCTGGGTCTGCCGACTGTGGTCCAGCGATAGGTCCCGGATTGGATACCTTGCGCCCCCCCAACCCAGAAGCATGCGGGAACGCAACATTAACTGTGTCGTCAGTGAAGGAGAATGTTCGAGCATGTACCATGCTAATGGCTCTGTGGAGGGGTCAGTATTTTGCATCATACGGGCTAGGAAGGATCAACGAACCGATCGAGCGCATACACGCAATAGAAGATTTTCCGTCGCATATCAAGTGCTGTCTTGTCGGATACGGAGGACATTGGTGGATCCTGATGGAAGCCGAGATCAACAATAGCCCGAGCCGTAAATCCTATTAGGTGCCAGCTATCAAAATGAGCAGGGTCCAGCATCGCGTACTGCGTTAGGAGAAGCAGAGACTGGATCTGGGTGACATATCCGGGTGCCAGGGCCCCGTCGGCAAAGCTCATGGCTCTGGAAGCAAACTCCAATCCTTTAACGTAGTGCTCATCACCCTTTTGGCGGCTTTGAGTAGTGGAACCAATGGCAAGCACCATGTAGACCATCCAGCAATCAGAATCTTTGATAACACGATCATCCTGCTGGTACAGGTCATCCAAGGCGGTGAGTAGGCCTGTTTCTGAGAAGGATGGGAATAATGAGTAGATGGTGTTCATGTAATGTTGAACAATGCAATGGGCAGTCTGTCTTGGGGGCAGACGAGCCTCTGGGGACTCTGGGAGAGCATCGTTGGTGGTGGCAGCGAGGACGAGCCTGGCAAAAGTCATATTGCTAGCAGTAGGCTCAAAGTCTCTTGTGGTTGCGTTGACAGATCTAGAGAAGGGTCAGGAGTCTGTTGATGAGATGGGGGGTTCTTGATACTAACAGGAACCCAAAGTCGGAGACGAGCGAATTGACGTCGGAGTTTTCCCGCTTTCGGGCGGCCTTGCGATGAATGGCAGCGCGAATAGCGGCGAGGGAGTCCCTCCTATCCATCTGGGGGTTGAATGTCGATGTGTCCGGGTCATGGAGGGCAACAGAGGCCTTGCGTGACTTGGCAAACTGAAGGCGCTTCTCCAGCTTTTCTATGCGGAGCTCTAGGGCGGCGACATAACTGCGCATCATGTATGAGCAGCCAAACAGCAGACAGAGGAGCCTCAGGGATAGACAGACCTTCTTTCCTTGCCTCGAGCAAACTGATCGTTTGCCGCAGAGCACTCATTCACGCGGCCAGCCTTCTCACAAGCTGTGCATGCGGGCAGCTTGCCATCACACTGACCAGCAACGTTAGTCCCGAGAGAACAGCGCAGACAGATATGGTACTGAGGTCAGTTACCTTTACTTTGGCAGCGCGGCCTTGAAAATAAGCCAGTTAGTACTTGCGATGGACGAATGAATACGGCGACGAGAAGGGACTGAGACTCACATCGAGAGCAGGCGGAGACGGGACGTGAGACCCTCAGGAGGGGATTGTGGGAGAAGCTCGCGCGGGGCATTTTGCTACGGCACCAGCGCCAGCGACAGCGTCGTCAGTGGGGTTTATCGAGGCTGCGATGTAGGCCACGGATAAGAGGTCGCGTCGTCGTGTGAGAGTGGTGGGATGACTTCAAGACCGGGGGACAGAAGATAGTTGCAACAGTTGGAAGGTCGTTTGACTTCTCCACTGGCAAGCGGGACAGCTGCTGTAGCACGAGGCCCTGCCTGCCTGTTCTGGAAAAGAGCCGCAATAATCGGGCTGGGGCTTAGCCTTGCGTCGATGGTTAAGGGAAGGAAGGTTGGTTGGTTGGTTGGAGGGTTGTACGTTGCTCCTGCTGACAACGCGGGGCGGGGGAACAGGACAGGAGGGGAGGGGCCTTTGGAGGGACCAAGCGACCAAGCTCTCGGCTACCTTCTACTACCTCGGGTGGGCGACTGTGCGATGACGACAGCGAATGGTTCCGTCAGTAGCATCAATCAAGCCTAATAGCTTGTGTCTGGCGGTGCTGGCGTGGTGCGGTCGCAGCGTCGTGGCGCTGACGGTGCAGAGCCTGGGTCGACGGTTGCAGGATGTTTTGGGGCGATGGAATGAGACGGCCCACGATGGATCGGTAGAGGACCCCTAGTTCAGCGAGGCCAGGCTCAAGCGACTAGCAGACCTGGGAAGGATACGGATAGAGGACGAAGGGATGGAATCTTCGATGGAGCTTGACAGAGAGATTGAACCCCAGTCGCAGGTGGGGTAGTCCCCCAACCGGATGATTTAATGCGACGGTTTGGGTGTCGCACAATCGGAGCGCGGGCAGCAGCAGCAGCGAGGAGAGGGCTGGCGATGGGAGCAGCGATGGGAGCAGTGTGTGGGCAAGAGCTCGGGAAGCGAATCGGGTGGAGAGACAGAGGGTTGACGCATTCGGATGGTTCGGGGGGGGGGGGACTTAAGTTATTGATTACAGCCTTGTTGCAATAACAGCTGAGCTGTAGTGGGTTGTAGCGGGAGGTTTACGAATAGGTCGTAGTCGGTGGCGAAAAAGTCCAAACCGATCTGGGCACGGTACATCCGCTCGGCGAACTGAGAAGGTCGGTCCGGCGAGATAAGGTGAGGCGAGATGAGATGATGGGGAGATGACCCTGTGAGTTGACGTCTGTGTGCGTGTGCGAGACTGCGAGACTGCGAGACTGCGAGTTGCTTGCTTGTGTGTGTCCGTGTGAGAGGCGTGTCTGACCAGTCGACGCACTTGGTACTACGTATGCGTGTCTCGGCCCCAAGCTCTGTCGTTGTTTGGGTTTGGCGTGCGATGGTTGGCCACGCACCGTGACGCACGCCCTCGCAGTCGCGAATGACGAGAGGGAATCCCTGAGCTCCCTGAGCAGCGAGATAGGACGGCGAGGGCTTGCTTCTGGCGCGCATCGGGAACAAAGCAGACGACGAGGTTGCGACTCACCACCAACGCCCGCCTTGACCCTAACCGAGGACGGCCAAGGGCGCTAAGGCGTGACATGGGTGCGCTGGACGGATGCGACCCTGGATCATCGCCGGGCGATGGCGATGGAGATGGAGATGGGATGGATGGGTCATTAGATGGAACACGGGGGTGAGAGGGGCCTGTGGATGACGCGCCCTTTTTGCGGAGGTCGATGTCGAAGCCGAGATCGTGGCCATGATGAATAAGTTAATCGGCGCCGTCCAGAAGCAGCGGGTAGGTAAGTTAAGGGAAGTGTATCGGGATAGGGTTCGACGCCGGGGTAGGAAGTAGATGCGTGGGTGGACACGCGGCGTACCTCGATCTGCTTGCAAGGACCATTCTTGACCGAGAGGGAGAGGGAGACTGACGCCGCATTCAATACCAGTTTTCGTATAATAACGATGGCAATGGAAATGGCTATGCTCCCACCGCTTCTTGTTGGCCTCAAGTCGAGAGGGGAAATGGCTTTTTCCCTACTGCTGGTGCTACGGCACGTATGGCGTGAGGTGAGGAGGTGAGGTGTCTTTTTGCGGACATAGCCCAGACTTTTACCCACGCGCATGGCACACGCACCCCACGGCAGATGCAACAACCCATGATGGGGAATCGCAGCCTAGAGGGATCAGTACCATTACTGTGGTACTGTGGACGGAGCAGTGAACGGTGGGATGGACCCAGCGTGTTTCATGGCGGACCATACTCCGTACCCTCAGTGTGATTGACCCCTGCTCAGCGGCAGTAACAGCACCGGCACCGGCAGCTCTACCGACACGATAGTGCGTGTAAAAGGAACGCAAGTCGGCATGGCGGAATAGGATTAGACACGTCCCTGGCATGCGGAAATGTTTCTAAAATAAAGTGTCAACACAACCCTTTTTGAACGTCTGGCATTTTTTATATTGGACTTGCAACATGTTTGTGTCGGCGCGGGGAATGGAAGTGCTTGATGACCAACAAAAGACTCAAACTCTTCACGACCTCTTTGCTGTTGGAGCCATCTGCACCTCCGTACCCTGGTATTGCCTATCCCGTGCGCGCACATTCACAGACACCAACATTCCTCGTGTTTCATCCCATCTGGTCTCTTGTCGTCGACGCCAACCTCGCCGCAATACTTCCGAGACGTATGTACCTACTGTATGTAAGGTACTTACTTGCCGTACCAAGTCCGTTCAATCTTGTGCTGACGGATAGATGACCAGGCTTGTCTGTCAGTCACCCAGAGATCTGCGCTAGAGCCTGAGCTAGCCCACTGGGGCTAAAACTCTAGTTCCCTTCCCTGGCGCCCACCTCTCTTGTCCCATCCCTTGTCCTCGCTTCCCCTGCGCTTGAACAATGAAGCTCTCTGCCCGTTCCGCTACGGTTTAGAGCATCCCGGAGCCCCGGCGTGGGCTAGACTCGAACCTCGAGAAGGAAGAAAAAAACTAGAACGGCCCCATTTGATACTCCTATCCGTATCCGCCGCAACGGGCCTGCTACTGCACATTGACGTCTCCTTTATTGCTTGTTTACCCTTACATGTGAATTAAACCCGTCTCTCCTTCATTCTTGAGAAGCTCTTTCCCTGTGTTCCATCATAGCACCTCCCCGATACAGACAGGTACCTTACCCTAGACCAATCCGGAATCGCAGGTTCATAATCCGCCACACCCACATATCCACACACCCACCTTCGCCCACCTTCGCTTGCCGGTTTGGTGTTCCCAGCTGCCTTGCCCCTCCTCGTGAGCGTCTACTCCCTGTCCCTCAGTCAGTCAGTCCAGGCAACGTTATCTGGCTTCCTACGCCTACAACACTCCGCTCCCTCTGCTCGACTCCTCCTCGGCGCCTCCCTTTTCGACATTCCCTGCCCTGGTTCCTGAGTCTCCGTATTGAGCCTCCGTCCCGAGCCACCCCCGCAAATCGAGGCTCCATTGTTGCGCTGCGCCATCTGGCTTCGCACGCTTTGTCGTCGCCCGACCCGCCCGTTCTTGGCCCTGTTTCCCGGTTCCGTCCCGTACCCGTTGTCCGACTTGACGACCGCGCGACTCGCTGTGCTGCGCACGCGACTCCAACACTCTTGAATCCTCAGATACTTGCGCGAGATCAAGACCGACCATTGACACCCGCTGCACGATCCCGAACCGTCCAATGGACGCCGCTACCATCTTCCGGCAGGGCATGGGTCCTGCCGGGCCCCGTATGAACCATGCTTTCATGAGCCATCCTCAACAGCAGCAACCGCCACCGCCGCCGCCGCAGCAACAGCAGCAGCAGTTCAGAAAAGCGCCCTCGCCCCAGGACGACACCTCTGATGGTGACACCTCTGGCCATCGTATTGCCCATACCCTGACGGCGTGCTGCCGCTGTCGACAGGTACTTATTGTCCCGCTTCGTGTCGCAAACCGCAACTCGCCCGCCATGCTAACGCCCTTCTAGAGGAAAACACGATGCGATCCTACTCTGCCCCGGTGCTTGCCATGCGAACGATCAGGCTCGACCTGCGAGTATCTTGATGCAGCCAAAGGTCGTAAAATCAATCGCTACTATGTTATCAAGCTCCAGGACAGGGTGAGGCTGCTGGAGGCCGAGTTGAGCCAGTACACCGACGAAGACAACGAGTTTCCCAGGAGCACCGAGGATATGGTACGCCCCGGCGGAATGGTTCGTCTGAACGGTGGCGACGAGACACCGCGGTACCTCGGGCCTAGTAGCGGTATTGCCATGACGCGGCTTCTCATGGAGGAGGCCAAGCGCTACACGGATTCGAAACGCATTTCCGACCTCATTCCCAGTGTACGCGCCCGACAGGCTCGTATGCAATCCATTCAGATGACCGGCCCGGCGGCACGGAGGAAGAGCTATCCCATGATCAGCCAACACCCCGCTGAGAGCCTGCCCACCAGGGCCGTCGCCGATAAGTTGCTGGAAATCTTCAACCAAAAGGGTAAGCCTCCCTGGAGTGACATCCGGATTCGTCCTTGTACTAACCGGCTGTAGCTCAACTATTCTGGCCTGTGCTACATGAGGGGGATCTACGAGCGGACATGGAGGCGGTTTACAATGGCGATAATGAACCTTATAGGACCTTCATCGTTCGCATGGTCGTTGCCATCAGTTTGCAGAAGCTGGACACCCAATATGCCGGTCTCGCGGATAGCTATTACCTGGCTGCGATGCAATATTTCGAGGACATTGTCCGACCCAAGGACCTCAAGACGCTGCAATGTCTGGTCTTGATGGGCCAATACTCGCTCCTCACGCCAACTCGGACTCCGATTTACTACGTGGTTGGTCTTGCGACTCGAATTTGCCAGCAGGAAGGCCTTGCGAGCGAGAAGACGATTTCGACAGGCTACAACCTGGACCCCAAGACGATCGACTTGCGGCGACGTATCATCTGGACTGTGGCCGCAATGGAATACGGGTTGGCGCATAGTATGGGCCGGCCCAACAGCTTTGCCACAGGCGATGACCGTATGGATGTAGACTTCTTCTCGCCCGTCGATGACGAGAACATTACCGAGCACGGCATCAAGCCGGCTCCCCCAAGCGAGCGCAAGCTCGTGGCCATCCATTTCTACAAGATGCGAATGTGCCAGGCAGAGATTCGGAGGGCACTCTACGAGAAGAAGAGACCGGAACCAAAGAACGACTCGCATCCCTGGTACCAGAGAGTGGAGAAGATGAACAAGGACTGGCTGGACGCATCGCCAGAGAACCCGGCCTGGTGTAAACCTTGGTAAGCAATCGCATCCCCGCCTGAGAGCTTCGGACTAACAGTCTCGACAGGTTCACTGGCCGATATCACCAGATGCGAATCTTCATGTACAGGCCGTCTCCTCAGGTTCCCAAGCCGTCCCCTCGGGCGGCCAAGCTCTGCTACGAAAGCGCGGCATTCATCGTCAACCTGTCCAGCAAGCAGATGGAGAGTGGAATCGACATCACCTGGGTCTTCCTACTGACTGTCAACATGTCACTCAACACCCTCCTCTGGTCCGTCTCGTTTCCAGTGGTGCGGCAAGAACACCCTCGCGAAGAGGTAGAGAAGCTCGTCAGCGCATGCTTGGACGTTCTTGATCGCTGTGCAGAACGATGGCCCGGAACCGCATCCACTTCCCAGCTGTATCAGATCTTCTCCAAGGCGTGTTTGCAGAGCTACGAATCGCGCCAGACACCTGGACAGCCAGCCAACTTCTTCACAACCCCCCCGTCCTTTACTGATCATCAGTCACCTCCAGACGCCTTCTCCCAGACGAACTCTCAACAACCTCCTTATGCGAACCCGCCTCAGTTCAGCTACGTCTTCGACTCCCCCCCTGAGGCGATGAACACGTTCGCCTTCGACCCCAACTTTCCCCCACCGCAGCCCACCTTCCGATCCAACTCCATCTTCTGTAACCCTGCGAGCAATGAACCGACAGGCCGCAGGTTCTCCTACTTCCCCCCCGACTTCACCCAGCCCGGGGAAGGGGGTCCAGATGACCCAACACCGCCTGCGACCACGACTCCTGAGCAGCACATGGCGTCGCCTCCCGACCATCTGTCTGATCAACTACCAACGCCACCTGATTCCGCCCTTACTGGAAACATGACGACACCCGGCTCTGTGCTCTCCCCACCGAGCAGCATGACGCAGCAGCACACCCCCAACATGCAACACGCATCCCCGGTTCCCATGTCTGCGCACACCAACATGTCTCCTCCACAGAAGCCGGGTCTTCCCCAGCGTGGACCGACCTTCTCTGTTCCGCCGACAAGCCAGTCTGCTCTCGCCCAGCGACCGCTGCCCGCTCCGAACGGTATTGGCGACTGGTTCTCTCCGCCTCCGCCCTTCATCTCCCCCTTCTCCTTCGGCAACATGAGCAACAGTTTCTTTAACGATGGCATGTCTGCAGGACCTGGCAATTACGGAGACATGTCGGGCTCCGGCCTTGGTCTGCAGAACCTCGACGCCGCCGCCATGACTGGGCCCCAGTTTGACTACAACTTCACCCGCCAGGGCAGCCTCACTCAGTCACAGCAGCTCGAGCTTATGAACGTGCTCGAAACCGAGGGGATGACGGACATTGACGCCTTTTTGAGCGGCAACACGGTACCTAACACCAGGTGGTATTGAGAACACTTGACGAGTATTGAGTACCATATATAGCGGACGGAGGAGAGGCCAACATGCATGGGGAGGCGTTTCTTGCTTTGATTCGCGAATATCATTAGAAGCCTTCTTGGACGATTACGTGAATGATAGACCTTTTCTCTTAGACTTCATGTCGGTGTATCCTGTGTCATGATTCGAGTACTATAAACTGGACATGATTATTAGGAGTCAACGTAGGAAACCTTGCACGTTTGTCCTCCGCGGCAATTTTCGGAGCAGTGCTCTCATGGTCATAGTCGTCAGATGGAGGGGCCTCGGCAGTTCTTCTAAGTTCAACTTTCTCAGTTTAAATAATACTAAGAAGATGCTGATTGCAGTTCGTGGTGTTTTGCAAAAGACGGAGGGCGTAGATCGTCACGAGTTAGATTCATAAGCCACTGCCGTTGAGGTCGACGGCCCCAAGAGAAGGGTTGGAAGCCCATCATGGCTACAGCCGGTGATGTCCCCAAGTTCGCCACCCCGTAGAGATGGCTCATCGAATCTTCTTGACCACCATTTCAAAGCGAAGACGGAAACTGTCAAATATGGAGCTTGGTTGCGTGTACATAACGAGGGTGTTTGATTTGATAAATAGTTCAATATAGACGGATGAAGCGAAATGAAAATAAACAAGAAGCGAAGGAGCGTTAAAGGAAAACCACCACAACAACACGGTTCGTTCGACACTGCGTTTTCACAAGTCCTCCATATATATACTCTTCACGATGAGGCTCTTCCACTTCACATCGACGTCTTGGTCTCGCGGGAACGCTGCGGTTCCGTTTTACTCACAGAACCCGAGCTCACAGGCACTGGGAGTAGTAGTCGTTGACCTTGGTGCAAGTGTAAGGAGACACGCAAGTCTTGCTGCCGGTCCAGTTCTGGCCGCCGCACTGGCCCCAGTGGGCAACGGGTGTATCGGTGGGGTTGGTGGTAGTGGTGGTAGTGGTAGTGGTGGGATTGGTGGGATCGGTGGAGCCGGTCGAGCTGTAGGTCGAGCCGATGGGGCCGAACTTGATGTTGGAGAAGGAAACGGAGGAGTTGGGAACATTCTTCTCGAGGTCAGAGGGGACGCCGGAAGTGGTCGCACAAGAGCCGCGGGCGGCGCCAAGCTTGGAAGAGCCGGCAGGGTAGGTCGAGTCGAGCCAGAGCATGTGCGAGTAGTGCTGTAGATGTCGGAGTTAGTTCAGGAATTATAGGGAAGGCGAAGAATATCTGGGATGTGTAAATACTTACGTCGTGCCACAAGCTCATGACCAGAACCATGGGCGCAGCGAGGGCATCGCTCATGCGAGAAAGGCCACCGTGGTCACCCCAGGAGTCCTCATCGCCAAAGACGCTCTTCTGCTTAGTGCAGTAGTCGGCGGTGATGGAGCTTCCGGAGACGCCAGAGATGGTCGAGGCGGCGTTGGCAATGACCTTTCCGTTCTGGACGTAGAGGCGCTTGATCTCGGACAGCTTGCCGTTGGTGCCAGTAAGGAACTGGGTGACGACGGTGACCTTCTTGGTGGTGTCGACGTTGAAGCCGGAGCCGGGGCCGTAGAAGGTCTTGTTGCCCTGGCGGTAGGCGTTGAAGTCGCAACCATCGGGATCACAGGTGCCGGCGTAGCGGTCGGCCGAGTAGGTGCCGCCACAGGCGTCGCCCTGGCAGGAAACCTGGGTGAGGCCGTCACAGGGGTGAGGAGTGTAGGCGGTCGAGATGTCGTTGGCCTCCCAGATATCCATCTCCGGACAGCAAGTGCCCAAGCCTCCAATACCGGCGTTGATGTCGTCGGTAGAAGGCACCCAGTCTTTCACGTTGGCCTGTGGAAATTGTTAGCGAGGTCTGTTGGGGACAAATGTTTCCTAGATGCTTACCACTCCGTTGATGAACTTGACATCACGAGGGCACTGGCTGTCACAGTAACCAGTGCCGTACTTGGCTCCAGCCTTGTTTCCGCTGTACTTGGCTTTGCCGCCATCCTCGTCCATGGAGACAAAGTACAGCGCGCCGTTCAGGCCACAGCTGATGCCCGAAACATCGACGTCAAAGGTAAACTCGTTGCCGAGCAGGGTGAACATCTCGTAGGTGTTGTCGTCCTCCATGAGGTAGAGACGGCTACCGATGTTCGTGCTGTAGGGGCCCTTGGTGACGAACTTGAGGTTGAGCTGGTTGCCGCTGGTAGTCACACCGTAGGTGCCCGAGTAATCGGCGCCATCCAGACAGCACTTGTCGGCGCAGACCTCGTTGCTCGTGCAGATGGACTTATCCCACTCGTTTCCGGTGTAGCAGTTGGTTGTAGATGTAGTCAGATGGGTCCATCGCCAGTTGGCGTCGACGACAACGGAGCCAGAAACACTGTTGCAGCCGCTGCTGGTGCACTTAGACCAAGTCAACTTGGGATGGGTCTCGGCGGTGTTTGTGCAGACTTGCTGCGCCTTGACGGCGGCGAACAAGGCCGAGAGGGCGGCGACAGTGAGATACATGGTTGAGAATGCTCCGGGCTCTTTGTTCGAGTGAGTGAAGAGATGTAGATGCTGATGAAGATGGGTACTGAGAGGATGTTCGAGCTGGAGCAGCGCGGGCTCAACTTATATAGGCATGTTGTCGTGGATTCTGCGGCAGCCGACAAGACGGCGGAGCGTATACCTGTTTCCACGAAGACCCACGGTTCCCCTGGTGAATACAACACGGCCCGGGCATCGTGAAGGTCGCCACGAGGCTGATGTTGCGGTCCTGGGCCCATCCGGGAAGGCCTGAGTTCGGAGTCCGGGCCGCCGTTTCCCCAGCCAGGCCACGAGAAAGCGACGGACTCTGGGTTAGTCCTCTGGGTCCTCTGGAGAGAGCAGACGACTCTTGGTGTGGGCGCGAGATGGGCAGATGGGCAGACGGCCAGCGCCAAGTTCGCCGTGTCGGGAGTCGTGCCTCCGTCAACATCGAGGGAGTGGCGGATGAGTGGCGGACGAGTGACGGAGAAAACCACAGCTGGCGCGTTCGGCTTAGCCTCGCTCGGGTTGCCCGGGTTGATAACCTCCGTGACTATCTCAGTCAAGCAGTAGTAGGATGCTGGATGCTGGATGGATAAAATGCGGGTGAATGGAGTGATGAGGGAGGAGGGAGGAGGGAGAAAGATCGGATGGTTGCCGAGGCATGTGCGACTTTGGTAGCGGAAGTCCGAAGCTGTCTCGTGCCCTCATTGGAGGGGACGGCGTTCCGATCGGGACACGGAGGCCATCTGCCGTTAATACTGGGGCCGCGCCGGCATGGATCGTGACCACTCAGGGCCGCCTATATCGTCCATCTTATTGAGACCTCACTTGTTTGAATTAAAAAGGAAAAAAAGGCTGAAGCGGCATCGTGCCATGGTTTAAAGGGGCGTGGCCGTCGACCGAGTTCAAGCTCTCTCATCTTCGTAGACCTGCCAAGCCGAATCTCGATCCACAATCCACAATCCAGAGCCAATATCCCGCTTACAGCTTGCTGAATTTATTGCCAGAGTGCTGTCACCGTATCCGCCGTCCCTCTTTGGGAACCAATTCGGCAGCTTGCTGCGTCAATAGTTGCGGCCCGACGCCAGGTGACCCGACGGTGTTGGACCCAAACAGTTGGACCCAAACTGTTGGCCATCTGCCCCTTTCATTTCTCCTCCATGATGTAGGGCGCCATCGCCACAGCCAGTGCAATTAGACTTGCAACCTCGGGATTCCGATCCGAAGTTACTTTAGACGCTGTAGCTACAAGTCTTGGCTAGCGGTACACTGGACCACATTTGTCTCGTGCCCCAGAACCAGGGGTATCACCATCTAGGTGCACAGCTCGGCTGCTCGGTTCACGGGACTTGAGTTAATAGCTTTCACTGTTATGCCGACGAATATAGCCGGAAGACTAGTAGTGTCGAGTTTGGCTATAATGATGCTCATCTTGAAGAACGAAGCCTGGCCCAAGGGGTTTTGCCATATCAGCTTTGCGAGTTCACGACCGACCGAACTGGATGAAACGAGACAAACTTCATCTCACTCATCGTCCAACGCACAAGATAATCAGACAGTCCCGTTTAAACGTCGATAAAGTTTCGGCCCGTCGGGAATAGCCCCGTCCGTTTCCACTTTCATTACATCGGTGCTATTGATATTGCGATCCGCTTGGTCTCGCCGTCATCGTATGTTTCCACACAAGGTTGCTTCTGCCCTAAACCGGGCCCTCGCTTGCCCACAGTCACCGTACTTATCGGTGCTGCCACAATGAGGCACGGCTTCCCGTTCCGTCGGAGCCTTGAGGCCAGTTCCAAGATCCCTGGGCTCAGATCCCGCAGCTAAGACTTCCCCACAAGCCGTGTCGGTCCTCGAGTCGGCATTCTCGGGCGGATGAGTTTATGGTTGCATCGAACCGACCTCTCATATGAGAGCAGCCGTCACGTTGACAATCTCAATGCGCAGGTGACATGCAGAGCGTGGAGCGAAGTGACCCTAAACAGGGACAAGGCTGGGGAAGCTCCGGGGCGGTCGGGCCCGTCTTGGCACTTGGAAGCAGACAAGCCTGGGTATTCGGCTGTGCCAGGGGATTGTCTGACTTATCGACTTGACAACAGACGGCTTGATGATTTATATGCCGCGATTGACGCTGGGGTTTGGACACTGAGGAGCAGTTAGGGACAGGTTGAGACAGGTTGAGACAGGTTGAGACAGGTTGCATCGATACCAACCTCTTGGGAAACGCCGTGGTCTGAATAACATAATGCCTTGAATTTGCTGTATAGTACATAGATCAACACGCCTAGAATTGCCAGTCTTCCAGATGCTAGGCCGAGAAACCGGCGAGTCTTGGAGATGGCCGGCTCCATCCATGACAAGGTGGTGTGAAACTGCTGTGTGCCATCAAGCCTGGCGTAAATCAACCAGGCCACCGGCTTCATATACTTTACACAAAACCCCCCAAGTCTACAACCACCCCTCCGCCTCCGAGGCCTCCTGAGAATTACTAACGTCAAAAACCATCCGCTGAGGAATTCCATCCTCCCGAGACGCCAAAACACTTCCCTGCCAAATATCCACCGCCCCAAGCTTTTGCTCGCAAAATTAGACTCCAAAACATGGTTGATACGCAGTGCCAGTGTGTTGTCTGCTATGAATGGGCAAATCGAGACGCCCCTTGTCGGCCACGGGGGATCTGCCGCACTCGGTAAAGTTGACCCTTGTCTTGGCAAGGAGATTGGAGAGGCGCACGCTGGGGCTGCTCGAATGCTGATTTCTCTTGACTGAGCTTGGCAGCGGATTCCTAGGCCGCGCGAAGGTCGAGCAGGTGTAGATTCTTGGTCTGGCGAGGAAGCCGTTGGTCGCGCTCGTAAAGGTAGCCACAATTGGCGCACAGAGTCTAGAAAATGGTTAGCAACTCGACGTCGCAGCATGCAGAGACAAGGACCTACCCTTGGACCGGCCGGGCCGTCTCGCACAGCCCAAACACTTGTTCCCCAGATTCGACAGTGCCAGCATCTCCACTGGAGTCTCTCCTGGTCGGTCAGGGCACCACCTCCTCCATATCCGCCAACATCGGGAGTTCCGCGCCCTCCCGGCGTCCCGCCCCGGCCGAGGGGGCTTAGACTTCGGAATCGACGCTTCTTCTTGGAGCGCTCTCCTCTTCCCATCCTCTCCTCTTCCACCTCAACAGGGCCACCGAACGGTGCGCCCCCAAGCATGCCAGTTGTGGAGCTAAATCGTGCCGTCTCACGGCGTAGTCGGCGGACTTGTCGTTCACGGTCGCCCTCACGTTTCTCAATCTCCTCCTTGCTCAGAATCTCGACCTTGGGCTCCCACTCATCCGCAAGTTGTTCGGGGTCATATCTCCATCCCGCATCTGCTCCATGCGCGGCATCGTTTGGTAGCTCTTGTTGTAGGCCACCCCATCCGGAGACGAGACCACCTGCTTCACATGCTTCCTTCTTGAGACGCAAAACAGCTTCGTAAATGGCGTGAGTCATCGCGGGTACCCATTCTCCAGTCAACCCGAGGTCTGCACAGGTCATCTTCGCAAATGCCTCTGCCGTGCCCGGGGGATGCAATAAAGACCATTCAAACTTGTCAGTGTAGAGCATCGAGGCCAGGTTGAGACTCAGGTTAACAATGCACCGGTATGTGTCATCGGGGTTATAGTCGTCGGAGTCGGGGAGGATGGGCGTGGCCTCAGCAGTGACATCCGGGGCCTGGGTTTGGGTTGGGGTAGCCGCACCTCCAGTCTGGGCTGGAGTATCGGGCCTTGAAGGACCCCTCACAGCGGAGGCGGGAGAATCATCGCGAGACTTGACAACCAAGCTTGGTCTAGGAGTCCCGTTGACTGTTCCGCCTGCTCCAGCAGTAGCTACTTGTTGAGTAGGTGGGACTGGCTGCTCAGTGTGGAACAGTGGGTGCAGAGCGACACCCGCGTATTCCTCCAGTTGCGTCCGAATCTGCTTGCTGATCTCGGCGATGACAATTGGTCGGTTGGGGAGATCAAGGTCCTGGACCAAGGTCTGTGCGAACTGGTCTGTTGTGATGAGGGTTTCGTGGAGATTCCAGCAAAAGATGTCTCGCAGTTTGTATGGCACCGTCATCTCCTGTGACCGGTACTGTGGTAACGAGATGTCGACGGAGGCCGGGTTTGGCGCCGGGAATGGGGCCTGGGGAATGAAGGCAGGGATGTCCAGGTCGATTCGAATCGGGATCAGGGTGAGCGGCAGGTTTGCCTGAGCAGAATTCTGCTGGTCAGTTCTCACCGGGCGCATCTTGCCCATCCAGTCGCGCCAGATGCCCTGGACGTCAACAGGGTCCTTGGTGTCCTTGCCAGCCTTGTCTGCCAGCTCCTGCCTGCTGACGGAATCCTCCTTGCGCAGGCTTCGTAGGCCGGTCGGCCGACGACGAGGATCGTCGCTATCGTCATCGAGGTCGTCGTATCCGTCCTCGGCATAGTTGATGATGGTCGTTCCTCGCTTCGTGGTCCGCGATATGGGGCCCGCAGGCGCGCTGCTGGGGAGGACGGGGGTGAGGAGGGAGTTGTTGTAGCCACGCAATCGCGGCGCATAGCTGGACAAAAAGGCCTGAGGCTTCGATCGTTCCATTGTGCGCGCTAGGAGACCCTGAGGGTCATCTCATGCTGGAGCAAGGAGCGATGCGGACGCGCAACGGGTGGGCTCGCCTTGAGCCTGGACCCGAGACCCAAGAGCCGGGGAACGGTGCGAGAATCGCAAGGAGAGCGCGATAATGGCGGCGATTGCGTTGCGATGGCGGCGCTCGTCGGGGAGAGAGGACGTGGTGGGGTGGTGGGATAGGCCGTGATGGGATCGAGGGTGGTGCTTGATGGAGTCGCGACCTGGACGACCTTTTTCTCAATCGCGTCGCTGTTTGCTCTGCCACAAATTCACACGGCCAAGGTGACTGGGTTATGTAATCCAACGTGCAAAGCTTGGACCATCTCTACCCCGGGTCACCACCTAAGTTACCCTATACCTCCATATCGCGTGAATCGGGAAAATGAAAATGGGCTGGCCGTTGAACCCAACTCCACTTGTCAGATCTAAAGGATGAGCCGCAGCTTAATGGTTGGTTATTCTATTTACCTCCGGGATTTGATAAATAGTGCATGTAACTTACACTCTGCCAAGGCAAGTCCCCATTATTTTCCTCCACATAGAAATAGGTGAGCTACGCAAGTAGGTATAGGCGGAACAATAACCACACCCCGATACCAATGGCCCTCAAGTATCTTGATGTAACCACGGAAACACCCAGGTCTCGTGCTAAAATCGTCAGGTCGCAAAATTCAATACATTTCCTCAGTGTTCTTGCTAGCCCCCGGCGGGCATGGAGAAGATGGCCCCGACCATTGGTAGCCTCCAACAGTAAGAGGAGACCGAAGACGCAATCGCTTATTGGATTTTGCGTGGCTTCGGGAGGCTCCTAGAATGGCTTCTGACCAAGTCTGATGTGCAACGAGCGATCAGAAGTGGCCCAAGGACACGAACGACGAACGAACGACTTACACGTTTCCCTGTGGGAGAAATCGGCAAACATCGAAAACTTTGAATGGGTCGGAAATGCTGTATGCTCGGGCACAGCCTATCTGAGTTGTGTCTGACCACATGCACTGGGCTAGAAACTGATCAGTAAATGATATGAGCCGCTACAACGAACTATGACTTACACCAATGAAGCCAGTGCTCTTGCCCTGTCTTGAGGGGCTGCCCATCGTAAAGAGAGGCTTGTGAGAGCCACTCATGCACCGCAGTCTGGAGAGGCGTATTAAATGCGACATCACACTGGCCTGACTGGTGTTCGTAGATATTCTCGCCTTGCTGGGGTCGAAGCTCAACAGGGGCGTGTCCGAAAGGCTGGACACCTGCTCCCATCTGATTAGCCCAGAACTGGGCATAAGCCGCGAGATCGGGGTTCCAGGCCAATGGTGCCACTCCTTCGGCTTGGCGAGCTTCGTTGATCATGTCAAGCGCAAGTGACCGATCGTCCGCAGAGACAGTCGAGACCGCCAAGCACAAGGCGAGGGGTGCCAGAACACGAGCGATATGCATGGTGAATCAGCAAATCACAGGAATTTGAGGCTCCTCGACACAGAAAGGATTGGAGTTGGAGGATAGGGTCAATGCTGACGGGTGGTTGACGACGGAGGAACGTTTGTCCCAGGTCTGAGAGACGTGCTTGAACGAGACGGATGGATCGTACAGTTGAAGTGAGGGTGTCAAGGTGGGCGATGAAAGAAGAGAAGTCAGAAACCTAAGGAGGGATGAGGAGAACGTCAAGTCGGGTGGTGAAGTAGCTTAAACAAGGTAAGCCCAACGGCCCCATGGCCCCTGTCACTTCACTGGGATCGGTATTCCTCGTTGGCAGGTGCCGATTCCCTCAGTACCTACCTAGGTAGGCAATGCCCCTCCCATGTAATTGAAGTGGTCCCGCCTTTATTATTACTGCCTTGTGCCTACCTTACCTACCTCATTTAAAGAGACTATGTGAGTGGTTTGCAGTGGACGTGCGATCTGACTCAGGGTTCTAACTTCCGTGTAAGTCAAGTTGGGCGTCTTAGGTTAATCTTGTCACTGTGAGTGAACAACGAAAAGAGCAAGGGTGTATTTTGACCCACTTGAAGTTGAAAAAGCCGTGTAATATATAAGTAAGGTAGCAATAGACTATGATTATTCACACTTTGTCAGTCCAAGTGCGAGGGAAGCTGGTTGAGATCTTCAGAGAACCCCGAACCGGGGGTGTTGACGCACGGACCCGCCCCACGTAAATGACGTTTCGCTCCAGATCTCCCATCTTCCATTGAAATATTTTGATCAACTTAGGGCGGCTCAAACCAACTGCAAAACACCACACACTACAACACAACGCTACATACCGCAGAACGACGACAATATGGCATCCCGACCAAGCCCTATATTCTCATCCATTCTACGCCAGATCCGCGCTCAGCCCCACCGTGGATCCCCGCTCCGCGCGCCTCTCCCATCCCGCGCTCGCCTCCCACAACCCTTCATCGCAAACACCATCGCGGCCCGCGCAGCCCATTCGATCCCTCGCCCGTCGCCCTCACAAGCTTCGCAAACGTCGCAACCTAAGCCGAAAAAATCCTCGCACACTGGCGACGCCCCGAAGAGCGAGGGTGCCCGCCCCGAGCTCAAGCCCGACTACTACCAGCTCTCCTTCACCTGTGTACCCTGCGGCCACCGCTCCCACCACAACGTCTCGAAGCAGGGCTACCATCGTGGCTCCACGCTCATCACCTGCCCGAGCTGCCGTAACCGCCACGTCATCAGTGACCACCTCGACATCTTTGGCGATCGCAAGGTCACCATCGAGGACATTATGCGCGAGAAGGGCCAGCTCGTGAAGAGGGGCAGTCTTGGCGAGGATGGCGATATTGAGTTCTGGCCCGAGGAGAAATATGCCGAGGAAGCCAACAAGTCTGATTCGAACGAGAGATCATGATTCTTCTCATGTGGCAAGACTTTAGAAAAGAGCGTAACGGTGTATGAGATATGTAAAAACATTGGTTGGCGTTGGATATATGACGATTCTGGGATACCCTTCTCCATACATAGACTGGGGATTTATCACTGTGCTCGCATGGCTTATCGGAAACCCGCTGTGGCCTGCGCTTTGAAGCTTCATATATAAGATAGTTTCTGAGAGAACCGTAGTAAACACCTCTAATAAATGCACTTTTGGTGTGCCTAAAACCCCGAAAACGCCGTCTGATGCATTATTCTCCTTCTTACCATCCCTTGTACGACTGCCTCATCGACTTCTGCTCCTTAGATCTCATCTTCATCCTAGACTTGTTCTTCTCGAACTTCTTTCGCTTATCCCGTCCATACTTCTCAGGATGCGCGAGCGCCTCAATCTTTCGCTTACTCGAGCGTTGCTGTCTCTTGGCTCGCACCTCCTCGCGAATCACTAGCAACTGCTTGGTGTACTCGCCTGTGCCAAATTTCTTCTGCAAAGAATCCATGAGAATCTGTGCCCTCGTCTTCAAGGCTTCGTGTTTCGTCTTAAACACTTCGTCAAACGAGAATGGTGGAGGGATGGACGGGTCCGTGAGGTTGTGCAGAGGTGTCAGAATCGACTTGAAAGATGGCTGCAGACGCTCCAAAGAGGACCTGCGACAGATGGTTTCGAGAACCTCCATCGCTGCCGTTTTGGGAGTGATGGCCACAGCCTTTGGTGGAATCTCCCTTCGAATGATGTGAGACAGTCTCCAGAAGAGATACTGTAGATCCTTCTTCTTCGCTTGACCCTCTGCTTCCTCCTCTTCCTCCTCTTCCTCCTCTTCGTCCTCCTCTTCGTCCTCCTCTTGATCCTGACCCTCCTTGTCCGAATCCTCTGTAACCTTGGGTCTGAGAGGGAGACGAGGACCTAGGAAGATGAGGACCTGAGTGGCCTCGGCCGCGAGTGCCTCATCGACATCACGAGATCCTATGACTCCAAGGGCAAGGCGAACAAGGTCCTGGACTTTGGCCAAATTCAGGGTGAGGCCATGAGAGCCCTCCACAGCCTCTCCGACTGAGACGTTTGCTCCGTGCTTCGCAAAGTCGGCCAAATACAGGCTGATCAACCCGATAGCCGCGATTCTAACAGGGGTTTCGGGGTGAGCCAAGCATTTGGCAATGTTGACCCACATCTTCTCAGCGTCACCAGAGAGGAGCTTGTCAGGGAACACAGCCATCGACACTCGGATGACACCCAATGCTGCCGCCAGAAGATCCCCATCAACCTCACCAATGTCTTCGGCGGCAATAAGGTTGGTGATCTTGCCAAGAACAAGCTTGAAGTCCTTCTTATTCTTGGATGCATTCTCGTGAGATTCAATGTAGTGGCCAAAGACCACGAGCGCCAGTCTCAGGACGGCGTCGTTGCCATCCTTGTCCAACCACGTTCGGAGAAGTCCCAAGAAGGTTTGCGTTCGTTCCTTATCAGACTTGCGGAAAATCTCTTTGATCAACTCTGCGGCCGCAAGTCGGCACTTCTCGCTGTCGTCATTGGCAAGCACGAAGAAGAGAGGAAGGAAACAGGTGGCAGTGACCTCTTGGACAAAGTCATCCGAAGATTTCATCAGCAACAAGTGGACAATCTCCATGACGGACAAACGACCGCCCTCTCGCTCATACTTTAGGTTGGCAACGATGAAGTTGAGTTGCTTGGCCCAGCGCGCCTTCTTCTGTGGGTATTCTCGGATGAATTGGAAGAATGCTCCTCTGGCCAAGTCACGCGTGTCCTTGTCGTCGTTTGTAATCATGACAGTTCCGACGTAGTCCAGAGTATCGTAGACAGAAGCTGTCTCGATATGACGATCCAGAACTGACCGCAGGAAGTTGAAGGTGACATGTCGGTACAGTGGTTCGGTCAGATCGTCCTTCAACTTCCCAAGCAACATGTCCACAGCGGCATCCTTGACTGTCACATCACGACGGTCCCGCAGGACGACCGCCAGCATCTTGAGAGCTGCCTGGGCTAGCTCGGTAGTGGTGGAGACGGCAGTCGAGATGCTCTTGGTGGCTTCCTTGACCGCGACCTTGTAGATGTTCGTCCCGTCTTCATTGGCGAATGGGACCTTGACGATGACAGCAAGGAGTCGGAAGGCAGAAATCTTCACCTCGTCCTCTCCCGCCACCATTACATCACCTAGGATAGGGATAAATCCGGTGATGTTTTCGGAATTTCGCAAGCTATCGTGCTTCTTGAGGATGGACCTCAGAATGTCGACAGAGAAGCGGATGAGCTTGTATGTGTTTTTGGTGGTGCGTCCTCTTTCGCCACTTTTCTTGGCACCTCTCTGAACAAGATACTTCTTGACCCTGGGATCAATCTTCACCTCAACTTCAGGTTTACGACTGTTGTAGACTTCCTGGATGACTTCGTAGCAGAAGATCAAAGTGTCGCGGCTCTCAGCTGCCGTGTTCTGAAGCAGACCAGCCGTGATGCGCGTCATGAGTGCATCGATCTTGCGCACCATCCTGAGGTCAACCTTCTGCATCAGAAGAGCTTGCAGAGGCTTCGTCAGGTCGATGAGGCGGCTGATTGACGCATTCTTGGCAACTAGCTCCATCGAGTCCTGGCTCTTGCTGCTCTTGATCTCCTTCATCTGACTGATGTAGCCTTCAGCATCCTTCTCTTGGCCAATGACGCCAAAGACATCATCCATGATGACCGCCACGATAGAGGGAAGACAATAATCTAAGTCTCCAGGAGCGTAACCTGGTGCTGCCGCAACCAAAATCGAATGCATCGTGTAGGAGAGCACGTGCAGCTGGTAACCCTTGGTGAGTGCACCCCGTAATTCTCTAAGCATGAAGCCGAAGAATGATGGGCCCAAGTTGACAGCGATCTTGACGAGCGTGTCGCGAGCCATCTCACGTGCATCCCAAGATTTACTTCGGAGAATATGACTGATATCCGTCAAGACACCCGCCAATTTCTGGTCCATTTGCTCCGTAGGCAACAGTTTCAACAACTTGACAATAATCACACCGACAGGGACTCGGTAACTGACTTCAGACTCGTCCTTTTCATGGAGATGCTTGATGAGGGACGGAAGGAACCAATGCTCGACTTCTGTGCTCAGTTTGTCTGATTTAGGGATCGTGAGAGGCAGCCTCGGGCTACTAGAGGCAGGAACATCGACCTGATCAACCTCCATAGGCTCGGCCGAAACGTGCTCGGAGGCGAGAATGAGGGCGTCTGCAACCTTGCCCAGAAGGCGAAGGGTCTGCTTTTGGAGCTCAGGCTTGGATGCAATGTACCCAACATACCTCTGGAAAGTGGTCCTGTAGTGCTTCCAGTCAAGAGACATAGCAAGGGCGCCAATGGTGTTGGTTGCTTGGGCACCCAATCCATGGTCATCGGTGCCGTCAGCGCGGCCAAAGATGAAATGCTCCAAAAGGGGGATGAAGAATTGAGCCAGATTCTGGCTACCCATTTCTTGCTTGCTGTTGGCAGCCTCCAGAATATGGAGAGCCTCCAGTTGCCTCGAGCTCGCAGGGCTTAGGATGTTGAAGAAGAATGTCAGTTCCGCAGATTCCTCGTTTCGATCACCCAAGAGGCCACCGAGATCGGAAATAGGCCCCCACTCGGGAAGAGTGCTGAGCAAGAACCCAAGCACTCTGAGATGTTCTCTTCGAACTGTTTCAGAAGCCTCGCGAGCCCCGGCATAGAGAGCAGGCATGATAACATCCAGGAGATATTTCTCAAACTTTTCTTTTCCTTGCTCAGATGTGCACGAGGCCGCGTCTCCAATGAATCGTCTGATACCATCGGCAGAATTCGACGCAAGAATACCAAACTCCGCATCATCTCGGATATGGAAGATCATGTTTTGAAGCAGAGGTAGCCATTGCTTGGGAGTCAGCGGAGTTTCCCGCTGGGTAGAGATGGCAGTGAATGCAGCAAGACGTCTGTCATAGTCTGGCTCCTCAATGCGACCCTCCTTGAATGAGTTGAGTGCAGTACAGAGATCGGCAACCTCGGAAACATCGGCATCCTTGTCAGCAATGGCCAAGAGAGCCCTGGACAAAGACCGACGGTTCTCTATATCCTTGAAGTAGCTGAAAAGAGAAGAGATAGTGTCATAGACACTGTCCAAAAGCGAATGGTCCTCAAAGGCATTGGAGCGGGAAATGTATTGTTCAAGAATGAGCAGGATTCTGCCCTTGAGTCTGGGGTTAACTCGTCTTGGGGGTTGGTTGAGGAGGAAGACTGAGATCTTAATGACGGCCTGGATATTCTCGGCATCCTCAACGACTGGGGCCATGACCAGGAGAGTCTCCACGCAGGCTTCCAAAAGATCATTGCCAAATCCGGAACCGTCAAGGACGGCACTAATCTGGGCCAGAATCGCTCCAGCATTTGGATCTAGGATCTCGGCCTTGATGATCTCATTGAACTCGCATTCATGAGCTGGTGCCGTAGCGAGCTTCACAAGATTGCGAATGATTGACAAAACATAGATCTTGACCTCATCTTTGGCTTTCGCAGCAGACAAGCATTCGATGACCTTGGGAAGGATCCCGACTGGAAGGATCTTCTCATGAGGGGCCAGGAACAGTGCCACATTAGGAAGAACAGACCAGGTCGACAGGAGTTGCAGCATACCGGAGATTCCTTGGGCCGTTTCGATCGGCAGGTTGCTAAGTCTTGGGGCGACAATCTCCTCAAGGATAATATCGTGGTAGGGCTCCCACTGGAAGGCTTGTGCATTTTGGAAGAGTGCAATGAGGCACTTCATACCAGTGGACCTGGTCATCCTGAGGAGTGACTGCGTGCTGGCCTTTTCTTCCTCCTCGTCCGGCACATTTTCCGCATCCTGGGCATTTCCACTTAACTGACGGCAGGCGTAAACAAGGCAGTAAACAACTGCGTTAAGAATTGTCTCCAAATAAGGCGTGACGTTGGTGCCCAGTTCAGAGATCACGGACGAAATCATGTTGAGAAAACCGACCTGCTTTCGGGCAGGAATTATGGGCTCATCGAAGGTCTTCCGTGGCACTCCAACGACCTTGACACCCTTCAACTTTCCAGTAGCAATGTCGAGGAAGCTTCCCATGTCCTCAATGGTAAGGTTCCTCAGCACCGCAAGTCTAGTGGCGTGTAAGCCATGTCGGCCGCTTGCTGCTCCCTTCTTGGAGATGGAACGACCGTAAAGCAGTCGGAGGAGGATGGGCATCAACCCGGCTCTGTGCTCTGCTTTGATGGCAGTTTCGTCCTGCAAAAAGACGGTGAGTTCGTTCTTGAACCGAGACTCATCGAGAAGATACTCTAGGTTTTCTTGGTACGTTTTGACAGCTTCTTGCTTCCAAGTAAGGATGGCCTTGAGAGCAAGTTTCTGGATCTCGGCATCACCGTTCTCCATTAGTTGCAGAAATGCGACATATACCTCTTCGTGCTGATACAAGACCCTGGGGTTGATGAACTGGGAAAAAACGCCCATCATACCCTTTCGATCCGCCAAGGACCAAGTTGCCCCTTCGGATTGATCTTGTTCGTCCGAATTGGGAGTCCGGTCTTCATCACGTGCCCAGGAGAGGAAGTGTGGGACGAGTTGACGAGACCTCTTCTCAGCAAGGGCTGGGATCGCATTGAAAACCTTCAATGCACGAGATCTGGAGTTGCCAGCCACGGTTTCTGCTGTCTGTTGCTTCTCATCGAAGCTTTGTAGCATCAAATCATCGGGGTGATCGATTGCTGTTTCCACCTCGGCTGCCCCCTTTTCTAACCTTCGCAAGTTGGTGCATTCGAATTCGGAAACGAATTGACGACCTGGAGCCAGTCCGTCTGACTGAGACGGGCCCCATCTGGCCGACGGCACATTTAGCCACTTGAAAGCAACTGCACAAATGGCCTCCTCTCCGGCTTTGCTTTGGGCAACTTGCTTCATGGTCTCGACAGCATCATCCCAAACTGGGGACATCTTAACCGTCAGCATACCGTAAAGAAATGCTGGCACGGCTTGCTGCAGCCAAGACTTGTCCTCAAAGGAGGCGTAAGCCAGTCCAAGTTTTCGAAGAAGCATGGCAATCGTCCTTGTGTGTGCGAGGTCCAGGGGAGTTTGTTCGACCTCGATCATGGTATCAATCGAGTCCGTTGAGTCTGGCACGGTGCTGATCTGTTTCAGAAGCTCTAAGGATGCTAGTCGGATCTCGTGCGATGGAGAGCTGAGATTATTGACTAGAGACGTCACCACTGGGTCCTCCTCACTCGCAGAGCCCTCGCTGCTCGTGCTGTCCTGCCTCTTAATCGTATCGCTATTTCGCTGGATTTCCTCGTAGGCAAGATAGGCGTGGAGAAAGCCCACAGACTGAGCGAAGCGTGGAACAGCTGCTCGCAACAAGGGGCTCAGTGTAGCATCGATGGAGTCGGCGGCCTTGCTCATTCGTAGGTATGCGTGAAACCCCTGACCAACGATGAAGTGAACTTCGTCGGATGCCAAGGTGGAGGATGGTCGAAGTGCCAGCTTGAGTTTGCGAAGGAGAAGCTCCGCAATGCGAGCATTAGTGGATGGGTGAACTGTGGTCAACTCTAGAATTCTGAGAAGACCCGAATACTGCGGCAAGCATCTGTCTCTCCAGACTTGCGGGTCCTTGTTGTAAGGCCCTCGCTCAGGGAAAGGCGAAATTTCGAGTCGCTCAAACTTGGACACGATCTGATCCTGCCAACCTTGAGGCAACCTGCAGCTATCCTTTTCGCCGGCGGGAGGGAAAGCACAGTTCTCAACCATCTTGGGTAAGAATATGCACAGCATATCTTCGTTCTGCCCCTCGGACCAATGGCTGGTGATAAATCTATACTTCGTTAGAGCTTGAGCCAGGACGTCGTACATGAATGTGCTTACTTTTGGAATTCGTTCCGGAACAAGCTTCCAAATCGCTGAGTGTCCAATTGGCAGAAATATGAGCAAAAAGGTATGAACCACTTCATGAGCGGCTCCCTGCTCAATGACTGTACAAGAGAGACAAGGTGTGGTATCAACGCGTCAATGGGAGCGTTGTGCCAAATAATGGCAATATTGGCAATCAGAGAACTCCAGACAATGCTATGCGCATCCTTGGGTACTTCGACAGCCGCCTTGGTGACTTGGGCAAGCATATCAACTAGATTCCGCACAAGAGGAGTCCAGTTACTCAATCGAGAGCCCCTACGAACACCAGCTAGGGTGCCGCATATTCGGACAAAGGGTACCAGCTGCCATTGACGATCCGCTGCTTGCACCTGGTTCATGCTTGCTTCGACATTGTCGTGAATTGCGTCCGCAAATTCTTCGAAGGTATCGACAGTCGCGTGATGGATGACCGCTGTCAGAACGCCACAAGTAACATTTGTCCATGTAGTTTCATCGACAAGGGAGCGCTCACGCTCAGGAATGGCGTTGACGAGGGCGGCAAATATCACTGGGCCGGTCGAATGGATCGTGTAGTCGGTACTCTTGATGGCCTCAGCGAACATGGTCATCAATCCGTCTTGATAGAGTACAAATTGACGGTCGCCGATGATACTGCAGAGATCATCCCTGGCGCATTCGACAAGAAGTTTTAGGGCGGTATCCCGGTGTGACGGCGCCGCGGCCTTCTTCACCAAAAAGCTCAAGGCCTCGGCAGCGAAACGCGCGATGTGAGGAGGGTGTCGTGACTTTCCGAGAAGGGTGACCATGACCTTGAACGTAGGTCTCAGGTCGGGGACCAGCAACTTGGAGAGGTACTTGAACAAGAATGCCAAGGCACCAAATGTCCACTCGATAACCTCGACATCCTGCGGCTTGCTGGCGACTGCCACGATCAAGTCGAGACTTCTCCCATAATGCTTCTCGAACCGCACTCCCAGGTCGTGGGAAAATGCTGTCAGGAGGTCCAGCAACGGTTCCAGGGCTTCCTTCTCTTGTGCGGATATGTATTGGGCCAACAAGTCCATTATCCGTTGCTCGAAATGGAGGAGTTGGGGGAGGCTCTCGCAGAGCGGCAGAACCTCCCGCTTGAATGCGACAAAGGGCTTCGAGACATTGAGCTCTGACCATTTGTGCAGTCCTGTCCCGAAATAGGATGTCGATGTCGACAAGTCTTCGGTCTCGAGATCATGGCGGCGAACTTTGCGGAGCGGCTGGAGGGACTGGAATTTTGAGATTTTGGTAGTAAATGACTCCCATCGGTGATTCTTTTGGTGTGGAGTCGAATTCTTGTTCTTCCGGGCCTTGGTGATGCGCCCGGATGAGTTGGTCGGCATCTTGGCGGTGTTGCAGCCCGATGCAGAGATTTGCAGACGAAGTTGCAAGGTCTCACAGAGAGAGAAGAGAGCTTCACGACCGCGATACGCTCCCCGCCAAAATTTCCAACTTTTTTCATCGGCAGAAGAGCGGTAAAACCGATAACGGTGCACTAGTGCATGCTGCCCCATCCCGGCCAATTAAATCCGCGCCGCAAACTCTTATCTTTCTCTTAAGCTTACCACTAAGGACTCGAGGAACCGTCATCTTCGCAGCTTCACTCTCGTGCATCGTCTGTAGGCACGACGTCGCGTGTGAAGCCGCCCCCTAAGCTCTCTCTCACCACCACCACTATGGCTGCGCCAAAGATGTAAGCACTTTCCATCACTTGCGAATTAGTCGCCGTATCTAACATCTCCTCGTAGCATCGTTCTAGGGAGCCTCAATGGCCAGCTCGAACCCGCTTTCAAGAAGCTCGCGACGCTCCACTCCAAGAACAACTTCGCCCTGGCAATCTTGACAGGGGATATCTTTTCACCCTCCAACGACGATGACGCAGTCACCGGGCTGCTAAATGGGACCATTGAAGTCCCCCTCCCCACCTACTTCACCGTCGGCAACCACCCATTGCCCCCACGCATCGCAGCCAAGGTCGAGGCCGACGAGGAGATCTGCGAAAACCTCCACTTCTTGGGCAAGCGCAGCATCACAAAGACGTCGGAGGGGATTCGCATCGTCGCGCTGGGAGGCCAGCTTGATCCTAACCTGGTTGCAGGCCTGTCCAAGGAGCAACATCTTCCCTTCCACTCGGCAGATGACGCAAAGAGTCTACGTGGTGCAAACAGCGCCGATATTATGTTGACTGCAATGTGGCCCGCCGGCGTATGGACTGGCTCGAATGTCGCTCTAGATCCCACGCAGCAGGCATCTTTGGCCAGCTCAACCGCGATTGCCGAACTGTGCGCTGCTCTCAAGCCTCGATACCACATCTCTGCTTCTCCTGGCCCGTTCTTCTACGAGAGAGAACCCTTCGTGCACCCAACCGAGAAAGATTCTGACATTCCATCTGTGACAAGATTCATCTCAATGGCTACATATGGTAATAACGCCAAGGCCAAGGCTATGTATGCCTTCACCCTGAACAAGGGAGACGCCTCCATCCCCGTCGGCGCCACGTCCTCGCCGTTCAACCCAAAGAAGCGGCCACAAAATGACGATTCATATAACCGTTATGACCATGGCGATGGACACCGCAACCGACGTCAGAAGCGCCGTCATCGGTCCCCTCCCCCGGGTCCGGACCAGTGCTACTTCTGCTTGTCCAACCCAAACCTCTCTGCCCACATGTGTTGCAGCATTGGTGACGATGCCTACATCACCACAGCCAAGGGCCCGCTCCCCACCTCTACCACCTTCGCCGATCAAGGGCTCCCCTTCCCAGGCCACCTTATCATCATCCCTCTCCCACATGCCCCGACGATTCCCAGCATGGGCTCCGTGATAGAATCCGAAGGAGAAGCCGTCAAGGCATATAACGAGATGACTCGCTTTCGTGAAGCCATCCAGGCCATGATTGCCACCAAGAGCTCCCACAAACTGGGCGTTGTCACTTGGGAGATTAGCCGTGACCGCAACATCCACCTCATCTGGCAGCTTCTCCCGGTTCCGGCGGACCTCATCCGCCAAGGCATCACTGAGGCTGCCTTCCGTGTCGAGGCAGAGAACCAGAAGTACCCAAAATTCACCACGCAGGACCTCTCACTCGAGAAACAAGCCGCAGCAGGCGACTTCTTCCGCGTGTGGTTGTGGGCTGATGACGGCGAGGACAAGATTAAGGGCAAGTCCCTCGTCATGCCACTGCCTTCGGACATGCGCTTCGACTTGCAATTCGGTCGCCGCGTCCTCGCCAAGCTCCTGGGCCTGGAGAACCGTAACTTCTGGAAGGACTGTGAACAGACAGTCGAGGAGGAAACGAAGGACGTAGAGGCGTTCCGAGAGGCGTTCAAGGACTGGGACTTTACCTTGCCCCAGGACAATGGCGATGCTGCTGCTTGATACCCGATTTATAACTAATGCATGGGATGGCGTCTAAATTTGACTTCGGGAGGGCTGGAAATTACATTCCACATGGACTGTGGGCGCGTTTGCTTCAGGATATTTATATCACTTCGTCTGCAGGAGAGATAGAATGAAGATTCGGCATTTGGCTGGTAGAAAAACCAGTTCAGGACAGCTCGGCTGTTTAGTGATATGAGTGCATGAAATAGAATCCCTGAAGCTCCCTAACTCCAACAATGGAACTGTCGTGTCCCTGGTTCATACCCATGACCATGACCCAAGTTGGAGAAAGATGCCCAGGTCTGGAGACGGGGGAAAAAGCATGTCTAGAGGTCTTTCACGGTGAAGGCGAGGAACACATCAGCAAGCTCCCAGAACATCACAGCACCAAAGACATCAGACATGTTTTTAGTTTAACGTTTTCCCTCAATTGTAGGTGTGAGCTAGTCAGGGGGGACCCCCCTTAAGGCAACATAATGTACAACCAGCAAACCAGTGAAGGTAGCCATCCATCGACATTGAAAACCTCCACTCTAGCTAGTCCTACAAAAGTACAGCAGTGACAAGACATTCTTTGCACTGCAAAAACCAAAAGACTCGAGCTCAAAAACGGCCGGGCCTCTGAGGGTTACAGTCATCCCTTTTTCTTGGGAGACATTTCGGAATATGTGTAAGAACAGAGAAAATAAAATATGAAACCATTCCGTTGGTTTTGAAGGGGTATAGACGCAACTACTGTGCGCAGGGTGTGGTGTATCTGGGGCAGGGATAATGGTATCAGAAAACTATCAAGTGACCCATCTTTGGGTGATAGTGGTGGTAAATGAATGGAGGCGCCGTTGATTTGTCCAGATGGTCCTCAAGGGGAGATTGAGAGACCGAGACATCGGAGTTGACGACGTCTGTGCGACAACGCAATGGTCGCATGGCGAGGCAGTTTTCCCGCGACATTGTTTCGGGAATCAGAAAACGCAATTGTACAGCCGCCAGAGCAAATGCAGTTTGAAAATGGAGAACGCGCGCCCAAAATGCAAAAGGAAGCCATTGGCTCCCGGGGTAATGTTGTGGATCCATGGAGGATTCCAAGAGCGACAGCGTCGCCGTGAAATGTCGAATCCTGTGGATCGATTCGTCTTATGCATGAAAGAGAGAGAAGAAAAAAAGGTCTCGAATAGAGAGAAAATCATCGAAGAGTAAGACTCGCGCCAAGATCTATTAGCGAAGTGGTCGTTGCTGGTCGTGGTGGCACTATGACATGCAGTGGATTAAGTGTTGGCGGATGTTAGAGGCGATCTTGCGAAAACTAAGGCGAAAGACACGTATTATGGCGGCTGTTTCGTCTTAGCCCGGTCGGTATGTTCGCCTTCAAAAGGCATGGGATTGCATGAGCAATCTGGTGGGAATATGTGCGTGATGGAGAGGTTGCAGATAATCATAGACCTTAGAGCTGACTCGATGAGACCAGCACTGAATGAGTCGGCTCTACCACGTGCTCAGCAGACAGTGGCAGATAAATCGAGGAGGGCCTAGTAGGAGGCCATTCGACGTGTGTGTGTTCTCTCCCCAAGGATGGGAGAGTTACCAATCATGGCAATGGGGTTATGTCGCGACATGGGCCGGCTTGGGGCAGTGGGCGATTCTTCCACACAGCGCTCTCGCTGGCCAAAGGCGAAAGTCTGGGCTCGGCTCAAACCCTTACGAGATTTTAGGCGACCCATTTCGCGTTCGCAGGTGCGCTGGTGCGCCTCATCCGACATCTCAACGTATTCTTGGGGGTAGCATCGGGACCGATGTTCAGCAAAGAAGCCGCTATATCCACCATCTATGATGTAGACCTCGGGATACGTAAGCTTAGGATAAAACTCTGCATTCACAGTGCGATCCTCGGATCGGACATGACGAGCCATCAGGGGAGCTCGGTGAGCAGAGTATTCGCAGTGGAAGATGAGCAGGGTGCGTCCACTCATGGGAGTTTGGAAGAGCTGGCTGGTCAGCAGCTCCTTGTCATTGTAATTGACAGCACCATCAATGTGGCCGCCGTCGTACTCATACTCAAAGCGGCAATCAATGACCATCTTCTGGTCAAAGTGCTGGTAGTACTTTCCGTCCAGGACGTCCACAAGGGTCTCCTTGGTGATACGCGGAATGGTATCCGTGGGATCATCAGTTAAGAAGTGGGGAAGAACAGGCTCCTGAGACTCTTCAACATCCATGACCGACTGCAAGGCAGACGATGCAGTCTCCGGAGACTCAGACTTGGACTTCATGACGTCAGCTGGGTTCTCGAACATGCTCAGTGATCGGCGGAACTGTTTGCGATTTCGGAGAAAAGGGTTAGACTGCCGACGGGCATGGCAGTTCATGGGCGAGCCGGTGCGGTAACCACCCGACCCGACGAAATTGGGAAAGGGATGTCTCGCACGAAGGCTTAGAGGGACGGGTGCACAAGGGCTGTTGGCCGACGAGGGCCGGCGCTCTGAAGGTGGTGAGGCAGTCTCGAAGCATTCACTAAGAGAGAGGTTTGAGCTGGTGTGGTTGAGGCGAGAGTCAGTCCCGAATCGGAAAGGCGGCAGTTGGGTGCTGTCCTGTGGCCGACTAGGAAGAGCAGTGGTACTGAGGCCCTTCATCCGTGTTAGAGACGGTCTTCGGGGCACAGCGATTCTGCGGCTACAGATGGACGTTAGGATGAAAAGTTTGACGAGCAGAAGCGGGTGTACTCACTCAGCCACAATGGGTCTGGCCGGCTCCAACGACGATTGTCGAGAGATGGGGGCTGGAGAGTCCAACATCATCTCGTCATCGGCAAGGGGCGTTGAGCCGGGAGTTGGCGAGGTGATGTCGATCTGACTGAAGAAGGGCATCTTGTGAGGAAGTGGTGACATCTCCATCAACTCAGTCAGGGGAGCAGGTGACGACGACGGGAGAGGAGGAGTGGTAACGCAATCTAGATGGAAAAGTTAGTCCACTGTTTCACTATCAAACAGAGGATGCAGATTCTTACCACGACCTTCCATACCGGTGATGGTGTGGGCTGTGAAGAGAGCTCGACGAGGGGTCGGGAAATGGGGACTATGACTTGGTTAACGACGAGGCCAGCACCGAGGGACTCGTCACGACAAACCTGGAGTCATTGTCGAGACGGAAGTTCTGGGACAAGTCGGCAGCGAGGCTGGCGGCAGGAGAGGAGCCCCGGATGTCCTTGACGTTGAAGTAGTCGGCCGTGCTCTTGTGCAATTGCTCGCGAAGACTCATGGGTCCAGAACCGCTGGAGGTTGCAGAGAAGTGAGAGTGACGGAAAATGTCCCTACCCCAGCCCGGAACGGGCATCGGGCGGTGCAAAGCCGCTAACGGTGATGAAGCTTCCATGATGGTAGTGTGCTAGATCGAAATGGACTCGAGACGAGTCGAGCCAAGTCCAAAGGAGCAAGCCACGACTGCAGAGATATCAACGACGGACACAGGGTGCAAACTCGGAGAGGGGAGGTTGCAGAAAGTCAATGCTGCAACAACGCCTCTGAAGATGCAATAGAGTCTGTCGAGACTATTTCCACAGCGATACGGAAGCTCGTGGGAGTTGAATGAGGGCGACCCAGGGAGGGATTGCGAGGTGTCTCGTGGCGGGGTCGGCGTCGTGGGTTCGTTAGAATCGTTCGTGGGACATTTGAAGGAGCGACGAGCGAGAGTCGACGTAGAATCGTGCGTCGTAGGGCTCGTTACGACAGTGAGAGATATTGATTGACGAGGCAACGACGGGGATTGAGGTCGGGGACGAGTCCCTTGTCGTGATGTTCTGGAGAGAGAATGGCGGGCGGGCTTTGCATCCAGGACCCAAAAAAGACCGGGGGCGTTGCTAGGCGATGGTGGAGGAACCAAACCAAACGCGCTCACGTACAGTAGTACACGCAGCACGCAGCACGCAGCACGGCTCACCGAGGTACACGCTGGAGCTCCCGTCCGATGATGACCAAAAGAAAAAGAAAGAAAAAAAAGAGACCGAATGGGACTCTTTCTTTCTCCCTGGAGTTTTTGGCCGACGAGAGGAAAAGCGGTGCCCAAGGTGTTAGCGACGAGCCGTACCGGTTGATGGAGGGGGGGAGGGAGAGGTGGTGACGGAGGCCGAACGGGCGGATGGGTGGGAAGGGGGAGTAAGTGCAAGCGTGGTGCGGGAGCAAAGGCCTTTTCAATGGCCGTCCAACACCACCCAGTCCACGACCCAGTCCAGGCAGGCCTAGGATGGGAGGTTTTTCAAGCGATCCCAGGTTGTTAGGGGTGATTTGGGTGTGGTGCTCGGTGCTGGTGCTGGTGCTGGTGCTACTACGTGCTGGGGACTGTGGACTTCGGGCTACGGGGGGGGCGCGGACAATGCTCTGGCCGGGGCTGCGGGGGGCGTAATCATAGTAGGGGTGGTGTGGGCTATGAATTGAGGAGGTCCACGGGTGCTATCGCAAGTATACCAGACTGCTGAGGCCTGCTGGGCCTGCTATGCCAGGCCCCTACAACACATGGGACAAAGGCGGCTCCAACCAGGTGCAGCCCACCCCGCGAGCAATCACAGCGCACGCCAGTCGTCCCTCAGCCAGCCCGCTGCCCACCCGCCATCCCGCTATCGTCGCTGAGTGGGCGCGGCCCTGGCGAGCCCAGCGCGGTTGCTCAGTGGAGGTGGAGACGTCACTCTTGGGGGAACCCTGTCAGGGCGCTTAGCGGCCACGCACTAGCAAGCTCGCTGCAGCTGCCACCCCTACCTCTCGACGGGCCTGGAGCAGCCAGGACGAGTCGGAGCGCTGCTGCTACGTGCTAATACGTGGTCAGCTCCAGCGCGCCGGCGTCCACCTCATAGCGAAAACCTTCCACTGTAGCTCGGCCAAGACAGCCCCAAGCCCAGGCCAGAACCCCAGCAGAGCCGCTGCAGCAGCAAATATCCCCAATTCAGTCCCCTCCAGCCCAGCTCCAGCCCAGCTCCAACCCACTCTCACCGGCGCCCTCGCTGGGATTATCCACCCACAAGCCCAAGACCTTACCCACCAACAACCTGCCCTTCCCTGGAAGTGCCTTGCTGTGCCTTGCTTTGTTACGGCCGGCACTCGCTGGAAGTGGAAGTCTTGCTATGGACGTAGTCTGGCGCGCGTGTGCTGCACAAAGCACAAAACCTCGGGTTCGCATAACGATCCACCCCCTGGCATTCACGCACTCGACCTGCCACACTCCCACTCTCCCTCCCACGCGCACGAGGCACCGGCTCCCGGGTTACATCATCGCGGCCGGGGAACCAAGAAGCGGTGAGGGCGTCAACATAAGAGCCGTGGCCTGAGATGCGTCCCGCCGTCCTGCCGTCCCGTTGTGATGATGAGCCCGTTCCAGCGTAGGCCAGGCGTCGACCCAGTAACAAGATAAACTGCACGACTAGAAGACGCATCGAAATCATCGAACGCACGCCACCCTTGCTGTCGAAGCCGATTTCCTGCGTGTATCTGATTGCTATAATCTTGGTTCCGACTCGGCGGCTTGCTGCTAGGCCGCTCTCCCATATTAGTCAAGCCCCATGTTTGTGTGCGGATAAAGGATAAAGAGTCTCGGATCTGTCACTATGAAGCCTTGTCTAGGTATGAATGCGCTATGAAATACTGTGTAAGGCACAACGGCCGGGGTCCAGGAGCCGCGACCCCAGAATGGCAACATGCCTCCGTTGCAGTTGAGACAGCGACGCAGTCGGGTACAGATTTTAAGATTGCCGCCGCTGGGGAAATCGTTTTCGCCTGGACCGGCTGCCATAAAGGATCAAGTCCGTGGGTTGAGATAAATGAGTCGGTCAGCGATTACTAACTTTACTTGCCCTGACTTGACTCGGACTCGGTCGCCCTGCGATTCCATATCTCTTCTCTCCCTCGAAGTGGTCTGTGATCTATCACCAGTCATCAGTCAGTTGACTCTTTGTCGTTCCCTTTGTCCCAAATCCGTCCCTTGCGGCTGTCTACTACTCCCTTTGGTGTCGGATCACGGTGCTGTGCTAGGAATAGCATAACTCGAGACGGCAGGCATTCCCTTGCCCACAACCCGTTCGGCCGTCGTCCTTGTGCTATTCCGGGGGCGCGGGCAGGCTTGTGCCCTGAGGAATGACGTTGACCAGCGGCTGGCTGTGCCTAGCACCATTCTTTGCTCCGAGAGACCTCCATACTAGGCAATACATACAACGTAGCACTCGCTGGCGACGTATGGAGCGTTGGAGAACACGCTTCCCGCAAGCCAGCGCACAGCACAATACGTAGTAGAGCCGGATCATGGGATCATGGAGAACACGGCCCCCCGGATTGAACCAGCAGTTCATGCTGCTCGCCGGCTCCCCGGCCGGGTCGCGCATCTCGTACCTGGCCAGCTGCCTGTTTTCCTGCTTGCTTCCCTGCTTTGCCTTGCGGTCCTTTGTCGACCCCCGGCTGTTTCAATTGCCCTTTACGTCGACTTCGCCCTGGGCTCGCCTGACCCCGTCTTACTCCCCTAGCTTAATGCCTCCCGCGCGTGCAACCCTCCAGGCCTCGGCCGCTCCCCATCGAGTATCTCGTCCCAGCGGAAGCCCTCCCATTCGGCCTCGCAAAGTGCAGAACCAACAGGTCGAAACGGCTCCGTGCACGCTTACGGGGGCAGAATCCAGGGTCCTATTTCTGAGACAGCGCCCTGGTCGTTGCCCAGGCTTGGGGCAGCATCGGAAACCAGCCGGTTCCACAGCCCAAGACCGCGAATAGCAGGTGCAAATGAGGGATTACTACGTAGTAGTTAGCAGCTTGAAGCTGAGGGAGTCCAGAATAGACGCTGCCCGCGGCCTCGATCATTTGCCGGCTTCGAGGCCCGGGTCCAAAAGGGAGCTTGCAACGTCAGCAACATGGGAGCGCGAGACACAACCAAGGTTAATAGAGTTGCGCCAGGAGTTGATACTCGAGCGTCACTGGAGGGAGAGTAGCGCCGGGGCTTGTAGGGCGAAGGGAGGGGGCGTGTAGTTCGTAGTTCGTGCTGCAACCCGCCGCCCAATTGAAGGCTCCGTCGGCGACATTCGTACATTGGCCTCTCGAGATGCCTTGCAGCGACATGCATTCGCTTGCTCAGCCCAGCTGCGAGATCTTTCGTGACGAGCAAGCGGAGAATGGTATGCGCATTGCGTGCGTCTTGCCGATCCGGATTCCCGATGCTGGGTCCAATTGACGTCGTCCCGTGCCAGAGAATGCACGACAAGTCTGGGTGCCTCATGTCTTTGGACGCATGTAGTTCGTTCACTCACTCCGCCTCCACGTGTGAGCAACGACATGGTGATGCATGCTCTGTAGTGTCAGCAACAAACCCGCAGATGACGCGATTTTGCCTTTTCCCTACACAACTACAAGCGACTGACACGCGCTGGCATTCTCAAGCTCTCTCTCAAGGCCTCGTGTTTACCTTTCCCGTGCCAGCAGCTTGTGGCCGGCAGACAGGTGTCGCCATAGTGCCTTGCAAGTGTCAAATAGTCGCGGCGCTGCCGAGCGAGCCCACTTCGACTCTTGTTCAGCGCCAATTGCCATTAGACGGTCACCTCTGTGGCGCACTGATAACAACTTCAATTCCGCATCTGCTGATCCTCCATCCGCCAGCTCTCCCAAGCGCCAGAACCCAAGCCAATGGATCCTAGTCTGCCCGTTTCGCCACCCAGGTGTCAAAGAACCCCGCCCGAGTCAAAGAACCATAGATCAATGCATTGATTCCCTTCTGAGCCAGCTGATGGGAGCTTGAATCCCAAAACGGAGTCGCTGAACCGCGGGAGCCGTCATGTGTCTCGTCTCCCTTGTTGCTCAGCAAGTGTCGGATCCATTGATGGATCCAAGCTCCATCGCCCTCAGCGCCAACAAGTGCCGGCAATCGCCAGTCGAGCCCCTCCTCTCGAAACAAAGCTCCTTGTCTAGCTGAGGCGACTTAGCACAGCCTCCGCCGCTGCTGCTGATGCTATCGCTGACACTGCAGCAAGCTTCCACCTTCCCGAGTACCCGACGGGGGCACTCCCTGTCACCGAGTCCATGGGGTAGCTCATGGTGAACCAAAACAAGCTCTCTCGCACAATGAATGTGCCCAATTGACACGAGCTACTGCTGTTGGACAAAGACGAATTGGTCGGCTGCCAAAGTTCCGTGCTTCTGACTTGCCTACTCCGTCCGGGCTTGTTCGCTTAGGCTTGCATCTACTGCGTAGGTGCTTGAGACTTGGAGCTTTCGAGGTTAGGAGCTTAGCCTTTTGCTTTTGAGACAGGGCTGATCGCCTTCACCGAGGTCCAAAGAGCTCAATACCCATCCTCTTCCGACGATATTCGTGTCGGCGCTCGTCCCCTAGTGTTCATCGGCCCCCGTTCTCCGGGTGGAGTCTGGCAATCGGCTTTTGTTTCTTTTGCCCGTAAGCCCGTCCATCTGCGCGCAGATGAAAGAAATCTTTTTTTTCTTTGGTGGCGGCGGGCTCCTCCCAATGGTCCCGCTTGACTTCAGACCCGTTGTCCTGCGTCTTGTGGTCCCGCGGCGTACTCCTAGCGATAGAGGATGGCGAGACACTCGCCCATCGCCCTGGATGGCCTGTGGCTCAACCATGGCGGGAAATCTCGATTACAACGACGTGATCCAACCTAATTAGTCTCCCTGTAGAAACCCATCCTGCCGTCGGGGATTTTCCTGACTCGGGTCTTGAACCCATGGTCTGGCGCCTCCTTCAATGCACAAGACAATGCCGCATTCAGCGTCCAGCACTCACAAGAGATAGGCGCACGCTCTTATCCACGCTCGCGTTCACGCCCATGTCCGCCGCCCTGGTATCAGGACGGCCAAGCCAAGTTGGCCTCGGTCGATCTCTCGTCCTGTTCCGACACCCTCGCTCATCCTGGCATAGTCGTCGACGTCACTCACCGCAGCTGAGTGCCATCGGGCCCAGTGGCCGCAGGACAATCGATCGTCATCGCAGTCCATTTTGCGTTTTGTCTATACATTCTAGAGAATCCTGTTATGCCACCATGTCCCAAAACGTCGCATCTCTCCCTCACCCTAGCCAGCTGTCCACCTGTCTAAGCCGAGCCGCATCCATCATGAACCCGGGGCCGTGGCAGCGAGACAGTCGGCCGGCTTGACGCTATCTCTCATTCACACACATGTCCATGTCGAGTATCCACGGGGCTACGGACGAGCCGAGGGGATCCCAGCTTGCGAAGTTGCGTCGTCTGGGGCTACTGTTTACTTGCGCATCCCAAAGACAAATAGGATCGCAGGGACCGGTTACACGGTCAATGGTGAGCTGCAGCCCAGTCCGCAATTGTCAGAGACGCGGCCAAACGGCCCAATCGCCTCTCGTGAGCCCATCTAGTTCTCAGCCGTCAGCTCGCCCTGGGTTCTCCCCTCCCACATCCCAATGTGGGATGGCTGAAGGCCGAACTCCACCGCGTCACCCATGCCTCTCCAAGCCTCCCACCCCCTACCACGAACGCCGTCTCCTGACCGTCAGGATGAGGGGTAAAAAAAATATGCCCGCATTGTGATGGTGTGATGCATTGTGCAGCCTATCGTTTTGAATCCAGCAGGGCTGTCTGCGGCGCAGCCCTGTGGTGGGATGCAGCGTGGCGAGAGCGGAACGGTGCGGTGCGGTGCGGTGCGGTGCGGTGCGATTGCGGTTCGTGGGGTAAACACTGTGCCCAAGTAAACAAGCCACGACGTGTCGCGTTTTAGTTCAGTTCCCCAGTCAATTCGCGCGAAGTCACGTGTCGCCATGCACATCGAACCCACCATTGCTACCTCAGGCACACGCACATGCTTTTCGTGTGCTTCCGCGTTGAGGCGCGAAAAGACCGGCTCCGGCCCCACTTCGCCGGGCCTCCGTCTCTCCCACGCCCTCGAAATCTACAACCGGTCTCTGTTTTACTTCTGTCAGTGACGACAGGTCAGAAACGGCGTTGTGGCGGCTCAATAGCCGATGACACGTCGACGCCTCGTCTGTCTCTAGTCCCGGATCCCAGGTCTCAACCCTTTACCCGACTCATTAATAAGGGAGACGCCCCGTAGCATAAGTTACCATGTGCACACTTCGTTCTAATGTCTCAAACCCTCTCCCTCGCTCCCTGCAGATGTTGCTTGGCCGGTCTAGAATGCGAGAGCACGTGCCACATGACACAGGTTCACTTCGACGGCTCCATGTTAATCAGTGAGGCTCAAACTCATTTCCGCGGCATGCCACAAAGCCACGCTGTTTAGGCATTGAGGTGAGGCTGCCGGCCAGAGACATGTCGCGCCGCATGCCAGCCCGGCCGCATACCAAACTTCCCGGGAACACTCTGCATTAATTTGGCCCGCTGTCGGCTAGTTCGAAATGACCTCGCTGCTCTTCCTGCCGGATCCCAGCGCAATATCCTCGGACTGTATCCCTACAGAGGTAAGGGATGTCAGGGAAGGCCCGCGAAAAAAAGCTCTCCGCTCCATTTTGCTCATTTTCCTGGAGCCCACATCGGAGAGCCCATCTCGCCAAATTCCGTCGTCTACATTCTTCCTGGCACATACTTTTTGTAACTATTACCATACCCGCGGTTGACCCACCAGTCATCCAGGTTCCAGGTTCGTCTCTCTGGACAACGAACATGGCCTCTGTGTCGTACGATTGGATGAACACGTAGCCCTGTGTTGCCAACGCTGCGGTACGCTATCCGCGAGCACGGGCAGAAAATTGCTACTCTGGGAAATGAATTTGATGTCCAAGCTTGTCCAAGCTCCCTACTGAGCTATCAGATGCGAGGGATCTCAGGGGAGAAGGACGGGCAAATATCGGGGTTGCGGTTGGCTATGGTGATGGGGGAAATATCATCGCCGACCCTCATATCCCCAAAGAAAGGTCAGGAGTTCCCCTAGCGGCCCCATCTCCAATCCAGCGTCTTTTTCTCTTCCTTGACACGTAATTGTAGTTCAAGATGAATTCATTAGTGCATCCTCTAGGGTAGTAGAATGTACCTAGATGTGCACAATCGAGGTTTTTAAGACCAAGCTAATGTTGATCATTCGCATGCCCGGATTGGGTAATGATTCCGCCGTTAGATAAACCTCGTGACGTTGGCAACATTCTCTCATGATAGCATCCATTCCCAACAACTCTTCGCTTAACAACATGACGAGACAGATGACACCGATCACATTCACCATTCCTTGAGCTGTACCAGAGTTCTGTCCGCGCCACCTAAGGAATAAGCACACCATTTTCGCAATTCCGACAAGGAAATCGAACGTCGCTGGCGTGTACGCATACACACAGACACATTCATGAGCAAATTATCATCGTCAACGAAGCAACCGGACTAGGCGGGATCGATGAAACGCAGCCTTAATTCATGCCCCTAGTTGAAACATCCTCCGGCCCGGTATCCTCGGGCTGCGCAGCGGGTTGCGCCTGAAAGCTGCCTTGTAGAAACGAGCCACCTCCCATATATCCCAAACACGAGCCCTGATCGCATAATCCCCGTAAGTAGTAAGGGTTGATCTTGAAAACCCGCGTCGGTACCAAGGCTTGAGTTACGGCGTTCTCTGAGCGCTCGATTTCAGCTTCATGCATCAAGTTTGGCCTGAATACTCCGCCTAACCGCGCCAGCCGGACTTGCTCACGGAAGTGCTGAAATGCCGAAAGGACAGGCACCCAGATCTGGCCGATGATGCCCGCTCATACTCCTAGGGTGAAGCGATAAACTACATTCCGCATTGAAATTGTAATGCCGTGGGAAGAATTGAAGGCCAAAACTTGCTCAGTCAAGGATCAGCAACATGGGATCATACGCAGCCCAATCAAGCCACAAAGTACTGATCACATCAACCGGGCACCCGGAATATTCGGTAGATTCCAATGAAACACGGCGCCGGCCCAAAAAAAATTGACAACGAAAACGCACATGAAAATAACTCACAATCAGTGCCATTTGGTGTTGTAGATTCTACACAACCGCTAAGTACCATTGCGAGCCTAGGCAATGATGGATGTTTCAGTCGACACACAACTACGTGATGTACCTACGGCACGGAGCAAGAAACTAAAAGCCATTGGTCAAGACCATGCCAAGTTCATTTGTGCCGAGACCCGACGAATGTGTGAATGAATCTGCCTCGTCCGCATTAATTGACTAGATTGAAGAGCTGGCACGATACCAACTCTCATCGTACAAGTGATATGACCAACGCGGCAGGGTGATACATGAATCCTAAAGCCGTGCCGAGGATGTGTGGTAGATGAGCAAGTAAGACCCTTCGACTAAGGAGTACTCTGGACTATGGAACTTAGTGTTTGAACCTACGTATTCCTTGTGTACGTGCATCTCACAGTTGTTGATGGCGTCGTCGACATTTTTAAAGTTCATCCTTGTCGATCTTATGCATGTCCCTCAGTGACATCTAGCTTTCAGGCCCCCACCATTCTCGTATTCATGTTTCCAGTTGTCGTAGACAAGGTTTTCAAGAACGGGCATAAGGATGAGGACTGCCGGATTGCAGAGAGAGATTCGAAGCACATGTCCAGGCAGCTCCGTTTTTTGCTTTATGCCTGAATTTCGCGGTACTGGAGATGATAGGTGGATTTGTACTGCTCCTGTGTAAGTTTACTGTGTCACATGGATCTGTGTGGTGGTATTGGAGGAGTAAGTTCGCTCTCGAACGGAGAAGTACAACCGGTGGTATGTTGATGGTAGTGTTGAACACATTGTTGTCACTTGACGCCGAGTCTACATTCTTACCATGTGTATTCGCAACAAAGGAAATGAGGTCATAATACCGTAGGGTAAGAGTTGCATGAAATTGAGCCGACCTGAGTAAGTTCTCCGTCGAAAGGTCACCAGAAAGACATCAGCTCGAATTACACCAATATGTGCACGGGTCCAGGGTAGACCCAGTGCCGTTGGTTGCTGCCCACTGTACCATCCCGTCGGTAGCGCCCCCACGTCAATTCAGTGGGGTCGCGGGGTGCCACAGGGCGGTGACAGCTGGCACAACTCGAGTTCCTGGATTTTTTTCCCTGGCATACCTCCGAGCTGGTACCTGGGAGAATCGCGATAAGATCACCAACATCTTTCTCGAGCTCACTTATTTTCCCGACTGCAACGAAGCAACCATGGGCAGCAAAAGAAAGCGCGGAGCCAAGGAAGGCGCCAATGCCATTCCGAACCCCCAAAAACGAACCAAAAATGACAAAAGTGCCAAAGCAACGCCCGCGCAGAAGCCGAAGATCACACTCGACAAATCTCCCTTCGTCGAGACGCCATTGGGCGACGAGCGCAAACGAGAAGCTGGCCTCTACGAGCTACTAGGTAGTGAGGACGCCACCGAACGGATAGAGGCTGCAGATTGCATTGTCTCAAGCCTCCTTGGCGAAGAGAGTGTTACCGAACCCGTGCTGCAGAGACACCTTGACCGTCGGCTGTTTCGCGGTCTTGCAAGTGGCAGGAATGCGTCTCGCTTAGGCTTTAGCTTGGTCATCACGGAACTTCTGGGGCAGCTGTTCGGCCGAGCTGCACTAGCCGAAACAAAGTACACGGGTCTCACCTTCGAGAAGACGTTGGAAATATTGGCAGAGAAGACTCAGGCAATTGGAAACATTCCCGGACAGGAGGAACGGGACCATTGGTTTGGGCAGCTCTTCGGCATAGAGTGTTTCGTGCGAGCTGGTATTCCATTCAGCGACGCCTCGAGATGGAACGCAGTCTTGGACTTGCTGCTGAGACTCGCGAACAAGAAGGTCTGGCTCCGATCTCAGTGCGGCTGGGTAATTGTCCAATCCATTGAGCAAATGAGCCAGAAAGATGCAAAGGCAACGCTAGAGAGAGTTGCCGACGCAGGCTTAGCCAAGACCCCCGAGGGTGCGGCTATCTGGCTCGTTGCCCTGAACCGGTTTCCTAGCATCAAGGTGAAGCCTTGGGAGAACCCGCTCTCTAAGAAGTGCTTCGGCGATCTTGCCGCTGTGTTGAGAGAAAGCTTCACTCAGGACCAAGGTGATCAAGGCCAGAAAAACAAGCAGGCTAGCTGGACTGCGCAATTGCATTTTGCGTGGGATCTTATCCTGGCGCATTATGTGAAAGAGGCAGACGCTGGGTCGGCCGAGTTTGAGCAGTTTTGGTCTCGCGTAGTAGACGGTAAGCTTGATGAGCCTTGTTGAACATATTCTAAAGCAGTATGCTGATTTTCTCCAGATGGCCTTTTTTCCAAGAGTGCCACGGATGGCCAAAAGTTCAAGGGTTTCTCTGTTTTTCAGAAGATGCTCGAGGGACTTGTGGACCATCCCTCCCACATTGAGTGTCTCTTCAGCAAGAATCTTACGACCTGCTTAATGAACCAAGCTGCCAAAGAGGACCGTTACCTGCATCGCGCAGCTACCAAGGCACTGAAGGCGGTCGAAGCTGTTGTCTCAGCTCACCCAGATACTCTCGTGCCTATTCTCAGGAGTCTGCTGGGGACGCATGGTGCCTACAACTTCGATCAGCGAACTAGCACGAAGACCGTGGAGAAGATCCTACAAAAGATCACCGAGGATACTGCACCGGAGACGCTCAAGATCGTTAGACAGCCCATCGGTTCTCTGGCTAAGCTCGAGGATGCCCAGGCAGTATCTACGCTGCGAGTATACGCCGACTACCTATCCAGAGTGCTCAATGCCTCTGCCTCATCCTCATCTGGTGAAATGAAGCAGAAGGCATTCGCTTCCGCTTTGCAGGAGCTATCACAACTGGCATACTCCCGCCCCGATCATATCCCAGAAACTGCTCTGACAGAGCCGGTCCAGGAGCTGTGCCGGTCTCGGCTTGAGTCTGCTTTTGCAAAGCTTAGCCGAAAAACCGAGGACTACGAGAGCCTCTGTGTTGCTGTATCCTCTATCGACCCTGATTCAGTGGCCATGTCCGAGGAGATCAAGACTGCGGTGCAGGATGCGCTGGCCCGGATGCAAAAGCTACTCAAGCGAAAGTCGAAGGCAGCGAACGAGAAGAGTCTGTCGCAAGGCTTGGCTATGCTACACGCCGTATCGATTTTCCAACTATACAACCAGGATCCAGATGCTATGGAGGTCTTGAATGATCTCGCTCAATACTCTGACCGACTCAAGAAGGGCAAATCCGCTGAGAGTGAGCCTGGAACATCCGAGCTTTTGGTTGAAATCCTATTGTCAATGGTCTCGCGCCCATCATCCCTGATGCGACAAGTTTCTCAACAAGTCTTTGATGCTTTTACTCCTCAAATTTCAGCTGAGGGCCTGGAACTTCTGACTGGTCCTCTGGGCTCCGATGAGAGTACGAAGGGTCAGAAGGAGCTCTTCAACACCGAGGATGATATGGAAATTGACGAAGATGACGAGTCTGATAATGGTGAGGATGGCTCCGATATCGAAATCGACTCTGATGTGGAGTTTATCGACCTCAAGGAGCAGAACGGCGATGGATCTGGAGAGGAAGATGAGGAAGATGAAGACGATGATGAGGATCAGGACGCAGATGATGATGACAACGACGACGACGACGAGGAAACCGAAGATGCTGAGGGGCAAGAGCCTCAAGATCTGGAGGCTTTTATGAGTAAGATCTTCAAGAGTCACCGCTTGGACAAGGACGCCGAGGCTGAGTCCTCCGACTCCGACGCCGACATGTCGGACTCGGAGATGTTCGCCCACGATAGCAAGCTGGAAGCGTTCATAAAGAACCAGAAGGAGGCTAAGGGTGCCTCCAAGAAGCAGAAGAAGGACGCCAAACAGTCCGTCGTCAACTTCAAGAACCGCATTCTCGACCTCCTCGACATCTACATCCGCAACGAGGCCCTCAAGCCCCTCACCTTCTCCCTCCTCCTCCCCGTCCTCAACCTCATGCGCACCACCACCACCAAGCCCCTCGCTGCCCGCGCCTGCGAGATCATCCTCAACTACCAAAAGGCCCTCAAGAAGGCCCGCAACACCCGCCAGGACGCCGAGGCCCCGCCCGTCGACGACCTGCTGGGCCTGCTCCTCAACATCCACGCCGAGGCAGCCAAGGACAACGCCCACGCGTATGCCAAGGCCAGCAGCGCCGCGAGCCTTGTCGTTGCGTCCGCAATGTACGCCGAGGACAAGAGCAAGATCAAAGACGTGGCCGCTGTATATGCCAAGTCGCAGTCGGACTGGGTGCTGGGCGAGGCAAAGCTGCAGAGCTCCTTCTTCGCTGACTGGAACAACTGGTGCCAGAACCTGGCCTCGCAGGCTCACTCTTGATACCCCTTTGGTTAGAACGCGATTGTAGATAGATAGACAGGGAACGGAAAAGCAAATGTTAGAACATGTTACATGATGTTGGATGCTTGCAGATGAACCATTAAAATCTATGACCCTGTCATCATGATAGTACAAGTGCCTTTTTTAGCTCGACACAATTTGCTACTGTCTAATCCTCCATCTTATCGTCATCCTTCTTCTCATCCTCATCATCATCGTCTAGCTCGTCCTCGGCCTTTGCTAGTCTCTCGGCCTCCTCTCGGAGCTCCTTGGGAACCTCCATATGCCGACCCTTTGTGGGACCGTCGACCGTGCTGATCCAGGTCATCTCCAGCTCAAAGTCCTTGTCCTTGTTGTCCTTCTGCGCCACATAGATGATGCGCGCGGCCTCCTTGACGGCCTCATGCAGGGTGATGTTGCCCGCGGGCAAGTCCAGCTTCTCGAGCTCGGCCTTGGCGGCCTGGCGACCCTTGCCAGTTGCGGCACCGTAGTAGCCCCAGTACAGACCACTGGGCTCGATCATGTACAGGAAGGGACCGCCGTGCTTGCCAGGGACCTTGCCACCGGCGCCGCACTTGGGCCCGGAACCGACCTCGCCATCGACGGGGGTCTCCTCGGAGGTGTCGACACCGCCAACGATGGCGGTGATGCCGAATGGCCGGACAGAGCCGTACATGGTGTAGGCCTGGAGGTAGCCGCCCATGCGGGAGGCGAGATCGGATGTGGGGATGGGGGTCTTGAAGTTCTGTCGCCAGCTCTGGGCCTCGTCGCGGGCTCGGTCGACGAAGTGACGGCCATCGGGAACCATGCCAGAGTAGACCTAACCAAGAGGAAACAGTCAGTCAACCGGGGTAGGGGATTTGAAGTAAAGGACAAGGCCTTACCGCTCCAACGTGGCTATCGACGGTGGCAATACGCTTGTTGGCACCAGGTTTTAGAAGCTTGGATGCGACGACCTTCTCAACTGCCAGCACAACGCCGTCCTTGGCTCGGATACCAATCGAGGTGCCGCCATTTTCCACCGCCTTGACTGCGTATTCGACCTGGAAGTTCCGGCCGTCAGGCGAAAAGATGGAGTTGAGGAGATCGTAGCCCGTGCCTATCGACGTCTACACAAACGAGCAGCTAGGTCAGCAACCTGGGGAAGCTCTCCCTCGCGGGGGAAGCGAACGGGAATCGGAGCGAAGCTGGCAGCTTACCATGATGACTGTGGGCTTTTGGTGAAGAATTCAAAGGACGATTGTGGAGAGAGGCAAATGGCGTTGTGGGAGAATTGGGGAGCTTGGTTCGAGGAGGAGTCGTTGGTGATGGCGTTGGCTTGGAGCTTCACTTTCAGGCAGCCTGAGAGCTGCGTGTTGCAGTCTGTCTGCCGGCGAGGCTGGCCGCGTGGGTGCCTGAGGCGGCAACAATGGCGAGGCTTGAGGTGCTGAGCCACATGTGGCGGACAGATGCTAAAAAGCGGGAGTGGCTTGGGCGCAGCCCACTTGCCCCTCACTGTCACAGCGTCACATCGTGGTCCCCTGCAGCCGAGCATTCGGAGATGCGCAAGCCTGGCAGCCATGGGATCTGTGCCGACCGTTTTGCAGGAGACAGCTCAGTAAGGTACGTACAGTACTTGGCGTTATAGTACCTACCTTTGATTGTCACGAAACGATGATGCTGCCCCACCACATGTGGTGATGACCGCTTCATCTCTGAGATCTTACCAGATGTGAAGAGAGCAAAGAAGGAATGTTTGGGGAGTCATAACCCTTCTCACCTCATCCTCCTTTGTTGAACTCCGTTCTCTTGACTGAGAGGGGTCGGGTCTGGCCCGTCCCTGGTGGACGAGCTGCATATCTTTGTTGGACCGGGGGCTTCGTAGCGTGGACGGAAGGGCCACTACAGCAGCACTACAGAAAAATGAGTCCGTCATCAGCGGTGAGTTTGAAGCAATGTGGCACATGTTGAGTAACGGGTATTGGCGTGTGCGTGAGCTTTGTGTGATGCTTGTCCAAAGAATCATGCGGCGACACTGTTTGTTGTTGCTGAAGAGGTGGAAGGGAGAGACGGCATAAAGGGGACAGAAACAGAGAGTGAGGCATCTACGCGTAGTCTGGCTGCATCCATGGATCTCCTGCGTCTGGCGGGGATTCCTACTAGCTAGATTCCATGGTCGGTTATTAGCCTGTTGCCTGTCTCGAGAGATCTGGCACGTCCCACGCCTTGTGGCACTGGCTCATTGGATCGTGGTGGTCGCGCGGACAGGGGCCAGACGAAACCGTCCGATGGATGGCATTGCGGAGCGGTTTTCCCTTGACTGAGAGGCGGGGCGCGAGCGTTAGGAAGTGAACGGCATGAGTGAACAAGCGCATGCATGAATGATTACAGGGGAGAAATTACGGCATCAAGGGACCCCGGTGGCAGAGGCGAAAGCTGTGAATGAGAGGAGGCCATCGTGGTCACAACTCTCTCTCAGGCTCTCACATCGTGGGAGCATCATGTGCGCTCTGTGTCACATTGCCCTGGTGCGTCATGAAGGAATTCTTGAGGTGTAATAGGCATGGTCTAGCGGACAGGTGCCTTCTGTACATGCCCATGGGCCCCTGTAATCTCCACCGAACCTGCCGCGCCGCCCTCCACTAGCGGTCCATTAGGTAGGTACCCACTGTCCCACGTTGTTCCAGGTTGCCCTTCCATTACCGCTGTGTCCCTACCTGTGTGCCATCACGTCCCTTCAACACAACCGTCCATCTGCATCGCATCGCCATCACCATCGCCATCGCCATCATTCACTTTGTTCCTCTGCCTCTCCCTCTCTACCCGCCACACGCCAACTCTTTCAACATCCTCACCTCCTCCGTCCTTTTATTCCCGCACACTACTACAAAGGAAAGAACCCACCCTTTCTTCCCTCGCACGCGCCGTCCGTCTCTTGTCCGTTCTCTCCTCTCCCCACCTTGGCCCCGGCGCCTGCAACCCAACCCAACGGCCCACCGCTCTTAGACACCCTCCAAGCCCAATAAAGCGTCCCCCGGAGTCGACGTCTCCCGCTCTCCTCTCTCCCTATTTCATTCTCGTTCGCGCTTCTTCTTCTTCTTCTATTTCTGCTCTCTCCTCTATCTTCCAAGAGGCTTGCTTAGCTTAGTCAAATAAAAAACAACCGTTTTGCCCCCAACTGTCCTGTCGCAACCCCCCCCCCCCCCGAAGGGCTCGCAGTCGTCACACCCTCCGCGTTCCTTGCCACCCCACCATCAACCCCAAGGCCCCAAACGACCCGAACACGAACCAAGAAAGCGACATATAGCCTGAAATTTGGTCGGAATCACTCGCTTGCTTCCTGACAAGACCGGAAAAGACAGGGTATCTAACAAGGGATACTTACCGAGTTACCGAGCTTCCACGCAAACCGTTCCATCTGCACACGCAGCCAGGTACCCCATCAGACCATCTCCGTATATATCCACCTACTGATGCGATTCCGCTTTACAGATCAGCCACCATGGTTTCAGTCCAGTACACCATGCAGATGCATGATGAGCTCGCCGCTCTCTTCTCGCGCAACCTCACCTTTAACCCAGAGCTCCAGGCTCAGGCTCAGGCCCAGGCCCAAGCTCATGCCCAGGCTCAAGCTGAGGCCCAGGCCCAGGCCCAGGCCCCGTTTCACCAGGAAGCAGCCGTGCCTGAAGTTTCTAAGCCCATTATATATTCGGTCTCACAGCACTACAATCACTCGGCTCATATCGTGAAGCCGCAACCTCCCCAGCAACAAGAAGTTTGGGAAGAGCCCCAACGGCATTCCTCGGAACCGCCTCAGACTGAGGCGCCAAGCGCTGAGACAGTTCTGCGCAACCATGGCGTTGACCCTCACACACTCACACCCTCTCAAGTCCAGTTGTTCAGGATCGCCGACCCGCCTCAGCAGATGAGGCTCATCGAGCTCTGGAGTATCTGTCCTCCAGGTAAGGGCGGTGATATCCCGGCACTGGCCTGGAGCAGCACCACAGTGCAGCAAGAGGAGCAACTGGCTCAGATGCGGTACGAGAGAGCGGCACAGCAGCAACAGCAACAGCACCAGGTCATGAGCTTGGACGGAACTGTTGTCCAAAGCGGCGACGGCAGGTGGAACCAGTCCTCCGACAATGACACCGAGCCCTACATGCTCTCAGGGTACGAGGAACTCATGCGACGAGAGAGTCAGCGCCAAGAGCTGGAGAACCGACAGCGGGACTCCCACAGCCACTTTACCTCTGCTCCCGCCTACACGCCCGCCACAGACCCTGTCTACATGGGTGCCGATTACCTTCGTCAGCAGCAGCAGATGCAAATGGCCACTCAATACGGTGCCTTCCAACAGGATTCCATGGATTTCATGTAAATACCAACCTCCTTCTCTGGCTGAGCGTCAAAAACACATATAGCTAGCATCTGGTCAATTCAACAAGTGGCCAAGTTAGATAGCAGCCGAGGGGACGAGGATTCATTGTTTTGGTCTTTTCTTTTCATTGTATGGACACCATATTGCATAAGACAGGAGGAAGAATATTGCTATTGGATGGAAACTTTCATGGCAACAATTGCTTTACAAATATTTACCTAGGGATTGATGATTTTATGGACGGAATTTCTATTTTTGAAAGCGAGGATTGGCGCTGAGGGGATGCTTTTTTTTGTTTCTCATTCTCTATTAAACTACACAACTCCTGTCTCCCTCATACCCTTCAATAACCTTCAGTGTATGCTAATGCTATGTTTTCTAGAGAGAAGACTCGTGGCAACATATTAGTTGACCAGAGGTACGTCGTTCTCCCCAACAGCATACACACCCAAGAAAACCCCCCTTTCCCTTCCAAGTTGCTTCTAACCATAACATGACCTGAGTCTAAAACCAATGTTTCGTGATGTCTCCTTGGATATGTATTCTTCCCGGTTTTCCGTACCGCTGCACTGTGGTTGTATAGCAATTCAAACACTTTCTACTCTCAAATGCCCCGCCCACATTGATTGCATGTGAACAAATCATCCATGGTCACAGAGATGATGTGAAGTAAAGAGTGCCGAGGCTTTCTGAGACCAACAATTGAAGGGGTATCGAATTTTGGCTCAGGGCTTCTTCATTATTAGATCATCATCATGCAGTTAATCTAAATGTGTGTATGTCTAAATGCCGGTCTTCTCGAGCTTCTTTGTCAGGTCATCGACATCCTTATCCTTGATGACAGGTTCCTCCTGGGCCTCCTCAGCCTCCTTGGCCAACTTCTCAACCTTCTCCTCCTCCTCCTCCTCTTCTTCTTCCTCTTCCTCCTCTTCTTCCCCGTCGTCGCTTTCGAGATCGCTCAGGCTGTCGACACCCCAGTCGTCCTCAACCACTGTGTCACCGCCGAATTTCTCCTTTCGCTCCTCGAGCAACTCCTGCAGGGCAGTGATGGACTCGTCATCCTCAGCGAACATGTTGCCGTTGAGCTCGATTCGTCTCAGAGCGGGCAGACCGTCCTTGGCAGCAACAGCGAAACCCTTAAGACCAGTGGCAGTGATCTCATTGAACTGCAATCGCAGGATCTCCAACTTCGCGTTTTTGCCCTTGGCCAGGGCCTTGGACACCAAGACAGCGCCCTTGCCACCAACGAGAGATTCGCCAACACCGAGTTCCTCCAACACCGTCCAGCCGGCCACAACCTTGGCCAAGGCCTTGGCGCCCACAAGGGTGAGGGTGTTGTCCTGCAGATCGAGGATCCTGAGCTCAGAGGCGTTGTTGAGACCGTTGGTCAGAAGGTGCGAGATACCCTCTGGTCGGATACCGTTCTGAACCATCCTGATGACCTTAATTTTGTTGTGGAGGCTGTAGGTCTTGGCCCAAGCCGTCATACTTCCGTTCTCAAGTCGGTTTCGGCCGCAAATGACAGTCTCCAGGTCGGGAACAGCCTGTCCCTCCTTGCGAGCAGCCTCCTTCTTGGCGTGGAGCTCCGAGAGGGAGTCGGCGATGAGGATACCGGCATGGGGGCCGAGGCCGTTGTTGTTGAGGTAAAGGTGCTGAAGGGGAACGTGCGAGGCGAGGAACGCGACCAGGGGGGCCTGGGTGTTCAAGCCAAAAGCGTTGTCGTTCAAGTTGATGGTGTTGAGCTTGGGGAGGTTGAGGATGGAGGTGAGGAGAGAGGAGAGGGCTTCGGGAATCTCGTTGAGGAGTCTTCCGGTGAAGATATCGGCGAGGTTTGCCACCTGAAGGCGCCGCATTTAGCAGGGTGAGTTTTGGACTTGGAGGGGAGTTGTCATACTTGGAGGTTCTTCTTGGTCGCGAGGACTTCACCGAGCAGCTTGCAAGCACCAACACCAAGAGTGTTTCCCAGGAGCCTGACCTCCTCAACATCGTTCGCTCGGAGTTCGGTGATATGAGGCTCAAGGTCGGCCTCGGTGTCGAGCTTGAGGCCCTTTCCCTCGAGGGAAAATAGTTTGGTGGAGGAAACCATAGTGAAGTGTACAGAAGGCGTCAAATGTGAGCAACGGATATGTACCAGGTATTATGCAGACCGCAAACACGGAATGGCTGCAGCACAGGCAAAAGATGTGTGCTCAAGCGTGTGAGTGAAGGTGGGGGTGGGGTAATTACCTACGGCAGGCGCTACAATGCGAAGCGCACCATGATTGCCAGGGGAGCCTGTCGGGAAAGTCCGGCAGCTGACAGGCAGCTGACAGGCAGCTGGCAGCAGCTGGCGAGCATGTGTCGGGTCACCGGCCGCTCAGATGGAATTGGGTATGGAGGTCACGTGAATGCGGCCAATCAGCGTCGGCCCATTTCGGAACGGTCGAGTAGGTTTTCTCTGACGCCAATGATCTTTGCTGAGCCCTTTTGTCCTCCGACCCCGAGAACGATTCCCCATCGCCGTCTCACATTCGATTGCGGCTCATCCTGCAGCGACGGTCTAGCTAGCCCATCATGCTCGCCAGGTCGTCTATGCGCTCGACGCGCATCCTCAATGGCCTCAAGAACGGCGTTGCCGCCGGTTCTAAGGTATGGCACCATCCGCTGGCATCAACCTCCCGTTTACCGAGGGACATCACCATGGGCCCCAACCCGCCGCAACCACGCCAATCGCATCAGAAAGACCGTGGATTCAATGTATCTGACCGCTGACCGTGTTTTGATTCCAGCGTGCCGCCTCCTCGAGCTCCTACGCCGCCGGCGAAGCTTCTGCTACCCGAATGAACGTGGCCGCCGCCGCCTCCACCACCCTCGCCCTCGGTTCCATGGCCTGGTACTACCATCTCTATGGACCTGTTGCCTTTGCTTCGACTCCCGCTGAGGAGGGGTACGTGATTTCCGAGCTTTGAGGGCACATTGGCCAGGTCGGCCCAACCTGGCGATGAGGCATAAATGCTGCATCAACGTGCTACGAATCGAATATGGCCTTGCTAACCGATGACGATAGTCTCCATTCCACTCAGTACCCCTGGGTTCACACGCAAATGTTCAAGACCTACGATCACCAGGCGTAAGTTGATGGCAGTGCAATTGACCCGGTGGTCCGAAATATTGACCCATTGCTATAGTCTCCGCCGTGGCTTCCAGGTTTACCAGGAGGTCTGCGCGTCCTGCCACTCCCTGAGCCGAGTCCCCTACCGATCACTCGTCGGCACCATCTTGACCGTTGACGAGGCCAAGGCCCTTGCTGAGGAGAATGAGTTCCCCGGCGAACCCAATGACGAGGGCGAGATCGAGATGCGACCCGGAAAGCTGGCCGATTACATGCCCGCCCCCTACAAGAACGAGGAGTCTGCCCGCTTCGCCAACAACGGTGCCCTTCCCCCGGATCTGAGCCTGATCATCAAGGCCCGCCACGGCGGCTGCGATTACATCTTCAGCTTGCTCACTGGTTACCCCGAGGAACCCCCCGCTGGTGTCACGGTTGCCCCTGGCATGAACTTCAACCCTTACTTCCCCGGAACCGGTATTGCCATGGCTCGTGTCCTCTACGATGGCCTCCTCGAGTACGAGGACGAGACTGTTGCTTCGACCTCCCAGATGGCCAAGGACGTTGTCGAGTTCCTCAACTGGGCCGCCGAGCCCGAGATGGACGACCGAAAGCGTATGGGTATGAAGGTCCTGGTTGTGTCTGCTTCCCTGTGGGCTGTCAGCGTGTGGGTGAAGCGATACAAGTGGGCCTGGGTGAAGTCGAGGAAGATCGCCTACGATCCCCCAAAGGAGGTCAAGGTCCGCCGTTAAGGAGGCCCATTCAAGTCTCATTTGTATACTAGTCGCCCCCTAGAGCAGCTCCTTTGTCGGTGGCGGGTAGAAAAGAAGCAAGGCGTGAATGGAGGCGGGAAGAAAGGCCGGAGGGTAGAGTGTAAATCAGATGAATCGTTCCAATACCTTATTTGACCCGAACTACGCTCGAAATTATATCATTAATTAAAAAAGATATGCTTCAGATTTTGTACTCGAAGGATGTAGCACATGACGAAGCCTCGCGTACAAAGGAGTGCCTTCTTGATATTGAAACGGGAAAATTACACATGGTCCTATTTGCTGTTCAGGAAGCCGGCGTTGCTGAGTGCCTGTAGTGTAAGTTACGTGATATAATCGGCTGAGAGGACGGAATTTCGCGGGCACAATGGCAAACAATCGGCTGCTTGATCTACGTACTTGTGGGCGTAAAAAGCCACCCACTCGCCTGGATAATACTAGGTGGTCAAGGACTGTGGCACCACCTTGAACGGAGTGTGGTCGGCTTCCAGAGTGGGATCTGTCTATCAACCTCCACGTCGCCCTGAGTGGGAGACTGCGGTGTGTTCCCCATGGGACTGTTCACGCGACGCTTGTGGGAATCCTTGCGAGGGGATGATTTTTTCTTTTTTTTGCAAGGTTCCAGCTTTGAGTGTAATTGAGCATCTGCTTCTTACTAGGATCCTTACCTAGTTGCGTACTACGTCGTAGGTAATCCCTCAGTCACCGAGAGTGGCATCCGTTTTTCCTCCACTTGCACGGTACGGGGTTCACGGTAGGTATGCGGAGTCGCCCAGGTGATCATGTCCCCTGTCAAGTGCCTGCAGCCTGCCTAAGCTCCCTGGAAACCGCCTGAAAGTTGACCCAACTCCAGGCGTCTACCCCGCTAATTACCCGCGATTGCCCGCCTGGGTGGTCGCTCACGCACTGCAGTCACCACGACATTCAGCCGGCCAAACAGGCGCTAGGCCGCCGTCCAGCGCCGCGACAGGCTCAGCCCAACCAACCACCTCCACCTCCCGAACCACGCTTGCCGTGGAAGGCAAGGACTGCTCACCACCTCGTCCTCTTCATCCATCCTCTCCCATTCAGCGTGCTCTTCCCTCATTCGCACTCTTTAGCACTCGCCTCGCCTCGTCCTCCTCTCCCTCCTCTCCCGACTGGATGAACTGTCCAAATACCTGTCTACGCACCGTATCGCCGCCAGGCAGCCGCGTCTCTTCGTCCTCCCCCTGCCTCTCGCGCTGAACCTGCCCGAGGCCTTGCACCGAGCTCGGTCTTCGGCAAACGTAAACGCCAACGTCAACGCCAAAACTATGCCCTTTGTCGGCGAAGACGTCCATCCAGGGAACAAGCGACGATGGGACGCCGATGATGAACGGGGCATGTACGCCCTCTACGCCTCCGAAGAGCCCAAGGACTTCTATGTCCTCAACCAGCGCCCAGAGATCACCCCGCGCAAGATCCTGCCCCTAACCACCAAGCGGGCACGCATCTCCGAGGACGACATACACATTCACGACACTCTCCCCAACTCCTCTCCCGTATCCCACCGCCGACGGCGATCATCGCAGCTTAAGGTGCTACAAGTCCAGTCAGCCTCCGCCGGTCGCTTCGCCCCCAGAGTTACCAGCGCGATCCTGGCTCCATGCCATATCTGCCACCGTCGACCCACCAAGAAATCAGATCTCGACTCCTTCGCCCAGTGCCAGGGCTGCAACGAGCGGGCTTGCTTTGTCTGCATTCGGGAATGTCAGGGCTGGAACCTGGATAGCGGTTCTGTGCTGTCGGAACAGGAGATACTTTCGCGGTCCTTCCATATGGATGACGTCGACGACCATCAATCCCCTCAACAAACAGATAACCAGCGTGCCGGGCACGAGACTAGGAAAGGGTGGGCCGCCGGTGGCCATCGAGCTGTGGTTTGCAGTCGATGTTGCATCGAGCGCGGTGCCGAGGGAGACGTGGCATGCCTGGGTTGCCTCTCCTGTATGGAGGGGAAGTAATCTACCAGCGTCGAAGAAACATCTAATGATTCATGATCGTCTGTTCTCATCACCCCTAAGCGGGTACTCTTACACTATTTAAAGAAGGAACACTTATGGGACAATCGTTGGCTTTTGGAAGCTATTGGAAGGGACGCATGCTGCTGGTTTGGAATGGGATGCTTTTTGAGCAGGAGAATTGCATGGCCACATCTTATGAGGGAACGGTAATGGGAATGGAACGGGGCATCGGCGTTTTGTTTTCCTGCCTAGACGGTCCCGCTTCATGTGCATACGGCCTGAGGACTTGCGCGAGGAATCATCATACATAGGTAGATAGGTAGTCATCAGCATGGAAGTCACCACAGGTACTGTGCTCTTCATCAAACCGAAGGAATCTCTCGTGAAGCAACAGGCCGATGTAACGTCTAGAATTCCGCCATCTAATTGCCGTTTACTCGTACACCGTATTAAATTACACCACGCTATTTCTAGTTGTACTGCATGTACGTCGCCGTAGAGTTAAACTTGAGGTTGCCCTTGATGACCTTGTCCACAGCGCTCAGGAAGTCCTTCTCCGACGCTACCTTTCTCCTCGCACGAATGGCGAACATGCCCGCTTCCGTGCAGACACTCCTCAGCTCGGCACCAGTCGCGTTGGGGCAGAGACGGGAGATAAGCTCCCAGCGGATGTCGCGCTCGACCGACATGCTCTTGGCGTGGATGCGGAGAATGTTGGCACGTCCCTCGAGATCGGGCAGAGAGAACTCGATCTTTCGGTCGATACGACCAGGTCGCATGAGAGCAGGGTCCAGAGTGGAAGGTCGGTTGGTAGCGAACATGACCTTGATATTTCCTCGGGCGTCGAAACCATCCAGCTGAGTGATCAGCTCCAACATGGTTCGCTGGACCTCGTTATCTCCACCAGCACCATCGTCGAATCGGGCACCACCAATTGCGTCGATTTCATCGAAGAAGATGATGCAAGCCTTCTTCGTCCGTGCCATTTCGAACAGCTCTCGGACCATCCTGGCACCCTCACCAACGTACTTCTGGACCAGCTCGCTACCAATGACTCGGATGAAGGTGGCATCTGTTCGGTTGGCAACCGCTCGGGCGCAAAGAGTCTTGCCGGTTCCTGGAGGGCCGTAGAGAAGAGCACCCTTGGGGGGGTCGATACCTAGGTTGACGAATCGCTCAGGGGATAGCAAGGGCATCTCCACGACCTCTCGCAGCTTCTCGACCTGCTCCTTGCAACCGCCGACATCGCCGTATGTGACATCAGGCTTCTCCTCTACAGTCATCATTGTGACACTCGCGTCGATCTTGGGCGGTAGGGGAAGCATGATCTGATACTTATTGCGATCGACGCCGACTCGCATGCCCTCCTCGATATCTGTGGGACTGACTCGGTCGCCGAGCTGAACGACGAACTTGGCGATTTGCTTGACGTTGATAACGTACTTGCTCTTCGACTCATCACCCTTCTCGTCGGCAATGATCTTCGTGCATCGTGCGACCTGGAAGGGCTGCTCCTCGGACATTCGTTGACGGTCGGCGGCGACATCCCAGAGATGTGGGGGTGCGAGTCCAGTATCCGATTCCTATTGCTGTTAGACGTTGGCGACCAGGAAAGGGTCGAGCCATCTAACCTTGACACCGATCTTCTCGTCGACGCTTTGTTGCTTCTCCTTGATCTGCTTCTCGAGCTTCTTGAGAGCTGTTCCGTAGGGTGCGGCACCATACGTCTTGAGAACCTGAATGTCCCTGCACCCTGGTTAGCGGACCCCGGACCTCCCTGTTGTAGGTATTGTGTTCATACTCGTCCGTCAAAGGAGTGATCTTCTTCTCCTCTACCTCATCGTCGGCGAACTTCTTCTGGTACTTTTCCCAGTCTTGACCGGTTGCGGAAGGCTGGGATTGTTAGCAAACGGACAGAGTGTTTGGAGGGCGCAGCGGCTGACCATGGTGGGTTCCGCGGGTCAGGAGCTTCTCTAACTATTCGGGGCGATAGCGAATTCTGTCTTGGTGGTGGAGGGTGCAGTTGATGGGTGCGTCGGGAAGGGGGAAGATGGTCGTCGTGGTCGTTGGTCGTTGGTGTTTGGGGATGATGAAGGCCGTGGAAGGCATTCCGTAATCTGAGTTGCCTTGAGCTCGAAGCACGGGCCCATCGCCGTGAGACTGCTTGGCGCTAGCCCCTCTCAGGCTAGTACAAGGCACAGACCGGAGCTGGATGATCTCAACCCCCGATCCAAAAATTCTGGGTGGCATTTGTCGCCCGCGGAGTAGGGCAGGAGGTGGGACATCTCAAGGCTACCGGATTCTGTGAAGTCGTGTTCCTACAAAGCCCCGCGATCTCAACAACACTTTTAGGATTCCCGGGACCACCACCTCTTTTACAACATGTCTGCCCCGGCCGCAGCACCAGCTTTCGCAGCTGGAGGCTCCAGTAATGCCACTTTCCGTGTACGGCAAGCTCCCACCAAGCTTTCGAGCTTCCCCGCTGACCATGCTTAGGACAAGGAGAAGCCCATGGCGGTCCGCTCGTCCAACATTGTTGCCGCTCGAGGTATGGGGATCTCTTCCCCCTGAAATACCACATGAATACTTACACTCGCCCAGCGGTCGCCGATGCGATCCGAACCTCTCTCGGACCTCGAGGAATGGACAAGATGATCCGAAGCGGAAAGGGGGAGACGATTATCACAAACGACGGAAACACTATGCTGAAGAGCATGTCTGTGATGCACCCCACGGCCAAGATGCTGGTCAACCTTTCTGGCGCTCAGGATGTGGAAGCTGGTGACGGAACCACCTCTGTCGTTGTCATCTGTGGAAGCTTGCTTGGTGCCGCCGACCGCCTGCTTTCTAAGGGCATCCACCCCTCAGTCATCTCCGAGTCTTTCCAGCGAGCCGCCGCCGCCGCCGTCGATGTCCTTCACGACATGTCCCAGCCTATTTCTCTAACCGATACCGCGTCGCTTCTCCAGGCTGCCAACACCTCGCTGTCGTCCAAGATCGTTTCCCAGTACTCGAACCTTCTCGGACCCATGGCGGTCAACTCTGTTACCAAGACCATCGACATTAAGACCGCTGACAACGTCGACCTCAGGAACATCCGAATCGTGAAGCGAGTTGGAGGAACGATCGAGGATAGCGAGCTTGTTGATGGTCTGGTTCTCACCCAGCCTGTGTTGAAGAATGCTGGCGGCCCTGTCCGCATGGAGAAGGCGAAGATCGGTTTGATTCAGTTCCAGCTGAGCCCCCCCAAGCCCGATGTAAGTGTGGTCTATTCTTGATACCGGGCTGTCCCCCTGCTCACACCTCCTAGATGGAAAACACCATTCAGGTCAACGACTACCGACAAATGGACAAGATTGTCAAGGAGGAGCGATTATACCTCCTGAACATGGCCAAGAAGATCAAGAAGGCAAAGTGCAACGTTCTTTTCATCCAGAAGTCTATTCTCCGCGACGCTGTCAACGACCTATCACTACACTTTTTGTCCAAGCTTGGCATTCTCACCGTCAAGGAGATCGAGCGTGACGAGGTGGAGTTCATTTGCAAGTCCACTGGCTGCAAGCCCATCGCCGACATTGACTCTTTCACTGAGGATAAGCTGGGATCTGCTGATTTGGTGGAGGAGGTGCATTCCTCTGGATCGCGCATGGTCAAGGTCACCGGCACCAAGTCGGTAGGCAAGACCATCTCCGTGGTCGTCCGTGGTGCCAACTCCCTGATCTTGGAGGAGGCTGAGCGAAGCTTGCACGACGCACTCTGCGTGGTGCGCTGCCTGGTCAAGAAAAAGGCGCTCATTGCTGGTGGAGGCGCCCCTGAGATTGAGATCGCTGCCCAGCTCTCCAAGCAAGCGCGCAGCTTGACCGGCACCGAGGCCATCTGCTGGAAGGCATTTGCCGATGCTATGGAGGTTATTCCTACGACCCTGGCTGAGAATGCCGGCCTGAACAGCATCAAGGTGGTAACAGACCTGCGACACAGGCACGAGATGGGCGAGAAGAATGCGGGAGTCAGCATCAAGTCAGGAGGTGTCAACACCAACATCTCCAAGGAGAACGTGCTGCAGCCCCTTCTCGTGAGCACGAGCGCTATCGAGCTGGCGGCGGAGACTGTGAAGATGATTCTGCGTATAGACGATATTGCATTGACCAGATAGAGAGATATCCCCGGCAGGATGGTACCTTACTCTGTATGATAATACCAAAATGGGTCACAAATCTGCTGTATAAAACATTTCTGTATGCATGTAAAAGATTGTCATGACGGAACGAATGTCGATTGCACACTGGCCGACCTATTTGTGCTGATTGGCAGGTGGTCGGCAACTGGCTGACAGATGGCAAGTAGGTAGGCAGGTATTGTGACGGCAGGTGCGACCTGCCAACTCCAGCCACAACACCAACCGGAGATTTTAGGCATTCGACATCTAACAACTTCACCCTGTCTCTGTATTCAAGACTTCACAAGAACTCTGGGATTCTGGGTGAATACCCATTCCTGCAGTTTTTTTCCTTGACCTCGCCTCGCGTCGTCCAACCAAGTGCGTTCTTACCACCATGGCTGCCCACGACGAATCTGCCTACTCGAGCGCCGACAATGACTCCGACTCTGGCATACTTACGGTGCAAATCCAACGGCTTATTCTACAGGTACAAGAAATATGTATTTGCACCGAAGGGAAGAGGGTCCTGACACTTCAGTAGCTGAAAATGGACCGGGATGAGCGCACATACACCATCCTCCGAGAATCGGCCATGGCTTTCGACAACTTGCGCTCCCGAGTGCGCACATACCACGAAGAGCGACGCAACAAAGAGTAAGGCATTAATAGGTCTCAAATCTTACGTTCTCGTCGATGATACTAACAGGAAGAAGATCAAAGTCCCGCGCGGCACACGTCGAGACCCTGATTAGGGCCACTGAGCGCCAGAAGGAGATCGAGGCCAGGATGTCGGCTTTGATCAAGAAGCTGGACTCGACTACACAAGAATTGGAAGCGATGATGTTGAGGGGTTATCTTGGGCGAGAGGGAGAAATGAGAAAAGTCGAGAATCAGAAGACATCGTAGTGGAAACGTGAAGGTGCATTGGGCTTTGGTCAGCAACACCATGACCGGGATCCGGCAGCTTTCGGCTCGCCAGTATAATCACGCCACTGTCAATTGGGTTGTGAACCGGAGAGGAATATCATGAATTTTTTGCCCACATGTATTATATTTTACACAGCCCCAAGAGCCCAATGCCTCGTTTCATTTACACCTGGAATCCATATCCCGTCATGCAGCTTCGGTATTGATCGACCAGTGACTGGCAATCGGCGGCAGGGTCCTTGGCGTTGGAGAACAGCATGCACTCGTCGCGCTTCGACTTCTCCTCCTTGCACACGCAACAAGGCTGCGGATGTATGTTAGAAACGGTATCGAATTGGGTCGGTGTCGGGTATGCTTCGTCTCACCTTGGGCTTTGAAGTCTGCGAGGCCGTCGAGGAAGCCACAGCGGCGGAAACGGAGGCTACCAAACACATTAGCCGAGTTAACAATGCGAGGGCGCATCCACATGGCCAATGCCTTCCGGGGGAGGCTGGGTAACGTACGAAGGGTAGCGACTTGGGCGTCCATGTTGCTAGAAGGTGGCTTTGGTAGGGACGAAGGTGTAGATTGTGAGGCTCCCATTTTGAAGATCCGCGGGGAGAATGCTTAGCAGCAGGTCATCTTTTTTTGAATGGCGATTGAGCAAGTATTCGGATTACTGGGAGATTTCTAAGCTGGCGCTGACCAATCATTTGCCGTCGCTCACGTGGTGTCGCGATTCCTTCGCGAAACAATCAATTGACTCACTGACGTCATTTGAACAGAGGCGTGTTTAGCAAGTATGATATCTACGACTCTCAGGGACAAGGATATCAAGAGACCCGATGAATGAAGACAAAGTAGTTTAAGTGCTGTTGCGTTCAAGAGTAAGCTTCCAGCTTGAAGATAATGGACCTAGTCTACGGTGCATATCCCAGTGCAGCGTTAGCTCCCCCGGATTTTTAGAGTGCTTTCATGGGTCACTCAAACATACCACATTCTTCGAAACAAACATTACATCGGTAGCATTTTAATTGGCCAATACGCGTATGCACCATAATAAAAGGCCCATGCTTGCATTACTACCTCATCTAACTGTTTCTTATCGAGTTCTTTTCCTGTCACCTAAAAGAGGTATTGCATGAGCTGGTCTCTTTTAACCCCGCGAGGAAAATCCTAAGTCGTTAGAAGATCATAATGAATATTAACTACAATACTCAGTAGCATTTAATAAATGATACTTTGGAAATTTCCAATAAATTATATAAAGATAACTTGTGTTTTGTAGGATTATTTGGGATTTGAAAGGTTAGCTGGGGGTAAGTAGCCCCTAGGGAGCAGGACTCCAATGACGACGTGGATGGGTTGTTTCTGACAGCCTATGGGTCAACTGACCTTCTTAATCCTTCGAAGCGTGGCCATTTAAATCGCGGTTCGTAGCGAGCTGCGCCATTTCAGGGCCGCACATCTCTTGCTCGCCAGTCAGCTGGAGTGTTTGGTGTGGCCCCCACCTTTCGATTTCGACTTTCCGTAAGTCTGCGATACCTAGATCAATACGAAAAAAGCGAGATTGACTCATTTTCAAGTCCGAAACCTCCCATCTTATTCTAGACGACTCATCCGAGAATATTCTTCTCATCCACAGTGTCCGTATCTTCAGACATGTATTTACTGAAGGCGAAGTTCTTACGACACTAACTCCACAAGCCAAGCGGCAGCTTCCAACATGCTCTCAATCGACGAAACCCGGGCCCTCAGTGGTGCACCCAGAATTTGAACCAGTGAGTGGGAGATTGTCCACATATTCAGAACATGTTTTTACGCTGGATGAGAATGAATAATTTACTAAAACACACGAAGATTAGCATGTCTGAGAACCCCAGGCTGGGTTCGTGGTCCATGGAGACCGACATCCACCAGATCCGCGACATGATGGATTAGGTGCGAGAGACAAAGCCTGAACATAACCCGAAATCACCTCTTTATATTACCGAAGAGCTTAAAATCCCACTTCGGGATGGCTTTGAGGTTGATGCCCGAGTGTACAAACCCAGAGGTGTCCCTGCTGACAGATGCCCTGGAGTTGTATTCTTCCACGGAGGTGGTCACATGGTTGGTGATCTAGAAACAAAGGCACATCTCTGCGCCCTCTTCACTAGTTTGGGCGGGATTGCTGTGAACATTAACTATCGGCATGCACCAGAGCATGTCTTCCCTCAAGCCATACACGATGCTTTCGATGCCACCAAATGGGTAGGTCCACCTGTCAGTGTGCCGAGACACATCGGTGTTGACAGGTAGCAGACGGCCAAAAATGCGGAGGGTCTAGCCATAAATCCCCAGAAGGGATTCCTCCTCGGCGGAGAAAGCTCTGGGGCTGATATCGCCCCGGTTGTAGCGCACCTCTGCTGTGATGAGAAAATGTCGCCATCTTTAACTGGCGTCTTCCGATCCCCTCTGGAGTCAGCGATTCCACGGTTCCTGGACGGTACAAGGACCGCTTCTTCAGCAAAGAGAAAAATTCTAATGTACCCACGCTCTCTGTTGAAGCCCTCGAGTTTATTTATTGTAGATCAACCCCTTGACGAGACCCCATCTTCGCTGGAGGCTAAGGTCGAAGCAGCAAAGTATCAACCGGACGAGAAAAGCCCGCTGGCCTTTCCCGTTTGATTTCCCGATCATAGAGGCATCCCCAAGACATACTTTCAGGTTTGCGGACTCGATCCCTTGAGGGATTGTGAACTGCTGATGGAACAGGTGTACCAGGGCGATGGAGTTCCCAAGAAACTAGATGTGTACCCGGGTTTGCCCCATGCCTTTTGGGTACCCTTCCTCGACTTGGAGGTGAGCCAAAAGCACACATCAGACACCACTTGCGGTCTTTCGTGGCTATTGGCTGAATGAAGTACATTGGTTGGAGTCTGGGGGAGGTGTTCCTCCGGGATTGACCATGTCGATCTTGATTGGCAGCTTTCACATGTCAGCGAACCATTCATCCCTGCTTGCATAGGCCTTCTACATGTTATCGAACCAGGCCGTCTCAATTATTTTTTTCGTAATGCGACGCGTATTGTTAGTGCAAGGCAACATTCAGTGACGTAGACCTGGGGCCTGTGTAAGTGTGGATGACTGTGTCACCGCTCAGACGCAAGTCCAAGCAGATGATGGCCAAAGGTGCATGGTTTTCCAGATAGTATTGGTTTAGACCATGGGGATTTTTAATGCATTCCAAGGCTAGCTTGCCATGGCCGGAAGTACGAGCAGCTCCGAAGGCGACGATGGCAAGCCGCGCGGAGCTTGGTGCTTTGGCGAGCGAATGTGGCGATAGCCGCGAAGTGTGACTCAGCGCCCCTTGCGCTCCGTGTTGGAGGCCGTAGCACGGGCCGGAGTTGTGGATATCCTCCATATTCTCGACAAGGCAAACAGGAACAAAACGCAACAGACCGAGCCATGTTTGCCGCCGGTCAATCGAGATCACCGAGGCCGAGTTGCACTGTGGCGACTCTTGACGGGTGCCCCTCTCGTCTCCGAGCCAGAGTCATCCACCCGTTGATTGGCTGTTCCCGGCTCCTCGGGACCGATCAGCTCGCCATGTCCGGGGCGCTCAACACACTCGCAGCCGAATCTGGCGTCTGGGAGGGAGGACGCGCGGCAACTGGCCAGCCCGACGCGGCGACCCGGCCACTTTGGGGAGCATTTCTTGGTGTCTGCTTGACCCAAGGCCAGCCCTACTTACTGCCTAGAGTCGTTACGTGTGTCTGTTTGCCTCCTCGGTCTCGGGGCATGTCGAGCGTTCAACCTGTGTGATGTTGATGTCAGGGGAAGTATATAAGAGGCCTGCTTCCATCCCCATTACCGTCTCGATTCCTCATCTCCATCTCCTCTTCATCTAACAGATCAAGACCTCCGAGATTCACTCCTCCTTACAATTCACTACCAACCCCAGCACTACTACTACAACACGAGCAAGTGCTTCATCATGAATCCGCAACAGCAATCTTACTCCATGCCCTTCTGGGACTTCATCCAGTCGCTGGATCCCAACCAGGGCCCTGGCCGCGGCGTTGATTACAGTGCCCCTCCTCCTTTCCCTCCCTTCGGCGGGCCCGGCCAGCACGGCGCCCATCCGCCTCCTCCCGGACCTCACGGAGCCCATCCTCCTCCTCCGCCCCACGGCCCCGGCGCCGAATGGGGCCCCTGGTTCCACGGGCCCGTGCCCCACCATTGGGATCATCATGGCCGCCGAGGCCGTCGCGGCCATCATCATCGCGGCGGCATGAACGAAGGTGAGCCTAGCGGTGACGACGGCTGGAACTCAGCCTCCGATACCGAACGCGATGTCGACCAGGAAAAGCGTGATTCTCCCGATACCATGCCCGTTGATGTCCCTGACCCTGCTGAGGTCGCTCCCGAAGATGACCAGGCCCCTCCTTCCCACCCGCACTTCCGAGGCCATGGCGGCCGCCGAGGTGGTGGTCGTTGCGGTCGCGGTGGACGCGGAGGTCCTGGGGGACGCGGCGGACGCGGAGGACGTGGTGGCTTCGGTTTCGGTGGCTTCTTCCCCGGAGGCGGCCCCGGCCCTCACCGTGGCCCCCGTCACTTCCACGGTCCTCACCCTCCCCCTCCTCCTTACTCAGGCCAGGGTTTCCCCTTCGATTTCGGTGGCTACATGCGCGGCTGGGCCAACCACCCGCTGTTCCAGAACATCCGTGAGCATGCCCAGCGCTTCCAAGAGGCGCAGTCTGGCAATGGTAACGAAACCGACAACTCCTTCACTCCCCCCGTCGACATCTTCGACACCGAGCGAGCCTTCATCCTCCACGTCGCCCTCCCGGGAGCCAAGAAGGAGGACATTGGTGTCAATTGGGACGCCGACCGCAGCGTCCTGAACATTGCTGGTGTAGTCCACCGCCCTGGTGACGAGGAGTTCCTCAGCACCTTGACCTCCAGTGAGAGGAAGGTGGGCATGTTTGAGCGTAACGTGACGCTCCCCCCTCCCGGCTCTGATGAGCGCGATGAGGTTGATGGCCTTGGAATCACTGCCAAGATGGAAGACGGCGTTCTTGTCATCACGGTGGCCAAGGTCGAGAAGGAATGGACCGAGATCCGAAAGGTGGATGTCGAATAGATCATCACACCCATCTGGACTACATGGTTTTTCTTTGTTTTCGTTTACGGTAAGGTAATTGCAGGGATATATAGCTAAGATTTGATATAAAAAAACGAGTATAATATGATTTGGTATTTGTGGTGGACCCTTCTTGCTTGCCTGCCTGTGAATGACGCTGTGGTTTCTCTCCTTTGCTTGTTGACTTGATGAGCCTAAAGCTATTTTTATTCTTGATAATATGAATTCACATTGATAAACCGCCGTCTCCCAACTAATGTAATCCCAAGACCTTTGCATTCTTTCCTATTATCTCCGAATGAGAGGTTAAGAAGTAGTTCAAGTAGAGGAGATGGTGGGGATAATTGCCTCAAGTAATATAGGTTCTAAGAAATAGTTGGTTCGAGAGAGGTAAATCCAAAGGGATAATTGAAATGCAAAAACCAACAGATACACAATATATCTGAGATCTCTGGAACCGTAAAGAGGCCGGTGCCTCCCAGTGTCATTGTTTCTTTCAAGCCCGCTCTAGATGTATAGTGTGGATTATCATGCCCATCCCTTCAGAAATCACTCCCCGAGTAGCTCAGCTGGAAGAGCGTTCGGCTGTAACTGCCACCTTCGTTACCGAAAGGTCACCTGTTCGAGCCAGGTCTCGGGGATAACTATTCATTTTGCATCTGAAGCAACGTGCGTATATTTTTGAGTGCCCTTGGTATTTTTTGCCTCCTGCTACGAATTTAATTGATTGAGATATTCTATTGTAAGTGGTTTGATTGTCTTAGACTTTTGACCATTTCAACTTAACCCCCACGCGTCTCATTTCGGTGAGTAACATCCACCAAAAGTCAAATCGGCTTTTGCACAGCACTCTCAGGGGAAGCAAAAACTGTATTCATAAAAGGAAATATTCTATACGTGACATGAAATATTCAAGGAGAATCGGTGTGCGTGTTCAGACTGCATCAGTCGAACCAAACTCGTCTGCGCCTAGGCCTATGCTAAGGGTATATGCTAGAATGTAGATTAACCAGGGGGCCCAGGCCACATGCCCTCGTGTTCCCAACTGGTGGTGATAACAAAAATGCTGTAAGTGTTTTATAAAAGGGCTGCGCGGTTTCCTCATTCAATCTGTAAGTCAATCCATCTCCTCCAAAAACAGAAAACTCCGGGTATCCGAACGTCAGTCATCAAGGCGAGGGTGGGAGAATCAGGCATAGAGAAGCCGCTCTCCTCGAAAGAGGCATGGTTGGTGACTTCACTTCTCTAGTTCTCTGGTGATCTCCTCGCGCACGTCGTGACACCATTTGAGGAGGGCCGCCTCGAAGTCTATCCAGGCCTGGGGGCCGCTGTTGTAGACGATTCCGAGGGCATCAACAGTGAGAAAAACCTCGAATCGCAGCTCGGCTGCCTTGGCCCAGTAGCGCAGGTTGTCGGCGGACCGGTAGGGCTTCTGGGTGTCGGTGTGGAAAGTCGGGATGGTGCCGAAACGCCGTCGTGACTTCTTGACCACGGCATTATGAAGCTTCACTAGACGCAGACCATTCTGGAAGGTCTGGAGAAATGGTGTCGGAATCTCAGCCGCCTCGGAGACCGGAGTCCACTCGGGAAGCGGTTCGGCATCCGGGTCCATTGACATGAGGAATGCCCGTTCACGCTCCAGCTCTCGGCCGGTCCAGTCGCCGTGCAGCCATTCCCAAGTCTCTCTCTCCGCACTCTCTGCGTCCTCAATCTCCTGCTCTTGCTTCAGGATGTCAAACACGCTCTCAATCCAGGAGACCATTGTCTTGATCTCTTCTTCCTTCATACCGTCTTTGAAATTGCGCGTCGCCATCTGCTTCAGAACCTCCATGACAGCCAAAAGATCAGCTCGGATCTGCTTCTCAGATTTGATCGCGTCCAGCCGGTCGGGAAGGTCGTGCGCCGTGTAGTAAATCTTGGCTGCCCGGATGGCAAGGGTGACAACATCGAGGATATTCATACCCTGGAGTTCAAACCATCCTTGGGTGTTTGCCTCGGGCATGTTGGGGAATCGAGGAGTGTCCGAGGGTTTATAGGTGCCCTCCTTCTGCTGCTTGGCTTCGCCCAACGCGGCAGATGCATCGTGCAGGCATTGCTCAAGTTCTGCCTTGAGCTCCAGCATGGATGGTGGCTTAACAATTGGCTGTTCCCTGTGGTGGTATGTGCTCACAGTAGGAGGCAGCATGCTGGAATCCGTCTCTGGAAAGTCGTCGTAATAATCATTCATGTCCTCGACGGGTGATTCCACGATGCCGCCGACCCCGAATCCTTGAGCGCCGAAGTCAGGGCTGCTCCCCGTAGAGGCATAGGTGGAGTCGTAGTCAGAGCCGACGATCTTTGGTGTGGCACCAGAAGTGTCCAAAGCAGAGAGATCCAAGGCGCCCCTCTGTTTCTGCTTCTTGCGAGCCAACTGTCCACCCTTGCCATCAAGGAGGCCAGTCCGAGCAAAGTAGTACTGCAAATGTGCAATACTTCCGAGGCTCATGACGCTCTCACGCGACCGGGCACTGGCGGCGAAGTCAGTGCCCTGGGGCCGCATGTATCCACGGCGGCGGGTTCTGCCATCGAGGCTGTAACTAGAGTGGCGAGGGTTGGGCGGGAGCTCAACGCGACGGGACGGAAAGGTGGCAGAGGAGTGGCGGTGGAGGGCCTGACTGCCCAGGGAGTCGCGAGACGTGGCATCATTGCTGGAGCCGTGAGACCAGGACGAGGTGGTTGAGACACAGCGGGAGAGCTCAGGACAGGCGCCGATGGCGGGAGTAGGGAGCGTGTCCGGAGGAGGCGAGTCACATCGGAAGGAGGGCTGCTGGTTGGGAGTAGCCATGATGGAATCGGTCATGTCCTCGTCTCGTCGGAACGTTGCCTAGACACGGCGGGTTCTTGCTGGCTCGTGACCCCTCGGTGATGCGGTGCGGTGCGGTGCGGTGCGGATCTGGCGGCGGCGGACTGGTAATGCGTCGTCGCCAGTTGTGGGACGCGGCACTTACACGGAAACAGGCGGCGATCAAGTGAACTTGGCGGGACGATCAAGCTGCGCAGCACGGAGTAGCGACTGCGGTTTTCGATTTCGATTGTGAGCGAGAGTGGGTAGCAAGGAACAACGGCGGCAGAAGTTCGATCCAGGGAACGGCGGGCTTGGAAGTGCGAGGCAGAAGGGCGATCGAAGGGGCAGTCGGGATTAATTCCAGGGGTTTGGTGATGGGGCGACGGTTTGGCTTTAGGCCGGTCGGCGCGCTGGGAGACGGAATTGGTGGACTGGCGGATTGGTTGGCGGGACAGGCCGGCAAGGGCCCCGTAGGAGATTGCGTCGGCGCGTCCTTCTTCTGGCGGGGGTCCTGGTCAACGCGTGAGGCCCCGGCACGACAATTACCAATTACCAATTACCAATTAAGTAGGTACCCAGTTCAAGTTTAACGTGATGCTAATTAGTGCACAATGGGTTGGAGTTGGTGGCAAAGGTAAGGAAGATGTTGTTCCGGAGACTGTTGCGTGTTTTTGGGGGTGGATGCCGGAGCAATAAAAGAAAGTAGGTGCAGACAAAACGAAAGGAAAAAGGGGCGAGGATGGATGACAATTATGCCTGCTCACTAAAACAAAAGAAGAAACAGAGATGAGGCAAAAGGCCAGACAGCCAAGGGTGGAGGAGAACGAAGGGACCGAAGGGCCTAGGTAGTTTTTTAGTTTGATAGTAGTACTCGAAGAACAAGAGAGAACACGAATGGATGACAGCAATCAGCCTCCCAGGAACTGCCTGACCCGGAAAATGGACACCTTTATTACAGAGTACTACGCAGTACGACCCTGGCGTTCGTCACAATGCACGCGGCGCGGGCTATCTGCTCCCATGGGTCGTCGGTGTCATATGTATCCCAGGGCAACCTCTTTTGCGTGTTGCTCTCTAATTTCCTCCAGATTGATTGGAATTCCCTTCCGCTTCCCTCTCCCGCCCGCCAGATCCCCCCTACAGGGCTGTTCATGGCTGCCTCTTAGTGCAGCCATAAGGCTAAGGCCGGGACCTGCAGGCCCCCTCTGTCTCTGTTCCCTCCCGTTGCCATGGACTGCCATCAATTGCCGGCAGCCATGGCCGATAAGTTACTTGGTGTTTGAAACCCACGTACTGAGACCTGCTCCCCTCGATCGAGCCAGATTGTCCATTGCCCTACCTCGCCAACGTCCTGGCTCCGCTATTCTTCGGCGTTACCGTGCTGGTAGTTGCAGCTTTGGCCACTGCTATCCGTCCGCCAGTCAATTGGCCACCATCCGCATCGTCATCAGCCTCAACCTGTCCCCCGGATCCGAGCAAGGCCCGGCTGGAATTCCTCAGGCCGTTGGCTGGGGACTGGGGAGCGACCGGGTTCGAGAGCATGGCGCTGCAGCACGCCACGTCCGGGGTTTGGGCGAAGCCAATGTCTGCTGGATCGATACACCACGTCGGATGTACGTAGAGGGACTACGCATCCTGTACATGCGTGCTGCAAGTAAGCCGGTTCCTCATCGAGCCAATCTGCCGTCCGAGCAATCCAGGCGGCATTCTTTATTCTGGCAGGTATAATACACATCAGATATATCACCTCGGCAAGGTTGCCGCTAAAGATTCGGGGGTTGCAGGTGACCGATGCGTTAGTCTATTCATCTTGCACACTCTGTCTCGACGTGCATGAGATGCATGCGTTCTGCGAGACATGACATGGCCAACACCACAGAGTGCCTGGTTCCCTATTTCCGAAGACGCCCACATGTTACACTTATCCTACCAACACTCCTTATGCATTGTCCGTTCACCTGCTACGCACCTCTTGGGGTTTGCTGGAGTCAAGCGATCCAATTCTGCGTGTGCACGCACAGCGGCCGAGCACCCGGCATACATCATCATGACTGCGTACCGCCCGTGCATATTACAACATCCAGCCGGCCAGTGTCTAATTGAGACGTGCCGGGCAACCTTGCTTCTGTCCGCGGCCCCATGACACCTCTGGAAGCCCCAAAGAGCTTCAGGAACCGACCCCGCCAGGCCAGGACAGGGCCCGTGATGACGAGCAAATGCGATTTTCCATCCGCCCCCCTGGCAACTGGCGACTGGGCTCTGTGATGTCCCGTCGCTTTCATCTGGACGAAGCGGTGCCCCCTTGCTCCCCCGCCCATAAAAAGATTCTCGAAATCACGTCGAGCAACGGCGATGTCAGGGCCCCTAGTCGCCGTCCGGGGTGTCGTTGAGCAATTACATACATACGAAGTATTGGATACTGCATCGGAGTAGACGCATCCATGTGGAGTTGTAGGTAGACGGGACCTCCCGGGACGGCTCCGGCCTTCTTAGCTGCAATCTCTCCAACAAGTCCCCATGTCCAACGTCCCCTGCCTGCATTGGCCTCCGAGTCGATGCCGGGAGCTTCCCTGGTGATGCGCGTGTGCGTGTTTGGGCGAGTGTTCCAACTAGTATCAATTATCCGCTGCGCATGTTTCCCAATACTGATATTATTCTCCGAGACGCGACTGAATGTCGGGTGACTGACATGCTTGAGACAAGGGAGATGGGCGGCGTGGAGGACTGGAGAACTGGAGAGCATGGAGTTTTCGTACCCCCTCCATCTCGCCAGGAGAGACGAAACGAAGGTTCGGCGACTCGACGCCGCCAAAGGCCTTGTTGCCCGGACAGAGCCAAACTAGTCGCAGCAGGCGGATGACAATCACTTGATGTAGATTGAAGCCGGCTTGGCTGGCGGGCAGGGGGGTAGAAAGAGTCTGGCAGGGGGAGGTGGGAGGCCATCCAATTAATCCCACGGCAGGGCTGTCAATCCGACAATCCCAAGACGGGTCCAGGGCGGCGCAAGACCAACGGGAGACGGGAGACGGGAGACGGGAGACGAGAGTGACAAAGGTGGCGATGGACAGAATGGGTAGTTCGACGATTCATTATTTGACCTTTTTGGTCATTCTTTGCCTTTTTGGTGGCGCCAGTCAGTGTTGCTCCCGTCTGAGTACTTACATAGATGTCTCATCGACATGCTCAATACGCCGTCATACGTACGCTTGGGCCGAGGGCGAACCCCCTCGCAGCAAACTTGTCTCCGTCTCAACAGATAAGTACCTACCAAAAAGAAGGGAGGCTCTTCGGTGTGCCGCCAACAGTTCCCCTCCTTGATGTTGCCCAATTCTTCGTCTTGAGAGGGCCGCCATCAACCTGCTTGGATACCGTTGCTGGCCAGTGATTTCTCATCCCAAGACCTCGCTCGTATCACCTGTCGCGTTTCAAAGTGTCGTCGGCCTGTTCGTTCATTGTGGCCCCGTCGCACGTAGGTGGTAGTACATTTTTTACTCGACATTACATTGCACCTTATTTGAGGTATCCGGCCAACCCAACCCAAGGTCCCCAACCTGCCTTAATCCGTCCCTTGCGAGTACCGTACCTTCCCTCCCAGGTCCCTAACCTAACCCTCCCAATTTTTTTCCCCTTCCCTCTATCCGCCATCCCATCATTCTTCTTCTTCTTCTCTCCTCATCCTCCCTTTTTTATACTTCATTCTTCCGCCCATCCTTGGGTGTCCTGTTACTTACATTCCGTCCACTTTCTCCTTCGGCGCACCCCCCTCCCCTCCCCCTACATAATAATTTTTCTCCCGTCCACCAACGGACCAGACGACACGGACACCCATGACCATCAGATGAGGCCGCGGCATTCACCATCCAAAACTCCGTGTACCGACGACAACTCGCACCCACCAGAATCACATCACACTCAACCGCTTCTCCTATCTGCAGCTTCCATCCCTGCGCAGAACTCTCTTTCCCCTCTTAGACCGAACCTAGGGTTCCCGCACCTATCGCTATCCGCGTTCCTTGACGCTCGGGAACCTTGACTGCCGTCTGCCTGCTCGCCTGCCTCTACGAGCCCGCTGTACCTGGACGGGTAGCCTACCTTAGTCCAGCGACTACCCGACGCCGCCGCTGGACAGCGCATCATTGCACATCATCTAGCAGCCGATCCTCCTGCAGGCGCCTGCTGGGTCTTGAACGGGGGCCTCCAGTCTCCAATCGCAGTGGGAGACACCGCTGCATTTCGAACCCAGTGGCCCTCAGCCCATCTCCACCCTCCTGACAGCCGCACTGCTCAGGCCACTCGTCTTAACTGTCCCCATCTCTCCCATCCCACATTCCGAATCCCATCCCAACCAACCTATCCTGGCCTGTCACCTCCAGTCAGTCCCTGCCTGCTTCCCCCGGCACTTTTTGGGCCCCAGCATCGACCCTGTTCTGCACTGGCTTATTTGTTCTTGGGTTCTCTGCGCGCCCCGGACCGTAAGTCGAAGCCATTTGACCCGGCAAGAGAGCCACAGACAGACGCAATCAGTGAGAAGGCGACAGCAGCCTATACCGAGACCAGCCATTCCCCCCCCGCGACTCCGCGTCCTAGCCCAAGGCCTCCTTTTTCTCGCATCCAGCTGTTCGTTCAACTCTTCCCAGTCCTTGACGCGACAGTCCATCCGCCTGTCTACCCGCCTGGGACCCAAACCTGGTCTGGTGCTCTCGTCCTCTGTTTCTGCCGTAGGGGGTCGCCCCTCGCGATTAAATGAGTACCGGTCACCCAACCACGACGACTGCCGTCGATCCTGTTGCGGCTTCAGATACCAACCCAGCAGGCGACTTGGAGGATCCGTCTATCCCCAAGACTCCCTGTGCCAGCACTGACACTGCTGTCGACTCTGGAGCTGCTGCTGTCGGCGTTGACGGGGCCCTGAGCTACGGCCTCCACCAACGCGACCAGGACCATGATGCGCCTGCTGCCCGCCTTCTAAAATTCGCAGACGCTCCCAGCCAACTATCTCACCTGCCCTTCACCCCCGGCTCGACTGATCCCACCTCCACCCACGCCCCGGAACCAAATTCCAACTCATCCTCTACCACATCCGCCGCGACAAATTTAATGACTACTCCCTCTGCTGATTCTACCGCAACTCCTACTCCCACTACATCAGCTGCTTCCAACCCTACGACGGCTACGACTTCCATCGCCAACGTCTCTCAACCCTCTTCACCCGGACCTCCTTCCGCCATCCGAAAACCATCCCCTGGCTTAGCTGCCCGCCTCAAAGCTCTCGGCTTCGGTACCGTCCCAAAATCTTCTCCGCCTTCGTCCGCGCCGCAGTACGACCACATAGGTCGCCTCGACGAAGACCAGCTCCGCCAACTAGACGAAAAACACCAGGCGGGATCCCTCAGGTCGGTCATCGCCCGGCGCGGTCGCCCCTGGAAGGGCATCTACTTGTCCCCCAAGGCCGCCGCCGAGCTCGACCTATCCTCGCCGCCCGACACCGACGACGACCCGCCCACCGCCAATCTGCTGCCCGAGATCAACACCCCTGAGCCCTTGGACATGGACACGTTCAAGTACCGCCTCCCTGACCATACCAACGGCAATGGGACCAAGGTCACCCTCGATACCCGTCGCGAGCACATCGAGCGAACCACCGGCCCCCCTACTCCCGAAGAGAGCGCCCTCCCACCGCCGCCTCCTCCCAAAGATACTCCTCCTATTGGTGCTACCCCTGTGCCGACCACGCCTCCGACCGACTATACTCCAAGCCTCAATTCATACTTCACACCCGGTCACAACCGTCCGGGCTCCATCTACACCTTGTCGCGTGTGTCTTTCGCGAATCAACTAGCTCAGCTCACATCGCTGCAGCTGCCTGATGCCGACTCGCTATCCAGCCAGGTCACAGCCATCCCAACTGCTCAAATCGCTGCCAAAGCCCTTATCAACGCTGCCGATCAGATCCGAAGTTGGATATACAAAGCCTCCGAAGTGGTCGACGGACTCGATAGCGAAGACGATGTCGAATGGGCTGCTGCCGGGGGCCGGGAGGGACTAGCCGAGGTGGAAAATGCCATTACCCGCTTCGAGGAGCTCGTCAACGCCTATGTCGGTGCCATCGAACAGCTGCAGAGCCGAGAAGACATTGCCAACGTCCCCCTGGCCGATCTGAATCAAGCTGTTGCCCAGATGGAATCTGTCATCAGAGAGTGGGACAAGATTCGACTAACCCTCCACATTGTCAGGGGTCAGGTTGAAATCGCCATGGAGTGGGAGGAACTGTGGAACAGCGTCCTCGGCGACATACAAGGCGAGATGGATGAGCTCAGTAGGCTCGTCTTCGAGATGGAAGAGCGACGGCACAAGAGCCTCATGGCTGCTGCCAACGGCGATGGTGTTGACATTGGTGATCTGGAAACTATTGTCGAGGAAACGCCTCCCCAGGCTGCCCGCCTTCAAGCAGGTAGCCGCTTCAGCCTGCCACCAGCGTTCCCAGTGAGCCCCATCTCCCCGGGCACGCCGACCCTTTCACAGGACGATTCCAGCCTCCTCGCGCTCTTCGCCCGCATGCAGCCTCTCAGGGCCTCCCTCGACTTTTTGCCAATGCGCCTGTCCGTCTTTGAGAACCGAGCGGAGCAATCCTTCCCCACGGCCTGCGAGGAGCTGAAAATGCGCCACGACAGCCTCGACTACAGCTACAAGAAGCTGGAGAAGGATGCCGAGTCCCTACGCAAGGAGCTTGGTGAAGACCGATGGGTCATTGTATTCCGCGGTGCAGGGCGTCAAGCCCAGAAGATGCACGAATCGGTCGAGCGCTCGTTGCACAAGCTCAAGGAAGCTGTCGATTCCGGGCTGCACTTGACGAACCAACCTGCCATGTTGAAGAAGCTGGAGAGTTACGAGGCCAAGAAAACACACTACGGCCCGGCCATTGAGCGGGTCCTGTCTATCATCGACAAGGGCGTCAGTGACCGGCTAACAGTGAATGGAGAAATCCTTCGGTTGCATACTGACATGCAAGCGCGGTGGGATTCTCTCAAGTTCCAGATGAGAGAGGCCGAAAGCATGATCGAGGATATTCAAGCCGAAAAGGGTCAACAGCTTAGAGACTCCATCTCAAGCATGCTTTCCAATGATAGATCCACCTTGGAGAGCGGTCGTGAGACTCCAGGGAGCTCGCCACCCTCATCGGTAATCATGTCAAGCCTCGGACTTGGCCCTCATACTCCGACTGCAAAACCCCCTAAGCTCAGGTCGTCGGGCGGCTCCAACGCTCGCCCCATTCCTTCGAACCGACGACATTCATCACTCCCCGCTCCTTCATCTCATCTAGGTAGAAAACCTGGCTTTTCTCGACTGTCGACGGTCGCCAGCTCATCATCATCCCACAACGTCCCAGCAAGCCAGCTCAAGCGACCAGTTTCAATCGCGAGCAATCGGCCTCGCTGGAACGGCTCGTCCAACACGATTGACGTGGACACTGGCCATAACTTCAAGCCCCTCAGTCTCACGACACCGAGCCCCTATGCCAAGAGGAGTCCGGCGACCCAAAGATCTACCAGCTCCATCACACCTGGTTCTGCCTCAAAGCTCCCAACCCTACGCAGCCCTATGGCCCGCGCCTCGTCGGAATCACCTCGGGTTTCTCCGCGAGCTGACGATACGCCCACTAGAACAGGGCACTCGCGGCTTTCATTCCGCGAGCGTCTTTCATCCCCTGGTCCATATGCCCAACAACCGTTGGCCAAGCCGCGACTAGCATCTCAGACCGCTGTGAATGCTCTCACTTCTGGTCGCCGCTCTTCGCTCCAGGCATCGAAGACGTCGACCACGAAAACCGAAGTGCGACCAAGCAGGCCCGCTAGTTCCCTGGCCTCGTCCTCACGGAGGAGCAGTCTTCTTCCCCAACCAAAGGGCGAAGCAGGTCGGGCCAGTCCTCAGGCTATCGCAGGTGCCAGGCTAGCCATGCAAAAAATGAGTCCTGAAAGTAAGGATCTGAAACCCCGATGGCGACATTGACGGGATTTTTCAATGTCCCATTATTCTTGAGCAGCATCATGGTTGCTTCTACGCTCACTCTAACGCCCCAGGAGAAAGCGGTTCCACTTGTACTCATGTTACACGTTTTCTGACGATTTGACTTGATCAACACCTTTTCAGAATGTAGATATCTCGGCTTAAAGCAACAGGAGCTTGGCGCGCCAATTTTGAAGGAAACCCATTTTGCTTACACAGCATGGCGTACCGGGCGAGGGAGAGTGCTTCGGACGAACGGAGTTTAAGGAACGGCTAGGGAGTGTGGCCTTGAATCCGACTTATTTCTTTCCGAGGATCTTTTCACATATTCGTGGGGATCCCTTTATGTCTTATTTTCCATGTTCTGTCCAATGGTGGACAGATTCTGCGTTGTAATTAGGGAAGATTGGACGGGACAATTTGAGCAATAGCTGCAGGGTTCGTTGCAGTTGAATTAGCAGCGTCATACCCATAATGCTGCTTTGTTTGAGTACCAGGTAGAAAAATATCATGTCGACAGTCCAGTCCAGGATGGCACAATGCACAACATAATCACACCTCGTGCTTTGAATGTTTTCTTTTGTCTGTACATGGTGAAGGGGAAATCTCTTCGACGTAGTTATATCGGATGCTTCGCTCGTATGACATGTGCCCCTTTAAGTAAAGAGCCGCTCCCAATCGCCACCCATGCAGAAACGAAACCAGACCAGGTCGAACTCCCCGAAGAACATGCTCCCCACTAGGGAGTATTTAGTTTCGGTCATGTCATGAAAACGCCATCCTCATTGATGTCATCCATTTTCCCACCCTTCTATGAATATCGTTGTTTCACTCGCGATGCCCAGGGCCAATGCTGCTGCTCTCACAGGGGCATCAGTCCGATGCCACCGCCAGCCTTTCGGGCAATCTTCCTTGCCCCGACGCTGGCTGCCCTCGATGTCGTGGAGGAGCTGCTCGCCTTGCGGCTACCACCAGCGCTCCTGCGCTTAGACACTCCACCAGATGCCCTCTTGGGCCATTTCTTCCCCGATGCCTTTCTGCCGCCGCCTCGGCCGCCGTACGAGGATTTGGGCTTGCTCTGGCTCGGCTGGCTGTTCAGGCCCTGAAGTTTATCGTGCCATGCTTGCACATTTGGCTGGGATCCAGAGTTATTGCTGTTGAAATAGTGTGAATCTTCCCCTTCATCCTCGTCGTCCAAGTCATCGTCCATTTCGACCTCTGAGCTTATCAGGTCCACGACCTCTTGGCCTTGGCCGCCGGTGGGATTGCCACCCATGATTTCTTGGTACATGTTGTAGTGCCTTCGCAGAATGAGCAGGATCCTGGGCCCGTGTTCCTTAACCTTGTCGGGCTCGATGCCAGGGATACGCTTCATCTTGTCCAGGGAAATCGTCCAATGGATTGCCATTTCCTGGAAGTCCCGGTCCGTGAAGAGGGGTTTTCTCAGCTCTTTTCTGTTGCGGATATTCTCCTCGATTTTCTTGGCCTCCAGGACGAACCCGTGGATGATATCCTGATGGATTTCGGGCAAGTCCTGGAGCCGAGTATCGGTTGAAATAGGAGGCCCCAGCCTCTTCGACGGAGGCTTCGCTGGTCGGTGCTTGGGCAATTCGTCAAAAGCCTCCTCATCGTCATCCATCGGGTCGTCTGGCATGGCGAACCTGTCATTCACATACCCATTCGCCATCATAGCAAGTTCCTCGTCATCGCTATCAACCACTTGCGACTTCTTTTTCCGTCTACCAACAGGAGAAGAAACCCACGTTGATGGGACGGCCGGGAGATCCTGATCCTTTGACTTCTTGCTGGCCTTCTTTGGTTTGGCCTTGGTCGATTTGGAAGCCTTGTCTTCTGACACTTGAATGGTGAGCATAAGCTTACTCTGTCGCAAGAGAAACTGTCTGGCCGTCGGCCCAAGCTGCAGGTACTGGATCGCCACCCCATAATTGCCAACGACATTCTCTTCGTCAAAGGCCTTCTCCGCCGATAGCTTGTCGATCACTCTTACAAGCTCGTGTTTCTTCAACCCTTTCGCCGATCCATAGAATTCATCCGACAGATGCTGCTCTTGGGGGGGGTACTTTGTGCCCAACAAGATTTCGGCGCACTGCGTCGGCGTCAACCGCCTCTGTCGTTGAACTACTTTGATAGCAGCGATAGCGTATTCCGAGAAGTCTTGTTGCTCGAATGTCAATCCCGCTTTGCAGTTGTCGCACGATTTCTGGCATTGATCAGACGTGAAGTCCTCACCAAAGTATCGGAGGACCTCCGTTCGTCTGCAGTCAGACTTGTTATCGCAAAACGCAGTAACCCGATTCAGCATCACCATCTGTCGCTCCTTTTGTTCAGCATTTCCATCACCATCTGCAATCAATTTCTTCAGGACCCTTATGTCCCCTTTGCCATAGAAAAGAATGCAGTCAGACGGCTTGCCATCTCTGCCTGCACGACCCGTCTCCTGATAGTACCCTTCTAAGCTCTTAGGAAGACCGTGATGCACGACAAATCTCACATCTGGCTTGTCGATTCCCATGCCAAAGGCAATGGTGGCAACCACCACTTTAACGTCCCCCTTTTGCCACGAAGTCTGTACTTCGACCTTCTCCTGGGGGTCGATACCTGCATGATAGTGCCGCGCCGTGATGCCATGGTTTGTAAGCTTCTGCGCAACGTCCTCGGCCTGCTTTCTCGAAATGGTGTAGACAATCCCACTCAAGTTGGAATATTTAGATCTGATGAGAGACGCAATGCTCTCTGTTGCGTTGGTGTTGGATGTCTTTGGAAGAACCTCGTAGTACAAGTTCGGCCGGTTGAAACTCTGTGAGAAGGTTTTGCAGTTAGGCATGCCTAGGTTATGCCTGATGTCGACAATTACATTCTGCGTCGCAGTAGCTGTGAGAGCCATCACCGGCACTTCAGGATACCTCAGCCGGACCTGACCCAAAGTTTTGTAATCAGGTCGGAAATCATGGCCCCATTGACTGACACAATGTGCTTCGTCAATGACAAGTCTGGCAAGCTTGCCTTTGCGATACAACGTCATCATCCCGTTATTGAACGCATTGTTTTTGCTCACCATCTCTGGGGTGACATAGAGCAGTTCAACAAAGTGCTCCGGGCTTCGCTCATTGAAGGCACTCATCACCTGCCTCTTGTATTCGGCCGAACACTCCCCATTGAATGCAACAGCCTGGATTCCCAAAGCTTTCATATGGTCAACTTGATCCTGCATCAGACTGATCAAGGGAGATACAACAATAGTAACGCCTCGGGTCTTGCCAGTCTTGATCACGGCAGGAAGTTGGTAGCAAAGGGACTTGCCACCACCCGTTGGCATGAGGATGAACGCATCTTCACCTCCCAGTGTGGCGTTTATAGCTTCGAGCTGATTGTGCCGAAATCCTCTCATTCTGAAGCGATCCTTCAGCATCCTCTGAACCTCAGGAGACCACGAATGCCGCATGAGTTCAGGTGGTATTCTTGCTTCTGCCACCCCAGGGGTAGCTTGTCTCTTCGAGGTGCTTCGTGATCTCGTTGTGGCGGCAGCGTTTCCTGATGTCTCGTTGAAGACCCTTCTAGAGCCCTGAGAAGAAACTCCAAGTGACTGGCGAGTCTCATAGTCTTGTGCAAATGCAATCATATATTCGTCGTCACTGAAGTCGCTAAACTCATCGCGAGTACGATGTTGGCGGGTGGTTTGAGGGGTTCTTCGAGTAGTCGCGGGCACCAACTTTGTCACAGGCCGTGATGCGGGTTGAAGCTCATAATCATCCGTATCGGAAAACCCTTCATCCGGCACATCAAACTCAACATGTACAGGGGCTTTCTTTGTTGGTTGTGGTCGACTGTTGGCTTTTGAGGGCCTCTGAGAGTCCCTTGGGAAAGGGAGGAACGACAGGTCGTCTTCGTCTTGTGAGATCAAGCTCATTCTTGGAGGTAGTTCGGTTGTGAGGATGGCTTCATTCCGGGGTTTTCGTTGAGATGTTTCGGGGAGTTGTGTTTGATGGACAATTTGTGACCCTGTATCGATCACAGGCATGGGTTCTCTTGATGGCGCCGACATGTTGACGTTACTTTGAAGTGGTGGTTGAGTGCCCATCACGACGACCTGGCCAGGAGTCGAGCAAGAACTGGGTTGAGAGCTCTCCAAAAGAGCATCTTCGTCTAGACCAGCATCGTCGAAAGCTTTAAGGAGAGACTGCTCCACCTCTTGAATTTCGTCAGTCAACTCATCCAGCCGAGTTTCATCCTCATCCGTATCAAGTCCCTCAGAGTACGCTTGGGCTACTTGTTTCACTAGGCTTTCGCGAGTTTTGCAAAGCAACATATAAGAGTCTGTTGGTCCAGAAAGGTCCTTGATCGCTTTCTGTTGTCGCAACAGCCGCTCCTTTTCCGACTTGATATGGCTTCGCTTGTCCTTCGGCCAACGTTCGCTGATCGCTCTCGAGAAGTTTCTACCATTCTGCTGGATCAACTTGTCGACGGCATCGCCCCTCTTGGCCAGGAGACCCGGATCGGCACACAGACGGACGAGAATTCTTGGTGTTTGACTTGATGGCGCCGCAGCTTGTTGTGGCATGTCTTCACCGACATCTTGGTCGTCGGAACTTGCCGTCTTCAGTTCGGTTGGTCGTGTCGGGGATTTTTGTCTGTCGGAGTTCAAGGCATTTACAATTTCCAACGCTGGTAAGGTTTCCCTCTTTGTGACTGTCCCATTTTGGATGGCATTCGTGGTGGTTGTTCCCAGAACAACCAGTGAACTGTTGTGAGAGGGTGGCGTCATGAACTCTTCGTCAGAGTCGGGAATTACTAGATCATCCTGGCTTGTTGATTGTCGATGTATCGAGGGTTGGTCCGGGACAGGTACTGCTTCGGGGCCTGGTGACTCTGTGGGGGAATTTCTTGCTTTCTTGCGACTCGCAGAAGAGGAGGGACCAGCATCTTCTCCATTGGGCGTCCTTCCACGGACAAGTTGGGCTTTCCGAATCAAAGCCTCTGTTGATGGAGAAGGCAGATCATTTTCTTCTTCCACAGGGCCAAGTCTCCTGCTGGGGGACGTAGGTTCGGCAGGAAGTTCACGTATCCTACGTGCCCTAGCACTGTTGGTGCCATCTTTCCGACGTGATATTGACCGGCTTGGGCTGGAGATTGGTGGGTCGGTTCCGAGGAGTTCGTAGACATCGGGGAAATCATCCATATCTGCAAATTCCTCCTTGCTAATGTCATTATTCTTCCTCTTCTTTCCGCCCGACACAGGTAGCTCGGGCCGAGACGCGGGATCATCATGCGATAATTTTATATCGTCTCCGAAATGCAGTGAATCAGATGATGGAAATGGGTCGGTGGTCAAGTCCATGCATTCTAGGTCGTTGGGGTCGAGGTCTGGGAAATCGAGGCTGCTTGCACGGTGGCCTCGAGAGGTTGCGATCTGTTTCTTCGGAGTGGGTTCATGTTTTCGGCTCGGTAGAGGACTTCGGATACCTGTAGATGGTCAGACTGAGCTCAGTGGGCAGATGGGCAGGGTCTCATGCTTACCGATGTCACGCTTCACCTGAGTGTCAGGTTGAAGCGAGCGATGCTTGGTGGACGCGGGGGTAAGAAGCTGTTGCTGCGGCTTGGAAACGAGGCTGGGTTTCTTCGATTTGACACTCGACGTGAGGCGTGCCATGGTGTCTTCCACTAGTATCACCTGGTCCGTATCCCGCAAGGCCGTGCTTGTCCGACCCAAGCCATTTGATCTATCCGGCGCGGAATGGGTAGGGAATGGCCCGTCTTCGAGGTCGACTATCGTTTCGGATCCGACTTCTTGTGTGTCTGAGCTGTGGGATTGCGATTGGGAGGGACCAGACTGGGAACCGTCGCTGGCGCTGGGAAACGTGAGGGTCGAAGGCTTCGGGAGAGCGAGGTTGTTCAACAGCCAGGGCAGATGGTCTGCGAGATTGTTGCGAGTCATGAAGCCGACGGTGTGGTGCCGGTACGTCTTTCAGCTACTATCGTTTCAAACATCTGAATTGTCGTTCACGTTTGAACGTGGGGAGCTAAAGCATTGAGCCTGCCTAGATGTTATCGTGATTCAGTCGGGGGGCACTAGCCAGCCCGCGTCGCGCGTGTGTTAGTCAGCGGATGCGTCGCCACGTGACTATGTCGACCCGTAAAGTGGCTTCGCGACGGGTGTGACTACCCTGCACACTTGTCGGAACCGACATCTGATTACGATTAACTATCCGGATGGGCAGCTCCTTATTTCCATGGATAATTATATTTAGGATCGGTTGCCGTCCACCCGCGCCTAGCTTCGTCAATAACAGACTCCGTGGAAGCTGCTTCAAATAATGAAGATGTTTGCATAAACTTTCAGTATACCTCAACTAAACTAGGTGTGTGCCAGAGGCATGGGGAAATTAAGCGCAAGTAAAATCACGCAACCTCAGAACACAGTTGCCCTGCCAGTATACAGTTCAACCATGCGAAACTTCATATGCTAGTTTTCGGTCACTACGTCGACTAAATTGGCCTTCGGAATACAGCAGATAAGTAGATACTCAGCGTCTCCCGAATTGTAGCCCACGAACAACCGGCCCCACTCCGGTTGACCAGTCGCACTCGCCTCTGATTGGCCAAACACAGTGAAGTATTTTCCTTTTTCGGAAGCCAGCCTTTCCTATGATAGCCAAACAATCGATGTAGACTACGACGAGAGATATAGAGTATCCGAAAAGAACAAATGTAAATAATGACACATCCAAAGGGCAATTTTAGCTTTCTTTATAGTATCCGGTAAATATGGTAACACAGAAGCGAGAAGGTGATGGCCAACGTGTCGTAGCGGGGGAGGGGTAGGCCAAGAATGCGCTAACGTCAATTAATGTGTCTACAGGAATATATCTTTCATTTGCAAGCGCTCTCTCCAACATCCAATGCAACTGGCAGAGTGCCTGAGTGGTTAAAGGGATGCACTCGAATCCTCGCAATGCATTGGCTTCGGCCGCGCAAGTTCGAATCTTGTCTCTGTCGCGGATACACTTTTTTTGCCGTCACCAGTCAATTGACACCTTTTGGCTTTTCTTTTTGTTTTCGGCTTCATTATTTTCTCATCTGGTCTATCGCATCCATCTTTCCTCCTGACGAGTCGTTCATCGGCATTACCAGTGACTTACTTCACTGCATCCAGGAGCCACCCCTACCCAATGCCCCGAGAACTCCCCGTGTCTCTTCTCCAGGGCTGAAAGGGTCAGCTCTCAAGAGCAAGCCCCGCAAATGGAAATGCATTCCAGCCACTGGTTCAGTCTCCCACTACCCGGGACCGAGACGGACAAACTACGCGCACGTCGATTGACTCAGAACGTTTGCAGGCGGATACTATGCCGAGTCAAGCTAGATATTCCATTCGAGCTGTCTTCCATCGTCCCCAACTCTATTACCCAACCCTGTTCCAGTGTCTTCCACTAACGTAGTGGCGCTGGTAGGTGGCGCCGGTCGAAGTCCCGGGAGTCTGCACTGATACATCCCGGCAACTAAACTTCTATAAGAGGTTAGTTACAGTTATTACTCCATCAATTGATGATATTTATGTTCTAGATTTTATGTTCTGTCTTGGCGTATATATCCTGGAATGTTCTTCTCTAAGGATGTCTCAGCAAACCGGAGAAGATATTATGGTAATATCGTCCCGGGCTGTGGATGCGAATTCGGAGTACATTAATCGGGTCAAGTCGACCTAGTCCGAGTGGTGAGGCGATCGAAGGCACACACAAAGTCACCGAATGAAACAACTGGCCCTTCGTCTTCATATTCCGGAATTACTGGCCATCCCCTCATTCTCTACTGCACCTAGTCTCGAGTATCTTATTGTCCTGAGTCATAGATTTCGGTACAGATTTCCTAAAACGGCACAGCAGGTTCAACAACACTATGAAATGGGCTAGCTATTGTTCATGAAATGATGGGCGAGGCTAGACTGGCTTGTATGGCTAGACAATCCTATTATTTTCACTCTCTCACAAGCAGTCAGATGACCACCATGAAGGCCCATCCCTACAGTGGCTATCGGGAAAGATCCTCTTTGTTAGTCTAGACAATGGGTCTAGAAGCGGGCCGGGCGGGTAGATAAACTATCATCAGATAGAGTTTAAGTGGCACTGGACCTCGCGATCTCGATTACCAAATTGCCGAGTCCTTTTTTGAGAACCGACTACCGGATTAGGAGGAAACGCTGTAATAGTAGGCCTAAATCGGACTACTGGCATAAAAAAGAACGAGAGGTTAGTCGTGACTGAGATAATTTTCGCCATTAGGTCAAGCATCTGAGACATCGAGGTATCTTGATGGATGTTTCCGAGCTTAAGGTTACTCGGAGCACTAAATGCCGGTGTGGTCCAGCTTGCACTTGCGAGTTTATTTTAGTTGACGAACCGGGAAAGTCTCACTAGTGGAGTCTAACCATTCCACTGGCAACTATATACTCCATTTTCTAGATCATGGCGCTCGATCTGGCCTGCTCAGAAACATTCCATCTCACGGGTCAACTCCCGATGCATGATGGTGTGTACACGAAGTCGTGCGGGAATCGCCTAGTCTATCACTAATGTAATCAACTCGACCAAGATGAGGTTTAAGTGATAGATGTGATTTCTTGGGAGTCGACTCTGAGTATAAAGACCCTGACTACCTCGCTCAGAGTCTCCTGCAACTCATCACCTTCAACACCCGCTCAACAGCCTCAGAATTCAATCAACAGCTTCAACACAACAACCGCAAACACTCATAACCTCCATATCCCACCACTACCAATCACTCGCCAGAATGCGCTTCTCCATCGGTCTCATTGCTCTCACTGCTGCTACGGCGAATGCCCTGGTGCCTGCCCCTACCCTCACCCTCCGTCTCTCAGACCTCACCTTGATCGTCACCAATCTGCTCGGCCCCGTGGACAAGATCTCTACCGGTAGCATGGTCCCGTTCCTGAGCGGAAATGGCCCGGTCTATGTATGATAAGAAAAACACCCGCCTCGATGACCTAGCTAATCGAGAATAGACACTCGCCACCGACCTCACGAAGGGTGTCCAGATCAGTAGCCAGCTGTTCAGTGGCTCCGGATTCACCTCCTCGGACTCGCTCACCCATGCCACCACCGACCCGCTTCTCGCAGCTGTCGTCAAGGTAAGAATGCCAGTTCTAATACACATTGAATATTAGGCTTACAAACGCACAGCTCGCCGATTCTACGACTGTGCTGATGAACGGAATCAGTTCTAAGGGCAACGTTTTCTCCAGCTCCCCCCTGGTTGCCATCCCTGTCAATGCATTTATCGCGAGCACCAAGAACTCCTTCGACGTGAGTAAGAGAAGTCAAACCGTTGGGCTCTCATCTAACCAAATACGATAGAATCTCTTGAATGCAATCACTGCCGCATTGGCTACCAGTTCGGCTGCTCAGGACGGTACGCTCAATAAGGCTATTGCTTCCATCGCCACCATGGACACAGCTTTCCAGAATGCCCTCGATGCCACGAATGTCCTTTCTACGTAGATGGGAAACATCTTGCAGGATCAAGTCTCACCTCCCATTTGTTATGGATAGTGGTCATAAATTTGGACTCTCCAATGTAGAACCACAGGGTTCAATAATAGGTAGCTAGTTCCCGCAGTGAACCGTTCCAGGTATCGATTTTCAGTCGAGTTGCCCGCGCCGGTATCGTTGGTAAATAATTCCAAACCCACAAGGTGAAATCATTTGGTGTTCTTTTTATAGTCGTGAGACCCTTGTCATGATCTCACAGACGATTGGGTTACCTGATTTAAGAAATAGAGTGACTAAAGAACGTACGCTTAATTGCAAAACTCCATCTGAGTTTGGATAATCTGAAAAGATGTTATCGTGGTGGAGATGACCGCCGAGAGAGGATTTGAGGAAGGTGAGGCTGGACGTGTACCCATGTATTGGGCACTTGTAGGTGTTGGGTAATTGCGATTTATGGCATTTGCAGATTGGATCAAATACACGCCGTCTCCCCCGTTAAGCTTTTTGATAATACAGAAGAAAAATGTTGCGAGGAGCTGGGGACAGGAAGCTCTAGCATGGTTTGATTATTAGAGGTTCTTGGCACGAGATGTTGTTGGACAACCATGGCTGCGGCTGAGGAGCTAACCCGCCCAACACTGTCATTGCGGAGTCAATCCTCGCAGCTGAACTTGGGGTTTCAAGACGACGAAGAGATTGCGGATGAGAGACCTGGGGTTCTTCAACGAGTTCTCGGAACTGTCGGGAATATTCTCCTCCAACAGCGAACTGATGCTGCGCAGTATCTGGGAGGTGAGATGGAGGCGGGGGTTTCTGCCTGGTGGTGTAACATGGCGGATGGTCTCCGAAGGGAATCGGCCGATGAATCACGATGAATCACGAGGAAGGCATGAAGTCCTCTTGTATTGGCATGTCATGATTAACTTTGTTGAATTCACGATACATCACTTGTGTCATGTGGACGAGCGTGATGCAGCTTGGTGAGGTGAGGTCAATGACGGAAATGGCCCCCTGTTAGCCAGGCACCAGCGGGGTCAATGGTGCCAAACGGAACCACAAGAAACGCCAGAGCTGCAAGCAACCACCGATCATGGGCTTTCGCGTGCCAGCTCCAGGCAGCACAGCACCCTGACGCTCTGTTCCGGACGCCAGAGGGACTCGCGTCGCGTCTCGGCGGACGTGCTAGCCTGCTATAGGCGTAGCCGGCTGCTTTGCTCTGCACATCCATGATCCATCTCCAGCGTCCAGCGGCGGCGGTGTGATGGTCCTTGTACAAGCGCTGGAGACGGCCTCGGCAGTGTAGCTCAGCTGGCTGGGCAGATGCAATGGCTTCAGGGAGGCCGTTCTCTTGGTGCGCTGGCTATAAAGCCAATTTGATTCCTCCCCTCCGTTTCCAGACAAGACCTCATCCACATCGTCTTGGACCCTCATCACATCTTCAGTTCTCCTCCCCGCCATTGTCATTCGATTTCTCTCGCTGGAATCATTGCCTCAGATTACAACACTCAACAACCCACTGTAGCCAGCTCTGTTTGCGGTGTGCTTCCGCTCCCACTGCTGCTGCAGCCCGCCGCGCTACTGCTGTTACCCCTCCGCGCCTTCCCCCACTGGTGCCACCACTTACACCTTCCCGCCTCCGTTTCCCCAACGCCCGACAAACAAGTCTTCACTACCGCTTTCACCACCACTTGTCATCTGCATCCTCCCCTTCTCACTCTCCAATTTCTTCCTCTCCCGCCTTTCCTTTCATACTCCCACTGCCACATCCCATTGAAACCATGGCCGACCTTCCACAGCTTCCAGCTCCCCACGCGGAGCTGGCCAGGTACATCTCAGAGCACCCAGACAAATCGATGGCCGAAATCATGGACCCCTATCGAAGCTATGAGGCCACTCTACGTTCCGTCTACGCCCAGGACCGTCAGAACCCGATCCTGAACAACCCTCACCTCAATGTCCTCCCTCTCTTCACCGAGGACACCAAACTCATCACTACTCGTGCTAGAGACCTCGAGGCCGAGTCCGACGAAGAAAAGTCTCGGTATATCATGGCTCTCCCAGACGACAAACGTCGCCCTCACGGCTCTCCTGCGACTGTGGCCAATCTCGCCGAGTACCAACACAACTTCAATGTCTTTTCTGAATCTTCCCTTGTTGACATGGACTGGAACAATGTTGTCGCCGCTGGTTCCTCCGTCGTCAACTGTCTCCTACCCGTCCCCAAGCTATTCAACACGACTAAGCGTAAGCTGCGCGAGTACTATCATGAGAAGTTCTGCCCAGCATCTGATGTTGATCTCTTCCTTTACGGGCTTAACCACGAACAAGCCATTGAAAAGATCAAGCAGATCGAGAAAGCCATCCGGGATGCACTCCTCAACGAGGTTACGGTGGTGAGGACCAAGTATGCCATCACAATTGCCAGCCAGTACCCCGTTAGACATGTACAGGTAAGAATAAACCATCTCCAGAAATCCATACACCGATGCTGACAGCCACAGATCGTCTTGCGCGTTTATAAGTCTGTCAGCGAGATCCTTACAGGTTTCGACATTGATGCTGCTGGCGGAGCCTATGACGGCAAGCAAGTTTATGTCACTCCCAGAGCACTGGGCAGCTTCATTACCCAGATAAACCACGTCGACCTCACTCGACGCAGTCCTTCCTACGAGAATCGTCTTTCCAAGTATTCTCACCGGAACTTTGAGGTCTATTGGCCCGATCTGGATCGCTCTCGCGTTGACCCCACCATTTTTGAGAGGAGCTTTCAGAGGACCCTTGGGCTGGCTCGCCTCCTCGTCCTCGAGAGACTTCCCACCACATCTGCTCGAGAAACGTATCTTAACAAGAGGCGAGAGGAACGTGGCCGACCTACTGTATTCCGAAATAACAATACTCTCCACGGAAACATCAAGGACTACCACGAAGATGAGATTGCTGATTGGCTCTCGGAGGAGGACATCAGCAACTACCATACCTTTACCGTTCCCTACGGACAGCATTTCAATGCCAAGCGTATCGAGAAGCTTTGCTATACACGCGATCTCCTTCTCAACGCAGAGTGGAATCAGCCCTCTGAACGAGACGTTTACTTGCATCGCCATCCGGCGTTCTTTGGCCGCGTTGAAGATGTTATCGAGGACTGCTGTGGCTCTTGCCCAGCAGCTGTCACTCCAGAAGAGGTCGAGGTGGCGGAGAAGGAGGCTGAGATTTATATCTCGGGCAAGGTATCCTTCCTCATTGACGACCCTGGCAGGCAGCAGATTGGTTCCTTCAACCCCTTAACGGAGAAAGATTGGACTGATATGGCATATGTTGGAAACACTGCTAGACTTTGTCAGTCAATCGTTGATGGTGACGTTGATGACGTCCTCAACTGGCTCAGTCAGGAAGGCTCTGATCCCAACCAGCGAGACTACACAGGACGATCGCCGCTGCACCTGGCCGTCATGACTTCTATCCCGGAGGTCGTCAAGTGTCTTGTAGACCACGGGTCACGGATCACTGCCCGCCTGGCTGACGGAAAGACAGCACTGCATCTCGCTGCCTCAAGGGGCAACACGGACATCATCAAGACATTGATGGAGAAGAGTATCGCGAATGAAGAGGCCGAAGAAGAACGACAGGACAGGCGTCGCCAGGCATCCAAGGCCGCAAGTCAAGACAAGAAAGAAAGCGACCAAAAGGAAGAGGCTCTGGACTCTGATGATACTATGTCTGACGAGGAGTCTGACGGTGAACTCGTTGATGAGGAGATGACTGACGTCGACACCGCCTCCATGGCTACGGGGTCGTTTGTCAAGGTCAAGAAGGGAGAAGACCAAAACGACGACCTCGTCCCAGATGAATCCGAGGACGAGCCGGACTACTACCAGATCGATGTCTTGGCATGGGACGTTCCTTGTTCACCACTCCACCTTGCTATCGCTGAGGGTCATGAGGATGCTGTCAAGCTTCTGTGCGATTACGGAGCCGATTCCATCCTTCCGGTCAAGTTTCTCAACAACCAGTCATCGGACACAGGCGCAATCTTGACGCTGACATTGGCGCTTTCACTCCCGCAGGAAAAGGCAAAGTCAATGGCTCTGCTTCTCCTGAAACTTGGTGCCACCTCCTCCCAGGGCGACTCCAACGGCTGCACTGCCTTCCATAGATACGTTGCGAGTGGGAAATTGGACCTTATTGACACTCTCTGGGACAACGACAAGACAGGCGTGAAAACAGCCATCAACCACATGGTATTCGGTGGAGGGTACTGGAACCCAGAGACCCTCGCACCCATTCACAGCGCAGTCGAGCATGGCGACCCTATTCTTATCATGAAGTTGCTGAATGGCGGCGCGGGAAGTCAGATTGACTTTGAAACGTGGCTGAAGGCTGCCAAGGTCTCGCCAACACAAGCCAGCCATATGGGAACTCTGGAGCAAAACGAAAGAAAGTACAAAGAGTCACTTGAACAGCCATTGATTACTGCCATTCGATCTGGCAGCACTGAGGTGGCAATCAAGCTTCTTGAACACGGTGCTGATCCAAACTGTCTCACTGGAAAGACCGAACGGTTGATCTACAATGAGTATCAGCGCTCGTGGAACAAAGGAGAGTCAGCATTGGACATGGTCAAGTTCTCGATCAAGAAACTACGTGAGTATACAGGAGAGAAAAGCGGAGTCCAAAAGCCTGTGGAGAAGTTGGATATCGATTCCTACTTGGAGAAATTCACCATGGGATCCTATTCTCACTGTGTTATTTCGCATGACATCGACACCACGAAAAAGACTTTCAAGAAGCAAACAGAATCCTACGAGAAGGAGACAAAACGAATTGGGGAACTTGCGGGCGCCACAGACAAGACAGAGGCTATCAATGACGCCCTGAAGGGTTTTGAGTCTCTGGAGGAGGCTATTGTCAGCCGAGGAGGGAAGATCTTTGCTGATCTTCGTCCCGACATCAAGACTGAGGAGCGGGGCTCCACGAACCTTAGCACGTTCGAAAAGTCTACCCCCAAGCCATATGAGTACATCTTCTCGTTTAGAAACGATAGTGAGATGACGGTGGCAAGGAGAGATGGCTATGTTGAGTTGTAAGTGTTCTTGGTCATTTGGATATGCGCCCCCTAACACGTCGCAGAATGGAAGCAGCTTGGGATGGAGATATCGAGAAAATCAAGGGTCTGTCCCTCCAAGCCTGGGGACCTGATCAGGACCAGCCACCACTAAAGCTTGCGGTATCTGATAACGTTTGGAACACTCCATTCTCGCTCGCATTCAGCCGCGGACATTTCGAGACAGCTCGGGCAATTCTCGAGATTGTCAAGGCCCAGTGGTCCCCACCAGACAAGGAGAAGGTTCGATTCAAGATGGAGACACGCGATGAAGAGGACGAGGAGTACTCTGACGAAGACTCTGATGATCTCGGATCAGAGGACAGCGAGCCACGCATTGTTTCGGAAAAGGTGGACCAGAAGTTCACAATTGACAACATTGGACAAGTCTCGATGCAAGTTAAATCTCAAACTAAGCCCCTCCAGGTTCTCTCCGAGGCCGTCCCGACACTCGAAAGCAAGCATGGAAAACTGGTCTACAAAGGCTTAAGGCAAAGTCTATTCATCCACGTCATGGCCAAGGATGATACACCCGGACTGAAGGCCCTCTTGGATATGGCCCAGCACTACTCGGGTCAGAAGTTTGAGGGTGATGATGATGAGAGTGACGAGCCATCGTCTGGGAGCTTCACATTTTCCCAGAATGACTTCCGTTGGGCCGTTGAAAATGGAAAGACTCATCAACTTGCCTTGATCATAAAGCGCACAGGTGCCGGCATCCCACTGGATCATCTTGTCAAGAAGAGTGGCGTTGAGATGAAGCGGAAGCCGCGATTCTACCAAGGGCTGACCGTCTATGGAAAGAAACGGTACGTTGCATCAGAGAATCATTGAACAAAGGGAGTGACACTGACCAAAATTAGAAATGATTGGGCTACCGCTGGTCGGAACATGGTTGTCAAGACCACAGGCCTCAAGACGCCGCCGTTGCTCCATGCTGCCCTTGGTGGAAGCCTCGAGAGTGTGGAGTTTTTCCTCGGAGATGCCCCCCACAGACTATACGGCGAATTTGGTAAATCCAAGGCGGCCCGAGAGGACTCCAGACTCAAGCATCTCAAAGAGAGTCCAGGTGGTTTCGACCGAGCTATCTCAAAGTGGCTTGGGGCTGACAGTAAGTTTGATTTTGTCCTCCAAAATGTTGTTGAGTCTGACGAAGGACCTAGATGATCTTGTGATTCACTGTGCGGTTTTGGCTACGCCCAGCGATGCTACAAACGAGTTGCTTGAATACCTCGTCGAAGCTTGCCCTGGATCACTCGAAAAGAAGAACTCGCAAGGTGACTCGCCTTTGATGGTCGCCTGCCGACTTGGTCGGGTTGATTTCGTCAAGATTTTGGTAGCAGCAAATGCCGACCAGTCGACCCGTAATGTGAAGGGTGAGAACATCCTGCATGCGGCGGTTTCAAGGAACCCCAAAGCCCACCAACTGCGTGGCCTGCTTGACGTTTTAGATGCTGGCCTGCGAAGTCACTTATTCTTGCAACGAAAGAATCTCCATGAGAACGGTAACAGCCCTCTCCATACTTGGGTCTCACAAGCCTCAGGGGTCCAGCCAGAGAACCTCAACCGATATCGATACGGCTCTTACTATAACAGCTACTCCAGCAAGCCGTACGGGAAGGAGGAGGATGCAGTTCAGATGCTCCAGCTGTTGCTTGAATACTCGAAGGGCGAGGAGCTGGAGATGCTGAATGGTGCAGGAGAGACGTGCTTACACACGGCTATTATGCACAACATGCTCTCGCTGGTGCACGTCCTGGTTACCTTTAAGCCTAGTCTGCTCTATCGGGAGAATGCGGTCGGCCGCACCCCCGCGGAGCTCGCACACGACCGATTCACTGGAGTAAGGTTCGCGAAGCCAGAGGACATGAAGCTGGACAAGAACGACACGGTTGTTTCACTGGTAAACAAGAAGCCGGAGGAGTTCGCCAACAAGGCCAGCCTGCAGGTTCAGACACCTGAGCAGACAAGGGAGCTGCTGGCTAGTTTGGATCTGAGCGGAACCTACGGCACACATGAGATTTCCAAGATCTTGCGCTCGATGGGCGTTGGAAAAGATGGCCACGGCGACAAGCTGAGCGATGAAGCTATCAAGCCGGTCATGTGGGATCTCTGCCTGACTACGATGGAGAAGTATCCCGGCAAGCGCCGGCTGGTGAGCCTGATTGAGGCCAATGACGTGGCTAAGAGACTAGGCGAGAAGTACTCGGCCTCTCGATACTTCAGCGTCCAGGTTCGAGAAGAGGACAACCAAGACGAGGCGGATAAAGAGGATAAGGAAGACAAGCCGACAACAGACTTTGCCACGGACCAATTGACGGCCAGATTGAATGATGCGTGGAAACAGAAGGATGGCAAGGATGACGGGTCAGACAATGAGTCGAAAAGTGGAAACTATTGCTCGGATTGTGGAGAGTATCACTGAAATTGGGGTGGAAATTGGGGAGTGACGGATGTCATGACATGTGGGATTTCACTTCTTGTGCTATAGCTACTGCTGGTCAAGTTGATAATGATACTGACATGAGTTGCGCATTTCAAAGGTGATTTGGTCTTGGTTACTAGTTGAATATGCCAGTTGCGACTATTTGGTTTTGCCTCGAGAGACTGACAGGAGATGTTCCCGGCCACCGGGAGTTTGAAGTCATAAAGGGTAAAAATAGATAAGAAAACGCCCATGTGTTCTGCGTACTAAGTACACTATCCATCAATTCATGTTGCAAGTGAAATCAAAGCAGTGCTCATATTAGTTGTAACAAGGTTGCATGCAGCAAGCAGCATCCTGTGAGCAGCATCTTAGGAAACGTAGATGACGGCCTGGGGGGCACCGTCTCCCCAAATGCCGATGACAGCCAAGGCAAATCCCAATGCAGAGAGGGCGGTCCTGGCGACATAGCTCCGAGCCAGGCCCTCGACGCTGGCGCGAACCTCCTCGCCGTTGACATCCTCAATCTCCTCCTCGCTTGCGGGCTCGCTGTGGGAATCGCCGAGGACCTCGTAGCTCGCCTCCATTCGGGCACGCGCCGAGGGCTTGGCTGCGGGCGCGGGGGCGATGGCTCGGGGAGTCGGCTGGGGCACGAAGCCCGGGGCGACGGTGGAGAGGGCGACGAGGATAGAGGTATAGAGGAGGTAGGGATGGCGGGAGGCGCGCGGGGCGAAGATGAAGCAGAGGAGGAAGGGCGCCGAGGCGAGCGAGGTGAGGGCGAGGATGGGCGTCTTGAGGGCCTCGGAGAGGGTGGCGAGGCCGTGAGAGGCGGACGCTGAGGAGGGTAGGCGGAGGAGAGCGGGGAGGGCGAGGGTCGAGACGGAGTAGGAGACGCCCTGTGAATGCGGATGTTAGCTGACATGTGCTTGGTGGGAGTGAGGTTGTACGGAGCGAGCGGGAGTGGTGCGATGATGGGTGGGATTGCGCCAGGCTGACGTCGACGCGCAATGAGATCAATGGCAGCAATGGCTCAGAGGAAGACGCAGCGACAGAAGCCATCGCCAGGCCAAGGATACTAGGGGCGAGGCCTGATGGCGCGGGGATGTGACGATTGCGACAGAGGGGTGGTGGGTGCGCGGAACCATGTTCATTGACGCCCGGGCGGGAAACTTACCGTCAGCAAGCCGAGCGACACGGTGCCGACGAACTTGAGCAGGGACACGCCCGTCGAAGCCATGATGGTATTTTCTTGCGATTTTAGGCGTGGCAGGGGAATATTTAGAACAGGACGACGAGGAGAAGACGCGGGTGAGCGGCGGACGGGCGGACGAGGGGTCGAGGCTCGGATGAGGTGATGGTTGGGGAACCTGGGAACCTGGGAACCCAAAGAGTCAATTGTGACGATGCCATTGTCCGGCATCTCGAGAATACCCCGTCGCTGATTGGCTGCACGGACCAGGGGAGCCGTTTATCCAGGCATCAATTGCCACCAGCCACAGCAGCAACCGCGCCCAATTCGCAACAGCCACAGAGCCTACATCAGCCACACCCTCCGGAATTGACCCCACCAGAGCTCAAAACCAAACGCCATTTGCTTTGCAATTTTCTCCGTCCTTCAACACCAACACCAACCTCGACACACCAACCTGCGCCCCGAACCGTGAGTCTCCCCCCTTCCTCTCCTCCACGCATTCCCCCTCAATCTCGCATGATGAGCTCCTTTTTTTCAACCCTCCTCATGCTTTAGGAAGAGCCGTCTGAGACTGCCCCCGTCACCGCCCCGTTTCTACCGCTCCATGTCCCGTGGTCGACCCGACCTCCTGCTGTGCGGCCGCGAGGCCAGCACGCGGGGGGGCCCCGGTCCTGCGGGCGGGAGTGCGTGGCGGAAGCGGCCGGGGAGTGGTGGTGCTTATAAACTGGGTTTCTGAAACTTCGAGATGTCTTTCACTGTCATCTGAACATGCCAATGGAGATCAAGGGCTAACCCGATGGCAAACAGGTCTTCTTTTCCGACGCGATATTGGACGCAGGCGAAGGACCGAAACGCTTTCTACGCGACACGCTCGCTCGATACTCCCCATTGTCGTTGCGGGTGGCGTCTGTCATGAAGTCGTCCTGTCCTTTGTGTTTCTCGACCTCTGTGGTCTTCTAGATAGCTCTTCTAATAATGTACATCCGTGTTGCCTTCCTACCATGATGAAGCAATTGTTTCCCTTTGACTCTCCAAGAACTCCCAAGCACGCATGTACTGTTTCCTTAGAAATCACTGTCGCTGTCATCCAGGACGGCCCTGCGGGCGCGGACAGTTCGCCTTGCTCCGACTCCCAGCTCCAACTCATCTCCTCCTGCTTTCGACCCCACCAGTGTGTCTATATCCGGAATATCCTCGCTTTCCTGCGTCGCGGAAAACTGTGTTGGCACAAAGAAGGGCTTCTCCGTTCGATCGGGTGGAGTTGGTGTTGGACTGGCCGTGGTTGGTGATGTGGATCGTGGTTCCCTCATGCTTGACGTAATGTGGTTGTCCGACACAATGAAGTCCACCAGATCCTCGCCATCGTCGGACCCGTCTGTCTCCATCATGTCACTGGACCGGCCACAGTCGTCCCCAATCTCATCGCTGTTGATTCCACCACTCTTTCGCTGGGCCTTCTTCTTTCCCCTGCCTTTAGGTTTGTTCCCTTTCTTTGGCCGACCTCGACGGGCAGGTACACCTTCATCCTCGTCGTCTTCTGCCTCCTCTTCCTCCTCGTCATCATCATCGTCTTCTTCTTCTGATAAATCCAAGCTCACCACAGACGTAAAGCCACGGGACGTTGAGCTTGCTTTAGCAGATACTCGCCTTCTTTTTGGTTGAGACTCTGCCTTGGGGGCGGGTTTTCTGCTTTGCTTCCTCTTGGCGGGAGCTGCTGCTGGTTTGGCCGGCGCATCTTCCTTCTCCACTTCCCCGTCAGAGTCAACAAAGGCTCGGACCGGAATCTCGCGATAGTTGCTGGTGTCTACCGATCGACATGGTCGTACCAGGCTATCAGGGTCGTTTCCCATCTTATACCACATCTTAACGCATCGCTTTGTATGAGTGCCGTGTTTGACTTTGACCACTGTGCGCAGTCGTCTCTGGAGCTCAGGATAGGCTGTCATGTTAGGCATGTCGGTCTCCTCGACCACGCTATGGTTGAAGGGTAAGTCGCGATACGCTCGGTTAAGCTCCTTAAGCTCCTTGTCCCCGAGGAACACGCTTTTGAGATCGGGCACCGGGACGAAATCATCTAGCTCCGGGTTCCGTTTTGGCTTTGTCTGACGTGCCTTGGTACCTTTGGCGGTGCCTTTGCCAAGGAGACTGGACACCGTCTGGAAGCCCGTCTCAACTCCGTCCGGCATGTGGAATTTCTTAGGCGGCACTTTCTTGCCACGAGGAACCCGGCGCTTCTTGGGTTCGGGCAACGACGAGTCCTGGGTATTTTCGATAGGAATCTCGACGTGTCGTTTGTCAACTTCTGGTCGAATCTCTCTCGGCACGATCCTCGTTGAGAGGTCAAAGCGGAAGTTGAACCGACTCCCCTCGCAAATCAACTTCTGCATCTTCTCATAGCTATCCTTTGATTTTGCGAACTGGTCTTCCTCTTTGCCTCGCATCAGAAGCAGCACAATGTTTCCGGCCCGTTTTCGTCCCGTTCGACCCATTCGCTGCAACATTCGAATTGGCGATGCGGAGGAGTCATAGCACACAATGAGATCGACCTGACCAATGTCGAGACCCTCCTCACCAATCGATGTTGCAACAAGAACGTTGAAATGACCTTGTTTGAACCTTTCGATAGCTTCGATTTGCTGTGCCTGCTTCATTCCCTCTCCTCGCTTGCTATCTGCTTGCCCAACGAAGATGCTAGCCTTTATGAGCGGTTGGTGAGTATTCAGCATGCGAACAATATCCTCTGCAGAGTCTCGATACTCGCTGAAAACAATGACACGTGTTGCGGACCCTTCACCACGGTCCATGAAGTGGTTCAGAATGGTGTCAGCCAAAGCAGTCAGTTTCGGGTGGCCCACGAACCCATCCGTCCTCAGCCATTTCGAAATTCTGTCCATCATCTCCTGGAAGCTAGAGTCTTGAATGAGTTGTCGCTTGTATTTGGAACCCTTCTCGCCCTTGTCTTCCTGCTCACTACGGAGGTCGGCAATGTTGTCGTAAAAGGGTTTGATGCCATGGAAGTTGAGCAGCTTGATCGAATGCGCAATGCTCGTGAGAACACTAAAAACGGCTCTCATCATGAATTGCACTCCTTGGTTCGTGTGCTTGCCCCGCGTGGCAAACCACTCCTTTTGAGCTTGCATCAGGCCGTATGCAGTCATGGCCATCGGGCTGCGCCCGTAGTAGATGTTTTGCGAGCTCAATTTGTCCGTCATTGGTTTCAGGGCCTTTGTAAAGAGCTCACCGATGAGCATCATCTCGTCAGAAGGATCCAGCACCACCTGCTCAACATTTCTTTGGTGAACATATTGTCGAATATCAATGGATTCTTCTGTGCGAATCTCGCAATGGGATATCCCAAGATTGTCAATAACCTCCTGCACCGTCTCAATCTTCGAACCAGGTGTGGCTGTCAACGCTAGGACGCGGAAGCTTTTGGAGAAGCGACGAATGAGCTTTGTCACCTTGGCATACGCGTACTCCCCTACAGCTCGATGTGCTTCGTCGATGACCATCAGAGCAATGGACTTCGGATCCGCGTAGCCGTGAGAAATATCGTTCAAGAGCGTTTGAGGAGTCATAAAAAACACTCTCCGCTTCTGCCACTCGTCGACTCGCAAGGCTGGAGGGATGTCGCCTGTCAACAATGTCGTCTCCGAGCGTGGGATTCCGGCGATGTGGTAGCAGGCGTCAATTTGCTGTGCCACAAGGGGTTTCGTCGGTGCAACAAATACGAGCTTGGCTTGCTTGGTCCAGCGGTGAAAGTTGAGCATCACAGTCGCGGCGATGAAGGTTTTACCGAGACCAGTCGGCAGCGCTACCAGGGTGTTGTTGAAAAGACTGTTCTTCACGATGCTGAATTGGTAATCTCGGGTAGCACCCAAGTTCGTAGGGTACACCCAGGTCTCCATCGCTTCTTTGTCGAGTTCATGGTGACTCGGCTCCTCACGAGGTAGGTCGACACGGAAAGCTCTGTTTGTTGCGGGTTGGGATAGACTTGGGCCATCAGGGAATAGGGATCCACCAAAAAGGGTGGTTTGACGGTAATTTCCAGAGTTTGTACGGCTCAGCCCTGTGCGGGGAGCCGGTCCTGTTGAGATGGTTCGTGTGAGTGCCCGTGCTGGGGCGGGTTCTGGGGATGAGAATGCGTCTGAGGGGAGGTCTTCTAGCTCAAGGGAGGCGGCAATAACAGAAGCTTGTTGGGTTTTCGGAGGAAGAGAACCACTTGCAAGCCCGGAAGATGCTAATGCAGCACTCTGGGGGCCAGTAGATGAAGACACCTGGTCAAATGCAGTGAGAAAGTCCTCATCGGCGATCCCATCATCGAATTCGTCGCTGTCCATGGTGAACAGGCAGACAGACAATGATTCGAGAAGTGGTAGAAGTCGTCGGGGGTCAACTAAGGTCAAGTGAGGTCAACTCCCAAGATTTAATGCATCTCGGGGACTGTGAATCGATCGTGATTTTGGCGTGAAACCCTGTTGCGGTGCTGATACCAGGCTGTATGAATGAGAGACGCGTCGCAGTGGTTGATCAATCGGGACTGGGCGGGTTAAGTGGAACGCGAAATGGTTACCACATCACGTGACTCATTCACCATCACAGCTTAAGGTACCTAGGTACCCAACTTGAACCGTTATAGCTCAACCTCAAGGCAAAAATGAATGTCGAGATACTATATTCTAGCATATAAGAGTTTAGGGCCCCATTGTCGAGCCTTGAACCCCAAGTAGCTACCTCCCGAGCCAAGACGCAGGATGCTGGTACACGCTGTATACATCTCGCCCCCGTTTGCAATCGACACTAGCCTGGATTACTACATACTAAATCACGGCTCCATGACCAAGGACTTGATTATCTTTGTCCAAAAAAAAACGTCTTTGTTAATTAGATCAAGGTGCAATAACATAACGCTGTCGAGTGCGTCACGCGGACACCCAGAGTCATGTTCTGCAGTCTGGTTCATGCGCTAGGCCGTATTAGGCAAGCAAGGCTGCCTGAGCGCCTGGAGCCTGGAACACACCAGTGCTCCAGTGGGGCACTGGATAAACTCCCACTTCTTTCTGCAACAAGGCCTTGAACCTGGCAAACCTCCTTCAACTTTTCCACACAATACGGAACCGAATCACTCAGCCGACTCGAGCAACACGGCCGCCGCCCTTGCTCAATCCAAGCAGACACACACGGCGAGAGAGGAGACTGTATCCGTACCACTTTTCTTCAACTCAATCTCGCCACCGCCGCTATGGCTCCCCGAGGCCGTGGGGGTGCGCCCGTTGGTCGCGAGACGCGAAGTTCAGCTATGAAGTCAAAGACGGCCAAGACCACGAGGGGCGGCATTCAGAAGCGAGGTCGCGCTTCTACCCGTGCCGATGGCGATGGCGACCTCGACATGGATAGCGCAGGTGCGCGCACCAAGAAAACCACACCCGCCGACTCGAACACCACAAGAACTCGACCTTCCACTCGTGCTGCGACATCGCTGAATGCAAAGGGCCCTTCGAGAACGGCTCAGAATGTGCTCAAGCACCTGACCAACGGCTCTGCGTCATCTCTTGCCTCGCGCATATCAGGTGCAGCTTCCGGCAAGGGCAAGGGCAAGGGTCGACAGCAAGACATGTCCGGCCTGTCGGTTTTGCGCGTTGGCGGTCTCAAGCAGAGTAAAGCTGCAAGTAACCCTGGCGGAGGACTGGACGATCTCCTTGCCTTCATGGAACGGAAGGCTTCATCATTCCTCACCGGACGACACAAACGAAACATTGCGATAAAGAAGGTATGTTATTGACACAACTCCAGGTGCACAACTACACGGCTGTAGTCCCAGCTCAACACGGGCAAGGAGACAATGATCAAACCAGGGCTGCGTCCCACCAGCCGAAAAACCACCCTCCCGCATCGGAGCATCACATCCAACACGGCTGCTAACTCGATGTAGAGCCATTACGTCGGCGACTACGTTTATATAGGGGCGAGCGAGGCGGACGCCGAAGAGTTGATCAAGCTGAACACCTTCACTTTCGCCGGCACGCCTTTGGAGGTTATCCAAGCAACCGACATGCCAGAAAAGGGCAACAGAGCGGTTGAATCCAAGGACACGCAAGAGCTACGATCCAGACTTCAATCGATTCTCAGCCAAAGGTACTTGGGCGACAACAAGCTTCTCAAACTCGATTCCCTCGCATCGGACACAGACTTGGTCAGCCTTGGCATGTTTGACAACCGAGAGCGAGCTCTTAAGACATTCAAAGGTCTCATGGCCATCTGTGATGGTCTCTTCAAGACGGACAAAGAAAAACAGGACGCCATTGAAAGCATCAGTCTTGCCAACAACAACATTGACGATGTGGTCCAGGTTGAGGTGGTGGCCACAACCTTCCCCCATCTCAAGAACCTCGATATGAGTGGGAACCAAGTTGCTGATATGCAACGCATGGATCGCTGGAAAGGGAAGTTCAAGCACCTTGAGACGATATTCATGACTGGAAACCCCATCGAGGTGGCCGATCCGAACTTCCAAGTGACTCTACTTGAGTGGTTCCCAAAGCTGCAGAGTGTAAACGGACACCAACTTCGAACCCCTGAGCAGATTGCAGAGAAGGAGGCTGCGTCGAGACCGAAGGCGATCCCGCAAAACGGACCCGACTTCCGCGATGTCGGCGGTGTTGGGGAGAACTTCCTCTTGGAGTTTTTTACCTGTTACGACAACGACCGACCCGGCCTCGTTTCGAGATTTTACGACGAGGACAGCCAATTCTCCGTATCCATCGATACACGCTCTGTCAGAAATGCAGACGCCCCCCCACCTATGCCTTGGGCATCATACATCAAACTATCCCGGAATCTAACCAAGATCAACTATCAAAACGCCCGAGTGCAGCGACTTTTCCAGGGTGCCAACACTATTGGTGATGCCTGGAAGACGCTCCCATTCACCCGGCACCCCGACATCAAACAGGAGCTGAGCAAATACATTATGGACTGCCACCCGATGCCCGGCTTGGTGGACCCCAATGGCCAAAACTCGATCGGAGTCGACGGTCTCATCATCGCAGTACACGGCGAATTCGACGAACACGACCAGACGGCCAATACAACTGGCAAGCGCAGCTTCTCGCGTACGTTTATTCTGGGTCCGGGAAAACCAGGAAGGGGAATAATCCGGGTTGTGAGCGACATGTTATCCCTCCGAGCCTACAGCCCCCTTCCCAACGTCTTCGCAGCATCTGTCCCGGAGCCAGCAACTCCAAACCAACACCAGGCGATGATTGCGGAACTCTCGAAACAAACCGGTATGACGCCGCAATACTCGGAAATGTGCCTGACCCAAGTAAATTGGGAGTTTGACAAGGCCTTGGTTATCTTCAATGAGAAGAAGGTGAGTGGATCTCAATTGGACGTATTGGACGATGGACTAACGGGTTTACAGTCACAACTTCCGCCAGAGGCGTTCGCCGTGGCTACTCAATAAAGGGCAGGGTTTATCTAAGATGTTCGAACATGGAGGGGCAGGGTCAGTTCTCAAGAAATCTCCAAGCACAAGCCCGATGGCAAAGGAATTGGGGCATCAGGAAATAACGTGCAAAGATAAAAAAGTAAGGGGTGGCGGACGGTTTGAGAAGCGATTGTTTGGGTCAATGTCGGAGTTTACAGGGGCGATTCGGGCAAACTATAGACGGCCTAAGGGGGACGATCCGAGCCGATGCAAATTGATGAATGCCTCGGGACAGGAGGATCGGCTTGTATAGAATAAGATTTCGGGTGTAACAGACAAATTGATGCATGGCACCACAATTGACTATTGAGATGAAGTAACGTGACATGGTTAAAGATGCGGCACGGTTCGGTATGGAGGCACGCTCGGGTGAAACAAAGCAGACCATGCGTCGAGTTTGCCAAGGTGAACCCTTCACCAACTTGTACGTAGAGTGCAGCAGGTAAGGGGATGCGGTTGGCTGGCGGATATGTGATATTGAGGGATGGGCGAAAACACCTGTAGAAACAAATTTGATCATGCGGGTAGGCGACTCGACAATTGCCAATGGCGTCGGATTCTGGTTGGTTGGCCTGTATTGCTTTCGACAAATGCTGCTCCGTGTTGGCACAAGATCGTGTGGAGATCGCAGGCGACCAATCGGGCGTTGCGGCTGGTAGGCCTCGAATCTTCGACATGATGCACACGAGGCGCGCGCCTTGGTTCGGCATGGTGCCGTGACGAGCAGAAGATTGCATCTCAGATGATGAACCACTGAGGAGGTGCATTTGAGTAGCTTGGCTGCAGGGTAGGGGCCGTCACTGGGCTGGCGCTTACGAAGGCATCGTGATCACGGGCGCCACTGGGTACAGGCTGAGATTGGCTGGAGGTGACAGTGAGCGGCTGGTGGAGCCATCATGCAGCGGCAGTGGCCGATTGGAAAGGAAGGTCAGCTTGTCGGCGGCCAGACCGTTCATCTGTAGACACATCTGTAGACAAGAGCTGTACTCACTTACTGTGCAGAATGTGTGCATGTAGGCCAGTTTTCTGGCCGCCGGCTAGCGGCAGCAGATATTGCTCCAATAGATGGGAATCTGTCTGTTCTAGCATTCATTCTACGGGAGACATGTGATTGTCAAGCGCCGGCTTTCAGGAAGCTGTTTGGCGAAATAGTGGGCTGGCTTGGGATGGGATAGGACAGGACAGGATAGGATGGATGACACTTGAGACAATCTACCGTCGAGCCGCATGCGCGTTTGAAGGTGAATGATGTCAAAGTCTGAGGTTTACTCTGTAGTGTTGGAGCCGGCCGAGGATCCGCCATCCGTTATCAAACATGTTTAGGTATCTGAGTCGAGGGAGGGGATGGAAGTGGGCTGATGGATGTTCCTTGCATCTTGGATATTGCTGTTGAAGCCCGGGACCTTTATGCATGCCTGGTCAACGCTTGGACGATCGTGATGACTTGTGCTGCAGCATCAATCCCGACATTCATGGTTGTGGATTGATAGGCATTTGGCAGGTTCTAGCATTGGCTGGGTCTAGGATTCTGGCTCCATCCGCAGAGAAACTTTCCCAGGATGGAATAATGATGTGCGTTGGGGGCCGGGACGGCGCATTGGGATTGCGATTGTGTGAGACGCCGTGGCTTCGGAGCAATGGCAAACACGATGGTGGAGCGAATGTTATCGATGGGACGATGAGGATCGACGTGTCGCCCCGCCTCGTGCTCCTCCTTCGAGACTTTAATCACAACGGTCCGGCTTGCAAGTGAGCCACCTGGGAGCTATCCGAAAATGTACTGTATCGACGTACCGCACTTTACCTTGTGTGGTAGGTCGTCAGTCAATGCTCCGCCAGCGACCCAGCGCGCATAAGAGGACAGCCTGAAGAGGATGGAGAGAGCCAGAGATAGAAACGACTAGTACGAAAGTACGTGTAGCACCGTACCCACAATCGCAGGGATCATGGATTAAGAATTTAGCTGGACAATGCAAGGGGAGGCCGCCATGGCGCGTTTCACAAGAGAGGCCACGAGTGGAGTGGCCGAGGGACCCCAGACATGCTGGTGACGCTGGTTGGTGGATTGCGGCCGGGAGTATGGACATGGCATGGCCGTAGACGGTTCCATGGTGAAGACACCATGAGGGTATCACTCACCACCATGGTGCAACATCGAGGACTCGCAAGCGAACGGGCGAATAGCCGAGAACATCGTAGCCGGGAGCAGGGCCTGCCTCCCGTCCGTAATTCTCACTGACGGATTTGTTCCAATCTTGTTCGGCCGGTGAGTCGCCGACCGTCGTCAGCCAGCAAGCGAAGTCGATTCACCCCGGCGCGGAAACACGCTGATGTAAATATCATCCCGTCGCGACGGAGCGTGTCAGGTTGAGAGGGTTAGAGGAGCAAAGGAAGACCGAGCCACGGTGCCGGTTACGTGGATAGCATTTCACTCCGTTACACATTGAGACCTTTCCGTCGTCGTGTCGCGGGCAAAGGCATGTATCTCGTCCCAACACGCCGTTAGCGGGCATGCTGCTGCGTACGGGTGGCGATGCGTCGACCACGTTCTCGCCCCTCCCCCTCGTCGGCGATTCCAGAAGACAAACGGCGTGGTGAGCCTGCAGAGATGACCGCAGCGCTGCGTGCCAAGCCGCAGAGAACACGGGCGACGCGCGCCTGACGACTCATTACTCGCGTCCGTTCCTGTGCTCTGGGAGTCCAGCCTGTGCGTGCGTTGCATTGGCTGTCCACGCGCTCATCGCACAAGCGTAATAGTTCGTTTGGCAATAGCATCACGCACACGCACGCTTGATGGAAAAAGGGTTGGCGAGCGCAACAGAGGAGAGCACCAAGAGGCCAAAGATCCAATAGTTCTTGCCCCTATTGCCTGGGGGGTTGCGTTTGATGAATGGGGGAGAGGCCGATTATATTACCCTCCCAGGGATTCCCAAGGTTGCATGCCCGCGCGTGTGCATGCCCTGAGGCAGCCCCGAAGAGTCCCCTGAGGAGGAGCCCGCTTCTGGTCCCCTACCGTCGTCGAGAATACCCCGAATGCCCTGAAGACCACCGTCGACTACAGCGATGCCACCAATCGGCAGGCTGCGCAGGCCGCCGGGACCCCTGCGCCAGGCGACATGGAACGTTTGTTGCACCGCGTGATTAGCGAATGGGAGGCGGGCTGCCCCTGAGGGCTGAATGCTGGTGAGCCATGGCTGCATTGGGCGCTGGGCATCGGGAGCGCGCCAGCCTCTTTGGGCGCCCCACGCCCGTCTTCAAGGGACTCGTGAAGCAAGAGCAAACGCAGGCACCTCACTTCGTATCTGACCTATCCGAGAGCCCCAGTCCCTGCGCCATGTCGACGGCCCCAGCTAACCCACCCCGATGTCCCCAGGTACGTATTTTATGCAGCCCCGGCTCCCTCTGAATCCGCTGTTGGCGGCTGGGTTGCGATCCAATGCGTCTTCATTCAAGTGCCCCTAGCAGTAACTTAGCCTGCGAAGTCGTAGCCAGCGCGGGCACGGATGACGACGAGGGGACCTGGAAGCTTAGCCCTGCTGCTAAACGGTGCGAGGCATGGTCGCCCAGCTGTACTACGTAGCGCAGTAGGATGCTGTGCCTATCTCTCTTCACACCCCTGTCTGGCTTCTCTCTGAGCCTGCCTACTGGCTCGTACCCCCTGTGCTCACCCTGGCCTGGGCTTGTCTCGCGCTCTGCTGAGGCTTGGGTGGGCAAACGGCGCGCAAGGGCATGGGCATGGGCATGGGCTGTAGGCCGCTTGTCTCGCCTCTGCCACTCCGCTCGCTCGGTGTCTCGTCTGTCTCTCCGTCTGTCTCGCTGCTCTACTCCTCCTCTCCTGCCTTCTCGTTTGCTGCATTCGCGCTTGTTTCCCCCCGTGCTTTTTTCACGTTTTGCTGTCATTCCAGACCTCGCAACACCGTCTGGCACGAGAGCGAGTTCGAGGCTTTCTGCCCGTGGCCATTGTTTGAATCCCCTCCTTCCTGCCAACGCGAACCAGCACACCACGCTCCATTCCTCCCGGCTGCCCAGGGGCTCCTGCCAACGCTCGACCACGCCGCATTCCCCATTCCCGCGACCACGACGAAGCCTATTTACGCCCATCCCCTCCGGACGGCCCTCTTGCGATTCGAAGCCTCTCCTCGATCTTTCGTCGACCTCGTTCTCTTCCCTCGCACCTGCGGTGTTGAGCTCTCGTCGACAATTGTCCGAATCCTTTCCTTTGAGTTCCGTCGTGAACAACCGCTCCTTTGACAACAAGCTGTCAGTCCGCTGCACTCGGCCAGCCTTCAGCTTTCATCCACAGCCTCGCTTGCTCGTAGCTGTCTTGTCCGCTCACTTTCTGCGTCGTAACGTCACGCCTTCTTTTCCACCGGATCCCGTGCCCCTCTCTTTCGACGCGCCGGTACTCTCTTTTCGATTGTCGAACTCGACGACATCAACCGCTACTGGCCCGTGGCCGTACGACTGAGCACACCCGCGACGACAACTCATTCCCGAAATCGAACTTGCCACGCCATGTCCTCATAAGGCCACTGATTTTAGTCTCAAACGCCTTCCTTGGTTATCCTGGGAAATTCGATCGCAATGAGTTTGCCCGACCCACCCACGTCGCTGGACGGCTCTTGCTCCGTCATCCACGATGGCAAGCTTTACTCCTACTCACCCTCGGGGTTTTTGTCTCTCGCCATGAAAAAAGATGCAGAATGGGAGGAGCTGACGATGGGAGAGGTGGTCTCTGGGGCCGTCTGTGTTGATGCTTCCAGTGCCGGAATTCTCTGGATTGTTGGTGGAACTGGCGGTTCAGACGCATATACCGGCCTGCAGAAGTACACATACTCGACTGGCGAGTGGACCACCGTCACCCCCACTAACCTGATCTCCAAGAACCTCCAGTGGCATGGTTCGACCTACATCCAGGACAGCGATGCCATCCTCATCTACGCTGGTAGCCGCGATGGAGTACAGGCCGCCTCCGCCGAAACCTGGACCATCCAGGCATCCGAACCCTTCAACGTTATATCCCACAACCCTAGCTCCCATCCGGCAATTAGTCCTATTCTTCTGAACTGGAGTACTGCCGAGTCTTGCTTCGTTGGCGGCGATGTCTCAAACACTGCTGTTCCCATCTTCAACATTAATAACGGCTGGAGAGAATTCTCTACTCTTGAGCAACCCCTGACCAAAGACTTGACTTCCATGCAGGCTGTTATTGTTGATGGATCAGATAACTCCAAGAACCTCCTCACTTTCGATCTCTCGACATCCCCCAACGAAGTCCGTCGATTTGTTGTCCAGGACGCCGGTGGTGCTGCCATTGCCAATTCTCCCGTCATTGCCAAGCGTGACCTCACTGTCAGTGAGTGGCCCGAGTACAACTCCACTCTTGCCCCGACTGCCACCCGATCCAACTTCGCCGTTGCCCAAGGAAACGGTCAAGTTGTCTTCTCGGGCGGCAACGCCAACGAACCTATTGCAATGTTCGATGTGACAGAGAACTCTTGGCTCAATGCTACCAAGGTGTTTGCCGGTGTCGCGGAACAACAGATTCTGGACACCTCGTCAACAACTTCTTCCAAAACGAAAACCTCCAAGACTAAGTCAACCTCTACTAAGACTAAGTCCTCAACTCTGACCTCGGATGCGTCATTGACTACGGATGCGTCATCGACCTTTGCCACCTCCACTGTATCGTCAACGGCCTCCGGATCTTTGACACTCTCTGATACTAGTGCCACGGCAACAGCCACCTCAACCGAGGCTGCCGCTGTCGCTGGAAGCAGTGGTGGTTCCGGCCTGGGCTCGAATGCTGTGCTGGGTATCACGCTTGGATCAATTCTCGGATTCCTTGCCGTCTTGATTTTGCTTCTGTTATTCATGCGCCGGAAGAAGAAGAGTCAGAACCAGAATGACCAGGGCAACCACAACAGGGGCCTGTCCTCCGACGAGAAAGCCCCCATGGTCTTTTATGACGCCCCTCCCCCGACCTCTTCGCCTGGCCATCTCCTTGGTCACAACTCCCAGATGTCTCAAGAATCTTATTCGTCTATGGCTATCTTGATGGGTCGTGCCGGAAAGCCCAAGCCGTCGGGCTTGAGTCGGAAGCCTAGCCACGACACCACCCGAAGCTCCGTCAGCTCTTTGCACAAGCAGCTGAAGGCTACTATCGGCAAACCTGTTTTGCAGGAGATGCAGCATCCTGCCCTGCAGAACCAAGAGCCTCGGGGAGTTGCTTTCGACCCGAGTGTGGCTGAGCCCAGACCCCGACAACCAGGACCGATGGATACTGAAGATGGAATGCGAAGAAGCTCTGGCTGGAACCGGTACTGGTCCGGGGGTAGCGCTCTGCAGATTCTTGGCTTCGGCGGTCCTAAGAGAGCCACTGGTGTCTCAGATGACCAGAGCTCGCATTACTCACAAACGACCACTCAGACCCACAACCTGCCTCGTAACCCCAGAGTCACCCAAGACTCGGCTACTGTGCCACCTCTGAACTTTGAATTCCGCCCTGAGTTCAACCGTGTCAATTCGGGTAGTCCCGTGGTGGAGCAGTATGGTAATATTCCCTTCAGGGAGGGAGTAGCTGGAAAGATCGAACGCCCTTCTTCAAAGGTGTCATCTTCAGGCTATTCCAGCGGCATCCCGGAGAGCGTCAACGACCAGTGGGAATCACACCAGTCAGCAAAACCCTGGGGCGCTGACCGGGCGACAAGCAGTGTCTACAACCCCAGCTTTTACTTTGGGACACCACTCTCACCGGGTCTGCCACCCCCACCAGGCGCTCCGTCGGGCGTGAGCAACCAACCCCAGCTCGCCATGGCATCAACATCTTCCGATATGAGCTGGCTGAACCTTGGCGACCGGCAGCGAGTGTAGAGCAGACGCAGCGTTGACGAATAGTTATGACGCCCAACTCAAGTCCCTTCTGCGCGCGCCCTTCTGATGAGCCACCGATATACCCATGATGTTCTTGGGAGCATCGTCCCCTTCGACTGAATACCTGCTGAGGCTGCCGACATGGTTCTGCATTATTTGCATTGAACTAGCCAACAGTAGTGCCACAAACAGCATCTCACTCGCTCTTTTCTTTTTGTGTCTGATAAACCCGCACATCCCCGTGCAGACTCTCCCTCGCTCCCTCGTGGGGACTTACACCCCCCGGAGGAGAGACAGCTTTCTTTTTCTCTTCGTTTTAACAACCAACGCATGACTCGGCGTCGACATATCTCCGTCTCGACCTAATCTGTCTCATATTCGTTTCTCTTTCCTACGTTTGCTTTTGCCTGTACATTCTAGACGCTGGCCCGGGACTGGTCATTTTCTCGATGGATTATTGTGTTCTTATGATACCACCATCTCCTGTTGCATGTAATCGGCTTAGAAAGCCTGGCGGAGGAGGAGGGAGAAGGAGAGCAAAAAAGACACAGGGTGGTGTGGTAGTAGAAGAAAGACAAGGGGGCGCGGTTGCTGGCCGAGGTTGAGCGGCGGCAACTGATTTTGTATGTACCATTGTACGTGGTGGAGAGAAGTAGTCGAAGCAGGGGCTGCAAAGCCAAACTTCAATAAAACGACGTAAAATCAACTGATGAGAGAACCAGTGGAGCTCAAGACTGAATGATGATAAAGTGGACGATGGGCCCACGCTGTCAGTCGGATCGTGCGAAGCAACTGAATGTGGTTGATCAAGAAGGATTAAACAAGTAGCCTTGGTGACATACTCTCTACTAATAACTTTCTCCTGATTATTCTAGTGAGGCCCAAAGTTTTGTCAGGGACGGGCCGAGCCTTTGTCCAACGAGGTTACGATCACGCTGCCGCTTTTATACTTGGATACTTGGATGCTCATTTCTGAAAGACAGCCACTTGGATCGGTTCATTTGAGGTTTGGGTGGGCATGAGCTCGAAGTAACGTACGTGATACCGGCGGTGCCTTGGGTGCGTCAAGACGCATGATGCGTCACCTCGTCAATGATGATCCGCTCAGTAGAACCGCCCCGCTCGCCTTCAATAAGTGCTCCTTATTTATCGTCATGATCGTCGGATCAAACCCTGGCTGCTCCTCGTTCATCCAGAGAAACCCGGGGATTGTGGGCTTAGTTAGATATGCCGAATAACACCCTCAGACAGACGGGAACACTGAGATGTACAACCAGTACGATCCACCGACTACGACCGTTTATCAACCATTACCAAAACGACTGGAGTGGACTACTGCCATCGATGGACTACGCGTACTACGCGTAGATAAATCTCTACCATGAAGCACTGGGCATGGAACCGGTGAGACTGTTCCCCAGCCACTTGCCTCGATCTCAACTCGGCTGGGATAAGAGAACCCTTAAGGCTTGGAATAGCCTGCGTAGCTAGCCTAGTAGACTCACCAAATACATATGGTTGACCTCGCAATCAAAAATATTCTCGGCTACTTATTGATCTTGTGTCAGCATCGTAAAGCACATTCACGTTGGGTTTATATATGGATGCTACAACCCCGTCACTTCGGCAACTAAGGCATCGTCGACTACCCGTGTTCGCAAAGCAAGATCCGGAGGCGTCGGTAGTAAGATAATGGAATACCGAAATGTTAAATCGGGTTACGGTCGCATTGAAGAAGGACCCTGAAGCAGACATAATTGCCCTCTTGACGCCTATATATTCGAAGAAGCTGGAGTCATTTAAGAAGCTCTGTAAGCTGCTTCCTATAAAAAACAGTTCCTGATCTAATTGTGACTATGCAGTTTGTATGCACTCTAACGCCAGTACGGTTAGGCCAGTACCTCAGGATTACGATATCTATACCCAACTTAATGCGACTGATCTATCTATCGTCATTTTCAAACCATCAATCAAGCTAGAGGCTCTTCTGTATAATAATATTGGCCTCTTAGAAAATATTATAAATCTATTAGCCGACAGCAAAGTTCTTTATGTAAGTGCTTGAGTTATATCTATAATAGTCTTCAAACTCAACAAATCTTACACCTCCCTACCATCTCCAAACTCTTTATACTCTTCTTGCTTGTCTTCTTTATCTCCACCGCCAAAGTCCTGCCTGTAAAAAGGCAACATACTACCACGTCCAGCCTGCTAAATCTCAGAAGTAATTATTTTATTACTGTATATCGAGTCCGATATTTCTAATAAATAGTTCTGGCAGTTCTAAGAGAGACCTTCGCCTGGTACTGGTATTGCCTCTACTGCTGAACTGAGCGTAGATAGCTATTGCGCGTCTATCGTCTCCAGCCCTAGAGGGGCTGGAGGTATCTGGACGAGTTTGTTGGATTTGTTTGCCGCGCAATCTGCTAAAACGGATCCTCCTGTTGGTCCTGGATGACTTCGCAAAGAAGCCAATCTCTTGTTGTATGGCGATAGAGTGCAAGACCCCAATGATAATAGTTTCCAAAATGAGGGTTATAGAAGGCGCAGTAGACGTCTACAAGGTCTTTTCCAGAGGAGGGTCTTGCTTATCGCTCGACTTGGGCTTGTTCGACTTAGACCTGATATACCGAGGGTCCTTAGGCCGGCGAGGACTGGTTATTGGAGGCATGTCAAACGGGATGCGTGGGTGAAAATACGAAACTTCTTGATGGAAAAGAGTAGAAGATGGACTTTATAAAGGCTAGAGGTTGTTTCTTACTGTTCAGACATTAGGCTCAGTGATGAGCGTAGCTAATAGCAAAGATGGACCAACTCTCATGGGGATTTGCAGTGCTTCATAACCTTATCCCTAGAATGGGATAAAACTTTCCGTCTAAGAGGAACTGTCGCGGAGCCGAGCCTCTAGCCCTGGCACACTGATGGTGGAGTACGTATAGAGTGATGTACTTCTATAGTTGGCGTGTTGCATACATACAGACGACCATTCTGCCAGAATAATGGGGAACTAGCAACCTGTTCACCTCTAGCCGGTGAGCTATCGCGTATGCACATAACAAAGATGCATTTGTAACTCGGAACCCTGGCGTGAGAGGGACTAGAACGACTGCAGAAGGGCGGCCGGTTCATGGCGCAGCTTTACACGCAATGATGCATCAAGCCCGCATGTTCTATTACCTGTCACTCTTGAAATCGCACTTGTGGCGTTTGCAATTTGCCCAGAAATTCTCCTCAGCAGGGTTTCCGGTCCAGCGCCAACCCTGGAAAAGTGTCGGAGTTGATAACGCCTGGAATATCCGAGCTATCCCATTGTACAATATTCGGTGAAACATGCCCTCACCGACAGTGCGGGCAAGCTGTATCACAACTTCACACTGGAGAATATGTGTATGGACGCATCGTCCTTTTAATTGGTATTTCCGCATCTATCTTACTCAGTCCCTACTTTCAATGCTTTGAGGTATAGCTTCTACCGGGTAGTTCTGAGAACGCTGATGAGATGGCACGGCCGATCGATCCCGTTGACTCGCTGATGGCGCCAGAGCTCCCGGCTTGGGTCTTGAGGCCGCTCACTACCTCTGATCAAGAGTGACAAGCATGGGGGACGAACCTTTCTTCGATACACTGCTGAGTTGAACGAAGACACACGCCAAAGGAAAGAACACATCCTTCGTCGCATCTGATAGAACGGGTGCATGAATAGAAGCTCTTTACATTTGGCTAATTGGCAACTTGAAGTAGACCTGACATACATGGAGGAAAATGACCATCTTCAGACCGGTCCCAGGGATGCGAGTTATTGAGACCAGTCCCGGAAGACCGCTATCAGTAGGCGTTTGGGGTCTGAATAAAAAGCAGGCAAGCCAAATACGGCTTTGATAACCAATAGATGTGACATGCTCGGTGCTTCTTCCCATCACTACCGTCCTCATATCAACATTTGACATTCTTCAAAGTGTCGACCTTCAAGGGCCGCCATCGAGTCGACGTGTCAAATTTGGAACGCTTTAAGACAAACCCATTCACAAAAGGATTTTCTGAACAGCCGTATTCTTGAAGTGACGGAGCACAGATGATGTCGATCGGGGCCCCATGGCTCGGGGGACGGTATGGATCCATGGCCTCCATTAGAGGATGATCCTCTATATATGCGAACCCTGAGTGCTCGAGTGTATCGGGGTGATGCATATCGAGCTCGTAGCGCCAGGGTGACGTCTGTATCCTCACTTCTATTTCGGTGGCCGTATCGGCCATACAGTCCAATATCTCGCTTGCCTGAGGCGAGATTGTCATGAACCGGCCCAGCCGCTCTGTCAAGATGTTCTTAATGCGTTTGGGGTCGGAGCTGTTGCCGTTTAGCGCATATGTCATGCGGGCCGACTCAGATTTCCAAGAATAAAACCAATTAGCATAATTACTGCTGGGATCCTTAAGGCGTTCTGGATGTAAAGAAAAGTCAGCTTCTTTTGCTCTTGTGTGCTTTGTATTAGGGTCCACCATATACCTCGAAAATGGGACTGCAGAGTCCCAAAGCTCTTCCAAGCCTCGCCATGCCACTTTTCAGTGCAGTCAGGGGAGAAGAGGTTGTCAATTAGGATATGCCACGTCAATGCTTGGAGGACAATTTGCTTGTGTTGCGGGTATATAGAGTTGGCGTAGCTCTTGATGTTGTTCCCCAGAGCTTCGAGCTCGCGTTGAGCATCAACAGCCAACTTGTCCCAAGGGATAGCTGTGCAAGAATTGAGGTGTAATGAAATTTGGCCCTCAACGTCCCCAACCAGGTCAGATACGGCGTCAAAGGAGAGGTCCTCTATTACGTCGGTGACGACCTTCAAGCGGTCATACTCATCGGTCGTAAAGGCGGATGAATCCACCTCTTTGGGACAAGTGAAAGGCCATAGAGGGAGTACAGTTCCAAGGAGCTGCTCATAGTCATCGATCGTGGGTGGGACGCTTTCTTTGGACATGCCATCCTCGTAGCCAGGGTTCAAGCCACCTTGGAGAGCAATGCCTTCGCGGTTGCTGGCCATGTCGATGTCCGCAGTGCCTTTGTGGTTTCCGCCCGGATCGGCCGAGTCGACAACAGCCATATCGGCTTCGTGTTGAGGGCTCTGGCTGCGTTGTAGAGCGGCGTCTTCGTGATCACTAGCCATATCGCCAGCAATGTCTGGCCCTTTGGGGGCGGCTTGGTGAGGCTCTAGGATCAGGTTGGGCTTCCGTTCCGATGCTCGTTTGACCCTCTTAGTCGAAAGAGGAGGTGGACTGTCTGTTAGCCTAGTGGGGTATTTAAGGGGAGCGGCTCTCTTGACAGCTCTGGGAGTCTTGGGAGCGGTGCCGAGAGCCGTGCCGGGACCCTCGGCCTTTGCTTTCTTTCTCACCATCTTAATACCAATGGAAATGACTTGGCGTATGGCGGTTAGTGCTCTGTTGTGATGTGTCACCAAAAGACGCGGAGAGTGACAGATTGGCCGGGATTGGGCTGGAAAATTGCAACGGGGGTGACAAGCTGAGGGGGAACCTGCAGTACCACGCAGTCTCAGGTATGAATGCAGACGACCTTGCTTATGATTGCGACTTCCTGCTCCTCTAAGGGACCAAATCCGAAGGGCAGTGCTACGGAGGGGCTTCAGGAAGGCTTACACGAACAGCACAGGCCAGAAGGGAGACAACTTCTTTGTCTACAGCCGTCCTCCTGACCTGACTTAGGACCACCGCCTTGACCACACCATTCCCGACAAATAACGCAAGAGTAGTCTATCCGCCAGTACTCCAAGTGGCAGAAATTTCATTGTTGTTGGCGTCTCCTTGTCGTTGGCGTCTCCTTGCAGCTAAGCCGTTCGCCTACTGTAGTCAGCCAGCCAACAGTCGAGACCGCCTTATTGATTCCGGACGCAAGCCCGTCAAAGATGACAGAGCCTGTGCGAACGTTCACGACATCTGACCGATCGCGGCGAGGCCATGGCAATTTGCCAAGGCAAACAAAGGTCATCTCTGCAGGGAGAGGACGGGACACCGCAATCTGATGACGGCTAAACATGCTGTTTGGAAAAGCACGCTCCGCACAGAGCAAACAAGCATGGTCATGGTCAGAGCTGAATGTCTCGTTTGGCAAGCTGCATGGTGGCTTGAGGTCGGTCAAGCTGGATGCCGCCGGGCCAGTCAGTGTACTACCCGAGTGGGAGTGAAAAGGAGGGCGAGATGGGAGTCGTTTCGCTATGGTAAGTCTGTGGCCCAGACTGTAAACGACTCATTTATTCATGGATACGGTAATGCGACGGTTGTAAAAAGAGGCAGACGGTCATCACTCAAGCAATCGAGGCGAGTTCCGTTCGAGCTTCACTTTGTCGCTGTTCAAGAGACCCTTTTCCCTTCCCCACCACAGGAAGCGTGGGCGAACAGAACACCACGGGTAGGGAAGCTGCATCACAGTGGACACATCAAACTTGCTGTTGCCGGCCTCTCACTCTTGCGCAGGCTCATTGCGATCCACATCATTGCTGCACGTTGAAGTGGCGGCACTCAGGGCTGGGAGGCCAAGGTACATATCAAACGTACCAGTGAGACGATTGCGAGCTGGCGACTTGAGCTCAGCGGATGTTACTCAGGGACAACTGACCTTTAAATAGTCACTCGCACCCTCCTCGGGGATCTTCTCTCTCCAAGAACCATCGATCGATTCCATCCTGTCTCATTCCCCTTCTCCCTCTGTCTAAATTCAGGCACAAGGATCTGCTGAAAGTCGGAGAGAACGAAGACAACATGAATTCTTCCATTATCCATGTCTACATCGGTTTAGACTTTGGGACGACGTAAGTAACCGCTGGCTACTCTTCTCTGGCACTACAATCTCTGACGCTGCTCACCAAAGGTTTTCCAAGGCAGCCGTGGCGAGATATCCTGGCGTCAAACCGGCGGTGGCTGTCATCCCCTCCACCCTAGTACGAAATACCGTTTCGAACGATGTCGAATTCGTTCACTCTCGTCCTAGGACCATTGAGCACGCCAAGACCATGCGATATCTCAAGCTCGCACTCATGGAGCCCGAAGGTCATCATGACGAGCGGTCCGACCCAAACCTCCTTCAATTCATCCAGGACGAGCTCCGGACCAACGCAGCTTCTGCAACCCCGGGGACCAGCCACGCTTCGATGGTCCTCAAAGGCCTTTGGGACATGGCGATTAGGAACTTGTCGAACGAAAATTGCCTCTTGAATGTAGCGATTACATACCCTTCCTGTTGGGACACACAGGAGCTGGGACGATTGCAGAAGGCGGTTAACGAAGCAGAGATCCCGAGACAAGCGACTACCATACAATACGTGCCAGAACAAATAGCGGCGGCATTTGGAGTTGTTCATGAGTACCAAAACGAGATCGTGCAAGATCTTCAGGTACGTGTGTCCATATGTGCTATATACTGCCTCAGGGCGACGCTGACATGCCTACCTTATAAGGCGGAGATTCGATTATTGTGGTTGACTGCGGCGGGGCTACAATAGTAGGCTCAATAGCTATCTCTATCCTGACCTGAAGCTGACTTAATACTTACCATGCATTTAGGATTCCGCGCTTTGCAAGCTCAAGCCGTGTCCAGTCCGAAATGTCGTCCCAGGAGACTGTGTACATGGAGAATCGTCCCTCTACGGCACTAAGGCTATGGAAATTGCATTTGAGACCCTGATCTCTAACAAGCTCTCCCGAGCTACTATCCCTATGTCCATTGATCCTGAAATGGTGAAGAGTGCTGCTCGTATGGACTGGAACAGAAGCAAGCTTCCAGGAGTAAACCTCCTGTCCCTGCCATTGTTCCAAGGGATGATTTTCAAGGCTCCGGAGGGCCCGTTCCGATTTGGCATTAATCAGTAAGTGAAGGTACAGACATATGCTATCTACATCCTTGCTTATTCTTTGCAAATAGGGACGACGTCTTGTCGATCTTTCAGGAGCCCGTTGATAGGGTCGTTGATATCGTCAAACGTTTCCGCGAGTCGGCGAAAGGGCACAATACCAAGCCCAAGGTAGGGAATGGCGATATATCGCCGCCCCTCTTGCCATGGATTCCAAGGCTCACACGTTTGGTTGCAGGCTCTTTTCCTCACCGGAGGACTTTTCGGAATCGCGTCTATCGCAGCCAGAATCGAAAAACAGCTGAAGTCCGACAGCTTCGATGTCATCGTCACCCCCCGTGATTCTCTGTAAGTATAGTGTACCCCTTCTGCCAGCCCTCTTCCATCTTCCAGACGCTGACGAATCAAGGCAAAAGGTCGTTGCCCGTGGTGCCGCCGCGTGGCTGCGTGGAAATTGACCACGTACGCCCGAGACCAGAGATTGTTTCTTGGTTCTGAGAGAAGTCGTACAATCTGGCAAGGTCGAGACCTAAACGAGACAGAGGATCATAGCTTCCGCATTCTTGAAATAAATTCCTTGCCTTGCCGTTTGAGAACCCCAGTGTTGTTGCGGCTTACCTTGTGTTGCAGCAATTTACGACGCCCGTCCTCCACGTGCCTTGCCCACCTCGCCTTCTCTGTCTCTCCAATCTTGCACAATAGGTAGCTATTAAGCAGGGAACTGTCATAGGTATGTGGTCAGCACAAACATCCTGGGGTCATCCTGCGTGCAACAACCCTCAAACGGAAGTTGACCGGGTACCCTTGCGCCTCTATACTAGTTTCCGTGTGTAACGTGCTGTGAGGTGCTGACAGTGTACGTAGCACAGTACCTACAGCATGGAGTAATTTACAGAGTACGGAGGACTGCGTGGAGAGATCGGAGATGGAGCATACACGCACATAGTTTAGTCTACCAAGTACCCCTGTACGAGTACAAAAGCCCAATAAGCGATTCCCCTCTCAACCCGAGCCAACTCAGCTCAACCCAGCCCTCTCGTATCCAGGTACGCCCTACGGGACCTTACAGGATGCATGTGCCTCTACTTAGTCCAGGCGGTCTGGTCTGTTGTACTACGCCTCCTGTCGAGACGGCGCAGCTGCTGCCACACCGACTGCTCAAACACGTAGATGACCTCCCCCTTCTTAAATTAGCAAACTTGAAAGACACAATATTTTTCTGCTGGCCGAAGCTCGTCTCGCAACATGGCCGGCCTTTGAGAAAAGGGTTATGGCTTAGAAACTGGTTCTCTTTTCTATCTACTCTTCCCCTCTCCACTCTCTATCAAGGCGTCCTCCGTTCCGCTGGCTTCCTTGTTGCTTTTCCCCATCAGTCTGCTTGCTGTACCCCTACGTTTCAGGAGACGCTAATCTGTGGCGATTCCTCATGCGAATAGCCATCTTTGCTACGGCCATCCGTTCCGGCCTTGGCACGATGAGTGCGCACCCGACGGAGAGTATCCAGCCTTGTGACAGCCGTCCTTCTGCGGACGGCAACGACCCGGTTGCCGTGACCGTCGGGTACGAATCCAAACAGATTGTGTTGTGGTCCCACACTTTTAGGAGCCTGATGAAGCTGTCGATACAGAGTGATGGAACTTGGCGCAGATAAGGTTACATTTCAAGTTCGGTGCTACTAATACCGCCAGACACTCCTCAAGTGGTTCTAAGAAGCAGTTATTCTCAGACTGCTTTTTTAAGAATTACGCTTGGCTGTTTTTTCTTCAGCTAGTCGAAAATTGCTTATATAATATACTCCAGCTTTAGTAAAATAATTATCTATTTTTATATCTAGATATCCTTGTTAGGTCCTTAGGGTTTAGCAAATCTTGCTGAGGTGACCTCACCAAAAACCACGCCGCCTAACGAAGGCTCTGTGGAACCGACACTGCAGTTTATTGTTATGTAGCGGTATGAATGCGCTTAGGGTGATGGGGAACCAGTTTCTCGTCTCGTTGGCTAGGATTTAGCCTTGGAGCTGCTTCAAGGCCGCGACGCGCAATGCTGGAGTATCTTCTCCGTGAAGATAACGGCCATTTGGTAGTCAACGAACGGCGGTACTTGGACAAGCGGCTATCTTGTACAAGTTTGAGGTCCCTAATAGCATCTGCGCCCACTTGCGTTAAATATAAAAATCGCCGTAATTGGGTCTAACCATAAGGTGTTCTCTGAAGAATTGATCCTGGTGGAGGACAGTACGGTAGAGGTTGCTATCGGTGATTTTATAGGTACCTGAGACACGGAGGCTTTGATATCCTCGGCGACGCCCGCATATACTTCAGGCAAGGGCCATTAATGTTATCTGTATTGGACGAATATTATAAATCATTGTCGGAATTGTTTTCGTACGTCGTGCAGTAACACTCACCTAAATACATTGTGACCCGCACCTGACGCACGATATCAGAGTCCGAGTTAGGCTTGACTCGGCTCTCAGCGATAGTATCTCAAATCTCGAACTTTTGCAGACTCTGGCTGGATTCCCGGAAGGGCTCAGGACAACCTGACGTAGTTGCGGTATCCGCGGTTGGTTGCTGTCAGTACTTGAGCTAGTGCACATCTATGAGAGGGTGGATACATGCATTTTCAGGCAGATGCAACACAAAGTATTGCTGTCAACAATCATCAGACAACTGACGACAAGGAAGCCCGAGACGGGGTCTAAGGCACCTTAACAGGCTACTGAACGGGACCAATAAGTACTGTTCTCGTTTACGATCCGGCTGCGGGACGGCGGCGCCAAGCTGTCGGAGGAGAGGCCCCCTAGGCCGTATTAGCAAACAGGAAACACGCGAGGCATTACTGGCCGAGCCCACACCGGCGAGCGTGATGCCGTCGGGCAACCAGCAGACTGGGTCGGGGTAGAACCATCCTAGACCCGACAGTTTCGTTGCTAGCGAGCGGGGCGCACTCTAGCCAACAAAAGAGAGGGTGGAAGACTTCTGGAAGAGAGACAAATCGGATCGGACAACAACCAACCCAGAGTGATTTTCTTTGCTTCTGCGGGCGGATGGAGGGGCACCGCGTTTATTCTCCTTGGCTGCTCGGGGGCTGAGACGAGGGTGCGGCGTGGGGGCCGGCGTGGCGTTTCGGTGAGTATTTTGGGGTTGCCGCATGCAGCGCCTGGGGGTGAAAGGATTCGCGGAATAGGCGCACAGTTACACGGATGAGTTTACACGGATGAGCATGACTTTGAGCGGCCCGGCTGGAGGAGAGGGCAAAGCGAGGAGAGAGGGATATTTTCTAGATGCCATGCGAAATGTACAAGAAGGCTTAGCTCAAGTCAAGTGGAGAGAGGGCTTCGAGTTAGGACGATGTCTAGAGAAACCCAGGGTCCCAAACTCCCAGGTGAGCCATGTCACTCCCCGTCTAGCTCGCCTGTTTAGCTCGCCTTTCTACGAAGTACTCAAGTTAGCTCGACCCTATTGCCGTTCGGCTAGAATCCTACTAGGCGGTGCCTGGTTGGCGAGCGCTTCGGATGGACGAGGAAGACGGCGGCGAAATTTTCTCGGGGCGAGGGCGGATCATCGGCCTGGATCTGAGCCGGCTTTATTTAGGTCGCCGTCCATCTATATCCCTCTCTCTTCCCTTAGCCCGCAAAGTCGATGGTTGGTGGTTGGTGGTTGGTGGTGAGCAAGTTATTAGAGCAGGATGACTCGTGACTTTTCTTGTCCGCCGACTGACTCTCTGCTTGGATTGCCTGCCGCCCATGCACAGGAAGAAAGCCAGACTCAAATTACAGGCGTGCAGCCGCAAAACTGAGGCTGAGGTTCTTGATCGAGTTGGGTGTTATTAAAGTGCCAGTGCGTGCAGCAGAATCATGGTAAACGGTAATTACAACGACATGGGGGTTTACAAAGACGTCCAGGAAGATGACACACATCCACAGTCCGCGCACACATACGTCCACTCTCCCCATCTCAGCATTCATCATCCATGCGCTGGACCCATTGTTCCCCCCGGATGCTTGTCAAATGTCAGTTTGCCACGGCCGAATCGCTTACCTTTGAAGGGACCAGAAGCCCACTTGGGGTACCCAACATCCACGTACCCACGCGATGAGTATTGTTTTTTCCGGAGGAAGTGTCTTGGCCCGTCCCCCGCTCGCACAACAACGAATAGACGACGAAGGGATGGCGATGGATGGAAGCGGGAAATAGGACCAGAAAGACAGAGGAAGAGGAAGAGCAGAAACGAGAGCGGGTCGATCCACTGCCGCAAACTCCCTAGCTCGAGGGTCGGATACATCCCGAGAGGAGAGGAGAGTGCAGCAGCAGCGGCAGCTACAGGACCAGATGGCGATGCAGACTGGCAACCCCCGGGTTTCCGACAAACGTGGAGGATCGACGTCGGTAAATCGTAAAGAATCGCCTGCAGAGTAATCTGGAGATATTTCGAGCGGCGAAGGAATAGGATTGGGCACGCTCCAATCAGCTTGACAGACCCCAAGGCAAAAGCAAAAAATAACCGTGGTTCGTCGGTCGCCCGAAAAGAAAAAAAAGTGCTCGAGTCGAGTTTAGTCGAGTCTAGTTGAGTGACCGAGTCGTAACGGAACCACCCTTGCGAGCTTACCAGGACCACGGCAGACCCCCAAACGGGCAGACCAACCAGATGCGCCACTTCAACAAGATCGCAAGGATACAGTTACAGGGCTCAGGGCCTGGCATTGTACATGTTAGCTAATGTGAGCCAGTCGTCGACCAAACGCTGCTGCTGGTGAGAGCGCTGGCTCGGAGTTGGACTTTGCATTTGGGTTGGACGTTTCGGCCCTTGTAGCGTGTAGGTGCGTGTAGCATGTACTCTCATACTCACGAGGTACCTTTTGGCGACTGTACCAGCCACGAGATGCACGGATCACGGGCTGCCACCGACGTCGAGAGTCGGAGCTTTGGAGAAGCCCAGGGGACGTTTTTTTCCTTCCAGGGTTCTCGCCCCGCGCCCAGTCGGACGAGTCGCCGGCTGAGACTGCTGCCCATGGACTGCTAAATGGACTGCTAATAAAGACGGACCCCTGTAATATTTCCAGGCCTGTCCCCCACGACCACCTCCAACACCGCCCCCGGAGACACCCTCGCATTCACTGTGGCTTTCCGCCTGACCTACTACGTAGTAGGTTCTCGGTCTCGGAGACGGATGGTTTGCATCTGCCTGCATCTAGCATCTCACCGTTGCGGCCTACCCGTCCTGCTTGGGGCGTCAGCAGCTGACCGAACTGGACCTCAGTCCGCCGTACTCGGCATCCACCACGCCACACCCACTACAGGACAGAGCTACAGGGCATTCGGAATCCACTGCGCTCAAGCTCACTACGGGTTTACAGCCAGCCCACCACACCCACTACAACCCACCAGAGAGGGTCACCCACCGCACTAACCAGGTAAGTTGCCCGAGCTCCAACCCGGCACTGGCTCTGGACGAGACAATTGCCCAGTGAGTGTGCCGACTCAACTCACCGTCGCTGGCATCTCCCCGGCCCCATCTGTACGACCATGCTGCCCTCGAAGCAGAAACAGAGGCGCCTGTCCTGTCCTACCTGGGCACCAACAGGCGCTCTGCAACCCCCACCCCACCATTGACATTCACGTGCATGTACCCGGTACTTCTCAGCTACCTCCGCTACTGCTTCCTGCCCGCGACGTCTCCACTGGCCTCTGCTACGGACGAAGTACCCCATCCACCATTTTCCGGCCTTCACCCACCCATCACCCATTCATTCGCTCTTCCAAGTGGCTCTGCTCTCGAGGTTGTCCTCACTCTCGACCCACCAACCACCTCAGCGCCCATCCTCTCTCGCCCACATCCACATCCGCATCACGAACCACGACTCATCATTCTTCAAACCCTCGCTCGACCATCTTCATCTCGCTCCCTCAAGCCACCCAGCTCTCGGCCTTCTCATCTTCAATCCCATCGAGCCTCGTCCGCTACCGTCGCAATCGCTGTACCACCATCGGCTTTTTGGCCGCCTGGCATCTTCGTGCAGCTAACCGTCCGTTGACGACTCCTCCACTAAGCTCCGGTCGCAAATGAGCCCCCGTATCCGGCTCCTCTGAAAACTTCTCGCTCGATTCCTAGGCTCGTGTCGTTCGCTTGCCCGTCACACAACACCTCTCCGACCTGCGACTGCGTATTCTTGGCGAACCCCCTCCATCTCGCGCTTCACAGCGTCCCACGGACCTGTGCCGCCCCCGGAATATTCGCTCTCCCGCCGACTTCGCGGCGCCGCCCGGCCAGCCCTCGACCCGAATCTCGCCGGCGCCTCGGACATGATGGGCTCGACAGGTTGGGACGCACAGGGCCAGGCCATGGCCACCACCACTGATGAGGACTTTGGACAGTTCCTCGACATGAGCGCCATGGCAAACCTCGGCGATGGGATGCACTTTGACTTTCAAGGGTTCCAGGATGGCTCCGCCCAGGCAATCATGAACCACCAACCCCGCGATGCAACTGATACCATCATGGGCGACTCGGACAACCAAGGCATTATGCCCTCCAACAACTCACTACCGATAACCACATCGGCTTCTCAACCCAGCATCCCGGCTCACATGATGACCCCCAACCCCGACCCCATCTCCAACATCGACGCCCAGATCCAGTATCTTCAACAGCAAAAGTTCCAACAGCAGCAACGTCAGCTCCAGGAGCAGCAGGCCGCCTTCTTCTCCAACCACAACCACTCAGTCCCGCCGACCCCTCAGAGTCTTGAGATGCCCAACAGCTTCTACTCTCAGGCTGAACAGGTATCACAACCGGGTGTCTACGACCCGGGATATCATCAACGTATGAAGGAGCAAGATGTAAGACAAGTCCTCTTCTGCGCCTCATCCTTGTCCCGCCTTGTGGCCATACATGGGCCCCCCACTAACGGTGACTTTAGATGGCCTTTACTCCCCTCGTCTCACCTGCCGTCACTCCGCTTGACCCTCATTTCAGCATGGATAGCTCGACTTTCACCGTTCCTGGTGCTTATTTCAGCCCTCTCACATCTCCTGCTCTTCATGCTCAAAATGATACCTCTTCGATATATGAGCACACTCACTCAAATAACTCGCCCATCGAAATGGAACTTGATACTTCAACCACTGCCGCAATTGGATCCGTGGATCTGTCAAAGAAGCCGAGAAAGAAGGCACCCGCAAAACCGAGAGGCAAGGCCAATATTCGGAGCTCACCCATTGTGAAACCCCAGCGAAGGAAGACGGGTCCCAGCCCGGCCATCGTCTCCCAGGTTCTCACCGAGGTGGAGGAGAACGGGAACTCGGCCTTCCTCCCTATGCCCGCCGCTTCCACCGAAACCTCACCCGAGGAGAACTCGTCAGTATCACCGGAGACCCTTTCGGATATGCCACCCCCGCCTGTTCCCACGCGGAGATCGACCAGTAAATCCCCCTACATTTATCCCCAACGGAGCGGTCAACAGACACCCGTCTCGGCCCCCGCAGATTCGCAGCCAGCTCCAGCTACCCCCGCGTCGTTGATGAAGCTTCCCGCATCTCGGACAAATACAGCATCAACTGGTCACCTTGAACACGCGGGGACGGATCACATTGAGTCGCTCGAGCTGCCAGAATCAGTTTCCAATAAGAAACTTGGCCCGACCATCACACGCACCATTGTGCAATCTACCCTCGTCGAATCTGCGACCTCCAAGGGGCCCAGCTTCCAACCCCTGCAATCCCCGGTGTTTCCTAAGCGCTCCGGTACCACCTCTGCGAGCCAAAGCCCCCAGCTTGGCCCTGGTTCCTCCGGCCCCGCAGCTCGCAAAACTCCCCAGCTCGCTCCTCGGAATAGTAGGACGCGTACTGGATCGGTTCATGTGTCGCCAGCCCTGCTCCCGAGGATCTCCCCTAACATCAAGCCCCTACTTCCAGGAACCCCTGGCCTGACTTCTGCGGAGGATGCGGCCTCTCGACTTCTCATGTCAAAGTCGAATTATCAAAATATCCTAGAGGGTAACCAAGTGCCTGGAGTGTCATACCCCAGCGAGCTATCGACCAACCTGACATCAAAACGAACATCACACAAGATCGCAGAGCAAGGCCGAAGAAACAGAATAAATTCAGCCCTGCAGGTCATGGCAGGTCTTTTACCTGGTGGCATGGATCCCGGGAGCGATGGGGGAGGAAGTGGAGACAAGAAGGACTCGAAGCAGGCCAATGCGCAAAACAGCAAGGCCAGTGTCGTCGAGAATGCCATTGTGCATATGAAAGACTTACAGCGCGAAAATGGAGATCTGAAAGAAGAACTGGCCGAGCTCAAGAAACAACTTGAGCAGCTTAAGACAGCGGACAAAACGGACCGAGGCCTCAACGCCTGAGAAGTGTGTGGATGGTTTGTTTGGTACACCAGCAGCCTGGGGCTCACGGTGTGTGGAGGAACTAATATGAAGGTGCGAGATGCAAGTTGCAGGTTCAGCATTTGCATAGCGTTATTGGGAGAGGCAGCGGATCGTTTTTGATGGTTGATGGTGAATGCGCAACGATAGATGGCCAGCTGGGAAGAAAATGGGGTTGTAGAATGGGATTCATTTGGGCCCGATGAGGCGTGTTTGGGCAGGGAGCGGATAACAAGCTCGGCGGCGGATTGGCGGTCGGTTCAACATGGAGCATCACCACCACTTGTATACGAAATATACCACACGTTCAAGAGAGAAACCAAAGGGACGGCGCCTCCAACGGCAACGCGAATTTAGTTTGATTGCCCAGCTTCTTGCGGCTGACCCAGAACATCGGTGTCTAGCTGCTCCATGACCTCCAGCACCAACTTTAGGCTGTCCATGAAGGAGTTGACGGCGACGCGCAACATGCGGTTGGTGGTGGCCTTGTATTTGACCTTGAGGACTCGAGCATCGTCGTCGGGAGACTCCGGCGCCGGCACAACGGAGAACTCTCGGGTGACAAGCTGGGAGAGTTCCGGGTCTACCTGGAGGGCCTTGAGTGCCGACGTGGCCAACCTCAAGGTGGGGAGCGGGATATCGAGAGTTCTGCATCAGGACAACAATAAGTTAGCTCGGGTGTTGTTGTGAAGCCGCCCACGGCCGTCGCCAGGGAAGCAGGCCGGGGTGCGGCTAAGGGGGGGATGTCTTGCATCGAGCAGGGGAACTGGGGATCGGGAGTTGCGGCCATGATGGTCGCGGCCAGGGCATCCCGGGCGTCGATTGAGCAGTCGAGCGCGACACAGAAGGTGGGAGGAATGCGGGCTGATGGCAAGTCGCAGCTTGAGGTCCAGTGGTTTGGAGGAGAAGGTCTGTGTGCTGGCACCTCTAGGTTTCTGTTTTTGCGCGCGGGGATGCGACTGGTGGGGTTGATAGGCCGATAGGGCGGGTGTGGCTGGAGGAGGCTGTGGCTGCATGTGGGCCGCGACCCCAGCCCCGGCTCCTGACGTCCCGTAGACATCCCGTAGAGGGTGGCGGCGCTTCTTAATGCCGTTGCCATGGGGACCGTTGCCGGCCCACCCCAACGGGAGCTGGTGCTGTTTTGAGCATGGGTCTCCTTCCAGGGACAGAAAATAACAGACGGCAACCCATACAAAAACATCGTGGGCCCATTCTGGCACCAGTATCGTCAACCACAACCTTCACTTCTCCTCCATTCTCCTTCCCTTGGTGCATCTCTTGTCCGTCCCGGAAGCCAGGCCTGCTCTTCACCCCTTCAGCATCCGTTCGAGTCATTATTTAAGCCCCTCTCGCCTGCCATTGCCCTCGCGTCCGCCCCGTCACCGCTTGCCGCCGTCACCGCTCGTGCACATCGTCACTTCCCCAGCCCGGCGCCGTTCATCGTCGGAACTGGCCCTCTTGATCCGTCTCTGGCACTGTCCGACCATTCGCACCTGATTCCCGCCCGGTAGCCATCGCCGCCGGCCTCCCAACGAGCCGCCCAAGGAGAAGCGCAAAGCCTGGAACAATGGCGCCTTCTTCCCGAGTCGCCCAGAACCATGGGCAGATAATCGAGTACATCCCAGGTATGGCATGCCTCAACCACCATTCAGAAGACAGATTATGCCCCGCCCTGGCTTCAATGGCGTCTTGAAGCTCGAGCGTCATGTCGCATTGCTATCCCGTCTCAGCCTCGCTGCGGCCGACCGCCGACCCACAGCAATGCGGCCTCAACATCAGCACCCGCATCACGAACCCGGCCACGTCGCTAACCCTGATCCCAGATCGTCTCTACCTTGCCTCTTACATCCATCCTCCCACGGCCGATACCATTTTCCCCTACCCAGAGCAACCCGTCTCCTCGAGGAAACGTGCGCAGCGAGGAGTTGAGCCTACCCCGCTCCAGACCAACAGAACACCTCCGTGCTACTTCACCGTTGATGACACTCTCCTCTACAACGCTTTCCACCATGACTTCGGTCCTCTGCACATTGGCCACCTCTACCGCTTTGCGATTCAGTTCCACGATATCCTTGGCGCTAAGCAGAACAAAGATCGTCCCATTGTGTTCTGGAGCGCTGCTGACCCCAGAAGTAAGTCCACCGCCTTGCGAAAATTGCGCACATGTCCACGAGGTTAACCGGCGACTTTCGCAACATAGGCCGTGCCAATGCCGCATGCATGCTCGCGTGCTACATGGTCTTGATCCAGAACTGGCCTCCCCATCTGGCCCTGGCTCCGATTGCGCAGGTTGACCCTCCGTTGATGCCCTTCCGAGATGCCGGCTACAGCCAGGCCGACTATGGCATCAGTGTCCAGGATGTTGTGTACGGTGTGTGGAAGGCCAAGGAGGAGAAGTGCTGCGACCTCGATAACTTCGATTTGGACATGTATGAGAGGTTCGAACGGGTCGAGCATGGCGACTTCAACTGGATCACTCCCCACTTCCTCGCATTTGCGTCTCCCCAGCACACCCCGGTTGCGAAGATCACTGAGGGCTCCGAGATGTACCCCTTGTTGCCTCGAGACCTGGCCGCCGTGGAAGCCCACCCGACCCTACCTCAGCCCTTCAAGAACGTCCTGAGCCACTTCTCCGAGAAGAACATCGGCCTGGTCGTGCGACTGAACTCGCCCCTCTACTCTCCCTCCTACTTCGAGGCCTTGGGCATCCAGCACCTCGACATGATCTTCGACGATGGCACGTGCCCCTCTCTCACAACCGTCCGAAAGTTCATCCGATTAGCCCATGAGACCATCACCGTCAAGAAGAAGGGCATTGCTGTTCACTGCAAGGCCGGCTTGGGCCGAACAGGCTGCCTCATCGGCGCCTATCTCATCTACCGCCATGGCTTCACTGCCAACGAGGTCATCTCGTTCATGCGATTCATGCGACCTGGTATGGTCGTCGGACCCCAACAGCACTGGCTGCACCTCAACCAGGGCACTTTCAGGGAGTGGTGGATCGAGGAGCGTGTTGAGCGAAAGCTCAGGAAGGAAATGGCTGCTGCCAACCCTGTCCCCAGCACCCCCATCCGTGCTATGCAGAAGACATCTCTGCGCAATGGCCAGGCTTCGACACCTCCTAACCGCAGCACCTCGAACCGTACACCACTCAGCGAAGTCGACCATGACCGCAATAACATTGGGGTTCAAGAGGACTATCTCCCTGCGCCCACTCCCGGCCAGCCACGCAAGACTGGCCGTAGCGATCGTCACCACCCGTACTCGCGATCCACTTCCTTCCAGGCCACGCTCGAGGAGGAGCAAGTTCAAGTTGTTGAGAAGGAGACGGAGATCACGACTATTCACCGCCAGTCCCAAGGCTCTGAGTCAGATGAGGAGTGGCACCTGCGGATGCGTAGCCACCGAAAGGCCGCGCGGTCGCCTGGACGAAGCGAGAAGACACGATCCGTCAGTCAGACAACCACGACCATCTACACGATCGACAACGATGCGTCTCACGATGTTGAGAACATTGGTTCCATTCGCACCAAGCACGTTGACCGTGTCGCTAGCACTCCTACTGTCATGACCAAGGTCCGTGGCAGCAAGCGCCAGGCCGAGTCCCCTCTCCGGGCCAAGGAGAGCGCTGGCATTCGGAAGACGAGTGGCAGAGTTGGCAGTGCCAGCCACGCCACGTCGGCGACGGCGTCCTCGACAGCCCGCAAGGTGTCTGGAGCCTAGAAGACCAGACTCACACGGACCTAGGTTTCTCGGCACATATTAGTGCACCATAATGGGTTGTGCGACTACATTAACGATCATGACTCACGGACGTCACGACCGATCTCATGTCCTGCATGTATTGGCGTTAGGCTGGAAATGGAATGGATTGGGGGTGTTTGACATGCCATGTCTAAAACGATTTTTCTTGCGATTGCTTCTCTCGGGGTTCTTCCCGTTGCCGTTCCAATCAATCACTCGACACCTTTTTACGAGCATCCAAGCATTATCATTTTTGCCCTGGGAGGAGTTTCGCCAACCAGGGAGTGGAATGGGTTGAGAGGAGAAAGAGGGAAGAGATTGTGTCACACGGGTCAAACTTGCGATGGCGTATGGGCAAGGCGGGTTTGAAATTTTTGCTATTCTGTATTGATTGTATTGGTCTGTCTTACCTTCCTTTGGCCACAGAGTTGGTATAGGGTCATGGTATTGTTTTTTGCGCATTGGGGTTATGGAGAAGCATCAAAGATTCCAGTCGAACATATTTCAAAGTACAGAAATAGATTTCGAGTACTGTTCACATTGATTGTTTCCCACGAGCTTGTGTGAAGTGACTGACGGTAATTGTTTGTTTTATTGGACAAGGCGAGCTCCAGTCCGCTGACAAGTTGCTCGGCTCTGCCCGTCTCTATGTCACTTGGTTGTGTAGCCAGAGTGCACGCAGTGCATATTCTATCCAAGACACGGCGACGCAAATCCTCCGATGCTACTCGTATCATACTCATCATCATACCCGGATGCCTTCCAGCGTCGAGACAACCGTCTCCATCAGCTTGCCAGCTTCACTACTCGTCATATGCTCGCCAGCCTTGAGGCACATCTCAACGACTTCGCGGTACCTCCGACCGACCTTGCTGTTCAGGCCGGGAACGAGGGCAGAGAGGACGACCTTGTCACGCCAGCGGTCAGCGGAGTAGTGAGGCTTGTGGTAGGCCTGGAGGACCTTCCAGAGGCCGATCTCGAGGAGGACGAGGCCAAGGCTGTAGATGTCAAAGGGCTTGCAGTGGGGCATACCACGCAGAGAAGCCGGGTGGCGGTGGAGGGTTGCAATGGAAGGATTGCGAGAGACGACAGAAAGGGCAGTGTCGAGATCCGGGCGAGAGGCGTCGAAGCCGGTGAGGAAGGGGGTGGCGATCTCCGGGACAAGGGCGGCGGCGGCGGTTGGCTCGTGAGCCGACTTGGAGATGGCCGAAGGGAAGAAGAGGATGTTCGCACTGCAGAGCGACTTGTGCAACCAGTCGAGCGAGTGGAGGGACCACAGGGCTACGGCGAGGGTCTGGGCAAGGCGCACGCGGTCGTTGAGGTCGGGTGTCTTGAGGTCTGGCGACGAGATGAGCGTGTGCAGCGTGGAGAAGGACGACTGCGGCGCCTTGTAGACGAGGCCGTAGCGGTTGTTGGCGGTGTCGTCGGTGTAGCCCACGCAGTCGATGCTGTGCAGGTCCGGGTGGCATTCAGACGCCGAGTGCATCATGCGGGCGAGGTCGTCGAGGCGGCGCACGTGGGCAACGCGCTCCTCGATAGCCTCGCGGTCATAGTCCACCCACTCAACGATGACGTCGCCGGCCGTCTCGTGATGGGCCTGGCAGCGCCGGCGGTCGGCGGCCTCGGGGATGTCCAGCGCCGGCCGGGGCACCTTGAGCGCAAAGGTCGGCTTGAAGGACGCCTGCGGCTTCGTGTCGAGGTTGATGCGTAGGCTCTTGAGCGTCGCCGACGCCGTGAGCTGCGGGTACACGCCCGTGGCCGCCTTTTCGAGCAGCGAGAGCTGCGCGAGGTCGCGCTGTGCGGATTCGAGGAGCTCGTGCGTCCAGGAGCGCTGGAAGGACGGGAGGTGGGATGGCGGGAAGAGGCGCTCGAGGCCGTCGTTGAAGTCTGTATGACGGGGGAAACAGAAATACAGGTCTCAGCTTAAACAGTTCGACACAAAGGGTGGGAGCCACTGGTGCGACAGTGGTCGTGGTGAGATACCTCTTAAGTCCTTGAGAAGGGTTGTGAACTTATCCTTGTCTAATAGACAGAGGTTGTGTTAGTTGGGGTCTATATCAAGGGGGTTGGTCACGGCTCGCCTGATATCACCCATCTGGCCCGGAGACCGAATTCCTTTTTAAAACTCCGCTCACTACTCGCCGCCGAGGTCTTGGTGAGGCCATTCGCCTTCTCGTCGCTGGAGCCTTTCCTCGATGGTGACGGAGATATTGACGGAGACACCTTGCCGCCCTTGGTCGTCTTGTGCTTAGGATCCAGGGAGGCACTCGCCCCCTGATCGAGCAGTCCATACCTATCCTGCAGCTTGCGGAAGTCCGTGACGGTGCCATGCAGCTCCTCGAGGATATCCATGGCCAGCCGCCGCAGCTGCGGGTTGCGCGTGCTGTCGAGATGGGCCTCGAGCTTGCCCTCGGCGACGCCCCAGTCGCGGCCCCACACGACCAGGCGCATCTCCTCGATGCGCACCTTGCAGAAGAGCCGCTGGCTGTCGACGTCGAGGTTGGCGGCCGTGGTGAAGAAGCCGTACGCCTTGATGCAGCCGTCGAACAGCTGGCCCATGACGCCCACCACCGCGAGCGCCGTGCCGATGGCCTCGCCGACGCCCGACATGGCGAGGGCACTCGGCTGGAGGGGAGTGAATGGATGGGAGCGGTCTAGAGTAGGTTGAAGTGGCCTGGATTGGACCGAAGTGAATCGGAACGGGGCTGCGGACGGCTCCGGAGGACGGACAACGAACAACGGACGTCGGCGCGGGGATCGGGCGGTGTAACCACTTGCTCCTTCTCACGAACACTTCACCCGACAGCTTGGTGCCACCAAAAAAAGCCCCGAGGCAAAGAAGACCCAGAAGGACACTCCAAAGCACAAAGAGCGAAGGAAAAATGCCTCGTGTTTGTTAAATGTAATGTTGTCTCAGGGCAATGCAGGTGGAGGGATATACCCCAGCAATAACTACTACTTTACGAGCGGAGGGCAAATGCCACTGCGAGATGTGTGGGTTGGTTGGTAGTTGGGCTGTCTAACACCTACCGAGTTAGTCGAAACACCCGTCGCCCTCACTAGCCACCCGGAAAATTAGTCAGTTGCTACTAGGCTTACTGTATTCTAATTACGAGCTGCACACGGTGATCTATCCGGCTTTCGTCTCGTTGTCAGTCGAGAAATATGTGGCAATCCTACCCTACGCTCGCCACAGGGTTGTTGAAACTAGAGCCATCACGTGATGCCATACTCGAGGTTTGCTCTCGGTTCACTCTCGTCTTACAGCCAAACACTAGACGGAAGACTTGCACAAGTGAGTTGCTAATTTCGTCAAAGAGAACTATGCTATCCAATTACTGAACTCCATTGGTACCATAAAAGTCAACCCCCGCAGATACACACGGAAATTACACGTGTGGTCAACAGCCACTCCAGACACACACTGCATCACCATAAATACTTGTTTCTTCTCGCCTTGTTCGCTACCAAACGGGGATTTCTATGATCCATCCATATATGAGAACCTGGTGCTACTCCGCCTCTCCATGACGTTGACGGCGGCGACCCAGGGAAACTTTTTCATGCCCTTCCCAAGATAAATAGAAAATGCCGTGCCAACGCCGGACACCTCGGCGCCCAACCTGTTGCTACTGTTGGCTCTGCGCGTCCTTTCGGACTTAGTAAACCTTCTTCTTCTCGTCGAGGCTGAACTGGCCAGGGCCGCTGTTGACCAGCAGGAGGAGTCCACCGACGATGGACAGGATCTGGAAGAAGTCGTACTTGGCAAAATCCTTGTGGGGGTGGTGCTCGTGCAGCTGTCAACTTAATTAGAAATGAACCCTCATTCACTCGCTGACGCATTTGACTTACCGTCCAGAAGTTGTTGACAAAAAGGTTGAACACGCTCAGAATGACGACCAACAGGGTGGCGCTGTACTTGGCCTTGAACCCAACGACAACCATGACGCAAGCAATGCCGCCCAGGATGGAGACGAGGACGCGCCAAACGGACCACTCGCCGCTGAAGACGAAGCCGATGAAAAGGAAGATGAGCAAAACACGGCCAGCCAGCTGGAAGTACATCTTGCGGTCCTTCTCATCCAGCGTAGGGAGACCGGCGAAGGCCTTGGTCTTTTGCACCCACGAATCGGACAGAACCATGACGAGGCCACCAAGAACGGACAGGTTTCGGAAGAAGAAGTTGAGGTCGAAGATGAGGCCGTAGCCGAGCGCCTGGGTGACGACAACGGCCATCAGGCCGGCGACGGCGTAATCGGAGTGCTTTCGGATAATGACGAGGCCAGAGCAGGCAAACATGGCGAGGACGTTGACAATCAAGAAAATGTGGGTGATTCCGGTGGGGACTGGGATGTGTCAGAATAGTCTTTCTCTTCTTCTCACACGGGCTGCCTCTTACTGTGTCTGTAGTCGCGCAGGTACAGAAGCTGATCGGACCATTGGGTGATGATGCGGAGCGCATCCTCAATGAATGTGACGACAATCAGGAAGCGTCCAATGGCCGGGAGGTATCTGTATTCCGCGATCGCACGTTAGCAATGCCGCTCTAGCAGTCTCTGGGACTCGCGTGACTCGACTCACGGCTTCAAGGGCTCGCTAATGTTGTCCAGGGCGTCCTCGATCTTGCTGGTGAAGGGCCGGACCTGGTCGAGAACGCTGCCGCCCTGCTGCATGTCGTTGGAGACGCCTCCGTAGGGCGCGGGGCCGCCGAGGCCGTATGATGGAATGCGCTGCGACATGGCTCGAGATTCGTGTGATTTCCGTGCAGTCCTGCTGACGATCGACGGTGCTGCGACTGCAGTGGTGTAGAGGAGGGAGTGGTGGTGGAAGAGGAGGAGGAAGGGGAGAGGAGAAAGACGAGATGCGACTCAAGGAGGGCGATTGAATGGAGTAGGGACGACGAGCCCGAGCAAGCTTTCAAAACAGCTAGCAAGGGTGCTGAGGAGCTGAGGAGCTGGGTCCGTAGCTGGAGTGCGGCGCCGCGGACGTGAAGCTGCGAGAGGAATACAAAGGCGGACGACAAAAGAGAGGAAGAAGATCGAGGTGGAAAGGAGGGGTCGAGGTAAGCTGTCCTTTGCACGTCTCAATTGGAGATGATGACCTCAGAACGAAGGGAATCGTACAACGGTGTCCTTTAGAGATCCCGTGATGATGCACCTCTACGAGCCCACTTTTCGGCTGCCCTAGGACGCTGGTACCGGATTGGCCGCAGTGACTTGGAGTAGGGCGTGGCCAATGCGCGGAGAGAGGTACCACCCTGGCGAATGGTACCTGCCCCTGCATCCCGCAGGGCTCCCAGGGTGGCCAGCCAAGACACCAGAAGCTTTTTTGCCGGCCTACGATCGCGGTGGCGTTGCAGCGTCACAGCGTCACAGGCGGCGGGAGCATTTACCTTCCCCAACGCTGCTAGTCCGTTTTGCGGAAGACGGAGGGGACAAGTTGTCTCAAAGACATGCCACGCCGTGTCGACCGGGCCAACCGAGGGACTGTCCAGATGGTTGTCAAGCGGCGCATTCCAATCTGTGGCCGCCTTGTTTACGCCTTCACTCGCTCGCAACATTTTGGGTTACCATCCTTGGCAGTAGCCTCGGCTTCCCGAGGGCAATGCATTTAATTAAGTAGGTTACTCCACCCCCTCTTCGATTGACTGCGACAGGGGTGGCGCGGCTGGCTCTGGCTGTGCATGCAGTTGTGGTAAAATAAAACAAAATAAATCGTGGAAACTATAGGATGTGTTGGACAATACTAGGAAGCTTCCAAATACGCGGTGCATAGCCTACTACGTAGTAGTCTTAGAGAGCAGGGCATGGCATCCTGGTCCGATTGAAATTGGGGAGGATAGATATGGTCCCATCAAGGCCAGAATACGAGAGGGAGGAGGCTGAGACGGACGGACCCGGATAGGGACTCAAAGATGATCTAAGTGCTTCCTCTCTGCTACAACATGTTGTGTCTCTAGAAAAGCTCATATAGTCCTGCAAGGTCATACAGTAGGCGGTCAAGCCTCTGGAGGATTTGCTGAGCTCTTGACGTCTTAGACACGGCATTCTCCTGTCATCCTGCATTGCACGCGCCACCATCACTCAAAATCCTCAACCCGCCTGTGTCATCGTACTCGACCCTCTCTTCATCCACGGCCCTCAACATCTCTTCCCGCAGCACGGTGCGCTCCCCGGTGACGGGATCCCACTCCCAGCCCTCGCGCATCCACATCCAGCGCAGGTACGCGCGAAGCTCCTTGTCGGCGGGCATGACCCTCATCCATTCGGGTTGGAACTCGGGCTCCCGGCCTTTGCCGTTCCAGTCCTCTGCACGGCCGAGAAGCTTGTCGCGGCAGAAGATGCGCCAGCTGTCGATTGCGTATTTGCCCTTGGTGAGGTGGCCAATCTCCCACGCCTCAAGGTCCTCCACGTCTCCCTCTAGAGCAGATGGGCTTGGCTTAACCGCCAAGCTACTGCCCAGCGCGTTTGACAGCGGATCAACATCTCGACGGTGGTAGTTTTTCACCTTGTACCTCACATCAGCCCTTGGTGGGTCTTCTAGAAACCCTCGCGCATACTTTTGCATAAAGGCAACGCGAACCACAGATAGTCCAAGATGGCGGATCATGTCAATGAGTTCTTCTGCGTTGGCGGAATCTGCCACGTGTTCGGGGGACGGAAATCGTTCCTTGACCTTGTAGAACATGGGTATTGCCAGCTTCCCGTTTGTTTTAATGAGAAATGTGACAGCAATTAGTAACCAAAATGGATCCTCGGCAAACTCCTCCTGAATAATGCCAAACTTTGGCGATGTGAGGGGGGCAAAGGGGACCGTAGCGACAGTGCCTGCAGGCGGTCTCTTTTTGGCTGGGGACTTCTTCTTCTCTGCCGTTGCCGTTGATGAAAAGTACGGGGAGACGGTGCTCATCCGCTTCACACTAATACCTGCTGCATCAGGAAGACACAAAGTCTCTATAATGGCGCCTTGGCTGTGGTTCTGACCATGACGCACTTCTGCATGGGCTTTGACATCAAGAGTGGCGGCACTCGCTCGCTCCGACAACACTGAGAATCTGTGGCGGCCGCAGGTTTGTGACGCAAATGGGATAGAGGATGAAGGCGCCGTCGAGTGCAATTGAGTTGCGCTGCTCCGCTTCCGGCTTTGACTCGGGCATAGTTCTTGAGATTGATCCAGCCAGTAATGGGACGCCGTTACCCGTCCCTTTGACTTCGTAGGTGGCTGGGACAGGGTGGGAAAGTCCACATTACTCTCTGCGACTGGAGCGGAGGATAGCAATGAGAGGTGAAGTTCTGCATCTTGTTCCAAGGCTTTTGCCTGAGCAATGAGTCGATCTGTTTGCTCCCAGGGTTCATCGACAGAAGCGGAGGCATCGATGCCGTTGAAGATTTCCCACACATATGTAAGCACGTCTTGTCCGTCTAGGCTTTGGTCGTCGGTGCCCCGGCGCCGTCGGAGTGACTCGGCGCACTCGATAAGGTAGTCCTCCGCCCCGGCCGCTAGGCTCTGTCGGAGAAGACATTCGGTTTCCGTTGGTGCCCCGAGTGACTCGATGACGTCGGCGAGAAAATCTCGGCTGTCTTGCCATACATCGAACACGGAGAGGATCTTATGGCCGAAACGAGACCCGCCGTAGTTACTCATCTCGGCTGCTGCCCTTGGCTGTGCGATGAGAGGCGAAGTGCGTGAGTCAACAAGGGGGAAGCCGGCATCGCAGCGAGAACAGCGATTCTCACGGGAGCCAGCTTTGCGACAAGCTGATGGCTGTTGGTGGAACTGGCCGGTTGGTGACAGTAAAGCGGAGGTGAAAAAGATGTGAATTCCGAGGATTAAGCACGCGATGCAGAATCAGACCACGATGGAAATATAAGTGTATGCCGTAGGATGGATTTAGTAGAGCATTCTGAGCTCAGTGTTGCTTTCAATGTTGCCTAGCCCAGCGGCCATTCTTGTTGTACAATTGGTGGTGAGATGGATCTGAGGACTGGTTGGCCCAGCCACACGCTGCAATCGATTCGCTGGACTCATGCGTGGCGAAGGCGAGAATTGACCGAGAGGCCGGCGAATTAAAGGACCTGTTGGGCGTGCATACATTTTCGCAAGTCTGCAGGACACGAGCACACACAGACAGGCAACATGACTAGGCCAAGCTGGTTTGTAGCCCCTAGGATACAGCAGATCTAGATCTAGGGGCTAATGCCGTGGTTCCGTGAAAAGCGAAAACCCCCCGACTGCGGCAAGATGCAAGCGATTGCCACACGAGGCTAGCGACTCACTTGATCACAGACTACCTACGTAAGTTACAGTAGCACCACCCGTAGTACAATTTGTAAAGCCCACGTCGTAGTGCGCCATTGGGGTGGTGTTGGCTGGCGGAGAGGCGGCGCCAACTCGGTCGGCGATGGAGCCGGGCTGCACACACGTGTCCTGCAAGCTCAGCTGTGAGGGGCCTGATTGTCGGCAATGAAAGTGCCGCCAGATGGATCCCCGCGGCGACGGCGCACGGCGGTGGCTCACGGGATACCTCACCTCCCTGCCGAATCCGCACGCAGCTGCATGTACTCTGCTGGTACCTGCCGTCACAGCGCCTGTCCGCCCTGGTTCTTGGCCAGTGCCTCTGCGCAACAGGCAGGTCACTGGGCACCTGGTCTGGTCGCGTGATGCGCACCGCTAGAAGTCACGTCCCTCCGAGTTGCGAGCAAAATCCAGCGTCTACACGAAATGACAATTCCATCAATCCATCTCCTTTCGCATCATCTCGTCTCGTTCAATCGCCACCCTTATCTTTTCACCGAGCGCGAAACCCATCTCTCCGGAACGCGAACCTAAGGCATCCCCGGTGACGCCGGCACTCCAGAGCCGCTTTTTCCACCATCGTCCAATCACGCCAACGTCCCAGTTCGGCTAGCCACCCTTTTCTTCGTCCTAGGATCCTGGGGGCCTGGTCGAACCACGTCCAAGGTCACGTGCAAACATCGAGCGCCCCGACTCGTTCCTTCGCCAGTCTTCGCCTCGTCCGCCTCCGCTCCCGCACTCATCCCATCCTTCGCCATCTCTCCACTGCGACCTCCCCCCCCTTCCCTACCGAATCCGATCATCGTCATCAGCATCATCCAAGAGATGAGTAGTCGCGGCGGTAAATTAGCCCCCGAAGTCAATCGGTAAGTCTTCTCGCGACAAGGCGCGCGTTATCCGTCGGCATAGCGCCCCACGCCACATTCGCCCATGGACACGCAGCTTTGCAGCCCCGGGACCTCAAATCCCAGTATCAGAACCTCACTGACCTCTCTCTATAGAGCTCTGTTCGTCAAGAACTTGAGGTATGCCCTGGACGACATCGAATTCACCGTCTTCGACTAACCGTTGCCGATTTAGCTACAACGTCACTCCAGAGGAGTTGTTCGACCTCTTTGGAAAATTCGGCCCAATTCGGTATGGCTCCATCCAACACCACAGCGACCACAGCGACCACAGCCTCGTCGAGTCGACCCCGTCCACGACAGTATACTGACAATTCTCTACAGCCAGGTCCGTCAGGGCATTGCGAATAACACCAAAGGCACGGCCTTCGTTGTCTATGAAGACGTAATGGATGCCAAGCAAGCTTGCGACAAGCTCAACGGTTTCAACTTCCAGAACCGTTATTTAGTCGGTTCGTAATTCCCTTCTCGTTTGCACGTTTCGCTCGACCCAACTCCCCGCTAACAAAAACACCACAGTTCTATACCATCAGCCCGACAAGATGGCCAAGTCAAAAGAGGACCTCGAGGCTCGCCGGGAGTCTTTAGCTCAGCTCAAGAGACAGCACGGTATCGATTGACAATCCGACCGGCCTGTGGGTAGCCTGCCTAGGAAGATTCCTTCTTCATCTGCAGGCCGGTCTTCGTCTTCTTCCAAATCTGCCTCGCCCGATCAGAAGACGATCCTCCGAAACGGCAGATTGCCGAGCAACGTAACCACCAAGGGGCGCGTCAGCAACCGAGCCGTTCGATTCGAGGACGGGATGCGTCCCACCCTACAGACATGTGCATGATGTATCCTGTATTCTATTTTTTTGGGGGACCCCACGGTCAGGAACTGCGCACGTCAACTTTTGGTGGTTTGGCTCGGATTCGCCTGACACACAAACCTCGCTCCTTTAACGGCTCTGGGAATGGTGCACTGGGAAATTAAAGGTTGATTCAGCAAGTGGCGATACGACCAGTCACGACAAGCTGCTTTGGGGACCTGGCCTGGGATAATAGGCCTGATGAAGTCTTTTGCCTGCGGATAGCTTTTTTCGTTTGAAAGCCCTGGCCGTGAGACAAGACTCTTTTCTTTTAACCGTCACAATCTGCTTGATGGTTCTGAGACTATACAGAGTTGTGACGTAAAGGCCTCGTGTTCTGTGTTTTCTTCTTCTCTCATTGTTGTTTATGTAACTCAAATGTTGACCGCCATGGCCAACGCACACGAAACAAGGAGCCAACCTGTTCAATCTAATTTTGATGCTCTTACCAAACACGGTATTATAAAACCCACTAGCGATTTCGACCAGAATGTGAATGTTTGCTATGACGGGGGTGACGAGCATCTGCAGAGGTGTACATGAAATAACGGTCAATCCCCGTAGTGACATTGTTCTAAGCCTAGATGTTGTGTATATTGCAAACATGAAGCTTACCATATCTTGAGCCATGGGGGGCCTCCGTGGAGAGAATCTTCTCTTAGCTGAACCATGCTTGGTTTAAACTCGCGGGTGCAAGATAACGAAGGCCTGTTTTCTCCTGGAACGTAGATCCCAAATCAGCCTCACCTTGAGCCTTAGACTATCTATGTACACTTGTATGCGGAAACGTAAGTCGTGTGGCAATTCAACGCTACGTCACTGTAAACTTTTTGAAGGTCACTCACGGAAGTTCCAACACCTCACATGCGCCTCGAAAGTCCTGTCTGGAGACTGGAAGAGTTGTAGTAGCTTTAGGCATCTGTCTGGATGAGTCACATTGGAGTCAATGAGTAGCATCTATGATGTCTTCGAAGACGGGTTGGCCGGAGCCATGTTACTGAAGAGTAGCCTGTTTGCTCACATGTAGACCCGGTGGTTTGGTTTATGGCCTACTCCGCTACTGAGAGAGCAAGTGTGCATGAATGTATATGTATGTGTGCATATGTATATTTGTAGGTGTGTGATTTGTGTGTGTGTGTGGAGAATTGATCTTGCGTTGTCTTGTTGAAGCGGTGGCAAGTCTGCAAGTTTACGGTTGATGTCCCCGGAGGAGGCCGAGCTCTGGGTTCTAAATCTGGACACATGAGAAGACAGTCAACTTACCTGGCATAGCCTCATCGGTGTGGTCCATGATGATCCTTATAGGGAACTGCATGTTTGGGCCCCCAACATGAGAGATGCTCTCGTCGACGCTGGTCACTTGATTTGGTCGACATGCGGAGGAGGACAGGTGAGAGGGGAAGTGGGAAGCGGAGGTGGGAAGCGGAGGTGGGAAGCGGTACTTCCCTCCCAAGCCACGGCCGGAGGGGTGTGCAGCTCAGCGAGCAACCCAAGTGCCGCCTGTGTCTGTCGTGGCGTCGAGAATACCAAAGGACCAAAGGACCAAGTGGACATGGCCGCGATGGCCGACCAAAGTCTGCCCGGCAGCTTTGAAGCTGGGTGCGAGAATGCCTCGCTGGGGCCGCCGAAACGGGCCGCACCTGGAATCCTCTTTCGGCGCGGTCGCAGCAGAGGCAACCCCCCGCAGTTGCAGTCGGGCAGGGCAACGTAGCGAAGGTGGGAAGAATAAAACTAAACGGGAATTTCCCGTCCCATCAGAGCGAACGACGGACGAGGCTGGTCGCAGTTGCGGCCACGCTGCGGCGGCTGTGAGTGGCTGGGCGAGCCGCCGAAGGATGGGGTGTAGGCGATGAAGATGAGATGATGATGCTGGCTGAGCAGCCCCCAGGCCGTCAACGGCAGCGGGCCTTGGGGGGTGTGTGGCTGAGTCCCGGTGCTGAACCAACTGAGCCAACTGAACCAACCAACTGAACTTGTAACTGGCATCCATCTATCGCGTCTTCTGGCCTTGGAAACCCAGACGAAAGAAAGAAGAAAGCCTGTGAGAAACATCTTTTTTCGAATTGGCCACCATCGAGGCCGCAGGATACTGCCCCCCAAATACCCACCGGATTGTCCACCTCTGACCATCTTGGTAGCCATGGTATTCCGGCATTCTGGCAGTCTGCCTGGCCTGCTCGGCTCCCACCGCGAAGCACGCACGTCCCTAGCAGGCTGTTGGTGATGTTACAGCTGGTCAGCCTCGTGCACCAACTCTCGATTAATCTACAAGAATCAACGGCTGCAGAGGCAATGCAGCCTATTCCCACCCGCCATCCGCATGCGGTCTGTACGCCGTCTACATGCCGTTAATACCGGTAGATATGGTCCGTCTGGGCCCATGCCAATGCCGATGCCCATGCAACCAGGAGACGGGCTCCATCCGCCCCCAGCTTCCGCCCGCACAGCCACAGCCTAGAAGCCTTTCTCAAACCTGCCATATCGTCATATTTCCATACTCCCATACTCCCGTACTCCCATATTCAGCCGCGTCTGCTCTCGTCGACCCAACTCCCCGCCCGCATCGTGACCCCAAACCAAATCGTCGTTGCTTCTGCTTTTTTCTTTTGCTCTGCCATGATCGCCTGCTACCCATGTCCCTATTCCCACCACACCCCCCATGTGGTCCCGTGTCCCGCGTACCGGCTCTGACCTCATGCCCCATCACCAACCATCGCCGGCCGCATGTGCGGTCCTTCTCTACACACTACACACTACCTACAGCCTCCCTATGCCGCTATGATCCATGTCCCCGTGAATCCTCCATGATGCTATAAAGTCCATGGCAAGCCCACCATGTTGCTCATGATCCATCCCGTTCAGCCTCTCTCACACCTTTACTTCCTGGCTGAGCTTCTTCAGTCCTTCATGTCTCCACCTGTGTCCCGGTTCAGCAAGTTAACCCTCGAGAGCATGCCTCCAGAAACTCGATCGAGGACTCGGGCTGAGAGTCGAGCCGAGGAGTCGAGGCAGAACCTCGAGGAAGAGTCGAGCTCCGAATCGGAGATGGATTCAGATATCTCTGACTTCGAAGATGAACCCCCCACCGTGGTCCGCTCTCCCACAACGAAGCTGTCTTATAGCATCCATAACCTCCCCGAATCCACGCAGAACGCCGTCCGCGATGCCTTCACCGAACCCCCCAGAATCGCCCTCCAGAAGTGCCGCCGCATCGACGACACCTACGCCTTCCAGATGACGGAACTCGTCACCCGCTCCATCCGCATCCGAGCTCCCGAACATGGCAGCTCACAGCTGAGCTGCTCATGCGGCCACGACGAGGAGCCTTGCGAACACCTCCTGTGGCTGCTTGATCAAGTGGTCAAGCAGACCGTCTACGACCAAGACGTCTCTAAGCCCCTAGAAATGACAAAGGGCGGATACCCCAGGGAAATGGGAGACCCTTTCCAGAACATCGCCAACCACCACCTAGATCTCCTTGCAGATGGAATCCACTGCCAGGTCGTCACACCCGACTCGGAGTACGACAACGAGCTCGACCCGTACCGCGCCCAAGAAGCCCGCGAGCTCCTCTCCTCAGTACATGGCGTGTCTCCAGAGGACTACCGCCCAGACATCTTCACTCGTCCCTCGGCCGGGAAGAAGATCTTCAAGCGCCGGGACCTGGACCGCACCATCTTCCGGATGCTCCTCGACGACCACCATTTCTTCCACTACTTCCACTCCCTCTCCCGTCCCACGGATCCCATCAACGACCCCTTCCGCAAGCTCTCCCAGCGCGTCAACCACGTCCTCCGCGACCTCGACGCCTACGCCGCCTCCCCGGACCCGGACCCGTCCCAGGAAACCCCCCGCGACATCAACTGGGCCGCCACCCACATCACCGGCGCCGTCCGCCTCATCAGGCACGAGCTGTACACGCGCGACCGGCCACTGGAACCAGTCGAGGCCATCTCCGCTGCCCGCAGCCTCGTCAACATCCTCGATGCTGTCGTCTCGCGCAACCGCGACGCCCACGCCGGCACCTCGCGCCGCGATCGCAACTTGTACCTGCGCCTCATCGGCGATCGCGACGAGGACTTCGTCCTGGGCGTTTTGAACCTGCTCCCCGAGGCCGCAAGCCAGTTCCTAAATAATCTCGAGTCCATCCTCGACCAAATCGGAGTGCATGGAGCGCCGGCGGCCTACGCGGCCCGGTTTCGCGCTCTCCTTGACAGGCTGAGGACGTCGGGCACGGGATCCGGGCTGAAGCGGTCCGTTCAGGGCCAAGGGACGGATCGCAAATCCAAGAGGATGAAGTGAGACGTGAATTGCGTTACTGAAGTGGATTTCTTCATGTTGGGCGTGGCGGAAAGGCACGGGAATACAACCAAAATGGCCATTTGATATCCTTGGGATTTAAGGCGAATGCTCTCTTTTAGATAACTCACACCAGACCATGTCGCCAGACTAGATTATAGAGACCGGGCTTCTGTCATGAGATAGAGAATACTCCTTGAAACTATCGTGCTGTACTCTATTCCGGTCGTTCTAGGATCTCTAATCTGGTCGTGTTTCCATGTTGTCTTTGACAACCAATAGTCAGAGCAACGGAGCCGCTTAAGCATCGATGCCACCCTCATCTCGGAATGCCTCCAGATCAGCTAAAACTTCCTTTAGCGTCGGCCGGTCATAGTAATTCTCCTTCCAGTCCCCCCGCTTCATACCCTCCATCCTCTCCTTCAACCACCGCTCTGATTCCTCAACCTCCCTCGACCACCAATCCCGGGCAGTCTTCTGAACGTTCTCCGCCGTGGAAAGACCTCGATTCTCGTTTCCCCGTAGCACAAGCCGATTTCTCTCACGCACAATCAGCTTGCTCATCCCATCTTGTCTTCCTCGGGTACATCGATCAATGAGGCCCCGGATGGGCTCCGGGGTTCTGGTGTATCCCGGAAACTCCACAGCGGGCTCCCATCGGTACGATAGCCAAACGGCGGCTCGCTGGGGAGCACTGTTTCCCTCAAAGATACACCAAAGCACGCGTCCCAACATGTAAACCTCACAGGCTTCTTGCTCGGTCGGGGTAAGGCATTCCCAAGGGACATTGTAGCCCTTTGACGGCCACACGTACCCCTCGCCTTCTCCCATCGCCTCCCAACCAGGGAGCATTTCGGTCAAAATGTTGGCATACTTCTCACTGACTTCCAGTGGAATCTCATCGTCAACAGCAAGCAGTCTCACATATTCTAGGGCGTTCACTTCCGGGGCGGCAAACTCGCACCAGACTCCCCGTTGTTCGAAGTCGACCATGACGGCATTGCGAGAGGATGACAAGACTATGTTGTCAAGTCTCAGGTCCGGGTAGAAAATGGTTGACGTTCTGCGGAGGTGGATCAGTGCCGATGCGAGTTGAAGCGACCACTTTGTCTCATCTGCCAACGAAATCTTGTCGTGTATCCTCAGGAAAGGGATCAAGTCACGAAGGCTGCCGTAGGTATGAAACTCCAGAGTAAACCCGACAACTGCCACCTTGCTTCCAAAGCTACATTTCTTCGTCACCAAGTGGGCTGGCCGAGTGATGATATTGGGGTGGGGCTGAATGGACAAGAGTTGCTTCAGCTCATGATAGAGGTACTTGGTGTAGCTGGTAAGGGCTTTGAAAATCCATGTTCTGCCCTGAATCTGGACAAGGCAGACACTGTCATGCAGCTGTGTGCCATAGGATACCTCACCAATGTCAATGGTTGGAGGCAATTGTATGTCGTTCCCCCAGTTGCTCTCAAGGGACTGCGCAGACAAGAGCTGGCGTTCCAAGTAGTGAGTTGGGGCAACGGAAATGCGGGCCTCAGCAACATTGACGGGAAGATTGTCGAGAACAATTCTGGACCCAAATGGAACGTTGTGGAAGATTTGCGTAGGGTCCCTCAATCGTGACGTCCAATGCTGTAGGATCCGAAGAACGTGACGTGTAATGCCTAAAATGGCGATGCGGGACCCGCTCGTGGTGTGGAATGCAACGTCGACATCAAGAACACCACGAAGCTCTTTTGAGAGCTTGGCGGGCTCGGGGATAAAGACATCCACCCGAATCGGCGAAATGGTTTCGAGAAAGAGCGGCACGGCGTAGAATTGGCTCCCAAAAGCAGTACAGCCGTCGATGCGCCATAGCGGACGTGGCAGAGGCGCGAGGCTGTCAATGCGGTTCTTGGGGTTCAACAACGAATCCTGCCAGCTGGCAGCGGAGTTTCGATCTGGGCAATCTGGAGCAGGGTCGGGAGAAGCCACTGAGAAAGCGGCTGTCGGATGGATGACATCGTGGATGGACTGCTGACTGAGCTCCATGGTTCGGATGGGAAGCACAGCGGAACAATCTAGACCAGAGAAACATATCGTTAGCCCCGACAGCGTTGCAGTACATGGCAGCAAGCACCTGCGGTGTAAAGTCTGCTGACTAGCAGCGTTGGGCAGCTCGAGCCGCGCGGATTAGACGCAAGGGAGTCGGAGCCGGAGCCGGAGGCCGCTTCAGCCAATGTGACCTCAAAGTGACCAATGCGAGGCAATGATAGATCTGGGCCAGCGAATCCAATGTGTAGAGAGCAGAATGCGGCAGGATCAACGTTGGGCGGTTGGAGAGCGAGTTGTCGTGCGACTGTGACGGCGACCGTGAGGATGACACAGTCAAGTTGGGTGGCTAGGTATGCGTTTGGACAGCCCTGCAAGCGGACTGATTCGGCTTTGCTCGCCTGATCACATGATTGGGTCACAACTGTTGGGTCAGGAGCAAAGGTGATTAATCATACTTTGTTCAGCACCATGCCATTGCCATGGGCAGAAGGAACACCCGTCCCAGGTCCCGTCCCGTTGTGGTTCTGATTTGGAGGAGCTTGGTCCGACACGGAGAGAGGCGTCCGCAGCCTGTAGAGACGCCGCTTTGAGGTCCCACCTGTCAGTTGTCCGTCAACAGCCGCCCTCGCACCAGAGGCAAGCCAATCGCTATTCCAAGACCGACGGCAAGTACCCGTTTTTGCCAGTAAGAACGCCGAAGCAGCGAAGCAGCGATGGAAGGGGCTAGCGTGGCCAGAACCAACCGTCCAGCCACAAGAGGCTTCCTCGTCAACCTATTGTAACGCAAGGAAACGTAGCATAATGCATATTAAATCGGCGGCCCGTCTCGATTGCAACGCTGCCTGCAAGAGATGGTGTCTTCATCGCGCGGTTCTGATTGGAGAGGAGACGTCGTGAACAGAAGGGGTTGTCGCCCTAGGACTTGGGTTGCCGAAGCTGTGCTTCCCACCACGAGCACAGGCATCGGCCTGAGACAGCGTATTGCTGTTGATGGCACAGGATAGGAGCAGCCTTTCAGGGCCGGATTTAAAAGGACGAAGACGTCTAAGGGGGCTGGTTTCATGATGAGGTTCCTACCCAGCCCATCTATCGTACAGTAACAGGGGGCTGTCTAAAAGTAGTAACAAAGAGCAAAGTCAAGAGCCAAGAGGGGATATTGTCTCACATGACTCTTCAGGTGACTAGTCGTCTGCTTCAAATAAGTCTTGTGTATGGGGGAAATGCACGGGAGCCTGCTTGGGATCGAGCAAAGTGCAATCACGCTTCCGGTCAACCAGCGCATTTTCTAGACACGTCATGACTGCATGAGTGTCGGGATCGATGATTTGACCTAGCAGACCGAACCAGGAAGTCGATCCTAGAGCAGGACCGTTGGCGGCTCGTAGTAGTTGGTAGCAGTTGGCGGCAATATAATAAGAATCCTTGTTCTGAACGAAATGAGAGACTGGGTTCTGTTGATGAACCTGGCTTCACGGCCGAGAGCAAGATATGAGGGGCCAAATAGTAAGAGGTACATGCACTAATGGCAGAAATATTAATATCGAGGCTCTCTAGAGCTGGGGCATAGGAGTAGTTGTGAGGGGAACAATCAGTGGCCACGCAGAGGAAGGTGACGACCCTCTGATAATGTTTTGCAACACACCGGGACGTCCTGACGACCTGGGCTGGCGGAACATGTATATCATCGAGATGGTACATGGACTCGGCGCGAAGTGACTCGCGCGCCGAGTTGCTGCACATTCACATAGGTCGCAAGATGGGGCCAACATACTAGCGGTCAAGCTCGGGTTGAAAAGCCACATCACCAATGATTCGCATTTGTGGCACGTCAGTCAAGAACTTTGGCCGTATGCCATGCAAAGACAGAGGGATCTCGCCCCCGTTGCCCAAAAAGAAGAGCGGGGATGCTTCCGAGTGGCTTGTTGTCGCGTCCCGCGGTGCACTGTCTCAAACGACGGAAGATTGGTAAACGAGGCCGCCATGTCTCAAGAGAGCGCTGTGGTGCGTCGCACAGGCTCTAACAAGCACAAGGGCCGGGAGCCAACAAGGGACTTGACTCGACGCACGCAAGGTAGTTGGCCAGACCCCCGAGAACGGGCGGCTTGAACGCACGCCAGCTTCTGACATACATGAGAGGTGCCGACGCCAGGTTCGCCTCCAGAGTGGCGGGCAGATCCACGGTGGTTTGCATTTAGCGGGAAGTGACTTGCTTTGGCTAATAGCCTTTTTTTGTGGTCTCCATCTCGTTTAGTGTTCTATCCATAACCCGCTGCTAAATGCGATAGGCTCCTGCTGCTGCTGCCACTGCCGCTGGCCGTGACGTCCCAATTAGGCAATCTAGACTCCGACGGCTCCTTCCTTCCCGTGGTGAGCCGTTGAATAGATGGGCGGGTACGTTCAACGGCCTGCCTTTTGGAATGAACGATGCCTCAGATAACATCGCCGGATGATGTTGAGACTCTAGTGCCGGCTACCTACCCAAGTAGGCTAAGGTAGTGAGCCAGCGACCTTTCCCATCCGAAGGCATCACGCATCGACAGCCACTCGTTCAGCAGCGCACCCCATCCACCGCCCGTTTTGCCAGTGACACTTTACCTGCAGCCACGAGACAAAAAGGCAAGAGTCATCGTCATCAAAGATCCTGTCGGGACCCCGGCGCGTTGTGGTGCGGCCAGCCGAATACGGCAATGCCTAATGCCAAGGGAGGCCGGAACTTTGCAAATGTTGATTCCAGGACCAGCGCACACAAGCATGATGCTGTCCACGATGGCGAGATTTCGCTAGTAAAAGAATCCGCAGAATGGGTTTGGGCCTGTGGATATTATGTTCATCGCCCTCCCCCACCCCTTTCACTCGCCTCCAAAGGGCCCAGAGCAACCAAGATCTGGTCAAAGTAAGGCGAGCATCGGTCCGATGCCCGTCATCGCTCGACAACCGTTGAGGGATATTGGTTCCTGGTCTCACCGGTCCCCGCTTCTGCCTCTTCATCGTACCAACCACAGCTTTGCGTGACGATGGCGCACAGGAGTCTCGTCACATGGCATTGGTGGGAACAAGCATTGCAGCCCTCGTAACCCGGTAGCTGGCCAGAACAGCTCCGTCCCAACCGGTCAGCGCCCACCCGGCCGGTGGCAAGCACCGCCATTCAGCGACTTGTGGGCGTAGGTGCAACGGGGTCTGGGGTCTGGGGTAGCCTGGGAAGGCCGGTCAGCAAGCCTCGTTGCACTTGCACGGGCATGCCTCCTCCAAATGGCGCTCACGATGGTGTTGGAGACGTTGAAGGCTACACCCCGCGCATCTTCTCGCCGCCAGGCCATCCCGACCGAGTCCGCGCTGAGCCACTGACCGGGCTGTCGACGCAAACCCTGTCCGACCGACTTTCTGACGCGCCCTCGGTCTTGTTGTATTCCCTAGAATTGTTTGACGGCATTGCGACCGGCGCAGGTAGCGGATACATGGCGCCTTGCCTGCCCCAACGAAGTCCGCCGCCCAGGCCGAGTCGACTTCGCGCACGACGAAAAGTAAAATGATACCCTACCCACCCCGGGCTGTTCGTGCGACCATTGCGACCATTGCGACCATTGTGACCATTGTGGCCATTGCGGACACTCCCATGTCAATCACATGGCCGATTACATGCACCAACGTCTGTCGTCCTTCCCAAATTCCGTGGAAATGGAACGGCAGATTGGCAAAGCATTCATGATGGATGGGCGAAGCACTGTGGCATGGCAAATCGGCATCCAGGCCCAAAATCGAACCACATCCCACGCTTCCAGCAAGTTCCGGTCTTTGAATACCCGGTCCCAATTCCTACGACCCCTCCCCGCCTCTCTTTGGCCCTGGGCCTGGGCGCTCTCTCCACCTGATCGGAAGCCCAAAAGCAGAGGTACGTCAGGACTGGGCCGTAATAATCAGAGTGTTCCGTCCAAGCACTGCGACCAGAGACGGGCCCCTGTCACGCCCATGGTACCCCTCAGACCGGTCAAAAACAATTCAGCACGGAGTAATGTTGTCTCTCCTCACCGAGTCCACTCTTCTCTCTCACAGACTCGACCATCTTCACCCTTCCCAGCAGCCCGTCGAGCCGCCGCTTCAATCGCTTGACGCCCAGTCACTACGGCCACCACACCGCCAGCCGCCAGCCCACTCAGCCCGCAGCTCGCATCGGCCGTCATCCCTACCTCCATCGCGGCCGCAAGCATATCGGCCTGCTCGACACACCAAGCCTCGCTCCAGAACCGACGCCAGTACCACAGCAGCCGGCGTCAATATCGACAGCAGCACCACCGCCCAGCCAAGCCCGGGCGACGCATCGCATCCCAACAGGTGCGCCGAAAGTTCCTAACGAGCGGCCACAGAGAGCACGCACACCAACGTTCTTCAGCGACACCACCGTCTCCTCCTCGCCTTATTCTCTCACATCAAGTCTGGACGTTGGCTAGTCTGCCCTACTTACTTATCTCGTTGTCGTTGGGCCCCCTCTCCCGCCGACCTCGCCTTTCTCACTGTATCGGTCTTCCCTCAACCGTCTCTCTTAGCTCATCCCATTGCCGAAACTTGGTTATTGTCGACCTGGCGCTCCACTCGCCGCACTACCGTGGTTGAATTTGTCTGTCCCGGTGATGGCTTTCGTGGCACCTTAGCCTACCACCACCCTCCCCCCCCCCCTCCTCTCACCCCGGCGTCGCTCAACCTCGCCCGGTGGCCTTGGGCTTAGCCTGACCGACCTTGACGCTCCTTGTTCCTGCTTGTATACCCTATACTTCGGTCCCCACGTGGTGGTACCTTGACCTTTGTTTCTTGCTGCTGCGCAGCTTTGTTCCACACCCTGTCTCACTGCAGCCATTATGGTAAGAGATTTCCTCTTCCCGGTTGGCGGCAACCTGCATGGGTTATATCATTGATCCCTTCCCATCCGTCCCCTGTGGGCCTTGCCAATCACGCCTCCGTTTTCTCTTCTCGCCGCCCCATCGGAGCTCTCGTGCCCATGACACTCGGTCAAGAGTCTGCTTGACCTCGCCCCCAAGCCCCCTCCTGACACTGCTTCCGACCCGAATGTGCGGTGAATTGATTTTTCTATAGAATTCACATCACCCCTTTAAGCCGAAGCGGCCTCGCCCCCATCCGGGGGTTGAAGATCCGCTACCTTCATCATTATCATTCAACCCACCCACAGAAGTTGGTTACAACTCCTTGCCTATTGATATCCGGCTTCAGCTTGACCACCTTGCCCAATTCTATGGCATTTCTTCTGGTGTTCAAATCCACCAAAACATTCAACAGGACCAGTCCCGTAAGAGACGGAGACTAGATCAACATTTCCCAATGGCCCCGGAGCGCGGATCGTCTTCGTCCCAGGGATCCCTTGAGAAGTTTCCTGCGCCAGTCCCCTACGATCAGCATCAGCATGGCCAGTATGGACCGACATCAAGCTGGACCGAGTCTGGATCGTCTCCCATGCCGTCCCCCGGCTCGCCACTAGCCAAGCGGATGGCGGACTTGAGTTTGCTTCTGTGTCCTTGTTGTGGGTTTGGCCTGAGGCCACTGGACGGTACGCACCTGACCCTTTCTTTTTTCCCCTCATATCTTGTCACGCTTGGAACTATACCGGTGAACATGGCTGACGCCGTTCTCAAGGATACCAGCAGCTTCCTGAAGCGCCACCGGTGGTGCAGGGCCCAGTGAGCCCGTACATGGTAGAGAAACCGCCATCCATGCAAATCCCGGCCTCTGAACCTTACGGATCCGCGAATCTGGACCTGACACAGCAGACAACGTTCCCATACGCTCAAAACGGTCTAACTTCGCCACCTCTCACCGGGTTCCCTCTTATTCCAGATCAACCAACGCTGACGGTTCCATTGATCAATGGCACTAACTCGGTACAGCATCATGGCTTACCAGTCGCCGACTATTACGCCAGCCAAACCCTGAAACCAGACCCAGATCTTCAGAATCAATCCGTTTTGCAACCCGACCCAATAGTGCCTCAAGACCTGTCCGCAATCCAATATGGGTCTGATCTTGGCCTCGTCGTTGGGCAAGAGATGACACAGCAAGCCATGGACACTGCTGCAAACATGTCTCAGTATAGCCTTGTGCCGGCGGGACAAGTTGATGAAGCTCTTTCTCAAGCCGTACCGGTGAATGGCTGGAGTGATGTTTCTTTGTTGGATCAGCACACAAACTTCGACATTCTTTTGCCAAATCAGCGTGGGGGGAAACGCGGACCGTTCAGGGATCTGAATCTCCGTGAACAAACGGCTCAAACCCGGAAGATCGGCTCATGCATTAGATGTAGGATGCAGAGAATCCGCGTAAGTTTCCTGCCATCCTGACCCTGGTGTCTTTGGCTAGATGTTGGTGCCGCTGAGATGCTGACTTGTCGATGTAGTGTGAAAACAATGATGATGAGGAGGGTGGCCCATGCTTGACCTGCAAAAAGGTGTCCAACTCTAGGGCGGGCCGATTCCCGTGTCTAAGATACAAAATCACCGACATCAGATTGTTCAAACCCGGTCAAGTTCCCGGTTTTGAGTGGACACGGAGGTGGAATAATAACATTTCGGATCCGATTCAGAATTGGGCATCGGAGGACCTCAAGACCATTTTTATTTCGGACGGCCTCTCCAATAGGTTCGTTGAGGTTCAAGTTCGTCGCTTCATCCCCCAAGCAGGCGACAAGCTCGAGCGAACGTGGGACTTTAAGGGAATGAAGAAGTCGGTCTCAATTCCGCCCTATGCCCTGGTGAAGCTGGAAGATGTGAAAAAGGCCTACTCCGAGCACATTCAAGAGAGCATGCGTGAGGCCTTTGGAAGCCTGTTGGGCCCTCCTGATAGCCTCTTGTACCAGACGTATGACCGGGCGTGGCGAATATTCCGCGATCCATCGACCCCCATGGAGTGTCTGGATCTAATCGGTCGGACGCTGATGCTCTGGATGTCGATCCGTCTGACGACAAGATCGAGCTTCATCGTTGGGACCGAGACGTTGGGGATGCCCCGAGACATTCTAGATGAGACAAGTCCAAATCACGGCATGATCCCGCTCCCACCAGTGCTCGGGGCGCAGCTGGATCTCGTCTTGATTCACCACATTCAGACAAGACTCCGCAGAGAACTGCTGGACAGGCTTCAAAAGACGATACAAAAGAACAAGCAAAGCACATGGCTGGTGACTTACCTTGTGACTTTTATTCTTTTGCACAACACGGCTCTCATTACTGGACACGACGCCGGCTACGCTAGGAAGCACGGCATGAAGGTGAGGACGCTGGAACTAAATGAAGCCAAAACGAGGGCGAGGGCCACTTTTAATGCGTGCCTTAGCCCACGGTACTTAGGTCATGAGATTGCTAACGCTCCGTGTGCTCGCAGCGACGATTCGCCCGAGAGGACAAGGTTAAAGAGTATCACCTGGGTGAGTGAGACAAGCGCTCCCTTACTGCCCCCATTGGGCAAGCTTGTGGATCAGGATGAGAGGCTAACACATGGCGGCAGGTGCCAACATTCTCCTGGCGCATTTCCACTACTGCAACAAGGGCATCTATCCTTTTTCTGAGGGGTGCAAAGACCAGGACCTGAGAACCCTGGCGGGCTTGGATGAGGAGAAGATCCAGTTCGTCCACGCCACTAGGGCCAACGCTAAGCAGAATAGTAAGTCAAACCTGGTCCCCCCCCCTCTCCAGTACCGAGTCCCTGGGGCAGCGCTAATGTGGCATTTGCGCCATTCAGAGCGAGAGTGGGAGGAACTCCGGGATGGCGCGACCTATGAAGATGACTTTTTTTTCGTAAGCCAGCTGTTTGAGGAGAATTGGCAACCTCGCACGACGCTGTGATTGGGTGGTGGGCAGAATGATGGAAGGGTTCAAACTGAGACTAGAGAAACGCTGCGCAGATGCCGCATGGGAATACCCACAGGGCAACAGATTGGTTGGGAGCCAGTGAGAGCCGTGGAGCCGTGGCAGCGCCAGCCCCGGTCGTGAGACGTACCGGTAGTTCTGGTGAGCTGACGCGAGAAGGACGCGCCCCTTTTTGGTTGGTACCCGGAGGGCCAAAGTATGTACCGGGGGTAGTATGATGATGGACATCAGGTACCTACTGTGGAGGACGGAGGCGGGACAAAACAAAGCACGAGAAAGAGGAGGAGGAGGCGGGAGAGGCCAAGGTGGAGAAGCGGACGAGGACCAGAAGGAAAACTGTCTCCCCCGAGACGAGGAGGACGGCAGACGGCTCCGGCCCATGTCGATGGCCCGCGTCCTCGGACGCACACGGTCAACCGGACGCCGGGACCCGCAGCCAGCCGAAGGCTTGTTGATCCATTACAGGTTGCACATTACACGGCGGCGGTTCGCGGCTGGCTGCCAGCGCATCACAGGTTGCACTTTGATGGTGATTCCGAGAGATTCCGAGAGATTCCGAGAGATTGTGAGAGATTGTGAGCGAGTGTGAGCGAATGTCAGAGCGAATGTCGGAGCGAATGTCAGGGCGAGTGTCAGGGCGAGTGTGAGTGCGTGTGTGCCGTTGGAAAATGAAAGGAAGAAAAAGAAAATAGTATGCCAAAATTGCTCATGCGTACACCCATGTCCATGTCCATGTCCGACCTGCGACGAGGACGAGGCGCCAAGCGCAGTGCTTGCTCGGTGTGGTGTTTTTCATTTTTGTGAATCCGTCCGTGTTTGGTTTGCGCCGACGCCGAATGATATCGGTGCTCGTCTTGTCCGACATGGCTTGCCCGTGATACTATGCTCTGGAAGGCTCTAGTAATATCAGCACGGACGGGATGCGGCTCCAGCGCAGCCAGCCATGCACAGTCAGCCAGCCAACAGCCAACTAGCTAACCAACCTTGACCGAGTAGTGTATATTTGGAGAAAAAAGGAAGCAGCAGAGCGGGCTGTGCGACGGACGGTGTGACGGTGTGACGGGGTGACGGGAGACCGGGAGACGGGAGACTGGCGGCGACGGGAGACGGGTGACGGGCAACGGGAGCTATTCAACAAGTGGTAGCCTGGTGTTGGATTCCCGCATTCCCATGGCGACTAATTACAATACTGTCGTACAACGGGCCGAGTATTGAGTAACTTCGTGCTGCGACTACTGCACCGGCTTCGCGCGCCTGCAGAGACGGACCCTTCTCCCCGGCGCTAGACTCACGCCAGGTCGTGGGTCTTGGGTCTTGGGTCTTGCTTGGGTCGTGGGGAGTCGGAGTCGTTTTGGTGCTCTATGGTGACCCGCCGAGATGGTCAACAGGGTCGTTTTTAGCAGACTAGCACCGCCGTCAGCCCAATAATCCCAAGTGCAAAAGTCAGTCAAGCCAGACGCAAGCCACCTGATTTTGGGCGTTTGGCAGCAGAACGATCGTCAGCGCCCCCCCCCCCCCCCCCCCAAACGCCGCGGTGGAGTGTGTTCGCTCTTTCTTCTGCGCCCTGCTTGGGGGCCTCGGGACTGGATGACGGGGTGATGGTTTCTTTTCCTGGTTTTGTTTTTTGGGTAACCGGACAAGTTGTTGAAACCTTCGGCTCGCCCTGTCCTCCCTGTGGCTTGTTCGATCCATGCGCTCGCACGCCCATCGCCGCGATCGGGTATCACGAGGAAGGAGGAAGGAGGCGGGAGGCGGGAGGCAGGAGGCGGGAGGTAAGAGACATCTCGCAGTGTGCTCCTCCCGCTGGCTGGTCCGACCGGGCTCTGCAGCCATCGTGCCGTTTCGTTTCGTACCTCCGTCTCGTACCTACTTACTTTGCCGGCTTGCTTGCGCGCGTACCTACCTGGTCACGGTATGACCCGTCAGTACTCACCCGTCAAAGTCGGAGGTACCTGCGTCGTCCTGGGATATGTAGGTAGCCCGCCTGGCTTGTGTAAGTGTGTACGAAGCAAGTAGCTATGCGAAAACAGTTCCAATGTGTCCGAGAGAAGAAAAGGGGTTCTCAGCTAGCCGTCCGATGTGTCCCTCGAAGCCGTCCTCAATCTCCCTCCGCACGCGACTATAATAAGGCATCTGGGGATGCTCCTCCTCTCGCCCTTGTTCTCCTGCTCTCCCTCGTACCTTCTCCCACTCTGCTTGTCTCCTCCACTGCTGGTCCTCAGCTCCTTCCTCCTCACTTGCTTCGCTTACAACATCGTTGCCCCTTGCAGCCTGGCTGACAACACCAACCAAGACGCCAACTCCAGCAACCGCGCCTGCCATATCTAGAGCCTGCCTACTTGGTCTGACTTCTATCACAGGCTCTGGCCATTTCTCCCCTCCCCTCCCCTCCTCTCCCCTCCCTCCATCCCTCAACTTTCAACTCTCTCATCAACTGTCAACTCTCAGCTTTCAACTCTTGAACCTCTTTGCTTGCTCAACCGTTCCACAACCACCGCAACCCATTCGCTTGACCTAGACTGTTGCAACAAGACGTCTTTGGTACAATAGCTTTCCGTCCATACTTAACTATTGTGAGTTTTCCCCGTTCTCTCTTTCACCAGGTGTTGGCATGGGTGGTGGTGTCCGCGTTGGCGTTGGCGCTGGCGCTGGCGTTGGCGTTGGTGCATTGCGGCGGAGGTGTGGTGGTCCTGATCCTGGTCAGTGCTGATACGTTGATTCCCCAGAAAAAAGAAGAAAATCGCACCAAAAAACCACTCCCATCAAGATGGCATCTCTAATGGCTGGGCCTGTCATTGGTTCGGGCCCAGGCTTTGAGCTGGGCCGTGCGGCCGCAGCATGTCCGGTTCGCGTGGCACAGGCGCCAGCTGGACTCCCTGACGGGTTCCCACGGGTCCTGGATCTGCCCATGGCGTGGACCGGTGCTCAATTTGTGGATCATGAGTCTGATTACATTCACACGCTCAGCGAGTCTGATCTGCAGGAAGCCGAAAAGGCTCTCACGCACTTCAAAGGTGCGTCTCTGGCGATTCCCCACGATATGGACTAAGGCACCTTTCTAACCTCAAAACAGCCTTAGGCCTGGATGGAGATCTCGTCGCTCGCGACAACTTCCCCCTTCCCACCCTGGGCCCACGACTGGACCAAATTCGCCGAGACGTTCATGAAGGCAAGGGCTTTGGCGTCATCCGTGGCCTTGACCCACAAAAGTACTCGGTCGAGGACCTGACTGTCCTCTATCTTGGCATTCAGTCGTACATTGCCAACCGCCATGGCAGACAGGACAAGAAGGGCAACATGCTGGGTACGACAGCCGGCTCATCCTGCTCTTAGCGTATCACAAAGGCTAACACGGACCAGTGCATATCGTTGCCGACAACTCGTCCGAGCTCAAGGCTGGACACCACCGTCACTCCACCTCCCCCATTGTGAGTACTAGCCACTCCTCTACCCAGCTAGCTCTTGAGTGCACCTGCTGACTTGTACTCTGGACCTTCCACAATGAGGAAGCCGGCGACGTTGTTAGCTGGCTGACGCGAAACACCGCTGCCTCTGGGGGTAAATGCATCATCTCCTCGGCATATACCGTCTACAATGTCCTGGCTGCTAGTCGTCCGGATGTGATCCGCACCTTGGCCAGATCTGACTGGCCCTTTGCTATGTAAGTGCTAGCGACGAGAAACTCTGTTGTCGGCCAAGTATGAAGCCCACTGACACTGACGGCAACGCTAGGCCACGATTCCAGTGCAGACCCGTTCTCTACTACCACCAAGAGCGACTGATGATCAACTTCGGCAGGGTGCCACTCATGGGGAATCCCACCCACCCACGCTCCAAAGATCTCCCCGCCGTGACGACCCGCCAGACGGAGGCCTTGGATGCTGTTGAGGCCATTGCCAAGGCTGCGCAGCTGGAAATCTCCACACGTGCCGGCGATATGCACTTCATCAACAATCTCGCCATCCTTCACCGACGAGAGGGGTTTGTCAACGGGGAGGCACCCCAGGAGCGCCGACACCTAGTCCGCATGAGGCTTCGCGATGATGAGCTTGGCTGGAACCTTCCCGCAGATCTGAGACAAGAGTGGTCGGCCGCGTTCGAAGAAGCCGGGCCCCAAGTCTGGCACATCGAGCCCATGCCGGAGGGCTTCTTCCCGTTGCGCTCTCACGCGAATTGAGCAAGTCGAGCAAAGAGACAACATCAACGATGCGGCAGACGCATGTCCGGAAACTTTCTATTATTGGTACGTTCATTAGGAGATCGGCTAAGGCATGGGGGTGCATCAGAGATAGGTCGAGGGGTGGCGTCGGGGGTATTGAATTTGCTCGAAAAGGTCGACTTGCATGAAACACGGTATTCAATGCATTCTGGCATCAAGTCTGTTTAATCCGGTGTCCTGGTCACGAAAAGCAACAAGGATCGCTGGTCTTGGTCGACCCTGGTGTTGGGCTGTTTTTGGGGGTTTGACCTAGAACCGGGGGTTGGGGCGGGGAAACAGACTGAAGGCCGGTGACTAATAGAATTGGGTGTTATGGCGGAGGCGTAATAGGAAGAATACAGGGATTTCATTCATTCCGGCTTATGATACTGGATACCCGAGAGAAGTGATGTGACGATTCGCGGCTTAGATCTAGTCCCTGCATCTTTTGCTGGGTTGGGGGTGTTTGGACTCGTAGCGCGTGGATCTAAAGCACCAGGCATGGGGCAGAACGGGTCAGCATGGGACAGAACGCCGTGCCTAGAATGGGCCATGGCAGGTTCTTTGCCGGTTATGGAATGGCAGGGTTCTTGGGCGTGGAAACTAGGCAGAGAGGAGACGGCGAGCGAAGATCGTCGTCAATATGACGAAACTGTGAGAGATGCCAAGAAGGATGAGAATCGAAGACATGGGCGTATCGTGGAGGCTGACGGTAGCGCATGCAAATGCAGGCGGGGTGGGGCGGGCTGCAGATGGCTCCAGGCGCCCAGACCGATTGAGCCAGAGGGGCGGGAATCGGCGATGACTCTATGTGGGTCGATGCGAGAGAGACAGAAACAAAGAGAGAGAGTTGGTTGGAACAGGAGAAGAGAAGCGGGATGAGGCGGGGCAGCGAGTGAACAATGTGTAACAAGGATGGGAGACGACGGGGGAGTATTCGGGGACTTTGGATAAAGGGTTGCTTCTGGAAAGTGACTTGGATGGAAGACCCATCTCCTAGTTCAATAAGCGGGTTTCTGTTGAGCGACAGACAGGGTTCAGGATCCATCTTCGGAGACAGTTTACTCGACCGGGGCAGCGCGACGAGGTTGCGGCGAGGTCTGGTGTGTATGTATGGAACGAAGGGTGGCCTGGCGTGGTTTGCTTTTGCTCGGTCTTGCAATGCCGTGCATTGCTTTGGCTGGCCTTGCGCTTGACTTAGCCTCAAACTTGGTTGATTTGATTTGCTTCGCTTCGGTTTACTCCGTTCCTTCAAACGGCACTTGGGGTCGCTTCACTCTACCTCAATTCAAGTTTCTTTTTTGGGTATTTGCTTTGTGAAGCCGTTGCATCCCTTCCTCATCAGAGCATACGTTACGACGGATCAGCAAGATGCAGGCAAGTTCAATGGCGGTGAAGAAGCTGGGGCGGTCGACAGGCAGATGCGAGCTGGAAATTAACAAAGGGAGCAAGGGAGAGGCAGCACAAGTATTATTGGCCATGGATAGGTAGTTGCTAAAAAAAACCAAAAAAAACCAAAAAACAAGTACGAGTCAACGACGAGAAGAAGATGTCATGGACCTGCCAGCCATGAAGACCCCGTGACCAGCTCCAGCGGCCCGCGACCGTTGGTGACGAACCGTGGGCCGTGGCTGTTGGCAAAGCAAACGGGATGAACGGGTGAGGGTCACATTTTGCATGAGCCATGCAGTGCAGATGCGGTGCGGTACGGTGCGGTACGGCGCGGATGCAGTGCGGGTGGCATCGATTGCGATTGCGATTGCGATGACGATGAGACAGATGAGATGAGATGAGATGAGATGTCTAAGTACCGAGTGAAAACAAGAGGCCTGGATCGTGCTGTGAGGGAGTGGGTCCACGGTCCATGGCGACCAGCACAGCGATTGGCCCCCTGGGTCCCAACGCTCTGGAGCAGCCGCATCAATGGGGGCCATATTCCATGGATTGCTCCGTGGGAGCCCGAGGGCCTGGACAAAGGGGCCAGATTACCATTGACCAGTGACTAAACGCAGAGCATGGATCGATCAGTGCATTAGGTAGCATGTAAGTAGGGCACGCACGTAGGGCGCCTCTTCCCCCCCACCCATCTCAAAGCCCCCGCGCCGCGACGGTTTCCCCTGCTGGGTCGGTCGTCTTCTTCCCGCGGATGCACAGTGTCAGACCCGGCCGCCGATTGGCCCGCGCGCACGGCCCCCTTCTTTCCTCCCAACGTCAGAGCCCTGCAGCAAGCTACCGCGTCGCTTCAACGCCAACGAAGCACAACCACCGAGACCAGCCAGTCGCCCAACCGGCCAGCCGAAGTCGCAGTACCACAGCAGCGAAAGCCTCGGGGCCAATCCCGAGCCGAAGCTCCTCAGCGACCGGCCCGAGACGCCGCCAGCGGCTCGTATCTTCGATTGATCGAGGCTCGGGCTCTCAACTCGCCGATCAACCCAGGGGCTTCAAGCCGGCGTTAAGCCTCTCAGCTCAGCAACTGGCAGCGTCTCCTCCCAAGTGGACAGCTCTTCGGGACGCCAAGGCAAGGGATTTACGCCACAGAAACACCCGAAGCATCCCTATCCAAGCCCGTGTCCACGTCCACGTCCACGGGTTCAGCCCCCTGCCGGGACGAGACGTGCCTGCTGCTCCTTGACGTCGTCGACTTACTAGCCTCCTCCGATCCATCGCCATTTCTCTCTTGTCTCTTCTCTCCCCTGCCCCCATCGCCGATTCCCCGTCGACGTTGCCCCAAACGTCCGACGTCAGACGTAAATCGTCCCGCGGTCAACCTCCAACGCCATGGCTGCGTCTTCAGCGCCTCGTGATCATAAGCACGCCCAGGGTGCGGCTTCGGGATATCAACTGGTCCACCAGGATGAAGCCCAGATTGATGCCCAGGACGGCGGCCGCGTGTCACATCCTGTTGCCCCTGTGATGCCCCGTGGACCCAGTCGGCCCTATCGAACTCTCACCATTATCCTCGCAGGGCTGGTTGTCATCCTACTGGGTGCCAATGTCTATCTCACACTGCCTTGGGCCTTTTCCGGCTCCGGCTCCGGCGCGGGTTCCTGTCCGTGCTCTCCGCCGGACGTGCCCCAGTATTTCCAGACCTCCCCTCAGCTCTGGGCCGGCGCAACAGCCACTGGCCGACCGGCCTTCATGGCCCAGACCCGTGTATTCGATCCCACCAACACCTACTTCCCCAATGAGCCCCTGCAGACGGCCATTCCCGTCGAGGGGATGCAAGAGGGCAACCAGAGTATCTTCCACAACATGGGTTACCTGTCGCCTTACCACCCGAGCCCTGGCTTTGGTGTTGACGAGTACCCCCTTCCCGAGGATGCCGAGATCATTCAGGTCCAGATGGTGTCCCGTCACGGTGCACGATACCCGACTCCAAACTCCGAGGTCGCCCAGTTGGGCGCGCTCCTTGCCAAGCACTCTGGCAAGATGAAGACCAGTGGGCCCTTGATTTTCCTCAACGACTGGAAGTATGAACTTGGCCTGGCGATTCTGGTTAACAGAGGACGCGAGGAGCTGTTCCAGTCTGGTGAGTAACTTGATCACAACCACCGAGACGCTGTGACAGGTGACTGACCTCAACAGGTATTCTGCATAGTTACATGTATGGGAGCTTATACAACCCTAACACCAAGCTCATTGTCCGGACTACGGTATGTCACGTTGCGCAGCCAACAATCCACTGCATAGACTTAGACTGACTCTTATGCAGACTCAAGACCGCATGCTGAAGTCGGCCGAGAACTGGATGGCTGGCTTCTTCGGCCTTGAATGGTATGTTACTATTTGACCGGATTGGTTGCGCAAGACTAACGCTCACCAGGACAAACAATGCCACTATTGAAGTGATTATCGAGGGCCGCGGCTTCAACAACTCCCTTGCCGGATCCCAAAACTGCCCCAATTCCAACGACGGGTCCTACCTGGAGCCTGTCAAAACTTGGGCTGAAATCTATCTTAAAGGCGGTACGTTTGTCCTTCTAAGCTCAGATGACGCGCCCATTCTCATACTCCCTTCCAGCAACGGCTCGCTTCCAAAACATGACGGAAGGGTTTCAGTGGACTCCCATGGACGTCTACGCTGCGCAGGCCATGTGTCCGTATGAAACTGTCGCCTACGGCTTTAGCAAGTTCTGCGATCTCTTCACGTATGAGGAATGGCAGCACTTCGGGTATTCGATCGACTTGGCTTTCTCTGCCGGAAGTGGCTTCCACCATCCCACTAGCGTGAGCTTTCCTCCAATTCCTTCATGATGTAGTACTTTCTGACATGCTCTTCTATTTAATAGAGAGCCGTGGGTATCGGATACCAGCAAGAGGTCATCGCCCGCCTCAGGAACCATACTCTGGGCTACTCCGGGTCGCAAATCAACACAACGCTTGACAGCAGCACTGAGACCTTCCCGCTGAACCAGAGCCTCTACTTTGACTTCTCCCACGACACCAACATCATCTCTATTCTGACTGCGTTTGGCTTCACTCAGTTCAGAGACGAGCTCCCTGCAGACAGGTACCCCGGTGACCACGAGTTCACTGTAGCCCATGTAACACCCTTCGGAGCCCGTTTAGATATGGAGGTCATCAAGACGCCCAAGCCACTTTCTGCAAGCCGAGAAGGCTACGAGGATGGCGAGGAGACGAAGTACATTCACTTCATCCTGAATCAGCGAACGTTGCCACTCGGCAAGAGCTTCCCCGAGTGCGGTGCTGATCGTAAAGATGGGTGGTGCGAGTTGGAGACGTTCCTGAAGGTACAGGACAAGATGGCTGAACTAGCCAACTTTGACTTCGCCTGCTTTGGGGAGTACGAGAAACTTCCTTATGGCAAGGTGACGGATGGTAGGCCCCTGTGATTAATTTTGTGATATTTGTGTATGAGGGTCAAGGACTAGGTGAGTAGACATCAGACTGATAGATGGATGGCTTGCATGTTTTGTTGTTTTATTTTGGAATACGCATCTCCCATGGAGAACACTCTTGGATGGTCACCTATTAGAGCCAATTTGTTATTTTCACATCGAGGTTGAACAATATGGTAGATATCAGATCGCCTATCTTGCTTTCGATAGTGTGCTTCAACCCCAGCCTCTGATCAGGTGTTGTGACAATACTTGAGTGATGGTGGGTGATACAGTTAATAAGTCTATTGTTGCTGAGCATGGCCCGTTACCATGTCCACTGTATAAATTAACTCGGTCACTTCTGATTTATCCGAGAAGATGGACAGAGCTGTTTTACTTGCAAATATACCATGGTGAGATATGACTGCCATTCTCCTTGTTCGCATGTTCAGTCAAGGTTGTTCAACACTTCATCGCAGCAAGTGGGAATTGGGTTTGAGAAGATATGGACAATCTGATTCCACAACTATTTAAAGTACCAGACTGCAGAAATGTTATATGTGCGTCCTAAATTTGACTTGCATGTTGCTTTTTCAAAGCCGGATACATCTACCATGCGGGTATTACAATTGTACATGCGGAAAGATTCTCAACCAAAGACGCCTGTGCCGGCTTGCCCCAACGACCGATTTCAAAAACAAAAGAAACATCGACTCTATCCAACACTGCAACTTGACTCAGCGCAGACGCCTAATCGCGCTTCTCGCTGGTGCTTCCGTCGCGCTCAGGCATCTTCTCGACGGAAGGCGCCTTGGTGACACCGGCCTCGTCAGAGAAACTGGGGGTCTGCATCATGGACTGGTGCTCGTGGATACCGTGGGTGGGCTCGAGGACATCACCATCCTCAGCGGGCTCCTCGCGGTGGGGGCTCCAGGCCAGGAAGTCACGGCGGACCTCGACGTAGTCGTAAGAGAACTCGCCGTGCTGGTCATCGTCCATACCGAGGAGCTCAGCCTCCTCAGAGGCACGGAGCTTCAGGCCGGGAACAAAATCGATGAGCTTGGCGATGATGGCGGACATGACGAAAGCGTAAGCGGAGGCGGAGACGATGGCAGCGATCTGCCATCCGAGGAGAACGTAGTTGCCGTCGAGGAAACCACCGGTGAGGCCGGAATTGACGCCGTCGAGTCCAATAACCTTGCCGGTGGCGAAGAAGGCGTTGAAGATGAGACCGACCATGCCGCCGACACCGTGCTCAGCGAACACATCGAGGGAGTCGTCGATGCGGAGGAAGAACTTGACTGGGGGAAAGTTAGTGCCGGGTTCAAGAAAGTGTGCGCGAGATGATCAACTTACCCTTGGTGGCAAAATTGCAGGCGACACCGGCAACGACACCGAGAATGATGGATGCCCAGGGGTCGATGAAACCGGAGGCGGGAGTGGCAGCAACGAGACCGGAGATGGTACCAGAGCACCAGCCGACCATGGACCACTTGCGGGCCAGGCGGTAATCGAGGAGGCACCAAGTCATGGCGGCGAACATGGCAGTGAGGCAAGAGTTCCAGCAGGCCATGGCAGCGCGGAGGTTGGCACCGAAGGCAGAGCCGCCGTTGAATCCGAGCCATCCAAACCAGAGGAGGACGGTGCCGAGGGTGATGAGAGAGATGTTGTGAGGGCGGAAGTTCATCATCATCTTCTCGTTACGTCGGCCGAGGACCCAGGAGTAGGCGAAAGCAGACATGCCGGAACCGATCTCGACGGGGACACCACCGGCGTAGTCGAGGACGCCGTTCTTGAAGGCCCAGCCGTTGGCGTTCCAAACCCAGTATGCGAGAGGGCAGTAGACGAGGGTAGCCCAGAAGAAGACGAAGACCATGCTGGGGATGACGCGGCCGCGCTCAGCAACGGCGCCGACGGTAAGGGAACCAGTGACGGCGCAGAACATCATCTGGTAGAAGGAGTAGAGGAGGGCGGGGACGAGCGGGGAGCCGACGGAGGGGGCGCCCAGGACCTTCTGGAGACCGAAGTGGTGCATGTCACCGATGAAGGGGTTTCCGGATGTCTGGCTGAAGGCGAGAGAGTAGCCCCAGAAATACCACTGGAAGACGATGACGCTGAAGGACATCATGACGACCCAGAGCATGGAGAGGGCCGACTTTCTCCGAGCGAGGCCGGAGTAGAGAAAGGCGATGCCGGGGACCATGATGAGGACGAGACAGGAGCTGACCAGGATGAAGGCCTGGTCACCGGATTGGTACCATTGGTTGAGGTTGGTGGTTGCTGAAAGTGAGGCATACGAATTAGCACACGATGTCCCCGTTCATTTTTTGGCCGAGTTTTTCACGATTTGCATCATGGGATGTGGACTGCGGACTGCGGACATACTGGGATCACCGCCGACCTCGTCGGTTCCGTTAAAGACGGCCGGAGCGCCGACTGAGCTGTAAGACATGGTGGGCGTTGATAGGCTGGGTGTATTTCTCGGTTCGGTTGTAATGGGACGGGAGGGACGTCACGGTTTTCGTCGAGGCGCGAGGTGGCTCTCTCGATGGTGTGTGTGATGTACTCTTGTTGGATGCCGGGGACGACAGCAAGCAATGGATTGTATCCTCGAGGTATGAAGCAGCAGCAGCAGCAATGAGGAGGATGAAGGAAGTAGAGTCACACAGAGCGAGTCAGGGAGTGAAGGTGAAAACGCGACAATGGTACGGAGTACAGGTGGAACAGGATGGAGACTGTCCGAGTCAAGACTCAAGGGCGGGGGATGGATCTGGAGATGGATGCAGAAGAAGCGAGAACGGGGACACTCTATATATCAGAGGAGGAGGGAACCGGAGAAGGCGACGGAGACGGAGACAAGCGAGAAGCGAGCGAGAGAGGAGCCCGGTCATGGTCCGAAGCTGTGGAGGTTGTGGACGCTATGGGACGCTGTGGACGATGGGGACGAAGGGGACGAGCAAGCCAAAGCCACGCGTGGGCAAGGGCGGGTTGCAGATCCCTGGGCATAGTTCGGTTCCAAGATAGAGAGTAGGTACCGTGCCCCAGGCGAGAGCAAATACGTACGCAGTAGGTGAGGTAGATAATCAGAGATTGTGTCGTGTACGTACATTGGAGGAGCGATACCCGACGGTGCGTGTTGGTGTGTGTGGTGTGTGGGAGGGAGAAAGCACACATAACGAGATGGACACATAGTTTAAGGTACGTACCTCTGGCGCTGGGGCGAATGGGCGATAGAGATAGCGCCGCCCCTCCCCCCCTTGTCGTGCGGCCAGGTACCGGGCTGATTCCCGTGCGATGTGCGTCGATACAGCACGAAGTAGGCCGCTTTGGGCAGAGGATTGATTGCTACGCCCACCCTCGATTTTGTTAATTTTTTTGTCATTTTGTCATTTTGTCTCCAGAAGCATCAGTCCCCGATCGGCTTGGCCTTTTCTGTCTCTTGCCCTCCGTCCCTGTTCCTGCGAATCCTGTCCCTTGTTGGGTCCGGATCCATGGACCCCCCCAGAAGAACGCAAGACGACGACGAAACCCTGGGCTGAAACTCGGGCATGCCCGCGATTGTTACTTTTGGTTTGCCAAATTCTTTGCAAATTTCATCTCTCATCTCTGCGCTCTCTCTCAGCCAGACGAGGCACAGCACCGCCGTGTCACGGTATCACGGTATCATGCTATCAATCAGCCTCGTCCCAGAAGCATGACATGAATGTGTCGGTGCTTTTTCCTGTCCGTCGTCCTGATAAGGGCCGCTGTGCAGAATGCATTACAGGCGCCGACTTCAGCTCCCGCACGCTGCAAGCTGCAAGCCACAAGCCACAATCCCAAAACCCCAAGCAACCGTAGCGTGCCCAAGGCGGACAAGACAATCCTCCCATCTCCGTATGCCCTTCTGCGATTGCACACGCCACCGGCCGAAAAAGAATAAGAAAATAAAGCAAAGAAAAATGTGATGCCTACAGTCATCGTTGCTAGGTTGTCCAACTAACTGTCCCTCCACCCCCAGTCATCGTCCCCGTCCCCGTCCCCGTTCCCCCATCTGCATGCATTGCCGGAAACGGGGGCGTGTGAGAGGGGCCTGCATGTGCGTGCATGCGAGTGGGCATGGGGAACGGATTCAAGCAATGGTGGATCCTGTCCTCCGGGGGCGCCGTTGACGTGTGATATCGCGTCCCACCCCGTCTTCAATGGCCCCCCGAGTGCCTGCTTCTACCCTTCTACCTCTTCTAAGCCCCTTGGTTGGCTCCCTCGGGCGTGGGGTGTCCCCCAACGCTTGCAAGGTTGCGAGGTGTATGAAAGAAGAGGCAGAGCGAGGGAGAGAACGAAGAAAAAAAAGATGGGGAAGCTGATGATGGATTCAAACAACACACACACTCACACACACACACACAAAAGCAATAGATGAGATAAAGCTGCTGATGCTGATAGGGAACCGAGATTTGGGAGAGCCGACCCAGCAATCATCGGAATGGCCTTGTCTTCAATTGTCTTGGCAGCGTGCTGGCTCAGCTGCAAGACGTCCGCCGTACTGGGCCTGGGCCATCGTCGTGGTCTGATGATATGTTTGTGGCTTCTTCCTGATGGGGGATACCGTGTCGAGCTGATCATGATGGTTGTCCCGGTATCTATCAGGGCTTGAGCTAGAGGCATAGCCTAAACGAGGTCACCGACAACCCGAGATGCAGAGATGATGTCGACGGGAGATGGAGACGGACACATACGACATCCAACGCTGGACGCCAGACGGAACCGTGGACGGACGGAACCCAACTGCCATTACACATTGTCCGATGTAAAAGCCAACCCATTGCCGCCGCAGACCGGCATGGCCCTCGTCATCGCCCATCGTCCGCCGTTCCTCCACCTTGGTTTCACTGCTTGGCCGTCCATCTCCGGGGCCTGAACCATCAGCTCCAGCCCCCGCCCAGTCTTCGCTCTAGCTCCAGCTGGCAGCCCCAGCTACTGCAGGCAAGGCTCTTTGTTTCCCCTTATACCCGGGGGGGCCACCGTCCGGATGTCCCCGAGGTCAGTGATGAGTGAGCGAGGGAGCTCGCGTGGTGTGGCTCGTTCCGCACTCAGGTCATCTTTTTCTTTTTTTTTTCTCACTCCGCCGCTGCATGTGTGCGCGTGTTGCTAATGGAGGCATGTATCTTGTATTTTGTGGAGAAGTGAGATAGAGACTGGAGGTGGATGGGTGTGTTGCATGGTCTCGGCGATGAGGCGCGACGTGATGTAATGCCTAATCAGCCGTGGTGTGCATCCCCCGCAACCCCAAAGATTCGGGGGGAGAAGGGGAGGGGGGGAGACAAGATACCTTGGGGGCTTCAGCACGATGGGCTCTTTAGGAGGTATCTTGAAATGTCTCTCCTCCAGCCCCATCAGTCCGGCCGCAGTGACAACCAACATCACTTACACATGCTGGCACATGCACGAGACTCGCACATCCGCAGATGGCGCATCAACTCTATTATCGCCCGCCTTTTACACGTCGCCGTCTGTAGCTTCTTTGAGGACGCACAACTATCCAGCGCGTCTGGGAAACTAAGTACCTACATTGCACGTGTTGAGGTGCGCGGTGAGGGAGGTGGGTGGTAATCTATGGTTCGTAGCTTCCGCGCCAGATGCAGATGGACCATGTACGTAGTAAGGCAGGAGAAAAAAAAAGGTTAAACATCCAATTCCTTTACTTCATCACTTTCAAGATAAGGAATTCGAGATCTGGCGGCTGTGATTGGTCGATCCTGGCGAAACACAACCAAATCACACACAGCTTGGTTCTTGGCGTGGATATCTGCACGCCACTTGGCGCACTGACCATGGGTGACCCGCCACACGCCACCCGCCACCCAGTTCCACCTTTCCGCTCTGGGGCTCGGCTCACCCTTGATCCTCGCTCTGGCTCGTCACTCTCTCCGTCCAGATCTCGGACTGCTTGCGTACGTATGCAGCACGTCCTCCGTTCTCCATTCTCTGTTCTCCGTGTGGTATCCAGGCTATCCTGATCCTGTACTACATGGCACGTACCATGTAACGCCCTATTGTCGAACCTCCACTTTGCTGCTTGCTGCTTGCTGCATGCTGCGTGCTCAGAGAGCTCCAGCTACTATCACAGCCCGGCTGAGCTCGCCGTCTCGCACTTTCGCGCCACCCCCTCTCACACGCGCACTTGCACTTGCAAACTCGCAACCACCACGGCCAAGCCGCTTGCTCTCACGCGACTCAACTGTAGATAAGGACCTCGAAGAAGCTCGTCGAGACTCGGGACGGACCCAATTTCTAAAATAGAGCCCCTGCTTGTTTACACCCCGGGCCTTCTCCCCGTTCCGCTCCCCCCTCCTGGCCCTCCATTTCCTTCCCACCACCCCCAGCACGCTTGTCCCCTTGCCTTGGCCTTGTGGGGGAGCGAGGCGGAGCTGGGTCCATTTGGTGACACAAAAGGTGAGTAAATCATTATTTTTGCCAATTGCTAACACCCGTCGGCTCGCTGACCATCCACCGTTGCCCAGTAGATAAACTCGGAATCCGACTGCGTCCCCCCCCTGATGATGGGCCAATCGCCGCTCATCCTTTGACTTGAATGTCTTTGCCAATGCACATCTTTTTTCTTTCTTATCCAGCTCAGTCCAACGCCCATCCACCACCCATCCACCACCCCATCGAGGCACATCTCTTGGCTCGATGCGTGGGCCTAGCCAGCCCGGCGGGCCCTTGCACTGCCCTGCACACATTGCATGCACCACACCTCACGCCTCACGCCTCACAACTCTACCCATTGATTCTACCAGTGCCTCGATTGGGTTTGAATTTGGATTTGGATTTGGATTTGGGTTTATCAAGTTGGTGTTCTGTTTGGAGCAAGATGGTCTCAGTCTCGTCTCGTGGCTCGTGGCGCGGCCTATCGCGTGGCATCTTTCGAGCCGATAGCACCTCTCGCATCATCGAATACAACCCACCCACGTCCCACCGCCACCCCGGATTGCCTTCGCCTAACAAGAAAAAAAGCTCTTGATCACGGCCATCATCCATGGCCAATACCAAGCACCTGTCACCTACCCGCCCATCATCCCGCTTCCTCTCCAGGTCAGGAAAGAATCAGACAATGAACGACGCCCTACTCACCATCTCGAGACTGTCCCGTTCTCTGTTGACCGAGGTCAGCCCCCAACCAGGCTGCTTTTCTTATCAACGCCACCATGCCTCGCTACATCGCTTTCAGCTTCCCGAGACACAACCACACACTGCCCCCGAGGTTAAGATCTTACCCTGCTAACCGATGTCAATCCGAATCCCCCCTGCCCCCTCCCATTTTTCTTCTCCTACCTCCGTACATCGTATATCCGAATACCTTCCTTCTCCCGACCTCCGTAGTCCGGGCCAAGCATCGAAGACACTTGAGCCTCCCTTCCCGTGGCGCCGGTCGAAGCCAAGTTCCATACGTCAAGCTTTTCCACCTTATCTGCGCCCCCATCCAGCCAATCACGCCCCGTCCCACGCTGGCCAACACAAATTCCAACTCGTCATGCTGGGTGGTGACCCCGTAATGCCTATTACTCATCCCACTCCCCCCCCGGTCACGCTTTTCTAGAAGCCCTTCTCGTTTGAGCCGTTCCCCCAAACGCGGCCCAACCAAGCAATCCCCTTCCCCCTTCCCTCCCTCCCCGGACTCAGTGGGCCCTTTGCTGGGTCCCGCCGACCCGGGACGCCGAGATACGGATCCACAATCGAATACCTAATTCATACTTGTCACCACTCCCGAGTGCTCCGATCCCCCCCGTGCCCGATCTCCGGCCCCCGTCGACACCGTTTTCATACGAAATCGGCTCCGCTGCAGCTCCTTACAGAACCTCATATCGGAAACAGCAATCTTGCCTTGAACATTACCCATTATTCACTATCCACTGTTCCCTTTACCGAGTGCAGAATCCCCAATATCCGCTACCGATCCTTACCCCGCGCATTTGCTCGTGGGGCATCGTGACGACATTGCACCGAGTCCACCTTCTCCATCCTCTACAGTAGTAGCACCCGTTGCTAAGGATCTGCTTACCACCATGGTAAGGATCCACTGCTACCTTAGATACCATCCGGTACCGGCCGTCTGCATTGCTGTTCCTACAAATACCAACGTTCCCATGACCATCTCGAAACAGTAACAGTCATAGATCAGCCCTCTTATCAAGATCGACTCTTGTTAATATCAATATGTATGTGGCTGATGCCTTATGTTGAAACTAAGAATGCGAATGCAAAACCGGACCACTCCAGCCAGGGAAATCAACCATGGGACCCTAAACTCCGCCAGTGCAACCGCTGCGTCGGTACAGTGCCAAAGACAGCGGGTATCAATGGACTAAAACCAATTCAACCGCCAAACACGAACACGCTCTCGATACAGAACCCAAAACAACCTCAAGAATGCCAAGAACCGTTTCACCACCAAACGCCCCGTCCATCAAACTCTTAGAATATGCACAGTTTGCCTGTCTGACCCTCGCGTGTAATCTCGTACGATAGAATGTCGTGGTTGCGATAGTGCAACATCAGCCGATATCTCCGCGGCAGCGCCGCATTTCTTCCCGTCCCGTCGCCGTGGCCGTCGCCGTCACCCGACTGCACCGGACCCAAAGCCATGCCATGTAGTGGCCGGAGAACTTTTCGGTGTGCCTCCTCGTCCGCTCGAGTTGGTAGAACCCATTCCACGCGGAACCCGTGTTCCCATACTCCCTCCGGTCGATCGATCGGTACGGCCAATCGAGTCAGCGTCAACAACACAACACGTCCCGTCGGCGACCCGATTACCACAAGTGCCAACTCCGGCGCATGAGCAAACATATTGAGTCGACTAGTCGCATGAAAGTGATGCCTGAGACCTTGGTCTCGAAAGTGTCCAAAGTTGAGGGCGTCGGGGCATAAAACACCAAACTCTTTGCGACCCGTTTCCTTGGAATGACAAAACCCTCGCATCTCGATGTCCTTTTCGTATGTCCGCAGCAGGTGGAACTTGTTCGCGTATTTCGCCAGTGCCTGCTCATCCTGTCTGGGGCGAGCGTTGTACTCATAGGGGCGCTCTAGAAACGCCAGAAGCCGGGCCTTATCCCGTGGGGTCGGATGGACAACTCCATTGTGTGGGAAGAAAGTCATGTCAAGCCGCGTGGGGAATGAGTCCAACGGCCGATCGTCGAGCATTTGGGCCTGTCCGTCCGACGACATGCTACCTGTCTTATCGAACGTATCCAACGAGAGTTCTGCCACACCCACGGCTGCAACTCCTTGTTGGAACTCGCCGTCCCCCTCCCCTAGCACCCCAAACACCTCGTCAACTTCCCCAAACGCAGCTTGGAAAACCCAAGGGCCCGGGGGGTCGACATGCACCTGAGGCGCATTCATGTCGTTATCATTGGCGTCAACCATAACCCCGGCTTCAGCTATATCGTCTCCCTCCTGGCCTTCTTCCACCTCCTCCTCCCCCCCATCGCTGTCAGCTTCTGATTCTCCAAACTCTCCTTCGCTTACTTCAAATTCACCCATCAAAGCGCCAGCTTCCTGGACTGCCATGGTTTGGGCCGGGAAGATCATGGGTGGAAGTTGGTTCAAAACAATGGTTGCGAATGCCGCCGAAGGCAACCGACAAGGGTTCCCAGGAATGTCATTGAGAATTTTCCTAACGTTCACTAGAGGCTGACCACCACGGCCAGGCGGTTCGTAAACGAGATCTACTCGGCTTGCGGGTAGCCCAAACAGCTCCTCCGGGGTTTTAACTTGGATGAAACTGCTCTCCGGGAGGGCAAGAATACCCCAACCTCTAGAAACGATGGCTTGGTCAGCTGGACTGCAGGTTGTGCATTGGCTTCGACTGCTGTGCTCACCTAGAAGGGGCAGGGTAGAATTCCTCGCTTTTCAGTTGGGGATGACAGAGGGGAGATATGTATATTGGGGGCTGGTTCGCCTTCCAGATGGCGGCCAGCCACATGGCCCCCTTAATATCAATGGCGCAGATCTTCTCTGCGTAGCCGTCGTCATCATCTATGAAGCAAACATTAGGAACATTATCCGCGTGTGTACCCAGCAGGACCACGATCCTCCAGTTCCGGGCTCGCTGGCGAACATTCGCGTCAGTTTGGTCACGGGGAATCTGGGCTAATAATTCCTTGGATATGGAGCGCTCTGAAGCAAGCCCAAAAGCAAAGACAGTCACCTCATGCCGGTTCGAGCTGACGGCGATGAGCCGCGATTTCTCATGTACTGCTAGCCCCCATGCAGAAATGCCAACATTTTCGTGGAAGAATCGCCTTGGTGGTCCTCTGGATGATGCGCCAGTCGTTACGCCGCGGCGGTGGAACACTCGTTCAGCCACCTCCTTGACATAATAAGCCACAACATCGCCGTCGTCGTAGCATGCGACGACAACCTCTTCCTTTCCTAGAAACCCAGTAACGATGTGATTGATCAAATGCGGTCGCCTAAAATCAAGGAATCCACCAATCGAAAAAGCGGCAACACTGGGCTTAGGGGCGAGTTGCAGGTCCGGTCGGCGAGGGATCGTCTGCGTCGGGACGGTACGGGGTCTGTAGACAAAGATTCGGCCTTGGTACGCGACAAAGTAGAGCTAAGAGCGACGTCAGTATCGGAGCAGGGACGGCGGCAGAGTAGAGATCGGGCGATGGGGGGGAGGGGGGGTGTCGGGGAGTCGCACATTGTACACCTGGGAGAGGGCCGTCAGGTTGTTACGGAACTTTTGCATGCTGGGAATGACCCTATATATGGATGAAACGGACTCCTGTTCGTCGTCCGAGTCGAGACCGGGCCAAGTGAAGGGCATCTCAGCGTTATGGGGATGCATGCCAAGCGAAGCTCGTTCACGGTCACGAACGGCAATCTTTGCGCCATCGCCAAACTATTGATTCGCAAAGAATCGGCCGGTCAGCACGGCAAGGAAGGCCACTAGACGGCAGAGCCAACTCACCCGGTCCGTGGCGGTTTGCGCATGGCATTTCCCAACCGCAATCTGGTGGAGTTTCCGGGGCGGCATGCGGGCGGGCGGTTGGCTTTCCATCAGCAATAGGGAGGGACGGAGGGGAGCCTCGCCGTGGAGTTGCACATGCGCATTCGGGGAGACGGGTGGAGGTGTCGACCATCCACAAGGAGAGTGCGATGGTTGCGAGAGCGGATACGATGGATGGCACGGGGGTCGAGTCGGGGCTGGGTTTGCTGGGACAGGCAGAGCAGGATGAGGGGATGGGAAACGGTGGGCGAGACAAGAGATGGAAGGTTGAGGTTGCGAATGCGTCTGCGTTTGCGTTACGTTGCGTAAGTGTTGCGTTAGCTGCCCGCGCACTTGCCGGAACTGCTATTGCTGCTGCTGCCGCCGCTACTCAGATGCTCCGCAGCTCCTTCCTGCTAGTCCACGGGGTCCACGGGGGCGTGGTGAGAGGTGGCAAGCGAGAGGCGACTGGCGACTGGCGACTGGCAACTGACGACTGACGGCAGGCGAAGGACGAACAGCGGACAGGCCAGACGCAAACGAGGTGAGAGGTGACAAGTGGGTGGGAGCGTGGCGGGGCCGCGGTTGCACAGGCAGGAGCCCACTGGTTGGGGCACCTTATCGATAAGGCTACCTACCTACGTAGCGGCCGCCGGCAGAATTGGCGACGGCAAGTGGGTGATTGATGAAATTGGATGCATTGATACGAAGCATGGAGCACGCACTGTCAGCGGCTACTCCCTTTGCCCCCACTCCGCGATTCGGGTAGTTCGCCGGCGTTTCTTACGGCCGCCAGCGCAGGGGAGCCGGAACGATAGGAGAATGCTGCCTATCTACGGAGGGACTACGTACATAGTGTGCATAGCACCCATGAGCTTGTTCTATAACTAGGTTTATGAGATGGACGGACGTTACATAGTCCAGAGTATATTTGTTGGTAGGACCGGGAGACCCTAGTGAAACGCTACGTACTTGCTCAAAGCACCGTCGACGCCATTTCCACCGGGCGTGCGGAACATTGTCCAATCTGGTGGGAAAGTCTCACATCGGCAGTGAGACAACCGCGTCCTCGACTCCACGTCCACGTTGTGTAACATATTCATCCGCCACCGCCACCGCCACCATTCATTTTTCGGTTACACAGAGTGGAAATCATAAATCGTATTGTCATTCTTTCCTCTCCCAATCTTGGGAACCCAGTCGCATACATATCCGTATCATAACAAGGTATATCCAACGTGTATAAAACATCAAAAGGGAATCATATCCTGTTGTCCATAAAAGCAACCCCACTCTTTCAACGCCGATTCTTGGCAGCAATCCTTTTGCTTAGTATCCTTACACCGTCATGAGTTCCACCATATCCTTCATCCGATAATCCAGCACCGGCGTTACCCAGTCATCCTGGACCAGTGAGTATGACTCCGAGACGTTGCCGGCAGGTTTACGCGGGTTTATCGCCCAGTACCCAAAGTCAGCGTCCATGCCCTTGAGATAACGCATCAAGTTCTGCCAGTAGTTGGCTGAGCCCATTGATGGAGCCCGCCCGGAACCAATCTCGCCGACCCACACCGGCGCCACGTCGCCCTCGAGCAGATATCCCCAATTGTGTCGCATTGTCTCGGCAAAAGACTCATACGTTCGCTGAAGGAACCGACCCTCGGTACTGCCCCATCCGGACCACGCATAAACGTGCGCCGAGTACACTACTCGGTTTTCCACATCCAGCTGGACGGGACGTTCACCGACATGAGAGAGGTCGTTGGAAGACTCTGTGCCTTCGACAATGACAAGCCAGCTCGACTTCATGGCCAGCAGACGGTTTCCACACTTCTCGGCCGCCGTCGCCCACTTAGACCATGGCATCGTGGCCCAAAGACCACGGATCTCGTTGCGGAGATCGACACCGATCACAAGCGGGTTCTTAATCAGTGGTTGCATGATGGTCTCCCAGTGCTGAATCCACTCTTCCTCTGTCTGCTTTACACGGCAAATGGAGCCCAGGTAGTCGTTGGCCCAAGCTGCATCACACGGGTTCGCGCCGCAGCACCAAGTGGCACTAGTGATGTGGTTGTTCACAATGACAGCGATGCCCGCGTCTGTCAGCGCCGTTACGACGGCTTCGAAGACATCCAGCGCGCTCTTCCCGGCCAGGTCCGGGTTTGCGCTCACAAGCTCGGCGTCAATGACGGGGTTCTTCATGACCGCTTCGTCCGCATAAGGCAGCCGGACGCTGTTAAAGCCCAGCCGCTTGATCGACTCTGCGATGGTTTTGCGGTGCTGGATGTCCAGTCCGCCGGGCACAAAGAGCTCATCGCTGGCTCCATACCAGTTGATCGAAGAAAGCTTAAAGCGACGCCCGTCGGCATCGACCACATGACGGCCTTGAGTTCGCAGAGGCAGGGTGTAATCAGTGATACGGGTTCGCTGAGATGGTGGATGCAAGGGTTGTTGGCTGAAAAATTCCGTGGCCGGATCGGGCACCCATCGCTCACTCAGGGCGGCCTCAGTGCGCCAAAGGTATATCCAGACGATGCCAACGAAGAGTAACGTCACCAGGAAGAAGATGCTGCACCGAGGGCCACGGAACCTCCTCCGCTTCACACTGCAGTTCCACGAGCAGGACCGTTTTGGTCGGGAGACGGCCTCGACATCGAGACCATGCACATAATCGACATACTCGCGGTCTTCCGGGCTCTCAACCTCGCCGTCATTAATGTTGTCGGTATCCTCAGTGTCACTCCAGTCGTTCAAGAGGCGGACGCGCTGCGCCGTGTTGGTGTTAGTCGTCGTAGTTGACGCTTTGCGGGGCCGGTGGGCACTGAGAAAGCCCGGCAGTTGGAGAGCCCCGCCAGCCATTGAGATGGATGAGGTCACAAATCACGTGGTTGACTCTGACACCCACAAAGTTGTCGTTGGAGCCAAGCTTCTGGATCTGCGTCGGCCTCAGGCGAGCGAGGGGGTGGGCGATTGAGCTGGAGCCAGTCCGTCTGTCGATTGGTTTTGTTCGAAATGGGACGTTAGGTACGCTCTGGCGTTGAATTGGTCGATGGCACCATTAAAGCCAATGGTGAACGAATCCTGGAGTACCCAGGTATCCTGGAGCGGATAAGGCTGCAGCGACAGGCCACCTGAGCAGCGGGCAGAACTGTCGCGCGGGGAGACAAAACGTGAGGAATCAATTAGCAGCAGGAGGATGCTTTAATGGTGTTATATCTCCTCGATCTGCCGTCAGATCCTTAGATGGGGTCCTCCGGAACCACCGGGAGGGGGGCTGACAGACTCCGTGGCGTGGCTTTCAGGGACTGGCCATGATTCTCCAGGACGCACGCGACACCCTTTGACCTCACTGGCACAGCTCTGCGACGCACGCGACTGGGTTCCAATCTTTCACAGCGCATGATATTTGCGGGATAATCGTCATTATTATTAGACTAACTTTTTTTCCCCTTGGGATGCTCACGATAAGGCGTCCCAAGCGTTTCGTTTGTAACTTTACGTTACCAGAGCCAAGGCATTCTGCGACCTGCGCTTCTTTTCGGCGATTCGCTCTTTTCGCAAACCCCGTCATCGCATGTCGCACCTCGCACAGCTCTCGTATCCGCAGCATCCGGCGCCAGCAGAGACCACACCGTGTCTCCTCGGATTGTCTTCCATTTCTATCGAAGCATCCAATGGCGTCGTTTGTCGCTATCGAATCCCAGATCTGACATACATCAAACACCGCATTTAGGTTTGACACTATCTCGGAGCCTATTCCCGTTGCTCACCGTCAGGATCGGTGCGTGTCCATGTCCTTCTGCCTATTGAAATGGCAATTGTCCTCAAATCAACGCCACGCTTTCGTTTCCATAATTATTCAATATACATAGTAGATCAAGTGCTTCGGCTTCGTCCTCTCGTGGGGACGTGGCCTGTGTAGGCGGTCTTGCGTAAGCCGCCGTGTGTCGCGTTACGTGTGTCGCGCGCCCGCGCTGTTAGAGCTGCATCCCGCCGCGTGGCGAGGCATGTCGGCGCTGCGAAAAATGGTGGTTTCGTTATGCGATTATTCCTTGGGTATTTCCCTGCAAGGATTTGGCCTCCTCTTTCTTCATTCGTCTCGTGGATGATGTAAAATTCCTCATGTTCGGTTCATACCCAGGGGGTTCACTTCTTTGTAAGGGTGGTTCGAGAGGGCGTAGGTATCTTCGGCGTCCCAAGAGGAGGACGGCGGTGGTCTTGGGCTCGAAAATGATCGTACTGGCGCATGGTAACGCTCGGTTCGGCCGAAATAGTCGGGCGTTCTTCGTCCATCATTGGGCGATTTCACTGAAGAAAGGGGTGTTACCACAGCGCTCGAATCCCGCGAGAGCATCTCGTACGAACGTGTATCTTTCTTAACCTCGGTTCTTGCATCAACTGATACGAACTCCTTCTTGTTTCGCTTGAAGGGCGCCATTATCAGCTCAGCCCATCCTGTAGCCATGGACCATCGTCCAAGTAGGAAGAGGAGCCAAATGCCGTTCAGCTTCGCCTGGTTAGTGAAACTCAATATCATAAAAGGATGTGTACACCTACAGCAAGGAGGAGCAGAACCGCAGTGACGGTTGCCACATTGACAACCAGAGAGCGTGCCTGGTCGAGGCACTTGTCCTTTTGGCCTGAAGCACCAATAAGACAGAGAACCCAGTCCTCGCCCACCTTCGGGTCGTGGGTGACGGACTGGACGACGTTGTCCTGGAAAACAAAGATGACGGAGAAGAAGATGACGTCGGCAATAATGATGAGGACAATAGCAATTCCTCGCCATTGGAGAGAGATGACGCGACGAACTCGGCGGTAGGCCTGGCGGGGACTCAAGGTCTTGACGCTGTTGGTGTACGTGGGCAGGCTGGAACCCTCAGAGGAAGCTCCACTGTCGGACAGAGAAGCCAAGTAGACCTTGATGCAGTAACCAAAGGTAGCGAATGTGATGATGACGGTCAGGCCGGCGAATAATAGCAGCGGGATCCAGAAGTCGGCCAAACTGTTCTCGTGGTTGATATGGCACGTTGCGCCGAAGCGGAAAGAGAGACCGCTGAAGACGAGTGCTAGGATGATGCCCAGGATTGGTACACCCCATCCTGCTGCCTGCGCAAAGATCATAAAGCTGCGGCCGACAAGGACTTGCCAGCAGATCTGGAGGTGGAGGGAGACGGATCGCAAAAACGCCCACATGACACCCGCCCACCCACCCAGGAGGAGAAGGGATCCCGATGCGCCACAGACCTTGTTCGTCTTCATGCTGTGGGGTGTGATTTTGTTATAACATTGATCCGGCTGAGCTGCCAACGGAATGACGAATCCGAGCTACAACTTCATTAGCCACTCTCGTCCAGGATCTAACGAGAGTGCGACAACCAGGGAGAGAAGAACTCACATTCATCAACAAGACAGCGATGGTGAGACAGATGCTGAGGTAATGGCGGTTGGTTTTGTCGACCGGCAAGAAGGCCCAAGAGAGCAAGAGGAAAACGCAACATAGCACGCTGGAGAGCGCGACCCAGTTGGCAACCGCCGTCAACGTGTCGAAGTAGTCGGGATATACCCAGTCCGTCATGGGACAGGGCAAGCAACATTGCATCTCACCCACAGATTGGCAAAGTCGCCCATCGACAACTAACCATGACATGTCAGTAATGTGGATTCACCCGTGTCCTGGCTCAGAAGCTCTTACATCCACCCACATCGGGGAACAAATTGGCGTCGAAAAAGGGCGACGGGCACAGGTTGACACCGGAGACGTTGGCCATTTTGAATAACAGAAAGCAGGAACAGTTCGAGGTTGCAGAAGATGAGAGATGGGGCGCAATGGGCGCCGTCTAAGTTGGGAACACTCTCTGTTTCGGTTGGTGCAGATGTCGGTACTGCCGAGAGGCAGAGTAATAGGCGGCGGTGGTCGTCGATGATCGATTCAAGGGCAAAATAATAGTGGCCAGTCGTGTTCAGTATACAGCGTAGGAATATTCGTTGCGTAAGCTTCGATTATGCTGGGTCGAACGAGGAAACCGAGACGGGTTCGACAATGGCGACAACGAGGTTGTGTGCAACAGATATTCAGAAGTAGGACGGCGAGGAAGCGAGCCCGACCCAGAGGCAGTGGTGTTGTGGCAAGTGAGATATTACACGAGGATTGGTGAATGATATAGTCAAAGTCAACCCAGAATTAGGATAGCAAGGCCGAGGGAGAGGTTGGCGGAATAGATATCACACAAGAGTCGGACAGCAAGAACGAGGTCGCGCGCGTGGGTGGAGGGCACGCGGCCATATAAAGTAGTTGGATAGATGGCTATACGGATGGGCAAGCAGCCGTGAGAGCAGCACCCACCACGCCGGGGCAGAGGCGGAGGTCCCTTTGGCATCCACAAGGCACCCCTGTCATGCTGGACAGAAGAGAGAGTTCTTCTGCATCTTGCAGCTTCGTCTCCCACCCACTCGGGGCCGGTAGACGACGAGCGGAGGGCCTTACCCATCGGAGGTTGGCCAGGGACCAGGGGCCAGGAACTGTTGGGCAGGGACCAATGGCGCGGGTATGGGCGGTCGAGTCGACGCTTGCACTGAGTGACCGGCGCTGCGAGCCACCATGTCCGATGGCTGTGTCTCGTCATTGGGGGAGGCCGGTCGGCGATGACGAGAGGGCGCCCATGGGCAGCGTCGACGAAAGCGGCGGGGAGGAGGGGAAGAGCCATAGGGCAGGGATATTCGGTGACCCACCGCCGCGTAGCGCACCGCAGCATTGCAGCAGGGCTCTAGCTGCCTGCCAGGGCGAGCCAGGGCCCTAGCGACGCAGCGAGGGGATCGACTGCGATGGGGAATGGAGTGGGTGTGCTAATGTCAGGGGAAGAGGCGAGGTCAGTTAGCAGCCCCGGAGGTTTTCCAGTCGAAGGGGCGTGCTGGGGGGCGTGCTGGGGTTAAGGGGCCTGCCAGTTTTTCCCCGTCACGACACTCCCCTGCCATCTGACTCCCACAGCCAGGCCTCTCCACCCCAGACCCCGGCAGCCCAGCGTCCAGATACGGCCAACACTGTGAGAAAGGTCACTCAACCCACGGATCGCTCGATATGAGTGGTAGACGGCGGCTGTAGGTATCAGGTCGGCCGTTTGTCGAGACCCGGATCGGGAGGCCCGCGTGCTGGTAACACGGGACGTCCCTCCAGCAGCCCATCTCCATCCACACGACGACCTTGTATCCCGTTGAGGAAGCGAAAAACATGGAGCCGAGCCCGCCCTACCAACCATGTCCAGACTCCAAAAGCTCATCTCCAGCCACCAACCAAGGCGCTGGATCTGGTTTTGTCGCCTTTCGCCTCTCGCCTCCAGCATCTTCCTACCAGCTCGGCCTCGACTGATACGTCCGTGTCGTGAGCTAGGGGACGCGCCGTGCCTGAGCTGGGAGGGGCCGGCTCTTGTCGCCAACCTTTGTTTGGGAGGGAAGCCGACGCTTTGTCGAAGAATAGCAACCGAGTTGGTCGTCGAGAGTCCACCAGGAGCCGCGAGCAGGTTGTCGGAGGGTGGCTTGTACCTGTACCTGTGCGCAGGTACGTTAAATGGCATACATGACCGGCGGCATGACCTGCCGCGGTCATGCCGTTCACCGACTGGACAGCAGTGCCTCCGATGGCGGTGCTCTGGTGCTAGCGGAGAGGCGTTTCTCGAGGCCTCAATTGCCGTCGACGAGCCGTTGGAAGCTCCATTATTCTTGCGATGTGTCGGATAGCGGGGATCAAAGAGTTTCTGGCTCCATCGCCACCGTCATCGCTATCGTAACCCTCGCCCATGTCCCGCCATTGTGTGGTACCGACATTGTTTCACCACTGTGGTTGCACAGGTCTAGCCGCCACGTTCTTTAACTGGGCACTAACAATCGGGCGGGCTCGCCCTGGCATGTCGCACCACCGAATGTTGGACTATTCTGGGCGGGCTCCATTCCGTTCTCACCGTCTCAAAGCATATCCGTGCGGTCGAGTTGCGAAACTCGGTTCTTCGCAGTCGGTGTTGTTGAAGAAACTTGCAGAAACCCCCCGGATATCAAACGCAGCACTTTTTGAAAACACAAATGTCACTCAAAACAACATTAGCCCTTGGCTTAGTGGCAGTTGCGTGTCATAGCAGCGCGGCATTATCCAGCGTCGTCGTAATACGAGTCTCGCAGCCCCCAAGCACTCTGGGGCCCAGCTGAGTGTTTCGTCCCACTGGGCACGGGTGGCACGGTCACGGCCAAGGCACCATAATAATGGCTCCCACTCTGAATTAGGCCGCGAGATGGAGACGAGCAGTAGCGGGTATCGGTAGGCAAGCGGCCTTGTTTGTGCGAGAGACTGCAGTGAGCAAGGAAGCGAGGAAGCGAGGAAGGGATGAGGATGTTACGATACGACACCCGCACTTGCCTGCGGCATCCTCCCGTCCCCTAGGGCTGAGACGATCGAATGCCACCTTTCCTCCCATAATCATTTTTTTTCTCCTCCCGCTTTAGGTCAAGAGACGGAATGTTACAGTTTCGCCCACATCCCGTGACAGCTATGCTCCATCGCCGATAATCGCCATCATGGACCAAGTCTCCGCAACAGGGACAGAGTTCTGTCAGTTTTCGTTTTCTACCATTGTCCTCGTGATTGGGGAGTAAGCCAATGCTCCCCATCTATCTGTCCTCTCTGCAGATGATAATTATAGCAGACGCCAAACAAATGACCACTCCACCGAGGTGATAATTCCAGGCCGTACCGGTACCTGGATGGCTCGCCCTCCCTCTCGATCCATCACGGTAGCGTTCACCTTCTTACCTCTTGTTGATTAGCACTAGGTCCATCGCAATTAACCCTTGTGTGGCACCAATAGCACCCGTCTGGGCCGTGGACGGCTAAAAGCGCCCATCCCGTTGGTGCTAGATGGAGACAAAGGAGCCATTGTCAGAGTGGCTGGCTGTTACCACTTGGCTATTCGTGGACATCCAGCCTATCGTCTGTGCCAACGCCCTCCCGACGGTGACTGGCGAGAGCCCAGCGGTGACAGTTGGTGGCAGAAGCGCCAGCGTCAATATCAACCTCTGTTAAGACTGTCAATAATGCCCTCAGCGCGGCTGTCTTGAACCAGTCACACTCGCCCATCGGCCGTCGCCCATCGCCGCTCGCCGTGGACTGCGCATCTTGGGGAGCCATTCGCTCCGGCCCTGGAAGCCCTCTAAACGACTAGGACGCGTCCCAGCGTTGTGACTGGCTTCTCGGCCCTTCTTCCCCCTCATTCTCCACAAACGAAGCACCCCCGTTACACTCGTCACCCTCGTCGCGCCCCTTGTCCCCATCGCCGTGCCCTGGTCGACATCGCTTTGCCCTTGTCCATGCCATGTTCACTGCGTGTAGTATTCTTGGCTCTTCGCTGTTGGCTGTTGGCTGTTGGCCGACCCTGGTCCTTTGTGTTCGCCCAATCGAGCTGACGATTCGCCTTGCCACCGGGAAACATCAAGTCACCTTCTTCTCATTGCCCTGTCTCTAATATGATTTGCCTCTTGGGCCTGGAGTCGGCACATCGGCGATCAATCTCCACAGATCCAGTCAGGGCCCGAGCAAGCACACTCTTGCGCAGTAGTAATTTCCTTTGATTGACGACCTGCACCTCGAACCTGCACAAGGCATGCGCTCCGAGCCTATACTGCAAGCCTGCAAGCCTGCAAGATGCCTGGGGACTTTCGTTAAGTTCATGTTGTCCAATTGAGATCGCATGCAAGGGTGACATCCTGGCTCGCTGCGTGGAGCGAAGCATCGAAAGAACATGTCCGTCAGCAACTAATATGACGGCTCGAGGTGCCTGACTGACAGATGGGTCCAACGGTCAGCCGTTTAATGGAGTCTTAGGTAGCCGCTGCCCACTGCCGTCGTATTTTACTTCTGTCGGCTCCCGAGACACGAGCCCACGAAGGTTACATCGACGTCTATCAAACCCATGATGCGCAACATTTCTGTCTGATGTATCGCATCCGGAACTGCAGGGCCGTGGCATGATGTTGAATTGTTGGCCGCACCAACACCATTATTCGGCCAGTCAGTAGTCAGGGTGCCACACCGATGTGCAAGGTACCTTGCCTCCACACACACTTACATGCTCATCCCCGGGCCCAACGTCCGACCACCTCCACTCCATCTTGGGAGGATGAGATTTTGCCTTCTTTCGGTCCTTCGGTGCAGGGCCTGGGACGGCAAGTAATATTCCGTCCCCCATCATGCGAAGCATTCGACAGCTCGGCCGAGTGAGACCCGTTCCGTTGTCTCCTTTCTTTCAGCAAGGATCGACACCGTAACTGCGTCGGCCGAAGCGTGCCGCCAGTATGGCTTCAGCGGCAAACCGGATGTCTCAGTTTCTCTCGCAATGGTCTTCAGATCGCCCTATTTTGAGCAATCGAACCATGATCGGGTACTAAGAATTGATGCAGCTTCCCCAGGTTCAACACCATGCCGATTCATCTGCAAAAGCCCCTCTCCATCTCCTCCCCCGCATTCTAGTTTGGCTAGATCATCCAGCCTCTTTTCAACAAGCTCGGCATGAATATTGTTGACAAAACTGTTGTTCAACATGTGATATTTACGAGGTACTTTCTTCAGCATACGAAGCCACGCAACGCCACCCGCTGCTCCGAACCCCATGAAAGCGATCCTCCCGTTCTGCCCATCCCTCTTTGCAAGACCACCGCTGCGCCGGGGATGCGTCAATCCCTGCTCGACGCCCTAAGCTGTGCGGTTGCACTGTTATGAGCACTTTAACGAGGCAGGAGCCGCTGGTCGGTGTTGGGTCGGCTCAGATAGGAAAATCCAGAGTGTGTCACCTCCCAGCCTCAGATCTTCAAAGAAGCCGACTGACATCGTGAACTTCCAGTCCTGTTATGCTGTCAATGGCCTAACAAACATCCAAAACCTCGAAAGTCGCAACTCCAGTCTTACTTTACTTAAAAAAACACACATGCAGCCCATGAGAGAAAAGACACCCCTCAAATTCTCTTTCTGCGGGAGTATCTCGGTGATCTAAAAGCTGTTGAGACCAAGTTGCCACACAGACTTGGCGAAATGCAACCCTCCAGCCACGTCCCCCCTGCTGCTTCGTCGTGGCTGTCTGAGACACCTGTCAACATGTCAAATGCTTGTGAAGCACAAAAGACTGGCTGGGACAGTATTGACACAGACAATCAATGGGGCTAAAGGCATACCCTTCGTCTAGACCCCAGGCTGTCGGGACAGCTCTTCCAATTCGGCACGCTATCTTTGATGCGGTTACAACCCTCCGGTGCTTAAAACCCGTTCCCCTAACCCTTTCCCCTGGCCTCGCCGGTAACCAGGGGCTTACTGTCACAATGCAAGCACAACACTTAACAGTCACGTCGCCTTCCCGCCAGTCTTCCCGCCAACCTTACCCGATGTGCCGAATGCAAGCGAGGTCGGGTAGGTTAGTGAGGGAGACATGAGCAAATTTGAGGTTGTTCAAGAAGACGCGAGACGGGTCTAGACTATGCACCCTTGAGTAAGATCAATAATCCAATCCGATGCCAATAGCATGTTGTGATCTCGGAGACACTAATTACGGGCAATTCCCAAATCTACAACTAGGGTCCAGCTCAACAGTATCTCCATAGTGCTAGAGCGGATGCGATCATCGCCCCCCAATTGCTTGACATGAAACGAATGGGAACTTAGGGCATTTCCATCGAGATTGAATCTTCAGACAAAGGAAGCAAAGGACGCGGGGATGGGACATATCACCTGTTATGTTCCTGGGTAAGGCGAGGGACAAGGCCCTGGCAACAACCTGCATCTCTTGTGAACAACCCAGCAAATCGGATGGGGATGCTTCACCCGCTCGGTGCAACTCGAATCAGGTTAGAATCCAACATACCGGCTCCTGGAATTCATCCAGTCCATAGCCGGACGTCTCAGCTCATGTCATATAGTTCGTCCGTGGTAAATGATCTTACCTAGCTTGGGGCGAAAGAAGACCGGTTCGCACCGTCACGCAGCATTGAAACGGCCATCTTTTTTGAAGCCACGCAAGGACCAAACTTTGAGGAAGCGACGCTGAGCCGGGACCCATACCGAATATCGTCAACAAGGCCAGGTAGTTGCAGCTTGGCTTGTTTCCGCCTCAGGCGTGTTCGGCAAGGTAAGGTCATGGATGGCCCTACGCAAGGGACTAGCTTCATTTGGCCCCAACTCCGAAGTAGTTCACCACGATCACCCAAAACCTCTTCCTGGCTCGGCGCGATTATTCTCGGTCTCTTCTGCCCCTTGGCCCACTGCCTAAATCCCCGCAGTTTGCTTCTCTGCCGGCCCCAAGATCCATTGCTGCTTGTGAGGCCAGCACAAGTTAGGTTACGGGCAACGTGGTGATGAGCCCATAGCCCTGGCAGCCATCTCCAAGCGGTTTGAGCGCCTCGTCACCCATGTCTCTGCCCACATATCGCGCTTCGTCAAGGCAGGATAGCTTGCGATGTCATGCACTATCCCCTCCCCCGGCTTGAAGGCAAGAGGTCCGATGAAGCTAGTGCAGCAAAGCTCTCTTCTGAAAAGTCGAACCTTGTAGCCACCGGAGAACAAGTCTCCTCTTCGGTCCTGCTCCGTGTGGCTGGATGCATCAAGCAGTTTTGGGACCCTTTGATCTGCTGCAGCCCTGTGCCCGGAGTATGGAGTATCCGTACTCCGTAGGTTAAGCCAGGAACTCGATGGATCCGGAGAACCATCCACAGCTTCATCTCCCATGACAGCCCTGTGGAGAGCCCCTCTACGCGAGGCCCCGCTAGACGTGAGCAATGCGCTTGTGAGTAACAGACTGGCCGGCGACATGTCGAAATCTGGAAGCTGGATCGGACGCGAAAACTGAGGCTCAGCCTGGCGCCGTGGCGAGTTGGGCTGCAATGGTGACATTCCAGCAGGTCCTTGACGTTTCATTTCTCGGGTTGCAACCCCGAATAGACAGTTCGGTCGCTTAATTAGCGGCCTCGTCGCGTTTGCCTGGGCGTTTCCCTCCGCCAGGTATTCCCTGTTATTGCGGATTCGAACTTTTTGACAGCCTCAGGGCTGACGAACGATCAATGGATTGACCGAATTAAAGCAGGTCCTTTTTTAAGACTGTATGGTAATGCCTTCCAGTTCTGGTTTAATCTTGAGCATAGCGCAATCGTGCAAAACTCAACTACTACAGCCACCTGGTTCCTACAGTTGGTGCAGACCTGCCGCTTCTGGACGCTTGTTCAGTACCTTTGTTATCTCAGGCCGGAGACGATCGACCAACAATTCAAAATGCATTTTTCTACCCGCACCCTGCCTGACTCGTCTTCGACCAGGGATGTCATAAAGAACGCACCCCGACCCGGCGCTGTTCCGAATGGATGTCCACGTATCCGAGTTCTGGGGACATCATGTCCATCTGCTGCTATCAAACTATATCTTCCCACCGTCATATAGCCAAGGATTACAGTGCACAAGGGAAACATTCTAGAAGCGGTACCGGGGTCCAGCAAAAGAAAAATCATGCGTTGCTCATACGACCGGCGCGCCTCAAAACGCCTCTCCGTTGGGAGGCGTCCTGGTCGTAAGACCGTGCGGGGGTTCAGCACGCGTATGTCGGCACGCTCAAGCCAAGCCACCCAGGTGTCGGAACATGGATGTAATCCTGCGAACCGCTAGAACGGTAGGAATGAAGTTTGATGGCGGGAAGGATTTACTCGCGTGCCTGTGAGGTTTCGTGGTGGCTCGTGATGTGTAAGTGATGTGTCGATGTTACTTGAGCTGCAGGTCGTAGGCCATGAATGCGAACAAGGGTAATCCTGAGATCCGAAAAATATGTCTACAACGGAAACTCCAGATTTAGTCACCAAGATGTCTTGCCATCTGAAAATCATATTGGTTTTGGTGGTCAGCCCAAATTTGGGCGACAATTCATCGTCATGAGTTTGTCTATGGGACTGTAGGGTAGGTCCTGGATAAATTCCACACCTACTCGTCACATCTTTAAGTAATATGCCTCGATGAAAAATCCCGCTATTCCCTATTGTCGATTTTTTAATGATTGTATACCGATATCTTACACTTTTTCCCTAAGTTTTGAACCATCACACGTGTGGGTTCATGATGATGCAAGCTAATCCTACCCCGCCGTCTGATAAATTTTCGCATTTTGACGTTTCGAATGTAAACCTTCCAACCCACCTCATTCTATCAAACAAGTAGATCGGGTTGAAACCCAGATCCGACAATCGACTCAGCTGATCGAAAGGCCCGAAACCGCAACATAATCATCCGGGCACACACTCAACGAGGAGTGGCCGTCGTTACATCCCACCCTGTACCTCTACCTCTACCCCACTACGCAACCTCGACACTTCAGATTTCAGATCAACTCATCATGGCTGCCCCCTTCCAGACCTCTTGGCAGCTTCAGACAGCCGAAGGGGAACCCAGTGCGGTGGTACGCGTGAGGAACCTCCAGTCTGTCATCCAGGGTCCCCAGGATGCCTGGGGCCGCCCTGGCAGACCGCAGCCGATCCTCATATCTGCCGAGGTCTCCCTTGCGCAACCTTTTGGTTCATCATCCTCGGCAGATGTGGTGGCGCCGGACACTGTGCATTATGGATTGCTTAGCAAGGCAATTCTTGCCACGCTCGGGCGTCTAGAGACACAGGCAGCTGCGGGCGAAGCTTCGTCTCTGCATGGCGTCGTAAGCAGTATCTGGTCGGACCTCACGGGGTTTGACACCTCGGGAATGCCGGCGACCGCCAACAAGAAAGGGGCTTTCTTGAACATCAGTTACATCCGCCGACTATCTGTGTCAGTTGTCTTGACAAAGGCATCACTTCTGGGAAGCGGAGTCAACCTTTCCGCGTCGGCCGTGTTTCAAGAGTCATCCATGCAAGCGAGGGGCCTGGCACTCACCCTCCAAGGACTGAGGGTGCCAACCCTCATCGGGGTCAATGACAACGAACGAACGGCCAAACAGATAGTCGTGGCAAATATCGGCATTGAAAAGTACCGGAACGACAAAGATGAGTATGCTCCGCTCGAAGCGGTGGTGGTTGAGGTAAGTGCAGCGGAACACGTCGACACGATAATATGAAGTAACTGACGATTCCTACAGGCTATGACCAACTCTTCATATGAGACTTTGGAGGCGCTGGCAACCGACGTTGCGTCCCACATCACGAATTACCTGAGGTCGAGTCACGGAGACTCTACAAGCACACTCCCTTGGCATCTTCAGATTGGGCTTGAGAAGCCGACAGCGGTTCCGTTTGCGGATGCGGCCTGCGTGGAACTGAGGACGAACACCGACGATATGATCAAGTCACCGTGACACAACATGAATCTCAATCAAAGAAACGGAAACAAGCTCTGTTTGACGCGCCGATTATGTGACTGTGCTCCCAATTCTCACCAAGTATACCTGTCATGAACCCCCAATGCAGCCTTTCTACCGCATCACCATTAACGAACCTAGTTCTAAACCATGAAACTAATTCTCAAACACCTGCCACTGTGGAACGTCACCGTTGGTGACAGAGCGGATGAAGTCGGGATCAGGGTTGAACATCATGACATGGAAATGTTCCACGGCACCAACCGACTTTAGGCCACGCCAGTTCTTGAACCAGATAATCTGCTCAAGTCAGTCCCCGGACCAACGACGACGAAAACATTGTGAGAGTGCTTACCTGATCATCGGGTACATGGGATCTAAACGTCTTTGTCACGAAGTCATCAATCTCCTTCCGAGACTCGTCGACGAGATCTCCCGTAACGGCATCCTCCTCAAGGAAGAACTTGGTCCAGACAACCAAGTGGACAATGCGACGGTCAATTCCATAGGGCCAGTCGTTGATGAGTATTTTGATGTCATCTTCGAACTCGAAGGGCCGGCCACGGGCCCGTACGGGAGCCTTCCATTGGAGACGCTGGTTGAGGACGAAATCGGCGACGCTGCCGTAGGTTTTGGTAAGATTGAACGTGTAGGCCTTGTAGCGACGCAGATCAGATGGCACTCGCTGGAAGTGGTCGAGTTTGTTTGCCTTGGCGATCTGGCAGACCTCATCCCAGGTGAGGATGTGATAGTCGCTGTCTGGAGTGGAAAGGATACTGAAGTCCTTCGCGGAAATGTTGAGAAGGAAGTCGGGACAATCGACCAGTCTATCCGGTCCGGGGACGTTGACTTGCCAGTACGGCAGGGCAATTTGGTCGCCCATGGTGGTGAATTCGTATGCGATATGTATCAGAACTCTCTTGGCAGAGGCAGAGGTGCGGTTGAAGCCTTATCTGGCTGGGGTCAGATGCGGAGTAATGGCAAACACGTCCGCTCCCAACGGGTGCGAGAGCCTGCTACTGAATACGATGCGGCCCGGGAATCAACAAAAGGTCACAAAGACCAAACAAAGAGATTGCCAGGGCTATGACGGACTCATTCGGTGCCGTTTTATCACGATGGCGCAGAGGTGGACGAGGCGTGAAGCTTTGTTAGGGGAACGGCGTGGGGAAAGTATCATAAGCTGGTGGCTGAAGTCATGGCGAGCCACCTGCCAACTCAGCCCTGGTCCGACAGCATCTGGGACGGAACGACGGCATCTTCTCGTCGCAACATGGTGATACTGCATTTCTTTGCACAACTCTGGCAATGAATGCCCTCATTCTATGTCGCTGATTGCTCCCCACAAGCGCTAAGAAATCGACGACGGTGCCTGGAGCACTGATACCATGCTGCCCAATTAACAAAGAACGACCAAGCTCAGGACCAAGCTCAGGACCAAGCTCAGGACCAAGACCGAGACCCATCTGCAGCCCTGTGGGGGATGCTTTCGGGGCCGGCACCTCCACCCACGGCGCACGGGAAGGCCCTGTGGCGGGCTTTTAGCCACTGAACTGCAGGGTAGCTGCCGTAGTCGACAAGACGGAACAGAAGACGGCTTCAAAACGGTTGAGGTACATCAACGGCGTCTAGGACGGTCTAGACGGAGACAATAACACTTGAAGGAAACTATATATAATAGCATCCTCTAAAGGGGCAGTTCTTCGTATTGCAATGCCTCCATGTCCACGGGCGTCGCCTAAGAAATGCGTCTGGTTCAGAAAGAAGATTGGGGGTGGGCCTGTGTCACAAAACACATCTCGACTTACCAGATGCCAGACTCGCTATGCAGGGCGGGCTAGACATTAGACCGGCAGTTGGGCTTCCGTCCAATCTTGTGCCCACGTGGCGGGAGGCAAGGGATTGGAGAGGTTAGCAATATATCCGCCATGTGCAGCGGGATCAAGTTGCGCTTGCACGCAGGTCAATCTGTGCCGTCGGAGGTTTTTCATGCCCAACAATCTACGGATCGGAACGGGACGGCCTTTGGGATTATTCTCGCCGGCCTCGGTTCCTTCGTCGCTTCATCGCTGTCCCGGCCATCCATGATCCATCTCCCTTTGCTCGCGGCCACCTTGACAGTCATGATGGGGGCGGCATGTAGGAATGAAATCGCCCCCTTTCTCTCGTTTTCCTGCTTGGCCCGGAGATGGCTCCGAGCATCTCGCAGGGATCGCCCGATTGAAGATTGCACCAAAGCCGCCACCAAATACTCGGGGGCGCAATGGCAGCGAATTGTACCTTGGGGCGACCTCAGCCACCGAGCCAGACGGCGCCGCCGCCCAGGTATCGCCATGTTCCTCGCCATGACGGCGACGGGACGAGCCCACTCCTCATTTCGCTGAGCGAGAGACCCATCTGGCGGAGCTCCAGAGCGTGCCACACCGGGCCAATTGTGGGTGCCAGATATCCAGAGCAGCCCTCTTTGTCGCAGCGGTTTCTAAAATTTGCTGGCCGTCCCCTGTAGTTGTCGTACGCACGGGGCCGAGGATCCCAAGCTTTTGCGAAGCTTGGGGGAGGAGGAGCTTGGGACACCTGCGGGACGTGCTGCTTAGGCGGTGGGCTACATCGTCCTTTGGTGGTTGGGCGCTTTTGGTGGCTTGCGGGCCAGGCTGTTGGGCCCCATTGTTTCTGATGACACCTGTACCAAACCTGAAAACACAAGGGAACTATGATATGAGGTTAGGCCAAACGGTTATCCCGCTGTACTGTACTTGGTATGGGGCTGTGTGATTGTGTGATTGTGTGATGGTGTGCGAGAATATGTGGCAAAGGCGTTAATTATCCGGGACGAGGTAGCAGCGAGCAGGAGGGATATTTTGAATATTGCTCATGATCGGCTATCATGATGCAGCGAGGCGTCGTTTGGGCTACTGCATGGCGTTGCTGCAGCTTCGTCGTCGATTGTTGATGCTGCTGATATCCACCTCGACCACCTCGCCCACCTCGCCCCGGCCATGATCCGTCCACCCAAACAAACCCACATCTATTACTATCTATGGACCATGACCCATGTGCCCATCTCACGAAACCGCCTCTACTACGTCCTAGGTAGAGAGCGGTCGGCAACGGTAGACAGAAGAGGGTCGACAATGGGAAGAAGCCAGGGATCCTGGCCCGTTGCCACGCCACAGATCGCTGTGAGCGGTGGGGTGGCTCCCCAGGTCGCGAAACCAGAAATTAGCCATTACGACGGGCAAGAATCCAACGGAGGCGAGAGGAGGGGAGGGAGAACCGCCAGATACGATAAAAAGGGACGCAGCGGCATCCACTCTCGCTCCTCTGCCTGCCCAAGCCCTCCCGAATTCTCCCTGCTTCCCTCACCCCTTTCGCCTCTTTTGCCCAGCGCGAGCGTGAAGTTCTCGAACTTGATTTGGTGAGTTGCCTCCATTCCCGCACCCACCCCAATGAGCCGGCCGCGGCGAGACATTGCAATTGCAGAGCGCCCGACGAACGGGGTGGCAAAAAAATTGCAATTCCAGGCGACGTTGCCAGCTAGCGCCAGAGCTAATAGCATTTGCCAGGCCTACCTAAATAAAAAAAAATCATTGAAAAAGGAGACGTCCTAGATAAACTGCTGCCAGATTTCCCGCCCCCCCCAGCTGCAGCTCCCTAGCCCCATCCTTGCGAAGCTCGCTCAACCACCCCCACCAAACCCATCGCCGCCCCGCACTCGCCTCCTTACCTCATTCCTCCTACCGCTTCCTGACCGTACTTCACCTCGACAAACCTCTTCCCAACATCATCTCCGAGTGAATCTCGCTCGCTATCACCTTCTTCGAACCCGTCTGAATCCCGTCCACGTCCTCGTCCTTCACAATGGCTAGTGCAATCAAGAGCGCGCTGCCGTCGCACCTCAAGCCGCCGCAGGACCAGGAGGCCGTCTTCGAGCGCCGCCATGGCAAGACTCGCAGCCACATGGCAAGTATACCCCGTACCCCAAGTCCCTCAAAATATCCCTTGATTCGCCACGACTGCCCTCAAAAGTTGCCATGACGCTTTGGAGCTGTATTGAGCTCTGAATGTCTGCTGGTACTGTACGGGATGGAAGTTGTTCTGGCCGTCGCCGGGGGCGCATTGCGAGACCGAGGAGCTTTCACAAGCTCTTCCAGAGGCGTTGAAAGCCCGGCCTTGGCAAAATGCCCTAGGGAAAGTCGAGCGGCGAGCTTTTCCCCCGCAATCTGTCAACAATCGCGCTGCGAATGTTCTGAGCAATGGAAAGTTTCGTCGGGCGTGGTGTCTGTTCACATCCTGACCGCCAACTTTCGGCGTCTACGTGGCAGCGTCATGGCCCGTCCATCATAACACATGCACTCCAACACTGCTTTCCGCTTCACCAACCCTTTTCCGACGCAAGATGAACCAGAACACTAGCTAACCTGTTATACCTAGGCCTTTGAGAACACCTCTACCAATGTCGCCGCCGCCCAGATGCGAAACTCCCTGACCAACCTCGCCGAGTCGGTCAAGGACCCCCAGCAGAAGAAGGCAAGTCTGCCACGATAAGAAATTTCGACCGACCACGGCTAACCTAATAATCCTATAGCTGTTTGAGACCGAAATGGACAACTTCTTTGCCCTGTTCCGACGATACCTCAACGACAAGGCCAAGGGCAATGCTGTGTATGCTTCATCCTAGAATGTCGATATCATGGGATGATAACTAACAAGCACATAGTGACTGGGACCGCATCGCCCCTCCCGCTCAGGGACAGGTCGTTGACTACGAGGACCTTGCCAACACCGAGTCCGTCCAGTTCCTCAGCAAGCTTGCCGTCCTCAAGCTTAACGGTGGTCTGGGTACCTCCATGGGTTGTGTCGGCCCCAAGTCCGTCATCGAGGTCCGTGACGGCATGTCCTTCCTCGATCTCTCCGTGCGACAGATTGAGTTCCTGAACCGCACCTACGACGTCAACGTTCCCTTCATCCTGATGAACTCGTTCAACACCAACGATGACACCGCCGCCATCATCAAGAAGTACGAGGGTCACAACGTCGACATCTTGACCTTCAACCAGTCCCGATACCCCCGAATCTACAAGGACTCCCTGCTGCCCGTCCCCAAGGACTACGACTCGTCCATCACCGAGTGGTACCCCCCTGGTCACGGTGACATCTTCGAGTCGCTGTACAACTCTGGCATCCTGGACAAGCTCCTGGAGCGCGGCATTGAGATTATCTTCCTGTCCAACGTCGATAACCTAGGCGCCGTTGTTGATCTGCGAATCCTCCAGCACATGATGGAGACCAACGCCGAGTACATCATGGAGTTGACCAACAAGACCAAGGCCGATGTCAAGGGTGGTACCATCATCGACTACGAGGGCTCGGTCCGCCTGCTGGAGATTGCTCAGGTCCCCAAGGAGCACGTCAACGAGTTCAAGTCGATCAAGAAGTTCAAGTACTTCAACACCAACAACCTGTGGCTCAACCTCAAGGCCATCAAGCGGGTGGTGGAGAACGATGAGCTCGAGATGGAGATCATCCCCAACGGCAAGACGATCCCCGGTGACAAGAAGGGCGAGTCGGACATTTCCATTATCCAGCTCGAGACCGCCGTCGGTGCGGCCATTCGCCACTTCAAGAACGCTCACGGTGTCAACGTGCCCCGCCGACGCTTCTTGCCCGTCAAGACCTGCTCTGACCTGATGCTGGTTAAGTCCGATCTTTACACGCTCAAGCACGGCCAGCTCCAAATGAGCGCTGCCCGCTTCGGTGATGCTCCTCTCATCAAGCTTGGTGGTGACTTCAAGAAGGTTTCCGACTTCCAGAAGCGAATCCCCTCGATTCCCAAGGTCCTGGAGCTTGACCACCTTACCATCACTGGTGCGGTGAATCTGGGTCGGGGTGTAACGCTCAAGGGCACGGTTATTATTGTTGCCACCGAGGGTAGCACCATTGACATTCCCCCAGGTTCCATCCTGGAGAACGTCGTCGTGCAGGGCAGCTTGCGTCTGCTTGAGCACTAAATGGGTGATGTGTGGGTTGGGCGATACCGTATGAAAAGGAGAACGTTCGGCGGATCGCGGATGTCATCTTAGATGCGTTATGATGGGTGGGGTTAGAGGCCCGTCGGCAATGGGATTGGCGACTGAAGGGGTGTTAATATGTGTGGTGCAGAAACAGGGCAGAAAGTGGATGGGCGTCGAGGCGAGAGCTGTACATGATTGTGCACTCAAAACGGAGATGGTCGAGGACACCAGCAAGCAGCTACCAAACCAGGTACATACACAGCTTAATTGAAGGAGGCAATGCCAAACACACGGGATGATCTGAGTGAAGCCATGTGACGACACCTGACGATGATCCGCGCCGAATGATCTACAGTATATAATTTCAGTGTCGAGGTGGCGCAAGAAGATGCACTGGTGGTAAGAGCACGGGCAAGGTGACCAAGAGAAACTAACCAAGGCGCTTGTTTAGTCGTGGTGAACATAATGGAAGGATGGAAGACGCAATTAATGATTGGGATGGAAGTTTTGGGAGGGTGACGCGGACTCGGATAGTACGGTATAGCAAGTAGGTGAGGCTGAGCAGGCTTGGGAGGCCCGAGAGGCCCAACGAAACACCGAAAACTCGCGAGCGACATGGATCGACGGTATCCGCGTATAAGAGCGGTGGCGAGATTCCTGGGCTGGAAAGCCCCGGCAAAGCGATCCTTGTTGCGAGTAGCCGGGATTGGAACTACGATACCGGGAGGTATTCATCGAGTTGGCTTCTGGACGGTCAAGGAGAAATTGGATGGATGTGCCGAGGGGCTGAGCTAGTCGTCCACGGTGCGGCGGCAGTCATGCACCAGTAGCAGCCACCAGCAGGTAGCTTTGCAGGTCGCCTTGGGGGCCTTCCAGCCGATGACACGGCGGCACCAGGGGTTCTTTGATGAGCAGAAGCCGGGCGGCGAAAGGAGCACCGGAGATGGAGGCCAGTTCCTGGAGATTGGGTTCATGGAACTGGGAAGCGATGATGATCTTGGCCAGGTACGTCGTCGTCGGTATAATAGGCGGCCCGGCGGTTATGGATTGAGTTTATTAAGTCGACTGGGATTTAATGGAAGGATTTGATTCGATCCGACTGGGAGATGAGGAAACGCCGAAGGGGGCGGCAACTGCTCCTGGTGGTTGCTCTCCTCCTTGCGGTGCCAGTGGTGTAGTGCTGCAGTGAGTGGTGCTGCGCTGTTGCAGTGCATAGGTACCTTACCCTGGACAAGTCCATAGGCCCCGCTTATAACGGAAGCCCGTCATTCCATCATTCCATCATTCCACAGCGGACAGGGTGCAGGCGGGGCTGCGGGAGATGAAAGATTGAACGGCTTGATGAAGAGAAGCCGGACCCCCGGCGAGTATGCACCACTGAACCGCTGAAGTGGATGAAGAAGCCCAGAGGTACCTGCCTACCAGTGGGGCGCAGGAAAGGGGACGCTAATGCAACGCTGGGCCTTGCGTTTGGGACCTGGTCGTCCCTTGGGACATCAAAGTCGCTGGACAAAGGAGGAAAAGGCTCAAAGAGAGGAGCGCCGGGAATCGAAAGGGAGGGTAGCAACGGAAGAGAAATGGCCGCTGAAGCTGTAAATAGAAGCCTGCCAAGGACTACACAACCCTTACAGATGTATACTTTGACTTTTCTCGTGTTGAACGAGGGTGTGAGACGTCATCCGTCGCGATGCTAACCTTCTCTCGTAGATGCTGCTGTGCTGGGCACGCGGGGGCCGATTTCTCCGTGGCCGCATCTCGGGGATACTGGGCATCCATCAAAGGCACGTCCATAGCCTCGCCAATTGAGCACATCACCGCTTGCAGCATGTTCCTCCTTCGTCCGAACTGACTCTTGATCCCTGCTGCGCCGCCCAGGCCACTCTTCCAAGGCCTGCCCAAGCAGGAAAGCACCGGCCGGGGGGTTCTCTAGAGAGCCAACCAGGTAGGGGGCTCGTGCTGCGCCGAGATACCCTTGGATCCAAGACGGGCAGGTTTACAAGATCTCATCGTCGTCACGCTCGCCTGCTCATGTGAGCTCAGAATGCGCCTAGACTTGACCATGTGTCACTCTGGGTGGTCTGGGCGGCCATGGATCTAAGCAGGGGAGAAGATAGAGAGACGTGCGTGCGAGACCTGTCTGGCTTACATCGATAAATCCCTTGCAGTCAGGGCGAAAGAAAACAAAACAAAAGGAAACACAGAAAAAAACTTTGCTGTCGATGGATGCAACAGCCGCTCGAAGCGGACTGCTCAGCCATGAAGTGGCGTGGCGCGGGGGAAAAGGTGTGTGTGGTCACTGGCGTGGTGTGCGATGTGAGTGGGTTGCCAAAGCGTGAGAGCCTGCCATCCTAGCAGCGCGCGCCTACGGCGTAAGGCCACTGTTTGTGTGTGTGGTGTGGGTTGCAACGGCAACAATTGGCGACATCAACGGTTTTCGTTTTCAATAGACTCTTCTCAAGCAGGACACCACGGCGAACACGATGCCCACTTGGCTTGTCTTGTCACGGCATGAGGATTGCATGCAGCGTCCTGCCTCGAGGAACACGTAAGCTCAGGTCGATGGATCAAAGTCCAGACCTCTAGCGAGGTATTAGTAGCCCGTGCTATAGGTCCTGCTCCAGTGTGAGGAGCCGGCTGATCACTGCCGGTAGGTATTATCCATCGGATCGGTCCTATCCGCCAGGCGCGGTAGCGATAGCGACGAATGAAGTGCGTACGCAATCCTCATTCTTGGCTCATCGGTACGCAGGCGGCTGGCTGATAATGGATGTCAGGTGGAGCGGGTTGTCAATGCGGATTGTCGACGCGATAGAGCTTTTTGGTCTATTCGGTTACCAGGTTCAGATGGAACCCCCCCTCTTCTTCCCCATCTTCGGAGGATTGGATTCGCTAGGGACGAGCAAGGCAGGGGAGTATGATACTTATGTAGTATGGATTCGTTGAGTCATTGGATGGATCATGGTACCAGCAGCCATCGGCCACCTGACGGCTCGCTGGGGCTGAATTGCTGTTCGAAGAATCGAATAAAACAAGGGAGGTTTGAAGGGGCCTCGGGCTTTGGCATCTGTGTCGATCGCATGCTACCGACCAACCGTGTCCAGGGCTGTGCATGCCATTGGTGTCCCATTGGTGTCCTAACCTGCGTCTGCCTGGCGTTCAAATGGTTCTGCATATGGCAGGGAGCTAGTGTGAGCTGTTTGCGGTTCACAATGGCAGACAATGGCAGACAATCCAGTGTCAAATGCCCTGCCTCGTGTGAAGCGTACCATGGCACAACCTCCACGCATGGCCGGAGGCAAGGGATCATCGTTCAGCCCAGCCAACGATCAAAGCCAATCCCACTTCGACGCCACCACACCCAGCTGCACGACCCTGCGCAGGCCACGCTTAGCGAACGCCAGGCTGAGGCGCTGCGACAAACACCAGAGAGACATGGCAGTAAGCGGGAAACCACTTACGGTCCGCGCAACCACGAAGAAATCAGCGGAGATTCTTGGCGAGTGCGTGAGCAACAATGGCCTGGGAAACACATGGCATGTAGGTGCATTAGGAGCGGTGGCTAGGGGATAGAGCTGGCCAACAGCACAGGGCAAGTGTCCATCCATCAAGATGCCGCGCCTAATCGGGAATGGCCGTGGAGCCTGGAGGGGCTCTATGCCAATAGTGACAGCGTCCAGACCGCTTGAACGGGCTAATCTTACTGTAGCCTGTAGTGCCGACTCTCACCAGATGCAATACAATGGCTCAGGCCCCTAGGGCGGCTGGTCCGTTGTCAACCTGCGAGACAGGCAGGCCCCCTTCAGGAGAGATATTTTAATCTGGAACTAGCGTTTGTGTTCGAGGACCGCCGCCGTTGTCGTAGAATCTGGACTGATTCAGTCCGGGAGCAAGTGTGCACCTGTCTGACTGAAAGCCGCGGATGAGACGGAGTACGGCCCAGCCAGTAAAACAGGGTTCCCATCTTGCTCCCGGGGGCCTCGGACGCCGTAGGCAATAAGGTGCTCGGCTGTCCGGCTGCGCAGCAGTTTTCTCTGTCATAAGGTAGTAGGTTTTGTCGTTGGCACCGCCGGGAGGTCCTTGCTGAATGTCTAGACCCACTGCGCAAGCAGAGCTGTAGGTACATCGCGCACCTCCTGTCCTGGAGATGGACGCCCGCATGGGCCAACCATGGAGCTCAGGCGGCGGCTAGACCTTAACCGGCTAGGGACAAGGCCCCAGACCAATTTTGCCTCTTGGTGCATTTCATCCCAGAGCGCAGCCGGCCAGTCAGGTCGCCAGCGATCCGGTTTTGTTGCCAGGCACAAGGAGGTGGGTCGCTGGACGGACAGGGACGAGGCAAGACTGTGGATGCGAGTGGATGGGGGCTGCATGGGTGGACATGGGTGGCTTCGGTAGCGCTGGCATGCTGGAACGGGGCTTGGCCAAATTTCCCCCAGCCAGGGTTCGCATCGCGCATCGTCCGTTGAGTCTCGGGGAGCGCTGTGGGTGGAGGTCGCCTGGATGCCCGCTGGAGGGGGGTGGTGGTGGTGGTGGAATGAGGGATGAGGCGCTGAGTGTGAGTGTGAGTGTAAGTGTGGGATGGAGGCCAAGGCCAAGACCAAGGGAAGAAAGGGTGAAGACTCACATCCACTTCGGTTTCTACACCCCCTTGACACCCACCCACCCACTCACTTCGCTCAGAGGCAGGTACCTCCTGGGCAACTTTGGCTCTGGTCGCCCGGCGCCTGCCCAATTTGGGTACCTCCAATCTGGGGCAGCAGCATCCTCCCCAGTCCATCCCATTCCCATTACTCCGTCCAGGCTTGCAATATTGCTCGCCCTTTTAATACCCTCCTCCTTCCCTCCGCTTTCGTTTCCTTTCTCCTCTCTTCTCTATCAGCGTCCTGTCAACTTACTCCGTTGTTCCTACTTATTGTAAGTCTCCCTCTACCTCAACCCGGGCATCCAACATCAAGATCGAATACTCCAACTGCACCTCTTCGCAACTACCAAACACTGCCACAAACACCCACCCTCTTGTCACCAATCCACTGGTTTCGTGTGTACTGTGTGAGGCAATCTGGGTCTGGCTATTGGGGTCGTCGGTTTCAAACCGCATCGGTCTGGCGGCTGTCACACAGTGGCTGGCAGCTGCCAACGGCCTGCAAGTGCCCGCAGCCATGGCCTCGCATCACAGAACACACGCGCCGCCCTCTTGCCCAGCTTCACCCAAACATCACACTCGCAACGCGTCTCATTTTCTTGTCGATCCAATTCATTCCCGCCGGGTACCCTGAACTAACACCCGGCCGCGCAGTAATAACCAGTCACTCTTTACATCGAATCAACGATTCACCACCACTATTCAAAATGAAGTACTCCGTCGCTACCATCGCCGCTCTGGCCACCGCCGTCACGGCCACTCCTCACCTTCTTAACACCGATTACACTGTTGTCATCGGTACTCCCTTCACCATCGAGTTCGACGGCTGTGCCAAGGGTTGCACCATTCTTCTCCAGAACGGCAACTCCAAGGACTTGAAGACGGTCGAGACCCTCACTGGTATGTGGCATTCGGATGCTCTCTTTGGAACGGCAGCTAACATCTCGTAGCCACTGCTACCGGTGGTTCTTTCACCTGGACCCCCAAGGATCTTCCCACCGACACCTACGCCTACAAGATCACCGAGAACGACACCGGTGACTTCAACTACAGCGGACAGTTCGAGATCAAGGGTGACGTCGCTGCCACTACTTCTGCTGCCGAGTCCACCACGGCCGAGTCCACTTCCGCTGAGTCCACCGAGGCGGCCACTTCCACCAAGAAGGCCACCACCTTGTCCACCAAGGCTGTCTCCACCACCGAGGAGGCCACCACCATCTCTACTCCCGCTTCCACCGCCCACAACAGCACTACCCCCGCCAGCACCAAGTCTGAGGCTTCTTCCACTGCCGAGTCTGCCTCCACTGGCACTGAGGGTTCGTCATCCAGTTTGTTTGATATTTTAGAATCACTTTACTAATCTACTAGTAGCTTCCTCCACTGCTGCTTCGGCCACTTCCTCCTCCACTACTGTTCCCGACAGCGGTGCCACCCGCATGACCTCTTCCATTGCTCTGATTGCCGGTGCTGTCATGGCTATGGTCTACCTTAACTAAGTTATGGGTTTGACGAGCATGTGTTGAGCAAATGGGGACGGATTGATGAGTTCTTGGTTTCGGTGTACACATTTAATATGGCCTCTTCTATTTCCGGTTACCCCGGGAGGCGTTTAGGGCTAGGAGGATATCCAGGATGAGCGTCGCATGGCATCTCTCTGTGTAACTCGAGCGCTAGTATTTAGCACAATTGGAACCATCTCGGTTTACCACTAAAACAATCCTTTGCCTCATGTCCGTGATGTCTATGTTTTAGCGTGTTGTTGACTCCTATCTTGATTGCTGGTGAATGCTCCGTGCTTCAACGGTTGACGGCTTCTCATGGTGTGCATAGACAGGTACTTCCACAGCCGTGCGTCGTTCATCCTGGTGTGGAGAAACCGGTTCGCCCGACTTGCTCGCCGTCGAATGTTTAACGTCATATGTCAGAAGTCAATCGAGACGTTACACACCAGTCGCCACCACAGGCCAGGCGCCAATTGTCGTTCTCGCCAACCGACGAGCGATCGCTGTCACACCGGGAATGTAACATGGGGACCACGAATGACACTGCGACCGTTGCTGTCGGTACCAATCGACGCGCGTCGGACGCCATCTCCGAAAGATGAAAAGCGGGAACAGGTCATGCACGATACGTACGAGGAAAACGGGAGCATGCGTGGCGACGCCGACAGGGGACTGCAAAACAAAACATGCAAGATCGGGCGGCAGAGAGATCTGTCTGATCTCAGCACAGCGGACGGATTTCGTTGGACAGGTGGAGACATGGAGTGTCGATCGTTTCTGATGTCTAGCCACGCGTTCATGTGTGATGGAATGTCAACGTGTGGGAGAGCGGGATGGCGATGGTGGCAACATTCTTGATTGATAGCTTTTGGAACCCCTTGCGTCACGACATTCCAGCCGATTTGATCAGAATCCCCCCACCCTATTCTATTGTACAGAAATCAAAGGACCAACATGTTTGGAAGAGACTTGTGTTGCGGTCACGGTTTCAGAGGGCTGAGACATGGTCGCGTGTGAAAACAATGTGTGACGTCCATCCCGAGCGAAGCGTGTTTGTCGGCAAAAGGGACGAACCAGATAAAACACTGAAATGACGGCGCGTAAACTCCACCCCCGATTGAGAAACAAAACACTAAAAAACTTTTTAAAGAAGGAAACCACTCCCGAGAGACTACAGTTACGAGAGGGGAGGACGGGCGATGTCGGCCCAGGCGCCGATGCCGAACATGCTTGAGGCGGCGTCGACGGAGAAGGGGCCGAAAGGCTCACCGAGTTCGAGGGACGTGAGGTCCGAATTACGAGCGAAGGCGCTGACGACGGTGCTATGGCCGCGGTGGCGGTTCCAAATGCGCTCGTGGATGGAGCAGCCGTTGTTCATCATATTATGAAGGTTGATGTTGGAGGTGGTGAGTTGTTGCAGAGAGAACAGGGAGGTGGGAGTCAAGGTGGCGGCGGTCGAGTCGGCGGCGGAGGCGGAGGCGGAAGCCGGGACGGAGGCTCGGGCCAGACCCGCAGTGCCGTCGGAGGTGGACGGGGCAAGAGGGACAGAGGGTTCGGAATCGATCTTCTCCCAGCCGGCATCGATGGAATCCTCGGGGCCGCTCGAGGTGGCGATGGCCAAAGGGCTTGCGACGATGGCTTCGACGGCCGGTCCCGCGGGGAGATGAATCTCCGGGTCGGCAGCAGCCTGACCGCGCTCGGCGGCCGACTTGTTGACGTCGTTGAGTTGCGGGTGACGTCCCTTGGTGTGGGAGCCGAGGGCGTTAGTGTCGGAGTGGTGAGAGTTGGCCATTGTGACGGTGTGCAAGGTGGAGAACTAGCCTTTGCTATGTAAGTTGCCATGACTTGAGGAAAGCGAGTCCTTATGTGCGAAGGGGGGGGGACTTACAGAAGATGTTGGAGTCAGAGCGGGGTAGATTGAAATTGATGTGAGGGGTTGTTCTCTCAAGAGAAGAGGATGTAAGCATTCGAGATGAATGCGAGGACAGGAGCCGCAGAGTTGTCTTCCCTCTTCCCAGTCGGGACTTTTCTCAGTCACAGACACAGAGACAGTGGGTTACGTTTCTGCAAGATGGAGTGCTTGCAGATGGGTAGTTGCAGTAGCGGTAGCCGTAGTAGCAGCAGCGGTGGGTTGGAGGGACAGGGGAAGTGCCTCTAGCAAGACGATGACTCTCGGCTTTGGAGAGGTGGAGCAGATGAATGAACGGGCGTGAGAAGGGAAGTTGGTGTATCATGTATTACTTACTTGGTGCGGGATGAATTAGAGGGGGGAGCGTGATGTGAGGGTGCTGGGCTGGGCACGTTGTTGTTATATGCGAAGCCGGCCAACATCCAGCTCGATTCCGCCTCAGGAAGATGGGAGTATGTGTGGGATGAATTTGTCACTTCTCTTTGTGAGTCTATTAGTGTCCAGTAGCCTGCCGTGCCCGACGCGGCGTGGGGGGTCCTAGGACAGGCAGGCGCTTGGCTGCTTCGGGGGAGTGTAGTAAGCCCAAAGAAGCCGGAGCAGCGAGAGTTCGTCTCGCGCACCAGAGGGCTGCAGGATGCGGCGCGGATTGGGTCGAGTTGTATAGTTTCTAGCCTCATTCGCCGGACAAGTTGCACGGTAGGGGTACGCACCCCCCCGGGTTCGACGAGCCGCGGGCTCAAACTGGGAAACGGGGGGCGTGGGAAGGGCTTTTCTCCGAATGCAGGTGATGGGGCTCGGACAGGACGGAGTGTGTATATGTATGTGAGGATGGGTGGATGGGCGTGTGTTGGTGTTGGTGTTTAGAATCGACCAGGCGATTCGTTGAATTGGGATATCGAGTATGCGGTCTGATATTGCTACCTATCAAACACCCCATCCCCCTGCGGCCCTGCGGTCTCGCTCACACCCCATTGCTAATGTGAAGCCCATGATATATCCCTTTGCTATTCTGGTATGAACTCGCAGCTCACTAGCCCAAAGTCGACGCCTCTTTGGCCGCCCGTGGCAGCGTGCCTCTAACATGAAACCCCCGGATGGCGCCACTCCTGCATACAAGCTGCAAGGTGCAAGCTGTAAGCTGCAAGCTACAAGCTCTCTGTCTCTCTCGCCTCTGGAAGTTGCTCCCGCGGATGACTGTTCGCTCGCCTCACTTTTTGATATCGTCGAAACTAACCAACCCCTACACTCAGCTAGCTCCCTCCGCCTTCGGAGGGACGGAGGGAGCGAAGCTATAGAGAGGGAGGGCACACAGATAGCAGCCCGGGCATCAACATCCGGAACCAAGTCCGCTCTTCTCAAGGCCGATGCAGGCCGCGCCGTGGTGGTTGGAGGTTGGCTGCGGCGCCGCAATCACCGCCTAGCTGCTCGCTGGTTGCAAGCGCGACGCCGATCGAGGCGTGACGCAACGAGGACGCTTGGCAGTTCTCATTCGACGACGCTCTCAGAAACCCCAGAAGTCGGGAAACCTTAATCGCGGCTGTGCATCCTCTGATGACACATATCTATGATTCCTTTTCGGCCTTTCTCTGAGAGATATCCCAATCGCCAGCTCATCCGGCCGTTATCCTCGGCCGTTAGTGAGTGAGTATGCATGTAATACGGCCGGCGGGATAGCGCCCACTTGCAGCAGTGACTATAGCGAAACTCGCACTGTTATCTCGGCTTCGCATGCCGCGTGGGCCTTCGCTGTACATGTACAGCCCTGTACAGCCCTGTAGATTATTCCTTTTGTCGTCACCGAGAGTCGTCACCGAGAAGTCGTAGATGCACGCAGAGTTTCAGTGCAGTCAAGGTCGTCTACTCGGCCCAATCCGCATCTCCGGTTTTTATAGGCCCTGATTGACCAAAGCAACCGCCCTGTCTCGCATTACTATTTCCGCCACTGGGAGAGGGAGAGAGAGAGAGAGGCGGGCATTGCACATTGCACTTTGAGCCGGGACCGGAACCCCGAGGACCAAAAATAAAAATAAAAAGTCACGTCCGACGCATGTGATAGTCTCCGGGTAATTGCAATATCAACAAGCCACTCGCCCCAGCAACAGTGTTACCGGCGAGTCATGGCGAGAGTGCACCTGACAATTGAACCGGCGCCCGGGATGCTGGAACGGAGGCACAGATTCAAGGCACGGTGCTACTTTGGAGTTGAAACTTGAAAAGACCGTCCATACTGCCTATGCCACGTCGTCTTCCCATCATCACCCGGACTTGGATGCCCACAAATCGATGCTGTCACATCAATTGGAGCTGACCGCCCTAAACTCTCCCTGCATGAGCACCATGGGGTAAAAAACAGGGGATACGCCCTGGGGGTGTTCTCTCCCCGCAACCCCATCCCCATCCCCAGGCCCCCAGTCTTTCTCCAGACGTCCCGTGCTATGCTATCACATCGTCATTAGAACAATGGGTGGTCACGCACCAGAGCCTCACAAAAGCCACCTGTTTCACGAATATGCCCGAGAACGGTCCCTTCCATTCCGCCGAAATGGTGTGCCAATTCCCTGCCTGGGGCCGGGTTTGTGGTTGGCTATCAAACTCGAAGAAACGTAACGACAACAACAATCGAGATGAGCCTGCTTGATTGGAAAGATACCACGCGACGGGCTGAGATGCGGCGAGGTACCATGTCATACGAATAGCCAGTCATCTGGCAGCTTCCTGGGATAAGGCGATCAACGCTTGTTTGTCGGGACCCAGTGCTTATACAGGTGACGTCGAGTTCGTTGGGGATTGACTACACGAATTGCACTTTGACCCGGACATGACAAATATTAGTGAGCACGAAGGAGAATCTGAATTGTCACACGCTTCTTTGCGACCCGTGAGATACAAGAATATTCGCAAAGCTGAGCCATACATTTAATTCTCTAACTAATAACTACAGTGATGAGGCTGGCAAATCGTCGCCCATGTGTCACCCGACCCCGTTGTTGACGACATCAAGGCACACACTAAGAAATGGCTTGGCTTTAACATACCGTGCCTAAACTAATTTGCACACTTTGACCCATTCTAGCTCTAATCTGAGATTTAGCTACAGAATTAGCTACAATCCAGCTGGCCGCGAACCGGAACACCTTCCCCGTGGCGGGTCTCTGTCTCATTCCTTCACGCTCACACTCTTATATTCTCCGGCCCCAATCATCATATGGATAACATCCATGACACCTTGGGTCAGTTCAAGTGCCTGGCTTGGTTCTTCCAGAAAGATGCGGACTAAATCCTGCAGCATGAACTGCATGGCCTCGTCGTCGTCACTCGGTAGGATCAGGGTGGTGCCGTGATAGCCCAGAGACGTCAGAAACGCCGCTGCTTCACTCGATCGAGCACATGGCTGGTAACCATCGTCGTAGGCGTTTACTAACAACACGGGGGTGTTGATGCTCGTCTGTGAGCTGTCCTGCGGGCGCGTCTCCTTGACCAAGTAGCGAAGGAAATGAGCTATCCGGGCGGTGTAGTCGGCGGGCTCTCTCCCGTCACAGTTGATACCCTCGATAGTGACACCAAGGCGGGTCCTACCGAAATTACCAACGGCGGACAGGTCGTCTATAAATGGCATCCATCCGCCCACTCCAAGGAATCCTCCCAGAGGCGTCGTCGTCCACAGCCGTAGCAATGTCGCCAAACCAACCACGGCGCCCATACCAATGCCTCCCAAAAAGACATTTTCCATGCCCACATCCTCCGCCTCAGCCATGACAATCTGGTCTATCACTGCTGCTACCCGTCCCACGCCTGGCCATACCTCATCCACCGATGCACCCCGAGCTTGCGGATCTGAATCACCGAGCGGGAACCAGGTATAGCCGACAGTCTCACCGTCGGGACCGGTGACGGGATACTTTGCGTTGGGGAGGACGAAGCGGACATGCTGGAGATGTCCCTTGGATGTGATTTCATTCAGGGCCGCGAGTAGCTTCTCGGAATTAGACCCATTGTCGTGGAGAATTATAAAAGTGTGGGTCAGCTTTACGCTTGTGTTGATCGTGGATGGGTTGCGTGCTGCCATTGTTTCTGTTAGTCGTAGTTGTGTGAGTGTCTGTAGGTTGTGATGTGGAGATGGTCCGGCGATGATTGACGAAGGGGGTTGGATACAGAACGCGAAAGTAGATGGCACGAAGCCATGGTTTATAGAGTGGAATTCCAAACTCCTGTTCACTTCTTAAGATGTACACGGGGAGTTGGCTTCGTGTTCCTTGAGGTGTCCCTGAATATCTAGAGCTATCTCGACCACAAGGCTTCTTGAACCGTAAGTACTCTAACACACATGGGTCACATTGGGGCCGCTCGGAACATCGACGATAGTCACTAACTACCCATGTTAGTCCAGTATTAAGGACATGGCTGATTCAGGATCAACTTTAAGCCGCGGCACTGACTGTAAGATGGCACGCGCTGTGGATCGCGGACTTCTTTGTTCCATTTCATCAGCATGTTCCTATTCATCACATAAGCGGGAGATGCGCCGAACGCGGCTATTTATACAAAGAACATCATAGACCCACGGGCCCAGAGGAAGAAAAAAACACTGCTCTTGTTCACATCCATCAGCCGCATCCTCCCCTTCGCCCACCTGGTGATTGCATCTTTTTCTGAGCTCTTGAGGTGTCACTCTTTAGGCTCTACGAGCCACCTAAATTCTTTTCTGGAGAGCTTGTCCACTACTCGTCCTTTTAAAGTCACTGTATTCATCTCCCTTTATTGCCGTCATCATAAATTCTTTGTGATTTATCTCGGCCGTCGTCACAACACCCGTCACGGCTCGATTGACTAACATGGAAGCCTCAAACCAGGTATACCAATTCCAACGAGCTTTGATCTCCATGAAATCCAGTCTAATCGCAGAGAAAATCAGCTTGATGTATTCACCAAGTTGCCGCTGGAACTGAAGCTAGAGATCTGCGAGTACCTCTGCGACCATTGCACCAAAGCAATTTCCCTCCGCTCGGAATCCAAACCTGATTATGGACCCCTGGCCAGCCTATGCCTCACATCTCGATCTCTCAAGGTTGCTGCACAACAAGTTTTATATCATTTCTTCTGGTGCCGAGATGGTGATCCAGGGTACCGTTTGGTACCATTTTCGACGACTCTAAGCCGGAGACCCGAGTTAACGGCACATGTTCGTCGAATTCGCTATCAGCCCGTCCCTTGGGACGACCCTCCGCTTGATTCCGAGAGCGATGACACGTCTGACGAGGATCCGCTCCGGGACGAAATCTTCAGTCTTCATCGCGCTTTGTTCGATGGGGTGTTATCGCGAGCGGAAAATCTGGAAGAGTTGACTATCCAAATCGAGAAAGGTTGGCGGCTACCTCCCATCGATTTCCCTTGTCTGAGGCATCTAGATCTCGGACGTTTCCGCCGTAACATCACCTATGATAATGGCCCAAGATCATATTATTCCCAAGATAACAGGGGACTGAGAGCAGCACCGCGGCTCGAGCAGTTGCGGCTAGACCATTGGAACATATTGGAGGTGGCTCTCCCAAGTATCTTGGGTCTAGCATCCAATACTCACCTGTTGACTACTGCCCCTGAAAGACAAGGTTTGAAGGAGATTTCAGACGCCGACCAGGTGGCCCTCGTTGCAGGGGTATCAAAGCTCACTACATTCGAATTCATCCAGAACTTTGAAGTGCAGCGGGGAATTTACAAAATCTTGCCATTTCTCTTGAATCAGAAAGATTATCTGACAAATATTTCCATACAAAGCTGGGACTTCCAGATCGACCTTGCTTTACTCGGCGAGTTTACAAATCTTAAACGGCTTCAACTTTACACCTGGACCCGAGGTATCGCAAGTACTGCGGGTGAGCCAAGTTCATATCCCTCTGTACTTCCTCGATCATTGGAGTCGCTGCAACTGTGTTTCTGGGGTTCATCTCATCAAGAAGGAATCACTATCTGGTTGAGCCAGAACCTACCCGAGTACAAGCACCTGAAATATGTGCGAACTGCTGATTTTGAGGGTGGGCGTTTAAGCGACAGATTCAGGGAGCAGGGGGTATATGAAAACTTTGTGGAAGCAGGTGTGGAATTCGTGACGGTGGCATGGAGGACCCCGGAAACATTCAATGGACTTTGGGATTCCGTATAGGCCGCAACACCGCTCAGGAGGTGATCCCGCAGACTATAAGTCGTGCCCGTTAAGAGAAAGGTTTATGAGCCGTGCCTAAATCATGAATGGCTAATGTATTGTTAATTCTCATGTTAGCCTTGTGCCTCAATTCCCGTCGTGATCTGTCCCCAAAGGTCCTCCGAGCCCATTGATACGATCCCTCTCCCTGCGTTCAGCTTCCATTGTTGCTGCCATACTCCCCTTCCGTCGTAGCCCGGGAGCCTTGAACTTCCTCACCACTTGATATGATCTGTCCAACTCATTTTCCACGGCACACCTTATCTTCAGGGCTGCGACCGCAGGCCACACGCTTCGCTCTCCTCTCAAGATCCAATAGTTGAGAGTTTCACGCGTAGGTGTTTCCAAAAGCCTTACAAAGTCCCCCGCCGTTACCTCAGGAACCAACATCATCGAAGCTGCTGGTACTTGCTCATCAACTAGGAAGCGGCGTATGTTCGCTGGAAGCAGACGCAATGTGTCTAGCTGACGCAGTCGATGGCGTATCTCCAACCCAACCATTCTAACCAAAAAGGCAGAGACCTGCGTCGTCTTGCTTCGTGCTTCAACTAATGATGGGCCATGCATGTCGGACTGGATAAAAGGAATAAGGTAGGGGCGGGCTTGGCTGACGATGAAGTGATTGACGTTAAACAACTCGGCAATGCGTCGAAGAGGAGAGTCGCGGTCAGAATAGGGTGTGTGTGTCCAATGACGAAAGTCAATGGTGTTTGCAGGAGCCCACGGTACAATGTGGCCATGGGCATCCTTGCACAGCATGGTTGTTTTCCGACGGCCATACAGCGAGGGTGAAGAAGCATTCGATGCTACAGCAGCGGTCCATATCAACTGCCACGGTTTAGTTTACATCCTTTTAATGACGTAGGACAATGAACTTACCACATTGGGTGCAGTCAAGTAGTTGAGGAGCGTGGGGACACCACCCTGACCTTCTGTGGCGACCGTGATGTTCAAGACTCTCTTGCTACGATTGAATGCCTCCTCGAACGTCAAGTCGCCGACGTTGGCCCTCACGCATTCTTCCAGGACTGTCACATCAAGGAAGTAGCCTTCGCGCGAGAAACGCCGGACTCTCCGCAGCAATGTTTCCCATCGCGAGCGGGTTGTCTGACTGCTGGAAGGCTCGATGCCACTCTTTGACGCGAACGCCGTGAGATCAATTCCATCACCACTTAGGACGGCTGGCAGTTCATCCTCAGTGTGGATTGCAACGAGAGCCGCGATCAAGGCCCCAGTAGCTGTGCCGGTTATGATGCGTGGAAGGAGGCCACGGAGGAATAAGGCCTTGACCACGCCAAGGTGGCACATTCCAAAGATTGCGCCGCCCTGCAAGACGAGGGTGCTTCTTCCAAAGGCCTGCCTCGTGTCGTGGATACAGTCCAGCTTCATCTGCATCGTCAATGTGGTGCCATTTCCATGGCCCGCTGACGAAGGACTGGTTGGGAGGACGCGGATGTCTTCCACCGACTCGGCGACCTGGGTAATATATTCTTCGATAAGATACTTGGTGCCGGCGAAGGAACGGTTGTATAGCTTGGGCACGGTAATATTGCCGAGGTTTCGAACTAGGCCCGATCGTAAAAGGTTGACCATCTGTTGGAAGTTTCCATTCTCTCGGGAGGTGGCAAGGGAGTCGAGTCGTTCGGTAATGAGGCGCCAGTCGTAGTACTTGGAAGTCGGATTGTTGCGCCTGGAGCTGGTCAGCATGGCTTCTGGGCGGGATGGCAATAGATACCATACCAAAGATCGAGGCCGAGAAGGTTGTCAAGATGTAGGGCAGCCTCTTCCCAGTCCTCAAAGGTCTCGGCGTGACGTAGTAGATGCAGCCATAGCTCGACAGGGCTCTTGCGCCTGTACCAGCTGCGCAGTTTCTGTAGCGACATGGTTAGACGATGGTCATGGAACATGCCACGCAAGGGGATTGATTTACCCTCTGCCAGAAACTGGCCACGTCGACGACGACACCCCAGACAGCCACAGCTACCCCCATGATTGCCGAGGGACAGTCACAAGCACCATCGAAGACGGCCGGAGAGAGGGAGTCGGGTCGAGCGTACGAGGGACGCGCGCATCTAGGGCATTGTAGGGAGCGCCGGACCACATGCAAAGCGGCCAGTGGTCCTCGAAGCCGATAGATCGATAGGTAGCGGGTCAGAGGGAACTTCAAGCTTGCGCGAGAGGGTGATGGAACGGATGTTGTTGGGCCGTGGAGCTCCCCGCAATAAGCCGTTCAACAAACGTCGCCGCTAAACTCAGGCATGTGATTGTGAGATCACCGCGAGACTCGGGCCGGCCGTCTCAGTCCGAGCCGCAATGCTACCTCGCACGCGCGCGTGATAATAACCAACAGGAATGCTCTGCGATAAGTAGCACGTAGGTCTTGTTCTTTCTATTTACGTGGCTGCGTAGGCGCGCAATTGGTCGCAAGGGGGTCGAGAGCATGGTCAAAGTTAGCATCGCTGTTTCTATTTTCTTCATTCTGATGTCAACGCCGCCGCAACGTTCGCATGGATCGACCTCAGAATTGCCGATTATTATCGTACATTGTAAACCCAGCCTCTTCTTCCCTTCATCTCAAGACGTACTTTCGATTGCCGATCTAGTCCTCGTCGTCCTCGACAACGTGACGCCGCCTGCCTCTTCCAGATGCCTCCATGGGCTCAGCATCAGAGCCCTCGGCATCTTCATCCTCGTCGCGGTCCCTAGTCCGTCGCTTCTTTGAACGCGGCTTTTCGCGTTCGTCATACAGTTCTTCCTCTTCCTCATCACCACTCTCCAACTCATCTTCATCGCTACCGACAACGAAGTCATCTTCCAGGTCGTACTCATCCTGTCGGCGCACACCCTGAGGCAGGTCGTCATCGGAATCGTATTCGGGACCCCGTCGCTTGGGCTTGGCTGATCCCGGCGCACCGCGCTTCCGCGAAGAGCCCATGCCCCGTCGGCCACCTTCGAGGTCTCCAATAGAGAGGCCGCCACCCCTAGACCTGCCATATCCGCCGTCCATCTTCGCGGTGGCATTGTCGCGGCGTCGCTGGGCCTTTATCCTCTCCTTCTCCGCCATTTCAGCCTGCTTCTTCTGAAGCTCAGGGTCTCGAGTGGTTCGAATAAACATGTCGCCTCCGGAGGAAGTCTTGCTCGCGAGTGCCATCCTCTCGGCGAGGACCGATAGCGCATCATCGCCGACAGCCTTGTTCGGGCGCACGTTGTATTGCTCGGTGATGTGACCAACTGTCATGAGGAGGTTGCTGCTCAATTCGGCAGCGGCAGCATAGTAGTGTCCGTCGTGAAGCTCGTTGTATGGCTTGTCGGCATCGGGGGCAAGTCCCTTCTTGTTAATCTCGTAGTGTTCGCCACCAACAGAAATTGTGACCGATCCATCACTCCAGCGGAAGATGTTGGTGTTGCTCTTCAGCTCGCCAGTGCTGTGATCTCTCCGCACTCTCGCGACGTGTTTGGGGTTTTGGGACTTGGCGTTAACCACGTCGAAATCGGTCGGTTGGAAGGTCTCGGGGTCGTATTCCTCAGGAAGGATTTTGATGAACTTGGGGACCCGCAGGACTCGCAGCTAGATGGTTTGGTGAGCACACGAAATGGGATGAGGATGTCGCGACACCTACAGCACCATCCTTGGGCTTGGGGATTCGATGTCGGTATGTCTGAACCGCCATGACCACTCTGTCCTTAGTTTCATGCTGTGGCTGTTCATCTTCATAGTTGCGATAGCGAGCGTATGTGTCTCCTTCTGGGTCAGAAGCGAGGTCATCGTCATCGAGAACGCGTTCCTTGGTGGACACAACCTCGTCGTCGCCCTCGTCGCCGAAGAGGTCATCGCCTCCCTCGTCGAGAGGGTCAATTGGGTCTTCCGAGTCAGACATGGCGCAGGAGAAGAAGCTTTGTGGCCAAGGGTGGATGCGATGGTGGGAGTAGAAGCAAAAGTGAAGTCAAGTTGACGAGCCGATGAAAGGCATACGGTCGCGAGCCCTTGAACTCTGAGAGCGCCAACTACATTCGGCGACGGACCTTTTCCAGGACGGCTCGGGCCTGAGGCTGAATTCGCACCAGCCACTCTCGGGAAAGAAAGGCAGGCCACTAGCCACATCAACAGCCTCCAGTCACAGCAAGGCCACAGCAAACAAGACAAGGAAGGGGTCATGGTAGTGGCGGTCGAAGCTCGCTTAGGCTACCGAGAATAGCTTAGTGTGCCTCAGGTGCCTCGAAACCCGCGTCAAGTTTAGGGGACTAGCGAGGGAAGGACCAACTGGGGAATCTGGCACTTGGGCAGTTAAGGAGCTCCATCTCCATCAGCGACCGACCTCTTGACCTTCAAAACCCCCTTTCTTGAGAGCTGCGACCGCGATAGCTCCCTCACGCCCGCTCACTGTAGACTCTACCCGAAGCACGACGATACCTGCGAGTCCATATACCGTCTGGTCCTTGGGCAACACCACCAGTCATTCCTCCACTTCTCGTCTCGCGTCTGCCGTAACGCAACGCCCCTTCTTCTTCGCCCCTCGCGACCTGCGCTTCCCACCCCGCCTTTCTGCCGACCATGTCGAACCTCTTCTCCGGCATGTAAGTTGCCTCTTGAGTTTTTTATTCGTTACTCTCCACGGCTCTCGACTCGAATGTCGACTCTGGTTCCCATTCCATCAGACCAACCTCAGTGAATGGTCATGATATCCCGCTTGGTGCGGTGGTTGAGGCCGTGGTTCATGATACATGACACCGCCTCAGTGGCCAGCCAGTGGCGAGTGCTACTGGCAATCCGCTGCCCCAAGCTACCCCGGTAGCCCTCGTGCCAGGTGCAAGTGGAGGTGCAAGTGCAAGTGCAACACCAACCCACCATGGTCACGATGCTTTCCATCTTTAAATCCACCAGAGCCCATTCACGTATAGCCTGGCGGCTTCCAGTTCGCCGTTTGTTTGGTAACGACAACTGCTTTCAGTGGGTCCGGCAGCCCAGTGACGGTCTGGCAGCATGTGGATGTGGCTCTCTCGCGATATCCAAGACATGCTCTCTAAGCACAACTGGTCACGAGATACCCCTTTTCCTGTCTCACTGCCATGTCGACCCAACCCCGACCAACAAGAGAATTTACCTTTGCTTCCCCACGCCCGCCAATCATACGATACCGTCACTTTAATTCCAACCATTCCCTTACACGGCTGCCGCAGGGCGGAGACTTGGCTCCCCGAGAAGCACATCACTATAGCTGTCAATGATAGCTAGTTTCGAAATGTTTCAATAAACAGCATTTGTCTCAGCATAGTGTGCTGCCACCTTGACGAGGGTTTAGGGGGCTTTGGGGAGCCACCTGGGACCTTATTCTCTGACCAACCGAGCACGACGTCTTCTCACATTCATGGCCCGTTGCTAACGAGATGAATTATCTAGCAACGCCCGGTTTCGAGGCGGGTCAGGCAAACCTGCTGGTCCGCAAAAGAGTCCTACCTCGTCCACTGCTAGCCAGCCTCCTCCTCCACTTGAACACGTTTCTCAAGGGAGTCAGTCGTCGTCTTCCAGCCTGGCCCCTAGAGTCCCACCCCTGCCCAACTCGCCTTCATTCGCTCAGACTATTGGTATGGATGATTGTAACGGCGCCATGGCTCCCGGGGACGACCTCATCGCCGCCTACCATTTGCCTCGACCCCTCCCTCTCTGGCTTAACTCTCAATATGCCAAGCACATTGTCAAGGGCAATTTCATGACCCTTAGTGCGCGACCCAAGACTGTTGAGCAGGGCGAGTGGATTGCACACCAAGGTAAGATGCTCCCTTCATATTTTTCCTGTCCATTGAGCATCTCCTAACGATAGTAGTTGTTGAGCACTACCGAAACCTCTGGAACTTTGTTCGGGTCCTACATGAGAAAGAGGAGGATGGCATGTCCATCTGCAACTCCACCTCTTGCCCACGCATGTCAGCTGGAGTGTGAGTATCCTCCCTTCCTCCCTTCAAAAAAGACATGCTTACTCACAGATTTCTAGGAACCACTCCTTCACTTGGCTGAACAGCCGACGAGAGCCTGTCGAGCTCCCCGCATACGAGTACATGACCCTCATGCAACGATGGATCTCTGGAAAGATTGATGACAACAACATCTTCCCCACCGATCCCTCTGGAATCTCTTACTCCCACAATCCTGCCATCACCACCACCCCTCTCTCGCAATTGACCAACCTTGGCGAGCCCGAATGGATTGGCAAGCGATCCGGATTCCCTGACAAGTTTGTCGAAATTTGCCAGATGATCTTCCGACAAATGTTCCGCGTCTATGCTCACCTCTACTGGGCTCACTTTACGGAGCCCTTCTACCATCTTAACTTGGAGAAGCAACTCAACAGCTGCTTCTCCCACTTCGTCCTGACAGCAACAGCGCTGGATATGCTGAAGCCCTCTGAACTGGAGCCCATGCAGCCTCTGATTGACCTCTGGGCTGCCAACGGAACCTTCCCGCCAGAGTCTAAGGCGCACGAGTACGCCAACGTCCGTGCGGGCGAACGCCTCCTGCAACTTGGCGGCGTCCCTCAATAAGCGCACGCTGCTTGAAGGCAAGGGCGCACAAAGATAGGTTTTGAGACATGTGGAAACGGGAAAACAGGGAACACCCGCCCCGCGGACCAAATAGAAAGTGTACAAGTGCGAAAACCATGTATTGAGTCTGGGGATGAGAAGCATGCGGTATGGCGCAGAAACAAGGACCTGCAGAATGGAGTTTCGGATCCCCTCTACAGCATAGAGTTGGCTGCAAATGTCAGGGTCAGAGGAGGAACATCAGTTGGCGTCTGCGATCTCGAACCGACGCGACGGCACAGGAGCATATTCTTCCGATACCGAATTGATTTCGAACTATTGGAAAAACACCCGCAAAGACCAATGTCGCAAAAGCTCCCTTATGCGCCCAGAACCATGTTGCACGTTCTCACCCCGCCACTCGTTCCCCGCCGCAGGGTGCGCCGACTTCGCTAATCTTGTATTCAACCACAATGGGCTCATTCTCCTGAACGATGAATCTTCCGGAGCCTACGTACAACTTGTCTTCTAATAGCTTAAGGCCAGGACTATCAGTCTCAAACCTAACCTGCACAACTGGAACTTGAGTCAGCCAGCCATCCTGATCCCGGAGATTGAGGCAAGTCCAGAAGCACAAAGCAATGAGAAATGGGCGGTATCAGTCTGCAAGGAGAGCCACCATACGGTCCACTCACAGGCATTGCCAAAGCCCGTCGTCGTGGCGTTGACGTCACCGCGGATGATCTTGCCCTCGTCGCCCGTCATGCCGACGACGCCGTTGTAGTTGAAGCGCAGCAGGGCACCCGTGGCGTCGCGGGCGACGCTCGTCACATCCAGACGGACTATCTGGCCGTCTGAATCCCGCCGCAGGAAGTCGCTCCCGTGGACGAAGGTGGCGCGCAGTGCGGGCCGGTAGTCGGGCTCCGAGATGAGTGTCCCGGCGCTTGGGAGAAAGGGGATATTGAGGAGGTCGGCGGTAATGGGGAGCGGTGTATCGATGTAGATCTGGCAAAACATCAGCGGAGAAGATGCCCTCGGCCGTATCAATATGGCATATATCGGATGGCAGAGATGATGAGACGGAGAAAGTGTGTACGTACTCGCGCGGTGAAGGCTGGTATCAGGATGGGGAAGTTGGTGAACTTCATGATGGCGAGCGTCTTGACCAATGTCTAGACTCATCTCCTCTGCACGAATGAAGGAAGCCCTTTTCTGGATATCTTGTATTGCACCTCTTGTTCGCCCTCGATTTGCATTTCCCCTTTCCCCTTCTCTTCCTTTCCCTCCCGTCCAAGGCTCATTATATTTGCGGTCTCGTGCCCGCCGCGAAACGGGACGGGGCAGCGCGACGGGTTGGCCCAAGCGAGCGGCCAGTTTGGTTCATGGCACACATGCGGCACTGGCAGTGTATCTACCGAGTGCTGTGTTGTCACAGGGAGCCATTGGCCTTGTGTTACTGGGGGACGGATGGGGGAAGAGGGGATCTACGAAAACGGAGATGGCCTTGGGTACAAAGGAGGCGGCCATCCCATGAGAGGAAGGGCGATATCTGGTAACCAGATGAGTGGGAACCAGGAGATAGAGAAGGGAGGTGAGGACAAAATTCCGTGTTGGTATCAAGACGGCGTCACAGCCGGTGGACGAGTTAGCACCGAAGCGACGAGTGTCGAATCGCATCTCGTCCTTCTCGTCCTAGTCTGTAGTGACAATCACCGAGTCCACGAGCACGCCGATCCCGACGACTAAACCAGACGCCACTGAAGACGCACCCCTTTGCGGCCGCCAGGAACAAGGCAGCACGATGCAAGGGCAAAACAAAGCACAACCCACGGCTCACGATTCACCGTCACCAGCCAGGCTGTTGTGCTTGACCGACAGTTGCCAACCCCTTGGAGCAGCTTTTAGCCTAGAATTGGGCTCCGTCCTCCATGCACTGCCTGCCTATCGCGAGGCATTTGGATGTGAAAAATAGCGTGTGTTGCGATGCTCCGTTTGGTGTGTCCATACAGAGGCACGATTATACCGGGCCGGCCGTGGCGGTATATCACCGCTTCTATTAGGCGCGAGCACCGCCCATTCATAGACAGCTGAAACACATGGATCTCAGGCCACACCTCGGTCCGAGTGTTGCCATCTTGTGAGGCGGTCATGGCAGTGTGCCAGTGTGGTGTCAAGCCGCACCAGGGAAACAAGCTCATGACGAGGCTTTGCTGCTTCGGACCAGCCCCCAACCGCCATCTGCCCGGGTCTCCCGGTTTATTCCCCCACAACCACGGTCTCATACCGTGAAACATGGAGTCAGAATCCTCTGAAGCTCCAAATAGCAGAACCCCGCCTCAGTGAGCCGTGAGGGTGGCTGAACCTCGGGGCGTCGTCCAACTCTGCGTTCACGTTGTCGGGGATATCCCCGTCTGATCGACTCCAGGCTTCGGAAACCAAGCCATCAGCCCCAAAGCCACATGTTTCAGAACCATGTCCCGTTGTGAGATCCAGTGGCTACGAAGCCGCTCTCCAGTCAACCATAGCCCCGGGTCCCCAGATGTGGCAAAGCGCAAGGTGCCCAACGTGCTTCACCGCCAGACTTGATATGGACCACATCCAACATCCTTCTGGAGCTAAGAGCCAAGCAAGGCACTACGCGTTCCAAGAATGGATCTCTTAGGCAATGGTCGACGTGTTGCCCTCGTATCTTGTTTCTATTTCCTGTGCAACAATTCCTGGATGGGCCCTGGCTTCTGCAGGTGTAACTCGATCTGGAGGATCATGCGGATGACACGATGGATGGCTGCTTTACGACGAACATTAGGCTGCATGTTTGCCGAATGCACGATTCCGTACCCAACAAGCAAGGTTTCGGATCTTGAGGACCTTACTGGAAAGTTCTGTTGCATCAACGCCGTGGCTTGTATGAAGACCCGCATCGTGCCGTCTGGGTTGGACTCCGAGTTCGCAACAGACACTCCATTCGGTGTGTCTGATATCGCACTTGCAAAACACCACTTCGTCATTGCTTCGCCCAACTGGGCCTACGAAGTTATGCAGCAGAACTCTGTGTCTTGGAAAGTTCTTGAGAGCGTCACTTGCAGATCTCGGCTGCAACGTCAGACGTCAAACTTTTGACACCCGTTCGGTTGACACTGACGTCTTCCATGGAATCCATGTGCGGGATAGCGCACCGCCCTGGCCATCTTGCAGCCCCTGCGACGGGTTTGAACACGGAAACCCGGTGGGATTCAAGTTTTTGCTGCGTTGGCCCAAGTTTCAGCTGCACCAGCGAAGAAATGGTGCCCAGGCTCTCGTTCCAAGAGCATGTGCAACAACAAAAATAGAGCTTCTTTTCAATTCTCCAGCCTTTCCATTCACAGCCTCGTGAACTTGCATGACACAGACCAAGGTTGGCTGATATCCCGACTGGTGATTTGCAATCGTAATCTCCAGAGCGGTGGAGCATCATGCTGAAAATTCTTTCGCCATTGCGGCGTGGGTGTTGAGTCAATGTGGTCAGGGATACCCAGACCGCACATTTGCGGCTGGTATTTTCCTCTTCTTGGCATGGGATAATGGGGATCCTTTTACGCCGAGGTACGCCGTTCTCTCCCGCAGTGTGCCAAAGACCTTGGATCTTAGGGCGCTCCTGGCTGCGGATGATTCAGGGTGGTCCCATCCACATCAAAGTCGAGCATGGAAGCCCTCAGTTGAAGTCAGCTTAAGTGCATGGAATTCTTACTAGCAGGTCATAAAGGGCTGGGGTTAGCGGGACGCGTTCCGGGATCAGGGTTTTAATCTACCGAGGATCCAGACTTCTTTTACTGCTTCAGGCAAGAGTTTCGGACTGCTCGGGGCTGCGTCATAGCAAGCATCGACCAGTTTTCGATCGGGATGTTTCGTAGGCAACATACTTTTGATGCTCACGGGTAGAAGGTTAGAGGCAAACGTCATGGATCCTCAGCCGAGCTGGGTCTGAACAGCCAAAGGAAGGCAGCCGCAAAATGGAGAGCGCCGCTGGCCCAGCGACGGCCCTGTTCCTTCGTGGGGGTCCAGCGTCTCCGAGATCGCGCGTGGGAGTCATACTGGCGGTATTGCTGCTCACCAATGAAGCAAGGTGAGGCAGTTGGGCAACGATCTTGGGCCGAATTCTGTATGCGAACGGTGAGCAACTTGCCCCTAGTGCGGTGACGAGAAGGCCACTGAGAACCGGTCAACCCCATCTCTCGCCGATGCGGTCGGCCTCAAGGTGATGCAGCACCTGGTCGTGCTCTCGTGAGCCACAAGTTGGGTTCCAGAAAGCCTGGGAGGACGCGCACAGCCCACAGCCAGCCCTGGCAAGAGAAGCATAGCCTAATTTGGCTAAAGATCCTGCGCCAGGAAGGGGAAGCGGAGGGCCTGGCTGCTGGGACGGGCAGGTTAGGAAGCAAATGGGGATGTCGAGCTGGGCGCGGGCCAAGCAGAGGCCAGCTCTTTGGAGCATCATCGCTCGCCTCACCTGAGTGATTGGTCGTGATCGTAGCTTGGGCCGTTTTGGACGGCGCCGGCCGACGTTGACCCAATTTGTCGCAGCCGGATCGTGATCCGAACGGAGGAGAGGACCGCCAGGCATTGGATGGCAGGTCCAGCATGGATCGAGGCGCACACCGAGCTTGTGTTTGGGCCACGGCCGTGACCATGATGCCGGGGTCTGTCCACGAGGAGAGAGCGGACCAGCAGGGAAGCTGGATGACTGGACGACTGGGAGCCTGACTTGACAGAGGGGAGGACGCGCACGCGTGACGGGGCCAAGAAGAAACACACCGACAAAACAAAGACCTCAATAGGAGAGGCACCATGGCCGGCCATTTATGCGGCCATGAAGCACAGTGGAGCAGGTGGTTGTCGGGCTGGTGAGCCTAGTGGTTGGGCCTCGAGGGCGTGTGCGGGAGTGTGCGGGAGTGTGCGGAAGTCGCATGTAGTTTTTTCCCAGCCACCCACTGAGGCGGATGGGATGGAGAGAAGCATCAATCAGATTGGCGACGCAGCTCGGGAATCAGACCATGGGTGAAGGTCGAGGGCCGATGATGGCGACTGAGCCATGGTTTGGAGGAGGCATTTTGGTTGGGTGTGGTCAGCAAGCTGCAAGCGCGGAGTAGACCGCGGGTGAGATTCCATCTAAGACGTCCATTCAGAGTCGGCTTAAACAGGCAATTGGCCCTCAGGGTGCTAGAATGCCTGAGGCGCGCGGCATGAGGAGGCCGCTGGAGAGAGCCTGGAGTTCGTGCGAACCTGGGAGAGTCAGGTACCTACCTAGGGCCAGAGCCAAGGACAGAGCCAAGGACAGAGCCAAGGACAGAGCCAAAAACAGAGTCAAGGCCAGAGCCAAGGCCAGAGGGTGTGTAGGTACCTTCCTGACTGGTACCCGCCTGCAATTGACTGCCCAGACTGGGCTGAATCAGAAGGACGACGGTACGTACCCATTAGGTTCCATGACCATCTGAGCTGAAGCGCAGCAGATCCAAATGGCGCGCCCCTCAGATCTGCCGGGAAGTTACAGTACATAACTTAGTACATTGGGTTTGTCGCTCATCGGTCTGGAGCTGGCTGCCCCGGTGACGACGGCCAGCAAAGGACAGGACGAGAACGCACGCGCGATGTTCAGGGACCCGAAGCGGGAGCGAAGCGAAGCGCGGCGCGGCGCGGCGTGGCGCGGACATGGCATGGCATGGCATGGCGAAAGCTGGAGCAGCCCAGGATGGGGCATGAGGCGCATTATCGTCGATGCCTCCGTCGAGGACTGCACCTCGTCGTTGTCGTCGACTGGCCGTCGTTGCTCACGATCGCTGCTTGAGCGTGCGAGACGTGCCCGCCTTGATGCCATGTACCGCTCCTACCCCACGCCGCGGGGGCTGCTGAGCAATAGGAAGCCCGCCAGGCGGGTTAGTGGCTCTGGGCTGCTGCAGCCAGTGGACATCGGCCATCGGACTGGTCCAGCGGACGGTTTTAGCACCCGGCGTCAGGCAAGGTAGCGTCCGTTTTTGGTGCCCAACGTCGCTCCCGTCCTTGGGTTTTGGGTGACGGCCGGGCCGGTCCACCAGCACCCGAACCAAAACCACCGAGACGGATGTCTCTGAGCCACAGACATGAGTCGTCGAGTCACTCTGCGCCGCTCATGGCTCGTTCGCTCGTTCGCTCGTTGGATCCCACTGGTGTTTACTCACGACGGGATTGTACCCGTACCGAGGAATTTAGGTCCCGCATGGAGTAAGTTACTCGACGCAGCGACAGGGCTGCCACGCTGCCGTGGAAAGTTGCTTTGTCGTCGTTGCTTTTTTTTGCACTTCCATCTTTTCCCCTCTTCCCGTTTCGCCGCCCGCGTGTCGGTTCCGGCGATGAACCCCCTCCCCCGTCCCCCCGTCCGGTAAGCCATGACACCACTCAGCGGCATCCACTGGCTGAGCGTACTTGTCGGGCGTGGGGTGGTGGCTTCGGTGGGCTGGTTCTGGGCAGCAAGTAGAACAATATCACAGGGCGCGTTGACGATGGCCTCATTATTTCAAACACCGCCCAGAGATAGATCATATCAGGGTCGTAGAGGAGCAAGGCGGCAAGAGCAGCGGTCAAGTGACGCCGAACCACCTCAAGACTCACACGGGCTCACACGGGCTCACTCGGGCTCACACTCGCTCATACGGGCTCCGTGGTTGCCGGCCAGGACGAATGGCAGTGGGCGAGATGCGGTGCCTCGGATGCCACATGAGGGAGTCCCTTGCCCGGTAGAAGGCCCCCAGAGATGGTGGAGGAGCCCATGCTTGGCATCTACAACACCCACCATACATTGGTATCAGGCAGGTCGGGTGGTGAGGAATCTGTACATGGTACCTTGTGCATATCTGGCAATCTAGCTCATCGGGAGTGGAGGTGGAGTTCAGTCATGCCGGCGCTGCTACCGCATACTCCCACACAGACACTCGATTTCTGTACCTACTGTTACCACGGAAGTGGTCATAGATGTCGCCGTCTCATCTGATGCCGTCTGCCGCGGCCACCGCTAGTATTGAAGGTGAAGATCACGATGGTGATGATGATTCGTATACACCACCATTCCCTCTTCTCTCCCCCTTGTTTCCTGATTTGGCCATTCTGAGGCCTTCCATGCCTGACCTAGACCATCCTCCCCATGACGGGCTTGTGAGTGACACCTCCACACCCTCCCGAGCCACTCACTGGCTGCCCGGCGCACTCTCTCAACCCTCAGTCGCTCACACGCTCGCGACCAGCAGCCACACTCGTAGGCAGTCCTCACGCAGATGCTCTCTCGTCCTTGGTAGACTCACGCCCCCGCCACCCCCCATAGAAAGAATGGCTAACAAGTTACACCCTAGCCGACCCGAAGCCCCCCGTCCTTCGCGGGCCCTTGGCTAGGCCCCCCAGTGGGTCGCCCATCCTTTCCAGAGTGCCCCCCTGTGAATCCAGTCCAAGGGCCGTATTCGATGTCGGGGTACCGCCGTCGCGATGAGGCCCGGAGACATGTACCTTGACGCCGTCTCCGCGTCCAGATGTGCCGGGTGGGAGCCCCGGCGAGTACATAACCAAAGCAGCTCCTCCCCTCGGACTACCTCGTGTCAACCGCACTTCCCAAAGCAGCAGTCTGTTGTTGACGATTTTCCCTGCTTTCCCTGCTTCTGCTCCTGCACTCGCTTGTTTGGCCCTAGACCCCCGAGATCTGGAGTGCAGCACCAGCAACACCACTACCACCACCACCCAAAATCGTACTTTCCACCAGTACGTATCACGCCAAAGCCCCAGCTCTAGCAGCGGCAACGCCTAGCCTGCCCATACTACTGGATTGTACAGGAGTAGTCAGTCGGGTCGGGCCTTGTGGTGAGTTGCTCTCGATCTCTCTGCCTCTGTTGCGTTGCGCGCGTTGCGTCCACCGCATCGCGCCGCCGTTTCGTCCTTGCTCCCATTCGCCTTCCCGTCACTTCCCGCGCTTTAAAGCTTTCCGGCCTCCCGCCCGCGGCCCATCTCATCACGTCTGCATCCGCATCCCCCAAAAAGCACCCAGCCCGTTATCAACCCATCCAGTCGCCCCCTCCTGCTCCCCTTCCCTCTCACCCTTTTCACCCTTCCACATTGTCATCATCATCACCATCACCATCGTCGTCCTGGGATTACCGCGCATCGTGGTCGTCGGCAAGGGAAGAAACGAAACATCATCCCATCCATTGCGCATGCCCGCTCGCACTCCGATCAGTCTCCGCACTGCCCGCACGCCGCCTTCCTTCTCTGCCCTTGCTCTTGCTAGGTCTGGCGCTGCCTGCCACTTCCTCGCCTACCCCACCCCACTTGCCCCGTTCTCCCACGCCAAAAAAAAAAAGAGCCCACGCCTAAGCCCACGCTTCAGCGCTCACGCCCTGCTGGTGCCAAAAATACACCTACCCGCACACGGTCTCTTTCACCGCCCACCAACATCACTGACTCCCTCAAAAAGATCGTTTTATTTCGCGCGCCCCCAACCTCTTCCCTCTTGCGCTCCTCCTTCATCTTCACCTTCCATCTTGGATATTCATCTTGCCTTTTTCTGATTGCCCTTTACCCTTCTTGGCTTTCTCTTCTCTGCCACTACGACTTGTTTCTTATTTACTTCCTCCTCCTCCTCCTCACACTCACACACACACACACACATTCACAACTGCCTGTAATGGCTTCAACATACCCCATGCAACCATTTTATCGCAACCCTCTGACCGTGGACACAACCCATGCGCAGAAGCTCTTCGAAGAGGAAGACAACAGCGTCCTAGACGACAACATTCTTGACCACAGCGGCATCGACTCCGGACTCGAGCTATCTCCTCCCATGGCCGACAGCCGCCGAGAGTCCTTCGCCGTTGGCGGACCCCCGCTCTTCTCTCCCAAGACGGAAGACTGGCAGTCAGTCGACATGCAATCAGTTCCCTCCAACAACCCCTTCATGGACCACCACAGCAACAACCCCTTCATCCGCCTCGACCAGAATCAGACCAACTTCGCCGCCCCGGCGAGCAACTGGTCGCTCGCCTCCGGCTCATGCACCCCACTTCAGCCCTTTGACAACGTTCCCGCCGAGTATGACACCAATGCTTCCATCTTCCAGAGGCCCATGCAAGGCCAGACGCCTTTCTCCAACCCTGGCAACATGTTCTCCTCTCTCCCCGGTGGCAACCAGTCCATCCCCGCCTCTCCTCACAAGGACTGGATGAGTCCCAACCAGCAGGCGGCTCTCGGCAACAAGAAGATGCGCCCTAGCAGCCCCGCCATCCGCTCTCACAACGACATGCGCCGAGGAGACGGTATCCGCAAGAAGAACGCCCGCTTCGACATCCCCGCTGAGCGTAATCTGAGCAACATTGACCAGCTCATTGCCCAGTCGACAGATGAACAAGAGATCAAGGAGCTCAAGCAGCAGAAGCGCCTGCTACGCAACCGACAAGCAGCGTAAGTGCCTGACCTCGTCCTAGTAACCCATTTGACGCTAACATTGTCATAGCCTTGACTCGAGACAACGCAAGAAGCAACACACTGAGCGTCTAGAGGATGAGAAGAAGCAGTTCACCGTCATCATCGGCGACATGGAGGAAGAGATGGCCGAGCTCCGAGCCAAGCTTGAGCAGGTCCTCATCGAGAAGCAGTCTTACACTAACTACATTGAGAATCTCAACCTTGAGAAGGAGGAGATGATCCGATCTCACACCATCGAGACGGGCGAGCTCAGGAAGAAGGTTGGTGTTCTCACCGATCATGTCCAACGCCTCGAGAGCAACGCTGTTCCCTCGGCCAACCCTGGAGCCAACGGCTTCCCCGGTGCCTACGACAACATGGACGACATGGGCATGACCAGTGCTTGGGACACATCCAACTTCCTCAACGAGTATCCCGTTGAGCCCGAGGTCAAGCAGGAGATGGCCATGGTCCCCACCAAGAAGGTTGAGAACAACCCCTTCAGCACCGACGGCGAGAAGCCCGCTGCTCAAGGTGGCCTCCTCTTCATGCTCTTCCTTGTCGGAGCCTTTGTCCTGTCTAGCCGCTCGACACCCGCCATCCCTCGTGTCTCTGAGGATGTCAGGGTTGCTTCGGCCACTCTGCTGGACAACGTTCTCAAGGAGGCCGGTGTCCACTCACAGTCCGCTAGCCTTCAGGCTGCTCCTCCTCAAGCCTCCGGCCCTGTCAACTGGGGTAATCCCATGAACGATATTGTCATGGAGGGTGTTGCCCCATCGATGCTCTCTGAGCTCGGCGACGTCCTTACTCAGCCGTCCCAGGAGCAGACCAACGAGCAGATCTTCTCCCTCTCGGCTGCACAATATAACGGTGTCAGCTCTCAGGAGTTCCTCCAGAACGCTCCCGACCGATCAACGACCAGCCAGGGTCGGCGCAACCTAGCAGATGCCCTCACAGCTATGCGATCTACAAACAAACAGAACGGCGCCGCCGATGTGTATACACGCTCTCTCCTGTGGGACCAGATCCCCAACGAGGTTGTTCGAAACTTTGCGAAAATGGTGGCCGACTGCAACAGTGCACAGAATGAGCAGCAATGCAACGACGCAAGAGCATGATGATAAGATGCAAAAAAAAATGTCACGATGATGAGTCTCACGGCTATTTTTAATGGTTGTCTTTTGTTTTATTTTATTTTCCTTGAGTCGGCTTTCTTATTTCCTACCTTTTCCTGGGGGATGAGCCGCCATACACTCGACGTCGCTCTCGCGCACTCCAGACCTGTTGCTCACGCACCCAAACGGACGGTTTGTTCTCTTTGTCGTTTTCCTTCTGGATTTCTACCTTGGGGTCTCTTTTGATTTCCTTACGGATCTAGCAAGCGAGCGAGCATTGCTTTGTGTGATTTCAAATTTGGAATTTCCTGTCTCGAATACCTCTTTCGGTTTCTACCTGTTGTTTTCTGGGTTACGGCGAACTTGGGGCGGGCGGAGGCAGTTGACGGCGGCGGCAGCGGATGCAGCACAGTAGCAGCAGTACGAACCCGCTAGCCAGCTCGCAGACAGAATCTACAGAGGTTCCCAAGTCCAATCAGTGTGGACGATGACGGGACATATTTATGGTGCATCGGAATGGGTGCGAATTTTTGTTTTTTATTTTGGATGATATGGGCGCGAAGGAGGGAACTAGGGGTATGCAAGGGACTTGGGCATGGAATGGATGATGGATGGATGGGTGAGATGGGAGCGATGCACGTCCAGAGATGACGATGACATGGGAAATGATGATGACGGCATGAACTGTCGATGAAGCATTTGTTCTTGGTATCGATTACATTCTCGAGCAACGCGTTACCAGCCCCAGGCGGCCTGGTTGTTGCAAAGCACTTATTTGTTTTGATGATTATGAAGCTGTTGGTTATTTGGACAGCTAGGAAATGCAGAATCAGGTAGCTCTTAACAAGCCATCAAAAAAAGCGAAACTGGTGTGTGTCTTGATCAATGGTGATGTTGCCTATGATATCCGTTCGCATTTCCCTTATCATTCCCATGCTCGGTCTCGCCAACTAGATTGTAAACTGCGCCTCGGTGAGAATCAGCCCTCCTCCGCAGCCCCGGGAAGGATGCTCACAGGCATGGAACGATTCAGCACGATGGGGATGCGATACGATACGATACCATGACAGGTCGACTCGGTGACTAGGGTCAGGCGTGACGGGTGTGCAGCCGTCCACTCAAGGCCCCGGGCGTCGGGTCAGTTGGTGCCAAAGACGCCGTCATCAGGCTCCGCCCAGACGGTGGAGAGCGTGCGGCGCGGGAGGGCAATGGGGGAGGGCAATGGGGGATGGGATGGGGGATGGGGGAACAGTGGGAGGGTGAGTGAGACAAGGGTGAACTGCTGGAAGTACCCGGCGTCTGGGGCTTGGAGGGATTGTGCGCCTCCTTACTCGGTACGGCAGTTCGTGGCCCAATGTCTAAGACACTTGATTCCGTCTGGGTGGGTGATGTCTAGGACTTGCAGCGCTGGGGCGGGCACGGGGATGAAGATGGGGATGGGGATGGAGGGAGCGCTGGTGGAGGGGCGTGGGTCTTGTGATGTGAGGGCTGGCTACCTGAGGTACCTACCTATAAGCTGGAAACTAAGGTAATCAACCATTAGCTAAGTCAAGTACCAGGTGCTCTAAATTCTTCAAATGGACAAGAACCACTCACCATCTCCCACCGACTATTCCCATCATGTCTCAGCCTGCGCCCAGAGGCCAGTCCCCTCGCCGCGTGCCCAGTTGCGTGCGTGCCGTGCCTTGTATGTACGGCCTCGGTCGCCTCCCGCGCGCCGCTGCAGCAAGCCCACCGGCGCGGCCAACACCCGGCCGCACGCCGTTCTGCGAGGCCCCAAGAACATGCATAATGGTCCCCAGCCTAGACCCGAGACCGAACAGTGGGTGGCGATTGGGCACCAAAAGCCATCAGACTGCCCCTTCACTTTGCCGCATGATGAGGGGGGAAGAGAGAAGAACAGGCACATACAAGGTTCAGGTATGGTATAGGCGGGTGATGGCGATGCATGCATCATGCCTTCTTCCAAGGCCGTAAAACTGCAATTAAGCCCAAAATCCAGGGAACAAACATGCCCAACCCTCCCCTCTCCTCGCTTGGGCTTAGACCAACTCCGACATCCAAACGAACATGAGAATACGAATACATCTTGGACGCAGGCTTCCGTGCTGTGCTGTGCCATGCGCTACGACCTCGCGTACAACAAGGCACAGATGACATGAGATGTCTCTTGTGCCATGAGCCGCGGAACACACCATCCCCATGACCTTGGCTGCTTTGTACACCCAGGAGCTGCGACCGACCCTCCTCCAGCGTCGTCGCGACTATCCACGAGGTACACCTACTTACATAGTACTATCCCGTAGCTGTCTGAGAGGTAGGACTAGGTCCCGTGGCGAAAACCTCCGGCGGCACGGCCAGCGTTTTCGCCCCATCGAGATCTCGCCCGCTTCGGCCAGTAGCCGGTGTATAGACGGCCGCGCCCATTGTCCAGTTACCCATTGCGATTCAGTGGCACGAGTTGTTGGGTTGCACTACTTGCGGCTGCTGCCCTCGCCTGGCGGGTCGTACTTCTCCTTCCAGATCCTGTGCGGAAAGATTGGGTCAGCATTCGCTCATTCGCCGAGTCGCTATGTGTGACGCGTGTACGGGCTCTGCGCTGAAGCGCCAATGGCGGAGCGACCGTTGTGATTTGACATTTTGGCAACCGGACCATCCGACCCATCTCGTCGTTCCGGCATCGAGGCGACACCAAGACATGGGATTCGGAGGACGCAGGACAGCCTATCAATCCTTCACTGCTCAGGTCATCCGAGACGGCGGAGCGCCGATCCGCTCCAATGGCTCGCGGGAAGGGGGGGGCATAAGAGAGAAAGAGAGAGAGCGACAGCGCAGCGGTCTAGTGGACTTACCAAGAATTCCCTAGCGTTTTGTTGCCGGCCTTTTCAGCCAGTCGATAGTACCGGGCTGATGCGAACTGTACCAACGGGGGGACATGATATCAGCCTCATGTGACGAATCGAAGGGGGCAGTGTGTGGGGGCGGGCAGCGCTCGTCTGGCGAGAAGCTCCCTCGAAGCTAGTCGATGCCTAAGCGTCGGGCATCGAGGCATTCTCTCCTGTGACCGCGCAGACCGTCTTCGGAGCTCGCACGTCTCGCCTCGTAAAGAAGCTCACCGAGCGCCCGTCACAACGCCGCCGATGATGCATTCCTGAGTGGACGGACTCGCACCACTAGGAGCATAGCCAACTAGGGAGCAACCACTAGGACAGTGGCCGGGGAGACCATTGCTGACATACATACCTTGTCTTTCTTGCATCCAAAGCCCTCCAGATAGCACCAAGCAATCTCGTTCATGGCGTCTGTTCACCGGTTAGTGGAGAGCCGCGTCGACATTGCCCATCCAATAACTCGCCTGTATCTCCCAAGTTTGCCGCAGTCTCATAGTACTGTCCGTTCAGAGCCCCTCGGTCAGCACGCCTCACTCTGCTTGTTTCTCCATTGCATGACATGGTCCTGCGTCGGAGCTCAAGGGCATCAACCTACCTGCTTAGCGGCATATGGATCCTTGGGGATTCCCCAGCCATGGCGGAAGCAGTTGGCCAGCTCGAAAATGGCCAGGACCAACTCTCCCTTGGCGGCTCCGCCCTTCTTCATGCCGGCTTGGAGAGCCATCTGCTCAATCGAGGCCGAGTTTGAGGCAGCCGCCGACAGGTAGTTGACGGCGCCCGCTGGGTCTGGCGCGCAGCCCCATCCGTGCCTAGATGACCGCAGGGTGTCTAGTCAGCATCTAAACTTGTTTCTTCTAAGCATAAGGTGTCCGCTGATATAACCCTAAGGTTTGGGCAGGGTGGATATAGACGAAATCCAATTGCGTCAACCGAGCCGTCCCGGCAGTTATTAAACTCTTTTACCAACCTCCGAGACAGGCGTGGAGGGGCAGCGACTACCCGAGACATTCATCTTCACTTACCTCAAAGCGAGACCGTATAGGACTTGGCTCAGTGGGTTATTAGCCCCCCGCGGATCCGCTAGTTTCCCAAACAGGCGAGTCGACCTCTCCAGATCTCCCTCCTCGTGCAGGCGAATGGCCTCCTGGATATCTTCGTCGATCGTCTTGGACGAAACTGGTCCAACTGAAGGACTTCTCTTCCGGGGTGGTTGTTGCCCGCCGAGCCCCGTCTGTGAAACGCCGTCCGTCGGCGGCACTGGAGAGGCCGGCCTGCTGCGAGCCATGTCGTTCTGGCTCGCTAGCATGGTCGCGCGTTTCTCCCACTGCGACTCGGCTGCATCCTTGTCCTCGGGGTTGGCCGGGGCTACGATGTCGGGCAGGTTCGTGGGGACGCTCTGGGACGACTCTGGCGCCTTGGTGAGATGGAGGCGGTGCGACAGCCGGCGGCTCTCCTTGGGATTCGAGCTGTGGCTCCCCTGGGAGGAGACGGAGGCGCTGCGTGAGCGGCTGGAGCGAAAGACGTCGAGGCTGCGGCGTGCCTTGCTGGGCTCCTTCGGTGAGAGCAGGTTGCCATCGTCGTACTTGGGTTCTTGCTTGAAAGTGCCGGGTGGGTATATTTGCTCCTGGGTCGACGTGTCGGAGCGGATGAAGGTGAACTCTGGGGCGTTGAGCCTGTCGACGGTGGCCTGGTCGGCAGGTTCACCGTGGTCCAGCTCGTCCTTTTTCTTTAGAAAGTCTCGCAGACCCATGGTTGGCGTCGGTGTCTCGATGTTCCGACGGGCTTCGTAGGTGGTGAAACGTCAAGGTTGGCTTGGTGGGGTTGGCACCAAGGCACTGACTGGTATATCAATCGACCGGGGAATGCGTCGGTCCGCTCGTAGAGGTAGGTATCGAATCAGTTCGTGATCGAGGAGGCGAGAGAGATTCTCGTCGTGTCCTCAGCCTCGAAAAAGGGGACGCGGTTTTGAATCCTGAAGGCGTCGGCTCTCTACTGCACAGGGCTGGGGCTGAGTCGAGGCTGCTGCGGCTGGCGTCAGTAAGCTTGATGTGAAGGTGGGTGGCATTGCCGCATCCAGCTGGGATCGTACATGATGAGTACATACACGAAGGCACGGATAACAGAAAAATACACCACGGCGATGCAGCCGTCAAACAAAGAGCGTAACCCGGTCTCCTGCTGGGGCCGTCAAACAAAGCCCGAAATGGCACCAGGATCGGGCGCTCGAGTTGGCGGGGAGCGAGATGACAGGACGCGCTGGAGCTGGATCAGGATCAGGATCAACAGGGGGCTGTGGCCCGCCGGCGCTGCGTCGTTTGCGGCCACCATCATTACACATTACAGCGGAGATGTAGGTAGGACTACAACCTCCTAGTTCGGTGCTGTCGTTGGCCTTGTTGGGGGCGCGTGCTAGCGCTCGTTCGTCTCGTTGGAGTCCTTCCGGTCGCTAATCGGCCTGGAACTTCAGTGGACGATGCCCCTCATTGACCGCCGCTGACGCTCGCTCGCTTCCGTCATGGCTAAGCGCCCAGCCATCAAGAGGCAGGCACATGGCGCCTTGAGCTGCAGCATCACACAAATTAAGGTAGGGACCGGGATACACTGCCTCGTTAAACAAGTTTCTTTCTAAATCATCATCTATTCTGACTATTCATAAGTCCCTTTTCGGGGATTTCTGCTTCTCGCTTCGTTTTTTTGGGGGGGGGGGGGTTTTTCTTCCTCTTCTTTCTTCTTCTCGTGGCCTTGATGTTCAAGGTTTCCGTGTGCAAGCAGACAGGGGTATCTCAAACAACTATCCTCAGACAATCTCCCATATCCTTGAACGCCGGATAGAATAGAACAAGTCGCCAAAGATGGTCGCCGTCCCGTTTCTGTTCATAGTAAAGTCAAGCCGTGTAAAAAAACGAATAGTCTTTCTCGGTAGAGTAGGGTTCGATCCCGTAACTAGAGACAACTCAAATGGAAAGGAAGTCTTTGTGGTCCTCAAAGTCCGAGCCATCAGAGTCTGCGTCAATAAACTCGGCCACCTCATCTGAATCCACATCATCAGAATCAGGCGCCTCGTCATCGCTCGAGACATCTTCCATGGCCTCGTCCGTCTTGGCTTGGTTTCGAAGGACGCTTGCCCTCTCACGATGGAGGAGTTTACATCCCTTGACCTTACACCTGCCAGTATTGCTAAAGTCAGGGCATTCAAACACGTGACGTTCAGTGCAGTCTGCCCCCTTTTCACAATACCCATTGAATCCAAATGCTCGGCATACGGGTGCGCTTGGGGGGGCTTTGGAGTGAGTATAGGGACAGTCAGGTTTGGTACAATACCCCTTGGCATAGTGCACACAGTTCGGGGTGCGCTCGGGAGTAATATCATGAGAAAGGTCGCAGGACTCGCCGTTTGCGCATCTGCCATCTTTCAGAAAGTCTTTACACAGTGCCACCTTGGTAGGGTCGTGCATATAACGACACCGAGGGCCTTTGGGGCAAGATCCTATGGAAGGTTTGTTAGTATTGTCCAACCCCGCGCCGGGTTGGTCCAGTTCATCGTTTGTTGTATGGCTCCCATCATGGAAAGAGAAATTACCAGTCGTTGAGAACATCTTGCAAGGCTCGTTGACCTTTTTGACCGCTCCGGATCGCCTAGGAAAAGTTAGCAACTTGATCGCCCGGGACGATCTCACATACCGCTGGTCATTGACGATTCTGTTGGCAACCAGGTTTCCTGTTTTAGTCCGGTGAAACTTGACGCCAGCGACTACCGCGGTCTTAGGAGTGTGCGATGACGAGTTGGGAGCATCTGTACTGTGTAAGGTACGAGGACGATCAAACAGTTGCCGTCGTCGGTACGCACCGGGAACTTTGACAAGTTTTTTGCCTCCGTCTACTACGCGGAACAGTATACCCTCGATCGCAATCTCGTTTCTACCTGCAGTGTTAGTGGGGGCATTTGAGGGACCAGCTTGGCGATTCAAGAAGTCATTGAATTGAGTCTTTTCGCGATGCCGATGGCCGCTCAGCTTTCGCTGTCGCGTTTCCTCGATCGCTTTCGTCCGGGTTTGGCTTTCTTTCTCGTAAACATTCGCGTTGATGAGCTGGCGATGGCGATCATTCCTAGCCACCCAACCTGGTGGGGTTTCAGATCCATTGCTAGACGATCCGGAGTTGACCGGGCCTCCCGTAGCATTAAGGTGCAAGGTACGGTGGTGGTGAACTGGCGGTCGACTGGTCCGGTTTGCTCGCGGCGGGTAGGGTGCGTTGACATGTCGATAAGTGTTGTCTAAAAGAAAGTGAGTACGACCAGACTTCCCAAGATTACGGTCAAACATACGACGATTGTGGCCAGGATGATGGTTTGCCACAGGGCGTGGTGCGGACTGCTGGTTCTTGTGTCGGTTAATTTGGCCTGATGAGCAGTTAGCTGCATTGCGTATCATGAGTGGGAAGAGGATAGGGCACAAACCGGCAAGCTGCCCGATGCGAGCAAGGAGCTCTTTTTCTTCTTCAGACATTTTGATAAATGATGTTGATGAGCGCCAAACAAGAGGATTTTCTTTGTTCACAGGGCGTGTTTGTTTGGTTGCAAGTGTTGAAAAAGTTAAGTAAAGGTGTGCGGGTGGGATGCGACTCTGAAGAAGCGCGTAAAGTTGACGGGCGGGAAGGCGGCGTCATGCATCGAGATGGTTCCATTAGTCATCGCCTGGCTAGCTCTGATTGGCTGCTCGCCGCTACCACTCCTAACTTAGTCGCAAGGCTGAAGGTGTCAAGCTCGCCAGGACCTTGCATCCAGAATAATTCAACCATCACCGCGTCGTCCACGCCCGTGCTATCTTTGCCAAGCCGCTCAACGCGACTGAAAGCAGATTTCTACTATCCATAATACTTTATCTTTTGGACAATCTCAAGGAGACTCACCCCGCCGACGGCGACTCCTTCACCATGGCTGCTTCATGGGACCTCTTGGACCAAGAGGGCGAGATTGAGCTGCACAAAACTCGTCTCCTCAACGTGGAAGAAAAGCCTTTCAAGCGAATAACCAAGCGTCTCAACACTCTTTCAAGCCTGACCCTACCCGCCGAAGCCCTAAACGGCCACCCAGTCGACCCTAAATACAAACTCGACCAGCTGAAGGAGGACCTCACCCTCGATTTTGCAGCCTTCGACAGCACCATTACGCGACTACAGTTTCTCCACCACGCCAATGCTCGAGAGCGTGAGCGCTATACAGACGACCAGCATCGCATCCTGACCGAATGCCAAGCCGTCCGAGCGAACAATACCCAGCTCCGCGAGCAGCTGGAAGCCGCCCAGGCGACCCTTACGCAGCGCAAGAAGTTTGACGAGCTGGCGGAAAAGATCACCTCGAATCGATTGCTCCGTCCCCGGGAAGATCAGATTACTAACCTGACAAAGCTGGAGGAGGAGTGCCGCGAATTGGAACGCGAGAGTGAAACCTACAGCGAGACATGGAGGGAGAGGAGAGAACAGTTCAACAGAATCATGGAGGAGGGTATGCTGCTGAGACGGCAAATTCGCGACGAGAAGGAAGAGGTCGACCGACGAGAAGGCATGAATGAGGGCGATGACGAGGATGCGGAGGTCGATAAACCTGGACAAACCCCCAGGCTCGAACCAAGCGGTGACGCAACGCCGCGACCTGAAGGGGACAGCCAACTAAAGGCAGATGGCGATGCCGGAACGCCACTCCCAGAAGCATCATATGGCGGAAGGACACCATCGAGAGACACGCCGGGACCAGATCAACTGAAGCCGTTGCCAGGCCCCTTGGGATCTCTGTCCCGAAGTGGCAGCCAAGCGCCCAGTCGAGATCCCTCCCCTATGCCTCACCATGACGATAACAAGGCTGAGTCAGGAGAGGACATAGAGATGGAAGACGACGACACGGCGCGGCGCGTTGGGGAGGAGGGAGAGAACGCCCCCCAGGTCATTGTTGAGCCACCTGAAGGCAATGATGACAAGATGGAGGTGGATAATTAAGCCTCTGGAAGAAGGCTTAGGTTCTACAACGAACCTCTGTGACACTAGTTCAAGATACCCTCGATTTCTGAAGGTTTAGGCGCCCCATGTTATTTCACCCTTTATATTGCTTCTTCCTCGTCGTCGTAATGGTATCGTATCGCTCTCTAGTGTAGTATCCCATCCTGAGGCTCTCTAGCCACACCCCCTATGATGAACCGTTCTGTTCTGCCTTGACCTGCGCGAGGGTGGCCTTGGCCGCTTCCATCTCCTGCTCCGGCGCACCACTCTGCTCCCTCACCTGTATCTGATCCTCCAACTTGGCGACGGCGGCATCGAGTCGCTCCCTCAGGGGTCCGAAAACGGCCTTGGTTTGTTCGACGGCGGTTTCCTGTGTCATCTTAGTTAGCACACGGCCGTTGTCGAGCAAGTCGGGCAAATCGCAAAAGGAGGGACAAAGAAATCAGAGGAGCACTAACCAGCTGCTTCAGCATGAAATCTCCATTGTCATCCTCGCTGCCCTGGCCGCTCTCGATCTTCTCCTTCAGGGCCTTGATCTGAGCCTCCTGCTGAGCCAGCTCCTTGTAGTACGAGGCCTCCTCCTTGAGCAGGCGCTTGACGGAGCTGGTGGCGATGGCGAGGTGCGACGGCGGGGGCATGGCGGCGGTTGATTAGCGGACGGGGTTGTGCGTATGAAGTCGGAGGCTGAGGGAGATATCTATCCGCGAGTGTCTAATGCAAGGCGACTCTGATGACAGTGCTAGCTTGTGATCGACGTTTGGAGAAAGTTGGTGCCTGCGTTAGGATGTGGATAGAGGGGAAGCAAATGAGATCATGGCCATCTCGACGTGGGGTTCGATGGTGGGGTAGTAGAATTCCATGCATAACGCGCTTCGGCCGCGTCAACGAACTGTAAATCAACGTGTGTTTCTGGCCTTCCATTTAGGGTCTTGATGTTCGCGGACAGATCACTGAGACTTAACTACTATGAGTTCAATATGTTTACGCGTCGGAGGGAGAACTCTCTCTGATTATCGAATCAACAAATCACGGGCACATTCAGAGCTTCAACTGACATGACCACTTCATGAATACTTTCAAACAGTTCTCATTCATTGTATACCTTTAGTCTGAGTTCTTCCGACCTACAGAGAAACCAAGAAGTCTCTCTGACAAATAAAAATGACGTTCGACGTCGGTCCGCACACAATTCCCCTTTTCCCGAACCATGATCCGAGTCCCACATGCCATGGTATCTCCTTAAACGCCGGCAACGCCAGATGGGCGACCTCGACAGCCAACTGCCCCAGAATGCATGAATCCAATACTTTACATGACCAAACATGCCGCCCTTTGAGTCTTCGTTAAACTGCCAACACTATGACGCGGTCTTGTATCCAATCACGCCGACACAGCAACAGCAGGGGCGCTGACTGCAGCGGGCTCGGGCTCGTTTTCGTGTGCGATCTCACCACCAGCTTCCTTCTCGGCCCAGTCTCCCCAGAGACCTCGCTTGCCTCGTACCCGGATGTCATCGCCCAGGCCAGAGCCCTGCTCGACCTTGATCGCGTCTTTCGTAGCGAGAACCAGGCACTCGAAGAACATCTTAGTAGCCTCGGCCTTAGTGGTCTGCTTCTCGGGAAGAAGTTTCTGGAAGACAACCGATGTTTGCTTTCGCTTGTCGGGGCTGGAGGCAGCGTCGGCGCCGAAGAGATCACGGAGGATGTGAACGGCATGCTTAGTACCGAGAGACACGGGACCGCTGTCAGCGGGGTGCACGAGAGGTGCAGTGGTGTCATCAAAGTTGGGCATGGGGCTGCCCATTTCACGCTCGGCATGGTCACCATCGCCGGGAATCATACCATCATCGGCAGGGATTTCGAGGATAGTGCCATCGGCAGCCATGCTCTGGTTACCCATAGCACCACCATCAAGGCCAAAGTCAGTGTCATCACCAAGCTCCAGACGAGGCGATTTGGAGGCACCTTGGTCGCTGTCGACATCAGCGATTCCACTGTCACGCTTTCGCTTGAGCTCATTCATTCCACGAACGGCATCCAGGGAAAGCATTCCCCGGAGTTCGGGAGCCCAGGCAGAGCTTCGCCCCTCCATCATGATTGAGGAAACAAAGCCACCGTTCTTTTGCATGTCCATCAAGGCCAGCAAGAAGGGATCACGAGGAAGGAAGGAAGCAGCCTTGATGATGTTTTCGCGGTTTGCTTGTTGTCGCTTGATGTGGTTGCTGGAAAGGGCGATCTCGTCGTCGGGGGTAAGAATCTTCTGCTTCTTGGCGCGCTGAGCGGGTCGTCGGACGAGAGTATGCTCCATCTCATCATCCGGCTCGTAAAGATCGGTCTGGTGGTGCATAGTATACTCCGCCTCGACTTCCTTCGCAAAGTCCTCATCGATGTCAGAGAGAGGCGATTCGGAGATGCGGCCACGGCCGAATTGAGGGGCGGCAGCCATCTCAGGCATCGCCGATTGGTCATCGGGGTTGAACTGAAAGTTATCGTCCATGTTAATGTCTCCCTCTTCATCCGCGATCATAACGCCATCACCGCCCAGGTCTAGGGCAGTGTCCTCCGCGCCGTCCTTTACGGGGATATCAAATTCACTGAACATGTCATCCTCCGGCGCTAATGGTGTCGGTGCGCGTCGACCAATTTCGATACTTTGGCTAGGGCCTCCATCCATGTCGATTCCAAAGTCGAGCTCAAGCTCAAGGTCATCCATAGCTCCCAAGACGTCCTCATCCATGCCCAGGTTGTCAGTGAGGAACTGGCTGTTGTCAAAATCCTCCTGCAAGTTGATGTCTCGGTTGTTGCTGACGCGACCCTTTCGGCTAATGGGGTTCGTAGCCACGTCATCAACCTGGGACAGGAGCCATGAGGCATCGGGTGGAGGCGGTAGTTCGAAGTTATCGTAAGGCGTGATGCGGTCTGGAAGCAAGAGAGCTTCACGATTGGGGATCTGCAAGTTAACGGCCATATCATTATTTCCGCTAGATCGGAATGCCTGAAAGAGGTTAGTATCGCGGTGTTTGAGAGGATACGAGGGCTAGACGAACCATTTTGATCTTCATCATGGCCTCGTTACAATCATCCAACAAGTAACGCGTCTTGCGCTGATAGATTCTGACAACACCCAGCAGAAGCTGACCGCTCAGTCGCAAGGCCATGGGGGCCTGATTAGGCGTGATGATGGCTTCCACACTATCCGTAACATTGGACTGTAGGATGTGGTTCTTGGAGAGCTTGCGCTCGAGGTTGGCCGAAAGCCAGACGCGGGCCAGCGGCCCGCTCTTCTGGAGGAGCGTCTCGGAGTAAAACATGGTGCAGCCACGCGACGACGCGATGCGCAAAAGACGAAGGACGTGTTGAGCAGCGACAGGCGGGTGTCGAGGAGCGAAGTATGACGATGGTTCGGAGGGGAAGAGGTGCGGGAGGTCGAGGGAGCGAGAGTGGTGTGGGTAAACACAGGACCAGGGGGCGCGTCCGGGCGGATAAACAAGCGCAGTGGCGGCGGGATTGCTCTACGCGCGGTCGGGGCAGCGCAGACGCATGAAGCGACGAAAAGGCAATCGCGCAAGCCAAAAAAGTCTGCAGCGACGAGGGCCGATGCCGATGGCGACGGCAGCGGAGAGCAAGAAGCGGACGGCGTGGGTGTGGGATGTCGCGACGGGGTTGAAGGGAAATTTCAGGTTGGGGGACTCGGGACTGGGACCTGGACCTCGAGGGGATGTGGCCGCCTGGTCAGTCTTCACCAACGGTAAATGGCGTGGCTGGGGCCAGGTGAGGGAGTGGGAGTGGCTCACCCAACCGCTGCGGCACAGCACACGTACTGTACCTACTGCACGTCCCTTACTGCACGTCCCCCTCGCAGCGCAGCGTCGGCGCTCAACAGGGAGCCGCCGCTTCCGGAAAAAGCCAATCTCCGGCATCTTTGAGGCTTAGCTCCAATCTCCAGCCAATCAAGGCGAGGGACTGCCGTTCGGTACCTGGGGAATTGCTCCGTGCCTCACTCCGCTCCGTGAGCATGAAGAGGCTCTGTGTCCAGTGTTACACCTCTGGGATAAGTACATGCGGACTAATTAGGGTTGTCCTGTCAGAGTGGGAAGTAAAGGAATCATGTACACCAGTCGGTAGAACTCATTAAGAGCGTACCTTTATCCATCCATGCTCTCTCTATCGACCTGTCAATTGACTCCCTCCCCGAGACTGATTTCTCCGAAGCCACGCCCTACCGATTAATAATGCACACACGTCGGCAGCATCTATACCAGAAGGGGAATATCCTGGGGAAATTTGTCTGACTGACAGCCCCAAGGAAAGACAAGACTCTCAGCAGCAGTGCAACAAAGGATGCCACGCAATAAGCCGGTGCTGCAATAAAAGAAAATTGGCGTGACCCTCATCCATCATCCATCATGGCATGGGTCATCCCTTGGTCTCATCCATAGGGGCTCGTACTTATATACGAATAGCTGCGGCCAAACCTAGGCCTCCTGCACATCCTGCACACTCCCATCGGCAGCTGGGACAAGCATATTAGGCTTGGCATCAAGCCTATCCAGCAGCCATTGGCGGCGACACCCTCCCGCAAGCCCCTGGCAGCCTCGCGCATTCAGGCCCCGCCAGGCGCAGCCATTTCCAGCCTGCAAAAGTACTAGCCCCTACTTTGACTCGTTGGCTCTCAGGACAAGCCTTCTGGACACCTCGACCTCCAGAACCCGGCACCTGAGATCCTTACTCCGTCCACTATTCTTCTTCTAACTTTGTTTGTCCATCCTACCCCTTCTTTATGTTCTGTCTCTACCACCAACGATCCTGAATCGTATATTTTGCGATTTGGCTCGTCTCCTCGTGGCAGCTCGAGCTGCTCATGTCCTCGCCTCCGTCGTCTTGTCCGGCCTTCTCATGACCCGGCGCATTGGCTGCGTAATCGATCCTTGATCGCCCATGCCCCCTCGCCATCACTCGCTACCTCAGACATCTTGACGAGGTTATCAACGCGCCCACGAAGATGCAGTTGCCATGGAGCGGGCGTGATGGCCCTGGAAGCCAGTCTTCTCTGTTACCCACGAGCATCCCAACCATCACCGGTCTCGCCGACAGCGCCAGTTCCAGCGATGCGGATCGCCCCCGACGACCAGCTCGCCACGTCCGGACAACGTCTGCCCATGCTCGGGTGAGCCCCTTACAGACATGACCTTGCCTCCCATTTCCCCTCCTAACTGATATGTTTCGCAGAGTGTGGCAGATGATTACTCCTTCATGACTCCCAGCGAGGCCGCCGCGAACCTACGAACCTCCTTAACCCATGGCCTTACCCCCACCGATGCCCTCACCCGACTCAGCGAATACGGACCCAACGAGATCCCCCACGAAGAACCGGAGCCGTTGTGGTTGCGCTTCGTTAAGCAGTTTCAGGAGCCCCTTATTCTGCTTCTCCTAGTGTCAGCAGTCGCCTCATTATTACTGGGCAACATGGATGATTCTATCAGCATCACGGTCGCTGTCACAATTGTAGTGACGGTTGGCTTTGTCCAAGAATATCGATCCGAGAAGTCTATCGAGGCCCTCAACAACCTCGTCCCAAACCACGCCCATTTGGTTCGTGGGCAGTCCAACAAATCCGACAGCTCCTTAGGCACATGGCCTCCGCGCTCCGAGACCGCAAGCGACTCCACCCCTTCTCCTGGATCCGTTACTCCAATCAGCGATGTTTTAGACGCGACTTCTTCCAAGGTCATGGCTTCCCAGCTGGTTCCAGGCGACTTGGTTCTTTTCACGACTGGAGACCGTATCCCGGCCGATATTCGCGTCACCAAGGCTGCTGACCTGACTATCGACGCATCGAACTTGACGGGCGAGACAGAGCCTGTCAGAGTAACCCCTGATGCCCGCCGACGGGGCTACGGTTCATACGGCCTCGAAAAGGTTCAGCATCCTCGACCCGCCTCCTTGTCGCCTTCTGAGCACGATGACTCTTCCGGTGGAGAGGGCACACATAACGTTGCATATATGGGAACACTGATCAAGTCTGGTCACGGACAAGGCATAGTATTCGCCACTGGAGGTCAGACACATTTCGGCACCATCGCTACCAGCGTATCCGGAACTGAGAGCCCTCGCTCACCCCTTCAACTATCAATGGATGACCTTGGCTCGCAACTCAGCAAGGCCTCGTTTGTAGTAATTGGTCTCATTTCGATTATTGGCTGGCTGCAGGGAAAGAAGCTCCTAGAGATCTTCCAGATCTCAATCTCTCTCGCCGTTGCAGCCATTCCAGAAGGCTTACCGATCATCGTCACCGTTACATTGGCTCTTGGAGTACACCGCATGGCTAGGCACAATGCGATCGTACGCAGGATGCCCAAGGTCGAGACCCTAGGCTCTGTGAACGTCGTGTGCACTGACAAGACCGGTAAATAAGATTGCTTTCCTCAAGGCGAGCGTTGCTAATGAGTCAACCTAGGCACTCTTACCACGAACCACATGACGACTACCAAGATCTGGTACTTTGGGGCATCAGGGGCTGTCGAAGTTGAAGCCGACAACGAATCTTCCGAATCGAGCCCAGATGTCATTAACCCCGCCAGTCAACGAGTGCTTCGAATCGGCAACGTCGCCAACAATGCGCGGTTAGCACAAAAGTACACAGAACACGGCGCAGCAGCCTCGGCGGTCTTGTCGTCCACCCTGAATCGCGATGAAGCATCCACCTATACTCGTTGGGTTGGCCAGCCGACCGATGTGGCCATGTTGGACCTACTTGACCGATTTAAGGAACATGATGTCCGAGACTCTCTAGGCCCTCGGGTCAGCGAAACACCATTCAGTTCGGAACGGAAGTGGATGGGCGTCACCATCGGATCTGATTCTAAGGGCGAAAAAGAATACGCGTATATGAAGGGCTCAATCGAGAAGGTCATCGCTGCTTGTGACACCTATCTTCAACGAGATGGGAGAGAGATCATTCTAGACTCCAATCGCCGTCAGGAGGCCCTCCAGGCTGCAGAGGCCATGGCTGTTCAGGGCCTTCGTGTCCTCGCGTTTGCGAGTGGCGCGGTATCGAAATCTGCCAAATCCCGGTCCTCTGCACGTGGCCGGGGCGATAGTCCGATTGCTCATGCCCCCGAGGATATTTATAAGGGTCTCACGTTTGCTGGTCTCGTTGGAATGCGCGATCCTCCTCGACCCGGTGTTGGTCATTCAATCAGGCGCTTGATGCGAGGAGGCGTCAAGGTCATCATGATTACCGGAGACGCTGAAACAACAGCCCTCGCCATTGGTAAACAATTAGGCATGAATGTCGCAGTTCCCAGCGGTCATGCGAGAGGCCAAGGAACTGTCAAGTCTGTTCTTCGAGGTGATGAGGTTGACAAGATGTCCGAGGAGGAGCTTGCGCAGGCTATGCAACACACAACCATCTTTGCGCGAACGAACCCCGATCACAAGCTGAAGATCATCCAGGCTCTCCAGTCGAGAGGCGATATTGTCGCCATGACTGGTGACGGTGTGAATGATGCGCCTGCGCTAAAGAGGGCTGATATTGGCATCTCTATGGGACGCCATGGGACGGACGTTGCTAAGGAGGCGGCAGACATGATCCTGACGGATGATGACTTTTCTACTATTCTCCATGCCATTGAGGAGGGCAAGGGCATCTTCAACAACATTCAGAACTTCCTCACATTCCAGCTTAGCACAAGTGCTGCAAGCTTGGCGCTGGTCCTCATTTGCACCTGCTTCGGATTCAAGTCGCCCTTGAACGCGATGCAGATTCTCTGGATTAGTAAGTCTAAACGTTTTCAACCGAAGGTTGAACCCAGCTAACAATGATAGACATCATCATGGATGGACCTCCTGCGCAATCCCTGGGCGTCGAAAGCGTCGATCCCGACGTCATGAACAAGCCTCCACGAAGACGAGGCGACCCCGTCCTTACCCGACCACTCATCACCCGGGTTCTCACTCAGGCCTCGATCATTACGCTGGGCACCATGCTCATCTACAGCCGCGAGATGCTTGCGGATGGCCAGGTGACACGACGCGATACGACCATGACTTTTACCTGCTTCGTCCTCTTCGACATGTTCAATGCGCTCAGCTGCCGGTCTGAATCGAAATCGGTGCTCCGAGGCGAGATTGGACTCTTTTCTAATAATTTGTTCAACTGGGCCGTGGCTCTCAGCTTGGCTGGCCAGTTGCTCGTTATCTACTTCCCGTGGCTCCAAGAGACTTTCCAGACGGAGGCAATCGGGTTCTTCGATCTTGTGCGTCTGCTTATTCTATGCAGCACGGTGTTCTGGGCAGACGAGGTTAGGAAATATCTCAGGTACAAGCAACGGCGTTTTGGCAGCGGATACAGCCAGGCGGTATAAGTTAGGGGGGGCCCAGGATAGGGATGTCAGGAAAGCATTGTACGACTATACATACTGTGTATAAATGTGTGGCTTGGTTGCATAGCGGCTACAGGAATATGTAAAAGCGAACAAAATAATGTCATGGCAATCGGCTTTGAATATATATTACTCGATTACCTATTCCGTACATTTGTGGTATTCCAAACATGGGCGGTTGGCTGGCTGTCGTGGTGCAGGGTAGGCTCACGGTCAGGGAGGGAAGCAAGGTGCAGCTCCAATGTGGGGAGGTATGGCTGCGTGTCACTAATGAACACGGTGCTGCGAAGTCCATAGCACCTGGTATCTTACGTGCGCCGACTGCGGGAGCCAGCTTCTACATCGACGACGACATCTCCCCGAAAGCCGGCCACCCGCCCCGACGAAGAGCTCAAGGAGCGATGCGCCCGCCATCCGGACGACCTCAATGACCATGTCAGCCCTCCTAAACGGCCTCTCGCACCCGACCGACAGCGATCATGCCGTCGTCCGCGCCCCCACCTCGACCCTCCAGAATGCCACCAGCGAGGCCGAGATCCGCAATGCGCTGGCAGCTCTCCACGCGCGCGAGACGGCAATAACCACCCGTCTCGATGCTCTCGTCGCCTCCCAGGCCGACCTCTCCCGCGACCTCGGCCGGCTGGACCTGCTACGGGCCGGGCTCGGCGCGCAGGTCATCGCTGCGCGCTCCGTTGGCAACGACATGCTGGCCGGCGCGGCGGACACGGCTGGCAGGCTGAGCGACAAGGTCAAGGAGCTGGACCTGGAGAAGAGCCGCGTCGAGAACACGCTCGGCGTGGTGGAGCAGGTAGCAGAGCTCAAGGCCTGCGTTCACGGCGTCGTGGGCTCCATGGGGGCTCCCCAGGACTGGGAAGCGGCGGCTGGATACCTGGCCAGAGCGAGCAAGGTGCCAGTCGACATTATCAAGGGACCTTTTGCTGCGAGCATAGTGCCCAGCGTCGAGGTGCCCGACCCCCCGTGGGTGACCCTCGAGGATGCGAGGGAGAGCCTGTGTGGCCTCTTCCTCAGGGAGTTTGAGAAGGCCATGGGCGAAGGTGACGAGGTCAAGGTTACACGGTTCTTCAAGCTGTTTCCTTTGATTGGGCGAGCTGAAGTCGGCCTTGATGTATATGGGCGATATGTCTGTCAGGGTGTAGCAGGAAAAGCCCGAACCACACTGAAGGACAACGTCGGCAGTCAGACGCGGAAGGATGGCTACTTCTATGCCAATGCTCTCTCGATGCTTTTCCGCCATATCATGGAGATCGTGGACTCCCATGGAGGACTAGTAGAGCGACACTACGGTTCCGGGAAAATGATCCGCGTCATCGAGCGCTTGCAAATGGAAGCGGATGTCCAAGGCGGCATCATCATCGACACCTGGAGTGATGAGCGAGGGGTTGACCGAAAGCTGACGGACGTGAGGAGCTACCCCTTCTCGTTCCTGGTACAGAGCTTTCTACCCCCACCACCACGAGGTGGCACCCCGAGAGTGAACTCGCCGGCCATTGGAGCGGGAAATAACCCTCGCCAGAGCGAGGATGAAGGCGTTGACATGAAGGAGGTCGATGGCCTGCTCGGCGAGATCACCACCATGCTAGGCAAGTGGTCGTACTATAGCCACTTCGTCACTGGGAAGTTCCAAGTATGTGCATGGTCTTTGATCTCTTCTCGTACGACTCTCACTCACATGTTCTAGGACCCAAGCATGGCCCCCAATGCTCCCATTGTCGTTCCAGATGTTCTGCTCAAATCGAACCTGTATCGCAAAGTGTACAGCAAGTTGATGACGCCCTACAACTCCATGACCACCTTTTTCTTCCGCCGATCCGTCGAAAAGGCATTTCAGATGGACGAGTATCCCACCGGGTTATCCCTTAGTCTGAGCAGACCCGTTGATGGCAATGCTCCATTCATCATCGTGGCGGTGGACGTTGTAATGTATATTGTGAATGCCGTCATCGACAAGTCCATCTCGACATCACACAGAGATGTCATTGCTTCAGTGGTCCCCACGATTGGTCGCGTTCTGGGCTCCGACTTTATTGGCATGATCCAACGCAAGATGCGAGACGAGGCTTATCCAAAGCCGGTCATTCAAGGAGGTTTCCCACCCGAGGACAGGATTATCCAGTTTATTGTCCTCATCAACAGTCTTGATATGGCGAACGAATACCTCACCAGGGTTATCGTGAGCCGCTTAGGCGACCCCGGCAGCGACGTCCAAGAAGGGCCGCTCAAGAATTGCTTCCCTCTTGAACGGGATCTTGCCTTTGTCGCAAATGCTTTACATACTCTCCAAACCACGTTCATTCTCAAGAGCAGCGAGTTATTGAACGAAGGCATTCAAGTACTTTTCAATCAGGTTGTCAAGCTTCGCCTGCGACCTATACTGAGCGAGACGTTCCGAGATACAGACTATACTCTGACCGAAGATGACCTCGCCGATATCGCCCAGCAAAACGACGAGGACGAAGAGGATATACTGGAACAGGTATCTCGACGATTCGAGTACGGATGGGACCAACTCATGAAGCCCATCGCCCGATTGATGACGCCCGGGACATACAGTACCCTGCTAGATATGACGGCCAGATACCTTGCTAAGCTGTGGGAGAAGAGGATCCTCAGCTATAGCGGACGCACAAACGCCTTTGGAGCGATCCGCATCGAGCGAGACTTTAGCGGCCTAGTGGATACGGTTTCGCGAGGGGACTACACTGTGAGAGAGGTGTTTGCCAAGGTGACGCAACTTCTGATGGTTGCGAACATGGAGGACGAGGAGTGGGATGAGATCGTGGCTCTGGACGGCGACGATGGGATTGACTGGGTGTTGACCGAAGATGAAAGGAGAAGAGCGAGAAACCTGGTACAAAGTTGATTAGCAGGGAGCTACGATGCTTGTTTGGGTTGGAGAGAGGATGAACTGCATAATAGATAAAAGCAGGCTTGGGAAGCCAAAGAGAAACTTCTTTAATGAAGATCATATCAATCAATATCCGATTATATGTAGCCACCTGGTGATAGAACTTACACTAGGCTGCCATCAAACGTGATATTGCCACCTAATTCATAGCTAACTGGTACTCTGTTTTAGGGGCTCTGGACGGCGATTTAGCGGAACGTGCCCTGAGCCGCACTGAACTGCCTTTCCCTGGCGGCGCTAAAAGCCGATCTTGCGCCGGTGCCTTGGGCTGCCTTCAGGCGTTAGGTTACCTTATTCCAACAACGGGGCCGCCGACGGGTTTTAGTTCGCCATGGTGAGTGAGCATGAAGCCTGAGGTGATGAAATTTTCTATGACTCAAAGAACCCTCACCCTCTTGGCCAACCGTGAGAGCTGCTGCAGACGTCTCCATATCGCCGTTTCTTGCCAGACGAGAATCCAGGAATACCCAGACTGGCCTTTTACCTGCAGAAAACACCCAGCGGCGTCGCCCTTTGCGCTGGCTCTTCGACCGGCCCTGCCACCACTTACATCGGCCCTGGTCCGAAGCTTGACGACGTCTCACCCCCTGCCCGCCATGGAGACGCGGGTTGTGAAGGTCCCCAACAAGGGCCCCCTTGGCCATTTCCAGCCCAGAGAAGGTCTGGGGAAGCTGGAACACTGGGAAATTCAGACCGAGCAGAAGGACGCCCTTAAGGTGCTCGAGGATGCGGCGCACGAACTCAAGACTAAGGATATCCCCGTCGCCTTTCCGACCGAGACCGTCTACGGCCTTGGTGCGGACGCCACACGCACTGGCTCTGTCAAGGGTATCTACTCCGCCAAGGGACGGCCCTCAGATAACCCTCTCATCATACATGTGTGCGACTTGCACATGTTGCGCCAGTACCTGGGACCCGCCGGCCAAGGGGAGGGAGACCAAGACCTCATACCAAGCAGATATAAGCCGCTTATAGAGCGCTTCTGGCCGGGGCCTCTGACCATTCTGATGCCGAACCCAGTGCCGTCGAAGCTCGCTCCAGAGGTGACGGCTGGACTCAAGACTTTTGGCGTCCGAATGCCCTCATCGCCCCTCGCACTCACCCTCATCAAGCTGGCCGGCGTCCCAGTAGCGGCACCGTCGGCAAATGCTTCCACCAAGCCATCACCGACGACGGCACAGCACGTATTAGATGACCTGAATGGGAGGATCGAGATGATCCTAGACGGGGGGCAGTGCGATGTCGGGGTGGAGAGCACGGTAGTTGATGGGCTGTGCGACCCGCCGGTCATCCTCCGTCCCGGGGGTATCGGCTTGGATGAGTTGAGAACCTGTCCGGGCTGGGAGAACGCGATCAAGGCGTACAAGGATCAGAGCGAGGAGGGCAAGACAGCCCCCCGAGCACCCGGGATGAAGTATAAGCACTATAGTCCCAAGGCAAGAGTGGTGCTCTACGAATCAAGTTACGAAAAAGGAGTTTCAGGGGTAATCATGTCCGACATTGAGTCGGCAAATGGCACCGTCAACGGGACGGTTACGAATGGAGACCGAGGGACAAGAAAAATCGGCGTGATCCGCACGCAACGATGGAAGTCAGGGGCTGGGCTACGATGCGCCAACCTCAAGGCATCCCCAAACGACACACAAGGGGGCGCAAAGCAAGACGGGACGCCTTACCAAGTCTATGAAGGCGAACTCATGAATGAAAGCGGACACTTAATCGGCCAAGTCTTGGATATTGATCTCGGTAAAGACACCGAGGGGATTGCCCGGGGTCTCTTCTCGGCCCTGAGGGAGTTTGATCGGCGCGGGGCGGACACCATCTTCGTGGACGGCATAGAGGATAGAATCGACATCGCCGCGGCGGTCATGAACCGCCTCCGCAAGGCGGCCTCAGACATTAGAGCATGAATGATCAATTAGACACCCTCCCTGCACCCTGTATAAGCCCGCCCCATCCCTTGCCAAATCCGACAGCGTGACTTTTTTGCATGCGGCGCTAGAATAACGTAAAAACTCCAAATGCCAGACAAGCGCTCCTTTCTACCCTCACAGTCCTTGTCGGAGCCAGTCCGCCAGCTTGGACTTTCCGAGTTGCGCCAGGTTGTTGACTCCCTGTTCGCTGAGGTCGATGCGACCGACGGGGACGTCCTGAGTGGGGGCTCGGCTGACACGCTGGACGATGATGGTGGGGTCGGTCTCGAGGATGATGCCGTCGTCGACGATCTCGTCGATAGCGAGTGACACGAGGTCGTAGTTCTCGACGATGGTACGCTTGTCCACGGATTGCCTGTTGTCGCACGGAGGTTAATACCACGATAGCACAGACCTGTGGCTTAGAACAAGGGGGAAACCGACTTAAAGAGCAAGTGGAGCGAGTCTCGCAGCGCAAGGATGGTGTTGTAGAGCAGGATCTCGTTCTCGTCGACACTGCCCACAACGTACATCATGACGTCCGATTCCATCTTGTACAGCACGATTCTGTTGTCGTAAAGGATGATGTCGCCGGTCTGCTTGGCCGTCTTCTCAAGGAGGCCCTTCTCGAAAGCCTTCTGGGACTTGATATCGGAGTAGGGGCTGGCGGATGCGCTCGCGGAAGCTGGGAGGCGGTGGTCAGCGGCGTTGCGCCGAAGGGGCCAGATGCCAGATGGGCTTCAGGAGCTGCGGTACCTACCATTGGGCGCCGTGTGAGGCGGCGAGAAGTACTTTGCGAATATCCGGGCGCCATCCTCGGTGCCGAGAACGAGGATGGCCTGGACGGAGAACAGGGTCATTCCGGGAGACATGGCGGCGGTTGTTTTGTGCGAAAGCCCACGTTGACACTTGGCGGTACGGTACCTAGACGATGAGACCCCTCCAGACCGACCTCCAGATGCTAGATGCCACACCTCCGATTGAGCGCTACCGGCACAACGTTTGGCCGTGGAGCCGGAGTGTGGGTTGCTGGGCACTTCGCGTGCGCACGGGCCAGCCCCTTTAATTGAGGGTTCGCGTGCCTGAACCACTTTACGCGTTCAGGCGGAAGGAACGCGAAACCCTCCCTGTCGTTGGTGCGTCCCCTCCCCCTCGATTTCTCCATCTTGCCAACAAACCCACAGTTTCCACGAAATCTTCCCTTGAACGCCCGCCCAACGACACGACAACACCATGTCGTCCCCGTCGCAACGCCGGCAGCGAGACTCGACGACCCCTCGTCGCTCTGCTCGTCAATCCGAAGCGGGAACCCCGCGCGAAAACACCAACACCAGAACCTCGCAATTGGCCTCGAGCCCGCTCTTCTTCCAGTCCTCCCCTGCCCCTCAGGATGACGACGACCAGCAGAATCCTGCCCCTGGCGATGTGTCGTCGCCGTTGCGCCACATGACAAACAGCCAGAGCACTCCTGGCCGCAGCGACTTCCCCAGCTCGCCGCTGCGCCACATGACCGAGACGCAAAGCGACGACGATCCTCAGCGAACTCCCAGAGCCACCCCCGGAGGACTCGGTGGAGGTAAGACGGGACAGCCAATCCAGGAGATGCAGACCACTAACTAGACTAGAATCATCACCTATCCGCTACGAACCCAGCTCCAGTCCCGGTAGATCTCTGCGACAACAGTCGGAGCTTCGAAGTGAGACCAGTGGCCTTTTCATTGGTTCTCAAGTTGGCAGCTCTGCACCCCACCGACGAGGAGATATCAACTCTGATGCAGCACGCACGCCGCGCGCCGCGCGCCGCATCATCCTCGACGATGCCGGCCGTGTAATTCGCGAGGGACCTGTCGACGGCTCCGACGCCGCATCCTTTGCCAACCGGGATCCCAACACCTCTGAGGCGGATGCGCTTGGTGGCCAAGGGCAAAGTCTTATCTGGGGTACGACAGTCTCCATCGACGACACCTTTGCAACCTTCAAGGATTTCCTCCGCAACTTCACACAAAAGTATCGCATGTACCGGGACGGCTTCTCTGACGCCGAGGTGCAGGCGGACCCTGAGGCGGAATCGAAGCCATACTGCGAGGCCCTCGAGAACATGCTTCTGCTGGGTACGTCGAGACTCTACGTTGATATTTCCGACTTGAACCTGTACCCACCTACGCGAAAGCTGTGGTATCAAATTCAAGCCTACCCCCAGGAAATTGTGCCTGTGATGGATCAATCGGTTCATGACATGATGGTCGAGTTTGCGCGCGCAGAGACTCTGAGAAACCGAGCGTCCCAGAGCAGCGCCGGCCACCAAGCATCCCAGCACGGCACTCAGAGCTCAGAACCCGTGTTCCCCAGCTCTGATCATCCCGAAGAACCTGCTACCCCTCGACCTCAACAAGATCAGCAACAGCCTTCATTGGAGGATCAGGTCGCGTCTTCCATTTACGTTGTCCGTCCCTTTGGTCTCGACAAGACGATCAACCTAAGAGACTTGAACCCCTCTGGTAAGTTGGCCGTCAAGACCACTGCATTGTATCAAGCTCACATATGATAGACATGGACCGCCTCATTTCCATCAAAGGTTTTGTGATCCGCGCCACTCCCGTCATCCCCGACATGAAGGACGCCTTCTTTCGCTGCAATGTGTGCTATCACTCAGTCAACGTCGGCCTCGACCGTGGAAAGATCCGAGAACCGACCGAGTGCCCTCGTGAAGTTTGCGGCTCGAAGAATTCGATGCAAATTGTCCACAACCGATGCTCCTTCGAGGATAAGCAGGTCATTAAACTACAGGAGACTCCTGATGCGGTGCCTGCGGGTCAGACACCGCACTCTGTCTCTGTTTGTGTCTATAACGAGCTGGTCGATTTCTGCAAGGCCGGTGATCGTGTCGAGTTGACTGGTATCTTCCGTGTCAGCCCTATGCGCGTGAATCCCCGTCAGCGGGCGCTCAAGAGTGTGTACAAGACGTATGTCGATGTTTTGCATATCCAAAAGGTTGACAAGAAGCGCATGGGCGCTGATCCGTCAACGTTGGGCATTGCAGGCGAACAAGAGGCCGAGGGTGGCGATAACAACATCGAAGAAACCCGGGTCATTTCCGTCGAGGATGAGGAGAAGATCCGGCAGACTGCGGCCCGAGACGATATCTACGACCTGTTGGCTCGTTCTCTCGCCCCTTCTATCTACGAAATGGACGACGTGAAGAAGGGTATCCTTCTGCAACTGTTTGGTGGCGCCAACAAGACGTTCAAAAAAGGAGCCAGTCCCAAGTACAGAGGTGACATCAACGTCCTCCTCTGTGGTGACCCTTCCACAGCCAAGTCCCAGATGCTTGCCTACATCCACAAGATTGCGCCTCGCGGCGTCTACACTAGCGGCAAGGGCTCTTCCGCTGTCGGTCTCACGGCGTACGTCACTCGCGACCCCGAGACTCGGCAATTGGTACTCGAGTCTGGTGCCTTGGTCCTATCCGATGGTGGTGTGTGCTGTATCGACGAGTTTGACAAGATGTCCGAGTCCACGCGCTCTGTTCTTCACGAAGTCATGGAACAGCAGACCGTTTCTGTTGCCAAGGCCGGTATTATCACAACCCTCAACGCCCGAACCAGCATTCTCGCCTCTGCCAACCCCATTGGCAGTCGATACAACCCCGATCTTCCGGTCCCCCAAAATATCGACTTGCCCCCGACCCTCCTCTCCCGTTTCGACTTGGTCTACCTCATGCTTGATCAAGCCGATGAGAAGCACGACCGACGTCTCGCCAAGCATCTTCTCTCCCTCTACCTCGAGGACAAGCCGCAGTCCGCCCCGACCAACAATGATATACTCCCCGTCGAGTTCCTCACCATGTACATCTCTTACGCGCGCTCCAAGATCCATCCCGTCATCTCCCAGGAAGCCGCCGAGGAGCTTGTTGAGGCGTACGTTGCCATGCGCGCTCTCGGCCAGGATGTCCGCGCTGCAGACAAGCGTATCACTGCCACTACTCGTCAGCTCGAGAGCATGATTCGTCTCGCCGAGGCCCACGCTAAGATGCGCCTCTCCGAGACTGTCACTCGTGACGACGTTCGTGAGGCCAACCGCCTCATCCAGACCGCCCTCAAGACCGCCGCCACCGATTCTCAGGGTCGCATCGACATGAGCCTTCTCACTGAAGGAACAAGCGCCCTTGAGCGCAAGCGCCGCGACGAGCTGAAGGAGGCTTTGTTGCGCCTTCTTGACGAAATGACGGCCGGCGGCAACACAGTTCGATGGGGTGAGGTGGCCCGCCGGCTGAGTGAGGGCGCCAGCGTACCCGTGGAGACGTCCGAGTTCAATGAGGTTATGAGAGCGCTCGAAGCTGAGAATGCCATCATGATCAGCGGCGACGGCGCGAGGAGGACCATCCGGAGAGTGACGGCAATTGTTTAAAGAAGCTGGCTAGTGGCTAGTGGCTGGAATGATGTGAATGAGATAGATGAGTGGGCTGGTTTGGACGACAAGGGGTCTTGCTTACGGTACAAGGCGTTGACATATTACGTATCGCAGAATATCTGATCATCTCAATCTGATTAATAACGGAAGAGTTTCCGTGAACATGTTTCTCGTTTCGCTTGCCAACTATGATAAATCCAACGTCTGCTCTACGTCCGATGATACCGCATGCCTCTTCGCAGTTTACTCCTTGGCTGCCAGATCCTTCTTTGCCTGAATGGCCGCGTCAAGCGCATCTCTTAGAGTGTCGACGAGGTCTTCCTCACTCTCCAGGCCCGCCGAGAGCCGGACGCCCTCCTCCTTGACCCCCAACTCGCGCATGTGGGCGGCCTCATCGGGGTTCTTGCCGAAGATTGCCATATTGTACGCAAAGATTAGCGTGACGTGCCCTCCGAGATGGGGGCTGGGATAGAAGCCGCAGCGGTCGTAGAAGGCCACGGCGGTCTCGAGGCGGTCGAACTCGACCGTCAGGAGACACCCGTAGCCGGGGTCCGGCAGCTCCGGCGTGCCGGGCCGCATCACGGCGTCGTACTCGGGCTTGCTGGGCAGCAGGCTCGGGTACTGGACGTTGACGATGGGAGAGTCTGGGAGAGACTTGGCCTCGTGCAAGAAGTTGGCCATGGCCGCGGCGTTGCGGTTGAGGATACGCGTGCGCTCAATGAAGGCCTCCGAATTGGAGAGGAGGACTGCGGCGTCGCTGGCGAACAGCTCGTTGTGGTGCTTCGCCTTGAAGCGCGACGCAAGGGCTGCGTAGTGCGGCGAGAGCGGGTTCAGGACGACGGAGCCTCCCATGACGTCGGCCAGGCCGCTGAAGGACTTGGTCAAGGAGGTGGTTACAAGATCTCCCTGAGCAAGAACATCGACGTTGGCGAAGCCGCTGACGGTGTCGTCAATGATGAAGACGAAGCCGTACTTGTCGGACTGGATAGGAGGGACGTGTCAGTGCAAAGCTTGGGTGGCGAAGATGTGAGCAGGAGACGACTTACAAGGCTCTTCAGGCGGATGAGGTCAGGGGAGTCGAGAGTAGGATTCCCTGGGATCTCAATAATGGCATAGCTGACGGGTCTGCCAGCCTGCTTCTCCGTCTCGAGCCAGTTCTCAAAGCCATCGATGGCCTCCTCGTCAACCTTGCCAATGTGCTTGAACCCGTGAGGGCACTCCTCGTGGAGATGATGGTGAGTGTTGTGGAACACGACGCCGAGAATCACAATGGTGCCCGGGCGATAGTCCATCAGGAGGTTAGTCGTGTGGTAGATGGCGCCCATGCCCGTGGGATACAGATACACGTCGCTGGGGGTACACGTTATCTTGTCCGGGTCAATGGGCGAGCGATGCAGCAGCTCGCTGATCCGCTCGCGGAGGCCCTGATGAGCAACGCTCTCGGGAGTCCACGTCGGCGCCGGGAGATTATCGTTCCCTTCAAAGGCCACCTCCTTCATGGCGTCGACTCCTCGGAGCAGCTCTTCGCTTCCGCGGACTGAGATGCCGAGACCGGGAGCGCCCCATGTGAGGATGACGCCAAAGGTATTCTGCGGCTCGTAGAGCACCGCATACACGCGGTGGCCGGCGATGTCGACGATCTTGAGCGTGACATCTTCAGCCTTCATGCGGTGCGGCCCGCGACCCTCGAGGGTGACATGGTTGCGGGTATACGGCCAAAGCTCCGGGTTGAGGTAGATCAAGGCGCGTTTGCCCTCGAAGCCGAGATGCTTCACGATGGCTTGGCTGAGCTACACCCGTCCATCAGCACACTCGGTCGACACGAGGAGACCTGGACGAAGGAGACGGCAGCTCTCACCTGAGCAGCAAACTGCATGGGCAGGAAACGAGGATACAGGTGGACGACCCTGGAGAGCGGGCCAGGGTCGCCATCGCGGAATGCCTCGGCGACCTTCCACGTGGGGAGATTGCTGATGATGCTATACGGAGTCTGCGGCGGCGGGGCGTGGCCGAACTCGGACTGAGTCTTGAGAACAACCATGGTGGCTATTTCTGAGACGTCACAGCAAGTCAACAGATGGGCGATGAATGATGCGTGATGTGATGTAACAGCACAACTCCAACTTAATCGGTAAATGACACGAAGGAGGGACAAAGCAGAAACCCGCAATGGGCAGCCAAGCGGAGAGCTGGGCAGAGCTAGAAGCCCAGAACGCGGGGTCAAGCTCAAGTCAATCAACCTCCACGTTACATGTTAGCTGAAAGCTTCGTATGACTTCCTTTGCCTATGAGAAGTCGGCATTGAACGCCTCGTGTGCGCCACTTGTGCCGCGTGTCTCACTCGGCTCTTCAGCTGGAGGGCCGGCTCCGCCACAAGACGGAGCTATGAGGGCAACCGTGTAGACTAATGCGGAGTCAAGTTGAGTTAGAAGGTTGAAGCCATGCCATACTGGACTCACCTTGATGGAAAAGAAGCGACGACAGATGGGAGGTTAACTGAATGGGCCCAACTTCTAAACACCATAAAGCTGAGAGGGGCACATGTAAGGGGTGGGTAGATGGTGTAGCAGTCAACTCTTGTACTAGCCAATAACTAACTCCAAGCCAGCTCCAAAAAGAACACACGATACGCACATACAAGTAGCCATAACCCTCCTCTTCCAATGCCATACCACCTTCAGCTTAGTACCCTACTATGTCCACACTCGCCAATCAACTCCCCCGGGAATGATACAGATACACACATCTCTCTCAATTTGACGCGCTTCACCAAATCTGCCGCTCTCGGCCCTCATATGCAAAGTTGAGCGCAACCGCCACAAACAGTGATACGCAGAGAACACTCGGACCCCAGCGGTCGTAGAACTTGACAACCCTGCGCGTCCGGATAGCGTTACTTCGGTACAGATATGTGCCAACCGAGTAACACAAACTCATAATAGCCAGAAGCGTGAAGACACCCGAAATCCAGAAGGAAGTGGGCGTTGGGTGGGTGCCGAAGTTGAGCAGAGTAACGGCAATGGTGCCAATATAGATGGAATACTCGAGCTGTATCAAAACCGGTTAGTTAATCTATGCCACGCATGTCATCAATGTAGTTTCACTTACCCATCCAAGGAAAGTTCTCTCAGCCGCAAAGTACACCTTGGGTTCTACGCGGACAGGCACGTAAATCTTCTTGCCCTTGGGAGCGCGGAACTTCTTGTTCTGAATCTCATCCATGCCGAACAGAGCCTGGAGCCGATCGCTTCGGGGCACCGCGGTGCTACGCGGTGTCGGGATCGCATGCTGAAGGACGTTGACGGTTCCACGACCCAAGGCACGACCCTTGGTTGAGATGAGAGTTGAGTAGTAGTGCCATCCGCCAATTCTCTTGGCTTGCTCCAGCTCGTAGTTCTCGTCGTAGTCGTCATCTGAGTCGTAGATCGGGAAGTCATCATTGTCCCCAGACGCATCGCCAATCTGGCCCTCAACATCCGAGGGAAGACCCCGACGGCGACTGGCCCCCTGAGCGCTCGACTCACCGTTTCCACTACCGTTACCGGGATAACGGTTCGTGGGTCTTAGATCCTCGTCATCAGAGTCCAAATCGTCCTCGTCATCTGAGGTGGTGGTTGTCCCCGACATGCCGGGACGACGGATGCCAAAGTCATGGCTAGCAGGCTTGCGAATATCTACATCCATCTGTGGCATCCAGAAAGGCAGCAAGTCAATGCGGTCGGGAAACAAGGTTGCGGTGCCGTGGATGAACTTGGAGAACTTGGGAACAGCCTCGACAAGGTGGGAAGAGATGAGCTGGCGAACCCACTCCGGGGGTTCCTGGCCCATCTGGGTCTGGAGCTTGACCTCGAGGACGGCGTAGGGGAATCGCTCAACATCTTCGGGAGGTAGTTGGGAGAAGGGAAAGTCGACACCAATGTCCATGCGTCTCCAGTTGTCTCCAGAGCGAGAGCGGCCATCCAGGTTGTCCTCTCGAACCATGGTGAGCTCAGTATCCAACGAAATACGGACTCGGGCGTCGGCGGGCAGCTGGAAAGCTGTACGGTTGTAGAAGGATCGGCACACTGGCTTGTATCCCTTCTTAAGGACGGAGTACTGAACCTCGGATGCCAATCGCTCGTCCTCGGCAATGGCCTTTTCGGATTTCTTGCCCTCCTTGCGCGCCTTCTCGAAAATGGCTGCGGGGAGAAGCTCTCCCTTCATATACGAATTGACGTTCTTCTCCTTGATGGAGAAACGAGCCTTGACGGACTTTTCACCAGTCCAATCTTCTCGATGGGTCTTGCGCTCGACGAAAATAGTCTCGGTCTGCATTCCTCCGTACCATCGAAGTCGGATAGCCTCAGCGCCCTCGGTCTTCTTCAATCGGCCCTCGTACAAGTCCCAGGTGTCGGGGTTATCGTAGTAGATGGAAGTAATGGCCGAGTCCTGTTGCTCAAACTCCTTGCTGGGGTTGAAAACAAGGACAGGCAGATGCTTGAGGATAATGAGCTTCAGCTCGGTGACATTGTCTGGGTGCACCCAGTACTTTGTCGTCTGTCGGATAAAGCTGGCTTGGCCACCACCGGCAGCACTGTCGCCCTTGACAGGGTTGCCCCGAGTACGGACGAGATCGTAGAGCTTCGATAGCTTGATGACGGATGCGTCGTAATTCTCCTTGTAGAAAGGCTTTGCCTTGAGTCGCGTATCGAAAACGGGTTTGAGGTGCCATCTGGTCAATTTCTAGGAGATTCGTTAGGGATGGACGGGGATCGGGCTCTCGTTCAATGGACTCACGTCGTGCTTCTTGATGATCTTATAAAAGCCGGTGTAGTTGAGCTGGACAAACTTGGCGAGATCGTGGACGTCGGCGATGATATCACTCAGGTCCTCCTCGAGGAGCATGAACTCCTCTTCGGAAGGGCCGTTCTCGCCGAGGCCGCGCTCGTTGAGGCGGTTGACGACCTCCTTCACCTCGCGCTCGCTGATGGCGATGCGGCGGGAAATCTCCATGGCCTTGACCTGCTGCTTGGTGTGGACCTTCTCGAGCTCAATCTCGAGCTTGGCGACGAAGCGCGACTCGTCGTCCTCGCTCCATTCGGGGCCACCAATGCCACCGGGCTTGGGGGAGCCGGTGGCGTTCTTGATTTCGTCCTTCAGGCCATCATAGTCGATGTAGTACCATTGGTACTCGTGGATGACGCTGGAACGGAGCTGCTCGCCGAACTTCATGACGACGACGCCGGGTCGGACCGTGAGTGTGCGATTGCCCGCGCGGGTGCTGGTCCAAGTCTTGTGACGGGTCTTCAGGTCCTGGACGATAAGCATGAGCGCATTGAACAGGATCCAGAGGAGGAGGAGCAGCCAAAGTCGATTCCAATGGCCGCGGTGCTGGCTAGATGAACGACGTAGTGTTGTGGGATGCTGTGGGAGTGGAGTTGGGGGAGGGAGCAGACTGAGGCGGAGTGGGAGACCGTGAGGCGTTCCTTACCTGTTGGGAGATGAGACGAGAAAAGCGACCCGAGGTTTTAGTAGAGGGTAGAGGCAAGTTGGGGGAGCGCGGGACAGAAAGGCAGGTATCGGGGCGAGGATGATGCTGGACGACGCTGTAGGTCATAGGTACGTTAGCGCGAATCTGGTTGGTGCAGTCGGCTGCCCTTGGTTCGGCGAGACACCTAAAACCTCATTGACGAATCAGTGTGATGTCCGCTGGAACGTGCGGGCGTTGCTATGAGGTGGCCGGAGAACCACTGCAGCTCGCCTGTGAGTTTGCTGCAGGGGCACTACCGGGGGCCGACGATGGATCGCAGAGCTGTGACGGGGCCACTATGGGGGCGCTATCGTGGACCCTGTCCCAACCTGCGTCGTAACTTTTCCAGTGGACGACCCACTGTCTGTTTAGTGGCCGTCTTTACCGTGCGTTCTGCAACCCAGCCCAAACAGTCTCCATGGGAATGGGCGGAATGGGCGTCGACCCACCAGTCGCGGAGGGAGACTAGGACACGCGCCAGAGACGAGCCCACTGTTTGTCGCTGCTGTCCACTGTTTCCCGCTGCTTCACCACAGCTGCATCCACTAAATGGCAGGCCCCGTTCGCTCACTGGGGCACACGACACCGAGACCTCACCTGGATCAACTGCTTCAGATGGGGCTCTCCATTCTAGACACCGAGCGGATGTCAGGGCGGGGCGGTGCGCGGCCATTCTCGGGCGCACCGGACGCTTTTTTCTTTTTTTTTCTTCAACCACTGAGCCGACCCTCTGGAATCCGGTCTCAAACCCTAGCCCCGGCGCGGTCCCTCGACGGCACGGATATCGACAACCCAGTGCAACTGAGATAGTGGTCAGACGACCTATTGCCCTTGTTCGATTCCTTGTGTCTATTTTGTGTGTCTTTTTGCCCTGTCCTGCCGTGTAAAGCAAAGCCACAACTCGAAGCTCCCACCACCCCCGAGCAAGGGCAGCTCTGCCCCTCCAAAACACCCCCGCGCTCCGTCGCATTTGCCCCTCCCCACCACCGACCGGCCACCGAGCTACCGGGATATTCCACCACCATGGCCGCCATTGACGACTCCATGCCCACGCGCATCTCCTCCGATTGCCCGGACGACACGCGCCAGGTCCTCTTCCACGCCTGGGGCCACGACCGCGACGGCCTCAAGGCCCTCCTGCGCACCCAGGGCAAGGCCAATGCCCAGGACCCCAAGACGGGCGAGACTCCGCTCCACGCCGCCATCCGAGCTTGCGGCCTTGCGTCCCCCGACGACGACGGCGAGGAGGATGGATGTGTTGAGGAGGCGCGTGAGGTAATCCAGGACTTGTTCTTGTTCGGCGCCATCTGGAACGATGTCGATAGCAACAATGAGACTCCTGGGTGCGTTGCCCTCCGTCTGGGACGCAAGTCTCTCTACAATCTATGTGTTGATGCCGGTGTCCGCGCAGAGCTCCTGTTCGCCATCATGGGCGACTATGAAGAGCTGTCGTCGGGCGAGGAGGATGGCGACGAAGACATGGAGCAGGACGCGACCGAGGAGACTGCCAATGCGGAGGCCGGTGCAGACGACGTTGCTGTCGTCGTAGACGAACCCAAGTTCGTCCCGCCGGATGCCAACGAGAAGACCGTCACAAGCGAAGAGTATCTCAAGTCCAAATTGACTTACGACGAGGCCAAACTCGTCGACTCTGACCTCAATGGTGTCATGATGGCTTGGGAGACAGACATTATGCGCCGCTCCGTCGCCGCCATGATCCCCGACTCCGCCCCTGGCAAGCGCGTCCTCAACATCGGCTTCGGTATGGGCATCATTGATGGTATGCTAGCCGACCTGAAGCCTGCGCGTCACCACATTATCGAGGCTCATCCCTCTGTCCTGGAGCACCTTTCCCAGCCGGACTCCAAGTTTGGACCCGAGTGGGAGAAGAGCGGCCCCGAGGAGGGTGCCTTCAAAGTGCACCAGGGCAAGTGGCAGGACGTGTTGCCTCAGCTACTAGCGGACGGCGAGGTCTACGACGCCATTTACTTTGATACCTTTGGTGAGGACTACTCGCAGCTGCGCATGTTCTTCACCGAGTATGTCGTCGGCGTCATGGACGAAGCGGGACGGTTCAGCTTTTTCAACGGGCTTGGTGCTGACAGGAAGATCTGCTACGATGTCTACACCAAGGTAGTTGAGATGCAATGCGCCGATGCTGGTCTAGATGTCGAATGGGAGGAGAGTGATGTCGATATGGCTGGCCTGGACCAGGCAGGCAAGGGAGAGTGGGAAGGCGTGCGGAGGCGGTATTGGACGCTCGACAGTGAGACACCCTCGTACCTCCCTTTTATGATGACCGTTCTGACACTTCATTTCACAGAGTACCGATTACCAATTTGCTCCTTCATGGGCTAGAGGTGCATCAACACAATTTCTTGGGGTCTCATCTAACACCCTCGTTTGGTAGTCGAAAGCAACCCCATCTTCTCACTTCCAACTTGCTCCTTTCTATCACCTTTTTTTCTTCTTCCCTATTACCTCGCGATTGCCACCCCCATCTATATAATTCGGACTGTGCCCTTATTTGTAGTTCTCCGGGTGCAGGATACCAGCGAGGTTGCCCTCCTTGATTCGCTTGAGGGTCAGGGCGGCAATCAGCGCAGCGCCAACACCGCTACCATCTTCGGCGGGAAGAACCTCGACGGGGTCCTCCGCTCTACGGTTCTTCTTCTCGGGCCAGTCGAGGATCTCCCGCAGGGCCTGGGCACCCCGCTCCTTGAAGTTAGGGTATTTGTTAAACACGGAGCCGTCAGCACCCGCGTGGCAAGTCTCGTAGCCCTTCTTCTTGCAGATGGCAGCCACACCGCAGGCCGAAAGGCGAGCAGCACGGGTTCCAATGAGCTCCGCAAGGCGACGAATGAGTTCCAGCTCAGGGCGTGTGCTAGTCAAGTTGAGCTTTCGCGAGAACAGGTCGTGAGTCTCCTGCAGGTTCTCAAAGGGGTCCCTTATGATTAATTAGCCAGCTTCATAGAGTCAAGTTCGGGGCACCTACTCCTCAATGAAGGACAAGAAAGATGCGTCCAGGGAGTAAGCCTTGCGGAGGGCAGACACGTCCTGGCCCTCAAAGATGTGGATCTCCTTGTTATCGTGAAGGTCAAGGATGACCAATCGGAAGATCTCGCCGAGGTAGAGACCAGCAATCATCTTCTCAAATGCCTGCTGACCAGGACGAGGGGAGTCTCGGTCGATGGTAACATCGTAGGCCGTTCGAGGGAGGACCTTGTGCTCGTTGTCGAAGGCACCCCATTCGCAGTTGATGGCCATGGGGAGATCGGGAGGGAGGTTAAGATGAGCAATCTTGGGGATCGAGCCACAGTTCTCCATGTAGGCGGCGTTGCAGCCGGTGCCAAAAATGCAACCCATCCTCATGCTGGGATCAGTATAAGCTGACGCAATCAAGGTGCCAGTGGTATCGTTGATCAAAGCTGCCAGCTTGATGGGCACACCCTATTGAAGTTGAGTGATGTGCTTTCCAAGGGAGGAATCGCCATAACTTACCCGTCGGGCCAGAGCTTCCTCGAACATAGGGACCACGTTTTCGCCCTCAACGCCATCAATGTCGAAGCCCTTGGTCCATCGCTGAAGAATACCCTCGTCGATGTAATTCTGGGTTGCGGGGTAGGAAAAGGTGAAACCGAGAGGAAGTTGGGGGATGTTGCTGCAGTCTCCGTGATGAGTCTCGATGAACTGGTACAGACAATCGGCAATATAGTCCCAAAGCTCCTCAGAAGTTGCCGACTTGAGCTCTTCAGGCATACGGTACTTGGATTGGATGATGTCGAACTCGGACTTTTCGTCGGTGAGAGTGATCTCACAAACTCGCAGGTTGGTGCCTCCCATGTCGAGTGCCAGGTACGTTCCCGTCTCGTAGCCGTCGGGGTAGGACATGACCCATGTGGGGTTCATTGGCTAGATACTGGTAAGTCTCATATAACAAGCCATAGAATAATGCGCAGTTCAACTCACGATGCTTCCACCCTCCACGGTCAGGCCTGTTTAGAAACGTCAGTTGGGCGAAGTCCAGTGAAATATAGCAAGGTCGTATACCTTTGGCGAGTTCCGACACGAAGTGGTCGGTGATCTGCTTGAGCTTTTCGGGGGGAACGGTGAAGAGGGTCTCCAGCTTGTGGATTTCGGCGACGAGGTCCTTGGGGACATCTGCCATGGAGCCTGCCATAGTGAAATGTCAGTATCAAGCGTATTGGGTGGTTTAGAGAAGTCGGCGAAGTGCAGAAAATAATGTTTATGGTAGTCGAGTAGGGCTTAGGGAGCAGCCAACTCCAAGGTCCCGGAGGAGATTGATAGTGTAACATTCGAAATGGAAGCAGAAGCGAAGGCCAATGACATCGAGAGCTCTTGCAACGTTTCTCGAAATGCTCCCCTGGCTCGGAAGTCACGGTGACACGGTCCGACAAGGTGAAGACGAGGGGAATCGACTCGCCAAGCCCGAGAGCACCTTTGGCTAGAGGTACTCGAGATATGGACCATTGCGTCATTGAACAATGGTCGCCAACATAGGCGGCAGCGGAAGTTCAAGGCTTCATCACATGCTTTTCACGAAACCAGCCCAAGACACCAGGATTGGGCATGACGATGTCTCTGCGCGCGTGTATCTCCGTGGCGGTGCCAGCGACCCGTGGTGGTGGGTGCCATGACGCTTCTCCAGAAAGCTCACGGCTTGTGCGACAGGGAATCCAACATTTCAAGAACACATAGGAGCAAGGGTGCAGCTAAACGTACCCTTTCGGGAGGGGGGACGACGCGGTCCAAGGCCGACCATTTTGTTGGAGTTTTGGCGGGGTTTGGCGGGGTAATGCTTTCTTAGAGCTGTCGGTGGACAGAGCGAGGGATGTGTCGGAGTGGTGATGAAGACTCGGACAGGAAGCAATTGAACAAAGAGACAGCTCAGCGAGATGCGAAGAGACGAGTTCAAAAGGGGGAGAAGGAGGGAGGGTTTTAAGGGATGTTGGGCGGCGAGTGGGCAGCGGGCGAGTAAGGTGAGTCGAGGTGAACGGCCAAGACAGGTGTTGAGTGGGAGGTCAGGGCGGCCAGGGGACGTAATAAGGGAGGTAAGGGAGCCGGCCAGGACGGCAAGACAACAGGTACCTCATCATCGCACCAGTAGCGGCTCACGGATATGGTACCTCGCATCCATCCCGCCTCCCACATCCCACACTCGCCACGCTCCACGCCCTGCTTTGCTTTCTCTGGCCTCTTCATGTCGGCACTCTGCTGGGGGCGTTTCCCCAGAGGCCAGCCAAGCTCTATAGCTGCCAGTGTCCAATTGCAAACCCCGTGTGCCCCCAAGTTGCCCATCTGCGCCCATCTGGACCCCCCCCGCGGCATGCATGGATGGAGACGTCTCCTCGGGCATGTGCTGTTGTCGCCTCCCTTCGTGGGCGTTCTCCAGTTCTCAGCTACGTAATCCGTTTATCTGACCGCTTGCTCGTTGTACGAGACTAGATTAAACAACAAAAAGTGCAAGCTGCCTGGCATGCATCCAGATGGGTCCAGGGTGATAAGCTCTTCGGCGAGAGGTACCGACGGGTGGCTTTTTTCTTTCTCCAACTGGTGGACAGTCTAGTGGTAGCTCAGGTCTAGTGGTAGCTCAGGTCTGGCAGGGTATGTCCTTGACGAAACACCTCGCATGTAGAACACAAAGTATCACCAGGCTCAAAGTCCCAGGCCAGGAAACATAAAGGGGAAAACACACCGTACACCGACAGTCGATTCCCTTCCTCGTGCGCATTTGCCGGGGCGGGGGTTGGTTGTCGAGATTCGTGGTGACATGATGTGAGGTTTGGAAGCCACCTTGTGACCTCGATCCCTTGGCTTGGTGTTCGTGGGGGCAGGGTACTTGACGTCAAGTACCCCTCCACAGAGGTCCTCCAACAAACAGAGTAGCTCCGAGACGGGCCTCAAAGCTGTTGAGCTCAGCTTTTTAGTGCTCGGAGCCCGGGGTTACTATATGCCGGCCGCGCACGTACCTGGTACCTTCGCCTGCGCTCTCATTGGCTGGGAGCTACCCTGCAGCTCTGGCTGACGTGCGAATGGGCAACGTATGCTTTTCGGAGCTGTCTCAGGAGGACTCGTTGCGAATCGAGAACTCGCGGCGGCTTGCGACAGACTTTAATCTCCCACGAACCCTCTCCTTCCAATCCGGGTCCGCTCAATCGATGAGCGCGTCCCCTTCACATTCGCCAACATGAAGCCGTACTCGATTACAACGGCTCTCCTCGGCTTCCTGTCGACGGCCCTCGCCAGCGCCACGACCGAGACACAGTCGTCCAAGGCCAACTTGCCTGGCGACTTCAAGCCTCCCCAGGTTTTCAAGAACGCCAACCTCGTTCACGTCATCTCCCTAGAGAAGAACTACGTCAAGGAGCAGATCAATGTTCTCGTTCAGAATATCGCGTCTGAGCCCCAGGACGAATACTATCTGCCCTTCACTGCCGACCAGCTGGCTCGCGTCGGAGGCTTCGAGGTTAAGGACCGCAAGGACGCAGACGCTGGGCCGTTTGCCGTTGAGTCTGTTGAATACGATGCCCTGAAGTAAGTATGTCGATCCGGCGCGTCTCAATCTTGCTGACTCTTTGTCTCCTTAGCAATGTTCAGTACTATCGCATTCGATTCCCCACTCCCCTCAAGCCTGGCGCCCAGCAAACCCTCGGTATCTCCTTCTACTACCTGAAGGCGTACACTCCCCTGCCTGCATCCGTCCCTCAGGACGAGTTGCAGTACCTTGTCTACGACTTCTCCATCTACGCCCCATCGGCCTACCCCACCGTGAAGCAGAAGACAGAGGTCAAGTCCTCGTCTTCTGCTATCCCAGGATACACCAAGATCAAGGAGTTTCCCACCAAGCAGGGCGCCAAGTTGACATACGGTCCCTTTGAGGAGCAGCCCGCTGGCGCCGTCTCCCCCGCCCAGGTCCGATTCGAGTTCGAGAAGCCCGTTACCCACGTTGCCGTGTTGAACCGCGACATCGAGGTGAGCCATTGGGGCGGCAACGTTGCCTTCGAGGAGAGGTACGAGCTGTACCATCGAGGCGCCAACCTGTCTAAGCCTTTCAACCGAGTCAAGTGGGTTCAGGCCGCCTTTTACAGCCCTCCCACCCATGCTCTGAAGGAGCTCCGAGTTCCGCTCCAGGTTGGCAGTGTGGACGCTTACTTCGTCGATACCATCGGCAACGTGTCGACCTCTAAATTCAGAAGCAACAAGCGAGAGGCCATCCTCGAGCTCAAACCTCGCTACCCTTTGTTCGGCGGCTGGAAGTACCCCTTCACTATCGGATGGAACTCCGATGCTGCCAACTTTTTGCGCAAGACTGCCACCGGAGGCTTTGTTCTCAAGGTTCCTTTCCTTGAGGGACCCAAGCAGGTCGAGGGTGTTGAGTACCAGCAGATCAATGTTAAGGTTCTCCTCCCCGAGGGTGCCGAGTAAGTCTCCATCAAATGGTCTCTGTTGAAGCGTGTCTAACCATGACTTAGGAACGTCAAGTTCTTCACCACCGTCCCTGAGTCGTCCATTGCATCCACGTCAGTCGGTGTCTCCAAGACCTACCTTGACACTGTTGGACGCACTAGTGTCAGCATCACTGCCCGAAACCTTGTGGACGAGTTCCGGGACCGCGATCTCATCATCTCGTACGATGCGCCGCTGATGAGCGTTCTGCGCAAGCCCCTCGTCATTTTCGCCAGCATCATGTCCCTCTACGCTGCGACCTGGATTATCGGAAAGGTTCAGGTGGGATTTCAGCCGAGGAAGTAGGGACATTTCCTCAGCGTTTATTTGAATGAATAAGCGGGAGCAGCGTGGGAATGTTGTAAAAATGTAACATAGAAGGGTTTTCTCTCAAATTGATTTTTGGCACCACAGCAATGATCAATCCCTTGGCGTTTGGTCATGTTCCGAGTCCCGTGTCAATTGAGGATGACACTGCACGGAGAAACCTCGGATCTAGTGCTTCTGTCCAATTCACTTTCAAGCCTGCGCCTCAGCCTTAAGAAATGACGGCACTGGGCTGGTCTTGTGCATTTGGTGGGTGGAGTTGGTGGCGGCGAGGCACGCCGCGATTGTCATCCTGGTTCAAGGTACCCTCCCTGCTTGCATGTTGGGGGACATGGTGACCTCAGAAACTGGGCAGGAGACCATGTGAAGCCCTCAGCCCCGTATAAGATGATGAGGTATCCCCCAAGTGTCCTTTACGATTCCCTCCTCTTGTTTCTCGTCACTCTGTATCTGCATCTAGCTTTTATCAAAGACTGCGTCGCAACTCAACGAACCATCGCTCTATCCAAGCCATCAAATCCACCGTCTTTCCAACCTTACCACTATCAACCTCAAATATCCAACCACTTTACTCGCTCCCTCTCGCAAACATGTGTTTCGGCGCCGAGCCCAAGACCAAGTACTACTACCACGAGGAAATCATCCCCGCACGGCGTTACCATCACCACGGGCACCATCACCATCACCACTCCCCGCGCGCCAGCTACACCAGCGTCACCCGGCGGTCATACCACAGCCAGAGCCCCAGAGCGAGCTACCCTCGTGTCTATGAAGACAGTCGATATGTTTAGACAGCGACACCGGCGCACGACTCGGACGGGCGGGATGCGGAGGCTTTGTTACAATTTACCGGGCGCGAGTGATTTGGGGGGCTTTTTACATTTTCAACATGGACACTATAATTAGGAGGGCGGATTCATGTTTTCTCGGGCAGGGCGTTCCGAAGTCAGCGGGAGACAGCTGTCACGCAAGATAGATTTTCAAGCAATGTACACAACACGCGCACATCACAAAGTAGCCTTTTTTCTTCTTCTTGGCCAGTAACTCCGTCCCAACAAGTAGAACAGATTGCGAATATCGGGCCACGCACGGCACAACCCGTCAGTTTCGTCATCCCACTCGTGGTGGTGTTCAAGTCCCCAGACAAAAAGCCTGTTGCCACATCTAGCGGCGGGACCGCGGGGTCCCCATCAGCAGGGCTAAATGTGTATGACATCACTGCGCATTCCGTCACCACCATTGCCGCGCCTCCGAACCCAAGATGGTCTGGATGTTTATGATACCGGAAGCAGGGAAGATGAGATCGTGCACGTCAGTTCGATTCGACGCATCCACCTTTAACCTCTATTAAAGCCAGCTTACCCCTGCGCGTGGGGTTGGGCGTTGTCATCAACACCTTGTCACTGCAACCTTGCAACGTCAAAACTATAACAACCCAGGAAGCTCCCTCAAAGGATTCTCCATACCAGATCCCTGCCGATCTATTCGTCAATTGTAAGCAGTCGCCTGTCTTGGTTCAGTTGCAGCTCGTGTGTTTTGCGTCTTTCCTTCTGTTTCATGGGACATCAGAGCCACGGTCCCTCTTGCAGCACTGTCGCTGACGTTGAGGAAAGGGCACTCCTCCAGATCTCAGCTACCTACCTATCAGGGTGCGCTTCAACGCTTCCGACGCCGACATGTAAGTCCATCCTCACCCTGTCCGTCAACTCTTCTTCCCGAATACCTATATCCTTGAAAACTCCGACCTCTACAACCGCCATGTCTCGTTCCAGCTTCGACGGCTCTGTTCAGCACCTCATACCCCTCTACCGACCAGACAGTGGGCTTACCTTGACCTCACACAGGAACCGCGCTCTCTCCATCCGCTCCAACAGAGCCAACAAGTCCTCTGGGTCTACGGGCTCGAGCACCAGGCGAGGGTTCTCCTTCAACTCCCTCCGAGGCACCGTCCAACCCGAGTTATCTAAAAAGCTGTTCCGCCTCATCAAGTCGGAGAACAACCTCATCGGGGCCCACGAGACGGCAGGCCGTGAGCGCGTTGCCATTGCGACTCAGCTGTCAGAATGGGGCGAACAAACTGGAGATGATAGTATCAGCGACATCTCGGACAAGGTGGGCGTCGTCCTGAGCGAGATGGGAGAGCAGGAAGACACCTACGCGCATGCATTGGACGACTCCCGCGCGATTCTAAAGACCATCCGAAACACAGAGAAGAGTGTGCAGCCTAGTAGGGACGGAAAGAGCAAAATTGCGGACGAGATTCAACGCATCAAGATGAAGGAACCGGAGAGTGCCAAGTTGGTAGTTCTGGAGCAGGAACTAGTACGGGCCGAGGCTGAGAACTTGGTGGCAGAGGCCCAACTCTCCAATATTGTATGTGCTCATGTCTCGGTTTTTATTTCTTCATTGCTGACAACCTCAAGACTCGCCAGAAGCTCAAGGAGGCCTACGCAGCAGAGTTCGCCGCCACCATCGAGCGGGCGGAGAAACAAATCATCCTCGCCAAGCATGGACGCCGGCTCTTGGACCTCTTGGACGACACTCCCGTTGTCCCAGGAGATTCACGGCCAGTGTATGAGCACTCTGCCCAGGCTCGCCAGGTTCTCAACGACTGCGAGGACGACCTAAAGGAATGGCAGCCTGAAGCAGATGTCTACAAGACACCAGTTGAAAGTCGGTCGCCGAGTCTCAAGGGCAAAGAAAAGGAGACGTCTGTGGTTGACGAGACAGAGCCAGTGCATACCGATTCGAAACCTGAGACTGCGGTTTAAAGGGTAGGGATATGCTATGCCTGACTTTGCGGTACATTGGTGGGAGAGCTGATGGGTTTACTACGGTTGATGGTGTTTATTCCTTGGCCTGACCGGGGGTTCTTTGCGATTGCTTTCTGGCGCTGTTGTACTATATCCTATTGAGTGACTGGTTATATCGTTAGTTTCCACTGCGTCCTTCTTACTCGGTCCGTTAATTATTGTGAGGCTTGCAACCGGTGATATTTGCAGGGGTAGGGAAAGTGCTGGACCATCGGAGCGGAGCATCCAGCTGTCGCGGAATGGAGACGCTTGCAGCTTCCGCCGAGGCCTGGCGAAGCTCCGTCGAGGCTCCAACGTTCGTCCGAATCCAATCAATATGAGGTGATCGCTCGACGTGGGTCTGTCTAACCATCCTTGACGCGGCTTTTATTAGACATGAAGTGGATGAATGGAATTGTGAGCAAGTGTTTTGAACCCGCCGTCATGACGGCTACCCTGGTCTAGGGTAGCGTCCGTGACCAGGTTCCGATGAAAGGTCCGAGGCCACGCATCCTCAGGCACATCTCCGTCTTCCCGCCCCCCGATGAAAGTGCCGGTAGCTTAGAAAAAGACCTCGGTCGACACGAGCATCCAGAGCCGACGACCGACGCCCGCGGAAAACGAGAGCTGGGGTGAGTGCGTGACCGTGTAACAGCACTGCGTGTATTTTTATATCTGGGTTCCCTTGAGCCAGCCCATTTCCCCTTCTCTCCGGGGTCTCCACTCCCCCCGATCCGTTGTTGTTGATGCTCGCTCTCCAAGCTCGCCGGCTGCAGAGGTCGGTGTCCGTCTCCCCCCTACGAGCGCTGCCACAGCCTACACAGCCCTTACAGCCGCTATCGCACCCGCTGCTGCTACGGGGCCTCCCGCCGTACTCGCTGACGTACTCGCTGTCGCTGTTGCCATCGCTCCCAACTCCAGGGCCTGTACGGGCCAATCACACCGCAACGCTGGCGACACGCATTACTGGAGCCAGGCCCAGCCTGACCCAGCACAATACCCCGCCCCCTCCATCCTCCCACTCTCTCGCCGCCTCGACGTCGACCTTCGCCTCCAACAAAATTTCTTCTCGACGAACGGCCCAAATCGCTCGTCACCTCTCTTCGAGCTCCCCGTCCAATTCCAACTCGCCGCCCAGCATGGCTTCCCCCTACAACGTCCGCAAGGTCGCGGCTGCCAACACCTTCGAGCACCGCGTCTACATTGAGAAGGATGGCATCCCCGTCTCGCCCTTCCACGATATTCCTCTGTACGCCAACGCGGAGCAGACCATCCTGAACATGGTTGTTGAGATTCCTCGATGGACCAATGCTAAGCAGGAGGTAAGCTTCATCTCGCTCTCCATCGTCTTTTGTTTTACTGCCGTGTCTACTGCTGTGCTCGACCTCGCCGTCGTCTTGGATCAAGCTTCCACAGTCGAGCTCCCCACCGCCTGCCCCTCCCCCTCCTAGGGGTTGGGCATCCTGCTCCTCGCCACGTCAGCCCTCATAACCACGAACACTGTGCTAATCATCCTGCCACCAGATCTCCAAGGAGGAGCTCCTCAACCCCATCAAGCAGGACACCAAGAAGGGCAAGCTTCGCTTCGTCCGAAACTGCTTCCCCCACAAGGGCTACCTGTGGAACTACGGTGCCTTCCCCCAGGTATGACCAACCCATGTCCCAATGTCTCACAGCTCCAACCCTACCCAAACACGTGCGCCAGACCGCTAACTCTCCCCTCTGCAGACCTGGGAGGACCCCAACTCCATCCACCCCGAGACCAAGGCCAAGGGCGACAACGACCCTCTCGATGTTTGCGAGATCGGCGAGCTCGTCGGCTACACTGGTCAGGTGAAGCAGGTCAAGGTTCTCGGTGTCATGGCCCTTCTCGACGAGGAGGAGACTGACTGGAAGGTCATTGTCATTGACATCAACGACCCTCTGGCTTCCAAGCTCAACGACGTTGAGGATGTTGAGCGACACCTGCCTGGTCTCCTCCGAGCCACCAATGAGTGGTTCCGCATCTACAAGATTCCCGACGGCAAGCCCGAGAACCAGTTCGCCTTCACCGGCGAGTGCAAGAACAAGAGGTTAGTTGTCACATTGGACCTTGCCGACACGAAAAACTAACCATTCCGTAATAGCTACGCCATGGAGGTTGTCCGTGAGTGTGCTGAGGCTTGGGAGCGCCTGATCACCGGCAAGACCCCTGCCGGCGGCATCGCCCTGTAAGTATATTGACATGCTCTTTACCCAGCCCATACTGACATCTCGCAGCACCAACACCAACGTTCCCCAGTCTCCTTCCCGCGTGGACCCCAGCCAGCTCCCTCCTCTGCCCCCTCATGAGGAGCTTCCCGCCGAGAAGATTGACGCCTCTATTGACAAGTGGTTCTTCATCAGCGGTGCCTCCGCTTAAGTGCGTCTATAGGCCCGTACATGAGAAAATGCACAGATGTCTGGTAGCCATATAGTGTGTAAAAACTTGCACGTAGGCACATAAGACTTAGGCACAATACAAGAAGAACTGATCAATTGCCGTCATATTGTATTGTACAGAGATTGTGATGTCGTCCCATTTGGCCGATTCGGCCCCCGGTGTAGTCCTCGCTTCCTCAAAACGCCTTCGATGCAGAGTATAGGTACAATGTAGAGTATTTAGTCGGTAAGATCAGCCGTCTTCTGTAGTTGACGGGAGTGACGGTCAAGTTCTTCCACCAGACCCTTAATGTTGATCTTCTCGCAGTTAAAGTCCAGCTCCTTGCCATCCTCTATGCCCAGCTAGTTAGCAGCTATTCCTACCAGAATATCCCGAGTAGCGCAACGTACTGAACTTGACTCGCAGAGAGCTGGGTTCCGTCGAGTGTCGGGGGAGCAGCGTCGTGGTGATGGCCAAGCCGCTGGAGCGGGCGGTTGGAGGGAGCAAGGTCAGGAAGAGGCGGGCGGGCTTGGCGCAGGTCGAGAAGGGGTTGAACTTGGCCGTGACCTCGGTCATGAATTTGGTGATCATTTTGACGGCGGGAGCGCAGCGCGCGGGGACTCAATGGGGGCCGTAGGGTCGTCGGAGTTGGTTCGTCCTATGTCGCTCGCTGGAAGCCGATCGTGATGCTGAAATTTCGAGGGACAGCGCGTGGTCGCATAGATGCATATCCACATACCGGGGCTGATTCAACAAGCGCAACGTCATGATGCCGGGGACCACGTTTCGCAAAGGGACAGCGTTCCAGGCGAGAACGTGCCTAAAAAACAGCTTGCTGCAGGACAACTGGACTTGTCTTTTAAAATCCATATCCCGAAGCCGATTTGCCCACCACCATGTCCTTCGAAGGCCTCCAGGAGCGCTTGGTAGCTCTGCAGGAGACGACAACGCAGCTCAAGGAGCTCATCGACCGACTCGCGACCCTAAAGTTTGAGCCCGGCTCCGTGCCCCTCACCACCGATGAAGAGAACAGCGTGAGCGGCGAGCTCGGCGCGGAGATTACGCATATCCTGCGGGACGGGGAGGAGGATCAGGAGCTCCTGCAAGAAGAGGTGGAATATTTTCGTGGAGCCGAGCATGACAAGGAGAGATTGCGGGAGGGCGCCGAGAAGATAGGAAAGGACCTGGCAAGGTATGCCTATTCTGAATTACTGGGATCCAGTCCTCTAACAAGGCTGCAGCTGTCGCCTATCCTTCCGAAAAGCCCGATTGTCCGCGAAGAACAGCCTGGTGCAAGCGCAGAGGCTGGAACGAGAACTACTCATCCGGTCTTACTCGCAGTCTGCATCCGGGACCAGCTCCCCTCTACCGGGGGAAGAAAAGGTCCCCGTCATCGCCCGCCCCACGCGCCAGCCGTCACAGCAGCAGCATCAGTCGAGCCTCACCGAGGATGACCAGCAAATTGTCGGCGCCAGCAGCAACATGACCAGCGCCCTGCGCCGGACGCACGACCTCATCGCCGCGGAGCTGGAGCGCAGCGAGTACGCCCACCAGACGCTGACCGAGTCGTCGGCCGCGCTCAAGCAGCTCAACGATTCATACGGCGACCTGGACAGCATGCTGGCGAGCTCCAAGGATCTGCTCGGCACGCTGTTGCGGTCGCAGAAGAGCGATACCTGGTACCTCCAGACGGCCATGTACATGCTCATGGTTACGGGTGCGTGGCTCGTCTTTAGGAGGATTCTCTACGGGCCGATGTGGTGGCTCATCTGGCTGCCTATGCGACTCATCTTTGGCACGGGCGTCAAGGTTGGGGGTGCGGTGATGCAGGGAAGGTCAGTAGCGGGAGAGTCTGGCAAAATGGACGTGGGACAAGAGAACCAAGAGATTCCCGTTAAAGGTCTACCGAACAAGGATCTGCCTACGGCGAAAGTGGGCGAGGAGACTATGGATTCGGAGTCGGTGCTAGATGATGTAGAAAAGATTGTCGAGGCCGTCAACGAGGCCGAGAAGCTCGACAACATCCCTGAGGACAAGGATGCCGTGGTGGATGGAGCCCGGAACACCAAGAAGAGAATGTGGGAAGAGACCGAGGGGGTGACAGAAGCAGGACGGCAGAGAGACGAGCTCTGAGATAGAGATGCCCAAAGAAATGGTTCTCCCGCCGTTGCCAGTTTCAAAATTGTTCATCGTTGTTCGCCTATGAACTCCGTGATATTTAACTATTGCCTACCCACCCATCTACGAAAAAAAATTAAAGCCTTGTTGAAAGAGGCACCTAAGTGGTTCCTTTGAGCAGTTGAATGGTGCTCATCTTTTGCGATTAGGTTCGCTGGGGAGCGATCTGGGTGATTTCGGTGATCCATGGGAGACCGAGCTTTTTCATCTCAACAGCCAACTGGAAGAGATAGTCCAAGCTGTCATGTGTTAGTCAACGAGGCCTATGACCTGGTGTTGATGAGATTGGGACTGCTTACCTCTCGCACTGGGTCTTGGCCTTGTGGACGTTGTCACCCCAAACGTAGACGCCATGTCTACGGACCAAGACGGCGTAGGCATCTGGGTACTTCTCCATAGCCTCCTCGAGATACTCGGTGAGGTCCTCCTCGTGGGGAGTATTCTCAATGACGGGGATACGGAGGGTATCATGGTATCCCAAGTTACCAACCTTGGTCATTCCGCGACCAAAGCCCTTGATCTGCTCGAGGTTATTGATCTCAAAGACCTTGTCCTTGCCAGGGCCCTGAGCCTCGAGCAAGAGGGTGACGAGGACGGCCCATTGCGAGTGGGTGTGGATGCAGCAGCCAGCCCCGCGACGGGTAAAGGCAGCAAGGAAGAGTGGCGTGCACTGGGAGGGCTTGTAGTGGGGAGGAGAGCGTAGGTAGGTGCGAGGTTTCTGCTTCTGGCGAATGGCTTCAAGGTCTTGGTCGGAGAGAGACATGACGTAGATGTCGGTGTTTGTCATGAGCTCCTTTTGGACACCCGAGGGCGCGATGTAGACAAGGTCACTAGTAGGGTGAAACGTGTAAGTATGATAATAATAGGAGCCATTGTAGATTATATCACGAGCGAGGTGAATTCAGTGCTTTCTTTCGGAACAATGCTCAATTGGGGTGGTGAGAGTGAGGAGAAATGAAATTGTCGACAGGAGTCATGATGGTCAGAGAGTCGTTGTCAATTAACGGCACCAGTTCCATGGAGGGTTCGTGGGGATACGCGAGCAAAAATGAAGTGGGTTGCCTTCATCGCGTTGGGTGGAATGAAAGGTAGCGAGGGTTGTGAGGTAGAGATGTGTAAATCAATCGCTTGAATTGTGTATAAATAAAGCCCCTCATGAATGTACAAGATGTATGAGGGACAGAGGGGCAGAATACGGCAGCGTGGGGTAATTACACCACCCGAAAAAAGAGATGAAAAAAGAAAAAAAAAGACGTACTCATCTCGGATGGAGCAACCGCCTCCAGTTCCCGTGACCCATCCCAAGGTCCAGAACTTGGCGCATAGGGAGGGAATCAAGTTGGCCGGATGGTTGGGATCCACGGAGGTAACGAGGGCTTCGCCGGCTTCGCGCTGTGCGGCGTCATCACTGGCGAAGGAAGGCATTGCGAAGGCCTTGGGTGGGAAGCTCCCGGGGACGACGGAGCGGTCGAGATCGGGCGGGCTGGCGCCGAGGGAAATTGGGCTGTCTCGGATCTCGGATTCCAAGAACGAGTCGGACGAGCCGAAAGATTCGGAGTCCCGGCGGCGGCGCAGATCGGTCCCCGGAGATTCAGGTCGGGTCAGGTCAGAACAGGTGAGGTCGGGCCAAAGACGTGTGATGGCTCTAGTCGCTGTCTCCTGCTCGCTGCGGGAAATGGGCAGTTTGTCAGTCACGACGCCGCACCTGCCCAAGGCTGGCCCATCGCCTTGTCAGACTCCTGCCACAGTGAGCGAGAGCCAGTCAGAAGCCAGTCAGAAGCCGGCAAGGGCCCGCCGATTTCCGCCCGCTTGCGGCTAATAGGCGGTGGCCATTCCTTAACGAGCCGGCCCCTGACCACTCAGCTGCGCAGGCTCCTCAGATCATTCGGGGCCGGTGAGGTCATGTCTGCCTCGCTACTACGTACCTAGTTCCTAGGTACCTTACCTGGTGGCTTTGCTGGCCTTGCCTTGCCTTGCCTTGCCGGGCTAACCTTATTAATCCACATGGGTCATAACATGCAGGACATTAATTGCGACGCCTGGGTATCCCAGGTACAAGCGGAACGCAAGTGGACACGCTTCAGAGCTTGCCAGGGCCTCGCAGCGCTTCCCATGGCCCTCGCAGGCGTCCCGAGGCTTCTATCCCACCACACAAGACTCAAGCCCCAGTAACGGCAGAGACACCCGAGAGCGGATGCGATGGGAGGGAGCAGGGATGTCTAACCGCGTACGGAGTATGTACCTTGTTCATGCATCGTTTTTCTTCACTCGGAGCAGGTGGCAAGCTATGAATAGTCAGAATGGTCAGAACACCCACCAGCAGATTGCCAGCGTAGCAGATTCATGGAATGGGTCCCCGTGTCCTCCCTTTAAAAGCATGGATTGCCAACAATGGACAGCGGAGAAGCCGAGGAGCCGTCCTGAACCCTCCACCGCACAGGATTCAGGGACAGCGCTGTGCTGTGGCGACCAAGGCTGCAGCACATCCAAGGCGTGTCGCTTCGAGCGCCGAGCCTCAAGTTGAGAGGAGTCATTTCGGTGCATGAACCAGTCCTCTCGTCAAGCTCATCTCACGGGGCTTTCCTCCTCCGTGACTCGCCAAGCCACCTCTTTCTGCTGTGTACGAAGTATTTATTCCCCCGTGGGTCGTCCATCGGGAGCTCGAACAACGCCCGGACCGCTCTCAAGCAAAAGCAATAACGCCTCTCATCACTCCTGAATGCATCGCGTGTCTTCGGTCGTCTGAACTACCTTCAGCTCAGCGCACCGGCTAAGGAGCCACTGGCCTCAGGATCCTGGTCTAGCAAGACGCCTGCCAAGGTTAGCGAGCCTGGGGGGCATCGGAGGTCACTGGGGCTAGTCTCGTATTCATGCAAGCACAACGAGCGGCCTGATGGGTAAAATGGTCAGCTAAACCTGGGCGGCGTTACAGGTCACAGCAAGCAAGAGGCTTCACCCACCCACACAGCGTTGAACACGCTCCGCGAGACGCGCCACTGCGGCCGACGCGACCTCCAGCTTGGTTGGCTGGATTGGCCAGCAAGCTTTTTTATGCTGGGTTGTTGGTTTGCATTATGCGCGGTTGGTTTGTTGTGTGGCGGTCGACCTGGACAACCATGATGCAAGTTTGCCAGACTGCTGCTGCTTTTCCCTTCACCCATCACCCACACCAAACACTGAACTGCCGCTTCCCGGCTGTTGTGTGAGGCAAGAAACTTGGGCTGGCTCCATGTACCAATGTAGGTCTAGTAAATCCCACTCGTGGAATTACGATTCAGTTGCCCCTTTGGTCCTCTACGGGAAAGGCGTAGATCCCCCGCTCATGTCTTGACGAGGTGCCGAAAAAGCACATCGTCAGGTACCAGTTGTTTGTTTATGGGATTAGGTTACGCACGGAGGTTCCTGCCGGATACCTAGCGAGATTCCAGCACTCTCCACCGGCCCCCCCTTCGACGTGATTATGGTCTGGCCCGCGGCAACCCCCTGAAACAGTGCTTCCCTAGCACGCCAATCGACTTCGTGGGATCTAAGACTAGTGTCGGCAGGTAGGCGCCGAACGTCCATGAGGAACGTCATGGGCACACGAGAACGTGAGGGCGCGTCGCGAGAACAAACAGGTTGTGCACAGCGCTATGTTTATGCTGGATTCTGGTGGGTGGTATCCTGGTGGTCTCCTGGTGGTCTAGCAACACGAGCTTTGCGGGCGAAGTTGATGGGATGGTGGACGAATGAGTGGATGGTTCATGACAGCAGCTCCACGGCGTGGGTCCCAATGCATCCACGCGCGCTCATGGAGCCCTCAGCCAAAAGTCGACACCAAAAAGCCACCTCCACTGCGCAAATGCTCGCCGACCACCAGGCTGAACCCGAGGAGGAAACCCTGCAAGATCTGGGTCAAGACGGAATTGCAGGGCGTCCGGCTGATCCAGGCGGTTCCCGGTTCGGCCAAGGCCAGTGCTTGCCATGCCTGAGATGCCTGCCAGGGACGGTAAATTAGCCTGCTGGATCATGGCTTGCAAATTTAAAATTGAGGCCCGCGGGCTTCCCCAGACACCACCATCACGGCCGATCGGCCATGTCACGCCCAGTGTGGCACCCCTGCCGAGGGCCGTCCTGTGGTCCCAGTGGCTTCTCGCATAGAGAGGAAAAGAAAGCAAGCTCTAGACCAGCCGGCCTAAGCCAGCCGAGTGTGTGCCTGCGCTCTAACCCACCCCCCGATGGACCGGGCAGCCTTGGCACGCTTCCCCTGCTGCTGTCGGTTGACTTTGGCATCCCCCTGGTGTGCCCGACGGCTTGGAGGTGGCCTGCCTTTAAAGGTCTGCTCCAGCCCCGACTTAGCCATCATCCTCCCTCAACCTTGCTTGTTCCATCCAGTTCAGTCTCTCTTCACTCGTTAGAAGCCCGACCATTTCACTCTCTTCTTGAGATCCACTCGCTTTTACACCACGACTAATACCGTAATACCAACCTCAACCGTCAAAATGCGTTTCACCATCGCTGTTGTCGCCGGCTTCGCCGCCCTGGCCTCTGCTGCCACCTCCGTCTCCATCGACCCCGCCCAGGCTTCCTACGTTGCCTGCATCGACGCCTGCGATCCCGGTGATGTCAAGTGCCTGTCTTACTGCGACGTGGTAAGTTATCCCCGAGGGCACTGCCTGCGTCCCAAACACGCTTGACTTGTACTGACATCCTTCGAAGGTTCCCTCCCCCAACGACGCTCAGGCTAACGCCACCAACAACTGCGTCGCCAACTGCGACCAGGGTGACGGCTCTGAGAAGGAGACCGCCGCCTACGCCACCTGTGTCCAGGACTGCATCTCCAACAACTACTTCAAGACCTCCAGCGGTACTCCCAAGGAGACTGATAGCTCTTCTGGCAACTCCAAGGGCTCTGGCAGCTCCGGCTCCAAGGCCACTGCCACCGGCTCTTCCTCCAACTCTGACAACACTGCCAGCGCTGGTGCCTCTGCCTCTGGCTCTGAGTCCACCGATGCTTCCAAGACCGACTCGTCTGACTCTTCGTCTTCTTCCGGCACCGCCACTGGCTCTTCCTCCAGCTCTACCAGCTCTGACAGCTCCGCTGCTAGCCTTGCCATTGGCTCTGCCTCCATCCTCGGCCTCATCGTCGCTGTCTTCGCTCTGTAAACTGGTTTCTTTTAGAATCCGGGTTTTGGAAGGATTTAATGGATATGGAATCGCGGTAATGATGGAGTTGTGACTCGCTGCTTGGCTGAGTATCCCGAGGGCGGCCCCCTGGTTGGGCCCTTTATTTCATGGACAAATTGGGACACGTCTTGCGTTCATATTGCTCCGCACCTGGGCACGAATAAAATACCTCTTGGCTATGGCTTTTACCATTACACTTTGCTCCAATTAACCTGTCTCGAGTTCGTAGCGTGAAATGTTTTCCGTCGGCAATTTATCCGTATGACGGACCCATGATCGTTCATCATGGAGGTCGCGCATGTGCGCTAGTGGGATTAAACATTCTTAGTGCCAACGAACCCGGCAAAAAAGCGTTGGTCAAAACCAGCGTGTGGACATTGCTTCCCAACATTACAAAAGGGTCATTTGAGTTTTGTTATTGTGTGCTAAGCATCCGCATATGTGCGTTTCCCGCGCAACAAGTCACGTGTAGATTATGAGACAGGCGGGTTGGCTTCATTGCATAATAATTCTCGGCGTCGGCTCCAATGTAGTGACTAGAGTAAAATCATTCAATCCTTCCAGAAGTCATCGACAATTTACAATACGATATTCCCCTTAGCCTTTTGAATGGTAACCCGAGTCAATAGTCATGTCGGACATTTTCCCCCCAACTAACATAGTTTCGGATTCATCTGAATGGGAGCTTTATTGGCGTGCAGTGGCGGCTTTGGGCGTGTCTGGGTTGGAATACGTGCACTGGTTGGTTAAAAAAAAAAGGATGTGGTAAATAAAAGGAAATATTGTCATCATGAGAGATGAAGACTGAAAATTAGGTTTATATATATATAATAAAAATGCTTCATTGGAATCTCGCATAATTGTCAATGGGGAATGAGATGTGCGTGTAAATAGTAACCTCCAGAACAATAGTAATCCGTCAAAAGAGCCTTTGAGGACCACAGTATGATAAGTCCCATTATTCTGCACATGACCTGTCGTCTTAAGTTGAACTCCAAAGATTGTCATGTCTCACCGTATCAAGCAACGAGTGGGTAGCTTGGAATCCAGGGTGCTTGGAAACGTATCGTCTAGCTCCCCATGATACAGGGGATCCTTTAAATACCACGTGTTAATTTGTGCTTCGCACGAATAGTAATTGTTCTTGCCATTCACGTGCCTATGCTGGCCAGCAGTAGATCTGGGCCAGGCTGAATAGAATCTGACAGGGCCGCACAATACCCATTTACTTCCCAAGTCGACATGGAGGCGCATGTGCATGCAGTTTTTCGGAGACTTTAGCATTAACAAACGGCGACTGACATTACTGACGTTAGTGACATTAGTCCAGCGAAAGCCGTTGACCTTTGGTAGCTTCCGCAGGGTATGTGGGGATCAAGAGTTAGAAAGTGGTTTCCCTCGACCGTTCGTGGAGAGCGGCTTGGCGAATCAGGGCCTCTCCAAGCTGGAAGCACTACGTAGTAGCTCAAGGGGCATCTGCATGCCAGGAAGGCCGTGAATGATGGCTTCCATGAGCAGAAGCACCGTCCGCAGAGCTGGGACCTTTTCCATTATCTGCCCAGCCACTTTTCGCACGGAATTTCCCAATTGAGCGTGGTCCGTCGGCATCGTGACGCTGAATGCGCCAGGTGTGCAACAATGGCCAAATTTCTCTAGTCTTCCATGGCCGCCCGACCTGTACCTACATCCGGCACCCGCTGAGCCCCCGGCCCCCGCACTATAAGCTCCCTGAAATTTTGGGCGCCGTGCCCTGAGCTTCTTCTACGTGTCCTCAACACTGGTCAGCAAGCAGCTCTCCACTCTTCTAAAGACGCCACCTCTCGCTTCAGATTTCCGTCCGGCCAACCTCACTCTTAGGATTCTTGTCCTCGAGCGCTGGGAATCACTGTCGCACATCTCCGTCACTTTCTCCATCGCCATCTCTGTCGGCGCATCCCCCGTGTTCTTCCCCCTTCTCCCTACTCCACCCTCAATCGTCTCCTGCTTGCGTCGCGCGCACTGGGTTCGAACTCGCAATTCCTCCACCACACTGACGGAGCTTCTTCCCCATCACCACATTCACCATGAAGTTTAACGCTGTCACCACCGCTGCTGTGTCGGCGGCTCTGCTCGCCAGCGCGCATGCCGAGGAGGTCGCTGACGAGGCTTCGCCTGCTGTTCCCGAGCTGTCCACCTTCACTGTAAGTTTGATGACGCGATCCCCCAGCTCCTCGTCGCGCCTTTCCGCGGACCTCGCAGCTGAGACAACCTTCAATTGGATGCTAACAACTTGCCCAACAGCCTACCACCCTCAAGGCCGACTTCCTTGAGCAGTTCACCGATGATTGGGAGCAGCGATGGAAGCCCTCCCACGCGAAGAAGGATGCCTCCGGCTCCGACAAGGATGAGGAATGGGCATATGTTGGCGAGTGGTCCGTCGAGGAGCCCGTCAAGTTCAAGGGAATGGAGGGCGACAAGGGTCTTGTTGTCAAGAACCCTGCCGCTCACCACGCCATCTCGGCCAAGTTTCCCAAGCAGATCGACAACAAGGGCAAGACCCTCGTTGTTCAGTACGAGGTCAAGCTTCAGAGTAAGATTACCTCAGCTTCAACCATGTGAAGGCGACGGTGTATGCTGACATATTCTCTTCCAGATGGCCTCGAGTGTGGTGGTGCCTACCTGAAGCTCCTCCGGGACAACAAGGCCCTGCACCAGGAGGAGTTCGCCAACACGACTCCCTACGTCATCATGTTCGGTCCGGATAAGTGTGGCCACACCAACAAGGTTCACTTTATCTTCAACCACAAGAACCCCAAGACTGGCGAGTACGAGGAGAAGCACTTGAGCACTCCTCCCACTGCCAAGATCGTCAAGACGACCGAGCTCTACACCCTGATCGTCAACCCCGACAACACCTACGTCATTAAGCAGAATGGCGAGGAGGTCAAGACCGGCAGCCTCCTGGAGGACTTCAGCCCCTCCGTCAACCCCCCGGAGGAGATTGAGGATGCTGATGACAGCAAGCCCGAGGACTGGGTTGACCAGGCCCGAATCCCCGACCCCGAGGCTTCCAAGCCTGAGGACTGGGATGAGGATGCGCCTTATGAGGTTGTCGATGAGGAGGCTACCAAGCCCGAGGACTGGCTCGAGAATGAGGCCATCACCGTCCCCAACCCTGAGGCTGAGAAGCCCGAGGACTGGGATGACGAGGAGGATGGTGACTGGGTCGCCCCCACTGTCCCCAACCCCAAGTGCGCTGACGTCTCTGGATGCGGCCCCTGGACCAAGCCCATGAAGATGAACCCCGAGTACAAGGGCGTGTGGAGCGCCCCTCTGATTGAGAACCCCGAGTACAAGGGTGTCTGGGCCCCTCGCAAGATCAAGAACCCCAACTACTTTGAGGACAAGAACCCCGCCAACTTTGAGCCCATGGGAGCTGTAAGTTGACACCATGCACGCATATGCCTTACCTGTAGCGATACTAACCTGTCGATAGATTGGCTTCGAGATCTGGACTATGCAGAGCGACATTCTTTTCGACAACATTTACATTGGCCACTCCGTCGAGGATGCCGAGAAGCTTGCTGAGGAGACCTTCAAGGTCAAGCAGCCCGTTGAGAAGGCTCTGGCCGAGGCCGAGAAGCCCAAGCCTTCGGACAAGGCCGACTCTCCTCTTGACCTCAAGTTCATGGATGACCCCGTCCTGTTCATCAAGGAGAAGGTTGACCTCTTCGTCACCATTGCCCAGAAGGATCCCCTGCAGGCTGTCAAGTTTGTTCCCGAGGTTGCTGGTGGTATTGCCGCTATCTTGATCTCCTTTATTGCTCTCATCGCCGCTCTCGTTGGTCTGGGTGGCTCGACCCCCGCTCCTGCGAAGGCTGCCGGTAAGAAGGCCGAGGACGTCAAGGACAAGGTCGCTGAGGCTACTACCACTGGCGCTGAGAAAGCCAAGGGAGAGGCTACCAAGCGCAACACCCGCAGTCAGTCGTAAGGGAGAGGAGGAGAGAAAGTAGGATTTGTATGATTTGAAAGCGAAGGAGAGGAAGGTGAAAGTAAGACTCAAAATTTCAATCACAAAAAAAAAAGGACAAAGCCCAACAAAGGGAATACCAATTTCGATTTTACTGGTTTTCAAAAAAACGAAGGAGCAAGAACAGCAGCATCAACTTGACGGCGCCTGGTGGAAGCTGGGTGTGATGAGATGAATGGCTGCTGTGACAAGGATTTCGAGATCAAGGCGTAGGCATGTATTTCAAGTTTAGTTCCATATGCATTTTTCTCTTCGGTACGTACTTGTCTGAGAGCAATGATAAGAGAAGAAACCAAACCAGCCGCAAATTTTGTGTCTTAATGTTGCATCGCCTATCGACGGAGGTTGGAATTCCCTGTGTTCAAGGTACTTTGTAGCCGCGGTTATGGAGCCGGGTATGTCTTGTTGGTGTCTGTGACAAGGTGATTGGACCGGCACATTACGTACTAAACATGCCGTCATGTGGGCTTTGGAACCAGGACAGAATGGGGAGGTCAAGTGAGAGCGCAGATAAGTAAGTATCTAATGGTGCTCCATACATGGAAGGGCAACCACGAGGACGGAAGGCTAGTCTAAAACAGGAAGGGAACTAGTATCTCAAACGTTAGAGCGCCGATTGCGGGCCTTGTTGGGTTTTATCTCAATAGAGGTTGAGAATAAAGAGTTGATAGCAAGAGTCAGTATTGTGCTGTATGATAATGGCGAGGCTGATGACTGGGTGCCATGGCGGGAAGTAAGCTGGTTCCCTTCCTGTTTCGGACTAGGGACGGGCCATTGATTGATTTCCTGTGGGTTGCCTTTCCTGCTTTGGACTAGACGCGAGGGCTGTGGATTGGTTGCTCGTCTGGCTGTCAGGCTGTCAGGCTGTCTGGCTGTCTGGCTGTCTGGCTGTCTGGCTGTCTGGCTGTCTGGCTGTCTTGTCTAGCTAGGTAGGGAGGAGGCTCTCGTTTGGACTGCCCTCTGGAAACTAGCCGGATATCCAGTGGCCGTTGGCTAAGGTTTTCCCATTGGCCTCGGCCATTCAGCGCGGGTCGGCTTAGACGGCAAACGGCGGCATCGGCACAGGATCGGGGAGGCACCCTTCGCTTACCCCACACTTTGGGGCAAGCTCGCAAGAGAAGCTCCCCCTCCGGATGCTTCGAGAGGCTCCAGAAAGCCTCCACCAAGCCTCCACATTGGCGTGCGAAACAGCCGTAGACCTGACGACGGGCTTATCGCTGCTCCTCTCGACGCCGTCTCCGCACCCTCCGCGAGCCTTGCCGGTCACCGGCCCGGCGTCTGTATAAAAGGAAAGAGGCCCTGCGACTGGTTTCGAGGGAGCGTCGAGTTCCAGGCGGGGTTCATCAGAGCTGCTTCACGGACAATTGTCCACATACAACATCCCATTGCCCTCCCAATTGCTTCTTCCTCACCTCTCTCCTTCACCTCTCTCCCTCTCCCTCCCTCCCATCTTCACTCTTCACCATGCGTCGCCTCATTACCCGTGGCGTCGGCGCCGGAACCCGCACGTCGGCTTCCATCCCGTTGCTCTCCTCCCGCGCTCCCATCTTCTCGTCCTCCATCGCCACCCGCCAGATTCATGCCACCGCCCTGAGGTCGTCGGCGGCGCTGGCCTCCACGGCCACCAGCTACCCGACCACCCACGAGAAGATCGCGGCCGTTGAGGACACGCCGTACTTCATCAACAACAAGTTCGTCAACTCCACCACGGACAAGTTCATCGACCTGCACGACCCGGCCACCAACAACCTCGTCACCCGCGTGCCCCAGATGACCGATGCCGAGATGAAGGCCGCCGTGGCTAGCGCTGAGAAGGCTTACCAGTCGTGGCGCAACACCACCGTCCTGTCTCGCCAGCAGATCATGTTCCGCTTCGTCCAGCTCATCCGCGAGAACTGGGACCGCCTGGCTGCCAGCATCACCCTGGAGCAGGGCAAGACCTTTGCCGATGCCCGCGGTGATGTCCTGCGCGGTCTGCAGGTCGCCGAGGCTGCTGTTGGGGCCCCCGAGCTCCTCAAGGGCGAGGTCCTCGAGGTGTCCAAGGACATGGAGACCCGCACCTACCGCGAGCCATTGGGTGTTGTTGCCGCCATCTGCCCCTTCAGTAAGTCTCCCTGTCGTCGAGATAGAGGAGTGCGAGCTAATTGAGTCGTAGACTTCCCCGCCATGATTCCTCTGTGGTGTATCCCCATTGCCACCATAACCGGCAACACCCTGATCCTTAAGCCTTCCGAGCGTGACCCTGGTGCCGCCATGATCCTCGCCGAGCTGGTCCAGAAGGCCGGCTTCCCCGACGGCGTCGTCAACATTATCCACGGCGCCCATAAAGCCGTTGACTTCATCCTCGACGAGCCTGCCATCAAGGCTATTAGCTTCGTTGGTGGCAACAAGGCTGGCGAGTATATCTTCAGCCGCGGTTCTGCCAACGGCAAGCGAGTCCAGGCCAACCTGGGAGCCAAGAACCACGCTGCCGTCCTCCCCGATGCCAACAAGAACCACTTCATCAACAGCGTCGTCGGCGCTGCCTTTGGTGCTGCCGGCCAGCGCTGCATGGCCCTGAGCACCCTAGTCATGGTTGGCGAGACTAAGGAGTGGCTCTCCGAGGTTGCAGAGCGAGCCAAGGCACTCAATGTTGATGGCGGTTTCGAGGAGGGTGCTGATCTCGGCCCCGTCATCTCACCCCAGAGCAAGGAGCGCATCGAGAGCCTCATCGCCACTGCTGAGAAGGAGGGCGCGACTATTCTCCTCGACGGCCGTGGCTTCACCCCCAGCAAGTACCCCAACGGTAACTGGGTTGGCCCTACCATCATCTCCAACGTCACTCCCGAGATGACTTGCTACAAGGAGGAGGTCTTTGGCCCCGTCCTCGTCTGCCTCAATGCCGAGACTCTCGACGACGCAGTTGACCTCATCAACAAGAACGAGTACGGTAACGGAACCGCAATCTTCACCAAGTCTGGCGCCACGGCCGAGACGTTCCGCAAGAACATCGAGGCCGGCCAGGTTGGTATCAACGTCCCCATCCCCGTGCCACTGCCCATGTTCTCCTTCACCGGCAACAAGAAGAGTATCGCCGGTGGCGGTGCCAGCACCTTCTACGGCAAGCCCGGTATCAATTTCTACACACAGCTGAAGACGGTGACGGCCCACTGGCAGAGCGCCGACGCCGTGGCCAAGAAGGCCTCTGTGGCCATGCCCACGATGCAATAAGGAATCGCGATGCAATCTGTTTTAGACGCATGGCAACAGGAGGAAAAACAGGCTCGTCCTTTGTAGGACATGGGACAAAATGAATATATATGGACTGGGTTGAGCTATTCACTGGTCGTTTAATTGCTAGCTTGAATGTAGCTGCACAATATCATATGCCTATTGTTGGCCTGTTGGCTCTTGAGTGGGCCCAATACCAAGTATTTGCCACCGATTCTGTTGCGTCATTCCCAATCAATTCTCTTTGTCTGTTTCTGTAAGCGCCAATCTCCCCAACATTATAGAATGTTACGAATAGGGTCCTTGCTGATCTGTGCAGTGGCTTTGCTCCTTAATCTTGCAGGGCGTGGCAGCGCCTTGCGTGAACTAGTTACAGAGGGCGTTTTGTTAGTGTGTGCAACGCCGGTGTCACCAACGCACGCCTGACGCCTCACTTACAAGGAGTCAGCGCTTGCTCCGAGCCCATCTCTTCCTCCCCTTCAGTTGGCGCTCACCACCACCGGGGCTCGCTCTATATAATCCCTCCCTCACGTCACGAGGGGCGGGAGGGATGTCGCAATGGCTCTGGTTGGATCATCTGCCAAGCGGATGTCGTCAGCATGGACTATATCCTGCGACTGCAGTCCCGGTTCAGGTTGCGCTCTCGCACGTCATCGCAACCAACTTCAACCTCGGCATCAGGCGACAATCGAGACGCAATTATGAACCTGACTGATCTGCCATTCACCATCTTCCTCGACATCGTCCTCCTCCTGCCTCCCGTCGACGCCCTCCGCTGCCGGCAAGTCTCGTCCGCTTGGCGCAGCGCCCTCACCCGCCAGGATCTCGCCATCAGTCTCATTCTTGGGCGCTTTCCCCGCGCCCGGGAGGCCCGGATACTTCGCCGCTGGCTTGCGAGCGGGGGACTCGGCCATGGCTATGTGGGGGATCTCGAGGACACGGAGTGGGCGGCTGTGTTTGCGAACCTCGCGCGGCGATACTTTCACCTCGGGGCTGCGCAGCCGTGGAAGACGAGCAAGGTGCAGACGTTCAATGGTGGCAATGCGCTCTGGGGCGTCACGCCGTGGAATCGCTTCCTCAAACTACACAATAGGGCAGCCGACTTTCAGTCTTGGGATCCGGTGTGGACGTTTGAGCCCGACGACGGACTGCTCGTCTACCCTGCTGCCTCATCCACGCCGCTGCAGAGATACCGGGTCCGAGATCTAGAGACTGGGAGCGAGTTTATCGTCCCGTTCGACACTGCGGGCAAGGTCATCCGGCGGGTCCGGCTCCATGATAAGGTCCTCCTGTTTGAGTGGTGCGAGGAACATGGGTTGGATCTCTCACACCCTGTCAAAACCCTCGACACCGCCATTCGCCACTATGCAACGGCCTACGACGTCGTGCGGCACGGTGCGGCTGCCCTCCTCCCGCGCCGGGACGCCGCCGAGCCCGGGCGCGAGTGGTCCTTTGTCCGGCGCGCGGAGTGGAAGATCCACCACCTCGGCATGCTTCCCACCCACCAGGACCGCTTCTTTTCCGCGCACAACCGCACGCACTACGCCGTGTACGTCTGGCAGCCAGCGCGCTCGCCGTGGGGCGACGACGACCCGCTCGAGCGGCTGATTGTGTGGGAGCTCGGCCCCGCCCCGCCCGCAGGTGGGTCTCCGGGTCCGGAGACGGTCGGCGCTGGCGCCGGGCCGCGCGTGGTCCTCCAGCTGGCAAATGCCGACCTGCGCGCGTGGGGAGTCGGGCAGCGGGATACACCGTCGCTTCGGGAACTGGCTCTCGACGCGACGACTTGGGACGAGGCAGCGCAGACTGCGTGCGGACATATATATCTCGTCGAGGAGACGCACCGATGGGCTGCAGGGCCTCACAGCTCGCTCACACCGCCGCCTCTACACCGAGTGCGGAGCACGGGAATACCCCTCGGAGGCCACGGCCCGCGATGGCTGGACAAGTGCGACGCCGACGGCAGCAACAACACCAGGAACCCGCGGGCCGGGTGTCGTCACAGCGCGACCTCCGGGACCTCCGACAGTCGACAATCCTGGCCGGGCCGTGCGCCCTGCTGGCGCCACGACGACTTCCCCTTCGTCACCGTGTCCGGGGTCCATGACGCTGCCGCAGAGGTTCACATCAGAGCCCGGCAGTGCTTCCAGCTGCGATCTCTCGCCGTACACTTGCCCCCGAGCCTCCGCAACCCGCCGGCCGCTGCTGTCGACAACGGCGAGAAAAGGACCGGGTGGGAGGTCACCAGGGCCGCGTTCCTAGCCATGTTCGAGTGGAGCGACATGGAGCTGGAGGACCTCGAGGCAATGCACAAGCGCATCGACGGGCCGGCTAGGGAGAGCGAGGTCAAGTTCCCGGGCGGTCTGTGGGACGAGTTGCTGGGGAAGGGCTTCATGAGTGGCAGTGAGCGATGGATTGTGGGCGAAGACGCCAAGGGAGACATTACAATCATCATGTTTTAAGGGGAGGCTGACGGGAGAAGCATCTCTAAGTATTTTTTAGACTTGATAGATATGTACATAATGAGCGGCGGTAGCGCAAGGGAATGAGAGGGCATCACAAATAAAATGGATTTGATGATAGGAATCGCTGCTTGAGCTATCCCACATGACATCGGATGGGCAGTCCATCCCGTGTTGAGACGGCGATATTACCGTCCGTTCCCCGTTCTATCCGCCACTTGTTGTTCCTTCTTCCTCTTTGTTCTTCCTCTGATTCTTCCTCCTTATCCTTTGTCTTTGTCTTTCCCATTGCTCTACTGGGGCTCGTTGCCCCCTTCTTTCTTCACCAAGACCAGCCCAGGCTGAGGTGGGCAAAGAATTTCGGTATATCAAAACTCCGTGCTCCCGGATATACAAACTCGGCGATGTCGCCATTAAGGGTCCCTCCCCTACGACGCCATAGCTAATTCTCCAAACAGAGTAAGTGCGTGGGCACGGGCTGGTCGTCTTCAAGCTCATTATTGTCCGTGGGCCTACTCTGTCGGGAGTTGCATGAATCCGTCATAATACTCATCAAGCCATCGAGCTGCCTCAACACCGGAGTCATCGACACTTGAGTCCCATCTTCCGATGGAACCAACATAGCCGTCTGGGCGAACGTTGACGATGGCGACTTCACCAGGTCCAAGGCTGCCGAGCCACTTGTTGGTACACAACGACCCGCGAGTGTCTTGATCCGGAATGTCGTCAAGGTAAAACGTCCAGCGACTATCTTGCAGGATCATTGGGAGATCCGAAAGCTCAATTTCCGTCTTGGGCATGGTAGCTGAGTGGTAGTTAGTACACAGATGTCCTGCCAAGTACGAAATTACGGCAGGGGACTTACTAATTAGAGCGAAGGTGAACAGGTGGCTGACGGCAGTGTACCTCTCCGGGCGGAGATAGACGTCTTCGGGGTCTACTTCCCTCGGCTGGTTTGCATAGGAAGTGCTTGCAGCGGCTGATAGTTGGCTGATGAAGGAGTTGCTGGAAGCGATAGCCTGGCAGAAGGTCTCCAAGAAGGGGCCAGACTGCTGGACATCCCACATGAGGAGGTAGATGCGGAACTGGCCCAGCATGGGAATGTCCAGCTGGATATCAACAGGGTTTGAGTCGAGGTATCGAGTAACCTTGGCGGGAGGGAGTAGGCAACCAGGCTTGGCGTCGCCCATGACAAACTGAGCAGAGCCTAAAGCAGCACGGTTGATGACGTTCTCTCCATATTCTGCACCGATTCCGGAGATGAAGCGCACATTGGTGCGGAAGTTCTCAGCCAGGGCGATGGCATCACCACCAGCAATCTGGTTGGCATGCTCGTAGTCAAAGTTGACCAGGTCCAGGGCAATCTTGCGTCGTTCCTCCTCGTAGCTCTCGAGCAGGATAGGCTTGCCCAATCCTCGAACAGCCAGGTTCAGCTTCCACGACAGGTTCCATGAGTCGTGCATTGAGGTGTTCATGCCCTGAGACGACTTTGGAGAGTGGGTGTGACTGGCGTCTCCAGCAAGGAACGCCCGGAGGTGGCTGTCGGCGAAACGGCTGGCGACTCTCTGGCCAACCTGGTATCTGCCGAACCACTCAATGTACTTCCAGTCCAGCTCGAAGGGGGCCATGATCTGCTTGGCCCGCCTCATGATGAATTCCTGACCAAGCTCGCGGCGATCGGTCTTGGCGCCGGCCTTGAGCTCGATGTAGAAACGGGTCATGTTTCTCTCTCGGGGAACGATCAGGATCGAACCGTGCTCCTGAGAGAAGACGAGGGTCTTGGACCAGATATCAGGGAAGTTGGTAATCAACTCGCCGTCAAGAACACCCCAAATAGCGGCCTGCGACATGCCAATAGCCTTGGCATCTGGGATGCTCTTGCGAACCTTTGAGTGCGCACCGTCACCTGTCATGATTGTTAGTCACGCGGACTCTAGACGCGCGGGGCAGAAGGTAAGAGCATTGGGTAGTACTCACATCCAATGAGGTATTGCGCGAGGACTGATCGCTTGTCCTGATTGACATTGGTGCGGCAGTTGACCTGGAGAGGGCCTTGTTTGCTGTCGGGGACGCTGTACGACTCAAAGGCCATGTTTCTGCGGACCTCCTTATTACGCTTCTTCATATCATCGATGAAGAGGCCTTCGACCATGCCCTGGTGGACCAGGAGCAGGTAAGGGTCGAGGACATCGATAATAGGTGGGTAGTGGACTTCGCGGCCAAGTCTATGCAGTGATTCGTCGGCTGTGCTGCGCCAAAAGGCAATGTCGAAGACTCGGACACCTCGCCTTAATAGCGGCTCAGCTAGTCGCATCTGTCTAAATGTCTCGATCGTCTTGGGTTGCAGACCGTCGGCTCTGTACACACATAAAGGTCAATTGGGGTTGTTCATGGGACCAGCGGAGTGGACTGAGGGAAGCAGGACGGTTTTACCTTCCCGCGCTGGTTTGGTCTGCCCGGTCATCCAGGACCTCGACATTGATTCCGTATCTGATCAGGTTGGCGGCCAGCATCAGGCCGGCGGGACCAGCGCCGACAATGCAGACCTGGCATTCTAGAGGTGGTTCTGGCTGGTTTCGAAGAAGGGCGAGGGGGTCGAAGATGTCGGGCCAGCCCTCTCGGCGGTCGCGGCTGTTGGAGTCGTCCATTGATTCGTCGGATTTAACGATGCCTGGCACCATGACGGGTTTCGAGGTAGCGGGGGATTCGCAGGACCATGGACGACCTCAGAATCCGGGGAGGTGGGATAGAGGGTCGTCCTTGGAGTGACGAGGAGTGGTGGGACGAGGGGGGGCGATCGGAAATATGGAGGGGGGGGCGAAGGTGAGGGCGAGGATGACGAGAGACTGCGTATGGCTTGCTTGCGTAAGGCGTGGAGAGTGTCGCAAAAAAAGGCGACAATAGGTGAAGCGAGGTGAGGAGAGGTGGTGAGGCGAGGTGAGGTGAGGTGAGGTGAGGTGAGGTGAGGTGATTGCGCCCAAGATGGTCCGTCCACGCGGTCAAGAAGTGCCGTAGCGTATCAGTGGGCGATTTGTCCAAGGTCCCGCAGCAGCAGTGGACGTAGGGGTCCGGTCTCGGTTGAAGGTATCAGATATCAGCAAGACGACCGCGGTAGGGCCGACTTTGCGTAGAGTGTGTTTTTGGTTGATTGTGTCTTTTCTGAATTGGATCGACGGCGAAGACGACGGGCGGGCGGCTCGCTGGCGGTTGGGACCAGGCGGTTGAGACAGGTCGACTGACAGTGGCAGGGCGACACGACGGATCGGTGGAGGAGGCGGCGGACGGGGCGAGCCGCGGGGCTGCGACAAGGCGACGCGGGCGTGCGGGCGGTCGAGTAACAGGCGGCGGACGGGCGGACGCAGGCGCGACGACGGGGAGAAGAGGGACCGGAGAAGAAAGAGAGGGAAAGGGAGGGCCAGGCGTGAAGCTATTCCGACGTCAACGGCAGATATAGCGAACGGGTGGACAGGGACTCCAACGAGCCTGTGAACCAGTGAGCCGGAGGTCGGGGGGGCAAGGAAGCAGCGACCAGGGCCACGAGGGCTTCGGGCAGGTCACCTCGAAAAAATGGCATGACATGTTGTCGGCCAGCAGGCGGAGGCGGGTCGGGACAGGCGCCGCAGACCTGATGAGGAGACAAAAATGGGCTGATTTCGCGGGAGATTTTGCTGGCCCTGCCACACCCTGCGTCCGGCTCCGCTGACGGCTTCGTGTCTTGATTGGCTGGAGTCGGCATCGTGGTCCCTGTCGTTGGGTCGACCCCAGAACGAGACTGAACGAGACGCCGCCCAGGGAGGGTTTAAAAAAAAAAAAGATGACACACACGTTAAAAAAAGAGGGAGACGGAGTGAGTGAGAAGGAGAAGGAGGAAGAGACGGGGTTGACAAAGGATATCACGGGGAGGAGAGGCTTCCCTGTAACCTACCTACCTACCTATGGAGCAGTGTTGGTTTAGCGTTGCGCATATAGAAACCAAGACTGACTCCCTACCAACCTAAACATCGACACCAACAGCCCTGGGCGACGCAACAACTTGGGATTGGCGTGGTGCGCTGATGGGAAACTCACACTCCGGTACGTACCCGTGATGGGCAGTTAAACGTCCCTGGTAGGTAGCTAAGGACTACCTACCTATGTACTACGTAGTAGGTTGCTGCCCAGGGTTGCACCATGGTGGTCCCTTGCTCGCAGAGTTCCTCTTGTCAGAACGCCCAACAAGGACCCTTCCCAGTCATGCCCCTCCATCCTCCATACAGGACCGACAGTTAACTGCAATGCCATGTTTCTGTCTACCTTGCATATCACGTACTGTACCTTACACGCACATGGTTATAAGCATGGGACGTTGAGATGGGATGGATCCGCATCCCATCTCTCAGGTCGTTCCCCGGCCGTTCCCATGGGTTGGTGGGAGACAACAGGAGGGTCCCCAGCAGGACGGTGCGGGCGTGGGGGAACTCGAGCCGCCGTGCGTGGGTCTCCAACTCTGGCAGTTGCGCCTAAAGCTGTCTGGAAGCTGGGGGATGCCGGCTTTCTCTCAGCCTACGTGTTCGGTGTATCGTGTCTCGTTTCGGGGGAGACGACGGCCAAGGCCCAGTATCACAGCACAACTGTTCCCACACGTAAACTCCCTGATAACCATGGCTATTTTTGTCAACGTCCAGGTTACAAAGGAGAGCCAAGTAAGCAACAAGGCAAGCAGGCAAGCAAGTAAACCAACCGAAAATGTACACCTACACACATGCCACATGCCTCTCATACGCATTGAGTAACATAACCCTGCTATCAAACGGCAGAGACTAGGTACTGTAGGTACGTGGGAACGAACCCCCGGCACAGCGGCTACGGCTCAATCCGTTCCCTTTGCTTCCATCCTTCCACCTCTGCTTCCACCCCCGTCCCCAGTCGCTCAAAGTACCTAATCAGTTAGTTCCGTCCAGCTGCAGATGCGTGCGTGCGTGCGTTGCGTGCGGCCTCTTTTTCCTTTTTTTCTGTACCCTACAGCCATGCGTCGAAAAAGCTGACTTTGACCGACCCTGCCGCCTGCGGACAGGAAAATGGGACCCCCCCCCCCTTCCCCCCAGTCCCCTTCGCCACATGCAGCGAACGATGATCATCTCATGATGGTCCGGCGAGCTGGGTCCCTGCCGAACGCGTGCCTCCCTTGCCGCCTTGCCGCCTGGCTGTTGGTCTACTTGCGCTACTGCGCCTCTCGTACTCACTCTACCGCTCCATAAGTAAGGTACTCCGTACTCCATGTTCTCTCCGGTACCTCTACCGGGCATCCCAACCCATTCTAACGAAACATGTGCCTACCATTCCCTTCCGCAGTAGTGATTACTCGATCCATTCAACGGCTTGGCCATGCAGACGCGGAGATAGGGATAGGGGCGGCTCCGTCTCGGACTGGCGGGCTTGAGTTTGATCCATACCTATCCAGGCCCTCTTCGATTCCTATCCCGTCCACCTGTGGTAGGAGAGTCACTGGTGATTCCCAGCCGCACACTAACTACACACACCTCACACACATTGTCGCAACACCCCGAGACCGAGTCCAAGCGAGTCCAACACCACCCAAAACACGCCCAAACAAGACCGACAGCCCAGATACCGACGTTGCACCAACGGTTTGTCCCGCACGCCTGGCATTGACTGACACGGGCCCCTCCGCCAACAAACGGTTTCGCATGGGCCACCAACAGAATTCCCCCATTCGCCTTCACGTTTACCGTCTCTCCACACAAAGCGGTCCATGCTCTCCGTCTGTCTCCATCTGTGCTCCATTCCCCATCCTCTTCCTTGCAACATCAGCCCTCACTCGCCCACTCACTCACACTCTCACTCACACACTCACACACTCACATACTCACACACTGACACACACTCGCCTATCCCCCCCCTTCCAAGGCCCCGCCCCGTGGTCCCCTCTCCGCTGCCCCACCCCCGGGGGGACCCAGGCTCCCGTTTCTAAATTCCAAATTCCTACTACTCACCGCGCTGCCATCACACGGATTCATCGATTCATGGCGCCTGGGTAACCTGGCAAAACGTAAGTTGTCAAAAACTCTGCATTGGGTGTGGTAGCACCATCATCAGATTGCTCCCTGATCGTTTCCTCTGTCGGCTAAAAAGACTTTCTCTTTCATTTTGTTCCTTCCTGTTCCTTCCATCGAGATACACGTACACCGGCGTCTAGACACACTTGTCGTACGGTCCCTACCTGGAGATCACGCAACCCATGGCCATCCAATCCCAATCCCGATCCGAATCCCAATTCCTCATCCTCTTCCCTCGCTCGTCCACTCACCAATACACACGCACGCACCCTGATCCCCTGCCTGCCTCCATGCCTCCATGCCTCCATGCCTCCATGCCTCCCTCCATGCCTCCAACCAGCCAACCAGTAGCTATTTGCAAACCACCCAATAGAACATGCCGAGGTACTCTACATGCCTACACCTGAATAGTACATCCAGTTTCCTCTCTTCCTCCCTCATCCCTCCCGGCATATGCTCCACACACCGTTCCCACCGCACCTACGACAGCTCGTTATTTCCAAGCAACAACCGCCGCATCATCATCCCATAGGTAGCTTATTCACGATTAATCAGACTCTACTCGTCCGAGACCAACACCGTACTCTCGCTCGTGTCAATATGGCCCCTCTTAGCACCTTGAGCATCCTCGCAGTAAGATGCATCCACATCCTCAATCACCTGCCGACCCCTGAAGTTTGTCATGGCCACTTCTGCCTTGGCCCTCAGACGGATCGAATACCAGTCCGGCATGGCCCGGAGAGCTGTCAGGATCGTTCCGGTCCCCGGGAGCACCACCTGCCCGCTTCGTCCACTCAGGACCTGCTTGACCACAGCATCGGCCACCGATTCGGGCTCCAGTTGGGGCATCAAGAACCCGGTCTGTTGGTCGTAGCCGGCGAAGAGCGCCGTCCTGGTGTGACCCGGATGCACTACGACCGTGCGGACCTTGGGAGCCTTGTATCGAGTCGTCAACTCGGCAGACAATCCTTCGTGAAAGGCCAGGGCACCCGCCTTAGACGCCCCGTAGTCGACCATGTTAGGAATTGTCAGCCACGCCGCATAGGATGAAACCGTGACAATCATCCCGTGGTTATTAGTAACCATGTTGGGGAGGAACGTCTTGGCTGTCCAGTAAGGTGCCAGCGTGTTGACATCAAAGGTGAATCGGATATCACTCGGTTGAGCCTCCAGGACCGTCTTACCCCGGGCAACTCCGGCGTTATTGATGACTACGGTCGGGTGTCCGACTTGACTTCTGATCCTTTCCGCCACCTCTTCCAACTTCTCGGGTGATCGAATATCGCACTCGAAATGGTGTACTTTGGACGCTGTTGACACAGAAATTAGCATTGGTCCCGTCGGTCAGCACGTCGACGCCCGGCCCGGTGGGGCTGCTCCGGGTGCTCCGTGCAGAAGAAGGCCGCAGCCACATACAGACGGTAAAGGACATGGGTTGAATATCGAGCACTACCACAGTTACGCCATGCTCCTCCAGCAACTTCACGATTTGCCCTCCGATACCTCCGGCGCCGCCCGTCACCAAGACAATCTCCTTGGACCAGTCATACACGTCACTGACCCAGTTGTTGCGAACCTTCTCCGACACCCAGCCGTTGAGCCACCGGGCGATTGACAGCCAGAAGAGCGTCTTGAGACGGCGAGTCGCCGAGGGGTGGAGGATTGAGAGGTTTTCACCCTTCTTGGTGAAGCGAGCGAGGAGAACGAGGGGGAGCAGGAAGGCCGGGTTCAAGGCAGTCTGGCGGATGAGTCGGACGAGAACATCGGCGCAGAAGCCCTCGCGTGGGATAAGGCCCTGGTGCATCGGCATGCTGGCAATTGACCTGCGGCAGTCTGTGCTATAGTTGACTGTGCTGGGAATTCGTGTAAGTGATGTCGCAAAAAATCAAGGAGAGGGAAGCTAATGTGGGCTGCTATCAGACTCGTTGATTGACCGGTGGTGATGTCGCAACGACGCTTCACCAACACGAACGCGGGGGGCTGCTCTTGTTTTAGGAGCGCACCGAGCCTCGACAGCTATGCCCAGAGCTCCCATTGCCGACGAAGCAATACTCCATGTGCTGTGACTGGCAGCGCGCTGCTGCCGAGGTCCTGTCGCATCCCATCTCCCCTGCGGTTGGTGCGGGGGTGGTAGAATCCGGGGTAGGCAAGCTCTTCGTCACCGAGTCGAAGGGGGGAAGCTTCATTCGGCACACCACCACAACGCTCAAGTAGGTAATTACTACCTCGCCTAGCCTCCCTCGGGCGGCCAGAGACCCCGCTCCGGTGCTCATGTCCGGGGCTCCGGGGAATTTAGCGAAACGTTGCGGAGGGGCGCGGACCGACGCGGGCTGTGACAGGTTGGCGTTGGAGACGATGTGGTGGCCTCCATTGGTTAGCGGCCCTTGTCGGGTGTGGATTGGGCCAGCTAAAGTCGCATGCTGACCAAAAGGGACACGTTGAAATGCGATGGGCGGGCGATGTCGAATTGATGTGCCGAATTTAGGTTGTTGATACATATATAGCTTGCTACTATATGCTATGTGCTGCTGCAGACTGCAGTTGAGACAAACCCCGCATTTATACAGATGGTGGCTTGCAGGATAACCGAGTGGCAGGTCGATGCTATTGCAGACTGGCCCAAGCGGGTCCAAAATAGGTAGATAATAAAGCAGGATGCTGAGACCACAACAAATCTGATTAAAAAATAACGACTTGGATTTCATGAATTCAATCATCCAAGAACGAAGGTTATTCACTAAATGGCAACGAGAAGTGCACTAATCAACACCGCCGCATACACGCCAACCCCCGGATTCATGAGGGAAACTGCACCTCCCAAGCCCACGCCCTCCGTCTCCGTCGCTGTCGCCGTCGCTGTCCCTGGTTCTGTCAACGTCCCTATCTCCGGCAATGCCACTGTTTCCGTCGACGTCCCAGTTTCCGTCGACGTCCCAGTTTCCGTTGACGTACCTGTTTCCATCGACGTTCCTGTCTCCTTCGACGTCACTGTCGCAGTCTCTATCTCCGTCTCCGTCGGCGTCTCCACCTCAGTCGCATCGCCAGGCGCAAAAAGTACACCTACTTTGTTCGCCGTCTCCGCGTCAATCTCTTCATACGACAGCAGCTCGTTCGTCAGCGAATCGCATGTCGGTCGGTCGTCTTTCTCCTCGATGCTGTTGGTCACAGCGATCGGCACATCGAAGATGGTGTAGTGGTCCTCCCCGTTCAGCCGAAAGTTCTGCCGGATCGAGATCTTGATGAGGGGAAAGTCAGCCTCTTCTCCTCTTCTCGTATGTGTTTCTATATCATTGGATCCGTTCGTCCTTACATTGTATGTGCCCCTGTCGCTGTTGTCGCCGTCGGGGACGCCATTGCCCACTAGGCAATCCGGCCACACCCAGTTGATGTGCTTGACCGTGCTGCCCGGTTCCTGAGTCATGATCTCACCGAGACTGGCATTGTTGGCGCTGGCGGTGCCGTTGGAGATGGTGAAGTTGCGACCCGTGGTGTAGCTGTAGAGGAACATTGTGACGTTGAATATCTGGCTGGGGTCATTCTCGCCGTGGGGCGGCAGGGCCAGCTTGCCGTTGGCAGTCACATCTATAGCTACATGCAGAGTGTCTTTGAAATGGTCAGCCGTCACTTCACGGCCAGTGTTGCGGCGGCGGGACGAGACTTACCCCCTCCCAGGGGAGTATTGGGCTGAGGAGCGTCGAGAACGACGAAGCCGGGTGTGAAGATCTGGCCATTGGAGATTGTGAAGCTCTGGGCGAGCGTTTGCTGAACCAGCAGCAACGCCGTTACGAGCCCGCGTATCGATGCCATAGTTTAACACAAAGGGCGCGCAACGAGAGTCGAAGGACAGAAAACCACCAAAGGCAGACACCGGACTAGAAGTTGGCACAATGCCATCCTCCTACGTAGATAAAACCGGATACCGGAAATCACGACCTGAGTTTACTGAGAGGGTGGTCACACCCCTGGGCAGAGGGATTTCTGGGCAGTGGACGCAACCGAGATGAGACGGAGTTTCGGGCAGAGAGGACTAAATGACTACACCAGCTTGGCATTTAAAGAATGAGAACTGCTTCGCATTTGATTCTATAAATCGAGTTGAGTGCAATCATTAACGCAAAGATGATGGAGTACTCAAACTTGGTTGACGAAGTAAAGGCAATGGTTATGGTTACTCCACCCGGGATAGACCTTGGAGGTGTCATGGAGCGATGAGACGTTGGTTTAGCCGAACCAAGATGAGACGAGACGAACGCGCAGGCTTGACACACGCACAGGCACACACAAAAGACATGGCTGCAGGCAGGGATCTACTGCGTAGTATCTGGTGGCGGAATCTTTTTTGGACTCAACCGGTTCACGGCTTCTCTTCCTCGTGCGAACAGGTGAGTGACGCACGCAGGGTCTCGGGCATAAGAGGCCGCAGGGTGCTGTAGTTCGGCGCAGTGGACAATTAAGGTGTGCAGCGTGAGAGAAGTGTGGTGGGCTCCTGTGGGCTCCTCCTGTGGGCTCCTCCTGTGGGCTTGGTGGGTTGGGTTTGAGATGCATCGATCGGTTGTGGCGGCAGCGACTCCACCTCGCCAATGCACCTGGAAGCCGCCCGGGCTCAGTGGCCGAGAACAGTGGAACAGTGGAGCGCACCGCCTGTGGCCCTTCCGTTAGCCCCCCGTGGGCCCCCCCGTAGGCCCCGCTGCTCCAGGCCCTGCGCCAGAGGGCCCACGCCTTGCGCAAGAGGGGAACTTTGGAAGCTTGGATGAACAGGTTTCCGCTTTTTCGACGGCGCCCTCCGACGACCGAGAGAGCCGCCGGTTCCAGCCTAGCCTCAGTTAGGACCGAAGCCCGTCACCTTGCGTCGGAGACATCAAACGGTCCTGCGAGCTGCGAGCATCGGTGTGGGAATCTAAGACGATCTAGAAATCCGGCCTTCTGCCTTTTGCTGGGTACACGTTCCGGACTTTACGGACCGCAGCCTAGACCGCCCGCCGAATTTCCCGTCCCCGAATTGGTCCCGTCACCCCAGGGGCCCGGCGACCTGGTTGACTTCGTTTTCTGCTGACCACGCGATATCCAACCCGCCAGAACACCCCAAGCCAGGTCATCCTTACACCGTCCCGTCAGCCGCGTACGCCTGTCACACCTGTCACTTCCCACTGTGACCATGATGCCATCGTACCGGCTCTCGAGCCTCGTCGCTCGCCGCGGGCCTAGCCTCTTCCGCTGCTCGAGCGCCGTCACTCGGACCGCGTCTCCTCAGCGCCGGCTGTTGAGTGCCTCGGCGTCGTCGTCTCTGGCCGGTATCCGGGACCTGCTCAAGGTCTCGGACGAGGTGGCTCACGCCGTCGCTAACAACAAGCCCGTTGTGGCCCTCGAGTCGACCATTTACACTCATGGCGCTCTGGGCAACGACCTGGCACGTGAGCACTCTGATCTGGTCCGGAACCACGGTGGCGTCCCCGCCATCATTGCCATTGTCGATGGCGTGCCCAAGGTTGGCGCGACGACAGAGGAGATTGTTCGTATGATTGAAAGCGGAAATGCTGCCAAAGCATCTAGGAGGGATATCGCGTACCTCGTGGGAATGGTAAGTGAGATTTGTTTCCAGCATGACATGTATGCCTGTTGGAACCGTGAATACAACATGATTGGTTGTTAACTTGATTTGCCTTTGATGGGGATTGGTTAGCTATTTCTATTTTAATCCGTGAAGCTGACTTGCGATATTATTCAGGGTCTGGCTGGACACAAGATGCATGGTGGCACAACCATTTCAGGCACCATGTTGCTGGCAAGACTAGCGGGCATCCGAGTGTTTGGCACCGGTGGCCTCGGTGGTGTTCACCGCGGAGGAGAAGACTCCATGGACGTCTCGGCGGATCTCACTGAGCTGGGACGCACCCGGGTCGCCGTCATCAGTAGTGGATGCAAGGGATTCCTTGATATCCCGCGTACTCTCGAATTCCTTGAGACCCAAGGTTGCCATGTATCGACATTTGCGGATGGAAGGACTGGCAAAGTTGACTTCCCTGCCTTCTGGGCGCGGGATAGTGGCGTCAAGAGCCCTTCCGTTGTCAACACCGAGAAGGAGGCCGCAGCCATCATTCTGGCCCAGGAGAGGCTCGGTATCGAGTCTGGCTTGCTCTTTGCAAACCCAATTCCAGAGGAATTTGGAATTCCTGCCCTCGAGATGCAGGCTGCCATTGAGTTGGCTGTGAACGAGGCCAATGAGAAGGGCTTCACTGGCAGCGCCAACACTCCCTACATCCTGAATCGGCTGAAGCAGATCACGGGAGACAAGGCAGTCGTTGCAAACAAGGCCCTGGTCACGGCAAACATCACCCGGGCCACTAACATCGCTGTCGAGTTGTCGCGATTGCTGTCGTCCGACTCGGAGGAGGTGACGATTTCGTAAGTGCGATGGCGACTGGTCCGGAGGTAAATCTAATTGTAGCTATAGCAATCCATACCCTGTTTTGCCCAATAAGGACGCTTCCAGCCAACCAAAGAAGGCCGATGCTGCCCCCGAGACCCAGAGCAAGGCGGACATTCTTGTTGCCGGATCCGTAGCGATTGACCTGAGCTGTGACTATTCCGCCCCCAAGTCTGGTGAAGTTTCACCTGCGCTCCATACCTCAAACCCGTCGTGCATCAGCCAGTCGATTGGCGGAGTCGGTCACAATGTTGCCCTCGCTGCCCACTTGGTCAGCCAGCAGGCTCGTGTCAGGCTGTGTAGCATGGTCGGTGATGACGTGTAAGTGCCACCAGCCGGACAATGAATGGATGGTCGACCTAACAACGAGTTACAGAGCCGGCTCGACAGTCCTCAACGGACTAAAGGCTGTGGGACTAGACACGACCTACATCCGACAGCTAGGCCACGAATACCACACCGCGAATCGCACCGCTCAATACGTTGCCGTCAATGACGCAAACAAGAACCTTGTCATGGCCATGGCTGACATGGGGATATTCTCCCACCACTCATTCCCAGAGTACTGGAAGTCTGCCGTATCAGGAACCAAGCCCGAGTGGCTTGTCGTGGATGGCAACTGGAGTGAGAGAGATATTCGGGCATGGTTGAAGGCAGGCCAAGATCACGATTGCAAGGTCGCATTCGAGCCCGTATCAACGGCGAAGTCGATGAACCTGTTCTGTCCCCAAAAGGGTCATCCCCGCCTGCGGGTCTTCCCAGAGCCCACCGTTGACATTGCTTCGCCAAACAGCTACGAGCTAGCCGCCATGTACTCTGCAGCGAGCGAAAATGGGTATTTCGAAGACCCGGAGTGGTTCGACGTCATCGATGCCTTCAATATCAGGGCGGGCGCCAGAGACCGCTTCGTCAAGCTCACCTCTGCGGAGCTGACTGATGCCGGTGTGCCTGTGCAGTCCATGCAATTGCTGCCCTACATCCCTACCATTGTCACGAAGCTTGGCTCCCAGGGCGTTCTCCTGACCACTGTCCTCGGCCGTGATGACCCTCGCCTCAAGGATCGAGATGCCGAGGAGTTCATCCTTACGCGATCCCCGAGTGACCACCCAACTGTGGGCGGTGTGTATATGAGGCTCTTCCCCTCCGCAGAGAAGGTCGATAATGTGGTCTCTGTCAATGGAGTTGGCGACACCTTCTTTGGTGTCCTGATTTCGGGTTTAGCGCAAGGCGGCAAGGTAGAGAACTTGATCGATGTGGCGCAGAAGGGTGCCGTGCTCACACTCAAGTCTCATCAGGCTGTAAGCCCTGATTTAAATAGACTTGAGAAGGAATTGGGCGCTGCCGCTGCTTTGTAATGAATTAGTAAAGAGATAGACACCCAATGGCAACCATCTGGTTAGAACATTTCCAGGGTTAGGGTTATCAGCCTTCCCACCAGTACTACCTGTGATTGGCCAGGACCCCACCACCCCACTGATCGCGAGGGCCTATCGCAATCGTTCACCCATGCAAGGCTGCGGTGACCCTCCAAAAAAATTCCCAACGACGTAAATTTCACCCAGAAACTCTTCAGATCTCCGCCCGCAGCGACACGAACAAAAATGGCACCGCCACAGGACGAAGACATGTCCGACCGATCCTCCTCGGAGGCTGAGTCCTCTGATTCCGAGGACTACAATCCCAAGAGCAAGCCGACCATCGCTCTGTACGACAAGGATTCTGACGAGGAAGAACTCGAGCGGCTGGTCCTGGGCAACAAGGCAAGCTTCCGGGCGCAATTGTTCAAGGACGACGGACTCTTCGACAGCAGCCGAGGCCCCGAAGGCACGGAGCTCCAGCTGGCCGAGCAAGACACCGCTGGACTGGAGGATATTGAAGATGCAGACCTCTTCATGTTCGACACCAGCGCCGGTGCTGCTGGTGCCGCTGCCCAGATTGCGAAGACGGCAAAGACGCAGGATGGAGATGCTCCCGCCTGGGAGGACAGCGACGACGACAGGCTGGCAATCTCTCTCGCCGGCGTCACCAGGCTACGAAAACTAAGGATTACCGAGGCGGAGGATCTGGTCAGCGGCACAGAGTACAGCAGGAGACTGCGCAAGCAGTATCTCCAGCTGAACCCCCTACCGACGTGGGCGCGAGATGCAGAGGGTCGCCCAAGCAAGAGGCGGCGACGGTCTTCTGCGGCGTCGGATTCTTCGGACGGCGCTGGCAGCGACTCGGACTCTGACATCTCCGCGCAACCCCTCGAGAAGTTCCTCCGCGATGTCAACCGACTGGCCGGTGCGGGATCGACGACGCAGCGACGACTACGACCCGAGGTCATTGATATCCAGCGAACAAGAGAAATCCCAGACAAGCACAAGGCTCCAGTCACGACCCTGTCCTTCCACCCCGAATACCCCGTCCTCCTCTCCTCGAGCACCGCCTCAATCCTGTACCTCCACCACATCGCGCCGGCCGCGCACCCTACGCCTAATCCCCAGTTGACGTCCGTCCAAGTTAAGCAGGTCGATGTTCGAAGGGCAGAATTCATGTACCCCAAGGGTGACAAGATCTTCTTTGCCGGACGCCGAAAGTACTTCCACCATTGGGATCTCCAGTCAGGAACGGTGCAGAAGACGACGCAGATTCTTGGCCACCGTCTCGAGCACAAGACCATGGAGCGGTTCAAGTTGAGCCCCTGTGGACGATACATGGCCATTGTTGCCTCCACCAAGAAGGGCGGCGGTATCATCAACGTGTTGAACACCAGCTCGATGCAGTGGATTGCGGCCGCAAGACTCTCGAGCCGAAACGGCATCGCGGACTTTGCGTGGTGGAGCACGGGAGATGGAATGACGATCCTGGGCAAGGATGGCCAGGTGGGCGAGTACAGCATGGAGAGCCGCTCGTTTATCGGAGTCTGGCACGACGAGGGCTGCGTCGGTGGCATTGTCCTGGCCCTTGGCGGCCACCAAGGCCCCAGCACTCTGGGCGACGACCGCTGGGTCGCTATCGGCTCCAACAGCGGCATCACCAACATCTACGACCGCAACGAACTCATCGAGCCCAAGAACGACGAATTGGTCATCAAGGAGCGCCCCACGCCAGCGCGTGTGTTTGAGCAGCTCGTCACGCCCATCACGCACATTACCTTCTCACCGGATGGCCAGCTCATGGCCTTCGGCAGCCAGCACAAGAAGGATGCGCTACGACTCGTCCATCTGCCCACATGCACCGTGTACCGCAACTGGCCCACGGAGCAGACGCCGTTGGGCAGGATCTCGGCGGTGGCATTTGGGCGGCAGAGCGATTTGTTGGCGGTGGGCAATGATACAGGCAAGATTCGACTGTGGGAGATTAGGAATTAGGTATTGCAATGAGAACGAGAACGGTTTATGGGCAGCTGCGCGTCTCTGAGTCTCGGCTTCCAAGCACATATTCTTTTTACACGTTGTATCCGCTTCCCCTATTTTCTCTCTTTGATGGTATCTTGAAGCTTGCTGGGCCAATCGCTCTTGGAGAGTTTGGCGCCGTGAAGGACGCCTTGGTCTTGATTTGTTGCTGTTTGGAGTGGGAGTATGGGAACCAAATGATGTTGATTTAGACAATAAAATTGGCTAGAGCAGAAAAATAATTACTATATGAAGAAGTGCAGTGTAAACCCAATTGAAATATGTTTCATGATTACATTTTGCCGGGATAGAGTTCCGGTGTGCCAACCGCAAGCTCTAGCTTCCAAACCCTCGACCTTCAAACTCCCCATCTATCCCCATCTAGTTAATTGCTCTCCAAGTTAGAAGCCTTGCATCCAACATACTCATGGCTGTCGGAATCCGCCTGTCGAGGGGCCTGGAGTTCCTCATATAGTCCACAATTCTAAAAGGTTCCCTCAGACCGAGCGGTCGTTCCAGACCCAATGGCTCCGATACTTCATAGAACTCCCGATTCCCACATCGAAAGCTATTGGCGTCTCCCTCTGTTCTGCGGGGGGGCATTGTACCATACGCTTGTTGAAGGTCTTCGGGGCTAATGAGAACATAGAAAACACGGAGTTGCTGGAATGCAACAGCGACGAGCACTTGAATCGATTTACTCTGTGGCCACGGACCGACCACAGCCCAGTCCCCGATTCTAGGCGACCAGGGTACACCAAGAAAACGAAGATGCAGCTTAGGATGTACATTCAGGATCACGGGAAGTTGTTGTTGGAGTGCAAGACTCCATCCGGGCGTCAGAAGAACAAGATCATGCTTCCCATCTATTTTAAGGGCTGGTAATGTCTTCCCCTTATCGAGGTCGAACGGCTCGGTAATCGTCCACTCTTTTCGCTCCGTCTTGGCTATCGATCGAGAGCGTCGACAGGCACGAAGCAAGGCATCCTCTTGGTTATCCGGGGGTGCCCGGTAATAGTTGACTTTATCTTCGATTGGAGACAAGAGGCGGGGGGGAGTTGTTTGCAGTTCCAGGGTGGCAAAGTGAGCCATTGGCTCGCGCTTGGCGGCCTGGATCCAAATAAGATCTTGGATCTCTTGTGGAAGTAATGGAAAGAGGGAGAATTGACTCGACATGATTGTGAACCGGGTTGTTGGATGAATCGGTCTATGGTAGGATCAGTCTAAGAAAGGATCGGTCTTAGGATGGATTGGTCTTGTTAGGTTGATGGATGATCAGAGTTGTGTGGGGACTGTCAGGGTTTGAAGAGGGGCACGATATTTATGGAAGCGGGGCCTGTTAGTGCCCCAGAATTGCTTGTGTTTGGTGGGCTGAATCGTATAGACCAGGGTTGTCTCGGTCACTTCCAATTCGGATGGCTTCCGTAGCTCAGTTGGTTAGAGCATCGTACTAATACTTCAATTGCCAGTGTTGGTGATGCGAGGGTCGCAGGTTCAAGCCCTGCCGGGAGCAATAGACTCTTGATGCCTTCCGAATTATTTTTTGGACTTTTTGCCTATTTTCTTTTTCTCGAAGCAGTCAACAGGATCCATTATTCACTACATAGATGAGGATGATAAGTGTAATTTGGTTATTTACAACGTCGTATCCTTACAGCGATGTTGGTCGTTGGTTGACCGCCAAGCCCAACCGAGGTCACTAACAAGGTCGTAGGAATACAGGCCTGCTTGAATGAAACCATACCTCTACACAGCCCCTTCCTACCGGCCTTTATCAAGCAGCCATGGAACTCGCCATCGACTCGGCCTCGTTTGTTCACTTCTCCTCCGGTAAACACGCAATACACAGCCAACATGTATGCATTCACGTGGAATACGATCCAGACGGCGCTCAAAACCCCAGTTCACCGGCCATTAGAAGGCGACGGCGACTTTCGGCTCATTCAACTTGTACCTGATGCGGCAAACTCCTCACAGGGTGGTTTTCGTGTCGCACTTCAACACTTTACCCTCAAAGATGCGCCTCCCTTTCATGTACTGTCCTACACCCGAGGTCCCTCGATCAATCGGTGGATTACCGCGGAGTGGGACAGAGTCATTGGCTGCTCGCATTTCAGCGACACAGACGCACCGAGTAATCCGAACGCTCAGTGCAAGCCGAGGGCTTCGAGAAAGCCAGAAGTTCAGAGTGAGCCAGAAGTTCAGAGTAAACTGGACGCTCAGACTAAAACAGATGCTCAAACCCAACCAAACGGATCTTCCGGAGAATCCTGGGCAGGCTCATTGGCAGGCTCATTAGCAAACCGCATCATATCGGCTTTTCCAACTAAAGTCGTGTCAAAGACGGACTTGGTGAGCATCAAGGTGAACGGCGGGCAGCTCAAGGTCCACCAGAGCGTTGTCGACTTTCTCCAGATGGCGTACCAACAGCAAAGGTACCGCCCACGAGACCTGATGCGCATCGACCCAGACAGCAAAGCAGACTCTAAGACGGAAGAAACGTACTTATGGGTTGATTCTATTTGCATCAATCTCGAAAATGCCGAAGAGCGTGACCGTCAGGTGACGCAACTAGGAAGCATCTACAAAACCGGGCTAAAGACAATTGTGTGGCTATCTGGTAACGAACCACCAGAAGGTGTGTCCCGGACTTTGGGAGAGTTCCTCCCAAAGTATTTGGGAGAAAGGGACGAAAAGGTCTTCGCCGCATTTTGGTGCAAGCTATTTGAGGACGATGGTGCAGAAAGCTCTCCGAGGGACGAAATTATACATCGTTGGGCCGAAGAAGAGCTGCTACATTTTTGCACATTTGTTGCGAGACATGAGTTCTTCTACCGTCATGGCTGGATTCAAGAAGTTCTACTCGCCCAGCACGTCGAGTTGGCATGCGGACGACGCTCCTGGGATTGGATGGCTCTGGAACGGTTCATCTTTGCATCTGCCCCGGCGGCGCGCCAGGTGCTCAACTATCACCTCACCAGGTCGACTAAGCTGTGGGTTACATTTCATCGAATGCTAGATGTCGTCGGGGGAATGGAAGCGTACGGGTGGATCCGGAGGTTGTGGGTGAGGGGCTCCGCTGAAGCTCGGCGATGGGAGGTTACAAGGCAGTTTGGCCCCTTGCGGGATAGTCAAGAGGAGATCTACTGCCAGATCGCCTATATCATGCGCATGCTGCGAGGCGCGAAGTTCGACGACAAAGAGGATGCCATTTACGGATGGCAAGCACTTACGAAACTGGCGCTGCCCGAGGGCAAAACATACGGCTCGCCTAGCTACACTCTGTCAACACACAAGGTATACGTCCAATTTACCAGAAGCCTGCTGAAGGGAATGTCCATCTTGGATGTCCTCAATGACGTGGGAGAGACGACTTGGCATGGCGTCTGGGCAGATATACCGTCGTGGGTGCCTGACTACTCTCGGCGGCCTATCGCTGTTCCTTTGTATCGCCGAGTTCGCGACAACAAAAGCGTAGACTTCGATGCAACACTGACTCGGACTCGGGCCGGTAAGGCAAAGAGAGTCGTCGAGTTTGAAGACAACTGTCTCGTGTTGTCTGGTATCCGACTTGATGTCATCCAGGAACGGGGCCCGGACTTCCCAAATCACATTCAGATATCTGGTGAGACAGAGATTGAGTGGTTCCTACAGAAAATCTTGGAATTGGGAGAGACATATGGACCCACGGGCCAGCCGACACAGGAGGCACTCTGCTTCACCATGGTGGCGGATTCATTCGTGCCGGATGGCCCACTGACATACGCAGAAGCATTCCGCGGGATGTGGGGACACTTGACCCTTCTAAGGATGCATAAATTGACCGAAGCAGGCCGCTTGGATCTGGCACAGTTGAAACTTAAATTATTTAAGTCCACAACGGGAGAGAGCTGGCTGTATCTGACGAAGGAGGATATGGCCCGGTCGAGAGTCGAGGGGCCAGGGCTAAGCGCGAGGAGGAGGTCGACGGCAGACATGGTTTATAGACTGTCTAAGACGCTGCCAGGCCGGGCACCGTATGTCACCCGAAAAGGGTATATGGGCCTGGGTCACCGGGACCTCAAAGCCGGGGAGGAAATCTGGCTTCTCGAGGGCGGCCGGACGCCGTTTATTCTGTGGCCGGGCCCGACGGGATACCGGCTGGTTGGCGAGACGTATGTGCACGGGTTCATGAGGGGCGAAGGATGGACGCCGGAGCAACGGGACCTGGAACAGGTGAGAATTGTGTGAGAACATGGACGGGGGGAAACTGCCGGTGGCATGGGGGATCATGAGACGTAGGACGTGGGATGGCATGGAGGGTCGGTATAAGTGGATTGGTGTAGGGTAGGGATTCCTCAAGTTGGTAGGCGATGGCCTACGGGGACGGACTTGAGGATGCGTTGCCGGAGAGAATCGGGTTGCGGATGAATGAGGTATGAGAGATATGTGAGGCATGATGGGACGGAATCACCAGGTAAGGACAGGGTAAGGATGGACTCGGAATATGTATGCAAGTCATTTAGCTGAGTCGATAGGACTGAGTCGGATTAGCCCTGCACACCCCAGTCGTTTGATCCACATGGACACGGAGTGCATCGTGCAGCGTGGGAGAGTAGAGGAACGGAAGAAAAAGAAAACTACGCGGCACATGTGAAATTATGATCCGACTTTTGTTGTTGTGTGAGCAACCGACAGAACACCGAGCGAGGGGCGAGTGAGGGTGAGATGGCCGCGATGGCCAGATGGTGACGTAAGGTTCGGGATCCCATTGCCAGCAACGCGCCAGACGAGAGTAAACGGACGAGAGTAAACGGGTTGGTTACCGGTGCGGCGGACAGACAGGCAAGCAGGCAGCAAAACTTCCCATGTGAAATTGCACCCGAGACCTCATCAGGCCAGTTGCGAGAAGTGTCCAACACGGGAGCATGGGAACATGGGAACATGCGACGAAACGATGGGCAGGAGATTGCGCAGCCGAGTCAATGGAGGCACGGCGAGGCGGGACGAGGCCAAAGAATGCGGCTTGCAGTTTGGTGCTGAGTTGGCTCTGTACGTGGCGCTCAATGGCAGGAAAGGACGATTGATTACGGATTCCATTGGGTTGTTGATATTGACGCCTTGTTGACTCTGGTGTGGTGTCTAACTGGGCAATGTCGTGTGAGCAGCTGGACACCTCTGTCCGGGCTGGAGGGTTGGTTACGGGGGGTGTTACGGGGGTTAACTTCCATACGGGGGGGTCAACTTACGGGGGGTGTTCCGGGGACCCTTGCTGGGTGGCCGGGTGTGGTGGCCGGTGGCCTCGGGGGGCGAGATCTTGGGTCTGCGGCCACCTCCAATCGAGGACGGGCCATTGCCGAGACCAGGCCTGCGGGGGGGACACCACCACGAGTCGAGGAGGAGCGCGTGAGAAACGCCCAGCGAACGGGAAAAAGGTAAAAGAAGGCGAGCCGACCAATTGGTTTACCCCGAGATATCCCAGATATCCCGCACTAGAGGAAACGGGTAAGACCAAATGCAAGAGGCTGGCTGGGTCCTCTGGAAGTAGAAGGCTGGGCGCTGATGGCTTGCGTAGGTAGTGGGATTGCGGGTTGCAGAAATGTGACTGATGACAAGACTTGGAAGCGTGGAAGAGGAGTGGAATAGTGGGAATGGTGGGATAGTGGAATAGGCTCCAGCAGTGGAGGTCCAGTGGAGGTCCAGTGGAGGCCACCATGCGGCGATCGTCCGTCCCAGTCTTGATCCAGCCAGGCTACTGTACAGCTACGGAGCAGCTGTAGGCCACTGGAACCTCCGACTGGAGCTGCCGGTCATTGCTGGAGGCTGGAGGCTCAGGCTATAGCAGGGGGTCCATCAGGCCCTAATCCCCTCTTAAACAGCACCACGTCTTTGAGGTGCCGAGCCCGTGCCGCGGCGGGAGAGGGGGCCTCAGTTTGTTAGCAGATAAGGGAAAAAGAAAGGATCAAGAAAATTTGCTCAGCGTTCCTCAGCGGGCGGGGGGCAAAAGACGAGAGACAGGGCGGGATGTTTGTTTCCAGAGTGATTTGCCCTTCAGCTGAAAGAATATGGAGGAAACCCCCCAAAAATGATGCGATGAAAAAAAAAAGGACCCCGGAGTTGAGAAGGGTCTCTCTCATCTCACCCGGGCGCCAGGGCTAGAGAGGGAGCTCGAGCCGGAGCCTGAGCTTATGCCCTGGGAAAAAGCCTGAAAAAAAGCCTGCCCGGACGTAAATCGGACCACGACGGAAATGGGGAGACGCCAGTTAGCGGGCGAGAGCGCTGAAAGTCTGAACGGTGCCGGGAACCCCACTGCGTTTTCCTGCACTTCACTCCGTTAGGTACACCGGCCGCTGGCGGGAAAACCTAACCTAACCTCCACACCCGTCCCGTAAAGCTGCATGAGTCCTGACTGCGACGGTACGACCCAATCCAGGCGGATTACCAACCCTTTTCTCCTGACGGCGGGTGTTGCGCTGGCCGGGCCGCTGGATTGGGCTTCTGGGATGACGTGCGTTGGAACCTTGCTGGAACCCGAAAAAAGGATCCATGGAAGTCGATGTCCAGCAGCGGCGTCCTGTATGGCTGTCGTGCAGTTGGTTGCGCACTCGGGTGGGCTACGAAGCTACTGCTCCGTACTTGTGGTACCTCTTTACGGGTCTCTGGTAATAGCCGCTGAGGGCCAAGCGCCTGGCTTGTGCACCCGACGACAGAAAAGGCTCCATCAGCCCACGCAACTCGACGCCTCCATAGCCACATACCTCGAGCAAACCCAATCCCGCCGTCATCTTTCATCTGGACCGGCCGTTACTGGGCTGCTGCTGCGCCGCCGGGAGACAATGAGGCGGAGGGGTGTGCGAGGGATAGCCCAGTGATTGGGTTGGCAGCATCGAGCATTGCAGCATCGAGCATCGTGACTCTGGACGTTCGAAACGAATTCGCTGTCCAGCATGGGCCCGGCCGCGTCGTGGCATGATGGCCAAGGGCAGCCCCGCCGGCGCGTCCCGGCGCGCATGATGACAGTCCACTTTGCGCCGCCTTCTGGGAAGCCCTTGGCTGGGCTGGGGCGGCGGGCTGGGGGTGACCTGAGAGAATCGGGACCCGGTACGAAGTCGAGAGGGACGACGACGAATTGGGAAACCCATGGCTTGGGACTTGGGGGACTTGGGACTTGGGAGCCTTGCCCTGGACGTCAACCAGGGGACAAACTACAGTACACCGGGGAACCCGCCCTTGGAGGGTTGGAGGTTGGAGGTTGGAGAGAGGATGATGGATTGGGCCACTGCATTTGGATTGCATATAGCTTTTTAAAGACCCGCCTCGCTCATGCGCCCGACCCTCTCCCACGTTCTCTCTCAACTTCCCGACTCTCGCAGTCGATCCCTTCTTACTTCCCATTCACCACTTACCGTTCACCCTTTCCCCATTACTCACCGAGGACCACTCTGTGCCTCTCTCTCTCTCTCTGCCCCCCTCTCCCCCCCCGCTCCAGACGATTGCATCAAGTGGTTCGCCTCATTGACCTGACTTATCGGAGACTACTGTGCGTGTACAGCAGTAGCTTGTAGCTTTGCAGCCGTAGCCGCAGAAAGTCACAGAGTTAGCAGCCGACGCCAACGCATCCAAGCAAGGACGCAAGCTGTCGTGCAAAGGCAACAAAGAGACCAAGAAAAAAAGTCACCCTACGACTCACAGGGAAAAGACGCACGAGATCGTCTCCATCGGCATTGGAACCTACGCGATTTTTCACCGACCGACCGCATTACTGAGACTCCGCTCTCCCGCCTCCCGCCGCCCGCGTTTTGCAATCGCCCGCTCCTCGTCCCCCGCCTCCGCCTAGACCATTCCGCCAGGTTCCTCCTGCTCCAAACCCTTGCTTGCTTTTCCCGTTCAATTTTTCCCTCCCTTTTCTTGTTTCTCGCAAACTCTTCGCTGGAACGCGAACCAGGCGAATCTCAAAAGGAAAAAAAAAAAAAAAAGAAGAAAACTCATCATCGGCCGGCTGGACGTGTCTGCGTACGACCGTCAGTCCTCACCCTCCCGCGCCAATTCGTCCCCAGGCCCTGTCCTCGATGGACCCGGCGTGTCGTTGAGGACTGGATCTTCGCTCTTTTCTCACTCCCCACCTCCCAATTGCCTTGGATATCCATTATCCATCACCCGGAATAACCCCCTCCCTCGCAAAGGAACAAAAACACCATTTACTGGTAAGAATTACTCAATATGCCGCTTCGACGGCCTAGCACCGCAGATGGCCAGTCGGCCTTATCATCGTCGCCTTCGTCGTCGCTCGGCACTAAGCGCCGCTTCCCGCTGCTCGGCCGCAAAAAGAACCGGAATTCGGAGCTGATCCGGCCCTCGACCGGCCTGTCGCTCTCGCTCTCGTCGTTCTCGTCGTCGTCCCCCAAGGTCAAGAAGCCCGGCCTGCGCGTCCACATCCAGGTCAAGTTCGAAGGACCTCACCCCTCCGACCACGTCCGTGACTACGAGGCTTCCTCGCAGCTTGTTGCCTCGGACCGCCTTTGCCAGGCGTTGCTTTCTCGCCTGCAGCACTGCTGTGCCGAGCTTATCACCCGCCACGATTGCTCCGCTCTGGACCCGCTGCGCAAGCCCCATCGCGATGTCAAGCCGTTGCGCTATCGTATCACGTACCGCGTCGAGCGAGAGGGCCTGACCCTGGTCGAAAAGTCTCTGCGCTCCTTCCAGGAGTATGCCCCGACCGCCGACGACGCCCGTGAGGTCGTATCCGCTACTGACCGCATTGTCGGCCTCTTCCTGGTCCGCCACGACCCGGGCTTCCGATGGCCTGAGTCGCCTGAGACGGAGCCCGTCAACCTCGAGTCCGAGACGGTCCGGCCCTCCACCGGCCGGCCCCAAGCAATTAGCTGCATTCCGCGATCCCGCTTCATCTACAACACCCAGGCTTTCGAGCTGGTTCCCGGTTATACCATTGAGCTGTTCCTCCGCAGCCGCTGTGCCATTCGCTACCCCGAGAACCGCAATGCCTCCATCAAGATAGACAGTCGCCAGCCCACTCCCCTGACCCTCCTGCTTGGCGAGGAGCTCACGACCCGCGTCTCCAACCTCATCATCGACCCCGTTGATTCGTACAAGCGTAAGTTTGACAAGCGTCACCGCTCGTGCAATGGCCTCGAGGGTAGCGGTGGCTGCCAGCATGTTGAAGATGGCGCCGTTGATGTCATGGTCAAGGTAAGAAACAACCTTGGACCTGACTACAACTACTTTTCCCACCGCATTCAGACCAGCAAGGTCCTCTTCAACGATCCCAATGGCCGCGACTTTGACGAGTTCGCCAACTCTGTGAAGGCCAAGCTTGAAAAAGCCCGTGACATGTCTGACAAGTCGGTCCGCTCCATGGATGACCTCACACTCCGCATTCGCGAGCTGCGCGGCAAGAACTGGTCTGTCCATGAGCCATTGACCGTCCGCCTTGACTCCTCCGTCACCTACTGTCGCCAAACCGTAGAGGCCATCATGGAGCGCCTCCAAGCCGGCATCAGCAACGTTCTTGAGGGCCATGAAGATGCCCTAGCCATCATGACCGCTCACAAGCGTGGCCATCTCATCTACGACGGCTTCCTTGACGGAGCCGGCGGCGACGACCACACCCCCCTTGAGAAGTACTCATCCCGCGACCTGGAGAGGAAAGCCCTCGAGGCGAAGCTCAAGGAGCGTATCCGTGCCGACATTACAATGCTGTGCAAGGATACTTGCGCCCTCGACTGCTCCGACTTCTTGCCCAACCTGAAGCTGCGCGCCAGTGGTGCGTCAGCCGGCCCGAAAGCCAACAGCACGCCAGTAGACAACAACGCCCTGAAGAACACCGCCCGACCCTCCTCTGAACTGTCTCTCGCCCGATCCGTTGGTAGCGGGCGATCTGACCACACTCTTTCCAAGAAGCATGCTAAGGAGAACCTGAGGGAGCCATCCTTAAGGGAGCCGTCTCTGGCCCCTTCATCCCTGGCCCCTTCGACCCCCGTCAGCACTGCCCCGGCTGATCTGCAACGCGTTCCATCTGGCGTTGAAATGGCAAAGAAGTACGGCTACATGGCTGACTTCATCGCCGATGACGAAAATCTGTCCGAGCCCCCGTCTACTCCAAGCCTGGTGGATACTGATAGCATCAGCCCTCGTGACAGCATCATTGTTACCCCCCAGTCCGCCCGGGCCATGCCCCACGACCAGTCCAACGAGGGCCTCCGCATCATCGACGATGGTAGGAGAATCATCTACGAGGAACAGTCCGACGCTGATGCCATCGCTCGCGGCGTGACGGAATTCCATCGGTACCCAGAAGATGAGCCGATCCAGCTCATCAAGGATCGACTCCCGGAGACTCCCGAGAGGAAGGCGACGCGACGATCCCTGGATACTCGCATGCCTGATCTGTCTGGAAACATGGATTCGGTCATCCACCAGGCGGTCATTTCAACCCCTGTTTCAGCACCAAAGACAGAAGAGAAGCTCAAGGAGCCCGCGGTGATTGAAGCTGCCAAGGCCCCCAAGGCCGCTGAGCAGCCTGTTACCCTGGTTTCTACCGAGGAGACCACGCCTCAAGAACCAACAGTAGAGAAGGTCGCTATTCCCGTCGAGGTGACTGAACCTGTTAAGACCGAAACTACTCTTGAGAAGTCCAAACCCGAAGAGGTTGTCTCCAAGGAGGTTGTCTCTAAGGAGACAGCCGTTCCTAGTATTGCTGAGAAGAGCGAGATCTCCCATGATGAGCCGTGGGAGATGGTCGACGCCAATGATGCGCCTCAACCCCAGTCAGCTTCCGCTGGTTTGGTGCCAGAGGCAGTCGAGGCCAGCTCCAAGTCTGAGACGAGCGTCGGGACTAGCACTGCTCCCCCCAGCATTCGGGAGGAGATTGAATCCACGGAGAAGCCAACTCCTGCCGTCGAAGAGGTACCCAACGCGTCCGGAGAAAAGACTCTGGAGCCTGCCACAACCGAACTGGCATCTCCCAAGGAGATAGTTGAGCAACCTAAGGAGATTCCAGCTGAGGTTCAGGTTGAGCCCACCGTCGAGGCTGAGAAGCAGGTCTCGGAAGCCGCGAGGGCGACTTCCGAGGTCGTACCTGTTGTCAGTGTTGAGCGTGAGGTTTCTCCCGAGTCGGACGCAGTTGAGGAACCCAAGGAAAACATCGCCCTGGATGATTTCCCTGAGCCTCCTCACGAGCACAGCTCCCACACTGAGTCAAAGGCTGAGGAGGTCACCACCGAAGTTGAAAAGCCCAAGGAGGAGCAGACCCTCGTCCAAGAGCTTGCAGTCTCCGAGGAACACCAGGAACAGTCTGAGACGACTCTCCTCCAGGTTGCAGAAGCCCTCCAGCCCGAGAATGTTCGCAGTTCCAGTGACTCTGGCATCTCCATGGAGGATCAGCCTAGGGATGAACAACCCAAGAATGAAGTCCTCAAGGAGGAAGAATCCAAGGATGATGGGTCCAAGGATGTAATCCTCGAGGCAGAAGTGCCCGAGGAGAAGAAGTCCGAGACAGTTGAGTCTCCGCCTTCTACACCAAAGAAACCCCTCCTTTCTGCAGAGGAGAACGGTAAATCTGTGATGCCTGATGAGATGGAGTACGAGTCTTCGCCTACTCTCAGCAGGCACTCGTCTCCTATGGATTCTCCCATGCTTTCTCCCATGCTTGCGCCAGTTCCCGAAGAGGATATTTCTGATGATGAAGCCGTTAGCGGCAGCTATTTTCCCCTGACAAGAGGAACTCCCGCCCTTCCACCTGCACACTCTGCCCCGGTGGAGAGGCTCCTCACCCCTGAAGATCGAACTCGCATCATCTCGGCGTTCGACGAGCTCCCCGAGCCCCCTCGCTTCGAGCGCGCCAACCTGCCACCCGTTCTCATACGCCCTCGCACCAACACCCTCCCAGAGCGTCGTTATTCGACAGCCTTGACACTGGACAAAGGGCCCTTTCACAGCGGCGATGCTTCTCCCATCGACGCACCACCCAAGAGCGCCATCTTCCCGCGCCAGGTCTCCGCCAGTCACCGCCGCCAACCCTCCGCCGGGTGGATCGGTCTTCGCGAGCAGCGCATGCATGAGGTTGGCCTCCGCAACGCCCTCATGCCCTACCGCTTGCGCGCAATGCGTGGTGATCAGGATAGCTGGAGCCGTCCTGCCACCTCGTACAGCGAGCAGTGAGCACGGGAACCCTTTTCACCGCAACAACATTGTTTTGATACATGAGAGCTTGAATGGAGGGATGGGAGGGGAGTTGCTTTTTAAAGGGATACAGGAAACGGAAGGAGGAATTGACGGGAGCACTATATGGAATAGGTAGCTGCGCTGGCAATGGCGTTTGGGGTTTTTGTTGTGACAGCCGATGCGTTTGCATTTCTGGCGAGCATTTAGCATTAGCGGATTGCTCACAGCGAGATGATTATATAGCTACATAGCTGCGATCGTTTATACATACAAAGTATGCTTTATCATATATCTATTCTTTTTTATCCCGTGACTACCTAGAACACTAGTGTAATTAATACCCATTAGAATAAGATGGCGAGGTTGACATTCGCCAACGTGTCTGTCTCACTGTTCTCGACGATGGTAGACAGCCGACACGCGCTGATGGCCCCTAGCCCGGGAGCCGCCGTCTCCTGGAAGCCATTCAGTTTGGTGCCGCAGTAGTATCCCGGATCAGCATTGTTGATCCTCCAGCGGGTATTCTTCTCGTGCTCGGTGGCGTAGTACAGCACGGCCTGGATGTGCGTGTAGACGCCAAAGCCGTTACCCCTGGCGAAGAACCAGAGGCTGGCGTAGGACTTGAGGGTCAGGCTACCGAGGGTGGAGGAGATGAAGACAACACGGCGAGAATAGGGTTTTCTTTTTGCGAGGATGAAGGTATCGGTCGAGGGCGGTGCCGATGATATTTGTGTTGTAATGGTCTGCTTGCGTTCGCGTAGTGATTCAACTCCGAAGCTTCAGAGGGTGTTGTTGTTGACGAGAACATCTCAGGGGCCAAACTCAGCACCAAGGGTCCTGGTAGTGGCCTGGATGCTCTCATCGGATGTAATATTTAGGACTGGAGGTAGGACAGGCAGTCCATTCGCCTGGAAAGGGGCGACGGCCTCCTTGTCAGCGTCGGGTGACGATTGAGAGGATGATGTAGTGTGGCTGCTCAGCGGTGAACTCCTTGACAATCTCCAGGCCAATACCCTGGTTGGCGCCAGTGACGAGAACAACGGTGTCCGAACTCTGTGGTCGATATGGTTGACCCCTAAGTTCTAGGGTTTGTGGTCTTGGTGCGCCGCGTCATGGCGACAGAGCCTCCAGAAGCCAAAGAGAATAGGTATTTCAGGGGGTTGACACCTCTTTCTACAAATACCCGAAGGCTTGCATCGCTTTAGGCAGTATGGATTTCCCACATGAGGTGCAGTATGCACACAGACGGACGCTCGGATAGGGGGCTTGGATGCCATTTCTTGGGCGAGACGTGACGCGCTCACACGAGCTCAGCGTCTCCTTCATCCACATAGGGCTTAGCACTGGACCACCGGAGAATGACAATATCGCCGTTCTGTGACGGCAACGTGATGTCGTTGTCAGTACCCATACCATGGACGTCGAGGTCGCGCAACAAGCGGATAAAAACGGTGGTGTCTGGGTCAGGGGAGTCGATCATACTGGCGTTGCCACCGGTATCATTGAGGTTCTGCAGATCATCTGGGAAGGATGAGAGGAAGGAAGACAGGTAATGGTTATGCAGGAGAGCCTGATGTCTCGTGGCATAGGCCACTTCCGTGGGAGAGAGCCGGCGCCTGAGTTCTTGGCTGGAAAGATAGTGAAGCGCGTGCTTGTCGACCTATGCATGTTAGTGAGAAGGTGCCGCGGCGCTTGAGAGACGAATTGGTAGTTTACCTTGGCAATCCGGGCTCTGAGATAACTCCTGACAAGGAACTTGTACCGCTCCAGCTCGGTCTGGATGACGATGAGGGCAAAGTTGGTCTTGGGATCCATGTCGCCAGTCATCTCCTCAACCTTCTCAATCTGGGTCTTGATCCGCGTGTTAACGCGATCGATTAGCCCGTCCTGAGGCCACCTGAATTAAAAAAAATTAGCCCCAACGCTGGGCGTCGTACCGAGACGGTGCATGCGACTTACTCTAAGAGCTCAGGCGCCGAGCGTTCGGCCACCCAGAGACGCGTCAAGGCCTGCAGGTCACGCGTCTCGGGGGGCACGGAGTGGGAGACCGGGTCGACCTGGCGGAGGATGTCGTCGATGTCCATGGCTTTGGCGGGTTTCAGGGGCGTCTTGGTGGTGCAGGGAGCTGGCCTTGAGAGGGTGCGACGCGGTGATGAGTTGGCGGTGGTGGGGTTGAGATGTTGAAGGCCATGATTTCTCCCACCACCAAAGCGGGGCTCCAAATTCCCCGCCAATGCTTCAACCTTGATTCTTACAACTACGGCCAGATGGATTCTGCTTACCTGCCTTCGCATTGACAGTGAAGCCACGATACCGCTATGCAGTTCTAATTTGAACGACAAGGCACTCGGCCAATTATCCTCCACACTAAGCCCAACACGCGGCGACCTGGGTGGCGGCCTGCACAGCGAGGACTGGATGGACGCGTCCAGTCGGAGGCCTCGGCCATAAGAATTAAGAAACACGAACAAACCGCTAGCAAATGCTGCATCGGAGACTAAGAGGAGGGCCGAGACCTGGGTCTTAGGGATAAACACCAACAAACTGGGTAGCAAGTGCTACATCGGAGACGAAGGAGCGCCGACCACCTTGACCTCAGGGATCAGCAAACACCAACAAACTAGTGCTACCGGAGACTAACGAAAGCGCCGGGACCTCGTGTTCTAGTCGGTAGTTACCAAGCCCATGAGTTGCATTGAGCAAGTGCTCTCCTAGAGAATGGAACAGACGGTCCGGTGGATTGTCATGGCGTGTTCGTGCTTCCGCAGGTGGGCTACGGCTAGGTGGGCTACGCCTGCTCTAGTTCCAATATTGGCTGGGTTTTAAGATGAGATGACTGAACGGTCGGCCTACGGAGGATCTGATAACAAGCTCGCAGGGGATGGGCGAAACATTGACGGCCAAAGCAAGCTCTCTCCCTTGCGTACCTGAAATCTCCGCGCGGGGGTCTCACGCGAATGACCCAAGAGTCCGGATCATGTGGAAATCATCCCGTCCCTAGTGCCATCGAAAGGAGGGATGAGCACGGAAGCCACCGTCTCCGAGACAGCTCCGCCCTTCCTACTGACTTTAACCATCTCGTGTTGGGCAAACGTGCTAGGCCGGGATAGGCTGTTGTGATCTCGATCGAAAGGATTCGTGCCTCGACCCAGAACGACGCAGAACTCTGGGAGATTGCTTCTCGCCATAGCTCGAGAAATGGGGGGCCCAGTAGCAATTGGGATGAGATGATGCAGATTGTCTAGATGTCAACGTCAGACATTGCTTCCATGGATCTTTCCGCCGTGTACAACATCGACTGTCTTTGAGGCACCAGAAAGTCATAAATGAAGCATGCATGCAAGCGGTACGGCTAATATTGCATCAGAGGGCTTTGAAGGGGTCGTGGGGGATGTCGACAAGGCAAGTAGCAAATGAATGGCAAGACCGAAACCGACTTCGCCAAGGGTTTCCCTCGACCTTCCTGCCTGGATCTTAGAACAATCTTGGTGGATCAGAACTTGGTATTTGGAATCACGGAAGGGGGAATGCCGGAGCTGTGCCCGCTGGCTGTGTGCATTCTACGTCAACTTGGAGCGCAAATTGGAGGCGTCAAGGCGTCAAGGCCGTCCTGCAGCTTGCAGTGAAGAAGAACTCAGCTTCGAGAGGTCTATGATCCTGATGAGGAGCAAAGATTGGTCAAAGCTCCAGTCCGCAGCTCGGCTACATTGAGATCCTCACTCACTGGGCGATGATAATAGCTTCTTTCGGCACTTGGCGGGACTACCTCACGGGCGGTTGAGATCCCGAAGACTGTAGTCAGCAGCCTGAATAGGCTTCGTTGGCGTTGATCCCCCGCATCAAAGTTAGTGTCTCGGAACGCCTCAAGCCGAGTGCTCTAGATCTGCCTTATTGGGCGCGGCAAAGGGGCGGGTGGTTGAGGCTAACGCAGGCTAAGCTGAACGCCCTGGATATACCTCAAGCTAATCAGACATGCTGGCTTCCACCCAAAGCAACCAGAGCACGACTCTGGTGGAATGCCAACTACCCGCGCCATGGACGTCACGACGTCATCACATCTCGGCCGTGGTATTGAGCACAGCCTGGTGATAAACAAGTGCATCCCATGTCGGAGGACCAGGGCGACTTGGAATTACCTCCGGAAGCCCACGGATGTGCTGGTCTTACCAAGCTGATCCAAACTAATAACGGGGTCCTAAAAATGGGGTTAGGATGGTCACAGCGACTTCAGTTGAGGACTGATGGGAGCTGTGGTGTAAATGATGGATCCCAGTTTGGTATATAAGAAGACGCCTTTTGTCACTGAGTTAAGTGTCAATCCATCAAGCAACTGGCATCTTCTTAAGAGTCGACACTGCACAACAAACATCTTCATCTCTTCCAAACCACACAACCGACACGATGCTTCGCTCACTTTGCCTCATGGCCGGCCTGGCCGCAACCGCCTTTGGTGCTCCCTTGGAAAAGAGAGCCGTCGCCGCTCCCCCTGGCGGCGATGTCGCCATTCTCAACTACGCCCTTACTCTGGAGTTTCTCGAGCGCAAGTTCTACATGGAGGGTGTCAAGAACTTCACCGAGTCCGACTTCTGCAATGCCGGCTTCGACAAGGAGTTCTACCCCAACTTGATGAGGATCTACGAGGATGAGAAGGTGAGAGGACCTGATTGACAAGTAACTCCTATCTTCTCTTATACTGACCTTTGTGAATAGACTCACGTCGAGTTCCTCTCCACTGCTCTCGCTGACAAGGCCATCGGGGAGCCCACCTTTGCCTTCCCCGTGACTGATGTCCACTCCTTCGTTGGTCTCGCCGGTGTCCTCGAGGGCGTTGGTGTTTCCGCCTACCTCGGCGCCGCTGCCGCCATCGCCAACAAGGACTACCTGACTGCTGCCGGCTCCATCTTGACCGTCGAGGCCCGCCACGCCTCGTACATCCGCGCCGCCCTCGGCCAGAAGCCCTTCCCTGCCTCCTTCGATACCCCTCAGGACTTCAACCAGGTCTTCTCCCTGGCTGCTCAGTTCATCACTGGCCTTGCTCCCAACACCAAGCTCCCCTTCAAGGCCTTCCCTGCCCTGACTGTTGGTGACCCCACCCACACCGGCTACAAGGTTGGCGGCAAGGTCGTCTTCAAGGGTGCCTACAAGGCTGCTAAGGCCGCTGGCAAGACCGACAAGAAGATCGTGGCTGTGTTCTACTCCGGTCTCCAGACCTACTATGTCCCTGTCACCATCGGCAAGAACAAGATCGACGTAAGTGACACCAAAAACATTATTCATAGGATTCTCTCTAACCGCATTGTAGTACGTCGCCACTATCCCTGGCGCCAACTACGCCATGGACGGCCAGCCTGCCCCCGCCGGTCAGGTCTATGTCACCCTGAGCACTGCCGATGGCAAGAAGGTTATGGCTGGTGATGAGAACACCGTTGCTGGTGTCGGTATCCTCGAGGTTGTGTGTTAAAAAGTCTGGACCCAATATGTCTGGGACGTCCTTTTTTGTACATAGTCAAGCCATATATAACGATGGCAAATAGTGGCCATCTAGGTGCCGTAATAATGCTGAAGAGTCGCTTATTCTATCTTCTTGAGGGGCTTGTGCGCCTCCTTCTTTGCCTTGTCGTAGCCATTGACTTGTGCATAAACCCATTTGAGCCCGGCGGACGAGACAGTCACCAAGGCGGCGGAGAAAGTGAACAAAGCAACGCGCTGGACCGTAGAAAGCAACTCAAAGAGGGGGTAAGGGTACCTTTGCGTGTTAGTAAAACCTTGACATGGAGAATTGGTGGGCTCGACTCACCATCCGTTGTGACTGAAGCAAAGCTCAACCCAATACCAATACGCAAAGGCTAACACAGTGCTGAGGGTCATTATACCGTATGCAGAGATTGTCCATGGAGGGCTGAAAAGGATGAGGTCAAGCGTCAAGAAGACGGCTGGCGCAAGATGGAATCCCACATCAGGGAGAAGATCCAAGCGGAAGTCATCTGGTATGAGCAATGAGGTGTCGATAAACCTGATTCCCCAGTACAGGATTGAGATGACGACCTCCAGGGGCGTGGCAAGAACGGCGACGGCATTCTTGGCCTGGAATAGGACAGGAATCGAGGTCAGGTCAGCCAAGATGCCGAAGGCGAATGCTACTAGAGACGAAGTGAGGCCAATAATTGTGAGGAACTGGAAGTGCCAGCCGTAGGCCTTGGCGAAGGGAGTGTCCCATGTGGTCAGGAAGTGGAAGTTGTAGCTGAAGGATGCGACGCCCAGGACATGGAGAATCAACGAGAGCGATCGAGACGGTGACGTCAGTCGCTGCCGAGGGTGAGAGGCCATCTTTGCAAGCAGCGTAGATTGACAATTACTGGCGATGATGAATTGAGGTTGTTGAAGAAGGCTCCGATTACGAAGTACGAAATCACAAAGACTGACAGCGGGGCCAGGCCACTCTCCGGAGGGTTTCTTGCCATCATCCCCTGTCTCGCTGTTCAACATCCTCCCGAGACTCCGTCGACAGCCTGAAGGAGCCGGTATCATTGGTGGGCCGGTTCATAGGACCCAGACCATCATGACCTCAATAATTAGTGGCGCGTGGAGTGGAGTGGGCCAAATGTGATAGAAGACAGCAGGGGATGGTCAAGCCACACCTTTCCCGCCGCCACACGAGGCTGAAAGCTTGAAGGTTCCTGTGCAGAGAATCTGGAGCTGATTTGGCAGCCCTGCATCACGTCGCGCAAAGGATCATCGGCCAGCTTCAGCCTCTTGCCTGTCGTCACCCTTTACTTTTTGGGCAATTGGTCTTCCCTATAATCTCCAGATACTACTTCAAACGCCTCAACACCACCAAGATGGCTGTGGATTCTGCTGCCGAAGACGACAACCGCTCGCAAAAGCGCAGCCACTCCGAGTTTCGCGAAGTTGATGATGGTACGTTCACCATCCCCCAGCCCATGTCACGCGTATGCGCCCTAACAAACCTCCAGACAGCTCCTCCGACGATGACATGGGCCCGCAGCTGCCCTCCGAAGCGCCCAAGAAGAAGCGACGAGTCCTGCCCCACGAGAAGTTGTACGTCGCAGCGCTGCCCAAGGCCGCCCGCTACTCGAAATCCCTGATGCACAAGGAGCAAATCCTTTTTACGACGTGGACGCCCCTGACCGAGTTTCTGATAACCTCCTCCATCGACGGAGTGGTCAAGTTTTGGAAGAAGATTGCCCAGGGTATCGAGTTCGTCAAGGAGTTCAAGGCACACAACGGCGAGATCAAGTCGGTCTCTGTGAGCAAAGATGGGCGGAGCTTTGCAACTGCTGGGGCCGACGAGACGATCAAGATATTCGATGTCATTACCTTCGACCTGCTGTCCATGATCTCCCTCAGCTATTCGCCCAACTGCGTATGCTGGGTCCACACAAAGGCCGCCTCCGTGCCAATGCTTGCGGTATCGGAGCAGGGGAAGCCCCTGATACACATCTACGACGGCAGGGGAGAAAGGGAGGATGCTATCCATACGATAAAGGGCCTGCACAGAAGCCCTGTCCACTTGATGGCGTTCAACGAAGCGTACGATTGTGTGGTGTCCGCTGATGAGAACGGAATGCTGGAGTATTGGCGACCGAGCGGGAACTATGAGAAGCCCGACGAGGTTTTCCAGTACAAGAGTTCAACGAACCTCTTCGATTTCAAAAAGGCCAAGTCAGTACCGTCGTGCCTGACCATTTCCCCCAATGGCAAACATCTCGCAGCCTTCTCCCTGCCGGATCGGAAAATCCGCATTTTTGACTTTGCGACGGCGAAGCTGTATCGAACATACGACGAGTCTCTTCAGGCCACCGAAGAGATGCATCGAGCAGGAACGGGTTCTCATAAGCTGGACAACGTAGAGTTTGGGCGGAGGACGGCTCACGAGAGGGAAGTCGAGTCAGAGACTCTCAAGAACAAGTCCAATGTCATCTTCGACGAGTCTGGAAACTTTATCATGTACGGATCTATGATGGGAATCAAGGTCTTGAACACCTACACCAACCAGGTGGTCAAGGTGTACGGAAAGGACGAGAATTTCAGAGCCGTCAACCTTTCCATCTACCAGGGCCAGCCTCAAAAGAAGGGCATCACGACAGTTGAGATGGGCGCATCCAGCAACCCCCTGCTCCAGGAATCCGAGACCCGCGACCCGATTTTGGTGGCAACGGGTGTTGGCAAAGTTCGGTTTTACATGTTCTCAAACGAGGAGGACATCTCCAAGTCGACCCGAGACGTGCAAAACGAGCGACCGACGATGCTTGGGCACAAGAAGGATGCCAAGACGAAGGCAGCCGAAACAGGTACCGCGGCTGTCATCCACACTAGTTACGGCGACATTCACATCCGCCTCTTCCCCGACGCTGCGCCCAAGACGATCGAGAACTTTGTCACACACTCGAAGAATGGCTATTACAACAATACCATCTTTCACCGAGTGATTCGGAAGTTTATGATTCAGGGAGGAGACCCTCTAGGAGACGGCACCGGCGGTGAGAGTATCTGGGGAAGGGAGTTTGAGGATGAGTTTAGTAGTCTGAAGCACGACAAGCCGTTCACGGTGAGCATGGCCAATGCGGGACCCAACACGAACGCCAGCCAGTTTTTTATTACCACGGAGAAGACGGTAAGTTTCGAGTCCTATGCAAGCCTTGGAGCGTTGGTCGCTAACATGATGATAGCCGTGGTTGGATGGCAAGCACACTATCTTTGGACGTGCGACGCAGGGGTTCGATGTGATTCATAAAATTGAGGCGGCGAGAACCCACAAAGAGAAGCCGGAAGAGGACATTAAGATCCTCAACATCGACATTGTCTAAGAATGGTAAAGAGAGCGGTGACATGTTCTGGGATACGCGGCTGGTACCCGGTTGGGAAGCGGGAAGTGGAGGCGAGCGGCTGGCACGGCTTCTCCACCTGAGTGGATGAATGGAATGAGCTTAATACAGGTAGATATGATTGACGACAAATAAGCAAAAGCAAAAGCAACTGTGCCGGGTCGAAACCCATCTGTCAAGCAGCCAATTATCGGGATAGTGTCGTGGAGCCAATGAGGGCATGTAGCTGGCGGGCGTGGGTGGACGGGGAGATGCCACTCCCAGGGCGTAGAGGGGTCATGTCTCTCTCCCCAAGATGCATGCCACGATGGATGTCAAAGTTGTGTCAAGATGCATGTCAAAGTCATGTCAAGATGCATGTCAAAGCCATGTCAAAGTCATATGTGTCCAAAGTCGTGTCAATATGCATGTCAAAGTCATGTCTAGCTCAGCCCTTTGGCCGACAATTCGGGCGACAACTTGGCATGTCGCTAACCGTCTGGAGGGATCAACTAGGCCTGTGGCTATTGATAGCCGCGGGTCAGATGTGGCAAAAATAGTGAGAAAACGCGGAGGAGCTTGTTTTGGGGTATTGGCGGGCTGGACTTGAACGGAACGAAAGGTTTTCTTCCTGTTGCGCACTGGATGTGGCGGTCTGCCACGCGTAAAGCAGTCATCCAATTACTATCGGTATAGCGAACAGATGTTTCTCCCTGTTCGGTCATGATGCATGCATTGTACTGCGCGCGAGGGATTCCCAGGGCAGACGCACCACTGTAAATCGGGACTCCCTGCTGTAGGCTCCTCACTATAACTCGCTGTAGCGGTGGCCTCGTGGCGGGGTGCCGTACAACTCCTCCAATCATAGCGGGGCAGTTCGAAAGCCATCGCGCTGCCCGAGCGTGACACACCGACGCCGGCCGGCCGGCGCAAAGGGTAAGGGTATGTATTTTTTTCGGTGACTCCCTCCTCTCGACCTTTTACATTTACTTCGTACTAACAAACGTTGTTTCCTGGTCATATTCTCTCCTCGGGTCGTGGATTGAATTGCATTGTTTTGCCTCATTTCACTATTCCGTTACGTCTTTGATACCCTTTCATCGCCCATCCAAGTCATCATCATGGCGTCCGTACGTTCCCCTCCTTGCTACAGCTCCCCTCCCTCTCCCTAGCTTTGGTGGGGTGACTCACATAGCAACAGTTCATGTATGAAAACAAAAATGTTGGCAACAAGGCCGAGTCCGAGGATTGGAGAAGTAAGTCGTCTCCCCTGCTTTATCCATCATTGTTGCGCACCTGTTCCCTCTGCTTGCGCGCGCTGCTGCCCCCGTCATGATGCTCACCACCTCCAGTTCGCGGCTACAACCCTCTGACTTCTCCCGATCTGCTCCAACACGAGATCTCTCAGTCCGCCGAGTCCAAGCAAACCGTACTCCGCGGCCGTGACGAGGCCGTCGCAATTGTCAATGGCACCGACGAGAAGCACCGCCTGCTCGTCATCATTGGCCCCTGCTCCATCCACGACCCCGAGGCCGCCCTCGCCTACTGCGACCTCCTCCTCAAGGAGAAGGAGAAGCACAAGGACGAGCTCCTCATTGTCATGCGCTCGTACCTCGAGAAGCCCCGTACCACTGTTGGCTGGAAGGGCCTCATCAACGACCCTGACATCGATGGCAGCTTCAAGATCAACAAGGGTCTGCGCCTGTCGCGCCAGGTCTTCGTTGACCTGACCTCCAAGGGCATGCCCATTGCCAGTGAGATGCTCGATACCATCTCGCCTCAGTTCCTGGCCGATTTGCTCTCCGTCGGTGCCATTGGCGCCCGAACCACCGAGAGCCAGCTGCACCGCGAGCTTGCCAGTGGTCTCAGTTATCCCGTCGGTTTCAAGAACGGCACCGACGGCTCCCTCGGCGTTGCCATTGATGCCATTGGCGCTGCCCAACACCCTCACCACTTCCTCTCCGTCACCAAGCCCGGTGTCGTCGCTATTGTGGGCACTGAGGGCAACGACGACTGCTTCGTCATTCTGCGAGGCGGCACCAAGGGTACCAACTACGACGCCGCTAGCATCGCCGAGGCCAAGGCGGCTCTCCAAAAGAAGGGCGTCCGACACCGTCTGATGGTCGACTGCAGCCACGGAAACTCGCTCAAGAACCACAAGAACCAGCCCAAGGTTGCCGCTGACCTGGCTGGCCAAATTGCTGGGGGTGAGACGGCCATCATGGGTGTCATGATTGAGAGCAACATCAACGAGGGTAAGCTTCCGACCACTCCACACGCAGCCTTCGTACCTAGGCTAATATCATATAGGCAACCAGAAGGTCCCCGAGGAGGGCAAGTCTGGCCTGAAGTACGGCGTGAGCATTACCGATGCCTGCATCCACTGGGATGACACCGTCTCGGTGTTGGACACCCTTGCCCAGGCTGTCAAGGCCCGACGCAATGTCTTGGGCGTGACTATTTAAGTTGAAGAATTTATTGAGTGCAGTGCGCCGGTTCCTGTTGGGTCGGGAAATGGCTGCTGTGGCATTGGATGTTTAACCGTCTAAGCCGCGTGGGGACTGCACTTGTCGTAATTGGCGACGCATTTATGGTTGAAGGTTGGAGTTGTCTGGTTGTCGATTTACGGGATAGAAAAAAGCATCAAACATGCTACTGAGCCGATGCGGCCGGCTCATGTCAGGGAATAGTAAAAGCAATACGGTTGTTAGTGTGCAGTTTACCCTCTCGCGCCATTGCGACGATGAGCGGCATCGCATACTGTTTCATGTACGATAGCGCACTGTATGAAAACACACCCAAGACGTATGGGCGATCTGCAAAAACAGCCACCGGACCCACACTGTGCAACTGAGCTCCTAGCTGGCGTTTTTTGAATTGCCCAAACCACAGCCTTGTCATCCTGCCAACATAGAACTTTTTCGCCCAACGCCATCTCACGAACCCTTCGCGGCGCGAAACGCACCCAATCCCGCCGTGGGCGACTTCTTGCTCAGCACCTGACCAGCTGATACCCCCTCCAGCCACGTCAACACCTCATCTCCCGCCGCCCTCAGCTTTTCCCCCGAGACGCGGTTCTCGACTCGCGCGATTATGGCTCGCGACTATTCACCCCCCGAGTCTCCCCTCTCCTCGATGGACGAATCGGAGCCCTACGATGAGGATGGACACGAGGAGGAGGAGACGACCCTGCGACCGTCGAAGCGCCAGCGTCTCGATGCTGGCTCGACGACGTCCTCGGCAGTTGTCCCTGACGCTGAGCCTGAGACCGTGCCAGAGCCTGACGCCCTCGAGGGCATGTCGGACGTCTCATCTGATACTTCGGGCGACATCCCGAGCTCACCGATCAACGCGCGCCTTGATGAGGAGGACTTCCAGGACCAGGTCACTATTTGCGACTGGGACGGCTGTCCCGCCGGTGACCAGGGCAACATGGACAAGCTAGTCGAACACATCCACAACTCACATATTGAGAACCGACAGAAGAAATACACGTGCGAATGGAGGAGCTGTAACAGGAAGGGTCTTCCTCATGCTAGCGGCTATGCCCTCAAGGCTCATATGCGCAGCCACACGAGGGAGAAGCCCTTCTATTGCTATTTGCCGGGTATGATTTATCCTCCACCTCAACTAATCGGATAGGGGCTAACCAAAGCGCAGAGTGCGACAGGTCATTTACTAGATCCGACGCGTTGGCGAAGCATATGCGTACGGTGCACGAGACGGAGGCGCTGCGGCCATCCGACCCCGTCCCCAAGTCGATGCAGTCTGGCACCCTTGGCAAGGGAGGGAAGCTCAAGATCATCATCAAGACACCTCAATCACACGGCGCTACGGAAGACGGCTTAGATGATGCGGCCAATGGCGACGACCACAACTCGGAGTACTTTACGGCCTTGCCGGAGGAGCTGTTCGGAAGCGAGGAGTTGGCGTACCCCGTCGACAAGCTCTACCGCAAGTGCTACTGGGAGGCCAAGTGGGCTGAGGATGTCGGTGAATCTCTGAAGAAGGAGTGCAAGGAGTGGGAGGACCTCTATTACAAGGAGTGGCTAGAGAAGGAGGTGCTCCTATCGCAGGTGATCAAGAGCGAGGTGAATTGGCATGATCGACGACAGGCCATTCTCTCTGGCGCCGCCGACGTGCAGGTTCCTGGAGCCGTGGAGAGCGTGGAGGGAGAGGTCAATGGCACTAAGATGGAGGTGGAGGAGGTCTAGGATGCCGATTCTGCCAACGGGACCAGTTCGCCAGAGACGACAGCGACACCTCGTCGATCCAGCAGGATCCGTCCACGCACCGGCGTCTCATGGGCTTTGTAACATCACACTTGTACGGAGAGGAGTTGACGGAGTTGGTTATTTGAATTTCGGGGACGGGACACTCGAGGAAGAAGCGGCTTGTTATTTTTCTCTACGTCCAGCATAATAAATGCAAAAAGAGCAATGAACTATTTTACACCATCTTTGCGCCAATCCCTACAGGGCCTTCTTCTTGGAGCGATACGACTGGGAGTTTGTGAAGGGGAACCCGCTCGTGCTCTGGTCGAAGTGGTGGTTGCGGCTGACCATGGCCTTGTCGCCAGCGAACATGACGCAGTACAGCCCGAAGCTGGCAAAGACGGTGCTGCCGATGCAGCCGAACAGGTAGCCCGACTCGCCGGTCCAGGTGTAGCGGCCGTAGCAGTAGAATGCGGCGGAGGTGTGATGGAGGGTTGAGACGAGGACCGTGGCGCTGGCGTAGGGAGAGACTTCGTCCGAGGAAGCTGTCGGCGACGGGGGAGGTCAGTAGGAGTCCTAGAAGCTTGGGGGGACCAGGGGAGCACGGAACCGTCTGCAGAAGAGGTGAGCGGCACGGCGCCGGAGAGGACGACGACGATGAGCCCGAGGGCAAGGAGGGCGAAGCCGAGGGAGCGCGCGAAGTAGACCTCGAGAGCTGGGAGATGGTCAGCGGGCTGCTCGCCCATCGGACGCAATGGCAAGGGTGGAAAACGCACGGCTTGAGGCCTCGCTCTCGGCGCGCAGGATGGAGCCGATAAAGGACGGCCAGATGATCAGAGGCAGCGCCTGGGTGCTCAGCCAGGCGAGGTTGCCGAAGCTATAAGATGCGATTGCCTGTGATGGGTGTCGTCAGCAGTGAAGATGGTGATGGGCCGTGTTGAGGGGTGTCTGCGACGGTGACGTACGCTCATGGCACCAGATTGCGGGATGCAGGATATTTTCTATTTGGTTCCCGGGTCTTGAGAATGCGCAGCGAGGATACTCAATCTCAATTTCAATCTACAGCTATGAAGCTCTGAGAGAGGTCACCATGAAGGTCAAGCCCATGGCACCACACACGAGGCAGCCAACCAGACCATTCGAGCCACCCAGCGTCGACGTCACCGGCCGGAGCGCGAACCGGCGACACGCCTGGCGACCCCCGCAACCGCAAGCCCCCTACAGCACAACCCTCTGAAAGACGCCCCAGCGCCCCAGCGCCCTAGCCCCGGAGCAGCCAGGCGCGCTGGAAACATTTCGCCTCCCTTCCATCGCCCTCCAGGACCGCCGCCCAATGGCCTGAACATCCGCTGGAACCCGCTGCCGCCACCCACTCCAGGCCTCCTCCTCCTCCCCCGCTATGGGCCACGCCGATCTCGCCTCGTCCGTCGTTCCGCGGGGCCAGTTTTTTTCTTCTCTTATCGCCCGATAGTAAACCATTGCAAATCCTCACGCTTTAATTGCGCAGCCCGCATCTCCTAGGAGCCAGGAACGGATCCCGTGTGTCGGCACTCCGAGGAGTTACGCATTATAAGTCCACGGCCAACTGCGCTCCCGTACACGTCGAGACCTTTCCCCGTCCTTCCCCTTATCTTTTGCCCGCTTTCTGTCACATCCAGCCCTCTTTTGACTCATAGATTTAGTGTCCCCACGGCTCAGCAGTACATAATCGCTTCTTGATACCTACCTACCTAAAAACGTTTGCAGCCATTTATTTGTCAGCTGCTTTGCGCTTGCGCCTGGAGAAACGGCAGAAAAAAATCCAAAAGAGGGAAACCCCATATTCTAAAGAGAGAGTTCCCGCCACTGCTTAAAACACAACCACCATCGGCGACGACAAAAGCATCCTTCTCATAACACAACGTCTCGCGCGACACACAGCAGCCGCTCACTTCCCCCACTACACCCGGCGCCATGAGTGCCATTCTCTCCGCCGACGACCTGAACGACTTCATCTCCCCCGGAGTCGCCTGCATCAAGCCTGTCGAGACCCTCCCCTTGGCCCCGTCCCCGCAATACGACGAGACCGAAGTTATCCTCGACGGCCAGCAACCCGCCGCCAGCAACCCCAACGATCCCGCCCAGATCTCCCTCACCGACTGCCTCGCCTGCTCCGGCTGCGTCACATCCGCCGAGGCCGTGCTTGTCAGCCTGCAAAGCCATGCCGAAGTGCTCGCCACCCTCGAAGCGGCGCCCGCTCTCCGGGTAGTGGGGCCGGACAACAATGGCAAGTTCAGCGTACAGGGGCTGGAGAATGAAAAGGCCAAGCTGTTTGTTGCCAGTGTGAGTCCCCAGACCAGGGCCAATCTGGCGGCTGCGTGCGGTGGCAATGTCTCAGAGAGGGAGGTGTCTCACATGATCGACAACTTGTTGAGGGGTCCAGACGGCATTGCCAATGGCGGCAAGTGGAAGAACGAGTTCACATGGGTTGTCGACACCAATGTTGCGAGAGAGGCAACCCTCGTCCTTGGCGCTGACGAGGTCCTCGCCGCTCAAGGGACTGCTGCTCCCAAAAACCCCATCCTAGCATCATCATGCCCCGGCTGGGTGTGCTATGCTGAGAAGACACACCCTCATGTCCTCCCTCACCTGTCCAAGGTGAAATCACCACAGGCCCTCATGGGTACCATGTTGAAGACCACACTAAGCCGGGTACTGGACATCTCACCAAGTCGAATTTGGCATCTGGCTGTCATGCCCTGTTTCGACAAGAAGCTTGAGGCGAGTCGCGAAGAGTTGACCGAAGAAGTCTGGGCTGGGGGCCTTTCAGGAGGTCGAGGAGTTCGCGATGTCGACTGTGTCATCACAAGCAAGGAGGTTCTCATGCTTGCTGAATCCAGGAGACTCAATTTCTTCGACATCCCTAAAACACCCCTTTCCAACTCTACCTCGACGCCATTTCCCGATCCAAAAATTAATAAATTCCTATTCCCCCACAGGACTTCCAGGAATCCTCCTCGCGAGGCTGGTTCCTCCGGGGGACTTTTATATCACATCCTCCAAAGTCGGGCAGCACAGACTCCCGGCGCAGAGATTGTCACCAGCCGCGGTCGCAATGTCGACGTGGCAGAATATTCAGTCGTAGTTAACGGCGAGCCGATATTCAAGGCCGCTCGATACTATGGATTCAGAAACATCCAGAATCTGGTCCGGCGGCTAAGACCCGCGCGGCCATCACGCATGCCGGGTGGAAAGCCCTTCGGCAGCGCTCGCAGGCCGGTTGGGAAATCAGCCTCGCTTGAGCACAGCTATGTCGAGGTAATGGCTTGTCCGGGAGGGTGCACCAACGGCGGAGGCCAGGTCAAGGTTGACGACCCCGTTGTCATGGACCGCAAGAATGTGACCGGAAAGCCGGGTCCACAAGAACAGAAGGACTGGCTTGCAGAGATTGACGAGGCTTACTTCTCCGGAGAGGAGGCCGAAGTCGATATTGGCGAGGAGGTTTCTGGAGATATCGTTGGTGGCATCTCCCGCTCGTACATAAATGATACCCTGGCGCATTGGGCGGAGGTCACAGGCATTGGCTTGGATAGACTTGCATTCACGAGCTATCGTGAGGTGATTAGCGACGTTGGAAAGGACAAGACCACAGATACCGAGAGGGTGGTGCAGCTGGCTGGAAAGATTGGAGGTGGATGGTAAGGGTAAGCTGGTCGATAGATAAAATCGATAAATCAACTCTCCTTGGCACCTCGCTGAGCGAAGCCAAACCCTCCCCGCCCACTCCCGTCTGGTCCTCTCGGTGCTCGAATTGGGTTCTGGTCTGCCTTTGACGGATTTGAATTGTCATTTGCCCTTCGTGGTGCTGTGGACGACTCTGGCTTAGGCGTAAAGTTGGGGTCGTATAGCTCACGGCCGGACCCTGAGGGGTTGAGCGGTCTTCGAGGGGCGTCAAACTGACGGTTGTCGAATTGGCGATTGTCGAATTGACGGTTGTCGAATTGGCGGTTCTCGTTGTTGTTGCGGTACCCTCCTCTACCTCGGCCTCGTCCCCGGGGAGCAAAGTGTCCGTCGGATCGGGGTGGGGTAACTGCGCCTGGTGACGACGCCCCAGACGACGGATTCGACTCCCCAAAGATCTTTGCGCGGGCTTCCTCGTAGCGACGCTGCTTCTCCTCGCGGTCCCTCTTCTGCTTTGCGCGGATTTCCTCCGGGCTGAGTTGGACCTCCTTCTTCGCCTCTTCCTCGTCGTCGATCAACTTGCCCGTTACGGGATCCCGCTTCGCAATCATGGGTTTCCGGCTGAGCACCTTCACCTGGGGCTTAAAGGCGTTGGCGAGGGGGACGCTGGCGTTGGCTTCGACGTAGTGGAACGTCTGGGGGGAATCGCTGTTGGAGAAAAGAAAGTGTCAACTATAACTCCGAAGCCGCCCTTCAGTAGAAGGAGGGGAAGGGTGAGCTTACGCAGACTCCCAGATTCTTCGATTCGCCTCGGCATGCTGCGCGAGGCGCTCCGCCTTACTAAGGGGAGCCTGGGGTTCTGGCTGTTGCGGCTGCTGCTGGTCCTCGTTGGCGACCTTGTCTGCCTGGCTCTCCCAGTCGTCCTCCCACGCATCCGGGACCGCCGTCTGCTTCCCCATTGTCGTCGGATTTGTGGCTGCGTCGTGCGGTAGAGTTTTGAGATTCAAATTGCGGAATCAGGTGCGGTGTGTCTCGGCGATGAATGCACTGCTGGGCCTGGCCGGTGAGTTGTGACGTGGGAATCGGAGTTACGCAAATAAGGGTTTTCGAAGGGTTGAAAGAGGTGGTGATCTTTGGGCCAGGTTTGGGCACCCTGTGTAGGAGGCATGGGCGTGGGGCTGCTGGTAATGAATTGCACCAAGCTGGGGACCGTGAGGGACATGGCGACAACCTGGGGCCCGGCGCGACAGCCGCAGAAGCGCTTGTCACTCCGAAGTCGCTTCTGCCAGAGCTGCTGGCCCAGCGCACCTGGCCACGGGCCACAGGCTACAGGCTACGGTACCTAGCGCCGAGATCCGCCCTGGCTTTGTGGGGTGGCTTGTCGGTGGCGGGGCAGACAGACCCCGAGGCTGAGCCGCGCATTCATCCGTCAGATGCAACAACAGCTCCAGATATATCCCTTTAGATTCATATCCAGCATCTGAAACAGCAGTGCTGTTGCCGGTAGGCGTATTGAACGTCCCTCTCAAGCCCGCCCTCTTCTCCATAAGCGCCTTTTCGGCCTCAGAATATCGGGCGGATTCTGTTCATCGCCCCTCCTTCAGGACCAGATGACCGATAACGCGGGCGCCAACACGAGTGCGAGGAGAACTAAGGAGGAGTTTGAGTCGGCGAAGTCGAAACTGGTGGACCAGAAGTTCACCATGAGTATGTTTTATCCACCTCACCTCTGCCAATGTCGTCGTGCTGCACCATGCATCTGCCGATGAGCTAGCCCCAGCTGATGACAACTCTCCAGAGCATTACCCCGACCCGCTGGTGCCGCGGGCCAAGGACACGTCCAAACCCCAAGGAGTAACGCCCGACATGGAGCAAAGGTGGCTCAAGATGATAAACGACTCCAAGCAGTGAGTTGTCATTCGTCCAGAAATCTGGATATGTCTGACCGCTATGGTGTCGCCGTCTTGAAGGGAGCGGTGAGAACTTGGCTGCCACCGGCTTCGAGCCAACAAACTTCGCGTCATGCTCGCGGCTCATTTCGGAAAAGGGAGGAAGTGTTGTCCAAAAATTGTTTCCGTCGGTGCTTGAATTTTGTCTTCGTATTGTGACCATTGCAGACTTGTGGTTGGCGTGTCTTGGGCACCAAGCATAAAATAACCACGGGTTGAGAATGACATATATAGCAGACACAGAGTGTTGATTGGATATTTCTGCAGTATATTTTAGGCTCGGAGGTAATTACCTCAGGATCATTATCGATGAAGAATTTGTAATTTCACATTAGTTATGCATATTGATTGGTATCGGACACGGAATTCAGCAGCATCAGCATTGGCTCGAGGGTACCATTATGCTGGACGTGAGAGTACCCAACATGGTTAAAAAAAAATAGGCTCGATAGATATATGTGTGTTAATCACACATATCTACGCATAGGATCAATCCAAGCCAGATGAACATCGGCCCACCCTGAACACGAACTTTGAAACCCAAATATGGTGTATTTAATTCCTTCTTACGAGTATCATTTGAACCTCGTCGCTTACAGCTTCCATCGCGTCATTACCTTTGCCTTGCCAATGATACGAAGTCACACGAGATGCCATACACCCGCCATAAAATCTATTCGTCTGTAAAGATCGAGCTTTTGCGGGCAGATCAGCCATTTCCCCCGAGAAAAGGAACTCCGATATTACGCGCATTAGATTGTTGGTAACACAGCCATTACAACCGGGAAGAAGGCTGTACCCCCACGGCGTTGGTGCTACAGTGTATTAGATGTATACCTGAAGTTTTCGCGTAAGCGGTGCTCAAAAGCAGGATATAGATGGCCACAACTGAGACGACGTCGCTCACATGCTTCAAGGCCGCATTCCACCTGACGCAACCATCTGTCCGGCAGCTGAACCACACGCACTAGGGGTTGCTGAATATGACGTGTGACATACACCTGCCTGGAAAGTCCGAGTCGCAGCTGTCTGTTCTTTTTCGCTCCTTCCATCCATTCCTCTTATCCATCCATCCGAGCCACGGGGTTGCTGGATATGCGCGGTGAGACATGTGACGTGATTTGTCGTTACACGAGGCCGTGGATCCGGGGTGTTGCAACCGCGCAAATGGCCCAATGATCCATGGTACATTGAAAGGACGGCTACAAAGGTACGCAATCACGCCGTGGGGTGACCGGCCCATTGGGACCAAAGGACCGTGGGGTGGCGGACATGGATATTTCGCCGGCCGTATTGGAACGTGGGCTGGATGGGAGGCGAACAGGTAGGTATGCTCCTCACGTCTCTTCTGCTAGGTATCATGAGACCACTGACAAGGATTAAATGTGCAAATTTGACATCACAATAATGGGTGTATAGTCTAGGTACCTTACGGTCTTGGCAAAACATGTAAAAGAAATCAGTACCAATACCACTTACAATAATACCCCTTGGGATTTATTATGCCCGACCTTAACTGATATTTTAAGTGCTATTGCAATAGTGAGAAATCCAGGTTCCTAAAAATATTTTGATAGCAAGCAGCTCCGATTGGAAACCTGTCGCCGCATTGACTACCACACGGAAAGGAAAGCTGGGGACAAAGAATACCGCTAAGCATGGATATATTTAATCCTCGCGGGATGTACCTCTGACGCCAACACCAAATCCTGGACATCATGTTGGCATTGAGGTGTGGGTGACTTGGCTTCACATGGAGCGGAATGCACAAAGTTTGCGCCCGATTTAAGTCACTTCTACCATACGCTCGTCTATATTGGACCATAGTTGACCATGGTTTATCGCCAATATAAAGGTTAAGGTAAGGGTTAGAGTAAAATATTTATCTTTATCTTTATTTTATAGAATTGACGACGTCATTATGTACAAGCAGGAGATAGTAGCCTATGATGCTTACCTACTCAAGTTCTCACGGTACAAATAATTAGGTGCAAACTTTCTGCGTCCCACTGTACAAGCAACACTGAGTCGGGCTCCGAGCATGCGGCGAGGCTTTCGACAAGAAATGTGAGGCAACCGGCAGACTTGACAAGTATACAATCAGCCACGGTTGATGTCGTACTCTCACTATAAGCGATCCTGTCGGTCCGTAATGGTGGCAATGCATTTCCCAGCGCCTCAGCCGGATAGTCATACAAGCCTCGCTTCAGCCGCAAGCCAAGCCAGGGGCTTATTCTTCAAGCGGTCAGGAATCCGATTATTCCCTCCCAACCTAAGATGTCGGGCCCTGGCCTTTCGCTTCGGCATTGGCACCCCCTGCACCTAGGCCTCGGCATGTTGACAGACCACAGGTAAGACACAAGCTTACGACAAGAGCTTACACGTTGCCTGCCAGTGAGGATTACACGAGTCAAGGGAAGCAGAGATTAGGTCTGGAGTAAATTAATAGGAGGTCGGCGCTATTAAGGAGTTCGGATACCCAATCCCACGGTTCGCAGTCAATGGCCAATGCTGGGTCCTAGCTGCGAGGTTGGAGCCGCCGGGTGGTGGGTACTAGGATGCCCCAGCTTCGTCGCGTGCCCTTACTGGAGAGCGTCATGGCCAAGAACTGGCTAATTCGATATCTTGGGGGCACGCTGCGTCAAAGTGCGTGGCCAGAAAGAAAGAAAAAAAAGTCATTTGCTAACCTCGTGACCTGTGATATCTGACAGGTGATGCTTGCGAGAAAAAATAAAATTGCTTGGATGCAGGCCGGTGCCAACGGTGTCAGGACTGGGAGGCTTGATGCAGCAATGGCTGAGCATCGCGCACCCCGAACAAAGGTCCCGCGCTGCGAAAGACAGCAGCAATTGCCCTGACCGACTTCTCCGTCAGATCTCCTGCAGGACAAGCATGAGCAGCTGAGGTGAGTCTGACATGGGTTCGTCAACTAAGAAATCAGATGCCGAGCGGCTTTGACATGACTCTGAATTCGAGTCATGGCTGCGCAGCTGTGTATGTACTTGGCTATCTATGTGTGCTGGGGCCTCCCAGCGAGATAGATACAATCCCGAAATACCCGACTTGACTCACTATCCGACACATTTCGAATGACTTGCATCGACTCTCCCGCAGTTGTCTCGCCTGCCACCACTCCATGTCTCGCCTGTTCGCCGCCACGCAGCGTTATCCAGCGTGCCGTAATCCCTAAGCAAATAGTCTGGGCAGAGGTCCTGCGGAGCTATGCAAGCCCGCCAAACCCACCAGCGGAGCAGGGCCCCGCTTTGCGTGCCCGCCAGCCGTCCACAGAGAACAGAGCATCGATCGCCTCCACCGGCCGCGCAGCCGCGCATCAGCTTCAGTGGAGGAGTTGGTCGCACTGTGAACTTGGGACTGTGGGCGGCTTCTGCGAGAAGCGGGAGGGCCGTGTCATGCAACTGGAGGTCGTCTCGGGCCTTCCAGAAACCACCACATCAACGCCCCCAAGAACAGGACTCAGCGGCTCGCTCGTGTTCAAAGACTCGCCCCTCCATCGGATCTCGATGCGCCAATCTGACCCAGGGCTCGATCCGCCAGCCCGGCCTCAAGAACTAGAAGGATTAAGGTAAGTAGGTACCTTACCTAGGTCAGGGATCTCACCCAAGAAGGAGGGGTCATGGTGCTGGGTGGCGGATCCCCTTGGGGCGGATGGCGCCGAGCCTTGCAACACAGCGCAGTTCCGAAGAACTTTCCATGGAGAATTGATAGGGATCTGAGATGAGCATGTACCAGTACCAGTACTGGACTGCGCTGACCATGACCGCCTGCACAGGCACCTGGGGTTGTTTGAAGCGAGGGAAACCGCGGCAAACCCGACGAGGCGGCACGGTATCAAACTCGCCGAGCATCAACCCTCACTGTTGGGGGAACGCCGATGCACATCGAGAATCAGCATCGCAATACCTCCCGCCTCCCCCACCTCGGTCAACTCTAAATGCCCCCTCCGTCAGAGCCGACTGCGTTCGTCCTCCCTCCCAAGCTCGACGAGGACAAGTGTCGCGGGCTCTTGGTCGCGGACCCTCTCAGCGCCTGCTCTAGTTGCCTCGGTCGCGGCGCACTGTACGGCGGCTTTAACCTCGCCCAGCCCACCCTCACTTCGCCCCAAAAGACATCTTATCATCTTCTCCAGCAGCTCCTCTCTGCAGCTCCATCTTCCCTCCTCCCAACATAAACCGTCGTCTTCTGGACGCCCTTCTCTCGTCACTGCCCTCACAACCTCCCATCTCCGATCTCGCGACCACCGCAAGGCGTACGGCGACGCCTTCGACGGCCTTCCATCTCGAAGCTTGCCGCTATCGACCCCCGCCGTCCCGGACCCGGCCTGCCTACCTGCTCCTGAGCCGCCGTGGTAGCCCACCTCCAGCTGTCGCCGCCATGACGGGCACGGAGAGTGCAGCTTCCAACCAAGGCGGCTTTGATCTGCTGCGACGAGCTACGCAGGCGATGATGTCAAAGTACGTGATCTACACGATTTCTCTGTTATCTTCCCTCTTCCCCGACCTTGCCCACAACCTCTGCTGCGTATCTCCCTTCTCCACCGAACCCGTATTTGCAGTCGCATCCTCGTCCCCATTGCGGCCCAAAGCTGGTGTCCGCTGTCCCCATCCCGTCTCGTCGTTTTTCTGGAGCCAGGTCTTGGCCAGCACCGGGTCCCTGGCAATCGTGGTCCCGGCTTTGCAAGAGCCCCTCACCGGCCCTCACAGGGGTGGCGATGGACATGGCGGCTTCAGGCTTCAGCACCTGTGCACAGCGGGCCCGGCTGTCGAGTCAGAGTCTCCTTCAGGCTAGTCGCAGTGCCTCCCGACCCCCGACACCGCCTGCCGTGGATATCCTGCCCGCTGTTGTCCCTCCTCGAGCTCCCGAGCAGGACTCCCGTCCCTGCAAGCCGCTGGGCCAGTCGCCAAGTGCGGTGGTAAACAGGGCGTTGGCGTGAAAGCAAGGCAGCTGGAAGCAGGCAGCTGGAAAGAGGACTTTGGGCCCCGTCCCCCACCCTAACTTCCCCCAACCACCACCACCACACACACTGTTGCCCTGAGCTGAGTCGCATGGCACCTGGATTACGCGGGAAGCTTGGTCTTGTGAAGCTCCAGTAGTTCTGGGCCCGGCGATGTGAGGACGGAGGCTCTTGGCCACCAACATCCAATACGCCCAGTACATCCAGTACATCCAGCACCAATCACGTCTCAAGGCGCCGGCCGTCCCCTTGACGACATCGCGGTGGACCCGGGCATTCGCCATCCATGATCCGTCATCGAAGCCGGCCAGCCCCAGACGTTCCCAGAGACTTTACCACATGCAACGAGCTCCTCCCTCCTCCCCTTGCGGCCTGACTCGCCTCCGCCGTGATTGGATCCCATCCGCCGGCCTTGGGTCGCGCGCAGTCGCCCCGTCGCTCAGTCCCTGCGTCGCTCGCCCCCGACCCCGCCATCAGCGCTGTTCGGTCGTCCGCCCACGCAGCGCTCCAGGGCCATAAGTCTCTTCTCCTCTCGGTCAGACAAGCCTCGAACAAGCCCACCCCGGCCACATGGCTCGCTCTGCTGTGTTGTTCCGGAGCAAAATTGATCTCGTCATTCCCCTTTTCCACCACCTCTTCCTCCTCCCCGCTTGCGCCTGCGCTCTCTGCGCTCTCCGCCCTCCATTTTGCTTCCGCTTTCTGCCTTCGACATCCGCTCTCGGCACCGTCTCCGCGCTCCATTGTTGCAGGCCGGCCCTCCGCTACCTCACAACCCACGCCCGCGCCCACACCACACCACCGCCCTCGAGACCACAACAGACCTTTCCCCATTCCGTGTTTTTCTCGTCATAGTCACCTCTTCAAAGCCCACTCTCCCTCTCGGTCCCTCACGGCCATTACCCTGTTCCCCCTCTAGTTGACGCGCTTGGCAATCGTCATGAACTAGTGTTCCCACTTCGCTCTTCCCCGCGCCGCATCTTCGGGGCAAAAGCATTTATTCACTCACTCGAAATCTCTTACAAAAATGCATGGGGTCATTAACCAAACCAACAGGTCCGCAGCCGCTGATGAGGATGTCGATCATATTGGTTTCGAAACGCCTCGATCTGGCGTAGCCACCCCCCAACCAGACCTCCAGGACAAACGCTTGCCCGGCATCATGAGCTACTTTGGCCAGGTTCGTCAAAATCCTCCCACAGCCAACATTTCCTCTCAAGTGCCCGGCCACCCCGAGAGTGCTATGCCTCCGGACAAGGCCCGTGGCGAATCCACCCCACCCACCGACCTGCAGTCGCAGGCGCACACCGAGAACTCTCCCCAAGACTGTCTTTCTTTGACTTCAGACCTTTTGCTCTTGCACCGCGAGCATATCGGTCTCGAGCCAGGCGCAGAGCAGATGGAGCAGACTATCCCTGACCCTTACCCAACTCCACCAATTTCCCAGCCATCTTCCTCTGGGTGCTCCCTATCCAAAGTCATGATCTCTGCAGGCGCAGACAGCAACGTTGCTGCACCTGCAAAGTCTCTCACATTGCCGTCACGACCCAAGACGTCTGGCACGTCTCTCTTCACTACTACACATTTCCAACCTGATGACTCATCACCTCCTGAATCGGACCCTTCCACATGCACAACCCTCCCCGAAGTCTCCAATCCTTCATCGCCCCATGAAGCCCCTTCTGAATCGAGTGTTCCCACTCGTCCCACCCCTGGCAAGTGGTACTCTCTTGATGGACTCAAGGAGCTAACTCGTGCTATGACGTTCAAGAGCGGCCCCCCGACTCCAACTCGAGCGCTGTCCGCTGCTCGACCTTCAGGGTCAGATGGGAGGATCAATTCGGCGAGAACCAGCAATGATGGTGCTGAAGTTAGCGGAACCCAGACTCCAAGATCCACGGGCGGTGCCCAGGCGCCGGCCCCCAAGGGTAAAATGACCATCAAGATTACGGAAGCTCGGGGTCTGCGGAAGAGTCGAGACCCTTACGTCGTTGTCGTGTTCCAGCGAAGTGAGCTCATTTCGAGTGGCCCCCGGAACGTCGAAGGTGGACACAGTCTCAGTGTTGCCACTCCGGGAAAGGGAGGCATCGCCATTCAGCGACAAGGAAGCGACTCTGGCCGCCCCATGGCTATCCCAATGCGCAGCCGTCAAAGCAGCAACACCAGCGTGACTGATTACAACACATTCCGAAACCGCTCCCCACGCGAGTCCTTTACGAGCCCCAAATGGGATGCCGAAGCGGCCTTGTAAGTCTCTAGCATTGGATGTCAGTTGAGTATCCTCCACTAACGAAAGTAAGCGATGTTGTTGATTCAAACATGCTTGTCGATATCTCCGTCTACGATCATGCCACCACTGGCGATGAGTTCTTAGGACACGTTGACTTCAAAGCTGTCGCAGACCCTAACAATCCCGTCAAGGGATGGTTCCAGCTAGAGGGCCATGCCGATACCATGGCCGAAAACGCTCCGACGGGTGAGATATACGTTGAAGCCCTCTACCAGAGATCGGAACGGAAGCACTTTGGCCCAACCGATTTCGACATTCTCAAGCTTATCGGTAAGGGGACATTCGGTCAGGTCTATCAGGTGCGGAAGAAGGATACTCAGCGCATCTACGCCATGAAGGTTCTTCAGAAGAAGGTCATTGTGCAGAAGAAGGAGGTGGCGCACACTGTGGGCGAGCGAAACATCCTTGTCCGAACAGCCATGTCCGACTCGCCTTTCATTGTTGGCCTCAAGTTCTCTTTCCAGACACCTTCAGAGCTGTATCTGGTCACCGACTACATGTCCGGAGGAGAGCTCTTTTGGCATCTGCAAAAGGAGGGACGGTTCGATGAGAAACGCGCCAAGTTCTACATTGCCGAGTTGATCTTGGCCATCCAGCACCTGCACCACAGCGACATTGTTTATCGAGACCTAAAGCCGGAAAACATTCTCCTAGATGCCAACGGTCACATCGCGCTGTGCGACTTCGGTCTCTCCAAGGCCAACCTCACCAAGAACGACACAACAAACACGTTTTGCGGAACAACTGAGTACCTAGCACCCGAGGTTCTCCTTGATGAGTCAGGCTACACCAAGATGGTCGACTTCTGGTCTCTTGGTGTCTTGGTTTTCGAGATGTGCTGTGGCTGGAGTCCATTTTACGCCGAGGACACGCAGCAAATGTACAAGAACATTGCGTTCGGCAAAGTCAGGTTCCCCAGGGACACCCTCTCCCAAGAAGGTCGCAACTTTGTCAAGGGATTGCTTAACAGAAATCCCAAGCACAGACTGGGAGCCACGGATGACGCTGAGGAACTGAAGCGTCACGCCTTTTTCGCCGACATCGACTGGACTCTTCTCTCCAAGAAGCTCATCACACCCCCATTTAAGCCTAAGTTGAAGTCCGAGACCGACGTGTCGTACTTTGATCCCGAATTTACAACCGCTTTGGATCAGAATGGCTCCCTCAATGAGCGCGCCGCCGCGTTGGCCCGAGGCTATGCGGCATCTACACCCCTCTCTCCATCCGTCCAAGCAAACTTCCAGGGCTTCACTTTTGTGGATGAGAGTGCTCTTGACGATCACTTCCGTGACCGTCATAGAATAATGGACGACGAGGACATGGACGACGCGCACCACGACGATAACGACGACTGGGACAATTTGGACGACATTGACCTGAGAAAGGCAAACCGGATGAGCGGCATCGTGAGATCGTCAACGCACGATGAGCAAATGGTGGGAGGCTCTCACTTTGACGTGTAACTCTAACGCGATTTTATCATTCTCCAAATGCGTGGCGTTTTGACGATCGTTGGGTTCATCCGTGTCCTAAAAGTAATTCGCAAAACAAAACAAAAAAACCTTGCCCTGTGGGCATGGATACTTAATCATGGCATTATTGCATAGGGGTCGGCTGGTATTGCATTGCATCGGTCATCTTGCTGAAACAGGATCATGGCGTTATGGTTGTGAAGGGAGTATTTGGGATCGGTCCAGTGCCAGTCCCCAGTCCTGTTCCCCGAAATTTTGATGGGCCATGTGCAAATTTTCAGAATGCCAGAAGCAACGGGGTCGAGTTCCCACAGTAGGGGACTCTCATATTTCGTGTTATTAACAATTGCTTGCAATGGCGGCCTTTGTGCTTAGAACTCACTCACTGCGAGTCTTCGTGTTGCAAGTCTTATCATATCGATGCCGTCAATACCCAGAGTCCGCAAGCGACCGAACTGGCTTTGTGACAAGAGACAATTGGTGAAATGGGTGCCTCGCAGTATTCTCAGTGGTGGAAAGGAAGTATTCTACCTCATGCAGTCTGTTGTTGTAGAAGTGGTAGATATTCAGCAAGAAGCACAATCCAGATTGACCCACTGGTTGGAGGTCGGATAAGAGATAATAGTTAATATGATGTTGAGGACGCAATTGCACTACCTCTTTCAGAATGATTAAGGATTGATCAAAGTGAGATTGCGCACTTAGACATGTCAGGGTGTTTTATGCCTCACGAGAAGTTGGTTCAAGCGAGGCAGCATACATTACGATCAAAGTTGCTTGCTTCATTTGGCTTTCGCATTCAATGAGTTCCTACAGGCAACCGAAGGCTGTTTTTAGGAAAATGTACACAGGATTATCATCCCCAATCCGCTGCTGTAACCCCTTTCACTTCAATTCCTCCCGTTGGGCGATGCCACCTCCCTCTTTTCATGGTCCCCCTCAATTAACATCTGAAGACCGCGAGGGGCCGCAGCCGGTCGACCGGGCGTCTATTCCGGACCGTGAAACCCCCGCTTAGTGGTGAGGCTCGTCATCCTCCTCAGCCTCGAGCCAGTCAGGGGCCTCGGTGGCACCGGTGGCGGACTGGGCGGCAACGTCCTGGCCCTCAATCTCGACGGCCATAGTCTCGTAGGCGGCGAGGTTGCTGGCGAGGTCGGTCTCCTCGGGGGAAACGGGGGTCTTGGGCTCGTTGAAGGTCTGGACCTGGCCAACGGAGTCCGAGGCCTTGACGGCGGGGGTCTGGTAGGCGTTGAGCTCCTTGAGGTACAGCTCCTGGACGAAGTCGGCTGGGGAAAAGGATGAGGCGTTAGCATTTATACGGCATTGGCTTCATGGGCACGTCGTAGCGGCGCATTGGAACAACGGGGTCGCGTCTAGGGACGATGGAAACGGTGTTTTGGGGACAGATGGCGGTGGTTTGGCGACGTCGGAGCTCGGGTGGAGCGCAGCTTCGGCTATTGGAATTCTCGCCCGACCGACGACGCGCGAGGCCGACGGCATCGAAGGGAGATGCGAATGGGACGGCGGAGGCATCGAGGCAGCAAAATCTTACCTCGTCGGGAGATGGTAGGCGCAATGAAGCCCCTCACCTGGACGGCAGGGCCTCTGGCGACTCGGGAAACGGCCGCAACGGCGGAGCGAGAGCGCTATAAAGCGGAAAACGTCAGCAACCACGAGGTTCCTTCTCCGGGCGGCGGGCCCCTAGGTGAGCCCCGAGGTAGAGCTGGAGATGGACAGATTGCTTACCGTGGCCCGGGACAGTTGGCTGAGCATTTTGAAATGGCTGGGGTGGCTCAATTGGGTACTCCGGATACGGGGATTGGGGGGTTGACTGAGGGTTTTGGGGAAAAATCGTGAGGTCCCGTCGCCCCGGCTGTCCTGGTCGAGTTGCTGCCTCAGGCCAACAGTTGACAGTTGGAGTGGGTGGTGCTCCGGAGCAAAACGGCTGCGAGTTGGTCAGATGCTCCACGTGACCCGCGCGAGCTCTGGTTGGCTACGAGTGAGTTCCCTACCCCGTAGTAAGTTGTTATCAATCTTCAGAAGCTCACACTTCATGAATCACCATGATGCCGTTCATCCCGGCTGCTGCGTCCACTTCCTGCAGTCACTTTGATTTGACCCTTATCTCCACCTTTGCCAATTTTTACACCTATCTCATCTCCATTCCATTCCCACGCTCAGATCGGAGCATTTCAGCAAGCATGAGCGTTGTCAGTATGTCCAGCGACATCATAGCAAGCGCAACAGCAAATGACCTCACCATGCGACGCCTCTCTCACGCCCACTCGTGTTCGTTCCGTCCAAGCATATTGAGTTCAAGCGATTTGCATTGCGCTATAGTGAATTGGTTCGTTATGTATAATCGAGAAATAATCTCGCCCACAAAATAAGTTACAGAAAATCCTCGGCAATACTCCGTCAAAAGCTCTCTACCAGTAACATCCGTGATCCTCCCTTTCCGTTTCCGAATGTGGTATCCCAACCACAAGTATCTGGATGGCTCAGAGTTGAGCAACTGCAATTATTTACACATCAATCTCTTTTTTTTCTTCCAAATTCCATGCACCAACACTTATTGGTATCGGGCCTGAGACCTGTCGGACATATGGTGTTGCTCATCCTGAGTCATCTGAGGGGAGACGATCCGCTTCACGGTGCGCTGCCTCTTTCGCATTCCACCGAGAAGGCTGCCGGCAATGTACAGGATGCCCACAATACCAGCAACCACTGAGTACGCGATGGTAAGGCCTCGGGAGGAGTTGGCAAGCTCCAGACCCAGTCCTCCATTGACAATACCTAGGACTATGAGGATTCGGCCGTACCAGATGTGGGTGTGGCTGATGATTCCTCGTTGCTGGTGCTTGAGGAAGTACTGGTGGTGCGCCCATCCGAGAATGGGTTGCAGGCCGAGCAGGGCGCAAACAATAGTGCCCATCTTGGTGTGGGTGTTTTTCCAGAACTGAAAAGAGAGCGTTAGCAATCGCGGACGTGGGGTATGCGAATACCTGTCCATGGAACACTTACAATAGCATCATCTCGAGCGACAACATAGCCCAGGGCGAAACCCGCCCACATGCCCAGGAAAGCGAGAAACTGCCAACCTGCGTGGAGGAACCACTTTCCGACCAGGGGCATAAACACGGCGCCGATGGGATATGCGATAACAAAGACAATAGCCATGATGATGCCATGGGCATTGGACTTGGTGTCGCTGCTGCTGCTTCCAGTCTCTGTTACTGCGCCATCCGACCCGGACCCAGACCCGGAACCTGATCCTGATCCGGAGTTGGAACCGGAGTTGGAGCCGGAGTTGGAATCGGAGTCGGAATCGCTGTTAGAGCTCGTGAATGGGTTCCCGCTCGAGCTGAAGCTTGCCGAGGCAAAGTTGACGTTGAAGACGTGGTCAGAATCGTGCTCGGTAATGGTCGCTGATTTGCTGGTCGTGTCGAGACTGTCGCCAGACTTCCAGGCGCCAATCCACGAGTTGGAACCGGAGAGGTCAAGCGAAGAACAGTCGCCGCATCGGATGTTGGCAGTCATTTCGCTGCCGCTGACGCCGGACCCCGAGAGCAGCTCGACGGCGCTCCTCTCCTCGTATTGGGGCATGACATGGCCTCTGCCGGCCCTGGTGCTCAAGGTGACATTACCGCTGCCGTCCTGGTAGATGAGGAAGATCTCGGCACCGCTCATTCCCGAGCCGATGCCAACTGCAACCCACTGGTTGCTGGTGGGAGCCTTGATTTGGAAGTATACGTCTCCGGACCCCGAACTTACGGCGGCCTCTGGAACACCCCAACGGTAGCAGACATCGCCGGAGCCGGGACAGAATGAGGAGGTGGTGGCGGAAGCTTCGCGGGCGTCTAAATGTCAAATTGTGTCAGCAACAATAACAACAAATGATTTGGGGAGGTGTTGATGGATGCGCGGTGGGGGACATGATGTCTTACATAACAAGGTGGTGGCGGCGGCTGCAGCCAGCGTGCCAATGTGCGACTTCATGGTTGGTGTGATGGATTTGAATTCAGATGAGGCTGTCGAAGTCCAGCTGTGAAAGTCGGGCTGTGAAAAGTCAAGCTGTAAGATGGAGGGGAGTGGGTTTGAACATGAGGGCGTCAACGAGGGGCACGGCCAGGACCATATATGGACAGGTTGGGTGGCAGCCGTGACACAGCCAGGGGGTTCGATGGAAGAAGCATTCTAGCAGCAAGCCACGCTCGGAAGGTGCTCGAGCCCGAGACTAGCTCGAGGAGGACGAGATGGGGGATGATCCTGATTCGAAGGGAGCGCCAAGCATGAGCAAAGAGGCTCACACCCCTTGTTTGCCTTGGTTTCCCTTGTCGTCAGCGTCACGCTCCGCCCTTTGATGATGCTCGTCGCTTGGGAAGGGGAAAATAGGGTTTCAGCGTCTGGGCACGCCTGGGCACGCCTCACACTGCCACATGTTTGTCTCTTTGTGACCTTGTTGGGAAACTTGGTGTTTCTAAAACCGTCCGCTGCACCGGCGCGAGGCCTAGGCCCAGCACGAGCGTTGAAGGATTGGCTTGAGGTTTCGTTGGTGCTCGCTGCTCGGATACCAGTGCCGCGTGCCCGCTGTGGCCCGGAGACGCCAGCAGCGCCAGCAGCACGGAGAGTCGCGGTGCCGCTGGCTCACTTCATCCGCTAATAAGTGAGATCGCTGGGACGCTTGGCGGGTGACGAGGCTGGGACGCTGAGACGCTGACCACAGGCATGTTCAGGATTACAGTACAGCATGTACCCTTTCTCATGCAGGCCAGGTAAGGTACCTACAGGTGTGTGTGTGTGTGTGCATGCAGTGCGCTCACAGCCCAGTACGTAACTTACTCCGTGCATTTCTACGATTACCTACCTACTTGCGGCCGCGTCGTCCACGTCTGTCTGCTTGCACCAGCATCAATAACTGACTGTGCTGCACGTCCGTTGCTCCGACCAACCGAAACCGCGGACTGACAAATGCAGTGGGCGAAGCACTGCAACACAATGGCGGGCGGCCGACCCAGGTTGGGAATCCACACCAGCTCCCAGCACCGCCGCACTCTAAATGATAAGCTTCTGAGTTCTCAGGGCCAGGAGGGTTAGGAAATGCTCGGAAAGGTCAGTCTTGGCCGCCGGGATTCGCTGTGTGCGCAGCGAACTCAGATAGGATTGCTGTCATTGATTAACACGGTTTAACCCAGTTGAAGTCGACATGGCTCTTGTGGGGGGCGTTGATACCTTCTCTTTGTCGTCGGCTGCGGGCACTCAATCTTCCCGATACGGCGCAACCCCAGCTCCATCCCGCCCCCATCCCGCTCCATCCCCGCTGCATCTCCCACCCGCATCCCACCGCAAGGCAACGAAGCGAGCATTACTTACTAACTCAAGATCGAAGGTCCGTGATTCCCTGGCCTGCTCCGCCTGGAACTTAGAAGCGAAAATTAAAACAGAAGAATAGACTTTCTGCCGCGCTTCCGAACCACAGCCAACTACGAAGTGTCGAATTATCGCTGCCGTGGCCCTGTCGCGAGGTCCACCTGTCACTCTGTCACTGTCGCAAAAAGACCTGCCAAGAACAAACTGCCCCGGACCGTCGGACGGCACTTTGTTACAGGAGAGGCCTCCTGGGCGATTCCCCCCGCGATGGCACCCAATGACGCCGCGGTAATTTGCAACCTAACCGCCCGAGGTCCGGACCAACACCACCACCGCCACCGAGTTTGGGTGAAAATCTACAACTGCAGCTCGGGGAGTATACGTCAGCATTCCCAGTCTTTCAATCAAGCCGGCATGGGATGGACCTCAGGCCGGCCAACGAAACTGTATTCCTTCGTATCTACGGATATCCCGTCGTCAGTGCCATGTCAACCCACAGCCTGACGGCAGCAAAAAGCTTGGCCTTTCATGCTTAAACGTGGGTGAATAGCCCATCGCTGCGCAACCATTGGCGTGCCAAGCTCGAACATGTTCCACGAGGCGTCGGTTGGAACGCGCGGGATCCAACATCTCAACAGAGTACGCGTAACCCTCTGATGCCGTCACCTCGTGGCTCAACCTCTGCTGCGCGTTTGTCTGGTCCGCGTACGGGCTATCATGTATCGTGTGCATGTTGCTGTACGCCTCCTGCACCGGTACATGGTGCGGCGCCTGTGCCTATCGGTACGACGCACGCTCGAGCAGAGGACTTCCATCTCAGCCCTTTCTCCTAGCGCCCCCAGACCCAGCGCGAGGGCTCCCCATCCGGCAATTACAGGGCCCGGCAGTGGATGGCGTCCTGCGCTAGGCCAGCCGAGCCCCAGGTCAACAACCCATGATGATACCACCGCGCCATGGATTGACCCAGGCTAGCAGCTCTCCACCGAGTCACCAAGTCCACTCACGGCGCAGTCAATTCACACGCTTCAGAAGCCTTATTAACCGGCTCCGCAACTGGCCCTGCATGCGCTGCCAAGACTGTCCCAGCGCCTCGTTCTCCGGCCATTTGCCTTCAACCCGTCACTCATGCAGTTTGCCTTTCTTGGCCCTCTGCCCGTCTGCATAATCCGCGCCTGCAGACGAGATCTGACCGCCAATCTTGCCAATATTCGCAATCCCAAAACGCCAGCTCAGCCCCGGCCGCTGACGTTGCCCTCGTCCCGGTGGCGCTCCTCCACCACTTGAAACAGAGGTGACGCGGTCTTCACTGCCGGCAATTGGGTTTGCCTCGGGGATCAAGATACGTGAATGAGGTTTTTTATCTTTCTCGGGAACCGATCTATCGTGTATTGCTTTCTTTGTCCCCGTTCGTCCCGTTCGTCCGCTTCGTCTATCTCGCCCAAGAATCAAGACCTGTCGGTGTCGTCACCGTCCAATACCAGCAGGGCTCCCGATAGAAACAAGAAACAGGAAACAAGAAACTAGACCACGTACGCCTCTAATGTCCGATAAACCCAAAGTCTCAGTCTCGCAATCTCTCTGCATATTTACTTTTCCACTCCTTTGCATCACATTCCCCGAATGCAACCACAACTACCCAACCGTCATCTCACCGAGGCCCAAGCGTATGTCAGATCTGCGCCGCGAAAGCAAAGCCCTCATTCTCCAAGAGGCTCGATGACGCAACGAAACTGAATCCGCCAAAGAGGTCATCCTTAGGGACGCTCCGCGACCAGATATCACTGCTCGTCTGAACGGGGCTGAGCGAAAGCTCAGTGAATTCGGGCGCGAAGTTCTCGGCCAACTCTGGGTCAGTGATCATCGGCTGGATCGGCGGCTCCAGCTCTCGTGCTGCGAGCTTCTTCCAGTCGATCTTGCGGAAGAAACGGTGTTTCTTCATCGTCTGCAGGTCCTTTGGCATGACCGCACCGAGTCGCTTATTGGGGTCCTTGCGCAGGAGCCTCGTGAGCAAGTCTTTAGCGTCAGGGCTCAGGAAGTATGGGAGCACCAGCTTCTGCTTGACAATGTTGTCCTGGATCTTGGCGTGGTTCTGGCCACGGAAAGGTGGGTTTCCAGTCATCAAGTCATATCCAAGAGCGCCAAAGGACCACCAATCGACCGCTTTGCCGTACTTCTTTCCAAGCACCACCTCCGGTGCCATGTATTCCACCGTGCCAAGCATCGAGTTGCAGCTCTCCGACTGATCTACGGCGACCTTGGAAAGCCCGAAATCCGTCAAAAGCAGGTGACCTTCGGAATCCAAAAGGCAGTTCTCGGGCTTGAGGTCGCGATAGACGACTCCCAAATCATTATGAAGGTGCGAAATGGCGAGGAGCATTTCGGCCATGTAAAAAGCCGCCACCGTCTCTGTGAACATCTTTTCCGTGTTCAGATGAGTGAACAACTCTCCACCCTGTCCATATTCAAGAATCAGGTAGAGCTTCTCGCGATCTTGGAAAGCGTAGAAGAGCTTGACCACAAAGGGGTGCCTGTTGACCGATTCGAGGATCTGTCGCTCAGTCTTGGTCTGCTCGACGAGTTTCTTATGGACCACCAGAGACGCCTTCTTAAATTGTTTCTGCGCATAGAGCCGCCCAGTAGAGCGTTGCTTCACCAGAAGCACCGTTCCGTATGTACCCTTGCCAAGACATCTGAGGTGGTCAAAGTCCTCCGACGTCATCTTGCGTCTCGGGTTCAGACCGCCCTCAAGCGGTTCCATGTAACCAGTGCGCTCGCGAACACTCTCACTAACAAAGTCGTTTTCCAGATTGACCTCATAACTCATGGAGCCGTTCTCCGAGCCATCACTGCCAGTGTCGCTACGAACATCGTCGCGGCTCTGCGAGCGACTAATGAGCTTTCGACGCACATCCAGACCCAAGCCTTGGTGGCTCCCGGAGCGACTCATAGAATGACATGGCGATGAAGACCCATCCAGACTCAAAGGGTCCATCTGCAGACGCAGCTTAGCGATACCCGACACGGCGGGAGAGCCGCTGGGGCGAAGAATCGGGCTGCAGTTGGCGCTGACAACATCGTCGATAAGCTTACGTCCGCTGCGAGCGGGCATGCGTGGAGTATCTCCAAGGCCATGGTCGGAGTCCTCATCCCCGGAGGCGACGGGGGTTGCCTGAAATCCGCGGACGGTGGTAACCGCGGTGGGGGCTCGGCTTAACATGGTCGCGTCGGGAGGCGAAAGAGGAAGAGTAGAATGGGTGGCTCGATCAACCCAAAACAACTACAACGCTCAACAGTCAAACACTTGGTACGGTTCAAGTGCAACAGGCTGAGGTCGAGTCGTTCAGGGGGAGCCTCGTCGTCTCTCCGGATCAGCGCGGGGCTCGGATTCGAAGTGTCGCAGGATTTGGTGGTAACTCGAAATACGCATCTGATAGCGGAAGAAAGAGGTTCGAACGTTGGCGGGTTTTGCTATATGCATTTGTGGGCGGTATAGGGAGAGGGAGGGTTGTAGGGAGAGAAGTTCACCAAGAGGTGTGAGGAAGAAGGAGGAGGAAAGGGCGAAACAAAGGATGCAGGCGACCAAGACATTTTAGAAAATTTGGTGGCCCTTGAAAGCCGGCCAGTAGGAGCGCCAGCGCACCCAGGCCGACTTTTGGGCGGCCTTGACTGGCTGCGGCGCCCTGCACCACGCTGTAACAAGCGTAATTCCCCCGCTGGCACTCCCTCGAGGCCCCCCTGAACAGACTTCGCCCTACCCGGCTCAGCACGCGAGGCAGGGTTTTTTTTTTTTAGCCAGCAGCCCAGTGACCAGCCGCTCGGGAGCGGACGGCTATTAGTGCCCTGTCGTCTAGCGATCCTGCACGTAAAACCCCCCCCGGAGCCGTGTACATGCCCGACATTTGGCGGAAATACTACCTGCCTTCCATAGGTACTTTCCGGCTTCCCTTACGAGCTGGGACACGAAGCACGGGCGGCCAAATAATGCCAAATAATGCCTAATATTGCCTCTTAGGTCGCAATATGGGCCGGGCGGCGCCCAATGCTTAAATTGCCCTTCGCTCCGCCCGCGCATAATGCGCGCGCAGTGGACAGACTCTCTTCTGCTCCAGTGAGGCCGGCCTTGGGCCGTCGCGGTGCTGGCGAGGTGGCCACGCACAGCGACGGAGCCGAAAGTCTGGAGACCTGACATCACCAATAACCTGACTTGCAGGGAGCATGCGGCGATCAGGGCGGACAGCGACGGCTGGATTCCGATTTAGCGGCCAAGTCCGCCAGAGTCCACTAAAAAGTTAGGACGACCCAGTACCCCAGCATCCTTTCTGGCACCCAGGTGCAACCCCAGGCAGCCAGTGTCCTGGTCCACCACCTGTCGGCGAAACTAACTACCGTCACCGAGAAAATTCACGACCCTGCAAGCATCCGTCGATAGCTTCGCGAGGCTACAATCCACCAAGCAGCTTCCACCATCCCCGATACCTCGACCTCGCGGCAGTGAACAGCCCCCGGCCCTTGGAACGCGAACTTATTCACTCGATCCATTCCCTCTTTCCATTGGAATCCATTCACCAAGCTCTCCGCCACCAGGTCCTGCGACTCGTCCATCCGCCACCATGATTCACCCATCACGGCAGGCGTACGTGGAGGAGGCCGACACGAACCAAGGAATCGCCCTGGAAGATGTCCCCGATGACCACGATTATGATATCCACATGGGCGGCTCCGGAGTTGCCCCCGAGAAAGCCTCCGCCATCCTCAACCAGTTCAATCGCAAGAGGCTCGCCGCGACCATAGCTGTGCCAACCGACGATGGCCGAGTCCGCGCCAAGCTCAGAGAGATGGGGGAACCCATTACCCTCTTCGGGGAGGGGCCTGTGGATCGTCGTGATCGTTTGCGCGAGCTTCTGACAATCCAGGCGGAGATGTCAGGGCTGGAGAACGGTGACATCACCATGGAGGACGCGCCGGAGGATGAGGCAGAGGAGGAGCAAGAGGAGGAGTTCTACTCACGAGGCGGCCCCGAGCTGTTGCAGGCTCGCATCAAGCTCTCCGAGTATTCGCTACCCCGAGCGAAGCGGAGAACCACGTTCCAAAAGGCCGAGTCCACGATTCCTCTACGCACACACGTCAAGTTCCGAAAACATATCAAGGAGAGGTTACAAGCCTTCGAGCTTCAAGGCAGTCAGATTGTCGGCGAAAGGAACCTTAGCATCACCAGGGTATCCCCCAACGGAGAGCTGGTAGCTGTGGGCAACTGGGGTGGACAAGTCAAGCTGGTTGAGATACCCAGCTTAACTGAGAAGAAGACCTTCCGTGGCCACACCAACAAAATCAGCGGTATATCGTGGTTCCCTGGTGCCACCATCCCCGAACAGGGTGTCTCTCCAGACTCGGTCAACCTGGCTTCGGGTGGCGCTGATAGCCTCATCAACCTTTGGTCATTAAACCAAGACACGCCTTTGTCAACGCTGCAAGGCCACTCCCAGCGTGTCTGCCGCACCGAGTTCCATCCTTCTGGACGCTATCTCGCGTCTGCGTCTGAGGACACCTCATGGCGCCTCTGGGATGTGGAGACGACGGCAGAGGTGCTCCTGCAGGAGGGACACTCCCGAGGTGTCTACGCCATCAGCTTCAACACTGACGGATCCTTGCTGGCTAGTGCAGGTCTTGACAGCATCGGCAGAATTTGGGATCTGAGGTCCGGACGCACGGTGATGATCTTGGATGGGCATCTGGACGGTCACATTAAGCCGATTCACGCTCTTGACTGGAGCTCTGACGGACACCGAGTTCTGACTGGGTCTGCGGACGGTTGGATCAAGTGTTGGGATGTACGAAAAGTGCAGAGGACTGGTGGTATTGGTGCGCACACCAGCTTGGTTTCGGACATGCGTTGGTTCAAGGGCATGGACGACCCGGTTGATGGCATTCCTCCGGGCGTGGATGAGAAGGGAGCTCAACTGCCCAAGAAGTCGGGCACCTTTTTCGTGTCGAGTGGATTCGACAAGAACGTCAAGATCTTCTCAGCAGACGACTGGTCATTGGTCCAGACACTAAGCGGCCACACGGGGCCGGTTGCCAGCGTCGACTACAGTAGGGACGGCAAGTGGATTGTCAGCGGAGGACATGATCGCACGGTGAAGCTCTGGGGCCGCAACGACGGCGAAGGTATCTGAGGAGCAGGGATAGATCTTTTGCGAAACTAATGTGCATTACTTTGAGATACCCCGGACCGCACGGCTTCTTCGGCAAGACATCATCAGGTAGCTTTGGCGGTGAATTGGATCGAGGGGGAGCATCAATAATCAACCAACATTCTTTTGTTCAGGTGCATAAATGGCAAACAATACAAGGCAATAGGCGTTCGTTGGGCGCCCCCAACCCACCCACCCACTTTCCGGTGGCTGAGGTGTGTCATGTGATACCCCCCGTGCGATTAGATAACGACTTTACTGGGCCCCTGGTGCCAACCTCGCCGCCGACTTAAACAAGAGCCTTCCCAGATTTCCATCACCTTCACATCAGCCAACTCTCGACGGGTGCTTCCCCATGAACCGGTGCCGCTTCTCTCTTCTCACCATCGCCAACCCGACATAGCGCTACCGGCCATGGCGAGCATCGACCGATACCGCCCTCCCAGAGAAGGCTATCAGCCTCCCCCCGTCGCTGGATCCGCGCGACCAGATCGCGAATCCCGCTCTCGATCTCCTCGACGCCGCGACGCCGTGCCCCCCGCCGTCCCGACTCCTCCGCAACACTCGACGCGCACGTCTCCTCCGCGGCCGCAGGCCCGCCCCAGCCAGCCCTCTCCCTCGCGGTCTGGCGCGCAAACGCCCTCGCCAGGTCCGAATCAATGGTCCTTCACCTCGGACGAGGTGCGCAGCACCCCGGCTATTGCTGAGGGACTCGCCCCGGCCGAGGAGAGAATGCGCAGGGCCAAGGGTGTCAACTTCATCTACCAGACTGGCATCATGCTGGACCTACCCCAGATCACGCTCTGGGTCGCGGGTGTCTTCTTTCACAGATTCTACATGCGCTCCAGTATGGTACAAGAAAAGGGTGGCATTCATCACTATGTGAGTCTTAGTATATTCCCATATCCTAGTTCTCAGTCTCAACTCAGATCGGGATCACCCTTCTCGTTTTACGGGTTCGAGACGCCTCCACTACAACTTGTTGCTGACGTCGCCCTCATTGCAGAACATTGCCGCCACAGCCCTCTTTCTAGCCAACAAAGTGGAAGAAAACTGCCGAAAAACGAAGGACATAATCATTGCGGTCGCCAAGGTCGCACAGAAAAACGCAAAACTCATCATTGACGAACAGAGCAAGGAATACTGGCGATGGAGAGACAGCATCTTGACGTACGAGGAGGTCATGCTAGAACAGCTGACATTTGACCTCATGATTGACAACCCCTATCGCCATCTGTTTGAGTTGCTCGGTCAGCTTGATCTCGTTCACAACAAGAATTTACGACACAGCGCATGGGCGTTCTGCAATGACGCCTGTTTAACCTCTATACCCCTTCTCATTGAGGCGAAGGATGTTGCCATTAGCGCAATATTCTTTGCAAGTGCGCATACAAATCAGCAAATTGACGACATCAAGGGCGAACCGTGGTGGAAGCATTTGAGGGGCGACGAGGAGCGATGCGTCATGGCCATCGAGGTGATGCGGCAGTTTTACACGGAGAATCCGCTCAGAAAACAGAACCCGTCGCTGCCCTCACCGGCTTTTCATCTCGAGAACACCCGAAGGCGAGGGGATACCCTGCTCAGTCAACCAGACACTCAGTCATCAGCCAACGGGACGCCCATGGAGCTTGATCGTGCCAGTCGCAGCCCAGGTCCAGGCGGCAGAGCGAATGGTACTAGCAAGGACGGCGATGCCCGAGACCACGGCCGAGAAGCAGGCTCTCAAGCGAAATCAGAAGAGAATGACTACGCGCCCAAGTCGCCATTGAAACGAAGGGAACTGGAAGACGGCGAGACAGACGATGGCAGGGCGGCGAAACGAGCACGGCTGTCTGAGGATGAGGGAGAACTCATTGAGAACTAAACCCAGGGACGAAGGCCGATGTACTGGTATGAGATAAGAGGCGTTGGGGACCGAATTTCTTTGTCGATGTGTATGAGGATGGACCGGGATTTCGCATGGCTCTAGCCGGAGAGCCCATCATGGCATAGGGCGGCGCACCCAGGATACGGCGTTTGGATGTCCGGGAAGACGCCCGCAGCGACGCAGTTTTACAGTTGATGATTTGGTAGCTTTGAGATTCAAATTGTTCAAGAGCCCAACGACGCCAAACACAAGAGACGCAATATTAGTCCTTACGAAATGTCACAGAGGTTGATCGAAGTTACATGCCGAGATAATGAGAGGACCAATCAATTAGGAACAAAGAGCAAATGGATGTGTATCGTTTCATTAAGTAAACACTTTCATAAACCAGCCTCGTGCCCCCTTGCCATTCAGGTCACTCGTAAAGCCACGCTCAAGACTTAGCCCTCCGCCCTTCCTGTTCAGCCTGGCTGCGCTCCAACCGCGCGCTTCTGCTTGATCGCTCTCGGGCCCCGGATTTGTCAGGAAGATCTCTACCTCGATGTTTTGCCTTGGAATCCGTTATGCCCTTGGTAACCCATTTGAGAATCACCACTTGAGCCCTGTGGAGTTGAGGTTGACCAGATGTTGGCCCCCAAAGTGCCAGCTGTGACTGGACGCTTCACAGCAGCCTTTGACTCAAATAAAGATCCCTCGCTCGATATTTTGCCTTGAAATCCGTTATGTCGCTGGTAACCCATCCGAGAATCACCACTTGAGCCGAGTGGAGTAGAGGTTGGCCGGGTTTTGACCAACGAAGTACTGGCTGTGACTGGAAGTTTCACAGCAGCTTTTGACTTAGATAGAGATCCCTCACCCGATACCCGACCTTGGAATCCATTATGCCTATGAAACCCCACCTGAGGATCACTGCTTGAGCTTGGTGTCGTAGAGGTTTGGAATCCAGTATGCCTATGGTACCCCGTCTGAGGATTACTGCTTGAGCTTGGTGTACCTCGGAATCCGTTATGCCCTTGAAACCCCATCTGAGAGTTGCTGCTGGAGCCTAGTGGAGTAGAGGTCGGTCGGACGTTGACCAGTGAAGCGTCGATTGTGACCGGAGGCTTCACCGGGGCTTTCGACTCATTCAACGAGAGAGAATCCAGGCTCGGGATTCCCGTCCGCCCCTCTGACCGGCTCTTCACAGCCTGTGTGATTGGGGCTCTTTGGGGACCAGTGCTCCATTTTCCAATGTTGTCTCGCAAAATTGTCGAACCTGAGCTGGGGGATCCTTGGTTGCCAGTGCTGAAATTGGTAATCATGTTTCGCAAAACTGGTGAATCTGAGCTGAGGGATCCTTGGTCGCCATTGCTGAAATTGGCCATCATTTTTTGCAAAACTGGTGAATCTAAGTTGGATCCTATGTTGCCAGTGCCGAAATTAGCTATCATGTTTTGCAAAACTGGTGAATCTAAGCTAGGGGATGCTAGGTTGCCAGTGCCGAAATTGGAAATGGCGTCTCGCAAAACTGGTGGATATGAGCTGAGGGATCCTTGGTTGCCAGTGCTCCATTTAGCAGTATTGCGGAACGAGTTTGTTGGCTGCGAATGTTGAGAATCTTGGGTACCAGTACTTTTAGCAGTGTTCCGGAACGATTTTGCTGGCTGTGAGTGTTGATGATATTGAGTACCAGTGCTTTTAGCAGTGTTGCGGGACGAGTTTGTTGGCTGCGAGTGTTGATAATCTCGGGTACCAGTGCTCTTAGCAGTATTGCGGAATGGGTTTGTTAGCTTTGACTGTTGATGATCTTGAGTACCAGTGCTTTTAGCAGTGTTGCGGGACGAGTTTGTTGGCTGCGAGTTTTGATAATCTTTGGTACCAGTACTCCACTCCGCAGTGTCATGGAACGGACTTGTCGACTGCGACGCTTGAAGTTCCTGTAGTCGAGTGCTATATTCGGTCCATTCGGCGCTGTTCTCGAAGTTTGCCAATTGTGGTTTCGATGGTGTGGCTGTCAAATGTCCGTTCTGAATTGAGGAATTGGGACTGAGGATGGGATTATCAGATTCCCTATCGTTGGGCGTCAGTTCCGCTTCTATTTGGTGGTTGATTTGGCTGTTCTCATATAACGTCACTCACGTTTTTGGCGATGCAGAGCTAGCCCGCGATGATGGTCTTGATAGCTGTAACCAGGGATGCCTACAAGCCTCGGAGGCTGTGAGACGATTTCCAGGGTCGGCTATCATAGACTTATTAATGAAATCACAGCAGTCTGAGCTCGCCCCTATGACTTCGAGGGCCGGCAATGGGAAAGGTTGTCCGCGAAGAACGTAGTTAACAAGGTCATTTGGATCCGGAAAGGCAGGACGTCGAGTGGCCATCCTGAATGTGAGCTCGCCCAATGCCCACATGTCAACGGCGAATGTATAGGAAAATTCGTTGGACTCTGAAGAACCCTGGGAGTAAATTAAGCCTTTAAGCTCCGGGGCCATGTAACCGTCTGTTCCAATAGTGGTCCGAAGAGCTGTATTATCCTCCTCGGAGCGCTTGGAAATGCCGAAGTCACCGATCTTGACCCACCAGTCGGGGCCAGGCTTATGAACAAGGATATTCTATGGAAATGACCAGTTCGTGTTAGTTATGTCGACGCATAAGAGAGCTATTCGTCGTGTTCGGGGGTTCACGCACTAATGGCTTGAGATCCCGGTGAGCGAAGCCGTTGTCATGCATATGCACGAGACCTTCAACAAGCTGCAAGACAATAGTCTTAACCTGGTCCTCGGGTAAGGGCTGGTAGAGGTATCCATTTAAATCGCCATGCTCGAGGTACTCCATAGCTATAAAGACTGTGTGCTCGGACATGTACCAGCCGTGACATTTGACGAAGCAATCAACATACTTAACAGCAGGGCGTTAGCAAACTTCTGTCAGTTGCGATATCTATTTACTGGGATGACACACCTTCTCGTGGGAAAACTTAGTCATGGCCTCCAGTTCTCTCGAGTAGTCCATCAGTGGTTTTATCAGCATCTCCTTGACGGCTCGGAGAGTTCCGGTTGAGGGACCGGAGTCGCACCTCTCCAGCCACACATCGCCATATCCGCCTTTGCCAAGCTTGCGTTCACGGCGCCATACTTCATCAACGCGGGCCCTCTGTCTCCGGCTGGCGTGAGGAGGTGTCACATAGAAGGTGTGTTGGGTCGCGCCGTCGGGGAGAAAGCGAGTGTCTAACTTGGAGTCGCGGACGAGGTCTGGGAGTGAGTGATGCTGGTGCAATCGATGCTGAGGCCGTTGAGCGCCCGAATTTTGGCCTTGTTGTCTCATTGCAGGCAACCCGGGTTCCTTTACTTGAACTGAAGCTAAGACCGACAGATACGTGCTATACTGGTTCCGAAAGGCGGAGACGTCGCATTGGCGATAAGAGCATCGGGGGGATCAACCTATATCATTCTCATAACGAAGGTCAACTACCACAGGCAAGAGGACCAAATTAACAATGAAGATAACGGTTCATGCGCAACGCAAGGGAGGAGGGGTCAAGAGGAAACAGGTCGCCTCACACTCGGCCCCGCAATAGCCGCCGAAGTCGACTCAGCCGCACAAGGCTGTGAGGGACAAACGTCTATGGTCAACGGATTCTCCACTAGTGGGATTGCGGCGTGTAAGGCGAACGATGCCTGGCTAGGGTTCCCTCCCAAGTCTGCCTCGCTCGTTCATGATCGCAGCCCAAGTTCATAAACCTCCCCTCATCACCACCGCCCAAAATTCCGTATCGTTTCCTGACGTTAATAGTCGCAGCGACTGCTTCAGAAAATGGAACTTGGCACTGTCGTATCAGCAGTTGATATCTGCCACAGGTACTTACTTGGCTCAGCCCCTCACACCTCCCTTGCTCCGCCCGAGCATCTCGACCGTTTCTGATCGTGCTTTGAACCAACCTAGGTGCATACTATTCATAATTGAGCACTGTGAAAATTACAAGGCCGCCAATGATGAGGTGGCGGAGCGCATCGCCATTGTGGAAGTCAGTTGGACTCGGACGCGGATGCAGACAGACTTCCTCCAGCCACTAGGTCCAATCATTGACGCCGAGCATCACCGCGTCCTGGACAATGTCCTCGGCATCCTAGCAGCCAAGCTCTCGTCCGCAGTTAGCAGCCTCAAGTCTGTTCTCGCAAAGAAGAATAAGAACGGTAGCGAGGCGAGGGAAGGCTTCCTCGGATTCTCGAAAGGGGTTCGGAAAGCCAAGTATGCCTGGGTCAAGGATGCACTTGACGACGTTATTCGAGACCTGGAGGAGTGGCAGAGGCGCTTCGATCCCTCATGGTTCCTCATCATGCGGATGGCGAATCCCGTCATCGACAGCCAGCTCCATGTGGCTATGGGGCGACCTCCATCAACACCACAGCATCTTGCCGTTGGATCAGAGCAATCGTCGCAACCAACACCTCCCCGACCCCCTCCGTCGCCGTTCGGGCCCAGACGACAAAGGTCAGACCAGCAACTCCATCAACCCCGTCCGAATGCCATCCTCGCCACCGGACTACAGCAAACCTCTTCTCCATTATCATTGGCCGATGGACTCAGGACGGCCCTCCGTCCCAATGGCGCTCGCCACTCGATCTTCCTCCCTCCCGTGGCTTTCGATTTCACGCCCATACCGTACTCAAAGGCCAAGGCGGCCCGCCGCGGCGGCTCCAACGATCGCTGGTTCATCGTCGACTCATTGGCCTGCAGACCAGGAATGGCTGACACCATGACAAACGATGTCCGCGACTTGGCTCAGAAGCTCTCCTGTGCTGATCCGCTGACATTCGGCCTCCTCAACTGCAAGGGCGCCATGAGAATCACTGACCCTCGCCAACCTTCGCGCATCTTCTCCTTTGACCTTTTCTTCCGCATCCCAGACGGCTTAGAGATACCCCAAAGCTTGCGCCAGGTCTTCCTCCTCTACCCTGGAGGCAGCGACTCTGCTCTCTCCATCACTCGTCGTGTACGCATCGCGCAGCAGCTAGCCAAGTCGATCAGTTACGTCCATACCTTTAATTTCGTCCACAAGAGCATCAGCCCAGAGTCTATTCTCCTCCTAGAAGACCTCGAATCCTCCCACAGTGCTACTTTCCTGGTTGGCTTCGATCGCTTTCGCTCCGCCGATGGTGCCACGATCCGTCAGGGTGACAGCGCCTGGTACCAGAACATCTACCGCCACCCCAGCCGTCAAGGGGAGAGTCCCGAAGACACATACCGCATGCAGCACGACATCTACAGCCTCGGCGTCTGTCTGCTTGAAATTGGTCTCTGGCAGTCGTTTGTGGAGTATCCTGCCGACACACCGAGTCCTGGTGGGCCCATCCGTGAATTCGCAAGCCATTTGATGCCCCGTGGCGGTAGAAGCATTTCTCCCGCGGTGATGGGCTTCCAGGCCAAGCAATACTTGGAAGATTTGGCAAAGGAGAAGCTCCCGCAGGCCATGGGCGAGAGATACACTCGGGTCGTGCAGTCATGCCTGACCTGCCTAGACGAGGACAACGAGGATTTTGGTGGTGACGCGGCACAGCAGGCAGCAGCCGACCCGGACGGCATCCACCTCGGCGTGTGCTTCTACGAGAAGATTCTTGAGCGACTGAATGAGATAGTGATTTGATCACGGCGATGATGATGAAGGAATGGTGTACGCCTGCTTGGCGAACTGCTATAATGTATCAGGACCGTTATTTGAATCATAAGGTACCCATGAGGTGACTCATGCCAAGAAACGACAGCAAAGGAAACACAATCTGCTTACCGCCCCGCGCACAGTAACTGACATGCTGCAATTCACAAAAGTTGCGAGATGCCTAGGATCAGCACAGGAGATATCAGAGGCAGGCTAAGCAAATTTGGTCGGAGAGCATCAAGCGCTAGAAAGAACAGGGCCAGTAACGCCCGCTCGTCGTACGTAAGAAGCACAGCGGAGACCCATTTGAAGATCCATTTTCCATGCATAACTCGAGCCAGCCGTCAGGGTTTAGATGCAAACAATGGAGCTCCTCCAGGCTCCTGCCGTGGTTGAACCTGAGGTGTAAGTGAGCCTCAGGTTGACGAGCCAGGCAAATTCTGCCGCCAGCCCTCCTCACCGCCCTGGAAATCCACTATATAATTCTCGCTCGCCCGCCGCCCTTCTAATTTTTTTCTTTCCTTTCTCCTTAGCTCTCTTTGCCTTTTGGCTTAGATCAAGTGTAGTATCTGTTCTTTTCAGTTTAATCTCTGAAAGATCTCTAAGGAGATCAATCTTGATTATTCCTATTTTTGGTTCTCGGGAGGTTTCCTCTGTGCTTGCACATGATTCCACCCACAGTGTCCCTGGTATTACACTGCCTCCAGGTGATGCGAACTGCACTGAGCTCACGTTTTTCATTGCTCCTCAGGCTTGCTTGGGTGGTGAAGAAGATCACCCTTTTCTTGGGGCCCGATCTCTAGCAGTGCTGTGTGACATGCAACTCAACCCTTGACTCACTCTGAAATCTACCAACCTGCTCCGTGGTCTATTTCTATTTTTGTGCAAGGAAGAAAAACATCGACCCTTTACTCACCGCGACATCCTGGATTGAGTGGATGTCGAGGTCCATCAAAACGGCCAACACTTCAATCCCCCTCGTAAATTTCTGCCATCGTACTTGAAGCGACGCTGCCTGTAGTGTACACTTTCCCCCAGAGGTGTGGAGTGGCCCAGTTGTGTGTGCTGCCTGCGGACCACTGCGACGCCTGATTCTCGAGGCACTGGATGACCGCTTGACACCGTTCTCCCGTGCCTGGACTTGCGTCAGGCATGCTACTCACCGCCTTGTCCTGTGTCCCGTGGTGATGGCTATTTCCTACTGGACTCTCGTGGACATGGCCAACCGCCATTTGCTCTTGAATCTCTAGGGTAGCTGGTTTTTCAGCACGCTGCTGCTGGAACTCATTCATGCTTCTACTCACCCCAATACGTCTGTCCCTGATGTTTATTGTGTGTTAGGCTCTATCTGTACTTCCCATACACGTTGTAGGCTCGTATGCGATGTGAAAGGGACCACCGTGATAGCTGGGAATGATGGTCCTTGATGATGTTGCTTCTGATGGGATTCGTTCGCTCACTTGCAATGTCCTTGGACTTCTGCCCAACGGAACACGCAAAGTGTCTCGCCCGTCCAGAGAAGGACCATACATACAAATGCTGCAACAGTCACCCGCACGATAGCTAGTTGTTATGAAGTACAATTCGCCATATCCTGACATCCCACAAAGCTCCAAATCGTCGTGTGCTCATTACCAGAGTTCTGTACCTTGGTGCGCCAAAACAGGGTTAGCGCGGGCCCTGCACCAGCTCCTCCAAAAAGTGCATCTGCCGCGCCCGCCTTAGGGACGAGCAACCGATCATTCAAACTCCAACCGCCCTCCGTCTCCCGTCACGAATCAGAAACAGGATCCTCCTTTCGCCTCCTCAGGACTCTTCACAGCGGTAAACGGTGCGGTGCATATCCGCGCTGCTACGACGACACCATGGCGACCCTCGGAGGATTCCTCAACAGTACGGCCAGCCCTCCAAATCCGAGCTCGAGACACCCACGCTGACCACAACCCCGCGCTCCAGAGAAAGTCCTGATTGTCACGGCCGACTCTCGCATCCTCGTTGGCACACTGGCCGCCTGCGACCAGAGCACGAACCTGGTACGTCTGCCCCAGTACCTCCAAGGCTCCTCACCATAGATGTCCTCATGCTGACCGCATCGTCTCCCTCGTACAGGTCCTGAACAGTGCCACGGAGAGAATTATTCGGACGACCGACGACCCAGAGCCCTCCGCCCAAGTGCCGCTCGGCCTCTACCTCGTGCGCGGAGACAACGTCTGCTCGATTGGTCTCGTCGACGAAGCGCTCGACGATAGCATTAACTGGTCGGAAGTCAAGGGCTCGGCGATAGGAGGCATAAAACACGTATAACGGAATCGACTAGAAACCTCCATGATTTGCATTTGTTGTTTCCAGGGCATGGCATCCACTGTTGAGAGACACGGACGTCTCCTGTTAGGTGGTATTGGTAAAGATCACGGCGTTTGATTACGAGGAGTTCTAGACAATCTATTTGGCATTTCCAAGGGTACGTGCCCATTCAATTTATCCATCTCGGTTTATCCAAATGTGCTAATATATATACCTCGCTATTGAAGTGTTTATACGTTCATCCAAAAAGTCTCTGCATCAGAACTTCCTTAAAGATCTCTTCACCAGGAGACTCGATGAGTCGGTTGACTCGGTTACCCTTGCGAACACTCAACCAGGCCATCTCATCGCCAGGGACTTGGTCCAGAGCCACGAATTCGGGGTCATCATCTGGATTCTCGGTGGAGGCTACTGCACCCTCAGCAGGCTTGGCCCTGTGACGGTTGTCGATGACGTGCATGCCGCGAGTCCACTGACCAGCGGTCTCAACACGGATATCCTCTGGCTTCGCGGGTGTCTTCCACTTGGGATCGTCATGGGTCAACATGTACCAAACAGTCAGGGGATCATGCAACGAAAGGCCTGGCTCCTCTCCGTCTCGGAGAATGTCCTCGATTTTCCCAAAAGCGCCATTGACGAAGTGTGCGGACCAGATGGCAAGGGGGCTGCCAGCATCAACATGTGCCTTGACGTTCTCCGCAAAATAGCTCTTGGTGATGAGATGGGGAGTGGTGATGTCGAGAGGGGCGAGCGTCAACTTGAGTTGACGAGAGAGCCTGGCGGGATAGGGGGGCAATGTCGAGAGCTCCTGGGGAAGCGCCGGCATAGTGGCATGGGGGTTGAATGACGTGAGTGCATATACTCGGGCGGCGGCAACGGCGTCGGCGTAGCAATTAAATTCGGCGACAGGAGTCGCGTTGCCCTCGCAATGCACAGCTCCGCCCATGACCACAAGTTCCTTCACTCGGAGGAATGTCTCCGGGTCTGCGGCAGCCGCGAGAGCGACATTTGTCAATGGGCCCAGAGCCAGGATGGTAAAGGTATCGACAGGGTTTTCCTTAAGAAGGCGAAGGATCTCCAGATGAGCCGGAATCTTGGATGGTGTGAAGTGGGGAGAAAAATCGTCTGGGTTAGCCGAGTTGTCACCATCCTTGAACAGACTCTTCCAAGTATCCGCAGGGCTTAGTTGCGGATGGGCCTCGTGAACATTGTGTAGCCCATCGATGCCATCTGGGAGATATTCCGTCAGCTGAGGTAGTCATGAAAACGGGAAAGAATTCGACTTACGGAAGTAGTCAGCCATTAGCTCCTCATCACACAGAGGGTGCTCAGGCCCAACTGCAACAATGGGCTTGCTCGCCTTCATTGCTCCAAAGCCTTCGGGCTTTCCAGTCGACTTCCTCCACTCGAGTTCCTTGTCGAGAACGTGGAAGAGAGAAACCACATTATGAAGGGTGCTACAACTGGGTCAGCTTTGGCAACCGTGCGGTATGTAGAGGAACTATACCTTGTCAGTGGGACGTTGCCATATGTGACCGAGATCATGGCCACATCGAGTTCTTCGGGAGCGGCACTTAGAGCCAGGAGCATAGCCAGGACATCGTCGACGCCTTGAGACACGTTAGAACACGACAAAAGAAGTGCCGGTTGTGGTGCAAAATCTTACCTGGGTCCGTGTCGATGATGATTCTGTGCTTGGACGCCATCTTGGTCTGGAGGCGAGTGTTTATACTGAACGCTCGGGGTAGTGATGAAGTACAGGGAGGGTGAAGCAAGGAGCTGAGCGTGTGGAATGCTGTACAGCCCGCAGATTCGAGCTAACAGTCCCGAACAGAAGACAGATAGAGACTGTCTGAGGCCAAAAAATATATATGAGAAAGCAGCAAATTTCTTGAAAGGACAGCTTCCTCTTTTAGCGAACTGCGAGATGTCAAGATAAAGGCTGAACTAGGTCATGCTCGACGGAGCCTTGGCATTTCCCCTCTCTTAGTTTTGGGCAAGTGGAAGGTGGGGTGGTGGCCGGCTGATGAGATAAGCCCCTCAATGTGGACGGCTCCGACGATCTCAACATCGGGGCACGCCGATACTTATAGACTAAGCGAGCACCCTGTGGGCTTAGAGTTGGAATAACCAGGATGGAATATCTCCGTTTACCGCTTTTCCCAATTTAAGGCATCCAAAGGGGTGCGAACCATGCGAACCATGAGAACTTTGGATAACCTGGATGGTGGTCTCGTCAAGGTGCTGCGGTGCTGTGGCGACTGAGCTGTTGAAAATATTTCGGTCCAATCCGGCTTTGCCAACAACACGGTGAATTCCTATTCGAGATGACCTGTGGCTATTACAAACATATAGCCATCCAGTCCCGTTCCCCCAGCCCTGACGCCTAGCTCTTCGAAGTTGAAGACAAGGGAAGCCCTGTATGGGTTACTAGCCTTCCGTTGGGTCGATGCTTTCCAAGCCCAAGCAATTTATTCGCGTCTATTTAGTGACTCCTGATAAACACCGGTTTTTATCCTCTTCTATCTAGTCTAAATGCAAGTCCCAGTCACATGTTTTTACTTTTTTTTCCGTCTAACCAGACAGGTGGCCACTAGGTATCATCAATTCAATCATCGAGGTGGCGGTCCAAAGGCTGCTCCTCGCATTTTGGGTTTCTCAATTTTGAGACATCACTTAATCATCCCTGAATGCTTCATTGCGGGCTTGGAGGTTTTTGTCGGACTCGTCCTTGGACGGCCGGTTGGCAATCAAACGCTGATGAGTTAGTCTGGAGCTCCATGATAAAATTGGGGATATATGCTTACCACAAGATTTCGCAACAGAATGGCAATCGTCACTTTTCCAACAGAAGGCACGTAAATGGAGGCCTTCTCCTTGATGGCCGGGCCGTCAAAGTTTCTGTACGACGAGAAGTTGATGCAGACGGCACCCTCTCGGATGAGGTCGGTGGGCACCTTGAACGACTCTGACGGCACACCTCCGATAACCACATCGCTCAGGGGAAGGCACTGCTCCAAGCCCCAGCCCTCCTTGTCTTGGACCTGGTGGCGGACCTGCTTGATACCCTGGCCACGAGTGAACAGCTGGACACCAGTAATATCAACCGAGTACACGGTAGCGCCATCGTTGGCGAGGAGTGCTGCCAAAGGACGGCCGTTGACCTCGGATCGGTTGATGACGGTAATGGTCTTGCCGAACAGGCGGTTGCCCAAAGCAAGGATGGGGTTGTAGATCTGGAGGTGCTCGAGGATCTTGACGACGGCAAGAGGCGTGCAGGGAAGGATCGACTTCTTTCGGTTCTCGGGGGCATCGAGGAATCGGATGTTGTGGTACATGTTGTAGAGGAGCTTGTGTCGAAGGCCCTCAACGTCCTTACCAAGCTCGACCGTCTCCTGGACGTACTTGTCGTGGGTAGGGTTCTGGGGGAAGATGGGGTAGTAGACGATCATGCCGTCTACATTATCGTCCTCATTGGCTTTCGTGATCTCCTCCTCGAGGAGGTCCTTGTCGACGGATCGGAGATCAAACTTGAAGCCGCTATGGCATACATCAGCATCAGTCCCGGAGGCATTCGTCGCGTTACCGGGCAATGATCTGCAGGATTGTCTCACTTCTCTTCGCATGTCTTCTTGGACCACTCGGCATACTTGACGGCAGCAGGGTCACCGTTTGCGAGGAAGGCTGCCAGAGTGGGCTGGGCGGGGGCGTCCCCTTGCACCTTGGCGAGTGTCTCCTTGACCTCAACGAGGAGCTTCTTGGCGATGGTGTCGGCAGTGATGACCTTGCAGGTCTTGGGGATTTCTTGGGAGGCCATTTTGAGTTTTTGGTTGGTCGGAACCCTTCAGTCTGGAGGATCTGGGTTAGCATCCTTCCCTTCCACCCCAAATCTTGCTCACTCACAATGCGGCGAGGTCGGAATCGATCTGGGACTGCGATTAACCCCACTATCAAGCTTGCCTTTAGACGTCGCGGAGTCTGTGTCGAGCCAAACGCAAGGTCAGCGTGATGCTCAGATCGAAGGAATCAAGGCTGGAACCAGTCGAGAACTGCGTACCTGAAAGAGATGACTGACATCAATACGTGTACAGCAGTTGCAAGAAGAGGGGGATCATGTAAAGAGACCCCACCAAAGACAATGCCGCTCATGGAGGGGCAGTCGACTCGGGCCAGGAATTATCGCGAAAAAAAAAAAATTCAGCCGCGACCCACTGCCGACTAACTTACCTCCCACCTATGGGATGCGGGTGACGGCCTACCAGCGTCATGCGGAGAGAGAGAGAGAGAGCATGTGTTACACACTCTAACACGGTATTCTTCCTGGAAAAGGCAAATCTGTGACTCGGCCGCGTACCTTCCGTTATTTCCAGAAACATCACTCCGCGTAGGAATGGAGCCCACTGAAGCCCCTGAGCTTCCAAAGTGCGTTGGCTTTGGCCCTGCACGTACTTCGCACCTGCTTCGTGAATTGTATGGGCACAGTGCTCTCACTCAACCGTGCTCTCACTCAACAGTGCTCCCACTCAACATCCGTAGAGGTACCTGCCCACCAAGCAATGGAACGCAGCCAGGCTCGGCAAATACCAACCCTCTCCTCACACCATCATCACCTCAGGCGCTCATCACTCGCAACTCACCGGCGCGCCAATAGTGCCACGCCCAAACGTGCTGCCATTTTCCCCGACGTCCGCCAAGGTGGACCGCTGAAAGTGCCAGTAAGATTGGCCGAGCCACGCTCAATCAAACCCACCGCCCGTACCTCGCACGCCAGAAGCCGCGGGCAAGGTACCTGCGACGTGCATCTCCGCAGAGGTGTCCTCGCCCCACCGCTACCGTTTTGGCGTGTCCGGCCCAGCGAACCATCCACCGACTCCCTGCAGCTCGTCTGCTCGATCCGCGACGTTGCCTCCCTCACGCTGCGCAACAGGACTGGCCACAGTACTCTTTAAGCCACCTGGTGTCTTCTGTGACCCTTGCGCGAAGCTGGACCGTTACTTGATCATCTCTCGTCCCTTTCCAACCTTTTGCCCCCTTTTCATCCTCGTCACCCGCCTCACCCCTTCTCTTTCGGCTTTCTTTCCTCTGCCGTTGTTGCGCCGTCGACGCATCCCTGTTGAATTGCTGGGTAGGTCCGTTTACTGAAGACAATCTGGCCTCATGATTGCGACAGCTCAGCCTTGTCAGCTGTAAACTAAACAACCACCACCACGCCCAGCTTCTCCAACAAGACGTGCCAGTTCGCCTTCCAACCAATCTCTACGCTTTCCCCCCGAAGGGCATTGATCTCTTTACCAATCGCCCGTCCTTCTCACTTTACCTCCTTGGTCATCCGCACCTCCCCCTAGTTCACCCTCGAACATTGAACCATCGCCACGCGAGCCAACGACCCACCCCCATTCCATCTCCTACGACTTCAATATGGCGGACAACATGAACTACCTTTACACCATCGGTGGCTATGCCGCTCTGATTGGTATCGGTTATGTCGTTTACGTCTCGACTCAAAAGGACCGCAAGCGAACCGGCGCTCCTCTGGCCAAAACTCCCAAGGTCTTGCCAGCGGAGCCACGCAAAGAGGACAAGAAGAAGAAGCAACGCATGGCGAGCTTTACTTCCGAGGCCCAGGGATCCTCCAAGAAGGCAGCCAAGCCCAGAGCTAGTGCCGAGGTAGCCGAGCCCAACCCCTGGTTGAGCAACTCTCAGGACAACAGCAAGGATGATGTCGACAACATCAAATTTGCCAAACAGCTCGCCAAGGCACAGGAGGGCGCCAAGTTTGCTTCCAAGTCCGAGGGCGGAAAGCAGCGAGAGAAGTATGTCAAACAGTCCCGTGCCAACCAGATGGCTGGGAAGACAGAGGAGAAGGAATCGGCTCCCTCATCTACCACTGGCGCCGATGCGGATGACGACCAGTCACCCATTACTTCCCCCGAGGTTGGCCCTACCGTTGCAGGCGATGTCTCCGACATGCTTGAGTCGGTTCCGGCCCGCCCCGCCGTTTTGCGGTTGACCGACACCGCCCCCAAGCAGCAGAAGCAGAAGGTTGCCAAGGCAGCTGAGCCTGTTGAGACCAAGAAGCAGCGCCAGAACCGAAAGAAGGCTGAGGCCGCCAAGGCTGCTCGCGAGGAGTCTGAGAAGGAGCGCAAGACGCTCGAAGAGAAGCAGCGACGGACAGCTCGTATTGCTGAGGGCCGGGCCGCAAAGGATGGTTCGCAATTCATGGCTGCCAATGGGAGCAAGTCATCTTGGACTGAGGGTGCCCCCAGCGCCAACAAGTCTGCCCCGGCTACCCAGACTAATGGCTTCCACCAGCCGTTGGACACCTCTGAGCCAGTTTCTTCTTCTACCACCACCAAGCCGGCGGCTGCCGCTAAGTCGACTCAGGGTACCTGGGTTTCCTCTCTTCCTTCCGAGGAGGAGCAAATGGAAATGCTGAAGACGGATGAGGATGAGTGGAGCACTGTCAAGCCAAAGTCCAAGAAGGCGTCTAAGAATGAGTCTTCTGTCGACTCTGGTGACGAGCCTCAGGTCCGCCCTACTATTCAGCCCAAGCAGGCTGGGGCCACCACCAAGCCCGCCCCATCCTTTGGATCATTCTCGGCGCTGAGCACTCAGGATGGGCCTGCCGATGAAGAAGAAGAGGAGGAGGAGTGGGATGTCTAAACGCAAGCCATGACCAATCCAGACATCAACATGGTTGAACGTCAGTCATGATCCCTTCACCAGCACCTTGTACACTGGCCGTTAGGCAAACCACCATAAGCCCTTTCTTTTCTCTTCTTGTCCTTTTTCCTGTCCGTTTTCTTTTCAATCTTGTTTTTTTGTTCGCGCGCAAAATACTTGGATCCGAATGCACTGTCCAACAATCAACTGGACCGCGTTGTGACAGTGCAAGCGTTTGAGGCTGGAGTTAAGGTACCGGGGATATTTTTGGGTTGCGAAGGCATCCCCACGAGGCGGCTGAGTGGGGGATGAGACACAGGGTGAAAACAAGTCACGTCTAAGGACAAGAACCGAGGCCCCATGACGGTCGTGGAGATGGCGGTATGCGTGCATTTGATTGAGGAGGATGGCCAGTGTACACTGAAGCAGTTACCGAGTTCTCACAAGGAGATGAACAGGCTATAATATAAGTTGCAACTCAGATTTGACGGACAGTGGTGATGGTGCTATTGTATTCCCGTATGTGACCGAGTGATGAGACGTTCTAGGTTGTCTCGATAAATCCAACCTGACGTCTTGTGGACCATAAAAGAGCTATTGTTTCAAGTCGCACTGTGGATAAAGGGAAGGCGAGACAAGTGAGGGCTATACAGGACTGTGCGAAGGCTTCTCGTGGGAATGTGGCATGGTAGTATCCTGTGAGGGGGATGCGTGCAGGGATGGTCTGAGGCATGCAGGACGATAACGGAAGAGGACCCGGATTGAATGTGGAGGGTGGGATAGGGAAGTTGCGGGTAAAAGACATCTGCAAGAATTTGGGTCTACAAACAAGGAAGCCATTGGTGCCCTGGGTGCTCCGCGTGGCCTGGATCTTAGTCGAGCAATGGCTGCAGATACACACCGACCACACATAAACCGCGCGTTGTTATTTGTACCACACCATGGGCGAGTATTTTGTGCATAGGATAGGTCGCAAATACGTCTGGGTACGTCTCATGATAGCTACACATGGGCATTATGTTCGTAGGGAGTCAATGATGTTGCCTGTCAAGTCCGCAATAAGACCACGATGGCCGATGCAGAGAGTGCGATTGGGCGGGCGACGACAAGACGTCGGTCTTTTTGATCGGCAAGCGTAGCTAAAAGCAGTAAGACAGAGGATCCGTGGTTGACAACTGGGCCCTTGCATATCCTGGGGCGAATGGGATGCGGCGATGCAGGCTCATGTATGGCATGCACCACCCACAAAGCCCACAAAGTCCACCCAGTCTCTGGCGGAGGCCACGTCGGAAGGATGTTGCCAAGCCGGGTTGCGAGGGGGTGTTGGGCCGAGAATTGATCAACGGAGGACCGCCGAGAGGGGGGAAAGTGGCAGCGATGTGACGAGCGTGACGAGCGGGACGAGTGCGATTCGGACATGCGGGTTGCGAATGGGGCCGGGTGACGACAGACACCGGCTGAACTCGACTCGAAGCCTCCACCGCCTTTGCGCCAATGCGGGCTCGGTAAGGTCGGGGTAAGTTAAGTCTTTCCCGTCGGACTCGGGGGACCGTGGGTTACAAGGCCAAGAGCCGGCGGAGATGCATTCGCGGCGAGAATTGCGGCGAGGATTGCGCCCACGACGTCACCATTAGACCAACGCCTCCCATCTCTCGCTAGCAAATTGGGGCCGCGTCCGCGGTGACTTGGCGGCCGAGAGTTTGAGTGCGAACAGCAGCACCGAAAACCTTGAACCAAAGGTACCGTGTTACGGGCCAACTGTGTGTCTGAGACGGAAGCTCCGTCGCTGGGCGGTGGCGACTGGAAGCCGACCCGGGTGGCTACCGCACGTCAAGACCGCTGCGAATCCGTGTCGATTAGGCAAAGGATCAGTCGCCCGCAATTGGACTCCGTAATTGGGAGGAACCCGCTCTGGGCGTGGCTCGGTGGTTCCCTTGCCGTGCAGATGCAGGCCGCGCAGGCCGCGGCGATGGGGGTGGATGTGGACAATATCGCTTCGTGCTCGGGGATTGGTGATGGGAAGTTGATGGACGGAGGGGAACAGGGATGCTTCAACATGGCCGTGGGGACAAGCCCAGGCCCAGGCCCAGTGCTGCAGCATTTAGGTACCTAAGGTAGTTGTTAGGTACGCGTTCTCGGCCACTGAAGCTCCTGGCGTCCACTGTAGCCTACTGCAAGCCCGCTGCAGCCATGCGTCAAACCCACTGCGAGCTGGAGATCCTCCGGGCGTCTGGCCTACCTGGCAAGGCGTCCTCTGTGCTGGGGGGTCGGGGGTTGGGTCGTTGACGAGCGAGGTGTACTTGTGTCTTGGTGGGGAATCGCCCGTGTTGGAAGGTCCCTGTTGATGTCCCCCCCCCCCCATTTCCCCCTCCTGTATCCCTCGCAACGTGCCATGGACCCTTGAACGTATGGATTGACGGATTGGATTCCATGGACGGATGCCCTCAATCTCCCAAGTTACCATTGCCACATCCCCCTCACTTGCGCCCTCTCCCTTCCACCGACTCTTTGGACACGATAGCTCTCTATTCCATTCTGCCGTTGCCACCTTTCGGCCCATTGTTTCGTTTAGTGTTTTGAGTTGTGTTGAGCCGTGTTGAGTGCTGCGCTGTGCGGGTGCATCGACCATCCATCCCCCTCGGTCCGTCCATCACAACAGCGTCATGGCTCAATGCCATTAATAGCTACACTTCGTTTCGGCCTCACCATCTTCCATCGCGCATCGTCACGCTCCTCGTCACGAACTCTTGCTAGTGCGTGCATCTGCCGCGCTGCGCCTGCGCCATTTGTCTCAACAAACCACGACCCATCCCGTCCGTCGCCCAGCAGGCGCTTCAGTGTTATATCTGAGACCCTTGCCCCCCGTTCCGAATCCTGACACCGACACCGTCGTCGCACAGCACCGCATTACGCACCGCAGTAGCCCACAGCCTAGCCCACAGCCCACAACCCAACAGGCCAGAGCCAACACACGCAGCTGGTCGATTCCTTCAGCTGCGGCCAGAGCTTTCCCGTCTTACGCAGCTAGTGGTCCAGCCGTCCTATTCCTTCGCCAGGTGCTACATCCTACTACGTACGAGCACCACCGCCAGGCACCTTTTGGTCTATTTACCAAGGACCCTTCTGACTTCGACGGGTGCCGTTATATTGCTCGGCTAGCGGCCGCCGTACCTGCCTGTGAAACGACGTCGCCCCTGATCTCAATCTCCCCACACGAACGCGCCAGTCTCCCCCATTTGGCCATTTCCCATTCCTCTCGGCCCTCAATCAAAACGTCCAAAACACTTTACGCCTCCAACGAATTGCTCCGTCCAGCTGGTGCCCCATACCCGTCTTGGCTCGTCGCTTCGCCCCCTCTCCGTGTCCCCTCGCTGTCCTCCAAACGGCTGCACCTTCGCATGGCGTTGACCTAGGCGCGCCTCTTTGTCCTCCGTCCGTCAGCTACGTCGACTATAACGGCGCCGCTCATTTACAGGGCTCGCTGGCCGCTTTTCTACCCCCCTCCAGCTGAACCGCATCGCCAATCTTCCCGACCGCCCCCTTTCCCCGTCCCATGTTGTAAATCGCCAGCATCGTCTTCAGTGATCGACAGACTCAAGCAACGACGCTTTTCATGCCCGGGCCCCGACCCGATCGAAGGCGACGACTATGTCTTTCCCCATCGCGTTTCAGTCCGCCGTCTTCTACATCGTCGCATGTACACCATGTGCCAAAGTTCGCCACCGACAAAAGGCCCGCGTGCAGGCAAAGAAGGAACGCCAGGATAAGTCCAAACTCGAAACTGAACAGCCTGGCTTCTATCAGCACCCGTCACCCTTCAACACCAATCCTTACTGGAAGGAGGAGATCACAATGGGACCGACTCTCCCCAAAAAGTCTGTGAGCAAGAACTCGAGCCAGCGCGGTCTTACCAGCTCCGGCGGCGACAGTACCGCCCCCAGCATCTCGGAACACACCAATGTTGGCGAGAGTCGCCTCAACATCGCACCAAGCACAACCGTTATTTCAGAGGATGAGGGCCTCTCCGACGACTGGAACCGGCGGCGAGGATATCAGCGCGAAGACGAGGAACTGTGGGGGCAACAATGGTCTGGCCAGAAGCTCATGAACGCCATCACCAAGGCACGCGACTCAGCCGGCCGCTTGATCGAATCCACACTCGGTATCGACAAGGAGGTAACGGACCAGGACCGAAAGGAGTTCTACTTTGCACCCAAGAACCCGCCCATCAACGACTATCACCCCCCCGTTGTCAGCAGCAAGTTCCCTTCCAAAGACGCCCACCGATGGATGCTCCAACCGCCACCGTCCGCCAAGGTTATGGAGGGAAAGATCCCTGTCAGCCGTGCTGGAAGCTCTGGTAGCAAGTCGAGCGGCAAGACGTTGATTAACGATGACATACAGCTTGGCCGCTTAGTGCACGAGAAGCTCGTCATGGAGAAGTTGAAGAAGGAGAACAGCAACCCCACGGAAACTGAGTTGATCGAGTCACTCTTCATCACACGAACGAATCGCTCCCTGAGCTTAAATCGGACACGCAGCTTGTCCTTTGACGCCTCCGATGACTCCACGGATAACTTCCACGACAGGCGGAGAAGTCGAATGCGACCAGTAGCCGCGCCGCCAGGAGCCGAGTCGTCTGACGACGAATCGGATGAACCAATTCCCTTCTCCCAAAGTGCCATGAACCTGGGTCGACGCACAACATCAAGCCATGCTGCACAACGTCCAAATCTCGAAACCATCATCAGTACGAGGTCCCTCAGCAACAGCCGGATTTCCTCAACCCGCACCAAGCGGAAATCTATTCGGGCAAAGAGGTTATCAGGGGCTGCATCCCCAGTTGGTGATGACACCGACTAATCAACGTTTGCTCCTCAAGCAATGGCCGAAGGCTATTCATATCCGCCCACCATCTTTCCTGCGACGTCTCCCTCCCTCGCATTTTGCACTCACTCTCTCATCCCCTTTCTCACACACTCCGTAGCAACCCCTCACACCATCACTCACCCCCTCACTCTCATCCCTCACCCCCCTTGCTCTCGCTTGCTTTCGTTGCGTCATTTCTCTTCGTCTTGGGTTTTACTTCTGTCTATAAGCATCATCATATGGGAAGGTCTGGATTGGCATTGGGTCGCATAGCAATCAGGCGCTGGCGTATTTGATTATGTCTGCTTTGTCTTGGGGGTTTTTTTTTCCTTTTAAAAAAGGAAGGCGGTTCATTTCGTTGATCGCCGATGGCGCAACCACAAAAGTGTCCCTTATTTGCGTGTTCTACTACACGGGGGCATCAACCTTCAGCAGTTTAATAGCTGAAAAAATGGAAAAAGTTGCAAACTTTAGTAGTTGAAATGTTTGGAACCCGCCTCATGAGACGTGTTTTTTGTCCCCGTGACCCCCTTGATGCTACCACATGCGACGCCGGGTCTTTTATTTCTCGGGGTATCCTGTCATGATGTTTCTTTATCCCAGCCACCTAAAACGCCAGTCCATGCTAAAAGTAGTGCTTCCCGGGCTGTGTCACGTCACAGGTGCATGCCCCCCTCGTTGTCATCGTCGGTCCCAAGATCCCGCATGCGCTCCTCCAAAGCTCGTCTCAGCTGCTCGTCGCTCAAGCTGCCGCCCGCTGGCTGGCTGGCCTGGCCGTCCATGTGCAGCTCTCCGTTCCGGATCGTACCCACCTGGAAGGTGCCGTCGCTCCATGGGTCACCGGTGGTGCCCGATGCAGATGCGTTCGTGGTCGGCGCGGCAGGGGTCGTGCCGTTTGTCTTCTCAGGCTCGTCCTCCTTCTTCGACTCGGCCTCGTCCCGGCTCTGGAACTCCTCCCAGCTGAGCCCACGGTCCTCGACCTCGACGCGGATGATGGCGATGCGCTCGGCCATGCGGTCGATGACCTGGTCGTTCTCCTTGATGGCGTCGATGCAGTCCTGGTCGGGGGCGCTGGTACCCGAGGTGTCAGTTTCAGAGAGGGCGGTCGCAGAGCCCTCGGCGAAGGGCTTGAGCTGGTCGTTGGAGTACTGCAGGTGGGCGATGGAGTTGCGGATCTCGAGGACTTTGAGGTGGAGCATGGCGATGGAGAGCTCTTTGAGGGCGGCGGCGAAGCGGGCCGGGGATATGGGGGTGGTGTCAGCGGAGGATGACATGGTGGCGGGTAGGATTCTTGTGGTGTTGACGAGTTCTGGGATTCTGTCGCAGATGCAGAGGGCCTTGCAGGTTGAGGTCGATATCGGAGCTGCTTGAGCTTGGCTTGAAGGTGTCAAGAATCGTGGGGCAGTCGTTGAATGGAGTGGCGGTTTGGTGGGGTTCGCAGGCTTCCGAGCGTGGCGCGTTCCGTTGGTGCAGAGGGCAGAGGTACGTACCTCCGAGCCTGTCCCACGGCCACTGACCACTGGCCACAGGCCGCTTACCACTGCACCGGTCCCATGGCGGGCGTCGTTGGCCATTGACAGCGGAGGCTCTAAAATTCCTCGGCCGTGGACACTAAATTAATTCATGCGTCCTCATCATACCATCCCCTCACGCACGACGCCGGCTGGATCGCCCTTTTCTGGTCTCGCTGCACCCGCGGCTCTCCAGAGCGCATTTTGCGCATTCCTTCATTCGCAATGAGCCTCTTCGCCTGTCCCAATTCGTCCAGGCTCTGGCTCAAGACTGCCCTCCGTGGCGTGAGTTCCAGAGCGGCAACGGCCATTCCTGCTTCTACTACACAACCGTTTTCGCCCGTCCGATGCCTCTCTGGCTGCGCGCCCAGAACCCGACAGGGCCTGTCGCCGTCCCCTTCGAGGTGTCGAAACACCGTATTTGCGCCAAGTTATCCCTCCGTGGCCCGGCGGACCATCTTCTCCGATAAGACGATTCGAAAGTACGAGGACCTGCCCAAGGACTACCGGGACCAGGTCGGCATTTCGTTTCGGAGCCTCGATTTGACCGACTCTGAAGTGCTGAAGGTCTTTGGCCGGGGCATCAATTCCAGGAGAGCCAACCATCTGCTTCGAATTCTCCACGGCCGCCGAGTCGCCGGCACTCTCGAGGACCCGGTCTTTGCCGTCCACACGGCGCAGTACACCAAGGACCAGATCGCCAAGGCCCTGATTTACCTGCGAAAATCGATACCCGTCGATGAGATCATGAACGCCGGCCTGCGAGCTGAGGACGAGCTGGCACAGATTGAACAAGACATGGAGGCGGCGGAGGAGAAGAAGAGCGCAAAGGCCGCCGCAAAGGAGGAGGAACCCCCCGCCAAGACCTACGTGCCTGACCCTGTGTACGGCCACAGCAAGCTTGACGAGATGCGGTCGCGGAATATTGCCAAGCGGAAGGCCAAGGAGCACGCTGAGAAAGAGGAGCGCAGAGCGGCTGAGGCACGGGGAGAGGTGGCGGCTGGCCCGCTCGCAAACGTCGGCAAACAAGAGCGACAGATCGAGAACCCCAAGATTGCCGAGTATCACAAGAAGGCGCAGTCGGATCTGGACGCACCCCCGGAGCTCAAGCCTTGGGAGCGCATTCTTCCATCCGCTACCGTCGTCGGCCTGGTCCTCGGTCTTCTCGCTTCTCTGGCCATGATTTACGAAGAACCTGAAGCTCGATACCGAATCTTCCCCGATATTTCGACTGCGCATGCAACTCTGGGCGCCATTGTTGCTCTCAACGTCCTTGCTTTTGTCGGATGGAAGGTCCCTCCACTGTGGTCATTCTTCAACCGCTACATGCTCTTCGTCGTGGCTACTGTCAAGCCCGTGACCATGTTCACCGCTACCTTTTCGCACCAGAAGCTCACCCACCTGATCATTAACATGATCCCTCTGTGGGTCGTGGGCAGCTTGGTTCACGAGGAGGTCGGTCGGGCCAACTTCCTTGCGCTCTACTTTGGCTGTGGCGCACTCGGATTTCTGGGCAGCCTGACCACTTATACGCTTCGTGGGTGGATGCACCTCTCATCGCTGGGTGCGTCGGGTGCGGGCCTGGGCTTGTGTGCGGCGTACTTCTGGGAACACCGCACCGATGGCTTCAAGATCTTTGGGCTGCCCCAGGATGGCGTCCACGGCATCGTGTTCCTGGCGCTCCTCTTTGTGCCACAGCTGGCGGCCTTTGGTAAGACGGCCAAGCTTAAGATCGACATTGCATCCCATGTGGTCGGCATGCTGGCGGGCATCCTCGGTATCGAGTACATCAATAGGGGCAGGCCGGAGCGGGAGAAGAAGGTGATTGAATTCGCCCCCCCACAGAAGGCCATTGACTCTCCAGAAGAGGCAAGCCGCTTAGATGGCGAGCGAACTAACGACGCAAACTGATGGAGAAGAGATGTATAATATGTAATGTGACCTGACATACCCGAGATCTATATGGTACCATTTTGAACAATGAACAAAGCACCCCTCTGAACAAATCCCCGTTCCCCTCCTGTTCTTGGCCCAGTACTTCCGAGCCCCGAGCCCCTCACAGTCACGTCACTCTTGTCACACTTAGCGCGAATTTTTGACGCGGCGCGCGTCTCTCGCGTTAGATCCCGGTGGGGTGTCTGGAGATGACCCCTGGCCTTGTGGAGTGAGATCCCGGGAACGGGCGCCAAGTGGTGCGTTTCCGGGCAACCAGCCGGGTGGAACGAGGTGTAATGCTAATAAGAATATGCGTTTATGAGAGCATCACCGGCATTCGATTTACACGGCTGCTGGGGTGAGATATGATTGAGATCACGGCCTTTTGTGTCATTTATTTAATTCAAGCAATTATGCAAATGTATTTCCTTGACATTTTACAAGATGCTCATGGGGATAGATCATAAGTTCCATTTCCATAGCAAGGACCATCAATCTCGTACCCGCTAACATTCTGAGTGACCTTTCCATCACTCCCACCAAACCGAATCACGTTTGAACCGTAATGGTACGGCGCCCAACCCATGCTCTTCGCACCATGATGCGGACTACGTGCAAATGCTAGGATGTGGTCCTGCATTGCCCGGCTGACGGCGGCCTCGTGTTCCGTCGCATCTCCGGGGAGCTCGTAGGTGCCAAAGTTCATGAACAGGTCGGAGGCATGGAAGGCGCCCATCCAGGGCAACGGGCTCAGGTTGGAGAAGTTTCCGGCGAACTGGTAGCGGTACGTCGGTGCGTTGAGGGCGTCGCGGAGCTTGCATGTCGCTGCCGTCGTGCAGACCCACGTCGTGAGCGTGCCGCTGAGGATCTTTGCCGGGTCCGGGCCAGCGGCTGGGTCGTCGGGCCATCCGTTCAGACTGGCCGTCTCCTTGGCGCAGTTGGAGATGATGGCAGGGATACGGGCCATTTTGCCCTGAGCGGCGCGCTGCGTGTAGTTGGAGAAGCAGATTTTCTCATCCGCGATGGGCCCGAATATGATCTTTTTCGCGGAGACGTGCGTGTTAATGAAGTTGACCAACTGCGGATAAGGGACCTGTTGCATGCAGCTGAGCTCGGCAGCGGCGTCATTGGGAAAGTCGCAGCCCACGTTCTTAGCCACGTAGGTGAAGTTTGCGTGCTCGTAGTCGGCGCTCTTCAGGGGCACAAGCGCCGTGCCGGACTGAATGAAGGCAGCATGTGCGATTGGGTCATCCCAGTGGGAGAACAAGAGATAATCAGTCGACTCTGCGCCGGCGGACTGGCCCCAGAGGGTGATGGCCTTGGGGTCGCCGCCGAACCTGCGGATGTTGGCAGCCACCCACTCGAGCGCCATGCGCTGATCTAGGATACCGAGGTTGGGATGTTTAAGGGCAGCAGCGTTGGGGAAGCCGAATATGTTGACTCGATAGTTGATGGTAACTACGATGTGGGATTGGGTGCGGTCTATCCACTGCGCGGGCAACTGGCTGGGGATTTCTATGCCTCCGGACTGGAACCCTCCACCAGTCATGAAGAAGAGGACTGGAAGCTTTGCGTTCTGCTTGACTCCATACGGCGTCCATACAGCCAGGCTCAAGCAATCCTCCGAACTAGTCTGGGCAACTTGATGGGTCTGGTTCCCGCCTTCACCGTTATTGATCATGAGCGACGGGAGGAACTGGTTCCAGAGCGACTTGGACTTGGATACGAACTGGGGGCAAGAGGGCGGGAAGCGGGTGGAGAAATGATGCGCATCTGAGCGAGGCAGAGCAACTGGGGGCTGCCATCGGAGCTTTCCCACGGGCTGTTGAGCGAATGGGATGTTGCGGAACTCCCGGACTCCGGCGTAGTTCTCGTTGCGGAGGCCCGTGTAGGTGCCCGTATCGGTGGCGACAGTCAGGTCATCGGGATAGGCCGACAAGGTTGACTTGGCGAGAATAGAAGGCAGGCCACTCGCTGCGAGTGCCATCATAAGGAACCGGATAGAGAGCATGGTGGTGAAGTTATGGGGGGAGTGGTCTGTCTTGCCATGACTTCAAGAGCCATCAGGACTCTCCTTATATAGCTTCACGCGGCGCATATCCAACCCCGCAACTCACGAGGAGTTGCAAGGATTCTCCGCATGCTAATAGTTGATCTTGTCGAAATCAATGGGCTTCGGCTGGCATTGAGTGGTATAACCTTGGATTCATGGAGATGTAGCCCCACCTGATCGTGTGAGGAAGCCAGGAGCCAGCACTTGACAACTTGATTCTGGTCGTCTTCCAAGGCGGAACCTCCGTGGTGTAAACGGCGGTTCCGATAAATACCAGATGTTCCGTAGAAACACATGTACTAATTCTCCGCAGAGGAACTCATGATTACCGCTATTGGGATGAGGTACGACTTTATTTTTGAGTATTTCAATTCGCACACGTTCAAAATGCTAATCGCACACAAGCACAAACCATTGCACCTAAGTTTGGTGTAAGGTAATGTACCTGGCCTGCACGCCCACCCTCAGTGTCTTATTCTGAGAAAGTCACAGTTTCTATCCTAGAATAAATAAAAAGATAAAAATTTAAATAGCAGAGCTTAGAGAATAAATACTTAGAATAAAGCCATTTGATTTTCCTAGGTTCAGCTGCGAGTATCTAGTATTTTGAGTGTGCAGAAATAGCGATTGTCGTACGTGAGACTACCTATAAAGGCAGACTCGGTTAACGACATATCAATCAAACATCTCGCAATGCATGTACCGGAAAATGCCAAGAGTTCATTAGCGGCTGCTGCATTGATGATCCTTACCGCCGCATGGGAATCCATCATTGTGATTGTTCTCGCCTTTCTCAAAGCGGAAGTGCGAGCATAATCATTTGGACCAATCCTTTATTACGCTGTGTTGTTGTCTCAAGCCTGCAGTAGCTGGGAGGCACACCTGCAGTTACCCATGGGTTTGTCTGCCATATGTCACGTCTGCAAGGGGCCTTTTTGGAGTCCCAACCCTTGTCGAAAAGGGCTCAGCAGTGAGGACTCGAAGCAAGCCTCACAAACATGTGACGTGGGCGGGGACCAACAGCAGGTGGCTTTGGCTATGCCACGATGACGGCAAAGGGTTTGCCCCCTTGATGGTCTGCTGCGGATCTTGGCTGTGCACAAAGTACCAAACCCGGCTTTCAGATTAATGCCGGCAGCCAATTAGCCAAACCATGCCAGCCACCGGCGGAGTAAGTCACTACATGCCAGAACCGGGAGGGCCTTTGTCTGCTGTTGGGTGACTGCATGTGTATACATGCTGATGTTCCCTTGGCTGAGAGACTTGGTCTTGTGTGTTTGCTCTATTGATTGCGGAAGGTTTGGGAAAGTTTTGTATCTTGAAGTCTACGATAGGACGGTCCGGACTGTGATTTTATGTCGAGTACGGAGTCCCACCGTGAATAACAACAAGGCGATGTGACCCATAATGACGGTGGACGATTAGCCGGGCATTAGTCTGGAGGCCAGACCATTGTCCCATATCCCATGCTCCCGTCATCCCATCCATCCATCCCCAGCCACATGGGACGGATCAAAACATCGGGGGCCCGGCAATATCAACAAACACCGCAGAGGTGTGTTGGATTGTTGGTGCGGGAGTTGAGGACGGACCCACTGGCGCCCGACCGTCTTTCGTCAGGGCCTCAGGGGTCCCCCGGGTCCCAAAGGTGCGACCAGCGTGTCTCTCAACCCCTGTGGCTCCGGCGCGAAGGCGAAATCTGGATGAAGGATTGGAGGTGAAGGTCTCGGGGGCCTGGCTTGCGGAGTGCGGCTGTTGGCGCCCCCCGGCCGCAGGTGAAGCAGGTTCCGTGGTGCTGAGGTGGTCCTGTGGTGCTAATACACACGCGCTACACTCCCCCGTCTCCGCTTGCCGATCGAGAAGCGCAACTCTCGCCGTCGGTCGCTAGGTTGGTTCTTGTTAATTAGGTTGTTGTCATCCTTCCTTTTCGTTACTCCTTGTTCATTGTTCCTTCCTCCTGCATTGTCGCTTGTCCCTTGACTTCTCCTTCCCACACGCGTTCACCGGCACACGCTCACACACACGCTCACACGCACACGTCGCCTTCTCCCGCGACCGCGTGCCTTTCCCGCCGGCCATCTCATCTTACTGCGATTCGACCCAAACTGCCGCATTGTTCTGACTGACTGACGCTGCGCCATGTTCTAACCGAGTCTATTCCGTCACTCCTTTCGACTTCCGCCCGTCGCCTTTGCTCCTTGTTTCTCCCTCCCCCATAAAATAGGAGCCTCTCTCTCTCAACCACCATGGGCACGTCAAGCCCCGTGTCCGCCCAAACAGACTCGGCTTTTTCGTCGCCGCTGTCAAATCTCTCCAAAACACCCTCATTGCCCTCATCTCCCGTCATGACCGATCCGACGAGCCGTTATCCCTCGCCAACCTCCACCGCCGGCTCGGGAAGCCAGTCCCCCGTCAAGCTGGGCGACCCCATCTTCGATGACCATCTTCGCAGAAAACTCGAATTTCCCGCCGATGGCCCTCCCCCGGCTAAGAGGCGAAAGATGACGCCCCCCAAGGAGCGCACCACGGAGTACCTGGATCTCACCAAACCCGACAGCGAATTCAGCCTAGAAGATAACCGCCGGATGGAGAGGCTCGTGACCGCCCTTCGCAAGAAAAAGAAGATTGTTGTCATCGCTGGCGCTGGCATCTCCGTGTCGGCGGGCATTCCCGACTTCCGCTCGTCCACTGGCATGTTCGCTACCGCCAAGAGCCAGCATAAACTCAAGGGATCTGGCAAACACCTTTTCGATGCGTCCGTCTACAAGCACGATGCGTCGACGCAATCTTTTCACGCCATGGTCAGGGAAATGGCCCAGATGACCAAATCCGCAAAACCAACTCCCTTCCACCACCTGCTAGCGTCCCTGGCCCAGGAAGGCCGTCTGCTGCGCCTTTACTCGCAAAACATCGACTGCATTGACACATCCATGAAACCTTTGGCCACAAACGTCCCCCTCAACGCCAAGGGGCCCTGGCCGGCCACAATTCAGTTGCATGGCGGCCTCGAAAAGATGGTCTGCACCAAATGCGGCCAACTCGAACCTTTCGATGGCGAGGTTTTCGACGGTCCAGAGGCCCCACTCTGCCGGACTTGTGAGGTGGATGACGAGGTCCGCACGGCCCACGCCGGAAAGCGCAGTCACGGCATTGGCAGGCTGCGCCCGCGATTTGTGCTCTACAACGAATACAACCCAGATGAGGAGGCTATTGGAAATGTTTCGAGCGCCGACCTGAAGACTCGCCCCGATGCCGTCCTGGTGGTCGGTACAACCTTGAAAGTCCCCGGAACTCGCAGGCTGGTCAAGGAGATGTGCCAGGTGGCTCGTGGCCGGAGGAATGGGCTGACAGCTTGGATCAACGTTGATCCAGAGCCCAAGGGTGTTGACTTCAAGGATTGCTGGGACATTGTTGTGCGCTCCAAATGCGATAATGTCGCCCGGCTAGCAGCTCTTCCTCCCTGGGATTGCACTATTGGCGAGGATTACCTGGTATCACAAGAGGAGGACCGCGAGAGCCAGGAGCGCCGCAGCAAGTCCACATTCGCCGTCAACATTCCCTTCAACCCTGCCCATCCCGACACTGAAACACAACTCGCCGCCAGACCCAAGCAAGTTGAACAGATGCAGGGCATTCCGACACCCAGCGCCAGCCCCAAGATTGCGCCCACCAAGAGACCCGGCAAGGCGACACAGAGCAAGATTTCGTTTGGTGGCAAACAGTCTGACACCGACAAGCCAGCCAAGGCAACCAAGGCAGCCAAGCCCCGCGCCCGCAAACCCAAGCAGCCTGCCAAGGCGAAGCCTCTCAAGAGCACGGTTATGCAGACGTTCAAATCGGTCAAAAATTTGGACAGCCAACCTGCCGGGAAGAAGCTCGGTGCGGATATACCTTCCAACAAACTTCCGATTCTCAAGACTAAATTGGTCAATCTTGCCTCGTTGCCAGCCCTGCGCCCTCAGCGTAAGAACTCGCAAGGTAACTTCCTCTTTAAACGCGAGTCGAGTGAAAGCAAGCCCGACGATATAAGCTCCGGCCCTCCTTCGACTCCGACCATGCCAGAGCGAAAGTTGCGCGACACTATTTCTCCCAAGTCGGTACCTGAGAGTTTACGCCGACTTATTGATATCCAGTAAAAGTTCTGGATCTTGTTCAAATATACATATACACGACTACTACTATTGAAAGAAAGGAGGGGCCGATGCAAACGCATTCTATAATCATTTTAGATGGATCATCGGTGGCGTTGGGGGCACAAGGTTCATTCCTCCAAACAGGATACATTTTGCTGCTGCCACTCTTGGCGACTCGATCAGCAGCTTTTTCAGTGTGTAATATTCTAGGAGTTTTTAAAGTCCTCGGCTCGCTACGTGGTATCAAGCCACGGCGAATGCACTGAGGCGGTCTCGATCAATAGAGGCGTTATTTTTCCCAATCCACCGGAGTCGTATCATGCCTCTCCGTCGTGACATTTGAATCAACTTGACATTATTCGTAGTTGAAGTCAATTGCAACTCTCATCGTATATCCGCTTCACATGACGGATTGGGCAGAGAAGATCGGTCAAAAAGGGTGTATTATATTCCTGGGTATCATATCCTTCAGCGCCTTATCTGATCAAGAAAACCATCCTCTTTCCCACACGAAACTGTCCTCTACTCGTTGATCACTTGATATGCACTTCAATCGTGTCCATGTCGTCAATCTCAGCGTCATCCATCGTAACATGCTCCTCAAGCCTCTCGCCGTCAAACCATAAGCTGACCTCCTGGTTGGCACCGACATCACGCTGCGTGCGGAATCCCGTTACCAGCGTCTCAACCGTCGTCTCCGGGCGCACCGTCAACTTGACGTCCTCGAGGTCGCGCGCTTTCAATATGACCTTGATCTTGATCTCGGGCTCGGGGGCCACCTCAGGGGCGGCCTCCTCGTCTGACAACTCGCCGGCCTCACGCTTCCGTCGGAGGTCCTCTTCACGCTCCATTTCCTGGAAGAGATCGGGCGTCCAGGCCTCCAAGTGCACACGGGTGCGGGACTCGAGGAGGCCAGCAGCGCCATGCGCATCTGCTGCGAGGCGCCCGTCGGCTTGGGGTCGGATGCCGAGACTGAGGAGCGTAGAGTAGCTGTAGACCTTCTGGCGCCGCCACGTGAGAACCACATCGTCGTTCTGGTCCATCGGAATGTCGACGCCCTTACTTCGTTGCATGGCGATCCATGTGTCTCGTACTATGCGAAGGGGCTTGTCGAAGAGGAATTTGACGAGAATTGGGCTTCCTTCTGGTAGCTCGGATGTAACGAATATCTCGGTCGTCTCCTTCGTATGCGAGCCACCCTCCGTCGCCCGAAGCATAGCCTGATCTTTCGCGCGCCGCTGTTCAGCCTTGAGCACATATTCTGCGAACTCGTCATCCTCGGCCGGTGGCGGTGGTGATGACGGCTGAGGGGAGGCGCTGTCCAACATCTCAATGCTGGGGTTGCGACGACGCAAGGCTGCGACTATAGGCTTAACATCGTCTTCGGAGTCGGAGTCGAGGGAAATCAGGGGAGCGCCTCTGAACGTGAAGCTCTCGGTTCGGGGTGGTCCAACTGGGACTTCGGGATCAGGGCGGGAGCGCATACGCCTGGTCGATGGTGAGGCGTCGGAGGCTGCTTCGGTTTCTTCTATAATGATGCTGTGCTTCTTGTCGGAGCCGGTGCCGTGTCTCGATCGTTTGGACGGGGGAGGGGTGACGAGTTCACTGTATGGTTCTTAGTTGACGCGCACCAAAATGGACAAAGAAATGCAAACCTCGCGCGATCTTCTATCGTCTGGGTTGCCGGCTCCTCCATAGCCCGACTGCTCTCCGCTTCTGCTGCCCGCGGTTCAGTGCCATCTGAGCGTGGGTCGTCGAAGAAATTAGGTCCATCATCGTCCTCGTGTGGTCGTTTTTCTCCCCCCGAGGACCGCGGTTCATTGTCATGAGCCTTGGAGTCCAGTTCGCGCTGCTTCTGCGCGGCCCGCTTCATGCGCCGCTCTCGGTCTGCGGCGACAATGGGTGCCATCTCTTTAGACCGGCGAAACAGGCTCAGGCTGTCATCGTCATTTCCATTGCCTTCAGCCACAGGCGCGGGCTTGGGTGCACTGCGACGCAAGGCAGTCGGTTTGAAGGGGAGCTTCTTCTTCTTCGGCGGCGACGCCATCACGTTGTCCGCCATGGTAGCTCGTTGAGGACTGGTTAGTCGGAAATAGGACTTTTATAGCAATTTATCAAAGGGAGAGCTTGGCGGGATATATGCGAATGGGCACAGGTCGCAGAGGAGCGACAAATATCAATGTCAGTGAGGTTGTCGTCGCAACAGACGTCGGGTGGTTTTGAAGTGCGCCGTGGGGTGGGTTGCAAGAGAGGGTCGAGGTTGCTTTACGCGCCTGAACGTGTGGTTTTCTAGCGTTGCCGGGAGAAAACACGGGCGCGTGGGCAGCCTAAAGCCCCCCACCATAAGCCATTAACACGGTCTGTTAGGGGACTGCACAGGGCGTGAGGGGCCTCACAGTGCGAGCCTCCCCCGCAGTTTGTCTAATCTTATCAGCTGCGCAAGGCGTCAAATCTGACGTCTGCACCTCGACGAAAACATTCCTCCAACCAACACCACCAGCCTCACCGATTTTTACAGAGGCCCACCACCACCATGGAGAACGGAAATATCTCGCAGGGCGAGGGCAAGGACCCGTCGAGTTTCCTGAGCGACATCATCGGCAACCCCGTCACCGTCAAGCTGAACTCAGGCGTCGTCTACAAGGGTACGTGGTGATGCCCATCCCTCCCCTCCATCCATGTCCAAGTCGTGGCGGAGCTGCAAATCGCTCGCCATGACATGAATGCGTGCTCTTTTCTAAGACGCGAAGGAGATATCAGTTTATAGGCCCAACGCTGACAACGCAGCAGGCGAGCTCCAGTCCGTGGACGGCTACATGAACATTGCCCTGGAGAAGACGGCCGAGTACGTCAACGGAACAAAGCGCAGGGAATATGGCGATGCGTTTGTGAGAGGAAACAACGGTAAGCACACTTGACCCATTCCATAAGACTGGTATAGCTAACGACGATATTCCAGTCATGTACATCTCGGCGGATTCATGAAAGCTGGATATTGATGTTTAATGAGAACTCATTGATCTTCATCGCAACTTGCGGCCCTGTAACATATGTGGTCTTGAAGCTGAACTACGAGCACCATGTCCATGCCAACGTTGATCAACACCAGGACTACATCTAAATGGTAGTCCCATACTTCCTTTCCACGTTCCTTAGAGATCAAGAGGGATCGCGCTCTAAAGCCGTTCTGTCCAGGCAAAGAAAGTGCTTCCATGAAACTCGATCTCGCCTTTGTCATTCCACTTCACATCACCCGCCTTGATGATCTTGTCAAATTTCTCCCTAAATTCTCGCTTTGCCTCTCCCTCCCGAATCGCATTCCAGCTCAGTGTATTGATCCGATCCCACAAGCCCTCTGGCGTCAACCATACTGACCATTGCACGCGCTCAGTGCCGATGGGCGTGGAAAACAGGGCTTCCTCCGACTCGGCCTGGAGGTCAAAGATCTTGCGCCACTGCAGGTGCCGGAAACGTGGTTGGCCGTCGGAGTGCCCAGAGAAGCTGAGCTCACCAAGCTCATGCTCCCATGTGGTGGCTGCTGGCCAGCTTGCCGGTCGGTTGTCTATCAGGAGTTGTCAGTCGTTTATTGGGAAAGAGGAAAATGACTAATAGAAAGGGCAGTGTTCACAGTCTTCGACGTTCCAGATCAGGCCCAGCTTGGTACCGGGCTTGAGCACCCGATGGATCTCCTTCAAGGACTCTTCTTTGGCGAACCTTGGGTTGGTTAGGACCTGTGACTTGTTGGTACCTTGCCACTTACCAGTGGAATGCCTGGGAACATGTCAGCACACCATGCCACAATTCAACCGGGAACTGCACCCAAAAACGAGCCTCAGGGTTGCAATGCATTTCATTGCAGGCCATTGGACAGTAACTCACCTGAGCGACAATACACCCGTCGGCCCAACCAGTCTCTACCGTCTCCATATCGGAAGCCGTCCCAGCACGAGCCTCGACGCCCTTGAGCTGTTTCTCCGCCAGCGTCTCCCGCATAGAATCAAGCGGCTCTACAGCGATAATCTCAAACTCCTCTGGTCGTGCAGCAAGCACCTCGGTGAACTTTCCCGTGCCAGCCCCAAGGTCCACGATCCGGCTCTGCGCCTTGCCCTCGAGCCCGAGGTGCTTCAAGAGACTACTGACTGCCGCATCTCCATAGGAGGGACGGTGGGCATCATAAGACAAAGCATTGTGGAAGCCCTTGGAAGCAGCGTCATGGATAACATGAGTGGATGCCATTTTTACTACAAGTTGATGCACAGCTGTTTAAGTGGTTTTAGATGGTTAGATTCTTAGATTGTGTAAGAGTGAAGATACAACGTGAATAAGGAAGCGTGGTAAGGTGCCTTTTATACCGCTTCTTGGGCGGATGACCCCGCGAATAACCCCGCCGGATAGAAACCGATGCCAATGGGGTCATGGCATGAGACCATAACGCAATTGTAGGGCTTCGGTGAGTCCCAAACAATATTCGAGGCGGATCGGAGCCGACAGGGCCGACGGAATTAGGCCGAGATGTAGATCAGTATCGGGTAACCTCCGTTATGGGTACTTTCAAGTAAGGTCTACTTATCCTACGTTGTGTTTCTATTATTGTATAAAGTCAGCCTCAAAATGATAGATCCGACATAGTTATTTAGCTATAAATATTTTGCATTTTTATTTCCAGTTGCTTTGAGAAGCATGATGTAATAATGTGACACGAAGGCCAACCACGTCGCGAGTTGACGATGTTAGCGACCAGTTCGATTTTGGGTACTACTTCATGAACGTTATTTAACACATCCAGCTCCTCAAAGACGGCCGCGGATACTCATAAAGACAATTTCTAGGCAAGGCTGGGCCGTCAAAGTAGTAGTTAGTAATGACCTAATTGAGGCTGGAGAACAGCCACAATGCTGTTGTCTGCCTTATGGTTGCCTCGTCATGCATGAACAGCGCCACTGACCGCCCGCGTCAGGAAAACAAGAAAACACAGGCATGGACGTGTTTGGCCCTTGGATCATTCGCCTTCTCTCTTCCCCGACATCTTTTGACACCGTCGTTGATCTGTTACGAGGCAACAAGTCCTGCGTAGACTCAACTCACATCGACAATCGTCTTGGGTGAGCGCAAGCGTGAGGATGGCGAAAGTGCCCAACGTGCCCGATCCTGTCCAGGCAGCGTTCGAGAAGGCCGCTCGCGAATTCAAAACAGCGCTCAAAAACGACAAACTATACGATGAGGTGGTGAAAACGAGGTCAATTGACGATGTGTATACCGCGACAGAGGCTCTCCAGATTGAGCTAGCGAAAAAGGACTCTCTCCGGCGGCTATCCAAGATAAAGCCATATCTGGAGCGACTCCGAGCCTACTCAGGCGTCGTCGAAACTTTCGTACAGGTGAAGCCGGATGTTCTAGCGCTGATATGGGGCCCCATCAAACTGCTGCTTCAATGGACAAGCACCCTGACGCAATCGCTCGACGCGATCATCAACACCACGGCTGAGATTGGCGAGCTTCTTCCTGAGTTCAAGGACATGACCACCATGTTTAGCCAGAATCATCATATCAAGGATGTCCTAGCTCTCTTTTTTCAAGATTTGCTAGACTTCTACGTTGTGGCATTGAAGTTTTTCAGTCTGGGTCGTAAGAACCCTGACCATGAGCTCGAGGAAATGGACTAACGCCCGAAATCAAGGTTGGCGATACTTCTTTGAGGCGATGTGGCCTATTCAAAAGGACAAAATCAAGTTGATCACGTCCCAAGTTGAACGGCATACAGCTTTGATGAGAAACGAAGTTCGACTAGAACATATTCGAGAGGAGCATGATGCCAGGCTGCGTGCTCTAGAACATTTCGAAAGGACCGAGAGGAGTAACCGGCAGCAAGAGTACAACATCATCAAGACGGACGTATCCCCAACTTTTTGCGATGACAAACTTTACCAGATTCGCAATCAGACCTGCAAGGGAACTGGAAAGTGGTTGCTACAAGATGACGTCTTCCTGAAGTGGCTTGATGTTGCGAATCGCTCCACAGATCTACTCTGGCTACACGGCATTCCTGGAGCAGGTAAGCTAACAATCAGTCCACTCATTCATGTCAGTTCTAACGGGATCTGGTTCTTGAATAGGGAAGACATTTCTAGCTGGCACCGTAATCGACAAGGCAATGTGCTCACACAGGACCGTCTTCGCATTTCTCAGCTACGACCACAGCGCTAAGACGACTGCATTATCAGTACTACACTCTCTAATGTTCCAATTAGCGTCAGAAGATGATCAGCTGCAGACTGTACTTTGCCAATCAACCCGGGTCAATTTGAAGAACAAGCTCGATGTCGCAACCCAGCTCCTGCAGACTCTACTCAGCTGTGCTGGCCCGGTTTGTGTTGTTATCGACGGAATAGATGAGATTGATGGTTCTGAGCAACGAGTACTCCTACATCAGTTAGTTGATCTCTCGAATGCCTGTCAAGAAACTCGAATCCTTGTCAGTAGCCGGACGGAACCTGCAATTGAGAAGGTTCTTGAACCCGTCTCGTCCAAGATCAGGGTAGATACCCGCAATGCGGGGAGTATTCAAGCATACATTAACGACTGGTTTGGGGAATGGATTTCTACTCATGACTTTCTCCCCAATGATAAGGCTAGTATCATGGGCCTGCTTGCGCCGCTGTCCGCAAAGGCAAAAGGTATATGTCGCCACCCATATTCTGCTGCTCATGTCTTGCTTACCTTCTAAAAGGAATGTTCCTTTACGCTCGGATCATGTTGGGCAACATTGAGCTCCTAAGCGACATTGAGGATATCAGAAAGGAGCTCAGAGTACTCCCAGAGAATCTGAATGAGGCGTATGTGATTGAAGTAATTTGGACTGGTCTACTGGCTTACCCTTGATTTGATAGGTACCAGCGAGTCTTTCGGAGAATCAATGGCATTCAACCTCATCTCGCCAAGACAAAGTGCCGGTCACTACTTGGGTGGGTTAGTTGTACACCAACCCCCCTTACAATACAAGAACTGGAGCAGGTATTGGTAGTGAGTGGTAGCGACGGGAGCACTTGTAGAGTGTCGTCACCTTCCCCAATCATCCAGCTCTGCAGACCCATCATTGAAGTTGTCGATGATTATGTGAAATTTGTGCACTTCACGGTCAAGGAGTATGATGCCACACCAACCGTACGGGGATTTTGCTGACTGGGGCCCATAGATACATCGACGACCCTAATGTTGAGGGTTTCATTGATACCATGGAAGCCACTCTCAGTCTCACGATATGCTGTACAAAGTACTTGTGCCAGGATCACCACAATCCTTGGACAGAGGACCCGGAATTTGAAGAAAATGTCATTTCCGGTGACTATCGTTTGCACTACTACGCTACGTCCACATGGCTGGAGCTCACAGAGAGGTATCTCAGCCTGGCTGGATCCAAGGCTCCGCCGCCACAATTAATAAATGCTCTGGAGAACCTCGATGGAGCAAGAAGCCAGTGGGAGTACCGTGGTGGCACTGAATTGGAAGCACAGTTGTATCCGCGAGTCTTGCGGAAAGTGGAACCTCATCGACCGGACCTCTTTGCGATGCTGCGGAATGTGGCCCGGTTTCGACAGAAAGCCTCTACATCTCAGTACCGTATTGACCAAGGTGAGTAAGCCCAGACAATTGTCCGGTCGACATGCTCATATGGTTATAGCGGATGCATGGATCGCCCTCGATCCTCTCGTAACATCACACATATCAAAGATGTTGTATGCTAAATTTGATCAGCTGTGCTGCCCGATCGTTCAACATCCACATGGATGCAGTTGCCGAGCTCTCAGGCGCCATTACGGCCAGCAACCATATAAATGCGCATTTATGAGCTGCTCCTTTTGTCGTCGAGGGTTTCAGACGCGGACTCTTCGTAACTCTCACAACAAGCATCATGACATCCCCTGGAAATGCGACGTTGAATCGTGCCATTATGCGGAGATTGGATTTCTCTCCAGGCGGATGAGAGACGACCACTTGGATTTCCATCGCAAGGAAGGGAATCCCAACACTCTGATATCGACAACCAACCCCGACCCCGATGAGGTCCAGCCTTTACTGTTCGATCTGGTCATTTCAGACAACATGGCAGAAATCGAGAAACTGATACCCCATGCTAGAGCTCTTCCTAAGGAGGTGAGGATTGAGTTACGAAGACTGGCCGCTTATTCTGCCTCTTCAGCGACGCTGGAACTAGTGTCTCAGATGTATCCTCGTAAACCTTGGGAGAATGCCGAGTGGATTGACAGTTTGGTTTCTTCCATTGAGGGTCAGAACATGGAGACTCTGAATTGGCACCTGTCAAGTGAATTATTGGCGCAATTTAACTCCCCCACTTCCGTTTACGTCAATAATGACAGCACAATGCGCTTGTGTGAGGCTCTGATTAAAACGGCGTCGATGGAGATGCTATCGCTGATCGAGCCTCACTTCCTGCGATTCTGCAAGTACGGAAGGATGTATGGGAACTCGGTACCCAGAATTTTCCTGACGCACCGAGCTATTAAGGCAACGGCTCGACGCGACGATCGAGAGAAGAAGCTTATATTCTTGTGGCGTGCTATGAGCTCCGGGAAGGATACCTGGCTCTCTCATAAGCCTCATATTTACCTGGGTTCCGCGCTAGGATCTGTAGCCAAGACGACTTGTTCATTGCCCCTCGCCCAGGCATTGCTTGAGCTTGGTGCCAATGTAGATGGCTGGAACTCTAACCCCGGAGTCTTTACACCACTCTATCACGCTGCTCGGATAAGCTCCCCAGAAGCGGCAGAGTTTATCAAGTTTCTTCTATACCAAGGAGCGAACCCTGACCGAGGCTCGACGAGGGAGAGCATCAAAGAACAAGAGGGGGCCAAGGATATTGGCAAGTGGCTCAATATATCATGGGACGAACTCGTCAAGAAAGCAGCCGAGGATAGGGCAAGAGGAGTCGTGTGGCCGTCGTAATTAGTCTGTCTTGATATTCATGCGTGAGGTTCTGACAAAGCAACATACGCGATCCTCCTCATTCATCAGAGACAGTTTGCAGCGTTACAATGTCCATCATCAAATGGTCCTGTGACCCAGCTCGCTTGTCTCTCAGAGATGATCGCAATTTCTGTTACCTCGTAAGTTCTGTCTGCAACAATATTTTACAGTCGATACTAACCTTCCACCGTTGATCGTTGATGGCGGGTTGAGATGCAGGTTGAGAGTCCAGTGACTGATCGATTAGCCGTAATTTGTCTGTTTGTATCCATTGGACGTACTGTTCCTTGACATTCAGTAACACGACAGATGGAAAGTTGTAGAGATACAGGCACTGAATGTACTCTTACTCACCGTTTCTATCGTATCTCCTGTCAAATATCTAGTTGTAAGCACTTCCCTGCGTTGTCCCATCCGATGAACCCGCGCGATTGCCTGCGATTCAGCCATGGGGTTCCAGTGCGGCTCAAGTAAGTGTATATTATTTGCAGCCGTCAAGTCGATACTAGAGACAGCCACGTTAGTAAGAAACTGTAGCAAAATCATTGGCTTATATGCAGATTCACTGCACATGTATAACAACTTTCTTACCCTTCTCCAGCGCTGCCAATGCTTGCAAGCATGACCGTACATTTGTCGCTGTTATTGAATTCATGGATAGCACTACCACGCTCCTTTAAGCTTGTTTGACCATCAATACGTTGGCAAACGAAGCCGCTCGCTTCAAGGGGCTCCTGGGTCAAGTCTAGCATTTTCGTCCACGAACTGAAGATGACACTATTATTAATCAACACCAGCTCTTATCGTTTTCGGGCCAGAAATACTCCAACGGGTTGTTTACCTCTTCACGGGGCTTTCCCCACCGGGTTGTTTGAAACGGGCTTGTTCTTGACGGAGGTTGTCAATCAAGGCTTTCACCTTCGGCGATGGTAGGATTGGCAGCGGAGTAGAGTTCGAAAGCGGATCTGCCCGCTCATACAATTCCAGTATCTGTGCCGCACATGTTGGACATTTCGATTCGCTTTCAATTGCACCGCTATTCGATTTCTCTTGACACCTACCACATATAGGGTGAGGGCAGGGGAAGTCAAGATTTGTGGCAGTCTGAGTGTCAGCATCATCGAGGTCCCCCCCACATAACTCGCACACCTTCTGAGTTGCCTGCATCATTTCCCAATCGATAGATTCGTTGTTTTGGGTTTTCCAAGCCTCAAGCGCCGATGGAGAAAGAAGCAATTCGCCGTAGTCACAGATAAGGCGTAGAAAGTTGATCAGCGATAGAATATTGGTGTCCTTACGGTTGGTAGCCGAGTAGCCAGATTCTTGTCGATAGAAACCAGATGCAATGTCGGCTGTCTTCTGTTCAAAGAATCGATACAGAGCCCGGTCATTTGGGGTCAGTTCCACCCACGTAGTTCTTTCACGACGCTGAGGCAGTTGGGATCCTGACAACAGCAGCTTATGTGTGCGCCGGACACAAATGGCCTTGATCAAAAGTCCAAGCCTTTGAAGTCCGAAAGCACTATTCTCCTTGATCGGTTTGGTAATCCAATAATCGAATACCCCCTTGTTGATAAAGGGCGGGACCCCGACAAAGGTCACTAAGGCTGCAAAATCGTCAAGAGAATTATGGATCGGTGTTCCGGTTAGACACCAACGATAGTGGGCCTGGATTGCACAAGCCGCTTGAAAGACCTGCGATGACCTGGTTCTGATGTGGTGTGCTATTTGAGAACGTTAGGAGGTCTTCTTGTCTTGTCTTCTATCTTGATCCCAACTTGCCTTCATCTAACACAATACGATACCATTTCTTGGAGTACAACGGTCCATTTGTGATCCAATCTTGTCGCATGGTTTCATACGTAGTGAGGATTATGTCGGCGTGCTCCAGTTTCTCAGAGAGTTGACGTCGATCATACCCATGATACGTTACCAATGTCACGCTTCCGGAATGAATGTGCCTGAAGTATGGTTAAGCCCACCCACTCGATAGAACGGCAGACTCACTTCTCGCATTCTTGTATCCAGTTGTGTATCGCTGAATATAATCAACACATGTGTTTTTACAATGGGTGAGGAAACGTACTGGATTTTGGTGTGACCAGAAGCGTTGTTCGACAACTTCTGGTCTGTTGCTCATGCTCTGCCGTCCTTTGACTAATCATTGAATCCAAGAACCAGCATATCAAGGCGAGAATTGTGAGCGATTTTCCAAGGCCCATTTCCTATCTGAGTTCAATATCGATGTCCGTAACATGCTAGATTTGGTTTACTCACATCTGCGAGGATCCCGCCGCGAACTGGCCGCGGAGCTATTTCGAGAACCCCCGTGACTTTGTTTCGATACCTAAAATTGTTGTTCAGCGTCAGAATGTTGAATGTAGAATAAGTTCAACTCACTTCCTCAGCGGGTTCGAGCCCGAGGACAGTTCCCATAACGATGGGAATTTCTTGTCGATTAGAACACCAGCCTCGATTTCTGTGAATTGAGCGAGGGCCGTGATTTGATGTCTGCTTAAATTAGCCTATGTGTCAGAGTTAAAGAGACCGGCCACTCTTACTCCTTCAGCGTTGATCGTAGACGAGCACTTGGCTCCATGGAAGCTTGCATGCCAGAGTTGCCGGCCTCGTCAAGTAGTCTCATGAGAATCCCTTTGTCTGACTCGTCGAGCAAGTTCTTTTCTACCTCCCTGCTCGTCTCTGCATGAGACAGTTCCTCCAACTTGGGCATTTCAGAGCCCGGGCGGAGGAGATAATGGGGGTTGTGATACGCCACTTGGTGTTCATACTCAATAGCCAACGGATGCTGAAAACAGAGCCCAGCGTCTCCAAGGATCTCTCCAATAGCATCACAGTTGGTCATAAGACCATAAACCACAATTCTAATAGGGCATTCCTCAGGAATGTCAATAGACGAGCTCTTGCTTGCCGTGAATGTCTTCTGCTTCGTCGTCGGAGCTAACAAGGTAGCGGTGAGAGTGACTGAGAATTCCTGTAGAAGCCTGACCAAGGCAGCATTTTTAATGATTCCAGCGTATTTTTTGGTATCGAAGAACGACAATTTCAACGAGAACCCCCAGGCTGCGACAGTCACCGGAACTTGCTTAGCGCCTCCACGACTCTTGAAGGAAGACACTGCTTTTTCGATGACCTTTCTATCACATCAGCGGCAACTCTGCACAATTTTAGAAAGGTACTACTCTACAGCTCCAAAGCAGGTGTCATAGGGCGCCTCATTTACTGTTGTCGCGGTCGACGCTGGGTCGGAATGAGTGTCTGTGCCAAACGGATAATTAGAACATTGACACTCGGAATAGGAGTCGAGGTTTTAATGACTTGCCAATCATCATATCTTCCGCAGAGCTTACTCCGGAATATTCAGTTGTTGTGCCAAAAAATGGCAGGTCAATCTCTCCATATGGGCCGGTCTCAGATCCTAAGGTTGCTGCTTCGTGTTGGCTGGTCGGGTCTGGGCGACACTGGCGTTTCGCCTCTGCATCGTCGGTCCCCCTGTCGCTGCTAAAAGACAGCTGCCGCTTAGAATCTGCTCTCCATGGCAGGTTATCCATCTTCATGCCAGCTTTAGACAAGAGGTTGCCAATGAGGAGGATGTATCAAATAGGTAAAACTCGGGTGAGGAAAGACCACGCAGCGTGAACAGTTCAAATAAGGACGAAGAAAAAAATGCGCCTCGTTGCCTCGTCCTCGTCCGCCTTACATCTTTCATGTGGCGGCAGGATGCTTCGTTTATTGGCCATAGAATCCAGTTTGGGCGTCAATCCCTGCCCTTGCATATTATACACAGCCTGAACCCACCTAGAGAGCCGGTGTTCAGAAAACTCGCCTGGCCATAACAGTTTCTCTACCCTCTTGGACCCTGCAGTCTACCTCTAATCGGTAGATGAAATCATGGGGAATATTGAATTGTCGGGTTTGTGAAAACAGGCTCCCCCTTCAGACCGTTTTAATCTGGGGGCATGCCTCAGAGGCTAGGTATGTCGTGTGGGTCAGCACAAAATAGCACATCTCGGTGGACCGTTTGGTTATGCGTTAAGGAGGCGCGTTGGGGTTAGATCTTGAGTCTATATTCAGTTGCTACTTGATGAGACTGAAGGTGGCCGTCCACTCGTAACGGCCGGTCCCTTTCGTAACTTGCGATGGGCTGGTGTTAACTTGCTAGAAGTATTCGGTTCGACAGGTTGTGGCTGAGCCCAATCCCCATTTGAGGCTGTCTCCCAGGCAGTCCGATTCGATATCTCCCGTCCGAATCCGGCTGGGACCACCACACCTCCACGGCTCACCATCCCAGCATAGTGACCAACCTGAGCCTCCACTGTATTGTACAGAGCCAGCACGGAGATGGATGTGTCTTGCTCTGAGCCAGCAACGGACGTTCGGTTTAAAGAGCAAAGTGTTGGGGTTTGAGCGGGCGTGGTGAATGGATTGCGGAGGCTGGATACAGCCGAGGCATCGCTCATATGCCGTTCATCTCGAAGTCCCTTGGGGGTGTATTGGTGGATTTGAAGCTTTGGTGGGGAGTTTCTCAGGCCCAGAGGATTTGAGCCGTAACGTCCAGGGCTCGGCGATACGTCCAAAGTCTTAATTGTTGGTGTTCTGCATGACAGATCGAGCTGGGAGGTGTGATCGCCATGACGACTTTCAGAAGCGAGATAGACACTTGAGAATTCCGGTATCCCAGCGTCGAGCATTTTCTCCTTTCCTTTACTCATAGCAATATGATGTCCCACCAGGGTTGCTGGCGTAGCAGGCTGACTGGGATCCGGCGTGTTAGGCCGCGAGATCCAGATCCCCTCCACCTCGATGCCGCTCTGTATGGCGCGAATGCCGAATGGAACCTCGGGGGGCCGTAAGGCGTCGATACCGCAGTGAGACATTGCCGAGAGTCGAGCCCTCTTCTCCTCGTCGATGATTTCTAAACGGCGCACAGCTCGATTGGTCCACCGCAGCCGGGCGAGCCCAATAGCGAAGACGAGAACAATGCAGCAAGCGAGGACCTAGTGCATTATTCACTGTTAGTCAATCGTAAAATCAACGGGAGGTAAAGGAACGACTGGGCCATGCTGAACGGGGGTCCAACGTCTTGTTCGACGACACTCACAAAGGTCATTTCCTGCCACAACTCCCAGCCGATAAAGAAGACACTCATGGCGATTTGTTGCACATTAGTGATGAATCAGCAAGCTGGATGTGGTTTAAAAGAGAGTCCCTGGAGGCGCAGGTACGCGGTGGTTGGGTCCAAAACTGGGCTCGCGTTCCAAAAAAACAAGCGAGAGAGGATGTGCTGAGGTGCGAGCGAAGGCCAAAGGCAACGTCGGGCATAGAAACTTGAGCCTCTCACGTGGCGATAAACGAGGAAGCCATTGGGGTCAAGAGTCTAAGTAGCGAGTGCCTCCTGAAAGCGCAGGAGAGATGGGAGAGATCTGGCAGGTGCGATGGTGGTGACGATGCCCACGTGGGTGCAGTTGTCGTCGGGCGGGAGCGCTTCTAATCCGACTCTTCTCAGACGCTCCGAGCAGTAAACATGTTGTGGTGAAAGTGGCGAAGAGAAGATGGTGGTTCGGATGAGAAAATGTGATGCCCGAGAGAGAGAGAGAGAGGGCGGCTGGCACCTTTTTTTTACTTGTCTCTCAGACCCGAGAAGGAAGGGACTGTTCAATACGAGCATGGGACGCAAACCTGCAGATGACGGAAATCCGACATCAGAACTCATATTAAATTCGAGACTACTGAGAGTTGGGGGATTGCTGGGGCCTCTAAAAACGGCTCTCAGCGTTGTGTCACAAGTCCAGGTTGATGGGAACGGAAGACTGCAGCAGCCACCTTGTTGGTCCGGCTAGGAGAATAGGCCTACTCATATTGGAGTTGCACAGATAGAATGTGGCTGAGAAGTTACATGTCAAATAAAAGATGGATTCGCGAAGAGCATTCGGTGCCGAAAGGGGTAGACATCAGTCAGTGAATCTAGGTCAAGCCAGCAAACAGTCAATCCAACACCCTCAAGCCCCATTAGGGACACAAACGGCATTGATGTTGAAACATCCCTCGGGCACCACCATCGGGACCAGCCAGAAAAATGGGTGCATCCGCCACTCGTAGCACAAGATGAGGCTTCTAGCTTGGTATGCAACACCACCTATGTCCTTTTAGATGAGACAAGTAGCTCGCGGTTGCTTGCATGAGGCGTCCATGGACCTAGGCCGAGCCCTTACGCGGCCAATGGCCAAGGCATGGGAAGAAAAATCCGGAAGAGTAATTAAAGCATCTGAATACACATTCTCTCGATAACTGTCGAGATCGCATCGGTCGATGTCGTTGTCCGGACGTTACAACGCCCGAATAAGTTCCGGATTCGCGGGTCCATATCGGTCCACTATCGGATAGGCCGGAGCGCAACCCCAGAGAAGAGACGCAATAATTACCCTTTCGCTCGTCCGCCAAATTCTTTTTGGGATCAGGGTGGAATGGTGCGATATGCGCGAACAAGGGGTGTTGGATGACCTAGGAAAGAATGGGCAGGACGCTGGCGCCGTATGTCTTACTGGAGAGCAGAGAAACACACAACAAACAGTTGCGTCAGCTGGTCTACCAGTCCTGACCTGGAATCGACTATGATCAGCATCCAGATCACCGTTTATCACGGCACCGTATTGGGTGATTCCATGCCAAGCCCATCAGGTGGCTGTGAGAAGATGGAATCTGAGAAGCGAAGCCAAGCCCGACCAAGCCAAAAGCCGCGACGGCCTGAGGTGAGGGTGACGACAGAGCCCTCAGCGCCCCTGTCTGCAGGGGTCTTTCGATGTCGGGGGTCGGCGCATCGGTGTCGATCAGCGCCCCGCCTCCCGAACGGAGAGGGTGAAAGGGGCGAAGTTGGGCGGAGGGGGACCCGAAAAGGTGGGATAGTGGGATTGTGGGTGCCCGCAGTGCATCAGTTGGGACCATCGACGGTGATCCCCACGCCCACTTGCAGTGGCGGACTCTGACGGCGCCGATTATCGTTCTCTCGATGGGTTTTACTGGGCGGGCGGGCGGGTTTGGCTCGGCTGGAAGTCGGTTGAGTTGGCTGCGCATCATTGATGATGGTGTGGATGGACGGAGTGAGGTTGTGTCGGCGGGAGAGAAACTGGCCAGAAAGCACGCCCGATCTTGCCTGGTTTGGATGGTGGATGGATGGCGGTTGTTCCTGAAGCGGGCAAAGGAAGGTCGCGCCCATCGCCCCATGCGATTCCGATGACGGCAAGTGCCAAATCGATGCATGGCCAACCCCGACCTAGAAACCCGACCTTAGAAAACATTTGCCCCCTTGCAATTTTCCCGTCCAAACGCCTGTTGCCATTCCGTATGGAGCTGCTAGCCACTGGTCAATACTGGGAATACGGCATTCTGGCTCTGCAGCAGTAGGTAGGTTTGTCGTCTCCCCCTTGGCTTGACCCGAGCCCTGTTGGCGCCCTTTGTTTGGGCCTGCTGACGTCCCTCCACACACCCAAAGTCCGTTGGAAATGGCTGTGCTACTGCAGCGCTGCCGCAATTGCTGCCGCACCAACCCTGCTATGGAATTGCATCTGGCCGCTGATTTGCTGGGTTGCTGGTGTCTGTCTGTCTGGTTGTCTGTTCTCTCACTTGTCTTGTTGCATTCATTCTCCACATCTCATCCACTGCCACGACCGCGGCAACGGCTACGGCCACGGGCAGCGGCCCACGGAGCCTGTTCTTGTTATGCTCCGCCGTGCCACTTTTGCAATCGATCCACTGCCATCCGCCGCCGCCGTCTTATGTAAATCCTCGACTCCCCCCCAAATCCACGAATCTCGGTTCTCAACTCAATTAAACCCCTGCCCTATCATTCCCTGATGTCAAGTGGTTCTTGGTCTTGTGCCTGTCATACTATATTGCCTACTTTACCTACTTTATCTGAGCGTCTAGCTCCGTCCTATCCTCACCTTTCGTCCCGTCTCATCTCCATCTCCGTCGCTCTTGCTTCGCTCGTCGCCCATCACCCGTTACCCGTTACCCGTACATCCGCGTACCTCCCCTGCGCTCCCTGAATCCCGCCCTGTTCCGAGAACTCCGTTTCCGTCTCCCTGTAGCAAAAACGAACGACTCTAAACGGCTTCGCATCCATTTCATCACTCAATCAATCATCACATCCGCATTCTCAATTAGCGACACTTCTCCTCTCTTACGATCCATCCCTCTCCAACCATGCCCATCCGCAACCCCTTCGTTCGTCGCCCTGGCAGCATCGTCGTCCAGGACGAAAACATTCGCCCGGAGCAGGATCACCCTCACGTCCCCGGCTTCGAGCGAGTCGACACCATCGGCTCCAAGGCATCGTCCGGTCTCAGCATCCGCAGTACCAAGGGCCGTGATAATGGCGAATATAAAATGAGTGGTATGTGATGTGGTCTACTCCCCCAATTCTAGGACCACGCGACCACCCCTCTACCGGGGGTGCGCCGCAATGCATCCGGCCCTCAATCACAAGACCAGTTAGTTGACACCGTTCTCGTACAACAGTTGTCAACGATAGTGGCGTCTATCTCCCGGTAAGACATCAGAGATTAGATTCCAGCCAAGCTACTCGATGATCCTAATCATGTACACAGCCCTCACCGACCGAGGAAAAGGGCCAGTGGCCCCGCAAGTACCTCACGACGCGCACCTCTACCGACACCCGCAGCAGTTTCGGCGACATTGAGCACTTCTCCATCTCCCGAGAGTCCTTTGACTCGTATCGCAGATCATTCGTGCGTGCTATATTCCCTCCTGCCCATGCATCCAGCGGCCTCAGTCAATCCACTGAGCATGCTGGCCCGCCAAAGCCGGCAAGACTAACTTACCCAGGATATTTCGGCGCGATCTCCCATCGCAAACTCCGACCTTCCTGGCCGTCAGAGTCTCGACTCTGCCCGATTCCCTCGTCTCCCCCGATCAGCGATGGACCGATCGTTTGAGCGACAGCCCGCCACCGCCGAGGAAGCGTTCGAGGATGTTGGACTTGAGGACAAGCAACCCCAGCCCCGGAAGCGCGGCTTCTTCTCCAAGTTCTCCGATACCCAAGAAAAGGACGCCTCAGTGCAGCCCGCTGTCTCCCGCTTCCTTATCCATAGCCGCAAGAGGGCTCCCAGTGGACAGGGCGCCGAGCTCGGCTCGATCGACCAGCCGAAGACGAACCCAGAAGGCCAAGAGATGCACTGAGTGCTGCCGCCGCGAGCAGCAACAGACGTTTATTCGATGATGTATTAAGATACCTGGCTTTTTATTACTGCGGCGTTATCGGTAACCGGGTCGGATCATGCCTAGAGACGCATTCGTTGCTGCATTGGGTACAACATGGATAAAAAGCAGAGTACACTCGCTTTGGTAGGGCCCGAGGAAGACTGGAGAATCATGGACAGAGGCAATATTTGTCCCAGGAGAAGGAAGACAACATGAGCAACCAATTAATGTTAATGAGATGAGATACGCGAATCAATGATATAAGATCCGCAATACCCAATGCCAGGTGTCAGACCCTTAGTGCAGCTGTGATAGCCAACCCGGAGTGAGGAGTGAGTCTCGGGAGGGAGTGTCTGTGAGAGTGGGGATTGGCGGTGGTGGGATTCGGAATTAAGCAACCCGAAACAAGCTGAATGGCATGTGCTCTCCCCCAAATAGACCGAACACATATTATGATTCCCAAGCAAAAAATCTCCAGACGAGATAGTTGCTACTGATCGCTAGGCCGATGGCGGCGGGGTGTCCACTTAGATACGCAGACAGCATCGTATCTGCATCCAGTATCCACGACGGCCGGAGTCAATGAATGGCGTGCTGGTCAACATCGAATGGATCAGTGCCCCGCTTTACTCGACGACGCCCTGTGACTAACATGCGGATTCAACATCTGGCAGCAACCGTCCACTCCTTAGAGTTATTTAAACGTCTAGATCCTTTCCTAGATATCAGTTGACCCAGGTTCCAACAGGTGTTGTTCCTTTTTTACTCTGCAACACTGCCGACTTCGCTCACGCTTCTACTCCCGTCTTCCGTACATCCACCCCGCTCTATCAACCCCTCATCCTCGCTCGATAACCCAAGGCCGTCGAAGATGGCATCCGATCAAGCCCCCAACGGCCAGAACGGCACTGCGCTTAACAATGCCATGGCTGGTCTGTCGCTGGCCTCTCGGGGCGTCCACGCGGACGACAACATTGCTGTGCACCGGGCGGTGGCTCCGGCTATGCATGTCAGCACCACGTTCCGATACAGCGACGACCCAGATCTCCTGAAGCCGTTGGAGTACACTGATGTAAGTTTTTTGTCCCAATAATATGGGCATTTTGGAATATATGTTTTCCGAGTTATCCTTGCGGATTAGTCTGTGGTTCCAGTATCCTCATCGTCTATTGATGGTGAGATGAAACGGATACACCATCATGTCATGTCCACCTGGACAAAACTCAAACTTCAACAAAATGACAACAGTCATACTAACATGACAACTACAGCCCGATGCCCCCCTAGATTCTCACGTCTACTCCCGCTACTCCGCCCCCAACACCACTCGCCTCGAGGCCATCCTCACTTCCCTCCTGGGTGCCCCCTCGCTGACCTACGGCTCCGGCCTCTCTGCCTTCCATGCCATGCTCGTTCACCTCAACCCTAAGCGAATCGCCATTGGCGAAGGCTATCACGGCTGTCATGGTGTCATCAAGGTCCTCTCCCGTCTCACGGGGCTCCAGCAGCTACCCCTCGACTGTGCCGTCGAGGACCTTCAACCCGGCGATGTCATCCACGTCGAGACGCCCCTGAACCCCACGGGCGAGGCCCGCGATCTCGCTGCATATGCTGAGAAGGCTCGTAAGGCTGGCGCCTACCTCACCGTCGATGCGACGTTTGCACCGCCCCCGCTGCAGAACCCCTTCCAGTACGACGTCGACGTCGTCATGCACAGCGGCACCAAGTATATTGGCGGCCACTCTGACCTTCTGTGCGGCGTGCTGGCTGTCAACCCCAAGCATGAGGGCTGGATCAACTCTCTGCGTGACGACCGACTTGTCCTCGGCTCCGTCATGGGCAGCCTTGAGGGCTGGCTGGGCATCCGTTCGCTGCGTACATTCGAGCTGCGAGTCACGCGCCAGAGTGCCACGGCCTCCGCAGTCGTCGCTTGGTTGGCCGAGCAGCAGCGAGACCCATCCTCGGTGGTGAATGCTCTCGTTGAGCGCATCCAGCATGCTAGTCTGCAGCCTGAAGCAGCCGTCGAGGATAGCTGGCTGCGGCGCCAGATGCCGGGCGGCTGGGGCCCCGTTTTCTCCATATATCTCAAGGATGAAGACGCAGCAAAGCGGCTGCCCAGCAAGTTGCATCTATTCCACCACGCCACGAGCCTGGGTGGTGTGGAGAGTCTCATTGAGTGGCGCGCCATGACAGATGCTGGCGTCGACAAGCGGCTTTTGCGTGTAAGCATTGGCGTCGAGGGACTGGATGATATCAAGCATGACCTGCTCCAGGGCCTGGAGGCTCTGAGAAAGGAAAATGGTGGGAAATAAGACTGAAACACTTAAGGAAGAGATAGAATGGAATAGATCACAGAGAAAACCAATAGACAGAGGTGGACCATAACGTGAAGGAGAATAACAAGTTTCTCATAAATATGAGCCTTTTAGTAAGGAAAGATCTCCTCCAAATAATGCCTTGGTTCGGCCGTGAGTGAAATGAAGTAAAGCGAATGTAAGTGGGGTGTGAGAAAACTCGTGACAATCTTGCAAATTCTTCCATCAACGTGTGCTTTGAATGACCGTGAGGTGTCCTGTAAGAGTGGGGATGAAGAAAAAAAAGAAATCGAAAAAAGAAATCGAAAAGAAGACAAGAAGAAAAAACAAACCGCTCTAAAAAATACCCTCTATCGTGGTGCCCAATGTCATGAATCAGCTAGGCCATAATCCATCCTAACCAAGAATCTCGAACCAAAGCGTCGTATACTTCTTAAACGAAGCCGTCAAAATGTTTCAGTCGTGAAGTACTCGCAAATCAAGGAAGCCACAAGTCGAACCAGTTGCTGAGCGGCTTGTACTTGACCTCCTTGCGCCTAGTCCTCGCGTTAGTATCTGTCTCGACAGTATAAATGTAAATGAAAGCCTTACCTCGAACGATCGGCGTCCGCAAAGGAGCCAACCCCTCGCAGGTCATAGTCGGCGGAATGGCCAGCGGAGTGGTCGACGGAATGACGGGCGGAATAAGATGCTGCCCCTCGGGATGAGGAGGCATGACCAGGGCTTTGTCTCCATGTTGTCCGGCTTGGAGATGGGGTGTAGTAGTCAGGGGGCAAGACTGGCGCCCTGTCTACAGGAGGTCGAGCTCCAAGCGCGGGTCTCGTTTGAAAAGTTGCCGAGCCATCGCTGATGACTGGCGAAGATTCAGGTGTGACAAACTCGGAGACGGCAGACATGGCCCTCGAAGGGTCTTGGGTTCGTTGCTGGCCAAGCCAATTGTCGACCATGCCGGCCTTTGCGCTGTAGTCTGTTGGTGTGACGCCTCTCCAAGATGAATTGCGGTCTCGCGGTGAGGCAGCCGTGGATCGTTGATAGCTCGATTCCCAGCTACCCCGAATAGCCTCCTCGCTCCAATTCCTAGAGCTTCCTGGTCGACTATAATCTCTGTTGTAGTCTCGATTGTAGTCTCTGTTGTAGTCTTGGTTGTAGTCTCGGCTGTAATCGGGCTGGCGAGCCATGATGAGTACCGTCAATGGATGAGCTTTTGGGTGGTAGTTATTTAGAGTCGGACTTGAAGAGGGTGTAAGTCAGTAGTCTTGCTGCGCTTGTGGAGTCAGCCAATGGAGAAGGCCTTTGATGTCAATACACAAGCGAGAAGCTCAATGGCTGATGATGTGGAGTGGCAACCTTTGCCCGGAGCCATGATATTTATTAGATGCGTCTAGCATCAAGCCCTTGTCCCGCAACTCTGGATGCCTCTGTAAAGTCAACGACAGAATTGGAAGCTCACGCCCCAGGGAGGCTCATGCTCGCTGCCGACATGTGTGGCTGGAGCTCCATGATCGCGGGGAGTCCGGCCGGGAGGCCTTCAATGGGACCAATCAGGAAGCGCCAACCCGATAGTTGGGGTCCGCGAGGCCGTGCTACGGCTCTTAAAGACCAGGGTCAAGCTTCACCACAGGGAACGGGGGCCAAGACATGTCAGCAAAACATCCCGAAGCGGCATAGAATCAAACGACGTGCCATTGTCGGTGCTAGGGATGAAGGCAAAACCCTCCGAGCTGCCAATGTGGTGTGCAGGTCGCCGAGAGTGGGGAGGGTGATGCTTCACAGCAGACTTACTTGTTGCTGTTCTAGCCGTTTCGAGTCTCAAGAATAGAACACCCCAGTCCGCAATAGAGATTCAAGCGCTTTACCGCCTGGCTCGTCCAATGAGGGCTCGAGTGCAGTCACTCCAGGCCCTCCCGAGGCTTGGGCAGGGGTTCGCTCCTTGGTCACACCCATTCCAAGCGAGCGGTTTCTTGATTTGTTGTGAGGGAGCCCAGATGCCTCCATGATGTAACCGATCAAACCTGACCCCAACGTCGTCAGAGTGCGTCCTGTGCCGTGCCTCCCACCGCCCCACGATCCGATCATTTCCTGCAGCCCGTAGGGCTGGCCAAACAATTGAATGGCCCAGAGACACACCCATGTCGGCAGAGCCCCGACAGAATCGGCGTGGGCGACAGCATATGCATGTGCATCCCAGACGGAGATGATTTGAGTGCTGAGAGCGTTTGGAGTAGCTCGTGTGTTGCTGCTTATACTGTGCCCATGTGAAGAGGTAATGGGGCATGCTTAGTCCACATAGTTGAGTGAAGCATAACTCGTGAGCTCACAATCATCATGCTTCACGCGGTAGCGCATGAGTTGCGATACTGCTCCCGCTTGCACAGTACCCACATCGAAGAGGCACTTGCAGGTCACAGCGGCAGGACAGGCGCCCTCCCAAGCGGCAGCCAAAGCAAGCCAGACACAAGATTCGCGAAGAAGCGCCATGCGCGAAGCAAGCTAATGACATGACGATGGGGTGTTGTTGCATGTGCAATAGTACCCGCGCTTGGCCACGTTGAGGATCTCGAAATAGGACTCAAGCGCGGTGCCGCAGCATAATGGTTGGGGATCGGCACGACCAGAAACGCCTCCATGCCAAATCGGGATTCCAAGAGGGCCTCACGCAGCCGAAAATCGGGCTGCAACCATGGGATCCCTGAGGGCGCATGGTGTTGAACGATGGAACATGGGTTTGTGAGGGGGGACGGATGCCTCCTGTGCCACTGGGCTCAGTGGGCGGAGTAGCTTCTTGCGCCTCGGCATGCACGAGCCACGTTGGGGTCCGCGCCAAGACGCCACCAAAAGAAAGCTCTCCCGCACAGACCAGTTCCCGCGGCCGCCAGCTCGCCTCTGACTGGTCGAAACAGACGCGTTTCAACATGCACGTTTTACCCGTTGCTGCCAGCTTACGTAGCACGACTCTACATCCAGTAACAAACACCAAGCACCAGTTTCGGCTCATCCGCCAGCTTCATCCCACTCCGCCATCACTTGCTCCCTCCGACCCTCCCTCTCGTCTCGACGGCCTCGAGCACGGGGAGCATGCGCGAGTCACATCGTCTCCCGCGCGGGTCATACGGCTGTCACAACTCCCCCTCTACGCCCATGCCCTGATGGTCCGACTCTCCCTTTTCCGCCTACCCACCAAGCTTCGGCGCAGGGTCAGGCGCAACCGCATGGCCACCCTCCTCATCCTCATCGCCCTCGTTGGCCTCCTGGTGGTTCCCTTGTACACCGCCTACTGCATCTACAAGCCTCCGCGCTATCTGATCAGCTACCTCCGCTCCGCCTTCCCGGATGTCCTGTGGGAGGAGACAACCAACGAGAAGATCATCGCCCTCTCCATCGACGATGCGCCCTCCACCCACACCGACGAAATCATGCAGGTTCTTCAGGAGAATGACTCCCACGCCACCTTCTTTGTCATTGGGTCCCAGGTTGAAGGGAGGCAAGATAAGCTGCAGAAATTAGTACACGAGGGCCACGAATTGGGCAACCATGCTATGCACGACGAGCCCTCCCGCTCCCTCAGCAACGACATATTGCTGAACGAGGTCTATACCGTCAAGGAGATGCTGACGGCTGCCTACGAAGCTGAGGGAAAGATTCTCCCCAACAATTACTTCCGCCCAGGGTCGGGCTTGTTCAATTGGCGCATGCGCGACCTGTTGGGAAATAGGGGGTTCCGCATCACTCTGGGAAGCATCTACCCTCACGACCCTCAGATCCCATACCCAGATATCAACGCGAAACATATCCTTAGCATGGCTCATCCTGGCGGAATCATCATCTGTCACGATCGGAGGTCGTGGACAGTACCTATGCTGCGAATCGTCCTGCCCGAGCTGAAGAGACAGGGTTATAGGATCGTCACAATTACGGACCTGGTCAAGTCTGTGGAGCCACTGGGTCGCCAGGGATAATCGAATAATCGGAGTTTTTGTTGGAACATAATCGGTCGGTCCTCGTTGTATAGTAGAAGAGGAGCCTTGCTGAGATTGGGTACATGGCTACGGCCCTTTTATACGCCTCATGAGCGAGGCGGCGGCGCATGTCTTTCGGCGAATGTTAGTTCGAATACCAAAGCCACCACAGATATTCTAGCGCGGATGCCGCGGCTTCACAGTGTTTTGTTTCACTTACATAATAGAGTTAAAGGACAATCTCCAACGACCCGTCATCTCTGAGGAGCTTCGTGATGTTATATCTGGGAGATCGCAGCCTGCTCGCGGTCAGCACACCGCAACACCTTGTCCGGTCAATCTACTTGACCTACGTGAACTCGAGCGTCCCGGTAACAATGGAGCGGCACCCGTTGATATACCTAGTCACCACGCCGCTCTGCTCCTCGTCCCCATCCACCAGCACAAACAACTCTCCCGCCACCCTGTCGAAGTCGTCAACGGCCTGCCGAAGCTTGTGCTCCAGCTCGCCAACCACTTCATCGAGGCCCTTCTCCGGCGACAACAACGAGGTCACGGCATTTATAACGCAGTCCGTTCCCAGCTCCTTCTTCAGCGACAGCAGGTCGTTGATAAAGGTGAGCATGGTGCTGACCTGCGTCCACAGCTCGCGGACCTGTGGCGCCGCCACAACTGCGCTCGGTAGCGGCTCCCGGTTAGCGAACTCGACGAGGGCGCAAAGCGTCGAGCCGCCGATGGTGCCGAGCCGGAAGCCCATGTAGGAGTCGTAGTCTGGGATGCGCTGCTCCAGCCGGAGCTGTTGCTCCACGGCACAGCTGGTGATGAAGTACCAGAGTTCCTCGTAGAGACGACGGCGCTGGTCTATCGGAGTGGTCCCGCTGAGACATTCTCCAACAGTCTGGAACGCGGCATTGATGGTATCAGGATGCTTCTCCGCATCCGTCCCGTCGATCCCCAGGGCCCCGCGGATCATCTCCAACGTCTGGCTCCTCCACCGATCCGCGCCGTCGAAATCCCCAGCCAAGTCGCCCTCGCCCGCATCCACGGTGTCGTCCCAACAAACCAACCACACCCCAAACATCACAAGGGTTTCAAGGCCCCCTTCAGCGGCTTGTGGATAACATAGCGAAATTAGACCTGCAATATCATCACCCTTGCGTCGTGCAAGCGGCGGGTGTGAGACGGCAATGCGCTCGATGAGGGCGATCACCACGGGCGCCACCTCCGCATGCCGCGGGTGGAGCACGGCCGGCGGCCAGGCGCGGAGAAAGGCCGTGAGATCCGGTACCCGGAGTGTCTGGCCCTTGAGGGCGGCGACAATGGCGTGCTGGTCGAGGCGGGCCGGTTTCATGATGGGCTTGGAATGAAGCTTTTGGTTGGCGCGGGGTGGACTTGCTTGCATGAGAGTTGATTTGGAGGACGGGTGAGATATTGCGGGGGGCATGGATCTGGTGGCACTTCGGTTTGCTTCGATTAACACGCGGACTGCCTCTAAGCCGCATCAGACGCTGGCACTGAAAATTCGAAATCATCTGAAATTTTTCGCATAGCAGTCTTACAGCACAGTTAAGTTCTCGTGGCTCTTTATGAGACAGCATGGTCATTGTACAAATTCCCTTGTAGTCGTCAAAAAGCTACCCTAGACTCCCGGCTATCCAGCACCGAAATGCATCGTCATGAGACATACCACCGTTTGCAGTTACGGAACGCCGCACTCATTACACCGAACGGTCTTAAAAAAAAGCCACCAATATCTAATCAAAACGCCACTCGCGAACAAAAAAACTCTATGTCCATCTGGGCCTCGGCGAGGCCATGCTAAACTCCGGTCCCGTGTAGCCGTGTAGCTGTGTGGCAATGGCAGGGACTTCCTCACAGTCACATGGAGCACTCAATGCGTCAAGGCAGAATCGAGTGAGTGCCGGTTTGGAGTAGATGATCCGCAGCAGTTGGCGGGTCTCTTGTTTACTGGGGTTTTGCTTGTTGGTGTCCCAAGAATGGCCCACGCGGGGGAGGGGGATGAAAGGATGGGATGTACCTGCATGGATGGATTGATTTTACGGTTTCAGAATCCATCTTCGAAAATGAATCGTAGGCTGCAGTGGGTTACCCGGGCAATTTCTCATCAAGTTCACACATGCGAGGCACAGAAAGGAGAGACAGTAGTGCTTTGAAGAAAGAAATGTGCTACCGTTGCAGGCGTGGTTGACTATCCACTCGTAAGATACACATCATGAAAAATAGGTATCCCATCCTATCTCGAACGCCCCTTTCCGAGCACTGGCCAAATGGCCAGCCATCGGGTACAATTCACTGGTATTCCATCGTTTCAGCCCGTTCCCCTAAAACCGCACCAAGACATAACAAAAAAGTAAAGAACCAGAATCGCCAGTAGACAGAGAATGAGTCCCGGCACTATTTTCCACCCTTCCTCCTCTCCCACTTTTGTATACGCCAGCCATCCTTCCGTGGGTCGTAAGATGTGTATAAATTATGTACAGCTGAATGAATGCGAGACCGGCATGCCGGTCGACGTGCGTGGACTTAGATCCACAGGGGGGCGGCAGGCTTGGCGTGGGCCATTTCCGGGAAGAAGCTGTTGATCAGGTTTTGAACGTCGTTGATGTAGTCGTCGGCAGTGAATTTGACAAGGCCCCTGGTCTTGATGTAGACGTTGTCTTCCTCGTCGATCTTGGTGTTGCTTCGGGCTCCGTACTCCTCGGCCAATTCGGTGACCTGGGCTAGCTCCTGGCCAAAGGGATGTGCCTCCTTGATTCGCTGCTGGAAAGCTGGGCGTACTGCGGGCGAGGGAACTGGGGGAGGGGCGGGTTTTTGGCTCTGACCGTTGGACAGGGAGGAAGCTGAAGAGGCACGGGTGGATGTGGAAGAAGTTCGCGAGAAGCTGAAGCTAGCCTTGGTTGACACGGAGTGGTCCGAATCCTTGGACATGCGCGAGGTAGATCGGTGGCGGGCAAGGCTCTCATACGAGTTCTGCTTGGTGTGGGAAGGCGATCTCCTGGGAATGGCGGGAGCATCAGCTGTCAAGATGGGGCTCTTGTCGGGGACCATGAAGTAGGTTGACAGATGGTTAGGCCGGGGACCGGGGCACTCCTCGACTGGGGAGACCTCAGGGCTGGTTGGCGGCGAGGATTCAACGGAAGGAGCTTCAGATGGAGACTCGGAGTCTGTGGATCGGATTGACGCCTTGCTGCGGAGAGCGGGACGGGGAAGATCGGGGGCGTTGTAGGAGAGCATGTTGGTGGTGTGGACAAGCTGGATGGGACCTGAGATCTTGCTACGCATCGTCTGAGAGTTGTTGTGGTTGCGAGTCGAGTTGCTGCGCTGGGGCGACTTGGTGTAGTCACTCACGTCGCTGCCCATGCGGGCCTTGCGAGTGGTGAAAGCGCGTGCGAGCGACATGGCGAAGGCTGTGATTCGGGACCGTGTAACGGAGGTTGAGAAATTGAAAGAAACCGGCAGTGAATCGGTTTACATGCAAACCCACGAGAGCGGATCAGATGGTGGCGGTTGATGTCCAAGAATGTGGAAGAAAGTCAAATGGGGTCGAATGGCCGAGGTGGCGTGTGGCTCCAGATCGTTATGCGACGGCTTGACTGACTCAAGGCCAACTTGTGCGATGTGATATTGAGCTGGCGTTTCTGGTTGAGTCTGTGTGAGGTCTAGTGTGGTCGTCGGGTTGACAATGGTGATCTCTGAGAGTTGCTGTGTGGTACGTGAAGGAGTCCAGTCCTTGTGTGAGTTTCCAGTTATAGTTGCTGGGTGGGTTGCGTGTGCTGTGGTGTGCCGTGTGTGTGGCTTGCTGTAGTTGAACAGAGAGTGTGGTTCACGGGCTCAAGAGCGAGTGATTGCTGTCTTAGTTTGGATGATAAAGGAACGGTCAACGTCGATTGGGTATCGGTCGGTGTTTGGGAGTTCGATCGATCCTGCGATGGGGCTATCCCGAGCTGGTAACAAAGGCACACTGTGGGTGCGGGCGTGGTATTGGCAAAAAGACAAAGAAAGAGGCGCGCAGGATAGATCACGTTCGGAGGGAGCGACGATCGTGAGCTGGGCGGCTGGCGCGAGCAAAGGAAGAAGAGAAAGCGAAGCTTTTCGATGACGGATCAAGGAGAAGCGTTGGATGGAGAAAAGAGAGGCAAGACAACGGGATCAACGCGTGGAGACGGGGGGACGAAACAAAGATATTGGGAACGGATCGGGGGGGGGGGGACGCTACGACCAGAGGCAAAAGCGCAGGCAGGGCCTGTAGCGCTTCAGAGGGGGAGCGTGCAGCGGTGCAGCGAGGGAGAGTGGGCGCTGTCTCCCTTCTTCCCACTGCAGCCAGCGGACTGGCCGGCCCCTGGCAGATTTCCCAGGGCTGCTGGGCTTGCGCCGGGGTGCGCCGGGGTGCCCCGGTCGGTTTCTTCACGCCTCTCGTTGGTTGGATCTCCTGGATGATAGGATGCCCATCCGCGTCGGCCTGTTTCTGCTGGGGGTGCTAGGACCTTCTAGGGTTTGTTAGGGTGATTCATGGGGGTCCGTCTTGTTCGCCCTTGTTTTCCCTCCCCTGGCTATCGCCCCAAAGAGAAGTCCATCGCCCCATCCCGGCGCCGCGCCAGCATGGGTTCCTGGGTGGAGCGGCAGCTAGTCGGCCTCAGCCAATGGCATTACGAGTTCCCCTGCCGGTTCAGCACCGTTTGGTATCCACTCACTTGCACCTCGACACTTTTCGCTCTTTTTCCCTCCCTCGGCCGCGGCACAAAGACCAAAAACCCATCGGCGCCAACAGAAAACCCCCGCTGACACCACTGTGCCGGTGGATGTCCAGCGATTGCTCTGTTGGGACAGAGGCGAATGACTTTCCAAGCGCCGGTGCCTCTCTCGGTGTCGGGCCGCCTTCAGTTGGGTTCTCTTCCCCTCAGATGACGACGCAGGGCCGAGCATCATCCAAGCGCGTTGTTGGTTCTCAAAGACCACACAAGACTGCACACACGGGTTTGAGCCCTGAACTCGCCGTCCGCTCTGCCATAGACGCGCCCTACGCAGCGCCTACTTACATCGCAGGTACATGATGCGAGCCACCGTGGCAGCGCGTCTTTTTCTGCTCGTTTCTTCTGCGTCGGCTACGGTGCGCTCTCTGCCAGTGAGGCCCTTTGTCAAGCGTCAAATCGCACGTTTCGCTGGCAAAAGTTGGGCGAGATCTCTCCACCAGGCCACCATGCGCCAATTCACCACCACTACCACTCACCACCATCCATTACCACCCACCCACAAACCCACCGCTAACCCACTATCCCTACTCTGGTCGTTACCCGACCACTGACCAAAAGGCCGACCCGCGCGCTACCGCGAATCTGGCCAGTGACGAGTACTCGCTCCGGCAAGACATGGCCCAACAAGGGCAAGACAAGGGAAAAGTCTATCGCATCACACATGCACACACTTTAATGGATGCCATCACCGAGACTCGTCCACTCACGACTCCCCGCCCGTCCGGTGTCCGCTGGCAAGCGTCCACCGTTTGGCGTGCGACTGGCGTGGAGCTGGCCTGGCTCAGGCGGTGATGAGTTGTCACTCTCACAGCGCGCTGTACCTGCATTGTTGTGCGTCTGTCGGTTGCTGGACCGTCACTGACTGGCCCAACGGCGTGTCAGTTTGCCGACTTGCCAGTGCGCCAGTGACGGCCTGACAGGTAACAGCAAGCCATGACATGCTATGACGGGACGGGATGAACTGTCTCTCCCTTCCCCACTGGGCTGGGGATCGCTTGCCTACTCACACTGCCACCCGTTTCCCCTGGGATTCCCTGGGATTCCCTGGGATCGCTCGCTCACCCTCCCTCCCAAGCCCGCGAACATCCTGTCCAGATGAACCCTGACATGGCCGTGTCGGAGAAAGATTGAGGCGCCCTCAGAGCCCTGAGGCCCTGGGTCCTCTTCCCCTCGTGGTTGGTCCCCCAGGACTCCCAGCATCACTAAGGGCCTCCCGGCTCCGCCTAGGCCGCACCAGGAGGCCAAAGTTTGCCCGCGCTGCATGAGTGATCCCGTCAAGAAACCGCCGGTCAACGCTGATTGGACCCCTGTGTCAACGCCTCTACCGTCGTTCTGTTTCAGGCCCTGGTGGCCGTGGCGGTCCCGGCACCGCGTGCCTGCGCAAGCGGGCCCTCCCACAAGACGCCCTCCCAGAGATTCTGGAGCTAGAAGGGGGGGGATCGTCGGTTTACGCCTCTGATGTGCCGGCTGCGAAACGCATGATCACAATCCCAATCCAACCTCTTTCTGCAGCCTTGTTTCTAAAGCTAGAAAGCCCAATGCAAACAGGGGGACTTGTTTGGCAAATAACTCGAAGCATGAGTGGCGCGTATTTTGGGATGCGGACCGTCCGCTTGTTGTCGATTGACGAGGTGCACACACATGGCACTGCCTACGACTCCATAGCACGATACACCATCGACCCTGGCACCACCATGCAATGCTTGTGCCATTGTGCCAGGGACGGCTCGGTACCGGCGTTCTCGCTCTGCTGATTCTTCTGATTAGGCGCCCAAAGAGCTCACGGGGTACAGTATGCATATGTGCGTACTTGCCGAGCTACCGCCATGGCCTTTCTTTTGTACGCGTTGGGCAGTCTCCGTGACGCAAACAACTGAATCAACTCGGTTCTCAATCGATCAATCAGACTTCAGACTCTCGCTCTCGCTTTCCATGGATGGTTAACTTCTCAGCTGGCGGGGCCGCCTCACTCAGATTTCCATCAATCGGACGCGCCATGCGACAGGGGGAAGCTCAATGCGCCCAGGACATCCAAACCCACCCCGGCCCCAGTCACCCAAAACTGCCCATCGTGTTTTAGGATCTTTGCTTTTGCTTTAGCCTCAGCTATGTATCTATTCAACTCGAGTTAGGCTTCTTTTCCCTCCAGCTCTCCCGAGTTTGAAAACACCCGTGTGTGCGCGCCGGCACGGTAGCATCCAAGCAGTTTACACTAGAGCCGCTCATCAAGCTAATTGCCACCTATTTTAATCCACCGCTCGACCATCACGGGTGTCACCAAATTCGACTGAGACTTACACCCCAATACAATACGCCTCTCAGGTGTCTTCGTCTAAGAAGAGGATTTTTGTGGTTGTGAAGCCGACACCTCGGCAATGCCCAGGGGTCACCTCTCAATCCTCGTCCATCGAATCATCGTCCTCCTTCTCCACAGCATCGCCGCCCTCATCCTCACTGTCACTGCTTTCATCGTTCTCCACACCAACCAGACGGTCTTCATCCTTCCCACTGTGATCAGGGACTCGTTGCGCAAAGGCCTTTCGGACTGAGGCATTGGTGCTAGTATCCCACACGTGCATGGTTCCCTTGCTACCAGCCACGGCCAGTCGGAATGCGACCTCAGGATCGGGAGCAAAGGTTGTCGAGAAGACCTTGCCGACATCGAGGTTACGGGAGACCACCACCGATGGTCCCGTTGACTGGATGTTCCATAGCTTCACAGTCTTGTCGGTGGATCCAGTGACCATGAAACCGGGGACCACGGGGTTGATGTCAAACGACGAGACTGACTCGTCGTGGGCCTGCAGTGTCCAGACTGACTTCGTCGCCGTGGGGTCCGATGGCGCATTTCGGATGTCGTGGTAGTGGATGATGCCGTTCTCCGTCGAGACGAAGAAGTAGTTGGAGTCATGGGGATCCCATCGCACATTCTCGACATCGCTCTCCACTCCCCATCGGGTTGGCTTTGCGTCTGGTGCTCGCATGTCGGCAGCCACAATGGTTCGGTCGTAGCTTCCGCTTAGCAGTACGGTCGACTCAACCGCATGCCATGCTAGAGAGCACACCTTGTCAGTGTGGTAGGTGTAAGACTTGGCGCACTTGGTAGTGTTCAGATCCCACAACTTGACAGTCTTGTCGGCCGAGGCCGAGGCCAACAGGTTGCGGTGCTTTCGGTTCGCGGCCAGTGAGAGGACTGCATCGACGTGGAATTCGTCATTGGCCTTCTTGGCCTTCTTCTTCTTCTTCTTGGGCTTCTCCGCCTCCGAATTACCGCCCTGACCCAGGATGGCATTGGGGTACATGCAGTCGATGGTGTCCAAGTCCCAAACCTCGATATCAGGGTCCATGGTGCCGATGGCGACAAAGTTGCCAGTAGCATCCTTCTCCACACCGGCCTTGTTGACGGGCATGTCGATCCACTCCACGCAGAGCGGGATCGCGGGCAGCATGATGTCGTGGTGCACGTAAAGGTTGTCGGCCTCATCCTCGTACACGTAGACTTCAAGATGCGCCATCTCGTCTTCCACCTTGGCAGACAGGATCAAGTTGTCGGTCGCCAAGACCTGGAGTTCTTCTCGATCCTCGTCCTCGTCCTCTTGGTCGGCGAGTGTAATGTAGGGGTCCTCCTTGTTGGACTCGTAGTAGGCCAGCGACTTGACGTTTCCAAACATTCCCATTCCCTCACCGTTACCGGGCAAATCCTCATCGTCGTCGTCGTAGTGTTCTAGGTCGTACTCTTTCAGGTCGTCATCGTCAACGGGAGCCCTGGTTGTTCTGGGTTAGTTTATTGTAAACACTTGTTAGTTGAGGATCACATACTTGGCCTTTTTAGCCGGCTTCTCGGTGTCATCCTTCATTTCCTCGTCATCCTCCTGGTTTCCATTACCCTCCTTGTCGCCGTCCTCCTCTTGGGCTTCCTTGAGATCTTCCTCGGCGTCGTCGAGCTGGAGCTTGGCAAGCCCTGCTATCCTTTCGTACTCAGCCTCGTCTAGAGTGTACTTTTGAGGGAAAGGCGCCGCAAAGCCCCGAGGGACCCATTGTGCGGCCGTGATCATCGACATCGTGAAGTTGGTTATGGGTATCTTGTTGGTGTACAAGCATGCGCCGCTTGGTGGGCGCCCGCTAGATAAATTTCTCCCAAAAATTTCAGGTGGGGGTTATCGATAAGGATTTGGTCGGATAAACCTCGTGGCCTTGTTTTCTAAACATCATCCTTGACCTTGTAGATCAGATACTCCTTGCCACGACAACAAGCATTCACGACTGGCAACCGAGGAAAAATGGGCGAAGACCGAGAGTACGATGGGTATAACCCCAAGAGGAGGCGGCTGGAATCTGCGCGCCCAAACAACCGATTTCAGAATGGATCGCGTGGCTCGACTCCACGCGCGCAGTCGCACTACGCGCCGACACCTCCACGAAACCCTGAAGTCCCCGAGCCGACGGCTGAGGACGACAAGGCGCTCGATCGCGATTGGTATGGAGGAGACGAGTTCGGCGGGCACACTTTCGGAGACGATTCGCATAACCCGTTCGCTTCATACCAGATGACGGCCTGGGAGAGTCAACAACAGGAGTCGGCGCGCGCTGAGAAGATGGCTACTCGATATGACTCGCGAAGGGAGCAGAGGCAACGAGAAAACGACGCTTGGGAGACGAACCGGATGTTGGTGTCTGGTGTTGCGCAGCGAAGAGACATGGCGTCCGACTTTGACGATGAAGAAGCGACTCGAGTCCATCTCCTGGTTCATGACCTGCGACCGCCATTCCTCGACGGACGAACCATCTTCACCAAGCAGTTGGACCCCGTCCCGGCCGTGAGAGACTTCCAGAGCGATATGGCTGTCTTTAGTAGGAAGGGAAGTAAGGTGGTGAAGGAGGCGCGTCAGCAACGAGAACGACAAAGACAAGCCCAAGCAGCCACGAGCATCGCCGGAACCACATTAGGAAATATCATGGGCGCAAAGGAAGAGGACGGAGACAGCGCGCTGCCCGTCCCGGCAGAGGACGATATGGAGAAGAGTGAACGCAAGGGAAACAAGTTCAGCGAGCACATGAAGAAGACCGACGGAGCCAGCAACTTCAGCCAGAGCAAGACGTTGCGGGAGCAGCGGGAGTATCTACCTGCTTTTGCTGTCCGCGAGGACCTCCTTCGAGTCATCAGAGAGAACCAGGTCGTCATCTGCGTTGGTGAAACCGGCTCAGGAAAAACGACACAGCTGACGCAGTTCCTCCACGAGGATGGTTATGGAAACACTGGCATGATTGGCTGCACTCAACCACGACGAGTGGCTGCGATGAGTGTCGCAAAGCGAGTTGCGGAAGAGATGGAAGTAAAGTTGGGGAGCACTGTTGGTTATGCGATCCGTTTCGAGGATTGCACTAGCAAGGAGACTGTCATCAAGTACATGACTGATGGTGTTCTGCTCCGAGAGTCGCTCAATGAGCCGGATTTGGACAGATATTCCTGCATCATCATGGACGAGGCGCACGAGCGTGCCTTGAATACTGATATCTTGATGGGTCTATTCAAAAAGATTCTGGCAAGACGTCGAGACCTCAAGCTCATCGTCACGTCCGCGACCATGAACTCGAAGAGGTTCTCCGACTTTTTTGGAGGCGCGCCTGAGTTCATTATCCCCGGAAGGACATTCCCTGTTGACGTCATGTTTCATCGATCTCCAGTCGAGGATTACGTCGATCAAGCTGTGCAGCAGGTCCTGGCAATACATGTTTCCATGGACGCTGGTGATATTCTAGTCTTCATGACAGGTCAAGAGGACATTGAAATCACCTGCGAGCTTGTCCAGAAACGACTCGATGCACTTAATGATCCACCGAAACTGAGCATCCTACCAATCTACAGTCAGATGCCAGCGGACCTTCAGGCAAAGATTTTTGACAGAGCCGCGCCTGGTGTCCGCAAGTGCATCGTTGCCACCAACATCGCCGAAACCAGTTTAACGGTCGATGGTATCAAGTACGTTGTGGACGCGGGCTTTTCCAAGATGAAGGTGTACAACCCTAAAATGGGTATGGATACCCTTCAGATCACGCCCATCTCGCAGGCAAACGCCTCGCAGCGTTCGGGACGTGCTGGTCGAACTGGACCGGGCAAGGCGTTCCGACTTTTCACCGAGAAGGCGTTCAAGGAGGAGCTTTACATGCAGACGATACCTGAAATCCAGCGGACAAACCTCTCAAACACCGTGCTTATGCTGAAGTCTCTGGGCGTGAAGGATCTTTTGGACTTTGATTTCATGGACCCTCCCCCTCAGGATACCATTACCACGTCAATGTTCGACCTCTGGGCTCTCGGGGCGCTGGATAACCTCGGGGAGCTGACAGAGGTTGGCCGAAAGATGAGCGCTTTCCCCATGGACCCGTCCTTGGCAAAGCTCCTCATCACGGCGGAAGAATACGGGTGCAGTGAAGAGATGATTACCATTGTCTCGATGCTTTCAGTCCCCAACGTATTCTACCGACCCAAGGAGAGGCAAGACGAAGCTGATACGCAGCGTGAGAAGTTCTGGGTGAGCGAGTCGGACCATTTGACCTACCTGCAGGTCTACTCAGCATGGAAGGCAAATGGACACTCGGATGGATGGTGTGTCAAGCACTTCCTCCACCCCAAGTCTTTGAGACGAGCAAAGGAAATCCGAGATCAGCTTCTGGACATTGTCCGGATGCAGAAGATGACGCTGTCAAGTTGCGGGATGGACTGGGACATCATCCGCAAGTGTATTTGTTCCGGCTACTACCACCAGGCCGCCAAGTACAAAGGCTCCGGAGAGTACATCAATCTCCGCACCAACCTCGGAGTGCAGCTGCACCCCACGAGCGCCCTCTACGCCGGCCACCCGCCAGACTATGTTGTGTACCACGAGCTGATCCTCACTTCCAAAGTCTACGTCTCGACGGTCACGGCCGTGGACCCTCACTGGTTGGCCGACCTCGGTGGCGTCTTCTACTCCATTAAAGAGAAGGGATATTCGGTACGGGAGAAGCGCATCACGGAGACCGAGTTCAATCGCAAGATGGAGATTGAGGCCAAGATGGCCGAGGACAAACGCAAGGAAGAGGATCGCAAACTGGCCGAGGTGGAGCGCACGCAGAAGAAGAAGGTTGGTAGCGATGGGAAGAAGTTTGTTACGCAGGGTGCCGTGAAGAAGCCAGTTATTAAACGCCGCGGGAGAGGATTCTGAGCGAATGTATTAGTGTATAGATTTACAGGATACTGTACAAAACGACTGACACCGGGTTTGGGCGAGTTTCGATATTCATCTTGATTTTTAGCGCCGGATCTCGAAGCTGTCCTCCCCTTCTACCACGTCCCGATCCTCTCTATCGAGCTTGACAACTCTCGCATGTCTCGGGCCATTGTCCACATCCTTGAAGAACTTGGTCATGGCATCATCGTCGCCTTGCGCCTCGCCTTCAACCTGCTCCGAACGTCAACGGATTGAGACGCAGAACGAACTTGGGTAAGCGACCTTGTTGTCGGGGGTGTTTCGACACCACCCGGTGACGCCGTACTCCTGAGCCCTCCTCCGAGTAAAGTATCTGCTCGCGGATTAGAGGCAATTCATCGGTTGGCGCAAGTCAATGGGATTCCATGCCGGAAGCCAACACCTGGATGACGTCAGTTTGGCGTTGGTGCAAGGAGGCGTAGGATCTTCATACCTTGGACGATTCCGCCGTGGGCGACGAAGTAGACCTACCGTAAAGTAAGCATCGCGGCATGGCATTATTCAACAGAGATACCATACTCGTTTCGCCATAATTGTACTAACACTGGATGTCGATCGTGAGGCAACATCCCCGAACGCAGCTTGGAGGGGCAAGGTGGGATGCCGGCTAAGCTCCGGCCGGGAGATAAGATTGAGAGGCGTCTTGATGTCACTTTGCTCGTGTGTCCATGCTCAAGGCTCCAGGTTACACGTCCCCGAGTCCTTCTCCCTCCGAGTCCTTCTCCCTCCGAGTCCTTCTCCCTCCGAGTCCTTCTCCCTCCGAGTCCTTCTCCCTCCGAGTCCTTCTCCTCCCGCCACCAACTCCCTAGGACCGTCTCTCGCCATGACACTCGCTCGCATAGATTACTGACCGAAACAGCACCGCCGTGAACCCAATGGAGCCCCCTCCAACCGGCGAGCCCGTCATCCGCTTTCGCGCCGGCAAGAAGCGCAAGGCCTACCGCCAGCGCATCGACGACGACGACGACAACACCGCCGAACCCGCACCGACAAGCCTCGAGGCGCAGGCCCCCGATGCTGTCGCGCATACTGTCACGAAAGCGGACGGCGACAGCGATGGCGAGTCCAGCGTCGCAGCCGCTCTCCGATTGCGCAATGCGCGCCGTGGTCGCCTCCGCGGCGCCGGCTTGAAGAACACCCCCAGGCACGACGACGAGACGTCTGGTGAACGCGCCCTTGTCCTGCGAGACCCGGACGGCGCGCCTGAAAAGGAAGCCAGCCTCAGCAGCGTCGCCAATCGCTTCACCCACCAGACCGGTCTCCTCGCCGACATGAACGACAAGCACATGTTCGTTGACACCCCAACACGCTCTCCCTGCGCTACTCGACTAATCATTCAAGGATGGAATACATAGAATCCCGCCTATCTAGTCGCAAGAGCGGAACCACCTCTAGCTCGAAAGACGCCCCGGCCGCGACAGCGACAGCGACAGCACCGGCAGCATCTGCGAAGACCGCTGCGCCGGGCCCCTCAACGAAGCCGGAAGGCGGACACGCCGTCATGCAGGGCCGGCTGATGGAGATCGACCTCGGCGAAGAGGCGCGAGATATCAACGTCGCCCGAACCGAGCGCGCAACCCTGCACGGCGGAACCTCGACGCCAGGAGACGGCAACAGTGGAGGTCGCCGCGCAAAGAAGCCCCGACTTGGTCGAGATGGCAAACCGTGGCGGCCCCGGAACCGCCGTCCCAGCGATGCTATCAAGCGAGACCAACTCGTCGAAGAGATTTTACGTGAAAATCGCCGTACGTGTCTCTCAACCTTGTCTCATTTTAATCTTATTCTGACAAATATTCTAGTTGACGTTTACGAAGCCCCTGCCGAACCATCTCCCAAGGCCTCAGGCCTCGATGAGGATGGCGCCGCTGATGACCGGCTGGCCGAGGAGTTCCGTCAGCAGTTTCTCGACGACGTCGCCCAGCGCCAACTCAAGAAGAAGAAACCAGCGAACCAGCCAGTGCGGCCCGGAGCTGAAGATGTCCTCAAGGGTCCTAAGCTGGGTGGTAGTCGAAACGTACGAGCCGCCATGCGGGACCTGTTGCTGAAAAAGGAGAAGGAGGGGAAGAAATGAGACATGTTTCAGGCGTTGTTGCTTTTTCCATGGATATAAATACACTTTGGGCTGAGCTAGTCGCGTTTCCCCGGATTCGGAGCCAAATGCCAATCAGTGCGGGAATGAACATGCATGCTATGGGGCATTTGTACGCGATCCTTTTTGGAACGCATACTTGATGCTTCTGCTTCTTAAACTTGTTCAATTGATCACTCGTTAATTTAATCTCTTTCATTGACTACTCAGCCCGTAATGATTGATGTCGTGTCGTCGGTATTTACCCTGATCCAGTTCCTAATCCAAGAGACCCTCCCAATTCCCAACCTATGCTGTATCAATCAAAACTCCTGTACCCAAAACCCGTATAAAGTTGTCCCAAAAAAAGCAAAGAAGAAGAAGACCTTGTAAGAGAAGGACTGAAAGTTGCCGTCAGGCTAAAGCTTGCTGTCTTGCTCCAAACGCAAGAAGGTCAGGCCGCATAATACTTTATCTTGCGCCGATTCAATGTGTCGTCCCATGTCATCCCCAAGACATAAGAGAAAAGAATAGAAATAGAAATGTGAGTCTCAAACAAAGAGCCTTCATCTGATGTCGAGCTGGAAAGGCTTGAACCGCCCGCCAATTGTAGCACAGCGGGGACACTTCCTTCGCGCTCCATGCTCTGCCATGAGAACTTCAACACAAGTAGGACAGAGTCCGCAAATACATTCAGTGCATGCATAAGAATCTTTGAGTAGGGAGAACCCCTGGCAAGCAGCGCAGTAGATCTGGATGGTCTGCGCCGAGTACGTAGGTGATGAGTCGGACAGCCCGCGTGATCCGATATGGAAATTGTCGCCGCTCTCCACGGAGGGGAATGGCTCAATTCCATCCTGTCCGTACGAAGGCGGTGTCAGCGCCTGCTGGAGGGGAGATGCTTGGTAATTCCCTGGCTGGAACTGCACTTGATGAGAGAACGGTGGCAGTGAAGCTCTATGAATTGAAACTGGAGATTGAGGGACCTGAGAACATGGTCAGTGGAGGCATTCAGAGTGACGAGGTGGATATGACGTACAGGTGTGCGATCTTCGTCAATGTCTCCGGCAGCCGAGGCGGCCTGGTCGGCTGCATCAATGAGGTCTTCCCATCGTTTCCCAAAGTCTGCAGAGGGTTCAGCTGAAAGAGCCTTCCGGTCATTACCTGGTCTGTATCGTTCGTCGTTCTGAATTCGTCGGAGCCACTCGGTGGCGGATCCACGCGAGTTCTTCTTCTTGTGGTGGGCTTCCCTTCCTCGCTTCGTCACAGACTGCTTGCGAGGTCGATTGGGTCCTAACGGGCGCTGAAGGGGTGGAAGCGTTGAGGACCTTCCTGGGGGTGAATTGGCCAGAATGGAAGGGAGAAAATCGCGCTGGCGATTGGACTTGGCGGAAGAGTACGGGTCGCTAGTTATGTCGTGGTTTGATAAGTTAAGAGGGGGCAATTCAATTGACGTTCGAGGCCTTCGCCGTCCATCCAGGTCTGAGTAGTATTCCTAAAAACGTCGAGCTGATTAGTCCATGTCATTACTGGGTGGCGGCAGTTTAGTTATCGATAGGGGCGGGGTAGCGGAGCTTACACCATCGAAGTCCGCCTCTCGTTCATTCTTGACGCCATGGAGCTCTGCCAGAGCAGCAGCTGCACTGGCAGTGCCGAGCATAGGACCAGCAGGGGCGCCTCCGCCACCACCAAGATCGTCTACATGCCGGGGAGTACCCGGATTGCTCGACTCATCTCGGTGATAGTTGTGACGCTCGTGAAAACCTTGAAGGTGGTCAACGGGCGGGGGCAAGACTGGCTGAGTGTGGGACAAACCCTGAGCAGCAGGAGCTGAGGTCGGATCGGGATGGCGGCGCTCCGACGGCGGGGTATTGATCATGAGGAGGAAGCTCTCTTCGGTGGCCGGGAGCTTTGAGATGTAGTGCTCGGGATGCGCTCGGCGAATATGCTCCTGCATGGAGCGGTACCTCTTTTCCTGTAGTTTGCAACTAAGGTTAGATTGCGGGTGTTGCTTGGTGTTGGGGGGAAAGCGGAAGCTCTCGTGAAGCTCTCGCAGTAGCTCGCACGTAGATAGGAAGGTGGTGAGACATGACGATAACGCTGGCGGATGTAGGATCGGGTGATGTCAAGGGCAGGCAGCGGGTGCAAGACGAGAAAAAAGGCCTTGGGGAACTTACACCGATGCATCGCTTGCGACAGCTGGAGCCATCTTGATTGCGCAGCGGACAGACAACCTCGTTGTTGGAGTCTGTGATTGAGAACGAAGACGTTAGGGACGATCGAGGCGGCATCTTGACCCCACCATGCGCAATGCCTCGTCGGTGGGGGGTGGGTGGTGATAAGAGGATGATGAAGAGTCGGAAACTGAGAGGGCGAAGGGTTCAATTGGCGAGGAGATAGCTGGATGAAGCTGGAGCATTTCAAGGCGCAGCTCGAGGACGGCGGCAGGAGTTGCCCTGGGTCATGGGCGGATGTGTTACAAGAGCCGTTTCGGACTGGGGTTGGCGATGGCGAATGGAGGTTGAGGGGAGCACCGCGGCTGAAGGCGGATATTATGAGACGTCGACAGTCGAGAGTCGAGATCCAAGTAAGATGCCGAAAGTAGATGTAGAGGCGAGAGTCGATGGGATGAAGCAAGGGAAGAGATCGGTGGAGGAGGAGTACGGCCGGTAGATAGAGGTAGGGAAAAGAGTTGGGCCGGCCGGTTTACAGCCCGTGGGGAAAGAGGAAGGCAGGGACAAGGAGCTAGGAAGGTAATGAGACGGAAGGTGGGAGGCGAAAGGGATGCTTTCGGGTAAAGCGTGTGAGAGAATTGGTGAGTAAGAGGAAAGAGCGAAAGAGAGAGTGAGAGAGGGCGTGTGCGTGAGGGTGCGAGCAAGAGTGTGTGTGGTGCTGTGAGAGCTTGCTTGTACATAGTAGAGGAGGAGCTTTCAGTGCGCTCACACCCCAAAATCACGGACGAGCCAGCATCAGAACAAGCACCGAGACGCGCGGAACACCCACAGGACCGGGCACTAACTACTACAGAAGGAGGAACGAGGGAAGCAAGCACAAAGTGGAAGGGGAAAAATCCCTGCGTTGCGAGGGAGGGCGTGTGGGCAGACAGACGGACAAACGCCGCGACGGCTGTCACTGACGAATCTCGACGACTTCTTACTGGCGATCTGCCTCGAACGACTTATCACTGGGGGCCAATGGTACCGGGCTGAAGCTTGGGGGGGCGGGTACAGCAGCTGTGTTGCAGGTCTTCTAGGGCCCGGCGAGAAGCAAAAACCTCACTCTTCCCTGCGCTTTATCTTGCATCGGATTGGGGGATTGGGGGGGGACCGGACTTGAACTGGGGCAGGGAAGCTTCTTCCAAGCATCAGCAGCCGCACCAGAAGAAAGCACAAGCAAGCACCCAGCTGGTATGAGCAGGCATGAGCAAGCACAGCACCACGAGGGACCATGGCCCAAGCGCCCGTCGCGAGCAAATCAATTGGCTCCCATTGCAATGACTCGGAGGGGTGGTGACTTCGGTGGAGAGGATGGGTGGCTGGCAGTGGAGCTTTCCTGGACGGATGGAGGCGGACGAGTTGGGCGAGGTGGGCGAGGTGGACGAGGTGGGATGGGGCCTGCACAATCGCTCGCTGTGGTTGTCTGGTGCCATCTGAAAGGTCTGAAGGTGCTGCAGGTCAGTGAAGCTACCAAAGCGACAGGGGGGAAGCTCCATTCGAGGTGGAGCTGGGTCCCTGGCTGAAGGTCCCTTCGCCTCGCCGTGCTTTGAGCGGCGTGTGAGAGAAGCAGAGCTTTTCACCCACCTCGGGGTTTCTCTCCACCAGGTTGGCGGAGGCGGCCAAGCTAAGATCCAATAGCTACAGTGCTTCACAAGACCTCCCGTACTGGACTGCATCCGTCGATGTTTCGCTTTGCGCCAGGTCGGCGTCGTCGGCAACCGTTCGAGTAAGGTATCTGGCGCCTGGCACTTTAGAGTACAGGATTGGATAGGATGGCCACTGATCCGGCCGCTGTGGCCAAGAGTCGGCGGGGCCGAAGCAAAGGTCAACTGCCACACGTCTTGTCCCTAATCCAACTCCGGCTGTTGGCCATCACATGTACACTATCAGTGCCATTTCGCATGACTCTCGCCACAAGCTGGGCCATGGGACCGACCGAAGCTCACCAGCAGCGACCGAGCTGGAGCTCGAGCCATGCAAGGGTTAGTCGAGGAGCTGGAATCTCAGCGGCCGAGGTGGCGCTGGATGCGGCGGTTCGCATCGAGTCAAATCACATCCCAAATCGGAAGGGGGGTGTAAACCTGAGGTACGGTAGAGCCGGTGGCGAGATGGCGAGAAGTCTGTCGTCGTTGAGCTGTAGCCCAGGGCCTACTGAAAGCGCCTGGTCCTGCAGGTGAGCACTGTGTCTTAGAGGGATGTAAGGTACCTTTGCAGGTAGCTCCGAGGCGGCATGACTTTGACACAAACAGGGCGGGCAAAGCAAAGGGCAAGCCAGCGTCCTGGGTACACAACACCACACCCTCGGGTCTTGTGAGGGGACGGTGACATCACCGGCCAGGGGGTCTGGCCCTACGAAACAGGCTGTCTGGGGGGAGCAAGAGTCAGTCAGGAGATATGACCACTCGCTTCCGAGAACTCAGCGTCGAGCACCGGGCCGTCAGATCAGTACTAGGCAGGCGGTGAGCAAGCATGAATGTCTCCTAAAAGATGGATGGATGGATGGATGGGTTGAGTCGGCGATGAGGTAGTAGAGGTACTTGGTGATGGAGGGTAGAGTACGGAGTGCTTGGGGGCCAGGCCCGAGAAAAGCGAGTGTCGTGAGACCAACCAGCCGAGGTCATGCTTGATAAGTCCGGCTTTATTCTCCAGGGCGGTGACCCCGCGCCGCACCGCCTAAATCGCGGCAATCGTCAGCGGTACTGTTCCCTGCGGTCTAGCGTACCTAACGGGCTTTGGAAGCTCTGGAGGGTACTTCCCAGATGCCTCTATGGCGGAGGTTGACGACGATGGCATGGCTCCGGCAGCAAAAGTGGGCCTAGTGGACGTCGAGGGATTTGGGGGACGTGGGAGTCCCTGTAGAAATGCGCAAAGTGGGGGGGCATGGTGAGGACCGCGCGGGAACGGATAAGGATAAGACCCAAAAAAGATTTCTCCCGGGTCACTCCACCCGAACTGGGAAGGACGGTACCTGCCTGTACCTGCTAACTTTCGTAGCACGCAAGCTTCCTCTTTCCTCCAGGACCCCAAGGGCCCTAAGCCGCGACTACCTATCTTGGCCGGCTTTCAATGGGTGTTGCCGTCTTGTCCTCTTGCACCTTGACGCCCACACTCCGTCAGTCAAACAGGAAACCGCGGGTATACATACCTTCCATACCTGGTACCTACGTAAAAGAAACCGCCGCAAAAGCCTCATTGTGGTTCTCTAGCTCATCTGCACCTGCAACGGCCCGTAAACAACAACCACAGCTCCCGGGCAACAATCACAAGCGGCTGGTTGGGCGGGATCCTCTTGGGAGCTTCAGCGGAGCTCGCCAACTTTGGATCGACCAGCTGACCAGACAAAATAAATTCCTGGGCAGACACCCATGCGCTTGAGCTTCAAAGGCCGCACTCTACTCGCTGCTCCCGCTGCAATCTCCACCTGCTCTTCTTATCCTTGCCGCGATAGCCACCACGTTGGACCCTGGCCCAGGTCTCTGGAAACGCTGTCGAGTCCGTGCAGTCTAGACTGGCGCTGTTTTTTTTAATGTTTTTTATTGGTGTGGCTAAAGAGCTTTTCCCGGGACAACTTACACAGAACTTCGGAGGAGCGGTTCCTAACCGGCGCGGCACAGCGGTGGAAGCTGGCTCCGCTCCCGTGACGATGGGAACGGAACGGAACCAACTCGGACTTCACTCCCTTGTTACCATTACACATGCCATATTCAATCCAAAAACGGCGACAATCTGGGCTACCAGTTGATCATTCAACGTCACAGCACGGCTTCTTTCTTTCCTTTAGCTATAGACAAGTGTCTAGACAAGCTAGCCGGATGAGGGATTCAATCAAGCTCAAGACAGGCCGCCAAAGTCAATGCCACTCTTCTTCACCGTTACTTCAAGCGAAGCGATGGAACAAATGCCATATCGATTGATACAGTGTCTCCCACCTTCAGCATGGCTACCACGACCCCCTTGAGTGCTGGCCGGCTCCGAAAGCAGGTGCTGATAAGTGCATTCATCAACAAACGCCATCTGTTAGGAATGTTGTCTCAACCCTGGAGCAATGGTCTCGAACAGGACGCTTATTAGACTGCTGGCCCCCATCCGATATTGTGCATCCAGTCTCAGACACTCACCGGCACATGCATGGACTGGCATGTCGGCCATGATACCCATCCATACCGCACAAACCGCGGCGGAAGTCGAAGCCGACGGACACGGATGTAAGGGGGAATCATCTAAGTATTGTTGGCTTGCGCAATGGACAATACTGATATGCTTTTCTCTACTACGACCGGATTCCACCATAGCCGACGCCACAGCGATTCGGCCTGGCCGTACCGCCGCCAGAGGCGCATTCACAGGCGCCTCAATTTGCTCCCATGCCGCCCAACTCTTTTGATTCGGGTGCCGACAGTCTCAATACACTGGTCTTTACCCCTGTTTGCGGGCCTTGGCTTTTTTGGGGTAGTCTCTCATTAAGTATCGTTCGCCCATGTTGGTTCTCACTAGGAGTCCAGATATGGCAGTCATTTGGACAAGAAGACCGTGGTGAAGCGATTTGCACCATTCTGCCCTCCAACCCCGAATGTCGTATTGGTTGACTCCTATCGGACGTGACACCAGGATCAAATAATCCGAAATGGCGTTGACGGTCAAGCAACTCAATGGCGACAGCTCGTTCCTGTTGAGCTTCGAGCCCATCGGCCAAGGCCCAGCACAGCAACCCTTTCGAATTCTCTTGGACCCTTGGCTCCCCGGCCCAACATCCGCCCCAGACCAAGATCGGGAACAAGATACCTACTCAAAGAAGTACCACGAATTCGAGAAGGACTGTATCTCGTCGGTTCGAGAGCTGCCGGAGCTAGACCTCGTCATCATCAGCAGAGACAAGAGCGATCACTGTAACAAGGACACGCTCAAGGAACTGTCCCGGACCAACTCGAACTCCGTGATTCTGGCCGAACCAGCTGCGGCTAAGCTGATCCGCAGCTGGAAGTTCTTTGAAAAGGACAGGGTCCTGACGCTGGAGAGGTGGGAGGATCCTCGTGTCACTGGAAGGGAGACGACAACTCGCGTCTCCGTCCCGCCTCAACACCTAGGAGGCGATCCCGGAGAGGTCACCATCTCCTTCATCGCTCAGAAGAAGGACCGCTGGCGAGCCCGTGCTGCCGTGGGCATCACCTACCGCCCGCCCCTTTGTCGCCCCTTGTCCTTTTATCGCCCTCTCCTCACCTCGCCGGTGACTCCCAGACCACCAGTCTTCAGGGTCGGTCCAAGGCTCCCCTCGCCGCCTCCCCTGTCCCCAATGATACTGCACTTCAGACACAATTCAGAAGCGGCCATTCTCCCATTCCCGCCTCCTAATGTGCTTCACAAAAAGCGGCTATCCTACGACCCGTCAATGGCTGACTCGGTGTCTCAATCTCTGTTCCTGCCGCCACCGCCGCCGGCGCCGCCGACTCCATCCCCTCCCGAGTCCCCACGCCTCTACCGGAATCGGTCCAACCGCTCCATCGCCTCCGTGGCGCCGCACGCCCGCGACCGCTCCATCTCCATCATCTTCTCTCCACACGGCATCGCCTACCAGAGCCTCGAACCATACGCCACCACCCACCTGGTCACCGAGGCCGCGTTGCCCCTGACGGCGCTGCTCCACTGCTTCGACGCCGTCGCCGGGCCCTGGTGGCTCCCCGGCTCTTTGCCCGATGGCCAGAAGATCGCCACCGCCCTCGGCGCCAAGGCCTGGGTCAGCGCCCACGACACCGGGCGCGACACCCGTCAGGGGTGGGCCGGCCGGATGGCGGGCAAAATGGCTCGCACGCGTCGCTATCGCCACGAGGTACGGCGGGAGCTCGACCGGTCTGCCTGGGATAGCGGCAAGAAAGCGCCACACACGGAGATTATGGCTCTGGCCATCGGGGATGAAGTTGCACTGACGAGTGAGGGCGTTTATGAGCCAAATGTGCCGAAGAAGCCCAGAGTGACGTCCATGATTTTCTGAGGGAGGGCTGTGAGAGGTTGTGTTTGCAAAGAGAGGAGAATGGCGAATAGCTTCTCGTGTCTTGACATGTTTGCTGGCTTTCATATACTAGGTTCCTACGCAGAGGCCACGGGGTTGGATGGGTAACCTCGAAGACTTTCATGATCACCAGTCATTGGTCTGGTTGGATATGCGCTAATGATGGTGTTAAATAACCCCATCTACAGGCCCGTCCTAAAAGAGAGAAGAAATACAGCTTTATTTATATGCTTTGTCGAAGTCAACTTCGCGTCTAAGTCAGGATCCACAGCCTCGACCTAGGGTATCATCCAGTTGTCCATTCATCTCGACCACTCCATCTCATCCCTCATATCGACGACAGTATGCTATGCAGCCTGTACAGTTCCCCAAGATACATGCGGTCTCTTTCCATGACTTCTTTAAGCCCGCGCTAGATTTTCCCCTTCCAATTGTACTTCCTTGGTTATAGCTTCCTCTACTTATTCTACCATGCCGAGGCGGCGCCTACTTGAGCTGCTTGAGAATCTCGGTCAAAAAGTCCTCGAAGCTCAGAGTGATGTAGCCGTCACGGTCGTCGTCGTACTTCTTGAAGACATCGGTCATGCGCTTCAGGGAGATGCAGCTCTGGACAAAGAGGTCAAAGCTCATGACGCCCTCGTTGCGCTTATCGTAGGTGTGGAAGAGAAGCTCGGTAAACTGAGGGCTAAGGCGGTAGCGGAAAGCTACGAGGGCGTTGTTAAACTCGGGGAGTGAGATGTTGCCGCTGCGGTCAGCATCGAAGCGGTCGAAGAGGGTGCGCCAGGAGGCGAGAAAGGACCATAGGCCGCAGAACTCTTCGAAGCCGATAGTGCCACTGCGATCCGAGTCGAACATGCGAATCATCATGCGGACGGTGTGGGGGTCGAAGGAAGTCCAGTCGCCGTTGACGAGGGCGGCAGAGAGCTCGCGCTCTGAAAGATGACCGGTTCCTAAGAAATAGTCAATGAGGCTGAGCTGGAGCGGGTTCTGGCTTCCCAGGCCAGAGCGAGGTAAGCGCATCATGATGGTCACGCACCATCCTTGTCTACAGCCCGGAACAGAGGCAGAAGCGAGGCATCGGAGCCAGATGCATCCGGGGCTGGCGTGGGTGGCGGGCGGGAGGTCGCCGCGGGACGGTTATAATGCGCCGGGGGTCTTCCGCCGCTTTGGACCGGCGGCGGCGACATGTGGCCGTAGCCATACGCCGGCTGGCCGGTGGAGGGAGAGCGGGCATCGCGGTGAGTGGGCGACGTCACTTGGTCGTATCGGGCCTGCTGCTGCTGCGGCGGCTGGTGGTACTGCTGTTGAGGTTGCTGCTGATATTGCTGCTGTGGAGGTGGTCGCTGTTGCGGCGGGGGTTGCGAGGGTGCCTGGCCAGGTCTCTGTACGCAAGAAGAGGGTTAATTTCTGGGGCATCTCGATGTATCATTCTAGCGAGCCTGGAAATACAGCACGTACGTCGGGCTCAGCAAATCTGGAAAAGGCGCGCAGGTTAGCATTGCTGGTTGTGAAGCGTGACACCTATCGCAGAGCCGCAACTGGCGGGCGCGAGCGCGGGCGCGGGGGAGAGAGGGGCAAAAAGCTACCTGGGCAGAGCATCGTCGTTGGAGGGACGGTTGTACGCCATAATGAATGAAGACAAGGAGGACGACGGTAAGCTCCTTTTCCCGTGTTCGGCGCAGCAGGAGACTGATGGACGAGGGTTCGAGATCGGGAGAGACGAGGCCGGTTTTTCTAGCAGTGAGGGCGCAGTTGGGGACGAGATGGGATGGGAATGGATGGGATAGGACTGGTCGGAGCGAGGAGCCAGAAACGCGCAAGGCAAGGACGAGTACAGCAGGGGAAGGGAATTGCGCGGGGCAGTGTTGGAGGGTACCTACAGGCCTAGCCGCCTAGCACAGGGCTCTGGACAGTGTCAGGACTGTGGCGTGTGGCGCATGCGCAGCGAATCAGGCTTGGCTCGCTGGCCGCTGTTACGCAGCAGTTCATCCCGCGGGTGATTTGGCCCTGGACCTATTCTCCGATTATAAAGCGGCGCTGCACGAGTCCAACCTCGCATCCGACCCTCGCATTACGTCGTCAGGCTCAACATGGTCAGGCTGAACCGGCTGCTGGGGTTTGGCTTGGCCTGGGCTTGGCCGGGCTTGGCCAGGTGTTGGCTTGATTAACTCGCCTCCAGCTGCAGCCCCGGAGACGAGAGGGAGAGTTGGCAGGCCTCTCGGGCGCTTCAGCTCCCGTTCAGCACGGCCCGGGCATACAGCCCTGTGAGGAGCCCTGTACAGCCGTACTATGCGGTGCAATGCGTGCCGTGACGCCCAGGCGCGCTTTGGGCTTAGAAGGAGGAGGCTTATGACTTCAGACTATCAGAACGTCAGACCTGGGGCTTGAAACTTGAGGCTGAAGCCGCCTCGCTCTTCGAATGCGAGCACCTCCCGGCACCACGGCACGGACTTCTCCAGTCCTGTGCATGGTTGTATCCCGGTGTACAGCCTTCCAGCGATGGATCAATGTGCCTTGGAGCCTCCTGGCGATAGGCCCCGATGAGAAATGCCCACCAACCTACGACGTTTGGTACACAAAATTGGTGGGGCAGCAGCTAGCAACAGCAGATAGGGACCCCGTACCCAGGGCTCCCAGGGGATCATGGAATGGCTTACAGCGCCGACGTCACTGGAAGGGTGCGGTTCCACCTCCCAAGCCATCGCTACTAGTGCACCAGTGCCGCGATGCCGGAGAGCCACGGCGCTGTCCCCGTCGCTTTGCTGCGGCGCTGCAGGTTCCCGTGACGTCCCCTGCGAGCAACCAGTTGTTCAGCGAGCCTTTGAGCGAGCCTCGCCATTGGTCGACCGTCCCGAGCACCTCATCGCCCAGCATCTTGCAGCCAACCCAAAGTCCCAAAATGCCTTCGTAATCCACAACCACCAAACGCCCGAAACCACCACCATCTTTTGCGTCTCCTTCCAGTACCTACGATATCTCGAGTCGGGTTGCTTATCAATCTTCCGCTGAAGGCCTACCTCCTTTCTCAGCGTTGGCACCTTGATTCTCTGTAACTCACCTTCGTTCACAGATTCGTCAGCAACCCCAGCTCGCTATTTGATTATTCCCTCTTCTTTCCCCATCCCTCGCTCGCTCTCAATACAGAGTTGGTATTAATAATATCGTCAAGACTTCTTTCATCATGACGGTTGACCCTTCTCCCCCGGAGTTCTGGTTGTATGGGTACGGGTATGTATAAAACACCGCTTCCTCTCATCAGTGCTAGAAAATTGCTCTCTTTGACTCACCCATCCCTCGTCTCCGTAACTCACTCACCGATGGATTTTCGATACTCACCTATTCCTTGTAACCTGTAGAAGCCTGATATGGAAGCCCCCGCCACACTTTGGTAACGCGAGCTCCCCACTACCAGTCCTATACCACCATCGCTGACATCCCGGCCCTCCCCCAGACACGAGGATCCCCGGATACGTCACCGGTTATGTTCGTCGCTTTTGGCAGGTCTGGTCCCTCAGTACCCCTTCCTTACCTTTCATCGCTGACTTGCTCTTGTTGTAGGCCAGGTATGAAGAAAAAGATTACTCCAGTTCCCAGTCTCGGACCAGAACGGACCAGATGAGCAATGAGAGATCCCAGCCGCTGATATCTCCCCCTTTGCTTCCAGTCAGGACCACCGCGGCACTCCAGAGGCGCCTGGTCGCGTCGTGACCCTCATCGAGAGGTCCTACTGGGAGGAGTTGACAGACCACCACGATTCGCCGGAGCGGGTCTGGGGTGTGGCCTACCGCATTATCCCGGATAAGGTGGCAGAAGTCAAGGAGTATCTCGATATCCGCGAGATCAACGGTTACTCCATCCACTACGCGCCCTTCCAGCCCGCCGACGGCTCCAAACCCATCCGCACCCTCGTCTACATCGGTACTCCCGACAACGACCAGTTCGTGGGCCCTCAGGATCCCCAAAAGCTCGCCGAGCACATCTTCCACAGCCAGGGCCCCAGCGGCCTCAACAAGGACTATCTCCTCAATCTGGATGTTGCCCTTCAGGGCCTGGCTTCCGGTAGCAGCGATGTCCATATCAGCGATCTCGCCCGCCGCGTTAGGCAACTCGAGAGCATCTGCGAAGACTCAGCCAAGGTCTTGAATCCAACTCCGTCCGATCACGAATTCAGGCAGGAGGCCAGTACCAAGGAGGCAGAAGAGATCGAAAGGGCAACTTCGTGACAGAGAGCACACACACAGACACACACAGACACACACGCACAGATACATGAGCATACACACGCACATGATTGAATGAAACAGATAATGAGGAAGATGAAATGCTTGCAGCTCCCTCGTCCTTTGCACACCCCTCCATTCGACTCTTCCCTTCGTTGCTTTCATCGCGATCGTCAATCTTGTCCAGCCGTCGCCTCTGTTCGTATCCCTTCAGACAGATAGCATCGAGCAACTGCGCTCTCAACCTCGCACATGTACCCACCAAGCACTGGCCGCCAGTCTTCCACAACTGTAGTAAAGAGAAGAGGACAAGGGAATAAACGAGTGAATGAACGAACCAAGGAAACAGGGAATGAAGACACACGCAAAGGAGAAAAAGGAGGTCGCGATTCACATCCAAATGATTCAGTAAAACAAGCACAGAAGTCAGACTCGGCCGTGTTCCCTCCGCGGCAACCGCAACAAAACGTCGTTAATGGTTTGGCTGCCTTCACCACATTTCAACCGAAGTATCCGGGTATAATCTTGCATCAAACATGCTCACCGATGCTTGATCGTTCAGTCATACAAAGGATTCGCAAAGCCAGGTGCGGAAATTCGTCGAGTCATCGATCCTCAGCGGTTCTCCTTTTCAATCCACCCACTCCCACCGACAGACTCGTCCAGTAATGGCGCATGCCACACTCGACCTCACCCTAGCCGACTAGTATCCTCGACCGCCCTGGGGGGGCTGGTGCTGCTGAGGCGCAGGCGGTTGCTGGGAAGGGTCCGAGTATCCGCCGTACTGCTGGGGCGCAGCGTACCCTGAATCACAGTCAGATCGCGACATGGTTCAGACATTCACATATTTGTGCGTACCTTGAGGAGGGGCTCCGTATCCGGGCTGCTGAGGGGGGTAACCGCGGCCGTACTGGGGAGCGTACATGTTGGGAGCAGGGACCTGGTAGCCGGGACCAGAGGGAGCACCGTATTGCATGGGCGCGTTGTTGTACCCTCCTCGGCCGCCACCATAGCCACCACCGCCTCCGCGGCCACCACCGAATCCGCCTCGGGGACCATTGTCAGACGCCTTATCAACGCGAATCGTTCGGCCGTCGAACCTATTTTAGGATTAGATTCTGGTTGGAAAGAAGAAGGAATCGACAGCCAGTTGGCTGGAGGAAAGAAGGGTGTCCGTACTCGATGTTGTTCATGGCGGCGATCGCCTTCTGAGCATCCTCATCCTGAGTGAATCGCACAAATCCAAAGCCACGGCTGCGACCAGTGTCGCGATCCTTGACAACGACCTTTACATGTCTAATGTTAGAAACAAGCTCATAGCGCAACAAGGGCAGGATTCAAGTGAACGATGAGGAGGCCTCAACGGCCCAGGGGGGGGGATCTCAGGCAAGGGCCAAGCAAAGCGTGGTATCACGTACAGCTTCCTCGACGGGGCCAAACTCCTCAAACTTCTGGCGCAGAGTGCCCTCCTCGGTGTGCCATGCCAGGCCACTGGGTTGGGTCAGCGATGATGGATGGTCGAGGGCCACATGAGGCGTGACCCGGTGCGACTGGTGTGACTGGTGGAACATACCCGATAAAAAGCTTCGACATGATGAAAGACGTGGGGTCTGAGCCTATTCAAATCTCAACTCAAGTTCTTTCAAGTGCGCAACGGTTGGCGGGGTAGAAGGCTCTGAAGATGAATGGAGAGAGGTCGAAGAAATGATGCAAGATGGAGAAAAGGTGCGCATGCTCCGAGCTGGTTGGGAAAAAGGGAAAAAGAGACGGGCCACTTGGGCGCCTCCCTCCCCCCGCGTGAGAGCGCTGAGCGCTGAGCACTGAGCACTGTGGCATGGAGCCAGTAGACTCCGCCTCCTTATGAGACGCGGCGGCAGGGTGCGGACAATCGTCGCGGGGCACCGCATGTGAACGGGAGGGAGGACAACAGCGCGCGGGAGGACAAAAAAAAACCCACCTATTTTTTTTCCGTTTGAGCAAACGGGAGATGGTCAACCTCGAGGGAGATTGGACTTTTTTTTGCGCTAATTATCAAGTCAACGGGCTGGTGGCGGGTGGTGGTTTTGCGATGCGAGCGGTGCGTTGGGTTGGGAGTCGTCGCGAAAGAGGCGACGGTGGAAGTGCAGTGCAGTGCAGGTGGGAACTCACGAAAGGCGAAAAGCGGGTGGGTTCAAGGGGGAGCGAAGATGAGATGAGATGAAGAAGATGCGAAAGGTCAAGCGGGCCTCTTGGAGCGGAAGAGATGTGGCCGCGAGGTTATGTATGCAAGCTGCAGGTCGGGACAGCAGTAGGGTCACTACCTACTCAGCAGGTAGGGAGGTTAGGTAGGTTAGGTAGGTAGGCACGCAGGTAGTAGGTAGGTACGAATGTTGGAGTCCGGATGGGTACTGGTGCGTTCTCGAGGACTGGAACTACTGGTGCCGGTGGTGCTGGCGTTGGATCACTTGGATGACGATGCTGGCCAGGGGTGTCTCGTCGGGTTGGAGGAGTGGCGTCTCTGCGGCCGATGCGAGATATTTCGCTAATCAGGCGTTTGTTTGATGGGGCTAGCGGACGCGGCTGATGTCAGGCAGCACCTCTCTGAAGGGCAGCAGCTCTCATTTCCGCCGTCTTACCTTATATAGCACCCGCGCGAGCGTGCTCCCGTCGATCCGCCGGTGGGCTCATTCGTGGAGGCAGTGCCAGAAGGACGGTCAACGACTGGAGACAGGCCGGGGGCCCATGATCGTTTCGAGCGCCCCCCATGTGGGCATTGGCAGGGGCGCGTCTCCAAACAAGCTTCAGACGGAAGAGGCAAGCAGGGGAGCACAGCAGCGCAGGGGAACACAGATGCGCTGTGGGCTGCGGCCCAGTGTGGTTGTACTACTACAGTACGTAGCTCTAGTGGCGCCCACCCCAACCCGTCCAACTTGGCCGCCGCCCGCCCTGAGGGAGGGTCCGTGATGACGACCACTTCACGCACTCAACGCACGCATCCCCCACAGACAGAGAGCCAGGAAGCCAAGCACCACTGCTCAACTCAAATGGCACCGTGCCCCTACGAAGTGGCAAAGCCCCTAAAAAAGCCAAGCGTATCTCCCCGAAGACGTTCCCTGTTCCCATCATACTGGGGCCTTGCCATTCGCTGCCCGCCACGCCCCTCAATCCCTCAATCCCTCAATCCTCCTCCCATGGACCCTCACCACCCTGGCCCCTGCTTCTGCGCGGCTTGGGTAGCTTAACGGAGAGCAACCCTTTCGACCATCCACCGCCGGCGCTGGCCTGGTTTCTGGCATCGAGCTCAGAACACCTCCTCGCCACGATATCCACAACCCGGGACCTTGTTTCCCACACCAAAGCCTCGGATTGAGCCGGTACTTGGGCGCATCATCTTGCGACCTCGAGCTGCATCCTGGCCTCCACTGCCAACATCCAACAGCCGCCGAAACGCCTGGACAGCTGGGCCCTCTAGGCGCGACAGCTTACGAACAGCTGCCCAACCCGCAGCCTGCAGCCTGCATGCCAGGGCGCCGTCTTGCTCCCCCTACCCGCCCCCAGCACTTCTCTCACAATGTCTGCCTGAGACAGGCAACCCCTCTCCAGGCGCTGTACCCGCCCCTCCTCACTGGTGGAGTCTGCGGTTCAGGGGCGGAAGTCAACCTCCAAGTTGCGACATGGTACGCATTTATTAACGAGCATCGCATCTGTCTGATGTCGGGTTTGTTGCAGGGCGTGTGAAGGCCGAGGGGCCTGAGGTCTTACTACGCAGTAGATCTTACGGCCTGAGGTCTTAGGGCCTGAGGCCTTAGTGCGGGGTTCGTTTGGAATAAGGTCAAGGATCATGAGCTATCGCCAGTCATGAACATAAACGGTAGGATTGACAAAGTTCTGGAAGCCGTGCCAAATTCCCCAAGTGCAGAGGTTTCATTCGCTGTTGAGTACCACCTACGTATCGTCTGTTTCTCAGGGGCAAAATCGGTATTTAGAGAGCTCCCGGGAAAGCGGGGGAGTGACCAGACGTGGTCTCTCACTCGGTCCCGCCTGGTACGTACGAGACTGAAACATGCCTGTGCCAAGCCCAGGCGGCACAGCCAGAGGAAATGGAAATGGCAACGCGTCACGACCGACAGAGCTTCTGCGACTCCGCAGCATCGCATCACAGCATCACAGCATCGCAGAAGGTCGGTTGCACAACGTTTGACGTGAATGCCAGGTCCGCATTGTCGTGCCAAGACAGGCCCTGCAGCGACATGCTAGATCAAGCAGTGATGGATGCTACCTTACCAGATACCAAACACCGGTTCTAGCTATTCTTGTCGCTCTAGCATAAACGTAGTAACCCGTCTGGTTCAACTTGCGCCCCCTTCTGCAAAGTAGCTCGCGCTGATGCACTCCTTACTCCTCCCTACATACGGAGTAGATAGTCGTGGATAGGCGACGCCAAGCCAGGCGGCCCCGCCTTGGTGGTTCACTCAAGGGACTCGGAGCTTTTCATTAATACGAACAGTCCGTGTCATGCAGGCATGCGAGCCCATGTCAGTGTCGCCTTTTTCATGCAAGTGGAGGTGGTCTGGTGCAAGGGCAGTACGTACCAGTCCCCATTTCAGGCGGCATGGGTCTGTGACTTGACAGTTCAAAGTCATCCCGAAACTTGAGACTATCAACTCACCGACCTCTTGCGAAACCCTGAGGAGCCATGCTAGTAACAAAAATATACGACGCTTTCCAGAGACTAAAGGAAACATAGGGAACGAGGTCCGCTCGTTTGTCAGTGAACGGCGGCGTCTCCAGTAAACTATTCCCTAAATAGAACACAGTGCGCAAGCTTCCTTAAAGGGAAGGAGCTTTGCGGGTTACCTTCCATTGTGGCCATGGGTTCCAGTCAGTTGAACCATGGATAAGGCAGGTAAGGGCTTGAGTGGTAGTTATGCAAAACTTGTTCCTTCTCCTTGGACAAGTTTTCGAGAAACAAGGCTCAACGGGAGAAGGAACGAGATGGAGAATGAAGGACACCGGCTTCACCCAGTTGTCTGGGTCACTGGACTCTCACTTGGACAACTTGATGTCCAGTTGCTAGCACCAGCCTGCCAACCTCGCTTCTTCACTTCTTTGGATCCTCTCTTCTTTTTGGTAGAATGAACTCTCCTCGGCGGCATCACCGTCGCCATCGCCGGTCGAGGATCAACAATCACCAACCCTTTGGCCAAACCAGCAAAGGGATTCCGGTTACCAACCCAGACGGAAACCATCATGTTCAATCCTGGCTGGACAAGGTTCACGATTGTCGAAAGGAAGTTGCAGAGAAGGCTCTCTGGCAAGACGGTTCAAATGATGATGAAGATGACTACCAACGCCACAAACTAACATGGCGCCCGAACAACCTCCCAGTTGCGCGTGTCGCTCTCGACAATGGCGCCAAACCCCAGCAGCGGGCGCATCACTTCCATGATGATATCACCATTGCTACAAGTCCAGCTGGTTCAAGAACTGGCGCCAGTTCTGACACACGATCCAACCACGTTTCCAAACCTACGTACCACGAAGAAAATAAAGCGAGGAGGCGCCGATCACCATCACAGGATTCTCAACGTTCCCTCTCAGATGAATCGGTGTTTGAAAGGCGGCCCAGGCGAAAAACTCGTTCTAGTCGGTACGAAGTGAGAAAGGAAAGGGCCCAAGACAATATGGAGGCAAAGGGGAAGAAGCGGCAAACACGTACATCTAGACATCAACTTCGGTCCAGTCGAGATGTTCTAGATAACTTCACGTCTGGGGCCATCGCTGACAAAAGATTAATAGTGAGTATATGGTCCGTTAGGGTCGTTCCAGCAAAAAATGCTAACCATATTTCAGATGAAAACGAACTTGACAGCAGGTTTGTTCTTGAATGGCAGAAGTTCCACCCAGCCAAACAAATGTGCGTGCAGCATCACCCCTTGAGTTTCCACACCCTGACACAAACAGTGAGTGATCTGGCTTTCAATACCATGGGATTCCTAGATCCGCGAGAAGGTTCAACGCTCCGCAAAGACGGAAGTTTGGATTTCAATGAACGACTTTATGACAGCACTATCACTACCCTTGATCAAGACGGCCATGTTAGTCTGAGAAACGATTATGAGGAATTTCGTTTAACCACTCAACCCTCACCCAAGATCAACGCATCCTCAAGCTCCAATATTCCTCTGAGGGATGTAGTCTGCCAGCAACAAGAGGGATTTCTTGTGACCGATCATGGAGAGGCACAACAAGGACCTCAAATTGAACAACCAGTGCACAAGGATAGCAACACCTTGAAAAGCAGGATCGACAGCGGGAAAGCGACAACTTGTTATGTCCCTAGCAAGGATCTACTCGATTCGCAGCAAGGTCATTCGTTTGCAAGAATTGTTCCACGATCCACTTCCATGTCCCAAGCACCAGAACACATAACACGGGCCCTGATCGAGACAGGGGTCTACGATGGTACAGAGATTCAGCTCGATAAATTGAAGGTCCGACCAGGCAATCAAATAGCTCAAGATGCACAAGGTGCCAAAGACTCGAGGGTGGATTTTGGGAACGAAACCCCCATTCCCCGTGCGATCACATACGAAGACAAGGGCGTCATGGTGTCCCCATGGTCGCAGTCGTCGAGGGGACATCTCCCAGGGCTTCCATCTCAAGGCATCAATCAACATGACACCAAGGAAATCGGAGAAGATGCAGTTGCAGGTCACCTTGACAAGTCGGGAAATATCCACTTGAGAGTTGGTCTCGAAAGAATACGCTCTCCTTGTCACGGGGAGCCCATTGAGGCCAGGGAGGCTCGGAACGTGCTTCCAGAGCACACACATCCAGTCGGCTTCAATATGGCTGAGTCTCAACCCTGGGCCAACCCAGAACCAAGGGTAACTTCTGAGACGGCAAAAGGAGGAAATACATTTGCTCGCACTGCTGTGAATGATGAGAGGATCGCGGAGAATCTAAACTCGAGTTTTTTGCAAGGCCAACCATGGAATCAACCGGCGCTGTATGGCACAGCTGTGCCTCGCGACAGGCAGCACATTCATGAGCCTCTCGCATCATTCAGGTTTGCCACTAGTGATGGCTCATCAAGTCGGGAGCCGCCGTCAAGACTTCGATCAAAGGTTCACTCCGCACCTTTGGGATACCCCAATTTCTCTTCTCTTCAAACTTTGCGAGGGGAAAATCTCAAACAAGCTGGCCAAGGGGAGTTTTTACTTGGAAGGTCACTGCAGTCGCCAGCACAGAACAGTACTAATGAGAGTATGAAAGAGTTCATTGAGCGAATCGAGGCTGAGTCGTTGCTGAAGTGGGACGATGAACGATACTTGCAAGAGACGATTGATGACGAAGGCGAGCAAGGTGTTACCCGCTATGATCATCAACATGATGCCCGGGTCGGCAACGAAGATATTGAAACAGGTTTTTTCTGGCAACCAAACTATTTCATATAGCATGTTATGAATAAATTGCTGTCAGGCCGACAGACGGGTATACATAGAGAGTGGCTATGCTAGCACTGATATTTATTCGGGCTCCTGGTCCTGCCATTTCGCTCGCAAGCTCTGTACATCAAATCCACATTGTTCGGCTTTTGCGATGACGGCGTTGGCTTTACCGACAACAGGAGCATCAATCATCTTACCATCTAGTGTCCAGGCCCCCCGTCCTAAGACGTCGGCCTTTTCGTCAGCGATGGAGACTCTCACGGCCCACTCAACCTCTTTTTGGTCAGGAGCAAACATGCGCTGAACAGCTTCGACCTGGCTCGGGTGTATACACTGCTTTCCATTGAAGCCCAGAGCCTTGCCGCCGGCGCATTCTTCCTCGAGCGTCCTGATACCCTCGTCTCCTCGGTACGAGGTACAAACCAGGTCGATGGCGCTGGGTAACTCGGCGGCACGAGCGGCAGTAACAATAGCTGACCTAGCGTAGAGGAACTCGGTCAAAGAGGGAGTGCGCGTCAAAGACAGATCAAGAGCGAAGTCCTCAGCTGCGAAGATGAAGCCGCTTAGGTAGGGCGACGCCTTGCAAATAGCAGGCAGATCCATGACAGCGCGAGCCGACTCGATGAGAGCGATGATCTTGATGGGGTTGGGAGCATCATCCGTGGCATGGCGGTCAGGGGCGACATGCCGCAGGACGTCGGTGACGAAGGTGAGGTCGGCCGCTGAGTTGACCTTTGGGACGACGACAGCGTCAACGTGGGGTAGCGGGGCTAGGACGGAGAGGTCGGCGAGGGCGTACGGCGTGGATACGGCGTTGATTCGGACGGCGAGCTCTGCGATTGAGGTCGGGCGGGTCTGGAGACTGGAGATGTGGGCGCGCAGGTTGTCGCGGGCTTGAGGCTTGAGGCCCGGCGTGACGGAGTCTTCCAGATCGTAGGTGACGTTGTCGGAGTGGAGGCCCAGAGACTTTGTGAGCATCTTCTGGGAGGAGCCCGGGACTGAGTTGAATGATTAGCTGACGGCGTTGAATTGGTGGAGAGAGTGATTTTTACCGTAGAGGAGGGAGCGACGAATGATGGATGGTGATCTCGCCGCCATGGTGATGGTGTTGTTGGTGATGTCGTCACCGGCTTTCACTCTCTAGTTCACAGAGTTATGTCGACCTCACTCAAGTATAACAGATCGAGACGATAAAGCAGTGGATATATATATCTTGTTCATGTGCGCACGTTTAAATGAGAATTGAGAACAAGCCCCGCAGAGAGAATATGGGAGAATGGAGACGACATGTACCTGGCCAAGATGCCGAGGAAGAGGCGTCGTTGAGTATTATGCCGACTCTCACGACTTATAAGCCGAGACTCGTCCGTTAATATGACGCCCGCCTACAGCTTCCCCCGGCAGTGCACTGGCTCGACATGCCAGCAGCGGGTTCTGCCAAGCTACACCGCCCAGTTTGCCCCTGTAGTTTCAGAGGTTGCAGAGGGAGCTTACGGTGCCCTGCCCGACCCCCTAGCTCCAGCTAAGCCGCTCCGTTGGAAAGATTCCAGGTGTTCAATCGACGACCCGAACGACTTGACGACGTCTCTCCACGACAAAACCACCCGCCTTCTTTCGCCCATCATCACCACCAGCAAACGCCCGCCTCCCGCTCGCTCCTCGACCGCCCCCCGCGCGCATTCACCCGCGAACGCCGCGTCCTCCCTCGACCCTCGTCCGCTCCCAGATAGCTCTTCGTCGGCCCCCCCTTCGCCATGGACGCTCCCGCTCCCGCTCCCGCGCAGGGCTCCTTGAGCTGGCGCCTCAGCGCGCATCCCATCACGCTGCTGACCTTCCTGGGCTTCCGGATATGTGAGTGCCTTGGCCCCGGGGTTTCCTCTCCTCCCGGTGCCGGCGGCCGTGGGAGCAATTGCTGATCTGTTGCGCGCGCCTGTAGCAAGCGTCCTCGTCTACTTCCTCGGTCTTTGGCTGACAAGCAGCATGTGCGTCTCCCTCCTCCTCCTCCTCCTCCTTATCCTCCTCGACGACACGACACGACACGAGCACAAGATGCGATCCCTCCGCTAACACGTTGCCCCTTCCAGGATCATGATCTTCATCATCACCATCCTCCTCCTCGCCAGCGACTTCTACTACCTCAAGAACATCGCCGGCCGCCGCCTCGTGGGCCTGCGCTGGTGGAACGAAGTCGACCCCCAGACGGGCGACTCGCAGTGGGTGTTTGAGAGCAGCGAGCCGGGCTCCAAGGACATCACACCCACCGACAGCCGCTTCTTCTGGCTCGCCCTGTACATCCAGCCCATGTTGTGGGTGCTGATGTTTATCCTGGCCCTGGTCCAGCTGCAGTTCCTCTGGCTTCCCCTCGTCAGTACGTCAACCCTCTCTCTCTCTTCCTTTCCTCGCTTCGTCAAACGACAGCTCTCGCCGTGTTCCGAGAAATCCGTTATTTTTTATGTACACGCCAAGCTAACAAAGCCCCTCACCAGTCATCGCCCTCGTGCTGACCATTATGAACACCCTGGCCTTCTCCCGATGCGACAAGTTCAGCCAGGCATCCAACATGGCCGGCAGCGCCTTTGGCGGCAACATTGCCACCAGCATCGCCAGCAACATGGTCGGTCGCTGGTTCACGCGCAGTTAAAGTGGCTGCGACGAACTGGCAGCGGAAAAAGACAGGGGGCATGTCACGATACGGGAAATGTCGCCAAGCGCTCTCTGCTGGAGCTTCGGCTGTGTAGAATGAGGCTCTTCTTTTTATTATCATCTCCAGGTACCCGGGTTGGACAAGTCTCTCAAGGGGCGAGGCTTGCGGTTAAGCACCCGTTGTATTATCATTATTTTTAACATCCTGTATTCACGGTTTTTACAAGGAGTCGCAGATGGGTCGAGGGTCTGGTTTTTATCGTTCTGTCTTCCGTCGCAATATCAAATATCATTAGCCTGAATCTCTGGTATTACCCCTTACTTGCGCAATTGAGCTGAGGCATCTTCATTTTGTCATGTACGCACACCTACAAGGGCAAGGCGAAACAAATCATGTACACTCGACGAAGAATACTAAATGGTCTTTTTTTACTCTCTCTCCCTCCGCTCTCTGTCTCTCTCTCTTCATCATCTCATATCGCAACCATGGTATTTCTCCAAACCAACTATCAACCTCCCCGCCATTCAGAAGTACCCCAACCAGACAGGCATCGGGTATGTTAACGTTAAGTAAGATGAACGAACGAAGGGTAATAATAGAACAGCCAGTTCTGAAAGCGACAACCAAACGCAAGGCAACAAAAAACTGGTCCAAAAACTCCAAGCCCCATGACTCGCAAAAACATAGCATCCACCGTCTTGGCCGGCATGGCAATGACTGATCTTTCCATTGCAGGAGGCGAAACTACCGTCTCGCCGCACGTTCGATTTCATCGTCTAGCTGCCGCTCCTCCTCCTCCAGTCTGCGGATCTCGTCGGCCGTCATACCGTCCTCCACAAGATGGGCCACATTGGTTGACACGCCCTGTGGTGTCTGGGCACCGCTAGCGCTGCGTCCGCCCTGGGAGCCCCCGGTAGACGTCCGAGGGAGGCCACGCTCCACCGGAGCGATGGCTGGTTCGTCTCTAGCCGTGCTCTCAATAGGAATGTTGTGGGTGCCATTCTCATCAGAGTAGGGTGAGTTGGGTGAGTCGGTGGTGCGGCCATGTGTCTCCTTGTCCACTATATAAGCGTTGCCTGAGTCGGTAGCAGTGTAGCCGCCTGCGAGCTTCTTGTTCTGGCGGCGTTTGCGGAGGAAGAACCAAATCATGGCGCCAATGATGATAGCACCAATGATAGCACCCACGGCAATTCCAGCAATAGCACCTGTAGCGAGACCACCACCGCCGCCCTTGGAGGGTTTGCTGTTGTTGGTGGTCGAGGCAGACGTGGTGGATTCTGTGTCGGTGCTGCCCGTGTTGCCACCGGTGTTATTTGAAGCGTCAGTTGCTGTGGCCGTAGCACTGCTGACAACCTCAGCCGTGGGCGACTCAGCATTTGCAGAGCTGACGACTGCCGAAGCCTCAGCTTTAGCAGCCGAGGTATCCACGACGGCGAAGAACTCAGACGATGAATTTCCGGTGAGGTTTTCGGCATCGACATCGAAATTCATGATGAGACGCATAGCGTTATTGGTAAAGCTGGCGCGCGTCGAATGGAACGAGGTGAAATTGAGCGTTGCGCCGTTGCGAGCAACTAAAGTGGGAATAAACTGTCAACAGGAACCAGGAGATAGGAAGTATTGCCACACTTACCATCGGCAAAGGGTCCATCAATTTTCACAGAATTCTCCGAGACGAAAGTGGCATTGCTGATGGGTGCGTATTTGTTGCCATCCCAAGCTTCCCAAATTAGGTAGTTGAGCGAGGTGTTTTCTTTGACAGTGTACAAGATTTCGGGTCGTTCTTGGTCTGTAAGAAAGACCATGGCGTTTGACGCGCCAGTAAAGACAACGTACTGGGGATCAGAGTCAGAGGTCCCGGAACCTGTGTCAGCTCCTCCACTACTCCCAGCACCACTATCGCCGTTTTTGCTGGATTCGTTGGGTACGTTGGCACTGGCGGTGGTGGTGCTGCCCTCGTTTAGGTTCGAGAGGTCGCTCCCACCGTCGTTCATCTTGTCCAGGCCCGTGCCTTGCATACTGGCTGCCAATCGAGTCAATGACCAATTAATCGTAGTGGTGTATTAAGAAAACCCCAGGGCAAGTCGAGGTCGATGGATGATGGGTTGTTGGTGTCGAGATATTTTTGGTTTCCACTCTAACGGCACATCTAGTTGTCGAGGTTCGCAGAAGGGATCGATCGAATCGTGAGTTGATGGGGGTGGTTCCTGATGGATGTCGTCGATGTCGTCGGCACCGGCGTCACGATATCATACAGGCGATTGCCAGCAGGCGAAGACCAGAGCGGTGGTCTGTCTGTTCACCGGTGGATGTTTGACGGAGGACGGAGTGAGGGTGGTGGTGAGAGAAGGAGTACAGGCTGACGGGGGGGAGGCCAGGAAACAAAGCGCCGGCAACTGAAAGGAAGGAAGGAAGGGACCCAGTGCGAATGAGTGTGGGCAGAGCCGGGCAGACCACTGCGGGCGAGCGTGAGAGACTGGGTGACCTTGTGCTGCGGGAACTATCAGAGCGCTAGCCTGGTGCCGAGCCTGGTCTGCCTGGTCGTGTCTGGTCGGATTGATGATGGGCTGGATGGATGGGCTTGGACGGGCTGGGGCTGGACTTGGAACTAGCAGGCCGGGCTGGGGAGAGGGAGGGCAACTCGGGTTAGGAGGTATGGAGTAGGTAGGTACGGAGTACGTAGAGCGGTGGATGTACTTGGGCGAGCTGAGCCTGTCAGTATGTGTAGTAAGTATTGGCATCAGAGACACAGAAGAGAGAGAGAGACATAGACAAGAGGCAGACAGACAGACAACCGGTGGCTTGGTTGTCAAACATGACCCAACCCGCACTGTACGCCTCCATCGGGCTTACAGGGCGTAATCAGCGCAGCGCACACATCGCCCGCATCACCCGCCAAGGACACTGTGCTGGACGCCGTGGCCTGTGTTCCATTGTTCCAGCCCTGCACTGCATGTAAGACGGAGTCCCGCGAAGCGTCCAGGGAGCGCGCAAGGTCAGCCCCGACCGTCGTCAGCCAGGCTGAAATAGAGCCAACCGACGATGGAGGGCGTGGGGACCGGCGGCAGGGGGTGGTCATATAGCGTGATGGAGCGAGGACGCAGGCGGCGAGCCGTCAGCCCAACGGAACATGGGGAGTGCGAGCAGCGGTCCGTAGGAGCACAGTCTGCCCCGGCAGCCAAACCAGCCAGACCAGCCAATAGGCGGCGCAGAAGGGAGAGAGCTGATGGGCTTTCAGAGAGCCGATGGGGCTGGGGCAAGCCCGGGGCGGCGCCGCAACGCAGCCAGCGCGCAACTTGGCAAGGGGGCATGGGCTGGAGGGTCCGCCGGTACTTGGGCTTACGTAGTATAGTACAGTTTGTCTGCTGATGGATGGAATTGCTTCACTTCACTTCGCCCGCAGGTTTGGTCCAGCCAACTGATGCTCGGCCTGGCTCGTCGGGTCAATCAATTCCCAAACCAAACCATCACCTCACATACACACACAGCCCCCGGTCGCTCTGTTCGCGGCCAGCCGGTCGGGGCGGCCCAACAACGGCCGCGACATCGTCGTCAATCAAGATCCATGTAGGTACCGTTGGACAACTTAGAAGGGGGGCGGTGCTGCGCCGGGGCTCCAGTTTAATTTCCTGCCCTACGGCCCTATGCCCTATAAGACTCCGCGCAGAAGGCGGGCATCCACTGCGGCTGACAACTCAACTCGCGCAGCCGGGAATCATGGGCTTGCTGTACAGTGCGGCCTTGCACCGTGGTCCGCCGTGTGTGTTACTATGAATGGATTTCCCATAGGCAAGCCGAGTGAGCGCCCGGCTGCTACGCCAGACAGACATGACAATCCAGGTACGAGGTACGCAAGTCGGAGCATACTTACGTACCAACGTCTCGTTTCAACTGGCCGATCCGTCGTTCGGCTGTCCATCCGTCCCCTGCACGTTTTTTTCTTCTCGTGGTTTCGCCTTGGCGCCGGACCCTTGTCGCTCTGTCCGACCCGTTGAGACGGAGTAGTTGGTTTTATGTATATTTGCTGAAGACAGGATGGGGTACCGACAAAGGAGGGAATAAGAAAATACATTCCTCTCGTGCTGGTCTTGCTTTCCATGGCGGAGGCTTTGCAAACGCCCTCGGGCTTTAACAGGCCAGCCTCCGTCCCCCCCCAGGCCAAAGACCGGAAGACCGGGGGGGAGGGGGATGAGAAGCACGGAGGCTTGGAGGTTTGAGGCTTGGCGGGGGTGGGCTTACAATAGTCGAAAGCCGCCCTGCTCACATGGATGCCATGGGATTGGCCCCCAAAAGCAGCGCCTGGATGGAGGATCGTCTGGAAGGGCGGTGGGCGGTGGGCTGTGGCGGCGGCGGTGATGGTTGTTCTAGGTATCGAGGTCTGGCCTGTTACGGGCCGGCCTATGAGGGGCCGATTGTGGTTGACGACGTGCAGGTTCGAGGTGGGTGTTGTTGAGGGTTGGTGTTGGTATTGGTGATGGAGTTGGTGTTGATGATGGAGTGACCGTGGCAGTGGCAGTGACAGTGATAGTGACAGTTGGTGGTGGCGGGGTGCCCAGAGCCTCCAACATTCCTCCCATCCACCCATCCACCCACCCATTCATCCATACCCAAGTAGGTACATACCACAACACCCGACCATCGATTGAAACCCCGTATTTGCGGAGAATAACCTCCAGAGTAAGCGGTAGCAGGGCTCGCTCTTACATCTTACTTATGCTCTAGTCCCCCTCCTTCCCTTCGCGGCCTTCCCTTCGCGGTCTAAAAGCCTGCCCCAGTCAATCGCCGACGTCGATCAATCCGGCTTTTCCTCTCGAGCAGTGTAAGTACTTGCTGTACGCGCTGCAACTTGATAAGCTTGCGCAGCTTGCATGTTCCAGGTTCAAGGGTCGTCGTTTCAGTGCTGTTGGTTTCTATCCGCTCAGGTTACCGTTTAAGGCCGGCGAATCGCCCATCTACGCATAATTATCCATCCATCCATCCATCCATCCATACACCCCGCATCGGTATCCCATCAAACCCATCACCTCCAGCAGAGCCGCTTCCGTCTGATCTTCGTTTCGTGTTTTTCTTCCATCCGTTCATCTTCTCCCCCGCCATCTCCTCCGTAAGCATAATCCCTCGAATCAGAGAACCCGACTGTGTCATCCTCCGTCGCCCCACGGCTGCGACCGCCCCCTTTTGCTTTTGCATCTTGTCCTACCCTACAATTCACCTCGCCACTCTCACTAAACAGCCTCTTTCTTGTCTCGGTCTCCCCCTTCTTCGAGTGATACGACGTTGCGGTCGGTCAATTACCCAACCCGGAGGCGAGTTTCGGCTCTCTCGTCAGTGGTTAAATGTGCCATGTGCCGTGTGCTAGGCGATATACATCACCATACACTGTGCTACATCCTCCCGATTCCTGGGCTGTCCCATCCAACAACCTGCAGGTGTGGGACCTTAATCGAGCCAAGAGGCATTTGCAGTTGTTTGTTGGAGATTAAAATAGTTCTATCTTTGGTAACCCTGCTGTACGCATACTATAGAACCGTGCATGGACTCGTGCTCTGCGGTGCCGTGCGCATTATTTGTGCTTTGTGGCAGCATCCTCTCCCTCCCCCATCTTCCTCTTCTCTCATCCGCTTGTCTGTCCCTTATGTGCCTGGGCCCCAAAGCTTCTCGTTGCAGCGAACAAGATCCAAAATCACACCTGGTCCCCTGGTCTCCTCGCAACAAAAAAGTTAATCAAGCATCGTTTAACTCATCAATCAAAAACGCCAGCGAATGCCAACGATGCCCACCAGCGTCCGAGCGGTTGTCTGATTTCCTCATTTCCTGCCTGTAGCTTGATACCCCAGATAACATTGATTCCCCTCCCCTGGAGGCTGTTTCATGCAAATGTCATCGAGATCTCCTTCTCTTTACCAAACTCGGCGTCGTCGGGATCGCCCCACGGATCGTGTAGAGTCATGGCGGGCATCGTCTGCGATGGCTTGAATTCGGGTCGACTCGGCGGCGGTACCAGTTCATTCGTATCCTTCGGAGGCACTGCGGGTCGTCGTGGCGAGTCATCAAATGACGTGTCAAACGTCATCTGGATATCATCCTCGTACCGCTCCTCAGGGTATACAGGCGCCCGGTGCCCAGTGTAACTCGGCGATGGCTCGCGCGAGATCCTCGTTTCGTATGACTCTCGCGCCGCCAAATTTTCCCCGCTCCGAGAAGCAAATGCGGATGGCGATGGCGATGGCGATAAATCCAGCTTCATCGGTGGTAGAGTTGACTTGATTTCCTTTACTTGCAACTCCGCTGGGTCTTCGTCGTATCTGTTATCCTTGGAAATCTCCGCCCGAATCGCATCGACGTCGAAGAGTACGCCGTGGTTGCTGCTCTCGACCTTCTCATTCTCGCCGGCCTTGCCATCCGCCTTGCCGTCGGTCTTACCGCCCTTGCCCAGCGTGTCTTCGTAGATCTCCCAGTCTTGTTTCTCCAACTTCTTTCGGCGACCAAATATGCTAAACCGGCTACCCTTAGTAGCGGCGTTACCCTCCTTTTCGAGTTGCTTGCGTGCCTCCTCAATCTCGTTGATGAGTTCACGCTGTCGCTCGCCATGGTTGTCCGGGTCTGGGTCCTCAATCTCAGCAAATTCCTCGCTGTCCACAGACCATCCGCACTTCATAAGCAGAGATGGCATTTGAGTTCGGTAGTCCATGTGGCCCACCACCATGTCTGTCACATCCATATTCTCAACAAATGGACAACCCTCCGCCGCGGCTAATCCCGCGATTCGGCGGATACCTCCATTGGTCAACCGGAAAAGATATCCAAGAATCCAGTCATTGCGGTTGTAGGCATTCAAAAAGCGGCCGGATACCACCGTTCTGGCCTTGAGATACTCGTCCTTCTTCACCACAATTGGGGATCCAAACATGTAGACGTTCTGGACAATTCCAAAGGCGCTCTTCTTGCACAGCTCCAAGAGGCAAGAGAAGATGACTCTCGCCCCGATAGAGTAGCCGACCAATGTAATCGGCCTGGTGCCTAGGTTCCGCTCAATCAACGAGTCGGCCAGAATCTTGCCTGCCGCCCAGGCTCGGTCGAGGGAGACAGCCCACGGGTTGTCGATGAGGTAGGAGAGTTTAGTCAGGATTATTGGCAGCTGAAGGGCTGACATGAGACCAGCCAGAATTGTAGAAGCCAGGACTTGTTGAAGACCTTGAGTGAGAGCCTGAAATGAATTAGTATCATGATTGACATGTACGAGAGACGCTATGCGGGCACGCTTACCTCGGTGGCCAAGATATTCATAGTGTCACCGATGCTTCGCAGCATCTCTGGCTCCCATAGCACTGAGTATATGTCTCCCATGATCGGGTCTACTGTACTGAACGGCAAGCGGACGTCATCCACATTGCCCGTCAACCATCCGGAAATGGTGACAATCAAGTTGACACGCTTGTTGTTGTGGAGCGGTCGGTACTCAAATGTCTTGACCGCGCCCGTTCGTCGGTCGGCCGCCTTGCCTCCGATGATACTTCCAGACGCCGCAGCGCCTGACGTGATGATGGCGGCACCACCAACTCCGCCCAAGAAACTGCTGGTGCCGGTTACGCCAATTGCCGTCAATCCAGTGGCCAAGCCAGCACCAATGACTGGGGCGAGGAGACCAGCGGAGAGTCCAATGACAAGACCACCACCCACCGTGGCCAGACCCATCATGACATATCGTCTTTTCAGTGCCTCCTTTCTTCGGATTTCCATGTGTTCGTCCTCGTTCCAGTTCTCCTTTTCAGCAGCTTGCTGCATCTCTAGTGCGTCCGTAACCTTCTTCTCGAAGCGGCAAATATCGATCCAGGAGATATCGAGGCTCTTGCCCGCTCGTTCAAGGAGAACCCGGGACCGCGAGTCATAGATGGAATCCGCAATCAAGACAAGGAAGAGATCGCAGAGAATTGTCCATCTCAGGTCAATATCAATTTTCTCTGTTGTGGGCAGCTGGGAAGGAGTCTTGACATCGGGTAATTCCTCTCCATCAGGAGCCTCGTACGGTGGCGGTGGTTGGGCAGCCTGCTCCCCCCTTGGGCTTTGTAGTCCGGGGCTTGACATGGATGATCGGTTGGATGACTTGTCTTCGGCCATGGGGTTGTGGACCCGTGAGTTCATGGTCAGAGCGGGCGTGAGATCCGCAGGAATGACGCCGTGTTCGGCGAGTTGCTCGATCATGATCTGCTCGGCCGCGCTGATGTCCATGTGAGTGTACAACCGGATCATCATCTTCTGTCCCCACATCTTCATGGCCTCGGCAGCTATGCCGGTGGCCTTCTTGGTACTCCTCGTCTTTTCCAACTTTTCCTCATCATTAACCATGTTTGCAATTTCTAAGCGTACGACGCCGACGTAGGCGATTCTCTGACCTTCCGTGAGAAGATCCTTGGTGGCCTGCATCTGGGATACGGCGTCTCTCCCTTCGTCATCCTCGACCGCACTTGTTCCATTAGTCTGCTTGAATAGATAATTTGTATTTTCGTCCATGCTTGTTGCGGATTCGGCATCATCATCTAGAAGCACACGGGTATAGCCCTTGCCCGCTCCGCCCAGGCCGGCGTACCCGTACGTTTCCTCTTCGTCGGCGTTGAACTCTTTGGCAACCAGCCGGTCGTCATCGTCGTACATATCATATCTGGCGTATGCAGGCATCTCCTGCCAATCATCCTCTTTCTTCTCCTCCTGCTTGGGTTCTTGGATTGAAAACCGTTGGTGAGAGTACTCGGAAACGCCTGCTCGAGAGTCGACAACCACATCGCTGATATCACGCTTATGTGAGGCATTGGCCCGCGTGTCCGAGGTTGATTTCGGCTCACTGGACTGCACAGGCTGTTCAATCTCGACGGGAGCTTCGGAATCGGTCTTCTGTTTTGGCGAGGGCGTATCGAGTGGTAGCTTTGAAGGTTCCGTCGCTACCGGGGAGCCGGGGTCGGTGGTCTCGTGCTTGGACGGCTCGGGCTTCACCTCAGGCGTGGTGGCCGCTGGCTTGGTGTCTTCCGGCTTGACATCTTTTACTTTGGTGTCTTCCGGTATGGTGTCTTCCGACTTGACGGCTTCCGGTTTGGCCGGCTCTTGTGTAACGGATTGCTTTGACGGGGAAGGAGAACGGGGCGTCGATTGCGGCTCGGAGTGGGCATCCTCGAACGCCTCGTCATCGTCGTCCCGTTTCGTGGCCTGAGAATCCGCGGCAACAGGCGGCTTCTCGCCAGTGGGTTCCGGCTCCTTGCCACTGGCGGGGTTTGGTTCTACTTTGGAGTCGATCTTCTCTTGGGTATCTTGGTCGGCAGGTGCATCGATCTCGGGGGTGGGAAACCGCCTGATGGGCAGGCCAAAGTCGTCGACGGCGGCGGGTTGTGTAGCCATGATGGGTCTTCTCGCAGTGTGTGCTCTTCCCCGGGCTGGAGTCACTACTGGTATCGGGTATTCGTAAGGTTGGCGGCTTTCCGCGACGCCCGACTCTCAACGACGTAGGTCAGGGGGCGGGCGGGACGTGGTGTTGAGAAAGTCGAGATGGGCCGGGGGCCTGTCACGGATGGCCCTGCAGGTGTGATGTGGATGGACCCTGGCCCCTGAGATGCGAAGTGAGCCTCGAGGATTATTAGCAGGCGTATAATGGCAAAGGCGAGATGAAGCTGGGTGTAAGAATCACTAACCGGCTGTTGAGGAGGCCCGAGGTTAGGGGCTGGTTGGGTCGTGGAAGAGAAAAGCTTATGGTTCCTCGTGTCGATGAAGTCTCCTGGAATACGCCGTGGTACGTAGTAATTGAGGCGGGATTCCAACAAGATGACTTGACATTAGAGGTGGGGTGGGGCCATGACTGTGGCTGTTCTCGCCGACGGTTGGCGGCATATGGGTACAATACGTACGCAGTGGGCACCCGAACCTTCAGTGGCTTCCAGGGGGCTTCCAGTGGCATCACCCACGGGTCGAGCGGCGGCGGTAGGTGGCCTTCACGTTAATTAGTGGGCTTGTTACAGGGGGCGAGCGCCAGGTCCAGGTGGGGTTGTAATGACCATTTTCCACGAGGCCGCCAGCGGTTCAGCGGTCCAGCGACCTCATATGGTCAAGGCGCCGCCCGCCAGATTCGGCCGGGTCTAGTGTAATGGCCCCGTGCCATCGCCGCACCCTCGATCAACAAATGTAATCTCGCCCTCACACACCTGCCATTAGATAGCTACGCCAAGTGGCCAAGGGTGCTCTATGCCCCAATTGCCCTTTTTTGCCGAGTAATTACTCTGTCGCTATGTCGTTGTGTTGCTGTATGGAGCACTTGGTATATGCTTAATAGACGAACACAAGCTGATACGCCATGGAGGGGCTCCATGGCGTATCAGCCGAAGCCTCCTAAGCTTAGCATTTCACCAGGAACATAACATGTTGCTTCCAAACCATTGTTTCTATTCTCGGGGGTATCGGTGCGCGAGCACGTTATCCGTACATTACAACGCGATCAACGATCATTTTCCTCAATGCGCCATGCTACCAACAATCTCTCCCTCACTCTGTTGTCCAGAACCCTGCGGCTCAACTATCTCCACTCGCGGCCTCAACCGGAGCTGTGCTCTCTTGGCTCTCCCCAGTTGCCGCACTATCAGTCTTGGCCTTTCGCCGTCTCTTGCGCTTAGCCGGTCCTTCTTGTTCAGACTCCTTCTTCTCCGACTCCGCTGGCTTTCGAAGCCGCTCTCGCTTTTGTTGTTCCTGCTTCTTTGTCTTCTGGACGGAGAGAGGGTTTGGTTCCTTTCGCCCATATCCCTTCTTCTTTTTCTTCTTGTCATCTCCCTGTGATGCTTTGGTGTCGGCGCCACCTTTAGGCTTCTCATCGCCATCCTTCTCATCATCCTCGTCGTCCTCGTCTCGCTTTCTCTTGCCCAGAGAACCTCTAAGCTCAGCTCGGAACTTGCCCCTCTCCTCTCGTGCCCGAACCTGCACACTCTCATCCGCCATTGGTTCCAAAATCATGACACTTCTTTTGATGTAGATCAAGGGAACGCCCTTGATTCCTCGTAGCATTCTTCGGACTTCTTGGCTTTGACTGGCGACAACGTAACGATGCTTGTTTTGGTTCGTGCCCTTCGGGTCGACGACTGACTTCATGCACTCTTCTGTGCTCAGCGGCTCGGGATACTGGTCGGGATGATGGCCGCAGCGTCGTCGCTCTAGTGTCTTGGCCAGATCGATGGCCTCGCCTACACCAGACTCCTTGTTTTGGGCGTAGAGTTTTCGGATCTCGCATTGGGTAATCACTGGTCTGGTCAGCAAACGATTTGAGTAGGGACGAAGCAAATGTGTGCATACTGGGCTTGACTTGTCCATGGACTGTCCTTTGCAAAGCAGGGGCCAGGTCCATCTTGAATCGGCATGAATCCCTCACCATCTCCGCATCCACTGAGAAGAGTTAACTCTGGTGCCGTTGAAGGCGCAAACCGGGCGACCTACCAAGAACCTGGTATGGCTCACGGAACCCAAAGGTCATGGAGAACTGCTCCATGAGCTTTCGGTACTGCTTCGATCTCTTTCCTCTCATATTGAAGTCGGGCGCTTGCGCAATTCACGGGCTGGGAGCGGGTATTGCGACAAAGAAGTCATGCGTCGTCAAGATCGAGACGCAAAACGTTGGCGTCGTAAAATAAATTTCTTATCTGGACTGTTGGCACGTGCGATAAAGCCCAGCCCACTCGTCGTGCCCCACCTCCCCATGGCTCTCCATCGTCATTACTACCTATGATGCATATGTCATGATATCTTCATGTCACTCTTTACAAAAATATGTCCGACATGTCGGAATTAGCCCTTAAATATGGGATATCGCTTAAGCCAGTCAGATTCGGCCTCGGTTTTGTGTCATGATCATTCCTCATCACAGTCGAAGCCTCACCACCTACTCATGGAATGCCATTCCTCACGTCTAAGTCGAGGGACCTTCCAAATCCGGTCGGCGCAGTGAGCCAACCTCATCCTTCGTTTCTCACACAGAGCGCGGCGACAACGCTTATGTCGTCAAGTTTTCCTGCTAAAGGTTGAATACTCTCTTCACGTCATCCGAGATTTGGCGTACTTACCACCCTCACTGGCGAGCCCCTCCTCAATCGCATGCTCCATAAATGGGCTCTCTGCGAATGGGTCTTGGGCAATCTTTTTCGCCGCGGCAACCAGGTCTCGTGCGGCTGCGTCCATGCCTCCATTTCGACCGCCAGTGCGATCTTCGACCGCTCCTGCATCCTGGCCTGACTCCCATTCTTTGACGCTCGTGAGTACAGAAGTCACGATCTCGTGTTCCCAGAGGTTATCTGAAACTCCATCACTCATTGCGAGCACGATATCGCCCACTTCTAGATCCACCGTGTCCAGAACCCCGTTGTCGTTGGGGGTGTCAGGGCTGTTTGTTCCCAGCTGGCGAGGGCAATCGAACCAGTGCCATTGTTCCACCGTACGGTATATCACCTCCTTGTTCTTGGGCCTAAGAACCAAGATTTTGCAATCGCCTAGATTGGTTACATAAAGTAGAGGCGATGGATTTTGTCGTGACTCATCGTCTGGGTTGATCTTGAAGTGTAATTGTGCCCCGCAAGTCGTCGTGGTACCCAGACAGTCATGCGCTTCAGTCGCCTTGAGGGTCAGTTCAAAGGCAGTTTGTAGACTGGCAATAGGGTCGGGCTCGCACGGGTGCTCGGCAGAAAGGTATCGGGCCACTTCCTCCTCAATGGCAGTCGACCAGAAATGCAGAACTAATCGTGACCAGAGGCTGTGCCGGGGTTAGCAAGACTGTGAATAACTTCGGACAAGTTCCGGCCGGGTACCCAGCATGGCCCCGAGGGCGCGTAGCCCACGCTCCCACACCGTCGTTTGCGCATATGAAATAATCGCTCGCGTAAACAGCATCGTCGCCGTTCGTCTGGCCCCTGATAAGTTGGCCGTTGACGAAGGCACGACGATCGCGACTTCGGTGATGGGTGCTTAGAGGATCTGAGAAGGACGCAGACGGTGGGGATAGGAAGGGTGGGGGAAATGGGCGCGGAGGACGCTTTGCGAACAGAGCAATTCCAGTTTCAAATCGGAACGGCAGTACGGGGATCGAAGAGGCATTCGGGGGCGAGGATGGTGAAGAAGCCGAAGCAAACCTCCTCTCACGGCAGGGCTGCCATGCCAGGCGGTGGACAGGGAGCGGTCGTAGGAAAGATGTCGGGATGGACGCCAGGAGTGAGGACGATGGACTGCGCATTCCAGCTATGAACACTGGAGCTGTCCGCGAAGTTGCTGGCCGCAACCTGTGGTGGGTTCACGTCTTTGCTCTCAAGGAGATGACCAAAGAGACCAAATAGAGACCGAAGATACATGAGGGAGCGCCCGTGGCGAAGGGGAGATGCGTTGGGGATCACAAAAGCCAGACACGTGATAAGCCGTTATCGCACACAGACACACACCAAGGCGGCAGACATAGTACAAGCGGCTGGCTGGCTTTGACTCAGGTACCCAGTCGTACAGAGACAACCCCTTTCTTCGGCAGCAACCTGCGCAAGCTGACATGACTTGCGTTGAGAAAAAAAAGCACCTACACCGTACCCTCGGAAAATGGCCGATACTGCACTCGCTGATGTCGGTGGTTGAGTCAGGATGTGCGAATACATTATCGTTGAGTCTTTGCGACGCTCAACATGGAGAGGGGCACAAGATGCCCAATCATAGTAGCACATGGCTGTCCCCTTGGATGGTCTGGAGCTGCCATCACTTTTAGCCTCATGAGAGAAAACAGCGTCCAAGACAAAAAGGCGGTTGTGAGAAACGCAGTCCGGGGAACATGATGTCAGTAACGAGTTTGCGGTCTGTGTAACGACGTGTTGGCAGGCCTCATAAGGCAGACTGCATAAAGAAAGTGATATTGCAGTAATGCGTAAAACGACGGTAAAGCAATATCAGCAATAGCTGGAAGGAACGCATGACCTGGTCAGTCAAAGCGACACGTGGTGCCATTATGCTCGCCAAGGCCACTCCACGTCATGAATCATGAAACATAAACCTGAGGCTGAGGATAGTGTTGATGGATGGCCAGTCTTGTTTGAAGCAGGCAGATCGCAGATCAAACATGCGCAGGGGGATCGTCACCGCCTAAAAAAAGAAGAGAAGAAAACCACCAACTCATTCCCTCTTGGCCTCTTGGCGCCAATGACAGCCATTCGGGGGGATTCAAGATGACGTGGTTGAGTGTTGAGACAACCTCAGTCCGAACCAACTCTATTTCTGCACCGTAGGAATGATGCTAATCTCCAAGCGCTTCAGCTGTGCATGACCGCGTTCATGGCGTTGAGGACGGTGGATGACGTAAAGGGGGTTGGGATGGTTTGTGTGCTTGCTTCGGCAAAGTCCTATTTCCTGTTTGGGTGACATGTTGAAATGCTCGGGCTCGTGGATGGTGCAGTAGCGCCGGGTGATCCGATGATACCGACCTTTCGTGTAGCCGTCATCCTGGGAAGCGCCTCTGCGGTCTAGACGGATCCAGTGGGCGAGTTGTGAGCTGCCCAAGCCAAGGTTGGTGGACCGCAGATGGGCCAATCGTTATCGTGCCGTGGATGGGACTTTGGCCGACGCCCCATCGCCAACCCCATCGCCAACCCCATCTGGATGCTCGAACGCGCAAGCTTAAGGATGTCGACAACCGCCAAGCTCAGATTAGACAGGCGCCCGGGTGTGATCTTCGTCGTATAAACTGGCAGAGGGATGGTTGGCGCTCGGCAGGGCCTGGGCAAGGCTGGGTGGGAGCCGATCGTGCCGGGTACTGCGTAGTACGCTGCGGATTAATCTCATTCTGGCGTGTCAAGTACGAAGCAGCCGGATGTACGCAGCGCATCTGCGAATAAGGTAATTAGGTTGTGTACCACCTCGTACGCGGAAACGAGGTGTAAAAGCCAAGACTGACGCCAAATCCTAGTGCCCCCTTCCGTCCCCGGTTCCGACTTGCGGCCGCCAGCACTGCCACCACGCTTCTGGAATCAGAAGCACAATGACGGCTTTTCTCCAGGTTTTGTCGGGACCCCTGGATCCTTCACTTTGATTGACTTGAGACGGGGGGTGGTGTTTGCTGCGTTCAGACCGTCCCGCCCAAGCACCTAAGGACCCAAGGCTTGCTGGCCCGGACCGCTCGGACGGCATCGAGCGTCCCTGGTCAGGCTGAAATGGAATCCTAGTGACGGTGACTCGCTGCACGCAGTGGAGCGGCATCATGGAGAGGGAGTGATGGGGCCGGGGGTGGGCTTGGCAGACGCTCTGAAGGGCGATACGAGCCGGCTTACACCCTGGCTGAGAGTTGTTTCAAACAATAGGTTCAGAGCCAGTGAAGCTGGCTGGGCGACAACGGCACGAAACAGGACACGAATCTGCTCAGCAATTACCAAGACCACGCAGGTTGGTTGGCAACGACCGGCGGCAGAGCGGATGCGAAAGACTGGAACTCGGCGTTAATCGTGACGAATACAGGCGGCAAACATGGATGCCGCCTCCACCATGCCAGCGGATTCCGGCCTCTGTTGCCAGACCATCGCACGTACATGACTACATGGTGGAATTCGCGGAGAATAGTGGATATGGCAACGAGCGAGCATGCAACTGCAGCCAGCCGGCGACTTCCATCATGTCCTCCCCATCCTTGGATCCCGAGTCAGGACTTGCGTAAGGTCCTTGGTAGGGAGGCAAGGAGGGAACCTAGATCCAGGGAGGTCGGAGTTTTTTGAAGGCCGAAGCGACGAATGATGAAACTAGTTACTGACACCTACCACACAGATTCGCGCAAGTCGCACGCATGTCTCGATTTCGCTCTCGCCTGGAATCATGGACCACATGGACATGGATGGTGGACTTGGACTGGAGCGGCCGGACTGGACGGACTGGACTGGAGTGCCGGAAACTTGCCTTGCTTGCATCTCACCTCACACTCACCACACCGCGGCAGACGCCAGACCAAAAAAAAAGCCATGGACAAGAATACGAGAGGGTGTACTCCGTACCGGAACTCGTGGTCGGTGTCTAATCCGTAGAGTATTTAGAAAGCTTGCCTCCCCGTCGTGTCCCGATCTTGAGAAATCGCTCCCCCTCCCCCTCCGCTTTCCCTTTCCGGCCTGCATTTTCTGTTTGCTTGGCCTTTGCTTGGTCTTTTGCTCTCAGAACTCTTTTGCTTTAATTTTCTCTTTGAATAAACCTTGAAGGGAGTTTGTCTCGGTCACTTAGACTTCCTGCCCAGCCCCGTGGTCGCCTGTCGGTGACGTAGGCGATATTCTGGACCGGCGTGAACGACAATTTGGACCGGCGCCGACTATCGTCGTCATTCACTTTCACACGCAGCCCGACCGACGACGACCGAGAAGCGATCGATTAATAGAGCCCACGTGCGGCCCCAAGCAAAAGACGCAAAAATCAGAAAGGCCACCACGACGCCGGCCTCGAGAGATTCCACATCGTCGGATCTGCTTCCTCCGCGCGTTGTCTGTCTTGTCCCCCCGCCGCCGCCGGATCACAACCCTGCCGGGAACCTGGGCGACAGCTTATCAGAAACCTGCTCTAACGCCCGTTTGGGCCTGCCAGCCTCCCGCGACTACGCACGACATCGCTGGCTGACACTGTCACCATACCCGCCCGGCGCCATATACGGTGCCACACCCCCAAGCGCCAATCCACACCCACACCGACGGACGATCCACGGAGCCCGAGCCGGCATCGCATCCAGTATATTAACCGTTCCAAGAAGAGGCCAAGGCCGCGTTGCCTGCGTCCACCGCCGCCCAGGGGTATCGTCTTGCGACCTACTGCACTCGGGTCCCTTGGTTCTTGCTTGGCCCTGCTGGGCTTGACATGCCAGCCGTCCGTCGTATCCGTTGCCGCTTCACCACCTTTGGAATCTGTGGATGGATTGGGAACGGTGTTCAGACCTAAGGGAGTCTAGAGTCGCGCATACGAATACAAGAACCACCAGTTGACCCGCCGCCTCGGCGCTGCTCGACCACCCGCCTGCCCTTGTCGGGATTATCTTGCCGCCCTTGTCGCCCTTGTTGGTCTCCAAGGAAAAAGAATAGAAACAAAGGAAGGTTGTGACGAAACATCCACGACAAAAGGCTACGACACACCCACGACATCGTGGTGGCTGACGCCCTTCCTCTTCCCTTTCTCTGGGCCCCCGAACCCTTCACCTGGCTCTTGCTTCTGGGTCCTTCGGCATCCCTCTGCCGCACGTTCTACTAATCCCTTCAGATCGCCGCGCAACGACGAGAGTCAAGTACCCTTCGCCTGTCTCACCAAATTGCCCCGGCATATCCGGTCGTGGCCAACATGGGTCGAAATCGAGGTGCGTGCATCATTCCAGTTGCGGACCCTGTGTCCTCAATTTTTTTTTTTTTGTTTTCGCTCTCGCTTTACGGTGTAATGTCAGCAGATGCCCGCTGCACGCCCACTGCACGCCCAGGCCCCAGGGCGCAGTGCCCAGCACGCATTGCCCACTGCCCAGCACCCAGACCCCGGCCCAGCGAGGCGATGTGCCCGCCACTGGGGCTACGGGGAGCTACGGGGGGGCCACTGGGAGACCGCTGGGCGTCCGCAGCACCCACTGGCTACTGGGTCCCTACCAACGGCCAAGCCATTGCCCAATACTCTCCCCCTAACCCGCCTCGGGCCCGGAGTCCATAATATCTCACCTCATCCGGCCCTGCCAATGCTAACTCGTCCGCCCGAATAGTCCTCTCTTTCATGTCCCAGTTTTCTGCTGGCACAAAGACGCCGCCACACTCCTCCTCACCCCCAAACGACTCCCCCTTGGGCCACCGCAAGACGAACTCCTTTGCCGAACCATTCCCCGACCACAACATCGATCTTTCCCGAGCTATTACGCCTCCAGACTATGGCAGTCCGGTAAACGGCTCACCAGTGAATAGCCCACCTCGCAAGCGCAGCAGCTCACGCCCCCTGTCTATGGTCCTGGCCCATAACCCGCCCCTCATGGACGTCACCGAAGATACTATCCCGGAGCTCCAGCCCATCTTCACCTTCCTGAACAGCCATTCCAACAAGCTGTACCAAGAAGGCTATTTCTTGAAGCTCGACGACCAAAACACTCGTATGTTCCAGCCAGCTTCCCCGCCTGTGCCTTAGCGCTCGGGTCCCTTGCGATAGCTTCTGACCTGAACTCCAGAGGGTAAACCGAACCCCGACAGAACCTGGACCGAATGCTTCGCCCAGCTCGTTGGTACCGTCCTGTCACTATGGGACGCTGCCGAACTCGATGCGGCCGGCGAGGACGGCGAAGTCCTTCCCAAGTTCATCAACTTGACCGATGCCTCCATCAAGATGGTAAATTGACCCCACACGTGGCACTTCATGCATGGTAGCACCCTAAACGACACCGCGACTAATACTTTGATAGATTGAGTCGCTTCCTACCCGCTCCACTGACGAGCAGCCATTGCAAAACATCCTTAGCATCTCGACCGCCGGAAGGAATCGATACCTGCTCCATTTCAATTCCCGACACTCCCTTCTCCAATGGACCGCCGGTATCAGACTTGCCATGTTCGAGCACTCGACGCTGCAGGAGGCTTATACTGGCGCCCTCATTGCTGGCAAGGGCAAGTCTCTTAACAATATCAACATCGTTATGGAGCGATCGCGCTTCAAGACCGAGGAATGGGTTCGGGTCCGTTTCGGTGCTGGTGTTCCCTGGAGGCGGTGTTGGTGCGTCATCTCACCGCCCGACGAGAAAGAATATGCCAGGCTCCAGAAGGAGATGAAGAAGCGATCTCCCTACGACCGATCCCCCGTCCCCGTGTTGAAGGGCGACATCAAGTTTTACGACACGAAAAAGGATGGCAAGAAGCAGAAGAAGGCTATGCCCATTGCCTCCATCACCGATGCTTATTCCGCCTACGCCATCTATCCCCAGGCCAAGTCATTAATTGACGCCTCTACGCTGCTCAAGATTGAGGGTAACGTCTCGATCCACACCGAACCACCTTCGTCCACCGAGGGTTTCGTCTTCATCATGCCCGAAACCCACCCCGCAGTTACTGGCTTTGAGATGCTGCTGCGATTCCTCTTCCCCACCTGGGACACATTTGGCTTGTATGGCCGCCCTGGAAGACTTGTTGCCAGTGTTCTAGACACCCGATCTCTCATGTTCGCCATGCCCAAGCACAAGCGTTACGGCTACCTGGAGAATTTGGACGTTTCCAACCTCATTCTTGAGGATGGAAGTGCTGGGTGGAACGAGAAGGACTGGAGAAAGAAGCTCAAAGAGACCACCGGGACAAGAATGAACGTAATTGAAGATGCGCCCTCCACACGATCTCGAAGCAACAGCCGAAAGAGTGTGAGGTTGAGCTTTGGCGGAGGCTCTGGAGGTGCTGGCAAGCCGCCGAAGGTGGGCTTCTCCGATGACAAGGGCTCCGTCAGGTCTTCGCGATCCCATTCCCTGACCGGACCACCCCGGACGGACTCGGCCCCCCCGGACTCTCAGCCTGATAGAGCATTGGCTGCTGTGGCGGGGGGGCCCGAGAATCGTACTCGGAACGCCTCGGACCCCAACCACGGTGTGGCTCCACCGTATCGCAACGACTACAGCCCTTACAACGGTTCTCCTCAGAGGAACCAGACTCCTGTCGGGGGCTACGGCCAGGAAAAGGCGGCTCCTTATGACGGTCCCAATTTTGATGACGATCGTGGTGGCCTTGGGGTGAGTGAACTGGATGGAATGCGACAGATGCAGACCCCAGAGCCTGTTTCTCGGCCACCGGCTTTCAACCATGCTCCCCAAGCGCGGCCTGTTAGCAATGTTTACCATTCTCCGGAGCTCCGTCAGGCCAATAGCCGACTCTCGAGCTCTACTCTGGCTCAACTGGCCAATGCCGGAGGCCTAACCGGACCGAATCATTCGAACTCTCCAGCTGGGAGAGAGGGGGACGATGCGAGATTAGGACCATCGGTACTTGCAAACGCCAACAACCAACTAGGGATATCTGCTAACGAGAACGGCTCGCGCGAAGCTCTAAGCCCACCTGGCCAGAATCCTGCGTCGACTGGCCATCCTGCACCTCTTAACCTCTCAAAGCAACGGTCCAAATCTCCCCTGGCCCAGTCTCCCTACGGCCCTCCCAGTCCCTACACACATGGCCCCAACTCTCGACCTTCCACATCTGATGGCCCAAGGTCACCCATGCCCCCTGGCTATATGGCCCCCCCTCGGTCCCCACACCCGCAAAACCCAAACTACCGGCCGGATCAAGGACCTGGCGGCCCGATGCCGGATGGCCGGAGACCGTCTGATCCCCGTCCCCCACCTGGGCATGGGCCACCTCCCCACGGTCCAATGCCTGGAAACAATAGGAGACCTTCCGATCCCCGTGCTCCTCCTGGTTACGGCCCGCCTAACCATGGCCCTATGCCAGACCGGAGGCCCTCTGATCCTCGTCCTCCTCCTGGCCATGGCCCTCCTCCTCACGGAGCACCTCCGTACGGTAATAACTTCCGGCCTGGCCCACGCGGGCCCCCGGGTCCACCCGGCCCTCCCGGTCAGCCGGGGGCGCATAGGAAGCCAATTCCCGAAAGAGCGCCAAACTTCGACAGTCTTTCCGGCAGCAGCACGATCACAACCAATGAGATCATTGACCACTACGCCTACGATCAGGGACGTCTTCCTGTGCGTCAAGGCACTCCCAACTCTGATAGACCGCCACCTCCACCTCAGCGTCAGGGGAGCGGGATCAGCGGCCAGAGCAGCCATTACGATGACACCTCTTCGAACAGAAGCATCGATTACGCAAGCACACACAAATCCAGTGAGACAAATCAGTCTGTTGAGCGACCCCGAGCTGGTGTTCTCAGGACAACGGGAGGCGAGGAAGACCCCGATATTCCACCTAACCACAGCTATGATATCCCTGAAATCAACTTTGGGCCAACCGTCAACTATAGCGCCACTCAGCAGCAGCAGCTGGCTCGCAGCAAGATTCCGAATGCCCTGCAGCCTGGCATGGGTCCCACGCCGCCACCACACAAGTCCATGGGGCAAAACTCCCATGAACGAACGGAGTCTGAGGAAAAACGAACAATGGCTTGGGCTCCTGGTACCACGAGCCCCGGCTCTGGTTCTCGCGGCCTGAGCGCTGAAGAATATGTGCAGCAGAAGGCGGCTCATGCTCGGAGTTCCTCGAGCAACACTCTCGGGAGCATGCGATCGGGAACCCCAACCAATATGAACCGAAGAAATTCCCATGATATCACGCAGCGACATTCACGGAGCAGCTCGGCGGATTTGCTTTCAAGGCCAGGATCCCGAGGAGCCAACGCAGCTCTCAACTACTCAAGCTCGGGTGAACACTCCTCAAGCTTGAATGCTCGGGAACAGGAGCAGATGTCCAGGATGACAGGAACCCCTCTGATCAACATGGCCGGGAACCAGAGGCAGCTCGCCCAAGGACCCGGCCTCGTGGGTGCCATCGAGGCTCGAGAGATGGAAAAGCAGCAGATGAAGCAGGGGGTCAGCACGCAGGTCGGGCAGGCGATCAATCAGCGGCAGCAACAGCAGCAGCAGCAACAGCAGGCCATCGCGTATCAACACCAAGTGGCTCAGCAGCAAATGGCACAGCAACAGCAACAATTGGCCCAGCAACAAAGGATGGCACAACAGCAGATGGCCCAACAGCAAATGGCTCAACAACAGCAGCAGATGGCTCAGCAACAAGCTTATCAGCAGCAACAAATGATGGCCGAGCGCAGCATGTCACCGCCACAGCCTGGGTATAGCCCCATGGGCAGGGGAGGAGGCCCAGGGCCATATAGCCCTGGAGGATCACCATACGGAGCGCCTCAGCAAGCGGCCTACGGACAGAGTTTCTCTCGTCCTCTTCAATCACCTCCTCAGATGGTGGATCCTCGATTCGCGCCACCTCCACAAGGCCAGTACGGGCAGCCACAACCGGGGCAGCGAAACATTCACCCTAAGCATCAAGGACAGGCGTTTTAAGCAATATGGAGAGACGATGAGTGGATGATATTTTTTTTTGAGAGATTTGAGAGATTGCAGCATGTTGAGGTATCTAGGACGGACGATGCAAGCATGATTGGAGTAAGCATTGGATGCATACACATACAGCACCGGCGTTTGGGAGGATGCGGGAAGCAATCATTGACGAGGGCCGGGAGCATTCTTTGCATATTCAATCAGGCATATGAAGGGTTCAGCCTGTGGACGCATAACCGGAAAGAAAACTATAGAGACCATTCTTGAATATTTATTTTGATTACTTTACCATGCTACCCAATTCACTGTTGTGACGTCAGAGGGGACGTTTCTTTGATACCGATAAGAGAAGGTTTATTTTCCATTGCCAAATGTCACCCGCAATACGGAATAATAGAACCGGGATAGAGACAGTATCCACTCACCGTTGAGTTTCACTTATCAATCTCAATATAGATGTACATGAGTGTAGTATTCAACTGCCGTCGGCACGGGACGCGAAACGGTCATGGTCGGATCGTGTTTCTGATCTCCACTGAATTACGCTGTGCTGTCAGCCTCCGGCCTCCCCTGGTCACTCGCGCGCCAGTGGATCTAGCGGGGGCTTAGAAGGACCCTGGGACTCCTGACAGGCCCTGTTGTCCAGTGCCTCCGGCGCTTGGGCACCCTCTCACGCTCAGAAGTCGTAGCGTTGTTGAAGACGACTGACGAGGCCGAGTCGAGCCCCCGTGATCGGGATGCCATGATTGTGCTGGGTCCGTCGCGCCTGACCTCGCGCTGGCGGCTTCTCGCTCGCTGTCGTGTTGATGTTGTTGCGGGCTCCGCGTGACTGCGCGTCCCGTATGCAGCTCGCACGCGCCGCGGACGGTGAGAGGCGGCGTGACCTGTCTCTTGTTGCTGGTTCATCCCCGGTGGTTGCTGAGGCATCCACCCCGCCACGTCGAGGTAGCCTGGCGCCTCCCGCGAACCGCCCGCCTCCTTTCAATCTGCTGTAAATTTAGCGGTGCCGTCCCCTGGGCGCCGCTGCAGACTCCCCGCTGCCTCGCTGCGCTCCAGGCCATCCAGACCGCTGTGGGCTTTCGTCTACCCCTGTGCCGTCCCGCCCTCGTGAGCGTCCTGGAGAGATCCCTTCAGCTAGCTTCCGTACCAAAAAAGATTCCCAGCACCACCAGCACATTACCAACCAACCAAGCCAAACCGCACACGCACCTCTGCCGTGACGTCCCTGCCTCTGCATCTCCCCAGGCTCTCGTTTCTTTTTCCTCCCCCTCGCCTCCTCACTTCACGCATTCCCTTTCATCTCCTTTCTTTTAGGTTGAACTCGCCCTCTTCACGACTCGATCCGATCCGACTGAGACACCTCGACGTCGCTGCGCCTTTGTCCCACGAACGAACCGCCCTCTTTATTGCCCGAGTCCTGCGCTTGTGGCTTGTCCGCCAGACCGTTTGCCACAGCCGCCCACCATCGCCTCTCCGCCGGCAGCCTGGAATCGCCTCGCAGCGCTGGCTGCTCGGGTCCCTCCCAATGGACGGCGAGGAGCCCACGCAAGGTATGAGCTTCACTCTAGGCGCCCGCGACACCCTCCTCCTCGACGCCCCGCTAACCGTGCCGTCCCGCCAGCGACCCAGAATGTCCTCGACCCGCGCCGAGTCGGGAAGCAGAACTCTGGCTTCTCTGACGAAGACATCTCCGATATAATATGCGTCCTGTACCCTCACTCCGACTCGGCCCGCCAGGAACTCCAGCGTCTCGTCAACGAAGACTCCCCCCACATCATTGGCAAGGACGAGGCCGACACCGTCGAACCCGACTATGCCCTGGAAGACTATGCCGGTCGTTTCCAGACGAACCACACGAGCTCCGGCAACTACGCCATCATTCTTCGACTCTCGACCCAACTAAAGAACCCGGCCGCCGGCTTTGCCTTTGGGCGCAACTCGGCTCGCTGCGATGTAGTCTTCGTCAATGACCCCCTCCGGCGCGTGAGCAACATCCACTTCCGCATCTACGTCAATGAGTATGGTACTGTCATGGTCGAAGACCAGTCAACCAACGGCACCATCGTCGACAACCAGCTCCTGGCCTCCCACCCCAACACCAAGGGCAGGACTGACCCCCCAACCACCAAATGGGTCCTGAGCTCCGGCACCATCATCCGAATCTACCTCCATCAGGAGGCCAAGGACTTGGCTTTCCGTGTTCGAATTCCGCGCCGGGATGACGTCTACGACCAGGCTTATACCAGCAAAGTAGAGGACTTCTTTACCCGTCATAATCTCAAGCGCCAAAACGAGACCATTACTGCCGGTCCTGGGGGTCATGTCGACCTGTTCAAGCCCCCTGCTCAGGCAACCCTGAGGAGGGCCGAAACAAATGAACCGGATCGTGCCCAGACTCGCTCGCCTTCAAAGAAGAGGGAACCGCCACAGTCCCTCTGTAAGGAGTGGACCGGCTCCGGAAAGTACAACAGGACTGGCATGATCGGCAAGGGAGCCTTTGCAGTGGTACATAGGGTCACCTCCAAGTACGATGGACTGCCCTATGCTGCTAAGGAACTTGAAAAGCGAAGGTTCATTAAGAACGGCGTTTTGGATCAGAAAGTGGAGAACGAGATGAAGATCATGCAACGGGTCACGCACGTAAGTCTGACTGACCACACTCCAACCCAACCTCTCTAGCAGTGTATTAACCTGCGTATCACAGCCAAATATCGTACGCTATATCGAGCACTTCGAATGGGATGATAGACTCCTTATCATAATTATGGAGTATATCCCTGGTGGCGATCTGGGCAAACTCATCTCAGATCAAGGCGTACTAAATGAAGGAGTCGTTCGGGTTATGTCACAACAGCTTCTGGGCGCTTTGGGTTACTTACACGACAACAACATTACCCATCGGGATGTTAAGCCAGATAACATCCTAATCAACTCCTTGGATCCCATCGATATCAAGCTCACCGATTTCGGCCTGTCAAAAATGGTTGACAGCGAACAGACCTTCCTGAGAACGTTTTGCGGGACTCTTCTCTACTGTGCGCCCGAAGTGTACACTGAGTATGCCGAGTACGATGACAATGGCATCCGAAGTCGGGGCAAGAAGGTCCGACGCATGCCTGGGCAGAGGTATAATCACGCTGTTGACATCTGGTCTCTTGGCGGTGTCCTGTTCTATACGATGACGGGAGCCCCGCCGTATCCAGTTAAGGGTGGAATCAGCTACTCCGAGTTGTTGCACAAAATCATGACGTCTCGACTCAACATTACTCCTCTTCAGAGATATGGGATTACCGAGCAGGCCATCGACTTTCTCTGCAGGATGCTTCAACGGCGTCCTGAAAACCGAGCCACTGTGGCTGAACTGGACGGTCACCCCTGGTTAGCCACATTGGGCTCAGTCATCGAGGCGTCACAATCCTTTGATGAGATCACGGATGATGAAGACATGGTTGGCAACTTCTCCCAGTTCCAGCAACATCACTATGAGGAGGACAGAGTGAGCGACTCGATGGGCGAAGAATCCGAAAAGGAGAACACATTCGGACCTCACACCCACCCGCCTCGGCTGTTTGGGGAGGTCGGTGTCTCTGCCATTGGCAGCTCCGGGGTCATCCCGGAAGATTTCCTCAATCTTCAGGCAAGCAACCCCAGCATGGGAGAAACAGAGATTCTGGGCGATGACGTGGATGAAGCCTATCAGTCTGACGATTCAGTCGCGCCAAAGGGTGGAGTCCGTCGTACCATCTCCCGCCAAACGACCATATCCATCGCTCAAAACCAGTCCGCGGATCAGCTCCAGAGCTTGGTCGAAGATGTTGCCTCCCAGAGTCTCGGTGGGAACGAGTCCATCGTGCAAAACCTCGCCCCTCCAAACTATTCCATGCAGTCCTCGGACTTTAACACGAGCAAGAGGAGACCGCGTTCGGTCGACACCAGTGACGAATTTGACGAAAACACGCCTCCCGGAAAGCCTACTATGAAGAGGCTCAAGTCGGAGGGCAATATGGACACCCTCGCTAATGATCTAATTGAAGAATACAAGTTGATGGCTCGGATACCCCAGATTAGAAGATCCGGACGTCAAATCGACGGCCCATACGAGAAGAGGTCGTTTTGGACACAAGACCGCAAGACCTGGCACCTCGAATACCCTGAGATGACACAGATTCAGCATGCGGCTTTCACCCAGGCTGCTCGGGAGAGAACCGAAGAATTTGCCCCCGGAAGGACTCCTCTTTGGGATCTAGCAATGAAATACTTCCCTCCTGTTCCCAAGGGACAGTCGCGAGAGGGGCAAAATGCCACACCCCGAGATGTTTCGAAACACGATGATCAGCGCATGGACGATGAGCCGATGGAGTTCCCACCTACTGCGGCACCGGTCGAATTCAATCAAATCCCGGATACCCTTGCACCTAACGCCCATATTGTTGTCCCCATTCAGGACGACATGCTCAACAAGCGGGCGGTCGGCATGTTCGAGTCTCACCCTGACTCGTCCATTCAAGGAATATCATTTCCGGTCACCGACTCGCTGATTTCCTTTGGTCGAGGCCCCGAAAATACCCAGGTGTTCCAACCGAGGACTGAATCACGGGTTCCCAAGTATGCATTCAAGATGATACTTTGGAAGGACGGCCAAGGATACGACCCTGCCAAGGATCCTTCGAAGGCGTCTCCTCCGTGGCACGGGGACTCTAACCCAAACTCCTACAGCTTCTACATATCCACAAAGGCCACGTTGGGTATTCACATCAACGGCTTTCTCCTTGCCTCAACTGAGTCGAAAAACCACGGAGGCCCTGCCCGTCTCTGGACGCAAGTGTACAATGGGGACACGCTACTCGTCTGGGGAACTCCTGAGCCGCAGAACCAGACAAAGCTCACATTCAACTGCTTCTGGGGCGCGTCCGCTCGATCTCGGGGCGACAACAAGGCTTTGCAAGTTGCGCCTCCACTTTTGGCCCAGCAACTGGACGCAGCCTGCCAAAAGACGGAGAAACGAATCCGAGATGTCGCCGAGAAGAAGAAGAAGGTCGATGAGGCCGAGGCCGAGCAGGAGGACCGACAGCGCTATGTTGAAAGAGAGCGCGAGAGGAGTCAACTGTTCGAGGCCAAGAGACTGGAGGCTGTGAGCTACTTGCTTTCAAGGCAGACTCAGCCTTCGCGAAGGGGTTCACCAGCCAGCGCACCACCCACATCACTCGCTGGTCGCACGCTCATGACGCAACTCTCACGCATCAGTCCTGACAAGGAAACTGGGTTTGCCGCCCCATAGAATGGCTTACTTTTGGGTATTTTGGGACACAGAGGACAGAGAAACAAGGGACGGTGTCCGGGATCTTGGGAGCGAATAGACGATAGGACTAAGCGGGTATTGCGTGCGCATGAATTTGGGAGGAAGATGGGCGGCGCAGTTGGGCTGATGGCTCAAGGATGGATGGACGGTTACTTTTTTATGTGGTGGGAAACACGCCCCGGAGGCCGGGTGAAGGCATCTAGATGTCATTATGCACTGTTGGGCCCTCCCTCTTGTAGGGCACAGGTATATGAGTGGGTGTATGGTAAAAGAAAGGCGCAGATATAGTAGAAAATCAACCAATGTGATTAGACAACCATTTCCTTCCCTGAATATTCTTCTATGAGCGTCGTGTTGACTTGTTGGCGGAGAAGTGAGAAGATCGCGCTTAATCATTCACCCAACAGACATCTCTGAGGATCCGTTCACTTGCAAGCATGATGGCACAACCGTTGGAGCAAAGTTGATTGAGTTTCATCCCAGGGTATCATATACAGTGATAACGCATGAGCCATGTGGCTATGAGTCCAAGATCTCCAGCGTCATTGTAGCTTTCACCCAGTAGTCATGCCGTCCGTCCACCCGACACATTCAAGCCCAAAGTAATCATAACACATCTCGCTCATCGCGTGGCATTCTAGAGGCCCTTCTGAGGTCCAATCTTCGCGCCTGCCTTGAGCAGGAGCATTGCCCCCTCTGTGATGATGTCGCTCTCATCGAGGTCGTCGTCCGAGGTAGCTTCGTCGATCTCAGTCACGTCGCTTGTTTCACTGTCAGAGGAGGAGTCCGTAACGGCGGTGTACTCTATACATTACATGGTTAGCCAAGAATCTACGACGCAGAGTCAACATACCAATATTCATAGTACGCCTCTCTGGAGAGGGGCTTCTGACTGAGCTTGCCTCTTCAATGATGGGCTCTGGGACCAGATCATCTGGTCGAGGCCAACGCTTTCCTGGTCTTCCCGTTTTCCATGATGGCGCTGCTGGCTCGCTCGCTCTTCCATAACTCCATTCCGAAGAAGCCCCAGGGCCCCGTCTCTTGGAAGAGTTATAGTACGGGTTACTTCCAGGATAGCCGTTCTCGCTCTGGAAGAAAGATTCATCTTCGGCAAAATAATGATATTCTGGATCAGTAAACACGGTACGGGCGCCATAATTTGGTGGTGTTGAGTAGACACGGGGATCGTCAGGAGACGATGATCCTTCACGGTCTGGGAAGTAATGATGGCCAAACCCTTCCTAATGGTCTCTGGCAGTCTCTTGGAAACGATAGGAGTCTGGACTCGAAGCCATGGATCGAGAAGGGCCTCGTTTCTTTCCATCACCAGGCGCCTGGCTATTCCCGGCTTTGTTGAAGAAAGATCCGAAACCGGATGTGCGGAACGAAGTCTGGGACTTTGGGGTTTGCGGAAATTCCTCAGCATGTTGGCCCCGAGACGACTTGCTGGTGAAGTCATTCATCCTGGCAGATGGGCTGTCACAATCCTCTCGTCGCGGGGGCTCAGAACCAAAACTCTTGCTGAAGGCACCCTGCGAAAACCCTGGCGAAGGAACACTCCGCGGGGTACTGCTGGGTCCTTGGAAGTCGTTTGGAATGACAGCTGGGCGATTGACTGAAGGTCCGCCGTAGTTGTGATCAAAGTGGTGACCTCCAGCGTACTTATCGTCATGATTTGTACCGTATGGGGCTTTGGTAGGATGAGAAAGTAGCGGCGAGATCTCAGGTCGAGGAGGCCTAGAGCTATCTTTCCTTCCCGTTCCCTGGTGGTGACCGCCGATGGGGGATTGATCATGCTTGAAGTCTGGTGAGCATGGTGTTCGGATATCCACGGACCGCTTGAACCTGACAGTCTTGCTTCCGGATGACTTCAAAGAACTTTTTCGAGAACCAGCTGAAAAGTCGGAGTCGATGTTTTTGTCCAAAGGCGTTGTTGTTCGTTCGGGAGGACCGTCTTCCCTTGTCGACCGAGAGTTGACTGAAGAATAAGGTCTCTCGTCAACATTAGCCGCGAAGCCCGGATCTCCGTGTCCATTGTCAGAATTCGTAGCCTTTCCTTTCCTAAGATCATTTGTCGAGAGGAATGCAGGGCTCGGTGTGCCTTGTCGAGACTGAGGAGCAGACTTTGATTCTTCCACAAATGGGGCCTTATATTTCCGAGGTGCTTCAGTCTTGGTAGGACGGCTGTCTTGTTCTTCGTTGGCTTGACCCGAGGAGTTCCGCTGTGCTCGCCGCCCAGCCGAGCTAAGGTTCCGCGTCGGACAGTAGGGCAACTTTGGTGAATCGTCCACCTGGCTTGGCGTGCTTTTATGGACTTTGAGGTTCGGAGGTTCTGGGCGGTGGCGATGACGAGGCTGGTTGTGTGGTTGATGTTCACTAGTGCGAGTAACTTGCTCTTGACCGATTTCTTGAGATTTCTCCTCGGTGGAGAAAATCTTGGGTCGATTGCTTTTTCCTTGGCTTCCGCGTGCATCATGGTTAGAGTGGATGTGAGCCCGAAGGGAATCACAGTCATCATCCTCAGCGGATCTATAACCACTTCCCTGGATGGTATCTGTTTCCGAGTTCTACAAGAATGTCAGAACTAATTCGCACCCATATAGATAGCAACTTACCAAGTCAAGAATGGACGTCTCCGCAATGCCTTCGTCAGCCCTTACCTTTCTCAAACACAAGCCACAGTAATTTGGGAGAATGGGATCGCCCGGGATAGTCGGGTGCTGGCACTGAAATGATTTCGATCTCACTTGACCACAACCAAAGCAGAAGTGATAGTGACCCACAACGCCTCTGTCAATTTTCCTTTTGCGACAGACCTCGCAGAAGTTGACGATCGGTCTTCCCTCTGGATGAAGGGGGTGGTTCTCATGAAACAGAACTGATCGGACACACCCACATCCAGAGCAAATATGACTGCTCGGTATGGGTTCCGGACTCTCTCTGATATGTTCTCTGAGCTTCTCTTCGGTATTCCTTTCAGTGCCTTGCTTGGTGATATGGGAGTGTCCGCCTGTTCGGTTTCGTCTTGTTTCCGGATCGGGAGGGTCATCCACCACCTTGCTGAACCTTGCTCGGTCGCCTTCGGGTCGAGACTTGAGTTTAGACATAAGATCGGGCTTAATTTCTTCTTTTGAAGCTCTCTTTCTGGCTATTGCTGCGTTTAGCGTTGCGTTGAGTTGGTCCTGAAGCTTTCGCAAGTCAGCGCGCAGGACTGGATTATGCGGCTGTTCGGCCAAGGAGGTCATCTTCCGATCGATATCCATCTGGATACGTTCCAATATTTGAGCAAAGGGCCCAGAGCCTTCAGCCCAGCTTGTAGAAGCGCAATTAGGTGGTTTCTCCTGAGGTTGCTGAGCTGGCTGATGAGGAACGGCTTGAGGGTATGCAACAACAGGCTGTGCAAGCGACGTCGTTGCATACTGAGGTATCTGAACAGGTGCTGGAGCCGGTACTAAAGCAAATTGCGGCTGATAATACATGTGTTGATGCGATTGAACTGGCAAACTTGCGAAAGGCGGATGTAAAGCAGACTCAGGAAAAGACGATGGTGTTTGGGTCATACAGATTGGTTTCGAAGACAAATGAACAGGCATGTGCGATGGAAAAGTGGCCGACGGTTGTACAAAAGAAGCAGCAGCACGCTTCGACGAAACTGGTGTTGCACGTCGGCTCGAAACTGAACGGCGACGAGGCGTTTTGCGCGAAGTCGAAGCTACCGAAGGTCGTCGGCCATACCGTCTCGGAGTGCGAGGAGTCCGCACTGAAGGGACAGAGTCCGACTGAGCCTCAGATACGTCATCATCCTCATCGCTTGAGGCGACTGACTCTTCCACAACATCAGCATCGTCAGATTCGGAATCATAATCAATCGTGATGTGTGGGACACTTCTCTTAGCACGATGAACGCGACGCAAGAACGGCAATCCAAACGCTGCACCAAGTAAATCGACCGAGGGGTTGCGTTGGCGACGTCGACGAATGTTCTTCCTGCCACGGGCCATTGCACTGGAGCTAGATGTTCAGCGCAACGAATTAGTGGCGGTGCTCGTCGTGGATGTAGTTTTCCGGCATGAAAGCTGAATAATCCAAAGATGGATGACAGAACTAAAAGGAGAGTGAAGAAGTTGGAGAGGAGGAGCGGGAGGGAGTGAAATGAGGGAGGTGGGAGGAAAGAGGAGGAAGGGAGTGGAGGTGGAGGTAGGGAAAGAGAAATCCAAGATCAAGAGGGAGGTAAGGTGAAGGTGAGGTTGAGATGCGCGCGTCTCCCGCGTGAGAAGTTGGATTGGTTGTGTTGTTGCGCGTCCCAGGATTTCTGTGGCAGGCCGTTGGCAGCTGGCAGCCACTCGGAAAGCCGTCTCCGCCCAGACAGGCGCAGAGTAGAACGCTGCAAGCTATTTGCTAGCAAGGAAGTTCCAAGAGCTGTCGGGATATCTACCTATATATATTTCATGCGGTCAGTCACATCTTAGCATCCATATAAATGGACTTACCTCGCACGTCGAGGACGAGACCTGGTCGCCGATGCAAGTATCCGACAGGCGTCTCTCGGATCCTCTTCTTCTGCTTGCCGTCGTATCAGTGTCTTCTCAATCCTTCAAGAAGTCAAGAGTGAGCTCTTCGATATTGGAACCCTATGCCGGAACTCTGTGTGCTGGGAATGTGTGAAAGAGGGAGAGAAGCGGAAGAGACGAGATATCTATAGCCTTGTGTTCAAATATCATCTCCGTTTCTCTCTTTCCCCTTTCAATCAAACGTCATACATGTTTGCATGTTCGTTTCTTCTTATACCTGCAATAACAAACGAGCCTGATGGCATCAACAACAAACCAGTGGGGCCGGTGTTGGCAACTCTTCGTCAGAGGGATCCACCGCATCCTCACTCTCATAAACAACGTACACAACCTGCCAACGTGCATCAAACACAGTTCACAAACGGTATTAAGGAAACGGAAAGCCAGTCTCTATGTCCTGGTCAATTCATACAGTGATATACATCTCAAATGCGCTTTTGTCTACATGAGAACCATTTCGTCCCAATTTATTCCCATCCGATCCACTCCCTACTGATCCGAGAATTTAGTCAACGCGGAGGACGCGAGCGCCCCTCTTCTTCTGAGTCTTCTTCTTCTTTTGGCCTCGCTCAAATGCAGCGGCGGCCGAGTGGTCACGCAGAACGTTATCGAGGTCCTTGACCTTGTAGATGCGGATGATCCAGTTCTCACTGGTGAAGGCCTCCTCAACAGTGTTGAGAACGGGACCCTGATCTGGCATACGAACGCCACGAACTCGGTCAACAGCCTGACCCGAGGGGAAGAGGGTGTTGTAGTTGTAGTACGACATCTTGTACCTGTTGCATATCATTAGCTCGAGAACATCCTCAATACACCAGTCCGAAACTTACATCAAGCTGTTCTTCATGGTCTCGGTGGCATCGCCATCGACCTTGTACTCGCCACGAGCGGTAAAGAAATCACGCTCCTTGACCTCATCAGGCCAGATACCCTCAGCGATACGGACCATCCAGAGGAACTTGTTGATATCGTCTCCAGAGTAACCCAGGAGACCACCAAAGACGACCAGAACGTAGTCGACTTCGTGCTGTCGCATGATAGGGTAGCTGACCTCCTCGCGGGAGCTCATGGCCTTGCCGACAGTCGCAATATGGGTGTTGTTCCAAGTGTTGTTGTCAACCAAGGTGGGTCTGTCAGCCATGCCACCAATCTGGTAGCCGTAATCCCACCAAGACATGATCTTGGCATCCTCCTTGGTGTTCTGGCGGAGCCATTGGTAGGCCTCTCGGTAGTCATCAATGATGTGCTGGCTACCGTCAGGTAATCGGCTCGCCAAGACCACGGAGGGCGAGGAGTAAGCGTTAGAGGTAACCCAGGTGCAGTGGGTAACGAACATGAGCAGGTAAATGGTCATGGCACCAGTGACAACAACCTTGGAGAGGTTGTTGAAGATGCCAACGTTGGGCTTCTCCGTAGCCCTGAGGCCGCCCTTTGCCTTCTTGGAAGAGCCGTCAGTGCCGGCGGCAGGAGTCTCTTCAACCTCGGGGGCTTTCAAGGACAGGTAGGTGTCCAGGATTTGCGACACGGCGATGGCGGCGGCGACACAGACCACGGGAGTCAAGGTCAGCATGAGACGGACCATGACACCAGCGAAGTAGCTTCCAAACATGGCATAAACCACGATGAAGACATGCTCATCTCTGAGGTTCTGGAAGCACAGATAGACACCGGCGGGGAAGAGCCAGATAAGGAAGTTCAGGTCGAAGAAGAACGAGGGCCAGGCGGTCGGCTGGTGTTCGGAGACGGAGGCAATAATGGGAATGTGGATCTTGGCGTAGCCGGTGTCCCAGAGAGAGTAGAATCGACCACCCCAGGGAGCGATGTATCCAAGGGAGGTCAAGGCGACCAGGCCGGCGAGACCCAGGCCGAACGTCGCCACGAGGAGAGTAACAAGGAAAGTCTGGAACTGTCGTCCAGAGATTGCGGATCGCACGAATTGAATGAAGCCAATGAGCTGGAGGAAGCCGAAGATGCCTGTTTAAAATGTCAGAAACGAGTCAAGAAAAGGGTCCCATATAACATACCCAATGCCGGCATGTGCTCGCTGGTCTTAACAGGGAGGAAACCGACGAAAGGAATCTGCATGCTGGCCAGCGTGCCGAGGGCGTACCATGTCGTGTAGCTGACGTAGAGTCGAGTGCTGTATCGACCCATGCAGATAAGGACAAGGGCGTGCATCGGCAGGAGACAGGTAATGAAGGCATAGCCACCCCACGAGGCCACCATGTAACCGTAGAAGAGCGCACACAGCGCACCCCAGAGCATCGATCCGAGCTTGAGAGCCTTAATCCACAGGAAGAAGGTGAAGACGAGCAGGAAGATGGCAATGGCTTCGTTGTCGTAGCTGCCAGCGACGGATCGCGAGATGTAACCAGGCGCAATACCCATGAAGATGGCAGCAAGGAGACCAGCCGAGGGCGAAGTGGTCATCTCGTTGGTCAGAAGGTAGGTCGCGTATGCCGTGAGGCCGGAGAAGGCGGGCGCGAGAAGGACGCAAATGTTCCTGATGTCGACGGGGATGGTGAGGGCGCGAAGAGCATGGTAGATGGCACCGCTGGTGACCATCAGACCGGGATAGAGGGTACCTCCGGTAACCCGACCGAGAGGATGCCATGTGCGATCATCAAACCAATCCCAGAACTTGTAGAATCCATTGGCAACAAGGTATTTCGTCGCTCGGAAGTTGAACCACGGGTCAACTATGGCCTGGTCAGCACGTCACGGCAAAAAGCAGTTTGGAATCGCCGGGGTAACGAACACTCGTGGATAATACTCTCGAAACCTGCGCCGGATCTGTTAGCAAGACGACTCGATGCATTGTGGTCGAGGGCATGATGCCGCCAACAACCAAGGCGAGGAAGCTGGCTGCTCGGGAGACTTACGAATAACGGAGAAGAGACGGCTGGAAATGGCAGCACCAGCAATGAAAAAGAGGATGACAACTCGGAGCAATGTTCTCACTTTGGGCGCCGTCACTCCTTCGAGGAGATCCTGGGATTTGGCCGTCATGATGGCCGCGAATGTCGAGTGTCGACGATGGTTGCGCTTGAGTTGATGCAACTTGTCGAAGCCGAAACCCAGATGTCACCTCCACGACGAAGGCGAGAGGACAGCTTGGAGCTTACCGGCGCCAATCAACGAATGGCGCAGGGGCGGTGGATACGGGGGTACGTACCTTGACACGAAGCTCTCGGCAGACACGCGCGGCAGGAACCGCGGTTTTTCCGGGTCCCTATTGTCAGCACGGCATCCAATGAGCATCAGTTCACTCACTCCAGAGTCAACAGATAGCCATTTTTATGTACGTCAACCTCGAGCCGTGGGGACATTGTTTTGCAGGGGCATCTCAGCCTTGTGCAATTGATATCACCGGGACAAGCCATCTCCCATTCAATTGTTTGGCGGGGCCATGGCTGTACTTCCTGCGTTCTTATCCTCCCCAAATGTCCAATACAAAGGGGGGCATGTGTTCAAGCCAGCCGACCATGTCAGTCATATTGTCGATACCAATACGTCACAGGCGTGTCACCAAAACCATGTAATCATCAGCTAGAGCGTTAAATCAGGAATCCATGGAAACCATGACACGCGGTCCCATTGGCGACTTGTCATCTAATTTTGTGTATTGTACACCTGCTCACTCATTGTAGAACAGGGACCTAGGAAACCTCTATGCAAGTGCCGCCACGTGTATCCTCAAATCATACACCGAGTCTTGGTCGAAACTCGGATTAGGCCTCGGCAGGACTTGGCTCTCCACGGTTGGTCGATATGCTGACCGTTGCAGTGTCCTCTCGGCGTCCTCCTCCTCCTTGTCGGTATCCTCCCTTCACAGTCCAGACACAACTTTACGGGTTCTCCTTGGCAACCTTCAACAGCAGCTTCTCGAGATCGAACTTGGGATTCGAAGGGTCGGTAATGACTGTGTCGTTGGTTAGTCCGAGTCTTCCTGGGCAGCAGCGCCCGCGGGGCACTGGCAGGTCGAACTGATTGCAATGCAACCAATTGCCCTACGTTCCGGCTATACGTACCATCGTCTGCTGATGCGGCGGCGGGGTTGGACTTGGCCGCAAACTCGGCCTTGGCCCTCTGAATCAACTTCTCCTTCTGCTCATACTCGTGCTTGGCATGCTCGGCTTTTTGGGCGCTGGTGATGGATCGCTGGTGGGTGAAGCCGTAAAAGACGCCCAGTCCGAGGGCAGACCACCGCAAAACCTGTACATTATCCAATTAGCCTCCTGGTCCAGATCCGGTGCGATTGAATGCGTGACTGCGCTGCTCTGCTCGATGGTTGGGATGTTCGAGACTGGGCCGCGGGCGAGCGGGCAATCGGGCAATCGGAGAGGATAAGACGCACGTTCACTCCGGTCGAGGCCATTAGGAAGGGAGTCGCAAAATGGGGCGACGGTGTCGGAAAGCGAAAGGAGGGTTGATACGATAGTCGGGGGTCGACAATGGCTTGTCAATGGACCCTGTCGGGGTGGCTCGAGGGAATTACTGCGTCGGCGTGAGGTGAAGGATTGGAAAAGTACTCGGGAAAAGTCGCAGTTTTTCCAGGTTCGCAGCGAAACCACGGCCGGCGGCTGGGAGCTCGGGCGAGCTGGCAGCCAGTGAACCGGCCGGCGGAATCACGTGCCGGGCCCATTCCCCCCTTGGGCGATGCAACTTCAGGCCGGTACGTACTACCCATTAGACCCTCTGGGCGCTAGAGTGGTCCCCTGCAGGGGGCTGCAGTGTTCCCCTCTGGCGCTGGAGTGTTCCCCTCCGGTGCTGGAGTGTTCCCCTGGCGCTGAAGGTGAACCCCTCTGGGCGCTGGAGTGTTCTGGGACCTCTGCACCGTGTTTGATTGGCGAGGTGAGCTCCAAAGGATCGCCAAAACTACAAAGAGACATGATCAACCAGGTGGAATCTACACTTGCGCAACAACACCAACTTCCTACACATCACACATACATCAACTTCGCTTGAGCTTCTTTCCAGCTTCCATCTTCCCTGATTTCTCCTACAGGAATCTCCGTCTTGAGACACTTGACTCTCGCTTTCCTTCACCGTCCCGTCTTGAATAGCTCCCACCCCCCAGCATCTTCCAGTCCCGTAATGGGACTGTGGAACAAGCACAATGCAACAACGTCGAGATGAGATTCTTGCCAAGAGAGCAAAGCTCGCAGAGCTTAAGCGGCAGAGGGAGCTTCGGAGCCAGACCACTGCCGGTCGCGCCAGCATCGGCGCCCCCAACGACGTTTGTTCCCCAATATCCCACCGCTCCGCGCCAGTGTTTGTCCTAACACCTGCCCCCCAACAGTTGATATCGCCCACGCCTGGAAGAGCAGACAGTCGCCGCGAAATCGAGCACCTCCTCGCGAGCCTAACCAGCGATAGCAGACCCGGATCGACCACCACCGGGGGCGCCGCCTCCCCTGCCCTGCGCGGCAGCCGTCCCAACAGCGTCCTCAGCGCGGGCGAAATTAGCAACGAAACCTCCGAGAATGCTCCTCCTTCTAGCATCCAGGCCCCCCCTCGACCCATTAGCCTCACTACAGCCCCCCTCACTACCGTCTACGAGTGTCCGCCATCCCCAGTGAAGGAGGTCTTTTCCTACAGCAAGGGAGTCCAGACCACCGAGGACTGGATGCTCCCGAGCAGACCACGAGCCCAATCGCTACTGTCAGAAGCTGATGACCTACCCGGGACAACCTCGTCGCCCAGCAAGAGGCTGAGTAGGAGGGAGCGGGATCGGGAAGAAGAGTTGCGACAGAGGATTAAGGAGGAGGTGGAAGAAGAGCTGAGGGCCACCAGGGAGTTTCTCACGGATGGCGTTGTGCCTCAAGGCACATTTTCGTCAACAAACCATCCTGCGCGGAACCTCACCACCGAAGAGCTCGATGCGGTGGCGCAGTCTGATGAGTTCATCGACTTCCTTGACAAGTCGACCAAGGTGATTGAGAGAGCCCTTGATCAAGAGAGCTACGATATCCTCACAGACTATGCACTTCAAGGTCAAGATGTGGACGACGAAGAGGAGGTGGGCGGAAATGCGGACGGTCGCGGAAAGCACCGCGTGAAGGAGGTTGCTCAGTTCTTCGACGACCGTTGGTCCAAGAAGCGAATGATCAGTGGAATTGACTTCTCGCCCAAGTTCAGCGAGCTGCTCCTTGCGTCGTACACGAAGAACCCCACCGCTCCACACGAACCCGATGGTCTGGTCCAGGTGTGGAATATGCACATGCAGGACCGCCCAGAGTATGTCTTCACTGCTCAGTCGGATATCTTGACAGCCAAATTCTCCCCCTACCACAACAACCTCATTGTCGGCGGCTCGTACAGTGGTCAGGTCTTGCTTTGGGATACGAGAGCCAAGGCAGCGCCTGTTCAGAAAACACCACTAACAGGATATGGACACGCCCATCCCATCTACTCGGTCGACATCGTCGGTACCCCGAACGCCAACAACATCATCTCGTGCTCTACAGATGGTGTTGTTTGCGGTTGGAGCATGGACGTGTTCGCACAGCCCCAGGAACTCCTCGAGTTGAAGAACCCTAGTCAGGCCAAGGTGGTGGTCGAGGACGTGAGCCCTACATGCTTGGCCTTCCCTGAAGCCGACCCCACATTCTTCCTCGTCGGCAGCGAGGAGGGAACTATTTTCCCTTGTCGCAGATATGACGACGCCGGAGCCAAGGCTGGCGTCGACAAGAAGATCAGCTACAAGGGCCACACTGCGCCTATCATGTCAGTGGACTTCCATCCCGCTAAAGGACCGGTCGATCTCAGCGATCTTGTCATTTCGTCCTCTTTGGATTGGAGCGTCAAGCTCTGGAAGGTTCGCGCTCCTACGGCTTCCTCCACCACCGGTACCGGCGACGGCAGTATTGCGCCATTGATCGACTTCATGCGAGAGGATGTCGTGTACGACGCAAAGTGGTCGCCCACCAAACCCAGCGTCTTCGCGCTGGTAGACGGGGCCGGCTTTCTTGAGCTCTGGGACATTGCTGTGGAGACCGAGGAGCCCGTTTCACGGTTAACGCCTAGTCCTCGAAAGGGCGGTAGGACCCAGCTCTCCAAGAGTTTGAACAAAGTGGCCTGGGAGCGGAATGAGGGCAAGCGTCTCGCCACCGGTGGAATCGATGGCTGCTTGACCGTGTTTGAGGTGGCTAGCGGTTTGGGTGGCAAGGAGGGTTCGAAGCACGAGGATTGGGCAAACGTCAAGAAGCTTGTGAATCGCCTTGAGGCGGTTGGCCTGAATGGCGCGGTGATGGTTTAGCGCGCTGTTGTTGGAGGATTGTCAGACAGCACACTGGACACGATTTCTGTTGTTGAGATTGTTGGCAATAGATACTTATCCTGTATACCCCAAAGAGTATGATTAGAACGATCAATGATTTCGAACTGCATGATTACCATGCTAACTTTGTTTAGATAGATGGCCGCGTTTGCTTTGTTTGGCCTACCCTGCAGAACTTGCTTTAGCCACCGGGATGGCATCATTTGGAGCTCAAGGCGATCATCGGCTGGATGGGTGCTGGTCTGCTTTTAGGTAGTGTCGTTTTATGGTCAAAAATATTTAATTTCCCAGTCATTCATATCAAGATGCCGCAGTGTCACTGGTGGCTGTCCCTTACGGCCCCATTTATGATGCCATGAAGGGACTCATGTGCAAATTTTATTTTAAATTTCATCTTCATTGATAGTGATAGAGCCTTTATCAAATGAGAAGAGAAAGGCAATACGAGAACAAAATAACATACCATCAGTCAGAGTGCTTCATTCTCAAGAGTTACAGATGATGGGTAGGTAGCAGGGAGCTGGTGTTGGAGTATCCAATCACGTGACACCAGTTCCACTCGCTCATATCAAGTTTTCCGACGCGAGCCTCACGTCTCTTCTTACTCTTCCTTCAACTGTTCCCCTTCATGGATGAGGCACCTACCCGTGCGCATGGTGCGCCCTTGGGACCATCTTCAATTCCATGACAAGAGCCTCGGTATCACCAATTCTGGTTCACAATGCTTGCCGCTGGTGGGGGGATCTCCCAAATATGGCGCGGTTGATGGATCCTGGTAAATGGTAAGTCGTGTCCTCTCACATTTTCCTTCAACACACTTTCATGATGTATTCATTTTTATGAATTCTGCAATTCTGAATTCCATCGTGGCATCACGCTACTTTGGTTTCATGTTGACACCTTTTTGCTGAGCGAAGCGCGAACTTAATCATTTTCTGTCGTCCTCTACTTCTCTAGATGATGCTAATACAAGTCTAAATAGTGTCAACACATGTTTCTCTTCCTAAGTCTCGGTTGGCGCGCCCTGAGGGTAGCGGGTCCCGGACACCTGAAAGCTGTGCACAATGTCGTTGATAGTCTTCATCTCCTCCTCACTTAGTTCAATGACCACGGCGTTTTCCTCAACCCGGGCCTTGGTGGTAGCGCCCGGGATGGGGATGACGGTTGGCAGGCCGGGGCTGTTGCTGAGACCTCGTAGCCACGCAAGGGCAAGCTGGGCCGGAGTACATCCCTTCTTCTCTGCCTGAGCCTTGACTTGGTTGACGAGCTTGAGGTTGTGTTCCAACGCCTCTGCCTGGAATCGGGGGAAGTGAGAAATCATCCCTAAGTTCTTGACGTCGGAAACATCGGTAAATCTTCCCGTAAGCATCTGGCTTCTTGTTAGCTGTGGCCAATGTGGAGTACCGTCGGGTTCAACATACACCTCTCCCGATAGGAGAATATGCCAGAATCGGGATGTCGTACTGGGCACACGCCGCAGCAACCCCGTTGTTCAAGATGTCCGGGCTGAACATGCTCAGCTCAACCTCTGCTGCAATAATCTTGGCATGCTTTGAAGCCTCGTGGATGGTCTCAGCGCTGCACTCGGAAACGTAAACGCCCCCAATCTTGCCCGTGTCAATGTACTCCTTCTGGATAACCCCGAGAGTGACTTCGAGAGAGACGGAAGGATCTCTCCTCGCGTATGCGAAGCCGTCGATCTTCTTGGTCCCACCAAGCTGAGCGATGATGTTGTCGAGTGATCTCCGAACGCCTTCGGGCGACCCGTCCAGGCTAAATTGCCCGGGAACCACGCCACCCTTGATGAAAAGGGTGACCTTGTCGGCGTCCTCGGGGTACTTGGTAAAGTAGTGCTTAAGCACGGTCATGCTGTTGTACTCTGGTGTTCCGTAAAACTCGCCAGCGTTCCACACAGTGCAGCCTTTCTCAAGCGCAGTGTGCATTGCCTCCAGGGCCTGGTCCAAAGGCGGGGGAACAGGTCTCCAGGTTAAGCCTGATGGTGTTAGATATCATCACGATGCTGTTATCCTTGCTGAGAGAACGTACCCATAAGGCCGTAGCCCAGATTGCCGACTTCCTTTCCTAGAATTTGAACCATGGTGATGTCTAGATGTTAATGATAAAAATCTTAATAGTGAAGAATGAAGACGATGGGATTTTGATGTTGATAAGTATCGGTATTGACAGACCTGGACAGCGTATATATATTCGTGTAAGACTCCTCTCAATCCCTCAGCTATTCGTGCGATCTACTTACAATCGGCGGAGCACCTAAACTCCACGACGCAGCATCGTCGGCTTTACATTCGAAACATTCTGTAAAGCCGACGGACTCTTCGAATCGCAAGACCCCCACTTTCAGGGATACGAAATGGACGGTAGCTCAAATATGCCGTTTTGGAAGACTCAAAAGTACCCACTCCCTGAGAGGACTGTTTTTAGTGGTCTGGCGCTGCTTGCCTCTCGGCTTTCGGATCACGGAGTTAATGATGTGACATGGCGTTCGGGAACCCCTCAATTGGTGCAGCAAACGTAAATTGACGGACATAGCATAGTACAAAGCAACCTAGACTGTAGTTGCGATTAAAATTCAATCAAGAAATCGTCGGATTTATCCACGTGCACTTGAGGAATCCCTTCATCTTCCTCCCTAGGATCCTCCGTCTCCGAGTCCTTGTCCTTCACCGATTGAGCCTGGTGCTCACTGACAAGAGCTCTCGCCTCGAGTTGCGATCCTCCTACCGGAACCGGAATATTCCTCTGCTTCCGCTTTTTCGACGGCTTATGCGTTCCTTTGTCATGCAGCCCTGGCGGCATTGAAATCACACCGGTCGAGGCGAGCCACCAATCCGGGAAGTCCGTCAGGCCGACCATGGCGAGTTCCTCAGAGGTTCTTGGCATCGAGTGTTGGTACCGGCATACCGCACCCCATTTGCACGTACCATGGTGACACCAGTAACGGCAGAAGGAGCCCTTTGGCTTGGCAGATTTGGTCCAGGCGGCTCGTGGACGAGGGGAGGCGAAACGCTGAGGGGTCGGGTTGTTGTAGCGACTAGATGCGAGGCCTTGGGGCGCGCGGCGGGCGGGTTTCGATCGAGTATTGCGAGTTGCGACGCTCCCGACGCTGGACGGCGGCTGAGGAGAACAGGAACTAGGCGAGCGGGCTGCAGATTCGTCCGATTCGTCGCCGACTTCGTCCTGGTCCTGGTCCTGGCTCTCTGCGTCCTCGTCGAGACGGTGGAACTTGAGGCGGTAGGAGTCGGACTCGGCGTGAAAAGACCCAAGGTTGGTCATCCCCACCGTCTCTTCAGGTCGGAGACTGCGAGGAACGCCGCCGACATCCAGCCATTCCGGGAGCAAGTCGATGGGGATGAGCGGGACGATGGTGCCGGGCTGGACGATGAGCTCGCCCGCCGTGGTGAACCGCTCCAGCCCTGGACGGATGAGGAAGAAGAGAGGCCTTGGGGAAGGCATTTTGGCAAGGGGAGATTGTGACGAAGAACTGGTAATGAAAAACCAGATCGGCGTTGCGGATGCAGATGTGGTGTCCTTATATCAGGCCGGGCCCGCGCATACGGGCAGCCGCATGTTTGCTAGAACAGTGCGGTGACGCATCGCCGGTGGTTTGCTGCGAGACAAACACGGGCTAGTAAATGTTTCTATCGTGCTTCCACCCGGATCTTAACGTCAAGCCCGTCGACGCAGTACCCAAGCTGCCTGGGGCCGTCTTTTAGTTCCACCTCTCTCTTGACCCATCGTCCCGGTTTGCCTGAAGTATCCTCTGTCGCATGCGCATCTATCCCTTGGCGTTCCCTCTCTTCTTCCGCTTCCTCTTCGTCACTGCTGTCCCCCTCTTGATCGTCAAACCCAGCGACGGGGTCCCATTCTCCCGTTTCCCAGATCAACCCCAGCTTCAGCGGAGCTAAGCCGAAAAGCTTCCCGGCGATGCCCTTCACCGCGTACATGTCATAAGACTTCGGGATCTTGGATGCCCTCTCCTCCCCATCCTGGTAGTGGAACCCGACATTGATGAGTCGCGCATCGAGGAAGGCCGGGTTGACGTCTGGTCGGCGAACAATGCTGGGCTCGCCGTGGATTTCGCATAGTTCTGCATAGCGGGGGTGAAGCGCTAGGATGTCGGCCTCTTCGGTCTCCGCTACGGCTGAGAGCTGCTTGCCAATCCGGGAGAGATAAAACATCTCCGCGTTGGAGCGATCGGATGTGGTGATTTGGCTAAAGTTGAGGGACTGGAGCGAGGCGACCCGGGCGACGGCGAACATGTGAGACTCTTCTGAAGAAGAGGCATCTGCATCAGCGGCATCATAGACAGGATTGTGGCTGATCCGCAGGCCCGTTAGACCAGGCAGATGCTTCTGGAGCTGATCTATAAATGACCAGGATTGAATGTTGTTGTAGGACACGTCAAGGTACTGCACCGATGGGGAGAAGATGGGTGCCTCGGAGTCCTCTGGGGCAAGGGCTGTGATGTTGTTTCCCTTGAGGTGGATGTTGCGGAGCGTAGTGAGGGGAGCGAGAGCGCCGACGTCCGCAAGAGTTGTAAAGTTGTTGATTTCGAGGTTGATGGTTGTCAGAGTGGATGCCAGGCTATGGTAGTTGATGATGGGCAGAGTGTGCAGATGGTTGGAGCTGGCATTGAGGGTCGTCAGGGACGGGCATTTCTCCGCAAGGTGGCATACCTCCTCCCAGCTCATCATCGTCTCCTCAAGAGCCAGCTCCTTGACACCACCGAATGCCCCTACGGAGCTGTCGTCCAAAAGACCCTGGAACCGGCTGCCACTGTGCCGATGTTAGCAATCTGGGCGTTGTTTGTGGTAGGGCAAGCGGGACATACCCGAGGTTCAAACTGTTGAGGGCCGGCAGCTCACGACAAATATCCATGACCGGACCCAGCCGGTCAAACAAGTTGCGGCCGAGACCCAGCTGCGTGATCTTGGGACACGTCCTGGTGATGGTGCCCTCATCCTCGTCGTCGGCCAGGGCGGTCAGCACCTGCAAGTCCTCCACGATGACGACCTTGAGCTCGCCCACGTTGGCCTGCTTGCGGCGGATCTTCTCGAAGCCGACTTCCTCGGCGCGCTTCCCGAAGAAGATGATCTCCTCGGCGGCTCTGCGACCGTCGGGGAGGGTGTACTCCCCGGCGTACTTGGCGTTGACGGCTTCCAGGAAGCTGCGCGGCGGGTCCGCTGGCCGCGAGGGACGCACAAAGGACGCGGCGGTGGGCGATTTTGAGATGCCTAAGACACGTCCGTTAGACAAACCGAGCAAAGAAGAAAAAGCGCCCTCCCAGACGGCAAGTTACATGAGAAGTAGCGGACGCCTTTGTGACAGCCGTCGTGTTTGCCGCGGGTTGCGTCGTCCCATTCCACGCCGAGCCAGGTGCCCGCTGTGCCTGCGACTTCGCCGACGAACCTCACCGTACAGAGGGCTCCGTCGTAGGACACGCGCTGTCCGATGCGGTGTGACGCGGGCATTATCGAAACCGGAAAAAGCGCTATGAGTGAGGAATGTTGAATTTGCGGGCCATGCTCTAGGGATTCTGAGGTGTGGATATGCTGAGAGACGGTGCTCAGGCAGCAGAATTTGTGGTTGCGACTTGTGAAGGCGGTGGCTTCCAGTGAGCGAGTTAGTTGGTGGATTGGCAGAAGTGACATCAAACATGGCAAGTATTTGCGCCATTTTATCCAGAGCAAATGGGAGTAATTGGAAAATATCCCACTCTTTTCTAATCATGTATATATACGTTTAAAAAATATCTATCCTCGACTTTTGTCGCTTTTGTGGTGTCCCTTTGCTTCAGAACGCATTCATTCTCTCTCACCCTACTAACCCAATCTCATGATGTTGTGCCACTTGATAGAAGCGCCACTGCTGGGAGGCAATTTTGCACCAAGGCTTTTCGAAAGAAAGAAAATCCCGGTTCTCAAGCATTCAATATCGAAGTGCCATTTTCCTCGTCTTCTTCCCAGGCCAACATATTCTTTGTGCGCTCCATAAATAGGTACAAGTTGCAACAGTCCCAGTCTGGGATGTTCCACGTTGCAGCACTCCATAACACCTAGTCAAATGTATGCTCAAGACTGTCGGATTCATTGTCAAATTCTTCATCGTCCTCCAAAAAGATTCTGTCTTATTCATTGTGCACCTTCCATCCTGGCTGCCGAAATTCTTCCAGGATCCCGGGTAGAAGAGATATAGATCGGGGCAGAGAGCCACGTAGTCCTTCGCCGCAGGTTACGCTCATGTCTTCCTCTTGCTCAATGTACTCTGATTATACAAGACCAGATATAGACACGTTTGGTTTATACCAACAAAGCATACCACGTTGTTCCACATCTAGCCCGCCAGCCCTTTTCCCTATACTGCAAGTTTCCTTCACTCACGCAGCATCTTCTCGAAAGCCTGTGTCTTAGTGCGATTGATGGCCTCGTACTCGGTGAGTAGATCGATCTCCTTCCTATTATACCGGAAGCTTACCCTTGAAGAAATATGCTATTAACCGACCCAAAGTTGAAAATCTCATTGCCGTTTAAGTCCATCTCAATTGCGCCGAGGTTGGGCATCTCGATAATCTATCGGCCAGCCCCACCGTATTTCAGTGATGCCACCCCACTGTACAGCGCCTTCATCTCCGCCCCGATCAGACTCAACGCAACGCCACCCATACCATCAACACGCAATTCACCGTCGCAACGATGGACTCGTCATGTTCCATCGAGTGCGAGACCCGATGCGCTGAACTCATCTCCTTTGGGATGCTTCTTCAGCGCCTTTCTACAGAGACCGCCTTGCTTGACCAGAAGCCTCCCTCTCGCCACTCTCAAAAAGCGGATGCCAACGCACCAGACCGCCATACGAAACCAGAGACGCCCAGGAAGCCTGTGAGCGGATCAAGGGCCTAGCGCTAGCTCCAGTGCATCTTACGGGGATATAAGGGACCTGGATTGAGTGTTATTCCACTGGAAAGTACGAAGTCTGCATCGAAAGATCAAATCACCACGTCATTAAGCATCGGCCACACTCGAGGTTTGGTGAGGGAGCTGTCTACACTGAACAGAACTTGACTGTCATAAATTCAAGAAAATTCAATTGATTCTTATCTGCTAGTTAATAACTAAGCAATTTGTTGGTATCGTTTCAAAAAAAAAAATTGTACAAAAGAGTGTAGATGGTTGCAATTTGTCGCTTTACATGAAAACATTTCCGTGTTGCTTCAACACACCTCAGCGGACCATGCCTTGGCCCCGATCACATTCCTCCAAGAACCTGTAGATCCCTTCGAGACCTTCAAAATCCTCGGATGGGTGTCCGCCTGAACTCATAGGAGGCGACATCGTCTCATAGCCTTCAAGATCAGAAAGCCATGGGTTGTCGCCCACCTCATCCATGAAGGCCTCTCGGACGAAGTCATCATCCTCCAACGATGAGGACGCATCCCATTCATAGCCCTCCACTGATCGGACTGAGCCGCCGAGTGACATGAGAGACTTGGGGACATCCGGTGCGAAGGGGAATCTGAGGGCCATCGGAACACCGACTGCTACACCAAAGTCGGCATCTTCGCCCACAATCCCACGCTGAATCCCAATGTCATCGCATAGTCGCTCAATGGTTTCAGCATCGACTCCAGGGAATCGAACGCGGAGAATGTTTTTCTGCTCTAAATGGATCGGTAAATCGCCTAAAATGGCAAGACGCCGAAGGTCCGCGTAGATGGCTGTTAGGTCCTTCAATGCTCGGCCAAAGTCAGCCGAGAGACAATCGAGGAATCCCTCGGTGTTGAGGGAGGCACCAGCAGTCGCAGCATTGGCCTTGAAGCCGCAGGCCTCGGACGCAACGGGGATCGCGGCAGCAAGGGGGCTGAGAGCGGTCACGGTAGGGCTGAGGTTGAAGTCGATGAAGGAGCCGGGGGAGGTGCGGGGAATAGATGAGAACTTGTGCATCGCCTCGTCCTCGATGGGCGAGACGGCACGGTATTGCCGACCACCTCGAGAATCCAGGCCGTCGTAGCGGAGCTTCTGGCCGGAAAGGAAGAAGGCCCTCATTGCCTGGGATACATTCTGTACCACCTGAGCCGGAGCTGCGGGGGTATGCGAGAAGTACCGGGCACCACCGCCCAAGCTATAGCCGCCAGCAGATCGAGGCATTGCGCCGCCCGTCAAGTTCGGGCGAAGGGTGCTGGCGAAAGGAGCACGGCCAGAGGATCGTCCAACTCGTTGCGAGGTGTTGGACACCGGTAGCTTGGATCGGTCAAATCGGGTAGACTTGGATTCGGTGCTGATGAACCGCTTGGCTGCGCGGCTAAAGTTCTGGACCGCAGAGGTCGAGAACCATCTGGGGTTGCGTTTCTGTTGTCGGAGAACCGCGACAGGGTGGATTGGCTGTCGTGCAAGTCGGACGGACTTGAGTCCGATGGTTTGGAATTCGGTCTGGAGTGGGCGCGTCAGAACGACCAGTTTGGCGCGAACCACGTTTGTGGTTTTGGCCACAGCGACCCGGAGGAGCCGTCGGGTCGCTGGACCCCACAGCGCTTCCAGAGAAGCCATTTTGAAGAGTTTCGTCAGTGTCAATCCAACGGGAGTTGGAGAGTTGAGGTGTGGAGGCCAAGTCTAAGGCACCCAGATGGATCGTGACGGGGCTTTATGCAGCGATAAGATTCGCCACACCGCTGATAGCGGAGGATCTCGGATGCACCGCCACACCGGCGCCCTCCTGAGATTGCGGGGCACAGGGTAGGCCACGAATGGTCTAGCGTATTTGTACAGTCAGCACCTATATCTTCTCCATCAAGAAAATTTCTGAATTCCTTCCTTTCCCATCCATCCTCCTCACAACAAGCTCAGGCGCGCGATGCAAGTGCATGGTCCAGCCTGGGCTCCCACCACCCTTAATTGCTTCCAGGTAAGGCACCTTCTTTCCCCCGTACCCCCATTTTCTGTGATGATCAACTCCTTATATATGAACAATCCAAATCATACCAACCCCATGGTGATTCACTTACCCTGAGAAAGAGCTCTGGAAAACAGCTTTGCCAGGACAGCAGAAGAAAACCTTTACTGACAGGCACTAGTCTTTTTTACTTTCCAGTTCGCTCTGCATATGTGACGCGTCGCGCGTTGTTGATTTTTTATAAAAGGTTCGTTCGCTTTTTTTCTTTTCTTTCACTTTATTCTTGCTCCCCCTCTCCGTGTGATGATCAAACCGACACCTTAGGGATTCCTCATTCTTAAAATACTATGTGGATATCGTTGTTTTAGTTTCAGCCTTGTCTGACTGGAGATCGCAACTCGCAATTTATGTTTGACGACTTGGAGTCACAGCTGCTAACATGCATTGTGACAGGTACTTTTAACTCTTCCCTATCCGAGCACATACCCACTGTATGAGGAAGATTTGAACGAACGGGCGGACATAAACGAGTACCAAAGCCTCCTGCCCTAGAAAAGCAGGGACGTACAAATCCTTGTGGTGGGAGTGCGGTGGGACCTCTTGTTGATACTTCGTCACCTGACTGTGGACTCTGAAATTGGATTCTTGTCGATGCTTAGTGAAGGAGGTGGCGGCTGACTGTTACGAATTCAGGTACTACAAACCATTTCTTCTTAATGCTTCGATGCGTTTGTGATGAGCAGTTCAAACGTATTCACACTGTTTGACTCGGCGATCTTCGGATTGCTGGGACATGAACACAATTTAACAACTTCTGATATTGCATCGGTATGTCCATGAGTGCCTGATGTTTGACGACTCCCAACTGACCTTTTGCTAGATTGTGGCCTTGCTTTATTTGACGTCTCAGAGAAAGCCAGACGCTAACTGGCTTCGCCATAGGTAGAGATGTCCCACGATGACATGTTTTTATGATGTTGGATGTGTGGTAAGACGACCTTTTCTTCTTCTTCACCCCACCTACCATTTGATGACACATGCTATTTATAGCACTTCTGAGTTCATCGTGACGAACCAACCAATTCACCTTGGAGAACTGATATGGTCCTCTCAATAATACTTTGTCAAAGCTTGAGGATGATGACAGGAAGCTGACATCACTTGACAGATTTTACTCCAAATCCATTGTCCTAACCAAAAGACATGTACGATATAATGAAGACTAAAATACCAATGTTTTCTCTTGATTATCTGTTCCATGATGTTCTGTGATTGTATTCCAATCTATAGATGTGATATCTTATATGCGTCAAAAGATTTGGGTCTGTCCAAATCTAGCATCCAAAATCCGGTGTCCCTTCCCAAAATAAAAAATGTTTACCCTTCTAAATCCCAAGATTTCACTTCTTCTTATGCTGGAGTCTCGCGTTCATGCCGACGATGCATCGGATGAGGTCCCAATCGCCGTGGGCGCCTACCCAATCGGTGACAAGGATGCCGGTGCTACCAGATCCCACCTTGAGCTTCCTGGGACCCTTACCCTCATCGCCATGGCGAATGCACAAGTACTCGATCATGGAAGGGTTGAGCTTTGCAGCAACGCGCTCGGGCCAGCAGTTGGCGTTGAAGAAGTAATTGGCGCTGAGGAAGTTGACGAAGAAGGGGGGTGTCTTGGCTCCCTCCTTGTGGCCGTCCATGCCAGGAATGAGGAAGTTTTGCTCGGCGGCGCGCTCGAGCTGACGACGAGCGAAATCCGTCTTCTTCTCAAGGTTCTCGGTTTCCGTGACCTCGTAGAAGTCTTGTACGCGGATATGACCACCGCCAGTCTTGCCGTCCTCACAGTTATCCGGCCAAATCGAGGCGTCGATGCCCCAGCCACGGCCGTCCCAGCATGCCTTCTTCTGGTCATCGGCGATGGCGAAGCGACGAACAAGGATGATCTTGCCACGAGCGGCGCCGAGAGTGGGCACCTTGGGCTCTGTCCACCAGCGACCGCGCTTCTTGTCAACGTAGCTGTTCTTGAGGTACTTGCCCATCTGTTGGTCAGTGCCCTTGCCAGTGCCTTCGCGCTTAAGACTCAAGATGAGGGACTCGCTGGGGTTTTTGTCGAGAAACTCGTAGGTGTCTTCGAGAAAGTCTTTCAAATATTTGTTTCCAGTGAGGGAGATGGGGAAGGCGCCGTGGACGATGGTGAGCTCGTCATTGTCTGGGTTGGCAGAGACGCGGACATCGAGGAAGCGGACGCCGTTCAAAAGCTGCTCAGAGACGGTTGCTGACTGGCAACGGACGGAGGGTAGAGCTTTGTGATGGGTCGCAGCATTGTGGGTGCCGGGGATAGAGAGCATCGGAAGTGGCCAGTCGTCGTGGAGCTCCTTCATCCAGGCATTGAGACGGGCAGAAGAGAAGACAGCAAGGAAGGCACCGTTTTGAGTGTAGACGGCAGTGAGTTCCTTGGGGCCGTTGTCGAGCTTCTTCATGACAGCCGATTTGCGTGAGGGGCTGGGAACGTCGACCTCGTATTTGTGGTCGGCAACCTTGAAAGTGAGTCGGATGACCTCCTTGTTCTTGTCTGCAGCGCGAATATCGGTCTCCTTGGTCTTGAAAGGCTCGATGCGAACATTGGCCTTGTCCTTGTGGAGGGCCTTGCCCTGGGCTCGGGTCTCATGAGCGCTGAAGTCGGTGGCATTGATGAAGCCGGAGATGGCATTGGTCATGTTGGAGACGACATCGCCGGTTCGAACACGCTCGCCCTCGTAGCGCTCGATCTCGATGAGCTCGATGGTGTCCACAGTCAAGTTGCGGATGGTAAGGTTGGCCATAGTTGCGGTTGCGTGATGGTGGTGTCTCCGCACCTGCGAATTGAAGCGTCAGGGGGTTGGTATGCTGTGGTAATCGCCAGCAAAGGGAACAACAGAGCTGAAGTATCGCGCAAGAAGGGGATGAAAAGGCCAAGAGAGGAGAAGGAGGGGCTTTAGACGCTGCCAGAGCAACAGCTCAGCGTGGGTTGACTTGCGGTGGGCTTGGTGGGGGCGGCCCAGGAGTGGCCCGGGAGCTCATCGAGGCGCCCTGGATGCGCGGGGTCAGGGGCCATTCGGGCTGGAGGGGTAAGGGGGATCTCATGGCGGCGGGGGCAGGACAATCCAAGCACAGCTGAAGCTCTCCCCACTCGAGACGGCTTGGGCTAGTCAGCACTGGACGTCAGATCGGACAGTCCGGCCCAGCGCAGTGCAGCGCAGCAGCTAGTGAGATCCCTGGATTTCAGCACGTCCATGCAGTGCTGTGTCGGGGTCGGGGCTTGTAAAGTTGGGCATGGAGGCCAGTCGACCGAGTCTATTTGGCTGATGGCACCAAGGGTGCGTGGGATTGGCGGGGATCTTGAAGCTTGGAGAGGAAACTCAGTCGTCGTTCGGGTCCATTCGCTAGCTGGATACTCGAGGGGATTGCAACGTGCGAGTTGTGAGGTCTTCGTGTGAAGGCACTTGGTGGCTTGGAAGCCGCTAAAAAAAAAAGTGTAGTGTTGGCAGATTGGACCGGTCGAGGCCCGGCTCAGCTGAATTAATCCTGATCTTGGCGGTGGGCACCAACGATGGTGTTGGTGATGGCGGCGCATAGTGTTGGAGGGTCGTGCAGCGCTAGGCACATGGACGGGGTGGCCCTTGAGTTTACCATTCTATCGGGAGATGGCGGTCCCAGGCAACGCACCGTTGATGATGACGCGATGCTAGAGAGTCATCATGATTGGGCGACAGAAACAGTCAAGTTGATGGCGGAAGCGAAGATGATTAGAAGGAAAGAGTTCAAATGTGTGTTGTGTAGTATGAAAGAATAGCAAACAAGTTAATTTTCATCAGATCGTCATGGGGCCTGGCCCTGTGTCACCAAACATCCCTCCCCTCCTTCCTCGTCGCTCTCCTTCCAAGACACCGCTGATACCACGTCCTTTCTTCAGTCTAATTAGGCAGGCACCCAACGAGATCTCATTTTCGCCCTTTACCGCCCCCGTCAAAACCTAACAGTTCCAGCCCTATTTCCTCCATCAGCCCCCAAAAGGCCCAACAAAGTGACCCTCTCCTAGGCCCACTGATCGACGACAACCATGATCTTCCATGCCCTCACGCGTTTTCTGTGAACATGTAGAAGAGAATGCGAACGAATGATGACAAACTGTATTGCCTGTAATGAGGCGAGGTAGGAGGTTTCTTTCTCGATTGCCATGTCGCCATGACAATCAGTAGAGTGAATAATCAACAGAGTGAATAATCAGCAAAGCGAATAATCAGCAAAGTGAATTCTTGACCCCGACATGTGGGAGGTCATAGTGATGCGTAGACAGCACATTCACTCGCTGGATCGCCGACGCTTGGAAGGGTGAGAGTAAATATCCTCCTCATCCTCCTCCTCCTCATCCTCCACCGCCGACTCTTCACGGGGTCGTCGCCCGAGGACGGTGGTGTCATTCCGCTGGCGGAGCACCTCGTTGACCGAGTCGCTGCTGCCGACAACGTTGCCAGTTCCATCGACGACCATTCCAGCGTCAACCTCGATCCGGAGTGGTCGTGGAGCACCGTTCTCATCAATCATTGGGATGCCACACTGGCCGGAGCTACCTTCAAGCAGGGCCTTGACCACAGCCTGTGCAATGGCATTAGCCTGGTCCGCAGGACTGTTTGCAAGGCACACGATGTTATTGCTGCGGGAGACGTTGATGGATGTGTTGATACGGAGGCTGATGGGCGAGCTATCCTCCGGGTCATGTTCATCATCTGCTGAGTCGAGGAGGGTTGTCAAGGTAGACGAGGAGGGCTGGAGCATCTGAGCCATGCTGGACAGCCCATGGCGTGCCTGGATGGCTCGAGCTGTGAGGGCGGCAAGGTCACTCCGGGGAGTGTAGGCAGGAGGAGGAGAGGCAGCAGCGGGGCGAGTGTTGTCCTTGGCCATGGCGGCGCGAGCCTTGGAACCCATGTTGGGAGCCGACATGATGAATGTTTGTTGGGTTGGTTGAGGTAGATGGGCTTAAAAGAGGTTTGATGATGTATTGCCAAAGCAGAGCAGGTTGTTTGATCACTGCTAGGATGAGTCTCGATGAGGGAAGAAGATGAGAAGTGAAGTGAAGGAAAAGGGAATTGGAGAGGAGGAAAGTGAGGATATATAAAGATATCCCCACGAGTCAGCCACTGCTTGTTACACAAGGACAACGGGGAGGAGAGCCGTTGACACAATGGGTAAGGACAGGCGGATAGGTAGCCCCAAGAGCTTTGCGCCACCCGAAGCAACTTTTCGAGTCGGGCTTGGAAACGAGGCGTGTCTGGAGACATGGCTAGAGGCTATGTGGAGACAGCTGGCCAGTAGCGTCCAACGCGGGAAGGGTAAATATAGTTGAGCAGAGCTCGTTGGGGAGTGTGCGAAGTCGTCACTCAGCTAGGCGCCAACCTGGTGGGTTGCTGTTGTTGGGGCTTGTATACAATACAAGCATGCATTGAGACACAAATTGGGTCCTTTTCACGCAGCCAGCGGCAAGCGAGGCAAAGCAAAGTGCGTGCGTACGTGCGTTGTGTGTGCTTGCGTGTGTTGTCTGTCTGTCTGTCTGTCTGCACGCCGCCGCCATGGCATGCATCTGCCCGAGAGGCTTCGCAGCCATCATTTCCGACGACGGCGGGCTGGGAGCATGGGGCCCAGCGCCCTATGGACCGCGGCCTGGGGACTGGGCTCAATGGCCGGACTGAATGGGCTTGGCCAGCAAGCCCAATCAGTCATGGACCGGACCACGCTGGCGGCGCGACTGAGTCGTCAATTCCATTCCGCAGGGCGAGTGTGTGTGTGTGAGTGTGAGGTTTTAGGTCCCAAATGGACACGCCCCCCTCCAAACTCCACCACCACCACCACCACCACCACCACCACGCCTTTCAAACCAACACCAGGGCCACCCATTGAGCCAACTCTTCCCATTGCCGTGGAATGGGAGGAGGCCCGCGCACGGCATGGCACAGAACTTACTTGCGCAAGTCACTCGTACGGTCGGCACGGAGGGCCGCCCAATAGTTCTATTCATGCCATGCCGGCTGTTGTTGGCTGTTGTTGGCTGTTGTTGGCTGCATGTTGGTTGGCTTCGCAGGGTCCGTCGCATCCAATCCGTTTCGCGAGCAAGCGAAAAAGCAAAGGAGCTAGCATGCGTTATTAGCCCACCAGGGGGAACAATAGGAACTTAGGGCCGTTTTCACAAAAGGGGTTCAGACGTGTCACATTGGCCGACCGCCGACAACTGATAGCATCCCTGGTGGCAGCTTCATCAATGGGCGAGACAACACCAACCCCCATTGACAGTGGCCCCCCCAGCTGACGCCAAGAATGGAGGAGGATAAGGGCGACAAGGCCAGGGAAAAAAAAGAAAAAAAAAATACGGTCAACCTGCGACAAGTCCTGCAAGCCACCTAGTCTCCCAGAAACATGTCTCCTCTGCCTGCCGCCTATGCAGCCCGCTTAATCCTGGTTTCTATTGTCCTGTCTTGCTATGTGCGGCGACATGTCGGCGACGCAAGGCGTGTGGCCCGAAGCGGGCAAGCGCGGGGCAGGTGGGTCTTGGCGGCGCCTTCCTTCCTATTGTCCTTAAACAGGGCTGTCTATTGTTGTCGACTCTGGGGCGCCGCCCCCGAACTCGGCCGGCAGAGGGGCCGCCTATTGTAGTCTGCTTTGGGTTTAGTGCCCGCGCCTCCGGACCCGCGATCGGGCGCCCAAGCTCCACCACCACGACTCCCTCCACCGCTGCTCCACCGCGAAACCAACCCTTCTTCCGCCCGCTGCCTACTGTTTCTGCTTGCGGCGCTCGGCTTCGAACTCGACCCCGATGAACGACGGGCGGTAAGCAGGGAAACTCTTGCATCCGATTGATCCCACTCAATAATGCCGCCACCGCATGGTTCATCTCCACGGGCCCCACTCCCACTCCCATTGTCATCCGCATCGGTAACCTCACACGTTTGCGCTGTTGATTGCCGCCAAGTACACGGTACTTCTCCAATGTCCTCACATTTCACCTGCATGCCTACATTGTGATCTTCCTAAACACACACGCATACACACGCACATCACACATATCACACACAAACGCTTGGACGGGCGGCGTCAGCATTTTCGCCTCGCTCGCGAGCCAAGTCGGTTTCCCGGACGCACCGACTAGGCCAACCATTCGCTCGGGGCAACTTCTCCTCTCCGCTGGGACCGTCCCTCGCTCTATTCTCGCTCCCTTCCGCCGCCGCTCCTCTATTCTCATTGCCCCCCTGCTCTCGGGTCCCGACGCACGCTCGCGCCCTCGCCTCCCGCCTCGCAATGGCGTCCCGGGATGGCCCTTTCCTTCTCCCAGTCTGCTGGGATTTCTCTCCCCGAAGCTAATCTTCCTTCAGAGCTGACAGGCGGGCAGTTTGCTGTCGAGAAGAACAATCGAGCGTCATCAAAGGCAAACCGCCACGAACACAATGTCCGGATCCAGAACATAGTCTTGAGAAGAGAACGAACGCCCTGGACAGGGCGCCAAGCTGGATGCCCTTCAGCCAGAGCTGACTCCTCAACCGCAGAGAAAGTCCTCGTGCCATTTTTGTATAGCCTTTCAACGCAGTACTCGAAATTGTTGGCGCCGCTGGTGGATGGATGGGGGGGGGGGGGGGCGGTCCAGCTGGAGAACTGCCTTGTCATTTGTTTCAGCGTGAACAAACACCACCAACACCACCACCACCTCCACACTCCTCCCACGCCCCCTCCCACACCCGGCATTGTATTTTGGCAACTTTGTGATTTCGTCACCGGCCCTGTTGATTCTTTTCTCGGCTGAACTGGCGGACAATACGACGGCTACAGCCCGTGCGCCCACTTCCCGGTGATTCAACCCCTTCCAAGCAATCGGGACTCACCCACACCATTACCCGCACCTCCGAGGGGGGTGCAGAAAAGAGAATAGGCTGGCAATGGACAATGGGGGGAGAATAGGAACAAACGAAAATAAAATTAACGTCACCAAATAGGCATCAAGGACGGGACATGTCATAGAGGACTGACGTCGGATGATCCTCAAACGCAAAAGGAGCCGGATGCTCTCGTCTGGAGCAACGCTCGCTTCCGACTCCCTTGCTTGGCATGTTGTTGTTGTCTTGCCCGCCTTGTCTTAACTTCCTTTTTCCTGTTTTGGGTTTCCAAAATCCCGCCTTGGCTTGCGAATAGCCTACCAACCCTCCAATCGGTTTTCCTGCAAGGCGCAAGGAGAGGAGGGGGGAGGATCAAGCGGCGCACTTGCGGCTGCGGCGGCCTTGAGGATGGTCTAGAGCGGACCGCAGAGCGCCAGACCAAACCCTCGGTTACGCTCTCCAAAGTCCCATGCGAAGTTGGAGTGAGGAGGTCTTTGATCTCACAGTGCCTTGATGAAAGGGCCTGGGTTTGAAAAGCATTTGTATCCGATTGATAGATGGTTGCTAGTGGAGCAGGCCACTCTAGTGGGCTGACTTAAAGTGTACGTTTCTTCCCTAGGACAGGCACACGGAATGATCTGCCTCATTGGATGCTTTTCACTGGCCGGTTAAAGTTGGTCATGGCCCCATCTATACCGTCACTCCTGTTCTGCTCTGTCCTGGCACATACCGGTCTAGATCAAGGCGTCTCATGCGCCTCAGAGTTGGACTCGGCTATCACACGACGCTTCTTGAATCAATCCAGCGAGTGTGGCAGCCAACACCCATTCTCATGCACCATCCGCTCAACAATGGGTTCCTGATCCGAAGACTGCACCGAACCATGTCACCGGGTCGCGCGCCTAGTGCCCACGCGGGCGGAGCAGCGCGGCCCATGGACAGTCCAAAATGGCTCTGCAGTAGCTCATAATGTGCTCGCCATCACAGGGCACCACGTAGTAATAGCAAAAGGCTGAAGGAGGAGCGTGGGCTGAAACTTGAACAACACCATAACCCCCCCCCCCAAATCCGTCATGTCACAGTCCAGCCACCGCCGCCACGGAACTAACCAAACACGGTGGAGCAGCACTTGACGTTGCTTTTCGAATAACTAGCTCAACGACCCTCTCCAGCACGAGGCTTTCTTAGTATGGCACTTTTTTCAGCAATCAGCAGCCGACGTATCTTGGCGAGTTAGGTTTCGGTAGCGTTTGGCAGCTTTTTGCCTGCCTGCCAGCCACCGGTAATTCCAGGCCTCCAGACTACTGAAGCCGGGCAGAAAAGACGGGGAAAGATGTTTCTACCCCGTCTCCACCTGGCGCAATCGTGTGTAGGTCCTCGCCGGCTATCTCAATTAGAACATTGAGTTTCGCTCCATGATGTCAACGACACGACGGGTATTTGGGAACAAGTCCAGGTACGATTGGCGTCTGAGCCATGGCGGATAATCTTTCGGTAGCGAGTAGGCGAGTCATGGAGCACAATCAGGCCACCATCTTCGGCCGAACAGGGCGGAATGTCCGATGAAGCTCACTTGTGTCGGTCTGTGCCTGGCTGAACAATCCAATCACGCCCAGCCGGGCACTATGGCAATGGGTTCAAAGAAAGCTACAAGTCGTCATTGCTGTGTCACCTTGGGGCAAATGCTCGTGGTGTTCTTTCGCGCGCGAACGCTCACCTGTCGCCGTCCGCTTCCCTTATGTCCGGCCGTTTGGCGTAGCATCTCGGCCTCCGGCCACGGCTTCCCCCACACGGCGTGTACCGCTCGCTATTCAACGTCCCGCGTAACCTACCCTGTCGTCTTTCATGGCAAATTACTACCCATCGTCTCTATTGGTTGTTGGAAGCGAATGTCTTATTGTTCCGCTCAGGACATATGACATAGTCCGTCGGACTTAACAGTCTTTGTCGTGAACCGGATCCCCGATTCACGGCTGTCCATCTTGCGGACCATCGGGGGGTCCCTCGTCATCTGTCAGCCAAAGTTGAGAGAATCAGACGCGGCCTTCGCAGAACTGGCCCAAGTGACATCAGGAAACCCACATTTGAGTTAAAGGTTAAGGAACGGTGACCGCGTTCTAGAGCTGTCTCCAAGGCTTGCGAGATACCCGTCGCATTCGGGTATTAGTCAAGGTTCGTTGCTATGTACATGGGTCCATCAGCCTTGATGGTCTGCATTCCAGTAGATTCCCCGACGCAGATCATCTCCATATTCTACACCACGAAAATAAAGAACAGCAACAATCACATCTTCACAGCTTCGGGGCTCATTGTTTCCCGAAATTGGGTTCTTCCTTGGTCCTAGCTACTGTCTACAATCGCAGCGATGGGGCTGTCTATTGCAGCCTCCAGCTAAAACTCCTCCTCTCGAGATCCGGAATCGCCTCCAAGTCGATCCCTCATATTCTGCCCCGCTGAACTGCATAGTTCGGCTAGAGAACCAGGAAAGAAAAGATGTTGAAATTCTTTTGTTTCCCCGTAAACGCGAGGATCATGCATGCGTCTCATCTCTCTTTATCCCCTGAAGGGTATCGTCATAATGCAAGTCTTTGACCTTTTTGCTTCGCCTCACAAATGCAGGTTTGCCCCATGTTGTCTTTGTTGAAAGACGCCCACTCCGTGCCTGGTATATCATGAAAAATTCCCCGCCGTTGTGAAATAAATGAAAATCAGATTGCCGGGAAACCGCCCCTCCCTTTCCGGTGGGAGATACAAAGGTTTCGTTGAGAACCGTACGCCGCCTGAAGTTGCCTGATGAAATAGACTGATTAAACATCTATGTTGAATGTTACAGAGAGCTGTTGAATACTCTCTTTTCCTCCAAAAAAATCTTTGTGGAGTTAAATTTAGAACTTGAGCTGCTTAGGCTGCTCCCAGGTGAAGCTCTGGTTGGTACCGAAGTGACCGTTCTTGGCCGTCTGGCGGTAGATGGGCTTGGTAAGGTTCAGCTCCTTGACGATGACACCAGGTCGAAGGTCGAAGTTGTTGCGGATGATCTCGACAAGCTCGTCAGAGGTCTTCTCAGAGGTGCCGTACGAGTCGACGTAGATGGAGAGGGGCTCAGCGACACCAATGGCGTACGAAAGCTGGACGAGGGCACGTCGGGCCAGGCCAGCGGCGACCAGGGACTTGGCGATCCAGCGACCGACATAAGCGGCGGATCGATCGACCTTGGAGAAGTCCTTGCCGGAGAAGGCACCACCACCGTGGGCACCCCAGCCACCGTAGGTGTCGACGATGATCTTGCGGCCAGTCAGACCGGCATCACCCTGGGGACCACCAATGATGAAGAGGCCAGAGGGTTGGATCTAAAGTAACCTGTTAGTCTGCGAGATTGCGTCGTGTTGGACGGGATGATACTTACGTGGTAGACGGTCTTGTCGTCGAGGTACTTGGCGGGGATGACCTTCTGGATGATCTTCTCCTTAATCTCCTTGCGGAGCTGCTCAGTGGTGATATCCTCGGAGTGCTGGGCAGAGACGACGACGGTGTCGACGCGCTGGGGAACAACAGCACCGTTGTCGTGGCGGTACTCAATGGTAACCTGGGTCTTGGTGTCGGGTCGGAGCCAGGGGAGGGAGCCGTCGCGGCGGGCAGCGGACATGGCAGCGTTGAGCTTGTGGGCGAAGAGGAGGGTAAGGGGGAAGAGCTCAGGGGTCTCGTCGGTAGCATAGCCGAACATGATACCCTGGTCACCGGCACCGAGCTGCTCGAGAGCCTGCTCGTAGTGGAGACCCTGCGCGATATCGGGAGACTGCTGCTCAATGGCGACGAGCAGGTTGCAGGTCTTGTAGTCGAAACCCTTGGAGGAGTCATCGTAGCCGATGTCCTTGATAGCTTCACGGACGACCTTCTGGTAGTCGAGGTTGGCCTTGGTGGTAATTTCACCGAAGACCATGATCATGCCGGTCTTGGTGGCAGTCTCGCAAGCAACCTTGGAGAGGGGGTCCTCGGCGAGGCAGGCATCGAGGATGGCATCCGAAACCTGATCAGCGATCTTGTCGGGGTGACCCTCACCGACGGACTCGGACTGGGAGGCGGTTAGCGACGGGTTTTCTTTGGTGAGACGGAGCCGCGGCAATCATCATGACTGTGAGCGCCGCGCTTGGTGGGGGGAAAACCTACAGTGAACAGGAAAGTGCCCTCGTTGTGGTGCTTTCCGTTTCCGTTGGCGTGAACGCCGTTGGTGCCGTTGGTGCCGTTGACAGCAGACATTGTGAGGATTGGGGGGGAGGAAGAAGCGAGGTAAGCGGGGAGGAAGAGCGACGCGAAAAGGTCTTTCTGTGGTGACGAAGAGGGGAGTCACTGCGAGGCGGTTAGAACGATGCAGACAACAGGAAGCAGCGAGCGCGAGAGCAAGAGCGATTGAGCGAGGCGATTGAGGGACTCGGGAACTGAGGGAGAGCTAGGGACACGTACCACAGGAGATCTGAGGGATGAGAGCAGAAGAAGAAAGAGAAGTGAAGATGCGAGGAGGAAAGACGGGGGAGGTGAAGGGTAGAAAAGGCGGAGGGGATGTACGAATACGTAGGTTGCAGGATTTATTTGGGAGAGAACACAGGCGGGCGAGGTGAGAGGTGGGGGCGGAAGTCGCAGCAGCGCAGGGAACGAACCCACAATGGAATCGAGCTTGTACTATGTTCCAATGGTTGTATTGCATTGTACAATCGAGGCTGGCTATGACTAAAATTACAGCGTCGAGACGACTCATGTACTACTTGGGCGCGTCGAGGTACATTGCACCCTGGATGCGATGTACACTGCAGGCCCTGGACCTGAGCCTGGTTCACCGCGGGACAGGGAGGCGGGAAACCAACCCCAGGTCCAGGGGAAGAAAAGCCAGGTAAGAAAAAAAAATTCCCATGGCGGCCGGTAGTCGGGCGGCTGTTCCTGTGGCTGTGACGATAAAGCAGTACCCGGAATTACGGTGGGGGGCGGCGGCAGCAGCAGGTACTCCACAATCGCCGGGCGGTAATCACTCGGCGCCGTTGCAGGCCCAAGGCTCAATGGAGGGGGAGGGGTAAAGGGAAAAAAACGCTTCTCGGGCTCCGAAATTTGCAACGGAATTGCGCCATCGGCCTGCCCCAGCCAACTTTTTTTCTGCCTGTCCCCCCCGAGCCAGTAAGTTACCAGCCAGCCCAGCCAGCCAGCCCAGCCAGCCAGCCAGCCCAGCCAGCCCAACAAAGTCGCCCACGGGTGCATGCCTCTCCTCTGGATCAGTCCCGCGCTAGGGAAGCTGCCGTCCAAAGAGAGAGACAAACGGAGCAGCTACGGAGACTCGGAGACAATGGATGAGGGGGTTGCTGGTTCGCCGGAGACTTGTCGGGCCAGCCAGTGCCTTGACCGCCTTGCATACACGTGCGCCGGGGTTGGGATGGCGGCTGGATCGAGCAGGAGCGTAGTCGGCAGCGTCATGGAAGCAGATGGTACATGATAGCATCTGTAGGACGGTATGTGATAGCAGAATTATGCATGTGCAATACCTAGGTAGCTACGGTGGGTTCTCGGCAGCTGGCAGCGGCGGTTGGGAGCGATAGAGGAGGAGGAGGATGATGATAGCCATGATAGCCTAGACCTGCATTCCTGATAGTGGAGGCCGGGCTGGTGAACAGTGCGTCTTGGTGGTGACGATGGCGGGGCAAGAACGCATGAAAGCATGAGAGCACCCAGAGACACTCACTCAACTCTCAGTTCACTTCTTGCCCCACCTTCCGTGCCAAACTTTCCATCCTCTCGCCGTCTCGCGTCACTCTGCAACCATTTTTCCTCACCAAGCCTCCGGCTCGCGTCTCCTTTACCCGCTATTGCGACCCAACCTGCCTGGGCCTTGCCTGTCCCTGTCTGTGCTACTGTACTGTACTCGTTACACAGTAGTACACCAAGCTCCCACTCACCGAGTCTCACCTTGCCGTCTTGCCGCCTTCCCCGGTGACCACTTTTTTTACGTCTCAGCCGGTCTGCTTCGCGGATCTTCCTTTCGCTCCACATCCACCACAACATCCAACATTCACGGCAACTGTCTCACCTCGATCCTTCATCCTTCATCCTCGACCAAGCCAGCACCATGAGCAAGTTCGGTGCCATGGTCATGGGCCCCGCCGGGGCCGGCAAGGTACGTACATGCTGTCAGCTTGCATCATTCAGCCATCCGTGTTCGACAATTCGACATTACGACACATGCTTGTTCTCTATTGCGTGCTAGCTACTAACCCTCCCTTGCTTCCCTCCCGCAGTCAACCTTCTGTGCCGCCCTCATTACCCACCTGCAGCTCAACCGCCGCTCGGCCTTCTACGTCAACCTCGATCCCGCCGCCGAGACCTTCGAACACACGCCCGACCTCGACATCAAGGAACTCATCTCCCTCAAGGATGCCATGGAAGAGGTGGGCCTCGGGCCCAATGGCGGTCTCATCTACTGCTTCGAGTTCCTCATGGAGAACCTCGACTGGCTGACAGAGGCCCTCGACACCTTGACTGAGGAGTACCTCATCATCTTCGATATGCCTGGCCAGATCGAACTCTACACCCACGTCCCCATCCTTCCCGCCCTCATGAAGTTCCTCTCTCAGCCCGGTTCCCTCGATATCCGCATGGCCGCCATCTACCTCCTCGAGGCCACTTTTGTCGTTGACCGCGCCAAGTTCTTCTCCGGAACACTTAGTGCCATGAGTGCTATGCTCATGCTCGAAGTCCCCCACATTAACGTCCTGTCAAAAATGGACCTTGTCAAAGACCAGGTGAAGAAGAAAGACATGAAGCGCTTCCTCACACCTGGCGTGGACCTCCTCGACGACGACCCAATCGAACGCGCGAGGCGGGTAACTGAAGGGCCCGACGCCGAAGACGACGAGTCCAGGCCAGCGGATGAGAAGGAACAAGTCATGAGGGGCGCCAGCTTCCGGCGACTGAACCGCGCCGTGGCGGGGCTGATTGAGAGCTTCAGCATGATAAACTACCTGAAGCTGGATGTGACGAACGAGGACAGCGTTGCCTCCATCCTGAGCTACGTTGATGACTGTATCCAGTTCCACGAGGCCCAGGACCCCAAGGAGCCGAACGACGAAGAGGAGTACGAGGATCAGGAGTGATGCTGTGTGCGTCTGGTCTCTGATTTTGCAAAAATAAAACGGGAAAATGGTATCGGGTGTGGGGGGGCATTTGCTTATGGTCTTTATGGTATTGCATAGCGCCGGCGTTGATATCCACGTCTTGGGATCTAAAGACGCAATGTGACTGAGCAAGAAAGCTCACACGTCCTCCTGGCTGTCCCAACTGTGTCATGCATGGGCTGTGATCCGTCCTATTCTCCATCTCTTTACATGGCCATCGTGATAGCCCATGGCCTATATCCTCCGCCATGGTTCAATTGTGGTATCATCTCCCCCTTTCCCATTATTGCCCCGTTCGCGAATGTCGTAAGTTCTGGTGTCGTGATATCGATGCTTGTCCTATCCATCTTTCTCGGCCAAGGTGTTTCCAGTTCACCGTCCCGAACTTCGTCCACTGGCGCCAGCCATGCCCTGCTGCGCCTCGTACCGGTTGTATTCGTCCACCCACACATCCTTGAGAAGCGCCAGGTAGCCCACGATCTTGCCGCCAACGACGGCGACGTCCCGCGCGCTCTCAAACACGCCGCGGTCCCAAACCCAAGCGGCGACGGCGACAAAGGCGGCCCAGGACGCGATGCGCAGCGTCAGGCGGGTCCACCACAGCAGCAGGCGTCGGATCCAGTTGAGGACGACGAGGACGGTGGCGAGGACGAGCAGCGAGGCGATGACGCCGACGAGGCCCTGGTTCTCGGCCATGACGTTGAGCAGGCGCTCGAACAGGGGCTGCAGGATCGGGTACGCGGCGTTGAACAGGCGCTGGGCCTGGATGATGGCGTTGCGCTTGAGCACCTGGAGGGGCGCGTGCGGGTGGAGGAGGTGGGTGTGGATGGAGTCGACGAGCTCGGCCGGGAGGAAGGCTGAGAGCAGATGCGTGGTCAGCGAGGGCGAGTCCATGGCTGCGGATGGCTCCTTCTGCGATGCGTGCAGTGCAGGAGTCTCTGTGTGTCGATGCGTAATGGCCTAAACAACAAGCCTGGTGCGATGGGGGGTTGCGCGGTGGGTTACCAAGCAGAAGAGAATAGGGAGGCAAGAAAATGGCCAGGTTTGGAGGCGGTCGAGTTGGAGAAAGCTGGGAGAGCGGTGGGGAGCCCGTTATGTCGCGTGGCGTTTTTTTTTTTATGGCGTCGGGGCGCTTTATAACCCTCGTGAGCCGTGGCCGACTAGGCCCAGCTCAAGCACAGGGGGGGGAGCATCGCGACAGAACAGCGTGGATGACAAACAAACATGGCAAAAAACAAAGGAAGAGTGGAGGAAGTTACAAAGAACGTCCAAGGAAAGGCAGGAAACTCACGAGACTCCCGGAGTTTGTCGTGGAGCCAGTAGTCGGTGACGTCCATGGTTCAGTACTTGTGTTCTTCCTCACTGAGTGAAGGATAGGTAGGTAGCTGGTGAGCGACTGAAAGAGCTGACGGATGTATGCTTGCGGCGGTCTGGGCGACGTGTCAAGTCTCGAAAGAAGAAAAGAAGTACGCGATAGTTTTAACGCCAAGTATAGAATAACAAAAAAGGATTTCTTTGTTTACAGAACACGTCTGGCTCGCGAAGTGCTTTGGTTGAAAGGGGAGCTTGTCAGACGTCCCGTGCGAGCTCCGCGACAGCTTCCCCTCATCCTTTTGTACTCCTCACCCGGCAGACGAGCTCTCTCAGACCTTGTTAGCGTTCCATCAAACACGGGAATTTATCCATGCTAGTCGCTGCATGTCTAGGTGTAGGCGGGCCGCTTCTCCGGACCGTCACCCCAACACCTTGTTTCGTGAGTATTCATCGTGCAGCTCTCCAACCTCATAGCATGGCCGCCATCAGTGACAAGTCAAGTTCACCGTCATAAAAGCCCCAGTCTCAAACTGCCGCATAGCATCAGAGTAATCATGAAAAATATCAATGGTATATACGGCACCGACCCTGCCAGAAGAAAAGCTCCAGCACGTAGTGATAGAAGGGTATCGAACATGGACTATATCTAACAAGCCAAAATGCAACCTCCAGAGTTTAATCTCAAACAACCGCCCCCATCGCTGATGAATCTAAGCGCCCGACCTATAGACGCCGTAGCAATCGCTTTTCCTTCTCATAAGACCTCCCATATGACGCTCCGCCCCGATTACTCCTCCAGCCCTTCCAGGATACGCCGTGCTGTCTCAAGTCTCCGTCGGTACATGCGCGACTCTGTGCTCGCCCTGGACACCTCCGTCAACCCAAGAACACATCTCCCGAGGCTGGCCACCAGTTTTTCCACGAGGACCTGATCCTCCTTGGCAAGCAATGAAACAGCAGCTGTCTGATCGTCGCCGTCCCCGGCCTCCTTTCCGCAGGCACTGGCAGTGTCTTGCATAAGGGACTCGGCTATTTGCTTCAGCTCTTGGTCCGGCGAACCTCCAGGAGTCAACACTCCTCCGTTTAATTTGGCCCTGTTCACCAATGGGAAACTTCGATTCGTTCCTGTTGACTCAAACGATGAAATGGAAGGTCGGTGAGAGGCCACGTTCTCGCTATTTGTCGGTCGGTGCACAACTGTGCTCCGTCGGACATAACCCGGTTGGAAATCCGCCGAGTTACGCTTGGAGCGCGGGAACTCGAAGCCACCAAATGTTGTCCGCTTTGACGTTGGGGGGCCATCCGAGGAATCTGACAAATCGGGTGTTTCGATGGCGGTTTCTTTAGTCTCGTCCTGGAGGGTTGAAGTCCGGCTCGAGCGTCCCTCGGTGGCGGTGGCAAAGGAGTTAACAGATGACACGCTCTCAACGCTGGATCTCCGTGGCAGATTCATCACAGGGCCTCTCGTCGTCTCAACGGAGTCGTCTGAACTGACACTTGCCGAGCTATCCCTCCGCCCTAGCCGCTGTTGACTGATCGTGCCCATTGCTGAGTGGAGGAAGAAATGCTCGTAGTCGAAGGCATCCTCACGATCCTCATGGGAGACCGGGTGTTGGATCGTGTCGTGGTATAGGGACTCCCCGCTCTCGCTTTCATAGTCGCTGAAATCTCCGTCTTGTTCCCCTTCCAGAGGGACTTCGTCAACAGCCGCGGGCTCATCTTGTTCACCTTGTTCCTCTCCTTCTAGTTCCTCACTCTCTTCCCAATCATCTTCCACGGTAGGTCGGACATCTTCGTCGAACGGTTGCTCTTCTTCCTCGACCTGTTCAACCAGCTTCACCTCCTCTTGCTGCTCTTGCACCTGCTCCTGCACCTGCTGCGGTACTTGCTCCTCCTGTTGCAGTACTTGCTCCACCTGCTGCACTCGCTCCTCCGGCTGTTCCTCCTTTACTTTACTCACTTCCTTTACCTCTACCCCCCTTTCGGTCTGTTCCGATTCCGTTGAACTAGTTCCGTTGATCGCATCTCTTGCGAGAGGCTCAACGGCATCTCCATGATCAATCCTTACAGCTTCCTCGTTTTCGGCCGCTGCCTCAACCGCCGCTATTTCATCATAACTAGGTATGAGTTTCTCCATCCCGAAATCAGCCGGGGCCAAGCCTGCACTCCAAGGAGCCTGCCATGGCGTTTCCGGACCTGAGCTGGTTGGGGTCCCTTTTTCTATGAATCCTTGGTCCCATCTTGAGTGTGTAAAGGGACTCGGAGTCCTCAGGCTTTGCAAACTCCGTCGTTTCATGCTGTCGGCACGCGCCTGCTCCCTCAAGCTAGAGATCTTCCCCTTGAGGTCCATCATCTGACCTTTCAGATCGCGCATCTGCGCTACCGAGGCAGATCGAGTAATTTCTTTATCGGTGGCGTATCCAAATGTTGGACTGCGCAAGTTATTGTAGTAGTTACCGTTGGCGTCCTCGTAGTCTTCATCCTCGCTCAAGGGCTCAAGGCTCGTATCCAGGGGGTGATGCGATGGCTTGGGGCCGGAATAGCCGGCTCCCAGCGCATCGGCGCTCCTCGATGAAGTCAACGGCTGGCGATACCCTCCGGCAGCGCCTAGCGCGCTAGCTGATCGTGTCGGATATCCAGCAGGGCCGTTTTGAAAGGTCGTGTCGCTCAGCATCCTTGAGTGGCCCGAGGAGGGAGGAGCAGTGGGCTCACGGAGGGACGTTGAAGGGCGCAAAATGGGCGGCGATGGGGTGGAACCGTCGGACATGGGCGTGTAATATAACGAGCTCCTCGCTCTGGAAAGGTTTCCCTCCATAGTCTGTGATATCATAAGCACGAGAAAGAGATGGGATACCTAGTCACAACTCACCGTTAATCTCTTTTTCGCATTGGCAAGGATTTGCTCGGCCCTATCGCTGATGGAGTTGGTAGAGAATCGATCACCAGCCGACACCTGTCGCACCGGCCTCCTCACAACTCCAGGTTCCTGCATAGGCGTTCCCTCTACATATGAGGAGGCCATGCTCTCCTCATCGTCACCCTGGAAGTTGATGTCGTCGACGCTTACCGCATCATCGAAATCGGCAAACGGGGCATTTCGGCCTTGGGTCGTGACGGTGCTCGTGGATTCTATTGAGGATCTCCTTTCCCGCGACGCGATCTGGGCTTTTATCTTGATTTGCGGCAACCCCATGGTGGGCGAAGATCGTAGAGCAGCATCATCGTCGCTCGGAACTGACAAGTGCGAGCCGCGTCGGGGACCTCTACCAATAACGCTCTCGACTTCTGTGACCTCGCCAATATCCGATAGCATGGTGCCATTTCCGTAGATGATCGGGGTTGAGGGGCTCAATGGACCGGTGATGAAGGAGTTTTGCGACGGAGGTAGATGGAATTGCATGTCGCCGATCTGGGCGTTGTTCCACATCATGAGGGGCGACTGCGAGCGGTCTTCGGGTGAGTCGGGGAAATCATAGTCGGGAAGAATCATATCGGGGTTCGTCAGGGTTGGCGACCCAGCCATCGGCCGGTAGGTCATCGAGGTCGGAGTCACGGCTCCCTGCCGGGCATCGCCGCCGTGGGCGGTAAAGGAATGCGTTGCCATTGTCGCGTAAGAATGTCGTTAACCCAGTAGATGCTCAATGTCGGAGAGTTTGCGGGGTGGCAGCTGCCAGAGGAGTTGCGCTTCCAGTGCCCGAATGTCGAGGGGAGGTGGTCGAGTCGCGACGCCAGGCGAGGAGGTAGGGGGATCGCTCAACTCGGTGACTCGGTGCGCACGCGGGATGAACTTGCAGGTGAACTTGTTTCTGTCGGCAGCTGGCCGGTCAATGATTCGATGGCATGGGGCTGATGTCTTGAACAAGGTCGTATCGTTAGTCGACGGATCAGAGTGTGGCGCAAAAAGTAAGGGTGGTGGGAGGGATTCGGGACGAGCGAAGAGGCCGAGCGGATCGAAGGTAGTGAGAGACAAAACAAGACTGGTCAAGACAGAGAGAGCGAGACTGGATGATTCAAGACAGACACGAGGCGGTGTCGGGGGCCAGCGGCAACCTCGTGCACCGAGCGAGTGTAGTGAAGCAATCAAGAGCCGGCGGCCGAGTCCAGCATCGTCGAGATTTGGGGGTTTGGTGGAGGAACAAAGAACGCGACGGGGTACCGGGCACAGTAACAGCCAAGGTGGGACGCAAAGTCAAAGGTGGGAGGCAGCGAGATTGGACGAAGTTACTGGATACGTACCTCCACCAGCAGAGAGTCCGCCAAAAGGATGATGGATGCGCGCGCGCGCCAAGGGTCTTTTGGTGCGCTCTAACCCGCACTCAGTCCGTCCCAGGCTCAAAAGCCGGCCGAGAAGAGCCTAGGCAAGATTCGCACCAAGAACTTTCGACGGCGCGGGTCAGGGGCTTGTGGAACCAGGACGAGTGGCCAGCAATCAAGAAGTCAAACAACGGAACCGACAGCTTGAGGAATGGAGGCGGACGGAAGGACGCCGTAGGCCCCAGGGAGCTGCCACGGCGGGACGGACGGATTCGGTAGGGAAAATACAGCGGCCCGGTCGCTAGGTCGTTAGGTCGCGTGTCGGTTGGCAGGCCTGTGTCTCTCTTTTGGGCGAGAATGGTCTGGTCGAAGACGCCGTTGCTCGGCTGGGAGACTGGCGAAACAAGGCTGTTTTGACGGCGGGTGGTGATAGTGATGGTGTGGTTTTTGTTGAAATCTGGAAATGTTGACGTGCAGCAAACGGCTGGATCCTCTTTTTTTCAGCAGGGGAGCTCCGGTACCTGAAATAAGGCAGGAGACAGGAGACAGGAGGTTGTAGGTCTATGTGCAATTAATACGAGCTTGGAGCCGCTGAGGACAGCTCAACGCGGCGCAAGGCGACGCAAGGCAACGCAAGGTAACGCAGCGTGAGCGCTGTCCTGCGTCTGCTGTCCATTTCCCTGCTCTGTACTCCATCTACGCTCTGGATCGTCTATTATCTCTGGGTCATGGTTGGCAGCTCGCCGCTCTGGCCTCTCCAATTGGCGCAGGCGGCATGACGGAGAGTCGCAGCAGGTAATTTCCATCCCACAATCGACCAGGATCACGCACGAGGGAACGGGAAAAGGGGGCCACCCCATCGGTTCACGTAGCGGCGGGTTCACCGCCAATGGGCCCGGACGAAACATGGCACTCTCAGTGTGGTCTGCATTGGGAGCATTAGGAGCATTGGGAGCATTCGAGCCACTGATCAGCCAGGACGAAGCCCCGGAGCCGGGTCCCTTTCCAAGGAAAAGACACGGAGCTGGGATGCATCCCTACCGTGCCGGAGGTCTGTCCCTACATAGGCTTAGGTATTCTAGCGTCCGTCTACTAACCGCACTACGAAGCACAGAATCCCTACTACGGACGACGTTTCCAAGGTCAACCAAGACTAGTACATGAGCAGGTGCGCGCACTGGTTGGGGTGCTGTAAATGCCACGCTGTAATATTGGAACACTCTCATTAACACTGACCCATTTGCTCCCCGCTGATCAACTTCGCTAGTCCTTGGCCGCATGAAAGTCCTGCACGATCACGAAGCCTCCTCAGCCCAGGAAGCGCACGAGCCAGCTAATAAATTACCTACTCAGCTTCAACCAGCTACGGCTAGATAACAATTGCAAACGCACCCTTTCTTTTTGGCCATTTCCTGATATTTTGGGTAGTTCTTCTACAGCGCATAGAGAACTCACTGCCTTCAGCTTAGCTTGTTCTGCCGCTTATGGATACTTGTCTTCCTAATTCGTTTCTTCGACCAGTGGTCTAAGCCAGCTGTCAAGAACCACCTCGGCTGAAAACTAACGACGCAATGCACTTCTATACCATGATTGGCCCAGCCAGCTCCAGCTCGCACGACACTTTCAGTCACTTTATTCTACGTGGTGTTAAAGGCATGACTTGGCGGGCTAGGATCGATTAACCCTGACGCCTAATCTCAGATCATCTATTCCACACAATGTCTTTAAGATGAAAATAGACATTTAAATTGGAACTGATGTTGGAAAGTTGTGTGCCGGCATATTTACGGTGAAAATCACCGTGGAACTTAGTGTAGGGTTCTCCATTAATGGACGTGCCAGTGCTCGGTACGGTGTTTTTATGTTCGCTTCAGATATGGTGGCAGTATGCTACCAATGCTTCATTCTGTACGGCTGAAGTTGATGACAACTGCTGAAAACCAGGTGGGTTACCCTATACTCAACAAATTGGATCCCGAAAACTCCACAGCCGGGGAAATACGGGGTTCACACGGAAGGGGGAACGGCCCAACGACAACCCCCGCCTCCACTCGGGGGCCCGGATTGCCCCTCGCACCTGCTATGGTTTAGCGCACTGGACTTGCGATTCGGGGCACTGCCGACCCGCAGCCCATCCTCACGTACGTTGAGCGAGACGTTCGCTAGAACACGCTCGCCATCGGAGACATGGCGTCGATCAATTCGGTTTGTGGCCGAGATAGATTCATTCCAAAGGTGCAATGAGGCTTGGGTACCGGCTAACGAACATGGCACGTACGTGGAGGAGACGAGGAAGACACACGCAAACCACAAAGTGAATGCCGCTGAATGGCAAACAAGGGAACACGACACCACGAATGACACTGAAGATATATCTGGGGCCGAACTTCGGGTCTTTCCAGAGCCGTGAAGATCCAAGACCTGTCAGATCGAGGTACCAAGTAGCCTCCAAGTCACCTGTCGGAGTTCGGGTAGGTTTCACTAGCTTGCCGATTCTCGCTACCGAGAGCGGCTGGAAGTTCTAGAACCGCCCGAAACGGCCACGGTTTGCCAGTCAGGAAACTGAAGCGAGGGTTGATCAAAACCGGTGTTCAGCGATTGCAGAAATTGATGGCCGTTTCCACGGTGTCTAGAGGTTATGCTGAAAATACAACTGTAGTGGCCGACTTGAACCAAGCCACTAGGGGAAACAATCATGAGCCGGCCAGAATTGGGATGCCCTAATAACGCCGCATGGCATCCCGCGTGACTGAGCAAATCTAGCTGCTACCCCGCCCGTCCGAGTGGGAGGCAATGGACGCTTCTCCGGCATCAAAACCAGCAGTGGGATCGAGCAATTGAGGGCGGACGGCATTCCTCGTGCTTCAGAACCGTCGTTCCATGGCTTTATACAAGATCCAGGAACCCGAACTCTAACGCTTAGCCTTATCAACCCCCACGGTGCAACCCTAGGCCTTAGCCCGGTCCACCGCCAAATATAGGGCCGACGTGTAGCTGCCGCTGCGCTCCGCGGAGATACAAACTTCAACCCTTCGAAAACACCACAACCCTTATCTCTAAACCAACCCGGCACTGGCCAAGCCCCCGACATCGACCCAGATCTTGCCTCCGCGGAGACGTCTCAGCCTTGCCCTTGGGCCTTTATCGCCCGCTGCACCAAAATCCAACACCCAATGGCAGCGGGCCGGTTTGGCTTGGTACCACGTGCTTATCATTGGCAGGCAGTTTGAGCCGCACTAAGTGGTGTTGGCCAAGCCATCGCCTCCGGTGAATGGGCGCCTCACCGAGCGCGAGCGTGTGGCTTCTTATCTCTGTCATAATCCTCTCTGGGATTTAAAACGACGCTGTGCATCTCCTGAGACGTGGGACGCTCAAAACGCTCATGAGGACACTCTAGAAAGGAATGAACATCTCCGAAAGAAATAACCCCCAGTGACAGTCGTCAAGTGGGACCTGTCACCCTCGTCTCAGGGACTCGTTGTTCATCCTCGATAGGGAATTAAAAGCGGTCCTGGACAATCTATAAACATTTGTCAGAAGAAGAACTACAAGACGTCCTCATCCATTCTGTCGATGCCAAGCACCCTCGACCGCTGAATCTAGGAAATCCCTACCACGAAGACTTGTCGTCGTCAGTCACAGAGGCTCTGCTGCGTCCTAAGACCCGCGGCCCGTCCTAGGCCCCCCCCGTCGCCACTCCCGTCCTTATCGGATCAGCACGGGAAGAAGACAAGCTTGCCGATTTGAACATCTCCGCCCTCCGGAGCAGGGTGCATCTCCACCGCGCCGGCTCTCCAGTCAAACTCGCAGCATAGATAACCTCTCCCTATCGAGTTAGCCTGTAGGCAACGTGCTCTCGAGATCCGGAGATGCTGATCTCAATACTCAATTTTATTCAACTTGGTCGCTGAAGGATATACCGTCCTCGTTCTATATATGAGGTCGGCCTCATCCTCGAAGCAGTTGTGATATCGGCAATCCACTCAAACACTCAAACAGTACCGACTGACTGACAACCCTCCGCGCCTTTTACAACACCATCGACGCAAAACCGATCAAGAAGCGAGTACAACAAAACATCCTCAAGATGGGTTTTCAAATCACCCAACTGTGGAAGGCCCCTGAGGTCAACCCAATCACCAGGAAGGCCAGGAGCATCCCGATGCTCAACCCCATCGATCTTCATGGCCGTGTCTTTTTGTTCTCCTGGCTCGGTTTCATGCTCGCCTTTTGGGCTTGGTAAGTATTTATCCGGACTTACACGCATTTTGTTTGCTGACTCCAGTGTGAAGGTACACCTTCCCTCCTTTGTTGACCGTCACCATCAAGGAAGATCTCCACCTGACACCGGCTCAAATCGCCAACTCCAACATCGTTTCTCTCTGCGCGACGCTCTTCCTCCGTTTCATCACTGGCCCCCTTTGCGACATGTACGGCCCCCGACGAGTCTATGCCTACCTCATTCTCATCGGTTGCCTGCCCATTGGCCTCGCTCCGCTTGTCAAGGATGCCAACGGTCTTTATGCCTCCCGCTTCTTCATCGGAGTCCTGGGAGCTACTTTCGTCCCCTGCCAGGTTTGGTGCACTGGCTTTTTCGACAAGAACATTGTTGGTACCGCGAACGCCCTCGCTGGCGGTTGGGGCAACGCTGGTGGAGGTATCACTTACTTCATCATGCCGGCTGTCTTTGATTCCCTAGTTGCCAACCAGGGCCTTACCCCTTCCAAGGCGTGGAGAGTCACCTTTGTCGTCCCACTCATCTGCCTGATTGCTTGTGGTATCGGCATGCTTCTTCTCTGCCCCGACACCCCGATGGGAGATTGGGAAGACCAGGCCCAGCAGATTCGTATGAACATGGAGGCACACGGTCTCAGCAGTTCCGATACCATCCCTGGCGGTGCTCGTACCCCTGAACGCACCAACTCTGATGAGGAGACCGGCACCGGGTCTGAGAAGGATGTCAAGGTCGATGACAACGAGCATGCCATCTCGCGCGGCGAAGCCCTCGAGATTGCCAAGGGCGAGGTCGTTGTCAAGCCCAGCTGGAAAGAGGCCCTACCTGTCGTATACTCGCCCCAGACCATCTTCCACGTCGCTACCTACGCATGCTCGTTCGGCGGTGAGCTCGCCATCAACGCCATCCTCAGCTCCTATTTCAAGAAGAACTTCCCCCACCTCGACCAGACCAAGGCCAGCAACTACGCCGCCATCTTCGGCTTCCTCAACTTTGTGAACCGACCATTCGGCGGTGTCGTTGCGGACATTCTGTACAACCGGTTCGGGCGCAACCTCTGGCTCAAGAAGGCTTGGATCACGACGTGCGGTCTCTTGACAGGCGCACTGCTCATCGTCATCGGCCAGGTCAACCCGTCTGAGGCCAGCGGCAGCAACATCGGCACCCTCGTCGGACTCATCGTTCTCATGGCCATCTTCCACGAGGCCGGCAATGGCGCGAACTTTGCGCTCGTCCCTCACGTCCACCCCTTTGCCAACGGAATTTTGTCTGGCCTGACGGGAGGCGGCGGCAACCTCGGCGGCATCATCTTCGCCATCATCTTCCGGTTCATGAACCAGGGCAAGGACTTTGCCATGGGCTTCTGGGTCATTGGCGTCATCCACATCGGCGTGAACCTGGCCGTGTGCTGGATCCCGCCGCTGCCCCGGGGCCAGGTCGGCGGTCACTAGAGTTAGAGTGGAGTTGCACGGGAGTGGTGTTTTGGTAGCAAATTCGTCGTGATTAGCAGGCATAATGTAGAGGAGAAACTCGGGAAAACGGCCTAAGGATTAGGTCGGGGTGAACGGAGTATCGGTATTGGTATTGGTATTGATTGGTGTCGGTATTGGTATGGGCAGATGGGTGTCGTGTCTAATGACGCTATTCACAACCTTCAACATATAAGCTGATATTGAACACCCATACTTTACTTTCCCCCCCGTGCACACTCCGCATCTCTAGACCCAGACATCTTGTGACACACATTAGCGAATGCCGATCATGGCGTGGCGCCAGACGAGAAATGAACAATGCTCTGTAGCGAGACAAATCTGCACCGTGACGATGAGATCGGCGCTCGGCGCCCTTGCCGCGGTCCCAAAACACCACGAGCCGGCCGCCGCAGTGCCGGGAGACATACCAGACGCCACCCCCGCCAAGACCCCGCGATAGGCGTTCTCCGTCGCATCCAAATGACGGTCGATGGTGGGGAATTAGACCAGCCACTTTGCGAACTCTGCGAAAAGCGCGGAACCTTCAGAAAGGTCTAGAAGAACCCGACACTCAATTCCAACCTTATGCAGATCCTCAAGGACATGACGTATGGGCGCACGCATGTCTCCTGCGCTGCGCTTACAGCACACCCTCAGCGCAAGATCCCACCAGTACCATTGCATTCCAAAGCACGGCGTCCCGCATGACTGGGCAAGGCAATGCAAGCTATTCCATGCGAACACAATGACGAGGCGCAATCCAGCTGCATTCCGATCGGAGGGGAAACGAAAGACACAACAAGCACGCCCCATCGATTTCGCCATTGGGAATTAATGCGCGTCATGCGCCAAGCTTCAAGTTACCCTACGGACAATCATGTTCCCCTTTCCCCAAGACCGGGCGCGACAACTAACATTTTGCGAGGCAGATCGTCATTACGGCAAGGGATGCCAGCTTTACGAGCTTGCGGGTCCGTCCACACCCTGCCGACGGCGAGTAGAAATCATGGTGAAACGAGTAGATTTAACTAGTCAAAGCCTATTGAGATTGGTATTCGACAAGAAAGCCCTCAATCAATATTAACACGAAATGCAAACTTCTTTGTCGCAGTAAATCCAACAGATACTTCGCGTGACAAAAAGCAAAAGGGAAAAGTCTGGGTCAAATGTCTATTAGACGCAGCAGCGGAGGAACACAGGCATGCTACGTCAGGAGGCTTGAGAGACAAAGAACCCAGATGGGCTTTTCTGTTTTATCCATAATACATTAACAATCCTGAATACCTTTCCTTCCATATCGGAAACCAAAACGTATGTGCGCGAAAAGGCCAAATACCCAGACTGCTTTCCATTCCAGAAACAAGGAACCCTCTAAATGCAGTCATGCAGTCATGACACCACGTAGAAACCAAGACGAACCAGCCGTGTTACTCCGCTTACAGAGCAAGGACGGCAACGACGAGACCAGCGACGACGGCCATAGAGGCGCCGACGCGGGCACCAGCACCGGTGACGACGGCAGGGGTGGTAGCAGCAGGGTAAGAGCCAGTGGTGCTGACGACGGGGACAACAGCGGTGGTCCAGGTGCCGTTAGAGGGGACGCTGACAACGGTGGTGGGAGCAGCGGGAGGGGGGACGTAGGCAGCGGGGGTGGTGGTGCTGTTGGTGCAGGGGACAGTGGTGGTCTCGTAAACGGGGACAACGGTGGTGTAGGCGGCGGGCTGGCTGGACAGGCTGATGGTCTTGACACCGTAGGCGGAGCTCAGGGTGGAGGTGGCCTCGGTGGCAGCCTTGGTGGTGCTCTCCTTGACGGTGCTGGCACCGATGGTGAAGGGGTTGGAGTACTGCATGATGCTGGTGTCGCTCTCGAGAGTGAAGGTGAGGCCGTAGAAGGCGAGCTCACCGAGATCAGCGGGAACGGACCAGGTGTAGGATCCTCCGGCGTTCTTGACACCAGCTGTGACGGAGTTAGTGATTTAGTTCGTTACAAGCTACTCGAAAGTCATAGTCGGTCAACTTACTGGCAACGGTCAGGAGAGGAACCTGGGTGTTCTGGGTGGCACCACCAATGAGGCCGATGGTGACAAGGTCGTCGGCATCGTTGTAGGGAGCGGGAGCAGTCCACTCAATGGTGAAGCTGGAACCAGCAGGGACAACCTCGCCGGAGGCGGGGACGAAGACGGAGTCGAAGCCAGTGGTCTGGGCAACGGCGGTGGCAACAAAGGCCAGGACAGCGGCGGCGGAGAACTGCATTTTGAAGGTGGTTTTTAGGAATTATAAAAAGAGGTGTGGAGGGTGAAGAAATGAACGTGAGTGAGTGACTTGGGTTGGTTGTGAGAGTTGGTGACGAAGGAGCGGGTGAGGCTGCCTAAGTATGTAAAAGAGTGTGGGGGGCTGAAAGCCTGGGGCGAAGTCAAAAGAGCGACTGGGTATGTGAGAGGGTGGTGAGGAAGAAGGAAGAGAAAGAGAAAAGACGAAGAAGCCCGAGCTGAACAAGATAAATGCCGGCGTGAGACGGGGTGAGGTGTGCTGCGGGCTAGGGGGCGGGGCCTGAGGCCAAAGGCACTTTCCGAGTTGGGAACCAACGATGCCGCTAAGGCAGGTACGACGAGTAGTCGGGGGGTACGTACCCGTGGCCAGTTGGGCGCGGCGCGTGTCTAACGGGCGAATGAGCAAGGGCCGGGGCCGGGCGAGGTAGGGAAGTGGCGGTCCACTGTGCAAGACGCCAGGCAAATCAGGGGGCCTGCCAGGATTCGCGTGGGTGCGTGCGAGAGTAGGTAGCAGTAAGCACCAACACCAGCAGCAAGGAAGGATCCTGGCCGAGGCGCCATGGACCGCATCCATCATGATCCATCCATGCGAAGGTCGCCGGCCGGTTCGCCCGGCTGCGTGATGGCTGATGACTGGTTGCGGTGGCTAGGGCGGCAGCTGGGATCCCGGGAATTGGCTATTTAGTGGGCGACCAGTCATTGGAAACCGCTGGAGGTCGCTGAAGCCTCGTGATGCCACCACTGAAAGGCCTGGACGAGCACACCTCCAGTTGCTTGCGCCTGTCCCAAAGGCGCATGTCCCAAATGGCGGACAGAGCTCGACACGCTAGCCGCCGCCTGCAGCTTGGAGCTTTTCTGGCTGCGCGTCTAGTCTATGCGAGGCTAGGCCATCTCCCCTGTCCAGTCATTTTTCAGAGACCCTCCCAAGGGGGCCTCATTAGGGAGGACGCGCTGCTGGATGGTGACATCCCAGCCTTCATGCCCTCTTACAATGTGCAATGTGCCAAGGTCCAACCCAGTCCTAGCAGAGGCGTCCATTCATTTGACATTTTTGGAACAACCAGGGCGAGCGTCCCATCCCCCCTTTGGAATCCTAACCGGAAAAATTGGGGAGGAGATCGGGCCATGACTCCGGGTCCGTCACAGAGCCTGCCAGTGGAAAGAAAAACCCGCCTCGCCAGGGGCCAACGCAATTTAATCTGCACCGCAGGGTGATTGACAATTGGCCGCGCTTGGGGTCGGCAGCTTGGCATCCAGTCAGGGTTTCCGGGGCTTCCCAGATTTCCAGGGGGAGAGCATGAACTGAGGAGAAATGGAGCATAATGGAGACCCTTCCGCGTACTGCGACCAACAAGGACACAGCAATCACCCCCTTTGACCAACATTAGATGATCGGTCTCTGCCTCGTCCAGACATGGACTGCGCGAGGACCATTTGCAAGGTGTTTATTAGGGCGCTCAGGATGTGCATGTGCAGGGTGTGCGGGGAGCATACTACGTGCTACGGAGTAGTGCGTGCCGCGAGCAGGCGCAGCAACCAGCCGGCAACAGGCATCCCGCTGCGGGCATTCAAGCAACCAACAAGGCTGAGCGAAAGTCAATGTGACGGCAGCATCCAATGGCCAATACCCGATTTAGTGGCTCGCGGCCTCTTTTGGCAGTCGCCGACAACCTTCTAACCGACACCGACAGAAGATGCTTGCCAATGCTTGATGCTGGTTGATGTCCTTTTGCCTGCTGCTAGTGTACCCGTTTTCGCAGAGGGCACCCAACATTGACGCACTCACAGGAGGACTCACACCGGACACACACCGCCGTGAGCCGCTGGACTGATGGGGAAATTCACCCACACACACTGGACCGACGTGATCGAACCAGCTCTGCGCCGCAAGGAAAACGAGGCGCTTTTCATTTTCGCACTTTATTAGCTTCGCATTCTGAGCTGGCTGCCTATTGATGGCTGCATCGGCTGCTGCCCACCCGCCGTGGCTCATAGGGCTGCTTCCTTTTGCCAAGCCAAGGGCACTGACACCTCCCGCTGCTGTTACATCACAAAAAAAAAGGTTGATCCAGATGTCTAGCTGATCCGGAAATAGGCGAGACAGAGAGACGACACCCTCGTGACTCTGGCAGGGGTATGGATGAGGGGAAGCAGGAGGGGTGGTTAACGAGATGACCACGTCGGAAGAAGTGAGTTGGTCGGATTGCGAGATGGATGGCATCATCATACCATCCAGCTCTGCCGCCTACCTGCTCGAAAGAGCAACGCTTGATGAATGGGTCTTGCGCTGATGAACGCAACCAACGACTCGTTCTGACATGGGCCTTTCCCTGCGCTCATTGCTCAACAGCCACGGTTACAACAGGTCCCGACGCCCCGTTTCATGTTTCAACAAAGCGCCTGTTGCTCTGTACTGTCAATTAATTCCTGCACCTTCACGGTGAGAATTCCCTCACCCAGAGACGCCAACTGCAAGGATTGATACACATTGCGCTATGGAGCACCATGGATCCCATGGGACCTCGCCTGCGCCTCAACGCAACCTAAATCGCGTCCAGCCTTGCCAACCCTCCATCTCACCTCTTGGCCCTGCTTGGCCAATGGCACGTACAGCGCTACGTCCCTAATTCGGGATTTCCAAACCGTAGTGTCGCCGAGCTCTTTATTCCCAAGACGCCGCTGACTGGTTTGTCCGCCATTATTGGATGCATGTTCCTGTTCTGCATGAAGCACGAGAGTGCCTTGTGGCCAGCAGCATTCAGGCGTATTTGGTCTCTGCTTCTCTCCATCTGTTCGCCAATTGAGTGAAACCCAACCCACCCTCTTAAACCTTAGCACACGCCTACCGCAGCCCTGTCCTCTCGATATGCACTCTCACGGTCTCGTCCGCCTTCAAAGTTTTCCTCGGCAGATTAAGGAGCATGGAATGAGCGGACGAAGCGCCGTCTCCATCTGCCATCTCGGTAGAAGGAAATTTCGTTCCAATATTTCCGGCGTCCCCATGTGGACGATTGCACCGTCTGGCAGAAATTGATGCAAGAGCCGGACGATCCAGCCGCCCATCTGCCATCTGCCGGTGACCACCCACAGCACGACCCGGTCACTTTCAAGGCCGCCACAGCTGAAGCCCGCTGAAGCCCGCGACTCTATTAGCGCTGCCCAAGTCCTCCATCCATGGCGCGTGCCTACAGCACGGCGTCCAGTCTGACAGAGAGGCCAGACACCGGGCTTCAGCTCTGTACGCCACAATCAATGCTACCCGGCTGCCTGATGATGCCGGGGAATGTATGGCTCATTGTGCTATTCAAGTTATCGCCGACGATGCTCTCTGGGTCATGCTGCACTTGCCGCAGGGCTGCAGACGCACAACCGCACAACGCTCACCACGTTTGTCTAGCTGTTGATGACTGCATCTTGCGTGGGGTCAGAACGAACCAGAAGCGTCGTTGTCCCCGAGGCTGTCAACCGGCATATAGTCCCTGCATGTGTTACTACGTAGTAGATACCACACCAGAGCCCTTGTCAGTCACGACAACCGTAATTTTTTCTTCCTGGTTCTTGCTTTCCTCTGTTCGGATTACCCGTGGTCCCAGAAGTAAGACTCACTACCACGAATGTCTTGATTCTCCCTTTCCATTAGCTACCCACTGCTTGGCAAGACATGGGGCTGGTTTCCTTTGCCGACGGGGGTTGACTGACCGAGATGAATCATATCCACGATCACACGCGGCACGGATCTCCGATGACTCGTGGGTTTCAGCCCACTGTGAGCCCAGACAATACCAAACCAGTGAACACTTGATAGCTCCCTCCAGCAACGCCACCAGCTGCAATTGGCCGCCTCAAAGCCCAAGACCGGCACACGATCAATAGTCTGGATGGCATTAACTGGGGGCACGCATGTTTAGTATACCCCTTTCCGTCTTTTCTCGGAGCAGACAGTAGTGAGCCGACAGAGACCCAACGGCGTGGCTGGCACAAGACCTTCTCTATGTTCTTTCTGGCCCACAACTGTGGGCTATTGTTGCTACTAGTTCGCATTTACACATTTCCTTTCTGCAAGGCGAGCGAAACCGTTAATTTGCCCTTGACCGCCGTCCCAAAGGAGACGTCAATGATGGCGCGGCCTTGACCAAGGTGGGCCTCGCACGGTTAGCAGAGAGGGGAGCCTTGTGATTTGCACGACGTGCGACGATGTCGACAGGCGTGGTTGCACCATGGCGCCCGGGTGGAGAGGCTAAGGCGGTTATTTCTGAAGACAGGTCTTTGGTCCTATACCGGAAGGCCTGTTACAGCCATCACCGGGCGTGCTAAGCTAGCTGGGCGGGGCTGAATGAGGTGAGTTGCGGCTGGGGCCAACTTGTGATGCTGGGCGAGATCGAGACCCCGAGCTTCACCCACTAAAGGGGGCGCCCGGCTCGGGGGTGGTGGCTTAGCTCCACTATCTCAAGCCTCCCTTAAACTCCTTTCAACTTGACAAGTTGAATGTGACTGGGGGAAGGACTAAAAGTGGCTATTTTTGTTTGATTTCCTTTGTAGCCAATCTTGTTTTGCCCCTTGGAGCTCATTAGAGTGATTAGAGTCGGACGCAGAAAGTTTGCACCCAACGCTGGTACCGTGAGAGCTTCACTAGGTAAGCATAATAGCTAAGTATCTCCTGCTGCTTTAGAATAAGGCATCTTAAAAGAAATAAGAATAGACAATAAAGATGAATGTAAGCACTTTACTCTAACCCTTGCTTGCTTCCTTATATTGGCGATAAACCGTGCCCTAATATAATTGTATAAGTGACTTATCCTACTGTGGAAGTTGCATCGAACACGCGCTCTTGTAGATGCCAAGCCCAATGGGTCGGTTCCCCAAGATCTGGTAGCTTCCGGATCTTCAGGAGTGGCTTCGCCGGGCCAATCATGGCCCGTCCTGAGCCTATCTCAGCAAACCCCGCCAGCCTCGTCGCCGCTTTTTTCTCTTTGCCCCGCAGCCTCGCCGTTCGCGGGAGTCAAACGTGCGTGCCGTACCTTGCAAGCCTCCGTCCGAGGCCCCGACCGCGCCAGACAACCAGGCCACGCACGCAAGTCGTGCCCATCTCCAGCGAGCATGACGGCTGGTGGCGAGCATCCCGGCGCGATACCCCCGTCCAAGCGGCGCAAGAGAGATGGCGATTCATCCCCCCCGTACGCCGACCATGATGCCGCGGCTCAACTGTCAACTGCGACGCGACGACTCTCGACTCGTGAGCGCCAGCGGGACAGCAGGACTATGAGTCGCAGCCCGGTGGCCGATGGCCCAGACACCAAGTACTACGACTCCCGCCGCTCCTCGCGGTCGCTATCGCGGACGAGATTGCGCTCCACGTCCAGGTCCAGCACGCGATCCGAGTCGCGAATGCCCTCGCCCTCACCTCTACAATCGCCCTCACGATCTCCTCGCTCGCCCTCGCCCTCTCGCTCGCAGACTTCCACAAACCGCACCCGCACCGACTCCCTCTCCCCCCGCCCTCCACAGCCAACGCCTCCCCACGAGCCCCTCAAGCCCAACTACCGCGCCCGTCTCGTCCTCCACGGCCACACCAAGCCCATCTCGCAGGTGCGCATCTCGCCCAACGGCCGCTTCATCGCCTCCGCCTCGGCCGATGCTACCCTCAAGATCTGGGATGCTGCCACTGGCGCGCACATGGACACTCTCGTCGGCCACATGGCCGGCGTGAGCTGCCTGGCCTGGACGCCCGACAGCAACACCATCGCCAGTGGCTCTGACGACAAGGCCATCCGACTCTGGGATCGTGTGACGGGACGACCGCGCACCACGGCTCGGAAAACAGGGGCTGGCCAGGAGATGGCTCCGTTGAAGGGGCATCACAACTACATTCACTGCTTGGCCTTTTCGCCAAAGGGCAACATCCTCGCCAGTGGTTCGTACGACGAGGCTGTGTTTCTATGGGACGTTCGGGCTGGGAGGCTCATGCGCAGTTTGCCGGCACACAGCGATCCCGTCAGCGGCATCGACTTTTCCAGGGATGGCACTCTCGTCGTGAGTTGTTCCACAGACGGCTTGATGTAAGTGACCCTCTGCTCATCTTAAAGTACCTCGAACTAATGACCTCAATAGCCGTGTATGGGATACCTCCACAGGCCAATGCCTTCGCACCCTAGTCCACGAAGACAACCCAGCTGTCGCCAATGTCTGCTTCTCTCCCAATGGGCGGTTCGTCCTGGCCTTCAACCTCGATAACTGTATTCGCCTCTGGGACTACGTCGCCGGCAGCGTCAAGAAGACATACCAAGGCCATCTCAACGAGAAGTTCGCCGTGGGCGGCTGTTTCGGCGTCCTTGACGGTGAGCCCTTTGTCGCTTCGGCTAGTGAGGACGGCAGCATTGTCCTGTGGGACGTCAAGAGCAAGGCGCTGCTACAGCGCATCGAGGGACACAGGGGGGTGTGCTTTTGGGTGGACGTCCATGGCGAGACCATGGCGAGCGCAGGACAGGACCACACGGTTCGGGTGTATCGGAACGTCAGAGATGTCCCAGCGACGAATGGAGCCATTGGCGAGGAAAGCCAAGAATTGCCGATCCGCCTGGACGATGTGAAAATGGAGAATGCGTAGTTGCATAGCAGATCAAGGGTTTACTAGCGACGGCGTTACAATGGAATCACGGCATGTCAAGGTAGTCCTATCATAAATGCTTTTCGTATGTTGTCAAGCTATTTCCACAAGCCATTTGGTATTTTGCACGGCATGTCAAAATAATATCTCTTAACGATGTCTACGTGCCACTGGTCTTAATTTCAAGACTCTGAATTCAAAATGCCAAAGCGAGATTGAGATCATTCCCTCGTTCTTGTTTGCTGCTTGCGCTTGATCGGCCCGGTTCCAGACAGCAAACAAATACGTTGCACTTGCACGATGGCAGTGGCATTGAAACATGGAAAACCGATTGCAATACTGTCTCGAGGGAATATGTCCGTGTGAACCAGAACCACGGGTTTAGTACCTGAACTGGTAGCGAATTGATACACAGGAGAAAAACTCCTCCAAGCTGGGATGTAGCTCGTCGTCTTTGCATCCTCGAGGCCGCCGCCTACACCAAGCAAATGCGAATCATCAGCCTCCTTTCTTCTCGCGTCCCCCTGAACCGAAACAAGCTGGATTGCCTCAAAATGCGCGTATCCTTCGCGAAACCAGCCAACGGGCCGCTACATTTCCCTCAACAATAGCCAAGTCCAATAAACAACAGGACCTGCACTTCCTAGGTTGTCCATTCTGAGCACACTCGTGGAGAAAGGCAAAAATCCCACTTGCAGCAAGTACCGAAGACTCAAAATTGCACAATGTTGCCAGGTGCAAAAGTTCAATCAAACTCGACCTCCACGTGCTGTCCGCCCACTCGTTTTCCTTGATAGTAGATCATGAATTCGACTGTGCCGTCTTCACAAGCCATTTTGATGTCGAAATTGAGTCTATGATAGACTTTTCCAATACTGTTGGTCCATGTTGGGAGCGACTCGAATGAAACTTTTTGGTTCCATGCCATCTGGCACATTCTGTGAACCGTAGAGTCTTTTGTTGATGGAGGCGGCGAGGTTGACGAAAACCATATCTCCTCGCTAACGCTGGAAACAGGCTTGTCAAGAAGCTTGAAGTAGCTTTGAGTAACCGGTTTCTTGCTGTTCATGTCGGCACCCTGAAGCTGGTAAGCGCATTGATCGTATCCATCGGGTGTTTAGAGATACCTTGACCAGGAACCAATGCATTTGATTCGTTGCTTGGTATCTCCGTTGTGGTTCATTCCACCGTTTATCACATTCCTGATGCTTTCCTTCAATCCAGGCAGTGTCATGTTCGATCCCGTAGCTGATACGAGCAATTCTGGCTCCAACGGCAACGTGAAGGTTCGGCGAGAGACCCATGTTCATGAGACCATGAACGACGGCACCACGGCAAATTGCGGTCCATCTACAATGAAACTTAGGGCAAAAGCTTGGACTCGGTATGGGGTACACACTCACGGCTTGTTTCCTGCACCTTGGAGAACGTCGGATCTGTACTCAGCCTGCAGTCGATTGAAGAGGTACCGACTGCGTCCAAACCCACCAACAAGGATAATGTACTGTCACAGTCAGTCGATCCAGCTTCTAGATAAAGAGTACGGCATCAGCTTTGTACCTTCGGATAGGTTGAGTACTTTTTGACGACGGCTTGAACTTGGTCCTCAACTAGCTTTAGTATCTTCTTGACCACCGGTGAGAAAACGGACAAGATCTCTTCTCTAAAACCCTCAGTCAGCCGCCACCCTTGGAAGAGGGCCTCGGTATCGCTTACGAGCTCAAGTCTATCGTTCGGCGCCGCTTTAAGCGTCCCGACTTCACACCACAACCTTCTGGGAGGTCAAATAGCCAAGTTCTTGACTGGTTTTCGAATTGTGGCTTGATGCCATGCTCCCATGAATCATTCAAGACCTTCCTTTGTTCAGCTTTCTCAACTCTGTTCCATGCAACTGCAGTCATTTTGCGCTTGATCAATTTGACGAATTCTTCGTCGAGGAACACACCGCCACATAAACCCCCTTCGTTTATTCAGCAATGTTGGGTATTAAACGGAGTCTTGATACATACCGTCGCCTTTGACACACTCTTTGACCACGAAAGGATCAACTGACTCAATAATATAGCTGATAAGATCCTTATATGGGGTTAGTATTAGATGATAACCCTCATCTGGAAATGCTTACAACTGTTCCACCACCGGCGTCACAAACAACAATAGTATCTCCTGTCTGGCAATAAAAGGTCAATACCTAGAACCTAATGTTGGAAGTTAAATTTGCCTCATCTTAATGTTGGATCTATTCGAGAGATCCTTGAGAGTAGCCAGAGCTGCTGCCTCTGGCTCTGAAATAAAGCGAAGTGTTGTCTCCCCACAAGGACGTTTGCCCAAAATACCAGAGAGATTAACCGCTCGCTTCATTCTTTGTTGTGCATAGTGCGGCCAAATAGCTGGCATGGTGACTACCACATGGAATTTGCTATTTTGGAGCAAGCCGGCTCCGATAGAACGCCTGATGCTGTCCATGGAATGATTCCAGAGGTTTCGAAGAAAGCAACTAATGATTTCGGCCGGGTCTTTGTTGGCCACATCTCTGAGTCGTCGAGCTTCGTGAAGTTGAGATGAAGCACTGACATCCTTGGAGATGTCCTTGTCGTCCAGAAGTAACAGTTTGAACCACTTGAGTGCGTCCTTGTTGGGTGGTATGGAATAACCCCACATTGTGGCTTCGTCTTCGTCTCCATAGAGAATCGAGGTGGGAGTCTTCTCCTTGTCCGAGCAGTGGTTGAATTCCGTATCCCAGTTGGTGATCTGTTCGATCTCGTCTGGTTGTCCCGAATATGCCCAGGCAACACCCGAGAATCTGGTGGTAAATCAGCACTAGAATAGACTAGACACAATGGAAAAACTCACGTAGTGCCAAAGTCAATCCCAATGACGAGGATATCATCTGTTGCTTGGTCTGCAGGCATGGTATTCTCGCCTCGAAATGTCCTTAGTTCTCGAGGTGAACGAATGTTGCAAAGGCGGTTGAGCTGAAATCTGATGAGATGCAGGTTCCAGTCGCAGCAGAAATGCCCACAAGGTAAGAAGCCGAGGCGGTTCTAGAATTAAGGCTTTGTGGCGATTGAGATCTGAGATGCAAGGTGGTGGTTGCGAGTTGAGAAAAGCGAAAGTGAGTGCTCGCGTTTCTTTGCAAATAATGCGAGGAGCTGAACAAGCAGCTACAGTGAATCACTGTCTACCTAGTTGCATGAATTTTTTGCTCAATCTCTTTTCAGCCTCATTTCAGTCTCCCGTCACCTTGATGTTTTCTCTCATCTCTCTCCTGCATGCATTCATCTGAGCGACTTGTCTCTTTCACGACGACTCGCATCATATGCATGCTCTCTGCCCAAACCCAAGCTACAGGCTCATTACCCTCAACTTTCCGCCTCTGAGATCTTGCAACATTTGACCAACTTTCGATTATTGTACCAAGCTATCCCACTGGGTCATCTGTAGGTCAAATCTCCCAGAGAAGACAAGCCAAAGTCCATCGCCTGCTCAATAATACTAACTTCCTTGCTTAGGTATTTGGGGCTTCTTTGTCTACCTACTTTCTTGGGTAATGGAGTCTCAAGCGCAGGAAGCCTTGGCGGCGCAAACCAGGAACCAACCCTACCCGTGGATGAAGAATGGGGAAGATGCCTTTATTGTCCATTCTTCGAGTCGAAGCTCTCCATCAGCTCCGGTCAAGATGGATTTGAGTGGCCATGAGTATGAGGAGGGATTACCTCACCCATTCAATGCTTCCAGCGTCAATCACCGACATGGAGGACATGGGGACAATTTTGAGCTTCCTACCGAAGAGAAACTTGAATCGGTCGACGGGACCACTATGGAAACTTTTCTTGACGACCAGGAGCAGAAATCTAGCGTGTCCCTTAGTACACCCAACACTGAATCTGAGGCAGAAGGGCCCAGTCTCATTGATTTAGTCAAGGGTGGCTTCGACCAGATTACCGGCTCTCTCAGTGCCTTGTCCAAACAAGTCCATGACCCAAGGAACTCGAAGGAAATAGCCCGGATCAAAAAGCAACTCGAGGATGCGACCGAGAAGGATCTCCGACTGACTACGGAGAACGCAGCCCTAGAAATAATCATCAACACCACCAACGAGAAGCTCAGGTATGCTACCGAGCGGAACCTTCGGTTGACGGCTGCGCACAAAGCCCTGGCAATGAAACTTCATAATACAAACTCGAAACTCGATAGAGCCCTCCAAGATCGGAACGCCCAACGGTGTAACGCCGATGGCGATGCATTGGCAGATTCGAGGAAAGCTACGGATGACACCGTCCAGAGCAAGTGGAAGCAACTCGACTATAACATTCGTAGTCTAGCTCATTACTTGGCGGCATCGCTGCCGAAACAAATCATGGGCAGTCTTTCAAAGGCGAAGTTTCGCCGCCTTCACCCTTCCTGGCGGAAATTCCTCGAGGATGACGACTTCAGAGAGCCCTTTTTGGAGTGCTATTTGTGGCATGTCGTCACGAACCAAGTCTTCGATGCTTCTGGGAACATCCACGGCGGTCAAAGTGACATTCCCCGTTCCATAAAATCTACACAAAAGAAAATGATGGGTAAGAAATCAATCTCCTGTCTCACTCCACGATATGCTAACTCCAATAGCGAGGGCTGTGAAATCCGAGCACCACGCCTCGTTGTACCAGCGTTTGGCCCGATGGCGTGCTCAAGGCTCAGCCCTGTTTGAAGAACTTCGGGATAGCAACGAGAAGCAGCTCAACGATGTCATCTCGGCCGAAACTCGTTTGCTTCGACCATTTTGGAGCGAAAAGCCTGGCAGTTCGGACAGATCGGAAGTCAAAACATGGGATGAGATGAAAGGCATCCTAGAAGGTGCCTTGGAGCTCGACCGCCTGCTCATGGGGTCCAAGGCTATATTTAAGGCTTGCTGGGAAAATTCCATGCGGAAAACAGCTAACCCACTCCGATACAACCCGCACAAAATGGACGTGGTTGCGTCGAACCATCCAATTTCGGCACGGAGCCAAGTGACATTCTTCACATCGCCAGTTCTCTTCAAGGTGGGCAATGCCGATGGCCAGAACTATGACAAGGTTGCGGTGCTTGTCAAGGCATCTGTCGTGTGCGATTAGGATAGGAGTTGGTACTCTGCTTTGTTCCAGGGTTTCGGACACTTCGAGGGTCAAAGATGGAATGAGTCCACAATGAGAATATGACCAGTCAATACGGGATTTCGCCCCAGTTCATGGTCAGTTCTCATCATTGGACAGCAGGTATTGTCTCACATCGATTACTATTTGCTTGAGTTGTCAAATACTGTTTAAGATCCAATGCTTGTGATTTGAAAAGTGACTAAAGATACCTATTACATATTAAACCATCCCATGCAGACCCATAATGGACATGTGTGCCCCTGTATACCCAAGATTTTCTTCCCAAAATTATCATCCCTCCATATCCTCCATGTATCCTGGACTCCGTCCCGCTATGTATGAGTAAGTCGCGCCCAGATTAAGAATTAAGTGTTTGAACACATCGTCCCCTTCGCAAAAGTTTACAAATCAGGTGCTGAAACACCGCGCTCGAGAGAGCGACTTCTCAGCTTAGATGTCGATGCTGAGATTGAGGAGAGATTCATCATCTTCGTCCTGGTGAGAAGTAGGCATGTCCGAGTGCCAGGCTTCTTCGCTGGGCGAGCCGCAGGTCAGGTCGTACCAGACATCGGACTGGGCGGAGTCGAGCTTGCGGACGGACTTGGAAATGGTCAAGCCATAAAGGGCACAACGGGGAGCGCCAGCGTTGTTGGTGTAGTAGCGGTAAGACTGGCAGCCACGAGTGGTTTGGAGAGCGTTCTGTCAAGTGGAATCCAAGGTCAGTCATCTAGTTGTTAGGGGCGGAAGTTGGAAGGCTTGACTTACGATACAGAACTGGTAGCAATCCTCGAGCGAGACAGGCACACCGGGACGCTCCTCAGTGAACTCGGAGATGAAGTAGGTGCTCGCAGGCGTTCCGTGCACGCCACAATAAGTGGTGTCCTTGCTAGGGGAACCAGGCTGCACAGTGTGTTCGCAGATGGTCTCCTTGGCGGGCAGGGGATAAGTGGGGGTGGTGTTCAACACGGGAGTCGAGACGGGAACCATGTAGGTGTCAATGACAGGGGTCTCGGAGGTCGAAGAGGCCGAAGTCGTGGTGGAAGAAGAGAGGAAAGGAGTCACGCTGACAGGCTTCGAGGTGCTAGTCTCGTCGCAAGGCTCAGTGCTCGAGGAGGAGGGTGAAGAAGCAGTTGTGTTACCAGGAACAACGGTGCTAGTCCAGGTAGTAGTGGTGTCATCATCGCAGGGCTCCGTGCTAGAGGATGGGATCGCAGAGGGAGTCATAGTCTCGTCGTCGCAAGGCGTCGTGGGGGTCATGTTGCTGACGATGGTTGAGGAGGTCATTGGGGTGGTGGTCTCGTCATCACAGGGCTCGGTGGACTCATGACGCTTCGTGTTGGGGGCGGTTATGCTGTAGTTGGCGAAAGGAATAGGAGTGAAGACGATGACTGGGGGTTCGCTAGCGGAGGTTACAGATGAAGTCTCATCATAGCCAGGCTCGGTGGATGCGGCAGGCGTCGTGTAAGGAGTGCTAAAGTTTCCAACAGAGACAGGCGTAAAGGTAACGGGATCCTCGCTAGTGGCGGTGGAAGATGTGGTCTGGTTGTGGTAAGGCTTGGGAGACTCAGAGGGCTGCACGTAAGTGTTGGAGTTGCCGAAAGGGGGAGTGTAGAGAGGAGCTGAGTGACTAGTAGGAGTCATGGATGCGGTGCTGTTGTTGCGAGACTCAGTCGAGGTGACAGGTGTAGTCTGAGGAGTGCTGGAGCTTCCAACGGAGACGGGCGTATAGAGACTGGGGTACTCGCTGGTGAGTGTCGCAGATGTAGTCTGGTTGTGGTAAGTCTTGGGGGACTCATGAGGCTGCACGTAAGTGTTGGTGTTGCCGAAAGGAAGAGTGTAGAAGGGGGCGGAGTGGCTAGTAGGAGTAGCAGATGTGCTCTGGTTATAGTAAGGCTTGGGAGACTCGGAGGGCTTCACATAAGTGATGGAGTTGCCGAAAGGGGGAGTGTAAAGAGGAGCGGGCTGGCTGGTGGGAGTAGCATATGTGCTCTGGTTGTGATAGGTCGTGGGAGACTCCGTGGGCTTCACGTAAGTGTTGGAGTTACCGAAGGGAAGGGTGTAGATGGGAGCGGGCCGGCTAGGAGTCGCATATGTGCTCTGGTTGTAATAAGGCTTGGGGGACTCAGAGGGCTCCGGGTAAGTCGTGTTGGAGTCGCCAAAGGGAAGGGTATAGATGGGAGCGGGGCGAGTAGTAGGGGTCGCAGATGAAGTCTTGTCGTCGTTGGGCTTGGAGGACTCAACAGGAGTTACGCGAGGAGTGCTGTAGTTGCCAACCACACCGGACGTGTAGAGACCAGGATTCGCGCTGGTAGGAGTCGAAGATGAGGTATCATCGCAAGGCTCAGTGGACTCGGCGGGTTTCGACTCAGGCGTCGTATAGGTGGTGTTGGAGCCGCCGAAGGGAAGGGTGTAGAGAGCATGAGGGTGGCTAGAAGGAGTAGCAGTCGAAGTCTCGTTGTCGCAAGGCTCGGTGGAAGCGACAGGCGTAGCGTGAGGAGTGCTGAAGTAACCGGTGGAATCAGGTGTAACGATGCCAGGCTCTCCACTAGCAGAAGTCTCGTCGTCGCAATCCGAGGTAGGCGAAACGTGAGTGCTCAGAGTTGTCGACCAGAGAGAGGGAGCCGTGTAATGAGGAGGGCGGCCTGTCTCGTTGGCGGGGAACGAGGGATCATCCATGCAAGGCTCCTCGGTATCGGTGTGATACGCATCGGTGTGGTACACTCCAGTGTGAGCGGTGCGAGTAGAAAGCGAGTGCAACATGGTCGAGTTCATGGGGTACAGGAGATCTTCCGAGCAAGGCTCGGTCTCAGTGCTGTGGTGCTCCTCCACGATAGTGGCCGTCTTGGGTCCGGTGTACCCGGGCGCAGTCTCGTCATCGCAGTCCGTCGAGACACTGGAGAGATGGGCGGAAGCCTTGGTGTTGTGCGTAGTGGCAGGCTCGTCATCATAGGGCTCATTGGTGTAAGTGAAGTTGGACGTGGCGGTGATGAAGACGGTAATGTCGACGGTGGTGGTGGAGACGAAAAGGCTAGCAGTGGGGCATCCGATAGTCGCCACGGAGGTGTCGCCGAAGATAATGGTCTCAGTGTTGGGATGAGAGCTCGTCGAAATGGACGTGTTGGTGGTGTTGTAGAGATTGGGGTCGGGGAAGTAAGAAGGAGGAGGTGCGTAAGCCTCTGAGTCGGCGCGAGCGGCTACTCGGGGCCTAAAGACTCGGCGGCCTCTGAAGTCTCTCGCATCTCGAGGCACAGCGGTCTCTGATCTGATCTGTGCGAGTTGTTAGGCACCGTGGTTAATGGAAAGTTGCAGGCGCTGGCTCATACCATGTTGAACTCGGTGCCCTTGGGAGCAGCCTGAGCAGCTGTCGCGAGGAGCCCGACAGCGCCGATAAGCGTGTGTACAAGCATCGTGAAATTAGTGTATTAGCAAGTAGTAGTAAAGAAGGAGTTGATCAGCTAGGCAAATGAAGAGGTTGTTGCGGGAGAGGAGGCGGAGGAGGAGATGGAGGAGGAGATGCTGTTGAGAGTGATGATGAGAATATGCCATTGGGGACGAGTCCCATCATCTTATATATCGACATGATCGTTTCTCCAGGGAAGCCGCCGAAGGGGCCAATCGATATTCAGGGACGAGTATTGACGGTTGTGAAGGGCGATTATCGACGAGGGAGCCTCCTAGAAGTCGGACCCTTGGAAGGGTTGACGGATTCTGGGGCAGATTTATTGCAAGGGAGTCACCCATTAATATACACATAGGGAGATCCTTTTTGCAAGGGCGGGAAAAGCAAAAATTGAAGAGAGGAGCGGCCCGAACAGGGTGAGAGACAAAGTGGGTTCTATTGTCGATTTCTCTCGATACCTACTAAAAGCAATGAGGCTCGTGATTCGTGGAAGCCCTTGGCAGGGACGATGCGGAGATGATGCATAGACGACGCAAGAGATGCATAGGTAGTGCAGGCAAGTGCAGACAGGTGCAGGCAAGTGCAGAGAGGTGCAGTGAAATGCAGTACGTGTGTGTGTGCGTTTGCAATACCATAGAGAGTGTGTTATTCGTCTTTTAAAGTACAAAATGTGCACCGCCAATTCAATTGGGGTGAAGTCCGTAATATTGGACCAATGCAGATGTGCAGGAGAGGGTATCAAAACAGGGTCACGCAACGCCGCCGTGGCCCTTTGCCAACGAAAACCATATGCATATGCTGAAAATCCATGAACAGTCCGCCGTCCGTGATGCATCCGTAGTAAATAAGTCCTTGTCCAGTGTGGCCACGCTTCAAGCGAGGCTGTTGTGGAGAAACCTGGCCATTGAGGCGCCAGTCGTGTCTCATCGCTCGCTCTTCAGTCCTCCCAGATGGTCTCAAGATCGAGATCACCTCTCCGCTCAGCTCCACAGACGCTCCAGCGCTTCCGCTTGTCCCTGGAGCCAAAGCCCATAGTTCGGCCCCGGGCCACGTCCAAGCTGCTCCGCCCCTTTGATTCCGAGGATTCACCTCCTTCTGCGGCATCCGCTGCAGCCTTGAGTTGAGCGATGCGTTCGGCTTCCAGCGCCGCCTCCTCCGCATCAGGCGTGTCGGGGATGGTTTCCAAGCTGGAGATGCTAGGGCTGCGAGATCTCGTAGATGTCGGGGTGGAGGGCACAGAGGAGAATGCAGTTCCATAGCTGCCCGAGAGGGCGTCATAGCCCCGGAAGGAAGAAGTCGATGAGAGTGAGGATGATGAGAAGGAGGACGGTGAGATGGAGGACGATGGGGTGGAGGGATATGTCACCAATGACCCAGTGCTCGAATGGGTGACAGTGCGGAGAGGGGATGAAGGTCGTCGCAGCCGGGCGGGAGTGCTAGTCGAAACGCCGAAGATGGGCGAGCTGCTCCTCCTCTCGCCGTGTCTTCGCTCAGGCTCAAGGACCGAGGCTCGGACGGGTGAGGTTGGGGGGAAGGACTCGTCCGTGGGCTTTCGCGGGGCCCGGACGCGGCTCGGGGAGCTCGAGGGACTGGCGGGCCGGTGTTGCTGGGGCGAATAGAGGATGTGACCGGAGCCGTTGACGCCAGGCATCGACTGGGTGCGTGACATGGGAGGTGCGAGGCTCGTGGTGGAGCGGGATCGCGAGTGGGAACCTGAGAGCGGGGAGGCGTTTCGCGGGCGGTATGGAATGAAGGTGGAGGCGGCCCACGAGGGCGAGGCGGGAGAGGCAGGCGAGGTCGGACTAGGATCGGTGCTGCGTCTCAGCGGCGATGGCTTGCGGAGGACGTCGATGTCGAGGGTCGAGAGCGTCTTTGGGTTGTGAATGCGAAGCGCAGGTGCCAGAGGAGTCGAGGGCACTGGCGAGGGCCGAAACTCCTCCATCCGCTCCGTCTCAGGAACGGGCTCCATGGTGGTGTGGTGGTGGTTTTGGGAGGATCGTCTGGCCACCCGGTGGTCGTCAGGATGGCAAGGATGACATGTGTTGAGATGGAGAAGAATTGATCGAGAGCTGGGCGGCGAGACCCGGGGATGCGCGACCGTGGGTGGGACGATGGACGAAGCTATCCGCTATCCGGGGAATGACGCAGCGGCTACAGCTCCCTGACGGTCGTCGGCTAGAGCAGCTTAGCGCCGCGAGAGCTGGCTGGCGATGGGGCGGATGGGCGAAGTGAGTTGATGCAGCAGCTCGTGGTAGGGTGCTCTGCTTCAAAGGCCTCGTCGACTCGATATTCCAAAGGGCGAGATTGATGGAAACTCGATGGAAGGAGGAAAGGCGGGGGCGGAGAAGTCGAGCTGGTTGGAATGAGAGCCCCGGGGTCGATTGAGGGAGATGAAGACGGAGAGGGAGAGGGAGGGAGATGGAGAAGTAGCGTTTGAGAAGCCGGCGGGATCGACAGCGGGCGAGCGGTGAACGGGAGGAACCAGGGCGCGGAGAACGGGAGCGCGGAGTTGAAGGGGAGCAGGCGGAGGGATAAAGGGAAACGGGAAGCGGAAAAGCGAAAGGGGGCGGAAGGAGGAGGGCGGGAAAGGAGAAGACGAAGGAGGAGAACGGGCTGAGTCGTGAGGCGTCGTAGTGTTGAGAGCGAAGCCAAGCGAGAGTGAGGGCCAGCGTGAGTGTGAGCAAGTGACAGTGCGCTGAGCGCGTGGTGTGTGACGAGTGACAAGTGACTGACTGGGTCCCAGTGAGGTTGGAGGGGGGGACCTCCAGGAGGAACGTGCGACGCGAACAGTGGGTTGTGCCAGGTGTGTGCCAGGTGCCCAGTGCAGTATAGTGAGTGGCCTGTGACAGTGGCCGGGACAGCACTACGGAGGGTAGTCCAGTGGTGGCCACCTACCTTACGGTACAGGTGGGTGGCTCCGGTACAGGCGGTAAACGGAGGACGCGGTACCTACCTATGCTCAGCGCTGTGCTGTGCCCTGCTGGCTGTACCCTGCTGGCTGTAGGGCGCGTAGCAAGTCGAGACGACAACAACAACAAGACGCGGACAAGATGAGACAGGTCAGGTCAACACAAGACAAAGACAAGAGCCGGCCTGTCACATTCCTCTCCAAATTGACAGCTGAGCACCTACAACCCTGCTCCAACCCCGAACAGCAGGTCAACGCAGTCAACAGCACGCAAAAGGGCCTGCCAATTACTAATTCATCATGAGAGCCGAGGAGGCGAAAAACAGTACGTAGCGCCCGGAGCCATGACAAAGGGCGTGACGCCGCCCTTCTAGAACACATCCCGTCCGTCCCCTGGCGCACCTGTTCCCCGTCACCCACACGCCCTTCTGCCCCCCCCCCCCCTCGAGTGAGTTGCCCTGTGGCGGCTGGGTTAGCTAGCGGGCTTTTTTTTTTTTTTTCAAAAAAGACGCTCTGTACCACATGCGTTGGTTGGTTTGAGGCTACCGTGCAACACTCCAAGCCGCGTGGAGAAACGGATCGGTTCCTGGCGCCTCGTTTCCACCTTGACGAATTCCCACTCTTCTCTCATGCTTGGAGTCTTTGCGTCCTAGGCGGATCCTTTGGCCTCCCCGGGCCCGCGTTGCCGGGTCGCCAATGCCAACGCCCATGTCAACACCAATGCCCGTACCAAAAGTTCAATGCCCAGGTGCCGGGAACTCCGTCCTAGTCTCCAGGTCCGCCCGGCAATAATAGTGGGTGCCCGCCCTGGGTTTTAGGGGTCTCTCTACTCCGTAGCGGCAAGGGGGTTGCGCTGCCACTAGGCCTGTAGTGATCCGTCTAGCACGCCGTCTAGCAATCGATAGGGCCAACCGGGGATGACAATCTGACTCGACCCAGCCGCCACTTTGTTTTGGGGGGCGATTGGGCGAATCGGCGAATGGGATCTTGTTCCTTGGCCATGCGAGGAGGGACGGCTCCTTGCTGCCTGTTGCCTGCGTGCTGCATTGTTGTCACTCCATTGTACTTCGTATCGAGTGAAACTCCAGAGGTACCGGAGCGGAGCGAGGAGATTCAAGTAATGCTCCGCGAGGATCACCCGTCCCCTGTGGCAGCCAACAAATGGCTCATTCGAGCCTCCAGCCAGGAAGTACATGCAATTCACAAGGCCCTGGTGCAATCCCCAAACACCAAAAGACGGAAGAAAACAAAGAGCAATCGAACGCTGTCATCACTACGTGCAGCCAGCTTTCCCGACCCCCAAACTCCCCCCCACTACGCATCCTCCATCCCCTGGCTTGGCCTCACAGCGTCTCGCCCGCAAACCCCCCCCCTCCTCGGCGCCCTGGCCCCCAAGGCGCCAAAACCAGGATACTCCCAGCTCATTGGCTATCACCAATCTGCGATGACGTTCCAGGACGCCAACGCGCTGCTCGGTTGGTCTGTGATGCTCGTGTTCTCATGCACAATCCTTCGCGTACCTACATATGGTGGGTTGCCGTGTTCGTCTCAACTGATGCACCTGAAGAACTGCAAGATGAAAATAAAATAAATGAATACCAATGGGAAGAATAATATCACGATATTAAATGTTTATATTAAAATAACCCTTTTTATAGTGCTTGGTTTTGGATTAACGAGAACTCCATGTCAGTGGAGTGCTGTCACTGGACTGGACCCTGGACGCATGATGCTGTCAACAAATATCCGTAAACTCCGAATATAATAACAGTCCAAACACAACAAGTCTAAATCCGAAACAAACGGAACTCAATGGCTCTTCTCTGCACTTATGACGTACACGAGATCTATCAATTTCCCGCTTTCAACCTCAACTCTCACGCTCCCAGGATATACCTTACAAGATCTCACCACCCTTGTCAGGCCTCTCGGCATCCTCCGACACCCATTGAGGCATTATAATTTTTCGCCACATCCAACACTTTGAGCTTAGTACGCAATTCTCAATGGGTTGAAATCATTGTTTAATAAAACCAGCGAGGTGGGTTGATGACCTGCTGTCACGAACGCGAACAGAATCAACCAGGAACACAATCCACACAGTACCTTCTCCTTCTCTTGACATCCAAGTCACTGCAGTCTTGCTCTTCCCTAGACCATTTAAGCCTTCTCGGTGGCCCCAGGGAGCTCTCGCTCGATCAGGTCCAGCTTGCCCTTGTCCTTGGCCTCCTGCACAGCCGCCACCTCGGCCTCCAGACGCGAGCCACCCTTCTTAGTCTTCCAAGCTGGCACAGCACCCTTTCTGAAAAGCTCCTCCACCTCTTCAATGGTCTTGCCACAGGTCTCGGGGTAACTATTCACGTATTAGTCAGAAACATTTTCAGTCATTGAGGAACGAGAATCACCAACGTAAACCAGGCTTGCACAGCAGCTGCCAAACAGAGAACTCCGAAAACAATAAAAATGTTTCCTTTGATGTTGAGGAATGTGAGTGGAGTGAACATTCCTTGAGATATTAGATTCTAAATATGATGTAGTTGATGTTACAGAACGTACCAAGAGCGAAGTTGAAGAGCCAGTTGGCCTCGGCGGCTAGGGCCATACCTGTGGCGCGAGTTCTAGTGGACTAAACCTCAGCAGCGTAAATCCAAGCAACTGGGGCAAGAGTCAAAGCGTAAATGATAATCAGGAGGTAGCTGAAGGCAATAACAGTATTGGCGGGAGACCTAGTGACGCGAATGACCACGTTGGCGTTTCCGCCGACACCTCCGGGAACATCCTCTCCGTAGGCACTCAGCATGCCAACGACGACAAATTGATATAGACCCATAGTGATGGAGCCCTAGACTGGGAGTGAACGTCGTCCAGTCTTGTCAATAAAAAAGAACTGACGGTCGTGACGACGATGAACAAAGCGTACTAGACTCCAGCTGTGATGAGGTTAATATTTCCCGTGGGATTGGCCATCTAGAACACATACGGTATAGTCTAAGCAAAGATATTAGCATCATCATGGCTAAGTGGTTTGAGCATTATGCAGTCAACTATGCTTTGTGAGTGCCTCTAATTATACTTGGGAGCTGTCTAGGGTAAGGTGCATGTGGGGCCGGGCGGGTGTGGCCCGGGGAGGCGGGGAAGTGGGGTCAAAGGTTATTTGGTGGGGGATACTGGGCAGTGGGTCACTATCTAGACGACTACAAAAGAGGGCCAGCCACAACTAGTGAGTAAAGCGACAAACAGACAATTTACCAGCAGAGCGGCCAGAAATCAAAACCGAACAAGAACGGTCAAAACCGAAGAAGAAAATCAAGCACTTACAAACCATGACGTTCGCTCCACTCAGTTGCTGCCAGGCCTGGACCGACAATCCAGCCATGGTTCGCTTCCACATGCCGTTCTTGATGAACTTGCGCCAGCCTTTGCCAGACTCTCGTTCACTGGCCAGGGTCTCGGAGATCTCACGCCACTCAGCAACGGCCAGGACATCGTGAATGTCGCCTTTGACCTGGATATAGGCGAGGGTGTGGATAGCCTCCTGGTCACGGCCGACCTTGGCGAGCCATCGGGGGGGGGGGGGGGGTGGGGGGGGGTCGAGGGAGGACAGGAAGGCCAAGCATAAGGAAGACGCAGGGGATGAATTGAGTTCCCCATGCAGTTCTAAACGATGCAGTACCCTCAATGTAGCCGCAGCCGATAAAGCACCTAAGTCTCTAGCTAACCTAGAGTCTCTCTCATATTGACGGGCTAGACATACATGATGAGAATACCCCATTCGATAGCTAGCTGCAGAATAATACTGATGCGTCCGCGGCGCTCCTAAAACGAGGTGAGCAATTGGTCTATGGGAAAGAAGGGAAGTGGTACGAACGCGCTTGGCAATCTCGGCAAGATAGGCGGGGACCTGAGAAGATGTGATGCTAACACAGACACCGTTGAGGATACGGCCAGCGACGAGGGATCCGAAACCATTGGTGGCAACCTGAACTGCAGTGCCGATCAACCACCAAAAGCACGCAAAAATAATACCAGGGTGACGTCGTCAGCAAATATGCTTAAATTTAAGCATGGGGGAAGAACGGTATACCTGTCACGTCGACCCCACTTATCAGAGATGGGGCCTGCGATCAAAGAACCCAGAACGGATCCAGTAGCTAGGGCGGAGCCGATGGCACCTTGCTTGACACCGCTGGGGTTGTCAAAGCAGTCGATGTATTGTTCGGTGGTGACAATGGTTGCCATGGAAGAAATATCGAATCCGAAAAGCATGCCTCCCACGGTGGCCACCATGGCCATGAAGTAGGTGTTTGCTGAAACTTGGTGTGTTAGTGACGCGGTCTGTGTGCGTGGGAGCAGCACCGGCGGGACTGACTGATCTTGAGAAGCTTCGCCATGGTGGGCTAAGATACTATGGGGAGCAATTAGACAACAAAACAAAGAAAAGGGCCTGTCTAAGGTGCCCAGGGGATGAGGAGTGACGAGTTTTGAGGAGGAGAATGGAGAATGGAGACCAGAAAGAAGCCCTGGGAACGCTCAGGATATATGTGTCGATCTGTGGTCCCTGTCCAGGCCTCGCAGGTCGCAGCTTTGTTGCTCGCCCCCCCAGTTCCCCTCGTTTCCCCAGGTCGCCAGGCCACCGTGATCCGCTAGCGGCTAGTCATTAAGGTGACGGGGCCCTCATGGTTTGCGCCGGGGGAGGGATGTCCCCAGTCGCCTACGACACACTACGTAGATGGAGAGCTCTGGCCGAGATCCAGATCGGTCGTTGTGGGTGTCCTTTAGGAGGGAGGCAGGGCAGGGATCAACACGCCGAGAGTACCAAGCACGACGACGATAGGTGTGCAAAAGACGACCCTGCAGGTTTTCGCGTGAAGGCGGCACCGATTAACGTGGTTTGATCGTGTCAGTGTTCCAAGGCCTCGTGGCACCGGTCGAGTTTCCGTGGTTGCGTCCTCCGTGTAGCATCGCAGGATGGGCATCTGGAACCGGACAAAGGCGGTCTTGGGCTTGGGCTTGGCGGCTCTTGGAGGATGGCACGCAACGGTCTGGCAAATGCTGTTGGAAGAGCTGTTGGAACGATGGCGTCGGGCCGAATTAGGCACAGCCGGTTGGTGCGCATTTGGAGGGCATGGATATGGATGGTTGCGAAGCCCTTGGCTCCTTGCGAACAGGCTTTTAATGACAATGTGGGGGAGGGGGCCGTGGATTAAGGTCAGGGCCGCTTTCTGGGGTTGTCGGGGATTAGAAAGCGAAAATACAGGCCCTAGAACGGAAATGGGACGACTGGCCGCTTGTTTCCTTTTTTGCCAGAGGCCGTGCTGCGAAGCCGTGGGCTGTGTTGCGCGTAGATGACGATATCTTGGTGGGTGAGGATGCGCAAAGACAGGGAAGTTCTAACATGGGGGCTGCAGTAGCTCGTCGGCAAGATGGCCGAGGGTGTCTCGTAGCGTCCTTCTCGAACGCCTTCTATCAGCCTCTCAGGCAGATGTAGCATGGAATATTAAAATCGAGCATGCGGCCTTTTACCTCTATTCCGACGTGTGAAAGGGTAAATGTGGTGATTACGGGCGCTGGCGTGAGCGCCAGCATGGGCATAGATGGACGCCCACGATGCGACTTAAGCGACCTAGGGAGTTGCAGCTGGTGTTCATCCCTGATAGCGCTCTGGGGGTGGAGGGGCTTTAGATGTAAGCAGGCCTCGCCACGGTATATCGTCAACTTGGGCATTGGGGATTATTTGCGCCTCAATAATTCGTTTGTTAGTCTACCTGCCCTGCATCCGCCCTAAGACTGCTCTGCATCTCCTCCGCACCCTGTCTTGTTGTGCTTTTCCCGAGCCTAAAACCTGATGGTTCCGGCGGGTCGATCCCTGCTTCTCAGCGGCTGCTGCTCCCCGATAGGAAATAGAGAGCAACGTCGATTAACCAACAATGTCCATAAGGTCAACTTACAGGGTCGTCTTATGGGGTCAACTTGCGGAACCTTTCCTGCTCTAACCTCCCTTACATAGCGCCTACCTTATTTTGTACCTTAGTTGGCACTTCATCCCCCCTCCCCGGACCATTACCAAGTCATATGATCAACGCGCCTCCACCAAGCGACACATGATCCTCCTCATCTTCCTGACCTCAAACACGCCCGCAACCCGCCATGCGGCGAAAAGCGGTCGACACATAGATGGGGCACCTTAGCAGTTGCAGTAAATCTTAAATATTTCATTTGACGACCGCTTCTAAAAGCCCGGTCTCTCTGTTGGTTGGTCCCTGTTTGAAGCACCCATCTATTGGAGGCGTGTGATGCTTCCGTCTCGCCAACTTGCGATCGTCACTGCCCCCTTGCCTTCTCCATGCCAAGCACAGTCAGTAGTATTGATGGAAATCTGCTCTCTGGCGGCCTCCATCCATGCTGCCGTCCCTCCCAGTCAACTCTGCGATCGCTCTTTTAACTGACGTAACCCTCCGACGCAGAGTCATGCCACCCGATCTGACCAAGTATACGTGCGTGCGTGTGCAAAACACCATCACCACCACGTGGCCTGACGATCCAGAAAAGAACCGAGGTATGTTTTGTCTGGGGCAGTTGGCACACGAATAATAGTGCCACCTCCGCGCATCCTCAATTACGCCGTGCCCAGAGTTCCAGGACGCGGCAGTTGGTCAGGCCCAAACGACATTGGCAGAAGCTTCAATGTGAATCAGTCATACGGTCAAGAGTACGAGATCGAAGTATGGGAGAAACTAACCTGCTTGAATCTGAGGACGACGTAGTCTTCGTTCTTGTCAAACATGAGGATGGGAGTGTCCAACGAGCAGAACTCTCGAATACTACATCACCATGACCACGGCCACAATCAGCAACCCCTTCTTCGGATCGCGAGACCATCGACGAATACACATTCAACCAGACAGACCAAAAGACGATGACAAAGGCAAGGAAAGGAAGAGAAAACTCACAACTGCCTGCACATCCCGCAAGGACTCGCCGGCGGCGAAATGTCCGTCGCCACGGCCAAGGCCTTGAAATCTCGGAAGCCACCTGTTACGGCCGTCCCGAGAGCCACGCGCTCCGCACACGTCCCCACGGGGTAGCTCGCGTTCTCGACGTTGGCGCCGCTGATGAAGCTCCCGTCGCTCGCCAGAAGCGTCGCGCCCACCCGGAACTGGCTGTACACGCAGTACGCCGTCGCCTTGGCCGCCGTCGCCCGCCGCCGCAGCTCCGCAAACTCCGTCTCGGTCAGCCCGTACGCCGCGCACGTCTCGGCCGTCTTCGCCGCGTCGGCGCCTGAAATGATCTCCGGGGTCTCCATTTCTGTCTTTTGGGGGTTTTCCTCTCAAAGATCGATGTGAAATGGCGGGGAGAGGTTGAGATACGGCTCGTTCCGCCACGTACCTATATACTCTTCCTGTGTCGCTTATCAAAGTATCTCCGCATCGGGCCTCCCCGCGTTGAGCGGGGCCCTCCCCGCCGACATCATCACGATAGCCCATAAGGACAGATACGACAAGTGCGCGGTGTGAACATCGCCACTTAATCTGAGAAGATTAATAGATAGCTCTCTATGGACCTCCCACGAACAAGATATGTGGCCCGGCTTGTCGAGAGCTCCTCTACAATTGCTAGTTTCGAGCTTCCCAGGTACAGCGATTCACATGCCAAACATGCCCCATCGAAAACAGAGTTCTACTAAAAAGGACAGGCCATAAGCTGGAAGATTCTATGAAAAATAGAGTATTGCTATTGTCACAGGCGGTCAGGGACTCTTGGGCTAGCTGGTCGCTAGCAGAGACACCACAGGAGATGAAAAGGGAGGGGGCAGCAGACGGAGGGGAAGAAATATCCCCTTTCCTTTCTTTAAGGATTTTCCTTACAAGCCAGAGAGTCAGAGAGCTCGAAAGACTTTTTTTAGAGTCAATAAATTTTGTTGCCTTCATTTTCGAGAGATTTTATTCGAGTCTATTTCGACTGACGTCACGATCCTTATCCAACCTCAATCTTCCACCCAGTCAAATATCGGGCGGCCGCAGGCCTCATCGAAGCCTTGCCAGCAAAATTCCCTGCAACTAACTCAATTAACTATCTCATTAGATGATTTCCTCTTAAGAGACATAGGCCTCAGATCTATCCGACGATAAATACGTAGTCCGGTGCAGCTTCGGGCTGACCTCGCAAGACGCATATACGACGGTTTTCTGTGTATGTCCAAGGGTAACTTAATGAGTTGGGTGTTAGTTTTCATTCTTTTCTTAAACTGTTTGTATACATACCTATTGCTATTTGCATATATAACTATATTCTTAATCCTACTAAGAATTATAAGATATCCTTCTAGAGCAGTTTAAAAGATAATTCTAAAAAAAAAAAAAAAAAATATTTTTTATAGCGATAATATTTTATTTTATTGGATTCATTAGATTTAATAAAATAAGAAAGACAGGTATTCAGTACCATCTTTAAATACTGTATACACAAAGCAGAAAGGTACCTTAGCTAAGCTGATAGTTTAGAAAGAAGCTTGCACCTATGCGCGAACAGCAATTATCGTGTGGGAAAAGCAATACTCCAGAAAAAAAAACGGAGGAATAGTATCATACAGCATTTGAGCCATGGTTCGTTCCTTGAATCTGAGAGAGGATTGTGGTGGGTATCTCACTAGTTTACGCTTCAGCTGTTCCAAGCAACACATCAATGTGTGAATAGCAGCACTCAATTATTATATGTACCCTGCATTATCGGATGGTATCTCGTATCTAATCGTATTCGCTGGTCCGATATTGCCGTCATGACCATCATTGATCCATTCCGTTCTCCCTCCCCAACGTTCCATCCCCGCGCCCAATCGTAGAACAGCGTAATTAGCCAACTCCGAACTCATCGCTCACACAAATTTGGCCCTGATGGTTCTCAGATATCCCCCTAAAAAAGATCAAGGAAAATGCCGTGCTCTCATGCGTCGTCTTAGCACTAATGTTTTGAGTACACTAGTTGAAGAACCCACAAACGAATATATAATCATCGTCCTCAACGAGGTATATTTGAATATTAGCCTCTAGTAGAACCCGTCGGCTAGGCTTCCTCCTCTGCTTGAGACAGAAGCTACCGTCGGAGTTGACTGGGCGGATCCGCTGGTGTCGCTGGGAGTAGCTGGTTCCACGACCTGACTTCGAATCGAGATTATCCATTCATGCTGAAGCAGCTCGACGGCCGTTGCTCGGTTTCGAGGATCCCGTGCAAAACATCTCTTCAAGAAATCCATGCCCTGAGGGCTTAGCTGTTCCGGTGATGGCAGCTGAGGTGGGTTTCCTTGCGCAATGTTGTACATGATTGCCCACTCGTTGTCAAGGTTGGCCCATGGTCTTCGGCCGGTCGCCATCTCTAGGATAACACAACCAAGAGACCAAATGTCCACGGACCCGGGCTTTCCAGGGTTCTCTCCTTTGATCACTTCGGGCGACATGTACATCGGCGTTCCCGTCATCGACCGATTCGGCTGTGAGCTACCGTGTCCGTCGGCTGCCAACGTACGGCCTTGGCGAGCAATCACCTTGGCGGCGCCGAAATCGACATATTTGATGATGCCGTTATGGTCGAGGAGGATATCTTGAAGTTTGGTTAGCTTGCGAACAGAAACACCCAAAAATTGCTCGGGCTAGCACTCACTTTCTGGCTTAATGTCTCGATGAGCGATGCCACTCTCGTGAAGGTAAACGAGACCCTCGAGCAGCTGGAGAGCGTAAACCATGATGACTTGTTCATCCTCGATTCGTCCATGTTCCAGCAGATTAGACAGTGACCCACCCGAGCAGAACTCCATGAAGATGTAAACTCGGTCTCGGTGAACTTCGATGCCGTAATATGATACCACGTTGGGATGATCTAGGACCTCGAGCACGCCCATTTCCTCTCTAATCTGCTCGGCAATGGTAGGGATTAGTTTAGGATCCTGGAGTCGTATCTCCTTAACCGCCATCAAATGGCCCGTGTCGAGGTTCATTGCCGCGTAGACGTTGCCAAACGTTCCGCCTCCCACAAAGTGGCCCTGTTGCCAGCGCATCGTGACATTTGTCGCAGATGACGACAGGTAGGCCAAGGAACGGTCTACTTCGTTGTTGCCCTCGAGCACCCGTCCCAGTGCCTGTCGTTCAGCCTCCTTGTCTCGACGGAAGTCATCCAGCTTTTCCAGTTCCTCCATGCGTTGCTCCGTGATACATCTGGAGGCTTCCTCGTCGCTCAACATTCTATTCTTGTCGAGTTTCCTGAACTGTCCCACCAGCGCTTCAATCCTGTCTTTCTCGGCTTGAGCAGCCAGGTTCGACCTTGCACCCATGATATCAAAATGGGAAATGAGCAAGGCCATACAGCCCGCAACCTTGGATCGGAGTTTTGCGTACTCATCCTCGCCGAGCGCTATTATATGGCGTCCCAAGGTCATGCCCATGGCGAACTCGAGCGCCAGGACCGCCCAACGAAAGGTCTTCCGGTCCGAGGCCACACAGTCGTCGCAAATAAAGCTCACCCAATCCAGTGCCAGTTTTGTCAGCTTGAGGTTGTTCATCTGGCGCCTGTTGCTATCCATGTAGAGCAATGATCGCTGACCGAATTCTGTCGCAAAGACGAAACAAGTCTGGATGAGCTCTTGACAATCTTTGCCCGCAGCTTGCCTTCGGACAATCTCGACACTGTCCATGAAGGTGTTGGAGAGCTTGTATGCAACTCTCCTCAGCTCAGTCAGTCGCGTGTTGACTTTGTGAATGTTAGATCTTGATTCCTGCACAAGATCGACATGCATGTCGACAGCGTCGAGGAAAGCGCGCCGAGCTTCAGACAAAGCTTGTGGGGCCGAAGCACATAGACGAATGTGCCCGCGCTTCAGATCAACGCTTTGCTCTCGTAGCGGCACGGGAATAACCTCTCCGAACCAATTCAGAGGGTCTTCTGGACGTAGGATGAGTATATATTGCTCTCCTACTTCTCTGATCTGGTCCTTGGACGTAATGGCCATCATGATTTGGATGTCTTCAAGCCTGTGACGAAGCTCCGGGGATGCAATGACATAAATGTTGTCCTGCTCAAGAACACCGCCAGTATCTACCTGGAAGTGTCCCGACGCAACCAGCTGATCGTAAAACTTCTGCATCTCCTCTGGGGGGAATGAAATACTAAAATCCGAAGCGTGCTCGTAGTTGTCGCTCAGCATGCGAGAGAATCGTTGGAGCATTCTCTGCCGAACGCGGACGGAATCGAGACAAGCTTTATATCGCTTGCTCATTTCTGCAGGGCTTTCCTTGGGTTTCACCTGCAACTCCTTCTCAAAGGTTTGACTGAGTCGGTTCAAGGCTTTGAAGGTGAGCGAGCTGAATTGTTCCGCAACCTCGATATGGCCGCGTTGTAGGTGACTGCCAATATCATTGGCAAAGTCCCATTCTTGGAACAAAAGTTCGGCTTCCTTGAAGGTGTTCTTGTTGCCACTAAGCTTCCAGTTGAGCATCTTGAAATAATATTTCAGAGCCTCCAAAACGACCTGGTCAAAGGACTCGTCGATGCAGGGGGGCAGATCCCAACCAGGTTCTGGGTTGGCAATAGAGGTGCATTCCAACTTGATTCGAATGGCGAACTTAAGGAGGAGCTGAAACTGAGCTATCATTTGGTCTTGCATGAGTGGGTTTTGCTGAGCAGATTCCTTAACTCTCCTCGCATAAGCAAGACGTGTCCGGGTAATTTCTTCAATGAGACGCGACGGGAAACTGATCAATGTCAGAAGCTCCTCCAAGTAGGGTGGTAGGTGGCGTTTGCGGAATGGTGCCGAATGTTTGATGAGGGTGTCCTTGGCTTTACTAATGATGGTGGAGATTGGAACAAGCATTCCCTTCTGTGTAGAATGGATGTCATCGTCGTAGAGGGATTGAAGGCCGTCCTCTTTCATCAGCCGATCAAGGAAGGACGTTTCATCGCTGCTGATGCCGTTTACGGCTGGCGAGCGTTGTTTCGTCCGAGTGAAATCCAACTCGTCATTTCCAACCCACTTCTTCAAAATGCCCAGCTCGGTATTGATCATCTCGTTGGTGTTGTACCACGACATAATCGACCCATATGCCTCATTGAACAAGGGCGTATCGGCTGCCTTGTGCTCTGCAGCCAGAGACTGCCAGGAAGGGTAGAGATCCTCGCATTTCTCGATCTTCTCCACCATGTCCTTGACTTGCTCGTATGGAGGTTTCCCGACCTCGCTCTCACCCTTGACCTGGAAGTTTATGATCTCTTCTAGGGTGCGGTCCAGAGTAGAACGGGCTTCCTCAACCATACGTCGCTGAACGGGAACATGCCTGCCACAGACTTTGGAACGAATGCCCAGCCATAGTTCTGATTTATGAGCTGTCTTGCCGACTTGTTGATCTGAGGATCCGATCAGTCGCTTTTTCTCCTGTCGGACGACATCTCCGGTCAAGACTGCCTCCAACATTCCGTGCCACTCGAGCCTTTCGCGGTTTTCTGGATCCTTCAAGTCTTCTTCAGTTGGTTGAAGGTTATCGTCGCCGTAGAACATGATGGTCTCCTGGTCAAATCGATCCTCGAATGGACCTTCGGATGAGGGAGTCTCTCCTTCAGAGTCCGAGTCGTTCCCGTTCATCGTCTGATATGCGAAATATTCGCCAGGGACATCTTGGCGAAGCTTCTGCACGTATGCTCGCTCCTGCGCACGGAACCTGCTATCGGCTTGTCGTGGGCGTGTCTTGGATGACGATCGGATGGATTCGGTAAAAACTGGTGTTGGCTGCGGATAACAGGGCATTCTTGAGGTCGCGGGATTGTATGTGTTCGATGGGGTCCTCGTCGGTCCCAACGGCCGCTGCGGCCAGCTTCCATTGGTGTAGGGAGCAGTCTCATCACCAGCACTGTTACGTTGACTTTTTGTGGTGCCATTACTGCCCGTCCCTGGAGGCAGAGATGTCATCGATCCGGTATGGCTCGCTGTTTCGGCGTATCGAGCGATGCTGCCAATGTCGTCGTAACGCTCGGTGGCGCGTGGGTCGCCATTGGACTCGCCCGAAGCCTCGCGCCGGTGGCTCTTGTTCTTTTCGAGGCGAGCCTCGTCTTCGGTGCCCGAGAAGCGGACAGCTCGCGGCGAGGAGTCGGCCATGGTGACGTCGGATGTCCAGCCAGCGCCGGGGTGGAGGTGGATGCTGAAAGCCACTCAGCGGCGCGTCTGGGCTCAGTCGCGGAAACGGGTGTCGGCGGAAACGGTAGGATAGAGCATGTGGGAGACAGAGGCGCCGATGCTCGAGATGCCAGCTGGCTGATTACGATGGACCGGAGATGGCCATGGGGTGAGGGGGTAACTTATGGAGCTGGAGGGGAGCTCTATTGGAGGATCATGATGGATTGCATGGAGTGGTTGGATCAGGCTCGAGGAACCCCCAGCTGCTTGTGAGCAAGGTAAATTTACGGCAGTGGCGAGGCTTGTGATTGGCCCCCTTCTCTATGGCTCACGCGGATTGGACCGGGTGTGATCATTGCATGTGGCTGTAGTGTGGCGCAGCTCGCCACTGTATTGTGGCTGCCAGTACAGATGAATGTCGATGAACACTTCTCTCTCTTTCCCTGGGAATCATCTCGACTTCTCAGCTTCTCAACCTCTCAAGATCACGAAACGGAAGCTCCGTATCACTAAGAAAATACCGAGGCCTAGTACGCAACACGAACTGTTATTTCTCACTAGGAAGATATGTTGGAGTGAGGTGGCCTTTAAGACAAGATTGGCATCTGCTCACACCTTCTTGAAGCAAAGCTGGAATCAAGGTGACTCGGCATGCCGGCAGCACCCCGGCACTTCCTATGCGGCACAGGTAGGTAACTTAGGTAGGTAGTATTATATCGGCAGTCTTCAAGTCTACCTCCATTGGCTCAAGTGAAGAGCTACCCTGCACCCCCAGCACGCGATGCATGGTGTTTGGAGCTTTGACCTCACTCGTTCGAACTACAACTTAGGCATGTGGGGAGAACGGCATCGGCTATCAGTCTGCATATTGCCCTGGCACTTATTAGCCTGTGTCGACCGGAACCTTATGCATGACCGGTCGAGAATATCGTATCGACCTGCAAATGACCATCATACGAGAACCAACAAGGTAGGTTGACCAGATGCTACGCCCAAGGAGCCAAGGAGAGCAGAGACGGGTAGGCGGGCAGACGGGACTCTTGTTCATGGCGTACTGGCCGTCACTACAATTTCTCGGTTATGGATATATTTGCATCATCAGGATGAACATCGGGATGTGCCGCACCAGAGCATGAGCCATGATAGGAAATGACTTGCGTTAGAGAGACCAAAGCCTGTGACTGCAGCTGCTAGGAAGCATCGAAACCTTTGGAAAATCAATCGGTCCGTTTCCAGTAACAATTGCGAACTCTCATGGAGGATTCTGGGATTCTGCCGTAACCTCGCTAAGCTGCGACTGAGATATCTTGGGCAAAATCAATCGGTCCGTTTCCAGTAACAATTGCGAACTCTCATGGAGGATTCTGGGATTCTGCCGTAACCTCGCTAAGCTGCGACTGAGATATCTTGGGCAAACTCACTCGGAATTTCGCTGGGTAATGTTGAACATTATCTCCCTGTTGCGTTAGACAAAACCCAAATCAAATAGGTTTTGGCATCGGTTACGGAGTACGACTGTCCCGAATTGCCGTGGTCTCGGGAATCGTGGGCCTCGAGTCGGTAAATAGGCCGCAGCGCGCGCGAAGCAGAAGCCACCCTTAATCAAGAGGCTAAGCTAGGTGAAACTCTGGGAGGGCGCTTTGACCCTATATCAATGGCCGATTTTGGTAAGGAGAGGACCAGAAGTGGAAGAACCGGGGACGATTGCCGGGTTCCCAAATGCTTGCCGAACAGGCCTGCGTCTGCGGGAGCGATGCTAACGGGAGGAATGGTTGATCACTCCCGACCACGCCAATATCAGTCATGTTGGGTGTCAATCAGAACACCGACCTCTGTGGTTTTGCACGTGGCCAAGGTGGCCAGTTCCAGAATCAAGCTCACAAAAGGCACGCTAGAGGATTGGAAGCAGCTCGGCGCTGATCAAACAAAGGAGCGAAAACAGCCGACAATGCTAGAGCAATTCATCAGTCCAGATGGGCCTCGACTGGCCCGATTACCAATTCCCCGAGCCGCCCACGGGCCGGATGGAGAAGCTGACATGAGAAGGATCATGTATTCGTACATCGTAGAAGCTCGTAGTCCTTCAATTCGGTTGGCGAAATGCCAAGGACAGGCAATGGACAAGGTACCTCTAACGATTGTACCATGGTTCTTTAGCCCCATCTCGAAACAACACGCGGCCCTAACGCCAATTTGTGCCTAGGCGAGGTCAAGCCAGATGGTGCCCACTCATCGGACAGGGGGTTGATCGAATGGAAGCTTCCGTGGGCTTGAGGAAAGGTTTGCCTCGGTCATGGGTGCGGACTAGTTGCTGACGCCGTCGATGATATCCTGATTTCCGGCCAAGCCAATATCCAACAGTGAAAGCCTAAAAAGCTGCCATAGCATGGTGGACGGACGATTAGGTATGAGACCCACGGCAGTGATTGCAGTAATGCAATTGCTAGCAAACTTGGCGCCATGTCTCGCCGGTCGGGAGCCATCAAACCTGTAACAAACGGCCATCCTGGCACCAGTCCATCACCAACCAAGTCTGGGACGAATCTGCTATCGGGTGATCACCCGGCACCCGCAAACTACTGCACAGTAGAACAGGGGCAGCCCCTTGTAGATGGGCGCATACACTTCAGCTTGTGTGCCCAGATTTGCTTGCTCAGACTTGTTATGTTGCGTGGCGCACGCGTCGTAGGGGAATTTGGACATGCGGGCTGTGCTCGGTGCACATAGCATGATCCGATGTAACTCGACAGTGGCAGCATCCGTCTCAAATGAGTACCTACAGTACTTCAACCATCCTAGACTAGGATTGACGTGCATGCATGCACCGAGATCTTACCAAGATGCTATGCCAGCGTCTAAATCCCGGTTCGGGGCAGAGGGATCACACCCTAGCCAGCAATGCTACGACCTGAAAGCTGACTTAGAGACAGCAGTCGTGCTTGCAGGTGAAACGATGCATCCGGGTATGGAGCATTGGCTCAGCCAAGGCGCGGATCTCCTTCATAGTCGAAGGAGCCATGCGATGCTGGCCGGTTGTGGCTGCATCGAACGATTTGCAAGCCCCGTCTTGGTGCGGCTCTCATGCAGCCGGACCCGCGATTTGTTCCGCTGGCCGCGGGGGTAGGGCCGGCGTTGTATCAACCCACTTGGCGGGTTCCGTACCATGCATATGCGCGAGATACGATGATAAAGCTGCGAGCGTCGATTATCGTGGGTTTCTTTTTTGGCGGCTCCAGGCGATGTGATGCATGTCAAACGGCGGTACCCGTGGCCCCTAGGTCCCCGCCCTGTCCTGGCCGGTGCGTGCGGGGCGCCTCGCTAGGTTGTCCCTGAGCTTTGAGCCCGGAATATCAAGTCGAATGATGGCCGAAGAAGCCCAAGGAGCACGTCCTGCCGTCTTGACTCGGTTCGAGGAGGAGCTGGAGAGTTGTGACTGTGATTCGGGGTTGGTGGCTGGACTGGAACACTGTCCTGGTGTAGGCTACGCCATAGAGCATGGTATCGGATGGCTCGGATAGAAGACTGGGAATCAGCGTCGCAAGACAAATTAAGACCAGAATAGAGAAGACGATGTCGCGTGGGGTCGTGCGGCCAAAGGCCAGGCAAGGGCTGATGGAGCATGGTAGCGGCGTGTGAGGAGCTCTCACATCAGGATAGAAACTGTAGGTACCCGGCCTCGGCTCTGCCCCGGTTGTCACATCTATGTGGAGGCTCACTGGCTCAGAACCTCACCCCGGATTTGGGCTCGAGTGACAGGCTTCGTGTTTGGGGCGGACGCCGCTGGGGACGCATGTCGCGAGTTTCGAGCTGGTGGACCGGGCTGTGTTACGACCTGAGTATTGTCACGTCTTGAGCTTGGACGGGCAGCGACGGAGTGAGTATTCCTGGCGACGGGGTGTTCTTGACGACGGGAGGTGGATGTCCGCTTGGGGAGAGGATTGGTGATCGACGGGCTTGGGCCTGGCCCTGAACACACCAACGCCCAACGGTCGATGACCGGGGGTATGTTGGGGTTGGGAAGCCCGGTGTGTGATTGAGCGAGACGCCCATCTCTCATCTCTTGGGTCGAGAGGAGGATAATAGTGATGCAGTAGTTTGCTTCGTAGACCGTTCCAGTGCCGGGCCTCATATCGGAAGCTTGTAGCCGCCGGCAACAGAGGCGGTGCATTGCTTGGGCCAAGGCTATCCGGAGCTTTCCTACATACCTGTACTGCGCACATACGCACAGAGTGCACGCAAACATGCAAGGATGCACAATGAGTGCAGACTGCACAGTGATCTGAGGGAAAACGTGGCAAGTGGAGGCGTTGAAAAGGTCGTGCTGCAACGTGGGGGAGGCAAGTCGATAATCCCGGTGCAGTCAGCAAAACGCAAGCAAACAAGCGATCCGCGATGGGAAGCAGCTAGTTGCACTTTGGTGCTGGCAACTGCTTCCTGCCCGGAGCAAATTGCAGTTCACGAGCAGGCGAATGGCCAAGGTACGAAGTCAGTCGTACCTGACGCAATCTTCTCCAGTGTTACTCCACCATAACAAACTTGCGAAAAGTTCCAGCTCGGGGATGCACCCCAGGAATCACACAGCCATCGCACAAAGCCCTCAAACCACCACGCCCGCCGCCCTTCCGCTGACAGCACCGTCTCGAATCTCGACCAGTCGACCATTCCGGCCAATCCTGGACAGAACAGGGTATCGGCAACAGGGCATCGGCAACAGGGAAACACGCTACGGGTATGAAGTGGTGGTTGTACCTTTGTGGCACGAAATGCACTCACCAGCGGGTATGAAACTGCATGAGCAAACAAGAGGTTCAGCCTGCAGGCGGGGCCCCAGTGCCCTGCACGCTAATGACCCCTGTATTCGTCTGAAGAACTGCAGAGAGCCCAGAATCGCCAAAGGTTGTCACTGGCGGCCAAAGTTGGAATCGACATGGTGTTAGACAAGTGTTGCAACGAACAGCCCCCGTCCGCACTCCCGGCTTCGCGGAACGCCTAGTCCGGACATACCGTTACATGTACTGCCGGCAATTGTGTTGATGCGCGACCGCAAGGGTCGGGTGAGGATCGCGATGCGACTCTGAGGGTGTGATTTGATGCTCATGCTTGGTGGTAAGTATGCTCGTGAGGCAATTGACACAGCCCTACTGAGCACAATCCAAGGAACGGCGGGCGTTAGGGTCATAGTGACAGGAGGATCGCCAGACAGCTTTCACCGACGCTCACAACGGTTTATGGACAGCGGCACGGGACGGAGGCTAGTGCTGCGTGCTGCTTGTGTGGTGTGCTCCGTAAAGTTCAACGTGCCATGGCCTGCCAGAGCTTGACAAAACCTGCCAAAGCTTGCTGGGGGCCCAAACTCGCCGTTGTGGCGTTTGCCCTCGGATTCGCCGTGGAGCAGAGGGGTGATGGCACCTACTATGTATGATGATATCAACCGCGAGCGGGAAGCATGTCGTTCGCCTCGGATAGGGTGGGTGTTGGAATGCCACCCCACCGAGTTTGAGGTGTTCCCATTGTCGACGCCGTCTGGACGCCGTCTCAACATCCCCGGTCCAGGACTTGTGTCTCCGATGCACCGATGCACCGATACGCCGGTACACACTGTGCAACCTGCAACTTCCCATGGCTTTCCGTCCCCGTCCCCGTCTCCGTCTCCGTCTCCGTCCCCCGTCCCTCAAGGTTAAGTAAAGGATGAAGCAAGGTGAGGCGAGGCGAGGCGAGGCGAGGTGAAAGGGCGGGAATACCGTGGCATCCGACCTGGCCTGTGCTGCTATCACCGGTCCGTGTCCGGTCTCCCAACCGAGACTTCAACACCCATAGCCGTCCATACGGAAGGAGGATTCAGACAGCCGCCGCAGGACGAAGGACATTCAGAGCACAGAGTACTGTGGTGCATGCGGCATGGAACAGGGGTTGAAGCCAAGGCTGCGGGCTGATGGTGCCCTCCAGCGCTGGCGGGCCTCGACATCGATGGTAGACTCGCATTTAGAACCCAAACAAGCCCAGCGTCCAACAAGAATAGCGCCAGAAAGCAGAGCCAAAGCCACCAGGGCATCAGGGCCACCAGGGCCGCCAACAATCCCGGAGCTCCAGCCAGAGCCCGGGCCCCCGCGCGACGTCTGAGGGTACGTCGGCTCCTGGTACCATCACAGCGCTTGCGCTTGGCCCCAGTCGTTCGAGAGTTGGAGGAGGAGCTCAGGAGCCCAGGAGCCCAGGAGCCCAGGAGGCCTAATTTTGCCTCCCCCCACTGGCTCGACTTTGACGAACCCACTCTCTGTCGCCCGTGGGTACCGCTGTCCCAAGCCCGGACCTGGCACGACTGAGCAAACTCGGGAAGACCAGACCAGACCCTGGGTCGCCCAGACACGTTTTCTCTGCCGCCCATCCCCCTCTCATATGGCAGCAACGTCACTGCTCCTTAGACATGGGCCAGGGCGACGATGCTCAACTTACGGCAGCGGCAGCGGCAGTGGGAGCACAGCGTCTCATCTCGGGCACCGTTGCCCTGAGGCCCCGAGGTCCGCATCCTTCACCACCACCTCTCACACCTCACACCTCACTCCGCCATCCTCACGCCTCACGCGTTGTGTTGCACCCCACCCTCCCCCTTCCTTCGCATCATGCTTTTAAGTGTCCGTATTCCCTGATATAGCCTGCCTCCAGCCTGCTTCCTCTCGTCTCCGGTATAAACCCCTCCTCATTCCTCAATCTCCCCCCACGGCAAAGACTTGCCTCTTATACCTTATACACGCCGCCACCCTCGTCGTGCCACAAGGACACTCTCACTTATGCCGAATCTCCGTCGAAGCCCGTCCTATTCATTCAACCCTTCCAAAACACGAGGCATGCTGTCTCAATAGCATTTTTATTTTATTAATTCTCCCATAAATCCCCAATCGCCCCATATCCACGGCCCTTTTTCGTCCTGAGTCTGCTCGTCCCCTAGTGTAGACATCCTCGAGGCCGCACTTTGCCCCACTCCGCCCTACAACCAAGCATTTGGTGAGCTTGCCCGTTCCGGAAAGTGGCCAGCCACAACACCATTTCCAGTCTAACAAGTTAGCCAGTCCCTATCCATACCTACTTCAGTGCATTTCAACAACAGAAACCATGTGCGATTTCACCAAAAACTACTACATCTACACATCCTGTGTGGATCCTGGGACTCACTTCTGCAAGACCTCCACCGATGGAAACCGAAAGCAATCCTGCCCGAAAGGCCCCCATGAGCGCTACATCGTGATTCCTGAGAGCTGCCCGTTGTGCTGTGGCTGAGCTAGGCTCGGGAATTTTAGGCTGTATGGCGGCCGCTCTCCTGTTGGGCTCGACAAGAACTTGCACTTTTTCAGCCTGTTCTCCTTCCTTTGGGGTGCAACCATGGCAATCCTGAACCACAGAGTCTTAGCTGGGCTGGGCTATCTCATTTGGCATTGCGGTATTCCCTGGTTATCTTCCGAGCAGATACCATGAGGGCTACCCCGATTTTGGGGTTGGCTTAGGGAATGCCTTCATCCTTCCGGTCGGTCCGCTTGAATCTCGGCGGGATCCCCAAGCGAGAAAAGGTTGGTGAATACGGTGGCCCCTGGCCGAGCACATCGTGGGCCGTGTGATTGTTGGAGAGGGGGTTCTGGAGAATAGGTTACACGGGGTGTGGATCGATTGTCCAGGGCGCCACGCGGAGAGTTCAAGCTGCAGCTTTGACCTCTCTTCAGAAAGCCCATGGGAGGGGGCTTGCGGTCCTCACCGTTTTCGTCCCGCTCGGACACTACCCACCTTGTGGGCAGGCAATAATTTTTTTCTTTACTTTGACAAGATGATGGGTGTAAAATAGGGCATTCTACTGGGTTTGGGCGACATTGCGGCATTGCGGCATTTCAAAAGGTTTATGTTGATACATTCATACCCAACGGCGGGCGTTAGGGAGTATTCTTGCGCGTCGATCGACGGACTTTCCGGAGGAGGAAAAGCTAGGGATCATTGCATCAATTGATCTGAAACAACTCCCCAGACCTGACGCGTGATAAGCCGAGCCAATGTCACTTGGTGCGTTGACTGACGTCTAAAGTCCTGACTCTCCATGACCTCGTAAGTACGTAGTAACACGTTAGACGTTAGTGGGTCTAGTTCTCGTACGATGTATTCGGTCGGGACTGTGCCTGCTGTGATTCCTCAATCGCTCCGCGTCGACGTCAAGCAGCTGTCAGAGTTGCGTGTGCGCAGAAGCAGCGCGGGGCCGGGCCCGTAGACGGTCCGTGGCCGGTGGCGATGGGTTGAGATTGGATGGGATGGGGTCCATATCAGCACCTCCAATATACCCTCCCTCGAAGTATGACAGCTCGCGAACCTCCCCCGCAGGACTCCACCACCTTGGCCGACGATGTTCGACTACCGATGGTTTGAGACAAGAGACAACAGCCCGGATGGCACAGCCGCGCAGCGTCGGAGATGACCGGCGCAGAAGAGGGCTTTCCGATACCGAATGCAGTGGAGATTTCTGCTGTTCCTCTGTCTGCCCAAGGCGTCGGCCCAATTTCGAGAGGCGGCAAGTTGAGCGCCGCTCGGTGAAGCGCCAAACCGGCTGGAGAAGTAGCCCCCGAAACTCAAAACCACAATGTGGTCCGTTGACGAAGCCCCATGTACGAAGCAGATCTCGCCCAGGACCCCTGTCGGCATTTCCAACACAGCCTCCCACGCTGGCCGGCCCCCATGGGGTTTCAGCTGTCAAACCGTCACGGTGACACTCTTATTCTGAGTTCTCGAGGTTGGGCGGCACTGTTCGGTCTTGGCAATCGCCGCTGGGGGCGTAGGAGTCTCGCGAACAATTACACCGAGAGACAGTGGGGGGGTTTACATAGGCCCAAGCATGACGTGGACGTTAGTAATATGGCGATCGACGCCCCGTCGCCGTGGACGGGCTTGGACGCGGTTGAGCAGACGTACATCGGGTTGGCACGTGGACGCCCTTCAACGCCCAACATCCGGGGGCTGAGACAATGATTCTGCAGCCCAAGACGGAAATAGGCTTGACAGCTGGGTCAGCCATTAGGATGATGTCCCGGTATCAAGTCTAGACCCGGATGGACATGTGTGTTTCTGGAACACGCAAAGAAGAAAGCTGGGCTTTAGGGCTTACTTCACAGGGCGTTTGAGCTTCTGTGTTGTGTTAATCCTGGAGGTGAGGTCGCGGGTGGCGGGTGGTGATTGGTTCGCGTCACGAAGGAAGTGAACGACCACCTGCCGCAGTAATGACACAGAGGCTGATTGGGCGGCGTCTGAGCAATGTGAGGACAGGTCAAGGCTGGCGCGTGTCTGTGGCTCTTCCAAGACCAAGGCGATGAGGCCAAGTGACAGTTGTTCACAGAAGCCCAGGCCCCCCTGGTTGGTTGGCTGACCGGGCTTTATGCTGGATCAAACTGCCATTACCCGCGGTCCCGGAGACCCGGCCTTGACTTGGCGGAAGGCAGCGCTTGCCGCAACACTCCGCACCGAGGCTCGGCGGCGGGCGGTGTGGGCATGACAAATTCGGCCGAGAAAGTGGGCAATTGCGGCAACGGGGCCCGGACATGAGTGGAGCCGACTCCAGATATCTGGGGCCCCGCTTTTGCCGAGGCTTCTTACCTCAGCTCATGTGGGAGGCTGGAAGCTCGGCAGAAACGTCAACGTAAGACAACCACGGCATCCAAGATTTGCGACGACGTTTTAATTCCTACAACATCTGATCTTCAGTAGACTCTTATCGCATAGATTTATTCCTGTAACGTAACAACAACTCCGCCTCAGTTACGACCATGTCTGTGCCGGAGTCCAAGTATCTGAGCCCCGTGTGGCGGGATGGAATATTCGGTCAGTCTCTGCGGTCCCCCTGCAACTTTGATGGTAGAATCTAGTCCGCTGACCTCGTGTGTGAAATGAAGACGGTCGCGTCGTCTTCGTGACGGGCGGCGCAGGCACCATCTGCAGCATGCAGACGAGAGCGCTGGTCCGGTTGGGTGCAAATGCTTGCATCATCGGGAGGAGCGTGGAGAAGACCGAGGCAGTGGCCAAGGACATTGCCACGGTGAGGGCCGGCGCAAAGGTCCTGGGCATAGGAGGCTGTGACGTCCGCAAAGTATGAAGACCCTCGCGATGGAAGACTTGAGTCTGTACTGATGTGGCGGCCCCCGCTTAGGTTGAGAGCCTGCAAGCTGCAGCAGACCGATGCGCGCAGGAACTGGGAGGCATCGACTTTGTCATGTAGGGAACACCCTTGAAAGCGACAGGCTGTGATGAAACCTTGCTAACGCATCGATGACAGTGCGGGAGCTGCAGGCAACTTTATCGCCCCCATCGAAGGCCTGAGCTCCAACGCCTTCAAGACCGTCATGGAGATTGACGTACTGGGCACGTTCAACACGATCAAGGCGACCATGCCGCACCTCCTGCGCAGCTCCAACCCGCGCATCATCTACGTGTCGGCTACGTTCCACTACACCGGGATGCCGCTGCAGGCGCACGTGTCGGCGGCCAAGTCGGCCGTGGACTCGCTCATGGGCAGCGTGGCCCTCGAGTACGGCCCGCGCGGCGTCACGAGCAACGTCATCGCCCCCGGCGGCATCGCGGACACGGAGGGCCTCGCACGGCTGGGCAGCGGCGCTGCCGCCGAGCAGGCCGAGTACGCCAAGGGCATCCCGTCTGGGCGAGTGGGCACGGTGAGGGACGTGGCGGACGCGACAGTGTTCCTGTTCAGCGACGCCGGCAGCTACGTCAACGGGCAGACGCTACCGGTAGACGGAGCAGCATGGCGACGGCAGGGAGCTATCAGCGTGGGCGTTGACAAGGAGATGGTGTATCCCGATTTCCTGCTCAAGGGGCAGATCTCGCAGCATCTCAGGGATCCCCGCAAGGAGGGCGGCAACGGCAAGCCTAAGTTGTGATATTGGAAAGCCAAAACTCAACCAATAACAGGATTCGGTTTCATGGTCTAGTTGGTTATGGCATCTCGCTCACACCGAGAAGGTCTCCGGTTCGAGCCCGGGTGAAACCAATCTTTTTTTGCACTTTTTGTGCTTGTGGTGGATGCTGTGGATGTTACGTGGGAATGCTTTTTTGTTAGTGCGCCGTGATGGGTCAGGATGCCGAGGTCGGGGTGTGGTGGAGCTGCGACTAGAGAATTCCGGGAAAGATAAACATGGGTCGGGGCTTTCGAGCACGGGTATCGTCTTATATCGCGGGTGAGTTGGTCAGACTCACCCGGGCTCTGGGCTGCCGGAGATGCGTGAATCGCATATGGAGAGTAGACACAGAATCGATAGACACACTTGCGTGCCGTGTTCCGAGTCCGCGGAGTCGCTTGATCGTGGAGCCCAAAACATCTCCGTACTGGGAAAGGTGACAATGCAATCGTTGATAGGGATTTTCTTGAAGATCCCAGCCGGTCCCTTGCAGGCATTTTATGTAATTTGGTTTGTGTCGTGAAGCCGAGGGTTTCGACCTCATGTCAGCTTGTTCAAGCCATTGATTGACAGACCCGGCGTGTCGTACACAGGGCGTCATTCTCTTGTTCAAGCACTCGCCACAACTAACAACCATAACCGGCTCAAAGATGCCGACTGCTCGCACCACGGCAACCTAAACGCAGATAGAATTGGGAATAAAAGTCGGCCACTCAGGCTACCCCAGTGTCGCATCGCAGCCAGTCGGTGTGAGTGGGTTGCGGCTCCCGGCCGTCGTCCCATTGGGCCGCCCGCCCAAATCCTCCGGCTGGGCATCCAACGGAGCGGGAATGGGAGCAGGCGGCCGGCCGAGGAGGGCCTGTCCATGGTGGCCGACGGCCGTAGGGCAGAATGGGGCAGGAATCCCGGCCAGCTTCGAGTGGGCTATCAGGGCAGAACCCAGACTGATCCGTCTGCATGGCGCTGGATGAATCGGCCCGTCGGTGGCCTTTTGGGGACTGTTGCAGCTGCGGTTCCCCAGGCTGGGCGGGTTCGCATTAGCGGCCGCTGTTGGCAAGCTACAGATTTACCTCCCCATTCAAGCTCCGAGATGTACGGCGCGTCCCGTCATAGGTACGTAGAAGACAGCTTCTCGCAGCGGGAGGACCAGAGAAAATATAACTCACAATCCTCTGTCACGGAGATTGGCGGCATCTTCCATGGCGCTACGTAGATGCTCGCGCCCATCGCCGGCCGGTGGCGAGCATCTCTCCCACTTGTTGAATCACGCTGCAGCTCCCCCTGCTGCGTGCTGCTACGTGCTGCGGGGCGATATCCTACGGGCGGGCGGGGTCATAGTTGAGTGTGAGTGTGAGGGTGGACTCTATCTCCATATCCGAAGGAACTTTCTTTCTAGTGCAGAGTAGTCAAGGGTGTGATCTGCAATCGTAAGTCGTGGTGGTGCTTCCTGACTGGCCTGATCCGTCTAGTTATCCGAGCTGAGCACCCATCTCGTGGCAAGCCGTCAACTGCATTCTGCACCATGCCCCGGCGGGGAATGGATCATCTCAAGGGACAAGGGCCGTCGTGTTGAACTGGGGCTTGCTTCTATATAACTCGGGGGTTGCCCCGCTGCCTTTCTCTGCTATTACCTGCAGCTCTATCCTGGTCTGTTCTGCTCTGCTCTGGTGGATATTTCACATTGTGAGCTGAAGCTTCAGAGGTGTTCGGCCTATAGCAGCATCAACACCAACAACCGCCGCAATGCAGTCCAAGCTCTCCCTCCTGCTCGCCCTCACCTCCCTCTCCCTCACCACCGCCGAGGAGGTCCTAGGCCTCTACGTCTTCCACCGCCATGGCGACCGCACCGCCAAAGCCTGGAAGCCCGTCAACTTGACGGCCCTCGGCGCCGACCAGGTCTACTCCTCCGGGTCCTTCTACCGCAAGCGCTACATCGACAGCGCCGCCGATAGCAAGGTCCAAGGCGTCAGCTCAGACACGGCTGTGCTCTCGCAGATTGCTGTCACCGCTCCCGTCGACAACGTCCTGCAGAACTCTGCCCTCGTTTTCCTCCAGGGCCTGTACCCTCCCACTGGCCACGTCGAATTGCTCGCCAATGGCTCCCGTGTCGAGGCGCCCTTTGCGGGATACCAGTATATCCCCGTCAACTCCATCGATAACGCCGCAAGCGCCCAAGATTCTGAGAACAGCGCCTGGCTTCAGGGGAACAGCGGATGTACCAACGCCGAAGTCAGCTCCAACGACTACTTGTCCTCCTCCGAGTATAGCAGTGCCTATGACAGCTCCATCGCGTTTTACACCAAGCTGCTGCCTGTCATTAACGGCACCTACACCAAGGACGAGGCCAACTTCAAGAACGGCTATTCTAGTACGACCAACCCCCTTCTCTTCAATCTCATATCTTCACACTGACACTGCCCCTCTAGTTTTCGATCTCATCAATGTGGCTCAAATCCACAATACCTCGATCCAATCGGATAATCTTCTCACCGAGTCCACCGTAGATGAGCTCTACAACCTTGCCTCCATCCATGAATGGAACCTCGCCTACAACAGCAGCGCCCCCGTCCGTTCCATCGCTGGCTCCGTCCTTGCGGGCCAGATCCTCGAGGCCCTAACGCCCCTTGCTGAACGCAAGGCGGGCAACCCCAAGCTCAACATCCAGTTCGGCGCCTACGGCACCTTCATGGCCTTCTTTGGTCTCGCCAAGCTGTACAAGGCCCATACGGACTTCATGGGCATCTGCAACTATGCCTCATCTATGGTCTTTGAGCTCGTCACTAACGCTACCAACCCGACCACCGACGACGTGAGCGTTCGCTTCTACTTCTCCAACGGCACCGCCGCCGAGAACGAGCCAACCCTGTTCCCCCTCTTCGGCCAGGACAAGACGACTCTCTCGTGGGACGACTTCAAGACTGGCATGACTGATTTCGCCATTGAGGATACGGATCACTGGTGCAAGCTTTGCGGCAACACCGACAGCACCTGCTCCGCCTCCAACAGCACTAGCAGCAGCAACAGCGACGATGCTTCCTCGCAATCCTCCGACGACTCTGGCAACGGAATCTCCAAGCCTGTTGCCGGCGTCATTGGCGCTCTCGTCACCCTGGCTGTGATATTGGGACTCCAGGCCGCCGCCCTCCTGTTTGGTGGCCTACGCTTGGTCAAGAAGTCGAGTCTGGCTCCAGCTGAATCCGCCGCCAGTGGTGTGAAGGCATGAATTAGAGAGCCGATGATGGAAATGGGGCGAGACAACATGCAAGCATAGTTGAATGTCTTGGTTGGCACGACATGGAGAACAAGTAACTCGAAATATGAATCATGAATTATTCCAGGGATGATAGCTCTTCTTCTTCCACAAATCCCATTAATTTCCAACCTGGATGAGATATCCCTTCTAAATACGCCATTCAAATAAAAGCCCACTAATATTAGTAATAAGACCCCATTCGCCAATGTCTTATATGCTGCCTTTGCCAGCCATTACAATAGAAACACTATATGAGATACGGAATATTCGAGGCCAAGACCATGCGATGAGACATCATCGAAGATGCGTGAGAGCAAGAAGATCATGGCGATGGTAAAATGCTCGTACTCGCTTGCCATATATGTCTGCATTATATCAGTTCACGTTCAAGAGAAGATCGTACGGGACTCGGGACTTACACATGGGAACGCTCAACAAGCAGACCGCGACTTGGATCGACGCGATGGCTAACAGCGTGGGCCTGATACCTCCTTGGATGATCCAGTCGTACGCGTAGAACGTTAGGACGAAGCTGAAGAAGTTCTTGAAGATGATCATGATGGTGAACCCTTCGATGGTCAAGTCACCTAAACACCAGAGTTAGCTATATGCCCAAATGCACATCTGACAGAATGAGTAACGTACGGTAGGCGTCGACAATGTAGAGCGAGCTGGCTACAGCGCCAATCACCATCCCCGCCACCTCGAAACCGAAAAACACGAGGGGGACATGATATGTAAACTTCCCAGAGATGACTTCGCCGGCAGTCAACCCAAAACCATACAAGCCGATGCCGCCAATAATCATCATAGGGAACACCATGAGGATGCGAAACTCGGGCTCATAAATGCCCTTGTTGAGCCGAGTCAGGTATTTGACGCTCGAGTCGGCAAGCAGGCCTGCAATAGCGAAGCCACATAGTGCTCCAACGAAGGCGCCTGTGTATGTGTATCCAGCCATGACCTCACCCCAGTAATAAGGAGGGCCAATGAATATCGCCGCCACGATAACACCGATAAAGACAGTCCATCCGATCATGGTACCCTGGATCAGACAACCCCAGATAAATGCGGGATGGGTAAGCAGGGGAAACGGTCTGAGTAGGAGAACCCAGTACCGTTCGTCTGTCTTCCGTCCGTCAAATAGCGAGAGCGACTCGACAAAACTCTTCTTGGGGGTGTTGGCGTTGCCGATGGGCTGAAGGGCACTGGATGTCGGGAAAAGAACAAAACCGCGGGACGGCTCGCTGCTTCGCTCTGGACTCGACGAGTCTGGGTGCCTTGGCGACGATTCTTGTTTCGATTCCTCTGCAACGGTGGTATCGGTGTTGAGGATTGCGGCGCGCCGGTATGTTGTCTCAGGACAGAAGAAGAAGACTGCCAATAAAGTAGGGGCCAGGAAGATGGACACGAAGAAGAACGTCCAGTTCCAACCTAAGGATTCGGTAATCTTTCCAACCAAGATGGGAGTGAAGAATGCACCACCGAAGATGGCTAGGTTGGTGAATGCCATTCGAACACCTCGCTGGTGAACAAAGTAGAGGTCGCCAACGGCAGCATTGAGTAAACTCTCAAAGGGAGCACATCCCACACCCTGGACGACCCTCGCTCCGATAAAGCTACCATAGTCGGTACCGACCTTGCCAGCCCATGCGCTGGATGCAATGATAATGCATATGCCGAGGAGGAAGAGATGCCGCTTGCCCCAAATACGACCAGAGGGGACAAAGAAGATGGCACCGGCGCCAGCCCCGAGGAGAAAGTAGCCGGTCAGAAGAGCGACCTGGGTGAAGTCTCGAGAGAAGAGTAGCGAGATGGTGATGGTGTTGGCGGCGAGGATTGGACCCAATGCGGTAGCAAGGATACCGGCGAAGCAAAGGGTAAAGGTAATGAGATCACGTCTCCATAGCGGCCAATTCAGCGGGTCGTTGGGGTCATCGGAGGGCTGGGGGATCTAAGAAAGATGTGAGCGGGCCGAGTATGTCGAATGGGTTGCACATAACTGGCTGCAAGAGAGGGGGACGGCACGGGTGGGACGTACGAGGATGATGGGCTGTTTGCCGCTGGTATCACACTTGAGGCCTACATGGTCACTAGTGGCGAGTTGAGGACGGGACGGATCATCGAAATACTGAGTCGTGCCTTGGCATTGTCAGTCCCGTCGATCTCCTACGCATGTCCGATGGCCCAGATAGCCACCGAACCGAATTGATCCAGGACCGTGGAGAAGGACATTCGGAGTGGGGTGCTATGGAGCGCGGGGAGGGAGAAATGGATCCTTACCGGGGACATGCTCAACTCCCTTGACATCGAGGATGCCGAAGGGCATCTTGGCGAGGTTTGACTGGAGCGTGGAACTGCTAAGAGGGAAGCGATAGGACCGTATCCACCTGAGAGCAGCCTAGAGCATGGTTGGCCAGGTGGATGAGTGAGAGACGAGCGAGAGGAGCGAGAGGATGGTGAGGCGAGTCGCGCGTCGGGAGTCGCGGGCGGGATTCGCCCAGGTCCCGATGTTCGACGCAGGAGCTGGCCACCGAGGCGCCGGCAATGCGAATACACAGTGCCAACAGAGATACGGGCGACAGGATGGTTGGATCAGAAAAGCAAAGACGTTGGTGGTGGCGGCCGGTCGCGCAGATGCGATGCGATGTGATGAGAAGGGTGGGAAGCGTGCTGTCACCAGGCAGATGCTCTGAATGTTTCTGTGGTTCCACGCCAGCTGCCGTGGTAATTCACCCAACCAGGTTAGAGGCTGGAAGGAGGCTGCCTGAGTGCCGTCTTTGGTCGAGCGCTCGGACAGGGAAAAATGCTTGTACCAGTACCATTCATCACGGGCATACGAGTAATGATGCAGCGGTATAGTACTTATTGGAACGTGCCTGCCTGACCAGTCATTTATGTGACGACATACTAGGTACATAGGTAGGTAGTAGGTAAATGAGTCTTGGGCAGTTGCAACCGAGGCGGGGACAATGGAGTCGCTGTCAAACAGAAAGAGGCTATGTACTGGAGGGCCGCTGTACTTCCGCGGACATCTTTCCCCCGGAGCCTGCGAGTGTGAGGTCGAGACTTGAGCTGGGCGACGAGGCAGGGCGACAGAGACAAGGCTGCGAGCCAATCAAGTTGGCTAGAAGCCAAAAGAATACCTGAGACCACCTCACTCCATCCTTTTTTGAAAGATGCCGGCAGCGCTGACAAGCTGGGAGGCGACTTGACCGCAAGGCTCTAATTCGACAATTCCCGGCATGACGATGAAATGATGTTTGTGGAGACGTACCAAACTACCAATCACCCTCCTTGTGTCCTTGTGGTCCTTGTGGGATCATTTCGTTTCTGGATATCCCGGCCTGTGCCGAGCGTTCGTGCGACCACAAAGCTCACTCATTTAGTACTCATCTAGTACTCCTCCACCAACAATCGCTCGTGGGTTTTGCGGATCGGATACTTCTTCAGCCACGCCCCAGGATCCTCGCCGCTGTCCACTCCATGTAGGTCCCTTGCAGAGTCATGTTGACCACCGCGTAGGAGTGACACCATTGACACGACACTATCGACCCCAGTGCGAGGACTTAGCAGTTGTAGCGTGGCCTCTTGTCTCTGTTGTCTTGGAGCTGGTCGCGGGTGGTTCTGACTAGTCTCGCAACATGTCTGAGACTTGAGGTTCGAGACTGAATTCTGGATTGGAGAACTGAGTTATCGATGGGAGAACATACGGGCCTCTTGACGAAACAGGCCGCTGCAACGGGCAAGAAACCGGCCGCCACCACCATCACCGCCGTGGGCTTGACGCCTCCCAGCGCCCCGTGCCCCGATTGCAAAGATCCCACACCCACCACACCAACGACCACACCAACAACCGCATCCACACGCGACCGACAGCTCGTCACCACTATTCACTATTCCACAAATAGTCTCCTTATTCTCCTCCCGACATGGCCTATCACCAACCGGCCACCATGTCGGCCTGGCCTGCCCCGCCCCCCCCTCGCCTCGATCGCTTGCAAGGAACCGCGCAGGGGTTCTGGTTGCTGTCACCTAAGCGGCCCCAAAGGACCGAAGAAGCCTAAGCAAGTGCCGCAGGTACCTAGATGAAGCCGGAAGCCGACAACATGTACAGAAATCGCGTACCACCGGGGAAACGGGAGGTGGGCGCCACGCTTTGGCGTTGGCCCTGTACCGAACCGTGGGGAGGGGCTGCTCACGATCCCAAGGTTCAAGAGCTTAGGGGTTCAAGGGTTTAAGGGTTCAAGAGCCTGGATTGGCTGCAGCATGTGACCCTACAAATCCACAATCTCGATGAGCCCTGAAACCCTGCCTGGGGCTTCCTCCCACGAATTCAAGTCTTCTACTCAGGAAAACACATCCGCAAGCCGAAGCTCGGCTCTGGCTACCTACACGATATGTGGCTCCCAATACTTACATCCGGTGAGAGCTAATGATCTCGACCGGCCCAGGCTCCAAGTTGAGTCACTCTTCACAGTGCAAATTCTCTAAACGGCGGGGATCGTCCTACATAAGCCACCAAAACCTAGTTCCCAGGTGCCTTTTAGCGGCTAGTATCGATATTGACAAATGTCCATGGGCTGTGGGATGCCATTTGCACCACAGAGGATGGACCTATGGCAAAATCCCATGGTGGGTGTCCACGCTTTGCCACCACGCCATGCCACGGTGGCTAGCCCTGAGAGTCGTGAACGCCAAAGCCTCAGTGAGAGGGCCATGCGGGTTGTCAGGCTAAATTTGATAATCAACCAGGGCAAAGATCGCCGGTGGCTTCGCAATAATTCTCAACACGACGCACAAATGACGGTTGCCGACCCTCCTGCGCCACTGGCACTTGAGGTTCAAGGCTGGGACGAGAACAGGCTAGCAGGCACATTATTGGAGATGGGATGGCTTCCCCCTGGTCTGGCGCGCTAACAGTGGGTATGGCCTGCGTCGATCCCGGTGTCGAGGGATTGAGATTCCTCCCCACAGACCACGGACCAGAGGCCATGATGAGCAGGGTCACGTCAACCCGTCAGTAGCAAGCCGGTCGGTGTGTGTGTTGTATACAGGACGTCGCCTACACGCCCACCGTCCAACTCCAGGATCCCCCTGGACCGCCTGAGTCTCAGACGTTTGAATCCTACAACCCGTCAAAGCTGAGTTCGGGAGATGCGGTCGACATGAGATGGCGGCTGTGCCCGAGAGCACGATGGCTCCCCTGGTGAATGAGTCCTGGGTGTGTGGGTGCGTCACAGTGGGGTGTGGTGCTGTATTCAGCCGCCGCCTCTCATCTTTAGTTGGGCTGTTCACCACCACGAGCGACATGTCAGGACGTCAACTGTCGATGCCCTCCACTTACTCGCCTGCTCTGACTGGTCGCTGCGGGAACCTGCCTTCAGGCGGCCATAGACTGTCAACTGTCTGAAAACAGCGAGTTTGGGAGCCTCATATTGTCAATTGTCAAACTTGGGTCATCCTTTCCCCTCGCCTCTCGTCGGAGGCGGACTTGGCTCCGGCCGAGTTCAATTCACTCCTGCCAGTCCCATTTTACGAATCTTTTCCGTGCCCTCTCTCCCTCTCTCCGTGCTCAAAAATCTCTCTCCGGACCAAGATGTCGTGTTTGATCCCGACACCAGGGCAGCCATAGCCGCCCGTTATTATCCCGATCCTCCACCACCCGCTAGCTCGCGACATCGCCCCCGACGACATTACTTCTCCTGATGAGGCGCCTTTGAGAACTGCCAGCCATCCCCATTCGCCCCATCTGTCCCTTTCGTGCCCGCACCCAGGCCCCTCGTACATCTTGTTGTCCCTTCCCTTCCCTTCCACCCCTCCTATTTATTATCACGCTTCGCTGGCCGCCAACCCCCCTGACGAGGTTTCCCGAGCCAGCCTCACAACCCGTTCCTCCCCCCCGGGCTGTTTTCGCCAATGGAGCAAACTGTTCACATCTGGGAATTACAGTTATTCTAGAGTGCTTTTTAGAGCCGCTGTATCCCCGAACATCCCCGTCGCACTCACATGTGAACACTCTTCGATGCTCTGCCCTTTCCACTATGGACGCAGGGCTACCCTCATCCAGCACACTGTCTCCGGGGCCTGGCCCGTCAGCGAGTAGGAAAGAGCGCGGTGCCATTGCTGCTCAGGTGAGTAGTGTTTTTATCGTGTCCGATTTACTATCACCCGTCTTGCCGCCTCCGTGTTCCGTCTCCGTTGCCCGACCACCGCCGGCGGACTACTCCGGGTTGCCCCTCTCCGCCCCGGGGGGACACGTCAGGATCCCTCGCGCTCTCCGCTTTTGGACCTTTTTCGAAGAAGAAATAACAGATGTCAATACCGTCGGGATGTGGGCTGACGAGAATCAAGGCTTGCGAGACGTGTCGCAATAGGAAGCAGAGGTGCGATGAACAGCGGCCCAGGTGCGGGACGTGTCAAAGATTCAAACTCGACTGCCGATACCGAGAGCCTCAACCTACAAAGTATGTTTTTATTTTCCTTAAAAAAACCCCCAGCAAGCCGGCATCGAATCAGTCCATGGCGAGACCGTGGCTATTGACCGTTCTGGCATAGATGGTCCACGTGCTGCTTGTGTCCAATACTGCCACTTAGCTAACTCCCGACAGGAAAGACAGGACACTGGTGGAGATTCTGGACCGCCTCAAGGTTGTCGAGAATAAAATCGATAAATTGAGCATCAAGGGAAATACACCACCGCCGTCAACGTTCAATGTATCCCAACCGACCAGCGTGTACCCTGCCGCCACCCCGCTCTTGGCTGATCCTGACAGCCAGGAGTCACACCCGGCGAGCTCTGCCCCCCCCGCCAGTCCAACGGCGACGCAGTATGGAGGCTATCGCTATGACTCCTCGGTATCGAAAATGCTAGAATGGCCTGCCATCCGCCAAATGCTCAGCAACTTGGGGCCGAAGCCTCAGTCTCCCCTGAGCGATCACGACATCTCTGCACAACCAAACGGACTTCGCGACTCAACCATATCCCTGCCTACCGACGGCATCCAGTCAATTGGAATGCCAAATAACAATGTGTTGCAAGTTCCCTTGCACTTCCCAGGCTACCCGCCGAGCCTCAACTTGAGCCCACCGAGTATTGATTGGGAGACCATGCAGCGCTTGAGCAAGGGATTCTTTGACGTTTTCAACTGCATCTATCCAATCATGGATCGCCAATGGTTCATCTCCAGTACTTTGACCTCTATTATCAACAACGGCTTTCAAGAAGGCACCACGTCTACCGTCGTCTTGCTTGTATTCGCGCTGGGGGAAGTTGCCCTCTCATCTTCGGAAGTGCTCGTCTCCTCCTACAAGGGGCGACCATCTGGTATTAGGGGGGGCACCATCGACCGGCCCCCGGGAATTACCTATTTCAACGAAGCACGCAAGAGGATGGGCTTTGGCCTGGCCGAGATCAGCGTGGAGAATGTACAGATGCTTGCTCTAGCCGCGCTCTACTACGCAAGTTGCTCACAGGCCGTCGTAGGTGTTTCACTTCCCCTTAAAGCCTGGTTGTTAACTATGGAATAGGAATTTTGGCGGATGACGGTCTCATCATCCTTGGCTTGCCAAGCAGTGATCACTAGGTGCGAAATCCCCTCTTGTACCCGGCTCTTTCTAATTGGTATGGCAGCTCTGATCAACTGCACGGTGCCAAGGGTGACCTCATTCGGCGAGCTTATTGGCACTGCTTAATCATGGAAACGTATAAATCACCCATTGCACTGGAAGTTCTTGGCTGATAGTCGGTATAGATATCTCCATATGGAGTTTGGGCTACCATTGACAGGCCTCGAGAAGCTGGACGATGCCGTTGGCGTCCCCGACTTTAGTGGGCCGATCACTAGCGACGACTTTGTTGGCAACCAGACATCGCATTTTCAGGAGCATTTTGCCTCCCAGATAATCCTTCGGAGACTGTCTGCCAATTTTCACACTACCCTTAACAATTGTCAGTGCCTACCCAGCGTCAGACTTGACCTGGACCTCTGGGTGCAATGACGACATGCTAACTCAGGGTGCAGCATTCGGTACCAGCTCTTCCCTTCCTTTCCCCGGGCTTGGATCCTTCAGCGGGACCTCCAGCGAGAGCAACTGGACTACGATGAATCAACTTGGGGCGCAACTTGACCATTGGCGACGCATGCTCCCGAGACACCTCCGATGGCAGGACGACCAGGTTATGGCGTTTCCAGACCACTTCCAGGACGGCTTCGCATCGTACCCTGGCCAGTCTAACATGTTCACAGCGGAGCTCGATAGTCACCCCATAACCTATCCGTATGCTGCCGACATGCAAGTTGCACTTCTCCGAACGCGATACTACTATAACAAGCACCTCATCTACCGACCCTGCGTGTTCAAGGCACTCCATTACCCTGAGAGCCTCACGCAGGAAGACGCCGAGGGGGCGGCCGAATGCCTCAAAGCTTCGCTCAAGTGGCCCATCGCCCTTTCTCCACCTTGCTCTAATAAGCGGCTGGTGCCCATGGCGTTCTTCTGGTCCCAGAATCTGCTTGGCGTCCTGGTCCTACTGCACTTATCGCAACAGCATCCGATGCTGCTGCGCATTCGGTCGTCACTGTGTGGACAAGATTTCGAAGTGGACGCGACAGCGACAGTGAATTTATACTTGGATTGGCTACGCGATATGAAAAAGATAGATTCGACGGCGAGCTGGTCCTGGTCCGTCATTCGGATGATATACCACCTGGATGATTGAACAGTGGTCATGACAAAGGGAAAGGGCAAGGAATGGATGACACACGTCGGCTGAATTGGCTTTGGGCTAGATGGTGCAATTTTGGAAAGGAGGACCACTAATCTTTGCACTTTTGCTTCGGCTTGGTGATGCAGAGGGATGTTAGAGGCGTTTGAAAGATGTCGCATTGGCGGAACCCCTTGGAGGATGGCTTCTTTAAATCAGTATTGATACCCGCGGCGCTCCCCTTCCCGGTTCTTGCTTGTTCATGATGGGCTTACTGTATCCTCTCCTTTGTCCTTGCTTGTCATTGACGGTCCCCACCTTGACGGCCCAGTCCTTCCACAGCACAAGCTGGAAAAGCATGACTTAACATGGCTTCAACTGACGTCGTCGGTATAGGTTGTCTTTATCTGATGCCCCCATAACCAGACGGTATATACGCTGACAAGCCGTCTACAATGCAACGGGGGCCATATTGCCGGCGCAACTCCACTTGTGCAGCCAGAGATCGTCCAGAATGCCCACATGCGCCACACGGCTATCAGCACCGGAGACAGCGCCGGGCACATCACCGCATGAAGTCATTCCCGGCCGCGTAGATGCCGTCATTCCCACCAGACGCTCCCCTAAGCGTGCGGCCCAACTGTCGCCAAGTGCCGCGCGGGCCGTTGCGTGGCGGGAGGCACGAGAACGACGGGACGGGCCGGGCGGCTTGACGAACCGTCTGTCGCCGGCTCGCGCCTTTGCCGTGCTAACAACACTTGAGGCGCAAACGAGAAGGGCCCGGTGGTTACAGCCGGGTGAGCGCCTGGCGGGGCGGATGATGGCGCTGGTTCCGTGAGTGCTAGTGATGTATGCAGGATTTCAGGAGCAGCATTGCCGCGGCGAGTGGTGGCGCTTAGGTTTGGGTCCTAATCCTTGTCCACATGATTTGTTATGATCTGAGATAAGATGTGATGCTATGGTGTGGGCGACCTTGACCTGGATGTTGTGTACAACAACACGAGCCACTCATTCTCCCGCTTTCGATGATGCCTCTTCGCAGACTTCCCCAAGACACATCTTGAGTGGTGAAGATGCAATGATTGCAAAGCCTAGCATACCGAGACGGAGGGACCGCCGCCATCCACAATCTATCGCACCTCCCGCCCCTTCTGCCCATATTCTGCCGAGTCAATCAATCCTTCGCAGCTTGACATACCCATCCTGACCACTCTTTTCCCTGTCCGTACGTAAGACCGCTATCTCACACTGACATCTTGGCAGATCGGAGAGATCCCATCGGCCCGCGGCTGGCATTCGCCCAGTTGCCTATTCGGACTAGAGTGCATTGATGGCAACCATCCATGCCCGCAGTCTCCATGCAGGGGAATGCGGTTGGCTCTGGCCCAACCGATGTGTCAAGCCGTCGGCCAACTATTCGCTTGAATTTCCATGACTCAAGGGAGGAGTAGTTTCTCCCTATAGTAGCAGAAAGTGGGAAAATAAAACAAGGAAAAATAAGAGAGAAATGAGAATATGGAATTACTAAAAATTATTTAATCTATTATTTATTCCCCATTTGCATCTATTTGAGGTTGTACATAGTATCTCAACAATCCGGTAGAGGGTACGGTGCCGCCCCGACGTAGGCTCGAGCTAGCTGAATCAAACGTCCTCACTCGTTTCTCGAGCACTAGCAGTAACCAATATGGCTCTGCGCTGATACAATGCCGTTTATACTGAGAATTGATAAAAGGATAAATAGCCTACGTGAAACCACTGAGTCGGGTGTTCCTCAAATCCTCAAGGGGTTGAAGACGAATCAGGTACCAACATGATCGACACCACCCTCCTCTTATCTCCTCCGTCATTCTGCTAGTCAGCGAGGAAATTGAGGAATGAACCGGCCCTAAAACAGACGTCTTTTTATTAGAGTATTGCTATTTGCACACAGGTATAAGCTCCTTTACTAAAGGCTTAACGACTAAGGCCACACGTGCAATCAAGGGGTATATTGTGAGAATAAATATTTGCCAAGATAAATACTATTATACGGGAAATACTAATAATTGGTTTCTAAAAAAGGCTATTTACTACATCATTTTGTTAGGACGATAGATAAGTATTACTAGGATTGGGGATGTGGTTATGTGTGCAAGTAGCAATGGGTGGGTTTGCGAATAACAATACTCTTTGATTAACATGCGAGTACAGGATAACAACCTCACGAGTACGGCTCTGTCACGACTAATGTCAAGCGAATTATCGAGTCTGCTATATCGTAGCCTAGTACATCGTCTGTAGCTATCGTCCCTGATTTTAAGCCTGTAAACCAATATTGTGTTCATTGATTACCCTATTCATAAATGGAAACCACTCCAGGAACACACCGACGAGCAATAGAAAGTAGCAATCTTGTGACTGGAGACATTATGTCCGCGTCTGCAAATCACCAGAATGGAAGTGCGCCTCCTCCAGTGGGTTTAGTGGACGAATTTTGACCAACCTTGAGTCCTTCGCCGTTGCAGTTTGTCCGACCAACCTGGTCCATCTGCATCACCATCTTTAAAGCTGGATCGCACAGCGCTTTGATAAGACCCTCTTTTACGAGCTGGTCGGGAGTCCACGAAGTTTTGTCCCCAAATCCCAGTCCGACATTCTCCCTCAGTAGCTCATCCGCTCGAGTCGATCCAATCGAAGCCTCAAACCATTGAGATAGAGGCCCCTTTCCAGGGATTGGCACCGGCCTCGTGGTGCCATGGTAGTTTGATCCTCCAATTCTCTGCGCGACCCGGGTCGTCGTAATAGCAAGGTAGTTGCGGCTTTTCGACCCGTTGCGGTATCTTGCGATGTGACGGATGCTGGTTCCTTCGACACCCCACCTGGAGGTTTTGTCTGGGTTGGCCTTGATAACAACTTGCCCTTCATTGTCAGTTCTATTCGATGTATTAGTCAGACCCAAGGGCTCTCAAGTTGTAGAAATTGACTCTTACGAGATGTCCAGAGATTCTATCAAGGACGAGGCGAATTGTCTGAAGTCCTCTGGAATCTCTTCGGAACCGATGCGGCTGACAGAAAGCTGTATGTCCCAGGAACGCCTCGCACAATGGATGTATACGCCCGGAAACTCCTGAGTTGGCGACCGACAAACATAGTTGAAGGTGGCAGCGTTGACCTCTACCATGATGAGATCATCCTTGTCTTTGGACTTGCAGACTATATCGTAGTATACTTGTTTGTCGTAGAGCTCCCAAGGTTGCCCCTGAGAAAGGGACATGCGGGGAATCAGGTCCGCTTCAGCGCCATTAGTCGTGAGTATGGTATGAAAACCAATACTGTCATGCCTGAAGTTGAGTATCTCGTGAATGTCCAAGGATGGCCCTTGCCCCAAGTTCACCAATGATGTTTCTAGGTCGTTGATACATATTCGACCAAATTTCGCTTCAAGTCTAATATGCCCGGGCGTGATTTGCAAGATCTTCAAGAGTTCCTTGGCTTTTTTATTGGTATCATCGACAACTCTGGAAAGGTTTGCGCGCTTGCTCTGTGTTCCACCTTGGCCATCAGTTGTTGGTTGAGTGGGGGTTGGCTACGAACCAAATTAGTCAAAGAACGATTATGAACGACCAAGTATCTAATGATGACTTGGGTTTGGCGTCGTAGCCCAATTCAAGCTTTAGAAATTTCTGCTTACCTTTGGCATTTTGCGAACGGCTTCCTGTTCTTCGAGTTTCTGTGCTTCGAGTTTCTGTGGTCCAGGTCTCGATAGATTTGAACGAACCTTCACGGGGACGTTGACACCAAAGGAAGTCTCCTCTTCTTTTTGTTGAACCTTTGACTGGGATGCGACGTGTGCCCAAGTCTGGCTTGGAGCCGCCTTTTGGCCCATTGTGTAGAACAACTCCTTTTCCTTGCTGTCCATTTTGCGTAGTATCTTGCCCAAGGCATTTTCTTCGGCCTCTTGACCGACCCCTATGGTGTTTCCAGAGGTATCGGGTGCAGAAGTCGCTGCACCTTGCCCATCAAACTCATCCATGAGGGCTGGGGTGTCTATGTGAGCTTCCAGGCAGCCTAGAAGATCGCCGTCATGTATACCTACTCTCGAAGGGACAGGAGGACGGATGGTGGGGGAACCTCTCTGGGGTTCCTGTTGCCGCAGGAGATTCATAGGAGCAAACATCCCATAATCGAGTCCTGGTGGGGAATCTGAATCCAAAAGGCATTCTGTCGGAATGCCATTTGGCGTGGCCATTGTGGCCTGGTGGGAGTGATGTTGTCCGAACTCCATGAGATTACTAGAGTCGTATAATTGGCCCACAAGAAGTCCAGACAACTCCTCGTCATTGGGAGGCGGGACTGAGGACTCGGTATCAGGCTCTAGATTGACGAGAACGTCACCCCCAAAAGAGGGTATCGAATCTGTCATAGCGGGAACATCATCGGGTGGTCCGAGTTCTGAAATTCCATAGAGTGAAGGATTAAACCCAGCAGCTTCGATTCCGGCGATCCAAGACGCGACTGCGTCGGCAGCGGCTAAAGGGCCAAGTAGGGACGGTGCCGAGCTCAGGCGCATGGTGTCGTTCGGTTGCAGCAACGGCTCTTGAACAAAGCCGAGACTTTCGTGCGTCTGTGTCTTTTCAACTGTCGTGTCACCTTCATTGCCAACCCCGAATGATGGTTCCCCAGGTGCAAAACGTGATACTTCAGAACCTCGAGATTTGTCACCATGGGAGACATCAACCGCAGGCGTCGTTCTCATCCGAACAGAAGTTGATACCGAAGATGTGCTACTGCAAGTAATTGACTTTGTATCGGGGAGTTGCAGGTTTTGCTTTGATGCAGGTTCTGGTGTCAACTCTTTGGATGTATCGACGGGCATAAAGCCAGGGCTTTTTGCTCTGTACTCGAAGTCTGCAAATGCGCTGAATGATGGACGAAATGGGACGGCTTGTTTGGTTCCGATAGGGTAGACTGTTTCATCTAGCTCCGAACGACCGCGAGCCTTTATGATTTCGACCCGTATAGATGCAGCACGGTTTAGGGGTCGGTTCTCCACCAGTGTTCCCGAAACGCCGGTGTTGAGATAGGTCAACTTGTCGAGTCCCACATGCGTCAACCACCTGAAAGACAACTTGGTGATTCTTTCATCTTCAGTGAAGACCAGGTGGGAAGAACTTGGAACAAGTGAATTCTGTTGAACAATTAGATACATGACGTAGAGACAGATTGGATCGACATTACGCAAAGAGCTAGAAGATTTTCCAGCTTCCGAACAGCATCCCTCACGCACTCCATTTCTTTGTCACTCCCTATGTAGACAAGATTTCCTCTCATGTTGTGAGTGAATTGGCAGTTGACTTGGGCGCCGAGCTTTTGCAGTCCTGAAGCCTGGCCAGGGTGTGCCCACAGAAAATCGAACTTGGCAAAAAGGTCCGAGATAGAGAGGCCATCGGCCGACTCAAGCCCTCGCCAAACTGTCTTGAAAGCAAGAGGCTCAAGTTGTGCAGGAAACCGGTGCTCGTCGTAGTCGGTGGTATCCGCGCACTTGTTGTGCTGGTAAAGTGACCACGGAATGACTTGGGGTGTTTCGGTAACAAGATCAACATCTGCGCGAGTTTTCGGGTCGATGGGTAGATCACCGGGTTGATCTTCGTCGATGACATCCGTTTCCTCTTCGAGGAGAAGCTCCAGGAAGGAGTGGATTCGGTGCGTAATCTCCTCTTGGTGCTCCTGGGCCGTGATGATCTTGAACCAAGGAATCTCGGGCTCGTACAGCATCTCCAACACTTTGTCCTGCTCATCGATGGTTAGGTTGGAATGGAGTGCAGGATTCTGTGGGAGAAATTCTCACCTGGTGCGGTGCCTCTCGAAGGTGGGCAATAGTAGACGCAACACCCGTCGGCAATAGAGGAGGGTTGCAAGTTACGTAGAATTCGACATAGTCCGCCATCTCTCACAGCTCTCCCAGATGCGTCCAGGAATTCGAGAAGAAGTTGGATGAAGGAGAATGGTTTCTGTGCGCGGCAGTTTTTGGCTGGCAGGTTTTTTGTAGCAAACGAAGCGGGCGTTTGCCAGGTGCTTGCCAGGTGCCTGCCAAACGGAAGGGAAGAAGGCGAAAGAAGCAGGCAGGCACCCGATCACCTGCCGCCTTCCGGCGCCAGCTGGCAATAGCTCCATGATGTGCCTCACAGCCAGAGACAGAGGGCGTTGGGTGGATAATAGAACACCGTTGGTGATTTTGTTGTTTGAAGAGGTGCAAGTCGTTTGGAAGCTGAGAGGGAGGCGAAAAGTTTGGCTAGGTATCTACCAATTTTACCGTGATTCAGAGGAGATGGGGAGTGTTCTTTAACGCGCACGCACACACGCACACACGCGCGATCCTGGCCATGCGTGTGTATTATATTACTGCATGCCAACTTACAGAATGCACCTTGCCGGTTTTGTGTGCAGTATTAAATGCTCAAGAGGGAAGTGGTGCGCGATAATTACAGAGAAAGCAAATGAATAAACTAATTAATATTACAAGATTTCGCCATAAGGGCAAAAAACATGTCCAGAGGTGATGCTGACAGCTGCCTCCTGCATTGAGATTGCGTGTGAATAGCAATGCTCATTAGAAGGCATGCCTAGCATTGGAGCTAACTTGTCGAAACCCAGCAGTGAAGAGCAGACACACCCAAACATTATATTCATAAGTAGCCGAGGTATCCCACTTTCCCCAGAGCATCATCAAGAAAGTAATCTTGGATCTGTACATGCTTGTCATGACATCAATCTCTCTAATTGTTGTATCTTTGTTTCGCCAGGGTGCTTTTCCTCAACGTGATTTTGAAAACCACAGCACCCTGGAGAAACCCGTTTTTGAAGCCATCCACGGGTGCCCAAAAAAGCAATGGACACACACACGCACACAACGCCAGTAGCGCCCCCCCAATATCTGCCATCCTCGGGACATGTAGTCAGATAGAAGGAGAGAAATAAATAAAAAGAATAAACAATCGTATCCAACCCGGGAAAATATCCGGCCCATCTATCCGATGAAGGCATACAAAATCAAGCAGTTACAAGGGAGTGGTATCAAGATATTGGCAGTGGTCGTAAAGGTAGTGACGGGTCCAAGAGGATGGAGCAAGTTAGCGTCTATGCAGACAGACCCGGTGAGAAGTTGGTCGAGTCGGGAGTGATTGTCGGTGAAGAGACTGTCGAGGCATTGGCCGGTTCAGTGGAACCAAAACCCTGAGGTCCATCGTGGAGCGGAGTAGTTGGGTTCTAGTTTCGGAAGCGGGGACTCGAAACCAGGTGAGGGGGTAGCGATGCTTTGCATATTCCGTCATGGCACTCATTTTGCCCCCTTGACGTTCTTCTTGACATTCAGCGCCCACTTCAGCTTGGCGAGAGCCTCTCTTGACTCCTGCAAGATCTGTTCTTGCTCATCCTCCCTCCTCTTCGCGTTGGTCTTGATGTCCTTGAGACCTTCCTCCTGGGCCTTCTTGTATTCTTCAAACAGGCGGGCAATCTCGTCCTTTTCATGCTTCAACTGCTTGATATTGTCGTTCTGCTGGTCGCACAGTTCTCGTAGGGTCTGGATCTTGTCGTCGTCCTTTCTTCGTTCCTCGGCCAGCTCGTTGATCTGGATCTTCATCTTGGACGTCGCCCGCTTGACCTCGTCACCTTGGTCGCGCCAGTGTGAAGAAATGGCGTTGTAACGGCCCTCCATCATCTGTGCATATGTCGTTGCCTCTTCAACTTGAACTGTTGTTTCACTCTTCATCTTATCCATCTCTTCCTTCCAACCCCTCTCCCGCTCTAGGGCGAAGGTGGTCTTCTTCTTTTCCGCTTCGACATTTGCCGTCAGCGTCTCGACTTGCCGTTCCTTCCTAGCTAGCAACGTCTTTGTAACATTGGCCTCCAACAGTCGGCTTTCGTAGTCGCTGATGGTACGGTCCATTTTGTCCTCGACGAGCTTGGCGGCCTGTTTCGACTCCTCTGCGCGTAGCCGTTCGATCTTGATGTCTCGTTTGAGGGCTTCATTATCGCTCACGAGCTTGTTGATGACGCGTCCGGTCTTTCCCAACCCAGCCTTGCCAATTGTTGAGTCCCATTGACCGTCCCCCTGTTCTCCGCCTTCCGACGCCATGGAGGTGTCCGGGTCGGGGGTAGGCTCTACTACCCTCGCGGCGTTCGAGTTCCATCGTGTGGGGGTGTCGGTATTCATGTCGTGTTTTAACCTGACAGTTGGGGGGGTTCTGTTGTGTGGGCTTCCATCCGCGGCGGACATGCCGCTCGTGTTGCTGTTGACGCTGCTGGAAAAAGCGCTGTGCTTGCTGTCAGGGCTGGACTCGGAGCCCTCGAAGCTCGGGACGCTTCGAATGGTGCTGGACCTTGCGAGGCCCGGCTTGTAGGAGGCAGGTGCGCGGCTCTTCATGCTGTTGATGAAGCCTTTCGAGGCGGGTGTCAACGTTTTCTCAGTGGTACCATGTAGTTCGGAATTCCTTGATGCAGCTGCTGGCAATTATTCTACATTAGCAAGATTCGTGGGGAAAAAAGGTCTAGCGCAAGGCTGACGTGAGGAGGAAAGAGATGGAAGAAGGCAGGCCACGGAGGCTACGATCGACCCGTAGGAATTGTGGGGAGCCGTTTCAAGGACGGGGGGTGACAATTCGGGCATGCACGAAATGCAGTGTTGCGTGTGCTATCTGTGCTATGTGTGCGGTGTAGTGTGCAGATGTAGTGCGGGAGGGCGTACCGTTGACAGCGTCCTTGTGGATGGTAAAGTCTTTCTTCTGGAGGCGGTTCCGTGGCATCGCGCAGCCTCGGTTCTCGCGGCGATGCAACGACGAGAGGGAGGCGCGCTCGGCAACGTCAAGTAAACAAGCAAAGCGCCTCTCGAAGTATGTTGGTTAAGGGAGGAACGGTTGGCCTGGAAGACGGGTGGATGAATCGGGTGGGTTGGGGTGTAGCGCGTTAATTGATGTTCAGCCACGGGGTTTAGGCCCGTTTGTTCTCGTAGATGGATCCTTCAGGTTGTTGCTAGCGGATCTCCGGAAGCCAAAATCCAAGAGCTCAGCCGGGTCGATTGGAGTGGACGTGTTACTGTTTCGGTGCCCGTCGGTTGCAAAACGCAGAACAGGATGCGACGGGGGAGAAGCTGGCCAAGATGAGATGGTGAAGAGCGAGGAAAGGAGGCGACGGTCTCCAAGTGCACGGCTGGTTATTAGGTGAGTAAGCTCGAGGGGCCATTCAAAGGCGACTTCGAAACAAAGAAGGTGGCCAGACAAAACAACAGCGGCGTCAGTAGCAGGATTCAGCATGAACAAGGCGCAGAGAATGGCAGAAACACGCAGTGACCACACGAACACACACACGCACATGTAGCGTCAACGGGGGGGCAAGGGGCGCCGTGGGATCCGGGGCAACAATTAATGGGCCAAAACGAACGAAAACGAACATGCAATGTTATTCGGGCCCTGTAGGCCTGCGCACGCATGGGAAACATTGACGACGCCCATGGCCGATTTTCAGGCCCACAGGGGAGCCAGGCCCGGCCTGCAAGGGTACAGGGCTGGTCCCATCTATCCGTCTAGCCCAATTAGTTAATGATTAATGGGATTAATGGAGGGAGGCCGGTTCCTATCAAGCCACAGGCAATTGTGTCTTCTTCTCCCAAGCTATGTTATGGATGCCTCATGCCCACTGAGACCTCAGCCGCTAGTCCGCCCTGCCACTGCTCCCACTGCCACTGCCACCGCCAAAGCCTACCGTCGAGGTACCTACCTAGGCACTGCTGCACTGCCGCACCGCCGCACCGCCCGCTGATGACGGTGCCCTAATAAGGTACCTACCTACTTAGGTGCCAAGACGGCCCTGACGCTGCCGACTCCTCCAATGTAGCTCACTGGGCCAACCGCTCCCCAGCACCATACGCGCGCCACATCCGCCCTTGCGTCGCCTGTGGCCCATCATCTCGGGTTGCCCTTCAGCTTCCATCTCCCACGACCAGGCCGCCTCTGCATTTCGCCGTCCTCCCTTGCGTCGTCAGCTTGGGTGTGGCTTCAACTGATACGCGGGTCCTTTGTTCGCTGCTTCGTTATCGTTCCTGTCGCGTCTCAAGCCACCGCCTCCATATCTCCGTCGCGTGTCCTCCTAGAGCTGTACCACAAGAACATCCAGGGATGGACAGCTAGCTCACCTGAGATCTCATCAAAGAAGCAAGTTGGTGAAATGTGACATGTTGCAAAGTGACCACCGTTCCAATAATTAGCCCGCCGAGACACAAACCCAATTCGGGTAACCCGAAACATCTTCCAGTCAGATGGATGCGAAGCCTCGGATACTCAGCCATGGATGGCCGTTTGTCAATTTCATGGTCCATCAACCTTTAATTCCCCTGTCCGACTCTGTCATACACTGCAGGTATCCGCAGATATCTTGCCGAGTCCCGTCATTATCGGCCTATTAGATACCCATTGCCGCATCCGTTGGTGAGCCCGACAACACTGCTGCACTCGGCCAACCAAGTCCTCTCTGTGATATCTCCGAAGCCACCATTCTCGCTCCCCGATGACTCCTAGTGCCTGAATCGCGCTTCTCTCGTGAGCCCATGATCCGTAGATCCCTGGCATATCTCTACAATAATTTTCCTCTGAAGCCAATAAACGCCTGCCGATGCCTTGTTCGTAGTTTCTTTTCTTGCCGTACTCAACCGCACTCCCCCAAGCCGTGCCAGCGGGGCGCAGAAAAAGCAACACGATGGCTCGCTCCCACCCAACAGCTTGTCATAACCGCAAAACCATCATCTGTCGGGCTTACATTTAATACACAAAAGAATGTCGATCGACGAGCGTCGGTCAACAAGAGCCTGTCGCTCCTACGCTGTACGGCGTATCAAATTCGGGCCGTGTTCGCCATTCCCAACCCAATCAACCCACTTATGCCGCGATGGCTGGTGCTGCAGCTGGCCCCGGGTTGTCACCGTTGGTCTCACGGGCGGCCTCGATAAAACCTGGGCGGTACTTTGAGAGATACTTTGCAGCCATTGGTCTCGCATCCTCGACTACCATACGTGTCAGCAATACTCACGTTCGGGAGGGGGAAGGTGCACTTACAGTCGGTCCAGATATCTTGCACAGTATCCAATGCAATCTCCTTGACGGGCGGCCGCATCATGACCTGGTACAGCAAGCTCGTCAGGGCCAGCTGCACAACGCTCGGGTCGCGACACATGTGCTTCACCCGCGAGAGAATCGTCTTGTTGAGCTCGGGGATCTCGCTCAGGAAGCGTGTCAGCACCTTATCTTGCGGGTGCAGGTACGGTAGGAAGCCGTCGATGAGTCGCAAACAGCATTTTTCGTAATGTAGCGGTCTGTCACCCTCGGATTTTTGTTGTAGTTTGTCGTTGTACCACTCTTCGCAGAGCCACGACACGGCCACGTCAATGTGCCTTCGGAAGTCCTCCATAACGTAACTGTATAGTACGTCACGAATGTTGTTGCTGAGTGATTGCGACACCGATGGGTCGTCCTCGCCTTTCACGGAAATATCCTCGAGACCAGCCGACGAGCGTGTCGCTAGTCTGGCCAAAATGGTCATCCACGAGTCCCGGGTGCCAGAGCTGGCGGCCAACCTGCTGAAGCCGGCCTTGTATTTCTTGGTTGCTGGGTCCTCGAGCGACTTCATCATCTCGACCACACGCGTCACTGTTCCGTTGCCTGCAGTAAGTGCCGTCTCTGGTGTTAGGGTCTGCGGCTGGGCAAGATGGAACGATTTCAAGGCCAGACCGCCCTCCAACCCGGGTTCATCAACCATCGGGGAGCTATCTAATTTGTTGAGGATCTGCTCCGTATCCTCGGCTTGGTAGAAATCAGGCTCGTAGTCGTCATCATCCTCATCTACACCAAGAGGGGCAGTGTTGGGGTTCAACTCGGGGGCTGGGGCGCTGGAAAGCACATCTAAGCGACCACGGATACCGTCCACGGCCTTGATCAACACCTGCGGGTCTAGCCTGGAGAGGGTTGTGACAGCTATCTTGGCCACCATAGGAGCGGGGACTTGTGATATGTCAAAGGTCCTCAGTGCATCATTGCCAATCAAGGTAAAGACCTCAGCAAGACTGTGTGTGCCAGGGGCCAACGGGGGGATCTGGATTTGAGCAGGGGTAAGGCGTTGTCGCTTGGCATCATACACATCGTGATTTCGCATCTCCATCGGACGTTTCCTTGACCCATCGAAGATATCAGACATGGTGCGCATCATGCGCTCCACGTACTGCTGGATCCTAGGGACCATTGGGTTATGAGGGTCTCTCTTGGTGAGGTGAATCAGCAACAAACGGCTCGTCTTTTCCATGGATTTGATCATCACTCGGTTCTTAGGGGTCAGAGGAGAGTTGGCGAGCTTGAGGGGGTTAAAGTTAAGGATGGCGTTGAGAATCCGGTTCGAGGTTGTTGGGCGCGTTCGAATGAGAATGGAAAGGCAGTTGAGGGTCGCATCAACAACCAAGGCGTCGCTGCGTAATTTCGAATGTCAGCAAGGCAAAGTTATCTTCCATCTGGCCAGTATGGTCTTCTTACCTGCTCTCTTGCAAGACAGTCAACATGCGATCCAATAGACCTGTTGCTTCGGCCTCCAGTGTCCTCTGATCCAGGGACTGATGGTTCGGGGGAACCTTGTCCAAAGAAACATCCAGGGTACCACCGTACTATTATTGGCGTCAGTAATATCCTCTACGCGTTGAGTGGACATGCTCGTACCCTCAACTCGGCACCAGTAGCAACGCTCTGTGCCAAAACTACCCGCTGCGCAAACTTGATACAGCATATTCTCACAGAAGGAACCGCATTGTCCCATATCCTTAAGATTTTTTGCTTGATCGCCACCATTCGTTCCCAGGTAATCGTATCGTAACCGTTGTTGATGCTGCAGGACAATAGATCAGTAGTTGAACATGACAGGTTCCTGGATAGGAGGCAACTTACATCCACCTCATCGCTAACGGATAGATGCTGGCGGCAGTCTGAATCACGCTTCGCAGCACTTGGGGATCCTCGCGATCATTCGCGATCATCGACTCCAGCGTCGTCAACACGTAGGGCTGCATCGTCTCCTTCTCCCCGTTGGGCAGCGCGGGCGTCGCAAACGCTTCGGCGAGGAATTCGGCACCCCATCGTCGCAGCTCGAGGGGCGCACTCGGCCCAATGATGGGAAGAATGCCCTTGACTACGCTGGGGTAGTACTTGACGTCGCCCAGAACGAGTTTCCGGGCGTCGTCGAGCTGGCGGATCTGGTCCGACACGGAGAGTGTTGGCGTCGCCATGGTTATTCGGTGGAGGTGGGATCGCGGCCGGCAAGGGGAGCCAGGCAAAGGCTGCGGTGCACGAGCTTCGAATATCGGCAGATGGAGAAATGGGTCATAGGTTGTACAGGAACGGGTGGGCAGTGGTTGATAAGTTGGCGATGCGGCTCTGATGTCGCGCGACTAGGCTGAGCTTGCCAGATGGACTTTTCCACTACGTCCTCATGCTCTGCATGAGAAGCCCCTGGTCTAGCAGAAAATAGAATCCGGCGTCGTGGGTATTCGCGGTCGTGATCGGGCTGCCGGACACCAAATCTGTCGTGTGCGCTACGCGTTCGTCTGTGTCGTGGCTATGATCCGGCCTTTGTCTCGAAGTCGGCGTCAGGTTTTGGCGACGGGTTTGACGCGGGAGCAGAGACGACGTGAACCTGGGAAGGGACCCATGTTACAAGCTCCAGTAGGTAGTGCCTGGAGCCAAGTGCTGTACGTCACGCCCACATGTTTTAGCCGACGTTGAGCCGCCCGCGAAGATCTCCCCAAAGTCGCAGCATCCGAGATGGTACCATAATTCTTGCAATTAACGACTCCCGTTCGACTCTATTTGCGCTTTGTTCAACTCGACCCGGATCTCTGCGTCGGCGCATTTACAATACCCAATATGGCCAAGTTTGTCCCCCCCAGCCCCATTGCGAGTCCGGTGGACTGATCTCACCTCGACAGCCCACACTCTACCTACTACGACCGCCGCCTGCGTCAAGGCCCCTCGCTCATCCGAGCCCGACGACCATACCTGCTCAAGAACTCTGTCACTGGCCTGGGACTTTTTGCGGTTGTGGGAAGCATCTGTACGTCCGACAGGGCCAGCAATGACAATCCCTTGCTTACCGTTCCTAGATTACTACACCCTCAACGCCGTTGGCCAGGACAACTTCGACGATGTCAAGGTGCCCGATCAGCCTCAGAAATCCGCCGGTTCCAAGTAAAATCATATTTCTAGTACCTAACTGCCAAACCTGATCGACCTCGACTGCCCGGGCAGAATACCGGTGTTAGAATACAGATATTGAAGACGGATGAAGGACAAAACCACGCGATCCCATTCATGCTACCTGCTGGTCATAACGCCTTATAATCCCCAAAAACCCCTGTATAACATGTAGTTACAACGTCTTTCCCGAAATATGTATGGGTACATGGGATCCTGTACACTAGTCCTTGAAGCATGCGAGACCTTGTCCGCTGCCACAGTATGATGCCACCCTTCTCCAACCCTCGATAAAAGAACCATGCCGTCAGATAGACGCGCCCTGTGCTCCCAGTCGTGTCCAGCATTCAAGACGAAAGAAAAATGAATTTGTCGAAGCGTAGCCGACTGTTCCCTTGGGTATCACAAAATCCGATTGCAAAACAACGATCCTCCTCGTTCCCTAGCCAAGTTGACAATGGGACAAAACTTAATGGACATAACCTAGAATTTTATCGCTTAAGCCGCCGCCGTCTTTGGCCCGCGGTTGATGCCCGGGAGGCCGCCAACTCGCTTCATCTGGTGATGAGCAGGGTTGAGCACGGATCTTGTCAACTCTGGGGATTCGGATAGCCGGTTCGAGAGCGAGGGAGAATGCTGTTGCTTCGAATTCGATCCAGTAAAAGGTGGCTTGATATCCGTAGGAGGAACCAATCCCTGCTGCATTCCTCGACCATTGGCGTTTTCGTTTCGCCCCTCCCCTGTTGTGTTCAAATTAGGGTACATTTTATGCGCCAAGTGATTTGGATTTGCCCAGGGTGTTTCCCGGAGGAACTGCTCACCGGCAGCGCCAATTCGGTCGAAGGATGGTGAGTGGTAATCTTCACGGGATTGTGCCGGTTGCTTATTTCGGCCACGTCTGGCTCGCTAAACTGTGGTCAGTGAAGATCATCATAGGAACTGGTTCGGTCGTCAACATACATCGATAGCAGCCAAATCATCTTCAAGTTCCGATGCAGATGCGCCCTTCATCTCAGGACCGGCTGGGAACCCTTGGTACTTGGCGATGCTCGCCAATGTCGAGACCTCGGTGTTGTATGCAACAGCGTTCCTAATCCGCTGTGCCGGGTCCTTAGGGAACAGCAACCCGCAGTCCTGCAAGCTGTGTGCGCTTCGCCTCGCTGTCTGGACATCGTACCACTCCTGGTTAAGGGCTTCGAGCGTTTTTTCTCGTTTCTCGCGAACACCTTGGAAGTATTGGCCCCAGATCTGCGCGCGTTGAGCTACAGATTTTCGCTCATGGGCTTTGGTTCGATAGTCGAGTTCTTTGTTGATCTCTCGGAGCTTCTGGTCCAGTCGGTCATCGAGGCACTGCTTCATGTTCAGATACTCGGGATGTGATGGCACAGCCGCCATGAGCGATTGCTCTTCTTCTTCCAGCCGTTGTAGCCTATCCTTGTAAAGTCTAGGGAGCAGATGTCAGCCAACGAGTCCAGCGGCAGAGAAAGAGGCGCATACCTGTCTCTGAAAACTCCGAACATTTCCTCGATTTGTGTCCAATCTTTGTAGGCGGCGTGTTTTCTCTCAACTGAATCTAGTAAGCACGGTGTGAAACCAGGAGGACTCGGTGGGTTTTTCTCACGCTCTTCGTCATGAGCAGTGGCCGCATCCACCTCTTCGTCTGCTTCTACATCCACCTCCTCGCCGTGGTGTTCTGCATCTGTCCCGCCATCTCGGGCGCCATCATGGCTTCCTCCATCAGTCTCATGATCGACGTCGGCTGGTACAGCGGGCTTCCGCTTCGACCCACTGCGTCCTCTTTTTTTCGTCGCCCGGGTCGTACGCTCTGTCACGTCGTCCTCATGCGCCATAGTCTTCTTGCGGGGTGAACTGTCGCCGTCTTCAGCAGGTGTCTGGGTGCCACTACTGTCGTTGGCCGGCGTCGGCTCATCTTCGTGCATCACAGTATCTTCGATTTGTTTTGGATCGCTCGAATCGTGGTCGAGTCCTGAGCTAGTTCGTTTTCTAAGCGGCTGCTCAGGCTCTGAAAGATCGGCGGCTGGTGAGCGTTTTCGCTTGCGCTCTTGTAAATCGTGCTTGTGCTCATCGTCGACGCTCGTGTCTTTGGTCGTCGCAAGCTTCGTCGGGGAATCGTCGACGGCCCTAGGGGAGCCAATCGATGCATCGTCGCCGGAGAGGGACTCGTCGTCGCCGTGTTCAGCATCCTCGTCGAGGTTTGCAGTCCGTCGAAGCTTGCTAGGAGTGCGCTCATACACCTGGTCCTCATTGAACTCGCCGACCACGACGTCCCGCTGGCGCTGATGTCTCGGGGTATCGAAGAGCCTCTCGGTCTCGGCTTCAGTGTCGTTGGCGTCCGAGTTGAGGTCGGAGTGGGCGTCGGAGAGGACGCTGTCCGAGTCGGACGCCTCCTTCTTGGACACGGTGCTTGGCTTGGAGTGGTCATCGTCGTCCATGTCAAGCTGCATATGTTCGATGTCCTCCTCGTTGTCGTCCTTGTCGTCGACTTCGGTCAGCGGACTGGAAATGTTGCTGTCGGCACGGTCGAGGCCCCCAATTCCGGGAGGAGAGAGGGGCGGGACAGCAGAAGCGGTTGCTGCCATCGCTGTTGGAAGACTCGCCGCGAGCGTGCAGGCGTGCTCAATGGGGAGTCGCGAGCTGGGAGAGGTGTTGGGGCGACGCAGTGCTCGTCGGTGGGCCGGTCGGAGCGGACCGCGCTCGGGAAGAAGAGGCGAGGGACGGTCGCAGGGGTGGCAGAGGGAGGCGGCGACCGTGGATCTGGTGTCGGAGGGAATATAAGGCGCAGTTGAAGCCCAAGAGGCGCGGTGTCTCGTGGATGCGCGGGCCAGGCGGGAGGTTGCTGTGGGCGTGACGGTTGAGGGGGGGAAGAGTCTGGGGGATGGCGGACGCTGGACGGTGGAGGGTGGACGACAGTTCAGTGGACGCTCCCGATTTGCGCTGGGGCCACAGCGCCAGTCAGTCGCCAGAGGAAAACCGAGAGCGGGCTGAATGACGGGGCAGGAGCGGTGGCACGCGGCAGAAAGCTGCTGGGCCGGTGCTCATGGCCAAGCCGCACGCCCAAGCCAATGACGACGCCTGTTTCCGGCGCAAGGCTTCCAGGTTCGGCGGCCAAAAATTCAGGTGGGCCTCGCAGCTGCACTTTTTCTGTGCCTTTTTTTACTGCCATTCGGAGCGCTGCCGGCTGCGTTTTCAAGAGTCAACCCGGACGCTTCTACCAGACAATCTCGCAATATGGGCAAACGGTGAGTCCTGGAGCACTCGCCATCCAGTGCAGGCGAGCATTGGACACTGACTGTGAAGCAGCACAAAGGGCTTGGCCGCCTCTTCCAAGGCTGTGGACCCCACCCTCGACGCTCTCTTCTCCTCCAGTGTAAGTCAACGGGCCTCGTTCTGCCTCTCCCCTTCTCAGCTGATCCATTGCAGGCCGGTCCCGTTCAGGCGCCTTCCAAATCAAGATATCAGGCTCTCCTCGACAAGAAGCCCAAGGATGCGCCGCCGCCCAAGGTCGTGTTGCAGGAGGACGACGATGAGGACGGCAACGACGACGAGCTCTCCGAAATAAGCGAGGAATTGGATTACGAGGACGACGAAGATGAAGATGACGAGGACGAAGACGAGGAGGAGGCCGACGGTGACGACGCCGAAGAGGACTCTGGCGCTTCAGACAAGGACGAAGAGTCCGAGGAGGCTAACGGCGCAGACGAGTCGATGGCCGATGCTCCCGCCCAGCTCGACGATGTCATCAAGGCCACAGAGGGAGAAAAGTCGAAGCGGGAACGGAAACGCAAGAGGAAAGACGAGAATGACGACCTCGAGGGCAAGTACTTGACCAAGCTTGCGGCCGACGATGAGCCCACCGGCAAGCGCCAGAGGAACGACGCCGTCAAGCCTGTCGGTGAGGCCGACGAGGAGAGCGATGACAACGAGGACAACGACCTTCCCGTCCACGAGTCCCTTGCCAAGGATGCCAAGGACACGGGAGGCTCAGATCTGGAGAAGGCTGCTCGCACAGTCTTCATCTCCAACGTCTCCACGACGGCCATCTCATCCAAGGCGGACAAGAAGACCTTGCTGGCACATCTCTCGTCCCTCCTCGAGAAGGATGCCTCACCGCCGCAGACCATCGAGTCCATCCGATTCCGCTCAATTGCCTTCGGAGGCGGCTCACTGCCCAAGCGAGCTGCTTACATCACCAAGACATTGATGGATGCCACCACCAAGTCCGCCAATGCTTACGTCGTGTACTCCACCTCCGTGGCGGCCCGGACGGCGGCCACCAAGCTCAATGGCACCGAGGTTCTTGGTCGACACATCCGAGTCGACAGCGTTGCCCATCCCAGCCCCACAGACCACCGCCGCTGCGTGTTCGTAGGCAACCTGGGTTTCGTCGACGATGAGACGGTCCTCAACAGAAACGCCGACGGTGAAACTACGGAGAAGAGGCGCAACAAGACTCCCTCTGACATCGAGGAGGGCCTGTGGCGCACCTTCGGCAAGCAGGGCAAGGTCGAGAACGTCCGTGTAGTTCGAGACCCCAAGACTCGCGTCGGCAAGGGCTTCGCCTACGTACAGTTTTATGTAAGTCCAAAAGATTGAAAGAGGTTATCGTCCACTTCCGATACTAACCCGGATCGCAGGACGGCAACGATGTCGAGTCCGCTCTTCTCCTCGATGGAAAGAAGTTTCCTCCCATGCTACCCCGTGCGCTGCGCGTCACCAGGGCCAAGGACCCTCGCAAGACTACTCTTGCTCAAGAGCGATCCAAGGCCAAGACTACTGCCGTCAATGGGGCTACGAAGAGCACAAAGTACAAGGCCAAGGCCACCCCGGAGCAGCAGTCCATGGCCGGCCGAACTGGCAAGTTGCTGGGCCGGTCTGCCGCTGCCCAGCAGCGCCATGGCAAGCGACCGGCGAGGACCGACGTCCCCGAGGGTATTGCCACGATCAAGACCCCGGAGCAGTTTGTCTTCGAAGGCCGCCGAGCGACCACCAGAGACGCCCTTCCCAAGGATCTCAAGGCCAAGAAATCCAAGGGTAAAAAATCAGGGCGCCCTCAAAACCATGGCTCCAAGCGAGCCGCGGAGTGGAAGAAGAAGAACTGATGGGTGACGACGCATTGAGGTTGAACAGGCTGGGTGGGACGAAGCCTTGTTTCAGTGGCCCGCGCGCGGGGGCGGGAGAAGAAAAAGTTGTGCATTTTCCGCAGTGGCCTGGCCGCTGGCTTATTACTTCGCCAGTCTCATATTAGGTGTAAATGCAAAGAAAGGATACGCGCCCTTAAAACTCCTGAGGGGCTTATGTAGTTGTTGCTCATATACCCGCCAATGTATATATATACCAACATGGAATGCAATTGTTTTCTTTCAACTTGCGTTTGGTGATTTATTTTGTCGCCTGGTTTCTGGGTCATGCCCGCTCATTAAAAAGGGAAGGCGGTGGGCGTCATGATCCACGTCATGATTCATTGTCAAGTCCGAGAGACCTACTAAGTTACCCGCTTGATAATTGGGCCCGTTTCGGACTTGGTAAACAAGCAGATAACTTCGAGTATTGCTATTCGCACCAGTTCAAAATGCTAATCGCATACGAGTACACAATTTTACACCTAAACTTAGTGTAAGGGAATGTACCCGGACTGTACGCCCGTCTTAAGGTAGATATCTTATTCTGAAGAATTTCCAGTTTCTGCCCTAAAATAAATTAAAAGATAAAATTTAAACTGCAGACCTTAGAGAATAAACACTGAGCATAAAGTTTATTTAATTTCTTAGGTTTACTTACGAATAGGTGTGTTGTTGAGACTTCCTGGTAAAATTGGTTGATGTCCTTGAGTGTGCGAGTAGCATTTTGAGTATGTGCGAATAGCAATGCTCATAACTTAAGAAGCTACACTTTCTATATCAATTGACCCTTCGGAGCCATCACAAGGGCCGCGTCGATTCAATGTTAAAAAGAAAGGGATATATCATCAATTTTTCCTGCTTGCTGTTCAAAGGAATGCCACTCGCATCAAGGGATAGTCTCGTCTATTAGACTTGGCTCCAAAAGACCATGTGCTAACGGGTACCCTGAGCCAAACTATGGTGTGGTGGCAACCACCCATCTATCCCCCTCCATGTGCCACCCAAAATCTCACCGACAGAGGGAATCGTAATCAACATCACCCACAGCTCTCCACTTCGTACAGCACGGTGTCTAGTGGCCCTAGACTATTCGAGTCCGCCCATCAAAGAAATTGAAAGAGTTCGCGTTTGTAAAAGTCCGCCAGAAGGTGTCGTTGCTTAGTACTCGGCATCCTCCTCCGCCTCGAACGAGTCGGCACCAACCTCCTCGTAATCCTTCTCGAGAGCAGCAAGATCCTCACGGGCCTCCGTGAACTCACCCTCCTCCATACCCTCACCGACGTACCAGTGGACGAAAGCGCGCTTGCTGTGCATGAGGTCGAACTTGTAGTCAAGTCGGGACCAGGCCTCGGCGATGGCAGTGGTGTTGGAAAGCATGGAGACGGATCGCTGGACGGGAGCGAGACCGCCATCGTCGGCACCGGCGGGGACGGCAACGGGCTTCTGGTAGTTGATGCCGATCTTGAAGCCAGTGGGGCACCACTCGACAAGGTTGAACGAGGACTTCTCCTTGAGCGCGGCAACAGCCTGGTTGCAGTCGCGAGGAACAACGTCACCGCGGTACAGAAGAGCGACAGCCATGTACTTGCCGTTTCGGGGGTCACAGACAACCATCTGGTTGTTGGGCTCAAAGCCTTGGAATGGTCAGCGGGTAGGAAACGGATACATGTCATGGGACGAAACGTACACTGGAAGGTAAGCTCTGAGACCTTGAAGCTCTCGTGCGAGCTCTTGCCGGCAGAGATGACGGGAGCGTAGCTGATAAGAGGGTAGTGGATTCGGGGGTAGGGGACCAGGTTGGTCTGGAACTCGTTGAGATCGACGTTGAGGGCACCATCGAATCGGAGCGAGGAGGTAATGGAGCTGACAACCTGAGCAATCAAGCGGTTGAGGTGGTCATACGAGGGTCGGGGGATGTCGAGGTTACGACGGCAAATATCGTAGACAGCCTCGTTATCGACGAGGAACGTGCAGTCGGAGTTCTCAATGGTGCTGTGAGTGGACAGAACGGCGTTGTAAGGCTCAACGACGGCGGTGGAGACACGAGGAGCAGGGTACACGGCGAACTCAAGCTTCGACTTCTTGCCGTACTCGGTGGAGAGGCGCTCGAGGAGGAGAGCTCCGAAACCAGAGCCGGTACCGCCACCGAAGGAGTGGAAGATCAGGAAGCCCTGGAGGGAGTTGCAGTTGTCTGGGGGCCCACATTTTAGTAACGCATCATGTTGAAGGTTTGGGGGTATGCTCACCGGTAACGCGACGCACGCGGTCCATGACATTGTCGACCATCTCCTTGCCAATGGTGTAGTGGCCACGGGCGTAGTTGTTGGCAGCATCCTCCTTGCCGCTGATCAACAGCTCAGGGTGAAAGAGTTGGCGGTAGGGGCCAGTTCGAATCTCGTCGATGGGGGAGGGGTCGAGATCGACGAAGATGGAGCGAGGAACATGCTTGCCACTGCTGGTCTCGGTGAAGAAGGTCTCGAAGGAACCGGAGTCGCCCAGATCGGGGGCATTGGTGTCGGGGAGACCGTTAGGAGCGAGGCCGTGCTCGAGAAGGTAGCTATCGGCAGACGTCGGTTAGCTCTCGGAATGGTGTCGGGATCGAAGCTCAGGAGGCTTCTTTGGAGGAAAGGAGTCAACATACAGCTCCCAAGCAGAGTTACCGAGCTGGGTACCAGCCTGGCCCAGGTGGAGGTGAATGATCTGTATCACGAAGCATCAGCATCAGCATCGCGAGTTCGGCTGTAGCTCGGAAGTGAAAGGGGGCCCGCCAGTGAGGACACCAAGTGGAAACACGCGGAGCCGCTGAAGTTAGGGGAAGGAACTGAGAGGGGGAGCTACTGACCTCGCCCTTCATGGTGGATGGATGAAGCTAGAGACGGATAGACAAAATGCTGAGATTGAAGATGGGAGACGGCGGAGGAGGAAATACGCGCGCAGCGCTGAGACGAGGGAAGAAGGGGCGTGGTGATGATTTTCCGGTGGAGGTTTGGAGTTCTGTGGGTGGGCATGGGCATTGGCATTGGCGGGGTCGATCAACAAATCTGGCTATGGCGCCAAAGGGGGCGCTGGCAAGTCGTCTCAGGTCCTGGAAGTCTGCAGCAGGGGGTACCTGGGACCACAGCGAAACGGCGCGCAGACACGAGGTACCGGCCGCCCCTCACCGCCAATTGAAAGCGTGGCCGGGGGGTAGGGAGCTTGCAAGGGGGGGTGGTTTGCCTGTGCACTGTAACTGGGGGGCTTTGGGGGTTGGGGACCCTCCGGGGCGCCTGTGGCCGGGGGCTGTAGGGGCCGCGCCGTGGCACCTGCCAGAGCCCGGCTGTTCTTGGACGGGATCCATAGAATAGGTGGCTGATATGTGCAGTCAAGGGGGATGAATTATTAGTCGTGTCGAGATACGTAGTAGATGGCAGGGTGAAGATGGGATGGGGCAAATGTCGGGAGCTGAAGTAGCTAGAGGATATCACATCGTTCTCTTTGAGTTGCCTACCTAGGTACTACGGAACGCGCTGCCGGCATCGGCGCTTCACCAAGAGACGACTTGGGAGCAAGCCGCTAACACACAACTACAGATTGCGCTGGAGCACTACCCTTGTCTCTTTTCCCTTCCCGGATGGCCTGATGGCTATCATGCCGAAAGAGGACAACTGTGAATGGTTCGTGAGACCTTGTCTCACCACGTGCGGCTCTCCCCAGGGTCACTTCAGACAATGCTACGACGTCTCCCTACCTTACCTGGTACCTACATCACACGGACGAGCTCCAGCGCTCTCATCAACCACTCGTCAACTTCACACGCTTGGGCGAATGGCAGGAACGCCATTAATTATGCATTGTCAGAGCTACTGCGCAAGGACCTGTCCACGGCCTCTCCCAGCGATCAGCTTGCATTGTCCATTGCATTGTCCAGTTATTTACCAGTCAATGCATCGCCACCCCCGGACCAGAGAACACACGGCCCTCCAACACCTTGGAAATCCTTATGCTCTAAATGACTACGACCCGTGGGGTGCTTGTTTGGTCAAAGAAATCACGGCAAACGAAAGCACAGCCGATCCCACTCTATATCCACACAAGCTGGAGAAGGTTTCAGCCACAAGTCCCCGTCCCATCTCACCAGCAGATGCTAGCCCGCATTCGCTCCGCTCTGTGATGAAACAGGCTTCCCGCGTGAAGCCATTTGAGCTAACTCCAGCCTACACCAGTTAAGATTCTAACTTAGTGCTTCATTAATAAGATTCACGGGAACTATTCCAACAGGACCTACTTCCCCGGAGTTGGTGTCCAGAGGATAGGTTGGAGAGGATGACCCAGATGCAAAGGTGAGTCCAGCCAATTGGGATATGGGGATACATGACCTTTGAATGACTTGAATCGACCAGCACATTATCAATCACGAGTCAACCCATGCAGTCCATCACTTTTACGCTGCTGTCTAATGCTCATAATTTGGCTCAAAGCTCTCGTGTGGAATTGAACTTTGTACGTTCTAAATCTTCTTCTTCTCCTTCTTCCCGTTTTCCGTCCGCATCTTAAGAAACCCAACCGCCTCTTCCCTGTATGCTAAAACAAAGGTCCATGGCAACCCGCCATGGACGTACAAAGTGGTATCATAGGCCGCGCCCAGCTAAAAATTCAAGGTTCCGTGATGAAGACACACACGCTTCGTCATGACCGGGTTTGGCCCGGGTTCTGGTCCTGGTCCTGGTTCTGGCTCGATTCGCTCTGCTCCAACTGTTCGATGCGCCGCTGGATCGAGTTTTTTTGCTCTCTCAACACCCTTATCTCGTCATCCCTCGTTGCTGTGTCTCCGCTGAGACGGCTCCCATTGTCCGTCATGCTGGCCGCGTCAGTGGCAACCTCGTATGTGGGGTATGGCTCTGGAAGGTCGCCACACCGGTCTCTAGTTTCGTGCATTTCACCCACCACGTATAAGTCATTGCCGGCATCGTTTCCATCTCCTCTTGACATGGCATTCAGCTCATGTGATCGCTTCTTCTTGGCGCGAGCCCTGTCTCTGCGAATAATAAAAATTGCGCCACCTGCGATGACAAGCAACACGAACATGGCAACGCCGACGCCGATTCCTATTCGTGCTCCCAAGGATAACCCTTTAGGGTCTTCTTCAGTTCCAATATCATCCTCGTCCTTCAAACCAAGACTGGCTTTGTCGTCCTCCTGAAATAAAGCTCTGATAGTATACACGGCAATCGTTGCGCTATACAGAGTGGTCGTCGAGTCCGACATAATCTCGTAAGTGTGTGCAGTGTGGTTGTAGGTAATCGGTACCGCTAAAACCGTCGGAACGGTTCGCTTGCACTGCTCGCCATCCAAGTAGTACTCTCTGCAGACGATTAGCGGGGTCCAGCAAAGACAGACCTCCATCGCATACTTACGATGAACAACATATGGCCGTGGTAGTCGCCTCATCTCTAACCTCGTTGGTGTTGACCCGAAGCGACACAGTCGTCCATCCGTTGGGACATGTGCCGGGGCTGAAGACGCCTGTCCGACCCTGGAAGAACATGCCATCGGGGTAGCAGGACAGAGTACTCGCACCGGCGATCGGCTCCAAGTCCAACCATGCGACGGCACCAGAGTTACTTGAGCTCAGATTGGTGTCGACATTATAGGTCCAGGTGCAACTCTGCGGCGCCTGCCAATGGGTTGTCATTGGGGGGAACGTCTGATTGTCTTCATGATTCTCCGTCGTTGTGGACCATGGCGATGTCGTCGTTGTCGTCGTCGTCGATTCTACAGTGGATATGGAATCTAAAGGCGAGGCTGAGCTCGAGATGGACATCGATTCCAGACCCGCAGAGTCAGATGCGACAGTCACGGAGGCCATGGAGACGAGGGTAACCAGACGACGCCAGACCCCAACTCGACCCGGGCCGCCAGTCCAACCCGTCCACAGAGCGTAGAGGAGGTTTTCACCTGCAGTCAAGTCTGCAGTTCACGACGGTCGCAAAAGTCGTCCATCCAGGCATACGGTCGACGGCTGGTGGGTATTGACGCGCGGTGTTGGTAGGGGTCGGAGGGCGGAGGGCGGCTGGACACGCGCTCGGAGGGGCGAATCGACGGTCTCGAACTCAGGCGAAGAGGGCGTCAGGGCGCATCGGGATGGCGGCTTGGGGGTATTTCAAGGACGGCAAGTTGCGAGGGACTGGAGAAGAGGAATTCGTCCAGCCGCGCGGCGAGGCGACAGTAGCGTTGGTGTTCCCCCTTCTGAGGCCTTTGAGGGCTTGGCGAAATCTTATCACGGGTGGATGCCGAGAACGCCAAGGCCAGGATTGCACTGATACAATGTCCACGTTGACCGCTGCATGTCTGGGCATTGCCGCTTGTGGTTGCCTTTAGCAGTCGGGGCCTTGCCGGGAGCGGCGCTGGCCAATGTGTGCGGCTGCTGGTCTCCGACGCCGAGCCTTTTGCTCAATGCCATGGCCTTGGCTGGCGAGAAGGGCGCGCCTGGGCGCTCTCGTGAGCGACGAGAAGCTGCGAGGAGGGGAAATGAGCCCGGCCGCGGCGTGCCGAGATGCGGTCTTGGAACCCCGGATGTGGACACTCAAGAGGCGCGGCAGTAACACCGGGGCTCGGCGCATGGTGAGAGACGCTCTTTTCGCCTGCCTGAGAGTCGCAATGTCGCACGTGGAAACGTATCACGAGGGAAAAAAGACACATCAAGCGGAAGAGACGAAGGAGCCGAACACGAGTGGGATTTCTTGGCTACGGGGTTTTGTTGCCGGTTTATTACGACGTCGTTCCAGGTTTCCATTCCATTGAGCATTGACATCGCCCTATATTCACCATGCTCTCTCTCCCAGCCCGCGACCGTCGACCGCCTACGCTTACCAGAATAAGATGGTGTATTCATCTTAGATTTCCAACATCCGCAAATCATACCGCAGTTCGAGCCTCAATACACCAGAGTTTGTTCGCTTCAAAGTTAGCTCGGCTTCTGCAACAAAGCCCAAGCAATGGTGCAACATGAACTGGGGAGCACAGTTCAAGGACAATGCCCAAGCCGCCTGGGACGAGCGCCTGGCTTGGTGCGTTGTAGCACTCTGATCAGGTTACGCTGGCACGTACGATCAAAAGGTACGTACCTCGATCCTGTGGCTGGTGAGAGTGTGACCTGCAGAGCGCTCGGACCAGCTGGCCCCATTGCCAAGTAAGGCAATCAAGAATCAAGCTGGCCAACCCAGAGAGGCCCCGCTCTCGGAGCTTCGGCGCCTGCAGTTCCGGCCGCCTCTTTTTTGCCCTCTGCCCTGACGTGCAGTGCGGAGACGCCCACAAGAACACAGCGAGTGACGCTCAGGTCACCTGACTCGAGGGGTCGAAGGGCACGAAAACCCTACTGCCAGAATTTTGGCCCAATTCGTATCATCAAGCGACTCAACAACCGCCTTCAAAGTCGACTCCATCCCGGCCCATCTATATTCGCTCTTCGGTAGATCAGCGAATTCACTCAACACAACCACCGCGATCATGGCTGACGAATACGTACGTGCTCTCCGAACTCCCTACCAACCGCTGCTACGATCCGCGGCCTCAAAACTCGCCCGCCCACGTCGCAGCCGCCCACGTCGCCGCGACGCTTCTCCCGGGAATGCCTGAACACAATAACTGACTTTGAGGTGACAGAACGCCGAGGAGGCCGCCGAGCTCAAGAAGAAGAGAGCGTTCCGCAAGTTCTCTTACCGAGGAATCGACCTTGACAAGTACGTTGCAGCCGCGAATCTCCCCGCCAACAATGGAAGCCCTTGCGTACCAGGACGTTTTGGTGCGCGCCGAATGCATCGAGAACAATTATACTGATCTGTGATCCTCTTCCACAGCCTCCTGGACCTCAGCTCCGACCAGCTCCGAGATGTCGTCCACGCCCGTGCCCGCCGCAGGATCAACCGTGGTCTGAAGCGCCGCCCCATGGGTCTCATCAAGAAGCTCCGAAAGGCCAAGCAGGAGGCCAAGCCCAACGAGAAGCCCGACCTCGTCAAGACTCATCTCCGAGACATGATTGTCGTCCCCGAGATGATTGGTAGCGTTATTGGTATCTACTCCGGCAAGGAGTTCAACCAGGTCGAGATCAAGCCTGAGATGGTTGGTCACTACCTGGCTGAGTTCTCTATCTCATAGTACGTTTTCCCCATGGTCCGCTGTTGAGCTGTCAAATTTTAACCCTCCCACAGCAAGCCCGTCAAGCACGGTCGACCCGGTATTGGTGCCACGCACTCTTCTCGTTTCATTCCCCTCAAATAAGAAGGTTGCGGTCTCGGGTGGTTTCTGCATTCACGGACATTTACGGGCGAAAAGGACAGGGCTGGTTTTGGTAGAAGGGCGATGGCCTCTATCGAAGTTACTGATGACAATGGGTACCATGATAGTACAATAAAGCAGCATTGTCCGCTTGACAACTACCCACACATTCCGCTGATGCTTTTGAATGATTGACACATGGCAACAATCCGGCCCTAGAACCCCTCTCAACGCTACTGCAACCCCACAGTATGCACACATTTATTCCCCGAGGTGTGCGTCTTCGTTTACCGCTAGCAAACAGGTGTTTAGTTTGGTGAGCTGTTGGGTGTATCACTTGTGGGGAGATGTCGACTCGGGAAACTGTTTGCAAATCGGTCGTGGATGCTCCTGGGCGTGTTGTCCCTCTTGTTCCTGGCCCTTGACGGGCTCTCCTTGTCGGAAGAGTCTCCTCAGGCCCCGCAGAACTGCATACAATATGACCTTGCAGCCCTATCCGAAAGACCCATCGCCTGTGTTCTCAGTTCTCGGTTTACCACTTCTTCGACCACAGAACGGGCAGCTAAAGGGCATGCGCCCCTTGTTGTAGTTGATGAAGAGTTCGTCTCCTGCCTTGACATCTTTTACAAGCGTAACCGTAATGAGGTTGGGATGTCCAGAGTCTGTCCACTGCTGTGCGTTGGCATGCGTGCTGCAAGCGTGGTTGATATGAGACGCAAGTGGGTAAACGTGGGCGCGGGTGCTCTGCGAATCCCAAAACGCGTACTCTTCGACGAACTTTTTTAGTTGCCTCCGTCCTTTCTCGTCTGGGTGCGTATAGCACGGGATACCACGCAGTTTCGGGAATGTATTTTGGAGTTTCTTTTGCGCGGTAGGAGTGAGCTTATCCCACTCGTCGCCAATCGTCTTCTTCCCTCGTCGCTGTCGCCAGTGCACGCAGGATATCGCCGGTTTTTCGACGATTATTTGATGACGGCTGGGAAAGTCTCGAGTAGCTGTTATACAGCGGCCACGGGTGGTGCTGGTAGTAATGCAAACAGCGTCTTGGTTCTGTGGCAGAGGATCTGGAACCGTCGCGGTCTGAGGTGCACCTCGGGATGGCTCCGTTATTTGGGACGGTGCGGTGTCGGTCCGACCATCCATTTGTTCCATTTTGCCTTTGTCGGTCTCTTGAGTGTCGATACTTGTGTCTATTTTGTCAAGTTAGGTACTGGCTGGGACGACGATAGTTGATGATTTTGTGGACTATGAGGCTACACAGGAGGGCTAGCCGAGTCCGACAAGATAGAAAGACTGTCTCACCTCGAGATTCCATGCTTAACCCTTCGTCCCAAGAGGAGGAACTTGCCTCGCACCCGGCCGTGGAGCAGACATGGATCGAAGACGAAGAATGATGTCGGTCTGTCATTGCATTCAGAACTCCGTGATAATCAGCCTTGGGGGATGCATACATACGAGAAGACATTTTTGCCTCAATGTCGCTTCCAGCGTTAATTCAACGATGGGTCAGACAGACTAATGCACACCGAAGATGTCACAGCGGAGGAATGATGAATGTCGAGATGGCAAGACACGGAAGAAGAGACGGGGCTTCTCAACAATGAGATGACCATAACAATTCTGGAATGAGTGAAACACAGCAAGTGTCCGTTGATTCAGTGCGTTGGTGATATGTTGGAAGAGTGTTGAAGGAATGTGAATTTCCAAACAAAGGCAAGTCTGTTTTGTCGGATAGTTGAAGTCGTCAAACACAGCATCGCACCTGCCGCGGCCCGCACTAGTCCATCACGGCCAAGGCATGTGCAGCCATGCCATGATTGCCATTTATGATGACACCAGCTGGGATTCTCGGAGCAGTAAAGTCGGCAGGCCGTCAGCATGTCTCGAGGAGCGGATATAACCCGTGCCAGTCACATCCGTCGAGCATCCCACTCGTTCGATGTTTAGCACAAGACACAACCGGGTGACAAAGAAAATCTTGTTGACTGAATTTGATGGAATTCCTATATGCCGATCCACGTTCTAGTATACAACTCTCATTCCTGCTTCTGGGCCAGCGCAATCGCTTTCCGCTCCTCGTCCTTGAGGTGCTGTTGCCTGAAGTGCTCGACAGCCCAGTCCATGTTGTTCAGGTGACCGGCCTGGATGTTTCGGGGAGCGTGGGATTGGATTGCCCTTTTCACATGGTTAGCATCAATTCTTGAGCCATGGTTCTTTGGAGGGTGCTCAATCGGGTTTCGCATTGACGGAATGGGGTGGTACGAACTCGGGGTAGGCGACATCAACGTATCGGTGCTTGTTGGAGCCGTTCTCGAACAAGTTTCGGTCGAATGAAGCTTGCTGCGCAGCCTTGGTGTGCAGGGTGTTGATCTCCTCCCAGTCCTGGGCCCGCGAAGTGTACTTGTCGATGAGGCTAAGGATGGCGGACTTCTCGCCCTCCTTGGGGACGAACTGAAGGAGACCGACGCCACTCAGGAAGACAGAGACGGTGATAATGGATCCGGTCTGCAGGGACAGGTCAGTATTCGACGCGGCAATGGCTCTCGGGGAGCTGCGGGATGGCGTATCGCGGAGAGCAGGTGTGCGAGGTTTTGCGGGCCATACGTACGCCGAAGGACTCGTTGACGGGGGCGGCGGGCTTGTGGTGGGCGTGGGCGTCGGAAGCGTAGGTCCGCGCTGTCCGCTGCAGCTGTCGGGCCACGCAGGCTGCCCTCTGTCGTGCGGCGAACATGTTGGCGGGATGGGCGGCGTTCAATTGGGGATTGATCGTGAGGGCCTCGTGCGAAGAGTCGCCAAATCTACACGGCCGCTTGAGGTCGTCGCCGGTCCGCGGTTGATCCCGAGTTACGTAAGCCAGCCTTGCCGCAGCTTTGGCCAATCGCTGTGCAGACGTTTGGAATCGCTTCTTCCACATGCCCGCCTTGCCACTTAAAGCATTGTACATCTACTCATCCATTGAGGATTTGTATTAATACAAAAATGTCATGGGAATATCCACCTATTCGTATTCGCTCACAGTTTCCGACCTTTTTTTTCTTCTTATTTCGGCACGGAGTCTGATGGTGGTGAATCTGGTCGTCCAGGATAGCCATTTCCCTCCCATGAGTGGCCCACCTTAAACTGCTGATGATGTTGCAGTTAATGGCTGAGCATCTTTCGATCACTGTGCCATTCTCGGATTCTATGGGATGAATATCGGCTGCGCCAGTTTTTTGACATTGTCCAAATCACAATGCAACTAATCCGCAATCAAGGGACACATTGTGCTTAATCCCGGATGACTGCACTCTTTTTACGTGACGGTCACCATATCAACACTCCCGAGAAAACAGAATGCTAACATTCTCGGATGGACCATATGTCTTTGCCCATCATGTCATTGCTCCGGACTTACCTTAACATATAACCCCTTCTCAATGGCTTACTCGATCGGGTTCCTCATGATAAGCCAGCCGGTGGCAACATCAGGTTGATTCTTGGCTGATGCAAGCCATCCATGTCGCACGCTCAGTGTCGGATATGCTAGCGGATTCTCCTAAGTCATATTTGGCGCCGTCTTCCTTGCCATTTTGTTGGTGGAGATATCTCTTGTTTCCATCGTATGCCCGGCTTAATATCGCCGAGTGGCTGATATCATCCACCTCGATGCTCCGGGAGTTTAGTCGCAAAGTCCGTGTTGTATAGTATTTTCGAGCATAACCCAAACCAAGTTATATAAGAAGCAGACACTTCTAGCAATATCATGGAACTTCAACGACAACCTATCAGTTCATCAGTTTTCACCCTACACCCACATCGCCACTAACACCGCCTCTAACATCAACACTATGGCCAAGACGGCGTTCATCACCGGTGCCAACTCTGGCGTCGGCCTGGCCTTAACAACCCTGTTGCTCTCAAAGGGCTGGAATGTCGCGGCGACGGCAAGAGATATTACGTCCCCAAAGCTTCACAGCCTGACTAGCGAGTCTGGGGTACTCATGGTTCAGCATCTCGATCTCTTCGACGAGGCTACGTTCCAGCCAGCCCTAGATGGCGCAATCGAAAAGTTTGGAAAAATTGATGTCCTCATCAACAATGCCGGTTACAGTCAGCTCGGTGTCCTCGAACACCTCAGTATCGATGCCATTCGCAAGAACTTTGAGGTCAATGTTTTCGGTACGGCTTTCTCGTCCCCTTTCGGTCCGGCTTGGATACAGTGTGACACAAAATGTCTAACATTGGAGAAAAGGGACAATGGGACTAATCAAAGCTTCTTTGCCACACCTACGTGAAACCACGGATTCAAACTCCCCCTCCCGGATTATTTACGTCGGGTCGGGAGCGGCTCATTTCGGGTTACCCCTACTCAGCCCTTACAGTGCCAGCAAGGCGGCAATGAACATCTTCATGGAGTCACTCATGTACGAGATGGAAGCGGTCGACCCCCCGATCCAAGTCAAGCTGGTGTGCCCACATGGCGGCATCAGTGAGACCAATTTCGGCCAGACGTCGATGCAGTTGGCTGGTGTGGATCAGATGGCGCCAGAGGTGCATGAGAGATACGGTGCCTTCATGAACAGGACCATGCAGCGGTTCGGCGCCATGCAGGGCCAGAGCATGTCGGCGGTGGACGCCGCAGAGACGGTCTGGACAGCGGCGACGGACAATGATCCGATCCGACTGAGGTACTTTGTCGGACCGCAGGACGGCGGAGTAAACCTACAGCGGCGAATGCGAGGCACGCAGGCTGGAGAAGACGCCAACGAGGTTGACCGGCGATACATGGAGGACATGAGGGCTGCGTACATGTGAGACGGCGAGAGATGGAAGCTCCTGGAAGTCTTGAACCGGCCCGGTCGAGAATGGCAGTGGCGGAGAATGGGGGAGCAGTGGCGATAGATCCCGAATGCGATCTCGACCCGGGACCTGTATTGTCAATGCCAACACCATGTCTCAGCTCGCGTACGGCGTGGCATGACAGTACTTATGTATTTGTATACTGGATCAATGGATGCAGATGTTGGCACTCGAGCACTGAACGGCGTGTACATCTGCATGTATGTCTCACGGGATCTGCGTGATGATTCCGCCGTGACGTTTGACCACGAATACGACCACTGGGCTATGACTGATGGACGAGGAGGCCTCTGGCCAAGGCTTCGCCCCACGGGCAGTGCACGCGATCACGAGGTTCGAGGGAATTCGAGGGAGCCAGTCGGAAACATTGCTTGGTGATGCAAGATTTAGGGGGGTAACGTGGTAGAGAGAGGTAGAGAGTTGGAGAGACAGCGAGGTTGAGAAGTGGAGAGGCAGCAAGGCAGCAAGGCAACGAGGCAGTGAGTGAGGCAGTGAGGCAGAGATACCTGTGTGTAAGACGCTGTGGAAGGGGGAAACCACGGAAGCGGGGAAGGAGAGTCAACAGAGGCGGAACGCGTGTCGTCATAAACATTGATTGCTTCACGCCTCTGGTCCATTGCCGGTCCATTGCCCCAACAAATGACAGACGGACACGCCAAGCACAACAATTCATTCCCAGCCGTTACTTAAGGTAAACTCCGTGTCTCGTCCCTACCTTATGCGGGGGAAGCCACATGATCTCGGCCTTTGAAATGGCTTGGATGGGCTTGAGTGGTGGATCAACTGTGGCTGTCACCATCCCACCAAACTCTGTCTCCGCAGCCACACTCACTCGCGGCTCTCACTCGCGCTCTCACTCGCTCACGCAAACCTGCACTGACGGGAACTGTCTTGTCTTTTCCCATCCGACGGGCCCTGTTTTTGTGCTCTGGATCAAGGTCTAGGTCTGGGCCTGCCGCAAATGAGGGCCAAGACTCGCAGCGCCTCCCCCGAAGCTAACCTTAATACCTGTCGTCATGGAAGCCTCGCCCTCGTCACTTACACGTGTGCGCCGTGTCCGGCCACGGCTACGACGGGCCTTTTTGTCCGTCTTTGCATTTATAAGTTACATCTTGGTCCCCGCGTCGCTGCAGATGCAAAACGTTAAAAACAAGGGGTTGCCTTCTTGGACACATGACATATGATCGCTGCCAGGCCCTTGTCTCTCATCGCATCGTGTCGTGTTCGCACCGTCCATCCAACAACCAACAACCAACGACAAAGTGTTCCATTGTTCCTAACCCAACATCGGGCGTGTGCCGACATATGCGCCGTTGGAACCGAACACGCAACGCCGGGGTCTCAGTTGTGATCCAGACGGAACAAAAAAACACCACGGCGTGGTTCGACACCGTCGGCTACCTCAAGGTCTCAGAAACCCCTCTTAAAAGAAAAAGAAAGCAGGGAGGCGGTCACCTATTCATATCATCCATTTCACTCTCGGTCACGCAAGAGTCCATCCACCCACCAAACAAGGCAAAACGCGTATTCACACCGAATCGCAAAACTCGCATCTACACCGAATACCACAAACCACAACATCCAAAACACAGCGGGGCGAAACGCGCAGCTGCCCATCATGTGCCACCAGATCATTGCTCAACGGATGTGCCAGGTCTGCCAGCGCGGCCAGGGCGAGTTGGTCATCGACTTTACGCAGTGCGCACGCAAATGTTCCAGTCCGTTCTACTGTCTGACACCCAAGCCGCAGATGGAGGTCTGCGCGCTCTGTGCGGCGAAGCTCCCCACACCGGTCCTCGCACGACAGGTCGCCGAGGACATGGCCGCCGCCCGTATGGTCCCCCGGTCGTCCGCTCTCCAGCTGCCCGTCGGCACAGGCGGTGACGGACCGACGCCCGGAGGTGGGCCGCCCCGCCATCCGGTGCTCCCCGGACCCAACCCCGGCCGCCAACATGTCTGCGGTTGAGGGTCCGAGCTGGCTGCAAGGGGAAGCTGGGCAATGAGAGAGAGAGGAGTGAGAGAGAGTTGAGACAGGTTGGGGACGGTGAAGAAGCCAGATTGGGGCACGAAGAATGCTACTACACTATCGGTGCAGGATCGACTGGGGGGGGTCCGTGTTGGACGCATGGCCGGCGCATGGCTCATCACATTGAGAAATGCGGCGTCACCGTGTCACCGAGTCACCGTGTCACCCACCGGATGGGTCAGTGAGGTGAGTTGAGGCCAGGGAGGTCACCTCGGACTGACCACTAGCCAACTGGGCCGGGCGCTATTGTCACCATTGTCACCGTTGTCACAGGGTCGTCCGCAGTGTCGTCAGCGATGTCGCCCACTGCATCACGGCATCGTCCACTATTTTCACTCACTGCATCGTATCGCATCGTATCGCATCGTATCGCATCGTCCGCTACATCACACAACCACGTCTCCTACATAGTACACACCTTTTCCCACTAATTCTTCCTTAGCGGATGGCGGGCAGTGGTGCGACCGGCGCCCCGGTGAGCCGGCCGCCCACCCACATTGCCGGGAACGCGCGGAGCGGAACCGCGCGACAGGGCTGATGGATGACTTGCATGACGGCGACATGACGGGAGGGAACTTGGGAGGCACCCGGGTTTGCCATTCGCCATTCGCCATTCGCAGGGAGCCACCCGGGAACCAAAACCCGCAGAAGTATTTTAGAGAAAAAAAAAAGGAAAAAAAAAAAGAGGCAGAAAAAAATTGAAGACATCTCGTTCGCAACCAGGCGGGCCGTGCGACGGGTCGCGCTCAAGCTCGCGCTCCGTGAGACGGGTCTCGTTCGTCCCCATGACCTTGACCATAATAAGTGATTGTCCGTGATTACGACTCGCCGTGCATGGGCCCCTATCCTGATTCCTCCCCGGGGGTGTCGTACCAGCTTCCTCCGTCCGGCTTCCTTCGTCCAGCTCGGAGATCGCGATGGCCTCTGATTCACCGGCGAGCAGCGACATTCCCACCTGGATGACGAGTCGAGAGGCCCGGGACCGAAACACAAAGCTCACCAGTTGCCATGCCACAGCGAGGCGGAACAAGCCTCTGTCGCTCTCACCGAGTCTGATCGCGCACTAACAGCTGCTGCTTCACCGTCGTCACTCGTGTCGCCGAGCTCCCCATCACCACCGGCAAAAAGCCCTTCTTTTTGCCCCAGAGTGACTCCGGATGACATTCATTTTTTCCTGTCCCTACCAAACCCTGCCTGCTAATTGCCGCATCCTCGTCCACTTCGTCCACCTGTCCACTTGTCCCTCCTCCCCGTCCTCTGGTCTTCTGGGTCTTCTGGGTCTTCTGGGTCTTTTGGGTCTTTTGGGTCTCAACCTCGGATCCTCTTCTGTCGCAGGGAACTCTAAATATCCTTCCCAGGCTCCCCCTTCTTGGGGAATATTCTCTCGACGTCTTCCAGCAATGGCTTCCACCAAGCTGGATCAGGTCTGGGTTCAGACGTCGCCTTCCCGGACCACGCGCTCGCTCTCGTGTTCCGGCGCCCTGTTCCCGCTCCCGCTGCCGCCGCCCCGGGTCCTCGCCATGCCGCCGTCCCTCTACTGCGTCATCCGGGAGGGCAACAAGGCCGACAAGTTCCCCCTCAAGAGCCTGTGGGAGTTCCGCATCGCTGGCATCCGCGAGGTTGTGGGCTACCTGCGGGACTCCGTCCGCCGCGACATGGCCTGGGACGGGACCAACTTCGTCGTCGACGCGGAGAACCGGGCCATTGTCCTCCATCCCGAGGTCCGTCGGGACGAGCAGCCTGCCGACGCCTGCCGAAGAGCTTTTTCGGACCTGTGCCTCAAAAACAGGGGGAAGTTCAACAACTGCTTCGACAAGTGGCTCAGCAAGCCCGCAGAACGCCGCGAGTTTCACCCCATCCACGTCACCGAGGCCGCATGGCAGGACCTGAGCATCCCGCTGCCCGCCAGGGGCATCTTCGGCATCATCACCGTGGGCGTCCATCTGAACATGTACTCGGTGCGAGAGGTCGACGGCCGCGAGCTCGTCGACCGCATCTGGGTCTCGCACCGGGCGAGGGGAGAGAATGTCTGCTACTCGGGCATGATCGACCAGGTTGTTGCAGGTGGCATGGACCCGACGGACAGGGTTGACGATCTCCTAGCACCGGGTGTCACTCTGAAACGGGAGGCCGAGGAGGAGGCCGGTTTGTTGCTCGACTTGGACACCAAGAACATGACTTCAAGTTGCTGCTGCGGCCAAAAGAAAGTAATTGGCATCGTCGAAGATGCACCTGCCATCGCCTTCTACGACTGCAAGGGCCGCGAAGCAGGCCGCGGGAACGAGGGCCACCTGGAGCCGGGAGTGCGGTTCGTGTACGACGTCAAGCTCGAGGACCCGACCTTCCAACCGCGGAGCCACGAGCGCGGGATCGAAAAGTTCGAGTCTCTGACGGTGGACGAAGTCAAGCGGTGGCTGCGGGAGCGGCGGTGGAAGCCCAACTGCGGGCTGGTGATGCTCGACTTTCTGGTGCGAAAGAACCTGATCACCGAGGCCGACGAGGAGCGGTTTGGCGACATCGCGGCCGAGCTGCGGAGGTCGCTGCCGTTCAAGTTTGCGCAGGAAGGATTCCCGTTTTTGGCGCCCTGGGAGTGAGCGAGATGGAGGAGATGACAAGTGTATTTCAAAAAAAGATTGGACACGAAAGAGCCGGTCCCCCTGTATTTCTATGTATGGACAAAACAAAAACAACTTGGGTCACAAAAGCAATTTCCCCGTCTCGGGAATAATTAGCGTGCAGATCTCTCTTCCCCATTTCCAAGCCTACACGCTCGACTCCTCTGCGAGTCTCGCAAAGTCCGACAGGTGATGGACCTCGAGCTCCTTGCCCTGGATCTTGATGGGAGGGGCGGGCAAGAGGGTGAAGCAGATACGCGCCACCTCCTTGCCCGTGTTCTTCCAGGCGTGGTTGGTGCCTCGCTGGACGATGATGTCGCCCCGGCGGAAAGTCCGCGAAGCACCGTCGTCGAGGATGCATTGAACCTCGCCCTCGATGACAATTCCATAGTCGACGCTGGCAGTTCGGTGCATGATGCCAGGGTGGCCGGGCCAGATGTCGACAACGCGGAGGGCAGAGCCCGAAACCGGCGCAATGTCCGTCTCGACGAGGTTCTCTCGGTAGGAGCGCAGATCCCCGTCGCCGTTGTGGTCGGGGGTTTCCTGCTGGTTGACATACGACGTGTGCATGGCGACGCCGCCGCTGCGATGGCCCTGGACTTCGACGGGGATAGACGTGTCCCAGACTGCCTTGCCGTTGGCGTCGTGGGTGGTGATGTACCGCTTGACGGGAGGGAGGGCCTGGGCTTCGGAAGACATGGTGATGGAGATTGTGGGTTGAAGGGGTCTTGAGTGTTATTGAAAAGACGTAGTGTTTTAGTGTAAGGGGTAGAGTGATTGACAAGAGGCAAGTATATCCGGCCTCGAGGATGCTTGTTTGGTGTTTTGTTGGGTGATAATGATGCTTGTTCGGGAATTCCCAAGACTTTCGGGTTTCCTCGATCCTTTATATAGAAAAAGGTGGTAATCTTGAGATGAAGGTTTGCCCTATCCAGCATTAGTGACGATCCCATTTCCAGGAGAACCGTTGAGTTCGGCTGAGGAAGACTACGTCCACGGAGATGCCAACACGTGTCACGGGTCCTAGTTCCCCGTCGTAGGGCCCCCTACGATTGGGCGTTGGAGGCGTTGAGGGATCCAAAGGTCACATCGTGAGGAAGATCCTCTACAGAAGTCGTCTCGGCAATTACGCATCACCGAGTTCCGTGGAGTTTTGGAAGTTGACCGTCGTCCGATATTTGGTAAGCACATGTGCCTTTCTCCCGGATTTGGGTTCCTAGTTTCATCTGCCAATCAACTGTCTTCGTACTCTATGGGTGTGATGGCCCCACCCGCAAGGCAAACTCGGGGGGCCTTACCGAGCTGTAGTGGGAGGAATGGAGCAAGGCTGAAATCAAGAGACAGGGGCAAGACCCGAGTTGTCCAGATTCTGGGCTACGATGGGGTTCCTCGCACCGAGATTCTTTGTCAGTTGGGCACTTCCGTGGGCACTTCCGTGGATACTGACGTCATATACTCTCATCGTGTTGTTTGTGTATATTTTTTGGGTGTCAATGGAGGGGCTTATCAATCGTTCTTTTCCTCTGAAGTCCACGGAATATCGGCTGCCCACCAAGACAATCAACACCTGCAATTATGATGCAAAAGCCAGCACACGATTCATGCGGGCCTACAGGGACCAAAATACCATACCGAAAAACCCATCAGTCACATCAATTCATCAACACCTTCATCAATCTTGCTCTCTCTATCCAAGAGTCGAGAATTAAGACGACGTGGAAATATAGGGTAGCAATGACAGGTAAAAAAGGCCGCCGTCCGCATGTCAATCTGTTCCCCGCTCCGCCACCTGGCCGTCCCCACCACAAGACTGCCGGCTCTGAGATTGGCAGCGGGGAAAAAAATCCATTTCGACTCAATGCAACGATTGTCCAGAGCCTAGATGTGGGGACTCTCGGGCATTCGGCTTGGGCCTGGCTTGGACATGGGTTCATGAGATAGGCGCCACTTGACCGCCAGCAGCACAGTGAATTAACTAGCGAACACCCCCTGGCAGCTGCTTCCCAGGCATCAGCTTTTAGTGGTTGACATGGAAGTCCAGGGGCGTAGCTAGGTACGCTCTACTACGTAGTAGCTCGCCTCGGATTCAGCCAGCAGATGCGGTAGGCGGAGGAAAGCTCTTTGCCTCCCACTCACATTTATTCGTTCACTCACATTCACTAGCACAGCGACGGGCCATTAATTACAACAGCAGGTAGCCAAATGGGCAGATGACCGGCCGACTAACACTTGGACGTGGATTCTGGGTGGCTGCGCTTGTTGAGCCTCACGACCAGGCAAACAAAGACTCAAAATAAGTGCTTACAGCGCTACACAAACCATGCGACGCAAGATTCGCACCAGCTGCAGCTTGGAATGCGATGCGACGCTGCCTCGTCAGGCGGCTCTCAGCTCCAGTACCGGCATTCGAGAGACGTACTGCTACGTACTATGTCGAACAATCGGTGTCGGGAAACACCCAAACTCAGACAGATAGACGAGGAGTGGGCCTCGGTGCTCCAGGAAACGGCCGGAGTTTTGGGCGGCGCAGCGGCTTCTTGCAGCAGCGTCGAGACGTATATTCCGCAGTCTGTTTCCGCGGTCCGTATCCGTGCTGCAACACACACACGCGTACGCTCTCTATTGAGTATGGAGCGCGAAGCAGGGAACAAGGGGTGCTCTGGCACGGTCCGTGGTGGGGGAACCTAGAGCGACGCAGTGAAGAGACGGGGAGAATTATACCAGCCAGCCAGGGTTGAGCGGCGCATTCCATCGCCTGATTAAACCAATTGCCAGCCCGCGCCCGACTCTTGCATCGTCTTTAGGCAATTATTAGACCAGGTAGACCAAGACCAAGCAGGCCGAAGACGCTCTGGTGTGCCGGCGATTAAGCACAACAAGGTTCGTTTTAAGAGTCAATAGTCGACGGCGAGAGGGTCCACTAGAGATGGATTAGTACCTGGGGCAACAAAGTCTCCATCCTCCGCTTCGTTTTGGTCCTCTCCGCCTCGTCTTGGTCCCCTCCACCTCCTATCCCAAGTGTTCCCCCCACTGAGACAAAGAAACGCCCAAAGGGAGAAGTGACGGAAGTGACGGAAAGAGGAGAGACACTGGAGTGGAGATCCGAGCCGCCTGTGACCGATTTGTGTCAATGATTTGTGTGAGCGGGACTTATGCAGTCGGATCTAGAACGCAGCCTCGTGCGCCTTCGCCACCAATAGTCTGCCGGGGCTGTCCAGAGGTTCGACGGCGCAGGGCAGATGCCGGGTCAGCCTAGGAGGAGAAGCAAGCATCAATTATGCCAAGTCAAAACGTCTGGGTTCTTGCTCACATGGGAAGGGTAGTGGCCTGTGGCATCAAGAAGGAATACGTCTAAATATAATATCATTTCAATATCTAGTAGCGGTCAGGGTAAGATATTATGGCATAGTTCCACAGCCGGCAAACGTGAGAGTCAGCACTTGATTAATTATTACGGCAGCCAAATCCCCATTATTAGACGCTGGGACGATGCCGGCGGAGGACGGACTTGACGATGCGGAGGGATGGACGGACTGGCCCGCTAGCTTACATCAGATGGTTGTCGTCGGAAGAGTCCAACTCCGGCCAGCGAGAGGATCCAGCTCGACCCGAATTCGTCAATGGCTTTCCACAGCGAGACGAAACAACGACACCCTCGTGAGTTGTTTTTGGCACCATTCACCATTCGCCATTCACAATTCACCATTCTCGCCCAGCTTGTGCACGTTATTAGCAGCCAAGCCGCGGCCTTGGAATATATGGGACCTGGCGTTCAGCTCGTCGCGCTAACGCTGCGCCTCTGCGAATTGCACGCCGCTGCTGGCGCCACACAGCAGGCCTCGCTCGCTATTCCAGCCCGGCCTAGCCCTTTCCGCCGCCATCCCTTGCCATGGCCCAGCGCATTTCAGTGGTTTGCGTCCCCTGTAAGCCTCCAGCTGCAGGTCGCCCCGGTCTGGACTAACCATCACCCCCCCTGTAATCAGCCCGTCGTCGCGGAGCTCGCTCGCTTTCTTTGTATAAGCCCCCCCCCCGGCGGGCTGCTGGTTTGATTGATGGTGGTTGTGCTGGAGAGATTGGAGAGAGAGAGAGACACACCTGTGACGGCGCGAGAACAACAAAACCCCGTTAGTTCCCCCACCCGTCCTGCATCGCTGGCCCTTTTTTCTCTCTTTTCCCTCGTTGGACGTTGTCGCTGTCGCTGTCGCTGTCGCACGCGATATATCACACCAGTCTATCCCCCGTTGGACCCTCCATCGCGGGTGGAGGAGGAATTGCTCGACCAACCCGGACCTCGAATCACAAACCAACCAACCGACCAAAAACCCCTACCGGAAACAATATACGGGAAACACTAAATAGACGAAAACCACGTCGGAATCGCCATGCGTCGCCCCGCCGCTCTGCTGGCCTGGGGAGCTCTCAGCTCGCCCGCCGCCGCCTCCTGGCTCAAGAACCCGTTCCTCAAGTCGGCTGCCGAGGAGTCATGGACGCCCCCCGTCGAGACAGGCCTTCCGGCTGTCGGTGAGCAGGACCAGCTCGCCTTGGGCTTCTCGCCCCGGCCCACCGAGGCGCCCGAGTTGTACGGCCGAATGGCCTTGATGGAGCGCATGGAGGGTTACACTCTTGGAACTGACACTTGCGGTTACATTGCCAACGGAAGTGAGTATTTACAGTCTTGTGTGTCTTTTTTTTGGATTTGGTTGTGTGCGTCTTCCTAGTGTCATTGTCCGAGTTGGGGAAACCCGATTAGACATTGATATATACGTTAGAAGCGGACCAAATCCAATGGACATCGACACTGCAAGAATAACATGCTGACAATGCCTCCCATCTAGACTCCTTCACATGCATCACCGCCGGCGCTACTTGCACATACTCCGACGACTTTATCGGCTGCTGCAACCCTAGCTCGTCCTGTAATGTCGTGAAGACGACGTGCATCGACTACGCTGCCTCGGCTTCTGGCGCATGCGATCTGCCTGACGACTTCCACACACTCTGCTGGTAAGTATTCCCGCCAGCTTCCCTCGAAAACCGCCCACTTACACCATTTCTAGTGCCAGTTCCGCGGCCGGAGCTTGCTTCACCTACGTCGTCTCCACCACCGGCTCGGGCAGCAACCCCGACAGCACTTTCACCCTGCTGGACTGCTCTCCCACCAGTGGCACCTCGACCCTGTTCGACTACGACCCGGCGTGGGCCGCAACGCACACGGACTCCGCCTCCGCCTCCGACTCGGCGAGCGCCTCCGACTCTGGCAGCTCTAGCGGTACCGCCTCGACGACCGCCGAGACCTCCGCGGCCACCTCCGACACCGGCGGCGGCGGCGGCGGTAGCAGCACCCCAATCGGCCCCATTGTTGGCGGAGTGGTCGGCGGCGTGGCCCTCATCGCCATCGTCGGTTTCGCCATCTGGTTCCTCCTCCGCAAGAAGAAGGCCAAGGCCGCGGCAGCTCCGCCAGCCAACGGCCAGAACTTCGCGCCACCGCCCGTCCAGCCCCAGCAGCCCATGTCACAGACGCCGCAGAGCCCGCAGAGCTTCGCGCCCACGTCGCCGGCCACCACCGCCTACACCTCCGGCGTGCCGCCCGGCTTCCAGGGCTACCCGCCGCAGCAGGCCACCCCCCAACCCTACGACCCGCACATGAGCGCCTACTCTGGCCAGCCAGCCTACTCGCCCCAGCCCGGTTACAACGCCTACGCGCAGCAGGGCCAGTACCCCCCACAGCAGGGCTTCGATCAGCAGCAGGGCTTCCAGCAGCAGGGTCAATACAACCAGTACGGTGCCATCCCCGGATATCAGCCCCCCTCGACCGGTTCACCGCCCCCGAACCTGACTCCCAGCCCCGGGCCCAAGGAGGGCGAGGCCGTGATGGGTGGCCAGCAGCATCAACAGCAACAGCAGCCCCCGTACCAGCAGCAGCAGCAGCACTCTCCCCAGAATGCCATGGAGCTGCCCGCCATCAACCCCATTGGCCAAGAGAGCAACCGCGCCGAGCTTGGTTAGAGGAAGAGCTCTGCGCCGTGGGCGGGGTATCAGCTGGACCTGCTTTCCCTCTCAAGAGCTAGACAGGAAGAGGTAGCCAGAGAGAAGTGGCAGGGATCGAAAGACATTGGCGTTGGTTCGAACGGAGAAGAGAGGCGCTTTAGCAGAGGCAGAGGCCATCACCGCGGGGGATTTATTGGTTCATATGGTCCCTATTTGCCTGGATTTGTACTATACCTCGTTGCTAGCGCATTAGTATCCTGCGTTCATTTTAGTTTACTCATGATAATCAAACATAATGCCCTAGATCTATGACATATTCAATGCATATCATCGTTATCCTTGAGGCCGGAGCTGGCTCGACAAGTCCAACTACAATCGCAACATAACCACGCTCGCTATGCGTTCCAGATACCGATCTCTCCCTCTTCGTCTCCATCTATCAGACGGCCAACTTCTTGCCGACAGAATTCTCCCACCACTCTTCCCAGTTCAGCACTTTGCGACCCAGCCTGGCTTCCTCGGCCGCAAAGACCAAGGCATGGCTCCGGAGCACCTCCTCCAGCGTGCACCCGATGAACTCGTTCTGCGCGCGGGGCGCTTCCCAGCCGTGGTTCTTAACGCGGTCGCAGGCCAGCACAAACTGCTGCGTCAGGCCCAAATCGCCGCCGCCGTGGCCCAGGTCCTCCACGCGCGGGTAGAACTTCTTGGTCTCGCCCGTGTTGAAGTCCTCGACCACAATGGTGCGCGAGTCGGCGTAGATCTCGCCGTGCTCGCCGTAGATGTTGGAGAACCGTTGGCAGATCTTCTTCGTCTGCGCTACCATGTGGAAGGTGGCCATCTTGGCCGGCCTGGTCGACTCGGGCCAGGTGATGGTGACGAATTGCTCATCGCAGACGTTGTTGTCGGCCTCGAAGACACAGCGACCAAACCAATTCCGCGCCTCGACTTCTGACTTGGGCATCGAGTCGTCGTAGTCATCTTCCAGTGCCTTGGACAGGACGACCTCCCGAGCTGTTTGGGTAGGATAGTCTTCAATGTCGTGGACAACGACGTTGATGGGCCACACCGTATCACCCTGGAGCCCCTGTAACTTGGGGTTGAGGTAGATGTTCTTCGCAGAGAACTTGCAGCCTTTATCACCCAGGGAGCACTTCATGCAGTTGGTCGCAGTACCGGCGGCGACAGGCTTGCGGCTCTTCTTAAAGAATTGTAGGCTGCCCGAAGAGGAGATTGTTTCTGGGAGATGCGGCTTCCCTTGGCCGGGCTTTTCTGGGGAGCAGAGCAGCCAAAGTAGGAGGTCGATGTCATGACAGCTCTTGGTGAGAAGAGACGGCGCCGTCGTCCTCTCGTTTCGCCAGTTGCCCCTGACGTACGAATGCGTGTAGTGCCACCAACCAATGGGCTCGGTGTGGACAACACTGGTGATATCGCCAATGATACGGTCCTCAAGCAGCAGCTTCCGCAGCATTATGTTGTGAGGGCTGTACCGTAGCACGTGGCCAATGGAGAAGACCTTGGACGACTCCGAGGCCCGCAACGCCTTGTACATATCGAGACATTCCTCAAGGGAGCACGCAAGCGGCTTCTCGCACATGATGTGCAACCCAAGCGGCCCGAGGCCGACCACGACCTCGCGGTGCATCTCGTCTAGGACGCAGACAAATGCTCCGTCGACGCCCTCAGGGACGCCCTCCTCGCTTGCAGCCGCCCGTCGCCGACGGTCCTGCTCGTACTCAAGGAAGTCGCGCCAATCAGTGAAGGACTGGCCTTCGCCGGGGCTGCTGTCCCCCCAGATGTGCTTCCGGCCGAGGGTCTCGCGCTTGAACTTCAGCGGCTCGGCGACGGCGGCGATGACTCCATTGGAGACGGTGTCGATGGCGTTTGCGTAATGGTTGCCTCTGGAGCCGGCTCCGATGATGATGAAGCGCGGAGGATGCTCTGACATCTCAGGCTTGGGCGGCGGCTTGAGATTGAGATTGAACGAGGCCGTGGGGCCTGGCTCGGCATCAGGAGCGAGCTTGTCCAATGGATTCTGTGTCGAAGGCATGGCTGTAGATTTTTGTCGATGTAGTGATTGAAAACGATTTGAAGAATGCCCAGAGCCTCACTGGAGATGATGAATGAGAAAGGTGGCTGGGGCAGCAACATCAGTTGCCTCTCTCGACGGGCTGCGACGGAGGTAATGATCAGGCAACGAGCGCTGGGTGCAGGGAAGGCTTTAATGGGTCATGCAAAGATAAACGAGCGGATACAGGGAAGCGGATCCGAAGAACCCTGCGATGGCTTCTTCAACTGCCTGTGCTTGGCCGTGTATATGCCGGCGATTTAATGATAGGGGTGCTGGATGCTGGTGAACGTGGTGTTGAAGTGCCGGCTGCCAATGGGGAGGCCGCGATTTAGAATACGCAACGTTCCAGCGCGTAAGGTGCTGTACGGCAGTCTGGAGGGGGCGCCACCGGGCACACGTCCAGTTAAAGCGGGTGCTAATGTCCACGGGCGATCTTCCAACGGACAGGGCCTCTATTAGTGGGCAAGATCTCCCCGCTGCCCCTCCATTACGAGGAGTGGTTGCGGCCCATTGTTGGCGGGCCTCAATTCTTGTGTGACCAAGTCTTTCACGTTGCATACATTCGCCCATCCATACGCTGCACGTACACGCATTGAGCTGAAGGAAGCCAAGCCACCTGCATAGAAACCATGCCTTCAATCCCAGAGGACCAGGTCGCACAGCCTCAGAGCGCTAGCGATGGTCCCCTCGTGTGGATAGACTGTGAGGTACGTTGAGCTGCTTTCGATGTATGGCTTCCGGCAGCGGTGTGTCATGATGGCCTCACTCACTCACGTGCGTGCACTTAGATGACGGGCCTCAACCCGGACACGGAGGAGATAATCGAGATCTACTGCATCATCACCACCGGCAACCTCGAGGTCATCGACGAAGAGGGCTTCCACGCCATCATCCACTTCCCGCAGTCGCGGCTCGACCAGATGGACGAGTGGTGCATCAAGACCCACGCCAACTCGGGCCTCACCGCCGCGGTGCTGGCCTCGACCACGACGCCCGAGCAGGCGGCCGATGCCCTCTACGAATACATCACGCGCTTCATCCCGGAGCGGAAGCGCGGGCTGCTGGCCGGCAACAGCATCCACGCCGACCGGGGGTTCCTCCGGCGGGAGCCGTACACCCGCGTGACGAAGCACCTGCACCACCGCCTCCTGGACGTCAGCGCAATCAAGGAGGCGGCCCTGCGGTGGTGCGCCAAGCGCATCATCAACAAGGTGCCCAGCAAGAAGGGGAGCCACAAGGCGAGGGACGACATCCTGGAGAGCATTGAGGAGGCGAGGTACTATCGAGAGGCCATCTTCCGGCCGACGTTTGACGTGGCGCCGGCGGGGAAGAATAAGAAACAACAAAAAAAAACGTAGCGATTAGATAAAAGAATAGTTAATAAAAAAGAAACTACTGGTATGCAATTGACCGGTTCTTCTTCAGAGCTGGCTCTGATACCAACTCGTATGAATATGAGTTGTGGTAGGACGGCTGAGAGGCAGAACTCAACAATTCGCTAGCGGTGTCTCACTTTTTCTCAGGTTAGCTTGAAGTTGCACAGTGGATGAATGTCAATTGTTCATCTGGGTACGGGTTAAGAGTTAAAACCCACATAAACAGACACCCATATATCATACAAAATCAATTGACATCCCTCTTATCAACACGGAGAAGCTGGAAGCTGGAATCGTCCAAGGCGGTTCTGGGGTCCTTTACAACGAACTCCTTCAGCCCCACAACCCTCGCACTGTCCTTCAAAGCAGTGCCAACACACACACCTACAGTGCCGAATGACGACAAACACTGTAGCGACCCCTCCATTAGCTCAAGTGATATCATCAACCCAACCCCACCAAACAACTGGAACAGCTTCCCCAAGCTCTTCGCTGCTGGCTCTGCGCTCAGTCTCGACCATTCGAAGCCAACCAACCATTGCATTCGCTCACCTCCACTGCGCCTGCGCCTGCACCTCCCTCTCCACTCCACCTCGCCTCGACTCGCCATCTTCCCACCGCAGGTTCGCCTTTTCTCTCCCTTCCCTCTCTTCCCTCCCTTCCCTCCCTCTCCTCCTCTCCGCCATCTCTCCCTCCTCCTCTTCCTCTCCATCTCCCAATCTTCATCCAGCAAGCCAGAATGAGCGTCCAAACCGTCGAATTCCAGCCTTTTCAGGACCAGAAGCCCGGAACGTACGTGTAGTCTGATCCCATTCTCACGACTTCACCACCCCACCATTGCCCACGCCCCTCCCTCTTCTCACTCCCCACCCCGCTCAGCTACCTAGCTAGAGCTCTTCCCCAACCTGCGTTGCGACTCTGTTCCCAACCATCACCACCATCATTCCTGCGCTTCCGCTGACATTGCCTCTCCCTATAGCTCCGGACTTCGAAAGAAGGTCGTCGTCTTCCAACAGCCCCACTACAGCGAGGCATTCGTCACCAGCATCCTCCTGTCCATCCCCGAGGGAGTCAAGGGTAAGAGGAAAAATCACCTGGCTTGCCCCCAACCGACTCGAAGCAATCTCTGACATTTGGTCCCAACTAGATTCCTTCCTTGTTATTGGTGGTGATGGTCGCTTCTGGAACCCCGAGGTCATCCAGCTCATTGCCAAGATTGGTGCTGCCTACGGTGTCAAGAAGCTTCTCATCGGCCAGGATGGTATTCTCTCCACCCCCGCCGCCAGCCATGTCATCCGCCTCCGCAAGGCTACCGGTGGCATTCTCCTGACCGCCAGCCACAATGCCGGTGGTAAGTCAATTGCCCTAGAACCTCTTGTTGTGACCGCCTCTAATATCCTATTCAACAGGCCCCAAGAACGACTTCGGCATCAAGTACAACCTCGCCAACGGTGGCCCCGCCCCCGAGTCCGTTACCGATAAGATCTACGAGGCTTCCAAGACCTTGACCTCGTACAAGATTGCCGACATCCCCGATGTTGATATCTCTACCCTCGGCACTAAGACCTACGGCTCCCTTGAGGTTGAGGTCATCGACAGTACCACCGACTATGTCGACATGCTCAAGGACATCTTCGACTTCGATCTCATCAAGAAGTTCTTCTCCTCCCACCCCGACTTCAAGGTCTTGTTTGATGCTCTCCACGGTGTCACTGGCCCCTACGGAAAGGCCATCTTCGAGACTGAGCTCGGCCTCACTGGCGCTATTCAGAACTGCGTGCCCAGCCCCGACTTCAACGGCGGCCACCCCGACCCCAACCTCACCTATGCCAAGTCTCTTGTCGAGGCCGTTGACAAGGCCAACATTCCCTTCGGCGCTGCCTCCGACGGTGATGGTGACCGCAACATGATCTATGGTGCTAATGCCTTCGTCTCCCCCGGCGATTCGCTTGCCATCATCGCTCACCACGCTCAACTTATCCCCTACTTCAAGAAGAACGGCGTCAACGGCCTTGCCCGCTCTATGCCCACCAGTGGTGCTGTTGACCTCGTTGCCAAGGCCCAGGGCCTGAACTGCTACGAGGTCCCTACTGGCTGGAAGTTCTTCTGTGCACTCTTTGATTCCCAGAAGCTGTCCATCTGCGGAGAGGAGAGCTTTGGCACTGGTAGTGACCACATCCGTGAGAAGGATGGTCTGTGGGCTGTTGTTGCGTGGCTGAACATCATTGCCGGAATTGGCGTCCAGAACCCCGAGGTTACTCCCTCCATTAAGCAGATCCAGAAAGACTTCTGGACCCAGTACGGACGAACCTTCTTCACCCGCTACGACTACGAGAACGTCGACTCCGAAGGCGCCAACAAGGTCGTCGGCGAGTTGAAGAAGCTGGTTGCCGATCCCAACTTTATCGGCAGCACCATTGACGGTAAGTGAACGATTGAGTAATGAACCAAGTCCCGAGCTAATAGCAAGCACAGGTCGCACCGTTACCAAGGCTGGCAACTTCTCCTACACCGACCTGGATGGTTCCGTCTCGTCCAACCAGGGCCTGTACGCTGGCTTCTCTTCTGGCAGCCGCATCGTTGTTCGTCTCTCGGGTACCGGCTCATCCGGTGCCACCATCCGCCTGTACATTGAGCAGCACACGAGCGACCCCGCCACTTACGACCTCGATGCCCAGGATTTCCTGAAGACCGAGGTCCAGTTCGCTACGGGACTTCTGAAGTTCAAGGAGCATGTCAACCGTGACGAGCCTGATGTCAAGACCTAAGCAGGCATGACTGGTATATCAGTCGTGGACGGAAAGAGGCGGAGAAAAATAACATAATACTGAGATTCTGAGTTTGTTATCGCATAGTACAGAAATGACAAGATTGAGCGTTCTCGTAATCAGAATGAACTGAAGGTGTGAAAGGGGGCAGAGCAAATAATAGCCAAGCTTATGTCACGGCTCGAGGAAATCATTCCAAACTCAGAAAATGAGCCACGTCCTACAGCTGAGCAAGAAACGTCTTGCCCATGCCAGATATCATACAATCTGTCTCCCGCTAAGCTTGATTGACAAAAGGAATTCGTCACTCGTAATTCATCAAATCGTCAAGCAGGCGTCCTTCGGGGCCGCCGCCTAGGTGAATCGAAATCAAAACGCTGCAAAGACAAAAATACAAAGGGAAATGGAACTGCACTACGGATGGTTGGGTAACCATAGCTTCTCAGCTTTTTTCAATCTTCTCGGTCGTCTCGATCGTTATGGTCGACTCGGTTACGGGTGGGGAAAAGAGCTCCCTGAAGCGCTTCGATGCTATTGTCTTTGTGAGATGACCTGCGATGGGTAACTGAATGGATAAAGACAACTGACCCTCTTCACTCACAAAGCAGATTTCAAACGCTCCCGCAGTTCCACGTCGTTGATTCTGCTGCTGGTAATCCGGACAGAAGACGTAGAGCTGGATATCGGCCAACCGGACTTTGTACTTGGACACTCGCTTCATCCATGTTGAAGAAGCGGACTGGTGGGTGACTAAATAAATTAGCCAGCTGGCGTGGAGAGTCAACGTAGGGCCATGACGAACTGAAAGCGGTCCAGACGGGACACTGCCGCAAAGCACCATCCCACACAGCGGCGTGGAGGCGGAGGCCTTTGGTCGTTATATCCTCATAGACAATCAGGGAGTGTCGGAAACCATCGTCGAGAATGCGTCTACTGTCGTTAGATAGGAGCAACGGAACGATTTTAGGAAGGACCTTACGCCTGGAAGAGTTTTCGTTCGCCACGTAAGGACAGCTCTTGAGGGGCAATCTGGACCGTCAGGCTATTTCGAGCCTTGAACGATAGGAAGCAGCAATAAAGGAGGACCATTTCTAGGACAAATCAGTCTCTGAAACTAGCCAGGAGCGAATATGGACCAGGGCTAGACGTGAATAGGGTGTGCATACCTTCCCAAGTCATGAAACTTAGGCTGGCCCAGAGCTTTGCACAACCTTCAGCAGGACTCCATCGCCAGAACTGGAGACTGCTTTGGTCCCGATCAATGCAAAGCTCATGAGCACCCCGCAGAGAGAACCATGGGGAACCCAGATGATACATTCGAAGGAGGAAGTACGGGCACCTCTCTCGTGTGCTAATGTAGACACTGAGAGATATCTGGCGATCATTGAAAGGACTAACACGGTCAGTATCCTGGCCCTATGAAAAAAGGAGTGGAACGATTCCCATACCGCATGAAGAGAACCCTTGCATCGCTAGGCATTCTGATGTGTCCCCAGGGCACATGCGGGCCAAACGATTTTGAGCTACATCGCCTGGTCAACTTGGTCGAGAAGCGACCGGGGTTGGGGCAACAACTTACGAACGCTGGTGCTTGAGAGCAGTTCGGGACGGTAGGGGCAACGAGAATATTTTCTCGGCCCAGTGGATAGTCTGCAGTGACATGTTAAGTCAAGGCTAATAAATATTGACCTCAAATCCCAACTCACCGACGTCATGTCCATGTCATCCAGGAGGGCGTCAGGGCGAATCCCTGGACCAATTCGGATTGGGGGTGGTGCTGTCTCTAATCAGCTCCGCTGTGGTGGTCCGATGGCAGCAAAACTCACGTATTCGTCTCGCTTCCCGTAACTGCATTACTTGAAGTCGAGTGCTCTCGAGGGAATTAAGGTCAAAATTAGGTGACCTGGCCGCTCATTAGCAATATTTCCCCGGCTCGTGTCAAGTGGAATTCCAAACCTGGTCAACAGTTCTCGCAACAGAGTTAGGAAATGGTTGTAGAGAAGAAATCGTTGAGGAAGCGACAGACCCCCTGCCTCATCAGTCATTGAGTGGTACATCTTCCTCCATCGGTTCTCCTTTGTCAAGGTCCTGTCTTCATAGTGCCCGGTAATATCCCGCAGGGATCGAGACAGACACGGAAGGATGATTTCAAGATAATCGAGTACAACAGGAACACGGGAGAAATGCACTTGTGAGTGATCAGCAAGTTCGCGGAGGAGTTGGCTCGAGATTCGGATCTCCTCAATAGTCACCGTCAGATGCGGATGAGGGGGTCCAGGTAAGGCGCTGCGGAGTCCGTCGAGGTGGAACGCCACCACGTCAGCTCTGTTTGCTTCCAAACAACAGCCTTGAAGCAGATGATATTCGATCTCGCCTCCAGGTACTACTCCAGGAACCAACTCCATGGTGGAACGAGGGTCGGGGTCCAAGATGAAGTTGGCTCAAGAGGTCATCGTATGATGCCGGCACCAGGGACAACTGATGGATATTTGGCGCCGGTGTTGTATCGTCGAGACTATCCTCTGGGGTCTCCAGGCCGAGGCGGCGCCGGTTGGTGGCTGCGTGGGATCGGTCTCGTTTGGTGGGTGCGGTGAAGTGGTAGAGGTGGTAAGTAGTTGGGGTAGGGCGGCCGCGGGGTCGAGGCCGAAGGGTCAAGGCATTCAAGGCAGTCAAGAATAGATGTCGATGGAAATCCCAGACGAAGTGTATTTGAAGTTGAATTAGGGAAGCAAGTGAAGGGGTTAAGAAAGGCAACCTAGTAATTAATGAGAAGGGGGGTGGCCCAGGTGCCGGCCTCAACAACGTGTGATCCGATCCAGGCTAAGATGGTCAACACCACTGAATGGCTCGCAATCCCACCAGTGTACCCATACCCATGGCTTCACCTGACGTGTTCGGTGCACGGTTCTTATCGCGCTCCCAGAATGAGCCCATCAGAGATGCTGCACGTAATGTTGGCTGCTGCCGGAGGTATCGTCCTGTCCTCAACTGAGCTAAGACCACACAGGGTTGAGGACCACCTGATGATCACATTCCGCAAATCCCGAGCTCGGGGGGATGGCGACTCGCTGCAACTCACCACAAGCACATCAGAGCCCAATGTATTGTTGTGGTGGGTGAATGGGATGTGCAATTGCGCGCGCAGTTGGGCGAACTGCTCAGGCGCTGCCACGAAAGCAAGCGTCCCTCGACATGACGCCAATTCAATGCACAAGCAGCCCGGGGGACGTCGACTGGGCCAGATCGGGGTGGGTGGGCACTTGCAGCGACTGGCGACGACCATCTCCAAAGCAGCCGGCCACTCACGGCGTCGGTGCGACGTGTTGCGCTGCAGCGATTCTGGAGGTGCATCCGGGAGATGTGGAGCAAAGCTGTCACAAGGAGATCGCGACAGTGAGGAGGAGCCCAAGGAACCGCGTCTGTGCTGGGGTGCAGGTCTCCTTTCGTCCCTTCATCCCTTCATTCCCTTCATCGCACGTTAACAGGCGCCAGGTGGATGCCTCTGAGTTGCTGAAGCCCGTCTTGGACGTCACTTCGCCGGTGGCGGGGCTCGGCGGGGCCCCGAAGAGCCAGAATGAGGCCACTCGCCCACTGCATTTCTTGGTGCGACGGTACCCAAATGACGCTAGATGGGGGTGAAGAGGCACTTCGTATAAGAGGACATGAGCAGCACTCGTTTCGCTCTCGTCTCTTGTCTGGCTGGTGGGATGCTGCTGACCTGCACGGAGCCACAGCTGCGTGCGACGACCTAAACTCGCCAGCGCGGCCGTTTGCCGACGGGATGGATGTGCACCACTTGGTGCGGGGAGGGGGGATTGCAGCATATGAAAGAGTGAAGTGCAAAACATTTTCGCCAATCCGACCGCGAGGGGTTTCAACCTGGCCACTCCTTCCATCGGTGATTGCTGTATTCTGCTGACCCGCCGGTCGGCTTACATCCTCAGGCCGTGAAGTCAGCCCCGCTGACATTTCGTGTGGCAGGCGTGGCACTTGGTCTCCTGCCTCTAATAGGATGCACAAAGTTTGCATCCGATATGTTAAGGCAAGGATTAGCATAAAATATTCAAAATTAGAAGATAGTATTTTATATTTTATACACTAAGTGATTTTACAAAGATTATTTATTCCTAATTCTTTAAAAGTCATCTTATTATCAAGCAGCAGAATATATTAGCCTGTTATACTTTGGAAATTCTCACGGTACAAGCATTCAGATGCAAAATTTCTGCGCCCATCATATCTTATCGGTGTTATCTTATCTCTACCACGTGAAGCGCGATAAGCTTCGCATCGGTCACCTCTCGGTGAGTGCTGGACTAGCTTTCTGGGCCGTCAACACAGCGCTAAGAGATCTCATCACTTTGGTTTACTCAGCTCATCGGCGAATTTGGGATGCATGAGTTTGGTGCAGTTTTTTTTTAATATCGAGTTCGAGGTTGGAGCTCCAGTACTTGTACAAGTATCTCGTTTCATCGTCTCGTGACGTCCCATGTGGTTCATGATCAGAGGCTCACGAGAACAAGCGGTGCGAGACGGAGCCTGCAGCTCGACCGGCCGCCTTCTAGATCATAATAACACGTCGCAAGACCATATCCCGTTGAATTTCCGGTAACTGAAAAGCAAAAGCACTCATCCCATACCGTGCCATAATACAACACCGCCCAGACCAGATTATAAGGAAAGAGACGGCCCCAAGCCTGAGGGCATCCAGCAGAAGTTACTGACGCGTCTAAGGACGGTGTTCACCATATTGCTGATAGCTCATCTTGGCATGTGTGGATGCCCATCTAAGAGGACTCCTCCTCCTCCTGCTCAGCCTGTGGGGATGGGTTAGCTTCAGTTGACCAATGACAAAGAACGGTCATCTCTTACGTTGTAGGCTTGCTTCTCATCCTCGTAACGCTTCTTGTCGGTGGCAGCCTTGGTCTCATAGGGAGTGCGCTGCTTCTCGTTCAGGGCCTTCCATCGCTCACCAAGGAGCTTGCCGACCTGACCGAAGGAGATACCAGGGTTCTCCTCACGGACGTTCTCGCGCTGCTCGTTGGCGAAGAACATGTAGGCAGAGAGGCCACGCTTGGGGGCGTTGGGGTCTGGTCTTAGTTAGTGATTGAAGCTTTGGATGGTTAGGGTTGAATAGTATGGTAGTGCTGCATGGGTGACTCTGGCTCTGGGAGATGCGAATCGATCAAGACAGCTAAAATCGATCGCCCAGAGGGAGCACCTAGGCAACACCAACCATACTAGGAATCAGTGTCAGAACTCACCCTTCTTGGCGCGCTTCTTGGTCTCCTTGCCACCACGCTTGCCAGCAGCAGCCTTAGGCATCTTGTAGGATTTCTGTGGAAAAAATGTTAGCGCAGCTCAGAAAAGTTGCTCGAGTGTCATGTGTGTGGAAGGAGACAACGGTTGGCAACAAGTGTTGGGGTAAGGCGCCTGTGCGTAGTGACGATGCGTCGTGCGGTTCATCGCGCCAGATGGTTTGGAGGGGTAGCTCTTGGTGGGCCTGGAGCTCGGGCGATGAGGTGATGTGCGAGGCGCAAACGCGATTGCGCTCGCCAACGCGTGGCAATCGCCATTTGAACAACAGAAAAAGCTCGAGACAGAGGGTGAGCTTACCTGGGGGGAAGTTTTTGGAGTGGGAGAAGGTTGTGGTGATGATGAGTGATGCTGCGCGATGGCCTGTTAGCTTGGTGGTCGAGTCGTGACGCGCACGAAGGCAGAGTGATGAAGATGCGACGAGGTAGAAGGTGCAAAGTGCACTTGGATGCGCGCAACTCCCAAGGCAATGCAGGTTTGCAACAATGGCAAAAACGAGAGCAGAGGGAGCGCGCGACCAAGTGTGCGCCAGCAACAGTGATGCAGCAGAAGGAAGCTGGTGAAGGGGTGTTGCGTGGTGGTGCGCAGCGCAGAGGATGGTACTCACCACGAAGGCTTGTCGTGCGTGTAGGTGTAGGTGAGGGCGGTTGTATGGGAGGATTTGGGTGGGAGATTTGTATGAGAGAGAAGGGAGAGAAAGTGTATGGGGGGAGGGCCAAGGCAGCCTTTTTACTCCGGGGGAGTGATTGTGTGTGGAGGAACGCGGCCTGCCCAGCTACCACACTGTTATGCTGGGCACTGGCAGCCGGTGCTTGCTTATTAGGCGAGACCCCCTTCCCTCGCGAAAAATGGGTGCGCGCGAGCCGTGGTGCTAGTACTCCGTACCAAGAGTAGAGTACGAAGTACTTGTCGCCCATTGTCACGGCCGCAAGTCCCCAGGTCCCCCAGGTGCCAGGTCCCTGAGAGTCCCGTCACCCGTCTCATCGAGGAAAGGTCAGACCGCAGCGCCGCGCCCAGGCACCCAGCTCCAAGCTCCCCCAGCAGCTGGTGCCAGTGGCCGCCCAGTGGGCCAGTCACCAGCGCGCAGTGGGTGGTCCTTGGTGGTCCTTGGTGGCTCTGCTGCTATTATTGTGTGGTACTGTACAGGTACATGCCGCACGCAGCCCGCCGCGCCGAGGTAGAGTACAAGGGGATTGTACCGCGAGACTTGATGCGCAATCCGCACAGTGTACTTGGAGTGATTGGAGTGATTGCCGTGCCATTCGAGCCATGCGTGCCATTCGTGCCATTCGGCGGGCAGCTCGCAAGTCCCTTCTTCTCGACCTCAGACCCCTTCTCCCAATTTGGCCCCCTCATCTGGTGGCTCTCCGGCTTCTTGGTGACCCTCAGGCCCCATCTGCCCTGCGTCCATTCAACTCACTCTCACACACTCGCCCTCGCATCACCCTCTCGCGCTGGCGCTGCCTGGGTGATACCGTACGCCAGCCGGTACCCCCGTGGTCCTCGTCGCCCTCCTTACCCTTCCCCCTCCTTGCGCCTTCTACTCGCTTCCCTCCACCAGCACCAGCCAGTCCACCAGTCCACCAGTCCACCAGACCACCTCTCCTCCACTCACTCCATCCACCTCCCTGAGGCCGCTATCCTTCAATCAATCCCTCGGGGCTCACGGCCGCGCTCCCTCCCAATACCGACACCCTCATCCCTCCCCTCCTCCCCGGCCGCCTGGGCGCCTCGTCCTATTGTGCCACACCTACATAGTCCGGACTAGGAGCTCCAGTCGGTGTTGGAGTCGAAGCCCACTCCGGTCAGCTTCCTGGGCTTGCACATGTATCTCAGTACCGTCCGCCACTCACTGGGCAGGCTTGAGCGCGTGTCTCGCGGGCCCATGTCCTCCGCCGCTGATTCTGGCTCCATGTTGAGCCCGGCGCATTACTATGTAGACACTCTGGCTCACCCATCCTGTTGCGTCGCTGCGACTCGAAACGCCGATGCGCACTGCAAGCAGCCCGCCCACCCCAGTCTCTCCCTCCCTCCTCCCTCCTCCCCTAGTAGGGCGGACGTCGGAACAAGAAGTGGTGCTTGGTAGGGTGATACCATCCATCATCCAAGGCTGGCTGAATGACGGCGGCCCCGGATTAATGCCTTTTTTCGTTTTGTTGGTGATTCAAAGTTTAGCGCTGGCCACTGCGGATCCAACCTCACATCACCATCACGGATGCATCATGGTAGCACCCCATCCTCGGAGCATGCTGATACTGGGAAAGTATCCGAACTCGCGATCCGGCCTCGTCCACAGGCAACCGGGCAACCAACTGCCACCGCACGACTTGGCTTTGTGACTTCTATTTCTCTCTTTCACTTTCCCATCAGACGTGCAGCAAACCTCCAGAACCACTTTCGTACACTGCCTGAGTTGTCTCTCCCTCCATCCTGGGTTGTGTCCCTAGGCAAGACAATCTCGGGTGGTGTTTTACCTACCTTTCCACATTGCATACCTTCACTCACCCCCCCTCTGCCCCCCGAAGCTACCGTTCGCTCTGGCACTACCGCGAGACATCCGAGTCACTCGCACAAAAAGCACGGAGGAGGAGGAGACGCTATGGACACGGTGGGCACGACCTGCCGACATTCCCTGGTCGACAGGCCCTTACTTCCTATCTCCTCTTCTCTCCTGTGACGTTTCGCGTCTACGTCCAGCCTCTCCCCTCGTGAGCAACTGAGCCTAGCTGGCAATTTGCGCACGATCAACGCCGGGGTTCCTCACTGCGGCTCTCGTTCTAGACCACTGCCATTGGGACCGGGCGTCTTGACCAAGTGCCCTGGAGCCTGATAACTGGAGCGGAGTGATGGGCTGGCGGGGTACTTTAATTATGCATGACGAGGATGTACCGTCATACGAAATTTTCATGTACCAGTACATGGGCCCGAGTACCTCCCTCTCCAAGTCCCATACCTCCCCCTCCACCTCCACCCCCGAGTTCCCGCAGCCTTTGTCTGGAATAGGAGGAGAAACAAGACGGGGTCCGGCCAGTTACTGCCACTGCCGCGGCCACAGCCTCACGATCACTCCTACTCTGGCTCCCTGCAAGCTTCCTTTGCCTTTCCTCCGGCCTGCCCTGTTTTCAGTCACTTGTCTTGTCCACGCCCCCATCCCATTCTCTACTTGCCCAGCCTCGTTCGGGTGTCATCCGTAACGTCCATTGTCAATGTCACTCTCTCTGCTGCACTAGAGTACTGTACCTCCCTCTAGCAGTGGACTAGTGTGAATGTGCAGTGCGATCCCAGCTTCCGCATCTGGCCGGCTGGTATTGTCTCTCTATGGTGCTGGACACACGTATCACCGCAGTTTATTCAGGACTCTCGCAAACCCCTTTCATAACAACCGGAGGGGGCGAATGGGACGACATGATTTGGGTTTCATCAGCCAGACATGGGATGTGTTTCTCCGTGCCATGCAAGGCAATTATCTTATTATGCCCCTTACTGTGGCAACCCGTCGCCGAGGAAAAAGGAACCAAGGTGGTGGTGGTGGTGGTGGTGGTGGTGTGTGAGAGGCAGAAGCAAAGGCGAACACGACGCGGGATACCTCGCAGCGCATACGCCAGGTGCGGGCGCAGCGGGTACCGAAAGTCGTGCGCCATGGGCCATGGGGCATGGGCACTGGACCGTGAGCAATGGTCGGGTGGCCTCGTAGGCTCCTGGGCCTCCAAGGTGCAGGCAAGCAAATTGATGGGCTGGGCGCGGGCGTGTCTGGGTTGTGCGCGCCATTTGCTCGCGCCGGTCCAAAACAAGGCCAGAGGCAAGCCCGTAAGTGGCCCAGCAGAGAGGTACCAGCAGAGACTTCCAGCGGGTACGCGACACACCAAAAATTGGGTGGTCATGTAGTGGTCTTCGACGCTTATACTGTGCTGTACCTGGCCGCGCGCGGCCTCAGAAGGGGTAGCTCTGCGTCCCCCGCCCACGCAAAACACCGACTGTCCCGCTCCACTCCCTCTTCTTGCCTTCCTGCCACCTGCTTTTGCTTTGTCCTGTGGCTCCGAGTCGTAAACGCCCCTGGTTGCCCTTTGCTGAGAGGAAAAACACGCAAGGTTCGGCACAGAGTCGATGGCGGCCCAACCTAAGGCCAGCTCAATCCCGTTGCGGCATGCCGATCTCGTCGTCTGGCCAGGGCGAAATCCGGGTGATGAAATTCCGAGATGAGCGTCTCACCCACCTCAGTCGAGCCTGGAGTATTGCGTGTTCGCATGGGCTATCTCCCTGCCTCTCTCGTACCCATTCTCTCTTCACTTTTGCTCCAAGCTTCTGTTGCATTGCTGTCGCGGGCACTTTATCAAGCTATATCACGTGCATTCGTGGCGCGATGGTCATAGCTCCTTACATTTGCTAAGCCCTATCGGGAGTGCGTGTGGTGGATGGCGGCATGCAATCGCAAGCTGGGACTGGCAAACTTGTGGAGGAGCAAAATTATGATCCGCGATTCGACCTGATACATGCATTCGTTGCATGACGAGCAGCTCCAAGCCGTCAGGGGAGGCCAAGGATGCCGTAACCGCGCATCGCTAGTCGCAAACCACGGGGAGAACCTTCCATTGCCTTGGCTCAGAAAATTCCATTTCCCGTGTCCCATGTGCCGGACGCAGGGCATACGAGCATCCTGGAGATCGGCTCATCGGCAGGACTGATGCATGAGGCTGATCAATCGCATTGTGGGTTGCAGAACACTCAGGACTTGGACATGGTGAAATGAATCATTCTTCGATCATTCTTCCGTCTCAGGGTCGAGGACAGTCTGTCGCAGTCCATCATCCTGTGCCCAGTCGACACCGCTGCCAACCACTATACCACTGGCCACACCTTTCATAACTCTCCACCTTTGCTTGCTTTCCTTCAACTTGGCCTCCAGGGCTTCTTGTTCCTGCTTCGCTTTTGGGTTGTCGTTCCGACCCAGCTTCTTCTGCTTCACCTCCTCTGCGAGCTTCAAGAGCTCTGCTGTCAACTCCACGTTCTGGCGAGAGATGCGCAACGTCTCGCTTTGGACTGTAGTTAATTTGTTTAACTGCTTGTCCGACACCGCGGCCTGTTTCGCAACTGAGATGGTAGCGTCGTCTCTCCGCTCAACGTAGGGAAGCAGATCACTTTGTAAATTGTCAAATTGGATACTTGCGTGAGGTGCATGGGTGGTCAAGCGTACCGGTCTACTGATGATGCGTCTGTGCCGTTGTGGACGGCCTTCAGAATGGGGTTCGCCATCATGACGGCCTCGATCACGTCGTTTCTGAGGACATATTTGGCCCGCGACTCGAGGAGGTCTGTCTGGGCCTTTCGTGTATCATCTGGCGTGATGCTCGAGGGCTCATCTGAGCAAAGGTAAGCCTATGATGTAAATATCCTGTTGAGAATGATCGGACCTGGTTGATGCGATCGCTGGCCATTGATAATGGCAATCTCTAGTCGGAGCTCTTGGAGTTGGTCATAGAGCGCAAGGACTTTCTCCTCGTCTTCTGAGAAGGGTAAATGGGTCTCTTCATCGAAACCGTTGGTCATGGGCTGGTCGATTGGTTCTTCCATTGTGGCGAAATTCTCGGCGATGTTTCTCCTCGCCTAGACCGGGTTCGTACCGATGCCCTAGATAGCCTCACGAGCCGCCGCGTCTGTGAAGCTTCTTGACGCGACTGCAATCATTGATGAAAGTGGTTGAGACGGTATGGCTGAGCACTTGTGGCGGAGCTGTGGCGTCATGTGCCAATCAACAAGCGCGACCAGTCACAAGGCACCAGTCACGCTAACACCCGCTCCCATGGCCCATCACCGCCGGCCTAGCCATCGAGGTAAGGCACTCGTGACGCGAATACGTAGATTCCCCAACCCGTCTTCTATCACCACAAGGCCTTGTCAGCCAGGCTGCCATCCCCCTTCATTTAATCGCACCCTCCCCATTGTCCTCCGAGCCGGTCGCACAGCGCCGCATAGTCTTCCATGGGAGATGTCTCGGGATGGCTACTCAGGTGTTGATAGCCCATACGGGCCAGCGGCTGGAGGTCGATACCGCGCAGTTTTCCATGTAGGTTTGCCATCCGCGGACGGAAGACTCTGGCGACTAATCCTATCCGCAGTCTCGATGATCTGAAGACCTGGGTCTCTCGAAGCACCTCCATCCCACCCCAACACATCGTCGCCTTGACCCCTCAAGGTCGCAGCGTCAAATTCGCCAGCCTACATGCTGAGGTTTGTTATCGCGCCACCAGATTCGGGGCCTTGCTGACATCCAGCAGAAAGAAATATTCGTCTACGACATTCGAATCAGCCAGCCAGCCTCGTCCAAAGGTGCCTCGACTCTTATCTACGACGCCCCGCTACCCAAAAAATACACCGCGACGAATGCGCCGAACTCGATAGATGATGTGCAGGCGATTTCATCATGGCAACAGCTATACAAGGACCGTCGAAACTGGGCAATGCATCTTCTTGAAGACTGCACTCGCATGAATGCGGGAACCCTGGCCCGGTACGATGAAATCGATGTCATTGTGAAATGCTTGGATGCAGCCGTCACGAACCTCGAAATCAGCATCAAACAGATCGAGCCTAAATACAACGAGTTGAAGAAATGGGTTACGCCTGCCCTATCGGAGCATGATCATCTAGTGAAGAAGTGGGAGCACTATCTTCACTTAGCCACGAACACACCCATTTCGGCTTCCATGGTCAACTTCATGACCCGCAGGGAATCCACCAGAGCGAAGCCCACTCTTGAGGATCTTATCGAGTTTGACACGGCGAAGAAGGCAGGCAAGCTAGCACCTACCGCGCACCGGAGATTTAGTGACAAGGCCAACGACCTCGACAATACGGCGACTCGCATGTACCAAGGATTGGAAGGACTGATTGGGGATTTTGAGAAGCTGATGAGCCGTTCCGCTCTCGGTCACAGCGCCGACTCAAGCCAGCTTATTGAGGACATCGAGGCTGTGGTCAAGCAAATGGACTCCGACTACCGCGCTGCTCTTGGATATAGTGGTACTCAGCGTGATCTGGCACTGGCTTCGAAGACCGCCTCGATTCACACCGAGCACATGGTGCCGACATTGAATAAACGAGCTCTGGAGATGGATGAGATGCTGCATTATGCGACGAACGCGCGCAACTCTATCGCCTCCGAATCTGCCAAGTTCATGCGCGCTATCACGGACATCACGTCCTTACACAGCAGTGTCAAGGGCCAGATCAATGTTCTCAACCAGTCGGAAGATGACATGACCACATTTGATTATCTCCGTCTTATTCATCAACTGCCTTACATGTATGCTTCATTTGTTGTTGAAGCTATTCGACGTCGGGAATGGGTTGACAAGGTGAAGACCGATTCTTCGACTCTCGCAAACGAGATGGCTCTCTTTCAGGACGAAGAATCCAAGCGTCGCAGGAAGTGGCAGAAGATGATTGGCAGCATGTACGGACCAGGGCTTGACACTAACGTGGTTGGCTTGGAAGTCAATCTGCTCGGGGAGGATACTCCGTGGCCAACTGTCACGAAGGAAGAGTTGGATGAGTTTACACAGACTCTGCAAGACCAGGGCATTGACCAAGAAATCCTTGACGACATCCTCAAGCTCGTTCAGGAGCTCAACAACCCGACAAAGCAGCAATCTAAGCGACTCAAGGCGTTCAAGAATGGGAGCATCCACGAGGCAGCGCTTGGAAGGAGCGGGCTTATGATTCGAGGAGATGACGACCTGCTCCGATCGCTACAAGGCGACAAGGGGAAGCTTGAGAACAAACTCAGGACGGCTGAAAGCAGAGTTCGACGTTTGGAGGACTTGCTCCATCGGCAGAGCCAAGCGACCCGTTCTGGGAACCTTTTCCAACCTCAAAGCCCTCAACCGAGGGAAAGACAGAACTCGGTCTCGTCCATCAAGTCGAGCCGGTTCGACGACCGACGGCGGTCTTCTGACAATGGGGATCACTTGCTGCGACGCATCACTCAATTGGAAAATGAATTGCGACAGGAAAAGCAGCGGTCCACCCACCTCCAGCAAGAGATCACCACCCAAGCAACCCGGCACGAGGACATGAAGGGCCAAATCGACGAGGTAAACTCAACGAAGAAGGATCTCCTTGGAAACATGGAAGCTCTTGAACGTGAATTTGTGGGGGAGAGAAAGGCCCTCGAAGACGAGATTAAGATCCTCAAGGCTCGCCTAGAGGATACAGAAGATGACCTAGAGCAGTTTGACGAGTCAAGGCAACATGAGAAGGCCACGTATGTCGAGAAGGTTGAGGCTCTTGAGTCCGAACTTGATCAAATCAACAAAAACCGACAGGACGAGGTTCTGAAAGCCCAAGGTCAGGTCGAGTTTCTTAGAAAGGAGACTCGGATTCAACGAGAACAGCAAGAGGTTCTGGAGCAGCAGGTTCAGGCCGCCCAAGAGGAGTCTCGCACCACGGCAAGGAAACTGAGCGCTTTGGAAGAAACCACAGAAAGTCAACTACAGACCTTGAAGAACCTGCATTTGCAAATCTTGCCTGATCAATCGATACCAGTTGATTTGGTGGACATGGCGGACTCCCTACTTGCTCGCGCCTCGGCCCTTGTTACGCAGCTGCAAAATACAGAAAGAGATGCGGCTTTGTTCAAAACAGACTTGGAGCAGGCCAACAACTCCGTGAAGGAGCTTCGGGCAGAAATCACTGAGACGAAATCCAAGCTTTCAGAGGAGGAAATGTCGGCAATGCACCTCCGGGAGAACCTATTGGAGGAAAAGGCCAAGGTCGCAGCTCTTGAGGGAGAGTTAGCAGATGGCCGAGAGCAGCTCGGCGAGGTTCGAGCAAAACTTACCGACGGCGAGACTGGTTCTGAGGTCTTGCAGAAAAGGCTCCGGGAAGAGGAGACCAAGGTGATGACGCTTACAGAAGAAGTAGCATCTCGACAATCCCAGGTGGGCAGCCTGGAGGAGGAGCTTCATTTGTTCCGGGAGAAGACCGACACCCTCCAGGCCAAGATAACCGAACTGACGAGCCAGTATGAACTTCGAGACGAGAGAACGAAAGATCTGACACATCGACTGTACTCTCATAACGATCGCATGTGCCGTCTTCTGGAGCGGGTCGGGTTCGCTGTCTCTCGAAATGACGGGGAGATGGCGATCAACAAGATTCCACGTGCTGAAAGATCGATTGTGAACCTGAACGACGCATCCGACCCCGCAGCATCCATTCGTCGATCTGGAACATTGAGTCGTGTCCTGGGTGATAGCCCAAATCTGGAGCTTTTGTACTGGTTGAACAATTCTGATATGAAGGTTGAAGCTAAGAATTATGAGACCTTCATGAACACGCTCGGCAACTTCGATATGGATCTATTTTCCGATACCATCTACCGCAGAATCAAGGAAGTGGAGCACATGGCTCGAAAATGGCAACGAGAAAGCCGTGCCTACAGGGACAAGACGCACGTCTTGCAGAAGGACTCGCACGAGAAGATTGCATTCAAGCACTTTAAGGAAGGTGACTTGGCGCTCTTTTTGCCCACTCGTAACCAGCAGGCCGGGGCCTGGGCAGCCTTCAATGTTGGGTTCCCACACTACTTCCTCCGCGAGCAGGACGCTCATCGCTTGCGTCATCGAGAATGGCTCGTTGCACGAATCTCTCGCATCCAGGAACGCGTTGTCGATCTCTCAAAGAGCCTCCAACCGAGCAACGAGACGGACTCGATGAATGACGAGGAAAATGACAATCCGTTCCAGCTTTCTGACGGGCTTCGATGGTATCTTATCGATGCCTTTGAGGATAAACCAGGTGCTCCTTCAACACCTGGAATGGGCAAATCGACTGTAGCGGCTAACACCGTCGAAGCAACCGCAAACATACATACCCATACGGCCGTTGGGAAGGGAAAGAATAGGGATAGCGTCACCAGCATCGAAGGAATCAACAAGACTCTTTCGAAGAGTCTGGAGAGTCGGCGTAGTAGCTCTGGCTCCAAGAAGGCGTCTCTTCCATTCCAACTTGGCGGCGGGACAGCGCTGTTAAAGAACAGCGCTTTGGCCAGCGAAACGAACTCATTACGGGCCGTTCCGACAGACACTCCAGCAGGCACGAGCCCCACGCAAGCAGGTCTCGCAGCATCCAACGGCGTGACTCCGAAGGCGCAAGCCGATGGACAAGATAGACCGAGGCCCGCGCAGCCAGAAGGCCTCGGCAAATCACCGCCAGGCGAGACATCGACGAAGAGCGGCAGTGCGAATCTGGACGAGGTACGAAGAGTCGACTCCCTCCTTGGACCCTAGGTCGCTGATCGGCTCTTGGCAGCCTCGGACACTTGTACAACGGGAAAACTCGAAGAAGTCAGTTGTGTGGGACTCGTTGTGGAGCGTCGACTACAATTACGAGGGTGGCGTGAGGAAATAGCTGGAATAGAAGATTGGCGATTTGGCGTGTTATCTACTGGACTGGGGTGGGAGATGGGGAGCTCTTGAGTATGGTTTTTTTCTCCCGTGTTTTTGCGTGTTGTGTTACTGGCAGCACTTCACCACGGGCGGCGTTGGATTTTTCTACACCAAGATGCATATGAAAGCGATGCTTCTGATTCACCATGTATACACATCAGCTGGCATAGAGCGATGGTGGTTGATTGGAGAATAGGCACCTACGTGAAGGGCCGTAGACTGTACAAAATGGTAGATATCAATTTTGGTTCGATAAGCACGTATCCCCCCTGTGTGTGTCAGAGATGCTTCTACTGTGTTTTACCGGCTTTCCATTGGTATTATCATGGTCATCGGATTGAACTTACATGGCAAGCCAGTAGTTAACGGAGACAGCAACTAGACTCCCACCACACATAAGGCAAGATCCGCAAAAATATCAAATATCAATTACCAATGGCAGCTTACAGACTGTCGAGCACTAACTTCTAGTACACGCCAGCACACTCCAGCACCAGCTCCAGCGCGTTCAATATTTAGGCATGTAACTTCTAGCGGTTATTCAAATTTACTTGGCATTAAATATACAATACCAAAGAGAGGACGGCTCAGTTACTAGAGACAAGTTGGTGCTACACTAGCAATATCCAAGTTACTACTTTCAGGGGCTTATATACTGCTGGCTGACGTCAGCTGCCTCCTTGCATTCGAGCGGGAGCCATGACGTTTTAGCTCAGCTAGACTAGCGACGCCGCCTCACAGGCGCTCCTCATTCACAACAACCCGCGCGGCCGCAGGAGCGCGGCCGGTGAAGCGTCGTTCCACCTCCATTTATTTACAGTGCGGCAGACTCAGCCATGTAGTACGTCGCTACTCAGATGACTCTCCGACCGGTACAACCAGACGCGACGGCGACCCGCCGCGCCTTGCCCCCAGAACTGCTTTATCATATCATCGAAGGTGTCCTTCCCTCGGATCCCGAAATCCTGCTCCCGTCGTCACACGCCTCGACCAAGACGTTGCTCGCGTTGACTCGAGTGAGCCGGGATACGTACAGACTAGCTACGAAGCTGCTGCGACAGAGATGCATCTTCATCGATTCCGAGCAGCGCCTTGCCAACATCCTCCTCTGCATCCCACGATTTGTACCGAATCTACCGACGACGTTTTCGCTCCGAAATATCACATCGTTGTACCTAGAACCGTTTCGAGAAACGCTCGATGACAAGCTCACGGCGAGCTGGGTGCGGGATCTATTCTTCGAGGTCTCAGAGTCGCTGCGGAAGCTGGTGGTGCTGATGCCATTCAATAGCCTGGATATATTCAATGACCGTCACGGAATCAGAAAGATGCTGCGCGACGGGTTTGAGAGTCTACACAGGCTGGAGGAGTTTGTCTCCATCGGAGACTACCCGACATTGAGTCTCCCGGATGGCCCAACAGATATATGGCGGCTGTTCCATGATCTCAAGCGGCTGACACTCTTCGGGGTGCCGCTGAGCAATCACTGGCTGTGGTGGAACATTGCCACGCTTCCGAAGCTGGAGCATGTTATCCTAGCGAGATCGCAGAGGAGTCTCGGGATCAACATCAAGGATGAATACTTCCACAAACTGCCGCAGGGAGATGCCAGGCTGGACCGGGATATCAAGATCGTGCTAATGGACGATTCAGGGCTGTGGCCAAACGTCACGACGACTCGGTGGAAAGAAATTGACCCCAACGGGAGAATGACGGTCGAGTTACATGGCATACCTGATGTCGCAAAGTACGGGGCCCCGCAGCTGTCGGATAAGCTGGTGGCGGCATATGTGAAAGACAGGGTGGTCAATGGGCGTCTATGGGATGGAAAGGCAGACGTTGTCCTTGAAGAGATTGACTAAATAATTACCACAGTAGAGTACATACTAGACCAGAGCAGGGTGGCCTCGTTGCAGGTTATTGCTAGATGACCGGGACTGCCGGGGAGAAGAATATCCGTCCGAACGACATGAAGGACATACAAGGAAATGTTCCTTCAATCAGAGATGCCCATATGACCACGTCAAGTGAATGGGGCACTAATACATAGGTAGTCAGTGTGGTTGTTGGCGATTCCAGGCAACAGATTACAGAGCACCAATTCGGCAAGGCCGACCTTTCAAGACCAATCACATAAATAATTGCAAGACCATCACCGGCTGGGTGAGCCGAGCGAGAGGAAAAGTCAGTACTAATAAGTTACTTGCTGCGCAACTTGGTAAGCTTCCGACCTCGGGTCAGCACATACACCCCTCATCCGTTCCCCCACGTTTTAACTGCGAACATGGGTTGTTTCGCGCGTGGCAGCGCACTGCACATAGTTAACCACTCACCATGCAGCCCGTCCGGAGGGATAATCCACCGAACGCTCGGAAACGTCGGGAATGCGTCGGGGGAGGCTGTACATAAGTCAATTTACTTGGCCTGTACATGCTTATGCAGGTAGGTACTGGTCTGTAAGTAGATAGCGTGTAGATTAGCCATGTACGAGTAGTTACCGAGTACGCGAAGAGACCCAATGTTCGAGAATCGGCAACGGGCCCGTTAAACCACCCGAGAGCGAGAGCGTAGGCTGGTATTCCGCGGGGTCTAGCCTCCGTACGCAGCAGACCCGACAACAGCTGTTGCGCTGAAGCTCAGGCCAACCGGGGCAATTCTTCAGCACACCATGCGCTAAAAACTCCAGAGGTACCTGCCTGAATGGGCCGACTGGCCCCCCCAAGGGCGCCGAAATGCAAAGGGACCAGCCACAGAACCCCACTAAAGGCCACTAAAAATCTCCAGTCCTCCGGTCCGCTTTTTCCAGAAGCCCGCCATCGGGCCAACTAATTACAGGCTCTACAGCGGGTATTCGCTCATCGTCTTTCGAAACTCGGGCCCCCCATCCCCATTCTCTTCCCCATTCTTCATCCCCCCCCGTCGGCTCCCCCCCCCAGTCGGCCTGTTCCCCGGGGCTCCTTAGTGACTTAACCTCCTGCCTGCGCTGTACTATTCTCTCGCATGCTGTTGCTTTGCTCCTTCTCTTCTCCCGTCTGTCATGTCGTCAACGCCATCGCCCGAGTCGCCTGCAGTTCCCAGCTAACACACCCGAGTCGACATCACCGAGTCGACAGCGGCCACGACAACTACCACAACCACCACGACCCAACCCAAGACATGCCCGCGCGCCGCAGCCCTGTCGTGCCCGTCCCCGTTTGACCTGTCAGACTCCAACTCGCTGCCTCTCCGAATCCCGACTCTTCCGAGCCACCGGTTCGACCCTGCTGTTCGACCATGCCCGACAAGTCGGCCACCGTCGTGTCGTACGCCGCCGGTGCATCGCTTGCTGCCGCTGCTCTCATCTACGTCTTTGCTCCAAACTTTTCCATCGATCACGACGCCACTAGCTCCCGCAAGAAGTCCATTGTCGGCCTGCGCAACCAGGCCAATGACTGCTTCATCAACTCGGTCCTCCAGGCCCTCGCCGGTCTCGGAGAGCTGCGCGTCTACCTGATCCGCGAGACGCACCGCCGCCGCATCGAAGACCCCGCCGTCTACGCCAGTCTTGTTCAACCCGAGGGCAAGCAAGTGGCCCAGTGGAAGCTGCAGGGCCTGCAGGAAGGCCTAGTGACACAGGGCTTGAAGGAGATGCTCGATGCGCTTAACGAGCGCCCCATCTACAAGAAGGCTATTTCACCCTTTCAGTTTGTCAAGGTCCTCGAGGTTGCCTTTAAGCAACGCATCAGCCGCCAGCAACAGGATGCGCAAGAGTTCTTGCAAATCGTTGCTGAGCGCCTCAAGGACGAGTATCATGCTGGCCAGAGAGCCCGTCTCCATGCGCGGAGACGCGGCCTAACGGAAAGCTCGGAGAACCTTGCTAAGCCCGCCGATGAACATGTCAACGGCAACGGCTCTGCTTCCGAGACCCCATCCGATCAAGAGGCCGAAGACGGCACCGATATCTCGGCCATTGAGCCATCCACGGACACCAAGATCCCTCAGATCCAATCAAATGGCGGCCTTGGCCCATTGCCTCTTGAGCTTGAGGAAGGCTTTCCTATGGAAGGCAAATACGAATCGCATCTAGAATGCCAGACTTGCCGATACAAGACAAAGCCGAGAGAGGAGACATTTTGTACCATCACATTGGCCGTCCCTCAGGTTTCGTCCACTACTCTCAATGCCTGTTTTGATGGAATCTTTAAGACTGAATACATTGACGACTTCAAGTGTGAAATGTGCCGGCTTCTGCAAACAAAGGCCAACTTGGAACACGACCTGGCCAAGTCGACTTCAGAGACCTTCAAGGCGCAGGCGCAAGAAAGTCTGCAGAAGCTCCAGTTCGCCATCGACACAGACCCCGAACACCCTCCCGAGGACGTGGATCTGGGAGACATGCGCTATGCGCCGAAGAGGAAAATTGCAAAGACTACGCGGATGTCCATCTTTCCCAAGATCTTGGCCATTCACCTCTCGCGATCCATTTACGACGCAGGACAAATGACACAGAAGAACTCGGCCAAGGTTGCCTTCCCTGAAACGCTGCCGCTCGGTGGCTTGATGGACCAGAAGAAGTACAAGCTCCTAGGAACAGTCACGCACCGCGGTGGACACAATAGCGGCCACTACGAGGCCTTCAGGCGACAGAACCTCGCTGCTCCATTCTCCAATCCAAACACGTTCCACCCCTCCGAAGTTTACAGCAAAACACCCACTCCTATATCCACCCCTGAGATCTCTGCCCGCGTCATCGACAGTCCAGCGATATCAACCCCCGATCTCTTGTCCGCATCCTCGGGGAACAACTCGTCGACTCCGTCGCTGGACTCGTTGCCGGTGCCACCTAGGAGCGTGCCCTCGGATAGAAATAGGTCCTCGAGTCTGTCAACTTCCAAGGAAAAAGACGGCGAAACCAGCAGTCTCCGCTCGGTTGCGGCATCCACCAAATCTGCTCTTTCCAGGTTAACATCACCCAAGCCAGCACAAGAGGCTAGATACCCTCAACCTCCTGCGTCATCTGGCATGGGGAAGCGAGCGAAGAGGAGAAAGGGAATGACAGACAAATGGTGGCGAGTAAACGACGAGAAGGTCCGCGAGGCCAAGACCAGCGAGGTGCTGGGGATGCAAAGAGAGGTATACCTGTTGTTTTACGAGCTTGATAAGGAGTCATAGGCGGACTCTGACTCAGTTGATTTCTGTCTTACAGGAGCCTGCGTGGCGTTATGAACTAGGGCGCCCTCTGTGGCGTCATCTGTGCTATAGTGGACTAACCCCCTTCATTCTTCTTTCTTGATTTGCATGGGTTGGCGTTTTCGAAAACTCGATGGGTTGCTCAGGCTTTAGATTCGGGTTCTCGGGCTATTCATAAGCAAGGGGGTGTTCAAGACAGGATAGGCTATACGCATTTACAGCGGGTTAGACATAGCCAAGCACCACTAGGAAAGGCTTCAGTAGAAATACACGGGATCTGGATCTTGAGTAAGTCGCATCATTTGAGGCCGTCGTTGTGCAGGTGCTGGCGACTCATTTCGAGTTGTATCTGTGGAAGGAACCTAGGCAACGACTATATGGCCTCAGGCAGCCAGGAACTCATATATACTTATATACACCCACTTACCTCGTCATCCATAACATCACAATGCAGACGTTGGACCTCTTCACAGTATGCAACCAAACCGAACATGGTCCAACTAAATTATCCTGCGCATGGCCTGACCAAAACCATGCCGCAGCCGAAACTCCAGGGTCAGGCAAGCGCTTACAATGCACGCAGGGGACAAACCCCGCACACACATCGCAACGTATGAGAGGGACAGAAACTAAATGACAACAGTCTCCAGCTCAAGGTCAGTCGCATTTTCGAAATGGATGCCGTGAAACGACGCAAGGGAGAGCGCGTAAGGCAATGGTTATTTGGAAAACGATCCAAGTCTCCCAAGCCCGAATCTGCCAAGCCCGCTCGCGAGACTACTACACTGGGTGAGCGCAAGGCAAAGGCGGACGACACCTACGATACAGGCAGCATTCGCTCTGGGGCCAAGGTGATCGATTCGAAGATTGGAGGTGCTATTACCAGTGTCGCCTCAGTCTCTTCGACGCAGCATAAAGACGACGGTCTAGAGAAGTCAGTTCCAGAAGACACAGATGCTGGGAAGCTGGTCGCCAAGGGTACGAATCCACAAGATGCAACTCCCAAGGAGACACCCTCCAAGGGCATAGCCGACGATGGTATTCGTGAATACCCCCTTCCCACCAGCGAGGATCTCTGGGTCAAGGCAAAGCAAATGATCCCTGAGGATGAACGCAGGGCTTTGGACGACAATGTCGAGCTTGGTCCAACAACAGACGTCCTGAACGAGTTGCAGGCAGTCGTTGATGAAAAACAACAAGTGGTACAAGAAAAAACTTGGAAAATTAACTTTGCGGGGCGCAAGATTGTGCTACGCGATGTCGTTGCCAAGATATGTGGCTGGATAACGACTTTCAACAGCGTGGGTGATTTTGCCGCTGGCCTGGATCCGGTTCACCTGGCACTTCCATGGGCCGCCATCAAAGCCATTCTTTCGGTATGTTTGGTTGAGGCTATTCGAGACAACCATCTCTCAAGTTTTTGCGCGCTGAATTCTTCCTAGGTCGCCACAGCAGATGTCGAGCAAGCGGGTCAGATTCTGATCGGCGTTGAGCTTGTAACCTCCTTAATCAACCGCTGCCGGATATACGAGCGCCTCTATATCCAAGTCAGGCCAGATCGTGTTCCTAAAGGCGATGCCTTGAGCGAGCTTCAAAAGGCTATTGTCCTGACATATCGAAGCATCTTGTCCTTTCTCGCCACTTACATCAAAGTCCTGGACAAGAACACTTTTATGAGGACACTGGGAGCTACCTTCGATCCAGGAAAGGTGTCCGTAATGCTAGCCGACATCGGAAGGTTTGAGGAACGATGCGAAATCACTGCTGGCAACTGCGAGCGCACGGTGAGCTCCATGGCGCGCCAGCGGTTAGATAAAGCTCAGGCCGACGTGCAAGAGATGCTGAAGGAGCAAATGCAGCAATTTAATACCAGTTCTCAACGGTTCTGGAAGAAGCTAGAAGATGATGAGAGGTGCAAAATTCTTCAGTGGATCTCCGAAATCCCCTATGAGACCGATCACTATAACGCAGTCAAAGGTCGGGTGAAGGGCACCGGACAATGGTTGTTGGACCATGAGAAATACTCTCAATGGAGGTCTGCGGATTCATCCACTACACTGTGGCTGAGTGGCATTCGTAAGTGTCTCACAGTGGCCGGGTGGATCAATGCATTGACTAAGGTGTTATTGCAGCTGGAGCTGGCAAGACGAAGCTTTCGTCCAAAGTCATTGACGACATCCTCCTTTTAACCGCCAACGAGGACACCAATGAGGCATTTGCTTACTTCTATTGCGATCGAAATCGGACTGACCACCGAGACCCTGTCATGGTTCTTCGAAGTCTTGTGAGGCAGTTATCAACTTCCAGGGACGAGTCCACCGTCATGACATACGTCGAAGCCAAATACACCAAACGAAAGCGGTCTGGTTTTTCCAGAGATCAACTGACCAGTGAAGAGTGTGAGGAGCTTCTACTTCAACTGACTAGAGACTATGCGCGATGCACCATCGCCATCGACGGTCTTGACGAGTGCGATCGGGACACGCGAACGGTATTGATGGATACATTGGATCTCATCGTTGAAAAGTCTTCACGGCCTCTTAAGATCTACATTGCCAGCAGACGAGATCAAGACTTGAGAGAAAGATACGAGATTCGAGATCACCTCGAGGTCACGGCCAATGATAATCAATCCGATATTGAGAAGTTTGTGTTAAACAAGCTCGACCAAAGCCCATTTTGTCGAACCAAGATGACAGATCAAGTACGGAAACAGATATTGCAGACTTTCCATTCCAAGAGCCAGGGAATGTAAGTACAGCAAACTTGCTCTGTTTAGCATTGATGCTTAACTCTTATGCAGGTTTCAGTGGGCTGCCCTGCATATCAATGAGCTGCTGAAGCTTAATCGGAACAAGGATATTCTCAGTTACTTGGATAGACTACCCCGGGGCCTAGAGGCAGCTTACAAGAATATCTATAGCAACATTGATTCTCAAGAGGGAAGTAAGCGAGAGGTGGCATTTTTGGTGTTCAAAATACTGATGTGTTCGTGGCGCCCCCTGAGTCCAGCGGAAATGGTCATTGCCGCCACTCAGAATATTGAGGAGGACTTCTACTTGGACCCTGATGTCGATATCGACTACATCCTTGACGCGTGTCACAATCTCGTTGTTCTGGCAGATGGCCTACTGGAGAGATTCTTGGATCCCAAGAAATCGAAGCGGGAATATACTGACCTCCCAAACAGTAAATACAAGAGAAAGCTACCACAAGGCGCCAACATTCGGACTGAATCAAACGCAATTTGCCGGTTTTCTCACCTGTCTGTCCGGGAGTATCTCGAACTTCATCACTGGTCGCTTGCGGAGGCGAATGCATTCATGGCCTGCATATGTCTCAGAACACTTATCCGGCTTCAGTGGGACGATGTCCTTGACGAGAATCAGCATAGCATTTACGAAGATAGCGAAGACGGGGCCGAGGCTAGAAGTTTGGTTGAGCATCCCTGGCTTAGAGTCGGCGTGGCAGAAGCTGATCATCGTCGTAATTTGGTCTGGGAAGACTCTGATCAAGAGTCAGTTGGATACATTGACCATGGCGATGATCCATCCTTCCAGGCCCCTGAATTCTGCTGCATCTTGGAGCTATCTAACGTGCATTTTCACAAAGATGCATCTGTGTGCTCGAGCGTCACATTTCAGAATTACATCAAAGGACACGAGTACACCGATTTGGAGAAATGGACACAATACGCATCCGAGACATGGTCGCTTCATGTACGACGAGGAATTGGCCACGAGAGTCTGCGGCAAATCATCAACGAGCTCGTCTTGGATTTCATGGGCGACCCCGAGTCAAGCAATAACCCCTACAGGGCCTGGTCCATTTTCAACCGGGGAAACATCAACCTAACGATGGACAATCCAGAACATATCAAAGCACGCACAGTGTTTGACGAAAGTTACCCCGATCACTGGAAGATGAACTCCATCCTCGAATCCATGCTCAATCACACGTTTACGAGGCCACACCTCCGCCCTACTCATGCTGCTGGACTCGGCTGTGCCCTTTTGGGTCTGGATCATATCCTAGACGAATGGATCAAAGCAGGAAAAATCGACGTGAATCAAGTCAATGCCAGCGGTGACAGTCTTTTGCATTTGGCAATTCGCGGTAACCATTACAAGACTTGCGAGACTCTTCTGTCACACGGGGCAAACCCCAATGCGCAGTCCTCTGACGGTTACCTTGCCCTACAAGTTGCCATCTTCCACCGCCGTCTAGATATTCTCAAACTTCTGCTGAAGTACGAGGCTGATCCGGCCGCAGAATCCTCGATTGATGGGGGATTTGGCAACTACGCCATCGTCAGCGCAGTCATCTTCCGCCAGGTAGACGCCATCAAAATACTGGTTGAGTGCAGCGACTATAGCCAGATATCCATCGCCCTTAAAGCTTCGGCGGATCAAGGTGATGCGCGGCTCACCAAGTTGCTTATCAGCAGCCTCTTGGCGGCTAGAGTGGAAGGAGATAACACTGACGCGGCCAAAAAGATCATTCAGGATACCTGGAGTTCGGCACTGACGTCCAGGGTTGAAAATGTCCACATCCTCGACATGTATCGCGAGCTTGGCGTCGATGTCAAGGCCGATGACTCCATTCGCAAGGCCGTTTTGGCGAGCCAGACAGAAAATGTCACCTGGCTAGTCCGCCAAGGTGTTGATGTTGACCAGAGGGGTTCCCGCTCTAATACACCATTGCTAGAGCTGATACTCATTTCCTTTTTGGAAGAGGTCGAGGTTATCAAGATGGCTCGCTGTTTAGTCTCCTTGGGAGCTGGAATCAATACCGTGGATACTCGTGGCTACACTCCTCTGCATCTCGCAATTGGTCAAGACTTCTACGACCTGGCAGATTATTTTCTGGAACTGCCAGTGGACACTAGCATTATAGCGAGTGATGGCAAATCACTCCTAGTCACGGCGAGCACGCGGCCCGACACATCTAAGAGGGATGAGCTTCTCCGCAAGCTCCTCAAAGCCGGCCTTGACCCTAACGAGAAACTTCCACCCGATGCCACTTACCCTTCCCCGCTATTTGCCGCGACCGAAAAACAAGATCTCGCGGCAATGGCTATACTTCTCAAGGGAGGTGCCAGGTATATCCTGGAGAGCTTTACTGAAGAGCAACGGGATGATTTGTGGGCGGGCTTGGGAGAGCTTGAATCGGTCCTTTCTGGAACAGTGTCCGGGTTAGGCGGGGACCCAGAGGATGTTCAATTGTTCGAATCTAAGAAACAGGCGGGTTTCAAGCCCCGAGTAAGGCGTAGATGAAGCGATTCAGAATAATAGATACTCGTCGAGGATAGTGTATCTGGGTCTTCAGTTGAGGAGACGTAGTTCTCGGTAACACGACCCATATCTCCAGAGTGATAAAATATGTCGCAATTTTAGCTAACTCCATGGCCAAACCCCATACTTGAAGATGCACTTACAAGTAGCCCTGATCCTGATTCCATGCCTCCGCATAGTCATAACCATCTTTCTAACGTCCTTAGTTTTGTAAATCCAACAATGTGTGTAAGCTTAATCACGAGGTGACACTAATATGCAGGGACTCATGCTGGCCATATCGCGGCTAAGTCAGCCATGCCGCAATTTAATTCCAAGTATGACGAGTGAAACGCGTGTGTAGTCAGGTTAAACCCATTTGGATTTGATATAGCATATTCGTATGTCCTTTGTTTTCCTTCTGTCGCTCTTCCGGTTTTTTTTAGTTGAAAGTGGCTGAGATGCGGTGGCGGGGCTGACGGCAATGCAAGGGACAACTCTTTTTTTTGGGGGTTCCAAATTCTGGGCCCAACTTTCTAGATACAACGACGTACGAGCCAGGTTGGCATCAATCCATCGAGGGCGCATCTCGGACGGTATCCGTCGTCTTCAACATACTCTCCCGCACTTGTGAAGCTCTCAAAAGAGGGATTGAGTATGGTGCATCGGGGATTCGAAAGATCACATCGCTACCTGGTTGCGTCTTGAAGCGCATTGAGTAGTTGGCGCTTATCTGTCTCTCCTTGTACTCTCTTCACATCACATTCCGCCCCTTCACTATGATATACATTACTCGCCGCTTCCGACGGCGTCTCGCCTCACAAACCATCCTCTTCCTTATCTTCTTCCTCATATTTTACACCATCCTGCCACACGACTCCTCCATCCGCCTTGCCGTCTCCTTCAATGCCGCGCGTCTGTTCAACGCCGTGCGCGGCGCCGCGACGGACCGCGACGCCTGGCTCTGGACCACCCCGCGCTACCCGGTGAATCTGTATGCTGACGTTGGATACCTCATCAAAACCGGCTACGGGACTCGCCACCGCGTGCCGGACCAGCTCACGGCGTTCGGTCACACGGGCGGGTTCCTGGGCGAGGAGGGCCGGAGCTTCCTGGTTGTCGGCGATTGGACCACTGTGAATGACACGGATGCGAAAGTCATTGGCGTGCCGGTGCATGATGTCATCAGGAAGGTGACGGAGACCAAGATTCGGGGCAAGGTGGAGGACTACCCGAGACTCGTCAAGTACAAGAGCCTCCAAGACGAGCTTGAAGCTGGCAACGAGGACAAGGCCTTGGAAATTGGTCAGAAATTCGGATGGGAGCTAGATGCCCTAAAGGTAAGTCCTGCCTCTCACGGCCAAGCTTATCTAGCGGATGGATGCTAACAAGCCACAGTTCATCATGGGCATGGAGTTGATTTACAAGCAGATGCCCTACAAGAAGTGGTACATCATCCTAGACGACGACACCTTTTTAATCCGGCCCTCGCTAGAGCTTCTCCTGGGCCACCTGGACCCTAAAAAGGCACTCTACATCGGCAACGCGGTGGGTGACTACAAGGGCAGGTTCGCACATGGCGGATCGGGCATTTTGATCTCTGGAGTGGCGATGCGGCTTCTATTTGAGCACCCTGGCGTCGTTGAAGAAGCCTATGCCGAGTCCATGTCCGAGACGTGGGGGGATCGTCTAGTGGCGACGACGCTACAGAAGCTCGGCATCTACCTAGAAGAGAGCTACAACCACCACTTCAACGGAGAGCCGCCGTCCATCACGCGCATATGGGGCGATCGGTTTTGCTCACCCCTCGTCTCCTTCCACGGGCTGCGCAACCCGGGCGAGATGGTCCACGTGGGGAAGACACTGGCGACGGTGGATGAGCCCGTACTATGGCGCGACGTGTGGGAAATGTTTGGGGGCTCGCCCATATCAGAGTTGGCAAACTTGCAGACTCGGCTATCAGCAGACCACGTTGGAAAGGCAGACGAGCACACGCGGACGTGGGGGGATATGCAGAGCGCCAGCGCCTGTCAGGCCAAATGCAAGGAGCATGGTCGATGGTGTATGGCGTGGACATACGAGCCGGACGCAAAACGGTGCAACCTGAGTCCGTGGCTGCTGCTGGGGGCGGATGAGGCGACGCAGAAGACATCTGGCGTGAACTGGCCCAAGGTGAAGAAGTTGCTAGGGACATGCTAATATTGGACGTCGGCATGTACATGATGTAGATGACGAGAGCCGCGCTGGCTACATTGTACTACTACAGGGTGGCCGGGCCTTGTTTGCGCTGCGGAGCCTCCGTCCGGGATGGCATATGTGTGGTTTTGGATACCCCCTGATTTCTTGGACCGATGCGGTGATACTGCGATCAGATGGGGTGGAATCGTCGTATAGAGCAGGCCTGTCTTGTATTCGGCCGAATAGGGCACCGATGATGTGTCTTCGCCGGTCCAACTCCTTTTATTAACCTACCACCAACCACCAACCGCGAGAAATACGGTTCCCTGGCCGTTGCCGAATATAGCTGATGCCAATGCTCTAGAAGGAAATAGAGGCGGGGGAAGGGTTTCCATGGAAGGGCCCCGGGTGTTCGGGAGCTAATCGGAGACGAGCAACGAGGCGAGATGGTGAGATGAGCGAGTGAGGCCCGGTTGGCCAGCCAGCCCCGGTGGATGGCTCGCTCGCTTGCTTCCCGTTGAAAGTGTCAACAGGGATGTCAAAAATATCAAAGGGTAGCTATCCAGGCGGTGGAGCAGGCGGCTCGCGGCAGCTGGCTGTATGGTATGGTATACTACCTACCTATGTAGCATCGAGCGTGTACGGAGTACTACCTGCGTAATACACATTCTTGAGGCTACACTACCCGGACAATAGACGCCGCAGGGTAGGATGCCTCGGCCGGGACCTAAGGCAGGCTTGTGAGAAGGAGCCCATGCGAATTCGGTGAAGAGGGCCGCAGCAGAGAACCAAAAAAAGAACCCGGTAGACTAGACGCACGGCTAGCCGGTGAGAAGGCTGTTCCTAATCTGCCATTCTCGTGTACGAAGTAGGCATCAGTCTCCTGGTGGTGGTGACTGGTGGAGGTATAGTGAGGTTACACAGAGACCGGGGGGCGAAGGAGAAGGGGAAATGGGGGCGGGAGATGAGATGACATGCAAGCAAAAGAGGGAGGGGGGTGTGTGAAGCGAGGAAATTTGACGGCGGCTCAGTGGGTATCTTTGTTTGCTCTGTTTATAGCACGCAGTAGCAGGAAGCATCAAAGAGAGGGATAAAGATGGTGAGATGACGAGGCCTTGGTGCGGCGACGGTGCAGTATCTTCACATGTTGTCGGCCGTTTGTTGCAGATGCAATCATTTGCGAATGTGTGAATGGTGGAGGTTTTGATTTCCGTCGCGGGTCCCCCAACCAGTTGAGTCCCGCCATACCGTCCAGGCGTACCGTACAGTTACATGGTACACGTATTAGCCACTGTGGTCCAGTGCGTCCATGGCTTACGGGCACTAAACGCACAGCAGCTGGTACCTACATTAGTGCACTGGAACGTCTGGACGCATTGGGAGCTAAAATTCTTAGGGCGCATGCGGTGGCGTTGCGGGGAGGGGTGGGCGGACGGTTTGGTTGACACGGGATGAAAGCCTGATGCAGGTGAAGCTGCATTGGGAGCCAAACTTTGAGAAGATGGGCTCTGCTTTCGAGATTGAATGTGCAATGTGCAGCAATACGTAAGAAACCAGATACGGGTATTCGCTCATCCGAGGGGGGTGGCATTTATGTGGCATTGATTTATTTCCTTTTCATTATATTTCAGGGGCTTGGCATTTGCACTTGCACTTGTTACTAAGGGCCGTGATTAATACGACGGATGTTCATGCCCGTCGACGGCCTACCAGGTGTCATGAAGTTATGATGGTGGCAGTGAGAGAAGAGGAGACAGAAGGCAAGAGAAGATTTGAGAACCATATTAGACTTGGGATGCTCTCCGCCATTGCCCAAAAGGAGACAAGGTAAGGTTCCAGGTAATCTGGTAAGCCAAGGCCCTGTTGGGCAGGATAATTATTCGAGAAAATAGGGGGGGGGGGGGGGGGGGAGGCTTGGTTGCGACCCTAGTAAGGAAATGGATCCCTGGTTCCCAAAGAACCATGGATGCCATGATATACCATGCCATGCCGTGCCACGCCTATCCACATGGAAGCTTCCAATTACTCGCGCCCACCGTACCCAGTTGCCCTGTTCAGATGGACCTGGCCTTGGGATTAGGGCCCAGATTAGTACGTAGTAGGGAGGTCATCCCAGGACCTGCCACCCATCAGGCCATTAGCGAGCCAGTCTCGAGCCTCACAGCCAGATCTCTCTCGCGGGCCGCCAAGATGGCAGCTTCTAGTGCAGACAAGGTACAGCCGCTCACTGCACAGAGTGGCTTTTGTTCATCGATGCAGGTGGGCGATCCCATGGATGTGTCCAGGCGTCATTGCAACCCCGGGCAGTCAGTCCAATGCGCTTCTGTGCTTATTACTATGTATGTGCTCTGAGCTTTGCGCTTTGTGCTCCCCTCGGCGCGCGGCTGTACCACCGTGACAACCATGCTTGCATCATGTACGGCGGCACCGTGCCATGATGGCAACATGCGCATCGGACATCGTACATACATACATCGTCTATCGTACGTGCAGGAAGCAGCGAATAGCCCGAGCGCGATCCTCCTTGAATCTCACTTCTCAAAACCAGCCTAGGCCGTCGCGCGTGTACTTGTACTTGTACTAATACTAATACTGACAGCACCAGACCCATGGATGATGCATTGGTGACCGCCCAGCATTTCAGAGACATTTGACACCGACCATCCATCCCATCCCATCCCATCCCCCGGCCCCCGGGTCTCTAGCCCGACGATCCAGGAACCGGCGCACCGGACAGGTGCCCCGGGCGCTCATCAGGGCGCTACGAGAACGTTACAGCGCACTACAGGGCGCTATGCAGGACACTAGGCCGCTACGGTTCCCGCTGCACTGGCTCAACTTTGACCGCTGCCTGGGCCCCCCGCCCCCTACGCCTCTCAGCCCTTACTGTGAAGCCCTCCTCCCCGAGGCCCCTCTGCCAATGTACCTTGCCGGGCTTCTAGGCCTTGACAGGCCCTGGAGCTTCTATTATTCCGCATGGGTACCTCCCCCGAAAAAGTCCAATCCAATTTTTAAGAGAACTATTCCCACCCCTAGTTTATTAGTTTATTCGAGCGAAGTGGTGTCTCCATTGAGTCGGCGCGCCAGAAGCTGCAACGACCAACACCAACGACCAACGACACGCCCACATCCGCCCTCCCCTGCCCCCCTCTGTCCTCCGTCTCCCGTACCATTGTCTCGCTGTCTTTTCGTTTTTGACGGGTACAGTACGAAATAAGAAAAGAAAAAAAAAAAAAAAAAGAACAGCCCCTGGCCTCCTGTCATCCTCCCGCTCGCTTCGATCGACGTCGCTTCGGCAGTCCCCACCAACCACCACCAGAACCACCACTCCCACCACCATCCGCGCAGCCAGGCAGGGGGCAGCTGGCCTCGATGTTCAAGGACGAAGAGGACGAGGAAGAGTCGACCCCATACGCCCATACGCCCCCGATTCCAGCGTAACCTCGACCCCCCACGGAGACTGTCGTTCGCTACCTACTACGTAGTAGGTATCCTTCCGCCAGACGAGGACGCCCAGCATCAGTGATAGGATAGCCGACTCGCGTCTGCGCCTGCGCCTGCGTCTCCGTCCCCGTCTCCATCTCCGTCTCCATTTCCGTCCCCGTCCCCCATCTCCACGCCACGCCTCGGCCACCGTTCCATCCATCCCATCCACCGCGCCGCGCATCGCATCGCATCGCATCGCATCGTCGATAGCTCGCCTCCAGGGCTGCTGCTCGTCGGCCCTGGCTCCGGAGCCTGTCCCCTCCCACTTTGTCCTCCTGCCCCTGCAACGCCCTTGTGCTCCCCTCCTTCCTTGTCCAGCACAAGGTCCTCCTCCGTGGTCTAGGGTCGCGTCCCCTGGTCGCTTTTCGTTGTTCTGGCTCTGCGTGGCTCCATAAAATTTTCTAATTAAAAACAGAATGGCTCAAGACGACCACGCCCAGAGTCACGGCAACTCTCCCAGCATACCTTCAGCTCCTGGATCTGCTTCTTCTCCAGCTGCTGCCGTGTCTGCCGTTGGTCTAGCTTCTCCACCACCCGCTGCTACTGCCACTGCCACTGCCACTCCTCCTCATCCTGCTGGTGTTGTCGCTGCTACTACTACTACTACTACTACTACTACTACTGCTACTGCTGCTGCTGCTGCTGTTCCTGGTGTCGCTGCCGTCTCTACCGTCTCTACCGTCTCTACCGTCGACGCATATCTCCTGTCCGTCACTCCCGCGACCGACCCGACACTCTCTACCGCCGACGTCGATCACAACGCTGCTTCCTCCACAGCTTCCTCCGCCTCTGCTTCGGCTGCCCAGTTCGCGGGCCCTCAGCAAAACGGCGACAGCAGGGCCTCCGAGCCCGAGCCCGATCCGACTCCTGACACCGAAATGTCGAACCAATACCCGGGTGCTCCCCATGGCCAGCCTGTGAGCTATCCGGGTCCCTCGAGCCCGTACCCTTCGGCCATTGGCATTTCCACCGCACAGTATGCATCGTATCCTGCGACTACACAGCCTCCCGACAGCTACCGACAGAACCCCCTTCCCGTGGGGAGCAATATCATGTCGCTGCCGAGCATGAGAACCATTGACTCGATTCCACAACAACCAGGCCCGTCTGCACCACCACCCCAAGTCATGGCGATGAGCATGCCTATGGCTCCTGTACAGGGAGGAGTTGCGTTTTATGGGCATCACGGAATGCCCATGGCTCCAGGCTACGGCCTTCCGTCGGATCCCATGGCCCGCTATGCCCTTCCTCACGATCCTCGCCTCATGGGCCATCGAGGTCCAAAGAAGGTACGTTCCGACACGAGGCCGCAGGCCGAGCAGTGCCTATGTCTGAACTGCCAATTCGAGGTTTGATACTGATTTGCGGGCTTGCTTTTTTTTAGGAGATCAAGCGCAGAACAAAGACAGGCTGCCTGACGTGCCGCAAGCGTAGAATCAAGGTGAGCACCATCTCAACTGTACTTTCCTCACATACCCTCCCCATGTTCTCGTGAGAAGCGGCGCCTTGGAAGCTGCACTGGCGGGTGAAAGAGAGCGGGGGCCTTCAAGCGAGAGTCGTGAAGCGAGAGCCGTGGTTGAGATAAGGTCAATTCGCCTGCAGTTCGCTTCGCACTCCTCTTGCGGATTCGCTTGCTTGCGGGAACGAGTCTCACCCACGTAGCGCGCCGTGGTCATTTTCTCTTCCTTGTAAAGCACGTCCACTTCGCGCCGGGCAAGCCACTGACGAAGAGCTCGGCCGTTACCTCAGCTCCCCAAGCTCGTTATTGGCTGTGTTCCGCCGTGTGCGACTGGCGTGTTTGCGGTGCATGTCGCAGCCTCTTTCTGGCCTCCCCTCTACCACCTCGCTTCTTTTTTTCTCCCGGGTGGAGGTGTCCCCATCCCGCATCATCAATCTAACAACCCTGTCTTGCCAGTGCGACGAGACACACCCGACCTGCAACAACTGCAAGAAGTCGAAGCGCGAGTGCTTGGGCTACGATCCCATCTTTCGACAGCAACCAGGCAGCCAATCCTCGTCCAGCATCCAGCCCGCGCCGCTGAGCCAACCCACCACGCCGTCCATCCCAAGCTCCGTGCCGTCGGCCATTCCGTCCTCCCTCTCCTCGTCCCTCTCCTCGAACCCGGCTCTCACCGCCCGATCCACAAACTCGTACGGCAGCCAGCCGTCCATGCTCCCAAGCTCATACGCTGCCCACGCTTCCACCGCCAGCCCAAATCCATCCATCACCTCTCTCAGCTACGACCAGACACTCTCCACCGGCACCTTGACACCCGCCAAGTCCGAAACCGGCTACGAGTACTCAACTGCCATCGACCCGGCCCTCCAGACGTTCCAGTCGTCCGTATCATCCGTTCAGGACAACTCGAGGTTTCTCGACCACAAGTCTCTTGTCGACAATAATCTTCATCTCAGAGGTGGCGCCCCCTCCGCTTGATTCTCCCTCGTTGGTCCTTTGCTTTGCTGCTGTCAGAATATCCGCTCACACGCAGGGTTTCTACAGCCAAGAAAATGAAGATCGATGAGATTATCGACCTGCTGGGTCCAGGCCCCCCAGCCCAGCAGATCAGTCACACCGAGGAGATGTTCAACGAGATTACCAAAGTTTATCACGAGATGTACGCCCCCGGGCTCAGTTCCTTCTTCGAGACAAGTTGGTATTACTTTGCGGACAACGGGAAGATGAGCTTCCCTCGGGACATCAAACTGGTCGAGCTCATGGCATCGTTCCTCAAGATTCTAGAAGCTGTCAGGGCCAACGACCACGCCCAGATGGCCTACTCCGGCATCCTTGAGACGAGAATTGTATGGGAGCTGGCGCGCGTTTCCTACCAGACTCCAGACATGCAACCTACCATTGGGACGCTGCCCCGCGAGGGTGACGCGAATGAGACAAAGAGCCGGGTTCGAGTGGTTGAGGCCCTCCTGTGCGGAGACTACCTGGCCATGAACCCTCTTTCTCCTCCCGCTCAAGACCCGGACCCTCATCGCACCCGTCAATTCGACTTCTGGTACAACTTGGCAGAGTTTGTTCGGACTCAAGACAACTCTAACACGCCAGAAGCAGCCAAAGCGAGAGAGGATGTGTTGAGTCGGTTGCGCCATCTACTGGACGGGCGCGAGAACCGAGATGTTCTTTACTCGATCGCGGTAGTCAGAGAATTGGCGCCAAATTTCGAACCGGGCTACAGCAATTCACTGCCCCAGCATCTGGATGAGACTGATCCCAAGAACAGACTGGCTGTCGCATCCAAGTTTATTCTTGACGAGTCTCAGGTTACCGGCGGGACAACCAACGTGGTTCGACGATTCAGCGATATTGCATCTAGAGCACTTGTCAATCCTGGCGTTAACATTGTCAGAAGGACCTAGCGGGATTTCGTCCCGGCCATTCTTGAATGTCGAGTCATTCCCACGCTTTCGAGTGTCACACCGACACGATTTTTCATATGTCATCGATGCCGTCAACTTATTCGCTACCGGCTCCTCTCAGAAGCTATGGTTCCGCGTTGAAGCGTTCGGCGAAATCTTGTTTCTTGTTGCATCGTTTGGGAGGCATTGCGAGGTTCATAAAAAAGTTTTCCTTGAATTTTCCTTGTTTTTCTCGCGGGCGTTGGTCCTCATCGGACCCTGGAGGGTTTCTGCAATTTTCATACCACACTGCCAACGCATTTACGGTCGCGGCGTTACAGTTATAATGGCCAGGCTGGCCGACGTGTACCACTTCCCTAATGCTCCTGCTACTAGGCAGGAGGAGGAGAGAGAGAGAGAGCGTGGAGGATAGGAAGAGAGGAAGAGGGTCGGATGCGAACAGGGGAGAATTGAGGTGCTGACCTGCGGTGAATTCTTCACGGGATGTGTCCTTCTGGTCTTGGGAGAGGGTTTAGAAGCCATCCATGGCCTTGCCATTGTACGATATGACGGCCCCTTCAGCAAGCGATTCGGGATGTAAAATGTCGGCAAATAGACAAGCAGCCCTGAGCTATATCTTTGGCGCTGCTCATTCTCATCTATATTCAGTCGCCGATATTGAACACCAAGCATGACTCTTGGGTACACATAAATCACTCCAGCCTCCTACCTTCTGTAGATGACGTCGAGTATCTAGCGCTAGGTTTTTCTCTTTGGTTCTAATAGCAAATTTGATTTTGATGGGATTCTTGTCAAGCGGATTGATGAGTCAATTCGAGGGTTCGGTTTGGCATGGTTGCATTGCATAGCCCCGCGATTGGCACTTCGCCGGGAAACCACTTCTCTCGGAGGCAGGGATAAAGCACATCGAGTGATGCGGCGGCATGAGCAACCGAATCTAGTGTGGTAGTAACAATGAGTCATTTGTAAGTAACGTCGTATATCAGATCCCGACTGCGAATATACCTACAGGTGGCTTCTGCTCTCTTTTCCATTTCATGCCGACTTCTCTTTTTCACAACTTAACTTGAACCCTACAACTGCGTCAAGAAATAACCCGCCAGACATGTCTGTGAACGGAATCCTCACATCCCCATCGCCTCCGAGCGAGGAGCCCGGGACTGTGCTCTTCGAGACGGACAGGCTTCTCATAAGACGCTTCCTCATCTCCGATGCACCGAGCATGGCGGCTCTGGGCAACGACCCTTCCGTCGCCGCCAACTTGCGCAACGGCTTCCCGTCTCCATACACCATCTCGGACGCAGAATCATTCCTCGGCATGGCCTGCAAACCAGACGGCACCGCGTACCCCGTGCACAACGGCATTTTCGTCAAGCCCAACACGCCAGGGAACCCGTCTGACACGCCGCTCTTCATCGGCGCTATGGGCATCATCCCGAAGAAGGACGTCTACTACCGGACATGGGAGATCGGATACTGGGTCGGATCCTCGGCATCGGGCAAGGGATACGCGACAGAGGCGGCGCGGGGGTTTGCGCGGTGGGTGTTTGGGACGTGGCCGGCCTTGAACCGACTGGAGGCGGGCGTGTATGCGAGGAATGCGGCGAGTCAGAATGTGCTGAAGAAGGTTGGCTTCGTCGAGGAAGGGAGGAAAAGAGATTCGGTTGAGAAGAATGGCGTGGTTTTGGACGAGGTCATGTACGGGTTGCTGAGAAGGGAGTTTGAGACCATGGTTTAGCGGAAAGGAATCAACGAGATGCCTCCAGTTTCTCGTTGAATTCGACAACAGCATTTCCATGTGTCTCCACATACGTCTGGCATATGAGCGTTGCCTGCATTTCACAAGCCAGAAAATTGGGTTGCATTCGGAGAAACGTAATTATACTCGGGTAGTTAGACTATTGCTAATGACTGTGCTTTCGTCTCGCGAATAACAAGAGTTGATCTGCAAGGATAACAAGGAACCATGATCTTGTGGAAGGATACTCCAACGCTGCCGTCACTATTTAGCCCCTCACCTAGTTCCAGTTTTGCATCCTCAACTTCCAGAACGACCATGAGAAACTTTTTTCCAAATCGTCAACACCTTCGAGCAGCCGACGTTTAGGTTCTCCTTGTTCTGCACGGGATCGCAGCATCTTCAGTTGGCTGACAATTTTGGGACGAAGATTCCCGAGTCGTATCGCGGCGACGTGGGTGTACACCATCAATAAACCCATGCCCAAGACGCAATAGGTTATCTCATGGTAGACTCTGAAGGGGGTTACGCCTCTTGAACGCAGAATAAGGACGACGATTGATGTGAGAACGCATGTGACACACAGAGCGTGCATGCTCAGGCACCAGAGAATAGTTTTTCGGTCAAGAGACTTGAGCCTTTCCTCGGCATTCTCAGCCCAGTTATCGTCCGTCTCTTTCGGTACTGGAATCCTAAATGATATTAAAATTGAAAACTTTGGTGAGTGATCACGCACTTACACGGGGGGCGTTTCATTGGGAGCTTGCATCTCATGTGAGGATGCTATATCTGGCGGGGCTGTCATTTCAGGTGGAGAGCGTGTATGTCTAAGGGTGATTCCGGAATTGCGAGGGCTTCTGGGAGAGTCGTCGTGGGTGGTGTGACGTTTGCGAGGGAACGAGTTGGACACAGGGAGTTCGGGTCACACCTCCGGCGACGGAAAGGCTGTGGCTGGATTGAGGAATATGCAAGACTAAAGCCAGAAGAGATTATAAGAGAGGGTGTGTCTGCGCGAGTGAGTGGGAAACAGAACTGATTATGGGAGAACGCAGAAATGGGAGAGAGGAAACTAGCTCTTTCTTGTTGAAGAGCCTCTTCAGGATTTGGAAGGTAGGATTGGCAGCCAAGCGGCCAGTCGGCCAGAGAGGCCTGGATGACAGGAACACCCCAGTTTTCATGGTGGCATGGATGGATGGACTGTTTATTATAATTCATACGAAGCGGATCATAAAATGCCAAATAGCAATGTTCTTGATAATTGAGGTGTTGGGTGATGGTGAAGGAAGTTGCGGCGACAGCAGCGTGGTAGCTGTCCTACACAGACAGATATGGCCGAAGCAACCTAAACATTAAGCACCTAAGCACCTAAGCCTGCTGAATCGCTAACAACACCCCGAGCAATTGGGCCCCACGCTTCAATTGGTTGGTTCTGAAAGGAAAAGCACCAATTTCAACCTAGCTAAATCCAAGAGTCCCCCAGGTTTCCAATTGGCACTTAAAAATGTCACATTTGGGCCGTGGTTGTGCAGTTTCCCGCTCCTTGAATCAATTGGGAGCAACCACCAGATGTCGTCTCGAAAAGTAAAGGCGGCCCTCGGGTAATTTGTAGAAAAGTGGACGAGTAATAGTTGGCGCATGATTGGCCGGCACCCCGCAACAACAATAGTCCGCGCCCACCACGCCCGAGCAAAGCTCCAGGATTCATCCAACCGGACAGCGGGAGATGACGGGCTCAACCACGACGGCGACTTCGAATTCCCCTCCACCAACCAGCCATTGACCTCGAGCCAGAGGCCCTCCTGGGAGACTCTCTTAGCATCGTGCCGCTTCCCGGTTCCGGCCCCCTCTCCGCTCCTCCACAATGGTCGCCCTCCACAGGCTCGCTGGCCAAGCTGCCAAGCGCCTGTGTCTGCGACCCGCGACCTTCGCCGCTCGCCCGTTCTCGACGACCGCCCTGCGACGATACGCGACTCCCGAGCCCATGGGCACCCGTCTGGTGCCTGTCGACGACGACTTCAACACCCCCAAAGATCCCTACGGCCTCTCCGGCCCGGTCCCTGGCACCGCCAAAAAGTCGCGCGAGAACTCGGTCGAGGACCGCAAGATCCGACACTACACCGTCAACTTCGGTCCCCAGCATCCCGCCGCCCACGGTGTGTTGCGCTTGATTCTCGAGCTCAGCGGCGAGGAAATCGTCCGAGCCGATCCCCACGTCGGTCTGCTGCATCGCGGTACCGAGAAGTTGATCGAGTACAAGACCTATATCCAGGCCCTGCCCTACTTCGACCGACTCGACTACGTCTCCATGATGACCAACGAGCAGTGCTTTTCTCTCGCTGTTGAGAAGCTCCTCAATGTTGAGATTCCCGAGCGTGCCAAGTTCATCCGAACCCTCTTCGGCGAGATTACCCGTGTCCTGAACCATCTGATGTCCGTCCTTTCCCACGCCATGGATGTCGGTGCTTTGACGCCTTTCCTGTGGGGTTTCGAGGAGCGAGAGAAGCTCATGGTAGGTCTTGAGCGGAACATTGGCCGATGTCTGGAATTGACACTTTTCGCAGGAATTCTACGAGCGTGTATCTGGTGCCCGACTCCACGCCGCCTACGTCCGTCCCGGTGGTGTTCACCAGGATATTCCCGTTGGTCTCCTCGACGATATTTACCAGTGGGCGACTCAGTTTGGCGACCGTATCGACGAGACCGAGGAGATGTTGACTGACAACCGTATCTGGATTGAGCGATTGAGGGGTGTCGGCGTCGTGCCCGCTACTGAGGCCCTCAACCTTTCCTTCACCGGCGTCATGCTCCGTGGTTCCGGTGTGCCCTGGGATATCCGAAAGAGCCAGCCTTACGACGCCTACGACCAGGTCGAGTTCGATGTTCCCGTCGGTACCAACGGTGACTGCTACGACCGATACCTCTGCCGAATGGAGGAGTTCAGACAGTCCCTCCGCATCATCCACCAGTGCCTGAACAAGATGCCTGCTGGCCCTGTTCGCGTCGAGGACTACAAGGTCTCCCCTCCCCCTCGTGCTGCCATGAAGGAGAACATGGAGGCCCTCATTCACCACTTCCTCCTCTACACCAAGGGTTACGCCGTCCCCCCCGGTGAGACCTACTCCGCCATCGAGGCCCCCAAGGGCGAGATGGGTGTCTACGTTGTCAGCGACGGCAGCGAGCGACCATACCGATGCCACATCCGAGCTCCCGGATTCGCTCACTTGGGTGGCTTTGATCACGTCTCCAAGGGTCACTTGTTGGCTGATGCTGTGGCGGTTATTGGTACTATGGATCTGGTGTTCGGTAAGTGATGCATTCCCTTTGTTGATTTTGAAGTAATTTCTAACGCCCCATCTAGGCGAGGTCGATCGATAGAGAGTTGTGGAAAACAAAGAAGTTTAGATTGGGTTTCCTTTGTTTGTAATCATAGCTGACTAGGGGGACCACGGTAAATACTCCCACAAATGTCGTGTGCTCAAGCGAGAGGCTATGCAGAGGTGACGTGTGTGTGTTGTGAAGTAGCAATGAAGAAATTGTCTCAACTTTTCGGCTGCCTGATCCTTCAGTGATTATTTACATGTTTTACAGAGTAAATGTACATGAGAGTTCTACAACAGCTTGGAGCCGTTTCCAGAGGCCTGCTCCATGAAAAAGTTCTTCAGGGGTGTCAGGGCGTTGACTGCTTTGAGTCCAATCGACCGCAGAGGGATAAGGGGCCCGCTCTCCACCGCGTAGAGCTTGTGTAACTTGTCGCAGACTCCGAGGATGACATGGTTGGCGGCATACCGCTCACTGCAGTACGGTTCCAATGACAGCGTCGATCCGAGGTCTTGGCCGTGGGAAACGGCATACTCAATGGTCTTGGCCAGGCTCTGGACATCGCCTTGTCCTTGGTTCAGACCCTGACCGGCGAGGGGGTGGATGGTGTGGGCAGCATCGCCGACCAGGGCAACGCGCTCGCCGATGTACGTGTCTGCGTGGCGGAGCTTCAAAGGAAACGACGCGATGGTGCCCTCCTGGACGCCAACGACGGCTTGGGGGACGGTCTCGGCGTTGATATGCGTGTGCTGGGTGCGCCACGAGAGCTCCTCCTCCTGACCTTCGGGAACAGAGTGCAGGTAGCCAATGTCAACAGCGCTCAGGCGGAACGCGGCGTTGACCATGGCGATGAAGTCCTTGGGAGATAGGCTCTTCAGGAGCGCGGCCTTCTCCGGGGTGGTGGACCAGACCAGCGAGGCGTGGTTGCCCGGCAAGGGGAGCATGGCGATAGGGCCGGTGGGTAGGAATCGCTGGTAGGCGATCTTGTTGTACTCGCCACCCCACCCGTCTCCTTCAAGTTGCAGAGTAGCCACAACGCCGTGTCGGCCATAGTCCCAACCACGGCTGCCAATGCCGGAGAAGGCCCGCACGGGGCTGTTGGCTCCGTCCGCGCCGATGAGAAGGCGTGCCGCCAGAGATTGGCCGCCAGAGAGCTCAACGACGGGCCACTCGCTGAGATCCAACTCCTCCGTCTCCTTGCCGAGGTCGATGTTTTCCACCTTTGTCTTGTCGAAAATGTCCACGCCGCCAAGCTCCTCGAGTCTCTTGAGAAGGCCCGAGGTCAGGTTTAGGTTCTCAATCATGTATGCAAGCGTCTTGCCCGCGCCGGAGCTGGGCTGGCCGTCGAACTCGATGCGCGCGTCCGTCAGACCGTCCCAAACCTGCATCTCGTGGTAGTCCTGGATGCGCTCCCGCTTCATATGACTCCATGCGCCGATCGTGTCGAGGAATTGGGCCGATGCCGGGGTGAGGGAGCTGCAACGGTTGGAGAACTGGGTTGGAGGAAGCGCAAACGACGAGACCTTGGAGAGGTCCTGAGCTTCGATGAGGGCGACTCGCAGACCGGAAGTAATGGGGTTGGCTCCTGAGATTGCGTTAGATGCATTTAAGGTGGTGTGTAGGGTCCAATCGTACGGAGAGCCGTGAGCAGACTCAAGCCAGCTGGGCCTCCCCCAACACAGACGACATCATAGATGTTGTCTTGGGAGGTGGAATAAGCCCGGCGCAATTGAGACCGGTACTGGCGGACACAGCTCCGGCAGACAAAGCCGGACTTTCCCAGGAGCGATCGCCTTGCTAGCATTGTGGAGAGGACTTTGTTTGAGCTTCAGCAGTGGACGAATGTCGTCTTGAAGAATTGGGTCGTGGGCACCAGGAGTGGCACGCACGATGTGGGACGATCACTAAATGCCGTCAATTGTCGTCCCCCTCCAGTGGTTCGATAGCTCGTGGGATAAAGTGTGGCGAACTGTGGCGAGTTGTGGCGGATTGTGGCGAACTGTGGATTCTCCACGCTTGTGGCGGTGCACGTGCTGCAGGCTGCTACTGGGTCAAGTGACAACTGACAGGGAGCCAGCCAGAGCCCGGTTTTACCAGTTGCCACAGACAACGGCGCTATCATTGCGTCAAGGGTCTTTCATCAACACCTGTCCACAGGACGGTCGCATTCCAAGAGACCATCACCCCACTACATCTCCTGCTGCATTCATCTTTTTTTTTTCTGGCCTGTGTGGCGCTCTTTACGACCTATCGCCAGGGTACTGCGATTCGCTTGTACACTTGCTCGGCTTGTCGTACGAGGTGCAGATTACTTGGTTGACCAGGGAAGCTTATATCGACCGCTTTGAAGTCATCCGTGAAGCGTGAACAACCCACTCTTCGCATCCCACCTCCACATCCACCCAAGTCGGCAATTGTCCAGGTCTCCAACCTTTGCAACTCAGACCGCCATTATGGCCGACGCCGAAGACTACCTCCAAGAGGGCTTCGACCCGCGCAGTGTGACCATGCCTCGCCTGCGATCGATCCTCGTCACTCACAACGTCGAATACCCCGCCACGGCGAAGAAGGGCCAGCTGGTTGACCTCGTCACCGACCACGTTCTATCACAGGCCCCCAAGCTTCGAGCCCAGAGGGCAAAGGCTAAGCGCTCCAGCATGGGCATCGTCAATGCCGGCAGTGCTGAGGACACCGGCACCTGGGATGACCACGATCTTCACCCCCCGCCACAATCCGCGAGGCGATCCAGGTCACCGCGGAAGGTATCAACACGCATCAAGGTTGAAAACGACGAGATGGTCACCCCGGCTCGTCGTGACCCCCCGAAGCGAGCATCGCGGTCTGTGAGCAGGGCACTCTCGCACGCTGACGACGATGACGTCCTTGACTACGAGGCTCCCAAGTCGACGCGTCGCAGCCGCAGTCGCAGGACTGCCACCCCTCGAATCAAACCCGAGCCGGAAGAGGAAGATCATTCCGTTTCGGTGGGAGATGAAAGCGTCTTCACCTACGACAACCCTTTCCAAAGCGGAAGCTCCCCGCCCCAGACCAAGACCCCAACCAACCGCCGGCGGACAGCCGACGGCGACGTCATCAAGAGCACCAAGTCTGCTTCTAGACGTCGAACCGATGGCTATACAGATGGTTATACCGATGGCTATGCCGATGATTTTGAAACCCCAAAGCCACGTCAACGAACACCCGAGATGCTTCTTGAGCCGGGTGAGGAATTCACCCCTGATGAGCAATTAGAGTTGGAGGACGCGGCTAGCAGAGGGGAGGCTTCGCTTGAGCCTCGCAAGCCTGTTACACGGGCTGCCCGCAAGAGCAGCTTCAAGACTCCATTTTTTGTTCTGTTCCTTGGGTTGCTTGGAGCCTACCTGGCCTGGTACAGGCAGGAGAAGATTGCTGTTGGCTACTGCGGTATCGGGCGTCCGGCAAAAGAATTCATCCCAGAGGAGTTTCCACTTCCCGACGCCCTGAGGCCATTCGTTGAGCCCGAGTGTGAGCCGTGTCCTCAGCACGCCTACTGCTACGCGGACTTTGCGGTCCGATGTGAGGCAAACTTTGTCCTCGAGCCGCACCCGTTGTCTCTTGGCGGACTTGTTCCACTCCCTCCCACCTGCGAGCCCGATGGTGAAAAGGCACGCCGCGTACAGGCTGTCGCCGACAAGGCAATCGAGGAGCTCAGGGACCGTCGGGCCAAGTTCGAATGTGGAGAGCTGGTCAATGAGGAGGGCCAGCAAGAGGAATCCCCAGGTATGCCCGAGGAGGAGCTCAAGGCCACGGTCAGCAGGAAACGCTCCAAGAGACTAAACAGCGATGAGTTTGATGAGCTTTGGGCGGCCGCCCTTGGAGAGGTTACCGCCCGAGACGAGGTTGAGGTTGAGGTTGAGGTTGAGGTGGAGGTCGTTCAGACGCAACCGTAAGTCACCCATCCCCGTTCATTCTCGCTACACTATACGTCGCTCCATTTTTACTTTCAACCGTTTCTGACAAAACAACTAACCAGATCCGTGATTGACCCTACAGACCGTCCGATTCCCCCAGCCTTCCAACCCGAAGGCTATCGTCAACGTCTCTCGCTCGCCTTTCGCTCACCTGCACGGTCAAGCGCCACCTCCGGCTCAGCCTGGCAAGATATAGACTCACTATTGGACTTCTGATCGCCTCTGTCCTTGCCGTTTTCTATATGCGGGCTCGCTATCGCAAACATGTAGCGACGTCTGCCCAGATCCCGGCGTTGGTTGACTTGGTCCTGGGACGACTGGCCAACCAGAAGGAGCTCGGTGAGGAAGAAATCGATGACCCGTGGTTGTTCTTGCCAAACCTCCGGGACGATGTATTGCGATCCGTCCACTCGCTGTCTGAGCGAGAACGGGTGTGGCAGAGGGTCCGGGCGGTCATTGAACAAAACAGCAATGTCCGGACCAGTCAACGAGAAGGCCGAAGCGGCGAAGTTGGCCGCGCCTGGGAGTGGATAGGCCCCGTCGCTGGCGAGGGTGCCCGGAGACGTCGGAGCGGAAGGGTGTCACTTGGTCCCGATTTGAGGACCGAGACCCCGGAGCTCACGCCGGAACCAAAGAAGTGGGGAGAGACGAGGCCGATTTACTAAGCCATGGTCTCATTTAATTTTTACTGACTATCGATATCCTCGAGGAGTCACTGTATTTTCTTTTGTCTGTAACTATTGTCCTCTCGTTTGCTACCGTCAGGGAGTTAGTCTTACGCCTTGGATGTTTCCAGCCATGAAGTGACGGTATTCTGGCTCGGCGTTGGGGTCTTTTGCCGGATAATTTGTATGGTTAGGATTGTTTATATCGACTGTCATACTTTCGTGTTAATAATTCACTCCATCACACCTATGCCGGGTACTTCGGAACGTGCATGAACACCTTCACAGGCATGCGACGGCACTTTGAGTGGCTTGCGAGATTGAATTACCAGGCATGTCGATGGAGATTCATTGATATTGCCTGTTCGTGGTTGCGAGCTAATTATGTGGTGCTTTGGCGGTCGTCCGGGAACGGCGATATCGGAGATTCCGGTCTTTCCCGATAGGCATTTCTTGCTCCGAGCTCCAACAAACAAACTTCACAATCCACTTCAGTTCAAAATATCTCACAGCAGCGAGCACCTCTCCAGTAATCGGAAACTAGGGTCTTGATTGATTCGGCTAATGCACAGGTGTTGTTATGACACAGGATGGGTACAAAGGGAAACCGGGGAATCTGTGTATCTAGACTCTAGCGGTTGGAGGTAATTTATTGAGCCTTGGAGGCAACGATCTCTGTAGATGATAGTTAGCAATCAGATGGCAAGAATTTAATCTCGTTGGTATTGCGTACTCTCAATATCAGCCACGCTCTGCTGAAGGATCTGCTGGAGAACCTTGGGGTTCTCGAGCTCCTTCTGGACCTTGGCGATGATGGACGCGGCCAGCTCCTTCTGCTGGCGCTGCTTGACCTGGCTCTCGTATCGCACCCAGGAGTCGAGAACGGACTTGGCCTCGGCAGCCAGGGCAGTCTTCTGCTCGAGCTCAAAGGCCTGGGCCTCGAGCTTGGCGGTTTCCTGCGGAGATCCATCAGTACATTCCGAATTCCACCCAATTGCATCTCGTATTTACCTTGGAAACCTCGAACAGGGTCTTGGTGACCTCGACGACGCTGCCCATCTGCTTGACGTCCTCAATGCGGCCCTTGACGGCCTCGGTGTGGTCGGCGCGGGCGCTGTTGAGAATGTTCTTGATCTTCAGGTTCTGGGACTCGGCCCACTCCTTGTAGGCAGGGCCACCATACTTGATCAAACCACCCCAGACGGAGAGCAGGCAGAAGGCGATGATGGTCTCCTCGTTCATGACGTAGTACTCGTTGCTGAGGGCGTAGATGCTGGCGCCGGCGGTGCTGCTGAGGATGGCGGTCTTGGTGATCAAGTGGTTGCCGGGGATCGCATCGATGAGGCTCTGGGCCTTCTTCTTGGGCTCCTCGGCGGGGACGTTGCTGGTGTATCGAACGGCGGCCGCGGAGATGGCAGGGGCGGCTCGGCGGGCGAGGGCAGGTCGGAGGAGGGGAGCGCCTGCTAGAGGGTCAGCGTCGCGCCAATTGACGACGAATTGGCTCGCAGTCGAGTGTCACACGTACCGACGGCGCTTCGAGCCAAGCGGGACGCCATTGTGAGATGGATTGTGATGGGGGTATCGAGGGCGTAGGCTTGACGTTGCTTCGGGAGCTGGGAATACTGGTTGAGGTTTTATCGCGCTAGCTCGGCAACAATCAAATCCACGTGACCTGTAAATTGCGCAGCTGCACGGCCTGCACCGGAGGGGAGTAAATCTGGCCCGCCGGCATTTTGCCGTCGTCGTCCCTGGACCGTCTTGGCGCCGCCCGACGCCTGATTGGTCCGAAATTTCATCTGTCAAGCTGGTAGAGAATTTCATGCTTTTCACCTTCTTGAACCGACTTATACCTGTCTTGAACATTCAACATTGAGCATCAGTCTGCCCGGAGACCAGCTAATTCTGCTGTTTCAATATTCAAGGACGCCCTGTCTCGGGATTTCCATCTACAACTTTTCACAGCCTCAAGCCCGCTCACAACATGCCAGCCGCTGCCTCTGGCGAGCGCTCCAAGCGCAAGCGGCCTTCAAATACTGAAAAGTCCACCAAGCGTCGGAGGTCCTCCGCCAGCAGCGATGAGTCCGAGGACCCCAACGCCAAGATCCTCTCGATGGAGCAGGGGATCTTGGAGTCCAAGAAGAACTACAACGACATTACCGTGTTGCTAAGCACCATGGATGAGTTCCGCAGCGGCAACCCAGAGGGCATGTTGGCGGCCGTGGCGCTCTGCCGTATTTTCGTGCGATTGCTGGCCCAGGGTGCTCTCATCTCCAAGAAAACCCTTTCTGAGAAGGACTTGGTGGTGGTTGGCTGGCTCAAGGAACAGTTTGGCGAGTACAAAGCCAGGCTCCTCAGCATTCTCAAGGATGAAGATCTGGCTCTCACCGGCTTGACGCTATGCATGAGGACTCTCAAGGCCGAGGGAGAGTTTCTGTACGACAAGGAGGAGTACACCTTTCCCAGGGCCTTTATTCGGGACATTGTGTCAACCGTGTTCCTTACTGACAACGAGGACCTTGTGGCTGCCTACGTGGAGGAGTATGCGGAGCAGTTCGATGACATCCGATATTATACCTTTAACTCCATCAAGTAAGTCGTCTTATTTCCCTTTGCTTGAATCTAGTCTAATCAAACTAAACCAGGTATGCCGTGGAAAATCTGTCCGCCAACAAGATTCCAAACGGTTTGTTTGATCGGGTCTTCTCTCTGCTATCTGCTCTTGATGGTGTGCCCGAGTCTGCTGAGGAGCTTCAAGACTTCTACATTCCACGTCCCAAGAAGAAGACACATTCCCTTCGCAACGTCAATCAGCACAAGAAGCAGGGCCAGGACGCCTGGCTCGCCTTGATGACCCTTGTCGATGGCAAGGAGGAGCGAAAGCAACTTCTCGACATCATCTCCACAGTCATTGCGCCGTGGTTTATCAAGCCCGAGCTGTTGTCCGATTTCCTGACCAACTCATACAATGCTGGTGGCTCCATGTCCTTGCTGGCCCTCTCCGGTGTCTTCTACCTGATCCAGGAGCGCAACCTGGACTATCCATCTTTCTACTCCAAGCTCTACTCATTGCTTGATCGCGACATCCTTCACTCCAAGCACCGATCCCGTTTCTTCCGCCTCTTGGACTCGTTCCTAGGATCGACCCATCTTCCCGCCGCGCTCGTGGCGAGCTTCATCAAGCGCCTTGCTCGGCTAGCGTTGAATGCGCCCCCCAGCGCCATCGTCTTTGTGACGCCTTGGATCTACAACCTCCTCAAGCGCCACCCGTCATGCACCTTCATGATCCACCGAGAAAACCGGGACCCCGAAATCAAGAAGCACATCAGCGAGCATGGTGCCGAGGATCCGTTCTTGCCAGACGAGACGGATCCTATGGAGACCCAGGCTATGGAGAGTTGTCTGTGGGAGCTTGTGCAGCTTCAGTCTCACTATCACCCCAACGTTGCCACTATTTCGAAGATTATTTCCGAGCAGTTCACAAAGCAATCCTACAACATCGAAGATTTCCTTGATCACTCATACGCCACTGTAAGTTTACCCGTCTCGTGTTTTCAAGAATGCACTAACAATGTAACTAGCTCCTCGAGGCAGAAATATCGAAGGATGTTAAGAAGGCTCCTGTGGTTGAGTTCCATATTCCAAAGAAGGTGTTTATGCCACATGACGACGCCGAGCAGCCTGATCAGGACAGTCTCCTAGTCAAGCTGTGGGATTTTGGGGGAGCCGTTCAAGAAACCCAGGTAGCCTAGAGCTTCTGTGGGGGGTAGTGGTAAAGGAGAATGAATCATAGAAGGGAGACCATGATATATACCCAGGCATGTGCGAGAATGAAAGGAAGCTACCGGCATGTGCTAGAGGACGATTACACAAGTACTCGCACAGACCGATCGGCGAAAATAGATCTGAGCAAAAGGCGTTTATCTTTCATCCCTAAAGGCATCAATTTTATCATCCTCGACAAGAAACCGGGACACATTATCCTATAATTTCACAATACAAAAGATAACCGCTCAAACCAAGTCTTAGCGGCTGATATATGTGATATGTCTGTGCCTTTGAACGACGTGTAGATACTCCTTACTGAGGCTCTAATTACAGGGCAAAAATAATTTTCCATCGTACCCCTCCTGATCGAAGGAGGCAAAAATTGAAGCCGACACAGGCCTGATTCGAACAGACGCCTCCGAGGAGATATGATTTCTAGTCATACGCATTAGACCACTCTGCCACTGTGCCTATTGGGCTAGGATATGACAACTGGTGCGTTATTGAGCTATGATACTGTCGAGCGAGGGCGCTACAAACATTTCTATGCAGGCTGATCTGGTCAGTGGACCCAGTCATGCGGGCTTCGTGGCGCATGAAGTTAGGATGGAATGCAGGCGATCGAGGTCGTGTGCTGGCGTTTCGCTTTCACTCCGGCCCGCCCAATGCAAGCAGAGACTCTCGCGGTTTATGCAAGCCAAGAGGTAAAAGTGAGGCCATCTTTGATTTGTTTGGCTGAAGAAGCCCTGAAGCAGCGACAACGCAAAGCCAAGTATCATCGGCATGTGTTCGTACGTGTTAGTCCTAGGGAGCTCGAGAGACCTGGAAGGATTGGAGACCCAGGCATCTGGTACGTGTTGCGACAGCGCGCTAGGGGTGCTGTGACCTGCTGTGGCCTGCTGTGACCTCCTGTAGATTAGCGGACACCTGCCTAGCGTCTGGGTCTTGGCCAATTAAGCCAGTGCCCAAAGAGCCCACCGACCAGCCTCCGAAGAGCTGACATCATCACTCCTAACTCTTCCAGCTAATAGTCGATCAGTGCACCAGCCATCGACCATTCAGACCTGCAATTGACTCTTCTCCGCCAAAGCCAAGCCCTAACATCTCACCGCTTCACCTTGTTCTTGGGCTCCCTACAAGCATATCTAGGTGGCTCTTGGGCAGCCGTCCAACATGTCCAGCAACCGCTTCGATACGCTGGTCAAGGCGCCCAAGCCTGCCTCTCCAGCCCCGAACCCACCAGTCGCCTCCGCATCTGCATCTGCATCCGCATCTGTATCCGCTGCCAACGCAGCTGGTCAACCAAAGGCCAAGAAGCGCAAGGGTCACCGTGGGGGCAAGAAAAAGCGAACGCGGAGGAAGAGCTTTGCCGCTCTGGACGAAGATGATGGACAGGATGAATCCCAACAGGAATCTGGGGAGGGGTTCTTCAAGATGGCGAATGCAAACCTGAGTGGCACGAGCATCGACAGCGAAGCCTTGTTGGATCACAGGTGCGCTCCCCTACCACCATATATTGGGATACGCCCAGTTAGCTGACCAGTTTCCAGGGATCATCAGCCGCTGCGCATCAGACGTTCCTCAACAGCTCCAGGTCCCCCATCACCCTACGGACCAAGCTTCACCAACCAAGGCACCAGCCGACTACGATCAATGCAAGAAATACACAGCGACGACGAACAAATCGACCCTCTCATGAGATGGGATGAATCGGCGCCCCTTCTCAGCGAGTCGAGGCCCCGAGGGTCGCAGACAATCCTATCCAGCTACGGCGCAAGCGACGTCAGGTCGAGCCGGCCCCGGAGCCGCAGGGCATCGAACAAGTCCTCCATGACAAGACTTGGGACTTCCAACAGCGGGAGGGATCGATACGATGTGAACCATCCCCCTTCGATGCCTGGATCCCCAGCATTCGGTGCTAGCACGCGTATGGATATGAGCTTCGGGGATGTCATGATTCGGGACGAGATCAGTTTACGAGACGAGTCTCCACACCAATCGGTTGCAGACGTGTCCGACATGGGCGGTGTGCTGAGAGACGGCCGCCCTGAACTCAGCAGGAGGGCAGCGAACGAAGCTGAGCAAGACGTTTGCTTTCCCGGGCCAGGCATGTCCGAGATGGGTGACGATGACGCACAGTCAAGGAGCCAGGAACCTCGCCGATACAGAACACGACGTCGTCGAGGCCAGTGGCCCGACCTGGCGGTTCTAGAAGAATGGAGCCATATGGAGAAGGAGGGACGAACAGATGAACGCCGCGTCAAGAGGATCACGGAGCCTCAGCTCATCAACGGTCGACTACGCCCCGTGCGGAAGGGCTGGTACCAGACGGACGTCGAATCGCCATATAGGTTTACCTACTTCAACGAGGAGTTTCCGAGTACGATCCACAGCCAGACCATCTCCGAACTTGTTCAGTCTGGTGGTGGTTTCAAAGAGTTGTTCATTCCAGATCCCCCGATCCTCTCTTCAGACGATGAGACCGATGATGACGAGGATGCTCTTTCGGTGCCTGTTAAGCTTCATCATTTGACTGGCGGCATGGAGGGAGGATCAAAGGAATCCACTCGCCAGCCATCTCTCTCCACTACGCGCGAAAATACTGATCCCCGAGCCGAAGGGATGTTCTCGCCACCTTCAAGGGATCCGCTGGCCCATGTGGCCTCGAGGAGCGACTCCGGACGCGCTACGCCCTCTGGCCAAAAATCATCCGACGAGAGTGGGAAGGTCTCTCAAGCCCCACTCATCGAGACCAAGGAAAAGGTCATTCGCTATGGCGATCGGCCTGTGTGGTGGCTTGACGTTACATGCCCTACGGAACCGGAGATGAAGGCCATATCCAAGGCCTTTGGCATCCACCCTCTCACGGCGGAGGATATCATGTTGCAGGAGGCCCGAGAGAAGGTTGAGCTCTTCCGACACTACTACTTTGTCAACTACCGATCCTTCGATCAGGACAATAACAGCGAAAACTTCTTGGAGCCGGTCGACATGTATGTCGTCGTTTTCCGAGAAGGTGTCCTCAGCTTCCATTTCTCCATGACACCACATCCCGCCAATGTCCGCCGCCGAATCCGTCAATTGCGAGACTACCTTATCCTGTCGTCGGACTGGATCTCGTATGCCATCATTGACGACATCACCGACGTCTTCCAACCTCTGATTCAGAATATCGAGGATGAAGTAGACGAGATCGATGATGCAATCTTGAAATTGCATTCGTCTGCCGAAAAGCGTATGAAAGATGATTTGAACACTTCGAAGACTGACGACGCTGTGACGGCTTCAGACCCCAGCAGTGACATGCTTCGACGTGTGGGCGACTGCAGAAAGCGGGTGATGAGCCTTTATCGATTGTTGGGCAACAAGGCAGACGTCATCAAGGGCTTTGCCAAGCGTTGCAATGAGCGATGGGACGTTGCACCACGGTCCGAGATTGGTCTGTATCTTGGTGATATTCAGGATCACATTGTCACCATGACGTCTAATCTCGGACATTACGAAAAGTAAGCATTGCTCCCCCCTTCATCCATCCCGTCTACTCTGAATAAATCAATCCTAACAATCGCAGGATACTGGCTCGATCCCATGGCAACTATCTGGCGCAGATCAACATACGCATGAACGAGCGACAGGAACAAACAGCCGACGTGCTCGGCAAGCTCACCGTCCTAGGCACCATTGTTCTCCCCATGAACATCATCACCGGTTTGTGGGGCATGAACGTCTGGGTACCGGGTCAGGAGTATGAGGGTGACCTGGCGTGGTTCGTTTGGATCGCTGCAGGTCTAATCTTCTTCGGCCTGGCCTGCTTTTTAATTGCGAAGAGAGTATACAACATTGTTTAGGACATACGAGGAGCAACTTAACGGTCTCTGAAAACAGGAAAGTGTATAGTTCTTGGGCGGAGAGGCTAGCATTTGGGTTGGCGTTTTTTTTCTTCTTTCTTTTTTCCCCTACTTGAGGTTGACTGAGCGCGGGGCCTTGGATATGGTCCTCTTTCTTTTTGTATCCCGTTATTTTCATCGGAGCGAGGTTCGTGGGCTCTGGTTCAGGGCATGGCCGGGGAGGGGGGTGATCCACTAGAATGAATGCCCAGTGCTGAATGTTTGGGTATATTGGGGTTTCCAGCGATTGAATTTGGGTTGCAACAGCCGGAATATACAAAATTTCTGCACATTAGGCGTGGATTTCATGTGCAAGTTTCAGCTTTCGGTTGGTATAGTGTCGAGGGTTGATGGACTTGATGCAGGGTGTACATTTTGGCATGGACCATAATTACCATATATAAAGACCAACCAAATATCAAATCTTGCAGGAATATCTCTATTTAAATGTGCCTAAGTCTTTGCCTTGTGGTTATAGTCTGATTGACGGTTTCTTGAGGTCCTTGTGAATAGCGGTCGAATTGTCATTCTCCTATGTTTAATGCTTAATAAGTATTATGCTTTACCAAGGATACACAAAGGGCCTAAACAAGAACCTTGAGACGCGCAGATAGGCCATTTTCGACAACTAATATTAATCGATTAATATAATTAACAAACGGTTGTTTCCAGAGATGAAAGGGTGGTACCCTACCCTATAGTAAATATCGAACTACTTAACGATAATTCTTTTTCACTTTCATCATGGACATCACTCGGCAAAGTTAAAACATGTTGAATAAAATTGTCATCAAAGTACATTGGAGCCGTGGGTATCTAATTCCATGTCCATTTATCTCCATGCTGTCCTCCATGTATATGTATCCCCGACGATACCACCGCACTACATAGGTTCGACGATTTCCGTAGTGTAGGTATTTTACTTCCTCGCCATGAGAGTTTTGTCGTCGCAGAGTACACAACAGTACAACCTTTTATCCCAGGGAGCCAGGGCCTTGTAGCTTGTTCCATATCGATATCAACTTGCGCCATAACGCCAAAACGAAAGTTGCCCAACGACGCCGGCTAAGAGAGCAAAGCGTTTTAGGAAAGTCTCCTGTCTAGCTCTCTCAATGCGACGTCGGATTAAAATGACATGTGCTGACAATGATCATCGTCGCTGGACACCAAAGCTTGCTCGGAGAGCTAGAATCTGTTGTCGCTCAGCCTCGGGGAGCATGTCGATTTGGGCCTGAGGAAGCTCCATGACGGCCCTCATAAGAGCATCAGAATCCTGGACAGCGGGAGCAGGAGCAGGGGGCGCCGCAGGAGCACCATATGCCTGCGGCGGCGCCTGGTACGGCATGGCGGCGACAGGAGGAGTGTTACTCGCACCAGGGTAGCCGGGCATCGGGGCGGACGGGTAGCCGACAGGAGGAGCCTGTACCGGTGGGGGAGCACCGGGTTCGACAACGGACTGGATGGCTTCGGGGGAGACGAGGCCCATTAGGAGGAGGGCCTGAAAGACGGCGTAGGCCAACTGTGGGGCTTGCTGGAGGAGTTCGGTGGCGCGCTGGGGCTCGGAGGTGGCCAGGGTCTTCATCTGGACAAGAATATCGAGGAGCTGGGGGGGCGGGAGAGTCTCGAGGGTGCGAGAGATAGCATCGGTGCAGGTGACGCCTGGAGGCAGCTCCTTTCCAGAGGGTAGAGGAGGCAGGGAGCTTGGCTGGTTGTTGTAGTTGGTTGGGGGAGCGCCATTCGACCCGTGGGCGTTGTGCCCGGACGGCCCCTGGGTGACATATGAGTTCAAGCCCGAATGGTTAGACGAGAGGTAGGGGTGTTAAGTACTCACCTGGTTGTCATCATCGGTGCTCTTTTGGTCGTTGGAGAAGTCGACGCGGAGTTTGCGGCCCATGATCTCATAGTCATTCAGGTTGCGCACCGCTGAAGAGGCGGAGTCTACAAAAGGCAAATTAGGCTTGTTGGAAGATTTCGTGGTGGCGAGGAAGCATACCGGTGTCTGGGTAGTCGGCGAAGCCAAAGCCCTTGGGGCGGCCGGTCTCTGAATCATAGACAAGGCGGAAGCGTTCGACCTTGCCGGCGCTGCTGAAGATGTCCGTGATTTGCTCCTCGGAGAGGCCTAGGAGACGAGTTAGAGATGGGGCGATCCGAGTGAGCTGGCGAGAGCAGTGAAGCGCGCACCGTAGGGGATGTTGCCTACGAAGACAACGCGAGAAGGCGGTCTTGTCGACATGTTGGACAAAGAGGTGTGATGCGCGGATGCGGTCGAGAATGTTGACGGAGAGAGGTGGAGGCGATGGGCAGGAGAATCGGCTGAATACGGTTGAAGAAATCCCGACAGTCGGGTGTGGTGGTTTGCTTGCGGGAGCCAGGGCAGTCGAGGTGGTGATGTTCAAAGCTGGATTCTTGGAGTCTTGGGCCCTCGAGACTCCGGGACTTGGAGAGGTTGAATTTCTCAGCCTCGTGTGGATAAGCTACGCCCCAGTGGCGGCAGGCTGATGCACAGAGAGCTTCCCGTGCTTCAGCCACAGCATCAAAGCCGGTGATTTTCCGGGTACCGGCGCAGGTCCGGGAATCAGTGACATTGACTCTAATTGGTGCTAATTACCTAGGTCGGGGCCTCCCTGGTCACAGCGTCCCAAGTGAAAGGCTGAGAGCTGCACCATCAGCCGCAGGCGCAATTGGCAACGTGGAACTGGAAGTGCGAAGGTGGCCTTTACCTACAGCCCGAAACAATCATCTCCGGGCAGCTGCGTTGCGCCGTCGTAACCTCAACTCCCGTCTTCAGCTTTGCGAGGCGCCAGTTCCCAGTTCCGGACCGTATGGTGTCTTACTTGAACCACCGCAATTGATTGCCATTCCTTTTGCTTTGACCTTGTTTTCACACATTTGCTTTCCTCCACGTTCCCGGGCTTAGACCAATCCTCCCCTTTTTTTCCGCTTCCGGCGAGCTACGCCCGTCAACGACACGCGCCCGTGTGCCGTAAATCGACAGTCGCCACCTCGTCGAACAAGATATCTTCACTCGACGGGACCTCCTTGCTACACATCAGCACCATCCTTCACCATGTCGTTCGTAACAGCCAAGTCGCGCTTTACAAGGCTTGATGCCTTCACCAAGACCGTTGATGAGGCGCGCATCCGGACCACCAGCGGCGGCGTTGTCACCATCGTGTCGCTACTCGTCGTCGTCTTCCTTGCTTGGGGAGAATGGGCAGATTACCGCCGGGTCGTGATACACCCGGAGCTTATTGTCGACAAGGGACGAGGTATGTACAGCGACTCTCATTTGTTCAGCATTGATTGCCAATGCTGTGGAAGGGTGGGGGATGGACAGTCGAGGTTGGAGGTAGCTAACAATATCTCGTGTAGGTGAACGAATGGAAATCCACCTCAACATCACCTTCCCCAAGATGCCCTGCGAGCTCTTGACTCTGGACGTCATGGATGTCTCCGGCGAGCAGCAGCACGGCGTCATGGCCGGAGTCAACAAGGTCCGCCTCCAGCCCCAGGCTCGCGGCGGCTCCGTCATCGACGTCAAGTCCCTCGCCCTCCACGACGAGTCGGCCGACCACCTCGACCCTCAGTACTGCGGTGGCTGCTACGGCGCCCCGGCACCCGCCAATGCGAAGAAGGCCGGCTGCTGCAACACCTGTGAGGAGGTCCGAGAGGCATACGCCTTGGCTTCGTGGGCTTTCGGCCGTGGCGAGAACGTCGAGCAGTGCGAGCGCGAGAACTACGCCGAGAAGCTGGACGCCCAGCGCGAGGAGGGCTGCCGTATTGAGGGTAGCCTGCGCGTGAACAAGGTCGTGGGCAACTTCCATCTCGCTCCCGGCCGCAGCTTCAGCAACGGCAACATGCATGTGCACGACTTGAAGAACTACTGGGATGTGCCTGAGGGCAAGTCGCACGATTTCACCCACACCGTCCACTCTCTGCGCTTCGGACCTCAACTGCCCGACGAGGTCACTCGCCGCATTGGCTCCAAGGCCGCCCTGCCCTGGACTAACCACCACATGAACCCCCTCGATGGCACCCACCAGGACACCAAGGACCCCAACTTCAACTTCATGTACTTTGTCAAGATTGTGCCCACCTCGTACTTGCCCCTCGGCTGGGACAGCTCCGCCCTCAAGCTTGGCGGCTTGCTGCAGGATGAGAAGACTGGCCTGGGAGCCTATGGTACTTCTGACGACGGCAGCCTTGAGACTCACCAGTACTCCGTCACTAGCCACAAGCGAAGCCTGGCTGGAGGCAACGACGCGGCTGAGGGTCACGCCGAGCGCCTCCACTCCCGTGGTGGTATCCCCGGTGTCTTCTTCTCCTATGTAAGTCTTAATCTCGACATCCGCTGAAGACGGAACTGGTAGCTAACATGGCACTAGGATATCTCGCCTATGAAGGTCATTAACCGCGAGGAGAGGGCGAAGAACTTTAGCGGTTTCCTGGCTGGTCTCTGCGCCATTGTCGGTGGAACTCTGACCGTGGCTGCTGCGGTTGATCGAGGATTGTTCGAGGGCGCCGCACGTCTGAAGAAGCTTCGATCCAAGGATCAGTAAATGGGAAAAGGACGAAACATATGCGGCGGAGTGGGAAGTAGAACTGGAAGGGCAAGTGTAAAGTTGTAAACTATATTACAGCCCACTGCAACATGCATAGGCTAGGCGTTCTGGAATAGCTGGGTTTTAGTCAAGACAGGGGTTTTTGGAGTTGATACATGGTCGCGTGCTCGTCTCCGGAGATCGGCTCTAAAAGTGATGTGCATGTTATTAGTGAAGCCCGAACCTAGCCAAGGCTGGCGATCGATCCTCTTGTCTTGCAAAACCGAAGCGGCACATGTATTGATGGGCAAGAGATGGAGCTAGGCGGGCGCCGGCAGTCGAGATGAGGCGATGACGGCGGGGTGGAATTGGGATCATCCGTCTAAGGCACCCTTCTCGATGTCGCACGGGCCTGGGCGAGGGATATGCGGCTGTTTCTCATTCATCAATTGCGCGTGCTCATTGGAATTGCTGAAGACGGGAGAGCTTCCATGACCAACTGAATCTACGGGCTAAACACGCCACCATGGAGGTGGCGGGGTTGTCATCTGTCGGATACGGGCTCATGGTTGGCCAGATAGACTTGGGAGATCCCAGACGGGGAGATGAAGATCAGATCAATTGCGATCACGTTGTGCACGCCAATGTATGCCCGGGACCAATTGATTCCGGTCCCACGAGGTTAGCTCCTGGATGGGGCATCTCTGGTCTCCCAATGGATACTGATTCCTGTGATATTAGGGGACGCGGCCACCTCAGCGCAGGGATCGTGGCTTGCGACGGGATGCGTGTCATTGGTGGGTGTTGCTCGGGGGCATGGATGAGATGACAGAGAGATGACATGTGCGAGGGCCCTGAAACAGATGAGCCAGTTGAAACTGGGGACCTGGGCTTGGTGACGTCGGCTGCAACAGGTTACAGTAGAGCTGCTTGCTTTGACGTTCGGTAGCGACAGGTCTTGCATGCCATTGCGCCCTGTGTGATTGGCTCAGATTGAGATGGGACGAACATTGGAAACTCCTGCGAAGAAGCTGGGTGGACGAGACTGTCTCGAGCTATTGAATCTGATTGAACCCTCGACGAGCCGGGGAACGGCATGGGTCCTCTCAAAGTCGCGTCTCCAGTCTTCCTGGAAGCGAGTAGACCCAAGATCAACCGAGCAAGGCAGGGTAGCCATCGATGACGACGGCTCCGGGCATCAGGGGACCGTTCGTGTTACTCAAAGGCGCCGCCCTGTCGTCAAATGTCGTGGAAAGGTGCCATCTCGATTATGCTGGACCCCGCCAGTATCGCGGCATTCCGTAGTGAGTTGTAACACAACTTGGCTTGGTTGGACAGGTGGATCGTCCTTTCGCTAGACAGTAGCCTGGCTGGGGGTCGGACAGGAATAGCAGTCAATGGCTATCTCCCGCAATGTCAGAAAGTTCCATTTTGCTGATCTCTCACTCGATGGACACGCATGCACGTTGCCTCTGGCTCGAGTTGGTCTTAGTGAGTTGGTGTTGTACTAGGCACTACGTTAGTGTCCTGGTAGGCTGCTGGAGTTGCTATAAAAAAACCATGCACCTGGGGCACAGCGGGCGGGAGCTGGCCCAGCTTGGGGGCTACGTGCTGTAATGTTAGTTGGCCTGACGCATCATAGAGGCGAGGTTGTGGACTGCGTGGTGGACTGCGTGGTGGCCACTGTGCGACAGGGGCAACTTTTGACATGCCCGTTTCTGTCTGGGTTGCATACCAGGGCTCGTAAATGGATCGCCACCTGCGACTCGAGCAAGACCGGACAGGTTTTAGCATGTCGGGAACGAGGTCGCCGAAGGCTGAAGGGAAAGGCGGAGGCGGCCTGACAAGGCACGGAGACACCTGGAAGGAGGCGATGAAGAGGCTCGGTCGACGATGCTCGCCTGTGAGAGGCTCGCTCCTGTTCCGCTGGCAGAGAGGCTACACAAGCCTCTGACAGACCTGGTAAGAAGAGGATCCTCAGGAGTCAGGTCCCCGTGTCGGCTGAGGATGACCGGGGGTTGCTGCAAGGCCGGGCTGTCAAAACCATCCACCACTCATCTGTCGTTGCGAAGGGGAGGGACCGAGGCCCGACCGGCGTGAGGCTTACCAGGCTCTCAGGAGGACCAGCCTCAGGCCCACAAGACTCGCGATATGTCGGTCCAAGGCGTCCTCGACTTCCACGGCCAACGACGAATTACAACAATGCGCCGGGACAGAGAGAAATGAGAGGTCATGGGACGGCCAATGTACCCCAGACCCAGTGGCCGCACAATCCCCTGCCGCACCACGGCCCAGAAACGGCTTGGACTCTGGAAGCTGGTGGAGTCGAAACAAGGATTCTGCGGGCCAAAGCTCCCCCCCGGAAGTTGAGAACTCGAGACCCAGACCAAACCAGAGCGACCAGGGGAGGGATTTGAGCCGATGGTGGAGAGATTGGAGAGAGGAAACCCCTTCCAGTGGCCGTTTTTGTTTTGTGTCACCCGTGTCACGCACAGAGGCCAACAACCCTGCTCGCCTCCCCCCTTTGCGCGCCAGCGCCTCTCTGCAGAGTGTGCAGCGGCAGCCGCCACTGTTTCTGATGATGGTGCTGCTACGTAGTCGTGCTCCGCAGAGATGCATCCGACATGTGCAGTTCCCTTTGGACGACGTCGGCGGCCATGATTCCCGTCTTTTGACCTCGTTAGCTCCGTCTCCACACCAAGGTTATTAGGCACCTAGTTCGTTTAGGGAGATACCGGTCCCGTTGGCGGGCTCTGGGGGGAAGCAAAAGACTCCTGGGTTGAGGGCAGCGGACCAAGGGGAAAAGGGACAAGCGCATTCATCCTGTGTCGTATAGACGTATACGGATAGCATACACACGGGTACGATAGGTAGTACAGTATTGGGGAGTGCTGCGCCGCCATGTCCTGAGTCGGGTTCATCGTTTCCTTGCATACCTGACGATCAACAACACGGTATCCTCCGCGTACTTGCTGGAAGAAGCATTGGGGCTTGGGAAGAGCCGATCAAGCACCCTCTGGTGAGTCGGTGCGCCGCATTGCAGCACTGCATATCAGCATTGCACAGCACAGACACCCGGTGGAGCAGACATGTGGGAGCCACCGAGCCACCGAGCCATCTAGCACTGAGCACGCTCCCCCCCTGGCCCGGCCTGGCCTGGGGCCTCATAAGGTACCCATGCTTTGCCATGCCATGGTGACCATCAGCATAACCAGGTGCTAATAAGGTAATAATGCCCCCTTGGAGTCCCCTGGAGCGCTGGCCGACGCTACTCGGCCGCTGGAACTTGGCCTTCGGAGGTTACACTGCACGTACCGCCCCCCCAGTGCGACCAGCAACAGCCAAATCAACAAGCCGACAAGACCTAATAAATCACATCCAACTTCCAAGGGCCCGTCATCTGTGACCCAACCGCGACCCATCTCTGACCCATCTGTGGCGTCCTCACACACCCACTTCTACCGTTCTACCGCTCTACCGCGCTGCTTCCCCCCATCCCATTCTCCTTGCCCGTCCCCATCCTGGCCGTTCTGCCCCCCTCCCTCTCCACTCTTTCCACATCGAATCCATCGTTGTTCTGCACTGTTGCACTGTTGCACTGTCCGAAGGGTAATTAATTGCCTTGTTTGGTTTGCGCTGGGGCGGTAACCTCCAAACCAAACAAGGCCGTGTCCCCAGAGCTACCGCGAGTCGCTGTACTCTACCAACCCAGGTACCTACCTTACCTACCTGTACCTTAAACCTTGGGGCCATTACGTCCTCTGTCCTACATCTTCCCGTTCTCTGGTCTCTCTTGTCTCTCTTGTCTCTCCTCAAGGCGTGCGTGCCATCATACACACCCAACACTCGTTTCTCCTTGTCGCTCTCCTCTCTTCCTGGACCGCCTTCGTACTGCCTTCGTCGACCGAACGCCTGTCGTCTTCTCTGTCGCCATTGTCGCCATTGCCGCTCGCCCGTACAGCCATTGCCGCTTCCATCATCATCGCCCCGTCACCCCACGAGACGTCGACGCATCAACAACATTGCACTGCTTCCACCATTCACACACCCACCAAACGTCACTCGCTCCCACCTCGTTCCATCGGCCGCATCCTTCGGCGCCTGCATAGCACAGCCAGCGCAACACCTTCTTATTTGGCCGCCGATCACTTCTGGCTTCGTTCCACCCAACCGTCCATCACTCGACGTCGGTCGCCTACCACCTGTCGCCTCCCAATGCCAACCGGCTTTACCTGACATTCGTTCCTTGATGCGCTCGTCATATTACTTCGCCTTGTCCGCCACTCCATCGTTCTCTAAGAGATAGCCCTTGGGCCTTACATTACGCTGCATCACCTGACGACCGTCAACACATATCCCAGCGCTACGACCCAACCGACACCAGACGACGAAGCCGCGAATTCCAGTCGTATCTTCTACTGCCGTACGAGCACATACTCAGTCGTATTCCTCTTGACTCTGGATCCCACCGATTTGCCTCTGCATGGAAACAACCCGTGCCGACTAACTAGGGCTCCAACATTGAGCAACCGACCATGGCATCACGCCCAACTCTTCTGGACCTGCGGTCCGATTCGCAGTATTCCAACCTTTCCAACATTTCCAAGCCTTTGCGCTCCCCTCGCCACCATGTCGCCGGCGAGGCACCCCCCGAACTCTCCCCTTTGGATGCTTTTGCCTTGCAGAGCCGATTACTTGCTAGACAGCTGCAAGAAAGCGCCAAGGAGGGCAACCGGATGAGCCGACTCCCACCTCTGACCGTAGAAAGCCCTCTGGTCGTCCAAGGCCGCTCCGAATACTTTCGCTCCATGTCCCAGGACTCTGCCTCCGAGAGTGGTGATTCCCCTGGCCCTAGTGCTTCCGGCCTTGGGCTAAGGACAGAGCTGGAGGACGCTTTCGCCGATGAGTCTGATCGTCCCAAGTCTATGCATCCTCGAATGAGCCGGATACCTCCCACGCCCGATGAGAACGTCCCCGCGATTCCTCCTCGTGATCCTTCTCGAGGCCGCAAGCTGTCGCAGATCGCCGAACCAGACCCGTTCTTTGGCGATGCCCGAAGAGAAAGATCTCCCTCGCCATTGCAAAGCGAGACTCAGTCTCACCAAGATCGACAGGCCGAAACCTCTCCCTCCCGAAAAGAAGACTCTCTTTTTCTGCCCTCGCAGCAACCCAATGGCTCTATCAGTGGCTCCCCTGAGAGATACAAGCAACACTCATTTGACGAGCTGGGTTTGGCCCCTCCTCGTGCTCTATTTCCCAGGAGATCCTCGAGCATCATGTCCTCGCCGCTGTTGCCAACCGACGAGGAAGGTTCCGGCAACATGTCTGGCTCATTCCATTCCCTCCCACCTCGAAAGCTCTCTTCTGGAAGTGCCGCGTTTATCAACCCAATGATGTCGCCGGCCCTTGGGTCTTTCCGGAGATCGCCTTCTGTGGGCTCGGACTCCTCCGCTCTACCTCGGCCGTCGTTTAACTTCTCGCGCCCGATGAGTAGATCTGGAACTCCTGCCATGGATTCTCCTTCCAGACAGGCGTCCTCTGATAGCCAGCCGTCCTTCATTTTAGCTGACGATGCTGCTTACACACCCGTGAGCATGCATAGTGAGGCCTTTCTAGACTCACAAACTGATGACAAGGGAGCACCCTCGTACATATACTCGAAGTTCTCTTTGCCCAGAGGAAAGACGCTTCAACGATCGGAGGACGACGAGCAGCTAGAACAACATGAGCATCCCATGCAACCGATGCAGGCGACGCACCCACAAGCATCCTTTCATTGGGAGCAGCCGATGATTCCTCCAAGCAACGTTCAGCGTATCAATACTAATATTCCCCCATCGCCACCCCACCGGCCATCCAGCTCATCTTCAAAGACAGTCCCTGACGATGCCCTTATTCCCCTCAGCCCGCTACCGAGACCATCCACGGAGCTCAGGAAAGTGCACTCTGAGAACTCGCCTTCAGTGCCTTCATTAGAACCGTCACCCAGCCTGGGCATAGGACGCGCATCTGAGGATTCCCCCAGAGGCCGGGGCAGAATGCCAGTGTCCACCAACACAAGTGACACGGCCAGCACTATACGACCCCCGCCCACGCCTCGCTCAGTGGCGCCAACCGCCTCTGAGATGTCTGCTGAGGAACATTTGGCCAAGGGAATAGAGTGCCATGAGAACGGCTCACTAAAAGAGTCTACGTATCATCTTCGGTATGCTGCTAGGCTGAACGACCCCACTGCAATGCTCCTGTATGCGCTTGCGTGCCGCCACGGGTGGGGCATGCGTGCAAACCAGAAGGAGGGAGTTGAGTGGCTCAGGAAAGCCGCAGAATACGCCAGTGTCGAAATCGCAGATGGCGAGGATCAGGTCAAGGAGGGCAAGCATGTTGATGTTGTTGAAAGAAGGACGAGGAAAGCTCAGTTCGCCCTGAGCATCTATGAGCTTGGCGTGAGCCATATGAATGGATGGGGTATCGATCAAGACAAATCACTGGCCTTGCGATGCTTCGAGATCGCCGGTAGTAAGTATTTCCGATCAGATCCCCCGTGTTCTGTACTAACACTTGCCAGATTGGGGCGATGTGGATGCTCTAGCTGAGGCCGGGTTCTGCTATGCACAGGGCATTGGATGTAAGAAGAACCTGAAGAACAGCGCCAAGTTCTACCGAATGGCCGAGGCGAAAGGAATGAGCATGGTTGGTAACAGCTGGTAAGTCTTGAGTTGTTGAACTGTAAATAACCAATGACTAATCTATGTGGCAGGATCCACAAAGCCAAGTACAACGAGGACGACACAGATGCAGCCAAGAAGGACAAGAAGAAGGCTCGGAGCAAGTCCCGAACCAGAACCATGTTTGGCCGGAAGTAAAGCCGAGGGCCAACACCATCGACATCACCAACACACCTACATAATGATCATGAACTCTAACATACCCATCTAATCGGAGTTTTGGGCGGCTGTATCACATCACATTGAAGGTTTCTGGCATCTGAGGATGGACCTTCAATGTGCTATTTGCACTACATTACACACATCTTGACATAGCACACACCAAGCAACTTTCATCTTGAGGTTGCTAAGGAGAACGAAGGGCCAATTGAGCATTGGGACTAATCGCTTCTGCGTTTGTGGGTGCTTATTGCAAGGGGACATAGCGCTGATTTATCCCCGTACGGTCGTACGGGATGGCTTTTTAGGTTGCAAAACAACCTGGTGCGCGGTCACGCACCATCCAGGTTTTTCTTGTTCATCTTTTGTACCGTTTCTTTTGCACATAGAGGCATTTTGGAGGGAATAAAGGCCGTGTACAGGAAAGCACGAGACTCATCGTTTTTGGAAGGGGTTTCATAGGTGCGATCATGGAGACTATTGCAAAAGTGCAGTTGCCGTATCACAATCCCGGATCAAATGAGGACCAATTCAGTGCTCCAGTTTCTAGCTTGCCTGAATGCGTTATTGTTATTACAAAGCCATGCGCTCCCCATCTAGTAGCCCAAGCGGATCCAGCCCATTTAGGTGTCGACATCCATCTTCTCGTCGTCAAGAGGCACTTCCTCCACGGTGACGTACCGGCCGATATCGTTCTTCTTGATAACCTTCTCGTTCAGCACCGCTGTCGTGCCCTTGGGGAAGGCATAACTTTGCAGCTTAGCACTCTTCTCGTTGGGCTTGATGTAGTTCCGCTTCAGCGTCGTCTTGTCCTTGGTGATGATGGCGACATCCACGTTGGATCCGGAACCCAAATCGTTGAAGATACCAGCCATGATGGCGTCACTGGTCAGCTTGATGGCATCCGCCTCGGTCATCTTGGGCTTCCACTGGGTCTCGAACACACTCATGGCCGCCAAGCTACCACTGCCCATGGTGACGTAGGGCAGCTTGTCGGTGCTGCCGTGTGCGTGGACGGTGAAGAGGTGGGTGCCGGTGGGGTCGCAGCCAGCGACGACCAGGTAGGCGCCGATATGGCCCTGGTACCGGAAGAGGTGCTGCTTGAGGAGGGTCATGCAGGTGACGACGCGGGGTTTGCGGCCGGTGGAGAGCGAGTGCAGCTCGAGCTGGGAGGAGATGAGGGCGGTGGTGAACTCAGTATCGGCGGCGGTACCGGCACCGGCACACCAGATCTGGGGGGAGATGTAGTGGAGCTTCTCGCAGTTCTTGTCGGCGACGATGGGGCCAGAGGTGGCTCGGGTATCGGCTGCAATCTGTTGATGGAGTGTGTCAGTGCTGCTGTGCTGCGCGAGGGCGGAGCTGTTGTCGTTGGGTAGTGAGATGGACGGCCATCAGGACTCGGTGGGAAGCTCGGCATTTGGAGTTGAATAGGCAGGGAGAATGGGAGGAGGAGCACATACCACGACACCGCCGTCAAAAATGCATCCCACGATGGTCGTACCAGTGCTGGTCGCCTTGGGGAGCGGTACTCCTCGGGCGTGGAGGGCCGCATTGCGGTTGTAGTTGGAGAAGTCGAAGCCTGGCATCGTGGATGACCTCGTTCCCCCGGTTTAAAAATCCAATTCAGGCGTGTGTATAGAGTCGTATTGGAGGCGGAACGTCAGGGACGTCAGTCGTGGCAGATGAAGAACTTTGGGGTATCGTCGTGGGCGGTCGTTGCAAGTGCGAGTTGAGGTTGACAAGGCAGAGCTGATGACGAGGCTAAAAGCTGCCTCCAGACGCACACACACACGCAGTTGAGCTTCCCGCGAGAGACACGCCCCCATTGGCTAGCCAGCCACCCACCAGGCTGCACTCAGGGGTGGCTCGAGCTCCACCCACGTGATGTAGGAAGGAGCTTCCCAAAAAGTTGCTGGCTGGGGGAAGGCGCCGCGACGGGAACGGGTTTGCAGGCGCATTTTGTTGCGAAGTCATTTAACCTTGTTTTTCTTCTCAATAAATCTCAACCTCAATCGATTCCCCCGAAACATCCACAACTAGCCACCGGATCCCCACCGTCTCGTTGATTCCTAGGCGCTTTTCATTGCTGGGTTCGCAGCGCCAGCGCTGGCCAATCACGTTGCGCAGCGCCGTCCCAGAAGCACGGGTCCCCAGATTATTGCCCATCAGCCAGCCGCGCGACAGAGAGCTGATCCCCCGGTCGCCCAACCCGCCCCATGCGAAGGGCAAATTTATGAACTTCGGGTCCTCTCTCCACGGCCGGCTACTTTGCTTCAGTCATGGCTTTCAGCTTTGGCAACTCCGGAAACGCCATGCTTGGAAGTGCGGCGGGAGCAGGAGGACTGAATACAGGACCTGATTTGGAGACTATCCAGACAGAGGTGAGTCTGCTCCTTGCATGTTGATTTCGTTGTATGCCTGCCTGTTTGTTGGCCAAGTATCCTGACCATGATCTCGACGCGCAGGCTCTCGGATTCCTCTCCATCGCTGGCGACGCGAAAGTTCGTCTAACCTCATCATGGCCGTCTCTACCTTCTTCGACTGCGTCGCTCCTCAGCATCGCCTCTCGAAAGAGCCTGGTCGCCGCCGCTGGACCCGACCAGGTCATCCTCGCCACGACAGAGTCCGTCCGTAAAGCCTTCGAAACCCCCAAGAATGGCGACTCCGACATTCGCGGGTTCCAGCCCCAGCTCAAGATCCCGATGCCGATGCGCGTCTCCCAGCTCTACTTCACAGCTGATGAGAACTACTTGATCCTGTCAGCTGAAACCGGTGGTGGCCTGGCCGTCTACGAGGTGCAGAGCCTTCTCCAGAACTCGACGAACTCTGCCTTCGAGCTGTCAACAAACGGCGAGACCTTGAGGGCGTTGATCCCTAACCCGACGCCAGAGAAGGCAGAGCTTTGTGCCATCGTGACGAACAATGGCAACTTGCACATGGCGAACTTGAAGGAGAGGACGATCAGCAACCCTCTCAAGACCCAAGTTAGTTGTGTCAGCTGGAGCGCCAAGGGCAAGCAACTATGCGCCGGTTTGGCGGACGGTACGGTGCATCAGATGACCCCGGAAGGAGAAGGAAAAGCAGAGATTCCTAAACCACCCAACCTGGGCGACTGTCATGGTAAGTTCGGCGGAAGTCAGATATGGGCACTCGCTAACCTTTGTGACAGTGTCAACTCTTACGTGGTTGGAAAACAACTTGTGGCTATCGATTCATACATCCAACAACGCGTCGCCGCCGACGTCCACGTATCACATAATTACTCGCCAACCACCGTCCTCGTTTACTTTCCAAAAGCTTACCGATCCCGTTGAGCCCTTTGGTTCAGAGAAGACCCCCCACCACTCGATTTTGCGACTTCGGGACTTCCCACCTGCAATGCAGGACCTTCTCATTGTGTCCTCCACTGCAGCGACTGAGATGGGAGTTTTGAGTCGTTCGAGCACGGCTCTGGCTACCGACAAGCCCGCTGAATCCATAACCGGCGTCTTCACAACAACGGAGTTCTTGGACGATACTAAGCGACCGACGCTTCCAATGACGGATTCCATGGACGACTCTACTCCGGTCGGTGTTGCGCTGGATTTGTCAGGCAAAGACAAGGTCTACAAGCCAATTCCATCCGACGTGGAGCTCGAGGAGTCACCAGGACCTCTCCCCGGATTCTGGGTCCTGACCCACGAAGGTGTTCTTTGCTCGTGGTGGGTGGTCTACAACGACTCCATCAAGCAAGGGAGCACGTACCCGGGCCTAGCCGCTGTGGAGGGAACCGGTTCCGCTTCTGCGCCAGCGCCTGTGGCACCTGTGGTGACTTCTGCATCCCCATTTTCCAATGCTGGCGCCTCGGCCTTTGGTTCGTCCGCAAATGCTCCTGCTGCATTTGGTGCCTCATCTCAGCTCGGTCAGAAGTCTTCTCCATGGGGAGGCGCTGGCGCTTCCGCCGCGGCACCTAGCACAGGTGGCGCAACATTCGGTTCAAGCACCTTTGGTTCACCCAGTTCCGCAGCCCCAGCGTTTGGCAAGCCAAGTGCTATTGGCTTTGGCCAGTCCTCTCAGTTGGGCGGAAAACCGTCCCCATGGGCGACTGCATCTGTCGGCACCGCTCCAACTTCAACCTTTGGACAGTCCGGTTTCGCCGGCTTTGCGAAAAGCGACAGCAACAAGAGCGCATTCGGCAGTGCATTGACCTCATCCCCATCGGCCACACCCTCATCAGGAGGTTTTGCGGGCTTCTCTGGCCAAGGTGGCTTTGCGTCCGTGGCGAACAACAATAGCAGCACTGGTAGCGTTTTCGGCAGCGCAACTAAATCATCGAACCCATTCGGATCCAGCTCCAACGCAGATACTGCTTTCCCGCCCCGGCAAGATAAACCTTCTGGTGGTCTCTTTGGCTCTACTCCTTTCAAGCTCGAGAGTTCGTTTAAGCCGGATCCATCTGCGAAGGAAGACAACGCCAAGCCAGCTCCGTTGTCTGGATCCTCTTTGTTCGGCAATGCCTTTGGCTCGGCCCTGACCGATGCAGCTAACAAGCCCGCGGTCTCGACGCCCACTACTGCTACTAAGGATGAAGAGATGGATGCGACGGAAGAAACCCCGCAGGCCAAGTCGAAGTCATCGTCGCTGTTCCCTGCACAGTCAAGCCCCGAGTCTACCACTCCCACATCAACTCCTGCCCCTTCAAAATTTGGCTTTTCCACCACACCTGCCCCTACGACATCATCAATCTTTGGTCAACCCTCGAAGTTTGGTGCCTCTAGCGGTGGCGGTGGTCTCTTTGGTGGCTCGAAGCCGGACACACCGAAGCCGAGTGGAGGTTTGTTCGGATCACAACAAACAACCCCTAAACCCAGTGGTGGTCTGTTTGGGCAAACCCCCAAGCCAAGTACCTACACTGGCATATTTGGTCAGAAGTCGGAGATGCCTAAACCCGCTGAGGATAAGAGCCAAGGAATGGGGGCACCGCAGATCAAGTTGGAGGAAGAATCACCGCTCCCCCCTGACTCCACCAGCCGGAGTGCCTACCCCATCGGCGATTCATCGTCGTCGTCAGCGACATCCAACGCCCCCAGCCAGCCATTTGGAGCATCGACCGTCTATTCTGATCCGGACTCGGCCCCGCTCCCGCCGGACTTCTTGTCGGCACCAAAGGCCGCTAAATCTGGGACAGATGCTCCCTTGCCTCCCGACTTCACCAAACCAAGCAAACCTACTGATGCTCCACTGCCGCCGGACTTTGTCAATGTTTCTAAGCCCGCTGCTACATCTAAAACCCCGGAGGATGCTCCTCTGCCACCTGACTTCTTGAAACCATCGAAGCCTGCGGCTTCAAATTCAAAGGCAAATGATGCGCCCTTGCCTCCTGATTTCGCCGTCCCGAAAGTGCGGTCCAAAGAGCCTTCCATGGTTCCCTCAGTCCCCGAGAGCAGCGATGATGACAGTGACTTGGACGAAGATGAGGACGATGATGCATCGGAAGGCAGTGGCATAGATGTCGCAAAGGACCTGAGCCCTAGTACATCTGGTCTTACCCCTACTCCAGGATTGACACCACAGAGTTCCTTTGGTGGCATAGGCGGAATAACTCCTGCCAGCATTAGACCAGGTCAAGAGACATCTCGCCCTCTCTTTGGTGAGCTCAGCCGCAATGCGCCTCTGTTCCCGCGACCAACTGCGACCAGCCCCCGTTCTCCAAGCCCTATCCGCGGTGCGGTGCCTAACCGCGTCATTCGGACTGATGCCACGAGATCAGTCAGCGCCCCTGGTATGGCGTCACAGCTTTTGGGAGCCAGGAAGTCTCAATTTGGATCCTCCATTGTCAATCGGGAGCCTGCAGCCCCTGCGGATGATCCGTTCATGGTTCAACATAGGAAGATCAAGGCGCGCCAAGAGGCCGAGGAGACCCAGCCGTTGGTCGATGAAGAGGATGACGAAGTGCAGAAGATCCTTGCATCTGAGGTTGAAGGCACCTTGCGTCTGCATGAATTCATTGCTCATTCAAACATGGCACCGCCCGCGAAGGAAAGTGTTCCAAGTCAAGTTGAAGCAGTCTACCGCGACATCAACTCGATGATTGATACGCTTGGTCTGAACTCTCGAACTGTCAAGTCGTTTATCAAAGGAAACACGGAAGACTGCAAGGAGGGTGGTCGTAACAAAGATGACCTGGAGATCTCTGACGACTGGGTTCTGTGCGAAATTGACGATCTGGGTGAGGTCCTGGACACTGAATTATACCCCGACCTGGAGAATGGACGAGTTCGTGACTTGGCCGATAAGCTCGAGGCATGCCAAGAACTTTCCAGGGAAATGCACCGTCTCCGCGCCAAGCAGGGTGATCTTAAGCAGATCATTATGGTCAGGTCGGACCCAGATCAGGCTGATGTCACACGGTCCCTACCGCTCAGCGCTGAGCAAGCGACCCAGCAGAACGAGTTGAGACGGGAATTTGCCAGGTTCTCGAAGCTGCTAGCTGAAGCCGAAGAGGCCCTCACTCTACTCAAGACTAGAATTGTCACAGTGTCAAGTGCTTCAGGCAAGGGCAAGGCGAATGTGCCAACTGTGGAAGCTGTGCTTCGCACCATCACCAAGATGACTAGTATGGTTGAGAAGCGAAGTGGAGATATTGACATGCTGGAGAACCAGTTGCGAAAGGTTAACATTGGCTCTACAAACCGAGAAGGCTCGCCCATGACCCCCCAGGGGAGGAAGAGCGTGATGTTCTCGCCCGAGTCTACACCAGTGCGAAACCCGCGCCACAGCTTTGCTGGAAGCATCTCGCTCGGAGCTTCGGTGAGGGCGACGCCACCACGGAAGAAGCTGAGTGGATTCAGCAGGGAGGAAAAGGGTGATTTGATGGAGAAGAGGACCCGCAGACAGGCCGTGCTCCAGAAACTGAAGGGAAGCGTCGAGAAGAAAGGTGTCAATGTATGGACCATGGAGGATATTGAATAAACAACAGCGCACTGGGTCGAGAATGATTTTGGGGATGAATGGGACATGAAGAAACTGTAGTCTAGATATTAGATAGTGTATCAATGGCCGGAACGAATATATTTCCGAGATATTTCAATCCCTGGGTTGCCCATTGCGTTTGGGTAAACGAGGGATAGTATGGGTGATTGTTGAAGAAGTGAAATTAATTGCAAATTATGTACTGAGAACTTGACATGCCCGTTGCCCAACTCCTGAATGAACATGACACTCAATTCCATGGCCTTTTCAATTTCGGGAACATATCAAACGGTGGGCGCCGAAGGTCGAATGGGGAGGCTGTTATTGTTTTGGACCTCTGTCGCAACCTGGACCTTGGAGGCAGAGGGTCGCTCGTTCGAGGAAGACTTGGAAGGGATGCGTGGAGCTTGTCTAGGCTGTTCCTCCAGCCTGCGTTCGAGCTCTTCCTTGGGTGTGCCACTAGAGAGTTGTCAGGATATTTTTCTGGTATGGGTGAAAATGAGGAGCCAAGACATACACAACGCGGCAGAGCATGGTGGCGTGGTAGTGGTAATGCAGGAGGATTGGGATTGAGATTGGGTCGGTTTATGGCGTGACTGTTCAGGAAGAATTGGACAAGACACTCAAGAATCACTGCCGAAAAAGCTGAGGTCGGAGGAAGGGAAGGGCCTCGACTTAAATACCATCCGACTTACTTAGGGCTGGATCCTCATAGCTCCTCTACTTGGTCTAGACCTCCGATTGATTCGGGCAATGGTGCGCAGCAGGGAACATGGCGTGTCAAGTGTTTGCGAGAGAGGCGTCGCTGACGTCGACTCGGGCCAATGGCAATGCAATTGGATATTCAGGGCGGACGCTTGCTACACCGGCATCTCTGCCGGTTCAACCGGAGACGGCGAGGGGTCAGGTGGCATTTTAATCGATGTGGTTGACAAGCTCGATGATTGACGCTGATCTTGTGCTTGGGGCTGTCGAGACGGGGTGTGAGTGGCGGCACGGGACATGCATGGATGATCGCATGTTAAGGTAGCACTACGTAGGGTGTTCGAGGACTACCAATTGAGCCCCCGCAATGGAGAGAGAGCTCCGATGAATGAACGAGGTCACCGGAGTCTGCTGGTACGCCCAACCCGGGCCCATTTATCCATCCCATGGTGCTCTTGGTGAGTCAAGAGTGTGTACTCGCTCGTCTGCGGGTGATCATTGTGCCACCGATGATGAAAACCATGACGTGTCGAGCTCAGAGTCCAGGTACTTCTCCTCCGTGTACGCTCTGGAATCGAGCATGTAACTTCAAGCCGGACTCTTGCACCGGCATGTGGAGCCCCGGTTCGCATCCGGGATGGAGCCGACCTCTCGGTGAGCAGGTGTGGGAACCTCGGTGTGGGTCCCACCCGCCGTCGTAGCGCATTTTCTTTCTTTCTTCACCTGGGCCTTCACCGTGGAGGGGCATCAAAAAATTATTGTTTCCCCCATCACCAGCCCGCTCTCGCATCCTCACCTTGAGCCGAGCCGAGCAAATCCACGCACGCGCCCAGCTCTCACCATGCATCCCACACAGCAGGCTGCGTGGAGGAACACTCCCGACGAGGCGGAGATTGCGCGCCGTCAGGTAAGACGCCCCAATGCCCTCGTCGCAGCGCCCCGGCTAACCCGTTCGCAAAGACGGTCGGCATCAACCTTGAGACGGTCAGCAACAACATTTCCACCGACTACCCGGGCCACTTCCCGGGCGAGGACCTCGAGTTCACTATCGAGCGCTTCCGCAAGGCCTTCTCCGTCGACTTCCACCAGAACGACCAGTTCCTGTCCTCCTTCTCCCTCGTCGGCATCGACGCCTCGCTCTCCAACGCCTTCCGCCGCATCCTCCTCTCCGAGATCCCTACCCTCGCCATTGAGAATGTTTACATCGAAAACAACACCTCCGTGATCCAGGACGAGGTCCTCGCCCACCGTCTCGGCCTCATCCCCTTCAAGGGCGGCCGTGAGGGCCTCCTCAACTTCCTTAAGTGGCACAAGAAGCCCGAGGCCGGCGAGGACCCCTACGCAGGCTGCTTCGACTATAACACGGTCCGCCTCGAGCTGAATGTCGAGTGCACCGTCAACCCGGACGCCGCCCCGACCGAGAATGATCCCCTCAAGGCCTACAACAACGCCCACATCTACGCCAAGGACATCGTCTTCGTGCCCACCGGCAAGCAGGACCAGTACTTCAGCGGCGAGAACGCCATCGCGCCGACCAACCCGGACATTCTCATCGCCAAGTTGCGACCCCGTCAGTCCATCAACCTTGCCATGCATATGCACAAGGGCATCGGCTCCGACCACGCCAAGTTCTCCCCTGTCGCCACGGCCTCCTACCGATTACTCCCCACCATCACCATCACCAAGCCCATCCTCGGCGCTGATGCCGAAAAGTTCGCAAAGTGTTTCCCCAAGGGCGTTATCGGCCTCGAGAAAGTCACCAAGAAGGAGGCGGCCCAAAAGGGTAGTGGGTATGAGGGCCAAGAGGGCCAGGCCAAGGCCGTCGTGGTGGATGCCATGAAGGACACCGTGAGTCGCGAGTGTCTGCGACACGCCGAGTTCGAAGGGAAGGTCAAGTTGGGCCGAAGGAGAGACCATTTCATCTTCTCCATTGAGAGCACGGGGCAGTGGGATAGCGATGAGCTCTTCCTTGAGTCCGTCAAGCATCTGAAGCTCAAGTGCAAGAAGCTCGAGCAGCAGGTCATCAACATGGCGCGGTAGCCAGCTGGGGTGTTATTTTGCTTTGTACTATAATTTTCTTGGCTTTTTCTTTCGCTCATTTGCGGGTAGATAAAAAGGGATGATACCATGACCACTGCTTTATGTCCGGCTTGACCGCAGCGTCTTTACTACGTGAACATGGCATGCTCCTCTAGTCTTGTTCATCTCATCTTGTCTCGTTACAAATCTCCAACGCCAGAAAATGCCCCAAAACTCGAATAAACGCCATTTTCCATCTCGTTTTTGTTACCACTCAGGAGTCTGCCTTAAACTTGAGGAAGAAATTGAACTCGAGAGGGAATGCAGGATCCGTGACGACGACCTGCTGGCCGTTCTCCAACCCCAGATCGTTGAGTGTCTTGTCCAGATTGTGGCGTGTTTGCTTCTCTAGACTTGGGGGAAACTGCATGTACAGCGTCTTGCCCTCGGCTCGGATAGAGGGCTTCTTCAGCTGGGCTTCGGGTCGCAAGGCGAGTGAGTCAAGAAGTTCCTGGAGCGTAGCCTTGGGATCAACCTCGAGGGGGCGGGCCTGGCGACCACATACGGGGCAGTCATCCTTCTTCTCATGCTTGAAAGTGTAGGTGTAGATGCTGTCGTTGCCAGAGTACATCATGTAGTTGTTTTCGAAGCCCAGGCAGGGCGCCGAGGTGGTGGCAATCTTGAAGGCCTCATTACAGCATGCTGCGGCAATAATGGCGTTTGTAGAGGCGATGGCAGGGATAATGTTCTTGATGGTACCTTGGGTCAGTGAGTAGGTGACACCGGGAATGCTAAACTCTTGGGCGCGGGTCAGGGCCTTCTGGTAGAGCCAGCTGACGTGCTCCGGGTCATCCTTATCAAGCTGAGGGAACGGCTTCTCCTGTTCCCACGCAATGACGTGTGCCCATTCGACGCAGTGCTCGGGCTGTCGAGGGATCGAGGCAATGGTGCAGAGTGGGACTGCAGCGCGTGGGGCGTGCATGTCAAGCTGGCACTCAATGCAGGAAGTGATGGAAGGGAAGATGACCCGAGCCTGACCCTTGAAAGCCTCGGTGCCTCCGTCGATGAGAGGCTTGATCGCATCGGGGTCCTCGGCCTCTTCGGCAATGGATACAAGCATGGCGTTGATCCACCGGCGTGCCTCGATGCTGTCTAAGCCGCAGACAACGAGCTGGAACTGCTTGTAGAACTCCTCGTCAAAGTCCTGGATGCGGTTGTTGTGGGCAGTGATCTTGACTCCTTCAACACGCTTCTGGACGAACTCGGCGGCGACCTCGGCCTTGAATTTGCCCACGTCAGCCTTGCGGAATAGGAACTGGCGGTTCAGGTTGGAAATGTCGATGGTATCTGACGGGTGCGGTGAGCGGATCGTCTCGCAGCAACAGGGGAGAGCAGCGCTAACCCATGTCTATGACGTGAATCTCCTTGAAGTGCGACATGGCGAGATTCTTGAGAATCTCGCACCCTAGTCCGCCGGCGCCGCTGTGTCGTTGGGTCAGTATTTTGGGGAGGTTTGCGATCGAGGCGGGGATGGACCGACATGACCCTAGCTATTGTTAACGTAGTCCCTAGAACATCCTAAGTCGGAACACATACAGGATCTTGAACTTTTCGAACTGGGCGAGGAATTCATCCTCCGTAGCCCCCGGATCCGTGAAAGGACCGGCATTTCGGCGGATGTGGTCGAGGTACTTCCTGGGGCAGGGTCAGGTTGGATGTTCGCTGAGCTTGGCTCCGTTGGGGATCAGCGAGTTTACCATCGCGCATCTCGGCTGCCGGCGCCAGCATCGGCTGCTGCTTGAGTCTCCACACTCATCTTACAGAGACGAGCGGCCGGATTCAGGATTCGGGGGATGCGATGTCGTTTGTCGTGGATAAGCGAGGGAGTGTTGGTGGAGGAGCAGCTCCGAAGTGGGATCCGTGCACTGGAGGAGGAGCGTCATAAGCTGCTTCGGTGAGATCCAGGTGAAGGTGGGGTGCTGCTCGGTGTGGGAGCTGCCTATGGGGAATTTAGGAGCTTCCGCGCCCACTTTGACCAGTTGAGTGACCTTCATCTTTCGAAGACTTAACGACTTTTTGTGGCTTCCGCCGATTAGGAAATTCCAACGCATGCCGAACTGGAACCCTACCATGTCCTGAGAGCCAACGATAGACTGACTGGCTAGACAGTGATCATGGACGAACTACTCACGCCCGTCAGCACGACGTATCTCAAGCCCAGAGACGAGCCGGAGCTGCTTCTTACAGAGGTCAAACCCACTGCGCCAACGCACGCAACTGAGAGGAACCGCGCCGTGTCTTCAGCGGAAGATGCTCTAGATGTGCTCAAGAACCAGCCAGACTACGACACGCTCATCGAAGTCCTCAAGTTTCTCACCAGTCGCAAGCCTGGAGCCGACGGTTTCCGATTCCACGTCCCAGGTCCTAAAAGCGCTGGGATTGTGAGTCTCTTGATCTCTGAAATCGCCCCCAACTATTGGACACTGCTTCTCGAGGGATCTTCCGACGATGGTACACATCCAGGAGGATCAAGACCACCGGATGCAGAGCTCTTCCTCAGTTGCCTGCGCAGCGTTACTGGCCTCAACGCCGCCATCGCCCAGATCAAGGCCCTAATCCAGGAATCGCGAGTCGGCGGTAAGGAAGCCAAGCGCATGGATGTTTCTTTGAACCTGAAAATCCTTTTGGACTTATTGGCCGCCATATTACATGGCGACGAGTCGGTTCATGACATCTGGACCTCCTCGACCCATGGCATTTCTAACGTTTCCATGAAGAAGGCCCAATCACAGAAACTCGGTTCGCTCCTCGCCAACGGGCAAATCGCTTCCGTTTCTGCCGAGGCCTTGGCTGTCATGGAAAACGATGGAGTGCGTCCCGAGGCTCAGTGGATCGCTGATGGTGTTGAGTATAGCAAGTGGGTGGGACGCAACATTGCAACCTGGGCAAAAATGCAGACCAAGGAAGAGGAGTTGAGCTTTTGCTCTGATTTATTTCAGCGATCTTTATCATTAAGCTATTCGGGTAAGATAACCAGCTACTTTCTTTGCTTGGCGCTGACGATCTCTCCTTAGAAACTCTCATCAAGGTCGTCATCGATAGCCTTCTCCTCACCAAGAAGAATCCTAGCTCAATCTTCATACAAGTGGCCTTCTCTCAACCTCGGAATTCCAAAAAGATCCTCAACATCCTACTACACTACCTTTCCGAAAGGTTTCTGACTCACATCACTCTTGATGATGTCTCGCAAAATGAGACGGTGTCTGCCATTGCCACCATCATCCAACGTGTCGCCATGGATGACGAGGCCAGGAAAAATCTGCTAATTAACTGGTGTGCTTCATCATCCGGTGCCGGTCTTGGTGCAGGGATAGGCATCCGACGTGCTGTTTTGGCAGCGCTGGCGCAAGATAGAGAAGCAGTTACAACTGTGCTCGCGAAAAGTCTTGCCCAGTTTGGCGATGAACTCTACATAAAGCATGCTGCGATGTTGCAACAGAATGGTAATCAACCCGTTGTAATCCAGAATATAACACACTGACAACGTGGCTAGTTCACACAGAAGTCTTGCTCCTTGCAGCAGGCTACGTATATAGAATCTCGCCAATCAAACTGACGATGCTCTTGAGAACCGGTTCATATTTAAGCACCATATCGAATCGAATCGGCGCAACTCAGATGAGAGCACGCTTTCTTGGTATGGTCGTGGGAGAATCTCTATCTGCGCTTATCGACAATAAAGAAAAGAAACTAGACTTTCATATGGAGGAAACGGACACAGATGAAGCGCAGCAACTGAAGAATCTCACCAAAGTTTCCGATAAACCCGATTCAGTCGACCATATTCTGTCTGACACTCATACTCAATCAATATCCCAGCATCGAAAGCCTGCTGGAACGATATCAAAATTAGCCACGAGAAAAACAAAGCCGAAGCCGCCGATCGCGACCGGAAAACCAAAAGCCATTATCCAGGAGATTGACTCGTCCGATGATGGGGATGAAGACGACCTCGTCCCCTATGGTAAAGACACTGATCCTGAAGACTCGGATGACGATGCAACCCTCGTTCAGCGAAACAAAATTAAGGCTCCGGTATATGTCCGTGACCTCATAACCTACCTTCGCGACTCAGAGACCTACGACAAGCAGGAGCTCGCTATCCAGGAGGCGCCTATACTCATCCGCCGGAAGGCCAACTACGGCACCGAATTGACCTCCCACGCTGACGAGCTGGCTGGGCTGCTCGTGGGACTTCAGGACAAGTTTGAGATTGATGACTTCAACGATTTACGTCTCCAGGGAATGATTTCCCTCGTTGTCTCGCAGCCTAAGACAATGGCGCCTTGGTTCGCGCGGACATTTTTCGAGGGCGATTACTCTCTGTCCCAACGGACAACAGTTCTCATTACTTTGGGGCTGTCCGCGCGTGAGCTGGCCGGGTTTGAAGTATCGAAGCATCAGTCTGCAACTGCGTTTCCATCGAAGCGACTACCTGAAAAGATGGAACAGTTGTACCTCGATTCCTCGAATACACCCCAGGCCCTCTCGAGCTCCCAACTCAAAGCACTCCCATCCAACGCCATCGACACCATCGCCCAGTCACTCACATCCTCCTTTCTTGCTCCCCTCGCCGCAGAGGCTGCGGATACCAACACGGGTCCCGATGTGCTAAAGCTTCAGAGCTTTACGGCTCGGTACAAGTCAACCGCCAAGGCCAAGCCGCGGGTTCGCGCCATCCCTAACACTACAGCCGCATTGCTCGCCACGGCTTTCTTCTCCCCGCTTACAGCGCACTTCCAAGTCGCCCTTCGGTCCTCGAAGCCTCTAATATTGAACCCTGCTCTCCTGGCGCTTTATCTCCAAACCCTTGGTATCGTCATCCATGCCGCAGGCCCCTCGACGCTCTCGCTCCTGCAGCTTACTTCCGAGCTCTGGGACCTTTTACTCGCCGTGAGAGTCCATGTGTTGGGCGATGTGGGTGCCTTGAAAGGCTGGCTGGTAGCCATGGCGTCTCTGTTGGAAGTCAATAGAGGTGACATGCAAAAGCTGTGCCAGAGCCAAGGAAGGGAAGTTATGGAAACACGAGAATGGGTGGCGGTAGTGTTTGAGAGAACTAGGGGAGATGATGGCGGAGAGGAGAATGAGGTCAAGATGCTGGCTGCAGGAGTGCTCATCAGGATCGGCGAGGCGATTGAGAAGTACCAGGCACTGTTGATGGGGGATATGATTGGTTTCACCTGAGGACAGGTAATCGACATTCGGAACAGTGTACCCAAATGAAATTTGATATGATGCATTCTTGATATATCGTGTTGTGACTGTCGCTACTAAGTCATAAATCGCATAAGCCAACGCCCATCGCAGACCCAAATCCAATCCATCCTATTAAGATATTTGCCGGCTCCTTTTCCTGAGCAGATGATCGCTTCTAATGATTGTAACCAGTGCTGATTCCTGTTAATCAGCATTTCGCACGCAATTTAGTTGACCCTGATGCATAGATAAATCAAGACAAATCTCCAACAGGCTCCATCCTTGTTGTACTAGCCCTTCGAATTGGCAAGCCCGACAGATACGAATTTGCATGGCTGAGGTGGTCACCAAGACTCATAGCCATGCGCCGAAGCTCCTCCTTGACGTGCTCGGAGGATGCCTGGCCTTCCATAACTTGAGGTGCCGGGGCAGTGGGGGGTAGTGGAAGGAATGACTGATGTGGCATAGGACGGCGGTATTCCTCTTCTACCGGCTGCTGGTCCTCGTAGGATGGCTGCTGGAGGCGGGGAACCTCAGGGACCGCGGGCTGTTGAGGAGTGAGGAACTCCGGATCCGTATCCGCGAATTCACTTAGAGAGTATGGCCTCTCATTTGGAACTTGATTGTTCATAGGTTGCGTGGTGAGCAGTGGTGGCTGCAGCGGCGGTAGTTTATGTTGCTGCTGGAGCTGCGGATGCTGCGGAAGTTGAAATTGTGGTTGAAGGTCGTGGTGTTGGGTATCATTGAAAGTGAGTTCCGCAACAGCGCTCGAGAACTCCGAGTCATCAGATACGTAGATTGAGGGTTCCCGGATGCCGGAAGGCATCACATAAAGAGATGCGTGCTTCTCCAGCTCAAATGGGTTAGCACCTCCCACCTCTGAGCCAGCCACAGAGCCGACATCCGAGTGTGATGTGGACGGTCTGGAATACTCGGTGACGGGGTCTGCAAAACTCATGTCTAGATCGATGAGACTCCCAGCCGAGGCACGGTTGTTCAGGGGCGCCTGAGGTACCACAAGATCATTGAACTGTGCTGCGGCCTGGAGTGGCTCTGTAGGAGGGTGAATGAGACGGCTGGTGCTAGGAGCGTTGTCATCATTGAAGGGAAACCTGAACATTTCCGGGTTTGCGGAGGCAGGAGGAGCAGCCATAGATGGGAACTTCCAGTCTCGCGTTCTGCGGTTGTTACTCAGATCCGCAGGGTCGCTGTTGGGAGGCCTGGTATAATGCGTGTCACCAAAGTCGTAGTCGATAGATGCCCTTGAGTCAGTAGGCCTGATCGTGCTCATATCCACAAACTCTGAAAGATCGCTTCCATGCAAAGATGCATCGAGGTCGATCAGCGACTCTCTGACACCCGGTGTTTGAGTTGAATCATCTCGCAGAGGGAGATCGGATGCTGAGGCTGGTGGGGGGAAAGGCCTTCCGTAGTATGCGCGGGAGTTATCGTCATAACTTGAGATGGTGTTTGGGTCGAATATCTTTTCCAAGGGCGCCTTCACTGAAGGGAGGTGTGGCGGAGGGCGTCGACGAGACTTCGGCTTCTGAGGTCTTGAGGTTTCATCGAACCCGTCCTGCTCGAAGCCGACGCCGGAACCGTAGACATCAAACACTTCCTGAGCATCGCCATTCCCGAAAGTCTGTTGATCAAATGCGGCGGTGGTGCTAAAGTTCCATTCGTCATTTTCGAAGCCCAGAGACGAAAGGTCAGGCCCTTGAGCTCCCCCAGCGGAGAAGAGAGACTTGCGGATACCTCCTTGAGCTTCCCACAATTTGTAGCCACGGACAAGATGGGCCAGACCGGACACCGGGTAGGCATCTTGGGTGTTGTGGATGTAACGGTGGCGCTGGACCTGCTCGATGGTGGGGCGCTTCTTGGGATCGTCCTCCAAGCAATACGCGACTAGGTCCTTTAGGCCCTGGGAGTACTGGTCACCCTCAAGGCGAGGCGTGTGTGATTTTAGGTAGGATCCTAGCCTATTGAAGTCCATGCCGGCCACCACATTGGGGGGCATACCCGAGGCAATCTCGAATACCATGGCACCAAAAGCCCAAATATCAACCTCGGTTCCGTACGAGGCAGAAGAGTCGAAGAGCTCGGGTGCCATCCAGTGGGGCGTGCCGATGACGGTAGAGCGCTTGTCGAACTTGGTTTCGATGACTCCGGCAACGCCGAAGTCACAGAGCTGGACGTTTCCAGTCTCGGTGACGAGAATGTTGGCACACTTGATGTCGCGGTGAATGATGCCCTCTCGGTGAACCCAGTACACGGCCTCGGCCACCTCGCGCAGAATCGGGACGATCCATTTCTCTTGCAGACCACCGGGCGCCGTCGGCTTCATGAGGGTAGAAACACTGCCTCCCGCACAATACTCGGTGATCATCCACATGGACTGGCCGACCGGCACGGCTTCGATGACATGGTTGACGTTCTTGGCGCCGCTTTCGCTCAGCAATTTCAGGGCGTTGATCTCCTTAAGCAGGTCACTGTACGTGTCGGCCAGCTTCGGGTTCACTGTGTCGCTCTCTTCAATATCGATAATCTTGACGGCGACTAGCTGGTTTGTCGACAGGGAGGTGGCCTTGTACACGCGGCCGAAACTGCCCTTGCCAATGAGTTCCGAGAGGTGGTATTGGGGAGTGTCCTTTCCGGCCTTGGAGCACTGCTCGGCAACGACCTTTTGCATTTTCTTGGCATCTTCAATAGCTTTCTGCTTGGTGACCGAGAAGTCCGGCCCTCTCACTTGGAGGGACGTCATGATGGTAAATGGAGAGTGGTGAGTGGCCCTAGGCTGAGGCCGGGGTAAGGCCTAAGGGACGCCAGTGGGGCTGCAGGTTGATCAGGAGCCGATGTGCCTCGCCTCACATCATTAGAAGCGATTCCAGCGGCTTGAGGAGCGATGGCCGCCAGCCGCGAGCCGGGGGAAGCGAGATTTGTGGTCGTTGACGTCTTTTGCTATTCAGATGCTGAAGTCATTCTCACCAGGTTTCGTAAGGGGCGATGGATGTCTGGCTACGCACGAGCCCCGGAGAGGTCGGCCAATTGGGAGTACGCCGTGACGTGGCGGTGCGGGTGACCGTTGTGTGGCTGGTGTGCTATTTATGTACCTAGGTACCATGTATCATGGCATTCCAACGGCCAGCGGGTCGCCGTTTACAAGTTACAACATCCTCACACAAATATGAAACCAGCAGCCTGTCAGTTTCTTGTCAGAATCACCGAATCTGCAACTCTTTCATTACTTCCTTGCTCTCTGGCGCAGGATGATCCCTCAATCGAGCACAGACACACAATTCAACCGTCACGCGCTCCTATTTGCTGCCAGCATGATCATCTCCCCATCTGTCACAGCATGCATCCAACTCTGGACTAGCTCTGAGCAATGGCCTGACGACTCTTACACCGTTTTTGCTTCGTGGAATTTACAACTGTTCCCTTTCTTCGAGATCATTCCGACGACCTCAATTTCCGGCAGGCTGGTGGAAGTGCTTGCAACCGCAATGCTTCCCTTCTCCCCGCCAAAGGCATGTTCGACTCATTTCTCTTGAACGTTTCTTTCTTTATTTCTTCTTTCTTTCGATCAACTGAATGCTGCAAGGCTGCTCTGGGGTATCGTTTTCTCCACCTACATCTCGCACCCAAGCCCAGTCGTCGCGTAAATCGCTCCTAGCCTTGATAAAGGCTGACGCCTGACGCTCTGGCCTTTCTCCTCGCCCGTGAATTACAATCCCCAGCTCTTCGAGAGAGCTTCTCAATCATTACACCTGCTCAGAGGAGCATCCTGGTAGGCTCAATCTTCCTTGTCTCCCTCATCGTCGCTGCGGTTGTCCTCCGCGCCCTCTCTACGAATGACCTTCAAGGCGACGCGAGCAATCATGGCAAACCAGACAATATTCATGCACTGCAGTAGGAGCAACGGCAAGAGGAACGACCACGTCACAGTGCGGCCGAAGCAGACAAGTCCTTGTGGGTTCCAGAATGGCTCAAGCATGTAGCGGGATTCTGTCGGAATGGGGAGGGGTCCCTTGAGGTCCTCGTTGGTACCTCTCCAGCAGATTTCCCCAATGATTTCGGGGATGTCGGCATAGATGGACCAGCAAACCATGGAGTAGACGATGTGGCGGGTAAAGATCCACGAGACTAAGAAAATGCCGAACATGATATCGCATACGACCTTAAAGCCCATGTACTTCAAGCACTTGGCAAGCTTCAACAGCGTCAGGCTCTCATAACACATATGATGGTCAGGGGGGGCGGCGCGCTTACAGGAAGAACTATGTCGACAAAGTCCATGAGGACGAGGATCATGTTGCCGACGCGGGTCTGGTGGTAAGCGTAGCAGGCGTACATCAAGCCGCAGGTGACGAAATGGTGGGCCAGCATCTGCGAATGGTCTTTGCGGCGCTCCTCAATGTTGATGACGATGATCTGCTGGAGCCAGAAAGCCCACTGAGCCAGGATGTAGAATTTGACCAGACCGGTCAATTCGCGGTCCGGCCAGTTAGTCCATAGCTCCTTCATGTTGAGCCAGTAAGGAGAGGTTCGGTAGATATACTGAGGTTCCCTGTTAGCTCATGCGATAAAGACCAAACGAGTTACGTCAAGTCGGCGTGTGACGGAGGCGCGTACCATGCCCATCGTCCAGAAGACGGCGTAGTAGCACAGAAGCCATGATTGCTCGCTGAAGCGAGTCAAGTCCTTCCTTTTGCGCACACCGCACAACTTGGCGAAGGGAACCAGAACATACTGCATGACAGCAGCCCGCAGTCCTGAAAATAATACAATAAAACAAGTTATAAGGTAAACATCATCGCTGCCGTTGGCGTATTTGCCGGTAAGGTCGTTGCGATAGGATAAGGTGAAGAATTTTGTAGTGTAAGGGCGGGCTCTGGGGATGAAGTGCGCGAGGAAGAGGAGCGCAAGGAGGTTGAAAGCGATTCCTGGATGGCCATGTTAGTACAATGTCGTCGACGAATGTGTCTTAAGAAGCGTTTGAGTGTTGATCGTATGTTGCGCTCCGAGGTTGCCGACGGAGGGAAACCGAGGCATTGATATTGGCATTGACATTGACAGAGACAAAGGATGTGCAATAGACATACCAATCTGGTTTCTGAGCATCCAGCTGGCGACAAACTTCCTTGCGCCATCCGATTTCCTCCTAACGCGGCTCACGACGGCCATGTTGCCATTGCTAACGGTCTGCATGTATGAGGGCCGGTTTGTGTTGTTGGAGGTGGTGTGATAACCAGTTTTCCTCTCAGGCTTCGCGCCCGTTGTGCCCCAGTTTGGGCGACTCTCAATAATGGGCTTTTCATCGTAGCCGTCGAAGTCGGTCATGATGGGTGAGGGGCAGGCCGCCGTAGGATACGCATAGGACGACGGTGGCGGGGGAACGGCCAAGACGCCGAGGCCACGGCGATGCGGAGGAGGGGTGGGAGGATGTCGGGGAATTCGGAGGGTGGATGCGACGCGGTGGGTGAAGGATACGAAGGATACGGATTAACAAGAGGAAGAGAAGACTCAAGAGTAAAAGAGCTGAGCCACAGGAGTCGGATTGGTGCTGCGCTATGCCGTCGTCGGGAACCTGGTAGGTGGAGGATAGGGGTTTCGAGAAGTCATTTAGAAAAAAAAAACAGGATCACCCGACATAATCGTATGTTCCACTGAGATCCATTGTACGTCGACACATAAAGGCCAAATCGCGGTAATGAGGACCCCTCATCATGCTAATCCATGTCTAACCCCACTATCTTGGCTTATTTAGCTGTTTAATTCACTGCTTAATGCAAGATGTATGGAGACTTTGGAAGCTCGCGACTCCTTGCCCCTGTCGACCATGGATACTCGCCGGCGGCTGAAGAATATGCTGAGGAGCCGTGCTTCGGCGCCCCGCGGACTACCGCAGACTATGAGCAGGCATCATTAATAAGGCCCCGCGAATTGCTCCAGATCTTAAATGATCGAGCTCCTATTTGCATTTCTTTTTCCACATGTGGCCTGGTGCTAGCTCAGAGTGCTAGCTTGCACAACCTACTCTGGCAGCCAGTCTCATTTTCCGACTCTCCTGCTAACTTCGTTGGTATTATAGGTGTCTTTAGCCCTTCCTTCCCCAATTATTGCCTTCGGCCTTTTTTACACCTACGTAATGATTTAGTAAACCTGAGCCTTAACTTATAAAGCTTAGCTTTAGTCCATAAAAATAGGGAAGAGTCGAGACGGAATAAGGCAAATCTATATTCGAACAACAATATACTTTGCTGAGTCCAATCCGCAGGGTCTTCGGGTTCTCAACTCTCAACCCACCACCGTCTCTCACAACGTGTCGAATCACATCACTTTCATCTCTCATCTCATCCTATCCTCAACTCCCCCCAAAAAGAGATGATCAACGTCTGCCATACAGAAGGCAGGACGGTTTCCCACAAGCAGATTTTCAAGTCAAAAGCCAAATCGTGCAGTTCCTGTGCAGCGCAATCCCTCTCGGCCGAAATATGTGGTCCATTATCAGTCCATGCATACTCCCTCCGCCAAGTTTTAGCGTTGCCATCCGACCTCCACAAGATCCAAGCTGAGAGCTATCTAGATGATCAACTCTTTACCCGCGAGGTAGATGCCACCGGATTCCCATAAAAATGGTAAATAAACCTTGTTCGACAATTCGTCACTCTTTGATTCGTCAGGACAACATGATGAACTGATCCTCACATTTCTACGAAGTTACATCACACAGTCAATGCACGTAAAATATCGATTGATGAAGTGAATGTCATCTGGAATTCCGAAATCGGCGACTTGACTTCCAGGCCTTTCCCTGACAAAGTTTGAGGTATCAAGGCTCCAAAGAGTTTGCCCACATACTGATAGGCTGGGTATGAGCGTCATCAAGCGCTTACAGCAATGCAGACAACATTACCAATCCCCAACGCCCTGGCATCGCATCTCGATTGTTCTACTAATCTTGGCGAGTAAATAGATGATTAATTTAACGCTACATCAACCTTCCCTTCCATTGAGTGCCCGCAGAGCGGACTGTATCTCGGAATTGACTAGTATCGGTCCGACAACGCCACAGAGTGTAATCGCCTGAATCAGTCTCGGCGCTCGATTCATACGAAAACAAAATATGTCCCAAAACATGGCCCTTGATATTTCCTACTGCACGGCTCACAGATTCTGCATAGATGTACCACTCAGAGCTTTGATCCCCAAGATCCCCGCTTCTCAGCTTCTGACCTGCTTCTTCTACACTGTTTCTTAGGCTATCTCGGGTCAAACCCAAAACATCAAAGGAAGCCATTGAAAGCATAGCAAGCCTCTTTTCTCGCCAAGACCATCTGCAGTGAACTAGTTTGTGTTCCAGCCTCACTACCCCACATGTCAATCTTTGTTGTTGCCATGGGTGCGACCTCCAAGCCTGAGTCAGTGCCGACTACGAACGGCATGCATCCATTGGAATGCTAAACGACAATGGTATGGTACTGAATCCACCATCCAAAATAGCGCATCGCCCCTCATTACGGGCGTATCGGTTTGGAGGGCCGTGCCAATCTGGCGGATGGCATATTCCAGTTAGCATCGTCACAGGCCGCCATGAACCAGATCCGGCTGAAGTTTAAGATCCAGTGACTGACACTTTCTTATATCAGGTTGTGTCAGACTCAACCGTCTTTTCTCGATCTTTCTCATTCCTCTTCCAATCCTAATTTTGCTTCAATTCCAATGGCCGGGGACTCCCAGGTGGAGGAAGTTCGAAATCATGACCCCTACTGCTCAGCAATATTTGCAGGCTCACCCAGAGAACGATAGTATTTCACCTCTGCCAGATAACTACCGACATGGATTGATTTCCATCGCCGTCTTCGCACTCCTATCTTTCGTCCTCACGTCCGGCCTCTTCCTGTATCTGGCATTCAAGCTCTTGAACTGGCACATACGGAACGTCGCTCGCGCGAACAGCATCAAGAATAACGTCCCCGATCCGCAACCGATTACCGACTTCACCTACGAAGATGGAGCATATGGACCTGAGGGCGAGTCCTCCAAGGTAGCCCACGATCGAAGCGTGAAGCGCATACAGAAAGCCGGAAACAGGCCCCCGAATCAATTCTTAATCCTCATCTTCAACCTCGTCATTGCCGACATGCACCAGGCCGCGGCCTTCCTACTCAGTGTCATTTGGCTGCGGAAAGGAGGCATTTTCATCAACACGCCGACTTGTTTTGTTCAAGGGTTCTTAACCTCCAATGGAAATTTATCTTCCAGTCTCTTCATGGCCATCATCGCTATTCACACCTATATTTCGGTTGTTAGAGACATTCGGCCGACTCAAAAGGTGTTCTACTCTACTATTGTTGTCACTTGGGTATTTGTTTATGCCCTTGCAATCATCCCACTATTAGCTACGCACAACGGAAGAGAGGTCGGAGGCTTCTTTGTACGAGCTGATCCCTGGGTAGGCTCCCCATTCTCATCTTTGTTCAACCCCCATACCTGGCTTTGTGACTAATATTGCGTGCAGTGTTGGATCCATGATGCATACGAGAACATTCAACTTTTGACCCATAACCTCTTCATTTTCATTTCCATGGTTGTTACATCTGCGCTTTACATTTCTATCTACCTTTCGCTCCGCCGAGAGGCAAAGTCACAAGCACATGATTCGGGGCCGAACCGGACCAATATCAGGCTCAAACACAAGCCTGCTTTCTTGGTATACCCAGTCATTTATGTCCTGTGCACCCTCCCTCTCGTCCTCGCACGCATTATCGACATGGCTGGGATACACATTCCTATTGAATATTACTGCTTCACCGGAGCCATTATCGCTAGCAATGGATCCTTCGACTGTGTCCTATTCGGCACGACTCGCCACGCAATCATTTTTGGGACCACAGATGACGTTAATGTTGAGAATACGGGGCTCGATACTTTTGCCTTTATGCGTACCCCCCCTGGACAGTTCGGCAATGCGGTCTGGATTGAAGGAGGCGAGCCTCCCAGGGAGCAGACCGAGATTGGTGGGTGGTGGCAGCGACTCCAAAAGCGACACAGCTCTTCCATGACACCACCACCTACAAAGGCGAGACCAATCAGTCAGCAGTCGCTAAGGAGTACCCCTCAGCCAGAAATGACGATTCAAATGGATGTGGTTACCACTATGACAGTAGAGATTGACGACAGCAAAGCGCAGGACCCGAGGTCCCATGTTTCTACAAGGAGTGACACGCCGTCCATTAATTTTGTAGAGAAACATATCATGGGAGGCGTCTAGAAAACGCGCGACGGTTCTTTTTATTACTTCTTTGGGCGGTTCGGAGTACCCAGGCAGTCTGGTGTGGGGACGGTATAACGAGTATATGAGATGCCATGTATAGATACCCGGAAGGCATTGTTTAGGAGTAATTGAGCGGAACGATCATTTGTGTTGTTATAGTAATAAGCAGGCTCTATTGAGGCTCCGTCTAATTCTAACTCGATCTGTTATCATGACCTCAGTCACCGATGGTCGCAAGTGTCATTCATGGCCCCTTCAGTTTCTCGATAATCTTACCATGAACACCTTTCCATCCTGACTCGCAAGCGCTTTTAACGACTCCGATCAAAAACCTTGAGCATTTGATAACAATGTCCTCAACCAATTCACAGCTGCCGTCCTCTGCCTCCTTTATCTGCCACACTGTCTCCATGACCACGCTCATGGGACTCTGTAACCTGACAAACAGACCGTCCTCCAGGTCAAAATACTCGCATGTGCTGACGACATCGGAGTCCCAGAGCCCAGCAGGCAGAGTGTGCACCCTGTCTGTCACGGAGTAGATCTTAGCGGGTGCGATGGGGTCGATTTCGCGCTCGTCGGGGACCGTGGGTTCAGGGTCCGACGGCGTAGGCATGGCCTCAAACTTGATCATATGTGGATCACAGCTGAGGAAGAATTCGTGATCATGGAGCAGGTGGATGGCCTTTGAAGCCGGGATGCCGGCGGGGATGGCGGTGACGTGCCGGAGCTCAGCGTAGGTGCGGAGCATTGCTGCGGAGGCGGTCAGAATGTGATTGGTAAGGGTTCGACTCGATTTACTTACAGGCCATGATGAATATTTGTAAGGGCTCTAAGGGTCAGATTGTGGAAATGTGCGGTCGGTATATGTGTTGGGTGACAAGGGGGGGTTGAACTGCAAGGGGTGAGATGTTGATGGATGCCGGAGTATCGGTGGCGCCTGAAGGGTACTTGACTAAGGGGTCGGTTTCATAGCACCAGGCGATCCTACAACAGCCCGATAACAGGACATGCACGCCTTGAACCACTGAAACACAGTATTATAGCAAAAATTACAAATATCCATCTCTCCTTTTACTGAGGCCAGCGAACTCTATGATATCATGCAGAGTGGTCCAACCCCTCACCCTGTTGGGTCTGACACCCTCATAAGCGAGCATGGAAACCTGACAGAGCTTGGGTATGCAGAGGAACTTTCAATGACTTCCCATGACTTCCAACAGAACGGAAAACCCATTATTTTAGTTTGGAACTCGGGAGCATGGAGATACATAAGTATCGTCTTAGGTGTCTGCTCCCTTAAATGGCGGCAAGGTTTACTGCCTAAGTACGTACCCGGGCAGTTAGCACACACGCCCAGTCATGTGATTTCGCGATGCCCACTTTGGCCCCAGCGCGCCCTCGCGTTCCAGAGGCTAATTCCATCCCACCTCAGCACACCAGAAAATCACCAGAATATCACCAGAATATCACTCTGCGTCTCCGTACTCGATCCACAAACGCATCACCTTCTCATTTGCAACTCTGGGCTCCAGAAGTCTCCGGCGGGATTTTTGTGTTATGGTTTGAAGCCCCTTATCCAACCCTCGGATCCTCCGCAATGGTTACGTCAACGAAATCAAATCGATCACACACTCCGAGGAAGCCCGCCTCCGGGACAAATATCTCTAAGAAACCTGCCAAACCGAACGCAAGCATCTTGAGTTTTTTCAAGAAGGCCGACAAACCAGAGGATTCCCTTTTCGTAGGAGCCACAGCTCCACCGAAGCCGAGCATCTTGAGCTTTTTCAAGAAGGCTGAGAAGCCCGAGGATTCCCTCTTCGTAGCTGCCACATCGGAAGCACTTGAAAACGGCACGAAGGACCTGTACAGCGCAAACGACTCCGATCGATATAATGAAGTCGAATCGTCAAATAAGAAGAGGAAGCTGAGCCCAGAGTTGGAGGAGGGTCCGAAGAGAAGGGAGCCAGTGAAGGTGGAACAAACGACCTCGCCAGCAAAAGCCGAAGATGACTCTCGACCCAAGAGAGCCCGAATCAAGACCGGTTTCGTGATTGATTCCGATAGCGAAGATGAAGCCGACAACTCCGTAAAGTCGAACGAGTCAAATATCCAGAAGAAAACCCAATGTGCGGAACATCCCCCAGTTAAAGAGGTTCAACTAGACGATTTTGCTAAGGACGAAGAAAAGGACGATGATGAAGACCACCCCACAACGTTGAAACAGGAATGCTCTAAAGACGAACAATTCGATGGTCCCGAGGAATTCTTCGACATATCTGGGCTTGACGCGGACGACTTTGAAGGCGAAGAAATGCGAGAGATGCGGTTCATGCGAGCGCAGGCCCGCCTCGAAGCAGAGGAAGCAGGGGGTCTCTCGAGCGAAGATCTAGCCGATGAGCCCTTCGACGATGGATCCATGATAGAAAGCTGCCCAATCTGCAATGGCAGTTTGGTTGGGGTTTCTGCCGACGACGCCACACGCCACGTCAACTCGTGCCTTGATGGTAATCCGATTCCGTTACCTGAAATGGAAAAAACAGTACTGCACAGTCCAAAGGAGTCATCGGAGGTTGAATCCGGTGATCTCGGCAAAAGATTTGCGCGAGCAGCGGTCCCTAGACCTGGGCAAGCTAACCCTTTCGACATCAATGCTCCAGGAAGCGCACCCAAGTCTGCATTCTCAAAACTCATGTCCAATAATGCTGAAGATTCAGCTTGGGCAACAGCCGCTGCCGCCGAAACCTCGTCACGAGGCAAGCCCGCGTATGAAAGGATATGTCCATTCTACAAAATCATGCCAGGGTTCTTCATTTGCGTGGATGCATTTCGCTATGGTGCCGTGGAAGGATGCAAGGCGTACTTTCTAAGCCATTTCCATAGTGACCACTATATCGGCCTTACGGCAAACTGGAGGCATGGGCCCATTTACTGCAGCAAAGTTACCGGCAGCCTTGTCAAGCAACAGCTCCGAACCGCCGCGAAGTGGGTTGTTGAGCTGGAGTTTGACAAATCCTACGACATTCCTGGGACCGAGGGAGCTACTGTCACCATGATACCAGCAAACCACTGTCCCGGGAGCTCTCTTTTTCTCTTCGAGAAAACCATGCGGAGAGGTCCAAATAGTCGGATGCAACGCATCCTACATTGTGGTGATTTTCGAGCATGTCCTGCTCACGTCACACACCCGCTCCTCAAGCCCGATGTCGTCGACTCCATTTCAGGGAAAATAAAACAGCAGAAGATTGACATCTGCTACCTTGACACCACATATCTCAACCCCCGCTATTCATTCCCGCGGCAAGACGATGTCATCAAAGCCTGTGCGGATTTGTGTGGATCAATGTCGCCCGATCCCAACTGCAAAGACGACATCTGGGACCGGTCTTCGGGAACACCAACTGTTAGCAAATTCTTTCAAAGCAAAAATGCTGGCGAGAATGCACAACCTGGGACTAAGGCGGGACCCCGACAGCGCCTCCTCGTGATTTGCGGCACCTACTCAATTGGAAAGGAACGCATTTGCATTGCGATTGCGAAAGCCCTAGGATCAAAGATATTTGCATCGCCAGGCAAGATTAAAATATGCAAGCAACTCGGCGACCCGGAGTTGACGGCATTGCTTACCTCTAACCCTGTCGAGGCACAGGTTCACATGCAAATGCTCATGGAGATTCGCGCAGAGACGCTCCAAGAATATCTCAATGGCTACAAGGCTCACTTCAGTCGTATCGTTGGGTTCCGTCCCAGCGGGTGGAACTTCCGGCCTCCCAATAGCAAGTCCGTTGGAGCCAACACATCACCCGGCAGCATACAAACGGACCAGATCCTTCACGGCAAAGGCTGGCGAACGCGATTTGGGTACAAAGACTTTGTTGCACAGAGAGGGAGCACCAAGGAAGCCATGTGCTTTGGTGTGCCCTACTCGGAACACAGCAGTTTCCGGGAGCTAGCTATGTTCGTCATGAGCTTAAGGATCGAAAAGGTGATCCCCACGGTGAACGTGGGCAGCGAACAGTCAAGAAATCGTATGAAGGGGTGGATCGATCGATGGATGGCCGAGAGAAGAAGGGGAGGGCTGGTGACGCCACTTGTTGAGGACGACGACGATGAGAATAAAGCATTGTGGGAGGGAAAGTCTGGCAAGGGAGGCGGGGCGTGGTGGTGATGATACAACTGGGTGATTTGCATTGAATACGACGAATAGATGACCTCTGGATAATTGGATGATACCTGGAGAACGCGGCAGCTTTCTTCACAGCCGTTTCTTCACAAATGTTTCTCTCCTCGCGACATGTCCTCTTTTTGCAGTATACACACGCTAGGAGCTGCACGAAATGGGAAAAGAATAGCATTTCATTATCCATATCAGGAGCCAACGCCACATGAATCCCCGTCATCCTTTTGTCAGTACACCATCCATGCAATAGCCATTCCTCCCAAACGGATCCCAGGACGCATCACGCCTCAAGCAAATCCCTATCCGCTACGCGAAAACCCAAGGAACCCGCTCATTTCGCCTTGGCCTGCTGAGCTGCCGCTTCTGCACGCCTCGTCGTTAGCATCTCTCTCGAGCCCTGGCGGGTTTTTGGCGGCTTACCTCTTCGGGTGGCATCCTCCAGCAGCTGCGTGTCCACTGAGGACGAGGGCAGGTGGACGTACCTCACCACGGAGCCTCGGATGAAGACGTTCTTGACAGAGCTCTGCAGGGGTGTTTTAAGTCAGTGCTGCAAGCTCACACGCAAAGGCCGCGGGAGGGGGGGGTTATAACGCACCAGATGGGGGTACTTGAGCTCATCGACAACCTGGATGTCGTCGAGCTTGATATTGAGGTACTGGTCGACGCTCTTGAGGACGCCCTTGAGCTGAATGTCGTTCTTGAGTTCGACCGTGACCTCGTGGTCGATGAGGGTCTTGAAGAAGCTACGACTCCACGTCAGCTGAAATTCCCGTACTGTTCCAAAGCACCAGGTGATCAGGGGAATGGCGGGTTCGTCCAGAGGCGGCTTGCGTACCTGAAGAAGAGCATCGTGTTGGTGGTTCAGGTGGGTGAGATGCAAGGGCGCGAGTGAGTTTCGTGGGGGGGGTTTTGGGACCTTCGTAGCACCTGGAATGGCTCAGATAGAACGGAAATCTTCGAAGCCGGCTCGTAATAGTGGTTTAAATGAGCGCGCGGGTCGTTTTCCTGGTGCAAAGGATGGTTTGCTTCTAAAGTCGATGAAGTCGTGACGCAGGTTCTCTGATTGCCTGGGCTTGTCGCCCGCCATCGTGAGTCACGTGATCCCTAATTATCTGGTGCTGGGCCATGATGTTCGCCACGAAATGTATTGGTTTGATCAAGAGTCAAGAGGTCACTTCGTACACGGGGCGGGAAACTATACTTGAATTTTTATACCAATATGTCATGAGTCTTACGGCTCGTACGAGCGATTTGAAGTTGCGTCCCTCGGTGCAGGTTCCTCAAATACTCTACAGCACGAATGAGGATACGGATGCGTTGCATAAGAAACTACTGTGCTGAAAGATCCATAGCAGGATCATACACGATAGAAATATTTACTTCGATTATAGTCATGTGCGTAACAGCATATAGCTGCATACAATGCACTTCTAGGTAAATGGGATCACACCTCTCTTCCTCCGCCCCGATACCCTGCTGTCCAAGACCATGCTTGGACGGAAAGCCTGCATATGCTTAGCTAAATCACCAGTGATCCTGCCCCAAAATGTTATGCGGGTTGTAGTATATTTTAATTTTCTTCTCTTCGTGATTCGTGACATCGTCAACACCCATGATCAAGCGACATAGCGGTAGAGCGACGGCGAGCCATCCTCATCCGGCCGCTCCAGATACTCTCTTGCAATGAGATCCTCGATGCGTTTCTTCACGAGAGACACCTCGGGTCGGAAGCGACTTGAAAGTTGTGAGAGGACTTCGCTGACCAGCTGCGAGTGGCTGAGTTCCTTGCGGGACCTGCAATGGTTAGAATGCTTCCAGAAAGTCTAGGAACCAAGACAACACGTACTTCATGATTCTCACAATTGCTGCATCAACAATGTGAGCTCTCGTCTGGTTATTCTTCTCCTCGGTGTTCTTCCTCTCGGTATTGTCTTCGACCTTGGAAACAGCATTGATGATGGGGGCCTTGATCCTGATCGTCTTGCTCTGGAATGATGCGTTGAATGTAAACTTGTCCCCTGGTTTGACCGATTTGGTGAGGGGGTCCTTGAGCAAGACTCGAGACTTGGGCGCAACAGCGATTGCTGTCAGGGTCCTCATCAGGTCTGATGTCGAAATGCTAGTCTTGTCTTGGATCTGCTCAAACGTCATCGATGCGCCTTCTTCGAGATCATTAAAAAGAAGTAGCACAACCATGGCGAAAGTCGGGACATTGATCTCATATCTACGCTCTCGGGCGAGTAGGCCAGACTTGCCAGGGATAGCAGGGAATGTGCACTTGACGTCGGCGCTACCCGTGGTGCCGATCCAAGTCAGCTTGCGTCCATTGCGGTTCGTCAAGTAGAACTGTTCGAAGCTCGCTTGCAGTCGCGTAATCTCGGGCGGGTAGGTACAGGTAACGCGCGACCCATCGCCAATCTGGGCCGTACGGCCCATGACCTCTGGTGGCCAGTAGTTGGTGGTGAGGACGTTGATATGGAGGTCGATAGTCTTGCCCCCATCCCCAACGGAGCGAATATGGTCTCGGTAGTTGGTTGTAAGTTCCGCGGACGTGACTAGATCTCTGAACATGCCCTCAAACTTGCTAGTAAACTGCTGGCCCATTTCTTGCTTCATCCGGGAGATGATCTGTTTTTCAACATCAGAGCTCTCTGATTTCCCGTGAAGAAGTCGTCTCGCCAGGTGCCTTTGGTAGTATGTCTGAAACAGATCCCTATCCTGTAGGTACCGGATCAGGATAATAGCCTTTTCCAGCACAACGTCGACTTCGGCCTCCGTTTTGCCCTTGATACCTCGCTTCAGATTATCGTCAATAAAGAGAGACACATATTCGGAACTCCGGCTAAACAAGTTGATAAAGTCGGAGAAACTCTTGGTGAGGGCGCTCTGAAGAATCAAGTCATTCTGGAAACACTGGGACCAGAGGTTGTCGAATTTGTCCTTTAGGCGCAGGACATCATCCACCCATTTGATAGCTGCTGCGGTCTGTTGTGCCGCAGGATTTAGGGCCTTTGCCTTCTCTCCGTCGCCACCTTCTTCGCCATCGCCCTGGGCCGTTGAAAAGTCGGTGCTCTTCAGCGTGTTCTCAATCTCGATACCAAGCTCGACCACTCGTCGTTGCAGAATGTCTCGAAGTGCAATCTTCTTCTCATCAACCCTCGAGATCAGTCGGTAAAGGATGGAAAGATCATCAATCTTGTCATTGTCGATCATCCACTTCAATCCACTGCCTTCCAAAGCTAAGAACTCGGACAGGTGGTTCACGATGAGCTCTTGGTCGATAGTCTTGGTGACCTTTGGTAAAGTTTCCAGCTCAATTGTGGTTCCGCACCGATCGACTTCCTCATTCAGCCGCTGCTGGGTATGTCGCAGCCACGCACCTGCGTCTGATTCTCGGAGGAGTCTCTCGCATTCGGCGGAGTAAAAGGTCTTACTGTTTTCAAGGAAGCGAGGTTCAAAGACTGTCAGATACAGCTTGTCGTTTTCGTTTTCCTCTTCCGTTTCGTAGAGGCAGCTCAGCATTCGACTGCAGCTTCGGATCAGATGTCTGTCAATAATATCGCCCTCTCGCTCCATGTTGACCTGATCAAGGATGACGGAGATCAGGATATCGATTACCATAGCTCGACTGTTGGAGTTTAAGCAGGAGCGAAGGATGTGGTCTCGGAAAAGGGCGATTGTGGTGGCAAAGATGGGGACTCGTTGGGACTCGAGTTGGGTATATCCTCGGTCGAGGTACATGAGGATATCGGCCGTCATGTTCATGGACATGTTGTGATCCTCCCAGGTATCTCGCAACCCTTTCAAAAACTTCTCGCCTGTTTGTCGCCTCTCGTTGACGGACGTGGCCGAGGTTCGGTCGACTCCAATGTTGATCAAGCTCTTGGTGACGAGGATCTCAATCTTAGGGATGACGTGCTCGGCAAACCACTGCTCCTCAAACTCCTTGACGCGGTCGTATAGCACCTCACCCTTCTTCTTGAGTACGATCTTATAGGCTGCTCGGTAGAGTTCTTCGAAGGAGAGTCGGCTGCAGTTCTTGTTGTGAATGTCGCGGAGTGCTTCTCTCAGCATGTTCCAGCACGCCTCGAAATCAGCACCTTCGCCGGGTCCATTTGGCTGTATTAGAACATGGTTAGTGGCGTTGATGATGCACGGTAGGAGCGGCATCGGCCAGCCCAGCTACCAGCTACCAGCTGCCGACCCCTTCTCAAGACCGATGTAGGAGCACAGCACTTACACGCACAATCCGACGGGGCGGACGAATACGCCCCGTCCGCGCTCCAGCACTACCACGCCCTGAGATCATGGCGGCGAGATTCTATTTGTGCAGGGCCGCGGGGGCTGCGGAAAGCGATTCGTGGTCGGGGAGGGCGGTTGGGAGGGCGGTTGCTTGAAGGTGTCGCCGTGAACCAGCCGCTGAGCGCTGGCGATGGTGGGGTAAATAGCAGCAGGCGAGGGCTCTCAACGGCACACGCAGCCGAGGAACGCGGGAGAAGGGTCGGAGCGGTATTCTGGAAGTTCCCCCGGATGTCCAGCTGAAGGAAGGCCCAGAGTACGAGGGGGAACTCGGAGACAGGCGTCAGGCCAGCTTGGGGGCGGTTGTCATGGTTCAAGTTACGAAGCGGCCGTAATTTATGTCCGCGCTGCTGCATGGATCCGATCTGCACCATGAACGGCCGGGCTAGAGAGGTGACCAAACCGCCGAATCTCACCCGCCGCAAACTGCTCGCTGCTCTCACGTGACTAGCGCCGCCCACCGCAGGCAGGCACCACCCTGGGGCTGTCCTCAGCCTCAGCTCTCTCACCGGCCACTCATCACGTGCACCACCAAGCTCCGACTTTTCAAGCTTCAGCCTTGACGCCGACGAAGCGCGCCGACCTCCCACGGCACATCTCCTACTACCGCCCTATTCGCCGCTGCAGCACTTCAACCCACCGAAGGCCGCCAATATGAAGCTCGTTCGGTAAGCAATCCTCCCGTGAAATGCACTCCGCCTGTGCTGAGCTCCTCTATCAAGCATGAGCTCGTCGACTGACTTGGCGCCTCCAGATTCTTGATGAAATGCGCCAACGAGACGGTGACAATTGAGTTGAAAAATGGTACGGATACGCATTTTACCCCTGGTTTGCTCTGTAGAATACTACCCAGCAGCGTCGAAATGGTAGCAAGCTCGTTCAAAGCACTGACACCGAACTCGCAGGCACCATCGTCCATGGCACCATCGCCTCCGTCTCCCCCCAGATGAACACAGCCCTACGCACCGTCAAGATGACGGCCAAGGGCCAGGACCCCATCTCCCTCGACACCATGAACATCCGCGGCTCCACGATCCGATACTTCATCCTCCCCGACTCGCTACCCCTCGACACCCTACTCATCGACGACCAGCCCAAGCCCAAGAACAAGGCTCGCAAGGAGACCGATCGGGGCGGCCGAGGAGGAGGTCGCGGAGGAGGTCGCGGCAGGGGCGGTCCCCGAGGCAGGGGCCGGGGACGGGGACCACGTTAAACGGAGGATTAATGAGGTGGGATCCAGACCGGACGTTCCTAGAATGTGGGGACAGAGCGGGGGATGTGAAGATATCTCGACGATATTGAAATGCAAATGGAACCTGGCGTTTGGGATGTTTGGCCATAAAACAATGTATGAATCATCGGCGGGTGGGTATCGCTTTGGTATGGAAAGATATCTGAAATACATGCTCTTGTACGCCATGACGCTCTCCCCTCCCCTCTCCCCTCTCCATCTCACTCCGCAGCGGCAAAGTCGCGCCAAATCCTTACAATCTGCAGCTTCTCCCACCCGGCCTGCTTGCCGCTGGAGCCCGCCATCAGAGTCCGCCACTCGGGCCCGAACCCCTCGATGCGCCGCTTTACCTCGTCGGGCTTGTTCTGCGCGCAGAGGAGGAGGTAGGCGCAGCCGCGGCGGGAGAGGATGCGGGGCAGCGACTCTACAAGGCGATCCGTAGTCTCCATGCCATCCCGACCGCCGGCGTACGACAGCGCCAGCAGGTACGAGTCGTCGTCGAACGAGGGCGTCGCGACGTCGGCCAGGTCGTCGGCCGTGAAGGCCTCCGGGCGGGCGGGCATCTCGGGCGTGGGCACGTAGGGCGGGTTGAAGATGAGGACGTCAATGGCACCGTCGCGCCAGGGCGCCGTGAGGTCGCCCATGCAAGACCCAAGATACATGCCGTACGAGTCCGGGTTGTCGAGCTGCGCCTTTGCGGCGGTGGCGACAGTCGCGCGGCACGCAAAGGCGTTCATGTCGACGCCGGCGGTGAGGACTTGGCGGCTTCCGAAAAGCGTCTCTGCGTGGGCGTGGACGAAGCTGATGACGACCCCGGAACCAGTACCGACCTCAACCACCAGGGGTGCCGCATCGGGGAATGCCTCGTGCAGGAAAGTCTTCTCCGTCTCGGACGAGAGCGTGTCCAGGAGGAGGTACGAGTCTTCGGCGGGCTCGTAGACCCGTTCGTAGGGAACGTGGGATGTGTCTGGGGTTGGTAGCATTTTGCACGTGTGCAAGAGTTGCGAGATGTCGTTGAATGTGTAAATGCTTCAAGTGTGCCATGAGAAAATCCATCGGGCTGGTGTGGCGAGGCACGTGATGTCAACTCTTATGGGGCTTCAAGAGAACAAACATGGTGAAAGAGAAAAGGATGGTTCTCAAAATGCTCCATGATGGTTTTTTGCATGTCTATTTCTTTTCAGGGGTTCTTGACCAGAACAGAGGAAAGACATTGTATCCCAGCTGAGAACACCGACGTGTGCAGGAACTCAATGCAGATGGGGAAAGCTTCCAGCTCAACACCACGTTAATTAGCTGAAGCTTTAGAAAGAGAGAACTCTCAATTGAATATCCGATGCAGGTCGTCCTTGTGGCCAAGCCAACTTGAGTGGCTGGCAAGTTGTGTTTATCGTCGTCCTCCTCGAGTCGAGTCCCCAGATGACACCCAGCAACCCATTTCTCACTCTCACCCACCACAGCCTCTCCTCTCCTCTCCTCCCTCCCAAAGCCCATCACAGAATCACACACATTCTCCCAGAAAACTTCACCTCGCAGCCCCAATCCTCCCTCCCAGGCCCAACTCCCCACTTGACGCCCCATCCCATCGCCTCCACCATCCGGACTAGGTTGCGGTCGTATACGTTCTCAAGGTCGCACCGCGGGCATGGCCGGCTTCGTGTCCGGATGTACTTGGGAGTCAACTTGACTGTGCCGTCGCAGAAGGACGGGCATGTGGAGAAGCCCATGAAGGGTTCGCATGACTCCGTGACCACGGCCCACACATGCTTGCAGAGTTTGTGTTCAAAGTAGGTGAGAGTGCACATTTTGATGTGATTGAATAGAGTATTGGGGAGCCGAAGGTTGAAGGGTAATGGTCAGGTATAGATTCTTCGGCTCTGTTTCGAGTTTAAGATTCCTGGCCCGAGGCGTGGGAAGTGATGAACAGGTGATTGCAGAGTCAGGAGTGAATCTCTGCAAGGAGAAACCACGTAAACTAGATGCACACGTGTAATATCCACGTTAAATTCAAATGCATGGGTAGTTGCTCTATTCATTCTTGGTTTTACTAGATATTCTGAGAGAAATGGGTATCAAACGCCATGACAATGTTTATCCAAGTTATTCTACCATCTCCCCTAACGACGACTGCGTTGTAGTCGCGTCCCTCAATGTCCCACTCTCGTCCATCTCGTCCTCGATCGCCTCCTCGATATCAGGCAGCAACCGTGCCATCATAGCCTCCATCCGACGCATCGATTGCTCCATGTTATCAAGCCTCTCCGCCATGCCCTCGAGGTCTTCCGTTTCGGTGAATGAGCCCCGCAGCTTCTGCGAAATGCCCGGGAACATGGAGTCTCTGCGTGATAGCTGCTTTGGCTGTGGTTCGTTTGTGTTACTCCGCTGGAATTGCCTGCGGATGAGGTGGTGAGTCAGATCATCATCAACTGCAATGTCGCTCTGGACTTCGTCCGGAGGTGGGACCTGGAACACGGCTCGGATATCCCGGTGGACGGTCAACCGCCACTTCTTCCAAAACCGGCTCTTTGTCGGCGGCGTCTTCAACTCCGGTCTAGGCTCATTGATCTGGCGAGGGGGCCAGAGCAAGCGACGTTCGGCAACAGCGATGATGAGCAGAAGGGGCAGGTTGATGAATTTGACTGCTGCAACGTGGATCTTGTGGAACCATCGCGGGCTCACAATGAACTTGAGCGGCACAAACAAGAAGACGGCGACAATGTTGAATGGGGGTTGGTAAGCAAATACGGCGTCGGCTTTGACACCCTCGAGGGTGAGAACAGCTCGGCGGAACTGGATCTCAGCGGTGGCATTGGTGGAGATGTTGCTAAATGTGTTGGATAACATGGAAACCAGGATAGTAAGAAACAAGGTGTTTCCTAGGAATGCGAATGCCACCATGACGCTTGGTCCCAGGAGCCAATGGAACTCAGTCTACAGCAGAGTCAGTTTCGATGTTCAAGAACTAGATTCGTCCAACTTACCGAACGATGAATTCCTGTGGCGTCGAGCCCAAACCATATGTAAATCATCCATTTGGAGATGGTTCTACATCACCTGTTAGCAACGCATATAACGTGGGGTGATGGTATTGGACATACACAAGCTGGTGATTTCCCTCGCCAAGCCAGAGCAGCGAGAGCAAGAAACCGAGGAAGCACCAGGCGGAGAGGGCTGTCAGGAAGAAAAAATCGGCCATCATGGACCTCAATGCCAAAAATACGAGGTTATCCCGCAGCAGATTAAACGCCAGGCGAGGAACCAGAACAGGAGCAGCGAGAGCTAGCACGTCGTAGGCCTGCTCAGCAGGCCCCAGGTCGTGCGTATGCCAACCATATAGTCGGAGGGTGAGATAGACCCAGTATATAAGGACGAAGGCAACGTCAAGAAACGACCACAGGTTTTGCGTGTAGACATTCCTAAGGGTCCATGTCAGCTCCTGCTCCCAAGTAAGACGACGATGAAATAAGCATACCAGCCATGTGCCAGGATAGTCGCAAATTGATCCAAGGCCCATCCAAACGCAAAGACATCAAATGCGATCTCGAGCGCACTCCAGCCGTCCTTTCTCCTGAATACCATGACGGCAATGTAGAGAGTGAGGAGGATAGTGAACTGAATGGACTCGAGAATGTTTCGTGTCCGGGGAACAATGAGACGGTACTGGTTCAGCAGGGGCGAGTCACGGGGGTCGTATAGGGCGATGGGCTTCAGCTTGTAGTGGTCCGGGATGATATCCCAAAAGGTTGAGGGGGTGTAGACGATGCGGCCCTCGTAGATGGCGTTGACGACCTTTTGGCAGGTTGTCGAGCTCAAAAAGAGCTTGCTCTCGGTCACAATGGCGATCTCGAGCGACGGCAGCGTCTTGTGATGGGTCCATGAGGTGGTGCGCTCAGCCTCCTCGCGGATCTCATCTGGCGCGTTCTGGAACGGCTCGAAGCCGGCAACGAGAATGTGCGCCAGCAATAGGAGGCCTTCAGGTCCGGGATGGTTCTCACCGAAGCGGCGGAGGATGCGTGTGGCGATGAGCTCGCACAGCGTGGCCCGCGAGAAGTTTACATTGTGGCGGTTGTTCAGGTGAGATTGCTCCTCGAGGAACTGGGCGCGGTTGACCAGCATGCAGTAGACTTGGCGGAACTAGTCAGCTATACTTCCCGCTCGACGGAGCTTAGCAACTGAATGGGAGCTTACTAATTGAGATGTCCTCCAGGCCGTAGAACTTGTCGACGAGCGGTCTCACGACGGTGACATTGATCTTGAGGTCCTGCAGTTGCTCCAGGCTCAGAAAGTCCTCGACGACGCTGATGATGTCGCGACGGATGCGGTGGATGTTGGTGTAGACGGGCAGATGGCTGTGAGGATCCGTCATGCAGCTGTACAGCGTCTCTGGATTCTCGACGCCAACGCCGGTGCTGAGCCTGCTCAACAGCGGCCGCCGCTCATCGGCCGGCGCAGGCGGCGTGGGCAGCCGGATACGCCTGCGCTGGTCTGCCATCGGAGACGCGCGCCGCAGGGCGAGGGCGAAGAATTGATAAGGCCAAGGGTGGAAGAGTGAGTGTGGAAGGGCCGTCAGGGCGGATCAGAGGCGGTTAAACTGTAGAGCGGCAACGCGGGAGCTGCGCGAGCCGGATAGACCTAGAAATGCCGGAAGAGAGTGAGGGCAGGGAATGAGAACAATAACGTCGCAGCAGAAGAAGTGCAACGTCATGTATCCAGCGTTTCGGATTTCTTCTATGTTCGGGAGGGACCCTGATTGGTTTCCGCAGCACCCAGCGGAGATAAGACACCCGGCTAGTAGATCTTGGCTATCTCTTCTCCAATGGCTTGGCAGGATGCTTAAAACGTGGGTGAAGCACCCTGTAAGAAATAGGTAGGTAGGTGCCTATCAAGGCGTCGTACGGCTGGTAGGAGAATATGCACGGGGGTCATGGTTAAAAGGGTTGATACCGGATGGGTCAGAAATAGGCCTGGGTGTGGTGGGTGTGGTGGGTGTGGTGGGTGTGATTACCTGTACGGGGAGTACTTTGGGTTCTATATCTTGCTACTGTAGGTACCTACGTAGGTATGCTGGCTCGCTAATTCGACATAAATCGCAGTGGCCACTCTTGTTTGCCTTACCTCCTATTATGCAAATGTTCAACTCAATCTCGATTCGTCAATTTCCTCACTTTCTATATAATTTGCATTGTACCTCATCAACTAACAAAGCGGTAGAACTCATTGTTTATTTGATTTTTCAACTATTGAAATGTGAACCTTGTTTATGTCTACCAACAACTCCCTAACGTAGTTGATTCAAGCACAATACCGACACACACACACAAACACACTTACTTCTATCCCTCACAACCTCGACCCCGTCTCCCCAGCACCAGCCTTCTTCGCCAACGCCCACGCAAACTCGGCCATTGGGCCCCTCGTCACGGCGTGGTGCTTGGCCTTCTCGCTGCTCGCTTGCCGCGCCGCATACCGCGCCGCGATGCCCTGGCACACCGCCGCCAGCTTCCAGATGTTGAACGCCATGCCCCAGGGCACCTCCGCGCGCGGGTCGTAGCCGCTCGTCTCCGTGTACCACTCCAGGATCTGCTCCGGCCGCGGGAGCCCCGGCGTCCGTCCCGGGAGGAAGCCTGACGTGTCGTAGGGCGACGCGCCCTCGTACTGCGCCGTGGAGAAGTTGGTCATCATGTTGCACACGTCCGAGAGAGGGTGGCCCACTGTCGACATCTCCCAGCTACGAGTTGCGTGCGTTAGTACATAGGCTCTCCAATGCTCCAAGGTAGTCGTGGGGATATAACGTACTCTAGAATGCCGATAACCCGCGGCTCCGTCTTATGAAAGATCAGGTTATCGATCTTGTAGTCACCATGCACCAGTGTCGCCCGGTCCTTGGGCTGCAAACGCTCGTTCTTGAAGAAGCGCACCGTCTCATCAAAGTACGGCAGCTTTCCCACGGGCTCTTTGGACTCGACATCAACCGCTTTCTCTTGACTCCCGCAGATGGTGATCCAGGTCTGGATCTGGCGGTTGTAGAACCCAGCCGGCTTGCCGAACCGCTCCAGCCCGACCTTCTTGTAGTCGACGGCATGGAACCGCGCCAGCGTCTTCACAGCGTCGCGCCACATGGCCTCGCGCTCTGCGGGGCTGACGCCGGGCATGGTAAAGTCCTCGAAAATGCGCCCGTCCAGGAACTCCATGATGTAGAACGGGGTGCCGATGATGGATTCATCCTCGCACAAGCCATACGTCTTGGGGACGGCGACGTCTGTGTGCTCGAGGGCGTGCAGGACGCGGTACTCGCGCTCGACCTTGTGGGCGGTTTTGGAAAGCAGCTTGCCCGGCGGCTTCTTGCGCATCACGAAGCGCTGGCCGTCGGCGGCCGTGATCTGGTACGTGGGATTCGATTGACCGAAGCCGAACTTGATGTCACCGCTGTCAGTAACGTGGAGGGCTCCGCGATGCGCACGCGACCGACGGGGGAATTGGGGTGGCTCACCTGCTTCAAGTCGAACGGAGTTTTGATCGCGGGCACATTCTCAGAGATATATTTCCCAAAGGCCGCCTCGTCGATGGGCTGTCGTACCCTGCCAGCCATGATGGCGGTGATTCTCCCTTGTTTGCGATGGAAGTGCTCTGGATGGATACTGGCCACGGGCGGTCTCGCTGCAGCACGAGCAGTCTAAATAGCACAGAGCGAAACAAAGAAGGCGCAAGTAAAAGTCTAGGCCAGAACCCCCAGTTTGAAAGTCTGGGATTGAGGGATGGCCTCTACATATTTCCGTGACGTTGAGGGGACTGACTGATGCTCGGTCGCCATTCTGACAAGCCGAGGTACGCATGGCTATAGCTCGACTGGCTCGCCGTCACGGCGCGAGGTAAAATGCGGGTCTGTACTTCCGATTCCAAGCCCGCCCCTCTTCCCCAGATGGCTCACCCTCGGCACGTTCCTGGCCCAAGAGCCATAGCCACGGAGCCGCTTCTTCACTCGGCCAATCGGTCCCCATCCACAACAAGTACCGAGCTATCGTTACTTGCGATTACTAGTCACCAGTCATATTCATTTGCGCCTTGAAAGTATACAGAATTCTCAATTTGTGGTCATCTTCCCCTAGCTATTATCCGGCGACGGATAACCGTAGTTGAGTCTAATCCCATCCTCAACCGGGCAAACAACAAAGGGGCCGTAGGAAACTCTTTTCTCTTCCCAAACAATCTTCAACAAATGTTTTTTATCTTAGTTTTTTTCAGCTTTTTTTTCCTCCATCGCCTGGTCCGCCAACCTGATCTACCTGCTCCGCAAAGACCAGTCGCCAGTTGGCGCTCCGTTGGCGCTCCGTTGGTAGCCAGACCCACGTTCCGACGACGGCAGATGGATTGCAAACTAAGTCGACAAGATACAAGGTCGAAAACAAAGGAGAAGGGACCGAACGAAATAACGAAGAGGGGGTATCCATCGTGTCGAATCGTCCATGCATTCTGTCCATCCGATAATCCTGAGACCGCATCCATCCGAAGATGCCTGCGGCATGCTGTTGCCAGTCCAGTGCTGTATTAAAAGAAATTGATAAAAATCGATTTGCCGGTTCCTCCACAGGATCCGGCAAAGTCCCTAGAAACCACAAGCGAAGGTGCTAATATCAAATAAGAACCCCCATTAACCACAGGCACCTTGCCGGGTTGAACATGTCCCACCCTCCAGGGACCTTCTGGCACAAAAAAAAAGCGACGAGGGGGGAGTTGAAAAAAGAAGCTCAAGAACAAGAATCATGTCTGCTGTCGTGACATCGTAAACCGCTTGTAGACTAACAAAGGAGACAAGTGGATGCTCGCATGCGTCAACGCGTGCTCAGCCGTCATCCTCGTCTTCCTCATCCTTGGAGCTTGCTGTGTCTGTCTTAGCTTTCTTGTTCGCGGTCTCAGTGTCGGCTTCAGACTTGCGCTTGGTCCCTGCGGATCCAGACGCCTTCGTTGACACAACAGAATCTCCGCCGTCGATACTGCCGTCTGGTCCCTTGGTAGCTTCTCGCTCCATAGCCGCGACCTCTTCCGCAGTAAGGAATCGTCCGCCGGGGCCACGGGGCCTGCGCATAGCATGGTTGTGTCGTGACTCGTGGAGGTACGGTTTCCGGCCCTTGGAGGTCAGCCTGAGCTGTTCCTCAAGTCTTTGGCGAGCGACGCGTCGCTTCAGGATGCGGTGGAATTGTTTAGCATTGACATAGAGGGGTGATTCCTCAACACCAGTGCCTGCGGGCACCTCTGGCGATTGAGGATGCTGCATCTGCGCCTGGGTCATTTGAGGAGGGGCGACACCTGGCCGAGGCCCGGCGTGGTTCATCATGGCCTGGGCATTGGGTACTCCGGGACTCGTGACCTGGCTCATTCGGCGACCAGGTATTTGAGAGATGTTGTTCATGCGAGGGGACTGGCGGCCGTCCTTCTTCGCATTAGCACCCATTCGGGGCGAGCTGTGAGGCATGTTGGGGTCGGATGGCATATAGCCGTAATTTGAGCCAGAGGCAGCGGCGGTTGCGGCCATTGCGGCCGCCTGGATGCCAGGCATTCCATAGTGGACTTGCGGCATACCCTGCTGTGGGACGCCGTATTGTGGTTGATACATGTTGTGTCCCTGAGCCGGTGGTTGCTGCTGGTTGGAAAGAATCGGCGAGGTTTGCACCGCGTGTTGGTTGATGCTGTGGTTTGTGGGCGAGGTGATACTGTTTTGAGCGCCCGAGTTTGTGTAACCTGAGTGTGCGGCCTGTTGTTGCTGTGTGTATTGAGCGTACTCCATTATACTAGGAGTCGAAGCTCGTTGGAGTTTGTCGAGGCACGGTGTCCTCGTCGCGTTTCAATTCGTCGTCGAGTGATGAGGCTCAAACTGACGAAGGAACGCGAGGCGCAGAGATGGAGCAATGGCAGAGCAAGGAGCGCAGATAACGAATAGCTGCAATCGAAGGAGGGACCCGATTAGCGAGCTGCGGGGTGTTTAAGGTCCGTTGGTTGCTTGGGTATAGTTGGGCATTCGGGTTGGGAGTCGTCGGTTTTGACGATAGGGTTGTCCCAAAGGTATGGGATGTCCGGGCACCCAACCTATTGGATATGCGTGGATGAGCTGGCAGGCGGGATGGGGGCAAGGCAGCTCAGATGGTCGACCACGGCATATGCGGGCTGATGTCGTGGCTGGACACGGTCTGGGGTGGCTGAGGTAACTTGAATCGAGGCCACGTGAGAACGAAGCGAGGTAGAGTTGCAAAGAGAGCTTGGATTGTCGAGCACAGGGCAGACCGCGACGCGAAACTGCACTTGGCTGGTCAGTTGCTTGCTCAAAGAGTTCTGTCCAACCATAGGCGTTAGCTTGGGTGTATATATGCCAGCCAGGATGAAGGGGGATGGAGAAAATGGGGAATGGGAGGGACTGAGGGGCCTGGCGGGAAGGGGTGCAGCGCGCGTCTGGAAGCCACACACTCTTGATGCGTTGGCAGCCCAGAGAGACCATGCATGACGGAATATGCAAGACCCAGGCCCACCATGCCCACCACGCCCACCACGGTCAACACGCCGGCCGGCTCAGCAGCGGCTTGGGGTCGTTGTGGTGGTGGCGGCGCAGACACGAGTGACAGCGAACCGGACCGACGACGAGAGCGGGCCCTAGGCTGCTACACGCATCCAGATAGGCGCTATGGGACCTCGCATCGGACTTGCGTCAAGGCCAGCGTCAAGGCAAGCGTCAAGGCGAGGCGGCGCCCAAGCTAGTTGGACGAGGAGGCTCGAGTCTCTTCCGGTGCTCTGGATAGCTGCAGTCCTGCGCCTTGCGACAGGGAGTGGGGCGGGGAGGCAGGCAAACAAGACAACAAAAGGGACGGGCGTGCATATCGAGGCTGGGAGGGCAGGGGGTACCGTTGTGTCACGACGCTTGAAGTGACCCAGCTCGTGGGAGAAGAGAGGAGACAGTGATGCCAAAGGTGGTGACGATGTGCGAGGGGGTGTATGGCCGGGGAGGGCTTGAATCAGGAAGGTCGACCAAGGAAGCGTGCGCTCCTCGCACGGCACTGCCGGGCCCAAGTGCGACCAAGACACAGAGAGCGAGACAGGCAACACAAAAGAGAAAAGACGGTACGTACCAAGCGTTGATGCTTCGTCAGGGATCTTGGGAGCCGTCAGACGGAGCAGCAGCGGCTATGTCCGTGTCGTCAGCATGAGCCTCGTTAGGGTTTCAGACGGTGCAGTGCAGTGCAGTACAATCAAGGCGGGGGGGAGGGAGCTTCAAGCACCTAAGCACCAAGAGTCGGTGTAAGTGAGAAGCGTGTGAGGCCAGGGTGAGTGCGTGCAGGGTGGTAGTGAGCCGTAGCCAAGCGAAAAGCGTGCTGTCAATGCGAAAGGCGACTGACAGCCAGAGGAGAAAAAAAAGGCGCGGCTCTCAAGCAAGGCGCGACAGCTCTCTCGCTCAGCACCTCAGCACGGTCGACGCTTGCTCAACGCTTGATGGGGCGGATGCAATGACAGCTCGCTCGCGTGTGCAAGCACTCACACACTGACGGCCCGAAGGGAAGGCGACCAACGAGGTGGTTGGGAGGGGGGAAGGGAATGCGTCGTTGTTCGCAGGTGGCTGCACGAGGGAGGCTCTACGTACCTTTTTGTGGTGTGCGGTGCGACAGATGCAAACGCGGACGCGGATGCACGGCGGGCGAGGCGGAAATGGCAGAGCTCCAGGCACTCCAAATTGTCGACGCGACAGGCTGTCGCGAAGGCTGATTGATGGCTGTGAATCTGGGGTAAAATCGGGATCCGCAGGCACAGACCGTCACCTGACAAGGAGAGCGGCCAATGGAGTTGATGAAGGCGAAGCTGGAGACAATGATAGGCTTCAGTTGTTGCGATGTTGAGAGAGGTCAAAAAGGCGACGCGAGAAGAGCGTGCTGATTTGCTGGTGGCGGGAGGTGGGTAGATGGGGATTGGGGGTGGGCTGTCTCGGGTGGGCGAGGGCTGACGGTCGCGCGGCAGAAAGAGTTGATTGAGTGCGTGCGTGCGTGAGTGCGCGTGCGCGTGCGGGTACGGGGACGGGAGCTTTGTGCGTGCGCCGGCGGAGGGACTAACACGGATAGGCGAGTGAGGGGGAGAGGGTGAATGAGGAAGAAAGACCAGAGGGAATAGCTCGTCAGAGATAGCCTGATAGTGGCAAGCCAAGGTAAGAGGAGTTGGAGTTGGAGTTGGAGCTCGGAGTAGGGGCGGGACGCGCCTTTGTTGTCAAACGCACTCCTCAGTTGGGGGCGTGTTACGCGCTCAGTGAGAGAGAGTGGGAGGAGGGTGCGAGAGGGGAGTGAGAGGGAATGGGGTAAAGTCGTGGAGAGAGGGAAAAGGTTAGGTAACGTGCGCAGTGGGCACGGCGTTTTTCAGGCTGCAGCTGAGCGTCTTTTGGGCTTTGACAGCTCTCAGTTGACGGGACTCAAACTATGCGCCAGGTGGCTGTCAGTTGCCAGTTGCCAGCGGCAGTCGTTGTCGTCGATTTGGCGCCGTCGAGTCAGCAGGCTGAAGCTGTTGTTGACGGTGCTGACACCAGGGCGGCGGGCGGCTCTGTGCTGCGCGCGCCTGAGCAGTTTTGCCGTTTGGGGAGACTGGGCGGGCGGTTGAGCGAATCGCAAACCCGACCTGTCGTTGCGCGGGAAAGCTTGTAGTCTGGGCCGTCGTCGAACAGGCAATAGCCACGGCAAGGGGACGGGCAAGGCGTTTGTCCAATTAGTCGAGTCGCTGTGAATGGCCAGCGAACAGAAAGGTGTTTCGACGCTGGGACGAATCTGATTGCTTGTCGAGTGGAGGAAGCAGCAGGATTGATTGGCCGTGGAGGAGGAGAAGCCGCGAGGAGGACGAGGAAATGCGACGAGATGATTTGAGGGGCGGGACCAGACTCTTTTAACACTTGTGACTGGCTGATTCAGCCCTCCGGTGGGGCTCCCCGGTGGCTGGCAGCTGGTCTGGATTTTGATTTGCGGACATGACGTGATGCAGAGAAAAAAGAAGTGGCGCGGTTTTTTCCCTCGCTCTGAGACGGTAGTCCCGTTTGGGGAGGGGTTTTTTTTCTTCTCTTTTCTTGGGGACGTCGTCCCGGGGGACTTGACCCCGGGACAGAGCTCCGTCCCCGTCGCATGCCCTTTCAGCTTCAATTACGCAGCTGGGGATAGATGTCCAGAGAGGGCAATTGCCGGACAGCGCTCTCAGTTGCAGCCCGAAACTCGTTTTCTCGGCCACTACGGTACCTCGGCCTCTGTCTATCCACCAACCATGCACTGCGGCCGCTCGACTGAGGAGACTTTTACTCGTCAGCGTGCATAGCTAACGTAGTTGTCTCCAGCGATTACGCTTTCTTCCATGTTCCTCCCAGTTTCCTAGCAGTTTCATTTCACTGTTTCGTCGATTCTCCTCATCCTGCTCCCCCCCCCCCCACTCTCCGACTCCCTCCCCCATACTTTGGGGAATTGGGAATGAAAGTGTATTCACCCACACTCACACACACTCACAAGCTCACACAGTGTCATCCTCTCCTTGCTAGAGAGGGTCTTTTCCCGAACTTGTCTCGTATTGTCTCGTCTTTTGTTTCCTCCGCCTTGTCTTTTCTAACGCCACTCCCTTCGTCCCTCTCCCGCTATGCCAGACCGCCTCTCTATTGTTGTCCACCGCCGCCCACTCCTCGCCTCGCCTCTTCTCTCACTCCCAGCAAGGCAGACAGCCTAGACAGGTACAATGCATCCGCGCTGCAGTACAAACTGTGCCCAATGACGCCAGCAGTGGAAGCCAAAAACAGGTGTTTTGTTCTTGCCCCCCCTCCGTCGGCCGATCACTCAGATCGATGATGGATGGTGTGTGTCTGAGCTGGCAGTCCAGGCTCGGGGACTAAAATTAGCCCAAGTTTTTTACCTTCCGGCGGACGACGGGGGCGGCGCACTCGGAACTGGCAGCTACCTAGGTACGGATACCTGGGGCTGGAAAGTTAGCGGTAACCTGGAGGCCTTTCGTATTTGCCTCGGCGTGATGTGACTTGGGTTTCCTTCCAGCTCAGCTTGCTCCTTCCTTGTAACCATTCCGGATCCTGGGACGGGTTGTCTCAACCTGCGACTGGCGTTGGCGTTGGCGTTGGCGATGACTTCGACTATCGATTTCTAGAGCTTGAACACGGGCGCTATTACGATGGGCTTGCCGAGCTGCGAGGCTGGACATGGGCTGGACATGGGCTGGACATGGGCTGGGAGGTGGGCTGGGCGGGCCTCAGGCGGTGGGTTTGGTTGGGCCGCTGTGAATTGGGCCTCATGGGCGCTTGACCACATGCGAGCACCGGAACCGCTCGTGGCGCTCCCTAGAAGGGCCTAGGTCCTCTGTCTGCACGTGATGTCGAATTTGCCTCCTTTGAGAGCCTTGTCGGGCTGTCGGAGCCAGTGTGATGAGTAAAGTGAGCACATCGATCGGAGACACCACACGAAACAAGGAAAATGTCGGTGTGGTAATGCGACCGGGGCAGCGAACGTTGTGACTCCGTCGTCCATGGCGCATTGGTGAGCGAGACATTCCCAGCTTGTTCGAGTTTTTTTTTCTTTTTCTTTTGTTTGATGCCTCGCTGATGCCTCAATGCAATGTCTCCGCATGTTTGTTTGCCAAAGGCTTTGCTTTTCCCGAGCGGCCCTGTCTCCGCGGCACTGTACGAAGCACACTAGACGGTAGCACGTACATACAGAGTACGGTGCACCAACGCACACTCAGGAGGCAGAACGCGCATGGACGGGGTCAAGGATGATGGATTTCGCTGTATCTGGGACAAAGAGGAGGATGCGGTTGCATTTCGCTGTGCTCCCTTGGCCCAAGCTTGGGACGCGTCGCTGTCCCCTAATGCACCCAGGGACGAGCAGAGGCACCGCCTGACCCCCGTCAATTGAGGAGGCCCCCTCTCGAGTCTGTGAATTCAGAGGCCGCGGCCGCCCGCAGCGGTTCGTACGTAACAGTGATGAAGTCGGTGAGTGGTCCACACGCTCTTGGCACTTTGGATTCGAGGTGCTCAGTGGGTGATGAGTGATTCCGCGAGTGTGCAACACAGGAAACCTCGTGGCCCAGGCGCGGGACGGGCTGCCGAAGGGTCTGTGTGATGTGATGGTCATGTAGTCACTTGGTTGCTTCGCACTGGTGTCCTGAGTTTCTCGTCGCAGCAGCGCCGTTGCTTTGGCCGGTGCGATCCGATCGTGGGGGGCAGCGAGGTCGAGGCATCCCTTGTCTTGTCTGGTCTTGTCTGGTGTGGTCTTGTCTTGTCTTGTCTTGGTATGTCACGTTGAGTTGTGCTTTGGCTCCCCTCGGCATGAGACACGCTGCGCTCTCCCTCGTTCGTCTTCGAGACTTGTCGCGGACGAAGAGACCACCACCATCAAGCACCCATCACGCCAGGACAGGCTGTCGTGGTGGTGCTACGCTGTGCTGTTGTTGCCTTATGCCGCTGGGTATTATTGATCCCGTCGTACCAGACTGTGCTGCACCTGTACGTAGTGTGTACTGCGAGGCAACACGAGTGTCCCGCACTGCGTGCACTGCGTTGTGGATGTGATGTGAATGTGAATGGAGTGTGGGGCCTGCCGCCTTGTGGGTGCGCGTTGTACCCGTCGTGGTGCTGCGCCGTGTGGGTTAGTGATATCTGGTTGGGCAGCTGTGTGGGCAATCGGGCAAATCCCTTTGACGAAAAGGCTTCTACTGACTTTCCAACTCGGGATCTGGGTCGCAGTTTTGGTGCCGCTGAGTGGTTGGAAAGGATCCAAGACAAAGCCGTTGATCCCCTTCTCGCCTCCTATCACGTTGGAGAGACGGCGAGCATTATTGACCATTAATGGGGCGACACCCAGGACGATGACGGAGGTGGTGGGGGACGCCACAGTACGCTGTGCACTGGCATCATCTCGACTTCGGGTACAGGCGCCGTGGACTGACGCTGCTCCTCGAGCATCATGACGCACTTTCATCGCCGCCAATACCCTGGCGGCATGTGATTGATGACGGTCGACGGCAACCAAATCGTCCCATCGAGTGCGTGGGCAATGTATGTACAGGCGACAGGCGACAGGCGACCTTCAGGTCTCAAGACCACGGCGTAGGCGCTGGCTCCTCTTCTGGGATGCCTCGATGCCTCGACGCCCAACGGCTGCCGCCAACGCAATGCGAGAAAAGTAGCTCCAAAAGAGAATCCCCCGGCAGAGTGACAGATCAACTCGCCTCACTTGACTGACAACCCAGGGCGCGTCCTCGACGTTACCTGGGTGGTGGGGAAGCTGGGCATCATCGTCTCGTCTGCCCGCTGTGTTGTTGGTTCCTCGAACTAATACATGCCTGCGTCTTGCATTTGCATTCAGGCTATGCCAACAACGGTCCTGGATCTTGGCTCTGGTCAACTTGCACTTGTCTCTGGCCTGGAACCCCAACTCATCAAGCATCCAGTGCGGTCAATGCTGGATGGTTCCGTCAGGCCACGGCGGCGTATCAGTAGCCAGGCCTCCTCCTCTTCCTCCTCCTCGCGCCACCAAACCACCCGTCCACACCATATCGCATCTCAGGCTGCTTCTCCAGACACCCTCAGCGCTCCACGGCCCAATCTAATCCCATCTAGAACAGACGCTCGCTCTCAATTGATTCCCTCGCCTCGTGCCGCTCGCTGCCTTTTCTCCGTCAGCCACCACCCGCAATGTCTAACCCTCGTGTCTCATTTCCCCGTCCTGGCCGTTCACATGGGGCGGATCGTCTCCCAACCATCACCTCCGCGTCACCGGGTTGTGATTCCCGTCCATCACAGCCGTCCGCAGCCTTGTTTCTCTTACTCCTCTTTCTCCCGCTCGGCCACACCGGAGCTAGGCTCGGGCCACAGGGAAGCCCGTCACATCCACCTCTCCCCGATTCGCCCGTAGCAATCCTCCATTTTCCTCGCCTCTGCTTCGTCGGTAATCATTCCCCCCCCCCCTCCTCCGCGCTTAAACACAGCGGGACGTTTCTCCCTATGCTCTTCGCTCCGCGACTGATATGACGCCCATCCGCCCGTCGGGACCTTTGGCCAAACTGCAATCATCTATCCCCTGCTCCTTCGGCCGTGCTCCTTCAGCCGTGCTCCCTCGGGATTCGGGCATGACGCGAGCGTCGGCGCGAATGACCTTTGGCGTTACCGTTGACGGAGCGTCTCTCCGACCTCCTTTGGCGATCATCATCTAAAGTAACCTCGTCGCGTTCCTGGCGCTTAGGATGTGACGTGGCTAATGGCACATGAGACGGTGGAATGTCGAGGATGGTGGTCGCAACGTGAACCCGCCGGAGTCATCGTCACCCCGAGCTGACTGGCGTTTTTATCACCGCCTTGGCTGCTGTTATTGTTGCTCTGTAGCAAGTACATTATTTCCACCAGCAACTAATTAATCAGATCAATCAAATGAATTACATTTGTGACTAGATCTCAGTCTTATTTTGACATCTTGCTTCTACCTTCGATTGGTTCTCTAGTGCTGTTTTGTCTGTTCAAGCCCAACACATTTAACAAGTTGGCTTTGCCTGTCCTCGTCATCTTCATGAACTTGACATCGGCGATTGTGGTAAATTTTTGAGTTCTGTCTGTCTCATCGTGCTTCCTAGTAACATTCGCGCCTCCATCTTGCTGTACATATGTATGGATTATCTCTAATCGTCTCAGAGTCGCATTCCTGTCTTTGGATGTCAGCTAGTGGTCAGTCCGGCTAGGCCTCTCGTGCAGTGTAATGCTACGTAGTTGGCTAAGTTCTCACATGGAATACCGGCAACTCTTATACATGTACCTGGGTAGATTAAATCGAGGACTGCTCTACTGTGAATGTTTGAATTCAGTGGTGGGTTTGTGCGGTTAGTGTCGTTGGCAGGGGCTCCACAGACCGACCGCGTTCACGTTCACATTGTTCTTCCGATATCCCGCATATTTCTCTCTTGCAGTTACAGTGTCAGTGCAGATGCAGTTGTCTCTGCATGTGTGGTATCCCATCTATACCCGTGCGTGGGTGGCTTCGAATGAGGCTTGTGTGCGATGGAGAGCTCGGAGTGGTGAGAATGCGTCCATGTTCAAATACTCTAATTTCATTATCACAACCTGAGCACAGTTTGATACCGAGCCAAAAAGCTCACCAATAGACAACCACATACGTATATAGTCTAAATACACGGGTGCTTTCATAACCAGACCCATACGTAGTGCCCAGTTCCGGCGAGTGACACCGCAAGGTCAACAACGAGAAAGGTATAGGGTAAGTGACATTACAATTTCAATACTCAAGAGGGGGGCAACACCATTGGTACAATAACGAAAGACGAAAAGAATCTCGCCAATTTTTAACTACCACAGTGGTGTTGACTACCATAGCTCCGTTGTTCAAGGTCCACAGATCTGAGAGTCGACTGTCAGCCCGTACCTACATTAGTCACCCCAGAGGACCAACCTTCGTAGCGCACTGAAGACATCTTGTTTATTCTTCTTGAGCAAGACCTAAGAGATATGTCGTATCCCCAGAGGAGCCTCACAAACGTGACACACACGACATCACGGGAATTATATCGCAGTGAATCCGAACTTTCACCAGCAGCATATAGAAGCAAGCGAGTAGAGCTGAGGAGAGCTCACGAAACAAGGTGGCTCACGACAACAGTCCATGGACGCTGGTTAGAATGGATGATGGATAAAGCAGATAGAGTAAAGATAACGTGGAATATTGTACCCAGTAGAGGCTTGGTAGGTCCTCGACGAAACCACATGTCCCTGCCCGACATCATATGCCCGCAGACTGTCGCACAGCAACTGGGGGAGCTGGCATGTCCGGTATTTCCCCCCAATGTCGCCATTATCACACCACTCCATCACAGAATACACCCTACCTAGCCTCTCATGCGCAAGAAAAGAGTTATCGGCATGGAAAATGACCGAATGGACGGCATACCAGGCTGCCCCTCGTAACGAGACCGCGACGAGATTCCCAGCCACTCCAAGACACCACAAGGCAGAATGCTAGACAACACTTGTCATGATAACATCACCCGTTACAGCACTAGAGCACGTTAATCCGCTGCCGAAGCCTGCCAAAAGTCTGCCATGTGATGCATGAAAGGGCCGCATCACGCTTGATATGAATATCTCCACGAATGCGGAGCCGGAAAAGCCTCACACCACTGAAGGCGACGCGTGTGTCGACCGACTCATGCAAGGCAACTGCTCGCCTGGGCAGTGCCTCCATCGAAATAGAACTCATCTAAGACCGTAATGCGATGTATGTTGGTCCAAGTCTGTTCGTTACCGACAGCGTGGATGTAAGACATCCCAGCAAGGCAGCAAGGCAGCAAGGCAGGGAATTGGGAACTTGTTGTTGGCCCGGGGGTATGAGCGGAGGTAATTGGGAGAGATGGCTCTTGTTGTTGTTAGCCCGTATCGTGGATGGTGGAAGTTGCTGGATACGAATCGGAGGGCCGTTCCGAGGAGGCGGTGAATAGAAGCCCTTGATTTCTCCTCCTTCAAACCGTCTCCGAGCCAGGAACCAGAGGAGTCCCGATAGGACTCCTGTACCCCTGTGGGCCAATAACTCCCTCTGATAAGGGACAGCAATTGAATCCCGGCGTCTCGCGACACCATGCTTGCAGTCGTTGGCCCGATGAGAATATCCCATAAGGTACACAACGATGCTTCCTCTGGGATTGAAGCAGAAGGATTCGTCGAGAAGGCGCCGTGCCATCCGAATCGGCATCAATAGACGCGCACTGCGACAAAGACCAACGGCGCTAGGAAGCTGCTTCTAACAGGTTTGCTGGCAGGAGTGGTGGCCTGAGCTATGGTGGCCGGCGAAGCGTACAATGCCTGGGCGGTTGCATTATTCTCACTGATCGACGCGCTTGCTTAATGAAGAGGGTGTGATGGCTGTGAGAATGTTACCCATCAAGACTGGGGGGGACAAGGTTGAGACAAAAAACCACTGACAGGGAGCGTCCGAGTGTGTTGGACCGGAGATGAAAGGGCTAGCTCAAGACCCAAGCCAGGGTGTTTTGACGAGCAATCCAGTGAGCCGGGACGGCAAGTTGGATCGCAATCAATTGCCTGTGTTGACAAATGTACTGCCTGTGTAATCGCGAGCGCCGAATATCTAAAGAAAACCCCAACGATACACTGAATCCTTTGTCCTATTTAGGTATAATCCGGTTGTAATGGTTTGATTTGATTGTCCCAAGGCGCATGTAGTTGTAGGTGAAGGCTTTCGCATGTCACTGCGGCCATAGACACACGTACTTTGAACACCCGATTAGGCTTAAACACCGGGGGACACTTTGTCCACACAGGCAGAGGATCACGATCCTCACGGCTGGGAAGATTTTGATTGACATTACTCCGTAATATTGGTCTTGTAGCTTAGGCTGCTAGCAAGGGACATTGGACCCGAGAGGATGGAGCGATGGAGCAGTTAGTTCCGGGGAGCAGGGAAGTTAGCCCGTCCCAGGAGACAAGGACACTCAACCAACATGTTGACCTTGACAATGTATTTCCATGGCACAGGCACTTGTGAGGGTCTCTGATGCAGTCAGCAAATGTTTACTCTAGATAACCAAGTCTCTTGGAGTATGCCTTGCCGCTAGCAATAGCAGCACGCACCAACAGCAGCGACATATGCAACCGCTGGCAGTAGCAGCGTAGCGGCAGAGGGGGAATGCGCCTTGCTCGAGTGGGAATGGGAGGTTGGTCGGTCATGGGTCTAGATTGACGAGAGAATTTGGCGCAGCGCCTTCCACGAGCGCCTGGAGGATTCAGTATTGCCATCAACCAGGTTTGGGACGGCGCTTATTACGACAAGGATAGGCTTCGTCCACCAACCACGGGGCGATCAGAGGTTCCCATGCTAGTGGCTCCCAATCGCAGTAGTAATATCTGGATTGGATATGATGATACTGGCTCCTTCAGCAGGCGCGCGCTGCGAGTTGGCCTCCATTCCCTCCTCAATGCATACTATCGGTGCAGCTTGGTGGCTGGTTAGGAGAGGACATTGGATCTGGCCGTGGCCACCTTTCACGGGCTGCCTCGTGTGGCGCGCGCTCTCTGTTGCGGCGGGTGCATCTGCGGAGCGAGCAAGACTAGACGAGTCTGATCGTCGGACGTTGGCAGCCACAGCCCGGGGGCGGTCTCCGAGTGAGCCGCCGCGCTGCTAGGCGTGGAACAGTGTGGGACAACGTGGGACAGCATTGGACTGGATGGCGATGGCTCGTCGGAGGGCCGTCGTGGTTGGAGAGTGGATGGTGAGAGCAGGCGCGCGCGCACTGAGGCAGACCCGACCTGGCCGTGATGGGGTCGAGGTCTAATTTTGGGGACTTGGAGATGAACGAGGACCGGTTTCGAGAAGAGGTTGACGATGGGACAGAGTCGAGTAGATGGGGTTGTTTGTTGTTGCGAGGACGAGGTCAAACAAACGGGACCGAGTTAAAAAAGTAGATAAAGTCGGCTGGGTGGCGCATCATGATGAAGAAGGAGCATCCCGAGTCCATCACGACAACCGAGTCCCTTCCTCAGCCTCGATACTATCCTGTCACCGTTGATCGGAAACCCTCAGGATTCAAACCTACGTCAGGCAGTTACGAGCGTGGTTCTCTCCTGCCCTCTCATTCTCCCACGTCATCTTCTCACCAACGCCGAGCAACACCAGGCAGGCACTCACTCCACCCCATCTCTTTTCACTCTCCCACTCCCAACCTGGTCATCCCGCATTTATTGTCGACGTTGTTTCGACTTGGCTTGTTGATTTTTGTTCACGAGTCGTATTCTACCCCCTCCACCACCAGGCAAACCGACCAACGCCTTTCCGAGTTTCGTCACCGTCGATTTTAATCGCCGACGCCAGACGCCCATCCTCGTGGGAATCGTCAAATTCCATCGCCATTCGCTCGGCACTTCCGTCTCCTAGCCTGCGATCCCCCTCTAAACCAAACGGCCCAAACCCCTCCAAAAAGCCGAGAGAGACGCCCGGCCTCGCAGCTCCCCAGGCGTCCACTGTCGAATCACATTCCTCGCCGACCACCTGGGCCAGAAACCCGGCGCCAGCAAAGGCCCAAACAGCTCCCTGACAAGGAGAATCGACCAGGACCTCCAGGACAAGGGTGTTCGAGAATACAAAAAGCAAAAGCCCAAACAGTCCTTCTGTACCCCTGCTGTGTTCCCTGCAGCGCTCCCTGCCCAGGCTCCCTGCTCAGTGCTCATGCTCCTCGAGTGCTCTTGGTTCTGCGTGCCGCTTTAATCCACCATCACAAACGGACCCGCCCTGGCTCGCCCAATCCGCGTCAACCAACCGACCGACTTACAACCACCACAACCACCAACCCGTCGTGCGTGTCAAGTCGACGACCAACGGGCCCAACACACTTGCACAAGACAGCAGCACATTTCAAGCTCCGTCACAGTGCACATCCCGGCTCTGGCTCGCGTCAGTTCAGCTCAGAGCCTAATCCCCCGGAACCCCAGACCAACACGAGCGTCATCCGCCACCCGGCCTACAGGCGCGTCATCCACCTAACGACTCGTCGTCCAAACTGGCGGCGGTTGAAAATCCACGCAAAAGCGTGTGACAGAGCGAGTCAAAGCGAGCAAATCTGGAAGTGACAACGCCGAGCTCTGCATCATCCGCCTTCTTGCTGGACCAACGCTGGGCCACCCACATTGCTTGCACCTCGACATCCACACTTTCACACTTTCACACTCACACATCCGCAGACACAGACGCACGCGGACTACCGCTACACGCCCCCCTTGCTCGCCTCTTGCAGTTGCCGCCCTGTGCCCTGTGCCTGTGCCCTGCTCGCGCCTGTCTGCTGCGTCTTTTGCCTACTACAACTGCTGCAACCGCTGTTAAGCTACGGCGGTACCATTGTGCTTCGCTGAGCCCTGGGCTGTTCTGCCGCACGCGCCCAGCTGGTCCATCCCGCATATCCTCCCCTCCACCCAATCCACACTTACACACCCCTCCACGCCCTCTCCACCATCCACCATCCATCATCCGCCGTCCACAGACCAACCCGCACGCTGCCTCCTCCACCCCCCCTCCACACCCCCCAGTCCTCCTCCTGCTTCTCTCCGGCGCCAAATCTTCGTCGCAGCCCTTCCCTTATAATAGCCTGGTGCTGCCTTTTCCCTCCTGCCCCCGATCCTCCTTCTCTACCTCAGTCAGTCTGTCCGCTCGCTGCTCCTATCTGCCTGCGTCTCGTTGCCCATCACTTGGGTCTGACTGTTGGCTCTTACTACTTTCAATATAGCCTGTCGCCTTGCTTAGGTTGTCGGCTCAGCTCGATTTGAGACTTCTCAACTCGACCTCCCACCACCAGTCTCCAATATCCCCCGCCCTCACGGCCACCTCTATCATCATGGCTGGTACCAAGCCTAAGTTGGGGAAGCTCACCACCCCCGTTACCGCTACCTTCCCCTCCGAGATCACTTCCGCCATGACGGCAACGCCAATCTCTGCCATCTCCTTCAACTTCAAGCCGGACCCGGACTTCATCAAGACGCCTATCAGCCCGCCTCTGGCTTACACCGACTTCCTTTCCAAGGCCATGTCTCTCAACTCCCCGGCCATGGGTTCCGGCCAGACCACCCCCGACTCCCTCTCGGACACCGCTAGCAGCAAGCAGTCGGACTGCTCGTGCAAGTGCGAGAGCTCCTCACCCACGTCGACCACCAGCACCAGTTCAAAGGCCTCTTGCAACATGTCTCCCCCGGCCACGGCTCCGGTCGTGCCCCCGAGCCCTTTCCCGACCTCTGCTCCCATGTCGGCACCGCCAACTGGGGCCGCCGGCTTCCCCAGCCTCAAGCTACCTCCCAGCCCGGCTGTCTCACATATGGACTCTCCCCTAAGCGCCACCACTGCTCGGTCACCTTTTAGTGCCCGACCCGTCCACTCAGTATTTGACTGGGATGCTGCCCTCAAGGCTCGCTTTGCCGAGAAGAAGCAGAAGTCTTCACGGACCAGTGTACGACACATCCGAGAGGTGGTAACGAGGACTGTTACCTACACCCCTCGGATGGCTCCTGCCCCCAAGGGTAAGAGGCGGAAGATTGAATGAGCACACCGACCAATGTCTCAAACGACACACATTATCCACAGAAGTCAACAAACTATTCATCTCCAACTCAACACACATTTGACGATCCCTCCACAACTCACCACGTTCCTTTTGTTCACATCACTAGTCCGGAATGGACACGCCAAAAGCAGAGGAGGAAGGAAGAAAGCAAGACGATGAAACGTGACTCCAGCACTAATACGCACTGGAGGCGAGCATACGACGTCACGGCTCATGTCACATTTGGGCGGCACACGACTCAAGTCCAGCATTGCATCCACATCCTTAGCGCCAATCATGGAAGGCCCTCTGCTTTACTGCGAAGATTTTTTACTATCTCATTTTATCTATCATGAAGACGGGGATCAGGAAACGGGACAGGTTTTTTGAACTTCTAGGGAGGTATGACTGGAGGAGTTCTACGGCGTTTATAATGTCTTTTTTTTCACCTTGGACTGACCGTTCCATGGGTGGACGGTGCACGACAAGGTTTGATACCAAGAAGAGCGAAAGGGCGGTCGGGGATACGATCGCAATGGGACATCAGCCTCAGGGTCATGACCGGGACGGGTCAAGAGATATGAGGAGCAGGAAGCGTGGACGAGGGACGAAGCGAATCGGTGGCCCGTGTCTCGGGCACGATATTAGCTAGCGGTAACGTGTTTATTCGCAACCCAACAAGCCATGGGCTGTTTTCTCGTGTGTCTCGCTTGTCTTGTCCGTGACGAACGTATGTCCGACACTCTGCCTGTTGCGGGGCCATCAGAGGCTGTCTTGTGCATGATACGGAGTCATGCAGCGAGAGCGGTCGCGCGCCCAGCCCCCTTCTTTGTTTTTCTCGTCGCGAAGAGGCGTCGAAAAAGACGTGCATGTTTGTTTTTGCAGATCTGTCATGGCCGTAAAAATGGGCCGCCGGGTGGCCACGCATCGCGAATCTGGGATGCAGCAACACAGCAGTGTCGCCGCCCCTCCATCCGGTCTGCCCTCCACTACGCTCCCCCTCACGATTTCCAAATATATCCCCTGTTCCTTGCAGGCGTGGGCGGGTTGTGCGAATGACTTACAGGGCCCTTGCGAACGCCCCTCCCTTCCGTTTGGCTGTTTGGAGGGGGGGCTTGCCACTCTGGGTTGCGAGTTGAGGATTCAGGAGCATCGTCGGGTGCGGGAAGGGGGTGTCGGGGTGTCACTCACGGCCAGTCTGCGTCTTGGAGAGACATCACACACGGGCTAGTCGATCCACGGGAGAGAGATGTTTGCGTGCCATGGCGATCCTGGGCGGGAGGAGGGGGCCTCGGCCGGGCGTCACTTGGACAATGCAATGGGACAGGTCCACAGGGTCGGATTTTGGGCCGCCGCTGGGAGTTGGAGCCCGCTGTAGGTTCGTTCCCCGCGACAACCTGGGCTTGGTCTGTGAGTCTTTCTACTCCGTACTCCGTCCGTCTCTGGAAGACACTGGAGCCGACGTCACTGGCGGTACCCCCTCGAGCCCTGGAAGGAGGTCCTCGAGCCCTGGAGGTCGGTCCTCGAGAGCTATGACGGATGGCGGTCCTTTCAGGCAATGCGTATCCATCAATGGTGGTCCGTTGGCGGGTGCGTAAAAGCGGCGCGAGCACCTCCGTCGACGACTGCGCGACCCAGCACCCTGGTCCAGCTCGGGGACACTAAGCGCCGGGCCTGGGACCGACGCACCAGGATCGCGACCGGATTGGGCGGCGCCGTCAAGCCTGTCACCAACCGGCACGGGGCCGCGGATGTGATTGGCGGCGTGCTAAGCGCCCGGCTGTGGGCAAGATTGACTGAGAGAGGCGGCATGCAGAGGCGGCATGCAGAGACGGCATGCAGAAGCGTCGTTTCTCGTTGTCGACTGCGCCCTGGTCTTTGGGTTGCTGTTGCTGGTGCTGCTCAAGTTGCTGGTCTGTCCCTCTCTTGAGTTGTCTGTCTGCTAGACTGCTACCCAGCTACTGCGAGGGATGCAGGGCGCTAGACGACGGCGTGAAATTGGTCGAGCCCACTCTGGTTGACTCGGCGAGAGCGACGTTGGACGAGGGACACACACGCTGCTCTGTGTCTAAGGATAGCCATGGAGCATGTGGATGTGGCCAAGGTGCTCCCTCCACGACCTCTGCTGACCTTCGATTGATTGATCGACCGCCATCATTTGTTTCCTAAACTCTTTTCCCGAACAACACACCCCGTCCTATTGTTGCAAGCGCGGGAGTGTTGGCAAGTGATCCGAAGGCCCAATCCTAACGACACTAAAAGTCGACTCGCCCCGAGCTCCGGCATGCCCTCACCAGCTACTCGTCCAGCCCGCAGAGCGCCAGTGACGAGACCTACATGGTGATGTGATGGCCCTGCGCGTCACACCGTCTCCAACGGCCGCATCCCATTGGCTCTCCTCATCAAACCCCCCCGAGCAAGCGTCTCGCCCCATCTGAAACGGGGGCCTGAGGATGAGCGAGATTGAAACGGGTTTCAACCCGCTGCCTTGACCCATCCTGCTGGGTGGAACATTGCCATGGAACATTTCCAGGGGGTTTCGACGATTGCTAAATTTGGACTTTGCCGCCACTGTTTAACTACTCCAGCCGACTTGGGGGCCTTCACATCGCTTCGTATCTATATATATCTTGTTGTTGTTTTTGGAGGTGGCTTGTGATACTGCCACGGCTTGCTTCTCGCCGAGGTGGAAACCTAATTTCCCATTCGCCTGTTGCCTCTCTATGCAAAGCAAGTTCGCCGAGAGAACCTCGAGTCAATGGTCATTGCTGTGCGTGGCAATCAATCCACCTCCCTCACCTCCTCCGCCACTGCGTTGCATAGCGCGACCTTGACCCCTGCCCCCGTGAGAACATGGATCCAAAGCCGCTGGGTGTCGCTCAATCGGTCGTTCGCGCTCTTCACCTCCGAGAACATGACTTCCCCCTTGGCCTTGCCAGGATCCCCAGAAGGATCCCCTGTGTCGTTTCCAGTGCGCCAGAGAATCAGGTCTGGGATGCCACCGCCCCGTTGCCTGTATTCCTGTGCCATCACTTTGCATACGGCTGCCAAGGCGCTTCCCTCAAAGCATCCCACCAGCTCAACCAAGTCCTCGACGTCAAAGTCCCAATTCAGTCCCGCTACGCTGGTCCTGTGTTCGTTCTCCCTGTTCCAGACTTCACGCACCAACCGCCCACCCTCCCCATTGGCAATCTCAACTAGGCGGTGGTTGACTTCTGAGGCACGGGCAGGGAAGAATGCGTCGGTATGCAAGTCCAGAGGGCAAGTCTGATATGCCGTTTGGAAAACATTCGGTATGTACAGAAAGAGAATGTCGTAGAAGAGGTACGCAAAGAGAGTGCGGATTATGCCACCCTCAGAGTGATACCCTTTCCAACCCTCAGATCGATAGTGGCTTAGACACATTTCTTCCACACTGCACTCTGCATTTGTGTCTCCTGATTCAAGCCATATTGTCTTGGTTGAAGCTTGACGGCCAGCCTTGGCTGGCACTTCCCGTTTTAGTTGAATCCCTTTGACGAAATGTTCCGTGGGCTTTTGTAGCCCGACATGGCCAAAGTCATGCTGCAAGCGACGCGGGATGCGGAGTTTCTTCTCCAACTTCACAAGGCGTTTTTGAAGATCATAATGGAAGATGAGGTGGCAGTTGGGGTCCTGGAGGCCGGCCTCACAGGTGGCCACCGCAATTCTTTTCCAATGTTTCTTTTGTTGTTCCAGGTCCGTCGAGATAGGTTTCGGGTCTAGTGTGGGCATATAATGCTCTTCTAAAAGAGCCTTTCGCTGATACCAGCCGCCTCGTCTAGCCATCTGGAACAGGCGTTGGTCAAGAAGCTCAGTGAGCAACTCCTGTTCTTTGAGGTGTTCCTTGAGCCTTCCAAATACATGGGCGGTCTTGTGCACAATCCTCGTGTATGAATGGCCAGGAGTAAACCTCCTCAGATAGGCACCTTCACCCATCTCATACACGACTTGTTCTTTGCGACTCTCTTCCTCGACCAAAGCTTTCCATCGAGGATACAACTTTTCAAAAGTGCTGATAATCTTCCTGAAACCCTCTTCGCCAGGCGGCCCATTGAACTCCATAATGCGGTCAACTTCCGCTTCAAGCCGTATTGCGGTTTCATATTCCAGCAAGTGCATCCGGGATGCAAATATTGTCGAGGTCCGGCAAACAATGTACTCGGGGAAGTGTCGGCGGGCCATTTTAGCAAGGATGATGGTAGTGAGGGACTTCTCTGTCCATTCTGTCGACCGGTAAAAGACCAAATGAACACGCTCGAAGAGTGTGAATGCTCCAGGGGACAACCGGATGCATGGGCCAAGAATCGTAAGCGTCTTGTTTAAGAAATGTTGCTTCCGGTCCCAATCATCTCCTTGGGGGGTTCCGCTGACTCTCGGCTTCAAGTCTTCCCGATCTTCCGGGGCGGGTGAGTCACGGCTGTTGTGTCGACTGAGCCCGAGGGCCATCAATCCTGTCTGTTGGCGACTCATCCGAGTAAGTGATTTGATGAGCTCTGGCTTGTTCCGGCCCTGAAATTTAGCTTCTTTCCCCAAAGCCTTCAGTTCATCCAGACTCAGAAGCGAGGCTGCTTCTTCAAGGGAATTGATGTGATCTTCTGATGCATCGGCAAATGTGAAGCTCTCTCCCAGGTTGAATTGCTCTAGGTCAATGCCCTCCAGTGGACTTGAGGCGGGCACAGTAGAGCAGCAAGGGAGTGTCTGGCATTTTTGAAGTGTTTCAACTGCGGCATCGATGTTCGAAATGTCGTTGTGGTAGCCGAGACGACTGCGTCGGTGCCACGACGCTGTCTTTCTCAGAAATAATCGAACATATCTGATCATGGTAAGCGGGGTAGCAGCATATTCCAGCGACAAATAACCTACAAATACTGTGCCTCATAGTCTAGTTCTTTCCATTGACGGAAGACATCCATTTCTTTTTCATCAAACAAATGCGACTCTTCGTCTAACACAGTATCCAAAGCAAGATTGAAAGCGTCCACATATATGGAGCTTTTGCCCTTGACCCAGAGCGGTTGGGTTTTCTCAGATGTCCCATCGTTGTCTGCAGCACTCATTTGCGATGACTTCATCGCCTCGTACTCTTCGATAGCTTCCTTGTCAATTTGAGTGGGCGGCAGCGCACTCTCAAACTCCGTCATCTGATGTCTGCCATATTGTTCCTGATCATCGGAGCAGCCTTCGTCTGCAACCTTTGGTTCATAGTCTTTTTCTGGGGAAGAAGAGTCTGTTTGATCGGATTCAAGCTCTCTGGCTTCCTTTCGTTTGACTCGCTTTGACGGTCTCTCTGTGTCTGGCCCAACAGGTGGGCTGGCTCGAGTATTATTGCCCAGTTCGCTCTTTGGTTTCGAGAGCCTCGTTACGAATGCATCCATGCTTCCAATGAAGTCATTGCTCGACTCAGAGAAGCGAATGGTGTTCTTTTTCGCACTGCCGATTCTATCGATGAGGGGGACGCGAAGAAGCCAGGCAGACACGTTACTGGGCGAGCCAATCTAACGCGAAAGCACGTGCCTGATTTCTGTCTCGAGCTGCTGTCCCGACAATCTACCGGCGCGATTCGACCCTGACCACGAGCATCATCTCGCTCCGTCTTGTCTGCCAGAATCCTTGCAATTGCCAATTGAATAAATCGACTAACAAAATGGCGGAAGAATCACCCAAGCCCTATCCGGCGGTTGACGTTCCACAAGTCACCGCCTCGTTTGAATCCGCTGCGAACACCCTCCCGGCGCATCCTGCACAAAGAGACACCCCGCAAAGGGACGTGGTGATGTCTGATGCCATGATGGACCAGCCTGCGGTATGTGTTTGTTCCTTTGTTTAAGGCAGCCTGCCTGAAAGGCTATGCATGCAATTGAATTTCTCGCCGACATCGCCGACTCCGCCTTTGCAACCTCCTCCAACACCACGCGCCCCGTCCACACAGGCCATATACCCAACATCATCGAGACAACCTCGCTAACAGGAAATGAAGTCCTCACCCGCGCCGGCCGCTTACGCCCCGAGTCCTCTCCCTGCGCGAACCGGAACTCCGGCGCAAGGATCAAGAGCCGCATCAGCACACCCCGATCCCGGCTTCTCGATGCCAGCTGAAGCTCCCCCACACGGCGATTCGACCCGAAGATATCTGAATACGAACGTTACGGGAGTCTTACTCGAAGGCATGAAGCAGTTGGCGAAGGACAAGTATGAATTCACCAGGTTGACTTCGAGCAACGACCACTAACGAAATGGTAGACCACACGACCCGCTGCGAGTCCTTGGAGAATATCTCATACAAAAATCGAAAGAACTGGAAGTGACTGGCTAGAAGTAATAGGTTGCATTGTCACTAGCGCTGGATATCACATTGGGCGGGAGAGATTAAGCATAAAGGGCGTTCCGGATATCAGAAACATTCATCAATCGGTCAGGGGTGTGGTATTGCCATTACAGCTCAGCGGTCGGAATTGCTTTCTATTTGAGCAGTCGACTACACTGCGGTCCTCCCAGACAGGGTGCATAAGCATCATGGCTCTAAATGCAAGTTTTCCATAATTTGTCCCCAACTCCTCCATGACCCCCGGGAAACCATCACCTTCACCAGTAGCGTATAACCATGGATTGATTCGCTTAAGAGACGATGGTGCTGGCGGTGGCGGACTCGTACTTCCAGGTAGGGGGAAGGACACCGACGGTCTTGTAGTAACGGGCAAGACGGTGGATTCGGGACTCGATGAGAATGAGGCGGAACTTGGAGTCCTTGTCCTTGCGGTTGCGCTCGAGGTGCTTGCGGACGGCAACAGCCTGTAATGGGGAAAAATCTCGTTAGTGGCTAATTCTCAAGATGTTTGAGTTCAGTAGTGCCAGTGCGTACCTTCTTGATGAGCATGTACAGATCCTCGGGAAGCTCGGGGGCGAGGCCTGTTAAGTCTCTCTGTCAGTCTTGACCGTACAGAGGCATTGGAGAGATTGTCTCCATTTTAAGATGTATATCCACCACCACATCCTTGGTTATTCAGGGTGTCGTACCGTTCGACTTCAGAATTCGGAGAATTCGGTTACCTGGGAACCTCGTTAGTAATGCGCTCCTGTTCTGCTTGTTCGCAAATCACATACCGGTGACAATCTTGACCTGGGCAATGCCGTGGGAGTCACGGAGGATGACACCGATCTGGGAGGGAGTGGCACCCTTACGGGCCAGCTTGGAGATCTGCTCGACGACCTGCTCGGGGGTGGTCTTGAGCCAGGCGGGAGCAGTGCGGGAGTAAGGGACAGCAGAGGCAGAAATGCCCTTGCCGTTGCTGTGAAGGCGGCCCATCTTGTCGGTTAGTAGGTGGTGGTGAGGTGGTGATGCTGAAAGATTGACGACGGCCGAGAGTGTAAAAGTTCTCCAGGAGTTGTGTGTGGGTTTAGTTAGGGCAGAGGCGGGTGGAGCCGTTCGCGCGCTGGCCTAGTGGGGCCATCACGTGACTCGTCGACCGGCAGCAGCATGAGAAAAAGCGCGACTCGCGCCAACCCAAATTTTTCTTCTCTGTCTTTACCCAGAATTGACAAAGATTCACATTGAATGTCAACAAAGCCCGTCCAATGAGGCTCGCTCTCTTATAGTAAGTCACATCTCCTCTCTCACACTCTCTCCCATCGACCATCTACATGATGATAAATCACTTTTTACTTTATTTCTGGTACCTCTTATGTTAGAGCCTTCGGGCTCAATGAATGATACGGACTTCTGATATCTGGTCACCTACCTACATTTCTGTCTACATATGTGGAAAGAATTTTCACTGACAGGATTACAGATCTTTTACAAACTCTCTTCCAAACTTGGTTCTCTCCATAGACTCGCCCCCCACTGCCGTGAATGTTTACCATAGTCGTGCCATGTTCAAATAAAGAAATTGAATTCACTTATCCCGCGCCTGTGCCTGCATAGTTGTATCTAGCCTGGCAAAACTTCAAAGCTCCATTTCATGTCCACTGTTTTACATTTTCAAGTGACCACGCCCTCCGATACACCAGCAGAGACGACTCCCATTCGATCTCGAGACGCATAACCAAATCTCCCTGTTTGACTAATCCCCTACTATCCCACCCCTTGCCATTAAACACCTACCACGCGCCGACATCGAAATTTTCCTGTGGTCTTAGTTAGCACCAAGTTGTAAGGCCGTTAAACGTTTACATACCTCGGGGAAATAGGTTGTCACGACGGTTCTGTCCGCAAACTTTCGCCCAGCCAGCGACTTTAAGGCCTTGGTTGTTGATTCCGTCGTGTCGAACTTGACAAAAATCTTGCCCACACCAGCAGATTGCCTGCTGCCACCAGTGGGTCTTGGGATCTTCAGGTCGGCGATGGTGCCAAACTTGGAACACTCTTCGCGGACGTCCTCACAGATTTCTATTACACCAAGTTAGTAAGGAAGCCGTGACGCTAGATGGGCGGCCGGATCATACCTTCATAGTCATCGTTGTCCATGAGCTCCTCGGCTGTGACCATGTTAAGAAGCTGCAGAACGCGGCTTGTCTCGACCTCATTGGTAGTCTGAGAAGCAAGACCACTGATGGCAGTGATACCAACATCAAAGTTGGCAACCTGGGTAGGGCCAATGCTAGCCTTGGTAACTCTCAACTTTTTGCCTCCGACATCCATACCGTTCAAGGTATCGAGAGCAGGCGGGTTGGCCGCGACTGGGTCCTGGTATTCAGCAAATGCAATGCCCTAGGTATCGTTAGAAACTACTACAACAGCTATGTTGTCAAGAATTACTCACCCTGGATTCCTCAGTGCCTCTGTCCTTGACGAGGATGAATGCCTTTGGCTTTCCGAAAGCGGCGAGCAGTTCAATGACTTGGTCCTCTGTCAGGAAGGTTGGAATGTTGGCGATGCTTAGCTTATTGACGGTATCCGGTACAACGTTGGAGACCACCTCAGGATCGAAAGCAACCTCCTCAGTAATGGCCGGCACCACGTAGTCCCTGGGTCGACGGATCTCCAGACCGCGAGCACCTCCATTTGCTGCGCCGTTCGCGGCATCGTCTGCCTCAATGGAAGTGCCGTCCAGGGCCAGAGCAACTGTTGCATCGGATGCGCTCCTGAACTCCAAGACGGCGAAAGAGTGGTCGTTGGAGAACTGACAGAGAGTGCAAGGGTCCGTGTTTTCAATGATGTTGAGGCCATTCAGTTGAAGGTTGAAGAAGGACATCAAGCTCTCCTCAGTTGTTCCGGATGGAATCTTGGAAACCAGAAGACGCTTCGACTGCCTAGAGTTGCTGGCCTTGAGACCAGCACTGGTGACCTGGCCACCCGGCTGGTTCATGAAAGCCTGGAGCTTACTGGGATCCATGGGCTGCTGTCGAGGTGCACCTGGCAGAGGGAACATGCCTGAGAGCTTGGCCTGCTCAGCCGTGACATTTTCGTAGCCGGGGGGCTTGATGTCCCACTGCGTCAACCGGCGCTTGCGCTCTAGAACAGGAACGATGTCGGTCAAGTCGGGTGTTGGCTCTCGCTTCTTAGGAGGCGGAGTTGGGCTACGGCGGTTTTCGTGTCGCCCGAATCCCTCCTCGCGTCGGTCCCTGCCTCCGCGTCGGCGATCCTCGAAAGGCTCTCGTTGTTCTCGTCTGGGAGGCCGTTCGTCGTCGTCGCGTCGGGCATCGCGGCGGGAGGAACCTCGATCGCGGTCCCATTCGCGCTCGCCTCCTCGTCGCTCACGTCCAGAGTATCTGTCCTCACGCTCTCGGTCCCGATGATTTCGGCTCGAAGAGTACGCATCGACGTCTCCTTCGCCTCGTCGATGACTTCGGTGGTCTGGCGACCGGGAACGTCGACGGTCTCGATCTCTATGTCGGTCACGGCGATCATCTCGTTCACCACCTCTGGGAGGCTGCAAGCAATCAGTACACATGAAATGGATAGAGAGTAGGGAGGTATTTACCGGATAGTCTCGTCCTCTGCGCCCGCCGCCGCCGCCGTCTACGTGTTCGTGGTTAGCAACGCGACAAGGAGAGAAGGGGTGTGGGAATGGACATACCTCGGGACGAGTAACTGTCGCCGTTCATATTTGAGATACTGACAAGCGACTCCAAGAGAGTGTCAGGATCGGCTGGAATTGATGATGTTGTCTGGTTGGGAGGCAGCTCAGGTTCATCAAAACCGCAACGAGGTTCCAGGACCAAAAGCTGGAATCGCGCGAGGCTGGAGCTTTTTTGCCAGATGACGCTAGGGGTTTTTGGGACTAGCGCCCAATCGAGTCTCAATTACCCGCCAAAACTGCAGGCTCAGGTGTCCAGCTCTAGGGCGACGGACTAACCTACGTCTCCAGAACTCAACTCCTTTAATTCATCGCCAAATTTCAGCATTGATTGTAGAGCCCGCCTGTGAACTGATTCCTAGCAGCTCCAACAGGAAATGGCTCATGCACGAATTTCTGAATGGCGAAAGCTGCCTGTGAGCTTGGCGGAGTTGTGCATCAACACCACGCTCCGCTGTGGCCAATCCTTTAGATGGCGACAGATCAATGATGAATGGTTAGCATTTGCATTCCCCAGCGTCGTGTATGTCCCCTAACGTCCCCAGGATATGTACCTTGCACGGGCGCATCCTGTCTCTGAAGCAAGATTCTACACACCTGCATTATAAAGTCACCTGGCCAGAGACGCGACTCAGTGCTCTCACTTCACCCTCAGCTACGGATGACACAGAGGCACTCTTGCGCCACTACTTCAGCCTGAACGTGGACCTTGGAAAATTGTATGATCAGTGGTCACAAGCCGACCCCAACTTTCGAAAAAGGGCGTCCAAGTTTATGGGAGTTCGCATTCTCAATCAGGATGCCTGGGAAGCCTTGATAGGCTTTATTTGTAGCAGCAACAATAACATCCCCAGAATATCGCAAATGGTAGGCAGACTCACAATATTTTCAAGATGGAGCCAACTGACCTGTATCCTCTGCCAAGGTTCATAAATTATGCAAGCACTATGGCCCTCTCATCGGACATATTGGAGATGAGGCATTCCACGACTTTCCAACTCCTGATGCATTGACAGGCAAGCAGGTGGAGTCTCATCTCAGAGAACTTGGGTTTGGATACCGCGCGAAATACATCGCCGAGACAGCGCGGATGGTATCAGAGGAGAAGCCAGCCGACTGGCTAGAAACCCTCCGGAATCCCGAGACCCCAGGCTTCAATACGCTCCCAGTGCCAGAGGACCAGCATGTAACCTACAAGGAGGCACATGAACAACTCCTCACCCTCAAGGGTGTCGGTCCGAAAGTTGCAGACTGTGTTTCTCTCATGGGTTTGGGATGGAGTGAGTCAGTTCCAGTGGACACACACGTCTGGCAAATTGCCCAGAGGGATTATAAGTTTGGCAAGACGAAGACGAAGACGTTCAATAAAGCCATGTACGATGCAGTGGGAGACCACTTCAGGGCGCTCTGGGGAAAGTACGCAGGCTGGGCGCATTCGGTCCTCTTTACCGCTGACTTACGGGAGTTCTCTGACAGAGTGGCAAAGAAGGAAGACGCTGGTAAGGTGAAGATTAAGGAAGAAATTGTGGAAGAAGATGACCAGGTCCCGAAACGGAAGAGGGAACGGATGATCGAGACAATTACGACGCAGGTCAAGACAGAGGTCAAAACATGGACCGAGACAGACCCCAGAACAGGGGTCAAGACAGAGTTCGTCAAGAGGGAGGTCACCAGGGAGATTACGAGGGAGATCAAGAGGAAGCCCCAGAGGGAGCCAAAGGCGGAAATCAAGTCTGAGGAAGGGACAGCGACAATTGTAGACGTCGGACGCAGACCGAAAAGACTGCGGACTAATTAGGACGAAGTCGTGAGACGTACGCGGATCTCAGATCCAGTCTGTCCTCCAATAAGGAGCGTGTTTGAGGCTATTCTCTGGCTGCGAAACGAGAAGATTTTGTTATAGTTAGCATAGAGGGCTTAATGTACCACCGAGGAAAAAATAGGCACTGTAATTAATTTAAATATTTTCCCCAACTCGCCATCATTTTTCATGGATTTATTTGAATCAAGAGTCCAAGATGCATGTGACCACGCGGTTGTACCTGTCTGCCTGAGCGGCTAAGCTTCGGGTGGAGACAGGAGTCGCGCGTGAGGATTTTCGCCTCCAGGGAAAGCTTCGAGCACTGCAATTTTGCGACCAGCCACATCAGCAGCACCTCCCCATGCACGACGACAACGCCGGGAGCGCCCCTTGTACTCTTGAACCGGGATGAAGTAGGGAATTCGATAAGTCAAGATGTCTGACGCCGATTTCGAGACGATCAAGAAGCTCCAGCAGGAGCGAAATGCTGCTGCTGCCGCGAAGAAGGGCTCGCGCACCTTCGACGCCTCAAACCAACGAGCCGACTCGACAAAGCAGAAGCTCACTGACAGCGCCGACAATGATCTCTACGATCGCGATTCAGGCGACAAGTTTGCTGGATATCATGCCTCCTTGCCGATGGGCGGCGAGGATGAGGATATGGAGGGCACCGACAACACGCGCCGACTTGTTGGACAATACACTGCGTCGCGAGAGATGATCGACGAGTTTGCCCGGGGAAGCGGTGTTGAGGAGGATGATCCCTTGGCCGGCCGAGGCGAGAAGAGCGGCCGCATTGCCGACCGCGAGACTGATTATCAGAAACGTCGCTTCAATCGCGTTCTCACCCCGACGCGCGCCGACCCTTTCGCAGAGAACCGCAAGGCTGGTGCATCCGAAAACGGCACCAGCTACCGCGAGGTTATGGAAGCCCGAGACCTCGAACGAGAGGAGGAACGCGTCCGACGAGCCATCCAGGCAAAACAAGAGGGCCAACCCGATGGCGACGATGCGCAGCCTATGTTGACCGAGGGAGATAAGGAGAACGCTGAAGCGGGCTCAACTGAGGCCGTGGCTGCTGGGAGGAAGCGCAAGAAGAGATGGGATGTTGCATCGACCCCTGTCGATGAGGAGGAGGGCAAGTCTGAAGCCGGCGACGCTGCCAAGTCTAAGCGTTCGCGATGGGACCAAGCACCTGCTATTGCTGCGCCTGGTGCAGATGCTGCCAAGAAGCGCTCTCGCTGGGACCAAGCCCCATCTGCCACCCCGATGGGAAACCAAGGGCTTGCCACCCCAATGCACCAGTCGTCTGCCGCTGCCATGCCGACCACCTTCGGAACGGACATCTCCGGTCGCAACATGCCTCTTAGCGATGAAGAGCTCGACATTCTTCTCCCAGGCGAGAACGAAGGCTACAAGACCCTTGATCCACCTCCAGGATATGAGCCTGTCCGCGCTCCCGCCCATAAGCTCATGGCCACACCGGCTGCGCAGACCGGATTCATGATGCAGGATCCTGAGCAAGTGCGCCTGAGCGGAAAGCCTATGCCTGCTGAGATCCCTGGTGTTGGCGACCTTCAGTTCTTCAAACCGGAGGATATGGCATACTTTGGAAAGCTTACCGATGGTTCCGACGAGAACGTTCTCACCGTTGACGAGCTGAAGGAGAGAAAGATCATGAGGTTGCTTCTCAAGATCAAGAACGGTACTCCGCCGATGCGAAAGACTGCTCTTCGACAAATTACCGACAACGCCAGGCCGTTCGGAGCCGGGCCCCTGTTCGACCAGATTCTTCCCTTGCTCATGGAGAAGACGCTGGAGGACCAGGAGCGTCATCTGTTGGTCAAGGTCATTGACAGAATCCTTTACAAGCTCGATGACCTCGTGCGACCATATGTTCACAAGATCTTGGTAGTTATCGAGCCCCTCCTTATCGACCAAGATTACTACGCAAGAGTCGAAGGTCGTGAGATCATATCCAACCTCAGCAAGGCCGCTGGTCTTGCTACAATGATCAGCACTATGAGACCCGATATCGACCACGTCGACGAATACGTCCGAAACACCACCGCCAGAGCCTTCGCTGTCGTGGCTTCCGCTCTCGGCATCCCAGCTCTACTACCATTCCTGAGAGCCGTCTGTCGAAGCAAGAAGTCATGGCAGGCTCGCCATACCGGTGTCAAGATTGTACAGCAGATCCCTATCCTCATGGGCTGTGCCGTCCTTCCCCACTTGAAGGGACTGGTGGATTGCATTGGACCCAACCTCAACGACGAGCAAACGAAGGTGAGGACCGTGACCAGTCTTGCTATCGCGGCTTTGGCAGAGGCATCCAACCCATATGGTATTGAGAGTTTCGATGACATCTTGAACCCGCTATGGACAGGTGCCCGCAAGCAGCGAGGAAAGGGGTTGGCCGGCTTCCTCAAGGCTGTTGGCTTCATCATTCCTCTGATGGATGAAGAGTACGCCAACTACTACACCAGCCAGATTATGGAGATTTTGCTTCGCGAGTTCTCGTCCCCGGATGAGGAAATGAAGAAGGTCGTCCTCAAGGTTGTGTCCCAATGTGCGGGAACGGATGGTGTGACAGCTGGATACCTCAAGGAGCACGTTTTGGACGAATTCTTCAAAAGCTTTTGGGTAAGGCGGATGGCCTTGGATAAGCGCAACTACAGACAGGTGGTGGAGACGACAGTTGATATTGGCCAGAAGGTCGGTGTGAGCGAGATCGTGGAGAGGGTTGTCAACAATTTGAAAGACGAGAGCGAGGCGTATAGAAAGATGACGGTCGAGACGGTGGAGAAGATTGTGGCCAGCTTGGGTGCTGCTGACATTGGTGAGCGACTGGAGGAACGCCTTGTTGATGGTATCCTCCATGCGTTCCAGGAACAGAGCGTCGAAGACATTGTTATGCTCAATGGATTCGGCTCTGTCGTAAACGCCCTCGGAACCCGATGCAAGCCATACCTGCCACAAATTGTCAGCACCATCCTTTGGCGGCTGAACAACAAGTCTGCCACCGTTCGACAACAAGCTGCCGATCTCATTTCTCGGATTGCCATGGTCATGAAGCAGTGTGGCGAAGATGCTCTCATGGGCAAGCTAGGCATTGTTCTTTACGAGTACCTCGGAGAAGAGTACCCTGAGGTCCTCGGTTCCATCCTCGGTGCTCTGCGGTCCATCGTCACTGTCGTGGGTATCTCGCAGATGCAACCCCCTATTAAGGACTTGCTACCGCGACTGACTCCCATCCTGCGAAACCGTCACGAGAAGGTACAGGAGAACACGATTGACTTGGTCGGCCGTATCGCAGATCGTGGACCCGAGAGTGTCAATGCCCGAGAATGGATGCGAATCTGCTTCGAGCTGCTCGACATGCTCAAGGCTCACAAGAAGGGCATTCGACGAGCAGCCAACAACACCTTTGGTTTCATTGCCAAAGCTATTGGCCCTCAGGATGTCTTGGCTACCCTCCTTAACAACCTCCGAGTTCAGGAGCGTCAGTCTCGTGTCAACACCGCCGTCGCCATTGGTATCGTCGCTGAGACTTGCGCTCCCTTTACCGTTCTACCCGCGCTGATGAACGAGTACCGTGTTCCCGAGCTCAACGTCCAGAACGGTGTGCTCAAGTCTCTCTCTTTCCTTTTCGAATACATTGGCGAGATGGCCAAGGACTACGTCTACGCTGTGACTCCCCTGCTTGAGGACGCCCTCATCGACCGAGACCAAGTCCATCGTCAAACTGCCGCTTCGGTTGTCAAGCACATTGCGCTTGGCGTCGTGGGTCTCGGGTGTGAGGATGCCATGGTGCATCTCCTCAACTTGCTGTACCCCAATCTATTCGAGACCAGCCCGCACGTTATCGATCGCATCGTGGAGGCCATCGAGGCCATTCGTGTGGCGGTCGGTCCGGGTTTGGTGCTCAACTATGTTTGGGCTGGACTGTTCCATCCAGCAAGGAAGGTCAGGACGCCGTACTGGCGACTGTATAATGATGCGTATGTACATGGATCAGATGCCATGGTGCCCTATTACCCCAACCTAGATGAGGACAAGGTGGATCGGCCAGAGTTGGCGATTGTGCTGTAAGAGTTTGGATAGGGAGGCTTTGGGACTGGTGATGGGAGAGCTTTTCGTTGCTGTTTGCTCTGAGGAGGCTTGTAATCTGGGACTATGGTGTGGATTGCGAGGGAAGCATGCGCCGGGGCGTTCTGATAGATGATCACAATGGCTTCACTGTACTGAATTACATTTAAAATTGAATCTTTACATATATGGTACTGTTTGATGTGAATTTATCCCCTGAATATTCAATACACAGACGAGCCATACCAGTTTGATCACAGCGGTTGAAGATATTTGAGATATCAACACCGCAGCCCAGGTCGCAGCCGACTGGAAACTTAACGAGAGCGTATTACCTCCGTCCATTCAGAGCATTAGATTCAATCATTTCACAGGCTTTAATCATGTTCTTCTAGAGTCTTTAGACGAAGCATTTTAAGAGGCTTTGTGTCAGATGACTTCTTTAATCGTGATATTTAAGACAGGCGGTGTGGCATTGGAAAGACACAGCATCCAGGAACTCCGTCACACAGACACTCTGGATATCTGGGCTCTGATCCCCATAATCTGGATCAGTCTAGCTGGGAGCGTGCAGCATCCGGTCTGCTGATCTCGTGCGATGGACGTTCCGTGCTCCAGTGTCATCCAGAGCCTGGGGATTCTCTCGCTCTGGCCGCTATGATCCCCACGTGGAGTAGCCTCCCTCAACAAGCTACGGTGTAAGACGCCCCTAAAGCGCACGGGCAGCTTCGAGGAACTTTTGCCGTTCCATGCGGCCCCCTCTCGGCAGATGAAGAGAGCAGGCGGTGCCGTCTTGACTCACGGAGGCGGAACTTGATGACCCGGTGTAGGTAGCAGCACACCATTGTCCGAGACAGAGAGAGAGAGGGAGAGAGAGAGCACTTCTTGGGTGCAGGGAGAAAAGGAGGCTTGAAAACGCACGGCCTGGGCTCACTGGTCGCACTTTTGCTGCTGATGATCGACAGTTGAGAATGACTCGGCCGCCCGAGGCCAAAGATGTGAGTGGGTGCGCGGGCGCCAGCCGAAAGCATGTGTTTCTCTCTACGGGATAGGAGGTCCTTTCTTTGGCCATCGGCTGCATGTGGGGGGTTCAAGCCCGCATGTCTGCCGCCCCTGGTCGGGATGCTACGCTGCTAGAAAGGAGGTGATGGGGATAGTGGGAGGAGTAAGCTGGTCTCGTGGCGGTGGTGTTGTCTCGGCGGGTTTCGTCCCCTGCAGCTGTGCTTGCTGTACGATGGAAGCCAAATGTGACACCACGACAGGATGACGGGATTGCAGAAGGTCGAGGGCGTTCTTCCTTGAACGGCGCGAGTCAGGGCGTTGCTTGTGGTTGAGGGAGCTCCCCGCCCGGGCGATGAACCACACCCTCGGCACTCACTTCAATGCTCCCGTGATGGTTTATTGACTCGTCACGAACACAAGCGTTGGTGACTTGTCAACTCTCAAGGCGGAAGAGGGGTTGTTAGTGCGGCTAGCTGCGCTGCGTCAATGATCTGATGATACCCAGAGGTAGACAAGATCTGGGGTACAGCGAATGTGGTGACTGCGAGGTGCAGGATGATAACGACCATAACCCACAACAGTAACAATGTGCATGAGATGGTGTGGAGGATCAAGATGGCCTCGGTAGAACTGATCCGGATGAGGATCCGGATGAGAAATGAGGCTGTATTCATGGGACAGGCGGAAGGATCATCGTCACGAGGCGGTTGGAAGTATCGTTGTGGCGCTGACCAGGTGAGTCTTGGAAGCGCTCGAGACTGGAACCATGGGGCAAAATTGAGGACAACGGGCGAGATGACACGAGATGACACGAAATCACAAATAACTTGCTACGAGGGACTCTGCCGTGCCGTGAAAACTATGAGGCAGAAAGCCATGCTAGGTTGAGAGACAAACAAACAGACTAGACGCTGTTCTGAGGGCTGAGGGCTGAGAGCTGATAGCTGACAAGGCTCAAACAGGGCAGGGCAGTGTCTCAGCGCTCGAGCCTTAAACGGCCGCTATCCAGGAACGCATGTTGGATGCCTAAACAAAGGATCCTCGGCATTTGCAAGTTGGAGGCGAAAGCTTCTCGCCGGGACAAGGCCGCTGAGGTTTTGCTCCAGCTCCAATCCCGGAGCTCTTAGAAGAGCCCCGCTCCCACGATGTAACTAGTTGCTGACCTGGCTAGCTGCTGCACTGTACTGTACCTGTTCGCTCTCGTGTCTGTGTGTCTGAGTGTGCGTGAGCGTGTGTGTGTGTATGTGCGCCTGTGTGTGTAGTAGCGGAGTGGAGTGGCAGCAGCAGCAAGTGATTTAGTGGCTGTAAGCGAGGACAATGCATCCATCCCATAGTCGCCAAGGCAAGAAGTAAGGGAGATAGATTGTGATGGGCGGAACGAGAGATGGCATTTGTTGAGAATGCCATAAGGGCGGAAAAGTCGGTAAGTGAAGGACGGAATAGGCGGGCGCACACGAAAAAGGAAATAATCACACATTGTAGATGAGTGAGTTAGTACTGTATGTGTGTGACGGGGGGGAAGGAAAAGAAGAAGAAAAAGGGAGCTATTATTAAACTCCAAAGCACATCACACGAATCGTAAGGGAAACTCTGAAATGTTTCGTTTCTTCTTCTTCTTCGTCTTCTCTACGGGCCGTGAGATGCGAGGCTTGCTAGCCTGCTGGGGGCCCTGGCGTTTAGCGCCCGGTGAGGGGGGAGGGGGGAGGGGGGAGGGGGGGCTAAGATGGAATTTGTCAGTACCGATACTATGTACGCACTGTCCAAGACGTGCAGCATCTCGATGTCTGGCCGGGGATACGTTTAGTTGGGATAGTGGGATACTAAACTAGCAGCTCGATGTTGGGGTTAGCGGGCGGGACATCACAGGAGACAGCCAGTGGGGGTACGTTTGCAAAGAAGTGGCGAAACGTGTGCACTATGTAGTATGTATCAACAAGCAACAAACGTAAACGGCATCAACGTCAAGCGTGAAGCATGAAGCCGTTCAACCAAGGCAGTGCTACTGTACTGTACTGCTGCACTGCCGGAGGGAGGTGTGGACTTTGGTTTGCCTTTGGAGGGGGGGAAGAAACCACACATGGACATCTTTGGCTCCACTTGTACCCAACACGGAGGTATTCGAGCTCCGTCTACACCGTCTAGCAGTCGCGACGGCGCCGGGAGTTGAGTTTTTGAGGGGCGGTGGATACACACGAAGTAGTCAAAATCGCTGTTGGGGAGAGGAGACCAGCCAGAGGGGCGGGTTAGTGGCAAAAAACAGAACAGGACAGGACAGGTCGATTCGAGTCAAGGCGAGTCAAGTCAAGTCCAACGTCCCAGTTTGGGTGTGTCCAGTTGGTGTGTCTCCCACCTGCAGCACGTCTGCCTGCAGTTGGGCGCACCAAGCAGCCACACAGGAACGAACCGCAGGACACGATCTTTCGGCCGACTGGCGGACGACATCTCGAAGCTTCGTTTCTGATGTCATGAATGCTACAGCCCAAAAAGATGAGGCATCAATGTCGCCATCGGGCAACCAACCACCTCTCTCACGACCAGGGATAGGGAAAAGGAAGCCGGAGAATGGAAGGGAAACAACGACCTCTCCCGTCTGGTTCGTTCGCCCCGCTGTCATGACCAGCATTCTCATCCCATCGGGAACATCTCCGTCCATGTTCCATACCATACCGTACATACACGGCGGCAGTGGCATTGGGTGGGTGGGTGCGGGCGATGACTGAACTGGCAGGGGGGGGTTCATCCAGTACTAGCAGTCCTACAGAGGGACCTAGGTACTGACAGGCACTGCTTCGATGCGCTACGCACTCACTAACAGCACTAACAGCGCACACCTCGGCCGGCTGCGGTACCCAGGGATCCCCTCCCCATCCCATCTCACCCCTGCGCCTCACCTTGTCCTGAACCCTGTCATTCGTACACCAAGTCCCATGTACATGCGCACCTGCAAACCCTTGTTCCCGTCCACTTTTCCCCCTATGCCTTCCCTGGCTCCCCTGTCCATGCCCGAAAGAGGCTAAATAAATCAAACCGCCTCAAGTGCCATCGACTACTGCCCACTTGGCTCTTGGCTCTTGGCTCTGTCTTTTTTCTTCCTGCACACACCCCCTCCTCCCTCCTCCCCCCCCGGCAGCGGAGTCTCCGCTTTCTCCTCATCTTGCCCCTCTCTCTCTGCCCCTCCCCACACTGCCAGCCGAGGTACGTACTACGTAACTCCTCCTCGACTTGGTCTAAACCCCTTTGGGTGGCCGGCAGTGGGGTCCGCGTCGACCAATAATCGGCCCCGGAAGTGACGTTGTCCGGCCGGGGCCCGGAGCCGGGTGCGTACCTATGTGTCTCCAGCATATCGCCGGGAGACCCTGCTGCCGTCGCCGCTGACGTCAGGGCGCCGATGCCAACAATTTTTCCTTGACAGCATCCAGCATCAAGCATCCAGCATCCAGTATCCTGCCCAAGATTGCTACAAGGGGAGTATGAAACGGGAGGACATTTGGCGAGTGACCACCCCCCCTGGCGAATTGCACCGAGGCTCGCTGTCTCTTGGCAATGATTTGGATTTATGGCTCCCCTTTACCCTCTTTGCGGAGTAGCTCGCAATCTATCGTACCTGGCTCTCTGCCGTAGCGACCCTTCCCCGAGATTTGTTTTGGGTTTTAGGCATTGCTTTTGATCGTGTGCCCAGCCGCCGATCCACCTGCCGCGCTGTAACTGTAACTGTAATTGCAACTACAACTGCAACTACAACTGCAGATGCGGATGCGATGCGCGATGCGGAGAGCTCTAGCCACAGCGCCCGCATCCAATCCATCTCTCCACAGATGCATACCTACCTGATCCTTTTCGTGAGGCGGTAGGAATGGACCTCGTCGCAAAACAAGTTTTCGTGGCCAAGCCTTGCCAGAGGGTTGATGTCAACATATCCGGAATTCCATCACTCACTGCTCATAGTCATACTCACCCTCTCACCTCCGGCGTCATGATGAAACCCTCCCGACCTTGCCCCCCCCTTCCCCGACCATTTGCATTTTCCCCATGTCCGATTATCTGATTTAATTTATTCATGGCGCCGCCGTGATGCACTTGTCGCCAATCCACTGGCCCCCCCCCGAGCTATCCCAGCTTTTGCCCTCCACTAGCACCCCCCCTTCCAAAGCCCCTCCCCATCGAGCAGGACCCTGAAGATCAATCCCGAGACGGCGCTACGGCGTGGCTTTTCGCCTTTTGGTGCAACCTTCACCCACGCAGCCCTCCTGGCCCGGCCATCGACGTCATCGGCCGGGCCACGCTCCGTCATGGCTCCGTGACGGATTCCTTCCAATTGGCTTCGTGTGCCAGCTGGATTGCACGCCGAACCGTCATTGCCCCCCCGAACGCATGCCCCGGGCGCCGTCCGTCGCAGAAAAACAGGGCCCAGGGCGCGCGCCGGGGGCGTTTGTTTTCGTAAAGGCGCGGTGCACCCTTCGTGAAGAAGAAGTGGGATGGATGGATAGCCTCGTTTTGTGCCCACCGAGTGACACACTGGCTCTCTAGTCCGCCGTTGCGTGGTCCACAAAGCAAGATAACGAGATACCCTGGAAATGAGCCAATTGTCAAGACTGAATCAAGCGCAAGCCTCTGCGCCGTCCGTCATACTACGTAAGGCGGACGTATTTGACGTCGTCCACCGTCCAGGAGCTGAGGCCGTCACGGCGTCCGGGCCCGCCCCACCTCCGGGATCCAGCGCCGTTGCCCTGGTTTGGGACCAGCCGTATCGAACGTCATCCGACAAGTCATGCCACGCCGTCATACCGTATCGTCATACCGTCAAGGAAAGGCAACGGGTCCCCCATGAAGGGTGCGCCCTCGCATGTGCCACGCGCAGGGCAACGACTAGATGCGGTGTGCTGGTTGCGGCATGCAACATGCGGCATGCGGCCAGGGGACCATGGACCATGAGAGCGAGGAGAGCTGGTCCGGCTGAAGTCGATAATCCACACTCCCCACTCGGCGATTGGGCACTTCGCTGCTCGGGATGCTTGCCTCAGGTAGTTAAAACTGGACGGCGGACTCGGAGCGCTCTGGCAAAACAAGGGAAAAACAACAGAAGAACAAGACAAGGCATGGATGGCACTGGTCCAAAACTGAAGCCTCGCGTGTACTGGCCCAGATCCACTTTGCCTTCGCTTCCCGTCACCTGTAACTCCGTACCTCCACCCCAGCGAGAGCCCTAACTGGCGACTACCTGCCTATCCCCAGCATCAGCAATCCTCGGCTGGCTGTTGACAGTGACAGTGACAGTGACAGTGACAGCGAGGATCTTCACCACTTCGTACTCTTATTCGACGCTCATCGTCCCGCATCCATGTCGTTTTTCAATCTCCAATCTCCAAATCTTCAACCTCTAATCTCCGTCCTTCCCACATTCGACCTGCCCATCCAGCTGATCCTGCTGCATCCCGGCACGTCTGTCCCCATGCCCCCAATCATCTCCCCACCCCACAAAAGCTTGTCCGGTCTTGACAACACGGCCCTGCTCCCTGGCGATGCCTCTTACGGCAGGGATTCGCCCATCTGAAACGCCGTGCCATTCCCTCCCGAGTCAAGATCTGCCGCCCTCCGTCCCGACTCGGCCATGGCCCCCAGTGATGCCAACATGCTCCATTCTCATCGCCGTCTGGCAGGAGAACGAGGAAATAAGGGGGGGGTCACTGCGAGATTGCCTGCGGTGGCATGAGGATGCCTTTGTGGCTAGACGGGGATGATGCCAAATGAGAGCTGAGTGATCATATGCCAAATGAGGCCTGAATCCATTGTTGAGAAACTCCCAACGTCGGTGTTCCCGGGCTTCGTTTTTCGCCCTTTGAGCACGTCGGTCGTTAGGAAAGCAAGGCCGACAGCTGCGGGCGACACGCCGCGCTGCCAAGCGGCTATTCCTCCAAGCCACCCTCTCTCAGCTCAGGAAGCCGCTTCGCCAAGCATATCGCATACCGCATATCGCATATCATTGGCTTGCGCGCCTTGTTTTGTTTTTTAGACACCCTCGCGCTTATTCTGTCACCACCAAGTCAGTCCTGTACTGCTGCTCTCTCGAGCCTCGCTCGGACATGCCAATTTGCGGGTTCCCAAAAATGTCGTTTTGGTGGGGTTGGATCAGGAGACATAGCTGAGCGTGCCCAAGGGGAACGGGCCCGATTCACACGAGGACGTGAGCCAGGTCAAGGGCGAGTTCCTCTTGGGCGTAGAGGCGTAGAAAACACTCCGGGCACCAGGCACCAAGTCAGATGCCGGAGAGCCCCTGTCGTCAAGAAATAATCACCAGTCCTCACAGGGCATTGATTTTCCTGACGCGGTGCAACCCTCGGCCCTCGACCAACGCTAACTTTTGTTTCGACGCCTTGTCCTCCACGCCGTGGGAGCAAAGTCAAGGGGGATCATGTCATGATTGCCAGAGACGGTCTGTGCTGTTGTACGCAAACAATTCAATTTCAGTTTGTTGCTGCTGTCGCCATCTGTCGACTCCGCTAACTAACTCGTCAAGTCGCAGCCCGGCTTCACCCGTAGCCTTCCTAGTTGCTCATACAAATGCCTGCCTCCCAAGACGTACGGAACACATGATGCTGTGCACCGTCTCAACCGGGTATATCGTCACCGTAACTAATCGTACAATCGCCCCCTCTTCCTCGCCTGCTTCCTTTTCCTCCTTCTTCTCCCTCCGCCAATGGTGTAACAATGCACATTGCCTTCTGCGTGCCGAGAACGTAAGGGTCTTCGAATTTCAGACGGAAACCTCGCTTCGAAACGTAGATATCAAGACAAGCGTGCCCGATCCTGGGAAATAAAAAAAGACAACTGACTCCCCAAACGCCGTGTGGGAAAGGTATCGATAGGTCGGTCCACTCCACAAAGGCCCGTCCCAGAGACAACCCCCCAAAATAAACAATTTCCCGCTAGATGGTATTGGGGAGGAGACCGCAAAAAAGGAGTCACCCTCCCATCGAAACGATCGACTCGAATGATAGAAACCGCCGTAACCTTCCCCTTTCCTAGCCAGTCGGAATCCCCTCCGCCGCCAGCCTTTTGTGGTCCGTTTCTCTAAACCGCGCTTGCCGTGATGTAGTAATATTTCCGGGTGGTAAAACAAAAAAACACGTTGATTAAAAAGGGTGTCCGAGGAAGCCGTTGCTAAACTGAGGTTCGTCGTGACACCAAGGTTTGTGATGGTGAGCGAGTGCTGTATTTGCGTGTGTTCGTAAAAGTAGAATGTAACGACTCGAAGGTCATTGCGAGTATGTGGACCGGTTTACCGCCTTAGAATGTAACCGCGTCGCTTGTTGAATTAGTCGGATTGGTGATCCTCAGATCCAGCTTCCGAGCGAGCATCGCCACGGTGAACTTTCCTGTGTCGGCGAAGGTTGGAAACGACCGAAAAGTGTCGGCCACAGCCCTCAACTTCGCAAGCGAAGGCTAGTAGAGTGTTAGCATGAATTCTTGGTCACACAGATTATTGTGTCAGACACTCGGGTACGTACGCTTCTCGCCAGTGTGGCTGTACATATGGGTCTGCAGGGAACTCGGGCGAGTAAACCGCTTGTCGCAGACCTTGCACTTGTGCTTCTTCTGGGTGCTAGAAGAGACCTTGGAACTGAACTGTCCCATCATTGACTGGGGCGCGGGGGGGATCTGGGAAGCCATCAACCCCTGTGGTCGAGGGAGGGCCCTCGAGTTGACGGATTCGATGTCTGAACCAGCAGTTGAGTAATCGGAGACTGAGTCGCCATAGTAGGAGCTGAAGTTACCAGAGGAGGAGATGGAGGAGCTGGTGGAGTGGGTGGAAGGAAATCCGTATGAGTCTACGGAAGACCTGTCGCTCCGAGGGCCATAGATGTTCCTGGGAGTTTCTTGGCTCATGGCGAGCATGCCGTGGCTTGCGTCAAGAGCATCCGCAAAGCTCCTTCGGTCATCATGAGGGAGACCTCTAAGTTGAGTGTCAGTTCTCTCGCTCGCAAAAGGAGTATCTAACAAGTCTCGATGGGCACTGGGTAGTACTAACTGCTGAGAGAACCGCCTGGCATGGTCTGCGTCAGGGGCGAGAGTGAAGTGTGGCGGCCGAACGGGGGCGGGAGCGTAGCCCATGGCCTCGTACGGGGCAGCAGAGGTCGGCGCGAAGTGAGGGTTGACTGGAGAGGCCGACGTTGTGTACGTCGGGTCCCCGTATGCCGCGGATGTAGTTTGCATGCGGTTGATGCTGAGGAGATCTTGAGGCACATTGAGTAAGTCCTGATGCTCGTAGATACCGGCCATTGAGGGAGAAGGGCTGAGGCTACCTGCGGATGTGTTGGCGACAGGCATTGAGCCATACGATGCAATAGATGAGGCACTGCTGGTGCTGGCGCGGCCACTATGGGATGACTTGCCGGCCATCATATTGGGGTTGAGGGCCTGATGATGGTTGCCGACGAAGAGAGCGCCACCCGCCGGGGCGGTTTGGGGCGGTGACGATGCCGATGACCACGGGTTTGAAAATGCTGGAGGTTGTGCGGGAGCCGAATAGTCAAAGTTCAGCGAGGGCCCAAACCGCTGCTGTGTGGTGTCGAGAGTCATGGTCATGTTGGCGTGTAAACAAGACTATGTAAAGTTGAGGATGAGATGAGAGGCCGAGTAAGCATAGATGGGTTGGTGATTGCGAGGGAAAAAAGGTTTGTTGATCAGATGCGGGATCCTAACTAGAGAAAAGGCCAAGTCGGTCACACAGATCAAAGACAAGATGATCGCTTTTGGTTTGGAGATGTTTGGAGAGTTTTGTCGGGGCCAAGGTGGGATCAGCGAAGTCTTAAGTGTCTGGGTGTGAATTGACGTGCGTCAATCCGCCTTCTGAAGCGGGCTCGGCGGCGGAAGAGCAGTGGAGTTCCCTGTACGTCTGGGTGGAAAAGGTGTGACGACTCTGGGTAAAGTGATCGGCAGGCCGATGTCCTTTCGCGATGGCTGAGGTGACAGGGTTGGTGCGATGAAGTAGGGTCGTAGGACCAAGCAGTGGACCAGGGGGTTGTGGGCTGCATAAGATGATGGCCTCTTAAGTCAATTTTGACAGCCCACGGCAGCCAGATAGCGTCCGCGGTACCAAGACGGCGCAGAGATCAGCAAGGTCCCTGGAGGTGGTCGGAAAATCTTGGATGGACGCGCCCGGGTGTGTTGAACTCTCTGGTCGATTTGAGATTGTGTGAATGAGAGAGGATAGTCCCGTCTGGTTTTCTTGGCGGGATTGGAGATGTGTGCAAAAATCAAGTACACGGTTTGGGACGAACGACGAGGCAACGGTTTATACATGTATCCCTCCAGAGAACGAACACCCAAATAATATCGACACCAGCGAACTCTGTGGATCGGAAAGGGGGGTGGGAGATGGGTGACGGCGTTACGGGGTATGCTTGACTCTCTCCCGCAGGGAGGGGGGGTGGGAACTGAGAACCATCAGCGACGGACTGAGATGGAGGATGGAGTAGTGTGGTGGGTAAGGCTACGTACGGCAGTTTTGCAAAAGGGCCCCCGCCCCCCAAGAGCCAAGAGGCTTGTGGTGCGCGGGCGAACGCCACTGATGTGGAGGGTCTCAGATGAGTTGCAAGGCCGGAGACGGAGAGTGCGTAGCGGGCTGGGACTTGAGGTGGGCGGGGCGCCTGGGCAGGGCGGGATTATGCAGGGTCCCTCGGTGGTTGAGCAATGAGCACGCTCGGCGATGAACTTGGCTGGTCGACTGAGAAGAGGCGGCGGAGGGAATCAAGGGCTCCGAGAGCAGCAAGCCACTCAACGGCAGCATCGAGGGATCCGCCCACGCTTGTTTAGCGTTGGGGAATTGCCAAAAGAGCTTGGCTGTGGTGGTGGGCTTGGTTGTGGGTTTGGTTGCGGGCATCGGCCTTTGGCCGTCAAGTCGCAGGTCATGGGGGGGGATCCCACGTCAACAAGCAAAGCCAGGGGGACCGACTTGGGCTAAGACGTACCGGATACCTTCTGGACGACCAAAAACATCCGGGAGGCGTCAAGCCGCAGCGCCCCTGTCGCGGGAGGGTGTCGACCCATCAGAGCCCTGACGTAAGGAAAGGGCACGTCAAGAGACGGCGCCGGGGTGTGTTGTTTTGAGTGTGGGCCTGTGGGACCCCCCGGGCGAGACAAGAAACACAGGGAGCCAGACGGTGAAGGGAATTGAAACAGTCCCCGCCGTGAGGCAAGGCGCGAGCTGGGAACCGGGACGTGGTGCGGAAGAAGCGCCAGCGCCAGCGCCAGAGAGAGAGGGCATAGCATGGACTTTGGGGGCGACAAAGGGGCACTGACATCAGAGTCCAGCCCGGTGAGGTCGTGAGGCCGCAAACTGACGTAGTGCCCCTCCCCAAGATGCCGCGGCGCTCTCACAAGGGCAAGGCCACACGATGGCAAACCCTGAGATATCACCGTCATCGTGCTCCAGAGTCCTAGAGTCGGGGTGGGACAACTTCAGCGAAGAGTGGTCAGGAATTCGTGTAAACAGCTGGGGGCGGCAAGCAGCACGCAGCACGCGGCACGCAGCCAGCCCGCAGCCCTCCCGCAGCTCGAGAGAGACCCGTAGTCCAGGCCAGGGCACCTAACCCAACACACCATGCTAGGAGGTGGTGTTGGAGTGATGCCATATCGCCGTGACCCACGGCTTGATTGCTGGAGCCTCCCTGGTCCCCTCCCCCTCCGGTCCCGTGCTTGCTTCCCCATGCTTTGCAGCCTTCGCTTGCTCGGGTGGCCAGGCTCTGCTTGTCCCTCGATGGTTGCATGGCTTCCAGGGTAGCATCCGACTGCGGGACACGGTCATGATTGATGAGAGAGAATGGACGACGAGATGAGATGGACGGACACATTGGTTTGGTTTGGTGTCTGAGAGCGTCTGAGAGCGTCTGAGAGCGCCTGCCTGGGGATCCCGGCTGTCAGTTGCCACATCCTCGTACTGTACGGCAGGTACAGGTCTCACTGTCCTGGCGCATTGAAAGGCCAAAGCTTCTCATATCATGACAGTGTCGGGACATTCATCATGAGACTGTACGAAGGTTGCCAAGGGGTGGGTACGTACCAGTTGTACAGTGTAGTACAGTGTGCGGGGCAAGTATCTTTCAGTATCTAGAGGTAAGGTAAGGAGCTTCTTAGATCTTTACTATTTAGTACCTACTTACCTACCTAGGCAATGGACAACTTACTATTATTCTAACAATGAGGTTTTGATATACAAGTGCTTTTAACCTCAAGTACACTACAGCATATAACATTAACATACTTGTCTATTTCTAATTTCCAGGAGACAGCTTCTGTGAGGTCCTCAATGATCGTTGATCACCACAAATCGTACTGTGTGGAGTCTACCTGGATACTAGGTAGGTATTCAAGTTGTCAAACTTCCTCCGCCAATCTTCGCACAGCCCTGGTCCACTGCCCGACCCTGTCCTGCCCGCCCATGTCATGCCCGCTGCCCGCTGCCCGGTACTGCTTTCGACCGATGCTGCGCGATGGTTGTTGGCCTTAGCCCGCTTTGCCTCGATTTCGCCCTGTCTCTCTTGCTAGCTCGACGCCTCCTCCACTTCGGTGAGCCGCCATTTTCCTCCCCAAGGAACGAAAGAAAAAAATGTCTCTTTTGAGAGGTGTGTGGCACTGTCACCGGCGAGAGGGAGAAGCAAAAGAGAGAAAGAAGAAAAGGAAGCAGAAGACGAAGCCATCGACCGGGACTAGCAGTGACACTGACGTTGACAGTGACACTAGCACTGGCATGGTCGTCATTATACGCACTGTATGATGCCGTTCCTGACTTCCTCTACCCGTCATTGCTGCCCGCCCTGGAACCTAATTTACAGCGCCTACTTGCTTCCGGGCTGCGGGTCCTTTGTCCGTCCTTGCACTGTACCTACCTTTGGTTCGTATGTATGTAGCAGGTGGTATGCTTCACACACACACACACACACACACCTACCTACGCACACTGTATAGAACCGCACAGCACTGAGCAACCATTCCGGCGCTCCTTCCTTCCTCTCACGGTGTCCCGGTTGTCCTCCTTCCCACATGGTCCAGGCTACAGACCACTCAACTTCAAGGTACCCAGGCCAACCCTACATTTCTTTACCTTACATCCACCTCCAGAGGCATTCATCCGCATCACATCCTGGCAAGCCTCGGACGCACGCTGCTGCTGCTACTGCTCGAGCTACTGCACCCTCCTCCTCTTCCGGGTGTGTCGCTGTCTCCTCCGTCGACACCTGAGGCCGCTACGCATCAAAGAGCTCCGCTTTGCCCGCCCGTTCGCTGACCGGATGATGGGAGTGGCGCCCACGCTAGGCATGGGGGCGCCGCTGTCGCAGCCAGTCCAACATCGAGCACGCCCTCCCCGTCCACCTTCCACTCCAAGCCGCTCCCGGGAATAAGACCCTGTTGCCTGAGGCCGCAAATCTGATTCGATCAAGGATGGGAAACGTAAATGGCCACCATGGAGACTCAGGGCTTGGACTGGGTTTAGGACATGGGGACATGGCCATGGCGCCGCCAGTCAATCCGGCCACAGACCGCTCGTGAGCCCTCTACGCCTTAGCTCTTCACCAGCACCCAAGCCTGGACACCCAGCCCGGACACTCTATCGGCGTTAAGCCAGCCGCTTTAAAAGCCAAGCCCTGTGGCCCTCCTCCTCGCAAACTAGGCTACAGGTGGACAAGACTAGAGAGAAGTCACCGCGTTGCTCACGACAAGATGGTCATGATAAGATGAAGAACGGTGGCTTTGACTTGGATAGCTACCGCTGCCCAGCTTGCCACTTAAACTCAACTGAGCTCAACTCAACTCAATTCGCCCGTCTCATCACGCGACCCAAGAGCGGCCCGAATTCGACAAAGACGGCAAATCCCGCCAATGCCCACGACCTGGAAGTTTGTTGGCCACAGTGGGATACGGATAGTCAAGGGTGGTGGAAACGCTCCGAGTTCCAGCTTCTCCTCTCTCAAAGCACGCCAAATAACATGGGCTTGCATCCCGAACGCCCACCGATGCAACAAGGGAGTGACAGGCCAGCCCCTCCTAGTAGTCCCCACGTCTGTAGGGGCTCCCTTTCTCTCCTTTGTGGCGACCCCGATGGCTTCTTCAAGATTTCGGCCGGTGCCAGCTGCGTCTCTCCAGTTGTTTGCCCTATTTTGGTCGATGGGTCTTGGTCGTTCACACGAAATCGACCAAGCTTCCCACCTAATCCCAATTCGAGGACATGGATTCAGAGGCGGTAGGCCCAAATGGGATGGCTGAAACAAAGATGTGCATGGGGGCCCCGGACACCCGCTGATTATGGTCATTTAATGGATCTGCCTTGATCACAGCCATCGGCATCCAAATCTGCACGTTGGACAGCCTTGCCGAAGCCATCTGTGCAACCGGCACCTCCATGGCTCTCGACTGCACCGATATGGTCTATTGATGAGAGGGTTTTGTTCTGGCGGCCCCGCGGGCAATTCACCTATCGTCAGACTCATTGGATTATAGGCCGCAATCCCCATGTTCAGCCCAATTTACGTAACTCTCTTGAGACGACATCGGCCATGATTTTAAGACCGGACTGCTTCCCTAGTTCGTCTGATCCAGATACCCGAGATTGACGATACGTCGATCAAGCGCCGGCGCCGGCAGATGCAAACGACCTTTTGCATCGGCGTGACGCCCTGTCTGTTTCCTGCATGCCACATCGCAGGTATCCATGCACCTCCTATTCTTGTAACCTCGCACCTTTCTAGAAGCCGGTCAGATCCGGAAAGGGTCGTCAGGGACGAAAATGAGACGAAAGATTGTGACCTGACGCTGTCATCAGCCTTCCCTGGTCCAAACCGAGAATCATCTCTCATGGTAAATGAAGGGGTCGGGGCTTCCGACCTAGTGGCAGACTGCAGCAGTTGACAGGCCAGTTAAGGCCCGCGCCCATTACAAGGGTATGTCTCAGAATCGACCAGCATTCCCCAGTCCGCCTCCAAGGGAAAAATGTAACCTGAACGGCAGAGATTCAAAGCTCAACTTCGTGTCTATGAAGTACGACGGTTGACACCCTCTCGGGTTGCTTGGCTCAGCTCAAGACTTAGTTTTCTTTGAACCTCATCTCGCCATCAGATCATCAAGTGGGTTTCGACGAGATTACAACGAAAAGATGCCGATGGAACCAGTCCGAGCTTCACGCCATTTCTTGGTTGGTTGTCAACCATGTCCTCGGCATTTTCGTTGAGGACCAGGCCATCAACAGTCTCTCGGGAAAGGGGGTTGAAGAAGATCTGCGATTTTGAACCAACCCGTTATACCACAGAGACTTGCTGGTCACATACAAGATCCAACCACTCATGAGTCAAAGAACTCATCCAGAAGTTATGTCCAGGTTAATACAAACGAAACCCCAATTTTCAACACAACGCACTGGCCGGGCGTTGCAAACCATGAATGTCACCCGATTTGCACTTGGGATAGACCAAGCACGGGATGACACGGTGCATATGGCGCCTTGAGCGGCGGCAACAACTGACAGGCTAGCCGCGAGCCTTGCGATGATTTCTTTGGCTTCACTCCAAAATGTTCAACAAGACCGCATTTATCGCCGACACCTCATCTTCGAGGGGCAACAGGTAGCTCACGCCGTTGGAAAGTGGAGGCATCTTCATGTACACAAGCGCGATCAGGAGGTGGTGAACTCAATCTCAACATCTATTAAAACAGATTTGCGAAGTTTATCCAATACCACCAAGAGCCGCACACGAAAAAGAAATGCCCGATACCCTGCCGCGATCCTAAGCCCCCATGAGTGAGCCGTGAAGGGGTGTTGGTTGCGTCTGCCGAAATCCCGGCGTTTCGTTTTTGAAAGGTGTCGCTGGACGTAACGTGGGATTTGAGATCTCCACTTTGACGGGATCCTGCGGTGAGGGACCCCTAGTCTAGGTAGCGGACGAGGGTCTTTAACAGCTAGCCGAGAAAGGAGACCTATCCACGCTGAAGCTGACAAGAGCGACTCTGGGGGAATGAAACCTGAGCACGGTGCTCTGCCGCGTGAGACCAAGGCAATAAGAGACCGTTGCGAACAGGTGCTGCACTACCGACACCGGTACACACTGGTCTGGGTCCAAGCAAACGGGAGAGGGACAAGCTGCAGCAGCTGGAGAAACCGTCAACCTTCCCCAGACCAGATCTTAGCCAGTCGATCCCCGTACTCTGGTTCTCGGAAAATCATGAATTGGGATGAAGGGTCCCAACAATATCAGAAAGCGAGTCCACCATACACGTGTGGAAAGCTTAAGGATGCAGTGATCGCCATGGTTCACGTTTGCCCGAACGGTTCCCTGGGGCTGCCCGGGGCTTCGCGGACGTTTTCTCCGCGATAATGGTATTGTTTCCACCCGGCGACGGTGGGATCCTCATCGTACATGACGCCAAGCCTTGACACGGGTCGGTTCTTACCAGTGCTAGATATCAGTTCCCTGACCGCACGGCATTCCGCACCCCCCAGTCCTCCTCCCCGGCAAGACAAGGACCGAAATCAGGCAGACCCTTGTGTGAAACAGGCGCGTGACGTCAGGACGGGGGAGATGGCCAGGTACACACGATGTTGAAGTGATAACCCCGTGCGGAATAGAATTTGAGCCCAACTATGTTCATGTCCGGCCTTCTCGGCCGGCGCCTCAGGCCCATGCCAGGACATGGCTAGCAAGCTCAGCAAGGTTGGCAATTCCCTACAGCCTTGGAGGAGAGCGGGGCGTGCAAAAAACAGTGGCGTTGTTGGCGCCGAGTTAGCTCTCTCGGGACGGACTCGAGCCGACGCCACGGGAAGAAGGAACCACGATAAACCAACGAGAAGGGACAATGCCAGCAGGGGGTCGCCTCAGCAAACAACGAGCTTGTCGAAGTCGGTGTTTTTTCAATGGCGCAAGCAGTGGAGCTAGGACGGGGAAGGAGGAACAGCCGGTAGGCACTGGCAATTGGCATGCCGATTGCGGGTCATCGGTCCCTGAAGATCTAGCTTGTCTATCCCTGAGCCGTTCATAGGTGCAATGTGTGCTGTTGCGGCAAATTCAGCCATGCAAGATGCCCAGGGACGAGGACGGGGGACAAGCAAGGCCATGGAGGTGTTCCAGGTTACTCACAGGTCCTCAGGTCAGCTCAAAAGAGCTACATCTAAAGTCCTCGTTATACTTGCCCTCTGGCCAAAACACAATTGGTAAACTACGCCAGGGCTAGCACCGTTGTGTTGATGTCGCCACCGCGATGATGTGTCCTGATATGGCCTGAAATCTACCATCATCCTCATCGTCATTCTCATCATCAGGTCGTCACTTTTGGGAGACTAAGGCGAGGCACTTGCCTCCCTCCCTGAGACTGGGCCGAATAGCATGTTTCACTGGTTGAGGTCGACCTGCAGCTCCGCTACTTCGGTCATTGCCCGCCACGGTCGACCGTGTAACGAGCGACGGCTCGGTACCAGGGACCTCCAATCTTGCAACGAACAGGTTTCTGGTTGGCGGCAGCCTTAATATGCAGGGCAATCGAAGCCGGAAAGGCGCCACCGTGCAGCGGGAGGGGAGGCTTGGCTTGACTGGCAAGCCACCAGATGATGGACCCTGAAGGGGCCAGCGGTGGTGTATATCTGAGGCTGGCGATCAACGAGTCAACAAGCTGCTCCTGAGTATGCATCATATCTCAGAACAAAGCATAAGCAACCTGCAGATTGGGGGGCGTCTGTCAGGCAAACCATGGCCGGCTCCTTGAGATTTTGCTCTTGGATCGAATTTCTCGCACTTGACAGCCAACCGGCGCTTCTCGATGGACTTTTTTCTTTTGTCTCGACCGGCTTTCTGGTGTCTCAGATGTGTGGCAGTCAGCTCCCGATTCAATGCCGGCTTACCTACGGAGCACTCCCCGCTTCCGCCACCCATCTCCATGCATCTGATCACAAACAAGGCACGGGAGGGGGCAGATGAAAGTCGGTCATTCGCCGACTTGTGTGGGATGCCAATGGCTGGCAATGGCTGGCAATGCCGGTGTGGGAACCTGAATCATCATCCCAGGACAAGTCTTGAGTCGTGCGTCATGATACATTGGTCGAGCCTGAGCAAGTCTCCTGGAGCCTGACGAGGCGTTGGTCGTCGTCGAAACTGAAATGGACGTGGCTTCTGCCCACTCCAGTCCACCCGCGAAGTCGCCGAGACAAGGCGCAAGCGCTTGGCGCCCTTTAGGTTTCCTGGCTTGTCAGTGTGGGCTCGTTTGGCTAGAGACATGGGATTCCAGCAATTCCCATCCCATGGTAGGACACCCATACGACTCGCGCTTGATTGCGCCGCCCACCCACCTGCCAATTGCCGTCTCCACGGCGCCGGTAGTTGGCATTTGTCTCTGTTGTGCCTGCTACGTCTACGCCGTCGATTAGGGAGTCGATGAGACCTGGCTATGTGTTTCTGTTAGACCGGGTATCATACCCGTCCGCGCCGTCCCCTTCTCAACACCTCCGCGGAATGGCGGTACAAAAGGGCGGTCATGTCGGTAGTGGGAATAGCTGGCGCTGGCCATGATGCCGTGGCGGTGTCGGTCGGTGGGTGGGAATGTCTGTCTCACTGCCTCACTGCCTCACTGTCCACGTTGGGTGACCGACCGGGTTTTGCTCCTTATTCTCGGCCGGGCGCATGAGACTTTGCGTCATCGAGGCACGCTGGCTGGTAGTTTCATTCCAGGCTGGCGGGCGATGCTCACGCCTTGGATTTGTGTGTTTTCTCCTTGGGAGTGTGGTGCTCAGGAGAAGTTGTGCCACGCACCGTCATCGGGCTTTGACAGGAACTTTTGGTCCAGACCTCTGGTTTATTCTGTGTCTTATGTCTGGGGTATTACCAAAAACGACGGCATGGGGAAAGTAAGCATTGCATGACAGAGTTGGACTCTGCGAACCCTGGCGTTAGACATGCCCAATTAATTGTGTGTCCCACAACCACGAGCCTCTCCATGGCCCGGCCACCGTTCTTCCAGCTACAATTACATTGGCACGCCCTCTATTGATTCCATTCGTGGTTGATTTCTAGTTTGTCTGAGCTCGGGCGTGCAAGTGTGATGGCTTGCGCAGTAGTCACATCCTTGTCTCTCACGAGTGTGATTGCGAAGAAAGCCGCCGAGACATCGTCGTGAGTGAGACAGAATGAGGAACCGCCGAGAACCAGGCAGGGATCGGACAGCATGTGAGGCGGCACGTTTCTCTTCTAGGTAAGACATGGGAGAGGACGTGTTCTCGCCTTGGACAGGATGCTCCGGCGTGGTTTGGGGATGGTCCAGGGTAGGTTATTGGTTTTTGGTGATCTGACTTTGGTGGTCCTGTACCCCGTGAAATCGTCCAGTATGTGATCATAGTGTATGGCGAAGTCTTCTATTGATGTTTTAGGGGATCTACGTTGATTTTAACATGGCTAGTGAATTAAAGTAGCCGATCCTCTACGTGGTTGTTACTAATACATGATTACGGCACCATTGCTTCACCCATCCACATCACCCAAAAACGGATCCAAGAACCTGTCGTCTATTGTATCCCAACCCGAGCCATGAAGGCCCGGCTTAGAAGATGGGACAACGTAGTATAAGGGGGATGGGGCTTCAAGCCAGGATTCATCCCCAATCCACCCCGACGCATAGAGTAATAATCCACGTCGCACGACACAAGGCGAGGCAGAGAAGAAATCCATGAGTCCCAACTACACTGACCGAGAATGAGCACATGAGTTCCGCTGGACGGAGGTGTGCACCTTCTCCCTGGTCACATCACAAAGCGGTTGACAAGAACACAAGTTTCAAGAACTATCTCCATTCAGATCTATCTGTTGTAGACCAAGTTCCATCATTGCTAAATAGCCCCTTTACCACAGCGATCCCAAAAATCCTTCCCTGCTAGAAAACTCGGATTTATATCCCCTAGTCCCTTGACCAACAAAAAGAAAGAGGTTAAGAGCAACCAAGGCTCTGTGCCTTGACATACTCACAGTCTTGATGACGGAGACTGTCTGAAAGATACTATACAGCGAAGAAGAAAGACAAAGGAAAGGCCTGAGAGAAACGCGGCTCAGCCCTTGTGGTGAAATAAATAGACAGGTAAACATTAACCAACGGGTCATGACCTCATGAAGCGAAGTGTAAGACAGGCAAGGAAAGTGAGAGCCGGGAAAACCGACTTGTTCGGGGACGGGAAAGTCGTTCGTGGCCGCCCCTCAGGAATCCAGCCGAAGTAGGGGATATGGCTGACTTCTCGAGTTCAACGATGTGTTTTTTTTGACTCTGTCCACGAGTCTTGCCTGAGTGGGATCCGAGATCCCCTCTAAAAGTCCGTGAATCAACCTTCCTAGGTCCGATATCCCGGAGACCTATCCAAACGCCAAAATCAAAACCAGACATGCATGCTTGTTTGCTAAAACGACGACATCCTCCTTAGATCTGAGTTTCATACGTGTGGCGCACCTGCTCGGCCCTGTCCGAGTGACTCGAAGAGCTCATGCGGCGGTACTCTTTGCATACCGCTTCCTCGGTCATACATGGACGTTGGCGCAGGGGTGTATCCCTCACGCTTCTTGCGTATCCGGTCGAGAATGATGCCTGCTAGAACAAGCAAGAGCATCAAGCCGAGCGAGATGGCAAGGCCGATTAGAATAACAAAGACCAAGGGCATGTTTTTCCCTGCCAAGAAAGTTAGTAACGTTAATATACAAGACAGGAATGATATGGCGTACCATTAGATGAGAAGAAGTCGTCCTTCTGAGAGAAGATGCCTGCAATGCTCCCAGCTGAATTGTCCGAGTTGATGGTCAATGCGTATGGTTGGTAGGTGGTGCCGTTGAAGATTGCTGCCGATGCCAACCCAAAGTTGGGAATGACGATCGAGCCCGTGATCATCAGGACCTGCTTCTTGTCTAGAATATCACTCTCGGCGTGCTCCTCGGTCAAAGAAAAGACCTGGAGGCCGCGCAACACGCTGTCCGATGACAGGGTTGGCTCGGCAGTATGCCACTTCTCTCCATCGTATTTCATGATGAAGATAGAGCCGTTCTCAGTCGATGATCCAGAGACCCATATCTGATCTTTATCGCTGGAGGCAGGGGTGAGGAGTAGAACTGGGCCGGGGATCTCATCGGCGTTAGGGAAGTCGCTCCAAGATTCCTTCTTGGCGTTCCAACTCGCGAGGTATCGCGGATCCGAGCCGTTGGCGTTGAGGTCACCACCAACCACAAGGTCGTCCTTGGACGTCCACATCAGGCCGTGCACGTTTCCTTCAATATCACTGCCAGGTCGGTTCCACTGGTCCGAGTCCATGTTGTACGTACAAAGACCTGGGCAATCTAAGGCGCCAGCGAGGTTAAAAGATCCACCTACGTAGACATCGGCACTCCCGGGACGAACGGCGATGGCAGAGACCGTGCCGTTGCCTCCCGACAACGGGGGTGGCTGTGAGCCGAAAGACTTAGACTCAACATCATAGGAAACGAGTCCGTTGATCTCATCATCGTTGATGGTACCACTGATGCTACCGCCGGCGAAAAGTGTGCTGTCGCGCATGGCGAGAGTGACAAAGGTCGAGTCGCTCGAAAGATTGGAACTGAGTCCCGTCACTTTTTCGTCCTCAATGAGCACGATGTTGTTGACCTCGTTGCCAGTTGTGGAATTAGTAGTGAAATGACCCGCAAGGACGGTGATGTTACGGTCATTCTCATCATAGAACAGACCAGTCACCACGCCGGACAGGTCGCTGACGGAGACAACGTCGCGGCGGCTGAGACTCGAGGAGTTGGATGATGTCGACTGAGGCTGTATGGTGAGTGGGAACTGGCCGAGGCCTTCATCTGACAAGGTTGCGGCGCTGTTTGCACCAAGCTGGGCAGAAGAAATGGACCCAGCGAAGAGTGAGCCACCATCGTTGGGAAGATCCAAGATGGCGGCAGTAAGAACACCACTGTAACCTGGTAGGCTACCACCAAGCCTTTGCAACCAGTTGTTCTTGGAAGGAACCCAAATGGCGAACCCGTCAACCAAAATAGCGTTGTTGTTGTCAAAAGCGTTGCATTGAGAAAACACGCCAGATAAGGCAATGACAGTTTCCGGAGTGTTCTCTGTGATGTTGACCCTTAGAGGCACAACGTACTCCACCATTCCATCGACACCAGCACCCAGGGCATCCCATGAGTCCTCCTCTGTATCGTAAACGGCTACGTTGTCCATGCCCGCAACTGAGCCGTTCTGTGTGCTCGAGAAGTCGCCACCAACAAAGAGCTTCGTACCATTGAGGAACATGCTCAGAACCTTGCCGTTGAGGCCGCCATCGAGGGTCTTGACGTCTTCAGCCTTGATAATGGCAAGAATGTTGTCATGGTCCTGAGAAGTGAAGTTTCCACCGACGTAGGTGGTTTCGCCATCTGTCACCAAGGCCGTGACACCGGAGGCGCGATCGAAGCTTGCGCCGAGTTTGTTGATCGTAGAGTTTTCGATGCTCGATGAATTGATCACTGCGTCTTCCGGGTTGAAGTCGAACAGTCCGTTGAGACCTCCATTAGAGTCGATGAGAGTGAACCCCACCCTTTGAGCAACGATGGTGAGAGTCTCAACATCTTGGTCATCAAGGGGGCTAAGGGTGATGGCGGCTTTGAATGAATCGGAGCTCTGCTCAATGTACCCGAAGTAGATTTGGTCGTATTTGTCGAAGTTGTTGGTCTGGAACAGAGTGGTGGTGAAGTTGGAACCCTCGCCAGTGCCAGTCTGCATTACACCAGTCACATTGACGCGGCCTCTCGTCAAGCAGGAGTTGTCTTGTTGGCAACCGGGGGTGTACATGTTGACTGAATAGTTGCCAGACTCCCTGATGTTGGGATAGAAAACCACCGAGGCTGACTGTGTCGAGAAGTTACCAGTGAGCTCCGCGGTCAGATATTGGGAATTGCTGTCGAAGGACGGGGACTCGGACCAGGGGCCGGTGGCAGTTGCGGAGGAAGGGAAATCGACCTCTCCACAAGTCGGCTCGTTGAAGTCGGTAATAGCATATGCGAAGATGTCATCCTGGAAGAGCTCAATACCAGCAAGACCACCGCCACTGCCGTACCAATCGGAAATGGCAATACTGAATTGGTCCATACCAACTTCGTTGATGAAGTGGAAGTCCCGGTACTCCTTCTCATCGCTGAGAGGACATTCGCTGGTGCAAGTTTGGTTCTTACCGGTACCGGGATCAGTGTAGGTGAGATTCATGATGCCATTAATGGGGAAGGCAATGAACCGGAAAGTCTTGGTCCCCCGGCCGTCTTGTTGTGTGTTCCAAAGTCTTAGCTTCGTAGGCTTAAACATGAAACCAAACTCTGCGTCCCAGGAACCTGCAGTGTCGTCCTCCAGCAGCCATGCACTCCCGGAGGCGTCCGTACCTTCGGCGCAAACAATGTTTTTTGGGTCGCTGAATCCGCTTGTTGAGGCACTGTTGGTAGCGCTGATGTTGGCCTTTGACAGATTGATACTTTGGCCGTCGGGTTGGCTCGGCGTGCTGGTATTTCCTAGTCCAGTGAAGACACCACCAAAAATGATGTGTCCATTCGAGGCTTTGGTGATTGCATTCACCGGTCCATCAAACCCAGCAAACGGAAGGTTTGTCCACCCCTCGTTACCGACCCACGCGATTGCGTTGGTTGAGTTGCCTCCAATAAAGTTGCCACCGACATATACGGTGTCTCGCTCCTCGTCGCATAGGACCGCATTAACCTCGCCCTCGAGACCATCCAGTGGTGTAATTTCGGTGGTGTTTGGGTTGAACAGTGCGATCGCCTTTGATTGTGTGCCGTCCAAGCTCGTGAAATTACCGCCTATTACCACTCCCTGCATATCCCCATTGCTGAGCTGAAAGGCGCACATGGCCCGTATCGAGGCATCGCTGGAAACGAGTGAGCCAAGCGCACCATTGGGCAGCTGCGCTAGAAGCGATTCACTGCCGTTTGTGCTGCGCGCGCGCTCGGACTGGCCTTCGAATTCGTAGAGTGAGATGCCACTGAAGTCTCCCACAACGCCAATCCTCCCCAATTTGGAAAAGTCGAGATTCGCCGATGGCACCGGGTCGAAGGTGATGGCGTCTGTGAGAGCTGGCGCCAAAGCGGCCAGGCCCAGGAGACTGGAGCTCAGACTCTGGGCTTGGCGCGCCGTCGAGCGACGCCGCTGAAAGGGCAATCGCATCGCTATCACGTCTCGCCGACCAAGGAAGCCTTAAAACCCTGCCGACGGGAGCGTGTCGTATTCCGGTACGCGAGAACGGGATTCTGTATGAGTTGTTGATTGTGTTCTTGAACGGGCTAGCATATCAGGTTCAAGCGCGGGTCATAGCAAGGGGCGGTCGGATGCGTTGCTGATGACGAGGTGCCCGATGAATGCGTCACAAAAATCGTCCTAAACTTTTGGCGAAATGTAAATCGAGAAATGTGAACGAGAGGCAGTCGAAATGTCGTCGTGTGGTTTCGTTTCGTCGTCGTTCGCCGAACGAAATCGAGTCGAATCGAGGGATGTTTTGGTAAAGTTGGCGGGCAATGCTGTACGGCACGAATGCGGGAAATTGCTAGTTGATGGCGATGGCCTAATTCGAGACGTGCGCTGAGCGTTGAAAAGTTTGCCGCTAGCCTAGTTTGGCTAGAGCCCTAACCCACCTGGAGGCGGTACCTGAATTGCTGCAAGTTAGACAATAGTGCTTCAGTGCTTCAGTACCACGCTGAAATTCGAGAACTGAAAAAAGAAGTAACGCAACGTCGCGCAGGGGGGGAATTAGATGGACAATTTGAGTTGCAGTAGTCGGTGATCTGCTGTGTTCGTGGAAAATAGGGTCGTGAAGGAGGTGAGCGTACCAGTACGTAGCACAGGCACGGGAGCAAGCCCAGGAGCGCCACTTCAATCTAGGTGCGACACCAATGAGCGTGGAGGGTCACGGAGGGTTTGATTGCTATCGCTCGTCGCCGTGTCGTTGGATATGGCCGGCGCGATCGTATATCGGTATTGATGGTGCTGATGGTGTAGTTGTTGTGTGTGTTTCCTACTCGGAGAGATGCGGTGTGCCGTGCGATTATGTGTTGTGTCGGCGTTGGTGCCGCCTTGTTTGCTTTTGCTTTGCTTCGTGGGTGTGGAAGCCGGAAAGGAGGGAGAGAATGAGAATGGGCGTCTCCGGGTCGACCGCGTTTGGAATGCCACGCCTCGACGCTGAGAATTCGAGAAAATCGCGGCGGATGTCCTCGACGTCACAGGATCTAAGGGATCTGCCTTGCCGCGAGTTGGATCGGGGGCGGAAAACAAGAGGTGAGGGAGTGACGGGAGCTGACAGGAGGGACGGGACGGGACTGGAAAAGAACGACAGAGCCAATGAGGTAGAGAGTGTAGAGGCGCAGTGGTGGGCGGTGCGTCACACACACATACACGCCAGGTGGGAAAGCAAGAATAGAACGAGAAAAGAATGACTGAAATCCGGGTAATGGAGCTTCCACAAGGTAAGGATCCCCTCCGCTCGCGGGTGAAGGAAGTCTAGCGAAGGAAGAGGAGAGATGGTTTGGGCCTCCAAGTCGCCTCAGGTACGAGGAGACGAGTGGAGCAGAGCTTCCCGACCACGCCGCAGCATGGCCCAGGGCCCAGGATACAGACAGGCCAGGAGACACGCACGACTCCTTCGTTGTGCATATGAAGTACATCTGCATAAGGCACACAGCACGCACTGCTCTGCCCACTGCGCCGTCTCCTCACCGCTGACCCAATCCTGCTATTCGTGGCATGCAGGCTGGTAGAATCCATGTTGATTCCAGGGGTTCCAGCCGGCCGACCCGCCTTCTAGGTTACCCTGAGCGTGGTGCAGACATTAATACTGAGGCATCATCCAGGCGGTTTCCGCTACGCCAGTTAATTTGTCTGCCCAAGCGCGCTAAAACTAGGAGGCTGGTTGAAGGCAGGGGAACTCTTGGCTCACCCTCTGACGAGTCTTTGCCGTCTCGGACAGGGGCATACGTGGGAGACGTTGCACGGAAGAAAGACTTGAATGTGCCGGTATACCGATACGAGTCGAATCCATTTCGTTGCATCCTAGACAATATGCACCATTTCCCACTGGCGTGGTGGAAAACATGGCAAAGTCATGACAGAAGGTCACTGTGGCGTATCGTCAAGAGAGATTTGGCTGCGAATTGCCATGCTCTCCATTCACCAATCAACTTAGCGCCTGGAGACCTGCATTTCGTCGGTCTTAGCTCATGCTTCTTCATGCCTCTGGATCCAGTTATCTGACATCACAGCGTCTCTGATACATACAGGTACCAACGTACCTGAAATGGATCTTCGGCGATCAAACGGGTTCGTGACCATCCGATGCCTCCCATACACGTACAGACACACCAGCGAACTCTCCCCCCACCGAGAGGGTGGTGTGAAACCACTGCAATCTGAGTTGGCACATCCATCTCCCTTGCTCGCCGTGGTATCACATTTTCTTTTGTGCAGAATCCGCTCGCATTTTCGTCCATACTTGGCCAGATCCCTGGTCATCGTCGTCGACGTGGCACGCCCCGTTTGCTGACCACCATCACTCTTCGGTGCATGAATTCTCATCGGGGGAATGCTTGTAGTATGGCCATGAATATAGACCATTGGCATACGCCAATATGTTTGCTTTGTGCTGGCTGGTCAACCAGAAGGTGAGCCAAAAACTACTCTCGTTCTTCCCCACCATCTACTCTCCCTTGATAGTGGTGCGCCCTGCACATTTGAGTCTAGGACCTTTCTGGTCATCTCCCGTTGCCAAATAAGTAGTTGTGTTTTGTCTTAGTGTTGCTCTCTTGGGGGTCAAGGTTTGTCTTGACACCCATAGAATAGCACCGATAGATGAAACCCGGGTTGCTTCAACAACCTCGCGTGGATTTGGAATCTTTGGGATTCTTCTAGCCAGTTGTAGGCTTGTTTCGTCCTGGCTCCCTGGGTTGATGGTGGAAGAATGCGTCATTTACGCCTTCCCAATCGAGACTCCTTCGCAATGAATTTACGATGATATCTCCGGAGGTGAACCACCGAAAACGCAGCCGACATACTACTTGCCGGTCTGTTTGTCTTGATTCGCCCACTTCGACTTGTAGTCTCTGGGGCTTTCAAACTTGCTCGGATCCACTGACCACATGCCCTTTCGCTTCTTCTTAGCTTTGGCCTCAGCCTTCTCATAAACTTTTTGTAATCCACCGAATTCGGCGCCCGATTTCGCCTCGTATGTTGTTGCTAACCCGACTTTGACGAGCTCTAGGCCTACGTTCTTACGGAACAAGAACCGTCGCACGTAAACCGTCGCAACGACTCGATCGTACTGGTCTCGCTTGTATATGTATGCCCGCACGTTGCGGTTTCCAATGTAGCTGGTTAGCCATTTGTGGGCTTCGGCTGCGAACGGTTGCGCGGGTCGGCCAAAATGAGCGAGCTCAGGTGCATCGATGCCTGCGATTCGGATGGAAATCTGTCCAAAAACCCGTCAGCCCGCTTCTACGCTCAATTGACGATTGCTGTCTTACCGTTCGGTCCTTGAGTTCCTTCCGTCGTTCGGGGATCTTTCTGAGCCAACCCCAGCCCACAGCACGTCCGCCCGGGGTGTGGAAGAGATGGAAGCCGTCTCCGTCACCCACACTCGTGACTCTTCCGAAAAGACTTCGGTTCCGAAAGAAATTTGGCCGAACATAGGCTGCGCCTGGTATTCGCCGCAGGTAGTTTGCGTAGAGTTGCAGGGCAGATAGGCCGGCGAGGGAGAAGAGGACGGTTGGGGCCCATGTCTTTGCAGCGGTAAAATGGTCTGGGTCAGAGGTGCCTAGGGACTCGGTCCATGAGACCGAGCGTCGCTTCGGTGGATCTTGGTGCTTTTCGAGTTTCGCATCTTTTTCGGAGTTCGAAGATCCGAACGGCCATACCATCGTCGCTGCGACCCCGGGGTCGTGATGCCAGGTGGTGATTTGGCATGCGGTCAACCCCGGTTTGTTCGCGCTGCAGACAAGGTGGTGGGATGTTCTCGGTCCCCGCTAACTGGGTGCCTCAGGCGAGACTACCTGCAGCAAACCCAACATGAATTACCTAGATTCGGCTCTCCTGGTCATCGACACATTTAGGCACTTTCTTGTATTGGTTTTTGGATGGTCTTGATTGATGATATTTTGCGGGTTCATTCGCTCATTGCAGCTCTCTCTCTCCATCATGTCTAAATCTCCATAAATCTCGGCCAACAAGTGTGACGAGGGGTTTCTGATGTGGGCTTTCTGGACATAGAATCTTGGCCTTTTTCTATCCAAACGCCTAGTTTCCTTGCACCTTGAAAGTCCTGCCACTTGCCGTCTTCCGCTCCTTCTCCTCGTTCTCGGGTCTGGCACGGCGCAGCACTGACACGTGTTAGTCCTATCCGCACATATGGAGGTGGACGCATGTGTCTCACCTTGGAGGAAATCAGCAGTTCGCTTTCGCATTCGAGAGTGGATGTATGCCTTCGATGCCTTGATGTGGTAGTGGAAATAATCACGGAAAGTCTGGATGTGAGAAATGACATCGGCCATTCGCTGAGGAGTAAGGTGTCGAGGGAAAAGGACTGAGAGAACATTAGCATATGCGCCTTACTAGAACAGAGGCCACGTACCGAAAGTGACGTAGCCGATCTCTCCAGTTCCAGTGTTTCGGACACCTGGAACATCTTGCAGCTCAAGGGGTGGATCGTTCCTGAAGAGGACTTGCGGGGCGTTCTGGATAGCTCTCCTTCGTGCGTCGACGAACTCTTGGATAAAGACCTTGCCAAACACTCTGTCGGTCTCTTCCCGGAAGACAGTGCTGAAGATGACGGTAACTCGGTCGTGGCTGGCCTTGACATAAATGGCCTCCTCCTCTCGGTAGTGAATGGCCTTGACCGCGCCACCCTCTCGCACTCCCTGAGGAGCCTCCTCGGATGTAAACTTCGACGCCTCCTCCCGTAGCTGGTAGTGCTCCTGGTAGGCCTGCTCGAATGGTGCAGCCATGGCGTTGCGCTTCAGAAGTGCGAACTTCAGGGCAAGGGCATCGCGCTCCTCTTTGTCTGCGCGTCAGTACCAGTACAGAATCAAACAAGAGGAAGGCAAGTGACCATACCCTTAGTTTCCGGGATGTTCTCCAGGTCTACCATGATTGAGAAGTCGAAGCCCGGCTCGACCGGGGCCACGTATTGCCCATACTCCCGCTGGAGCACTTCCTCGGCACCATACTGAACCAGGTCCTGGAAGCATCTTATTTGGATCGAAAGCAAGATCTGGGTCTTGGTCTCAGGGGTCGAAATATGGAAGGTAACGCCGTCGAAGTCGCTGACCGTCTGGTCGATTGAGGCGGGGGGGGCACTGACTTACGATCAGCTCCGGCTCAGGAGATGGCCACAAGGGGGCACTTACCCGGAGAATCGCTCGGTGAGCACCGATTGGATCAGAACGTTCTGGTAGTCTAGCAAAAGCATCTTGACGGCGGGTTGGTTTGCGATCCCCTTTACTGTCGTCGTCTCGGAGCTTGGGTGACGGTAGTGGGGCTGACGTGGTGAGGCAGCACGTCGAGCTTCCAACCGCCCACGTGACGTGGAGCTTTCACAGTGGGTCGTGCGCCACTCCCTCTTATCGATAAGCTGCAAACGAAATTTCTTGGGCCGGGATCTTTGGATCTTTCGCTGTAGACGAAGAAGTTGACGAAGGCCAATGCTGGTCGCAACTTGGCGAACATGGTCAAGTCATACCTGTAAGATCACCGGGACATTCTTGCGACCCGGGCTAATCCCTTGCGCTTAGGAAATACGAACACGACAAGTCGTTTGGCATCGTTGCCTCCAGTACTTCGAATCTCGTCTGGACGTCGAGGGACCGAACGGGCGTCGGCGCGGGACAAGCCATCGCCGCTGCGAACGAGGAGGTTCTGTGCTGGGATATCAAGAAAGGCGAGCTTGTTGGCCGCTGGAGAGATGAACGATGTACGGTCCCCGTGACTGCGATCGCCCAGAGCAAGGCCGACAAGGACGTTTTCGCCGTGGGGTACGAGGACGGCAGCATTCGACTCTGGGATAGCAAGATTTCCACCGTCATTGTCAACTTCAATGGCCACAAATCCGCCATTACCAAACTTTCTTTCGACAAATCTGGAGTCAGGCTTGCTAGCGGTTCCAAGGATACCGACATTATCGTCTGGGATCTCGTCGCTGAGGTTGGCCAGTTCAAGTTGCGAGGACACAAGGATCAAGTGACGGGCCTTCAGTTCGTGGAGCCAGAGCCGCAAGTCGAAGGCGAAAATGGCGCGCAAGCAATGATTATCGATGGCGAAGGAGCATCTGACGGCTTCCTTTTGACCACGGGCAAGGATTCTCTCATCAAGCTCTGGGACCTGACCTCGAGACACTGTATTGAGACGCACATCTCACAAACCAACGGCGAGTGCTGGGCTCTTGGACTCTCTCCCGACTACAGTGGCTGCATTACAGCCGGAAACGATGGAGAAATCAAGGTTTGGTCCTTGGACGCGGATGGCCTTGCGCTGAGCGCCCGTCGGGTAGATATGCCCGCCGCGACTCAGTTCCTCCACGACCGAGGAACCCTCCATCGCCAAAGCAAAGACAGAGCGACTGAGGTGATTTTCCATCCCAAACGGGACTACTTTGCCGTACATGGCTCAGAAAAGGCAGTGGATGTGTGGCGGATACGAACGGAGTCCGAGATCAAGAAAGGTCTAGCTCGCAAGCGGAGAAGACGTCGCGAGAAGCAGAAGGACGGAAAACCCGCCGACGAAGAGATGGCAGACGGAGAAGATAAGCCGGAGGATGTGTCCAAGGCTGATGTCGGCGACGTCTTCGTGCAATACGTCATTCTGCGGACGGGTGGAAAGGTTCGATCTGTTGACTGGGCCTTGCCGGCTGGACAAAAGGACCTCCATCTGCTGGTGGGGACAACGAACAACCAACTGGAATACTACAGCCTACCAGCAAAGGAGAAGAGCGAGAAATCGAAAAAGGAAGATGTTCCTGACTATACTCGGGCCCTCTCTGTCGACCTACCCGGCCATCGAACGGACATCCGAGCTCTGTCATTGAGCTCGGATGACAAAATGTTGGCATCAGCATCAAATGGCAGCTTGAAGATCTGGAACATCAAGACTCAAAACTGTATCCGGACATTTGAGTGTGGCTATGCGTTGTGCTGTTCGTTCCTGCCAGGAGACAAGGTGGTTGTTGTTGGAACGAAGAGCGGCGAGTTGCAGCTCTTTGACGTTGCCTCAGCCGCTCTCCTCGATAGCGTTGACGCTCATGAGGGTGCAATTTGGTCGCTTCATGTCCACCCCAATGGCCAGTCAGTTGTTTCTGGAAGTGCTGACAAGTCCGCCAAGTTTTGGGACTTCAAGATTATCCAAGAAGAAGTTCTGGGTACGACAAGGACGACGGCAAAGCTGAAGCTGGTGCAATCTAGGGTGATGAAGGTTTCAGATGATATTCTCAGTCTCAAATTTTCACCAGATGCAAAGCTACTCGCTGTTGCCCTTCTTGACAACACTGTGAAGGTCTTCTTTGTCGACTCCCTGAAGCTCTACCTTAATCTCTACGGACACAAGCTTCCCGTGCTCAGCATGGATATTTCATACGACAGCAAGTTGATCGTCACTAGCTCAGCAGACAAGAACATTAGAATTTGGGGCCTCGACTTTGGCGACTGCCACAAGGCTCTCTTTGGACACCAAGACAGTATTCTCCAGGTCGCGTTCGTCCCGCACAACTCGGACGGAAACGGTCACCACTTCTTCAGCAGCAGTAAGGACCGCACTATCAGATACTGGGATGGCGACAAGTTTGAACAAATCCAAAGACTTGATGGCCACCATGGTGAGGTCTGGGCTATCGCCATCAGCCACACTGGAAACTTCGTGGCCAGTGCCGGCCACGACAAGAGCATCCGAGTTTGGAATGAGACGGATGAGCAAATCTTCCTCGAGGAAGAACGCGAGAGGGAAATTGAGGAACTGTACGAGAGCACTCTGACCACCTCCCTGGAACGAGAACCGGATGCCCAGGATGAGAACGGCGAAGTCGGAGCCGCTAGCAAGCAGACCACCGAGACTCTTATGGCCGGAGAGCGAATAGCAGAGGCCCTCGAGATGGGCATGGCGGACCTCAACCTGCTGAAGGAGTACGAAGAGGCCAAGCTCACAAACCCTCACGCAATGCCCCCGCAACGAAATCCCGTCTTCCTCGCTCTTGGCAACATCACGGCCGAGGCGCACGTCATGTCGGTGCTGCAGCGCATCAAGGCCTCGGCTTTACACGACGCCCTGCTAGTCCTCCCCTTTGCCTCCGTTCCGATCCTCTTCACCTTCCTCAACATCTTTGCTATGCGCTCGATGAACATCCCCCTCACGTGCCGCATCCTCTTCTTCATGCTCAAGACCCACCACAAGCAGATCGTGGCGAGCCGCACTATGAAGGTCATGCTAGACGGCATCCGAGTAAACCTCCGGGGGGCGCTCAAGCGCCAGAAGAACGAGATGGGCGTCAACATTGCGGCGCTCAAGGTGGTGGGCATGCAGATCCGCGACAAGAACATCAAGGATTACGTGGATGAGAACTGGGAGGAGGAGAACGAGGAGAGGAGCGCCAAGAAGCGCGCGTTTGTTCATGTTGCCTGATGTAGACGAATCCATTATTTGAAGGTAGATAAAAGTGTATAGAATTGGACTACGATTTCATTTCCCTTGTCCTCTCTTGCAAGATGTGATGTGAGGCTGCTTTCAGTGGTTGATGTAAATGAATTGTCTTTGAATGATGCCCCCCCCCCACCTCTGGTTCATTTAGCTGGTCCATCCTCCATGTGGTAGCTATTCCCAGAGGTGAGGCTGGATAGGTAGACGACTTGATAGCGACAGAGAGGAGCACCTCGCACGACCAGCCAAGAACCGGAATATCTCGATTTTCTAAGGAAAAAAAGGCCATTTGCACGGAACATTTCCGAGAGCGACTTCGGCAATTGAATCGTCGCCAGAATCCATAATTTTACGATTTCGCCATTCGGTCGGGTTCAATCCGTGGGACCACGGCGACGGGACCGACCTCCGAGGCTTATCCACCGGCGTCTCGTTCCGAAGTCGCGTTCCGTGGCAATCGATCCCGCCATCATTCGAGAGGAAGAACTCATTCATACAAGGCCACGACATTTTCCGCCCTCGCCTCGAGCCCGCCTTTCACAATGTTCGCCCTCCGACGCACAATGGCTAGCCTAGCCCCCCAGGCGTCGACCCTGAAGCAGGCCGGCAAGGTCGTGTGCATTGGCCGCAACTTCGCGTATGCCTTCATCTCAAGCCTCGGCATCCCTCCCGCAATGAGCTCTCACTGACCACGCGGCCACGCAGGGAGCACATTGCTGAGCTGAACAACACCAAGCCCAAGCAGCCCTTTTTCTTCCTCAAGCCCCCGTCGTCCATTGTCCTTCCTGGCGAGGGCTCTGTGCTGCGACCCAAGGGCATTGACATGCACTATGAGGTCGAGCTTGCCCTCGTCATCGGCAAGGCGGTCCGAGATCTCCAGGCTGACGATACCAAGGGAGCTCTGGAGGCTATCCAGGGTATGTGACTATGCTCTAAAGCTCAACCAGAACCATTTGTTGATTGTGTAGCGTACGCCGTGGCCATCGACATGACGGCCCGCAACGCCCAGAATGAGGCCAAGAAGAAGGGTCTGCCCTGGGACATCGCCAAGGGTTTCGACACCTTCCTGCCCATGAGCAAGGTCATCACCAAGGATTCCATCAAGAACCCCCAGGACGTTGAGCTGTGGCTCAAGGTCAACGGCGAGATCAAGCAGCAGGGCTCTACCAACCTGATGATCTACCAGATCCCCCGCATCCTGAGCGACATTTCCAAGGTCATGACCCTGCAGCCCGGCGACATTGTGCTCACCGGAACCCCTGCCGGTGTTGGTCCCGCGGTCCCCGGCGATGTCATCAGCGCCGGCGTGAGGGTAGACGGCAAGGAGCTTGAGGCTGGCAGCATTGAGATTCCCGTCGAGGAGTCGCCCAGCTCGTACGTCTTTGCCGAGACTTGAGAGGGATATTTGGGATTTTAAACACGACGAGCCATGCCACGAGCTGGGATAGGAAAAGGGAAGTGGGATGTACACTAGCCACCAAACTTGGATAGATTCCGACAAGAGATGTATACCATCTCTGAACATACAACTATTGCTACAATGACGAGCGTTTTACACTCTCCATTCACTGCCCATGATTTACTGCAAATTGGGATCCTTGATCGATCCAGGCTTCGGCACCCAGTCGGCGACCACGCCGCACTTGCCGCATGTCCTCTTCTCGGTGCTGGCCTTGAATTCCTCCACGCCGGCCTTGATCTGAGTGCCCAGGTCGGTGCAGTGGAAGGCGGCCTCATGGACAACCTCCTTACACTCGGCGCAGTACCACCTCATGCGGTCGAGGGAGTCTGGCGGACGACGCTGCTCGAGGACGACGCCGACGGTGTTGGCGAAGCGGACGGGGTTGTGGGGGGTGTTGGCGGGCAGCAGGAACATGTCGCCCTCGCGGATGATGATGTCGCGGAACTGGCCGTCGTCGACAACTTTGAGCATCATGGCGCCCTTGTACTGGTAGAACCACTCCGGCGTCTGGTTGATGTGGTAGTCGGTTCTGGCGTTGGGCCCGCCGACGATCTGGATTGGGTGGGTGAGTTCTTTTTGCTCATGGTAGAGATGGTGAGTGAGGGTTTTGTACCATGACGGTAAAGTCGTCATTGTAGACGCAGTAGTTGTTGATAGGCGGCTGGAGAAGATGGGAATTCTCTTCAAGCCTTTTCAAGCGAGTTAGTAAGAATGAGTGAGTTGCTGTTGTAAGGCTCACGTCGTGAGGCGGGATGGAAGGATGGTTGGTGTTGACTCACCACTTGGGCAAGTTGACGGGCGGCGCAAGCATCGTCTTGCGCAAGCGGATGTTGCACTGTTGCGTCTGAGGATAGCCCGGAACCTAGATAGTTGACAAAGTCGAATATAGAAGAGCCGGAAACAAGCTGCGCTTGGTGGTAACCAAGTCCTGTGGGCGAGTGAGCGGCGTCAAGTCAATGCCAGTCCTGATGGGGTGGTTTGTCACGGGCAGGAAGAAACTATAGACTACAGAGTTCTAAACAGACCAACTATTTTCGCTGTGGTTGATGACTACTAAATTTCCAGGTCCTAATATGGAGATGCTGGCAACTCTACTCTGTCACTATGTCAATTTTCCTCTTTGGACCCCTCACTTGTAGCTCTAGAGTGTGACGCAGCAGTGTCAGCAACGACTAGGGAGCAGTTTCAGTGAGGACTACGCGGGACAGGGGCCACTGGAGGGCCTCGACCACTGAAGCCAGGGGCGACAATGGCCACTGAACGGTACCCCCGCCTCCGCAGCAGGATCGAGGCACTTGGGGTACCACTCAGCCATGTGTGTCGAGACCGGCGGACCCCGTGCGCCCAGACCCTCCTGTCGTGCATGTCCCTGCAGGGAAGGGAGGATGCTGGAACGTAGGTCGGTAGCACCACCTCCAACTCGAAGCTCCTCTAACTAAGACCAACCATCCCACGTTTGAGCACGTTTGAGCGCGTTTCTTAAGCAACGGCATCTCCCCATTTGTCTCTATCTTGACTATATCTCCAGCTTCAAACCATCCCACACATCGCGACTCATCGTCCCCAACTCTCGCTCTCGCCATTGATTGACGCCCATCGCCTCTCCGCACCTCCGACGCTAGACCGACTCGCTCCTCGACCCAGCTCCTCGACCTCCGACATCACACAATGGACCATAGCGGCATGGATCACAGCGGAATGGGCCACGGTGGCATGGACCACGGCGATGGCGGCATGCACGACATGTGCAGCATGAGCGTGAGTAGAGCGCCTCTCCTCCCCGCCCCCTCGTGAAGCCATCACCAGCTCACCACCCTCTCGCTCGCAGATGCTCTTCACCTGGGACACGACCAATCTCTGCATCGTCTTCCGCCAGTGGCACGTCCGCTCCACCACATCCCTCCTCTTCTCCCTCCTCGCCGTCGTCCTCATCGCCGTTGGCTACGAAGCCCTCCGAGCCCTCTCTCGCCGATATGAGGAGACCCTCGCCAAGAGTGTCCAGGCCCTGCCGAGTAAGCTAGAATCCCTACTCCTTGCCATATCCCGTACCGCAAAGACTGCATATCATTCCCATTCCGAAAGGCTGGGGTCGCCAAGAAGTAAAAGAAGAAGAAGTTGTGCTCGCTTTCTGTTTCTCTCCTTCTTCCCCCGACATGTTTGGGACGTGCGAATGCTAAGTCTTCCCTTGAGGTGGTACTGTTACTGAGACGACTCCTATGCTTTCAGGGCAGAACCAGGGCCAGGCAGATCAACGCGCCCACATCATCAAGGCTGTTCTTTACGCCCTGCAGAACTTCTATGCCTTTATGCTAATGTAAGCATCTCTGTTTGTTCGATTACGCCTGAACCAAGGAACTCGCAGCTAAATACACACAGGCTCGTCTTCATGACCTACAACGGATGGGTCATGATTGCTGTAACGCTGGGTGCTTTTATTGGTTATGTTACCTTTGGACAGAAGACGTCAGCCACCAAGGACAATGCTTGCCATTAATCAAGTATGATGCTGTCATGTGCACAAGTGGGTCGATTGGATAATATTGCGAGCCTCTGTAATGTCCTCTTGTGGTGTCCTCTAGATATGAGACATCCGCTATTCTACGACTTTGGATTGCCCATGTTGAATAAAGAAAAGGAACAACATGACTATACGCTCTATGAATCTTTACGACTCCTCAGCCCCATTTGGCACATCCAAACCCATGCCTTCAACGCCTTGTTTCCACTCGCAAGTATCTAAACCCTCTACATCTTTGATGCATCCCCGTTCTCCTTCTTCTCCTGGGCTACATCAGTCAGATTGCCCTCTCGATCCGCCTCCATGATGATGTCATCATCTCCGTAATTGTCGTTGTGCTCCATCTCGGGCTCCTCAGCATATCCAATCCGAGCAGCATCCACCAGCACGCGTGCCGTCATCCCCCATACCTTGAACCGGCCATCACGCTCCTCTTCCTCTTTGAGCTTCTCTGCCAAGTTACTCTGGTCGCAGTGATGCCGTGGCTTAGACACAGTTTGATTGTTAACGGGCACATAGAAGTTGTGCACTCGCCACGGGTAGTCCTTCCACGATATCCAGTTGCCGTCGTACCAGTGGCCCTCAGGCAGCGTCTCACCCGGCGCAGGAGGCAGATCCGTTGACTTGAGGAAGTTGTAGAACGGCGCGCTGAAGACGGCGGCGACTTCGCGGGCGTCGAGCTTGGGGATCATGACATCCTCAACCACAGCCGCGGGAGACCCGGGCGATTGCTCTGCATGGAGGAATGCGACACATGGCCGCACGACGAGGTGCGTCCGGGCGAGGGATGGAGGCAGACAGCAGAGATGCTCGATACGGAATGGCTTCGGGAGCTTGCGGTCGTCCATGGGGAGGCCGATCTCCTCCCACGCCTCACGCCGAGCTATCTGAACTACGCATTGTCAGTGGTCAGAGTGGAACACGGGCAGATGGAGCTTGGGGCTTAGAGCTCTTACAAACTGTTTCCTCGGTACTGTCTGCCTTTCCTCCGGGGAACGCCGCGTGGCCTGAGAAGCTCCTCAAGCTCGCGGCTCGCATGGTGATAACCACACGCAAGTCACCCCGGCGGTCCGCATACAGCAAGATCAGTACAGCGGCCCGCTTGCGAACCGGCAGACGGTCCCAGAGCGGGAATGCTGGGGGCTTGTAGGTACGGAACCGGGCGATGGCAGCCTGCGATGTTGAGTAATCAGTCTGTGTGTGGCAGGCATGGCGTGTGACGGATGGAGAAAGCCTCGGGAGTATAACCGAGGATTGAGTCATGAAGAAGCAAGCGCTGGCGGGATAGAGTTACTCGGAGGTCAATCGCCGGGGAGACGTACCGCCGAAAATGGACTCAAAGGCGACATTGTCAAGGCATCGTAGTACAGCGATGACTCTCCAAGGTTGACGTGTTCTCCAGTCGCGGCGTCGCGGATGCCGTTCTGGATGGCGGTAACGTCGGCGTCGTTGATGGAGATTTCGGCCCCCGAGTGTGGCTCTGGGGCGCTGGCGGCGTTGCGAGATGCCTCTATGGATAATGACGATGACAAAGCTGCTGCTGATGCTGATGCGTCAATCATGATGCCTTCCAAGCTGCACCCCTCGCGGTCGCCACGGGTCGAGATCCGCGCATTGAGATGATGCCGGAGTGAGGTTGTCCCGCCAGCGACCGCCTGCGGACTGGCTCGTGTCGGTGATACCGGCTCCGGCTCCGGCTCTGGAGCGCTCTGCGGGGGCGGGGTTCTGGAAGGTGCGGAGACTTCGGCAGAAGGAGCGAGCTGACCAGCCGGATTGGGACTGGGACACTGTCTCAACTTATACGGTTGGGCCTCAGTCGTCTTCCACGCGTGCGCCCAAGATCGGGAACGGGGCGTGGTGTGCTCCAGATCGGATGCCAAGATAATTAGTAGACGCGATGCCGCAGGTACTCACAATGTGCGGGAGTCAGTTCTGCATTACACCATATTATTATTACTGCAAGTTTGTGCTATTGACTCATCGAAACACCAGACCAAAGATTGCATGTACATGAAGGATAGAATAGTTGCTTGCTGCGAATAGGCGACAGTGCAGGGGAATCTCTAAAATCAACCACGCCGTCCTGGCAATGCACCGACCGTCTAGATTACCAGCGCCCCCAAACAAAGGGAAGATATTAGTCTGGCACTAGTACCGATTACTCCTGGACTCTTCATCGCGAGAGGGCCTCCTCCGGGATGATATTGATCTGGGCCCTCAGCTGATGCTGGCGCCTCTCGGCCTTGGACATTAGCTTGGCGTTGCTGAGCATGTCATCGGCGAAGGGCGCCTCCAAAACCTCGGCCTGCTGATGAGGCACGCTGCGTGGGATCAAGACCGATCCCGTCTTGGACGCTCCCCGTTCTTCAGATCGGCGAGAGAAGAACTCCTTGAGGTCCCTCATGGGGCCTTCTTCGAGCTCAGACTCCTCGTCGTCCGACGTCTCAAAGACGCTGCGAGAGGGGGTGGACATGGCACCCTGCGGAGGATTAGGGGAGGGAGGGCTGAGAGCCGACTTATCGGGACGGTCGCCGCCCGCGAAAGACCCATGGGCCGAGCAAACCGACCTGGGAGGCTCTCGCCGTCGGTGGAAGAGAGACTTGGCCGTGCCGCTGAGGCGGCTGGTCAGCGACCGGCTGCGGGCAAGCCCAGGGCTCAGGTTGCGGCCCCGCTGCTGTTTGTCGAGGAGGGCCAGGTTGCTGGTAATTCGGTGGTACTCATCTGCGGTCTCGGTGTCGCTGAAGTGGCTGTACGACTGGCTCATGTGCCAGGAGTCACTGTCCGTGTCAAACTGATCGTCGTCGATATCCACAATCGGCTCCACGATGCTTGGAGTGTTGCTGTAGATGCTAGACGCCCTCTTCATGGAGGCGGTGCTGTGCAGGAGCGGTTGAGGCGACTTCGGGCCGGTCGAGCTGCGGTTGCTAGTGGTTCCGTCGTTGTCGTTGTCGTCCTCGTCCTCAAGTAGCGGGGGCATGCAGCATTCACTGCACTTTGGCATGTTCACGTACTCATCCTCGAGGGCGAGCTCGTCCACTGACTGGCTGTAGTTGCTGGATGAGTCGTCCCGGATCAGAACTGGAGATGCCACTGGAGAGAAGCCATGGGTGGGGCTCCAGTCGAAACAAAGGCCGACTTGGCCAGTGAGTTGCTGAACTTTGAGAGACTGGCGGTGCTCTGCAAAAGGAGTACCGGGCAAGCTCGTGGTTGAGCGGTGCGGAAGAGCCATAGGCTGGATGGTGGGATGCAGGTCTTCGACGCTGTTTCCCCGTCTAGCGGCAGAAGGGAAAAGGCTGAGCCTCACTGATGGTCTGGCCGAGCTCTTGGATGGGATAGGGGGGGCAGGTGGAGGCGAGGGCAGAGGCTTGGTGCGGTAGATGCCCTCGTTCTCCGGGGCCAAGGAGGCCTCCATACCGTCGAGAGAATGGGCGTAACCTGACATCGCTTGGTGTTTTGGGTGGATGTAGATGGGATCAATCGACGTCTAAGGTGTCAAAGATATACTGAGCGGGCAACCCTCCCTTTGCGCCACCAACCGATTGAGGAAGGACAATAGGCGGGCTACTGATTGAAGACTGCGCAAAGGTGGAACCGTGCTTTGTTCTCGTGATGGACTTGGGTAGGCAAAGTCGAAGGCACCACAAAGGGGCGTGCTGTGGTTCGTGGTTGGTGGTTTTGGTGGTGTGTGGAGGAGCGTGTCTTAGTTCTTAGTTGGATTTTCCGAGCTTGTGTAGAACTTTGTAGGTCAGAAAATCCCAGGAGTCGGGTCGAGAGAACGGCTTGGTCTTATGAGTTTGCTCATGGGCTCGAGTTTGGCCCAACTTATTGAGTTTGTGGCTCTGTTTCTAGTGAACTTCTATTTTCCATCGCCCACGCCGTGGTCACCTGGGGCTAGCTGTGGCGGAGGGCTTGGGTCTGGGCTCGTCGAGATGGCTGAGGATTTACAGCTGAAGACAATGGCTAGCATTCCAGTCGGGCTGAATTTGTCGAGACCCTTGAGACCTGGTCCCCGCAACGCGGGCACGGTGAGGCCGCGGGGCTCGCCAGTCTGAGCTCTTTCCGGAGGAAAAAAATGGGAGTCTTGGCTCGGAGGCTGGAAAGCGGAAGGTGTACGATGGGAATACAGCATAGAAACTGGAACGGATTCATCGAGTCCACCTCGGGCCGGGTTCAATGTTGAAGACGTCGTGGTCACATTCACACCCGCCATTCGCCGTCGCATTCGGGGTCGCATTCGTGAAGCCATCGTGGCCGCCAAACGATGCGGCCACTGACGACAAGTCGCTGATAGCGGCGGGCTGGTTAACAAGTCCGCGGGCCCGGCCTGTGGGGAAACACGCCATCAACCATCTTGAACGAGCTTCTCGCCCTTTCTGAAATCATGGTGGATTTAGCGGTTACCGAAAATCTTCGCTCGTCCCAAAGTGTAAATGCCAGATCGGAGTGGATGTTGGTAGGGAGAGTTCCGGATCGCCCGAATATCAAGCCATAGCGTGGATCTGGCTTTGCAAGCTGCCGAAATCGGCTACCCGTAGACAAGAAAGCTACCAGCTACCAGACAGGCGGGATCCGGGGCCTCCTGGAGGAGACGTCAATAAGCCGCTTGTGTCATGCCAGCATTCTGCATCGGCAGAGGCGAAATGGAGCATGGCGCGAGACGCCACTGGAGAGATGCAACAAGCTAAGTAGAACAGGAATTTGAATATGCCGCCCGAGGGGCCATCGTGATTCTAAACCAAAACTCCTCCCAAATAGTACAACCATGACCACCACCATCACATATCCCAATCTATAAAACAACCCAGACGCCAGTCAGATTGCCGTTGAGGTGCCGTTGGTTCACCGACAGGCTGGTCATGCCGTTGGCGCCGCTATTGCTCGTCGTCGTCCTTGCCTTGGTAGTTCCCCAGCAGAATGTCGTCAACTCCGAGTCCTGTGGATGATTGCCTAATCCACTCCGTCTCGACTCGGAAGAAAATCCAAACCCATCTCCGGAAAACCTCAAGAAACTCGATGAGGAAGATGCCACTCTCAAAGTCGCTGAACTTGTCCAGGCGTCGGTTGAGTTTTATCGACCATGTGCAACGCAGCATCAAGTCCACGACAATCACCACGTAGTATAGGTTGATCGGCCTAAAGACCAATCGGTCTCTGAGACCAAACGGGTGATGTTTGGATTCGCGCTCCTGTTTAGACGCGAACAGCGTCATGTCCCAATCCTTAGTTACATCCCAATAGAAGGAGTAGAGCGAGTTGACAAGCACCGCAACCAGCCAAGCCTTGTTGAGAGCGGCCTTAGTACCCGGGTCTTCGACCGCCCTCTGCCATGCGCTAGTGATCAGGACGGGGAATGCCGTCGAATACTTTAGCGCGTTGGCCAGATGTTGGCCGCCCCAGCCTGTCGACTCCTTGTATGGCGCTCCCCGGACACGGTAGTACTCGATCATACATTGCCTGAACCGGATCATGCTCGGCACAGCCATGATGAGGGGCACAATGACGGTTCCTCCACAGTTGCGATCGGGTCGGTCAGTCGAGCCGCCACGGGTCAAGAACATGCAGATGGTGACGAACAAGTCCCCGAACACCTTGGCGTAGGACGTCAAGACATCGGCAAGCAGAATATCGCCAAACTTTCCATCCTGCGCCTCTGCTATTCCGCCGATGCTCACACGTCGCAACGTGGCCAAAAAGCGCCTCCTTCCGCCGCTCGGGAGGTGTTGAAGAGGGACGATGAACATGGCGACGAGGACGAGGAGGTAGACCAACGGCATCCACTGGTAGGCGAGGACGCGCGCAGGAACCCCCCAAGTAACGAGCCAAAAGAGGGTGATTGATATACAGAAGAGGACCGACAGGACTGTCGCAAGCCGGTATGTCGAGCCATGGTGTGGCACGTGGTGTGGTGAGGATCGGCCAGGGTATCGAATTAGCGACGGCACATCGACCTTGAGGAGGTAGAGTTGGTGAAGATTAAGGCCCCATCCCCAGACAGCTGCGACATGTTAGTCTCGTTCAAGTGTATCGGCGAGGGCAGAGCGGCACTGACCCAAAGTTGCGATGAAGCCGACACGGTATGGCAGCGGAAAGGCCAAGCTGAAGGAGTCAAGCTCCGGCTCGACTGCCGGATCACCGTCCATTGTGGCCGCTCGCCATCGGACGGGGGGTGACTAAAGAAGAGTCGCGCTGGAGCGGAATCGCCAGAGTAATCAATTTCAAAAGCGCAACTGGAGAAGGCGGCGCGACAAAGTGCATGAGGTTGAAGCCTGGACAACCCAGCTGTCCTCAAGGAATTCCTGATTAGAGGGCGGGTCCTGTTTTTTCAGGGGTACTTGACGTGCGCAACCCACGACGTCAGGGCCACATCAAACTTCAGCCACAAGGGACAGCCACAAGGTCAGCTCCAAGCTGACAGCTAAGCCACACCCCCCCCATGTCCTTCTCCACGGGCCTGTAACGGAAGGCGGAAGAGAGTTGCCTCGTTGGACGCGGCAACCTCCATCCTTCATGCATGTTCAGCAAGCCACCAAAATGACTTCCAAATTCGCAACAGCGCGTTTTCTCTCACACCGCGTGCGTCCTTGTCTCCCTCTCTCCCTCCCTCTTCTCTCTTAGGGCAAGTCATATGATCAATCACTATCATCTGATATTCAGCAAGACCATGCTAATTGTTGCGTCTTCCCCTCCAGGCGTCCAATGACACCCAATGCATCCGTCACAGTCTCATTGCACCAGACCCTTGCAACCCACCAGTGTTAGTTTGATGAGCTCGGACAGGACTGCAGGTCCTGCGGTAGACACGCCTGATGCACCATGCATGTTGCTTACACAGCACCGGGCGGAGGCTGCCAATTCTTTCCGCTGCTGAAAGAAGCTGGTGTCCATTCTCACCGAGCAAGAACTGGCCCAAACAAGCAAAGAAGCTGAACAACTCCCTCGCCAAGACCCGTTCCACCTCTGATGAGGCATGGTTTCAAGACATTCCCGACGACCGCAGGCCCGTGCCAGTATTTTGTTAGCTCAACTCTAACTTGCCTGAGTAGTCGTTCCCTTGAGGCGGACGGCCGTTGGACGTGGCATTGAGCCATTGGAGGGGGTCCTGAAGCCGACCTATAAGAAGCCCGCCAGTTCTCACCGAGCGCCACTATCACCTTCAGCGGCATGGAACTATGACGAGCTCCCATGCCCCGTGATAGAACTGGGGAATCCGCGATGCAGTACCGCTTCGCGTCCTTTACACACCGTCTCCGCGGGCGTTAGCGAGCGCCCCCGGGTGCTCCCGCCAGGTGCGTCGACACCAGTGGATGCTTGTCGTTTGACAGACCCTGAGGCCCGTCTCATATCAGGCTACCTTCTCGGCCCAACACTCGATGCCCTAAATCTCTGGGTGAAGCTCCCACGGCTGCCGGTGGTTTTGGCGTCACCCAACCCTGCCATTGGCAATTGGCCTTATCAACATGAGCCCACCGCCTCCAGCAAGATTCGCGGCGGAATTCATCGTCGAGTCGCCCGGCCAGCCAGCGCCGCAGCGGGCGACTCGAAGACGGGGGATGGAGACACACCGAAAATGGATAAGAAATTGGATGAAGCGACTGCCGCAGGGCGATGAAGACTGGGACAACAATTTCCCTTCGACAGCCGAGGAGATCGACCACATCCGCGAACGCCTAACAATGGCACACGTCGAAGCTCGCAACCAAATGGACTGGATCACCATTCTACACACGTACGCCGCTTGGGCAAAGGAATTCGATGGTCGTGAACTTCAACTTCATAACATGATCATGGTCGCGGCATGTCACGTGGCTCACAGCGATGGCCTTCCAAGGGACATCATGCTCGAAGCCATGGCAAAGTGCATCAGTGGAGGTGGTGATACGCTCCGGTCGAAACGATTTGCACTGCCAAAGTGCATTCAGATTGGCGACGAACTTGCCAATGTGCTTGGGGTTCGTGCATATGAGCTTCCATTGCGTGGTGGGTAATCCAAGGCTCTCGTCTCGTCTGTTACCGAGGTGATAAGTACACAACGACTCATTTCTATCAGTTAACTCCTATTTCACATTCGGCCAACATTTTACCGGCGAATGTTTCCCTCTTCTGCGGGAAGAAGCAACCACGGCCCATCGTCCCTCCAGCGCACTGCCGTCGGAAGTTTTAAGAATCCCCAGTCTTGTGTTCGATCTCTGTGGGGGGAAAGTGAGGTACGCATAATTCTGCAGTTCTTCCTTTGAGACCAAAGCTCATGCATGCAACAGCCTTGATAAAATTGAAAGGAGTTTGGCGGCCAGCACGTTGAGGGCGAACGCCAGCGGAAGTTCGACGGATGCCAGTTTGGATCATGATATGATTTTCATCATGAAGTAGCGTATTCCCACGGTCTTTCAACGGGCTCCAATTGGAGGGGGATGTAGAGAAATCTGATGTGGCCGCCTTTCGCTCGTAGACCCGTCTCCCGGAGATGAAGTGCGAACTTGGGATCCCACGTCTCGGTGCGAGAGGACTTCTTATCGCCAGAAATGAGTTCGACGTCGTAGTTTGTGTTTCCGAGGGCAAGCACAATTGCAGTGTAACCTTTGAGCAGTGTCGATGTGTTATCCTTTTCGAGGCGGAAGGCCTGGGGTCGAATCTCGGGGCTCCCAAGGTCTTTAACCGTTAGACCCATACTCCTCGCCCATAATTCAATTTCGGGGGCCTGATTATGTTAATTGGAGATGGCCGGAACGTGAATCGTTTGGGGGCAACCCACCAAGTTTTGCAGTAGCGCATCGCACACTTTTTGACAGGATTCCGGCAATCCATAGCTCAACAGACCCTTTCTCTTCTCAACAGGAAACAGAGTCAGGACCTCTGTAGTGGCATGTTGCTGAAACTCCTTGACGCTGGGCTCCAGGGGCAGAAGCCGGTACAATGGAGAAGCCATCCTGGTGGGTAGCTTGTTTGCCAAGCTTCGTCCATGGATGATCGAGGGACGGCTTGGACAAGACCGGCCCAAGATCAGACGTGGGACGGTCGGCTGCCGTGCCTTGACCTGTATGTACTCTAAGCCAAGGCACTCGTTCGAGAGGCACTGGATGCCTAAGGCTTCTCGGCAGATGCCTCATCTCCACCGCCTGTACACCTGTACACCGGACTGCTGCGGGGCTGACGTGGTGATCTCCGTCCCATTGAGGGAAGAGAGAACATGACCATATGAGGTGTCAACGAACGCTAGGCTATTTATAGCGAGAGACGGGTCTTGGCGTGAGTCTCTGTGATTCATTCCTCGACTCCCCTAAGCTTGTGTCTCATTTTCTCGCTTGAACAACATCTACAAGTTCACCAAGGGCCATTGGTCTGATACTACGCTAATGGGATTAAAACCACGGTGTCGTTAGCGCCTTGGTGTGACAAACAACGTGGCCAATCTCAACCTCCAGACAAAGTCTGACGTCGTCGCCTTTCACCAGCTTCCACAACAGCCAGTTGCATGCCAGTGCTGGCGCTCCAATCAAAGCTCGTACGTGTTACACCGGCCCACGACCCACGAGAGCACACCTGCCGGAAGAGGAAGATAATAGTCTCCCGAGGGTCTGGCTGACCTATCAACAGCCCTCGGGTTTCCGCATGAGCGACCTCTGTGGAGACTCGAGATACGATCTTATTCGCGAGATCGACATCAGTCAACGCTGCCGATGGCAAGGAAGGCTACAACCACTAACTAATGCCGCCTATAGCTTCGGGAACTAGTCGCCAGACGCACTGGGGCACTCCAGTTCGTCTTCCCTCTAGCGCCACCTCTGTTACCCTACAACAATATAGCCGCCGGCCTCTTCAACATTTGTCCGCACTGCTAGCTGTTGCTCATAAGAGTGACCACCTACCTTTGGCACTTTGTGTATTACTCGAAGTTGTTTGTCCTGTTCGCCTTTTGTCCTTTGTGGCCAATATTCTAGTGGAGCGATTGGGCGTACAGCTACGTTGTTGTCTGGCGGGGCCCCTTACCCACCCATCACCCAGGATCTCAATCAGAGCCCATGGGACCGTTACGCCATTAAGGACACTTTGATCGTATTCTGTTCCGCGGAAGTTGTTGCTTAGGTCAGGTAGGCTATAGAAGCCAATCACACCTCAACTTCGTCAACTACACCAGCACCCAGTCCCATTCTCAGATCGATGGTGCTGTCTGGCTGGCACCCCACACAAGCCAGCGACCAAGCCCGCATCCACACCACGGAACTGCATCGATATCTGATCCTAATGCCTCGGAATGGCCCGCATGAGGTACCCGACCATATAAGTGTTGGATCGCTCGGTAGTTAGTCGCATTTTGACCGAATGATGATCCAGAACTTCGCAGACCACGATAGTAAATGCCGGTACGGCCTAACGAAGAACTTGTATTTGTCCGGCTCCAACAGGGCTACGTATATCGGATCTCTGATAATTTCAGGGCTGCTTGAGCGTAAATGAACCGATAGTCGCAGCGGAAATATGGTGCGGCGACTTCTTAGAAGATAGTGAATCCATATAGAACACCTAAAACATGATTATCGAGGTGTCCTTCTAGGGATGCTTAGCCCCAATTGACAGTTCTTGGCGGGAGCATTGTGCTATGTCAGTTCGGCCTCGCCTATAAGGATCTATTCCAACAGACCGCAAAATACAGACAGAGAGATGCTCCTGCGGGTTAAAGCGACAAAGCTCTAAATAATTAGCTCTAAAAAAGTTGGTCAATATACAGCAATCTTTTCAGGTTTCTCAAATGGTCGTTATTCGATGCTCAGGGGCAATGACAACGATGTGTCGCAGAGCACGGAAGCCAGAACAAAATGCCTGGTATTTTCGTGTAACAATTAACATGTCAGTCAGACTTGAAAGTAAAATAGAAATCACATTTGAGAGTCCCGATATCTGACATTTGTCGGATCTTTTCGGTCACTTTGGGGCACACCTCCGAGCTGAAGCCCAGCCATCAGCACTCAGCCCTCAATGTTACCCAACCTCAACTAGGAGGTCTTATCTGACTTGAGTATAATTCACTCAATTATCCACATTAATTGGGGGAGAAAACCGAATCCAAGGAGGGGGAACTACACCAAGCCGGGAAGCCCGCGTTCCCCGTTTCCGAAAAGAAGGCTAGGAACCAACATGCAGATGGAGACCGGGGATAGCCCAACCACGGGCCGGCCCGCAGGGGTTCTGAAAATGCAACTGTCCTTTTTGGGTTCAATGAGACACTCCCAACGAGCACTCCGGGGTTGTAAGGAGGCTGGTGTTAAGCCGTGCATGGTGGCGAATGCTGAATCCCTCCCACGCTGTGAGCCAGGCTGTCGGAAGGATGGTCCACGGGACCCATGGGGCGGATGACTTGAACCAAGATACCCCCTCCTCAAGAAACCGTATCTGCAAGACACTTCCTCCCAGAAAATCGAGGTTTGTAGGGCTGTGGTGGTGATTATCATTCTTCAGTTTCCAAAATGGCTCCATCGATCGAATATGACGAGAATGAGCACCCAGACGTGTTTAGAGCTAACCTTATCAAACGGATTGAGAACAAGTTCCGGGCCTCCACTACTCAAAGCCCGTGTTGCGGGTCGAACGAGGAAAACCCTCGATGCACGTTCGATCAAGCGTTCGATCAACTCCATATTACCGACAGCACGACTCAACTGCTCCGGATTCTCCGACAGTACGACAATAAAAATCGCTCTCGAAACCCATTCAAGGTGGAATTTAGTAAAATCGAAGCCCTGGTCCCCATGACACATTGCTTTCATCACAGAGAGGTGGCGATTGAGAAGCTTCGTTGCTGGGCTGGGCAGCCAAAACAGAATGGGGATGGGGATGATGGTGGCACTTCCGACACGTACGACGGCGAATCAGACCAATATACTGAGCCCATAGACCACTCTTCCTCTGAAAATTCAAGCTCGAACGAGAGCAGGGATGATGGCGGCGAGGAATTCGGGGTGGACGATAGCAGCGAAGACGACGAGAAAAGAATTTCATTCAAAACTCCAGACCGTACACAACAGCCCCGAAGCGGCCGGGAAGGCAGCAGTAGCGCAAGTTCTCCATCTCCTGGGTCTCATGCCGATCTTTCCGTCTTTTCTCCCACCTCCGAAGCAGACACGCCTTTGACACCTTTCACACCACCAAGTTCTGGGAAACTGAGAGATCGCCAATCAGTGGATGTGTCGCCCTCTCCCGGGTCCTATTTTAATAAGAGAAAGAGTGTTGGCGTTGAAGAGATAGAAAAGAGCCCTACTGAGGATTCGCCAACCAACGATGATGTTTCTCGAATCAAGGGTGGAGCAGCGCGCGTGCTGTTTCCTAAAACGCCTCCAGCTGTCTTTGGACCCCCAAAGACCAAAACCACCAAGTTTCAAATATGGTCATTGATTGAACAGGACTTGGTAGGCAAGCAAGTGAAGCCTGGAATTGTCTACGTCCTTCAACTCAGGAGCCACGACATGTTCAAAATCGGCTACACCGAGAGCCGGGTGTATGAACGATATCGGTCACAGTGCTGTTTGGACGTGTTGTTGGTCGCTGAAAGCGAGAGTCATTTTGTTGGAGCCCACAGGGCAGAGCAATTGGTCCATGCAGATCTATTCGAGGACCGAAAATACCTTGAAAAATGCCCCGATTGTGGCAAGGGACATATTGAGTGGTTCCAATCCACGATACGAGAGGTCACGGATTCGGTGAATCGATGGACACGGTTCGTCGAGCATCCCGACGCCTACGTGGACGGGAAACTCTCCGACAAGGCCAGGGCATCGCTTTCGGATATGTGGAGTTCAGAAGCAATCGTTCGCAAGCTGCAGGATGACTGTGCAAATGCCCGGCCCAAGAACCTGAAATTTTACAAGGAGGGAGTACCACCGAGTGAGTTCAAGCTCGTTAGTACCATACGCCCAGGCGCTTCTCTCCAAAACCGAAGTGGGCCCCTCCCAAGCGAGATACAAGCAATGAATGAAGAAGACAAATCACGGGAAGGGGTTGTAGAGTCATTTGAGATGCAAAATCCAAGTCCGGATATGAGTCTTGAGTCCTCAGACAAAAGGGGGAAGTTCGAACCAGCTAGGGCAACCAAAGATCAAGGAGTTCAGACCATAGAGGCTTATGGTGGAGAGTACGATGTGTTTAGTTCTACGGTATCAGAAAGCGAGAACGGAGCTGTGGTTGGAGAAGAGGAGGATGATAGTCTGACAGATCAGTCTGTGGTTGGAGAAGAAGGGGACGACAGTCGAACGGATGATTCTGTGGTCGGGAAAGAAGAGGACAGCAGGCCGACAGACGACTCTGTGGTTGGGGATGGTGATAGGATGACTGAGCATGAAACGAGGGCCCCCGAAGCTGAAGAGCAAGTCGAGGAGCAAGTTCAGTATAAAGTCGATGATGAGACTGATGAAGGAGAATCAATCGAGGACGAAACAAGCCCAGAAACGAGAGAGAAAGAGAAAGAAATGTCCTCCGAGGGATACAACGCAGCCGCCCCGCAGCAGTTGTTGGTGAGGATGGGAAAGGCAGAGTGTGACGATGAATTCGAGCGACGGATTTGTTGGACCCTTTTCTTTATGGATTTTGTTGTCTGTTATTTTATTTTTATCGTGTAATATCCTTTGCGGCTTTTCTTTTGATTTGCCTGAATATGTACCTCCATTGACTTTGGACTTGGTGATGTGCACCGACGTATCAAGGTACGGCCCGGCCCCGAGCTTACGTGGTTCGGGATCATGTCACTCGGCCGAATGAAAGTAGAAAGTAGCGGATAAAGTGTGGCAGTGACAGGCCAATGTACTAGGTATGTAGAGAATCTGGGGTTTGAGAGGGCGTTGGAGGAAACGATGCTCGCCAGTGGAGGTAGATATTCCCACCAAATCCCGAATCCTTTGCCTGTGGCCTCTCTGACTGATGATTGGAACATGGTGTCGCGATGTGCGATGGCGCACCAGCAGCTGAATGAACTGTGCAGGACGCATGGACTGCGGCGGGCGTACTCCGTACGGTGCGATGCTACTATGTAAGTTAGTGGGTGGATGCTAAGAATAGAAGTCCAGCCGGGTCCATTTCTCGGTTGGGGAGATTCAATGCGACCTCGATGAACCATCCCGACAAAGGGGCCATGGCGATTGACAGGTGGAGGGGTATTGCAACTGGCGCTTCGAGGGCGTAGTACGGAATTAAGAGGAACAACAACAGCAACAACAAAGAGGAAACAGCCGGTACGCGCAGGAGATGGGCCGCGGCGATGGGTGAAAGGGGAGAGAATAGGCAGCGCCGAGTGCAAGTTGCAATGTGCGACCGACGTGTGTGTGCCATTTTTGCCGAATGAGCCACACTATCACACCGGCCACCAATGACAGCTTGGTAGGTTGGTGACAGAATATGCAACTAATAACTGGTGTCGGTGCAAGGGAGACAAACGAGCAGATGGACGACAGGATCAAATGATTGAATGGCAGAATGGGCTTGGCAAAAGGCCGCCAGCCGAGAAGGGAAGGGAAAAGAAGTAGGGAAAGACAGTTAGAAAATAAAAACCAACTAAGTTATCCCCCTGGAGCTACTTATTACTGTGCTTAGTTGCTGCCCGCTTACATCATATGTCTCGGTCGCATCTTGCACTGTCTGGCTTCATCTGCGCTCTCTGGCTTGGGTTTCCTCTTGTCTCGGCCTGCCTTGGTCCATCCTGCCTTTCTGTCTGGGGCTCTTGTCGGATTCCAGCTCGCTACGACCTCGCAGTCCCCGTGTTTCGTGGGTGCGTGATGGCCAGCGCCAGAGACATGAGATGGTTTCACCCCGTGCGCTACGACCCTGAGAGGCGAGAGACCCTACATACAGAAATAAAAATATTACAAGCATCGGGATGTTCGATTGCCATCAAGGTGTCAAGTTTAAAAAGAGAACGGCTCCTCTTTCATCTCTCTCGGCCCCGAAGCAACGCCGCGTCAACAACTCGCCGACGCGCAACACATATATGCACGCACCGCACACAAGCAGCACGCATCACGCAGCACGCCTTTCGCCGATTCGCACTCACATGCTGCGCCGCCACCCTGACGCCCGCCCCCCTGTTCGCTACTAGCGAGCTGGGCTGCTAAAAAAGAAGAAGAAACCACCGAAGTTGCTGTAAAAAGGACCCCTGGTTCGACCCGAGGGCCCCCAAAAGCACCAAGTGGAGAGCCTCGCTCGGCGTCGACCGCGTCCGCCCAATTGGGCCAGGAAGAATCGAAATAGCTTCCAGGCCACGATACGAACTTTGGTCCCCGTATCTTGGGCTGCTGGCCACATTTTCGATTGCCTCGAGGCTCGTACATCGCTGATTGCCATCGCATCCCTCGGGCTCCGTCCTACTGTGCTGCGCTGCGCTGCGTGTTACCCACAGTGCCACGCCAAGAATCCTGCTGGGTGGAATCCTTCTGGGTTGAATAACATCAGGTCGTCATTGAAGCTTTGGGCAGGGCCGCCGCCATCGCTTCGCGCATTACGAACCGCAATCAGTTCAATCCCGGCGACATAACAGCCGAGCGCATTGCCTTTGTCTTGTTCAATTTACCCCCCTAGAGCATCTGCCTGGTCTGGGATTATAATAGCGGCCTCCGTCTTGTTTTTTTCCGGGCCATTCCTTCTTACAGTGCTAGGCGGTCGACCGGTCCAGTCAGCTTCAGCCACACACAAGCCCACCGCACCAGACCCGACTCTCACACACTACGCACCCTCAGTTCAGCTCACGATCGCTGATCCCCATTCCGTCTTCTCTTCCGCTTCCGCTTCCGCTTCCTCTTTCTCTCTCTCTTCCTCGTCGTTCATCTATCCTCCCTGATATGCCCTGCGGCCTGCGGCCTTAGAGCCCAAGAGCGTCATGGACGCCACGACGACCGACGCCCGTCGCTCCAGCATCGACAAGACGCCCATCCCTCCTCCACCCTTCGATCGCCTCCCCGACGAGATCATCGAGCAGTGAGTAAATCGATCCCCTCGCACTCTCGCCCTCCTGCGCTTGTGCGACACCAGAATCGCGACATGACAAACTACGCGACACTTCTCGTTGCCATCGCGTCCCCCTTCTCCTTGTCGTCACATCCCCCGCACCCTCGCGCGCTGACATTCGCATCCTCCATCTAGAATCCTCCAAGCCACCGATCCCAACGGCTTCGCATCTCTTGTCTTCCTCAACCGCAAATGGCGGGCCGTCTCCCAGCGCTCCCACCTCTACCTCCACCACCTCGCAAGATGTCCCTCCTATTCAGCCAGCCATACCACCCTTCCCTCTCCCGACGATGACAACCTCCCCCGCTTGCGACGTCTTTTCGCCCGCGAGGTCAAGCGGAACCTCTTCCAAGCCTACCTACGGCCGAACGAAACCGTCATCAAACTCATATCCAATTCTATTAGCTCTTCGTCATGTCCAGGCGGCGAGGGCATGCAGTTCAGTACCTCACCAAAGGGGCACCATGTCCTGGCATACAACTCCGCCAGAGTCTACGTGATGGATGTGAGAGGGTCTAGCGTTGAGGTTAAGAGAGAGCTTAAGATCCTACGCCGCCCTGTCACGGCCTGCATTAACGATATTGGGTCCCTTCTGGCCATTCTGTCTACTGAGATGCAGGTTGACCTATACGACTTACAAAAATCACCGCCCCGCCGTACCCAATCCATGATCCTCGACAACAGTCCCCGAACTATCGCCCTCTCACCCTGTGGCTCCGTTCTCGCCGCCGCCTATGAGGGTGGCATCGAGGTCTCATCTCTGAGACGTGGTGCTCTGTCTACCGATCGACGCGCCGTCAAATGTGACGCCGTTGATGCCCTTGCCTTCTCTTACGACGGCACCCAGATCCTTGGCACCACTACTCAATCCGCCCCTCCCAACACAGTAATACTTACCGCACCTTACTACGACCCAGGTAGCCACATGTCCGATGATAATCTAAGTGCCCTCTGGACGACATCGATTTTGTTTCCCAACACCAGCCGCGACTGCAGCCATGCTGTGCTGCTTCAGGACGGTAGCCAAGAGGAGGCGAGCTGGGCATTTACCTACGATCGCAGCTTTGAGACTTTCCGTTCAGTTCGAATCGATGACCTAAGGAATGGCACCACATATTTCACGGGCCCGGTACCAGACGCAAACTCGCAAGCCAAGCTCCTGCCTTGCACTTTGCCTGCTGCGACTCATCACGGTGAATTGGTGTCGGCTGGATTTCAAGGAAAGGATATTTGGATTTACGGCGTCCCCGAAGACTTGGACGCTGTTCCAGACAACTCGTCCTCGAATGATGGTGGGTCCTCTGGCTTGGGCAGACAAAACAGTGCTCAGAGCGGTAGTTCACGTCGACTGTCTACGCGGGCACAGGATACCGATGGCGGCCGAGTTCCTCAGTGGCAGATTTTGTGTGACAAGCTGAGAAACACATTCGTTTCTGGCTGCAAAATCGCTGAGCTCACCGAGGTGAGCAATGTGAAATGGGTTGCCGGATTTGGACAGTCATCTGCCCAGGAACGGTTAATTGTCACTGCGCGAGGAGTTGGTCCGGCTAGACTGGTTACTGAAGAGGAGGATATGGACTTTGTCGATGGTGGCAGGATCACCCTTGTGGATTTCGACTACGGCCTGGATGACGGTACCAAGACTGAGATCACCATTGAAGTCGGAACCGACAACGCCGAAGTTCTGGAAGAGGAGCAACGAGATCTCGCCACAGAGGTGGCCATTGTTCGACGTCGGACAGTGGCCCAAAAGCGTGGAGGCCGAGGAGGCCGTGGTGGTAGCGGCGGTAATGCTATGCTCCGAACTGCCACAGCGGCGGCCGCACGAACTCCCGCAGTACCATCACTGTCGCGACACGAGAACACAGATGACGACCCCTTGGTTCCCCGTAGGATCGGTCAGCATCCCGTGAGCCAATCGAGCGGCCATGACAACGCCGACGAAGAAGGCGAAGAAGCGACAATCGAGGAGATGGAGGCTCTTGACGCCCCCTACGCCCACGCGAGCCCTCGATCCGGCACGACCCTACGACGTGCTGCCACTGCTGCAGCTGTTGATCGGAGTTTGCACCCTCGGACCGCTGACGGGCGACGTATCGAATATCGCCGCGCTGATGGCCGGCGTGAGCATCCTCATGAGAGTGACGCTGATAACTGGGTGCCTCCTCCTCCGCCGTATCAAAAGGATGACCCTGGAGACCTCCCTGCCTTCTTGCGCGGGCCTTCTGTTGCTCCCATGAACCTGTCTCATCCCCCCTTACTACCTTTGCCTAACCCTCAAGCGCCTGGGTCATCAGCCCAGCAGACTTCGGATTCAAGCCCGCCGCGGCCGCCCGTCCAGAGGACCGCGAGTGACTCTACTACCATGAGCAGACCCCGCATTCCCGAGTCTCCAAGGCCCATGTCAAGTCCATCCGTCCAGCAGGAAAACGACAATCTTTACGATGTCACCCCACCGGATTCCCCACGACAGCCTGCCCGTCTGTCGAACGATTCGGCGCAAACGGGGACTGAAATACGTCAGCCATCAGGCTCATCCGTCTCGTCAATAGCACCGAGACCCGTCACCGTCCCTACCAACTTGAATGCCGTGGTCCCACCGCCGGCATTAACATCGTTGCCCTCGAGCCGATCTGATCTTGGTCCCGGTACGCAACCGCCCACCCGGAATTTGCAAACATCGCACTCTGCAGAAATGTCCTTCCAGCCCGACCAGGGGAGGGCCCCTACAGCGAGACGGTTATCCAACACCCAGACATGGCCTACGGCACCCCGGCCAGAGGCACACCATCCAGGCGACCTGGGCGTCATGTATCCGCACTCGGCATCATCCGCACAACCCTTGGACAACTTCGGCTCAACTCTGCCCCCACCGCCAAGTTCCAGCCAGCTCGCCAGCTTGAACAAGAGGATCAGTCAGGGTAGCCCGCGCCGTTTGTCCGGAGCCTTCCCAATGCAGCGCAGGCCAGTCGGGGCCCCCCAAGGCGAAATGTCGTTCGCTCGTGTCCAATCTGACCCTGTATCTACGGAGACATACAGGCGCCCCCCTGTTGAGTTTGATCAGCCGTTGATCATCAGCACTCCCGGGGGCGTATCGGGCGCATACGATTCGCCATCCCGGCAGGTATCTGGTCGCCGCACCGAGACTCCTTTGCTGGCACCCATCCCCCGTCATCCGCGCCCTACCCCTGGGTCCGTCAACCGACCTACAGTAGAGCGCCTTGAGACCATTTATAGCATTGCCTCCTCACATGGAGGTGATGCAGCCCCGCCAGCATTACCGGCTCCGGCGCAGCAATCCGTCCCCGCCTGGCTGAACGCACCCGCAGTGCCCGTGGCCCGGCCGTCTCCTGGCGTCAACCGCCGACCCAGCCGCGCCGAGCGAAGTGCAGCGAAGAATATCCAGGACGCCAAGAAGCGCGGATGGAAGAGCAAGACCAAGAAGCGCAAGAAGAACACCGATGCCGCCAGCAGTGCCGGCTGGACCGATATCTCAACGAGCTCTGCGAAGGCCGACAAGGAAAAAGACAAGAAGTGCGTTGTCATGTAGAGACGTGAAAGCGAAAGTTGAACCATCCAGAAATGGTGTTGAGGTAATGGCCATGAGGCGTCATGAAATAATCTCTGCCGATCACACACATACTCACCGATCGCTACAACCACGTCTTTGTATTTATTCCCCCTTTTCATGTACCCTCTCTGTTTTCTTCTTTGTCACACTATTCACTCGCTTTGATATATCTACGTATGTATGGATTGGCACAGCGTGATTGGAGGATCTTACGATCTTGTTATATTTTGTTTTGGGAGCGCTGGTGCGATATCCTGGAGCGGGCACAAGGCGAACAGGAATGCAAATCATTGTTATGAGGAGGGACAAGACTCTCGTTCAGATTGGGACTTTGCTTATATACCAGATGGGCATTATTATTAGCCATTTACAAAAGCAAACGATATATTTTGTCTCCATGCTTGTTCCGTCCCTGTCTGATGTCGTTGTACTGCGAAGGTTAGCTTTTGCAGAGATGAGTAGGTACGACTCGTCAGCAAGGAAATTGAAGAAGTTGCAATTTTTCCATTAATTGGAGCATCTGTCTATATCCCACCAGAGATCCCATGATCTCATGTATAAAAACAAAGGAAAGAAATACCAGACTAAATACATGGCTATGTCCGAGAGAAACCCCTGGGTATAAATAACAGCACGTCCCATTCATGTATCCGCAACGCCAAAGCCATCCCGGCTCATATTCTAGCGCGAGTGAAGAGATAGAGAAAAAGGTGCCGTATGTACAGTAACGAGATTGGATGTGCGCAGCACGAGGAGGGATGAGAGTGTAGAGGATAATTAGGGGGTAGGTATGGTGGAGCTCATTTAGTGCTCTGTTGTAGTTGGTTGTAGGTGGTTTCGACCATCTCGTTCGACTTGGAAGAACATGTTCACATGATCAGATCCTCGGCGTCGTCCCGGGCACGTACGGTCGCCCGCGTCGCACTTCACCCAGGTCAGCCTCATCCATCAGATCAGTAAACGTTGTGGCTCGCGTCAGCCGACGGGGCTTGACGGTACCTGGGTCCGCAAATACGTTGATGCTCTCGCTGCTGGGCTCTCGCTGCAGTTCGGGGGTGCTTGGCCGGCGACTGTAGTAGGACGAGGCTTTCATAGAGCGGATGGGTAGCAAGCGCACGTTGCCATGGCGGGGCTGTTCTTCGTCATACGGACTTAGTTGCGCAGAGTGGTTGTGGGGGGACGGGTTAGGCGAGTCGAAGGGGTTAGGAATGGAGATGCGGATTCGAGGCGGCGTAGGACTGATGCGGGTCGCGAGGGGGCTGCTCACGAGAGTTCTGGAGCCGGCGGTAGAAGAGCTAGAAGACTTGAGGATGAAGTCGGTACGGTATGAGTTGGGTTGAGTGATGGGCTCCGAGATCATGTCTCCAAATGAGGCTGTGCTGCTAGAGCCGCGTCTGTGGCTAAAAGGATGGGCGCTCTTCTCGGATTTGCTACCATCGCCCTTGTTCCGGCGACGGATACAGAGGAATACAACTATGGCGACGACGAGCAGCAGAAGGCAGCCGCCGAAAACACCACCAATGATAGACGTGGTAGCAGGGCCCGAGTTGTTGGACTTGGAGTCACCTTCCGAGTCGGCGGACTTGTTGGGTACAGCAGTAGATGACGGTGCCTCTGTTGTGGAAGCAGTCACGGTTGAGGAAGGGTTCGAGGAAGGCTCCGAGGAAGGATCTGAAGTTGACGTCGCGCTGGGCCCAGCAGTGCTGGTTGCACTGGTCTCTGAACCACTGGGAGGTGCCGTCTGGTCATCATCCATTATACACTCCTTGTCGTTGTTGCAAGTGTAACCAAAAGGGCAGCAGGTGCTATCGCCGCACTTCTCGAGCTCAACATTAAAGACGGTCGTCTTGATGGAGGCATTCGGTCGGATTGTGACGTTCTGCTCGCTGAGATTGCAAGTGATGGGCTGGATCAAGGTACAGTCGCTACCCTCGGGGCAGCACACGGCAGTAGTACCGCCCGCGAGGGCCTTGCATGTGGTGTTTTCAGCGCAGCAGAAGTTGCTTGGTAGAATGGTTGGACATGTGACTTGGTTGGCGTCACAAGAGTCGGCGCGGCCGAATATTCGGTAGGCGGGCATAGCTGAAGCAGTAGATGTACAGAGGGTTGTAGCGAGCAAGAGCTGCAAAGATATAGGGAGCTTAGACAAGGCCATGATGGCTGTCAGAACCGAGGCGGCTTGTGGGTTCGCAGTGTTGGATCACGATATGCGTGTTGGTTCTTGGTTGTTGGCTGTTGGTTGTTGAGTATCCGGGTTGGGAGCTCCGGATTCGCTAGTTGCAGATATTCGTCGATTTGATCGGAGACGGGTTCTTGGCGATCGATAGCGAGACAATAGGAGGTACAGTTCAGGTGAAAGAAGACAATGAGTTCACGGAAGACTCTTCTTTGCAAAGACGACACAGCCAGCGTGTACGACAAAGCCGGAAGGAAACGGGTGAACAATCGACTTGTTTGTTCGGCGGGGGTGAGATGAAAGGAGATGAGAAACAGAAGCAAGGACAAGAGGAACAAGAGAAACAAGAGAAACAGAGAGAGGAAGTGAACTGGGTTTGGAGAAGACGGACCCAGAGTGATCAGGGACGCGAAGCAGAAAACTGACGGACGAAGCGCGATATGATGGATTAGGCGGCAAACGAGCGGCCCCAGGCTCTCCATATGGACGTCTCGTTCCCGCCGTCAAAGACTCAGCACCGGCTCAACCGCTGTCGCCCGGAAGGCCATACTCTGCCCATCCATGGCCCGATGGGCTTGACTGGTCGTCGCATGCCATCGCTCCACGGCGCCATGGGGCGTCGACCACGAGAAGGCCCAGGCGGAGAGAGCCTCAAGGGCCAGTGGCGACGCATCTGGCCGGCGGCACTTGACACAGCGCGTGGGCAGCGAAGGGCCAGGGTGTTGCGGGAGAGGGAGACGCCGCCCAGGGCGCTGGGAATGCGGCCGGATGGAGCGCGGGCCCGTTCGATCGTGGGATGATTGGCGGCCAGGCCTCGGCCGCGGTCCCCATGACGCCGATGCAGACGCTGAGGATTGGCATCCCGTGTGAGGTGGTGTAAGTCTGGCTGGGTGCGTTTGAGAGAGAAGCTGGGGGAGCGAGCCTGACTGGCCGTGGCTAAAGCCGCGCTGTGGTTGGCTGCGTTGCAGAAATAGCCGCGCGGTGCGGCCAGGCGGCTGCTGATTGGGCCGCCGGAGGAGTCTAGCCGGGGTCCGACGGCCTAGGGCGCCCCAGGTGCCGGAGGGACACAGGCCCTATGGAGGCCTGAGGGCCAGTAGCAGGGCCTTCTGTAGCCATTTTTGGGGCATTCCAGGGCACTGCTTCTAAACCGGGACCTTTCTGGAGCGCCGGGGGCGGGCACGGGGGGGGGGGGGGGGGGGGGGCCTGGGCGCTTATGGGCACTGAAGGCCGCCCCCAATCGACCCGGTCAGACAGGCACCGTCGAATCTTCCCATGAGTACATATGACCCTGTTTGCGAATGCCCCCATCACTTGAGCCTGAGCCTGAGTGTGCCCAGAATCACAAGAGGGTGGAGAGATGTCCAAGCCTCCGCTGTTTCGACCGTCTGACCGTTTCGACCTACGACCGGACCATCCATAAGTGAGTTGTCAATCCTCATCCAATCCACCCTCAGCTTCACCGGCTGCCTCTCGACTCTCTGTTTGCCTTTCACTCATGACCAGAACCACAAAGTGGCGACACTCAACGGAATCAGGCTGCAAAATATCGGAACCGGCACATTGACCTTCCCTTCCCTGCACCGCCTCCCCATGAAACAAGGCCGTTTGTCATTGTACTTTTGACAAGTTCACCGACTGCGAACCAAGAGACAAAGAGCACAGCCGTTTCCCAACTTACACGCACACGGGCACACAATGAAACAACCGGTCGTTAAAACATGCGTATACGTAACCCATACACCATGACCCTTTGTCATCAATCGTCCCCCCGCTTGGAAACCGATTGGCAGGTAGCATCTTGCCCTTACCCGAGCTTCCATCCGATCTTCCAGCCGAACTAGGATCCAATCCGCCTCACCTTGGCCTGCGCTTCCCACACGATCCGCGGCCCGGACCCCGGCAAAAAGGAAACATCGGGGGTGGTACAGTCTATAGAACGTGAATAACGAAAACGACCCATGTAATTAATCCGGTGGCACCGGCAGGACGGTTGTGGTGACGGCGTAGAAAGAAGAAAGGGAAAAAGCCATCCTTCACATGTCTCAGCCCAACCCGCGCTACGTACACCGCCCACACACACACACACACACAATCAAAGTGCACACAATTTCCACACCGGCCTCCACAAGGTGAAGAGAGAGTCATCGTCAATCCACCGTATCCATTCATGACTCTAGTCCCCAGCCTTGACTACGAATGCGGGCCTCTTTTGAGTCATTCCACACCGTCACGCGGGAGTGCCAGCGAAGACAGAGTGAAGCGGTGCAGGGCAGGGCGGACGGATCATGGGGGGGAGGGCGTGTAAGTCGTGAAGCTATCCGGGCCTCTGGCTTCCACAGTCCGTCGGCACTGTCTTGTCGTGCTCCATCAGTTGTCTCATTTTCTGCCAGCTCAGCTCAGCTCAACTCAACCCATGCCATGCCGTGTCCCATCCTGATGCAGCTATTATAGCTCGGGCGGACACACAGACTTAATGGCACAGGCAGGTACAGGGACGGGTACAGACCTTCATAGACTAGACACCTAGACACCTAGACACGCATTATACATGGGATGAGTGCACACATGAGTGCACCGCTGTAGGTACGGTGCAGCGCTCCGCAGTGCCTGACGCAGACTTACATCCACGACAGACCGACATACGTGGTTTTCCACGACAAGCATGGAGAGCAGGCCTCGCGGGAAGCCCAATGGATGGCGCCAATTACCGCGTATTCGTACGCCCCGGAATGCACTCGCTGGACGCACTGCACTGCAGCTCGAGCCACTGTGCCTTAGGTAGTTTTCCCCCCTAATCCTGCTGATCCTGGAGGAGACAAGAAGCGATTGCCCGAACGTGCTATCCGCAGTCTGTACGAATATGCGCCGCTGTGCTGTGCGCCGCCTGTTCGCTGCTGTGCTGGCCGGATGCTGCAACTGGCGCTGCGCTACGACGCTGTCGTCTGCTGTTTTCCCCAGGACCGGCGTGGGATGATGGCGCCGGGGTGGGCTGGCGCTCTCGGATCCGACTCGCACAGCGCACACTCGCAGCGAGGCAGCATCCACGCATCTACGCATCTGCGCATCTACGGTAACAGTGGCATCTCCATCTTTTCCCAATCTGCATCTCCTATCTGCAGGGCGCAACGGCCTTTTTCTTTGCTCGTCCCGACTGTTCTAATTATGTACTGTACATGTACGTACCCTCCCGGATCCCCTTTCCATCACGCCGACCGTGCAGCGCAGCGCATCGCATCGCATCGCATCGACAAGGGCAATTGAGACAATCGCGACACCCTCACTCGCTCACAGCCAAACTCATCCACTCACCCATATTCATATTCACTCACCACGGCATTCCTCAACTCCAACGCACGCTTGCGCACATGCCAAAGGGCCTCTTTCCTCCCCCATTCCATCCTCCCCATCCCATCTTCCCCCCTCCTCAGACCATCCACTACTGCTAGTTACTGCTACTGCACGGTGCCTGCTGCTTGTCCCCTGCTGCTGATGCCCACAGCTGCTGTTCGCTGCTGTGCTCATGTACGTGGTGGTGCGATGCTGACCACCTCGCGCAAAAAGCCCACATCCAGGGTTCATCCTCTAGTACACACCGTCACACGAATCACACAATCACATACCCGACCAGGGAGTCCGTAGGGATGGGATTAACATTTACCATGTGCGGGTGTGCTACCATCCATCCACCATCCAGCCTCCCAGGGTCTCATTCCCCCAGGACCCCGGCATCCCAGTATCGTAGCATCCCAGCATCCCCGTTCCATCGGGCATGTGCTCCGCTTCCGGAGGCCATGTCCGGAGAGGAGGTGGATGGCAATCGCGGAAGAATCGTAATGTCGTAATGTATTAGCAGCCACATGCTTTTCTACCAGTCGGCCGTCGAGGCCCCAATCGCCGGTCCGTGTCACACGAGCCTAGGGAGCGGATGAGGGGATAGACGGATCGACTCGTATTCCATCGTGTAATGCATTACAGAGTGCAGAGTGCAGAATGCAGTGCAGAAATACAGTGCAGAATTGCGCGCTGTCGTGCGCCATAATCTTCTGCAAGTCTCTCTCTCCTCTGTTGCATTGCATCATGTCACTGTCGCCTTTAGGTCCAAGGTTGCGATACGTGTTTGAATGTAATGCATGTCTTGTTCGTGAGGCTATCTAAGGTAGCTACCTACCTAGCTATACATCGTCGACAAGTCATGACTTGAGAGATTTCCCTCCATTCGGGTCCGGGAGCTAGCCCATCTCAGCTCCCAGAGCTTTTCCTTGGTTTCCTAGGAATTCCTGTCCCAACCAAAAATGCATCCATCACCATACATGCCCCTCGCGCCGCCCATGCCAGATTCCTGCCCTGCGCCTGTGCCCCCATTCCCACCAAAACCCATACCATTGCCCGCCTGGTATATTAGCGAAAGCGAGCGATTTCCGAGTATTGGGACAACTCAACAATACAAGCAAAGAAAAAAGGAAAAGCATCATTCGTCGCCACGTTGTTCCTGCATATGACCGTGGCTCGGTACTCGTCGGAACCCCTCTCATCCCCCACTCATCTCTCTTGCTCATTCCATCCGTCCATCCATCCATCCATCCATCCATCCATCCATCATGCGTCGTACTCAACGCCACTGCGTCCCCGCTCCAATTTGTATTCCCAAGTGCCGAGAAGTGGTGTGTGTCCAAGTGTCGCTTCTCTGTAAACCGTTTCCTTGCTGTGCGCCTTGCGGCATCCTCTAATAAGTCCCATCCCAGTAGGTATCATTGTAAATGAATTGAAGTGCTGTAAAAGAAAAGAAATAGTTCCTCTTGGTCAACGAGGTCAAAGTAAAGAAAAGAAAAAACTCGCAGAGATTTCTGCCGAGGACAAAGGAGCATCTTTTGCTCCAAATCCTGGTCCACGGCGACTGGCAAATGCCTGCTTCGCCTTCAGAGGCGGTCCAGGCCGCTTTCATGCAGGAAAGAAGAGAAGGGGGTGTAAGTGCTGAGAGGTCCCATTGGCCTACCCAAAAACACCCTCACTCCCCTTCAAAGACCAGCTGTTGAAGATGGAGTAGAAGCAGTGCTTGGATGACTTCAGGGGCCCTAGATCAGCAAAAAGTCCCATCCCTTCATCTGCATGACATCCCGCCAGTGGATGTGCGGCTGGACCATCTCTGACGCCGTGGAGCCGGGCGTGCTAACGCCCGACATGTTATCGTTCTGCAGCCAGACCTCGTGTAAGAGGGTGGCCACACGGCCCATGGAGCCATAGTTAGCGAGGTCGCCGAGTTGCGCCAGGCGGTCATGGAAGAAGGCTCGGAAGTTGCTTCCAGGAAGACTGACAGATCCGCCAATGAGGTAGACCCAGACCAAGTTGCGGTCGAAGCCGTTGGGGCCTGAGGGGATGTGCTGGAGCACTGCTGTAAGCTTCTCAATGAGGGCCAGGTGAGACGGCTGAGTGGGGCCAAAGCCGGGTACCAAACTGCAGAGGTAGATGCGGGCAGCCAGACGGAAGGCCGCAGTCATGTTCTTAGACAGCTGCTTGGGGGAGAGGCTGCCATTGGCATTGAAGGGCATCTTGGGGCCGGTCTCGTTCATCTCAGTAAGACTGATCTGCTCGCCGAGGGCCGACACGTGCTGGCAAAGAGTGAAGTCATCCATGCCATCCTTCTTAAGCGACTCAAGGCAGGCGATCTCTGAGATGAGGTACATCACGCGGTCATCGCAGCCCATGAGCTCTCGGAGACCGAGGTGGGGGTTCACTTGTGACAGGTGCTTCTCTCGGTAGGCGTGGGCAAAAGTGGGGGATCGGCCCTTCATGGTTGCACCGAGAATATCAATCCAGGAAGTGAGAGTCATGTTGAAGGGAGTCTGAGTCGCGTTCTCAGTGGGATCCGAGACAATGCGGGGAAGGTCAAGCTTCTGCACCAGGCTAATGGCGGCCTGGAAGTGCTGGTGCCAGGGAATATCGAGAAGGCCATCGTCGAAGCGGCCGACGACGCATTGAAAGAAGATGAGGCCCAGGGTGGCCTCAAGAATCTGCTGGTGGTTCTCATCCTTCTTGAGCGCCTCGCATAGGGCCCAGATGGTGGCGTAGCGATGGCGCATGATGTCTTGGTCGACTTCCTCGCCAGTGACATTGGCGTGCGACTTCAAGTGCTGGGCCGCGATGCTAAGGCAGCAGTGCAGGTAGGCGCTGTTAGACTGCAGCGCGGGGAGGATCAGGTCAGAGCTAACCGAACCGTGCTGGTTGGACTCGAGGATGGGGAAGATGGTCGGCAGAACAAACTGGATGAAGTGTTCCAGAAGTCGCTGGTCATTCTCGTCCAGCTCAATCTGTATTTGCCTAGTGTCCGTGGAGGGGCCGTGGGAGAAGTCAAAGAAGTTGATATTAAGGGTCTCCTCGGACAGCGACTCCTTACGCTCCTGGAAGATTTGCTCTGCCCACTCGCCATCGAATGGCACAGATGACAGAATGGTGCCGGCAGGAGGCGGCGGTTGGTAGGTGCTGAAGGTGGAAATGGTCGACTCGCGGAGAGTGGGCACGTCGTTGACGAACATTTGTCGCTCAGTCTTGACATCGATTTCATACGGCGAGTAGCTGCCGAACATGATCTCGGGGTGCATGCTTGCATTGAAGGAGCCATACTCGGCACCACTGGGGGGGCTGTTGAAGTTGAAGGCGGCGGAGAAGTGAGAGTCGATGGAGGCCGACCTCGTTCGGTCGAGAGGGTCTGTGAAGGTGGCGGAAGTGGGCAGGGAGTGGCTGAGGCCAGGAGGAGAGCTCCCTACGGAGGTTGGGAGGTTGTGTGAAGACTTCTCTGAGAGCTTCTTGCGCTTAATGATGGTCTTGATGTCGTCTTTGTGCCTTCTGCGCATATCGTTGTTGCTCCACCACATGGGTCGCTTGTACTCGCACTGCAAGCCGAGGTGCTTGCATGCAGTGCACATGGGCGAACCCTCATCGCACTTCTTGCGCCGTAGTCTGCAGGTGTAGCAGCCTATACGATAGAGACAGATCTGGTCAGCAAAGGGAGCTCTGTTTGGATGTGCGGGGGCTGTGAGTGGGAGCTGCAAGTGGGAGCCGCTCGCGGGAGAGCTGTGGCATGCTCCCCTTCTCGTGTAAGTGTGCGGGGACAACTAACCTGTTCTTGAGCGGCGGTGCATCTGGGTCTTGCTCTTGGGCTTGCCATTGCTGGCTTTTGAGGCCGACTTGGCCTTGGAAGACTGAGGAGCAGCCATGTTGACTGTGTTTCCGGTTGATCGCATCATGGCGTTGCGATGGTCGGGGGGCAGCGTAGACATTTGTAGGCTGCGATGCTGGTCCGGACGGATTGGCGTGCTGGTGACCAGGAGGGGGTGCAGTGTAGACCAGTGTAGACCAGGGGGGGTGTGGCACGGTGTGAGCTCGGGTGAGGCGACACTGTGGCGTGGAGCGGATCAAAACCGGGATGGAGAAGGTCTTTGTTGCTGGGGGTCCAGGTCCTGAACCGAGCGTGGGCCAAGAGGTTGGGCGTGGAAGACTGGGCTGGAGAGTCAGGGTTGAAACTCCAGATCCAGGTTGATTAAATTAGTGTTATTTGAATGATCAGAATCGATAAGATCTGAGTCGAGTTGTAAGTGGCAGCCAGGCGTATCAAACGTCGTTGTTGGCTGCGCGTCTTTGCTGTTCGTTCGTTCGTCTGTTCGGTTCGACCGTGTGAAATTGCACAATGAATGACTGGTTCCAAGCAAGTCCGGCTTGCTGTTAACGGGAAATTTTGGGGAAGAGTCGGGAAAGGGAGGGATAGAGGAGGTCGGGAGAGGAAAGGGGATTAGAGAGAATGATAGCCTTTTGGCGACGACACTTGGAGCTTCTCACCTTGTACACAACGAAGAGAAAAGAGGGCAAAATTCAAGGGCGGTTGCGGATGGGCAAATTCTTATATCATGGCCGCTCTGCTGGCGGCCATCTCGAATCGATTCGATGATGGCTTCCCAACCTGTGTTCTATTTTTGCATCATGCACGACCGAGAGTCCATGGCACGAGAGACAGCGACTGCGCTTAGAGAGACCAATGAGGAGGGGCCGGCAAAGATGGTCTCTCTGCAAAAGAGGTGTGCCTAGTCTCCACTCTAGGAATAGATGTGCGGAAGGAGTTGGAGGGTGCGGGCCGGGGTGGTCCAAAGAGGAAAGTCGCGCATGGTGTGCTCATCTGCCCGTGGGGATACCAAGCAGCCACTCTGCGCTCGGTGGGAGGGGAGCTGCCGGCTTGTCGACCAGAGGGGGCTGGATCCTTCGGATCTAGCTCTGGACAGGGGGATATGCCAGTCCGTGACCGACGAGGCTATTCCCCTTCAGCTCGAATGGGTAGACGGCCCAACATCTACTTTGGCCTTATCAGCGCTTTTCCCACGTCACAATGCCTCGACGAAGACGGAGCAGACAGAGCCTCTGGTCTGACTTTTGAATGTAAGCAGGTCCTGGGTCTGACAGAGTGGTGGTCGCTGGGATCGATGCAACGGATCTGTACCTTGACGTTGCATTGCATCTGCGGTTGGAGCGTATACTCGGTCCGCACTTTGTACCTACGTCGTCGGATCATGCAGTAGTAGCAGCAGTATCCCCATGTCCAAAATACGATAGTCCATGGGAGCTCACCTAGGTACTGCACCTGCATGAGCGGAAGCGGTCCATGGCCCATCGGGAAGAGGGGGGACCACGGAAAACCATTCCACCAGGATAGGCCGCTAGTTCCATCCACCATTTCCTTCTCTCCCGCAAGGTCGCCCATGTCAGAACATACTGTGTCAACCTGGGAAGGCTATTCGATCGTCGTTGCAAATGCCTCATCAAACAGGCACGTCTTAGTGCGGTCATGAGTCGGTGGATTCTCGATTCACGGTTCACGGTTCACCTCCCTCCTCAGACTGGTGGGAGCCTAGGGATCGGCTAGAGCCATGATCGGAAGAAGTGCGGTTGGAGCGCTCTAGGACACAGAGCATCGTCCCAGATATCAAAGCCCATTCTTGAGCGAGCGAATAGCAAGGCCATGAGAGGCGGTCAGGCAGTAGATTGGCCGGCGGAACGGCCAAGTGGCTGACCAGACCATGCTGCAAGTGGCTGTCCGTGGCCGAGCCCAGAGCACCTTGATTGCGAATCCAGTCTCCGTCAATAAAGTCTCCGTTCAGAAGTACATGGGTCGATGGCTGCGGGGGCGAAGAGAGACGAGTGACGTCTTGGGCCGGGCAGCCGCAGAGCGGTCGGGCATGGAGCGACGACTCCGGCGAGGTCACGAGGACCGGGCATGGCCTTGGATTGGGGCTGCGAGCGGGCGCGGGAGAAGAATCGTCCTGGCGAACAGCGAGTGAGCGAGCGAGGATCCCAGGACAGCAGGCCGGGGTTGCGGCCGCTACAGCAACGCTGCACGGAGGCGACCTGTCGAGCAATGGTACGCGGGATTCTGCTGTGCGCCCGCGCAGCGAGAAGGTACCGGTGCAACCGGAGAGCAGCGTCGACGTGCGGGATGGGCTTTGTGAGCAGCGATCACAGAGCGTGGCGGTAGGGTTGTGGACACAAGAGTCGGTCGGGTGGACGACCAGGGACTGTAGTGTCGTTGAGAAAATACAGTCTGCGGGCCGTGATTCGCAGACGACGTGTGACGAAACGTTGGCTCGTGCAGAAGCGGTAGGGGCCGCGGGACCAACCGATTGTAGCGCCTGCCGCGAACAGGGATGGCCATTTTGATTGCCATCCCGGCGGGGGATCAAGATTGGCCCGTTGCTGCAGCGCCAGCTGCAGGGGTACTGACAGGGGAGCCGGGGGTTGCCAGCCAATAGCAGGTCTCAAGCCTGGTGCCCAGGGCGTCTGGCTGCCAAGTGCTAGCAGGGCCTGGCCCCTACTCCAAGCCAGGCTTGTCCCTGAAGGCCTAACTTGCCGTGACTCCAGTGCGCTACAGAGACTGCAGAAAGCGGCCGAGAGGGCATGATGGGCGAGCTAGCACCTTGGCGTCGATGTGAGAAGCCCTGAGGGGAATGGCCGATCAGTGGGATCCTAATTATTGATGCTGGGCTCTTGAGGTTTGTTGGCTCTTGCCTGCGGGGCGCCATATAGGGGAAATGATGATGCAGCGGCGGCGGCCAGCTGAGGCATCACGGCGACTTGCAAGAGGCCGGAGAGGGTGATAACGGCTTGACTTCCATGTGGTGGTGGTGGATCATGAGGAATTCTTGTCACCAGCCAGTCCAGTCGCCTATCTGGCTAGCGTATCTCGACTACTGCAAACTGAAAGCGAACCGGCCAGACCATGGAAGAACTACGATGTGCATCGTCGAAGCCTCCCACCGGACAACATGGTAGTCCTAGCATAAGCCCAGAGGCTATTCTCAACAGCCGTCATCTCGACTCCCGGACTTCCCATTACTCCGAAGCCCTGTATCTGTCACTTGTCATGGCCGAGCCCCCATGGACAAAAGGCCAGCCCTCGCATCCCTTGCAACCATGGCGTTCCCTTGCCCATCAACGCGAATCCTGGCATGGCTGGCCTCAAAGCTCACTGCCCAGGGTTCATCCATCGGCAGCTCAGTGCTTGTTGTGTCAAGCTGCGTTCCGACTGCGGTCTAGCCCACTTGCTCAAGGCTTTGCGACCAATGCGAGTCATTGGCCCCGCTCACAAGACTGCCGGCTGCTAGGGGACGGTTCCCTCTGTCACTCGTCCCCTCATCCTTGCAACTAACCTGGTAGTTTACATAGCATCACCACTAGGTTGAATCCTCCCGGCTGAGTTTAGCCCAGTATGGTGCCATTTACCCCTCATTGCCAAGACAGGCGTCCATAATTTAGCCCGGTTTAGATCTCTATTTCTGGGTTAAATTTTCAATATTTCCCTTCCTCCTCCAAACCACCCAGCCATCTCTCGGCGCTTAACATGTTTAGCGGAAATATGCAGAACAGAACGCGGGCGCTAACATGCCCCCATCCCGTCCCATCCCGTCACATCACATTGACCATCTATTTTTAATTTATGCCACATTATCACATCAATATTGGCCTAATTTGGCTGCGTTGACTCAGCTGCTAAAATGCGGCCTAAATGTAATCTGTCCCGGGCTAATTATGGAAGATCGACTCTCGACTTCTGCGTCTCCATTTGCCGTGCCGCTCCAGTCTAGTGTCGCCGCCATGTTTCCTCCTCCGATGCCCCTGTCGCCACCTTCTCATGGTCCGGTCCTTCTCAGCCGTGCGCCGTGCCGTAGCGCGTGTGCGACCAAAGCTTGCGAAGCTTGAGAAGCTCGGCAGTCTCTCTCCAGTGCGCCCCCATCCGACCCCCAGTCGCTTTCTTGGGCCATGCCCTAATCTCCCCGGCTGATCTCGACAGTTCACTCTCCGTTCGCCGAGGCTTCCGCCCTTTCTAATCCAGGTTAACATCCCGTCTCTGCATCTCGTGCAGTGATCTGCGAACAGCGTGGCTGCAAAGTTCGGCCTGCAGCCACACTCTCAAGCCCCGAATTGCTTTGTTCTGACTCTTGATACTTTATCTGGAGCCGAGTCTGAATTCCTTCCACCCGGTTTCGAAGGAATTCATACTTCCCCCCGCATGGCCGTCTTTTTACAAAGTTATGGGAGGCTGGGTCCGTCTCCCACCTTGACGCCATTTCATTGCTTGCCTTGTGTTACGCATTCTCCCGTCCGAGCTCTCCGCTATCACCACGCATCACACATCTCCGAGATCCCAGCCCTAGCATCCACGAGTTTTGACCATCCCCAGCGGCACCCTCCATTACGCCGCGACTCATCATCTCCGCACACCAGGATACGGATTGTGTGATTAGGTGATGGTGACAGAGCAAGTTGCCCACCATCTCCTCTCCGAAGACCTAGCCCTAGGTCGCGCTGGGACGTCTGAGGGTGATATCCAAGCCATCTTCATTTCAGGACCGATGATCAAGGGCTCTATCCCCATCTCGTGCCATAGCTTGGCCCCGGCTTAGATCTCAACCCGAGCTCTATCCTAGTTGGGCTTATACTATGCCGTTGAGGACACCTCGGATGGAGCTATTCTCTCCGTTGACACCCCCTCTTCTGCTGCTTACTAGTCTCGTACTGTGAACATCTTATGTCAGTAGCGTTGAAGCCGATCAAGGGTCCCCATGACCATGCCCCCTCTCTCAAGTCGATGCGAGTTCGGAATGAGAACTTGTGATGACGAGTTGCAGGATCAAGAATGAGGAACGTTGTCCGGACCGATCGAGCTCAGACCATGCCGCATCGCCTGATTCCACACTTGTCCGATGAGAGCTGAATATCATTGAGGCGATTGATGACCAGGGACCCTGCTAGCACCCGTCGTTGCAGCGAAAAAGATAATGCAACGGTCCAGCGATTGCCAAGACATATCAGATAAGCCTAACGGAGCAGATAGCTGCGTGGTGGTGGAGTATTGCGGGTTGAAGTGCGACCGGTTGAAGTTGGTTGCAAACCAAAGACAGCCCACAGAGTCCATCGAGTGTGTTCCCCTCTCTCGCTCTCTCCGGTCCCCCGCCCAGCCCCTCCCCCATCCATGCGGTTTATTCTGCGCGGGTGCATGGGGGAGCTTGTTTTTGTGTCTTGGCTGAATGGGGAATCTGCCAGACATGGCACCTCGGTCCATGACTGGACACTCCAGAAGCTGTCCACACTGCAACTGTGAATCAACCATCCACCAAAGAACGATCAGGTCGCATTGGTCCTTTATCATGTGAGGTCGTGAAGGGCCGTGTTTTCCAAAGCCATTGGCCAGCGCGGAGAAACGGGCCATCCTCTGAAAACCGTTGTGTCAAGAACGGGAAGCGAGTGGAGTTCGAAGTACTGACGAATGTCAACGACTGGGCGCATTGGCGAACTGACCAGCCTTTCGACTTGCGGAATAGCGAGCAACAAGTGCCCGCACTGTGACAAGCGGGGGTAAGCGAAAAAGAATCAAGGGCCCATGAGGGTTTGAATCCTTGACTCCTCCATCGATTGCCGTATTCGTACCTCCCTGGTCGACGATCCTCGGGTTACCCGTCGAATATTGACCGCGGGACAACAATACTTTCTCGATTTAGTTGAGGCCAGGGTATTTCCGGACGACTCGGAAAAGGTCGGTCGCTTACCAGTCTAATAATGATCAACAACGGTCACTAGGCCAAGTCTTGTGAAGGAGACTCGAAGCTGGTCCATAGATGGCCTGCCGTCTCAGTATCACGCGGACGATGTCTTTGATGAGCCAGGATAATCAATTGGATTTGCTTGCCACGGACGTCCGTGGACTCGTGGCTGCCCGACCGTCCAACGAGGCTTGGACTTGCCAAGTGAAGATCCCGATGTGAGACACCATGAGGAGAACTGTAAGACATGGCTGTTTGGCCGAGGACCGGCTTAATGTTTGTGTCTCCATCCCCAAGTAGCCGGCCGCAACAAGTAGCCACAACGTTCACGGGGCGGCGCCGTCCACGCCCGCCGCGGTCTCGCCCGGGCGGAACAGTCGGTGAAGATCCGTACAGACCGATCTCGCACTGTTTAGGCCGTGGCCTGACGGGTGAAGTCGTCGGATGCAAAGCATTTTGCACTGGGGGGGGCTGGCCAGGCATGCACAGCAAAGCGGGAACGAGGCATTAGCCTGCGACGGCGCAAAAAGCCACTTCCTCGCCGCCTCAAGCCTCGCTGCTCACTCCACGTTTGTTTCTCTTCGCCGAGGCAGAGAAACGCAGGGATCCAGGGCTCAGAAGCTAGGCACTTGTCACACACGGAAGAAGGCTAGAGGAACCGCACGGTGCAAGGACAGGGCGTGGCAAAGGCACGGGCAGAGCATGGGGAGGGATCAGCGAGAGCCAGACCAGGGCGGACGGGAAACCCCGCAGCATTACGATTGACGGGCATTAGACCAATCGACGGCTCGAAACAGAACGTCATCGTGTGATTGGATCTAAAGTAAATTGTCGCATTGTTGTGCACCGAATCGCACGAGGCCGCTATCAACACAAAACATCCAGGTACCTAAGGTAGTAGGTTGCCTGGACTCGACTAGTCGACTTGACTCGTCATCAATGCCAGGCAACTCGGCGTGACTTTTGGCTTTGGCGGAAATTGAGTCTCATTGATGGACGGTGATGTGATGGCCAATGGTCCAGAGCATGTGCCACTCCCACTCCCACGCCAAGGTGTCGTGATTCGGGGCAAAGGCCAAGAGGGCGATAAGACTGAAGCCGCGTCTCGATGTCCTACCCTACAACTACCCTGGAGGCCATCTGGTGAACAAGTCTGAATTGTAGATAGATGTCCATGTTGCACTGTCAGTCTGTTTGCGGGCTGTGAGCGCACAGTACGAAGTAGTCTGGTGCAGCGCCCAACGCAGGGCACCGCTCCACGCCTTCACCCCTCCCATGACGCCGGTGGCAATCGCAGCCACACTGTACTACGCACGTAGTACGACAGTGCGTAGTACGACATGATGGCTATAATCTCAACCCCGCTAGATCTCAATGCTTTGCGACATTCTAGTGTCACCTCGCATCTCCATCTCTAGCGATGTGTCCATACACCCACAACCACAAGAGGCTGGCTCACCTGCCATCCACCCTCTCATCCGAAGGATTAATTATCCCGTCAACCAACCAGACCCAGCCCCCCTCCCCCATCAGGCTGTTCACCATTCAAACGAACCACCTTGTATCTTATCACAGATACGATGCAGCGGGTTGCCAACTTAGAACGAGGCTTACTCACCGTTACCGAGCTAGCCAAGCTCCAATGTGATCAAGCGTGCGCAAGCTCAAGATCGCAACATGCGCCTCTGGGGTGCGTGCTAATCACTGCACCACCCCACTGCTTAGCTTTAGAGCAAGGTGAGGAGGTGGAGGCAATCGCAAACCTGTCACCGGTTTCCGTTGACCGCTATCTGGCATGAAGGACGATTGCGAGCTGCTGGTCATGTGAGGGCGCCCGATCGTCGCTGGCCCCAGGTCACACGGAAGATGCGACGGGCAGAGGGTCTTGAACTGACCGCCTGAGAGGCCACATCGTCGAGGCCTCCAGGGGGGCGAAGTGGGCGATGGAGAAGATGAGCCAGAGGAACAAGATGAGGCGAAGGAAGAGATACAGCCAGAGCCAACGAAACGCGGCCGCATCTACCCGCCCAAATGTCGCGAAGCAGAGATGGCGGTGATGGGCCACCGGCTCGATCACAGCGAAAGGGAACAAGGTGTGAGGGAGGAACCCGGTCCGTCCCACTGGTCCTCCCGAGGCATATCCGAGTGCCCGCGCGTGCCACCACTGTATGGTCAAGATGGCATTGAAAAAGGCGATTGGCTTCTTCAACGGTGAGGGGTTAGGCCTCGCCCACCACATTTCGCTCCACGGCACTGCCAGATCAGGCAAGCGACGACGGGACGATGTGGGCTGAGGAAACAAGAGAGAACTGGGGCAGCTTTTACAAGGAACTCGCAGGGTCTCGTCGGGCCTCACAGAGCTTCGCATGGGACTGACAGAGAGGGTGGGGGGCCATCACCTTGACGGGTCCAGGGACATAGTGATGAGCACACCACGGCGCAGACAAACAGAGAAGAGGCAGGGAAGCGAAGTGGAAACATACGATCAAATCTGGGTCTCGCGCTTGCTGTCACCGGCAATTCCCCAACGTCTAGCCCGGCCCGGCGAGGAGCGTACACGTCGTGACCTAGGAGGCCGACTTTTTCTGCCTCCATCCTGTTTCTCGCTTCCCTGCGATCGGTCAAGTCAAGATCCTTGACGTATTAGTTGAGGCCCGACGTTTGGTGACTGATCTGGCTGTGGCGGGGGCTGGGACTAAAGTGCCGTGACTCAACATTATGGGCCCAAGTCACAACGGCTTCCGGCCGCCGGTCCCACAGCCGAAGGCTCTGCACGGCAATAGTCGCAACTTTGCATTGAATGGGAGAAAGGCAGAGGGTGCGATGGCGGTTTATGTATCGATCTCAGACACTGGATGGGATGTAAGACGGGATGTAAGACAGAGAGCGACAGTTGGAAGGCTAATATGCGGAGACGCTTCACAGTTACACTCGACCGCAACGCCAACGCAACGCAACGCAACGCAGCGCACACACAGACTTACACATGCTTTCAAAGATCGCACTTTATTATTAGGCGCGCAACTTACAGGATGCAGGGGCATCGCAATGCACTCACACCCGCAATTGCAACCGCAACTGCAACCATGACACGGACGGCAACGGCGGCCGCAAGTCCGTTGGCCATCTACACTGCCGGTCCTAAACCATGTAAACGCTGTATGCACAACTCGGCCGTTGGGGGCCCCCGCTGGAATGAGAAAGGTAAAAAAAAAAAAGAAGAAGAAAAAAAGACACCAATTCAGATTTTCACTCTGCATGGGGACGACGGGGGACTTTCTTCTCCAGGCTTGACTTTACAAGATGCCTGTCGATGGTTGCCGAGGCGGGCCATGGAGGAGGGCGACCCTTGTCGACGCGGACTCAAAGGTGGTGAAGAGGTGGAGGAGAGTTCCAAAGCTGCAGAGCGGGAATCGACTAGCCTTGACTCGAAGGACTCGACTCGACTCGACTCAACAAAGGGCATGGACAAGGGTTACAAAGAGGGTTGAGGGTTGTCATGGGGGCCATGGGTGCCATGCCATGGGTGTCATGGGCGTCCATCCCTCCAACTGACGCCCACAGGCCACAGGGGCCACGGGCGACATGCTAGCAGATCACGGCGCTTAGACGCCGCTATATTTGGCGGGGTGCTGGAGCTAGGGCTGGTCGGGGCTAAGGTCGGTGGTAGCTAGGCCAATCACAGGCCGCAGGTTGCCCGAGACATGGCCTCCGCGCATCCGCGATCCCAGTCGGTCGTGGTCCTTTAGCATCGACATCAACCGTCTGGCACCGAGGCCATCACCCAGCACCCAGCGCCCAGCACCCAGCATCCCATACGCGGCGATGCTGTGTATTCCCTTCCAGCAGAGGCTCTCCACCGAGGCGTGGGGCGCAGGTCGTGGGACGTGACTGGGCCTGCAGCCATGTTTTCATGGGCCCAATCCCTCCCGCCCAGTTTGGCGCCACATGCCCAAAAGGCCTCGCTGTGAGAGACTCACTCCTCCAGCCCCCAAGCTTCCGCCGTCTGCGATGCGCATCACGACCCACGGCGTGCAACATGACGACTCTCTCGCCTCCCACCACCCCCCGGTCGGGGCGTTGGTTTTCGCTGCGGCCCTCTGCAGCTCTGCTAACTAGCTGCTGCTGGCCGGTGTGATGTCCATGCTGCTCTGCTGCCCCCTCAGAAGAACCCTACACACCCTACTGCGTACCCCTACTCTGTCTCTCTCCCGAAGGAGGCAGGGTTCTAGGATCTGGCCGAATGCGACCTGGCGACCACAACACCCCCATCTTTCTATCCCTCCTCGTCCCCTCCCCCTCCCCCATCCAGCAGCAACTCACTGGTCACTCGTCACCCATTCCACTGCTATTCTCGTCTCCGCTACCGCTGCCGCTGCCGCTACCGCCGCCGCTACGCCTACCGCTCCCGCCAGTGCTGGCTCCCTCGCTACGTCGCTCTCCGTCTCAGGCCTCGAGATATAGTGCGTACATAACGTCCCGTAGCCGCCCGCTGCCCGCCCCGATCCCCTCCTCCCATGTTTTGCGACCTTTGTACTATCCCCGAACCCTCACGAGTTTTGTTTCCTTAAACTCTTCGGATCTCATTTATTGTGTTTCACGGCGTCTAATCCCGTCCTCTAGAAAACATCCAGTGCCGGCAACGGCCCCCCCAGACCAGAAAACAACATCGTCAACAGTAATCAGCAACAAAGTGCACAAGGACCCTCCAGTCCAGGAGACTGGTGCCCTGCAGCCTGACAACAATCACCAGAAAAACCAAATATGGTATGTCTCAGCCCAGAATCCACCTCGTCGTGGCTGCCAGGACGAACTAACTCTGTTTTCAGGAATACACATACTATAACCCCGGCGAGCGCCGGACGTACCAAGAAATGCGACAGAAACCCGTCCTGCGGGATACCTTCTTCAGCCTCAAGAACGATTCACAACTGGACCGACCAACATCAGTAGCTACCGAATTTGTCGACACTGATTGGGATGAGGAGGAGGAGGTGGAGATCGTGAGCGACGTTGAGGAAGACGACAACTCTCCTCGCCTGAGTGTGCAATCGGTACGTGTTTCGCTTGACTTTTAGTCGTTGTTGGTCCTCTTACTAACCGTGCATCTGCAGTCGGGACAACCCAGTTTTACCACCGTCTCTTCCTACGATGAGGTACCCACGCCGAGGTCGAGCAGGAGTCAGGAGGATGCATACATCCACTACTCCCCCAAGCAGGTCGAGGGTCCCCGAGGGCCGCATCTGTTCCGCAGCTCGACCGACAACAATTCCTTCGACGAGGACATTGTCTTGACCCTCTCGCCCATCACCCCCAAGGTACCGACCCGAGGCATTGCTGACCTTCTTGCCCAACCGCAAGTGCCCCGTCGCAACAGCCCCTTTCAGTATACCCATGAGGAGCTCGACACATCGACCCTCCCAGAATGGTCTCCGGAGATGGTCGCCCAGTCCATGCTCAATGCTGGCATTGAGCTCTCAATGGCAGACCGGTTTATGGAGAATGACATCAACGGTGCCATCTTAATTACTTTGAAGTTTGAGGACCTGCGGGAACTCGACATTCAGTCCTTCGGCATCCGAACCAAGGTCTGGCACCAGATCCAGGCGTTGAGGGACAGCCGACCAGTGTCCCCCCGGCCAGAGACGCCCATTGAGGATGCGCCAAGCCGGGAAGCCAAGAGGGAATCCCGCAAGAAGAAGGACAGCCACGGTCCCCAGCACCGCCAGAGCAGCAGGCGAAGGCAAAGGAAGAACAGGAACCACTCCCACGATGACATCACCCCAATGGAGTCGGTGTCCATCATCGGCATCGAGCAGGTCATCCCGAAGCCGCACTACTGCTCCAAGGGCGAGAACTGCACCAAGTGGAAGAAGCAGCAGGCCCTCATCCGAGCCTTCAGGAAAGAACACCCCAATGTCGACATGAACACCGTAGGCACCGTCATGATTGGCGATGCCGGCAACCCGGACACGGCCCGAGCCATTGACCCCATCGAGACGCTGCGTCCCGTCTCGGATGCCGTGCCTTCGGTCGTCGCCTCTTCCGACGTCCTTGGACCCGGCGCCCTGCCTGCGTTCCAATACCTCCAAGAGGCAACTCTACGCAGCTTCCAGGAGCGGGATCCTCAGGACAACGTCCGACAGTTCCTGAGCTTCCAGCACCAAGAGCACGTGGACGACTGCAACGATGTCCCTCCCACACCTCCCTGGCAGGCCAACCCGGGGGTCCAGGCTCCTCACCACGGCCTGCGCCGTCTCCCCCGGCTGTCCATCCCGAACAAGCCTCCGCCTCCACGGGTGATGCCGCCGCGCGCTGCGACCGTCCCTCCTCCACAGCAGCACGCACAGCAGCAGCCACCGGTGCAACAGAACAACTTCGCCCCCTACCGCATGGACAAGGCCGACCCTATGTCCCCCGACCTGGAGACCCCGACGAACCCCTACCGCTTCGGTACTCCCTTCTCGGAGCTCGATGTCCCTGTCACCGCTGTCCCCATTGGCCCTGTGGCTCGCGATGTTTCCCAGTCTGTGCCCCCTGACATGAGCTTTCGCACATCCCCCATCCACGCCAACCCGGCCCCTCCCCGTTGCCAGTCTCGCGCTTCTGGTCGCCGCCCTTCGTTCCCCGTTCTTCCTGCCTTGTCGGAGAACAAGCCCACTCTCGCCCACCGCCCTGCTCTCAAGGCCCCATCTCCCAAGTCTCCCCGAGCCTCTGTCCGTTACCAGCAGCCCCTTCAGGCCCCTCCCCGTGCCAACTACCCTTGGTCTCCCATCGAGCGTACCAACTTTGAGAAGGCCATTCCTCCCATGCCTTCCCAGCAGGCTCCCGCCGCCACGGCTGACCTTGCCAATGGCGTCACCCACCAGGGCCCCATGAAGAAGCGCAAGACGCGTATGCTCCGTCATGAGTGGAATGACGGATACTTCACCCTCAAGGGCACCCGCTTGAACATGCACAGGGATGTCACTGAGGTGGACCGCACGCTTGAGTATGTCGACATTGACGACTACGCCATCGCCTGCTCTAGCCTCGCCTCCACCTCCAAGCTAAGCGCCGCCTTCAAGGCCGTTCACTTCAGTCACAGCCGTGAGAAGAGCGACCCCGGTGCATTCAGCTTCCAGCTCATCCCCCAGGACAAGAACACTGCTCGTCTCCGCAAGCGCGAGAGCGCCCTCAATGCCACTGGTGGCATCCCCGCTGAGGGTGTCAACGGCACCGGCAAGACTCACCACTTCGCCGTCAAGAGCCGTGACGACCGCATCGACTGGATGCGAGAGCTCATGCTGGCCAAGGCTCTCAGGCAGAAGGGCGAGGGTTTCGAGATCAGTGTCAATGGCAACATGATCTAGACACCTCTACACTCCACACTCTGCCTCCACCTTTTCAACTGCGCAATTCCCTCGCACTCCTCTAGTTCGAGTATCACCTCTATGTACTCCCATTCTCTGTTGAACGGCCCTATCATGGGGTCCGTCAGCATTCTCACATGTAACGGCCTCTTTTTTTTTTTTTATGTTTGCGCATGTTTCTTCTTTCATGGGTTTTGGTGTTTGCACTTTTCAGAACTTGAACGACAGACATGCAGATACTCAAACTACGGCTCTCTCGCGGGATGCACGCATAGCGAATTGGTGATGGGGCTCGAGATGAGCAGCTTTTTATATGGGATTTCTTTGATTTTATAGGGAATTGGGCTGTTTTTCATCGTTTGGTTACGACGGTTTTTGGCTTTGATGTTATACCACCACACTCAAACACACTCTCTTGCGGGATGTGACGACCGGGATACCAATTTAGCTTTCTTGCATTTTTACGTAGGGTAGTATCAGGGATAGGACGGAAATGAAAATGAACTTGTTAGGTAGAATCAAATTTGCTCCTCAGGATAAATTGTGTTTTTTCTCTGAACTTGTGACACCTGACCGTTTTGATTGTAAGCCTTTGTTCATCGACCAGTTGTTGTTTCCAACGTCAACAACACCGCTCACCAGAAGTAACGTCCTACCCCAAATCAAATTATTTCCACAAATATATGATTAGCCATCAATAGTGGCTGTTAGATAAGTTAATTTAATAACATAACAACCTAAACATACCTTGGTCTAGGTGTAATTCCAACGTAGCAACCTACCCTATAACTCAGCACAATGGTCTTAGTACACTCGGGTTCAGAAATGTTTTCAACAAACCGCATACACTACATTGAACTCCGCTTAGCAGGAGGTAGAAGACATGAATATAACAAACCTCGAACCCTCACTGGCCGCCAGGTCACCAATCACATATATGGCCTGCGCTTCGGTAATCAGTTAGCTCTTTAGACGCCATTTGTCCTATTGAAAGAAATCGCACGGCGTTAAACATCACAATGCAAATACCAAATCACACATGGTAGGCCTCCCGCATGACAAACATGGCAGCAGAACAAGCCCATGCTATAACAACTTCCAGGTGCTCTCCTTTTTCATCCTCCATGCTCTCTCTTCACCCTGAACACACACTCCCATTCTCATTATTCGATTCATACTCCTTGCTGAGTTATCCTGCCTACATCGTCATTCAGGCACGAATTCATCGTGGGTACCAGTCTGTGGTATCATTTCGATCATGCCGAGAAACAACTCGTGGAAATGGTCGATGTATCCCAAGTTACATGCCAATGTATCGCGACTTCTCAAAAAAGCCGACCTCCAGTTCGAGTTCAACGATGTCGACGACGACAAAACATGCACCGAAGCGTATGACACAAACGTGATGGGGAAATTCACTTGCAACAATCACAAGTGCAACTGCAATGGGTGGTCAAGCAAGAAGATCGCAATTACCATACGAATGTACCAGGACAAGCGATACAACGCCAGAGTATACAGCCAGCACTGCAAGGCTTGCAACACCCCAAGCCGACCATACCTGGACACAGAGTCGTACGCGGATCGGGTAGCATATCGCATCAAGAAGTGGAATGGGGTAGACGTAGATCCGCCTCCCTTCTCCCGCAATTCTGGCGGCAAACATGAGACGGACCTCTGCGAGGGATGCAAGGCTGGCCATTGTACTTATCTAACCTCCCAGAGTTAGGGTGAAGCGGAGTGTCTGGTCAATCAATGAGGGTAAAAATCTATGTATTCCTCTGACTTTTGACCTTGAAAGTACACGCGGATCTGTTCGCATGTACTGCTCCGTTTCTCCCGCTCGATATCACTACGAGGCGGGATGAAGCCAACTCGGGATCTCGTCTGCTCTCCCACCTCCAACCTGGTAACAGTTGGATTAGTAGCTGGACCGATGACAATTAGTAAATCCCCAGTGTTGTATGTTTATAAACTTTTTGTATTTTTTTTTTATGCTGGTTGGCGCAACCCTGTTGTTGAGGTATTTCGACGTTGCAGAATGAATGGGTGGACTTGGACAACTAGGACAACTTCTGAGTCTGGATACTGTACTATCACATCAAATGGTACATTTTTTCCGCCTGTATATGCAGAGAGTACAATTATCTTACAAATGCCTCTCCCAACCGATCTACTCTTGTCCAGTGCCGTCACATCGTATCCTAGTGGTCTTCCTTCTTTTTCACGTTATTCTGTCGCCGACTTGAAATCGGGACGTTGGATACCTGAACGCTGAGCAACCTTCTCCCAGTCAATTAGGTTCCACCATGACTCGGCAAAGGCCATCTTGCCGCCCTGGCCACCGGCGCCGACGCCCCAGTCGAGCAGCCAGGCGTGTTCCCAGGTGTTGAGGCACAGAAGGGGCTCGAGCTCGATACCACCGGGGGGTAGGTCACCATCTCGCCTGCGGGAGCCCTGAATTTGGTTGCGGAAGTAGGGCTTGGCGGAGCCATCCTTGCCGACGGTGTTCATGTCGGTGCCCTGAGCGCGCCAGTGGGCGCCGGGATAGGGAGAGCCGGCGAGGTAGGTGGGCAGGAGGCGGTACTCGCCGGGGCCGGCCTTGACGAGCCAGAGGAAACCGGGGCCGAACATGGCGGAGGCGGTGATGACGAATTCGCGGCGGAGGGTCTCGATGGACGAGAAGGAAGCCTCGAGCTCGTGGCGGAGGGCATCGGGCATCGGGGTGCCGGTGGGGGAGATGCCCTGGAAGAAGAAGTGGTTGTTGTGGGCCATGGAGGCATAGTTGAAGATGGGGGCCTGGTTGGGCTCGCGGGAGGTCATGAGGGCAATGGTCTTGGTGTCCTTGTCCTCGAGCTCAGTGCCTGGAGAGGAATTGAGGGTTAGTAGGCGCGGGTGGCAATCGTGGGACAATGGTGGGAGAGCAAGTCGAACCACCTCAGTGCATCTGGTCGTGGATTGCAAGAGGCATTGTCGCCTGCACAGGCGGCATTTGGGCGCGGAGAATAGACGTACCGACAGTGAGGGCATTGAGCTTCTCGACCATCAGCTTCATGTACTCGGTCCAGGCGATGTTGAAGCCGCCGGGGCTCATGAGGTTCGGCACGCCCTCGGAGTAGTCGTGCGGCAGCTGAGGCACGTTGTGCAGAGAGCGGCGGGCATTGACGGTGGTGCGCAGGCCGAGGCCAAAGGCCAGGCGGGGGGCTCTTAGTCGAGGTCGGATCATGATGGGCTGTGAGGACCACAGGGGGGACGTGTGGTTGTTGGTCGTGGACTCGTTCGGGCGTCGAGTCGTGGGCTTTCGCGATGCGGATGAGGCTTCGACTTTTTTGGCGGTCCGTTGATTGGATTGGCCTTAGTTGTGAGGCAGCTTGGCCTGCGGGGGGTACGTACCTGGACGCTCGGGGTTGTGGACCTGGGCCGGAGAATGGAGCTACGTTGCGCCGGACTACGAGCTGGGCAAGGTGCCGGGCTCCGGACGCTGTGGCTGAAACCCCGGGGTGGCGGCTGAATACGGCGTGTGGCTGAGGCCGGCTCCGCCCCTAGCCCGGATCTGGCTACCTGCCTGACTCGTCCATGCTGTCTTGGGCGAGATGGGCCTGGTGATGCCGATCAGCCACATTTGGTGACTGGCTGACCCCAAGCGCTAGCAGCCAGCAGCCGCTAACAGCAGCAGCCAGCAGCAGCCAGCAGCCGCCAGCAGCCGGCAGCCAGGAGCCGTCCTGGGTTCTCGTTCTGGTTCTTGGGGCCTGGATCCTCTCTCTTCACCCAACTGATAGGCGCCATCGTAGAACGTCGCGTCGTCTCGACTCTTCTTCTGCTGCTCTTCTTCTTCCTCTTCACATGTTGCACTAGCGCTTTTTCGTTTTTATTCCAGGCTGCCTTCCTCCTGCTCTGTCCTCCGGGACCCTGCTCACTCTGTCCTTTCGGCGACGGCGATCGTGGCTCCGCCTGCTTTGTCCTGAAACATCACGCCCCCGACGCCGAGACGACTACAACTTCACCTCGCCCCGGCTCTCCGTTCTTCCGTCTCTCCTCTACAAACTCCCACCGCGCTCCCTCCACGATTAACCTCTTGGAAACTTCGTGTTTCCCTCTCCCTCTCTATGCAACCTCCACCCGGTCTCGCGACCGCCGCCGCAGCACTCGATGATATCTCCTCGGTAGCCCTTCTCCTCGAGGCTCCCACTGCCACTCTCGAAATGGCCGCCTCCGTCATCGCCTCCGTGGTTCCCCAGGCCACCGCCTCCTCCCCCTCAGAATCCATCTACGACGAGTCGCCGGGCGATTGCCAGCTGCTGGGCTCCTTTGCCCTCATCGTCCAGGCAGCACTCGGTGGCTTGGCTCTGATGTCATTGGTCTTCAAGCGCTGGCGGGAGCGACCTCAAAGGCCTCTCAAGATCTGGTTCTTCGACGTCTCCAAGCAAGTGTTTGGCTCCGTGCTCGTGCACATGGCCAACATCTTCATGTCCATGTTGACCAGCGGTCGCTTCTCCGTCCAAGTCGACCCGTCTGCCAGGAACGCAGCCCGAGGCGATGACGACTACACTCCGAACCCGTGCTCCTTCTATCTTCTCAACCTTGGTATCGATGTAAGCTGCCCCCATACAAAAGCGTCTCAAGAAATGTAAAACACTCCAGACTAACAACAAGCCCTTAGACAACACTCGGTATTCCAATCCTCATCGTCCTACTCCGCATCATGACCGGCCTCGTCCGCTTCACTCCCCTTGGCCAACCCCCCGAGTCCGTCCAGTCAGGTAACTATGGGCACCCGCCCAACGCCTGGTGGTGGCTGAAGCAGTCTGTGATTTACTTCTGCGGTCTCTTCGGCATGAAGCTCTGCGTCCTAATCATCTTCATCATGATGCCTTGGATATCGATAGTCGGTGACTGGGCTCTTGGGTGGACAGAGGGCAACGAGAAGCTCCAGATCGCCTTTGTCATGATGATATTCCCCCTCATCATGAACGGCCTACAGTACTACATTATCGACTCGTTCATCAAGAAGCAAGAGTCGGACCACGAACAATTAGGCTCGGAGGACCCCAATGAAGGCCCCCGTAGATACGACGACAGCGAAGACGAGACGTCAAGAGTTCGACTCGTCGATGCCGATACTGATTCCGAGCCCGATGAAGAAGCCGCCAAGCTCCCTCTCCGGCCTCAAAGCAAGGACTCTGAGTACGACCCAGACCTGGATGGTGACGACGACCGCACCATTGTAGGCAGCAGCTCAAGCGCCCGCAACATGCCAGGCAAGCTTATCCAGCCCGAGTTACTCCCCAAGGAGTAGACGAGTTAATTTCCTTGCCATCACGGTCTGAATTCTTCTGCCTCGAGATTGTCGTTCGGTTATTGCTGCTGGTATATCCTCACTTGCGTTGGTTGACACAAATACATAAAGACTTGGGTTGTATATATCTCGTCCGGGCTCGGGGGCTTTTTGATACTTTTGGCGGGCTGGCAGAGTCGCGGGACTGCTGCCCAGGGCGTTTGACGGTAGATTTTTTAGATCGAGGGAATCCATAGCGTTTATACAAGGCCGGTTGACATACCATGCACGATGCGTCGTCACCGACACGCGTAACAGTCCCACTTCCATGACGAAGCTTCTAAATTAAGAGCACTGCTATTTGCACACACCTAACTACATGCCTTAATCCTGCTGATAAACATCTATCATCCTAATAAAACAGTTTGGGAAATGAGAACTCAGAAGACTACTTCTTAGTATTGATCCCCTGATAATTCCCCGTTTAATTGAGTTAACATACCAGATGACTTAAGGTTTTCATGAGGTTTAGCTAAAGGGGCTTCACGTACTGGCTGCCCTCCGACTGATCCGGACGAGAGCCAACTACGATTACATTGCTCACTTCATTGAAAATCCAAATTCATGTCGATATTTGTCAAATTCTCTCATTTCTTTGTGAATATTGCCGATTTGGCAGCGGAGCTCTGACCTCCAATATCGAGCCCCCACCACACCTTTTCCCAAGCACAAGTTTCTTAGTCTACCACCAAGCCACCTAGGTCTACGGGTCATTTGATCGTCTTGCGTCCTCATGACCATTGGTTGACCATCAAAAAAACGTCATAGGAGTGAGACACTGGGTCCTCTTGACTGAAAACAGAATAGAACGCGTGTAATCCCCATCATCGCAACACCATCATGACGCTCAACATCCAAGCATGTGTCGAAAATAGAAGAAAAAAAAAAGACATCCAAAAAAACCGCCTACGTCTACGCGTACCCGTGCAACCCAAACGCCAAAAGACCCAATCCAGACTCCCAAACCAATAGAACAGAAGCTGTCGCGCGAGATATCCGTGAATACATGGTTACAAATTCTCGTGTCGTAGCTAAGTTCTGGTGTTACTGTTCCTCAATTAGGGCTGGTATGCCTTGTACCCGGGGTACGACTCCTGAGTGGGCGATTGTTGAGGTCGTGCGTAGCCGGAGTTGAAGTCAAACCCCGAGTTGTTGTTGATGGGTGACTGAGGGGGGTCCTGGTGGTGGTACTGTCTCTGGGGGACAGGCCTCGGGCCACAGTGAGGCTCAGGGGCAGGCGAGAACGCGCGCTGGTTGTTGTTGAACGCGGCGGGTTGACCATAGCCGAAGTCGTCTTGGGGAGCTGGGGTTCTTCGAGTGGGCTGGTTGTACTCCTGAGGAGCTGGCGTTCGTCGAGCGGGTTGGTTGTACTCATCGTGGGGAGCCGGGGTTCTGCGAGCGGGCTGGTTGTACTCGTCGTAGGTGTTTTGGTGAACTGGAGATCGCGAATGGGGAACCTGGTTACCATATCCGTCGAAGTCGTTGTGGGGAGCCGGAGTTCCTCTTGGGGCAGGAGAGTGCCTCATTCCGTATCCTTGGGCTCCATTTGAGTAATCATCATGATTTCCATAGTCATTGTGAGACTGGCCGTATGCCTGGTCGACAGGAGGTTGTCCGTATGCGTTGCGGGTCTGAGCCGGGGAGTTTCGTCCCATGGCCGCAGCTCCCATAACAGGAGCTCCCATACCACCCGCGGCGTACGATTGATCGTGACCATAGCCAGCACCAGGGCTGGAGTTGTAGCCGTAGCCCTTGTCGATAGGTGAGTAATGGTCTGGGGATTGATCATTCTGGTTGAAATATTCGCTGTGGTTGCCCTGTTGCTGGCCGTAGGGGCTCCGTCCCTGGGGCATGGTGGACGGCGTACCATTGTTCATGAAAGTGCTATTCTGGTCCGGGATAGGCGACTTCTTGAGCTGGTCCATCTCGTAATCGTTCTCGAGCGCAATCTTCTTGGATCCTGCTCCCTCCCAGCTTGGCATTTCGGGGAGGGCATCGTCTCCTTCATGTTTGATGCCCGTCTCAAATTCGGCGTATTGGGGCGGTTCGTTGCGCAAGTGTTGAGTCTGTGGAGCAAACTGAGGAGCTGATGATTGAATACCTGATGACTGGGCACCTGATGCCTGAGGAAATGACGGCTGCATGGGAGGCTCTGACCGGTATGCATGATTCGTAGTCGGGGCGTACGGGTCGTCGAGGTGTTTTTGCTTGTGGCCACCGGGAGGATCGCAACAACCGCAGCAGTTGCCACAGCATTTGAGGCAGTAACAGCAGCTGCAGCAGCACGAGACGCCGCAGCAACAGCAGCGAATGATACACCACACGACACTAAAGATGATGAGGCCGCCGATGGCAATGACGGCAATGACGGGCCACCTGGGAGAGGTTAGTGGGATGACAAGGGATACTGTGAGTTACAATGCACATACTTGCAGTAGTTCTGGGCCATGCAATTATCCCAACTTGAAAAGGTCGTCGCAACATCCGAGGCCTTGTCCGTAATGTCGCCCCTTCGCGTCAGCTCAGCAGCAAAGCTCCGGGCGACGGTCTCCTTCAGAATATCCCAGTTGCTCCCCCGGAGGCTCCGGGCCATGGCGACGTCGATTGAAGGCATCTTGCCACTATTCCTCCAATTCTATCCAATAGTGGAGGGTTCGATGGCAAAGAAACAATAGAGAAAGCAGGCGCACAAAGGCTGAAAATTTCGTGGCTACAACGAGTGACGCAAGGGATTCCCTTTGAGGGATTTCGTTTCAGGTGCGGCCTGGGATCTTGAATATTGCACGCTCCAGCCGGCTGGTAGGTCGATCGATGTCGTACAGGCGGTAATTAATCTCTCACAGTCGCTGGTCGCTGTACGTCGAAGAGATCTATTCTCTGTGTGTCCCGAGAGGGGAGTCGTAGTGGTCCGTGAAATCACGGAGCCGCTTGGGGTGTCGTTGGGACGGTGGAATGAATGAATGAGCACGACAGCGACTCGAGGCAGCGAGTGGGGGAAGCGAGGCTTCTTGAAGCGACAGACGCTGGTGAATACGACAAGAGGAATACGAAAAAAAGAATGATTCGTACAAAAGCGAAATGCGAAAAGCGAAGCTGGCGTCGGCAATGAGTGAGATGGTTCAACGAGAGGAAGCGCCGTAGAGGCGAGGGCCGTGTCGTGCTACGCCTCCTTAGATGGCTGGGGTTGGTGAGAGAGAAGAGAAGAAGGAGTGAGTGGTGAGTGGTCACTGGTATTAGAGAACGCGCGGTGGAAGGAGCGCCACGGGCGAGCTGCATGAGGCACCGCCCCCACCAATTAGCGCTGGAAAGGTGCCTTAGCCAGGGGCCCTAGGGGGCGTAATGGGGCCGCTGGATCGGCCTGGAGCTAAGGGTCGCTTCAGGACCTGGCCGCCAAAGCCGCTAACCCCTATCGGTAGCGCTGAAACAGTGAAACTGGAAGCTGACTTGCGGTCCTGCAGCGGGCTGGCGGGTTCTTGACGGGGGCTGGGTACCCGGGACTAAATGGCCACAGCTATGAGGTTCGTCTCCAACAGAGCTGAGGAGCAAGGCGCACTCGAGGCGGGCGGAAGGTGTGACTCGGGGGCTAAAAAGAAATGAACAATTGTTGGGACGTGCTGGGACAAAGGTGGTGTAGCATCCCCAAAAGAAAGTAGATGAGCTTAGCTGGCGATTTAAGTGCCGGAGTGACGTGACGCTAATGGCGCGAGAGGGCCAGAGGAAACAGAGGGGCCTGGAAGCAAATTGAGAATAGCACCCTGATATTATGAAGGATCAACAGAAACCCAAAGGCCTGAATTGTCTTGATCAACGGTCAATCCAGCACACAAACAGAACTGGCCAGCAGTTTGTCGCCGAGAATAGACCAGGCCCGACAAGCCAGCGCAGGGGGCCACAAGTCCCGCGTTTGAGAACTCCTTTAGGCGATCCATGCGGTTTTTGCCCAGGACCAAGTTGCAACGTCTGGGACCGACCATATTAAACATGGAAAACCCACTTGGCCGTCATCACGATCTGCACTTTTGAGGAAATTGTGATGGGAGTTCCAGCGCCGCTCGTCCGGGCTCTCGTCGGGCGTTTGTTGAAACAACAGCCACCAACCAATACGAGCGCAAAGCCCTACATGACGAACGTGTACTGACATGTTGATACAGTCGCATATTGTCTGCTGCGCCTCCAAACATGATGGAATAACCCTCGGTAGTCGCCCAAGGAACCGTCGCATACCGAACTCAATACCCTCATTTGCCTGAAGCGCTACTTGGCTTGTTGCAGAATAGCACCGCACCTGCGAAGCGAGGGACGAACGGCGTACAGGATCATCCGGCAATCGGGTTGGGCGACCCTGTCATTTCGCCATCCCTCCACACATATGGAGTACGTAGCCCCTGGCTCACCTCTCGGCTCGCAGTACTGGGGGGGATAAGTGACAGCCAGACAATGTGAGTCAAGAGCGAGAGGTTTTCGTGGTAATTTTTAACCATTTTTGGAGCTCCTCCCTCGTGCCCTGTAAGCCACTTCCTTTAGGCTTTTATCTTGTGCATTTTTTTTTTCCAATTGTAGGAGGTTTGACAACTTCCGAATGTATAGGCACATTCCGCCCATCAGTGTGAAACATGACGTTAGTGGTGTCTTTCAGTGCCCAATGAGCCCCTTGGAACTTTATTGTTTAAATGGAATTGAGATAATATAGTTTAAAAGTAAGGATTGATTGTTAACATGACGTATATTTTTGTATATAATACTGAATAAATCTTAGCTAAAGCTTCACTACTATTGTCTACCATATGTGCCTGTCTAACCAGTCGCACCGGTATCGGGGGCTGTTTGGATACTATTGAAGTTGTCAAACTTCCTGCGCCAGCCTTGGTATTCCGTCAAGAAAGGTGACTCATGATTCACACTCATCCAGCCGCCGCCCTGCTTCCATCGTGAACCACTGCACTCACTCGAGGTCAGGCATCAAGATAACGTATTTAATAAATCGCACACGCCTCGTATATACACTCAGTGTTTTCGACTTCATCCAAGCCGGTGACTTTTTTCATCGAACTAGCACTATCCAGCCGAGTCCATTTTACGGAGCCAGTTGCTGACCTTGGAACGATCATCAGACGGTATTGACTAATGATCATCTTCGTCCAGGCGGGTCAGTTTCTCCGACGAGGAACCACGGCAATGCCACACAGTGTCGACAAGGTCAGTGATGGTGGTGGAATCCTGGGCTTCTCCGTTCTGGAATAAGTTCTTTCCCTCGAGAAGATTGCTCACACATTCTTGAAGCCTCTAATCCACTTCACCCGCATTCAGTCGATTCACCACATTCGAAAAGAGAACTTTGCGGTATTCTGGGCGCAGCTGGTTCGCGAGAGTTTCTGCTCGCTTGAGGTGGTCGTTCAGTTTTTCGCCTTGTTCACGGGAGAAAATAAATGCTTCCGAAATGAGTCGACTGGCTTTGGAAGGATTCCCATCCTTGAAATTTTCCAGAAACTTGGTGCGTAGTCGTGGCCATTATTTATACAACTCTGACGAGGAAGGTAACTCTGATGAGGAAGCTCACTCCGGGAACGACGTCGATACGAGTGATGAAGAGTCCAAACAAACTGGGTTCACAATAAAGTCTGTATCGCAGCAGATTACACTCCCTGGGATGGGCAATCGTATGAGATTTGCGCACGATATAGGCGAATGCTGGACGAGTCCAACACCGAGGTGGACAATACACTCGACGAAGAGGATTCTGGAACCTACAAGGAGGATAGGTTCGTGAACGCGGGATCTGGTGTAAAGGAGGGGACTCGAGATGATGCTGTCATTACCCTTGGTCATGAATGCTACAATCATGGATTGCCGGGAGTACTTGATGAAACGCCCGACAAGCGTCACCCACTCTACTAGCTCTTTACTAAAAAATTTATTGCGATCGATGCATTCTGCGAAGAACAGAAACAGCAGCTGGAGAAGCAGCAAATGACCTACCGGAAACGGAGTGAGGCAGAGGTCAGTGTCATTCGCCGCACGAAAAAAAAATCCTCCTAGAAGCTTCAATTGCCCTCTACAACAGAGGGCATATCCTAAAGAATAGAAAACCGATTTACTAGGAGACGAAGGTCCCTGCCAGATCTACCATCTTGGCAATCAGATGCGACAACCCCTTTGGCAGTCACTACGGATCAATTATGGGACGACTGGCCACACTTGGCCGAGGATATTATGTTGATATTCCCAACAAGGCCAATTCTGACAGCTTGGATGTTGGGGCCTCTGCAGCTTTTGCGGCCAATGCTGCAACTGTTGCCAGGATGGCTGAAGCAAAAGTTAACCAGATTCAAACTGAGCTGACTGATGGAATTGAGGAGCTAAGAGAGCAACATGGTGAATATGCCATGGCCTTTGGGCTTTTCAAGGTCACGCTCAACAAGCAAGAGGCCCAGATGAGTGACCTTCAATAAGTATTGCCATTCGCACACAGGCACAACCTTCTTTAGTAAAGCGTCAGCTGGGCCAAGGGACGTAACGAATAAAACAAAACATTGCCACTATAAAAATAAATAATACAAATGAGTACTTCAAACCCCCATCTTCTAAACTGCTCCTCTAGGATAGTGGGCGATTGCCGACAAAATTAAGAATGTAGTTATGTGTGCAAATATGTGAATAGCAATACTCGCAGCAATTGGCTCTCAAGCATGCAAACATTGCAAAGCTGGTAGCAGCAAACAAGAAGGACACAGTCACTTAAAGCTGGGTAAAGGTTTGTTCAAAACTACGTTGACAAAGCACTCGAACGTTTCCCGGGCGAGCAAAATCCACTGCGGAACGGCTCGGAAACTCCCTTCAGCAGTAGAGCTGGGAGCGCGCCAATAGGTGTTGGTAGCTTTTGTTTCAACAAATGCCCAACGAGAACCTGTAAGTCACATACTCTGTGAACGGGGCAAATCAGCGGCTGTTATCCTGACACCCTCACGTCCTGGACAGCGGCGTGGCGTTGGTTGGCCAGCCGCGTTTCGCTTGTGCATATGATCTTCCGATCTTGGTGCACCGGGAGAGATGTTAGACCATGCATGTATCGATGATATCATCTTGATTACTCGCTATGAACAGTGAAACTTGGTTTCGGGAAATGATATACATCCCAAAGATACCCATCCATGCATGCCTAAAATTCATTTGCACTTTGCCCCTTCGCGAGGATTTGAGCGCCATTACCTTTGTCGTCATCGTCATTAAATCCGTCGGAGAATGCTCACGACGCATATATCTCTGGTGCCGACCTTTTCGCACCCGTCCTCGGCTAACCTGCCTCTTCAGTGATATCCATCTTGGCAGGCGACCTGGTATCGCCGCCCTTCCCGTCAATCATTTCGTCCCGCATCTATCGTTTACTTGCCCGGAGGCGGTCCCTGGGGAGGCGAGTACGTCTCGTCGCGCTGATACGTCCCCTCCGGCGGCTGCACCCCAGTGTGCTGAGGGGGCTGCTGATTCTGCTGCCCGTAGTAGCCGTCATTGGTGTTGAAGGTCGTGCCCGTGTACTGCGGCTGCTGCTGCTGTCCGTACGCCGGCGGAGGAGGGGCCGGGGGGTATCCTCCGTACGCGGGTTGTTGTTGGAACCCCTGGGGGTTCTGATAGCCCTGCTGGTTGTAGTCGTACATCTGATGGTTGTTGGGTTGATTGCCGTATTTCCCTGGAGGAGCCATCCACCCGGTTCCGTAGATAGGCTGGCCGCCGCGTCTGCGACGTCGGCGAGAGACCATTCTGCGCAAGCACTGTTAGAATGCGTGTCGCAACAAAACCAGGGGAGCAAACAAGATCGGGGAAGCTGGTACTTACAGGCAGGATAGGAGGACAAGGAGGAAGAGACCGGCGGCGATGGCAGCGACTACCCAGCGGCCCCAATTGTACCAGTTACTGCTGTAGCAGCGGCCATTGTGGTAGCGTTCGCCGGAGCCACAGATATAGTCGCGCGCGACGAGAGCGACAAGATGCTCGACGGGCGCCATTGTTTGTTTTGGTGGTGGAAGACGCAGACGCAGAGGGGCTTCCTGATGGTCGGTCGATCTTTGGGTATGGCGGATTGTTTTTGTTGATGACGGAGGGGAAATTGAGCTTAGGTTTTTTGCGCTGAGAGAGTCTGGTCACGCCTCTTGGTGAGTGTGAGCCAAAGTTACCCAAGCTAATAAGGTGCTTGATGTCTGTGGACTGCGACAAGGGATGGAATGGCCCCGGCGCCGGTTGGTTTGCAGCCCAAGTAAAATGACGTGGGCCGCGTGGACTGGGCTGGACTGGGCTGGGTTGGATTGGACTGGGTTGAATTGGATTCGATGCGACGTCTAGGTATCGGAGCGATGAATTATCCGACGACAAAGAGTTGATTGATGGGTTGTGATGAAAATGGGCCGCCTGTGTGGTGAGGGAGGGAGAGCAATGAAGAAGCAAGAAATCAGCCACGGCGGGAAGAAAGAGGCAGCCCATGGGCTTATAGGTAGCACTATCAAAAACGGGTGACTTGGGCGACTGGGCCAAGCAAGCCAAGACGGTCCGGCGGCGCCCAACGAGGAAGAGAAGAAGGCGGTGGTGCGGTGGTGCGGTGCTACCTTGCTGCCGAACCGCAGAGGAAACCTTCCCGCGTGTCTCGGCATTGCTCATCACTCATTCATCACTCATCACTTGATTCCAGCATTGTGGCTGTGCGGCACCCCAGCAAATCAGGCGGGAGGGGCATCGACGTTTAGGGTCTTGGCGAGGCGAGGCCAAGCCCATGTGTCGTCATTCGCTCGGGGAAATTGATGGAATCATCGAGATGGATTCATCGAGATGGATTTTTTTGTGTCCCTGCTGTCGCGCTGCCTCTTGCGTGTCTCAACTTTCTTCATTGACAGCCCGTGTGTCTCAGACGCGCAGCACTAGAAAGGAACCATTGACGACGCCCAAGCCACGCCATGCGCCGCACATCCGACAGCGCATTATCCAGTCCGTCCTCTGCGACAGTCTCCCAACCAACAACCGGATCCCCCCGCCCGGTTTCTGCCCCGCCTACGGAGTAGCAGCAAGCTTATTGTCGTGTGCAGTAATCATCGTAGCTCGCAGCTCGCAGCTCGCAGCTGTCAAATTCTCGGGGCATGTGCTCAGCCTCAGCAGCGTCGCGGCTTTCTCTCCCACATGGCGCCGCTCAACTTCGCCTCCCGGGGCCTTCGACAACTGCGTGTGGCGCTGACCAAAACCCTGATGAATGGACCTGGCAATGTCCAGCCAACCGGCAACCAGCCGTGACCCGCTTGCTGTCAATGACTTAGGTAGTGACCGAACGAGTCCACGAGAGATACTGACCTGACCCCGGGCCCGAATCCACGCCCTGCAGGCTTCTAGAACAGCCATTTGCGACTGTGCCCGTAGCGGTCTGTCCTCTGTGGACCACAGCCCCGTCTATTGTTAGCGAGTCTGCCCGTCTTACAGATCATCTTGGAGTCCTTGATATGAGCCACAAGATTCGGTGTCTTCAACACTGTCAATCAATACCAATCAGCATTGCCTCGCACATACAAGTATACGCTCTAATTTTAAAGACAACTACTCCGTAGCAAGGATATGCCTAATACAGCAGCTTAAGAAATATGATTTGAGAATTCGTAGGGCTAGTATTTATCCCTAAATAATTATTTCTATTATATTTATTTTCAAGATAGACTCTATGCCTAATAGCGTACTGTTTGACTCCAAGTATACTAGGTTCATTGATTTGCTCGAGGGCCAGCTTAAGGGACTGGTAAATGTGTCCGAAAAGCAATACTCACACTAATACAGCCAAGGTTTCTGCCAACACACTGCCCCGAATCCGACACCATCCCCGTTCTTTCCGTAGCATTTTGGTCAACACATCGTGGGCGTTACACGCCGGAGTCGGGCCGGCGCTAGATGCTCACTCCTCAATTCACTACCACCACGGAGAATGCCAGAATGGAACAGTGTAATAGAGACATTAGGGTCAATCGTAAGGTCGTACAGAAAACGGCATTTCGCTTGAGGGAATAGATACATCCAAGGCCAAGAGACCGAGCATGACTTGTCTCGATACGAGGGTGGCGGGCGTCCGTCGATTCGTCACCATCCCTCAGCCTCTTTCTCCCCGCCCGGCATTTGTGATACCGCCTCCGAGCCTGCCGGTGAGGAAATGCAGTTCTATGCTGCGCATTCGAGACCCAATTCTCGTCCCGCTCGTAATAAAGAAAAGGAATCACAGGCTGGTGACCCAAGGCACGCCGACCAACGTCACCAGCGCCCGTTTCTTCCTTCCAGAACCCGACAATTACACGCGTCCGATGTAGATCGCGGGTCGTCGCCGATACACAGGCGATGCATTTGTTTTTGCACCCGAAAACGCCGCCAGTGAGAATAAATATCAAACGCCCCTCCAACTCCCTTCCTTGTTCATAAACTGTGGAAATCGGTCGTCATTCGTGTTGTTTTGCCGCATTGCGTGGTGGTATGGAGGTAGTTGCGATGCATGCTGAGATTAGAGACCCGGCTTGGGAAAAGAGTAACGATTTCGGCGGAGCTGGTCAGCAGCCTTGGAGTTGCGCTCGGCGGCTTGCTGGGCCTGCTGCTTGGCAGCGATGGCATTGATCTTCTCGCGAGCCTTGACGAGGCTGCTGTTGTCCTGTTGCTTGAGCTTGGAACGGATATCGTAGAGGGCTATGAGGGTCGAGGCTCGATCGGCTTCATCTTCAAACTGCATCACATGTGGTCAGCGGCCGTGTTTGATGCCAGATATGTGATGACCGGAAACACTCACATCAGAGTCGCCACGTCGCGGAGTGCCGGGGATGGAGTTGGCGGCGGATCCGGAACGGGAAGGGGAGTTTATGAGGATACGGCGACCGAACTTGTCGAACTTGGTATCGGAAGACCAGGCCCGCTGGAGACCCGAGGGGCGAAGCTGGTGAGAGGGGGAGGCGGAGGCGGAGTTCGTGGGGTCGTCGAGTCTGGGGCGAGTGATCTGGACGACGGGGATATTGGCACTGACGATGGCAGCTGCAGCTTCGGGTTCCTGGATACGCGAAAAGACAGCGGGTAAGTATGGGGAACAGACAAAGACCAGAGTGGCTTGGGGGTTGCGATGAGGGCAACATACTGCGGCGCCGAGATTGCTAAGATCGGCGAGGACTTGGGAAAGCTGGAGGCTCTCCATTCCTTCAGAGGATACGGCGGTATTCTATGTGTGGCGGTGAAAACGGTCAAGTTGGATGATGAGTGCCCCTCGTAGCAAACTCATCAGAGGTGGGAGGGGATTGTGGGAAAAAGAAGGATGCGGGAAGGCGGAGGAGGAGGCGAAGAAAAAAACCACAAGGATGACCGGGATGACAAGGAGGCAAACGGCGGCGGGAGGCGACGGTGTGTGTGATTTTTGCTTGCAAGCGCCAGTCTTTCAGGACACCTTCGGGGGGTGTGTGCGCGCGTGTGTGTTGTGTATTGTGTGTGTGTGTGTGTTGTGTGGTGGTGGCGGATGGAGAGTCGAAGAGCGACGAGCAAAGAGTGGAGATTGATTTGCAGCCAGCGGGGCCAAGGGAATGCCAAGGAAGGCACCGCAGTGGATTCCAGGTTTTCTTTCCCTGGCTTGTGTTTGGGCATGCTTGGGCTGCAAGTCCCGATGCGGCCTGGATCCATCGACGACCCCGGGGTTGGTGGAGTGGGGTTACCGCGCCGCCGGACGCCGGTACATGGCAATTCCAGATTCACAGTTCTGGCCCTTTCTCCTTTTCTCCTTTTCGCCTCTGATGGGTTGGCTTTCTCCGTGCGTAACGACCACCGGGGGGTCGGCGGAGCGGTCTGCTACGTGGTATCGCGGCGGCCCTACGGACTAGTGCAGCGTGGGACTGATTGAAAGGGAGTGTAAACAAGGCGATGTGGATGGACCGCTAATAATGCTCCTAGCCGGCCCAGGCAGCTGCTGAACAATAGGAATTAGTTGACATCCATTCCCCCTCCGCGCTCCCAGCTCCCTGACAACTGATAGGATGCCGCGCGAATGAAGGACTCGAGTCGCGCTGCCCTTGGCGTCGTGCAGGAAACAGGCTGAGGGTTGCAAGCGGGCAACCGGAGGGAGGCCGGACCCCGCCGGATGGACCGCTACAGTCTAGAACATGCCCTGTCCTGTACATGTGCAGCTGCTCCGGGCCCCTAAATTGCACCTAACTGACCTGTATCACGCACCTTATGCCCTGCAGTCGACTACAGCTCACTAAAAGGGAAGCTTGAAGCCCCGTCGAAGAAACTCCCCCCACACTCCACCCAGTCCACCCAGTGTTTAGGCGGCGGGGGTGGAATCCTAGGCGCCCGGACCTCCCGTCATCCCGCTCCAGCACACGTCCAAGGTGTGGACTTGCGTATTATCCGTTCCACTGGAGCGAGTCGAGTGACGTCGAGGTGGCACTCAAATTCATGCGCCGAAGCCCTCGGATGTCGGATGTCAAACTCGGTCAGGCTGTCTGCCTGCTGTCATCTGCCTTTTACCGTCTGCTGGTCGCCGTTGCCTTATTGACCGCCTGTTGTCTGATTCATTCACCGCACCCTTCGCCGGGGTGGGTGTCTTCCAAGTGTCCAGTTGTTGTCGCGTGTGGGTGGGGGAGCCAACAGTCACCCGTCGCAAGCTCGGTGCTGCTGCATCATTTCACGGTCAGAGAAGCTCGCCGAAGAGACCAGTCCATCCTTGCGTGCGTGCGGGCATGCACCCGGACAGGGGGAGAGCTAGGAGATATTCTCCTGCGGGTGGAGGGAGAAACGCTCATCGTCAGTGCATCCCCTCTGTGTAGCGCGCTCTCAATGACGGATGGCTTGAGGACAGTCCCGTCTTGACCAGGTCCTCTGCACCTGGATCTGTATGTTCGTGCGATCCCGCTGATAGATGATCCTCGCCTGCGTCATCCATCCTTCACATTGGGTAACTCGCCCCGGCGCATCCCACGATGATGCGCACCCAGTTGCATCCGCGCGCAGCAATACATCCTCGCCCACAGGAGCAGCACCGCGGGATCAACCACCCACTTCCAGAGCATCCATGTAGCTCTTCCCCGACTCCATCCGATGTCGCTGCCACATGATCAAGCTCTCAAACGTCTGTGATGCTGCATGTGCTCCCAGGCAAGCAGCGCCCCCACACCCGCTTCCCCGCAAACTCGGATGCATACGGACGTACATATCACACCCTGACTAGGGAGCAAGCTCTGTCCATCCGACGGGGGCCATCCCGACCGACCTGATCGACCAGCCTCGTTGATCTTGGTTGCCTTGCCCCGTAGGCCTACCTCTTCTAGAGTTGAAAGAACCCGAAACGCCGAGATTGTTGCGGACTTTCATATTCCATGCCTCAGTTTGGAGTCCCGTAGAGCAAAATCCCCATAACCAAGCGGCACAGCACATAGGCGTCGAGAATCCTCATGCTTCCGGCCTCCCCCGCTCCACACCCTCGCTGATTTGAATCCTCTTCCCAAACGCAAAAGGTCGTATTTGACCCACCTTCGTAAATGTCGCGTGAGAATGCGGCACCGGCTTCACCATCATCTTGACCCACCCCGCGTTTATCATCGGCTCCGGTCCCCGCCGTGCCCCACACCGGCCCGGTTGCCCCGTTTCCCAATCAGCTCCGACTTACTTGCCTGTTCACCGGTCCACCGGTCCACCGCCGGGTCAGATGAAGTCTTGATTGTTGGCTGCTTCTGGTAATGACTTCCATTTGGATCCGCTTTGTCTTTTTGTATCCACCTGTGACTGCTACACGCCAAAACAAAGTTGCTGAAATGTCAAGCAGCACAATCGACAGTCGAGTTCTCAACGCGATAGGGCATCTAATCAGTTCCGTGTCTGTATGTATCCTATCCAGATAAAGCTCTGAATTCTTGTTCTCTGTGTACCCAATAATTCCGGTTTCACCACTGGTAGAAGAGGATACATTGTTCCTGAACGAATAGTTTCTTCATCTAGTAAAGACCACTTACACTAACTTCTAATGGCAAAAGCCCATAATACACAACGAATCTAGTACCGGAAAAATATAAAGAAGCTTAGAATAAGTGTTATCATGTTACTTGTTCTAGGTTTTGTGCTCTTAAGTACAAATGCAATGTGCGCTCTTGTTCACCGAGCTCCACAGGACAGTTGGTTTCCAGAACAAAGCATTCACACGGTGAACATCCAGGATGGTGCCTCCTAGAACACAGCATCATGCCACAGAACTCCTCAACACGGTCTCTCATCTGCCTACAATTAACTAGAATCTGAAAATAATAAACCTCATATTAAATCGATGATAACTTGTTTGCTCCATCTTGTGCCAACCTGCTCACTCTCGCAGCTTAAGAGCTCGTGGTTTCAACTAAGAAGGTCAGCAGCAAGAACAAGGACAACCCGCATAAAACGAAACACGGAATACATTTAAAGAACGAAAAGCTTGAAGAGCGCCGCCCCCTACAACACGAACTGAAATGGCTTCAATTCCCGAAACGCCAAGCGTCCTTGGCTCCGTTACAAACCCCCAACCCTATACGATGCCGTCCATCGACCATAATCACAGCCAATTCACCGATTTTCACCAGCTCGGCCAAGATTATCAGTACTGCTGCGCTCCCCAGTCGCCTCAAATTTCCACTTGGCCGACGCTTCGCTGGCTACAGCGCAAGATCCGGACTGTATTGAAACGCATCAAAGGTGCCTGCGATGATTGCCTTTTTGAATGCGTCGATGCCACGATAGACTGGGTCATCGTCGTCGGCGACAAATGGCTGGCGCGCCTTGCAGCTGGGTCCCAGAGGCTGAGGAAGCAGCACTTCCGTCGAAAATATTGCTAGTACTTATATCAAAGGCAGGCTGACACTCCGTGAGCCTTGTAAAGAGGGGCGTTGTTCTTGAGATTCTGTTGGGACTTAGCGGGTTAATGGTTATATATATATGGGATAGAATGTCCGGGCAAAAAGGTCGCGCGCAATTTGTTTTGAGTATCCATCAAATAAATCCTTAGTATTTATCTCTTATGATAATGATTTCTTATTTCATCTTAGGTTATCAAACGACCACGGCCAAGCTTTTCTGTAAGTGCATTACTGGCTGGCAGCAGTGTGTTCGTCTGGTGATATTTGATGGAGTCGAGGGCGGAAACTCAGTTTGCGCAGCAGCAAGTGCCTTTTGAACGGCCTGTTCGATTTGAGGCATAAGCAGGCGGGTAATACTCTCAGTTTCCTTGGTAGTCAGCTCGCGGGGTTTGGCCGTTTTTGACTCCAGCTTGCCAAGGCGTACTTCCATCTCTGACAGAGTTGTTGCCGAATCTGTGGTATCTTTGATGATACCCTTCAACTTGTTGGCTATCTTGACGAAAGTACCGTTGACGATGACATTATTGGCGGTGGTTTCTTTCTTGAAGGTGTTCAGGTCGTTGACAATCTTTGCCATCTCTGCAACTTTATCAGTTGCCTGCTTGGCCAGTGTGATAGCCCCAGTTGCGATGGAGCTGACTCCTTCCGAGCCCATCGAGGTATTACCAACATAGCTATTTTCTGGAAACCCAACTCGTGCTAGATGTTCCAGCTTGAGATCGAACAACATCCCGGCAATGGTGGCATTCAGTCCTCCATAGGGGTCCACAAAGCGGGTTAGTAGTTATACATATGGGAGGGGATATCCGGGGGAAAAGGTCAAGACTGTCTGAGTGTTTATTGAGTGCCACTGCTGGCTCCTTCGCCTTAGGGTCAGTTATTTCGCCTTTTTCTTTGTTGGAGTTTCCTCCTCAGCAGTAATTGGCCTTTTGGTAGTGCCACGGCCAAACTTTGTCGCCAGTGCGTTGCTGGGTGGGAGTGAAGTTCTCATGGTTGTATTTGGCACCGTCTGGGGACCTTGGTGAGGCGTGTATCCAGCTTGGCGATGCGTGTTTCGATTCCTGTTAGAGTCTTTCCTGCATCAGCAACATCTTTCGCGATATCCTTAAACCTGCTGGCAACCTTGGCGAAAGTCTTGTGGAATTCAGCAGACTTGGCGGTGGTTTCGTCCTTGAGGGAGTTAAGATTGGCGGTGTTACTCTTGGTCTTTTCTTCGACCTTCAGTATGTCGTTGGTATTCTTCTTGACTTCATCCGCTACCTGCGTGGCCAGAGAAGTAGCCCCAGTAGTAGAGGTATGACCAGTGGAGACACCTTCCGAAAGCCCAATTGATGCCAAATGTGGCATGTCGAGGTCCGATAACATGCCGGCAATGGTTGCATTAAGACCTCCGTATGCGTCTACAAATCGGACTGCAATCAGGATATGTCTTGCCGGAATAAAGGTGGTGTAGTGACACCGCTTGCCCCGTTGCTCAATGTACTCGCCGTCACGTCGAGCCCTCTCATATGGGTCCACAAAGCGTGCGGGATATGCCTTGGGGGAATAATTACGGTGTAATGGCACCGCTTGCCGCGTTGTTCGATGTATCCACCATCGCATTTGGCAATCGCCGCGCTCTTCATAGCTTCCTTGGCTTGTCGGACGAATCTAACCTCCGGCCGGCCCTTGGCGGTATTCCTTTCTATGCGCTCACCCTGACCGTTCTTTGAAAGCGGGAAGTAGTGGTCATAGAGCACCCCGCGAACTGCTCGATATTGTTCCACAAGACGGCCGCTTCCGACTGGTACGTCGTCGGATGTGAACTCCATTCCGCTCTCTTTGTACTGACGGGTTAGCTCTTCATGAGCATCCGCCCACTTCCAGAGTTTGGGTCCATCCTTGGGCTTATTCGCATAGCGTCTAAAGCCGACAGTATCACCATTGGTGATCTCGGGGTCGTCATCTTCGGCATCACTTCTGTCATACAGATGTTGCATCTGTTTCTCTGCCGCTCGGTGCGATCGTCCTCCAAGTGATAGAGTCGGACTGTCGATATTCGAGAATAAGCCCCGTGGAGTCATTTTAAGCCCGAGAGGATTGCGGCTGGATCCTCCTTCGCCAAAGTTGTCGTCGTCATCGGGAGAGTTGGGATCTTCAGCTATTTCCTCAACTTCATCGTCTGGGGGCTCTTGAGAATTGCGACGGAGAGAGGGTAGTTCGAAGACAGAGATAGATGGATTTGGCATATCTGCCGTAAGTTCCTCGTCTGATCCAGCCATACTACTGTTGGCACTTTCGGAAGGGGAAATACCGGAGTCGAAATGATTGTTCAGGGAGTCGAAAATACCTGCCGCGTCTTCGTTGTCGGATTCGATGTCGGTAGTCTGTTCCCCAAGGTGAAAGATTACCTCTTTCGCACCTTTCGATTTGACACCAGTATTCGTCTTCAGAGGTGGATGTATCCCTCTTGTTGGTCAGTTCTCCATGGACCTGCGCGAATGCTTGGCAGAGGTACCGTCGTATGTTGGCAGACCTGACTTCCTTGATGAACGCTTCAGGCTCTGGTTGCTCGCGGTAGATATAAGTTACCCACGCGTCGCGTCGTGCCTGGTCGTGGTTGAGTCTGGCTGCCCACTGGACTCGTCGCTTGCCTTTTGGTCTCTGACATCTCCAGCGGTCGTTCTCTCGGACTTTTAGCTTGGGAGCCTGCTTGTCGACTGTAGGGTTTGGCGTAAGGTTTGTTGTTTCTGACACACCGAGTCTATGGCATACTACTTAGTGTATTTAATTTAAGAGGCGTGCTGTTGAATTTAAAACTCACAAGATTTTGGGTGTAGCTGGGTTTAACGGCGCAGTCTTGATTTCAGCGGCGCGCTGTTGAATTCGGCATTCAAAAGATATTTGGTGTCGTAGGATTCAACGGCGCAGTCTTGGTTTCGGCGGCGCGCCGTCGGGGTCGGGATCTTGCGGGTGTTGGTGAAGGCAAATTCGTAGGCGCGCTCGGGGTTTTGTAGGCGCGCAGCAAGATTCGGAATCTTGCAGGTATTGGTGAAGTCGGATTTGTAGGCGCGCTCGAGGTTTCGTAGGCGCGCTTGGGGTTTTATCGGCGCCCAGCCAAGTCGAAAAGGTAGTGAATTGCTCGAAGAAAGAAGATGAAAGGAGGAGGAAAGAGTTATGTCTCGAGTGGCGCGCGAAGTTTGCTTTATAGCTTTTGAGCTGTGATTCACGTCAGGCCGAGTGAAAGGTGAGATTAGAGTGAGTTATACTGACATACACGGGCGTTGAGCCGTTCTCAGCTCGCGGACCTCGCCAGTACCAATGAGGCGGTTGTTCTCGCCGCAACCTTGCCCATCCTTATACTGTCGCTGAACTGCAGCTCAGTAAGGTGTTGGGAAAGGTAACCAGTTGGACTAGAAACCTTTGTCTGTCTGAGTATACTGTTGACCTTTGAATGGACTGGGGCCTGCATTGTTGATACCATGGTTGGTGTTTTTGTTTCACTGTTGAGCTTGTAGTCCCCCGTCTGGGTATGTGTGTACTAGGGCACCCTAAGCTCTTGATACAGTCATTGATGCTGTCTGCTTGATGTTGTGGTGATGCCGTTTTTTGGGTGCGTAGGCTTGGATCTGAAAATTGAGGGAGTCTGCGAAGAGAAAAATAGTTGTAAGAGAGAGAAGATTCTTTGACTCGAAGTGGTGTGAGGCGTGTGTTAAATACCCGAGAATTTCTGAACGCAAGCGAAGCAGTGATTCACGTCCGGAGGCAGGGCGGTGTGACTAATGGGGATGGTGAGGCAGACCTGTTTGCTGCCTTGTTTGTTTATTTATTGATGATTGCTCTTCTTTGTTGTGTGTTGAGGATATCTGATTCTCCTGGTGGGGGTGTGTCGGGTCACATCGCTGTACTGCCGCTCGTTATACCGGATCCCGCCAACCCAATTGTTCAAGACTATGCATGCTAATAATAAAGAGATTGAATTCTTCGTCCTCCGGTAGGCTCCCTCCGACAGCTGCAAGCCTAACTGCTAGATCTCTCTATCGGCCAACATGGGCCTCAGCCTCCTTAAAGCTCTTAACCCCCAGGGACGTCGGCGGCAGCACCAGGCCCCCTTACTCTAGGTCGTAGTCCCCTCATAACGCCGAACCAGGGCTTCCAATGCCTCACTGCCGGTGCTATACGGAGCGGTGACCGCGATCGCCTCCTTCGTCATACAGTCCTGGATCTCCAACATCAGCGACTTGAGTTGCTCCGACATGCCGGTGATGGCTTGGTTACAAGGGCACTTGGGAGGTTCGTTAAGTCGAGTCTCGAGAGCATCGATTGATACCTTGAGGATTCTCTGCTCCTCGCTGGTTGGTCTGAATAACCCGTCTTTGTTCACCTGCGTGCAGTGGAGGGTGGGCTTACTATTGAAGCTTGTCTCCTACACTAGGCACCCTCGACACCATCAAGTCTCTGCCCCCTGCCCCCGGACCCCGCTTGATAGGCTTATGGAGATCCTTCTTTGGGGTGTGTCTCCAGTGCCTTGAACAACTGGGCGAACATTGAGCCTGATGCAAAGGAGCCGAGGGGACGATCGGCCGGATAGTTCACCTCGGGCATTTCCTATAGGCCCATGATGCGGATGTACGACTCCGAGGCTATTTTCCCCAAGCCATCACTCCGGAGCCATCACGTTGCTTTCTAGTCGCCGTCTGATCTCGGGGTTCGATCCCGAAGGTGGCCGCCAGCCTGGGGAGACGGCGCTCAAGCCCTCGTCTAGCCGCTTCATAGAACCTTCTGAGCCGCCAGACTAATAACCTCCGCACCCCCGAGAACTGGGGAAATCGAAGAAGAGCGCGTGACCTTGTTACTCGCCCGCCCGCCACGGGCCCCATCACCGTTTCTCCCGGCACCTGTTTTGAATCATTTCCCCAGCCGTCTCCTGCCAAGACGGCGCCCTGGCACTGCACAGTGTTAGCGCTTCCAGACGCCCAGACTTGCCGGCCTGTGGCTGGTCCCCGTCTCAGCCGCCCTGAGGGTTAGCGGCATGGCAGTGAAACCATCCAGGCAGCTCCGTTAGTGGGTTTCTTCAGGGGCAGATTTCTCCGATGGGATTGTTCAGTGGGATTTCCTCAACGACATGTGTACTGTGTACGTAGTGGCCTTCCATCCATTTAACACGCCACCCCGCTCGGGAATTACTTAAGTAAGGGTTTGCGAAGCTTACTCATACATACTAATCGATGCATAATTCGTTTGCGTCGGCGTTCCGTTAACTCTAATTTTAACCCTTGTTGAGCTTCGCTGGCCAGTGGACATTGGCGACTGCAGCGCGCCAGAGAGCTACGTATTTGGATCCGTGGCCTCTAGAAATCCAGGGCTTGCCACCGAAGGATCCATGAAGCCCCCCAAGCCCCAGGATTTGGGCGTCACAAGCCCGCGCAAGTGCCGAATTCCGTGCCATACGAAAACAGCGCCGACTCACCGGTCAGCGCTATTGCACTTTGGGTCGTGTAATTATAGACCAGCGATCGCCCGTGAAACCGACACGGCCGCATTCGCTCGTCTCCTATTTTCCAGAAGGCCCATGCTTCGTGATTATGGAGCTAATACGAACTATTTGGACATACTACTGAGGCTACGTCGTTTGTCAGAGAACAGGATCAGCTACACGAGCGACACGTAGGCCTCGCTTGACACATCGCCAGGTCATCTTTGCTTACATGTATTTGTAACTTGCCACATGTTTCACCGTTGCGTACGGTCTCAAGCAGGCTGTGATGCAAAGATGCTGCTCCACCCAGCACCCCCTGGCGAAACGCCGCTGAGCTAAAGCATGACTCGGTCCACCTCAGGCTCAGCCTCATGCCCTACGACGGCCGACCCCAGAACCCTTTGTTTTAAATTTGGGGAGGCTTGACGCTGCTACCGCTGTCCGTCAGCGTGTCCCCGCTCATCGGCTTGTATTAAATGCGGCCCCTCGCCAAGCCTCCCCCGTGGACGCCTCTGCCTGCTCGTTCTCTCTCGGCACATCCCTGAGACATCCTCAATATGCGGACAGTTCCTTGATATTTGTTGTAAATGGTAAGACAGACCTGACCCAACACCCGAGAGCGTCCTTCGTAGCTAATCCCGACAGTTTGGTGCCGTTTGAAGCGATCCATTTTGTCATGTAGCCCGCCGTCTCGACCTGCTCATTTGCACTATAATATCCATCATGAAGCCGCCCGTCGTAGCCAATCTATCATTGGCAGTCGCCTGGCTCCTTTTGTTCCGATACTGTCAAATCCATTCGTTCCACGATCCCTCTTCATTCTTCTACGATCCGAACCGCGCCTACCTCCCATTCTACTCTGCCGTCAGAGAATCCGAAGCCGCCGAATTCCTCACCAAGGCTTCTTCCACCCCGGCGACTGCGGCCCAACCTTGGACATACTTTGGTAAAGGTCTTGGATATGACGATACCAAGAAACCTGAGGGGCTCAGAATTTGCGTTGGGATACCGAGCGTCCGTCGCGACAGGGAGCAGTTCGTTGGGGGGACCATTGCCTCGTTGGTCGACGGCCTGAGTCCCGAGGAGCGGCGACGAATCAACTTGAAAGTTCTCCTGGCAGACGACATCCCACAAAACAACCCTGCCTATGGAGAGGCCTGGCTCCGTAACATTGCGGACGAGGTGCTCGTCTACGGCGATGACAATCCCTCAGTCAAAGACGGATACCGACATATTACCGATGCATCGCTTCGCTGGACCTTTGAAGATCCCCGGAACAAGCGCGTGCAATTCGATTATGCAAACTTGGTCGCAGCGTGTCAGAAGCAAGGCTCTGACTATTTTGTTCTGGTGGAAGACGATGTCGTCGCCTCTCGAGATTGGTTCAGTCGGCTGATCAGCTCCCTCGACAAAGTTGAGGCCCAATCCACGAATGGCCAAGATTGGATGTATCTCCGGTTGTTCTATACCGAGGTCTACCTAGGCTGGAACTCCGAGGAGTGGCCCAGCTATTTGAGCAAAAGTATCATATTCTACCTTGCAGTTACCGGCATGGTCCTCTTTTGGAGGTGGAGGGCTCCCGCGATGAGAACGTTGAAGGCGACTGACCTCGTCAAGTCCAATCTGGTCTTGATTTTCAACATGACGTTTTGGATCGCAGCGTACATCATCATGTACTTCATGGCAGGGAGACTCCTAGTCAACCACTACCAAGTCGGCGTTCATGAGATGCCTCAATACGGGTGCTGCGCGCAGGGCCTTGCAATGCCACATCGAAACCTCGCAGTCCTGGAGAAGAGCCTGAGAGAGCCGCCACACGACCTTGCTGGTGACTCTTTTATCGACTTGGTTGCCGAGCGAGAAGGTTTGAAGAAATGGGTCATGGTTCCGAGCGTGCTGCAGCATGTCGGGATTCGGGGTTCATCCGACAAAGGGTACCTCAAGACGACTTGGAACTTTAGCTTTGAGAAGGGGCCATGGAAATGAGGATGAGGGACGCACGATTTCGCCATGGACAGCGACCAACAAACCAAGTCTGTTGGTCATAGAAACCGACTGTTGAACTTGGGGAGCTCGACGAGTGGTCATGACCCGTATAGGGTTCAAACAACCACGGAATTTCCGATCCTGGTTGCGACAAACCATATCTGGGACAATCCAAATGAAAGTGCGGCAAGTCGATGCCCGGTCAAGCAAACGACCGAGGTAGACATGTTTCCAGGAGGGTGACAGCCGGGCAGTCTCGGTGAGTCAGAAATAGGTCAAAGGATGCCGATGGAAGTACATCTCCAGAATGATGCCTTGGGTGAAGCCTCGGTAAAGAATGGTTGATCATCAACGGAGGAAGATGAGGACGGCAAGCGTTCCCGCAGAAAAGCGTCCGGATGACGGGCCTTCGGGAGAGGTCGGGACTGGTTTCTAGCCCCCGAAAGCCCGCTCGGGATGTGGTTCACCCCCGGTCCAATACTTCGGTCATTCGCCCTGACTAATTGCGATGCGGGCGTCGGAGCCTGGGCCGTGTCTCGTTCCGGTGGATCTCGCTGTCAGTTCCCCGGAGCAGCGGAGAGATGGCGGTCTGGGGTGCCGATATCTTGGATCATGTCAATGGGATCGAGGAAGTTGTAACACACCAGCCTATATACCCTAGCCCAAACTTGGACGGTTCGGGGTTAACACGATCCAGCCGTTCCCCTTGGCTGGGCACCAAATAAGTAGAGTTTCATGCAATTAGCTAAACAACCCGAGAAGTCACGAGAAAAGACCGTATTGCCATGGGAATCAGGCCGGAGCTTCGAGTGTGCTGAATTGATCCACAACCGGAACATCTGTGCAGTAGCATGGGTGGCGTAAGCTTGATCCATCCATTGCCGGCCAGTGATCTGGGGAATCTGGGGTGAAGGTGCGGTTGTGTTCCAGGCCCCAGTGCTGACCGTCGGTGAAGCAAGGAAGCAATGCGTGTTGAAAGCAAATCACTATCGCAAGGTTGCGCAGGTATCTTATTTTTGGGTGTGATTGTGATGATGCGAGCGAGACCGGAGTTTGTACTACCCGTCTGTCTCAAGCGTTGGGGAGTTTGTTAGCAACACCAGTCATAGCACGTGACATCTCAACATCGCCGCCTCCAATTTTCGGCGCGACGTTGAATTTGACGGAACTCGGGCTTCAACCACATCCTCAACGACACCGCCTCCGACCAAGTGACGGCTCAAGATCCTCCAAGATGGCTGCACTCGTGAAGGCAATTAACGCTAAGATCCGGTCGAACCCGGTCTCCGACTACTTCTGCTCGACCCGTAAGTCTTCCCCTATTGTAGTCATTTTGTCCGACCTCCGATCTGTCCGCCGTCCACCATCGACCACCGACATGGCCACCGCGATCGAAGCCGGAGAGGGCATGCGCTCCGGAATGGATCTACAGATGCGATCGCATTTGTTGCCTGCGTCAATTGGTTTTGCGGATGGTGGTCGACGAGCACCCGATCGGGCCGCGATATCTCTCAACTCCACGGTTCCGGGGCATCGATATACCGAGATAACACACGCTGACCTTGGACTCCCTTAGACTTCTGGGGTCCTGCATCCAACTTCGGTATTCCCATCGCCGCCATCTTGGATACTCAGAAGAGCCCTGATATGTGAGACAACCACCAAGGCCCTCCCGGAAAACCCGTTGCTGACTCACCGGCTTTGCAGGATCTCCGGACAGATGACGGGTGCGCTAATCATCTACGCCGCGACCTTCATGCGTTATTCCCTGGCCGTTTCTCCCCGAAACTACCTCCTCTTCGCCTGCCACTTCGTCAACGAGGGTGCCCAGCTCACCCAAGGATACCGATACCTCAACTACCACTACTGGGGCGGAAAGGAGCAGTTGACGGTGGCTGCTGAGGCGGCCAAGGACAAGATCCAGAAGGTTGAGAGCGCAGTCAGCAAATAGATCAGCAAGCCGAGAGGGAGCGCGGAAATGTTAGCTGTGTTGGGGGCGGTTATTGATAATTGGAGCGTCTCGGGCTTGAGCTCGGGGTTCGGAGAGTGTGCGTGACCAATATAGACACGCACCACGCCATATGCAGCTGCGAGATGGCCTCCGTGCCCATCTAGATTGCACCATGGCCTGGGTACCTGCAGTGCTCGCGCCCCCAGGTGTGCAAAGGAACGGCTTTTGTTTTTGCGGGTTCTAGAGAAATCTATCAAATTAGAGAATGGCCGCCAAAAGCGCCTCGCCAAGCTGTGTCGGGAGTGAGTGAGTGTGAAGCATGAAACCCCGCAAACAAGCCTAGACTTGCTCGCGTTGGATGGCTTGTGTAAAATTAACGAACGGCCAATGGGTCTGACTGACGAGTAGCGAGTGGGTGCATCAAGCGTTGCCGCCTTTGCCATCATATATGGCGGTGGCACATCCACGACATGATACCCCACCATCGCGGCTCAAAGGGATCCGTAGACCAAGCCCGGACCAGCAGCGGACAGGGCGGGCAGACAGGCCGCGAAGCGCTGCGACGTGCGAGAATCTCGGGATGACAGGAGATCTGGCGGATGTGGGTCCGGCTGGGGACCCCGATCTTGCCCTGGGCGACCGTCTCTGTGGCCATTGGCATGTTGGCAGGGGGACGAAGCCAGCCGTGAGGTCGCAGCGACGGCGCAGGCCCTAGCCAATCATGGTCTACTGCGATGTTGGAGATGGTGGCCTGGACATGGACAAGAGTACGGATGTAGCATATCCTCTCCATGACGGCGTCCGGAATAATAAATTATGGGCAAGGGGAGCACCCCGAATTGCCATGTACTGCAGAGTCCGCTTGTATCCTTGGCTAGCCGCTCCTCGCAGGTGTAGGCGCACATCTCCCTGGTCCAAAATCCCACATGATGCGCGCCATCTGCAGCACGTCACGGCACTCGTCCTCTAGAGGTTAAGGGTGAGCAGAAGCCCTGATGTCGCTCAACTCCGGCCGAGATAAGAAAAATGTCTCAGGCAGCCGTCGTTTTCTGGGCCGGCAAGCTCGCCCGCTGACTGGGGGACTTGGCTGACTGGACTGCGGGTTGGCGCAGTCGCACAGGGTATGGCACTGGCATTCTTGCGAGCGAAACTCCATCGGTATCGAGATGCCACTCCCGGTCTCCGGAGATGCGAGCTACCATGTACGTGCCTGGCCTGCTCGGTAGGGATGGGGAAGCGGGAACTTGAAAGGGGGACGGGTGGCGGATGGCGGGCTGTGCCTGGGTACCTCGTGCAGTTTCCCGGGATTGTGAGAATCCCAGGAACTTCAAGATGCCTTCTTCGGCATCACTCAGCCCTACCTCCGCTACGTGCTTCCTCGTCCAATCGGTCAATGGCTTAGATTAGATCATTCCCTTTTCAACCCTAACGTCACCGATTTTCAAAACTTGGGGTACACCGTACACCGAGCCGACGTCGGAGCTGGGGTAGTGTGCACTGGGCTCCGGAGAAGAGACCGGCATGAACTTCCTTATAGGAAAAAAACACAAACAGAATGCTGGGTGGTGGTGGGAGCCAAGTCGGTCACATCTGCGGCGATATCCCGGTGGAGGGGAGAGAAATGCGCACCAATGGAATAGCCGAATTAGTCATTGAGCTAGTTGCGATTTGCAACCTGACCGGCCTCACAGAGAAAGACAGAAATCTTCAGGCCAGGTGAGCCATCCCATCTGTCGACGTGGGAGAGGGGGTGGGCTGGATTCGGACAATTTGGGGGCATTGGCCGGCGTGGGTAGATCCCCCATCCATCTCGTCTGGTGGTGGATGCCGACGTGGACGGTAGCCGTGCAAGCGGAAGGGTAAGTGAGCGAGACGCCGGACTGTGAGCGACACACGGGGGGGTGGGTTTTGGGCGAGGGTGAGAGAGCTCCGAGACGTGAAACTGGGTCGTGGATGTAGACGTGGACAAGGACATGCAATGGCTCTGCGTCGCCGGTCTTCGACCTCCGTGGGGGTGGGGTCCTCGTGGGAATAAACAATGTCTTCATGTGGGCGGGAATGAGGGGCCTAGGTGGATGTGGCATGGAGATCATCCAGGCGAGACTGCGAGAAAGAGCCAGACACAGCCTCGGGTCATTTCGTTTGCAACGACGGGAAGTCACCGAGCCCCATGATGGCTTTTTTGCGCCAGCATCCAGCATCGGCTATAGCAGGCCTTCGTGATCCATGGTGGGCGGGCCGGATCCCAGGCTATGGAGCGGCGCATCCCCCCCCGTCGTCGCCTTTGTCTGGTCTGCACAATGGGGGTGTCTCGAATGTTTATGTAGGCAGTGGTGGTGTTGATGGAAGGCCGGCGAGCGGCGAGCCGCGCGTATGGGCGTTCGTCCAAGTCGCCAGACGAGGGAACCATGGCTCAGGGACCCAGCAGCTGTCAACCGGGACGGCCACAACATGGCTGACGGCGACACGGCGTCGGCGACGACGGAGACTGCACCCCGCACTCGCCCACCGAGCTGGGGGCTCGGACCTGTGGCTCGGAGCTCGAGCTGTGAAGCTGGAGATTGGCGCTGCTCAGTCGCCGGCGGGAATTGGTCGCCCGGGCCTGGGACCACGGCTGACCCTGCCGCCGTGGGCCTGGGGCGTCGCTGGTGATCCAAGCAAGGACCATGGCCCATTCCCGAGATACTGCAAGATGCGCGCGTCGGCTGCTGAGGCTCTGTGTGTGGGAGAGCTGCGGGACAGGGATCTAGGGACGAGCGAGTCTCCAAGGGTCCAGCACAGTACTTGGTCCAAGTTTACGTGGTACATCCTCGGCATTGAGGAATGGCCAAGGCGACGCAAACGTGGATCCGTGACTGGCCTTCCCTTTGTCCATGGCATGGGCATGGCAAGCCAGGGCGAAACCACAGGCTATGGCCGCAACGCCGGCGTCAGGCGTGTGGGACGTACAACCTCTAGAGGTAAGGTGTGGTGCGGACAACCTCTAGAGGTAAAGTGCGGTGCGGACAACCTCTAGAGGTAAAGCGTGGCGCGGTAGGGTGATGTTGGCCTACGTGGACGAAAATACGAACCAAGGATTGTTGAGGAGCAAGATTTTTTCTCAGGTCATCTGGGCTCCGGGCACACCATCCATCGATGCGCCATGTCAATGGTCGGTCAGTGTTCGGTGTTCGGTGACGGCGTCGCTTGAGACGAGACTCAACGAGACATGGGGCAATAGTGCAGTAGAGTCAGGTGAAGAGGGTTGTCGAGGTTGAGATGAGACAAAAGAAACAAGTCATAGCGGGACAGGGCGGTCGACTATCCGGCGTCGCTGATTGGTCAATGGCTAACTGTGAGCAACACGATTGTGTCTCAAGAGTTGCGTCAAGGGCGCTTTCGTCGCAAACAAGGCCGAGATGGCCGTCCCCATTTCCCATACCCTCCCTAGTTTCCTCCAATCTCTTGCTAACGCCCGCCGGAGCCTACATGCGTAGTTTGCGTTTTGCCCAGCCATTCGGCCATTTAGCCATCCAACAAAATACACACGCCCATGGATCGATAACCCATCTCGTCTTATCCTCTCCCCTCCCGTCCTGTCTTGGTCCTATCCCATCTCATCCCGCCCCGGCCGGACCTGTGACCTCAACCGCATCCCACACACACACCTCGTCATTGTTGCTCACACATTTCTCACACGCCCCCCATGTCTTCATCGTCCCCATGTCTCCACGTCCACATGTCCGTAGCATTTTGGCTACTCCGGGCGAGGCGCGGCAGTGAAGTTTATCCCATCCTGCTCGCTGCAGCACAGCAGCAGCAGCCATGCGCCTGCGCTGCACCACCCACCACCACGCCGCTGGGCTCCCCGGCACGCTGTTGTTGCTTCTCTCGCCTGCAGAAGTCCGATGCTGCAGCAGAAGACACCGGCCCGGTCCAGCTTCCCAGAGATTTCCATAGATCCGTGGAATCCCAGACGAACACCCCCCCTTGGCTGTAGAACTCGCCAGGGAAGAAAGTCACCAGGCATCCTTGAAGACGAGGTACCTGCAGTTTCCCGCGGTGGCGAGTAGTCTGACACTACCGTAACGAAGGTAGGTCCCTAGTAGAGCCAAGAGCCGTCCCACCATCAGCTACCAACCTGCATCGCTTTGCCTAGCACCGTAGTGGATGTAGTCGCCTGGGATGTTTTTTTTTATGAGCGCGGGCGATCAGAAAAGCGGCACGCTTGAGGCATGCTCTAGGTCCGCCCCAGCTCCGCAAGTCGCAAGAGGCACGGTTAACCGCCCGACTAGCGGCTTCCTTCCAACTGAGACTACCCAAGGTACCTCGCGCGCTCTGCAGCTCTCAGACCGGGGCACTTGGGAAGGTACGTGGGTAGCTCCTTCTTGCCCCGGCCCCCGGGTGTGTCACCGAGCCTGAGCTCAGGGCCGTCCTACAAAACCCCCTCACCCGCCGGCCGTCCCCCTCCTCTCCTTCTCTCTCTTCTAAGCCTCGTCCTCTCCCCTCTCGCTTCCTAGTATTTACTACGTCCAGCTACCTATTTTCTGCGCTACTGGGTGTTATCGTGGCCAATTCGTGAGCTGGAAGAGCTGTCGTGGTATCTTCATACCGACAAGCGTGCTCATTACCCCACCACTCCCCAAGACCCCGCCATATCGCCGACAAGCTCCCCCCCCGCCAGAGCTTCTTCGCCTTCACCCTTCTGCCTCCATCACCACCAATCCCTCCAGCAATCGCCCAAAATGGCCGCCGGAGCCCCCCAGCAGCCTCTCACTTTCAACGATGTCTTCGAGGATGAGGAGTTCGATGAGCCCAAGGCCGCCAACACGGTCCACCACATTCGGGCCAACTCCAGCATTATGCACGTGAAGAAGATCCTTGGTGAGTAACCGCAGGCTTCTGCGCCGTCAATGGCGCCTCAATTGGCCTCGGAACGCCCCAAAGGACATGCGCTGACTCTCCTCTTTTCACTCGCGAACAGTTGCCAACCGTGGTGAAATTCGTAAGTTACCGACGATCCATCATCCCTCAACAGACTCGCAATCGCTAACATGTGAATAGCCATTCGTGTATGACAGACCATCCATTCCACCCAACCGATCGCCCCGTGTTAGAGACTGCCAAGCTGACCCGCATTTCAATCGATAGATCTTCAGAACTGTGAGTCGTTGGCCCCGACAATCGCTGGTATGGCATAGGCTAACAGTGGCGACCGTCTAGGCTCACGAGCTTTCGCTGCACACCGTCGCAGTCTTCAGTTATGAGGACCGCCTGAGCATGCACAGACAGAGTATGGGACCTAACCCCGCAGTGTCTCAGCGATTTGTTTTGCTGACCCTTCTCAACAGAGGCCGACGAGGCCTACGTCATTGGCAAGCGTGGACAGTATACCCCTGTCGGCGCCTACCTGGCCGGCGACGAGATCATCAAAATTGCCGTCGAGCACGGTGTGCAGATGATCCATCCTGGTGAGTGGTGACTCATTCTTGGCGTCGCAGAGCTCAACCCACTGATCACGCTATTAGGTTACGGTTTCCTGTCCGAGAACGCCGAGTTCGCTCGCAACGTTGAGAAGGCTGGCCTTATCGTAAGTCAGCTTGCCCCACTGGTTCTGTTGTACCTGTGCGCTGACCCCACCACGCCAGTTCGTCGGTCCCTCCCCCACTGTAATCGACTCCCTCGGTGACAAGGTCTCTGCCCGAACCCTGGCTCTGAAGGCCAACGTGCCCGTCGTCCCTGGTACCGAGGGCGCTGTCGAGCGGTTTGAGGAGGTCAAGGACTTCACCGACAAGTATGGCTTCCCCATCATCATCAAGGCCGCTTACGGTGGTGGTGGCCGAGGTATGCGAGTCGTCCGCGAGCAGGGAACTCTGAAGGAGTCCTTCGAGCGTGCCACCTCCGAGGCCAAGACTGCCTTCGGCAACGGAACCGTCTTCGTCGAGCGCTTCCTTGACAAGCCCAAGCACATTGAGGTCCAGCTCCTTGGTGACAACCATGGTAACATTGTCCACCTGTACGAGCGTGACTGCTCCGTCCAGCGACGACACCAGAAGGTCGTCGAAATTGCTCCCGCCAAGGATCTCCCTGCCGAAGTCCGAGACAACATCCTGGCTGACGCCGTTCGATTGGCCAAGTCTGTCAACTATCGCAATGCAGGCACTGCGGAGTTCCTCGTTGACCAGCAGAACCGCTACTACTTCATTGAGATCAATCCTCGTATCCAGGTCGAGCACACCATCACCGAGGAAATTACTGGCATCGATATCGTTGCCGCTCAGATTCAGATCGCTGCTGGTGCTACTCTCCAGCAGCTTGGCCTGACCCAGGACCGCATCTCTACCCGCGGTTTCGCCATCCAGTGCCGAATCACCACTGAGGATCCCGCCAAGGGTTTCCAGCCCGACACTGGCAAGATTGAGGTTTACCGCTCGTCTGGTGGCAACGGCGTCCGCCTTGATGGTGGTAACGGTTTTGCCGGTGCCGTCATTACTCGTAAGTGCCCCTTTTCATTTATACATTCGCTTTCTTTCTTTCAACGCGGGTCGTGAAATGGTCAGCCACACCTGGAGCCCACACGCCGGCCCCACTTCCGCTTACCAGCCACACCTGCGTCATCCACCACTCCCCTTCTTCTCTTCAACATCACCACCACTCTCCAACATCACCATCGTCTCTTTGCTTGCTATCTATTCCTCATGTACTAACATCAGATTTGCCCACTATGATTCAATGCTAGTGAAGGCGACTTGCCACGGGAGTACTTACGAAATTGCGCGTCGAAAGGTTCTCCGAGCCTTAATCGAGTTCCGTGTTCGCGGAGTCAAGACCAACATTCCTTTCTTGGCTTCTCTCCTGACCCACCCTACTTTTATCGATGGCAACTGCTGGACGACTTTCATTGACGATACTCCTCAACTTTTCGACCTGATTGGCAGCCAGAACCGTGCCCAGAAGCTGCTGGCTTACCTCGGTGACGTTGCCGTCAACGGCAGCAGCATCAAGGGCCAGATTGGCGAGCCCAAGCTCAGGAGCGAGATCAATGTGCCTGAGATCATTGCCAGCGACGGTACCAAGGTTGATGTCACCCATCCTTGCCAGAAGGGATGGCGCAACATCATCCTCGAGCAGGGCCCTAAGGCCTTCGCCAAGGCTGTTCGTGATTACAAGGGCTGCCTTCTCATGGACACCACCTGGCGAGACGCCCACCAGTCTCTGCTGGCCACGCGTGTCCGAACCGTCGATCTCCTTAACATTGCCAAGGAGACCAGCCACGCTCTCTCCAACTTGTACTCCCTTGAGTGCTGGGGTGGTGCCACCTTCGATGTTGCCATGCGTTTCCTCTACGAGGATCCCTGGGACCGGCTCCGCAAGATGCGCAAGCTCATCCCCAACATTCCCTTCCAGATGTTGCTTCGTGGCGCCAACGGTGTCGCCTACGCTTCGCTGCCTGACAACGCAATCGACCACTTTGTCGACCAGGCTAAGAAGAACGGTGTCGACATTTTCCGAGTCTTCGATGCCCTGAACGATGTTGACCAGCTTGAGGTTGGTATCAAGGCCGTTCACAAGGCCGGTGGTGTTGTTGAGGCCACCGTCTGCTACAGTGGTGACATGCTCAACCCCAAGAAGAAGTACAACCTCAAGTACTACCTTGACCTTGTCGACAGGCTCGTCGCTCTCGACATCCACGTCCTGGGTATCAAGGATATGGCCGGTGTCCTCAAGCCCCACGCTGCCACCCTTCTCATTGGTGCCATCCGTGAAAAGTACCCCGACCTTCCCATCCACGTCCACACCCACGATTCTGCCGGTACTGGTGTCGCTTCCATGGTCGCTTGCGCCAAGGCCGGTGCTGACGCTGTCGATGCTGCCACCGACAGCCTGTCTGGCATGACCTCGCAGCCTAGCATCAACGCCATCCTCGCCTCCCTTGAGGGCAGTGAACTTGACCCTGGTCTGGATCCCCGCCAAGTTCGGGCTCTCGATGTCTACTGGTCCCAGCTTCGTCTGCTCTACTCTCCTTTCGAGGCTCACCTTGCCGGCCCCGACCCCGAGGTGTACGAGCACGAGATTCCGGGTGGTCAGTTGACCAACATGATGTTCCAGGCTTCTCAGCTGGGTCTCGGATCCCAGTGGCTTGAGACCAAGAAGGCGTACGAGCACGCCAACGACCTCCTTGGCGATATTGTCAAAGTTACCCCCACCTCCAAGGTCGTCGGTGACCTTGCCCAGTTCATGGTTTCCAACGGCCTGTCTCCTGAGGATGTCAAGGCTCGTGCCTCTGAGCTGGATTTCCCCGGCTCTGTCCTCGAGTTCCTCGAGGGCATGATGGGCCAGCCCTTCGGTGGATTCCCCGAGCCTCTGCGCTCCGACGCTCTCCGTGGCCGACGCAAGCTCGATAAGCGCCCCGGTCTGTTCCTCGACCCCGTCGACTTCGCCAAGGTCAAGCGCGAGCTTGGCAAGAAGTTCGGTGCCCCCGTCACCGAATGCGATATCGCCTCGTACGTCATGTATCCCAAGGTCTTTGAGGACTACAAGAAGTTCGTCCAGCAGTACGGTGATCTTTCCGTTCTTCCTACTCGATACTTCCTCACCCGACCTGAGATTGGCGAGGAGTTCAACGTCGAGCTCGAGAAGGGCAAGATCCTCATTCTGAAGCTCCTTGCTGTCGGTCCCCTCTCTGAGAACACCGGCCAGCGTGAGGTCTTCTTCGAGATGAACGGCGAGGTCCGACAGGTCACCGTCGTTGACAAGAAGGCTGCTGTTGACAACATCAGCCGACCCAAGGCTGATCCTAACGACTCCAGCCAGGTCGGCGCCCCCATGTCTGGTGTTCTGGTTGAGCTCCGAGTCCACGAGGGCTCCGAAGTCAAGAAGGGTGACCCCCTTGCTGTTCTGTCTGCCATGAAGATGGTAAGTTTCTTAATCCTACTCTTCACATCGTTCATTGTTAACGCTCTCACAGGAAATGGTTATCTCTGCGCCCCACAGCGGTAAGGTTGCCCACGTCCAGGTTCGCGAGGGCGACTCCGTCGATGGCTCGGACTTGGTCTGCCGAATTGAGAAGGCTTAATTGTCTTTTACGTTAAAAAGTGAGCATGAAATAACGCGTTGTGTTGTTAACAAGGGAGGTGGGTGGATTGGTTAGGGCTTAAGGTTAAATTGCTGTGTATCCCACTGGAAGTCGGCTGCTGGGAGAGAGCAATGGTTTCGGCGCGAGGGAACGATGTCCTTTGATTATTAGTATTGCTAAAAGGACTTTCAATATGAGTACCTACAATTTTATATATTACAGAAAGCATCTACATTTCTGTGACACACAGCCAATATCTCCGTCTGTACTGACTGTTGATGCGGTGGGTGAAATAAGGATTATTCTTAGTATTTATTCATCCTAATTGTAAGAATTATTCTTAGTATTGATTCCTCCCAAAAGTGTGTGTGGGGATGAGCAACAAGGGGGACTGGAAAGCCTAACAACTCCACCCCGAGGCAGATGAGGATTGTGATGGCGATTGTCCGCAACAGCTGAAAAGCTGAACTTAGAAATGACGAAAATGAATAAAGGGGACGAGGTATTATAGATACCACTCCCAGTATCATCTAACCATATGATTTGCGAAGGAATGTAGCGGCAATAGGTTGAGATTACTGTCAATTGAGGATTCTATATATCTGGCTGCTGATGAAAGCAAACAGATCAATCTGCTGTCTCAGAACCTCACTGGAACATCTCAAGACTGACTAATCAGGTAATAGCTTTAAAATAGGGCAAGACTTTTTGTAGAAGGTAGCTTGCTGTGGACTCGTTCCCAAAAATGCAAAGCCTTAATATCCCTAGTTCCCCCGAAAACATAGATTCTCCGATACAATAGTAATATTTATTTTTAGCATCTAATCCTCTTAAGGATAGGATTTACTTTATTCATTAGGTTAGGTCTTATAATAAACATATAGCTATATTTGGTTTTTTTTGTAGTCTTACTCAATATTATCAGATAGATCAAAGCTATATAGTAATCTTAAATAGTAGGAATAAATAATAAGAGCTACACCCAGCACCAGAAGAAATAGTAGCTAAATAATAAGGTTATTACCCACCAGTCTCTACCTAAAGCTTCCATTCAGCCCCTCTAACTTCAACTCTATTATCTATAGTTAATAATCTTACTATTTGCAATTAATAACCTTAAAATAGTAACCTTATTCCAAGTAAAGGGATATAAGAGAGACTAATATCTCCTATTATCAAAAGGCCAACTTCCCTTCTAATACTTATCTCTTATCCTATAATAACTAACTTTAAATATAGCAAATTTTATTTAAAAAGCCCTTACTACTAGTAACCTATTATATCTATATTATATAAATAATATCCAATATAATCTCAGATTCTTTTAGAATCTAAAGAATAAATAAAAAAAATAAAAGCTAAATTTCCTCTTAAGCTTTCTTAAGAAAGAAAATTTATTTAAGCTATTACTATACTATCTATAATATCTAAATAGAAGATAATAAATTATATTAATTATTTTTAGATACTATTTACTTTTTTATAATAGAAATAAAATTAATAGACAAGGAAATTAAATTCTTAGTAGTAATTTTATTTTATATATCTAAATAGAAATAGCCGCGCTTTACGACTTAGCGAAAAATATTAACAATACCAATCCGAGGAGTCGAGTCTTCCTCCAGGATATCGCCGGGGCCCAATACGACCCCTGGTTCCAGGAGCTGTTATGTTGCGTTGGGTTGGTACGGATGCTAGCCACATAGGGTGCTGGCTAGAGGGGGGATTCGAATGACTTAAACGGGTCATCATGGGCGTTGGGGATCTCGGGGCGTTTTACAGGTCGGGTCGTGGGAGTTTTCAGTGCATTCATCAAGGTTAGACTGGGTCGAAAAGGTTAGACAGGATTCCGGCAGAGAAGAAAAAAGCAGCTTGAAACCCAAAACTTGGGCCTTGGCAACTGTGATGTGCGCGCAACGAAAATGCAGTAAATTCAAACACTAGGTTCCCTCATCGAGGGAAACGTATAGCTATATTGCGGAAAGCATTATAGCAAACTGTTTTTAGGAAGGTGTTATAGTTATTCGCTTCGCATCCGCCAGGCCTTTCTTCTTACTCACTAAAACGAGGTCCGAAGTTTCTTGGAATCCCTTCTAATTGTTCAATATATATAGATATTTCATTCCATCACAACCAATTTTCAATATGGCGAATATCACTCGAGAAGCTCTTTCCAGGGATAACCTGATATATCCGCAATATAGATCCCAACTCTGAATCCAATATCATGTCGGAGTTGGGATCTATATTGCGGATATATCAGGTTATCCCTGGAAAGAGCTTCTCGAGTGATATTCGTCATATTGAAAATTGGTTGTAATGGGATAAGTGTCAGAAGGGAAGTTGGTCTCTTGACGATGGGAGACGTCAGTCTCCCTTATATCCTATTGCTCGGAATAAGGTTACTATCTCAAGGTCGTTGACTGCAGACAATAGGGTCGTTGACTGACCCTATTGTCTACAGACAGTAGGGATGAAGTCAGAGGGGTTGAATGGAAGCTTCAGGCAGAGACCGGTGGGCAACAACTTTATTGTTCAGCTACTGTTTCTTCTGGTGCTGGGTGTAGCACTTATTGTTTATCCCTACTGTTTGAGATTACTGTATGGCTTTGATCTATCTGATGATATTGAGTAGAGCTAAAAAAAAACCAAATATATGGATATTTCACATGGATGATAAAGAAATAAGGGAGAGTTAATTGCGTGTAAACTTTGATCATGATATTGACCTGAGCAAGGCATCTGATATTTCTTGTATCGGTTGCTTGCAAAAGTTGAAGCCCACTAGTTGTGCGCATGTATCTAAGCTTAGGCAACAAGAGATACGCCCCTGCCATTCATAAATCCCAAAACAAATGTGGGAACTAGTAATAGATCAACGAGACAAAGCGATCAATAAATCAAGAGTGATTCATAATACGCAGATGCGTCTTCTGTGATAGCTGGTGGGCTTGGCGCCTACCCTGCACGTATATCGAAAAGCAAGGTCGTTACATCCGCTATCTCCAGGCAGCTGTGGCGCCCCGTGCAGCTGCGGCAACGCCTAAGCCACAAGACATGCAGGCCTATGAGTCTTCGTCTGGGAGCTAGGGCGACTCATTCCCTATGGTTTCCCCATTAGGAAAATATGAATTAAATGAGGTGACTTAATCACTCGTATGACTCTTCCTCGAACGCCTTTTCCCCCGCGCAATGCATGGTTTGGCCACTAAGAAATGAAGTCGAAGTTGGAGGGGCAGATTTGGGTGAGTCATTCTGACGGTCAGCCAATCCGGCAGCACCGAGCACCTGCCTCAACGAAGTAAGGGAAGAGACGAGACAGCCCGCAGTCCGGCCTTGCCACAGCCGAGAGCCCCACCAAGGCAAACGCCTCCGTGAAGGTCTTCGCAAATATCAAAAGAGCCTCCAGCCCTCTCCGTGCTCTGGCCTTTCCATTGCTTTGTCACTTTTCCCTCATTTTCTTTCAGTTTGCTTGGAGCTTTACTCTTCACCCAGCTCCCTGTTCATTTTGCTTTCTACGAAGACGCTGTATTTCAGAAAGCGCATCCCCACTTCAAAGAGGACGACAGCTTGGCCATCAAACTTTGTGATTGTTGCCACCATGCCTGAGGGAGAGGGAGGTCCGGCTCCCAACCAGGCCCAGGGCCAATCTCAGGGATCCAGAGGAGGAAATTCACGCGGAGGACGTCGCAGAGGCCGCGGAGGAAGGGGACGTGGCCGCGGAAATGGAAATGGTGCCTCTCGTGGGGGCAGAAACGCCCCTACGGAGGGAGATGCCCCAGCGCCCAGCTCTGTGGCGACGGCCCAGCCGGCAGCCCAGCTAGACCTGTCTTCTACCCCTGAAAGTTCAGGAGCGTCGAGAGGCAGGCGAGGTAGACGCGGAGGACGATCTGGCGGTGCTCGTGGCTCAGAAACCCAGCCACGAGGCTCGTTCCAGGTGGGACCGCAACGGCGGTTTGGTGGTCGCTTAACCAGCAATGTCGACGAGGTTAGCCAAGCCAACACGGATGCACAGCTTTCATTAAGCGCAGATGCTCCAGAGTTTGTCCCCGGCCAACCCGTTGCTACAAGAAGGTAGGTCTTCTCCAACTCCTAGGGTCGTCGCGGAATCAACAATACTAACTAATATTCCAGTTCCGAACCTCATCCCCAAGCGCAGACATCTTCGAGATCGCGGAATCGACGGAAACCGAAGAAGACTAGGGTAGAGGTACCGAAGTCCACCGCCTCCGAACTCTGGCAACGAATACAGGAGGATATTAGCAATTTCAACTACGAATGCCGAGTCTGCACCGAAGAGATCACTCGGGAATGCAAAGTTTGGTCGTGTACTACCTGCTGGACCGTTGTCCATCTGAACTGTGCTCAAGAATGGTACGATAGCTCCATGAAGATCGACAACAGCTCAGGCGACCCAGTCTGGCGCTGCCCTGGCTGCAACTCGCACCTCTCCGAAGGACCCAACTCCTATCATTGTTGGTGCGGCAAAGAGACCAGTCCAAGCCAGACCAGCAACTTTCTGCCTCCACACTCTTGTGGACAGACATGCTCCAAACCGAAGTCGACCTGCCCTCATCCTTGTCCTCTTCAATGTCACGCCGGACCTTGTCCGCCTTGTGCAGTGTTGAGTCCACCAGAGCCCTGCTACTGTGGCAAACAAACGAATCGCAAGCCGTGCAGGGAAACTGACTATCACAATGGTTGGAGTTGTCAAGAGGCCTGTGGCGACTTCCTTTCTTGTGGAGAGCACATGTGCTCCCAACCCTGTCACCCAGGGCTCTGTGGAGATTGCCCCGTCCCGATTAGTGCGAAATGTTACTGCGGGAAGGTCGGCAAGGAGATGAAGTGCTCACAGCAAGACGACGTGTGCGACTCCTACGATCCGGCAAAGGACACTTGGTTCACAGGCTCCTTCAATTGTGGAAACACCTGTGGAAGAGCCTATGACTGCGGTGTTCATACGTGCGAAACATCTTGCCATGCTCAAGATGAGTTACCAGCACACTGCCCCTTGGCCCCGGATGTGGTAACCCATTGTCCCTGTGGGAAGACCCTACTCGAAGATCTCATGGACCACCCGAGAGGGTCTTGTGAGGACGAAATTTCCCACTGCGACAAACCGTGTCAGAGGCTTCTCCCATGCGGTCATCTCTGCACCTCTCTGTGCCATATTGGTGACTGTAGCCCATGCGGCGAGATTATGGACATTGATTGCCGCTGCGGTCGAGTCACAAACGAGACTATCTGCCACCAAGGTGACGTGCAGAATCCGCTGTGCTTCAAAGTTTGCCAGGCAACGAGGAACTGTGGACGTCACCGATGTGGCGAGCGTTGTTGCTCCGGTGACAAGAAGGCGCAACAAAGGATTGCTCAACAGAAAAAGAAACGCTCAGGTGTTGACTCCATTCCCGTTGAGGCAGAGCATATTTGCCTTCAGGTCTGTGGTCGACCCCTGAAATGCGGCAGCCACGCATGCGAGAAGCTCTGCCATCGCGGACCCTGCTCGACTTGCCCAGAAGCTGTCTGGGAAGAAATTAGCTGCAGTTGTGGCACAACTGTTCTGCAACCACCTCAGCCTTGTGGAACTCGACAACCATATTGCACGTCAAAGTGTAGACGACATCCAGCTTGTGGGCATCCAACGGTTGACCACCAATGTCATTCTGACGATGTTGAGTGTCCTCCGTGCCCCTATCTGACTGAAAAGACTTGCGCTTGTGGAAAAAAGACGTTCGCCAACAAGCCATGCCATCTTCAGCTTGCCCATTGTGGGGAGGCTTGTGGACAAAAGCTCCAGTGCGGGTAAGCAACTTTCTAAGAACGGTTGAAGATAAGAGTGCTGACACATTTCTAGACTTCATGCATGCCGAAAGCTCTGCCATCGTCCTGGCGAGTGCGGCGACGCTCAGAATGGCTGCGAGCAGGTTTGCGGAAAGACGAAACTCTTCTGCAACCATACCTGCCAGAATGTCTGCCACGGCCAAACTCGTAAGTACTACTTCATTCTTATCAATGTCTGGGTGAATTCTTTCGCTAATATTCAACTCTAGCCTGTAACGAGTCAAACGCATGCCAGATGAAGATGTTCGTCGCATGCCCCTGCGGTAATCGTAAGAAGGAGTTCAAATGCCTGGCCGGCTCATTGAACCCAGAGCCAGTACGACCAGAGCAAAAGTGCGACGAGGAGTGCGAGCGTCTTGACCGTAACCGCCGTCTTGCTGCTGCCCTCAACATCGACCCTGCCACGCACACCAACGACCATGTTCCCTTCTCCGACAACACCCTTAAGCTCTATAAGGAGTTTACTACCTGGGGCGACCGCCAAGAGAGCGAGTTTCGCGTTTTCGCGGCGAACCAGGAGGAGGTCCGCCTACGATACGAGCCCATGCGTAACCAGTCGCGCCAGTTTCTTCACCTCCTTGCCGAGGACTTTGGCCTAGAGAGTAAGAGCGATGACTACGATACCCAACGGGCTGTGGTCGTGTGGAAGACGGAGCGCTTCGTCTCGGCCCCGTCCAAGACTCTCGCCCAGTGCGTCAAGATCCGAGCCGCCCAGGCTGCCCAGGCCGCAGCAGAAGCGGCCATCCGGCCCCCGAGTCCTCCGGCAATGGGGAACGAACCCTTCAACGGCTTCGTCCTCACTACGCCCCGCTTCGGTATCACCATTGAAGAGATTACAGCCGGCCTAGAGACGGACCTCGCTACGCTTCCATCCTTCCAGTTCAAGACCGAATTCACCACCCACATCGAGCCCAATGATGAAGTCTTCATCAAGGCTACGGCACAGTACGCTGCCTTCCTAACCTCCTCCTCTGTCGAGACGAGCCTTACGAGTCTCAAGCCCCGCCTCGAACAGACGCTGAGCCGAGACAAACTCGCGGAGGGTATCTTGCTTTGCCATATCGATACTAGCGGGGCTGTCACCCGTCGCGAGGCGCCCCGCCGTCCCGGCGCAGGCGGATGGAGTGCTGTTGCCGGTCGCGCGGCCTCGTGGAGGACCACTTCCGCCGCGGAAGATGAGGCTAGCAAGGCACCCGGGCGCCGCTTTGTCGGCTTGAGGAAGAAGAAGCCCCAACAACCCGAGGCGGGCAAGGTATGGGCAGCGCTAGATGGGGATGTAGAGTGCTAGATGGTGTTATGATGGAACGAAGATGCATTGCATGACTTGGCACCGCATCCCAGATTGGCCCATTGTAAATACATAGATTCCGAGTCATGCGCGCATAAACGACCCTAGGCTAGGGAAGATAACATGGTTTAACGTCAGTGTTTTATTCGTTGGTTTGCATTGATATTGGAGATAGAAGTCAAGCAGCTTCCGAGACGATGATCCTTGCCTCTATGCGCAGGACGTCTCTATGATCAGATGAGCAAGGTCGTATCGGGGGCGAACCTAGATCGTGACGACACAGGTTGAGAGCACTTGTCGCAGTGCCAAGCCCGGATAAAAATCGACGGCATTTGTGTCTGAGACAGGATGTCACTTTGATGCTGATTGTCGATATCACGAGGCACACCTCGCGATAGCGAGGTTGGATCACATGGGAAGTTCCGCCACCAGTCCTGAGACAACCACACACACGCAAACACATAAACGAGGGCACCAAGTTTTGGATTAATCATAGTCTCATCATTTTTCTATCTCTGGTTCTGGCTTTATGCCGGGGTCTGTATGTATGTACAGTATGCAAAATGTGGAGGGCGTTGGAGGCCCTATGGGAAAGGCGGGGGTATCATTCAATCATAGGGTGTCCATGCGATTCCCGGCCGGGATTCAAGGCTCTATGTGTATCTGGATCACGTCCCATTCTATAAGCGAGTTTGCTCTCGTGGCTTCTCGCTTGTCACTTCGGCAACAAAGTCGGCCACGGCCTCGAAATACCCTTCCTCAAGGACGCTCGAGTTGTGATCGCCGGCGGGCAGGGGCTTCCACCGCTTGAAGGGGGCTTTGGAAATCTCGAAGAGCTGGCGCATGTGCTTTGGTCTGCAGAGTATTAGTCTGGAATTCGCCACGTAGAGAAGTCAGGAAGAAGGGTTGAATGGATCGGTCAGAGGACATTCGGGTTTCAAATCAGGACCACAAGTGGTCTCATATTTTGTGGGTGATGCAATTTGATCATCATAAGATCGGGGGAAGAATAAAGGAAACAACGGGGTAGACTCACGGTACAATCTCGTCCTGCAAGCCGCTGATGAAGAGGGTTGGCACCTTGTTGATGTTCGGCAATGTCGACTCACTGGGCCAGACCTGGTGGCAAAGTAGGGTAAGATACTTGGCCGGGGGCACCACGGAAGGGATGAGCTTCCGGATGGAAAGGAACGTATTTTCAAGGATCAAACCGGCAATGTCTCCAGCTTCCTGGTTCTTAGCCACGAGCTTGACGCTGACGGCGCCGCCAAGGCTCTGGCCGTAGACGATGAGCTTGTGGTCTCGTGTCTCGGCACGCTGGCGCAGATAGTTGAGACCGGTCTGGGCGTCCATGTTCAAGCCCGACTCGTCAGGCTCGCCAGTGGAGGCGCCATAGCCCCGATACTCGAGCATGAAGACGTTGCACCCAATGTAGTTGATGATCATGCGAGCAATGGGCAATCGGTGGCCGATATTTCCCGCATTGCCGTGGAACATCAATATGGTGACATTGGAGTTCCGACCGCCACGCGGGCCGCGGATGTAGTAGGCTGAGAGCTTCTCGCCATCGTCGGTCGGGATGACCAGCTCCTCAAAATCTTTGAGAGAATAGTCAGAAGGTTTGGGAATGTCGGTTCGAGAATTTGCGGGAATGTGGCTCGGATAAATCAATGCCCTAATGCAGGGAAAGGCTGGTTAGCGGGTCGCCAAGCGGGTCGCGTTGCGAAGCGTGGAGGACAGAGACACGATGGGGATGGAAAGACGCGGAGGGAGACGGACTTTTGCTTGAAGTACAGCAGAGACGTGAGGACGGCGGCGATGCCCTGTATGCGCATGGCTTGGTCAGCTTTGGGGAACCGGGACTAGAACTGGCAACTGGCTGCATCCCGGTGGATGCTGGGGCCAGGTGGGAGGCCAGATGAGGTGGCATTGCGCTGTGCTTTTGCTTGCAGTTGTGCCTTGTGAGCAGCCAGGCTGACGTACCGTTGAAGCCAGTGCAGGCAGACGCATGTAGCTGGCGACGGAGCTGAGGAGCGAGACGGTCTGCTCCAGATAGCTGGTGGAAGGGGAGGAAGGAGGAGAGTTGGAAGAGGACATGGTTGAGCGATCCGTTTTGCTGGGCATCTATTACAGCTAGGGGGGGGTGGTAGCGAGGCCGAAAGTGCGGTGACGGCCTAGGCAAGGCCCGGCTGACCGACGAGGAAACGGACAGAGGATGGAAAGGGGATCACAAAGAAATGAGACGGAACCAGCCCAGCAGCAAAAGCAATGTCTCGCAGTGGCGGCAGCGGGGATCCGGGGACAGGAACCAACTCCACGGGGCCGATTGAGGCGGCGTGTCAGGTGTCGAGATGTCCGAGCGAATGGATGACGGGCAGGTCATGGAGTTGGCAGGTTGGCAGCTGGGCGCTGTGACGTGGGAGCGCGTCCTCTGGCTCCTCGGATCGGGGCCAACACGCTCGGGAGGTGCAGAAGACGAGAGGTCGGAACGTGGCAAGCGGAGATCGGGAGACGTCAAAGTCGATAGTCTCCGGGCGCGGCCGCGAATGCGAGCATCAAATGTCACTGGTGCACGGAAGATGGCTTGCTGGTCTTGGGACCCGTGCCGTATCTGTTCTCGGGAGCGATTCCGTTTAAGGTACCATTATGCAGGACGAAGGGGCCGGTTTGAGGGTCGACAGAGCCGAGGCAGGCTGAGAGGGCGAAAGCGCGTGGGATGGGATGATGGTGCGGAGAGCACGCGGAAGAGGGACGGCGCGAAGGAGACCAGACCAGGGAGTAGGTACCTAGGTAGGTATGGAGTAGGGAGCAGGGAATAGAGATGGTCCCTTGCAGCGGCCGGCGAGGGTGAGTGAGTAGTGGTGGTGAAGGTAGTGATAGTGATGGTGAAGGAGGACGATGGGATGGAAGACGACGTCGGTTTTGTTCTACTAGGCGGATAATAGTCGACAATGGTAGGTACCTGAGGTAGCTCAACTCAACGGATCAATTGATGAGTCGGCTTACCTCACCTCGCAATAACGTGCTCTCAATAGTGCTTCATCTCCAGCTCGGTTACCTTAGTTAGGTACCTAGGTATTCTCACTGGTGGTAGGTGCTGAAGCTCTCAACCTCAGCACTCAGCACTGAGCGCTCATAGAGACCTCGCGCACTTTCTCCAGAGCACGGAGACGCACACCAGACACTGACCAGTGGTGGAGCCGCATGATTCCCTCTCCACCGAGCTGAGATGATGGTACATGGGTGATGCGCATGAGAGGTATACTCCCGCCTCCACTGGCAGAGGGGATACATCGGAGACAAACACTCCAATGTACTAGGTCACCATCAAATCAAATGAAACCGCACGCCAACAAGCGAAACTCCTTCATCGCCATCGCATTAAAAACGCAGGGGAGCTTGCGGATAATGGGAATGGGCGTTTGTCAAAACAAAAGGGAACACTCGAGGGAAACAAAAGAAAGCAAATCAACCGGAATCAAATCAAACCGTATCAACGCGCAATTCCAGAGCTTATGCATTGCCAGCACACACAGACATACCCAGGGCCGCTCACACAGTTGGGACCTGCAGTCAGTCTACTGCGCTGTTTTGATTGACTCTAGCGCAATTGGCCGTAGACGAGACAGTGACGGCACCTAGCTCAGCGCCAGGACGAGCGTCATATCATGCCGGTGGAAATGAAGCCAACGCCATAACCCCGATTAGGAAGCTTCTACGCGCGACCAGCTCCTTGGCGACTCTGTCAGCGAAGGCGCATGACCACAGGTCAAGGGGTCCTGCTACGTAAGAGGGGCATCCAGTAGCACCGAGATGGGAGGTAATTAATCCTATTTATGATGGCGAGCCCAGCCGTTCTCCCGGGGAAGATCTGACGCCACGATGCTGACGATGGCTTTGCACGTGTGCTCCCTGTAACGAGGTGTGCCCCTTGCCGAAGCCGTCCTGCCTACGTAACACTCTCCTGGGAGGCGATTCCGGAGCTGATGACGATGTCGTTTGACAAGACGAGCTTTGGCCAATTCGGTTTCGTCAAGGTGGCTGTAGCTATGCAACATGCAATATACCTACGTACTACGGCGCTGATTCTATTTCTGACGTTGGCCCGCGTCGGCCACTCGGGGACCTGCATAAGAGCCAGGACGACTTACCCCAAAGTTTAGTGGGCTAGTACAACCAACACCTCGGGAAGCCCAGCTTGGAGACCAACAAGCAACCACTCTAGCGAAGAATGTGGCTGTACGAGACGGGCGCCTCCTCCGCCAGGGGACACAGACCCAAGCGGATGGAGGGGGAAGCTTTGGAGAATACTGGTCCGCACATAGCTCCCCTGGGCTGGGAAGCGTGTCATTCGTCGAGATGGTCGCGGAATCCAAAATCAGATATCCAAATCAGCCCTAAGTTAGGTGGGTGTCTGAGCATTTCCCGAATGGCATACAATAGCCTCCGGGCCGTCTCTGGTCTGTTGTCTCGTCCCGTTTGTCTCACCCGCTCTTCTCGCCCGCTCTCTTCCACGGCCGGAGGGGCTGACGAATGCATTCCACAGCTTTGTGACGAGCCGCAGCAGAAAGTTAGAATGTCCCAAGACGCCCCCGTTGAACCAGGGATGTCCCCTGAAACCCGCCTCACATTGCTTTCCGAACCTACCGCACGTTTGTTCTAGTCGCCCTCCTACGGCGGGCACGAGACCTGTTGGTAACGACGCCCATTCGACGGCCGGCTGCAGGGTGAGATGAGGATGAGGCGAGGCGATCGATCCATGGCTGGCGGCGCATGGGGCGAGCGGAAAATGAGGGAGAAAATCACAAATCAGACGAGCTATCTGGCCAGCCTCGCCGCAGATCTGGCGCCGTCGAGGCTGTTATCTTGGAAGTGGGGTTGGCTTTGGTGGACTGTGGGCATCCAAGCTATCATGGACGCTTTTCTTCTTCTTCTTCTCTCGAGGAAACTTGGAGGCAGAGGAATGTGTGCTAAGATCCCAGGGATGGTGTACTAAAAGTCTAAGAATGGGATATATGCACTAAGAGCTAACGGATGGGATGCAAGGGCGCAGTTGAAATCCCTCCCAATCAAGGTCTGTGGATGCGCGTTAGACGCGCCGGCACGACTCGTCGAAGCGCACCTGAGTGTCTGCGTCCCAGGTATCGACTGTGGTTGGCTCGAAGCGATAGAGATGCTGTTGGCGATGGAGGGTATCAATCTCTCAGAGGGTGGTCGGCGGTTACTGAGGGAGACCCTAGGAAGCAGGATGCGACCACAGCTGCCCAATCCCCTGCAGCCAAGCTCTCTTCCAACGTCCCATTGCCCCATCAGATCGTTGACAAGAAGCCTTACCCTGACCCTGGGCAGCGATTTTTTTTCTTTTGTCTCTATCGCCCCGCAAGCAGCGCGAACAATGTTGACGACCCAGTGAGAGCGAGCTTAGTGAGGCTAGGCCTGCAGTAGAGCGTTGCCAGAAGTGGGAATAGTTCAAGGTCCAGCGGCCCAGCACGCGCTCTGGTGGTGGTGGTGGGCTGCACGGCAGGCTCTTTGGGCACCTCTGGAGCGGCGATCAGCCATTCAGCTGCGAAACATGCACCACGACGCGCGTGTTGTTGACGCCAAACGGCAGCAGCTCAGCCAGAACCGGGAGTTGGGAGCCCATCCGCGTCCGCATCCATCCGCATCCCCATCCCACGGAACCAGGAGTCCCAGGAGGAGGTGCATACGGAGGGAGCAAAACCACGGGGTAAGACACGAGCGCTCTGTTAAACACCCTGCAGACACCCTGTAGCCACCCTGTAGACACCCTGTAACAACCCATGGCTCCATGATGGCTCCCGTCTGACCTGACCCCTCTGACCCCTCTGACCCCTCGGACGTGGGACGTGAGACACCACCTCCAACACGCAGCGCTCATCAGCCCATGCGTCTCCCGCTCCGTGTGACCCCCGCGGCATTGAGGCATGTCCTGCCGTGGTGCCATCCAGCCAATGATGACGCCGCCTCAGCCGAGTTTGGGGATTGCGCCTGGGGAGCGACGTACCCCCGTAGCGTGTCAAGCGTGTTACGCCGTTGCTGGGGTGGGTTGTGTGTTGTCCAGGGCCCTACCCGGCGGTGGTGGGCACTGGTGGCGTCGCCGTAGCGGTGGGATGGGTCCGATAGCAGCCCATCGTAGCCCCGTTGCAGCCCATCGTCGCCCGGAAGAGTGCTGTTGCAGCGTCTGATAGGGCGGGCGCGCGCCCAGTTTGCCCAACCCAACCGGTGCTCTGGTCATTGCCTCACTGGGCTTTTGAGTTTTTTTCTTCTTCTTTCCCTGGGAAGGCCCTTGGTGTGCTTGGGTGTGCCGTTGCGCGCCGCTGCTGTTAGGTACATCACTGGGCTCTAGCTTGGTGCAGGTTTCATCTGGGCATCCACAAACAACGCCCAAAACCTCTCTCTCACACTTTTCGCCCACACACACAACGAGCGTCGCAATTTGAGCGACGACCCTCAGGTCTCCGGTATCTGGTCCTCTGAGTTTCTCGTTCCCCCCCCTCCAACTCTCTTCTTCCTCCTCCTCCATCCCTCAATGCTCACGCGTCATCTCCTTAATTAAAACCTTCCATCACACGCCCCCCTCGCGCTCACGCTATCCGCGCCTCCATCATCACGCTACAACCCACGACGAACTCGACAGCATCCAGCCAGCATCCCACCACGCCCGCAACATCCGCATCGCACCCGTGCCCGCCGCTCGCCGCTGACGGACGGACCCTGGCCATACCCTCCACCTGACTCTGGCGCTCATCTCACTCGGCCGCCCCTCCATCTGGGTTCTTGTTTGCTCCCCCTCGCTCGGCCGTCGACTCTATTCGTATTGTCAACTCCCGTTCTGAGACTGAAACGCATTCCTCCATCCTCAAAGGGACCCCTTGACTCCTTGCTTCGCCCTCCGTGCCGCCCCCAAGTGCCAAATTTACCTACTGTACCCGCTCCCGCACCTGTACCCGCACTCGCACTCGCAACAGCGCATCCTCTTTCAACAAAACAAAGCCAGGCTCCCCGCTGCAAGCACTTATCTTCTCTGCTCCTCTGCTCTGCATTCTGCATCGCCGGCCCCCGATTTATTTTCAACTGCCAGCGCCCCGTTCGCCGAATCGCAGCGCATCTATCTGCTGGTCATTGCGCCCTCCACTCAGCAACCTGCACTTCTGCATCCCTTCCCCAAAAGCATTGGACCTACTCCGTCAAATACCGCGAGCCACTCAGCTTCACCCAGCTTCACACTACCTCGCCAACAAGTGGCACCCAATCAGTGACAGCCCAGCGTCGTTGCCGCCATCATGGTATCTTTCTCATGTGAGGTACGTTACTCCCCTGCAACCCATTCATTCCTGTTGCTGTTTCTGGCGCCGACGCCGCTCTCTCCCTCTCCCTCCCTCCCTCCCCCGAATCCTCCAAATCTCCTCCCATAGCCCACCTCCAACCCTCCAACCCACCAAGAACCCACCCCCCAGACATCGCCCGCGCTTGACATCACCTACCACACCATCTTGTTGCGGACAGCCTCCTTCAAGGAACACCCCTTCCTCTGGTGCCGATCTGCTGGCCCACCAACTCTCTCCTTTCCGGGCTCCATCCTCTCATTGCCCTGTCCTTCAAATATCCTGGCACACCACCCCGCTTCGTCCGACCAGTCTCCATTGTCTTGCATCCCACTACATCTTCCATCATCTCTAACCTGTCCTCCTATAGGAGTGTGGTGACGTCCTCACCAAGAAGAAGCTCGATCCTCATCGAAACCGCTGCCGTAGCGCCACCTTCACCTGCATCGATTGTATGGTGCATTTCCCCGGCGTCCAATACCGATTCCATACTGTACGTATCACTCCGCGCAGAGGGGGATCGATCCTATCAATCCTCTTCACTTGCATCTCGCCTCTCGCCCCCTCTCTTCTGACATCATCCAGAGTTGCATGACCGAAGACCAGAAGTACCAAGGTGCTCTCTACAAGGACAAGTCGAAGAAGCCGAACAACAACAACAGCAACAACAACACCCCCAAGTACAACCACACCGCCACCAACAACAACGCCAACAATAACGCCAACAACAACAACGACGACATGGCTCACAACGCTTACGTCGAGGATTGCGGCGAAGACCGCGAGTACGACTGGGCCGAGTACGAAGGCCCGACCGAGGATGAGAAGTCTCCCTCTGAGCCTCCGCCAGAGGCACCCACTCCGCCTTCCGCCCACGAAGATCATGTTGATGTCTTTGAGTTCCTGGTAGCGACTGGACAGACCCCGAATGCGTCCAACATGAACCTCACTGGCGAACATGGACTACCAGATGCCGAGCATGGCAGCACTCTCGTACGATATGAGCCCCCCAAGGAGGCCCTCCTGGATCCTCTCGACCCCAACTCCTACATTGATGAGGATGCTCTCGTACAATATGGAGCTGCTCCTGTGCCCAGCGCTGAGTTCGTCACCCCGGCCCCAAAACACGTGCGACGCAAAAGCCGAGAGGGCAGCGAGAAGAAGGACAAGAAGCGCAAGCGTCTACACGTCGATGTCCCCACTGACCAGGAGATGACCGACGCTCCCCCACACTTGCACACTGGCCTTACTGGTGGCCTCAACCGCATGATGCGCCCCATCTTCCCCCCGTCCCCCGACTACTCCGGAGGTGACGCCCCCGAAGTCTCTCCCGCGAGCCCGTTGAAGAAGTCGAAGCACACAAAGCACTCCAAGCATGCGAAGCAAGGCCAAGTTACCAACAGCATCTTTGGCATGATTGCGGGGACGAAGACGAAGACCAAGGTCAAGACCAAGAGTAGCAAGACCAAGAAGCCCAAGTCGTCGTCGTCGTCGTCGAAGAAGCACAAGGAGAAGACCCCGCAGCTCATCGAGTACCGACCTCATTCTAAGGACGGCAAGGCTGAGAAGGACGAGGCGAGAGAGAGCCAGGTGATTCTCTACAAGCCTCGTGCAGACATGTTCCTCAGCTTTGTCACCAAGGGACCCGAGAGTGAGCGTGGGTGCAGCATGAACAAGGTGCTGAAGCGCTTCCACCGAGAGCGCCAAGCGAGTGGCGCCGAAACGGGCAAGGGCATGGAAGAGAAGGAACTCTGGCGATCGCTTCGACTACGCCAGAACGAGCGGGGTGAGATCGTCTTGTTTTCTGTGTAAACAAGGGCGCCAGACCCCGAAGGAAGAAACAACAGTGGGCAACCATGGCTACAACGGAACGGATATTATTAAAAGGGACAAAGGAGTTTGAGGTGATCGATACTTTGGAGCAACATTTCACGATACCTTGATGGACATGCTTTCATTCTGTGTACAGTTTGTTCGGGACGGATTGGATAGATGGGGCCCCGGCCGGCCTGTGGCCTGCGTCGACTGTGGTGAGGTTGGATCCCCTGGGAAGCCTGGGCATGTAATGCGGAATGTACACATAAGGGAGGGTTGGGATGGGGTTTGCTGGATGTCAGAACGGATGTTTTCTGTTGCTCGCCCTCGGATGATTTCCACGTTTTCTTTTTTTCTTTCTCTTTCAGACCATGTTTGGATTATGTTTGGGGATATGTGTATTGGAGAGTGAGGCACGGGTTGTGAGATATGGATACCATGGGAACTTGTTTCAGTTAGCTGGGCAGCGATTCTGTACCAGCACGTTAACTTGAGGGCAACATTTGATATTGTTCATTCTGTTACATTTCATTATTGACTGGTCTATACAAGTGACTGCTATATGACTACATGACGCGTAAGGGTAAAATATGCTGTGCCATGGCCTCGCGTCGGCACAATGGGCATTCGGGTTTCTCCCTGACCCAATCACCTATGCATTCCCAGCAAAAGACATGGCCGCATTGCGTTGCTGCGGGGTCCTTCATCTCGTCGAGACATAGCGTGCATTTTCGTTGTTGGCCACCCTTGATGAAGCCCATGACCTTGTCGTCGGTGAGCTCAAACCGGGGCGTCGTGGCGGCCGGCGTGTGCGTAGACGCGGCCAAGTCAATGCGTGCTTGGGTTCCTTGGCCACCCGAGAGCAGCAGGTCGTTGTTGTTATTATAGGAGCCGTCGTGGTCGAGGGAGACGTCGCCGGAGACAAAGGAGGCGCGTTCGCGTGGGGCGATGGCGTCGGCGAGGTTGGAGCTGACGTGCATGTAGCCCTGGACGCCGAGCTGGACGACGAGCAAGACGCCCAGCAGCTCATAGCCGGCGCGGTCGGGGGAGTCGGGGACGGTGCGGGTGAAGACGTAGCGGAAGGAGAGCAGGCGTTTGGCCAGCTCGTAGTAGGTGCCGCTGAAGTAGAAGAGGGCGAGCACGACGGCCTGGAAGGGCGAGGCCGAGGTTAGGGATGTCATGTGTCGGGAGACGTAGTCCCATATGCGGGCCTCGCGCGAGTCCGACTTGTCCTGGGAGCGTAGCGACGCGAGGCGACGCTCGAGCAGCTTGCGCAGGCGGGCGCGCAAACCTGGTAGGAGACGGCCCATGAGGTAGGGGAGGAGGATGGAGCCGGCGACATAGGCGGCACGGCGGTCGACGGCGGGGAGGCGGCCGTCGCGGGCGTCGACCTGGACGAGGTCGCAGTACTCCTCGCCGAGCGTGCGATTGCCCGGGAGCGTGGTGAGGACGTAGTAGAGGAGGGTCGCTGCGGTGCGGAGCTCCGGCGCGGCGGCGTGGGTTGCGCGGGCGCCGCGCAGCCGCCGGAAGAGGTCGCTGAGTTCTTGCGTCAGGCGGCCGGTGAAGTAGCTGTCTTTTTGATGCGCGCGGATGACATCGGGCGCGGTGGCGAAGGGGTAGGGGGAGGCGGTAGAGGAGGCCATCGCGAACGGTTCGGTTCGGGGGGGAGGTGTCGAGGAGGACGACGATAAGGCGCTCGGCCTGGAGGGTTGGAGGGGGGACCGCAGTAGATGCCGAGACCTGACGAGATTATGTATGTGGTGGTGTAGATGAATCGGGCCTTAGTTACCCCTTGCGTCGTGTATCGTGGTCGTCGTGCAAGTTGGTGATGGTGAAGATGGCGGGTTTCGGTCGTGACCGGGGTCGGCGGTTGGATTGAATCGAGCCTCGGGTCAATGTCCGGGAAGTTGGCCGGCGTCGGGCGGCACCTCCCATGTGCTAGCCGTGTGTCTGGGGTAATAAGACGGCGCTCACTGCCAAAGTCGGTCACTACGCGCCACCAATTGGCTAAAGCGATTGCATCCTAATGAGTTTCTAAAATCTAAAGTAGCCTCGGGTCTGTGGATATTATCCTGCTAAGATGGATTGCACTATTTTCATGTTTGTGAGCGCGGCTTCTTGTGACTGACACTCCCGATTATTAGTACGTAGCAAGCATTGCAGCTCGCCGCATGTACACCTATACGCTCATCTTAGTACTTACACAATCCTGTACAAAAACACACAAACTCCTACGCCGATGAGCCTTTATCATGTCCCTTCCCACATCCATCACGGTCCCAAAGTCGGATTCTGGTTGAAATCAAACGGCGCGTGAATCCCCTGCTCGGGAGCCTGAAGCTGTATGTTCAGAAACTCGTCCGTCACCAGCGTGCCCAGTTCCTCGTTCCACTGCGCCATCAGCTCCGCCGTCACGCCCTGGCCGAGCTCGAGACCGTTCATCAAGTCTGGCACGTTGAGCGGATCCTCGGGCGGCATCACCGCCTGGGCGTTGCGCGCCCTCACGATGTAGTCTTTGAGCTCGCCGACGCACGGCCACGTGTGCTGTACCTGCTCCATCGCGTCGAGGATCGTCGATAGGGAGCGCGCAATGTCCGAGTCGTCCCAGGACGCACACTGGAAGAACCGCTTCATCATGACGGTGCCTGCCGCCGTGGAGAGCGTCTGGACGAAGTCTAGCGATAGGGATCGGTAACGGTAGTGGCGCGAGTAGGTTCGCATCAGCCGCAGGATGGCCTGGAGTGATTCGTAACAAATCTCCACGTCTTCACTCTCAGCGATTCCTGGCTTCTCAAACATGTGGGATGGAGGCCGGTGGAGGATAATCATGACCGTGTGGAACAACATGCTTCAGCAGGTTAGCGAACACGCACGCCCCTGTCGGGAAGTTAACTTACTGCATACGGAGCACCGCTGGTTGCACAACGCCGACCGTCCATTGATTCCAATGCAGGGTTCCGGGAAGGCTGGATAGCCATTTGGTTAATGAGACATGAATCTGCCTCGACCTTGCTGCCGCCACCGTATCGTCTACGTTCCCTCTGCGGTTCTCAAACAACTCGGTGATCATGACATGAACGATCTTGCATAGTTCGGCTTGGTAGATGAAGGACCCTACGAGGGCGACGCCATCCTCAAATTCCGTTGCCGATGTGCCTTTACAGACGTAGGTATCAAGCAGGCCCTCCCAATCGGGCGGATACTGCAGCCGAATCGTGTTGCGGACGTCGGACTCGCTGGGATGTAGAGCTGGCGGCCTTCCAAAATACAGGCTTAGCTGCTTGTCGGCGATGAAGATGGCCCAGTAGACACGCCTCAAGATTTCTGTGTCGCGGACAGACAGCTCCGTTGCCCGATTTGAGGATTCAGCCGATGCATCCCAGTTGTTCGGGTCTAGATGGAGTCCCATTTCATGTGCTAATCTGAAGGCCATTCCGCAAAAGAGCCAACCCTTGGACGTATGCCCAACACCAATCTCACGGTATCCAAGAAGGGCCAGAGCTTGCAGGGTCGTGAGATCCGGGCTGTCCAGCATTGAGTAGATGAGCGTTTGGGACTGGTTTGCGAAGATGTCGGAGATGTTTCTGGAGTCGTCGAGCTGCATGGCACCAAGGGCGCAGATGGAAAAGAGCAGCGCATCTGAGTAGTATTTGCCCGAGCCTATGTCGTAGTCGCGCAGAAAATACTCCCTGTACACGAGCATGTGGAAGTGATACTGGTATTTGAAGTAGGCTGCCATGCACATCTGCGACGTCTCATCGTGAGGCGCATACATGAAGCTGTGGTCACTGGAGCTCATGACGCTGTTGTTCTCAGACAATCCCGAGCTGTTAAATGGAGGCGCGGTGCTCAATTCCAACGGGGAATTGCTGTCGCTAGGGGAGATGGATGCCTCGTGTGAGAGGTGGATGTGGAACGCGCTGGTGCCGCCAAAGAACTGCGTCGCATTGCTTGATCGCGGGCGTCTCAACTGCCCAGAGCGCACCTGAGCTGCGACAACCTTGGGGTCCGCGTTTGTCTTTTGTTCCAAGGCAGGCTTGGAGGATGAGAGGTCCGCCGAGTCCGGAGGTGAAAGGGCCAGCTCGGAGAGCATGTCGTCTCGCTCGGTGCTGTCAGCGACGGCGAGTTTGCGGATGAGCAGCTCCAGGGATGCGACCTGGCCCTCGAGAGCCTGCACATAGCCTTTGGATATAGGTCTTTGTTGCGTGTGATGAGCATTTGCGCGTCGACGGTTGAGAGAGAGAGACATCAGGTGTCTTACCGTTGCTTCTCACCACTCCCGCTGAGGATACACTCTGTGCCGGCCTTGACACAGCGCGAACAAGGTCGCTTGCGGTCACATTTGATCTAAACCACGGCGTCAACGCTGAAAGCGATCATCGACACAAAGCGGAAGTTGCACACCTTGCGGCGACGACATCGTTCACATCTGAGAACTCGGTCAGCCGCTGGTGGGGAATCATGCTATGAGAGGGGTTTACGCCGCGACTCACGATATCTTGATGGACTCGCCCAGGGGCGTCTGCGTGTCCTCCATGATGCCACGGTTGGCCAATCTGCACTTGGAAATGGGATTCTAGGTACTAAGTTATGGCGGAATGGATTAGCCAAAGTGGAGAGGAGCGGCGTTGTGTTTGATGTTGGAGACTGAGAGTCCAGACCGTTGCAAGTGCGCTAAATTGTCTCCTTTGGGAGGTGCGTCACTTGACATCTCCAACTAAATTTAGTTACCATGGTGCGACACCATGCAACCATCCTACCTTTGATACTCCTGAACCTCATTTCCACACAACGCAACACCACTGCATCACGAATTGAAGCTGGAACATCGAAGGGTGCTTATCCCATTGTCAAATTTATATCAACTCTTTTTGTATCTGATGGCAGAAATCCAAGTCCTGATGCTGACCCTGGTCGTCGCTAATCTGGACTCGGTAATCGGACAACGCCTGATCACATCAGCCTCAAGCATCCCAAGGCCGTAGCGCCCTTAAACAAGTTCGATTCCTGTGTCACCGCCTCAACCATGTCTTTGCCAACCGCATCCAATACCAGCATGTGTCCGGGTACATGCGCCATCACCGTTCCCGTCCCGTCAGTCCCGCTCTCATCACGGCCTCTCGTGGCGTGACACCGCAGCCTCAGAAAACCGGCACTTCTTCAGCGTCCTTGTTGCGCAACTCGCCCAGTCTTCGCCCGTCAAGTGTCACCGGAGAGTCTACCCACTCTGGGTCATCAATGTCCCTGATTCCTAGGGCTTTCAGAGCTTCCCAACCTCAGCATATGGGTTCTCCGTGCGTGCTGCTGTACTTTCTCGCAATGTTCCTGACCAGGTCGATGTTCTGTTTTCGATACGGCCGCATTGATACCACGTAAGTTCCCTCCTGGAAGACTCCGGAAGGACATAGAGGTATCTTTGTCCTGTACATGACGACGTTTCTATTTAACAGTGTGAATCACGACCAAAAAAACTTGCCGTTGTACTCTTGCATGCAACGCGACTCTGCCTCTCTTCACGCGCTATCATGCAGATGCTTTGCACCTTGACACGACTCCCGGGACGGGACGGTTGGTGATAACAGAGTTCTTGTTCTGTTGTCTAGCTTCAGCTTGATAGCTGATTAAGACTTATTTTACAAAAGACTGAGTCTTGTATACTATAGCAATAACAATAGCTGGTCTAGCTAGATATTGCTTTCTAATTACCCACCTAAACAGGGCACAGTGGAAGGACCATGTAGATAGCCAAGTCACCTATACAACACAGACTTTGGTTATATGGTGTTTAATCTGGTCCAGCATTACCGGTATTTCTCAAACTTTCTCTTCTGCGGCATAAAATGTGCCAAGTGTGTATTATACAAAAGATACGCTAGGAGTACATGGAGAGAGAAAAAAGAAAATGCCAGCGGTTTGGCGACGACGCAACACCAGAGTTCCCATCCCCATTCCAAGTCTATTGGTGCAGCTTCCTTTCTATTCCCCTCTACAATTCCCAAAACCCACCCCCATTAACATTGCTCCTCCATGCGAGACGGTGCCCCCCGTGCATGTGTGTGTGACTGTATTGTGTATATGCGTGGCTTGTGCCTAGAGTGTAGGAGCGAGTACGAGAGCAAGCACGCCTCTGTCTCCTTTAAATAGAGAGCCTCTCCTTCATAGCCAGTTGGGTCTTGACATAGACCTGGTCAGGGGTCGGGGTGGCATCGAGCTTGACCACCTTGCCCTCCTTCTCAAAGTAGTTGACGACGGGCATGCTGGTCTCGACAAAGGTGCGGAAGCGCTTACGGATGCTCTCGGCGTTATCATCGGAGCGGCCAGATGTCTCGCCACGCTTGAGGAGTCGCTTCTCCATCACCTCCTCGGGGCAGTCAAAGAAGAGAACCATCTTGGCGGGGCAGACAGTCTCCTCGAACTTGACGGCCTGGTCCATCTTGCGGGGGAAGCCGTCGACGAGGAAGCGGCCCTTGGTGGAGCCCGCCTTCTGGAGCGCCTCGGTCATGGCGTTCTCAAGCAGCTGGATCGTCACCTCCATGGGTACAATGAGGCCGTTCTTGATGTAGTCCTTGATGAGGTCGCCGAACTGGGAGCCAGGGCGCTCCTGCTCGGCGCGTAAAAGGTCACCGGCAGAAAGGTGGATGAAACCGTACTGCTCAACCAGCTTCGAGCACTGGGTGCCCTTGCCGGCACCGGGGCCGCCGAGAACGAAGACAACGGTGACATCGGCGGGGCTGAAAGTGGGCGTGGGCTTGGCGGGCTGGGGAAGCTGGCCAGCGACAGCTGGGGCATCGAGTTTTTGAGGCATCTCTGCGTTGAGGGTGGTTTTGTCAGTTACGTTGAAGCTTTTGCGGACATGTGAAATCAGGGGGTTTTAAGGAGGCGGGATGCGGTGAATAAGTGTCGTGGCAGGCCCTGGGAAAAAGGGAGGGGATGCCGAGACGCTTGGATCTCTCCATCGACTGATTCCTGGGGAGAACAAGCCAAATCGAGGCCAGCCAGGTAGGGGAGGGAGGGGAAAAGCGGGCAGAGGAGGCTCCTCACCTATGCGGCGGTTGACAAGGCCCATGTAACCGAGCGATCCCAGACCGATGACGGCGATAAACGGCCAGAATTTGACCTTGTCGTTGCGGGGAGACTGTGAGGAGTAGGATCGGCGGGTGGTTTGGCGGAGAGAGCGCGAGAAACCCAGCGAGGACGACGAGGATGAAGCTCGAGGCGAGGAGCGGGCGGCCGCGGCGGCGAGGCGCGCAGGGAGGAGGGGCATTCGGGCGGCCATCGTGACTGGATGACGTCGGCGTGAGACAGAAAGGAGCGTGAGAGAAGCAGGCGACCACACGGGGGGCGGTGATGGGCGCGAGCAGAGCAATTGGGCGAGGGAGAAGGGAGCGAAGGTGAAGTTGGAACGAGGATTGAAGAAGGGAAAAGGCCAACTGGGTCGGATCGAAGGCGCGGATGGAGCACTTATTTTCGGGGCCTGTTCAGGAGGTACCTGGGCTTAGAGCCACCTTTACAGCTAAGCTCGAGGTACCTTTGGCCTAGAAATGAATTGGACTAACATGCAATGGAAAGGAGACCAGGGAGCCACACGCGCTGTCACGTGAACTTGGTGACTTGGTGCAGCCAGGTACATCAGCTAATTACCTTACTTATTAATGGTGGATACAGAAGTTTTACCTACCTTACCTATATGGAGACGGAACAAGATTGCGGGTGGAACAGGAAGACGGTATGCATGCCGTAACTTATTAGCATGCACTACCTACGTAGGTAGTACTATAGATATACCCTAAAAGCTCGAATTATTAGTGTCTCTTGCCATCTTTTCGCGACTTCAGCCGGACATCCGCCTCCGCTCCCCCACTGAGCTCCATCTCCAGCCGTGTCCAGGTCCGTTTCTCCACAGCCAGCACTCTTTCACGGCCAAGTATTCCTCCAAAAGCGGATTTGGGGCCTCCGCTGTCGGTCGTCTCAGTGGTGGTGCTCCTCACAAAGGCGTCATGTCTGCGGCTCTTGCAGCGGGCGGTTCACAACGGTTCATGATTGCGGGGGGATCCCGAATCACGTAACAAATCTCCACGCTTCCACTTACTTCACGGAACTGCGGCCCCGAGTTCACGAAGCGCGCTTCAGCCTGGAGCGAGGGAAGCAAAGTATTTAATAACAGAATTTCCCGCCATACCCGGCTGGACCTCTTCAATTCAGACCCAACAGCCCAGGGATGACTGCCGGCAACAACAATGGCTGCTGACGATTCAACACCTCCCGCCTCAGCGGCCAACATCCGCATCGCCATTGATCGCGGCGGCACTTTCACAGACGTCCACGCCTCCGTGCCCGGCCGCCCCGACATCATCCTCAAGCTTCTCTCCGAAGACCCTTCCAACTACAAGGATGCTCCCACCGAAGGCATCCGCCGCATCCTGGAGCAGGTCACCGGGGACTCCCACCCGCGCGGTTCGCCGCTTGACTTGAGCCACATCGAGCACATCCGTATGGGCACCACCGTCGGCACAAACGCCCTCCTAGAACGCAAGGGAGCCCGCTCTGCTCTGCTGGTTACCAAAGGCTTCCGGGACCTGCTCAAGATTGGTAACCAGACCCGGCCCAACATCTTTGACTTGACTGCCAAGAGACCCAGCCTGCTGCACGAGGTGACAGTCGAGGTGGATGAGAGAGTCACCCTTGAGGCTTACACGGAGAATGCAACCCCCCAAGACATTGAAGTGTCGAGCGATGGTGAGCTGTGCTTGGGCGTCACAGGAGAAGTTGTCCGCGTGTTGCGCAAACCCGACATGGGTGCTGTCCAGACCGAGTTGCAGAAGATCTGGGATATGGGCATTCGCTCGCTGTCCGTCGTATTTTTGCACTCATACCTCTACCCCGACCATGAGCGGCTCGTGGGTGAAGCTGCCCGGAAGATTGGCTTCTCCGTCGTCGAGTCTTCGGCACTGCAGCCCATGATCAAAGTCGTCCCTCGCGGCATGTCCGCCACAGCCGACGCATACCTCACCCCAACCATCAAGAAGTACATCGACTCCGTCTCCAGCAACTTCACTGGCGGCCTGGGATCTGCCGGCTCACGGTGCGAGTTCATGCAGTCGGACGGCGGTCTGGTTGACTTCCGCAAGTTTAGCGGCTTGAAGAGCATTCTGTCCGGCCCGGCCGGTGGCGTCGTGGGTTATGCGCAAACCACCTGGGACGACGAGGAGAAGAAGCCCGTCATTGGCTTCGATATGGGAGGCACCTCTACCGACTGCTCGCGATTTTCCGGCACCTATGATCATGTGTTTGAGACCACAACTGCCGGAATCTCCATCCAGTCTCCCCAACTGGATATTAACACGTAAGTTACACTCCGCTTTACAAAAGATTGCATTGCTCACATCCCCCAAGAGTCGCTGCAGGCGGCGGTTCCATGCTATTCTGGAGAGGAGGTCTCTTTGTGGTCGGGCCTGAGTCCGCCGGTGCGCACCCTGGTCCAGCCTGCTATCGCAAGGGCGGCCCTCTTACCGTTACTGATGCGAACCTGTTCCTCGGTCGTATCAAGCCCGAGTACTTCCCCAAGATCTTTGGCCCCAACGAAGACGAGCCCCTGGGACTGGAGATTACCACTAAGAAGTTTGAGGAGTTGACCGCCAAGATCAATACCGATAACCGAGCAGATGGCAAGGCAGAGCTTTCGGCTCAGGCTGTTGCTCTTGGATTCCTCCGTGTTGCGGACGAGGTCATGGCCCGGCCTATTCGTGCCTTGACTGAGGCTCGAGGCTACGATACATCTGATCATCTCCTGGCATGCTTCGGAGGTGCTGGTGGACAGCACGCCTGCTCCCTAGCTAAGGCTCTTTCCATCTCACGAGTTGTTGTCCACAAGTTTTCGTCAATTCTCTCGGCGTATGGTCTCTCGCTGGCGGACGTGGTGCACGAGGCACAACGCCCAGGTGCCATTGCGTACGGAGAGTCTACCAAGAAGGAGACCGAGGCCATACTCGAGGAGCTCGCAAAAGAGGCCACCGAACAGCTTGTTAGCCAAGGCATCCCTGAGGACCAAGTTCGCTATGAACGATACCTCAATCTCCGATACGAAGGCTCAGCGACTTCTTTCATGATTCTCAAGGAGGGAGAGGGCGGAGAGGAGAGCGATTTCCAAGCTCTGTTCGAGAAGCGGCACATGCGAGAGTTTGGCTTCAAGTCTCCTGGAAAGAAGCTCTTGATCGACGACTTCCGAGTCCGAGGCGTTGGTTCTGCCGCGTCGCACCAGGGAGAGAGTCCCTATGTGCAACTCAAGAAGGTCACTCGAGTTGCTCCCCCATCTCGCAAGGAGACTGCGCAGGTGTGCTTTGATGCGTCGGCCGGCCGCGTTGACACTCCCGTCTATATTCTTAGCGAATTAGCTGCCGGTGTTCAGATCACCGGCCCTGCTCTCATCCTGGATAAGACGCTCACCATCCTCGTTGTCCCCGGCGGTACCGCAACTATTACCGACAGCTGCGTTGTGATAGACCTTGAGACTAGTGCCGCTTCTGGGACAACACCAGAGAAGGCCGTTGAGTCTAAAAAGGAGGTTTCGCCGATTCAACTCTCCATCTTTGGACACCGCTTCATGTCCATCGCGGAGCAAATGGGACGCACCCTGCAGAAGACTGCCGTTTCTACTAACATCAAGGAGCGCCTTGACTTCTCCTGCGCTCTTTTCTCCCCTGATGGCGGTCTCGTTGCCAACGCACCGCATGTGCCCGTTCACTTGGGGTCCATGCAGTTTGCTGTCAAGTACCAACACAACCGATGGAAGGGTCAACTTCAGGACGGAGACGTTCTCGTGTCAAATCACCCGTCCTGTGGCGGCACGCATTTGCCCGATATTACAGTCATCACTCCTGTTTTTGATGACAGAGGCGACATTGTGTTCTATGTGGCGTCGCGTGGTCACCATGCAGACATTGGTGGACTGCTGCCGGGATCTATGCCTCCTTCATCCAAGACCCTTGCGGAAGAGGGAGCCGCTATTGAGGCGGAGAAGCTGGTCACTCAGGGAGTCTTCAACGAGGAGCGGATTACCGAGTTGCTGCTTGTCGAGCCTGCGAAGCATCCTGGTTGCTCAGGCACGCGCTGCCTGGCCGACAACCTCTTCGACCTCAAGGCCCAGGTTGCGGCGAACAATAAGGGTGTACACCTTGTGCGCGCACTCATCGAAGAGAGTGGCCTCGAGACTGTCCAGACTTATATGTACGCCATCCAAGAGACTGCGGAGCGATCTGTGCGGGAGCTTTTGCAGAGGGTTCGCGAGCGATCATCAGGCGCGGCGTTGAAGGCGGTTGACTACATGGATGACGGTTCGTGCATCTCCCTGGCCGTTACCATCTCCGAGGATGGCTCTGCTACGTTTGACTTCAGCGGTACTGGACCCGAGGTTTACGGAAACACGAATGCGCCAGTAGCCATCACACACTCTGCCATCATCTACTCTCTGCGGTGCCTCATCCAGTCCGACGTTCCTCTCAACCAGGGATGCCTGTCCCCGATCACCATCAACATCCCTCCTTCCTCGCTGCTGGCACCGTCCAAGACAGCCAGCGTCGTGGGCGGGAACGTGCTCACGTCGCAGCGCATCACGGATGTAATCCTCAAGGCATTCCAGGCATGCGCAGATAGCCAAGGATGCATGAACAACCTCACGTTCGGCAAGGGCGGCAAGGATGCATCTGGCAACCACGTCCCCGGGTTCGGATACTACGAGACCATCGGCGGCGGCTCGGGAGCGGGCCCAACGTGGGAGGGCGAGAGCGGTGTTCACACGCACATGACCAACACGCGCATCACGGACCCGGAGGTATTCGAGAAGCGATACCCATGCCTGCTGCACCGGTTTGGGATCCGCAAAGGGTCCGGAGGCCGCGGGGCTCAGACGGGAGGAGACGGCATCGTACGAGACATCGAGTTCCGCGAGGACGGCATCAAAGTGAGCCTGCTGACGGAGCGACGATCCAGGGCGCCTCGGGGAGGGAATGGCGGCGAGGACGGCAGCATGGGCAAGAACATGCTGGTGACCCGAGATGAAGAGGGAGCGGCCAAGATCATCAGCCTCGGCGGCAAGGCAACGGTGGAAGTGGGCAAGGGAGACCGCGTGGTGATCGAGACTCCCGGAGGCGGAGGTTGGGGTTCCAAGACAGAGTGAGCATCACTGCGAGTGTGTATCAGCGTGAGGATGAAGATGGGAATAAGAGAGGCCGAGAGCCAGAGACAAAAGAGTTAGAACTGTGAATGATGAGGATGATGATGTCGGAGAATAGATGTGCTGCAGGGTCGAATACACAACCACAGGGAGGCCATGGCGACGTCGAGGGCTATTCCAAAGGCACACCCCATCTGGTCATGATGTACTGTACTGTTCAATTCGCTGCGATTAGATAGGAATGATTGGCAATCAGCAAGATCTGAGACTATTAAGAAGAAATGAATGCTCTCCCAAATCAACGCAATCCCCTGTAACGCATGGCGCCCCAGCAGCCACGACAAGCGGCAACCGGCACAACCAACGCCACCAACTCAGGGAGGGACCCCCTGTAACTTGCGTAGTACTTCGTAGTACTTCGTAGGTAGGAAGGAATTACTGGGAATTGAGGGCGCGAGAGTGCCTGCAAGGCTCAATCAACCCCGGCGTCCTTTTAGGCGGGTAGTGTGTGGCAGGGCGGCAGGATGGAGAGGAGGATTCTGTACTCCGTACTCTGCAATGGATCGGCCATGTCCCTTGGGTAGGACAAGGCAAACATGATGCATAGAACAGGTCTGGACCAGCAGGCAAGGAAAATCAGGGCACACGGGGGCTGGGCATCATTAAATTTGGGTATGGATGCTGCCATAAATTGGCCTGAATCATCCATCCAAAGATGTGGCCTATCCGGGGTCTGGAACGTACGTACGCGCCTCGTGTGGTATGTACGACGACGTACTTACGCGTGTGCAATGGAATGTATGAGTGTGAATGGATCCAGCTCCCTGCTCCCTGCTCCCTGTGAAATGCTCCCTGTTCAATCGGGTCTGGCGTTGACACGGGTGAATCAATCACCCCCGTAGTACAAGCGGCAGGCCTCGTATCAAAGACACGACAACATCCAATCCTGGGACACGAAGCACACAGCACAAAGCACACGCTATGCAATCAATCCGGTTGTTGGTGGGCTGCCGAGTCTCTAGTACGATTTCATTGTGGAGAAATATTCAATAGCGCTCAATGGTCTTGTCTTGGGCTCTTTTCGCACTAGGACGACTCCATACCGAACGATAGTCGAGCTTAGCTCTCTGCATCACCGACTCGGCTCGCGTAGGCCCTCACTTTTTCCCTTGTGTGCCCTGAATGATGCCATGAATTCCCCAGCATTCGCTTGTATGCACCTGGCCATTCTCATGTTGGGTTTTGCTTTGTGGCTGGCGTTGGATTGTTGGTCCCTCCCGGAACTTGTTTATTCTCATCCTCTCTCCTCCACTCTCGAGTCTAATGACACCAGCCGAACTCGACTATACTAAGACATGGCAGCTCAGTATGGAACCGCGTCACTGACTTAGTGCCAGCGCCACCTTTATCTTTTCCACCCCCTTTTTCATCCCTTCGCGTGCCTCTACATCTCGCGCGTCGCTTCAATTCAGAAAGATTCCATGAGATTCAAAAGAGACGAGTGAATGTGAGAGAGAGGGGAGAACCAGTGTATGCGAGCTATTCAGTTGGCCCTCGCCTACAACTTCAACCATGGCTGCCTCTGATTCTAATTCCACGCCAGTGTCCTCGATCGACGTCGAGCTCAAGGCCTATGATCCCACAGAGCGACTGCTTGGCGCAGACGACTCAGATAATAGCCTCGACTCCAGCTCCATTGCATCCGACGACTTCCACTCCGAGAGCATTGCCAAAACAGCCCGCCCAAGTCCAAGGCGCAATCGCCTTTTATGGATCGTATTGACCACAGTTATAGCATTGGCATTGCTCGCTTTCGGATTCGTGCTAGGCGTGTCCTTTGGCCTAAGAAAGGTGAGCTGCTACCTTTTGGGTGAGTTGCTACACTCACTCTAACACCATCAACAGAGCAACGACGGCCTCGACAATGGTCTAGGCTTCAATAGTACTCTCGGTGATGGCGGCTTCAACAGTACCCTTGGCGACGGCGGCCTAGACGATGACACACATGATGATACCCAGGATGACCCTCATGACGACACTCATGACGACACTCATGATGGCCTCGACGATCAAGTCGACGATGAAGTCGACGACGGCCTTGGCCCCGGCCCAACCGTCGATCTGGACTACTCTCGATACAAGGGCAACTACATTTCCAATGGCATCCACGAATTCGTCGGGATGCGTTACGCCAGACCTCCCACGGGCGACCTTCGATGGCGAGCCCCCGTCAACCCGGAACACACCACCGAAACACAGAGCGCGAAGAAGGTAAGTCGTTCTCACTAAGCCGCCGGATCTCTTACACAGAGCTCACACTCGTCCAGTTCCGCACTATTTGCTTAGCCACCAACCACAAACTCGGCGGAACCGTATCGGGCGAGGACTGTCTCTTCGTGAACGTATGGAGCCCAAACGTCACGGCAGACGCGAAGCTCCCTGTCATGGTCTTCATCCAGGGCGGTGGTAAGACCTCTCTCTATGCCGACGAGTCCATCGCTCTTTTGTTACTAACTCTCTCTCTCTCGCGTAGGCTACACGTTGCTCGCGAGGCCATGGATCAACGGCTCGGAAATCATTGAGACGTCGGGCCAGAACATGGTCTTGGTCACGTTCCACTACCGTACCGGCCTCTTTGGCTTCCTCGCCGGAGCCGATGTCAAGAACGACGGCAACCTCAACGCCGGTCTTTTGGATCAACGCTTTGTCTTTGAGTGGGTGCAGAGACACATCTCAAAGGTACGCGCAGTGCTATCCATGACACTCTTTCAATCAACCCCCCCCCCCCCCTGAGCCATCAAGAAACAACTAACCCTTCCTGCTAGTTTGGTGGTGATCCCAACCACGTCGTCATCCAAGGCTCTTCGGCCGGTGGTGGCTCCGTAGCCCTCCAACTGGCCGCGAACGGAGGCCGCGATGACGGCCTGTTCATCGGCGCCATCATGGAATCCCCCTTTCTCCCCAGCCAGCGCAGCATTTCGGATCTCGAGTTCCAGTACGACCACGTCGTGTCAAGCGCAGGTTGCAACGACGCCGCCAACAAGATTCAATGCCTCCGCGGAAAGACGCTGGAGGAGCTCCAGGGCATCAACCTCTCGTGGGAATTGCCCGGCCGCACCAACAAGCCCTTGTTCTACTTCGGGCCTTGCACCGATGGGGAGTTTCTGCGCGATACGCCGTATGCCATGTACGACCGAGGAGCTTTTGTCAAGGTGCCCGTCCTGATCGGACATTGCACAGATGGTATGTCTCTATCCCAGTAACACCTTCATTCGTACATACCTACGTATAGTCACTTACCCGATACTTGTCACTAGAGGGATCCGTCTTCGCCACAAACGCCTCCAACACCCTCGAGTTCGTCGACTTCATGCAGGACAACTATCCCGGCCTCACCGTCGACAGCACCAACGCCATGCTTGAGCACTATCCCCTCGAGGACTCTCTCCCTAAACACGCCTCCTGGTTCCCCTCGGCTTCGCGTGCCTTTGGCGAAGCCACCTTCATCTGCCCAGCCAACAACTTCCTCAACGCCTTCGCCGCCGCCAACGCTCCCTCCGCCAACGCTGCAAACATCTTCTCCTACCGCTACAACCTCCGTGACAAGGGGTCCATGGATAACGGCCTCGGCGTCAAGCACCTCTTCAACGGCCCTGCCGTCTTTGGCGCCAAGGATAATCCCCACGCCCCCAGCTTCACCACCTACAACGCCCCCATCATTCCCATCGCCATGAAATATTGGATCAGCTTCGTCCGCGCTCTCGACCCTAACCCCTACCGAGACAGCGCTGCTCCTCAATGGCTCCCCTGGGGCCAGACTCGAAGCCGTATGGTTCTCCAGCTCCACGACTCTGGCTCTGCCATGGAGGCCGTCTCCCAGAATGAGACGGAACGCTGCGACTTTTGGCATGGCCTAAGTAGGGTAATACATCAGTAATCGTGATGCTCATGGCGGATATACGATAACGTTTTCAGGGTACATAGACATGGTAGTTTAATCTTTTTTGCCTCTTTCAACTTCCAACCGGATCCGTCGTCTTATTTAATTGCGCGTGCTTATATGTTGACATCGACCTGCCTCTGTCTCTCAACCGACCAACAAGCTGATTCAATTTTCAAAAATAAACCTTTCACGTCGTTTAGCATTCTATTTTTCAATTGACTCGCTCTAATGTCTACATAAGCCGCAGGATTCCATTACTACTCCGATGCTAACAACGGACAATAATTAACCCTCTTGACCGCCACTAACTTAATACATGCCATGGTTCGCGTTTTCAAGACATACCGTACTGATTGTCTTCATTACAAATAAGCTGATCCAGAATAGAGCCCAAAATGACTCTACTGACCAACAACACTCAGTCTTCCCCGCTCGAGTGCGAAGACCGATCCAAGGTCCTCCTCACACATGATCGCACAGCGCGTTTCGCCTCAAACGCCCACCGTCGGACCCGTCGATGCCGCTTGCCCAGTCGAAGTGAGCTTGCGTGACCTCGCTTGTGACCCACGGTTCCATGTCTACCCAATGGCTTATCACCACATACGTTGGGCGATGATGAGCTTCCATGGCTTCCAGACGAGTCTGAATCTTGTCTGGACTTCCTAGGTTTGGGCGGAGGAAACCCAGGGACTCGGAGTCGAAGCAGTGACACCTTCTGCCGCAAGCCGCGTCGATTCCCGGTTGACTCTGCTTTATGAACTAGTTGTTGGTTATTTCCGTCCCCCACATCTCGCCTTTGCTTGATTGTTGAATTTCCCCCTTTACTAGGCGACGCAGGGTAAGGGATATCGAACTGATCCGATGGTTTGGGAGAAGGCTCAATTCCGTTTCCTTCATGAATCGCTTTCAATCCACCTTTTTCGAGCCCAGGACGTGTCTCCTTGTCGAAGCACACTTCTTCAAGGCTGCAGCGGCTCGTAAATAGATTCTTCTTTGGGCGGCGACCCAGATCCGACAAAGAGCTGCATTGTTTCAACGCTTGGTTTCGTATAACTGTTCCGTGTTGGACGGCTGGTTTATCTTGACCCAGGTGAGTGCGGGATATCTTGAGCTTGAGTCTTGGTTTTTGGTAGTCATTTGACCCTCCCGAGATTGCCTTAAGGCCTGTGGTCGCTTGCCCTTCCATGTTGGGAGGACGGGATGACTTCATCCGAATCTTGAATTTCGACGACCTTGTTCGACAATTGGCCTTTGATGACTCCGGACCATTCTCGTCAGAGACAACTTTTGGGGCTAAGAAGCTGGGGCTTTCTTCGCACTTAAAGTGTATCAGAGATTTTGTTGGGCTGGTAAAGAGAAGCCCTGTTGAGACCTCTGGTTCTGTCAACAAGCTCTCACAGGGTGATTCACACCGTTGCTGTGCTTCTTGGGGCAACGGAGGCAGCGCTTTCATCAACTGAGGGATGCTGTTCGTCAGCTTCAACTGTTGTGCAGGTGAGATTGGGTTCGGTGATAGGATGGGAGTGTCCGCCTTTGAAACTGAATGGGCCAGGTTGAGATTTATAGTAGCTGATTCCAGAGTGTCGGGAGACTTGATGACAGCAGCTGCTGGGTTCCGTCGGTGTTTTCCCAATGGCCGTTCTCCTCTTGACTCGGCGGCGTATCTTTGTGTCTGAGATGGGTGGTTTGGGAACAGTGCGTGAGTTTCTGGCAGTTCGCCCCGATGTTTCGAATGTCTCGACTTGGCCTCTTGGATGTTCGGGTCAGTTTCGATGACTATACCATGTTCCTGCGTATCCAATGACATCTTTGCGGAGGGGTCAAAAGTGTCAAACGCGGGACTGGTCTCTGGGCACGCTGAATTCATCGTATGCCTCAGTCTTCGAGAAGCAGACCGAAATGCTCGCTGTCCGTGAGGGTCATTAACCCCAGCCCCTGACTTAGACGACTGCCACAGCCCACCCCCAGAAGAACTCAGTGTGCTTTCGGGACTTGGCGATGACTCTAGATCTGTATCCGAGCCGGTTCCAACCTCCACTCTCAGCGAAGCAGGGGGGGCTGATCTCGAGTTCACGAGTCTGGTTTGAAGCAGCATGGCATCGACATTTTCAATACCCCTGACACGTCCACTCAAATACGGAGTTGGCTGAACCTGGTTCGTGTCGATGGTCTGAGTAGAATTGCAGGTTGACTGATTGGCATTGTGCTCATCTTTGGGTGATGAAACCTCTTCCACTTCCATCAGAACGGGGCTGTGTGTGCTTTCTGAGACCTGGTTAGTCTCTGTAATCCATTTGGAAGGAAGACTCTACCTTCGGCCATGTCCTTCTCATGTCCACGTTCATGAGACGCGGCTGGGACATCTTGGGCCTCCAAGTGACAATGGCTGTCTTCTCTCAAGACCATGGGTCGACTAGTGCTACCCGCACGCTGAGGAATAGGACAAAGAGGGGAGGAAAGATCAGGCCCTTGTTGGGGGTCTGTCTCGAATTCCTCAGTGTAGTCATAGTAGAACGAACCAGTGGAACGCAGAGGTGGCCCCTGTTTGCTCATATTCATAGGTCTCTGATACATTTCAACGATGGACGTCAAACTGGCTGACCGAACACTTTGGTCGCTGCAATCTTGTTGCCGACGTGGTGGCCTAGGGCCCCAGTGAATCATCGAGTTGGGAGTTCTGGAACGGTGTGGTCCAGGTCCGTGATAATACGGGCCAGGGGAGGCTCGCGAAGGCAAAGAAGACGTCGACCTGCTGAAATCTGGCCGCAGAGAAAGAGGCGGCGGGCGACGATGGCTTGAGTAGTATGTTGGTTTGTAGGACCCATGGCCAGTCCGCTGGATAAAGAGTCAGTACCTGTCCTGAACAAGACACTCGTTCCAGTGGCACATACATATGAGACACGGTCAAGCTCAACCATCTTACTGTAATTAACACCTCCGTTGTCTGTCATGGCCGGGGAAGCTGGTCGGAATCCAGGTCGTTTCAGACGGGTCGGATACGGGTAAGGGGAACGAGGACGCTGAAGACCACCGGAACTTGAGAAGCTTTGCAAAGTGCATGATGACTTTTGGGAAGGTAGTTGTCTTGAGCTGCATGTTGTCAAGGAGTATGACCGTCGACCATCATCCAGTGACGGAGAGAAGGGCCGTGAATTGGACGGCTGGGTCGACGAGCCGTACAGCGAAATAATCTCGGACGTGGTATCTCGATACGAGGGGAGCGCCTTGCGGTCATCGTGAACGAAGTTATCAAGTCCCCGAGAGTGAGGTCGGGTAAGGAGACCTGCGTCACCAAAGCTGGGTCTTGGACGGGGAGGGTGATGATAAGTCACCGAAGGGGGTGTAGCCTTGATGGAGAAGATGCCAATGTCGCCTGTTTCGGTTGTTGTCTTGAGCATGCTCTCCAGTGGACCTGGAGACCGGAGGAGTGTCGAGTTCTCGTTGACGCTGCGAAGCGGCCGACGTTGATGTGAAGGTGGCCGGGAGTGAGCATGATGACCTGGCTTCACATGGGGCCGATGACTGCTGTAATGTGAGTTTTGGCTGGCAGGCCGCTGGTGAGATTCTTCGAGCTCCATGGAGGCGTATTGAAGCCCCGCGATCTGGAGGCAGCGGGGGAGAATAAGATGGACTAAGTGATATGGGAAATGTTCACTGACGACCAAGGACAATCAAAACAGACCAAGAAACCTGGAGCGGGCGATTACGAGCCAACTGACAGCCGTTACAGCCTGGCTTCAAGACGCATCCTGAAGAGTGAAGACGAGCTTGCGGAAGACGAGGCGATCAGGCGACGTGAAGCTGCGTTGTGAGGCAACTCACAGGGACGGAGCGCGATCGAGACTGACATGGCCCGAGGAAGGTAAGTGCGAGAGAACATGGTCACGGCTAATTCTCTTTCTGTTCCTGACTGATTTACAGGAGAACCGAAGAAGTTCAGAAGGAAGGAAGGAGAAAACGCATTCTACAGCTGTATGAGGGCAGGTGGCAGGCAGGTGGCAGCTGCCACCTGATTCAAAGTGCCATGACGAAGGGCTGCGAGCAGGAGGGAGGTGCTTTCCAAGAGCTCCTCCAACTGCACCTACCACGAAACAGGCAAGTACAGCGACCCTCGTCGGAGACCAGTCAGTACCTACCTACCTGTAGGTATCCAAGAGAGGCTTCCTTCCTATGTACATCATCCCTACCTGCCTACCTCGAGAACCCGAAAGCGCCACCGGACCAGCCTTGAACGAGACCAACGAGACCAATGCAGACCGCCGATTCGAGCTGAAATGATGTCTGTGGCGGAATCGTGCAGATGCATCGATCATCGTCCTCGCCCTCGCGACTGCCCTTCGCCCGACACGGACACGCTCGTTTCCTCGATGGCGTCGGGTAGTCGAGTCGGGTAGGTTCAGGTTTCAGGCGTCAGGACGGAGAGCCCAAATGCATTCGGATACTCCCTGCATGCTGCGCGAACAAGGGCAAGAAATGAGGGCCCCGATTTATCGAGAATTGCTCTGCGGTCACGTTGGTCGGCCACTTTCGGGGAACGGGTCCCCCCTCGTCGGTGCTTCCTCGACGTCTAGACCCCTCGTGATGGATGCAATACACCACGGGACGTCAGCCAGGGCTCCTGTCAATCGATGGAGCCGAGTCAGGGCCCTCACAAGACCCAAGCCCACTCCAGACCGACACCGCACATAACGTGACTCATTGCCCAGAACAGACGCGTTTGGCGGTCTATGGACACGCGGTGGGTTCGCTGGGAGGGGGAATCGGCCGGCCAGCGAGCCGAACTCTGAAGTTTGACTCGGCAACAGGGTAACAGGGTTTGGTTTCAGTGGCGAGGGCCTACAGGCTCCTCTGGCTCTTCTGGAAGCGTTCCCACTACAATTGTCTACAATTGTCTACAATTGTCTACAATTGCCCACAATTTGCCCCCAGTTTGCCCACAATTGCCCTTCTTGTCCACTCGGTTCCCGATGTGGCTTGCACCGTCGACGAGTCTGTGCCGCCCTGTCCAGGATTTTTCGTCCTTGTGGCCTCTGCTGGGGTCGCTGGGGTCGCTGGCGCCCGGGGGCCGTCATCCACTGGTCACCGTCGCACCCCCGCAGTCCACTGGAGTCCACTGGAGTCCACTTGGCCTGTGATCCATGCAAGCTTGTCGAAGTCTAGTCAGGGGTCTACCGGACGCTTATCCCGAGGTGTTCATGTGGTTACAGTGGTTATTGTTAAGCTTGCCAACGGATTCCTGGTCCATTTCCTGGGGCAAAAAAGAAACCCGTTCGCCGCTTTCTTGGGGTTTTGGGTTTCTCAATTCAAACATCAAATGTAAACAAGCGGCGCCCTCGTTCTGTCTGCGACTCCGTCTTTCCCTCCGTCTTTCCCTCCCTCGTCGTCTTACATCTTCTTCGCCTGCTCTCCCTTGCATCCAGTCACGACTCCAGCTTCCCCGCTCCCTTCCTACCAATACTCACCATATCATACCGAACGCCCTGCCCGCCTGAACTCGCCTGTCACGCTACAATGGCTTCCCGAAAACCCAACCTCAGGATCCCCTTGCCCGACGCCCAGCATAGTGAAATCCAACGTCCCACCACTAGCTCACTACGGAGCCCGCGCTTTATCGAGGATTTTAACGCACCGTTCTCAGAAGCTCTCATGAACGCCTCAAGGACGACACTCGCGACAGACACCATGACTTACCCTTCAACTTCCACCAATGGCCGTACCAGTTTCGGAGGCGAGAGTGGTCGACGACCATCTTTCAGCACAAGGCAATCAGGCTTGCAATCACCAACGCCCTTGCGCCTACGCCACTCCTCCTGGGAATCAGAGACCAAGCGCCGGTCGACCGTCAACGATCGGATCCGGGAATGGGCCAGGAAATCATGGGGCGCCGTTCGAAACCGCTCCGAGCCGAAGGGTGATTATTTCGAGAGCAACCCGAACCATGGTCAGAGCAGCGCTAGGCTATCCCCTTCACCAAGCGATATTTCTCCCTCGGAATCTGAAGCGCCGGTGAGAAGCGCCACGTTCTCTCAAGCCGTTGTCAACATGAACGAGGTGTCATCATCGAGGTCAGGATGAGGCAATGGACGAGACAATGTGCCGAGAAGCTGTGGTACACGGGTTCCACAGTCATGGGTTGATTCCTGCATAAGAAGTGCATACTAGGCGTTGGTGGTCTCGGTCTTGGGTTCGGAAGGTACAAACACAAAACGTGTTTTGATGACTGTATATGAGGGTTGCATCGGTTCAGAATACACCGCCGCCAATAATGAAAAGGCGTTCTTCTTCCTTTTTGGCCCAATGGATAATCTTGTTTGCCCCCTGTGTGATTGTAGACCTGGACACGTTCGGTCCGGCTACGCAGTAGAATTCGAAGACGGGTGTGATCCAGGCCAGCGACGTCGCGTCTTCTCCGACGCTGTGCAGAACCTTAAGGTGCGCGTGCTTGGCGTGTATGGATGCATGCAGTTCGTGATACACCGTCATGAGCCTCCTCCGCTCAACAAGGTCCGTGAAAGTGGGCTCTAATGACGCCATGCAGAACTGGACATTGGCTCGTGATTTGTACAGGAAATGGCTGACTTGGCTGCCCGGAGCAATATCTTGTATCTTCGGGCGACCTGCTCGCGCGGCGTTCTGAATAATGGCAAGAGTCCCGTTCTTGGCTAGTTGCTGAGCGACGTTGTCCCGCATCTGCTTGAGTTCGAAGAAGCTCTCCCGATCGGCGCTTATCAGGACAATTGCAACTCCTTCTTCTGCCGAGCGGCCTTCTGCGGCCTTCGGGGAACTGGCCTGCTCCCCGGAGGCTCCTTCGAAGAAGCTCACGTACATATAGAGGTAACCTTTGTTGTTGAATGCCGGCAGGCAAATGGGAATCCAGTTCTCACCGCCACCGCCTTTGATGCCGCCACTCGCAAACAACATGTTGAAGATCAACTGCAGGTCGCTAGGATGAAGGGAATGCCGCCGTGGCCGAATGACGCTGACGAGTTTTCCACCGGCCACAATGAGCCCATAGAGCAGCTTCTCGGCTCTCAACTTCAGGAACGTGTTGTTGACGGTGTGGCGCTGGGACTTTCGAATCTTTAGGCACTCCAAGGATCCGAGGAGGGCTGAGGGGGATCCTTTGGTAAAAGTGTCAGCCAGAGATGAGAGTAGGGACTCTGTGCCCTCTAGCGGCTTGCGCAAGTCTGTCGATGGCCGATTTGCGAAGATATGTGTGAGTTTTGGTAGGGTTAGTGTGGATAAGATTTGCATGTAAAGTGCATCCAGCTGCGCTCGTAATTGAGAGTCACTCTCTCCAAGCTTGCTGATGGCGACAAAGTAGAGCGGCCCTTCAGTCGCTATGACAAACCGGGTGTCTCCGGCAGAGAAGGCCTGGAGCGGGTTCTTAGCCCCTTCGTAAAATGATATGATGGTCTGCACAACGCCCATTGACGAGTTGATCAAACTCAGGTCTCCATGGCGACTCCAAATGGGCTTCCCAGCGGACGATAAGATCAAATAGTGCTTCAGTTTCGACTTCCACATGTGCAATTTCTCATCATCTTCAAACTCCTTGTTTTCCTCTTCTGGCAGCGGGCTGAATTCTTGGTCAAATTCGGCGAGGTGATCTCCCGGACCAATCCTCGTCCTCTCGAATGGCTGCACAGTGGCCGCCTGAGAGCGAAGCATGTTCCATGCTGGGCTCTTCTTATGGAGTTCTCCGGCAAGTAAACTGGCAATGTCTCCAGCTGGCCTCATAGTCGGCGCAAAGCTCATGACACTCGCAGCATCGTCGGCCTCACCGCCAATGCTGCTGGCATGGTGGGGGGTCGCGTGGCCGCTATCGGCTGGGCTGGGGACAGAGTCGGGCCCGAGAGTTTGGAATGTGCCTCGCGATCCATCTGGGAACGAGAGCGTCTGGATATCCACGGGGGTTATTGCAGTTGTAGCCTGCGCCTGGAGGGATTTCGGGTCGGCGCCAGCACTGGTGCTGGGTCGAGGAGGGAGAGGGGGACGGTGGTCGTCGTCTTGGGAATCGGGGTCCGGTCCCATCTTGATGGAGTGTGCTGGTGTTGCATTGCCGGATCAAACGGTTTGAGGGTAGAAGGAGATCTACTAGAAAACCCCACGACCATCTACGGGCCCGTTGAGTTTCCGTGTGTGTCAGGCACGTCCATTATGCCATCGTTGGTGACGTTTGGTTGGAGGTGGTGGATTGGTCGCGTTGGTTGGAGGTGCGAGGCCCAGCCATGACGAGAGGAGGGCCACAGGATCCACACCCTGAGAGGCACCATTTACGCCAGCTAACTCAATGTAGAAAGAAGATGAAGACACTTCAATGCACTCTGCGTCCCGCATTGATACCGCAATATTATTTCAGCCTAAATATCAGATGCCATTCTCCTTGTCCAAGTTGTTCGAAATATTAGTGATTTGCATAACCAAAGCTTCGCATTCAAAGTCAAGGCCTGCCCATGCTCCCTGAGGCCTAGAGTCGACGTCTTTGGCTCCTGATTAAGGCTTAGTGCCTGTGAAAGTTCGGTACAGAGACGTGTTGATTACGTACCTCCCGGCCATGACGCAGCCACGCACAGCGAATGCCCTGCCACTGTTTGGAGGGGCTGCTGCAGCCTTGTGCTGGAGACACGCGCCAGGGCCAGCTGTGACCAATCAGCGCCCCGTCATGCCCTGTATTTCAGGATACCTAGGTACCTTCATTGCGCCCCCAGGGAGCTGGGTCAAGCTGCTGGGTGAAACGTAGCCTTCCAGGTGGGATTCGCGGCTTCATCTTGAGATTCCTCCCTCCGATCTACTCACGATTCCTCCTCGCGCGCTCTGGCTCCCAGCGATGCTCCCTGGCACCGGCGCCATTCAGTAGGGAACTCGATGTTCGCATACCCGTCCTCGAACCGAATAGTCACCAATCATGACGCATGAATCTGGCTCCGGCCGACGGTCGGTTTCGCCCGAGGCCTCTGGACGAGACTCGCCTATTCCACGACAATGGCGGAACCAGCTCGGTGGAGGTGCGCATGCGCCAGCGCACTCTAAGCTTCCATTGCGGTCGCTAACATATGCTGGACAGATGAGCTCCCAGCTCAAGACAAGACGTACCGAAAGTACGCCCATGGTGTCGACAGGGCACTCGTCTTATTCGAGACGGCCTTGGAAGAGTGGGCAGACTACATATCCTTCTTGAACAGGCTCCTCAAGGTTGGAATTCCGATGGCTAGTGCATTCAGTCCGGGGGCCATGTGCTAACCATCTTGAATTAGGCCCTTCAAGCTCGCCCCAAGTCGATAACCACAATACCAGCCAAGGCAACAGTCGCGAAACGCCTATCCCAATGCCTCAACTATTCTCTGCCGTCAGGAGTCCACCAGAAAGCTCTCGAAGTATACAACTATGTCTTCACAGTCATCGGTACCGATGGGCTGTCAAGGGACCTCCCGCTCTATCTCCCTGGCCTGGCATCGACCTTGTCATTTGCCTCCCTGGCAGTACGAGCGCCATACCTGGATATTCTAGAACAACACTTCCTCGGAATAGATCCCCGCTCCCTGCGGCCGGCGATGAAATCTATCATTCTGGCCCTGCTGCCAGGCTTGGAAGACGAGACGAGCGAGGACTTCGAAAGAACCTTGCGCATGGTCGAGAGCTTCAAGCATACAATTAGGCCTGCGAATAGCGAGGAACTGGCTGAGCGTCATTCTTCCGGCGATGCCTTCTTCTGGCAGTGCTTCTTCCTCGCATCCATCACTAGCCATAGCCGACGGGCAGGTGCCCTAGCCTACTTGGTAAGATGCCTACCTCAGCTGGGTCCACCGGCGACAACCAAGAATAGTAGCGAGGATGACCGGAGGAACAAGATCGCAGCCATCGTGGCATCCCCTGAACCCGGATTGCTACTACGATGTTTCGCAAGCGGTCTCTCTGACGAGCAGTTGCTCATCCAGCGTGGTTTCTTAGATCTTCTCGTTTCCCATCTGCCACTCAATTCTAATGTCATTCGAACCCGAGTGAAACCCGGGGATCTGGAGCTGCTCCTCAAGGCCGCTGTTGGCGTGGTCACACGACGAGACATGAGCTTGAATAGGCGCTTGTGGGCCTGGCTTCTTGGGCCGGAGCCGACCAATTCGGAGACCGAACCTGGTGCTGAGCCAACGAGTCCCTCTGACACTCACCACCACGCATACTTGGCATCCAGAACGAGCTTCTTTGAAGAGTTCGGATTACATCCACTGACCAGAGCACTTCTTCAGATGATCAAAGGCAGCCATCAAAGTAGTGCGGGCGAACGAGCACGCCCGTACAGAATTTGTCTCTCCCTCATGGACAGGTGGGAGATTGGCGGGCTTGTCATTCCAGAGGTCTTCCTACCTATCATTGAGAGTGTACGGCAATTCAAAGCCCAAGCGTCGACAAAAGCAGAGTTTACGGAAGTGTTGCGTAGTGCTAGCGTTTTCTTCGATGGGATCGAGAGCGGCCTCATATATGGCGAAATCGTATCACTCTTGGCCCAAGCTATCGGTGCCGGAACTGTCAACGTCAACGAGCAGAGCGACAAGTTTTCACTCATCAGCTTTGTCCTAGCCAACTTCAATGTCCGCGAGGAAGAGATGATAACTATCCACGCCCCGCTGTCCTCTCTGGCTGCTCTGTCAATGTTAGAAGATTGGACGGATCGCCAACCATCAAACCACTCGGGTAATTCGGCATCAGTGGCAAGCCAAACCCTAAACATCGCCATTTCACTCCTCGAGCTTGTCCCTGAGAGGGCTTTTTTGAAGCATCCACCTACCAGCAAGCGAGGAGCAGAATCGGCCTTGACAATTTCCAATATTGATGTCCTCAAGAAGATTCGGACTTTTTACGTCAATGAGCAGGGAAATATCGATGCGTCCCCTCCCCCTTTCAACGCCATGGAAATTGGAGAGCTTTTGTTTCAAAAGGTGGTCAAGTTCATATGTGGCGACAAGGACTCTTCAAAACCGCTGGCCGACTTGGGCGTCCGCACGCGTCTCCTAATCCTGGCGCTGCACAAGATGCCCAAGACGTATAAGCTCGCCGAACAGCGGATCCTGAAATTCTTAGTTGAGAACCTCGAGCAACCGTCGCCATTGCAGTTTTCGGACTTTTCGGCAATGTTGAATATGGCTACACAACTGTACCACGCCGAGAGAATCGAAACCAACGAGGTGACAAGCTTGGTTGGCCCTCTGGTTAGACATGCCTGGTCATATCTATCCGCGTCTGAGCCAAAGTATCACGTGGAGGCTGTTCGAGGCCTCTGGCAATTACAATCCACCCTACCATACTCCAACCGTGATATTGAAGCAGCACTATCAAGCCTCATCGTCGCCGAAGACTCAAGCTCATTGGAATCTTTCGGTGCTGTCGATAAAGGGCGCACACTGAGCGTACTCTGGTCCCATACTCTGCAAGATGACACATACGGCGGTGGGCGTCGTGGTTCAAAGACACCGATACTTGAGCTCAGGTCTCTACCTCGCCTTTCGGGAGCGGACAACTACGAAGTCATGTTGACTCAGCCACTATTCCTGATCTTGGACGCCCTACAAGACGACAGATCACAACTCTACATGACAGTAAAAGCATGGCTCAACAGCATGCTAGGGATCGACAGGTAGGGCTATCCCCCTTTTCTCGATGAATGCAGGTTGATTAACATACTGCAGACTCTTTTTGATCTTCGCCACTAAGCTCAACGATATTCCATTCCTGGACGACATAATCGGCAGCAGCGAGAAGCCTGATGAAGACTCAGTGACGTTTTCTGAGGATGAAGATCTGGATCTCTGCTTGTACTACCTCCGAACTCTGTCAAATGTCCTCGCCTGTGCCGGGGACATCTCGTGGGCTGTCTTAGCCTCCAAGCATGTTGCTTTCCGTGGCCAGCAACTGCAAATAAGCAGTAAGAGCCTTTCCTCCGACTCTACCTGATTTGATACTAACCTGAACTTAGCCGGAGCCGATGAAGAGATGACTCTCCAAGAGTTTTTTGTTCGTGTCTGTATGAAGTGCATCACAGGCAATCCGGCCGCTGCTGTCGACAAAGAAATCGAAGGTCGCATCAACCAGCTCTATCGATATGCCCTCACAATCCTCCACAAATTCTTCCTAAGCCCATACGCTGCTCCTCTATCGACCTTCCATTTCGAGAATATCCTGATTGAAAGACTCTTCAGCGCACTCAAGGGCCCCGACCCCTACGTGCAAGTCCTCCTACTCGACGTCGTATATGATACTCTCAAGCTTCGCGATGTTGCACCAGTCACAGCCTCGGGGTCACCTACTTCGGAGAAAAGGCCGCCGAGCTTCGATCCCATCCGGGGAAGCAGACTTTCTGTTGCAACGACGGAGCGTCCGGTAATTTCCTCGCCGCCTCCACAACTCCTCAAGTGCCTACAGGAGGGCCTCAGCTCTCCCAACAGTCGACCTGTCCTAGATAGCTGGGTTGCCTTTGTCGCGGAATGCTTGCCATTTTACACCGAATCTATCTTCCAAGTCTTGATTCCTCTAGTCGAGACTCTATGCGACGAGATTGGGACCACGTTTTCAAATCTGAGCGAAACCTTCGTATCTACTTCACTTTCTACCAGTAGCGAGAAGGCTACTCCTGAGTCGACACTCATTTTTCTGGTCAATGGCTTGGAGCAGGTTCTGGCGAGAGGACATGAGCAACTGCTTGCGGAGGAGGCTCGAACGCAAGTAACAAAGAGTCCTGATCAACCCCAGTCACTCTTCGGCAGCATCTCCGGCGTCTTTCAGACAGATGCCCCCCAGTCTCGCAGCGCCACAGCAAACGACCGGTTGACGGTCCACCTGGCGTTTCAAGACGCTGTTCGCATCTGCTACAAGATTTGGACCTGGGGTCAGGGTGAAGACTCAAACAAGCAGGACCTAAACTCGTCGGCATCGTTTCTCTACACATCCCTGCGGATGAGAAATCGTGCACGGCGTTTGCTCGAACAACTCTTCACTGCTGAAAACTTGGAGTGCCTCGAGACTGTCATCGATATCTGGAAGAATTCAGCCGTCGATTCAAGACCATCCGAGGTATTCAACCTCCTCTCTGCATTGGAAGCTTCTCGTCCTCGACACACCATCCCCGCTCTCTTCAACGCCATTTACAGCCGGAGCAACCCAACCGCGCTAGACCCCGGACGCAAATCAACAATGACGATAGCGCTTCAGGACTCTGACCTTGTGGTTTTCCTTGTCGAGTATGCACGGTCACTTGAGGATGATGCTATGGATGAGATCTGGCAGGACTGCATGCTTTTCTTGAAGGACTTGCTCGGAAATCCGTTTCCTCATCGACAGACCCTTCCAAACCTACTCGAGTTCGCAGCAATTCTCGGCGAAAAGGTCGACAACACCAACTTCGGAGAGCAGAAGAGGATGCGTAGAGAATTGGGCGTAAGAAAACCCCCACCACAACAATGAAGAAGATTCGTGCTGACTTACATTTAGGATATCTTCCTCCGGCTTCTCGCAGCTCTCTTTACTACGAAGCCTATGGCCTTTACTGACCCAGTCCTTTCCAGCGGAGCCCCGGACAAGACTGAGCTTGTTCGCCGAACCACGGTCAACGGGGCGGCCGACGGGCCTGATGATGTCGTCTTTATCCTAGCCTCCATCGTACCCAACCTGATCAAGATTCTCGTGGAGCCTGATCGTGTACTCTCGGCCGCCGCGACCATCTCCACCAATGTCATTGGTCCAACCCTGCGTGCCAAGGGATTCCCCGATACATTCTCGAAGAGCACCTTGCAGCTCCTCCTAGAGCTATCACGGCTACAAAACAACCAGAAGACGTGGAAGAAGGATGTCAGCGACGCATTCAACGACCCCAAGTTCTTTGGGATGAAGCTAGAACTTGCAAAAGATAACTGGATTCCGCTGCTCAGGCAGTGGACTTTGACTGACAAGGATAAGTTGCCTGAGATTGTCTCTCGTATCAACGCGCCTACCACGGCTGGCATTGTGTTTGGAGTCGGCGCTACCTCAGCCCGACTCGAGGCCGATCGGAAGACGCAGCTCAACCTTCGTAGAATCGCAACCCTGATCCTTGCTGCTGCGGAAGATGCCTTCGTTGCGGAGCTTACAACCATCTTCGACAAGCTTGTCGAGCTCCTCGCCGCGTCGTCAACATCTTCCCCGTCCTCGACTACGCGCGCTGACATCTACATGGTTGTCCGGGCCCTCACTCTCAAGACCAGTGCCATCCACCTCGGCATGCTCTGGCCTGTCGTCAACGCGGAGATTCACTCGGCCATATCGTCCGTCGTCGCGCCGGACAACAGCACTGCATCCGACACGTATACGAATGCCGCCATTCTGCAGGCCTGCAAGCTTCTGGACCTCCTCATCTGCGTGGCACCAGACGACTTCCAGCTGCACGAGTGGCTCTTCATCACAGACACCATTGACGCCGTCTACCGATCCTCCACCTACCAACCCGTCGCCCTCGTAGACGAGATTTCCGAAGAACTCGGTGCGGTCGCGGCCAACTCTGCGCTGCAGACCGAGTCCGTCGCGCATCTGGTAGCGAGCAGCTCATCTCGACGACCGCTGCTCGGACCCGGCGGCATCAGTGACGAGGTCAGCCTCGAGAGGAAGGACGAAGTGGTGGCCAAGGTTCTGCGGCCGTTCTTCGGCCAGCTGAGCATATTTGCATTCGAGTCGACGTATGCGATGGGACGGCTCGACCGGGACGCGTGCATCTCGAGCCTGTTGAAGGACATATTTGATGAGCGGAGCATAGTCAAGGCGCTATAATACAAAAGTCGATGGTTTTTGCATGGAGTAGCGGCAGTAGGGGTTTGTGACGAGCAAAGGTTGTATTTCAGCAAGCCATGTATGGTGCTCATTCAGCGTGTGAGCGATAAGGAGAAGGGTTTGCCATAATAGAACGTTTACGACCAGGTCTATTTCTACATGTTAAGGGCGAGAGGCGTTGTAGACACCGCCGTTTAGGATCCGACCCCCGAATATCTGTTCCTGTGAGCTCCCATACCATCATCCTGTGCAAGATACATATTCCATCGAGACCATGTGAGGTGTGCTCCCACTGACACAACGTCTTCCACATCGACCGCTTCTGCGAATATATCAACTGAAATGATTCTATTCAGATTGCTCAATCACGGCACCGGCCATCATCTGATCCAAATCCGGTCCCAGAACTCTCCCCACGACACTTTCAAACGCCTCTCGCTCTATGACGGCGCCAAAATAGAGACACTTGACCACGTTGTTGAGTTCCCGACTCAGGACCTGAAGCAACTGCGGATCTAGCAACACGGTTATGGGATAGCGGTCTGCAAGCTCAAACCACGCCTGGATGGGGGTGATTTCCTTGTCGCCCGGGTTGAGCGACGACGCCAGGCCGAGCAAAGATGCGAGGGAGATGCGCGTTGAAGGCCACTCGAAGGAGAAAGGCGGGATTTTGTCGACACCGCGGCCGGTGCCGCAGTCTGAGGTAGCCGAGATGTTCTTGCGACCTACGTAGACGGCCTCGGGGGCGCGAGCCATGCAGAAAGTTGACGCCATGAGGGTGTGGCCCCTGAAGTCGTCCGACTGCTGCTGGTGCTCGGGAAAGTCGCCGATGCAGAAATGGTCCCAGCAACAATGTTCGAGTCTGGACGTTTTGTTAGATACGCTGGATGTAGGGAAGCTATGGTGGTTTACTCACGACAGGATGAAGTTGACGGCCAACTGCTCTTGGTCCGTCGAGAGCTGGAAGTCTCCTTCGCTCGTCGGCGGGCTCGTGGCGCTGGAGCTCTGGTTGCTGGCACTCGGGTCGCTGGTGCTGGAGCGGACACTGAATACGGGAGTGCGCAGTTCGTCATTGCTCTTCAACGACACGATGATGTCGTCGATGTCGATATTGCCGAACATGTCCGTCGCCTCGGCGGGCTGCTGCGGCAGGGTGTCGACCTGGCCAAACGCCTGAGATGCTGCAAAAGCTGGCGCCCGTTGGCTTGGGTCCAACAAGCGATCGATCTGCGCTTCAATTCCTTCCATGGACGCTGGTTGCTGCGAGTTCTCCAACGCCGCGGTTGAGACGGTGATACCAAAGAGCTGCGCCTGGGCCCGCATGGCCTCGTTCTCCTTCTTCAGGTCGCCGGCCTCGCCTTCTGTGAGGGATATCAGCTCCCGGAAGTGCGTGATGTCGAGCTCCAGCTTCTTGACGTATTCCGCCTTGCGCTGGCGATGCTGCACCTGTGCCCGCCGCACTTGGGCCCGGCGGAGCTTGGCCTTTTCGCTGGCGGTCAGCGGCTTGGCCGGCGAGCTCTCGCTGCCGGCGTCCGGAGCTAGAATGAGGGTCAGCTTTTAATCTATCTCAAACTGTTTCGGAGGGTTGGAGACGGGGCTGGACGAGGTGAGTCGACAACTCCTGCAGACGAGAGCTCATCCGCCCACTGCCCGATCATGTCGGCACCACCTCTGTCTCTTCCACCCAACTCCAAGAGATGGCTCATCTCAAACGACACCCACAACGAACCGGATCACTCAGGCAAACGCGGGGAAGGGCTTACACTCGCTACTCTGCACCGCATCGCGGCTCTGCTTCGCCGGGCGCACAAACTCGACGCGGCTCCCGTGCAAGACCTGCTTCGTCTTCTTCCAAAAGGTCGAAAACGACGGCCGACTGCCCTTGCCGGCCGGGCCTGGCGCCGCGGCTGTTGAATCGCGTGGTGATGTCATTCACGCCTTTTTGCGTCCACGTCATAAACATCCGCCTCTTTCACGGCTGCGCTTTGAGCCCGCTCCCCGCGGAGTTGAGTGGGCTGCGGCCGACCGCCCGAAGGGATGAACTTGGTGGGCCAGCCGTCCGCGATGGAATCGGACTGGCAAAAGCAGATTGACGGCGAAAGGGGAAATCCGGATTCCAGATAGCGGCGTGTGAGCGGGACTCTCCTTGAACGAATTTGGCGTTGGCTTTGAGTTGGGAGGAGTCAGCAGTCAGCAGTCGGCAGTCCGGCAGCCAGCGGCCAGCAACGCTCGCGACTCCAAAAACCAAGCGGGTTTTCTCCCCCTCCGGAGCCTGTTCTCCAGGCTGTAAGTAGTAGGTCGGTGCTAAGGGCGGCCTTGCGGAGACGGCCCTCGGCCACTTTGAATGCGACACTGTTTTCTGACAGGCTGCTGACAACCATTCAAAGTAATCAAAAGGATTCCCAGATGTGGTTCAAAACATTCTTGGCTTTTATTTCCGAGATTAACTCCTCGGTCTCTCTACCATGAGCCTGTACGTATCCCATAAAAATGTCAAAAAAAAATTGTAAATGCAGATCCCCCCCCCCTCCCAACGCCTCGCTAAGAAAACATTACATGACCATGCGCTGGCCTCATTCTACTCGTAGTCGTCGCCATCGCTGTCTGTAGCAGTCCCCTCAATCAGATCCGCCTCGTCCATGTCATCCAGATCATCCAAGTCGTCGCTGTCGTCCTCATCTTCGGCATTGAGGCCTTGCACAGCCTTCCAATTGACGTAATCGTTCTCTAACCACCGCTTACTGACCGGCAATTGGTAAGGGTCGAATGGGAAGTATGGATCCAACTGGTGGAAGCTCTCATCCTGCGACTCATAGCCAGCATCTCGGAGAGCTCCACCCGTCGAATACGTCGACGATAGAAACTGCGTCAGGCGAATCCGCTTGTTTCCCTCCACCAGCGGGTAAACGTACATAAAGTTAAGACGATGCGCAAGCTTCGCAAATTCCTCAACAATCACTGGCGCGCACACCTTCAACGGGTTCAGCTTGCCAAAGATCTGGACTGATAAGTCTTTTCTCGAAGTTCCAACCCAGTCGACTTCTTGGCCAATGTAAGACGAGGCATCCTCCGGGTCCACATCCTCCGGCGCGCCCACGATCAGGTCTTGCCAGCGGAAACAGAAGATGTACAGTGTTGCCTGAACAAGGCTGTAGTAAGGGTGGAACCGCTTGAGGTCCGGCCCTCGGCACAACGGCTCGTACTTCTTGCGGTACTGCTCAAGGTGGTGGATGAGCAGTGAGAAGATGCTTCGGACCAGGTGTCCCGGAAGATGCGCTCCTCGGGCGACGAAACTGGCCAGGTACGCCGCCGCCGCCTGCTTTAGGACATTTGGTGTGTTGCCCTGGAAAGCAGTCGCAATGAGCTGACCGCAGAACGCATCCGTCAGTCGCTCGTGCATCTGAGCAAAGTGGAAGATGAGGAATTGTGTGTGCCTCGACTTGTAGGTGGGCAACACCATGTGGTCAAACTCGCGGAGGAGAATCGTAAACGTATCGAAAGCGGCATCGGATCCGGGATTCGCAAAGTGTGGGGTGTAGACCTGGAAGAGCGTGTCCAGTGCGGCATCCATCTTCTCGACGCTGCCCTTGATGGACTTGATTCTGGCCGCATCCTCATCAAAGTCGGGATCGTCGCTGTCCACTGACTCTGTGTCGCTAACATCGTCCGCATCGTCTTCCCACTCCACATCGCGCGAATGATCCCGCAAGGCGTACATGACAGCCGCCGTCACGTCGTCGTCCAAGTCTTCCAGGTCGACCTGCATCTGGGAATCGATCTTGACAACCCGGTTGATGATGAGGTCGAGGACTTCGTCGCGCAAGACTGGGACATAGTTCTTGATGCGCAGCAGATTGTGGATATATGCCATGTGGACACGCATCGACTCGTCGGGGAAGGGGAATTTTGAGCCGAGAAGGTTTTCCAATACTGGGATGGCGGATGGGAACATTTGGAGGAGGTACTGGAGGGTGGAGTGCAGCCTGTCCCGCATGGTTTCGCGGTTGACCTCCGGAAAGTCTGGTACACACCAGACAGAGGTTCGGGTGTCGGAGAATTTCTCTACCATCATGCCCAGGACGGGGGATAGATAGGAACCCTGAGCGCTGACCAGGGCGGCCAGGAAGTGGGTAAAGACCTTGACAAAGGCATCATCTCGCCCCAACCAGGAGCACTTCAGAATGGTCTTGACTAGTCCGTTACAGGCCTTGTCCTTAAGGATGGGGATGCATCCGGTGAGGGCCATGACATAGACCTGAAGCTCATGGGGCTTCAGGGTGTCATCCTCTTCGCCAACAACAGGAGGGAGGTAGCGCTGCTTATCGCTGGCAAACAGCTCCTTGAGAGTATCGTACTGGCCATCATTTCCTCGCAGGTGCTCCTCGAGAGCAGTCCTGACTTCCAACTTTACATCATTCATCGTCCTCTTGCCAACCTCGTAGGTCACGTTTCGGATGTCGTCAAAGAAGACCTTGCGTCGCTTGCTGGGGGTCTCGGGCGCATCAAGCGAGTCGCTGAGCCCAGCATAGTCGGCCTTCCTCCTGCCCAGGACCGAGGCGGGCTTCAAAATCGACCGGACCGGCGTCGAGGCCTTGGAGATGGGACCAGAAAAGGCCTTCGTCGTGGGGGTAAACGGTCGCATTGATGTGGTTCGTGACGGTCGTGGTCGTGTGTGCTGGTTGCTGGGAATGGTGGCGTCTCTCAGGCAACAGCGGGCGGGGGCGCTTAAGGTATGAACATGGACTGGAAGATAAGCTGCGACAAGGACTGCGACGAGCCGTCGGTCATAGTAAATCTATACTCGGTGCCCTAGTGATGTGACTGCGTTGCGATGCAGGATAATGCTGAAGATGCTGAAGCAGAGAGGCCTGGTGCAAGAGGCAAGAGAAGGTGGCGGAGTATGAAGAGGATTTGTTAGGCGCTTGAAGGGCGGGCAACTTTTTTCGATAAACCAGTGTGCAAGTGGAAATTTTGACGATGGAGTGGGGTCACACACGTGCCTCTCGACTGTTTTTGCTGGTCGTTTTCCGAGGTCCGTGCGCCCCGCCATGCCGCTTTCGCCACCTTTCCCAATGCATCACACCTGTGGCGAGACGTGCTTCACGACGACATAATGAGATGGTAGAAGTGGGTAGGGCAAGACGTAGAATCTTGAAGGTGAATGTCTAGGAACCGTCAAGTTCATAATATATCGCGGTTGTTCATCCCGTGGTAATAAGCAGAAAAAGGACCATAGCCCATCAAAGTATTCCTTGGAGAGAGGCACGTGTAAGTCCATCAGAGCCCAGAGACGATGTCATGGTTTCAAACGTCTCCGTCATCAGCATCATCAATGCAACGACACGCCGTATTATTCATCTGTTTTTGAGTCGGTAACACCAAGAGAAGCAAATCAAATTACAAAACCATATAGACATCTTTCTCTGTTGTGTGCCGGGAACTCGATGCATGGCCGTGGTTCTGCAACTGCGAGTCCCAGTTGACTGCTGAACTAAGGTGAGCGTCTCTCAGACTTGACTTCTATCATCCAGATAGCAAAGGCATTTTGTTGTCGCACTTTTGTTTTCGGTGGTTAACCAGTCGCCTCCGTCCATCGCGTCAATGTACATCCGTAATCTTCCAGTTTCCATCTAGTTGAATCCTCCGAGGTTGTAGCGGCAATATTTATACACACTCAATGAAGTACTCGTCTCAGTGCAGGCACGTCGGGCTTGTCTGGAGCTCCATCGCCGAGCCCATCGGGTATGAGCTGTGGCCTTGAGCCTCAGACAAAGCCAGGCTCCGACTTGACCAATCGTTCAAACTTAGCCAACTGCTTGATGCAGGTGTTGTTTGAGCCTGACACCTAGTAGCCGTCACCCGCACCCGCACCATTGTGACCGGCCTGAGAGCCGTACATGTAATTGGGGTCGGCACCACCCTCGACGCTGTTGGCGCCTTCACCACTGGGGAACTCGGCACCACCCTCACCCTTTTCGCCGCCCATCATGGGTCCTGGCCAGGTAGTGTTCTCCAGGACCCTGTCTCGGTTGGACTGGTTCTGTTGCTGCATTGGAGTGTCAGGACGGAGCATCCAGGGGCGTTCCGGGTTTAGGCTTGACATACCTCACGGTACTTGGAGAGATACACCTTGAGGGCCTCGGCGTAGTTTTCGAAGCCGAGCGAGGTCATGGCGAAAAGAATGTCCTCGCCGTTAACGGTCTTTCGCTTCTCCTGTTGGCACTTCTCCGACGCTGTGCAAGATTAACGGGTCAGCGTGCTGCACATGAGAAACATGTGCTGAGCTCGATGCACGTAGATGCACCACCCAAAGGGAGGAAGAGTCACAACTTACCCTCGCTGGTGATGAAGGAGATGAACTCGCTAACACACTCCTGCATACACTCCTTGGCCTCTTTGGCGATCTTGGCATTCTCAGGGAGAGCATTCTTCATGATGCGGGCCACTGGAGCAAAGTTGCGAATATTAGCATCAAGCTCGTCAGATTTGTCGACCTTGAAGGCCCGAGGCGCCTTTGGTGACTTGGAGGACGAATCGCAAGACATGGACGACCAGATCTGCAGGGCTAACAGGCTGAGACGGCGAGCATCTCGTGCAGAAGGACGAACAAATCACGACGAGGCGTCGGGGGGGATAGAGAACCTACCATTGGCTATGGGCAACCACCGATCCTGCTCTTTCACGCCTTCGAACTCATAGCCCGAGACAGCACCCTGTGGGTCTTGTTGATCATTCATTTGTGCTTCCTCGTCGGGTGACGGTGCACCTTGGTCAACCTCCTTGGGAGGGGATTGGGGGGAATCCGACATATTTGGCTACCTGCAGCGGCTGCTAGCGTCCTTGTAAAATGCTTCGGGCTGGCACAGCTGGGCCTCGAGATGATGTGTCCCCAGGCCACGTCGCAAATGGTAGGGCTTGCAAGCGTCGGGGAGGGGTCTTCCAGCTGCAGTGCTGCGTCAATCCTGACTGCCGGCGATGGCTCTTAGTCGCTCACGCTCGCGGTCCCTGGCCCGGGATTCTGGGGCTATGACGCCGGTGCTTGGGGCTTGGGGGTGTGTGCGTGGGAAGCAAGGCGTGGTTGTTATGGGTTATGGGTGAGGATAGGAAGAGCAGGCGGGGGAGGGGTGGGCCTTGGGGCGGCGCAAGTCGAGTCAAGTCAAGTCAAGTCAAGTTAAGTCAAGCGAGGACCAAGACCAAGGCCTGTCAGTATGTGCGTGTGTGTGAGTGTGCGTGGTGGCAGGGTGTGGACGGATCGCACAACGTCGACGTTGACAAGGCGAGGGAGGAGGTGGTTGTAGGCCAGAGCTAGGCCGAGGCGAGGAAATGCGTTGGAGGCAAACACGAACGCAGGCGCGCAGGCGCAGGCGCAGACGGGAGACAGCACGGTTGGACGAGGGACTGTCGTTGTGCCTCTTCTTGGTCAACGGGCCGGGGCGGCGCGACTGGATGCGCAGCGCCGGGGGGGTAGCTTTTGGAGACTGGGTTACACGAGGTCGCAAAGCGTCTCGTTCGCCAATGGGTCCCGGGGCTGCAAGATCGGGTCAGAATGCTTTTCGACTGGGTTGGAACTGGGCTGGGCTGGGCTGGGGGGGAGGGTGAGGATGAGGGTAGTGGGGAGGAGTGCAGAGAGCGCAAAGCGCAAAGTGAAGAGCGAAAAGCGGAGAGGAGGGAGAAGCTGGATGGAGGCGGGAACGCGAGAATGGCGAAGAGCGTCTCACGTTGTTGTCGAGGCTACGGGTGCGAGTGCGGGAGCGGGTGCGGGCAGACGGGGGGCAGAAGCAGGGCGGAGAGAGGCCAGAGGCAGACAGCCAGACAGCCAGACGAACAGAGATGGACTCACAGTAAAGTCAACAGCCAAGAGGGTGTCTGAGTTGTTCGTTCGAGGTCGCAGCACCGTCCGCAAGGTGCATATGTGGAGTGTAATTCGACGTGGGGTTTGCAGGAGGGAAAGAAATCCGGCCCAAACCAAGGTCCAAGGTGCAGTCCAAGGTGCGTGCGTGTGGTCCAAGGTGCGGCGGTCAACAAAAGGTTGTCGTCTGGCGGAGCAACAGCAACAACGCGCTGCCAACACGCTGCCCAAGCCGCCTACAGCCTGCTCTTCCAGCACTATGCGATGCCCAAGGCCGCCCCCAAATAACCCCAAACCAGGTACAAACAGCGCCAATTCTATCGATAACTCCCGCCGGCCTAAGCCCTATGGGGACATGGCCCAGCACTTGTGTGGTCCATCAGCACCAAGCTGCCTCAAGCTTGCCCACCAGGGAACATCCATCCATAGGGCCAGCACGGTTGTAAACACCCCCCCGCAGAGAGAGAGAGAGAGAGGGAGAGAGCTCACAGTTGCTACGCGAGATGTTGCGCCGAGGATGCAAATCATCCAACACATTCTACTCCGCCGCACAGCGCTATTCATGTGCGCCATCTGCGATGCGAGCTGTATTAAATCCCCGACTCCTTCGATTCTCCCACGGCAGCGGACAGCTACCGACGGGAACCCCGAAACAGAGCTAGCCAAAGGTCCTCCGTCAGCTCGCAGCACTTGGTGCAAGCACTCTCCCCGAAGGAGGTCTCGGGCCGCATTGTACCAATTGTCCATGGTGCACCGAGGAACACACAACCCCCCGGCCGTGTGCCGCAAACTCTTCAGCTCCGAGAGTGTTCCCATAATAGCTCCGGGGGGGTTGTGATCTGGAGTTGCAACCAATTCCTTGACCGGGTTGCAGAATACGTACACGGTGTAATCTCTGTTAATAAACAGCACGCCGCAACTCGTCCGCCAAAGAGGCGTCGCCCCGTCCAGGCACTCGATCAGTAATGATGCTCTCCGCCAGGGCGGTACTGGGAGGGTGGGCCACGGCTGCTGCTCATTGGCAATTGCCATCCCGTCCTCCCTAGGTAGTCCTCAAGCCACCTGGAACGTGTGTTTGCCAGCACAGGAACAGGATAGCTCCGGGTGGGCAGACTCCGTCAGGCGCCCGTCCTGGCTGGATGAGTGGACGGCCAGCACCTGTCATGAAGGGACCAGGGCCTCGTGGCAACCACCAGTGACGGAATGCCTCAGCCCATAATCTGGCCCAACAAGGCAATTGTAGATTCGACCGATGCTGGCTTAGCTACTGGGATTTGCCGAGCCAGACAGATGTCTCATAGGTAAAGGTCTGGTAGGTTGATGGGATATGCATATGCCCAACTAATAAGCCCCAACATGGCACTCGGCGACATTCAGCGCCGGTTGAGGGCAGGCTGCATATGCACAGCAAGTACCTGCCTACCAATGGAGGTGCTACGTAGGTACATACCTAGTTGGCCGTTTCTCAGGCCCACCGGCGGCGAACGCACATATCGCCATCAAGCCACGAGCCGGCTGGCTGCAATCACCGTCGGCCAATCGACCGGCCGAGCCGTCGTCAACCGTCAACCAGCATCGCCTCATTGGCCGCAGACTTAAACACAATTACCCATATTCACCTCGGAGCCGCCAAGCCAGAGTCTAACCCTGTCTTTGCACCTTCGTACGTCTGCTGGAGATTGCTTTATTTACACTACACTATGAGTCTGTAACTTGGTCGCGGCGCGTATCGACATGATCCCATCTCCCGTCCCAATCGCACAAGCATAGGGGTATCGCTATGAGGAGGCCTCCTCGGGGGTCACCATGGGCCTGCAGCAATTCAAAACACGACCAACAATGGTTTGTGGAATGGCCTGGCATCAACATCATCATTCACCATCGTCATTGGGACCCAACCAGGAGTCAAGGCTGCCTTGGTATCTGTTCGGCCAAGCTAAGCCTGTCTTGTCGACTCACAGTTTCAGCCCATGTATGTGAGCCCAGAGAACGACGGCTTGCTGCTGACCCGATGTTGGCTGGCTGGCTGGCTGGCTGGCTGTATGTAACATCTTGGGAAGGGCAATCAACTGATGTCACCTAATTGATAACCCTTGACACGGAAGACGATGCCCGACTTTCGCTGCAAAGGTAATTCCATGCAACGTCTCTCGTATCCGACTTCATTGTCCCAGCTCTTCCATCAATCAGAGACGAGCCTTTGTAAGACGCTCGTAAAATATCCCATCAACTTCCCTGTATAGCGACGTTGTCGATCCCCCAAGCACATTCGCATCGATTCCCCCCGCTCTCTGACGTACCGAAGCGAGCGAGCCCGTCTTTCGTTCCCCTAGCCATCGGCCATTCCGGGATCCAGGGTTGATTGGGCTCGAATACATGCTTCCAGAAGCCATCTTTCGGAGGCTTACCTGCATGCATTAGAACCCCCTACATGCTCATGGGGGGGGGGCGTGGCCGTGGCCGCAGCCACTCACACGCATGCCACCCAGCCTCAACTGTCTGGATATGCATCACCAGTCGATCTCTTGCTCGTTGCTGGAATTGAATGAACGACCTCCCCACGAAGAAAAGGAGGATGGCTTCCTATCTAACACACTCATTGTGCGCGGCTCTTCAAAACTCGGTCACGTCATGCATTAACCAAGGCGCTTGTATGCTGGCAGAGTCGCCCTGCTCGGACAACGATCCAAGCATTCCCAGCCTCAGCTCGAGGTGGTGGGTGGGTGTCATGGATGGAACAATGCCAGTTGTTCATCGTCCTATCTGCGGCGTCGCTGACACTGCAAGAGTCCCTTGTCCGCCTCAGAATGCATATCTCCTTGCGGCATAAAGCCAACAAGGCTTATCCGTCCAGCTGAGGCCTGGGAATCAACATAGCCGAGACAAGAGGCATTTTACAGGACACGGCCAGCATGTACAATCATGGCGCCTTACCTTGCGCCTTCATGTTGGGGTCCGTCTGGCTGGCAAGCCTCGTCACATCGGAGCCTTCTCGCCCAGCCACATGCATGCGAGGCCCCGCCCTGCCCTCCCAAATGGTGTCCTGCACGTCAATGAGGTTTGAGGTTTTGGGACTTTATGCGGTTGGGCATTGAGACGCCCTTGCCGCCAGGCCCCACTGCATCCAAAATGTACAACGCATCAACACCATCTTCTGGCCCGTCTCGCCCAACGTGCGTCGCCGTCAAGCATGACATCAGAAAATCATCAGTATCGAAGCGTATGTCTGGTCGAATGAGGGTGTCTTCCAATGTGCCGGGTATTTCCATGATGGGGAGCAGGGCCCGCCTCTCCGTCTACCTCTCCAATCCCTTCTTTGACGGGCCTCCATCAGCGTCCGCACGAGGCCAACACCAAGGCTGAATCCCTTCTCTCCTACCTCCATCACAGGAGCGGGGCTCGTAGAAAGACAGTGTATGAACAAGGGAGTGAAACGCTAAGCTCCAGTCGACTTTTCATTTTGGTTTTGTTACATCTCATTATTGCTGCACTACCTGCACATTGTTCTTTTTCTATTTCGGAAGTTAGCAACTGGCATTATGAAGCAGGAAACGGCTAAAGGTGGATAACCAACCTTCCACTTCTCCAAGTCGTCCTGCTTCGTCTTGTACTGTTTGACGAGGTCATCCAGAACCTTTCTCAGGCCGTCCTGGTTCGTCTTGAGTGCAGGCACGACATCCTGGACGGTCCTCTCGACGAGCACGCCGTTAATGAGACGGAAACACTTTCGGTCTCCAGAGAGGGGTTCCAGGGTTTCCAGGACAAGCCTAGTATTTGAAAGTTAGAATGAGCGGTGTAAATCCTTCGAAAGCGGTGGGATTGTCAGGATATGGCATGACAGAACCATGGTTTGGCCACCCCGACGTCATGGTGGTTGCTTCTGTGCTAGACAGTCCGGGGGAGGGTGATGGTAGCGAAGGGGAGGGGGTACATACTTGTGCTCTTCGGCTTCCTGCTCGATGTCGCCGATTCTCTGGGCGATCTGTTGGAGCGTGTTCTTGTAGTTGGAGTAGGTCACCTGAAGGTCTGGCACGGATGTGAGTCTAGAGGCGGCGGATGAGAGTGAGCGGCACGCGAGATGTGCGCAGACTCACCTTGCTGCTTCTTAGAAGAAACCTGTGGTGACGACATGACGGCGAGCTGTAGCGGACAGGAAGACTGGGGACGTGGCGGGGATGGTGGCGGTGGGTTGCCCGCGATGTCTCGTGCCTGGAGCTTTTGGAGGGGATTCAAAGTTGATAATGGACTGCCCCTCCAAATGCTAAATGCCAAATCGGCGCTTTGGCTGCCCGCGCACGCTGTGGGCAGTGGGCACGCAGTGGCCAGCGTCGCTAACCTCCCACGTGGTCCGAGCGTTTCGAGATGCTAGCCACTCAGCGTCGCCGGGAATCGAATTTCTCCAGCATATTATCACACGATCGGATCAGGCGCAATCAATTCCTCTGTTCCAATCCCAGCCCCCATCGCAATCATGCATCCCCATCTCCATACCAAGAACGCCCTGGGTATGTCCCGCCGCAAATTGCGTCGAGTGTCCCTATCATCATGACTAACTTGCTGCCCTCTCAGCCTGCGAAGATGTCATCGCCGTCCTCGAGGAGTGCCACGCCAAGGGCTTCATGCACAAGGCCGTGGGCAGCTGCAACGATGCGAAGGAGAAGGTGAACCAGTGCTTGCGCATTGAGCGATCCAAGATTCAAGCCGAAAACCGAAACGCCGCCCGGGCGAAGCGAGACAAGATCAAGGACGCCCAGAAGGAGCTGGGACTATGAAAGTCCGGAACGCACCACGACGCCTGCGAGATGACCGAACCGTACCGAATCGCCCGCGCATCCATCGTTTCGACTTTGTACACTACCTGGCTGGCGTTTAGGAGGCAGTTGGAGACGAAGATTGGGGAGGTCGTGGATCGGCCGTGTAATCCACGGTCTCCGATCACAACGGCATTGAGACGATCCCCATTCCAAAATGTACAATTCACGAGGAACGATTATTCTTTTTAATTCACAGTTGTGTATTATTCTACCAATCCATCCCAGCCAACAACTTACGCCTGGCGGCGCAGGGCAGTGCCAAAGGTGAGAAGGCCAATCGACGAGATGACACTGAGGACAATCGGGACGGGCTTCCTCAGTCGGATAGCACGAGGGAAGGCCGAGGCACCCAGGACAACGGATGCGAGCAGGCACAGCTCGATACCATAGGACTGTCGGTTCTGGATGCGCCATGCTCCGAGGGTGTCTAGCCGATGGTCAGTGTTTGCGGGGCATTGAGCTCAACACGGGGAACCTACACAGGAAGCCAACGCTGCAGCCAGCAATGATTGAGGGCAGGGAGCCTGTTTTCACATATCCCATGGTGCCGCCGCCTGCGGTCAAGGCACCGAGGATGTAGCCAATCATCTGGAGATTCGTGCCGTCGGCCTGTCCAGCATGAGCATACGCACCATCAGAGCAAGGGAGACCGTGCCGATTCATCGGACCTACCATTTTGAAAGAGTCGGTTGGGGCTTTGAATCAATCAGACTGTTCAAGGGTTATAGACTTGGTCTTGGGCTTGGTGATGGAAGCAGGCTGTACGTGAGGTCATGCAGTTGTCGACAAGTAGCTCGGATCTCGCGTTCATATAGGAAGAACCGAAGCTTCTCGGTGTTCGGATGAACTTTGGGTGTTCGGCGAGCTGGATCCGGATGCCGATTGGTGGTATCGCTCAATGCTCGGTGTGGGGCCCGCTGGAGCACGCGGAGAAGACTCCAGCCCCCCAAGTCCCGAGGCCGGCACTTGCACGCATATCTGAACAGCAACATACAAATACGTCAACAGGCAACAAGACTCAGCAACTTCACTGATGGGCAAAATTTGACTAAACCTGCAGATTGCATATTACCGAACATATTTGATGCCTAGCTTCGGGAGAGGGGCAATCGGTCTCCGCCCAGGCGGAGAACTTTGGCGCCTTTCAAAATTGCTCTCCCAGATGCATCTTCCGTCACCACAGCTTCATTGTTTTGACACCAGGTTCGCGGATGGTTCAGGAATTCGCCAGGGTCTTTTCCCGCATTCTTGAGACAGTTCGGTATCAGTGACGTAGTGCATGGAGTTAAACCGCAGCCTCTGGGAAGCTCTGTCCAGCGACAAATGCTTCATGGTCAGCGCGGACACTATTCCTCCTTTATCTCTCCTCCAGGGCGGACTTGACGTAACGAGGTTGAAGATCGTGGTCCTACCATCGGGTAGAGATACCGCGAGTAGTATCGGTGCCAGCGCCCAAGATCTATTTTTGGGTACGAGGATGTAGACACTAAAGGCTGGTGGCTACTACCTAGGTACTCATGTGTAAGTCAACGCGCCTGAAATAGATGGAGATAATGACGACACTGAAGTCCGCGAGAAGGGACCACCATGGGTTCGCGATATCTGCATTAACACCAGAATCACAGCAACTCTTCGACTTGCTGTCACGGCTTAGGCGGGAGTTTTGATTTTACCACGTCTATCCCCGACTACGACTTGTTTTGTCCCCAATCCCCTCTCACCCTCCCGCTCCGTATGAGAAATAATCACGAAATCCAACAGATTGGCCGACGAGGTTCTTCTTTGCCGTTCTTCCTGCAAACGTTCTTGTCGCTTTGGACCATTCGAGTCGATATTGAACTGCGAAACGACCTTGCGGGTGTTGAAGCATTGGTATGAAATGGACAGTCTTCCCATTCTTCTTCCCTGCAACTATCGCCTTCACTGAACACACAATGGATCTGTTCGAGCAGCCTGGAGAAGCCCCAACCCGACCAGACGTAGATGAGGCGTGGTACTTTTACTGTGGCATCTATAGAACTCTTGCTGCAAGAACTAGTACGCACAGGTTTACCAGCGATTATTACTTTCCAAAAGAAAAGAAGCTCCTACCCACCAGTCAACATATGATCCCATCTGCAGGGACCGATCAATTCATCCTAGAGCTTCAGACCACTCTCATCCTCTCGGTTCCTTCCATTACGAGGCGTGGTTTCTCTGGCTGAGACTCTTCACAAGTCATTTTTCGTTGGAAAACACGGGGCGACAGCTGCTCACCTTCGGCATTACGAACGAAATCAAGGCTATCGCTTGAGCGCCATCGATGGGAAGAAGACTGATTGTCTGGAATTGACTGTGATAAGCTGCCAGCGCTCGGAGAAGAAGCCATTCTCACAACCTGGTGACTCGGGAGCAGCTGTTTCCGACCTCGAAGGCTGTGAGGTTGGCCTCTTTAATGGCGGTAATGAGCATAGAACACGGCTACCGACTCACCGATGCTGCAAATACCATAGTGGCACAAAGTCGATCCGCCAATGACCCGTCAACAGTGTTCCAATTATTTGAGAACGGCACTGACTTTACGTTTTTTAGCCCAATTAATGACGTGTTTGATGATATCGAGCTTTTCGCAAAGTCAAAGCCAAACCTAGTGTGAGACAGCGGCAGTAGAGTTGTGAGAGTTCGGGGAGGCTTGCGCAGACTCGTGGACGCGTCTCTTGGGTAGTTGCGGCGGTTCGAATGGTTCAGTTAGAGACTGTCAAAATATTCAAATTGTCAACAATAAAACTAAGTGATAAGAAATATTTAATAAATAAATAAAAATTGTATCTTATCTTAGGCAATCTATTCGGCTTATCATAAGTTCAAGATTCTCGAATTATTCCGGACATCTTGTCCCAAGCATAACTACCTGAGGTGGAAGATACCTACCTATCTAGAGTGGAGGCAGAGTCTTGTGGTGGATGTTTCTCCGCATGTACCTGGGTACGTACCTACCTTAGCTGCCCCCTAAGGCACTGGCCAATCACGGCGCGACCCACCTTGGAGCTTTCGTGTCCATCTGGGAGCTCTTGGGGAGTGCTGTCGCATGAACCATCACCATCACCAACTACAAACAGTCGTCAATTCTCCCCCTTTGACCTCCCCTCCCTACTCCTGCCACTCGACCGGCCGACCGACCATCCACCGCTCAGCTCGATCAACCCACCAAACTTCCGCCATGGCGCCCAAGAAGAACGTCCGCGAGCCCACCCCCTCGACTGCTGCGACCACGCAAGCCAGCTCCACGGCTCCCGCTTCTGTTCCTCCTCAGGTCAAGAGCAGCGCGCCCAAGAACGGCGCCGCCAACTGGGACCAGGTCCTGCAGAACATCTGCAACCACTACGTCAAGGAGACCCCGCAGCGAACCAAGCTCATTGACGTCTTCCTGCTGTTCCTGGTCGCCGTCGGAGCCCTTCAGTTTCTCTACTGCGTCCTCGCTGGCAACTACGTACGTCGAGACTAACGGCCGCCTCGGGATACTTTAGATGCTAACCCATCATACAGCCCTTCAATGCTTTCTTGTCTGGATTCTCGGCCACGGTTGGGCAGTTTGTGTTGACGAGTACGTGTTCTCATCCCTCAGGCAGGATGGACAGGCAAGATGGACAGGCAGGCTGACCAGAACACAGTTTCATTGCGCGTTCAGACCAACGATACGAACAAGAGTGAATTCCCCGGCGTGTCCCCAGAGAGGTAATATCCTAACCCATATCCCCAATCCCCTAAATGTACCTGGTTACTAACACTAATGCAGGGCATTCGCCGATTACGTTGTCTGCAGCCTGATTCTTCACTTCTTCTGCGTCAACTTCATTAACTAGAGGGCCGGGGATGGATACCACTACATGGACCAGATCGAGGTTCCTTATTGGGAGACGTCGAGCCCATAAGCAGTGTACAATACGAGACGGCATTCATGAAATCTTTACAAAAGTCCAATAGGGCACCGCGAGAACAGATACAAGTCAAAATATGGGGAATCATTCATACAAGCTACATCGTGACACGGTTCATTCATCTTCGCCTCCGCCACTCTCCGTCTCCACCTTAGGTCCGGCCCTGGGAGGACCGCCGGTCTTCGGAGGTGGAGGCATTGGCGAGGCCCTGCCTGAGGGAGCATTATCCAGGCTCCGGCTCTTCTCTTCCTCCTCCTTGAAATAGTCATCCATTAGCCTGTTGGGGCTGTGGCCGTGACCGTGGCGTTCCTTCTTCTTTCCACTCCTCGGGGGCGCGCTCACAGGAGTTGTCCCGATCATCTGCGCCGGTACTAGGTAGTCTCCCGCTGGAGGAGGTGGTGGTACGTCGGCGGCTGCGGCGGGTACGAAGACTCCGTCACTCTTCTCGTTAAGGCCCCCGTCAAACATTGTCTCGCCAGGAGCATCTACGGGCTCGCTCAAAGGAGCTGGTAACCGATGGAGTGCACCATACCCGAGGACACACCCCAGGGCTCCCTGACCACCCCAATCCCGGCTCGGCTGAATCGTGACTTCTCTGGTGACATTGTACTCGTTGTTGTAAACGTACAATCGCATCGGCCGGCCGATGAAGTCCTCCACCAGCTCGCCGAGGCCGCCCTCGCCGTAGAGAGGGCCCTCCGGGCTACCCAAAATGTAGTCGCTGTAGGGAAGGAGGCCAGCAACATCGGCGGGGGAATTGGCGGGAACATCGAGCACGTGCCAGATGTTGGCAGCGAGGGAGAGCGGGGAGTACTGAAGGGAGAGACCGAGAGACGCTGTGTCGACGGGGACGGGGACATGCATTTCCCTAGTTCTTTGACCCTGCGATCGCCATTAGCACGTTATCTTAGGATGCAGAGAGAAGTTCCCTTACCTTTGCGTTCCATAGACCCAGAGTGACGGTACTACCAGCGCAGTTCCTCACTTCTTGGGAGAACAGGGCCGGCTCCGAGTTGTCCTGCGAGTCGGATTAGAGACAATCTTGTTGAAGCGAAGCTCGTTTCAAGCACGTACAAGGGGTCTCCCATTGATTCCGACGATGAAGTCGAACCAGGGCTCGACCGCCAGTTCCAGGTTCGTGTTCCGCAGCACCTGGAACCCAAAGGATCCCCGTTCCTGTTGCCTCTGCTGCGGGGTGTCCCCATCGAGGCGCGAGATGAAGCGATTCAGCGCATTGAACATGGTTGCCTCGAGCGTCACCGAAGGTGTTGTGCCGGTCTAGAATCGCAAGTGTTGGAGGGTTGAGAGCGGAGACGTCCGAAGTCGTCTTGCGTCAGAAGGTGGGAGGGACTCGAGGGAGCTGCGTGGAGCAAGCTGTCACCATGACAGCCTTGCAGCTCCCTCCAGGCGCCAAGGCGCTAAGACTTGATTGTGGAGGGAGCCTGTAAGCCTGTGGGGCCGTCTCTCAGCCTCGTCCCGAATTTCCACTTCCCGTTCCTTGATGAATCGGGCATCACGGATCACGTTGGCCTAGGACAAGATCTTGCGAAGAATGAGCCCTTGTTCATCGTCTCTATAATAATACCCCGAGGGTATGCGATCATGGGAAGCCTAGGTGCTTCAGGTGCGTCGGAGTCGACAGACTTCGCCATGAAGCCCGCCGAGACGTTTCCTCTCACCGATGAGTGCCACCACTACCAAGGGAAAAACGAGGTGCCTTGGGATATCCAAAAGTGAGAATATACAATTTCCCATTGTCTTTGACGACTTCTAACCTCGGCTACCAGGTACTTTTCACAGAGATACTCCATTTTCTCGCTATATGATGAAGGCGTATACATGACCGACGATGCTTGGTTTGGCGTCACGCCTGAGCCGGTGGCAAAGTGAGCCCCCAACCCTGCCCCTACCATAAGCCATGCTAACGAAGTTGCAGCCAAGTCGCCAATGACATGTATGGCACCGAGGCACAAAAGCACATACTCATCGATGTCTTTGGTGGCGCTGGAGGAAACAGCATTGCCTTCGCCCTCTCCGGACGCTGGAGTCGCATCATTTCCATTGAGCGCGATGCCTCCACGCTCGCCTGTGCCCAACACAACGCAGAAATATATGGCGTCGATCCCGGCATCATCACTTGGGTTTACGGCGACAGCTTCGAGTACATGGACAAGCTAGTGAACCACCCAGAGGAGTTGCATCCCGATCTCAGGCCAGATCTCGACGCGACCGTCTTATTCGCAAGTCCACCGTGGGGCGGCCCTGGCTACCGTACAGATGAAGTCTTTGATCTGTACAACATGCAGCCATACAACCTCGACGATTTGCACAAGGCGTACCGGAGACTAGACCACGCCCTCTTCTTGCCACGAACAAGTGACATCCGACAAATTGCGAAGCTAGCGCCTGGGGAGCGGAAGATTGAGGTGGTCCAGTACTGCATGGAGGGCGCAAGCAAGGCTTTGGTTGCTTACATGCCTGGAACCTCCTCGGCAAATTCTAGCAAGTGAAGGCTTTGTCGCCCAAGACATGTCCAGGCCAGGGAGTCCCGGCACTCTCATGCCCAGCACCATAATCAATCCCCGACCACCATCAGGACTCAGACTTCCCTACTTCCTACTACCTAGGATTGTCTAGACGATCCATCAAACTCAGGACTGTATCCGAGTCAATTATTCCGGGTCCAGACAAATTTGGTGAGCAAGATTTGTACGGCAGAGCCAATGTTTTACCTGTCTGTTGGCGATGCCGCTTCTGCTCAGGGCTCAGCATCCAAAACCTCTACATCGAGAGCAAATCATATTTTAACTAGCAGATTCTGTTAATAAAAGCGCTGACCATATTGTGTTGTGAGTACTTTGACAATTGTCAGTGAAGGCATTTCGCGTTGTTAGTTGCACAGTGCCTATATGTCAATAATAGGCACTGTAGAAAAGATGCTTGAATTTCACTTGATGAAATCCTTCACAGACCCCATCCGCCCACAGGACTTTTCCACGCGAAGCCCAGGCTCACAGTAATTCGACTACGGCGCAAAGGCCGTCAGCAAACATGGCCAAGGACAAGAAGAAGGGCGGCGCCGACGCCAAAAAGGCCAGAAAAGTGCGTCACTGCCCCTCCATTTACCCCTCCATCCAGCCATGATCTTGACATGAGCCGCCCCTCCATGTCGAGTTGTCGAGTTTAGCGTTGACGGGAAAATCCACAACAGGCCGAGAAGGCGGCCAAGCAGGCCAACAAGGGAGAAAAGAAGGCCAAAACGAAGCAAGCCAAGATCGAGGGCAGCGATGCTGAGGATGTCGATCTCGACGAGGTTCTCGAGGAATACCGTCGCCAGCAGGAGCAGTTCCTCAAAGTCACCGAGGCAGTGTGCGAGTCTCCGCCAAAGGCCCGCGCTGCATCTACGTTGATGGCCTCGCCCCACGACAGTAACAGTTTGCTGCTCTTTGGTGGCGAATACTTCAACGGATCGCTGGCTCAGTTCTACAACGACCTCAACATCTACAACATCAGCCGTGACGAGTGGCGCTGCGTCACCTCGCCCAACGCGCCGCTGCCCAGATCCGGACATGCTTGGACTAGAGCTGGAAACCCGAACCACGTCTACCTATTCGGAGGAGAGTTCTCGTCGCCCAAGCAGGGCACATTCCATCACTACAATGACTTTTGGCGGCTGGAGCCTGCCACGAGGGAGTGGACCAAGATCGAAGTCAAGGGCAAGGACAAGAGCCCGTCAGCTCGCAGCGGACACCGCATGACATACTGGAAACAGTACATCATTCTGTTTGGTGGCTTCCAGGACACGTCGAACCAGACCAAATATCTAGCCGACTTATGGATCTTTGACACGGTGAACTTTGTGTGGCATTCGCCTCAGCTTCCCCCTGCCCAACTGAAGCCAGATCCCCGATCGTCCTTTACTCTGTTGCCTCATGACCAGGGCGCAGTTCTCTACGGAGGATACTCGCGAGTCAAGTCAACTGTACAAGTTAAGCAGAAAGGCGGCAAGGGGGGACAGAACCAGGCTCAGAGGAATGTCCTGATCCCCAAGGTCCACGATGATAGCTTCTTCTTGAGGATGATCCAGCCTCCAACTGATGCTAACCCCAGCACGCCTCCGACGGTGCGTTGGGAGAAGCGAAAGAAGCCAGCCAACGCCCCGAACCCTACTCGTGCGGGTGCTACCATGACCTGGCACAAGGGTCGAGGTATCCTCTTCGGAGGTGTGCATGACGTGGAGCAGAGCGAAGAGGGGATAGACAGCGAGTTTTTCAACCAACTGTTCGCCTGGAATATCGAACGAAACCGATTTATGCCTCTGGCTTTGCGAAAGCCTCGCCAGCAGAAGAAGAATGCCCCCGAGCAGCGAGTTGGTCGCCGAGGACGCGCCCAAGCCAATGAGGATGAGTTACTCAGGCAGCTAGCGGCTCTTGAGAAAGGCACTTCCCTCGAAGATGCTGATGACATTGAGCTTGAAAAGAAAGAGGAGGTACCGGATGAAAAGCCCGTCAAGGAGATGCCTGTGACGATGGAACCTCCTCATGTGAGGTTCAATGCTCAGATGGCCATCCAGGACGACGTGCTCTATATCTACGGCGGAACATTTGAGAAAGGAGATCGAGAGTTTACCTTTGACGACCTCTACGCCATCGATCTAGGCAAGCTCGATGGGTGCAAGGAGATCTTTACGCGACCTGTGGAAGACTGGATTGTAAGTGGTTTTTATTGCTGTACTTGGAGCAGACGGCTGACAAGATGTTGCAGGAATCGGAAGACGAGGACGATGATGACGAGGATGACGAGGACGAGGACGAGGAAGACGATGAAGAGGAGGAGGAGGATAAATCCCAGCAGCTCTATACGGCGAGCAAGCGGAAGAAGAAGCAGGATGAGGCTCCTGAGGTTTCTTCTGAACCTTCTGAAACCCCCTCGGAGACGACAACTGAGGAGGACGACACGGAAACTGCCACTTCTGTGGACGACGGGCTTCCACACCCCAGGGTAATTTTTAGTCGGGGCCAGTGTTGCGAGTATATGCTAATCGTGATTGATAGCCGTTCGAGACCCGACGCGAGTTCTTCGTGCGCACGACGGCAGAGTGGCAGGAGATTCTCATGACCAACCTGCGGTGGAAAAACATCCAGCCCGAATCGCTGACAATCAAGGAGATCAAGACCAAGGCGTTCGAGCTCAGCGAGGAGAAGTGGTGGGACTCACGCGAGGAGATCACGGCGCTGGAGGAGGAGCAGGAGGCGGCGGGCATCCAGGAGGTGGTCAGCCTCGCCGAGAGGGGCGACGCCGGTACAAGCGGGCCGGGAGCGAGGAGGAGATAGCGAGGCCAGATGCCACTGTACATGGAGATACATAGGTAGGTAGCGAGTAGTCGCGGCAATGAAACATCAGGCTTGGATAGGAAGTTGTTTCGCGGTGGGTGGAGCTGCTGAAGGTCGGACAAGCGGGCCATGGTGTGATGAGGACATGGATGACCCATGAAGATGCATCTCAGGTGAGTTGCTGAGATTGATCGCAGTGCAGTAGGATGTCCACCCCAGGCTGTCAGTGTTGTCAGTGTTGTCATTACTTGTCATGTCGGTCATTTCTGCTTTGTGCCGTCTGTGCCGCAATTACTGGGGTCATCTTGTTCCTATTCTCCGAAGCTGGATGTCTATTGCGGTATGGTGTAGTGGAGTCTATCAAAGATGCATCTACACCACCACCAGCCCAACAGACGGCGGCAAAGCCCCCCCCAGTCTGTGATGCTTGTAAATACTCCGTATGGCCTCCCAGATTCGGCCCCGGCTGTACTCTATCATTACCCCGAGATCAACACTCCATCACCAGTCCACCGCCCGATACCCCCTCGGCCGACCATGCATGCCCCCAAACTCCAACCACCGCAGCCCTCACCGTCCCATCCCTTGCAAGCCATCCCCAAGACGTCCCCCCAGGTAGACCGAGTCGCACAGTTACACAGATACAGATCCACCTCCCCCCCTTCTTCCTCGGAAGCGCCGACTACAGTGGCTCCTCAACAACCCCCGTAGGCGAATACGCCGCCCTCTTGCCCCTCGTCCACAGCACCACGGCCGCGGCATGGCGGATCAGTCAGTTGGGCGACGCGGCCATGGGCGGGTACGACTTGCCGCCGACGTCGACCTTGGGCTCGCACACGCAGCGGTCCTCAGTAGGGACGCTGTCGAAGACGGTCTGGATGTGGGCGCCGCAGCCCCACCACGACGCCTTGCCTAGATTTCGCATGGCGGTTAGTTGGTGTGAATATATGGGCCGAGGTAGGACGTTGACATACTGCAGGTTCCGCAGGTAGCCTTCTTGCACATGATGATGGTGATGATGGTTGTATTTGTTGGTTATGTGATGGGTGTTGTTGTTGTTGTTGAGAAGTTGAAAAATTGAGAGATAAAAGGTTCAAGTGTTATCTGAATCGGAATGCTCAACTTGAGGTTTAACTAGCTGTGGGGATGTCGTGGAGTCCGTCCAGCTTAATCCATTTTATACCATTCGGTTCCGGACTCTGGATCCAGCCATTTCCGCGGGGTTCGACTAGCTTTGACACACTGGATTCACCAAATTTCTAGGTAGCTTTCCTCGCCAAAGGCCACCCAGCCTTATTCAGCAGTCCGTCGCATTTTATTTTGCATTTGTCAGTCTCTAAGTGGTGGTCGGGGACTCTCGGCCTGTTTTCGGGCACTGTTCGCCGATACACTGTGCAACTCCCCCGGCCAAACTTCAGGCCTGGTGTCATTCCATACCTACTACGAGTACTTCGCAGCTATCCACGCTACCTCGGAATTGCTTCATCTTTTTATCTCCATCTTCGGGATTGAGCAAGTGCTTTCAGGGTTCATATTCCATGTATTGTTGCAGCCATACATCATCCTATCAGACCAGTGCAAAACACGCCAAAGCTAGCTGTGGACGGCTTCATACCTTACTTTGGGGCTCGGTCGGCTGCTTCTTCCTGTTCACTTCGCTCTCTACAATCGAGCGAATCAGGTTGACTGCTAGTTCCCGTCCTTTGGTGATGCTCGAGCCGGATGCATCCGCTGGCACGTGGAAGAAGACCACCTTCCTTTCCCTCTCCTGTTTCCAAAGTTGCGCCAGGCTCGAATAGTAGATGAAGTCGCACAGATACCTCCCCGCATCCTCCGAGATTCGCAGGTCCATGTCCTTCTAAAGAGTCTGTCAGCGTTTCGTAACTAGGTAAACGCAATAGAGTAGAACTAACCGCGCTGTGTCCCTGCCATCTCTTCAAAACGTCCTCGGGATCTAGGTCCGTCTCAATCTCCTCGGGCAATCCGCGCCAGACCCAGTCGCTACCAGGCTTGCGCTCCTCTTCTTCGTCGACCTTCTCTCCATCCACGTCGGTGTGCTTGTACCCGTCGCGATGGCCCCTCCGCTCTATGCAGTAGAACGGCCGGGGTCCCGCCATGCCGATGTGGATGACAATGTCTACCTTGCGCCCATTGTACGTCTCCCAGAGCGAGGGGACCAGCTTCCTCACCACCTTGTAGTTGACGCGGATAGGCTCGGGGTACACCAGGATGCGCACCTCGGGCAAGTCGACGGAATGCCTCGAGTTGGGGTCTTTGGCTCGGAGAGGGGGTAGATACTGCGGCAGGCCTCTGGCGATTTCCCACGACGGGTTGACGGGGTATTGTTCCCTAAATGGCTATCACGGGGTTAGCGCTTGACGATAATTATCCATCCACTCTAGCCATTGACTGCTGACTGTTGTCAATGCATCTGTACCGCCAGGCGGGCGCAGTGCGACCTCGCGTGATCTAGGCAATCCGGAGAACCAGAGAGCGGACGATAGGGAGGACAAGACGTACACCAAAGCCCGTGACGAGGACCGTCAGCTCATCTTGATCTTCGACCTGCGACCCCATAGTTGTTACTCCTTGCCTAGCAGTCTGCCTTCTCGGTTGATCGCTTCTAGAGTGCAATGCTGTCGTTAGGAGACGATCACATCAGCCCAGGCCGGCCGGACTGTTATCAGTTCAGCGGGTTAGACGTGGGGGATACGTCACTCGGAGGAGTTCCGCGGTGGGGGAACCGTCCATACACTAGGTCCTTAGATGCGGGGAGGCGTCTTGTGTAACGCACTCAACGCGCCGACTCTAGGTCCAGGGTAGGCTTCATTCTACTAAGCTCAAATGCCACCAGATAGGCTCTCGCCATGATGGACAACAGCTGGCGTTACGCTTTCTAAGGCCAACCCGTTAGTAGTCACGCAATCTCAACCACCGAGTGTGTTGATTGGATGCGGAAGGACCGGGGGACACCTTGCTCCATATTAGCCTGCTCCTAAATTGCGTTGTTTTCCGATTGATCTAGGAGCGGTGGCCCCGGTCCATCGATGAGTTAAAGATGGAGGCGTTGAGACGCCTCCTACCCTATATCATCATCACCAATCGCACGGCGATTCGGAGGCCTTGTCTAGGGGGAACCGGTTTTATACCATCCTCCCTGTGCATGTATTAAATTTAGACAACAGTGGGCGGCGGTATTTTACTATTTGTGACTTTAATGAAGTTTTGGTAGGCGGAAATATTATTGATGGAGAAAACAAATGGTTGTCGAATTCGGCCACTACAATTTCTACTACTCTTCACAAAGCCCAGGTGAATTCCGATTGAGAGTATATTAGCACACATATTATCAAGGCCCGTGAACAATATCTCCATCTTCGATCTCAAATCCATAAAAATGCGGCAATCCCACAACTAGAACACACCGGTAAGCTAAGCTCAAGGCGGCTTAACCTACACTGGACATCCCGCTCCCGAAAGCGGAGATGCCAATTGCAGTCACCGCTGAGTTAGACGTCAAATTCGAACTGCCACTATGGTATCGAGACACAGGCACGAGGTGGAACAAGCTAGATAAAAGGTAAAGAAAGACGTCATCTGATTGAATGACTCTTACCTTTCCGCACGAAGGACAAAAAGACCTCAATCCACCCCTGGACTTCTTTCCATCCAACTCACAACCAACCCCCTTTACCGTCGGATCACAACAAAGATTCAAGATACCTGATCAGACATCATGGGCTCGCAACCAGAGTACACCCTCCCCACGCAGGAGCTCACCTTCGATGGGTTCCTCTTCGACATGGACGGCACCATCATCGACTCCACCGAAGCGGTGGTCAAGCACTGGGAATCGTAAGTCCACACGGTATTTAAAAAAAGGTAGCGCCTCTTGACTGACGAACTCGCGCAGAATCGGCAACGAGATAGGGGTTGACCCAGAGGTTATCCTGGAGACTTCCCATGGACGCCGCAGCATAGACGTCCTCAAGATCGTCGCGCCGGAGAAGGCCAACTGGGAATGTGAGTCGACCCAAGTTGAGCGGTGACGGCCTCCTCACTTGAGGATGCCAGCCCTCCAACCAATCCCTCTCCTGATGACCGGACGAGAGACTGAACTCCTCCTTAGTCGTGCAGCATATGGAAGGACTCCTCCCCAAGAACTATGGGCACATCGCCGTCGAGATCCCCGGCGCCCGCACTATGCTGGACGACATCATCGCCCTCTCAGGCCGCTGGGCCATTGTCACCTCTGGCACTGTCCCCCTCGTCACCGGCTGGTTGAAAGCCCGGTCCCTTCCGCAGCCCAACGCGGATCATCTCATCACGGCCGAGTCCGTCAAGAACGGAAAGCCAGACCCGGCGTGTTATCGCCTCGGCCGGTCTCGTCTCGGCCTTGACGACGAGGCCGCCCGAGTGCTGGTCCTCGAGGACAGCCCGGCGGGCATCCGCGCAGGCAAAGACGCCGGGTGCAAGGTCCTGGGCCTCGTCACAAGTCACACTATCGAGCAGGTCGTTGCCGCGGAGCCGGACTGGGTTGTGCGCGATCTCGAATCCGTCAAGGTGGTCCGCAGCGAGGGAGGCAAGGTGACGATTGAGGTATCGAATGCCCTGCGACTGTGATGGCGAGGGCTACGTGCGACACTGAGAGGGAGAGTCGAGGGTACCGAAGGGAAAATAAACGATATGATGATTATTCAATAGACAAAATGCATAGGATATGGCATTCCGAGCAATACGAGAGAAATACCGGCATCGAAAGACCCCTAGGAAGGGCATCAATCCTGACCACACTTCTCCCTCCTTTGACCAGTCTCCCTGAAATCACGCTTCGTACCCACGCTCGCATTCATGGCCAACAGGCCCAATAGATTCCAGGTGCACGGGACGCCAATGGTAAGACCGGTGAAGATTCCCAGTCTTACAACTGTCGTCACTCACACGATGGAAAGCGGCCGCCATCGCACACGCAGGCACTCACTCGCTTCACTCGCTCACGCCATCAATGGTTGATTGCTTGGCACACTCTCCCACGTCCAATTTCCACCGGAGTCACCAACCAACACGCCATCCGCGCGTTCCCGAGCGTGCGTCGTGGCTCTTCGCTGTTGGCAGTTTCGAGCGTTGCTTTTCGGCGTCTGGTTTCCCTCGTGCGTCGATGCGCTACTATTCGGTGAGACATATCGCACGCCCTTCTCACCCCCATCACCACCACCACCACCACCACCACCCCCTCAATCCCTTGCTCGTCCGTCCCTCGTCCGCGGACGTCTCGGTCCGGAGGGGATGGAGCCTCGCCAGATAGAGTCAAGCACAGGGGGGTTCCTGTAGGCTACTGTATGCCTGGCGCGTCGCACCTTTCTTTCGACGGCGTAGGGAAGGTTGATACGGCCGAGCAGTGTCAGTTTATCGCACTCCCTCTCGTGGCCCGGTGCCCCATCCGAAAATGTCTCGGCTGCCGGTTGACATCCCATCGCCCCCGGGCCACACTGGGCTTCCCCCGTTTGGTGGGGGGGGGAGGGGGCGAACAAAGGGGGAAGAGGGGACGGCGAGTGGAGGGAGCAGGTGGAGGAGGGAGTAGCTTAGAAGCCGGAGTAGCTTAGAAGACGGAGTAGCTTAGAGCTTAGAAGCCGGAGCAGCCAAGATGCCGGAGCATTGGATGACAAGCCTAAGACCCTCGACCTCGCTGCTTCTCGTCGCACCTCACCTAGTCGAGGACCGTTACGTTCGCGCGCGGCCCCTAGTTTAGTGGACGGGGGAAGGGCAAAGAGGGAAAAGCGAGCAAAAAAGCCACCTCCTCGGCAGCTCGGGAGGCGTGCGGTGCAGTGCAGCACAGTGTGGTGTGTTGTGTGTGTTGGTGGTAGACGAACAACCTAACATTGGCCGCCACCGTTTGGTTTGTCTAGACTGCCTCCCAAACGCCCCGTTGATCTTAGGGACGCACAGAGGGATTGGCATTTGCACTTTGGCTGGGTGTGTTGTGTTGTGTTGGCTGCGGTATGTTCCGTGTACTGGGAAAAGCAATCCTCATCTCATATCCATGGCGGCTTTGTATCACCCACCCACAGGACTGGCCGGCGAGAGCACGGCTGGGGTTGGGAAAGATGACAGTCACCAGGGACCTCACCGGAAACCACAGCAAGGGGCCACAGAGAGGGGCCACAGAGAGGGGGACCGGATGAAAATAGCATCACGACTCGTTTGTTTGCACAGGAGGTGGCTTCGCGTGCCGGCATCGAGGCTGCGGGTACGATGCAGCGTGGGAAATGAAGTCTCTGTTCCACAGCCCGCCCGGCTGCAGCCCGCAGAGCTGGGATCGGTACGTGCTTCGCGGCACATACTTACAGCATGCTGTACAATGCCCTACAATTTCGATGCAGTGCTGGCTGGTTGCACCGAGGCCGTCCAACTGGCCCATTTCCCGGGACCGTGGATACGGCGACAACTCCAAGTGCGCGCCGGCGTCACAGCAGCACCAGTGCTCGTCTTAGCCTGCCCTGCACGACAGGCGAAACGGGGGCTTGATGGGGGGCCAGACGATGCAAGGTCCCGTGCGGACTATTACTCGTGAGAGGGCGCCATGGTCCATCAAAGCTGTCAACCAACACCGGTGCATGTGCCGGTAATGAAAGGGCAGGGCGGGTCGTGCGAGGTGAGGTGAAGTCGTGTTGTCATAAGCCAGTCAGTGGCGACGGGACGAAGAAAACAACAAGCCACGCTGGGTCTGAGATGAGCCGATGCCACAGATGGTGTAGGTGTATTCGCGTCATCAACACGGGCGTAGTGACGAGTAGGCGATGATATCTAGCGAGAGGCGGCGGACTAGGCCATTGCCCTTCCCGCCCGCCGTCGTGTTAGTCCGCGTGGTATACGAAGCAGACATGTCGTTTTTGCGACGGCTGTCACTGAGCCACGGGGGGTTCGTTTCGGACAGGGCAAAATGATAGAGAACGGAGCACAATGACAGGCCCGTCGCCGTTGATGCGGCAAGACAGCATCGTCCGTGCTGGATGGTCGGGGCCGTCCGCTCGCAACATGAGACAATCCTGGAAACGAACGAGCCGGCATCATCAATGTGAATGTTTGTTGGGACGGATACGCACGTACGCACGTACGCACATACGCACATGCACACACACGCACGCACCATGCCATGGCGTGGGAAACAATCCGACGCCCGAATTACCGTATTTTCCGTAGCCTGCGTTTCCAGGGCCGAAGCGCGAGGCTCGGGCGCCCGAAATGTGGCGATCCGTTGGTGGCTGGTGGTTGGTGGTGCGGCTAACAACCCGCCCGCCCTTGCGCGCTGCTTCACGCTGCGGCGTAGGGAGAAGGAGAAGGGACTTCGATGTTGGGTCGGAAATTTAGCCAGGATAGAAGGCATTAGGAATCCGCAGTCCTGCCCATTCGGTATAGTCGACCGTGATCGTGGCTGGCGGAGGAGAGCTGCTAGGGAGATTGGGGCCCGTAGCCCCTCCGCCTCTTCAGGCTTCCGCCTTTCACACGCCGCTTCATGTGCCGCCACAGCCAGTCGTTTGCATCGACCGGACTCTGTCCGTTCTGCATATCCGTCTCATCACCGCTGCCTCCGCCTCCGCCGCCTCAACGTGTGAAATGCGTGCGTACGCACTCCGTACTCCGTATGTGTTTGGGTGTGCGTGCGTGCGTGTGCGTGCGTGTCTCTCCTCTCTTCTAGGCCCTCCTATTCCCCTCTCCTTACGGAGAACTTCTCCTTACTCTTGCAGGCCCCTCTCATTTATACAAAACTAAACAAAATCAACCAACCCCAACAAGCAGTCCTATCTATGTGATGCCAAGAGAATAAAGAAAAAAAAAAAACCAAACAGGCTAGAAGGGCCTAAGTTTCTAGTACCCCCAAGCCAACAACCGCCCCCCCATACCCGCGCGCACGCCTCGCCCTAATTAACTGGCTCCAGCCCGCGAGCCCAACTGCTTAGGGAACCAGCGTTGGCACTTGGAAAGAAGCACCTAACTGTAGTGCTCTCCACACGGACCCGGCCCTAGAATAGGAGGTGCGGGTATCTGTCCACCGTCTCAGACCGCCTGGTAAAAAGAAAGGCGACGGCCAACGGAGACGACGATATATGGGAGAGAAGGAGAAGACAAAAGAAACTCGCAGCCATGCTCCTTCGTCTAATCTTACCTGCGCGTGGTCCTGGAATTTGCCCTCGTGGCCCATCCCGGCCAAAGCCTCATTCATAACTATGCCCAGGCCTGACCCAACACATGAAAGATTAAAAAAAAAAAGGAATAAAGGCAAAACAACAAGATAGCACAGCCTGGCGCTGTCCTGAGCGGTTTGGTGCCTCACATCAAGAAACGACGGACTTGACAGTGACCCCATGCCAAAGACGACCGCCAATTGGCCAAGGAACGAGGTGATAGTAAACGAGTCAAGTGCTAAACGGCCACTGGTCTTCCCCGACTCGACGCTCCACATGGCCCCAGTGCCAAACTCACCAGCCTCACCGGTGCCTGAGCAAAAGGCGACGGTTGATTCACGTCGGATCCGTCGGACACCGCGAGTCTCGGGCGTGTGGACTTATGATCGGCTTGTGGGGGGAGGGGCTCCTGGAAGAGGGCTCAGAGGGGGGAACACGGGGATAGAGGAGTCAAGAAGACGCTTGCGACGGGTAGTCCAGATTCCCAAGATTTTCACCGTTCGCCTACGGAAAACGGTCGTACCAAAATGGCCTCAAACGTGCTGTTGGGACAGACCCGAAGTGCCCCGGCCCGACTCCGCCGGCGCAAGGCTGTCATCGCCAAGTGGGCTCTCGACCACACCGGCGCCGTTACGTGATGCTTGCTGATTAGTATACTATGTCCCCAAATCTATGTCTGGGCGGGTTCTCAAGGCCGCAACGTCTTTGATATCAAAGTCCGTATCCGTACTCCGTGCTCCGTACTCCGTGCCACCCGCCGGGATTCTGGTCACGGAGGCATGCAGAGTTGGGTTCTGGATCTGGTCATGGGCAGAGTCCTCAGCCGACCTCAGGGTCTGGTCCTGGGTCTTGCCTTGGGTCCTGGCCGCGAAAGGGTTCCAGGCCCGTTCAGCTTTGCGAGATATGCAACGCCAATGCTTCTTCGCGATCCAGGCCTCTGTTGCGAGAGCGTCCAGAACCTCGTTCCCGAGTTGTGCCCCCGAGCTGTGCCCCCCAGCCGTACCTACATAGCAAGGTCTCCTCCACACCGCGCGGGCCAGCATCCCGGAGGGTCTTAGTCTTAGCACCAGCGCTCGGGGCTGGACGGCCACGTGTGAGATGGATCCGCCTTTGGCCCTTGCTTGACGAGTTGAGAACGAGGCACCTCCTTGTCGTCTCCTTTAAGCCTTTTTCGGGCCACGCCTTGACCACTTGGCTGCCCCGTCTACGCCACATCCTTGTTGGGGCCAAAGACAGGCCGGGTACTCAGCCCTCCGTACCCATCTGTACTCTCAATCCACCGACTCCAGCCGGGGGGCCGCCGCTAGGCCTCTCCGGAATAGGTCTAGAGTCGCCGAGAGCCTTGAGCTGAGAGCATGGCAGGGCTGGAAAACGTGTGCAACAGACAGAAACCCAGTTGACCGATCCTCCGCACCGGTAGTGGTCATCTACCTCGCGTTTCCAACGGCATGCCCGACCCTCGTAGAGCATCTAGCCCTGTGTCCCACCTGTCCCACCTCCGACCGACGCTGCTCGCTTGTTTTGTTTTGTTGATAAGCAAGCAGGTGCTGAAGCCTGGACGAGCCGGTAGATGCCGCGCGGATCCCGCCCGGGAGATGTCCGTCGGAGAAAGCACAGGTGTCGTTTGTCCGAGCCGCCAGACTGAGTTTGTCAAGCTCTCCTCTGGGCTGAGTCTGGATCCAGAAGCGGTTGAGATGGCTCTCTAGCCTGCTCAACGAGGGATGCTTGGTTAGGATCATGCCCAATTGACAATTGTGAGGCCCCGTCGCCAACACCCAAGTCAGTCGCTTGGCTGCGTTGGGAGGCACAGGTGCGCCAGAGACAGGTCAAGCCATCCTCCAGCCAGCCTCCAGCCAGCCTCAAAGCCTTGGCCCTGGGAGTACGCGTCCAGGCCTGCTCCTACTGGTCCCCATTGACGAGGAATCTCCACTGACCCGGGTGTCGAACGATGGCGCAAGTCCCCATGACCCAGTCCTTTTCCAGCGCTGCGGTAACTAGCAGGTCCCCGAATCCCACAACGTCCCCGATTAGGCCGCCACCAAAAATACGGTTGATTCGTCCCCGAGCCACTGATCTGCCGCCCATACATAGCACGTAGTGCGTTAAGACAGGGGAGCCGTTCCTAGTGCTGCGGGTAACCATGGATCTGAGCATTTCGACCCTTGGACCATTGCCTGCCATGGTGCTCGTTCTGCTGGTGCGGGGAGAATGCCTCGAGGCCATGGTTCCGCGCGTCGCTGCATCGGGGCATCCTCAATTGCAAAGGCAGATTGAAAGCCATCGCTATTCCTCATCCGGCGCTAATCATACTTGAAGCTCTCCCCGGCTGGCCAATCGAATACATGATGTGCGCCAAGCATCTAAATACCCCCCTGCACTCGTCGCTAATGGAGGCAGCCAGTTGGTTGACACCCCGCTGACCCCGGCTCCAATCCCAGTCATTGGGTTTGCGCCAAAACGGATCTTGCCTTGAAGGGTGGACGACAACGATTGCACTACCCAGAGTGTGACTCGTCATCGCCATTGCTGTTTGATTCCGCTCTGCCACCCTATGATGATCCATGAGCTTGCGGAAGTACTGTATACTGTATTTCGGAGGGCGAGATCCAATCTTCCCAAGCTAACGCACCTAGCCGAGAACGGAGAATCAAGGGCCTCTTAACCCTTGAAACTCAAGCTTTTTCGGCAGTACAGTACCCAGGCGAAGGCGATGGGTGCACCACTGGCCATTGTAGACGACAGACGATTGATAGACCCGCTCATGGCCACAGATTTCTGCATCTGCACATGCGGTGACTTGTCGTAGGCAGGGGTTGCCGGCGGAGCGGTGGGTGACGCGCCCAAAAGCTGAGGAGCGTCACAGCCCATCTCGTCGCTTGATTGGGATAATCACCGGTCACCAGCTCAGCTCCCTCAATACGAGTGGGCGTTTCGCCCGATCCTACTCATCGAGTTTCCCAACCGGGCCTTGCTGGGTTGAGGCCTCAGGTACACAGCGTCCGCGTTCGGTTTCGATAGGTGCCGCGGTTTGTTTCCACACCGGTGGTCTGGAGCCGCAGCTTCACGCGGTGACCGAGGGGATCGGCAAGATCTTCCCCGCCATCTTCCCCGGAACAAATGTACCCGAGAGACCTGTCAGGGTAAAATCCAGCACACAAGCTGTCGAGAGTGGCTCCGACCTTCTGGACGCCCGCCTCTCCAGTTCTAGTACTGCCGATCACCATCGAGATGGAACTCCAATCCTGCCTATTGGTACCGAAGATTACCGGTGTAGATCGGAGTCGTTACACGGTGAACTTCAAGACCAAGTAGTTCCTTGTCCGTGCCAAGAGATTCTTTTCGAACCCACCCGGCGGGAGCACAAATCTCCGGGCAGCGCCTCCACAGTATAATGCACATCTTAAGGCGATCAGCCCCTGAATAGGATGGATAAGCAATGTCGTCCATGATAGGCATTCAAAACGCCGGGTGGTCCAAAAACAACACGCAGGATGCAAATACTAGCTTTCATTCAGCCATTCAATGCGGGGTGTTGGGCCATGAAAACTGGAAACAGAAATATGTTCCCATTCGGATGCCGCCACAGGCGAACATGCGTAATTCTCCCCTCATGAGGGTCGCGCTGGGAGTCGAGACCGTTCTTTCCTCGGGCGCTCCGTGAGTTCGCCGTGTCTCTACCCCACTCGGTACCTGAGATGTGGGCGCCGCCCCGTTGCAGGCCCACCACAGGTTGTGTGGATCGTGGACGTTGATGAACAGAGCGGCCCCGTATCAGAATTCGCTGTTCGAAAAGAAGGCGGGTTGAGGCGGCCTGTTCCTGCGCTTCATTGACCCACGCAGCGCCTCCCGCAAGACCGAGAATCTGAAATCCATACGGAGGTCAAGAATCCCATGAAATGAATCTGTGGGCAGGATTGAAAATGACGTGTATGCATCAACCTGTTGCCTCAGCAAGCAGAGCCCGCCGGAGTTCTATCTCCTAGCTGGCGGAATCTTGGGAATTTACGCTTGCCGCCCTAAATATAAGCATGCACCCTCGGCGCCAACTCAGTGTAACCCTCTACACAGGATCATCTTGGGAAAGAGGAGCATGGTGACCATGGTGCCGGTTCGGACCCGAGCAATGACTTCAGTGACAACAGAGCGGCTGTGACAGCCGTCAAGAGTATAGCGCCAGTGACGCCTACCTTTCACATTCGGCATCATGATAGGGTCATAGCGGGCTCGGGAGCTTGCTGGTGTTTTTGTGTAGCCCCTCCACACTGGCCCGGGTATCGGCGCTGGCGTTCTGACGAGCGTGCCACGATCGGTATCGAAGCGACGGACTGCGCGATGTAGTGGATGAGGCTTGAGACAGCGACCACTCTCTGAGTTCTAGTAACGCGGCGCTCTGGTTCACTGCATGTCGGAACTGAAGAGAGCTCATGAAATTGCCCTGAAGCCGTGTCACGGTGGCTCACTTTGGTTGGATGGGGTACACAACGCCAGCCCAACAAAGGCCTTACTCTGCATGATGAGGGTCTTACAGGATGAGAGATGCACACAGAACAGGGATAGGCTCGGAAGCACTCTGCCATCCTACATATCATGCGGCTCTGGCAGGCCTATGAGGTGCTGTTTGGCGCAGGGCTCTCCCAACCCAACAAGGAGCATCCATTCGGAAGCGCTCGGGGTCGGCCCAAGGTGATGGAAGCCGCTGGAGCAGATGATTGGATGGACGGTGTTGGCATGCTGCGGGCCCGGCCGCAAATTGCGCGCCTGCGGTGCCACCTGGGGATAACAAGGACGTATCTCTAGGTCCCTGAGCCTGAGAAGACGATATCGTCAGGGCTCATGTTTGCGGATGAAGCTGAGACCCGGGACGTACAGTGTAATCTAGAACTCGGCAGGCGAAAGTCAACCTGAGCGACCCCTGTGGTCTTGACCATCCATCGCTTGCTTCTGCGTCAAGAGTGCGCTGCACCATGCGAATCAGCGAGATGGATTAAGCGACGATTCGGGAAACAGACCACCACACTTGACTTCAGCCAGGGCGGGTCACCGGAAACGACAACACTCAAGGTGGGGGAAGAGCTGCACTTGCCGAAAACGGCAACAAACTCGAGCTGGAGACAGTCTGGGCGATGGATGGAACTTGCTGTGCGTTGGCGGGCGAGAGGAGGGCTGCTGTACCATGACCTCAATGCTACACAGGCTGTCAAGTAGATGAGACGGGCGGCCGACAGTTTCACTCAGCTGAATGGCCAGGGGGCTGGACAGTGACTCTCCAATGCTCCTGGGTCCTGGGTCCTGGACTCCTGGGGAGTTGACCTCGTCACCCGGTGCGCTAGGGGCAGCATCTTGCTAGGGGGCCATGTGTCGGACGATTCGCGCCAGAGCATCGCCAAGTCAGTCTGGACTGAGTACTCGTCCGGACTCGTGGTCGAGAGCTCGGCCGTGAAGCTCTGCAAGAGTCCGCTAGCCTGAGTGGGATGTACGATGGATGCGCGGTGCCGTACTCTGTGCAGATGTAGTACACATCAGGCTGGCCCTAACTGTCCTCACGGACCAGAGTCCATCCAAAAGAACAGCGCCCCAGGAGCCAGCTTAAACCGCACTACGGCGGTCCCTCTCTGATGAGAACTGAGAAGAAGCGGGTGGTCAGTGTGGTGTGGTGTGGTGCCGCACAGAACGACGCTTGGGGGCGGCGGGAATTGGGAAAAAGCAAGGGATGTAACGCTCCGGGAATGAATCGATCTGAGGTGGTCATGGACATGGTCATGAGGCCTGCTGGGATAAACGGTGGTTGTGGTGAGGTGGCGAGTGGGCGCCTAGGAAGAGCAGAGGTCTTGGGCTGAGGTCAAGTTGCCTAGTAACCTAGGGAAGGTAGTAGGTTCCCGCCCGTGGAAAGGCTGTCCCGGTCGGCTTTGAGCCTGTGATGGAGGGGCTTTTTCCATTCTCGCCGACTGCTTGGCTTGACGCTCACTGAGATAGGCTCTTGCTAGACTCGTGCCTGCCTCCTGCCCGCCGCCTGGGGACCCGGAGTCCTCTCCGCGTAGAGCCGCCGAGTGGTCTAGATGGCGCACAATGGTCCCAGCGCAAGAACCCACCGAGCACGATGAAGCGTCGGGCTACTAAGCACGCGAGCTGCAGCGCATAGCAGGCGCTGGGACGTGCTGGTGACCTTCCACAGTTCTTCCAATCGCATCCTCCATCCCACAATGTACCTGCACACACTGCATCATATCCCACCGTACCGAACTTGCGGACTCCATTCCGTACCGTGACGACTCAGCATGCCGGGTCTTTGTCCTCTCCTTCGGTCATCACCTTGTTCCCATAGCCTCGGCGCCTCTGAGTTGCAGTCAGGCCGTCGGTGGTGACCCCTGCCTCAGCTGCCCTGCGGCCCAGTCATGGCTTTGGTTTGTGTGACCAGACAACTCTCCGCGTCATCCCTCCCTCTCGTGGGAGCGGCGTAGGCGACACAACGCGACTTAGACCGCGACAGGGCAGCGATGACCACGGCGAACGGCGAGGACCACGATGTAGAGTCCTGGGCTGCCACAGCCCTGGAACCTGGCCCGGCCAACTCGCGTCTGCATTAACCCTCGAGCTAGGTACGACATCCTAGGCCGCCCCTCCGCTGGCATCCCTCCAAACTTGGCCCATCGCAGGGCACTCGCAGGAAGTCGCAGGGCCACTCGCAGGGCCACTCGCAGGGCCACTCGCAGGGCCACTCACTCCCTTTGAGAGCCAGCACAAGATGGAAACGACGCCAATCCCACCGAGTTGGCAGCCCCCGTCCTGGCAGGCCGTGGCGCTGGGCTCTCCTCCGAACGAGGGAGCTAGGGAGTGTCCTGAGTGGGTGGCCAGGGCGCCGCCACGACGGCAGCACAGGCCGGCTCGGTGCGCAACCCCCCTGCCGGCCGCTTCCCCTGGACGCCCCGGGGGGTGGCCAGCTAATGAAAACCTTCGTACAGGTCTGTCAAGGCATGGGGGGGTGGGTGGGCGGCCAGGGCTGGCAAGGGTCGGAGGCAGGGATAGGCTGAGCAGTTGAGACCTCGTCCCAAGTCGCGCCAGGTACCTGTTGAGCGAGCCTTGTGCTGTGTCTTGGGTACCCTGCACGCCTGGCACACAGGCCTGGAGATACTGCTTCTGTGAGCTATCATGGGTACCACGCCCCTCGATGTGATCTCCTCCCCCGGTTACGTGCAGGCTACGGATGGGATCCAGGGGCGGGTCTCATTGCTGCTCCGTCACCCCAGTTCACACTCGGGTGTGAACCCACACGCCATCTCGCAGACTGTCATGACGGGGCAGACGACTGCCGGTGCTCCCAAGGCTGCGTACTACGTACATGTCTTTCCTTCTTCTACCCTCCCACACCCCTCCTACCTTGTCCCCATACTGTTTTTCCCTCCCCGTTTAAGAACTCCTTGTCGACCTCGTCCTTGGAGGGCAGAACCCGAGTGAGCTCTGTCTCACAACCGCCGCACCCTTCTCGCTTCCTCCATCTGCCTCGAATCGTCCTGCAATTGTTCAAAAGACGACCCGATCCCACAACCCCATCTGCCACCATCTACATCAGACACTTCCATTCGTTTGTCCTTGTAGCATCCACACCAGACAGACTCTTACCAAAGCCGTTGATTGCCTTTGCCAAGAGACCAATCCACCATTCGGCTCCAATCTCGATCACTTCAACAACACCGGCTCAAACCAACTCCAAACACGCCGAGAGTTCTGTATCACGGCTTTTACTCTGCCTCGTTCACTGTCTCCCAGAGCATTAGCTCGCAATGAAAAACAATATGGGATCCTACCCCGAGTCTCAATGGACTGGATGGGCCTACAATGGCGCCGCCGGCTCCTACTCCGGATATGCGCAACCACCCAGTTACGCCGCCTACCTTCCGGAGTCCATGGAACTCTACAGTAATCAACAGAGCCACCTGGTTCACCATCAGCAAATGTCTCGAACAACTGAGACCAAGCCTCGTCTGTCGAAAGAGGAGGTCGAGGTCCTGGAGGCGGAGTTCCAAAAGAACCACAAGCCCAACAGCAGCACCAAGAAGGCGCTGGCGGAGTCGATGAGAGTTGATCATGCTCGCATTAATGTATTTCATCCCAGTATAACTACCGTGTGTATATGATTGACTGATTGGATGGTAGAACTGGTTTCAAAACCGTCGCGCACGGGAGAAGAAGGAAAACAACATTCGTGAATATGCCGCCAAGCAAAAGCTCGAGAAAGACAAGACCGTCGCTGAGACTGGCCACTATTTGGATACCGACCGTTACATCGATCGGGTCGCTTCAAGTGCACCCTTCCCCGACCCCCGCCGGCCATCCATCAAGAGCGAGTACACGGACGGGAGCCCTTCGGCCGATCTTGCGACCCCTGAGCATGACAGCGAGACCAGTCAATCAGATGCATGCTCGTCCCCAGACATGTCTCTTCATGCTACTCCTGACCGCGCCCTCTCCTTCGACTCTTGCAATGCTGGGGTCGAGTACTTTTCATTGAAACCGGAAGTTATTGGTTCGAAATCTGCCTTCATCTCGGATTCGACAGGCGAGTTTCTCTCCCTGGGCGAACCAAACCCACAGATCCCATCCGCCGGCCTGCAATACCCCGATTTTGACCAATTCCCCCAGTTGATTATGCCCAACGATGACTGCGAGTTGACCCCCTCCTACTCGCAGCAGTGCTTCCCTGGAAGCGCTGGAGTGTCACCCGCTTCGGCCCAAGGCTCTTACCCGCAATACAGCGAACAAGAGTTTGATGAGAATCACGCCGGTGCCAATGGTGGTTCTCAGCGATCATTGAAGTCACCGCCATCCATGGACATTGCCTCCCGGCGAAACCGCCGACCCCCACACCTTGCAATCAATGCATCTCGCAGCTACTCGGCGGGCGTCCCGAGGACGGCGGTAGACATGGGAAGGAGGACAGATGTTGGCAGCTCAATGCGCCGCGTTGCCTCTGCCACAGGGACCGTCCGCATTTCCAAGCCGTCTGGAACCCCTCGAAGCCCATTCTTTGATCGGAGCCATGAGGTACTCATCCAGCTGAACCGGCCTCCCAGTTTCTCAGGTGCAACGCCGACCATCGCACCGCCCACTCCCAACACTCCTGTTGTCTTGAACCAGCAAGGGATGTGCGAGGTCAACGCATCATGTGCGCTCTCTCTTAACGAAAAGGGTTCTCTGGATCTTGCAGTTCATGACCCAACCCTCCGGACCCCACCCACGACGCCCGGTATCATTGAGCATATGTTCACAGTTAACTCTGCCTACGATGTGCCAGTGTCTGATGAACCCCTTGTTACCCCGGGGTTGGGCAGCTTTCCAAGTGACTTTGAGGTCCCCGGCGTTTCAAACCAAGTTCCGAACTACATTACCAACGGTTGCTCCAGCCAGCCTCAGACTCCTTCATACACCCCGCACATGGGGCCCAACTACTTCGGCTACTCTGGAGGCAATGCCGAGTACAACTGGTCCGACCCATCGGGGTCGGCGAAGTCATCGCCTGGCCAAAGTCATCAACAGGTTCAGTTCATGAACATGACACCGTCAAGCTTCAATCACGTTGAGAAATGAGCTTCGATCTTTACTTCGACACAGTTTGCATGGCTGGACCAACATTCTTGCATCTACAGCGATCCTTGTCCGCCGTTTTTGGACATTGTACAACATCAACGAACTCCAAAGTTCCTTCTCTTGCTTCTTCAAAACGACAATGGAAGTCGTCCTACGAGCGAGCCAAAAAATTGTTTTTCTTTATCTAATACCTAACGAATCATACCCTAATGTAATGGATGGATGGTCTTATTTGGCGCTTTAGGATGGGCAAGGTGACACGGGAAGGGATCATGAACGGGAAAAGGGGCCATATACACGAGGAACCATTGAACGATTTGTGAAGCAAAGAGATGCTACGTGGCAGGAGTGGAGCTGAAACAGAATCCTCAGTCTATACGCTCGGTTAGTTGGACTTTGAGTGGTGGGCGAGGGGCGAGGGGGATATTGGTATGAGAGCAGTCGGAGACAGCTTCGGGCTGGGAGCTAAAATAGCTATCCCTAGTGGGGATGATGGAGGTAGCTGTGGATATAAACACCAATTATGCGAACCAAAATACCAATTAACAACTACGTTGGGATGCAAGCAGCTTGTGGTGAGATGTAAAATTGCCGTGATGTCACTCGGATGGTTAAGCGTAAGATGTGCTACATATTTTCAGTCGTAGTGGATCGAGAAGCGCACAGCCCATCCACGAACGGCCAGTCAGACGTGGTAGGTAGGGTGAGATTAGTGGTACCGCGTGGTGTTTCGGGTGGTCTTCCCAAAGTCGATGGCCGCCGAAAGGGGATCCGCATTTACCACATTGCATTCCATTCCCATCATTCACGTTCCCGAATGGGGATGGCAACCAAGTAGACGGGTGGTGTACCCGGGCCTTCTCAGTGGCCACCGGGGACCACCTGTGCACTACATACAGAGTAGGTGGCACACACTGCATCACACTCACATCAGCGCGCGGAGATCAGGACGGGCCAGTCCGAGGCCGGGACCGGAACCTCCGGCCCCCACTCCACCCCGCACCTATTGGGTTCTTCCGATGCGGGTGACCAGCGGCGATTGTTGGGCCTTTAACTGACATGAGGTTGGCGAAGGATCTTATTGGACGTGGAGGCTGGGCTGCCGAATAACGGGGAACAGGAGGCGCTCTTTGTGCTGCAGGAGTACTGACGCAAACATGTTTAACCGCTTCTCGAACAGGTCCAACAGATCCAACAGAGGTGGCTTCTTGGGTGGCATACTATTGTTGATTGACGATAGATGGCTTGCTGCCAAGACGAAAGCGCAGGCGACGCACAGGCGGGGTGGAAATGGGAGGTACACGAGTGTACTTGTCTCGATTGACTTGACGTCTCTCGAGTACCACCCACCCCGTCCATGCAGCCTTGGGCCTAATGCGGGATGACATCCCCGTACTTCCCATCTAGTTGCACCAGCCAAGGTCAGCGTCACAAAGCGGTTAGCAGCTGAGGGTAGATGGTTCGAGGCTGACGGTTGCAACGTCCTCAACAACGCCCCCGCCCTGCGCAGCTCAGCTTGTTGGTGGCGCTCAGCTCTTCCACCGCGCGAGACTGATACTCCCGTCACTGTCACTGGTTGGCATGTGGGTGCATAATGCCACCAGCTGAAAGCCGCCGGTGCTGATGCTCGAGGCCAGAGGGCTGGCATGTGCCTGAAAATCCTTCAATGGCTTGTCCCCTTGCTTCCTCGCCGGTGCTTCCTTGCTGGTGTGCTGTACAGCATGGGCGTCAAAGGCGGGTTAGCCCAGTTGGGGTGCATCGATGGTTCGTAAGAAGTGCAGGCGGGCGGGGAGGTCAAAGCAATGCTCGAGAAGGCAGAGCCAGAGACACATGCAAGCCGCCAGCCATGTTGAGACCGGCAAGTGGTTTCCCTCACTTTCCCAAGCTGTGCTAGGGCCTCGTTGAGCGTTGGGCGTGATGCGAGCTACCCCGCTATCGTGACGATGACGGACCTGCGCATCAGGTTGGCGGTTTATGAGGGCAACCGGCTGCAGCCACAGAAGCACGAGACAGTCGCTAGAGCTCTCTGGTCCTCCGCTATGCCGCCCCGAACATTTTCGGTCGGTGAGAGAGGTAGGCTAGTAAATAAGGAAAGTCAAGCAGGCAAACCCAAACTGGGCCAAAGAGTTTAAACTTGCAAGTTGTTAACTTGGTGACCATCCATCTTCACGTAGATGAGAGGGCGAAAAGTCATAGTGGGGCACCACGCTGATCGCGCTGTGAAGACGCGCCAAAAATTACTCGTCTTGACGCAGTACGTCACTGGACGGCCTCGAACCGTGCACGCCAGCTCACGCGTCTGGCCGCCCTTGTCAAGCAAACCACTTCAGACGTGCGATCCCTCACGTTGCCCCATGACAACAAGTCCTCAACCCCTGGTGATTCCGTCCGTATATTTCTACTTTTTAGCCGTTGTTGCATCTGCCACCAGTATCTCGGATAATGCTTTGCCTTGAATGAGCACCCCGCCGTTCTCATGTCCTCTCCCGCCTTCGCTGGCACAGACGCGTCGCGTCCGCAGACGAGGATTTTGACGCCGAGTTCCGAGGGCAGCTTGAATCGCAAAGATGGACCTACGCCTACGCGGCCTGCTTCGCCCGACCGCCGCAAGAGGAAGAGGGCAGACTCCGTTGCCATGGGTCATTTGCTAAAGCCGTCCATTGCTCTCAAGGTGGGTGGTGTTCGGTGCAGCCCATGCTGATTGATATACGTTCGTTGCTCACTCTTCGGGATTTTGATAGCCGCATCCTCCAAACCTCCACGTCCCACCCCGCGTCCTTCAACCATTGATGGTCATCCCTCGCGAGCAGCTCCCGCTATCATGCATCGATTTCAATCCCTCCAATGTCGAACTCGCCCCCGGCCGCCTATTCGAATCTCACATCAAAATCCTGGACCTGGAAAGCCGCATGGGTTCCGTCCCCGTTGTCCTGCTTGCGAGATACGAGTCTAGTCGTAGTGTGTATGCTCTCGAGAGACAGGACAACGCACTCTACGTCGCGTGTCGTCTCGGGTCTTGGATTGACTTGTCTTCGCTGGCGAAGCATGCGACTGCGGCCTGTCATGAACGTCTCCGATCTACCGCCCGACCAGAGTCTCGAGGGCGAACCGCGTCCGCAGCGATGACGACACCTCAGTTGCAAAAAGACCACAAGGTAAAGAGAGCTGCCATTGAGGCCATCCAGTCTCTCGTCCGCAAGAGGGCCAGGTCTCAATCCATCTCCACGTTTGAGGACCCTATCAAATCCGACGACAATGCCTTGGTCCCCAAATCTGTGGAATCACAACTACCATCACCCCTCCTCCAGCAAGAAGACCTTCCCGATGTCGATACTCTTGGCAAGATGGAGGTTGTTGCTCCCCCAGTTTCTATCTCGATATTTAACAACCCCGAAGAATCTGCCCCGCCACAAACGGCTGAGGCGATCTTTGAGAATATCAGAACGCAGTACTTTGAGGCTTTGTATAAATCTATGGTTTGTCTCTCACTCATGCCAGCTCTCAGTTCAATTTAGCTAATTATCTAGGGTTCGTTGGCGTACTTTGCTAAGGGGCCACTGTCTCGAGCTCGTTCAGCCTTCCACCTGGATCTTGAGTCTAGCCTGGATATGGGCGATCTGATTGAATTCTTAAAGAGCCTTGTTTTGACGACCGTGCAAGTCGACAAGAAATACCACGATACTGTCCCTGATGTCATAACTAAGATGAAAGCGATTGTTGAAAGCTCTGACGAGGGGCGAAAGAAGAAGCGACGAGCCAAGAAGATGAAGCTTGGCAAGGACGGCATGTATCCCTACGAAGAGGACCACGTTCAGAAGTGGTGGATGGCAAACAAACCCGACCTGCATGATGACGAAGCCACCATTCCCACCCAACAGATCAAGTCACTGGCCTCGATGCTTCGGACTCGCGAAACCCAGCTCCAAATGATTTTGATTCTCGAGATCCTGGCATTGACTCCTCTGAGGGCGGCTGAAGATGCGGAAGACAGCCAACTACCCCCCCTGCCTGGTGCCCTTGAGTCTCAGGAAGGCATGGCACCACCCCCGAAGAAACGAAACAAGCACAACCTACCCGTCCTCATAGACGTTCATGCAGATCGCCTGACTATTTGGCAATCAACTGTCTCCGATGAACAACTCTTGCTAGAGGACTCCCAGGCTACACACCAGTCCGGTGATGGCCAGCTTCAGCAAAAAGGGTCTTCTGAGCCCCTCAAGGACTTTTGTATCGACGTAATCGTGCCTTTGTAAGTCAGTCTTTCTGCCGATACCTCCAGTCACTGACTTGATTATTATAGTTTTTCAGCACGACTACCAGAGCTGTGTGACTCTATCAACCGGAAACTAGGTGGTCCAGTCATTGTGAAGCCTTCCAAATCGAGGAGCCTCAAACGATCCTCCAGCAAACGTGAGCAGAAGCCTGGAGCTGTCACAAAGCGACCCAGCCAGCAGCCCAGGACCCTTCAGCGAGCGCTGTCTACAGAACAGCATCATCGCCGTAGCATTTCCAGAGGCCCCAGCAACATGATTGCTCTCATGCGCTCTGCGACATCCACTTCTGTACCAGGAATTAAGCGGGAGGGAAGTGAGCCAGCTGCGCCGAAAGGGGTACTAAAGGGCGAGCCGGACCTACTAAATAGGCGAAGTGGTCCCCTCTCTCGAAGCACCAGCATGTCCAACCTAAGGGACACCAAACCAAACAAGAAGGCCCTTGTCGAGGCCGAGCTGAAAGATGCCATCTCGGCTCTGAGAAAGCCTCATAGGGAAATCGTTAGCAAGGAATTGATGGATGCAGCGGAGCGTCGAACATCGACAGGCCTTTCAGCAAAGAGTAAGTCCCTCAAAGTGGCGATATGCAGTACACCCGACTGACATGTAATGCAGAAGTGAGAAGGCCGGCTCGAAGCTCGCTTGGCACATCTATTGTGAAGGCTACACCAGCGAATAATCGGTTCAAGGATGTATTTGCTGCAAAGTCTGAATCAGTAGCTGATGTCCCACTGATAAGCACTGAAGAGGTCATCCCTCCTTCAAGCATGCCATCAATGATTCCCTCAACGGGCTTGCGAGGAAGCCGTAGAGACGCATTTCGCTTTAGCCCATCCCCTGTCATGGATCGAATTGACAGCACACCCACAAAGGGATCAAGTTTCCTTCATCGGCTTAGGGACGATAGCCCTGGGCTACCACCCTCGTCGCCCCTGATGGAGAGAAAGGCCATGCCGCAAGAGCGATTCCTTGTGTCGGGTACCGCGATGAAGGAGCAGAGGAAAATTGACTTCACACTGTCGAGGGACGAAGGGATCCTATCAACACCCATCAAGTCCGTTGCAATGGAATTCAACAGCATTGGGGCCAAGCTGGATGAGCCCGTGGGAAATTCGATGTCGATTTACCAGAAACTGGGATGGGATGATGAACTGGATGACCTGTTATGAGTTGTTTGACGGAACATTTATATGGTGTTTAAATTAAGCGTATAAGATACAGGTACGGGGATATAGCATTAAAAGGCGGCGTTGGGATCACGGTAGGATTACTACTGTATGGATAACGACATTCAAGATATGGCAATCATTCCAACTAAGACAGTCGAACGATGCCTTGCAACTTGGCTTGTATCTATGCCGCTGCTGGTTCCACAATCATGGTGGGCAGCTCTCTAATGTCGACGTGCTCCTGCGATCCCAGATCAACGACTCTGATTGCCTCCATGCCGACAATACCCTCCTGAAGCGCCAAGAACTGCAGTTCGACGACATGACACGCACCGGGCGCAAGGGGTCCCACTCGCGTATCAGCGCTCAAGCAGACAACCTCGGCTGGCTCGACAGTGCAGTTCTTTTGCATGGCATGCAGCACGTTGTCATCCATGACGGCATCGGCAATCTCCTTCTCGCCTCGCCGCCGACCTGAGGTCGAGGGAGGGCGGGTCATTCGTACTTCATTTCGGCGACGTTTAGGCACTGCGACCAGTGCGAGCTTGCGGGGAGGGTGGGAGTTGTTCTCTGTGGCGCGGTTGACGACGTAGACGGTCCACGAGAAAACGTCGCCAGGATGGACCGGGTCGGAAGGACCACTGAAGGTCATGGTGATACCGAGCTCTGGAAGGACAGCGTCCGTGTTATTAGTAGCAGCCTCGAGAGCAGGCAAAGCATCGGGGCGCGTGATGGAAGGGGATTTGAGGGGGTGGACTGCCAGGCCGGTGATGGAAAGCTGGGATGGACGGTGGGATCGCTGGATACCGGATCCGGTGGTCGGGGTAAAGCCGGGGTTGACGGGGGTGGTGAAATCTAGGTTGGTAGTCCACGACATGGTCAAGCTGGGAGTACAACACCCCGGGACGACGTGGGCGGTGGCGGAAATTGTGATGGCGAGGTCCCTGGTAGGGTTCTTGGGTGTGACGTCCAGCTCATGGGGAGCAATGTGGTAGAGGAAGGTGATGTGGTCGTGGGAGACGCAAGACAGAGGCAGCTGCATGCCTGCGTCGTCGTTTAGGCTCTCAACGGTGCTGTCCGGTATCGACATTTCAATCTTGTCAAGCGAGACCTCACAATCAAAGTATGACGTGAAGTCGACCTCAAGGAGGGCAATGACGGCCGCGCTAGAAGGCGCCGTGTTGGGTCGGGAAAAGCGTATCCGGGTGTGAACAACGGGGAAGATCTTGAGTTCGAGCTGCTGTAGCGCACGGATGTGGTTCATGAGATCCTGCGGTCGCGTAACGGGAGCAACCCGGGACACCCGCAGCGCAGAAAGACGAGGTTTCACGCCTTCGAGGGCGGCATCTCCGCCGAAGGACTCGAGCAGGTTGAAGCCCGACGGCACGCCACTCTGGAGATAGCCGCTGCCGCGCGAGATGAGCTCTGTCGAAACCTCGGGCTTGAGACTAGCAGATGCGGAGAAGACGACTGACGGGCTGTTGAGGCGGATGCGCGGACGGGCGAGGAAGACGGGCAGTTTCCACGCGGCGTACATGCTCTGGGCAGTCGGCTCCCTTTCGTCCTCGCCCTCGCCCTCTTCGTCGTCATCTTCATCGTCATCTCCAGCGGCTTCCTCTTCATCTACCACAATAAACGGGTCCTCGACGTCGGCCACATTGCCAGAGAAGATGGTGTCTGAAGCGGCCAGACTGTCACGGCCAGGCGCATTGCTGTTGACGATCTGGGCCTCGAGTGAGACGACAAGTCTGCTAAGGTGAGACCGGAGTGTCTGCTCGTCTGTCCATGGCGTTTTCAATACTAGGAGGACATCGACGGTCTCGTCTATTTTTGTTTGGTGAGTGTGAATAAACGAGGAGCTGGGTGAGGCGGTGCCGACTAACCAAAGAAGAGAGACTCGCGACGGTCTATTGAGTCGAAGATTGACTTGCCCGGTTCGAGATTCTTGAATGCCTCTTCCAGGTTCAGATTTGATTCTGAAGGAATTAGATATGTCAACTGCGATTGCTCCGCAAAGTCGAAGGTCGTGCTGGGAGCGAACATGGCGAGGTGCTCTGGCAGAGGAGACGTCGCATCGGCTTGCGACATGGTGAGGTGAGGCGGGAAGCAGCTCTACCGCTGCATTGAACCCCAGGAACAAATCCGAGATTGGGATTGGCCAAGGTCTCGCTTCTTTAGTTTTTGGATTTCTTCTTTCCCTCGTCGTCTTTGCTTTCCTTTATTATTATTTTGGGCCAGCCGTCCGTGTAAGCCCAGTTGTAAGTAGAGATTCCCCTGGATGGCGGTTGGTATTGGAGTGTAGACGTGGTCGGTCCGGTCGCTTAGTTGCATAAAGGAATAAGGGAATAAGGGAATAAGGGAATAATTAGTACATGTACATACAACTCCTCTCCAATCGCGGTCGCGACAGGGCTTGGCCCGTGCACCAAAAAGTTGATTGCTCGCAAATCTGGATGCGCCCTCTCCAACGTCGACGCATTGCGACCCTCCATCACCACCATCGCCATCTTCCGCCGCATCTCCAACGATCCCGCCGCGAAGTCTCTCAGTCCAGGACGCGTCGCAACCGCCTAGCCCTAGAGACGACCACCGCGAATTCCTCGTGCGACCCTCGCTACCCCCACGATGAACGGCGTCGGCGCTCCCTCGCCCTACGGCCAGCCAGCCTCGGCTTGGCAAGAGCACCACACTCCTGACGGACGAGCATACTACTACAATCCCGCTACCAAGGCGACGCAATGGACCAAACCGGAGGATATGATGTCTTCGGCAGAGGTGGGTTTCACTGTTCTCCATGTGGGAGCCTCGTCGTCTGGTCGACTGTTGCTAACCCACATCATAGCGCGCCCTCGCCAACCAACCCTGGAAGGAGTATACTGCTGAGGGAGGTCGCAAATACTGGTATAACACTGAAACGAAGCAGAGCTCTTGGGAGATGCCCGATGCCTACAAGAGCGCGCTTGGCGCGACCAGCGAACCTGCCACTCCCGTTCCTACCACCCCGTACGCTTCCGGCCCCAGCGGCGGCCATGGTGGTGGCCACGGCGGTGGTTATGGAAACTCTTCTTACGACCAGCACCGTGATCAGCGTGACGTTTATCCTGAGTCTCGTCAACTGACATATGGGAGTGATCCCAAGGCCCAGGCTTTCGTTCCCGCTAGCAATGACCCCGAATATGCCACCGCTGAAGAGGCCGAAGCCGCCTTCGCCAAACTCCTCAAGCGTAGCGGTGTTCAGCCAGATTGGACTTGGGAACAAACTATTCGAGCAACGGCCCGTGATCCTCAGTTCCGTGCCATCAAGGATCCCAAGGACCGACGGGCCGCTTTCGAGAAGTATGGCCAGGATATGGTCATCCAGGACAAGGAGCGCGCCAAAGAAAGACTTACCAAGCTTCGTGCTGACTTTGAAACCATGCTCAAGAGGCACCCCGAAATTACTCACTACACCCGTTGGAAGACCGCCCGTCCCATGATGGAGGGTGAAACCATTTTCCGCTCCACCAACAGTGAGAGCGAGCGCCGCCAGCTTTTCGAGGAGTACATTATCGGGCTCCAGAAAGCCCACGCCGAGCAGCAGACATCTCTCCGGAAGAATGCCATGGATGGTCTGATTGACCTCCTTCCGAAACTCGATCTGGAACCATACACGCGCTGGTCTGACGCGCAAGGTATCATCTCATCCACCCCGCCCTTCCAGAGTGATGAAAGTTACCAGACCCTCACCAAGTTTGACATCTTGACTGCGTTCCAAAACCATATGAAGGCCCTGGAGCGTAAGTTCAACGACACCAGACAGGAAGAGAAGAACCAGAAGTTCCGCAAGGAACGTAAGGCCCGAGATGGCTTCAAGGCCCTTCTGAGCGAACATCGCCAAGACGGCAAGATTAATGCCGGGACGAAGTGGAATCAGATTGTCCCTCTGGTGGAGAGTGATGAGCGGTATACCAACATGGCCGGCCTCGGCGGCTCCACCCCTCAAGAACTCTTCTGGGATGTCGTTGACGAAGAAGAGCGTGGTCTTCGCGGACCTAGGAACGAGGTCATCGACGTTCTTCAAGTAAGTTGCCATTCTCCTCAGCGAAGTTTGTTTCAAGACTAACAACCCGACAGGACAAGCGGTTTGAGCTTACGCCGACGAGCGATTTCGAGGAGTTCCTATCTATCATGAAAGATGATCGACGAACTGCTAACATTGATCGTGACATTCTTAAACTCATCTTCGACCGAGTATGTTTCCCCTTTGTTTCGGTCTAATCTCATGCTAACGCATCCCGCATAGCTACGCGAAAAGCGTTCTTCTAAGCGAGAATCCGATGACCGACAGTCGGAACGCCAGCAACGCAGAGCCGTCGATGACCTGCGAGCATACATGAAGCGCATGGAGCCTCCCATCACACTGAGTGACACTTATGAAAAGGTACGACCTCGAATCCTGAAATCAGACGAGTTCCAGGCCATTACTTCCGAGGATGCTCGTCGAAGTGCCTTTGACAAGTATCTCCGCCGGCTGCGGGAGAAGGAGGAGGAGGCGGACCGAAGCTACAGAAGACGCGATCGCATGTCCAGTGAGCGGGACCTGCACCGCCGCGAGAGAGACCGATCCAGAGGTGAGCGATCTCATCGTAGCGGTGGACGTGGATCTCGACGTAGTCGCAGCCCGGAGCCAGATGCGTATGAGGCCGACAGGCGCAAGGCCATCGCCGAGCGGGAGCGCAACCACCGCAAGTCCACCATGGCTGAAGGCCTGTTGGGATCTGACCGTGGTCGCCTGTCGCCGCCGCCACGTCGGGAACGCGAGCGCGAACGGGACCGTGACCGGGATCGCGATTTCGACCGCCCTTCTCGCCCGCGCCGCGAAGATGACAGCCATTACGATCGCGAGCGGAGGGACAGGGAGGATGAACGGGAGAGGCTGTACCGTCGCCGCATTGACCGAGGTTCGTATGAGGAGCTCCCCTATGGAGATGAACGCCCATCAGGTTCTCGACGACGCCGTCCTGATGACGAAAACGACTATACTCGCCGAGATTCGAGAGACTCCAAGGTACGAACTCCTCTATCTGACGAACTAGTAAAGGATGGTTCAGCTAACCATGCCACAGCGATTGAGAAGAGACAAATCCCGTGAGCGCACTCCCCCGCGCGAGGCCCCCCGCGCGAAAACCCCGCCGCCAGCGCCGGCGCCGGCCACCAAGGAAGTCCACTCTGGAAGTGAAGAAGGCGAGATTGAGGAGGACTAGGTCTAGGTGAAGTCTGTCCCCTTTGACTTGGAGGAGAGTTTCGCACGCAACCGCAACCTACGTGGTCACCCAGTACGTACGTAACGGCATCGTCAACCTTCCCCGACACGGCTGGTGGGCGAGATGACTCTCAAGTACAGGCATCCAGCTTCTTCTTTTTTTTTTCATTGGGCCATCCGGGGCCGCAACGGTGGATTGCTTCTTACAAAACCCTTTTAACCTGGCCAGTATGTTCCCATTCCTCTCCTAGGTTTTCTTGCATGTGATTCGTAAGTAAAATCGGTTGTGGCGGGATTCTTGGGCGGGATATCTCTAGTAATAGATAGATAAACGTATTTTTCTCGGTCTCGAGGTTCTCTGCAATCGCTTGGCTTCCATTTTTATGACGACCCAGTGATATGGTTTGTAAATTGACATGTGGTTAACTAACTGACAGCCATGTAGCTTCTGGTGTTGTTTCCCGCGAGGTGGGAAACTGCGCAGACGGCAGTAATCCTTCTTAATCCGTTGTCCCTCAATCTACGAAGACGCCCGGTTCCGCCCTTGCCCTCTTCTCCAGGCCCTGCATGGTCCTCCCAACGGTTGAGAGAAGGGAGGACAAAACGCCTGGACTGGTCAAACGACTCAAAACACGCGCAAAAATAAAACAATAAACGTCCACCGCCAACTCCTCCGGCGGACCGGGTCTTCGTAGGACCAGACAACAGGGGATACTACTGCCGTCGCCGTCGTTATCCATCCAGATCGTCATCCTCGCCGGCGCTGTGCTCCTCTATTCCCAAAGCACGAATATGTCGGCACCTGCGCTTCTTTTGCGAATTCCCATTTTGAACGCCCCAAACTCCAGGACATGCCTCAATGTGGGGAGGAAAGGTTTCTCCATGAGTGCCTTTAGCTATTATCGGCGTTTTCCTCCAGGAAGAACTGTACAATGTTAGTTAAACTGTAAGAAGCAGGGCTATGTGGCAAGGTTGGCTTACGTAGTTGCCGTTCATCTTCTGCTCCTGGTCGAGCTGCGAGCCTTGCTTGTTGATACGAGGTCGGTAGTTAGTAGGGTCGCGACGGAAGGTGACATCAAGGTTCTTCAAAAAGGCGTTGCAGCCGGTGAGGAGGGACTCGGGGGTATTGGCGTGGGCGTCGATACCGGGCTTGCCGTCGAAGACAATGACACGGTCCGCAAGGTAGGTAGCCATGATGAAATCGTGCTCGACGATGAAAGCCGTCTTCTTGGAGTGCATGATGTATCGCTTGATAACACGCGACGCAATGATACGCTGCTCGGAGTCAAGGTAGGCGGAAGGCTCGTCGATGAGGTAAATGTCGGCGGGGATACCAAGGGCAAGGACGATAGCTACACGCTGCAATTCACCACCGGACAGGTTCTTGACTTCCTGGTCAATGAAGTCCTCGAGCTTCAGGGGTTTGACAACGTCGGTCTGGAACTGAGGCGACAGGAAAGCTTGCTTGATCTTCTTGAAGAAGAGCTGGCGGACAGTGCCGTCGAACTTGGGGGTGATGGTCTGGGGCTTCATGCTGATCCTCATGTCGGGAACGGAAGCTTTGGAGTCGGGCTTGAGGGCACCAGCCAGCATTCGGCAGAAGGTGGTCTTTCCGGTTCCGTTCTCTCCCATCATGACGATAATCTCAGAGTCAGTGAAGTCGCCAGCATCGATGCTGAGATGAAAGTTTCCAAGCGTCTTCTCCATCTTGGGATACCTGAAGGCGCGGGACTTGTCGATGGCAAACTCATCGGCAGTCTCGGCAATACGGAAAGTCAAGGACTCGTCACGGAATCGCAAGTTCTCAGTGGGGATGTGACCATCGAGGAAAATGTTGATACCCTCACGGACGGAGTAAGGCATGGTGACGACACCGTAGACGGCGGGCTTTCCGTACAAGACGCAAATGTAATCGGAGAGATAATCCAGGACGGACAGATCGTGCTCGACGACGATGATGTAGTCGTTGTCGCGGAGAAGCGAGCGGATAATGGAGGCGGCACTCAATCGCTGCTTGACATCGAGGTAGGAGGAAGGCTCGTCGAACATGTAGACGTCGGCCTTCTGAACACAAACGGTTCCGATGGCAAAACGCTGCAGCTCACCACCAGAGAGGAGGTTGACGTCTCGGTCCATGATGTGGTTAAGCTCGAGGACATCGCAAACCTGCTTGGTGTTGCCCAGGGTGGCGCGGCCTTCAAGCAAGAAGCGGACGCTCTTGTTGGTTCCGCGCACAGCCTTGGGGATCTGGTCCACGTACTGAGGCTTGACGACAGCCTTGAGGTCATCTTCCAGGAGCTTGGTGAAATAGTCTGTCGGAGGGTCAGTCAAGACTAGATCAAGTGTATAACGACGATGGGCCAATCACATACTCTGGAGCTCGGAACCACGGAAGTGCTTGATGACGTCCTCCCAGTCAGGAGGGTTGGTGTGTCGGCCCAGGTTTGGCTTGAGCTTTCCGCTGAGGATCTTCAGGGCGGTACTCTTTCCAATACCGTTGGTTCCGACAAGACCCAGGACCTGGCCAGGTCGGGGCATCGGCAGACGATGCAGCTTGAAGCTGTTGGGGCCATAACGGTGGGTGACCTGGCTCTCGAGGTTGGTGGGCAAGTTGATGATGGTGATGGCCTCGAAGGGGCACTTCTTGGGGCAGATACCACAACCAATGCAGAGCGACTCGGAGATGAAGGCCAGGCGATCGGTAGGGGCGACCTCAATGCAGAGCTTTCCGCTGCGGACAACGGGGCAAGACTTTTTGCACTCTTGACGACATTTTCGGGGGCGACACTAAGAGGAGGAGGAGGGGTCAGCATGTATGGCGGGGCAAAGGTCGAAGGAGGGGATCGCGTTGGACGGACCTTGTCGCTGTTGACGATAGCGATACTGTTGATCTTCGCGTCAGTGACTGCTATTCCACCTTACAAAGCCGTCGTCGGGCTGTACCTACCGCGTGAGCTTGTCCGACATGGTTGCAACCGACGACTGATGAAGAAGTCCAGCGAGTGCGAGTGCGAGGTGGGGTTTGAGGATTTGGTGGGAGTTTTTTTATTTAATTTTCGAAAAAGTGGAACAAAGAAGACGGGCCTCGTTCGCGGGGGGCTCCAGCACAGGACGAGGCAACACGGGAGAGGCTTGCGCGCGCGGGGAAACGAAGGGCACGCAGAGTGCAGGACAAGACTCCTTACGAGCTGGAGAGAAAAATACAAGGGAAAGGGAACAGTCAAGACCTGCAACAAGGAGTTGTGGCGGTGGTGTCTTGGACTCTTGTTGGTGCGTGGTCATCAATTTTTCCCGTCTTGTGAATCGTCCGTCCACTTTGGCGGGGCAGGGCAGTGGGGGAAATGCCTGGAGGGGAAATGCCTGGGGGGGAACTGCGCTGGGCTGGAATAACTGGATCGATGAGAGTCCGGGTAACTCGAAGAGGCGGAAAACGAAACGGAGAACGAAAAAAAAAAAAAAAAAAAAAAAAGCCAATGTGTAATTAATTTCAAGCCCCCTGGAGACTTCATCTCGCCAGAGATCAGCGTCCTCGAGTCGGGGGTTTGTTTCTTTGGACAGCGGTCTGCAGCACCATATTCATTCCGTTACCTAGGTAGGTACTCTTCCGGATTACCGCACACACTCTCAACCCATACGTACACACACGCACATATCATTCTTTCTTTGCCAACTAGCGTTCACTTTTGATTCTATTTACCGAGAAGATTGAGTGACTTTGCAACTCTCCCCTCCCCGTCTCGATGTTGGGGAATAACTAGATGCTAAAACCGGCTACGCCATTCGCAACCCTCGTTTCGTCAAGATTTCTTTGCCCCAACCCATGTTATTAACACAGAGCGGTATCAATGTACCCGTTCCCAAACCCCCCCCCCTAGTTTGCCATTCTCTTTTGTCTCGTAACTTAGTCGTCATTGTCGGTGCGCTCGCGCTGCTGGCGGCGCCTGTCCGGGCCGCCCATGCCCGTGTTGTTCAACTTTCGCTCCAGCTCCTGCTGCTCACGCTCCCTCTGCGCCTTGGCGTTGGCCTGTTCCTGTTGCAAAACTCCGAGCACGCTCTGCAGCGTTGATCGCCAGTGGTCGACTCGGGTGGCCAGCTCCTGGTACTGCTTCTGGCCGAAGACTCGGTAGGTGACCTTGTGGACGAGGAACATGCTGCGCTGCTGCGACAGCTTGCCCTCAACGAGGCCGGCACGAATCACGTCAATGGCCCACATCTCAATCTCCTCCTGGGGAATCCGGAGGGCCTTGGTGATCTTGGCATACTCGATCTCGCGGCTGGGGGTGGCGGCCGCAAGGCTGGCGAAGGTGAGGAGTCGCATCTTGCGGTGGAGCTTCTCGTGGTCCAGCTTCTCCTCCTCGACCCAACCTTCGTGCTCCTCGTTGAAGTCGTTGTAGTCCTCAAGGTCCTGCTCCGCAAAGATATCGAGGAGTTGCGAGTAGACGGGGTGAGAATCGCTGAGGGCCTGCACGCTGGGAATGGCTCGCAGGTCTTGGAAGAGGAAGTAGGTGCTGGAGAGAATAGCCATCTTGACGGCACGGAGGGACAATCGCTGGGCCTCTTCGGAGGCGACCTCATCCTTCTCATCGCCATCAAATGTTCGCAGAGCCTTAAGGATATACTCGTAGCCTTGCCTGTACAGCCGTTAGCATGATGACTCAGCCGCATACCAAAATCTCAACATCCGACAACGCTGATCCCATTGTTCCCCGACTCGGAGAAGAAAAAATTCGATGGACACCGCGATCCAGCCAATCCGCGAGTCGAGGAGGACAACAAGGCATCTCATCTCATAATGCCACATCTTAGGGAGGGTCCTACTCACGATTGCGCACCGGCCTCCAGGGCCACCTCGGCCACCTCCTCGTAGATCTGACGCTGCAGGGCCACCTCAGTAGCCCAGCTCTCCAGCCACTCAGGCAACTTGTCGAGGTACTGTCGCAGGCTCTCGTACATGCCGTGCGCCCGCAGGAACTTGAGGATCTCCATGAAGACGCGCGCGCGAACGGGGTCGGTTGGCGCAAGCAGGTTGAAGACGGTAGTCAGGGCGTTGAGAGACAGGCCGGCGCCGTGGACGGGCGAGTTGACCAGAGGCTTGGCGAAGGTGCTGCATAGCGTGGGCAGGTACTTCTTGGGATCGGAGGACTGCAGGACCAGGTGGATCATGAGGTTGGAGGCAGCAGTGTACTCCTTCTCGGAGACGGTGTTTAGGGCGTTGGAGGCGGCGACCAGCTTGGCCACGACATCCTCAGTCGAAGGCTTCGCGTCCTGGCTCAACAGTTGCTTGGCGTCCTCGGCCTTGAGGTAGTCGGCCATCTCGGTGGCGAGGTCCTCGAAGGATCCATCGACGAAGAGCAGCTGGGGCTGGCCAGCAGGCTTGGGGGCGGCCATGATGCCTTTTGCCTCTCAAGGGTAAATCGACGTCGTTCGGTCGGTCACGGTAATCGGGGCTCGTCGGGTCCGTGGCTAGCGATCTCGAGAACGTCGGGGAGGGGCTGCAACGTCGACTTGCGGAATAATGTGAGGGTGAACGTCCCGTCCGAGCAGGGTCGGCGGCCGAATAGCCCTCTGGTGGGGCTTAGATTGTGGCACCCCGCCATTTTTTCTGCCGCTCCCCATTGTGTGGGCGCTAAGCGAGAGCGGTGACGCGGAGGAACTCTCGGGCCGCCTCGTCTTCCCGCCCACGTGCAACGGCCAAGGACGACTGGTGAGGACTGGTGAGGACTCTAGAGAAATGAGTGAGTATCAGGTAAGTAGGTAAGGTAGGTAAGGTTAGGTGGGCAATATCCTCGCCGATGAACCCTCGCAATGCCAGCCGACCTCCTTCTGCCATCACGGCGGGCGGGAGACACCGCAATGATCCGATCCGACAACGCCCTCGTAAAAAATAGTCCAAGTCGATAACCCTTACATGTCCTTCCAGGTAACGCGGCCTGTATCCGCCGTCTATAAAACCAGGTCCACCAATACAACGGACAATAACCCCGAATACACAACTGAAAATCCATAGCAATAGACCCTCGCCGGGGTTCAAGCTCTTTACCCCAGTACCTCCATCTCATCCTCACCGGCCCTTTGCCTTGTCAGCAGCCTTTTTGGCCTTGGCCGCGTCTGTTGTCGGATAAATGCTTGCGTCGTCGTTTGCGAAGAGCTCTTGATCTCCTCTTCCACCCAACTCCATAAACTCCGCCGCCCCCCGTTGGTGAGCAGGTCCCGCCTCCTTGGCGACATTTGTCACACGCCCCTTATTCTTCGTAAACACCTTGACGGGGTTCTTGTCTTTACCAACCTCAACTTGTGCCATGACTTGAACCGAGTTGAGGGACGACAGCAGCGTCCGCTCACGGGCTGGGGCACGACGGTTGACCTCAAGTCCCGCGATACCTCCGACGAGACCGCCAGTGCTGTCACTGACGCTCGGCGCCGATTGGTTGAGCCAAGGGTGCGCCAGACATTGGTCAATGGTAAACCTTTTGTCGGCGTCGACAATCAACATGGAGTCGATAAGGTCAACTGTTCTCCATTAGCACAATCCCAAAGTCGAAGTGGGAACTGGGATCTTACGCGCTGGGTCTCCAACCGAGTCCCAGTACGGAGACGGGTAGTCAAATCGACCAGTCTTTATCTGCTGAGAGAGTGTGAAGGGGAAGTCGCGGGAGTATAGCTCGTCAGAGAATGGAGGGAAGCCGCAGAGGCAGATGTAAAGCACCACGCCGAGAGACCAGACGTCGACAGCCTTGGTATACTTGCGTTGCTTAGAGTCGGCAAGAATCTCGGGAGCGACATAGCTCGGGGTTCCGCAAAGAGTGGTTGTGAATGACTCCTCTCCTATTATCTTGGCCAGGCCAAAATCGGCCAGTTTCACACTCAGGTTCTTATCAACCAGCAGAATATTCTCGGGCTTGATATCGCGGTGAACAATGTTTCGCTCATGCTAGACGCAATCAATGTTAGCCTCGGCATATACAACCCTCATAGGGGTAGGGCGTGGAGTTGGGGAGGCCTACGAGGTACTTGATACCCTGGAACAGCTGGAGAAACAACTTGCGCGTCTCATCTTCGCTGAGCTTCTGCTTCATGACAATGAAGTTGAACAACTCTCCTTCCGGGGCCAACTCGAGAACCAGGTAGACACGATCACGTTCATTGAACGTATCCTTGAGGCACAGGACATTTGGGTGGCTAACGCCCATAAGCACGCCAATCTCCTGCTGCAGACCTTCCGTCTTCGATCGATCCTCCACGCCGGGGTGCTTAGTAAAGATCTTGACAGCGTATCGCTGGCCGGTAGACTTTTCCACACAGAGGTAGACTTCGGCGAAGTGGCCCTTGCCGAGTTTCTCCAACAGCGTGTATTGTTGCTTGAAGCCGCTGGTCTGTCGGCTTTTCGGGTATCGGAAGACGAAGCGTGCCTTGCCATGGACGGCAATCTCGTCCTGCTCCTCCAGCTCCCTGCGTTGGTTGCGTCCAACGATGGCCTCGTTGACGTAGGTGCCGTTACTCGACAGATCCTCCACGATCGCCACGGTATCGTTGCCCTTGTTCTCGGTGAAGAGTAGGCAGTGTCGGTTCGAAACGATGCCGTCGTTGACCACAATATCTGCGACGATATCAGTTCGACGTCCCAGGAGGCACGGCTATTGCAATACTAACCACACTCGGGATGTCTCCCGATCAGATAGCCGCCAGAGGTACTGCCTTTGGCCTTCTTCTTCTCGGGAGCTTCTTCCTCCTTCGACGAGGTCGCCTTGCCCTTCGTGTGCTTAGGGTCGGTCTTGGCCGCATCAGCTACCGGGTCGGGCATTGCGCAGGAGCTTCGCTTCTTCAACACAATGGGCTTATCGCCATACTTGGGATCTAGGGGGACGAGGTATCCCCAGACACCTTCGCGTACTTCATCCTCGATGTCCTCGGAAATGGCAGGGTGCCGGTCGACGAACTGACTGAGCGGCTGGGTATCTTGAGGTGGTGATGACAGGGCCTGGCCCTGGGAGAATGTCTCCTCGTTCTTCCTGGGAGTGACCTCCTCTGCTCGGCGTCCAGGAGGAGTAGCAGTGGGCTCCTTGTAGAGCTCGCTGGACTCCTCGGCAGTGAAATGCGTGACTGGGGAAGGGAGCTGCTGCTTTTTGGAAACGGGGGTTTTGTTGGCGGAATCAGGCGACTGGGGATCGGACCAACGGGCTTTCTTTGTTTCTGTTTCGTCTTCGGGCAACGAAGCCTGTAGAACGCATATCAAGTCAGCGAAACGGCTAAGACGGTTGGTTTGCGGCGTGCGCATCCGCGACATGCGCGCTGGCGGACGGGAAACGGGGGACGGGAAAGGGACGGAAGACTGACGCGCGGGCGCTTCAATTGGCTCTTTTCGTTCCGCGGAGCCATGTCGGCCATGGCCAAGCAAGTTGTGAAGCTGGAGGGAAGCAACGAGAATTCGAGCACGCGAATGTACGATGCGCGAGTGGATGTGGTTGAGGGGGAATGTTGCCTGGGGAAGGGAAGTAGGTGCCGTGAACGAGTCCGGGGCCGGGAGGTTTGTACGTGAGCGTGAGTGGAGGAGGGAGCCTGGAGGACGCTAATAGCGGCTAGAGCTAAGTTTGATGGCCCATAATGGAGTGGTTAGTTAGGAGGGAGACCAGGGAGAGGAAAAGGTCAAGCCACTGGGACCCGTGGCCCCCAAAAAGAGAAAAACTGGGACAAAGGCAAGCTGCAGGCAAAGTACAGCTGCACTGTGCTTTCTCTACAAATGTACATCCGGCCTTCCTGGGCTGGGCACTCGGATCAAGGCTGACCGAGTCCTCGAGGCCAGGTCATACTGTCATACTGTGTGCACTGTATTTTGCGAACCACGGCACAGCCCAGCTCAGTCCAGCCCCAGCCAAGCTAGGTAGGAAGGGCCGTTGCAACTTACTTACATAGGTACCTACTACGCAGTACAGCCCCAAAAATGACATGGATGCTGCCATTTCGCCTGTGGCTTGGAAGCTCCTAGCTGCCCCTGGGCTGGCCGTCGTTCGTCTGGGCGGGTGAGTGCCGCAGCAGCGCATCGGCGTGCAGCATGTATCCACTACTCCCTCTAGTACCCGTAGGTATCGCTCCCCACTGAAACCATCTGGATATCCACTATCACTCGAACTCCAGCGCTGGACAAGCTGCCGTTCGTTCAGTGAAATCAGTGGATGCCGGTAAATAATCAAGTATTACTCCCCCATACCACCTGCACGCTCTGTCGTGTTAATGAGCATCCACGGCCCTGGGCAAGTCCCAAGCTCCCTTCCCAAAGCTCCCTTCAGTCCCGGATGATCCTGTCCCAGTCATCTGCATCTGTCATCCACCCCAAAGGAACCTCCTTTCCTTGCTTTCTCCAACAAACAAAAGCAGGGTGCCTTGTATTGATACGGGTTGCCACAATCACCTGCCCATCTACTTCCCTAGGACTTCCCTAGGCCATCCCATGAACCACCCATGTCGTCATCCCGGGTCACCGAGTCACTCGTCCAGTCACGTTCAACGCCAGCATGAGCCATCACCGCTTCGTCTTATCACGCGTCATGACTCAACTAGAGCCGTGCGTGCATCTGAGAATTACTCGCTTGCCGCCCAGGCCGGCCTACTTCTTGTCTTCTTGTCTTCTTGTCACTCTTCGCTTTCGGATCATAGTGAAACGCGTGTCTTGAGTCTTGACTATGAGAGAATCTCAAATGTCGGCATTACCATTATTCAATATCCATGCCCTCCACTGCTACACAGCATATGAATGCCCTATCCAATCCTCGCCAGGCCCATTAGCCCCAATATCCGCAAGTGCATCCTTGTTGTCCACTGTAGTCATGTCCCCCTATTCCATCTACTTCTCTCTCTCACGCGCGTGCGTGCGTCTCGGATCGCCATCACTTCAACACTGGTCTTCCCGCTGGTAGGAAATCGGAAAAGCCATGTCCAACGCCATAAACTCCCTACACCGTCCTCCTCCAGTCAAGAATGCCCACCATTCGTCATCGTGAAAATGTAGCCGTCGCCATAAAATCAAAGTCATTCGCCCTCCCAGCTCCTCAACCGAGGTAAATTGTACAGGTGGTAGCAGAGACCCAAGCCCGCCAGTCGATCCTAGAATCCAGGCTCCTATTTCTCGGGAATTGCAGACCTGGCCAGCCTACCGCCGGTGCTTACTCGCTTTTGCAAGCGGGCCTCCCTCTCGCGCCGCAACCTCTCAGCTGCACTTGTGTTAGAAGGCAGTGAAGGCACCGCGTCGCTCGACCCTGTGCTTCGACCTCGCTTCTGCTCCACATACAACTGCGCGTAACGTCCCAGGGGGAATGCCGGCATCGTCGCAGGGATCTCCGCTCCATTCTGAACCAGTAATTCCGCAACAGGGAATGGTATTGCCTTTCCATCCCCATCACTTGCCGTCTGTCCCGGGGTCGGTGAGGGGGCTGCCGGGTCGGCCGCGGCGAGAGCCAAGAAGACGGCATGGGTGCCCCTCATCTTGTCGACTGTGTTGGGCTTCGCCTTCAACGCCAAGGCATAGAGCACCTGCTGGATCTCGTTTTTCTTAATAGCTGCCAGAAGTGTCTCGTCTGCCGTGCCATATCGTGACAGTGTCGATGAGATGGGTTCGACGAAGGCTCTATCCACGTACTTGGCCGTGATGAACCGGAGCCGTTGCTCTCGAGTTGCTTGAGCAGTTGGCTTGACCGACTGGTCCAACCTGGCTTCCCAGACCATGTTTGACACTCGGTTTCCGATGAGCAGCAGGAGCTCGACAATATCGACTGTGAATGACTTAATGTCAAGCGTGAGAGACCGCACCTTGCTGATGTGGGTGCCGAGTGAGCGGTGGATACCACTGCACTCGATGCAAAGGATAATGCCCAGGTTGATGGATACCCACTCCACCTTGGAACCAGAACCACAATCCGCGCACCACATATTGCCTTGGTCATTATCTCGAACCATCTGAAGGAGCTTGTCCGGGTTCTCGTCGTATCCCGAACTCGCTGTTCGCACTGCGGTTGGTCGAGCACCAACTGTGATCCTACGACTCGGCATTCCGGTATTGGAAGTGCTGCCGTGTGGTGCGTGGCCCACCGATTGTGTCTTGCCTGTGAGCACTGAGCCGATATCTCTCTTAAGGGATGAGTCGCCATTGGACGATGTCGGCTTGCCCTGGTAGGCTCGTCCTTCCATGGCACTCTGTAGAGCATTGTTGATGGAGAGGATCCAGCTATTCATATCCTCCTCGGACGTGGCTTGGTAAACTCGCTTGAAATTAGGGGTAATGACCTCGAAGCAGAACCGTCGTTCCGCATTTCGGGCTTCTCGAACTGACGCCATTCGGAGGTCAATGGGGTCCATGTGAAGATCGAGCTTCTGCTTCCAATTACTGTACTCGGACAGCTTTCCTTGATCCAATACAATCCAGAACCTATACATGGTTAGCGGGGTTTTTCAAATACCAGAGAACGGCCCACTCACTTATGCCAGCCCTGTTTGTTCAAGTTGCGGGGGTCTACATGTCCCCCAGGTCGGTTGAGGGCCCAGAGGAGCCCTTCCTTTCGATGGCCAAATGTCATCTGCGTGACATCCCGCTCTTCAAGATCGCGGAACCCTTTGAACTTGGATGGTACTACGGGGCTTCCCACTGATGATTGCCCAAGGCTACCTGGAGACCTGGAGAGCTCTGCGGCTGAAGGACCACTGGCAGAGGCTGAGCCACCTGAAAGCGCAGTCTTCAACTGCGATCCCGTACTATCTGCACGGCCCAAATCCGAATCCGAGGTATTGCCTGCATGACCGTTGGAGCTCGTGGCGATCGGCGCACTGCTGCTCGCTGTGCTAGAAGACTGCTCGGGTTCCTTGTAAGGGGTGTTGCTCTTCTCAAGAAGACGGCGTTTCTCCTCTCGCTCGCGTCTCTGATACTGGTACTCCTTGTCTGCCTCTTGGACTTCAGTAGATAACGCCTCAAGCTGGGGCAAAAGAACATCGATCTTCTTCGCGGCAGCAAGGAAGCTTCGAGTCTGGGAATCAGCGAACTTTGTAAGGTGCGACAAAACTTCCTGCTCCTTGCGGCCGCCGTGGAGATCCTGCATGAAGCTGGAGTAATCGAAACGCTTGAGCTCGAAGTTGCGGCGCTTGTTCTGGTACTTGGAGTCGCTGTCGGCAAGTTTCTTAGCCTTGACCGAGTCCTGTCGCTGGCCCAAGTAACGCGACACGTATGCGTAGTAGTCCTTGCTCTCCTCCTCAAAGTCTCGCTTCTTTGCCTCGGCCTGTTTGATATCGACTTGGTACAGTTTAGCAACGGGTTCAATAATTATCTTCTGAAGGTTAAAGGTGTTTTGTCGTTCGTAGGACAAGATCTCTCTGGCAATTTTATCGAAATAGTGCTCGAGGGCAGGTTGGACTGCGTTAGCATTGGTGGACGAAGCCTCTCGTAACGAATCCACGAAATTGAGGAAAGCTTCGTTTGCGTCCTGTTGACACATGTGCGCATGCTCTGCCTTCTTCAAGACCTTCTTCATCTGCACTCTCAGGTTACCCGTCTTCTGCTCTAGGGCTTTGAGAGTAGCGCGGAAAAGTGGGCCGTCATCGCTGACTGCAACGTCCTCTGTGGGCTTCGGGCAAGCGACGTCGACCCTGAATGGCTCTTGTAGCAAAGGAGTCGATGGGGGAAGGGTCAGCTCGGAAGCCGGTAGGAGGGGTGATACAGGCTCATCGATATCGGGAACGGTGATGCGGGAGTCGACTGTTTGGGCCGAGGCAACTCGGATCTTAGGCGGAGATGCCAGGAGGAACGGAGGGGAGGGTGAGTTGGGGTGGCTCAAGGATGCTGGTGTGCCTAGAAGGGTGTGAGCTCAGTATTAACAGAACCAAGGGTGATGTTTGTGCGTACCTGAAACGAAGTACGAGAAGCTCGCCAAAGTGTGTAGCCGATGGGCCCGGGAATCATACTCAACAAACTAGCTCAAGTCAGCACACTATTATTTGTAGAGGGGAAGGCATCATACGCTGCATGCGTTCCTCCAGCCACCGCCTCGGTCTTCGGTGATTCTAGGTGGCTTCCACTTCCAGGTCCATTCGAACGTCACTGATGGGCTTCCACCGGTGGAATAATCGCCGACTAAAGCGACGTTGGAATTTCTGTGGAGGTTCGGGTCGGCATGGAACTCGCGAGTTACAAGGTTCTCGACCTCCTTGGCTGTGGAGGCATTGACAAAAGTGAGGCCGGAAATGATCGTGTCGGCCGGAAGCGGTTTGATGTCTGCGGTGGCGGGCAGGGCGCCCTGGCCCTGGCGCAAAACAAATGTAAAGGTAAATATGAGCTCGTCATCGTTGCTAAGCTTGAGGAGGAAGCTGGGGGGGGCATTCGGGTTGGAGGGTTCGGGATCCTAGTGGTGGTGTTAGAAGCGGTCGCGGGTGTTGTCGCTCGAGACTGAGGGACGAGGCAGAAGATGGCGCAAACGAACCTGGACATAGTCTACAGTGGTATTGTCGCCAACAGGCCGGTGAACGGATACTCTGGTAGCTGGAAATGCATTGGGAACGATGTTCACGGAGCTGCGCTTCCGCGGGTTTGTGATGACCAAGGAAGTTATGCTCACTGGCGACAGAAGTCAGTCATGGGCTCAAGTGGTGGGCGGAACGGGGCGCCGAGGGGAGGAGGCTCGGCGGCCAGGGCAGAAAGGAAGCAGGCAAACGCGATCATACATCGATTTTGGTCTCTCAGGTAGAGAGATGCCCCATCGTCGGGCTTGCTGCTTGCGATGCCCATCTCGAGGCGCGTTGGGGGGGGGGGCTGCGAGAGACGGGGGGGGACGGAGACGGGGACTGACGGCCAGCCGAGCTGCAGTCGGGATCTTTTTAAGACGGCGGCACGACAGTGAAACAGGCGACAGGCGGCGACGGGTGACAGGCGGCGGCGACAGGCGACGACACCGTGACAGCAGAAGCAGCAGTAGCAGCAGCAACTATGGCGGCAGCAGGACAGGATACCTTAGTAGCGCGGGGCTCAGGGCGGGACAGGGGGACCGTCATCTGGCGCTGAGCCAACCGGAGCGGCCCACTCGCTACTGTACAAAATGATGTCGCCGGTCGGGTTCAAGCTTCTCTGAGCCAAGGGTCAAGGCCAGAACAAAGCCACCGGTGAAGGGGGCGACGTGGCGGGCGGCTTGCGGCTTGCGGCTTGTGGCGACGGCGGCGGTCGGCGTGTGAGCGTGTGGGCGGTTGAGGTTTGTGGAGCGCAGCTGCTTTAGATTTCAACGACGGGATTGATGTTGCTGACGAGTCGAGTCCCAGAGTCGTAGAGTAGGTACAGTCGTAGAGTAGAGGCGTAGAGTCGCAGGTTCCCAGGCGCCAAATATAAGGATCAAAGGAGGAGCTGCGGAGGAGCTGCGTCAAGGGCAATCGTCGAGCGACGGCGCGTACGAGCGAGGAGCAGGAGCGGGAGACGTAGACGGATGACAAGACGCCTCGAGAGAGGGGCGGTTGAATACGTGGTTGACGAGAGAGACCGGGGTGTTGCAGGAAGCGGAGGAGGGGAGAAGAAGACGCGGAAAGGGAAGGAGAACGCAGCGCGCCCAAGGATGAAGGGTGTGGACGGGTTTTCTCAAAGGCCCTCGTGGTGGATGAGAAGAATCAGAAGCAACAGCACAAGCATGGGTGAGGGAATCAATCCTACGTTGGCCCGGGTCGGCACCAGATGAAGAAAGCCAACCAGGGATGTTGCAGGTAAGTTAGATAGCCACGAGATGGAGGAGGCATCCAGTATGGTGGAGGAGAATACCGGACGCAGACATTCGACAGCCAGCTGCAGGCAAAAGCACGCAGAACACAGCGCGCAGAACTGCAGCACGTATGCGCACGCGCAGGCAACCGGGGGCGTTCATTCAGTCAGTCATCCTTTCATTCGTCCACGGCTCTTTCATTGTCTGCCTGCTTCGTTGTTTTGCTGTATTCAGCGTCGGCCGAGGGCGAGAACCCATGCGGAAGCTGGTGCCCGCCCGCACGCACACACGGGGCCACACGCGCGAACACGCACATACTACAGGCCCGGATTGAGCAGGCTCAGGTTCAGGTGGGTTAGATCCATGCCGGGTTCTGTGTGAGCCAGAGAATGGAGGAGAATCAGAGACTGGAGACTGGAGGCTACAGACTAGAGACTGGAGAATGGGATGTGGAACACCGGGTCTCATCAAACTGGGCCCTACTGGCTTCCATTTGGTGACATCGCTGGGAGTTTAGTTTGGTCCCATATCTGCTCTGTCAAGTGTAAAGTGCTGTCCTGTCCTCTGCTACTGGGATGTCAATCCCTGAATGCCCGTGGGTGGGTGGATGGATGTTCTTTGCTCTATTTGGGTCTGCGGACCGACGGTTGGAACTATCCCAAGTCACCCGCTCGCCTCTGTAATCCGTGTCGAAGGAGCACCATACATACAATAATACACCGCACCACGCTCCTCCATGCTCCTCCGTTGCTGAAATTGGCGGAGCGACAAACCTCCATCTGTCGATGAAACAAGACCAGGGGGTGGTTCATGACCAGGGTCCTGTGGCGCCTGTGACTAACTGCGCCAACGGCGGTCTCATTAGCCTGTCGCGGCCTGTCACAGCCAGACTCACAGGGCGCTTCCAAGCCTGGCGTTCCATTTTCTGGATCCCGACTTAGAAATGCAGTTGTTGATCCATCCATGGCTCCCTCGAGCGGGGCATGAACAAACTGTCATCTCTCGCCCAATCGTCAACGGCCAACGTCATCCTGCCATGTTGGTCCGGGGAGATAAGCATTCCTTGTCGGGGTTTTGGATATGTTTCTTTAGTCGACCTGTACGACAAAGGGTGCCTTGTGGATTATCACGGGTAGCCACCCTGGACACCAGCATTTTCGCCATTGTCATTCGCCTCCCGTGCCGTAGTGTTTATTTCAGGTGACAACGTACGGGATGTTGCGTCGTCTGCGGCATGCGCGTCCCCGTGAACTATTCCGTCTGCTGAACCGTGATGCCTAGAACACGAGAACAACAGGCAGCTGACCATGAGCGGCTGCGGTTACGGCTGCGGCTGCGGCAACGACACCGTCCACGCGTGACATGACATGTGTGTAGCTCAGATACCGACTGACAAGATCGTAACGCAGGCTGCCACTACATCGGGTCAGAGACAAATATGTGTGCTATTCCACGTGTCTTTGTTGGCATCTTGCCACTGGAAAACACCAGGAGCAAACCAGACAGCCTCTTCATCGCCACCCTCCCACCACGGAAACTCAGAGAGAGTTAAGAACAGAAAGCATATACTCCAACGACGGCACCTCCCGCCCTGCATCGGTAGGTGGAAACAGAACGGTGTTATTTCAACCAAGAGATGTCGGGACATGGTTTGTCTTGACCATCATGTGCCAAAAGCCGGCAGGCTCTGGCCTGGTGCCGTTGTCACCGTTTGCTGATCTGTAGTCATTCTAGCAGTGTGCCACCGGTCGGGTACTTCTAAGGACACAAAGGACCAAAGCTTGGCAGGTTCCAGGTTCTGGGGACCAAAGGCCAAACGATTGGGCCGCGCCTCTGCGGTTGAGATTCATTCACTAACATGGCGGAGAGCTAATGAGAAAGCGAGCATAAAGATGGCCAAAAATGGCATGGACGTGCTGCTTCTCATACGCAGACCCAAAGTCAATGCATGCAATCGCTGCCAATGTCCCTTCAAGGCTTGCCTCGCATTCGCGTTCACACGATCGACGACCACGACGGTTCGAAAAGGACACATGGCTTTCTTGCGGCCACACTTAACAAAGATCTCTCTTCCCAGGTATTGCTTCCATCTCACCCTCACTCGTCGTTGGGATGGAAGAGGCGACGGTGATGGTAAGACGGTACCTACATAGTATTCGCATGCCCCTATTGACAGACAGTTTGAAATGCATGAGAATCGGTACTTTTGTACTTGACCAAGGCCATCGGGATGGCTCAGGTTCGGGGTCGGGCGAGCCTCTCACCAGTCGCCGTAGGGAGACATCGTCGGCCACCATGGCGGCACGACGAGTGCTTCTATTGGCTCCGGCGACGCCTTCAGGGGGCTCTGCCACCACGTTCCACTAATAAGCACCCGTGGACTGGAAACTAGAGGAGCCCCCTTTCGCTGGCTGATTCACTGGCCGATAGCCCAAGCCCAGGCCCAAGCACCAAGCACTGGACCTCAGCCCATCAATGACGTTGCGTCCCATGGCCGCCGCATGTCCCGTGTTGAGCGAGCCGCTCCGGACGCACACAACAGGATGCGCTACGAGGCCCGGTAATTATAGTTGAGAAACATCTGTGCGTTAGGCCGGTACTGTGTGTATCATAGCACATAGCAGACAGCCGAGACGGGCAAACAGAATTGCCGTTGCGGTGGTGCGCTGCGCTGAGATGGGGGCGGCTCTCACCGTCTCCCCAAGTACGAAGGATCGCACCCGCTTGCCCTCCACTGCGCTGTACCACCCCAGTAGTCCAGTAGTCCAGTACCTAAGGTACCTACCTACCTTAACCAAGTTCCCGCCCAAACGTCAGCTCGTCATTCCATCCTCAATCCTGTTGCATATCTTGTCTTCTCCTCGTCAGACGCCTTTGTCGACTTTCCCTCCGCACCAATACCGATACCGCACACACCAGACAGCCCGCCACCGTCTTCTACGCTCCGGCTGCCCACTGCGACTCCCTATCGCCTGCTGTTGGTCATGAGCCAGGGCGCGTACCGACCGTTTGGGCATCATCTCGCGTCCTGAGCAACCCCACCATCTCCGTTTCCCACCGTCGCCGACACAACTTCGACATTGAAATCGACATCGACCCTGAAATCGGCATCGCCATGTCGACAGCATCTCGCAGCTCCTGGCATGGCCGCCGTGCCAACAGCAGCAAAGATGCTGGCAGAGCCCGCGCGACCTCGAGGGCCCATCACATCGTCGTTGAGCACGAAGAGGCCCGCAGCTTTGCCCTGCGCGCCGCCTATCTACACTACCTGTTGCAGCCCAAGGCCAAGCGAAAGCAATATATCCCGGCCCCCAAGCAGCCCGCCCGAACACACACCAGCGTCGGCGTCCTGGTCCAGGAATACGTTTCTGGCTCCTCCTCCGGCCTGAAGCTGCCGCACAACTTCTCCGGCGCTCTGCTTGAGAGAGTAAGCGGTATCCTCACGGGCAGCGAGCGCCTCCCTGGCTACAACGATGCCGCCGTCAAGAGAACATTTGCCGAAGCATATACTGCCTTCACTGAGCGCAACTTTCGCAAGACGATTGACAAGGAGAGAAAGTTGGAACCTCTCATCCTCATGTTCTACACTGCCGCCACCAAGGCTGCCCAGAAAGGCGCCGTTGCCGGTGACGACTCCTGGAAGCTCATCCCCGACCGACACCTCGCCCTGCTTGTACGCCTGATTGCCACAATTATCCGAGACCACGGCCACGATCGCGATAAGCCTGAGCTCATGTCCAGGCTCAATTCACTGGAGAAGAAGCTCCTCACCAATGATCAGGATTTGGTTGCCGATGGCGCTGGCACTACAATAGAAGTCGTCGTGCCCTTGAGCTATGATGTCAAGGACATGCCCATGGTCCAAGTTGTCGCCAGCATCTTTGGCCTGAGCTTTTCTGAGGTACAGGCTGAGATCAACGAGAATCGACAAGTGTGGAACGAGGAGGCGGCGTTGAGGGACCTCAAGTCCTACCAGGCCAGGCTGAACTCAAACCTCCCCGGTGCACTCAGGAGCCAGGATTTTGATCTTGAGGAGTCATTTCTTGAGTGGAAAGAAGCCGAGACACCCCACCTCTCTAAGATGATCCTCGACGTCATATTGGCGAAGCCAGAGTTGGCCAAGTCATCAACTAGCCATTTGGACAAGGCCTTGCCGAATCGGCCCCAATCCACTTATGATGATCGAGCATATGCAGACCTTAGCCGTGCTCTTTCCAACTCTACTGATGGCACTCTAGCCTTTGACCCGTCGCTTAACTTGGCATCCCTATCCCTCAATGATCCTAGCATCAGAACTGTCGAGGAAGATATTTACACCTTCACGCCCCAGGATCCCAGGGCCTTTTTCAAGTATATTCTCCAACAAGCCATGTCCTTTGACCAGATCCATGCCGACCCAGACCTTGACTACCAACCCCTCTCTAAACCGTCCATGGATCTCTTGACCGAGCTCTGCGTGCGCTGGCGAGTCCCCCAATTCTCGAGACTCATTGTCCTACTTGAGGTGGCTGCCCGCAAATTCGTGGATCGGGAACTGGTTCCTGAGGAACTAGACGCCGTCTTCGACTTTATCAAGGCGCCGCTTCCCGAAGTGAAGAAGCCTCCTCATATGCCTCAATACACTACTCCTCTCCCTGAGATTGACCCAAGCCGATGGACTGTCCATGATTTTGCCGTCTATCAGCACACACTCTCCAGCGTCCACGAGACCCTGCTACGCGAACTTTATGACCTGATGGAGAAGTGCTACGACTTGAAGCCACCACAGATCGCCGCCGTTTTGTTTGTTTTGGATCAGCACATCATGAACGACCCATGCTTCTCACCGAGGGCCGATGCTGCCTCTGAATTTGCGGAGCATCTCTCCCAAGCACTGCGGCATAGGGCTGCGGATGCATATCGCCAGTATATGGAGAAAGAAATACCGGCGCACAGGGAAGAGTGGGACTTTGGCCATGCGGTTAAGCTCGGCAAAACGGTCATCAAGCTGTGTGATAGGATCAAGAAGCGATACAAGAAGACTCCCGAGATAATGGGAGTGAACCCCTTGGCTATCCTTGTCGAAGAGGTCTTCCCTAGTTTCGAAGAGGATGCCGACGCCATAATCCAAACTATCTTGCAGAGCGCTGCTGAGACACAGACTGAAATCGACATCCAAGAGGGCTTCGAGCTGTACAAGGAGTTGATTGAAATCCGTCGGATTCACCAAGAGTCTCTCCCTGGACGGCCATTTGCGTTTAACATTGAGAATCTCTTGGTTGACTTTGTGTGGCGCTGGATTGGCGCTGCCGAAGCTAGAATGGAGGAGTATGTGGACCAAGCCATCAAGCAGGACCAGTTCCAGGTCCGTACGGAGGGTCCTGAACAAACCCCCTTAGACTCGGAGCGTCACAGCGTGTCCATTATCGACATGTTCATGCTGTTCAACCAGACCATTGATCAGGTTGTCAAGCTGGAGTGGGATAACGAGGAGCACAATGCTCGGTTCATGACGGCCCTCGCAAGGTCATTCGCCACAGGCATCGGAAAATACTGCGAAGTGGTTGATGGACGCTTTGCCAAAGAGATGGACCGCCCGTCAGCCGAGGAAATGGCAGCGCAAACCCAGTCTGCCCAGGATAGGTGGATGCAATACGCCAAGGATGCCTGGAACAACAAAGACCGGGTTGAGCCCTTTCAATTCTACCCCGAGGTAAGAAATATCATGTCCGCCCTGACCCAACCACAAGCTAACAGCTTCTAGTCTTTTGTGAAGCTCAACAACATCGAGTATGCTATGCAAGAGCTGGACAAGCTTGAAAGGACTATGGATCCGGACGCCTGCGCCGCCTTGCTGGAGAAGATTGATGGACCCAAGAAAAAGGTCCGCAGGCCAAACAAGTACACCTTCACGATCAAGGTGGTGGAGGCCGAGGATCTCAAAGCCTGCGATCCCAACGGCTATAGTGACCCTTACGTGGTCTTTGGCGATGAGTACCAGAAACGCCTCCACAAGACGAGGATTATCTCGAAGAATCTCAACCCGAGATGGGACGAGACGTTTGACATCACAGTCCAGGGACCCGTGAACATGATTGCAACCATTTGGGACTATGATACATTCGGTGACCACGACTACGTGGGTCGAACTTCGCTCAAGTTGGACCCTATTCATTTCAGCGACTATCTGCCCCGAGAATTCTGGCTGGATCTGGATTCTCAAGGTCGATTGTTGATCAGGGTCAGCATGGAAGGCGAGCGAGACGACATTCAGTTTCACTTTGGAAAGGCCTTCCGGCACCTCAAGCGCACCGAGAGAGACATGGTCCGCAAGATCACAGACAAGGTGAGCAGTCCACTGTCTTGGGATTGTCGGATAGTAATGCTAACAGGAAACAGCTCACTTCTCAAATTAATGCTACGCTCTCAGTCGAAACGCTCCGACATCTGCTTGGAACCGGAGGCATTGGAGCATCTGTCACGAGTTTGTGGAAGAAACGCGCGTCGACAGTGCCTGTGGCGACACCCACCCAGATTGAGAGTGCACTGACTCCCTTGTTTGCGTACTTTGACGAGAACTTCGCCATTATGAAACAGACATTGACGGAAGCGACAATGATTGCAGTCATGACACGTCTGTGGAAGGAAGTCCTCATGGTCATTGAGTGGCTTCTAGTGCCACCACTGTCGGAGAAGCCCTCCCTGCAGCGGCCGCTCTCGCGCAAGGAACTTGATGTAGTCTACCACTGGCTGGAGATGCTGTTTGTGTTCTTCAACGCCAAGGATGAGCACTCGGGAGAGCAGTTGGGAGTTCCGGCGGAGGTGCTCAAGTCGTCTAAGTGGCACGAGCTGGCTTCGCTAAACTTCTTCTACTTCGAGGATACTAACAGTCTGATTCGAGAGTCGGAACGAATGGCGGCTGCCACGGCCCAGCGCGCGCAACAAGCCCTCCAGCAACAGAATGCGCAGCAGAACCGCCTGTCGGCTCCGCCAACGTTTGGTGCAACGTTTGGCGGCGCAGGGGCATTTGCCAGCATGGGCACGATCAGGCGAGGCAAGAGCATCATGATGAGTCGCAACCTGGGTACGATGCGCAAGGCTAAGGAGGCCAAGCGACGAGAGGCACAGGCGGACCCTAGTGATGATATGATCTTGCGGATCCTGCGCATGCGGCCCGAGGCGGCGAATTACCTTAAGGAGAGGCATCGCCAGAAGGAGCGGCAGGCGGCCACGGCGGCAGCGGCGCAGATCGTGAAGAACAGCGTTACGCAGGGGTGGAATGCCGGCGGGGCCCCGGCCTTTTCGGGCAACTTTGGACGGAACAACCTACCGCGGCGATGAGAGCTGCTTGAAGCTGAACGATATGGATTTGGAGAAGGCTTGGCACGGTGTTTGGAATTGCTGAATCAGAGGAGAAGGGGGACCAGACCAGCGGAGATGGGTAGGGAATTCGACATGGACGGGATATTGCCCCTTGCTTCAATGGCTTTTTTTTAGTGCCTGGCTGGATGGAAAGGCACCAGATACCCTCATTCGTACAGGCAGCGAGGTGATTGTGGTTGATTATTGTGGTCTCATAGGCAGGATGCGAGCAAATTGGGAGCTGGATGTACAGGTTGTAGTATAATCAGGGGGCTCCCGGGCAAGGAACGATAGAGATGACGGAGTCGCAGCGTTTTGTTATGCACTGTAGTACAGTTTCAATGTGAAGCGTTTCCCAGGTTTAGGCATACAGGCATCGGGATGATCTAGTGGCAATCGAGATGTAGCTCCTCGGCAAGGTAGGATGCGGCAACGATGCTACTGTACCTCCCGCCCATGCGCAAGCTCTCGCTGCCGCGTGCTCTAGGAGGATGCGGTTGCAGTCGATGGGACGGCACCGGAACCCTCGTTCACATGGCCTTTATCTCGACGAACAGGGTTCGTCAAGATTGTCGATCTACTGCAGGGCAGCCCAAATGGAGGAAGAGTGGCCCTAGATCGTGCAACCGAACAGGCATCAGTTGACACGCATCGAGTCATCGGAGCGAATCGACAGTGCAAGGCAAGCGAGCAACATGGCAAAGTGCAGAAGTGCAGCACGGAAGCGCGGTAGCCATGTCGTCTACAACCAGGAGAAGACGAAGCATCATGTCACCCCTGCGTGGGGGATGAGGGCGCGCGGAGAAGAGCTCCGCGTCTGGGCAACAGACTCGGCCGACTCAGTCGGGGGACGGCGGGTACAGGATTCAAAACGGAAGCATGGCAGGCCTCTCAGAAGCAAAGTGGAGACGGCTCTCCACCGTTGCGACATGTTGCCAGCGGCTCGAGCAAGGATGCATATGATGAGAGTTATGGGTGGGTGGAAATGGAGGAGCGGGGGATTTAACGAGGCTGGGCAGCGGCGAGCGCAGGCGGGTGTGAATGAGAAGAATGGTGAGACAAGGGATTGCTGATGGGGTTGGAATGGACATGATGTGTAAGTAGGAGACACACACACATACACACATACACACATACACACACACCACACACGACAGGACTCAGGAGACCCCTTTAGCAAAAGCCCTTTGGTCGAGGTCCCTTTGGATGTGTTCCACCATGTAACACGAGGGCGCTGGGCGGAACGGTGGAGAATCGGCTGGGAGTCGGGCTCGCTCCCAAATAGGTTAACCGTGATGACGGCATTCAGGGTCCAATGGGTCCTTTCGTCTTGAAAGCGGAGGCCTCAAGAAGCGGATAAGTTGGGACACAAGGCAGCAATTGGTGAGGTCTTTGAGAGTGGTGGCGCTTGCGGGCTTTGGAGTTGATAGCCTTGAGCCGAGTGAGATAGATCAGCTGGTCGTTCTAGTCGTCGTCTCCTGTATGGCTCTCGCCAACGCTAGACGGGATGAAACCTGCCCGTCTATGGCACCGTCTCTACCGACACTCGGATACCGGTAAATCTGAGATTTTGATGCTCGTGGCAACGTAGCACGAGTCGAGGCCTCAAGATTGCCGACACTTGCTAGCCTCACCACACCTGAGCCGTTGACGGCCTGGTCTGTCACCCACACACACTTGATCCGAGTCCACTTTGCCACCCTTGGCACCTTTGGGCAGCACGGGCGCTCAGTCTAACAAGCTGTCAGTATGTGTCGCTCAGCAGGCAGCCCTGGAAAGGTGTGTTCAACACGCATCCTGCTCGCCCATGGATAAACGAATCCTCGGGCTCGACGAAGGAGAAATGACAAAGAACAAGTGGTTCAAAAGTTCGATTGTAGAGCAGACCATATGCATGTCTGGCAAAGGAAGATGAAGATGAAACCGTCTCGGAATAATGGTTGATTTATGACAAGATGGACGGACCGCCATCTTCTGATTGTCCTTTGGCTGTAACTTAATATGTTGAACATTAATACGGATTAGCACTCTATAACAATTCCCTTGCTTAATACTCAAGGGCTGGACCAAAGCAAAGCAAAGCGAAGCAAAGAGCTTAGAGTTCTTTTTGATAGCCGTGACGGAACGGCGTGGCGGCGCCAGGACGAATAGGAAGGCCCCGTGACGATCACTGGTGGCCTTGGGTCTGTTTCGGGCGTTGACTGGAGGGGTTAAGTAACTTACTTGTCGTTTTTAGGCCGTATGCCCGCACTAGATGTCTCTATCTGCGACAGCTGGGGGATCGACAAGAGCGGTTGCCAATCGCTCTCAGACGGGTGGTGGTGGGGTGAGGTACCTGGAGATGGACACGAGGTGAGACGAGATGAGATGAGACGAGAGAACAGCGAGGGAAAGTAAAGAGTTGGGGAAGATGAAGGAGTCTGGACTCCTGCAACAAGGTTACAATGGGAGCCACAGCGCGTAGGCGCGGCGTGCCATCGTCTGGTTGAAGAGGCCTTGGCTTCTCGACAGAGCACAACAGCAACAGCACGCGGGTGGACGGCCTTGCAACAAATCACTCCCACAGCTCCCATTTGCTGCGGAGACATGAATGTGAACGAGAATTTTCAACCCAAAGTTGCACTTTAACTTAATGTGACGGATGTGCTGGAGGCGTTGATGGACGCATCTTGTGCACCTGTTTCCTGTCCCCTCTTTCGGGCCTCGTTTATCAGAGCCCGTCCTTCCTCAACCTCCGGAGGACAGAGCTACCTACCTACCTACAGTGCAGACGTCGCACCTACGTTATGCACCCCGATGCGCTCCTGCCATCAGCGGCCGCAGACAGCCTCACGTGGGCATGCGCGTGGGCGGTGAAGGTAGCCGCAACTTCCACACACCAGAGCGATCGATTAATATCACCAACCCCACAGCGTTGAGAGATTCGGAGTTCTCTCACATGGCCGCCGTTCTATTGGTTTGCGGGGGTAGAGCATGACCTCGACTGTGGTCCGAGCTGTAACGCCAGCAGCTGAACTACAATGCATTCGGCGCACTGTCTGCGGCAGTGTCCTGTGGTGGAGAAAGAGACCAAGTCATCAAATTGCTCAGAGGCACTCTCGAGGCCTCTTGGTCTTCTCCGGCACAATCGCTAGCTGCGGCAGACTCCCTCGAGGCCATGGTATCAGACAAAATGACGCCACAAGCCGACTCAAGTCTCACCATGGACGAATCAAAAGCTGATCGGCCGTGCTGCTCCGAATGACGTCGGTGGCTGATTGCCCTCGGCCCACACACGTCCCCTGAATCCCTGAATCCCTGAATCCCTGAATCCCTGAATCTCTCCATCCCTGGATCCTGCACCCGCGTCATCGCACTGCAAGCCTCCCCACCCACACTCACAAGCGCACGCTATGTACCAACGATGTCATGGCCGTCTGATCTTGCTCGCTCCATTAACGGAGTGGAGCGGGAGCCATCATTCTGCCGACCTACCTACCTATGAAACTTCTTCCTTTCCGACTGGGTCACCGGGGTACGTACCCAATGTAGAGCCTCTGAGCCGATCAATGGGAGAGAAGATAGATTCCCCCTCGCATCTCGTAAGGAACGGGGTGTCCTATTGTGCCAACGCTCCCTCCACCAGTTCCAGGAGAATTAATAGAACTCTGAAACGACAGGCGCGTCCATCACAATGGCGCTACCGTCCATCCCGCGCGCCCATCCTCCTCGCCGCGGTCTACGGTTGCCGGGTTCTGGACGCTCCGAGCCCAGCCCGCCGGCCCAGTGGGGAGACGGTTGATGACAGTGACAGTAGGCGACGCCGCCGGCACGGTGCCGCTACTTGGGGCACGCCAGCCCGAGGACCAAGATCTCAAGCGGCGACCCCTAGGCATCCGCCACATGCTGTACGTCTGTATGTGCACCGGTGGTATCGTTGGGTTGGCTGGTTGCAAGTCTGAGTGTTAGTCGGCAGCTAGCATCCTGCTTTGTACCTAGGGCTCCAAACTCTTCGCTTCACAGACCACATTGGGACGATCGATCTGCTACGTACAGGAACCGAAAGAAGTTGACTATAGATATCGGAGGTGTGCGACGATGGCATTCGTATTTGATCCGATCAAAGGGGGCAGAGGAGGGATATGTCCGTTTCAAACCCCATGGCGATATGGGCGCTCACCGGCCCGCAGGCAAATGGTGCTAGGAAGAGCAATCCCTCAACACGAGATTGCACGTTTGCCCGTATCCAGCCCCACTGGCATACACTTGGTCGAGTCGTGCTGGGCCCGCGAGGGCACAACATACCGACGGCGGGGCCTCAACATGCTCTGCCCCATGGCGTATCACAAGTCAGAACCGAAGCAGTGCTTTCAATCCAATCCTGCACGTACCCGTACAGTGTGAACTACGTCACCCTTCCCCACACAAACGGTCTGCGCTCCTCGAGGTACGTACCGCAGTTAGCGGCTGGCGTTTTGAAAGATCCCTGGACAACGAGAACCACGAAAAAAAAAAAAAGAAATGAAAATCGCAAGATGACCAGGTCCCTGGGGAAAAAGCAGACCGCACCATCGCTCGCACAGAACCGGAGCCTGCGAGTCTTCTGGGACTCGTTACGAAGGTTCCCGAGCGTCCTATGCAGCATGCCGGAGATGTGACAAAGAATTGCTGTGTGTCTAGCTCAAAAAGAAAGCAAATTAATAACCCAACGAGGTCATGTAAGCCTCCCTCCCATTGAAGGCCGCATGCCACCACCACATGCATCCACATGCATTGTTACCCGCAGCCTTTAGCCGGGCCCTGACAACGAGAGCCTGATGGTGCGGCTGTGGCCAACGAAGCGTAACTCACTGGCACCAACAACACAGCACAGGACGAGATGGATGCAGTGCTGAATGCTCATTCCAGACGACAAGGCAAGTTTGTCCCTGCACATTGGCACATGGTCGGGAGTCGCCTCCAGCAGCCGCGAGGCGGCAGCTGTGTGGGCCATCTCTGAGCGGGTTGGCCTTGCCAGGGGTTGTGGCTGGACTGGTCTCGGGGCCCAGTGAGGTCACTTGATCCAGAGAGGGAAATCGATCGATCAGTTCGTACTCGCGCTAGACCCAAAATGGAGGCGGGGGCGTCAGTCGCACGCCACGATTGGCTGACTTTGCGTGTGATTCCCCGGGAAGGGTCCCCCTGCTCAGGGAATTAACGCCCTCGGGCTGTTTGTTCCATCAACAGGCGCTGGGAGTTGAAAGGTGCTTTGCACACCGATATCCAATTGCCGCACCCAAGTACATAGACTTATCTGTCTCTAGTACAGAGGATCGTATTCCATGGGATGAGAACTGCTTCAGTTCAGTCGGTCCAAATCGAACTATCAGTCGAATCCACACATTTCATCCAAGTTCATGCTCGTCGCTCGTGGTCGCCATGCCGTCCAGGTGCATCCCAGCACCTTGGGCTTGCATGACCATTGTCAGTACAAGCCAAGCACAGGTTCAATCAGGAATCAATAATTGGCACCTCACCAACCAATGTACGCGTACACCAAGCATGGTGCAGTCTCAGCAAACACAAGAGCCAAGCCAAGCCCTGTTCTGGGCGCTCTGGGCTTCTACACATCGCTACTGCGCCAGAGAGGAGGTGTACTTTTTGCAATGGCATGGGTGGCGGCTGTTTCTACCAGCGCCATCCCCGCCGCCGCCGAGCTCGAGCCAGGTAATCCCGCCTCACTCCCCGAATAAACGAGGCTAAACCTGGTTGGAAATAGGCTGGCCTGGTCCCGCCTTATCTCTCTGGCGCTCTCATTCCCACTCGTTCCCAGCACAGCACAGCACAGCACAAACTGGCACTACATGCTGTGCCATGTACCCTGCCTGCCGCCCATGTCCCTCGCCGAATACGCACCCTCCACTACCTACCTACCTCCCGTCTCTACCTTACTAGGTACCTACATGCCTTCCCTACAGACGCCAGACGCCCAGGAGGAGCCCTATCCTATTACCGTATTACCTCGCTGCCAGTGTCATCCCTCCTTTGTCCCTGCCCCATCCCAATCCCAATCCGTCCCAATCAGTCCTCCATCATTCTGCACCGCCCAAGCGCCCGAGTCTCGCCCTCCCCTCGTTTGCACTCTCGCCCTTCACGGCTCTCCGTCGCAACCCCCCTCCGACCCCGAGACAACGTAGGGCCGACCTGCAAAACAATATCCCACCTCTTCTTCGCTTCGTGCTGCTTCAACCGCGGTTTGGATCCTTGATTGCCGTCGCCGCCCGTCCTCGATACCCTGGCCCAAGGATGCTCTGCGGTCTGCCACTGCTTTGCCCTTGATTTCGGTCGCCGCTGTGCCTCACCTCCAAGTCGCCTCCAAGCCACCTGCCCCTCGACGTCCCGCGCCCTCCTCATTCACACCCTGATTCCTGCGCCCCTGCCATCGCCGTTTCACCCGAATACCCTTCCGGTTGCGTTCCGCTCGCTCTCCCGAAGCCTTCGTCGCCTGACTGCGGCCCAGCAGTCTCTGCCTTGCAGAATGGTCGATGATGCGGCTTTGGCCGCCGCCGCCGAGATTGTGGCCTCCATTGCCCCGGACTCGCGCTCGCCTGGCTCGATCCCCGTGGGCGTAGCCTCCACCGTCAAACTCCCCGGCCGTGAGACGCCCGCGAAGCGAAACCTCGAGATTGAACTCCAAAAACTTGCCCTGCGGGTTGGCAAGCTCGAGGGGCAGGCTTCCAACACCACCACCAACTTGCCCGAGACCCCCAGCGAGACGATAGACTCGCTGTTTGGTGATGATGGTCTCTCCTTGCCATCCCGCCCCAAACCTAAACTCTTCCACGCCCAAGGTAGCTTGCACTCTCCGCATCTGCCGTCTATCCAGCTGACAAAGGAAGCCCTCGAAGGCCTTCGTGATCATGTCGATGACCAGTCGAAGCTGCTCGACTCCCAGCGCGAAGAGCTGGCCGGCGTTAATGCCCAACTTATTGAGCAGAAGCAGCTGCAGGAGCGTGCCCTCGAGGTCATGGAGCAAGAACGCATTGCGACCCTAGAACGTGAGCTCTGGAAGCATCAGAAGGCCAACGAGGCTTTCCAAAAGGCCCTCCGAGAAATCGGTGAGATTGTTACGGCTGTCGCTCGCGGTGATTTGACCATGAAGGTCCGAATGAATACCGTCGAAATGGACCCCGAAATCACAACCTTCAAGCGAACCATCAACGCCATGATGGATCAGCTGCAAACGTTCGCCAGCGAAGTCTCTCGCGTGGCCCGTGAGGTCGGTACTGAAGGCTTGCTGGGTGGCCAGGCTCGTATTGGTGGTGTCGACGGAACATGGAAGGAATTGACAGACAATGGTATCCTACCAAACCCTGCCCCGTCACTCTAATAGCATCTAACGAACCCTTGCAGTGAACGTAATGGCGCAGAACCTGACTGATCAAGGTAAATATTGCCCATGGCGCTCGCCGAATTCCTTGCTCTGTATCTAACATGAGACCACGCAGTGCGAGAAATTGCGTCGGTAACAACCGCTGTCGCCCACGGAGATTTGACCAAGAAGATTGAAAGACCCGCCCGAGGCGAAATCCTGCAACTGCAACAGACCATCAACACTATGGTTGACCAATTACGGACTTTCGCTTCAGAGGTTACGCGTGTGGCAAGAGATGTCGGAACTGAAGGGATCTTGGGTGGACAGGCCGATGTTGGGGGAGTTCAGGGCATGTGGAATGACTTGACCGTCAATGTGAACGCCATGGCCAACAACTTGACGACCCAAGTGCGCGACATTATTAAGGTTACGACAGCTGTCGCTAAGGGAGACTTGACCCAAAAGGTCCAGGCCGACTGCAGAGGAGAGATCTTTGAGCTCAAATCTACCATCAACTCCATGGTTGACCAACTGCAGCAGTTTGCCCGCGAAGTCACCAAGATTGCAAGAGAGGTCGGAACTGAAGGCCGCCTGGGCGGACAAGCCACTGTACACGATGTCGAAGGCACCTGGAGAGACCTAACCGAGAATGTCAACGGCATGGCCATGAACCTGACAACCCAAGTGCGAGAAATCGCAAAGGTCACAACGGCTGTGGCCAAGGGCGATCTGACAAAGAAGATTGGGGTTGAAGTCCAAGGAGAGATTTTGGAGCTCAAGAACACCATCAACCAGATGGTGGACCGACTGGGTACCTTTGCCGTGGAAGTGAGCAAGGTTGCTCGCGAAGTCGGCACGGATGGAACTCTTGGTGGACAGGCCCAAGTTGCCAACGTCGAGGGCAAATGGAAAGATTTGACCGAAAACGTCAACACCATGGCCTCGAACCTCACAGTCCAGGTAAGACTCGGGATCCAGCCACCAGCGGACCCCTCGGCACTACCACCTGCGATCATTTAACTAACCCCTTCTTTAGGTTAGGAGTATCTCTGCCGTAACACAAGCCATTGCCAATGGCGACATGAGTCAGAAGATTGACGTCGAGGCGAATGGAGAGATCCAAGTCCTCAAGGAAACCATCAACAACATGGTTGATCGTCTGTCTAGCTTCTGTTACGAAGTGCAGCGAGTTGCCAAGGACGTGGGTGTCGACGGCAAGATGGGGGCCCAGGCCGACGTGGCTGGGCTTGATGGACGGTGGAAGGAGATCACGACTGATGTCAATACCATGGCTAGCAACTTGGTAAGTGATGATACGAAGACGGAGTAGAAGGGTGAGCAGAAACAAGCTAATGATGATGCAGACAACCCAAGTGCGTGCCTTCTCAGATATTACGAACTTGGCAACCGACGGCGACTTCACCAAGCTGGTCGACGTTGAAGCCTCCGGCGAAATGGACGAACTGAAACGCAAGATCAACCAAATGATATCCAATCTCAGAGACTCGATCCAAAGGAATACTCAGGCCAGAGAGGCTGCCGAGTTGGCCAATAAGACCAAATCAGAATTTCTCGCCAACATGTCTCATGAAATCCGTACGCCCATGAACGGTATCATTGGCATGACCCAACTCACCCTTGACACCGATCTGACTCAATATCAACGAGAGATGCTGAATATTGTCAATAATCTTGCCAACAGCCTCCTGACGATCATTGACGACATCCTGGATCTGTCCAAGATTGAGGCCAGGAGAATGGTGATTGAAGAGATCCCGTATACATTACGAGGAACCGTCTTCAACGCTCTCAAAACTCTAGCTGTCAAGGCGAACGAGAAGTTCTTGGATCTCACATACAAGGTGGACAGCTCTGTACCAGATTATGTCATTGGAGATTCCTTCCGTCTCAGGCAAATCATCCTTAATCTTGTCGGCAACGCTATCAAGTTTACTGAGCACGGCGAAGTTAGTCTGACCATTAAAGAGCGCCCAGACCAGAGCGACGTTGGCCCCGGTGAATATGCCGTGGAGTTTATCGTCGAAGATACGGGTATTGGCATCGCAAAAGACAAGCTGGACCTGATTTTCGACACCTTCCAGCAGGCCGATGGCTCCATGACTCGCAAGTTTGGTGGAACTGGTCTCGGTCTATCCATTTCGAAGCGACTTGTTAACCTGATGGGTGGTGACTTATGGGTCAACAGCGAGCAAGGAAAGGGCAGCGAATTCCATTTCACCTGCCGGGTCAGGCTGGCTCACGACGATACTGAGATGATCGAACAGCAAATTCGACCGTACCGAGGTCACCAAGTCCTCTTCGTGGACAAGGCCCAGTCGAGCTCTGGAACTGCCATCCGAGGCATGCTTGAGAAGATTGGCCTACACCCCGTGGTGGTTGACTCGGAGAAGAGCACAGCCCTCACGCGCTTGCAGACGGGTGGCGCCCTTCCTTATGATGCCATTATTGTGGACTCAATCGACACTGCTAGGAGACTGAGAGCTGTCGACGACTTCAAGTACCTCCCCATCGTTCTGTTGGCGCCTGTCGTTCATGTGAGCTTGAAGTCGTGCTTGGATCTGGGCATCACGTCATACATGACTACGCCATGCAAACTCATTGATCTGGGCAACGGAATGATTCCTGCACTCGAGAACAGGGCCACGCCATCCCTTGCAGACAACACTAAGTCATTCGAAATCCTTCTCGCCGAGGATAACACTGTCAACCAGAGACTAGCAGTTAAAATTCTGGAGAAGTATCATCACGTCGTCACCGTAGTCGGTAATGGTTGGGAGGCCGTAGAGGCTATCAAGGAGAAGAAGTTTGACGTCATCCTGATGGATGTTCAGATGCCGATTATGGTAAGCACCACTTCCTGATGCGCCTGGCCTTCAGCCAGAGGAGAAGACTAACATCGTTCCAGGGCGGATTCGAAGCGACGGGTAAGATCCGAGAATACGAGCGGGGCATGGGAACTCATAGGACCCCGATCATCGCTCTGACGGCCCATGCAATGATGGGTGACCGTGAGAAGTGCATCCAAGCGCAGATGGATGAATATCTTTCGAAGCCTCTCCAGCAGAACCATTTGATCCAGACGATTCTTAAGTGCGCCACCCTCGGGGGCCCCCTGCTCGAGAAGAACCGCGAACGCGAGCTCGCGATGCACGCCGAAGCAAAGTCGGGATCTAAACACAAGAGTACCGAACAGGGCATGCTGCGACCGACTCTCGAAAGCCGATCTTTTACTACCCGGGAGCCCATTTCTAGCAATGGAAAGGAGGTACCTGCTCTTGTGTCACCTGAGCAAGAAGAAGCATTGGCAAGAGCACGTCTCGATTTCTCCGATATGAGAAGCATTTCGAACTAACTGGGTTCTGTTTGCCTACTCTCAGATTCTCATGAGATCGCATAGCACATAGGCGACGAAAGCACGCGCCCGTGCCTGATCACGTCGGACGTTCTGTACGGCTCATGGTTGTACGTTTCGACTTGACTATGCCTGGTTCTGTGCCGAACCTGGGTACCTGCCGTTCCGCGCCCTAATAAACGAAAGCAACCGTAACTGCTCAGAGCATGCCCGCGGAACACATGGTTAAGATTCAATGAAGAGCGATTCTACCCCTCGCCCACTGCTCACTGGTGTGCTACTCACTCGGTACCGAATCCGCGCCTCCATGAGCTCCAAAGCGATCCCGGCCAATTTTATGACCAGAACCGGTCGGCCGACGCTTTCCAAATGAAGTATCCGGTACTCGCCTCCGCCTTGGCAGGTTGACCTGAGCTTCCCATGTTTTACACACCCTCCCCAACATGTGGCTCTCGGGTCCTCTTGAAGGCAGAGGAGCGATTGGGTGGATGATTGGGCGCATTATATGCCCGAATAGCTGAAGCTTCCTTCCCACACCCGGCCTTTTCTTCTCCATTGTATTTACATTACTCCTAGATCTTGTTTTTTTTTTTTTGGGAACCAGTCTTGTCGCGCCTTTGTCTTGTTACTACATCACTCTTCAACCACCAGGGGTTTCGACTCCTCCCCCAATTTATACCAACATCGCGTCATAGGGCGATTTTCGTGGAGGTTTTAAGGCACCGACTCTCACGGATAGACCTGGCATTGCGAATAGCCCGTCGTTTCTCGTCCTCTCTTGATTCATCATTTTTATGTGGATGTGTGGGATAAGGGTAAAGGGGATTCTGGGACGTATGCGAATGAAGGAAAGGGTGATGGGGATGTTTTGGAGACGTATACAGAGGCGAGGCTTTGTGTCTACTTATGCCTGTTTGTAGCGAGATTGGCCTTATGTGGTGGTCCATGGGAGAATATGGGGGACCATTGTAGCGAATGTGAAATGCCACAGGGGGAGAGTAATCATTCCCTCACTGTTTCACACATCAGCCGCCTTTTGCCTTGTTTGTCATTGCCATCGTCATAATATCTACAGCTGAGGCTGGATTGAAGTCCCAGATACAGCATACATCTAAGAGTATGAGTGATCCTATGAGCTGGGGAAATTCGACGTGGGCGTACGATGGATGCTACAGGGACCAACAATCTATAAAGTAAGATATACTTCATTCGGTTATTAATTACAACCCATGATTCCCATCGACAAACGTGACAGTACGATTGTCAACTTATACAGTCTTCCCCTTGTCGGCATCGTCTTCCGCAGGACCATTGCCAGACAGAGTCTTGCCATTGTTGTCGGCTTTGTTAGGCTTCGGGGCCTTGGGTTGCTCAGCCTCGTTGGCCTCGAGGGCAGCTAGAATGGCCTCGAGTTTGTCTTCGAGATGGGATAGATTGGCTTCAAGAGCGGCGGCAGTCTGCTCACCCCTTGAAAGGGGGAAAGGGTCATGTTAGTGAGGCCCACCACCCTGATTACTGTCTATTATGAACCAAAAAAAAAGGGCCGCGACTAGGGCTCTGTCAAGAAGGCAAGCAGGGCAGATAGGGATGAGATGGGTCGGAGAAGGTCGAGACCAAGCGAAGGAACAGCTGGTCCGGGAATCGAGTGATTAGGGATGGGATGGAGGGGTGGATAGAGAAGCGTGAACGTGTGTAATAAGGGGAAGAATGCATGCATGAATGAACGGATGGTAGCTGCCCCACTGGTTGGAAATCTTGCGCATGGGTAATTGCCATGTCTGTGATATGGCGGAGATGCGGATGGAACGGACACGGAGTCGGACACGGAGAAGGGACTGAGAAGTGGCTGAGGGGGTGGAGAGAAGTGCAGATCTCGCTTGAGAGGTTGTATCCACATCCCGAGACCACGAGGCAACCGGGTCTCGATCGCGGTTGTGGTTGATGCAGGGCGGATTCCCGAGAATCTGGGCCCTCAGAGACCGGCAGAGACCCTCAGGGACCAGCACAGACTCGACGGTCAAGGCTGCAAAACAAACGCCTCCAGATCGGCGTCGACCATCTTGGCGGGTACAAGTGTTCGGCGACGCCGGCATGTGGCTTTTAGTCTGGCGGCCTTGCCCCAATTAGACTTAGATGGGACCAGCGGGGTGTGTGTTGGTCAGAACGCATGCGTTAACCGCGGGGAGAAGTTTGAATGAAGCGGGGAAAAAGGAAAGGGGGTAAAAAATACTTTCAGGATGACAGACTTGAAACCCGGAAGCAAGACGGTGCAAGAAAGAAAAAGAAGAAATGGCGGGAAATAAGACTTAGGGCAATATCAGATGGATGAGGAGAGATCCAGACAAGAAGGCCTTTCAGAAGCAATAGGTGCTGTGGTGACACTAGAGGGGTATGTACCTGGTGAGGTCTCGGTAGGCCTAGAACGTGGAGGCTGTCAGTTGAGCGGTGGCGCTTGGAGCGAGAAGATGCACTGCAGAATGCAGAATGCAGAATGCCGGATGCATGAATGCACATCAGGGATTGCTCGTGGCAGCCAGAGGGGCCTCGACCATGGCTGGGTAGCCCTGGGCTGAAGAAGGGGACCAGGGGGGGGGGGCTTTGGGAGGGGCTGAGCTGGGATGAGACAAGCCCAGCTCAGCGGGAAGGGCATGGGAGGCGGGAGACGGAAGAGGGAGACGGGAAACGGGAAACGGGGAACGGGAAACGGGAAGCGGGAAATCGGGATGAGTGAAGTGATGAGATGAGATGAGATATGGGGCGGCATGCCATTCACTCGCGAGCCTCGGTGAGACCCGGCCAGTTAGGCTACATCGCCTGCCATATGGCAATGGCAACATGGAGATGGCCGTCTCAAATCGTCCCCACGCGAGAGATGGAGGTATGGGGAACATGGGCATGACTGGGCATCATGAATCATGAAGACTGACCTGGGCCAAATCGGTATCCGAGGACGACGCTCCGGAAGCTTGGGCGCTGTTGGCGCCAGACTCGTTGGATGGGGCCATGATGGTTGTGGTGGACGTAGGGATGGTCAGATCAGATGATGGCGCTGCTGGCGAGCGACAGGGTGCGATGCAATGGCGGTGACTGTGATGCGATGTGATGCGATGCTATGCGATTGTTGGATTGTGGATGGCGGATTGTGGATGGTGGAGGTGTAGACGCAGACCGGAACACGGAGGAGGCGGTGTCCCGATATCGCGGCGCGTGCGTGAGGTGCGTGAGGTGCGCTAGGGCAGGTGCAGGGTTGCAGGCCGTTGACCGAGTACACGGAGAGCAGCAGCGAGCCAGTAGCAGCACGGTTGGCCCGTCCTACCAGAGGTAGACAGCTGAACCGCCGGTGGAGTCTACGGTTAAGCTCCCGAAGATATTCGGAGATAATTCAGGTCTTGGAAGCACGAGAATGGGGCAAGAGGATCTGGGAGGGAGACATCGGATGGTGGGTCCTTGGATGGCATCTCGGTTTTGGGCGTGGTCTCGGCTTCGATGAGGGTCCCACGATGTGCACCCGGGACAACCTCTTCTTTCAAGGTCGGCATGTTCCGTACGTCGTACTCCATAATCAATAATCATCCCCATGATGCGGCGCGTGCGTCCTGTGTGCCGGGACCTTTCCATCACCTGTGCTGAGCAGTCTTTGTTATCCTCCCTGGCATTCCTGTGCCCCGTGCTCTTTGCCCTGCGACTTCTGTCCGGGTACGTGGTATTGGTGCGTGGTACTGGTACGTGGAACAGACGGACTGCCTCCTAGTACCACCGCTTAGACCTATCCGACCGTCGGTTCGTGGCTGCATCGTAGGCGTGTGAGAAGCGGTGCGTGTGCAGCCAGCCACCGCAAGAACAGGCGCACGTCAGATGGGAAAGTGGGCAAAAGCCGTGCCCAGGTAGATGGGAGATTGGGTCTAGATCGCCGGGAAGTGGGCTACCAAGCCAGCTGAACATGGAGATGGGAACGGAACTGGACGCATGCTGATGGTGGAACATGGTAGTGGGACATGCTGGTATCCGTCCGCAGCAAAGACACATGCATTCCAGAGCGCCTGGGCCTTGACATCCCACCGTATGCATGTCTCTCCTGCCAGCGGGCTGGGCTTGCCGGGTTGGGCTTGAGGCTATGCAATGCTTCTGCAGGAGCTTCCAACAAAAAAAAAGTCGACAGCGCGTGGTGTGGCTTGCCTTGGCTTCCCGTGGCTCCCTCCGGCTCCTCTTTGGGAAGGGGGGAAAACCTGGAGTCGGAGCTTTGGGATCTGCGCAGATTGGGGGGCAGTATCGATCGGTCTGGGCACAAGCCACATGGCCTGGACCGCGACGGTGCAGCCTGCGTGTACGTACGTGCTGGGACCACATCAGACGTCGAACGATGCGGAGCCGGCGACGTCGACAATGGGAATTGTCCATGTTGGGACCGGACCGTGAGACGAGGTCCATCTTGAACATGGGAAAGCTGACAGAGGATGTGTGTTTTCCGATTGCCCGTAGAGTCTTGGTGGAAATGAGCTACGGAGCCATCTCGCCGGGACGTCTTGCGATGCCGTCATGTACTACGGCTTAGGCTTCACAGCTGAGTGTCAATGGCAGCAACGTGCTTCCCAGACAACGGGTACATACCTGTCAACCCTGCATTTGGACGCACCCGAGCACCCGAGTACCCGAGTCTCTGGCTGTGGCACTGCTGTGTACGTACTTTTTCCCATGTGCTTTGTCGACCAAGTCAGTTAGAGTGCCAATGGTCGACTGAGACCGTACTTCCCGAATCATGAATATCTCCGAAGTCTGGGTGGAGGGTCCAGGTGTGCGGTATCCTGCGTGTCGGCGCCACAGCCTTGGCGGGCCATCGCCAGCCCTGCGGTCTGGAACACGACTTGCGACGCCCACCTCGTGGCTTTCTCGTAAACCAAACACCTAGGACGAATGGTTCGCAGGCGGGCAGCCAAGGCGGGAACCTGAAGCCGAACTAAAAACCGTGTGCTTGGTGCTTGGTGCTCGGCCGCTCAGGCCACGGCCATGCCATGTGTAACGGGTGACTAACCTAAGCTTCGGGACGGACGGAGACGCGCTGGCGCCCTGGAAACACCCCCTAGCACCCCTAGCACCTAACACGCCCAGCTAACACGCCCAGCAGCTGTCGAGCCTCTCTTTTGGGGAGCCGGCCGTCGGCATCACGCACCTCGATAGGGGTGTTTCCCCCGGACGGAACTAGGCGAGGACCAACCTACCTAATAAGCAAGGGCCCAGATCGGTCGCCAAACCCACTGTCCAAGACGTGTTATTTGTGTACTACCTACCTACCTAGGTATGTAAATGTTCGCTGTCGAGTCCACAGGACTACGCGCAAGAGCCTCGTGAAGCCCACTGCGAAGCCCACTGCGAAGCCCACTGCAATGTCTGCTGAAGGAACCGACCCAGCTGTGAAGGAAGCCCCAGCTTAAATGGGGGATCTAGTCTAAGTCTAAAAGGGAAATCGGCTTGAGCGGTAAACCCCGGAAATACCACAGGTGCGAAGGAAGGTCTGCCCACTCTGAAGCCGCCCCTCTGGAGCCTCCCAAGCCTTAGTACCAATACCTCCAGAGCTCCTTCCCTTGTTAACACGCACACCCCAGTCCCGCATCCGGGCTTCCCAAACGTGGCCCCGGTCACCTGTTTCTTCCCACGCTGCGACGTCTCTCGGCTTGCCATGTTCTAGACTCACGAGCCTTCGTCTAACACATCCATCTACATCCGATTATTTGCGGTCTTGCAAATCCTGCGATTCTAGGCCCGTGGACCGACCATCCATTCATGGACCATCCGACCTTGTTGCTCGTCGGGGAAGCGGCCTCGTCTAGGCAGCCCCAAGCGAATGCGAATCGCCATCTTTCTTCTCTGGTTGCTCTCAGAGGACTCGCTTTGACTCTAGCTGACTCTTGCTGACTCTTGCTGGCTGCTTGGTGCGTGTGATCGATCAATCACCCGAGTCATAGATCCGCCCTGCCCACTCTACGGCTCGCGGTCGCTATGGACACGGATACTCGCGGACGGGATCATTACACTGGCTTTGGGGTTTTGCGTTCCGTGGGCGGCTGCGGGATCAGGGCCGTGACGGACCCTTGTTGACTGTGGCGCTCGAACAGAAACCCAGACACCGGCCAAGGCCGAACCGGTGGGCGGAGGAGACTCGCCGCAACTTTCGTCGGGGGGCCGGGCAGCCAATACCGGCCCACGCCAGGGCGGGCTGGAAATGGATGGAGATTCCACGGCCCTGGTACCAAATTCCCATTATCGCGATGGGCGATTTTCCACCACGGCCAATGCCAGCGCCCGCTGTATGGTATCACCCCCGGCCGAGAACCGACACACCGGACAGGCTGATGGATAGTTATTGACGGCGACTGGTTCCCTGAGCCATTTGGAGCGCATGGGGGCTGCCAAGGAAACTGATCAGATGTGGCCCAGGCATTGAAGGGCTGAGCACACCAACAAGTACTGAAGCTGCCAAAACTGGTGGTACCTCACCATCATAATACCTTACGGATACGTAAGTAAGCCAATTGTGACGAGGAGATCGCGTTGTACGATTTGATGCCATGGAATAGGGCCTATTCCTCGAGATGCGTTAGCCGATCTGGCCAGCCTCACCACTGGGGAGACTTTCTGTTCAGCGCGGCATGACGAGAGACGGCCGCCGGTGAAATTCTAGTATGACGCCAGTGGGCATATCCGTTTGGTCATGAAGAGGGGACATTTTAGCAAGAGGCCGCGTGGTGGTGCTGGTATAGGAATCGGGCAGACGTTCAAACGACGAAGCTGCCGCTGCCGCCCGGGCGTGGTGCGATCCTCGAGCCAAAGTTCGATTTTCGTCAATGCTCATGGCTCGATGGCGATCAAGAAGAGAACACTGTCCGGGGCAAGGCGTGGCCGCATGGGGGGCGTCTAATCCCAGCTCGACCCACCCCCTTGAATCCTGGGATCCTCGGATGCATCGACTTCAATCCCAAGCTCCATTGGATTGTATTGATTGAGACGCAAAGCAATCGAGAGGCGAAGCATGAGAAAAAAACCTCTTACCACTCTCGCCTGGGTAGTTGTCCCAGGATGGGATCGAGATTTGGCTATAGCCGACGTGGACGTCTGCACACCTTTGCATATTCATTCCTCTTCCTCTTCCCCGGCACAATCTGCTGCCAGGCCAGGCACATTGGGGAAGTCCGATGCATGCTGACTCTATCCCGACTCGGCACAAGTCAATTGCAATTGAGCATGTTGGCTGACGATCCCTGCCAAAACTCTCAGAAACCCACCGAGTACGAATAGTCATGCAAAACGCAACATGTTGGTAACCTCCAATTCATGCCCATGGTAAGACGGCTGCAGGCTTTGTGTATCACAGCAGACAGCCAACCGAACTAGGGATTTGTGAGTCAAGGGCTGGGACCCCGCTGGGTTGCGGCGATGGACCCCATCTATTCCCATGACGGGTTGACCCTCGCCCCTTGGCCCGAAGAACCAAGGCACTCACTCGCTTGGGCTATCTCACGAGCCCAGACAGCGCTGGAATACCCAGGACCCTGGTCGTGGTTCGTGGTTACATGGGGATCGGAGCCCGCAAGGGCCGATTTAACGTCTGGTGATCGCCCAGAGAGCCATGCTGACTGCCACGGCCGACGAGAACTCCCCTGGCTATGGAGTTCGCCCATTGTCCATGGCCCATTCCCATCCATGACAGTGCCATAGTAGGTCAAACAGACAAGTAGGTCAGCCAGCCCAAACAAGCTCGCGCCTCGCTTCGAATCAGGCACGCTGCCGACAAAGTCGTGCCAGACCCAAATTCTGGCCACATGTACCGCTACTGGGTCTGGCTATTTACACGCCCCTGGCCAGCTCCAGTCTCGAGGCGACGCCCCCTTCTTCCACCAGACACCCCCGGCATCTGATGCCCTCTATTTTCGCTTGGACACACCTCTCTCACCTTCGCTTCCCTCTCACGACGCCGTCTTCGGTTCAAACCCTGTCTCTCCCATGGCCTGTCTCGTTTGCCGGTGGCTGCGGCACCTCAGATTTTTTTTCTACCATTCCCCTGGACCCTGTCATCGCCTAGGTCCCGATATGCTCTAAGCTAGGCGCACTCGTGTCTATTGCTCTATTGCCCAGATGCTCCGTACTTGTGGAGGAGTCTCATCATCATCACTCCCATTGTCATTCCCCTCCGTTCCGCAGTCTTTGCTCCATCCTCGAAAACAGGCACCCCCCCTGGCCTCTCCACCAGGATCCATCTTTGTTCTGCCTCGTCTGCCGCGTGCGCACCCACACCAGTGGAGCTATAACCCCAGGGTCCAGAACCTCGATCCTCAAATCCAAGTTATCCAACTTGCATCAGCCCCAGTCCGGTCTTCTGCCTCCGCCACCTCATCCGTTGCCTCATAACATCAGTCCTGAGATCACCTGTCCACTCGGATCCCCAATGTCACCGCGTCTTCTTAGGCTCGGCTCCTTTTTTTGACCGTTAGCCATTGTCCTCGATCACGGTTGGACAGACACTTTCTCGATATCCACTCGAGCCAACCCTGGTTGTCAAATCGAGATATCCGATCGTGTCTCTGGGGGTGTTAGTATTGAACATCCACACCCTCACGGCGATTCCTCCCTGCCGCTTCTCGTGTGCCGTCACCTAACCTTTCAGATACCTGGCTGTTGTCCCATGTCAATTGCTCTTCCATGATAGATTTCCCATCCTCTTGTCCATTTCTGTCTACCTCGATCTCGCCATCTTGCCATCTCGCCATCAGTCGGTCCAGCAGTTGCTACTCCCCACTTCTTACCTTGATCACTCCATCTCTCTCATCTGTAGGTGCCGACCTGTCCCTGTCTCCTTTCGTCAGCACCCCTCCCCCTCCTGGGGTCTAATTCGAACCAGCAAGGATGTCTTCGGCTCCCCAACAATCACAACTTTTTTCTTCCTTCTCCTTGCCGCTAATTCTCACTCCACGTCGTGCCCTGACTTGATCAACATTGACCAGTGTCCTCACTTAGGCTTGACCACTCTCCCCTCGTCTTCAAGCAACTCTCCTAGACGGATAGACTATCACCAAACTCGCAAGAGCCTCTCCAAACCCACACACTTGTCCCTTGTGCTGGCTTCTTCGACCTTGTCGTTGCTCATCGGGAAATAACGGCATTCTCCGTCATCCTTGACCCCGCCTAAGGTATCCACTGGTTCGAGCACCAGCGAACAGCAAGGCCCTTCAAGAAACACCCGCAGGAACAGTGACAGCTATTACGAGGCCAGACATTCCTGGAACCGACTGCGTCTGGAGGACACTCGAAGACACCACCCTTACACTCGAATCGAATAGGAAGATACGACAAATACGTGGTGGCGGTGGCCCATCTCGACTGCTTCTCCATCTAATCACATCAGGTGATCTGTCCTGGCTCTACGACATCGTCTCGACCTTGTACCAAATCGTGGTAAATGTTGATACGTCGCTGGGGGTCTCGTTGTGAACAAGTAACTTGGCACCTGCAGAGTTCGACCTCCAAAATTGGTCGCGCCTTCTGCATGGCGCCTGATCTCGAGGCAATCTTCGGTGAGCTGGGCTTGGCCCAATATCTCGACGCGTTCGTCGAGCAGGGGTTTGATGAGTGGGATATCATCCTTGACATCCAAGAGTCGGACCTGTGAGTACAGCAGCGCACCTAACCCCGTCGTACTTGACTGACAATGCCAATCCAGTGATGTGCTAGGTGTTAAGCTGGGCCATCGAAGGGTATGTTTCCTTGCTCTTCCACTTGGACTGCTGACTGACACGAAACGAAACAATTAGAAACTCCAAAGACGGATTGCCAACGCCAGGGGTATTTCTCCAAATACCTCACTGGTATCACCAGCGAGGCCGGCAGTCGAAGATGTCAAGCCCAACACCCCGCGGACCGAACTCAGCCGGCCGGAGGGCACCCACGAGGTGCAAGGAGTAGCAAAACGAAAATATCGGCGCCACCCCAAGGTGCGTGAGAATTTGAGCCACTTGGTCCAACGAAGGCCAGTCACTGACTATTACATATAGCCCGATGAAAATGCCCCTGAACGCCCGCCCTCTGCGTATGTTTTGTTTTCCAACAGTAAGTCTCGTCCACAATTGCCCATCTTAGCTACCAGACAGCGCCGTCCGAGCGAAGGCAGAAAGAATCTAACAAAGCTGCGTTTCCTAGAGATGAGAGAAGACCTCAAGAGTCAAAACCTCAGCTTCACCGAGATCGCGAAACTGGTCGGCGAGAACTGGCAGAATTTGGTGCCAACAGAGAAGGAGGCGTATGAAAGCCAGGCCAACGCTGACAAGGAAAAATACCACCGCGGCTTGATGGAGTACAAGAAAACCCCCGAGTTCAAGAAGTATATCCAGTATCTCCAAGAGTTCAAGGATAAGCAAGCCAAGCAGACCCAAGGTTCGTGACCTAGCGTGACGACAACATGATCTTGCACAGGTCTCCAGTTCTTCTGAGCTAACGAATTGGGCCGAAACAGCTAGCGATGTATCCAAGCGGCCGAAATTGGAGCCTGCTAGACTTCGCAATGGCGGCAGCAGCGGCAGCACCACGGCCACCCCTGGAATCAACACACCGAGTGGGAGCGGGAGCGGGAGCGGGAGCGAGAGGTTTCCTGGGAGTGAACCACCGCCCTCTCGAAAAGAAAGGATGAACTCCATTGCTTCAATTGCCGAATCGCAGCATTCAGCAGCACCTACCATGTTGTCACAGGCGAATTCGAACGAAGACGCCATGTCGTCACCCCGGGGAAGCTACTATGATACTGTGAGCCCGAATGAGCCACCTCGGTACCACCCTCATCGACCACCATCATGGCGAGAAGGCGGAAGAGGCGGCGAACCGCTTCATCAGCACCTCCCATCGCTCTCCGATATGCTCGACGACGGAAGGAAGGGAACGCCAACGAGCCTTGGGGGCGAAAGCAACCCGTACTCGTCAGGTTTTGTCGCTGCCAACCACCCTAGACTAGTCCCCGAGGTGCTCAATGGCCTGCCAACAACGACGGCACCTAGAATGCCACACCTCCGACATGACCAATCCTCGAACAGCAGTGTTGGGTCCACCAGCCCGGCCATGAGCATCGCGCGCACACCTGGTGAAGGACCGCTGCCCATTCACGCACTGCTCTCGCACCAGACTCTGCCGGCCCCTGGAGGAGCGGCATCGGGATCGTTTGACCGAGGTGCGTCAATGAATGGCGGGACCACTCCGAGCCCGACGGATCTCGTGAGGCCGCCATTCGGACACAGCGCGGGACCAAGGGGATATGGTACTTGACCCTCTCGGCACAGAGACTTTGTCAAGGAGTCAAGCTAATTTGGCTTACAAGGCTCTCGTGACGTGCTATCCCTATCTACCGGCCAGCTGGTGAACGCTGATCAGTCAGGGGAAGGAGTGCTGATGACGCCAGCGCCTCATTTCGTTGCCACAGGAGAGCATAGGCCCGTCAGGACCCGCCTGGACGGAGTCAGCGCTCTCCTAAAGGCTGGCGAGATTGTAGAAAAGCATGATCGAGACGAGCGGAGATGATGATGAAAATGATTGACGAAAATGGCGGAAGTGGCAGCTACGACAAGAGCCAGCTGTCAGTCGCCTCTCATCGAAAATGGCGTTTCATGCTCGCATGCTTTGTTCTTGTATACCCCTAAGTTTTTGAATGGTCTGGGTCGGGTTTCAGACCGATCCAATTATAATGCAAGAGCTGCAGGTAGATGGATTGTTTGCATCGAATCCGCATCTGTGGACGACGGCGTTTCGGCTTGGATTGTATCATGACGGAAAATTAAACGGGGCATCTTGCCGTATATGGATATATTTTGATTTCCATATTTCTGTGCAGTTCTTGGTTGTCTTGTATGCATGTCAACGAATCTATGTTAATGTCATGGGAGAAGACCTTTAAATGATATCTTGGTTGTGAGGGAGCGAATGGGTATATCAATCCTGTCTCCTGCATTCGCTTCCTGGCGAAACCAAGGGCTACCGTGAACAAGCGTGGAGTCGATGTTTGCAGTGACGATCATCACCTGCGAACCGGCGAGGATGGGCGGCGGTTTAAAAGGAAGCAGGGCGGCGCCCGGCAGCAAAAGTCGTCATCAGGGTCCAGCCCATTCGACCCCGTCAGCATTTCGACGTCATGGCGCAGTCACGCCGGCCGGGGCCGCGGCGGGGTCTTCGGCCCCACAACGCCGGCGCGGAGATCCCTGACAAAAACGGGGAATTGTAACTTATTGCTGAACTGCACGGAGCGATTCACCCGAGCTCTCGACGCTGGCGATGTCATCCGTCAAGAGCGTGGCGTGGATAGCCTGGTATCGTTCCCTCGGAGTTGTCCTTCAGTGGAGAGAAGCTGATGTGCCGTGATGGCTAAAAGGGAACTTGGTAACAGAATCATATTCACAGTATATGGGCCATAACCAGCTGAGTAGATGCAGATGCAATTATTCCCGACCCCAACGCCAGAAAGCCGACGACTCCGTGGCCAACAATATCTCCGCTGTAGCTATCAAGCTCCGCACTGAGACTTATTCGTCCATCAACCCGCTCGTGGTCTGTTCGTTCCTTCGTTCCTTCGTTCGGTCGCACTACCCAGCGCCGATATACCTGTCATAACATCTCATCCAATATATCCATCCGACCACCTAGGGGAACGGTACAACTCGCCGCCCCTGGCGGCTTTGCCAACTGTCCCATAGCATACCCCTTCCATATACACAAGACAGCCACTCATAAAGATGCATTGAAACCACGACTGCCTTTGTTTGCAACTGGCTAGCCTTGTCACTACTCTCCTCCCTCGGTGATCTCGGCAGTCCAATCCCTGCGGATCTCCAATTCTGAGAGATCATTTGTCTTCTCAATCGTTAGACCCTTCTCGTTGGCCAGATGTAGCAAGCAGATAAAGCAGAACGACGTCGAAATATCATCCATGACAGGCTTAGGATACACCGCCTGCAAGTTGTTCATAACCGACGTGAATTTGAGAGGTTCCTCCTCTGCAGCACCTGGTTGAGGGGCTTCGGCGGGCTGCTGCGGGGACGCGTTAGATCAACTTCAACTTTGCAGAGGAACTAGAGGGAATCTTACCTCGAGCTGCTCGATGCCCATGCCCTTCCAAAGCTCTTCTTTCAGCCGTCGCACATCTACCTTCTTGGCCACACGCGCGTATTGAACATATTCGGGGCGTACTCGTCGAGTCTGTGTTACGAGTGTCGTTCCAAACGCCCCTCCCATGGTATTGGTCATCGTCTCACCATTCAGGAGAGCCGTGATACCGCCAGCCTCGGTGAGGCCTCCCTGGCCCTCCATGCCGGGCGAGAAGTGCTCACGGGCATCAGCAAACTCCAAGTCGTCGTCATCGTCTGCATCGCCTCCAGGGAATGGCATGCCGTCATCCTGGAAGAAGTTTGCGTCATAATCGCCCTCTGGAAGCGCCGTCTCTTCTGTGTTCTGCATGGGCGCCTTCTGATTGGCCCAGAACGCCTCGTCCATTTCGCCTTCAGGTTGGTTGTCCTGGGCAGTCGTACCGAATGCGCCGCCTCTGACACCGAAACCGGTGCGTCGTCGACCCATGCGCGCCTTGGGCTTCAAGAAGAGACTTAGCAGCGACTTGGAGTTGAAGTGCTTGTCGTCGGGGAGAAGGTTGCGTGACTTAGATTTCCAGTCCTTCTTGGGCATGCTGATGGCCGCGGTGGTACTGGCCTGTGTGTGGATGGTGTCCGCCAAGTTGGAATCGAGAGGCGAAGCAAAGTCAATCTCAAAAGGCTCCTTTTCCTTGCGCTTCTTGGTCTCTCCGACGGGTTTGTTGACGTCCTTGACCTTCCGGATCCTCCAATGCTCGGCGCTACTCCAGTTCTTCTGCAGTGCCTGGTCGAAGAAGCCAAGAATATCCTCGTGCATCTTGTCGGCCTTCTGGGCGCTAGTCATTGACACAATGTACTCTCCGTTGTCGTCAAATCCTTCGCCGTCTGCACCCTCTTCACCGAGGCCAGCATCGTAAACCCGCATCTGCGGTTCGAGGGCCGCTTCACGGGCCCACGCCTCACCACCCTCGCCAAAAGCAACATCGGTTGCGACATCAAACGCACCCAATCCAAGATCGTCGTCATCAAAGCCGGCGGGAGCGTCGCCGTCAATGACAAGACCAGAAATATCGCCAAATGCACCAGGGGTCTTTTCCTTGTCTTGATCTTGCCTCCAGTCCTCCGGGGCCTTCAGAAATGGGATATCCATGGAACCTGAAGGATCGCCGAGATCAAAGGTTTTGAGAGATGGGCAAACATCCAGCTCGTCTAGAAGTTGGAGGTCAGGTAGGAACTTGGCCCCCAATGCGCCAAGATCAATCTGAACGTCGGCTTCGTCTTCCTCCTCTTGCTCCTCCTCTTGCGGTTCATCGCCCTCATCTTCCTCCTCCTCCTCATCGCCCATCTCTCGTTGCTTCTTTTTTCCAAGTGTATCCGCGTCACCAGTGTCATCGCTGCTGTCGAAGACGATGCGCCCTTGTGAGTCGATCATGAGGTGGTTCAGAAGGAGTCCCTTGGCGCCGCCCTCATCAAAATCGGCCGATGCTTTCTTGAAGAGAGGGTCAACAGCGAACTCTAGCTCAAATTTCTTAAGCTGTAGCGAGTTAAAACTTGGGGCCAAGGTGGCCTCGGATGAGCGCTGCGTCTGTGAAATGTGAGCATGTACCGGGAACCTCGGGAGCCGTCATGTCTACCTTCTTCTTGGGCTTCTTCTTTACGTTGCCATCTTCATCGAGCTCCTCCTCGTCAGTCTCCTCTCCCTCCTCGCGATCTTTTTTCTTGGAGTTGTTGCTATCAGCCAGACCGCTCAGCAGCTTGCCCGTCTCTGTTGCGACACTGTCGACTCGGTTGGTGTAGATCTTGACGCATCCATCTAGGGTGCAACTGGCCTTTTGGAAGTTCACACCGTCGCCCTCCTTGAGGAGCGACATGTCATGGAAGTAATCGATGAGTGCAAAGTTCCAGGAATTCGTAGCGTTGATCTTGTTGTCGGTGGCCATCTTCATCCACTCCTCGAAGTTGGCAAGAAGCGGGACACGCTTCATAGGCGTGACCACAGAGCCGCCTACGACAAACCCCTCGTCGTCGTCGCCGCCGCCACGACCGGCGCGAGGTGTCCGGGGATCCGACATTGGGGATGCGTTCTCCATGTCGTCCAATCTGATGCTGACTTTGCGAGGGGTCGCAGCAGCCTTGATCTCGTTGATCTGCTTCTCGTACAATGCTCTCCGGGAGCTGATTCGCTGGCCCTTCTCGTGCGCATCGTCGTTGAGGGGAATCCTAGGAGCTTGTATGAGGGCTCGGTTGCTAGGGGGCTTCGAGAAGTGAGTGGCCGGATGAGAGCTTACTTGACGGGGGATTTGAATGGCGACGCCGAGACAGAGCTAGGTGTCGGTCTGGCACTCCCCGCGCGCGGGGCTTGAGCGACGCGAGGCATTGTGTGGTGGTTGCGTGGGTTGGTGATGCAGAAGGCTGGGTTCGACAAGGCCTGGCGCGTCGTGGTGGTGGTGTTGAGCCATACTAAAGTAAACAAAATAATGGCGACGTGGGGTTGTTGCAGCCTGAGCGTTCAGGCAGCAAACCCAAGGCGGTGGGATCCAAAGTTCGGGCTTCCAAGGAAGGTACGGAGGTACTTGGTTGAGTGGAGTCTGTTTAAGGGTTTAAGGTACTCCGTAAGGTAGGTGGCAGATACGCACCACCACCTGAACGCCCCGCAGCGAGTGCAGCCAGTGCAGTGAACAGCGCAACCGTCCACCAATCACACAACCGACAGGATTAGCCAGGCACCTCTTCATCGGACGCATTAACCTGAACTAGTCCCTTGCCCCATGTCCCATGTCCCATGTCGCACGCCCGGATTCAAGGCACATGTCTCTGAGTTACATAGTACGTGCCAGCGAGGGAGGTGGCTTTTTTTCCCTACTGTGGCAAGTGCGGCCCCCCGGCAGTTCCCCAGGTCAAGGATTGGGCGGCCTCCTACTAACTTAAAGCATGGACGCACCACCACACCACATTGCCACCTAATACCGGCGCTGCAGCAGGCATTACACCTATACAAGACAACGCAACGGAATAAGGCCCATGGCCCAAGGCCCAAGTCCAAGGAAGCTCCATTCTTCATTCAAGGGGACGCGACGCTAACTGCTTAGCATCCCGCTTTCGGAATGATCTGGTCCGCACCGCGACGTTATGACATGATACATTTGCTGGTCAATTGATTATCTTGCGCGCCCTCCCTCACTGCGTCGTGGACTCACACCTCACACCTCACACTCTCCTCTCTCTCTCTGATTCACCACCGCCGAGCGGTATCCCACCCACACCCTGCCGCGCCTCTCTCTATTCTTATCCGATATCAGCTACTCCGACGACTCCGACGACTCCGACCATCGCCAACACCGGCCATGTCATTTTCAGCATTCATAAACCCCGCGATATGACATGACGACCGCCGAAACCGAAACCCAAGTCCAGGCCGAAGCATGGCTACAGCAACCATGGCTACAACCACCACCACCGCCACCTTCTTAAGGGGCAGCCGTCTGAGCTCTCGCCCCTTCTATACTACCGTGCTGCTTCTGTCCGTGTTAACGGCTTATTCCTTCTTGTCGCATACGCAGTATCGTGGTCGCGACCCGTCCGACGAGAGCCATGCCTTGCTCAAGCGCAACGAGATCCCTGAATGTAGCGCCGTCCACGCTGCAGACGACAAGTGCGCATTTGTGCGCCAGTATTGTACCGATGACGATGCCGGTCTCATTCCCTATCTCGACCTCTACTACTGCACCTTTGGTAACGTCCGACCGCTGGCCTTCACCGTCCTGGTTGCTTGGCTCGCCCTTCTCTTCACTACCATAGGCATCGCCGCTAGCGACTTCTTCAGCGTCAACCTAAGTACTATTTCTACCATCCTTGGTCTAAGCGAGAGCCTGGCAGGCGTCACCTTCCTTGCCTTTGGCAATGGGTCGCCTGATGTCTTCAGCACATTTGCCGCCATGGGCTCCAACAGCGCCAGCATGGCCGTGGGCGAACTCATTGGTGCTGCCAGCTTTATCACGGGCGTTGTCGCCGGGTCTATGGCCCTTGTTAGGGAGTTCCGCGTCGACCGGAAGACATACGCTCGTGATATTTGCTTCTTTATTGTCGCTGTATGCTTCACCACTGTTTTCCTCGCCGATGGACACTTGCACTTTTGGGAATGCTGGCTCATGATTGGATACTATGCCCTCTATGTCACGACTGTCGTAGGGTGGCATTGGGTCTCCACCAGGAGGAAGCAGAGGAGACGCAGGGAGGGAGAGGCCCGGAGCCATGTGTATGGTCCATCAGGGCATTCCGGCGACGAGCTAGCCGGCGAACCCTACCGAGATGATCCGGACGATGTCGACCATGGCACATCTACAGCGTCGTCTCGCTCGCCCGACATTAGTGCCCTTGAAGCCGGACCGAGGATTGAAGTGGATGGCCACAGGCCCTTCATTGACAGTGAGGAAGAAGAGACCTCCAGTGAAGACCACGACCGGATGGTTGCGGCTGAAGTGGCGAGTAGCATGCGCGTTCTACGGACTAGGGGAAAGCGAAGCCACACCATGACGCCTATTCGGCCAAGTCTAGTGGGCGCGCTCGAGTTCCGTTCTGCCTTGGCCCAGCTACAGCGTGAGGGCAACTTGCAGCTTTCTACCATTCCAGATCGGAGCTACTCTGAGAATCATGTTAGCAAGAGGGGCAGGAGAGACACGACAAGTGTCGTCCTAGACACCTCCCGGTCTGACGGCCGTCCTTCCACCTCTCAGTCAGGGTCGGCAGCCAGACGAGAGAGGGCATTGTCTCACGGAGATATCCCAGTCGGCGTGGCTAATCCCGACCTACTAATCCCCGGACGAGATAGATCGGACACCAACCTCTCGCTTCCTCAATCAAGCAGTGTGAGGACTGCAAGCCCGAGTCCATCATACACCATTGGAGGGAACCTGGCCCCTCCCCCCGTGGGCCAACCGGGGACCACAGGAGACGATACCGACACTGGACCACATGTGCAGCTACTCTCACCTCAACTAAAGTTGCAGATCCCCAGCCGTCGCAGCAGCTACAGCGATCGATCATCTCCAGCCAGCCAATTCCCCATGTATACAGATTCCCCAGCGATGCTGTCGCCCAACCCGCACTCTGAGCCTTCTGAATTCGTGGCCCCTGGCCTGGTAAGTCGTGATAGTCCCTTTGCAGACTTGCACATGGCGGCTGGTCAGCCCACGCCAGTCAAGTGGTGGCCGTATGCGATTCTACCACCTCCACATATTCTTCTTGCGACCCTGTTTCCCACGCTGCAGGGATGGGATGAAAAGGCCATCTGGGACAAGTTTGTCAGTGCCATATCGGTGCCGAGCATCTTTCTCCTAGTCACAACTCTACCTGTGGTTGAGTCTGAAACCACTAATGATGATGAATCACTTCTCGCTACAATCCTCGAACCCACCGGAGGGATCGGACATTCCGCTCCACCCGTGTCCGTCGAGCCCCAGACCATGGAGCCGGAATCAGAATGGCAGCGGTATCGCAGGCACACGCTGAGCCGTTCCGATAGCTACCTAGTCTCTCCGCTTGGATCCCCTCTTGTGGTAGCGCTGGAGCGGGACGGGGCACTTGTGCCCACAGACTCGGAATTGACATTAGGACCACCTGCTATCGTGATGAAACCAGCATCTGAAATACCGTCTGCCACCACCTCCAAGAACGAGTGTACGGGCTGGAACCGGTGGCTGGTCGGATTTCAGCTCTTTACGGGGCCATTGTTCGCTGTCTTCATCCTCTGGGCGAACATGATGGAAGATTTCGAACATCCCGGGATGATGCTGTTCCGAATGGTGCTGTACACGCTCCTTGGCTCGCTTGTACTGCTTGGACTGATGTTGATGCTTACGACGGAGGAAAAACGGCCAAAGTACCACTACATGTTGTGTTTCATGGGATTCATTATTGCCATTGCATGGATCTCGACCATTGCAGGAGAGGTGGTTGGGGTCCTCAAGACGTTTGGCGTGGTCCTTGGCATCTCGGAAGCATTGCTAGGACTCACCATTTTTGCGGCCGGCAACAGCGTTGGAGATTTGGTTGCGGACATCACAGTAGCCCGCCTTGGGTATCCCGTCATGGCACTGTAAGTTGTGACCCTGACTGGCTTGACAGAGTCGTACTGATAATGGTCTTAGGTCTGCTTGTTTTGGCGGCCCGATGTTGAACATCCTGCTGGGCATTGGCATTGGTGGAGTGGCCATGATGATAAAGAAGGCCAACCACAAACACCACCTGCACCCAGAGCTCCCCATCGAGTATAAGCCGTACAAGGTGCAGGTTGGCGGGACATTGATGGTCTCGGCCGTTACATTGCTAGTGATGCTCCTGGGGCTGCTGATTATTGTTCCAATGAACAAGTGGGTGCTAAGTCGCAAGATTGGGTGGGGATTGATTGCACTTTGGGCGGTGAGCACGGTGATCAATGTCATCGTGGAAGTCACAGGCGCTTTTGGAGACATGTAGAACAAGTGGCATCTTTCTTCTTTCGGGATGGGAACGGCCAGCGCAATAACACGGCCGAAGAAAGAGCAACGGGGCACGAGTTTTTTCTTGTTTTGTACCGATATTATTTGCCTAGTATCTGTATATATTATCCATTATGTATATACTTCTTTTCTTTCTCTTACTTCATTCTCAAACTTTTCGGAACACCATTCCAACTTGTGCGAAGGCATTACGAGTCAAACCAGTGAGTGCATTGGGAGAAGAAAGAACATCAAGGAAGCCAATATTAGAGAAGAAATAAAAAAGCAACTAAAATTGTACCAACTGGCAAAATTATAGAGATGGCAATTAAATGGCAGATTAAATGGCAGTAAATGGTGTATATGGCAGCTTATATGTGGTTAGATGTTCCGAAAATTGTTGCAAGTCCGGGAGTTGAACCTACAACCCCCCGAAAGAGGTTGTAGGCAGCGGGAGAGCTCAGAAGCTTAGCCTTGCTAAACCCGTCACTGCTCCCCCGCCGATGGTAGATGGTGGGTAAGTTTTGGATTATAAGGGTGACTCTGTGAACCCTGTGGTCGTGATTCACAGCGCGCGTTCTGACCGGGACTGTGGCTCACCGAAGGGTGGCTCACCTCAGTGTGGCTTTCCGCGGAGCGCTCACCGAGCGGGACCCACCGTGGGGCATCAACTTGTTGGGTGGGAGCGAGACGGACCCCGCTAAAAAGTTGGACACATCTCAGCGAGCGTGGTCATGAGACGCTGGTATAATTAAAAGGCGGCTCAGCAGCGATGATCATGCCGTCCTCATTTCGTTTGGCCAGCTGCGCCTCCACGGGTTGACGACGCGGATAGCTACCGAGTCAGCTCCAAGAGCATCCCTTGAAGCCTCGCATCGTCAATGGCTGCAACGTGGCACTCGGGGGGCGTCGGCGAGTTCCCAGATGTGAGGAGTCGCGGACGAGGGTGAGGAGATGCCAGATTGTTCCGATTGACGGTCCCAATTGATTTCCGGGTTGACAAATCCGATCCATGGACCTTGGAGACGTTGAGTTGTCCTTTGACGGTTTGTCCAAGTTGTATGTTGTCGGGAAAAGGTATAAGAGCAACGGAAGAGCGATGGAAGAGCTCCTCCCCTCTTGTTCTTTCCCGATCCACAGCATGCATGGTAGCTTCCCCCTGTTGACCGCCCCGCACACTCCCCGCCTTTCCTTCCCCCTCCTCAATTGACCCAAGGTACGCTTACCTTAAACACCATAACACATCAACACCGCTTCCTCCTCATTCTTCTCTGCGCCGCCCGCAAAAATGGTTGCTCCTCCTTCATACACTCCCCTCGGGGACCGTCCCCTCAAGGACACCATCTGTCTCTTCGATGTCGACGGCACCCTCACTCCCGCCCGTCTGGTAAGAGCTCTCTCCTCTGCAGCGCCGACTTTTCCTCTGCCTTCCTCGCTAACACGGCTCTCTTCTCTCCCCAACTAGGATGTCTCCCCCGAAATGCTCTCCCTCCTCGAGGCCCTCCGCTCCAAGTGCGCCATGGGCTTCGTCGGCGGCTCCGACCTGGTGAAGCAGGAGGAGCAGCTGGGCAAGCCCGCTGGTGTCCCCGTCACCACGCTCTTCGACTTCTGCTTCTCCGAGAACGGTCTGACCGCCTTCAAGCTCGGTGAGCCCCTTCCCTCCAACAGCTTCATCAAGTGGATTGGCGAGGACCAGTACAAGGAGCTCGCAAACTTCTGCCTCCACTACATCGCCGACCTCGACATCCCCGTCAAGCGCGGTACCTTTATCGAATTCCGCAATGGCATGATCAACATCAGCCCCGTTGGCCGTAACGCCAGCAACCAGGAGCGCAACGACTTTGAGAAGTTTGACAAGGATGCCAAGGTCCGAGAGAAGTTTGTGGCTGCCCTCAAGGAGCGCTTCGGCCACCTCGGCCTCACGTACGTTCCTCCCCTAATTTCAGTTCCTGTCCACCTTCTTACCATCCTCTCGCTAATCAACGAGCTTTCTCCAACAATAGTTTCTCCATTGGTGGCCAGATCTCCTTCGATGTCTTCCCCACCGGCTGGGACAAGACTTACTGCCTGCAGCACCTCGAGAACGAGGCCAAGAAGCCCGACGGCATCGCCTACAAGACCATCCACTTTTTCGGCGACAAGACCTTCAAGGGTGGCAACGACTACGAAATCTACACCGACTCTCGCACCATCGGTCACTCCGTCACTGGACCTGAGGATACCATGCGCATTCTCAAGGAACTGTTTGACATTTAGCCGCGAATAACAGGCTGGTGAGGGATGAGGATCCACGTAGAAAAGAATATCGAAGACATAATAGACACGAGACCAAGATTAAAAATGTTCTGCAAATAAAATCCACCGCAAATCTTCGATTCGCACTCGATGGAAGAGCCATGTACCTTTATTTTGAGATACCTAAGTTCTCCCTAGTGCACTTCCCAACTATTCATATTCAGCTCCGCAATACAAAAAGAATATATTTAATCATTTAGATGCTAGAAGACGCTTCAACAACATGGCCGTGATCATCAAGAAAAGGTATCTCCAAGTGTATATATAGACTCGTCATGTCGTCCAGCCACCACAAGTTCCACGTCAGATGGCGACACCAAGAAAACAGTCCTCCTCTTCCATCCCTCAACACCTATCCTCTATAGATTGTTGCTGCAAAATCCCACACACCTTCGCCCTTTTCTGCTTTACCGCCCAAACTCCAGATGTGGGATAATGACAGGCCCATATTTGGTCGGTGTTGTAAACGCTCCGTCTCCTTGTACGACAAAGTCAACGGCCAAGCTTAGCTTGGAAAGACCTTGTTGCTGCTGCTGCCCGTTGAGGCTCGGGTTGGGGCTGAAGGGGGTTTGGGCTTGAGCTGCGACGGCTTCATGGTCATACGCCATGATGGCGACGTAGTTGCGGCGACCCATGAGTTTCTTGAGCTCACGTGCTGAGCCGCTAGCGTCGGTATGGAAGATCTCCATCATGTCCTCCTTGGTATCCGAGACCTCATGTGTTGATTTCTTGCCATTCTGTGGCACGTACAGTGTCTTCTGGTTGTGGAGCATTTTGAGAACATAGTTGCTCTGGGGGGCTGCCACAATGGGTGATGAGATGACCTGATACATGGTCTTGTGATCGCCGGGATGAGTCGGGTCATGGACCAAGCCTGCTCCGGATGCGTTGACATCTATCACCGAGTTAGTACTTGACATCATGGGTTATGGCGTTATTATCTTACCTCCGGACAGGAAAGTCATGCGGATACCCTTCTGTTGAGCAATGCCCTGAAGAGTCCGGATGAAGTAAGTCCGCTCCAGATCTTTGGTGTCATGCGTCCACATGTCCTTGAGCACTTCTTGGATATCGAGCTCACCAAACTGATTTAGCACGTTACCCATGAGGCCCGACTTTCCAACCGCCTTCTTGACCTGAGAGAAGCCTTGAGCGACAACCTCCTTGCCTCCTACCACACCCGCTACAGAGCTGGTCACCTTGCCCAGGATGTTGTACGTCGTGTTAACTGCTTTCTTGCCGACAGCCACTGTGTTCGCCAGACTCTCCACGGTGTCCAGGCGAGGGTACACGATCGGAACCGACACCATCCAGATACAGTGCTGTACGCTGGGAGGAAGGGTAGCAACCTTGGGGAAGATGCCCTGATATGTCGGCCCGGCCATAACTTGGGCCTGTGTTCGCTCCGATCGACAGTCGGGGCCAACCACCACAACAGCAGGTCCAAGATACTTCACGAAGTGCCAGCCCGTGCCGGTGATGGTGAATATGTCTTGATCGTTGCTGACATTTCGCAGCATCTCGACCGTCGTATGATGTTGAAATAGCAGATACAAGTCGGTGGCAACTCGTCCAATATTCTTAAACATGGGTGACGATTGCATATAGTCTGGGTACGATCCATATCCATCGAATCTGGGTTCATGTTAGCAATGCTCGGATGGAATAAACGGCTCAAGATACTCACATATCATGGTCATCAATCTGGAGGACGTGGGGAATCTGGGCGAATGCTTCACGAAGGAAGGGCTGGTCGAAATGGCTAGTGTAGTAGTGGAAGTAGGCGTGCGAGACATCCTCTTCGTGGCGGGCCGTCCACTGGACGTTCTTCTTGTTATCGCGGCCACTCATTGCGAGCCACTGCTTCAAGAGGGGAACTTCCTTCCAGAGTCGATCGCCGTAGATTTGGTCACCCAGGCCAAGTTGGACATGGAAGCCACCGCACTCGACGTTCTTCTGTAGCACGTCCTTCCACATGAACCCAACTCCGCCAAGTTTTGCCCGCTCGTTTTGAGATGTTCCAGCGGCAAAATCGTTGCCAGAGTGGGCGATGAAGCGCCAGCTCGTCTCCTGGCGACCGGCCACCACAAACTCGTATCGGGTGCAACCCAGGTGTGAGGTGACGGCATAGGTCCATCGCTGAGTGTCCTCGGCCATTTGAAGCTCAATATCATATTTGTAGAACTTCCACCGTTGATGAGTGAAGATTGGGCGGGGTTGTAGTTGACGTGGGTTGGGCGACAAGTCCATGCTAAGATGGAGATGGAGCGTCGGGGGCTGCGGCGCATCCGTCACAATCAGAATACTTCCAAACCAGATACCCTTCTCCACATCCATATTCACGTATCGCAGATAGGGGCCGAAGTAGACGCCATTGGTCGGTTGGATCCTGTACATGTCCACACCAGCACTTGGCGGCGGTCCCGAGAATCCGGCCGCGGTAGGCGTCTGCGACGCGGCTACACTCATGATGCTCTCGGCGTATCCAGGAGTGTGGGGAGGGAACATGGGAGAGGCCATGGACTGCTTTCCATACATGGGCGAGACCAGAGGGTTTCCGTACGTTGATGCTGTCGGGGAGAGCGGTGCTTGTTCATGAGTGATGGGATTCGGTCCCTTGGGAAACTCCCATTGAGTAGCTTGAGAAGCCAAATGGATGTAATAATACTGGCCGGAATTTTGGTCAAGATGGGCAATCCATCCCTCGGGTAGTGGAGGCGGCGAGGCTGGATTCTGAGGCTCAAAAGATGGAGTAGCAGGAACAGCTTGTTGCGCGCTCTGAGCAGGCTGTTCGGGATGAGGGTCGTTGGCAAAGGCAGGGTGTCCCGGATGTTGGAGGGCCGGGGAGGCGAGGCCACTGGCAGCGGTTGATCCGGTTGCCACTGCGGCTGCGGCTACGGCTACTCCAGCCGCTGCCACCTTCTTCGGAGGGAGAGAACTTGTGGCGACAGGTTGCTGAATGGGGACAGAACTAGATGTAGCAGCAGCTTGCTGGGGTCGCTGCTTCTCAGCCGGATAAGAAGAGCCTCCGCTGGGGTTCACGCTGGAGTAGGCGGGTGGGGGTGTCTTTGCGTTCAGGCGCTGGAAGTCCTGTTCCAAGACGCTGACTTGTACTGGGCCGTCCTGGTTCTGGGCATTCTTCTGTGGCGGAAGGTTGAAAGTCTGCTGATGCGGTTGAGGACTCGAGACGGGGTCCATGCCCTGATAGACGGTCGGGGGGCCGGAGGGTGCCTGATCGGGCGACTCGGTCGGGGTCCAAGGCCGTGGAGGCGGCTGGGTTCCATACTGGGCCAGTCTCTGAGAAGCAGCAGCACTCGGGGCTCCGATACTGTTGAGTGTCGCGGTGCCGGAGATGCCAGCGGCGGCATACCGGGCTTCGATGCCGTCGGCGGGGGTCTGTCCGGGTTCCACAATCGGTGTCTCGGGAGGTGGTGGGGAACCCCGGTTAGCCCGGGTCGTCGAGGTTGAAGCCGTCGAGGCAAATCGATTCACTCCGGGATCGTTCATGTTGAGGTGTTGGACGGCGGAAGGGTGCGGTGCCGCATTACTCTGCGGGGCCGGGGCGGCAGCAGCAGCGCCCGGCGGGGGGTAGTAGGTCTTCTGATAGCTGGGATAGTTTGCGTTGGAGGAACCCGGACGATGATGATCAGCAGCAGCAACCAAGGGTCGCTGGAAGAGGTCCTGGTCGGCGTCGGGACTCGTTGGGGAGCTGATGGGCTTGGGAGCAGTGCCTCTGCGCTCGGCGAGGCCCGGTTTCTTTCCAAAAGGGCTCGTGTCTAAGCGAGGGCTGGTGTCGTTGTAGGCGGCGCCAAAGGGCTTCGCGGGAGTCGGTTTGCGAACGTCGTCGTCGTCTGGGAAGGGCAAAGGCGCGGCAGAGCTGGAGGCCCCAGGCGGTAGTGGGAAGGAGTGCTTGCTGGCGGGAGACGAGGATGAAGGAGGAGCAGGAAATCTGAAGGCCGAGGACGAGGGCCTAGAGTCGGCGGCGGGTAGAGGGCTCTGGGGTTTAAAAATGCGCAGGGGCTCGACGGTCGGGCTATCGCAGTCCTCGGGCGCAGGTTTGCTGAGGAACATCTCCTCGTCGGGGACGCCGCGACTACGCTCCATCTTGGCAGGATACGCGAGGCGTGTATGGGTTCAGGGTGAGGGCTGCGAGGGCTGCGCGGACAGCTCGGTCGGCGTGTGTGTAGGTAGGTTGGGTGTGCGCGGGGCTCGCAGGCGTCGTCACAGGGGTGGAAGCGGGATGACGCGCAGCTCGATGAAGCGCTGGAGGATCGCTTTGTCGAATGCGGAAATGCAGGTCTGAGGTGGGTAGAGGACTGGCCGCGATAGGAGGCCGCTGGCCAAGAGAAGTTTCGAGACGATGGCGTCGCTTTGCCGTGCTTGAGCAAGCTGGGTAGCGCTGGATGTTGCACGTTGGACGTTGGGCGGGGTCGGTTGCGTGAGTTGAAGGTGGCTCCCCCTGTTGGTTTACGGCAAAGCTTCAGCTCCAACGGGTCGCAGAAACGGCCGCGCCAGGAACAAGGGACGAGCGGGAAGTAGGATGTAGGATGTAGGATGTAGGATGTAGGACGAAGGATGGAAAAGGATGTAAGAAGAAGTTTCAAGTCCAGCGGAACAAGCAAGCAGCAGCAGAAACGGGTGGATGTCTGGTGAAGAAGGAGAGGAAAATGGGACCGGGGAGGGTCCTCGAAGCGCTGGCTGTACAAGTATGACTACGGAGGGGGAGAGGGGCAGGGGGAGGGGAGCTTTGTGTGGCGTGGCAATGAGAGTGAGGGCGAGAGCGAGATGAGAAGATGCTGCTCTTCACACGCCAGACGGATAAGTAACAGGGTAATGCAGAGAGCTAGGGTACTCGGTCGGTTGCCAAGATACAAGGCGTTGATTGAGGAGGCATGTGGAATTGACGAGACAGCCGCCGAGACCGAGACAAGAACCCCTCCTCCAACCAGCCAGAGACGAGCACCAAGACACAAAGGACCAGGGCCAAATGACGGGTTAGTGCGACTGAACAGGGCCAAGAAAAGAAGAATAAGAAAAAAAACACTGCTCTGCAAGACTTGGGTAGTCTCTCATTGTCCGGGACTGACTTGGGACTGCGACTCGACTCCAAGACAGACGGGAACCGGGACGCCGCCAGCGATGGAGACGTTTGTTTCAGCGGCACCGAAGCGAGACGACGTCATGATTGGCCCCAGACGACATTGCCAACCCTGTAAGCGCCCGGGAGCTTCGACAGTGTGCCACGGGTGACACGGACTGGGGGCCAAAGATCCCAGGATGGGGAAGGCCATGACCCTTGTCCTGGCCCATGTGGATAGCGTCGATGGCGGGCGGCTGATGGATGGCGGCGGATTGGTCCGTCGTTGGAGACCCTCAACTGTGGCTCGAGGAATTAGCCTCCACGCAAGCGCCCGACACTTCGAGCCAAGAAAATGAGAGAGCCAAAGGAGCCAAAGAGGCCAACAAAAGAGCCCAAAGGAGCCCACCGGCCGAACACACCATGCAGGCGACAGAGGGTGGAAAAGTTGGAACGGGAAGAGAGACAAGGGGGCACGGGGACACAGGGACACGTGAACGCGACGCGCCCGCTGCCGTTGTAGCGAGACCACCGACCAACCAGCTGACGTCGTCACTCCCCGCCAACAAAAGAGGCTGTGTCAACCTAGACTTTGGGCCAATCCACGATACGCCTTTTATAAGAAACAGTCGTTGACGTGCGCGACCAGGTAATGGTTCGATGTTAATAAATAGCAAGACAATAATGAGTCCTCAGTGCCAACCCAGTTAGTTATGGGGATTGTTGTTGTACACACATAAATTACTGGATAGGTAGGTACCAGGTAGTAAGAGAGTGGACTACAAACCACGGATCATACCTACCTACTTAGGTCCAGGCCCTCCGCCTACTCAGATCCAGATGCCCTCTGCACATCAGAATCCCTGTCGTCAATCCTGCCATCTTGCGTTTCAAAGTCTCCGGTAGTTGCATGATTTCTAAGGGACTGGGCCGTCGGCTCTTACTCTACACAAGGATTGAGCCGGTGTGAACGAGAAATGTCATCGTAACCTGACGCGAAGCTCCTTGGATCTTTTCAACAAATCGTTCAACTCGCCTTGGGCCACACCATGAGCACGGGACCAGAGGATGAGCGAGCTGTAGCTCCTTTCCAACTTCTGTTCAATCACCTTTGGGAGCACTTCTGAGGCGCTATCTCGAATTTCGGCCAGAACGACTCCAAGTAAATCATATATTGCAAGGTAGAGAGAGATGCGTGATGTGGCCCAGGTACGGAGTACATGCGTATGGGTTCAAGAGGGAGAGGTGATCTCCACTCTCTATCAAGATCATCCTCCATGCCACCTTCATCTAAATAATTTTCTTTCTTTCGGGCTAGTGTAGAATTTAGAACAGGACGGTAGATATCCGTACTCCCGAGGCTTTATCAAAAGTAGTGTCCGGAGTTCTTGACTGCCCCTCTTATGCACGTCCATGGGTGTGACACGGCTACCTACCTAGCAGGAGGCAGAAACGCCTTACCACGTGTGGCGTGCAATCCCATGGACTGACCACTTCGAGGATCGCCAAAGCGTTGTGGGTTTGGAGAGGTCTAGCAAGAGGTATCACGATATAACGGATAAAATGATCGGTTGCGATTTTGGAAAAGGATCCAAGTTGCAAAAGTGGAAACTGCAAAACGAAGTCTACAGAACCGCCGTATGCGAAATGGATGAGACGCCGAAGGATTATAAGAAAGCGGTTATCTGGCCCAAGTAGGGACAAGTTGATAACCGATCCGATTGTATACGCAGTTTCGGCACGTGTTAAATTACAATAATAATCAGCTTTCAAGAAAATGTATTTCAATAATTTCTACTTACTGTTGAGTTTTTGGGTACGGAGTAACTCATCAAGAATGTTCACAGCCCAGTCCGTACAGTGCGTGCGGCAACAGTGCAAACAATTACGTGGTGGCGGATAAAAGTGGGTCATGTAACCTCTCAACGCGTTCACGCTCATCCAGACGCGCTCTCCAACGTCAAGACGTCACGGCCACGACTCCAGCTTGAGCTGCCATGAACCAGCCCATCGTTAAAATCCAACCCACCCCAAAGCCCTAGCTTCAATTCCCACACGATGGCCCCCGCATCGAAAACGCCCGGCAAGAAGCAACAATCGCTCACATCCTTCTTTACTCCCAAGACGGTCAATGGTCTCGCCGCAGCCTTCGAGAAGCAAAGCCAAGCCCGATCCCCGTCACAGTCCATAGTGAAAGACATCGAGTCACCATCCCGAAAGCGTCCGCTCGAGGACACTGACAAGGGCAATGAGCAGCCTAAACAGCTCGTAAAAAGGGCCAGGGCCAATGTCGACGATGGCGGAGCCAGCACATTCGCCGCCTCCAAGCCCACACAGGAGTCTGTTGAGCGTGAGCCTGCAAATGGCGGCAGCTCCAAGGCCAACGGGCAAGCAATTAACCCCACAGCTCGCACCGAGCGCTATCGATACGACAGCTCCAACTCTCGAGATGCTACGACCATAGACGCGGACGAGAACGGTGACGATGACGCCGAAGCAAAGCGGCAGCACAAGGAATTGCACAAGAAATTCGTCAAGAAGCTCGGTCATCCAGATGCCCTAGCTTGGCGAAGGCGAGGCCAGCAGGCCGAAACCACAGCTGGCGATGACGATGACGCAGACGCCGATGCCGACGAAGAGGAGACCCCGGCTCCGACAAAGACAAAGAAGAAGGGTTCCAAGACTGGCAAGTTGACGCCAATGGAGATTCAGTTCCTCGACATCAAGAGGAAGCACCTGGATACCGTTCTCATTGTGGAGGTTGGATACAAGTTCCGCTTCTTTGGTGAAGACGCTCGGATTGCTGCCAAAGAGCTAAGCATTGTCTGTATCCCAGGGAAGATGCGTTATGATGAACGTAAGGAGACCTCCACTAAGCAACAGATTGTTACATGCTGACCCGTGTCTCAGACCCATCCGAGGCCCATATAGATCGCTTCGCCTCCGCCAGCATCCCTGTGCACCGACTCCCCGTCCATGCAAAGCGGCTCGTTGCCGCAGGACACAAAGTTGGAGTCGTCCGCCAAATCGAGACGGCGGCTCTGAAGAAGGCTGGGGATAACCGCAATGCACCCTTCGTTCGGAAACTCACCAACCTCTACACCAAGGGTACTTACATCGACGAGAATGGTGAGCTGGATCCCAGCGGCGCCTCTGGAGCCCCTTCGGGTGGCTACCTCCTCTGCATCACCGAGACCAAGGCCAAGGGCTGGGGCACGGACGAGAAGGTTGATGTCGGTATTATTGCCGTCCAGCCTGCTACCGGTGATATCATCTACGACAACTTTGAGGATGGCTTCATGCGGAGCGAGATTGAGACCCGCCTATTGCACATCTCGCCCTGCGAGTTTCTGATTGTCGGCGAGCTCACCAAAGGCACCGACAAACTCGTCCAGCACCTTTCGGGCAGTAGCACCAATGTCTTTGGTGATAAGAGCCGAGTCGAGCGCGTTCCCAGGGGTAAGACCATGGCCGCCGAAGCCTACTCTCATGTCACCCAATTCTATGCCGACAAGCTCAAGGAGAACGCTCAAGATGAGGCGTCGAGCGCTCTCCTTGACAAGGTCCTCAAGCTCCCTGAGCCCGTCACCATCTGCCTCTCGGCAATGATCCACCACCTCCAGGAGTACGGTCTAGAGCACATCTTCGACCTGACCAAGTACTTTCAGAGCTTCAGCACCCGTTCACACATGCTCATCAATGGCACAACGCTTGAAAGCCTTGAAGTCTACCGCAACTCCACGAACCACTCCGAGAAGGGCAGTCTGTTCTGGGCCCTCGACAAGACAATCACTCGCTTCGGCCACCGCCTCCTCCGCAAGTGGGTGGGCCGTCCGTTGCTCGACCAGACGCTCCTCGAGGAACGCCTCGGTGCTGTTCAAGAACTCCTCGACAAGCAGTCCACCACTGCCGTTGACCAGCTCCACACGCTCCTAATCACCAACAAGACTGACCTCGAGCGCAGCCTCATCCGCATTTACTATGGCAAATGCACTCGCCCGGAGCTTCTCTCCGTCCTCCAGACTCTCCAGAGGATTGCCAATCGCTACATTGCAGTCAAGGATCCCTCCGACGCCCCCTTCAGTTCTCCCCTCCTCAGCAACGCCATTTGCTCCCTCCCCCAGATCCTTGACACCGTCGTCTCCTACCTCGAGCGCATCGATCCCCAAGCCGCTCACAAAGATGATAAATATGCCTTCTTCCGGGACGAGCACCATACAGAAGACATGCAGGATCATCAGCTCAGCATCCTCCACGTGGAGCACGAGCTCGACGCCCACCGGACCGTCGCCGCCCAGAAGATCAAGAAGAAGACGGTCGACTATGTGACTGTCGCCGGCATCGAGTACCTCATCGAGGTTCCCAACGGTGACGTCAAGCACGTCCCCGCGTCGTGGAGCAAGATCTCGGGCACCAAAAAGGTGTCACGCTTCCATACCCCTGAGGTTCTGCGCCTCACCACCGAGCGGGACCAGCATCGTGAAGCCCTGGCTGCAGCGTGCGACAAGGCCTTCAAGGACCTTCTCGCCTCCATCGCCGCCGACTACCAGCCTCTCCGCGATGCCGTCTCCGCCCTCGCCACGCTCGACTGCCTCCTATCCCTTTCCAAGGTTGCCGCCCAGCCTGGCTACTCCCGTCCATCCTTTCTCCCGTCTTCCACCGACCCGACCATCTCCATCACCCAGGGCCGCCACGCCATCGCCGAACACACCCTTGACGGCGGTTACATCCCCTTCACCACCTCGCTCGCCCACCCAGCGCCCCTGGCCCACCTCATCACAGGACCCAACATGGGAGGCAAGTCCTCCTTCGTCCGCGCCCTCGCCCTCATCGTTCTCCTTGCCCAGGTCGGGTCTTTTGTCCCCGCCGACGCCCTCTCTCTCACACTCTGCGACGCCATCCATACCCGTACCGGCGCCCGCGACAACCTCTTCGCGGGCGAGTCCACCTTCATGGTCGAGGTCTCCGAGACGGCACGCATCCTCCGCTCCGCCACTCCTCGTAGCCTCGTCATCCTCGACGAGCTTGGTCGTGGAACCAGCACTCACGACGGTGCTGCCATCGCCCAGGCCGTACTTCAGCATGTTGTCACTGAGACTCGCTGCCTCACCCTCTTCATCACCCATTACCAGAACCTAGCTCGAGTTGTTGACGGTCTTGAAGGCGTCAAAAACGTCCATATGAAATTCAAGGCCGAGAAGGGTGAAGATGGTGAAGAAGAAGTCACCTTCCTGTACGAGGTTGGCGAGGGTGTTGCCCACCGATCCTATGGCCTAAACGTTGCCAGGTTGGCGCGTATTCCCAAAAAGGTCATTGATGTCGCCGCCGGGAAATCGAAGCAACTGGAGCAGGAGATGCGGATGCGTCGCCTCAAGGGCGTGTGTCGGACTTTAACCGATGTCATTGAAAATGGGTCAGATCAGCTTGACCAGCTTATTGCCAGCATTGAGCAACTGTAAGATATATCATAATGAAGAATACACCTGTCAAATTAGCAACTTTCCGTCTTGTAGCAAGATAAATCACTAGTAATTGGGGCCTAATGAGAGAGAAACTTTCCTTCCAAAGCGAATTCACATGCGTCGCACCATTTTGCTGTTCTCGGTTAAACTCCACCAATCCTCCAAAACACCCAAAACTACTCCGTACTGCCATGGTTCCCACTTCAAGGCCAATCCTTCGATATCTATGTTGCGTTACTCCGTCAACAAGCCCGCCCATAAACCGCCCCAAGCTCAAATCCCAGGAAACACTGTCTGTCATGTACTTTCTGCTGTATTGTAAAACCAGAGAGACTCCGTTGAGGCGATTATCTTGCGTCTGTCTGAAATTGGTAACCACTTGTAGTTGGACCCGGTCAGGAAATCTAGGTTGGGGCTGGCGAGAATAAATTGAAATTGTTAGGTTCTGTGCATGTTGCTGTCCAGGTGTCAGTAAAGTCCACAAACACGAAACAGAAGTAGTGACCTGTATAGATAACAAAAATTAGTTAGGGCAGCCTCGATCAAAGCCCCATCATTTCTCTTGGGCGTTGTGTATTCGATCTTCGATATTAACTTCCCAGCGACAAGAGCATCTTGCCGTGGCCATATGAAATTTTCAGAATAGGTTGGGTCTGTTGGTCGACATTGGACCAAACCCAAGGCCTTGCGCAAGTGAGATCGTTAGCTTGCCGATGATCCTAAAGGATGTGATGCCATACCTCTTTGAAGCTGGTAAGTGCCTCAGTGCAGAACAAAATCGAGGAATAATTGACCTTGTTGATGAGAAGGTAATGCTTTACCAAATGCTCTTTGGTCCTCAGATGCGCAGGTCTTCCGGGTTCAGATTGATCTGGATGCCAATTTCGCTGCTTGGGGCTTGTAACCCCCATGCTCCTTGCAAGGTCATGTCTTTTCCATCGCAAAAGTCGCCGCTACCCAAAGCCTCACAAGGTTGTGTTTCAGACTTGGGGTTACCGCCATTGGACGATGTAAGAGTGATGTCACGAGCAATGTGCAGATGCTCTGTTGGTCGATTAATTGGTGTAAATGCGAGAGAACGGAGGGACTGGTTCGCCCCTGCTTGGGTGTAGGGGCTGAGAAACAACCGGTCGTGGGAAAGAAGGGGGTTTGTACCAGAAACATTGAGAAAGTGGCTTCCACTAGTTCTATGCACCGAGCCCCCGGCACTTGAATGAGGGTAGTCCTCTTGTTTGGCTTGGAGGGGACCATTAGATGATAATCCGAAAGGTTCTTGATTGAACCCGTTGAATTGGGAGGACGTAGTAAAGGGAAGTCTCGATGAGGCATTATAGATGGTAGCATCTTTCATGGCATATGATGCCTCGATGTGGTTGAAGGTGCCTTTTTCGCCATCAGTATTTGCTCGTTAGAAAATTCCTTTCAGTCTGTTGCAATATTCAGAATCGGGGGCTAGACTTTATCACGCTTACCCAAGTATGGTTGGGCATGTACTCGTCCACGAGACACATCCCTTGCGCCAAACATTCTCGAAGACAAATCTCGAGAAGATGGAGTCGGAGACACGAGGTTCGATTGGGAAATGGGATTCAGTGGGGGCATCCCAAGTCGGTCATGTAGGTCAAATCTGTTCAACGAGAGATCAGCGTGGGTTTGACCACATCGACGTGAATAGCCATACCCTTGGTCATTTTGAGGGGGATTTCCAAATCGGCGACTGTCAAAAGAGTCTGGATACGGGTGTTAACGATATCCATCAGCTTTGTGAGACCACCTACTCGAACTTCCATCGTCATCGCGGAACACATCGTGGTTGAGCCTCGCAGGGGCAGGTGGAAGTGAAATTGACGGGCTTTCTTGACGAGTTATCTTCAGCTTTCCTCCAGTTTTCTTTGCGGCTTGTGTTTTGTTGCCACGCGTGCTGGGCCTACGCTGCCTTGGGATGTTTGAGGAGATCTCGGCGAGCGGTTCCGGTTTTCTGCGCTTCGCTCTTGGAGCTTTGCGTGGCGGCGTCTAATGGCCTTAGCTTGTGTCAACCAACTTCGTTGAATAACACTTACAGATTCTTCCTGGCCAGGGACGGGAGATGAGCTATCGTCGTAGACTCCTTTCACCCTTTCAACCTCGAACTCGGCACTCATGACAACTTGATTGGGCGCGATGCCTTCGGAAGTTCTCCTCATTTTCTCAATGACTGATTTGGGCTTCCTTTGATTGCGGGTACGCTTCATCTCTTCGTTCGCAAGATCCATTTTACCCATGCCAGGCCAAATCTGCCCCTTGAGAGACATCATGTCAGCACCCATCGGGTATTCTTCTGGCTCTTCTGCTTCATTGTCGGAATTCAACGGGTCAGGGTAGATTGGAAAATCGGGTCCCTGGTCTTCCTCTTCAATCTTGACGGCTGTGTTACTACTGAGGCTTCGCTTAGGTTGTCTCTTGACCTGCTAGCCCAAGTGTCAGCATTGTCTTGGGGCCCCCGTGGTGTGGCAAACACTCACCTTTGCTGGAGGTACTGAAGCAAGAACTCGATTTCTCCTTGTTCGCGCTGCTTCTTTAACCTGCTTTGCTTTCATCCTCTCCACAAGCAGTGTTTCAATGCCGTTCTGTGAGTACCATACTTCATATTGCCGAAGAGCAACAGAAGCGGCAATGTCTTGATGCGCTTTGAGTTTCGTCTGAGTTTCGTGGTGAAGATGGCCTTTGGACGCAATGTGGGTGAGCAAATGCGACACATCGGAGAAGCGAGGGGCGTCGGGGCAAACAGTGCAAAGGAGTGGGATTTGTTTGTGAGCAGAGTTGGCTGCACCGGTACCCGCCGTAACTCCAGAGGCCATCTTCTGCACATACCACTGTTAGCAACTTCGGTTGGGATCACAGAAATCGGTCTTGTGTGAGTGCAGTCTAAGGCAGAGTCGGCGGGACGAGACAAGTTCGTACAAAGATTCACAACTGCGCGATTTCAACCGGAAGCTGCCAAGCAGGGAAGGGTCATCAAAAAACGAAGGGTTTGGGTCGAAACTTGGATACCAAAGACAGGAGTAGCCAGTTGTGTTCAATGGTCAATAGGACAGAAGAAGGGACGCAAGGTTTCAGGGGTGAGGTGGATGTGGGCTCCTCCAAGATGATGTTAGATCAGCACGACTTACAGGAGCACGCTCAGCTGGCTTCCTTCCACGGACCATGCTGTGCCTCAAGGCAACAGCAACTGACCTTTGATGGCAGCCTTCAATGGCAGAAGCCTTGCCGTACGCTAGTTTGGCTGTTGAAGTGCTCTCGTCGGGTGGTGGTTGACTTGAGGAGATGGAGGAGTTCAAAAGCCGTGCCGTTGGAGAAGGCTGTCCCGGGCGTTCTGCACCAGGCCGTCTGCTAAGGAAGGTAGGATGCGGGTAGCAACCGATTGTCACTTGCCGTCTTATTCTGAAGACTCTCAAGTCGCTGCTTCCAAGCCAGTCATTCTGGTCTTACGGTCACGGTCTCAAATTGTTCGTGAACAGCACGGCGTGTTGCAGAGTTCCACGTTGGCTTGGATCGAAGTTGTAACCCATCGAGTCAATCAAGGGTTCAGATACCGAGCATCGAATTCGAAGGATTTTGGGGATACGGCAGGTATGGTAGATGAGGATTGGCAATGTGGTCAGCAAGAAGGCCCTAAAGCGACAAGCAATCAGTTCAATGAGCTCTCGGTACCCGCTCCGCCGCCTTCCATCTACCTCTGTTCCAGGTTCTGGATTTAGTACTGTTTGCGTCAAGTCAAACACACAGGAGTTGCAAATCGAGGAAGTGACCGAGGCAGAGAGGGCCTCTTGCCCAGATGAAGGCTGCGGGTAGATGCGACCTGGGGGGAAGGAAGGTGGCCAATCGATGATTTCGATGGTAGGTGGTACGTAGGTAGGTTTGTGAAAAGAAGAATTTCAGGTCAGCGGTTAAGAGGAGGAGAGGGGCTCTGTCCATCTGGCAAGTGCGGCCAGGTCTGGCGGTTCTGGCAGGTGGCAACACCGGGCAGCTGGTCAGCATCCGAAAGGGGGCTAGGAGAGGAACAACCGCAGTCCAGCTATCTAGGTTAACCCATGGGGTTTATCTTATATGGACTTGGTTGACTTTTAGCAATGAAGTGTTAGCTTTAGGGTTGTAGTGTTTTGTTATTCAGGCGATTGGCCGTGGCCGTGGAGCGGTTTACCATGCAAAACCATACGACAGCAGGACGAGTGTCGCTCACACGCCGGACACTCGAGGTGGGTTTTGGGATAGACGGGCACTAGAATACCCGCTCCAAACAACTTCAATGAGGAACATAATTCAGTTTTGGTTGATACGATGGTGAGGACAAATAGTATAATATACGGACATCATCATCGTAGTGTCGACAGCTTGTGACTTCACCCATGCGACCCAGCGTCCAACGGCACTATCCTCACTGCCGGCTGCAGGATAACCCATCGTAGATAATGTCTCCAGCGACTCGCCCTTCGCGTTCAAATTGCGAATGAGTATGGCGTCTGAAGGGCTTCACATGACGGGTTCGCGGAGAATTGGCGATGCTCTTAGGAAAGAAACAAGTTCTCTTCCTGTATTACGGACACCTGGTGTAATTGAAGTAGTAGGGGCTTCCACAGCGAGGGTGTCTGGTGAACGGCAGGGGTATGACTGTTTTGAAGCAAGGCACGGCTTGACAGCGTCCAACGTCCAACCGGTCAGCAATTTGGCTCAGCCAAGAATCTTCTTCATTACTGTCTTTGGCATGCAATACACCGGGTCTACCATCTCCAGGCCAGGGTAGCCCAGGAGACTCAGCCCGGTAATACCAAACAGGGTGTGCCAAACATCAACCATATCGCCGGGACGGTCGGAAATGCCTCCCTTTTCGACATCTTGGCATCTCAAGATAAAGGCAATCAAAGCATCTCGGTCAATCCAGTGGGTGCGATCGATCATCTCGAGACTGCTCAACACCCACCAGCTGTAGCAAACGTCTTCTTTTTTCTCAGGTCGGCCATTAAGACCACCGCAAGGAACTTGTCTCTCGCTCAACCATCGGCCTAGCTTCTCCCTGTCGACCAAGTCCAGGCGCCCAACGATCGACAATGCGCCAACGCAGGTGAAGATTTGTCCTGAGTGAGACTCCGCGCCAGGCCCAACCCCATAGCCACCATCGAAATTGGCACAGACGGCAATATGAGCCACTGCTTTGTCAACTTTGACCAAAGACAGAAGGCCCATGAGGGACAAGGCGTTGAAGGCACCGTATAGGAACCGGGTGTCTTCCTCGCCCCACTCGTCTCCAGCAAATGTGCCCGTCTCTTGGTTCTGCAAGTCTGCGATGACTGTGTTTTTTTAGTGGGTGCAGAAAAGGCACTGGATGCGATGATACCTACACTTGCCGACCTGTTTCTTCCCCTTGCCCTTGACTTCCAGCTGGTCGAAGGCATCCGTCATGGCCAGAATCTGCACAGCACTGACAGTGGAGAGCATGTGGGCATCATGGCCGGGCGCCGCACCAAATCCGCCGTTCTCATGTTGGCACGAGAGCACGAAGTCAATGACGTCCTGTCGTGGGAGGGCATCGGGACGACCCAGCAGATGGAGTGCAGTCAAGCCCCAGTACAACCCGCTCAGCCGGAGGTGCTCCGTCAGCCAGTAGTCCAGCTCATCCTTCCTCGTATCCAAGCTCTGGATATACCTGACGTGAGCTTCGGTGGCAAGCTTCAGGTCTCCGGGCGTTTCTTTGGCCTGTGCCATATTGTTGTGATAGTGCGAGCTTGGTGAAAGGCGGCTTGTCTCGGTTGACTTGTCGTGAGAGATTATGTCCAATGTGGTCAGGTTACGTAAGCCGCTCGCCGCGATGCCACCATTTCGAGTCACTCAAGGCAACAAGATGTTGTAAACTTGGCAAAAGTGGAACGATCCAGGACAGAGCTTATGTTTTACCGTGTATCATTGTTCAACACTCCCCTAGGTCTTGAGCTCTCAGATCCGCGAAGACCTTTTCGAATCGAAGGATATTCGCCTAGTCTCGCGCCATGCAACTACCCTAGAGCATATTGCTGAGATGTCGATCTCGGCAGCTCACATAATGTAGCCGTTTCTCTATCCGTGAGTGATCGCTACGGTCTCCTTATGATTTGCTTGTGTCTCTTGTTAAACACTGTCCCATCAGGTTTCTTGGTGGCTTGTACTCCAACGGTTGAAGCTGAGTCGCTCAATTGAGCATCCCCGCATCAGATAAGTATGTGAGTTGAGTGGAGAGCTCCTAAACCGCCCCAATCCCACAGGATTGTGCGTGACGTCAGCCTTCTCATACATCACCACACCATTCTTGATCATTAGCCCTCAACTCGGTGCTAAGTTCTTCTCAGAGGTTAGGACGAACTCCAGAGCTGCACACAGCTTAAGGAGACGCTACGATCCGAAGTTCACGACGTGCGGCCATCAAGAACTCCATTTCGCTCAACGCCGATCCCACCCAAACCTTGGCAATACGGACCATACAACGGCGGAAAGTGAGAACAAAAGATGGACAAAATGCACCACGATAACTTCACTACCAATGACGGATGCAAGATCGCCTTCCAGTCATCACTATCCCTCAATGGCCTCGCCGGGGACTCTTCCCACTTGACATGTGTGTTGCTCATGCATGGTTTCAGTGGTTCGAGCGACTACTTCACTCGCAACTATGGTACTCTAAGGGAGTCTGTTTGGGTTGTTGCGCCCGATATGCGTGGCCATGGGAGATCAGACCGTACTCGTGGAGGATATCATGTTGGGCGTCTGGCATCTGATCTCGCAGCTCTGGTGCAGCACATCCGGAAGAAAGCACATGGAGTACAAATTGTACCTGTCGGCTGCTCCATTGGAGCCGCAGTTCTTTGGACGTACATTGAGCTGTTTGGGTGTAGTGACTTTGCAGGTCTTGTGTTCGTGGACCAGGCGCCACTGCAAGATCGTTCGTCCTTTGACGGCTGGGATCATTCTCTGGCACACACCGGCTGCTATAACGAAGCCACAATGCTGGAGGCGCAGCGAAGCTGGATTGAGGACTCGGACGCGGCGCATTTGGATCTTGTCAAGGGCTGTCTTGGGTATCGGCATGCACCCGAAGCGGTTGACGGGGTAAGTGCCGAGCAGGTGGCCAAGGACGAGATATTCTTCAAGGAAATTAGTGCCTTATGCGATCAGACATGGTTAGCGCGTCTATTGGCGGACCACACGAGATATGACCATCGCGAAGCCATTGAGATGATTACAGTGCCGACGCTGGTCATGGCCGGGCGACGATCGGGTTGTTTCCCGCTGGAGGGAATGCTGGAGACAGTCCGACGCGTGGAGAAGACAACCCCTGGCCTGGCAAGGTCGTCCGTCTTCGAGTCTGGACACTGGCTTTTTTACGAGGAACCGGAACGATTCAACAGAGAAATCATTGAGTTTACGAATGGGTGCAAGGGATCAAGGGGATCTGGTTAGCCGTGGTAGGGGTGGTGGTTTGTGATGGACGTGCAAAGAGCCTTCCAAGCCGCCCAGTGTAATTTAGCCCGACATCTCGAAATAGCACTTCGCTTTAAAGGTACCACTTAATTCAGTGCTTTTTGCCGGTTCCGAAGCTCTAGCCTCTGGTTATATTATGCAAACTGTGATTTGCAACGCAGGTGGCCCGTGGTACAAACTCATAGTACTTGTTGATATCCATGCCACCAAGGGTTCCAGGGTCGAGCTGACGATCAACGAGACAGGCATGAGACACAGCATAAACATGACATGACCCAAAAAAATACAAAAAGAAGCAACATACAACACTCGGCATTCGCTGGTCGTCACCGACCCAACTACTACTCAAGCGCTCCTCAGCTTGACTCTGGGAGAGCAGACGGGATCCCGTATTCTCTAAGGGCTATGGTCGTATGTACTGTGAACTGGTGGTGGAGGGGTCTTTGACGGTACCAGGACATGGGACCGACATGTTAGGCACAAAGACAAAGCAGTTGAATGGATGTGAAGGGAGAGAGAGATGCGATGAATTAAATTATATTGCAAGGTTGGACGAATTGGCAGGGAAACCCCGATTCCTCGGGCGCCATCCCGGCGATGGTCAGCCAGATGCGGAGCTACCCTGGCGCCCTGGCGCACAGTTCGTCACCCGGTGCAACTTTTTGGGGAACATGGCGCTTTCTATGCGGCAACGATAGGGGACAACTACGTACCTAGGTAGTAAGAGCAAGGTTGCGCAAGATTAAGGCGGCCTCAGCGCCAGCTGTCGTAATTACTCTGTATGTACGTACGTACATTGGGAGGGCGCAGCCTGTCCAATCTGGCAACTGATGATACGAAGGACTCTGAAGCTTCATGTCCAAACATCCCTGGAAGAACCATGGCCGGCCCACTTGGTTTCCCTCCCGAAAGGGCCGGCGGGTCTCTTTCGGGGCCAGTGGTGCCGGGGGTTAGAGGGCAGAGTTCGTGCCTTTGATTGCGTGTGAGATGCAAGTCACGGATAGTTTGCTGGGACAAAGACACACAACTCACGAGCTTGGTACCGCAAACGGACACAAACGAGGCTGGACTCGATTCAGGGGATCGATATCACAACGCCACCTGCTCGCGCCATTCCCGAAGCACAAAGTCTGGCGGCACGCACGAGCAGGACGACGCAGCGGCGGTAGCATCTGGAGAGGCTCGAGAGGCTCGAGAGCTCGGAAGACTGGGAAGACAGGGCTCGCTTTCCAGAGGCAACGCCACGATAAGCCACTTGCTCAGGCACTGATGTCTCCGGTCGCCTGTGAGCCAGTCGAGGGGCAGCCAGGACCGCCAAGGCCAGCGGATTGGGCTTAGCAGCGGGGGCTCAGTGGGCGCGGGGCGCTGGGAATCAGAGGACCTCACTAGGATCTAGACTGCGATAGGCCCGCGATGGCGCAGGGCAGCACAGGGTAGGTACGCAGGGTACGCAGGGCATAGCGCACGGCACCAGCTGTGACAGTGGCAGGAGGCCGGTTTGAGGATGGGATGGCGAACCCCTGAATCGTAGCCCGATTTGCTGCCCCGATTGCGCGTGGTGCAGTCGGAAGAGCTGCCAGACCAGACCAGACCATGCCAGACCATGCCGGGCCCATGTGCTGTGCAGAACGTGACTGGAGTAACGCTGGCGATGCACTTCTGCGCCGTTACGTACTAGCTGTGTGCGACAGCGGGTTTCAGGAGGCTGCTGGGCTCTTGGGCTGCCAACACACCTGTTTATGGACACCTCAGACGCAGACTCAGACGAGACGTGGACGTAGACGCACTCTCATACACACGCACCTGCCACTCTGGTTGGCCCCTTGTTCCATGTCTCACTGTCTCTCTGCCCTTGCTTGTCTGTTCCGCCAGTCTGTTCCGTCAGTCTGTTTTGTCTCCATACCTACAATCCCCATCCCATTTCGTATGATGATCGCATCCCAGATCCCACCACGTCCCACTCTCCCACGTTCCACGGTCCACGTTCCAGGTCCCACGTACGCTCTGATTCTCCTCTGATTCTCCTTGGCCAGCTTCGTTCGACTGCGGGTTCCGTCGTCAATGCTCTGCCCTGTCGTTTGTTTAACTGATACCTGACAGCTTCCTTGCTCGCCGAGCCATTGAGACCCCCTTCTCGGTAACACAAGCACGGACAGGACCCAGTTGATTGGAACTCCTCTGCTCGGGGCCACCGAACTGTGCATTTTGCGTCCCGGGGGGGTGGGCTCTGTCGCTGACTTCCGTCTGATGCTTGGACAGCTACTGGACCGTTGACTGGACCGTTGACTGGACCGTTGACTGGACCGTTGACTGGCTGCTCCGAGAGTCCGAATACAGAGAGTCCGAATACACTGAGCCCCCCAGTACCAAGAGGCACGGCACAGCGTGTTGCTGAAAGCCCAGTGACGCCCGACGCAACACAACGCAGCGTAGCATAGCGCAGCCTCGCTCCCTACTAGACTCCTTCCTCTGTCAACACACACGCGCCCTCCATCTCACCTCTCACCCTTCTCGCCCGATTCTCTCTCTCTCCCTTCTACACTTTCTGCTCTCTGCTCGCTGCGCTCGGCACCTGTCCCATCTCCCGTCCCCTCACGTCATCCACCTTTCTCACCCACCATCCCCCATGCTGCCTGCGCGTGGGTGCCGCCGCCGACGCTGCCCCTGACGGAGCCCGAACCATCACCCAATCGCCCAGTCGCCCGCCCAGTCGCCCAATCGCCAAATTCTTGCCCTGTCCTGTCCTATCCTGCCTTGCCTTCTTTCGTCCTCGTCGCATTCTGCCTGTTTTGCGCTGCCCGAAACCCGCAATTCCATAACCGCCCTGTCCCTCCTGCTCCGCTCCGCCCACGCCCACACACGCCCAGGCCAACGCCTACGTCTACGCCTACTGCGTACGGTACTTCGTGCGTAGTACGAAGTACACCTGCGCCCACACTGCTTCTGTGGCAGAGCTCGACGCGAAGCAGGCCTGCGACGTCAGCAGCCAGGGCTCCAAAATGGGACGCAGGGCGGCACCACAGCCGCTGGCCCTCAAGTCTGATTCCGCCCTGCGCAGTGACGGCCGTGACGACCGTGACGACCTGCCCACTGCTGAAACAACGACGACAACCACAACGATATCCACCACCACAACATCCCCAGGCGTCTCGCCCGGCCACTCCAGATCGCCCCGGTCTCCCCGCTCGCCTTTCCACAGCCGATTCTCCTCGTTGAGGTCCCAAGCCAGCAGACAAAAGGCTTCCCCTGTCGCAGCAGTCACACCAGCGACCGTCGCCGCTGCGCGAGACCAGCCCAGCCCCCACGAGCCCGTTGACCACACCCCCGACGAGGATTCACCCTCACTCTATTCTTCCATCTCGTCCGCGTTGGAACCGTCGCAGCCCGCCACGGGCCCACCACCCGCCACTACCACCGTTGCCTCCCCCTCGACACCCTCGTCCCAAGCCGAGGCCAGGAAAGGAACAAAGAACGGCTTCTTTCATTTCAGCAAACCCTCCAAGTCATTTGGCCCTTCCCAGCCACATGTGCAACACCACCACCGGAAGGACACCGAATCGCGAAACCAAATGATGTCTAGAGGCACCGACGGGCGTAGCCGGCCGAAACATGGAGGTATGTAAATATGGTCCAAACTTTGAGGGTCGATCCCAAGTGACTTTCATACGCCTGCGCCTGCGCGACCCTTGATTCCCCATCCGTCCCTGTTCTCTGGACGCTAACCTTTTTCCCCTTCACATCAGACCCCTCATACTCCGAACACTCTCTCCATAAACCCACTTCCGCCGACCCTCTGCGAAGCGATATCTCCGTCTCATCTGCTGGCGAGTACGACGCCGCTTCACCCCAGTCATCGAAGAAAGGCAGCAAGCCGAAGCCCTTCGGCCGCATCCATCGCACAAAATCCGACCGCGACAAAGAAGGGATCAAGCCTGGATTGAAGCCCATCCCTGTCCCCGCCCACACCCGCGCTCACACTCACGCTCACACTCACGCCCACGCCCAAACCCACGGCTACAATAACGAACCCGAAGTTTACCTCAACTCCATCCCTCTAAGGACCGCACCTGTCGGTCCGGATCGATCCTTCAGAGACATGATGAGCTCCGCCGTGCGGAACCGATCTGAAGATCGCGCCCCCGCCCGAGATTCGTCTGCGACCAGAGAGCATCACCGAGAGAATCAATCCAGAACCCAACCATCGTCTCTGAGGGAGAATGGAGGCTCCAACTTCCTGAGTGGGCTTAGAAGTTCATCTACCCGCGCGGCCGACATTTTCAGCAAGGGTTTCTTTGGAAAGAGCGGGCGTAGTGGAGGCGCGTCGGAGAGGGAGTCTGGAATCGACGACGAGCATTATCAGCTCAAGGTGATCAACCTGCCCCTGGTCGAGCAGGCTCGTTTGACGAGAATCTCTACGCGACTTGAAGACTCGAGAGACAAGACGGAATTCTGGATGCCCGCATTCCCCTGGCGGGCTATTGACTACTTGAACTATAAGGGGTGTGAGGTGGAGGGCCTTTATCGTGTCCCGGGAAGCGGCCCGCAGATCAAGAAATGGCAGAGGAAGTTTGACGAGCGTGAGTTGAGGCCCTGCCAGATTGTGGCATTTGAGCTAACCAAGAACAGAATACGATGTCAACCTATTCGAAGAGCACGAACTCTACGATATCAACATCATCGGCTCCATGCTCAAGGCGTGGCTGAGGGAGTTACCCGACGAGCTGTTCCCCAAAGCGGCACAAGACCGCATAGCGCGAGAATGCGCAGGCGCTGAGGAGGTCCCCGACCTGCTCATCGAAGAGCTCTCGAACCTCTCCCCCTTCAACTACTATCTTCTATTCGCCATAACCTGCCACCTTAGTCTTCTCCTTGCACACTCGGACAAGAACAAGATGGATTTTAGGAACCTCTGCATCTGCTTCCAGCCATGTATGAAGATTGATGCTTTCTGCTTCAAGTTCCTTGTGTGCGACTGGCGGGACTGCTGGAAAGGGTGCAAGAATGAGGGCAGGTACATCGAGGAGGAATATACTCTCTTCGACCAACCCCCACCGCGAGGTCTGGCCGAGCCGCAGATGCCCAAGGCTCAGGAATCCGACAACGAACGCCAGCAGCTCTCTTCATCCGACAGCAGCAAGAGATCTGGCCTCGGCCCCGCAGATCACAAGGCTCCCCCTCGGAATAAGACCGCCCCTCGACATAAGGCTCCTGCTGATCACAAGGCTCCCACCGATTACAAGGCTCCCGTTGATTACAAGACTCCGGCCAGTCGCGGGGCTTCCCCTGATCACAAGGCCCCCGCCAATCACAAGGCTCCCACTGATCAGAAAACTCCTGCTGATCTCAGAAGTCCTACAGACATCAGAGGTCCTACAGATCTCGGAGGCCCTACAGAGATGAAAAATCCTGCAGATATTAAAGGTTATGCAGACCATAGAGCCACCGCAGACCATAAAGCAAGACTCAAGAAGAAGAACCTTCAATTGTCCCCATCCAACGGCAGCGTGGCTTCCAATAACCCATCCCTCCCTAATACCTTGACCCTCAACAACGACCTTGAGCCGGGTAGGAGATCGGGGGATATTAGGCCACTCTCGCCTATAAAGCCGCTCTCGCCTCTTGGATTCTAAACGATATCTCTCGACTAGCTGAACCTCCAGAGCTTATATATCCCCCTTTCCGCAAACATACATACGGCTTGCGGAGCTCGTGTATACATGATTTCAGCATTAGCCGACTTACGATACCATGCCGTTTATGACCATTTATCATTCAACTCTTCGATCCTCTTACCTCGCTTCGGACACTGGCCTTGCTCCGCGATACACTGGATACGACTTTAGGGAAGAACGAAAGCTAACTCGCCGCTTCCGGAGCAAATGGAACAACTTTTGTTTGCTGTTTGGAATTCCCATCGCCGCAATATAGGATGAGGACGTTGGGGAGTACTTTTCTCGTTTTTAGAGATCATTTGAACTCTTGCACAACCGTCAGCGTTGTCACACTGGCGGTCTCCTTTTTCCTTTCTTATCAAGCATTTCCGATTCAATTTTTGTTTTTCTGGGAGGAAGCCCTTTCATATTAGAGGGATGCAGAGACGGAGAAGGACGAGGAGTAGGGGGAGTTGCTTAAGGTGGAGAAAAACGGGGTGGGAGGATGGAGGCTTGCATTTTGTTATTCATGTTTGGTACCCCATTCATTTTTCATGCGCGGGTTCGGGAGGACTACTGTGTACAACAACCAGGAGCATGTACAGAGGATTTAATCTAGGAGTTGGAAGTCATTGGAGAAATTGCGAGAGATAGCACGCAACAAAAGGGCGTGGTGGATTCTTCTCATTCCAAGTTGCACGTCTGAACCTCGCCCATATCCTCCATACGTAGCTTTTGATGCCGATTCGGTAACGCCTAACCCTGAACGCCGCAGTCATGCCCTACTGTGAAATCTCTCATACCCGGGCCTTTGAAGCACATCCCTTCTCCGTCTTGCCATGTTTTAAGCCTTCTTACCGGTCTTGGCGACGGCGATTCTCTCATTCTTCCTCATCTTGCGCTCGTTGCGCTTGACTCTCTCTTTGCGCTCCCTTCGACCGTCTCCCCTGATGGTGGTGCCTTCCTTGCGCTTCCTCTCGGCCTCCATGTCAACCTCGACGACCCAGTCGTTCTCGCCCTTCTTGTTCATGGCCTGGTAGCCCCACTTGCGCTTCCACTCGCCGCTCTCCTCATCGTAGACGAGGTTCTTGCGCTGCTCGCGCGTCTTGGCCTTGATGCCCTTCTTGGCGGCAAAGCGCTCCCACTTGGTCGGGGGTTTGGGCTGGGGCACAGGCTTCTCGCGGGGGAGGCGGGTGCTGGGCTGGGGCAGCGAGAGGAGGACGCCGTCGGTGGTGGAGGTGAGTGGGCAGGTGGTGAGGAGCTGGTTGATGAGGGACTGGGCGCCGTCGCGGGCGAGCTCGGCGAGGGACTGTTCAAGCGCTGCGTGGTCCAGCTCGACAGGGTTGGGGTCCTCGGCCATGAGGTGGCCGAGATCGAAGGTGTAGGGCGTCGGCTTCTCGACTGCGACGGGCAGCTTCGGTTTTGAGATTGGGAGCGCCATCGTGTGAGTAGGCGTAGGGTTGTGTATGTGCAAAACTGGCGCTGCTTCGGTTCGGGGCGGGAGGCTATGAACGATTGACCAGATTGCCGACAATTTCCTTGGCGTAGAGGTTGATTGCAAAATCCAACCTTTGCTTCTTCGCGGGTCTGCCTCTTGGAACTTTTTTCGGCAGCCTCTTTTTTTTGGTCGATAAGAGATGCTTGGCGGCCGGATCAGTGGGCGGCGGTTTTTCCGGAGCCGCCAGGACCACCGGCCAATCAGAGCGCCCCAAGAGCCACCCCTCTCAGCGTTGGGGGCGTGTCGTTAATCCTCGAGATTTTCGTCCCATCGAACGGCAAAGCTCTAGACGGCAGCGACGACAGCGTGCACAACCGGCCCAATTGGCGCCAATGCGACGGTAGACGACCGACTGCTCCATCCAACACCCGAGGGCCCTCCTCTCGCCATCTCGAACCGGCATCATGGCCTCCGCCAACTCGCTGCGGTGCCTCGTGGGGCCGGCCATGGCGCCGCGACTCCAGCCCATGATGCTCGCCGCCGCCTCATTCTCGACCAGCGCCGTCCTTGCGGCTGCGGCACCGCCCGCCATCAAGAGCCGAAGAGACCTCCCCGCGAAGCAGAAGAAGACGTACAAGAAGCGGGCCAACGTCACCCCTGTGCGGAAACCGAACCCCGGCGAGCGCAAGGCCTTCCGAAAACGCATCCAGCTCAGCAACAACAGTGCCCTACCCGTCGAGGGGCTTGGTGCTCTCGAGGCCGGAAACATGGCACTGGACGAGAACGCTGGAAAAGTCTTTTCTATCCCCGACCATGTGGTCGACCAGCTCCGTGCCCTCGAGGCCTTCAAGACGACGCAGTCGTGGAACCTGTTCCGCCGGCCGCACGTGCTGCTGCGGAAGGAAACCGTGGAGCTGATGAAGAAGCTGGAGGGCTCGGTTGAGAAGAAGGAAGCCCTAAAGTGTGTCTTGACCGGCAGCAAGCTCTCCGGAAAGAGCATGACCATGCTTCAAGCCATGGCCTATGCCCTTCTCAACAACTGGGTCGTGTTCCATGTCCCGGAAGGTACGAGAGCACCCAAAACCACCTACGTCCCCTATACTAACTCTTAACCAGGTCAGGACCTCACCAACGGAAATACCGAGTACTCTCCCATTCCTGATACCGAGCCCATGCAGTTCGCTCAGCCCGTGTACTGCTTGAAAATGATCCAGAACCTCTACCGGGCCAACAGAGCAGTTCTTGAGAAGTTGCAGCTCCAGAAGGACTGGTCACGCTTCACTAACCTGAAGCAAGGCGCCACCCTCGCCGACCTGGCTCTCAGCGCCAAAGAAGCCGAGTACGCCTGGCCCACGCTCCTCGCTCTGTGGACGGAGCTCACCCTTCCTGGCCGACCCCCCATCCTCTTCGCCCTGGATGGACTCGCCCACATCAACAAGATCAGCGAATACCGCGATCCTTCATTCAACGAAGTGCACGCTCACGAGCTCTCCCTCGTGCGCACCTTCGTCGATGCCCTCTCGGGCAAGACTCCCCTGCCCAACGGTGGCGCCATCATCGGCGTCACCTCCGAGAACAACTCCCACCACCACCCCTCGCAGGAACTCGTTCTCTCTCAGCTCGAGGCCGGTCAGGCTGGCCAGAGGGTCCCTAGGCCTAACCCATACGAGCGCAAATATGACGAGCGGGTGTACGAGGCACTCAAGAACAGCTGGGTCCTCCGCGTCGACGGCGTCTCCAAGGATGAGGCGAGGTCCCTCATGGAGTACTGGGGTGCCAGCGGACTGGTCCGTAATGTGCTCAACTCGCGAACCGTCTCCGAGAAGTGGACCGTGGGTGGCCATGGTATTGTGGGTGAGATGGAACGGGCGACACTCTTGCAGATGAGAATGTAAATGTATTATAGAACTGTACTATATCGGTGTCTGTAGAACCAAATGACGTACCAGCTCCCTCCACTCTCTGTTAGCATATGTCATTCGAAATGTGCTCGACCAGTCAACTGTCACCCTTGCTTTTTGCGCCTTCATTGCTCATTGCACTAAAGTCTCGAGAGAATACATATGAGCTACTGAACGGAATTGCATTGCTTCATAACTACTAAATTGCCAACGGAATCTACCGGGCAACCAATCCCTCATCTACCCTGAAATGCCGTAACGCCAACCAGTTGCATCAGATATCTCACCCCATTACACGCTTGCCTCCTAAAAGTCTATATCTTCTTCCATCTCATTGTCAGCAGTGACAAATATCAGCCTCGCGCCATTACCAGTCGTTTGCCAGACCTGTGGTGCACTGTTAGTCTCATTGCATATATAGCGTGACAGGGGTAGAAACTTACGTCGAGAGTGGTGTACTCTTCCAGAGCATTCATCCATTGGTCCTCGGTGAAACCCTTGGCGATTACACGCTCCTTGACCTTCCTCAAGCTCAACTCAGCGCCAAGCTCGTCATCATCCTGAGCGTCGTCAGGACGGCAAGCACCTGAATCAGCCACGGCCTTGACCAGGTTGTAAATCCTGCTGCTGGCGTTCAGACCGCGCCGACCGCTACCAATATCGGTATTGAGACTGTCCTTGCTGGCCTCGACCAGGCGCAGGGCCTCGTCGACATCATCTTGGGACACCTGGTTGCTGAAGCGCAAACGAGCAAGGGCCTGCGCAAGACGGATGACACCAAGGAGAGTACGAGGAGTGGTGTGCGTGAACTGCTTGCCCTTCTTCTCGGCTCGTTGTTGTTGGTCTCGCATGCGAACGTACGTCTTGATCATGTACTCCGACACAGACTCAGGGACAACGGGACGGTATGTACGAGCTTGGGCGACGTATGAGCGCACCTCGTGAGGGGTAAAGACGATATTATCGGTGCCAATATCCGGGTGGCGGTTGTTCATGTGCACGAACGTAACGTGCTTGGCAAGTTGCTCATCCGTATCGCGAGTGGGGGTATCAAGAAGCAGGAACAGAATATCGAATCGAGACAAGAGCGCTGCAGGGAGGTTGATATTTTCAACAGGAGAGATGCGTGGGTTATATCTTCCATAGATAGGGTTAGCGGCGGCAAGGATGGATGTGCGGGCGTTGAGGGTAGTAGAAATTCCAGCCTTGGAGATTGAGATGGTCTGCTGTTCCATGACTTCGTGGATGGCAGTGCGATCGTTGTCGTCCATCTTGTCGAATTCATCAATGGCGCAGATTCCGTTGTCAGCAAGGACCAGGGCACCGCCCTCAAGGACCATTTCATCAGTGACGGGGTCGCGCATGACGGCAGCAGTCAGACCGACACCACTGCTTCCACGACCAGAGGTGTATACACCACGAGGGGCAACCTTGGATATATACTTGAGAAGCTGGGATTTGGCCACACCAGGGTCACCCATCAAGCAGATGTTGATGTCACCACGGATCTTCATACCGTCGCCCATCTCTTTGGTAACACCGCCGATGAGCAGCAGTAGAAGCGCTTTCTTGACATCAAGATGTCCGAAAATCTCAGGGGCGATCGACTTTGCAAGTAGCTCGTAGACCTGGCCACTTTGGCGGTACTTCTCAATTCGTCGAACCAGGGTAGGGTCGACAATCATCTCGCTGTAGGCCTTCTTGTGCTGAAGAATATGGTGAGCCTCGACGTAGGTGTCGGTTAACAAGCCAGCCTTCATGGCCTTGAAACCAGTGTATGGGGTGGGTAGGAAGATGCCTGAAATATCAACCACATCGCCGGGGTTGATTTGTCGGACCAGGGTGCCGTGGCATAGGACGGTAAGACTTCGAGGAATCTGGCCGATGGGCACTTGCTCTGCCATCTCCTGAACCTTGACCTCCTGGAACGGCAAGAACTTGGAGGCTCGGGAAGATGCGTTCAATTGACCATTGGCCTGGTTCTTCTTGCAGTCCTCTGATGGACACATCGTCATTGGGCTGTATTGTTTGTCGGAGATGGGCTGGAAGATTTCATAGCCACATCGATCGCAGGTGTATGCGCTGACCTGAACGATTGGCTTCACGTCGGAAACTCGGGTGGCAATTGCTCGGATGGTGATGAGGTGACCGAGGTGCTCTCCACGCACCTGCCGAACGGCCAGGGCCTTTGTGGGCTTGCTGGAAGTGCCTGACCGGGGCTTGAAGACGAGAGTGTATCGTCGAGTGAGCTCAGCTGGGAACTTATCATCCTCAATAGTCGGATCTCGTTCCGCAGCCTCTTGGAGCTCTCGGTTTCTGGCTTGGCGCCGTGCCATCAAAACATCGAGCACGTCGTCCTTGAAGCTTGATGGGGTCAGCGAAAATTGATATTAGGGGACCCAAAGAGTACTTACGTCACTTCTGTACTTGGTTGAGGCAACAACTCATCTACAGCTCTTGACACGATCTCGACGTAGTGTTTGGTGTTTAGCTCGATGCTGTCAACGAGTCTTAGGTGTTCCTCATCATCCATTTGGTTCTCCCACTGCAGTGCTGTTAGTGTCTATGTGAGATAACTTCAATTATTCAAGTATTTACCGTTACCAGGTCATCCAAGTCGATCGTTGCCTCGATAATTGTTCGGTCGGCAAGCTTTTGCAGCATTTCTTTGTACTTGTGCTGGGGCGGTCGTCTACGCTCCTTGTCGTTGCGACGGCGCCCCCCCGCCTGCTCGTCCTCGTCCATGAAGTCATACTCGTCGCTGAGTTCATCTTCGTCGATGGTGATGTTTCCAAGAGCGGTCGTGATGGTCTGCTCGGGCGACGTCTTGAAGTCCCTCAGGAAAACCTCGAACGCCTCTGTAGCTTGGTTAGCGCGCCGACAACGACGGAATTGGGCAGCTCGGGTCGAGAGGGCTCACTCTGTTGCTTTTCGTAGCTGACGGGGGCCTTGAATTCGCGCAGCGCCATGGTGAATGATGTGTTGCGGAACGCAAAGCCTGGGTGCGCTGTGTGAGTTGGTGAAGAGAGGGGCGGAAGAGATGCAGTTTACAGCGGTGGGGACGATGCGGCGCAAACAAGATGGTTGTGATGCACAAATTGGCGGGCTGGGGAAAGCGGCAGGGGGCGGGCACCTTCCGCCTGCGTTTCCAGAGGTACCGTTCCACCTGGACGAGACGCGTCGTTTCGCGTTTTCGCGTCGCACCGCCACATGCCCTTGCTTAATTGAATGCGCCACCTGTGGCGTCTGGCGCGGGGACGTCTGCCGAAGGTCAGAGCTGACGGGGAAGTCACCGACGGCACGTGTGAGCTACCTCGGCTTCGGGACGGGAACGGAGTCGCATCCAGCAGCCAGCTCGCGCCGCCCAAAAGAGCGACATCGCTCCCTTTCCCGCGACTTCCACGACTTCCGCGATAGTTTTGGTGCGCCCATGAGGTCTGAAGCGACGCATCATGGCTCCTAGAAAGAACCCTCAGTCCGTCTCTGCCGAGATCTCCCTCGCGCACCTCAAGAACTGCTTGGTCAACCTCCCCACCCCGTTGGTATCTCTGCTTGTCAACGTCAATACTGTAAGCAATTGCCCCTGCAATTCCATGCCTCTGGACCAGCCACTGATTTGCCGATCCTTTGGTACAGCCTGCCCAAAATGTCATTGTTGAGCTCAACTTCCGAGACACCTCGTCGACCGACAAGAGCTCCCAGCAGCGCTCCGTGTTTGTGGGATGGACGGGCATGCCAAGCAAGAGAAGGACGGGACCCCCAGTTGGGCGCGAGGGACTCAATGGCATGAGGGGTTCGTCGCGCGACCAAGAAGTCCAGTTGGTTGAGGTTGACTCGGTGCTGGCCAAGACTCTGGGACTCTCTGAGGGTCAGAAGGTCACGGCCACCATACACATTGACCCTCCGTTGGCGCATACGATCAATATCGAACCCCTCACCCCCGAGGACTGGGAGATTATCGAACTTCACGCGGCGTTCCTCGAATTCAACCTCCAGCTCCAGATCAGGGCTCTTCCGAATCCTGCCTACAAAACCAGCGATGGGACGACCGTCCCTGCCCATCCGCTTACCCTCCATCTATCACCGACCTCGACCGCAAATATCAAGGTTCTGTCATTGGATCCTGCGCCTCCCGTAGATTCACCCTTTGCCAAGATTTCGCCCGATGCAGAGGTCATCGTTGCGCCCAAGACGAGGCAAAAGAGCTCGCAAAATAGTGGTGATCATCGAAGCGTGGCCAGCACAACCAAGTCAAAGCGAAGTGGCGCCAGTACTGTACGTCGACGGAGCGCCCGGGAAGAACGAAAGCCCACAATGTTCCTTCGTGGCCTTGATAGGGTGACCTGTGGTGATTGGTTTGATGAAGAGCCGGTGGACCAGGACTTCAGTGTCTGGGTTGACCAAGATCTTCTATTTACCAATGCATTCAGAGGGGTCAACTACGTCGTTGTGGACGTGATGAAGCCGGCTAGTCTTCAACAACCACAACCGGAAGATGGAGCTGCCTCGGCTGCCACGAGCGCATCTTCAAAAGTAATCGCCCACCTTAAACCGTGGGCAGATCCCCCGAACAGTCAAACAGTTGCTCTGTCATCGCCTCTTTGCGCGACTCTAGGCTGTACGGGCATGGTTGGGGGTGTTGTCAAGCTTCAGGCTGCCCCGCAACAACTTCCTCGAGGAACCGTCCAAGGCGTCAAAATATTCCCTTTCGCAGCCGGCTCCAAGACTCAAGAAGGCCTTAATTTCGGTGGCGAAACCAAAGCCAAGAAGGAAGAGTCTGCCAAACATTTCCGTCAGATCTATGCATCCTCCAAGGGCTCTGACGGTCTACTACAGGGGCCTCTGACCGACGGTGGTGTGATTGGGCTCTACGATGGTCTCGATGCTCCCGCAGGATGGGAAGGAGGCATCGTTAAATTTACGTACAGCTCCGAATTCTCATCCCAGGAGCAGAAAAAGGATGCTGTTAATTGGATAATTGGTCTTGACTCCAAGTTGCCAATTGACTTTCAGCCTCCTACACCTCGGCCTTCGTGGTTATTCGAATCCGATTCGTTTGAGCGACAACCCTCTCATAACTCATTGCTGGTTGGAATTGATTCCCTCCTAGAGAATCTACAGTCCCAACTTGCCCACATGTCGTCAGTCCTACTGACCGGAGGCATGGGCTCTGGCAAGACATCTGTCGCGAAACATTTGGCACAAAAGTTACGAGAGGAAACCCTCTTTTATACTGTATACTATCCATGCCGGAAACTAGTCAATGACGAAACCAGGATCTCCACCATCAAGGAGACTCTCAACCGGCTGTTCATGTCCGCAAGCTGGGGAGCGAGGTTAAACGGCCGGGCTGTGGTTGTGCTTGACGATATGGACAAATTATGTCCGGTCGAAACGGAACTCCAAGTCGGAAATGATAATGGCCGAAGCCGTCAAATCAGTGAGATCATTGGCTCGGTTGTAAGGCAATACTGTACTCGAGACAGTGGTGTCGTGTTACTGGCAACGGCCGAGGGTAAAGATTCTCTCAATGGCGTGGTCGTTAGTGGCCACGTCGTTCGCGACATTGTCGAGCTAAAGGCTCCTGACAAGGAGGCCAGGCGCCGAGTTATGGAGTCTATTGTGAACCAGGATGCTTTGGCCCCTGAGGATGCTCCCTCGCAGTTCGGCGACCATAGTCGGCCGCAGACTGCTGATGGTAGCGTTGGGGATGAACATGGTGCTTGGATGGATGGGGCGAGTCACACAAGCCGAGAACAGCCAGCAACAAAGTCTGGCGGCTTCATTCTGGATCCGGATCTTGACTTCCTCGACATTGCTGGTTCAACGGACGGCTACATGCCGGGAGATTTGACGGTTTTCGTATCAAGAGCGCGCAACGAGGCTATCATCCGAGCCATTGCCGAGTCACCGAACTCTGATTCAGCCGCCATTCATCTTAGCCGAGCTGATTTCGACAAGGCTCTTAAGGGATTTACGCCAGCTTCGCTGAGGAACGTCACCCTGCAAAGCTCCTCGACCAGCTTCAAGTCCATTGGTGGTCTGCAAGAAACACGCCAGGTACTTCTGGAAACCTTGCAGTATCCAACCAAATATGCACCAATTTTTGCTCAATGCCCTCTCCGGTTACGGTCTGGTCTCCTTCTATATGGATTCCCAGGCTGCGGCAAGACTCTTCTCGCTAGCGCTGTGGCAGGTGAATGCGGTCTCAACTTCATAAGTGTCAAGGGCCCCGAAATCCTGAACAAGTACATTGGTGCCTCTGAGAAGAGCGTCCGTGACCTATTCGACAGGGCTCAGGCCGCGAGGCCTTGTGTGCTCTTCTTCGACGAGTTCGACTCTATCGCGCCTAAGCGAGGTCATGATTCTACCGGTGTGACGGATCGAGTCGTCAACCAACTTCTTACGCAGATGGATGGTGCTGAAGGATTGTCGGGGGTGTACGTCCTGGCGGCCACCTCCCGCCCTGATCTGATTGACCCTGCCTTGCTCCGCCCTGGTCGTCTGGATAAATCCTTGCTCTGTGACATGCCGAACGTGGAGGATCGAGTGGACATCATCAAGGCTTTGTTCCAGAAGGTCCGACTAGCTGACGAGTTGATTGAGTCTGAAGAGCCTTTGATGGATATCGCACGCCGGACGGAGGGCTTCTCTGGGGCAGATATTCAAGCCTTAGTGTCTAACGCACAACTGGAGGCGATTCATGATGTCTTGGACGGCGACAGCCCTTCAGCCAATGCTCGACGACCGAATGGCCATTCTGGGAAGCCGAACAGCACCCCAAGTTTCGTTCAGTTCCCTTATGGAGCCAACTCTCAGGTCTCCACTGGCGTAACGGCCAAGAGCAAGTCCGCCGCGGGCATCGAGAATGCTTCTATCCTTTCCAAGCTCGACGAGATCAAGATAGCCCGCAAGAGATCGAAGCAGGGGCCGGGAATTCCCGCCGCTGCTATCGCAGACAACAAGGCACAAGCCAGTGAGCAGAGGGAGGTAGTAATTGGGTGGGATCATCTGATCAAAGCGCTTGACAACACCAGGGCCAGTATCAGCACTGACGAGAAGGCGCGGCTGCAGAGGATCTACACCGAGTTTGTAGTGGGAAGAAGTGGGCAGATGAACGATGGCCAGGGCAGTATGGAGATTGGAGGGAGGAGTAGTTTGATGTAAGATATGGATCCTATGACGCGGATAGGTAAAAGCACCCGATAATCTACCAGCTGGTCTCAACAGTCCTCAATGAATTTTCTCTCGACGTTCCAACCGTGGTCGTGATCCAGGTGCCTCGCCGAGTTGGTCCTTTTCACCTCGTAACTCAATATTTAGTAAGAAGCGCCCTTGAGAATGGCTGACAACTCCTCCAGTACAGCTTCATGAACACCCTCTCTCGCCGCCAGCAACCCCCGGTTCTGACTCAGATCCCTCCCAGCGCCAAAATCAATCGGCCGTCCATCCAAATCAGTCACTTTGCCGCCTGCCTCGGTGAAGATGAGTTGCGCTCCCGCGTGATCCCAGACGTAAGTCTTCGTTTCCAGTTTCGCGGGGATACGCACGTGCAGGTCGCCGCTGCCAACGATCAGCGCTGCGTACCGTATATGCGAGGACCAGACGTCTGTGCTAGGAAACGGAGCGCCGAATTTGTCGGCGAGCTGGCGGATGAGGTCGTGGCGGGACGATTTGCTCTGGAGGCAGTCGATGATATGGACGTCTTTGAGGTTGGACGCGGCCTTTAGCGGCTCGATGGGGCGAGCAGATTCGAGTCCGCTGGCAGTCATCGAGCGGATTGACGAGCCTTGTCCTTTTACTGCCGACAGCATAATACCGAGACCTTCGGTGTCTACGCTCGTCTCCGTCACCTTGCCGTCTTGATGGCGCAGGTTGGGACATCCGAGCACGCCAAGCACCTCACGCCCGTCCTCGATCAGCGCAAGGGACACAGCATACTGTTCTCCTCGCAGAAATGTTGCAGTACCATCAATCGGGTCCATGACCCAGAAACGACCTGTCGGACCTCCCTGGCCGTGACCCCCGAGATCGATCAACTCCAGCATCTCCTCCACTGAGGCCGGAGTCGCCAGCACCTCACCGCTCTCTGGGTCCGCGAGGCTCGCCGAGGACACCAACTCCCAGACGCGATCTCTCAGTGATGCGTCACTTCGCAGCGCCTCTGAGGCCTCCTCTCCGAGGAAGGCATCGCCGGGGAAGACGTCGCGGAGAGTGCTAATGAGAAGAGCCTGGGCGGCGAAGTCGGCGACGGTGACAGGAGAGGCATCGGCCTTTGTCACTGCGCTGACGGTGGAGAGGACTTTCTTGGTGAGAATAGAAGCTCTCAGTACAGCTAATTCAGCCAGGTGCCGCTCGCGGGTGAATGGGGCGGTCATGGTGAGGTTGGCTTGGTGGAGTGGTGTGAGGATCAGCGAGATGCTGAGGTGGCAGCGGATGGCTTTTCGCCGATGGAGCGTTTGCACTGACGTAACTCAGCCGGTTTGTGTGCCCACGCGAGTGGGACGTTGCAGGGAACTTTTCGGTCTGCGCCGGGAAGAAGTTGTTGTTAATGACTCTATGCTGCGGCACATGTACGACGGAGCAACACGTTTGTTGTCAGTCCACGATTGGCGAAGTTGTTGGCGATGTTCAACTTGCGTCTCCACCCACTAGACGAACGGTGTCCGCAAATAAAAGAACAAATTAGCTCACCCAAGTATCCCAGCACAACTGAGATTCAAGGTCATAAATCTGGTATTGGTGTGATAAGACCTTGTTCTTCTGGTAGTCTTTACTCTCGTTGACTAAAAAAAAGGTGTATTGCTATTCGCACACAACTTACAAGTACAAGGCTCTTTAGCTAAACCCCAGAGCAAACTAATATACCTAATTATCGGAAGTCTTGGACTTTAGTCTTATATTTATTAGTAAATTCTCTAAAAATTAATGACAATGATATAATCACTTCTCGCCTTTGGTCCCAAAAGCCTCTAAATCGACCCGGAACATCTGCCCATCTAGCCTCAGCATCAATCCATCACATCCAGTACCGCATGCAACCTCATTGAGGCTGCTCAAGTCATAAATAGGCAAGTTCCCGCTAAGAGCTGCAGTAGTTTCCTCTGCGGAAAGTCTTTTTGCGATGAACCGTAGGTTCTTGGATGCACTGGTCGGTGGTTTTGTTGTGTATTCGATGTACAGGCTTACGGAGTCAGAAAGTCGGAAGTGGCCTACGTCGCCGCTCTTGACGTCCCGCCATTTTACTTTCTCCTGGACGGCGACAGACTCCTCTTCCTTTCCATGAACTGATGAGACGGCGGACACTGCCAAGCTACTAACCAAGTTCGCGGCAATGCTTTGAGCCTGGTCGGACGGCGGGTGAGAAAAAGTTTCTTGGTCATCCGCTTCCTGGGCACTTGAGCCGGTGGCGTTCTGCGGTTTTGCAATCAAGCCGTTGGCATAAGAATGCTCACGCTCGGGGACCACTGTATCATCGCTGTCGGAGACTTGCGACTCTTCTGGGTCGCCATTTTCCACTGTCAGAACTGTGGAACTCGTACCAATTGTTGATGGGGCTCTGCTTTCGGTAGGATCCTTCATCTCGGTGGCTTCGTTGTTAAGGACTTGGTTGATTCTACGAATAGCCAAGCGCTCCAAGTCCATGATAAAAGGCTGGTTCATGGCAAGTAGGCCATCCGAAGGCAGGCGCCAGCCGGGATAAAGTCTTCCGTGAGTGCCGGGGATGACATAGTCTGTTTGACGTGATATGAAATTATTGCAGAGATAGCAAGCCTCCTTATTCGCGGCGATTATTCTTGGAGGGGTTGAGCTTTGATGCCGTCGCAAATACCAAACTAGTTGGATTTCAGCATGTACTTTGGACCCTGCTTTGAGACGCTTCAGTGTATCAAGAAACGAAGTGGAAGTTTTCAGCTTCTTCGAGAGCAAAGATCCTAGGTTTTCCATGTTCCATTCCATCTCGTGGGTGGCCGTAATCCTCTGCAGGGTTTCCTTGAGCTCGGGGAAGTGGTTAGGGGTGCGTTCATACTGGGAGAATGAAATGGACCCTAGTGACACCGCCAGTGTTGAAGCCTGACGAACGGTTGATAAGTGTCTTGCAATTCCGAGCAGAGTTGAGGCTGATTTCCAATATGATGCAATCTTCCGGACCTTGTCGAACAAGGCCAGTGGGACAGTTAGGTCTGGAGATATTCTACCTAAGCCGCTTTGAATGATGCTTTCAATGTTCGGAATCTTGGAAATCTGATAAAAGTCGTACACGATAGCTTCAAGATCTTTGTCCGCCTCTGGTGAGGATTGGTCGATTTCGGGGACCCTTCCGCGATATAGACGTAATCGCTGAATCAGGCTCTGACTCAGAGTAGCGACCGTCTCGATATTATTATCTTTTGAGAGTGTTCTTAATCCTGCGACGAGATCTCCTAAAACGTTCTCAAGAGGCGGCTTTTGTCCAGCTTTGGTGAGCCTAGCACGGCTGAGAATCTTCCGGTGGCATGTGGAAACTATGGCGCCGAAAACGCGCTCGAGGTGGTACTGTCGGGGACCTGAAGACTATGTGAGCCAGGACCTCCCTCAGCTTAAAGCTTCGGATCACTTACCTGTTGAGACATTCCGCAGAAGAGAGAATATTTTATCAATCCCTGCTTTCACAGACTGCAAGTACGGCGATGGCGACGAGTCTTTGGCGTTGACTGCCAGCATGATAGTGAGGCCTGATGGGCATTCTTCAACACAAACGGCGGTGATCTTGCTAGGATCATCTCGAACGCTAGACAGAAATGCTAAAGTGGAAGTTAAAAGCCATTCGTCGCGAAAAGAGAGTGTACGAGCTGATCCAGTGTCTGGTTTGGGGTCCATCATGGGGTGTCGTTCTGGCGGAGCATGATTCCTAGTGAGATAGAACAAGAGTGCAATGTCTTCAGCTAATCGGTCCTGGAGGCGAGATGTTTCTGAGTCAGCCATGTCTCTGTTTCAATAGCAATACAGCCACATATGATGAGTGTCACTGGGTGAACATAGACTGTCGCCTCAAGCAAGACCTAGTGGGCAAAGATTAGGCTCCACGATGCGATCATTCTGGCCCCCGTCACAATGAATAATCATAGGCCTATGCCATAGTGCTTTTTCCTTAATGAAGCTCATTTGCTCGAAGGGCCAAAGCCACAGACCATAGCGAGGAAATGATTGGCCAGCAGGAAATGTATGCGGGAGGCCGACCATATGATTTCACTGCCATGACGGTATCAACTTATGAGGAAGCAGGGACATGCAGGGATGCGCTGAGAAGAACCTCTCCGCATTTACAAGCTTGTGATAAGGTGGCTGGGGCAACGCAGATGGCAGTTGCCAAAAGAAAGAGATGGGAAGGCGTCAAATCCCCCTTCGACCTGTTTTCAACAGAAATCATATTGCGGCCGTAGATGTGTCAGTGATGTCGACAAGTCCAAGAGCACAGAATCTCAGGGTATCGCTCCTTCCTCAGGTGGTAACGCAAGGTAGACAGGTAGGTGCCTTCCCTAAGGTAGGAGTCCGGACTTGCAGGTGCAGTGACCGAGGCATCCATCGAAACTCCAGGCCTCAACTTGATCTCGCCATTGTGCCAACCCGCATAAAACAACAACCACATCATGACAATTTTTTGCTCTTTGTTGCTCTTTTTTGCCCTTTTCAATCCAGTCCCCCTGCACCTGCCCCAGCTGCGGACCCTTGTCGAGTACCTCCGCTGCCGGGTCTTGGTCAAGTACGCGGAGCGTTAGTGGAACAAAAATCCCCTCGTTGACGATGGACTCCATACATATGTCACCGAGACAGCGCCACGCTCTTCGCCTCCTGCAAAGGGACCAAAGGGGGAAAGGGTTCCCATTTTCGCAGATTTTTCGCTCTTGGGCGCGGGGAATGAGCAAGCGGATTGCAAATTCGGCTCTGGAGAGTGGCAGTTCAAGGACAATCCCTGATTCGACAAACGACGTCCGAACCGCACGATGCACTTCGGAGATGTTTGGGTTGGCCCCACGCATCCACCTCCGCACTTCTCGCCCCCAGCGCCACAAGCTGAACTAGGTATTGGACTACGTACGTACGGGAGAGAGTCCTCACTTTACAGTTAGTTGGCTTCTCCTCTTCCTCTCCCCACGATCTGACGCTCGCCACTAATTCCCCAGTAACAGACCCAACCCCCACCTCGGCCCCGCTCTCCCCGGTCAGCCATCCCCTCCGTTCTGTCCTGAGTCCCCTTCTAAGGAATCCCTGCACGCGCTGGTTCCCTCTATAGCTTCTTCTGGCGTCAATCCTCTTTGGCCGCTAAATTCCACCGGGTATCGTCACCGAAGCCGCGCCGGTTTCGCGGGGTTCATCATGGCACCCCCTCGAGACTCCAACTAACTAGAAAGGCCCATCCTCCCTCCGCTCGCATGGCCGCCTCCTCAACTCCCATACTCCCCCTCACCTCGTTCTTCATGGTGCATCGCCGTTCCTCGCTTTGAATCGAGGCTTTGCCCATATCCTCAGCAGCCAGAGACGTCCAGTTCGACCCATCACCACATCCCACCTTGGAGTCTCCCCTTCGCCACCCGGCCTGGCTTCTACCAGAAGAATGAATACTCCAGAATCATCGTCCAGCGTCGAGGCCATGAATGACCAGGCCGCGCATGGGCCTGCCGCTCCTAAGCGCATTCGGCTTTCCCTCGCTTGCAATCAATGTCGCAAACGCAAGGTGCGCTGCGACGCCGAGACGCCCAAATGCCGGAATTGTGTCTTGCGCGGCGACAACTGCGAGACTTCAGACCCACGAAGACCCGACGGACCAGCCGTGAGGAAGTGGGCGACCAGAGATGGCCTATTCCCGGGCGAGCATCGCGAGCATCGCGCAGGTTCCATCAGCGAACGCAGCGCAACTAGCTCTATGATGAGCCTTCAATTCGACCCAACCCTAGCCAATGCCTCCGAATCTACACAGCCAGCACAACAGCAACAACAAAATTCCCCAGGAGGGAAGCAACTCACATGGGTAACACGCGCATATATGGAAAACACCAATACCCGGGATGCGCCTTCTGCAGACCAGATGCACGACAGCCCAGATGTTGTCGTCAACACTGATGAAAGCTCTCATCGGGTCAAGGTACGCTTTCATTATGCAGTCATTTACATGTCGCCCTCTCTTGCTAATTCCTATCAAAGTACATGGGCGGCAGCAGTCTCCAATGCCTCTGCGTTTTCGTCGACCTTTACCTCAGTCGAAATGGCCAGACGCCCATGTCAGACAAGTTTCGATGGGGAATGAAACATGTCGAGGAGTTTTCTCTGCCGCTCTCCTTCCAGTTGCCCGATCTCCCTCCCACCTCGACCCTCGAACCAGCTCTACGCACCTTTTTCGATCGCATATACCCCTTATTCCCGGTTGTTGAACAACCCACATTGATGGCCGATATCCAGCGTCTGACAGAACTCCAAGAGTCCAATGTGAACCGGCTCCAGGGCGCCATCTCCCACCGTGATCTCGCTGCGCTAGCCACAATCTACAGTGTCATCAGCATCGGCACCGATGAGTTTGAGGGTAACATGACGGAAGCCGGAGAAACATACATCAAAGGAGCATATACCCTACTAGGGCACCTGACCAGCATGCCCTACATTGGCTCTGTTCAAGCTCTACTGGTCCTGGCCATCGCTTTACGCGGCAGGGGTAGGTTTCGTCTCCTTCTGCGAAGCAATTGGGTACGGTTGCTAATCACACTTCCGATGCAGGCAAGGAGGGCCAAGCGTGGCATCTTTTAGGCCAAGCCATTCGGATTTCTCACTCAATTGGTTTGCATAGGCATATCTCACTCCAGATGGGTGGCGATATCCCCATCGGCTCATCACCCGGCTACAAGATGGATCGTGAGCTACACTCTAGGCTTTGGTGGTCTTGCTATGCCTTGGAGAAGCTTATGGAGCTGGAGACTGGAAGGCCTCCAGCTATTTCTGACAACGACTGCGACCAATTACTCCCTCGCATTGACTCCCAACATTCACATGACTACTTTAGCATGTGGGTTTCCCTTGCGAGAATTTTGGGTCAGATAAGCGAGCACCTCTACCGCCGGAAAATGCCCTCTTCATTCATGCTCATGAGTGAGACCGCACGACTAGATCAGGCGTTGCTTGACTGGTCAAAAGCAATGCCCGAAGGCATGAAGCCCGGACACGATGTGTTTCTCGACGATGAAGGGCAACAACCCTCATATCGTCAGCACATTGCCAGTTTTCTGTCGCTCCAGTACTATCAGGTATGTTCTTCACTCTTCTAGAAACGCCGCAACTGACTTACATGACAGGCTCAAATCACTTTGTTTAGGGCGTCGCTCGTCTTCCCCGAGAAATCATACGCGAACGAGGTCAAAAAGCATGGCTCAAAATTGACAAACAACTTGAGGCTGCTCCAGAACCAAAACATATGTATTGGAGCCGCAAGGTCCATTATTAAGCAAGTGCTCGAACTTGCGGATCACAATATTCACTCCCTGATATTCACCACGACGCAACCCTTCCTGGCAGCCATCGTCCTCGCCTTAAATATACTCAAAAATCCACAAAAGCGAATGGGTCGTTCTGACATGGAACTGGTCATCACGGGTACCGAATATGCGAGAGATCACTATCAGAGAATTGGCCAGCACGAAGAGTTTATCCAGGCGGCTTCGCAACTGCCTGAAAAGTTGAATGCTGCCTTGGAGACCATGACATTACACAGGGAGCATCGACCCAGTGTAACATCTCAAGGCGTTGGAACGCCTCCTTCAGCTGACACAAGAATGTCTCCTAGTTTGGTGTCGATGGGTGTGGCACCTTTCACTCAAGCTGATCCATTCTATGATCCCTTTCAAGACTTGCCTTTGGACGAGTTTTGGTCCATGATTGGTGGAGACTTTGTAATGAACAGCAACAATGAACAGAATAGTTTCTTCTGAGCCGGATGAAGTATGATGAAGCAGGATGCTCTGCGGTTACACCTAATTAATGATGAGAGCCAAGGCTATTCTCGCGCCGAGGGACTTGACGCCATCAAGTTCCCCGGGCCCGATGTTTAACTCGAGATGATATACGGTAAGCACAAGTCTTTCCTCCATTCGTCGGCAGTTACTAACAACTTTGAATAGATAATCTCTACTGTAGCACCTGCTTTCTTTGCTACGATTATTTTGACGAGGCAGATGGATGTTCCGCATTTGGAGCAATTGGGGTAGCAATCAGGTCCTAGTTCAGGACTATGTCTTGAGCATGGTGTTGGAAACATCACGTCGTCTGTAGCTTGTCTGGCATTATTCCGATGATACCCGTCAGCGTCTCTCAAGTTTACTTTGCCTTCTATCGCAAATCTACCGACCTGCAAGTACTCTCAAAGCTTCAATCGGCCAACAGCCCTGACATCCGGCCCCACGAAGTATTCGCCAGTCGGCCCCACCGAATTGCTCCGGCCTTGTATGACACCAACAACACACAAAATCCGAAGGTGAATGCTTTCCACCCAGTGACACCTTTTGCAATTACCCCAGATGGTGTGGGGTAACGGAACCCCGGTCTGCCGAGTCACACTTGGGGATTTTGGGGTGCATTATATCGTGCATGGGACCAACGCCACGATGGCGTCGTCGTGGCCCGGGGCTCCGAACCGAGCTGAACCGAACCGAGCGAGCCCCCCGTTTTCGGCTCCGTAGACATGACCGGCCGCCGGCAACACCAACCGGACGCGGTGGAGGAGGCATGATGGACCTCAGCATGGCTCGGGCACGGGTGGAGAGCACTAGAGCGTCGGCTGGGGCTCTGTGGATGATGATAAAAGCGGCGGCTCGTCGAGTCTGGTGGTGAGGAGTTGTTCTTGCTCTGTACTCAGACAGACTCCTATCCATGACTGCGACTTACACAATGGCGGCTACGACCATCACCACTACCACCGCTTCCCAGCCTACCTTGACCCTCCGGCCGGCCGGTGCTGACCGTATGAAGGTCGATGGCACCGACCGACGCTATGGTGACTGGCGCGATGACCTCGTCCGCGACGGATATGCCATTATCAAGGGCGCCATTCCCAAGGAGAGGGCGCTGAGCTATGCCAGCCGCTTCTATGGTCTTGTTGAGAGCTTGTAGGTTTTTTTTACTTCCTTGGGTTTTCGAGTCCTCTCCTCTCCCCTTCAACACACTAACACGCTCTCCTTTCAGCGGCCTTGGCTACGACCGCAACAACCCCTTGACCGTCCGCCCCGAGAAGCTCCCCGTCATCACGGAAAAGGGCATGCTCCTCAACTACGGCGCGGCGCACGAGGACTTTGTGTGGGCCATCCGGTCCGAGCCCGGCGTCGTCGGGGCGTTCGAGAGCGTCTACGACACCGAGGACTTGCTCGTGTCGTTCGACGCCATCAACATCGGCTTCGCCAACCGCACGCACCTCGAGGCCAACAAGCCGTGGCCGCACCAGGACCAGGATCCGGACCGCCCGGGCTTCCGCTGCCTCCAGGGCCTCGTCAACCTGCTGCCCAACGGGCCCAACGACGGCGGGCTCATCGTGGCCAAGGGCGCGCACCTCCTGAGCGAGCAGTTCCACGACGACATCCGCGGCACCGAGGACCGCATCCCCGCGTGGACCAAGGAGTGGTACGGCTTCACCGATAAGGGCATGCAGTGGCTGCGCGACCACGGCTGCGAATGGGTCAAGGTCGAGGCGGATCCTGGCGATCTCATCGTCTGGGACTCGCGCGCGCCGCACTACAACGTCCCCGTCAAGGGCGAGCAGGACCGCATGGCCATCTACACGTGCTTCATGCCCGTCACCGACGCCTCGCCCGAGGATCTGCTCCGCAAGAAGCGTGCCTTTGAGGACCGCGTGGGAACTACACACTGGCCTAACGCCAGACACACCGGCTCGAACGTCGCCAAGCGCAACGGCGAGCCTGATCATGTCGTTCGCGACCGCCCTCTGCATGAGCCGATCCTGTCCGAGCGGGCTTTTAGGCTTACGGGCATTCCCTACATCAAGGCGTAGGGGGATATGAGAACTTGGGAGACCTCAAGGGGGGAGGTGGGAAAGCCCCTGGTGGAATTATGAGACATGAAATTGCATCCTGGCCGACTGTATAAAAGAGAAGTGTGGCTGGGCATCTTGTATCTCGGGGGCTACATCTTGTACACGCATAATCTGTCCGCAGAAGCAGCCTGGGCGTCTTAAGAAATCATCTGTTAACCTCGTCGTGCCGTCCGTCCCTCTTCCCTTTCCCTATCACGTAACTTACACGTCAATCAAGTCGCCGACTCGATTGACTTTTTGACTACGATACATCACAAAACATCACTCAGTAAATACAGCCAAAATCTTGGTCTTCGGGTTTGTCATTGAGTTATATATATTTAATCCTCTATGGAACCAAGCAAATCCCTACGCTTGGCCCTCATCGCTCTTTTCCCTATGCCTGTAACAAAAAGCCATCTAACAGGGGGCGGCTCATCCCATTGCGTGCGCCTCCTCTCTCCATGACCAAGGCCTTCTGCCAGTGAGCAGCCGTCACAGTTGCTAAGTGGCCGTCAGATCGTGACGCACGAACATCATACTCCATAGAAGAGAAAAAGAAAAAAGGCCAGAAAAAAACAAAGCTAACAACACATCGATGCCACATCCTGTGACATGTCGTAATTTTTTGGACAGGCCGGACGATGAAAAATCAAACATGGCCGACTGGAATCTCTCTCCACGCGCTTCCTTTACCATGCAAATCCGGGTATGATCTGTCAAGCTTTTCGCTCTGGGAAAACCCCTGCCAACCTGTGTACCAAACGCCAAACCATGCAGAAAATGCCAATGTTGCTCAAGTCGTCGGGATACGATCCAGGCAACGGTTCTGTTCGTATATGTTGTAGAGGCCATGTTGACAACGGCCCCCAGTGCGTATGATATTAGGCACCGTTCGTCTTGGCCGAGTTGGACCCAGAGCCCTTGTTGCGAGCATGCAGAGTGCGATACATGTTGCTCAATCGCTTGCCAGTAACGCTCTTACTAGTGTCGTCCACTGGCCAAAGCGCTGCTAAAAAGTCCCTGTGGGAAATGTTAGCAAAATGCTGAGGCGTAAAGATACATCACAGTGCTTACCAAAAGTTGTTCTTGAGACCCTCGTCGGCAACCGTCGCTTGCAACCTTTCGTCGAGGAATGTGCCAATGACAACAAGCTCAACACCAAAGATGGACGCTCGCTCCTTGCTCGATTTGACGTTGTCCTTGGTCGTGGAAAGGATTCTCTCAAAGTTTTCTCGGACAGGTTTCAACAAGAACCAGATCATGGCGTCGTTGTTCTTAGCCCTCTGGTCCTTGTTGTCTCCGATCCGTCGAAGCTCGTCAAGGCGTCGAAGAGCCTTGGCTCTCCGCTCATCCTGCGGTCGCGACTCATGGTCCCGCTCGCGCTCTCGATCGCGTTCTCGGTCCCGCTCTCGGTCACGATCTCGCTCTCGGTCACGATCCCGCTCTCGGTCACGATCACGGTCACGATCACGGTCACGATCGCGTTCATCACGGTGCCTGTCCTGGCGACGATCATCGCGGGGGCGATGCTTCTCGTGTCGCCGGTCATCTTCGTCGCGGTGTCGACGCTTATCAGCTGCTCGCTCTCGGTCATCACCGTGCTTGCTAGACCGACGGCGGTCTTCCATGCGGCCATGTTTAGGACTGCGATTGTCTTCGTGAGACACATGCTTCCGCTTGAAGTCGGGTCGAGGGGTGCCTCGCTCTTCAGCATGGCTGCGAGAGCGATGATGGTCAACATGGCCATGCTCTCGATCCCTGTCGCGATGTTTCTTGCTCTGGGGAGCAGGGGATGCAGTCGCACTTCCACGGTGACCATTGGTGAGGTGAGACTTCTTGTTGTTACGATGGTGATTATCGACCAGTTTCTGCGCACCTCGATCGCCGGAATGCTTCGAGTGCAACACCGAAAGCAGGTATTCGGAGCGGCGAACAAGGTGAACAGCGCCAGGCGCCTTCATCTTGTCATTTCCCTTGCTCCTCTCTTCCTTCTTCTCGACACGATGCTCCTCCAGGAAGAACTTTTCGCACATGTCAAGGTCGGGATCATCACGAATCTGTACCCACGCACCAAAGCCGTGCCTGTCAATACCAACAAGGAGCATGGCGTCTTCCTTAGCACCCCATGGACAAGTGTAGTTGGCAGCTTTGGTAGCATCGGGAAGACGGAATGCGCGCCAGTCAGTATGACCCCGAATTGCCTGGTGGAGAAGTTGCAGCTGCTTTGGTCGCTCGATGGCAGTCTCGGCGTTCACCTTCTTCAACTCGCCAAAGTCAATCAGGACCGCCTTTCTGTCCTTCTTGGTCAACGATTTGCCCATCTTCTTCTCCTCTTCAACAAGCTTAGCATAGTTGTCGTCTAATGCTTGGTTGGCAGCTTTGATGAAATCACCGAGGACGGACTTGACGAAGTCACTGTCTCTCTCCCCCAGCTTCGCCTCCTTAATGATGTCTTCGGCACGATCATCCATAGAGCCGAACCGGAAGTAGGCTTTGATGAGGTTTCGCTGTTCCTTCTCACTCAAAGGCCGCTTTGGATCGCGAAGTTGGGCCCTATGCTCCTCTTCTTCTTGTTGCTGCTCTCTCTGACGCTTCTTCAGACGATCTGCCCTGTCAGTCTCTCGGTTTCGGCTCTTGACGGCAGCCCTTCGGGGAGCGCTTTCAGCCGCAACCTTGGCGAGATAGTCGTCGTTCTTCTGCTTTTCCTCCTCTGCCTTGATCTCGGCGATCTTGTCAGCTGGGATGATTTGATCCCAGTCGAGGTTGATGTCGTCCACCTTGACATCGGTGATTTGCATGAAGTTGTCCCAGTCGATACCACCACTGCTGAGGTTGATTTTGTCATCGACCTTGGTCTTGGTGATTTCGGCGTTCTCAAGAATCGAGTCGATGTCGAGTTGTTCAAGACGTTCTTGGTTTCCGCTTTGCTCAAACATCTTGGATGAGCGCATCTTCAACACCATTTGAATGTCTTCGTTTGAAGAGGGCCCATCAATCTTCAGGCCCTTCTTGTTGAGCTCTTCCTTGAACGCCGCCTTTCCATCATCAGTGACGCCGGCTTGGATAGTCAGGTACTCCAGTAGAAGCTTGTTGCGAGCTCGTTCTAGGACCTCTTCCTCAACCGTTTCCTTGGAAACCAGGCGATAAATGTTGACTGGTCGCTTCTGACCGATACGATGGGCTCTGGCCATAGCCTGCAAATCTGCCTGTGGGTTCCAGTCCGAATCGAAAATGACCACAGTGTCTGCAGTCATCAGATTGATGCCCAGGCCACCAGCTCGGGTGGAGAGCAGAAAGCAGAAGTCGTCGCTATCGTCAGCGTTGAAATGATTGATTGCCATGCGTCGAGGGCCGGCCGCAATGGTGCCGTCCAGTCTCTGAAATTTGTATCCTCGCAAGGAGAGATAGTCTCCGAGAATATCAAGCATCTTGACCATCTGACTGAAGATCAAAACACGATGACCGTCCTTCCTCAACTTTGAAAGAAGTTGATCGAGCAGCATCATCTTTCCACTGCTCGCGATCAGACCTTTTATTTGATCCTCGCGACGTACGCTACCTCCCAGGACCTTTTCCTCAGCACCAGGAAACATGTACGGATGGTTGCTGACTTTTTTCAATTCCATCATGATGTTGAGAAGGGAGTTCTTGTGTCCGTTGGTGGCGTCGCAGAGTGCACTGTAGTTTCGTGTGAGGATGTTCTTGTAATAATCCAGTTGGACATCCGAGAGCTCGACACGAATGATCTTTTCCGTCTTTGGAGGCAGATCAGACTCAACTGTCTCCTTTGTTCTTCTTAGGATGTATGGAGCGATTGCCTTATGGAGCTCTTGAAGCTTCTCTTGGGCATCGACGGCAGAAAGGGAGTCCAGATCTTCATCAATATTGACCTTGCCGGGGTTCAGGAAATCAAGCAGTGCTGACAACTCGGCCAAGTTATTCTGAATGGGTGTTCCTGTGATGAGAACCTTACATGGAATGCCAAAGTTCAGCAGGCGAGCGTACAGTTGGGATTCACTGTTCTTGAGACGGTGGGCTTCATCGACAGCAAGCGCTTGCCATTTAATCGACTGAAGGAACTGCCAGTCCTGAAGGATGAACTCGTACGAGGTGACCAGGACATTGAACTTTGGCTTCTTTGGGTTACCATCAACGAGCAATTCGTGTTCACGAATGATACTTCGAGCATCCTCGGGTCCCAGGTAGACGACGTAGTTCAGGTCTGGCGACCAGTTATTGAAGGTATCACACCATGCGGGGATGACACTGAGAGGAGCAACCACAAGCGAGGGACCCTCTTGGCGACGGCAGTTGCGTAACCAACTCAGGAATGAAACAGTCTGAACTGTCTTGCCCAGACCCATTTCATCGGCCAAGATCACATTATTTCCTCGAGCCCAGTTGAGGCAGAGGAAGTTGAGACCTCTCAACTGGAACTGTCGGAGCTCACCGTTCTGGATGTAGTCGGGTTGGGCCTCCAGCTTTACCATCCTTGACCTGGTTTCAGGGTTGGATTCTTTCCGGTCTGACTGCCATGAGCGGGAGGCTCGGTCGAGGTATTGATCGATCTTGTCCTGAAACTCAGCGCTAATGTCGGAGGCATCCTCCCACGTACACTCATCGTAACTGAGACCCTTCCACTTGACATAGTATTCGGGGCCCTCATCGCCATCTCTGACGGCAACCACTCTCTCAACCTTGGTAAAGTCCTCAAAGGCCTCTTCATCTCGCTCACGGTCGAGGAAGAATTGCTCCTTGGTCTCAGGAGGGATGTCATCTCCGAATCGGATATCAAGCTCCTGGTCCACGAGTTTTCGGAAGTAATTCTCGACTTTTCGGAAACCACGAACATTGCGGAGCAGATCGATGGACTCCCAAGTGTCATGCAAATGTGACTTGTCCTGCCATTTGATGAAGTACTCAAAGTCATTCCGACTAGAGTCATATGAAAGCTCCAATCCGGCTTTTAGTCGATGGCGGACTACTTTTTCCACGTATGGGGAGTCGTCCACGTAGTCGGCAACATAGTGGGCGGGGGCGAGTTCATCTTCATCCTCATCCTCTTCGAAATCGCTCTCCTCATAAGCACCTTGTTGTACCACTTGCGCCGCTCGACGGCTCGCCCACCGCTTTTCAGCGAAGGCGAGGGCCGGTTGCGACTCTCGTTGTAGTCGAGCTTTTTTCTGCAGACTTTTCGCCCGAGCTCCACCGTAGTTATCTGAGTCCGAGTCCGAGTCGTTCGTTGATGCTCGTAGGGTTGGTGTGCCTATCTTGGAAGCTAAGTGTCATACTGTCAGACGTGCTCCGAGAACTGAAGCTCTCAACCGAGATGCTAAGAGGTGTAAACTTACTGGGTCTGGAAGTCTCCACGCGTCGGCGTTTGGCGGTGCGACGGTTGGCAGGAGCCACGTCAGAATCAGAGTCATCGGAGTCGACCTACAACGCGGGTGTTAGTGTTCGGTTTTCAGACATAGGGCCGACGACCACATACGATTTTGCGTTGTTCCCTGGGTCGAGTCTGTAAAGGCCAGTTAGTCACCATAATAACCTGACGGTGAAAATTTTTCATGTCGTACACTTCGGCGAAGTCCATAAAGCTCTGGATTGGCTTTCATGTACTCGTCTTCGGCTACAGGTGCCTTGCGCTTGGAGGCTCTGTTTGAGTCGGTGGAGCTGGCACGCTCTTCCACCACATCTTCGATTTGTGAGGGGACACTCTCGTCCATGTCAAAGTCGGCATCATCTGACGCGTTATCCTCGCTGGATTGCTCGCTCTCGGACATGCGAACGTCATCATTAACGATGTTCGATGTGTCGTTCGCATCGTTCGATGGCGACGGGGATGTGTGGTTCAGGGGATGCTCGTCAGCTTCGGGAGAGTCATTATCGTCTAGGTGACCACCAGTATCGAAAGTCGAGTCGATTACATCATCTGGCGACAAGTGTCCATTCGAGGGACCCCCTAGGGTAGGGGTGGACATCATGGCGGTGTTCGCAAAGGCGGCCTGCTAGAGACGCGACGACGTTAGCTGATGATTTCAAGGCGTGGTAGTTCCGGTTGAGGCATTATTGGCATGAGACGAGTCCAGCGATCCAGGAAAACCTCGTGCATGGGCCGAGCATGCGACAGATGATGGAAATAATCCACTTGTCGCATCCGGCGCGAGTTGTCGATGGCGAGGCTGACGTCGAGCCGACACCGCAATTGTAGAGGCCAGGTGGCCACGACGAGAACTAGCGAGCTGCAGACGCGTCCAGGTTGTCGAGCAGCATCGGTTCCATCGAAAACATGCGTCAGACGCTATATATATAGGCATCGGAGGCCAGCATCGCGACCGAGGCGGCGGGAGTCGAGACGGGATCGGCAACAGGTGACAAGAAGGCGACCGGCGGGAAGCAGCAGCTAGGGAAGAAAGACGAGGGCAACTTACAAGTCATTAATGAATGACGTTCAGGCGACGGCCAGCATCTAGAATGGGTTGGAAGGTCGTCCGGGGCAGCTTGGCGGGATCGGAGGACGGACGGGGGTGGCCGTGGGTGAGGTGTGAAGGAGACGGCGGGAATGTCACAAAATGCACTGGTGGAGAGGCAGGAAAGAATTGGATGCACGGGGTGAAGGTCCGAGAGCACGGCCGCGTTTCCAGGCAGACCAAACCTGATTGGGCCATGCGAGAGAGTTCGTGTCACGTGACTGGTATATTGTTCGCCGCTGGGCTTCCAACAGACACAAATCGTGCTTGTATGGCAGTATCAATAGTATGTTTGATTTATCGAAAGCTTCGATGTCACTTCTCGCATTGCTTGCAGTAGAATGCAGCGTGTTGAGGTGATTTCCGAGTCTCCTTAACACATTTCCACTGTCCAGGCAGTGTCGTGTCTTGAGTCTTACCCTGCAGCCTCAGCCTCAGCATGCTCATCTTGAAAATCGTCACTGCAGCGAACAGGTCGGAGAAGTCCAAGTCGCAAGCGATGAAGCTGTCTAGACGGTCGTAGTTTTTTCATGTGGGGATCATATCCTATGGGACAGCCGTCATTGTGCAGGGTGACTGAGATGTACCTGGGCTGTCGACCTGTGCCGTGTAATAAATGACCAAATATGTTTCACACAGGTGACTTGGTTACTTCCAATATTCTTCCCCGCGGTACCCTATCTCCTATCTAGGTGGTCGGATGAAAAGCAAATGCCTGGACCAGCTATTGCCATTTCGACAGCACATGGGATCCAATCTTTATGAAGTAATTCCCAACCAGCTATCGAGCTGAAGCCGGACAGTAGAGTAAGCACTCTGATCTTACCAACCGACCCGTCCGTCGGCGTGTCAAGGTGCAAAACATCAGCCCCAAGTGATGACACGCAATCCCATCTGCTCCAGACTCACTTCAGTGGTGGCCATGGGCCCTGCATTTCCGCACGCTTCCCTATTTACGAGAAATAGGCTGATTGGTTTATACCAACCCAACTGCCACCTCCGAGAGGCGACTGATTTGCTTGGGCGAGAAATCGTGCTAAGAATTGACCATGGAGGGTCGGTCCGCAGCGGCGGAGTTAGAGCGGAGTCCTGGTTGGTGGGATCTAGCCTGGATGGTATGCACTCTGGTTGAGAACGCGTTACCCGCTGCGAATTAACTGGAACAAACAACCATCTAAATCAATACATACACAATGAATTGTGTGTGAACAATGGTTCCCCGCGATAGATGCAGAACCAACAAGCGATGAGTGTTGGCGATGTTACAGCTTCAGCCACAGCGGCTATCTCGCCCCCAGCCTCGTGCATTTCGTCACGTTTTCATCCCGCCCCCGCACATTTCTATACTGCATCATTCGCCTTTGTACCGCTTGCGGCAGCTCCCGCCCCTCCCCCTTCATCCAACCTCACAACTCCACACTTGTCGATTGCGCCAGACTTGTCGGCAGCTTAATCGCCATTATATTCATCATTGTATCCAAACCCTCCCTCATTTTGACCTCGGTACCTTCCTTCATCGTTGGCCATGTCCACTGCGCCTCATCGGAAATACCGTCGTCCACGGCAACCGCAGCAGGAGGAACCTGAGACTCCCAGGTCTGAAAGAAAACGCCCAAACAAGGGCCGTTACAGCGACGGCGTGTGGTGGTGTATGTCTCCTCTTTTAAACCCTTTAACCTCTTTAACCTCTTTATCCCTTTCAACCCGTTCTCATTTCTCTGTCTTGCATGTTTGCGCTTCATACATGTACTCGATTGTGCACAACTTGCCCATCTCACTACTAACTCACCTGGGCTAGGCAATTGTGAACCCCGTAAGGAGCTCACCCTTCTTGAAACAAAGAAGAATGGCCCCAACAAGGGCAAGTTCTTTTACAAGTGCTTCGACTGCAATCTCTTTCTGTGGTGGGATGCCGCCAAAGCCCGTGAAACCGGCCTCACACCCTCCAAGAACGCTGCTCAGCCGCCGCAGCCCAAGACACCGTCCTTGACCCAGCAGCCCTTGACGGCCTACGGCTATCAGCGTACGCCCGGAGGAGGACTTCAGGCCGACCCTAGCATTCCTGACGTCAGCGATTCCGACGAGGACTTGGCTCCGGACGACGCCGGAGCTCCGGAAGCCGCCGGTATGCAGACGCCATGCCCCCCTTCGTCCAAGAGGAAGCGGGATGCCTTCGAAGACGATGAGTTCAGTGACCTAGAGTCGGATGAGGAAAGGCAAATGGTCGAGATGGCCGATAAAAGCGCAGAAAAGCTGCAAGCTCAACAACGGGCATATGCCACTCCCTCCAACACACGCTCCACCGATATCATCGCCGGCCTCCCCACTCCGTCCGTCGCCCGCACTCTCTTCCCGGCACCGACCTCCGAGAGCAAGCGCCAGAAGCAGGTCACCTTTGAGGACGTCAGTCTCGTCTCACCAGCCACGGAAGCCACGCTGGGTCGAGACACTCCTGCAACTACGCCTGCCCGCTCTGTTGCACCACCCCCGAGCAGCCCTCCAAATGATGGATATGATGTGACGGATGAGGTCATGGCCCTGCTTCGTGACCAAAATGTCAGCCCCGACGTGCTCCGCTCCGTACGGAGCACCTTGGCCACCGCTGCCCGTCGGGCCAAGGGCATCGCCTTGGGACGTGACTCCGCGAGAGCTAGCCTCAAGACCCGCGACGACAAGATTGCCTCGATGCAGGAACGCATCGCGGCGCTGGAGAATCGAGAGAAGATGCACCGGAGCCAGGTGACCAACATCAAGGCCAATCTGATGAAGATGTATGAGGATAACTGAATCCAGAGTGAGACAGAGAGCTTGTTTGGATATGAATGGAGTCTGTGGGAATGTAATATTGATTAGAGATATGTGAACGGTGACGATAATGGACAACAATGGCTGGACCACGGTAATGATGAAACATGGAATAATAAATATAGATATACCCCTTTTAGCAGCTTTGAAGATGTCGATTGCGAACCGTTCCGTTCTCGCCGTGATCGCTCTGCTGTGATCGCTTTGCTGCTCGTCTACTTCAATTGTCCGCTGGTGGCATGACACCCAGCATTCAAAAGTTGACGAGACGGTCTATCACCATGCCAGGAACTAGAATTTGGTATAAACGTCTTTTGTTTTTTCTCAACTACAAGGCCGACAAATACATGTTGCTGCTGGGGCTTCCGTTTTGGCCCCAGGACTTCCAGCCTCTCTTTCCCCTTGACCTCATCAACCACGGATATATCGCACATCTTGCCACAAAAGAGCCGCTGCCAAGCGCATAATCATACCAAGTCCCAACAATCTATAAAACTCCCCCGTCGTCCAGACCTACGCTTAGTATACACGCTTGAAGGGCGGCACGGGCTTGCACTCGTTCTCGTCCAAGGTGGTGGAGATGACCTTGCGGTACTTGAGCTCGACAGGGCCGTGGGGATCTCGCTGGAAGGAAAGGGTGTGCTTCATCCAGTTCTCGTCATCTCGGTCGGGGAAATCCTCGCGGGCGTGGGCACCACGAGACTCCTTTCGGTTGGCGGCGGAGGTGGCGGTTTGGATACTGATGATTGTGTTAGTTTCAATTGCAAAATCAAAGAGTTGTACAAAAATAGAGAAACTTACGCGCAAGTCAGGAGGTTGCGGAGCTCCAGGGTCTCAACGAGGTCGGAGTTCCAGATCATGCTGCGGTCCTTCATGCCGACCTGGCTGTACATCTGGTCGATCTCCGTCATCTTGCGGACACCCTCGTCCAAGCTCTCCTGGGTTCGGAACACGCTGACCTCGGTCTGCATGGCCTTCTGCATGGCCAGGCGAATCTCAGCAGTGCTCTTGGGGCCGTCGGCGGTTCGAACCTTGTCGAGGACCTCGATGTGGTCGGCAGCGGCGTCGGCAGCGGTGGGCTTCAGCTTCTCGCCAGGGGTGAAGTTGTCACGGATGGTGTGCGAGACGGCACGACCGAAGACAACAAGATCCAGCAGAGAGTTGGCACCCAGACGGTTAGCACCGTGGACAGACACGCAAGCAGCCTCACCGCAAGCGTACAGGCCAGGGACAACGTGGTCGTTGCCGGCATCGTCGACAGTGAGGACTTCACCGGTGTATCGGGTAGGGATACCGCCCATGTTGTAGTGGACGGTGGGCAGGACGGGGATGGGCTGCTTGCGGACATCGACACCAGCGAAAATACCGGCAGTCTCAGAGATACCGGGAAGACGCTCAGCGAGGATCTCGGCGGGAAGATGGCTCAGCTGGAGGTAGATGTGATCCTTCTCAGGACCGACACCACGGCCGTCACGGATCTCCATGGTCATGGATCGGGAGACGACGTCACGAGAGGCAAGATCCTTGGCGGTGGGGGCGTAACGCTCCATGAAGCGCTCACCCTCGGAGTTCAGGAGGTAACCACCCTCACCACGAGCACCCTCGGTGATCAGGCAGCCAGAGCCGTAGATACCACTGGGGTGGAACTGAACGAACTCGAGATCCTGGTTGGGGAGACCGGCACGGGCGACCATGGCCATACCGTCACCGGTACAGGTGTGGGCGGAGGTGCAGCTGAAGTAGGCTCGTCCGTAACCGCCGGTGGCCAGGACGGTGTGGTTGGCCAGGAATCGGTGCAGAGTGCCGTCCTCCTGGTTGTAGGCGAGGACACCGCGGCACTCGCCATCCTGCATGATCAGCTCGAGGGCGAAGTACTCGATGAAGTAGTTGGTGTTGTGGCGGAGAGACTGGCCGTAGAGAGTGTGGAGAAGGGCGTGACCAGTTCGGTCGGCGGCAGCGCAGCATCGGTAGGCCTGGCCTCCCTTGCCGAACTTTTGCGACTGACCACCGAAAGCTCGCTGGTAACTGTAGGACGAAACTAATTAGCAACTGGATTTCGGAGATGCGTTTCCGAGGGCCATTAACTCACATCTTGCCGTCCTCGGTTCGGGAGAAGGGGCAGCCGTAGTTCTCAAGCTCGACAATGGAAGCAGGAGCCTCACGGGTCATGTAGTGGATGGCGTCCTGGTCACCCAGCCAGTCGGAACCCTTGACGGTGTCATACATGTGCCATCGCCAATCATCCTCGTGCATGTTGCCGAGGGCGGCGTTGATGCCGCCCTGGGCAGCCACGGTGTGGCTTCGAGTCGGGAACAGCTTGGAAATGCAGGCAGTGTTGAAGCCAGCCTCAGCAAGACCGAAGGCAGCTCGAAGACCGGAGCCACCGGCTCCAACAACGAGGGCATCGTACTCGTGGTCCTGTAGAAGAGAGGGTCAATTGGGTGTGTTCTTCAGCCGCATGCTGGGTCGAATGGGGGAGGGCAGGAGTCGACATACGATAACGGCGTACTTGGTGCTCACGAAGGGCGAGGCCTCCTTGGCCCGCAGAGGACCGTTCGCGATGACGCGGGCTGGAAGACGGAGAGGGTCAGCATTGACGGCAATTGCGGCGCACAGGACAGGGAGACGGGCTTACCGGCGGCTCTGGTGGTAGAGAAAGTCCTGGCAGAAGTCCTGGCAGAGAGTCTTGAGGCCTGGGAGAACTGGTGATCAAGGGTCAGCACGGAACGGGCACAAAAGCCATGAAGCTGGTGGTGATCGGGGAAGGGCGGCGACCGGGCCGGTTCGTGAGTGGCGCACGAGAGGGAACGCAGGGAGAGCACGTACTGAAGGGCCAGCGGCGAACCGCCTCAATGCCATAGAAGAAGCCATCATCAACTCGAGTCAGTATCGCCAAGCTGCATCCGAGGTAGAATCGAAGGGGGCACGACGACTCGACTTGGGAGGAACTTGGGTTGGGTTTGGGGGGGGAGAGAGTGTTTGGTTCGCCTGGCCAATGGACGAATTTGTGACGATTTTTGGGCGCATGCACTGCGAGGCTCTGGCCGGGACGGATTTCTTCGGCTCCTCGGTTGATCCGGCCAATCACCTTGCGCTTATTAGTAGTTCGGAGACCTTAGAGACCCTCACACTGGCTCACACTGGCTCCCACTAATAACTCCCACAGGCTGCCATAGGCTCCCCATAGCTTCCCACAGGGCCACTGGAGCACTGGAACGCTGCGACCCGGGACATTGAATGCCGGCCGAGGTGCGTCTTTCTTTTTCCTCTGCCTCTCGCTCTGCTCTGGCCGGCCATGGCAAATCCAACAAGAGTCGCCGCCAGCCTCTCTAGTCTCGAATATCGCTCTATTCCCTTTCCATATCCGATATCCGCGCTCCTCACATCCAAGTCTATTCCCCTTGCCGGGTCTTTTCGCCTCGGGACAAACCTCAATCCATGACGGCGAGACTTTCCCAAGCTCCATCACGTGCCGAACCGGAACGCCTTTCATCCACCGGCTCCACTCCCCGCAATTCGCACATCCCCTCCGCCCGTCCCCAGGTCGCTCTCGCCTCAGTTTCCGCCGCCCTCTTTCCGATAATTACACACTCCTCCGCGCTGCGTTCTCGGTGCTAGGCTTTTTTTCGTCGGGTCCACACGGACACAAAGCCGAGTTCCAAGGGAAACCACCTCCGGCGTGGCCTGATTAAACCTGGAATACTACCTAACTTATGTACGTACTAATATGTAAGTAATAATACCAATTGCTCGTACGGAGGGCCATTTCAAAAGTCTTATCTATAAGAAGTAAGTCCTAATTATTAGGTTAGATAATAAGTATACTAAGTACTTTCTAATTTCTATAGGCCCTAAAAGATAGTAGGCTATAGTATATAGCAACTGCTATATCCTAATTAGCAGTATACTACTCCTGAAGTTATAGCAGCTGTTTAACGAGACTGTGATAGCTTTATATATCTTAGGTAACCGATAGGGATAAATAGATATAATATTACTAGCGTTTGGATAAGACTTTTGAAAGAGCCCTCCGTATACAATTAAAGATGTCGAGAATTTGCAGCCATGTTAAATGCTTTTTGCTCCTCACCACCACACCACATCACATCACACTACACCACATACGTACAGCACAATGACCATCCTTGCCGTTGTTGGAGAGCAATAATAATTATAAAAGCGCACCCGGCATCTCTGCCTCTCGACCTCTATAGTAGTAATACTACCCATGTGTATGTAAACGTTGCCTCCTGTCCATCGCCTGTACAGAAACAGGAGCAACCAGCCTCGCAACCAAGGATATCATTTCCCCTCTTGCCCCTAATCAGCCAGCACGTCCCGCAACATGACCAAGAAATTGTCCTTCAGCTTATGCACCTCGCTGATCTCAGGCTTCGCTGGCTCTCCGGCACTTCGCCGTAGTCGATCCTGCCTCTTCTCTCTCCGCCTCCTCTCCGCCTCAATCGGGTCCAATTCATCCTCTTCTTCCGCCTCTCGCTCAGACTCTGATCCATCATCATATGCCATGTCTTCCAGGTCCTCCTCATCTAGTCCAAAGTCGCCCGACTTGAAGGTCAGACCCGTTGGTACCAGGTCACTTCCCGCGTGTCCCTCGGCAGCCATCTTCTGTCGCGTCTTGTCGTTGTGCCACTTCTTTCGCGCCTCCTGCCATGCGATAAGAGAATTAATCTCTGCGATTGCCTTCTCCTTGTTAATCGATCCCGAACTGGCGCCGCCCTCGAATAGCGCGTTGACATTAAGCGTTCCGTTCTTGGGACCCTTTCGCAGAAACTCCAAGATACCCTCGGTCCATCCCATGAGTTGAGTAAAAAGACCGTTGTCGTGCGTGTGCACCTCGTGTACAAACTTGTAAAAGTTGTGCTCGTGTCGTTGACACAAATCAATGAATGCCTGCACCGTTTGGTTGGGATCTGCCGAGGCATCTTGTTCCCTACACTTGTCGACAACCTAAAGAACTCCATTAGTCACTTGAATCTTTGTCATGGCGTGATACACAACATACCTGGATCATATCATCCATAAACACTGCAAAGTCGGTGACACTGTTGTAGACGTTTGCCGACTTGTAAACTCGCACAAGCGGCTCATAGAAGATGGTGAACAGATCCCGGAAGAGCTGTAGCGTAACGGGCTCCTCGATCAACTCAAGCATCATCTGCTTGTCACGCTGACGGGTACATAGCTTCAGGAGTTGCTTCAGGTACGAAAACAACTGAGCCCCCTGTCGCAGCTCTTCGTCAACGTTCTCCACTGCGTTGTTGAAGGCGACGTAGGCATTGAACAGCCTCTGGATTTGCTCCCCGGTGAGCTCGCCTTCGATCAAGTCCGACCTCAGGATCACCACAATCAAATCCACATTCTCAGCCTCCGCCTCCTCACGAAGCCCGATCTTGATGTACTCCTCAGCCTTCGTGTACTTTTGCAGCTTATCGGTAAAGACTGGGTCTGCAATCTTGGCGCTCAGGGCTTCAATCGATCGTTGGAAACTCTTGATGCCGTCGTTGAGGGTGAGAGAGAAGATGCGCTGCATGAGAGATCGAGTTCCAAAAGGCTGAGCGAGGAAGATGTCAAGGACACCAGACATGACAGCTGCAGGATTGGCGATTCGAATCACGTTCTTGATTACCGTGTAAGGGATGAGAGAGTGGATGCGCCGTGCCTGGGCGAAGAGTTCGGGGGAGTTGTCCTCGGCGAGGAAGAGATGATAGATGACGGCGGCAATCTCAATTCGAAGCCATTCGGCAAATTTCCGATACTGGATGCTGAGGTCCGGGATTGTCTCCTTCTCCTTGATCTCCTGGAACAGCTTGGTGAGTCCATTGCTCTCGACAATATCTCGCCGGAACCTAAACATGTCAGTTAATCCCATCAAGGACCAAAAAATGGGTGTACTCACTGCTCCATGTACTCGTCAAGCTCGGCGGCTCGTCTCCTGGCAATCTCATAGAATTGCTTCTGTTCTTCCATCCGCTTCTCGTCGATCATCTTTCTTCGAATAATGTCCTCCACATCTTCATCAGTTGGAGTGATAGGGTTGCCACTTAGAAACTCTTGCACGGCCACCGTGTTGGCAACCTGTGAGTTGTGCAGAAGGGAGCGCAGGAAGGCCCGAAGGGAAATTCGCTGGTTTTCACGCCAGAGAACGATGGCCTGGGTACTAGTTAGCAGGTTACAGCAGAGAGTCTGGTCCACACATACCTCCGGCTTGTCTGGCGTTGATGCCCCCATCGGGCTTAATCTATCTTCGGAGGCCCGAGGGGACGCGAGACCCTTTGGTGACGCGAGACCCCTTGACCGCACAGAGGCAGAAGAGCCAGCTCTGCGATGACCTTGACTCATGTTAGCATGCACTGCGCTGAAATAGTGAAACCAGGAACCATACCTCCGGGACTCAACATAGAGGATGACCCGTCAACTCCAAGCGCTCGGCTTGTGAATCGAGTCGAGACTGATGAGATGGATGATGCATCCGAGTCGTTTCCATTGCTAAACGAGGGGATGAATGTTGTCGTCGTGTTGCTCTTGTTCTTCTTGGGGATTTCTGGCAAAATCCGTCCCGGCAGTTCGGTTCGCAACCTCTTGAGAAGCCGGGCAAAGTCGCTGTATCTCCGGCCAACAAAGTACTCGAGCTCTCCTCTCTTCTTCACACGCAGGAGGAACTCTGCATGCTTGTGGTGCCTGATGGTATGCTTGATGTTGGTGACACGAACACCAGCAACATTGACGTCCCACCCATTGATGTAGTTACCCTCGGGCAGGGTGTGCATTACTCCGGTCTCGATGGCATTGCTGTCGACGATTTCAATCTCCGAGAACCTGATGCGCTCCTCGAAGCCGGAAGAAGTTCCAATTCCGGAGACCATCATAAGCTCGACAAGCTTCTTGGCCTTGATTGCCAACTTGCGACGCTTCGTCTCCTCGAGGCGGTCCTCGGAGGACGAGATTTGCTTCCCCGCAAACGACTCCAAGAACTGCAGTTTTGCTGGTCAACACGGTAACACACGAAGAGCACAGAGGGATCCACCACTCACCACCTGAAGCTTATCCTGCCAGAACTCCTTCTCGCGCGCCTTGTCCAGGAAGGGAAAGTCGCGGACATGATGAACGAAAATGTATCGCAGGAGAGGCAGTTCTGACTCTTGCGGAGAGACCTCGCCATGGTCGGATCGGAAGGGCGCGCCAAATCGCTGGAGAGCGGTGGTGGAGTTGAGCTCGCTGATCTCCCACTTGACCTGCTCGGAGATGAGCTCTCTCTTGAGATCTGGAGTCGCCCAACCATCAGCGTCCATCGTACCAATCCGGGGGTTTGAGGCGACACGACTTACAGTGCTCTTGCTTGCCGGTGAGGGTCTGGCCCGGCGGCGGCACAGTGTCTTCCTTTTTGGCGGTGCGGATAGGTAGATCGACGGTGGAAGCTGGGACAGCGGCGCCGGCGTCCGCGGGCTTTTCTCCCGAATCAGCAGCCATAGTTTGCGAGAAGGAGGATCTCGCTCGGGGTGTCAGGGCGAGGAGGACGAGGGGGATCGAGGGTATCGGCCAGGCGAGAGCTGGATATCGACCGGAGCGTCAATCTCTTTGTTGGGGGTTGTTAAAGATGTATCCCCAGCCACGGCTCGACGACTCGAAGGTCTGCGTTGGGGGTCGTTGGTCGCAGCGTTGGTGCTGAGTCGACTTGGCGGGGCAGCGCTTCAGTGGAGGAGGGGGCGTCTCCTAGCGCTGTTCTACAGTTCGCCAGGCCGTAAAGGTTCCGTCAGCAACTACGTCAGGCCGACAGAAGCTCCACACAAGCACGCAGGATCTCAGCAGCCACTCTGCACCTCGTCGTAAAAGGCCGTCGGTCGCAAAGCGCGCAGGTCGCTGGAATCTCGGGATACGGCAATTTCGTCTACGGCGTTTGGCGTCTGGCTGGCTGCCCTCTGCGCTCCGTCTTATGTAGTCATGAGTCCGTCTGAGCGCTGGCGCGTGGAGAGCGCTAAAGTGAGGGGCATGACGTGTGCTGCCAAGTCCCAAGCCACCCGCCCAGACTCCCACAGCCCTGTTTGCTCGGGATCACATTGCCGTAGGGCGGCATGGCGAAATGCAGATTTGAGATTTGGGATGCATTCCAAGATTTCTTCGCCGCAGTATCCCGTCGTCATTTTCGCATTTTCCGCATCGTCGCCTCCTTCTCCCGCGCTCCCGCGCGTGTCATGCCACCCGGCGCAAGCAACGCAAGCAACGCAAGCGACGGAAGCGACGGCACTGACATGGCTAATTCGAAATGCCTTCGGATATGAGTTGGCTGTCAGCCTCGATGGCATCCACTTGTTCAGCTTGGTGGGAGTGGCGGTTACCAACCCTGTAGACAGGGTTCCAATCATACAAGTCGCGAGTGTGCCTTCGCATTGATCCCCACGCATCTTCAGACTGGCACCATTGTTGCACACGCAAGTGCGCCTTGGCAGCGTCGACAGGACGATAGCGCACCGTTGGCGAAGTAATCCAGACGCCGCGAAGCAAAAGGTCCGACTGTTCTTTCCGCGTATCGATACCCAGGATACGGAGTCGCAAGGGTCTGCATTAAGGGGAAATATGGCCGTGGTGGAGGACGCCAAAAACTCACTCGCCTACCCGCTGTGTAAGTCCACAACGTCGGGCGTCCATATTTGGCTCGAAACAGTGGACTATATTACAAAACACGCCACGTCCTAAGCCGCTACCCAGAAACTCTCCTCAAATGCGTAACGAGGGACCATACTTAAGTTAGACATTTGTAGATCTAGATTTGGGTATCCCTTGCGAGGGCTGATGTAAGGTTGTGGTGGAAACTCGTATCTGCCAGCTCATCCCTTGGCTGTCTTGAACCAGAGCCTATCAACCCTCTAGTGTAAGAAACCTGAAGCATAGGTTCGACCATCTCTCGCAATGCGCTGTTACATTCGGCTCCAGTATTAAAATGTGACTGCAAGTGGCCGTCCGCACAAGTTAGAGTCAGGACCCAGAAGCCTCGTGGGCCTCGACACAAGACATGTCCGCATGCCGCCACACCCTCCACAAACTAAGGCGTCCTGACAGTTCCCAACCCTCTGGACCGGGTCAACGGCGTGTTCCGGTCTCCCATACCTAAATGAACAATGAGATCTTGGCTAGCATATTCGTTGTCTGGACGACGGCTTGTGTGATCGTCGTCAAACTCGGACTGCTAGCGCACAATTCTGGCTGCCGCGTCGATTTGTCCAATATAAAGCAAAAGCAACCAAATGTCCAGCAAACTAGCAGCCACGCTACTCCACAACATCAGTATCTAGGCCGAGCCCATCCCCACAGCATCGGGATTTCCCACATTTGCGTTTAATTTCACTCGGCATTCATCCATAGTATGGAGTACGGAGGGCCCTTTTAAAAGTCTTATCTATAAGAAGTAAGTCCTAATTATTAGATTAGATAATAAATATACTAAATACTTTCTGATTTCTATAGGCTCTAAAAGATAGTAAATTACAGTATATAGCAACTGCTATATCCTGATTAAGTTATAGCAGCTATTTAACGAGACTATAACAGCTTTATATATCTCAGGTAACCGACAGGGATAAATAGATATAATATTACTAGCGCTTGGACAAGACTTTTAAAAGAGCCCTCCGTACCTGCCGGCAGATTACCGCTGGGCTGGCACGGGGGCTCAGACGCTGTGGCTTGTGCGAAACACGTAACACACGGTTCCCCAAGGGAAAGTACGAAGTATCAGCCTTGTACGTACGCCGGAAAACCCAAATATACAGCCGTCTCCTGTCATCCCGCACCAATTGGGCTTTCTAGCTACGTAACCGACGCCGGAGAAGACCGCGTACGGGATGTCAGAGCCGCGGCTCGGTGTCACGGGCATGGGCCCCACGTTGGTCGGTCGGGCGCGCCGACGGTGGTAGCGGCTCGGCGAGCATGTTGTATGGAGACATTGCGTAAGGCGGCAAAATAGTAAGGGCCTTTGTTGTTTGCCTTGAAAGCCCATATCTTGGCTGGGCGGACGGGAAAGTCCCGTTTCTTAGGTAATTGGCGACTTGATTTATTTGGGTATGGATGCCTTTTGGGTATCATCGACTATGTCATCCAATTTGGACGAGAGCACCAGCGTAACATGCGGCAAATGGGGAAAAGATATCATAGCTCATCGAAGACCCGCAGCCTCTCGCCCCCATCGACAGGCCTCTTCCGTAGATAGGTTCCGTCGGCATCCTCATGTCTCTCAACCGGAACCTCCGTATGACCTGCTTCCTTGCGAGACTCGATGATAGACTCGGCCATGCGTGTTTCCGTTTGCATAAAAGCTGTGCTCGGGGGAGCATATTGGACACCAAAGACGTAGATGAGTATCATGGCCAAGGTCACAACAGACATGCAGATCGTGATGGCCTTGAGCCGCCGGCGGGTCTTTTCCTGCGACACCTTGTCGAGTCGTTCCCAACCCTCGACGCGCTGGCGGACAACCTCGACACGGTCACTTAGCGACCGGATTTTTGCCCGGCCGTCCTGGATCCGGGTCTGGAGGGACTCGATGCTTGCTTCCTGCTCTTCAAACTGCCCCATCGAGGCGATCTGCAATGTGATATCGCACTCAATCTCCTTTGAGTCCTTGTCAAAGTCGTTGTGGATGTTGCGTGATGTCTCAGCCATGTCCTTCAGGGCGGCAACGGTGTGTTGTAGGGAGCTCATCTTCTCCAAGACGGCGTAGTAGGTATCATCCAGTCGGCGGGACGCAGTTGTCGAAAAGGTGCTGAGGTCTAGCAGGGAGTTCTTCAGGCCTCTGAGAACATGAGACGATTAGCAAGGCTTGATCCTGCGGTGATGGAACAAGTCGGGGAACGGCTTACTCGACCTGAGAGGACGTCTTCTCTCGCTCTTCCCGAAGCCTCTCCTCCTTGTTGACCTTGGGTTCCGGCGGCGGCGGCAAGGGGTTCGACGTCCGGTTCTCCTCCTCTCGTTGCAGCATGATGCTGGGTCGACGGCTCTGGTCGGGGCTGATGATGGGCGTTACGCCCTCGGAGCGAGGCATGTCGACAGATGTTCGGCTCCAGAGTAACGGGTTTGCGGATACGGCGTGCGGGGGCCTGTCGTCATTGTGGCGGTCTCGGTCCTTGCGCTGCTGGCGGGAGAGCTTCACGGGCGACGCGAGCTCGGTGATGGAGCGCTTGAGCTGGTGGCGGTTGCCTGACTTGGACCGCCGAACCTCGTCGATCGAGTGCCGTGGGCTGAATGCCATGGTCAGTGGCCTGAGATGGTCCGTTGTGCGATGGTCCCGATTCGTCGATGAGCAACCCCATGCGCTGCAGCTGCGCTGGCCTTGGAACCTGGTGGTTGGTTGTTGGTGCTTGCTCGTCCCTGTATTCACAGGCTGTGTGACGCAAGGGGGCAGCTCAGCGTGTTGCATCAGCCGAGTCACCGAATGGCCGAGCCCGGGAGAGTGGGGCACTCGCGCGACTGACCCAGCCGGGTTCACATGTCACAGCCGGGCCGTCTCTTGGATTCTCGGGACAATTCTACTACATAGACGTCGAGCAAGTTCGGATACTGGTTATAACGTCCGACGGTCGGGAATACATCGTACGTGAGTCGCGAGGTTACAGGGCTTCAGAGAGACTCGGGAATTACCCCACGCGTATTCGCTATTAAACTGGGGGCACTCATCTAGATCCTCCTCGACCATCTATCAACTTTCGCTTTCGCTTTCGACTTTCACTTTCCAGCGCCGTAACGTCCATCAAACGCCTTTGACTCAAAACAATCAGACTTGACCAACTTCGAGCCCACCGATAGTTGATCCGTCCGGAAAAATCACAGTGTGAGGCTGTCACTCTGTCTTGAATGACCATCGTCACCTGCCCGTTGACATTCAGCTCCTGTCTCGACTCGTCTCGGCGCCGCGCATGTGCCCTGGTCGCCAGACCACCCGCCCGCATGAGGTGAGGTGTTGCCGCATCATATCTCGTAACGTTGTCGAAATTCCTGGTTGGTTTGGCAGACTGAAGCAGATCAGGAGTTGATCAGCTTGTTGCGCTTCTCCTTGCGCTTCAGGCGTTCAACCCGCTTCTTGTGCATCGTCTCCGCCATCTTCTCATATCTCTCTCTCTCCTCCTTTCTCGCTCGCTTGTCCTTCAGGGCCTGGATCCTTTGCTGTCATGGTGGTTAGGAGACTGTGGGATCATGGCCCAAGTGGTGTCCCGTGCTTACCTTTCGCGCCTCCTCCTTCTCCTCCTTCATCTCTTTCTCCTTAGCCTTCATCTGCGCAATTAGGGCGCGCTCCTGGGTCCTCTTCTCATAGGACTTGAGTCCAGCAGTCGGCCGGAATGCCTTCTTCGGCATGTGCCATTGCTTGCCTGAATGCGCACGGTTAGTTCGGACAAGAATTCTTGAGCTTTGGGAGAGTCGGTACCGTTCTTGCGCATGCCCAGAGGCTTCGCAACTTGCGGCGCAGTGGTCGGGGCGGTGCTTGCTTCGGCGGACATTGTTGGTTCTGTAATGGCCGCTTAGATTCCAAGGTGTAGTTCCAAGACGGTTCAATGAGCTGCCCGCCACCCGATTTCGATATCCAAATTTTCTGCCGTTTGAAAAGTTACAGCGGGGATTCCTCCAAGGCGGTGTAGCAATCGCGACTGTGGCTAAGATCCTCGCACCCCACACAAAGTGTGGCTGCAATTCAGGGTCCTCACCCCACACAAGTTGGCGAAAGAGGTTGCCGATCAGGGGGCTTGTCAAGTCGCGTAACGCTTCGTTTCACGATGTTGAACTTCGCCGTTCGCATGCAGAGGCAATTCGAGGTGAAGATATTTGCCCTATTGGTCTCCATTCTGGTATATTATGAATGTCCATCTTAGCATGAGCGGCACCATGGGATGAACACCTACCTCCAATGCATGACTTCCCGTGAAGGCAGGGCCAAAGATTGGCACAAAGGGATCAAGGGATTTAGAGCCTCATACCCGGGGAATTGTTTGTTATTGGATAGGACGACCAAATTCAGCTCTGTCCTGCCAGCCAAGGCCGGACGGCCTCCCACGCTCCCAGGACTTCGGGTGTCTTTTTAAGAATGCTAGTTAATGACGTCTGTCCCAGGGGTATTGCCTCGTATTACCAACGCGCGTACCGGCGTCAAGGAACGCGACCGTAACGTATGAATTACGATGTGCGTACTGACGTATCTAGCTCCGTACAGTACGGCCTCCGCGCGCATGCTGTGGTTATTACGGGAAACATGGCCAGAGAAGCAAAAAGACAGACCGGGGTTGGTGGAGCCGCCGCCCCTGCAGAAGATTCGCCCATCCTGGGCAGGTAGGTACTTGGCATCGTATTGATCAAATTCAGTGCCCCTGAGCATATTTTGGCCATCAGGGATCAATGGAGAATCTCGGTTTGGACCAAGTGACCATTGACTTCAACCACCATGATCCTTCCACGATATTTTAGGCTCCGGTATCCGAACTGTACTCCCCGGGCGGCGAACAAGAACTGTATTGAGTGTTATGAATTAGTTGTAATTAGCTGGGCAAATTGGCTTATCACAGGGCGATATAAATAAATGCATCCCGAGAAGTCGGCGGCACTTATGAGTGGCTCATGTGCGGCGAAATTGGCTATGCCATGCAAGAAGCACATGTAAGGATAGCGCCGGTTTGGAGATGCATCTGCAAGAGGCAATTCGCGGAGGCTAAAGAAAGTGACAAGCTGGCGGGCTCTTGAAGAGGCCCGATGTGAGATTTCAGCCCTTTCATCATAATAATTCGGACATGATGAAATTACCCTGCTCACGGTGGAGTCAAGCGAGACAACGAACTGGGGCCCGCAATGAGGGAGGATCCCTGAAGAGGCTTGGCAGGTGGAGATGGCCCATGGAAGCCAGGGACAATGCCCCATCACGAGCACGAGAGCGAGGACGAGCACGAGGATTGTTGTGCAGTTGGACGCTAATGAAGACCCTAATTGTCACGACAACGTCTGTCAGGGCGCCCATCAAATGGCTGTTGAGTGTGGTACCTGGCCTGTCTAGCAGGCTCAACGGTCAGGATGCATCTCCTTCAAACTGAATTGGGACAATGCCGACGCGCCAAGAGGCCAGCAGCCGTCTGTACCACCATTCGCGGCTGTTTTCGGGCGTCAGATCTGATCATCCACTGCTGTCAACCGACCCCAGACACGGTGAGACCAACGACCAAAAGCCCGACGGGCCCAGTGAAGCATCCGCGCAGTGGGCAGCGGGCGGGAGAGGCGCTGCGACCCCGTCACCGTCCCATTGTCGCTGGTGACTCGGTGTCGGCACACTAGTAGCGCAGCTTTTGAATGAAACATGCCATTTTGGATGAGAGATCTGTCAACCGGGGCTGCGAGACGGGCGTTGAGGCGCCAATCATGTCTAGGAAACCGTTAGCCATGCCTGAGAGTGTCCATCCGCTTCCCAACCCGGAACAGATTGGTCTGCAGGCCCAGATTAAGAAAACCAAGCCGCGATTGCACCCGTCATCGGCTGCATCATCGTCAATTCCCCCTACAGGGGCAGCGGGGGAACGACCAGGAACGGCACCAGGGTCCCAGTTCAGTCGAGGCGCCAAAGAGGACAGTGACATGGAAGTATGCAGATACCGCGTCTATAACACTAGACGGAATAGGTGCGGATAGATAGCAGGCACCATTGACGAACTAATGGTATTATTTTGGGAGCCGAGGCGCATGAGCCGATTTGGTTCACTCGATGGCTTGCCGGACGGAGCTGGAGCTAGGGAGGCGTTATTCTCGGTACGGTACGTAATGCGGAAGGCCTCTGTTCGGGCTGTCAGGCGGCCGGTCGTGTTCTCAGCGTGGCCCTCGTAATCTCTCAGGTGGCCGTATGAACACGTTGAGCTGGACCGTCGGATGTGGGACGCAAAACCGAGGCCAGCTCATCCCAGACAGATCTGGTGGATCGAAGCAAGGAGGAAGAAGCAAGGAGGAAAAAGCACTTTGCGGAATCCAGAGTTATCGTGGCCGCCCTGGTTGACTCTTGTGGCGCATTGTGGTCTGCAATGGGACAGGGTGCCCGAGTCAATCGCGCAAGCCAATGTCTCGCGGTGTGTGTGTGTCGAGCCGAAGGGGTGGTGGGCTGGTGGACTAGTGGGCTTGTGGGCTGCCTGGAAGTCCCGGCCCTAGATCAAGCAAGCTGATGCGACCGTGACGACTAGCTCCAGCAAATAGAATCGCCGAGTGATGTGATAGATGGCCTCGGGACTGGACTGGGCTGGACAATGGTATACTTTCCACAATAGCGTGCACAACGGGTTCCCCGTAACGTTAATGACGGCTGACGGAGAGTTACTTTTCATTGGATCTGCGATTGCATCTCCGAGTCATGATGTTGGGGTTGCAGGCGAGTGGCCAAGACCGAGCATGCAATGATTGCTTCTGTCGCTGAGCGAGGGCGAGGGTGAATGCCGGTGTATGACTGGTGGACGGCCGCGTGAAGTTGGCATTGCTGCAACGGTCCCTATGCACGCACAATGTACAGTAGTTCACTGTACTGGGCAGCTTGGCGTACGCATCTGCGAGCCTAGAACAAAGAATAACGGTGCATGGATGCACCAACATGCGTGTATAAGGCAACTGAGTCGCAGCAACCGTGAAGCACGACATCGTGCCGCCCGCCGCCCGCCGCATCCGTGGCTCTCCACTGTCTCATTCGCCTCCCCCGCTGACCGACCGCATCTTCACAAAGCCAAACGGAGTCGTTGCCCCGGTGGCGGCGCTGAATTGACGACTTGGCGGGCTCGCTTGCAGGCTTGCTCGTTCGTCCGTCCGCCGGTGCATGCATGCACAAGTGCCTCTCAGGTGCAGGTACACGGCCGCTGAGGGCGACAAGGGCCAGGGTGCAGGCGGGTGCAGGCTTGGTGAGCGGCCCAAAAGAAACAGCGGGCAAATCGCAACGCCCGAGGGGCAGCCAGTGCTCGGGGAGACGCAGGCTAAGGGGGCAGGGGGTGCGCCCAGGTGCTGGGCCCAACACAGTGTGTACGCGGCGAGGGTGGGAAGTTGTTGGATCGATCCATCCATCTGGTTGTTGTGGTGGTTGTGGCTTTCGCGGTTGTTGTGAGCATATTTGTGCGTGTACAAGGTAGGTTTGTACGAGCCTGGGAGGATCCAGAGGTCGACTAAGAGGCCTGGGATGGCCGCCGGCGCCAGCGGCCAGGGCGTCCATGGCGGCCACCATCAACCACCGACAGGGCACCACGGATCGTCCGTCCCTACCAAGGACGGATGGGATGGTGGGGGAGCGCTTGATCGCTACAGGTATTCCTCTAATGGATGGATCCTCGTCACTTGCGTCAGGCAACAGGCCGACGGGAATGTGCGGTGGCCAGCTTCGACCAGTGTTGGACTTTCGCGAACAACCTTGCGCTGCTCCATACAGTACTGGCAAAAGCCTTTATTACCTAGACAGTGGCCCAATCAATCGAAGCAACCACTCAAGAAATTAATCAATCGATCGATGACAGTGGGGATGTAGGAAGGGGGATTCTATATAGGGTGTACATGTAGGAGGACGGAGCAGCCTGATGAAGACGGAGATGGGATGGGACGGGCGGGCGGAGGAAGCAACAACAATCATTTTACCTCGAGAGACGAGGGAGGAAGTGACGGCAACAGGTACGGACACAGGCACAAGGCACAGGAACAGGCACAGTGCCGATTCAACCAGATGGCCCGTGGCCCGTCTGGACGCGAGGGATCAGATGGGTTGGCGGGATTGGAGGGATTGGAAGATGGGATGGAGGGATTGGACAGGATGGGATGGACGGGGTAATGGTACCTTACTGAACTGGGAGCCTGTCTGACAGGGGGTGTGGGCTGTCCTGCATCCCTCTCATCCCTCATCCACCATCCCTCCGACCCTCTCATCCCTCGCCGGGCCCCTAGTCTCTAATGGCTTCCCAGGAGGGCCGGACTCCGTGGGCGGCGTGTTAGAGTTGCCCGACTGGGCTCTCCTTTGGGATGGGAGTGCTACGGTGCGGCACGGGATGGGCGGATGAGGGATGGAGGGATGGAGGGATGGAGGGATGGACGGCGGCCAGGGCACAGGGAGGGCCTCTAAACGGCTTAGACGGACGGCCGCTGTCCCGTGTATGTGCAGTCGGGTCGCTGACTCTGGCGTTATAGAGGGCGGGTCGGGGGGGTAAGTTGATGGTCTCTGGTTCTCTGGGTCTCTGGGTGCGACAGGCGTAGACGGAGCGCAACCGTGTGCCGTTGTGGGTTGAGGTGGTGTCTCTCGGTACGAACCCAAGCCTCAAACCCAAGTCCACACCCAGGAAAGACACAAGACCAAAGACCCAAGACCCAGGATCCAAGTTTGGAGGTTCGTATGTACTTCGCACTGGGCATTCCCTCACGCGCTACTTCGTACATGGGACCGCCTGGTGCGTGTTCTCAGGTACCTACCTCGCCCACAGTGGAGTGGAGCGCCGCGACCGCCCTGGCGCCAGGGCTCTTTCGCTCGCAGATGGGCGCTAGGTGGCTGAACCACACCCCCCCGAACCCACCAAACCCCGGCCTAGGCCCCATTTTGTCTTTTCCCTCCATCTCTCCATCTCGAAACCGCCTCCCCCCTCCCCGTCTCGTCTCCCGTCTCCGTCTCTTCCTCACTCCTCCAAGACTTCCCTTCTTCTCCCATCTCCATCCCCCCATCGCCGCCTCCACGCGAGCGCCATAACTACCTTGGTGCGATTCCAGTTGCTCTCCTCTCATAGAGTTGCGCTGGTCTTGGCCGTCCACTCCTTTTCTTCAGTTTAATCCTACCCAGCTAGACTCGTCCTGTCCTTCGCCAGCGGTTTTCATCCCGCAGCCTCGTTGCTATTTCCATCTGGTCCGTCTTCCTCCCTCTGTCGCACGCTCTTTTTTCGCTGTCCTTACCGTCCGCCGCCCAAATCAGCTCGTGTCATTTGCTTCCTCGTGCTTTCGCCAACCGATAAAACAGCAGACTGATCGCTTCTCTTCGCACCTCAGAGTCCGATCCAGGCCTCTTCAACATTCGCCTCCTCCCGCCTCACTTCGCCCACTCGGTCAACAAAGCGAAACAATCGAGCGATCCCCATTGAACCGGTCCGAACACGCGTCTCGCTCCTCCTATGATCACACGAATCGCTTAGTTGCCCATCGCTTCTGTTGCCGCTGCGCGGCCGGGGAAAAGATGGCAACCGCTTGTGGTCCAGAGCCCTTCAGACGGGCCTCCGCAGTTATGGACTTCGACAACGACCCGGATCACCTAGCTACCTCGATGGGCTCTTTCGACGCCTCCTCTCTTGGATCTCAACACTCGCCTCGTGGTGATGTTCCTCCCCCGAACCCACCATTCGTCTTTCCGGCCCAACCTGCATCCCCCTCGGTTCCGATAACATTTGCCCGAACTACGACCAGGCGCCCAATGTCAGCCATCGAGTCTCCAAACAAGTCGTTCGACCTGTCTGGTGAGGATGATGGGGCTTACAGATCAACTTTGCCGGCCTTCAGCTTCAATCCTGGTGCTTCACTTCCAGCTGATCCCTCGACGTTCAGTTTCAATCCCGGCGCTTCGCTTCCAGCCGATCCCCAGGCGTCCTTTCTCCTGAGCCCGCCTCTCTCGCCTTCCTCTCCTCGTAATCTCCCCTCTGTCAATCGACCGGCCGGTCACGGCCACCGACGAGGCGGAAGTGAATTTGTTGGTGGTCGCCTTCGAGAAGGTAATTCAATCGCCGTCATGAGTACCAGTCCTACCAAGTCGGAAAGCGGGTTCAACACGCCAACCTTGCAACCACCGCGAAGGGGCCACCGCAGAGGAATCTCGGGCGCCATTTCCACCAACGACTTGCCCATTCTTCAAGCACCAGTCTTCGATAACTCTCTTGGCCGTGGCAGCAGTGCGCCAACGAGCCCCACCACCTTTGGGCAATCAGGCGCCGCCGTAATGGCTTCATGCCTCGATCCCCTACCACCTGCGGCACCGGCGCCTGAATCAAAACCAGAGGAGCCTGAACACTCGCCAAAGCCCATCGAGCGGTCCTCGCCCGAAAGCAGCCCGAAGCAAAACAAGCCCAGTAACAAGGCGCGGGTTGGGTTCTCCGATACCCTGGAATTCATCCCCAGACCTTTGTCTCTGGTCTCCAACGAGACTTCAAGCACTGTGACCGTTCGCCCAGGACACTCCCTATCTGGCAGCATTTCCTCCATTGTATCTGCTGCGTCACCCAGCGGCCGAAGCAGTCCTGCCCTTGTCGACGGCGTGCCTCTGTCTCGAACCTCAACTCGCGACCCCACCGATTCAAGGCCCAGCACTGCCGGTGCAATTCTCGAGCGTACACAGGATCTCTCAGCGATGAACTCATCTCCGAGGCGCCGAAACTCTATCCCCACGCTCATCCACCTGGCGGAAGCCTGCCAAGTAGAGCAGCCTGAAGCCAGCCCTACCAAGACGCCCAAACGCTGGTCGTTCTTCGCCCGTGATCCCTCAAGTGCCAGCTCGTCTCCTACCAGAGCACGCCCTCGCAGTTCTAGTTCCTCAGATTCTGTCGCGAAAGCCCCATCATCCGATCATGGATCTGACTCAGTGAGTGAGATGCCTCTTGCAGCTCCTGCCAAGCAAAAGAAGAGCGGTAAGAAAAACAAGAAGAAGAAGAACAAGAAGGTCAAGGGCTGGGCGGGTTCAATTTTGCCCAAGAAGCCTAAGGGTCACAGCAAAAGGTCAAAATCCGACGAGGTTCGCCCTCCTACTCCTCCCGGATCGACCGTCTCGCCCAATGAGGAGGATAACATCCTGATGGAAGACCCGGAATTACTCGAATCGACAATGCCAACAGTCACTGTGACGGAGTCCCCTGACTTGCCAGAGGATAAATCTTCTAGGAAGCGTTGGGAGGAAGAATCCTCATACCCCATGATTGATTTGGATGCAGCGCTCGGTCCGTTCAATACTCCCCTCCCTCTGAACCCTGAGTGGGAGGCTGCACAGCGGGCGGCCGGCAACCTTGGCAAACGACGACTTCACAGCGCCCAGGGCATGAAGGGGTTCAGTGGCCCCGGCATGCATTACCATCGGCGCGCGGAATCTGCTCCAGACCTACCTCCTTTCGATCCTGGCAGGGCGGGCATTCATCGCTTTAACAGCAGCTCTACAATGGCTGACGTGTTTGAGGAAGACGAGGAGGATGAACATGGAAATTCCAAGTCGAGGGCCGCCCGGCTAGAGTCTGACGACGATACAGAGTCGGACAGCGACGTCACACCCCCGGCAGTCTTTACAAAAGACCCCATGCTTGACGTCCAGGACAGAATGTCGACTCACAGCTCTGCCCAGAGCATGAGGCGAACCAATTCGAGCCTCAGCGACAAGGAACAGTCGGCAGTGGGCTCCGTCCGAGCAGAACGATCAAAGTCTTCACTGCACGACAGCATCATTGTTGAGGAGATGCCAAGTGTAATCTTCCGAACTGCAAACATGTTCTTGGATCGGGGCGACGCCTCAGAGTCTGCCACGCCCTCACTGCGGAGATTATCAGGCAACACAGACCTTGCTCCAGTGGACATTGGCCCCATCCATCTCCCTACCCCGGCCAATGTTCCCAACAGTCCATACGCAATCAGTCACTCGTCGTCATTCCCATCGCCCAGGTCACCCATGTCAGTGGAAGTACAGCGCATCTCTACAGCACCGTCGTCGATCACGGATGAGAACAACTTTCAGTCTTTGCTTCTGATGGGGGAGCCTGGACCCGAGGTCCGAATCTCCATGGACTATGACATCCCCTCGCTGACGTCAAGCAATTCGACCATGACTCGAGACAGCATGTTCATCCCGGGTCAGCGCATGTCCCAACCCACGATGCGAGAGCTGCGACCAGTCTCGGTTTCATCCACAGCCTTCGGACGGCGACGATCAAGTCTCGCCAGCCTCAGCCGGCTCATCAGCAGCTCACACGGAGAGCGCAGCAAGCTCTCGATGGAAGTCACATTGGACAATGAGCCCAATTCCAAGAAGTCCAAGAACAGCCGGACAAAGCGACTGAGCCGTATGATGCAGTTTTGGAAGCCCCATCACAAGGAGAGCGCATCCAAATAGAACAGTCCAACAGAGGCTCTCAACACACCACAGTAGGCATTGGTCGTTTTCCAGACCATGTCATGACGATTGTATATGGATATTATGTACAGCACATTTCATATTTGCGCTCGCGAAAGATCCAGTCATCCCTGCTTCGGCTACAAGCTGTCGTCGGCTAGGTCCAGACGCGAGCGCACAGGCTTCGACTGGGGTACGTGGCAAACTGATTTGCACCACGGCCCCATGGAAGGATCTATTATTCAGTAAAGGGACAGGGCGCAGCGTTTTTTAATGATAGCATGAACAGCATTTGGTACTTGGCACAAGCGAGCCCTGGCTCCCTAGCCAGTAACAATGGCCCATGGTTGAGTCGGGGTTCGCGGGGAGGGGGAGGGAGAGGGAGAGGGACGTTGGTTTCTCTGGACATAGGACAAGAGGGGTGGAGATTGGATGATATGCCCTTGTCGGCGGTTGTTTGGGGATGACCGGGTAGAGTAGATTAGGCACTTGAATGGCAAGGGTGGACAGCTGGGTTGATTGATACAGAACTATTAATGAACATAGTGATGAAACTAGCTTTGCACCCGCACAACGCAGGTGTCTGGTGTCATGTTTCATGTTGATAGGAGTTGGGTGACTTGCAATCTAATTCATCAATCATCAATTGTGTACAGGTTCTACCTGGTCTGTCTTTACGTGAGAACAAAGTCTGTCTGTCGAGCACAAGGTGCAAGCAGGGCCGCGCATGAAGCCACCCAGGACGCAAGAAACAAGGTAATCAATATGCCATCCATAACGCCCACAATTTCCAAAAAAAAAAAAAGGTCTCTAGGGCAAGGTCTTGCCGCACAGTGTACTTTATATTCCGTTACATAAACTTCTTGGCCATGTCGGTCAAGCCACCACCAGACGAGCCGCCGCCAAGACCACCAGAGGCCATGCGGACAGCGTCGCCAACGAGGCCAACGGAGTCGCCAGATACGGCCTTGGACGCGGTGCTCAGCATGCGCTCGATCATGGGCGGGATGCGCAGGCCGAAGCGAGCGAGCAGGGCGGTCAGGAAGCCGCCGGTGATGAGGGGCATGATGACCAGGAAGAAGACCTTCCAGGGGTGGCGCTTGGCCCAATGGACCAGGTCGCGAAATAGACGCTTCACTTGCTTGAACGACCTTTGGACGAAGCCCTGGCGGGGAGAACGCTTGTAGTATGACGAACGGTCTGTGGAGACAGTGGTCAGCGGTTGGAATTCATCGGAGGTCCCTGTCTCATTATGCTCGTGGGACCATGTTCGGGGGGATCCATCTGGTGGGAGGTGGTCCTTGCGAGAGGCGATATTGCGCGAGGTGGAGAGGTGGAGAGGGAAACATACTGGAACCGAAGAAGCTGGAGCGGCTGGTGTTGCCGCCGAGTCCGAAGAACGAGCCGCGGGACGAGTGATGCTTGTCATGGCGGTCATGGCTGTCGCCGCCGAAGATGGAGCCGGCGATGGAGCGGCCGCTGGTGCGGCGGTTGCGCGAACTAGAGCGCGAGCGCGAACGGGATCCCGAGCGGCGCTTCTTGTGAGAGCGCTTCTTGTGGCGGGAAGAGCGGCCGGAGATGATGGAGGCGCCGTCGTTGAACGAGTCGAGGAAGCCCATGGTTGCGGGTTCTGGGTGTTGTTGCGAGAGGGGAGAGAGTTGCAAGAGGTTCTCTCTCTCTCTCTTCTTGGTGGGCGTTGTGTGAGTGAGACGAGGCTGGGTCAAGCGGGGAAAGAGATGGCGTGTCAATTGACAACAAACAGAACAGTTGTGCGAGTACGATCGCGCAACCGAATGGATTCGCTTGTCTGAATCCCCTCTCTCGTTTATGCCGGTGTTATGAGAGAGAAGAACCGGTGCGGACGCGAAGTGCGGGATGCAATATGCAGGATGCGCGAATGCAAGTCAGTCCAGAGAGACAGCAGGCGTTGGATCCACGGGGTCCTCCCTCACCGTAAATTCGAGTGGCTGGAGCGCTTCCCCTGCGCGGAGCCAGGCCGACAGGGGATGCGCTTTTAGTCGGGGCAAGCAGGGATTGTAACCAATAAAATAACGTCGCGTTCGTGCTCCATCCGGTACCAAGAACTCAGACATGACTTCTCAGTTCTTCAGCGGCCGTTTGTGAACTGTCATAATATCAGAATGACACTTGTGGATACGGTACGCAATGCTTGCGAAGCTGTGTCATGGAAGGGAATGCAAAAAGAGCAAAAAGAAACGTCACCTGCAGGATTCGAACCTACGCGACCGAAGTCACAGCCTTAGCAGGGCTGCGCGTTAACCACTCCGCCAAAGTGACTCTTGTTGTTATGTTCTCTGCTGTAAATTTCTCTTTATATAGGCTTAGTTTGCAACCCGTACGACACTTTATGATCGATCCACCGTCTCGGTTTTCATTCTCAAACCACAAACCACACGTGTATCCCCAATAGCCAGGACCATATTCCCAAAATGTTTAACATCCGTAAATACTTCGTGTGAGTAAGTATTGTTGTTCGTGTGCGCACTCATTGCCATATAGACGAATGGGTTGTTTACTGCATTCGCCGCCACTCACCTCGACTTCTTTCACCCTCGAGCGCTGGCGGGCTTTGGGACGATGTCATCTCCGCTCGCAATATCGCCGCCATTGCCACCACGGCCTTTTCTTCTCCCTACTCTTCCATCGCGGTCAGTTCCTCTATAAATACTTAAGCGTTCGATGTACAAAGGTCGTTGATCGTTGACATTACTACGTAGATATGTGAAAATGAACGAATAGTGACTAAAGGTGTGTAAATGATGGAACTTGAAAGGGAAAATAATATGCTGCAAATCTATAGATGTAGACATAACAAACTCCGGAAGTGTAGAGTTGTGACAGTGTTGATAATCCTGGAAAGGATAGAAGTGATGCCGATCTCAAGTGGGCTATGGGGATTACAATAGATGTATAAAGTAAAATGTCTTTAAATCAAGACCCTCTGCGCTTTTGTCTTTTACTTGAGTCAAAGTCGAATGTTGAGTTGTTTATCAAGAGGTACGGTGCCCTAGTACACACATACCCAGAGGGGGGACTAGAAGCTCAACAGTAAAAAAAAAAACACCAACAATCGTATCAACAATACAGACTATATACCCAGTCCATTCAAAGGTCAACAATATACTCAGACAGACTAAGGTTTCTAGTCCAACTGGTTACCTTTCCCGATACCTTTATGAGCTGCAGGTAGTTGAGTTGTTTATATATTCTGCAGACGGCAAAGATGATCTCTACCCAAACCCTCTTTTCGCAGACCGAGTCTCTTGGACAAGGAGCACGCAGCTGGATAACTGGTGCAAACTCAATTTTACTCAAGTTACTATTACCCGAGAACTATGTCGAAGAGTCGACGGTCACTTTTAAAGGGGGGCTCTCATATGAACAACAGCCTCCGCCAAATCAAGACCAGTATGAAATGAAAGATTGTTACCCAGAAACGCCGACGCTCCACGTGGGACAGGGCGTGGTCTACGGACGATGTTTCGGAACCGCATCCTGAGCAACACGCACATACCAGGGGAGGTCCCTTCGAGGCTTTCTCAGGCTGGCCATATTCGTCCAAACTTAGTCCTTTAATCTGGGGGATAGATAACAGCCGTTACCACCACTGTGTCCGGTGTCATAGCCCAGCTAGTCGCACTCACCTCGAAGGTACATCCGGCCCCAGCCCGTAGGTTGAATACGGTAGGTGGCAGTCTCGTATGTCAGGCGAGGTTCGCTCGTCTCTTTCATTCCCTCTTCCTTCAGCCTCTCCAGCCCCGTTCATTCCAGTGGTTCGGGGTCGCGAGGTATGTACAGAGTATTGATATACATAGTTACCACATTCCCCAGTCTAGAATAAGCAAGTGATACCGGGCGGTCGAGGACATAAGACATAGGAGAGCGCACTGTGACAACATACATCCTAACCAAAAATATTGAAGCAAAAATATTCGTCACCTGCAGGATTCGAACCTACGCGACCGAAGTCACAGCCTTCCTGGGACCTACAGTGATCAACGGGGATCATGTTTGGACACTAGCAGGGCTGCGCGTTAACCACTCCGCCAAAGTGACTATTGATGGAAGCTCACGAAGTATCGGGTCCCAAGGACAACGTGCAAGCGGAGGAAGGACAACAAAAACTGAGCAAAAAATAAGATCGTCACCTGCAGGATTCGAACCTACGCGACCGAAGTCACAGCCTTCCTAGGACCGATTGAATTAATTATACTCAATTGGATATAGCAGGGCTGCGCGTTAACCACTCCGCCAAAGTGACTGTTCGATATCGAGGTGGCAAATATCCAGCCCCAAGGACACGGTGTTGATAGTGATGAGAATACTGTAGGAACAAGCGGCAAAAAGATATAGTCGTCACCTGCAGGATTCGAACCTACGCGACCGAAGTCACAGCCTTCCTTGGAATCGATATTGAACAACTTGAATCAAGTCAGACAACTCAGACGATAGCAGGGCTGCGCGTTAACCACTCCGCCAAAGTGACTGTTTGGGTGAAAGGCGGAGAAATATTACACCCTATGCTGCTACCAATGTGGGGAAGAGAACCAGGGCTGACACCCGACTGGTCGCATCGCCCACTATAGTCCTTGCGCCACCACTGTAAAAATTGCGTGAAATCGTGTCCCATGCTCTTTCTGGTTCTATTCAGTGGTATTGTTGGGATTGGGGGCGTGAGAGTACGGGAGGCATTTTCTGGTGTCGTTGCTGTTTATGTACGTTTGCTAAATCACTACTTTTAGCTGGGTGTTACCTTGTTGCTCTCTGTCTCAGTCCGGAACGAATGTTAAAAACACCATGGCCAACAATTGTCTTTTTCGGACAGTATATTCAAGTGTCGTCACTCGCAGATAATCGAGTCACTCACTCCTCTCCTCGTTTTTTCCTTTTATAAATCAAGCAATCGATAGTTGCTCTGTCTCTCGAAATTGGTTGGCATGAGGTCTCGGGTAGGTCGACTTGGATTAGGACCCACCACGAACAGGGGACATCGACAACCTAGGACATCAGAATCACACAATTCGAAGAATCGAAATGATGACTGCAAGTAAGGAATGTGGTCGAGATGTCACAGAAATGCGATTTCAAAATCGGGACTGGCTAGCATTGATCACCAAGCTCGTCATTGATCGCGTGAGCTGCAAGCGTATGCTCCACACAGGAATGGAGTCTCGTCTCCGCCAAGGGCTAGGGCACTATGGCATGTTGATAACGGGGATTTGGCGAGAAGACCCTCCATCGGAGAAAGCAATTTGGCGCAGTGGAAGCGCGGTATGTTCAGAGTCCAAGTCTGTAGCACATTTTCGAATACTAACTTGCTCCAGCCGGGCTCATAACCCGGAGGGTACGTCTCACATTCAACTCTGATACATCAACGATCAGCGTTAACTGACTCCGAATTCAGTCGCACGATCGAAACGTGCAATTGCTAAGCAATACGCCTCATCCGAGGCAGTTTTTTTTTTGGTATTGGAGAGGGAAATCGTTGTTGCTTTGCCCCGTCATCTTTTTAGCCCATCGAGTCTTGAACGAGATGCGTGTAAGGACGATATCCAAAGCGATAGAGAGGGAGAGATGTAATACGAATATCGAGCCTTGACACCGTAGTGACAGAGGGCTTCACTCTCCGACAAAGACTTCGTTTTCAATATTTATACTATAGAAAGACTTCAAAACCACCCCTTTGACCCTCTTATTACCTACACTTGATTGTTTTGCCTGGTTGTTAACCACGGTAAAATCCACAGGGCCATGCACGGCCCAGCGATGATGCATGAGGCGGCTCATTGAAGCCATCCTGTGATGCCACCACATAATGCCACCACAATACCGCGCCGCACCAAGTATAATGCTCAGGTCGAGACACGATTATATCTAGGAATTGAAGTTTCAGTACTCAAAGTTGTTGCGAATGCACCTGATCTGTAGCATAATTTAAATCCCTGATCATTTTTGAGACGAAATGGACTCCATCAGGGCATGCCCCTCCCACATTTACCACCTGCACTAAGTATGGCAATAGTGACAGACCTTCCGCATAACAAAAGCAATTTGGCGCAGTGGAAGCGCGGTATGTTCTTGACCTCTTCTCAAGAAATCTGAATTCATTACTGACTGACATCAGCCGGGCTCATAACCCGGAGGGTACGTCTTTCATTCAACTTTAGGCAGTCAAACAACAACTCACACCTCATCAGTCGCACGATCGAAACGTGCAATTGCTAAACAGGAAACTCATTCGAAGCATTCATTTTTTTTTGCATCAAAATAACACTGTTACTTTTTTATTGTCTGTGAATTATCTAATGCTTTCTTGATGGCGAAAGTAAGTTAGTCAGGAAACTGGGAGGCCCCACGCCACAAAGCCACAAGTGAGTCACTCAGCCAGGCGTTCTAGAGGGCAAGTGTTGCCAGCTGTTGACTGCCAACTTCGTTCCCCGTGAGTTCCATGTTCGGTCCAGGCCCTACTCCCACTGTTCGAGCAAAAGGTCAACCAGTAGAGTAATAAAACGACGATAAAACCACCAAAAATGACCAAAAAGAATCCACTCGAGGTGGTGTAAGGCTAGCAATTGCACGTTTCGATCGTGCGACTGATGTACTGAGTTAGCGGTGTTGCGAGCACCTGGAGTCGAAGAGTAGGCTTACCCTCCGGGTTATGAGCCCGGCTGGGATGAATTAGTTTCGAACCAATGATCGAAGAATTCAAGTGTAAACATACCGCGCTTCCACTGCGCCAAATTGCTTTGTTGCGTTGGAAACAGTCTGCTTATTCTCACCTTCATGGGTAGTCCTGTGGCGGGGCAGTGTGCGTCTGCCACAGTGGGGTTTACGACATCGCTCCCCACGTTGGAGCGTCCTTGAGCGTGTTGATGGGACCACAATATCAGGGAGCCTGCATCCAATTTCTCAACTACGAGCTGGGTACGACACAGAGAATTTTCTTTCAGAGTTACCGAACGACGATCCAATTATATGGGGTATTGGCATTCTCATTCAAGTACAGGTTTTTTCACCAAAGCTTCAGCAAAACCAACGTCCCAATCACGTGCGCTGTCAAAGGGTACATTTTAGACTCGGAATTTACCTTTTTTTAATCAATATAAATCTACTCTGATTCCCTCACCTAGCAGTTGTTGACTCTCACAATGTGGATGAGTTTCTGACTCTCCCAGACCATGTCGGCACACTTGACGAATGCACAACTGCAGCTTCCCACGCTTTAGCATCGCCGTTCCTGTTTGGCGCTTCTTAATGTGACCATAGTGACTCACTGCCACGGTACCTCTGCACACGCTAGCTCACCAGGTGGAGGGGCGGCACGGCATGTCAGTGGCCCATTGTGACACACGCGTGTTTGTGACGCACCGCTGAGGCATATAATGATATATTAGCCCGTAACCTGCAACCAAACAAAGCAATTTGGCGCAGTGGAAGCGCGGTAAGTTACAACATCCGAGCCTAAGAATTCTCGGACGTTTTACTAACTCACCCTAGCCGGGCTCATAACCCGGAGGGTAAGCCTATCCTTCGACTCTAGATTCATCAACACGAACTAACTCAGCATACTAGTCGCACGATCGAAACGTGCAATTGCTATCTTTTTTTTTTCTTGGACGATTTCTTCGATTAGGCCAGGCGGCTCTGTGATGTTCATTTTTGCAACGACACAACAAGCCGGCGCACTCACTTCGGGTCAACTCGTCGAAGTTCCGATTTGAGAAACTCTTCTAACTCTACTTAAACCCTATTGCTGGGTCGAGCACTTTCCTCTCCCATGCCGGACTGACCTCTCGTGAAGGTGTGACCGATGATCCTCATATTGATCCGGCATCCTGACTGAACTTTTTCCAAGTGTCGTGCCAATAAGACGTGCGATCCTGGATGGGGATTCAAGACAACGGGAAGACAACCGGGAACCAACTCTGAATCCCAAGCAACTGGGTGCGCGTGGTGTCTCAATATAACGTCTAATAAATGACTGGACATTGACAATGGTTCTTGGCCAATGTAGACTATTCAACGACCAAAATGTGTACAGCAGCCTCCGGTCTCCGTTTCGAGATACATCTCAAAACTTGGTATTATTGAACAGCATCTCAACATACTGGGGAAACCAAACTCCCGCCTTTGGTGCTCCTGGGAACCCCCCTGTAATATTTTGTCCATCACTCTCGCCCGGGGGTTTCACCCAGACGATGCTGTCCACGTATTGGTTTCCCACAGGTGTTCCAGGACGTATCCCAAACGAGGCAGGGTTGAGATTACCCCAGTCCGCCCACGACTTTCTTTTACCTGGAATAGAATTGCGACTCTGGTCGACAATGAATCGCAACGGTAGCCCCACCTGTTTGAGATACGGAACAAGCGCCAAGATGTAGTGGGACTCATCCCACGACTTCGACGGCACGGTATATGATTCCGGGCCCTTGGCGTTGAACAAGTTGAAGTTGGACACGTTGGTTGAGAATCCCCTAATCTGGATTGCGCGACCCTTTGAAGCGTCCTTGGCAATCTTGAAGATTTTGGCCAACTCGGTGGCAGCTATGATGTGTTAATGACGGGTATATCATGGGACTGGAATCACGCTTACTAGGTCCAAGAGTATCGTCCCATCCTAGCCAACCACCGTTCGCTGCGTCTATATACAGACTGATGTGCGAGAACTGCAGCGACATGATTGAATAGGCAATCGCCCTTTCATACAAAGGGGCAACTAGTTTGACGAATTCTTGATCTTTTCTTTGAGACACAAGATTCCCCATCGCGTCTGGCTCCAGGATGATGGCAAAGTCCAAGTCCGTGGCCGCAGCAACCTTCTTTGCAAAAGGCTTGATGTAAGTCTCCTTATAAGCCGTCAAGCCGGCCTCGGTGGCTGGAAATTCTCCCCAGCTCTTTCCCCCACTCCAGTCTCTGCCTGGAATATCGTAGAGAACCAACCCTACCATCTGTTGGACTCCCGTGAGTTTCTCCTTGGCACGGGCGGATGAGATGGCCTGGTCGATGTCGGGAAGATTCGCCTTGCTGGAGATCCAGACAAACGTGCCAGTGCCCTGAGCGACTCTGACCTTGGCGGCGTTTGCCTCATCTGTCCGGTTCTTGAACAATTTGTATGTGGGCTCCAACTTATTGGCCCAGACAGGATTGACAAAGAGCGTTTTGCCATTCCAAGGGTTGGCGGTGGTGGCTGCGGCTCGGGCCTCAATGGTGTGATCTTCTGTATCCATGACTGTTTTGGAGGGCTTGTGATGGAAGCGTCGGCGATGCAAAGCGGGTTTCCTCAACACAGGCAAGAGAGTGGATTCTCCATCGTAGGGTAAGTCTGGTTCTTAAAGATTGAGAGAGATCAGCCTTGGGCAAGCCCGACAGTTGAGGCAACGGAAACCACTCACTGCTGTTGACATGCGATCCATACTGGCGCTCAGCTCTCACTAGCGCCTGGACGCAGAGCAGCAAGCCCAACCAGAGCAAAGCTGAGCGTCTCATATTTACAAATCTGAATCAGAACAGCCACTTTTCAGCTCTCTCAGGGTCGCCGCATTTTCAGCTTAGTGTCGACATTCATGTTTGGATGGGCACACGATGTGCAAGTCGGCGCTGGTGACCAAGATGCAGCACTTGGGAAGAGTTTATATCTGTGCCTTGCATCCTTCTAGCTGAGCCCCTTTTAAAATTGGGAGCTGTTAAATTGGCATCGCCTCACTTTAGCTTAGCCCTGATCGGATACGGCTCTGTCTAGCATTCCTAGGAATCAATAGTCGGCGGGAGCTGAGAAGCCGGATCCACGCTAGTGGTCTAGACTACGCCAGAACAGCTCGTTCAGGCAATGACAAGATCAGCCAAGTGTCTCGCTTGACGATCAGTCAGGCAGACTCGCAACAGTCACACATAAATCGATTTAAGAGCCAGACATTTTGTTCGGGTCATACGCCACCACGCCGATCATTGTTAATGAGATGAGTGATCGGGTTCAAGTTTTTCATTGTTACCACGCCACTGGTTGGTCGCATCGAGACATTCACATGAGACTGGGAAACCCAGGCTGCTAACGGGCCTTATTCGGCGATCCGACAATCATAACGTTGTTTGCTTTAGTAACGTTGGCGGGCGGTTTATAGTTGATGCTGATTGGCGGTGGGTTTTATGGATTTTGACCTTTGCTTTCTCAGAGGTAGGATTCCCCGGAAATCATGTCATTATGCGCGCTACAGACTACAACACACAAGCAACTATAAAGATCAAGAAGAGTCTAGCTATATTTAGGATAAACGGGCTCGCGGAACCCTGGTTGTAGTAACCTGGTTCCAGAAACGGAGGCTCCGTGTCGATTTCCCTGTGGAAACCAGTGTGAGAAGGACACCTCGGAGTTGGAGAATGCGTTGAGGTAATGTTCCCTCCATAATAAGCCTGCGTTGCGCGTGTGGATCGCTGGAGCTGTTCGGTGGCTGAGCCGATTTGTTGGTGTGGCTGGTTAAGTCAAGCTCCAGGGTGGCTCCCCACCTTTTGGGCCAAGCCCCACGTTGTCTTCTTTACATTGGTTCCGCGGTACCCCTGTCGCAAAGGCTTATTTGGAACGCAAGGGGTCCTCAAGTGGCCACGACATTCACGTCGCAAGTCCTTTTTTTCCCAACCCTGCCCGGCGCGGATCGACTTTTCTTGTTCCCCTTCTTTTCTCGCATTGGTCCATTGGCTCTGCACTCGGAGTCTCTGGCAAATCGTGTCTTCAACAGCTGGCTTCCTGATCCAGCGTTCGCTTGTTGCTGCCGCCGCAGTATCTTGCGACCTCCGTCAACCTCCTCGTTGACCTCCTAGTCGATACGCTTCCGACCACCTGTCATCGCGCCGCTCGACGTATCATGCAAAGATGAAGATCTCCTACCTTTCCGTTGGGCTTCTGGCCGTGCTGAGCCCCCTGACGGCAGCATGGAGCAAAGAAGGTTTGTCAAACCCAACAGCAGGACTGCCGCCGCATCGCTGACATTTACCTGCTACCAGATCGTGAAATCTTCCGCATTAGAGATGAGATCATGGCCTACGAGACGGACCCGTCTGTCACCTTTTACGACATCATTGGCGTTGTTCCCTCTGCCACCCAGGATGACATCACCAAGGCGTACCGCAAGATGACCCGCTCCCTCCATCCCGACAAGGTCAAGCAGAAGCTCAAGAACGAGAAGGTCAAGAATGAGAAGAACTCGGGCGTCAACATCAAGCCTCCTACTCCTGCCCAGATCAAGACTGCTGTCAAGAAGGCCAGTGAGGCCCAGGCTCGCCTCGGCCTCATTGTCAACATCCTCCGCGGCCCTGAGCGCGACCGCTACGACCATTTCCTGAACAATGGCTTCCCCCGCTGGAAGGGCACCGACTACTACTACAACCGATACCGCCCTGGTCTGGGAACGGTCCTCACCGGCCTGTTCCTCGTTCTTGGCGGAGGCGTCCACTACCTGATCATGTACATGAGCTGGAGGCGCCAGCAGGAGTTTGTCCAGCGCTACATCAAGTTCGCCAGGGATACCGCCTGGGGCAATGGTCTCAACATGCCGATCCTTGAGACTGCGCCTACGCCGCCTCCCGCGCCGGCTTCTGACGAAGACGAAGGCCCCCCTCAGCCCATGAACCGGAGACAGCGAAGAATGCAGGAGAAGGAGACTAAGCGCGAGGGCTCAAAGCCCGCCGGAAAGAAGGTCCGCAAGGCCCAGACCCCCGCGAAGGACACCTCAGCTTCACCCGCTGCGCCATCTGGTGCGCGCAAGAGGGTCGTCGCTGAGAATGGCAAGATCCTCATTGTTGACTCCCTGGGAGATGTGTACCTTGAGCAGGAGGATGAAGAAGGAATTGTCAATGAGTTCCTCCTTGATGTAAGTCCCCACTCTCCACTCTCATTTGTATGTGACTAGAGTGCTAATATCATACAGCCCAATGAGATTGCCAAGCCCACCTTCACCGACACCGCTGTCTTTCGCACTCCCATCTGGCTTTTCAACTTGACTGCCGGTCGTTTCATCCCCAAGAAGCCTGCCGACCTCGAGATCGAGGTCGAGCTCGATGACGATGAATCGGATGTGCCCCAGCGCACCCCGAGCACCGACTCCGCAGGCGAGGACTTTGAGATCCTCGACAAGAGCACCGACTCGTTGAACAAGGCCAAGGCCTCGGGCGCCCAGCAGGGAGCCAAGGCCAACAAGAGAAAGGGGAGAAAGAAGTAAACGGGACGGATCGCGCTTGGTTGCTTGATCCGTAGATAGCCGCCGTACTAAAATGTTGCGATGAAAATAGAACGGCATGCTAGGTGGCTCCCTTATGGCCTCTGATGCTAATGTTTTGCGCCTCGAGGAAGCAAATTTTGCGTAGTTCTAACTTAGAATATGTTGTCCTCAACGACCCTTGTGAATATAAAGACCGATCCGCCCTTTTCTTGACATTGTGCTCAAGCTGTTTTTTTCTTTTCTTTTTAGTTTCTTAGTTGGCAAACAATGCTTGTTTGCGTGAATGCTAGTGTTTCTGATTTTCTCAATTGCTGGAGTGATTTAACACTTCTGGTTCATGGTTCCCATTTAGCTGGCGCCTGGTGTCGCTCGACTCCCGGTTCCTCAGAGCTGGATTAAAGCAGGGCGCGTGACAAGGACGCTAGGAATTGGGCACCGAATATCTGAGCTGTTGGTGGCTGTTGCAGTGCATTTTGTTCACGAACAAAGAACCCATGATTGTGCTGGGGCTAGATTCTTGAACAGACTAGATTGGGAAGTTCTGTTCAGTTCTACTGCGATCCCATTCCTTTCAGAACCGTGGCCTTGTTCAACAGAAGGCGAAATCATGGACAGGACAGCGATGGAACAACTGAACACCAAGCTAACCAGTGTTGCGTGGGGTGAGGGTCGTCCCAGCTCTATCTGTACAGTTGAATGAGTTGGGACAGGACTGACAGCATTGGTGTTTTCAATTTACATGTGCTCGTAGGGAGATGTACGAGAGATCTGTTGTCCATAAATCGTTGTTCCAAGCTAGTCTGACGCTTGGATAACTTATAAACATAGCCAGAACTTCGTACAAGAGCACACAACCGCCTGGCTGCGTCGCCACTGAACCATAAACAAAACCCTGCCAAGAGCAGCTGTCAGACTTCGATTTGAGAAGACGGACACCATGTGTATCTCTATTACCGTTGGACACACCTGCTGGAAAGCTGCATGCCGCAAGGTGTTGGAACCGACCGGTAAGATGTACGTGTGTAAAGTAGCAGATGAGTCGGGAGACTGTTGTCGAGGAATATATCCACTGTCCATGGAATCTCCGAAAAAGCGGCTCTGTCGCAAGTGCGTCGCAGCTGACCAGGCGACCAACCAGTCGGAGGATACCCAGGGCATCGTGAGAACTGCCTTCGATCTTGAGAGGAGGAAGGGTAAACGTTGGTGAAGGGAAAATTCCAAAGAGGTTCTCGTTTAGACCATGCTCTGGATTCCTTACGAGAGGTGCATATTAATATCAGTTTTTATTATCATTTTTATACAAAATTCTAGCTCTTGATTGTATTTGCTACTCATAACGCGAAGACCTGTTACATTAGTTATATACTAGAGTTAAACAGTGCCCTGAGACGTCCGCCCGGGGAAAGATGTGATCCGACATGATCCTTGAACCAATATTGTCATTACCGATTTGTCTTGTTCTTCTTGGCCGTTGAAATTTTGAAGTGTTTCTTGTAAATTGTAGTAACTCATCAATGCCCAGCCTGTTGGTTATAGACGGGCGAAATAGGGGTAGGTGTTGTTGTAGGTAACTCGGTCATCTTGGGTTGTCCCATGGGAGTATACTGATATTGATGTACTGGCGGATGACCCTGGGCATAGACGGGCTGGTAGGCCTGGGCCATGGGGAAGTTGGCAGGGTACATGGCGGCGCCTGTGGGAGCCTGGACGTAAACGATTTGGGGAGCTTGGTTGCGGTTGCGGACACTGGTTTCGTAACAACCCATGATGAACAAGATCATGTGGAGGAGACTAAAGAGAAGCAGCGCGTCAGCAGCGTCAGGGAGGCAGAGATACTTGTAAAGGCCTACATCTCTATGATGCCAATGCCAAAGATGGCACGGTAGTTCGTGAAGGCAGTATAGTAGGTGTAGTAATACCCATCCGCAATGCCAGTCCAGATGGCGAAGATGACAATGGCGACGAGATAGCCGAGCCACAGAATCAGATCGACGCCCACGACGGCCCCGGGATGGATACCGCGATGGCCTCTGCGCACACAGAGGCAGATGCTCTCAGAAAAGTTCCAAATGAAGGCGACGCCGGCCTGTATAGTGTTAGGAATCTAGAAAAGCGAATAGGTAATCGGAGGCTGGACAACATACAGGCGGAACAAGTGTGACGAGAGGGAAAAGGCTCCACTCCACGGCGACGGAGGCGGCGACGCCTATTATGACGATGCAGAAGATGATTGAAATGATGCGCAGGGTCAGCTTTGTCGACCACATTCCCCTTGAAGAGACATGGGGAGGCGGAGGTTTGCCCTGGTATTGCTGCGGCTGGATTGGTTGATACTGCGGTTGTTGAGATTGAGATTGTTGATACTGCGGCACATGTTGTTGCTGCTGGGGTGGGAGCTGCTGTTGCTGGGGTTGAAGTGGTTGGGTCATTGTGATGAAGCCGTCGACACGCCGAGGGCTGGATATCGACAAGTCACTCGAAGGGCAGGTCCAAAGAGCAAACAGAAGGGAAGAAAAAGAAGCCGTTCTCGTGTTGCAGGGAGGAAATACGAAAATTACAACAGGAAATCAGAGTGAAACTGGGGTACAAGGCGCGGCAAAGGGTCACATTTCGTTAATTGCAGGCACATCGAATCTCGTCCCCCCACCAGGGCCACCACTAACACGCTTCTAGGAGGCGATCCCCTGTCTTGGTGGCACGCTGGTGGACCAACGGACTAGGGCTTGGCTTCAGCTTGGGAGGCTGAGGCGGAGGCGCAGGGCGTGACCCTGCTAATAGGACTCTAGGGGACGCTTGAGACGATCTTGGCGGGTGAAACGAGGCGATGTGATTCGGTGAGACGCGTCGGGATCGTGAGTTGGTTGTTGGTTGTGTAGTGGTTGCCGCGAGTGGCGTGAGGTCCAAGCACGCTTTGATTGAGAAGGGCAATTAGTTGTACAGTAAAGGGGGAAAAAGCAAGGCTGAGCGAGTAAGTCCCTATTAGAGGAGAGACATGCGATGTTGGTCTGGAGTCTGGGCTCTCTTATTGATTCACTTTGATGACGCTTTGGACCCGCTGCGTTTCTCGACTCAGGTTCCAAATCAAGTCCCCTGTGACTGACTCTACTAACTTATCCCGCAGGGCTGGATCTGATTTCCCCAGGGGGCTGTGTTATTAAATTTAGTTAAGGTTAATGCTTGCTGAACATCCTGGACAGACCACATTTCGGATTAACGACGCATTTCATTGCTCCCTCATTGCAGCGCGGAACAATTATCGCCCAGCTTACCGAGTACTGCACTCCATTTATCAACGTCGCATCCACCCTCCAAGACAAGACAAGACACGCGCCACCCATGAAACCCTTGAGACCGCCTTTGAGATACTAAGTCTACGACGCTATTGGGCGCCACTAAAGTGGGAACGACTTCGGTGTTGGTTCGGCAGAGAGAGAGAATCTCCACCAACCCGACAGCATGTTCGGTGGCCGATGCGATATTCATATTCGGGCGCGAACGGCTCTGACTACATGACAGCCATCCATCTGTTTTTTATACTAGTCTTTATTAACTCAAGGTTCTCACACCGGGCTTACCAAACCGCGCGGATGTGGATGCATCGCATAGCCTAACATCTCTCATCAGCCAACTGCTCCATCTCTATTTGGCCACACCGTAATTCTCTCCTCCACAACACACTCACACAACTCATATCTCATTGGATGCCATATTCCCCGGCCTCGCACTCTTCTCCGCCAGGCTTTGTCCCCGCCATGTCCCGCGCCGGTACATCGTGTCCGTGGAATTCCCGGTCATCTCCGGGCCAAATCCGACCAACTCCTCCACCTCTTCGGCCCTCAGCAAATGGATGGAGCCGCTTATTTGCAGCTCTGCATGTAGCGTTGACTTGATCCACCAATAATACTAGGCATCGTCTATCAATCTCCATTATCCCCGGCTCCGAACTCCGGAGTATCGGAATCGATGTTGCAATTCCGACACTCTGCTTGCTAATCCAAAAAACCACCCCAAAATGAGAGGCCTGGTCTGTAGATCGCACGTGAATGAAGACTCTTCTCACCGATCGCGTCATCACGTATTGTTGACTATTGCTATCGTCGTCTTTCCCTTGCGTACAGCTGCTAAACCTGTCTATTGGTCGTCGCGGTCAATGTATTGTTGCCGGGTACTCGATTCCTCCATCTCCCATCTCCAGCCAACCTCGGCCCAACATCGAAAGCCATGACGTCTTCCGCTTCTAATCCCGAAAAGTCGCCAGCCTCCAATGTCGAAAACGTCAAAGTTGAAGACTTCAAAACGCCGTCGAACAGCCAAGACTCCATCGAGCAGGATACCTTGACTCACAACTCCGACAACTCACCTACCTCGGGCGATGAGGCCGACTGCAGTGCTCCGCCTGTCCCCTCCAAGTATGAATCCAGCTGGATCCGTAGGGTGCTGACACCTAAAAACTGTCGATGGGATGTCAACTCTCCGCCGGCCCTCACAGTGTCCCAGTGTGTTCTCTATGCCATGGTTGGTTTCAATCTCTTGTCTCATGTCTCATGTCTCAAGTCTCAAGTCTTAATCACTCTCGGCCTAACTCAAAATGTTTCATCCCGCTAGGCCTCAACCTTCACAGTCGCCAATCTCTACTACAACCAGCCAATTCTTAATAAAGTGGCTTCAACCTTTAATGTCACTTACGAAGAGTCTTCTCAAGTTGCAACTTTGATGCAAGCTGGTTATGCTGCGGGCCTCGTCTTCGTCCTTCCCCTGGGTGACATGTTGGAAAGGCGACCGTTTATCATCTCTCTCATCGTCGCAACGGCTACATTGGTCAGCTAAACTCATCCTCTTAATCAACAGTCCAAATTTGTCCCTAACATTTGAGTCTAGTGGATTGGTCTCTGCGTGACCAATAGCTTTACCGCCTTTCGAGCATTATCCTTCATCTGCGGAGTTACCACCGTAACACCGCAGCTGATGATTCCCTTGGTCGGGGACTTCTCTCCTCCCCATCGCAAATCGTCTTTGTTGTCTATCGTCGTGTCTGGGTTGATTCTTGGCATGCTAGTCGCCAGGGTCCTTTCCGGCGTCGTTGCAAACTTCACGAGCTGGAGGAACATTTACTGGTTCGCCTGCGGCGCACAGTATCTGCTTGCGTTGACACTTTTCAGCTTCATGCCCGACTATCCTTCGACAAATCCCGATGGCCTCAACTATTTCCGAGCACTCTGGTCAATTCCTTACATGATGCTCACGGAGCCGGTGCTCATCCAGGCGTGCCTGATTGCCTTTTGCCTCTCGTGTATCTTCACCTCCTTTTGGACCACGTTGACCTTTCTCCTCGCCTCCCCGCCTTATGACTACTCATCTCTACAGATTGGATTATTCTCATTCACTGCTGTTGCTACAATCGTCATGATCCCCTTCATCGGAAGGATTATCGACCGCTTCGTGCCGCTTCTGTCGACATTGACCGGTCAAGCTATAGCCTTGACTGGCACAATCATTGGAACATTTATTAGCACTTTTACAATAGCAGGGCCAATTATACAAGCCATCGGAATTGACATCGGCGTACAAACAGCGCAGGTTGCAAACCGAGCTGCCATTTTCAACATCAACCCCAAGGCGAGGAACCGAGTCAACACCGCATATATGGCTTGCGCCTTTCTAGGTCAATTGACAGGCACGGCAGTGGGAAACAGACTCTATGCCCAGGGAGGTTGGAGGCATAGCGGGGGATGCAGCAGTACGTGGAAATAACATCCATCTTTTCAGCTTCAGTTTCACTAACATTTACTAGTTGGATTTGTTTGTGCAGGCATGATATTCGCCCTGGCGAGAGGCCCTAGAGAGACAGGCTGGGTCGGATGGAAAGGAGGTTGGAGCCCACGGAAAGACTCGCCCGCCCCTCCGGTTCAGCAAAATCTGGAATCAGGGACACAGCCCAAGGAAAACAATTAATATAGAATCAAGAGCACATGATTTTTGGAAAAGCCGATTTATGAAATATAGGTCTTTTGTGCCGATTACCGCCCGAGGTACATGGTGGCATAGAGAAGCATCAGATGACGGCAAAGGGACGGGACAACGACGTTTCAATTTTTCATCACTTATTATACATAATTATCCTGACGATATTGAGTAAAGCTAAACTAAAAAAAAAAAACCAAATACATGATTATCTAAATATGAGGGTATTGCAAAATAAGCCACCCGGACCTGGTGCTTTCAAGGGCCACCAAGAAATAGTTTCCATTCCTTCTCTGTGATATCCACCTCCAACATCGGACCCTCCAGTTGCGGAAAGGGATCCAAGAAGTCTGGTCCATTTTTGTCGTTGCAATCTAGGCCAGCAAAGTTATTGAGCTCTTTCTTACTCAGTTCCTGGTCTGCGAGTGTTTGGGCCTTCTTTTGGCTCTGGATAAGAAGATTGCTCAGGCGGGTTTCTGTGCCTCGACTAGCCTCTGGAGGAGTGTTTCTAGGTCCCCTTTGGCCACCGAGGCTAACTTCTGGAGCTCTAGAGAGCACATGCTCTAGGTTGCCCCGGGGGATGGATTTGGTTGACGAGATGATCTTTAAAAGGGACTCGGTGCGTCCCTTCATCTCCTCCCTAATACTGATAACCTTAGAGGGCTTGGTAGGACCCTCCTCTGGCTTCTGGATGGTATACCCCGGCTTTCGCTGTCTTTGGCAAACTTTTTGGCGGAGAGATTTCACATGCTCTGACTGAATCGGTGGTTCTACTTCCAGACTGTTCAAGTAGCCGTCAGGATCATCTCGGCGCCACTCTGTCATGCTCTGGGCACTTGGGAGGTCCCGATTCTTCCCTATCTTTTCAGTCCAATAAGTGAAGTCATCTCCTAGACCGATTTTAACGAGCAGTGTTCGGAGGATATCCGAGTCGTAGAGTTCTGGGCTTCTGCACTTCATCAAGATGGAGATGAGCTCCTGCCACGCCTCTGGTGCTGCTTGGTCGGCGAACTGGAAGAGAGCGACCAGAAGCTGGCCGAACCGGAGAATCAGGTCGGGATCCAGACTACCCTCGAGATGGCGAAACTCGACAGCACCTGTGAAGTACCCAGGGACGGGAGTCTCTTTGACGCGGAGGATACTGACGCAGCTTCTGGCTCCGGCATGGATAATGAGGTCTTCGAGGTCTCTCTTACTGGGTGCATTCCAGAGCTTCTTCAGGATGCCCTGATCGCTAGACGACAGTGTATCAACGGGAAAGTGGTCAACAAAGTCCTGAGTCGCAGTGCAGTTTTCCCAATTTGGGTCATAGTAACCAACCAGCCCGACACCTTCACACTCCCGCAAGGGACGGCTGAACCCATAATTATTCCCTCGATCCGGGCGACAGAGGCTGAAGATAACAGGGTCAGCACAATACATGAGACAGACCAGCTTGCGGTAAAAGTGCAATGGCATGGGGTCTGTCCCTTTACCAACGCTGACGTGAACTCCGCATCTCTGATCGACGACGAGCCTCATGGTGCGCCGCAGACCAGCAAGGATATCGAGTATCGATTCCCAACACTCAGGCGTGTCTCTCAGGATGGGACTGACCAGCTCCATGCCGTTGAGACCCGCGTAGCCTTTCCAGTTCTCGGAATTTCCAAGCGAACCGTCCTCCTTGACGCCCCAGGCCTGCCACTCAGCCTCATACTCGGGGTCACAGAAAGAGCCGCCTTCCTCTGCAAACATCTTCTTCCGGGCGGTGATGGGATCTATCCCGGAGTACTGTGTATTTGTACCAGGGTTATAGAAAAAGACACCCAGGTTCTTTTTCACCATCTGGATAACTGACTGGGATCGCGTCTCGAACGTAAGACCGCAAGCGTAGTCTCGGCCATCCTCCGGGTCAGGGTCGTGCCCCCGTTTGGCAGCATTCCCCCAACGGTCGTGGAATTTCTGTTTTTCTTCCTCAGATCCAAACCAATGTTCAGATTGACTCTCGGTGATTATTGAAACCCTCTCCTCCTCAGTCGGGCCAGATGAAGGGGTTTGCATCTCCAGTTCGACGCCTATGGTGTAACAGCCATTGTCTGTGAGTTTAGCTGACTTGTCCCATTTATCAAGTTGCTTGCCGAGGTTGTTTAGATACGACTTGTTTGTTTCTTGCTCCATGCATAATGGGAATGTAGCCGGCTTGACAATGGGCTCTGAATTATGCCCTGGAACTCCTTTCTTCAGCTTCGGCCATGTGGCAAAGTCGGGAATTTCCATTGCTGGCGAACTCCGCTGATAGTATTTTGCCACATCTTCCAAACTACACGTGGCAAGAAAATCGAAAAGAGATACTGTTTGTTGTTGCACATCGCGTTGCAGGATTCTTAAATCATCGTGGACAAGTGCTCGGGGCTTTTCAATACCCGCCGAGACTAGAAACGCGCAGACACAAGCCCAATGAGAAATCGCGTCAAGGTCGAGGGTTCCACAGTGCTGGTTGAACCCAACCATACCTCTGTCGCCATCCTTCAGTCCTTGAAAGTCATACGCGGGCCTAGGCTGTCGGCGATCTCCGTCATGTATGATGGGAATCAGGTCGAGAAGATGAACGAGTTCCGAAAAATCTTTGGCGTTTTCGATTCTGTTCAATCCATGGCGGAACTTGGGTGCGCTCAGTTGACCCGGGTGCGTGATAAGGCTCAATGGTTGTCTGTCGGGTGAGATACGATTGTCCCATGGGTCTGGCACTCTGTCCGCAGAGGCAAGTTCCACACGCACGTCGACGTGTCTCTGATTTCTTGCGACGTTACTGAACTGTAGACCCAAGGCCCGAAGTGAGCCGGGTCCGCAATGAGGGGGGTGGATTGTACTTAGAATAGGGTCTGCCGTCCAGAGAATCGATGAGATGGTTTTCAGCCCTTCCAAATCCAGCTTTCCCCTTGTCGGCCTGACTAAGACTCCCAGGTGCGTATCGGCGTTGGCAATGGCGATGAACTTTTTGGTCAGAACCTCAATGACCTCGGGAAGACCTTCGAAAAGAGAAGAGCCGGGCGTATAAACAGGTGACGTGATCTTCACACCAACCCAGCTGTACTCCGAGGCTTGATGTTCGCTGATGTCCTCGTCGTAAGAAACCATCCACATATCGTCAGTGTTGGTTGCGGACTCCTTTCCTGGTTCCACCCGCGGACCTGAATTCAATGTGGGACCATCGGGCATTGTCCAGTTCGTTGTCAGTCCTGCTTCATGCATCGATTGTGCGACAAGAAACAGAACCCACCCCTTGTAACTACCATTGGAAATCGGGTTACCCTGGGGGTCTCGGAGCTCTGGTGGAACGCAACTGAAGCCCTCCGGAGGGGCTTTGATCGAGCGTCCGTCGCGGTGAAGGAATGTTTCGGGTTCGAGGAAACCCCAGGAGTTATAGTCTCCGGTGGTTGCGAGCAGCACACGAAGCTCGACCCGAAATTCGACATTGTTCGGAAAATATCTGACCGCAGACATGGTGATTTTGACTCAATTGATACAATTGAGAGTTTTGGTATGGCAGCTCCTGGCTGGGCCCTACTGTCCACTTGTTGATGTATCTGAACCGTAGAGTTGTTGTTAGTGAATGATGAGATCGTGGGGATTGTGAAATGTGGTGATAATCTTGCAATGAATTGGGATTTTGATGTGTGCAATCCCTCGTATGCTATGCGGAAGGATGCCTTTTTATGTCGGTTGAGTTTGGATCATAGAGCTTTACCATAGAACAAGCAGCGACAATGAGATCCTGTCATGGCGAACAAAACCGCAGTTTTCGCTGGTTGAGGACAAATGCCTTTGTAAGAGCCTGACATTGCCTATGTTCTGACAAAGAGGTCTGAACAGCCTGCGTTACCTTGTTGCGCTCTTTCAGCCATGGACATGGATTTTCAGTCGTGTTCCTCCTCCGTTAGGCCCGGGCATCCCTCCATTTCCGAGTCTACGTATGCCATCTTGCACCAAAAGCAGTATCTATACTTTCCCCGGAGGTACTCCAGCACCCGTTTCAATCGCTCCTCAATCTCCAATGCGTTGAACTCGTCCAACTCCTCATCCTCCTCGTCTAGATCCTCAGCCGTCGCAAATATCGTATGTCCCTTACCCAGGGCCTTCTTGTCGTCTTCATCCTCATTGTCATCCTCATACGTAGGAAGCCGGGAGAGTGACTGTTCGAGGTCATACCGCATCCGTCGGTCGCGTTCTTTTTCCTCACGGTGCCGGGCGAGGCTTCGGTACAGCACGGGGATAGACTTGAGGGGGCGAGATGATATTGAGCGCGGCTTCTTTGTTGACTCGGCATCCTCGGGTGAGGCGTCATCCGGGTTGGTGTCTTGAATGTTGGGTTGTTCCTCGTCCATGCCTTCGGCAACGCGTTGCGCCGCCCAGAATTGTTTCTCCAAGCGTGCCTCCTCCCGCTCTCTCCTTACGCGCTCGCGATATTCATCTGGATCCAGCTTGGCCATCTTCACATCTCTCTCTTTGGCCGCTTCCCGCATCTTCCTCTTCTTTTCATTCTCCAAGCCAATGCCGCTACGGTCCTCCTTGACGCTGACCTTTATCGGCTCTGCCCTGCCCTGGGCCTGACCGTCCTCCATCTTTTTTCCAAGGCCCCCGCCCGTGAAGCCCATCTTAGCCATCATGGCGAGGCCCTTGCTCTTCTTCGCCCGTGGGTCGTCCAGCATGGATGTCGACAGCGCTTTCTCACGCGCGGCTTCTTCCTCCTCGGCGATCTGAGCTTTGGATTTGATGATGCCTCTGGCGCGGGACTCCCTTTTTAATCGTTGTGTGCGCTGAAAGGACGACTCTTTGATGGGCGCAGGGTCGTCAAAGGTCATATTCATGTAGTCGTCATCGTCGTCGTCTGGTGCACTTGCACCGTTCTGTTGCGACGCGCTCATGATGTAAAGGTGTCCCAAGAGCCGTGAGGCGAACGTGGGCCGATGAAGAAAGCGATATTGGAGACCTGCCACAGGTCGGGAACTGAAGCAAAGTGGCAATGTCGATTGTTGGAGATCTGTTAGATGAAGAGTTTGAGCCGTACTTCGGGCTGACCTTCAGTGAGAGCCGCTGTATTACAGAAGGCTTCGCGGATTTTTCAGGCAGAATTGATTCTCTGCCCCTGCTTTCTAATTGGCATGAGAGTACAGTGGGATGGTAAAATGTACACCGTATTTTGATAGAATTATAGTGGATTATGGGACCCACAGGGTACTGTTACTGAGCTGACTGTACAGTGCGAGTGCCGTCAACAACTGACGAGGTTACCACAACACATTCAAGTACGTAGAGACGTTCCAGTATTAAAAGAATTCATTCACCAAGCAGGGATTACCTTCGCAGCAAACACAGTTGGGACAGTAGATGGGACAGCAGATTGGACATGGAAACAAAATGTTCTGGTATTATGTGCACCGGATATCCTTCTTCTACCTGTTGTTCTTTCTCTTCCGCGCCGCTTTTTCCCTCTCGTACGCGTTCGACTCGCGTCCCTCTTCGCTCTGGATCTCGGCCACAAGCCTCTTGTACTTCTTCTCGTACGCCTCGTCCTTGGCCTTCTTCATGCGCAGCTTCTCTCTCGCCATAAAGTTGGCGTCCTTCCGCAGCTCTCTCATCGCGCCCTTGCGCTCCTTCTTGTGCTCGGCCTTCAGCTTGGCAAGCTCGGCACGCTCGCGATCTGGGTCGTAGTGCTTATCGGGATCGAATGTCTCCTCGAACTTGGGCACGAATGTCTTGATTGCTAGTGCTTTGTGATGGTGTAGCTCTAGGTTACGACGAGAGAGTTGGGCCACCTTGAGCATGCGCTCAAACTTTGTTTGAAGCTTCTCAACCCGTTCAACCAGAGCAGGGGGCAGATGAGACCGGCATCCCTTGCTGCTGAGATGTCTCAAGACGATGGCTCCCTGTGAAAAAGTGTCGAGGAAGGAGCTCTTTCCAGTCCACGTATCCGCAGCGGCCTCGAGGGTTTGAACGGTCGTGTCCAGGATAGATACTTTAAGTACCTTGGCTTGTGTGCCCGTAACCTCAATACCTCGGCAATCGGAGAAGTTCAGCTTCCTTAGAAGAGTCTTCTTGCAAGATTCGGCCCGAACACTGCTGGGAGCGCTGTGAATGGGGAAGCTTCCCTGCTTTTGCGATGCCGCGACCGGGGAGAGGGCACAGAGAGTGTTCAAGCAGAAGTTGATGACCTCTGGGACATATCTCTTGGCCAGCTTCTGATAGCTGACCGCAAGGATCGACAGGTAGGTGCCAATCGCAAAGTCAGACAGCTGCTGTGGGACTTTTTGTCCGAGGTAACGCGCAATTGTCAACATGGCAGGTGTGACAACCTGGTGGAAGTGATCAGACGTAGGGAAGACGGAGCCGACAGCTGCGAGGAGGATCAAATCTCCAGGTTGCAGGGCAAGGGAGCGTGAGTTGGCCATCTCCTCCATGTTATGGCGGAATTGCTTGCTGATCTCAACTGGAAACATCTTGGCCAGAGAGTGGATATGACGAACGAGACTCTCCAGTACGGAAAACGATGGGGATTTCGCAGGATCCCAAGGAGAGGCGATAAAGTCGACTAGAGCTGCAGAGAAGTTTGCGAGCCGTTCCTTGTTCCTGCTGTCAAGCTTGGGGTGGTAGAGCGCACGAATTCGTTGAACGATGGTGGGGATGGTCTTTGGAGGATAGGGTGCTGTGACGGACAGGAACTCTTCGCAGGACTGGGGGCAAGGAAAGGTGTACGGTAATCCTTGATCGTCTCCCTTTTGAATTGCCGAAGCCTTTGTCGATGAATCTGCCTCGAAAACGGGATTTCTGGCCTCCTCTTCGTTGAGCAGGCCTTTGGTGAAGTCGTCCTCCTCATCAGAGCCATCACCATCGGAATCGTCGTCGCTTTCGAGAAGCTCCAGATCAGAACCACTTGCCACAAGGTCATCATCGATGAGAAAGTCATCCTCATCGTCAAACCCGAGCTCGGCTGCAGTTGGCCGAGATTTGAGACCGCTTCCCAGGCCAAAATCTTCGTCGTCTTCGCCCATATCCATGAAGAAATCGTCTTCCTTCGGAGCACCCTTCTCCGATTTGGCATCGTCCTCGCTGTCTGTCACCTCATCGCCTCTCATACGTCGTTGTCGTTTATCCTCAAGCTCCTTCAGCCTCTGGGACTCCTCTTCAACCTTTTCCTCGTCCGTCTTTGTACGGTCGGCAGGCTGAGCTCTCTTGTCCTGAGCTAGCTTCTTGACCTGGAGATCAAAGTCCCGCTCGAAAGCGCCTCGCTCTACACCTGCAATGGTGGCGATTGGTGCATCCTCGGGGGCTTGGGGCTTGGGGCGTTGTGGACCTTGGGAGAGAAGCCAATGGATGTTCGGTAGCTCCTTGTCGAGTTGTGCTCGAACGTCATCGTCTTCCTCCTTGGCAGCCTGACGTTCGTACTTGTGCAGCTTGGACTTGGCGATGACCTCTTCCATCACTTCCTTCTTGGTCTTCTTCCGTTCGGGTTCACCGTTCTCGTCTTCCCCATCGCTGCCTGCAGCGGCCAGGGAACGAATACGCTTTAGCCTCTGCATCTCGCGGACGGAGCCATCGCTGTCGTACTCCTCTAGGTCGTCTTCCTTGAAGTCGTCCATTGACTGCATGTCTTTGAATGTCAAGGACTTGCCCATGTGAGTCAAGCTCTCCGAAGGCTCATCATCTTCCAGGTCGAACATGGCACCCTTCTTGTGGCTCTTCTGCTTCTCGCGCGCGAAACGTTCCAGCATCTTCTCCTCGGGGGCCATGGTGGGATCGTTTTCACCGAATCGACGATCGATGATACCGCCCACCTTGTTACGACGCTGCATCTCGACGAGCAGTGTTTCTCGGCGCTGTTGTGCCTATGTTAGCAATGTACCAATGTATCCGAGTTCCTGTCGTTACCCTGGCTTCGCTGGCCGCCTTGGTCTGCCCCGGGCGACCCTTGATTCCACCTGCAATGCCGGCAGCAGTCGGACGGTTGGTAGTAACGTCGAATTTGGGTCCTCGGGCGGCATGCTTCAAGTCGAAAGGGTTGAACTGCTCGCGAATGCCCTCCAGGACCACCCCTCGCTGGAGTCGCTTTTCGTTGCGAGCGCGCTCATCCTGTGCGACGCGTCGCTTCTGCTTCTTGGATTGCTGAGGACCAACAATTCCCTGCTCCCTGAGGGACGCCTTGAGGCGCTTGAGCTGAGAGCCGGCCATCTCAACTTTGGTGGTTGTGGGAGTCTTGCCGTGGACTTTCAAGAATCAGAAGCTGGGAATTTTTTCTCTGAAAATCCTTATCGTTATCGGTTCCGTAATGGGGTGTGGGGCCATTGGCCTTGCATCCGTCACGGCCCCACCCTTGAGAGCCAGCTTCCGAGACATATTCTGGGATGCTGGTCACTGCCCGAAGTGGTTTCTTTTATGAGAAAATATTTTTGAGCTAGTGACAGGAGAACAAAATTAAATTCTCAGACAATGTCTAGACTGAACCCAGTGGAATGTTTTGGAGTCTGATGAGGTTGAGTAACACTGGACCGACTAGAGGGACGTCAACTGTAAATGTTAGAGGCGCTAACCCTGTCTAGTTTCGTCAAGGGCGGTGGGATGTGGCAGAATATGCTCGTCACGTCAGGAGCCTGACAGCTTCCCGCGACGCCGAACGTGGAGCACTACCTTCTTCGCCAGTATCATGACATCAAAAGAACCCCACCAAACAAGATGAGCTGGGCAAGCAGCCTGCTCTCATTTTCTCGCGATGAGCGGGTGGTTCTCGTGACCCTGGGCTTGGCCACCTTTGGCATTGTTAGTACCGTGTTCACTGCGCTCACCATCATCCGCGACGACAACGAGATCCCCCCGGCCCAGCCGAAGACACAGTACATCACCCAAGACACCGAGGACTCATTGCAGCTTGGGACCCTGGAAAAGCTCTTGGACCATCCGAATTATTCCATCCGAGAAATCGCGATTAAGATTCTCTGTGACAGAGCTGTCAACGACCCCGACACCACTCATGGTCTGCTTTACGGCATCACTAGACCAAATTATGATGAACGTATGCAATGCCTCCGAGCATTGGCTCTCCTTACCGGACAGACTATTGGTAAGTTTTGGAAGTGTGATGAGCCATGGCCCAACTAACTTCCTAGGTCTTGATGGACTGGCTAAGTTGAACAACGCCAAAGCGTATTCAGCTCTCGTGAGGTCCCTCGAGCTCAGCTTAACCGACGTCGAACGCCCAAGGCTCACTGATAGCCACTGGGACGAGTACTACCTGCGCGATATGGCCGAGAGGTTCTGTCTCATGTTCATTCTTGAATTAATTAACAAGTACGGCGCTAGCATGCTGGTTAAGGCCCGCTTCGTCGAGAAATGGCTTGCAAAGCAAGATTGGGGCGATGCTTCGGAGGAACGACGTCGCAATTTCAAAAACTACATGCAACTAAAAGGCAATAGAATTGTCGACATTGTGGACAAGATCAGGCTTTCAAAACGGGGTTTGCGAGCACTGGAAAAGGCAGGGCTGATTGACAAGGAAGTTTCAAGACGGCGAATTCGAGAGCTTCCTGACCTCATCATGGAGATTGAGGAGGACATCCAAGGTGGACCACTCGCTGAGCAGCAAGTCCCTCGGACCCGAGAACATTCCGCTGAAGAGCAACGGCTTCGGCGACAACATCGAGAAGCCATGGTTCTCAACGACGGAACCAGACCGCTGGGTCGCGAAGACATAATCGAGAGAGACCACGGCTCGCCAACTTAGTAAGAGGAGCGACTATGACCGAGGATGACAGATTGCAATCGCGATACTGCTCTGAGCACACATCGTGGTTACCTACTCTTAAAATTCGTGCGGCCATGCCTTGTTGGAGTAAACAGGACAAAGCACATGCGCACAGCTGACGGAGGAGGATTAGATTGGGTGGAACTCCATCGCTCGCGGGGCTTGGGGATGCATAGGTTGAAACATCGATGACAAAGCTGCCGAGCGCTATCAAGAGGTCTTATGCAGCGCGGACCATGGTGCATCCAATGACAACGGATTGATCGCCAGCAAGCAAAGAAGTGAGGACCTGAATGCCGATTGGAAAACCTGAGCACAGCGCAGGTAGAAGCGTGGCATTGGTGAATGGCAAAATACTCTAGAAATAAAGCATTAAATCATACGAGAAGCTGGACCCTTAGATTTGGCCTGCCGCTGAAAGTGTATACCCCTATTTATGGAACTCCATGATGATACACGAACCGAGGATGACACTTACTTGCGCAGGGTGAAGGGATCTGACAGGCCCGGGATGTAACGCTACTCAAGCGGGTGGCGGTGGTAATAAGGATGGGTGTCCTTGCGAGGGGGAATCGTGGCAATCGTGGCAATCTTAGAAATGAGTTCTTCCATCGGATCGCGGACATGAGGTGCTTGATTTCCGGATCTCATCCGGACAACGAGGGGGGAATGAATCAACTCGAACGAGACTGACTATCTCTTAGGATTGAGAGCAATTGTTTGGCACATCGGCAATGCGCCACAAACCCCTGCTGTCTCCCGACCTGGGAGGCCTAGACAGCAGCAAAAGATGGGGCCATGCGTCTTACTACCAAAGACGCAGGCTGTAGATTGATTACTGGGCTCTGGTAGGCCACAGCGGCTACCGGACAAGGGCCCACGGGGCGACAGAGTAACGCCAGCGGCAGGACATTCTGTTCGGTGGGCTTGCAGGCCAGGCTAACCGTTAACCAGGGGCCGGCCGGGCGTCCGGGCCATCAACGGTCAATCATGAGGCAGAGAAGCTCTTTGAAGTCCCACGATCCCACAGCGGCGGCGTCAAACCGGGGCGGCGCAGGGAGTTTGGCGGCGGTGGACCGGCCGGGGCGAATGGGACGACGGATTGAGGGTACGGCGGGTGCTCTCGGCGGCGATTGCATCGCAGGCCTGGGTTGTCATTGGAGCCCAGCGGGGAGGTCACCACGCGTGATGCCGCTCGTGCAGCGATGCCACGGCGACAGAGCTGAGGTGCAGGTAAACACAGCTGCAGGTAGATGCATCATGACAACGCAGTGCATGGGCGCCGATGTTTGGCCCCTCAACCGGAAAGCGGGCGAAGTAAATAAAGAGCGACGGCGGCCCGGTTGGAGGGAGCGGGAGAGGTTGATTGCGAGAGAGAGAGAGAGACGGATGTAGAATTCCCTGGTTGGAACCATCGACATCGACATCAACACCACCCACCGCTGCTAGCATCATCACCAACTGGATCTACTTGTCGCCATGGCCACGTATTTTCTTTGACGCTCTTCACTAGTTCTTTGTTCTCATCAGTCACCGTCGTCACCAGCAGCTCGCAGCTCGCAACTCTCCGCTCCCTCCTAAACCCCGTTGCCACCACCCCTGCGCTTCCCCGGAGTCTGTTCGTCTCATCCGCGCAGGGTCTCAACGGACAGCGGAACGCCATTGACCGTCCGCCCGTCCTTCCCCTGCGTCGTCCCTGGAACCTGTGTCAGAGGCTTGCACCAAGACCCGTGCAGAGGCGGTGACGGTGAACACGCAGTGAGGGCCTTTGAGGGCGAAGACACTCATAAGGGCGCTGCGCTGCCACCCCCTTGTTGGCGTTGACCACCATCTTGCTTCCATCGTTTGTCCGTCGGGCCATTTGCGCTGCGCATTTTGTCTCAACAGCACAGCGCGCAGTCTGCAATTCGCGAATACCAATCAATACCAGCCTCCCGTTGGCCTTTATTCCTTTTCGCTCTGCATCCCCCTCCTTCTCGCTCTTTCTTCTCTCTTCTTCCTTTTTTCCCCCTCACCCAATCTCTCCTGCTGAGCTGCTTCATTTCCTCGCACCCCACCAAAGCCGCCCGCGACCTTCTTCTCTCACCTCGCTACCAACCACCACCACCTGTACGGCGTCCTCGAGGTACCTCCCTACCTACCTTGTACTCATCAGAACCACCCCCCGTCTCTCTCCGGGCCCTTCGCCAAGTCGATCGATCGCCAGGCGCTCGTGCTCATTTCTCTTCCCGCAGAATTTTCAATTAGCTTCATTAGCCCACAGTCCACACAGTCCACACAGTCCACAGCCCACACCGCGCCGCCAGCCTGGTCACCTCCCGTCGTCGGTGCTTTTAGGTGCTCGGCAACCTGTGCTAGTCCACGGGAGCTACTAGCAACGGAACTTGCTGGAACTTGGAACTTGGTTCTCCTGCTCTCCGTTGCACAGGCCAGCATCTCTCCTCCAGAAGTCGCCCCCCTATTTGCCGGATGCGGCTGCGGCGTGGGGTGTAAACAAATGAGACACGCCCTCTGCGAATCATCCCCGATAGGAAAATAAGGCCCCAGCTGGCCTCGACCAAGGTCACCATGCCCTCCGCAACAACAACTACCCAACTGCGGCCCAAGACGCCTACGCGATCCTTGCGACGGCCCTCCAACACCGCGTCTACTCCTAATCTCAAGGCCGCCTACTCGTCCCATTCTCGACTGGGCCTCCCGCCGCTCCCTCCGCTCCCGCGCAAAGCCTCCCTGGCTGCCCTTACGCCGAGTACCCTCGCCAGCATCCCCGATGTTACTGAGAGCTACGCCGTCGAGTCCGTCCTGAGCGATCAGTCCCAGAATATGATTCCTACAACCCCCAGCCGCGCCCTCGGCGCCGACGTTGCTCTTGGGGACACCGTCGATGTCCCCGGTGGCATGCACGGAACCGTCCGCTTTGTCGGATCAGTCCAAGGTAAAAGGGGCACCTTTGCCGGCGTCGAGCTGAGCATGGACTTTGCTTCGAGGGGAAAAAACAGTGGCGATGTTGAAGGGTAAGCTGGAGTCTACACTTACTCTCAGTCCAGTCTTGCTCGCAGTGTGCTGACAGAATCATAACAGTGTGTCATATTTCACCACAACCGTCCCTGGCGCAGGCATCTTCTTGCCTGTGGCCAAGGCTCTGGTGCGGCGCGAATCGATTCCCTCGTTCCCGTTGACGCCAACGGCCAGCTCCTTCGGTGGTCTGAGGCCCGGTACCCAAAACTCCATCAACTACACACCTCCGACCCCCGGCCTGCCAAAGTTCAGCGCCTCCGTTGGCCCCGGCGCCCGCGCTCCGAGCCCTCAAGGGAAGCGGGCACCGCCGAGAACCTCTCTGCCCCGACCAGACTCTCCCGTACGCCGAATGCAGATGACCCCCGGACCCCGGCCGTCCATGACTACTCCCGGCAAGTCACAGCCACCAAGATATGGCAGCCCTACGAACCGCTTTGCCCAGAGCGTGCGCGGGACGGCTGGTGATCCGAGCAAGAAGTTGTCCAAGTTGGAACGCAAGCCAAGCATTGGGCCGCGAAGTATTTCTGCATTGGGGTCGGTTTCAGGGATGGATGAGGATGCCACCCCAGTAGGAGTACAGCGAACCATGACCAATGGCAGCATGGGATCCGTCTCATCATTCAGTATGAAGATTCGGCCTGCCTCCCGTGCTGCTTCCCGTGCTGCCTCTCGAGCTGGCAATGCTGGAAACGAGGAGGAGCTTGAGCGCTTGAGATCACAGCTCGAGGAGCGTGAACGCCAGCTCAAAGAACAATCATCCACCTTGTCAGAGATGGAAAGCAGCCTAGTCGAGCTACAAGGACTTATGGAGCACGCCGACGGACCGCCGCCACCACCCAGACGGAACAGTTTGGACAATAAGGACACAGTGCAGCTTCGACAGTTGCTACGAGAAAAGACCGACAAGATCGCAATGCTCACCACAGAGTTTGATGCGCATCGAGCAGACTTTCGGAGTACTATCGACACCCTCGAGTTGGCCAGCACGGAGACGGAGCGTGTGTATGAAAAGCGAATAGAGGAATTGATGGCAGATGTTCGAGAACTCGAGTCTCGAAACGTCGACGTCGACTCGGTGGCCAGCCAATTCAAGCAGCTGGAAGAACTCGTCCAGGAGCTAGAGGATGGTTTAGAGGACGCTCGTCGAGGAGAGGCCGAAGCCCGCGGCGAAGTTGAGTTTTTGCGTGGCGAAGTTGAACGAACGAGAACGGAGTTGCGCCGTGAACGTGAAAAGGCGTCATCAGGTGCTGCAGGAAACAATGGAGAGCCCACTGTGTCATCCAAGGAGCTGGAACAGAAGGACGATGAGATCAGGGGACTCAAAGCCATCATCCACTCCCTGAGCCGAGACTCTATCCCTGGTGGGGAAGACAGGACACCAACGCAGCGACCCGGCTCTTTCATCGCGGGAGATGCAGTTGAGATAAAGATTGCGCGCGATAACCTCGAGCGACAGGTTTCCGAATTGCAAGCGATTCTTGAGAAGAAGAACAGCCGAGAGGAGGAACTTCAGCTCGAGGTCGAGTCACTCCGCCAGGGAGGGAATACACTCAACCACAACAGGTCCTCTCTGAGGGACTCCCGTGACACTGTCATCCTCGCCCAAGCCTACGAGGCCCGCTCCCCCGAGGCTGCGCACAAGCGAAGAGGTAGCACCCTCGACACGATGCCTGAGAGCGATGTCTACTCCAACGCCACCGAGACAAGCACTCTCTGGTGTGAGATCTGCGAGACTAATGGCCACGACATCCTCACTTGCACCAACATGTTCGGTCCCGACGGTTCCAAGACTGGTGACGTGAAGATGGACTACGACAACAGTCACGATGAGCTAAAGCCTCACACTCCAACGGGCGATGACGCCCCCGCGCCCCTCTCGACCTTGAAGCTCAAGCACACTGGCCCTCCCACTCCCAACGTCAATATCCTACCTAACCCGATGGAGTCTGGTCCTGTGGCGGGCAAGGAGAGCGGCATCATGGACCCGGAGAAGTGGTGCGCTGTGTGTGAGCGCGATGGCCATGACAGCGTTGACTGCCCCTTTGAGGATGCCTTCTAAACTCACAAGGACACCATGTTCCTACTTGACATGGACATACCTACTTTTCTAAGGGATGAGAAGAGGATCATGACACGACCCTCGCGGAAGAACCAGATGGAGGACGCTTTACTATGCTTGGTGTGAACAGGCGTGATGAATTTCGCCTCATGCGTGTGCCTTTTTGACTTGTTTCTTGGTCCCGCCGTCTTGGGTCGGCCTTGTTCTCGAGCATTCGTTTGGCTGAGCATTTTTAGTGATACCATACCCCTTTTTGTTTTTACCCTCGAAGCTTGAAGCTTTGTTCTGCTTCGTTAGGACTTTTGTAATACTACGCGACACGATTATGTTCAGATGATGTGTCTTTTATCAACTGCTATGAAGCATGATGTGAAGTTTGATGTTTAGGTGTGATTTGTCTTGTTTGCATTATTGGCTCTCGATATTTTACTTATGTGCCGTCTATTGCTAACCTGGGTCAACATTTGATAGGCAAGCCCGGATTTACTAATTAACAATAGACTGCAACTTACAGTTATTTAGTCCTGACTTGATCACATGGTGTCGATAAAACCTCACAACCATTTACGACAACGGCGCCGTTTGAGGGGAAGCCTGGATGCGCTCACCGCGCATATTATGCCACCATCGCGCTCCCTTCCACATCTCATCGTCCCAACCTCCAACGAAATTGCGGTATTTGTGTAGGAACCAAACACTAGGCTCCCAGCAGCGGACATCCCAAGGTACGGCAGCGCCCATGCCGATTGTGCTCTGCTGAGAGCCCCAGCATACTAGCCCGCTAAGAAGGTCATGGCAGAGCTCATCCTCATCAATGGTTAGTTGTTCGTGATCCAGAGCTTTGATAATATTTTTGCGCAGTGATTTGAATGGTAGAACGTCCTAGCTATGTATTAGTATGCGGAGGATACAGGAAACAAGTAAGCGTACTATGTAGGGATGATGAGCAAAGGTAAGTTGTAAATCACAAGGCTGTAGGTCCGGTGCCAGATTACGGAACTTCGCCCTGACGACCGAGAGTTGGGACGGGTGATAGCCGAGTTCGGGTCCAAGACCAAACACGCTCCAGCCCTCGTCGGTGAGGAGAGGCTGAACATCGCACATACCGAGGGCGTAGCAGTTGGCAAAGAGGGCACTGAAGAGGCCAGCACTCATGGCGTATTGGCTGGGACTTTGACACGGGCCCGCAGTTGCAGTTAAACTAAGAGCGAGGGAGAATTTCAATGCCTCGGTTTGCAGTCTCGTGGAGAGCGGGGTATTGTTAGACAGAGAGAAGGCGGAGTTGTTATTATTGAACGGGTATTGGGGATATGGTGCGAAATAGGGCGATGGTGATGACGTGGTGGTAGCATCTTGTGTCTGTTGTTGAAGGAGCTGGATGAGGACTCGTTTTTGGTTTACAGAGAGATTGTTAACCCCTTGTAAAACTTGACGGAGAGATTCATCATTGTCAATTGACTCGTCTACTTGCGGAGAGAGAGGAGGGTCTGGGATAGTCTGCGTTGGGTTAGATTGTGATCGGAGTATTGCCTGGGATGGATTGCTATTCATCGTCAAGGGCCCAGACGTGTCATTAAACACGGCGGCCGAAGTGAAACGAGTTGTGACGGAGAGACTACTCCAGTTGTCGGTGATGAAGGGTGTTGGCTGAAAACTGGTGTTGTGTCCCGGTACGACATACTCATCGATACCGAGATCCACGTCCACGGCAGGGTCGATGTGATTTATTACCGACTGTGATATGACTGGCTCGCTCTCGTGGTCGTTTTTATCTACAGAAGTATTGTGACTAGAACTTTCAAGACCAGGACCGGGGCCGAGGAACTGGTCTAACAATTCCAGCTTCTGCCTCCGCTTTTCGCCTGTGAAATGCCGTTAGCTACGTCAAGCTCCAGGCGCAGGTATCGCGAGCGATAGAGACATACGGTAGTTGCGACTGGCTATCCGGTTTTGCTCACGCCTGGAATCGGTCATGCGCCTGGGCGCTGGCTTCTTGCCCTTGAGAGATCGTTTCTCCATGGTGGCGACAAGAGGCGGTGATGCCTGCCAGGGATATGAATACTGGAGGACGCGTTCGCAGCATCTCGCCCCGGGCCGAAAATATGAGAGAGATGTACCGATGCCAGTCAGAATAGCTTCAAACGGGCCCAGACACGATACGACGGGGAACAGAAGTGCTGATAGTAGTTTCGGTAGCGCATCTCAAAGCTCCGGGGTTGGATCGGGAGATGGCCGGAGCAGGTGGAGTATGATGTCAACCGGCCCCCCGCTATGCATCACACCGAGGCACTGAAATTGGAGTGTCAAGCGAACGATATCTTGCTGAGAATTGCCCTTCGGCCCAGATACTTCGTACACAGGGGGATATTGAACAAGGCAAGGGAATTGATGTGTCTTCTGGAAAAGGATGGTCACCGTAAGGAATTTCCTGTCTCTGCGGGGGTTCTGATTTGGACTGGCAACGGCCTGGATTACAACTCGAGCCGTGACTCACTCGCTGCCAATGGTGAAGGTTATCTTGGACAATGACCCGGCCGTTTGAGTTCTTGGATCGACCGTTTGAACTAAAGAAACCAGGCACCCCAACAGTTACGGTGGAAAAGCAAGCCACAGGGCGTTCGTTGCTCTCAGGGCCTCGAACTTGGACGCTGGGCAATCCGCTGTGGGGCTATCAACGCTGGCCCAGGGCCGGGTGAGGTTTTGCTTTTTCGGCCCCTTTGCACATCTCAGCATCTCAGCCCTTTTCCGACCTATCCATTTTAGCCTGCGGCTGGATGTCTCCGATCCGATGCATAGGTAGTCCGCGGCGGGCGAGTGCTCTGTCAGCGCTGTAGCTGGTCTGAGTATGCCTCGGGATGAGAGGCCCCGGGCGGCGAATGGGAGGAGTGGCGCATCAGCCAAGGGCTTGTCGGGTGCTATGCTACCCAAGCAAGCGTCGCCCGTGTCCACTCAGTGGGCGTCCAGTGGGCGTTCAGTGGGTGCTCAGTGGATACGCTCAGTGGAGCCCGCCATCGGACCCTGCGGCTGGAGAAGAAAAAAAAAGAGAGATTCTCAGTCAGAATTACGGCGGTACTTGGGTGGCTGTACTATTTGGGGGGGCTGCCGGGGGGTTTGCCAGGGCCGACTGGTACCCCCCGTGTTAGTGGTCTACCTCGGCCGGCAGCCTCGTCATGACGTGAGAGTCGTCGGCTTCCAGACAAGGCAAATGCTCGAGACATGGGAATCGAGTGCGGGGAAGTGGGAGAGGGAAAATGATAGAAAGTCCCAGACGCAAGGCAAACACCGTCCAGCTTGTTCTTTTGCTGCTTGGTAATAGGTGATTACTTGCTCCGGTTGCCTTCTCAGACGGTAGATACAAGTTGGCAAGCCACAGGCAGGCGTACCTAGGCGTACTAGGTAAGGTAGGTAGGCAAACACGCCTTGGCGGAGGGGGCTACCCCAAGTCGTGCATTATCAGCACCGCCACAGAATCGACTTTCTTCCACACAATTCCATGAGGCGCGCGCTCCGCCAGCCGACGACCCTGCCTGCAGCCTCCCTTCTCAAAACCCGTCCGCTCAAACCCCAGCGCCTAATCTCGACCTCGACGTTGTTAATCAAGAAGAACCTCTTTCTTTGTCGCGGGAATTTTTCTCTTCCCTTCTCTTCGTGCCCCCTGCATCTCGTTATCTCGCCCGTCCCGCGCTTCAACTCGCCTTGTTTCCTCCGACATCGACCGCCTCTCGTCCCTCTGCCCGGCGTCGTCATCCAACCCCTCCGATTGATCCAGTCACAAAAAGAGACAGAACCCGTGCAGCCTCCCACAGCCCCGCCGTCCGAGTTCGAGATACGCTTTGGTGGACAAGGTACGAACCTCAACAAATCCTCCCTCCTTTTACTCCCTCCTTTTACTCCTACTGTCGTCCTTGTTCCTGCGACGCCTGCACAAGACCCTTGTCCAAAGTCACCTTTGTCATCTTTGCGCCGCATTGTCGCTCGCCTCCTGTTCGCTGTTGGCCCGCTTGTGTTTGGAGCCCGCATTGTCATCCTCGCCCTGCCTCGACTCTTGCGCTCTTGGTTGCTTTGTTTCTACGACTTAAAACTAATTACAAATATCTCCAGAGTCCCTCCCTCTCCCTCGCGTCATCAAATCCCTCCTCGCAAACCGACACTTTTAGAACCCCCCCGGACCAACCGCAATCATGGTTAAGGAAACCAAGCTCTACGAGACCCTGGGCGTATGTCCCCAACTCTGCCCTCTTCCTCAGCAGACCCCATCTAAACTAATCGTTTCCAGGTCGCTCCTACAGCTACCGAGCAGGAGTTGAAGAAGGCCTACAAGACCGGTGCCCTAAAGTACCACCCCGGTAAGTTACCCTGGTTTAATACCGGCCTGAACCCTTCACCTAACCCCTCCCAGACAAGAACGCCCACAACCCCTCTGCCGAGGAGAAGTTCAAGGAGATCTCCCACGCCTACGAAATCCTCTCAGATTCCCAGAAGCGACAGATTTACGACCAATATGGCGAGGCTGGCCTTGAGGGCGGTGCCGGCGGCGGCGGTGGCATGGCCGCCGAGGACCTCTTCGCTCAGTTCTTCGGTGGTGGTGGCGGCGGCTTCGGCGGCGGCCTTGGCGGCATGTTCGGTGGCATGAACCAGCGCGGTCCCCCCAAGGCCCGAACCATTCACCACACTCACAAGGTCTCACTTGAAGACGTCTACCGTGGCAAGATCTCTAAGCTGGCTTTGCAACGGTCTATCATCTGCCCCAAGTGCGAGGGTCTCGGTGGTAAGGAAGGTGCAGTTAAGAAGTGCCCTGGCTGTGACGGCCATGGTATGAAAACCATGATGCGCCAGATGGGCCCCATGATCCAGCGATTCCAGACCGTCTGCCCTGACTGCAACGGCGAGGGTGAGATCATCAAGGAGAAGGACCGCTGCAAGCAGTGCAACGGCAAGAAGACCATCGTCGACCGCAAGGTCCTCCACGTCCACGTCGACAAGGGTGTCCGCAGCGGCACCAAGGTTGAGTTCCGTGGTGAGGGTGACCAAGCGCCTGGAGTCCAGGCTGGTGATGTAGTCTTCGAGATTGAGCAGAAGCCCCATCCTCGCTTCACCCGCAAGGAGGACGACCTTCTCTACAACTGCGACATCGAGCTGGTCACTGCTCTGGCTGGTGGCACCATCTTCATCGAGCACCTCGACGAGCGATGGCTCAGCATCGACATTCTCCCTGGCGAGGCCATTGCTCAAGGTACGTCTCTTGTTCCCGAAATGCCTGCTTGAATATCAATTAACAATTTCCCCAGATTCCGTCAAGATGGTCCGTGGCCAGGGTATGCCTGCCCCCCGACACCACGACCACGGAAACCTGTACATCCAGTTCAACGTCAAGTTCCCCGAAAAGAACTGGACCACCGATGAGGCCGCCTTTGAGTCTCTCCGAAAGATTCTTCCCGCTCACCTGCAGAACATCCCCCCGGCCGAGGCCATGACTGAGCCCGCCGACCTGGAGGACATGGACGGCCAGACCTCCAACAAGGTCTTTGGCCACCCTGATGGCATGATGGACGACGACGACGAGGATGGTCACCCCGGTGGCGAGCGCGTGCAGTGCGCTTCGCAGTAAGCGACCCGCGCATAGGCACCCCTAAATCGGGTATAGAAACAACATCGATGCCAAAGACGGCGTCCATTCCCAGCATGTCCCGCTTCGGGAGCAACAGATATCAATTGCGTGGGGACCAACAGAGCGGTTGAGTGTGGACGTTGAGTTGCCATTTATCGACGTCGCCTAATCATTACCTTCTCAATGATACCAAAACACGGGAGGGAAGCTTCTCTCCTTTCAGCGCAGTGATCATCATCTTGGGGAAAGCAGCGAGCGGGGTGGAGGACGGTGGGGATATACGCGCTTGACGGATCGTGTTTCGGTGTAGTTGGAGCATTCGATCTGGCTGGAAGGCGTTTGGAGGTTCATAGACGATTCAATGAGTTTGGTAGTTGCAGACGTAGACCATGAACATGACGATTTCTGTGATTCTTGAGCCTTCCTATTTTCACTTGTATAGTTGTATTGCCCAGCTTGCCTCAGAAGAAGACCCATGATGTCGAGATGATGTCACAAGCAACAAATTCAACCAAACTGTCGCAGAGATGGATAATGACGGCCAGTGGATGGTCAACCCCTTACTCAAGGTCATTCGGCTAGTATTTCACGCCGCAATCTACTTCTAATATACCTATTCTTCGCCGTGGTCATCTCCCTGCTCTTCACCCGGCTCCGTAGGCTGCTTGCGCAGGTTCTCTGTATTGTACAGCAATCCTCGGACCACCTTCTCTGGCACGTCCAATTCTTCCGCCTCGAGCTCCTCATCCTTGACAAAAGCAGTCGTGCCAACAGCCAACTTCTCATCCGTCATAATCAAAGAGTAGATGGCGAGGCTCTTCACCTGAGCTTGCTCGCCGGAGTCAACGGCGGCGATGACGCTGGGCGGTTCGCCATTGTTGGCTGGCTTGAGGGCCACATCCAGGGGCTTGCCGGGAAGTTGGATGACAGCTGGGCGGTTGAGAGTGTTGTCCTCGGTAAGCTGCCAGGAGAAGATTGCTTGGATTCTAGGACAATTAGTATAGTTATCTTCGAGGGAATAAAAGGATCATTACCCTTCGCAGATTGCCACAACGTAGGTGAGGTTGCCCGCCTCAGTGGGGTAGACCAAGGTCTGAAGGCCAGAGACAGCGACCTTGGTTAACTCAGGCGCGATCTCTTGCGCAAGTGATAAGATGTTTTTTTTCGAAAGGAGCTTCGCCGCCTTCCAGTCCCACAGGAACAGGTCCTCGTCTCCGCCCCCTGAGATGAGAACATTTCCCCTTGTGAGAGGAATCGTCATGGAACTGATGAACTCCTTGTGGCCAAAGCAGAAACCGTCGATAACGTACGCCTGTGGGATATATCTTGATACTCTGATGTGCTCATCTCGGTCAGCTGTGAGGATATACCTTCTGCCGTCGCTCTCGCCCAGAATGAGCGAAGTCAGCATGGAGACATGTCCTAGCAAGAGGGTGAGTTCGAAGCTGGGGCTTTCGGCCTTGGTTTCGTTTTCACCCTTTGACCGCGTGGCAAGTTCCATCTGTCGCTGTTGGTTGACAAGAGCCCGACGATTGCGCTGCGAGTGCACGGTCGTGGTGTTGGCAGCTGGCTTGCGGACAGGTTTGGATGAATCCGGCGTAGGAGTTGATGGCTGAGGGGTAGAAGGAGGAGGGGTAGTCTCAATGAGAGGCAGCGCATAGACATCGCCGAACTTGTCAGCACAGATGATCTGGGAGTCTGGAGCAATGGCGACAGAGCTGGGACGCTTGGGCATGGTTCTATGAGGATGTTAGTAAGAGTTGTACACCATCTTCCTGAAGAGCTCATGGGTTCTCACCGTCGGCTGAGCTGAGTGAGTTGACCCTTTCCGTCGTGCTCAAAGACCCAGATGGCCTTGTCATGACCGGTAATGGCCAGGACATGAGCTCCATCGGTCGTACTTGTTAGGTGTGTGATAACTGGACGGTCTGGAACCCTTGAGATCTGGTTATCCTTGCGCGGCTGGCTATTTTGCTTGCTCTTGTTCTTCTTTCCCTTTTGGTTTGCCTTTCCTTCGCCCTTGCTTTGCTCTGGGCCCTCTGCAACGTTCGACTCTTGCGCTCCCTCATTGTCAGCGGTCTTGTTGACCTCTTCCTTCGGCTCCTCCATCCTCTGTCTCTTGGCTGGGGGCTCATCGCCGTTGCCTCCCTCAGCAGCCTCAGGAGCCGGGCTCACGAGATTTTTACTCGCAGCCTCGTCGGCAATGGTCTTGACCGCAGCGTCTACTTTGTCGACATCCAGATGCTTCCATGTCGAGAGATGAGTCCCGTCGTCCAGGTTGAATGAATGGAGCTTGCCTCCCCGGGCGGCAAAGAGAATATTTCCACTGACGTGGAGAACATTGTACGGGATCTTCATCTTGCACTTCGATGCGGCTCCCAATGGCAATATGTTGGCACCGTGGAAAAGACTGCAGACAGTTCAGTCACTAAGCGTATTCGCCAAGCTCAAAGCTCTCTACGGCGCCATGTGAAAAAAAGATACATCCGAATGTACCTGCACCTGCACGCGGCCCACTACGATTCCCAGAACAGACTAGTGTCCCTTAGCCCTAAGCAGCCCAATGTCCAAAACACACACTTTTTTATCGCCGGCGCTCAAAATCGGAATTCTTGCCTTCACACGACAACTTCCGTCTACCACATACAAATTACAATACCCGACACTTGCCCTTAAACAACCTGCCTTCAAAAGTAAGAAGATATGGGGGGCAAGACTGCAAACAAGGCCGGCTACTTCGATAAGCTCAAGGGCTTGTTGGAGGAGTACAGCTCCATCTTCATCGTCCAGATCGACAATGTCAGCTCTCAGCAGATGCACGAGATCCGACAGGCTCTGCGATCCAAGGGTGTTGTCCTGATGGGCAAGAACACCATGGTAAGGATCCCTGCGCTCCTCCATGTCTAGAATTGGATTGCTAACGCCATTGATTAGGTTCGCCGAGCCTTGAAGACCTTCGTTTCCGACTCCCCCGAGTACGAGCGTCTCCTGCCTTTCGTCAAGGGCAACGTCGGTTTCGTTTTCACCAACGATGACCTCAAGGACATCCGAGACATCATCCTCACCAACAAGGTCGCCGCCCCCGCCCGTGCTGGTGCTCTCGCTCCCGCCGACGTCTGGGTTCCCGCTGGAAACACTGGTATGGAGCCCGGCAAGACCTCTTTCTTCCAGGCCCTCGGTGTCCCCACCAAGATCGCCCGTGGTACCATTGAAATCACCACCGATCTCAAGCTCGTTGAGGCTGGCTCCAAGGTCGGCCCCTCCGAGGCTACCCTGCTCAACATGTTGAACATCTCTCCCTTCACCTACGGTATGGGCATCTCCCAGGTCTACGACCAGGGCCAGACCTTCCCTCCCAGCGTTCTCGACATTGGTGAGGAGCAGCTCCTCAAGGCTTTGACCTCTGCCATCGCCACTGTTGCCACCATCTCCCTGGCTATCAACTTCCCCACCCTTCCCTCCGTCATGCACTCTCTTGTCAACTCTTACAAGAACGTTCTGGCTGTTGCCGTGGAGACTGAGATTACCTGGCCCGAGATTGAGCAGCTCAAGGACCGCATTGCCAACCCCGACGCCTACGCTGCTGCCGCCCCTGCTGCCGGTGCCGCTTCCGGCGGTGCCACTGAGGCCGCTGCCGTTGAGGAGGAGAAGGAGGACTCCGAGGAGGAGGACGATGAGGGCTTCGGCGGTCTCTTGTATGTGCCCCTTTCGAGCCCCATTGACAACTTGCATGCTAACCGATTCACAGCGACTAAATTATGTAGCCACGTTACGACGGTGAACGGCCGGTTTTCAGGACTTTGGTTGGGTTTACGAATCATGGATCTAAAAAAAACGGGTACATATATCGTCTGCTGGACAATTAAACCTGTCACGACGGTCACAACATTGCGTGCCCCATTCTGTGAGAGGATCCCTGAAACGTGTTCAATGAACCAATCACCTCCCCTACTCCAAAGGTTAGTCCAACCACATGTTTTCGTTATTTCCGGATGATTATACAAACGTTCAAGAGCTTTTTAACCCTGATATCTCCTGATGACACACACATCACCACCCTATGACGGATATTCTTAAAATCATATGTTTGAAATTGCTTTGGAGGGGTATCAAGGCTAACACAAATATATCACAGGTCGCCGTATTTTACTGGTTCTCGTCTTACATCGTGTGACGCCGTATCATTCCAATCACCCGGTCCCGACCCGTCCCGGATTATGCCCTGCCCCAGCCGACTCCATGGGATGATGATTCAAAACTTGCCGTGCCACTCCGATTGCCCGCTCTGGCAATCCTGCCAGTCTCGCAACCTTGAGGGCGTGACTCTCCCGGTTGATTCCCTTTCGTAGCTTGTGTACGTAGACGAACCCACCCTCGCCATCTTCCTCCACGTCCGTGCAGTACGTATGCACAGTGCCGCGATTCCCGTCACACAACCCCTCGGTTGCGGCGAGGTCGGCTACTTGGTGGAAGTGTGTCGCAAATAACGTCCTGCATTGGTTGACGGTCGCCAAGTGATGTAGGCATGCGAATGCAACTGCTGTGCCATCCTCGGGCGTTGTACCCCGTCCAATCTCGTCCATTATCACGAACGATCGCGGGGTTGCGTGTTTGAGGATCTGGGCAGTTTCAAGCATCTCCACCATGAAGGTGCTCTGGTCCCGGTATAAGTTGTCGGCTGAACCAACGCGGCTGAAGATAGCGTCGACGATGCCTATCTCTGCGTAGGACGCCGGGACGTAACAGCCGATCTGCGCTAGGATGGTGATGAGCGCATTCTGGCGCAGAAACGTACTCTTGCCAGCCATGTTTGGACCCGTGATGAGCCAGATACGGCCATCAGTTGGTGACCCGACCAGGCAGTCATTGCTAACGAAGCTGCGTCCCTGTTCAAACAGGCCGCCTTCGACAGTGGGGTGCCGGCCGCCGACGATGGTGTGACATGTCGTGTTATTCAGCGTGGGGCGCACGAGACTCTGCTCGAGAGCCAGCTTAGCGAAGGATGTCGCGACGTCAAGCTCGTCGAGAACGGCGGCATTGCGGCGAAGCTTGACGAGATTGCGGACGACGTTCTCACGCAGGGCGTGGAAGACGTTCTGCTCCTCGGCCCGGATCTGTACGCGCACCTGGTCCAGGCGACGTCCAAGGGCCGTCCACTCGGGGAGGTGAAAGGAGCGTGTCGAGCGGCTGGCGGACAGCGCCATAACATCGGTAAAGTTCTTGACGTCCTTGCCCTTGACGTGGGCGATGTGGCCGAGGCCGGGTGTCCAGCGGAGGGTGAGACTCGGGGCACCGGTTCGTTCGCATAATGTCTCATTGAGGTCACCCTTCTCCTGGAGAAGGGAGTTGAGCTCGGCGTGAAGACGCTTGAGGGTGCGACTGGCGGCTGGCTTCATGATCCAAGCCTCGTTGTCGTCGGCATAGTACTCCCGGATAGAGGTGGGACGCTTCCGCTTGCCCTTGGGTAAAGCGGCAGCATCCTCAGGCGAGCCCTCGCTACTTACTATGTCCTCGGCGAGGGCAATCATTTGACTCGCCTCACTATCTTCAGCTTGGTGCTGCTGGACAATACCATCTTCATCAATTGCGGCTTTGATACGACGCGCAAGCTTGACAGGCTCAGTCAGGCTTATCCGGGAGGTCAAGGAGGCAAGGCAGTCAGGGGTAGGTGCATCAGCAACGGACGGGGCATCTTGGAGGAGAGTGACAATGTCCCTGGTGGCGGTGATGGTGTTGGCAAGGCCAATGAGGTCGTCAGCGTCACCTCGACCAAGGGCGAACTTCTGCACCAGGCGCTGGGAGTCATGGCTTCGGCGCAGTAGAAGTATTACAGAGTCACGGAGATCTGCGTCCGAGATGAAGTGGGCGACGAGATCCTGTCTAGCAGTAATGACATCCAGGGACGTCGAGGGCGCGCTCAGCCACTCATTGAGCAGGCGGGCACCACTCTTGGTAACTGTGCGGCGGATAGCATGCAGAAGGCAGCCTCGGAACGCGCCGTCACGGATGGTCTGCTTGACCTCTAGGGCGCGAAGGCTGTTCTTGTCAATGGCCATGATCTGCATATTCTCGTGCCGCAGCGGGGGCTGCAGTTTCATGCTCGCGCCCTGCAGGCGATCCTTCACATAGTTGAGGACCAAGCCGACGGCGAGAACCTCCTCGGGGGAGAAGCCAGCGGCGGCAGGGGTAGGCAGGGGCGCCTCCAACATGGGGGTCCAGTCAGACGGGCTGAGCAGGTCACCTTGGGGTGAGTAGGTGATGAGGTGACGGTCGTCGGCCAGGAGGGGGAAGACTGGGTGGTGCGGATTCGACTCCAAATCTTGGTCCAGGACGAGCTCGCGCGGACAGAGTCGGGAAAGGATCGACGGCAAGGATGCAAGATTGGTCTGCTGGGTGCCAAAGCGACCCGTCGAGAGATCGAGCCATGCCAGGCCGAGTGGCACGTCCTCGACGGGGTAGCCAACAGCTGAGGGCGGCTGGTGGGCTGATGGTGATGGCGATGCTGCCGCTTCTGGCGCTGGAGCTAGGGCCGCCACATTCGTCGCCGCAGTCGAGCTCCGCAGCTCGCCGGGATGGGCGTAGGCGTGGACGTGGATGGCCATGACATAGTTGTTGGCGTACGGATCCATGAAATTCTCGTCGATCAGGGTCCCGGGCGTGATGATACGGGCGACTCGGCGGTCGTGCATCAGCCCTCCCGACTTGACCTTGTCAGAGGCCGAGTTGGGAAACTCTTCGGCCACGGCGACATGGCGGTTAAGGTCCTGGACGAGGACTTTGAGGTAGCGATCTAGCTGGAAGAAAGGGAAGCCGGCCTAGAGAAGGAGGGTGAGTTTGAGATGAAGATGTTTTGGTTAAGGGGTATTATGGTTTGAGTGTGAGAGTATCTGTGGGAGCATCTGCAGATGTAACGGGTGTGTGTATCTGTGAGTGTGTCTATGGGTGTGTGTTTCCGGGTGTTTATGGATGGTGTGCCTATGAATGGTGTGTTTATGGGTGTTTCTAGGCATCTGAACATATCCGAGCCGGTGTGTGTAGTGGGAGGTTTGGTAGAGGTTTAGGGTCCGACTCACCATGGGCACAGGGCCAGCATTGGTCTTCTTGGTAGCCACCTTGAGATTGAGCAAGGGTCCATAATCATCAGCGTGCTCAAAGTACAGCTCGTAGAAGCCGCCCACACGTGTTAGTAGTACGCAGTTCTCAAACTTGCGCATATTCCGACGCGCCTGAAGGACGACGGTAGGGTATGCCGGTTCATCCTGGGGTAGCGGATCGAGGGGCGGCGATGGCGATGACAACTGGGAGGCCCTAGGCTGGATGAGGCCCTGGGGTAGGTCCGAGAGCTTGACGGTCGTTTTCGTCTTGTTTCCCCTGGCCTGGAGCGGGCAATGGGGAGATGCTGGCGGGAGGAACCGCCAGAGATGGCCGCTTAGCCCAGGAAGACGTGAGGGGCGGAGACTGTGGAGGAGAGGACGCCACGGACGCAAGGTGAGACGAGGAACGTCATCATGGGCATGTTCATGAGCTGGGGAAGCGCTATCGGCAGAGTGGGCGGCAGCTGATGGAGCTTGTCGAGCTCCATCTCCAAGTTGGGGAGCATCAACAACACGGGCTGCTCGTGCTACTGGCGCCAACGCAGGCACCGTTGACACAGCCGCAATCGCGGTCGAAACAGAATCCAGCTTAGACGCGGCGGACGATGGAGCCAGGGGCCGCAGATGGCAGACACGGGGGGCACCATGCGGCCGGAACATCAAGATGAGCTGTTTGGGGACCGATTGTCGGGATCGATGTGGTGATGGTCGCGGGATGGGGGAATACGCCATCACATCACGTTGTGGTGGGCTCCCGAGCTCCCGTGCAGCCGCTAACGACTTACGCAGGGCTCACGCAGGGGAGGGGGCTTTGGGATCATCTACTGCAAACTCCGACGTATGTTTTGATCTCCAGCTTACAAAGGACAAGGGACCGGGGTTTGCAAAGAGAACTGTCATGTATGATATGTCCTACGTAGTATTTGGGCGGAGAGTCCAGGGCGGAGAGGCGGAGAGGCCGGGACGGGGGGTGACTGGCGCACGGAAACAAGGCGCCAAAGAAAAGAAAAAAAGAAAGCCGAAAAGCAAACACGAAAAAGTGGCTCCCGATATAGATACAAGCCGGACGAGGCATCCGAACAGAGCCATGTTACGATTTTTCCCTTGTGTGACGATGGACTGTGGGACAGCGGAGGGTGGACAGTGGAGATGGACAGTGGAAGGACTGTGGAGACACAGAGCGAACATCGGTGGATCCCGCAGTGTGGCCACACCTCAGAGGCCAAGTCCCAGGAACCACGGAACGAACGCACGGCGCCAGACGGGCCACAGGGAGATTTACGGAGATATACCGTAGCGGCGGCGCGGGAGCCCGTGAGCGAACAGCACATGCAGCGGGTGGAATGGGCCCATGGAGGCGCCGACGCAGCGTGTGCTGGGGCCAGCTGGAGGCAGATATAGAGAGATGGAGGGGAAGAAACCGGGCCGCGGCTTGCGTGGTGGGATCCTGGGATGGAATGGGATGGAATGGAATGGGATGGGATGGGATGGGATGGGATGGGATGGGATGGGATGGATTGGGGAAGAAGGATCATCATGGCCAGAGCAGCAGCCGTGTACTCAACTCAAACGTTAGGTACCTAGCGGCCTCTGCGCTGTGTTATGTGCGCTGGACAGCCCCCCAGTCCAGTGGAGAGAACAGCGGTCGACAGGTAAATCGGCCCAGGGTGAGGTGGTGCCTAGATGCCTCTCTGGCGGGAGATGGAGGGAGACGCCCTGTGCGACCTGGAGCGCCTGTCCAGCCGGGCACTGGGGTGGTGCCACTAGAGACCCGAGAGGCCCTGGAGATACCGAACGGTCGGCGCGAGATCAGGGCGCGGCCAGGGCTCGGCTGGAGGTGTTGTCCCGGAAGATTCCAGTGGTGTGTCCAGTGGCATGGGCGTACTCCGGTAGGTACTTACTCAGGGAGTGACAGTGGCATTGGTGGCAGGCCTCAATGCGTTGGGGGGGGGAACTCAACATCCAACTGCCCCCAGGCCAACAGCCCAGAGACAAAATACAGTGTCGAAAGGTGCATTAACCCACTGGGCGGTCGGCACCTCGACCGCTGGGCCTTTAAGCAAAAAAGCAAGAACTCGCATCTCAATGCCATGCGCTATGGCCCCATGCCGGCGTCATCATCATCCCCTCACGGCTGAGGCACGCCTCACCCACGGATCATGCCTCATGCTGCATCTCACGCTCAATGCCCAATGCCGTGTGTTCGGCGGACGCCTTGCCTGGCTTGGCCTGGCCGGGGCTGGCTGACGGGGGCTCTGGTCTCTAGATGAGGTAGCAATGCTCCGCACGTCGCCCATCCATGCCACCTCCATCCTTGGGTTGCTGCTGTGCTGTGATGTGCTGTGCTGTGCCACGCCGCGCCTTCAGCCCGTACTGTGGATGTACTGTACCCGCACTGCACCGGTCTGCCAGCTCTGCACCCACCGGGCTGCAATCCATCGTACCGTACCGCACCGCACCGAACTCGCACAAACTGGACCCTTTCTCGACCTAGAACCTCCCTGCGGCCCTGCGCCAGGACGGAGTACACAGTACGGTATAGATTGGGCGTGACCGAATCCTGGCCCACCGCCAATGGGGTGCTGCTGGCATAAGCATATCTGACGGCACTCACCAAGTCGCGGGGTCGGCGTGGGCCGATTCTTCTGAGCCTCAGACCATTTTGGATCCGCTGCCACACGTTTGTCGCCAGACCCCTGGGCCTCTCTTGGCCGCATCTGTCGATTTTGACCATGGCACGGCCACCACGGCCACCACGGCCAGTCCAGCCAGTCCAGCCTATATATCCCCTTTGTGCGCGGTCAATAGCTCAAGGACGCCTACTTTCCCCTTCCTAGCCTTTCACCGTCTCAGAGTCCCCGTGCCTGTTCCCTCGTGCACACACCAGAACTACACAAGAGAAACGCATTCCCACTTACATCGCACAACCCGCCAAACACGCCACCCACTTACACCAAAATCCAACCACCAGAACGCCCCCCGACGAACACGGAATAAACCGCCAACCCGGAAACAAACACCCAAAACGCTCTGCCAAGACGATATCCAAACCCCAGCAAAACACTCGGGTCTCTAGGGAGTCTCTAGAAACCCACCCAATATATACTACAGTCTCTATATATGGTCTCCGGCCCAAGCCCAGGCGCCCACATGGCGGCCATGATGTCGTCTGTCAACCCCTTCACCCCGGTGACTCCCCCACCGGAAAGCCTCGCCTTTCCTAAACCTCCTGTCCCAAGGCCCTTTCAAAATAGTCTCAAGCGCAAGGCTACAATGCAAGAAGCCCTTGCCGGTCCTTCGATACCTCCTCCTGCTCCTGCTCCGACTTCGCAGCCCCAGACGGCCTCATCCCCTGCCGGCAGCTCCAGCCAGAGCGACTCGAAGTCGCCACCGCCTCCCAGCGTGGGCGGAGCCAACCTCGATCCCAAATACCTCGCCATGGTCTCTCGCATCGCTGCCTACTATCAGCAGCGGTGCCAGGCCGTGGCCAACTACCAGCAGCAGAGGTGCCAGGCATGGGCCAACATGCACCGCCAGAGGTGTCAGGACATGATGCAAGCATCCATGCTGGTAGTGGCGTGGTACGTGAGGGATCGCATCCAACGACGACGCCGACGGGAGAAGAGGAGATTCAAGTCGGGCCTGAGACGTCGCACAGCACAGCCCAAGATCACCAGGACTGAGGTCGTCCGCCGCTGGGTGAAGCAGGTCCCGGAAACCCCAGAGTCGCCTAGCAGCGCCATCACCACCATGATCACCGACCCGGCTGAGGCTGAGTTCTCCATGGACAAGGACCCACAACCTGACAAGGACGCCAAGTTGTTTGAGATGGCCGATAATCTCATCAAGAGCCAGTACAAGAAAATCGAGGTGCCCATCATGGGAGTCCTCAACTTCGACGAGAGCGACAACGACAGCGAGAGCGAGCCGGAGGAGCCGGATCAGCTTGATGAGATGGACGAGGATGACGATGACCCCGAGGGAGATGAAGAGTACTACGAAGTGGAAGACGACGAGCTCTACGATGACGATATGGAGTACGATGGAGATGATGGATCCGAGGTGGTTCACCACGGGACAGGAACCGGTTCAGGCAGCCGGGACAATGACCGGAGTGAATCTTCATGATGACTACTTTTTTTTTTTCTTTTTTTCTTTTTGGTTCGGATGGAAAATTAATGACGGCGACAACTCATCTACACGTGTACTGTGTTTTTCTCTTTTTTACACCGGCGCAAACTGGCAGGCGGGTATGGGTCCAACACACGAAAGAAACCCTTGGGAGTCAGAGCATCTCACTTTTTATACACAGCCATGATACCTTTTGACCTTAGCTTGCCCACCTACCCATAGTACAACAAAAACCTGTACATAGCTCAGCCGGCACGCGCCCTACTTTTTAAATGAGAAGACACACAAACTTGTTTCAAGAAAATAAATGAACCTCGACCCTAATAAAATGAGCGCATATGGGCAGATAATGGTGCACTGAATGAAATGGGGGCCAGGGATCAGCCCTGTAGAGGTGGGATGGAGAGATGGTTCGTGGCAGCCATGCCCCGACCGTCTGGGACGAGGCAGATCAGGGTGGTACGGGACGTAATTTAGCCGTGCTCGGATTGAGGTGACATTGTGAAGATTTTGACGGGGATGTATCATCCGTCATCTCTCTGCGTGGAGCGGTAAGTGCAGCTTGATGAGCACGGTGTTCACAGCTGATACATGGCGTGAACACACTGTACGCCGTGTGTACCACCTACTATGTAAGGTACCATGGCAAGACACGGAAGCCGTGAAACCATTACGGTTCAATTTACGAGTCTGCCTTGCTCTTGCATCTAGAGCTTAAATGTCTTTCGGGAGCAGGAACTGCAATGGGTAACTCTCAAGGTTGGTCAATAATCTGCTCCGTAACCGCCGCAGGATGAAAGTTGAGACTTCCGCAAGAACTGTTGTCAACGTCGCTGCATTTGCATGTATCGGCAACGGCTACCCACGAGAGAACTCTAATGGCTGGCCGTCTGCCTATAGAAGAGGTAGTTAAGCCTTGAGCCATCTCCGAAACTGTCATCCTCCAACTCTTCATCCTCTCCTCGTCATCCGCCCTCGACCGTCCGTCCTCGACCTTGTCCGCCTATCTCCGATTCCATCGTTTGTCCTCAGGGTGCGCCCTCGTGCGGTTTTTGGGTCCGGATCCTGAGCTTCCTTCGCGTCATTCGTCAGATATCAGGGTTTAAACGGTATACTTTTTCACTTGGACTCCTTCGCAACCCCAAACCCTTGGACTCGCGGCCAATGTCGGCCGCTGTGCCAGCCATGATGAGGTACGTTTGGTTTGTTTTGTTCTCTCTCTCCCACTCACCGATGGTTCCACGGCCGGATCCCTTTGGGGAATGGCTTGGGTCTTCCCCGCAACCAGCGCCGCAATGGTCTCCAATGCTAGGGCCGCTGTTAGGGGGCTCCTTCTGCTGCTGGCGGGTCCTCCCCCCGGGCCTGACAGCGCCTGGGACTCGGCACCCGGGCTCCCTATGGCTCCCTGTAGATGGGGCCGCTGTGGGCCTTGCACCTCCATCACAAGACCCCGCCACTTCAAGCCTCCGCCGTTCTCAGGGTGCTGAAGCTGAGCTTGTTTGACCTTGAGGAGCTTCCCAAAACAACCCGTGTCGCTCAGTTGGCTTCTATTAAAGCTCCCAACTCCCAGCCCCCAGCTCACTCCTCTCCATCTTCCACCCTGCATCACCCCCAAGTCCCAATTCCACCAATCCCATCAACAACACCACCCCACTCTCGTGTTTCAATCCACACGTTACCGCCTCTCACTCTCGCTATTGACTTGCTCACTCATCCCTCGACAGCTACCAAGAGACTCTCGTCGACCACCTCCTCCCTGTCTCTGCCGGCTGTCCCCGCCATACGCCATCTCCCGATAACCAGCGTCGGCATCCGCTCCCAGGAAAGCTCCGACGTCTTTCCAATCGATCTGCACCTCCCGCTCCCGGTCACCCTCTCGACGCTCATACTATGGGTGGAGGCGGCGAGCTCAAGGGCCATGGCTCTTACCCTGTCTTGGCCGAGCGGCCCGTCGGCGTGCCTAAGACGAGCATCCTGAAAGGCCGTATCGAACCGTTCTATAAGCCAGGACAATATGAGAAGGTCAATCTATTGGCGTACGTAGCAATTCCCTGACCCCCCAAAATCCCCGAAGCTAACGTGATTGATGCAGGAACATGTACAATGCCACATTCTCAGGCAAGCCCCACGTTCAGCTATGGGTCTGGGATGCCCCAGAAACCACCCGCCCGACCTTCGAGGAGGCCACTTCCCACGAGTTCAGAGAAACCCACGTCGGCACCTCTTTCGGTCCCTCGTGGTCTACTCACTGGTTCAAGGTGGTCCTGCGCATCCCCAGTGACCTTGATGATGAGGAGCGCATCGAGCTCCACTGGGATGCCCACAATGAAGGTACCATCTGGACCCATGACGGCATCCCCATCCAGGGCCTCACCGGTAGCGGCGAGCGCATCGAGTGGATTATCCCCCAGTCCTTCCGCGATGGCAAGGAGCACACGATTTATGTTGAAATGGCATGCAATGGCATGTTCGGAAATGCGCCCGACGGTAAGACTAGTATTGCGCCGCCAGACCCTAACAGGCACTTCACCCTCTCCAAGGCCGACATCGTTGCCGTCAACCTCCCGGCTCGCATGCTTCTCTTCGATATGTGGGAGATTGGCGATGCTGCACGAGAGCTTCCAGAGAACTCGGCTGAGCAGAACCACGCCCTCTCCGTTGCCATGAAGATCATCAATACCTTCCAGGTAAACGACCAAGAGTCCATCATCAAGTGTCGCAAGCTTGCCCAAGAGATCTTGGGTCCTGATGTGGATTCCCACCGCGTTTACGAAGTGGGAAAGGACCCCGTTGTGTTCGGCATTGGCCACTGCCACATCGACAGCTGTTGGCTGTGGCCCTGGGCTGAGACGAAGCGCAAGGTCGTCCGGTCCTGGACCAACCAGTGCGATCTCATGGAGCGCTACCCCGAGGCCAACTTTGCCTGCTCCCAAGCTCAGCAATACAAGTGGTTGAAACAAAACTACCCCGCCGCCTACGAGCGAGTCAAGTCCAAGGTCAACGAGGGCCAGTTCCATCCAATCGGTGGTAGCTGGGTCGAGCACGACACCAACATGCCCAGCGGCGAGTCTCTTGTTCGTCAATTCTTCTATGGCCAGAGGTTCTTTGAGAACGAGTTTGGCTCTCGTTGCCGTACTTTCTGGCTACCTGATACATTTGGATACTCGAGCCAACTTCCTCAGCTCTGTCGACTGGCTGGCATGGATCGTTTCATGACCCAAAAGCTGAGCTGGAACAACATCAACAACTTCCCCCACACCACTTTCATGTGGGTCAGCCCTGATGGCAGCCAGGTCATCTGCCATATGCCCCCGTCGGAGACCTACACCGCCGAGGCCAATTTTGGCGATCTTAGAAGGAGCATCTCGCAACACAAGACTATGCGGGTGGATAGCTCGTCTCTTCTTGTCTTTGGCAAGGGCGACGGTGGAGGCGGTCCTACTTGGCAACACTTTGAGAAGCTTCGGCGATGTGCTGGAATCAGCAACACCATCGGTGGCATCCCCAAATTGAAGCTTGGTCTCTCAGTTGATGACTTCTTTGACCGACTCAGTCCCAAGATCGGCGAGTTCCCAACGTGGTACGGCGAGTTGTACTTTGAGCTCCACCGAGGTACCTACACAACCCAGGCCAACAACAAGTACTACAACCGAAAGGCCGAAGTCATGTTGAGGGATATCGAGCAGCTGGCTACGATTGCCTCGATTAAGAAACCGTCGTATAAATACCCAACCAGAGATATTGACGACATGTGGGAATCCGTGCTTCTTTGCCAGTTTCACGACTGTCTTCCTGGAAGCAGCATTGGCATGTGCTATGATGATTCAAACGAGGTATGCGCTCTATCCTATACCATTCATACCGTATTGCTAACTTTTCTCAGGTTTATGCCAAGGTATTTAAGACTGGAGAGAAGTTGCTCAAGGAACTTTACAGTGTGTTTGGTGTATCAGATGCTCGCTCTGATTGCCTTCACGAGTCTGCGGTCGTCAATACCCTCCCCTGGCACCGAAAGGAGCTCGTCGAGATCTCTGAGACGGAGGTGGGCGTTGCTTGCGGTGATGGGCAGGTGATTGCTCTTCGCTCCTTTAAGGTACAAGAAGAGAAGCCTGCCGTCTCGGTTCTGGAGGAGTCGCGGAATGTTTTCGTTCTGCAAAACGATCAGCTCCGCGTCGTCGTCGAAGGTGGATGTATCACCTCTCTCCGTGATTTGGTCAACGATCGTGAGATCGTCGACAAGGGCGGAAATGCCAACAAGTTTGTCATTTTCGATGATATTCCTCTCTACTGGCAGGCCTGGGACGTGGAGGTCTATCACCTAGACACCCGCAGACCACTGGAGTATGGCCAGACGAGCATCTTCGAGCAAAAGGCCCATCGTGTCACTCTGGTGACGGACATCAAGATCAGCGAGAACAGCTCGGTAAAATCCTACATCAGCTTGTCTGCAGCGCTCAAGGGTCAGCCTTCGCAGGTCGACTGTTCTGCCGAGGTAGACTGGCACGAAGACTCCAAGTTCCTCAAGGTCGAGTTCCCCGTCGACATCGTCAGCACGGAGGCTTCATACGAGACGGCATACGCCATCACCAAGCGACCCACTCACTACAATACCAGCTGGGACATGGCCAAGTTTGAGGTGTGCTGCCATCGATTTGCTGATCTCTCGGAACACAACTACGGAGTTTCCATCCTCAACGACAGCAAGTACGGGTTTGCAACTGCTGGCAAGGTGATGCGTTTGTCTCTTCTTCGATCTCCCAAGGCCCCCGATGCGAATGCAGATATGGGGCGCCACTCCATTCGTTGGGCCATCCTCCCACACAAGGGAAGCCTGTCGTCAGAAACAGTGAGAGCGGCCTACGTCTTGAACAACCCCCTTAAGCTGCTTTCGGGATCCAAGACAACCATCGCGAGTCTTGCCCAATCGCCTATCAAGCTTGTTAACACGGACGAGTCTCGGTCTCTGATCCTGGATACGATCAAGCGCGGCCACGATGATGAGGAGATCAGCCGGGATCAGAACCTGCATGTTAATAAGGGACAGAGTATCATTTGTCGAGTGTACGAGTCCCTGGGCGGCCACAGCAGGGGCACGATTGAGACGACATTTGATGTCAAGCGAGTCACCAAGACCAATATCCTTGAGGACGAACTCGAAGAGCTCAAGTATAAGGATGGCAAATTTTCAATCAAGCTTCGGCCGTACGAGGTGGCAACATTCAAGCTCCAGCTTTAGGGCGAGGAGGAGATTGAATGCGAGTGCGATGGCTCTGGAATCCGGGTGTTGCTTGGGTTTTGAACTTGGGGTCTGGGGATATTACGAGACAGAATGATAGACAAGGACAGGAATCAGCAGGCTATGCATCATTGGAGACCTGGCAGAAATGCATTATGGTTGTAGGACAAGGTTAGCCTGAGTACAATCAGTACCTCTATCGATGGAATTCCCTAAAACGCCGTTGCCCCTTCCTATGACGCGGCAAATAGGCCTAGTAAAGCTAAGCGAAGTCGTACGTAAACTAGTGCCCCCAGGTAGACAAGATAAAATATCCAAAATATCCTACATCCTCTCCTCCTCTGTCGTCACTTCTCATATATTCCTAACCAAGATTAAAACTCCAGCAGTAAACATCCCTCAGTTGGCGTCGTCGGGCAGCTCCTCAATGACGGTCTGGACCATGTCGATAAGCTCGTTGATATCGGGTCGCTCGGCGGGTTCGATACGCAGGCACTTTCGCACAACCTCGCGGATAGGCTCGCTAATCTCAACAGTGTTGGCAGCCTGGGCCTGCTGCTGCTGCTGAGGTCGCATGCTGCTGGAGCGCTTGACGCCCTGGGGGCCCTCGTCGGGGAAGCGCCAGTCGCCGCCGAGGACACAGAGGGACAGGGTGCCACCGGTCTCGTCGGAGCGCATCTCGAAGGGGGACTTGCCGACGAGGCAGGCGTAGAGGGTGCAGCCGAGGGACCAGATATCGACCTTTGTGTCGATGACGGTGCCGGTGTGGACGTCGAAGAGCTCCGGTGCGCGGTACGGCATGGTGGAGTGCTCGGCGGCCGTGTCCTGGATCTGGAGGGCGAGGGACTGCGAGGTGACGGGGATGGGTGAAATGGCGACGGAGCCGAGGTCCATGAGGATGGGCATAGAGCCGGTGTCGTCGATCATGATGTTGCCTATCAAGCGGGTGTTAGAAGGACTTTCAAAACGGAACGGGAGAAAAGCGAAGACGTACCTGGCTTGATATCGCGATGGGCATACGACTGATTCGTCGTCCTGCCACCGCTGACCTGGTTTTCGGCCTCCATCAGCGGCCTCTCTTGTTCACCCTCCTCCTCCTCCTCCGTCCTCTTGCCCCTCGTGTTCATCCTCCTGCCGGACTTGCCACCCTCGTTTTGAACCTGGTCCTCCTCGCGCCCCATATCCATGCGCTCGACGGCGGGCTTGTAGTCGTGCATGGCGCGCAGGGCGTTGCAGACGCCGAGGAAGAGCAGCATGAGGCGGCGCTCGGGGAAGCGGTCGTGGTTGACAAGGTTGGCGTTGATCATGTCCTGCAGGTTGCCGCGCTTGTAGTAGGGCAGAAGCACGTAGACGGTCTTGGTCGACTCGTCGGCGCCGCGCTCCGTGGCCACGGAGTGGTCGTAGGCTGAGATGATGGTGGGCACGTGGGCGAAGAGGCGGTAGGCGTCGACCTCGCGCATGGCCAGCTGGACCGACTCGGCACCGAAGGGGCAGCGGATCTTCTTCAGGGCGAAGAGATCATGGGTGGCGGTGTCTTCGACGAGGTAGACGTAGGAGAAGCCGCCCTAGGAAGAGAAAAGGTCAGCGTTCCGCCTTTGGCATCGGTCGGGTTGGGGAAGCCGTTTCGGGCTCGCGGCCGGGCGAATTCAGGAGCACTGGTATCTTACCTCGCCAAGGAGCCGTTGGATCTTGAAGCTCCGGCTGTTGATCTTGAGGGTGGGCGATCCGGGGAAGCAGTTAAGGCAGTTCCCGAAGGAGTAGAAGAGGTCGAGGAGAACTTGCGCCATCGTGGCTAGATTGCGGTGTGATTTGGTGGTGTCGTATCCCGCAATTCAACCGTGGTATCCTGCTCCGTGCTAATATCTTCAAGCGCTAGAGTCTCCAAGACTGTAAGAATGGAGCCCGTCGAAATGTCGGAAGTAGGTGGATGCAGATCGGGATCGGGATCAGGATGGGCTTCAATGGACGCAGCAACAGCGACAGAGACAGCGCCAGCAAAACTGGAGAAGCAGGTGCAATTGGGTCGTCGCGCGGTGCCAGAGACGTCGTGCGCTTGCAAAAAGGAGATGGTGGAGGCGGACAGGAATAGGGAGGATTGACGATGGGCAGTTGGAAAGCTGACTTGGTTGTTAGAATTTGGGTGAGGCTCAGCCACTCGGCCAGAGCTCAGCCCTGAGACGCCACGATACCAGCTGAGTACTACGTAGGGGAGCTCTCACAATGCCAAGGTGGGTGGGTACGTACCTACCTCGGTGACAAATCCATCCAACGAGAGCCAGCAGGTACCTAGGCAGGTACGTACCTAGGTATTGGAGCGCTACGAAAACTACGGAGTACCTACAGCACTATCCTCCGAGAATGTTGTATTATAAGCTATCTCAACATACATAAAATACCGAAAGGATCTGCGCACCTAGACAAGTATTTCATTAGGCTTCGTAGTCGATCCAAAATTAGGGTCGTGATTCTCCCTGCAGACCTTGGCCATACCTCCCTTCGTAATATCATCCTAATATGTACCGGCGTAGATGTTATCAGCGTCGAGATTATCGGCAGATATCTTTCACTGTAACCCCTGGAGGTACTCTATAGTGTCCCCGAAAGATGTACCTGCACAACTAAGGGGCATTAAAACCAACCCTTCCCGGAGATACCATCACTTACTCACAACACAAACGTGTTCCTTGTTAATTCATCTAAAAGAAAAGCCATGCGTCCCCCATATGCTTTTTTCAATGCCGCTCTAAACACAATACATTGCTTGTTCCTTCCCGTTTCTCATTTCCCGTTCTTCGTTTCCCAATTATCCATGCCACCCATTTGAACCCTTGATGCAGAGAGTACAACAAGACTTTGCCTCCACATCAGCGTCGCTCCTCTTACAAAACAACCCCCCTCTCTCAGTGTTAATTTATGTGTGTTCCTCTATAGAAATGCGCGTTTCTTTGAGTCTGTCCGAGCCTTGGCTGCCCAACACACACCCTATCCACTCATCAATTGCAATTCACCACTTTCCACTCCCAACTTCAACAAACATCGGCATTTCCTCAAGAGAGCAGGTTTCTCAGAGAGGGACTAGCACTAGCCCCACTGGCCGGCCGACTCTCCGGTGGCCGTGGTGCCTCGTGTGCCGGTGGCAACCCATTTCGTGAGCCCGGAGGACTGGTATGGGAAGCTGAGAAAGCCGTCCTTTGCGGGTGCAAACCTTGGGCAAATGCATCATTCCTCGGGGGTGGCCCCCCATTACTTATACTAGGAGGTGGCAAGTGCGAGGGCGGGTGGTGGTGTGCGTGTCCATGATATGGATGGACATATCGTGGTGGAGGAGCCGGTCCGTTCGCCCGTCGAGGAGATAGGGGTAGTCCATTTGCATAAGGCTGTGGGCCATGACCAGCTTGATGGCCCACGGGTAATGGAGCCGGAGGTGGGGGTCCGGATAATGGTGGAGGTCGGAGGGAAGAAAGATTCGTAATCGGCGGTGGTGGATTGTGAAGAGGCGGCGGTCCTCCGTTCAGATGCCTAGGAGGAGACCCGTGCTGACTTCCGGGTCGCGCTCCCCAGTCATTATAGGGGCCTCGAGGTGGAGGCGGAGGTGGAGGTGGGTAAGCATGAGAAGCTGGCGCCGATCTGGGGCCAACACCATGATCCGGAGCATGAGCTGGCGCCTGAATTGGAGGGGGGCCGGAGTGAGGCGGGGCCGAGTGAGGCGGGACATGCGGTGGCCATGCGTAGCTAGCAGGATGCGGTTCGCGGTGGTTGGAGATAGGGGGTGGTGGGCTTCGAAGCGGCGGCACCGCGGCTGGCAAGCTGGGCTCGCGGGGAGGTGGTCGAGGCACTTCGACGACGGGGGGCGAGGGTCGCGGCGGGTGCGGTTTGGTGGTGCGATTTGCCTTGCGACACTTGTGGCACTGAAATCTTCGTTGTTCAACAAACTTCTGCGCCTCACTTCCGAGTGCGCCATAGTGTCCGTTTGTGAGCTCGCGTTCTTGCGAGTTGTCGATGGGCCACCACTTTGGACTGACATCAATACCGCAGGTGATGCAGACCTTCTCCCCTGGTTGGCGTGCATCCGAGGCGGCGTCTCCCGACTCAACCTGCCGCTGCTGGTTCCATACGCCGCTCGCCGGCATCGTCGTCGTCGAAGATCGTCGCATGCCGGGTTGCGTCGGCGTACCCGTCATCTTCGCTGCCGTTGTCATCAGGTTCGCCTTGCGTACTGTGCCCGTGAGTGTGAGGTCTGCCTGTTTGAAATTCTGCACATAGAGCTGCAGAGCGTTCAGCCCCGATTCGGTCGCCACATCGTGCATGCGATAAACCGTGGTTTTACTAGGGACATGATCCTTGCACCAAACCGCTGCCGACATCGTACCACTATCTCCGTTGATGGTCACAATGTTGAATTGGTCCCGACGCGAGCCCTTTACCGGCGCGATGTCGAAACCAAGAACGTGACCTTGTTGGCGTGCACATTCGACGTGAACTAGAATTCCGTTAGCGAGTCATCGTGGTGATGTTAGAATAACATACGAGGTATCCGGCATTGGTGACATGAGACGCATGCGCCATCCTTCTTGTTGCAAGCCTGACAGGTCTCGTCGTATCTCGACCTCGGGATTGAAGGAATACCTTCTGACGGCTCAAGCGCCTTAGCATTGCCAAATTTCACCTCAGGGGTCCAGACAGCACAGGTTACATGAACCCAATTGTTGTCTGCCGTCCTCTTCAGTGGCTCGCGAGGGTTGACAGGTCGGTTGAGATCCTCCTGCCTCTTGCGGTAATATTCGGCGGCCTTTCGAGCTTTCTGAACCTCAACCCTCTCCCTTTCGCGATCCTTCTCGGACATCTTCTTCTTGTGATGTGTGAGCTTCGGCTGTTCCACAAAGTCATGTTCCGTGTGTTCAATGGGACAAAGAACACATTTGTATTGCTGCAGTGGCATTAGCAAACATCAAACAATCAGCAACCAGGCAACTTACAATTGAAACCTGGGGACTCTTGTCGTTGGCACACATATCACAAACCCATTTATCAGGATTGCGATTGTCCAACACGCCGTAGCAACTTCGATGCACTGTGAGGCGGCATTCCCGGCAGGATAGATGTTGGTCTCCCTGGGGCTCCATTTGGTCGCAGATGGAACAAGGAAGGACACGAGCCTTGGGCAGTTCTGGCGCCGTAACTGTTTCCACCGTCTTTTCCTTCTTCTTAGATACGCCAGAGCCCACTGCACTCCCTGCATCGGATTGGGTGAGGTCCGCCTCCTTCTCCTTTTCCTTCTCCTTCTCTGGCGGCGCGCCCTTGAGTTTCTTTCGGGGCGGCTCTTGTCCATTGCTTGGTGTAGGTCCATTCGACGGGGTCGGTGCTCGTTCTGGCGTCATCATACCCATTTCCTGCGCAGCCTGCAATTCCTTGAGAAGCTCTTCATCCTGCTTCCGCTTCCAGGCCCTTCCGCCAGCCTGGGCAACCTTCTTGGCCACCTCTTCCATATCTTCCCACCGGATGGCATACCGGCGCCAGAGCTCGGCACATCGACGACAGAGAGCGACAACGTACTGGCTGCCCTTGTCCTTGTTTGAAGCCTTAGCGCCAGTCTCCGTGACTGGGCCCTGCGTTGCGTTTGGCGCTCTTCGCCACTGTCGTGAGCTAGTCGTAGAGCAGAACTGGCACATGAATCCTCGCTTCTTTTCCGCAGCTTTCCCGGTATCGAACGCAGAATCGTCGTCGTTGTCAGCAACATCGTCGGCGAATTTGCTAGCAGCCGACTCTGCTCGCTTTGCTTCCTTCTTTCCCTTGCGGCCAGGGTAGTTGGCCCAGATCTGTCGGCCACGCTCCGTTTTCTTCCAGGTGTAATAAAAGCGAGTGATTGTGCCAGGAGACAGGCTTTTCACATGCTTCATGACAAGATGCAGTTCCGAGCCATACTTCATGACACCTTCTTCGAATTTCTTCAGCTCCGCGGGTGTTAGCTCGGGTTCCTTGAAGACTGCCTTCTCCGTCTCAGGCAGAGCACCAAGAGCGCTTTTGGCGCTATACTCGTGGTGGTACAAGGTATCAATGGCAACGTCTTGAAGATTGGTTGAGCGCTCGGGCAACGCAAAGTCTTTGGCCATTTTTTTCGCCTTCTCCATGTAATCGTTCATTTCCTTTTCCGAGATGGCGTCCTTGGTGGGTGGGATCCAGATACGAGTTGCGGTGCAGTTGGGGTCATCCTCATCGTGGTCTTCGCCTCGTGCAGTGTATCCCGGGGGCATGTCCTGTACCCATTTCGGCCGTTTCCCGCGTTGGGCTTTGTGGGCCTCAAGGGCTGCCTGGGACTCCTTGGACAATGTTGTTTGCTTCTTGCCGTTCTTCTTAGTTTCCGGAGGTTTGACATACTCGACCGTTTGGCCCGGCCAAGCTCCCACATTCGCCTGGTTCCTCGGTCCGATACGGGTGCTCGCGCGAGGGTAAATGCGGTCGTCGTAGTCAAGGGCGTCGATGGGTTTGCAATGCATGCCTAGGTACCGGTAGGGCCATAAACTCGCCTGGTAAACCTGCTCGGCGGTGCCTTCATGGTGTGGATTATCATCAGAGGGGCTGGTGCGACCAGTGCCGGCGCAATGCATATCCTCGTCCTCTTCATCCAGCATGTCATCATCATCGCCGTCGCCATTCGGGTCAGTAATGTTGGGCGTGTTGCGAGCCTCCAATTTCCGCTCCTGGGCTCGGCTGCACGCGGCACATGACCAAGCAAATCCACGAGACGGCTTTTTCAACAGCGGCGGTTTGACGCAGTTCATATGATAAGTGTGCTGACATACTGCGCAATCAACCGAGTCGTTGCTAGAGGCATGTGGTCAGCCACTCCGTAAGTGGAACGTGGGGCAGTGCAGGTGGTACGTACCTGGCGCAATAGCCGGTGCATCTCTTGCAGAGCTTAACGGCGCTAGTGAGCTCCTTGCCACGCCCCTGCTCAACTAGCACGTACTTCCAGCGCTCATCCAGCACCTTCTTGACATTGGCGGGCACGTTGACAATAGTCGTCGTGGGGATAAGGTCGTAGTTTTTCTGAATGTACCGGTCATACAACTTCTCGTACCAGAAACTGTCGGGCGTCTTGCGATATTCGTCCATGTTAGCGACCTCAGCCTTGTGTCGGATTTGACACTTGCCACGCAACGCTGTAAGCGGGCTAATGTCCGAGTGCATCGTCGCAAAGACCATGCGCGTGTCTGGCGCCTTTCGCCCAATGTCCTTGGGACGGTAATACCAGTTGATTCTGATGGCGTCCACGGGCTTGGAGGTGTCGTTTTGCGCGTGGAGAAATTCCATGATGCGCCCCAGGTAGTAAGGCTCACCCGGGGGCTCACAAACGAGGTACACATGATCTGCAACACTGGTTAGCCCGTTCGATGGTTCAATTTGCGGTGGACCTCGCGCGCGTTACCATTTGGTTCCAGCACCGTGCCATCGTCGGCTACCATCCGGCGTCTGTCCGGGCGAGCTTTGCAATTCTCGAACGTCAACATGTTAGTTTCAGGCCATGAAATGCCCGTTGAAGATGCCGCTGCCGCCGCCGCTGCCGCCGCCGCAGTAGTCCCAGCCTTCTTCGACGAGGTGCTGGCGGAGGCCACTTGGCCAGTGGAACCTGCGGACTGAGCTGCGGCCTTGCGCTTCCGCGATGGCTGCGAGACGGTGGGAGTCTGCGCCGTCGGGGTCGCAGCATTCGAGCCGCTCGAGTTCTGGTCCTTGGGACCGTTTTGCGACTGCACTCCTCGAGTGTCGTCCGTGCCAGCCTTACGTGAAATGGCGCCGCCCCGGGGAGTCGCATCGCCATTTGCTGCAGCGCTGGCCTGGCGCGACGACTTTTTGGAGTCGCCATCCTTCTTGTCCTGGTAGTAGTCATACACGTCTGCATCAATGTCCTTGTCCTCGGCATAGTTGGGACGCGAGGAGCCGTTCCTATTCCGAGAGCGAGTCCCGTAAGGCGAGGCCGAATCGCCGCCAGCATCCTTTCCCATGGCGTCTGAAGCTGACTGACTATTCATCGAATCAGACCCGGACGGAGCGTCTGGGTCAGAAGCTTTGGAGTCCTGTGCGATGAGTTAGAGAGGAGCTCCAGTCGCGACCGGGCTTGACAGCACGCGGCTCATATGAGATAGAGGGAAGGGGAGGAGAAAAAAGGCCGGCGAGAGAGGTGTGAATGAGAATGGTTTGGCGAAAACGGGGGAGGCTCACATTTTGTTGTGCCATGACACCCAACTAGAAATCAGTTGCGCAGCAATGAGATGAGGCGGATCGCGTATGAAGGCATGCCCGGAGGTGGTGACTTGGCAGAGGAGGGTGTAAGGTTGGTGCAAGTGTAAGGGTGTGCAGGGCGAAAAGGTGCAAAGTTAAGAGAGAATATTTCTACCCGCCGGAGGCGAGACGAGGCGTGAATGGGGTTTATCGGGTGCGAGCTGGTCGAAAACGAAGCGTCAACGACAGGAATTGCACTCGGAGATGGAGTGGAAGCAAGGTTGAAGGAGGAAGAGGCATGATTCCCAGGCGCCGGGAGAAGAAGAAACGTCCTGGCACCCCGAGGCGGCGGCCCTGGCCTGGTCGATACATCCACACTACTAGCAGTGCACGGGGGCGGCATTATGAATCCATGTACCTCGTGGGTACCTGCTAGCAGCCCGGCTGCCAGCACACCCGCCCCAGGGTTCATCCACACCCCTAACGTGATGCGGAAGAACCTTGCGTGGACATGAGGCACCCCGGTCACCCAGAGTTACCTCAGTCTCCACGCGGGCCCATCTGGGTCTCGCACCACTGACGAGCCGACGGATCTCAACCCAACTTTGAGGCGTGCCCACAGGTCCTCCCACAGAAGCAAGCCGGCCGGGGCAAGCACCAGGCCAGACCAGACCAGAAGAGAAGCGCAGAAAGGACAGACACACCAACACGGAACGACCCAGGGCGCCAGGCCGGAGGGGACCAGTGATGGGGCAATGGATCAATGGAGTGATGGAGGGATCGACGAGGGGGGGATGCACAAGAGTTAAGATTCTGCGTCGCAAGCCAGAAGAAGGCTCGCTCCCGTCGTCCATGTGCTGGTCGATTGCCGGCCCTGTGCATTCGACCCAGTCCTGACTTGTCTTCGTCTCTACCTAGTCTTCTGGGGGGGCGCGGCGGTGCTGATTTGTTGATTTGCTGCTTTGCCCACCGCGATATACGTAGTACGCCCTCCCTCTGTTCCTCTGCGACGACCTTGGACTCCGCCATGGTCAACCTGAACAACCTGGACGGACTGGTCTGGTCGGTAGGTATGTACGCCGTACGCGGTACCCCGTCCCTCCTCCCACCTCCCCCCAATTGCTCCCCCCCATATCGGGAACTCGTCATGCGCCAGCTTGGGCCGATGGAGGACAACTACGACTAGACAGGGTTGATTTACCTGTGGTGTGAGAGGGAGGGAGGGAAGAACGGTTGACTCGACATTTGACTCGACCTCCCGAGCAACGCACGGGTTTGAAAGCCGTCACGATTCTGAGCATGGGGCGCCAACTCATCCGCATTTCCCGTCACCATCTCACACACCCTTGCACGCCCTCAAGTCAATCGTGACATGCCCAGGTCAGGTAGGCAGTAGGCACGGAGTCGACGCCGTCTAGCCCCCCCCCGTATCGCCATTGTTCGGCAACAGGGAACCAGGGCCTTTCGGTTCCCATTGCTTTTCCATGCGATTCCGGCTGTTCACTCTAGACTAATAGAGGGTGCCACACTGGGACGCTCCCCCTCTCCCAATGCCCTTGTCGTCATGCTGCCTTCTTTCTCATTGACACCAGTCACGGGTAATGACGAGCCTCTGCGCACCATTCAAGCCATAGTCGCAGATCATCCCATCATCACTCCGCCGCACTCAGACATTTGCAATGTAGCAAAAGGCGACCAACTAGATTTCCTTTCTCGGCTACAAATACTGGCCTGGTTTGGGGTTTCGCTACACATTAGGGGCCTCGCCGACCAAGTTGGCCGGGCCAGCTCGCATGCTTCCAATGACTGTACATATGCACGAGCAACGACATCTCCTAGGGGTGCGAGGGCCACTCATGGCCCTGGGCGGTCAAGTCCCGATAGCATGGGCCCAATCCAATCATTCGGATTCCGTGCCGGCCTCCCCTTGGCTGTTCAACTTGGAAAAGCGGCCAATTTCGCGGCGGAAAATGGATGTGCGGTGATGCTCTTCAAATCCTCGTCGAAGCTGACGGGGTGAGTCGGTAATAGGGCTAACGATTGAGCTGGCGTTGGGAGGTAGCTCCACCGGCTTTGCCGGGGGGGCGGTTGGGTGGGTGGCCAAGCATCCGCCCAGCATCAAGCATCCAGCATCCCACATCCCAGGTGTGGCCCAGGTGGGTGGCGGCACGCAAATGGGCTTAAGCCGCCCCCCCCCCCCTTGCTGACCACGGCCATTAGTACGACGTCCCGCCAGGCGATGTCTCAACTCCCTCGTTGCCGCAATCTGCCACTCAGGCGTCGACGATCCAAACGACCGCGAGTATGCATACCAGAAGTTTCCAATGCCATCCACTGAGGAGACCCTTTGAGGCCCCCCCGAGGCGGTCTTAGGTGGTTCAAGATGCCGGAATGAGGCTCATGGGTTCTTGCAGAGGGTCCTCCCAGGATGGATGGCGTAGTCGGATTGATTACAGTCTCCGTAATTGATGGATGGATGGCTTAGGGATACAGGCGTGGCCGGGGTTCAGAGAGCCAGCCGAGCAGCCCTCGCGGTCAATTATCCTCTCACTTGGCCACCTCCACACCACCCTCTTACTTGCTCGCCCGCGCATTCACAGTGCCGCGGGGATGGGGGTGGACATGGGGGATGGTGGATGGCGGATGGTGGATGGTGGACATGTCTTTGGTGATGAATCGCCCGGCAATCAGCCGATCCGATGATAGCAGCTGAGACTCGTGCATCTGGCACCTGCTGCTGCTCCAACGCAGGATCCAGGAGGACCCGAGGGTGGACAGGCGCTGGGGGCTGGGCTTGGCCTAGGCCGGGCTGCAGCAATGGCTGCGCTGTTAGCACCAGTCGTCGAATCAAGACTACATCGGGAGGGCAACCCCGATGAGGAGGGTCGCGGGAGGGTCGTGGGTCGTGGGGCTGGGGGCACGGCACCCAACGACACTCGACCAAGAGAATGCTAAAGGCACGCTCCAACACGCATGGCAACCAAGGTCTGGGAAATACCAGTGTATGAGTGCGATATCGTCGTGTCGCTTTTTATCGCCCTGCTGGAAAAATGTTAAACATGCAAGCAAAACGGTACCATATGAGGTGAGCCAATATTGTACGGGTGGCGGTACTCTGATTCAACCCCGAAAGTGCCACTTTCTAAAAGACGTCGGTCGGCTGCACCGGTGCATCGTGTGAGAAAATTTACTTCCACCCGTCGGTAGGTAGATAGGTGCATGTCTAGCTAAATTCCCGAGGTACCCAGTTAAAGTGCGTCTACATCATTGAAAGGCGTCTGCGACCGTTTGCATTCATAACTTTGGAGCGAGGGAGATTTACCTAGACCTACGGCGGGCCCTTCCAAAAGTCTTGTCCAAGCGCTAGTAACATCATATCTATTTATCCCTGTTGGTTACCTGAGATACATAAAGCTGTTACAGTCTCGTTAAACGGTCGTTGTAACTTTAGGAGTAGTACGCTGCTAATTAGGATATAGCGGTTGCTATGTGCTGTAGCCTGCTATCCTTTAGGGCCTATAGAAATCAGAAAGTAATTAGCGTACTTATTATCTAACCTAATAATTAGGACTTACTTCTTATGGACAAGACTTTTGAAAGGGCCCTCCGTAGACAAAGGGGACTGCCCAGGTTGAGGTACCTACCCTAGGCGGTGGTGGAAGTAGCCAAAAACCAAAAACCAGCCGCTGAGCGACAAGGGGAAATGTCAAAGCGGGCGGTTTATTCTAGGCGTCGGAGAGAACCGCACAGGGTTCTCTCTTGTCACTGCTGGCCAATCGTGGCGTCGTATCTCGCCGCGGGGCACCACTCCTGGAGCCCTGCAAATCGGCTGCAGCCTGTCGTGTGGTGTCAGGAACGCCCCGCGTTTAAGTGGCTCTGCGCCGGGCCCTGGACAGTTGCAGTGTTGCCGGGCAGGCGCTTCGCCGCTTCTTTCGTTCTGGGAGGCCCAGGCTCCCACCCACGTGACATCGCGTGTTGGCTCGTCTCGCCAGTCACGCTCGAGGGACGCGCTGACCGCAGAGTGGTGTCACGACTGCCAGACATTGCTCTGGGTGCCTTGCGAACAACCCAATTATTGGTTCTTCTTTGGCTCTCGACTCTAGTTTTCTGCATGTATGAGTTCTTTTCTGACCCACAAAGTTGGCCCGTTGCTCAGTGCTCAAGATGAAGGGCATGCGAGGGCTGTTGCACACGACCACTGTGGATGCTGCCAATGACCAAAAGACAACATTTGCTGCGAAGTCCATCGCTGGCCAAAAAAGGAGTTGGTCCAACGAGGCAGACTCCCACTCTCGCCCGTCAGATTCCCGGGGCACAGTTCTTTTCCAGAGAGCTATTAGCCTCCCGTCGGCTCCCTCCCGCCTATCTGCCAGTCGCACCGTGAACCTTCAGCCCGAAGACGGAGTTTCCGAGTATTCCCAGCGAAGGCTGATAGCTGCTACTCCGACGGCGTCTATTGATCCCGAGTTAGATCTGGCTCATCCCACATACGGACTCCCAAGGCAGTTGGTTGATAATTTTGTTTCCCTCGGCATTAAGCAAATCTACCCATGGCAGAAAGCTTGCCTCAAGGGTCCGGGTCTCTTAACCGGAGAGAAGAATCTTGTATATTGTGCTCCCACGGGGGGCGGCAAGTCTCTGGTCGCTGACCGTGAGTAAATCATACTCTCGGCAAGTCGTCACCAGATCAACTAATGATAGCCCAGTTCTCATGCTCAAAAGGATACTGGGGGAGAAGGGTACCAAAGCTCTTCTCGTTCTTCCATATGTCGCACTCGTCCAGGAGAAAGTTCGGTGGCTACGAAACGTGGTGAAAGAATTACGGTATCCTGACGATTCAGATACGGATGAGAACAAAAGCATATGGCGCCGACGTGCAGACGAAGGTTCCGTCCGTGTCGTTGGCTTTTTTGGTGGTGGAAAAGTCAGAGCGACTTGGCAGGATTTCGACATCGGTGTCTGTACATTGGAGAAGGTGTGCTTACTCCAGCCTGTTTGCGTGATCGGAACTAATGGAGACTATCCTAGGCTAACGCGCTTGTGAACACTGCCATCGATGACTGCTCTGTTCCCCAGCTAAGGGCAGTCGTTCTGGATGAATTGCATATGATTGATGATGACCACCGCGGATACCTCTTGGAACTCACAGCGACCAAGTTGCTCAGCTTAGAACAGTCCGTCCAGATCATCGGGATGAGCGCGACACTTCCGGTACGTCCGCCACCTCATTCTTTTTTTCGCACACATTCTGACAAACCGTTAGAACATGGATTTGATGGCGCAATGGTTAAACGGACATTGCTATGAAACTCGCTACCGACCAGTCCCCATTGAAGAACATCTTGTTTACAATGGCAACGTATACCCTGCCGGGTCAACGCGTAGCTTGATTAAGACCGCAGCACAGTTGAATGGTACTGCCCAGACGCAAGGACGGGCTACTCCTACTCGAAGAATCGAGCCATCGTCTCACAAAGAATTTTATGATCCGGTGCTGAATTCTGTGGTGACTTTAGCACATGAAACGGCCTCGGCTGGTTATGGGGCTCTAGTGTTTGCCGGCAGCCGTAGCGTATGCGAGGCTGATGCACGCTGGATCAGTCGAGTAATGCCCTCACCACATGAGCTGGACTCTGTGTTGGTCGATAAGAGAATGGACTTGCTTGGGGAACTACGGAGCCTCAATACTGGAATAGACCCGGTGCTTGAGGAAACCGTGCTCTTTGGTGTTGCATTTCATCGTGAGTCCACAAAGTTCGATTCCCTTTTTGATAGCTGTCGCTAACAGAATCCAGATGTGAGCTGTCCCCGGTATTCATAGACCATCTCTAACAAAATAGGCCGGTTTGACGAGCGAGGAGAGGGATCTCATTGCGGCCGCATACGACGATGGAGTGATCCTGGTCTGCGTCGCCACCTGCAGTCTTGCCGCTGGTATAAACTTGTAAGACACATTATTCGCTTCAACGCTCATGATTAATTGGAATAGGCCAGCACGGAGAGTGATTCTCCATAACTGCCGAATGGGGAGAGAATTTGTCGGACCATCCATGCTAAGGCAGATGCGAGGACGAGCTGGGAGACAAGGCAAAGCCCCCGTGGGAGAAAGCTATCTTTGCTGCCGCGAGAATGATCTCGAACAGGTCGTGGAATTGATGCACGCTGAGCTACCTAACGTTGCGAGCTGCCTCAATACGGAGAACCGACGGATCCAACGGTGAGTCCAGGTGAATCGCTAAGCGTGCCATATTTGACGATCTTCAGTGCCCTTCTAGAGGTGATATCGATTCGCCTGGCGTTGAGTCGGGAGTCAATTCATGACTACTTCTCAAAGTCGCTCTTAAGTCATACTCATGATGCAGAGTTTGTTAATGAATGCATCGCATCGAGCCTAGAAGAGATAGAGGCAATGGGCTTCATTACTCGCGATTCATTAAACATGTTCACAGCTACGCAGTTGGGAAAGGCCATCGTTGCATCAGCCATCGATCCCGACGACGGTGTGTTCGTGCACAAAGAACTCAGCCGGGCACTTCGGGCTTTCGTCATGGATGGTGAAATGCACATACTCTATACCTTTACTCCAGTCCAGGAGTTCGGGATCACAGTTAATTGGCAAGTGTTTCGGAACGAAATGGAGACGCTCGATGAAAGTGGTCTCCGGGTGTTGAGCCTTCTTGGAATCAAGCCCACGACAGTCCTGAAGTTGTAAGTTACTCCTCATGGAAAGCAGCACATGGTACTCACTAGACACAGGGCCCAAGGCGCTTCCCTCCGAGAAACCACACAGCAGGAAAGGGACATAGCCCGTGTCTATCGTCGTTTCTACTTTGCCCTACAGTTGCGCGACCTGTGCAACGAGGTGCCAATTCACATCGTAGCACGGAAGTACGATGTGCCCCGGGGGACTGTGCAGAATCTGGCCCAAACTTGTCAGGGATTTGCGGCTGGCATGATAAAATTTTGCGAGCAGATGGGCTGGGGGTGAGTGGTCGATGCTCGGCAGATTGGATTCCGGTGCTAATGATACCAGGATGATGGCAGCCGGTCTAGACCATTTCTCAGACAGACTCGTAGCTGGTGCAAGGACTGAGCTACTGGCCTTGGCCAAGATCACGTTCATCAAGAGCCGGACAGCGTGCGTCAGCTCTCCCCAGATAGTAACGCCTCACTTACAGTTTCACAGTCGAGTATTTTGGGAGAACGGGTTCCGAACCATTGCGACGATCGCCAACGCTGATCCAATGGAACTCCTACCCGTGTTGATGCAGGTCAGATGGAACATGATTCCGTATTTGACCATTGCTGACTTGTGTAGGCGCAACCAAATAAACTGCGTCTGAAGGGGAAAGACAACGAAAAGTACGAGGAGAAGCTGATGGTCAAGGCCAAGGTTATCTCAGAGTCGGCCAACAAACTATGGCGTAAGTGGTGATTGGGACTTGGTGGACTTGACAGCGGCTAATCGACATGCAGGAGTCCAAATGCAGGTGGAACTCGAGGAGGAGTGAATAAAGGTGTGCAGTCATCAACGGCGGTGGTGGGCTACGAGAAAATAGCAAGACGATGTCCCAAATTCGAAATTCTGCCAACCAGGGCAAGACGTTTCCATCATTCAATCCGGGATTTCATACCACTATAAGAAGGCATCAAACAAAACGGGGGTTCAAGGCGGATGCTAAGGCTGCTTATTCCCTTGCCAAACGCTCATGCAGAGTATTCTGGTCGCATTGGAAGGTCACATCGGCAAGATGCGGCCATGTGATTGATTGCAGCGCGAGAGGAGAGAATGGGCTGGTTATGTCCGGGATGAGCCGCCGCTGGAGCTGCGCCATGATTCCCCCGGCAAGGTCACACAGGTCACACAGGCATTCAACCATCCGTGGTTGGCAGGACGGGAAATTCCAAGCGCGGAGACCTCGCAGGCATTTGCAGGGTGCTCTACCCGAAGAGTGGTACCAGACAGGCTGCTTCGCTCTCGGCCGTCCTCTGAAATACGGGCTTCGAGACCAAGTGAACAGCGAACAGTGAACGCACGACTTGGGCTGCTGTCTGGGTGGGTGCCTGTTGGTTCTGGGGCCAGCAAAGCATCTGGGTGCCTTGTGTCGGGAATATGTACAGTTTCACGAAGTCACTGTCTCCACGGCTTACTTTTCCCGCGCATAACAGCAGATGGGGGATGCATGCTGCGCCTCGCCATTGGCAGCCAGCAACCACCACCGCCATGGTTGACATGCCCGTTGGTTCGGTGTGCCAGGCTCCCCAGGCTGATGGTGTGAAGCCGGCCGAGCTCTGCACCGTCTGCAGCGTATGCACTGCGAGCGTTTCAGCGGCCTCTCTCTCTGGATGATTGGAAGCCTTCTTTCGCTCTTTCGCTCTTTCGCACGTACCTGTAGTTGTTCATTCACTCGCCTTTCCTCTCCCGCGCTCCTCTGGACTCTCTCCCCCGCCATCACCACACTCTGCGACGAGAATGGCTCAAGATGCGGAGAGCAGCGGCGCGACCATGCCGGTGCATACCCTGGCCGACACAATGAATGCCCCCTCGGCCCGTCCGAACGTCGTCGTTCTTGACTGTACTTACCAGGAAGACATCGATGCTCTGAAGGAGAAGCCGCTCAATGCCGCCGAGGATCTCTGGCTAAGTACTGTGGATGGGCGGTATTCGTCTCCCCCCATCCCAGTCCGAGTCGGCTCGCTTCACAACATGCAAACGTTCCATGTAGGCAATAGTTGGCTTCTGTTGCGAAGGCACGGCAACGGCAACGCAGACAAACTAATGCATTTTTTTTCTAGGTTCACAGGGACATTCTTATCAAGGCCCAGTGGTTTCGAAAGGCTCTGTGCGGCAGCTTCAGAGAGGCCGACGAGCAAGTTATCGACTTGCCCGAGGAGGATCCCGCGATATTCCATTTCCTTGTCGCATTCCTCTACGAAGACCGTTACCATCCCATCATGCCTGCCGCCAATGCCCTTGGTATTTATCCTCGCTTTATATGTCACCTTCAACTAGCGCTTTCTGACCAAAGCTTCAGAACCCACGCTCGATAAGGGGAAAGGGCTAGACATTGAGCCAGAAACCCCAGATGGGTCGGATTCGGAAACTTCATCTAGCTCGTCCAGTTCGTCTAACCATTCAGCTAGCTTGGCATGGCAACCGCCACGTAATCGTCGAAATCGAGGAGCCCTTGACGGCGGTGCCGAATCGAGTCGGGAGAAGCATCCTGGTATGCACCGCCCTGGCTGCCAATGTCCTCAGTGTGTCGTCAGACAGGACGCTTCAAGGTGCTGGCAATGCGGTGCCCGGCGACTCCGGAGTAATAACCATCATCCGCAACCACCCGGCAGGGGTTTACTGCCCCATCAACAGAGGCCTGGTATGACGGTCAACAATATGACTCAACCCTTGCCGGTAACCACTCTCGCCTCTCGAATAAAGGGCGAAGACATGCGAACCTGGCTCATGGCGTATGAGCTCAATCTCGACGTCTACATTTGCGCAAACCGCTACCTCATGGACGGCTTCCGCAACGCGGTGATGCGATCCTGCATCGACATGCTGGAGACGGCCGGTACCGACGCAGCACATCCGCAGGTGCTGCGTCTTTGCCATAAGCTGTTCGTCGGCGTACCCGAGAAGGACCCGTTATTGAAGATGGTGCTCGCACGGGTGGGATTCCTGCAGCCCATGCTGTGGAAACGGGCGCCGGAGGAGACGACGCAGTTCTTGGTAGAGAACCCGGAGCTGGCGGCTTCCATACTGCGGGAGACGGTGATGAGGCATGAGGCAACTTCGCTGAGGCCGGATTTGCCTTCGATGGAGAATTCCTGAGGGCCATTATCACATTTACACGAGGAGTAACGCGAGCGGACATCAAAAGACTACGTGTGTCAGTGTTAGGGTCATCGAGTAGGTCAGACTGCGCTTTGCGATTGAGGGGCCAGGCTTTAGGTATTTGGAACAAAGGGTTGTCATGAGGATTCGTGCGTCGCATTCGGAGCACCGAGCTATCTATACAAGTGGTCTTTCATTACCTATCATGTCGTTATATGAAATTTCCATCATGGGACCATGGTCTAAGCCAGTTTCCGGTTGAAGCATGCATGTCCTTTAATCCATGACATCGTCGCGTAGGCTGAAGAGGTTTTGCAGGACCTCTTCAGACTTGGCTCTCAATGCTGAGTGGTACATGGCATTTGTCTCAAACACCTTCGTGCCTTTGACAAGTCTTGCCGTGTCCTTTGCAAATTCATAGTCGACGTACATGTCGTCGACATATGAGGCGGCGTAGACGGGCACGGTGTTGTTGCGCAGCCTCTCCTGGTCGTATAATGCGGGCCAGTCATCACGATCAGCTAGCTTCTGGGCAACTTCGGTCAGGGGCTTTAGCTCCGGGTAGGTTTCAAAGTGAAGCGGGAAGATCATCTCGCCAGAGAAATTAAGCGGCCCGGCGGTAGAGGCAACCGAGAAATCCGAGTTGAGCCAGGGGAAGGACTCGAGGGCCTTTCCGACGCGGTACGCTGACCAGCTGGAAGGAGCACCGGGTCCATCGCAGTAGATGGCCTCATGGATGATAGCGTAGATGATGTTGGTGTCGAAGGGGGTCCAGCCCTCGAGTGGCACCAGGGAAGCCCGGGTGAGGAAGCCGAATTGCTCTAGAGATGCCTTGAGGTGGAGGAGCGTCGAGTGAACGTTGTCAAATCCACCGTGGCCACCGAACGCAATCCCCATGGTCAGTAGACGCGGCACGGTCAAGATGCCGCCAGAAGGCAAGGGGATGCTGCCGCCCTTGCTCTCGATGTGGATGGCGATGTCGCGGACGGTGTCGACGTCCTCGGGGAACTTGGCGTAGTAGGCCTCATTGCGCTCCATGGTACGGCCGAAGGTAGCTTGGTAGACCTGGTCGGGTGTTTTCCCCACCGGGGCGAGTCCTCCTGTTAGGAAGACTTCTCGCAGGCCCTCTGGGTGCATGGACAAATACGACAGACTGATGAAGCCGCCGTAGGACTGGCCGAAGATGGACCACGGCTTCTTGCGGTCGGGCCAGTTCTCCGTCAGGCACTTGCGGACGGCCTCGCAGTCACGCACGGTGTTGTCCTGGCGCATGAGTCCGAGATACTTGGCCTGGGCATCCGGGCCACCGGGGACGAGGGTGAGCATGTCGGTGCTAACAGGCGTACTGAGGCCGACGCCGCGGTGGTCGAGGAGCAACAGCTGGTAGCCGCGGGCGAGCGCCGGGCGCGTCAGGGGATGGTCCTGGGGCTCGCGGTTGCCGAAGCCGGGCCCGCCCTCGAGGAAGACGAGATACGGCTTCGGGGCCGGCGGCTCGTCGTCCGCCGGGAAGATGGGCACCTCATGCTTGGTGACGCGGCGGGCAAAGAGCGTAATGGTGCTGCCGCCGGCGACGTAGTCGATGGGGACTTGGAAGAAGAGCTCAGTGACGACGAGTTGGCCGGGCACGACGTGAGACTTGCTGCTGAGGAGTTTGGCAGGCGGGATGTCGAGGATGGCGGGGCCGGAAGTAGCCATGGCGGAGGCGATGGTGGTGATGGTTGATATTGGGCGTTGAAGGCGGGCCTCACACGCAAGTCCAGGTGTTGTTCTCTCGCCAACCTCTGCGACCTGCTATTAAGAGTGAAGGATCTCTGGTGGTGTGATAATTAGCCTGGTCCTTCTGCGATTGAAAACGTTGCATATGGAGTGTGACAGATAGCAAGTTGTCCCACGAGCGATCAGAGAGCAGCGTGGATGGTTGTCGCGATTAGGTCTTAACTGGCCATGTCCGCAGCGTTATCTGCGGGTCACCAAGCGGGAGTGGTGAGGCTGCATACTACGCCTAACTTTCTTCAAATTGCAAAGTGCAAGGTACTTCAGTAATCCCCGGATTATCGAGCGAGTACCTCAGTTTCACGGGCTTCACAAAGAATCATTAGTTGGTGTCATCAAATGAAAGAGGAGCGAAGGAGTGCAAGAGAGCCCAGGGCTGTAGGGTAAGCTGCTTAGTGAGGTGCCTCGGCTCAAAGAGTAGATACCAGGTGGCAGTTGGGCTAGTGGTTGACCGTTCCAAGTCTTCTTAGATGAGGAGTAGCAGTCGATGCGGGGACCGTTCTGACAGCCTCAACTGCAGATATGTCACAAATAAGCGATATACCGGTTGGTCATGAGATATTTACGGCCCAGAGAAGGGGAGAACACTCTCATGCGACCTACGGCGTGGATTGATGGCAGATGGCGTGTCTGCACGCATCAGTTCCGCTATGCGACAGGGATTCTCCAGGAGGACTCCGAGACACGGATGGCCATCCATGCGGCGATCGCATGTTTCGATCCAGGGCGTCTTCAACACATGTTGCATCCGAAATCGCACTACGAGGCGCAGACGGAGGAAAGCGTGTAAGAAATTGGCCAGGTTGACCAGGTTGGCCAGGAGAGAGAGCGGGTCGGCCATGCACGTCATTGCGTTGCGGTGAGGAATGGCCGAGACGCATCGGAAGTGGGAAGGAGTTGCTCCGTCCCTCCATCCCTCCGTCCCTCTGTGATGATCCATCGTCGCGCTGAAGAAAGTCGTCGTTCAAGGGAGATTATTGGATCGTTGGATTGTTGGATTGTTGGATTATTGGCGTGCGTGCCTTGAGCTCCGGCATACGTACTGTACGGAGTGCCAGTCCCCGCAGCAACCGGATCGGACCAATCAGCCGCCGCTCCGAAAGGGGCCCTGGAGCTTTCTCACCACGCTCCCCACTAATTCCAATCCGTGACTACCTTACCTACTTCTCAGCAAACTCTTTCCCTTCCATCCTCTCTCTCTCTTCCTCTTCCTCCCATAATCGCAGCACGCGCAAAAGGGGCTCAGGAACCAGGAACAAGGGAAAAGGGCATGGCCTATCTTCATCTCGCGCACTCGCTGGCGGATGCTTTCACCGCTCTTGCCGACGAAGTCCAGGTTCTGACGGACCGAAAGACTGTTCTGGAGCACAAGCTGCGCTTCGCCCATGAGCAGGTAAGTCACGTCCTACGCGCGAGGTACCTCGCGAGTTGCCCACCTGTCTGTCAGGTCACCCACTGTCACACCTTCAACTCCCTCTCTAGTTGGATTTCAAATCAAACCACCACTGCCTCACTGCCCATTCCATATCCACACTCAACCCTATGCCAATGCACAACCCCCAAAAGGACTCGAAATGGACCCCCTACCTGCCTTGCCCGATTTTTCCTTCCGACCAAGCTCGGCGATACCGGAGCTCTCGGGTCGGTACAGGCAGGTTTTGGGTCCCGTCAGTATGATGAGTTATTAGCTCTAGATCAAGAGCATGCAGCCAACTGGCTCAATTGCCGAGATTGACACCATTACAACGTTCTGATACCTGACGTCTTCTTATCCTTTTCTCCTTCCCTCATCATCCCTTTCTTCATTCACAAACCATCACTACCACCACCACCACTCGCCCTCACATCCCGACTCAGTTATGTCGACCATGCTGACTCAGGACCACAAACAGTTCCAGTACCTCGCCGACAAATATGCCCCGGCAGCTCCTGAGATAGCCGACACGTTGGCCAAGCTTCAGCTCCCTTCGTACACCCCACTGGACAGTTCGCTGCCCGTTCCCCTCCCTCGGTCGTCCGACCTAAATTCCCAGCATCAGATTGCTCTCGTCATTCGTGACGGGCGTCGGGTGGCAAACCAGCTTGCCTCTCTGGGAGAAGCAAGCAAAACCACCGGCTCTAGCAGAGATACTTTATCACAGACGTCCCGTGCCGAGACATCTATGTCGACAGCCTTAGAACAAGACTTTACGGTCGAGGGGAAGAAGGGCCATCTCGGGTGCCCGTTTTCCCAGCCGGCAACAACCAGCGGCTCCGAAGACCACCAAAATGATGTACGGGATCCCACCCCCCACCAGTCGACGGATCCCATCTGTGCGGCCATGTATGCAGAATCCACGTCCCAACAAGCTCGTACCAATGGCTCGTCAGCGGGCAAGTGCCCCATTCGCTATATGGACAAGCACTCGCCCGCAGAGATTGCACATTATGTTGAAACACATAAGCATGAGCTGCCCCGCAGCCATGAAATTTGTTTACGACGCTATCAGCGTGACGAAGACCAAGTCAAGAAAATAGACTCCAAATATGGCGATATTGTGAGCATGATCGAAGGTCTCGGCCAACTGCACCAACCTATGCTGCCCGAGGCAGACGAAGAACCGCCCCGACCAAGTGATGTGGTGCAAGAACCGAATGAAAGGGTTGAGAACTGGGCCCAAGCAGTTAGCGTCAACTCGGACCCAGAGGACACCCAGGTCGAGCCCCCCCAAATGGACAACGACCGCCAAAACAACTTTGACCGTCCGCTCAAGGAGATCCGAGTCGGCGAATCGCCCAGCCGTCCATGGGGCATCCATGTCCCATCATACGAACCACTGGGACTTGATGACGACCTGCTTCTCTCGCCGCCTGCCGCCCCAGTTCGCATGCCGAGTCCAGTGCCGAGCGTCCGAAGTACCCAGACTCCCACCAAAAAGGCACCTGGGAAATGCCCCTTTGATCACACCAAATTTGCTGCTCTCGGGATGCCTCCACCACACGCACACCATGAGGCCCAACCTTCTTCAACCGCACTCGAAACTCCCGACATGCCGTCTGTCACGCCGAAGGAGGAAGCTCCTCACGACACCTCTGTTCCTCCTCAACCCACCTTCATCAACCCTGACATGGCAAAGGGTGGAGGCAACATGCCCCAGATGATATTTACGGGGCCCGTCTTCATTGGTTACCCTATGGACCAGGCCATTCAGTTCATGAACCAGTATCGAGGAAATCAGTGAAGCTGTTCATCATCTGTACTTTTTTATTAATTTTTTATTTTTACGAGGGATTATGAGAATGCATAAGCGAAGGCGTTTCAAGGAGGAACCACAACTGGGAAGGAATCCCAAGGACGGAGCGTTGCCACGCTGGTTGATTTTACAACATTTTGATTTCACACACACACCGATGAGAGATCAAGAACGGTGCAATTATTAGCGACATGATATCCAAATTGAATTACAACCCGCAGTATGACGTCGCTGGAAAGACGCTGTTTTTATCATCTTCGTCTATCATCTACATCCCGTGATGGTTGTGTAACATGAATGCAAACCAATACCCAGAACGCCATCTATCCCGCAGACACCTGACCCCGTCCGCCGGTTCTGCCCGGTACATGAACACCCAACCATTATTGTCCCTGTTCGTTTGTACATGACACATCTTGCTTGAAACTCGTAAAACCTCTAGTCCTGGTTCGTCTTGGCCTTGCTCAAGGGCGCATCCTCGTCATCATCCTCGTCTCTATACACGGCGTCGTCCCTGCCCCACAGAGAGATATCGTCATCGGACATAAGTACAGCTGCGTCCTCGGGGTCTATGAGGGATGAGGATTCGACATCCTCGTAACCGGCGTCGCCCTCTTCAGCAGCAGCACCGCGAGCGTCATTGCGGGCGAGCTCAGCGGCGCGAGCCATGGTGCGGCGGTAGATGATGAGACCGACAGTGAGGCCAACGGCGCCGCCAATGGCCATGCTGACGTAGTTGATGGCCTTGTCGCCGGCGGACATTTGGTCGCCCTTTTCAGCGAGGAGGGCCAGGCGGCTGCCGATGAAGACGTGGACGAGTAGCTTGGGGCTTAAGGGGTTTGTTAGCACAGCTAGATGGAGAGACGGCGATGAGGAAGTTGGAGAACAACATACCTCGACAATGCGGTGGAGAGAGTAAATGCCAATGGGGTAACACTGGGAATTGTGGCCAGGAAACCGTTGCTCAAGCTAAACGGCAGCGGACAGAAGCGGATAGCCGTCAAGTACCAGATGCCCTCCTGGCGCAAGACTTGGCTGAGGGCGACGAAGCGGTGGTCCTTGCCGACCATGCGGTCCACGTAGCCGCTGAGGATGGTGCGGCTCGCCATGAAGGCGCCCAGAGCGCCGAGCGTGCAGCCGGCGGAGACGACGGGCCAACCCCAGGGGAAGCCGTAGACGAAGCCGGAGATGGTGGCGGCGGTGGAGTAGCCCACGATGGGCGGGAACGAGGTGATGAAGATGAAGAGGAAGATGAGCATCCAGCCGGCCGGCATCTCGCGCCACGACTTGGCATAGGGGGTCAGCCAGGCGAAGAAGGAGTGCGAGTAGATGATGGCGAGGATGCCGAAGACGGCAGCGGCCACGAAGCCGACAGCGGCGAGCAGGCGCTGCAGCGGCGTCAGGCGCAGGTACATCTTGAGGGTCTGCTGGCCGAGGAGCTGGGTCGAGGCGGCGATGCGACCGACGAAGGAGCCGGCGCCATGGCTCGAGGGGCGAGCGAGCGGGTTGGACAGGCGACGGCGGGCAGCGGCGGCAGATGACGACCACGGAGGAAGCGAGGGAGAAGGCGACGAGCCGCGCGATGGCGAGAGCGCAAGGGCCTGGGCGGCAGAGTGGTAGTCGGCAGGCATCCTGGCTGCTGTGTATTGCGATGGGGTTGTATTTGTTTGGCTGAGGAACGGTCGCAATCGCAGTCGCAATCGCAAAGGTAGAGAGAGGCTGGTCGTGTCTTGTCTTGACTAATCTGGCCCTGTCTCGGCGTGCAATGGTTGAATTGGGAAACAGAAAGGCCGGGGCTACGCTGCCATGCTGATGCGAAGCTGGTCTCGGAGCGACGTCGACTGTCGTCGGAACGAGCGGAGGGACAACGACGAAGCCGGAGGAGTCGGACGAGGGAGCTGGAGCTAGCGAATTGAAGGACCGGGGGGTCGGAGCCGGAGCGACGATGCTTAGAGGAGCGCAACGATGGCGAAGGGGAGAGCGAGGGATGGCGATGGGAACGGAGGCGGGACGAAGTAGAATGAAGCCGAGAGACGGGACGATACGAGATGAGAGGGGAGGAGTGAGACACGCAGCCACGCAGCGGATTGCATCGAGTCTATTCGTTTCTAGTTTGCATGACGTCCCGTTGCTTGCTAGTGTCAGCACCCTCTGAGGCTTGTTAGAGCCCGCTGCGCCCCGGCCCCACCAAAGCCTCCGGGTACCAATGGACGCTACGCCATGCTAACGTTTAGTCTGCGGTACCTATAAATACAAGGGATATAGGGCCAGGCGATAAGTGCAGTGGTACTCTAATAAGGCATCTCGTCAATACCAACCTGTACCTACCTTATCCATCTAGCATATTCGTAACATTCCAAGTTACATGTATCATTGTCAAGACAATCATTCATCTTCTTCAGACTGCAAATTTAGTTGGGAATTTTTCTTTACGATTTTACTGCTTTCTATCTCGAGTGGTCATCGCCGCCCGCTGGGACCCTTGGGCGGATCTCGCACGAGCAGCCTGACTTTGCCGTCGCCGATCTCTACGCCCTGGCTGAGGATATCCACCTCCTCCTCTTCTTCCTCCTCCTCCTTGTCCTCGTCTGCTCCGCTCTCGCGCGCGAGCGACTTGTCCCAGCTGCGGGCGTCGATGCCCAGGATGCCTCCCATGTTGTTACGGTCTCCAGGAACCGAAAACTCCCTGTATGCGTATCGCCACTCGTTGAGGAAGTTGCGGACGGCCCTGCCCACCTTGTCTTTGCCGTTCTTACTGTGGTGACCCGACCCGGTGATGGCGTAGACGGCACGAGACTCCTTGCTGTTCTCCATCAGCACCTTTTCCAGGTACTCGACCGCCTCCTCGGGGTGTAGCCCGTGCAAGTCAACGTAGATCTCTAGTCCGCTCGAGTTACCCCTGTTGCGCTCTTGGTACAATTCTCGCGCTGCCTCTCGGTGTGCTTTGCGCATCAAATCGTTCTCGCTCTGACCTCGCAGGCTGAGAGCCTTGGCTGCCCTGGCGTCATTGCGGTTCCAGGCTTGCGCAGCACTATTTCCGTCAGTTAGCTTGGGCTTGACAAGTGTCACTATTGGAGAGGAACACACCTTTGCAGAAACTTGTTACGAAGGCCGCCGTGCTTGATAGCCTCTTGGCGGGCCTTCAGGTAGGCTCTGTTCGCCCGCTCTCCCGTTTCTAACCACGGAATATTCTTCGGGCTGGGAATCGCCTGAGCCGTAGCGCTATTCTCTCCGTTCCGCCCACCTGTTGCGACGCCGTTGCGTCCAACCTTCTTAGCTTCGACACGAGGGGATCCAGGAACCGGAGCCGGAGTCATCTTGACAATATCGGCCAGTGAACTTGGGGCAAAGTTCTCCTTGTGAGCATGACCGTGGCCGCCACGCTTGCCATGATGCTTCTTGCCCTGCTTGGCAGAAGCGGACCCCAACGAGGGGAAAGCATCATTGTCATCAAAGGCCGGTGCAGAAACCCCCGAGTCCTTAACTTGGTGCCGGCTGCCGGGTCGAGATCGTGCGCGCGGGCTCTCGGTCCCATGGAAATGTTTCAAACCTGGTGGTGGAGTGATGCCAACAGACGGGAGGTTGAGTCCTCCAACGAAGGCGCTCAATTGCTCCGGGGTTCCGGGTTGGAGGGATGGGAAGGAGTTGAGGTCCCCTAGTTGTAAACTTCCCTGCCCCTTGATGGGCGGTGTGCTGGATCCATCGAGAGTGAGTTTGTTCATGAGCTTCGCAGGATCGTGCGAGAAAATGCACGTCTCTCCAGCCAAGCAGTTTCCCATCACCCAGTACCTAAAAGGGGCAACTCGTTAGATATACGCCCAGCAATCGATCAGAGAGAGAGGGCTGGCTTACTTGCAGAGGTGATTGCTGAGGTCATGGCTAAAACGACAGTCTGCACGAAGACACTGGCCCGTGGACATGTAGAACTTGCAAATGACCCCAGATTTTTGCTGTCCGAGAGGCGTGGTTGGGCGGCTATTGGGGGATACAGATTTTCCAATCAGGACGTTCTTGGTCTCTTCCGAAGATGTAGCAGACAAGGTGCCGTCTTGGGCCTGGCTCTCCATGATGGACACAATGGTCGCACTCAGGTCGTAGCCGTGCAGCGCCAGCGCAGCCTCGATCTCCTCGTCAGTCCTGGCCTGGCCGAGGATAGAGCGTAGCATGTCATAGGGCGACATATCGGACGACTGAGCAGACATGGAGGAAAACTCGGGGGCGGCAGCATTTAGGCCACTCGAGGTGCCGACGGACGAGGTAACGCTCGCAGCATCGTCACTGACGAGCCACTCGACGTTCTCGGTTTGGTATTCGCCCAGTATCTCGGTGGCAGGGGTCGGGTCGCTTGCGAACTCGTACGCGTTCAGGTTGGGACTATGGGGGATCACGGGGGTCGCAAGGGCCAGGCGCGGCGAGGCTCGTGGAGACGAAAAGGGTGAGGCTGTGGATGACTTGGCCCGGCCAAAGGTGGAGGGGACGAAGCCTGGAGGAGCAAGGGGGCTCACGGCGAGCCTTGGAGACCCGGAGAGGGGAGTTGGCGAGCCGCGCCACGATGCTGGAGAGGGACGTCGGAGAATGGTTTGGCGGATGGGTGGTGGCGACGTGGAGCTTCCGCCGCTATCGCGATAGCGCCACAGAGCATCCAGGATGGCGTTGTCGAGTGAAGGACCGGTCAGGGACGTCTCCTTGCGGAAAAGGTCCTCCAGCTTGTCCGTCTTGTCCTCGTCCTCCAGCGTGAGATCCTGCAAGATGGGCAAAGCCAACTCGTAGTGCTCGTCGGACACCATGGCTGGGACGCGGGCCCCTGACGAGGGGATCGATCTATTACGTGGAGAGAGGGATGCGGTGGACGGAATCTAAGGGTCTAGGGGGTCGGAAGACGGGTAAAGATGGCGCGACGAAGCGGAGGAGGAGCAGAGGAGCGGAGGAGGAGCGAAGCTGGTGCGGCGAGTGAGGATGGACCGCGGAAGGGTCGATCTAGAGGGGAGTGTCGTGACCTGGCGGTGCAGGACAAAGGAAGGGAGGAGAGGCTGTCTCGAGCTATGGTCAGCCTGGCTTCAGTGGCCGGGGACGCGGCAGCGCGGAGAAGAAAGGGACCAGAGCAAAGGTGGAGAGGCGGAGCGCGAGTTAGAGCAAGCCCAGCCAGCCAGCCAAGAGCACACTTACGGATGCAATATAAGAAAGAAAGGGAAGAAAACGAAGCGAAAGCAACAGGAAGAATAAAATAAGAATGCAACGAGCAGAAGCAACGGAAGCGAAGCGCGCGCACAGAGAAGAAAAGGAGGAGGGAGAACTGTCGGCGGTTGAAAGAAGCAGAGGTGATGCTGATGGATGCTTGATGATGCAAGACCGAACGACGGGCCAGGACGGGCTTCACATGGGTTATGGTTAAGGGAACCCCCCCACTGTGTCTCCCTAGAGGTAGGGGAGAAAAAAATACAGGCAATAAGACGCCCGGGCGGGAGTTAATTACTTGCGAGACGAGGTAGGTGGTACTTGGGTAGATTGCATGAGAGATTGTCGGTGACACTAACGGCGAGTCACGCGAATGAGCGCTGCTGAGGCTGCGGCGCCGTGCTCTGGGTCGTCCACGGCGGACAATGGTTTCGTCAATTCGCCTCAAACATGATCCGGAGGCTTCTCGTCGTCTTGTTGGGGTGTCAGCTCAGTACACCTCAGCTGATAGGATAGCGATACAGGAGGCCAGGTATGCAGATGACCAGGTGGAGGGGGAGAGAGACAACAACGCTCAGCTACAGGAGAGACACGACGCGGGCGTGGTCCAGTGAGAGCGAGCGACTGCTGATGTACCCTGTACCTCCTGGAGCTAGAATGTTACAGGCCGAGCTACCTGCTACCAGCCCGCTACCCACAGGCCACCCATCCAGCTCCAGCTCCAGCTCCAGCTCCAGCTCCAGCCGAAAGGGCGACGTTCCGCGCACCACCTCCATTTCAGTGGACGGAGCGCCCTGTAAGTTTAGGGGGCGCCGGCGCCTGCGGGAGGCTTCCCACCGCCTCTCGTCCATTGGAGTGCCACCGCGGCTGGGCGCCCGTCGTGGGGTTGTATCCCGCAGGCATTGGGCGGTTCGCCCGTGTGATGGTGGTGATGCGAGCGTGAGGCAGCGGGAACAGTCATGATCCAGGTGTCAAGTTGTCCCTCGGCGCGTACCAATCTTAGTAACCATGGGGGATTTGTTCTCCAGATATTCTGCATCTGACCTAGCACCCATCCACCTTTCAATATCACGGTGGATATGTAATTGAGGACCAGGGTCAACTGTGGGCTTGGCGCTCTCCAGCAGCGCCGCGTTTCTCTCGAGTTACAGCCGACAGCTGGGGCCTTCCTTCGAGGTTGTCCTGCTTCCCAATTGACTCCTGTCCACTCGGGTTGCAACCCCGCGGAAAAAACTCGCATCCGAGTTCGAGAATTCTCTTGGTGGATATTTGGTCCCAATGTCTCCATCGTGAGTCCTGCCTGACCTGCATGGCAATTAGGTGGGGAGTACGGAGTGCGTACCTATGGAGCAGCGGCAACACCCATTATAATCACCCCACGTTGGTACCCGTTCTGGGGACAAACCCCCTGTCGGCATCAACCAACTTCCAGACCCCTATTTTAATGCAAGTCCCCAAAAAGCAAAGACCTGCAAGGCGCTGAACCTTCGTCGCAACCGCCGATACTGTAAGCCATGTTCCATGTTGCCATCCCAAGTTATTTTAGTTATTCGGTGACGTAACCGATCCGAAGACTGGAAATGAATCACTCTTCGCCCTTTGTTTGAAAGGTAAAACTTCCGCATTCCATACCCCCTTTCCCCATACCTTCCCGCGTCTTATGACAGACACATCATATCGGCTAACAGTAGGTATTTTAAGCCTCGTCATTATTAGCCTCCGTCGATAAATCGGGGACAAAATCGGGGACAATCGTCAATTGTAGCTACCGAGCCCGACACCGTCTTTTTGTGTAAATATCAAAGCACCATTTTTGCTCATTGTCATCCTTCAGCCGAGAGGCCGACAACTCTAGGGTATCTCATCATCATCGTCGCCTCCAAACCCGAAGCTGAACTCCCCTCCTCCCTGTTGTTCCTCTTCTCCGCCACCGACTGTGGTATCCCACTTGCGCTTCCTCCCGCTCTTCCTGTCGGCCAAGTCCAACGCCTTTTTCAGGACATCGGGGTAGCTGCTCTTCATCCTCTCTGAAAACAGTCCAAACGGATTCTCGACTCCCTCGTCGAATCCACTAACTTGGTCGGCCTTGTCTCGGAGGAACGACAGCACCTCAGACACGAGATTCAGGCTTGGAGACTGAGGAACAAAGTTCTGCGTCAGGGCAATGCCGTTTTCCAGGTTGACCACTAGATGCCACCACCCACTTGGGACGTGGAGAATCTCTCCTGTCTTGCAGATGCCCTCGACACACTCAGGTAATCGCCGCGCCTCCTCGTGGAACGTGAGCAGCCACTCGGCAATGCTCAGCGGGCTCGTTACCTCGCTGCTGTCCTCCGACACGTAGACGCCCGGAACCTGGGCGGTGGGTGGAAACATGATCCAGTACTTGGAACCCTGGATCACAGCGTTCCAGGCACTCGTCGCATTAGGGTCCTTGTGAAAGGTCGAGCCGCTTCGCTCAGGCCCAATAATCAACCACCGGTGAGCAGGTCGCTCATCCCCGAGAACCTCGAACATGTCGGGACCAAAGCAATCTGGCTTCCAGTATGCCGCCTCTGGTTCGTGCCCCACTGAGATGCCCATCTTCTCGGCGAATTTGCGATCGAACAGGTACAAGGGGCTCTCGTCCTTGGTGTTCTCCATGTACTTGCAATAAGTCGCAAATGGCCAGTCCACGGCCTCGGCTCGAAACTCAACGCTGGCATACTTGTCAAGGAGTGACTCGATGGACCACTCGGAGCAAACGGGCCAGTCCTGTATGCACTCGGTAAGCACAAAGGGCTCTTCAGTCCATTTCTCGGCATACTGCTCGTATGTCAAATTCTGAAAACGGCGGATCTGGTTAGCCTTGGGGATGTTGGAGGCGAACTGTGACAGAACAACATGGCTACAGGCAAAGGGCCTATGGAGGACGTCGGAGAAAACGTTACTGCAATCAACCAGAGACCCTTGATTGCTTGGAGCAGGCAGCCCAAGTACGGTCGACCGCCAAGATCCTTGCCAGCGGATCGATTTGCTATTCTTCGGAGCCGATCTGATCTCAGGTTAGCTCCCGCCCCGTATAGCAGTTGATAGATACCGCGGGTTTTCAGAGACTAGGCATCAGGGTGTGACTCAGCCTCAACTGGTCCAGTGGGAGTCAAGGATGAGCACGAGGCACGGAGTTAAGCTTACCGAAGAAACAGAGCCTTCCATAATTCGTCCGAGTGGCAAAAGGCGTAAAGGAACTTTGATGTGTGGCCAAGGTTGAAGAGCTCATGGGTATCTACATGCTCCAGGATGAGCATCATAATCTCGTCGGGCAACATGTTCCAGACCCCGATGGACCTTCGAGCATTCCGGCCATTGAAGATGTATTGGTTGCCTAGAGGCTTGAGGCCCAGGGGATGCAGAGGGATAGAGTCAGGCGTCAACTCAGTCAGATCAGTAGTTCTGTCACACAGTGAGCTGTGGCGGCGAGGATCGCCTTCTGGCAGCAAAAGAGATGGCATCGCGGGTTCGGTGTGGTTGTGGGAGAGGATGAAAGAGAAGGGAAAAAAGTTGCAAGCTATTGACACAAGCGAACAAACCAGCAGGGGTATCATAGATCCAAGTACGTATCGAGGCCAATTAGAAGGGTGGTCCCTGATGGCCTACAGAATTCAAGGCTGGGCGGGGAGAGTGAGGAACCGTACGATGGTGCTGGCCTTGGTGGGACTTGAGCGATTCAGGGCGCACGGTAGCGCAGGGCAGCGCAGGGCGGACGAAGCTGTAGTGAGAGCGAATCTGGGTGAGAGAGAAAATCGCGTGAGGAATGAGTGGGTGGCACGAGAGGCGGAATCAAGTCTAGAGCCGCACGGAGGTACCCATACATAGTTGGTCGCAGCACCAGACTGGGATCGGGCGACAGGATGACGACCATGGGTGAATCAGATTGAATCACGACTGACTCATCGATCCTTGCTCGCAGGATCGAGTCTCTTATGAGGATGTAGTCGCGGAGGATGGGTTTCGGTCATCGACGAGTCACTCATCTAGGCACTCAACTCACTCACACGTCACAAGCTCATTCACAACGAGCAAACACACACACGCACAATGGCTCGTGTGAAAAAAAAGAGAGAAAAAAAAGCCCCGGTGGCGGGGCACATTTTGAGGCGGCGGCGGTGGTGGTGGAGGGGCAATGATAGCGGGCAGAAAAAAAAAGATTCCCCCTCAACGCTTGGACTTGGCCACTAAAGAAAAAAAAAAACCTGCAGGCGATAGGTACCTGATGCCAGGGGACCAGTGGCATGTGCGGCACCGACAGGGAGGGGCACAGAGGGGCCATAGAGGGGCCATAGAGGGGCCACAGAGGGGCGTGGGAGAGTGCGACAGTGGGTAGAGAGGTACCTAGGTAAGGTAGAGAGAGCCACAGAGTGGGAGGAGGTACCCTAATCTTCTGCCCCACTACTCGTCCACCACTTGCCCACCACTTGCTCAAGCCCCAATGATTGGCTGCTCGTCTTTTCCACGTCGAGGTAGGTAAGCAGGCGGGCAGCAAAGAGAAAAAATACTGCCTCCGCGCCGCCCCTCATCGACTTTTTTTTCCTCTTCTCCCATCCTGCATCAAGACCATCCAAACGATATCCATCCTCCTTCCTAGATCCCGTCGACTCTCGTCTTTCTTGCGAGAGCCTTAGATCTAGTCGAATACCCAGCTTCTTTTCACGCCCGGCGCAGTCTTCTTCGAAGCCTGCCCTCTTTGTTCAAACCCGCCACCCCGCGCTTTATCAAACGTCTAGATTGAGCTGTGCTTGATCTAGATTTCACCCGCCTCCTCCGCGAATATGGCTACCGACAAGGGACTCGAAGACGTCCCCGAGGGTGAGTTCTATCCTTTCCCGCCCTGCCCAGCGCAATCCCGCCCACTTTGCGCGCCCTCGACCGTGTTTGGCGCCCTGCCCGCTTGACGCTTTGTCGTGGGGTTGGACTTGGTGGTGCCCTGCGATATGCCCTGTCGAGCGTTTTCCCCCCTTCGGTGGGCCGCATATCCCACGCAAATCCCACTACAGCCCAACATACATCGCACGCACTCTGCGCCGTGACGCCACAATACCTCTATTTCTCTACCTTTCTCTCTCTCTCTCTCTATTCGCAACACCCGCGACTGACATGGCTTTCTCCCTACAGGACAGATCGAGTCCAACTATGACGAGTCCGTCGACTCTTTCGATGAGATGAACCTCAAGGCCGAGCTTCTCCGAGGTGGTAAGTCCTTCTTCGCCCGCATTCCCACAACCCTTATTCCCGCACGCCGCTCACTCCCTACACAGTCTACGCCTATGGTTTCGAGCGCCCCTCTGCTATCCAGCAGCGTGCGATTATGCCCGTTATCAAGGGTCACGATGTCATCGCCCAGGCCCAGTCCGGTACTGGAAAGACTGCCACCTTCTCCATTTCCGTTCTCCAGAAGATCGACACCAATGTGAAGCAATGCCAGGCTCTGATTCTCGCCCCCACCCGTGAGCTGGCTCAGCAGATTCAGAAGGTCGTTGTCGCCATTGGTGACTTCATGAACATTGAGTGCCACGCCTGCATTGGTGGCACCAGTGTGCGCGATGACATGAAGGCTCTCCAGGACGGCCCCCAGGTCGTTGTCGGAACCCCCGGCCGTGTTCACGACATGATCCAGCGTCGCTTCCTCAAGACTGACGGCATGAAGATGTTCGTCCTCGACGAGGCCGATGAGATGCTTTCTGTAAGAAAATTCCGCCCCCCCTATTGCCACCCGAAATCCCTGTACTAACAGCTTTCTCCTCCAGCGTGGTTTCACCGAGCAGATCTACGACATCTTCCAGCTCCTTCCCCAGTCCACCCAGGTCGTCCTTCTGTCGGCTACCATGCCCCAGGACGTTCTTGAGGTCACCACCAAGTTCATGCGCGACCCCGTCCGTATCCTGGTCAAGAAGGATGAGCTTACCCTGGAGGGTATTAAGCAGTTCTACATCGCCGTTGAGAAGGAGGAGTGGAAGCTCGACACCCTCTCCGACTTGTACGAGACTGTCACCATCACCCAGGCCGTCATCTTCTGCAACACCCGCAGAAAGGTCGACTGGCTCACCGACAAGCTCACTGCCCGTGATTTCACTGTCTCGGCCATGCACGGTGACATGGACCAGGCCCAGCGTGACCTGATCATGAAGGAGTTCCGATCCGGCTCTTCCCGTGTCCTGATCGCCACTGATCTCCTGGCCCGTGGTATCGATGTCCAGCAGGTTTCCCTGGTCATCAACTACGACCTTCCCGCCAACCGCGAGAACTACATCCACCGAATTGGTCGTGGTGGTCGTTTCGGCCGAAAGGGTGTCGCCATCAACTTCGTCACCGCTGACGACGTCCGAATGATGCGTGAGATTGAGCAGTTCTACAGCACTCAGATCGAGGAGATGCCCATGAACGTCGCCGACCTCATCTAAAAAAAGCATCGTCTTCCAGAACCTTTTCCCGGATTGCCCTGTTGAAACAACCCGAACCTGCAGGGCGGTCTGGCATCCTTGGGAGTGTCTACGGAGATTTCGAGGCAGTTGATAGATCTCGTTTTCTAGAGTGCCATCTGGGACGGCGCTGCCGTCGGTCCGGAGGCGATCGAGGGGAGGAGGTCAAAACTGGCTGCATGACAAAGGCTCGGGAAGTCCTTTGCACCTAATACCTGGAGGTGCGGTGGGCGACCAAAAGTAATGCAATGGTTTTTCACCCTGCTTTTGTCCTTGTTGTATTTAGGTGTCGTTTTCATGATGATTATTTCCTTTACGACTATGATCCTACTCTCGATATGACTAGATGATTTGTGATACTGTCCTAGACTGCAAGTGAACTGAACCAGCCTTTATACCTCGCACTAGAAGTCCCTGATTACATTACATGTCTCGCTAGTGGTTAGTGGTCCCCAAGCTGGAGCAATGTCCCACTCCAAACGAGACATCTCCAACAGTCCCCCTATCAATCGCCATATTCTTGTGAATTTCTCTCGGTCAAAGCCATGAGGTAAATGGGATTTTTCACGTTTCGTTTAGAGGAGAGTAGTCTTGGTTCAATGTCATATCTGTATTTCCGCTACCCCATCATAGTAAGGGTTTATCATACAAAAGAAAAAAAGGGTTACGTCCATCGTAATGTAGATCCATCGTCTTCAACCCACGACATCCTTTTGTCAGTGAAATTTGTACCGAGATCCCCCAAAATTAAGAAAAGGTATATACGATCAGGTTCCTGTCCCCTGTAAAATGCAGACGAGGAAAACAGTCTTTGCCGCCAAAATAAACGCCTATGTGGTATCACCGCCCAAGAAAGCATGTCGCGAAAGCCCTCGCCATATGTTGGCTAAAGCCCGCAGACTCAAAATGCAAGTCATTCCCTTCGACACATTCCTTAACGGGCCTGCCCGAACGTGGTCTGAGTGGGGGGCGGGCTCTGCAGGGCCTGGCCGGTGTAAGCACCAGGAATGGGAACGGCATCGTAGGTAGGCTCGTTGGAGGCAGCAGGAGCCTGGTCTTGAAAGTACGCGGCTGGAGGCGGGGGCGCGGCACTGGTGGAGGCGAAGCCGGACTGCTCCATCTTGGGGGTGGCGTTGGGAGCCTTGGTGGGAGGGGCCTGGAGCTTGAAGTCCAAGTCGCCCTTGCTACGGAACTGGGACGGAGGCTCGACGAACTGGGTTCCAGGGGTGAAGGGGCTTTCCTCAATGTCGGTGAGGTTTCGGTAGGCGGCAGGAGGGTGGCGGGGGGACATGGCGTATTGGCTCAGGGCAGGAGACTTGGGAGCAAAACCGGGGGTGTTGGGAGCGGACTGGCTGCGGAGCTGCGCGAGATAGAGATCGGAGCGGGCACGGTCTCGCATATCCATGGACTTGAAGAGGCGGCGCTTGGTGTAGTAGCGGTAGAAGACGACGCTGTAGAGCATGATGCAGAGGACCTCGATGACGATCTCAATGATGATGCAGATCATGGCCCAGTTCTGAAGACGGCAGAGGAGGGCATAGTCCACCTTGTCGCCAAAGACCTGGGCTCGAGTATTTGAAAGGCAGGACCATCCCCACATATCCTTGTTGTTCGAGTTGTTCTTGGAGTGCTGGAATATGATAGCAGTGACGACCCAGAGAACTAAGCTGAGCATGAACTGAGATGAATGTTAGAACCAGCACACTCGATTTGAAGCACAGAGAGAAACTTACCCATCCGATAGCGAACAGAGTATAATACGTGCCGACTTTCTCGGCGCGCTTGTGACCGCCTCGAAAGTACGCAGCGAAGACAAGGATACAGGCAAGGAGGGACACGCAAGCCATAGAGAGGACGAGCTTCTGGGGCCAAGCGTTGGTGTTGGTGGCCCAAGAGGGCATGCGGCTCTGGGACGGAAGGGCTCGGGTGGCATTGAACACGGCAAAAGTCGATGAAAGCATGGAAAGAATGATCAGGGAGCAGCTGAAGTTGACACCGCGAAGGGCGAACTTGGCCATCCGAACGCGAGCCTTGATTTTCTACCAAGGTGTAAGTGAGGTGATTTCTGGAGGGTGAGTAAACGATGGAACATACCACATCGCGAGCCTGTTCCTTCTCAGTTGACAGCTCTCGCTTCTCGAGAATGTCCTCCTCGCGGAAGGTCGGGCTGAGGGGGTTGTCGAAGGGCCTCGCAGGAGTTCCCGGCACCTTCATGGCACTCTTGAGGGGAGTTTTGGGCGTCATCGGGACGGCGACGGACTCTCGGTTACCGATGTAGCCAAAGCCAATGTCGCCAGGTTGGGCCTGAGCAATGTGAGACTTTTCCGGGTCCGCGAAAGGTGAGCGCGCGTCAATGGGAGAGTGTACCGATGTGGCTTCGGCGAAACGAGGAGTGCGAGGCTTAAGGGAGCCGTCCGAGGAAGATGACCTGGAGGACTCGGATCGGGTGGGTGTGAGGTTCAGAGCGGCAGGCCGCCTCTTCTCATCTAGTGCATGTCAGCTTGGGGTTCATTGGGCTCTCATGTCAGCTTCGGCAGCGACGGACCTTGTCCAGCCATGCTTAATCTTTGGTGAGTGAGAAGAGAAATAGCAAAAGCAGTGTGTAAGACGGCAATGGTAAGAGTTGATGTTGATGTTGGGGGAGGAGTGTGCTTCAACGCAGTCGAAGGCACATTATCAGAAGGAAATAAAATCAATCGAAAGCAAACAGAGAGACCAGCTATCGAGGAGCAAGAGGGAGGACGAACGGGGCGAGCAGATGTGGGAAGACGGGAGTTTTGAGGATGGCAGCTTTGGGAGGAGGGAGCCAGCTCATTCGACGACAGTAGACGCCAGCAACGGGACAGGGACTCGGGAAGGGGGGTGACCGCAAATAGTATCTGGATGGCCTTACATGGAATGGATGGCAGATGGGAGCAAGCGTTCTGATAGGCAGGGCCCAAACGCCGGCCAAGTGATTCGGGCTTGAATTAGACGCCCACGTTTGTTGGAGGTGATGGGAGGTGGCGACGGGTGCAGAGACGGGGCCGGCGGCTGCAGAGCGGTCTCACACTCAATCTCTCACACTCGTCGCTTGATAGAGTGGTGGGAGGGAGGAAGCCGGACTGGTTCGCGAGATCAAGCTGTTGGATCTTCGACAACGAGGGAGCAAGACAGGCAAACAGGCAGTGAGCCGCAAAAAGAGGACGAGAGCAGGACTATCACGAAATGTTTGGAAACAAGCAGAGAGGGGTCTAGCCACAAGGCGGAAAACTCGATGTTTTGTGTGGTCGACACCGCAAGACAGGCCAGCGAGAAACAGCAGGGTGCCCGAAGGCAAACCAGGGCCGAACAAGGATACGACAAGCAGGAACAAACGCAGAACAGCACAGCAGCGGTCCTACCCACGCCTGCACACGCCTGCATAGGCACTGGCTGACGCTGGAATACCCGGCAGCACCCCATTTGGCCTCGAGCCCGCGTCGTCGCATCCCTGGCCTGGTCTTGCTTGGAGGTTTGGCGGCATGATTGGAGCTCCGCGGCTATCCTCGAGAGCGTGGATCGTGGAGAAGAGGCGTCCTGGCCGTGTGGTTGGTTGTCTTCGGGAGCCGTAGCCAGCCCCCCTGGTCGACCCCGGCAGGTGATCTGCCGTCTTGATAGGTCGCCGTGCTGCAAGCGCTTTTGTCTCTTTTGTCTTCACCTCGGCACCACCAATCAGCTGCCCCAAGCCCGTGATTGCCGTCCAGCCACCTGCAGATGTCGGCGGCAACAACGACACCCGGATTCGCAGTCGCCCTCGCTATGGCCCACCCTCGCTCGAGGTCCACCCGCGGCGACGCACCGACGACGCACCAGCGACAAGGTGTTGTTGCATCCTTGCGTGCGCGGGGGTCATATTGCTTGTCCTGGTGCCATCTGACATGGCGACTTCCTCCGGGTCGGACGGGCGTGACTCTCCGGCTTCCTAGCATTGGCCGGGAACCATAGTCGACGACGTTGTTCTTGTCTCAAACTCAGGCTTCCATCGCCTGGTGTAATAATCTTCAGCGGCAATCAACGACTTCGCTCTGGTCGAGGGCAGTGACTCGATTGCTGACAATTCTCCAGGAGCCTTGACCGGACGTCAAGCCCTCGGTGAGCCGGAGAGTCTCTATCTCCCATTCGGCAGCCGAGAAAATCCTGCAATATTGCACAGATACATATGCCTGCGAGGCCACATAGCACGGCTGCACAAGAATGCGGCAGTGAGCTTTTTTCTTGCTCCTTGTCGTGGTTGGTGACGCCCCCAACAAGTACCCCCTCACCTTGGCGATCACTGATCAATGAGCCGGCCGCTGCAACCCCAATTTCGCCCATGTCTGACCTCCAATCAAGGTCTATAATTAGCATATAGAGCAAAATTCACCGCAGTGGCGGGTAAAATGTGATATAGGTCGCATGCAACGGCGGGGTTTCTGCCCGCTTGATCCTCCCTCGGCTCATCGGTTGTCATTCAAATCGAGTGATGTCCCGATGACCTGATGTGCGTCAAACCGCATCTCATTCGACTAACATCCTTTGACGAATTTCCCCAGTCATGTCATGTCATGTGATAGCTGATTGATTTGGTAATGTTGCCTAAATGTTTCGAGGGACGGACGGTGAAGTTCCGAGCCGCAGGTTCCACATCACTAGCTGCGCCGATTGTGGTTGAGTTTCTTCGAGGTCATATTCGTTTCACTTCGGTTGTTAGTGTTGCTAATCATTGAAATGATTGCACTAATGGACTTGACCTCTGAATACAATCGGTCTTAGTTTATGTGGCTGATTGCGAATCTAGTCGAGCTGAGCTAGTCTGCCGAACCGCTGCGTACATACCTAGGTTTCGCGACACCACCAAGCTCCCGCTAGGTTAGGGCTGTCGCATGGCAAACGGGCTTCTTGATGAGGCGATGATAACAGCGTGAGTGTATATATCCGAACGTGTTTTCGAATATCGATGCGTTGGTGGCGTAGGATTATGAAGAAGATTAGTGGGAGGGGATTGCCATCATGTCGGTTGCTTGAAAAGATGAAAATAAAGCTGTTTGAGCTCCCCGAGCAGGTGCTTCACGACACAGGCAAAGCAAACCGTGGTTCAGAGAGGCCTTCGAGCTCGTTCTGGCAGGTGCGTACGACCGAGCTTCACCCGAGGAGGGGCAACAATCCTTATCGGCTTATCGGGCCCTGTCCGGTTTAGCGTAAGAGTCATAGTCGTCCCAACTGGCTGCACACGAGGAATTTTGCCAACATCAAGGCGAAATATCCAAATACTTGGCTCTACACGACACCAGGACCAAGAACCCCTCGAGAGACCATCAAATCTCCGAGTATAATTTTCTCCCGACCCCGACGACCAATTTCCACCCTCGCAACTGCCCCGACTGCGGCTCCCCGATCGAAACTCCTCGTGAAATCCGGCGAATTGCCCCACCTCCACCATGTCTGCCAACGGCGACCCCAAGTACGACGACATCGAGTCTGAATCCGACTCCGGCGAGTCGGTCGACCACAACGAGACCGGTGATGGCCTCGAGGACAAGTCTCTCAAGTCCGCCCTGAAGAAGTCGAACCCAGCCATCGCCGAGCCGGCAGCCCAAAGACCCCCGCTGCCCCCGCAAACCGATCCCAAAGACCTCGACGTCGCTACCCTCACTCCCCTGACGCCCGAGATTATTGCCCGACAAGCCACTATCAACATCGGAACCATCGGCCATGTCGCTCACGGAAAGTCGACTGTGGTCAAGGCCATCTCCGGCGTCCAGACTGTTCGATTCAAGAACGAGCTGATCCGAAACATTACCATCAAGTTGGGTTACGCCAACGCCAAGATCTACAAGTGCGATAACCTTCAGTGCCCCCGACCCGGATGCTACCGAAGTTACAAGAGCGAGAAGGAAGTTGACCCTCCCTGTGAGCGAGAGGGTTGCGAGGGCACCTACAGACTATTGCGACACGTCTCGTAAGTTGCGCCTTTGGGATAAGCTGAGACCGTACTGACCCCACCAGGTTTGTCGACTGCCCCGGTCACGATATTCTAATGAGCACTATGTTGTCAGGTGCCGCCGTCATGGACGCCGCCCTGCTGCTCATTGCTGGTAACGAATCCTGCCCCCAGCCCCAGACCTCGGAGCATTTGGCCGCTATTGAGATCATGAAGCTCGACAAGATCATCATCCTCCAGAACAAGGTCGATCTTATGCGGGAAGAGGCCGCCCAGCAACACTACCAGTCTATCCTCAAGTTCATCCGAGGAACCGTTGCTGGCAAGTCCCCCGTTATCCCCATCTCTGCTCAGCTCAAGTTCAACATCGATGCCGTCAACGAGGCCATCGTCAACACCATCCCCGTGCCTCCCCGAGACTTCAGCATCGACCCCCACATGATTGTCATTCGATCCTTTGATGTCAACAAGCCTGGTGCCGAGATCGACGACCTCAAGGGTGGTGTTGCTGGTGGCAGTATCCTGCACGGTGTCATCAAGCTGGGCGACGAGATTGAGATCCGACCTGGTATCGTCTCCCGAGACGATTCTGGTGCTCTCAAGTGCACTCCCATCTTCAGCCGTGTCGTCTCCCTCAACTCTGAGGCCAACGACCTCAAGTATGCCGTCCCCGGTGGCCTTATTGGTGTTGGTACCCGCATCGACCCTACCCTCTGCCGAGCCGATCGTCTCGTTGGTTTCGTCCTGGGTCTCAAGGGACGCCTGCCCGAGATTTACAGCGAGATCGAGGTTAACTTCTACCTCCTCCGCCGCCTGCTCGGTGTGCGAACTGCCGACGGCAAGCAGGCGAAGGTCGCCAAGCTGGCCAAGAACGAGGTCATCATGGTCAACATTGGTTCCACCTCGACTGGAGCGAAGGTCGCTGCTATCAAGAACGATGCCGCTAAGCTGGTCCTGACCAGCCCTGCCTGTACCAACATTGGCGAGAAGGTCGCTCTGAGCCGACGTATCGAAAAGCATTGGCGTCTCATCGGATGGGCCACCATCGCTGCGTAAGTTTTACTTCCCTCAACTCCTTTATGAGCCATTGCTAACATGAACTCTCAGCGGTGTCACCCTTGAGCCCAGCACTTCTTAAATGTTTAAAATCAGCGGGTTGAGAGCCCTTATCGCACGATCTTCGGCTACGCAAATTCTGAAAACGCGGGATGCCAAGGAAGGCAGTCTTCGGCGGCTTTTGAGTAGATGGCTGGCGCAAGAATGAGGCCCGGTGTTTATTGTGGTCTTCGGAAACAAGGGGATGAAGGTCAGGCATGCCCCCGGGGGGAGTTAAGGGGGTCATGCAGCAGATAGCTAGCTGTAGTTACGTTGTAAATGCATGACGAGGTCACGCCGCCTCACGGAAAAGACAAAAGTACGCCACAAGCAGCAAGGCCAATTGTTTGATGAGGGTTTTACCCATGATTGGATGATGTCATTGAGCCCGAATTATTCCTCTATTTCCTAACTTTCCTTGCGTGCTTCACGAGGTTTTCTATTACACCTTCAAATGCCTCTCTGTCTCCAAGCTTTTCGTCTGTTCGTTTCTTCCAGTACTCCAATGCCTCCTTGGCTACCCACTCCATGGCCTCTAGTTTCGCCACATGGGTCTTGAGCTCCGCGTTTGTCATGCCGTTCAGGGCCTCGTCCGTAGTCATACACAAGTGGCGGGCAGCCACGAGATCCAGCTCTGGCTGCGGGGGAGGGCCCTTCCGCTTCTTAGACGCTGACGGCTTCCCCTGAGTGTCAACTGAGGTGGATGATGTGTTGCCTTCGCCTTGCCGTAGCCGGGATACAGAGCGCGAGTCACTAGATGTGCGGGGAGAGGTGGATGAGACATGAAGAGAAGGGAGAACAAGCTTCTTCTGCTTGGATGCGGGGAGGATTTCGTCAAGGTCAACAGGGACGCCAAGGGAAACGAGGAAGAGTCGGCGTATGCGTGATCGGATCCAGTCGGGGGGAGCGAGGGGCGGAGGAGCCACGAGCTGGGACCAGAGTGATGCAGATCGGGGAGTGAGGAAGATGGAGGATTCTTTAGAGAGGGGGGGGAAGGTGGGGAGATCGAGCTGCTCGGGAGGGAAGAGGTCGGCTAAGAAGGGCTCCAGACATGATATGACACTCTCTGAGTCAAGACCATCGAAGTCAGGTATGGGCTAGGGGGTTTGTCAGTATTGCAAACTAATGATGAGTAGTTACAAGACTTACGAATGGTAATTGTGCTTGTTGTTGGGGTGGTAGAGAGTTGAGAGCAGGAGTGGCCTCGGCTTGTTGAAAGCCATCTTCGAAGTCATCGAAATCGTCATCCTGGTTGCCCTCTTCGAAATCGTCGAAATCGTCGCCGAAACCGTCACCGTCGTCGTCGTCTTCGTCTTCTTCCTCATCATCGTCACCATCCTCTACTGGTGGTGCCAGAGGGGCTTGGAAGCTGGAGTCTTCCACTTCTGACTTTTCGGATGGAGAGCCTGGAGGAGACGGCGGATCATCTACGCGAACGGAATTCAGAGGTCAATATAAATCTTTAAAGTCTTTAGGGTGTTGCTCCTCCCGTACCGGATGTGCTTTCGCCATTGATTTCCTTGATACGCCCTTCAGAATCCAAGACCAGATCGGGAGATGCATCTGCCATGCGTCTATCCTCAAACTTGGCAGAGTGTGATCCAGGTACATCCCCAGGAGCCTCCTCTACAAGAGTCGTAGGAACCTTCGCATCGATTGTCGAGGTCGATGTTTGGGACAAAGCATCGTCATGGATAACGGCAATCTCGTCGGGGATAGCATCTTGTTCTCGCTTGGCGTACGCTTCGGTGCCCGGAACTTCGCCATAGGCGGGCTCGTCATCGATCCTTTCGACCCGGGTCGTGGGAATTGAAGTGCTCATAATGGGGCTTGTGGGTGCAGACTGGGCGTCGGTGAACTGATCTTCGGAGTCGGACGACTCAGCTGTAGTCAGGTCAGTGAGAAGTCACCGTACTACCGTTGGCCAGACGTACCCAAATCATGCGCTCCAGGGTCCGCGATGGGAGATCCCTTCGGAGGCTCAAGCTTCTCCGTCTCTGTCATGGTGGTCAAATTGGTAGACAGTGCTACTGAGAGCTATTCAAAGTCGAGCGATAGCCCAGACGGGCATGTAATAGTCGATGGGTAGCGTGGGGCGAGGGGAGCAGAAGCTCGTGTGAGTTGGTTCGTCTGACCGCGGGGCTGGCCTGGAGATGACAGAAATCAGGCCCAAAGCATGCCGGCGATCCCCGAAATGAAGCGAGCAGGCAGGTTGGACTGGAAACGAAGCACAACGTCGGCCCGGGAATTGCTTGACACTGGCCAGAAAGGAGGTGTGGTCGTTGAGCCTCGAAGCTCGCCCGCAGTGAGCTTCATCACGTGGGGCAGGCTTCAGTGGACGGCTCATTCCGTCTAGTCGGTCGGTACGTACTCCACCCAGCGAGCCTGGCGCGACTGGGCGCCTGGACCAGCGCGTGGAGCTGGCAACCATCACCACAAAAAAAGCTACCAAAGGCTTTGGAGTCTCGGCATCCCATCGCCATCATCGCAACCTCCCTCAACCAACTCATCGCGAATCCTCGCCGAGAGCCCGCCAGTCTCACGAAATTCTCAAAAGGCCCTGTGAAATTGAACGGCCGATTGTTGAGTCCTCGTCTTGCAGGCGCTGCGACCGACGACACCGCGAGTCGAGGAACCTGATCCTCATCCCCAGCCACCATGTCGTTCAGCTTTGGAACCCCGAGCTCGTCGAGCGCGCCTTCGAACAACGCAACAACCTCAGCGCCGTCTGCTGGAGGACTGTTTGGGAGTGCCACTGGCAGTACCGGCTTCTCCTTCGGCTCGACCGGTGCTAATAACAACACAACACCCGCTGCCGCTGGAAGCACTGGCGGTTTGTTTGGTCAGCAGAACAGCGCTGCGGCTAAGCCTGCTGGTGGACTATTCGGCGGCGGATCCACGCCAGCCATTTCCTCTGGGACCCCGACCTCATCTGGGCCGGGTCTCTTTGGCGGAAACACCTCCACGACTCCAGCGACAGGAGGTCTCTTTGGAGGAGGCGCCACCTCCACCACGCCCGCGACATCTGCTCCGGCCAGTGGAGGCATGTTCGGTGGTGCGACCAGCAGCACCGCTCCAGCCAGTGGAGGGTTATTCGGAGGCGCGGGCAACACAGGCAGCAAGCCGGCATCGAACATGTTTGGCGGTGGTGCCCCCAGCACTGGTGGTGGTCTGTTCGGCCAGGCCAATGCCAACCAGACTCAAGGAGCGGCCACAACTTCGGCGGCACCTGCGGGGGGTCTCTTCGCCAGCACTGGCAACAGTTTGTTTGGAAACAAAGCTGCCAGCTCGGCCACCGCCCAAGGAGCTATTCCTGCTACGGCTGCAACTCCTGCAAAGCCCATGTTCTCTCTAGCATCGACCACTCCTGCCGGAGCACCTCCCGCCGGCTCTGCGAAGCCTGCCGGATCCAATTTGTTCCAGAATACCACCGCGCAATCACCAGCGGTATCCAACCTCTTCGGCGGCGGGGCTAAGCCTGCTGCTCCTGCTGCCTTGCCCAGCACAACAGCACCAACATCGTCAGGTCTCTTTGGCGGTGCCCAGACGAGCACCGCTCCCGCTTCTGGAGGACTCTTTGGCAGTAAACCAGCTGCAACCACCGCTCCCGCCTCCGGAGGTCTGTTTGGTGGCGCAAATACCGCTACTGCTACTACCCAGGCGACTCCATCGACACAACCTGCTGCTGGTTCAAGTGCGGCGACTCTGTTTGGTGCTAAGAGTGCGTCGCTTACAACTTCGGCTCCCGGCTCTGCACCTGCTGGTGGTCTCTTTGGAGGAGCAGCCACTACTTCCGCTCCAGCTACATCTACTCCGACAACTGCGACTGCTGGAGGCTTGTTTGGCGCAAAGCCTACAACAACTGCAGCATCCACAGCCGCTCCGGCTGCCGCTACAACCGCTGGAGCTTTGTTCGGTGGCGGTGTCAAAGCCACAACCGAGACGAAGCCTCCGGGCGCCCTCTTCGGAACCGCAGCCACGACCCAAGCCCAGACTACTCCGACAACCGCGACGCCTACGACATCTGCTGCCCCGGCCAGTGCCAGTCTGTTCGGCGCCAAGACGACCACGGATGCTGCCAAGGACGCTGCGAAGCCCGCAACTCAGAACGGAACTACAAGCGCGCTGGGTGCTTCTACGACTGGACCAACTTCGCAGATGGCACGACTCAAGAACAAGACTATGGAGGATATTGTGACCCGCTGGGCTTCAGATCTCTCCAAGTACCAGAAGGAATTCAAGGAGCAGGCCACGACCGTATCGACTTGGGACAGAAACCTGGTGGAAAACGGCGAGAAGATCCAGAAGTTGTATCTTGATACCTTTGAGGCCGAACGAGCTAGCCACGAGATCGAGCGCCAACTGGCAGCTGTCGAAAGCCAGCAGGATGAGCTTGAGGCCTGGCTAGATCGGTATGAGTCTGAAGTCCAGGACATGTTTGCCAAGCAACTTGGCCCTGGCGAGCAGCTAGCAGGCCCTGACCAGGAGCGTGAGAGAACATACAAGCTCGCTGAGAAGTTGACGCAGCAGCTGGATGAGAAGTCGCGCGACCTTTCCAAGATGGTGAAGGAGATCAATGACATTTCGGGCACATTGAGCAAGGGTGTCAAGCCTGAAGACCCTGTAAGTACCGCCCCGGACAATTCAAATACAAACAGACGGGCTAACGAACCGACGCAGCTGAGCCAGATTGTTCGCGTCCTCAACGGCCATCTTACGCAGTTGCAGTGGATCGATGCTAATGCCTCGGCCCTGCAAGGCAAGGTGGCGGCAGCCCAGAAGGCGAGCAGCAACCTGGGGAACCACTACGCTGGTTCGGACAATGATGCGGCAGAGAGCTTCTACCGATCGTACATGGGACGGAGGTGAAGCGGGGAGAAGAGCGCTTTGTGTTAGTATTGGAGTTTGGGAAGGAATACAGGGAACCCCGCAAGATGGAGAGATATAAGGCGTGGAGCCAATGTAATGGCCAACACGTTGCAGTGAGAGGGACCGATTGGTTTTTGCACTCGGGGTGCAATACATAAATGTTCTTGTACACTAGCTTAGACTGTGGAAAGGCAAACTCTGGATGATCTGCCATGTCCTTGATGCGATGTGCTGATGAGTTGAAGCAATCTCCCTCAACAAGCTTCCCCGCGACCTCGGGTCCCCGAGCTATCCGTTAACGACAATTTGAGGTGTTTGTGAGTTTTTAGTTTTGCTCGCCGCCCTGGCTCTTGGTGATCTCATCACTGTAAGGAGGAGAAGAAGAAGAGGGTCAGCATGGTCTCGAGCTTGGTTGGGATTGTGGGGGTTTCAATTGGGGAGGCAGGGTGGTTGGCGTACATGTGCTTAGAGAGGCGGTCGAGGTGGCCCTGCTGCTCGACGAGCTTCTTCTTGAGCTCAATGAGCTTCTCCTTCTCGCGCTGGCGGATGGCGTAATCCTCGTTGGCCTTCTCCCGTCGCTGGAACGCGTCGCTGGAAGAATGATCAGCGCTGTCCGGGGAGCAATCAATTGCCGGGGTGTGGCAATTGACAATTGCGTCTCTTTGGGGAGGGGAAAAGCTCGACGACTTACCCTGCGCCGCCAGTCTTGGGAGGCGAGCCGGTAGCACCCTCGGTCATGACGCGGGCGGTGGTGGAGAAGCAGCGGAGGGGACGGGCCACAGCGGCCTGGCGGAAAGATGTTCGAAGCATGGTTGCGAGAATTGGATGGTGTGCGGTCGAAGGGTTGGTGGTTTGGACGGTGTTCTTTGGGTGTGACGATGACGTGGGAGGGTAGTTAAAGGTTGTGAGCGAGCCGGCAAGCAATTGGAGGAATGATCTGATTGAGCTCCTGGGGCTGTCACGGGCACTCTGGGCGTCATAAGCGGGGACCCGACGTGTTGCTTGGTGGAACCGTGGGAGGCGAGGTACCGGCGTAACGCGGACGACGGGCAGTGGCGGTAAATCCCGGCCGTCTCCGCTTAGGAGCTCGGATCTGGAGGAAAGGCGACGAGGGTTGATGCGGGCAGCCGGACGCAGCCTACGAGCGTCGAGAATTCGAGCAGCCAAGTCCGGGATCGCGTCCTGGGGGTTCCTGGTCGGGGGCCTTGGGTAAGGTGTCAGCCCTGTCGGTTGGGGTTTCTTGGTCTGTGGTTTCTGTGAGTACGGGGATTCTACGACAGCCGGGAGTGAAGTCCCTTCTTTGTTGAATTGGCTGGGAGTGACATGACGGCTTCACTTGGACTGTGGCGTCACAGGCTTGAGATGGGAGCTTGCACGGCTAGCGCTCCGTACCACGTTGCTACCTACCACCTTACCACCTACCTACTCTGCAAACGTCGTCCCGTGACAGTGCGGGTGGCGTGAACCGGGCTGCAAATGACGAAAAAAAGGGCTCGGCGATGAGCGAGGCAGTAAGGCGAAGGCAGACATCACGAGATCGTGGGCGCACGTCCGCAGGCAAGCAAGTTGGGCTGCGCGGGGTCGTCAGGAATCGGCCGAGAGTTCTATCTCCCTTGATGGCATATCGCTCAACACTCGACAAACTTCCCACGCAGAGTGAGGCAGGTAGTGGGGGAATTGTCTCTTGACAGGCACCGAGTCGTACAGTGTCAAAGGCGAAACACTCAACCATTGATGCTAGAGAGGCAGGATTAGGCGCGCTGGGGCCAAAATCGATCTAATCAGATAACTTAGGTAGGCGTGGATAACAAAGACGAGACAAAACAGACGATTGCACGCCAAATTACATAGTACGACACTCTCCTCAACACAGTGGCAAAGCCATGTGGCTGGGACTTTACGGGAGAGTGAGTGGTGCAGCAGCCAAGGCACGCGGCGCAGGCACAGGCACATTGAAGAAAGAAACGAACGAGTGGGCGGCATGAAACACCAGTTGCGAGTGAATCCCGGGTGGTGTCTGGTGTCGCGGCGAGTCGCAGAGACAAAACAAGGACAAGGCGGGAGATTGACTGGGGATGACTCAATGCGGGAACCGGGCCTCTAGCTGCCTCTGCCTCCCCGAAGCCTTCAATGCCTTGGTACAGGCGTGTTTTGGGGTGAATGATGGGGGGGCCATGGGCGGGATGGAGGGTACCAGCCAGCCGGACGCATGACGACAATGATGATGATGACGATATGGAGGGACTTCCTCTCTCTTCCTCTCCCTTCCCTGCTGCTGCGTCGTTGCGTCGTTGCGTCGTTTGTTCGTTCGTACCCACCCCACCGCGGGCACGCACACACACACTCTGACTCCTGTGACACAACGCACAACACGACGCAACACAGAGCAGAAACACACGGCCGTCGCCCACGCACAGCCATTGAAACGGCTTCCCGTTCCCGGTGCTCAGATTGAGGTCAAATCAGAGTCTTTTGGCATTTCAATCCCAAGTCCTGTGCGTTGGACGAGTGGGATATCATTGCAGCCTCGTGGGAGCCCTAAGCAAACCAGCAGGCAGGCAGGCAGACAGGCAGACAGGCAAACCCAAGGCAAGGCGATGATGAATTAGTGGCCTTGCAGCGGGTGGATACAGGAGGCTCAGCGCTTGAAAGGAGCCTCGATCATCACATCCACTTGGGCTGCCTCTGGATCCCCCCCATCGGTAGGTACCTTACCAGTGCCTGGTCGGGTCACTGAAACCGCGTCCGTCCAGGCTGTACTGTACTGGGCTGTTCCGCACCTCCTTACCTGTACCTGAGATAGACGGCTGGGCTGCTGTAGCACGGGGGAGAGCTTGTTGCGGAGGGGGAGCTGTTCCAATGGTGCTGGTGCTGGTGCTGGTGCTGGGGCCACCTCGCCTCCTCTCGTTCGCCTCCCTCCTCCCCTCCACCCCCTGGTTCTGTCAGGTACCGTTCAAGTAGCCGCACTATCTGCGGCTGTGCATGCCACGCAAAAGAGTGACCAGAAGGCCGATCTCTGTGACCACTCAGATACCTCTGCTTGCACGTGAGACTCCAAGTGGGATCCCATTCCACACCCCGAGCAAAACACAACCGCGGATTGGGCGATCCGGGGCGTGCATAACAGCGACGGGCGCCCTGGGCGAGCCACTCCCACGCACTCTCTCGCCGCTCGCTGCACCGCCAGTGGCCACCTCACCCTGTCCCCCAGCCCGTCCCCAGCCCGTCCGTCCCAGCCTGGTCCCCCAAGTCCCAAGTCCCTCAGCCCGCTGTACGTGCCGCCCTGCCCTGGACCGCCCTGTCCCAAGGTACCTATAGGTACGTAGAGCCCCCTTGAGCCCCCCAAAAAGCCCCTTCCCAATTTCCATCCACCCACGTTTTCGCTCGTCAACCAACTTGCCCAATCCCCCAACAACCCCGAAGCCCCCCCGACTTGACTGACCACTGACCTACTGACCTACTACTGTACGCTCCTCCTGCTCCTGCTCCTGCTCCTGCTCCTGCTTGCATCCACCTCCATCGCATCTCCGCCGTCCCGCAAAACTGATTCTTCCTCTCAGACCGCCGTCGCAACTGTTTTTCTCTCCCCATCTCCGATCTCTCTCTTTCCTTCTCTAACATCCACGACTCCCGGTACGTACGTCGTCGCCCCCCTCTCGCAGCACTCCTGCTGTTGTGCTGTGTTGTTGTTGTGCCTCCTTACCCCCCCCTCTGTCGTCATTGCCCCCAAGGGCAAAAGCGAACACGCATCTCCCATCCCTCCTCTTTGCCTTCCAACGGGCTTCTCAACCACCGCGATTCCTCGCCTGCTTCGTCGTCGACGCTCCTGAGACGCCCCGTCGCTGCTCCATTGCCGCTCGTCGTTGCCCTCGCGCCCTGCCAGGAGGTGTCATCGAACCCCGCCACCGACGGACGGGCCAGGAGCGGGGAGCCTCACCGAGTCGTCGTCGTGTCGTCCACCTCGGATTTGCACACGCGCAAGGCGCATCTCCCTCTTCCCTCGTCCATCGTTTTCTGCAACGCCATTTCTTCCTGCCGTCTTCACCCTGTCACAATCGCACCTGTTTTGATCCTTTTACCTTGCTTGCGCCCGCCACTCGTCCTTCTCGTCACCGTGCCTTACCGCCTCTCTGACAATCCACAACCACCCCCTTACTAACCCGTCACCCGAATCTAGTCAACACCGCCAAAATGGGTAACGATGATGCTGTCTATCTTGCCAAGCTCGCCGAGCAGGCTGAGCGCTACGAGGGTATGTCATATCTCCAATCTCGGCCGGTTGTGCTGGTGTTTTTTTCGAGGGGTTCCTCGCGCTGACCCGGTGCGCGTCCACAGAGATGGTCGAGAACATGAAGATTGTCGCCTCTGAGGACCGCGATCTCACCGTCGAGGAGCGAAACCTCCTCTCCGTCGCCTACAAGAACGTCATTGGTGCCCGCCGTGCGTCCTGGAGAATAGTCACTTCCATCGAGCAGAAGGAGGAGTCCAAGGGCAACTCGTCCCAGGTCACCCTGATCAAGGAGTACCGACAGAAGATCGAGGCCGAGCTTGCCAAGATCTGCGACGACATCCTCGAGGTCCTCGACCAGCACCTTATCCCCTCCGCCAAGTCTGGCGAGTCCAAGGTCTTCTACCACAAGATGTGCGCACCAACCGCCTTGTCCCCTTTGTTCTGCGTCCCGACGACTAAAACATGATAACAGGAAGGGTGACTACCACCGTTACCTCGCCGAGTTCGCCATTGGCGACCGCCGCAAGGACTCCGCCGACAAGTCCCTCGAGGCCTACAAGGCTGCTACTGAGGTTGCCCAGACCGAGCTGCCCCCTACCCACCCCATCCGCCTGGGTCTTGCCCTGAACTTCTCCGTCTTCTACTACGAGATCCTCAACGCCCCCGACCAGGCTTGCCACCTTGCCAAGCAGGCCTTCGATGATGCCATTGCCGGTATGTTGCACAGCCACGATTCGCTGCATATCAATAGACTGACCTGGATATCGCAGAACTTGATACCCTGAGCGAGGAGAGCTACAAGGACTCCACCCTCATCATGCAGCTCCTCCGCGACAACCTCGTATGTTCCCGATTCCTTATCGACGGTCAATTACTAGTGAGCTAATATGTGGAAACCAGACTCTCTGGACCTCTTCCGAGGCCGAGACGGCCCCCAGTGGCCAGGCTGATGCCCCCAAGGAGGATGCCGCCGCCCCTGCCGCTGAGGCTCCCGCCCCCGCTGAGGAGCCCAAGGCTGCCGAGTAAATTGACAATTATCAATCATGATGACTCTATGCAGGTTTCGGGCAGGCTGGTGTCTACGGAGTGGACGGAAGACCTCGTTTTTGATCAAGAGCTTCGGCATCGTTTCGGTACACACAGAAGCACCATGGAGGGGCTGACTTTTTTCCCCCAACGGAATGGCAAGGAGGCCGAAAGAAGAGCATTTTGGAGGTTCTGCTTTAGACTCTAATGCGTGACCGTCTGGACAAATAAAAATACTAAAATTGCTTTCAATACATCAAGATAATACCTTGCAACGTGCTGCGTTTGTTGTTGCTCCGATTTCTAACCGACAAAGGCGGGGGAGGGGCAGTCTGTTACTCAACGATATGTGAGCCGGGCAATTAGTCAACATGACTTGGCACTTGACTGGGCCATCATAGACGGGATTGGTGGAGTGTATCAAAGCATCACGGTGCATACGGGTCTTAAGGCCAGGCACAGGTAAGAATCAACTTTTCTCTTTGGCTGCAGGTTCTGGTACCTCATCGTCGTCGACGACGGCAAAGTGCACTCTAAGCCACAAACTACAGTCCAAGCACGCCACCACAAGCTCCCCCTCATCCCCCACCTCCTCCAGGTCGGTCTCCCGGAAGATATAACTACGGTCGTTTCCGCAGCGGCAGGGCCGATACCAGCACTCTTTCGCGTCGTCGTACGCCAGATCGTCCAAGTCGACGTTCTCAACACCCGTCTGGAACGTCGCGTCGCGGCTCTGGGCGTTGGCTGCGGGGCGGGAGACTCGCAGGGCCGTGTCGTAAGCGGTGCGGGACGAGCGGCTGGAGAGGACGGTGAGGGCGGTGGTGATTTGGTCGATGGTAAAGGAAGTTGAGGCTGGCGAGGCAGAGACCTTGTCGGGGTGGTTGCGCAGCAGGGCGCGGTGGTAGGCGCGCTTAATGAGGGCCGTGGGGTCGTGCTGGGTGTCGATGAGGGTGGGCGTGAGATTCAGGACTTGGTAGTGCGTGACCCCATCGACGGGTTGTGCGGCCGCCATGATGAGTGAGAGCAGTCGACTCAGGTATATTTAGCGAGCTCATATCCCGGATGAGAGGACGGCCCTGGCTCCAGATGTCGAGATGTGGAATTCTCAAGCTTTGGATGCGTTTGATATCACGTGATACATCGGGTTGTGCGGGAAGCTGACGGAGGAAGCTGTCTACATGGACATGATGCATTGAGAAGAGAGCCTCTAGTAAAGGGCATTTGGATTTCTCTAGGCTTATAATTGCCTCCATCAGGATGTTCATGTTAGCCTAAGCTACCAAACTTCGCCATCCGTAAGGGGGCATGCATTCGTGTCTGTCATTTAAGCGGATCGGGTAAAGGCCATCGTATCCAGGTAATGCGTAGTAAAAATCTTTCGACAAGACGTTCATAGAGATTCTTGTACATAGAAATACATGGTACATGTACAGGTGCGCCAAAGCCGTTTTTTGTCCATTCTCTCATCGCTCTCTTTATTTCGGGAACTTGGTCCAGCCGTGCTTGCCAGTCTGCGAATTGTCAGTTAGCATTGCGAACCGAATGATCAGATACATCATTCGCAGATTTTAACTTGCCTTTTTCCAGGCCTTGATGAGCTTGGGCATATCCAGCATGGCCTTTCTTCGCTTCTCCATCCTGGTTCATAGTTAGCCACGGCCACTCCAACAAAATCCGCAGCCTCCCAGCTGCGGCATGGTCCACGTACTTGGCAATCATGTGTCGCTCGTGGATGTGACCCTTGACCTTCTGTCCCACACCGGTACCCTTGACTCTCAATCCGTGCTCAACGCGATGGGCCAGGCGGTACTCGGTGCCCTTGCGTGTCTCGGGCAGCAGCTCCTCGATGCCGTGCTCCCGCGCCATCTTGACCAGCTCTGCCTGCCGGCGTTGCGAGTACACGGGGTCCTGCCATCGGCCCGTCACGGGGTGCTTGTAGAATCGGAAGGGGTTCGCCCGGGACTCCTGGTAGTGCGTCTTGGGGGCGGCCTCGGGGAGGATGGCGGGCGGCGGGTAGCGGGCGAAGAAGCGCTGCAGCGGTGCGGGCAGCGACTTGGCGAGCTGGATGTAGTGCGACGGGGAGGCCATGGTGCTTAGGGGGCGCCGCGGCCGGTCAATCGCACGTCCTGCGGGCGGTGGTTGGCGGGTAGTTCGGAGGTGGTGACAGAACGACTGAGTCTCGACGGTTCTCGAGGCTGCGACCTCAGGTTTTCCGACCCTGTCAATTGTGGTCCCACCCGATATCAGGCAGCTCCCGATTGGCTGCTGCGTGACAGCCTCCAACTCTTATTTCCACAGCCTCGCCAACTCCGTCGTGCCTGCCTCAGAACAAGCTTTCCGAGAACCATACAAATTCTTGCGCCCCCGGGATTGTGGTGATTTTTTTTCTTTCACTCTTCCGTGCTCCATCCCGACGAGGCAAAAACCAACATGCCCCTCGACATCGAGGAGATCCTCCGCAAGAAGAAGGCTGCGGACGCCGCTGCCGCGAAGCCCAGGTTCATCCCCAAGGCCGAACGAGAGCGACTAGCTGCTGAAAAGGCCAAGAAGGACGAAGACGACAAGAAGCGCAAGGCCACCGAGGACTCGCAGCGCAAGCGCGAAGATGACAGGAAATGGGCTGCGCGACCAACCGGCTCATCGACTGCCAACGAGACGTCAAATGATTCGCGACGAGTTCCCACAGGGCCCAGGGCCATGAACCAGCAAAACGGTCGAGGAGACGCCCGAGATTCTCGAGGAGAAGGTCGAGGAGAAGGTCGGGGGGATGCCCGAGGCGGAAGGGATGCCAAGAAGGCAGACAAGAAGGCAGCAGAGAAGCGCTCAGCAGTAGACATCGAGGCATCACTGTTGCGATCGCGGTATCTCGGCCCAGAAGTAAACCAACAGTCCAACTTTTCAGCCAAGAAGAAGCGGATGCGCACGACGGAGCGCAAGTTCAACTTCGAATGGGACGCAGATGAAGACACCTCGCGAGACAACGACCCTCTCTACACCCAACAGAGCGCCAACCGATCAGGCTCCTTCGCTGGCGTCGGTGGCGAGTTCGATGACCAGGCCGAGGAGCGGGCACACAAACGAGCCAGAATGATCGAGCAACGTGATCCGGAGAATGGGAGGGACCGGGCAAAGGGCATAATGGAGGACTTCTACAGAGCGCGCGAGAAGGCCCGGCAGCGGGCAGACCGGACAGGACTGGGCAAGCGCTGGTCGGAGAAGACGCTCGACGACATGCGCGAGCGAGACTGGCGGATATTCAAGGAGGACTTTGGCATCGCAACCAAGGGCGGCGTCATTCCAAACCCGATGCGTAGCTGGAAGGAGTCGGATTTGCCGCAACGGCTGCTCAAGATTGTCGACCAAGTGGGCTATAAAGAGCCCTCGCCCATTCAGCGCGCCGCCATCCCCATCGCCCTACAAGCTCGCGACCTCATCGGCGTTGCCGTCACCGGTTCCGGAAAGACGGCCGCGTTCTTGCTGCCATTACTGGTCTACATCTCCGACCTGCCGCCCCTGACCGAGGCGAACAAGAGTGAAGGCCCGTATGCCCTGATTCTAGCCCCAACTCGAGAACTGGCTATGCAGATCGAGGCTGAGGCCAAGAAGTTCGCCGAACCCCTGGGCTTCCGTTGTGTCAACATCATCGGTGGTCACTCCCTCGAGGAGCAGGCCTACGAAATGCGTAACGGTGCTGAAATCATCGTGGCTACGCCCGGTCGTCTGGTCGACTGCATCGAGCGCCAGCTGCTGGTCTTAGAACAGTGCTGCTACGTCATCATGGATGAAGCCGATCGCATGATCGACATGGGTTTCGAGGAGTCAGTCAACAAGATCCTAGACGCCCTGCCCGTCACCAACGAGAAGCCCGACACGGACGATGCCGAGAACGCCCAGCTCATGAAGCGTTACGTCGGCGGCCGTGATCGCTACCGCCAAACTATGATGTACACAGCTACTATGCCGCCGCAGGTCGAGAAGATCGCCAAGAAATACCTACGTCGCCCAGCCATCGTCACCATCGGTAACGCTGGTGAGGCTGTCGACACGGTCGAGCAGCGCGTTGAGTTTATTAGCGGCGAAGACCGCCGCAAGAAGCGTCTGCAGGAGATTCTGTCCTCCGGGGCCTACGCGGCACCCATCATCGTCTTCGTCAACATCAAGCGCAACTGCGACGCCGTCGCTCGCGATATCAAATCCATGGGCTGGTCCGCCGTCACCCTGCACGGTTCCAAAACGCAGGAGCAGAGAGAGGCGGCCTTGGGCTCAGTGCGCAACGGTCAAACACAGGTCCTTGTCGCCACCGATCTAGCGGGTCGTGGTATCGACGTGCCTGACGTCTCCCTCGTCGTCAACTTCAACATGGCCACCAACATCGAGAGCTATACCCATCGTATCGGTCGTACTGGTCGTGCCGGCAAGAGTGGTGTGGCCATCACCTTCTTGGGCCAGGAGGATTCCGACAACATGTACGACCTGAAGCAGATCCTGAGCAAGAGCTCTATTTCCAAGGTCCCAGACGAGCTGAAGAGGCACGAAGCTGCGCAAACGAAGCCAGTCCGGCACGGAGGCGGCGGCGCAAGGAAGGACAAAGAGGAAGGGGGGGCTTCGAAAGGAGGCTGGGGTCAGTAAATCAACAAGTATGGATAGTCTATGAGCATGAAAACACATTTAATCTGTTCAATTCTTGACCGCGATCTACATGTGTACGTCATTTTTTATTTCATGGCCGTCTTTTTGACCTTTCCTCCACATTGATTGCGAAGAAGCAATACAGATCCCATCCGAAACCGCACACTATCTAGGTAGCCTACTCCAGCTTAAGCTGCTCAAACTGCTTGATGGTCTCCTCGAAGCTCTGGAGCTCCTGCTTGGCGTCCGCCAGCCTCTTTTGGTCACCCTCCTGAACGGCGGCTGAGACCTTCTCGATGTAACCCGGGTCTTTCAGGATCTTCTCTTGCTTCTGGATGTTGGCCCGGGCCTTGTCGAGCTTCTTCTGTGCCTTGGCGATCTCGGCATCGAGGTCGACCAGGCCCTTGACGTGCAGGAAGACGGCAGCGTCGGTGGACACAGGGTAGGCAACGCAACCAGCGGGTCGAGCAGCGTCAGGGGTGAGGATCTCAACGCCCTTGATACCCTTACCGCTGAGGGTCTTGATGGAAGCGACCTGCTCCTTAATTGTAGTCAGGGAAGTCTCATTGTAACCCTGGATGATGACTAGAGACGAGTTAGCATACTTGGTTGCGGTAATATGAAGATCAGTACTCACCATTAACCTCATCCTTGAGGGCGTACTCGGCCATCAAAGATCGAGTAGCCTTAACGCAGCCGAGAACAAGCTCGTAAGCGGCCTCAGACTCGGGGTCATCCAACTCCGCGGTGTAAGTGGGGTACTGGGCGATCATGATCGACTTGGTATTATCCTCAGGTCGTCGAGGCATTCTCTGCCACATCTCCTCGGTGATGTAGGGCATGTAGGGATGGATCATGGTCAGGGCAGCCTCTAGAGCTGTGTACAGAGTCTGGATAGCGGATTGGCGCTCTTCCTCAGTACCGTCACGGATGATGGCCTTGGAGTTCTCAATGTAGACGTCGCACAGCTCGTTGTACCAGTAACGGTAAATCATGAGGGTGGACTTGGAGAACTCGCGGGCCTCGATAGCAGCATTGATGTCTCGGGCAGTGGTGTTCATCTTGTGCAGAATCCATCGCTCCGCCAGGGTCTTTCCGCGGGCAATGCCGGACTTGGCAGGGACGAAGTCCTTGGGAAGGCTTCCCAGGACGTACTTGGTAGCTTGGAACTACAGAATCGTTAGTTGGCGCATAATAGTTCGTCATAACTTGCGTAACTTACAATCTTGTTACAGAACTTGCGGTATCCGTGAATGCTACTGCGTGTCAGTGTATGCGTCAAACAAGTCCAGTATACAAACTTACATCCTCACGTCCAAGTTAATGTCTCCTCCACCGGTGGTAGCGTTGATCATGGTGAAACGCAGAGCGTCGGCACCGCACTGGGGAATGCCATCAGGGAACGCAGTCTTCTGGTACTTGGTGGCCTTCTGGACTTCGCTAGGGTGCAAGTTTCCTTGGGAGAGCTTGTCGTGTAGGGCCTGCAGCTCGATGCCAGATATGACATCTAGGGGGTCAACGACGTTGCCCAAACTCTTGCTCATTTTCCTGCCCTCGGAATCACGGATGAGACTGTGGCAGTAAACCTCCTTGAAGGGAATCTCGCCGGTCATCTTCAATCCAAGCACGATCATTCGGGTGACCCAGAAGGGGAGAATATCCCATCCAGTTTCCAGGACGGAGGTGGGGTACAGGGTTTTCAAGTCGTGAGTCTGGTTAGGCCAGCCCAGAGTGCTGAAAGGCCAAAGGCCAGACGAGAACCAGGCTGCGAGGATGGTTAGCACTGTCATAAAAGAGAGAAGCCTTACACAACTTACTGTCAAGAACGTCTTCATCCCGCTCAAGGGTGAACGTCTTTCCAGGCAGGGCGGCCTTGGCCTTCTCCTCAGCCTCCTGCTCAGTGCGACCAGCAAACCAGAGCTTCTCCTCGGGAATGTCTACAGCATCACCCTCAATCTTAGCGAAGTAGACAGGACACTGGTGTCCCCACCACAGCTGTCGGCTGATACACCAGTCGTTAATATCCTCAAGCCAGCGGAAGTATCCTTTCTCCGCAGACTCGGGTCGGATCTTAATCCTGCCATCCCTGACGGCCTCAAGAGCCGGCTCAGCCAGGTCTTTCATTCTGACCCACCATTGAGGCTTCATTATGGGCTCAATGATGTCCTTAGACTTGTCGCACAGAGGGACCGTCATGGCGTTGTCCTTCTTGTCAACGTACAGACCCTTAGCTTTCAGGTCGTCCTGGATTGTGTATCGAACATCAAATCGCTTCTGGCCCTTGTACGGACCAGCGTTCTCGTTCATCAGACCGTCGTCAGTAAGAATGTTGATAAACTCGAGGTTATGCTTCTGACCAAGGGTAAAATCGTTAGGGTCATGGGCGGGGGTGAGCTTGACGGCACCAGTTCCAAACTCCATCTCGACATACTCGTCGGCAATGATGGGAAGCCTTCGGCCCTCAATGAAGGGGTGGATGGCGGTCTTTCCTACAAGGTGCGTGTATCGCTCATCCTTGGGATGGACGGCAATGCCAGTATCACCCAGCATGGTCTCAATACGGGTAGTAGCAACCTCGATCATCTCGTCGGACCCTTCAACGGGGTACTTGAAGTGGACGATGACACCGAACTCGACCTTCTTGTCGTAATTGGGGACCTCGAGAAGAGTGCGTCCGGTCAGCTCCTTGTTGGCGACCTCGAGGTTGGAGAGCGCAGTGTTGAGCTTCGTGCACCAGTTGACGAGGCGGTTAGCTCGGTAGATAGTGCCCTCCTCGTGGAGTTTGACCCAAGTCTCGGTGACAGCGGCAGTGAGGTTTGCATCCATGGTGAAAGCTGCGTATCGTTAGTATTTGTCTGACATACTCAAAATTATAGAACCTACCCTCTCGGGTCCAGTCGAATGATCCTCCCAAGCTGGTTAGGGCCTTGTTGATGCGCTTGTGGTACACCTCCTTCCATTCCCAGACGGTCTCGATGAACTTCTCTCGGCCAAGGTCGTGACGAGTCTTGCCCTCGCGCCTCCACAGCATATTCTCTACAACGCTCTGGGTGGAAATACCGGCGTGATCGCAGCCAGGAAGCCAGAGGGTCGTCTTGCCGTGCATGCGGCTCCATCGGACCATGAGGTCCTGCAGCGAGTCACCCAGGGCGTGGCCCATGTGCAGAGCACCAGTGACATTGGGAGGAGGGTGAACAATGACGAAGCTTCCCGCATCCTTGACAGTGCCATCGGGCTTGAATTCGGGCTGGAACAGACCCTCCTTCTCCCACCAGCTGTACCACGCCGACTCGACAGCAATGGGGTTGTAGGCCTTGAAATGGGGGTCGTCGAAAGATCGGATACGCTTCTTTTCGCCTTCGGGGGTATCTTCGACGTACTTGGGCAGAGGCTCCTCCTCGGGCTTCTTCTCCTTGACCTTCTTCTCCTTGGCGGGTTTCGGGGCGGTCGTGACCTTTGCCTTCTTGGCGTCGAACTTGGCCTGCTTCTCGGCCTTCTTTCGCTCCTTTTCCACTGCGCACCCCAGTCAGCCGACCTGCGATCGAGCCAGAGGGTAATTGTTCAAGGATGGGCACGTACACTCCTTTGCGGTCTTCACCTTGGGCGCACCGCCAGCGTCAGTGGCAGCGCCAGCAGGGGCAGCGCCGGTAGGCTGCTCAAAGCCCTCACCGGCCGCAACTATACCGCCCAGTGGTTAGCGATCTGACCGATCGAGTATAGGCGTCAAGCAATGCTTACTTGGGTTTCCTGGTCCTGTGTTGGTCGCCATAGTAACTCGCGTGGTCGTCAAGGGTCGAATTGGGGATACTGAGCGCACCCGAAGTGCTCGTACCGCAAGTCGAAACGTCGTGCCGGTGATGAATGTATGAAGCCCGTAAGATGGGGCCTCAGACTGGGTCCTACACGAAAATTGGCTAAAAACCTAACAAGAGTGACTCAGCGTCAGAGTCTTGATAGTCAGATCGCCCACAAATTTGAGTCACGGGCATTCACATCGGGTGGTGGTGCATGGTGGGATGAGGGGCAAGGCGCTACGTGTGGCGGTGCAGCATCTGGGGTGAGGGGCAGCTTCAGCCACATGATAAAGCCACACTCGGGAAGCCTCAGCCAGAAATGGTGATGTTTTCGAGAGAACCGAGCTCAATGGTGACTTGCTATTACCAAGCTATTTCTCAAATTTTCCAGGTCTTTCTCCCTCTTTCTCTTCGTCACATACCTGGATACAACGCCTCACGACTTAGCCCACTTCCCCGTCTTTCCGAGAGCCACATGACGCTGTCTTGATGGCACTTCGCTTGGCATGGCGAGCTTCGAGGAGCCAGACCTGGGGCAGTATCGCGACTGGCGGCCGTAGAACATATTCCACCAGGAATGAATCCGTCTGCTTCTCTGTTGATTTGGGTGCTGATAGAAGGGTATGTATTACTCGACGGGCCACTGTTCCACAGCCAACTGATCCTGTCCCAGGACCTGTCGTCACTTCTTCAAGGGATCAAGAAGCAAGTGAAATTGACCAATCCCAACCGCCATGACGCAGCTGTCATTCTTGCGACACCTCAGTATGCAAAGCTCCTGGAAGATGAGGCCTTCTTGAAAGAATTTGTCGACTTCATGTCGGGCACTGAGAAGGTAGAGCAGTTCCACGTCCTCGGTGCTGTGGTTGACCATGTTGCTCCTCCGGTGCCCGAGAACAAACCGGTGCAGGGCTTGTCTATATTGCGAGGCCGCCAGGATTCGATCCTGCCGGATTTGTGGACTCCGGCGCCTCCTAAGGCTATTGAAGATGCTGACAAAGTCGCCGCTCTCACCATCGACTTTGGCAATCCTCATCTGACCATCCCGTTGGCCAACACCACTTTCCTAAACCGCCGGACTTCTACTCTCCTTGCGAGCCGATTCGATCTCAGCCAAGGATCACCTCGTCTCAGCGAGCGAATTGAGAAAACCTGGCAACAAATTACTCTGCCTCTCGAAGAACAGTTGCAGTCCGTCAAAGATCTAGGTCTCTGGGCACCCTTGGTTCCCCTCACTCACCCACGCGTGGTAACTGAAAGCTTCGGTAACATCGTTAGGCGTGTGAATTTGAATAACGAATCCACTCCTGCGTCTGACGAACTCGAACCCGCGGTCGATGAGCTTCACAGCCGAAAGTCCTACCTAGTGAAGCAGTCTACCATGGGTGTTTGGGCGATGATTATGCCCCCAGTATATTCACAATCCGGAGCCGGCATCTCTAGCCCAGACGATCCAGACCCAGCTGCGACCTTTGATGAGAATCACTCTGCCACAGAGTTGATGTCAGCAACTTCCAATCGCCTTCAGGAGCTCTACGGACAAGGTGCTCGCCTATATCAGATATGTACGTACCCTGGCAACCTGGTGTAAATGCAAAGTGCTAATCCAAGTGGCCAGTGAGCGGTGGCGGTGGCTGGGGTGCGAAGAAGGGCTTGCTATCGCTCGACCCTCAGCGAACCCATTTCTCGTTATCTGAGGAGGAAGAGATGCAAAGGTTCATCCAAGCCATGGACGGTGGCAACTTTGTCCCTGTCGGCTCCAAAATTCAGTTCTTTGCCTCAACTGAGACGCCCGCGAAGCCAGCAAGTGGGTCTTTCTCGGGCATCGTGTTCGGCACGGCTGGTGCCACTCCCACTCCCGTAGACGAGGGACCTAAAGCCGGCCCAGTCGTCCTCGGCAATATATTCGGTGCGCTGTCGAACGAGGGCGTATTCGTTACCTCATCAGATGCTGCTGCTGAGACAACACCGGGATTTAACAACGACTGGAGACTCAATGTTCCACACTCTCGAGTTTTTGTTGGGAAGACCGATTAGCTGCAGAGAACGGCCTCTATTTCTGAGAAGTGCCACAGATAGGCTCGGTCTGGAGGCTTTGTACGTGTAAGTGTACGAGGGAAACTATGTATAATACTCCCCTAAATATGAACTTGATATATCCGACAATAGATAATCTTGGCTCAACTGATAGGTCTCATGAGTAATTATTCTTTCTTCGTAAATCTTCAAACATATGCCACAAATTGGCATATGCTCCCCCCAGGAATCTAATAGGTATTGGTCTGTATTTGAGCCAATCATGGTGATATCTTCTATCCCAAAGAGTGGGAACCAGGCGGGCATTTTGGCCGGCACATCCCCGTGAGGTGGATATTCTGATTTTGGATGGCTCCAACCACAGCATCTGGTGAGATGGCCGAGTTGGTTATGGCGCCAGGTTAAGGTCAACCTTAACACCTCAATTTCCTGGTGGAGCAATCCTCCTGGGTTCGAATCCCAGTCTCATCAAGTTCTTTTTTTGCGCATGTAGCGGAATCTTTTTGCATATTGCAGTTTCTATTGCCCGTTTTGATGTTGCGTTTGCCCTTTGTGTGAGATTTGCAAAGTTTTACTGTATGCCAAAGTCTGTTTATTACACGGCCAATCATGGCAGGCGTGGTGCTCCCCGATTAGGAAACACAATCTAAGAGGTCTGTCTCCTTGGGAGGTTATATGAGACCAAAACGAGAAGCTATGATAGGGGGGGGATATGGGACAGTGCATTAATCTCGGTGCCGTAATTAATTAACCGTGTGATGTTCAACTATAGGACTCCGTCAACTTCATGATGTTCAATATTACTTGTTCATCTCAAGTCTTTTCGACTTACTTTTTATTCCGCCAAAGACTTATATGCTGCCAAACGAAGGGAGAATATGTTGCAATATAGCCTTCCAAAGCGAGCACACGCATGTCCTAATTCTATACAATACCAGTAAAATAAAAGAAACTGCGCCTACCTACCCGGGGAGTGTGAAGATTAATCCACAAGATATCAGAGGAGCAAGTATAGGGTAAGTGAACGGCAACTCGCCCCAAGTCATCACGACCTCGATATACAGCTCTACTTTGAATCGAAAACTCAATCAGGAGGACCGTAATAAGTACGATATTTGGAGTATACCGAGTAGGTATATAGATCCACACAGCCGTACCGAGATACATCATTTTGAAGTAACGGCTGACTCGGACCCCATCCACATTGTTGCGGAGTCTACATGAACCCCGATAGTCGTATGACTGTCGTCGTCGATGACAGAAGGCCAAGAAACAACAGCCGGCGTCTCAACACGACCCGTAACCCCCCATCACGGCGCTGGTCGACGTCACTCGTCCAGGGTTGGAAACGTGGGCTGCCAGAAAACCAGATTTGGTCGTCGCGGGGTAAGTATTCTCGATCACCCGATTGCCCCAACAGGGTTACATCATGACGATTAGAGACACGATTGTATTATAACACACTACTCCCGCCCAGAAATTATAGCGTATTGATGTGAAGTTAGCTTCAATCTGTGACCAAAGTCATCAAATCCCAGACGTATATTGCCGTCGCAGCTCCTTTAAAAGCCCGCTTAAATCATGGCACCCAAGGCGGCCAAATTAACATCCCAAGCACCAGGGTCGGAATCCGGGAAACAAAAGCAACCAAACACTGCGCCGGTGCACACTCGTCGAAAGGTGCGAAGGCCAAACGAGATCGTTACATCAGAAGGGACATACATACCCTCCGAAGATGACAGGAACAGTCTCGACTCATCTGATGAAGATGACATAGAGAGCATCGACCTGTCGGAGGAAGAGAGTGATGAAGATGAAGAATATGACGACGATGACGACGACGAAGACGACGACGACGACGACGACGACGACGAAGACGACGATGCTGCGGAGAGTGACTACCTTTCAGACTCAGACGAACCCGAAGCGATACGCCCTGGAACAGTTTCTCGAACTTTAGCAGGAACCAGACGATCAATATCATCACGAAATCCCCGGACATCTGTTGCTCGATTGGACAATAAAGATGCGTCACAATCACATGGTGCATTTTTCCAGACCCGAACGGAAACCACGCAGTGGATGGTGGCGCAACAACGATCACAGGAAGCATCGTCTCGAGGCATGATTGTAGCCCGCGGAGGTACCTCAACCCGACAACAAACCATTCATCAGCAATCTCCAACGGCCGAAACGAGAGCTGGACAAGAGAGAGGGGTATCGAGGGGAAATAGTCTGAGGTTGAATATGAGCTTGAGTGTTGATGTCTCATTCAATGGGTTTGTGACGGGGCGAAACCTGTCTCTGGGTAGTGTAAGTATCCTCCCCAGTCTGGCGATGGACAAGGAGACTAACCAACCCAGGGCCAGTTGTCTTACTCCTGGCCTGGGAATAACCGCACTGAAACAAGGTAGAGGGGTCGATAGGAATCACGATTTGTTGAACAAGGCTCCATGGTTGCGAGTAATCAGGTCGAGGTAAAGAGTTTATAAAGCATGAAAGGTGTAATCTTCAGCTTATGGATGCGCTTAGCATTCTGGTGATGTACATAGTTGAACTTTGGCAAGACAGTTACTCAATCATGTCCATGTCGTCCACGGGTGCATGAGCCTGCGCCGGAGCCGGGGCCGCCGCCGTGTTGGATGCCTCTGGAGCAGCCGTGCTACCACCAAAGTAGTCCTCCATCTCAGCATCAAGCTCCTCCTGCGTCTTCTTTCCGCGAGGGTTGCCACGTCCTCCTCGTCCACCCTCCTGATCCCTGCCCCCTTCTCGGTTGTCTCGAGTATCACGGCTGTTGTTGTCTCGGCGCGCACCAGGGCGACGACCACCACGTTGTCTCCGAGGCATCGGGCTTCTCGATCGGCTGCCCTGGCCAGGGACGTATCTGTCAATGCCCTTACGGGAAGCATCCTCGTCGTCGATCCGGCGATGAGGGGATAGAGATCGAGTTCTATCTCCAGGAGCAGAGATTCGCTCCGCCAAGGGGCGGCCAGGCATGACAGCCGTGTCGAAGGGATTTCGGGCTGGGCCGCTAGGCAACAGAGTCAACCGGATGGGTTGTCCTATATTTGTTCAGCATATGGAGACCTTAGAGGAGATCTTTTGGGACCTACCGTTAGCGTTGGCACCATCGAACTGTCGGACAGCCTCCTGGGCATCCTCCTTCTGCTCGTAAGTCACATAGGCTGTGCCCTCAGATCGACCGGCACGATCGTAGCGCAGCTGCAGTCGGACAACTGAACCAATTCTCTTGAATAGCTCCTAAAATTCGAGTGAGCAATCGTGTTGCGCGTATGTTTAGTTAGTCGAAACGTACATCAAGGTCGTCCTCGGTAAGATCGTAGTGGATGTTGTCTACGCGGACCTTTGAGCCCCTAGAGTCGCTATAGGAGCAAGGTGTTAGATCGTCGGGCTTGGGTTGAAAGGGTTGGTGAGAGCATACTGTTCAGGCGACTCGCGGCGACGGCGCGGCGCAGCAGGGCCTCTGCGAGAGTCTGAAAATAGGTGAGACTCCAAGAAAATCAAAATGGAGGGCGCAGGTTGTTACTGTTCTCTTCATATCGGTCATGTACCCATTCACTATTTCGAATTAGGGGACGGTCGAAGGAAATTTCTGGATGGCGACTGACCTGTCGAGGTTTCGGGAGTCGTCTCGGAAGGACTGTTGGAGGGAAGGATGCTCTGGTCAGCAACGAATTTCAGCGTGTCAAGCCGTCTTCAACAGCCAAAAGCTCCGAGCATCGATGGATGGACTGCGAGGAGGGCTGAGGAGGTCGAGTAGGCATCATCAGAGGACGGGCGGGAGGGAGGATAGATCAACCTGGGACACCGACGTCAACCCTGGAATCCGGAGAAAGGCAGCGCGGCGGATGGCAAGAGACTGACCTTTTTTACCCCATCACGGGGGTAGTCCTGACGAGGCTCGCGTCGGCGACCTCCACCGCGACGGTTGCGAGGTCCATTGTTGGGTCGCTGGCGAGAGAGTCAGTCGAGTCGGGAACAGGTCGCAAGGCTGGCGCCAGCGCGAGACCGGAAGACGACATACGGTGTCAGCGATGATCTCGTCAAGACCGCGATCCATTTTGTCAACCATTGCGGCGGGTATGGTCAAGACGAAGTCTTCGATATTGGTTGGATATCTCAGGTGTAGAGTAGAAATTTCTGTGCAGAAGCGGCGAAGTTGCGTCAAGGAAGAAGTGCGACTTTGGTGAGAAGAAGGCTCGACGCTGGTGCAGTGGACTCGACGCGGCTGGGTTGGCACCTGGCTGGCACTCGGCGTCGGCGTGCGGAGTACGTACCGATAGCTCTCAGCCACAGGCAGATGGAGGCTGAGCCGCTATTGTCTGGGACGAATCGGGGGATAAGGCGTGGGGAAGTGGGGGTATTACCACATCCAGTTGCAGCTGTAAGGAGCGACGGGTAAGTGATCCTTGCATTGCAGGCGACGGATGAGAGAAGACTTCATGCTTGGCAACGTTGAGCAAGAGACGGAGAACCAATTCCTACCTGTAAAAGCATTACCGCAGCTGCAGCGTGAACATGTACACCGAACACTGGCTGTTCTACACTCCCTCTTTCCTCATCTTCACCTCTCGGACTGCCCTCCAGACCAAGCATCGTGGCATTTCGGCCCGCTGTTTCTCCGACCTGAGACGCGCTAAACTAGTTTGAGATCTCCAATTCAACTCTAAGCTGTCCTCCTCGAGACGGACGAGCCCCCATCCCCTTGTTGGCGTGTCTGGCAGCCCGGTGCCCTAGACTGGTAATTCATCCCGTCGTATTCCTGATATTGTTTCTTCTGTGTGTCTGATCATCGCGACCCGGCTCCTCTTTTCGGTTCCCCTTTTATCTTTTCAACCCCCCCTAGAACCGCCGCCACCCTCTTGCGTTGCGCGTGCGCTTCGCCTCTCGATTCTTTCTCGCATTCGATCCAGCTTCATGCCAGCGTCCGACTCCAGATAGTCGGTATCCTCGCCCGTCGTCGATCGCCTAACCTCGACTTGCTTTTGTTGGGTAATACCCAACCCAGACGGCGCCCATGGCTAGACCCATGGGGTCAGTCCGTCTTAAGAAGACGAACCCTTTGACCCTCGCCCTCGGCGTCCTTCTCTGCGTCTTCATCATCGTCTTCCTCGTCGCCCCCTCTGGTTCATCCGTCACCTCGCGCCGACTCGATGCCGTAACCGCTGAGCATCACCTCTCGCCGCCGACATCCCCGTACCGAAAGCCCAGCTCGCGCTCTGGCATCCAGCTCAAGCCCCCGCCTGTTGCCCACTACAACCTGAACAATGTCACCATCACCACGTCGCCCATCGAGAACCGAGAAAATGTCTTGATCCTGACCCCCATGGCCAGGTTCTATCAGGGGTATTGGGACAACCTCTTGAAACTGAGCTACCCCCACGAGCTCATCACTCTGGGCTTTATCCTCCCTAAAACCAAGGAGGGCAACCAGGCCACGACCGAACTGCAGGAGAGGATACACAAGACACAGAAGCACGGCCCCGAGCAAGAACGCTTCAAGAGCATCATCATCCTGCGACAAGATTTCGAGCCGGCCTTACAGTCTCAGGATGAGAGTGAGCGACACAAGATGCATAACCAGAAGGCTCGACGGGAAGTCATGGCCAAGGCTCGTAACTCATTGCTTTTCACCACCCTGGGCCCCGATACCTCATGGGTCTTGTGGCTTGACTCGGACATCATTGAGACCCCGCCTGACCTGATTCAAGACCTGGCTACCTACGACAAACCACTGATCGTTCCCAACTGCTTCCAACGGTACTATGACGAGGAGCATAAGCAGATGGCCGAGCGACCTTACGACTTCAACAGTTGGCAGGACAGCCCAACGGCGCTGGAGTTGGCTTCCAAGATGGGCCCCGACGAGATTCTTCTCGAGGGCTATGCCGAGATGGCGACCTACCGCACGCTGATGGCGTACCTGACAACCGCGGACGGCGATCCTCGAGCTGTGATACCCCTGGATGGTGTCGGTGGTACCGCCCTCCTGGTCAAAGCGGATGTGCATCGCGATGGTGCCATGTTCCCGCCCTTCTCCTTTTACCACCTCATTGAGACGGAGGGATTCGCCAAGATGGCGAAGCGGCTGGGCTGGCAACCGTGGGGTTTGCCCAATTACAAGGTCAGTACCCCAACCCACGTCATTCTGTGTGCAAGCCCTAACATTCATCCAGGTCTACCATTATAACGAGTAGTGGATCCTCATGTCTGGGGTTGTCGACCCCCTCGGCGAACTTGCTCCTATTACGACATGACATGCGAGAGACGGGACACGGTGCATTTCACTAGGGAGCACGGCCGCCGCCCCTTGCATCCCGAGCGACCGTCGGCAAACACGTCTTCGAATCTGGGCGGGTAAGGGTTACGGCGTTTTTGTAGTATACATCTATCCATACAACCACCAAGGAAATAAAATGGCGGTGAAGCAACTGAGAAGAAAGGGGGAAGAGAAAGGGACAGGTGCCGAGGAGTACGGACGCCATACATCATCGGAGGGGGTTGGGGTTTCCCCGTGTGCATTGCATTGGCGGCCTTGGAAGGGTTCCTGTTTTTTTGTGGTCTTGTTTCGATTGTGAATTTCTGTAAGATACAAGTCCACCGCGACGAACGCAGGCATGGACAGGGAGAGGATTGGGATAGACGGGGCATGTATGTACATGTGCGCGCCTTCACGGCGATGGGCGATGCCTTGTCATTGATTCTTACGAAAAGGAAAGCACGCCAATTCCGGTATCTGCAGTGTCCCCTTGACTAGTATTTGTGCGCACTTGACGGTGCGTTTGGTTGTTCTGGTATCTGATCATTTTCAAATCGACGTCGCTCAACCCATGCCTGCCTGATTCAATCACCCAAATGTCTCCAATCCCGATGCCGACAATCAAGCTGAAGAAAGCCATTGTGTAAAACCCAGTCCCAAACTCCAGATAAAAGCGTGCTTCGTAGCCCATCTCCTTATCGCCTCAACCAGACCAATCTTGTCCATGTCCCGGGCTTTCATCTCGATTCGATCTCATTCAATACTAGCACACTCGTTCAAACCCGTCGGCTCTCCTTTCCCGGCACCCAATCACTTGCGCAAAAGGCCCCGACGGCCTAGGGCCCGCCGTACCTACCGTCCGAGTCGTGAATCCAAAACTCGACGAGCTTGCGCGTGCCGAGGGTGTCGCCACCGCGCAGCAGGGCGGCGACGTCGACGTTGAGGGGGCTATCGGTCTCGGGGCAGCTGAGCAGCATGCGGACGGCGCGGACGCACTCGAGGATGCTGTAGGTGCCGGCCCATGCGTCCTTGAGCAGGTCGAGGCAGATCTCGCCTGTTTGGAGGGCGATGTTGGGATGGACGATGGGGGTGACGAAGGTCATCTTGGGTGGTTTCTGCGGGTACGAGGACGGGATGGAGATGGAGATGAGCCAGCGGCCATCTAGAGAAGGAAAGGTTAGCTATTGCTCCAAGTATCGATGCGATGCGGGAAGAGGTGGCGCGTACCATCGTAGCCACTGCCTACGCCCTGGCCATTGATGACGGCCTCCCACTCGAGCAAGTTGCCGTCATCGACGGGCCCGAGGCGCTCTATGCCCGTCTCGTCCTTGCTCTCAACGCGCCATGTGTCGAGCTCCTTGCTGAGTCGCTTCGTCGCAGTCCTCGAGGAAGATGCGCCGGATGCTGATGGCCTGGGCATTGTGTATGCGCGCGCTTGTGGTGGTAGGTGGTTTGGCTCGTGGGATTCCGTCGGCAGCAGCGGGGATGACGTTTAATCGAGAAAGTAGTGACGATGCTGGGATGTACTCCGTAGGACGTAGGAATGACGAGGCCGGAGAAGATAGTCAAGCGATCGGCGGATGATGCCCTTATTCCAGAGGATATAGGGGGTTTCGGTGGTTTGCGGGTGATGATGGTCTGAGATGGAATGAAATGAATCGAGTCGAGTCGCCAAGCACATGAGTTAGCTGAGAGTGCCGGTGCATGAGTTACAGGGAGCAGCTCCCCAGGGCCCAATCCCCAGAGCTCGGTCACTCGGTGACAGGGATTTGCGCGGGCAGAGCCGAGGCTGGCCAAGTCCCGGTTTTGGTTGGACCCTGGGACAGCGTGTGCGTACCAGGCCAAACAAGGCTAAAATATGCCCATCATCCACCAATAGCACCTGAAAGTGCAGGGTGTGGACCACTAACAGCCAGCCTCACGTTGACCAAGCACACCGCTTACAGGTGTCAACAAACCCCCATGTTATCAATCATCATAACAAACATCATAGAAACAATCGCTTTTAATATCACTCCATACTACCACAATACAAGTTGAACAATCGTCTTATTATATGCCAATTTTAGGAGGGATTGATTACAAAATTGTCAAGCTTTTGCCATTGCTTCGTCCAAAGACACGGGACCTCACTTCCTGCGTCGTCCCCCTCTCGCCGGCTTTCGCTTCACCGGGGAGTGGTTCTTGGATGCACTCTTCTTGGCGGGCTGCGATTTGGATTCGGGCTCCGGATCCGCCTCAACGATAACCGCAGGGGTTCGCCCTCTTGGGGCTTCCCGGATCTGCGCCCCGTTTCCGGTGTTGTCGCTGGAACTTGTCTCCTGTCCCACCGAGGAGTCATCATCGTCATCCTCGTCACTGTCCTCTTCGCTTGTACCCTCGTCAACGCTCTGGCGTCTGGACCCACGGCTGCTCCTCGTGACAGGGCCGCCAGCTCCTCGCCGGGTCGGATAGGCCAAATCGTTCGAGCCCGCCGCAGGCCGTCGAGAGGCGGCCGTAGCTCGCGGACCCGCTGTCTGGAACTGGAAGGGATCATGGCCTCCCCGAGAACCTACCCAGGGGTCTTCAGGAGGAGACCCTCGGGTTGAGCGTTGCCCGGCCGCTGTGTCAGACGCCTGGCGAGTGTTGGGCGCAGGCCCTTGCGAATACTCGAAGGCGCCTCCCTCGCGTTCAGTTCGGGCCCGGCTGGGTTGTCTTTGCGAGGAAGAGGTACCCGATCGCGTGCGAGATGTTGCCGGTGGAGGGAAGTACCCCATGCGAGGGTAGCTTGGGTTATCCTGAGCGTCGCCCAAGTTGCTGCTCGACGATGGGTAGCGAGGCAGAGGGTCCTGCTGGGACCCCTTTTTCTTGCGTGAGACAGGCTCCAATTCGGTGAGCGGCACCGCGATCCGCTGTTCCTTTCGTTTCTTGCGTTCGCCCTTTCGCTTCTTCTTTCCCTCCTCCTCCATACGTTTTCGGTGTCGTTCCAAAGCTGCAAGTTCGTGCTTGTTGAGATCGACGTCACTCCTGCCCATGGCCCGGGCCCGCTCGATTCGTGCCATCGCCGACTGGACCAGAAAGTCTTCCCTATCCCTCGGCGACATTCGCGCCAACTGCTCTTCGTACTCATCATCGTCCCCGGAAGACGAGTCATCATCCTCCTCATCATCATCCTCGTCCGAGCCTCCCAAATACCCTCTGCGGGGAGCCCCGCCTTCCCGATCGCCCAAGTCTATACCCGTGAATCGAAGAGAATCACTAACAAAACGAGTAACCATCCCCGTAGAAACCCCAACGCCTTGTGAGTCCGTGTCGTCCTCATCCGTGCCCAACTCCTCTACGCGGGTGTCACCACCCCCGTATCCGTACAGCGCAGCATCCCCTTCCTCCCTCCGCCGCCTGCGCCTCGATGGTCTTCCCCATTGGGGCGCAAATTCGGGAGATCGCGGCCGACCACCTAGACCGCCTCCCCGGAAAAAGCCTCATCGATGGGCTTGTCCATTAGAGCGGCGTGACCGAGAATGGTCACGCCAGAAGCGCCAATCAGCCATAGCAGGGTCGAGAAAGGCGAAGCAATCAGACCCAAGGGTACGGAGATGACGATGATTCCAGTATAAAGCTGGGATGTAGTAGCACGGAACGTGCCGATTTCGAGATCGCGTCCTTCGAGGCGGCCAATGATGAACAGGCCGGCAACGACGAAGATGATGTCGAACATGAGTAGCCAGTTTGTGAGCAGAGCATAGATGCTGAGCATGACAAAGACGACAGCGTAGTTGCTGGAGAAGTGGCTCAGGTTGTAGTTGACACGGGACTGAGCCTCAGCAAAGTTGGCGGGCTTGGAGACACGCTTGAAGTCGAAGAACTCGGAGACGGGTCGCAGGTTGGAGAAGCGACCGCTGAGGGGACCGGCGCGGAGGCCCTGGAAACGTTCGCCGAGGTTCAGGCGGGACGTGAGGGCGTCCAAGGGGATCTGGATGCGAGCCATTGCGAAGAGATGTGTGTTTTGGGTGTTTTGGATGTTGTATGAGTGTGTGTTGATGGATGTGAGAGGTTGAGTGCCGGCAAGCGAGCTTCTTAAGTCGTTGCGGTTGGATCACGAAGTTTTTTGTTGCGTCGGTGCAAGTCAGGCAGCCAAATTAATTGATCAAGGATGACGACAGGATGGGTTGCGTGCGGGTCCTGAGAAATTAGGCAGACAAGTATCTGAGGAAGGTAGCAAGTCAGCCAGAGCTCACGATGATGCAGAGAGCCACGCAATCAGACGAGGAAGAAAAGACAAGCTGGCCCAGGTATCCGAGTTCAAGGCAGTTGGGTTGTAGGCAGCCAGGAAAGGGGATGGGGATTTTTTGGTCTTCAGCCACGTCAACCAAGCCACTTTCATCCGGTAGGGGAGATAGGGCCACAGGGGATGGGATATTGAGAACTAGTAGGGGGCGAGGGACGGAGGGCGAAGGGTGGGTACATACCGATGCGAACTGTAACGCGTGATGGCGAGATGCGAGATGCGAAACGCGAGGTGTCGAGGTGAGAGAGAGAGTCGTGTGAAAGAATGCCGCAGCTCGGTAGTTCGTGAGGCAGTGTTTTGTTTGCAGAGGACACGAAGGCGGAATTTGGATTTAGATTGCCCTGCTCGAATCAATTTGCTGCGACGCGTCCTGTCAGCTTTGGGGCGTTCTTTCAGGGGGGTGGCCACTTTTCGTTCCGGGGAGTTGGGCTTGCGGTCCACTGACGTACCTAAATTCAGCGACGGCCCACGGTCCAATTCCTCGGATCTCTGACAGAGGGAGGGATTGATGAAGCCCCTGAATCTCGCTCAATGGCCAAATGGATGCCTGGTGGAATGCCTGGCGGAATGAGACGAATCGATGAGGCTCAGCCGCCGCGTTGGAACCCCCCTGCAATGTACGTAGAGACGCACGCACGGAAAGGGACCAGGCGGAGAGACCTCCAGAGTGTGCAACTAAGGCTTGCGCTCTCAGTGCTGGCGACGACCAGGTCGGTCGATGCCGCGGGGATTTTGCTTGTTCGTTCGACTTCCCCTTCTCCGACGAACCCCCCCCGGAGAAAAAGGCTTGCGGAAGAAAAGAGAATAGCGGAGACAGGAGGAGAAATCAGAAGAAGCGGTCGAGGGCCGCCTTTTTGAAGCGGGCAGCTCGTAGCTTGGCCGAGCCCAACGCTCACCGACAGTGTACGGAGGTACGGATACATACGCACCACACACACACTCACAGGTTTTTGTATGCACGGCACATGCATCCATGTGCCAATCCAAGGCTCGCTGCGTTCCGATCCCGTCGTCCTACTACGTAGTAGATGGAGAATTTTCACTTGGCCAGGCAAACCAGGCCAGGCCCCGCGGACCATGATCCCATTGTCCACCCCGCTTATGCACGCGACACTTGAATCAAGCAAGTTAGAGCCAGCCAAGTGTGTCTCCGCTCAGGCCCCGGTTGTCTTTGGGTCGATCTCGGGCGGATTAGAGACACATTGCTTCTGTTTGGCCTTGGGAGGCGTCGCGGAACCCGGAACACCTGGAGAGGGCGGTGGGAGGCTGCTCGGCTGTTTGGCTGCTTGTGGCGGCTGTCGAGACAAGACGAAAAGGAAGGAATTTGGTCGGCACTATCTCACTCGCTCGCTTACCAACTCCTCTTCAACTGTGGACTCTGGGTAACTCAGCTATTGCGTGAGCTTCACTCTCTTCCCCCATGCCCGATACCCCATCTCTGGTGTCCCAACGACCCCACGGGATCCCCAATCAGACCTCGGTGTTTGCACCGGCAGAGGCTCTCCGAGCCAGGCCCGAACCACCCGCATGCTTCTTCGGTAACGTTGAGCTTGGATCTAGTTCGTTTTTAGAGACGACGGGGCATTGATGAGAGAGACATTGGCCTTGTTGTTTGGCATACTCCTTCTGACATTGGCTTCACCCTCGTAAACTTCCAGCTGCGGGCCCTCGTAGTCACACATTGTATGGGTCCTTTTTTCGGCGTGGCATGACGTTGTTTGGCAACCCCATCGATGGCTTGGTCGGGCCTCAATGTATATTGCTCTGTTGGCACTCCTCTCAAGGCACTCCTCTCAAGGCACTCTTGTCCTGTGGTTGTAATGCATTTCCTCTCGCATATCTCCTAGTGACGGACGGAGCTGACTTGCTCGGAACACGCGGTGCGCCGTGCCCGGCGATCCGTTGCGGAGCTTTCCCATGGTAGCCGTCCTACTGTCTACAACCCCACTTTGCTGCCTCCATCATAGTCGCGCTGTCTTTTGTTGAATGATCCTCCTTGCAGGAGCTTGGCGAGCAGCTTCCGTCGGCAATTGAGGCCTGAGAATACATGACTGATCATGACGAAATTGCATTGGTGATTCTTTCAACGGGACCTGGAAAAAATACTGCTTGGTTTGCCAAACACGAAGACATCAAGCAATACTGGTTCTGCCACTAACGCGTTCAACACGTCGAGGTCTCAAGTCTCCAGAGGGCCTGTTTATATGTTCTTATATGGAGTTGATCCGACACATTTATGAGACGTACGATCAGGTAGAGTAACGCGAGGATTTCTGCGTGGAGGCAGTAACAGGCGGTTCGGATCGAGGCGGGACCCTGAACGGGGTGGTGATGCCGCAAGTCTCTCAAGAGTACACTGAAACGGAATGTTTCCATGAACTGGCAAATTCCCATTACATCCAGTTCACGAATTTGAATATCAATCCACTTTGGTCAACGAAGTGGAAGGTAATCAATCGGGAGCTTGGGTGGCATGCGTGCTGAGCGGTCTAGTCAGCTACCCTGGATGATGCTCGAAATCGTCGACTCCGCCAATGACCACTGCCAACCTACAACTTTATCATACATAGGTAATTCACGGTATAAATGCCAAGGTCGAGACAATAATATGTATGTCGCTACTTTGTATTATTTTCCTGCAGGTTTCTATCTGAGAAGGTTCGAAATAGGGGTATCCATTCCGGATTATTTGTATCGTCGCTGCGTGCGTCTTGATACCGAATGGACGAGTCCCCATTGCTTCACCAATCGTTTTGTCCCTGCCCCTGCCAACATTGAAGTACATCAAGTTCTGCCTTAGCCTTTCCTCTCCCGCTATCAAGAAGAGGAGGTCAGAATCACCGGAAAGTCGGCGCTCTTCAACACTCAGAGAGGTCTATGGAACATACTCGGGATTGACCAGTCGCAATCCAGTTCGCCAGAAGCACTTGAGATCAAACCCACAAGACCAACAAAGAGGGCCCAACAATTTGCTGTAATCCGAGAGGCACCCGACGGTAATTTCTTTTTCCAGACACTCCGGGTATAATGTATCTCATGGTTATGGCCGGCCGAACAAGATCAACCCCACAGGACTGTCGTAAGTAAGAGAAACGAGCGCACTGAAGTTCGAATGGGCGTTCGCAGCGCCACCGGAGGTGTCCTCTGCTTGAGATTAGCGAACGAGTCCGTCCACTTTTACGTCACTAAGGAGCCTCGGAACCGACACGGCAGCGCGATGCCACGGACTAGTATTCGGAGATGTGGGGAGGAAATGAGCTTTGGCCGTTCTCGGGGGGCGGCGGATGGAGGTGGAAGCATCAAACACTGATGGCGCGAGCTGGAAACATTCTTGGCTGGATTTAGATCGGTTCTTGCCTGATGTTTCTCACCCATGTTCCCTCAGGCAAATCAACCCTGCACTGATGACAATAGCTAATCGGAATGCATATCTCTAAAGTGAATTTTAAGCCTGGCCTTCTCAACAACTTCGGAGGTTATAAGCGAATTATGAAGAGTTAGGGGGATACGCCGGCTATGGAGTGAGATGAAGCCTGGCGTAGATTGCGAATAGTAGGTGTGGCATGATGTTGGGAGAATCCCAAAATGGTGCAACGTGATTCACCAGTGTAGTGAGCCGGCAAGTCATTTCGACCGTTGATACGAGCGAGGCGCTTGTCATATCGTGATCTAGGCTACTCTCAGCCAAGCGGGCGCAACCTCATTTTAAAATGGCCGGTGTGGCTTGACATGGCCTCCGAATGCTTCTACGTTGGTTTTCCCCATGCGAGCCCCATGTGAGGGCAGAAAAGAAGTTCTCGCTGAGCCCTACAGAGCGTCTTGGCGATTGCTTCCCTGACGAAGACTCGGAAACTCGGCAGCAACGGCGGGCCTTTCGGTTCCCAGCTGCCGGGATTACGGGGTATTTTGTGGAGTCGGAGCCGGGACTCGGGCTGCTCGGATTTGAGGATCGGGCATGTCCAGGAGAGCGTCAGGAACATCAGGAGCATCGTATTATAAACGCCCAACAGCCGTACCAGGTACTGAAGTCTCTGTAGGCGGGGCTTATCTGTATAATTGCATTTGATCCTTCATACCCATGTGCGTAACATGGCGGCCTTCGCCCATGTTCTATTAGTGAGGCACACCCGATGCGGCCCTTGATTGTCAGGTCAGTCACCACACCCTCAGTCACCAACGTGCATCGTGCAGACGCCGGCACAGCCGCACCTAATTTCGTGTCTTGCTGTGCCTGCCCTCATTCGCAGCTCGGTTCGATCAAGGTGCTGCGTGTTGGCGCTCCTCCTTGGGAGATAGCCGCTGGTCCCTGACTAGTCGAGAGAGCTAGCGATAGCTGAGCCAGGGGTTCGCCAGGAACCTCACCACAATTGTCGTGGCGAAGACGATTCAAGATGCCGTTTCCGAAGCCAGTAACCGTTTTCCTGCTGACTAGGACACACTCGTCCGTAGCTTCAGGTGTGAATGGCACGGGAGTTTCTCAAAAGGGCCCCAGGCACCTTGACGCCACGAGGCCCACGACGACCTCACGGCTAGCCGCCCCTGTCAAACAAAGGAGGCTTTTCGGGAGCATCTCGTCTGTCCATCACACTACGACGGTGGCTGCGGCGTTAGCTCGCGTTAAGTTGACGTTGACGTCGGCTCGACGGTCGGTAGCCTTGGTGTTGCCGCACGGCTTGGCCAGGATCTCGGCGGTTCGATGCCATGTGCTGTCCGTTTCGAGGTTCCCTCAATGGCGCGTGCCGGCACCCGGACGGATGAAGTAAGATAGCCGATTATATAGAAGCCTGCGTGGACTGAGATGGTGTTTCTGGCTGTTCATCTCCTTCCTTTCTTGTCCCCACAGTCATTCGTTCACTGTCGTTGCATCCATTCGTTCGGCATCGCTACATTCATTCATTCATTCAGCGTCGTTGCGTTCATTCGCTCAGCAGTATTGCAGTCACTGTTTAACGCCTACTTTCAGTAATTTCCTTCATCATGGTCAGGTTGATTCCCGCCGTCCTGGTGGCCCTGGCCTTGCCTGGGATCAACGCCGGTCCTTGCAAAGTTCCAACTACGACGACAACTTCCACGAGTGCCACCACTACTCCTTCAACTGCGCCCTCTTGCACGGCTTACACAGCAGCGCCTTACGGTGCAGTGTGCGGAGGAGAGGGCCCTCCTCCGGGTAATCCTCCCACCATTGCTACTTTGAATCTCCCCACGTCCGAGGAATGTGCCTATGCCTGTTATCAGACTGCCTGCTCCAAGTTCGGCTTCACGACTGGTAACTGTATTCTCTACGGCGAGAGACAAGAACAACGTCTTGTACGACTTGCTCGTACCGTTTGCCCGCCGTACTATGACCTAGCATGTTTCGATTGCTCAGGTACTAGCATGTCGACAGCTCCCGGCTCGACTACGACTACAACTGGATCCACGCCTACTACAACACCCGAGAACTCAGCTACTTCTCCTACCACTACGTCTAATAACACTCCTACCACAACACCTGAGAACTCAGCTACGTCTTCTACTACTACGCCCGAGAACTCAACCACTTCTCCAACCACCACATCGGAGAACTCTGCTACTGCTCCTACTACTACGCCTAATAACACTCCTACCACAACACCTGAGAACTCAGCTACTTCTCCTACTACTACATCGGAGAACTCTGCTACTGCTCCTACTACTACGCCTAATAACACTCCTACTACAACACCTGGAAACTCAGCTACTTCTCCCACTACCACGCCCGAGAACTCAACCACTTCTCCAACCACTACATCGGAGAACTCTGCTACTGCCCCCACCACTACACCCGAAAGCACTCCTACTACGACACCTGAGAACTCAACTACTTCTTCTACCACTACGTCTGAGAGTACTCCTACTACAACACCCGAGGACTCTACTACCTCTCCTACCACAACAACTGAGAGCTCAGCTACTTCTCCCACCACGACGCCTCAGGAGACTCCTACTACGACGCCTCAGGAGACTCCTACTACGACGCCTCAGGAGACTCCCACTACGACGCCCGAGAACTCTGCTACCTCTCCTACCACAACCACCACGGCGGAATCGACGACCACAACGACGACGACAACAGAATCAACAACAACCACAACTGAAGCGACGACGACAGAATCGACAACAACCACAACTGAAGCGACGACTACAGAATCGACAACAACCACAACGGAATCAACAACGACGGAATCGACAACGACCACGACGGAATCAACAACGACCACAAGTAGTACCACCTCTACAACCACTACTGCGGCCCCAACATGTGACGCCTACAAGCTGGTCCCCTCTCCCCCGTCTGGCGCAAAGTGCGGTTTCGAGGGTGTTGTCAACACTGGAAAATCCCCTATCGCTACGGCTTCTAAGCAGAACAAGTCCGACTGTGCTAAGTTGTGTGTTGATACAGTGGGCTGTGAGTCCTTCTCATACAACTCGAAGAGCCATACCTGCTCCCTCTTCGACTGTTCAGTCGCTGCTGTTGCCCACTCGAAGTCTGAGTGCGGTGAACACTTTTATGACAAGACATGCTTCGGATGTTCAACCACTACAACTACCACTACGTCCACAACGACCACAAGCAGCACCACCTCTACAACCACTACAGCAGCCCCGACCTGCGACGCCTACCAGATGGCTCCATCTCCTCCATCCAGCGCCAAGTGTGGCTTTGAGGGCGGTGTTAAGAGTGGAAAGCATGCTATTGCTACCGCTACCAAGCAGAAGCAGTCAGACTGTGCTAAATTCTGCGCTGACAACACAAACTGCCAGTCGTTCTCATATAACTCCAAGACTGATATCTGCTCTCTCTTTGACTCTTCAGTCACAGCAGTTGCATATGCCAAGTCTTCATGCGGCGACTACTTCTATGACAATGCATGCTACGTATGCCAGTCAACCACCACGCCTCCTGCGGTCTGCCAGCCGAAAACCACTGGGCTGTCCGGAGCCGTGTGCGGTAGGGAGGGCACCAAGAAGAACAGCGTCAACTATATTGACATGAAGTCTGCCAACACTCGCGCGCAATGTGCCCAGTTCTGCTTCAACAACGCCGCTTGTGACTCCTGGGCATACCGCAGCATCGGTAGCGTCTGCACTCTATACGACAGAGGAGTCAGCTCCGCATCTTCGTCCAACGGTGGTTGCGGTGTCGAGTGGTATGACCGGGAATGCTACTCATGCCCTACCACAACCACTACTCCCCCAGCTACGTGCAGCTCGTACTCGCTCATCTCTAAGCCGTCGAGCAACCAAATCTGCAACAAGAAGGGTGAGATCTGCAGGGAGACTTTCCTGAGCTTTGGTGATGCGACCAGCGACGCAACTTGTGCCAAGAGCTGCAACCAGACCCAGGGGTGCAAGCTCTTCTCGCGTGCCAAAAAGAACGGCGTGTACAAATGTAGCATGTACTCGGCCTATGACTTCACTGCCAGCATTTACGGAGTCGCCTTCTCGCAGCCTGATTGTTACGAGTGCTGTGACTCTAGCAACTCAGGAACTTCGATCCGCCAGACCTAAGGCTTGGTTCCCACATCTCTTTGACCGAGATAATCTTCTAGGGGCGGGCAGTGGTGGTGGAACCAGTTAATTTCTACTGCTTCATCCCCGTACTATACAAAAAGGACATGCCAAGTCTTATTCGTTCCTCACCTAAGGGCTATTCTTGGGATACTGCGCAGTTATGCCTCGTATTTGATCTTGATACCCTGGGTGAGAATTATTTCGTTTAATGCATTCAGGATACACTCTGAAATAACCTCGTTTTATTGTTTAATGTCATGATTTATAATACTTAGTTAGCCGTACATATGTATGTATACCTTGGCAGTCACCAACACGATGTTCAATTTTCCTTTTGAAAGTAATTAGCACTATAACATTATAAGCTACGGGATTTTCCGATTTCTGAGTCTTCATATGTGTCCAATAAATTTTGGCAATCTATGTTAAGATTCGAAGTTGAGTTAACCTTGGCAACCTGGCAACTGTTGGAAACGACTGGTTCACATGTCCGAGTTGCCTCGGCTCTTGGACTTGATACATATCTCGCCATGTTAGGCTGCAAAACTGGGAACGCTCAGTATAGTAATCAAGCTAGCAATCCTTGGAGGCACATAATGACTTGGCGCACAGTGATAATATGATGCGGTGGCAACACTTTGGTCGGGGCAAACGTAAAGTAAGTTGACTGCTCCAGTCCTATTATCTTCACATTTATCAACTCCATCAATTTTGCACAACCAACAGGCAATATGTCACCCCTCAACCTCTCGCCCAATGCCGCAACGTATCCTAGTACACTTGATAAAAATCTAACATCGCATCAAAGCACGCTCGCTATGCCCGTCCATACGGCCATCCTGGGCAAAGGGGTATATATGAATGCAAAAACCAATCCCAGAGTCTTGAGTCTTTCCGTCTAGCCAAGTCGCAATCCAAATCTCTCTCAGCACTTCAGACCTCAAAGAAATAGTCGTCGTCCAGCCCTTCTCGAGATGGAATCACACCGGCTCCAGGCACCGGGCCATCGAACGCCGAGTCCATCCGCACATTCAGCAACCGGATCTTTAGCCCGTATTCGCTCACCATGTTAACCAACTTGTTCGTCTCCGCCGTAATTGGCGCCTGATTCAATACTAGTAGCAACCCGTCCAGCCACTCAGAAGCGAGACTGTGGCTGAGTGGCCACAGCGAGAGAATCGGATGCTCCTTGGTATCCATTCCCTTGTTGGGATGCACTGGGTTGATAAAGCTGTACACGGTGATCTTTGTCGTCGTAGTCTTGGTTGTCGCTCCACTATTCGTGCTCTTTACGTCGTCTGATGCCGACACGTTGGACACGACCGAACTGATGGTGCTGAGGTCAATCTTCTCTCCTAGAGATTCCAGGGTCGGCTCCTGGGGTGTCTGTTTTTCGAAATCGGCATAGTGGAGATATCGACGATTGTGAGACAGCTTAGCATACCGCCATGGCGTCGGCGTAAAGAGTCGGTGCTTAGACCCGTTGTTGTTCTCTCGCTTTGGCGTCGGCTTTGTGAACCACGACCCCTCAAGGAGGCATCGGATCCTTTGCTCCTTCACGAACTGTAAGGCCTCCTGCTTCAACTCCTCCCGCACTTGGTATAGATGTTGACCCCATGTGCCCTCAAATGACATCTCGAGCAGGTCCATTTGTTGCTCTCGTAGGCGCGCCACATCGTATTCTTGCATCTCTTCCTCTGCCTCCAGCACATCCTTGGTTCTCGTAGCGCCGCCCACCACCTGGTCAACGAGGATCCGCACTAGCTCGACGACCTTTTCAAAATCATCATGCTCTGCACCAGTGACCTTCCAAACTCGAAAAAAGGCATGTAAGGCAGCTGTATGCAGCCGAGACCACTGAAGTAGAAGAGGTCGAAACAGTCTGTCGTGGTCCTTTGATTCCATCACCTGGTACCCCTTGGTGTCCTCTAGGTCGGCCTTGTCGACTTCAAAGTGCTCATACAGCACCATCGTGACCGCGAAGCTCGCTCGGGCAACGGGGGAACGTTGGGATGCCGGCTTGCCCGCCTGCTCTAGCAACAGCTTTTGGAACCGGTCCTCATGCTTCCGCACGTAGTCTGTGATGTCCATCATGCCCAGGAAACCAGTAATGTCAAACTCCTGCGCAGGGCTCTCGGTCTCAAAGCCCAACCTTCTCCACTTCTCGGGATTGTGCCTTCTGCTCCCCTTCTTTGCCGATGCCTCATTTTGCTCAATTGACGGTGAGTGGCCGTTTACGTACGCGCGATCCGGAGCGCTGGCGAGATGCAAGCCCTTGAGGGCCCGTCGATGCTCCGGTCGTTCCAGGTCAACCTCTACCTCGCGCCACTTCCTCAATAAAATCTTGGTCAATGACTGAAACTCTAACAGGGGATGTGCCAAGTCCTGTAGGGCCGAACTCTGCATGAGCTTATAGACGGCCTTGATCAGCCCCAAGTCTTGCAGCCTCTTGATAAACTTGGACCACTCGTCCCCTTGGGAGGTCCCGTTGGCCTTGCCGCCGCCCATGGTGGTCTCGTTGGACACGGCATCTCGGATCAGTGCATTGATGAGCATGAGGGCGTTCGCGCACAGGGCGTGATCGGCACTCTGCAGCTGGGCTATCACCAGCTCAAAGAATTGCGGGTAAACGGCGACGGCAGGCTTCAGGGCGCGGAAGCCAAAGGTCCCGGGGGTGCGGCTCGCGGCGCCTCCGAGGGCGGTGGACTGGGAATGGCTGACGAGGGCGACCAGGATGGACATGGCGCCCCTGAGGATGTTAACCAGTGGGTTCGTGACGATGAGCTCCACGACCCGCTCGACGAGGTCACTGGCCGTTGGACCCTCGAAGATGTCCCATCCCATGTCAACTTCGAGGAGGCGTGTGAGGCTCTGGAGCGAGTAGGCGAGGGTGTTGCCGGCGGCCGTCATGATGAGGCGGCGCAGCACGACGAGGCCGCCCGAGGAGATGAAAACGTCGGCAAAGGCAGGGTCGTTAATCGAGTTCTGTAGCTTGAAGACGGCCATCTTGCGCGAGGCATCTTCGTCGCTGGCTAGGCGCGCAAGCAGCGCGGGGATGTCTGCTTGATCCATTGTGTTTCGGGTTCGCGTTCGAGTTCGGGGAGGCGGGGACGGGGGTCGAGTTTAAGCTGTAGAAGCACGCGACGGGGGACGGAGGAGATGTTATGCCGGTGCATTCATTGCCTGGGGTTGGAGAGGGAGCAGGCCGCTGTCGGTAATGTCGTAGTTGGCATCAGTGGCAGTGTTAGGCCGCCTCGATCTTTTTTCTCAGTCTAGAGTTTGGAGTCGTGAGTCGCGAAGCGCGGGGGAAAGTCGTTGTGAGACTGCATTGGAGACGCAGGAGACTCGGAAGGTTGGTTCTTGAATCGATTTGATGAACCACTTTACCAGTTTAGGACTGGGCTAGTGAACGGTCTCACCGGCTCCAAGCCACACCTCTGGATTGGCCGGCAATGTTAGCGCCCTTGTTTTAGCCACTTCGTTTGTGGCTGTGGTGGTTTTGTCTCCAGAATGTTCCCCGAATGATTGTTAAAAATCATCAAGAGATTTTAGCTGCGTGAAATAAGCTAAAGTCTAGGACATGTTTTGATTAAGGTATGCTATTCGCTAGTAATCATTAGTAGTCATGAGAATCAAGTTTATAATCTTGAGACGAACCCGCCACACACGTGACCCAGCCTCACCCGCCTCATGTGGCGCAAGGCTATCTTCCGACGTCCCAATTCTTCCTCCAGACAGCTCCTCCAACGCCAACCATCATCACAGATCAGCCTCAACCAACCTTGTCGCCACATCTCATCTTCACAAACATGGCCAACTTCCTCGCCTCTATTTTCGGCACCGAGCTTGACAAGGTCAACTGCTCCTTCTACTTCGTAAGTCCCACCTTGCCTTGCCCAGCGGGCGCGTGGAAGCTTCGCTTAGTATTCCTTGGCTCAGCATTGCTAACTTTCGCGCCATCGCGCGCTCGCCGGATTAGAAAATTGGTGCCTGCAGACATGGCGACCGCTGCTCTCGAAAACACGTCAAGCCCTCCTACAGCCAGACCATCCTGATGCCCAACCTCTACCAGAACCCGGCCTACGATCCCAAGAATCGCATGAACCCATCCCAGCTCCAGAACCACTTCGACGCCTTTTACGAGGACATCTGGTGCGAGTTGTGCAAGTACGGCGAGCTCGAGGAGCTCGTTGTCTGCGACAACAACAATGACCGTGCGTGCCACCCCCTCCACCATCTATTCAAAGCAAATGTACTAACACTTTCCTCCAACAGACCTCATCGGCAACGTCTACGCGCGATTCAAGTACGAGGAATCTGCCCAGAAGGCCTGCGACGAACTCAACAGCCGCTGGTACGCTGCGCGCCCCATCTACTGCGAGCTTAGCCCGGTGACCGACTTCCGCGAGGCCTGCTGCCGCCTTAACTCTGGCGAGGGCTGCGTCCGCGGCGGCTTCTGCAACTTCATCCACCGCAAGAACCCCGGCGAGGAGCTCGATCGCGACCTTACACTCAGTACTAAGAAGTGGCTCAAAACCCGCGGCCGTGACGAGAAGAGCGTCAGTCGTTCGCCGACCCCGGAGCCTACGCGACGTCGGTTCTAGTGTCTTTAGTTGTTGTGTTTTGTGGTTCCAATCCAATTGATCAAGGGGAGAAGGAAAAGAATCCACTCCCGAGGGCGGTCTGGGTCATGGCGTTTAAGGAAGGGGCTTTGGGTAGCTTCATTTAGGGTGTGTTGATGATGCCACATTTATACAGATAATTCATATGAATTCAAAACAAGTCGAGTTCCCGACAAGAATGATCTTTGTTGTTGATTATTCTTGCCGGGTTGGTGTTGAATCCTTCTTACTCATTGCCAACCCATCATAATGCAGATATGTACAATGGTATCCCTTTATAACGAGTCCTGATGCCGCGCCGATGTTGATATATGCCCTGCCCCGAACCGTCGCCTACCCCCGTTCTTTTAAAGTAGTCAACCAACCTTGCCGCCTGGCCCCTCTATTCTTTGGTTGAAAATTGTGTTTATTGTTTCGTGTCCACGGGTAGGTCCTTCTTGAGGTCTGCCACGAAGTCGATGAGGGGTCCGTCAGCTGCCTTTCCCGTCGAATTTAGCATGTTCTGAATCTCGACCTCGCTCGGCGTGGGCTTGATAGCATTCTGCTCAGCGGGTTGGGCGGGTTGCGATGCGGGTGCCTCGTCGAAATCAATGAGGTTATCCTGCGGCTGCTCCTTCTGTGCCTTCACCCCCTCAGGGTTAGGCTTCTCGAGTGTGGCGCGGCCATCGAAATGTCCAAGCTGCTTGTCGACGACGGCTGTAGGGCTGTGGGGAGGGATGAGATGGCGCTGGTTAGGCTTTTGGCCCTTGACGATGGGGAAAATAGACATGATTTGCTCGGCCTGTTTCTCTGGAGTGGCGGAATTATCGCTGGGTGTTTGTTAGACCTGCTTTCCCTTGGTTGAAGTAGATAAATGCACTTACATCGTAGCATTAATGACCCATTCGAGGTCTTCCTCTCCTTCTTCTAGGCCACCAGGGCCACCGCTCACGCGGCGGAATAATCGAGGGTGCCACTCAACCGTGTCTTGAGCTCTTAGCGCGGCTTCTTCACGCTGGCGATCCTCAATCTTGGTCTTCTCGTCGGTAGCGAGTTCGTGATTCCGCTCCTTGACCGCCTTGGCAGTTTTCTCCCAGAGTCGCTGTGATTCTCGTTCCTCCTGCTCCACAATTGGTCGTACTACCGGGGAAGTGGGCTTTGCTTGCGTGGCATTGAAGAACATTTCTCGGTGGCCGGTCTGCGTTGGTTAGTCTTTTAGCCTGCCTTGGAGAGACTCAACAACACTCACTCTCATGTCCTTGATGAACATCTCTTCGCTCCATAGCCCAGAGAGCTCGTACAAGATTTCGCCGGTGCTCTCCTTCTTAATCGTTCCGCCAATGGCATTGTAAGTACCGCCAACCCAGCCCTTTGTCTTGAAATCGATGTCGGCGACTAGATCAAGCTCGGGACACCGAACGAAGCTGTGATCTCCAAGCTCATACTTCATCTTTCCAAAAAGGATACCTCGAGCGTACATGTTGGGCTGTGTCAGGATGCTGAGATGGATGTTAGCTCTTATCGGCCACTTACACGATGCGGCTCAACTGAAATATTGGACAAGTTAGAAAATTAGGAGAAGGGTGGACTAACTATTGCTCTCCCCTCGCAGAGTCCTTGCCCCGGTTGAGAAGGGTCAAGAAGGCAATGCCCTCCATGAGACTAGCGGCAGAGTTGCCCAGGAACCGACTTCGGGGCTTAAGGGTGCCATCGATGCGGAGGTGGTGGTCGGGGGCCAGATAGAAGTAGCTGGACTTAGGCGGGTGGTGAGAGGTCTGTTCAGAAATGTAGTAGGCTCGCTTGTTGTCGTCGAATTCCCAGTAGCAGGTAAAAATCTCGCCGAGAATGGGGTTCAAAGGCTTCTTGACGCCTCTGCTTGTTGTCAGTAGCTAGCAAAATCAGGTTCGGGGCAGGGGGTGACCAACGGAGGGCGAATGTGCCAACCACTCAGATAGAACTTGACTACGGAAACGAAACGCTCGACAGGGTCATCTATTTCGGGAATATGGAGGAGCATCTCGGGGTGGCACATGAAACTATGGGGAAAGCGTCAGTCCGAATACGTCGAGATATGGAGACGGGAGAAAGCACTTTGTGATCCTCTCGAGCATGCTGCGGGGTTCCAGGATAAATGTGGGCAGGACGACACGACTGAGGTCGGCTCCTGGGCGCAGCTGGGAGATGATATGAGAGAGGACTGGAAGGCGATTGCGGTGGTCAGCAGAGGCCCGGAGACGTCTGGGAGGCGGCGGCTGCGAATGCGACAGCGGCGGCTTCGGAGGAAGCGATAGTCACTCACCATTGCCCTGGTCGGGCTCCATGACGGAGGTGTCATCGTCGCCGTCGGGACCGCGGGGCTCTTCGGTCGAGGAGCGGGCGCCTGTGGGTTGGGCAAACCAGTTTGTCAACATGGCGACTTGATAGGCGGCTCACGACATTCGCTGGGGGGGAGAAAATTGGAGGAGAGGGGCAGAGAGAGAGAAATGTCTAGGCGGGCTGGAGCTCAGTTCGCGGAGGATTCGGAGGTGACGGCGGGGTTGGTGGGATGTAGTGGCATGTATAGTGAGTGGGTGGGCGTGGGCAGCTAGGCATCCGGGGAACAAACGGAGTGGATGCAGACGGCTAGAGCCTTGACGCCGTGTGGCCGGGGCTGCGAAATGACGGGATAGGGCTTTTTCTCGACTTTTTCTGGGCATGTGATGGGGATATTTCAAGGAGAATTGTTGCGGTGCAAGGCGGGACAAACTAATTAGGCCACGGCGGAGGATAGAGGATAGAGGACGGAGGACGGAGGACAGGGGACATAGGATGAAGCTGGCCGGAACTCACTGCTGGTTCTTCGGCGGCCAGGCACCGAGACAAGATGGTGCATCACCATGACAGCTACAGGCACCGGGATGCGCCTGCTGGAACCAGGGAGGTGTTGCGCCGGGAGCTGCTGACGCTGGAACACACTGGCCGACGCCTGACACGCTGACGGACGCCTACACGTGCTGACGACAAGCTGCGTCGTGGGACTCTTTTTCTTATTCTTGTTCTTCTTCTTCTCCTCGCTTCCTTGCTGCGGCCCAAGTAGTTTGAGGGTGCCTGCGCGCTGAGCACCGGGTGGCGGGAAGCGGGTACGGCTTGGACGAGAGCGAGTGTGTGGGTGGGTGCGGGGCGGCTTCGTTGGTTGACCTGTTGACGGGATGGAAATGTTGGGGCGGTAGAATTGGAAGTGATAGTTGTAGTGGTGCGGTCGGTTCGTCGTGGGCTTCGGCTCGGCTCTCCTCGAGAATGCGACGAGAGCGGGTAATGGGAACACCACAGGGCACCGGAATGGGAAGGAAGAAAAAGTAGAAGAAGGAGGAAGAAATCGAGGACGGCCGAGGCAGAAAAAGAAGTAGACGATGACGAGCGGATGAGCCGGCGGGAAAGGCCACAGCGACTCACGCGTGTGACGACGGCGATGCGGATCAAGGTGGGAATTAGATAGCTACATGCCCACCTACCCTGGCGCCCGACGCCCTGCTTCCTGCCTAGACCCTTGCTTCCCTGTCTCGCTCCATACCTTATTCGTCCATACCTCGGGGCCATGTAGCCCGGTACATCGGTAGCTGTCTAACGTACGGTATGTATCCATACAGAAGGTAGTGGTAGTGGTAGGTAGAAGTGTGGTAGGTATTTAGAGTCGGGACTAGGGTTAGTAGAGTAGAGGTGGGTGGGAAGATGGCAGGGTCCCGGAGCGTGGGTCAGGTAAGGGAAAGTACCACCGGTCCGGGCAACAATGGCATCCGAAGACAGGAGACAGCTGCTGGGAAAGAGGTTACGCATATAAGTACGATGGGATACGAGTACTTACCTACAACTAAGCTCATTCTACCAGTTTGCTAAAACAAGGTCTCTGGTTATGAGGAAAAAGGCAACCTCGCTACTCATGTCGACATGTCCTGACCAGTCCCAGTTTCGGGTGCAGCACTCAACTCTCCAAGACACTTGCTGTCTCTCATGCGGTCCCTGGTGCTGTCTTTGCCTTATCCTTCTTAGCGGCAATGTGCGTGATACAGAGTGGCAAAGGCTAACAAGCTGACAGTAAACTAGGTACCCAGTAGACAAAAGTGTACATTATCTACCTGGCATCCATGCAGGCATGCCTAGACCCGCATCAGCTCGGGATAGATGGGCGGATGCATCTGGGATAAAAGGCTCCAACAGGCATTGTGCAAAGCTACCTCCTTCTATAGCTAGGAGCAACGCGCCACGAGTACATTTTTGCTCATGCACTAGTTTGCCTCTCTCCATGATCATGTCTCCTTCCGCAAGCACCCTGGTATATCCTGTTTTAGAAAGAGCTAGAGTCAATGATTGACGGGTCATCATGACGGCTGAGGCTCAAAACGAAGGGAGGCAATCATCGGTAGGTACTTTGGTACCCAGGTACTCTTACTGCTGAAATGGTGGGGGAAATGGATGACGTCGTATCCAACCCTGTCCATTCCGACCCCTCCAGCTCCATTTCCAGCCCAACCATCCCCAGCCCGGTCCGGCACTGACCAGTTCGTTAACTCAGTGGGAGCCTGTGCCGTAATACGTTAATTCAACGGATGTGACGAGTCCCAGCGTTGGTGATAGTGCGGACACACCGCAGTAGGTCAGTACCCAAGGTAGGGAGGCATCTAAGTAAAGGTACCTACTAACAGGTGATAACCCTGCCCTCAAATCAGTGACCTCACATTCGTCATGGAAGCCTACATGCTCCCCACCAACACTCAAAGCCAAGGCCTCCACAGCACATACACCGTTGAGCGACAGGGGGGCCCTCCACCACTCACTGGACCCCGTGGTCTGGTTCCCTTGTTTCTGGACTGCCTCCAGCTCGTCGACTTCATAATGTATGTTACAAGACAAGGAATTAAAACATCCGGCCGGTGGTCTACGGATACCCTCCCAACGCTTCGCCTGCGCATCCCCCCCGTGCGTAACCAATCGACAGGCGACCACACACACCTACCAACATGCTAGGATGTGAAGCCTCAAGTTTGGACAGTGAAGAAATCACTTTATCTCGTCTTAGAGGGTAAAAAATCATGTAGCATGCAGGGGGGGATGCGGACAAGGAGGTAGGGAGATCGGCATCTAATAAGATATTGCCAACTAGCCTTGTGTAACTCTCATCCCTTCTAGTTGCCTACCACCCGGCATCCATCTGCACATTCCATATTCCACATCTCAGTCCTACATCAAAAAGCCCCTCAGCGAGAGAGGCCATTCATCTACCTAACCGGCGAGGATCCGGGTATACACATGCACACCGCTTCTCTCGGCAGCGCCGGCAATTGCTTGCGTCTATGGCTTCTAGCCAGCCGCCTTTCGGTCTTCAACTTGTCCGAATACCCCACCCGTCTTTCTTCATTATCCTTGGCTCTGCCTATTCAAATGCCCCCAAAACGCCGCAGATTATCTCCCGCCCAACCCCGGCCGACTCGGGGTATCTCGCATACTGTTCCCAGCCCCGAGATCCATCTCTCTTTCTGGACCTCATCGTATTCTGGCCCTGCTGATTCCACGGTCTCTCGGCCTATTCGTGTTCTCCGGACCCCCGATGGGTATCTTTGTGTCAAGTACGCCATGGCTGTAGCGTGCTTGTTTTTCACTTCTTCCGCGCACTGGTTCGCTGGGTATATCCCCATAGTCTTTCTGTGCTGACGCCTTCACCTCATCTTGGTGGAGTAGGCGCTCTCGTTAAATAACTCAACATTTACTCATTTCAATCGTGACGACATTTTCGCCGAACCCTTCAACGGCGCTGGCAGACATAGGCCGAGAGCCTCTCGGTCTGTGAATTACATTGTTAGCCTTGATCACTAGCCCTCAGGATCACGGTACGCGATTACTTACCAGCTTCTTTTTCAAACATGATGGAGATATCGTCATGCTCTCCCGGCAGATCCGGGAGATCGAGGCAGACAAACGCCATATCATCATAGTCGCCGTCCTTGTCCGCCGGCAGCCGTGGCAGCGGGAATTTGGCATCAACAAACTTGATACCCGACTTCCCGCTCCGGGTGAAGGACTCGTAAATGTCCGTACCCTTGAGTACAAAGTTCATGCAGTGTCCGTGGTGGAAGTCCTCAAAGAATGCAAGCAGCTGCAGTTGTCTGTCCTCTTGCCGCACCACTTGGATTCGTGTATACCCAGCCTCCCACTTTTTGTGAATTGGTACCACCATGCGCCGTCTTGAGATGGCAAACGTCACTGCAAGGGCGTCGAATATGACCTCGTAGCCTGTCATGGCAAATTGGAAGTCGTGCAGATCCTTGAGGTTGTTGAACTCAAACGACCGGATGGTCTGGTTATGCCGTAGCAGTTGCAGAGCGTCTGCCATGTTTCGCGGGATCTCCTTGGAGACTTGAGCTTCGGAAACCGACACAGTCATGTCCTTCTGCGGTTGGCGCATAACTCTGAAAAGTTTGGCATTCGACACCTCCAATCTCACCCGTAACTCTCCAGGCGCCACATTGACTCTGTCAGTCATGTTGCCATTCTGATACTCGAGTACGATCTTGAGTCGGTCCGCAAGGACGGTTGGTGGCTGATCGCCACCGCACTCGTCATTGACAATCCTGGCCGCTTTCCATGGCATACGAGAAAATGGTGCCATGCCCAGTGGCTCGCGAACACTTTGAGAAATGATGAAACTTTTGATGGGAACGTCGGCATAGATCTTGTCGTCATGGTCGAGGGCAGTTCCGGTAATGAGCGAGTGAAACTTGATTCTGGCCTTCTCCTCGCTGAAAACGAGTACCATCCGGCCCTTGGACTTTCCGCTGTCGAATTTCAACGACAATGACGGGGCATCTTTGTCACCGCGGAAGAATCCAAACTGAATCGGTTGAGAAGGCGTGTACACATGGTTGACGCCACTTAGTGTCCTCGTGCGAGCCCCAGTTACCACTGCGATTCGGAACCCAAGATGCCAAACGCGTACACCGGCAGGACCACTCTCCTTGTATTGTTTCTCGAACAATGCCACATCGCATTGTGAGACTGCCTCCTTGGGGAACTGACGGGACTGGGGGTCAGCATCCATGTATTGGAATGACCGCAGTGTCGTTCGGAAAACCATCTCCTCGTCGCTTCGAGGGAAGAGAGACGTCTGGATCTTCTTCCCAAAGTCGTACATGTTCCATAGCATCCTGTAGTCTTGCTGAACGAGCTGCACGGCTAGGACGAAACCACGACGCAATCGAATGTCAAGTGTGCAAGTATCGTTTCTCCAGCGGACATCGTCCCACACCGGGCCCACGTTCTTGTTATCCTGGATGGCCAGTTGTAGGTGACCATTTTGGCTCGCAAGAACAAATACCAGGCTGAGGGACTTGACAGGCCGGACCATAGAGAGCATACATGGAAAATACAGTTTGTGAGATTCCTGACCCTGCTCCATGAGATAGACGTCTGCCGGCATCCTCCCGTAGCTAAAGTTGTCCGTGTTGTCGCCCACAGGGAGAGCATCCAGGAGGCGGAGATCGGACATGGGATTTGTCATGGCAGTCATGCCCGAACCCCAGTTTCCCGAGAGAAGGGCAATCATATCCTGACTTACCTGTGGGTACTCGAGCCAAACAGATTTGTCGATTGTTTGCGGAAGAAAGGCATCCTCTGGTGGCAAGAAACCGTTTCGCTTCATGGACATGGCTAGTTTCTTTAGTGCGGACACAAGAGACTGGCTGACCTCGACGACTTCAGCATCTGGTGCGAGTCCCTGAGACTCGGAAATCTCGGGGATCATTTCCTCACATAGCCAGTATCCCTTTGCCAGGTTCGCATATGCTTGCTGTCGATCACGATCGTTCTGCATCTGGCCTTGGGGCGAGTTTGGACGATCTCGGACCGCCGTCTCCAAGCCCATCCGACCCTTGATGAACCACCAAAGCCCTCCGCGAGCGCACTCCTTGAACGAGCATGTTGTCAAAGGCTTGATAGTCTCGGCATGTAGGCGGAAAAGCTCAAATAGATGCATCGTCCTCTCAACAAATGTAATGAGGGCCTCGTCGGCCGCTCCCGGATCGGTTACTCTAACGGAAAGAGATCGACTAGCCATCATAGGCGGGTCACGGGGGGTGGCAACGCTGGGCTGCCGCGAGATGTGAGAGGCAATGCTGGCCTGTCTCGAGAGCTGCTCGTTTTCGGTCGTTGGAGAGTACCCAGAGGTATTAGAATGGATCGAGGCTGGACTGTATTCGATATTTGGTCTTGGCGCTTGGACTTCGGGCGAGGGACCTGGTCGTCGAGTCGAGGTTGGAGAGGACGCGGTTAGAGGTACGGCGGAGGGAGGATCTTCCCAATTGTGAGAAGACGCTGAAGTGGCACTGGCTACACGAGCAGCCTCAGCGAAGGCCCTGCCCTCAGCCTCGCGCATCTGTGCGGAGTGAATCTCAATATACGACCTCCTGTTCTCGTCCTGTTTCCCAAGGAACCTGGGAGCAGGTGGCTGGAGGGGAAGCAGCGCATTGTTGACCGACCCGGCTGAACTTAGCTCGTCAGACTTAGACCCAGAGTCTATATGGGGTTCCTCATCCGACTCAGGTGTGTAGATGGAGGAGAATCCCGTTTGGGCACGGGAAAGGGATTTGGGCCTGAAATCGTCTACGCCGGGTGGCCCAGAATTTGTTGGAATTGGAGGAGGAGGGGGCCTCCCTGGGACATAACCGGGCTGGCGGTGTGGTGGGGGGTTTGGTGCGCGAGGCTTGCGCTTCGAGATCTCGATGACGGGTATCTCAGACTCGTCACCGCCCTCACCAATTACGTCCGGACTTGAATCGTCAAACCTGACGAATAGGCCCTTCTTATTCGGTCGTGGAGAGCGGCTGGCCGACTTTGGATCGGGGCGGACGCCTGGGGCGAGCGGGCGGTTCTGCTGGGCCTGCTGGTTGACGGCCAGAGCCTGGGGATAGCGGGAGATGGAGGTGGTGTCGAGCTTGGCCAGCTTGGGGAGCGAAGTTGGGATTGGAGGGGGAGCGTGGGTGACGGTCAAATTATCGGAGGAGCTGTGTAGGAAAGCGTCGACATTGGCGGCGGCTTGCTGCTCGGTGGGTTTGGTTTTGGCCTTGAAGAGCTTGCCCATTAAACGGTCTCTCCGTGAGGAGCGGCCATCAGGAACCTGAACGGCGGCGGGCGCTTCGTTCTCCATTGCTGACAGTGTATGAGGGACGAGGGGGGAGGGACGTATACCAGGCCTATTGCAACGTCATTGACTCGAGGCAAAGGGAAATCGGCCGTCGAGCGCGCCGAACAGGCTGGGAGACAAGCCCTAGAAATGAAGGAGCAAGGAGAATCGTCGTCGGTGCGGTTACGATGCTGATGCTATAGTTGGAGTGGGGTCGTCCAATGAGGCTGGTGCAGGCGACACGAGATTGAACTGGCGGACATGTGGGGATCGCCGCGGGCGGTTGGAGGTGGCGCTTTGGTCGGCGAGAGTGGCAGCGGGTAAGTGCTAGCACTTGCCGACGGGGGATGGCGACGAGAGATACTGGGAGAGGAATTTGAAGCTGACGCCGTCCGCGCCCGTCGTTGTTATGGTGTGGAAGGTCGAGGTCGAGGTCGATCAAGTAGTGGCCGGGGAACGTTGCTGGCGGTGGCGGGAGTGGTGGTGTGGTGTCGTGGCGCCGCAAAGTGTCGGGCGTGGTACAAGCCTAAAGCTGCAACACGGCACAGGGCAGAGAGGCCTCGACTCAAGGACTGTGACTGAATAGGAACGGGGTGCGAGGGCACCGAGACCGGGGGGAGACACTGGGCAATTCCCGTTGCTTTGTCGTCTGGGCACCGGGCTCCAGTTGCAAGCAGGGATAGAGAGGCCGCTGCCAAGGGGTGTTAAAGCGGGCGTTGCGTACGTGCGGTACGGACGTCAGGTTGGATTCTTGGGGGCCAAGATGGCGAGTAAAGATTGCTTGGCCGGTGGTGTAGGAGGGACTCCGTATGATGCGGACGCCAGCGAGAGGAACGACAAGGGACCGGAGGGTGTGAGAGGAAGAGGAGGAGGACAACGACGACGGCCGAGTCGCAGATAAAGTTGGAGAGAAAGGAAGAGAGTCGGTGCGAGGGTCGTCAGAGCCAGCAACGACGAGATGATCCAGGGGAGTTTCAGGAACACAGGGATCAACATGGAACGCCCCAGCGACAGCCTCCTACGACAGACAGCATCGAGGTACGAAATCTACGTCAAAAGGTAGGGTGATGCCCGCGCTGCCTGTTTAAAGGGGGGGACTTTAATTACTTGCTTGCAGATCCCTTGAGCCTTTTGTTTACAGCTCCCCCCATCACGCATCACGGTCTGGGCTCGTTGGGTTGTGCTGGCGGTGCTGATACTGGCGTTGCTGCTACCCGTTGTGTCCTGGGACTATTGGCACCTGATAACAGCCCTGGAGCCCTGGAGCCCTGGCTGGACGACACATGGGCGGCGCTGGGGTGGTGAGGGGGACCCTTAAGCCCCGCCCACTCCCCCTACCTTATCCACACTCCCCCATCCCCTAACTGCGTCGGTACTAACCCGCCCGCCTCTGCTCTGCCGTTGAGGGCCCTACTATGTACATTGGGTGAGGCGCTGAGATAGCTATCGCTATTAGTACGGGCACTCCATGACGTGGTTCTTCTGCGGTGGCTGGATAGTCTCCGGCTGAGCTCTGACCTGCCACAACAGAGGCGTTATGGTTGTTGAAGCTGCCACTAATTAGCCCTATCGCAACCAAAGATGGCCCAGTGCGTGCCCGATGACGGGGAGGGGAGCTGTTCCGTTGCTCGTTGTCCGCGGCCCAACAACCCAGCAACATGATCAACTACCTACTACGAAGTACGCAGCCAACCAACAACCCCTGAGACCCAGAGCTTCCATGGGGGGAGGGGGGAGCTCAAGGGTTCCATTCAGTGGCGACTGGTCCCTGAACTCCATCAGCCCTTCTGTAACGCCCCTCCAATGTCTCCATCTCCCTGAATTCCTAGTGGGTACCCGCAACGTGGGGCACACGACCTCCTCCCAGTTCCCTCGGCACGCCCTCACAGCGCCCTCAGGTCCTTGTTTTAGCGCCATCCCAGTGACGTTGATGGCCCCGCTGAAGTACGTATGCCACAACCATATTTGGGACGTGTTGTTTGAGAATGCCGCAGCTTCTGCGCTGCCAACCTGCTCAAGGAGGGTGTGACCGGCGGCTGTGTAGGCGCGAGACGGCCCTTGTGAGAACCCTAGATCTTCTTTTCGTGGGGACGGCGACAGCCGAGCTTAACGAGGCGCTCGGGCAAGGAGAGGCATAGCTTCTTTTAACTTTTTTTAGGATACGAGAATCACAAGGCAATAGGGCAACACGGGCAATAGGAAATAAAAAATAAATAAAAAAAGGCACCGACTTCCGCGCTTCTTTGTCCTCCACCTCGCTCGGCTCGGGGCCCTTCTCGTATAGTCATCTCCCTTTTTGGCATCACAGTCTCACAAGTTGACTCGTATCGACTCCGGCCCCAGCTCGTGCCCAGGCTCGTGGTTCAAGCCCCGGCCCGTGGCCGCTTCCTGACACGTCTGAATGCGAGTTGGATGGCAAGATGGCATGCAACGCAACGTGTAGTCTTAGGTAAGAACTAGAACCGCCCAGTCACCGAAAACGCAACTTGGGCCATTCGCCGACCTAGTCGAGAAGGGGAGCGCGTATCCGGAACTTCGGCCTTGTCGCGCTCCATGAGGAACTAGCTCGAACCCGATTTAGAACTGAGCGTCTCGGCTTCCTCTTGCAGTCATGCAGGATCACGAGATGTCGGTCGACGTCGTCAAAGCCGTGGTCGATGGGCCGGAAATTAAGGATGGACGAGATGCGGCCATTCTCGCTTGCTCGTGCAAGAGAGAACTAGGATAGATGCCAATGCCGAGGCCGTGATTCGACAAGCGCCATCGAGCCGCGTATTGGCGCAGTCACCGCACGCGCGGCTAACGGACCACCTACGTCGTCAACTCTGGCCAGACCAATATCTGAGATTCCTCCATGTAACGCAGTTTCGCTTCGCCGCCAACATGGTGGTTTGTTGCTTTTTGTTTTGTTTGTGGGGGAATCCAGCAGCGGATATAAGTGGCTTGAGGCCCACATTTCTTGCCAACTTCCATGCTAACACAGCCTATCGATAAGAGAGATAAGATAAAAATTCCATCATTTTGCCCCATCGCGCATCCCGACAATTTGTCATGAGTCGTTCGGGCATGTGAATCCATGTCAAACTTCGCTGCTCTCAAGGCATGCTCTCTCAGATAATCAAAAGAGCCATGGATTCAGGGGTCAAACGAGTTCATATCCCCCCTCGGGGCGTCGACTACCGTGGCAAGGTTGTCCTTGCGCCTATGGTCCGCTCTGGAGAGCTGCCTTCGCGACTGCTCGCACTCAAGTATGGAGCAGACCTCGTCTGGGGCAAGTAGCACAATTCCGCCCTTGATAGATTGCCATATGCTAACTCGCAATGCTTGGCTATAGGCCCAGAAACTGTCGATCACTCTATGATTGGAACCACTCGTCGATTCAACGAGGACTCGAAGACTATTGAATGGTTCCGTGCCTCTTCTCAAGGACACAAAGAGCCACTTGCCGATGCCAAGGAGAGCATCATCTACAGAATGCTCCCTGAGGTTGAGAAGGATAAGTTGATCTTCCAAATTGGCACTTCGGATCCGGATCGGGCGGTGCAAGCTGCAAGACTGGTCGCTGCCGATGTTGCTGGAATCGACGTCAATGCCGGATGTCCCAAGCCCTTCAGCACCCACGGAGGCATGGGGGCGGCTCTCCTCAAAACCCCCGACAAGTTGTGCGCCATCCTCGAAGCCCTGGTAAAGACCATCACTCCCGAGTTTGAGATCGGCATCAGCGTCAAGATCAGATTGTTGGACACGGCTGCCGAGACCGAGACCCTCGTGAGACGCCTTTGCGCTACGGGCATCACTGGTCTGACTATCCACTGCCGAACCACGCCCATGCGACCCAGAGAGGCGGCGATCCGAGGGCAGTTGCGCATGATCACAGAGGTGTGCCATGAGTATGGTGTCGCGTGCCTCATGAACGGAGACGTCGAGAACCGGGACCAAGCCATGAAACTCGCAGAGGAGTTCGGTGCGGATGGTGCCATGATTGCTACCTCGGCTGAGAAGAATCCCAGCTGTTTCAGGAGCAAGGCGGATGGCGGATTTGCCCCATGGCGAGAAATTGCCGACGAATATGTCAAGGCGGCACTGGACGTCGAAAACCGATACGGCAACACCAAATTCCTTCTGGCCCAGTTAGTCCCCGGAAAGGAGAAGCTCTACCAGCCAGTCAACCAGTGCAAGAGCTATGCCAGCACCTGCCAGACTCTTGGCTTGGATAAATACCTGGAGCAGGCTCGTGAGGTCGACTCCAAGCTGGGCCTAGACCGACCCCTCCAAGGAAAAGCAGCCAAGAAGGCGGCTAATAAGCAGGCAAGGGCCAACGCGAGTGCTCTGGCGGCGGGTGGTCAGATGGCCAAGTCTAGGGATAACACACAGAAGAAGAAGAAGAAGGCCTTGTCTGATCGGGCGCTTAATACCCAGGCCGAAAAATCCGAGCCGGTCCCCGTTGCGTTGACGGGCTGAAGTGGTAGTCAGGTTTGAAAGGAAAGCGTTGTTTGGACGGACCATTTTGATGCGGTCGTCCATATCGCATTAGTGGAGTTTGAGACCCTGGAAAGGGTGAATAGAAGACAAGCATTTGCTGTCTGTAGACACAGCATATCACATCACTCTGATATATGGGGGATGGCAAACAATCGATCAATCAGTCAAATCAGCGCGTCTTTCTCTTCTCAAACCTAGATCTAGATGACTCGGGTCGACAACTCGCACTGGGAGGTCCCGTTGTGATACAAATGAACATGTTCCGAATTCTCTATGTGATGGTACAACTTGGCTTTTCATACCTCTCTCTATTTGCCCTTGTGGACCCAGCCCTCGACGGTCTCTCGTGCATCCGTCACCTTCTCGTCGACGTATCGTGCTCCCAGCGCGGTATGCACCTTGGCGAAGCTAACACTCTTCAGAATGCTCTCACGAAACCTAATGTGCGACTCGGCGATGACAGGGAACCGCTGCTCGTACGTCCAGGTCAGGTCGGAGACGTTGCGCATGGTGATGGGAATAACGGCCCAGCCGGCGCCGATACCAAGGGCGAGCGGCAGGGTGGCGCGCAGGACGATGCTGCGGTTCCGGGTGATGATGCTGCCGGCCATGGCAGCGACGAGGACGTAGATGGCGCCGGGCATGAGCTGCTCGCCGCTCTCTCGGGATGGGGCCAGGGAGGCGATGGTGCTGGTGAAGGACTGCTCGAGGTTGAAGGCAGAGTCCATGGTCTGGTTGACCTTGTTCTCGGCGGCCACGGCGTACTGGTAAACGACCATGCGCACCTTTCCAATCTCGACGGCTAGCCGGTCGGTGGGCGAAGGGCCCTTGGGCCTCTGCTCATGCTCGGCGGGTTCGGTGGGCTGATGGGCGGCGGGAGGAGGAGTCGCGGGTGCGGGATTTGAGGAGGGAACGTCGAGGTCGTCGTAGATGGGCTTGCGCTGCGAGGTGTTAGAATGATGGACGCCTCTCGTGGGCCTCGCCAGCAGAGGGGCAGCGTACCTTGAAGCCGTTGCTGGGACCTTCAGCGAAGACGGTAGCCGGAGTCAGCGCCATGCCACCGAGGGCAAGCGTCGCCAACGGCGCGAGGGAGCGCTGCAGAGGTCAATTAGCATCAACAAGCTAAGCAACAGCTCGAGGGAGAATGCTTACCCGTGAAAGCAGCACTCTTGCAGCCATTGTGCGCTCAATTGACTGGTACAAGGGGAGGACGTCACGCGGGATCGAGGTGGACGGACGTTGCTAGATGGAATCATCGCCAAAATGGAGTCCACGGGCCACGGAAAAACGAAGGCGGAGAATCCCGACCCGTTCCGTTCGGCCACTGGACCGCCGCCTGGCTTTCGGCAAGTGAGCGCTGGCCCGCTGGGTGACAGTGGCCAGCAGCAGTGGAGCCCCCCAGCGATTAGCCGGCACAAGGCAGGGGAGGCAGGGGCTCCCTATGGCCGCAAAACTCCGACTACGCAGTTACAGGGAGGGCAGGGCCAACAAGTATCCGCCAACAGGATGGATTTCGACGTTATCCATTCTTCATTCTGCAATCTTCATTCTCCATTCTTCATTCTCCATTCCTCGTGATCCAGTTCATTTTACCTTCCTTCCCAGCTGTCCCCCTTACAACTCGCGTATACTCCCGGTTGCTTTTCCTCTTCGCCGCATGCCCACACTTATCCCAGTGAGACAACCATGCTGAACTCGAATTGCCGCCGTGTCTGGATCTGCACTCAATGTGTACGACACGCGACTAAGCCTCTGCAGCGACGATGGCAATCCGCCGCTTCCGCCGCCGCCCAGGCCAGCTCAGGGAGCTCTCCAGTTGACCACGCCGCCAGCGTCAATCATGACGACTCGGTTCTACGCAACCTCTTCGACTCCCCGTCCGGGAGGCCCTTTCCCAAGTTCAGTCTGAAGAAGGGACAGGGCCTTTTCAAGAACCGATACTTGACGAGCCCGGAAGGCTTCCTTCGCTTTGCGCAGAAGAACCTCCAGCTAGCCACCAAGATCGTTCACAGAGTCCTCAATGCTTCGACCGTTCACGAGTATCAAGCAATTGTTCGGGATCTCGACCGACTTAGCGACTTGCTATGCCGCGTCCTGGATCTTTCCGACTTCGTGCGCATGACACATCCCGACGCTCGCTTTCAGGAAGCCGCCACCGATGCCTGGTCCATGGTGTATCAGTACATGAACCAACTCAATACCATGACCGGTTTGAGCGATCAGCTTGGAATAGCCATATCCAACCCTGAGGTTACCAAGGTGTGGTCCGAGGAGGAGAAGTCGGTCGCCGAGTTGCTGAAGTTGGACTTTATGAAATCAGCCGTCAATCTCCCCAAAGCTGCACGAGATAGATTCGTCGACCTGTCATCGCGCATTAGTGATATTGGCTCCGCATTCGTCCAAAGAATGCAGCCAGAGAAGAAGAAAATCACACTCCCTTCCCATCGCTTCTACGGCTTATATCCTAACTTGGCCGCGGCTCTGAAGGTTCGGTCGCAAATCAGCCTCCCCACCGTCGGGTCTGAGGCAGCTGCAGCCTTGCAGAGCGTTTACGATGAGGATACCAGGAAGGAGATTTACGTTGCCCAAAGAACCGCATCTCGGGAGACCATCACGTACCTAGAGGCAATGCTCAAGCTAAGAGGTGAGCTGGCTGAGCTGGCAGGTTTCGAGAGCTATGGCCACATGGCCCTGAAGGACCGAATGATGGCCAAGTCGCCTGCCTCGGTCATGGAGTTTCTCCTCGCATTAAGGAACCATAATGCGCCTACCATCCAGCGGGAACTGAATGAGCTGATCGAGAAGAAGCGTGAGCGCTTGAGCATCCCAGACACGCATCTTCAGGCCTGGGATAGAGACTTTTACATGGAGAAGATCAGGGCAGACATGAGGTCTCGACAGCGTCAGGAAGACCAGCTTGCAGCATTCTTCTCTGTAGGAACCGTAATGCAGGGTCTGTCTAGGTTGTTCAGCCGACTATACGGTATCCGTTTCGTCCCACGGGAGACTCTCCCCGGCGAGACATGGCACCCCGACGTCAAGCGACTCGATGTCATATCTGATGATGGCGAGCAGGTCGCAGTCCTCTACTGTGATCTATTTTATCGGCCGCAGAAGTCTCCAAACCCAGCCCACTTTACCGTGCGCTGCTCTCGTGAGATTCTCCAGAGTGAAATCGACGAGGTCGCCGCCGATCAGACCGGCGATATGCCAAGCTTCGAGACAGCCGAGCTGGCTGCCAATGACGGCATGGAGATATCGACTCGGAACGGAAAGCTCAAGCAGCTTCCTACAATTGCCCTTGTCTGTGACTTCCCCAAGAGCGACAATACAAAGGAGCCAGCCTTCCTGTCGTTCTACTCGGTCGAGACCCTCTTCCACGAGATGGGCCACGCTATCCACTCCATCTTGGCTCGGACCAACTTCCAGAACGTATCTGGCACCCGGTGCGCCACCGACTTTGCTGAGCTGCCCTCAACCCTCATGGAACACTTCGCCGCCGACCCTACAGTCCTCTCTCTCTTCGCCCGCCACTGGAAGTCGGATCGTCCTCTCCCTTACGACCTCGTTGCTGAGCGTATCCGCCTATCAAAGCGATTCGAGGGCATCGACACCGAGCACCAGATCCTCCTCGCTATGGTTGACCAGGCCTACCACGCATCGGCCGTTACCAACCCGGGCTTCAATTCTACGGACATCTTCCACGATATCCAGTCCCGCTTCGCACACGGACCCAAAGATCCGCCAGGTACCTGTTGGCAGGGCTTCTTCGGCCACTTGCACAGCTACGGCAGCACATATTACAGCTACCTCTTCGACCGCGTTCTGGCCGAGCGCGTCTGGCGCGTTGTCTTCAAGGCTGGCGAGGGCGGCGCCGCCATTAGCCGCGAGAACGGAGAGCGCCTGAAGGAAAACCTCCTCAAATGGGGTGGTGGCCGGGATCCCTGGACTTGTCTCTCGGATACACTCCAAGACCATAGGCTAGCACCTGGCGATGAGAAGTCCATGGCATTGGTAGGCAGCTGGGGTATCAAGGATGATCTGCACTACAATAAAAAACAATAGATAGATACATAGGCCCAAGCCGTGCATAAATGATAAACAGGAGACAATATTCAATGAACCCTAGAGCATTGCCCTTAGAAACGCCTTTATGCACCAAGAGGTTAGGGTGCCCTACTACACACATACCCAGAGGGGGGACTAGAAGCTCAACAGTAAAAAAAAACACCAACAATAGTATCAACAATACAGACCATATACCCAGTCCATTCAAAGGTCAACAGTATACTCAGGCAGACTAAGGTTTCTAGTTTAACTGGTTACCTTTCCCAATACCCCAATGAGCTGCAGGTAAGGCAGAGCTTTTATATTTATCATGATTTTGCCTTTTTCAACATGTAACTGTTACTGCAGCTTATTGAGATATTGCAAAAGGTAACCAGTTAAACTAGAAACCTTAGTCTGCCTGAGTATACTGTTGACCTTTGAATGGACTGGGTATATGGTCTGTATTGTTGATACTATTGTTGGTTTTTTTTCAAGGCACCCTACACTCTTGATACCCAGTCCATTCAAAGGTCAACAGTTTACTCAGGCAGACTAAGGTTCTAGTCCAACTGGTTAGTCCTTATGCATATGTTCTTCATTAAGGACTATATACTTGGTGCATTATCCGTCAACACATTACCGCCGAGACGCCTCGAGCGCCCAAGGTCCGGGATGAGGACAAAGCAAGAAAGAAGATCAAACCCTCCGAGCGGCAATGGTTCCCGCAAACGTATGCAAAATAGCTAAAAATGACTTGCGCAAAACAGTGAGATGGATACGCTAAGTGGCCAACAAGGAAAAGCCATAGGCTGTTGCAGAAAAGATGAGGAAAGGAGAATCCACTGAAGACGACGCAATAGCCCGGCACGGAATTCATGAATCTTGACTTAAGAGGTATCGTACATAGGGTGTTATCGCCCCTAAGAAGGTGAATGGGGGGGAAGTAGATGGCTAAAAGTAGATGTGCTGTGGGAGCGAGTCATAATCGTAGAAAATAAAAGATGAATCTGGATTGATGGCACGTCAAATGGCGTGTGGTGGAAGCTGCGAGGCCGGGGATTTTTTCGCATGGGTGAGTTGTGACAAGGAGAGTGTCCTCGCCGACTTCTTCTTGGCCTGGTCCTCCTCTTCTAAATCCTCCCCAAAGGCACCGAAGCTGTAGCCTTCCTCGCGGGGAGTCTCGTACGTCTCGGAGTACTCGCTCTCGTCACCGTGGCCCGTACCAATACCCGAATCCTCGGGATCAATAGACCGAGCATGTCTCTCTATCGCCATTCTCATTTCGATTTCGTCATCGTCATGGTCAAACGCCGATCTGTCCCCAAACGACTTGGCGGTCGGAGGTGGGTCATATCGGGTGTCTCTTCGAGAGGCAGATGATTTGGCCAAGACACTGACTTGGTAACCAAGACTTTTAACCTGCGACTCGAGGGCTTCCCGGGCCGAGCGTTCTGTGCGAACCAAAGCCAAGAGTGTGGCGTAGTGATCCGTGGTGAAAGGCCCGCCTGCATCCTTCGAAAGGGTAGGAAGGCTGCTTACTCCACGAATGGTCGCTGTAGACGTGGGTCGATCTGAAGTTTCGAGGGCCGATAGAGTATTTGAGTCGCGAAATGTGCCGAGGAGGCCAGGAGCCTCGTCGAACGACCCACCGGAGACGTTTCGCTTTTGTCCTCCTGAATGAAGGGAGTCCCTTGTGCCGTTTATTCTCGCCTGGCCCGTTGGTGAGGTCAGAGGCCTAGTTATCTTGTATTCGAAGGGTGTTTCATCCACTGGGACTTGAGGGGTTGGTCGATATGGAGGGTCAACCTGGGGCCGAAAATTCGGGACATCGTGGCAAACTTGGTTGAGAACCTGCTCAAGCTGATACACTCTAGCCTCTAGATTGCAAACGCGGGTTTCTAAATTTGCGGCGTGTGTGATTTTCATCCCCCCATTCCCGCTCATGTTGGGCAAGGTGTCGAAGTGAAACGGTTCTGGGGGGGTCTGAGGCGGGTCCTTGTTGGTTGTCTCAGTGCCAACAGTCGCGATTTCTTCGCCCTCCGGGACATTGGATGATACCGGAGACATGAAAGCCGGGTCATAGCTCTCTCTCCAGTAGCGGATCTCATCGCTGCGCCGTCGAGCTTTACCCTGGTCCTCTTCAACCTCTGGTAAGCCCGAAAGGCTTCGTGATCGGCGTCGAGAGCCTGTGAAGTCGCTCGTGATTGCACGTCCAATCTCTGCGGGATCATCTTCATGTTGAGCCACCCTACTGTCTCGACCTTGGCTGCTGGCAGGTCGCGGCGAGAGACCGGTGAGGTCAGTTTCTTTGGACCTGCGCGGACCTGTTTGTCTTTGAGATAGGCCGAAATCGGCGCTAAGTGAGTTGCGCGCACTCTCAATGGCACGAACATCTTCGGGGCGGACGGAATGAGATCGCAATGCTCGGTCAAACTCGGTGATGGGGAGGGAGGCAGAGCGCTTGGATTCGGCACCAGGGAATGGGCGGTTCCGAGCCCTTGATGAATCCAGTCTATCCACGGGTCCCGAATCAGTCTGATGAGGAGCCTTGCCCGTCAGGCTACGGTGATGGTTTGGTCGCGTGGTTGATGCCGAGGCGACGTCCGAATCTGTGTTGTTAGGGCTATCGTTTGCATTGGCCTTTCTCTTGCGACCCAGAAGCTTTCCAAGAGCACCACGCAGCTTCGACTGCTTTCGGTGCGGGCGGTCCTTGTCTTTTATCTGAACCGTATCGGCACTGACAATGGAACGTCTGACCAGATGAGAAGTATTTGTTCTCTGCACGGGCGGTGCTCGCATTGTCGTCACGGGCGAGGGCATAGGCTGCGATGTACCCAGATCGAGACTGTCGGGTTGTACAACATCATTGAGTGGGCTTGGGGCAACGGGAGGAGCCGCTTGTTGCTGATTTCGGCCTGACCAGGCAGGCTCGGGTTGTATGTCGTTGAACTCGGCGCGGACAGGCGTCGCGATGTTCGAGCCAGGGTTACGTATGGGAAACTCGTCGTCCATGGAACTCAAGATCGGAACGGGACCAGAAATTCGACCACGGATCGGGTGCGGGCCAGTCCGGGGCCCAGCACTACCGCCCGCGTTGGGAGGTGACTTCCACGGCTTCTTCATCGAGAGAACTAAGTCGAAAGTTAAGGGGAATTAATTGGGCGGTTGAGCGGCGATGAAGCAGGTCCAGCGAGCGGAGGAGAAGAGAAGAGGTGGGGGGGGGAGGTGGACGTTATGGAGGACGGCAGCGGGCCTCAACACATGTCGAGATGAAGGAATGACCAAAGGGGAAGCTCTCTATGCGTGCGCTCATCTACACCGGGCAGCCAGGCCTATCATTGTGCATATGACGAGTAAAGCCACAAGTCGACAGGACTTGGGAGCGTCGCCTAAGGAGCGACGGGGACGGGGATGGAGTCGACAGGACGAAGCTTGGGACAAGGAAACGAGTGTGGGGGAAGAGGGAGAGGCAGGTTTATGGCATTGCGATAGGTTCGCCCTTGCCGTGCAGAGCGCAGGAAAGGGCAGGAAAGGGCAATGAGAAGTAAGACAAGACAGGAAGAGGAGGCTTGAAACAAGAACGGGCTTAGAGCGGTCCGAGTGGATGGTGGGAGGTGGGTGGTCAGGACCTATTAATGCCCGGTCAGCAGGGTGTACATGATACGGTTGGCGAACCTGCGCTTGCAGGACCAGGCTGTAGGAGGGCATGTTCAATGCCACGTCGGATGACAAGGGACGACAAGGAATGACAAGGGGACGACAAAAGGGGGCATGGAGGGCGACCGGGGGTGGCAGGAAGGCGGGGATCAACCAGCATCCAGAAGCAGCTCGGGTTACTTTGCATCAGAAGCAGCAGCGGCAGCAGCACCAGCGGTGAACCGGCTATCAACCCTCAACGGCCGAGGGACAGCCTCCGAGGGACAGCCTGTTCACGACGCAGACGGCCGTGGGGCGCGTTGTGGAGCAGCATTCCAAGGCCTCGACGCGTTGGGCGCCCAGGCTCACTGCGGTGATGCCCTCGAAAACAGGTCGGCCTGGCACGAGGCTACGGACGGTTTGCCATGTGTTCGACGTGGGCTTGGACCCAGTCGCGGACGGGAGACCATCGGAGTTGGGACGCGACCAGGGTTGCTCGAATCCGGTGTTAGGCTGGCTGGGCTGGCTGGGCGGGCCGATGGCGTGTCGTCTCATCGACAGAAGAGGCAAAGCATTCAACAGACGCCGTAGTTGATCCAAGGGCCCTGACCACATCCGTCCATCCAAAGCTCTGCTGGGGCTAGGGTCCGCGTGAGATCTTGGAGCTTGGAGCTTTGTCATTGACTGCAGCGGCGGCCGGCTGGTAGGGATATGGCCCGGACCACAGCGCCACAGCCCAGGAGGTAGGTAGGTACATACCTAGGGACATACCTAGGTAGTAGAACGGGTTGAATAAGTTGCGGTGGTCCAGTACCTTGGTATCCAGTCTCCCTTGTGGCTCACCAACTCGATGCAGGGTGCAGCCAAACTGGGGCTTCTCGATGGCTTCGCCAGCACACTATGTCCAGAGAGGAGATAGTGCGAGGTTTTGGAAGAGTGACGGTTTACGGTGCGGCGAAGAAGCAGCAGGGCTCCCTGCTCCTGCCTCCCTGTTCCCTGGTGCCAAATCACGGCACTCTAGGCGCGCCCGAGTTGGTGGTGGCTGCGTTGAGGGAGTCTAAGGAGTCTTGCTTTCCGGTGAGCACGGCAAGGGCGCGGCAGGAGTACGGCTCGTGTCGCACCTGCCTGACCTATGTCTGGTCTCTGTCTCCGGCCTGTCTTATTACACCTTTCTGTGTTTCCGCGCCACGTGAGTGATGGCGTAGGCACGTCTGAAATCATTCATCAGGTCTCATCTTGCTCAAAGTAGGTGCAAGGGATGCACCTGCCTTAGCTCCCAACTCACCTGCCTGCCCCGTATGAGATCTGATCCAGATGCTTACCTAGGTAGGTAGGCGCTCCGGAGCCCACAGACAGCTGCTGCCTCAGAGCACCACAGGCGCTATGAGTCCGTGGTGAGACATGGGACTCGGCCAACAACCTCCCAACTGACAACTCGAGCTACAGCAGCTCCACGATACATACGACGCGTTTCCATCGCGAGTATCATCTTCCTCCGAGATCGCGAGATGGCGAGGCCTCGAAGCCCCTCAACCTCCAGCCGTCCCCAACCAATTGTCTCCAGCATCTGCAGCAAGCTCCGCGCTGCAACCACATGCGACAGCGTTCCAAGTCTAGCCTCGCCAAGCCCTAGCCATCGTTGGCTCCAGGCCCTCGAAATTCCCGACTGGGTTTCCTCAAAGTGACTTGCATCGCGTCAGTGGCGCCGCAAAAAGCAACCAACACTCCAGTTCCGCTTCGTGTGTGGACTCGGCCAGCAGACTCCCTGGCTCTCACTCATGATGCGGCGGGTCTCAGAACACTACAGAACGCGATTCCGCTTTCATCTGAAGCAACTACCGCGTTCCCGACTTTATTTCTTTTTGCCCTGAGCTTTATCATTCCGGATCCAATCCCTGCCGGTAGGCTCCAATGCATCAAATCGGTAGGCTCTGCACCAAGCAGCATGTAGCTACGGTGTGACAGCTCATCACCAAGCGCATCACATACGTCGTCCCAATTGGCCTCAACAGCGATCTTCAACACGGCCAACTCAGCAAAGATTACTGACAGCCTGATATATGTCGTATAGAGCTCCTTATTATTGCTGGCGGCGCCCGTTAGAGCGAATCCTATCCGCCACTGGCCAGGCATATCAAAGTATCTCTCCACAACGTAAGTTACGCACTGACACTAACCTCCTCAACTTGGACTCGCCCGTGCGTGGTTTGATTTACTGCAGCGTCAACAGATCTTCCAGCTCATGGCCTGGTGCGCAATAGATATTAGTGGCTAATTATACTAATAAGCGCTATGCTGTGCAGATGGGACAGTAAGCTGCTTAGCTCCGGCGACTCGCCAAATGCATGCCACGTACTTAACTCAAGGTCAGGGGTCCCTGAAACCGACACAACGGCGTCGTCCAGTCCTGCAAAGATGACGGCGCCACCGGCAACCAACTTGGCGAACAGCAAATGCCAAATTTTGCCGGGGTTCTCGGTGAGCCAATTCTTCGTCGCTTTCATATCTGTCTCCTCTCATGCGTACTTGATGGAGCCGAGGTGGCTGGGACGCATGCATCCACACTTCATCTTTCCAGGACAACCCGGACATGGAGAGGCCACGGCCGATCCATCAATTCTCTGACTTTACCAGTTTAGGAGCGATGGTCTAATATGTCTCAACGCCTTCGCGTCATTCATGCACGGCTGAGCCTCTGGAATGCCTCGGGTCGACGAATTCGGATTGGTCACCACCTCTGTGTCTCACTACAATCTCATTCTTGGGGTGCGTCATCTCAACGGGCAATTTTGATGAAGCCTGCTTGACAAGACTCCAAGGTTTTCATCCTTTCCTGGGGACGAAACCGTTGAAAATAGCGTCCGAACCGGGACAGGGATACCAAACCCCCACGACTGGTCCCGCAATGGATGACCTGAAACAAATGCAGGGATGGTGAGCACGACTTTTTTGAGCAACTAAACGCCCACAACTCTCCCAGAATCATCGGCGACACGAACCAGAGGAGAAACCACACTTTCGGGGGCTTACAGGACACCGGTAGACCGTTTCCTAAAAAGGAAGTGTGTCTTTGTCTCCAGGGGTCTCCTTGACTCCACCCTCCATGATCATCAACCTCAAGCACCAGTGCCTTTACTCGACTATCTACGGGAGCGAGATCCAAGCAAACGGACAGCTTCTTATTGTTTAGTTTCCAATAATAGCAAGGGCCTCGGGCTATAAGTCGATCAATATGGCCCAGACATATGTCGCGCTAATGCGGTCCTCAGTTGGGAGTAAGGCGTCGCGAATAGAAGCGACCTGCCGTGTACGAATGACCTCAAGCGAGGCTCTCATCCTTCCTGCGTCACCGTCGACAGGTCTGGATATCGCAGGTCGGCATTGTCCTCGAGGAACTGCATCCACTTCTTCAAGAAACTACTCCCTCTGTGATACAAGCGCATCAGTAAGACTCCGTCATAAGGTGGGGATAGAACCCTCCCGGAGACTCTCGTTGAGCTAAAACTGCAGCTGGGAGGCTCAGCATGAAAGGGGTACATCGTTCTCACCTTTGAACCGTCTCCGAATCTCCAATTATCGTCAAAGAACGCTTCGGGCGCGTCATTGCCACTAGGAATCCTCGCATTAGCTTCGAGACCATCCTCGAACGATGTTTCCTCCGAAAACAGACAGCAAAAAACGGGGCTGGCGAAGGGATCATGCTCTCACCATTAAGTCGGCGCTTCTCACCCAGGAAGCCCACTTCCCCTTCCGGATTGCTTCGCACGAGACTCACGATTACAGCCTCCTTCTCGCGACCCTGGAAGCCGTCGACACTGCCTAGTTCAATGCCGGGAAACTGTTCCTTGAGGGGAGCGAGAACGGCAAGCTAGATGATTGGGGATAAGTCAAAATTGTTGTTCTGCAAGACATGGATCCCCCAGCCTGAAGAACATACCTGGGCGTTATATGGGGTCACAACGGCAATGTCTTCGGGTCGCACCCCGGCTTCAACCAGTTGTTTTACGTGCTGCCTGACCAGCGCGGCCTCCATTTCATTGCTTTTGCTCTCTCCGTGTAAACTTCCCCTTCCTTTCTTTGGATTGTCTCTGTCATCTTCCTCATTTCTCTCCGGGAAATCGCCACCCTGAGTATCAATGAAGATGAGAGGCTCACTGGTGTCTTCGGTATCCTCGACCTCGTAGTCCAATTCCTTGAGGAGTCGCTGTTTCACTGCATCTGCCGCAACCAACTTCGACTCGTACAATTCGTCGGATGGAAAACGCATAATGTTCTCATGCATCCGGTACTGGGTAGTCAGCATCCGCTTTATTGAGGGTCCATGCAGAGCCAGGAGTCGGTCGAAGAGTGTGGTTTCGAGCGTCGCGCCCTTTATGGGTTTCACGTCCTCTTTTAATGTCAGCTTGACCTTGGAGTTTGCAGACTTGATGGTAGGGGGGAGTTGCAGATGGTCGCCAGCGCAGACGACCTTCTTAGCTGAGAGTAACGGCACCCAGCACTGAGCCTCGAGAGCCTGACTCGCCTCGTCGATGATGACGACGTCGAAGTCCTCGTTGCGCAGCTGGTAGCCACCGGCACCATGAAGAGTCGCAAGAACAACCTTGCTCCCGCCGACAAGGTTACTAACACACCGCCTCTCACGCTCGCGATACTCTTTCCGCAGCTCTTTCAAGTCTGCATAGATAGCTTTGCGCTCCTTGCCACTCTTGGTCTTCTTGATGGAAGCCTGCTTGGCGTCCATCTCGGTCCGCACATCCTTGACGATAGCTCCGGCCTCGGATGTGTGAGTGAGGGCGTCCAGCGAGTGGTTGACTACCGAAGGTAGAAGGCGGGCGGGATGTCCGAGCCGGAGGATAGGTAGCTTGTGTGGCGAGAGACGCTCGACAATGTTGTCCACAGAGATGTTTGAAGGGCCACAGACTAGTACCCTCTGGTTTCGCTTGATCATCTGCAGAATCAGCTCAATGAGCGTGTGCGTCTTGCCAGTCTAGCGGAGTATTAGCAGAATATTTGACAAACATACATTTTTCAACGTTGAGCTCGACTTACCCCCGGAGGGCCATGAATCAAGGCCACTTCGCGAGAGCTCAATGCAAACCGAATGGCATCTTTCTGAGAATCATTGAGGGTTGGATCAACCCATTCAAGGTTTCCCACGTCAGCATCGGTGGCCAGGTCTCGGGGGACTGGCGATGGACTGGACAGTCCAAAGAGAACTCTTATGAAGCTGGAGTACTCGGCCTCGACCATCTTCTGCAGCTTCTCCATTGTCCAGTTCATCCTTCAAAGGAACTATATCAGCACGTTGCGTAGCCAAATATAGCGAGTGTCTCTCATACCGTCGATACGTGACCTCATCCGCCAACTTGACCGCCCACACCCTCCCCGAAAACGCAACCTCCTCCTTGCCCTCATCCAGCGCAACGCCCACATACGTCCTCTGCACTCTGGTCACAACGCCTCGGGCGCCCTTGCGCTCCAGCTCCTTGACCTCGCGCTTCTTGGCGCTCCCGGCGGGCTGCTCTGCCACCAGGACGATGTCGCCGGTCCGGAGGCCGTGCTCCGGGAGCTCGTCGTTGCCGGAGCGGGACGTGGCGGCGTCCGGCCCGAGCTCCACCACGGAGCGGCCGCCGAATCCTGTGCGCTGAGCGGAGACTACGAGGTTGGTCAGGGCCAGGCCGGCGCGTTGCAGGCCCGTCGGGCTGTGGTTGGCAATGAGGCTGCTCGTCTCGAGGATCTCGCTCTGCAGCTCCTGGTCCAGCAGGGCGAGCTGTGTGCTGGCGAAAGCGGGAATATCAACGGGGTCTTTGGGGGCCATGGCTGCAAGGCTAAAGAGGGAAATGCAAAATGGCGAGGGGTGGAGAGATGGAGAATGGAGAGTGGGTGGGCGGGTGAGTATGTGAGTAAGAGGAGGGAGGCATGAAGTGGGATGTCGTTGGAGGTGAACCCCACCACAGCCAAAACATCTCCGCCTGAATCGTCACAAGTCACCATCAACAACACCAATAAATTAGGACATATCCCAGTCACCGGGTATTCAAACAACCATTTAGTACCGCTATTGCAGCTTAGAACAGTCCATTTAAATCATGCCGTAGGAATTAGTTCCAGCCATACGCACAACCGCCCTGGTATCAAAGTCATGACGCATGCCCCGCTCAAAAGCTCCTCCAACATATGCATCGAACATCTAAATCATTCCACAATACCGTCCCGGACCAAAACATCGCTCCCAGAATCCTAAACCCATGCCATATATAATGATGCTCACGAAGTATGTCACAGAAAATGAATACAGGGCACGCCTACTACGTCGGGGACGGATGTATAACAATTACCACCACCAATGAGGCAACCATGATGGCAAACGCCACAAAGGCAACAATAGTCACAGTCCCACGACTGGCCGGGAACTTGCCCTGCATGACCCAGTGTTGGGCTTGGAAATAGCGCCTATAGCCGAGGAACAGAATCAGGATACTGATGCCGAGGAACGTAGCTCCCAGAGGCTTGCCCATATGTCGCAGCGTTTCTGTGTTCTTATTTGGTTTACCCTCGCTAAGGGATGTGTTGAGGCGAAACAGTTGCGTGACAGCGATACCGATAGAGGCAAAAGCGAGGGAAGTTCGGAGCCACGCAAGGAATGTCCGTTCTACAACGCACATGGGGTGTTAGTAAGTTGATGGCAAGTTCCGGTGGAATAATAGCATACCAATGGCGAGGTGATCCCGCGCCACGCTGCCCTTATTCTCCAGCTCAATGGACTGGAAATTCTGCAGCTGGGCTTTCCACCACGGCTGGCATTTCTCCTCAGGCTTAGCCTGGCGGGTGTATTCCATATCAGGGAGGGAGGTGGGTGGGAAGGCGTCGGAGTGCCTGGAGACGGGCTGTGAGCGGCGGGAGCCCCGGGAGGAGCTCTTGCGGACGCGAGGCCCAGAGCCGTTGGTGTTTGTGGTATGGATGGCCTGGTAGTTGAGGTCGGAGCCTCGGGACATGATGCCCGTCATCTCGTCGGCGCTGCTGTCTTCGGGGATGGGGAGGCGAGCCGAGTTCGCAGACGGGTGCTGGTTGACGGGGCTTCCGGGAGCCCGGGGAGACTTGGGAGGTGCGGCGCCGGAGCCCATTGTTTCGGCGCGTTCACGAGCGTTCTGCCAATTGACAAAGATTGTTAGCATTATATCTTCCTATGTGCGTTCTTCGAGTCCATATCTGTGCAAGTGCAATGTCTTGGGGCCCCAAGAACCGAGGTGCGAGTTAGGGAAATCGACGAGGCGGGAAGTAAGTGAGCACACCAGCTAACCCAAGCTGGGAGAGCTGATGATACAAAAGCAAGCCACCAAGAAGCCGCCGCAGGTCGTCCGAGACAATTGGGACAAGGATAGAAGTGCAAGCCTACCTCGAGGATCTCGTTGATGCGCTCAGTGGTCGGTGAACGGTGAAAGCTGATGGAAGACGAGGTCCTGCCCAAGAGCGAGCCACCCGTAGATGATCGCGTCAAGGCGGGGACGACGGGATCCGGTGGCTTGGGAGCCTCATCCTCGGCCATTGATGTCGTTCCCGATTGCGGGACCGGGGGCGTTGCGATGGCGAGAGCTTTTTCCCAATCGCGCACGCGAAGCTGGGATGGCGTCTTTGCAGCGTCTGTTATCGTTGGTGGAAGCAAGATACGGAGAGCACAAGCCGATGCAGGGCTCCTCTATGCAGGATGGGTTTGCAGGAAGGGCCGGGGGGGTGGTTAGTGGCAGATTGTGCGCCATCTGTCATTCGTAGGGACCAACCGAGGCTGTTGAGAGCGCTACGGGCGCTATAAGCCGACTGGGCAAGGCCGCTATATCGTACCAGGACGGGCAGTTTTCTTTTAGGTTTTCAGGGTAGCACTGCATGGGGGGGGGGGGGGGTTGACTGCTATTGGCCTTCAGTGGCCCTCACTGGCCATAAGCCCCTACGGTGGACCACTGCCAAGGCCCCGATCTCTGGGGATGGTGTTGAGCAGTGAGAAGTAGTGAGAGCAGTACAGATGGCACCAGAAGGAAGCGCGAGCACGTCAACCACTACAGCCGTCTGGGATTGGTTTATACGTCAAGCGGCTCGATAACGGCTCGATAACGGCTCTGGTTGTTATCTTACACATTGTTTCGTTTTTCCTCACCCTCAACTCCAGTACCACAGCTTCATCATCGCCTCCATCGCCTCCATCCCGAGTCCCCTCGACTCAATGCAGCTCTGCGCATCCCCAGGCCCCCAGTTCATCATCTGACACAGGAGCAACATCACACGACCCGGACCAATGGGCCCATGTGCTCACCCAGCCTCTTGATGCACCAGTCATACGCCAGTCTTAACACGGGCTACATGCTTCACGCTGCAGTTCCGAGCCTAGCCGCGGTACCCTAATAATAATAATTCATAGTGTACATCTCTCGTCGGCCGCTCGCTGAGAAGCAAGTTCACGCCAGAGATAACTCTGCGCGGAATCTGTACAATCGGATCTTCATTGATGTCTCGGAGAGAGGCACGGCCTACTACGTCATGCGGTCCACAGTATATCTTTCATCTTCACCGCGCAAAACGCCAATCAGACAGCGCCCCATAAAAGAGGATTGCTATTCGTACACACATGTAACTCCATCCTCAATCCTGCTAATAATCATATCTTATCCTTCAAAGACTACTTCTTAGTGTTTATCTACTAAAATCTTTTTATTACATGATATTGATTTTTATCAAGTGTATTTTATTGACAAATATGAGCCTGAAGTATCGGAATTCGAATACGCACACTACGTCATTGGTCTCCCCTGAGCTTTAGCCAAGGGACTTGTACCGGTGTGCGAATACTGATATTCTCGTGTGTGAATACCAATACTAGTAAACCATGTGTCGTCCGCGCTGTCCATATTGTCCGTGTTGTCCGCTGTGTCCGTCCAGAATCCGGTCCCTTACCCACTACCGGCCCCGTCATCCTCTGATCCTCCGGCCTGTAACTTAAACACCGGGCCTTATTAGCGGAGATAAAGACGGTGCCCCATCGGCCACAATGTGGCGCGCGTTCAAGTGCAAGAAGCATATTCCTCTTTAGGAAAACAATCTCGGCATCTGCGCCACGAGTGCTCTTCACTAGCCACACTAGCACCCAAGTACACGGAGGTATGGCCTTACTTCCGTCATACTCCTCACTCTCCGGTCCTTGAAGGAGACTACAGCATGAAAACAGTATCAGGGTTATGGTGCCTCGTAGAAAGATTATTGCCATAAATAGGATAGGTGCAGCTCTCTTTTGTGTTTTAATAAATCTCCTCAGCAAAGCATCTTGAACATCCTCAGTCGAAAATACCGACCACATCTTTCAACCACTCCATAACACCGCCTCAACATCATGACTTATAAGATCGCCGGAAAAGAAGTCGGAGACATTGGCTTCGGTCTCCTGGGTAATTACCACGTCCCCCTCCCCCCCCCCCCCCCCCCTCATCCTCTACAACATAGCAATATAGCGTTCATTTCTAACCACGCATCCTCTCACCAGGTCTCACTGCCCGCGCTGTCCCTGATGACCAGGCGTTCGCCGCTATCCGCGCCGCTCTTGATGCGGGTTGCAACTACTTCAACGGCGGCGAGTTCTACGGTCCTCCAGACGGCAACTCGCCCGCTCTGCTGCGGCGCTATCTCGAGCGTTACCCAGAGGACGCCGCTCGCATTGTCGTCAACATCAAGGGCGGCCTCGGCCGCGACTACAAGCCCAGGGGCTCCAAGGAAGGCATCCGTGAAAGCATCGACGCGTGCCTGCAAACATTGGGCCCGAAGGGTACCATAGCCCAGTTTGAGGCGGCAAGGAAGGATCCCAATGCCAACTATGTAGAGGAGACCTTGGCTGCCATCGACGAGTATGTCAAGGCAGGCAAGATTGGCGGTATCTCTTGTAGTGAGATCAACGCCCACACGCTGCGGGAGGCGGCTTCAAAGTTCACCATCACCGCGGTTGAAGTGGAGCTATCTCTCTTCTACAATGAGCCCATGACCAACGGCCTGCTTGAAGCGTGTGCAGAGTTGAACATCCCTGTCCTCGCGTATTGTAAGTCACCAGCCCCGAGAAACAAGGACATGAACATTGCCAGAACTAATGCGCCTCGCTTCAGCTCCTCTAGGAAGAGGTCTCCTCGGTGGGAAGATCAAGTCCCACGAGGATATTCCCAAGGGCGACATGCGGTTGACGCACCCGCGCTTCCAGGGCGACAACCTGTTGAAGAACCTCGAGCTTGTAGCCAAGGTTGATGACATCGCCCAGCGGAAAGGCTGCACCTCAGGACAGGTTGCCATCAACTGGCTCCTCGCCCTGTCCTGCAAGCCAGGAATGCCCAAGATCATCCCCATCCCTGGGTCCACCAACCCGGACCGTATCCGCGAGAATGCCACCATCCTCGACTTGACCGACAAGGACATGGCCGAGATTGGTGATATCTTGGCCTCGTTCACAACAGCCGGGACGCGTTATCCTGCTCAAGCAATGGACTTACTAAATCTTTAGGCATGACCCCCGAGATTCCGTCCTCGTTGGCGCTATGTGACTGGGCCTCTTGACTTGGTCATAATTGTTAAGCACTTGTTTTATAAGAGATAGCAACCATAGTCAACCAAATCACAACTTTTGTATTGTATCATGTTCTCATCTCTCATGTCATCATATCATGCACAAAATGCCGTCTCAAATAATGCCACCACTCTCAATCTTTCACCAGACGAAGACCACATCGATCGACATGGTATAATGGCACGACGGGCCGATGCGATTCCAGCAGGTCCCCACGCCTCAGATTCGACGGCATCCAGGTAGACAAGATAAGACTGCCGAACACCCAATTCTAATCCGAGGCGTCGAATTGAGTCCGTATAGACCTTGTTCATCATCATTTCCAAATCCTCAAATGCCTGGCTTTCGAGTTGCTGTTCAAAACTACAAGACACCATGGTGTAAACAAGAGTGGCTTTCTCGGCTTTGACAATAGACCGCCATACTGTCCAACCTGAAGTCCCGACTTCGGGATCGTAGCTCAACTCCAAGCTGCCCTCGTCCACCTTGGACAGGCCCTTGTGAGCATGCCACTCCACGGCAGACTGCCGGGGCAGCTCCTCCACTTCGATCGCAAACATAGGGGGGATGCATGTCTCAGGTTCGTTTTGCTGACGGAGTGTAAGAATGGACCAGTCTGGGACCGAACGCCTTGCTTCATGCCCATCATTGCCTGCCAGTGTCTGGTACGCTGGATTGTACTTGAGATCCCAAGGGTCTGGTTCGTTCTCGTCATCTTCATCCTCGGGGGATCCATGAGCCCGTTTCCATGCGAGGCCAGCAACCTTGGCGTTACGCTCCATATCAGTCACGGATTCACTTCGAGGGAAGTATGCGACGGAACTGGTCCAGTGCTGAACCTTGAGCTCTTGTCCCACTCTCCACAAGTGTTGCAGAGCCAGGACGACCTGCAAATCGTGCGAAGTGTCAGAAGGAGTTGGGAGTAACATGCTGGCAGGAATCAGGGGAATCTGTCCCGCGATAGCGATAGACCGCACACCTGTTCCTATGGCTCGCATGTTGCCGGGCGTGTCTCCCTGCTGCAAGTTGACGGGCATGTCAATAGCTTGACTGTAGGGGCCAATGTTGGCAGGCGCCCAGTAAGATCGGGACTGTACATGCAATCCATTCCTGTCTACAGCCCTCTTAGACCAAGGGGCGGTGAGATACACAGCGATGTTAGTCCCCGCAGGAAGTAGGTCTCCGCAAGATATTGTAACCCGAGAAGGCGGGTTTGGCTTGGGAAACAGTTTCCCATACTCGCCATTTACGTTAGGAAAGTCCGACATGCGACGAAGAACGATAATGGTATTCGTGATATCAGAGGGATCAAGAGCGGCAGCAGATGCCAACTCTCTGATCTTCTCCACCACCTGGATCGTCTCCTCCTGGATCGACCTCTCACTTGAGCTGGGCTCAGCGAAAACAGACCAGTAAAGCACATCGACGTCGGCACTTGCAGACCCTGAGCTCCCACCGCTCAATAACGCCGATCGGTGTGATGATCGAAAACTCTGCATAGAGTCCTGGGTCAGGGGTCCGATCTGAAGGTCGTCCAGGATAGCTTTGAACCTCGGGTCGAGGAGATCAGGGGTCCGCACGGTCAGGTCTTGTGCAGGATCTGCCTTCTCTTCAAGCCGTGCGCCGCCCAACATCAGCCATGAGCAACCACCGCCTTCACGCACGATCTTCCGACCGTGCTCAGGTATGCTGATCCTCTTCTTAAAGAGATCCGCTGGTCCATCCACGACGAGGGTCTCGAACTCGCCACCCTCACCAAGCGCAGCCGCACCGCTGCCTGAACCAAATTTACGCAGGGCGCTCTTCACACGGCGGGCGCCATCCTCGCTCGACACACGTTCCCACAAGTGGGCTTCATCGAGACCCGCGCTGGCGACCTTGATGATCCGTGCTTCCAGGCCCGCGCCGGCCATGTCAATCAGTAGTTGGGTCTCACTTGCGGCGGCGGTGGCGGGATACGGGGGCGGTAAGACCGGATACTGCCATAGGTAGGCCAGGGGTACGAGGCCATGGCGCATGGCGATTGACTCGACGCGGGTGCGTTGGTAGGTCGAAAGGATCGCGCCGGCACACAGAGCATTGGCCTCAGGATGGCGACTCATGATGGCCCGCAGCAGGGGCAGCATGGACTCGGTCTCCTCGCTGTCCTGAGCGCCCGTCGCGTCGTAGTCCCGCTCGTGGTGGACAGCGCGGCCGCCTATGGGCAAGCGATACAGTGGCAGGTCCGTGGCGGCGGCGTACAGGGGCAGGACTTCATGGCCAACTGTCTGATACATGAAGCTGTTGAGGTCTCTCTCGGAAGGTTCCTCTTCTGGGCTTTGGCCGTGGCCGTGGCCGTGGCCGCGGGTGGCTGCCTCAGCCGCAACCCACTCCGCCGGGTCAATGATCTGAAGTCCCGGGGGAAGAGGAAACGAGGATGCAGCCTTCACGGCATGTGGCGGGTGTGACGAGCGCAGCCGCGACTCATCCTGCAGACCTGCCGGGATGCCTACCCCGGTAGCCGGAGTGACAGGCTCAGTGCCGGTCCCGGGGAAGAGGTTGGCTAGAGCGACGACGCGGTGGCCACGCTCGATGCAGTGGAGCAAGCTGTAGAAGCTGTCCTTCCCGCCTGAGATTAACGCAATAACATTGAGGCGTTCGGAGGACATGCTGCGGGCGCTGACGAGAGCAGTTGGTTGGTTGGGTGGTAGTCTGGTTGGTAGTTTGGTTGGCGAGCAGCAGGCGAGTCAATCCCGTCTAAGGTAGCTGGGGAACGAGGGGACAGGGAACCAGGAGAGAACTTCTAGTGCAATTTGGCGATCCAGCAGGCGTTCGTCCTGGGGTCAATGCCTCGGGCTGCCACTTGCTCGGCACCAGCCGCGATTGGTATACGGCTCCGTTCAACCTTGGTTGAGCTTGGCGTGTACTGTAGATGTAGAGTCGAGGTTTTAGGTTGGTGGCAGAGAGTCGGTGGAGCCACTCGTCAACACCGGATACCCAAAACCCGGGCAAGCTAATTTGCAGGCTAACACAGCTAGCAATTGTTAGCCGACACCGTCGTTCGCAGGCCGGCCTCTTCGCACAAGGACGCCGCAGCTAAGCTCTCCCCAGCTAGCGAACAACGGGGGTGCCTTACGGGTGTCGGGCCTTTGGCGAGGGCCACGAGGTTGTCACTGCATTTGTCGGGGTCTGTCCCATCCTTGACGCAATCTCCCGAGACCGCCGGCGTTGAACTCATCTTCAGCTCAATGGCGGGGATCGATTCCGGATGGTGATCGCCCGTAGTATTCGGAGCACCAACCCCGCCAGTTAGTTGCGACTGAACCAGCCCACCCACCTGTGGCACCCCCAATCACCTAGAGGAATTCCATTATGTTGTTTTCCCAGCTAGCCACCTTGTCGCACGAGCATGGCCGGCGGGGGGGGGGGGGGGGAGTACTCCGACGATACAACCCTTGGGTTTGGCCCGACTGAATTCTCCGTCGACCCAAGACAACTTGTGGATGCATCTACTGGACTAAGGCGTTCGTGGCATCGCGGGCGGATCGTCCCATGCTGTGCCTTACCCGGCTGACTTTGACGCCTCTGAGCCTACTCATACCTAGTCGACGTCAAAGCACTGACATGACAGGTGAGAATAGCCATGACTCAAGGCGCATCGGAGCACCAACTCAGGTGTGGCGAGTCCAGGCCTTGGCAAGCGGCACCATCGGAGCATTCTAGCTGAGTATGAACCTGATAAGCGACAGCGGCGACATTGGAGCAAGAGTTTGATGCTATCATGTCACGGAAGAGATGAAAGAGACATTATGTGTGGCAGCATTGTATAAAATTGACCGGTGTCAAACTCTCTAAATGTGTACATGATTGTTGTGAGGAATGAGGCGCCTGTCATGGTCGTGACCAGCACGCCACCTGCACTCGACAGCTCTGATCCAGCAACAGGAAAACGACAGACAAAGAATCAAAAGTAAACACAAGAATGTGGCCAGGAAGGTGGTCATCAAAGACCCTCCTCCTCCCACGGGTTCCAAGTGCAGTGTCGTCCAAGCAAGCCGGCAGGACCAGCGTCCAGCTACCAGGTTGATTACAATGAGCGTAAGAACGGCAAGCCGCCAAATTTTGGTGGACATTTTTCTCGCTGCCAAACCTCATCCTTCGCCTCCTCCCCAACAATGCAAAGCTCCCTTCTCCAAACGAGAGGGATCATTCCGCCCTTCGCGCCAATTGTTTCCCTGGAGACTCAAAATCTCCTTCCATGCTAGGCCCGCTCTGGCGATAATTTGTGGCGGCCGTGATGCAACCTCGAAACAATAAATCAAAAACACGCATCCTCCATGTCGTTCAGGCGTGGCAAGGAGGGTCTTCTCTGAGAAGTGTTGATACAAAGAACTCGAAAGGTGTAAATGCATTTCATAACCGCTTGCACTCTCTTTTTTTGCTTGCTCCTTTTATCCTGGGTAATGTGATACCCAAGGAAAGTGAATGGCCCTACTGCCTATCCCGCAGAAATGACGCGCGGGTGGCCAAGAGAAGTAGTAAGAACAAGGTCGTCAGCGTCGTATCGGGCGTATGTTAAGACAGTCGGCTGACTTTCTCAATCATGTCTGTCATGCTGTGACTGTGAAGCCACCGCTCAGTCTGAGCGCTTGCGCTTCTTCTTGCTTAGGTCACTGCTCTCGTCTGAAGACATCTCGCTAGCGCTGCCGGGCACCTCGGAGGCAATCTGGAAGAGAACCTTGCCGTAGGTACTGTAGTCGTCTGACGTAGCTTGTGAAACCATGCTGGAGTCATAGCTGTGGACTTGACCTTCCTCAATGAGGTCCATGACGATGGCGCCACTGCCGTGAGTCCGTGCGTGCTGAGCCAAGTTATCGCTGCGCGAGAACTTCTTTCCACACTCGTTGCACTCGAAAGGTTTCTCCTGTGTGTGGAGAGAGCGGTAGTGTCGCTTGAGGTGCTCCTGGCGGCGGAATCGGCGGTTGCAAAGATCACAGACGAAGGTCTTAGAGGGATCCTCAGTGAGGGATTGCTTGCGGCCGCGGCGGTTGGCAGGAGCGGGGAGAGCAGCAGGGGTGCCCTCAGAGCCGGAAGAGGCGTTGGAGTCGGAGCAGTCACCATCAGCATCGGCGTGGTTGGAGCACTCCTGGGCGTCGCTAGACTGGGTGTTGCTGGCAGCGACGTTCATGATGGGAGCCACGGCGCAGCAGTCGGTCTTGATACGCTTCTCTTGGTGGATGTCCTCGCAGACAGCGGAAGTGGGAGGGCTGGGCAGGGTAGGGAACTGGAAAGCCTCGTTGTCGTCGAAAGACAAATCCTCGTCACCGATAAAGCTGCCGTGGCCGAGAGAGACGACAGAAGAGCCTGTGCATGCACGGGGTCGGCCAATGTCGTTGGCGGTCTGCTCGCCAGTCAGGTTGACGAGGCTGTTGACGAAGTCGTCCTCGGACTCGAGGTCTGAGAAGTCCTCAAAGGTGGGGAGACCGTGAGGGAGGGCAGGGTTGAAGTCGAAGGCGGCCTGGGCGCTGGGGGCAGCGATGACAGTGACCTGCTCAACCTTGATCTCTTGCTCAGGCAGAGCCAAAGAAAACTCGGGAGCGAGAGCGGCAGCTGCGCCGACAGAGACAGTCAAGTTGCGGGGGTCGCAGAAGTCCACATCCAAGTCCGGGGATGTCACAGATCGCGCGTAGGGAGCTGGCGAAGGAGACAGCGAGGGTGTTGACAGGAGGTCGCTGGTAGTGGTGTTAAGCGAGGGGACCTTGCCAAGTTGAGATTGAAGGTACACTGCCAATCGCGGTTAGCTCAGAAATCCCCACTAATGACAGCGCACGGCATGTCGCTCCGCCGCAACAATGATTTGGGGAGCGGCCGCCAACGGAGAACAGAACAACTACCGTGGCCCAAAAAATGGGTGAGGCACGAGACAGTGTTTGATGTAATGAACAAATCGTAGAAGATGGGCAGAACATAAAGCAGTGGTTTGCTTGAGAATAAGAACAGTAACTTACCAGGAGTCATGGGAGGAGATCCGCAGTTAGACCAGTCCAAGACAGAGGCCTCAACAGGCTCGAGGCACTCCTTGACACCGTCAAATCCATCCAGACCCGAGAACATGGGGTTCATGGGGGTCTGGAGCACCTCACAGCTGTTGGGGCTGCCGATAGTGCTGCCAGAGGTGGACAGTGGTGGGGTGGAAGGGAAGTACGAGTTCTCGTACATCTCAGGCTCCAGCATCATGGCAGACTTGTGAGAGATGGGCTGAGGCGAGGCAGTGGGGGTCATCACCGCGGGGCCATTGCTGTAGAGGGTGGGAGGTTGCGAGTTGGCCGAGTTGGGTCGCGAGTAGACGGGTGTAGAGGGCAGTGTCGGGACCATGGGATACATGATGTGCTGCTGCTGCTGCTGGTGCTGCATGGGCTGCTGGGGAGAGAAGTGGCCGTGTTGCTGCACCTCGTTCTTGGACTCGGGGCTGTAGTAGTAGAAGGGAGCTTGGCTCATGGCCGGAGGCATCATGGTGGATTCCATCTCTGCTGTAGGCGGAAATCGGGTCAGTCATGGCTCTCAGGTGCTCGTGTTGGTTACTTCAAGGTGGCACAAACCTTCTGGATTTGGCTTTGTGTTAGTGATTTTCGTTGGGTTGTTGTTTAAAGATTAGGTATTTGGTATTGTAATTGTACAGTTGTTTTGCGATGGAGCGGCAGTCAGGCCTAAAGATGGTGGTGTGGTGGTTCGGTTCCTTGACGGAGAGTGAATGGACGACAAGTGCTTTGGCGAAGCAAGAGCTTTTGTCTATAGAGTGACTCGGGTGGTTGCGATGTTGAGGATGTTGTTGTACATGGGACTCAAGTGTCTGATCAAGCTGGTCGAGATGTAACAGGACAAGACTGGAACAAGACGTTGATCGACAGGGCCGCGATGTAATGAATGTGTAGGGACTCTCGAAGACGAGGATATCCGAGCAAAGAAACCGAGTCACAAAAGAAGGAAGAACCGGGAGGTCATAAAAGAGAAGAAGGATTCACACGGCGCCAGATCCTACACGGTTGTCGATCATACCTAGGGTGAAGGAGAGGTCGGGCGATGGAGGGCACGGGGACCATCGATTGATATGTACGAGGACGAGGCCCGGCGTTGGACGCCCACGGGTCGACGCAGAGGGCTCGATAGGCAGATGGAAAACCCTCCGTCGCCTCCACGTCCTGTCTCACTCGACGGCGCCAGGGTTGGTGGGTGGGTACGCAGGGCCATCCACCACGATCCACATCCACCACGTCCATATCCACATCCGCATCCCACCCGGCGGGCCAGACGGCAGAGTCCCCCAGACCCCTGTCCAACCATGTCTGGGGCAAGGGAAACATCAGATGCGGCCTGGGCTAGGTTGGCCCTGGCTGACCCTGCCTGGCCCTGGCTCGTGTAGTGGAGGCCCGGTGGTGTCCTGGTATCGTCCGCCCACACCACCCATCATGGCGCAGCCACTAGGCCTTTCTAATTCTGGACGGCCCTCGACGCCCGGATGGGCCGCGATATGAAGCACTGCTCGGAGCCAGTCCAGTCCCGTACACAGACCCATGCCCGACTGATTCTCGAGCTGGGCAAATTAGTGTACAGTAGTGTAGCAGTGTCGGAGAACCGCCGTAGTGTCGTAATGTAGGGGCCCCCTCGGCCGTCGCTTGTGTCGCTTGTGCAAGACCTTGTGCCTTGGTTTCTTGGCCCAGTCTCGTACTTGTGCGTGCGTATGCATGTCTGTGAATGTGGCCACAATCCAGCAATCCACACAATACAATCCACAGTCCACACAACAAGTCAACACACACACACACACACAAGCCCACACCACACCTCGCACAATCCTCTCCCCCGAGCGGCCGGTTTTTTGCTCGCCCTGTCTCTTATCCTGCTCCATCCAGCCCCCCCCCCCCCCTTCCCTCTCCCACTCAAGTGCTCTGTTTCCTCATCACGCACCCTGGCCCAACCCGCCAGTAGAATACGCGGATACCAGACGCGCTCTCAAGATATGTCGAGGGCGCGACATTGTGCAGTCCCACTCGTCAGTTCGGTCCCAAGTCCCAAGTGGCACGCAAACCGCGTCACAATGGCTGCATAATCCCGCTCACTGATAGGGCCGCGCCCTCGTAAGTCAATGCGAATCACCGCGAATCACCGCGACTCGCTCATCACGGCCGTGCACAACTCTGACTTGTCCACTCAGGCCGTGTTGTGCACTCGCCCGGCGCGACATGTGCACAGCCATTCGCTGGGCTGATGTCGTGTCACATCCGCCCGTCCTCGAGCGCTGTGTTCCGACCCATCGCCAGTCGGCCAATGCAAGGTACAGACGCCGGCGTCGCGCTGCCTCGCTCGCTGATCACCTCGATGCAGGCTTCTGCTTGGACGCTTGGGAGACGCCGCTCGACGTCACCGACTCGAGGTTGAGGAGGGAGCCCGCTGGTGGTGGTCTCACTGTCACTTTCTGGTTGGGTCTGATTCCATTCGGGCGCGAGCGAAACAGGTGGGAACCGTTCCGGCAGTTGGTGATCAGCGAGCTGAATGGCTTGACTGGCCGTTGGCTGGCTCCATGTGCTGCGCCTGGCCGAACTTTCTTGGATGATTGCTTTCTTGATTGATTGATTGATGGATTGCTGCTCAATGATTGCCTTGCTTCCCTTGCCTTCGCCTTTGCCTTTGCCTTCGCCTTCCTTGCATTTTGCCTGCCCGTTGAACTGATTTGAGTTGCTCGCTCGCATGGACGACCCAACCCGGCATGGATCCCCGTCAATGCCATAACGTATCCGACGCCGTTACATACGCACAACGATTCCCACTGGTTTACGAGTCCGCCCACAGAACTCGCAATGCGGTCGCGGAGGGTGACACTCGCAGCGTCAGAAATACGAGCAGTCATGCCACTGCACCCTCCAGGTCAAGATAGAACGCGAATGGGTTGGGATAAACCGACGACTCCGCCAGGATTAATTTTATGCGGCAAGCCCGGTGAGCTCTGACGTCGAACGCGCACAATGGTTGGTGCATAGCGGGACGGAGGCCTTGGGCACCTACCTACTTGGGCATTGGACAATCAGTACCAACCGTCTTTGATGCACTATGGCACTATACCTGGCTTCGTGTGGGCACGCCAGCACCAGTAGTTGTGGATTATGGATTACGCATTGTGGGTAGTGTAAGGTGGGCGGTGGATAGTGCGTGACGATGACAATATGGCAGAGTGAGGACGTGCCTCGATGAGGTGAGCGGCCAACATACGTAGCAGGTACCTAGGTTGCGTAAGTGGGCGTCTCGGACTGGTGGCATTGCCGTAACCCGCTGAGCGGCGTACGCACCTTACGCAGTGCAGCCCGCTGGAGGCTTGGGGCTTGGGGGGCTTGCGTGGGCGGCATTGGGGCATTGTAGCCTCTAGAACCACTGGGAGGGCGTCCTGCCACGGTAGGTTGTGCTGCTGAATACGAAACACACAAAAATATGATGGCACAGCCGGCCAGCCACTCACGACGGCGAGCCGCCCTCCAAAACACCTGGCTCGACCCAAGTAAACCAAGCCGCGATGCATCCAGTATGTTCCGGCCCCGATCCCGGCCAATTGCGGTTCCTGGCAAACTCTTTTGGGCCTCCGGGGAGGCACAGTCCGGCCACTCGCCTTGTCTCATTGCTTTTTCCCGCCTGGTCTGGGCGCTCGGGTGCGCTTGTCGTCTGCTCCAGTGCCTCTTCGGGTCCAAGTGAGGCCCATTGGCCTCGTCCACTGGTTCCCGCCACCGCCCAAGCTGCATATTCTGGGAATCCTGCTCAGCTGTCCCCACGACCGCACGAGACCGATGCACCATGCAGCATGCATCGCCGGCCGCGGGCAGCGTACAAACGGCAACGGCGGCGGCGGCGGCGGCGGCGGCGTTGACGGCGGCCACAACGCCTCTCGCACTGGGCCCGGCTTGGACCCCAGCCGACGGCTTGTCATGACGATTCCCCGAGCCCACCGACTAACGGCGGCGGTCTGCGAACCGGGTCGCAGGCCTCTCAACATGGCCGCCAGCCATTCCCTCCAAACGTGGTCACCGAGTCGGATTTCCAGCAGGCCTGGTGGTGCGAACCACCCAGATCAAGATCTGCACTAAAACACACTGTTCCATGGCACGCGCACAACCCAGCTTCCAATCCCGCTGCCGCTCTCATCCTCGTGTCAAACAGATAACAGAGCTTGGGTGTTCCTTGAACCCGCTGCTAGTCGTAAACTCTAACAAATACTGTGCCTACGCTCCGGCCGTTTGTGGCTTCGCCTGCTCCCGCTCCCCGTCTGTCGATGGTGGTGTCATATCGTAAGAGAGCCTGGGACGCCTCACTTGAGCCGCGAGGGCACGTTCAAACGGCCAGCCAGGATTCGTGAATTTCCAGGTGTAAAAGAGCATCTGAGCCGAATCATGGCCCCCGTCCCAAGTGACTGGGAGGTGGGCAGCAGAGCATAGATTTCAGCCCGGCCCCCGCCCATGATTAACGACCTGTCAACCCAACCTCGCAGGCGGTGTTCAAGAAGGGTATTGGAAGCCGGCTTGCAATTCCCAATGCCTTGGGTCGGTTAGCTCAGCGTGGAAATGGCACCGAACGCCCACTCTTCTAACCGGGGCAACTTCTCTCTTTGAACCGACGTCCTGGACGCGATTACGACCTGCAACAGTCGGGCCCCAGAAAATGTCCGCGGCGTCGGCCTCAAGCCGTCAACGTTCCAGAAGCTCCCGGGTTTTCGGCGGGGACCAATGGATGTCGCATTTGGGAAGTGAAACATCTTCGCCAACCCGTGGCGAGCCTGTGGCATGGAGCGTGTGCGTGGATCTAGCGTTGGCCGCTAGACGGCCTCGATGATCTGATGATGAGTCTGTGTCCTTTTTGATGTCTCTCCCTCTGGCCGCTCGATGTCTCTCTCCGATGCTCATGGCGTCGTCTGAACTCTATCTGTGTGGTTTGGCGTTGGTCGATCGGGGTCCATATCTTCTCACCTTCCCTTCTTGAGCCCGTCCGCCCTGTACTACGTGCACATCGCACGTCTAGACCAGATGAAAGCCCAGGTGGGGGGAGCAGATAGGTGCAAGCCTCTCAGGCGAGCGCAGGCAGATTGTGAACGGCGCGCACCGAACTGTGGCCGCTGCACTATCGCAGGCTAAGCGGCCGGGTCGCGTCCCATTGGCCACACAAGGTTATCCCGAACCTGAAACTCTAGCTCTGCATAAAAAGTCATCGATGGTGCTGTGCTCGGCGTTGCATTAGCCAGGAACTGAGCGGACTCCGTTCATAGCGCGCGGGGAAGAGGCCGCGGGTGGACATGTGTCTGGCACAAACACGGCACAAAGCGCGCACATGCTCATTTCGCAACGGCAGCCCCCACCTCCCACAAGCACCACGAGCGCGGTGTGCCGAGTGCGTAAGTGTGCATGCGCCTGCATAATGGCGGTGTTGCTGGCGGTGTTCCTGGCGGTGATGCTGACCGTTCTGGTACAGGGACTCGACTCAGGAAGCTGCATAACGCCCTCGCTTTGCCTGAGTTCTCAGGGCTTGAGGCCTCAGGGCCTCCACGACTTCCATGCCCCCCAGGACCCCTCCCGCGTCGATACCCTCGAGGGCTTCCAGGACCGGGGACTCTTCATCCATCTGCCGGCTGTCGATCGTCGCCGCTAGAGGCAGTCATCGCCAGCGTCCCCGAACCACTCTAACGGCGATGAAGTCGATGTCGCAGGGAATCATCCTGCCAGGTCGGGACCAGGTCATGGGTGTTCGTCAACGCCGAAGAAGTGGTCCTCACATCATGCGGTTCTTTTCTTGTCTCGCTGCCTTCGCTGCACCCGTTGCTCGTCCTGCTCTTTCGGGCAAGTGCCTTGAAACTGGAGGCTGTCAACTTCATCCCAAGAGGCGGGTACCGAGTCCAGACGGGGCCTGGTCGCCGCTGTCGCCCTCACTGTCGGTGTCGCATCTGTGACCGCCCACCTGCGTCTGGTCCGCCGGGGGGGCACAGCGGTGACACCTCGTGCACCTCGCCTTGGCTGCTTGGTACCTTGCATAGGTAGCGGCGTCCTGCTGCAGATTGCAGTGCAGGTCCCCCCCATGGTGCAGGCTGTGCAGACTGTGACGCCTGTGACGCCTGTGACGCCGCCATTATGCAGGAACAGGAACGGCGGCCAGTTGTGGCCACTCACCGCACCACCGTAGCACCAGTCCGCGTTGTGCAGAATGCAAGGTGCCACGAACGCATTATCACATTGGCACACTTGAGCAGGTACCGGGAGCCACCAACGAATCATGAATGTGAAGAGCGGTGGCGTTCCGTTCCTTCAATGGCGTCGTCCTCCATCCAGTCACTTCCTTCAAGCCTACCTCAGCTTGGAGGGCGCAACTGCACCCCCAACCGCCAAACCACATGCGTCCATTGGCATTCCGATACCTCCTCACAACCTACTTGCCTGCCTGCCTGCCTTATCACACACTAGGTATGTACCACAATGTGAACACTCACACAAACGCTGCTTGCCCGTCCTCCGTTTGTGATTTCGATCTGTCAACCCTCATCCGCCCATCAACCCGCCCACGGCAGCCACTCATCCTTCCATCCCACCTTCCTACCCTCCACCCGTCCAGCTTTTGCCCGCGTTGACCCGTCGCCACCGAGCCACTCACACCAACTTCCCAGAATTGTAAGCTGCTTCATCCGCTAACATTAATCGCCATCGAGCGTCACAACAACCAGCCACCAAAGCCTTGACAACAAAGGTCCAGCCGGTCCTATCTGTTCCACTGATCCTCCTCGCCGACTCTTCGGCCTTCCCTGTATAGCATAAGCTCCAGGGAACGTGCTTTGAAGCTATCGACACCACCGTAGGCCGATGGGAGGCACAGGCCAAGTACCAGGATGTCGTCAGCTCTGTGACTAGCTAGTCCTGGGTTTGGGCGTCGCGGAACCGGCTGCGCACAGCCTGGTGCATTGTGGCATAGAGATACGTGCGAGCAATGCGGCGGGCACTTACCTAACGATCTGCAACGAGTCATCACGTTCCCTCTCCCGACCCCAAACCGCAGGACGTGGGAGTATAGCGCTCTCATCTAGCCGTTTCGGGGCAGACTATCGCCACCATTAGCTGTGGTTGGGCCGTCGCCGATCAGGCCAGTACTAAAGTCCTACAACGTATGTGACTGCACCAAGCAACAAGATCCGTCGTACAGTTGGTCCTCGGCCCTTGTCATCGACCACTCGACCCCGGACTTATACCCCAGGGATTTCAACCAACGGCGTGAGGTTACATATGAGAGAACAACCTCTCGTCGAGGAAAAAATTTCCTTCTTCCCGGCCTGCAGATGCCGGGCAGTTTCGCCGACCCGAGAACTCAGTCTGACTGAATGAAGTTGCCTCAATCCTGCAACCGTGCGTGGGTGTCATTGATGGCGCGGCACCCTGACCACCTCCAATCAACCTGGGGCCGCAAGCCCCCAAAAATGGTCCTTTCGACCCGGCAGTACGTACCATCCTGAGGTCCCAGCACGGCGTCCTGGAAGCGAGCGAGCTTGGCTCGGCCGGGGGACAATGGATGGACCCTGATGGTGGTCCTGTCTCAATAGCCCGCTAGCCCAGGGCCCCCTCCAGAGGCCAAAAGACGGCGGGACTTGGCATCCTGGTGCTGGGAATTGGACAACGGCCCGGATACGTAGCCGTGTGGCCAGCCAATCTCGCTGATAAGAACGACGGGGACTAGGACCGCAAACACCCATGTCCTCCGGCCTTTGGGACGCTCCCCAGATTCCAGACCGGCGAAATGCACCGCGACGATACTATTCCAACGAATCCACCACCTTCCTGTCTCATTGAGCGTGGGGCTGGCCACACTTTGACATGATTCTGGAAGATCCCCTCCTAGATACGCATCTTCATTAGCTCACGTTATAGGCCATTGAGCAATGGTGTGTCCACCGCGGCTCAATCGCCTATGCTTCCGCCCTAGCCCGGCATTGCTCACGAGTCGTTGGCCTCATTACTTCGTCTGGCGGTGGCGACTCTCAGCCAAGAATCTAACGTCGCATGGCTTCTGCTGGATCTTCTAGGAAAGGCTCGGATAGAAGAGTCGTCTAGTCATTGCTAAGACGTATCCGAAACCCGGCTGACGTCCTGCCCCCCAGACAAGTGACAGGATGCCTCTTGTGTCGTTCATGCATTCATCAGCATGGGACTGCCTTGTAGGTCCACAGATCAACCCCAGAGGCCGCTGCTAAGAGCCTCGCAAATTAGGCTTGACAGCTCCCTCAAGGTTGGCCTAAGTCGTCTAGCTAGACATGGTGTGTCCGCTTCACCGCGAGTCAATACACCATGCTCCGACGTAACGACCGACCAAGTGTGGAGGCAGCTTGAAATCAGCCCGTATCCAAGGGTGCCCTGTCTGGGTGTCACCCCCAGCTAGCGCTGGTTCTCACCCCTGCGAGACCGAATGGCCATTCCGCCGACCATGTCCCTGGGCCTTCTCGAAGGTTTCAGACCCCACCAGCTCAATCTCAGGCCCCGACCCAGCATGACGCGAGATCAACATTCAATGATATGAACTGGTGGCCGGTTCGGTTCGTGATGTCGCCTCCAGAATCCATGTTGACGATCTGGCAAGGTGGAACTGAGAAAGACTCGTCACCTCGGCTTGAGCGAGTCACCACAGCAATGCTTAACAAAGTAAAGTGCGACGGTGAGCGACTGAGCCGCCTGTATCTGCCACAAAGTGGTCTCTCTATTTCCCCGGTTTCCACGCGAGCTGACACAACCGGGCGGGCAGTTGTGCTTTCACACTACTGTATATCACTGTTATCGCAGTGACTTATCAACACCACGACTGGACGCACACACAGACCATCCGGCTAGTCTACTATCACCAAGCCTCTCTATCTAATGGAGTGAGCGTCTCCGGACTTATCACCAACTTGATGTCTATCTGTCATCGGGTGGGGTCACATGAAATGGGCTGAGTATCTTGATATGACATTCGTGACTGGCTTTACGTTACGTGGGACATATCGCACCTCTGTGGTACATTATGATCACCATACCGATAATTGACCATTTAATACTTGGAGGCATCTGACTATAATAACAATCAGCTAACATTTGGAGTTCACATGACAGACATGCCAGAGAAGCAAGGTGTGCTTGGCACCTTGTTCACGTGACACCTTAAAACGACTGTCTCAGTTGTTGGTTACCATCATGCAATTTGATCCAAAGCAACTCGGAGCCCAAGTCCGCCTTCGGCGTATTATGTATGACTGATATCGACCCACAGACGATCAATGCGTTCATTTCCATAACTTCTGTGTTGGACCTGGCGATTTCTTAGTTTTCCAAGCCACTCTTCTTAGTCCAACCTGCTGCTTTTCACCTGAACAGCTGGTTGGACCTCTCGGAAAGCAGAGACCACACCTAATGGACGGCCTTCCACGCCACTGAAGAGGACGTGGCAGGCGAAATTGGCGCTAGATTTGTGATCTCTCAGATTGATGGGGAAAAAAAGAAGCCAGCAGTCGAAAAGTGGTCCTCGGCCAAGTGGACTTTTCAACTACCGGTCTTGGGACAAGGAAAAAGCAAGTACAGACCGCGGGTCGTCCCACGCTTCCGCCTCCGGAGGTTGGGTGAGACTTTTCCCGCCATGACCCCCATGAGCAAAAAGAAAAGAGACAGCGGAGAGAAAAAATGAAAATTCTTTTTTCGTACGTTGCAAGATGGGCTGGACATGCCCTTCGAGCTGTACCTCGATCCGAAATGGGACAAAAACACGGCAAGAGGGTCGCACGTGTGGAGACAACGGCAGACTGTCGGAGGCTATAGTCAAGCCTTCCTATGGATGGATATAGGATGGATGCAGCGGTACGAGGCCCCTCTTGGTAACGGGATGCCTGGTGATCAGTGTGATATCCAAGACCAGCGGCAACGGATGAGCCTAGCGCAAGCCCATGTCTTTGGTTGTATACGGCTTGCAAGGTCACCGCCCACTTGACCTCGAGGACCTGGGGTTTTGCCTTTCGGCAGCTTCGGCTCACCGCAATACGTGATCCGAAGCTTCCAAGGTTTGTCATGGCAAACAATGAGCAGCAGGGAAGGACGAGTTCATTTCGGCATTTGCTCTGCTCTCGTCGTGCCTCATTCACCGCTGATTGAACCCGCCATGGTGTCACTAGTTTTTTTTGTTTGTCTCGACGTGAGACGCACTACATCGACGCACTCCGAAAAGTGTGCCGCCTTCACTTTTCTTTTTTCTTTTTTTTCTTTTGCTGTCTCTTCCCTCCCTCTCATTCATATTGTTCCTTTTTCTTACATGATTCATCGCACGATCTATTGCGCCTCTATGCGAGGGTCATTGTGTGCTAATGCAGGCGAGTTATGCACGTCGTGTCCATTGGAGCAAACCTATCATATCTTTGAATCACTGATGGCCTGATCCAAGAAGGTCTCATATGCATCTCACACGGGCGCCCGAGGACCTGGCAGCCAGTCGTCTTGAACCACTGACGCGAGGGGCAGCAACACGAAACCGAGACACAAGACGCGGGCCTTCTGATGTGCGTGAGGGTGCGTCAAGTGGACTGGCAATGGGTCCAATCGTGGTCGTGGGAAGTAAACCGGTTGAGCATCTCCAAGTGGAGCGCTGGAGCACTCCGAGGCGTCGTGACTCAAGACACCACTCGATGTCATCATTTGCGTGCAACACATCAGTCTAGACTTGTTTCTCTTCTTCCTTGCTTGGCTCGGCGATTTACTCAGACATCCGTGGGTGGACTTGTCTGTCAGGGTTTTGTTTGACGCGCTCGGGCATATCAAGTGAGGACCCGTTCGCTCAGCTCAAACAGTCTGTCACTTCTCATTTGTGTGTTGTTATGAGGGTATTACGTCTAGCTCAACTCTGAGAAGCAAAGTTGCTTGGGCTAGTTTGACGCACGCCCTCTGGAAAGTCACATCGGTTGATGCCTAGGCTCTATCAGCATGCCCTTCCGTCGATCACCATCGCCATCGGCGGGGTCCGGAGTGTTGACGCCTTCGTCTTGAAATCCGAGCAGGCGGCTCCGCCATAAAGGCTCCCGGATACTCGTTACGCTTCCTGTGGTGGAGATTGGGCATGCAGCTGTCACATCGTTTGGACGACAGAGGGTGGGGAATCAGCTGTCCTTCTGGGACAGGTTGTAGCGATGGTGGGAGATGGATGGCCTCATGTGAAGGACCGGAGTGTGGGTGGGGAGGATGCAAGGGGATTTGGCGGTTGGATCGGGCCCGAGGACAGGGCGAGATCTGAAATGCAGGGCCGTGTCTTCCTGCGGATGAAGAGGGGTTTTGCGGGCGGATGAGACGTCGAATGGGATGTTCTCGGGGCGTCTTTCTGTCTGACACGTCATGTCATCCACTCTGTCCGTGACAAGAATGCGAAATCCGTGATGCATCACGAGAAGGCGGGAGCCATCGGAATTGCGTAGGTGGTGGCGCAGACGTTCAGGTTTCTTTTTCATTACTCGGTTTTTTTTTGTTGTTGTTTTTGCTTTGCACTGACTGCATTCGGAGCCGCTTGGAACATTGTGTTGTGACATGGTGTGATGTTATTGCTTCGGTCGGGACACGTCAGTGAGAATTGAGGGGTAGTGGCATGACCTTGTGTAGGGTAAGTTGAACTGCCGTTGAGATTCATCTTGCTTCTGGGGCAGCCCAGAGCCTTTGTCCCTTGTCGGGCGTTGCAGAATTCAATTTTTGTCTGATATCAAGTTGCTGTATATGTGAATGGTTTTCTTGTGCTTTAAACTTCGAAGCCGTTTTGTTGTGGCTTCAACACCCCACATAATTATCATCATTCCTTAACGGTAGATCAGTGCAGTCCACACAATATGAATCCTTGTAACTGCAATATTATTTCCGTAAGCGATCCGATAACACATGAGGGATGAGCATTCAAAGCTCAACAACACACAAACAAACCCAAGACTCGATACTAAATATCGAACTCATCCCGTCCAGACCTATCTAGTACGTGGTGTAGGGTAAGCAACATGTATAGGGTAAGCGATGTGGCGTAGTTTTCCTCAGAGCACATTAGCCCCACCCCAGCCACCCGTGTTCCGACTACCAGCCACTCCGGCCCCACCCGCAACGACATCATCTGGCCCCAAGCGTGACGCCGAGATATTCCCAACCTCCCAAGTTCGTATTAACAGGCCAATTGCCTGCGTTCAACACGTACGCGATGCTCGAAATTGGGGCCTGATGTGTATTCCCAGGAACCGGGAAACCCTGCCTTGGAAATCGCGGCCCCGTTATTGTGCTACCCGTCCCATATATCGTGGCTTCCCACTGTCCCATTGTTCGGCTCCTTGCATCTTGCATCCTGCATCTTACATCTCTTCCCGAAGTTCGAGTCAACCCTTTGTGTAACATTGTCGAGTCCCCCGAGTCGTTCTCGAACCAACATTGTCTCGGACACGTGCTTCACAATTGCAATTGTTGCATACCTCGACATCCCTTCTCTTTGAACCCGCCCCTCCCTGCGTCTGGTCACATACCCGACTCTCTCCATTCCATACCCACATATCCTTCATCATGAGATGGTCATACACCTCAGCCCTCGCAGCCTCGGCAGCTCTGCTTGCCGACACCGTCTCAGCACAGACATGGAGCACCTGCAACCCCTTGGAGAGCAGTAAGTCGCTATTCTACGCTTCACCCAGCCGTGTATCGATGCTGACCTAGCCCCTCCCCGCAGCTTCATGCGAGCCTGACACAGCCCTCGGCATGTCTGTCCACGTTGATTTCACCCAAGGCGAGGTCAACTCATTCGCCGCCTCCGGCTCCCCCACATACGACGACAACGGCGTCTCCTTCACCGTCTCCCGGAGCGGCGATGCCCCGCAACTCGCCTCCCTCTTCTACATCATGTTCGGCCGCGTTGAGATCACCATGAAGGCCGCTCCCGGTGCCGGCATCGTCTCCTCTCTCGTCCTCCAGTCCGACGACCTTGACGAAATCGACATCGAGTGGCTGGGTGCTAGCCCCGACGAAATACAGTCCAACTACTTTGGCAAAGGCCAGACTACGACGTACAACCGAGGCCAGTTCCATGATGTCACTGGCACGCAGTCGGAATGGATCACCTACACCGTCGATTGGACCCAGGACCGGATCATCTGGATGGCTGGTGGCACCGCCGTCAGGACTCTGAACTATGCTGATGCCGAGAACCAGTACCCGCAAACGCCTATGCAGGTCAAGTTTGGTGCCTGGTCCGGAGGTGACTCCAGCAACGCTGCGGGAACCATCAAGTGGGCAGAAGGTCCCACCGACTATACCCACGGTCCCTTCACGATGCAGGTTCAGAGCATTCAGGTCACCGACTACTCGACGGGCAGCGAGTACAAGTACACCGACACCTCTGGTTCGTGGGAGTCCATCGAAGCCGTCGGCGGCGCGGTCAACGGCAACGCGAACGGCGACTCTATCACCGTGACCGCCACCGCTTCCGGAACCACTGCCACCGCCGATGTCCCCGTCGGTATTGCCGCGGACGACAGCACAGCAACGGTTACCCAGACCGGTTGGCCCTGGGTCGCGTCTGCTCGGCCTTCTACTGGCGCTATTCCCAGCGGCTGGACCATGAACTCTGAGGGCAAGATTGTACCCATCTCCGCCGGCGCTGCCCTCCGTGCCTCTTCTCCCCTGCTCCTACTTGCTCCTATGCTGGCCGGCGTTATGACTTTTGCCGTCAGACTCTTTTAAGGAAGAGGCTAGTCTGGCGAGCTAAGCAAGAGGGGGAACGACACAACATTTATGGATTTGCATGAGCATGCATGATATTAAGGATTTTAATGACCTTTGGGTTTGCTTTTATAGATACGTATAGAACACTGCATGGATGGCGTATGATGAACATCATCGGGTATAGATAGACATCATGGATTTAACAGCACGGCGTTACGGATGGGATGAAAAATAGGCCAGCAAGGCTAACTAGATTTGATGTATGATTATATATTTGCACATAGTAACAATGAAAGATTGGATGAAAGAAAATGTCTGGGTACACATGCCTGTTATACGAATCAACTTTCAACGCTTACTACTGCTCCTCCTGATTCATACTGATTGATAGCATGACATGGCTGACCGCCCCAACTGACACACTTGAAGAGTTCAAGTTAGCGGTAGCAAGCCACTCGAACGAGTAGTACGTCACCAGGACTAATCGTGTTCAGCAAGAGATATCTCGTTTCAGAGTTCTAGAAGCAAGTATGATCTAACAAAGCTATGAAGCCCTCCGGCCACTCGGTTCCCCAAGCACTCGCTGCTCACCCGACCCACGCGCTTTTTCCAGCTTCTATGTATGCGCGAGTCCGTTCATAAGAGATGTGTGCCGCCGTACACCTCATATGGGTGATCCGTATAATTCGCCGTGCCCTCAAGTTCATGAATCCAAGGTCCTCCCTCCGCGTCGTGGACACTCGCTTTGCGCATGTGTATGCGACATGCCTGGCTCCCCGCTCCCCTGATGTAAATGTTGAGCGAATAAAAGCAAGTAGTCTTACAAAACCACAAAATGCAGATAAAGAATGCAACTAGAATCAAAGGTAATGACGAAGGAAGACGAAAAAACAACAACCAAAAACAAGTCTGGATTGACTTAGAAGGTCCAGTCATCCGCATCCTCGACAGACTTGATGGCCCATCGGAACTTGTCTCGAAGAGTCTTGGAGAAAAACTTTTCAATCGGCACATCGAACTTCTTGGAGAAGACAACAGTCAAGCGAGGATCGATGTAGTTCTGGATGAATGAGTAAGCGAAGCGAAAGACGTAGAGAAAGATCGGAGATACTCACCATCTTGGAAGTGCCAAGAGCGACTTCCTTGTTGCCATCACGATCCTCAGCCTGCGTCTCGAGCGTCTTGATCCGATCATCTATCTTCTCAATCGCGCTGATGAACTTCTCGACAGTTGGCCCTCGACCTTCAGCAATGACCTTCTTGGTCTTGTTCTCTTTCTTTAACTTGGCCTCCAATTCCTTGACGACCAGAAGTCGCTCCTTGAGCTCCTTGTCAGGCAAAGCCTTTTCCTTGTTGGCTTTGAGCTTTTCATTGTCTTTTTCGAATTTCTTCGTGATTTTTGTCCGCTGTTCCTCAACCAAGAACTGTTGGTGCTCCAGGATCCATTCCTCGTCGAGGTCTTCGTCAAGTTCAAACCAGGCAGCGCCCTTCTTCTTCTTCTGCGTGGGCTCAAGGTCTAAAATCATTTTCTTTGTTCGCCACTTCTGGTACCGAAGGCCCTTGATCTGAGAAGAGGTTAGCTTCATGTTCACGCTCAGCATAGGATAGATGTCACATACCCTGTCGCCAAGCTTCTGCATTTGCACTTCATGTCCAGCGCCGACGGTTCGCTTATGGTTACAAAGAATAGCCACTTTACGATTGCAGTCGTTGTAAAGCTTCACCTTCTCTGCAACACTACCGCGAGATCGAGGATCCTGGCTCAGTTCTTTGAGCAGTTCTGACATGGTCCAGGACGCGTTGTAGGTACGGAAGACCTTGGCTGTCAGGCCCTGCATGTAGCTGTTCAAATGCTTGTTCAGTTGCGAGGTCTAGGGAGGGTGTTAGTATGGCATCTAGACAAAACGCTGATGGTTTATCTACTTACGTTGAGGCGGTCAAAAAGGTCGTCGCCGTTGGTCTTGGGGGCCTTCTTGAAAAGCTTCAAGTTCTTGAAGACCTGAGCTTCAACGTGGGCAGTCTCGTTGTATCTGATACTGTCCTTACCGAGGAAGTCAAAGGTGACCTTGTTGGGAGGCTCGAGGGTGATGTGCTCGTACTTCAGTGAGCAGCAGCCCACAGTGTCAGCCTCATTCTCAGTATCCTTTTCATTTCCGGCTCTCAGAGCAAGCTTATCAATGAGGTACATGGCCGTGGCCCTCTGCCGATCCGCCATCACCTCGCTCTTAAGTTCTTTGGTGTATTCCTTGCGAATCTTGCCGATATGCTTCTTCAACTCCCGAGCCTTTTCGAACTTCTTGAAATCACTCTGACCCTTGATATCACTGGCAGCCCCAAGCATCACGTATTTGTAGGCATTGTTGATATTTTCCTGCCACATGGCCAACCAAGTCGCTTTCTGGTCATGCTGGACCGCTTTCCATTTATGTCCGGCTGGAGGAGTTGGCACCTTGGCATCCTTTCCAATGTTGATGGTGATGTCTTCCGGCCAGACTCGGGTCTTGATCTGGCCGGTCTTGGGATGTTCACCTCGACCACGGAACAGACTTGGGGGTTCAACGCGGAAGTTGCCAACTTTCTGCTTCCGACCATCCCACATGCAGTGGAGGTAGGGCTCTTCGAGCTTGTCCCTCTTGGCCTTGGCAGCCTCCTTCTCTTCCTTGGTCATGTTCTTGGTTTTGGTAGCCTCGAGCTTGGCCGATAGGTACTCGTGCATCTGCGAGAAGTCGCATTTGTCGATAGATTTGATCTGGACTTTGTTGCCCTTAGAGTCTGTCGCACCAAACTTATCGACAAACTCAGCGAAGTCTTTGAAGAAATTTGCACGGAACACGGGGTTGTCGAGGTGGTGGGATGAAGCGGGAGTCATCATGGCTACCCAGAAGGTGGCGGCTTCTTCAGCCTCAGGGGCGAGGCTGATGGGCTTTCCATCATATATCAACTTGACATGCTTGGGGAGAGGCTCGTATTCAGGCGCGAAGAGGACGCCGTTGTGCTCTAGAGTCCGCCACTTGATGCTGTCGTCCTGGGGCTTCGGCGCGTTCCACCATGCGAACTCGTCTTCTTCGTTGTCACTCTCCTTGACCTTCTTCGCGGCCTTTGCTGGCGCAGCCCGGGCGCCCTTCTTGGCAGGCGCTGCCGCCTTGCCTTTCCTGGCGATTGGGGCATCGGAATCGGATTCCTCCTTCTTCACGCCGTTCGATTTCCGCTTCGAAGAGGCCCCATTTGACTGGCGTTTGCTGGCGGACGACCTCGCGAGGGGCACATCATCATCAGACTCGTCCTTGATGGACTTCCTAGGAGTGGCTTTCTTAGCCCGAATGGCCTTGGCCTCCTGCTCCGCCTTCTTCTCGATAGATGCCTTCTTTTTCGAGAGCTTGACGCCCAGGGGTTGGTCATCGTCCGAGGTCTCGGGCAGGGCCGTCTCATCGTAGGAGGGAGGAAGCTTTTTGCCTCTCGCCTTGATAATCGGTTCATCGTCCGAGTCCGAAAGGGCGGTTCTCTTGACCTGTCTTTGTCGTTTTGCCTATGATCGCATCGTCAGCTTGAGTTGGCCCCACAACAATTTTTTCTCTGCCTGGGAGTATCACGAACCAGAGGAGCACCTTCGTCACTGTCGGAATCGTCCCTGTAGCTAATCTTGGTGATGGAGGTACGCGACTTGCGCTTGCTTGCGCCATTCGAAACCGGCGCGTCCACGTCCATGTCGTCGTCCTCTACCGGACCGTTGCGCACTGATAGGCCGGCGAGGTGGTTGCTCTTGGGGCCGTCGCGATCCAAGGCCCTGTCCTGGGCGTGCGATATTTTCGACGAGGACACTGGGAAAAGAGACTTTGTTAGTACAAGTCGAGTCAAGGTATGCGCCAGTAGCAGGAGGCGAGGCAGGTCTGATCGGGGAAACTTTGTTGAAGCGGCGAGGAGGCGCCGCAGAGGGCCAAAATGCGACGGGAAAGCGGAGGAAAAGGCGACTTACGGCGGCCGTTGGCCCTCGCAAGAGGGCGGTCGTCGTCGGAGCTGGCAGAACTCATGTTGGCCGAGTTTGGTGGTCGTCGTGCGCGCTGCAACCGGCCGCGGAACAGAGACTATGAGGTCAGGGACTAGGATGCGAGACGGAGACAGCGACAAGAAAGGCCTGTGAAGAGCGATTCGAAGTAGGAAAAGGGAGGAAAAAGAGCTTGTTGCGGCAGTAAGCGCCCCCTCAACGCCTGGGACAAGGAGATGAGGGACAGAGAAGTTGCACTGGGTGAGAAAGATGAATAGAAAGCGGGCAAGGAATCTAAAAGAAGAGGGCGTCGGCGTGTTTCTAGGCTGGCCGGGGAAGGCAACCTGCCGAGGAGCGAAGTAGTGCTAGCGCCCAGAGGGTGCCCGGCTACCAGGCGCCCAGTCACGTGATCTCCCGGTTGGTTTGGGCGTAGCCGCTAATTTACCGGAAAAGAGTGACGAGAACAAAACGCTGGTCCGCAATACAACTCATCCCGACCTCCAACGACCGATTACCCCATCAATTGATCCGAGCATCGCGATCAATTGGGCCACCGTTGGCAGAGGCTCAATCCGAATACCTCCGTCCGTCACGATGCTGTCACGAACGGCCAGACCAGCTCTCCGAGCTGCCACTGCAGCGCAGTCTCGGTAAGTCCCCCTCGGAGTCCGGGCCCCAAGATTTTGTTGCCGAAGGAGCTGCGGAAGCTGGTTGGAGGGCGACAACGACACCGAAATCGCCCGCCAGCACCACGGCTCGCGCGCAATTCGTGCTCGGATATCGCATTGAGGACGCTTGGGAATTACTGCCAGTGAGAGAGCTGCGTTTGCTGATGCCCGTGTGCTTGTCGCAGAGCTGCCGTTGCCCGGCCCGGAACCGCTGCCACCTATGCGACCCTCCGTGAGATCGAGGACCGTCTCAAGTCCATCCGCAACATCGAGAAGATCACCAAGACCATGAAGATTGTCGCCTCCACCAAGCTCACCCGTGCTACGCGTGCCATGAACAACTCTCGCAAGTACGGAGAGACCTCCAACAAGGTCTACGAGTCTGCCGAGACCAAGGCCGTCGAGTCCGAGGAGCCGAAGACCCTCTACATCGTCTGCTCCTCCGACAAGGGCCTCTGCGGTGGTATTCACTCCGGTCTCAGCCGTCGCATTCGCGCCAAGGCCCTTACTGAGCCTGCCTTCGATCTTGTCCTCATTGGCGAGAAGGCCAAGGCTCAGCTGTCCCGAACCAACCCCAAGGCTATCCAGCTCAGCTTTGCTGGCATTGGCAAGGACGTCCCTACCTTCGCCGATGCTCAGGCCATTGCCGACCAGATCATCCAGCTCCCCACCGAGTACACCGACATCAAGATCCTGTACAACTCTTTCGTCAACGCCCAGACCTACGAGCCCGCGATCATTGAGGCATTTTCCGAGGAGGCTATTGTCCAGTCTCGTGAGTCTGACCTGGGTTGAAGAGGCCGTAAACATGTGACTGACCGGGTTTTCTTGTTTTTTAGCCAACTTCTCGGCTTTCGAGGTTGATGACGAGGTCCTCGCGAACATGCGCGAGTACGGCCTTGCCAACTCCCTGTACTGGGCTCTGGCTGAGGGCCACGCCTGCGAGCAGTCTGCCCGCCGAAATGCCATGGATGTAAGTTATACAAGCAGTCCAGACAAATATTGCCAGTTACGATCCCGTACTAATAATTCCCGCAGAACGCCTCCAAGAACGCTGGTGACATGATCAGCCGCTACCAGATTCTCTTCAACCGTACCCGACAGGCCGTCATTACCGGAGAGCTGGTCGAGATTATCACTGGTGCTACTGCCTCTGAGGACATGTAAACAGTGGAGATGCAAGTCGGGGCCTGACGCTTCCCTTTGTATCAACACCATCGGTCACCAACCCGTGGTTCCCCAAGTGTATCAAAGCCTTCCAATAAATTCCTTAGTAGCCCACAACCCCACGAGTGGCAGCAATAAAAAATGTCACAGACCGTCTAATAGAAATCAATTTCGTTTTCGTGAAAGTGTAAATTAAAATGCCCAAAAGGACGTTGCTGCGTACAAGTCAAAACCCCTCAAGCTCCGAGCACCGGACATGTGGAAAAAGGATGGGGTGTCTTCCCCATGATGACGCCGCCAGACCAGCCTTCCCCCCCCCCCAAATGAATGACCAGCGCCGACCGTGATTCGAATGCCCATGTATAAACTATAATGAACCTAAAACTCCATATCACTGTCCCGGTCCTCCGCGTAGCTGACGTTTCTCGTTCGCCGGGACTTCTGAGCTGACCTGGCCATGCGAGCTAGCTCTCCAGGCTTGGCAATATTGGGATGGTCCTTTTCGTATGCCACCCTGAGGGCGATGGCCTCTTGATCCCATTTCTCAGCTGCTTGTGTGAAGGCTTGCACGGCTTCGGCATAGCCATGCTTCTGCTCGGCGGCCTGGTCTTCGAAGGGTTTGCGATCTTGAGGCGAGGCTTCCTTCCACATCTTGGACGTCATGATGCGGACCTCATTGGGAACGGCGCGACCGCCTCGGCCTGGCTTGCGGTTCTCTTCGCATCGATTGCGCGCTGCGTCGAAGAAGGCCTTGCTATAGAGGAGATACGCGTTGCCTGCCACCTTGCCCGGACGAACGGGACGCTCCCCAATTTTAGCCTTAATGTGGCCCCATACCTCGAGCTCATAAGCTTCGAGGCGGGCTTGTCTCGGATCCTTTACGGGCTCCTTGCGCTTGCGAAGAAGCAATGAGTCTCGAGGGAGAATGAGAGGCGTGGGAACTTCGATGGGTCCAATCATTGTGCTCAAGACCTCTGATGCGGCCCTCAGACCAGACAGATAGGCGCCGTGGACCGTTGCCGGATGCGTACCGATCGTGTGCTCGCCTGCAAAGAACAAATTGCCCACGGGGCGGGCCATCACGTCGTAGTCTTCCGGTTGCATGCCTGGGGCTGCCGATGAATAGCTACCTCTGGCAAACCGGTCTGAGCCCCACCTGGTAACAACCGCTTCCACAGGATATGGAACGTCCTGTCCAAAGACACTCCGCAGTACCTCCGTGGCTTCAACAACCAGGCTGTCATTGCTGGAGTGCTCTGTTTCAAAGCCTGCGTCGCCTGCCATGAGGGCAATCAAACAAGGCAGGCCTGTTGTGTTCGATACATTGAACCACTGGAAAAACCGCCCTCGGTTGCCCGAATAGTCTTGCTGCGAAGTGCTGTGGCGGTTTGACGATTCTCTTAGCACTCCAAAGATGTCCCGATCAGAGTCCCAAAACACCTTGCGGTACACAAGAACCACCTTGTTCAAGATACCAAATCCCAGACGCCCGATCACGTCCGTTTTCCACGAAGGAAGTGGCGGCTCAAATGTGACGTTGTTTTGCTTCAGGACACCAAGTGGGATAGTACAGACAACGGCATCTGCGTCCACTACTGACCCGTCGTCACACTCAATGGTGGCGGACCCGAGACTATCTTCGCTGTGGTATGATATACTTTTGACCGCGAACTTGGTTTTCAGGTCGAGCGACGTTGGACACTGTACTAATCCGCGGGCCACACTCTGATAGCCGCCCACGACCATTGTGTGACTCCCCTCCCATTCGTTACCAGCATCAATATCCCACAACCCTAGGCTAAGGTTATGCAGGTTCGTTGCATTACTGTACTCTAGATTGGCAATGTGCCAATTGATGAGACGGTAGTCTTGGGCGTTCAAATCGACGAGCTCCTTGTATTGGGAAATTGCAGAGTCCAGAACCGACCCCAAAGTTGCCCCGTCCTCGCTAACAGCTTTGGACAAGTCAATGTTCTTTTCCTCTGCGAATTGATCCCGCAGTGCCCACCCCATAAACTTTGCCTTTTCTGACGCCTTCAATGTGGCAGGCGTACCAGGTTCGTTATGAACTCGGCCAGTCAACTTATCGGACGATACCGGAACCAAGTTGACCTTTGCTGGTACGTTCTGCTCGGCGACAGGAGGAGCATGTGGTAGCGCCGCAGCTGCCTCTTCTGCTTGAAGCATCGTCTTGCTACCATCTCCGGGGCTATCCCGTCCCTCGTCGAGAAGACCACGGTTGCCCTCAATAAGTTTCGAAGGTTGAAATTTGTGCTTGTACTCGCTAACCCGGTCCAGGCAGTCGTTGTAAAGCTTCTCTACCAGTTGATCCCGCACTGGGTCTACTGATTTCCCGTTAATGTCGTAGATTGTTGTGTCTGCTGTAAGGGGATGGTACGGCAAGCCTAGCTGACCGCGAAGGAGAATATTGATGGGATTGCCCCGGTCAAAACCAGTGATGATCATGCCGCCCATCTCTGCTGTATGCCGCTTACCAGCAAATGCCGGCTGAACCTCAGCAGGCTTAGTCTTGAATTCGCGAGAGTAGACGCGACCTCCAACACGACTTCTTCCTTCAAGGACTACAACACGAGGTGGTTCCTCGCCTCGTTCGTAGAATATATCGGCGTACTGCCTGAACAACCCCTCTAGTTGTCTGGCGCAACCCAACCCCGAGAGGCCAGCACCGATGACTGCAATAGTCTTTTGACGTTTGATGATGGGGGTGCCTTTGTCATCGAACTCCGCTTGAGGAACCTGGACACATCCGTAGTTGATGTACCCACGCCGCACGAGCCAGTCGTAACAAACACTTGCCGCGTCGAACCAGCGAGCATTCGCGCAACCAACCGCCTCTTGCCTGGTCACACCAACCCAAGGACTTTTTAACCACAGACGTAAAATGCCATTCCTGATATTCAAATAGGTTGTAACTTGTGTGTGGGAAATGTGATGGCGTAAGAGATGATATTCTTCTGGGTGCAGTGCATAGGGATTGAGCCGAGACGACTCGGCCGCCATTGTGCATTCGCTAGCATATTTGTAAGGAGAAAGGTCGGTCGGGATTGACGACTTCGGAAGAATATTGAAGTTGTATCGCTCGGTGTCGTTGTGAGAAGGCGATTGCCGAAGAGTGGCAGAATTGCCTTGACTTATCTGACCACTGGGACCATCTGCCTCAACAGAAGTGGTCGATTTACTTGAGACGGTCGAGGGTGCTGACGAGAGTTCGGTGAGTTCCGTCAGAGCCGACAACGATGATGCGAATGAGCCGATAGCGCCGCCAGTAGCAGTAGGATGCAGTAGTGTGGTATCGTCAGCTGGAGTGGTTTCTTGCCTGTATCAATATTAGAAAAGTAAGAAGGCGGAAGAGATGGGTATCCAGTTAGAGAACCTGGGAAAATGGCGCCACTTACCCAACATTGACATGCACGCTCATCGAGTCGTCGGACTCGTGAGGGCTTTCAGCATCGATTTCCATGTTTCCAGACCATACAACTATCTCCGGCGCAATTTCTGGCGTATGTTCTGTCGAGGTCCGTTGCGACTGGGCAGATGACGCGATGTCCGGGGTGGTTGGGGGAGACATTCGGACCTGGACACTGGGCGCTATCACTGTCGCTGAGAGCGACAGTGAGTCAAAGATTCCCTTGCCTCCCAAACTTCCTTTCCGCAATCCAGTGCCCGTCTTGAGGTTGTTCCTGAAGCCTAACCCCATAGCTGCGTCGGCTTAGATGCTTCTCAGTATATACGTGGGGACGAGATATAAAATCACCGCTATCGCTGGGAGCGGAGATCAACTTCGACTCTTGTCGGAATGAAAGTCATGGGTGAATGAGATGAGAAAAATTGGCATTATGCGGCGATATAGGCAGGGTCAGAGTAAACTGTTTAATCTCATCAGCATGATGATGGCCATCTTATACACATCTTGTCGGGTCACCTACCACGATCGATGACACTGGGCGAGTGGTGGATATACTGAGGAAGTACTCGCTCAATTTTGGATCGGGCTTGTGCCGCCCTCGATGATGTATTTGCCGGTGTCGATCAATCCATGGCAAGGGCCAAAGGACATGTCCAGCCAGATGCTCCAATTGCGATTTTGTCGGCTCTCGTCTCAGGACACTGGTGCAAGGCTTGACTCTGTCAGCCATTCGCGCCCCTCAAGATGGGGGAAACCATGTTCACGGCGGGATCACGTGCGACGCTACGACCAAATCAGAGGCTTGCTGAGCTTGCTGAGGTGGGTCTCGCATCCATTCCAACGACATACACCCAATGCTCAAATCTATCAATATATTATCGACACCAGCGACAAAGAGCCTGAAGTCGAGATCAACAATTACCTCAGCATCTTCGCAGATATCCGCATCTGCATACTCCGTCTGTCTTGCATCGCCGCAGAGCTGTGCTCAATCAGCCAGCCAGCCAACCAACCACGTCTCAGGTATCATACAGGTTCAATCAAATCAGGCTGCGGGGGTGGCGGCACTGTTATCCTTTGCGAATGACTCCGTCTCGATTGCCGCATCCATCATCCTATTCCCGCTAATGATAGATGTCGTGCAGATGACAATATTTCTTCGACCTAGCGAGCCATCGGGTTAGATAAGTTCACGGTATTAGAGGAAAGGGATAACTCACCCTCCTCCTGCTTCGCGATAAACCTCAGAGCAGCAATCTCGGTGAAGGTGATACCGCCGACAAAGACGACGAAGACCGTCTGCTTATTGCCGTTTCCTGAAAGCAGCGCTCTGGCCTTGACAGCCTTGTCCTCGCCCTTCTGATGCTCATAGAACGTCTGCCCACGAACATGCTTGACTGCCTCGTCGAACCCATGCCAACCCTGCGTACCGGTACCAGCTGGGGCTCCAGCCGCGGCGGCCCCGCCACCTTTCGTGACTGAGAGCAAATATTGCTTCTGAAGGATACATTGAACAAGGCGAATCGATAGTGGTGCATAGCCGCTGTATACGTAGGATATGTCATTAGGGTCGTCTTCCTGTACCTCATCAACGATCAAGCGGAGTTGCTTGCGTAGATATGTGTAGTTGGTCTTGGTGCAGTTGGGGTCGGCATTTCCTGCCATAGGAATCATCCCGGCAAGCGGCGATGACCGTGACAAGAACAGCTGTAACTTCCCGAGATTGTTGAGAGTCAGTAGATGCTGGTATCCGTAGCCCTCGAGAATCAACCGCCGGAACTGATCAAAATCTTTGGGCTTGATTCCCCCAGATATACATGAGTAGATGCAGAGAAGCCTCAGGGTCTCTCGAATCGGAGCATCTCGGGCGATCAGCTCCTCAATGCCCTCGAACTGAGACGATGGGTCGGCCCCGGCGGCCAGGTTCTGCTGGACCTCAAGCAGTCCCTTGAACAAATCAGTCCGAGTGTGTTTAATAATCTCCTCGGCCAAACCCGTGTGTATCCTTGCGCTCTGTTGCTCTTGCTGGTAACCCGGCAGCTGGCTGACAAAGTCTTTGAGCTCTGCGATGGTCTTTGTCTTGTGTTTAGTTTCGTAATCGCTCTGCACTTTCTGCAACCGCCTCGCGACCTTGTTGAGCAGACTGCCAACGATGGCAAAGTTGGCGTCTCGGAGCTGGTCGTAGAGCTTGTCGGTAGAGTCTAACTGAATCGTCCTCTTCCGGCTCTGTGCCGTGGCTGCCGAAGACTGAGCGGACGCCCCCACCACTGTTGTGTCTACCTTGGTCTGGTTGTTCTGGATCTCAAATACCTCGTCGATCAGGCCCTCGTATGTGAGTTGAGTCAGAAGTGGCGTGACAAAGTCGACCTCGCGATCAATGATGATGACGCTCTCGTTCGTTGTACTAGGGGTTAACCCCATCTTGTCGGATTCGGTAGCATCTTCACCCGCAAGAAGCTCTTGCCGCATACGGACGAGAAGGTCGGCTACTCGCTTTGCGTTGTCACCTTTACCGATCACCTTCGGAAACAGGCCGTGGTTTTGTTGTATCTCCATGAGGGCTCTCGCCAATAGGAAGTTGGGCGTCACATCTTTCGAAAGGTATAGGTCGCGGAAGGAGTCGTCCAGCTCGAGGGATAAAAGGTCCCTCTCGAGGGGGAAGAAAGACAGCGGCAGCTCGGAGATGTTGACGTCGCCGAGCACGCCGGCCTCTTCTAGCATTTGGTTGGAGACTAGGGTGCGCCTGGGCACCCAGAAGATGTGGAAGTCATGGGGCGTCTGGCTTTCGCGCTGGACTCGTTTAACCTGGGCTGGAGGACTTGGTTAGACGGCCGTCGTGGCATCGATCGATCTAGGCTGCGCACCTGCTATTGCTTCGGCGTGGCGGCCGCATTCGCCCCGCGCGATGAAGATGACATTACGCTGGCTCGTATCGACGTTGTTGTTTTCGAGGATGAAGAACTTGTCGACTCCGTACTCCTGGAGTACAGCGACCTTGACAATGATGCCAATGGGACCGACCAGGCTTCGATCAAGGACGACGTTTTTCTTGCCGCGGACCTGAGGTTGCCCAGGAGTGATTAGCGAGCTGGCTTGCGACGGCTGGGAGCTCCGCGGGGCCGGCCGAGGGAGGGAGAGCCTTACTTACACCCTCAAGCAGGTAGAGAAGGTCTTTGCGGGCCTTGTTGCGGATCTGTTCGGTGCTGAATTCCGTGCGAGGAGCCATGGTGGCCCAACGCAAGCTCGCGACGAGAGGGAGAGCTGAGGTGCGGGAGCGTTTGTTGGGTTGGTGATGGATGGGCAATTGGTTCGCTGGCGGTGAAGCTCTGGCGGGGCTGGTCACCGAGCCTCAGCGCGCCTACAGGTCGCCACAGGCCGCCCACTCCCACTGAATGGTGCGTACCTAGTCGCCTAAACCGACGTCATTCAGTTGCTCGGGTAGGACAAGGGGACATCCACGCATGTGCGGACCCGAGAGTCCTCGAAGCTCCTTATGAGGCTGTCAGTAAATACCCGCGTATATTTAACAGAGAAGAATCTTGAGGTATTTATCCAGCTCGTCCATACGGTTATGACATGCCGCACCCGTATCGATGTTGATCTGTCAGTGGGTGGCGTTTCTCCCAGGCTGACCCATGCCATAACCATCATGATGACCTTTGCTATTTGATGTATGTGTATCGTTTAAACCAGCAGAGTCGTGACCAACCCATCGCTCCCCAGCGGCAGAGCCATGTTGAATTTACCTTGCGTATGATGATGATGAACGCCCATATGGCCGGGTCAGCGGCCCCAAGTAACTATCAAAACCGGAAGCCCAAATGTCCCTCGCGTACCAAGTGTCAAGTGTCATGTCCCGTCCGTGCCTGGTTGCCTCCCGGGGCCCAACGCCAAAAGCACCAGAAATGCGTGCAAAGCTCAGTGTGTAGTTTCAAAAATCCTCCTTGGATTGTGTAATTGCACGAGGCCTGCTACACGGTGTTATCGTGGTAGAGAAACTCGATGTCGCGCGGTCGCAGTTTGTTGCCCCGCACGAAGTCCTCGTCACCGGGGGGTCGCTCGTTTTTGTCGTTGCTCGTCAGCATGCTCTGGATGCTCATGCATACACTTGAGACGCTCTGCACAGGGCTCCAGCCCTGCTGGCCGAGAAGGTCCAGGCAGATGATGCCGTTGGAGTATATGTGTGGGTGCATCGGGATCGGGCGATCGGGCTTCTTGTCAAAGGTGACCTCAGGAGGTTCTGAGGGACATGTATGTTAGTCTGACAACCGGGCGAGATCTATGCGCTGGGCGGCGGGCGCAACGCACCGATGGGATACATCTTGGGGAATTGGAATTTGAGCCGGTATATCTGGCCCTGGTAGAGCGGGTTGACGTCGAGGACTCGGATGTCGAGAAACCAGTCGCCGGCGACGCTATCTTCGCGCTGTAGCAACTCGATACCCGGAGGCAGTCCATCCTTGTGGATCTGCGGTGCGCCAGCAGGCGTGAGATCAGCCATTCTATTGCTTCTCAGAAGCGAGAAGCCATCAGCCAGAGGCACGCGGACATACCTTGCCGAGCTCCTTGACGAGGCGCCTGTCCCGCGTGGCTCCAGCCATGTTTTGCCACTTCAGATGCTTGGTCGCCTTGCCTTGGCTTTCCTTCTGGCTGCCTTGCCTTGACCTGACGTGTCGCGAGAGAGGTGTGCGGTGCGGTTGTAGGTCGGAGAATTTGCTGTTCGTTGGCTGTTCTGTGGAACGGAGGAAGCTGGTCCAAACCAAACAGGCCCAGAATGGTCGTCTGTTGGAGGGGCGGACCAGCTGCGCCTTGACCATAACCTAATAAGTGGCTCAGCGAGTCTCGACAATTGGCCAAGCGCCCCTTGACTTCTAGTTCCACGACAAGCTGCACGCATTTGGTAAAGGCTGATCCTCCATACCTTGTACATCGTAAATCATACGATAGTGTGTTATTATTTGGCTGGCGCTCACCGGACTGGGTTACTGTAGAGTGGAGTTGTCTGCCAATCACACAACCAAACGTACATGACCCATCGCAAACATAAGTAGATTAACGACACGATCACTATGCTGTCCCGCGAAGGCAGTAATTATGAATTTCGAAATAATTAAACTGATTAGTATTCTGTTTTTAGCGATGCCATGTCCGTTGATAATGATTCTTTCTCAAAGGTGTCCTTACCCTGGAAGATAAGCACCTGAGCGTTTTGAAAGGGATGAATTATTTAGTATGGAGCATTGTTATTCGCACATATACACACACATCCTTTCACCTAAGCCTCAGCTTGACTCATGTTCCTAGTCCGTGGGTGTAGGTTACAATAATGCTTAGGTCAGGGGCCTATATTTGCTATTTGCTTTGCCAAATTCCTATTTGTGTAATAACACATTTTTTTTTACTCATGGGAACACATATTACTCCCATTAAACGTACTCGACTACAACACCAGTTCAGTTGCGCTATTCATGATTCTCTTTCGCATGAAGCATCCCTGTGTGTGCGAATAACTGTTGTGAGAAAACAGGGTAGCGTCGCTCTTCACCCTGTTGCTTTCCTAGCCCGCCAGGCTTGTTCTTAGTGTCGTTTCCCCATAGCAAGTGGTTTACGGCCCTGTCTCAACAATTGATTAGTCCTACTGGAACTAGAGACCGTTATCTGCATTGTCACATTGTGCCGAACAGGACGTCTTCAAGTTTAGCAACGTGACCAAACGTCGCCATTTGAAAGAGTCTGCACCAGTATTTCGTAATATTGATGTCTCTTAGTCACCATGGAACTATCCAGCACAGTCAAGGCAGACACTGTCCATCCATAAATCCGTGACTCACTGGGACGAAAAAGGAGCGCCGTGCAAGTCGAGGCAGAAATGGACCTGCAGACAGGCCATGTCTATTACTTTCTGTCCAGTACGTGGGTGTCATGGACTGAGGGCTGAGCTCGGAACTGACGCATATTAACAGATGAAGTTGGCCATCTCTTGGCAGCGGGTGCCGGCATGGATGGAGGCTGGGCAAGCGAGAGTGGATGGGCTAAATCTGTACAAATAGAATAGTTCCTAGTACGACAGGCCGAGAGTCCGGGACCCGATAGGGCTGAGAGAAGCCTCTCCTGAATGATGAGCGGCTGAGAAGACGGCCGCACGCAGCGAGAGGGAACCAAACAGCCTTGGCTACCAGGTGCACAGCCACGGCCACCACGTAGTGCAACCTCCCGGACAAGGGCTGCAGGGGCTGGGCACAGGCGGCTTGCAGCTTGGGCTGGCTGGCATCCATGGATGGAGGCGTGGCTTTCAGGACGGCGATTAAGGGCTGGTCACTGAGCCACTCGCTCCACTGTCATCAGCCACTGGCATGTGGTGGTGTTTAGCGCCATCTCAAGTCCCGTTGAGTACCTATCCGTAAGGTACCTAGAGTCAGAGGTGCCTTGGAACCCAACCTCGCCGCAAGCGCAAGCGCAAGCCGGGCTTGTTTACTGGAGGCACTGAAGAGATCGATTGGAGACCTCCTCCTCGCTTGGCGGATGGATGGATGGTTGCGTTTGGTACCTTGGTCGTAGCGGCGCGTCGTGGGCGCTGGTGGGTTGTATGGGGGCCGTGTTGGTGGGCCGCAAGCTGACAGCCACCCTCGACCCTGAGGGGCGGACAGGGCACCTGGGCAGTGGTAGGGGACCCTATTAGTGGGTAGCGGACAGCGGGGACAGCGGGCAGCCAGCGACGCGCAGTGGTGGACGGAGGGCCCGAGAGTCTTTTTTAGGCGTAGGTGCCGTGGGAGCTGTCGCAACCTAGTTAAAGGTCTCCTCATCCATCCCCATCAGCTCGTCCCGCTGCTGTTGCTGTTGCTCACTGCCCGTCTTTCCCCACGACCTTTTCCCCGTCATCACGGCGTCTCGATAACGGCCTCACCTCGCCGACCTCGGGCTCGGATCCTCTCCAAACGGCCTCTCGCTTGGTCCTGGCTTTGTCAATTTCGGCCGCCTCCAACCCGTCTGTTCAAATCGCCACCCAAGCGCTTCGCTCCTCACCACCGCCGCTACCCCGCCATCCCGTCGTCGTCGTCGTCACAATGGCCTGTAAGTTGCGACCATCGTCAGCCTCACCCCTCCCCGCTTTCCGTCGTTGGGCCCCGTTTGATCCCTTTTGATCTCGGCTTCACGATCGATGCGCTCGTTTTTCTGCGTCCCCCTTTGCTCTTCCGTCTGGCTTCCTATTGCCCTTCGACCCTCTCAGCCTTCTAGCTTCCCTGCAGATCCCCGCTGACCATGACATTTTCCTATAGTCCACGGCATGCTCAACCGCCTTCAGGGCCAACCCGAGAGTTACGATAAGAAGTACGCGATCTGATCCTTCTTCCTCCCTTCTCCGTCCGTCCATCTCGCTCGATTCTAGATCCCTAACCTTTGCCGTCCAATCCAGGTCTCTCTACAGATTCGGTCGAACCCTCGGTGCTGGTACCTATGGAGTCGTTCGTGAGGCCGACAGTCCCTCTGGCAAGGTTGCCGTCAAGATCATCCTGAAGCGCAATGTCAAGGGTAACGAACAGATGGTCTACGACGAGTTGGAGATGCTGCAGAAGCTCAAGCACCCCCACATTGTCCAGTTTGTCGACTGGTTCGAGTCGAGGGTAAGCTGATGCCCCTCGCTTCCCCGACAAACCTACCCAAGCTAACCCATCACCCTAGGACAAGTTCTACATCGTAACCCAGCTCGCCACCGGTGGTGAGCTCTTTGATCGGATTTGCGAGCAGGGCAAGTTCACTGAAAAGGATGCCGCCGAGACTATCAAGCAGGTCCTTAACGCCGTCGACTTCCTTCACACCAACCAGATTGTCCACAGAGGTATGGTCCATAAAGCGACTCGGTCCGTAGTCTCCCGACACCGCTGACAAAAACGCAATTAGATCTGAAGCCCGAAAACCTGCTGTACCTCAGCAAGGACCTCGAATCCGACCTTGTCCTCGCTGATTTCGGTATTGCCAAGATGCTTGACGGCAAGGGCGAGTCCCTCAAGACAATGGCAGGCTCGTTCGGCTACGCTGCGCCAGAGGTCATGCGAAAGGAGGGCCACGGCAAGCCCGTTGATATGTGGTCTATGGGTGTCATCACCTACACCCTGCTCTGCGGCTACTCCCCCTTCCGAAGCGAGACGCTTCAGGACTTGATCAGGGAGTGCACCGATGCCACCGTCGTCTTCCATGAGCGCTACTGGAAGGACGTCAGTGACGACGCCAAGGACTTCATCCTCCGCCTCATCAACCCCAACCCCGACGAGCGCTGGACAAGCGAGGTATGGTTTCCACTGTCCACTTTTCTGGATAGATAAATACTGACAGTCGACGTGTAGCAAGCCTTGAACCACATCTGGCTCAGTGGTAAGAACGCCACCGACCACAACTTGGTGCCCGAGATCAGGGCCTCCCGCGCTCGTTCCAGACTCAGACGTGCATTTGCCAAGATCAGGCTCGCACGACGCATTCAGAAGCTTCGCGAGCAAGAGGAAGACCCCATCGACTCAGATCTGTCCGACCTCTTCCGCGAGGTTGCTCTCGCCAAGATTATGGACGATAAGGAAGAGAAGGAGGTCCAGCAACTCACCGAGAAGGTCGAGAAGGAGACCAAGACTGGCAGCTTCCAGGCTTGAGGCGGTGGCATTGGTGCGGCGACGCGGCGCGGGGAATACATCCAATCTTGCAGGGTGTGGGAGTTTACGAAGACTGGAATACACGTGGGGATATCCTTCTAAAACTAGGTCTTGTCGAGACTGGGGACTTCTTGGCTGCCCCTGGGATTTAGTCAGGTGTGCATGGCAGATGGCAACTCTGTGGATAGGTCGCGACGACTATGCGACTTGGTTGGTTCTCAATGGTTCATTGATTGAAAGTGTTTGTTTCGGACCAGTGCTTTCTGGGAGAAGCCGTGTAGTTCATTATCCACCCAAGTGATTTAATTCATATCGTTACAACTCTGCATATGATTACGTGGTATCGTCAAAGTAAACTAGCCAGCCCAAATCCTGACTCCGGGAGGAAGAAACACCAGTGTTCTCTCCGGCACCTCTGACCCTCGTAAATGCTATTGATACATTACACCGTGATCCTCTACTCGTACGCCACCCACATTACTCAACAAAGGAGACGGGATGTCGGGCCTATCAAAGGTTTCCGACAAGGATATACACCAAAGCAGACGGAGAATCTACCTTGACTAAAAAGAAAGAATTAAAAAAAAAAAAGGATAAGCAGCCATCCAATAAATAGGAAAGATGAAGCTCTACTCCATCATGTCGGCCATGGCCTTCTCTCGTAGCTGCTCATACCGCTGGAAGTCGAACCGCCGGCGCTGCCACCCGCTCGCGCGCAGTCGCTCAACCCGAGCCTGCAGATCCAACGCACGGCGCTCATCATCGTGAAGCCCGAGGTTGGTCGCCGTCGGCGGAGGGTTCCGGGCCTGGGCGAGTTCCGTCTCGATGAATGAGAGGTGCCGGGTGATCTGGCGTTGCAGGCCGGAGAGGAGCGCGAAGGACCGGTGCATGGCGTTGACGTTGGGGAGAGGTTGTTCAGCAGGCTCGGACGGCGCAGACTCGGCGGCCTCGGCGGGTGATGGGAGGTCTGGCTGGATGCCCGGAGATGTGGGCGGAGATGGCATCGCATCAAGGAGGTCCTGGAACGAGCTGTCGGCAAACGGGGCTATGCCGAGGGTTGGCGAATCTGGGCGTACAGATACCTGAGAATGGCTGTTGGACGTCCTCTTGAGCGGCTTGAGCAGCTTGAGCGGCTTGATCTGGGAATGGCTGTACTCTATCGAGGATCTGGACGACGACGCCGGAGACGGTCCACGGGACCGCAACGATGGGCTCCACATGGCCGAGGGCTGAGAGCTGAGGATGCTGGTTGGCGAGCCGCTATAGTCGTAGTCGTAGACAAGGCTGCTGTCAGAGTAGCGCAGGAAAGATGAATTCATGGCGGCCTCTTCGGCGTCGAGAGTGGCGATGAGGTGCGACGCCTTGAGATAGTGGTCCCGCGCTTGATGGAGGAAGTTGACGCGGGCCGTGGAGGCGTGGTGTAAGCCGCGAGACATCATCTCCTGGGCGCTAGCAGCGTAGAAGTGGAGATAGATGAGATATGCGGGCTTGACGGTGGACTATATGGGAGAGTCAGGAAATGGTCTCAGGTCTCAGGTCTCATGTGTATTTTGGGATGGGCGGAAGTGCCGTGTTAGTGCGACTTACAGCATCACGGAGATTGTCCAATATCTCAGTGCAGCGAGCTGCACACGGACGGTATCTCTGGTTGACGTATTCTCTCTTCACATCTGCGATGGCCTTTGCCCACTCGCTGGACGTGTAGGGTAGAATGGGCAGGCATCCCGGGAAAGTTGGAGCGGACCATCTGGCGCCCTTGGCCTTGGCTGCCGTGCTGCTGGGGAGGTTGAGATTTGGTGACGTCGATATGACATGGCAGCCGGCGGGGAGAGCGGGCAGCGCCTGAGGAAGCAGAGTCGCCATCATGATGAGATGATTGTGCTTCTTCCGATGAAATACAGAAAGTCGAGATGCTCAAGACCGGGAACTCTTGGTGGAGGGGACGGTATATGAGTCCTGGCAGGAATGCGTGGCGGAAGCCTTGTGTTGCCAATATGGGCGCCGTCGATTTCAGCCTTTGGCGTGGGGTACGATCCAATGAGGCGAGACCGCGCCGTGACACACGACGGGTCGGTGAGAATGAATCTTGAGTGTCCTGAGTCTGAGTTTGGGGGCGTGATGATGGGGCGTCCCGGTGAGACCATGTGTCGATTAACACACAGGGAGGCTGATAGTTTGATCGTGTGGAGGACGAGTGGATAGATGGTGGGAGGTATGAGTGCTTCGTGGAGGCCTGAGTGGAACGTAGATTCGAGCGGTTCAAGATAATCAAGAAAGCCAAGAATGAGAAGAATGAATGGGGAAGAACTAAGTTAGCTAAGGAAAGCTGCGACCAGTTGATTAAGATTTGTCGCCCGGGACGGCTCTTGTTGTAGTACCCCGAAGAGTGCGGGCGAGATCTGATCGGAGACCAGGGTAGCCGGAAGCAGTTGATGAGAGGCGGCCGGTGATGGATGGCCGGTGGAGCACTCAGTGCGGGAGATGGATCGTTGGTGCGGGCGATGCCGTATCCGGCAATATCTGAGCCCGCCGACTGGCTGTATCCTCTAGGATAACCCCCGGAAAGCAATTAATGTGAGGGTGGCTATAATCCTTATACGTCTCGACTGCCGGAGCGGAGGCCGACGCAGATCGCGGAAGGGCCCTTCCTCGAATGAGTGTGTTGACGGGGTGGTTGGAATGGGCTGGCGCTTCTGCGTGGGTGCACTGCTTCGAACGTATCCGTATGCTTTGGTGGTTGGTTGTGGGTGTGTAAGTGAAGCAAGCGAGGCGACGGCCAACGAGAGCAGCGCGAGAGCAGACACCACAGCGAGTGAAGCGGCGCAAGAGGCACAGGCAGCATGCAAGTAAGTGGGAAGCAAGATTGACAAAAGCACACACACACAGACGCAACACGTTTCCGTCACCGGCTTCGCGACGTGGTGTTTTTTTTTATCCCTCTTCTCTCCGACCTCGAGAGGGGGAGCTACCACGCCCGACTACTTATCCCCAAGACCTCGAGCTGAGGCCACTAGTCATGCCTTGTCCAGGGGCCAGCGAGGGAGCAGAGACGTTCTGGTTGGAGGCCAGAGAGTATTCTTCTCCAGCTTACACAAAGCAAAACCTCGGGACTCCTGGCGAACGAACCAGCCAGCCCCTTCATAGGCGGTGTTGCACAAACCTCCCCCCCACCGCCTGGCGGGGAGCGCCCCACGCCAGTGTGGCACCCGTGGATGCGGATTGCGCATTTCTTGGGAAAATCGGGACGGTCTGCATGAGCTGGGCCGCTAAGAGAGAAACCAACCAAGAAAAGAATCAAAGGGATGGATAGCTACAGTACGAATTGCGGTACCGCGGCAGGGGGAAGGGGGGAGAGGAGAAACGAGAAGAGAGAAAGGGACCCAGAATGGGAGTCTCCATCCGTCACCCGTCACCCGTCACGAGAGGCCGCGCGCGGATGGCCACGGTCTGGGCGACAAGTAGGTAGTCCAACATGCCACCAATCCCAGACAATCGAGTCGCGAGGATGACTCGCAGAAATAAGTTCCTACTCCATTCATATAGGACGCACATACACAGGCACGGCGCCTCTTGCCGCGGCCAGTGTATCGTGTGCGGTGAGCCCAGTCGCTTGCGGCGAGTGGCCTCTCTCCCCGGCCCCCCCGATGCAACCGTCACAGGGCTCCCGCGGCTGGGGTATCCTGCGATGCACGTACTACGTAGTATGTACGACGGGCCTTTTATTAATGAACTTGATTCATTTTCGCCGCCTTCTGAACCTGGTAGCTCGAGATCCCCCAATTATGCCTGTCGTGGCGCTCTCCCGCGTCCGCCCGAATGTCGCAGACAGAGTCGTGTCGCGTCCGTCTTGCTCTCCGTCCAGTCTTGAACCGTCCCCTCGTCCGACCACTCGCCAATCGACCGGCCACGTCCATCGCAGACACACGGTTTTTTTTTTTTGGGGTTTTTTTTTTGGGGTTTTTTTTTGGCCGAGATGGAAGTGCTATCCGTGCCATCCAGGAGGTAACCTCTGGTTGTTTCAACGTGTTAGATGATTATGGTTTTTCCCCGGCGAAGAGGCGCGGGTACACTAGGTTAGTGCCCGATGGCACGGATACACAATAAAATAACATTTACTCCATGAAACTAGCAAGAGAACATCCGCATTCTGTAACAGACATCTCACCGAAGTCACCCCCGTTCCAAAACAAATCTCCATCGTCGTGGCGTCAGCGGGTCTTGCAGATTCTATACATCGCAGTCCCATGAGGATTCTTGGCGTATTGCTTCGTTTTGTTTCATTCATTTAGTAACCATCTATGCCGAAGGATTCGCAGGCGTCTGCTCCTCCGCAGGAGTCTTCTGCTCAGCAGGGGCCTGCTCAACGGGAGCTTGCTCAACAGCGACAGGTGCCTCCTCGGCCTTCTCCTCGGTCTTGACCTCTTCGGCCTTGACCTCGTCGACCTTGACCTCGTCGACCTTGACCTCGTCGCCCTTGATTCCATGGACCACTCTAAGGCCCTCAGCCTGTCGTGTCATTTCATCCAACTCTCGCTTGCGTTGGAGGCGGACCTTGACCTCTCGCGTCATATCCTTAAGGTCAACAAGCACACCCTCCTTCTCGGGGTGGCCATCCTGCAATCCCATCTCCTTGATCTTGACCTTGCCACCGGCGACCTCATCCTCACCGAGGAAGATGGCAAAGGGAACGCCGTTGACTTCAGCGGCCTTGAACTGGGCAGGAACCTTGGGCTTAACCTTGTAGAGGAATTCGGCCTAAACGACAAATGTTAGATCTTGTTTTTTGAGAAATTGAGAAAGAAAACCAAATCCACGAACCTTGATACCGGCTTCCCAGAGCGTGGCACAAATTGACATGCGCTCCTTCAGGAAGCCCTTGCCGCCAAACGCAATGACGTAGACATCGACGTCGTTATTTCGAACGGCCGCCGCGCTCTTGTCCGCAGCCATCTTTGCCTTGGTGATGGAGAAGATGCGATCCACGCCAAAGGAAATTCCGACGCAGGGAATCTGGTTTTTGCCCGAGAACATGCCGACAAGCTCATCATAACGGCCACCAGCAGCGATACTGCCAACACCGACGGTGGGGTCGTTGGAACGGTCGTCATCCTCGGAGCCCTTCTTGCCCCTCTTCTTGGATGGCTTGGGTGCTTCGCCCTCCTGACTGGGGGTCACAGAGGGAGCAGATCCTTCCGTCACAACCTCGTAGATCAATCCTGTGTAGTAGTCGAGACCTCGGGCCAGGCTGAGGTCGAAGGATACTCGGTCAAGTGCGTTGAATGCCTCCAGGTATTCGAAAAGGAGAGCCAAATCATCCATGCCCTTCTTCATAGACGCGTTGGCCGCCAGCTCCTCGTTATTTCGAAGCTTCTCAAGCAGATCTTGCTTTCCCTTGAGGACGACCCACTCTCCGATGCGGTCGGCAACACCTTCATCCAGTCCCTTCTCGATGGTCATCTCCTTGCGCACATCAGCCCATGGCATCTTGTCCAGCTTGTCAACAGCCGACGAAATGGTGCGAATCTTGTCCTCGGGCACACCGCAGACTTCGAAGATACCGTCGAGGATTTTCCTGTGGTTCAGCTTGATTGTGTATCCGCCGTTCCAGCCAAGGCCCTCGAAGACCTCAGTGATGATGCGGAGGACCTCGGCATCGGGCACCATGGCATCGAAGGATCCGGCGATGTCGAAATCGCACTGGTAAAACTCCCTCATCCGGCCCTTGCTCACAGCTGGCTGATCTCTTCGGTACACCTTGGCGATGTGGTAGCGCTTGATGTTCTGGATATCCTTGTTCATGGCGAGGAAGCGGGCAAAGGGGACGGTAAGGTCGTATCGCAGAGAGCAGATCTCGCCACCCTGGTCGGCAAGGTCGTAGATGAGCTTGCTGTCCTCGCCATACTTGCCAGAGAGGATGTCCCTGAGCTCGAAGACGGGAGTGTCGATGGTGACTCCGCCGTGACGCTTGAAGACTTCAGCGATGGTGCTGAAGATCTTGTCACGAATGACCATATCCTTGCCCTCCCCTGGTTATAGTGTTAGTTTCTCATGTGTGTACATGTCGGATCGGATGGACGAGGCGCACAGTCTTTGGTGCCCTTGGGGGTCTTTAGTTCGAACTTGATCTTGGGCGCCATTTCGAGGGGTTGCTCGCGGCGCGGGGCAGTTGCGTGGAGGGAACGGAAAAGGCCTGCGGGGAAAGCGTGGCTCGTGGAGATCGTAGAGATGGTAGATGACGAAAAGAGAAGAGGGTGAGAGAGTGACAGGCGTGAACCGGGCGGCGGCCGCAGAAGGCGAGAAGACCGCAGTGTTGGTTTGGCCAGGGAGAATTTGGTCACGGTTGGAGTCATCCGTTCTGTGCGCTTGGTGGGCGTGGGAGTTCCTCAATCGGAACCCACCTGCCCGTCATGCAGAGTGCGTCACTCAGAAGCCAATTGCACTTGCCAGAAAAAACCTGGGAAAAAACCGGCTAAGGCAACCGTCAGTGGCTCGCCGTCGTGTGCTAGAAGTCCGCTGGGAGCTGTTTGATGGTCCCCTGCCCCGCGCGTCATGGTTGGCGGGGCATTCACTGCAGTGGCTCGGAGGGGAACAATGCCTGTCCGTGAATCGTCACATTGATCTATGGCTCTGAATTGCACTGTTCAAAGTTAAGAATTCTGGAAAACCTGATGAGATTCATAAAGTTTTCCCTATACCTGGGACCGGTATATGCATCAATACAACTGTCGTTTAGAATCTTTTAAGCGCTTGTTCGCGGAGCTCCTCCCCAGGTTCCGCATAGGCCTTTACACGGTGATGAGCAAAAAGTCAGTACCACGTTGATGCTTCCCTACAAGGCTGAGTTGGATATGGATTGAACACTGCAGGAAAATCAAGTAGATCTCAAACGATAATCGTCACTCGTCAGCTCGGCAAAATGACACGATTCCTTGGCAGAGCAGAGAATCTGCCTCGTCTCTTGACATGACTGCTCCCAACTGTTACCACCCTTTTTTTTTTGGTCGAGGCGTTCTGAGGCTGACCCGTGGCCACCCGCTTTAAAGCCTTCAATAAGGAAACTCGGTATACACATTCGAAATGTGGCTTGCTACAGGTGACTCATTTAGAGGAGGGTTGCACAGACGAGATGTTGATGGCTCATTTTTGGTGACCTCATATTACGGATTTCGGGTCCCTGGTATTCGGTGCCATCTGGACAGAAGAAGGAGAGAAGAAAATGAAAAAAAAAAAAAAAAAAAAAAAAAAAAGGGTTGGGGACAATGGATGACCCTCGTGTCGACTTCGAAGGCCCATAGGCGTTCCAGATGGCCAGTTTCGGTATGGTGAGAACTGTCGGGTTCGGATTGGGCAAGGAATACGCGTATTGAACCGTTGCTCAGCGCGACAGCTCCGAGGTATCATTTCCCGTTTCTCTCCGGATGGTCGGGCGGGCGGGCCGTGTGATGGAGCACTCAAGTGACCACGACTCAATAACGAAGAGTGTGTCAGATCACACGTGTCTGGAACGTCCACCGGGTCATCATGGCGTAACTCTGTCCGTCTCCTGGGTTCAGCTTAGGCGGGTGCCATGGTGATGCTGCCTGGTGACTGTGTGAGTCGAAGAATACGAGGCGATGAGGCGTTCTCGCTTGAGCGTCCAAGACCCTGTCTGTGGCTGAAAGCCAATTTAGTTACCTTGGGATCGCGGGTTTCGTCCCCAGGCAGAAGTGTCGAGGAGGATGGCACTTACTCCAGTAGTTAAGCTTTCTCGCACAGCCTTCCTTCCAAGACAAGGTATCAGTATCAGATCCTGGAACTCCGCACTCCAGATCTCGCATCGGAAGTCTTCATTCTCCCGAATACATGTCCCCCACAGCACAGTTGGGGTTCGGGATTTGAATAGTACCCGATACCCCGACTACAGTGCGGCGGCGCGTGAGGGACGCCTGGTGTCCAATGACTCGCTCGCCATTGGTCGCCATTGGCTGATTTGAACGCCTCCAGTGGCTCTCAGAGTAGTCGACATCCATGTTTCTGAACGGATGCAGGGCATCCCACCCCGCTCGCGTACGCACTTTCGTGCATGTACCTAAGGTATTGCGCGAGGTAGACTGAGGAGCTTCCACCTCATCTTCAAGATCGGGATAAACGGAGCGCCCGAATCCATCGAAATCTACGAAGTAACAAATGGGGAGGAGAAGGGGGGAGTATCAACGCAACCGCCGACTTTGACCGCCGACTTTGACCGCCGACCCGAAACTAAACCCTGCCGTCTCCATTTCGAACGTCCGTTTCTCCTTTTTACACCAAATATCCAACCGTCAATTTAAGGTAGTAGCTGTTGTCAGAGCTAACAGCCTAACTGGCACCACCATCTCCGCTGACGCACCCCTGCCGTATTTCGTATACGTTGTTCTCTTAGTGTCCTTGGCCCGCTGTACTTAATTAGGAATCCCTCAAATCTTGGGCCACCTCCGTCACCACGCCTTTACGACTGTCCATCACTTGTAATCCACGTTTTCTTCTTCTCTAGGCTCCCGTTTTCTTTAATCTCTGTCCCTTCCTTTAGATCACCCCTCCTTCCTACCCTCGGCCGTGATGTGCTTGTCGCCTTGACTTCAAGATTAGCACCATGGACAGCGAAGTCGAGAAAGCTGCTGAGAAGCCCTCGGGTATCTCGTCGTCCGTCTCAACCCCCCAGACGCCGCAGACCACCGCCGACGATGATGCTGCCACTCAGGCAAAAGTCCGCCCTGAGCGAACCGCGAACTTTGGAGATTATATGGTAACTAGCAACTTACGTGTCTGGTGTCAGCACTTCTAGCTTGATGCTGACCATTGCCATGTAGCGCGTGTTTAGCTACGCAACGAAGTGGGACTTGGTCGCATATGTCGCCGGACTCCTTGCCTCCATCGGCGCCGGCGTCGTAAGTCCTCCTTGATCCATCTACAGTCGTTTCTCTACTCTCTCGTTGACAACTTTCTTTGATAGACTTTGCCGTTGATGAATGTCGTGTTCGGTATGACTGCATAAAATCTAACCCCTGGTTAACGAACCACCTCTGATGATTTATTTGCAGGCCAATTCACTGGCGAATTCTCCGATTACTTCCTAGAAAACAGCACCACGACCAAGGCCGAGTTCCAAAAGACTATTGATAAGTTTGCGTACGTCCTAGATGCGTCTTAACCCAATAGCCATCGCCCCTACTAATACGGCACAGACTCTACATGTTTTTCTTGTTCCTCGCTCGATTTGCCCTCAACTACGTCAACAAAGTATGTTTCGCCCCTATTGACACTTGGTCAGTCATGACTAAGACAACCGCAGTTGGTTTTCCGCATGATTGGCATTAGACTCTCGTCCGCTGTTCGATTGCACTACATCAAGTGTTTGTTTGGTCAGAGCATCCATGTTCTCGATTCGATGCCTCCTGGATATGCCACGGCCACCATCACCGCAACGGCCAATGTCCTACAACTTGGAATCTCGGAAAAACTGGGTATTTTTGTCGAGTTTAATGCCACAATCATTGCTGCAATCATCGTGGCTTTCACTTGGAACTGGGCTCTCACCCTCGTCACTGGCTCCGTCATCTTATTTCTCGTTCTTGTGATCGGAGCTATTCTTCCATTCATCATCAAGGCAAACGCCCGGGTTGCACAGGTACCCCTGCCGTCCTCTCCTGCGCGGCCACATCCAACTAACACCAAACTAGGCTGAAGGCAAGGCTAATGCGGTTGCGAGTGAGGCACTGGCCAGCATCAGAATGGTGGCTGCATGTGGCGCCGAGTCTCGCATCGCCAAAAAGTACGCCAACTTCGTCGAGGAGACTGCGAAACACGGTCGGCTTCTCTCCCCACTCATTGGTACCCAGCTTGGTCTAATTGTGAGTTAACACCGCCACATTCACTGCTTATGCTAATCTGTGTAGTTCTTTGGACTGTACTCGAGCTTTGGCCTTGCCTTCTGGTATGGCACAAAGTCATATCTTGAGGGTAGAGTTGACAACGTTGGAGAAATCCTGGTGTAAGCATTTCACTACCTACCACAGTACTCCTGCTGATAGTTATAGGGTGTTGCTCTCTGTCATGATGATGGTGATTTCTATCGAACGCACCTCTACCCCACTACTAGCCGTGGGGAAAGCAACAGTTGCTGCTTGCGAGTTTTTTATTGTTATCGATGCGCCCCAGCCGGACAAAGGCCACCTGAAAGACCCTGACGTTTCGGCCGAGGAAGATATTGTTTTCGAGGGTGTCACGTTTGCGTACCCAGGCCGGCCCCACGTTAAAGTCCTGGATGATCTGGACCTGCGCATCGAGTCAGGCAAGATCAATGCTGTGGTCGGTCCGTCTGGCTCAGGAAAAAGTACGATTGTCGGCCTTATCCAAAAATGGTACTCGCTACAAGATCAACATATCCTAGCTAAAGCAACGGAAAAAGAGAAGGACAAGGGGAAAAAGAAGAAGGCGAAGACGCAGGAGGATGACACCCAAGCGGAACCCGAACCTGAGGAGACTGGCCCCCCCGTTGAGTTACGCGGCAGTATTTCTACCGCTGGCCAAGCTTTGGACAAGATCGACGTCAAATGGTGGAGATCCCAAATCGGCCTTGTCCAGCAAGAACCATTCCTTTTTAATGATAGCATCTACCGGAATGTTGTCTACGGCCTGATTGGATCGCAATGGGCGGATGAATCCGACGAAAAGAAAAGGGAGCTTGTCAAGGAGGCTTGCAAGGAAGCATTCGCTGACGAATTCATCGACAAGTTGCCTGAGGTAAGCGACTCTTGATTCCCTGACGTTCATTGCACTCACAGCATCCCAGGGTTATGATACCATCGTCGGCGACAGTGGTGCCAAGCTCTCCGGTGGCCAGCGCCAACGCATCGCCATCGCCCGATCCATTGTGAGAAAACCCAAGATCCTTATTCTCGACGAAGCAACGAGTGCCATCGATGTCCGTGGCGAGCGAATTGTCCAGGCTGCCCTGGATAGAGTGGCAAAAAACCGCACTACGATTACTATTGCTCATCGCCTGTCGACCATCAAGAAGGCCGATCGCATCCTCGTCTTGAAGAAGGGAAAGGTTGTAGAATCCGGAAACCACAACAGTCTCATTGCGATGGAAGGAGGCGTGTATTCTGCCCTCGTCCATGCGCAAGCACTGTCCCTCGGGGAGCCTACCGAGGCGAGCCACGAGGATGAGAGTGACGAGAAGCCCGAGTTGATGCCCATCAAGAGCATCGCAGCGTCTGAAGGCGAAAACATCACTGAGAAAGCGGGTTCAAAGCAAAAAAACATGTTCGCCAGTTTCGGGCGATTCTTCTACGAGTCCAAGAACGTCTGGGCTCTCTTTGTCTTCACCCTCATTGCAGGAGCTTGCGTTGGTGCCGGAGTGCCGCTCCAAGCGTGGCTATTTGGAAAGGTGATTGTTGCCTTCCAGTACACTGGCGAAAAGATGCGCAAGGAAGGCAACTTCTGGTCCCTGATGTGGGTGATGCTGGGCGTTGGCGTTGGCGTCTCATACTTCTCTGTCATCTTCATTGCAACCAGGATGTCGACCATAATCCGCGCCAAATATCAGCAGCAGTACTTCGACACCGTCATGTTTCAAAAGACGTCGTTCTTTGACGACGAGGATCATTCTCATGGCACCATGACATCCCGAGTTGCACAAGACCCAAAACAGCTGGAGGAGCTTATGGGCATAAACATGGCGAGCGTCTTCATTGCCCTTTTTAACCTCACTGGAGCAATTTCCATTGCCTTTGCCTTTGCCTGGAAACTTGCCCTTGTTTCCTGCTGCGTCATTTTGCCCATCATGCTCTCCACCACCTACTGGCGTTTCAAGTATGAGCTGAGCTTTGAGAAGATGAACAATGAGGTCTTTGCAGAGAGCTCCAAGTTTGCGTCTGAGTCGATCGGTGCCTTTAGGACGGTGACTGCTCTGACGCTGGAAGACTCCATTTGCGACCGCTACGAGAAGCTGCTGAAGGAGCACGTCGTCACGGCCTACAAGAAGGCCAGATGGGTGAGCCTCATATTCGGCTTCTCCGACAGTGCTAGCATGGCTTGTCAGGCCTTGAACTTTTACTACGGCGGTCGTCTCCTCGCAAGCAAGGATATCAGTCTAATAAGCTTCTTTGTCTGCTTCATGGCCATTACCCAAGGCAGCGAGGCAGCGGGACAAGCTCTGGGCTTTGGCCCGAACGCCGCACAGGTTACGGCTGCGGCCAACCGAATTCTCAACATGAGAGAATCACAAGTGAAAGACCGTGCCTCGAAAACCCAAGAGATTCCCGACGTTGATGGCGGCGTCAAGCTTGAGTTGAAAAACATTCACTTCAAGTATCCCACTCGCAGCACACCTGTGTTCAAGGGTCTGAATCTTACTATCGAGAAAGGCCAGTTTGCTGCTCTTGTCGGTGCTTCGGGTTGTGGAAAGACATCCATTGTTTCTTTGCTTGAGAGGTTTTACGACCTTGACAAGGGTCAAATTCTTTGTAACGGCAAGGACGCAACCGACGTCAATTTGTTTGAATACCGCAAGTATCTCTCCCTGGTTGCCCAGGAGGCTACACTTTTCCAAGGTACGATTGCCCCTTTTCACATACGCAGACCTCTAACTGACTTGTTCGCTCTCAGGCACCCTTCGAGAGAACATCCTTCTCGGCGTCGACCCAACCGTTGTCACCGACGAAGAACTCCACCAGGCCTGCCGCGACGCCTCGATTCACGAATTCATCGTCTCCCTACCGGAAGGCTACAACACAAACATCGGTTCCCGCGGCGTCTCGCTGTCGGGCGGTCAGAAGCAGCGCATCGCTATTGCCCGTGCACTGATCAGACAGCCCAAGATCCTCCTCCTCGATGAAGCTACGAGCTCTCTTGACTCGGAGAGCGAGAAGCTCGTGCAGGCCGCCTTTGAGCGAGCCAGCAAGGGTCGGACCATGGTGGTGGTTGCGCACCGATTGGCAACGGTGCAGAACGCAGATGTCATCTTTGTCCTTGGCGAAGGGCAGTTGCTAGAGCAGGGCAGCCACGCTGAGTTGCTGAAGAAGAGGGGTGTATATTGGCACATGGTAAGTGGGAACCTTCACGCTCAACCGCCTTGCGCTCGAGTTACTAACTGTATGAATAGTGTCAGAGCCAAGCTCTGGATCGGTAAAAGCGTATTCCATGCTGGGAGCATGTTAGGACCATGTACGAGGGTAGATATACAGGCATATGCGCACCTCATCATTGCGGCGTTAATTTGGTATTGGTATCTATATTCTACTCTGTATTCGATTCTCGTAACACCATTCCGTCCCTAGAAGTAAATAATAACCACCTCTATGTATTTCAACTCCTCACTGAAGCTCTCTCTCGTGGTTCAAAATATACAACATGGCTTCCAAATGGTATGTCGATGAAAGATTTCTTGCACTTCGCTCAAGACTGCGTCTCCCACATGGCCTCTAGCTCCGTAAGGATATGGTCTGAGTGCGTCATGACAAAGTCGTGGCCTCCTGGCAGGACTCTCCACCTAACACTCTCTTCTCCACCAACTAGAGGTAGGGCTTCGCGGCGGTAGTCATCGAGATCGATGATCTCGTCCGACTTTGCCAAGAAAATTGCCGTGGTGCCGGGCTCACGCTTGGCGAGCTGAGCCCAGCTTTCGTGCTGGTCGGTGAGGGGTGCGTGGCGGACGCTGGACATGAAGGCAGGGACGAATCCGAGGTGGTGAACCACCATCCAGCGGACATATTCTAAGACACGGCTCTCGAGAGGCGTAACAGCTTCGCCGGAAGCCGGATCAGCAGCCTCAGCCACAGCGACGTTAGCGGCGGCAGAGACGGCGTCGGCGGTGGGGGTATTCCCTTTGCGACCCGACGCAATGGGCTTCTGGAGGCGGCTGCGAGTAGCGACAGCCAGGATGCGCTCAGGGATGAAGCCGGACTTGAAGAGGAACATGGAGACGCGGCCGAAGGACTCAGCCCGGATGAGACCAGCTGGGGCGAGCAAGACAAGGTCCTTGACGAGGTGGGGGAATGCATTGGCGAAGTGGACAGCGATGCCACCGCCGAGGGAGTAGCCAATGACGCGTAGGGCCTGATTGCCAGTCCAAGGGAGTGGGCTGGAGGCAAGGGCTAGGAGCATCTGAGTAACATATAGGCGGGCATCGTGTGGGAGGTCTGCCACGCCGTCCGAGAAGCCACGACCAAAGAGATCCTGGGAGGGATTGTAAGTACGAGTCTCCCTTCTCCAGTGAGAAGAATAGGGCCGACGACTTACAAAGAGCATCACACGGTAGCCACGCTCCACAAGGGCGTTGGCGATGGGCATGAGGGTAACGCACGGAGTGCTGATTCCGTGGACGAAGAGGACTTTCTCGCCCGTCTCAGGGCCAAACTCGTAAACTCGGATGCTACCATACTGCAAGAGAGTCAGGATCTAGTTGGAAAAGCAACGCATGGCTCGACATGTGCAGGCAAGACATGCATCGCGAGAGTTTCGCTAGGTCCGAGAGCCGCGAGGAGGGTGTTACTCACCGGCGTGTCGACGTCTCGCGCACCGGGTAACAGATCTGGGTGGTAAACTAGCGCCTTGGAAGACGTAGATGAGTTCGAATTGGCGGTAGACAAGCCGGAGCCGGTCTTGAGTGGGCTGGGGAAGATCTTGGGACGGGCGGGCCAGAGAGCTGCGCGGGCGAGAGCGAGGACACCGACGGTTGCCAAGGCAGCTGTGGTCGCGACGAGCGCCGGGCTGGGGAGGTCTGAGGAGGAGGCCATGGCCGTGCGGTATCCTGGTGACGATGCGGTGAAGGGATCTCGGCGAACTCGGAGCTGAAAGTGCGTTGAGGGTGTGGAGGAATAAGCAAGCAAGGGAGGCTGCGAGAGTCTAGGAGCGACTGCAAGTTTCACGGGACGGTGAAACCCGACGGAAAGTTGAGAGCTGAAGTCTGAAAACGAGACGCCGCCGTCGTGCTGTGTGATTATTCGTGTATGCAAGGCTGAGGAGTGATATGTGAGATTGCGAAAGCCACCCCCTTCTAGGTAGTCAGCAAGCAAGACGCCTCGCAGCCACTTGAGCGAGTCGGTCACGCCGGCCAAAGTCCCAAGACAGCCAAAGCAACGGCAATGGAAGGCTGAAGAGAAGCTGAAAAAGCCAAGAATGAATGTGTCGCACTTCCAGGCCAAGGCATGTACATGTACCGCACAGTACCGGTACTTGAGGATGAGAAAAAGAAACGAAGGATGGCGCCAAAGATGTATGAAGCGGGAGAGAGGAGCAAGGAGCTGAGGAGTATCGGAGCTCTCCTGGGAGGACGGAACGCACCTGCCCGCGCTACCTGACATCATAGCTCCCGGCCGGACGGTTCGGCAGGCGGAGGCTTCAGTGGGGCCCTCTCAGGGAGAAGGAACTCACCCACGTGGGTCGTCAGCTGTCCAACCTCTGCACAAACTACAATAGACGCCGTGATGGTTGGTCCCAGTGACACGAATGGAGGACAAAAGATGGAGAAGAGAGGATAGACTTGGACACAGGAAAAGACCAATATTCTACCGGGGAGCATGTTCTTCAACTTTAGCTTTAGCTACGCCATACAACAATCTAAACCCGTCTGTATAGCTCCATCGAGCGAATATAACTGTAATCTTCATATTGCTCTCGGGTTCGTCCCTATCAGGATTGTGACCACCTGTAATTGAACCCGACCGTCATTGCTCATTCAGATCATGTTATTCATCTTCATGTCAAGTCTCACTATGTACACTGTCCAGCTGACCTGAACGCCTGTCACATCTATCAACCAAGCCCTACCGCCCACGCTGCATTCCCCAGCTGCCGGATTAACCCGCACAGGTTCTCGACAATCGCTGGTACAACCTCCTTGGCACCTGAAAAGTTCGCCTTCAACACTTCCTGTGCTACTTCCATGCATTGTCGCGGATCCTCAATGGACGCCTGGGATGCCCGGGTTTGCGGGCCAGGTCCTCGGATCAGTGTCCGCCCCTGCCCAAGGTTGATGAACTTCTGCAGCGCTGGCGATTCCGGTCCATCCATGTAGATCGGTTCCTGTTGCGAAAGCCTTGATTCCCGTCGGTTGGCTCGCGTGACAACGCCATATGTCCAGAGCGCAAGCGCCGCGTGGTGCACCGCAACCGCGTAAAACGCCTTCAGGTGACCCTCGGGGAACAGCTTTGCGTACCGCAGAATTTGCCCGGCATACCAGATGGCTGATCGGGAATCAGTGCTCTCGGCCCACTGCTGTAGTACTGGGTAGATCCGCCGCGCCTGGTCCTCCCCTTCCTTTCCAGCGAAGAGCTGCAAGTCATCTAACGACACGTGCAGATTCATCATCAGCAGGTTGAGAACGACTCGCTCTTGTGCTGACATCTCTGGCCACTCTGATGTCAATGTTTGGAACGTGTGTAGGTCCTGGACTAGGTGTTGATGTCGAGGGCTGAGCAGCAAGGCCGATCCCCCAAAAGAGCCCCGCGTGTAGGAACGCGACCGGTGGGCGGCACTCAGCGATCTGTACTCCAAGATCAAGGCCCAAAAGGCGTGGAGGAAAATTGATAACGCGAGTTGCACATCCAAGCGATGTCGGTTGGCCGTGAGAAGGTTGATATCATGCAATAGATCGCCAACTGAGGGCGCTCTCTTGGCCTCGCTGGCATTTCGTTCCAGGTACAGTCTTTTCCACTCCTCTGCTGTTCTGGCGAACCATAGGTCTCCCGACGCAGGCAAAGGAAGTGTAAGCTCGGCGTACGATATGGCAGGGTTTGTCAAGGTTGTCATCGATGTCTGAGCATCGCGATGTTGCGCGTGGAAGACCAAACTGTTGGGGCTTAGCATATATAATCACTGGGAACTGAATGATCACATACCGTTTCCATTGCTCTTGACCAATCCATTTCTTCCACTTTTCCTGTAGTACCTCTCCTGCGTCTGAGGGATCGACTGAAATGGCAGGGTATGATGACCGCTGATACCTACCGCGATACCGCATCATCTATGGGAATAAGCACTGGACCAGGAACTACCATATTGAACTTGGGCACACTCACAGTCACAGGGATGACCAGATGGCATTCCGCAATCTCCATCTTGTGTCGATTCCCACTCCACAGTGCAATGTCCTGTGTCAGAATCAGAGACTGGAGAAGGCCCAGGTCCTGTATTGACCTGTGATCCTCTTCGAACTACGACCGTTAGTAACAAAGACGCCAAGGGACGGATTTGAACTCGTCAGCGTAGAATTGACATACTCGCAATGGTATAGTGAGACCTGGCGCAACAGCATTAGCAAAATTCCAAGGCGCAGCGGACATGGGCTTTGTCACTTACGGTAAGACTCTTGCAGAGCGAGCCCGAATCTGCGTAGCGTGGGAGATGGCGCAAGGACGGCACCGGCAGCGGCGACAGCAGCAATCCACTCCGGCCACTGCTCGTTCAGCTTGAACGTCGGAAAATGTATCCATCCCGATACTTGGGATACGTGGAAGTTGAGATAGATGTGAATCAAGGTATCCACCAGATCGCAGGACGGGAATGACGCGGCGACCCGGTTGAATATCGACTCTTGCCGACAGGCTTTCAATACGAGACCGAGCACTCGATCTCGCCCTGATTGCTCCAGCTTGTCATGGACTAGCCACTTCCTCGTCTCCCGGACTTGAAGGCTGTTGGCTTCTCCACTTGGCACAGGAAGGTTCTTGGTTTCACCGTATGTATCCTCTGTCCCGTTGGGCTGCCACCTCCAAGCCGAATCAGTCCAGACCTTCACGACTCTCTGGCGCATCTGGGAAATGTCAATTGACGTTTCGGTTTCGGGAGTCTCCTGCTGGATCGGAAAATTGCCCGTGGTGTCGGAATTCCAAGTGTCCAATGTGTTAAAGTCGAAGTCGGAGAGCTCCATGTTGGTATCGTCGCAAAAGTCTAGGACCGCCAAGCCTTGGCCTTCAACCAGTTTGTCTTGATTGTCAAAGTTTTGCTCATACAGAATGTCCCGGAGGAAATCGCCAAAGGGAAGACGGTCCATATCGAGCGGGACCTTGGCTCCCATGTCCATTTTTTGAGGGTAGTTGTCAGAGGAGCCTAAGCCAGGTCAGTCCTGAGCTTGACGACGTTGATATGCAGCAAGACTGGGGGTTGCAATAGGGGAGGAACCGCATGTGGGTAGTGGCGAGATTTAAGAAGAACTGACCTTGATCTATAACAGTGTCCGGGGTAGCCATCTGGCCAGCATCGGGCCGGGGGGGAGTTGTCAGATCCAAGGGAGATGCTTGGTCAACGCTGAGCTGGGCGCCTAGCGAGGTAGAACCTGGGACACTGCCCGACATGCTGGGCGGGGGATATCCGGCAGGAGGACTCGAGTCTTCCAGGCTGTCGGCAATGGAGGATGTCGTGGAATGGGCACTCGCGGAGAGGTGCACCAGGTGCATGGCGGCGGTCGACCCGGCCTCGGACGAAACGCATGTCAAGCCGCGGCGCACGCAGCGCTGGCAAGGCTTGTCCTCTTGGCACTTGACACGGGCTACAGCGCAGGCCTTACAAGCATGGGCGACACGACCGGCGTTGGGGGACATGGCGGTGCGGCGGCGCTTCTTGGAGGAGTCGTTTTCATGGTTGACCTCATGACGCTTCTTCAGGTCGGCCCGGGCAAAGGTCTTTCCACAGATCTGGCAGGCGAAGCGCCGGCCGAGAGTATGCGTCTGCACATGTCGTTGGAGGTGCTCGGGGCGGGAGTATCGACGGCCGCAGTCACCGCAGGCGTACAGTGAGGGACCAGTATGGCCTCGGTTTGGAGTCGAGGCCGTGGGCGAGTCCGGAAGATTGGGAGGCGGAGGACCGGCCGGAGGACCGGGGATTGCGACGACGGGTGCGGAGGTAGGCGGGAGCAGCGCTGGTCGCAAGGCGTTGGGAGCTCCGGGGGCTGCGACGCCTGACACGGGGAGATGGGGCGGATGGAGAGGATAAGACTGCGTCGCGAGCATCGCCGGCCCCGTCGAAGGCCGCGGAGGGTCGAGTATGTGGGATAGTGATGAACCCGCCATGGCTGGGCTCAGGCGATGGCGCAGCGGACCCGCCAATCGTCAATGGCGACTGGGGCGGGCATGAGCGAGCCGTGACGCACGAGAGAGGGGAGTAGAAGCGGGCGCGAGTGTAAGTGAAGTGAGGTGAGGTGAAATGAGAGTCCGCGCAAGTGGGAGAGGAGAGAAGAGGGTCGTGGGGTGGCCAATTTAGTAAAGACTGTGAGAATCCGGAGTGTGTGCGTCGTGCGTGTGTCCGTGTCAGTAATGGGGGAGGAGGGACGTGTGTTGGAGAAGTTGGAGGTGGGACGGGACTAGACTGGGGGCGGCCATGTGAGTTTGAAGTCTTCCCTTGCAGCGAGGAAACTAGGAAACTACCTAGGTAGGAAACTACACTACAGGAGGCTAGAAATGGGCGACGACAAGTGATGCCAGGTGGAATAACGTATAACGTCGCCGCGTGAGCCTCAACAGCGCCCTGGAGATGCAGGCTCGAGACGGCGATACGCGGCGGTGGCGTTGGTGTGCGTGGGTGCGTGCGGCCGCGGTGTGGACGTACGGTAGAACAGTACTGCAGTACTGTGGTCGTGGTAGTGGCAGAGGTAGAGGGCAGAGGGTAGAGGGTAGAGAGGTAGAGGTACTTGGCACGTACGCTGCCGTTGGCACCGACTTGCCTCTTGGATGGGCGAGGGCGTCTCGATGGTTGGTTCTGCCGCTTCTGGTGTGTTGACGGGAACAGGCCTAGAACGCCGCGTGCAGGACGCCTGCATAATCAGGTACGTACGCGGCTGTCCGTGTCGTCGGGCTCTCGAGCGAGGCCGTGAATGCGAAAACTACGAGGCCGAGTATTCGTATGGGTGTCCTCGTAAGGGTCATTCCCGTCATCGCTAGTCATGGCTGCGCAGGTCGGTTCGCAGCCCGGTTCGCAGCCCGGTTCGCAGGCTGGCTTCTCCCGGCTTGGCGTCACTCCCACCGAGATCAAACGTCTGCTGTCGTCGTCAGCCTCTTAACCTTGTTTAGCACAGTTTAGCACAGGAGGAGCCAGGGCCCCTGCAGTTCAACGTGTAACATCGGCCGTATGGCCAATGGAACCGCCGTCCACGGGCGAGGCCTCGAGCATTGCTGCGTGGTAATTTACCAGGTTCGGACGCCCTGCAAGCACAGTCAGCCTAATAAACAGTTCTCTGCGAACGTACTACGTAGTAGGTACCTACCGTACGCAGGACAAGGTACTGCCTGCTTCGAGCGCTTCGGTTTGTACGCTGACCTGCCTCGGCGTCCTCGGTAAATATGTAGCATGCACCACGTTGGCTGTGTTTTCTTTTGGCTTCGTCCCGCTGTGGATGGCCCGCTGTGGATGGCCTCGCCGTCCAGTTTTTGATCCATCACATTTTGCAAGATTGATGGGGGACTCGGCACAGAGGATCCATCCGGAGGATCCCATGTAAGCTTAACTGGTCAATCCTGCACTGCGAACAAGCGCCACTCCATTCCACCCAGGCCCATGCCGAGTCGCCGACCCAGATAATGTCTTGCTTGGGTAGACAGACCTGGCTCTAGACCCTTTGAACCAGGTGAATGACCACCGGAGTCGGGCTGAACGCCCGCCGGAATCAGACGAGAATCTCTCTTTGACCCTGTCCTATCTCTGGAATCACAACCACGTTCCTGGAACCGGACTCTTGCTACCATGTCCGGGCACTGGATGCGGGCCCTTTTGTCCTGTCTTGTCCTGTCTTGTCCTCTCTGATCTTGTTTTGCCGCTGCCATCATTTCTCGGGAGTACCCGTATCTCCAGGTCAAGATCTACTCGATTTCCACGATGCCCGCATCTCCAGTGATCGTCATTATCCCTCGATCCCCAAACGAGGCCCCCCCCTTGACGATCTCAATGGCGCACGACTGAAAAGAAAAAGAAACGAACCACCAACAAAAGGATATCCTCCGCTCGCTCTCGCCTTATGGCTCACACCCTCGCAATGATCCGCCCTAGTCCGTCGACAAGGCTCTTGGCAGATGACTGGCTTGACGCCACCAATGCACCAATGCATCAGAGAGCATGAGCTAGCCTTGATCGAGTCTCAGCAGCATCCCTGGCCCATCGCGCTAATCCTCTCATCGTGTACGAAACGAAGCACATACGTACGCGGGAGATGGCACGGACAAATTAGTTGCCCAGCTGGAAATGCCCCGTCAAACCAGCATGCTTGGCCAGACGGGCATCTTGAGATTCCCCATCAGTGCTATTAATTACGGAGCAGTTGTATTTTTAATCCGCTGTTCACGTCTCGCCAACCTGGGGGCATTGATCAGATCCATCGTTACCTGGGTACCCAAGTCCCCATCCACATCCCCGTCGTCGCGGATGCTTAAACGCCAAGCATTGTGCCTGAGACATCACCATCGTCATCACTCATCAGCCATCGTCTCCTCTTCTCTCCTTCTTCCCCCATTCTTCCCCCAGCGGCGAGTGCTACATGTGTAGCGCCCCATCCATACACAACCCCCTGTCTGTCTCGGCCTCCCCTCCGACTCCGTCTTATAGCGGCAAGTGCTTTAGTCGCTGCGACGTAGGTTCCCGCGGACAGCTGGTGGAGGGGCTCGTGCCGCGTCGCCTTCGACTCGGTCATATCACTCCTGTTCTCAACCTCCACTGTCCAAAATGATGCCCTAACAATCCAATTCTTGGTTACTTTTGCTCCTCCTATCGCGTTTATCGCGACCAAGACCTATCTTGTGGTTAATGGACTGCCCCGACTCGGTTTTCAAATACACTAGAGCCTTCAACGGCTCTTAGGGCATCGCGGGTCATCATGTCCGCCATGAAGAACCCCGTCACGTCGGCACACGCAATTGTCGTCGACCAAAGGGCTGTAAAGTGCCGAAAACACACGTTGGGAAATGTGCGGCTTCGCGATGAAGACTCGAATGCCCTCATCCTGATTCCGACGCCCTCTCGAGACCCCAATGATCCGTTGAACTGGTGAGTGCATCGTCCGGCAGGACTTCGTACTCGTAGTGCGGAACTAACCAACGTCACCAGGCCGCAATGGCGCAAATACTACACTGCCGGGCTCGTCTGTCTGGCCATGACAATGTGCAATTTTTTAGCTGGCGGACCGTCGATTGCCATTGTAGCCACAGCATTCAGCTTCTTTCCCAACGCAGCCACGGACGGCACCCTGGCAACCTCGGCCATTCCCAAGGTGGCCTACTTCTTCACCACAGTCAGCCTCATCCAGGGCGTCGGCTGCTTTTTCTGGGTCCCCATGGCGAACAAATACGGAAGGCGTCCTGTATATCTTGCCAGCTACGTCGTCTACTTTGCGGCGACGTTGTGGCTCATCTTTGAAAAGTCATATGCTGGGTTCCTCGCGGGTCGTATTGTCATGGGCTTCGGCGCGGGCGCCGCTGAGACCATCGCCCCCATAACCATTGCCGATGTCTTCTTCTTGCACGAGAGAGGAGCTGTTATGTCTTTCTACAACTGCGCTCTTTCGGTCGGCGTCGCTTTGGGCATGATTATTTCGGGGCTCATCACGATACATCATGAGTGGCGAACCATATACCAGGTCTCATCCGCCCTCATCGGCTTCGTGCTCGTGCTCGTCTTCTTTACCTTTCCAGAAACCTCATATCACCGCCTACCTGACGAACGCGAGGGCTCCACCACCACCGTCAATTTGCAGGATGAAAAGAATTCCTCAACGTCGTACAACGAGGAACTCGGGGAATCATCTATTCCTCCTAAGAAAAGTCCTTGGAAGACGCTGGCTTTCTGGAACGGGTCATTGACCAGTGAAAGCGTGCTCAAGATGTTTCTCCGCCCGTTCGTTTTGATTCTGCTCCCCCCTGTGCTCTGGGCAGCCCTCGTCCAAGCAGTGACTATTGGCTTTTTGGTCGCCGTGTCGTCCAACATTGGCGTAGCTTTCGAAGCCACTTATGAATTTGAATCCTACCAGTCGGGCCTCTGCTTTTTGTCTGCCGTCATCGGGTCGCTGCTTGGTATCCCAGCTGGCGGCCACTTTGGAGACAAGGTAGCCGACTATCTCACCCAACGCAATGGGGGAATCAGAGAGCCTGAGATGCGACTGCCTGTTGTGGCACTCTCTATGATCACCACACCGCTGGCGCTGGTGATGTATGGCGTCGGGATTCAACATGAACTCCACTGGATCATGCCGACGATCGGTCTTGGTCTTTGTAAGCCATCTTTACCTCCTTGCAGACACCATCTAACTCAGCATAGTGAACTTCTCAATCACACAAGCTGCAAGTGTCAGCCTCGTCTACGTCATTGATGCTTATCGCCCTGTGGCCGGTGAAGTCAGCCTATCGGTCTTGGGCTTCAAATGTGAGTTGTCGTTATTGCCCTATTGTTGTCGGAGCTAACAACTAGAACAGCAATGTTTGGGTTCCTCCTCTCATTCTACACGAACCCATGGATCAACGAGTCGGGCTACCAGAATGCATACGGAGCTATGGCTGGCATCGCGGCGTCGGTGCTGTTGATGTGGGTCCCTTTTTACCTCTGGGGCAAGAAGATCAGACATGTCACTTGGCATTGGCCGCTCATTTCGTTCATCCATTGGGACGATGATCGGGAAGTTGGAGAGTGATGATAATGTTGATGATTTGTATAGCAGGCGAATTATGTTTTATCCGTTGGCGCATGCCTTTACGTCGATATACCCTCTATAATCAAGATCTTAGTCTGTTTCGTTTAGCAACGTTGGGTCCCTGTTGGGTGGTGCGTCATGATTAGAGTGACATGCCAGCATCCAGCACAGCATTGACACCCGTCACACCTCTTGATTTCGCAAAGCAAAGAACCTGTTGGGCCACGTCATCGACCGTGACGAGACGCCCGAGTTTCGTCTTGTTTCGCATTTCTTCCTGCTTCTCTGGTGGGAAGCTCAGTCCCCAGTCCTATTCTCGTCAGCACACCTCCTTTGATACGATTATACCTTGCAGAATTGTTGCGTACCGTTAGCATTAGTCCAGGAGAGACGCTGTTGACTCTGATTTTGGGGCTTGCGGCCAGTGCAAGGCCTTTAACGAGGTGAATCTGCGCTGCCTTGGTGACAGCGTACGCCTGAGGACGTTAGCTTAGAAGAGTGCGCAGAGGCACAATCGACATGACATGGACAGAATGGAAACCTACGAGCGAACTTCCGCTGACCTTGACGCCGGCAAAGGAAGCAGTAGTAATGAAGGCACCCTCCGTCTTGTCGAGATGCTCCTTGGCAGCATGCATGAGGAACAAGTGCGACTTGACATTCATGTTGAAGCACCGATCCCAGTCCTCCTCGACCACATTATCATCCAGGTTCGTAATGTCCCGGAGCTGCGTCCACCCGCCGTTGGAGAAGACGACGTCGAGTTGGCCCATGGAGCCCACGACATCCCGCACCAGCGTGCGCAGGTCGTCCCGGACGGCCAGGTCTCCGCGGAAAGCGAGGAAGTTGTTGTCGTCGTGGGGCAGCGGCGATATCGAGTGCAGCTCTTGGACGAAGGCAGAGGCACGATCGGCGTTGGAGTGGTAGTTGACGGCGACGCGCATACCATCCTGGGCAAAGAGGCGAGCCGTAGCAGCACCGAGACCGGCGGTGCCACCAGTGATAAGGGCGACGAGGGGGCGAGATGCGGTCATGACGATGTTGTTCTAGTCTGTTGTGGTGTAGGTCTTGTGCTTTCCGTGTTTCCGTGTTTCTGTGTCTCTGTGTTTCTTCTTCCCTTTGCAAACGAAGAAGAAGAAGGAAGGGGGATCCTGCTCCTCCCCTATTGCGATGAAGTTGGGCGTCGCCGGTTAGCTCGGCCGGATACGGACCGGCTTCGGGGATGCGGGGTCGAGCAGATTGTGATAGCAATTGATATGGCGTAGAGAGTAGAGAGGGAGGTTTATCCGTTCTATGTAGGACCTCCCTCATCTTGTCAACCCCTCACAAGGCCAAGGGTCGCCCATGGTTACACGGCCCGGTGGTGATGGTGGTATGGTTGCGAGGGTGCGGGGAGGAGTTGACGAGGCATTGGGGCATTGAGGCATTGCGGTATTGCGGCATTGTTCGGGATGTCCCCCCACCTCAGCCGAAGGTGCAGACATGGGTTTCCGTGCCGATGATGGAGTGCGGCTGCTAGCTGCGGCCATGTTGCCGATTTTGCGGGGTTGGATCTGCGTGACGACGGCTAGCAGAGCATTATTCTGGGGAACAGTCTCCAACGTCTTGACGGAGGCTGAAGAGGGAGGCCATGAGCAGTCGTAGCATTTTGAGTCCGTCCCCATGCCACTGGATTGTCCCTCCGGCTTTAGTCCTCGTGGTTGTCACATATACCAACGCCCTATCTGGCTCAAGTTGCATCTGCTGTAATTAGCCTCTACTACATTAACGAAACACCCTGGTGATACCCCAGACTCCTCCCCATCCTACCTCGTTCGCCCGACTGCCCGCCCCGTGATGCGCACTTGTGGCGCCCCACTTACCGGCGTTGTGCAACATCACCGCGCCGCCGGGACGTGGAGGAACCTATCAAGCAAGCCGGATGCGATCTCGACGGGTCTGTGATGCCTGCGTAAACCCCTCTGACTTGCACAGCCGCGAGTTCAGGCGACAGTCTTTCCTTGCTACAGCTTCCGGCGCCCGCTTTTGGCGAAGCCTCGGCTGTCATTCGACCTCTGTATGGCCTGAGCCTCGACTCCGGGTCCCGGCCGCTCGCATGGAGGTGGCCAGGCTTCTGGTTGAGCTAGCCTGGTCGGTCGTGTGGTAATAAAGAAGGCTCAATCCTGTAATTGAAACGTTCCGACGATCTGCCTCTACTCTCTCTACTCCCTCTTCTTATTCCCGGCCTCCTCTCTTTCCTCGCCCTTGTGCTGCTTCGCTTCTATCGGCCTTGTACTTGACAACACAGAAACTCGACACCACAGGAACTCGACATCATTGGAATATTCGAGCCATGGCGACGCTCAATGGACACCATGACACCGCGGCCAGCGCGCCCAGGAACCCACTGGTGCATGACCACCCGCATCCCTTGAAGGTTGCCATCATCGGTGCCGGTATTGGCGGTCTCAGCGCCGCCATTGGCCTTCGACGCGAGGGCCATGACATTACTGTATGTCCAGGTCGATTTCTCCCTCGTATTTGAGGTCTCCTCTGACGCATAATCAGCTATATGAGCAATCTCGGCTGGCCAGCGAAGTCGGCGCGGCTGTCCACATGGCCCCCAACGCCAACGGCCTCCTTCGACGATGGGGTCTCGTCCCCGAGAACTTCGGCGCAAACCTCATGTGTCACTACAAAGAGCTCCAGCACAACGGCGCCACCATCAAGGAAATGGACCTCGCCGGCCCTAACCAGCTGTGGCAGCACCCCTGGCAGCTCGTTCACCGGGTTGGCCTACATGAGGCTCTGAAGAAGGCTGCCACCGAAACCGAGAGGCCTGGCAAGCCCGCTGTCCTCAACACAGCTAGCAAGGTCGAGGAAGTTGACCCAGCCAAGGGAACCATCACCTTGGCCGATGGTACCGTTGTGGAGGCCGACGTCATCTTGGGCGCCGACGGCATCTATGTAAGCATCGCCCGTTTCTTTCGTGTGAGTCGATGGTTGAGGGCTTGTGCTGATTTAGTGTCCAGTCTCGGAGTCGCAAGTTCGTTACTGGCGTCGAGTCGAAGCTCTTCGGTTCCGGCAAGGCCGCCTTCCGCTTTCTGATCCCCAAGAGCGTCGCTCTGGAGGACCCTGAAACCCGACCCCTCGTCGCTCTCGACAATTGCCTATCCATGTGGTATGGAGACGATAGACGGGTTGTTATCTACCCTTGCAACCACAACGAGATGCTCAACTTTGTCTGCATTCACCCCGATACCGAGTCGCACGCCACTGCTACCGATGGTTAGAATGGCCCTCCCGAGGAATCGAAACGAAGGCTGACATGATGTACAGAATGGAACAAGACTGGTTCGCTTGAGCAAATCCTCAAGGTCTACAATGACTTTGAGCCAGCCCTTCTAAAGCTCATCCAGAAGGTGGCACCCGAGGAGCTCAAGGTCTGGCAACTGTTGGATATGGAGAACCTGCCCACCTGGGTAAACAACAAGCTCGCTCTTTTGGGAGATTCAGCCCACCCTTTCACACCTCGTAAGCGCCCTCCTCGTCCATTGTACTCACAAGCTAACCGGAGATGCAGACCAGGGACAGGGCGCCGGTCAGGCTATGGAGGATGCCGCTGCTTTGTCGGTTGTGCTGCCCAAGGGTACTGCGCCCGAGGACGTGCCTGAGCGGCTCAAGTTGTACGAGAAGATCAGATACGAGAGAGCTCATAAGATCCAGGACTATTCTCGCCAGGCAGGCAAGGACTGGATCGATGGCAAGCCCCAGATTGACAGTAAGTGCTCCGCATGTTCAACTCGAGACCAGCCTGCTAACATGACGACCAGTGATGAGCTATACCAATTACAACTTCGGCCACGACGAGTATGATCACGCAGGGGACGTCTTCAAGAGGTGGCTGTGGGAGCAAAAGCAGGACCTTTACTGGAGAATGCCCATCTCGTTCGGACCTTTCCCTGGTCCTCGCCAAGACCACCTTGGCCGCCGTCAGCCCGGCGCCGCCCAGCGAACCTTTAGAACCGCGTCAGTCAAGTTCAAGACGTCGCGGACATACCTCGAGACGCTTTTCCCCACAAAGCAGTTCAAATTCAAATCTCCCTCGACCATCTGCGAGGCAAGCTTCTCTGCGACAACCCTCGACAAGATGTCTTGGCTCGGCGGCCAGGGATATAACCACTTTGGCCTGTATATCCACGGCGTGCAATACACCAAGAAGGACGGGTCAACGATTGATGGCACATTCCTCCCTATTCTGATGGAGAGCTTATGTGATCCTATCGTCTCAGGCCGTGAGGAGTTGGCTATGCCTAAGCTCTTCTGCGATATTGAGGTCCACCCCCGATCGAACTCATTCCGCATGAAGGCCTCGTGGAGAGGCGCTACTTTCGCCGAGATGACGCTCAAGGACCTGACGGACGATGCACCCGAGAGCGAGGGGGGCATCATTGGTGGCGAGGCCGACTATGGCATCCTGGCATACCGATACATTCCGGCAGTTGGAGAGCCAGGGAAGGCGGACTGCGAGTATGCCACGGTGGTGTCACACGCTGAGGAGTCCAAAGATGTACCATCCAAGGTGAACAGGGTGCAACGATCCAAGAACGCTTCGGTCAAGCTGGATGCCCAGGACTGGGAGTCGCTTCCGACTCTACACCATGTTGCGGCGGGCCTGGCACAGATCCCCATCTACTCAGTGGTTAGTGCCAAGGTGGTAGAAGGTAACGGCGTCCCCAATGTGGCGGCATGCAAGCGGATTGAGTAGGTGATGGAGGGTCACGGTATATCTTCAGTTGAAAAACAATGTCAGAACAGCATCTCCTTTACTTCAGCCTTGTCTCTGAGTATTTCTAGAGTGAATATTAAAACATGTCAGAATGGCGTATCCTTGTCCACCAACTCGTACGGTTTTGATTTCAATCAAGAAATCTTCCTAGAAACTTCACCCCACACTACACGTTGAATACTCTTTATACATTAAGAAGTAATGCCAAAATATTATGTCCTTGACTTGAGACTTGACGCCGCAGGCTCGCATGTGAGGCCATGTTAATATTCCGTATCAACCCCTCATCCCAACTCAGCCCGGCGGAGTTTTGAGGCTCGGGAACCAGACTCGGCATATTATCCCTCAGATGCCTCAACGTCCGTCATTTCGCCGCTTACACATATTCTATTGGTAATGCTCGTACAGCTCCGATTGGTAATAGCCATGACGGTCATTTAGAGGTCTCTCGGCTCCACACCCCACTTGCCGGGCGGGCATCTAACCACCACGATGAGCCGTACCGAGCCAATACTCCGTGGAACTTTGTGGGGTATGGAGTTGGAAGAAGAGGCCCTGATGGGGGAGGAGTTCCGAATGTGGGCTCTAGGAGGGATTCCCCAAAGAGTCAAAGGTCCCCGCATTCCCCTGGCGGCGAGTTGAAGGTTATCCCGTCTTGACAACATCTTACATCTCTCGTCTCATCATCAAACCAATTCAACTCCCAGCTCGTACCAACATGTCTGCCCAAGAACTCACCCCCCCAAAGCGGTTCATCACCGAGAACAATGCAGAGGGCAAGGCCGTTTTCAGCACCCAAATCCCTGAGCAGCTGCCGGCCAGGGTCATTGAATGCGGAGACAAGTTCTTCCTCGGCTACACCACAAACGAGCGACCCGTTGACATCAACGGCAACAAGGACGTCGACACATACAGCGAATACTTGACCAACGAGCCGGGCATCGTTATCCCCGGCGGGACCGTGCTACGCTTTGTCGATATCCGCCCCGGCGGCGTGTCCCCGATGCACCGGACGGTGAGCCTCGATTACGGCGTCGTGGTGGAGGGTCAGGTCATCATCCGGCTCGACTCGGGCGAGAGCCGGCTGATGCAGCGCGGAGACGTGACGATCCAGCGCGGAACGATGCACGAGTGGGAAAACGCGAGCAAGACGGAATGGGCGAGGATGATGTATGTGCTCCAGGACAGCAAGCCGTTGATTGCTGGAGGCAAGCCGTTGGGTGAGGAATACGGCGTAGGTATGGGAGAGGTGCGTCCTTCGGGCAACTAAGAATGAGCTGGGTGCTGGGGGCCACCATATTAGGCGTTGCTGGGGATGACCAAGCGGGCCGCAGTAGACAGACACACTCGGGAGTCGAAACATGCTCAAGTTAGACGCCGGAAATTGGAAATGCAAATAGAGGCTTTCCTGTGCCAGACCATAATTAATAGCGTCAACTCGCAAATGAGGCTGAACCTGTTGTAATGAGGTCCAGGTCACTTAATCGTCTTTACCTTACCCAGTCCGTCCGACGAACCTGTCACGCGCCCGGTTGATTAGCGACGCGACGGTTAGCGTGTGGGTGCCTTGTTAGGCGGTTACAGGCTCGCCACAACAGGGAGGGTCTCTGGTGTGGCTCTGTGGCCCTGTGGCCCTGTGGCTCTGCAGCATACGTCCCCAGGCGCTGCCGGCAGTCAACCAACAGCGCCTTTATTAGCCTCCGGCCATCGCCGTCGCCGTCGCCTCAGCGCATGCAAGGGCTGATCGCGTGTGTCGACTTCCCCTCAGGCAGACCCCGTCTTTTACATTTCTTACCCACGGCGATCCGACGTGCCCTCCATCTCCTGTCTCTTGCAACATCGTCAGACCTTGGCTCGCGGTGTGCTCCCGTGCTCCTGCGCCCTTGCTGCATCTCCCAGGTACGTATGCCACCTGCAGTGTCGCATCTTGGTCCGTCACCGCACCGTCCATGCCGCCCTGCCTACTACCTTATGCATGATTGGGCTCGGCCAACCACTTGCTGATCGCACATCAGGCGCCCCGAGGCAAACCACCATCCCCCAATATTGCCACTCGCAGTCTCAGACCGCCATCGAATCTCGAGAATCCGTATCGAATCCATATCGAACCTCGTAGAATTTTATTCCCACCGACCAGCCCGCACAGCCATACTTGATACTTATGCTACCGTGAGAGAACGGGCCATCAGTTCCCGACACGACCTCTCTGTCATTGCTGGCCGCGTCCTGATGCACCATCATGGCCAGCCCTCCGGGTGCTTCAAGCCCTCTACATTTTGGTGATTCGAGGGCGTACGAATCTCTGCTCGACAGTTCTTCTGAGTCTTCAGATTCCTTCGCCGACAGCGACCCAAACCATAACCCCGAGCCGTGCCCTTGGCGAACGACCCAGTTCCACGACCAGGAATGCTCTCTCTTCTTCGACTGCCCATCTCACCTCGTCGAGCGCAGCCTATCAGTTACCGGCTCGATTCACACGCAGCCTGCACATGACGATGGTGCAATAGCAGATCCCGACCCGGCTAGCGACGATAGTAGCCCGAACGGCCAAAGTGCCGCCGTGCTCTCGGAATCGACGCCGGGAGAAGACGATATCTACAGCCCCCAACAATCCCCCAACCTAGAAGAAATCCATAGTAGAGCTCTTACGGCAGAAATCATTGACCCGGATAGCCCCACCCAAGACATCGCTGGTTTGGCAGATAACACTGATCTCATGAACGCGCTGCCCGCACTGCCGATTACACCGACTGAGGACGAGCCGGCAAGCAGCTCACGCTCGAGAGTTGATGCCCGATCCGAGCAACTAGACCTACATCCTGGACAGACGGAAAGCCATTCCAGACCGAGGAGTGAACAGGAGAGGGGGTTGCCAGACCTACCAGGCTTGCCAGACTTACCCCAACCTCGGAGAGAGAGGACTCCCGTATCCCGCGAAAGGATGGACGCCCCTCTACCATCCCCCCGTGGGGTACAAAGTGAAGCTCTACCACCGCTCCCACCCCCGCCGCAAGGTGAGGTTGAAGGAAGCACAACCTCGGAGTGGTCTGTCCCAAGATGGCAGCCCGATGCTGAGGTGACCTATTGTCCTATTTGCCGTGCGCAGTTTAGTTTCTTCGTGCGCAAACATCACTGCAGGTTCGTTGACACCCACCTCTTGCCCATGATGCTCCCATCTCAGATGTCTAACGTGTTGCAGGAAATGTGGAAGAGTTGTCTGCAACTCGTGTTCGCCGCACAGGATCATCATTCCGCATCAGTACATCGTCCGACCTCCAGGTTCAGATGTCGGCATACCGCAGTCTCTATTACTCGATGGCCTAGGGGCGGGATACTTCGATATCAACAGTATAGCGGGTGGTGAGCGGGTGAGGTTATGCAATCCATGCGTTCCAGACCCCAACACAGCGCCACCGCAAAGCCCAGGCACTCCAGCGACCATGTCACCACGATCTTCACACCAAAGATCCAGGAGCAGTGCTACGGGCCAATATGGCACTTTGCCCGCGTCAAACCGGCATGGGACAATCTTCGTCCCAGGAACTAGCACCGACCAGTATCAATACCTTGCTTCTAGGTCAAGGAGCATCACTGTGGTAAGTTGCTTGGTATGGGCTGGACGGGTTCGCAATGCTGACAACTTTCTCAGGGCACTCAGGGGTCGAGTTCAACACACGGGTCTTCCTCTCGCCGCACGAGAAGCGGGACGCATCAAACCCCCATCGAGCGGCTACTGTCGGGCGGTTCATCCTCATCATACCCCAACCGATACAGCCGGCACGGGGAAGCAGCATCGTCCTCACAGCAACGAGCTCTCCCGCCGACTCCCCAAATTGCAGAGGAGGATGAGTGCCCAATCTGCCACCGTGAGCTCCCATCTCAGAGCCTACCCAACTCTGAGGCTCTTCGAGAATCCCACATCACCATGTGTATCCAGACACATAGCACCTACGGGACACCCCGCAGCGGAGATGAAGCAGCTGCCCCTCCAGCCGCACCACGACGGACGGGCATGTACACGTATCCGGCAACCGAGAAGGACTGCATTGATGATGCGGAGTGCACCATTTGTCTCGAGGAATTTACAGTCGGGATTCCCATGGCACGACTAGAGTGCCTATGTCGATTTCATCGGTCTTGCATTTCGGCGTGGTTCGTCAACCACCCTGGGCGATGCCCGGTTCATCAGCATGACGGGTTTGGTTATTAAGCAAGCGTTGATCAAGAGAGCTGGTTTGGTTTGGTTCGTTGCATATGGGACGGAGTATGGACTGGTTGGTTTTTGCGAGCGTATTAGTATGTTTTTTGCTGCATTTAGACGCGAGTGACCGTTCGGCCACTCATAGCTTACCCTCATTTTTCATCATGGGCGAAGGGATGCGAAGAGCAGGGATATGAGGTGGAAGAGACGAATTGATGAGCCGTTAGATACTCATAACAATAGCGAATTATGCTCTACTCAATCGTTTGCTCGCTGCATTGCAATCTTGCTTCCATACTGAGATGTTCTTTGTGGTATGTCGTACCAAACCCCCTTGCTGGAGGTTGGACCGGGTAGTCTGCATAGGACGAGCCTTGCAGCAAGAGGAGTTCGCAACGACGTCATCGTGATCGACGCTGCAAGTCAGATTCCAGGATAAGCCACCAGGGTCCACCAAGACGTGTGGTGGTTGGGGTAAGGTAGGATCGCTTCGTGTTCCCGACACAAGAGAAGAAAGAAGGGTTCATCAATTCAACGACCAACAATGGACATGGGGGTTTTTGACAAGCGGTAGATGGCGCAGAACTAGGTTCGAGGGGTTGGCCAGGACTCGGCCGGCTTGCGAGGTGCAGGTGGTGTGTCCCGTTGCAGCGACGCACGTCGAACGACCGCTAGGGAACGGAGGCGGCGGCAGGGATCACCAGCCAGCCGAGAACTAAGAATGCAGCTGGGACAGGAAGTTGATTGATACAGGGCCGCTGGTTGGTGGTTAGAGGACGGCGCGTGCGACAAACGGACACCACGGAGTTGCGCTCGCCAATCTGCAGACGGACTGATCGGTGACTCCGGTTGCAAATGGCAGATGTCCGGGACGAGCGACAGTGTGGTGGCGTTGCAACCTGCAGGCTGGCGTCGGTCGGCATGGTGAACTGAACGAGACCAGCAGCAAGGGGCTGGGGAACGGAGAATGCGATGGTGGTTCCAGCAAGCTGCGGCTTTGGGCTATGAGGGCGAACTGTTCCAGCTGAAGCGACGGGCTGGAGGGTTACGTGGATTGCGTGGTCCCGAAGCTAAAAAACTAGTAGCTGCGTTTTTTGTTCCTAGCGAACTGCATGTTTTCGTTAGTGGTATCCGTTTGAGGAGCTTGGGAGGAGCTTGGGAGGAGCTTGTTTCTCTCTTGATGGATCGCTTGTTGGCCTGTGTGGACAGATTATCTTGCCTGTGCTTTAAGCCCAATCGGGCACTCAAATTCCGTGTGTCTGAAGCTGCAGCAGGTCTATGTTAGAGCTCATATCCAAGTAGATATAAGAGCATCGTCATAGAAAAATAGACTGAAGTTATACATCGATATGGCAAAGAGTGCGGTGTCAATTTAGGAGCTGGAGGTACTATGTAGACCAATGGCAACGATGACACAGACAGGATATTTTGCCAGCACAGGCTGAGAATTGGGATAGCTCTCAATGGGTTGATCATGATAGGTGACGCCATCTAGTCGAGACCTAACTTAGGCCCATTCATCGGTAGACCCATTGGGACAATAACTTAGCCAAGGTCGGTTATGTATGCGCAGGGGAATGTGATAGATATGGGTTGGACAAGAGGGGCCCTCGCTTCTCGATAAATGGAAGAAAGGAAGCAGGGAAAAAAGAAAGGAAATCAAAGGAAGACGGTCAAGTGATTTCCCGAAATTTTGGGTGACGGCAAAAGTGGCTCCACGCAAGTAGGATGGTGCACTTGGCTGTGCAAGGGGCAAATCACCAAAGGATATTGCAATGGAGGGCGAGGCACAGTGGTTCAGGCCAAGAGAGAGATGGGGATGGAATGGAGGAGATTTGGATCCCCGCGGTGGCAGGGTGGAGCGCGAGGCACTGGCACAGTGCGCCGAGTGATGGATGCACTTTACGGGCAAACCTCAAAGGTGGATGTGCTACGGAGTCGCAGATTTAGCACCTCGCTCTGCTATTGTCCAAGGAATCCCGGATTGTCTGAGAAAATATTGGTACGCGGGAAAGACGGTGGGAGGACAAACTGAAAGCCGAAGGGAGCGAGAGAGAGAAACACGCGTCAATCAAACCCCCGCGTCGAGCGAGATTACGATGGACTCACCACATTCACCAGATTTACACTCTCACTTGCACAGCCTCACACGAATTGACTGACCGGGCGAGTACACACGACACTACCCGTGCAAGCCAACGCACGCCCCTCTTTAGGCGCCTGGAGCTGGACGACCGAGCTCTTCCCAGTTCATCCCCCGGTTCATCCCCCGGTTGCGAGGAGCTGCCAAGGGAGGGTCCGTCCATAGCAGCACCTGATTGAGGGGCCCGTAGAGGCGCTGCGGGCAAAAAGACAAACGTCATATTGTCATGAAAGCAAGCTCATGGCAGCATGCGGTGTCCCCCAAACGTGGTGGCCGGATTGCCAGCCCCCATGTCGCACATTCGGTACGGTACGGTACGGTACTGTACTGTTCTGTAACTTAGTATACTGTTCCTGTACTGAGCGTCCAAGCCCGCAATTGCGATGATGGAGAGGAACACTTGCAGTTCCCATGTCCCAGATCCCGATTGCCCCCCATCGTCGTGCGCCAACGAAGCTCCATGGCAGATTGAGGTCGAAACCCACCGGTCGCCCACCCAACGAAGTGGAAAACCCTGTGAATCACAGACCCAAAACCTACCTCAGGCAACTCAATCCCGCGCAGGTGAGAGCGCCAGAGAAGGCAAAAAAAAAGTGTGCTGAGCTCGAAAAAAAACAGGAACTACATGTGCTTTCGGACAGGGTTAATTCCAGGGCCACCCCCCTCTACTAGCACGCGCCGCGGCGCCGGCCTCCACCCGCTGGAGTGATCACTGATGGAGCTGATGGAGCTGATGGAGTGACGCAGCCGCAGCGACCCGACACCCTGGAGCCCCACTCAGTGGCCGGAGGGCCGTACCCCGGCTGAGCTGGACAGCTGCTGGGGTCCTGCCTGGATCGGGAGGCCATGATGGCGCTGCCTCGCACGTCGCAAGGACAAGTCCACCACAAGTTCCAGCTCCCAACAACCGCTCTGCCCGACCGCCGCAACCACGGCGAGTGGAGATATTCGTTACACGGAAACCTGTACGGACACGTACCGGATACTGGACGGGCGCTTGTCGTTCATCTTCTGGCTTTTTGTCCTTCGCCTTCCGCTCCTTTCGTGTTGTGATTCAATTCTCCCTCCCTTCGTCACTGATATTCCCTGGGCGGCCTCGCGTCTCACACGGGCTTCTTTTTCTCAACCCGCGTCCTCCTCCTTCTTCTGCCTATCTCGAACCACCACCCGCTGCGTCAAAGCACTAGAACCACTAGGCCTCTCTGCACGGAGTTACGGATCCCAATAGTCACCTCTATCCTGCCGCTTTCCCCCCTCTCGGCCCGTCCGCTGCCCATCCTCCACTCTCCATCGCTTGGTGGCTTGCCCGAAAACAGCCACACCACCACCCACAGTCCTGACCTACCTATCCGGCCGAGGTACTCATACTGTATGGTACCTCACTTTCCAGTCCAAGCCAGGCCAGCCAGACCACCTAACCTAGGTAGCTTGCCTTTCGCCAGCATACGCCAGCATACGCCAGGATTACCTCCGCCTCCCTGCAACCAAACGCACGCCGCCGGTTCTGACCTCGCATCCTTTTGTTTCTTTCTCCCGGCCTCTCTCTCGTTTTCCCTGCTTTTAGTTCCCCTTCCCCCATCCTGGATAGTGTCGTCACTGTTCTGGCTGGAGTCGACTCCTGCCCCAGCGTAGGCATCTGGACCTCCCACTGACCCCTCGAGCCACCACTCGCCAACCTTCCCCACGACTCTCAACCTCTGGATGCCTCACGACGGTTGGCCAAGCTCCAATTGTGCCAATTGATCCGGCGACGAATCTTGCGACGCCGACCCAAGCGTCGACCCCGGCGACATGTCGACCGCAAAGGAAGCCAGTGAGCTCAAGCAGCAAGGAGTTCTCGAAGCTGCCGCCGACCCCCAAAGCTCAGTCACTGCCGACGACGCCCAGAAGGCGATAGTCGAGGCGTCCAAGAACGCCGGTGTCGCGGCCTTCACCTTCGACCCCGATGCCACTCCCGAACAGAAGCGAGCCCAGGCCAGAGCTGTATGCTACCCGTTCTACTTGCGCCCCAAGCTTTCGCTAACTCGTCTTGTACAACAGGCCATCCCACGCGAGCTCCAGAACAGTCGACGACCCAAGGGCGCGGCCATTATCACCGATGTTGATGATGGCACCGGCCCTGTCGAGGACCTACCCGAACCGAGCAAGGACGGTGTACTAGACGTTGCCCGTGATGAAGACGGAAAGCCCCTCGCTGATGGCGAGGACCCTGCCTCTGGAGAGCCTCCCTACTCGCGCACAGGATGGGCTCCCAGGCTCGGGTGGCCCACGGACGAGATGCTAGAGCAGGAGAGCTTGCTCGACCATGCGACCTGGGTCGAAGGCCAGCTCCCAGATCACCTCTACGGTGGTAAGTTTCGAGTCTGGGTCGAATTGCAAACATATGGCTAACAGACTTAGACTGGTACCACAACACCGGCATCATCATCTTCGCCTGTATCTCGTCCTGGGTCGTGGCCGTCTTTGGTGGCGGCCTCGCTTGGGTATTTCTCGTCATGGCCATCTGCTCAACCTACTACCGGACTTCCTTGCGCCGAGTACGACGCAACTTCCGCGACGATATTGCTCGTGAGATGTCCCTCAAGAAGCTCGAGAACGACAACGAGTCGCTAGAATGGATCAACTCGTTCATGGTCAAGTTCTGGCCCATCTACCAACCCGTCCTCGCCCAGACCATCATCAACTCAGTCGATCAGGTCCTTAGCTCTGCCACCCCGGCCTTCCTCGATAGCCTGAAGCTCAAGACCTTCACCCTGGGCACCAAGCCCCCGCGCATGGAGCACGTCAAGACTTATCCCAAAACCGAGGATGATATTGTCATGATGGACTGGAAGTTCAGCTTCACCCCGACTGACACCGCCGACATGACTGCCCGACAGGTCAAGAACAAAATTAACCCCAAGATTGTCCTCGAAATCCGCATCGGCAAGGCCATGATTAGCAAGGGCCTCGATGTCATTGTCGAAGATATGGCCTTCTCCGGCATTATGCGCCTCAAGATCAAGCTGCAGATTCCCTTCCCGCATATCGACCGCGTTGAGATGTGCTTCCTTGAGCGACCCACGATTGATTACGTCTGCAAGCCCCTCGGTGGTGATAACTTTGGCTTCGATATCAACTTCATCCCCGGTCTCGAGACCTTCATTTTGGAGCAAATCCACGGCAACTTGGCACCCATGATGTATGCACCCAATGTCTTCCCCATTGAGGTGGCCAAGATGCTGGCTGGATCTCCCGTTGACCAGGCGGTTGGTGTCCTCGCTGTGACTCTTCACGGTGCCCAGGGCCTCAAGAACAGCGACAACTTTGGCGGAACTGTCGATCCGTATGCCTCGCTGAGCCTTAACAGGCGCCAGGAACTCGCCCGGACCAAGACTATCCACGACAACGCCAACCCCAGATGGAACGAGACACATTACATCATCATTACCTCTTTCAACGACTCCCTGGATATGCAAGTGTTCGATCACAATGACTTCCGCAAGTCCAAGGAGCTCGGTGTCGCTTCTTTCCAGCTCGAGAGCATTGAGGATCTGAACGTGTACGAGAACGAGCGCATCGAGGTCATTGCCGACGGCAAGGCTCGCGGCGTCATCTCTTGTGATTTGCGCTTCTTCCCTGTTCTCGCGGCTACAACCAACGAGGATGGAAAGGAGGAGCCCGCCCCCGAGTCCAACCAGGGTATTCTTCGGTTCACTGTAGAGCAGGCCAAGGATCTGGACGGCACCAAGAGTCTCGTCGGTCAGCTTAACCCCTATGCCGTCATGTTCCTCAATGGCAAGGAGATCCACCAGACCAAGAAACTCAAGCGCACCAACAACCCTATCTGGGACAACGGCTCCAAGGAAATTCTCATCACTGATCGCAAGAAGGCCAAGCTCGGTCTCACGGTCAAGGACGAGCGAGACCTCACTGGTGATCAAGTCCTTGGCAAGTACCAAATCAAGCTCGATGAGATGTTGGAGTGCATGGCGCAAGGAAAGGAATGGTACAACCTGGCTGGCGCTCACACCGGCCGTGTCAAGATGATGGCACAGTGGAAGCCGGTAGCCATTTCCGGCATTGCCAGCACTGGCGGCTATGTCACTCCCATCGGTGTCATGCGCTTCCATTTCAAGAAGGCTACTGATTTGCGCAATTTCGAGGCGTTCGGAAAATCCGATCCCTATACCCGTGTTTTGCTCTCCGGTATTGAGAAGGCTCGAACAGTCACCTTCCGAAACGATCTCAACCCTGAATGGGACGAGGTCCTCTATGTGCCCATCCATTCCGCTCGTGACAGACTTACGTTGGAGGTGATGGACACCGAAAAGGTCGGCAAGGACAGGAGTTTGGGATCTGTTGAGGCATTTGCCGGCGACTACGTGGTGCAGGACGAAAACGGCGAGTACTTGGCCAACGACGTAAAGAAGCTCCGAGAGGATGGCCTACGTATTCACGGCAAGGGCATTGCCAAGGGAGTCCTGACCTACAACGTTTCTTTTTACCCCTGCCTCAATGTCGCAGACCCTGAGGAAGAAGAAGAGGAGGAGAAGGAGAAGGAGAAGCAGGAGGAAGAGGCGGCCGCCAAGAACGACACGTCTTCCTCGTCTTCCTCCTCCTCAGACGAGGAGGCTGCCAAACCGGAGCCGAGATCGTTGGATGCTGGCAAGTTCAACGCCAACCTGGACAAGACCAAGGATCTTGAACCTCTCACGCCTACAACCACCGGACGACTGTCGACGACCGAGCGACCTTCAACTGACGGACGCAAGGGCCCTCCCAAGATCCGCCTCTCACCCGAGGAGCTCCTCAAATACGAGACTGGTCTGCTCATTTTCAGGCTTATGGAAGCCGAGATGCCAGAGAGCGGGACTCTGCTAGAGGTGTTCGTGGACGACATGGCCTATCCCTCCTATGTCTCTTCAACCGCTCGCACCAAGTCCCACAAGTTTGAGGAGATTGGAGACTGCCTTATTCGTGAACTGGATGTCTCACGCCTCACCCTGAAGTGTCGAAAGAAGGGCGATGACGGCGATGACATCTTGGCTCAATTGACTGGCAACACTCTGGAGACGTTGAAACAGTGCCTGGTAAGACCCCCCTCGCAAGCAGCTGATATACGTGCCAAACAGCTAACCCAATATCTAGAACAACCCGACGACGCTGAAGCTCAAGGGTGAGGACGGCCGGCCTGCCAGCGTCAAGGTGAGCTTGAAGTACATCCCAGTCAAGATGCAGCTCGACCCCAGCGAGAGCATGAACAATATGGGTCAGCTTCGAGTGGACATTCTTGACGCCGCCGACCTGCCCGCTGCCGACCGCAACGGCAAGAGTGACCCATACTGCAAGTTTGAGCTCAACGGCCAGGAGATCCATAAGACCAAGGTCCAGAAGAAGACGCTCAACCCCACGTGGAACGAGTTCTTCGAAGTCCCCGTTCCCTCAAGGACTGGAGCAAACTTCAAGGTCACCGTGTACGACTACGACTTTGCCGATAAGCCTGACCTGCTGGGAGAGGCGGATATCAACTTGGAATCGCTGGATCCTTTCAGGCCCTCGGAGACCAAGTACATCCTAGATGGAAAGTCGGGAAGCGTTAGAATCCGACTTCTCTTCCGACCCGACTACGTCACCCGAACTCGGCAGGGCACCTCCACCTTTGGCGGAACGTTCAGCTCTGCGCCAGGACGCATCGTCACCGGCGTGGCTGGTGCTCCCCTCAAGGGCGGTGTGGCAGTTGCCGGAGTCGTGGGTCACGGTGTTGGAAAGGGTGCGTCGTTTGTTCGCCGTGGCTTGTTCCGTAAGAAGGATACGAACGATATTCTCGAGGAGGAATCAGAGGTTGTGGAACCTCCTGCGCCAGTGCCTGTGCCAGTGCCAGCGCCAGCGCCAGTAGCTAACGGCGGCCTCCGACGAACACCCATCATCACGACGGAGGACATGGATTTCCCCCTTGGTCGCCCATCAACCAGCAACGGCCACAATGGCCACACTCGGTCTAAGAGCATCGGGCAGTCGTCGGTCCACAGCACCCTGCCCGGGGGCGCACCAGGTGGTACAGCCCACTTTACGGTGGTTAGTGCGACGGGATTCCCCCCGGCGTCTGATCTGTACATCATCATCACACAAATCTCCCCCAAGGAGAAGTCGGTTGGAAAGACGAAACACTACAAGTCAGGAACCGGGCAGTGGGGATTCGACGAAACGTTCAAGTTCCACTGCTCTCCAGACGCGCAATTCAAGGTGGAGGCCAAGGGTGAACACTTGTTTGGCAGCGATGATGAACTCGGCGAGCACGTCTACTTTGTTGACGAGTCCGGTGACGGCTCAGCCAAGAACCTCGCCGTGGGCAGTGGAACTGTGACGATCAAGAGCAACTTCCAGCCTGCGGAGCCGACCCTGACCCCTGACAGCCCCAAGGCGCACCTCCGCAGGAGCTTCCTCAGCAAGCGGGAGGGACGATCCAGCAGGGAGACGACACCAAACCCCTAAGCTATTCTGTTCGAGGACCGGGTGTTTGTACGGGGCAGATTTCACTCTTCGAGTTTCTTGTTGTTTCTTGTTATTTCTCGGCTGGGGGTAAGAGATGTTTCCCTGGTCATACATGATCGATTCTCACGACATTGTTGCGAGCTGTATAGGTTTTATTGCACAGAATTCCATTGGGGACTAGGGACCGGGTAAAAGGGAAGGATGGGAAAGGAGACGGGGGCGAGATTGCGGACGAAGGGCTGGGGGAGAAGTTGAATTTAATGAGATTGATAGCCTTTTGGACTTTGGGGCCGGTTTCCTTGATGGCGCTCTGGAGGAAGAGTACACCCGTGCCTAATGAGGGGATGAGACGGGAGCACTCTAGGGCTGGAATGGGGTAGACAACGAAATGAATTGAGAATTTTACTACAAGTTTATTATCGTAAATGGTGCATTGAGTATTGTTGGTAAGGAGAAGCTGATGTGATGAAATCGATGGTGACGAGTCTCTAAGTAGGAGGAGGACATGCTAAAGTGGAGTGGTATATTTAGGCCTAAGGTATCAGGCACCAACCTCAGGCATCCAGCACGCCCAGCGTCGCCAGCTGGCAGGAGCCTGTGTGGTAGGTAGGTACCTTCCGCAGGCGCTGGAGCGTGCGAGGCAAGCTCCGTGACGCGCGAGACGGGAGCTGCCTGAGCCTGAGCCGCAGAGCTTCCACCTCCACAATCCATCTCCAACCAACATCAACCCTCCAACTACGACGACATCTCCGCGCCCGCCGAATCCACCACCACCAAACAAGGGCCCGCGCTCTTCGTCTTCAGCATTGCATCGTCACTGCTCGCTCTGCATTCTTCCGAATCTCCACCTCCAATCCATCCCGCTCCCGCATCCGTCAACGGCGTCACCCTCGTCATCGGCGAAAAGACTCCGACGACATCCCACCAACTCCAGGACGCTCAACCTCTCCCTCACATAGCCCAAGATGGATACCCTCGTGGCAAGATACAGCCGGCCTGCGTCGTACGAGCAGAACGACGCCTTTGAGGAGCACGATGAGCTGTCGAGCCCCATGGCCAACCTCTCCGTCAAGTTTGCCATGCCCCCGGTTGCCCAGGTTTGTCGTCGTTGATCCCACAGCTGGGTCCCTGCATCACTGACGGATTCGTTCCAGCCCTCATCATGGCTCCGCGCCGCCACCGATGATCGATCCAACCCCGACTGCCCCATCAAGATCGCTCACGGAACCACCACCCTCGCCTTCCGCTTCCAGGGCGGCATCATCGTCGCCACCGACTCCCGAGCTACCGCCGGCAACTGGATTGCCTCGCAGACTGTCAAGAAGGTCATCGAGATCAACAGCGTCCTCCTGGGCACCATGGCCGGTGGCGCTGCCGACTGCCAGTACTGGCTCGCCTGGCTCGGCATGCAGTGCCGCCTACACGAGCTCCGACACAAGCGCCGCATCAGCGTCGCCGCCGCCAGCAAGATCCTCGCCAACCTCGTCTACAGCTACAAGGGCATGGGCCTGAGCATGGGCACCATGTGCGCCGGTGTCACCAAGGAGGAGGGACCGGCCCTCTACTACGTCGACAGCGACGGCACCCGTCTCGCCGGCAACCTCTTCTGTGTTGGTTCCGGTCAGACCTTTGCCTACGGTGTCCTCGATGCCGAGTACAAGTACGAACTGACTACTGAGGAGGCCCTGGAGCTCGGTAAGCGAAGTATCTTGGCTGCCACCCACCGAGATGCCTACTCTGGTGGATTCATCAACCTCTACCACGTCAAGGAGGAAGGCTGGGTCAAGCACGGCTTCAACGACACCAACCCTATCTTCTGGAAGACCAAGCTTGAGAAGGGCGAGTTCACCAACGTGACAAGCTCGCTGGATTAGACGCAGTGCATCAAGAGAAGCGCAGGACCGGAATCTGGCGAGTCATTGTCTGTGGCAGGCAAGGTCAAGGGAAGGGCTGATAGAGAGTGGTTTCTTGTACCGGTCATCGTACCTGGCCGGGTTTAGTGGCCCAGAAACTCAAGACGGGCTGTGTAATTTGTACAACAAAGGCTTTCTTGAAATCAAGCGATCTGGATCCCATACTCAACGTGAAGTCATAAGCCCATCCATCTGGGTACGTAAATAATCTACAGTAATGTACAAACAAGCATGGCGCTTTTTGACAAGTCTGTTGGTACATGTTACAGAGCTGGGTATCGTCATGTCACATCTCTTCATTTTCCTTTCCATCATTCACTCACGCACGACTCTCTTCACCCACCCATCCACGCCGAGTATTCCCTCTCCATGCTCGGGGTCCATCGGCCACCTGCCGATACTCGTGATGGACAACTCTGACTCGTAGCCCGCCTGGAACATCTCCATGCCCGTCCACGCAATCATGGCGGCGTTGTCCGTACACAGTTCCACGGGCGGCGCCACAATGTCCATGTCACCGAACCCTCGCACGGCCAGCGTGCGGCGCAGCACATGCATCAGGAACTTGTTGCTCGCCACGCCGCCGGCCACGACGAGTGTGCGGGCGCTCTGCAGCTCGGGGCGGTCCTCGAGGGCGACACAGAGACGGCCGGCCAGGTGCGTAAAGGCGGCCATCATGGTGTGCTGGGCGAGGGCGCGGCGCTCGGGGATGTCCATCGAGGAGGACGAGGCGGTGGCGATGTTGTGGACGTCGGTGTAGATGCTGCTGAAGGAAAAGGCGAGCTTGCGGGACTGGCGGAAGGGGAGGGGGATGGTCCAAGGGTAGCCTGTTTGAGGGGGTGTCATTTCGGCGGCACGGGAGGCCGGAGGCGTGAAGACGGTGTCGTAAGCGGCGGTCACGGAGGGGGAGGGGGGAGACCCGGAGCTGACGCCGGAGCCGGAGCCGGACTCGGAGGTTGCGGCGGAGTCCGGAGGAGGAAAGGCAAAGGCCTCGAGCAGCCGGCCGTACATGACGTGGTCACTTGCCTCGAAGACGTCGGGCGGGAGGATATCGCGGGCCGTCTGGTCAAGCAGGTTTCCAATGGCGATGTCGCCTGTCGTGGCAATGAGCGAGTGGTCGGTGAGGCCGGCCGAGTGGATGAGCTGTGTGTGGCCGCCCGAGACGAGGAGGGAGAGGAAGGGGAAGTGTGGTCCTGTCCGGTGGCCTCTGCTGTCTTTCGAGTTGATGTCCTTCGAGTCCGTCTCCGTCTCCGTCTCCGTCTCAGCCTCCATCTCAGCCTCCATCTCAGCCTCTCCCATGCTCATCCCCAGCGCCCTCACCAACCTCGGCGTCAACGCATGCGCCTGCATATGGTGCACGCCCACCAACGGCACTCCCCACGCAACAGCCAGGCCCTTTGCCATATCCAGCCCGATGCCCAAGTTCGAGCGCATCCCCGGTCCTCGCGTCACCGCGACAAAGTCCGGCACCTGCTTGCGCACACCGTCCTCGGTGAAGCAAACTGCCACGCGTGCGCTGCCCCCGCCGTCGCCGCCGTGTCCATCCGTTGCCTCGGCCGCATCCGGGAGGGCGGCCAGCGCACGGCGAACAAGCGGCGCCAGCGCCTCGCTGTGGCTCCGGACTGCGACAAGGGGGTGGATTCCACGGAAGGCGCGGTTGTCGGACGAGATGCGCTCGTTGAAGAGGAGGTCCGTCGACTGCGGCGAGTGGCGGAGGACGGCGACGCCTGTGTCGTCGCAGGACGTCTCGATGGCGAGGGTGACGAGGGACCGGCTACGGCTGCGGAGCGGGAGGCTACCGCAACGGAGGAAGAGGGGCCGTCGAGAGAGGCATCGGTGGAGGAGGCGCATGGACGGCGGGTTCGGTAACAGGAGTCGGCGTGGGGGCAGTGGTGATCGGATGCGGTTGGTGTTTTGGTCGTCGGCTCACAATCCTGGGGAATTTTCCGGCCGCAGATGACGGCTCGGGACGGCCCCACAAGCCGGCGGCCAAACGGAGGTTCGCTTCGTCTATTCCGACATGTTCACGGTAATCAGATATGAGAGGAAGAAAGCAAAGTCAGTCAGACAGTTTTGAAAGAATTCTTCGTAGATTCAATCTATCTGTCGAAATACCATAATCCTGCTCTTTTGCGAGCTAAAATGCCCAAATGCCCATGTGCCTAAACGCCCAAGCCAATGCATGCAATTCCACCTCCTCCATCTCATGATGATTGTTCTACCCAGTTCACCCACTGGCATTGACATCCTCCCGTGCCACCGTCAAACCCTCCATACTTTTCATCCCCACGGGATCGCTTGTTGATCCACGTGCCACCGACTCCAATGTTGTTGGCCAACAACTTAGGATTCTCCACGTCCAGCTGTTGACGGTCGTTGATCGGCCACGCCCAAACAAACTTTTCCGTGGGGTCTCCACCGTGCGTGTCCGTAGTCACCGTCACCGGGTATGGCATCGTGCCTGGTCGGATCAGATCTGTCCCGTTGATGCTGCTCTGCCCGTTAGACGAGAGCAGCGTTGATGAGTTGGCGTCGAGTGTCTGGGTCCAGATCTGAACAAGAACTCGCGTCTGGCTCCACGTCGTCAGAAAGTCGGCCTCGCTTTCGCGGCAGCCTCCATCCTTGTCCAGGGGAACGTCGGTGTCGCCAGTATCGTTAAGGACCGTCACCGATTTCAGGTAGATGGTCCGCTTGAAATACGTGTAGAACCCGTAGTGCTCCGTGGGGAGCCCGCGGTCATAGAGCCTCACCGGCTGCTGGACAGGCGTCGGAAGCAGAACGGCGGCTTTGGGAGTGCCATCTGTGTTAAGATCCGGGGATGGCAGGACATCGGGAATGCTAATGTTGACGTCCGACGTGGCTCTCTTGCTCAGCTCCTCGGAATCGACACTATCGAGAGAGTCCAGCAGGCTAATGTAGAATGGGGTCGGTTCGCCCCCTTTCTCATCCGACTGGATGTCGTCAGTAGTGTTTCCCAAGAAGAACATCTCCTGGTAGTCCGGCGCGTCAGGACTAGGGTTGAACTTGAGGGCTCGCTCCCGAATCACACTGCTCGCGTGCGAAGCGCCTCCAATACTTCTCCGAGGAATAGGCGTTGGGGCATCCCCGTTGGAGACATTCCAGCTGTTTCTCGTACCGTTATCCCATTGGATCTGCATGATGACCGTTGGCTGGTCTGCATTGTATGGAGAGCCCGAGTCGTGTTGCTCTTTGGGCAGGTAACAGCTCCACATGGTCGAGGGCTCGGTACAGCCATCCTTAGCGACAGTATTGTCCGGGCCGACGACTGTCAAAACTCCGGTGGGCATGGGCGGGAAGTCGGTCAAGTTCACCCAGATCGATGGGATCTCTTCGGAGTGATGCGGGCGTGTCAAAACGACAGCCAGCGTGACCGTAAGAATGATGATACAGAGGATGATGCCCAGGACAATCATCCAGACTCGTCTTCGCTGTCGTCCTTCTCGGCCGGTTCGGCCAAAGCAACCACTTTTGGGGATACACCCTCTGCCCCTCCAGAAGCCACCAGCCTTCCTGGCAATCACTTCTTCTTTCTCGTGGCGGCGTCGCTGCCGTTCACTTCTCGTCATTTGGCCTGAGGTCTCTTCCGAATGCTCCTGCGGCACAAAGGTTCCCAATTGACGGGTGGGAAGAGCAGGCTGCGAGAGTGGCGTGTTTCCGTGGGGTCCTGGAGAGAGGGGGATCTCGGTCATTTGAGTAGCACCCTGCGATGTCATAGTCGCCGAAAGGCCGGGTGAAGCTGGGCCAGGAGATGGCGGGAACTGAGCGTTGAGAGGGTGGTTGGGAGGGAACACAGCCCTGTATCTCACCTGGACGGTACCGTCTTGCTTTTGAGGGGGGGAGTATGGAGGCGGCTGCTCAACATGGACCTCCTCTGTGATAATAATCCGCGGCTTCTCCGTAACGGGAAATGTTTCGACAGGAGCCGGAGAAGAGGCCGCAGTCGAGGGGCCAGATTCCGCGGCCGAGGTAGTTTCGGGCCGTGGGGATGGCGTCCGGCGTGGTGTAGGTGCTCTGACGATAGGTGTTTGAAACGAGGCGGGTGCCAACGTCGGGGTAAGGTATTGGCTGAATTGATTGCTTTGAGCCGTTTTGGGTTCGGAACCATTCCACCACTCGCCTTGGCCGTCCCTTGGTGACTCCATCTTTCTCCGTGAGGCAAAGCTGAGTCTTTTATCCATGAAGGGGGTGACTACATGATCCCACCACCCATGAGATTTGGATCCGGCGCTATCGGGAGTAAACGCAGGTGTTTTTCCCTTGACCTGCTTCTGGGGGCTCGGGGTACCGTCCTCTTCAAAGAGGGTGCAGGGGGTACCAGATTCACTCTCCTCTGCACCGTTTTCTCCAGCTTCAAGACTAATGAGTCTTTGATGGGGTGTCTTCCTGAAATTGGCTGGTACAGCTGGAACCGGCGGGACGGCATCGGAGCGCGCAGGTCCAGCAATGATAGATGGGGCGCGAGAGTAGATGCTGGATGTGTAGCGTGCAGGGCTAAACGAGGAAGCTGTGTCGGGGGTGGGGGTGTCTGGTGACCACACGGATTGTTGTTGTTGTTGTGTCGAGGCTCCAGTTGGTTGAAAGGGCGCCGAGGAAGGAGGGTTGGGGAAGGCGTTCAGTCTTTGTTGGAGATCATGAGGTGTGTGTAGAGTCGTAGCTGTCTGGGGTGACATGTCTCGATCGCTCATCTCGCGGTCACTCATCCCATCAGATGGAAGAGAGATTCCAATGACAATAGGCCGGTCCTCGGGCGACAGTTCATGATCGGGACTCAGAGCTGGCTGCTGAGGCGAGGCCGTAGCTGGGCTGTGGATCTTATTTTTCTTCAGCCAGCCCCAGTTTCCCACCGAGGCCGATGAAGGTTCTCCTTCAAGAGCCTTCAAGGCAGCAGCGTCCACGAACTTGACGGGTCGGCCGTCTGGGGTGCGTAAAAGCCGGGTTTGACGCCGAAATGCCGTCATGTCGGTGATCAGTTTGATTCCGGCCCTGGCATTTTGGGCCTTTTGCCGATGTTTCGACTTGACCCGCTTCATTTTGATAACAGATGCTCGTGAGACTCGCGGTCCCGCGGGCTTTGTCGTTCGTGTAGCAGCCATGGGGGGAGGAGGGGCGCCGATCAAGACCTGCTCACCGGCATCGATGGGAGTGATGGGTTCATCATCTTCCCAGTCCTCCCAGTCCTCGTGGGCCGGTGCTCGGGAAGCAGTGTAGGGAGGGGGACGAGGAGAAGCGGAAGTGTCCATGTTTTGTAGTGTTGAAGGTGTAATTAGTCGTGGTCGATGAGGAAGAATCGAGCAAATATATGGAAGCGACAACGCCGATGTTCAGTCATGAAAAGTTGGATGTCGTGATGTGGCTCGTGTGTGTCATGTGGACCGTTCTGTGGAGTTGATGATATCGAGATGGTAGTGAATCGAAGGAATGACGACGAGAGCAATCTGATTACGAGTGGCGATTGGGAATGGCTGAGAAAGCGAAGGACAAAGAGTGAGGAGTTTGAAGACTGCGAGTTGTAAGAAAGAGACGATTGCTTGGAATGACAAAGAAAAGAACCCCAAAAACGTCAGTGAGAGGATGAAGAAAAAGTGACAAGCACGTTGAAAAGTCACGAGCGAAGAAGAGAAAGGCAGATGAATGGGGGGAATAATGCGGCCTATGACTGATTGTTCTCGCGAGAACAATCAGGCGGCCGATGGCAAGTCAATAGAGAATGGGGAGGGAAGCCAACACCAGAGGCCCGCCACGGCCCAACAGGACCGAGCGCGGATCGTCATGATTGGACTTGAATTATGGGCTGCCAAAATTGCTAAATAAAGCCTGCTGGGAAATCCAGGCCAAGGACCACAACTCATAGGCCGCTTGGGCTGGGGAGGATCGAGTTGGCGCATCAAAGGTATGGAATAGCCGCCCGGAGAGGGTGTTGCAGCGTTACGATTGGTGAGAGCTATGCGCCGAGCTAAGGCACGCGTGTGATTGGGTGCTTGTCGCGGCCGTGGGATTGGCGACTGCGTCTGCACCATGCGACGGCAATACGACACAGGGACCGGGGAGACGGGCGAAAAGAGGACCTCAAATGGAGGTGCGCACGGTGGATTCATTGGTCGTCGTTGTCGTCAATCACTGAATCGGATGGTGGAGGGTCGACTAGCGCATCTCAACCCGCAGGTTGACGCGGCGGTGGCTCTGCGACGGCCACTTGGCCGCCTCACAGCAACGCTCATCAGCCGACCGTGCCACAGATCCACCCCTTGCAGTATGTGCGGCGACGTTTTGGGTGACGCAATGAGCTGATGGGTCGTCGGTGACTCTACTGAACTGTCGGCAGAGTGAGGTTGATGGAGAGGATGAGTGGCTGAGGGACGAGCCGAGAAATGATCCACTGCGCGTTATCACATGACTGGAAGCAACGGGCCTGACAAGCCACAAGCCACAAGCCACAGAACTTCAAACGGGACCGACGCAGGGGGTTCTGAGGAAGAGGAGGATCTGAGTCTGAAACCGAGGCCACCAACAATCCGGGAACCAACTCGAGACGGATTCCTAAACCAGATGGCGCGGGGCCATCTCACCTCCGGATTCTGGGTTTGTTGGATGGGGGAGTTTGCATATGTCCCGGTACTGGTTCTCCGCCTCGTTCTCCGGCTGGTTTGTCGTTCGGATGACCCCGCCAATCCAATAACTGATGTGCCTCGGTCAGGCTTGGACTTGGTAAATGGCAAGTGGTCCTCTGCAACTGCAGCCTGTCATTGGCTGGCTCCCATAGGCAAGGATAAAAGAGGCGGCTTGCCAAGACTTGGAGAGGGGTTCATCTTGGTTGGATAGGTCGCAGTGATATATGTTGTCATTTCGCTAAGTAAGGTGGATGGGTGGTCGCCCATAAGAAAGCAAACCAAAATGGGGGTATAGAATGAGAGAAGTAAAAGAATCACATATGAGGCATACCACCCGTAATCTCGTACACCGCCATCCCCAATTTCCATTTTCTTTCAGTTGCCTATTTGGTAGAGGGCGAGAATGGGAGGGGCGGATAATGACATGCAAGCAACCGCTTATTGGAGATTATTTCAAACTTAGTTCCAGTAACCGGCCCCAGAGGAGTGGGTTCGACGAGACTGGGCTTGGCGTCGGTGATGCAATCGGGGACTTGGTACGTGCTATGCAGTGCATTGTATTACAACAGGCAGGTACATATGCGGGCTCCCGTAATTGGAATATGCAGAGACAATAAAAGGAAGAATGCGGAAGTGCTAATGTCGGGCCATGATGAGAGCCTGGAAAATAGCCTGGACATTGTTCTAGCAGCCAGGTTGTTGTTGAAATAGGGTTATGGTCAGACACGGCTGCAAAGCTTGGTGCCAAGTTGAGAGAGATGCTGCGTGGATTGAATTCCCATTGAAGAGTCATTTACACCCACGGACGTTATCCCTACATAGCTAGCAGTTGAAAGCAGTGACGAGTCTCGCTTCTGAAGAAGAAGAGTCGCCGCCGAGTGGAGTGTTACCACTGTGGCTCGGTGGATGCAGAGTGGTGTCCACTAGCTGGGCGGCTGCGAACCAAAAAGCCACCGAGAGCGGTTGGACCCCTGAAAATCGGAAAAGTGAGCCACCAGAGCCAGCAGGTCCCTTTGCTTTTTCCGGCTGCAGGTACTGAATATCGGTACTCTTCTGCACTGTCCCTAGCTTTGTGGTTTGTTCGATGTTGATTATTTGCATGCAATGGTGTTTGTGCATCTGCATTACGGTCTGTAGCGGTTTTCTCCTCGTCAAATTACGCACGGGCAAACAACCACCAAGCAGACACCATGCACACCAGCGAGCCCAGCAATAGAGCAAGATAGCTAGATAGCAAGACAGCAACAAGAGAAAAGGAAAAGAAAAGAAAAGAAGGGTCTTTCCATTATTCCAACGTTCCAGACCTGTGGAGCACAGAAAAGGAGCACGGACGGGCCACCGAATGACCTAACATAACCCCTCTTCAACGCTAAAACCATCCCCTCCCACCTAATAGTCAGCGCCAGGATCACCTGGGCGTCCGGGCCCGCGCGTGGATGGGCTCAATGGAGGAGGAAGAATGGGGCGTGAAGACACTAAAGAGTTGAGGTGCGCCCGCCACAAGTCTCGGATTGCTTCTGTTTTCGGATTCGGGGCTCTGACTCCAACTACCGTACCGCTCTTTCTGTCCTTGCGCCATGCCCTTTGTGATAGCGTCGACTGTTTGCAGCCTTTCATCCATCTGCTGGGCTTATCGTCGACCCAGTTCCCAGGTCCCAGGATGGCCCAACGGGTTGTGGGCAATCCAATCCCGCCTTGCCGAGAGCCTTTCTATTTGGCACGCCAGGGAATTTTAAGATTGGAAAAAGAGGGTCCTCGCTGCTAGACGTGCTTTAGCCGCCTCGCAGAACGGTGAAGGTGGCCCATCTGGATCAGTGCATCTACTACGGACAGCGCGAGGAAATTCATGACTCCCTATTGTTGCAGTACTATTATCGCAGAGGACCAGTGCTATGGAGTCTGTCCAGATTGCGCCCCTGTAACCCCCCGCCTCCGTGCCCACCGTCACCGAGCACGTTGGCGATTTAATTACTTCTGACCTGGCCGGTTTGCCGGTTGTCTTTGGTTTCACCCCAGGTCCAGCTCTGGCAGCCGTCTTTTTCCCTTCCAACATCCCTCCCGCTCTTTGTAGGGGACGAGCGCAAACGGCGACACGGCGACACGGCGACACGGCGACACACGACAACCACCAACGACTACGACCACCACGACCGACGACTCACCACTTGCATCACATCAGACCGTGTCGCATTCGGCACCGCATCGCATCCCCTGGATCTGCGTTGCACAACAGCATTACGTCGCATCGCATCGCATCGCTGCCCCCCGTGCACCTGAATCCTCACAGTAAACCAATCCGCCCCTCCATCGCACTTCAATTCAACCGAGATTCGAAGTACCAGTCCACCTACCGACCGACAAAGCCTCCCCGTACGACCCCAGGATCTCGATATTCGTGCAATCCAGTGCAAAGCACGGCATCCGTCCCGTCAGCCTCGCATCGCAACTGTCCGTACTCGTGCATCGCTTACGGATTACCTGTCATCGCGACAGAGCGCACGCAGCCACATCTCGTGTAGCTCAAGACACCATTCGCTATCTCACTCGTCGACTCGCCGAAACCCAAAAACCTCCCGCTCTCGATCCGTCAAATCTCGTGACTTGGCGCTGGGCTGTGCCTGAGCTGAGGCGAAACTGATCAATTCTGGTCTGCCCTGTTCGCTAGTTACAGCCAGACATCACCACTCCGTCTACGTTTCACACCCGCCTCCACATCCTCGCCAAAGTCGCAGGCCAAGCCACCTGCAGTAGATTCGCGCTTAGAGCTCCCGTCGTGCATCTGCGACTACAAGCACCGCTCCCGGGTCTCGCATTCACACTCCGTGCTCCCCTCTTGGGGCTCCCCGGCGCTGTCTTGGCCCGATTCGCTCGCTACTTGCTCCAAGCACAGGCCGTGTCCGTCGCATCGGGCGACCTCATTCAAGCTGGCTTCCTCACGGCCGTTCGGCGGCTCTTCGAGCTCTTTCAGCGACCGCCCTTTTCGGTCTCACCATCGCCGGCGCTCCTCCAACGGCGTCACCCTCAGTCTGAGTGAGCAGCGATCTGGCCAGTTGTTGACCATCGATCCTCGGATGCCGCCCGGCTCTCGCCATTCATCACTCTCCCCAGTTCTCGGTACGTGGTTCCCCCAATGCTTGATTGCGCGGATGTCTCATACCATGTCTTGGTTCCGTCCTTTGTCTTTCCACTGTCTCTCTCCCTGTCTCACCTCTCACGATGCGCTTTCGCCTCATCTTCCCGCCTCGGGTGTATCCTCATCCTGTCCCACTCTCCCGCAATGCCGCATCTTGTTCAATCCTTCAGCCCAAGTCGTGTCAATGACATGTCCACTTGTCCTCCCATCACCCATGCACGAACCGCCTACGTCTCAAACCTGCATGACATGCACCGTCTCCCACTCGCTTGCTGCGCTTAGACTAACCAGCGCCCTTGCCTCTCTCTAGGTACCCCCGTCGATAACATGACCCTCTCCCGCAGCCCGTCACCCGTCCCCGGCGGCGGCTGGTCAAGTCCTGGCCTCAACATCAACAGTGGCAGGTCCAGTCCTTCCAACATGACCGGCGGTCCAGTCGCATGGGAGTCGGCCAAAATGAGGCATCACAACCCCAATTCATATCCGTCCTTCTCGACACAGAACAAAGGATTCTTCACCCGTCACATGCGCCGCATATCGAGCAGCCTCCCACGCTTCAACGGAGCGTACGCAGAAAAGGAGCATCTGAAGAGAACACAGCCGTGGTTTCGAAAGGTGCCTTTGGCCGGCAGGATACGATCCATCTATGGGCGCATGGGCAGGAGGCTCAAGTTGATCTTACTCCTCCTCCTCTTGCTACTCCTCGGTACTATAATATTCTATAATTCCCGTGAGTCTTACCTGCCTCTTCCTGCCTGCGTTCTCCTGCTAACAAGTAACCTCTAGCGCTCGTATATCACTGGCGAAGAGCATCGTTCGGCGGCGGAGGCAACAAGTTCGTCATTATCCTGGCTGCCAACGTTGGAGGTGGTGTCATGGAGTGGAAGGGCGCACGCGAATGGGCCATTGAGCGTGACAGCGTGCGGAACAAAAGGAAATACGTTGCGAGATGGGGCTACGACCTGGAGGTTGTCGACATGGGCACCAAGAAGAAGTACGCACACGAGTGGAGAGAAAGCTGGGAGAAGGTCGATTTTATCCGGGCGACCCTGCGCAAATATCCCAAGGCCGAGTGGTGAGTCTCCATAGACGCGCGTCCTCCCCATTCTCCTGCGAATGCGACTGACCAGATGCAGGGTTTGGTGGCTGGACCTGAACACGTTTGTCATGGAGCCCTCTTACTCATTACAGGACCACATTTTCAACGAGCTAGAGAGTCACATATACCGCGACATCAACGAGTACAACCCCCACAACTTCTCGCATCCATTTACGGAGCATTACCTGGATGCCGATGCACGTAGTCCCGTTGGCGATGGGAAAATCAATTCTGTCAACATGCTTCTCTCGCAAGACTGTGGAGGCTTCAACCTGGGTTCCTTCTTCGTCCGGCGCAGCCCGTGGATCGAACAGCTTCTTGATGTCTGGTGGGACCCCGTGACGTACGAACAAAGGCACATGGCCTGGGGCCACAAGGAACAAGATGCCCTAGAGCAGCTTTATTCGACGCAACCTTGGGTCCGCCAACACATTGGGTTCCTACCACAACGCATGATCAACAGCTTCCCACCCGGGGCGTGCAACCAGAATGCGGACTCGGACGGCAACTATCCTGCGGATGACGCGGTCCACTACAGCGGAAGCGACCGTGACTTTTTGGTCAACATGGCGGGATGCGAATGGGGCCGCGACTGCTGGGGCGAAATGTACCACTACCGCGAGTACAGCTACTGGCTCAACCGAAACCCTTGGGAACTGTTCAAGGAGGAGTTGGTGGCCGTCATCTGGTTCAAACTCACCGGCCAGAAGGTCAAGCTGTAAAGCAACCATGACGAGGCGGCTACTAAACCGGACACGACGTACTTGTTTAAATACTGCCACGTTGGACACGCGACAATTTGTTGCCAGGCGCATCATTAATTTCGAAATGGCGGAAGCCGTTGGTGCTGGCGAAGCACCTTTTGTTTTTATATTCATTGCTCACGCGACGGCATCGCATTGGCGCTGCATTTTATCGGTTGGTCTTTTCTGGGATGCTTATACCCTTTTCCGCAAAGCATTAGAAAGGCAGGATGGAGAGGTCACCGGACACCAGGTCCAGACAATGAAGAGGGCCGTTGTAGCATTCCGATGCTGCGGTTCAACTTGGAGAAGGGGGTGTTTGTGACATATTTGTGTATTTCAAGACGGGATGAACTGCATGTCAGTGTTCTATGATGGAGGGGGGCAAAGAGAGGGGGGGACGTTTCATTGTATAGCGCATGAGAGGATTAGGAAAAGGGGAAGGGCTAAAGATGAAGGGCGACGCTGTGTCAAACGGAGAAAGGCCAAGGAATCAGCAAACTTCTAGAACCGGCCCGGAACGAGGAGGCTGATGTGAAGGATCGGCCCGTGTTTGAAAGAGCAATCAGCAAACTGCCGGCTCAGAGTGTATGGGGGGATTTTGGAGGTCCTGAGGAGATCTCAACCCATTCAAGATGATACGATGCATGTCGTGACTATGGACCAATTCTGCTTATTACCGAGTGACAGCGGCTATGGTGAGGCAAGTCAATGTCAGAGGGCAAGCGAGCGAAACGGAAACGCCCCATGACCGCCGAGCCTTCAATCTAACCAGGCCGCGGCGGCTACAGTACAAAGGCTATCCCATGCCATCCTTTACGATGCTCCGCTCACAACTAGGGAGGTGACAATATACCCCCCGCAGAGAACCCCTACACAAAAGCCGACGATCGATCCACGGCCGCGGGATCCGAGTCCTTGCTCTCGGAGGCATGGCCCGGAATGGCCCGTGTCGGCCGATCCGGAGAACAGCAGCAATGTGTCTGAAACGGAGATGGGGAGATGCATGGAGAGATGGCGAAAGAAGGTTATTGCTATAAATGGGACGCGTACGGGGATGCAGGTGAGAAGGAAGCTGGGATGAAACCCGCTCGCAATGGGACTCGCTTGCGTTTCAAACATAGGTGTGTTCATGTGCGGCATAGTGTTCGTGAAGATGCATCAACCTGGCGTAGGGCTGCTGCGGTTGACGGTTGAAGATATTACGGCATCTCATCCTTCGTTGGATCCTTCGTCAGGAGATCCTTCGTTGGATCCTGAACCGCGCGCCAAACATGCAGCGTTTGTCAGTTCTCAAAGAGGTAATTCATCAGCCCGATCAGGCCACGTACGATGTAGTAGCGCAGCCGCATAATGCGCGAGTATCTATTCCAGGCATTTAGAGCGCCTAACGGATGCAAAGGATGCAAAGCATGACGCCTCTTCCGCGGGTTTCTCTTTGTCTACTACTTACGTAGTACGTCCGTCTTTTTTTGGAGCCTTCCTTTGTAGCCTTCCTTACCCTACACCTGCATTTAGGATCGGCGTCCTCGTTCCACTCCGGCGGCAGCATGTGAGTGCCAGTTGGAGGCGTGGTGCCGAACGGTGGAGAGCGGACTAGGGTCGTTTCGGGGCATGGCAGGGGCTCGGCGAACGACGTCCTTAGGTGCGCGCGGCTATTAATCTATCTGGAAGCGCCATGAACGGTGAGAAGGAAGCTGGTAAAGTCTATCATGATAGCCCTACGGTGGTAGTACCCGGTGTAGAGAGCGCATGGAGCATGTGCGGCGGTAAGCTCGCATGAGGAACAACCAACATTCCGAGGCAGAGGCTGGAGGATTTCCTGCGTCACATGTTGAGATGAAAGGAGAGACAACGGGGGGGGGGGGGGGGAATGTTTTTCGTTTGAGCGAGGCTGGTTTGTCGATTTGTGGTCTAATGCCCTACGCAAGTGCGTACGTAGGGGGCCTGCGCAAGCCTCTCGAGGGCGTAGGGCGAGAGCAGATAGCGGATAGCTGAGAGAAAAGAGGGCGAGCGAGCGAGCAAGCGGGCAGAGGTTGGTGTGGACTTCCCCTGAACCATGTCGCTCTGCTGTAATAGTGTCTCCGTGTCTCTGGCCACAGTGGCATCTCGACGTCTGTGTGCTTCGGACGGAAGCACGCACGCACGCACGCACGTACATGACTGCTCTTCTTTCGTTTTTTTCGTTGGTCTGTCGGTTCTAAGATCCGGCTGCCCCCAATAAGAGCGGGCGTGTGCGAGGAAAGACGGGGGACGAAGTGTTTCGTTTTAGGTGTTTGCCCCGTTTCAAGGCGCATCGCTTGGCGTCGTATCATCCGTCCCATGCCGTCCCATCTCCATCCTCCTTCTGCCTCGGGGTGTTAGTGGGTGCGTTATCGACATCGGGTGTCCCGGCAGCGCCAAAAAGGGACGGGGGGGAAGGGAAGGGAAGGGAAGGGAAGGGTCCCTAGTCCTCGGGCTCGGCAGCAGTGAGCCAACGTACGCTGCTGGGTTGGTGCTGTACGTTGGCGTCTTGGGCTGTGCGGAGGGGGAGGATTCGTAATATCCCGAGTTGTTTCTTTTTCTTCTTTTCTCTCTCTGAGTTGTTTCCCTCCTCCGACTCCCTTGATTCGAGGCCCCGGCCCGCGCGTCCCTTGCGGAAGATGTCGTGGACTCGCAGCGGGATGGAGCCCCGAGCCGTTGGGACTGCGCGTTCTGTCCACGATCACGATCCACCGGTCCCAGCGCCAAGCTTCAGTGTGGCGGGGGCGTTTCCTTGCACGTCTCTTTGGGTGTCTGGCACGTTTTCCAGTGGACCGTCCCAGGGTTACAGTGACTGACGGTTCTCGGCTGGGTGGTGGCCCCCAGCGAGTGCCCCCAGCGGAGTGGCCCCCAGGCAGCTTCCAGGCGCCAGTGACAGGCCCAGTGGGGGCGACCGCCGCAGCCCGCGCCTGGCATGGATCCAACCTCGCTGCGGCGATTGGCCATAGCGTAGGTAAGTATGCGGCGGCGCTACCTCTACCAAACTCGGAACAGTCCAGTGAGTACAACAGTGGAGCCGGCCCTGGAGCGACCACCCCCTGCCACGATCTTTGCCCCTGGACGGTCCGACACGGGCGGCTGTACTGTATGTACCTGGGTGGGTGGGTAGGTACCTAGGCTGTGAAGGTGAGCGTCTCGTGTTCCTTAGCTACCATCGATCCATCTCATCCCAACCCTCGCTAGGTCTGGACCAGTACCAGTACGAAGGAGGTCTAAGCAGGGAATACTACCTACTACTACCTACTGTACGGAGTACGTACGCAGATAGTTGCAACAAACTCCCCCTGCGAGCAAAAAAACCCTAAACAACGGCTGCCCGCCTCGCAGGACAAGGGCCGCTTCTGCCTCGTGATTCGCCCAGATCTGTCCGGCACTAGAACCTGTAATCCAGGAACGGGCACCTTATGCGGACTGGCGTCGTGTTTGGTGGCTTGCAGGCTTGCAGGCTTGCAGACGAGAGAGGCAAGAGAAGAGGCTCAGGGGGGGGAGGGAGGGGCGTGGGAAACCAAACCGACAAAGAAACCATGCATAGAAACGCACTTGCCCGCTACGAGGGAGCAGGGACGACCTTTTTCGGCGCCGCCTCTTGACTCGCGAGGTTGGTTTATTTGGGGTCTTTTCGGGGGGCCGGCTGCTGCGAGACACAGACGCAGACAGAGACATTCCCGTATACCACCTAGCGTGCCATGTGCCGGCGCGATATGCGATGGGTTTGGCTGGGTTGGCCAAGCTGAGCTGAGCTGAGCTGCCTCTACTGTATACTAACTACTACGTACGTACCATGTACACGAGGCTTGCGGATATGCCAGGGGCTGCTGCTTTCACCCAACGCCATCCCCCGTCGTTTGAGGCGTCTGAGCCAGTCGTCAGCCAAAGACCGACTGTCTCTGAACCCGTATATAGTTGGGCCACATTCCCCCGTGAGGCTGCCTCCTCTCCCTCTCCCTCCTCAGCGTCTGGTACCGCATCCGTCCTTCACCCTCTCTTCACCTCTCCCTCACCCGATCCGTCACCTCGCCGTTCAATCCTTCCGGCAGCTGGCACGCCGTCATTGTTTCGTTGCTCACACAATCTCTATTGACTAGAGACCCCCGTCCATTGGCCCAAATCCCCAATACACACTGAGCATTCCTCAACACGGCCATTCATTCATTCATTCAGCCTTGCTAGTCAAGCCCCCCGTCCCCAGCCCTTGAACAACTCCATTGTTGTTTTTTGCATTCCTTTTCAAGGCGACGCCTCGTGGTGCTTATACACATACCGCCACATCCCCTCATTGACGAAAATAACGACCCAGAAGACCTGATACCTGCTCTACTTGATAATTACTTCAAGTATCCTTCGTTCGCAAACCCTAGTGACTGGCTTCACTCGTCTTGCTACGATCCACAATCCTTTTCTGTCTGTTCTTTCCAGCGCTCAAAGCGACAACTCCACACTCAAAATCAGCAACTATGCACACCTCAACTGTCACTCTCGGCCTCACGGCCCTTCTCGCCGGAGCCGCCCAGGCCGCCACCTACACCCTCAACACCACCTACGATGCCACCAACTTCTTCACCTCGTTCGACTTCTTCAACGAAGAGGACCCGACCAATGGCTTCGTCGAGTACGTCAACGCCGAGACCGCTAACGGCGAAGGTCTCGCCGGCTACCACGACGGCGCCATCTACATGGGCGTCGACACCACCACCGTCAACCCTACCAACGGCCGCAAGTCGGTCCGCGTGACCTCTCAGGCGTCCTTCACCCACGGTCTCTTCATTGCCGACATTGCCCACATGCCCGGCAGCATCTGCGGAGTCTGGCCCGCCATGTGGTTCTTCGGACCCAACTGGCCCGCCTCTGGAGAGATTGATATCATCGAGGGCGTCAACACCCAGACCCAGGACACCATCACCCTCCACACCGGCCCCGGCTGCTCCATCACCAACGAGGGCACCTGCGACAGCACCACCCTCAAGGAGTCCAACTGCAACGCGGGCGACGCCGGCACCGGCTGCGGCCAGAACACCGCCGACAACCAGAACTACGGCGACGGCTTCAACGACAACGGCGGCGGCGTCTACGCCATGGAGTGGACCTCGGACCACATCTCCGTCTGGTTCTTTGCCCGCGGCCAGATCCCCAACAACGTCAAGAGCGACACCCCCGACCCTTCCACCTGGGGCCTGCCCGCCGCCCGTTTCGCCGGCGGCTCTGGCTGCGACATCGACACCCACTTCATGGACAACAACCTCATCTTCGACACCACCTTCTGCGGAGACTGGGCCGGCTCTACCGATGTCTGGAACAGCAACGCCGAGTGCTCTGCTCTCTCCTCCACCTGCAACGACTACGTCGCCGCCAACCCGGCTGCGTTCACCGAGGCCTACTGGCTCATCAACTCCATCAAGACCTTCGACCAGACCGCTTCCAACTACACCGTCAAGCGGGCGACTCTCCACAAGCCCATGCCCTACCTGGGTTAAGGTGCCCACTCTCACAGCATTTACGAAAATGATATCTTTGGAGATGGTGGAAAAACAAAGGCGGGGAAAGGGATGGTGTCTTTCAGAGATACCCGGATCTGGATGCGGCGGTCGGAAATGGATTCGACCAGGGACACCCAAGGCGTTTAAGTGGTTGATGATGATTTTCAACATTTTGGACAGTTTAAAGCAGGACATACGTCAAAGTCTTCACATTCGTTGTACATATAGATCAAGCTTCGTGGCCGTGGGCAGCCATCTCGAGGTCTGCACCATCTGGAGCGAAGCCATCAAATACGAAGAGAATTTTCACTCTCAAGTCTCCACAAGCAGCTGCAATGAATGTCCCGACTCAGTCGTAGTGAAAGTGATGATTGTAGTTGTGATAATGAAGTAGTCGTGAACTTGTGGTGTTAGTCCACTTACACGGCCGGACCCGTACCTCTGCCCTATACCCACTTCGGCTGGAGGCTGTCGTGTCTCCACTCCACAGTCTATCTAGTGCGCACAAGCACCACCAGCAAAAATCAAGGCTTCTTGAGACGAGGATTCTGGTCAGGGCATCATCCAATTCCATGGTTTCGTGGTCTAACGGTTATGACTGCGGATTCTGATTCCGCCAGCGAGGGTTCGACTCCCTCCGAGACCTCTCTTTTTGCCCTGGTGGGCCGCTTTCGTGACATCTGTCTTCCCGCAGCACACGGTGCTTTTGCCAGTTAATTACAGGGCCATGAATTCCTTTTTACAGGCGCCTCTGCATTTCCGCTGGACTCAATGGCAATGGGTTGGTTAGATCTTGGATGTTGTGGCTGCCTCCACTAGCTTGGCAGTGCAAATTAGCCCAGGCGATCCCCTTTGAGACCCTCCAGAAAATGCAACTTTCGGAAAGTCCCAACAAGTCAGAAACCTCTAGGTTGTCAGTCATGGTCTCTCTCCCAGCTAGAAGAATGAGCGTCGCCGTGCTTCCAAAATCGGCAATTTATATAATAACGCCGTCAGCCTGGGGTTGTGGGGCCCAACAACGCTCGACAGGCCTCCGTTAGGATCGAGGCGTTATGCCAATCTAACATGCCACCCCTGGAGAAAGTGATCGGTGCAATTGTCTGATTGGCAGTAATGTATACCTAGTACACGTGTGAGAAGTTGTTGGGGCTGAATAGTTTTATATAAATATCCAGGCATGCGCTCAGCTTCACTCCTCACTCCTCAAGCCTCCAACTCCAACTTGATCTGACTCCTTCAAAAGAACCTCGCAATTATATCTACAACACTCCCACCATCTACAATGGACTCCCTGTTTGGCCTCGATCTCTCCCGAAACTACTCGTATTTCTCGGTATGTTCCAAGTTGCATTGATCCGAGGTCCTTCATCGAGCTTCTACTCAACCACAACGCTAGGTTCCCGCTGCCTTCTTCAGTGCCGCGTTACCACACGCCTACTCGGTTCTCTCGTCACGGGTGCACTACGACAATGCCAACCCTCGTAACCACCAAGAGCGCCTTGCCAAGTCTGAGACACTGGACAAGGTGGTCAGTTATTGTCTTCCCTCCTCCGCCACTTATCTCGCTAACAGCCGCCTCACCGTAACAGAAGCAACAATGCATGCTCCGGGCCAAGGCCGCGTCGGCCAACGGCTTTGAGACACTGGGCTTATATGCTACCGCCGTCGTAGCCGCCAACGTCACGGGCGTTGATGTGCGGACCCTCAACATGTTGACGCTGGGGTACATTGTCACCCGCATCATCTACAACGTCACCTACATCTGGCTGCAGAAGAACCGCAAGTTGGCTGGAGTGCGCAGCGTGTCCTGGGTCACGGGCATTGCGCTTGCCGTGACTCTGTGGATCAAAGCCGGGAACAAGGCGCTGGAGAACTAAATATGTATCTTCTCGCATATGGTTGCTTCTATAGACGAGTACTGGATAGACGTTTAGACACGTAGGGCTAATAACTGAATAAATTCCCCTCTCATATCAATTTTATCTCCCACAACCTCATTCAACAGATTTCAAGGAAGAGATAAGTTGCCGTCTCCGGAAATAGGCAGTGGTGAAACATGATTGATTTCCGTATCGGCATGGTGACACCACTGACGTTGCTCGCCCGCTGACGCCGGTGAGCCTCTCCAACATACGGTCAGCCTGCAAGCAATTCGCTTAGTTGTGCTCCTTGTCCAATGTTTGCGTTTCTTCTATCAAGCACGGGATCCAGGCTAAAAAGGGGAGCGTGATCTACCAATACCGGCTGTGTTACGGTACTTCTACTTCGGAATAGTATAAAAAATCATTCAGCCCAGCCTTCCCACACTGGTCTTCAACGGCATTGAATCACCAACATCATTCATTACGCTTCCAGGTACGTCATTTCACTCTTCGAATCACATTCATAGGCGGGATGATTAACACGGATATAAGTCTTAATCCGCCTCAATACACCATCGGGCTTCGATTTCTCCATCATCTTTGCCTCCTCCCAGTTATGCAACAATAGCAGCAGCCTGCCAGCTCACTACAATGCTCTCGTTCCGCTTCTTCACCATCTTCGTAGCCTCCGCCAGTGCCATGGCTCTTCCCCATGACAAACACACCATCACCACACCACCGTCACGAGCGACCACCAGCTCGTCAAGCATCACAGCTCGCACCCACTCCATCGACTGTGACTACAAGTACTGTGACGGTGACACGTCATGGTGTTTCTACTTTGCCCCATTCACCACATTCGACATCAGCCTGGGACCGCTTCCTGGTGAGACGAGGACATCACTGGGACCTTGTGGGACCGCGGTGCCAACATTCTGAAGATGCATTGGGGCTTTTGAAGGCAGTTTGATGGGTGTGGAGTTGGGTCTGGGTGGTTTGATAACAATATTTGGCCATGAGGAACGGAAGGACGGACTAGAGCGGGTGTGGTTCGAGTCTATAACCTCTATTATTGATTCCATCCTCAGTTTGATGATGCATACAACCCTGTTATTACTGTCCGAGAAAGTACCATGATCCATGCCAAGCAGTTTCAACAAAATCATTAATAGTTCCTTTATGTCCCTCAGCAGATCAAGCATAACAGTGACTTCAATTCCGAATGTGTGTATTCTTGTGTCTGTTCAGCAAGAAAGGCCAGAAGCGGGAACATAATCAATACAAAAGCAACAGTGTTATATCCCCCATGCTTATGACATTGGAGTTGTCGAACTCATTGAGACCGACATATCTTGGATCTCTAAGTCTTATCCAAAGTGTATTCCAGTGATGCAAGTGACCCAAATCCCATGTGCGTAACAGCGAGTGGCTGTGGCCCTCCGGCCAAATGCCCTAGTTGCTCCTCAAAACCATATGCAAAAATAAAAATACCATATTCATCAACCGAGCGCCAATTATTATGCAAAATCAATGCATCTCTGCACCACTGAAGCTCTTGTTCCTCGTCAATGTTGCCTGCCCTTGGCTTGCCCTTGACAGCCGTTCATAGCTAGACTTCCGACTCCATGAAGACCCAGGCCGGGATGTGACATCCCGACTTGCCTGGCCCTGTTCTGCTTCAATCATGGCATCGGCTGGCATTGATGCGTCGTCTTTGATCTTTGCGACGAAGAAGGAGGACAACAAGACACAACCACCGCCAAGAGCGAGCACTATCGCAATGCTGTGGTCGCCGGGCGTACCACGAGGTTTCTGCCAAATCTTGAAGATGATGCTGGAACCCACAGTCGCAATGATTTGGGGGGCTGCGATAGCCATGTTGTGAATCCCGAGGATTACTCCAGCCTGGTCAATCTCCTCATCTTCTTCTGAGCTTTCACTGGACTCTCCATTCTCATCTGCCGCGGCCGACGAAGAAGCGCCATCGGCACTTGATTCAAGATTCAGTCTCCGAAGCTTCTGCGCCCGAACTAGGGCATCACGTTTGCTAATCTCCGCGCTGATGATGGCCCACGGCGCCCAGAGAGTCATGGCCCATGTGATACCGACGAGGCCGATCAAAGCCGTCGCTGCCTCCACAGTTCGCACAAGGACGGTACAAGCCATGGCTCCGGCAAAGAGAACTAGCGACGCAAACCATGCGCGCTTGAGCGTGAAACCGGGGATCCTCAGGCGATCCAACCATGAATGCCTATCATCATCATCGTCATACTCCCTGGCAGTATCCGACTCTCCCAGTCCTACAGTTGTGCTAGGTTGCACATCATAGGTTGGTGCAATAAAAAAGGGAAGGAAGACATTAGTGAGTAGGCTCACAATCGAGTTCACGAGCAAAGCAAAGGTGCCGATGCGCGTTGCCTGCTCATAAAGTTTATCGAGCTCAGCCGGTGTCATATGGGGATTCTCCTGGAGGTAGGGTTCGACGTAGATTTCTCCAATGTACGATGATGTGTAGAAGAGTAGAGGAAAGAAACCAATCCATGCAAAGAACTGGACCTCACACACACGCTTGATCTGGGGAGGCAAGCGCTTGATGGACGTAAATATGGTGAAGAAGAAGGATATGACGTTCGGCCTATCCTTTTGAGCAGGCCCGTCTAATCGAGGGTCCCGCTCGTGGATGAGGGTGGTGCTCACGAAAATTGTCGCAGCAAGGGCGACGCTGGCGATGGCGCAGAGGACCTGGAACTGAGTCCTCCCAAGGAACCATAGATACTTCGGGAGGTCGGTATATCCAGCAATGTATCCCACGATATTACCAAAACCAGTGATCCGGCTAGCCATCGCATTCGCAGCCTCTTGCTGATGAGCTGGCGCACAGTCAACGATGAAAGCGCGGATGGCCGCCTGGACAGTGTTGATTGCAAAGTCCAGCACGTAAATGCCGATAACGGCAACGACGATAGTAATTGTCTTGACGCTGTCGGACTCGGGGTTGGCACCAAATATTCCAAAGAAGCTGGCGACGATTTCCTTTGTCCAGGCCAGAAATAAGAGAGATATGATGGTGGCGATGGCACCGCCTGCCATGAAGGGCTTCCGCTTACCCCAGGGCAGACGGCAATTGTCACTCAGCATGCCGACATATGGCTGAACCAAAGTGCCCGTCAGAGGCCCTGCGATCCATACCAGGGCCATTAGGGACTTGCTCAGGCCAAGCGACAGCAGATATGGCGAGCCATTGGACAATTCGACAGACCAGGCGATCTGCAGGCCGCCAATGCTGATGGTCAGCAAGATGAGGTACCAAACGCTCTTGGTGTTTTGGTTGTCATCCCCATCGCCGAGCCATGTGTTTTCATCCGCGAGGCCATTTTGCTCGTCGCTGGCGCTGCTGAGGAGAGGGGATCGTTCGTTGGAGCTCTCGGCCGGTTGGTCGAGGGAGCGGTTAGAGGGAATGCTTGCGCCATGGTGGCGCGTCGAAGGCGACGCTTGGCCAGCTTCACGAGCGCCGGCAGCGGGTTCGGAGGACGACGTCATTCTAGGACGAGGTATTCAGGCCGCGGTAGCCGCAGTCATTGAACGGATGGCGGAGCTCGGGGCTTGGGGGTGATGGGGTGAAGTTGCCGTGACGTCGCGGGTTTCGGAAGAAATGGAGCCGGCCCAACGGCGACAGATGGAAGCTCCAAACGTGGGGTGTAGCACCAGCGCCGGGATATAATATGAGAACGAGGACTTCAGGTCGGTGAGCAAGAGCGCAAGGGAGCGCGAGTATGCCAAATATGGATGCAAAGCAAGTCAGATCGATGCCATCAGGTGGTCCCGCTGGGAGGCCGTCACGAGACGCAGACCAGGTGCAAGCTGAGCCCTTTCGTTGGTGGTCATGAAGGTCATGATGGCCAAGGCTGTGTCAACTGCAGCCAACCGAACGGTGCCGTGTGGGATCAGCACGGTGCCTGGTTTGGGTCGTGCCGGGGGCCTCACAGGGGCTGGGCCGCGTTGGGTTGGCAAATCAGCGGCACGTTCTCGTTCCTCAGAAATGACCAGATGGTGTGCTCGATGATGAGTGCTCCAAGTGCTCCAGCGCTCAATCTGCCGAGCTGGCTTTCGGTGTCATTGTCCCGTCACAGCGGTCATGGGGTGCGGGGACAGAACTTCTCTGATCGTCAGCTACGTAGGCTGGCGAGAAGAAACACAGAGCGAGCCAAGATCCAGGCTGAAACTTCATCAGCAATGGGAAACAAGGATGACCACAATCCTAGACTCGATCTCAATTTCCTGCTTGTTCCTGACCATGGATATCCCCCAGCTGCAATGCTGCAGATCATGACTGGGGGCCTATGACGCAATGCCTACCCTACATTGGTGTTGATGATGGGCATCTCAAACTGAACTACTCGCCCAGCGAATGATCCCATATTAAAAATTATAACAGGGCTAGGGTGTCTTGAAGGTGGTGGCTAAGGGGATAATGCTTGTCAAAATGGCGGTACTTTGCTGTCAGGCAGCAGCTGCACAATAATAAACATACATCACAAGACAGTAATCACGAACTCACCAGGATAACCCACACTCATAAATCACAGTAGAGAGGTTAGACGCCAGACCAAAAAAGACGACGACTGTTACACATCCGTAGATACACCAAAGTCGCTCTCAATTTCCAAGCTTTCAGCTCGAAATAACACGCAAATAGATACCACTCTGTTGCTGAAGTGACTTATCTCCAAAGCCCATGCGTCGATATCGATATCGATATCGTCATGGGTGCCAACTATTCACGTGGCGCCGACCAGGGTGCGCGTAGCAGGATTTGGGACCCAGGGATGATGCAAGCAGGCCAGGCATCGCTTCCCCATCAAAATCCAACTCAGATGCCTTCTGTGGTTACTGAACACCGAACCTGAACGTTTGCAGTCCGTAGAAGACCGATTAATCCCGATGTTTCCAGCCACGCTGTGGCGCTGGGCAAGCGTTAACTTGCACCCCACGGCGGTGCCCCTCACTGGCTCGTCTTCCGTCATCGATTCGATCGTCCACACAAACGACTTCAACAGCGGCAGCGACGAAGCATCGCAGATTATCATCATGGCGCCTGTCCAACTTGAACCAGAGACCAGGTGCGCGAATATTTGCATCCTTGACTCTCCTCCCGGGGCTTAACACTGCTTGTCTAGGTATGGCCTCGTTGTCGCCGTGGCTAGCCACCTCTTGGTGGCGGGCTACCTGATGGTCCAGGCCGGCCGGAGTCTCCACTGGGCCTATCGTGGCCTCGGCCCGTCCCAAGATACTCGAGGGCGGATTTCTCGGAGAAAGACGCTGTTGCCCATCTTTGCCGGCCTGGCATTGTTCAGCTTGATACGGGCAGTTTATGGTTCCGCATCGTATGCTGTCTTGTCTTACAAGGTCTGGGCTAGCGATTCTGGTGTTGAGTTACCCGCTCGGTATGTCAACCAACCCCCATGGAAAGCAATAAACTGACCACCCATCTTATTGGGCACAGGTTCTATGGGGACAAAGGTATTTTCCCCTTCGGAGAAAATGCGACCCGTGTTCATATTCTGCAATGGTTAAGTGATACACCTATTTATCTGGATGCCTTTGAGATCATCGCAGAGAAAGCTCGGAGATTCTGGTGGGGACAACAGCTTGACTTGGGCTTGGTATCATGGAGCATGCTTCTCGCCATCGAAGGACGGCGTCGGAACATCCCACTCCTCTGGTGCTACCAGTTGCTCGGGCAGTTGGTATCCCTCGCCTTTGCCCAGAACGTATTTTTCGTGGCAATGTTGCTCACACCGTCACCACTCCCGGTTGAAGTCAATGGTTCCTTGCCTCTCTCACGGTATGATGCCCGACTGCTATCATCGTCGAACTGGCACTGATGACCCACAGATACGTTCGTATGAGGAACAAACTATTTCCTCCGAAACCTGCCGGCTGGACACCACATGTGCTAGTGTTTTCTACCATCCTGGCCCTAAACTTCGTGGCCATACTGTCGATGCCGTTTCAGGTCAACACAGATCTCTTCAGATATTCGGCCATTGCGACTCGGTCTCTCAGCCTTGCTCCTCTAGCTGTATATCACATCTTGCCCACAAGCTGGGGAAAGACGTATGAGGATCCTCACGGTGCGTACGGCACTTATGAGCACCTGTTCCGGGCCATTTCTCTGGCCAGCTTCGGGCTGCATGCCCGGGCGTCGGTGGTTGGATTGGCTTACAACGCCCCCGACGCTTACTACCACCGCCACAGCGTTCATCTACCTTTTGATGTAGAGCAACGATCCGCTTGGGAGCGGACGACATCCGCGTTCGGGAGGGTCCTTGGAGCTATAGCTGATCATCCTGTCGTCGGGGCCGCCGGTTGGGATGTAATTCTCTCGAGCGTCAGCATCGGCTTCTGGGTAGCAACTCGGGCGACCGATGTGTCAGCCATTCTGGCATCAACAATACCTGCCTATCAAGGCCAAGAGCGAATCAAGGAAGAAACAAATCCGGAGCCAAATAGGGTGACACGTGGACAAGCCAAGGCATCGATGGCTGGCGGCGTCGGAGCACCCTCGGCAGACGGAGAAGGGGCTCCCCTGAGGCGTCGGGGCAGATCGCGAAAGATCAAGCACGAAGATCCGAGCGGGAGCGCCTACGAACCATCGCCGAGTGAAGTGGCTGCCACTGATGAAAGCGATGTGCCCCCAGGCGATGGACTAAACTGGGAATCGGCGGCTGTGGTCTGGGGCTTGACTGCGCTAGGGGGGCTGGGCGTCGGCAGTGCCGGGGCGTTTGGAGGCGAGTGCATTGCACGATAGGCGCTACAGTGGGCATAATTATTATTAATTAGGGGATGACATCCTGTGGAAGGAAGCCCGGGGCTGTACCACGTTCCTACGGACTTCACACCGCACGGCAAGGGTGGGAGGAGGGGGGGCGAGGTTTTGGGGCAGTGGTGCACTGGTGAAGACTTGGCTGATCGACGCTAGCGGGTACGATATGCAGTCAAGGTTTGACAGTTGCATATGTACTTACGTTGTAGTTTGCGTATTGTCGGACCGGGATTGAATTTGAATGTCTCGAGATGCTTCCTTTCCAGTTTCTCGCTCCGAGTTAGTTCTGCAAACGGCGCGGATCTCATCGTTGCAGAATCACGGCAGCGGGACAAACTCGGCCTTACCTGCGAGCAAGTGACAGTGCGGACCCCAGGACCGTCTCCGCCTAGTGTCGTCGTGACCCCGTCTCTCCACCAGAACCCCGAGTCCACAACAGCAATTGCAGCAGTGGATTGAGGGGAAAATCTGGGCCTCCACGGCTGGACTGGTTCGCCGGCCCCGAGAGCATGGGAGGGTGGGTGGTAGCGAAGGACCCAACGGCAGCCCCTACGGAGGACGCTGAAAATTTGCGGACACCCTCCGCGAAGAGCCGCTGTGACCCTGGAAGGCGGCGAGAAGCCAGCTAGCCGCTGATCAATCTTGGAGGCTGCGTTCGGAAACAGGAACAGAATTTTTCTTCTTCTCCTTCCTGTCTCGTGTCACACTGGCCCTTTCATTTGTCCGAGGCGGCGCCCTCTCGGGGGCAGGCAGACGGCTCGGCCTTGTGGTGTACCACGTACTGCGTAGCACGGTGGAAGGTCGCGGCCGCCGCCATTTTAGCCCCTGGAACAACGGTCCCGAGAGCTGGCAGCCGGCCAACGCTGCCTTGATAACGTTGTCGTCGTCTTGCATCGGGTCTGCTCTAATCAGCTCCAAAAGCCGTCGGGAACAGCCCGGACAGGACAGGGCAGACTAGACGTGGTGCATATCCGTCAGTGGCCCGAATAGCGAAGTCCGTATGTACTCCGGAGATCCGCAATCGCCGTTGACTGACCAGAGGGGGCCAACCACGCACCAACCCTGTCGTCTTGACGCCCTGACGCATGCAGGATGCGCCTCGGCTCCCAGCCAAGGCACCAAAGGCACCAGAGGCCGGCTAAAAAAAAACCACCACGCTTCGCCTGCCCCTTTTGAGCCTTGGGCGCTGGTGGTGGCGTGGCGCACCTAGGCTGTCCCAGGCTGTCCCAGGCTGTTCCAAGCCGCCCCAGGCCGCCCCAGGCTGTCCCAGACCACGACGCAAAGCCTCCGCAAGCCATAGGAAGCCCCGGTCGTCGACAGGGATTCTCCAGTCGGTTTATCGCGTCCGTCCGGGGCCCTTGCACATCAGGGTCATGGCTGACTTCATCGAGCGGGTCCTTGCCCGTAAGCCGCCGTGAACAGCCCGAATCCTCCGCCCGCTCCTCCCACGCAGCCATCCACACCACATGGCCACGGCGACCTTCTCACGAAATGTGGCTGCTCTGTTGCCACTATGGACCCCCCCGGGTACTTGCTCTTCCCTGGCTGGTCCTGGACGAAACGGTCTTTGTTCTGAGGGGTTTTCTCGGTTTCCTTATTTCCTTATTTCCTTGACACGTACCTAGGTAGTAAGCGTAGTATAAGGTTGCGGCATCTGCTCCTCAATCCTCAGCCCTGAGTCCTTGATCTTGAATTCATCTATTAAACGTCCCCCCCGTTGATTGATCCCCCATCTTGATCATCATCGTTACTCAACCACCGTTATTCAACCACAGTCACCACTCATCGACTGCACTTCTACCTTCGTCTGCATCCACCTCCGCCAACCCAACAATCTACCTACCTCAACTCGCAGCCATGGCCATTCGAGAATCCTTCCGCCGGGTCTTGCGCCGATCCGATGAATCCGACGCCTCCTCCCAAGCAGACTCAACCACCATCGCTTCCTCATCCAGCAAAACTTCCGTCTCGTCCAAGTCATCTGGATCGCGTCTGACGCGTACACGAACATGGACCTGGGGTTCCAACAACAAGCAGACCCAGGAAGCCGCCCAGGAACGCAAGGCCAAGAGCAAGCCGAAGAAGCGCATCGTCCACCCGAGCGAGAAGCCCCTTACGGAGCAGAACCTGCGTCATCAAGAGATGCTATCGCAATTCACCTGGACCTTCGGTGCATCCAAGCCGGATCAGGTTGAAAGCGACAGCTTCATCGGCATCAGCCCCTGCTGCACCCGAACACCCAGCCTCGCCGACTACGACCCCAGCGGCGATAGCGATGGCTCATCGTCATCTCAGGACTCTTAGCTGCCGTAACCATTCCATTACGGGCAAGGTGATCGCAAATCAAGCGGACACACCGATTCTCGACGCCAGTTCCAAAAGCGGGATCCAGTTGAGAGTCTAGACTGCTACCACCAAACACACTCACCACCAACACTCGCCACAATACGCTAATCACCAACCACTCACACACCCACTCGCGCGCGCCTTGGTACGGTACCTACAGCGCAACACCTCTTCCGCCGATCAGAAGCCACACTCGCCTCCCGATCAGTGTCATCTCGGCAACTGCCGGAGCACTCATCGCCAAAACGCGGGACGTCGCCCAGCGACGCAGAGACGCATGGGTGAGGGGATCTTGGCGTGTACCCTCACCTCAATTACGACCATTTTAGACAGAACCATACACCAGACGACCTTCAAAGCAGAGCGCATCGGTCGGTTCCATCGCAGGGCCTATGGAACATTCATGGATCAAGGCAATACGGGGACATACTAATTTTGATTGATACAACGCAACACGAGTAACATGTATTTTTGGGCTTTAGCGATTTGGAGACAGGGCATAACATATATTAAACATGGGGCCATGGGCTGGGCATAGACACCAGAAGGCGGCGTTCAATTGATACATCCTAGACAATGGGGTTTCATCTTCGATTTTCGTTTCCGAATTCCTGTGACAAAATAACTTTCCGTGCCCGTGAAGCCACCATGACTAGCTCGATGCTGGTCTAGACCGTCTGGCGTTTTGCATAGGTATTCTTAGCTCTTCTTACACTTGCTGCGTTGGACCCAGGCACAAGTGATGCAGTCCCAGATGCTGAGTTATGCGCGACATCCCTGGACTGGTGAGTAGTGATTTCTTTTCTGCTAGACCACCTATCGCTATCAACTTCGCAACTGGACTTAGCGGGCAGCCAACCAAGTCTCCCCTAAAGAAAAATTGGTCGACATTGGATCAATCATGGCTCTGCTCCTTGACTGCCTTGGCCTTTATTGGCAGCAACCGAGATTTAGTACGTCACGCGGAAGGCGCAACAACCACAGCGCTCCTGCCACGAACAGTGCCCCCGACGCTCTGATTCAGCGGAACCCGGCGCTCGTTGATTCAAGCCTTTCGCCTTGAACGAGTGCCTGAGGTCCTCCGAATACCACCTTCTCTCTTGACCTCAATCCAAGGCCCGCGGACCTGCAAGAAACAACAGCCACCGTTACGACCTTCGTCACCCAGGCTCTAACCACCAGACACAATGTCGTCAAAGTCATGGTACATGCTCAAGATGAAGTCAGTACCCGCAAGATATGGCTTGTCGAGGAACATCCAGACCCTGCTTCAGGCGCTCGACAAGTTCTACACAGGGAGCATTGATGCCACCGAGCTGGGTCGCCTCGTTCGCCTTAGCCCAAAGCGACGATCTGCGATTGCCGATACCATTTCGAAGTGCGCCGACATGATCAAGAGGGAGCCCGAAGAACTCAAGACATGCGTCGACATCATCGAGATGTGCACGGAGATTCTTGAGATTGCAGGTGAGTGCCTGACTATGTCGGAGCCGCGCATACAGGCTAACAACATAACCTCAGACCGACCAGTCCCAAGCCAAGGCTTCCCATTCATGAGACTACCTATGGAGATTCGAGATACAATCATGGACCTCATGATCGACAATGTCTTCCGAGCAAAGGGAATCAAACCTGCAACCAAGAGAATCACATGCAACTGTCCGAAGATCGAGCGAGACTTTTTTCTTCAGACACCACAGATGAAGGCACTACCATCACTTCTCGGACCGGCACTCAACCGCGAGTTCTTCCGCATCTTCTTCCGCAAGAAGAGCGTCCGTTTTCGATGCTGCTGTGAGATGCTGAACCACCTCCAGCACAACGGGCAGCTACTCCGTAATGTCCGCCAGATCAAGGTCCATTGGTGCGGCCCAGAATCTGCAACCGCCTTCAAGAAGCTGTCTGAGTGTACCAAACTGGAGGGCCTGGCACTCAGCATCTCCAAGTCAACCCTGGCGCACCTGAGCGAAAGAACGGACCTGATGAAATCATACTTTCCGCTTATTTACCGGAATATCCGAATAACAGATGTCCTGGGGTTAGATGAACTCTTGGGTCTCCGGGGTCTGCAGGAAGTGTCGGTCCAACATGCTCAGACCAAGAACGCGAATCTTACGGTTGAGATGGACAGGGCCAATCTGGCGGAGCTTCTGTCGACTCTGCTAAAGCAACCGAAGGAGGTAAGACGTGAGACAATAAGTCTTACGTGTTCAGAACTGACGCCATGTAGGAAGACAACATGTCGGTTGAGGAGTGATTGGTATTCAGGCGCACAAGAATCGACACGGAACCAAGTTTTGTCATATGGTAGTTGTATCACATACGAGCTGGACAGGCATCACAATTCACTGGCTGGGCAATAATGGTTTGCTAATGGTATAGTCATTGAGGAATCTACTTAGCGGAGGCATCACTCGAACCATGCGAGCACATGGTGCTGAACACTGAAAAGAGTGTGTACGAAATGTAACAACAGATAAATTACGGAAAGTCTTCATTCGGTGAATTCACTCTAAAGACCCCGTACTCAAAAAACGGTGTGTTCATCTTGTCTCGTGCCTGCACAAAGTACGGGCATCCGGCTCAAGATCAGTCGTTGCGACTGGGCTGATCGAGCAATGGCATAAGACGACGTGGCAATTGCGCCTCGGGCGCGTCACATTTGAGCAAAGACCTACCGTAGCAGTAATCCGCGATTATGATACAGGACTCTAGATGGAGAGTTGAGCGGAGGCGGCGCGTAGCTGCTCACATGGATTCGAATCGGGTTTGTAGGGTACAAGGAGAGAGAGTTAGGGATTTCAGTGAAAATTTGAGGCGGCTAGGCGAGCTCTTAGACAGGGGCCAGTACTCCACACTGTGTTTCAAGCGCCTCAGGACTTAATGTGTGAGATGAGTGTGAAATCGGTCTCTTGCACGGTACGCGCAATCCTAACTCGACTAGGTACTTCAAACTCAAATCGTCACATAATTTGGAAATTTAACGGAAATGATTGCGAATTATCCAGACGGCAATTCATCATAAGGCAGCTGAGCACTCTCAGATCTCGTAAACTCACATCTTAGAAAGGCCCTTCTTGGTTGGTGTCTCGAGGTGGAGAAGCACAGTGCAAGCGACACAGTCTGTACAGACCCCAAACACTGTCCTAGGTCACCAAGTTTATCACGTGTCCTGCCGCGAATTAGTGCGCACCATTCTTGCCCTACTCGCGACCCCACAGGCTCGAAAATTCACCACCTTAAGCGAGGGCGACGAAATCTCCGCCTTCTTACCTTCAACCCCGAACCATCGAATCCTAACGAGCACAAGGCAACGACCTATCGAAGTTGCCCATCATGTCGCTCGTAACGGGAGAGAAGTCGAACTTCCAGTTCGTAAGTGATCCCCTCCGCTGATGCATCTTCGACGTCGTCGCCACCACCGCCGCGCTGGCCTGCGCGGTCCCGGCTTCGCGAGACCTGGATCGGCCACAACGAGGAATTCCAACATGATTCTAACAGTGGGCAGATTCTCCGTCTTCTGAACACCAATGTCGACGGAAAGCAGAAGGTCATGTACGCCTTGACCAAGATCAAGGGTGTCGGTCGCCGATACTCCAACTTGGTTTGCAAGAAGGCCGATGTCGATCTGAACAAGCGGTATGGGACCCGAGAGCACCACAGGCGAGGACGAAATATACTGACAAGCATCTGCAGCGCCGGTGAGCTCACCTCCGAAGAGCTCGAGCGAATCGTCACCATCATCCAGAACCCCACCCAGTACAAGATCCCCAGCTGGTTCCTGAACCGACAGCGTGATATCGTTGACGGCAAGGACTCTCACATTCTGGCCAACGGTGTTGACTCCAAGCTCCGTGATGATCTCGAGCGCCTCAAGAAGATCCGCGCTCACCGTGGTCTCCGACACTACTGGGGCCTCCGTGTCCGTGGTCAGCACACCAAGACCACCGGTCGCCGTGGCCGAACCGTCGGTGTCTCCAAGAAGAAGGGTGGTTAAATATAACAATGGTGTTGGTATTGGGTGGACAGGCGTGACGGCTGGTTTCTCCATCTTTTCTGAGCATTTCGAGAGGATTGCTTTGCGGCATACGCAGCTAGGGCTGTACTCTAGGTCAGAGTCACGAATCAAAAGCATTCAACAACAAATGTTCCATTGGATGACGGAAGGGGTTCTTAAAATATTGCGTGAACTCATGATATGATCGGTACACAGCGATGGTAGACTCGGGTGCGCATTGTGGACGCAAAAGGGGTTTAAGGCATGAGGGTATCTTGTTTTCATCATCTTAATCTTCATGAGTGACGGCCATGTCTAGAACCTCGACTCGTCCTTGACCCTTTGTCTCGTTGCCAACAAAGTCGGACAGGGCTTTCAAAGCTCCCGGCTCGACGAATCCTACTACTTCCCATTCAGAGCCTACCACGTCCTGGCTCTCGACCTGCTCAACGAATCCCAGAATCATATCCTTGACTGTTCCGGGGGCCTTTTGCTCGCCCTCGTCATCCCTGTTTGCTCCCTTAGCACCTCCCTTGACAGACTGCTTGAGGACATTGGTAGTGCAAGCAATTCGCAACCTCATGCGCGCCCTCGCAACCGGGATGGGCTGGTGGGCGATCAGGGCCTTCATGGCGTCGAGGGCCTGGCTCTTTGCGTTCTTAGTCGTAACCACACCAGTCCAGTTGTGGTCCTTGACTCGGGGCTTGGCCTCGCCATCGTCACCAGTCGCCGGCGTCCCAGTCCCGCTGCCGGCAGCGCTCTTGTCGGTGGTAGCGTGCGCCTGGGAGCTCAGCATGTCGAGTGCCTTCTCAATCATGCCGGAGGTATATACTCGTTTGGTGCGTGGGTCGACGAGTTTACTGGCGACAATGCTGACGACCTCGTTGTGAACACGTTCGAGTTGGGCCGCGCGTTCCTTTTCTCCGACTTGCATCTCGCCTTTACGTAGGATCTCGAGGATAATGTCGTTGACGGCTTTGCCCTTGCCGAAGGCCTTGTCGAGGTCCTCGCGGGGTGCGGTCTGGCCCTTGGAGACGTTGAGGAAGACGTTGGGGATCTGCAGGACGTTGTCGAGGTCCGTCTCGATACCGGAGCGCCACTCGAGGAGCTTGTTCTTGTAGCAGGCCAGTTCAAAGCGCTTCTTGCCCTTCTTGAGGCGGACGAGCGACACGTTGGTGAGCCGGATCTGGTTGGAGGGTTGGTTGATGCGCGACATGGTGGGCGGGGTGTATTGCGATTTGCAAAAAGAAGCAAATGAAGGACAAGAAGAAATGCAAATAAGACAATTCAGCTGGCTGGGATCGCTTTGTCGTCTGGTCGTCTGGTCGTCTGGGCGTGAAGTGGGATGGAGGAATCAGTCCTGGAATAGTCAGGTAACGTCAAAAGTGTTTAATAAAGCAACTGCACTTTTTCCTTCGACCCCGCCATCAAGCGCAGAAGGCACAGCGCTGGGGAATTTCTTGCGCAATGCCCCACTCATCCTAGATCGGAAAACTGGAACCCTCGTCATTGAGTCACCAACGATCAAAGGCCTACGGAGTGACTCGGCGTCGACCCTCTGTCGTAAATTGTGACTCTTGGACGGCTGAAAGGCTCAGACAGGCTGGGTATCTGGCATCGTCGCATGGTCAATGCTGCTCTGCTGCCTGCTCGTCTCCATTTGGCAAGTGAAGGGATTTGTGAAGTACGAGGGCTGCTAGCAATACGGGTCCTGGCCAGAAAGACTTGGACGGGCCTGATAACTACTTAATTATTTCCTGAAGTTCGTTTGCAGACAGTCAATGGGTAAGCTAATTCACTGCTCGAAGCCGAAAGGTAGCAATGTGCTCCATTCTCCGACCATCAACAGCGCTACAAGGGGCCAACAGGGGTTAGATATCATTTTATCCTCCGGGTCTGATAAAGAACCCGATTTCTGGGCAGCGTGATATCATGGGAGATGAAAATATAGGAGAGTCTAATAATGATATTTAAATTGATATTGTGTCGGCTTCTTGGGCGGGAGATCAGTCAGCCTTCATCCAACAACGAACGTAGCAAAGCATACTCGTTCCAGACGCCACATTCAGCTGACAATTTCCCCCGAACACATCTACAAGAGATGTACACAGGTACTTATGTGTTGTGCCCACAACTTGTTCGGGATTTTTCGCTCCCGTTTTCTAGTAGACTAGTCATTCCCTCTCTTGGGCTAAAATCCAGAAAACATTAGGGCAGAATCGCGACATACAGCTCAGGGTTAGACGTAGGTGTTACGTATCTATCTCCTCACTACCACATTTTTGGTTTACATGAGGGTATTGTGGGACGTGACGGGGAAATCTTAAGCCATCACATCGGTTCTTGATGACTGGGAGGCTTTCTTGATGATTTTGTTGAGGCCTTGGATGCGCTGTTGGGTGATGACACCATAGACCAGGGGGATTCCTGTAGGCGACCAGCCATTTCGACCAGATCTGTATATTACAGGATCCATGAGAGTATATTCAAGCTGCCTACCTATACGGCATTTCAGGACTTGATTCTAGTGTCTATGCCATTCCTGTGAGACATTAAGCTGGACACATTAGATCCGAATCTCCAAAGGCGCCGTCTAGGGTAGAACAAGGCGGTAAGGCGTGGGCGTGTGCCTGAATGTCAACAACATGGTTATGTGTGCTCGACCAATCAATCAACCCCACGCCTTCTAGGTTATCCATTCTAGACAGCTGACGCCATGTGCGTTTCAGGGGTCGTGCGAGACAATGCAGCTGCGAACGCGAGACGCTGAAACAAGAGCGGTGACGTTCAGTGATGAACCCGGATGAACAACGCAGCCGAGGCACGATTCGCCTCATGTTGTGATGCCTCATCCAAGCAATTCTCATACGCAGCAAGAGCCTAATCAGACTAGATGTCCTCGCCCAGTTAGAACTAAAACTGGATGTGCTTGTTCGTTATCATGGAATGCAGGTGGATAGCTCTCAGCCACCTACCGATTGAGGCATGCACCTCCCTTACGTCATGTCATGCCTTGATCATGGCTAATCCCGGCTCATCCGCCTCGCTCCAGCTATCGCGGACGCTCGTGATAACGGAATTTGGCGATCGATAGCTCTTGGAAGACATACGGAGCTACCTTGGAGATTCCCATCGCCGCTGTCTACGGCGAAGAAGAGGCGGTAATGAGGGAGCCCATCCTGCGCAGGAACGCCGCTCGTACCTTCAGTGGCGCTTATCATAACTCATCAAGGTCAATGCGGACATGCGTCACGTTATCAGCGACGTGGTACCTGCCTGGAGTCGCCTGCCACTAGCGCTAACGGGGGGCAAGCACGGGGGCTGATTGGGTCATGCTGCTCCTTCCTAGACGTCTTAGCAGGTCCTAGTTGCTGGGCAGCTCCTCCCCCGGTTTCGAGCCGAGCACCTTCCCATATTACGTCGGTGCCGCACCCGCCATTCTCACTCCGCCATCCTTCCTCCTCCATCTTCAGTATCTCCCTCATCTGCATCCATCATCATCACATTCATCGCCGGCACTGCTATAACCATCAGAATCGATCCCGGCAAAGTTAGCAATCATGCGCTTGTCAACCTCCGCCCTCGTGCTGGGCGCCGCTTCGTCGGCGGTTGGCTTCCAGGACCAGAAGGTCATGGGTGGCACCCCCGACAAGTCCGTCATCGACTTGGACCGGAACAGCCTGCCCGACTGGACCAAGCCCCTCGAGGATATCTTCGGCGAGATCACTTCCGAGGCCAAGGCCGCTTGGGACGAGATCTCCATGCTCGTCCCCGAGGCCGTCGAGGCCTTCAAGAAGCAGGCTCTGGGCACCAAGCCCAAGCCCGTCTCCCGCCGGCCTGATAGCCACTGGGACCACATTGTCAAGGGTGCTGACGTCCAGTCCGTCTGGGTCGAGAAGAATGGCAAACCTCACCGTGAGGTTGGTGGCAAGCTCGACAACTACAACCTGCGCGCCAAGAAGGTCGATCCCTCCAGCCTTGGCGTCGACAAGGTCAAGCAGTACAGTGGTTACCTCGATGACGAGGATGAGGACAAGCATCTCTTCTACTGTGAGTTCCCCGAATTGACTTGTATTTGGACCATGCTAACGAACTCAAGGGTTCTTCGAGTCTCGCAACGATCCCGCCAATGACCCCGTTGTCCTGTGGCTCAACGGCGGTCCTGGCTGCTCCTCCTTGACCGGCCTGTTCCTTGAGTTGGGACCCTCTTCCATTGGCAAGAAGCTCGAGATTATCAACAACCCTTCATCATGGAACAACAATGCTTCAGTCATCTTCCTCGATCAGCCCGTCAACGTCGGCTACTCCTACAGCGGTGGCTCTGTGAGCAACACCGTTGCCGCTGGCAAGGACATCTATGCCCTTCTCACTCTCTTCTTCCACCAGTTTCCCGAGTATGCTAAGCAGGATTTCCACATTGCCGGAGAGTCGTACGCTGGCCACTACATCCCCGTTTTCGCCTCCGAGATTCTGTCTCACGAGGACCGAAATATTAACCTCCAGAGTGTCTTGATTGGCAACGGTCTCACCGATGGCTACACCCAGTATGCCTACTACCGCCCCATGGCTTGCGGCGAGGGCGGCTACCCCTCTGTCCTTGATGAGAGTGAGTGCCAGTCCATGGACAACGCTCTGCCCCGCTGTCAGAGCATGATCAAGAGCTGCTACGAGACTGGAAGCTCCTGGTCTTGTGTGCCTGCCAGCATCTACTGCAACAACGCGATGATGGGTCCCTACCAGCGCACTGGCCAGAACGTCTACGACATCCGAGGCAAGTGCGAGGACAGCAACAACTTGTGCTACTCTGGCCTCGGCTACATCTCAGACTACCTCAACCAGGACCACGTTAAGGAGGCCCTCGGCGCTGAGGTCAGCAGCTACGACAGCTGCAACATGGACATCAACCGCAACTTCCTCTTTGCTGGTGACTGGATGAAGCCCTACCACCAGGTTGTCCCCGGCATTCTGGAGAAGATTCCCGTCCTGATCTACGCCGGCGATGCTGACTTCATCTGCAACTGGCTCGGCAACCAGGCCTGGACCAACGCTCTCGAGTGGCCCGGCCAAGATGGCTTCGTGAAGGCCGATATCAAGTCCCTCAAGGTTGACGGCAGTTCAGAGGAGTACGGCAAGGTCAAGTCCAGCGGTAACTTCACCTTCATGCAGATCTACGGCGCCGGCCACATGGTGCCCATGGACCAGCCTGAGTCGTCGGTTGACTTCTTCAACCGCTGGCTGGGTGGTGAGTGGTTCTAAATGGAGCTACAGCCTGTATGAGAGACAAGGGACTTGCTGCCTATGCGAGGAGCTTATGAATACTGCCCATGTATAAGTGCACGAATGTTGGATGTCGGATTGTTAGTTAGATAGCAGAGTCATGAAGCTGACAAGCCGCGAACCTGTTAGCCGACTGGCAGATATGGATAAATGCGAATGTATCAATGACCAAGAACTAAGTGTGCGCATGTGTTGACTGGAGTCTTGATCTATGAATGTGACATGAGAGGACGCACGTGACGTAGACTTGAGCTTACCTTAAAATAGGGATGGCTCAACCTAAGGGATACACATGGCTGATTGCATGAACAGGGTCTATGGACTCGTAAATCCGATTCTATCTCTTTCAGAAACTGGAAGACGTGCAGGGAGAGGCCATTGGCGTCGCTGGATGCTGGGTGGTGTAAGTCCGACGGAGAGTGGAACGGAGAGTTGAACGGAGAGTTGAACGGAGAGTTGAACGGCGATAGGTCCCCACTCTCGGCCGAACGGCGGAAGCGAGGATGGGATGGAGAGAGGGGATGAGGACCCTGGTTTGTCAAGATGACTGCGAGATCTACCGCAGTATGCTGTAGGTACTTGGTACTACGTAGGTCCTGCTGATGGATGCCCCTGTTGATGCCCTTTTGAGCCTTTGGACGGAGCCTAGGTTACCAAATGGCTTGACATGTGCCTGCGTATAGATACGATAATGGCTTCGGAAGAGTTCGGCGGCCATGTGTTGAGTGTTGCATCTTCTCGGTGCTGCGGTGGGCAACTCATTCGCGCCAACCAGCGGCGATGAGGGTTGCCTGTTTGGGAAGGAAGGGCCCGAATGGTGAGCGGGTGGGTGACACTCGGCTCTCAGGTCCATCCCGGTCGCGTGCGTGGTACGTACCTATATCTGATGGGTCCAGGGCTCCCACCCACCGGGTGCCAAATATTGACCGGGTAGGTACTATTTTGGGCGGTCAAGCCGGACGGGCGGGCGGGCACCTCTGAGAAGAGAACGCAAAGCGGTTTTGTTGAGGACCTCGCCCGTCCGGGTCGGTGAGGTCGTCATCCGCGGCTCGGCGGACGGCGTGCATAAAAAAAAAAAAAATTCAAAGCTGGAAGGCATTGTCAAGGAGAGAGACAGACGGGGTCGGCAATAACGACCAGCACAGGCCGCCGTATTTGGGATGGAAGCTTGCAGATGGAATGACAAGGTGGGAAGAGAGAAAGAATGCGGCATGTGATGGAGTCCAGGATAGGGATAATACTGTACATGGAATGCTTCAGTACGTCAATACGTCAATTGTAGAGCACCTGGCGCTCAATTAGATCACAACAGGAGCAGAGCCAGAGGCAGGGGTTGCTTGGACCGTTGGAGTTGGAGCTACAACATCGGCACACTAAATGAACGACGCCAGCAGCAAGGCCAGAAAGTAGCAAGTAGAGTCACGAAACTGGCGATGATCAATCTGAAGGCGTGATCCGATCCCGCTCGAGTCGCACAGGTTGGACATGGAAAGATCGCCGCGAGGTTTCCATCATGACTGCGGGCGGCGTAGGAGATGCCGTCTTCGTCTCGTTCAGGCTGGAAGTTTGGCGTCCCAATATTAATGGGGACAAGAACAGGCTCCACAGCCACGGGAGGCGAAAATCGGGTGCTGCATTAGTGCTTCCCCAACAAAAATCGGCTGAGCGATTGCTGGGACTGTTTGGCTGGTTTCGGTCTCTGGATGTGCTCTTCTCGGGGCATTGTCCGCTGCCAACTGCCAGATACCGGCTGGTACCCGTGGGAGTTGCCATTGCGTCCCCCCTCGCGTGCCTGAAACTGCAACACTGTACAAAGTATTGTACCTTGCCATGCTACTCACAGATACAGACGTCGAGATGGTGCTGGCTGGCTGTTTGGCTTAGAACCACTAACAGACGAGACGTAACTCCCGCTTTCTCCAAGCCGCGGCTACGTACCTGTGTCAACACACACGGAGACACCCTGTTCGACGTTGGCTTCTCGAAGAGGGAGAGGCCCGAGAGGAGAGGGGAACGGACACGGATGAAGCTCAACACCGGGATCCCGATGCGTCCCGTCTAGCCCTGCGCCGCCATCATAGGTTCTCTGGGGCTCGGGCCCGCGGGGTGCGTAGCTCACGCGCATGATGGCATCTCTTGACGTCCCCGATCTGGGACTGCTCAATTGAAGACGGGTAGATGCTACAGCCAGTGGTCTATCTGGTTATCAACATTGTGTCGCATCGCATCGCTTTCCAGCTACGGCGGTGGTCATCAGCCGTCTAAGTAACTTAGTTGAAGTGCCATGATGGATCTGGAGTACTTGGCGCAAAACCACCACTGCAGTAAAGCCCCAGCAAAATGTTCCAGCCTCTTGCAGGGCCCAGCTTGCGAGCCGCGGCTCAGGGTCCCCCAGACCCACCCCACAGGCGCCGCAGAGGAGGTACCCTACCACGTATGTGGTACTTTTCGCCCCCCCAGACCGCGTGCCACTCGCTCGTGTCTTATTTTTTCCTCGTTCGGTGATGCGATAGGGGAGGGAGGGGAATTTTCACGGCTTGATACACGAATTTGGGCGTCATTTCGGAGAGTCCTATCCAAAGCCAGGATTTTGGTTGGCCAAGTATGTAACGTATCTGTGCCCCGTGTTGGGAGAGACAATAGGGACATCAGAGGTTCAAGGTATGATTGGCACATGGTGGCACAGATGCCCTGGGGCGTAGAGCTACTGTAGTCAGTCGCGGGAGCCAGATGCAATGGGACACTGGACACGACCTCAGAGGACACACACACGCACGCACAAGACGTCACCACCACTAACTAGTACAAATTTCCAACATGTTTATTCTTCTAAAATCACTCATGTACGCTATACAGAAGAGGCACGATTTTGTAACCCTCCTTCCCTCTCTAAGATACCAGCAAAGCTCCCCAAATAGTGGTAGCTTTGGTAGCTGAATTTGGCTGGGCAGGCCCGACCGATCTGCGCACCAGTTCTTTAAAACTCTAGCGGGTGTCAATCTCGCCCCATGTACGGTACGCGCTTGCCTGGCCCTTTCCTGCCTTGGCCCCGGCCCCGGCCCCCAGTCCCCAGTTCCCCCCACCCTTAGCAAGTAAGGTACCTAGGTCCGTCCAGGTGCGAAGGTGCGAAGGAGAAAAAAGTGCCCAGCAAGCTCCCCGAGGTCGACTCTTAAACAAGACGTCCTCTCGCTCGCTCGCACTCTTCTCCTCTCCCTCCCGAGTCTTTGTCCCTTCTCCAGAATCCTCTGTCGTCATATCGACTTCTCAATCGCTCTTCTATACCCTCATACCTCCTCTTAGCTTGCCTTGCTTTGGCCATCCCGTTCCTCCACCACCCCTCCTCCTCTCCCCCCATCTCCTTCCTGGTTCTTGACGAACAGATCCCACACGGTCAAAAGAAAAACCAACAAGGACTCAATCGTCCCCAACGGTCCCGGGAACCGATCTATTCGTTCTCAGCCTTCACATAGAACTTCTCCGGAGAGGTCATACACGTTCGCGAATCACCACGGAAAGCAATTCCTCCCTCCATCGACCGTCTTCGCCTCCCTCAACGGCTAGACCAAGTCAATTGATACACGACAAGGCTGCTGGAGCCTTTACTTCTTCTGCTTTCCTCACCACCTCCCTCACCACCTGCAGAACCGTCGCCATGGCCAACCCTGCTCAACTGTTCCGCACCTTGCCGGACGCCAGCCTCTTCGGCTTCCCTCCTGCCAATGCCCCGGTGCCGATCTCTCCCATGGCTGTCCCGGCCTCGATCATGCGCCCCTTCAATATCCCCGACCACATCTTTGTTGCTGCGCTCGACTACACGGTTCCCTTGACCATTGCCACTCTCTATGCTGTCACCATCAAGAGTCTCAACGTTTACAACAAGTCCCGCAATAAGAAGCCTTGGGCTATCAGCAAGACCCGCCCTTTCTTCGCCTTTGTGGTCCTCCACAACATCTTCCTGGCTGTCTACTCCGCCTGGACCTTCTGGGGTATGGTCGGTACCATGAGGAGGAGTATTATAAGTCCGATGGGACCCGCTGGCTTTGTTGGAACGGTTGATAGCTTCTGCCGTCTGCATGGTAGCTCAGGCCCTGGCAACTCTATCTACTACGACGAAACCTCGAGCTCTTTCCTCTCCGCTGTTGGGGGCGCTCCCATTGTGGATGGCATTCCCAGCCGCACTGAGATGGGCCGCATGTGGAACGAGGGTCTGGCTTACTACGGCTGGATCTTCTACCTCAGCAAGTTCTACGAGGTTCTTGATACCTTCATCATCCTTGCCAAGGGCAAACTCAGCTCTACCCTCCAGACTTACCACCACGCCGGTGCTATGCTCTCTATGTGGGCCGGCATGCGCTACATGTCTGCTCCCATCTGGATGTTCGTCCTTGTCAACTCCTTCATTCATGCCTTGATGGTAAGTTTTGCGCTCAAATGCTTTTGAAAATGAGATCCCCACGCTAACCTTTCGTCGTTTTAGTACTTCTACTATACTTTGACTGCATTCTCGGTCAGGGTTCCTACGCCCATCAAGCGTACCCTCACCTCGATGCAAATTACCCAGTTCCTTGTTGGCGCCTCGAACGCCATGGTTCACTCCTTCGTGGCTTACACGACCCCTGTTACCCTCACTCGCACCAACCCTGTCGCTGGAGGCGAGCCCGCTCCTCCCTCGGACTCCATTATTCCTACCGTTGCTGCCAATGCAATCGAGTCTCTGAAGATGTACATCTTTGGTGCTGCCGAGACCGCGATTCCTGGTGCCCAGCCCGTCGCCGAGCCGTCCCACGTCGAGATGATGGCTTCTACTGAGACCCGATACCTTACCCAGCCATGCATCGCTACTACTGGCGAGACCTTCGCTATCTGGCTCAACGTGTTGTACTTGGCACCTCTGACTTACCTCTTCGTGAGCTTCTTCATCGCCAGCTATGTCAAGCGCAGCAACGCCGCTACTAAGATCAGTGGCAAGAAGGCCCCGCCTAGCGTCAACGACAACGTCGCCCTTGCTGAGAAGGCTGGCTGGGACGCTGCCAAGGGAATCGAGAAGGAGGTATATGGCGGAGAGAGCATGATCAACGGCTCGTCTGACGAGGCCTCCGCCGCGTCTACGCCGAAGAAGGCTAATGGCAAGACCCGACGCAAGGCGTAGAGAGTCGATGAGGATATGAGCTTTGTGGAGAGGAAAAAACGGCTGGTGGGGAATTGGAAGTTACTCATGCACGTAGGCGTATTATTTAGGGTATTTTTGGCTGTCTAAAGGGTATACATGTCCTTGGCTGCATTGGAGAGGTCTGAAGCTACATGTCATAGGGTACGATTCATCTGAACTTGCATAGACTCAAAAGAAGGAATGGAATAAGAAACAAGCGATAGAGCGTCTCTATTGAACATGGCTTTTTGCTTTATTTCACGTATCAAAATAAGGTGGATTTGTTACAGCGCTGCGTTTACTACAGACATCTCAGTAGTAATTTGCCATGACGGATGGATGGATTTTGCGCATAGTAAGTAGTCCCCGTGCTCTACGTAGGTCACGTTGCTTTCCTGGTCGAAGCGCACAGCATACATCCCTATATTTATCACCAATATCACGGAGTTGCTACAGAGATATTCTCTTCACAAGATCATTCACGGCTTACCTTCAAGTCTCCCGACTTGAACATGATATATCCAACATCACTAAATCGAGACAAACCTCGGAGTTCCTCCGTTGTCATAATCACGAAAGCCACTCAAGATCACCATGATGTAGGGTGCAAACGTGTTCAAGTCTTTTAAATCATGTAATTATCTATATCCCCTTGCTGTGGTCTATGGACCCGGCCATGGCCAGCCGCAAAACAAGACTTAAATCCTGATGTATTCGTGCCTGATATGGCTCATAAACCCCACCCTTTATGTGTGTGTGTGTGCGTAACGCCTCTCGCCGAAAAAAGCATTAGTGACGAACCCGATGAATATTCCCGCCTCCCGTCTGGGAGGAGGTCCGGGCGCCAAGATGACAACTCGTGTGCCGCGTGAACCCTCCATAAACGGACCAAAAAAGACCGCAAGATAAAAAAAAGGCAGGCTGGGTGATCCTGCTAATCCATGACGCCTCGCTTTGGAAGATCACAACAACTAAACAGGGTTCTGGGAGTGGCTGACGGCTGCAACCGGGTGGTGATGGTGTATGTGGCGCTAGTGAGGAGTGCCCGAAGGAGGAAGGAGGATGGGGTGATTGGGGGGTGATTGGAGGGCTCAGGCTGAGACCTGAGTCCATCGTCGTGCGATTTCTATCAATCTATTGTCGTTCGGTCATGGCTTCATGAAGCGACTCAAATCGAATCGCTTCGGGTATCTCTCGCTGGCTCTCGAGGCAGCAGCGGTGGGGTGGTAGGTGTGTTGTGAGTCAATAAATGACGATGGGAGAATCAGATGTAGCAGAGTGCGTTCAGAATGTGCTCCAATTCCAGTCCCGAGGGACGCTAGCCGCAATCTCGGGACCCCGGGGGAGCATTGCGCCGTCACCTGGCCCGGCAGAGATGGGCGTGGAAGGAGTGTCCTGATGAATATCGGACGACGCGGCGCTCGAAGCTTGGCTGTTGTTGCGGCTGTACCAGACCTTGAATTCCTCGAAGCAGTGACTGCAAGTGCGCGCGGGAGCAGCCCGGGGGTTGAACGTGGCGTTCTGGTCAAGGGGTACCAGGAAACTTGAGTGCCAGTCGCAGAAGATGTTGCCGCATTTGCGGCAGTGATGACGGCGGGTGAAGTAGCTGAAAGAGCGCTTGCAGGTCGCATCATCGCAAACTGAGGACTCCATGTCGGCCTGGAGTAGCAGGTGTTAGTCACGAGTACAAAACCCGGGGTATAGTGCGCGACTTGAAACAGCATGCAGTGGTACATGGCAGGATGAGGACGTATAAGACATGGGCGCGAGGGGAATGCGACATTCGCGCAAGGGCAAAGCGGGCGGCGAACGCAATCAATAAACTCACCTTCCAGTGCTTGCGGGTGGGCAGGGCCGTCACCTCGGGGAACAAGTCCAAGTCAAAATCACCGTCGATGCTGCTCCGACTGCTTCCGCCAGTCGAGGTGCGGGTGAGACGGTGGCCGAAGACGGACATGCCGGGCAGATTCATGATGGTGCTGTTGGTGCGTCGCAGGGTGAGGTCGGAGTCGGAGCTCGAGGCTGAGGCAGCATCGTCGGCCTTTGGCTTCATTGTCTTGGACGGAAACAGGTTGGGACGCAGCGCGGCAGGCATGTACACAGGGCGGACATGGCGAGCGTGGTAGGCCTTGGGTGAGGTGGGATTTGAGACTGAGTCGGGGCTTGTAGATTGCGAGGTGCTTAGAGGCGAGATCTGAGGTCCAACGGGGATCTGGAAGGACTGGGTGCGCTGGTGAAGGCGCTGCTGGGGGAAGAAATGGCGGGACTGCTGGTCGCCCGGCAGCGTGGGCATGATGAGGTCGGCGGCCATGGTGGCGGATGTGGGCGTGATGCTGGCGGCGGAAGATGAGGCTGAGGCCGTGGCAGAGGATGGATTTCGAGGGGAGAATGTGGTGATGGTAAAAGTTGATCGTGTGGTCGTCAAGAGGCTTGCAGGTGAGAAGTAGGAGGAGGGGGAAGAAGGCGGAGGGGAATGGCGGACGAGGAAGATGTGATAGATAACCGATTAGACTAGAGGAGGGTGTGAACAACGGCTTTGAGGGCGAAGGAGGGTTAAGCCAGAGTTTAAACCAGATGGGCGCGACCGAGCGTTGCGTGAGACTGAGACGGGGGGAGCCCTGTAAGTGTTGTTTTTGGGTGCCCCGTAGTCCGTAATGTGGGTGGATGGGTGGATGTCGGGATGGAGGAGGGATGGAGGGATGGAGAGGCGGTGGAGAAGAGCGGAAGTCGCTTTCGGTGGCTTGGGGCTTGCTAGGATCGGGCGTTGGCGCTCGTGCTCGGCAATGTCTCAGCAAAGTATCCGCGAGAGAGAGCAGCGAGCGAAGGGTGTGTGGGTTGTTTTTTTGGGCGTGTTTTTGGGCGTTGCGTTGCGTTGGTGTTGGCTTTGGCTTTGACTCTGGCTTGTGGTTGCTTTCGACCAAGACAAAATGGTCCCGGCTTCAAGGGCTTGCGGGTATTTGGTTGAGGTGGTGGTGGGTGGGAGCACTGGGAGCCCTGAGAGCCCTGAGAGTACCGGGAGGTACAACAGCCGGATATGAGGACAAGGGAATTAAGGACACCGAGAACACCGGTAGATGGAGCGGGAGGCGATGGGATGGGTGGGCTAACAAAGGTGGTGGGAGGTGGTGGGAGGTGGTGGTAGGAGGGAGGCGCGAGGCGCGAGGTGCTCGGTGCGAGACGGGGAAACAGACTGGACTGGACTGGGCGAGAGCCAAATGGCCGAAGACGATGAGTTGTTTTTTATCCCGAGTTCCTGGTTGGATGGTCCGGGGCTATGGAGAATGGAGAGAATGGGGAATGGAGAATGGGAAAGACGGGGGTGGTTTGTGAGTGTGTGTGGATGAGGTGTCCACCGCGCCGCGTATGGGCGAGATGGGTTGGGATGGGATGGCCGATCGAAGGGGACCCAGAGATCCCCCCCTGCCCGGATTTAATAACCAAGCTGGAGCGCAGTTGGACCGCAGTTGGAGCACAGCCGGGATGGCCACGGAGAAAGGCGAATCAAGTTGGGCCCAGCCGACGGGGCGAGTCGAGCTTCAGTCAAGTCCTCGATTGAGTCGAGGATCCGAACGAGATGCCGGGGTTCGGGCATGTCAGTGACCAAAATGGCACACTGCCAAAACTGGCTAGGTACCTACTACGTAGTAGGTAGGTAGTTTCGCTTCCACGTCGAAGAAAGGCTTCTGCTGGCATCGGGGAACCTACCACGTATTGGGAAGAAGTGCCTGCTCGTCTTTGCCAGCTGCCGAGGTTCAGAAGTTAATTAGTGGATGTACTCGGTACAGTAAGTAGTCAAGGTTTACTCGTCCAGCGATCTCAACCCTCATCATCGACCGTCGGGGCGACCGTGGCGATTCGAGTCAGGCAGACAGCAGCCGTGCCTGCACGACACACCGACCCCGGAGAGCTACGGCCAGTTCACGGCCAACTTAACACCGGCTAACCACCAGCTTACCCAGTTCGTGGAGGTGGGAGCGACAGTGCCTTGAGTGCGCTCCGTGTTTGTGGTGTGGGAGTGGGCGATGGAGGGCTTCAGGGGGGGTGTCAGTGGAGGAGGGATGCGAACAGCATGAGAGACCGGTGTACCGACAGCGCGCGCGTGTGTGGGAGGCCATGGCAGCCTCACAGCGAGCCCAACACCAGGTCCGATGAATGGCTATCGTAAGGCGGCAATTGGCCCGAAACCAAGACCGCCCGGCGTGTAAATGATTGGATCGTCTCTGCTCCTGGGCGAACAGCCCTTTCCCCAAAGCCTCTAGTCTTGCAGTAGGCTGCTCGTCCAAGAGTCGTTCCGACCAGGGCCACCCCGGCCAACAGCAACAGAGCCCTGGCGTGTTGTGCGTCTCTTGCATCTCGTCCCGGGGCCGGGTCCAACGGTCTTGCGTTTTCGGGTTGAGAGTTGACCGTCACGGTCGGCGCCGGGACGGACTTGCTAGGACATGGGGCTTGACGCGACCGGCCGATCGAGCGAACGGGATTGCCGATGCGACGATGCGAAGACGATTCGATAATGCGATTGCGATGAGATGCTCTTCCGTGTTTGAATGAGGCAACTGTTACGTAGGAGCTAATCCAGCGGAGCCGCGATCTAGAATCATTGGAGTCTCAAATCCAAATGGGGAGATGGAGAACGAAGAGGACTCATTGGAGGAGATCAACAAAAAAGAAAGAAAAATAAAGAGGGGCCCAGGTTTAGGAATCGCTGTCGACTGGAGGAAGGAGATGCATTGTGTGCGTGCCATACGCTCTTGCCCTCCCGGCTCAGCAACAAGGTGGTGTAATTCCCGCCCTTGCATCCTGCCTGCCCGATTCCGAAGTCTCTCAGCAACTGCTACGTTGTACGTAGTAGGAACTTCCGAGACACGGAAAGGAATGAGCCCTGCAATTGCAAGCGTAGAGTTTCGGTAAACGGGGCGTCCGCTGTCCATAGACTATCCCCCATCCAGCCGACTTTCCAACCATCCCTCGTCAACCCCTCGTCAATCACTCGTCAATCCCCCACGTCAGGCCCGATGGTCCTGCACCAAGAAGCAAATCTCGCACCTCTTCAGTTAAGCGCCCTACAACTCCCGGGACCTACATACCATCCATGCCATATTGCCATGGCTAGTTTTTTCCTCTTCCAGGTTCTCGATCCGATCATCCTGCGAACGCTTGGTCAAGATCTGGGCTTTTCCCCCTCACCGAACTGCGTTATATTCATGCCGTCATGGCTCATAACTTCACATAACTACTTCGGTCTTGCACAGCCAGTTTGTCGGTGTGCTTCAGATCACCAAACCACTTACACAAGCCCACTTACACTGGACCGTCGCTCCCGCCCCTCCTCCCGCCCCTCTCTTCTCTTCTCTGGTCTGGCTTCATGAGCGAGACCAAGATGGCGACGCCTTCACCCCCACAGGGGTCTCTCACTTCACTGACGGCGTTCCCCTTTCTCTCTCATGACCTAATACTCTCCACTGCATGCTCCACCTGGACACATTAGCGCCACATGGTGGGTCTAGAGGATCGCCGACGGCCTTCACTTGCAAGGGGGAGACATAATAATGAGATGTGAGAACTGAGAGTAGACAGGTCGCTCTGGGAACGGGACAGAGCGGAGACAAGCCATCGGAGCGCGCAAACTGAAGAGAGCTCACCGGGCCGGACCTGGTCCTGGCCATCCTGGAACCGCAAGTGCTCCCGCTCTTGGTCGCGCCGTCACTTGCTTTTTCTTCCAGAACGTCTGGAACGCCTCCGGCCCCAGCGACTAACCCTTGTCGGTCTTGATACCATTCTCGCTGAGCCGGATCATCAATCCTCCCTGCTGCAACCCATTTGCAGCTCACCTGGTCTCGTGACCCTTTCCCCAGTCCCTCCAACAAGCCCACCAAACCCTGCCGCGCCAGAAAGCAACCGCTAACGTTCGAGCCATCCTGGGTAATACGGCATCTCCCACTGGGCAAGATGAAGGCTTTTGGAACCACGTCGGGTCCCTCCAGGCGAATAGCCTCGAGGCTGACACGGTGAGGCAGATATTGGACGAATGACGGTGTCGCTACCACTTGGTTCGGGACTTGGTCGGTAGATTCCATTGAATTGTGCCGCTATCGGTATGCCACCATCGATGCCGGGCGCTCGTGTCCATGCCTTGCGCCACTGCCTGTAGGCTGCTGTAAGTGATAATTCCCAGGCAAAAGGTGCATGACAGATTGCCATCAGCGGGACAGATCCCTCCTCGACACGGCCAATGAGGCTTGAATCAAAACACAGACCCAGGCGGATCCCTTCACCGTCATTCCAACCCTGCATACAGCCCTTCAACCTTCTTTCGCCTCTCACGCGCCAGCTCGTGCCGTCATCTCCTGGGTCTCAGCCAGCTCGCCGCCACCTCGGGTTTCAAACTCGCCTCCACCGAATTGAGCGCTGGAACAGTGGGGATGTGTTTGATGGAGAATAGCTCTGTGGTCTGAGCGTACCGCGCTCCGCCGGCCAGTCCTCTTGGCGCGCCGTCCGGTCTCCAACCATCTCCGCCCAGATCCGCTAGGCGCTGCCGATGTGCGACTAAATCCACTGGTCTTGCCACAGCCACGTTTTCTCCTTCCTCCAAAGCGCCTCAGTGATGTCAAAGTGATTCGCGAGGGTCCGAGTGAGAGATGAAAGCTGGCCAATGGCCGTCTTCAGGAACCAAATGGCCATATCCTTGTAACGCCGTGTGTCATCGTCACCGCCACCACTACTGTATGTTTGCCAACTGGGAAGAGCTGTGATGGACAGGAGAGAAGAGAGCTCCGGAGAGATCGGCATGCCAGGCTTTGGCGCCCCCGAGATCGTCGACCTCGCATTCTGTCTGGCATGAACAGAGCCCCAAGGATCCGGGCCAAGGTCTGGGCGAGAGTATGAAGGGTCTAGGCCGGTACTATCCTGTACGTGGCAACTTGCAACTGCCCGGAGATGCTGGATGTCGGATACGGTACGGAATGCGGAGGTGGATGCTCGCGCCACATCGCCCACCAGATGTCGGACAGCAGCAACCTCGCCGCGGACGTGACATAACACGACGTAATGCTATGTATATCACTGTACCAGTGGAGGATTGTCCAAGTACAGCCCGTCAGGCATGCATGAGGTTTCACTGGCGGTTGGAACAGATATGGAAATGGCCGATGCCAGCCGCGCACACATGAAAAGGCTGCGACACTCCCCCCCTCCACATTGCAGGTCTCGGACGCTCGCAGCCGCACAACGCTGAACGAGGCGCAAGCTGGCAGAAGCCAGAGTGCAACTTCAAACGCGAGGCAAGTTTTGCCGGAACTAGCAACGGATGCCACTCCAAAGCTCCATCGTGGGTCAGCTCTTTTCCACCACAGCCTCTGCAGCCTCTCAACGCTCATGAATGTCATTCTTGATGGGGAAATCAATACCAACGCCTCGACTGGCCGGGACACACGATGCGACCTTATCCACTCCCGGGGAGCTAGCTGCATACTAACGTAGTAGGGCGGCCCAGCCAGCACCCATGCTTGACGAGGCAGGCAGAGCGGCGCTTTGCTCTTTTGGGGACATGGCATGCAAGTCTGCACCTCTCTTATCGCTGCCGCGCAATTGGCTGAGCCGAGACCAGTTCCGAATGTGTTCCCCAGGCTGGACAAACTCTCCACTCCAGAAGGATCCCTGTCAGTCAGAGGCATGACATGCACGACTGCAGTACGCCTCTGGGAATTGCTTCTGGCTGGCTACTCGCTAGCCACTCGCTGGCCACTCGTTGGCCACTTGCTGTCCAGCTTCAAAGACATCTCGGGCCTCCACATGCGAGTATCGCTATCGTCATCGCGGCCGATCAATCAAACCTGCAGCGAACACACCCATTCGCCTCATCCTCCCTCCACCGCCTTCCCACCGCCTTTCTGCCGCCGTTGCCCGTGCTCCCGCCCGTGCCTCCGTCTCCAGCGCCTGCCGCCGGTCATGTGCCCCGAGCCCAACGGTCCGTCCCCTCCTTTGCTTGCAAGGGACAGCGACGGCTTCGGAGCGGCTCCGGAGGAAGGGCCACGAGGCCTCAATACACATCCGCCGGAGTTAGCGCCGGGTCTCGACTCTCGCCAGCTGGTGCTGCGTAGCAAGGCAAGTAATGCTGTGCTCAACCAAAAGGGGGCCTCAATGTCTCAGAGGCTCAGAGTCTGGGCCTCGATGCTTTGCTTTTTTGGACTCCGTTCTCGCCGTCTTTAATTGCCAGCTAATATGCATCCTGTGAGACTCACTAAGGCGCACTGCAACTGCGGCCACTAACCGCTAGCTACCTACAGACCCATGTCTCCACCCGAAGAGGTAACTTGCCTAGGTATTTGTTCTCTCACGAGACAACTACCGTGCTGCACCCCATCACTCCAGCTCCTCCAGCTGGTTCGCCTTGGTTGCTTGATCGTCATGCCCCCAGCCTCCAGTCTTCAGCCGCAACACTCCAGCCTCCCAGGCCCCCCCTCCTCTTCTCTCCCTTGCCGCCCTGATCCTCAGACAATATCCACTCTATGCGACCCCAGGCAACGCTCGTCAAAACAACCCCGCGTCGTATTGTAATCGGATCCATGTGTGCTCCCCACCATAGGTGCACGAGTTCTTCTCAGGGCCCTCTCCACCATTGTCTGTATTGCTTGCCCCGCCATGGCCCCGTCCAAGGAGGGGGAAAGCGCTTCAATCCATCTCCCATCTGCCGCTCTTGCCTCCGTCCTTGAGCACGACCCTCAAACCCTCAATCACCATTGCCTTGTCCACCGCCTTGCACATATCGTAGACCGTCAATGCCGCTGTAGACGCCGCCGTGAGCGCCTCCATCTCTACTCCAGTCTTCCCATCGCACGTGACAGTCGCCAAGATCTCGATCATGTCGCCGCCCCTGACGTCGAGATCAACGCTGACCTTGGAGAGCGCGATTGGGTGGCAGAGGGGGATTAGGTCCGGTGTTCGCTTCGATGCCATGATGCCTGCTACTCGGGCGACTCCAAGGACGTCTCCTTTCTTCATTTGGTTTTCCCGGATGAGATCGATCGCCGTCTTGTTGGAGAACCGGACCGTACAAGCCGCCTTAGCCACCCGGGATGTGATGCTCTTGTCCGAGATGGAAACCATCCGCGCCGATCCAGACTCAGATACGTGTGTCAACTGGGGGGCTTCTGGCTTCCCACGTTCGCCTTCTCCAGTGTGACGAGACTGCGAGAATAGTCGCCGTTGCTGGAGGGCCATGTGGCCAGCGACGAGAGCCCCGTCACCAAGGATGTGTCGAATGCGACGAGGCATGTCCCCATACATGGACGTAGGCATAGGATCTACAGGAACTCGTTCAGCATATCTCCATTCAATGTCAAAACTCATAACTCCATAACCTAACCCTCACGACTCCGTGTCCATAATTGTCCAATTTCACCATCCGCAACACGACAGTTCCATATGTTTCATATCACACAAGAAGCTCCTTTACCCACCTATTAAGATCATGGGTCGGTTCTTCATGTGCTCCAGGGCCCCAACGCCCGCGTGCTTTGCCTTCTTCCTTTTGACGGCAGCGCCAATGACATTGAGCAACTCCATTTCGTTAGGTGCCAGTCCCAGGGGCGGTTGGTTTGATGCGCTTAGTGCTGCCCTGCGGTCCATTTCGAGTTGTTTCATAGCCTCGAACGCTTGCTCGTCGATGGGCTCACCCTGGTTGGACTTACGGAGAATATCACGCAATGATACCTCTGCATTTCCAAAGAGGCAAACCTTGAGGTTGCCATCGCTCGTGATGCGCAACCGATTGCAAGTGCCACAAAAGTTGTGTGTCATGCTCGTGATGAAGCCGATGCGCCCAGTGAAGCCAGGGACGTGCCAGGTCTTGCTGGTGTCATTCTTGTGATCTTGGACCTTTTCGAGAGTTGGATACTTTGTCCGGATGAGGTCAAGCATTTCCGAGTAGCTGAACATCTTCCCCTGGTTCCATTTGTTCCCATCGAAAGGCATATATTCGATAAACCGGACCTCAATGTCTTTGTTCTCGGTCATGTCCACGAAGGGAAGAACCTCCCTGTCATTGATTCCCCTCATCACTACACAGTTGATCTTCAATTTGACGCCGGCACCGAGCCTGTTCAGTTCCGTAATCCGATCGATGCTCTTCTGTACGGCATCAAATCCCTTTCTCCGCGTCATGATCTGAAACTGCCACGGGTCCAGGGTGTCGAGGCTGAGATTAACACCGGTCAATCCCGCCTCGATCATGCTATCCAACTTTCGGTGGAGAGAGATCCCATTTGTTGTGATGCAGATCTCTTTGAGGCCATGCCGACGCAACTCTCCGATCTGATGCATCAGGGGTAGAATGTCACGCCGGACAGTTGGCTCTCCCCCAGTTAGGCGAATCTTAGTCACACCCTGGGAGACAAATACCGACGACAGGAGAATAATCTCGGGGGTGGTCAGCAGCTCCTTGTTTGGGGAGAGCGGAACACCCTCCTCCGGCATACAGTAGACACAGCGTAGATTGCATCTCTCAGTTATCGAGATGCGCAGATAATCATGCTGACGGTGGAAGGTGTCGGTCAAGAACTCGGAGAAGGGTTTGGCGTCGTGAATTCGTTGACGACGGAATCCCACCTCTGGAGAAGGCACATCCGCTGAGTCCTCGTGAGCGGCCGCAGCCGTTGACACCGTCCTGGCACTGCATACCGGAGGTCGAGTGAGCGGCGAGCGGCATGACAAGGGTGAGCAGCGGCTGGCCCGAAGAACCCGGGACATCGAGGGTCGTAGCGAAGCCATCACGCCTCGGACCCTCTGGGTGTTCTAATAAAAGGTGCTCCCTCGATCTCGTTCACAACCTGGCTCGACAGCAGCCTATGCCGAAGCCATGTTGTGCCCTGGGGCGAGGGGTGGATAGGGCGGTCGTTGGCGTCGTGCGTGGTTGCACAGCGTTAACCCAAGTGATGGCCTAGGGCGAAATACAGGTCCTCTTGAAGAGTGAGAAGAGAAACGAATACCAGACGTTCGTTGCCCTCCGGAGATGTTCGTCACTCTGGATGAGTCAGCGAGGGGAAGGGCAAGACCAAAGTCCAAGCTAAGGTGGCGATCCCGTGGCCGCTGTACCTTCCTTCCTGGGAGACCCAGGTACCTACCTTGGATAAGGTACGCTTTTGGATAACATAGATCGCGGACGAGGGCCGATTTACTCATGTAACGCCCAGTACCACTGCGTTCCAGGCTAATAAAATACTACCTACCTCTACGCAGGTATCGCTGACAAGTAGCAGCTACTCTGTGGTACCCAGAGTCTTTCCTCCCTTGAATTCCCTTAGCGGGGTCGTGGGCGCTAACCAGAATAGGGCAGCAAGTAAACACCATACCCCCACTGTCGTCACTGAAGACGATCAATCAAATCTGGAACGCGATATCACGCAGACGAGAGGCCAGAAACCTGACCCGTCACCCGGCCATTTGAGAAGGTACAGCGTGCAACGAGCTTGCTTACGTATCGCCGTCTGATTCCAGATCCGTCTCTATTTTTCTTTTTTCCCACTCCTTTCCATGTCAACCGCTTGTGCCGAGTGCGACTCTGTCTGAATCTTCGCGACCACGTGAGGAGCCATTTGGCTTCCCGTCTCTGTACCGGGAGTATCACCAAACCCTTCCAACGATAAGTCGTCTTCGGTATTTGCATGGGATGCCCGACCGAGCGGATCCATACGCTTAAGTCACTATGCATCCTTCGCGCTGCTTCAAATGTAACACGTCTCCCCCTGGCTCTCGTCCTATCTCTTCCCTCTTGGTCCCCTCCTTTCTACAGTATCGCCTCTTCTGCGTCTTCTTCTCACTTCGCAACTGAACATTGGCTCTAACAAACCCTGTCTATAGGCTCACCACAATGCAGTGCTAGCCCTGATGGCAGGCTCATTGCCACTTCGTCGTCGTCGACCATCGTTGTTCGCTCAACACAGTCGTTGCAGACTGTCCATGTCGTGAAGCTCCCAGCAGACTTTTCGGGGCCTATTACGACTCTTGCCTGGGCGCCCTCGTCGTCGCGCATCCTTGTCGCTAATACGGACCAGATCCACGTCTTCTCTGCAAGCGACTCGTCATTCCACGCTGCGATTCGAAACCCAGTGGCAGGAAGCGGGAAGTCACCCCTCGTCCACTTTGGAGCCCGCGACGCCGAGATCTTCATCTATGCTGCCTTCGGCCTGAAACTGGTCATTTTCGACCTGTCTACTTCCAAGGCGGTTGAGATCAACAACCCCAAATTCTATATCCCCTCCTTCGTCGCCCGCGGCCTCTCCTTGCGCCCCGAGACGCACCACCTTGCACTACTGACGCGAGCTAGCGGGAGAGACGCCGTTAGCATTCACCATCCCATCACCCGGCAGATCCAAAGATCCTGGTACCCGGAAACAGTTGACGCCCAGGGTTTGGCATGGACCCCTGATGGGAAATGGCTACTGTTGTGGGAGTCCCCGGCACACGGGCACAAGCTCCTGTTGTACACACCCGATGGTCAATTCTTCCGTTCCATTGGTGCTTCCACAATCGTGGGAGGGGAGGACGCCGATCTGGAGCCCGGGATCAAGATGTGCCGTCCGAGTCCCGATTCCGCTTTTTGTGCAGTGGGTGACCACAGCAGGGGAGTGCGTGTGCTTGGCACGCAGACGTGGAGGGATGGCTTGAGGCTCATTCACCCTACCACCGTTGTACCGACAGACACACTTCAGGTGAGACCATTTCCTACCTCTAAAACGATGCGGTTCCTGATGAATTGCACCAGGTTTGGCAGGAACAGCTTAGCGCGTCGTCCGAGGGGCGTGCCAATTACATGTTCCTTCGTGCCACGCAGATGGTCTCCCCCCAGAGTCGATTGGTCGATGGAAAGCCTTCAGTGGATATGAAGCCCGGCTGCTCCTTGCTAGCATTCGATGCATCTTCCGCCCTCTTAGCAACGAGGCTCGACGATTCGCCGTCCACTTTGTGGATTTGGGACGTTGCCGCTGCAGAACTCCGAGCGGTACTAATGTTCCACTCGAGTGTCAACTTTACCTGGCACCCAACGACTCACGAGCTGCTTTTGGTGACATGCCAAGATGAAAACTATCGCGGCGTCTCGTTTCTCTGGGATCCGTTATCCAACGGACTTAAGCCCGTCTCTCTGGAAGCGTTCCTGCCAGATGGCAAGGTTGTGGGGAAACCTCAATCCGCCTGGCTCGACGGGGATACTGAGTTTCCGGTATTTCTCATATCTGATGCACAACATTACCTAATGGTGTCGTGTGCGGATGTAGAGCAATGCCCGACACCTTGGCGTGAGGCGACAGGAAGTGAGAGAGTTGTCGGTTCGGGGCGAGCGGGCTTTTCTCCTGGGCAGGAGGTCGGAGATGCAGGCGACATGTCTGCGTTGATGGCAGACGACACGTCGACCCTGGACGATACCTTCTTGTTCAAGCATCCATGAGAACCGATTGGCAAGCATATCTTGTCTCAAATCACCACTAGACTCCGGCTCCAACTCGCACTCCACAGATCAACTAACTGCCTCTTGAAATGGCATATTGGCAATCGCCCAAAATGTGCCTGTTGTAGATGCGGCAACTGGACCACTCAAGGGAGGAGGCAATTCCATGCGAAAATCCTTGTCGAACAGGCTCTCCTCGGACCTGGGTCCAAGGTTACGCAGTGGCGCTATGTTGTGATGACTGGGCGTGTCAGGCATGACCGCATAACACCCTCAGTACACAGTAAGAACTAATCTGTCTTGTTTTCTCTTCCCCCATTCAGCACCCCCTCTGCATCGAGGAGGTCCAATGAGAGCTGAGACGGCGTGGTAATAGTCCAACAGCCATCAAACACACCGGTGAGCTTGGGAGACACGGCCCATGCCGAGATCAAAGTCCTCCCCTCCCCTCTGGATGTAAGAAGGATCTATCCTGGCGCTCCATATCTGCAGCGCGATCAAGGGGTCCTGAACGAGTTTTGCTCAAGCTATGGTCCATGATCGCGCATCAACCTGACTAGTGGGCGAGCATTGATCGCAAAATGACAGGTCATTTGGCAAAGCGGGACAAACCTGGCGTTCTGCATATAGACCAAGAAAGGATGGGCCTAGGGCCTTTGGACTTGTCTGTGGCTTGCTTGGATATGATCTGTGGGCTAGGGTTGGAGCTGAAATGAATGATTGGAGTTTCTTCAGTCTGCATAACTCTTGTGCGTGATGCAGTCGAAGCCCCGCCGGCTTGTCTCCCACATATTGAGGTTGGCCTGGGAGTTCTCGACCTACTGGACCCCCACATATTCACATCTTGAGGCTGAGATCGCTGGGGTTTCTATAGGGCCATTCAGAGTGGCACCCGCAGCCAGTCACCAAGCCTACTCGCCAGCTACCAAATGTGGCCGCGCCTGTTCTCAGGATCAACTGTCCACGAGGCACGAGACGGCACTGGACTGTTTCGACGGCCTTGTTCTGTCAATATGCATCTCCTGCTGCCAAGCGCTTGCGGGACTGGGATTGGATGCACTTGGGTCCCGAGCTGGTAAAGGGCAGGTCCTTTTAAGATGCCTGGTAGCTGGGTAAGCCATGGGCTCCTCTTTGACAGCCTATTCAAGCATCAGGTATACGCAGACATGCACGTTGGAAATGGGCCCTGAATTGCTGTGTGCCTGGCTTTGATCCATCTTCCCCCTCTTCCAGCTTCTAGTTATAAAGCACCCCCTTTCTCCAAGACCCCCCTGCTCCGATACTCCAACCCAAGCAGTTCTCTCATCATTTGTGGTGTCACACGGCCACTCTTGTCTCCCCTCAACACTGATACAGCGTAATACAGGAAGATCGATCAAAGCACACCCGGCCTGGTACAGCCTCCCGTTTAATCCATGTCCACAACCACGAAGGTAGTTGGTCCAGGGGACCAGACAGGGATCTACTATATCCCAATCTCTAACGTAAGTTTCCGTCATTTGTCTTTTCTCTTTGCTGTGCAGGCAAGCCTGACTGAGGTCTTTAGCTACCCTTTGGCATCACTTGGCATCCTGTGAAACAGTGGATCTCAGCCATCGTCGAAGTTGACCGAGTCGAAATCTTCCCAGCTAGCACATTTGGATGGATCCGCGTCAACGGCCGGGCGAACTTCAATAAGGCAATGGGTAAGGCCTCGCTGCACTCCCCACTTATTGGCAGAACGGAACCTGACAGGGGACTAGAGTTTCTTAATACCGACGGCTTCTTCCGAGGCCGTCGTATTGTCTCAGGTGCCACGAATGGGACCAATCCCATTACGATCAAGGAGCATGTCGATCCGCTCCGGCCTGAGAGCTACCAAACGTCGCCCTATCAAACAGCTCCTCCAACCCAGCGTGAATCAGATATACGGGGGGTCTCTCACGGTCAGGTATGATCACCCGGCAGTAGCCCGCGGCATGGACTTCTCCTCTAATTGGATCTCTTGGTATTCTAGAATTACCCGACAGGCTATGGCCAAGGAAATGCGACACCGTACGCTGGTCCATCAGTGGCAGCGCCCTACTACAGCCAACAGCCATCGATAGCGACGAATAATAGGATGCTACCGGTCTATGCGACTGCGAATTCGGGGAACCCCTTCAACTACGCCTCACAAGCCAGCGGCCCACAGGCCGGAGGAGCCGCCCCGATGGGCCAATTCGGGCCTGCCTACCCGGCTCAATATCAGGGCGGCCATCAGGGCGGTTATCAGAGCGGCCACCAGAACGCATACCAGAACGCATACCAGAACGAAGGAGCCCAATTTACCGCCCCTTACCACGGTCAAACACAGTCCCAGACCTATAACGACGGCTATGCAACGTCTGGGGACAACCAGCCTGAATACAGAGCCACAGAGCAACGGAAGTTGCATATCTCGCCATTCCCGCAACAGGCAGATAAAAAAAGGGTGGTTAAATGGATTGACAGCAGGGTTGGTAATATTAAGACACTCACGTTAGAAGTCCCCCAAAACGAGAACAGCCGATACCTCCGAGGCCATGCCTTTGTCATTTTCGCAAATTCAGAAGATGCCAAGACGGTGATGGGCCGGGTGAACAAGTCCAAGTTCGACAATCAGCGAATGAAGGCGAAACTGTGCCAAGAGGGCGTCACAAACCTGGAAGTTGATGAAGAACTGAAGCGAACGGAACCAGTGGTTCCCACGGGCCCCAAATACATTGACCGCCATCGGGGCGAGAAAGGCCACCGTTCTAAGCAAACAGGGTCTGTGAGCTCGGATAAGACGCGGGCCTCATCAGCCAAGAAGCCCATTTCCTCCAGCAAGACGAACGACAAGAAGCCGTCACCCAAGGATGAGGAACCCGTGTATACCGGCCCTGTCATTGCGGACGGGTCATCGCGCAAGCCAGAGAAGCGGTAGGAAGAAGCCCATCTTGGCGGCAATCCCCCCGGCGGGTGCAACGTCTCCCTCTCCGCCTTCGCGTGTTTCCTGTCCGATGTGGATTTCGATGGGGGTAGTTGGGGTGGTAATGACCGACTCCCACTAGGCCGACGAGGGAGGTAGAAAAAAGGGACATGGTTTACTTTCATGCTACCCGTTTGAGATGGTAGACGGGTTTGGATGGCTGGTAGCTCACGGGGTTTCCTTTTGGGTTTCTGGTATCGGGATGGTTTACGAGCCATCGGTTTTGATTTTCTACACATCCAAGGGCAGCCATGCTTTCTGATTTGGGCTGACTTGAGAGGGAGGCGTGGCGTCATTGAGGCGGTTATATTATTATTGGGAGTATGAAGTCGGTTAGCGCATCTGTTACATTACTCGAAACGACGACTTCCACCTAAAGGCCAGAGAGACGGTGACTATGGTTTTCAAAGCGATGTGGTGGGTGATGGGCAGACGTCAGCCGCGTCTTGCAGGGATGTGTTTGCTGACCGAGATGAGGAGCTGACGAGACAAAAGGTGACAGGTGCTAAGATGTTGCAGGATGACAGCGAGAACAGCCGGGCGAGGGCTAGATTGGCAAGGTGGGAGAGCGGGAGCGTGGTACTGGAGAAGTGGCAGAGAGTGGGAGGGTCACACGCAGAATCGCCGAGTCGCAGCCAAACGTCTACCCGGCGGAGATGAAGGAGGGCAGCAAACATCTCTGCGGTACAAGCCTCAGCCAACTGCCACCCCTGATGTGATCTGCTGTGTGACCTGCTGCGACCTGCTGTGACACCATGACAACTGTCACGACACCACCACAAACCCGCCAGCCCGGAAGCGGGGCAGGCCGCTCCCCGGAGACGGCTGAGAGGATGGCCCATTGGGAGGCAGATTGAGTCCGGTGCAACCTCGCACGGGACGGAACGTCGAGAACGGCCTGCGTTGTCGTGGCAGGGCAAACTCGGTGTCCGGGCTGCGGCGGCCCCGTGTCGTTCGCCGCAAGTGTCTCCTCCACGAGTCTGCGACTCCGAGAAGTCGTGGAAGTCGATGGTGGCGATGCCTCGTATACCGTCAGCGAGCCGCAACCGCCCGGTGAACCCAGAGGCTGGCCTAGTGTGGTCCGCTCATCGTGTCACCGCTGGATCCCATATATGTCAGTACCCGCTGTCACCCTGGTCACTTCCCCTGCAGTGACGATATGGTATACGGGCGCTGAGGGACGAGATCTAAATATCAAACATCACTAGTCCTGGATGGACGAACGAGGCCTACACTTGGCTTGCCAAGGGGCCGTTGCATAAAGACCGACAATCGTCGTTGATGGCTCGACAACTACACGTGGTATCCCCCCCTTTGCGCCCAGGCTGATACATGAATACGGCGTGCTCAACCTCCAAAGTCCATCTTCAGCGCGATACTTGGCTGGCCCGCTGCGCCAGAGTCCGTCTTGTCTGTTTGTTCAGTTGTTTGTCGCCCAGAGCGGATCACCTCCTCGAGGAACGTCTTTTGGCCGTCACTCATTCCACCAACCACCGCTCTAAACGCCGCCTGGTCCACTGCTGCGAGCTCCAGGAGTCTTGCGCTAGTCTCGCGGTACACCTCATCTCCCTCTGCAGTGGCCCGCGCCATGAGCATCGGGATGACCAGTGACATCGCAGCCACCACCCGGCTCTTATCCACAGTGCCCACGTACTGGCAGAGTCCATGGGCAATTAGAGTCCTTGCGTTTTCCGGGTCCTCCGGGTTGGTGTCAGTAACAAAACCGATCAGGCGGGGGAAGAGGAAACGGGCAATGCTGAGGTCTGCAGCTGTTGCCGAGGGCTGCAGCAGCAGAGACCTGATACAGTTTGCTGCAATTTTGGCAGTCTGGTTCCAATACGGTTAGCACTTGGTCAAAGTAGGGGGGCGGAGAGAGTGTGAGTCCATACCATTCGATCAGTGAGGCAATCAAGCAACTCGTCCAGGTACCGTGCAACGAGAGGCTCAGTCGCGGGCAGATGGTTTTGGCCACCAGTGAAGAGGATAGTCGTAGCCAATAGACAGTTCTTGACGCATGTAAGAGACTGGGGGGTTTCACGCTTCTGCGCGTTGAGGTAAATGGAGAGGAAACGGCGGAGGCAGCCCTGCATCTGGATATCTGTCGGCGTGGGCCCCTCTTTGTTGGAGCCCCTTCGCGAGTTGGACATGCTTCCAACGAATCGCTTCAAGATGGGCAGTGATTGGGGTGCAATCATCTCCTGGCACTCGGCAGTGGCCAGAGTGGTGGCGAATATGTGAACGATGCATGCATGAAGATCTGTCTTGATGATGGACGGGAACACCTCGGCGGCGTTGACCAGGGCGTTCAGCGACGCCCTGATCAAGAGAATTGCTTCTTCATTCACTTGGTGTCTTGCTGGCTGGTTTCCTTCAGATAGATTTGGGAGCAGCCCAGCAAGAACCAGTACGATGATTCGGGTGAGCTCAAAGAGCTGCTCAATGTCATCCGAGAGATCGCCTTCCTCCTCATTAGGTCTTCTCGCAGAGGGATGCGAAACCACAAGAACACTTGCGATTTCTACAATCACGCTTTGAACGTCGAGCCCTTCCGTTAGAACAAGGCGGTCGAGGAGGTCCATCGTCTCAGAAAACACGTCCGGTCTGTATATGGCATGCCCAGAAACGCTGGGGTGGAGAATCTTCTTTAGCGCCTTGAGAATTGCCAGAGTTTGTTCGTTCGTGGCTAGAGAGTCGTTCTGTCCGGAGCGAGTTGCGAGTGCCTCAAAGGCAAGGCCGAAAAGTACGAAGAAGAACGCTACCGGCTCATCTCGATAGTTGATGTCTGATCCTTTGGTTTTGCCATTGGTCGAAGGTCCGTCTGACTCTTTACCATCCAAGGCATCGAACACGAACTCGCTGTCTTGCTCGATTAGACTGGCGATGGCATCAACCAACTTCAGCCAAGCGTCCTGGTAAAACCGGAGCAATGTTTCCCGGTTCAGGGCGGCGTAGATTGTATCGAGACTTCCCGACAGGGATGGGGGCCCAAGTGTCATCGAAATGTCAGGTTCGAATCGCAATCTCGCGAATTCTCGGAGAGATTCGAGCCACAGAGGAGTCAGTGTGCCGATGTGTGGTCTCAGGACGTCCAGTAGATATTGCTGTTCCGAGCTCGCAACCTGGAGTTCTGCCCAGGCTGAAAAGACCGAGATCTTGACCATCACTTGGGCATTGGAGCTCAGCCCCTTCAGATCTCCAATGGCAGCGTTTTCGCTGTCTTTGGAGAAATTCTCCAGTGCTGTGACGAGGGTCTTCAAGATACGGCCCATTCGGTCGACGTCCGTGACGATTCCAATCGATATGAAGCTTGCGCAAACGTTGACTGCCTCTGACGCAAGTTCGGGAGAAGAGTCTGCGGCAAACGCTGGAGTGAGGGCTGAGCTGATCTGAGCTTGGTACTGCTCGAGCAGCATTGCTTCCTCAAAGTCCGGATCCGGCGTTTTCCCAAACATCTTGAGGACTGCACCGATGATCTTCAAGCCCCAGATCCGGAGTTCAAGAACGCTTGATGTGGAGGCGGAAAAAGCCATGCGGACGACATCTGCCACCTTGTTCTGGAGGTCGTTTTGTGCTTGGGACTCTCCATTTGTAGTTGCATCCTTTGCGACGAGGGCGAACATGTCGTTAACGCAACTCATGGCGAAGGTCGTCACTTGCCATCGCAGGGGTTCGACTTCAGAGGTAGCTGGAGCTTCTTTTTCGTCGCTCGCAGTGCCTGCCGCAGCCGCGAATCCAGCAACCTCTTCGTCCTGTAAATCAGGAAGACCACCGCCCCTAGGTCCAGATTGGGCATCCTCGACCTTTACCCGTGCTCTAGTCATCTTCAACACTGCCTGGAACCGTTGTAACCATTTGTTAGTCTCAACAAGGCATGTTTGATGCATCCAGTTGCGGATAATGTTGCGAATTCCGTCATGAGTTGGGCATGTGTCCAAAACAAGCCATAGCTGTTCCTCAAAGCCGTCCTCTGCCTCTCGCAGGACATCGTTGGGATTTCTCTTCATCATGTTATGAAGTCCATCAACAGCAACGTCCCGCAAAGTAGTAGACTCCGATGAAAGATATTTCTGCATAAGCTTGACGTAGTCCGCAAAGTGCATGTATCCAGGGGCGTAGAGAGACAAATGCTCAAAGCATCCCAGAGCAGCTTTTTGCACAAGAACCTCATCTTCCTCACGAAACTGCCCAACAAGGGTAAAAATGAGCTCCCTAGACTTCGCCGAATCTTGTAGGTCAGGTCCCAACACATTGATCAGGGAATCAACACAACGTGCGATGACAGATGGCGTGGAAAGTTCCATCTCGAGATTCATGGTAATGGCCGAGGATATTTCTGCGTGGTGTGTCTCGGAGACATAGAGCTGGACCAGCATGCCCAAAGTACTAGGAACATACCCGGCAAAGCTCAACCCTGCAGCGTCTGACGCAAGGGACAATGCCTCCAAAGCCCAGTAATGGACAACAGGATGAGGGTCATTGCAAAGAGACATGAGAATGCCTAGTATAGTCTTTAGGTGATAGCCAGCCGCCATGCCGCCGACCTTGGTTTGGATTGAACCAAGGGCCATGGCACAACCTGCTCTAGCACTAGGCTCACGGTTCCCGACAATGGTGTCGACAAGGTACTTGATCTCATTGTTCGTGAACCCGTTTCCGTAAACATTGCAGAGCCTGGCAACAGCATCGTAACCTAGGCTTCGGACATGCTGATCAGGATCAAGGACAAAATCGCGGACGATGTCTTGCAGCAATGCCTCAACAGCATGGTTCGAAAGGTCTCCAGAAGGGGATTGTGTCTCCTTGACCGCAACCCTCAACGTAGCTAAAATAGCTGTCGCGAGGTTGACATTGATCGCAGCCTTGCGGCCTGGGTCCCTTTGCAGAACTCCTGCGGATGCAAATGTTCGAATTTGCTCCAGTATGCTCTCCTGGACCTTTGCTGGGGTGAGAGGAAAGGCAAATGCAAACAACTGGATTGCGGTGTTGATTACCTCCGTGGACGGAGGGTGGGGGGCGGGAGAGGAGCTGTTCATGTTGCCAATGTACAGCACCGAAGCATCGTGTTCCAGACTGCCACAGATTGGCGATCGGAGGAGACTGTTGATAGAGTCCTCGGGGCTGTCATCCTCAGCGACCTCTTCCATGGAGTCTTGTTGTCCAGGGAGCTTTTTGACTTTGGAGCCCGAAACAAGACCGGTGATTCCAAATCCAGAGTTGTCACCGACGTCCCAGATGGATTCGAAAGTAGCAGCCGCGTTGGCGATGGAGGCACTCAACGAGTTTGGGGAGTAATTCTCTGGGTCCGCAAAAAGGGAGATCGCGAGAGTGAGGAGGTTGGACTGCAACAGAGCCTCGCTACCGCCGGCGGGGCTGAGGTTAACAAGCTTAACGTAGCATTGCAGGACTCTGCGCTGGACCATCATATCTAGATCGTGGAGTTGCAGAGCGGGTTTGAGCCTCTGTGAGATATCATCGGTCGTCTTCTTCGATGGCAGAGTCTTCAAAAACGCAGAGGTGCTTTGAAGCATTGTCGCAATTCTCTTAGACACATCAACGGTGAGAAGCCGGCTGTTGAACTCCAGGAAGGCCAAGATTGACCCAAGAGCGCACTCCCTGACATGAGTTAAGAAGGACGCCTCGAGGAAACTCCGAGCGGATGTATTGTCCTTCGCCAGCGGCTTTGGGAGGGCATTCTTCCAAAGGAGTAGCAACTGTGACAGATGGATCTTGACAAAGTTTGGACCCAGTGACATCAGGCCACCAATGAGAATCCACGCAACTTGAACCTGTGTGGCAGAGACGCGAAGCTCCGACTGGCTGCTAGACTTGAGCAGGTTCGTTGCCATCGTCAGCACTCGACTGTTGATGTCAACTGAGCCATGGAGGGGACGAGACGGGCTCGCGCTTAGGGTCGCAGCCAATCCATGGGCGAATCCTATGCACCTCCTGGGCGAGTTTCGCGCTCCGCTGAGCAAAGAGAGTTCGCGGTTAAGACTGTTCATGCAGACAGATAGGCATGGAAGCAGTTGCTGTGGGCATGCAAGAACGAACGTCTTCATACAATGAGATGCGAAAACCTGGACAGAATAGCTCGGGTGTTGCAGAACTTGCAACAAACCATCTCTGCAGGCTTCTGCGAAGCCGTTCGCGGCCGAGCCTAACGACTCGATGAGTGAAGACACAGCGCTTAGGGTGGTAATAAGAGTATGCTTGGAGGGCTCCGGCCGCTCGGTCAGGGCCTGGGGGTAGTTCTTCAGGATGTTGTTGATCAGGGTCTTGGCAGCGGAGATTTGTCCCGACTCTCCCAAGATCTTTCGCCCGACAACGTCCTGAATGACTGTATCTATGATTTTCCTTGAGATCAATAGACGATACCGGTTATTATTGATGGTCGCTTGTCCGAGCACGTCGACTGTGAGGCTCTCAACGATTGTCAAGTAATTGGTCTCGATGAGCTTCTCGCCTAACCGGCGGAACAGTTTCCCATAGCATATGCCGATGGCAGCTCGGGCCTTGTTTGATGTTGCTGGTTTAACGTAGTGTGTAGCCAAGATCTTCAGCATGTCTGCCAAGGATAGTGCAAGTGCCTGGTTTCGCCTGCCAGATGGAGCAGGGCTCGATGGCCTGGACGGAATCTCATCGTCATCTCCTCCAATGCCAGGATGGGTGGAGACTCGTTTGAGAGCCTTCGACTTGGGCTTTTTGCCTCTTCCAGCGGGGGTATCAGCGAATCCAGTTTCCGAGTGGCCTTGCACAAGAGCTTCGGAAAAGCATTCAGCAGCAGCTTGGCGAACTTGGACTGAAGAGGAGTCGAAGGTTTTGAAGATTGCCGACTCCAGCTTGTCGAAATCGGTCGAGTTTTGGAAGTAGGGTGTATGCTTCACCAGCGCCTTGAGACATCGACAAGCCGATGCAACGACCAGCGATCCCTTGTCGGAGGAGGCGTGATTGCGTCCCTGCTTCCAAACGTCTCGCGCAATGACCTCGTCCATGCTCCCTTCCACCATCCTCACGATCTTCCCCAGGGCAGCCAGGGTCGCAGCGCGAAGTCCTGCATGGTTCGAGGAGGACTTGAGAAGCTTGATCAAGGTGGAGCATGACAACTGGTGCAATCCAATGGCGCTGTCACCAGCTGCGGCGAACACGTCGCCCAGACAGCTGACCGCTGCATGCTTCGTCCGAATCTCAGCATCGGTCTTGGATTTCCCCCCAGAAATGACGGTAACCAGGTCGTTGATCGTCTCGAATAGCAGCTTCCTGTCCCCATTCCCAAATATGTGTGCCAAGCATTTTCCCAGGTTGTTTCTTATTACTCGGGACGGCTGCGGAGAAGACAGGTTGATGATCTGGAAGATCTCTTTCTTGAGATAGAACTGCTGGGCCGTGCAGTCGTCGGCGGCCAGCTCGAGCACATGCTTGCTCAGCCCCGACACGAAGGTGAGCAAGAAGAGCTCTTGTTGTTCGGCCGGCAAGGATTGGAGCTTTTGAACATCGAGTTCAGGGTTCGCCGTCGCGGAGTTGGGGGGGGCTTGCGCCGCCTCGCTGATTCGGCTTGGAGCTTCGGGCTCCTGGGTTGTTGACATGGCGGGCAAGGCGATGCGCCGTCAACGATGCCCTGCTGAGGTTGAGATGTGTCGGGACTGTGTTTTGACCGAGTTTCGCCTTTTTCAACGTCTTTTCAAAGGGCGAAGTGGTTACCTGGTGCTTCCGCCCATGACGTTCCATACCACATGCTCCAAGGGGAGTGCAGGGAGTAGCCAATCAAGCCCCACTACCCCCCCTAACAGCACCGTCTGGGAAGATCTTTAACCCGGCGCATCTTTGGAAGCTGTCAGGTCGACGAGAATGGGCTTGAGTGCTTAACCCGGGAATAAACTGGTGCTCACGGAGCAATATTGGGCCATTGAACGAAGGTTCGTTCGTTTCTAGAGAGCCTTCCGTTTGTTTGAGTCGACATGTCTGCCCGCCAAGCATTGCATCCGCTTCGAGCAAAGCCCAGCTCTCTCGTTGTTGGCCCGCGAGCATCGTCGAATATCTGCCGACAATGTCATCGATCATTCACGACAACACCGGCCCCATGGGCGGGCCACAACAAGTGGTCCAAGACGAAACACATCAAAGCAGTCACTGACAAGAAGAAGATGAGCGAGCGGCAAATTTTTACAAAGACTATTGCCATGTACTCAAGAAGTAGAACTAACCCTCCTCGCTTGCCGAGCCTGGTCTGATCTGATCTGGTGCAGTGTATGGTGACAACTTGAACTTCAACCCCCAATTGGCGAACGCAATTACTGCAGCGAGCAAAGGTACCGACTGATGTTTTATCACGCTGATCTAAGCAACTAACATGTCCGAACAGCAAGCATTCCGAAGCACCTGATCGAGGCCGCCGTTGCACGAGGTCAAGGCCGTTCCACCACTGGCGCCCAACTGGAGTCCATGTCACTTGAAGTCCTCATGCCACCGGACATCGCCCTGATCGTTGATGCCGAGACCGACAACAAGACCCGCACTTTACATGACCTCCGACTTGTGGTGAAGAAGGCCGGCGGTGTCGTCGGATCAACAGCATTTTACTTTACGAGACGTGGTCGGGCCGTATTCAAGGCAAAGGAGGGCGGCCCTACGCTTTCCGAAATCCTGGACGAGGCAATTGAGCATGATGGCATGGAAGATGTTGAAGAGCTCCCAGACGGCAACTTCCTGGCATGGACCCAGCCCAACACAGTGATGGCCATCACTGAGGCTCTGTCCCAGAAGTTCGAGCTCGAGGTTCTCGATTCAGAGATTGTTTGGGCCCCAAACGAAGACACCAAGGTCAACATCGATTCTCCCCCCATGGCCGAAACGCTCGATGGTCTTTTCTCTGGATTGAAAGAGTACCCAGAGGTCAAGGCGATTTACGCCAACGTGCGCAGAGGATCGGTCGAGGAGGAAGAGTGGGACAAGGTAGAAAGGAACCTAGATGTATAACATGTAAAACAACATATCCACTTGTACACAATGTCGTCCTTTCCCCAGAGTTGAGGTGTGATTGCTTCCAATGCCCGTTCCGAACGCCGTGAATACATCGTGATGCCGGTTCAATTTCCCTCCGTCTCTCATCCATATCATACACGTCCGTGGTATCGCCTCGAGAATTGGAGCCGTTCGCATTTTAGGATTCGTTCTGCTGTGGCTGCTGTTCGGGATGCGCCTCGGCGAGTCGTCGCTCCTCCTCCAGTTTCCGAGCAAGGCGCAGCTTCTGTCGGGCCACGATGCGCTCGTACTCGGCCTTGATCTCGTCGCGATCACGCGGGAGCTTGTTGCACTCCTCGGGCCTGGGCCAGAAACCCTGGATGGCGAAGCGGTCGTCGAGGTTTGTGCCGAAGTAGTACATGATTCCGATGGGGAACATGACATACGTGCCGAACTAATGCACAAGTCATTGTGAGCTGCTGCTTGGGCGTCCAGTGTAAAGCATCGAGTCTCTCTTACCTTGAAGACTTCCAGATTGAGACCGCCCATGTTGAGAAATTGGAACCTTTTGCGCTGGTTCGATTGCAAATGGTATGATGTAGCGAGAGAGAGCAAATGTTTGAGTGGGTAGGCGATGACGCCGCTATATGGATAGCCCCGGTAAAGTGATACTCTGGCGAACCACCAATTCCGAAAAATGTGATTGGTGGGCTAGTTCGTCGAGAGGAAGCAGACATGTGCACGCAACGAGATGTTAAACATGACTTCTTGGGTTCTTATTATATACGATTTATATGCTGGATTGACCCTCTGAACACCATCACCAAACCCTAGTGCATTCTCTTCTGAGCAAAGCCTGCTGAAGAAGAAGAATGATGCTTCATATTCACAAGATCCCCATCCCCACCCTTCCATTTATGAACACCGCAATGCCACCATTGATTCAACGCCGCCAACGTGATTGTGCCCAGAATTCGAGGCCGGTAGCCGTGACCCGTATGCAGGAGAGCCCAAATCAAAACTCCTCCGTCCTGACCCGAACCGCCCTCACTGAGGCAGCTTCGAATCTTCCTTCTTCTTCATCATTGCATCCTCCATCATCAGACGCTCTGTAAAACTGCGAGGGGTACCGGAGAATGGTATGTTGGAAACGCTGGCGCGGAAACTGTTAAGGTCGCCCTCGTCCATCCCGCTCCGACCATCTAACCCCCCTACAAACGTATTGAACTGCCCCAGCGAGGCGGCTTGAGCATGAACCTCTGGGTTACGCACCACTGGCATGATGACTGGTCGTCCTTTATATGAACCCAGAGAGCCAGCTTGAAATTTGGCCATTGTTGGTGTTGTTGGCGCCGCCGCTAGAGGAGAGGGCCTCGCGATGTGAACTGCCGGCGATGTTGCGTATAATGACGGCTTGATCTCCGGTGCATCTTCCACATCTTCCTCCTCTTCCTCCTCAACAGGAAGTGGTTTTGGCCGTGGCCTTGGGGGAGCGGACAAACCACCAGCCTCGAAGTGAAACATGTCGTCTTCCTCGGCGTCGAAATCGTCGTTGTCTACGTCTTTCGGCCCGCCGTGCGAGTTCGCGGTATGGGCGTCAGGCTTCACATCATGAGATTCTTTTGTCGGGGATGGTGAAGCGGGCACTTGTTTGTTGGTAGACGATTTCGATTTGCCCATGGAAAGGAACTCTTCATCGGAAGAGTCATCATCGTCAACATCCTCTGGCTCTTCGCTGACGCTTCCTAATTTCTGTGAGGCTCGAAGTGGTTCGGGGCCGCGAGACTGCATCGGAGGTTCCGGTGCTGCGGGGAGGAAGCTGCTATGGTCGCTCCAAGGCGATGAAACCATCTCCTCCTGCTCCACAATGATCTCGTCTCGGTTAGGGTTAACAACTGTCCAGACTGTTCCCGAGTCAAGAGGTGCTCTAGAAAGGGCCCTTAATGCTTCCGACGAGGATATCTTGCGAGGGGGTGGCTGGTCTTCGAACTCGTCGTCTAGCATGGACGCAGAGCGCACAGGTTCGGCTGATGGGGTGGGTGAGACGGGAGGAGGAGTCATGAAATCAGATGCTTGTGGCGAGGCTGTAGGAAGGACCTCCGCTCCCATGAAGTCGAACCGGACGCGCCTCGGACTTTGCGAAGGTTTGGACGCGCTGGAAGACCGGCGAAGTGCGCTTCGTGGGGTTTTAACGTCGCTTCGATCTGAAAATACCGACGAGGTTGTGTCATCGGTCGACTGACGCACGTGGCGTGGCCGAGTAGGCAACGGAGGAGTCGTTGGCAAGGCGTCCTGCAATGCCTCAAATGCCTGCAAACCTGCTTGCTGATCCATGTCTACGCCTTGCCCCTCCGCTTCGATGCCTACGTCAGGCAACAGCAGGGGACGAGGGGGATTGGAGGGACCGGCAACGGCGACAGGGAGAGCCTGCAGTCTGGGAGAACTGTCAAGCAACGGTAGGTAACTTGGGGTGAACAGACCCCGAAGCTCCTGCTCTCGGTCGCGAGGACTCCCTGGGGGCTCCGTGGCTCCCGATCCGGGGGCAGAGACAACAGTCGGCGGAGAGTGGTGGCGTTGGCCCGATCCGGGCCGGGCGAACGTTCGTGAGTCAGCCAGATCGAGGTCGAGAGTGAGGGCTGGAAAATCGAACAAAGACTTGGCAAGGGATTGGCGAACTTGGGAGGCGACGGAGGGAGAGACATCGTGGAGAAGCTCACGGTAGTAGCGCAGGAAGTCGGCCTCCATGTCGTGGCGATAGGCGTGAACCTTGCGGTCGAGGTCAGCCAGCCTGTGCTGCAGGCTCTCTAGGAGCCTCGCCTCCTCCATGGCGCCTAACAGGTTCCTGCAACCGGAGTGGACAATCGCAACGTTCTCGGTATGCGCATGACGCAAGGCGTGTGGCTTCCGGTTGGGCTCGGGGCTCGGGAGATGTGTGCCAGAAGTCTGGGGCGACGAGAGTTGTGGAATTGGCTGGCCCGCGTGGGCGAGGAAATCGGATGTGGATGTGGATTTGGACGTGGATGTGGATGTGGGACGGGTGGTGGTGGTGGGTTTTCGATAGCGCTGTGCTTCTGTGCTTCTCGCTCCGGCCTCTGGATGCGGCCTCTGGATCCAGTAGCCCGGCGGAGGGACTGTGCTGTTGCTAGCGGCGGGCTCAGGGCGCTGGCTCAACCGACCTGGTGAGGCTATCAGGCGATTGGGGGTTGGGATGTGCCTGCTACGACGTAGCTAACACGCCTGCTAAGCCTCTATCGTACACCGGTCTGTCCACTGCAGCGGAGTGCATCCCACAATGCATCGCAAGTCTCGTGGGCGTGCTGACAGACTTTGGCTGGCCGGTTGCGGAGAAGGCTGCAAGGCGAGCGAGGGGGTGCTCTGCCTACGCGCTGCTCGCTTCGTCATTCGTCATTGGCAAGCCCGTCCATGGTTTCGAAGCATGTGCATGTGCGCCGTCAATTGGATGGCTGGGAGCTTGTCCGTCATGAGGGCCGATGGCGAACCCCGCGAACCAAGGTTTGCAGGAGCCTCGACAGGGTCGGATGCTGGGCTCCACGGCCACGAGGATGATTGTGGGTCTTGAGCCCTCCTGGGGCTCAGTGGTCTCGCCCGCTGGCAGCCTCCTCCTCGTTCATCTACGTACCTGTCGGCAGCGCGAGAGGGGAATGCCGGTACCCATACGGAGTACGGAGGGCGGGCTGCGTCGGACCTGTTCTCGATAAGTCGCATCCATGCATCTTTGGTGAAGCGGGTTTGTGAACCCAGCTGGTGAGCCATGCACGTGCGACCTACTTGGCAGCCAAACCAGCTAATTCCCTGGCGAGAGATTCGGCGCGAATGGACAGCATCATTCACAAGCAGTGTTGTGCAGCCGATGATGATCCCAAACCAAACCAAACGTTAACTACCACTGAAGATCACCACCTCCAGGTCTAGAGCCTGCTAGCTCAACATTGCGTCGACTACCCGTACCTCTAGCGAGATCCGGCAGAGGGGTTGAGACATGGTGCTAGATCGTTATCGGCGAGTAATTGGTCCGTAGGTACGGAACGCCTGCTTTGGTATGCCGATGTGAAGTTGTCATCCTCAACATTTGATTACGAAGACACCCACCCAGCCACTCAATGTGGATTGCGCCGTGCTGCCCGGATCACTGCTCGGCCTCTTAATTGTCAGCTTGACGAAGGTGATATGAAGTCACAACTCACATGACGTCTGACATGCATACTACGAAGACTGGAAGTTTGACAACTTCAAACGGTATTAGGACGGTACCCACACAGTGTACTCTGCGATCGATCAACTCCTTGAGGCAAGCAATAGCAATAAACCCTTACTTTTAGAAACAAGAATTGAACTTTCGTACATTACCCAAGTACTAAATAATAAAGATTTGATGAGCTGATCAACTAGGGTATTGAAAAACACCGCCTAGGTACGCACTGTATCATACTGTAGACCGGTGTGTTCCTATTGGGAAGTTGTCAAACTTCCTGCGCCAGCCTTCGGGACGTACTTTCCCGGACGTAGCCACGTTCGAATACCTTTTGAATAGATCGCTTATCAAGCTGATCCAAGCATTCCTATATAATTTTGTCCCCATTGCACCTTTAAACTCCGCTCTGTTCTGATGGTTCGGAGCCATTCAAACGCTCGCGAATGAATCCACAGGTGGTGTAGAGGCCGAAACGTCACAACAGAAATGTTTGTTCCATGCCCACTCAACTTCTCATGCAGAAAAAAATAAAATAAACAATAACAATTTATTTCCTTGCATCAATGACTGCGCTTCAGATCCAATTGCCATCTGTAAACCGTCGAGCCTGCGCGCGGTACTGGGGCCGCGCGCGACCTCTGAATGACCCACACCGCCTTCTATTCTAAGCACTCTGGGCAGAAATTGTTGTCTCCCAGAGCTCAAGCTGCACCTACCTCCCCACGTCAAGATACCTTCATCACTACCTCAGCTCCCTCAACAAACCTCCACTCCTCCGACCTACTTCGCCCAAGCGCGCCGCAGTGACGAAAATATTTGCACGACCACACTTCCAAGCCAGAGTTACCCGCCCGTCGCACCATGTCGACCATTACTTCGACCGCGCTCCAGTCAGGAAACCCGCCCGTCATCCCGCTCTCCTTCGACTCCAACCAACCCGAGAAAATTACGCTGTTCCCGCTTTCCAACTATACATTTGGCGTCAAAGAGACGCAGCCTGAAGAAGATCCATCCGTAATTGCTCGCTTGAAACGCCTCGAGGAACACTACGTTGAGCATGGCATGCGCCGCACCTGCGAGGGTATCCTGGTGTGCCACGAGCACAACCACCCACACATCCTGATGCTTCAGATTGCGAATGCTTTCTTCAAGCTACCTGGCGACTACCTGCGACCCGAAGATGACGAGGTTGAAGGCTTCAAGTCACGACTGGACGAGAGGCTGGCACCGGTCGGGCGCCTGGGTGAGGGTGAAGAAGCTGGTGACTGGCAAATTGGAGATTGCTTGGCCCAATGGTGGCGACCAAACTTCGAGACATTCATGTACCCCTTCGTCCCCGCGCATGTAACGCGACCGAAGGAGTGCAAGAAACTCTACTTCATCCAATTGCCAAAGACAAGTACGTTTTCTCGCCCCCGAATTTGCCGACCGAGACTAACCTAGAACAGAGGTGTTGAGCGTACCGAAGAACATGAAGTTGCTTGCTGTCCCTCTTTTTGAGCTGTACGATAACACTGCTCGTTACGGGCCGCAACTTTCCGCTATTCCCCATCTTCTAAGCCGATACAACTTCCAATTTGTTGACGAGAAGGGGAACGTCGTTGCAGCAACACCTGGGTCGGGTGCTCCAGATGGCTACGTCCCTCAGACAAAGGTGTTGGCGGGCGATGATACGGATATGAAGGAGGAGAATGGAACCAGCTGATATAGTCTGGATATGGGATTAAAATATGCAATGGTGTTTGGCGTTGTCGGTGTAGATACGGGCAAGACTTTTATCTATCTGATTTTGTTTTTCAGCATAGTTCTCACGGCAGTTGGGGCTTCTCCCTCACCACCTCCGTCTTCTCTACCTAAATGGTCACGGAACCTCTAGGTTTAATACGCCACTGAACAAGCGATCTATGGTTAATCATGGGCGTTGAGCGAACAAGACCTCCCATTTCGTCTTCACACATAGTCAATATGTGTGAAATGATAGTGGGAAGGGTCGTGGAGCATGACTTCTGAAACTAGCGTTGGCATGAGCAAAGCCCATACAGTTGCTTGTGGTGTGAGAATGTTGAGCTGGACCAGTCCCACGACGACATCTGATGGTGGTCAAATTGAAGACAGTGGGGAGCTATTGGCCAATCACAGCCCGTACATATCCATTACATTTTGTTTGTTTGCCTTGCCTCGTCAAAGACCATTTTTGGTTCCGTGATTCAAAGCACTAAACCCATGTAGCAATATAAATCAACTGATCATCTTCCATGGCGTGGTTACTGGATCAGCGGTATTTCTGTCTTGTTACATTGGACTCTAACCCGTTGAGTTGTTCAGATACCATTTACACTTCCGTACGAGTATACGTTGAATCATTTGTTGTATTCGGGTAGTATATACATGTTTCGCAAACACTCCTAAGCTGTAGCACAGTACATGGTATCCCAAATCTCGTGTCTGACACGCCGAGTTGTCCCGATGAGCTTCCAATCGTTCAAACTCCAGGCGGCTGAGGCCCAATTATTGCAGAGGGTACGAGGTCTGGGGGAGGGATTCGAGGTGCTTTCGGTGATGCTCGTTGGCCTGATGAGTCATTAGCTCTAGAATCGAGCATGCACGCAACAAATATAGGGTGTCGTACGTAGGGAATACCACAGTAGTTGCAGGAAGCAATCTCGGCCTTGTCAGTGTTGATGAAGATCCTAGGGTGTCCACCAGCGCCACCGCCGCCATCACAGGCAACGATGCGATCGTGAGTCCACCGCACAGGCTGTTTGTGAATCAACTCGATAGCCGATTGAGGTCGAGGCTGTCAGGTGGTTAGCCGCGTGTTTCCTGGGATGGTGTCCAGATCATTGCCGTACCTGGACGCTGAAGTCGGTCTGCTCAAATCGAGGACCAGTCATAGCCACGGCACGAGGCTTCTGGCTTCGAGACCAGACGCCCACGCGGTTGGGAGCCTGGTTGGCCTCGAGAGACTTGGTCTCATCGGCAGCGGCGGGGGCCGTCTCGGTCGTGGGCTTGGTGACGGCGGCTTCGAGTTGCCGGGCGGAGGTGGTGAAGGCACGCTGTGACAGGCGCGCGTTGCGCGCAAGGGCGCCAATTGCCCTCAATTGAGACGTGGCCATTGCAAATGCGACGGAAACCGGGTGTGCGGATCGATTCAAAGGTGTCGGCTCGTAATGCCAGTTGAGGGTCGTGAGGCATTCAAGCTGCAGACGTCTGAGCCCGGGGGAGCTGTTTATCCGGACCCGGAACAATTTCTACACCACGCCCATGGTGACGCGCTCGCTCAAAGAAGTATCGTTAGGAGAAATTACACCCTCGTCGTCGCCAACTGTCGAATTCCGCGAATACGTTCCGAATATTGAGCGTCCGGCCTTACACGATTATTCACTGCAGGTCGTCTTCTCCAAAAACGTATTTTACACAACGCGATCTTTGTTACACTGATCCAGTCCGCCCACGACCACTTCAACCCAAACCGATCCCATCGCTTTCGATATCAACTCTACCATGGCGCCCGAAACACCCAGAGCAGTCTCTTCGAGACTTCTCACCATGAAATTCATGCAAAGGGCAGCTGCTTCAGCATCATCGACAGGTTCTCCAGACTCGGACACACACTCTGCGAAGAAGCGCAGGCTGGGAGAGTCGCCTTCAGAAGGTCGCATCAACCTGAACATTGATCAGGCAACAATCAAGGCTGCTCTGGATGACCAAGAGGCCAAGCGCCTGGCGGCTCTGGAGAAGCATGTTGGCGCCGACACACATTGGGTTCTCAACAACACGTGGGCTGGTTCCAAAACCACAAACACTGCGAAGGCACCACTCAATGTCGTCTACGTCGGGTATGGTGACATTGATTCATCTAATGAGTCAGGCGACAATGAAGACGTGCCATCGAACGGACGAACATCTACAAGCAACTTTAAAAGCTCTAAAACAAAGGCACGTTAATAACGAAATAATGCAATGTCCCAGAGCGTTGACTGACTTTCATACAGCCATCAGTTGCTCAAAAACCTGCAGATGAGTCGGATGACTCGAGTGATGCAGACTCGGATGCATCAGATGAGCCCACCCCGGGACGCAAGCGAAAGCCATCCAGTGATAGCCCGCACTCTCAGTCCGCGCGAAGTCGCTCACGTTCTAGATCACAACCCCGACAGAGCTTGGAGAGTGCCAAAGCAAAGGAGTTCCGCGAGAAGAGAAAGAAGAAGGAAGTGAAGCTTAGTAAACTGACTTCCATTTCTTCTGGTGGCGGTAGCCAGTTCTCGCCGTCAAACGCCAAGTCCATGACATGCTACAAATGCCATCAGGCCGGCCACAAAGCTGTAGATTGCCCAACATCGGGCACTTCGAGGGGGCGATCGAAGAGGTAGACGACCCTAGCCAGGGTACTGAGATTCCTCTCAATATCCGCCCTCCCCATCACAGCAAAGAGACGCCAGGTCACCGAGTCTATATCAGCACGCGTGTTCCCATTTCCCTGCCTCAACGTGCTGAGCTTTGGGCAGGATGACTGCTTGGCTTCTTGACCGACCAGCGCACATAGCCCTCGGGTTTAGTGACCAACCAATACATGCTACCTCCCTTGCGTCGTCACTTGGATGATCTGGCAGAGTTACGGTTAGCATAATAACACACATCGTAGGTGCACATGCGGATCAGACCTCTGCTACATGCATTAACGAAGGAACGCCACCACTACGACCGTGGAGTCGCTTATCGAGATACCATAGAATAGAGATATGCAGTCAAAGTTAGAATGACTGTGGCACTAGCCCTTATAATCTGCGCAAGTCATCTTTGAGTTCGATAGATGATATTAGCGTCCGCAACCACTTCTGTAATTCATCCACCAAGATCGGGCCGACGATGGTGTCCACCCTATGACAAGGAACTGTGAATGGAATATTGATTGTATGAAAGTTCGAATGAAATCGTGCCAATCCCACTGGCCTGCTGAGGGAAGAAAGAAGCGAGTTCCCACTGTGGCTGGCGAGTGAAGATGTACGACATGAATCAAGTCCTAGTCTGGGAGGAAGAAGCCAGAGAAGCCACCCGAAGCGGTTGCAACTATCGGCGCAGTACTATTGAGTCATGTGCTCCATCAAGAAGTTCGTAGAGTAGCACCCTCGCTTCGTTCCCTGCTACCGCAGTTAGCAGCGCAAGGCATGAACATCGGGAAAGGTTCCCGCTCAAAGAAAACGTGCCATCTACTGTGTGTTGGAGTCATCAAAGCGGGGATCGTAGCGCGCCGCGAGTCGTGCTCCTCCATACTTGATTCTGTTGTTGCACTGAGGGGGCAGCAATTGGATAATCTCACAATATCTACTCCGTGCCTCATTCTCGAGACTCAATGGCATGGGGTTGGACGGTCTTGACCGCGCGTGTCACTTGTCTCTCGAGTTCGACAGCGGCACTAACTTGAGTAGACATGGTTCAAATTCTCCGCAAGGGTGCCGACTGGATAATTCGGGAATACGGATAAAGTTGCGTGCAGTCTAGGGGACTTCACCTCGGCTGCCCTTGGATTGGACGCCATGTGAGTCTTGAAGCCGCCCCTGGCCAAGGGGTTTTATTCCATGATCTAGCGAGAGTTTCCCAGGCGTAATAAGGCCGCGGCATCTCGGCTGGCACGAGTAAGTCCACTAGGTTGGGAGTTGAAGCTCGGATCCTGTGATTAAGTGACTGGGGCAGTCCATCATTGAACAAGTGCAAGGGCCAGCATCAGGGACGCACATCCGGGGGCCATTGAAGATATGGGGAGGAGAACGCGGCAGTGTGGGTGTCCATGGGTCAGCCTACTACGTAGTACAACTCGTTCACTCTCGCTTTGATAGAGACCCTTGAGGATAGTGGGCGGCTTCGCTGCAAGGGTTGGACATGGCGAAGGTGAAACAGAATTGTCAGCGTAGTCTTGAATCGCAACACAGGAGATGTGGTTCGTGAATTGGTATATAGAGTCGAGCTATATATTGGCACTCGTACTGGCGTAGGATGCGGTTCTCATGTTTTTCTTTTCCTCTTCAATTTCTCTCTCTGAGTATGTCCCCATCTCAGCCACGTTGCTGCCGCCATATTCTGGGATATTTGACCACATAGCTCAACAAGCTTCGCATACCAACCAGCCCCCCCTGCTTACTCGAACGTCGGCGAACAGGCGCCAAACAAAGTACTGCCGTTGACGCGACACCGGCGATCTCAAATCTTGTGCCACCGCCAGCAAGACAGAGTCTAGATCCAACCGCTGGAAGCTGCAGGAGTTGACCTGTCGGTTCCCATCAAGGTACCTGCCTCGTCCTACCTCATCCCCTCACGGAGACCAACCGTAGCCCTATCAGAAACAGAGCCAGGCCAGCTGCATTAGGTGGCATACCGACTCGGCCGGGCATCTCGTTTACTACATACAACCCACAGCACCATCAAGTGAGTGCGTCGATTGTTTTCCTGTTGCTGTCGTCATTTTGTTTCTTCCTCGCGTGTGTCCCCTCCAGGCTTCTGGTCTCTTTTGGAGCCGCGGCACGCCGTCCATCTACGGCTGCAACCTGGAATCTGTTCAACCTGATGGCCCTCTCTACGCTGCTTCGCACGGATGATGCGAGGGACCGCGGCCGCCGGGGACCCAACGACGGCACATCCGCCTCGCCCAACCCATCGCCGAGATATCTAGCTGGGCTGTCCCTGCCTTGCCGCCCGCAACGTTGCCGCGACTAGACTATGCAACAGGGCGGACGCTGCAGTGGCCCTCAAGGCCCTCGCGGCGCTCACCCGCAGCCCCCGCGCATCAAAAACGGGCTCGGTTGGCGGCTGGCTCATCCACCACGCGACTTTCTCAGGCCGGGGATCGGCTGCCCGCTGCACACCTCTGCACCGGGAGGAAGGCTTGCGAGGCGCCACTTTGACGGTGAAGGGCCAGAAATGGATCCCTCTCATTCGGGGCCACATGGCCATTGTCACCGTCGCGCAATTTGCCTGGTGGAAGAAGCAATGCGCCGCTGTCTTAGTATTGCATACCTCACCTGAGGCCGTGGAAGGAAGCCGTGGAAGCCGTAAGAGGCTGATGGATGACACCGAGAGATCACTTCCCAACCAGGCAACGCCATATTCCTCATCTCGTCAGCCCTTGTCGTTTGTCAGACTCCTTTGGCGCTGACCTGGGGACTCTAGCACAATCGCCTAGCACCTCTGGTTCTGGTGTCAATTGAGGCGACCTTGTGGAGCCCTGCAACATCGTACCCCCTAGAGTGAGGCAGGTCCTGGGCAGAGGCCAGTAGCTGATGCCAGGCGGATGGTGACGAGCGACGTTTTCCAGCAAAGTAACCATCGCTGTTCCCGTGGTTGGCATCGACATCACCGCCACCTCCTTTTATGCCACAGCCAGGACTGACCTCGTTCCAGCACTCTATCCGGGCATCCTTTGAGTTACACATTAGCTTCGCTGACGTATGCTCTCAGCCCGTCATCTTCGTTGTCGCCCCTCCCTCTCATTCTGGAAGAGCCAGCGGAAAGCTACAACCTCAGACACAGGTCGACGACGGCGTCTAGACTGGGACATTTTGGTACGACGTAGCTAAACGCACGGCACCCACCGCACTGGCCCGTACGAAACTCACCAGTTCCCGGCCGGTATCACAAAAGCCCCGTACCTGCCGAGCTACACTCCCGTCACGACCGACAGGGCTACTACACGCCCGCATCATAAGTACCTACTTACATCTGGCAGACCACGGTCTCGGTCTCCGTACCGAACGATCTGGAGTCCTGCGCTACCGCGTGGTACTTGACTCACAGGTACTTTGTCCGTCAGGACGATCCACTGTGTGCGTGCCCCAAGTCCACCAGCGGGCTTGCCACAGCAGCCCACAGAAGGTCGCAGAAGGCAGCTGTCCGTCGCCTCCGTCATTGTCGCCCCAACAAGGTGCCTCCCTTGAGTTCCCATCCCAGGTACCCAGGTTCTGAAGCCCCTGTACGGAGTACCCTCTGTACGCTTCCACGACTCATTCGCCGGCGCAAGCTTCATAACTTGAGCCTAGCAAGCCGCGACAACATCAACCCGTACAACTCCACGCATCTTGGTTTGGGGCTCGCGGGTCTTCCCTCCTTCCGATTCCGATTGCCTCTCGCCCAAGTTAGATCCTCCGTAGGTTCCCCTTGTCAACGCGCAGCAGGGCGCGGAAGCGCACCGGCACCCAACGAACTCAAAGCCCCCCCTCCCTCCCGCCTCGTCCAGGCCGTCGGGACATTGGGTACTCGCCCCAATAGCGGCTCCACCGGGGGGATCGCTCCATCGCACAGACCCTGGCGCGTCCATCACTACTCTTAAGTGGTGGCGCTCTCCACTACCATCCACTACCCTCCAGTTGCCATCCACTGTCCTGCCCTGCGCCCTCCACTGACCTCACAGGCTGACAGGCTCTGACAGGCTACAACGGGCCACGACAGGGTTCCATAGGCTCCTCCCCAGCACCTCGAGCTGGGCATTGCAGGGCTTGTCAAGCATACCTTACCTTCCATTACCTACCACGTACTCGTACATACAAAGTACGTCCTCTCGCGCGACTCGCCTTCAGCACAGCCAGTCAGTACACGCACCAAAGCTTCGTAGCCCATCTTGCTGCCATCTTCTTCCCCCACAGCTGCCCCGGCAGCCCACCCGCTCTCCCTTCCCCTCGTACATACCTTCCATACCTTCCTTACTTCAGGACCCGCACATTCTCCGGGCTCGGATCAGTGTATTTGCGCCAGCCCATCCAACGACGACCTGCCAACATATCTTTGCTTCGCAAACGAGCGCCCCAAGTGCAGTTCTTTCCAATCCGCCAACCATCGCCCGATACGGCCTCTCCGTCGTCAGATTCCGGTTCCTCTGTGCCGTGTCGGTGTCGTGGCCTAACTGTCCCTGTCCCTGTTCCTGTCCCTGACTTCCTGTTCGTCCCTGCTTTTGCACCATGCCTCACTCACAGCACGAGGAAGAGGCCCCCGCCGCCTCTGGCGGGCCTGTTGCCCCTGTGACTCTGCTCACCGACCGTTTGGAGAAGCCCTTGCTTGACGACCGCGACTATCGAGTCATCCGGCTTGACAATGAGCTCGAGGCTCTTCTAGTCCATGATCCCGAGACGGACAAGGCCAGTGCCGCCCTCGACGTCAATGTTGGAAACTTCAGTGACGAGTCGGGCATCCCCGGCATGGCTCATGCCGTCGAACATGTAAGCCACGCTCTCCTTGATTCTCATCAATCCCAAATCTGCTGCAGCTTTGACTGACCCCGCCCACCCGGATAGCTCCTCTTCATGGGCACTAAGAAATTCCCGATTGAGAACGAGTACGGCCAGTATCTGTCCGCTCACTCAGGAAGCTCCAATGCCTATACCGGTCCTACATCCACCAACTACTTCTTTGATGTCGGCGCCAAGCCGGCCAATGACGAGAATCCTTGTGATAGCAATCCTTCGCCTTTGCGCGAGGCCCTTGACCGCTTTGCCCAGTTCTTCATTGAACCCCTCTTCCTCCCGAGCACCCTCGACAGAGAGCTCAAAGCGGTTGACTCAGAGAACAAGAAAAACTTGCAGAATGACACCTGGCGACTTCACCAGTTGGAAAAATCCCTTTCAAACCCCAACCACCCGTATTGCCACTTCTCCACCGGAAACTTCGAGGTCCTCAAGACCTTGCCGGAAGCACGTGGCATCAATGTGCGGGACAAGTTCATCGAGTTCCATGCCAAGCACTACTCCGCCAACCGCATGAAGCTTGTAGTCCTCGGCCGGGAGTCGCTCGATGTTCTCCAGAAATGGGTCGTCGAATTGTTCTCCCCCGTCGTCAACAAGAAGCTCCCCCCCAACCGGTGGCTTGACGAGGTTCCTTTCCGAAAGTCTGACCTCGGCATGCAATGTTTCGCGAAGCCTGTCATGGACTCAAGAGAACTGAACCTTTACTTCCCATTCATCGATGAGGAGTCACTGTACGCGTGTCAACCCAGCAGATACATTAGCCATCTGATTGGACATGAAGGCCCTGGCAGCGTCATGTCTTACATCAAGGCCAAGGGATGGGCCAATGGGCTCAGCGCCGGCGCATACCCAGTGTGCCCTGGTACTCCAGGCGTCTTTGACGTGCAAGTTCGCCTGACGGAAGAGGTAATTCAATATTTTGAAAATATGACGTAATTTGATTGCTAATGCACCAATATAGGGCCTGAAGAACTATCCTGAAATCGTCAAGATCTTCTTCCAGTACATCTCTCTTCTCCGCGAGACACCTCCGCAGGAATGGATCTTCGAGGAACAGAAGGGAATGGCAGATGTAGACTTCAAGTTCAAGCAGAAGACACCCGCCAGTCGCTTCACGAGCAGGATTAGTTCGGTCATGCAGAAGCCTCTACCACGCGAATGGCTCCTAAGCGGCCACAGCCGCCTGCGGACCTTTGAGCCTCAACAGATCGAGAATGCGCTGGCCACCATTCGCCCAGACAACTTCCGAATGACCATTGTTTCTCGTAACCACCCTGGCAACTGGGATCAGAAGGAGAAGTGGTACGGCACGGAGTATCGATATGAGAAGATCCCTGGCGAGCTGATGGCAGCCCTCGAGAAGGCTGCTTCGGTAACCCCTGACCAGCGCCTCCCTGCCCTTCATCTACCACACAAGAACAATTTCATCCCGAGCCAACTTGAGGTTGAGAAGAAGGAAGTGACAGAGCCTGCCCTGGCCCCACGTGTTCTTCGCAACGACACTAGTGCTGTAACGTGGTGGAAGAAGGATGACACCTTCTGGGTCCCCCGCGCCAACGTCATTGTCAGTTTGAAGACACCACTCATCTACGACTCAGCCGAGAACAATGTCAAGGCCCGTCTATTTACTGACTTGGTCCGTGACGCTCTCGAGGAGTACTCGTATGATGCGGAGCTGGCTGGGTTACAGTATAACGTCAGCCTTGATTCTCGTGGCCTGTTTTTGGACATCAGCGGCTACAATGACAAACTTCCAGTACTTCTAGAGCAGGTCACCACGACAATGCGCGACCTTGACATCAAAGAAGACCGTTTCGATATCATCAAAGAGCGGCTCACCCGAGGGTACAACAACTGGCAGTTGCAGTCTTCCTATCACCAGGTGGGCGACTACACCAACTGGCTAAACGCGGAGGAGAGGGATTACATCGTGGAGGAGCTCGCTGCCGAACTCCCCAACATCACTGTCGAGGCAGTCCGACTGTTCCAGAAGCAGATGTTGGCCCAACTCCACATTGAAGTCTACGTGCATGGTAACATGTATAGGGAGGATGCCCTAAAGGTGACGGATATGGTGGAGTCCATTCTGAAGCCTCGCATCTTGCCTCGGGCCCAGTGGCCTATCCTCCGATCACTCATTCTGCCTCCGGGATCCAACTACGTCTTTAACAAGACACTGAAAGACCCTGCCAACGTCAACCACTGTATTGAGACGTGGTTCTACGCGGGAGATAAGGGCGATCGTGGAGTTCGTGCAAAGACGCTCTTGATTGATCAAATGATCCACGAGCCTGCCTTCGATCAGCTCAGGACCAAGGAGCAGCTTGGTTACATCGTCTTCAGCGGTGCTCGAGGCTTCTCAGGCACCTATGGACTCCGGTTCCTTCTCCAAAGTGAGATGACACCAGAATACCTCGATTCTCGAATTGAGGCATTCTTGACCAGGTTTGGAGAGACCTTGGCAAAGATGTCGGACTCCGAATTCGAGGGCCACAAACGAAGCCTGGTGATTCGACGCCTTGAGAAGCTGAGGAACCTTGATCAAGAATCTTCCCGACACTGGGCTCAGATTGCCAACGAGTACTATGATTTTGAACTTGGTATGTGACAGTGATATATGAGACTATATTTGAACTTGAAAGCTAACCAAGAACAGCCCAACTCGACGCGGCTCATATCAAGCCTCTTACCAAGCCAGAGATTATGGAATTCTTCAACAAGCACTTTAACCCATCTTCAACCCAACGAGCCCGGCTCGCTATTTACCTTCATGCCCAGGGGAAAGCTGAGGGTGCCCAGAAGCGACAAGAGGATGCCCAAAAGAAGGCCCACGAAACTGCGGAGGAGGAGAAGGTGAAACTGAAACAAGAATACTCCAAGTACTTCCTCGGTCAGGAACTGGATGCAGGGACCAAGATCCGACGGCTCCTCGAGGGCCTGGGCTCGCAGGACCCATCACCATCGATCTGGCAGACAGTGGAATCACTGGGAGATCACCTCCGAGAGGCTCTTAAGTTGCCTGAGAAGACAATTACGGTACTGTTAGAGCAGGCTGAGATTCTGGGAGTGAAGCAGACCAAGCCCGATGAGCCGCGAGCTTTGAACGGCACAACAGTCGTTGACTACGCGACAGAAATCACAGATGTGCGCCTTTTCAAGTCCAAGCTGACCGCGAGCTCCGGGGCGCGTCCAGTCAAGGATTTGGTCGAGTATGAGGATACGGACGCAAAGCTGTAAAAGAATGTTGTCATGAATAACTGGGGCTGCTGGTTAGGGGTTGTTGACTTGGGTTCTGTGTTGTAGAATGAAGTATCGACCGGATTGGCAAGAGGGCTTGGTGGGCATGTTTAGACATACACTTGCATGGGTAGATGAAGGAAGTTATGACCGGATTAGGCTTTTTGGGAATATTTTGTTGGAGGCCTGCCTAGGGTGGGTATGGTATGATATGTATGGCGGTAAGGACGGTGAGATATGGAGGAATTAGCAGATAGACACAGTGTTAGGATCCAGCTACTCTGCCCGGGTGGACCGTGAGGGAGCAGCATTCATGGGTGAGTTGAATATCGGAATAGAATCGAGAAAGCAATTGCTATATTGCACAAAAAGCCTGATTTGACATAAAGAATGATGACTCGTGATGGCACCATAGGCTTATGACTGGCCGTTACGTCAGGTCTGACTGGCTCGGTGTCATGTACCATAGTTTTAAAGACACCAGCTACTAGGTTGCTAGCTGACCAAGGTGTTGCAATTTGCGCAAACAGCTCCTGGTAGTTCGAACATAATTAGAATACAATTACAACAAGGAGGCCACTCAACCCAGAATGGCCCTACTCTCAACCAATACCGCCCAACTCTTTCGGAATCTCAATTTAAACCGTATGACCAAACTGAGTTCCTTTATGGTGAAGCTAGAGTATGAGAAATGCGAGACGTACAGTCGCGACGTTGAATGTGGTTGTTGATGCTACGATGATGACTACCTATGACACCGATTATTCGGGTGATACAAGTCGATTGCACGGATTACTACTACTAAATTTACTTATGATTAAGCTCTCAGCATGCCACGTTATTAACAACAGGCGACCTGTTTGTGCCAAACATAATTGGCGAAATATGTACCCGGGCCGGTAATGTATAGGTTATCTCCGGTAACTCTCGACTGGCTCTGATTCCGAAAAATAGATGCATCGACGAAGTGGGTCGGTTTGTGGGTGAGAAAATTTTAATCACATCTCGCAGTGCTGATCTGAACGGATTCTGAACTGTTGGTGCACACACAGGCTTGGCATGATATATTTGCGAACATGAATCAGCACACTTTCAACTGTGAAGCTCCGTTGTAGGTATTCAATATTTTGCATATTTCGAATACAAAGACGCTGAGGGAGCCCGAAAACAAGTAAGAATGAGAGAAGAAAGAAGGAAACACACCCAATGTCATGATAGCGACGTCCACTAGGAGTGTGTCACAATTCGAAGCGACGATATGCCGGCCAGTCAGTTCCCTGGAGGCGGGGAGGGGGAGGGGAAAAGGTTTAGGGCGTTTTGCAGAACAAATACAGGGGGGGTTCAAGGCGCTGGCTCAGGGCACAGGCCACTGGCGGGAACCCACCGTGGTTCTTTTGGAATGGCCCAGGGCGATATTTTTTTGGTGATTTTTTTTCTCAAGGTCCCCCACAATTGTCATGGGTGCTTCCAAGGCGGTCGGTGAGCTGGATGTGTTGCAGCACGAACGGTAGCACGGATGTAGGTACGAACGTGGTAGGTACATCGAGGGACGGTGATGCGGGGAGTTGCGTCTGGGCAATGCGAGAAAATTCCTACAAAAGCAGGCATGTGGACGGAGCCAACCAACGACAATGGGTTGTACTTGACATCACTGATTCGCCCCTGCAGCGAATGGATGTGGTTTTTTTTTAGGGTGTGATGGGATCTCATCGAGGAAGAGCTAGCTTCATGGAGTGGATGCTGTGTTTGATGGCAGACATTTGGCATAAACTGGAAAGATGAGTCGCCTTCAACTTGGTTTGGCTCACGGGGGTTGATAAATACTTTAGCCGGTAACTTACCTAAGTAAGTAATAGACGTTTCTGGCATTATTCCCCTGGCTTGCTTGCCACGGCTTACCTCCTCCTCCTCCAGGTCTTGTAGCAACCCTCCCTCATCAGGTCTGCCTGCTAAAGTTAGCCGCTGGGTGGCGGGCCTGTTTTCAGCCCCACCGCGTCACCGCCGGCCTCCACAGCCCCGATACGGCTGTGCGTGCCTCTCTGTCTGGGTGTGTGCTGCCCGTGTGCCCTCACTCGTTTTTGACCTCTGCTGGCTGATCCATCCACATCCACCCCCCAAATTCCCCCCCAAACCGGCCTTGGTCTAATTCTAATGCAAGACGCTTCCCATCGCCATCGCCTTCGTCTTCGCCTCCCTTTCTCCTCCTCTCGCAATCCCTCCGCCGCCGCCCGCCCCCGCCCTGGTCGTCGTCACCGACCCCTCCGTCCCCGTTGCCTCCTCCGAGCTGCCTCCGCCAGGGCAGCTCGCTGTCAAGACGTCGTCCTCAAAGAAGAGAAAGCTTTCCCGTCCCCGAACCCACGGCCTGGATCCGCTTGACGACTCGCCCTCGCCCGACTCCGTCCTGCCCTCGTGCGAAATCGACGACGATCCCGCCCTCTCCTTCTCCGCCGCCTCCGTGGCCTCGGGTCCTGATACGCCCTCATACCTGCGGGCCGACTCCCAACCCGCCTCCAGCTTGCCCCCGCGCCTCCAGCACCAGACCAGCTCGCTCGTCTCGGCCGACTACGCCTCCTCCGCCGCTTCGTCGCCCTGCGCGTCCGCCTACGCCGACCTCTCCATCGAAAGCGACCGTGGGGGAGACGACACTGGCCCGTTCCCCAGAAGCCAGTCTCCCTTCCGCGTTTCCAGGCGTGCCATTATGAATGGCGATGCAGACATCCCCCACCGATCCTCATCACCACTAAAACGACGTGCTTCAAGCATGGACCCCGAGAACGAGGCGGCCAAGGCCCGAGATGTCGAGATGGCTACTTCCCAGCCTGTCACCGATGTCGACGCCTCCCAGCAGTCCTCCGCCGCCCTTCCCCGAGCCATGAGCGTCGATGTTCCAGAGCCACCCGTCTCGGCCAACGGATCTTCTTCTCAGGGTAAGTTAAGCACTCCTGATAGAGTCGCCTCTTCGAGTTATACGGGAATGGCTAACACATCTTCACAGCGGTGCCTCCTCTCCAAGAGCAGGTCAAGATAATCGAGACTCTCCTCAAGGCGTTTGCGGAGGAGCCTATGAAGGAGGGCACCCAAGCATATCTCGTCTCGCGCTCCTGGGTGGACAAGGCGCTGGCCATGCGCGGCGACGCCAAGGATAGCAAGGCAGAGCCATCAACCGAGCCTCTCGGTCCCGTCGACAACTCCGACATCATCGAGAAGATTATGGAGGAGCCCAGCGGCGCCATCTTTGTCCGCCTCAAGCCGGAATCTGGCGACGAATCTTTTCAATTATTCTCCGAAGATGCCTGGAAGATGGTCGTCGACTGGTATGGCGTCAAAGACGGCCAGCCGGCCATTGTTCGCACTGCTATCAACACTGCCGAGCACGACGCCGAACCCAACATCATGTACGAGTACCACCCGCCAATCTTCCAAATCCACCGCCTGTGGTCCGAGGTCAGCCCGCTCCCCATCGAGCAGTCTCTCAAGGCTAAGGATCCTACCCCTCTTTTACTCCCCCGAAGCCGCAACTATCACGCCCAGACCTTCATCAGGGAGATCAAGACGTACACGGGAGTCCCCATGGACCGTAAGGTCCGCTTGTGGCTGATCCCCCAGACAATACCCGTCCCTGGCCCCTCCGAACCTCGCCGTGCCCTTACTCCCCCGGATTCTCCTGGTCGTGTCGGTGGCCAAGATCCCGCCGATTCATGGTCAAAGCTTCTGCTTGATGTTGCGACTTTCGCCCAGGTCCGGAATGAGAGGATTAAGGCTCCCCTTGACGACCAAACAGGCAACCCGAACTACAACGGTAGGGCGGCCCTGCAGCTTTACCAGCTTGTCACCGATCAGACCATCGTTATTGATGAGGCGGTTGACCAGTTCTGGGTCAGCACCTATACTGGCCGTCAGCGTGGGAACGACAAGGCCATTCCAACTCGGGGCAATGCACTGGCTTCCGCCTCTGCTCCAGTCAGTGGCCGAAATAGTCCCGCTCCCGGCGGTCCTTTGACTCGAGGTCGGGCCCAGAAGAAATCCGGTCGCAGCATCGGTGCCGTCGGCCTTCAGAACCTAGGAAACACGTGCTACATGAACTCCGCCCTGCAGTGTGTTCGCAGTGTGGAGGAGTTGACCAAATACTTCCTCACCGGCACCTACTCTGATGAGGTGAACAAAGCCAATCCATTGGGCTACAACGGCAAGGTTGCCATGGCGTATGGAAACCTGCTCAAAGAGATCTACATGGAGGGCAAGGGCTCGGTGAGCCCCCGAGACTTCAAGACCACCGTTGGCCGCTGCCGGAGCACTTTCTCCGGCTGGGGCCAACAAGATACCCAGGAGTTTCTTGGCTTCCTCCTCGATGGTCTTCAGGAGGATCTCAGCCGTATCAAGAACAAACCGTACATCGAGAAGCCCGACTCTACGGATGACATGGTCAACAACCCAGAAGCCATTAAAGAAATGGCGGATAAGGTGTGGGACATTACCCGTAAACGAGACGATTCCGTCATCGCCGACCTGTTCACCGGCATGTACAAGTCAACCCTAAAGTGCCCCGAGTGCGGCAAGATTAGCATCACCTTTGACCCCTTCAACAACTTGACCCTTCCGCTCCCTGTCGAGGACATGTGGGCAAAATCGGTCAAGTTCTTGCCGCTGAATGACGTGCCCGTGTTTATCGAGGTCGAATTGCCCAAGCATAGCGCTATTGAGCAACTTAAGCAGTTCCTATCCATTCGAACTGGCGTCCCTGTGGACCGCTTGATTGGAGCCGAAGAATTCAAAGATCGCTTCTTTAAGATCTATGACAACACCCAGGACATTTCCGAAGAGATCCAGTCGTCCGATGTCCCCACCATCCATGAGCTAGAGATTATTCCGACCAACTGGCCACACAAGGCTCGATCGACTAAGTACCGCTCTATGTTGGATATCGACACCCCTCTCGATGCTACAGAGTGGGACGACCCCCGCTATGAGAGGATGGTAGTACCTGTGTTCCATCGGCGACCGCAAAGCACTGGACGAGGTCAAGAAGGCGCCTCTCCCCCTCACTTCATCTGCTTGACAAAGGAGGAGGCATCCAACATCGACCTCATTCAACGAAAGGTGTTGGAGAAGATCGCCACATTCTCCACTTGGTCAAAATTCCAAGACTCAAATGAGGCCGAGACTTCAGATAACACTGACGGTGATGTTGTCATTACCTCCGCCTCAGATGCGGACTCTTCCGGCGATGGCAAGGTTGTTGCCCACTCGGTGGAAGGCGAGGATGATATTGTGGATGTTACCATGAAGGATGCTAATAGCACTCCCATGCATCAACCTAAGATGCTGAAGCAATTCAACACCAAGAGGCCCAAGTTCATTCAGCGAGATGGGTTCCTTGACCCCGAGCTCCAGAATCTATTCGAGCTCAGCTACTTCACAGACAACTCCGACGGCACCGTTCCCACGGGCTGGTCAAATGTTGACCATCATCGGGCACTCCCTAAGGTCACGGATCGCATCCCTGAGCCTGCTACGGAGGAGGAGGATGAGCCAAGCCCCGAGAGTTCAAACAGCACGGCATCTACCAATGAAGAAGACAGTACCAACGACGAGAGCTCCAAGACCGAGGAAAACCAAACCCGTATGATCGATGAGTCTAGCGAGGAAGATGCCCTTCAGCCTGCTCGAGTAAGTACATCATCTAGTCTCCACATCACGCGCTCGTTTCGCTAACAAGGAAAAGGTTGGTCCGCGGGCGTCAAAGCTAGGCCCTGGCGGGCGCAAGAAGTTCAAGGGCAACATGAAATACGGCAAGAAGGCCAACAAGCGTCGCGAGAAGCAGGCGCGAAACGGAAAGGCCCAGAAGTTGACCGCCGTAAAGCCCCAGCCTACACCTCCCGCAGTCGCCGATGGTGGCCCGTTGATCCGACTCGGTGAGGGTCTGGTGGTTGACTGGAATGAGGACGCTTGGGAGAAGGTCTTCGGTGCCTCCCCAAGAAACCCCACCGAGGATCAAGGCACAAGGACTTTCGTCGAGCTGGAGAGTCTCAATGATCCTGCTCTGAAGATTAGCCAGAGGAGACGTCACCATCGCCGAACGCGTGGTATCACGCTTGAGGAGTGTCTGGACGAATTTGAGAGGGCCGAGATTCTTTCCGAGCAGGATATGTGGTACTGCCCGCGCTGTAAGGAACATCGACGAGCGAGCAAGAAGTTCGACTTGTGGAAGACACCAGACATTCTTGTGGCTCATCTGAAGCGATTCAGCAGCTCTGGATGGCGCCGGGACAAGCTGGATGTGCTCGTCGATTTCCCCATTGAGGGACTGGACCTCACGACGCGGGTTATCCAGAAAGAGGAGGGTAAAGACGAAGTTTACGATCTGATCGCTGTTGACGACCACTACGGTGGCCTTGGAGGCGGCCATTACACGGCGTATGCCAAGAACTTTGTAGACGGGCGTTGGTACAATTACAATGGTAAGAGACGAACCCTATCTGCTACTCAAATCCTGTCATGCTAACCACAACTCAGATTCATCTGTCAGCCATGTTGCAGACCCGACAACCGCCATCACTGAGGCCGCATATTTGCTCTTCTATCGCCGTCGATCCAGCACCCCTTTAGGCGGATCACGGTTTGGAGTCATCTCTGAGAAGTATGACGACGACGATGAAGACGACGACGACGAGACAGAGGCGGGGGAAGGTCAGCGTCTCGGCGAGGGTTCCTCCCTGAATGGGTCGTCGGGCGCTGGGATCGGAGCCGTAGCAACTCGCCATCAAGCCAGTCATGGTTCGGATAAAGTCGCTGTCACTTCATTGCCGACAGCGGATGAGGAGGACGAACTCCCCGCCTACGAGGGTCCCAACCGAATTGAGTCACTCCTCGATAGCATCGAGGACGAGGGCGTGGATATCAAGAACTCCTATCAGCCCGTGGGTGCCAAGTCCTTGAATCTCACTCAGCCTTGGAACTTTGAGGCTCTGGGTGGCAGCGGTGCTGAGGACTCTACGGGAGCCGAATTTGCCAGTGATGAGGTGCAGATGGACTCATCTGCAGATGAGCAGGTCCTCGGTCAAGAGTACTACGATCCCGACACTGAAATGACGGGAGCTAATGCGGCGGACGAGCACGCGGAGCCTCCGGCACCCAACGAGGGTGCACAAGCAGCGCTTGCGGACATCCAGAACGCCGCTTGGGAGCGCAAGGCCGTCATCTCGGTGCCCACGGCAGCGGAGAGCGACCACGACTCGAACGAGGTTGCTGAGATCCATCTCGGGGGCGATAAGGGAGCCCGTCCCGAGTAGACTCGTGATCCGAAACAGCTCGGCGAGACGCCGCGGGTGTGGTTGTCCAAGAACAGTAACGGCGGTACGACTTTAACGTGGGACACTGACGAAAGGTACGTCATGGCATGAAGGGAATGAATGAACGGGACTCTGGGAGAGCAACATGTCGGGGAGGGTGTAGATAGAGAGATAGACGCAGCGCGCGTGCACGCTCACACATTGGCCTCGCATCTGCACGAAGGGACAACGGCGTTTGGCTGCATGAACCATGTCTGCGGAGTGGACATGTGGATTAAGAAGAAAAAAAATACCGATATCTGTCACAGGAAATAATGAATTGGAAGTGTCGATGACTTCTTTTCGGCCGTCGCCGAACGGAGGTGGTCCGTGTGAATGTGACGTGAACTACGTACTACGGTACTCCGCGGACGGTACTCCGTAGTACGCTCAAAGATGCATTGAAGACGAGTGACGCAGATCGCGACTTCAAACACCGGCTTCTCCATCGTGCCGAGCGGCAGCGGGGTACGGCATCTCCATCCCCGAGCCGCGTCAGGTAAAGTCAAAAAGGCGATTGACAAGAAAACCCATATCATTACGAAGCAGAGCAAAGTGTATTATCGATAGTCGATGTAATAGGTAGCAGTCACAAAGCTACGTCAGTCGGAGCGCTGAGCCTTGAGTTTCGTGCTATTGGTAGACCTGACCAGCTCGTTCGGGTACGGCTGAGCCACGTGACGCCGTCCATGGTCATGGTTATCCCCAGTTGGCAAGCCCTGGTCATTGCGAAGATAAGGGCGTCGACCCTGGGGGAGGCCCGACCGGGGGTGCGCAGAAACCCAGCCCGGCGTTTCGGGAGCCTTCTGTGAGTGACTGCTGCTAACCCGGGTCGCGATGTTGTGACAGGTGTTGGCCGTGCGCCGGAGAGCTTCCCCTCGGTTGCAGATGAGGAGTGGAATTGAGAGGTCAATACGGATAGTTGGGATATTCGCACAGCAGATGGTGAATAGATGCGCCCCAGGTACAGACAGATTGACAGATAGGGTACATGCCATGCAGTCCAGGGAACCAGGGCCCAGCTTCGGGGCTTGGCAGGGTTGCCAGGGCATAGCTTCGACCTGTCGGCTTCCCCACTCTGACGGGCTGAAATTAAGCGGGGAACGGCCGCTCGTTTGAGGGCGCGCGGCGGGCGTGGGCACAATGTCGTACAGCCTGCTCCGTACAGTACGGACGTATGTCCGCGGGGATGGGGGATCGCGCTGGCTGGTGGCGAGCTGGTAAGTGAGTTGGCTGACAGCTTCGTTGCGGGCGGCTAGAAGGCAAGCCAATGTGGTGGTCCCATGGTTAGGCGATCGCTCTTGGTCGGGACGAGGCTCCGGGTCGTTGGGTCGCGTGGTCTTGTCTTGATCACTAACCCTTGCACGTCTTGTTTGCCATCTGAAGGATCGATGTCGATGTCAAGAATTAAGCCTCAGCCTCACCAACTAGACAGAGAGCGATCTAGCTTTGCTTAGAACCGCCTTTAATCGCCTTGAGTCGTTCTTGGCCAGGGTCGCAGGCTTGGCACGCAGGCTTCTCCCACCCTTGTCACCCCGTTACTGACCTGCCTATGAAGGGAGGTAATCGTCAGGTCTGGTTGCTATCTGGGGTGACGAGCGGGGGACGGAGCTAGGCATCCTGTAGATCCCAGACTGCGATCCAATGCTTCGTTTGGTGTCCCGAAGAATGCGGACAGCAGCGACTCATACGTATGAATATCCGCCTTGAGGCATTGTTGTTGGCCATGGACAAGCGATCAATGCTTAGTTACATGGGTCTCATGGCCGTGGAGAAGACAAAGGAGCCTCATCTCTTGCTCTCGGGCACGTAATAATGGGCGGAACTGTCAGGTTCGGCCCCGAAGATAGGGCGCTTGTGGAGGCCAGCGGGGCGGTTTCCGTGCTACGTCAACTAGCAGCGGGCAGAACAGCCCGGAGGGGAAGTCGGAAGGTGACGCAAGATCGTAGACGGAGCTGGTAACTTCAAAAGGCTTTGGGAACTGAGGGGTCTGAGGAGGATGGTCGAGACCATAGCCCAGATGAGGCATAGTAGACAGGCGAGGCCTAAAACGAGGGGAAGGACGGATTGAATGTGGGCACACTTGTTTGGGAGATGCGGATAAGAAGAGTTGTGGCCGAACCAATGTCAAACCAAGGTCAGCGGGCTTGTCCGCTTTGGGGAGGTTGACGTGTAGTACCTCGGCTGATGATGGAGGATTATGGAGTCGATGGAGTCGATGGAGTCGATAAACATAATTGTTTCGCTTGGCTCGTTGACTGAGCGATTAGAAGATTATGTGAGGTGATAAGATGGCAATTCTTGCGAGAGAGGCAGAGCGCCGAGTGGAGTGGATGGAGCATCATAGATTTGATGTGGATGTCCCCATGTCGTCAACAAGCCAGGACCGTCAAGCCAGAATCAATGGCAGCTGCAGCAGCAACGCCATCGCCATGGCTGGGTAACTGAGATGAATTCAACGGGCGACCGGGCTGGCGGACAGGAATAACCCAGCGCAATGCCGCATTGGCGATGCTGGTCGAGAACAGGATGATCCCCCATCTCAGAATCCCGCTAAATCACTGCTTCTTCTGGAGACCGATGGTTCCCTGGTCTTATTAGTCGGGCGCGCCAGATGGGCGGGAAAATCCCTGGGATCTGCCTCTGCACAATCCCCCATCCCCTGCAAACTCCGCTAGCGAATCCCGTTGGTCGAGCTGGATCGTGAGAGTCCTGGCTTGGCCACATTCGGCATTGGTTCTGGAGCCTCTCTGGCGTTGGGTCTTGGAATACGTACTTCGTAGTCCGCAGCAGTGGCGCTTTCTGGCCAGACTGAGGACTCAGTCGATACGAGGGCGCAGACGCAGGCGATAGTCGAAGCTCGAAAGATTACCTAACTGAAAGCGTGGGCTCCCTGGATTGAATAAGATGCATTCCTCGCAGACCATCAAAGGACGGCGAGATGGCGACAGAAACAGGGAAACGCGACCAAGCCCGACTGCAAGCACTCTGGTCCTGTTCCGGAGTATCTCGTCAAACCTTTCCCCATCTCAAAAATAAGATGCTGATCTTGGCTGAGACAGGAAAGGCAGATCCATCGACGTGGACGAGAGTTTCGATTTGGTGTGGTGTGCCAGATGCGGGGCAACACATCCATCCACGGGCATTTTCTGATAGCGCAGATGGAATGGCGGGACGGGACCCAAGGATCTCCGTCCAAAAGCCGTGACCAGCAAAGTCACAGTTGTATGGATTTGGCGTGGGCTTGAACTTAGGCTTGAGCTTGGGTTTTTTCGCTCGCGAATGGGGAATGAGAATGGGAATGGGATGAGATGAGATGGAGTGTGGGAAGCCGGGGTGCGCGGAGCTCTCATCCGATGCAGGTGCACTGTACGTACATGACCTACGTAGCACCACCTTACATACCTAGCACCATAGCACCTGCTACTGCACTGTTGCACCGACTCAGCTACTGCACGTGCAGCGCACAGAGCACAGGGCAGTTGCAGTTTCTTGGTAGCACCTTCCATCTAGGTAGGAGGAAACCGACGCACAGTAGACACTGTAGCAGTACTATAGGTCCATGCGTACATGTAGCTGTGTAGGTACCGTGCACTACCTATATCCCGGCCTGCACCTTGCATTTCGGCAGGTTTCTGACGAGTTGTAGCTCTAGTGGGGCGTTAGACGATAGAAAGCGGCTGGGGGAGGGGAGGAGAAACACCTCCACTGTGATGTGATGCGATGCGATGTGATGCGATGTGATGCGATGTGATGTGATGTTATGTGACGTTATGTCGCACAAGCACAGTGCGCAAGGAGCCTCGGAATCAGCAAAGGAAGCCCAGAGAGAAGATGAATAGAAAAGAAAAGAAAAGTGAGAGGGGGGCTGTGCAGGGTGCAGGTCGCAGGTCGCAGGGATACAGGGTTCAGAGTGCGCCACATGGATGGAATGGAATCCTTCCATCGAAGGCTTCGATGGGGGCGAGGGAAGGAAAAGGGTTCCACTGTCCACACTGAGCCGCTGGTGAGACCTGGAACACAGAGACTGGGCACAGAGAGAGTGGCCACAAGACAGAGACTGGGCGGGCACAGAGACTGGGCAATCGCAAGGCCCTCCCCGGTTCACACTTCACAGTGCTGTGCGACAGTGGTCTGAGACTGTGTTGCCTGCCCACCTCAGACTTGCGAGTTGACGCCCAGACAAACCCAACAGGCTGGTTGGTTCTCAGGCTCCAAGCTGGTTCCGGACTGGGCTGCAGGCTGCAGAGCCGGCCTGGGACCTGCACGAAACTCGAGAGGAGAGAGGAAAGATGTGGCACCATGACCTATCCACCGTCCACGGCAGTGGCCCCATGGACTGTGTGCGCTCCGTACTCTATACTCCATACTCCATACTCCGCCCTCACTCCGCACTCCGTCCTCTGTCGACTGCTCGCTGTCGTCCGCCCGGCTGTACCATCCGGCCCCTTGGAACGCTGCGACTCTGCGCTGCACGGCGCTCCACTGCACTGTACGAACACGTACCTCCACCCCGTACCGGCGGACAGGGCACCGGAGAGCCAGACACGGGGGCCACGGGCTGCCACCCCAGACGCGGCGAGCGATGAAGAGCTGAGCGTCTCTCTCCGAGGGCTGCTGTAGCTACCAGCAGGGTACGGTACGGTCCACTACCTGTCCAGCTCCAGAGACCCCTTTCGCCGCGACCTTGCGCCTGCGACCCCCCCCCTAAAGGCAGTGAAAGGTGTTGGGTTGGCGCACAGCTGGTGCAGCTCCCCTGTATCGCACAGGTATCCCCTCCCCTGCAAGCTCTGCAGGCCCCGCACGCCCCGCACGCCCTGCGCGCCTTGCACTAAAGTGGTCGTGGCGTGTACTAGGGCCAAGTTACTGGCTGCACCAACCTTTTCGTCCAGGCTTCGAGAATGATTCCCGGTGCCCCCGTGGCCGTCGCGGCCTGTCCCTTGTCACTTGGGTGGGAACTGTGGCAATTCCAGATTCTCGAAGACAGCCAGAAGACTTCCAAGCGACCGCCTGGACCCGCTCGAACCCCTCCGGAAGTGCTCCATCCTGCTTCCACCCAATCCATCGCCCGCTCTCGCCCGCTCTCATTGGCTGCTATTGTTCCCAAACCCTCATCCAGCCACAGCCTTCCACCCCGGCCCAAGGCGTGGATGCCTTGATGCCTCGTGCCGCGTGCCCCATGCCGCGTGCTCTACGCGTGCTCTCACCCTCTATTCCGGGCGACGACCACCATCGTCGACGGCGCACAAAAAATGGACACGGCCATGGCGACTGGGCGACTGGGCGACCTCGATGCTGGTGGGTTCTGCTCCCCTACTTCTGTCACCCCATCTCATCGAGGCCGCCGTGGTAGCACAGACTGTTCATGGGGCAAGGGGCATGGTTCGTGGCTACCACTCTACCACTCTACCACTCTGTTGACCCCCCGTCTCACCTGAAGTGTGCCCCCAAACCATCAACTCCAAGGAGCTCTCCCCCCCCTTTTGCCTCCCGGAGCCAGCGAGACCTCCCCTGCTGCCGGCCGTTTCGTTGTGGTAGAATCCTACCTCCTACTATCTCGCCGCCGCTGTAGCCCGGACGGGTCTTGCTAGCCCCCCGTCTCATCCGCCAGCACAGCAGCCAGGCCGCTCCAACACCCCATTCCCTTCCCTTCCCTTTCCCGTCCCATCCAAACCCGCAATCCCTTCCCCCACTCGCCTCGCTCGCGCTCCCGCTAAGACTCTTACACACACCCACCCACGCCGCTGGCCCACGCCCCCTCGCCTCTTCATACTCACCCTTACCCTTCCTCTCGTGCTCCTCGCCCTCCTCTTCACCCGCAATCCATCCTCTTGGTGCCACTGGCTTACCACCAACCAACCTGACTGGCCTGTCTGCTTCCTCGCCGTAAAAACAAGCAATAGACAGCCCTAGCAGCAGACTCCTCCTCCTCCTCCTCCTCCTCTCTACTTTTGCGCCAGCTTTTGCGCCAACCTTGGCGTAAACCACACCGGGCTGCTCTCTTCTCTCAACCGCCGGATCTTCTGATCCAGCTTTGTCTTCCCCAGGCCCACTGCGTCATCCCCGTCATAGCCTGTTTTCTTTTTTCCCTCTCTTCTTTCATTGTTCCTTTTTTCACCTTTCTTTTTCCCGCCTTGCGCGAAACCATTATTTTTCTTTTCACCCCGTCCTAACCCCCCCCCCCCCCGGAGTCTCCTGCCGTCTCTGCTCTCAGGCCCTTGCTGTCTTGCCCGGGTTAGCAAAAGTCGCTTTCCCTCCCCCCCCGGCTCCGAGACCTTCTCATCCTCGCCCTCACTCTTCCTCTGCATCCCACCCCGACCGACTCTTGACTTATTCCGTTCCTTGGTCAATTCGACTCGTCGACTTCGGCCATCGATCCGGTCAGATCTGGCTCGCCCCTGATTCTCTTCTCCACGCTTTGGCCGCGCCGTGACCACGTTCGATCACACGTCTCCCGGCTTCGCTTTTTCTCGCTTTTTCTCGCCTCAACTTGACTTTGCGTCGCCCGCTGCTTCTCAAGAGACACTTCCCATCACCTGGTCGTCGCACGAGCATCATCGCGTCTCTCACGCTCTGCCATCTGCCCTCCTCCTCGGGCCGTTTTGTCCTCCGTCGCCACCACGCCCTGTCCCTACTCTTGCAGCTTGCTCGCAGATCGCTTCTCCCCGGTCCCCAGCTGCCGCGACGCTCGATACCCTTACCCTACTTTCTTTCCCTGTCCTGGTTCCTACCTGACCAGGCCCCGACACCCTCCAGCTATCGCTGGCGAGCTCGTGTTATTGGAGTACCTCCTGGTAAGACCCCAAAGCTTGCATGCTTCTGACACCATCGTGCTTGCACACGCGTGCTCGGCCCTTGACCCGCCCAGACACACAATACACCCTAAAGACGGCAGCTTGTCCCCTACTACCAAGCTTTGCCTGTCGATGCCCTTCTGTCCGCTGTCTCATACCCCATCTCAGCCTGCCCAACCTATTCCATCCTGCCCGCCTTCTATCCACCTTCCCCCATCCCCCGGCACCATTTACATCTCGCCCTCCCCTCCGCTTCCCTTCCTCTCCTGCCCGCTTCCTCCTCCCAGCTCTGCGTGCGCGTGTTCCCTCCACTCACTGCCCACTGGGCTCGTTCCACGGTCGATTCGTCCCCGCTGACCATTTCTTCTCAACCTCCAGCTTCGACTCCTTCTTCCATCCATCTAAAATTCGTTCTGTTGGCAGTCGTGACCGCGACACCCACGTTAACCGCGAAACCAGGAATCTCGTCCTACGATTCCACGAAGCCCACCATTCTCCCGAGCCACCCGTCGCGCTCGATCGTCGTCGATACACCTTGCGATCGCTTGAATGCTTCGCAAACCCTGAGTCGCGCTTACGTTGATTCGTTTGGGTGTCGCCAAACATAAACCTCGATCCACGATAGGTCCCAGCTCATTGCTTGAATACGGCTTCGAATCGCAAATCGCCCCAAGTCTTCTCGGCAAGATATTTCCATCTTTGTGTCCATATAGGCTCTACTTTTGTACCCATATAGCCTCTTGGTTCGGTCGATCGATTGCCCGAAGGGCCGCGGTGCTCCAGTCGTGAGACTGGTAGGTCGCCATGAACGCCATGGAACGCGCCGCCTGCAACGTCATATATGTTGATCGCAATGTGTGCGAGGAGGGATTGATTCATTCTCTTGCCAGTAAGGCAAAAAATGATCCACCGAGCTGGGAATCTGGCGAGGCGAGGCAAGCCATCCAGCCTCTGCTAGATGCCTTCGGTGATGGTTGGTTCCTCCACTCCCCTACTCGGCTCGATGTTGCTAACCGCCCGATCAGTCCACGTGTGCGCTACAGGTGCCGCCTGCCTATCAAAACTCTTTGAACTTCAAGAGGGATCTATGCTCGATCTGAAGCCGACTGTTGTGCTACTCGATACTCCTCACGATGAGCGCGTCCCCGAGCCGCGAACCAGATCCATGTCACCCTCGCCCTCCTGCGAGTCTGATGAGGGAGCCGATATCCACACTCCGGATGAAGCCCTTTATGGCTTAGATTTGCTGCAGAAAATCATCACCGAGGCTCACCTACGAGGGATGTCTAAATTGGTTGTCCCAATTCCCATGATCAGTGGCTCAGAGGAGTCCACATCCGCCACCGAGCAGATGACCGACGGAGCCGTCGAGCCATTCACCGCACCGCTAGGCTCCCTTGCCTCCAATCGCCGACTGATAAGGAGATGCCTGGACCTTGGCGCTGTCGACATCATTATCAGCCCTCTGAGTTCGAAATGCATCACATCGTTGGAAATATGTGCTTATCGGGCTCATAGGGATGCCGCGCGAGAGCAGCAGGCCCTGATGGAGATCAGACAGGGAAGGAAAAGATCATGGGTCGGCGTTAACGAGGAAAAGCCGTTCGCCTACCTTCGCGAAGCCATGGTCTCAGGCCTGATGAAAGGCATATGCCGATTGTCCTCTTCCAACGACGATCAAATCAATAAGGCTCATATTGCAGTCTCCTCGGAGCGACAGGCCGCCATCGCAGTTGCGGTGGGGAGCTGGCATTTCTGTGCCCACTCCTTCACCGATGATGAATTGTTGGTGGCTGCTATGGCTATGTTCAAACATGCACTGTCAATGTCCGAACTCGAACGATGGCGGATCCCAGCAGGTAAGTCAGGCTCTCTCATCTCCATCTCCGCTTAACTCTGTTCGCACCCATGCTCACCTACCACCAGACCAGCTCATCTCTTTTCTCGTGGCTTGTCGCGCTGCCTACAACAGCTTTGTTCCGTACCACAACTTCCGACACGTAGTGGATGTCTTGCAGGCGACCTTCAACTTCTTAGTGCGCATCGGTTCTCTCCCTCCTTATCCTCCAAATGCCCCAGCAAACTCGATCCCCGAAAAGTCCCCGATGGCATCCTTGGTTACACCCTTTGAGGCCTTGACTCTGCTCATTACCGCTATCGGCCATGATGTCGGGCACCCTGGTGTCAACAACGGTTTCCTAGTCACCCTCAACGCACCACTGGCACAATTGTACAATGACCGATCAGTGCTCGAGTCATTCCACTGTGCGGCCTACTCCCAAATCCTTCGCCGCTACTGGCCGGCAGCCTTCGAGGACACCAAAATGCGCAACCTGATGATCAGCTCTATACTGGCAACTGACATGGGCTTACATTTTGACTATATGAAGAAGCTCGGCGATGTTCAGGAACGCCTGCAGGTGAGCAACAGCACTGACGGTTGGAATGGGCGACAGTTGGAAGAGAACAGAACCCTGGCCTGCTCTTTGTTGATCAAATGTGCTGATATTAGCAACGTGGTATGTACAAACCTCTCTAATGCAACCGAGCCGAACTTGACCGCTAACTCTTGCCCAGGCGAGAAACCACGAGACCGCGCTGCAATGGACCTACATTCTCTCAGAAGAGTTTTCTCGGCAGGCATCGATGGAAAGCGAGTTGGGGATTCAATCATCGCTCATGTCTCCACCCAAACAGGACATGACATCACTGTCTAAGGGCCAGTTGGGCTTCATGAACCTATTTGCAACTCCTCTATTCCAAGGCGTCGCCGACATCATGCCCGCCATGCAGTACACGGTCGATGAGCTCGAAATGAATAAGGCTCGTTTCGAACAGAAGTTGCAGGAAGAGAAGGCAAAGGTACAAAAGGATGACCCGGTTCGGAGGCGCCTTTTGAAATTAGAGGGCACCTTTTCCCCCAGAACTATGAGTTTTGCGGTTCCAGTGGAAGAAGAAAACAAGGACTCGACGCAGATTGACGCAGACCGGAAATCAGACACAACTCCGGTAGGCAATGGAGTGCTTCCAATCCCACATGTCGATGGGCACGACTCGTCACCGGTTGACAGTCAGCCAACCCCGGATTTCTCCCAGGCTCTCAGCACTCTCGAAGAATTTAAGAAAATGAATGGGTCAACATCGACATTTGACGCCGTCCGAGAGCTGGCGAACAGCGATCCATTCCACACGCGGAACCGAGAAGACAGTGGTGCAGATGGGAAGTCGATACCTTCTGGGAAGCAGCGGTCTAGTGAAACCACTGAAGGAAGCGTGTCTGGCACTTGCTCTGGGGACTGGGCTTCACAGGCAACCAGTGCTACGACAGGAAAGATGCCCATGTCGCCAAGCACGCGAGGCACGAGCATCGTCAGCAGGGAGTCTACGGAACACCCCATGGAAATTCCCACAATTAACGTTTCGTCCCCAAGCTTGAACGATCCATCCGGAATGGCGTATCACGACAGCTCAGTCGGCGATGACGAAACGAGATCCATCGGCAGCAACGGTGGCAGCACTGGCGGAAGCATTGGTGGCAGCATTGGAAAAGCGGAGGGCAAGTCCCTCCGGAAGAAGACGAGTCGATTTCGGATGAAGGACTTTCCATTCTTTAGGAGGCATAAGGGCTCGGGTTCACCATGCTCAACAACGGACTCGACCGGCTGAAGGGAGCAGCACAAAGCTCGTCAGTCAGCGCAGCGAGGTCGCACCTCGAGTTGTATGCCCTCCAGCAGCAGATACCGGGCGATAAAATGAGCCACGACAAACCCAATGCAATACGGGTGGATGCAATCGGAACCCTGGGCTCTTGCGTCCACGATGGCCAAGGTTATGTCGGGCGAAAGTCGCAGTAAGGCGATTGCGGTATATATATATGTACATTACGGAAAAGGGGACCTCCGTGACAGGTCAGGGCAAGTTGCAACTGGGAATATCGCCACCCCAGCAAAGTGCAGCTGTGCAGAGGGATCTTCACTCAGGATGGTCTGGAGCATAACTTTTTGGGAACAGGGGTTACTCGGGACCGGGACCGGGGACCGTGAAAGGGCGTTGGCGCAGGATTGGGATGGAATGAATGTCAATGTGTCTGGGTCAACGACGACAGGATGGGTTGTGGAGTCACTCACTGCTTTGATGGGATATATATGATAAGAGGGAAGGATGGTCTGTTGAGAATAGGATAACTGAGGTCCCATTGGGCGGATTGGGAGGGAACTCGGAGGTTCCACAACGACTCTACCGAAAGAGAAAGAAAGATATTCAAACATCAAACATGAAGAGCACATCAACAGCATATCCAGTTCAGTGAATGTATGTTCCGCCGACCGTCGGAGAGAGACCCTGGTGATTGATGAAAGCATGTTTATGCAGAGTCCAACAGCCGCATCGCCCGATCGCAAGACTCTAATCGCCGACACCACAAGAGTGCATCCGCCATTCCCCGCCGGATGGTTGCTTCTGCGCCTCTCGGACACCTTCTCACACCAATGCCCTTCCTCAATTCGATCTGTTCCTGCAGGTAAACAGGTCATGTTACCAGGTATATGACAAGGTGTTTGATTGGTGCCCATGTCTGGCGTGCGATGTCTGGTCTGACGGAGGTCCGGCGGCGCCGCTATTGGCCACAAGTTCCGAAGCTTGAAGCTGCGAAAACTGCCCTGTGGATCCTAGGGGGAAAGGTATGAGAAGGGGAATGAGAATGAAGGCGAAATCTCAAGGGTGCTTATCGGACTAACAAGACGAATTAGAAGTTGGCGGACGGAGATATTCTCCTCAAATAAAGCCGTATCTAGCCAACGAACCGAACGGCTTTCTTCTTCACTACACAACTAACTACCCCACGTCACCGTTGATGGGTTTGTGAATCTTTGAGCATTCTTCAAAAAAGTCATGTATCCATAAGCTGGCTCTATTGTAAGGCGATGAAGCGGCCAAGAATTATATTGTAGTATAGAGGACATTAATGTTCTTGTATTTGTGAAAGTCACGTATGACCCAACTTATCATGCCATTCTATATGTGGATACTTTCATTTCCGACTCCCTGAAACAATGCTGCCTTTTATTTCAATTGCATCCCGATATCCTCTATCCGTGGGCCCGTTGTAAAAATCAAATGCAGACTCATTAATTCTAGATTCCGAAAGCTGCTCTGGCCGACTTGCTGCTCCGAGCCAACCGGTCACCGTACCGGATGAAGACGAAGGGGATAACTCCCATGACCAGCGCCAGGAAACCCAGCAAGGACGGTGCCCAATGCAGTCCCAGGCTCGAATACATAGGTTGCGCGGCCAGGGGCAGCAAAATAGCGCCGGTCGACCGTGTCCAACTAGCCGCTGCATGGGCCGAAGCCGAAGACTGGCGGAATACATCTGTGAGGTAGTTGATCATGCCCATAAAGAGCAGCTGGACGCCCGCGCAAAAGAAGAAGCCGGATCCCAGCATCGCCACCACTGGAGGAACCGACTCCCAGACGGTCCAGCCTAGCCAGAAGAGTCCAATGACCATGCTGCGATGTGTCAGTCAAATCCGGTATCGTATTTTTCCAAGACTTACCATGGGGATGCAATACAAGCCAGTGGCAGTCGACGATAGATCTCGGATTTTGCCCATGCCTTACCAGTCTCTGCCTGGCGGTCACGATACCAGGTGAAAAAGAGAAATGTGCCCAAGGCTGCGATGGTGCCGACTATCACTAGAGTAGGGGAAAAGCGCAGGTTAGCCAGCAAACTCCAAAACCCCGAGAATATTATCTCAGACAATCCATCGGAGTAACTCACTTGGAATGTAGGCAAGGGATGCCATTCCTGCAGAGAGTCCATAGAAATCCTGGAAGATGATGGGGTATGCCTGAAACATGAGGTACAGGATAGAGTAGGCGAGTGTCAGGTAGGCCGAGGTGAACAGAAGGATGGGCTCGGTGAACAGGAGGGTGACGGGTCGGAGGAAGATCTTTCGGGCGTCGAAAGGGCGAAGAGTCTGCTGCTCGTCGAATACGCCAGTACTTTTCTTCATGTTCTTGCGCACCGCCTTGTTGTGAAGCACGGGGGCGTACGTCTCGGGGAGGGTAAGCACAAAGGGCATGCCCGGTACTGTGATCAAGGCAGCGATCCAGAAGGGCCACCGCCAGCCCATCGGGGACGAGAAACCGGAGATCATGGGTCCGATCAGGGGGCCTATCGTAGTGACGGTCATGTATAAGGCGATGGCGTTGCCCCGGACCGAGGGATCGTCAAGGATATCGGCGTAGAGCCCACCGATGACCGAGGTCGGCGCCGCAGCGTTGACGCCGCAGAGCATGCGGAAAATAAGAAGAGCGGCGTATTTGGGGGCGCCAGAGCAGGCGAGCATAAAGATGATGTAGCCCAAGAAAGTACCGATGAGGACCGGGCGACGGCCAATGTACTCGCTCAGGGGAGCGAAGAGCAGAGGGCCCAAGACATAACCGACCATGTACAGGGAGTTGAGGAGGACCAGGTGAGTGTGGTCTGTGACGCCGAATTGTTCTGAGATGGCATCGATGGCGCCCGAGGGCATTGAGGAGCCTAGGTTGCCGTTGAAAGTGCAGGTGAAGCCGGCGATGATGATGTGCAGCTTCCTCCACTATAAGTCCGAGCAGCATGTTAGTTTATCTTGGATATTGGTTGTGAATTCATGTGTATGTACGGGTGTGTGGTGTGTGCGTGCTTTGGATAGCTTCATGTTGAGGCTGCGATAGGGTGGGTTGGTTATCTACTAACCTTGGAGAACTTTGTTGGGTCCGGAGCTCCATTGTCCGACCAGCCAGATTCGTCAGATTCGTCGGAGCTGAGGGAAGTATCGACAATATCTTGGGGGACCGCGTTCTTCTCGACGTCAGTATCAACTCGAGTCTCTTTTAATGCCATGTTGCGGTCGTTAACACTGGCACTTGACAATTAATAATTAAAGTAGGGCAACGAACCAACCTAGACTACGAGCCTTCGACGTCTTATATCATTTCCATCCATGCGACTTCCCCGCTAGGGTATTCAATTCCAAGTGGGTATCTCGTTAATTTTTTTTTTCCTTTTCTGAATCTCCGATGGTGACCGAACGAGTCTTTGGTGTTGCATCTGTGGAGGCGAGTAAGTGCAACGAGAGCCACTTTCCTGCAATGAGTCGAAGACTTATCGGTGAGAAAGCGCCGCTATTGGTCAAACCGGCCGAAGGCTCTGGACTGGCAGGAAGTCTTTTAGGAAAGGCCGTTCCGCGGCACTGGGGCTCGGCTTTTAAGGCTCCACCCATTTCCGAGAACCAACTCCCGACTTACTCTTCCCATCACCAGCGCAGACGTGAACCGGCCATGTGATTCGATTAATCTGATCAATCGATGACTCTTCCGGTTAAACGAGCAGACGAACCATCTCGGTGGTCAGAAGTACCGAAGCCGTACGGACACTCCCTCCTTCAATTGACAGCCAGTACTCAGCTCTCAACTCCGCACCAGCAAGGACCATCCGTCACTAACGAGCTGTTCGTATTGGGTAACCATATCCACAGGGCGCGCGCCCTGCTGCCAATCTGCATACTGCAACATGTCAGTCGCAGGGCGTCTCACAGGGCGTCTCGCAGGGCGTCAAGCCGGTGCCCGCCCTCAAGATGCTCCCCAGCAAGCTTTACCGGGTGTCAAACGCAGAACCAGTATGGCTTCCCCTCCCGTTCAGTCCCTTTCTTGTTCCTCTGTGGTTATGGTTGTGGTCGATTGCCCTCAATTAACTCCTTGTTACTCTTGTTGCGTCGCTTATTATAGCACCCATGCTCGCGGCCTCGTTAAACATGTCATTCAATATCTTAACTAACACCTTGTCATCACCGCAGATGGTAGAGCCTGCATAACCTGCCACCAGCGCAAGGTCCGGTGCGACATTCTTACAAAGGGTCCTCCGTGTTCCAACTGTCAGTCTCAAGGAAGCTCGACATGTCGCTACTACGAGAAAAAGAAGTCAAGATCCACCCTGGTCCGTCATTCTCGCCGTAATGTTGCCATCCAACCGCGGGGCCAACAGATTGCCACAGCGCCTTCAACTCCGGTAGAAATGGACCACCCCTGGCCAGATGCCTCCATTCCTCATGTCGCCCATTCAGCTACAGTCTCAGCCGTGGCAACGGCAATGACAACGGTGTCGGAGAGTGGTGATATCCGCCGGGATCGGTATCAACGCCGTAGCTCCGGATCTGCATCCTCGTCCACTCGCGATGGCGATGGTGACGATGAACAGGGCACACGCAACTTAGCCGACTTTATTGACATCCAGGCTGTCAGGGTCACCGAGATCACCGATAATACTCGCATGTACTTCATCGGTACCGAATTCTCCAACCTGAACTATCTGGTCCGACAACGCTCTCGCCAGGTCAACCCAGACCGGGTCCATTTTGGGAGTCATCATCCTGCCCGAAAGCTGAGCCGCGTACCCGCCGAGGCACTTGAGATGCCTGAAAAAGCTCTAGCAGATGAATTAGTTCAGGCCTACTTCAATCATATCAACACCGGGTGGCCCATCGTCGATGAAGAGGACTTCATGACTAAATACAACTCCTCTCCCGATCCTCGAGAAACGATCCCGCTCCCTCTTCTCCATGCAGTCTTCCTTGTTGGGGCCCACGCTTCTGCCTCACGCCATAGTAATTACAGGGCTCTCAAGGCGCGCTTCTTCCGCCGGGCTAAGTTAATACTCGACTCCAGATTGGAGGAGGATCGCAGGGTATACGTCCAGGTTGCCCTCCTTCTGACCTGGAGCTGTGACAACCTTGAGGACATTGTTTCGAATTCGTGGTATTGGGTTGGTTTCGCCGCGCGAACAGCTCTAGGTCTGGGAATGCATCGTGATCTGACTCACTCTAGAATGGACCCCGTCCCTAAGCGAGAATGGACACGGCTGTGGTGGGTGCTGTTTCAGTTTGACGTGTTAATTTCGACTGCCAATGGTAAACCTCAAGCAATGTAAGTGCAGTTTATGCCCAGCTCTTGATCGAATATGATCCTAACCAAATCAAAAGACGCCTTGATGAGTCAGATGCCCTAGCTCTTCAGGAGCGTCACTTTGAAGGGGTCCCCCGGACCAACGCTGCCTTCGTCATAGAACACACTAGGTTATGTGTCATATTTTCCAAGTCTATGAGAAATGTCCTAGCGTTACGGTCAACTCCAGCTGAGAAAATCGAAGCAAGAAGACAGGCCGATGAAGCTCTTGCTCAGTTTATAATCCAACTGCCCGAAAGCCTCCGTCTACCTCAGCCTGAAGCTGATACCTGGCAATCCTTCCTTCATCTCAGCTACAATAACTTCCTCATTCTACTCCATCGGCCGCCTCCTCGGCAGAATCCTCGGCAAAATTTCGCTGAAGCCGCCAGCGATCTCAATATCTGCGGCGACGCTGTGGTCATCATAACCTCAATATTCGAGTCGTTACGTGCCAAAAGTGGCATGGGTCATCTAGCTATTCCGGCCATGTACGCCCTATTCACAGCACTTGTACATGTCAGCAGCGAATTGAACTCGCCCAACCCCCTAGTAGCGGCTAAGTCGATGCGGATGCTCGATTCTCTCCTGCTTTCTCTTCGCGAGCTATCCCAGCATTGGATTTTTGCACATAGTCTCCTGCGCCTTTTTGAGGAACGAACCATTTGGGATAACCATCAGAGCCGCCATAGTCACAATTCACAAGAGGCTTCGGCCACGGAAGCTAACCACCGTCCAGTCGATGGATCCCTTGGAGAGGGGCCTGAATTCTCTTTACGTCCCAATCCCATAAATATGGCGAGCGGGAACATGTCAAGTGTCAACATGTTCAACCCTGTCGAAAGCCCAAACAACATCACATTCACACCATCGTCCATCGTTTCCGCCCAGGGGTCTATCTATGCCGGTCATGCGAATGGGGGACTCGGCATGAGCCAGGGTGCCGAGACAGGTTCTAGGGATGTATTACAGGGACCGTCGTATGGCGAAAGCTTTGATGCTGGTTTAAACATGTCGCCAGATGCCTTACATACGATGCCCTTCCCGTTGGCACTGGATTTCTTGTTGGCGGGAATGGGTAATGAGTATGAATGTCTGTGAGTCATAGCTGCTTCTAGGTTATGTTGTTTTCCGGTGTTGGGTGTCATAGATAGGCTTGGGTAGAATAAGCATTTATAAGTAGTGATGATGGTTCTTAGGCTTTATTTCAATATGTGTTTTCGTGGCTACACCTGGATACAGGGGCAGACTCCAAAGCCTTGCTTTCAAAGTCGCCACATTTAATCGAGGCTTTCCCTCTAGGGTAGGTGCATTCTAGCCAGATCCCTTGTTACGGTGACAGATACAACAACTCATTTAGAAACCTCACCGTGGGCGCATATGCGCATCGGAGGTTTAGCAAGACAATGCGGCGCATTCTGTGCCAACCAAACGAAGCATTTTTCTGATCCCCGCCCGTCAAATCCTTGACATTGAGACACTGTCGTCATACACACACGGGCGTTTTGAAGGGCCAGGGCTCGCAGAGTCCCAGTGCAGTACCACCAGCATTTCCAGATTTCCGACAACAAAACCATCGAGAAATGGGCAGGGGTGGAATTGAATAATTGAAGAGTAATCGCTGAAGTACCATGTAGATTTGTAGAGCTGATGGAGCTGACGAGGGTGCTAAAATAGGTAGGATCGGAAGTGACCCCCACGGGGCCCGTGTGTCGGAGCTTCGATACCACCATATTCCCTGGCTGTCAAAGACGGGATCTACCGGCGTCCAATAGCACTGATTGTCTTGTGTTCTGTGTTTTGCGCTTTACTACCAACTATGGGATACTGCGTTAGTACACATCTGCCTCACAAGAGAGAGCGATTTCTCCTCTATTGCTCCTTCTTCCGAATGCACACCACACCAACCCGGAAAAGAGCTGTCGCCCCCTGCTAGTGCCACAGACCTCACCAGGGCAGGCGCTTCCCAAGCAAACATTCCACGGACAAGACGTCAGTCTTTATCTTTCAATGATTCCCGACAAGGCCGAGTCCGCATCGATTCGGCTTCTTGTATAATATCACAAGGTACAGTCTTCGCTACAGCCGGCGGAAGAGTAACCGTGACGGATGAGGGTTGTTCCAGTTCCAGTTCCAGTTCCAGTCCCATCAAATCGCTTTCTCCGCCTTCCATCGCCATCATGGCATCTCAGGCTCCCGTGGCCACGACCCTGCCAGACGCTCCGCCCGACGACTTCTTGAACCCAACCCAATGGCGCGTCGTTTATGCTCTCCTCGACGGTGCCCTCCCCTCCATCACCTCCAAGACCGCCCTTAAGGACAAAGATGGTCAGATCATCCTCCCCGACCATGAGCTGGATCGCGTGCTCGAGGACGCACTCGCGTCGCTCGCCGGCCCTGCCACTAAGCGGAACCTCCTAGAATTCCTCGAGGAACGACCATCAGACGACGCTCGCTTCCGGGAGAACGTCTTGAGAACGCTGAGCCTCACTCCTCCAGACCAACAGCGCAGGCTGGCCGGGTTCCTGAGCCTGATGGCGTGAGTCTGGTTTCCGCCTATGAGCCCAATCGCATCATAAAAGCTGATTGGACATCGCAGCACTCGGCCGGGAAGTCTTCTTCTCACCGGCTACTGGCAACCCGTCTATAATCAGCCCACCCAGGTTCGGGAAGCCATCCTGAAGTCGTGGCTCGCTTCTAGAAGAGTCCGTATCAGGACCCTTGCCAAGACATTTACAACATTGGCCCTCAAGACAACGGCTCACACCAACAAGATCCTTCACGAGCTATCGGGGTATAGGGATACGCCTCAGGACTGGAAGCCTGGCCAAGGCTTCGATTTCAAGTTTATCCAGTTCGAATCCGATCAAAACGACCAAGTTCTCGAGGCCGACGTCGCCATCGTCGGTTCCGGCTGCGGTGGAGGCGTGAGTGCCAAAAACCTCGCCGAGGCGGGCCACAAGGTCCTCGTAGTAGACAAGGCGTATCACTTCCCTCCCACCCAACTCCCTATGACCCAGGATGCCGCATGCAACTACCTCTACGACAACAACGGCTTTTACATTACCGAAGATAGCGGATGTAACGTATCCGCAGGTAGTGCGTGGGGCGGAGGAGGCACTGTTAACTGGAGCGTGTGTCTACGACTGCAGGACTCTGTGCGAAAGGAATGGGCCGACACTGGCCTCCCATTCTTCGAATCACCAGAGTTTGATGAGTGTACCGACCGCGTATGGGACGTGCAAGGAGCAGGGACAGGTCAGATCCGCCACAACCACCGCAACCAGGTTTTGCTTAACGGCAGCAAGAAGCTCGGCTGGGCAGCTCGCGAAACTCCCCTGAATACGGCAGGCAAAGAACATTACTGTGGCCACTGCCATCTAGGATGCGGTTCGGCAGAGAAACGAGGTCCGGCACAAAGCTGGCTCCCAGATGCCGCGCAGGCGGGAACTCAGTTCATAGAAGGCCTCAATGTCGAAAAGATATTGTTCGAGGAAGATGGGCAGACAGCTATCGGGATCGAGGGCGAGTGGACGTCGAGGGATGCGGCGGGTGGTGTGAGCGGGCCGGATAGCGAGAGAGTGAAGAGGCGAGTAATCATCAGGGCCAAGAAGGTCGTCATCGCCGCCGGCACGCTCTGGAGTCCGATGGTCTTGATGAAGAGTGGAATCAATGTGAGTTGTGAAAGCATTGGGCCCTGCAGATATAGTTGTGGAACTGACCGATTCACTAGAACCAACATCTCGGGTCAAACTTGCATCTCCACCCTTGCAACATCGTCACAGCCGTATACAAAGAAGAGACACGGCCGTGGGAGGGAGGAATCATTACCAGCGTCTGCTCGGAGTTTGAAAACCTCGATGGGGTCGGCCATGGCGTCAAGCTGGAGACGACATGTATGGTGGTAAGGAGCGGTCTATATCTCGAGACCTTGCCGCATCAAAGCTGACCTGGCGTATATTAGCCCTATGCGGTTTTCTCCACGCTTCCTTGGAGAAGTGGACTGGACGCAAAGTTGGAGATGATCAAGTATCGCCACACCGACGGTTGGGTTTCCATCACGCGGGATCGCGACACCGGCAAGGTGTTCCCGGACCCGACAACAGGCCGGCCCCGGATCGAATACACTCCCTCCGACTACGACCGGTCCCACACTCTACAGGGCGTCCAGTCTCTCTCCAAACTCTGCTATGTCACGGGGGCGACAGAGATTCGCCCCTTGCTGACGGGCCTCGAACCTTTTATCCGGTCCGTGGCGCCGTCATCCGAGAATACCCTCGAGGCCGGCGGCCCAGTCCCCGACCCAGAGACCAACGACCCGGCCTTTGCCGCTTGGCTGGCGCGAGTCCGCGAGGTTGGCAACAAGCCGCCTGCGACGATGTGGTCGTCGGCCCACCAGATGGGTACCTGTCGCATGAGTGCGAGCCCAGACGAGGGAGTGGTGGACGAGAAGGGCCGGGTCTGGGGCACTCACAACCTCTACGTTGCCGACGGTAGCGTGTTCCCCAGCGCCAGTGGAGTGAACCCTATGGTTACCATCATGGCCATTGCGGATTGGATATCTCGAGGTGTGGATGCCGACCTGAAGGCGCAATGAGGCTGGCTGAACTTCGCTATCTGCAAACGCAGTGGATAGGGGGAGGGGAGTCACAAGTCCCCTAGTGTGTGTACATGATCCTTGGAGCTATGTGATCAATTGGATATCGCAATGAGCAAAGATAGACCCTTTACGCGAATGCGGACAGATAATTGATGAATACCTATGACGCGTGAGCCTCTCTCGCGCCGTATTCGGCATCGCAGTGACGCGCGATGCAGCCATGGCCGCACTCGCAACTCCCCCTCACGCAAACAGGGCCGGAAGGATGCAGCTCCGGGGCCTCTTCCAGTCAGTCAACAGCGGCAACTTATTCTCGCCGGGATGTTCGGTAGAGGCCCTGCGAGATCGTCAGGTGGCCACGGCCAAGGGAAGGGTGGTCAGTCATGCGCATCGTTGCAGCGAGCGCATAGCGAAACCCATCAGCCACGAAGCGAGAGCGGCGAGAAGGCCAAGGCCGCGAGCCGAAGGAGTGGCGGCCCCCTGCATCTACGTCAGCGAATCTGGGATGCTCGACCGAGCCAGGACGACCAAAATAAGAAGAAGCGGATTTCATGTGGCGAGCTGGGATCGCAAAGCGTTAGTAGAGACCCAGGAGAACGGTAGCTGGTGCCACGTTGGAAGAGCCAGCCAGGTTTGTGGCTCGTGGATCTGGATCGACAACTTATCGCCGGTTGCGAGGCTCGAAAAGCGGTGGTTGATTGACCGATTGACGCGGGTTACTAATTAGCGTAGGCCTCCCGTCCCGCAGACCCGGGTACCTACTGTAGATACAGTCAGTATGGGGTGGCGCCACAAGCACCGCCACGGCCACGGCGGAGGACCCGGGAACCGCATACCGCATACCGCATAATGCAGCCCACCGCCTGCAGTGTGCAGTGTGCAGTGTGCAGTCAGACAAACGGAAGGGGTGTTTTTTTTTTTTGGGTGGCCCGAGCATCGGCGGCCGCATTAGTTTGACGGGGAATTTCAGCTGTTCATGGGGGAGAGTGAGGATGCAGACGGCCAGGGCTTGCTTGTCTGAGGGTTGAGTCACATGCCTCGGTGAGCGCTGCAGCAGACGTCAGAGGCGGAAGCAGGTCGGCGGGAGAGGCCACGAGTGCCGAGACAAGGGCAATAGCAAGCTTGATATGACTATGGCCACTTATCTGTAGGTTGGAAATGTTATTGATTCTAGTCATATGATTCCTGCTGCCTACCTTAGGTAGGTATCTACAGTATGCTCTTGCTATAGGGTGAGGCGGCGAGTTGTTTGTAACTCTCGCCACATAGATCCTACAGAGTTCGGATAGATCGTATCCCGTGTTTAAGCTCTGTCCCTAGGAAACTTCGTGCACCCATGCATGCGTGAAGGTGTTTTTAGAATGGACTGCGTAGTCTATTGTGTGTTTCGGCAGCACAAATTTACATTATCGGTGTTACAATTGGTGAGCACAGGTTGTCGGGGAGTAGACCTGGGGTCCCCCGTAGGGCTTGACGACTAGGACCTATGGCTGTGGATCATAGACACCGTTGAACCTATCTGAGTCACTTTCAACACCGCCTCTTCACCACACCGAACGCCGCACTGCATTATTCAACTGCTATGCTGGTTCAAAGATGCGAGATGCGAGATGCGGACCGGGAATCGGATTTCTCAGTCAGTGTACGGTAAGGGATGATGCACGATAAGACCCAGCAGTGTGGGAACCTCGTCCTTGCGTGCGCCACATACCTGGTACACCCGGTACCCACAGGATGAGGTCAGCCACAGCCTAATCCTTGAAAGTTGAGCCCACCGACGGGCAAGGCCGTGGACATCCAGTCTGCCTCTTCGGTGTCTCCAGTCTGCCCTGCCAGCGCCGCGAGTTTCCCAGTTTTCCCACTGACGCGGGCGATCGTGGGGCCCGCTTCGCTCCGTCTTCGGGTGCCGCGCCGACCCGCATCAGGCGGAAAAGAGTTTGAGGCCGAATAACCACTTCCGGTGCTATTTTTCTTATTCTGGGTTATTTTTGGATTTCTTGATTCCCAAATGTGTTTTGAAGATTCCACCAGGAGTTTGGACATTGGCATGCAGGAGCCTGCCGCATGCATGCAGAGACGTTTGCCTGGCAGCTGCTGCTAGCGGGTGCATTGCGGAGGATGGTCACAGGCCTGGCCACTGAAGCAGCGGCGGGGGCTGGGATGCAGAAGGGCGTGTAGCATATTGTACGAAAGGGAATGTATGTCAATGCCTTCAACTGGATGGCAAAAAAGCTAGGGCCGTTTCCCTAGGCCGTGTGACCCAGTGCAGAACGGAGGACGGGATGCCCATGTTGTAAAATTTGCAAGCAGTGGCAGCTTCACTGGAATCCGTCCCGAGGGGCAAATGCAGGAGACAGTCACAGTCACTCCGGGGAACTGGCGCCTCCAACCATCTCGTGTGGCCATTGCACCTTCGCTATCGCATCAACGTCACTCGTTGGGGCCGTTGGGGGCTTACCCCGGATGCTGCGCGCGCAAAGCTCACCTGGCGACCCCGTGTCTGAGGAAATGCGAATCCCGTGACCGCGCGACGACGTCATGGCAGCATTCTCGCCGACGCGGGCGGCGCAGCGGGGGCCATTCCCAAATGTTGTCATTTCGGAGCCAGTGAGGGCGGCAAGGCGAGAGACATTGTGAAACCTGGGGTTGCAGGTCACGGGCACAAACAAGTTGGCGGCCATGTGACATTGGTCCGATATGCAGATTGAGATGGAGATGGACATGCGGTTCAATTGGAACGTCGTTGCGGCTGTGCGAAGATCGATGGGGACGACCGCCGACGAGGGGGGCGGCAGGGCAGGTGTAGGTGCAGACGGAGGTACCGTACCTGCCTTACGTTGCCCACCCGCACATCTGGTGCAGTGCCGCGCATGCGTAACGGTGGCAGGTGAGGGATACGGAGCCGAGCAGATCAGGGCAAGAGCGGAGGCACAGAGGTGAGGAAGAGAGACTGATCGGAGAAGGAGGCGCGGTTACTGGCGGACCGGCCGACTGCTGGGGGCCAAAAATAACCTGAACTACCTTTTCCGGACAGCCCCTAGCCACACCCACACGGCCACAGGTTTGGAGGGAGGTGCCACTCCCCTGGTCCTTCAACCCTAGTCGGACGCCTGCCATCGGACGCCGGCCAGGCGCTCCTGCCACGCTGGGCGTCGGCCTAGCTCCCTCTTCGTGGACCCTGCGCCTAGGACTACCTGTTTTTTTTTCAACGTTGCACCTTTCAACCAGTACAACCGCTCTGCAACCACCCGAGTATCGGTACTTGCGGCACGGGCTCTTTTGTCTTTGGGATTGTGGGTACGACGCACGTGCATCTGCATTCCTCTGTTTCTCTTGTCACCTTGACGCCGCGACGGCGCCAGTCAGCCAAGCGACCGAGCATCGGTGGTGGATCGCAGCCTACTTGGTCCGAAGTGTGTGAACAACCAGGGAGGAAGACAATCGAGCCATTGACGACGCCAACATTGTCCACGCGTCTTGGAACAAGACACGAGAAGCTAAAGAACGCAAGCCTCGCAATGTCCATGTCTCGGGGCCGCTGATATTACCTGTCGTCTTCAGGAGCTCCATTGGCCACCGAGCCATGCAACGGCAGATGGAGACCATCTTGCGACACATTCGAAAGTGCCATTTTTGCCCCCTTAGCCCCAGCCCAAGGGCCCGACAGGAGGGCCGCCGGCGGGTCGCAATTCCCAGAGGGGAAACCGGACAACAAGGATAGGCGTACTACGTAGCAGTATCTTCGAAAGACTGCCGACTTCGTTATGGGCCGAGCCCTGAAGACCCGGGGACCAGGTGGTACGGAGGAAAATGGCTCCCCTGGAGCGCCTCCTGATTCCTCAAGGGGCCCGGTCTCGTCCTAGTTACAAGGTCTTGTCAAGTCGCTCATATTCCACTTTGAGCTTGGTTCCTTGATGGCTCCTCCTCTGATCAGTGATGTCTTCAAGGACTGCCTTCTCAGAGCCGCCATTGGTCTATCGGCCGCGATTTTCGGCCAATCAGAGTCATTGACACCGCTCTGTCTAGTGTTCCCCACCTGGGACCGCTCTCGGCTCTTGAGGCAACCTCCAATCAGCTGCTGTAAGTGCCCTTTTGACAGAGACGCCTCAGCTCACCATCCGACACTAGCATGGATGGCTCACCTCGTATGAAAGGTCAACGACGGGCTGTCGTTGCTTTCCAACCTCTGGGTTTATCCGTCGCTTTGGTCGGCCCCCCTCCTTCTCTGGATGCCTGTCCCTGACCCCCTACTGCCCGTGGTTCGCCTTTGTTTGGCGATTCATGGGGCCATTCCCGCGGTTTGAGAGAGTCAGGGAGCGGCACGAGTCTCGGAGCCAACCACCTCGCGAGACTGGCTTGTCTCCCAGACACTGCCAGACGGGAACGACGGATATGATATGGATCCCGGGCCGTTGAGAAAGGGAATGCCCGACCCGAACGGTTGCTTAATGCCAAAACGAGGGGACGATCCCGGACGGGAGGAGATCAGGGATTATCGTGGACATGGGAGACTGGACTCCTTGGAACTCACCCCGATGGATCTCAGTACCCGCCAGACCCAACAACAGACTCACGGAGAGCAGGGCTTCACGCCGTCTCCCACGGAGAGTGCGGCCATGATCCGCTCATCTGGGGGCTAACTTGAACCCGACTGCGCACGCAGCTGTTTCAAAGTCGGGGCCATAATGTGCCTGTTGCTCCTGGTAGCGTTGGATGCTATCTGTATACGTATGCAGGTCATCCCATCGCACCCTCTCGATAATGCGCTCTGGCGCATATTATTGACAGGTCGAAGATGCACCTCTGATGAACGTCATCTCGCCAGGTTGACCATCATCTCGCGGGTCTGGGGTTCAGCTCGCCCGCGCGACGCCGGGCGAAGAAGGGGGGAGATGGGGCATTGATAGGCAATTTCAGGAGCTTGATGAAGGCGTCGCCGAGTCGTGCTGGGACGGCGTGTACCAAGGTACTGGATTCCTTCCCCCGCGAATGGGCAGTGGCCTCTGTCTCTCGTGCAAACAAGATGGCTGCAGGATCCGACCTGAAGCTTACTGGATCCTGTAGCTTGCATAAGCGGCGCAACCCTCTCGAGCTTAGACTGGCTTCAGATGGCTTTTGCAGTCCTTGGCTTTTGCAGTCCTCGTGGTCTCTAGGGTCTCGGGTCGCTTTCCTTCTCTCCGCGGACGATACGGGTAGGAGTGCGAAAGCAGCCCGTGCTCATCAGTAGAAACTGTATGAGACGACGTGTCAGCAACTGGCTGAGGATGTCACAGGATAAGGCGAGGGAACAGACCATGCCCATGGCGAGACGCAGGCGGCCGAACTCAGGCGGGCCCTAGGACTGTTGGGGATGCGGAAATATTGGTGATGAGGGGGGGGAGGGGGCAAGCCGGCTGTATGATAGATATCACATTTCACACCCGACCAGGTATCACTACGGAAAACGGACATGTAGAGAGAGCCGTGGATGGAAGTAAAGTTTACGTGGAGATGAAGATAGTCCTTTGAGACGGTCAAATAAGTCGACAAGTTGTTGACGACAAGATGAAGAGACTGGGGTCATGGCAGGGTATCCGAGGAAGCGCCCGCGCCCGCGCCTGTTTCGTTTCTTGTTTCCGCCTAGACATGACAGCGGCTAGGCCCTATGTGGCTGAAGCCGGAGATGGGGGACGGGAGATGGAGTGAGCAGAGACGGAAGAGTGGTGGAGTGATGGAGCGAGATGGAGTGATGGAGTGAGATGGAGTGATGAGAAACAGACGTGCACACAAGCACAAAAGGGGACCGAGGGTGGGACCAGACAACCCTGTTTGTGAATTCCTGACGAGGATAAACCTTTCTCTTTCGTGTTTCTGGCATCGAAGTTAAGTTAACTTACGGAGTATCTGTCCCCTTTGTGGCTCTCGGGTCTCGGAATGCGTAGAGCAGGTGAAGTGAGAGGAGGGAAACGAATCGTTTGCGCCGATGTGTGTATACGCAGGGCCGCCCTCGTCCAAGGTACCGGTACATGGAAAGCTTGGAGCCTGGGGGGGAGTGCACGGAGGTTCCAGGGGCGTGGCGCTGGGACCCCTCTGTGGAGTGTGGACTGGTGGGTAGAGGTGATGACTCTTTACTACCTACGTGCTATCTGGCTCACCCATGGAAAGCCATGTACGTAGGTAGGATAGGATGTGTTTACCATTGTGTGGACGGAAGACTGAGTACGGAGTGCATTCACTGTTATTTCCCTAGTGATGCCGTGGTTGTTTCGTACCCGGTATCAACAACCCATGCCTGCAATCTGCAGCAGCAAGCCCTGCGCATCTTTTCAGCTGCCGTCATTGTCGCCTCGATCCACGCCTGGATAGCTCCCATCATCCATGCTGGCCGCCCTCCCTCCGCGGACCAAGCTGGGTCAGCAGCATATGCACGTCGCAGAGCACAGCCCAGGTCGAGGAGGGTGTGTAGAAGACGACGCGTAGCCTAAAAAAAAAGATCCCCCCCCCCCCCCCCAGTTAGTAGGCCACACCCTCCTAGAGGGGGGGGACTTGCAGCTGCAGGTATGGAGCCCGGGTTTCCATGCTTTGGCGGCCCTGCGGTCGCTCTCTTGACTTTGGGTGAGGCCAACTCGACCCAGCCCTGGAACGGCGTCCCTGCTCCGTGCCCCCCGTAGCGGTAGTGGGCGCTGGGCTGGGAGTGAGTGAGTGAGTGGGCTGCTGGCCGTGGGCTCCCTCGGTGGTGGGCCATGGTCCCGTCTTCCCTGCGCCGACCTGCAGCAGTGCAGCCATAGTGCATAGTGCGCATGCGCTATTGGGACACAGCCTGTAAAATGGCCATGTACTTATGGCAGGTAGCCACTGGCACTTGCGAGGGTACTTTGCCCACACAAACTCGCTCAACTGGTCAACTAGTCCTCTGGCAGCCGGCACTCGTTCCAGTTTCCCTCGCGCCTATATCTCCCCACCACACCCACACCCACCACCACACTCTTCCCTCTTCTCTTCCTCCTCACGACCACCTCGTCCTACGTTCTCTTCTCTCTCGGTTGCGGCAGCTTAGCAGGCGATTCCTCAATATTCCCTCCCACCACCTTAAAGCACACACGCCCAATCCCTGCTCTGCTCCGTCATCCGTTTTTTTCCTTTTATATTCTTGTTCGTTGTCCACCGTTCCAGCCTGATCGATAAAAGCGCCCCCCCGGCTCTCGCTACCACCGCTACCGCCCTACCCCGCCTATTTTTGCCCTACCCTGCGCGGCCGCCCTCTACACTCACAGCGGTCTACAACCCCCCCGACGCCTAACTAACATGCCTGTGCAACTGCTCCCGGCTTCGGCCGCCGCCTTTGCTCCTCGAGCTTCCTCAGTCAACGTCGTCCTCGGCTCCAAGATCGAGCCCTGGCTTACCCAGACCCTCAAGCGCATCAACCGCGTCAAGCGTCCTCTCAACAGCGTGCCCCAGCACCAGCGATGCCTCACCGAGACCCTGTCGTCCTCCAATGCCATCTGGACCCTGACGTCGCTCATGCTCCCCAAGACGCCCGAGGCTGAGTTCAAGCGGGATCCCACCAACCCGCTCTTCGAGGCCATCCTCAACTACCAGCTCGTCCACGTCGAGGCCTACATCGTCCACGTCGACATGGTCCTGCGCAACGAGGTCGCTTACAAGCTCACCGTCGACACCATCGATGCCCTGGTTGAGTACCACAAGGAGGTCTTCTGCGTCGACGCCAAGGCCAGCACCTACGACTGGTCCGAGAAGGAGCAGCAGTGCAAGAAGCTTCACGAGGACTTCGTTCAGGCCATCAACAGGTTCGTCTTCCGCACCCACGTCTCGGCCCTCGAGGGCCTTGAGGAGGAGGGCGCCGGCGAGCTGTTGTGCGGCAAGAGCGAGGAGGTCAAGACCAACATCTCGAACCTCATGAAGCCTCTTCTCCCTCCCCCTCCGCGTGTCGTCGATGTTATCCGACAGCCCCCGCTGCTGCCCAGCTCTTCCGTCAACAACATGTGGTCGCAGCCCACCCTCCAGAGCAACATGCACGCCGTGGATGCCTGGAGAGTCCTGCCCTCCAGCCCCAGCGTCACCTCTACCTCGGTCGACTCCAACACCAGCCCCATCTGGGCCCCCATGGGTATGAGCGACGTGCAGCTGTCCCCGACTCCCGCCTACAGCCAACCTCACTCCACAGCCGGCTACTTCTTCAGCTCCCCACAGGCCACGGCCCCGATCCCGGCCCTGCCTCTACCCAGTATGCTCGCTCCCGTCCAGTGCGGCGTCAGCTTGGGCATGGGCATGAGCAGCGTCATGGGTGCAAACATGGGCGGCTTCGGCTGGGATCGCTACCAGGAGTATGCGACCATCATGTGACAACCAGCGCCCCAGGACAGCTATCCAGTGGTGACCTCCTCCATCTAATACTGCGCGCCTCTCTTCCACGTTTCCCGGAGAAAAAGTTGGAGCTCTCAATCCTCAGCGGCATAGAACCATCGACCTCAAAGGCATCTCGGCGTTTATTGCATCAGGAACGGTGTTTCGATCAAGTCAACAAATATCCCCTCTTGGCATCTGACAACCCAGTAAATGGGTTTTTATTTTTTCATTTTATTTCCTTTGTCGTCAACACAGCAAGCGTGCGTCTGGTTTTCGGAATGGTCTCTTTTTTCCTCTCCGGGAAACACCTCCACGGGTCGTTGCACAACCTCCGCGAGTTCCATTTATTTGGATTTTTCATCTACCTCACCACTACATGGCTGGATCCGGGGCGGGTATTTGGATGCATTTACATCTGGGCAGGGATTTTGATACAGGCGGCTTGCTATCTTTTTTTTCCCCCGTGTTTTTCCCTTTTTTTTATGTCTTTTGGTTGGTTATAAGAAAAGAGGAACAGCAGCAATGCACGACGCTCGGCCGAGTCCGAGACAGAAATTCCCTTTTGGATTCTCGATTCCCCGAACTTTCGACTCTATTCACACACTCTTCCGGCATACAGAGGTTTTCTCGGAAGATGCCCCAAACAAACAACAAACACCTGGATCCCGATGGATCTACGACACTCGCTTCAATTCTTCCCTTGGCATTTTTCCCGACTTACGAATGATATTTAATGACGACCTTTTACGAATCGATGACGGATGGCCACAAAAATTTCAGACCTGATACGACTTGACGAACAGAATCACGACTTTTCGGCTTGATGCCGAAACATGACTTCTTTTCACAAGCTTATCGAAGACTGAGACACCGGTTCATTCGGCTTGATGACTACCCTGACTAGATGCAACCCGGGACAGGAATCTGGGTTTACGCAATTGTCACGAGGCCGTCTCGACTACACATCATCACGTGGCCAAAGCCGGCGTATCTGGAATATGCCCGCTGAAGGTAGACACTGGCTGTCAACGGGATCACTGCACTTGCGTTCGACGACCTAGCGTCGTCTAGAATGCACGAAACATGGAAGGACGAAGCTGGTTATGGGAATCTTCTAATGAGCCGGGCCCGGTGTCCCACATCTGCTGCGCAGAGATCGGATGCCGGGCCTCTTTATCTGGCCGACTCGCCTTGGACGAACATCCTCGACTCTGAACAAGCCCTGGTCGCTTCGAGCTCACCGATCTCATAGAACATGGAAGACTGCGGATCGCCGCGTGGAGGTTAACCCATGACACCACCGGACCTGCCAGCCAGGTTGGTGGGTAAGTGGAGGACGCCGCTTCGAGGAGAGATCTGCAGGCGACTTAGTCTAGGGAGGTTGGGGCTCAAAGGGGTTATGGCGAGGATCGTCCAAGGCTAATGGTAGCTTTCATCTCACTACAAAACCCCTCGCTTCGGGCACGCCGATGCAGCTCGGATCTGCTTAGGCCTGCCCAGGGCGAGTTGGGAGGGCCGCAAGTGGGTTGATCGGGAGCCTGCCGCGCAGGAATGACCCGACACCCCGGACCTTTAGGTCCTGCGGCATGAGATGCTGGAACTCTAGTGCGTGCTGAGGGAAACAGGATACGCCCCGGTGGCGGTTCCCTCACACAAGGACAAGCCTGCTTGCTACAAAGCGTCCCTGCTCGTTGTCTTGTCGTTGCAGTATTAGTTAATTCGAACACAAACACATGTTCAACCAATGTCTTTGTTTCCGTTCCACCCACCTGTGATGTGAATTGTAGTGTATTGTGGGGGACTTGGACCTGTGGTAGTAGATCAACTCCACTTCTCTTGGAGACTGACATATCGCAGTCGACGTCCTCGTTTCAAGTAATCCCGGGAATTTTTTTTAGATATTTCCCTATATAGCAGTCCAAACCCCGGGCATGTTTCAGATTCAGATCTGAACAGATCTCCGACACCCCGGCCCCGGCTCCGGCCCCCAACGACCTCTGCGGCGTCCTGGCGTTCAAGTCAAGCCTTAATAGGCCAGGTTATCGGCCGACCAAGCAAGCTCGGACACCACTGAAACGTGGATACAATGACTTGCGGGATGCGAACGAGGTGTGATATATGTCCGGCGTGACAGGTCGGCGGGTAGGGGAAAGAGATGTTAGGGGTGTGGATGAATTGGGCGCCGTCCATGGTCCCCTACGATATGGGATTCGTGACAGGAGGGCCATGTGCAAGATAGAAATTAGCTAAGCTGGGACTCGAGTTGGGAGGTTTGAAACGAGCGACATGCACTCGTGGAAAGGGATATGGTTCTCTGCGCTGCAGCTTGTTAGGGCATATATACACGATAGGTGATGGAGTTGTAAATATTAGCCTTGGAAATCGAAGCAATTGATTTCGCTCAAATTCAGGCCTCGAAATAGAACCTCGTAAGTGAGCACCGTTGACCATATTGACGGGGCCTTTCATTGTATGCCGATGCAGAGGCCGAATAATATCATCGAGGAGACCCCTCGTACCAAACCTACCCAAGTCAATCCTTTAGCCAAATAACTGGCCAGTCAGTATCGTTAATCCCAACATTTCAACCTAGGCTAGGCTCCCGAATGGCAAGGGACTCGACCTGATCCGACTAGGCGAACGGGGTAGAGGTTCTTGATAGCAATCATCATAGTCGCGAAGAGGGTTGAATGCTAGACATGAAGATCCCGAAGAGGATGAGAAAGGAGTAGCCCTTATCTTGTGACCTCAGCCAAAACATAATTATGATGAGATTAGATTGTAACCCGAGGTATACGCATGATTTATCACTTCACACATTGATTTCTCACAAGGCTTGTTCTTTTAATGAATTGAGTTCATTTGGTATCGACTCAACACTACCCAAGAGTCTAGACGACAGTTCCAAGAGCGACTATCATACAGAAATTTTCATATCACATTACAAACAGCCCGAGGACTCAAATACCTATTTGGCAAGCTTCTCCGTCTGTTCCTCAATCTTGGCCCCGAGGCGGGCGTCGACGCGCGAGAACATGCCGTAGGTTCGCTTGCGAGTATCCGAATGAGCACCGGAAAGGTGACCCGAGACGTTTCCAATAAAGTTATCCTGCTGACCAGGAGTGCGGCCGAGGACATCCCAAAGACCCTTGGCCTGGACGAAGTCGTCGTCGTTAACCTCTTGGAAAAGTGCGTGGACAGCTGAACCAGCCCAGTGCTCTTGAGTGTTGACAGGCGATACAGGCTGATATGTGTTGGGACGGTAAGTTGAAGGGTAGTTTGCATTCTTCCCATAATTTCCGTGGATAGACATGGCGCCGTCCCGCTGGAAGGGGTTAAAGGCGTGTAGAGGAGAGTTGACGGGGATTTGTTGGTAGTTGACGCCGAGACGGTGGCGATGTGTGTCGGGGTAAGAGAAAAGACGGGCCTGCAGGACGGGGTCGACAGTGGGCTCAATACCGGGGACAAGATGAGAAGGGGAAAAAGCGACCTGCTCAATCTCGGCGAAGTAGTTCTGAACATTTCGGTTGAGGGTGAGCTTGCCAAATGGTCGCAAAGGGACATCCTTCTGCGGCCAAACCTTAGTCAGGTCAAAGATGTTCCAGCGGAACTTCTCAGCCTGCTCGGGGGTGAGTACCTGGACGTAAACGGTCCAGCTAGGGAACTCGCCGCGCTCAATGGCTTCAAAGAGATCCTGAGTGGCAAAGTCGGGGTTCTCCGAGGCCATCTTGCCGGCCTCGGCGTCAGTGAAGGTCTTGATGCCCTGGTCGGTCTTGAGGTGAACCTGGGTGTAGACGAAGGAGCCGTCGGGCTTGGTCCACTTGTGAGTGTGACCGGAGTAGCCATTCATGAAGCGATAGGAGTAGGGGGTACCGCGGTCGGAGAAGAGTTGCATGACCTGGTGGACGGCCTCCTGGTGGGTGGAGAGGTAGTCCCAGAACATAGTGGCATCCTTCAGGTTGGTCTGAGGGTTGCGCTTCTGAGTGTGGATGAAGAGGGGGAAATTTGTGGGATCGCGGAGGAAGAAGACGGGCGTGTTGTTGTAGACCCAGTCCCAGTTGCCCTCCTCGGTGTAGAACTTCATGGAGAAGCCTCGGGGGTCGCGAGCAGAGTCTGGGGAGCCCTTCTCACCACCGACGGTAGAGAAGCGCACAACGGCCTTGGTCTTCTTGCCAACGCCGTTGAGCATGTCGGCCGAGGTGAGATCGCTGACGTCGTGCGTGACCTCGAACTCGCCGTAGGCACCGGCGCCCTTGGCGTGAACGACGCGCTCGGGGATTCGCTCACCTGAGGCAATCGGGTGTAAGCACATTGACTTCAATTGAGCGCTACCACGGACAGCGCAAACAGGCAAGAGGGCAAGAAATTAACTTACGGTCAAAGTGAGAGAGGGCATCGATCAGGTGGAAGTCCTGCAGCAACAGAGGACCCAAGGGCCCGGTACGCTGCCAGCCCTGGGGGTTGCCAATGGGGGCGCCGTTGGAGGTGGTGTAGACGGGCTTCTCATTGTACCGAAGGGTCGTCGGGTGACCCGACTTCTCGTTGGAGGGCATTTTGAAAATGAGGCGTGAGTTAAAAACGTTGGAATAGTAGAGGGCGTAAGTGAGGTTGTGGTGCTCTAACAGCAGTGGACGTTGAAGTTAGGAGGGAAGAGATTGGAGAGATCAGAAAGGGAAGCGGGACAAAAAGAGGTAAATCGTGACTAAAAGGGAGGAAGAAGCACCTTCTTAAGCAACTCCTACTCTGCTGCACTTTCCGCCTGCATCCATCTGTGTCCTGCCTGCGTTGGGTCCTGGTACCTTCCTGCAACTCCCCTCGGTCGAGTGTCGGCATGCTCCGTACAGTGTCGCCGTACAGTGTCCCAATCCAAAGCGGCAAGCCGGCGTGCGGGGACCTTCGCGGAGCCATATCCGCTCAGAGAATTCTATTTGGAATCTGGCCGAGCTGGCTGTAAATGGGCACAAGAGAGCACTCCGTGGGCCCGAGGCCAATCAGGACTGGGATAAATCCAAGCCGGCAGATCAACGCTATACTGGCTGGTTGCGCGTCCATATTGAATCGTCATTCCCCTGCCTCTCGCCTTGTTGCTAGGCCCGCCGCATCAGATGCCGCATCCCACGCCGCACCTTGTGCCGCTTCGCCGCACCTCGCCGCCGTCGCCTTCCCTTGCCCTCACTCTACGCGCCGTCCCAAGGGATCAAAGCGGATGCCGGCCAATCCGTTCATGACGTCGCAATTTGTAAACCTTGACTGTTACTCTCTTCAAATCGCGGGTCCTGGTCCCTGGGGTAGGCTGCTCCATCGTATCCTCCCCCACCCACCTCAGAGGTCAACTGTGATCCTGGGCCCTGGCGGGGACTTTTTGATTTTGACTTAGCTCTACGACGTCACCTTCATGCAGTGATCGCTCAGCAACGACGCACGGCGCGTTGAGTTGCACTCTGCCATGTGGGGGATTGCACACTGTACGGAGTCACAACCACGACAACGTCACAGACTCTCACTCTCACACCCTCTCTTATTAATCCTCTGTCCCACACCTCTCACTGGACCAGCGTCTTGACCACGTTGTTGGAGGCTCTATGATGACAGCCACGCCACCGCCCACCCGCCATAACCTGATAACCAAATTCCAACCGCTGTTGATCATCCGGCCGTCTTGTGCTCCGGAGCAGCTGCTCCTCAAATCTTTCACCACCTCACCTTATTGCCGGCGGTATCGCCCGAGCACAATGCCAGCAAGGATGGAGCGTGAAAACTCATTTATCATATGGCATGGGCAGGATTCGATAATGCAACAGTTCCTAGCCCAATACGTACTCTCTCGCCCTCGCTTGCGGTATCGCACTGCTTGCTTCAGTTGAGGGGTCAGAAAATGTAGACGCGTGTGGCAACGCGCTGCGCTGCTACCGCTAGCCTTGCTGGAACGCGAGGTCACGCTGCATTTCGCGGACGCTTGGCGGCTAGCCGTCGGCGAAGACTCCCGGAATCGGCACGGCTCCAACTCCACGGCTGAATAAAGCTGTTCAACATGCTCGTTTCTTCTTCTATTTTGCTCTCATCCGTCCTAAGATAAAATGCAGATAATGATATCGTTATTCTGTGACACGAACAGTCCTTCACTAACTAAAGAATCTTTTCGGATCGTCATTGTCTAAATTCTTGCTGGATATTGATCTCCAGGCCCCCCCCCCACCTTTCGGGACACCCGCCGTTGATTTCTAATACCTGGCTGCGCGAAGGGATTTGACGGTGCGAGATACTGTACGCTCAGGAACAGATAACAGATCACAATAGTCTAGTCAATGACACGCACACTCCAGGAAACACATGGCACGCACGGCAAAAGTAGCATCGACTGGTGACGTTTTCCCCCCTGCCACTAGCTGGGGTTGGATAGCGATGTTCGGAACTCAGCTTACTAACCCTCTACTCTCGAGTTCCATTCGAATTCTCTCAACTCACTTTGACTACCATTTTGGGAGCATGATACACATGAATGTATCGGACGCACTCAGTTTTCTAACTGATGCCTTGTGAGCGTGGCTCTCTCATCACTTGGTTGACCGGTCTCCATCTCTTGACTAATATCTTATATCGAGTGGAGTACTAGAGAGCGCCTTCGGATGACCCGCTGGATACACTCGAAGTGGCCAGCAAACCCCGACAAACGAGAATCATAGCCAGGACACATGTTCCTGGGTATAGCATTAGATATTCTTACTATCATATGTCACTCTGACTCCAGCGTCCGCCGTCACGTCCTTCTCATGAGCACCCAAAATGCTGTTCAGTCTCCGGATTCGGTCCCGATCCCTCTTCATCCCTGGACGCCGAGATCTCCTGGTCTCTCCATATACGCTGTCTACCCAGATGCGACGGAACCGTGAGGTAGTAGTATCATCATTTCGTTGTTGTACAATGCCGACTGAACCGGAAAATCGTCACCCTCGCTTAGATGTCCGACGATACGGTTTGCTGTAGACGGGTTGGTTAGTATATTGCGCCCAGGACGGAGTATCCGAAAGGGGGAAGCGAAAGGAGGGAGTAATTACCACGAGCCAGTCCATGCCCTCGTTGACACCGCTGCCATCAACAGCTGAGCAGGCCATGATGCTCCAGTTGCGGTCCCGCAGCTCGCCCAGGCGCAGTGCCTCTGAGATCTCACCAGCACCTTTGGCACCGGGCTGATCCTGCTTGTTGGCGAAGACCAGCAGCGCCGCATCCTTTAGCTCCTCCTCGTTCAGCATGGCTGAGAGTTCCTCCGATGCCGTCTGTAATCGCTCGATATCGGTGGAGTCGACGACGAAGATGACGGCTGCCGTATTGGCGTAGTAGCACCGCCAGTAGGGTCGGATGCTGGTCTGGCCACCAAGATCCTGTACGAGATTATGTGTCAGCATTGCCAAAATATGGTTTCAAATGGCGTTCCTCATCAGGGGTGCCATACCCAAACGTTAAAGTTAAGATTCTTGTAGGTGACGGACTCGACGTTGAAACCGATAGTGGGGATGGTGGTGACAACTTCGCCGACCTGATGGACGCCGTTAGCAGAGCTCCTCGTCAATAACACCAGAGAGAGAGGTCTCCCATACCTTCAACCTGTACAGCAGCGTCGTCTTTCCTGCGTTATCCTGGGACGGACCGGTTAGCGGTCGTGATCTAGCTGGCGGCTGTAGACGTCATCGTACCAGACCCAAGATCAATATCCGAATCTCCTTCTTTGCCCACATCAGGCCGGACAGCCATGACATGCCCGCGCCCATGATGAATAGATATTAAGATGACGGATCCTCCCGGGATACGTCGAGTCGGTACTGGGCGGTGGTTCGCTCTTGCGGCTTCGGTTACGGCGAGATCGAGCGTCGTGCTTCGTTGGCAGTCGCAGATAGGAAAGGGACAGAGGCAGAGGCGGACGAGGCGCAAGCGATGGCTGGATTATGGTTGTCGTTTGTGGTCGTCGTGGCAAGAAAGTCGAAGGGCGGCTTTACTAATTACTGAGAAGATGGTCCCCTTTTCTGGACCTCCGATGCATTCAAAAGGACATGGGCGGGCCTTGGACAAGTTGCTGGTTTTTGGCCGTGAGCTTGGCCCAAGCGCTCGACAAAATAACCCGACGTGGCCTGGGGGCTCTTCAGCGTGCTACAGGGCGTTCCAGGGTGCTGCACGGCGCTGCACGGCGCGCGCTGAGTCCCCCCTTCCCCTGTCTGTTTGCAGCAGATCTAGCATGGCTGTGCAAGCCGTTGCTGGGGAGGCCCGGTTCTTTTCTTCCAGCGGAACGCATTGCTTTTATTAGATCATTACATACGTAGTAGACGTCTAATGTGCAACATCCATCATTCATCTGCCAAACTTCTTCAGGTCTCCAGATTTTGATTGTCAAGACGAAGCAGTATTTCCTAGGTACCTGCTAGGCAACCTAGCCGCGGCGCTGGTGCCGGGATAACAGCCCCCGTGACTACTGGGCCCGGAGGCTACGGACTTATTCAGACACAAGACACAGTCACTTGATCAAAACAGGACACTCAGACCGCTGGCTTGTTCTTGATTGTGTCTGAGAATATGCCAGCATAGGGGTTCAGAACAGCCTCTAGAACTTCATCCAGAGTGTCATGTCAGAGTGCTTATCGCAGCTTACGTCAGGATACTGTACTGCTGTTCATGTCGCTGAGAAATCCAGCTTCACCTGGGAGAGACGCCATAGAGGCCTCTCGTTACCTGCTCGCCGAGACGCCCACCGCCTGTGGATGCGACGCTTTATTTTGTCTCCCTTAACCTTGATTCCTTCGGCTCGCGGCTGATGGTCAAAGCTCGATACCTTGTGGAGCCTTGTCTGCCTCAGGCACCAAAGCGTCAGCGCCACACTCTCACAAGCCACAAGCCACCAGCCCACAGCCCTCCCCTCTCGCTAGGGCTTTACGCCCTCTGGTGCGCGTGCGGGCCAAAATTCTTCGACGTCCCAACATCTCGAAAATCATCATCACCATCGACCGACTCGATAAGCAACGTCAACAAGATGCCGGTATGCCCGACCCTAATCCCTCCAGAGCACGCCCATTCCCGTCGACGACAATGCGTACCGCCGATGCGCCGCCTCTGGCGAAGCTGCGTCGTCGTCGGCGTGCTCTGCGATGAAATTGCCCGACCTGGACACTGATGAATCTTCCTTTCCAGAGCCACAAGTCTTTCCGAACCAAGCAGAAGCTGGCCAAGGCCCAGAAGCAGAACCGCCCGGTTCCGCAATGGATCAGGCTCCGAACTGACAACAACATTCGGTGCGTTATTATTCCCAGGCGACGCCGGTTCTCGAAACACGACTCCCACGAAATCCTTACCCCCAAACCCGCATACAATATCCTCTCGGGAGACGCTCACAACGAACCCATTTGCTAACTCTTCTGATTCAGCTACAACGCTAAGCGAAGGCACTGGCGCAAGACCCGCCTGGGTATCTAAATGCTCAAATCGTCCATTCTCGAGCCTCTGCATCGACACCCGACTTCTCGATTGGCATGGTATCACGGCGATGTGACGGAGGGAGGGGAGGACTGTCACGGCATGGGGGTGTCATCAGTGCACGGGATGGGCAGGTTGCCTGGTTTCTCGATTCTTGCGATTACTGCATGTCACGGTCGGTCATAGGGAAAGGAATGAAAAGACTTTGATGCCCCATCAGTACGGGCCTGAACCATCGGGATGCTCTCGTCGACTCGCCGTGAATTCTGAGACGGCTCACGTGCACACTCACCATGTTTAAGGGAATGGGCGTCCGACAAAGTCGACGGAGACGACGTTTGTACGCCTCGTCGCAGAGTCTTCGTGTCACATCGATGACACCAAATGACCTCGAGCAGTTACATAAGAGCTTCTATTCATGTTAAGAAATACGTGGAATTAAGTTTCTCAGGTGGCTCCCAGAGCACCTGGTAGTCGGTCTCGGAGCTGAAGCGTGACATTCGAATGGTTCATTTAGAGTGAAGTCTAGGAAGAGCCCGACCGGAATGGCGATACCGCAGCAAGCCTTGTCCGACCATATCATGTCAATGCAAGTAAAAACCAGCAAAATTTCCCCAAAAGCTATCCCAACGCCGTTGCATGAGAGCATTGCATAATTGCACCTTCTCCATCACGCGTGCACTAGTCCTTAGGAGGCCCGGACGGTGATGAGAGAAAGCCGCAATTCCTGACACCGTCTTTAACGGTCCTCGGCCCACTCATTCTCACGGCGGATCTGCTCCTCCTCCTCGGGGGTGAAGTCGTTGGTAATGTTGAACGTCTTTCGGATCTCCTCGGGGGACTTGCCCTTGATCATGTTGGCAACGGTCTTGCAGCCCACGTCGAGAAGGGGCTTGATGTCAAGATAGTTGGAGGCCTATTTGTATATGGTTAGCATATCATGTCATGTGGCAAGTGATCCGCTGGGGGGGGGACATACAAGAATGATCTCGAAGAGCATTTCCTGGTCCACCTGCATGAACTTCTGGTCCCACTCCTCAATGTCGGTGGTCTTCTTGCGGGCGTCGGACTCGTCGTCCTGGGCCTGGGGGGGATCGTTTCGGTGGTGCTCACACCACTCGATGACCTTTCGGAGAACGGCCTCGTTAACCTAAGGAGCAGTGAGTCAGCATCGTCGGAGACATTAGGGTAGAGTGGCGAACATACGTTAGGGATGGGAATGGGGTTGTTGACGTTCATGAGCTCGTCACCGACGTCCTCCAACATGTTCTTGATCAACATTGATCGCTCGGCAACGGTACGATCTAGGCGCGCAGTTAGCAGCTGGACGAGAGAAGGGAGAGATGGGCCCGAGGGCGGCGTGTTGCAAGCTTACCGACTTCAATGATGGCACTGTCGTTCGAGGCCAGCCAGACCTTCTGGGCGATGGATCCGTCGGCCATTTTGATGACTTGAGATGATAAATCTGAAAGCGGTGATGGAGTGTCGGCAGGAGGCCTGTATGCGATGATGCGAGCGAAGGTTGGCGTTTCGTGTGCGGGTGTGATGCAGGTTGGAGGTTGGAGCTTGAAGGCAGAAGCCAGATTCTGCGGGGTCCGCTGAGCACTGAGCACTGAAGTAGTTGGGCTGAGCGCGGGGGCTAAAACAAAAACCAACCAACGCGACGGGATGTGCCTGGCTGGAGTGATTGGGTGCAGGGTTGTGCGGCAGATTGATGATGCAAAGCCTGGTGGGGGTGAAGCGTTTGGTGCGGCGAAATGAAGCAGCTGTGTGTGTGGGTGAAGTAAAGGTAAAGAAATTCTTAACCTGATCTTGGAGGAATTGCTTGTGCTTTATAATGTTTTTTTGAAGCTATCGGAGAAAGGAGGAAGATTTGAGGCTGGCTCATCAGGGCCGCAGCCAGGTGTTTTAAGTTGGCCGTGCAGTGGAGATAAATGGCCACTGCTGCCTTCGGGTTCGGGTGCTGGAGGCGGCGGCGCAGGCTACGAACATGGGCGCTCCAACAAAGCACAGTTATTGTTCCTTTTGGTTTGGCTCCGAGGACAGTGGAACGCTGCCTGCCTAGCGGCCCACCGCCGCACCCTTTTGTCATGTCCCGAGAGGTGTGAATACCTACCCAGGTGCCCAAGTACCTGGGGAGGGAGGGAACATTGCTATCCCCCATGCCACCTTCAAAGATTCACTGGTCATTTGTTTTGCGCCTCCGACTTTCATGTTCAGGAATTCAACATGCCTTCATTCTCTGTACATTCTTCCGCTCCCTGTCCACAGGTTCAATCTTCACTGGTAACGTGTTATACCTTGATGTTCGCTAGCTTCTGGATCATTCTTGGGCTTCACCCAAATCAAACATCGACCCTTGGGTGATTTGCGTACCTAATCGTTTCCGGGCGCGATGTCCCTCCCTCCCTTACCACTCATTAGGGGGCTGACTCAGCTCGTCCATAGCCAACTAAAGACTGGTGATTGAGGCCATTAAAATTGTGCAGAGCAAATATGACTGAGAAAACAAACTCTAGACGGAGGTGGAATAGGTTTTATGTCTGATCGGTTGGCTTAGACTAGGGGCTCAAAGTGTTTGGCACATCTTCTACTCTGGTGGAATGGCATTTGGTTACAATGGAGATCACCTGTGTGCACTCTCAGCAGTTGCGCCGAGTCGAGGTTAATAATGTTCTCTTGTGGATATTTTTTGTGATACTGTCCTGCCTTTGGGAGTTTTGCTTGATATATGCTCTATCCAAGCTGCAGAGTGACTGGCGAAAGTCTGGTCACAGCCCTGCCGGAGACAGAGGAAAGGACTGGCTCGCAATAACAATACTCTATTTTTAAGCCTGCATTTAATTACCTTGCACATTAGGGTTTCCCCATTCTCAGAAGCCTGGCGAAACAAGCGCGCTGCATTTGCGATATCCGAAGCACGAGAGTTTGTGCAAGATAAAAGGTTTACTTGTCTCTGTTAGTTGAAAAGTTCCCTGCAAATTTCGGCGGAGGTTGTTATAAACATACTATGCCTTTTGGATTTCAATGTTCTGCGGCTCAAGTGTGCTCAGCGGATGGCAACCTTGACACTGTTGGGACCGGAGACGAAAGGGCTCAAAGTGGACCTGACTTGTCAGTAGGCAAGCAGGTTAAAAGCGGTGCGATGAAATATGGCCTTACAGCTTCTTGGCGTAGACAGCGCCAAGATCGGCTACCAGCTTATTCTCCTCCAGTTCTCCAATGCGCACATGGTTGATACGCTCACTCGTAGGACTGTTCATCATAGCTGCGGTGGTGGCATTAGCGCGGTACCAAGAGATGAGCTTTTCATCAACGAGGAAAATCTCTATAATATCCGTTAGAAACTGGAAAGTTGGTGCCATAATGTCACGGACTTACCACCAAGAGCTCCAAATTCTGTGGTCATATTCGATATGGTCAGGCGGTCGTCAATAGGTATGCTCGCTAACGTTTGTTCAGAGCCTGTGAACTCTATGATGGAGTTCAAGACGGCGTCTCCAAATAACCTGCAAAGTACTCTACAACTACATAAGCGATGGGTATACTCAAAGGAGACGAAATACAAAGCTTACACATTCACATCTTTTCTAACCCAAGGTCATGTCAGTAATCATGATCACCACATTTACAAAAGACCTCATCACTTACCCTGTTACGCCAGCGGGGAGAAATCCGGTAAAAGTCTAGAGAAAAAGTAGCCACCATACACGGACTAGTTGATCCATAGCATTCCTCACAATTTGAACAGTTGGCGGCACGAGCCACCAAGTCTTAGGTTTGCCTTGGACTCGTTTTGTATGTCATGATCCATCGTGAATACACTGGAGACGAAGGCAGACATGTATAATGCGAATGAAATGAAATGGCAAGTGGTCAAACCAGGGAGCCTTTGTAAGACTCGGCATGCTTCATCCAGCCAGAGACGTGCCTCAGTCGTCTGTGTAGCTTGCCTTTATTACGACATTGCAAAACAGCACGGACAATGATTGCCGGGAATTTGCTCGGCGGAGGATTCGTGGGGGGTAGTGCCCATCTTACACTAATTATGACCCGAAACATCGTAATGGGCTATGGGCCGTGGGCAATGGAGGACTTGCTGGCGTCGTAGTCGGCCGTGGGGTTTCATTACGAGTGCAGTAAGTTTGTTGGGAGGAATCAACGAATGCATCAGCCGTGCAAACCCTTGCGCTTGGACAGACCATGATGTGGCCCCGCCGTCAGAGCATGTCGGATGCTGCCATCTGGATGCATGACGCTTGATGCTTGATGCTTGATGCTGGAATGCCCCGGCCAGATCCTCCGGGACATGGTGGATGGTAGGTAGATAGGCCTGTCTCAATTGAGAACGGCGACTACGCAAGCATGGTCAGATATCACCTCCGCCCACCATCCCTCACCTCCGTCAAAAGAAAGCCGAAAACGAAAACGGTCGAAATGGTGGTCAAGGGAGCGCTCAGCCTCCTTGCTCGGCCGAGTCCCCGCAAAGGTGGTCTCTGTCTGCGTTGTCTTGTTGCTACGGGCGTTCCTGTGGCGTGCACTGGAATCATGATGGACAGGGCAAATCGTCCAACAAAGGCGGTGATGGCTGCCCAGATAAGCATTGGCATGCAGGGCATCGAGACATGGAGCGGGGAGCGGCAGTGGCATCAACAACCACGCCGCGCACGCCTCACCTCAACGGTGCGACAGGGGCATTGGTATTATCCGGGAGAAAAAGGGAAGGTCTCGAAGTACTATGTAGGTAGTACTGCGTAGTAGGCTCGCAGGCGTGCAAGCGTAAAAGCATACAGCAAGCCCCTCGACCGCCTTGGAGCGGTGGATGACTGGTGGACGACCGGTGGTTTGACTACAGGAACCTACCTAGATAGGTGGTGGGTGCAGAGCACTTGGACTCCCGTGGTGCAGAAGAAATCGGGTGATGCTATGGCTGTGCGCAGAACCGCAGAATAGGAGGCCAACACGTGTTTGCAGGGAGGCCCAAGAACAGGCCATGGACGCTGGGAATTCTAATTGCTCAAGATTACCATGGGCCTGGGAATTGCCTGCTTTGCTGCTAGTGGCCGGCGTATCAGTGGCCGCCGAGCTGAGATCGTCGCCGAGGGCGGTTTAGCGCCCACGGCTCTGGGCAGGATCCAGCAGGGCTTTAGGGGGGCCTCCTGGGCGGGCTACTGGACTCCAATGCCCTTAGGGGCGGGGGTTTGGGTGTCCATCTTGTAGCAGGTGCTGGACAGCCCTGGGGGAGTGCTGGGGAGCAAGGCCAAGCACTGGAAATCATGCTAGGCAAGGCCTTCTAGCGGCCCTCTGTGGCGGATTCGACAAGGAAGCGAAGGATGGAGAATCGGGGGGAACGGCGCCTCCATCCGTGGTTCCGCCCATCCCGGACTCCGGCGCTGTCTCCCACTGGCTCCCACTGGCTCCCACTGGACGGATGCAGCCCCTGGCGGCGGCGGGCTGCTCTTCACCCCCTGTGCGTCAACTGTCTGACCCTTGACGCTGGTGTCTTGGTTGCCGTCGCTGCACACGGCAGCCGGCAGTGGTGTGGGTGGTCACTGTGGTGTGTCTGTTTCTGTGTGCGGACGACCCCCAAAAACTCATTGATTCTCCCCCCCTCCCCACGAGAATCATACATACACCCTGCTCCCCTCTGCTACCTACTCTTCTTCTATGTTTTTCTCCTTATCTGCCTACTTGACCTTTCGAGCGCACCGTTGCTGCACCTAATATTTCTATCGCTTCTCTCCCCTCACCGAGTTCGAGCCCGCCGCCAACAACCTAGAGCATACGTATCGACTCCAACTCTCCGACTCCCCTCGCGCGCCACGTCTCCAACATCCAGCCAAGCTCCATCCCCTCCCGCCGTCCACCCTCGTACACGCGCGCGCCCACAAACGTCTTGCAACTTGCGCAGGGTAACCGGGAACTCGGTTCTCCGTCTTCCGACTCGGTGCCGTTGAAAAGTTGCGGTTGCAGTCGCATATGCCAGATGCCGTTGCGACCTACTTCTAAGCCCATGCCCGCTTCGCCAGCTTCGCTCTGCTAGACAAACTATGTGGCGGCGCACATATCTTTTTCTCATCCTCATCCGGCTGTGGTTTGCGTTGTCGCCCAGCTATCTCCACCCCGACGAGAACTTCCAAGGCCCCGAGGTCATCGCAGGTACGCTCAATCTCTCCTCCTGCGCTCCGTCGTCTCGCGGCGACCAGACTCCTTACTCTCCCGGGAGACAGCTCTGCTCCCCCGCATGATGCCCATCTCCCAGCTTGCTTGGCTGTCGATCTTTACCAAGGGTGCTATACTAACATGCCACTTTCTACCAACAGGACAAATCTTCAGCTACCCAGTCCGACACACCTGGGAATTCACGAGCGAGAACCCCATCCGAAGCGTCTTCCCACTATGGCCCGTCTACGGTCTCCCCATGCTCCTACTCCGATGGCTGTGGATCGGTAACGGAAAAGATGGCGAGATCCCCCGATCGCCGTCTTCTGGACCCTCCGCGTCCTCATGTTCGTCATCAGCTTCGTTTTGGAAGATTGGGCGCTTCACGAGTTGATCCAGTCACCCAGGCACCGTCGCGTCGCTGTCCTGCTGGTTGCTTCCTCCTACGTGACCTGGACTTATCAGACCCATACGTTCTCCAACTCGGTGGAAACACTAGTGGTTGCGTGGAGTCTCGTCCTGATTCAGCGTCTCGCCGATGCACGGGTTCGTGTGCCCCCCCAATTTTGGCTCTCGAGTACAAGTCAGCTGATAAAACCAACACACAGCAACGATCATGTGTCCTATCCTCTACTATTCTTGGAGTAGTCGCCGTCTTCGGAGTATTCAACCGAATCACCTTTCCAGCTTTTATCTTCGTCCCTGGGCTTCGGTTGATCCCCGTCTTCTGGAAAAGGTGAGACTCATCACCCCATGAGCCTGTCTTGTGAGAGTCACAACTAACTCGCCGCCTAAGGCCCGCATCTTTTGCAGCCCTGGTTTTGGCTGCCCTTACGACCTCAGTAATTGCCATTGCGCTGGATACCGCATTCTACCTCCCTGAACCCGTTACCTGGGCCGGTCTAATCAACAACCCCGTAATCACCCCTCTCAACAACTTCGTCTACAACTCCGCGACCGAGAACCTGGCCCAGCATGGCATCCATCCTTGGTATCAGCACATGGTCGCAAATTTGCCGCTATTGCTAGGTCCCGCAGCAGCGCTACTCATTTTCAAACCCGACCTCTCTCTACGACTTTACTCGGCGATTTCGGGTCTCCTCGTCCTATCGGCCTTCCAGCATCAAGAGGCGCGATTCCTCCTACCGACCGTTCCCCTGTTGCTCTCCTCTATCCATTTGCCAAGGAACAAGGTCGTCTTACGCATTTGGCTAGCCGTTTGGATTATTTTCAATATCTTCCTGGGCCTTTTGATGGGCATCTATCACCAGGGAGGAGTTGTACCGGGACAGGTGTTTCTAAGCCAGCAGCCAGATGCGACTCAGGCCATTTGGTGGAAGACTTATACCCCTCCGGTCTGGCTACTTAACGGCAAGAACGAAGTGCTCACAACGAGAGATGTAATGGGCATGAAGGGCGATTTACTGCTTGAGCAGCTGTCCCAACTCGCGACGTGTGACACCCCCGCAGATCGACGGAGCCAGGAGTATTTGAAGGAGAAGAACGGCACGTATCTGATTGCCCCGGCGTCAGCGACGTGGCTCGACCCCTATCTCCCGAACAAGGGGTTGGAAGGACTGCGATTTAGGGAGGTTTGGCGTTATCGACGGCACTTAAATCTGGACGACATGGACTTTGAGGACGATGGCGTTTGGGGCACCCTGTCTAGAGTAGTTGGGCGGCGGGGTCTGGTTGCTTGGCGAGTCACCAAAAGCTGCCCGAATTGATACCGGGATAGGACACACTTGCGTAGACTTAATTAATGATGACCTCAACTTTTTTTCTTGGGGCGGCCCATGAATTCACTTTGTTCTCCACCCACTCATTGCTTTTGTTGTTATTGCCCGCGCTACGTGTCACCCCAGCGAAATTATAGTGTCATATGTCTCACCCTTGTCCACATTCTCATTTCCCCGCGAATTGTCCGTGTTCTTTCTGGTTCCATGAGTGCCTGCATAGCTACGTACGGGTGACGCATTGCCCAATATGGAGACGAGAGATGGAGACGGAAGCTGACCAATTCTCCAATGGTATTTTTATCCCCTGTTTCGCTTCGCGCGAGGAGAGGTTCAGGACAAAGGCGGCGCCCGTGTTACATCGCCCACCGGTGATTCCGTACTTTGTGCCTTGGGTTTATGCGCTCTCCAGGGCCCACTGCATTACAACCCATTTTTGCACTGCATATACACGGCATTTCACATGAGAAAGAGACGAGGTAGAGTGGTCTGATTGTGTTTTTTCTTTTTGTCACCATGACCCGAAATCTATGCCAGCTCCCGCATTTCAGCAGACAGAATCTTCCAGACTAGGCCAAGATCCCAAAAGTACACTTAGTACAGACGCTTGGGGGGAGACATGGTAGCCTTGATGGTCAGGCTACCAACGTTCTGCCAGCCCTTCTTGAGAAGAGAGACAAGGTAGTTGATGGCAAGCATGATGTTACCAATCAGCTGCTCCTGGGCCATCTCGACGTTTCCGACAGCGACACCCATGCAGAGAACCTTCTTCAGCTGGAACTTGATGGTGGACTTGACATCGTTGATTCGGGCAGTCAGGTCGTCGGCGTGAGAGACGGGGGTGGGGAACTTGCCGGCTGTGATGGAGTTAGCAATGCCGATGGCGGTTAATTGGGTTGGATATCTTACCCTTGGACAGACCGGGTCCGAGGAGACGGGGGATCTGCTTGATGAGAGCCTCGGAAGCGACGAAGGCATCGTACTTGCGGGCAAGCTTCTTGATGAGCTTCTTGTTCTTGTTCAGCTTCTTCAAGTCATCAGCGGACATGGCATCGACACCTCCGTGCTTGGCACGATCGATATCGTGCTGGTCACCGAGAATGCTACACGACCAAGTCAGCAAGATTTCTCTAATCAGGGGTTTACGTTCGAATCGTACCAGATGGCCATGTTGGGACGGGGGATGGCGGGCAGCTTGATGGTGCCAGAGAAACGCTTATCACGCTGGGGGTCATAGTTCTTCAGGCCGATCTGGAGCTCGACGGTCTCGAGGAAGTTGCGCTTCTTGGTCTCGTTGGAGTACTCCAAGAGCTCAGCGACTTGCGTCCGGACATTAGCTGTATCGCAGTTAGCACGAGAACAATTTGCGGCGACGAGGGCATCGAGACTCTAGACTAGAGACTAGAGCGCAATGCCCGAGGGTAATCGTACCGACTGTGATCTTCGACATCTTGACAGTCTCCCAATAGATTTCACTAGTATCTAATGGTGGTCAGGAGCGTGTGTTGTTGAGGTTCGGATTCAGGTAGAATTTCAAGATTTTGCTAAAATCCAAATTCTGCGGGTGTGGGACTCGGTAGTGGTGGGGCACTGCGGGAGGGCAAAATTTTCTCACGGGGTTTGGCACGTGATGTGGGCCTTCGCAGCTCCTATGGCGCAAAAGCCTACCAAGCCTTGGAGCTAGATCACCGTGAGGGACGACGACAGCTCTGGATAAAGAGGAAATCTCTTTAATCAGAGTGGACTAGATCTTGTATTCTGCTGCTATTGTATCGGGGAAGCGCAGAGACAAAGGGTTTGCCTCCTGCATCGACTGGAAAATCCGACATCACGATGCGGGACAACGCCCAGCAGGTTGACGACTTAATTGCCAACTCGAATCACATCTCAAAATGGGTCGAAGAGCAGCCAGCTGAGAGCCAGGCCAGGTGCGCATTTATTCCAAAAACTTCCAGTCATGTATTCTAAGCGGACAAAATAGTTGGGCCGAGTCAATCTTTACACAACTCCTTGACAATGCCGCACAGCCCAGATCAGCGTCTGGAAACTCTTGCGTAAAACTTTGTGGTTTCGTGGAACAGGCTTCAAAATCAAGATCACAAGTTCTCCGGGTGTGGGCTTTTACCAGAGATATTACCCTGAAGCTCTTCAATTTCTACATCGAGTGGAATGAATCAGACAACCACCGCTCCATGAGATTAGTCTTGGAGTTACTGCCCCGGCTCATAAGAAGGAATCCAGATGAGGACGCTTCACAATTGACAAAGGGAGGGATCTTGGACAACCTTGTCTCCATCGTTGCAGGAATATCGGCTAAGCCCCTGGCCAAGTCCGCAATCAAGGCCCTAGATCATCTCTTGACTAAGGACATCGTCTCTGTTGAAGAGATCTACTCAAGTTATGTGACTCTCCAGCAAAAAGAAGTGTCAAGTGACAGTCTTGAAGTATGGAAGGATATCTTCTTTGAGCTATTTCACTGGATGAGATTGCACTTTGTTTGCCCAGTTGCTGGGAGGTTCATTGTTGTCTTGTACCGTGCATTGCGCCGACGGACCCCCGAGAAGCCAGCGGATCTAACTATCGAGATATGGCACCAGTGGCTGCTGGAAGCACTAACCGAAGAGTCTTCGATCCTGGAGCCTGTCAAGAATTACATATTTCTTTCTCTTTTTAAGGCTGATAAGTCAGAGGCCTTATTGTTCCTGAGGAGGATGAATAACTACGAAGCTGTCTCAGCAAGTACCAGCTTGGACTTAGATATCCCAGCGCTCTTACAGCTGGCTGCTCTCGAGACTGGAAAGAAGGTTGGACTAGTGGAGGAACCAGGTAATTTGCTCCACCAAAGTGACTCAAGATACTGGCTAATGATTGCAGCTTTGAGCGGCAATGAAAAGCCCAGCGAGGAAGCGTTATCCATTATTCTCGACGAAAAGGTTCTAGAGAGTGTTCTAGCTCATCCTTCGCCCGAGGTCCGATCCTTTGCCTTCTCTCTTCTAGTCAGCTCTCCTTTAACCACGCGGCCCTATTCTTCCAAGGCGCTGGAGTTGTTACGGAAACATATGGCGGCCTTCTTCGCCGAGTCGGATGCCAAATTCCGAAACGACATCTCCAGTAAGGTTCGAGACATGTTCAAGAGAGTGAGAGGTGCCATTTTCGTGCTGAAGCGAAGCATACCTCGAGCAGCTGCCCAAGTCCAGAAGGAGAATGAGGCACAAGGCACTTCTTCGAGCAAGTCAAACACGGTGATTTATCGCGCCAACTTAATATCACTGCCCGAGGCGCAGCTGGTTGAATACTTGGAGTGTCATGAAAAGTTCCTTTTCTGGTATATCGGGTTCCTGTGCAGCGAATTGACCCCAACTGCTTCTTATCAAAGACACATTGCATCTCTAAAAGCAGTCAAGTTCATACTTCGCATGGAAGGAGAAAAGGGCAAGACATGGGAAACATCCGATGATCAGCGGCTCTTCTTCGATCGACTCGACGGCACGTGGCTGAGGGCTCTGTCTGACTTGATAATGGATCCCTTTGATGACGTTCGAGAACATTCAGCTGTTGTGCTCAAGCAAATCTTCTCGGATGAACGGTACACATGCTTTACTCTCATGTCAACAGGAGGCAGGATCAGTGCATCTGAAGAACTTTCTGAACTTTTGCAAAGAGCGGAGGAGCTAGCGAGGAGAACAGCTCGAGCGGACCACTCCGACGGTGTTGCTAGAGTATGTCAACTTCTCTACAAGTTCTCGAACGGCGAGCAAAATCGCCTTTCTCTTTTGTCGACCCTAATCAGCGGGCTCGAAACCAAATTGTCAGTGGCTGAGAAGGATCTGGGCCGAGCAGTCCTGGAAGCGCCAGTCCATGGTGACTTTTCTTCCCTCTGCTACACCTGGCAGGTGGTCTCAGAGCTGCAGTTCTCTGAAAGCGAGTTGCAGGCTGTGCAAGTTCTCCAGGATCGACTTATGATATGCAGCGAGCGGGTGTGGGCAGCTGTCCGGGACATCCTCTGCGACGACTCACCAGAGGGCCATTTGCCTGAGGACCTAGAAGAGGTCGATGGGCTGGATACCAAGGACATTCTAAGTTACAGCTTCCGAGCAGTTCACGAAGCGAGGTAACCCGAATTACTCTCCCATACTTTTCTTCGTTGTTAACATTCCTCACAGCAATCTTATGCGGGCTCTGATTCTCTCCATCAAGCAGACGTCCAAATCGGGAAGAATACACCCATCAAGGGAGGTATACGAGAGGATAGGCAATCTATCTTTCACTCAGCTATCCACGTTGAGGCATCGAGGCGCATTCACAACAGTATCCCTAACCTTCGCGACGTGTTGTCAATTCGTCAAGCACCTAGATCAAGAAGCTGAGGACCAACAAACGCCAACCTTGCTCGAGAAATGGTACAATGGAACCATGGATGCCATTGTCGCCCAAGTTTCGACAACTCGAAGATCTGCAGGAATCCCTGCCATGATGACCGGCGTGCTCTCTGCCAATGCCTCAAGTCCTTCCTTCGAGCAGGTAATGGTCAAGCTGATGGAAATTGCCAGCCTTGAAGCCCATGTCTCTAAAACCGACGGCACCAACCTTCCTCAGGTGCATGCCTTCAACTGCCTAAAGGACATTTTCAAGAGCTCGTATCTCACTGCAGTTGGAAACAAATCGGAGAAGTACTTGCTGCAGTGTCTTGAGCTGGCCGCTAATGGCCTCAAGTCAGAACTGTGGGCTATTCGAAACTGCGGGTTGATCCTCTTGCGCAGTCTCATTGACTGCTTATTCGGCTCCCATGAAAGCAAGGCTACCATGGAGGCTGGGTGGGATGGAAAGGCCAACCGCATTGCGTATCACCGCTACCCTTCCCTTCCAAAGGTTCTCCTCAATCTTCTCATGTCGGGTCATGAGATCATGGCACCCACAGCCATGGGCTCGGCGGCGGCAGAGTCTGTCTTTCCAGCACTCGATATCATCCGACGAGCCGGTCCTCCTGAGCTACTCCGAGACGAACTCCAGCTCCACATCACCAGGTACCTAGCTAGCCCGGTTTGGCATGTGCGTGAGATTGCAGCTCGAACCCTTTGCTCGTGTCTCCTGCATGACAAGTGGCTCGATGCCATCGCCGCTTTGGCTGCGGAGTCTGTGCAGCCCGCAAATATCAATTTCCAAAACTATGTACATGGTGTTCTACTATCTCTCAAGTTCGTCATCGAGAGACTTCAGGAGGTCGTACAAGATCGTCTTCAAAGTAAGTCCATGACCCGAACACATCGTGGGCCATGCAACTAACACACCATAGGTGACGTGCCAAGACTTGTCCAATTCCTTGGGCAGTATTGGAGTCAAATACAGGCTCTCAACTCCCCGGAAATCGCAGCTGCGTATCTCGAGGTTGTGAACATGGTGCGAGCACTTCCAAGACCAGAAGCCGCTGGGCGTCTCCAATTCGAGTTTCCAATTTTCGGCAAGTCCCAAAGTGCTCTCTTGAGGGGTCAGCGGGTGATTCATGAGGTCTATTCCGCCTCAGAGTCTGGAACACCAGTCGAGAATCTCCGAGATCTGCTCTTGGTCCAGAAAATGGGTGTGAACAGCCTGGTGGTTGGGTTGGAGACAATTCCGAAGCTCTGGAACGTGTCAACGTTTTCCGAGACTGACCTCTCTAGCTTCTGCGACCTTTACTTGGACGTTTGCTTAGCCATCGGTCCGGCCGAGCCAAGAGTCGTTGCCCTGCAAAATCTTACGGAGCTGCTATACCATTCGCTGAAGACGAATACTACATCCGCTCTTTCTGCCTCATCGCTCTCTCGGTTATGGAATAGCCTGCATTCGGGCTTGTTGAACCCTGGCCTCACCAATGCCGTCATCAGAATCAGCGGTTGTATCATGGCGATCCTAAGACAACGACAAGGGGTTTCTGTGGCAGGCATTCAGAATTGGGGACACATGATGTCAGACATGGGGCTGGACGACAAGGTCGGTTTATTTTTGTTCTTGATGTTCTCACTTCTTGATCTTGGTATTAATGCTTTCTCAGGACTTCGATACCCGCCTAGCCGCAGCAGAGTCTCTGGCCTCGTTCTTCAGCGTCACGGACTCAGCATGGGCCGTCGAGGAATGCCTCCCGGCCCTGCTCGCCGTCTATGACTCACTAAACGATGACGATGATGATATCCGGGACATTGGCTCAGCCGCCGTAAAGAACATCCTCGGGCAACCTCTCGTCCCTATCGAAGCCGCCAACCGGCTTGTGGCTTGGCTCGCTCAGCACTTCAGCAACAGCCCAGCGTTCCGCCGCATCGTGGCAGGCCGAATCATGGGAGACATCCAATTCCCCGGTGTCGACAATGGCGAGACCAAGTTCGCGGATCAACTCCAGGAGGCCTTGAAGTTCGACGACTCCCTCTTCGTCATCGAGGAGCAGAATCTCTTCATCGACGAGGTCAGAGAGTCCCAGCGCTGGGTGGTTGCGTTCGAGAGCATGCAATGGAGCCTAGAAGACGACGCCCTCAAACATCTGACATTGTCTGTATGTGGAGGGCTGGTCTCAGTCGATCATCTGACGAGCGAAGAGGATGGCCCTCTCGGATACGGATCGAAGCCCCAGGTCTTTGCCATCCTGTCACGCGTCATTCAGGCCGCTGCCGCGCTGATGAAGCATCACCCGGACCCCAGCCGGCGCGGAATTGTCGAAAAGGCGAGCCATGTCTTGGAGAGTGGCAAAGGTCACATATCTGGTCTACTATTGCGGCCGTTGAAGGAAAGAACACATGTTTGACTAGAATAAACAAATCGAGCATTTTGTATTTCAATTGCTCCCAAACGCCCCGCATACCCAAACGTTCCCATTTATATTTCACATGAATCGTTAATTTGGCCATCTTCCCCTACAGCACCGGTGACCCTGGCTTGGAGTCCCGTATGCTCTTGAGCGACGGCGTAGAATCGGACCTCTCCAGCAGCCCCAACTTGCCCAACTTCCTCACCAGCATGGTGTTTTGTGCTTGCAGCTCACCAACTTGGCCTTCGAGGATATCAATCTGCCGCCTGGCGAGGTCCCGCTCGGCTCGGATCTTCTCGAGCTCGATCGTCATGTTGGCCTTCTCCTCGCGCTCTTGTGTCTTGCGCCGGCGCTCTTCGGCTTTCCGTTGCTCGGCCTCCCGCTTCCCCTCTAGCTTGCGCAACTCCCGGCGGTACTTCTCTTCTTGTTTGGCGACCTCGCGGTCGTGCTTCTCGCGCATCCGAGCGAGAGTCGCTGCGTCTTTCTCCTTTTCTCCTAGTAACTTGGTATTCCGACGCTCCTGCATCTTGGCCACCTTTTCGTCGAGTTTGCGTCGCCGCTCCTGAAGCTTGCGGAGCTCCTTATCGTTCTGGTTGGGTTGCATGTTGGACTTGGATGTTTCGGACTGGGTCTCTGTAGTGCTTTCTGGTGATTTGTCTTCGGTCACGCTCCTCTCCAGGGCGGAGGCAAAGCTTCGAACGGACGACGTGTCGCTGGCAACACTGTCGTCTTCATGATGCTCTTCTTCGATAGTTGGAGCATCGGAAAAGCTATCGTTAGAGGTGACATCTGAGTAGGTACCAATCCTGAGGAGGCTGGACGCGACCAGGGAGCTGGCTGCTCCAAACGCTCCAGTGATGATCCCATACAAGCCATTGCTAATGGGAATCGGGGCGTCGTCAGGTTCCAAAGGCTCGCTGATAGGAACGGTGGGATCGGTATTGGTGGTGATGATGTCTGGGGTGTGTAGGGCTTTGTTTCCCTCCAGCTCAACCGCCGCTTCGGCAGGCTTGGTGACATCGTCCTCGCCGGGTTTTTCGAAGCCTTTGGCAGACATTGACGTAACCCACTTGGCGAACTTCCCCGCGTCACCGACGATCCCTGGCGGGGTTCCCTTCTCAATCAAGAAACGGGGCACGCTTCCTCCAGGATCGCTTCGCGTTATCATGACCCACTCGATGGCGGTGGGAAAATCATTGGCAGCCGCTGAGGCGCCATGGCTCTCATTGACGGTGCTTCGCCTCCTAGACTCGTCCCTACCCAAGTCGAGGGATGAGAGCGATCTCTTAGTCGCCACAGGGTCAATTGGGATTTCGCGGATCAGCTCGACGGACTCGTAGTAGCCGCGAATGATGCCCTGACGCGGGGGGCATTCCGGGTGCTCGCATGGCTTGGAGACGATCATGAACTGTCTCAACGGACGAGACCCGTCGGCGGGCTTGGCCGAGGTTTCGGAAGTCAGGAGCAGGGTTACGAAATCGCGCGGCGCAGTCGGGCCCGGGAACTGGGCAGAAAGTTGAAAAACTGCATCATCACGGTCACGGTCAGCATGACTGATACTTGCGTGAGATGGAGGAGCGCGCAGATGTGGACCTACCCTGGAGTTGACCAACGTCTTGGATGGTTCGGCTCTCAACCCGTTTGTCGGCGCCGATGCCTCGAATGTTGCCGCTTCCTGGGGACCCTTGAACCTTCATAGTCTCTGCAAACTCGATGTCGAGGCCTTTCTTCCAATCGTCAAAGGAGAGTCCCTCGTGTACGCTGCGTCGGGCGAACCAAGAGCCACGGCCATCTTTGGCACCCAGCTTGTAAACGTTGATACCGAGCGGGTTATCGCGCGGGTTTATTTTGATATCTTTCCATTCCTTGCGGAGATCCTGTGCTTGGCCGATGGCTGCGGCTGTTTGTCGTTGTGAGGGTGCTCGCTGGATGTCGCCGATTGATACCGCCGATTCCGTCTTGGACCGGGCTCGCCCAGTGTTCGGGGCCGCAGGCTTCGCGGCTGGTGCTGGGATGGATTCGACGACGGTCTGCGTCTCGGCCAAGATGTCTTCGAGAAACTCTTTGATATCGTCCTGGGGAACGTCGTCCCAATCGATGGGGGCCATGGCCCCAAGCGGCTCGTGGTGGCCAGCCATGATGCTACCAACACTCTCGGAGCCTGGAGATCAATAGCGGGGAGATACAGTGGGAACGGTACAGGTCCTCAACCGTCGACAAAAAATCAAATAGCCAAGAAATATTCAATGGTGAGAGAGGGAGGGCGGTGGAGGAAGAAGAAGAAGAAGGAGATGACCAATCCATAAGATCAAGGCAACGGAAACGATGGAGGAACAGGCTCGTTCCGGTTGGAGGGTCCGGCGCCTCATTGACGTCAGCGGGGGGCTCGGCGTCGGCGGTGCCGCTAAATCAGTACCTAAATCACCGATGGCAGCGTAGCAATGCTGACAGATGATAAGCGCCCCGCCGGGAATGCGCGGAACACTTCCAGCCTCGCTTCGAATACGTGTACCGTCGTAACTTATGGCTTCGTACTCCGTAAGTTAGTTCGTATACCTACATTCGAAAGCAACTGGGTTGTTATTTGACTGACTTGTGCCCACACAGCATGATCAAGGGTGGCCACACTCACTTCAACCCTTATTAGTTACATCAATTCGCTCCCTGGCATGCAATCAATCTCAAGGTTTTTTTCTTTTTACTTCTACATAAAAGCCCTAATCCCATCACACCCTACTATCTACCCAATGAAACAAATAAAGGCCTTCTACACACACCATCGGGCCGTCATGAGAGCGCTTCGCTTCCGTCCCTCAAAATAAATGACTGCTCCGCCCAACTCAACAACGCCGTCTCCTACAGCGCTGGCCAGATGCTTTCAATGCAACCATACACCGCCATTTATGCCATCGTCAGTTTCCGCTGCCTCATCACCGCTTGATGATCAATCATGCAGCTTCCACAGTGACTGTCGCGCCACTCCTCCAACTCTCGCCTTCGCTCCGATGACATCGCCTCCATGACCTTCTGTGGACTTCCGCTTCGCTTTTTCTTGTTGCCCGCCTTCTTGTTCTCCGACTGGCTGCGCAGCACCACGTCCAGGTCGTCACAAAGCGACTTCTCATCGATCAGCCAGTTCTCCCATTCAGACTGGAGCATTTCCCGCTCAACGCTGTTGACCACCCTCATGGCTACAAGCAGGTCATGTCGATAAGACCCGAGCCGCTGTCTTGTCCGTCGCAGTCGACGAGCCGTAGCCTGGCTCGAGGGCGCTGATAGCGCCGAACCGGCATCCTCCCAAGGCGAGTCCATGTCCGTAGCATCTAGGAGTTCCTTGAAGGTATCAAAACACGTGCTGTTCTGTGGGAACGAGAGCTCCTGGCCGGCAGCCCTAGACGCTTCGCTCAAGTCGGCAATGTAGACGGCCTTGCTCATCATCGTGTTTGGCCGGATTCCCATATTCTGCATAAATCCCACGGCCCTTCGCTCGCCCCACCACGTTGACATTTCGCTCGACGTTATCAGCACGTTGGTCAAAGTGCTGAATGCGAGAAGACCTAGAAGGAACCCGTGCGCTGTTATAACGCCGAAAACCTTCTGCAGTCCTGCGATAACCCACATGATGATCGACGACACTGCGCTCTCCCCGAAGGACCGGAGAGTTTCAAAGATCATGGCCGTCAAAGTTCTCGGCTTGATAACTTGCTTCTTGGTGGACTCTTTTGTAGCTGGGGAGAAAACCACCACCTCCGTCTGTTGTCCAATTTGGCCATATACCTGGATGGCTCTGTTCGTTCGACTACGCGCGCCCAGCTTACGGACTTGGTCCGTAGCAACCTCTGCCAAATCCTCGGCATCGCTTACAGCGTCATGGAGCGCTTGGCGTTCCACCAAGTTCTTCGATAGGGTCGGAAGCTTAGACCAGTCAATCTTGGTGTAGACTGCTAGCTTACACTTTGACTTGGCCACATGCGTGATGACTATCTTCGTGATGACCTTGAACCATGACGAATGGGGCAGATGCCACGCTGTCTTGACATGGGTGACCACGTATGTGACGTGGTCACTGAAGACCTCAATCACTTGGTAGTCATTGACATTGGCCGTCTTGGATCGTCCAAGAACGTCCTTGTAATCAACCTGGAACTCGAAGTCGCGCCGCATCCGCCCCTGATCAACCAGGGCCCATGGTCCCTGCGCAATCTGCTGTGCTCGTCTCTCAAAGTACAGCTTGGGAAAGACGAAGCTCTTGTCTCCAAATAGAACATGGAAGCAGGCCTTGGCACTGAGCTCAAAGGTTCGTTCAGCTGCCAGCTCTGTCATTCCCTCGGGTTCGTACACGACGGCCTTGGTTGGCAGATGGAGCTTGTGGTCGGGTCTTGCTCGTGATTTCGAGGGGCGAATACGCGGGCTGAAGTCGTTGACTACTCGGCCAGCTGGTCTTCCAGACGATGTTCCATCGTCAATGGGGGTATTTGCTGAAACCTCTTCCCAGCTTTCCACACTAGGGCTTGGCCGATCTAACTCTTCCTTTTCCAAATTAATCAATGCCGAGATGATCGCCTCAACCTCCATGGGCTCTTCGGCCTGGAGGTCGTCAACCAAAAGATTTAGACGGGTATGGAGCAGGCCGAGTTCTTCCAGGAATATCTTGATGGTGATCCTGGTGTATCCCGTCTCATTAGAATCATCGCCCAGATGTAGGAAGATGAAATCACAGTCCTTCCCAGGTGCTGCCGTGACCTCAGTAATGATGTCAAGGCTGATGCTGTATGCCGTGACAAGTCCTATTTGCTGGCCGTAGAAGTACATGTTATCGGGTGTGACATAGATTCGGCCATCCCCAGCCATATCCGGCTTCCCGGGACCATGCGCGGGTGAACTGGTCCAAGCCGCACAGAAGACTAGGACGAGTTTCTCCTCCAGGGGAGCATCGGGGAATATCAGTCGGAACTGTGCATGTTGCGCTCTCAGCTCAGAAGGATAATTGCGAGGGAAAACCTCGCCGCCAGTGTGTGACTGTTGCGGTCCTTTGCCAAGAGATGCCTGCGATGTCCCAGGCACAACCACGCCGATAGGGTCATCGTCGTCCAGCCTAGGCAATACCGGCTGTGGAGGTGCATTGACGGCACCCCAGACATTACTTCCCCAATAATTCGCCACAACCGAGGCCGGCAGCTTTCTGTTGTTGCCCACGGGACCCCGCTCTCCTGCAGTCAACACCGCGATGCGGCTCAATCCAGTCATGGAGGGGGGTTTTGCGAGTGTTAGGGGAGCAAGAGCTCCGATATGTGTATTCACTGCCGGTAGCATGTTTGGTGTTTGTCGAGGCGAACCAGGCATGGCTGCAAAGGTGTTGGGATATCCAGGGACCAGACTATTACTGGATGATATGAGACCAGCGGCCCCAGCTGATACTACACCACTTCCGTGAGCGGCCTCGACGTTGATACTGCCGAACGTAGCCTTACGGTGAAGATCAAGCCTCTGGATGATCCTAGCCGCATGCTCTCGACCGCTCTCGCCTTCTTCTCGAGCAAGGTCCCGTCCTAGAGCAGTGATGGAGCGGCGAGTCAAGCTACCGTTAATGTCGAAACTCTGCCTCGCACTGAGCCCACCATCAGGACCAGGGATAGGTAGGGTACTCGATCGTTCATGGGCGAGCCCAGACTCATCGGCTATGCTCGCCTGAGCATCAAGCGTCTTTGCGGAGAATTCGGGGATGCTTGGAGGTGAGATAGAGAAAGCAGGGTCCACGGCACCCGGAACGCTGGTGTTACCACGGTTTATCGTGGTCTCAAAGGCGCGTTTCTTGGTGACTTCAAATACCTCCAGCCACTCCGTAAGCTCACCTTGAGTCTCTGCTTGGAGTAGTATCGTTTGGCTCTTTGTCTTGACCTCGAAGCAAAAGCGCCTCTCCTCGCCCACGGCCGGCTTTGCGTTACAAAGCAGAACGCCAATCTCATCACCTTGGAGGACTCCCAGCGGGCCTGGGATTAACCAGCCGAAGATTCCATCCCTGCAGTAATACCATCTCCTGACCCAAGCATGTCTTGCTGGCTTTCCAGAGATTGTGCGAAGAAATAACCAGCCCTGCTTCTCAGAGACTACGGTCGCGCCGTCCTTAAGCCGTATGTTGACAGGGCCACGAGAACCAAGAAAGGGGACGGTTGAGGTGCTGTAGTCCTCGAGTTCACGAGAGGGCTTGAAGCCTGCAAGCGCAGTCTCTCCAAGATCCCTTCGGGCGACCTGTAACTCCCGTCTGAAGACACCTTCCGAGGCCTCCATCTCCTTGGACCATCCGTGGATACGGTCCATTTCATGATTCCACTTATGCGCACTGCTCACTGCCTCACGAGATCGCTTCATTTCTTTCCATCTCTCGGTACAGATCTTGACAATGAGCTTGTCCATCGTGAAGCGCAGCTGAGGCGCAAGCTGACAGTAGTCCATTGACGCCTTGAGATATACTTTTCGGGTCTCGTACACGGCAAAGGCGTCCTCGCGGAGAGCAGACGGTTCCTTTGTTTTGGACTGACTGACATAGCGAGCCAGGGTCGAGTCGAAGATCCTTTGAGAGTTGTCCAACGCTTTCCTGCATTCCTTGAAGTGTCGGAGATCGCCAGTGATGAAGTTTCGGATCGGTTCGACAATGGTGCCATCCATCTTCTTCATGGTGTTCAACATGTGCACCCAATAGTCGCGCCAGCCATCGCCCACTCTCTTGAGAGCCAGGAAGGTGTAGTCATTGTCGACCACGCCATCAGCAGCCGTAGGCACCGTCTTGGCGAGGTATGTATTTATCGTCTCTTCGAGGGTGAGGAAGTCGTGGAGGAGCCGCGAGGTAGACGTGACATAACCGTTAAGCCACCGTTCTATGGCGTCGACTTGCTCGGCGAAGTTGGCGGCGGTGACACGGAACGTCGGGGAGTCGAGCGCAGCTTCGTTGAGGCCGACGGGGATTGCGCTGCTGGCCTGCACAATGGCTGGTGCCGTCGAGCTCGGCGGATCGGGCATGGTAAGGAATGCTTGACGCCAGACTTCAGCTACAGCTGTCACTGCGCTGGAGTCTTGAGGCGAGAAAGGATATGACGGTGAGAAATGGACTGATGTGCTGGCACAAAGAGACGGTGATGGGAGGCCTGGCCTGTTTCCTGTTTCCCATGTTGACGTACCTACCTCCGTACCTGCCTACCCTGGCACCTTCCTCGCACCGCACTCGTACACCCCCACATGGACCCAAGCCACGCCAAAGCGCCCCGGCAGCTCTCCCCTCCGAATGCGGAATACGCAATACGCGGGTTCGTTGCTCGCATCTCACCTCTCATATAAATTTCACAACTTGGACAGCACTGTTATATGTAGCACTAGGCGAGACTCTGGACGGCACCTGGACACAGGGTCGTCTCACAAGGGCCTCCACAAGCACTTACCCTTGTTTGCAGACCCCTACTAGGTACTTCAGGTGTGTACTTGGGGCCACTGAGTACGGATACGTATCACGATCAGGGCAATAATGCCCGGAACAAATTTGCCCAAGAAGCAAACGACTTGTATTTTGTTGACTCTCCGCAATCGCGGCTGCTCCTCGTCTACCACCATAGCATGATGGATGAGCCCGCAGCGCACGCATCGACTCTACTCTATGACTGCAGATTCTTCAGGCCAGCACATTGGCGACGGCCTGGACGAACCCTCTAGTCGCTGCACCGTCTGGATTTATTCATTTTTCATAATGGGGGCTGTCATCTTGTGAGCTGCATGCATGATCGAGAAGACCAAGGCTTTTCGTACCTCCATTCCCGTCGATCACAACTCAAGAGGCCGTCATCATTGTGCGAAGTGGACTGGGTCGCGACACCTGGTGTTCATGATGGAGAGGCGCGAGACAGTCACCCCCCATCAGGCGCTTTTGAGCAAATGACATCGGCGCGGCATCGGTCGACCTCGGCGCCTCGTGGCGCCTAGCACTGTGGTCGTGCGTGGACGGTTGAACTTGAGTTGATCCCTCGCTGGTGACGAGGGGACCCGCTGGTCAATCTGCTCCAGAGTTAGCAAGGCAAAAGCAACCAACTAGGTACGTCTGTCACTCACCGTCGTAGTAATCATCGTCGTCACTCAGATCAGCTAGCTGCTCAAAGTTGACCTTGTATCGGAGAAGACCGCCGATGCCACCAAAGCCCTTGACGAACTGGTTGCCTTCGGTCGATCGGTCAGAGACGAACTCGAGCGTGGTACCAAAGTCCTTGTAGTGTTCAGCAATCCATTCCAGGAATGAGTCTTGAGAGACAATATCCATCTCCTGACCGGTCTCCTTGTCGAGGAACATATCTCGGGTGGCCTGCTCCTGCTGCTTGGTGGTGTGCAGAATGATCTCGGTGCCATTGCTATCCTTCAGGACATATCTGGTGATCTCAAGGTTCTCAAAGACAATCAAAATCTCAACGGCACCGAGTTCCAGGGCTTTAAGCGTGTCGTCAATACTATAGCAGACCTTGCCGGTATCCTGGCTAATCTCCTCGAAGTACTTGCCAATGAGCTTCTTCTCCTGGATGAACTTGACGTTGCCGAGAGTCTCGGAAGACAGCTCGATAGCCTGGTTGAAGCCGTTCTCGCCACCGTAGGAGACATCGACGACCTTGATGACCTTGGTTGCCAGACGGTTATCGAACATGTCGGATGCGTTGAGGTCGTTCTTGAAGTCGGCGGAACCAGCGAGAATGATGCCAGCCACGTTGACTTTGTCGGCAGTGATAAAGTTTTGCACAGCCAGCTCAGCAACCTTGCGGACGTAGTTGTGACGCTTTTCCTCACGGAGACGGGCGAAACGAAGAGCGGACTGACCACCACGGCCGTGCTTCTTGGGAAGATCGACGGAGAACTTGTGGACGATTTCGCGAGTGTTGCCGCTGAGGGTTCCGAAGAGGGCACCGTTACCATCCATGATGATGAAGCCGAACTTCTGGTCCGACTCGAGAAGCTCGGCCAGGGCCTCGGTGTGGAACTTGTTGTCGCAAAGGTAGAGAGAGGTGTTGATAGGCTTGAACGGCTCGAAGTCGATGTTGACCTTTCGCTCCTTGCCTTCAGAGGTCAAGATTTCACCACAGTACACGACCAGACCATTAGGAGGGACCTTGTTGTACAGCTTGAGACGCTGCTGGGTCGAGGTAATGGCGGACAGGACGGACTGTCGGTTGACACGGGACTTAATGTTGGAGGCGGTACCCTAGATGGGTGTTAGTATTCCATGGGGAAGCATCTATGAAACACGTCGGTATCGTACGTATTCTTCAGCCAACATCTTCGCAGCTCGCGAGACCTGATCCTTGGGGGCTAAAAAGAACCATGTTAGTGCGCGGTTTCCAAAACATGACAGCATCGGAGGGGCTGACTCACGAATAATCAGGGAAATCATGGAAGTTCCATTTCCTCTGGCGGCCTCGAGGCGCTTGATCAACTTCTTGACCTTCCAGATCTCGATCTGTCGACGGAAGCGCGTTAGCCATGACGAAAGCTGGGGTTGAGACAGTTGACTCCGCGAGCGCGGGGCAGGTAGAGGAGGGGCTGCAAAAAAACCGGCAAAAATATACAACTCACGTTCTTCTCGGCCTCGTTCGCCTGCGGGTCGCTCATCTTGGCGGTGTGTTTGAGAGCCTTTGCGAGTAAGTATTTGGCGTGTCTCGCGGGTCTAGGGACTCCGGGTTGCGGTGTGTTCTGGGACCAAGAGACTCCCGAAAGTTGGATGCTGGTGCCAGATTTTTATCGTGCAACAAGCGATGACCTACACGCACCCACACAACATCCGCCACAGGGGACTCCAGGTGCCTAGAGTTTGGTACCCGAGTGGGCCGCTGGCACCGCCACCTTGGGCGAGTCGGGTCAAGTTCGGGGGAGGCTGGTGACCTTGGTTCCTGACTCGAGAACGCCACAGGTGCAGGGTTCTCTGCTGGAACCCCCAGACTGCCCATGTCTCTTCACCGCCCGGCAGTATCCACATGCTCCGCTCTCCGGCGTCACCACACTTCGCACCGGAGACCCCCAATAGCATCCCTCCGGCCGGCAACGATTCCTACTCCGGGTCGTTCATTCCCTCGTCTGTCAACGTCCTCTGACTTACAAGGACCGTAGCCAAAATAAGGGCACGCCTAGACACTCCCTTCACAATGGAATCCGGTCCCACAGAGCTCGCGGCCACCATCCAAGCCGCGCATATCAACAGACACCCAGATCCGAAGCTCGATCTCAACCCGTCTACAGCCTCCTCGACTAGAGAACCAGTGATACTTCGAAGCTTGAGGCATGCCAGCGATGATGAAATAGACGAGGAAGACGAAGAAGATATCCCATACAGCGTCCTGCAGCCCGCACCTCGGTCATACAATCTCCCCCCTCTGCCAGACCTACGATTCGAACAGAGCTACCTTCGAAGCATCTCCAAGGCAGATACTTGGTGGAAGGTGGTATTAATCACAACCAGGGATCAGGTACATATAAGAAACGCTTTGTATTCGAGGGGCCAGTACTGACTCACTCTAGATTATGATGCCCTTAGCGCAGGGTCTGCTATACAACCTATTCCTATGTGGCTGGCAACATTGGAACAGGAATGCCCGACTACATGGCAACACAATAGGCGCCCGGGCTCGCAGATGGTGGTATGAAGTGAACAACTGGCCGTTACAGACTCGGGGTAGTCCGAGAAGGCGGTTCTAGACACGAGAGACCAACCAAAGTGAAGTGTACATAAATATTGTAATCTAACCCGAAGAATACCTATGATATTTACTCATTCTTAAATCGTCACTTCATCAGGTGATGGGCTCGACGAGAACTTTTCCGGTTTGATGCTCGTCTCATTGACGAATACCGGTGGTTTTCCGAGTTACAATCAACAATTCGGGGCCAAATCTATTCCCCAAGCCCATAATGCCAATCATTTAGCGACAGTGATTCTATGCCATGTATCGCCTCATTCACCCCAACTCCGACAAAACAATTGATTAGATCATATCTCCTATTCCTTAGCACCAATATCCAGGGGCCGAGGAAGCGGCTGCGCGTGTGGCTTCTCTGGGCTTCCTCTAAAAGCGAGAGGGGTCACATGGATTGGTGCTGGCGTCGCTGCTTGGAAGTCGGCGGCCTTGGAATCTGGTTCAGGGGAGTGCCGGCCTCGGCCTGCCAGAGCCTCAGTCTTAGACCCATGCTCAGCGTCCGTTGTATTTTTAGGAGACGATGCGGTTGGAGCGTCCTGCATCTCAACGAGTAGTGCCTCGGATTCGCCACCTCTCTCGTGTAGGCTGGATAGAGGAAGGGCGTTGCCAGCTTGCAGGTTTGGCGCCAACACGCGCTTCAGTTGCGGTGGCGTAACCGATAACTTTACAACCAGACTTTGTGGTTCATCACCCAGGTCATCATCGACCATGGCTTCGTCCTCATCAAACTCATCTTCCTCTTCGGACTCCTCAGGTACGTGCGCGTCAACGTCCCCTTCATCATCTCCGAAATCTGCCTCGCTCTCATCATCCGACTCATCGACATTCCGCCGGGAACGGTTGCTGGTTGCTGCCCAGCCAGTTGTGCCATGATTCACGGCTGCTGACCTTCGAGGTCGGCCAGTTGGGCCCACGGAGCCTTCTTTTTCTAGTTCAGAGGTATCGCCCTGCACACTTCCAGGGGCACTGCTCCCGGTAGTTGCGTTCAGTCGGGTAGATGCTCTAATCTGCCTCCCACTCGAAGTCGTGACGGGCCCAGGCTCGGCTGGGGTATTGGTTCCGGTATTTCGAGTTGAGCGTCTGGTGGTGGAGTCCGAGAAGGACACGTCTTCGTCGTCCGAGTATGTGTACTTCATCTTCTTTCCACGGGTACGACCTTCATACATTGAGAACCCCGGCTCTGGACGTTTAAACTGCTCCTTGCGCAGCAAACGATACTCGCGACGCTTGCGTTTCTGTCACCTTGGTTAGCACGACGTCAAGAATAGGGCCATCGTAATTGGTAGGCAGAAAAAGAACTTACATCTTCGCCAGCTTCGAACCGAGGGATGGCTTGCAACATCTTTTGGCTAAGCTTCTTTGCCTTTGGTCCTCCGTCCTTTGTCTCAAGCTTGTCGGACAGGGCGGTGAGTTCATCGATCGTACCGGCAACGCTCCACCACGTTCGGTTCGCACCAGCAGGATTGCTTTCTCGATAGATGCGGAAAGCCGTATCGTCCTGGCCCTCGATTAGGAAATACCGGCGCTTGTCGCCATCCGAGCCCCATGGCTGCACTGCTCTTGGCTGGTTCACGTCATCTTCGTGCCGATTCTGTTTGTAGGACTGGTTGATCAAGCCCTTGACAACGTCAGACGACGCGAGGGTCCAGAGGATGAGGGTTCGTAGTAGTGTAAGCTGCATAATGTGTCAGCGAATTGAAATGGACGGATGGTACCGGATAGACGAACTCGTTCCGTGGGGTTCATGGAGGTGAAGGTCCCGCCACCAGACAACGGGCTTTTTTCCTCCCAAGCAGGAGCCCATTGGCTCTTATGGGTACTAACGGCATCCTCAAGTGCTCGACCGTAATGTCCCGGTCTGTAAACAGCAGTCGTTAGCGTGTAGTCGCATCAGGGCGTATAGTATTAAGCGTACTTGACGTCTTGCTTGCGATTCAGGAGAAGGCCTAGCAGCGCACAGAGAAAATGTTCCACTCGATCGCCCGGAATAGATTCGACAACATCTCGCTCAAGTTCTTGGGGTCCGAAATGAGCAAGGGATTTAGGGAAAGCGTCGTGGAATCGGCTTCGGAACATGACAATGAACTACAGCAGTCAGCAGGGCCCAATGACGTTTGTACGCGACCGCGCCGGGGCCATCGCGTCACAACCACAGCAGAACGCGCCAGGCAATTGCCCGGCTGCAAAGACGCGCAAAGGATGTTCCAAAACGTACAGCGATATCAGGATTATCTGCCAGCACATATTCATGGGGCGGCGAGGGGGATCGTTTGCGCGGCGGCGGTGACGGTTCCTTTGGGGGCTGTTCCGAAAGCTTAGGGAAGAACTTCAGGATGCCGCCCTTGGCCTTGGAGGGCTCTTCGTCGCCAGCGACATCCAGCTCGTCATCGGAGGGCACAGGCGACAACGAAGACAAGGACGAGAGCTCGGAGGAATCATCGTCGGCGGACATGTTTGCGGTGCGCGTCGTGGTGAGGTTGAGATGAATGTGGGGGAGGGAAAGTGAGGACGACGTAACTAGGTTCTCAAGCGGATTTGCACCCACTAGGCGAAACGACGAGCCGCAAATCAGGCTTGTGGATTCTGATAGGCCCAGGCAAAACATCAATCAACTTGGAAGGCCGAAGCCGTGTGGGTTAAGGCTCCCTGAAGGTGACAAACAGGAGCTCCTGCGCTCGCATGCCTCAGAGCCGTCGCCCTTGCTACTCTCCCCACACGCAGCCCATTGTTTGGACCCGTGCAGATCAGCACAAGTCAGCACCCCGAGAAACGTTTCGTTCAGGCCGCATCAACATAGGGGCTCCACGAGTTTGAAGAGTACGGTGTAAAAATCCACGCCATCTGTTAAGAAAGCCCGGTTTGAAAGGTTTTGAATAGAGATATCACCACTGCAAGATATAATACGGTGGCTCAACGATGCCTCTTGCCTCAGCATGGTCATGTATGGAGATGCAAGCCGACTGGGATGTTAGCAGAGACTCTGCGCTGCCTACCCGCCATGATGATAACATGCAAGTCCTAATGAAGGTTGGCTCGTAGACTCATCAAGGAGTAGCTCTGTTCGGCTCAAAGACTCGAATGCTTGAGCGATCACGTGATTTCAGTCTCACTTTCAGTGCATCCCCTGCCTCCTGAGTGGTCTGCGCCATCCAGGACATTTTACGTCATTGCTATTGGTTCCTGGCTTCCGTGTAAGTTGGCTATCGGCGTGGCTCACGCTATCGGCGATTGCAGTCCGATGAATGGACAATTAGGTACCTCCATGGCCTTGCGAGGTATTCACGCTTATTTTTGGACTCACAGTCATCACCGCGGTGCATAATCTCTTTAAGCGCAGGTAGATGCCGAGAATGCTTGGAGAAGGGGGGTTTTGGAGAAGCTCGGCGGTTTGTCTCGTCAGGCACGCTGATTGCATGCGGATCAATCGCAACAATTCGATAAATATCCAAAACCGGTGCCGGAATCTATAAGCATTCTACCTGGGGCCCTTTAAATGCATTGAAGCTCTCTGTCGTCATATCATACTCGAACTCTGTTATTGTGATCAACATCAAGCTCGATATCAAGCCATGAAAAACAATTCCTCACAAAATCTCGTGGGTCTTGAGGTATCTAGTGGGTACAGAGGGCAGATTCGGTTCGGTACACCGACTTCCGTTTCAAACGAAGCACTAAGTCGGAGTACTTTCTCTCACAATTGCGAACAGCTGCTCGCGTTTGCGGTTAAGATAGAAAAAAAGCTGGGGCTTCCCATGCACCAGCCCAGTGAAGTGCTGTTTTTGCTGGCAACGGCCCCGCAATTTTGTTAAAGCCCAGTCACGTGCTAGGGCTCCTCCACCCATTGACAATCCCGCGCACAAAAATTTATCAGCCAAGGTGCACGCAAGGCCCTCTTTGACAAAACACCAAGCGGCCCAAGCCAGGTAAATTCCCTTCCTCTCCCTTCTGCCCTCGACCCTCTTCTAACCACAGCTTCACAGCATCTACCCTTTCCTATTTTCACCCAGTGAAAACAGACGCCATGGGTAGAGTCATTCGCAACCAGCGCAAGGGTCGTGGATCCATTTTCAGTCAGTAACCGATCGAACCTCGAACGAAATCAACATCGAAATACTGACGCAGGATAGCGGCCAACACGCGCCTGAACAAGGCTCCCGCCAAGTTCCGCAACCTCGATTTCGCCGAGCGACATGGATACGTCCGAGGTGTCGTCCGCGAGATCATCCACGACCCTGGCAAGTTCCCCGATGAGCCTCCCACAACAACCAAATTGATATCCGAGGACTGCGACTAACGTTGAGTTCTATGCAGGCCGTGGTGCTCCCCTCGCCCGTGTTGTCTTCCGCCACCCCTACAAGTTCAAGCAGGTCACCGAGACTTTCATCGCCAACGAGGGCATGTACACTGGTCAATTCATCTACGCCGGAAAGAAGGCTGCCCTGACCGTCGGCAACATCCTCCCCATCGGTGAGATGCCCGAGGGTACCGTCGTCTCCAACGTCGAGGAGAAGATTGGTGACCGTGGCACTCTGGGCCGAACCTCCGGCAACTACATCACCGTTGTTGGACACAACCCCGATGAGGGCAAGACCCGCATCAAGCTCCCCTCAGGTGCCAAGAAGGTCGTCCACTCCAAGGCCCGTGGCATGATCGGTATTGTTGCCGGTGGTGGCCGAACCGACAAGCCTCTCCTGAGTACGTTTTCCTATGCCAAATGGCGAAAAGCCAATTGGGATTTTGTGTGTGGAGATTGAAATCTAACAACTTGCTACAGAGGCTTCTCGCGCCAAGCACAAGTTCGCCGTCAAGCGTGGTGCCTGCTGGCCCAAGACCCGTGGTGTTGCCATGAACCCCGTCGACCATCCCCACGGTGGTGTACGTATTCCCCTTTGGGTACACTGGAGGACAGACTTGCTAATGACACACGACAGGGTAACCACCAACATATTGGTAAGGCTTCTACCATTTCCCGATACGCCGCCCAGGGACAGAAGGCTGGTCTTATTGCCGCGCGGAGAACGGGTCTCCTCCGTGGTACTCAGAAGACGAAGGAGTAGAGTGGCTGGAATTCATGGTCTCATTGGGATGGTGTTATACTGGCTTGCTTGCAACTATTGAAGGTACTGCTGAGGGCAGAAGGCTGGTAGCTCCGAGGGCAAGTACTATGGCATTTGGCGCACAAAATCTGAAGGCCGTTCTCTGTGAAGATGTGAGATACCAGGAATACCAGGAATGACCTCGTAATGTTACGAGGCTGGTTGAAAGGATGCGATCCCGTTAGCCAAGCCCAGCTCGCCGTTCACACACAATGTCCCTTTTCTTCGATGTCAGTATGTGTCTTGAGAATGCGTCGGGCCACGCCATTGGCGTCGTAAGTTGAATAGTGGTGAAGCTGGATCAGGTGCAAGGTCACCTGTCGGCACCACTGACAATCCCAGGTGCGACTAACAGCACATCGTATGATGCGTAAGAATAAATCCACCCAAGGTTTAAATGCTTCGAAGCTCAGGGACAGCGCCTCGTAACTTGTTTACCGTTCACCGTCTAAAGTCTCGCAGCAACCACACTCCCACCCAGCCCTGTAAGTTAACTATGCCACCTCTACCCCTAGTGAGACCACTGGTAAGACCAGCGGCATTAGCCACTGGAATGCCGTCGCTCATTTGTCGCACGTGGGTACGTCCCTTCTCCGGCGTCGCGGCCGCTCGGACGCCGAGGAGCCCATGCCGTCGTCTCAACCCCACCACTAGCGGTGACCCCTCCACCCCAATCCTCCTCAAACTTTTCCCCTCCAGGTCCTCCAGCTTCCCCAGATCATCCACACAACTCTTCGCAAGACAATTGAACACTATGGCTCCCGCCAAGGAATACTCCCTCTTCTGCCTGGAGAACCCTCTGCTTGGTATGTATTTTGCCATGGTTTGCTCCCTTCTGTCTCCCCCAATGCTTGATACCGCCACGCTTGTAAACTCCCTCCTCTCCTGCGATTGCGTGCTGACGAGCTGCTCCCTCTCTCCCGACAACAGACATCCAGGCGTACGGTGACCAGACCCTCCTTGACAAGTATGACCTGAAGGAGAACGATGCTATCCTCGCCGAGGATAAGCACATCCCCCTCTACGAGGACCTCCTCAACAACTACGATGCCAAGCTCATCGCCGGCGGTGCTGCCCAGAACAGCGCCCGAGGTGCCCAGTACATCCTCCCCCCCAACAGTGTCGTCTACGTCGGCGGTGCCGGTGACGACAAGTATTCCGCCATCCTCTACGATGCCGTCAAGGCCGCTGGCCTGCGAGTCGAGTATCGCGTCGACCCCAAGGAGAAGACTGGCCGCTGCGGCGCCATCATCACCGGCCACAACCGATCCCTTTGCACCGACCTGGGTGCCGCCAACCACTACGACCTCGACCACCTGAAGAAGCCCGAGATCTGGAGCCTGGTTCAGAACGCCGAGGTCTACTACGTCGGTGGCTTCCACTTCACTGGTGAGGACTCTAACAGCCCAGAATCCGACCCCAGCAACGCGCTAATATAAGTCAACAGTCTGCCCTCCTGCCATCATGGAGCTTGCTAAGCAGGCTGCCGAGCACAACAAGACCTTCGTCCTCTCCCTCTCTGCCCCCTTCATCCCTCAGTTCTTCAAGGAGGTCGTCGATGCCAGCGCCCCCTACTGGGACTACGTCATCGGCAACGAGACCGAGGCCGCCGCGTACGCCGAGTCCCACGGCCTTGACAGCAAGGAGCCCAAGGACGTCGTCAAGCACCTCGCCAACCTCCCCAAGGTCAACACCCAGAGGAAGCGTATTGCCATTGTCACACAGGGCACTGACGCTACCCTGGTTGCCATCCAGGGCGAGGACGCCATCCACGAGTTCCCTGTCCACGCCATTGATACGGAGAAGATCAACGACACCAACGGTGCTGGTGATGCCTTCGCCGGTGGTCTCCTGGCTGGTATCATTGAGGGCAAGTCCCTCGAGACCAGCATTGACATGGGCCAGTGGCTTGCACGACTCAGCATCCAGGAGCTTGGGCCTTCGTAAGTTCTCAAAATTTCCTTGTTTGCATTTCACTGCTACCTATGTCTCCCTACGACATCCGTGGCGTCTCGGCAGGGCGCCGGTCCCTAACACAAAGATATTTCGTCTTGCTAACCCTTCACAGATACCCCTTCCCCAAGCAGACTTACCAGGCCTCCTCCTAGAGCCCCCAAAACAACTCATCTTGCATACCCTTCTGTAGGACTGAATATGTCTCGGCGTTGAGGGTAAAGGGAAAACGGTTTCAACAACGGCGTTTTGCATCCAAAGGGAGTGCCCGGATCAGGGGGCCCCCTTCGCACACGGGGCGGTATCCTCCACGATACCGCAAGTATCTGATCAAGCAATTTTTTGAGAAAATAAAGAGTGTCTTCCTGCTTGCAAAAAGCCAATTTCCGACTTGCCAATCGCTTGGCTTCACAAAAGCCATCGTCTGCCGTATTACGGTAAGTCGACATCCACAAGTCGTACAGAGGTCGAGCAGATTGCAGACCCAGTAGATCTCCATACCTCCAACGCATCGATTGGAGCATCGATTGCGCCATTGGAGTTCCAGTCGAAGCTGAAAAAGAAGCTCCGATGGCCAGTTTGGCTATATGCCAGCAGCAGTAGTAGCACAAAATTGTAGCAATGCGCTTCACTCATCGCAAGCAAAGATAACATCCTGAGTGGCCTAGCCAGGGACGGGATGTAAACCAAGTCGGCGGATCATAGGTACTGGTGTCCAAGACGGAAAAAACATAGCGTACGGTATCTACCTGTTGTTATAAAAGGCTGCCTGGAGAATGGCCGCGTCGTAGCTCGAGGTTGTGTCGTCCATCTGGAAATGTCGGGTGGAGGAAGAGCCGTTTTCTTGGCCAAATCCTTGGTCATTGCGGCTCGAAGCGAAGTGGTTTGGTGCTGGCATACCAAAGGCTGCTCCATTGGCGGGAGTTCCTTGGTATAGACTGCTCGGGTGAGAGAACGCCGATGCCGCCGAGGACATGTGGTGGCCGTCCAGAGGCTGATGACCCCAGGGCGAAGGCATAGTTTCTCTGGGCACGCGTGTGGTGTTTTGGCCCCAATGGCTGAAGGTGGATGTCCTAGGAGCGCTCGAATTCGTAAAGGACTGCAGCAAGCTGTTTCTGTGGGCTTCTTCAGCAGTCGAGGCAACTCGAGGGCTCCCCGTCATTCCGCTGGCGGGCCGATGGGTGACTGGAGCCTGAAATGATTGTTCCGGGGTGGTGAAGGGGTCTTCGAGATCGCCACCCATCTGAGCTAGTTCTTTCGACGAGTAGTTTGGACTACCTGTCGGGCCGTCAAACGCATCTCTGGCCATTGACACGGACGGATCTTGAGCACTGTGGGGTGTAGGTGTATAAACCCAGTTCCAAGGTAGAGGCTCGAACTTTCCAGACGGAATCGAGCGGGTAGGGCTTGGCTCGGGCGGAAGCATCCCGAAAACTTCATGTGCCGTCGCAGAATGCATTCCATATGAGGATTCGTCGAGATGACGTAGGTGATGAGAGGGCTGGGGAGTCGGTGGCTTGAGGAAAGGAGCCAACATGTTGATGACGGTGTTTTCGGCATGGTCAGCTGCGGCAACGGGCTGTTGAGGCTCAGATACCAAGACGACGCTGGAGGACGGGCCTGGAGCATCGTTAACCATGGGCCGGCTAGCCGATCGATGACTGTCAGATACAGTGCGCTGCCGATCCGTAAATTGGCTTCCCATCTCGGGAATAATGAGGTTAGCTGTCACTGCAGTCTGGCCGAGATCAATGGGGATATCGCGGGATGGCTTCTTTTCCTGGTATTCAAATACCAGCCCCCTTTGTGCCACTTTATACACCAAGGGAAAGACATTGTCCTCGGCTAGGAAGTAGGCGCAACGAAGAATATCCAGAATCCTGGCCAAGGTTTCTTGAAATGGCGGGAGCTGCTTTTCCTTCGACGGCAGATGAGGCTTCAGATCTCCGTTTTCTCCAAAGTAGGATCGACATGCTTCGGGGACTTGATCCGGGGAGAGCGGGAGCAGGCCGCGAGTTTTCACATCCTCCGGCAGTAGGTATGGGCAAGTAGCCAGGTTTTCCTGAGTGTATGTCTCGGTGCAAAGCAGGGTGAATACTTTTGCAAGGGCCTTGACCATCTCAGGGACGGCTGAGCCAAGAACCGCCGCTGCCCCAAAGATTTCAAGGCGACGCGCAGCGAGCCACATAGTATAGATGCGGAGTAGGGGCAGCAGGCATTCGATGGTAGCAGACGTCTTTGCCATGGCCGAAGCCTTGGGGTCAGTATTCTCGCGAATTACGACATCTGTGAGCTCAACTTCGAGAACGTTGCTGAATGTCAGAATGAACTGGGAATTCAGGCGCAAGGCGTATTGACAAAACCGGGATGCCACGACGGATGGTGTTTCTTTTTCAGTCAACAGTGAGACTAGACGATGCGGAAAGGTAAAGAACATACCAGTGTACTTTTGAGAGGCAACATGATAGGCTGACATGTTTATCAACGTCATTTTAAAAAGAACCTCGGTGTGGGAAGAGCTCTTTGACGCCATGCCAAGCCGATGCAACACTTCTCTCTCCAGTTCAGAGCTCTGCGGCAGCACTTCGCCCTTATAGAAGACGGCGTGGAGCTTTCCGAACCAAGTGATGAAGGCATCCTGGGGGGCTCGAGTATTTTTCCTTGGGGGGGTTTTATCCGGTTGTAGAATCGTCTTGAACTTGGACTCGAGATTCTGCTTTGCATTAGGGTGAGGATCTGCAACAGCGATACCTCGATAGAAGTAATAGACGACGTCAAGGTCCTTGTTCTCCTCTAGGCTGATGATGCCCATTTGGTGGAAAGCGAAGCCAGAGTCCGTCTTCAAGTCATAAGCCAAGTTGTAATAGGCCATCGAGATTCCATAACTCGACTTCCTAAGTCCAGCTTGGGTCTGATAGCGGGCCAAGTCACCCAGGCAAATCAGGGTAAAGTGGCAGGACTTAAGGACCATGTGGTAGATATGGGCGGGGACCGGGCTGATAATATCATTGTTCCCTGATTCCTGGATTTCGATGCCCTGGGCAATACGCTTCAGCTCCGGGATGTCATATCTCGCCGACAGCCTCTGGATGTATCCCTTGTAGAACTCCTGAGCAATGCCTAGGAAAGCGAGGTACTTATCCCCGAGCTTTCTCTTCTCAACGTTGCGCTTATCACCTTTTGGCTTTGAGGGGCTCTGTTTGTCGGCCTTTTGCTTGTCACCATTTCGCTTGTCGGTGGTTTGCCTGTCATTCTTCTGCTGCTTCTCGGGAGCCTGAGCCAAATGCTTAAGGCGGCCAAGAGTTCGTCGGTATTCGTGGTTAATGGATGTATGTACCGTCCACAAGATATGGTCGGCGCGTTCGGCGATGGCATATTCAAAGTCGAGGAAGATGGTCTGGACACATGCAAGTCGGAATCTAGTGGATGAATCTCAGCAGGTGTGCTCGAGGGCCAGAACCGTCGGGTTCCTCACTTATCCAAAATTGAATCTATCGCCTCGAATTGAGAAATGTCGACACCAGAGGTGTTATCTTTGGGAAGCTTCTCGAGTTGTTTCGTCAAGAGTTTGCGCAACTTGATAGCGGAACTAAACCTCGCAGTCAGTGACTGTGCAACGGGACGGGGTGGCGCAACCTCTGCCGGTGTTCCATTGAGCCTCCGCCACTGCGCGGCATCGTAGGCACGGGGATGAGTCGGCAGGACACTGGACATACCGCCACGCCTGTCTGGCCTTGCCGGCGAGATCGGCCTGTTCGGCCGGGGGCTCCATGATAGCAAAGTCAGGAAGGGCAACTTGGCGAGTGCTCGGGAGCTCGGGAGCGCGTGCAGGCGAGACCGGGAGAGGGGGAGTCGCAACGACGGTCTAGACGGTGGGGGGCGGGCTATCGGGCTTCTTTTTCATTCTTTCTCGAGGCCGGATCACGGAGTTGCAGACGGTCCATAACTTGGGCGCTGGTCGGGTTGTGCAGACTGGGGGCGGCCTCGGCTCGCGAAAATGGAATCGTCGGCCGAGGAGAGACACATTGGCGGAGAGGGAGGATCGATAGAGCAAGTCGGGACGAGCATAAATAGGCAACAAACGGGCGGGCGCCACGGGAGTTAGTGAATGCGACAGAGGTGAGAGCGTGGTGAAGAGATTCTGAGCCGCCGTTGACGTGACAGGGTCGAGAACAGGGAACCCCTCAAGGTCATGATCTTGCGGTGCCGTGCCGTGCTTTACTGTGTACGGAGTACAGTGCGGTGGGAATACTTCGGACTAAAAAAAAAACGGCCCCAAAAGTCTTCATGGGGCGATCCTGGGACCTGGAGTTCATCCCCGTCTCTCCGGTTCATCGTGGGCTGTGGTCCGTGCTCGCCAACCTGAAGACTGCGCAGGTGGGTGGTTAGTGGTGTCAGTGGCGGTGGTTACCGTACTTCACCTGGAGTTACCCCTCTACATAGGTAGCCCCTCACTGGCTCACTGGCTCGCCTCCCAGGTGCTCGTCATAGCGAGCTTCAGCGAACCCCCTGTCGGCAACCCCACTGTATTTTTAGGCACTAGATCATCACCAAACTGCTGCCCTGGCTGGCTGGCTTTCTATCGATACCACCACTTCGCCTGGCAATATTTGGACTTCGCGTACCTAGGTAGGCACTATCAAAATCTCGATTCCTCAACTCTCCTCTCCGCCGCTGCCATATTACTCAATCCTCCCTCTTGGCCCCGCGAACCGATCCGATTTCTCCGCTCCCTATTGCGACTGGTTTGTCCTTGGTTGGCATCCTGCCCCCGCAGCCCTCATCGTCTTCGCCTTACCGCTCCTTCGGTCTGATTCAAGTAATTCACTACCCCCCACAAAGCTCACCGCAAAAAGATGAAGCGCTCACGAGAGCTTGAGGACGAGTTAGATTCGGACGCCCTCCGAGCGGACACTAGGCCATCATCCACAGTCTCCCAACAGCCGGTAGCAAAGGCAGCCCAACTAGACTGCGCCATCGAGGACGAGAACGACGAGGAAAACGCCGTCACCATGAGATGCTTCCTACCGCCTCACAAGGAACCCTTAACCTTCCAGTCCTACGACGATTACGAGGTCCATTACACCAAGTCTCACACGAATCGATGTCTCGAGTGTCGTAAGAACTTTCCAACCGAGCACCTGCTTGGCGTCCACATCGATGAGTGCCATAATCCCATGGTGTTAGTTCAAAGGGAAAAGGGGGAGCACACGGTATGTATCAACCCACGGGTTTATACTCATATATATTGAGCATTCTAACACGGCAAACAGTACTCATGCTTTGTCGAGGGCTGTGAACGCAAGTGTTTGACACATCAAAAGCGGCGTATGCACCTCATCGACAAGCACATGTATCCCAAGAACTTCTTCTTCGGGGTCACAAAGGATGGCATCGACGGCAGGAGGTCTCTCCTCGTTGAAGGCCATCACCGCCGTCGCTCTTCAACTAACACCCAGTCAAAAGAGTCACGACGCCGCGCGAGTCTATTGGAAGCGGCAGGGTCACCAACACAGACAGAGTCACAGGCAGGAGAGCCGACGCCCAAGTCAACACCAACTAAGAAGACTGGGAAGTCACCAGAGAAGGTATCAAACAGCGATGACCCAGTGGACACGGACATGGCAGATCTTACGGGGGCCATGTCGGCACTGAACTTTGTTCCCCCAAGTGTCCGGTTCGGGAGAGGTAGGGCAGGTTTCTCCAAAAGATAGGTGTATCAAGAAGTTCCAAGCTGGGTGGCTATGATCAGCACGACGTTATGAATGACATGAACTGGTCAAATGAAGGATTTTCTACCTCGTCAGATTTGACCTGTATCTTCCAAAGTCGGAGGCCATGAAGCCGTCTCTTTGTTTTTTCCTTTTGCGCCAAACGCCATATCAAGTCCCGTGCACGAATCCCATGGTCAAACACCTCTAGATCCTTTCGACATTTCGACACAGGTGTTCTAGTCGCTTGAAGCGCAGCCTCGGCATCCGCAGCTAACACATTCGATGTCTTGCTCATCCTTCAAATTCGATCGGGGGACTCGGCAGATGCACGTGCTGTTGAAGTTGGTCTCCTTAGTCTGGATGCACCTAAGACAGCAAAGCTGGTTGTGAGTTAGCATCTTGGTCCAAATGAGATTCCACACGCGGAGAAAGACCAACCTTTTCGTAGCCTTGCTTCTTCCACTTCGCGATGAGCATCGCATCCGCATATCCGTTCTTCAGTAGCCAGTCGTACAGCTTCTTGTTGATCGCCTCCTTCTCATAGTACAGGTCGTACACATATCGACTCCGCTGGTGGGCGATCTGGAAAATCTCCCACTGCGCCTGGTGAATGGGACCCTGGGGCGGTGGCTTGTTCTGGGCGTCCTTCATCTTATTCGAAAAGATGAGCAGGTCGGTCTCGATATCGCTGAAGCCCTCTGGCGGGGGCTTCCGCTTCGATGAGTGTCGGATCGCGGGCATGGTCGCGGTTGTTCTGGAGGGTTGTTCGGGTCAGGGTGTAGCTTGACGGAGCCCCGAAATCGCAGCGCGTCGATAGCAATGTTTACGGTGGTTTCGCTGACGAAAGGCAGCCTCGTCAGTGGGGGATTCGCCTTGTGGCGGAGCCTTTAGCGTGTGGCGTCGCATCACGTGTCTCTGTCCCGGGAGCTGCATTTCATGATCTCGGCTGGTTTCCAGAACGTCAGAGCAGCGCGGTTTCCGAGTCCAAGAGCATTGATTGCCCAACATGGCCATTACGCCGACCGAGTTTGCGAAGAAGACGGCGCAGTGTGAGTCTAATCCCCTCAGCCGCTGCACTGACTGTACTGAACCCCGGAACAGCGGCCAATTGGTCTGATGCGAAGCGTCGAGTGCTCTCCTCTTACCGCGAATGGATCCGAGCCGTACGTTTGACGAACCCCCCCGACGTCCCTCTGCGACTTCGAAGACACAACAATTCGTTTCCATTGATCCACTTACACTTACGCACACTCCGTCGGTGGATGGCAGCTAACGAGCGTGGAATAGGCGCCTGAGGTCCAGACCATGTACAACATGCCCATGCCCGTTGCGGATATCCGGACCCGAATGCGACAAGAATTCGAGCGATACCGATATGCCAACAAGCTTTCCGTTGTGGATGTTCTCCTTTTCAAGTCCCACGCGGAGTATCAGGTACGAGAAGGACATTGCGGGCGAGAAATGCCGCGGGTGTTGGGAAGGGCTGTGGGCTAATGCGTGTGTTGGATGATAGGAAACCATGAACTTCTGGAAGCAGACCAACCACATGATGTCCTACTTCAAGTCTGAGAACTTCCGCGGCGAAAAGCGGTTGCCCTCGAGCTTCATGACTGGTTTCCTGGAGGTTAGGAACAAACTAACAATCCCCTCGGCTTGAGTATCCACTGACACGTATACGCAGGGTCGCAACTAAGGTGAACGGCAACGATTGCTCGTGTATATATCTCATTAGAACCTCTAGCAAAAGGAATCCTCAGAACGCCTCAAAAGTCCCACACGCCTCGACGTGATTTTTATTTAGGAATGCACCCCGTCCAAGTCTCCATGGTTTCCATCCAAACCCGTTCAGACTTTACCGGTCAATTCCGTGCTCGCCATTGTATGCCTCTCTCTTCGTCCAGAACTCATCTGCAACCACATCACACACATCTTGGAGGTCGCTCAGGCCCTTCTTAAGGGCATCGAAAGCGGTCCCCTCTGTAGAAAGTATTCAGCATCTCTCTCCATGGCGCATGATGGGGGACTGGCATGGAACTCACTGTATGTCTGGATTCTGATGTTCATCTTGGGCTCAGAGGGGTGAGGGATAGAGTATGCGCAAAACTCAACATCGGGGCTGTAAATATTAGTCCTGATTACAATTTAGACATGTGGGCAATGGCGTACTTCTTCATGACAATATATCTCAGGGCGTTTCCGAGAGTGTGACCCTCGTCGATGAACTCAAACGAGGCAGCAGTATCTGTTGAGCCGGGAAGCTGCGTGTTTGGTTAGTGGTGCACCTTCCCTGGACGGGGTTTGTGTAGCCCGAACTCACAATTTTCACACGCTGAGGCTCAATTTCCTCTTCCTCTTCCTCTTCTTCCTCCTCAACATCCTCATCGTTAACATCCTCCACCTGGGCGGATGGCGGTGCGTCTTCCATGTTGGTGTCCTCCACGGGATCCTCCTGCTTCTTTGTGCGTCCGGGCATTGTGAAGTGTGAGAAGTGTGAGTATAGTGGGTATTTGTTGATGATTCAGAAACAGGTTCCGAAGCGACCACGAAACAAGGCTGACTTCAAGTCAAAGTTGCATTTTCTCCCACGAGTCCAAGTTCACCGGCCGTCACTGAAGGAAATTTTGAGGACCAGGGTGGCGGGGCATGTGGCGCAGAGTGGCGTCACGCACGAGCCAGCTAGGCGATTCCTAGAATGGACAAATCTCGGTAATCTGTATAGGTTATATTAGAGTCGCATTGTGATAATTCAATTACCCAGCCCGGGTAGCTCAATTGGCCAGAGCGTGCGGCTTTTACGTCTTCCTCAAGACAAGTCACCGCAAGGCTGAGGGTTCGAGCCCCTCCTCGGGCGGGCGCAGTCACCCCCATAGGTGCTATACTTTTTTGGACTTTCATTTCTCGAAATGAAGTATTGTTGTCCTCTGAGTATTTGGAGACGGGCTGCACTTGGTTTATTTTTAATAGTACTGCTATTCGCACTCGAGGATAATATTATACTATTATGTTTAAACTCCAGGGGAAATTGAATAAATACAGTATGTATTTATGAATCCTTAGATATAAGGTATATATTTATTAATAAATGCTGTTTAATACAAATTAATAAAACGAGGTAGAGGATTGTTAGAGGATAAATACTGACAATTTGACTTTTGGACAAGTTATATTGGTTCCTTCTGACCTGTGTAATGCAGCATTTAGGTACCACCACCGGGTACGCTTTGTTTTGTACCTACTGTATAGGTAGCCGACTCAATTATGCGATAGACCGCGACAGCAAAACACCAGTGCTGTTGGGCCAGATTAAACGGGTTGCAATTGTCACCTGGCAGACCATTGGCGGCGCGGGAAATGGGGTACACGTGTAGGGTAGCAGTTTAATCTAGATGGTCGCCAAAATAGGACACAGCTTCATGCCACTGGAGTCATCGCGCCCGTTTAGGTAGTGCAACCGATAATGGTCCATTCGCTGATGCATGATATAGCGTGGTATCGAGGGAACTCCAAATATAGGCCATCGTACAAAAAAGCAGGGACCCGCGTGGTACGGTACACAAAGGCATGATAATTTAAAGTGCCATTGCCGTGCGCTAGCACTTACAGCCACTTTTCGATGGGGAATATTGCCTGCAGCGATGCAGGGAAATTGTTGGCCAAATATTTCCGCAGCAGGCGAGAACAGACGCAGTCTGATACTTTGGCAAGTATCGTTGGCCACGGAGGGTCGGCACCGGGAGTCGGTAGAGCAAACTCCAGGCGTCCGCCGGGAGATACGATGTCGGTGTCCGGCTGCGACGGAGAATGTGCGACTATAATTGCCGATGGATGAAATAAGAAATCCTCTATGCCAAGTGCCGCGCACGTACGGTCCTCAAATTTGTCAGCGACGGTATGGTTCTTGGACATGGCATTTTCCACAGGGATATTCCAGGGTATCCCACGAGGCAAAGGCGAGATTTTCTAGATGGGCAAGGATGCACTCCAGGCCGTCCACGTTGTCCGACGAGCCCGCAAGGATTCAGGCTCATGCCAGCCGAGGTCACCACGATGAGTCGCCTGAGTCCAGTAAGCCGGACAAGATTTCCGGTATGGGCAACATAATGCGGATGTGCTCCAGATGCCAACTCATGATGCCACCCATGGCCATGCCTTGAAACGACTCACGTCCGCTGGTCTGCCAAGCTGAGATGGGACGAAGTCGCATCCTAACATGGACTTGGATGGCGAGGCAGCCGGCCATCGAAACACCCGGGACTAACCGAAAAAAGGAGACAGGCGGGGGCAAGCAATGGCAGGACTGGACGTGTGTTTGAGGATCTGGAAGTGCGAGATCGTCAGTCCAATCAGCGTTGGGAACAAACACGGCCTTGAAACATGGCCGCATAGTCGACCCAATCGAGGCGCAAGGGCACCCTTGATCCTAAGTCCCCAAACGACGGCGCCCTGGTGGGTGCTTGGGTGTGGTAACAGCGCAGTTCGGGGTGGTACAGTGCAGTTCCAGTGCATGCAAATGCAAATGGAACCACCCCCCAACAGACTCACGACCTGAGACGTTGTCTCAGGTGAGGTGAAGCACATCCATCCAGATTTTCCGTGGATACGGAGAGGGGAGGTAAAACCCACATCGGTCGCCGGTGAGATGGAGAATATCAGCACATATTATCATTTCATCAGAATGTCTCGTGGGAGCAAGGAATATGGCGAAGCCACCTGAGGCGCTGGTGGACAGGTCGACGGCCGTTTTTTTTTTCTTCATTTCGCAAGGGGGGGATGGCGTTGAGACTCGGCTGGTCAGCAACCGGGGCACCGGCGCGCCGAGAAATGCAGCAGCTGCCCACAAACTATTGGTTTCCGCATGGACCGGACCGTTCTAGGAGTGTGTCGGGGAGGGACACGATGGGATGTCTCAGGCCACTGATCTGAAGATGTCTCTGAGCGCTGGCTCAGATCAGCCCAATGCAGGTGGCACGGGATCTGCATTCCAGTCGCCGCTAGCAAGATAATCCCATTGTGTTCGCCGCGAACAACACTGTGCTGTAGGGACATGTGGCACCAGACTGGACGGTGCACCAGCTGGGCGTTGGGGAACCTGGCCATGCAGCGAATGGCAAGCTGGAGTCGGGCGACGGCAGCGAGGCCATCAGAGACAGGGGTCGTGGGCAGGGGCGAGGACGACCAAAGACGGCTCTGCGCGGAAATAGAGCGCTATCATCGTGTTCGTCGTGCCAGATAGCCAGATCTCCTGATGGTTGTCTTCAAACCATGGAAATTGTGAGAGACTGCTGGTGGATAGCCAGGTCTGTTGGAGTAGGAGGTTGGGTGATCAAGAGCAAGACTGCGGCCCATGGGTCGCTATATACAACACATTCAAGCCCGCGCCACTTGGAGGAGGTCCGTGATGGTCGTGACAAGCGGGCTTCTCATGGTTTGACAGATTCGAGATTGGCACCAGGCGACGATGAAGAAAGAAGGTGGTGGGGGTGTGTTTCACGGGTCAGAGCTGAGGGTGTCGTCGTAGGGGAGGTGGAGTGCAAAACCACGGGAGCCCAAATGGTGCAGCAGATGCAGGTGTCAGGACCAGCTAAACCGCCTTGGCTGTAGGATGCTAATAGTGCCCACGAAGGCGCTGGGGGGACAAGGAAGAGCTGACTTGAACACATCCGCAGGGGGGCAGTGAAAGAGCAGACGGTGAGAGACGGTGACAGTGGGACAGGACAACGAACAGGCCACATTGTGAGGACTTGCGAGGCGAGGCAGTGAGGCACCAAGATGGTCTTCGGAAGGGCTTGCATCCTTTCATTTTCCTCATGTCGTGCTTCATCGGCCACCTCATCGACATCTTCAAACATGGCCATGCTCGGGGTTCGGGACGAAGCGGTAGCAGCGGTCGTAGCGGTCGTGGCGAGGTCACGCATGCGTCGCCTGGGGTACGTTTTGCTGGAAGAATTATGGCCGGAGATCGTCAGGGACGTTCTGGGGTGTGTGAGGGGCAGGTTTCAGCAGGTGGGAGGGAGTGAGATCCGGGTTGGAGTACTCCGCACGCACATACAGTACGGATACCACTGAGCGAGTGGCAACGGGCAAGATGATGGAGGGGGACGAAAACGACGACGGACGGGACAACCCTAGCTTTGATGTAGATGGCTGGCCTCAAGATGATGATCTGGCAGTTTGCATTGAAGATCGCTGGGTTGATGCCTTCCCTTGACTGCGATGTGGTTGCTGTTGGGCTTGTTGTGCAGCGGGACTGAGAAGCCAGACGCAACCTTTCTCCCCTGGGAGTATAAATTGTGTATTAAGTAGGAGGTGCCCTGCTGCTGCACATGAAATTTCGTGGCTACTATATGGCTAGCATGTTCAGTAAGCCCTTGAAGGAGCCGACAACCAGTCGATAGTCGACGCGATGGTGGTTTCGGTGGAACCGTAGGACGCTGATCCCCCAGCCAAAAAGTCTCCAACAGCCATGCAACAAACCATCCATCGACAACTCTGGAACGCCCTAGGACCGGCAACTTATTACCCAAGCCGCCTGTCGGTCCAGGATGCGAACCCAACCACCAACGAACCATGAGCCCTTTCCGTCTCCTCTGGCGTTGGATCGAAACACCTGCGAGAGAGAGTGGGTGCAGCGTCGTGGATCGCTGACGAACAACCTAAAGCCCATCGAGGCTAAGACCCAAGACTATGGGGTTTTCTTCTGGGCTTCTTCTTTTTAGGCCTGGCCTGGGGCCGGCCGCTTCGTCTTCCAACCTCCCACTAGCTTACCAGCGCCACGGGGTGCTACTCCGCTGGAGCGTCACCCACACCATCCGCTTCAGGGCTGCAACAGCGGGCGACCCCTCCGAAACCACTGGAACCCACAGCGGCCGTGTCACGACGCACAGCGCCTCGGCTTCATTGTTGGGGGGGACGGCGCATTTGCGGCGGCGGTGCCAGGGACTGCGACAAAGTTTCTTGTCTACGTGTCTGGGATTGACACAGAGCCGGATGGACAACAAGAGGCGGTCAGTTCCAGCTGGAGACGGGCCTCTAATATGTCTCTAGACTCTGGTCTCTCGTCGGGGTGGTACCCTCCGTACCCAACTGCCCATTCTCCGTCTCCTCGCTCCGTATTCTTCGGGCCCGACTGCAAGTGAAGACGCCCGGCACACCACCAACATACACGGGCAGACACAAGCAACGACAACACAGTGCATGGCATCGCATGGCATCGCAGTGCAGCTCAGGGCAGCGCATCGCAGCCTCGTGACTGGCGGGTTTGGCTTGCAACAGAGAGGGGGACAGGGGGAGGAAGACGAGATGCCCAATCAGAAACAGCAGGGGCCACGTCGCGACTTTTGTTAGCATCAATCCAAAACCGCCAGCGACGGTGAGAACGACTCCGAGGATGACCAAGAACTGGGAGGAGTGGCGGATGGTTGGCCTTGGCTCGCCGGGGTCGCGTGCAGAGGCGACAGCAGCAGCAGCAGCAGTAGCAGCAGCAGCGAGCTTCAGGTGGGTGAGGGAGGGGATGGGGGGTCCTTTGCAATGGTCTACCTCCTACTGCTAACGTAGTACGCACAAAAGACTCCGTTAAAAGGGCCTTGGATCCCTGGCCCCTGCACGACTTGGGCCTGCTGCCCCGTAGCGAGGTCTTGTTTCTGGCTGCTTGGCTCGTCCCGTCTTCTAGAGTTCCGGGTTCTGCGTGTCGGCGGTGGGTTGAGAGGGTCAAGATATGTTACGCAGTGCAGTAGAGAAGGAAAGCCCCCCGCTCTGCTGACGAAGAGTGACGGTTGCCCTGTGGCTCAGTGGTTGAGTGGTTAAGTGGCCCGCTCCAGCGGCGCATCCGTGGTGCATTTGTGGTGCATGGTACATTCGTAGTCCCTCCTGTGGTCTATCCTGTGGTCCTTGGTGTGCGAAATAATGGTGCTGTGCCTCCTCGTTGGTGTTGGCGTTGGGTCTTGAGTCGCTCGTCATCTCGACGTGGAGTCCCAATGCCATGGTTGGGTTGGCCCCCCCGTCGTGTCGACTCTCGATTTGGACGTTGTTGATAGCCTCACCCCCATCCTCGTCCCCTCTAAATCCTCGTCCATTTCTAGCACGTAGCCCAGCGTTCCGCCATCATCATCCCCCCCCTAGTCCCCTCGTCCCCTACTCCGTGCTACTGTCCCCTAGCTGGTCCAGGGCCCCCGTTTCCTCCTCCCGATCCCATGCCCACGGCCCCCTTTGGCCCCTTTGGCTTTCCTTTGGCTGGGGACCCATTGCTTCAAGACACGAACCGGACGCCATGACTGTGTCACTTTTCCCCGTGTCCCCTTTCATGAAATACAAGGCATGAAATAAAACATCACCAGGGACCCGACCCCTCCTCGCACGAGGCGACCTCTCTCTCTTTTACTTTACCTCTTCTTCCCTGAGCCTCCCACTCTTCCTCCCCGCTCTCCCATCCCATCCCATCCCATCCCCCTCCTCGCCAATCCACCCAACTTCGTCGGCGCTTCTTCTTTCTTCCCTTTGGCTTCCCAGTGCATTGCCATTGTCGTTCCCATCACCATCGCTATCTCTCGCCTTTGCCGCTACGCTACTTCGCTACTACGCTACCACTACTACCGCCACCGTCGCCGCCGCAGCCTCCGCCGCCTCGTCACATTTGTTGTCGGTTGCTGGAATCCCTTCATTCGCTAATCCGCCCACCTGGCCCACGTCCTGCATCCTTCGCTGTTCGCTCGGCGCTTGACCTGTGCTGCGCTTGGCTCCCTGCTCGTGCATCCAACGCAATAACTATTACTGGGTTCCCGAGGCCCGGCCGCGCTCCATCGCCTTCACTCTCTCATAGCCTTATTAATTTTTGTCGGCCCTTCCATTCGCTTGCACCCAGCATAACCATCCATCTATTTGTCCTACCGCAGCGCTACCAATCGCACTACCGCCACCACTACTCTGGTGGGCGAAACACTCGGACCTGCCGACACTACCAACCACCAACCCAATCTCGAAAGTCGCCAGTCGACCGACCGAGCCATTCGACATCCGGCACTCTTCGCTGCGCATCGCCGCGACGGAGCCTTTAATTCAGCTTCGACCTCTACTGCTCACTCCCGCTCACTCCTGCTTTGTCTTGTCCGCAACTCTTCTCGCTCGTTGCTTCTTCTGGAAACTGTCTTCAGCACCGGCATCGCCCCGTCACAACCCCGACAGAGCTGAACCGCCCGCCTGAGCTTGGGCCCCAAAGAACATCCGCCCGCGAGAAACGAAACACGAAACCCCAGCCTCCGAGTCGACCCACAGACCAGGGATCGCGACGCTGTCCTGTTTACTTACTTGCGCAAATCTCCACAACAGCCGTGCTTCACGCCCTCAGTTCACTATGAGTGCAGCAATCGCAATGGCTCCCTCTCCTGCTCCTCACGAGAGGCCCTCGTATTCGGAGCTACCAGCGCCTTCCGCTTCATCCACCCAGAGATCCAGCGCCCCCTCAGGCGCTGCCAATGCGACAATTCAATCCTCCACCAGCAGCAGCCCCAAGGCCGGCGCTGCTGTCTCCAAGTCATCCCCTCCCAGCGCGTGAGTCTAGATTGCCCCATTCCACTCCCGAGTTGATTGCTGACTTGGCGTTCTGTCGATAGATCTCGTGCGGGTGGCCTTACCCCTAACCCAAAGATCATCGTCAAGAAAGAGCCCGCATCCCCCAGCATGCCCAACTCGCGACCCCGGCCCAGGAGACTCGACCTCTCCAAAAACACATCCAAATCGAACCAGCCTGCTACCGCACGGCCACTGACGGCCCGCGATAACCTCGGCATCCAAGAGGTCGGCATCGCCTGCCTCTCTCCCGGATTTGTCACCCAGGACCCCGTCATGAAGGAGCAGCTGCAGCGAAGTATGTCGGTGCGAGAACAGCAGCGACACATTATCGAGGCCAGACTTCACCAGCAGTCGGCCAAAGGCGACGGTCCCGACAAGGACCCTATGTCTGGGTTTGCTGCCAAGACGCCCGGCATGTCGCGCAGAAACAAGGCCCCCCCTGGCTTGTCTATTGTTGCGCCCTCGCACGAGCAGTTCGCCCACGAGCGAGTTATTCAGTCTGCCCCTCTGGGCCACAGCTTTACTGGCCGACAGCACCCGGCGCCATTGACTCGCCACATTGCCAACCAACCCTCGAACTTGTCGAGCACCTCTCACATCCACCACGTCCCCGCCAACCAGACCAATAACCGGTTACCGCCCATTAGCGACGTCTTCGGCCAGGGCCTGTCAGCACACCCTGACAACGCCCCTCAGTCCTTGTACCCCAATGTCGGAAGTGCTCGAGCTCCCCTGGCATCTCCCGGACACCCTCCTATCCCGCAGGCCCCCACCCCTGGGCGCCCTCGCGAATATAGATCTGCCGAAGAGGCCCAGCAAGACATGGCCGGTGGCCGAGCTGAGCTCCTCCCCAAGCTGGTGCATTATGGCGGACACCAGCCCCCTACTCCCCCCTCGCCCGCACCCGGTGGCCGACCCATCGATGCATCCCGAAGCGCCAGCAAGCGAAGGACACGAGCTGAATACGAGGATGGCAGCCCGCCTCTGGGCCACGGCCCGGCCGCTACCCGTCGTGGTCCCTTTGGCGCTGGACGCGATAGCCCTGAAACCCAAAAACAGAAGAAGGATGAGTTTATTCGATTATGTGAACGAGCTTGGGACTTGTTCCACTCTTGATGCAATCGCACAACTATCGATGATGCTTTGCAACTATAATTACCTCGGATTGGCCTGACGCTTGTTGGGCGTTGTAATCCAGACCTCATTCTTGTTTATTATTTTCCGGTTTCATCGCAGCTACTCCGAATTGGCACAAAACGGTATGAGGATCCGGTGGTTACGGGGGTGGTTTATTGAGCGCGGATGTAATGTCTTTGTCTACGACGCCACGAGTCTTTTGCGTCAACGCATCTTGGGGGTTTGTGAGTGAAGGGGGCAAGGTCCCTTGGACTCTCCCTGGGGGTTTTATTCTGAAATTGGACGGGCAACGATATATACTGTTGGGCATGCCAAGCGGCCATTGCATGCAACTTGTTTCTTTTTTGGATTTCGCTATTCTTACCATGTCGTCCTCTGCCCTGGGGGCCCCATGCATAGGGAAGGAAACTGGGCTTTCTATCGGTCCCTTGGATAGGGCTTCGACGGAAATTGGGGTGAATGGGTTCTTCTGGTGGTTTGTGCATGGATTTTTGGCAGGTATCGTCTGTATTCACACGGTACCTTTTGTCGTCAGGTTTGGGTGGAGGGAAAGGGTTTTCTGGCTTGTCGAGGAATGTCGACCTCGCAAACAAGACGAGTTTCATATAGGATAACTCGAAATGGGATATACGCACCTACAGCATTGCGTACTCTGCTCAACTTCTGTGCTCTAGTCTCCTCTGAGTACTCTGTTGACTGCCCGGTCGATGTGATATGTCGTGTGTAATTGCCGGCTTGACGTAGTTAGTTAGACAGGCCACTCAGGAGTCCAGACCTGAATAGATCCTCCACATGAGAACATCTGTCAAAGCATATTCCCCCCGTGATGACCTTAAATCCAATCCACCATTCCCCGTCCCTCCCGTGTGAGCTATGCCTCGGCCCACTCACATTAATCTCAGCTTCTTTTTGTGCCGACGGAACCTGACTCGGCGACAGAGAGGCTCGGTCCCGACCGCCGCTTCGTGCGAAGCCTGAGTCTAGACTGCCCGAACCACCTTGACCCGAAGGCCGGAGGGAACAAAACCCACGATGGCGTCGATAAATTGCAAATACAGCGACGTGGGATTGCGCGGTGCTGTAGAAATCAGATGAGCTGAAAACCGAAATTCCAGACACGCTCGCTCGCCACGTTCACCATTCAGTTAGGGGTTGAGTCGTTTTGTATATGGTTTTGGCCATGGGATGTCAAGTTATCCCCGTGTTCAAAGAGTAGAACTGCCCATCTCAAGCACCTCACTCTACTCACTCTCTTGAGAGAAGAACAGCAAAGCGAGTGAGATTATTCAGAGAGACACATCTACCTAGCCAACCATGAGGCACAGGAGAAACAAGAGTCCCCGTCCCTCGTCATCGTGCCCAACGCGTCGCCTCAGATGGACTTCCTTTCTGACGGCGTCCTTCCATGCCCATTCATTCACCATTCCCAACCCTACAAACGTAGCCCCGGGATTTTCCTGCCGGGATCCATATCCAATCCTGCCAAAAATAATCATTTTTGCCTCTGCTCTGTTCTGTTCTGCCTTGGAGAATACGCCCATCCGACTCGCCGGCCTGAAGTAGAGCGCCGTCCTGTGTGTACAAAAGCGACTTGGAGATGCCATCAACAGAAATGAGCCTACCCCCGATATTGCCGGCCGAAAGAACCCCGGCTGGTTTGAGAACTACCGCCCACCCTTTCCCTCTGTCGTGGAACCAAAGTCGGAACCGAGAGGATGCGAAAAACGCTCAAGCAAAAACAGCCCTGTATATTAACAGATGCGCCAAACACCGATGCTGGGTAACATATGACAAAAGGAAAAGGAAAGTCTCAAATGGACGTAAGTCATCGAATCGTCAGCTGGGGCAGGAACAGAAGAACCGTCTGAAGCCTGTCCGTTCCACGGCAGGACGGGGAAGGATCCTGCCTCGGCGAGTCCCCTGAGGAGCAGGGGCTTTCTTGAAGAGTTATGCTCCGCTCCAGGTCGTTGGCGCATAATGCGTTTCCGAGCTTGTCTGGATCACGAAGCAAGTACCGGCGTGGCCTGTCAGGGGACGTGGTCGACTAGAAGGCCAGGTCGGGATAACACACTATCCGTGTAGGTGGGTATCCATTACAGACCCTCTTCACCAGCCTTGCATAGCTTGATCTCGCGAACCCACTCCGACTTAAGGACCTGGGCAGCTGTCAAGCGACGGGTTGGATGAGGGTCGAGGACCGAGTAGATGACATTGCGACAACGCGCCTGTCCATCGTGTTAGTACATCACTACAATCTCGTTGGGGAAGGAAGACCTTACGCGATGAAGGGACTCGATAGGTCCATATCCCTCCTCGTCCCGTCGACCTTCTAGATAACGGGCATAAAATTCATCATCATCCTTCTTGGCCAAGCGCCAGAGGTGGCGACCGGTGCGCATGGCCATATAGATGACACCACAGGCCCAGACATCGACGGCTCTAGCATCAAACTCCTTGTCTGTATACTCCTCGGGAGAGATGTAGGGTGCGGAGCCACATAGACCCGAGACCATGTGGGCGTCTGTTTCCCAAGCCATTCGGAAGCACTCTCCGTTGCCAAAGTCGGTGATTTTGAGGCCGCCGCGAGTGGTAAGGAGGAGATTCTCCGGCTTAAGATCGCGATGCGCAACGCCCATTTCGTGCAGGTACTCAACACCTCGCATCATTTGCTTGAAGAAACAGTCGGCCTCCTGAACCTCAAGCTTGCCACTTGAAAGGACAAGAGTATATAAATCACCACCGGCACAGAACTCCATGACTTCACAGTAGTCACCCTTGGCATCTTTGAGTAAGTCGAGAGTATGGATAACGTTGGGGTGTCGAAGTGAGGAAGAAATACAGAACTCAGCCGTAAGGCGCTTGCTGTACTTCTTCTCCGTCTCTTCGGGTCGACGACGGAACTCCTTCACAGCAAAGAGCTTCTCGCCGCTCCCGCCCACCTTCTTGTGGGAGATTCGCACGATGCCGAAAGCACCGCGGCCGACGACTTCTTGACATTTTCCATATTTTTCGACAAGGGTGGATGTCGCGTTGGCGTTGGGTCCAGCCTTCTTCTCACCAGCTTCCTCCTTCTCCAGTCTTAGTGAATCAACCCAGTTGGAGACGAGCGAGAGATCATGATCAGGCGCTGCCTCCTGCTTCTTGCCCAGTATGGATCTCCACATGTCCGAAAGCTTCTCTTGTCTGCGGCTCGATTTCAAGTGGTGCTCATGGCCACCAGTGGCGTCGGGAAGGAGGACGAAGCGCTGCTGAGGCTCTTTTGTCGCGGGGGCTTTGGCGGGCTTGACCGAGGAGGAAGCCTTGTCTGCAGGTTTCGCTACGGGCTTCTCGGCGCCCTTCTCGATGGAGCCAGGCTTGCGGGGAAGGGGAGAGGCGGCGCCATTGATCGAAGTGGTTCTTGGGCGGTTGGCGGGGTCGGCGGGAGGAGGAGTGGATGTGCCCAGACGAACAGATTCCTTGGAGAACATGCGAGTAAAGCGTTCCTTCACAGATCCTCTGTCTGAGGGCTTGAGGTGGGCATCAGGAACGGGGCTGCCGTTGACGTTGGTGCCATTCTGCGGGACCAAGCCCGGGGACTTCTTGACGCCCTCCTGAGACTTGATCGACGAGGGCTTAGAACTCGAGGCGGATGGCGGTTTGATCGAGGAGACGGGAGGAGTCGGCATTTTCGTAGGAGAGGCGGCGACGCAGGGAGAGGGAGGGAGAGGCGGCGAAGCGGAGGGAAGAGTGAATGAGGGTGTGTTGGTAGAAGAAGATGCGCGCACCGAGGTGCAGCAAAATCAAGAGCAAGAGCAGGAGCAGGTGCAAGAGCAAGGGCGGAAGCAGAAATCGCACGAGCACCAGGACAAGCACAGCTCAGCTCAGAACGAGGCGGCACGGCGCAAGGCGATGTGTCGCGCAGGGGTGAACCAAGACACTGCGGGTTTTGCGGGCGGCGGGTGTGCGACGATGATGTGAGTCGCAGGCCGTTGCAGCAAGGTGCAGATGTTGCAGCGAGGTGCAGGTGGTGCAGGTGGTGCAGCGCGGGACAGCAGGCTGATGGATGACGGTTGTAGTATTGGGGTTGTAGGAGTTGTAGGGGTTGTAGGGTGCGGAGTGGATGGTGACAGTGGCCGGGATGCTGGCGGGGTGGTGGATCACTGGGCAGTGCAGTGGTGCAGTGCAGGGCACAGCGCTGGACAATTCCGGGCGGTTGATGGACAGGCCACCGAACAATTGTCGACGCCGACTCAAACCACACACAGGTCCAGAGCGCAAGCGCAGATCCTCAAACCAGACCAGGCGCTGGCGTTGGCGCTGGCGCAGTTTCTTGGCTGACGAGTGCCGAGGCGAACAAGCAGACAGCCAGGCCAACCGTGTGCGATGCCGTGTCGTGCAGAAGCTGGCGAGGACAGCGACGGCACAAGAGTGGATGGAGTCTTTTGCTCTGGGGGCCTTGAGAGGAACCGCTGGGGGAGAGCTGGCCAGGGCCGCGGGACCGACTGTAAGCACAGGGAAATCGGAGGACGCTCAGTGGCGCAAAGGGACGCCTCGGGGCGTGATGGGCTCAGGCCCAGCTGGAGCTGCTCGTACCACGGGCAAAATGGGGCGATCTGGTTGCCACGCCGCGCCAGGAGACCACGGGATTCGGGGGGGGAGAGAGGAAGGAGGGGAGTAGAGAAGGAGTGTGGAAGGAAGCAATAGGAGAGCGGGAATTTAAGCTTGGGAGAAGGACGGGGACGGGAAAAAGTTGAGTGAGGGCTTTGAGGTAATGTACTTAGTGGTGAGTGAAATGAGAGAAGTGCGAGGGCGAGCGGGTAGGGTCGAGGGTCTAGGTGGAGACTGTAGGCCGGCTCGGCCACTGTACAAGGCAAAGGTAGGCGGGCAGGCGCTGCAGCACCTGTTTCGGTCTTTTGGTTCTGCCACTGGCTCTGTGGTCAGGGCCAGAGAGACTTGTACATATGGGAGGATGAACTAACTAACACAGGTACCTGCAGGCTGGAGTGGATGATGCTGGCGGTGGCTTTCCAGCCAGGCCCTCCGTGCTCCATCGGCAGGGGGGTCAGAAGGCCAGCTCAGACCTTCTAGCCGTACAATGTAGGTGCCACCGACCCCCCTTCTCTCATGTCATGCATCTCTTGAGGGAGGGTAGGTAGGGCAGGGCATGCATGGGATGACATGGGAGCGAGTTCTAGCCGTGGCCACGGCGGTATGAGGAAGGCCCCGGAGCAGCAGGGCCCGGAAGGGGAGGGGTGGTGGTGATGCACTGCTGGCCGGCTGCCAAATCCCGGGTCAGCGAAGCACGAAGCAGCACGACGTGCGAGTGGAGGGGCGTGCAAAATCGAAGACTTGAGAGGCTGGAAGGGCTGGAAGGCTGGAAGAGGCAAGGACGGGCACAAGATTTGGAAGAACGGGATGGATCGATCAATGGGTGCGGGTTTCGAGGTACGAATACCCGAAGGAGAATCCAAGCCAAGTACAGCGCGAGGATGGTCCCGGTCTGCGAGGTCCCTTTCGGGCTGAGCCAAGACGGCAAGGTACCTGACGCCGGAACCCGCCAAGCGCTCGCTGTCGAGGTGGAGGTGCGGGTGAAGTATGTGGTACGCACCCGACGCCAATGAGTCCGTACAGTATGTGCTTCGAGCAAGGGCATCCAGCCCAGTAGCCAGCACAAAGACCAACAAGGAGCCCGCAAGGAGCCAAGCTTTGAGGCGATGTGAGCCCTGCAGAGGGGGGCGTGCTCCCCGGCCCCCCGTCCCTCGACGGTGAAGCAAGGTGCAAGATCTCTTCCGATGGATGCGCTGAACGTGAGGTAAATCCCAGCAATAACAAATTTGAAAAGGCACAAGAAGTAAAAGAAAATGCTTTTCCTCCTTCTTATGCCTAAGTGACGTAGGTATGTATGGTAGGGATGCAAGTGAACCCCTAGTAAGACGAGAAGTGAAGTCAAGTGACGACGAGAATCAAAACCGGCAAAACGAGCAACCGCCGGGCATTTGACAGGCGGGAACTGGGGGCTAGCAGACTACTGGATGGCCGCAATAGAGGGACAGGAAGGTAGACGAAGGTCACTCACGTCAATTCTAACCCGCCCGTTAGCCTCGGAACCAACAACCAATTAGCATGTTCTTACCCGTAGGTAGACGGAAGTAATAAGGCGAGGCAATGCAAAGCGAGGCACGCCAGGGACATCAGGACATTGCCACTTCTTGGTTTTCAGCCGCGCGCGTGTGAGAATGGCGAGGAGGCGGGCACAAGTGGACGGGAAGTGGACGGGAAACGATGACGGAGAGAAACGACTCATGCATGGTCCCTTCGTCGAACAACCGTCCAGAAACCCAGTCCAGTCAGGGCGAGACAGCCAACAGTTTAACATTAGTGCGAGTGGGATGAGAAAGCGATGCACCACGCGATGCGGACCAGTGCGAATGCGGTGCGGTGCACGGCAGTGGAGCCCTCGTCTGCGTCTGCGTCTGCGACGATGGATGAGGAGCAGAAGTTTCCGGGCTTGGTGAATCTGGGGCGAACGAGGGAGAATGAAGGAAAGGGAACCAATGGGTTTGGATGTCGTCGCCGGTTTCGTCATTTCCATGACGCGCGCCCGCGCCCGGGACTGGCACTAGGGGCCTCCAGGGGCCAGGCCGTGAACGGTACCACCTGAGCGCGCGCTCTGTGGCTACAGCGGCCCTACAGCAGGTCCTACAGAGGGTGGTACAGCAGGTCCTGTGTATTGGGACGAACCGGGCGGCGACCCAGACACCACCCGACCTGCCGTACACGGATAGCCTTTGTGCTGCGCTGCTTCTCTGTCCGCGATATCCGCTGCTGCGTGCTGCGCATGGTGCCGACATAGCCATGGTGCGCCGGTTTTTGCCTCCATCTTCGCCTCCGTGTCCCGAACCTTCTCGCAGGTGCCACGGCGACCTCGTGCCGTGTGTTTTCGTGGTGTTGCGAGACACCTGCCGTTGATGATAAATCCACGCGAGAGAGTCGACAGCCCCCGGTCCACACCAGAAGTGCCAAGCATAATGGCGCAGAAGTCAGCGCTGCTGCACGGCTCGAGCGCCAGCAGCCCAGATGGACAAGATCCGGCTAGACAGGGATTCCAAAATGTGGAGAGAGCAAGGAGCCCACAAGGACGCAGCCAGCCCCACGCAGTGAAAGAAACACTGCTGCTCTCAGACCGTTGGCTAGGTATTAAGTACCAAGTCGATGGGATTGCCCATCCAAACAACCGGTAAAGATGAGCCTATTTTTGGAATTGGACAAAATCGAACTCAGGACTGCCTTGTTCTACACGCTCCAGGTCTTTGACCCACCAATTCTTTCCCCGTCAACTCTCGTTGCCATGGAAAATTACGAGCGGAGGAAAGGCTGGACGGCACCGTATTCTGTCAACCCCTCTTGGCAGCGCAAGGCCACGAACCCCGGGCGGCCGGGTGGTGGGGGGAGCTTGCACCTTGCACACAGTCACGCTGGTGATGTGGAGTGCCAAGGCTCTCTGCCACCAGACTGGAGCCTCTCGAGAGTCAGAACAGAAACTCGGAAATCGAGAAGGGTCCAAACCTTTGGAGATGGCTCATCTATCCGATCCGACCACGATCAGAAACGGCGATGCCAACACAGTCTCCCGTCGGTTTCGATTGACCCCGTAGCAGGTACAGGCCGAGGCCCAACTTTCATTTCACCGCATCGGCAGGGTACATCGCGCGCTGTACCAGTCAAGACCCCAGCGACGTCATCCACTGTGGTCGAGACATTCGAGGATGCATGAAAGCCACTGGAATATGGAACGCACGAAGACGCCCAGGATCCTTTGTCCCACGAAGGCGCCAGCCGCACCGCCAGCCTGGACTTTGGCCGCCCTTGCGAATACGCCATTACCCGCAATCCCGCGTTAGGTTCGATGGGCTTGTTCTTGCTAGGTTGTCCTCTCATTCTCACTGCTGCACCTGCACCGCTTTTCGGCTGGCTGGTAGGAACCTAGGCAGGTACCAACCGTAAGGTTCCAATGGTAGTTGCCTCAGGTTAAGGTACCTACCAGGTAGGTACCTAGGTAGGTCGGTAGTTGGAGAGGTAGATCAGGAAGGAAGTACCTGACATCACGAACCGTAACTTCAGTCTTCCGGTCAGTTATGAAGTCAAACATTCATATTCCCTCCACCGACTCTTCAATAATCCACCAACCACCAACCACAGCAGCCACCCTGCCATCCTCACCGTCAGTCAGCCACCCCCTCCCGACCATATGGCCTCGCGACCCTTCCACTCGACATCTCAAGTTGGATCGCCCAGTCGAGAGGGGGATAACGAGGTCGCTTGTTGCTGTCCAGGGCAACTGGTGGAGCGTGTGATGCACGTTTCCACACGTCCGCTACATGCCTACCCACTTGCAGCCGTCAATCTGTCGGATGCATGTAAGTCAAGGGGAGCCGACCCAAGGATTCCCTCTGTTGGGGATTGGCACACGAGCCTCCGGTCTACACAAGCGAGACATCTGCGCACCTGTTGCTCCGCATTTCCAGTATGTTGAGCATCCGGAAATAGGCGACGGGAGACTTCCTAGGTGAAGTATAAGACTGATGCTTGGGGGCATGTTTCATGGACCACAGCCTCGCACTGCCCTATCTCGGCCCTTTCGAATTCGACCAATGGATCTCCAACTTGGCCAAATTTCGCCGAGGCAAAGTCCGCAGTTGAGCTAATCTTCCCACGCTGTAGCGCAGGATTCTGGCCTCGTCCGTCCCCGCGAATCGGCTCTGCTCGCCAATTGGGATATGAGGCATTTCCGTGCGACCGGGTCGATGAAGAGTGAAGTGGCATGGCTCTCCGAGGGTGCTGCTGCCGCCACCGCCGCCGCTGCTGCTGCCGTTGCCGTTGCCGCTTCTCGACTATCAACTATCCCTGGTAGACCCTGGGTCGTCGGTACTGGACGTGCATTTCCGCGTTGTCTGCGGTGCTCCAGACACCTCCATCAGACTCCAGAGTGGCCAAGATTCCAGCCACCCCCAGTCCCTGGCCTGAATTCCGAGCTGTCGAGCGCGGCACTTCCCCGTCTGCCGCCGGTGTGCATTCGATGAGGCCTCCTGCGGCGCCCGGGCCAGTTCCCAGTCTGCAGCGACCCGCCAGCCAAGAAAACAGACAACGAACTCGGATGCTCCCCTGCTTTGAAATGAGGTCAGTTCCCACAGCTTTTTATCGTAGATGCTTACATGTGAAGGCCGAATCCCTCTGGCCAAGCATCTCGCTGCCGAGAGCCCGCCAGCCGACACCCATATCCGGCTTGGCCCAGATGTCACGTAGTAATGCCCGGGTCGCGCAGAGGCCAGTTCTCGCGAGCCGCATCATACGCCCCGGTCGTAGTCTATACCTCGTCTTAACGTCCAGGCAGGCCGCGAGGACCTAGGCCAGACGCTTGTTTGAAGCTGTGGATCCCATCCTCTTCAGACAGGCATACGGCACCACATCATCCTTGGTTGCCAGAATGAGGCTGGCCATCCCCCAGGAATCATCCCAGCAACCTGCTTCCACAATCGAACAATTGCTGCGGGTTTCATCTTCGCCAAAATACTCTAAATTTGTCAAGGACAAGGATAAACTACCCCTGCTTCCGTCACCGGCCATTGTCCCCACGACATCTCCACCTCGTTCAGGATATCCGCGACTTGATTAGCGACAGTGGATGAGACGCTTCAAGTAAGTGCTCTTGGACGAATTATACGAGCTGACCTATCAGTCGCTAATTCTATATACAGACACAGCAAGATGCATACGGCCCCGGAGCCTCAGGTCCCACGCCCTCCCCGTGCTATCAATGGGCACATTTTGGGTGTGCTATCTGCACATTTTTAGCTGGGTATGCCTGGGATGTCAACTACTGCAACCTCACCGTTCAACCAGCCAAGCAATTTCTGACGTCACACCGTCTTCCTTTGCTTCAATTTGCACCCGTAATCACACCGAAAAGCCACATCTCTTGGGACTCCCTCTGTCGCCGCCTCGTGCTTTATCGCCCGCACATGAGTGGCTCACCAACATTCACCACGCAGGGTACTGATGTAGGTCTTCTCGGGAACCCACACCTCGAGCTTACACGCCAGTACAATGTACAGAAGATTCCATCTAAGCCCAGCTGTCACATAGCCACTGCCCCTGTTCCGTACCCGTGCATGTCTCACGGCAGCTCCCCGTAGCTAGGAATCCTGGGCAGGAGGTCGTACCTATGGCAACGCCTCCCACGTGGCTCTAGTCATTCTACGTGAGACTGGCATCTCCAATATTCCCGCTTATGTACGAAGGCTAGCGCAGGAAGTTTGACAACTTCCCGAGGTACAAGTACGTACCAGCTGTACAGTGTAGCACAGTCCACCATAAGCCCCTACAACCTTTATTATTTAGTAGGTAACGCACTAGATTTGTATTCTTATTCTCCGAATGGTGAGGGATTGGATCGATAGGTGCTGCTAACTCAGAGTACCCTACAGTATATCATATTGAATTACTTATCTATTTCCAATTTTAGAGGTGAGCTCCCTTGAGGCCCTGTTTGCTCCAGTGACGGGCCGCATATCGCACTGTGTGGGGGCTGCCTGGATACCATCAAAGTTGTCAAACCTCCTCCGCCAGCCTTCGTACGGCGTGGGCCCCGAACTGATAACTTCTTTTCGGCCCAGGTGCCACTGCGACAACTGATTGAGTTCCAAGTGGCGCGGCCTCCTTTGCAGGTATTGATGCCCGGACCGATCGCAATGAAACGAGCTCGGAATAGAACACACGGTTCCCTCCCAAAGTAGCACCTCCGCAGGCAGCTCGAACATATCGCCCTCTGTCGACGATGAAGATGAAGATGAATGATTCACTGACTATTCCACCGCCTCGACCCCAACTCGCTGTGCCTGCCCGGGATTAGCAGCTCCACATGGTGAGAGGTACCAGCGGTGAACTTTCCTTTGCATTCACCGTCATTCGTCGAGGTGGGACAGCCATGTCGTGCCCGGGGCGTAAAGTGACAGGTTATCTGCCCTTGATTAAGCACTGTCAGGGACTTCGACCCCCTCGACAGGTAGCATGCATGGTTGATCATCCAGTCTAGGGTGCTGCCGTACCGGGGTAGCGGCTGCAGAAGTGCAGATGTGTGTTCCTCGGGGAATACTTGTGGATTTTCCGACCACCCTTATCTTGTGGTTCCCTCATGCTTATGTATGGTGTCACTAACGCACCTGTCCAACTCGATCAATCTGAACACACCTTCCGCTGTTTCTTCCCCAAACGCCGTTGTCCCATTGTGGTATCCAACCCACAGCCCGCCACCTGCCATGGCAATTCATTCGCGACTCTATTTCCGGCCGGCCAGCTGCCCAACTGGCTAACCTCACTTGTTGTCCGATACGTCCAGATTAGAGGCAAGTTGTGCGAGTGTCTCGGTGGTGGACGAGGATGTCTCATGCTCCTGCTGTGCAGCGGCCTGTGCGGGCAAATCCGAAGCCTGCACTGCTGACTGGTCACCTCCCTGCAAGCCTCCAGCGTCCTTGACAAGCTTGGTCAGAAACACGGTTGGCTTCTGCGACGTATTCTGGGCCGAGTTGATCTGCTCTACTGCACTCTCATACGCTCGGTCGTAGACGTTGAAGTCGACTGCAGTGGGCGAGTCCGAGACAATGTCTGGCGTTGCCTCATCCATGGCGAAGTCGTCTCGGGCTCCCGTGCCGATGCCGAGGAATCTGGTCTCCTGCTCGCCAATGCCACTACCAGAGCCCTTTGAATCGCCATTGCCGTTGCCTATGAGGTTCAGAGCGCGGACCTTTCGTCTCTGGGAGAGGAGTGCTGTGATGACCTCGGCCTTGGCAATGTCCTTGGAGTCGAAGACGCCCTGGGGAGTGGTGGGGCTCCCGCTCGATGATCGAGCCGCCGTCTCAGAGCGTGTCCTGTCAAGGATAGCTTTGAATTTGCGGATGGCCTTCATAACACAGAGCAAGTGGTTGAACTTTCTGGTCAAGGCGCGGCTGACCTCTAACTCGTTCGGGGGCTCCACCATGTTCACGCAATTGTCCTCGGCGCAGAGCAAGGGATCGGTCCCATTGCAAGTCACCCAGGCATGGTTCTGAGAAGCCAATTAGCGTCCAGTGCTTGAAATGGTGGTTTCAGGGAGTACGAACTCGAATCTCCTTCATTGTGATGCGAGTCTCTGGGTTCTTGTCCAGCAGCTTGCGAATCAGGTCGACAAAGTCGGGGTTCTCATCTTCTGGGATCTGCGGCTCGTCCGACTTGATGGCGTCGTACATATCCAGCATGCCGTCTCTGTTGAAAGGGATGCGCCCATACTTGAGGCAGAAGAGCGAGACACCCATAGACCAGATGTCGGCTGCCGTGCCAGATACATCGCCGTGCTTGCCGCAAAGCTCGGGAGGTAGGAAGGCGGGGGAGCCAGCTGACTTGGATATTCTCATGTTTTGAGGCTTCTCGAATATCTCCGACACTCCAAAGTCGACGACTTTCAGGACGTCGTCATCGGACAAGAGCAGGTTGTCTGGCTTGATGTCTCGATGGATGACTCCCTGGGCGTGTACTAGCACGGGGTCAGTCACATATTCGCGATCTACTTCAATGTCACTCACAGTACTCGATAGCCAGGATGAGGTCGCGGAACCAGAAGCGGCACTTTTCCTCGTCAAACGGCTCAGCTTGCTCGTCCAGTCCAACCTTCATGACGACGCCCCGCTTGCACATCTCCAAGACCATGTAGAGCGAATCTTCTTCGGGGTCATCCAGGACCTCGATCAGTTGGACCAGGTTGGGGTGGTTCAACTTCTTCATAACGGCAACTTCCTCTCGGATGAGGAACAGCGCATCCTTGCTCTCACTTTTGCGAAGACCAGCACCCAGCGGTGTCCCAGGGCCGATGCGCTTGGGCCCGCGTGGGCCCAGTCGGAGGATGTTTGACTGGGCGCGCTTTCGCAGGCGAGATTTGGAGAACTCTTTGACAGCCTAGCAATGGAGGAGGGTCAGCAGGCGCGTTGAGATATGGCAGCTGCGCAGCAGCCTGGTTGTCAAATTGCAGGGACGGCTCACATATTCATTGCCGAATTGGTCTGTAGCTAGATGGACGGCGCCGTAGGAGCCTCTCCCAATCTCCTCCAAGATTGTGTATTGGTTTACCCGATGGTGGGTTCTCCCATCGGCGTCTTCGTTGGAGAATTCAGTCTGGGCATTCAGTGTCTCCTATTGTAGCCATGAGCCTCTGCAATAGCATACCACGCCTCGCCTGCCCAGCGCGCGGGGCATGTGACAGGCTCGTACCTTGACTTCGCGATGCGCGCTCGGGGTTCGCTTATGGTGCCGCATAGGGCTGGCAAATCGATGCGCCGGGGTTGGCTCGGTTCTGATATAGTGATGATGCGATCAGCCAGGCTTCGCGACGAGGCTGCGGGCGCGGGACGTGGCACTTACAGGTGGTGGACGAGGGGCGGCGGATGGTCGTCTATGTCGTCGATATGGACTTGGGGCGCTGGGAAGGTGAAGGAGGGCTTGATCTCGGGAATGGGGGCAGGGAGGCCGTCGGAGGGATCCATGGCAGGCATTGTGCCCAGCGCAAGGCGAGGCCACGAAGACGTCGGTAGGAGCGGAAGTTGGTGGAGGAGTGGGAGGAGGAGTAGGGGGAGGAGTGTGAGGAGGAGCAAGAAGTTCAGACGGTACTACGTACTTGGACGAGTTCAGACCTGTGGTGTTGGTGCCCCGCTCCACTCAATGGCCCCGCGACGGCATTCAAACGTCACACTCACACTTGCACAATTGGGTCTCTCGCGGATACAAGCACAGCACCAAGCCGGAAAATGTGGGAGGATGAGGAAGAGATAAAAGAAGAGGCCAGCAAGCAAAAGTAAATCGATTGGGGGTGAGAGAGAAGAGGGAAGAAAAAGCAGTCTGGACAAGGCCAAGCCAGGTCAAGTGGTCAGCCCAGCTGAGCTGTGGCTACAGAGACTACCGCTAAAAGGGGACCACAGTGCACGCCGGGCCGCCGAGCGGGGGACGCTTACTACCCCTGGATAGGGCTGGATTCCAAGGTTCCCAGGGCGTTCCAGGTTTGCTTCTTCCCTAGAGGTACGGAGTAGGTACCTACCTACCTACCTTAGGTACTGTAGCGAAAGGACCCCCCGGCCGCCAGGTCCCCCGTCATCCGTCATCCACTAGACGTTAGCGACCTCGACCTTTGCTGACGTTTCACTGGGGTGCCCCCTGAAGGACTTCTTGAGGCTCAGCGCGCGCGCAGCCGCAGGCGACCAGCTCACTACCCTAGAGCGTCCCCGCACCCCCCCGACGCCGGCAATCTGGAGCCATCAAAGACGTCAGTCGGTCGCATCCAATTGCAACGTCGACTCCCAACATACCACCACCTCCAACCCGCCACAACCCGCCATCTCAGCTCGACGCTCGCCCTCATAAATCCACGGCGCATCGCATTTCTTACCCTCGACGACCCTCGACGACCTACTCTACAACCATCCCATCGCTGGACCAGGTGCACAGCTGCCCTGGTCCCCCTTGACCGACGACACCATGACCGTCTACTCTTTCCACATATTCGACCGCCACAGTACGACATGATTCCCTCCTCCTCACTCCCCCCCCCCACTAACGCCTCTCCTTCGCTCCAGCTGAATGCGTCTACTCTAAATCCTGGGTCCAGCACCCGCAGAACCCGGACACGCCCGCCAGCGCCGGCGGTGCCCCGGCGACCACCACGACGTCGCACACCTCCTCGGACGAGGCGAAGCTCATCTTCGGCACCATCTTTTCCCTGCGCAACATGGTCCGCAAGCTCGGCGGCGACGACGATGCCTTCATCAGCTTCCGCACCGCCCAGTACAAGCTTCACTTCTACGAAACCCCCGCGAACCTGCGCTTCGTTATCCTCACCGACACCGTGACCCCGAGCATGCGCAATGTCCTGCACCAGATTTACATCAACTTGTGGGTTGAGTACGGTATGTACACCCGTCTCCACCTTCATCTCCTCGCTGCGGGAACTCTCCGCTCGGGAGTTGGGAAGCGCTGAGACGAATGGACTGGCTACCAGTGAGGATGTTATGCTGACATGTGGCGTCAACAGTGGTGAAAAATCCTCTAGCCCCTGTTGAACACAAGGGCGGCGACGGAGTCAAAAACGAGCTCTTTGAGCTGGGTCTAGATCAATTCATTAGGGGACTCATATGAGCATCCTCGGCAACCCACGAGGTGTCGCAGGAAAATCACCCCCTTTCGCCTTTCGGGGACCGACGGCCCGAAAAACGAAGGATGCCAGCCCACGAAGGAGCCCGCCAGGAGGAGCCTCTAGTGAGTGACGACGGCATGACGGGATCCGGCTCATCACCTTCTCCGGTTGTGCCAGTCATTGGTGTCCAAAGCCCTCGATCGCCCCTCCCCCTTCTCCGGGGCCCTCGGCCTGTCCAGACGACACGCTGGCATGTGGAACCAACGGCAGCGGGAAAAGAAGACAGCGTCAGGGAGCCGACCTTCCGGCGTCAAGGAGGAGGTTGACGGGGTTGGTCAAAATAGAGGAAGACACAAAGACAAGAGATAGCTATACCCAACGCCGAACTCTCCGGCACCAATGTTACACGGGATATCCCCGAATTCACCCTAAAAGCTATACTCTGCTCTACCCCGAAGTTTGTGTATGTGTGATTGATCCAATGTATCCGCCCTTTATGTTCCATCCATCCCTGCCTGATCGTTTCGCCCAGTGTTTGAATATACATACATTGACCGCCGTTTCTTTACTGGTCGACGGCCCGGTTCCACGCACTCTCGAACCCCCCCTGATTATCCACCATGACGATGCTGAATTCGTCCTGGCTTTGCGTCCCCTTGTTGGTCTGCGAGGCTGGTGCACTCACGTCCACGGCGCTCTCCATCAGACCGTCATCGCGGATTTCCGTCTCCCAGTTACTGGAGTAGACGACGGCGGCAAAGGCCTCCAGGTCACGTACCAGCTCCATCCGCTGCAGGTACTCATTGGGCATGCCGTTGCCGATGACGTGTGCCTGGCGCGTCAGCACCGACAGGATCTTGGGCAGCAAAATGACCTTGGAGCGCTGCTGGTCCTTGAGCTCCGGGGTGACGATGCCGTCCGTGGCTGGAAGCTGAAAGGCCTCGGTAGACAGCTTGTTGTCGACGAGGTAGGAGAAGCCAGAGTCCAGGAGCAGGGTGAGAACATGAGAAAAGGAAGGAGACTCAATGAGGTCGGCAGTCTCATCGAGAAGACGCCTCAGGATGGCCGGGGATGAGGGATGGGATCCTTCGGCCGGAGCATCTTCGAGGATGCCAGACTCGCGAATCACCTCGTCCTCCTGATCCTTAGGTGGGAGGAGGAACTTGAGCCAATCGGCCTTTCGGCGCTCCTCAATAGTCGCTCCCTCGACCAGCTTTCTAACCTCCATCGTCAGGTCTGAGAAACGCTCGAAGCTGAGCAGGTCACGGGGGCTCAGGCTACCAAAGACGGTCCGCACGGCGCTCTCTACCCGGCCGCTAAGGTCCGCCCAGCCCCTGTTCAGCAGCCACCAGCTGAAGGTCAGATATTTGCGGTTCGTGCCAAAGTCGCTTCCGTATGACTGCTCCGTGTTGTCGTCGTCGTTGTTCTCGAGGCTGATGGTCGCCTGCTGGGCACCCGTCGCGAGGGCCACTACGCTGGAGAGGTAGCTCCTTCGGCCGAGCAGGTTGAGTTGGACCCGCGTCAGCAACGTCAACAGCGCGAGGCTGTAGATCAAGGTGAAGGCTCTGGTCAATGCTACCGTAGATGTCAGCTTTCCGCATTGGAAGACATAGGAGAAACCATAATGGTTACTCACCGCTGATAGTCACGTCATCCCACAGCTGTCGCTTGGTCTTTCGAGGTTTGGTAGCTCCTCCGTCCTGTTGGCCATTGTCCCCTCCGGCATTGAAGGGTGACGGGGTCGTGATCTGACTTGCGTGAACTCCGCTCTCGCTCTGCATACTGGCGCTAATCATGCTCTTGCTGTCATCCTCGGTCAAAGTAGTATCGGCGATACTTGGGGGCGTGGTGTTTTCGGCGCCACCGTTCTTGACAGCCTTGGCGGCTTTCATCTGCTGAATCTCATATGTGATTTGTTCCGTGTTCATGGCCTCGAGGATGGCTGTCGTGGCTGACGGGAGCAGAGCCAGGACGGTGAAGGTACAGTCCTCCTGATTCTGTTCGAAGCGGCGTCGCAGGCTGCACCGGGCATGGTCAGTCAGTCGATGACCAGGTGGAGATGGATAGGGAGCATGGGCGGTGAGACGTACTTCTCCTTGGCGATGCGGTCACTGCTCATGCGCTCGCGCGCATCATTGATCTTGGTGATGACATATTGAGTGGCGACGTAGCCAGCACCAATGACGCCGACGCCGACGGCGATGGGCGTCCGGTTATGGCGCAACCAGCGCCGGGCGGACGAGAACATGGCGTTGACGGCGGCGGACAAGGTCAAAATTGGCTAACGGTTCATGGGGGAAGCTGTGTGTATTATAGAAGGCGGCGGATCGAGATGTGGCCAGGTGATGCGAGCATGTGTGAGGGCAAAGGAGCCCTGGGTCTTGGATGGGAACGACCGTTGGAGCGTTGTACACGTGTGCGTTGACGGATGGGTCAAGTTCGAGGATGGAGAGGGGAGGTGGTCGAATTCGGTTGTCGTCGTTGGGTTCGGTAAGGTAGAGACGGGAGTTGTTAGCAGCCAGTTACCGGACCTCGGCCCCAGAAAATGCAGACATAGTATGGATCGTGGATGGATATGATATTATGCGGAGGTGGAGGTGGAGGAGGCGCGCAGCGTGTATGTGTGGCTGGTGAGTGGATGGTGGTGGCTGGTGCATGAATTGAGCGGATCCCGGGGCGCCGTGGAATGTGCATCCGGCGGCTTTATCCCTTATCGTTCATATCTTATCTCGCGCGCGTGCTGCTGTGGCATAGAAAGGTACGACATACCTGTAGTACCAAGAGGTACCTTGCGTACATGCCTCTGCAGCTTGTACTGTAGGTACCGGAGGCACTTTCCCGCTGTTGTCATCCGACCCGGGCGAACCTTACTCAACTCGGCTAATCTACACCAAAGACCGGGCCCACACGCCGCCTCACTGCCCCTCCGCAATGTCAGCTCAGCAAAGTGACGTTGAGAGTTTTCAAGGCCCGCATCAAGCATTTTCAATCTTCAACATCAACGTCAACCTCCTCTTCTCCCACAACAATGATCCTGGCCGCGCAGAATCGCCTACACGACACCGCCCGCGCCATGGACCAGCAAGACCCCCCCGAGTTCATACTCGACGTCTTTGCTGATCCCCGCTCCGTCCGCGACGTCGTCAAAGGTCAGCAGCGCCCCCTCCATTCTCTTTCCTCGTCCCGCTACCCTATACCACATCCCCCCGCAATCCCGGAATCGTCATCTACCACTCCGTTACCAGCATGTGTCGCATACACCTCGTCTTCTTTCCTCGGATACTGTGTGTCTCCCGAGTGTCGCTAACAGCAGACGCAGGCATCCTGCACACCATCTTCTTCCACCGCTTCTTCCCGTCCCTCACCCCGCAGACCCGCGAGGTCCTCGACCTAACCCTCCCCTACGTCGACGATGACGAGCTCGAGATCATGATTGAGCAGCGCGCTACCGCCCTCGAGAGCCAACTTGACGCTCAGCGCTCCTCCTCCAGCGGTAATGCCAACGCCACCAGCAACGGCGGCGCCCCCGGCGGTGGTCGCGGCCAGCTCGTCGTCCAGTTCTTTGAGAAGCGTCGCCGCAAGGCCTGGCTGTCCCGTGGTGATGAGGAGGTCTGTTGGGAGTGCTGGACCATCAAGGTGACAGTGGCAGAGCCCAGGACCGAAAGCGGTGCGTACAATCCAGAAATCCGTCCGCTCTGCTCGTTTGCCTCCAACTCGATCGGGATGCGCCGTCCTCCGACACCGGCAATACTCATCACAACAATTCAACCCGAATGCCCTTCTATTACTCAGGCTGGACCTAATACTAACTATGGGCACCACAGAAAGAGCAAAGGTTCGCCGCGCTATGGAACAAACCCTCCTGACTACCGCCATGAAGATTGTCACATTCGCCAACACCCACAAAGACCACATACCCCCGATTACCACACAAGGCACCAACCCGTTCCCCTACAAGATCAATCTCGACCAAAAGGAGACGAGCTGGGCCACCCGCATGCGCATCTACTAGTAGCAAAAGCGGCTGCAGCACATGTATACGTTATTGGGTTTCCCTGTTCGTTGGATATTTCTCCAACTCTAGGGGTTAGTTAGAGATGGGCGAAGGGCCCATACACGATGGAACTGTCGCTCTGTACATACAACATCTTAATTTGGGCATGGGCATCATGGGCGTTCAGGAGGCGGAGTCACGGTCAGGGTTTTAGCTGCCAGTAATAGATACCCCGTTGACATGGCTGACTCGGTGAATACACGATAATTGTATGACACGCATTTTCGTTTTCCAAGACGTGGCTGACTGACCTGACCAACCTGAGTGATCTCGTAAAAAGCAACCCGTATGATGAATGGATCGGAGTTCTATCTCGAATGTCGACTGACGAGCGAGAGAAGCCACAGCCATTGCCGAGGAAGCTGCTCTCACACTGGAAGGACACTCTCCACACTCTGCACACGGCAAACGACTTAGGCGGTACACAAAGTTCGTAGTGTCAGCAATAGAAAACAATGTTATTGAGTCCAGAACACAAGAGATATCATGCTAGCCTAGTAATCAGACGGCCCTTCCTAACCCAAGTCGAGCCCAATCTCAGCCAACGCAAGAGCACACGTACTCAACCAATCCTTTCCATCCCCCCCGGTAGAATCCAAACTCCGGGCAGCAAAACATACAAAGTAAACAAAGCAAAAAACAAGAAAAAAACAAGAAAAAAACAACGCAACCAAGCATAGATCCCAAATGACCATCCAGTATCCCGAGCCTTGCGAGCGTACGCGCCCGAAATCATCATTATCGTCAATAGCCAGCCGCGAAGCTACCGGAGAGCACGGCTATGTGCCGAGCCTCTTTGTTCTACTTCACAGCGGACAAGCCCAACGTCTAACTCGCCACGGGTGAGCCAGACACAGCTATATCTCGACCAAGTTGTTGTGTTTGTCTTCGTCAAGTCATTAATATTCATCATTATGCTTCTTTCGTAATCCCGGCGACTTCACCACCTAGAAAGCAGTAGAATAGCTTCGACCCAGACCGGGCTTGCTACCCTTGGAGCCTTTGTTTTGTGAACCAGACCCAATCTTCTCAAAGCCCTGGAGAATATCGAGACCAGAAAAGTCCGTGACTTCTGTGTTGCCGTTGGAAATGAAGTCGACAGGATCAATCATCAAACCTGGCCAGTCGCCATCACCAGGAATCTCTAAAAGGCCCGAGTATTTCGAAGGGGATTGGTTTCGAATCGGGGATTGCTGGAATAGCTTTGATGGCGAACCGAGGTCTTCGAAGACTTTGCTCGGGGTTTCGAGAAACTGGATAGGCGTATCCGGAGCCTTGAGCAAGGGAGCCGAAGCAATAGATTTCTTCATCGTCGAGTTCGTGATTTCGCCTAAAGCGGATGTGGAGAAAGATCTGTCGAAGCGAGCACGTTTTGCGGAACGCTTCACTGGAGAGCCGTCTGCGGCGTTGGTAGCAAATACATTCTCATCCATGCTGGTGAGATCCTGGAAGATATCAAAGTCGGCAGTGTTGAGGACATCGTCGAAGTTGTAGGCCGTCTCATCGAGGTTGAAGGCAGGGCTCCATGGCACAGCGTCGTCGGCGACACCAGTGACGCGGCGGAGTGGGGATTGAAGCATGTGGCGAACCTTGTCTCGGTGGATGCGAAGGTTGGTGTTTGGGGAGACCGAAGGGGGTGGGCGAACGGGAGGTTTCATCTTGACGATTGGCGTGAGTGGAGGGAGCATTTGGTTCTCGTGGTTCTGTCGCAGTGGTGAAGAAGATACGGGACCAAAGGCGGAGTAAGATCGGGACTTGGTCGGGCTGAAGGGAGATGAGCCTCGCAACCGTGCAATCTCTTCCTCTGCACGTCCCCGCTTGATTCGAGGTCGATCAGCCTCAGAGGTAAGCAAAAGGGCCTTTTGGTTTGGTCGCATCACTGATGACTCGAGCGAGGAAATGTAGCCACTATCGTCCATGGAAGCAAACTTGCGCTTGTGGGATCGGGTGATGGATGATGCAGGATTGCGGGAGATCGGAGGAGGAGTGTTGCTCCGGGGCTCTTGATGACGAGAGACTGGAGGCGAGGAATGCATGGCTGCGGGGAGGGGCGAATAGAGGGATGAGTCAAGAAGATCGTTCTCTCCAGCCTTATCCGCAGCGTCCTCGGGGCCGGCGTTATCAGAAACGGGAATGGTGGCATCGGATGAAAGCTCTACGGGCATCGACATGGTTGCCTGCGAGGTAGGAAGGGGTGGCAGGAGAGACTGGCTGATGGGCATCGGTGGAGGCAAGGTGGGCTCCTGCATAGGTTGGGGAGCAGGCCGTGAGGGTTCAAGGCGGGTCGACATAACTGGGAGGTTCTCGGCTGTGGGGGCAGATTTGCGAGTGGGTTTCTCCTTAAGGAACTGAGACTCGGTGCCAGGCTCAATGCCCCAGTAGTTGCCCTTGCCGGGGTCGTCCTTGGGTCGCTCGATCTTGATAAAGTTCTTGTGAAGGCTCAGGTTATGACGGATACTATTTTGCCAACCGGCATCGGTGGGGCTATAGAAAGAGTAGTGGTCACTGATCCACTTGTAAATTTGAGCGAGTGTCAGGCGATGCATAGGAGATCGAAGGATGGCCATTCCAATTAGCTGGGCGTAGCTGTGAGGTGGCTTGGCGCCGTCGTCGATGATGACAGGGAAGGAGTCGGGGTGAGGGATGGTGGTAGTGGGCTCCGTCTTGATCTTCTTCGAGGGTCTCGAGTCCTTGATAGGGGCGGCATCCATGAGTCCTCGCTTGCCGTTGGGCTTGTGGTGGTAGTTTTCGACGGAAAGGTTGATGGTGGCAGGGGCCGGGAATATTTGAGGGTGGACGTTCTCCTTTCCATAGGCGAAGCTGGCGTCCATCGAGTGTCTTTGAGGACCGGTCTTGAACTTTGAGAGGTAAGGTCTCTTGTGTAGGGAGTCGGTGTTGTGTCCCTTGCCGGAGGGAGGAGCCATGGCGACCATATTCAATTTACTGCCGTGGGAGGAGCTGAGGGTAGATTGAGGTGACGACATCGGCCTCGTCTTGAAAGGAGAGTAGGTTTGGTGAGAGGCGGCGGGTGGGTTGAGGACGACGTTGGAGTTTGAGCTCGTCAGGGGGCGGCGGTTAGGCTTCGAGACGGCGGGCATAGGTGCGTGACTGGTCATAGGAGCGGCGTTCTCGAATAGGTCGTCTTGGAAGATGTGAAGCGGCTCGTTTGAGGCCGGAAAACGCGTGTTCCGGGCCATGGCGGCCTAGTCGGGATGGATATGTCGACTCAATCGCGTGGCAATGGGTAATAGTTTGAATGTCACTTGGAGAGTTAGCCGGGCCGGGGATGGGAAGCAGATAAGGTCTCGCGGGCGGGATGGTTCGGGTGGGCATCGGCAGAGAAGGATGGGATGGGACGAGAGTGCATGAAGGCAAGGAAGAGAGGAGGAGAAAAGGCTCAAAGCTCACCTGGATGGAGCGAGCAGTCCGTTAATGACCTGTGGGGCTCCGTGACAGGGCTATCGTGACTTGTCTGGAGGCGTTCAATAGGCGAGTGGGTGGGTGCTGGGGGGGCTATCAAGGCGTAGTGTAGCGGGTGAGTCGAGGCGTGCAGAAGCAAGCTCGGCGGTGACAGCGGGCGGGAACTCGCGTCGGAAAAACGTGTGAAAGGGGCGGCGGATAGGGGGAGAGAGCGAAGGAGCGGCGAAGAGATAAATGCGAGGCGGTGGTGATGGTTACAGGATGAGAGAGTGAGCGCGAGGGAGAGAGGGTGTAGAAAGAGTAGGTAGAGTGAAAGAAAGATGGAGTAACGCGAAAGGGAGGGGAAGGAGGATGGATTAGGTAGATGGATGGATGGACGGATTGGTGTGGGTGGATGAGTTGAGTTGAGCGAGTGAGTGAGTGTGAGTGGATGGATGGGTGGATGGATTAAACAAGGTTATGGAAGGTGGGAGGGGAGGGCCACGGCAAAGGCAAGTAGGAGAGAAACCTACCTACCTAAGTACAGTAGGTAGGCACGACAGGCTTTCAGGCGCTGTGGCTCAGGCTCGCAGCGGCTCTCAAGTGCACCAACAATTAACAAGTCACAGTCACAGGTCGGCTGCCCGCTATCCGCCTTCCGCTCTCCGCCCTGCACTCTCCGCTCGCAGGGACCAATTTGACGACTTGACTGAGCGATTGATTGAATGATTCAGCCAAGGCCCAAGGTTGGGTTGGGGCCAGCGCAGAAGCCAGCGACGTCGACCTCTGGGCTCTGTGTGAGGCCGAGTGGAGCCCGGCGCAGGGAGGATTCGAGGATGAGCGGGCTAGGGATTGGGTGCGAAGCGTCCGAGCTGACACGAGCGACCAGGGGGTGTGTGAGACGTGCGAGGTGCGTCGAGGGGGGTGTGAGAGGGTATGAAAGGAAACTGTATGAGAGGGTGCGAGAGGAGGTGCGAAGTGCGGTCGTGGGCGTCGACGCGGGTGGGCTCTGAGGTCACAGGTTTTGGAAGAAAGGCGACGGGTCGCAGGGATCGCGTCCAAGCAGCAGGACTATCGAAGCAGTTGGGCAGTTGAAGTGGTCAGTGTCGAGCATGAAAGGCGAGCGTGAACGTGGGCGTGTCGCCTTCACAGGCGTGGGGCGTGTTGGTTTGGCGCTGGAGCACGGCACAGGAAAGGATTGGAGACAATTCTATTGGAGACAAGAGAAAGAGCGGGGGTTTCGGAATGGGCGTATGGCTCGGCTCGACCAAAGAGAAACGACCATCTCTCTCGTTCTGTGTCAAGGGATGATGGATGGATGGGATACCGATAGGCAGAGGACAAGTGCATCGTACAGCCGTCGCGGATGCCGCTGCAAGCTGCAAGCTGCACCACCAGCATGCAGTCCTCAGTACAGTACGGTGCGAGGTATCAGGCTAGCGGCGCAAGGGCTGCCCAGAACAGGGATTGCTGTTCAGGGAGCCCTGCGTTAATGCACCGTTCAGCCAGCCAAAGGTCCAGCCGTGCAGGACCATCGACCTCTAGAGGCGTCGTCGACGCGCCCGTGGGATTGCCTGTGGAGAGACGGCGCGAAGGGACCAGGCAGTCCCGAGGCAGGTCGTGGGATTGGACGCGGCAGTGGGCTTGAGACGAGTGGTCGCGGCCTGGTGTACTTGGTTATTCTATATTACTCGTCGGCCATGATTGATGGGATGATATCGACAGCCGGGCCACAGCCGGGGGCCACCGTGGAGTGCGCGGGTTTCGGGTAAGGATGAGGAGCGGATGACGAGATATATCGACGAGGGTTTACCCAAAGTCCCAAAACTGAAATGCCGGGGCAGCTTGAATCGAGGAGCACAGTGGAGCGGCCGATCTCGATCTTTGCGCACTCTCTTGCACAAGACAAGCCCAAAAGCTGCCCACCCACCAGGGGGTTACATCAACGCTCTGTACTGTACATACAGTAGCTCCGCGCAGTCAAGGAACAAAGTGGCACCAGAGCTAGAAGCAAGCCTGCCTTTATTAACGGGAACCGGCAGCAGGCAAGATGCGACGTTGATGCGAGAAACTAATGCCTTGCTGATACAGTATGCGATGCTACCCTGCTCACAGCTTCGGAAATCGGGGCGGTGCCCGATACGATATGCACACACAGAAAAAGATGCTCCCCAACAAACGACAGAAGGTGTTGCTGAGAAACCAGTTGCACCAACGTCGACATGGTGCGCCGTAGTACGTACTGTACTTGGGGTGTGGCATCGAGCCTCGTGCCTCGGTGGTGGTGCGTGGAGCATCGCCAAATCGATAGTTCTCGCTCGCTCGATCGACCAGCTAACCATTTTGTCTCTGTGGATCAGATCGGTGGGGAGGGGACTCTCTCACTGACACACACCAGCTCCGCATCGCACACCGGAACCAGTTGGAGAGGAGCGCCTCTATCGTAGGTACCGAGCCAGCCACAGCCAAGCAAAACCCGTCTCGGGTATGGACGTCTTGACTGTGCCTCTGTGTTGGATATCTCGGCTACCGTACGAGATACGGATAGCGTAATGAACTTCTAGCGAACGCCACCCTCGCCGCCATCCTTATCGATTCCGCCGCCTCCCTTTCCGTCCCACGCATGCACATGACGGACCAGGGCCGAGACCAGGAACAAGAAACAAGAAACCAGAAACCAGAAAAGTCTCTTGGGGTTGCAGGCCATGTCTCTGCGTCAGCCGTGATTGGCCCCCGCAGAGTCCTTCCTTGCGCCCAAGGGAGAGCTATGCCATGGTGCTAGGCGGGGAAGGAAAATTAGAAGAAAAGGGAGACGGAGAGAGAAAGCGAGATTCCCGTGAAGCCCGTGTGAGCCCGCGTGAGCCAGCGTGCGCCGGCGGTTTGATTGCTGCTGAAAGCCCCGGCCGCTGGTGGTCCAGGCCAAGTCGGCCTTTGGAGGGGACGCGTTTTGGGGTCGCACACGACGCGTCCCTTTTTTGTGTTGTTTTGGACGGCGACGCGTCGTGGCCAATCATGTGCGGCTCGCCTCCAGGGTCTGACGCTGGACGGAGCTGCACGGAGCTGCAACCGTGGGCTGTGTGGGACCGTGATGCGTCCGGCGTTATGAACGGAGGATCCACATTTTACAGTGCCTTGGTCAGGCCAGGCCCGGGTCATGGGCGCAAGTATCGTCGTCATTCGCATTCACGGTCACTTTCGCCATGACGGGGGTGGGAAACAGGGCTGGGAAACAGGGCAGCGCAGGGTACATAGGTACCTCCGGAGGGAAGATGGCGCTCCCAACGAGGTTGGATCGTCCTCACCGCCGCGCAAACCCTAACCTGGCGATTTATATCCTACTCGCGGGACCTATAATAAGATTCTACTCCCTGCATTGTGTAAATCTTTTTGCGTGGTGCTGTCCGAAAGCGAAATTGCGTTCTCAAGCAGCGCCCCTCTTCGGGAGGGGGCGCGCGCCTGGAGGCTCGATGATACTTAAATAGAATAGAGTCAGTGAGAGCTGACTTGGCTTACTTAGTTGACTTGACGCAGGGTTTAATAAGTGGCAGCTGGAGCTCGAACCGGAGCTGGTGCTGTACCCACGGGTACGTACGTACCTAGCTGGCCTACTGGGCTTTGTGTGGAGAAATGCCTCTTTAAGCAGGTGGGGTGACGCCCCGGCACCTTTACCGGCCAATTACGGCTTTTGGATTCCCTCTGGGGTACGTACTGCCCGCTGCAATTATCCAAAGCTGCCCGCCCGGGGCCTACTTACTGGCAACTGCCTAGAGGTACTGCTGCGAAACCCAGTCAGAGAAACCCACTGCTTCAAGTACACATTCTCATATCCATATATTTTCATTGGCACGTTGTATACTTTATAGTGACGATCCATTTTCTTACGTTAATAAAGAACGCGGCCGGCGGCTTGAACCTTTTCCTGACTTGTTACTAGCTTGGAAACGGTGGTTCTCAGCCGTGCCCTCCCCTCTTCGCATAGCCCGCGATGGGGGCATCAACTGTAAATCCCCGAGGTGGCAGTCGATCAATCGCACGAGACTGGAGGACAAAGGTGGTTCGTCCCAGAGTCAAACTCCACGGACAGGATCCCCTGTCGACTGCAGTGCGGTAGGTGCGCGTCATCGGGCATTTGCCTGTCCAGGTAGTGCTCATGCTTTCCTCATGATGGTACACGGACCGGAGGCTGTCAACGGCACGCTGCCAACGGCATGCTGTCATTCATCTAGCCGGGTCCGTCCTCGGGGAGAATAATTAGTGTGTTGTTTGTCCACGGTGCTTGGGCTCGCTGTCGAAACCTTGCCCGTTCGCTGGGTGGTTTCGTCTTCAGCCGCAGCCGTTCCGCTGCAAACACCATCTACAGTATAAAGTACACACCATCCTTGCTCCAGTTACCCTTGGAGTGCAAAACCAAGTCAGGTCGTGTCCACTGCCGACATGTCGACCCCTCCACACTTCATTCCCTCTCTACCCGAGCTGGCAGATATGCAACATGGCCTCGCTCCGCGGGAATCACTCGAGGAATGAAGGCCATCGGAAATGCGACCGCATGTGGCCGTGGTTGTGGCCGTACCGTAGTCGTGGCCGCATTGTCGTCGTGGTCGCGGCCATGTCGCTTCAGCCTGATGCTCACCGCGGTTGTCGGCTCTTGATCCGGCTTCCGTGAATGACATCTCATCTCGTGGCGTCTCATCCCATCCCTTGCTGTCCCGACGACGACGGAGGTGCTTTGAGAAGTGAACTGCGAAATGAACCCAGTGACATCATGTATGTCTTTGCCCGCCCTCGGGTCACCGGTGATGAGCGTTGAGAAGAAAAGCAAAGACAGAAACAAAGAAAAAGAAAAAAAGGACTGATCTATCAGGTCCACCATCATCAGGTCCTTGATTTCGTAGGCCCATCACTAGGCCCATCCCTCGTCCAAGATCCAATCCCAATCGATATCGTCTCTCCCGCGTCCCGTGTGGCTCCATCCCCAATCAAACCCGTGTCCACTCTGGACCACGCTCCGCGAAGCCATTCGCCTGTTGAGTTTCCCATGATTCACGGGCCTTTGCCTGGCCTTTGTCTGGCCTTTTGTCTGGGCCCGACGTGGAGCTTGGAAAGAAGAAGGCCGGCCAAGAGAAGAATTGCAGCCGAAGCTGAAGCCCCAATCTTCCCGGCCTCGATTCATTATCCGTGTCGGCGCCATGGTCCCATGGTCCCGTCTGCCGATCGCCGCATGAGACGCTAATCTTCCGGAACCGGGCCTGGGAGATTCACCGACGTGACAACTCATCTAGCTCCAAGTCTAGTTCCCTCAACCAACAAAGCCTCGCCTCCCTTGTCTTCTGTGGCCAGCACGCCTTCTCGGGCTGGTTCAGGGAACCGACCACATCCATCTGATCTGAGCATCTCCCCATTGAGTCCCGTCCCTTTTCCCTTTCGGGTATAATTTCTGCCTGTTCCCTCCTTTGGCTCCTCCCCCGGAGAATTTCAGGTTTCGTTATTCCCAAAGAGATTTCAAGCCTGACTCTGCGCACACGCATCCTTTGCACACATGACTGCATCCTCGATCCTACGTAGCACTGATAATATCTATCGTCATAATAAAACAAAGCAGTTAGTTCAAGAAATTCGACGTTTGAAACCATTCTTATTTCTCCCTTATGACGATGATAACAACTGGTCATACTTTATCTATTGGGTTCAATTCAATACCTGAGAAAGGCAAACTTTTGATCAACGTACCCTTTGACTGTACGCATGGTAAGCGCATCGATTCAACTGCGCAGCAATGCTGCCGTGTGCGAATAGAAACTCTTCTTCTTCTTCTTTCTCTCACTTTCTCGCTTTCTCACTTTCCTCCCTTCCTCCAGCGACGCGGCCCACTCCCCCCCCTGGCTGGGCTTGGTCTTAGACGGAACTTCTCAGCTGCCATCCCGGTTTTTACCCCTGCACTTACACCGGGCGCCCCGTGGTATCCGAGGACTTACACGCAATGCCCCAGCTGAGAGTCCACGTCTAAGCTCCTCCTCTCGTCTGACCACTAAATACGTAAACCTCTCAACTCACCCACATGCCCCATCTAGCTCTCGGCTTCTCGGGGCGTGAGTCTTTCTATTATCTCTCCGTTTCGTTCCATTGGCATGGCCCCGGCGTCGGCGGCCAGGTGTGGGTAACATCCGTGCCAGGGACGTCGCGATCCGTGCCTCAGCCATCATGTACAAATCTGCCGACTATTGTTTCATCCAAATTGTGCGCCCACACTACTCTATGGGCGGGTGCGTACCAGGTACTGTTACGTACTACTGCAAGCTACCGTAAAAAACTACGTTGCTGGAATAACCGTGTGCCCAACCTGCCGATTGTTCGGTATGCCCTTGAAGGTTGAGACCAGTCAGCCACTCCAAGGCAAGACACTCGCCCTGCCCAATGTGACTGAGACCGCCCCAAAGGGTCCCAAAGGGTGACTGGAACCTGGCTGAAACCTCGACTCCTCATGTGACACGCGAGATCCAAGCCATCTTGTTCAATGCAGGAACCGGCTTTATTCAGGAGACGGAGAGACATAGAGCGACACAGAGCGACACAGAGCGACGCAGAGACACACGGAGAGAGACATGAACCGAGAGTCGAGGAACCACTGGGGTTTCGGACAATTATACAGGGGATAAATGGTCACAATTACATATCAAACTGCTGGCAACGCCATTAGCCGCGTTCCAGCCTCAACACTAAAGTCTACACACCGACTCTCTCTCTTTCCTCAACCTTGCATCCCCGGCCAACCTCCGTTCTAGTGACGCTATAGTGATAACCTAGTCGGCGTAGCCCATGCAAGCAAATACTATTAATCCAAAACGCGTCCGGTCACGGCTGCACCGCTAGAATCCTTGGTAGCCGTCTTCTTGAGCGATCGACCTAACTGAATCTCGCTCAAGAAACCCGCGGGACGTCCACCACCTCCCGGGGCTGCTGGAGCACCGCCGGGAGGAGGAGGAGGAGGGGGCGGGGGAGGGACTCCGCCTGACGGCATCGGAGGGGGTGGCGGAGGAGCCGCTGGCGCTCCGGAACCCGGCATAGGGGGAGGAGGAGGCGGCGGCGCTCCCGGGGCAGCAGTGCCGGGCATTGGCGGAGGAGGAGGAGGAGAAGCGATAGGGGAATCAGTGTTTAGCGGCACCGGGCTAGCTGGAGTCGACTCCCTGTCGGCAGCAGATAGCGGCCGAGGAGGTGCCATGGTGCCGAACAGGATAGACGCCAGCTGAGCAGCATTGCCACCGCCTGGCCGGTCATCGTCGGACTCCTCATCCTCAGAATCCTTGTCAGAGCCCCAGTCATCCGAATCAGCACGCCGGCGAGAGACCGGAGCAATCGGGGCCGCAGGTGCTGGCGGAGCCTTGCTCTCCTGAGTCATGCGGTGGAAAGGGTTCGTAGACGCATCCGACTGAGCAGCCGCAGCCGGAGGGGCAGGAGGAGCCGGAGGAGCCGGAGGAGCCGGGGGAGCTGCGGCAGGAGTGGCAGATGGGCTCTCAGATGACTGGGACATCATTCGGAAGAAGGGGTTCTTGCTCTCTGTTTCAGCAGGCGGCGAGGTGATGACCGAGGGGATTACTGGAGGTGGTGTTGCCTTCTTCTCGAGCTCCTGGCTGCCGACTGTCGACGCCTGGGGAGTGATCTGCTGAGGGCCCTCATCATCATCCGACGAAGAGCTATCGTCGTCGTCCATGGCCTCGAGTTGGCGTTGAAGCTCAAGCTCGCGCTGACGTGCAGCCTCAATCTCGGCTCGTCGTGCAGCTAGCTTGGATTCCTTTTCCTTTGCCTCGGCCAAGGCTGCCTTCTTGCGCTTCTTATCCTCTTCCTTTTGAAGCTTTCTTTGCTTCATTTGCTCTTCCAGAGCCTTGAGACGAGCGTCGGCCGCCTCACGTTCCTTGGCAAAGTCATCTTCCGGGTCTCTTGCAGGCTCCCTACGTAGATCAGTTAGTTATTGCATGTTACGCGACTGGCATTGGCACTCACTCCATCTGCTGGGACTCTCGCTGCTGTTGTTCACGCTCACGAGACAGTCGCTCTTCCTCGGCTTGCTTGGCAGCCTGGTCCTCCTCGGCCTTCCTCGCAGCATCGGCGGCGTCATTCTTGCCCCGATGTCTGGTGGGCGGAGGTGGGGGTTTCTTGGCCTCCGTCTTGGACGGCTCAGGTGCAGGCGCAGGCGGAGGAACACCCTGTTCCTCTGCAAGGCGAGCCTGGCGCTCAGTTTCCCTGCGAGCATCGTCTGCTTCGGCCTGACGCAACTTGGCGGCCCTTTCGCCTCGTTCGCGCTCTATACGCTGAGCAGCAGTCTCGCCAGGCTTTGAGGGAGCCTTGATTCCCAGAGCGGCAAGCCGCTCGGCCATGCGCTGCTCGGCCTGTTGCTTGATAAAAGCAGCGCGCTCCTCGGGAGTCTTGTATGAGGCATAAGAGCCCCCGGCTGCGGGTGGCGTAGCGGTTCGAGAAGTCGACACAGGGCTCTCAACTCGAGGACTAGCAATCCGTTCCGATCGAGTTTCCTCTGCAGCGACTGAAGGTCGCGCGGATCGCTTGTCTTGAGCGCGGACTCGAGTGGATCGGCTTTCGCGCTGAAGATCAAAGATGAAGTCTCGTACCTCGTCCTCAACACCCAGTCCATCTTCCCAACGACGCTTCTCGTGCTCGCTGGTGTTATCTTTGCTACCCTCCTTAAGGCTGTCCTCAATGCCTCGGGAGAAGTCTCGGACACTCTCTTCCACGTCCTGGACCATGCGCTCGTTACCCTCCTTCTCGTTCCTGACCTTGATACTCTCCTCCTCTAGTCGCTTAGGTGCATCGACGTCTTCAGTGCCGATGTCAATCTTCTTTCCAGTCAGAGCGGCGGTTCGCTGCTGCATCATGGCCTTTGCTCGGGCCTTAAGGCGATCCGACTCGGTAACAGCTCCACCAGGCCCAGTTCCGATGATGGGGGTGCCGCTGCTAGGGTGAGCTTTGGCGTCCCTGAGGCGGAATAGTTCGAGTCTAGCCTCCATGATGGCCCTCTCCGTCTTTCGCACTTGGGAGGCGAGCTCGGGGATCTTATCCGTGAGCTTCTGAAGCTGGCGTTTGAGAGTCCTTCTCTCAGCATCGGAGTCGCCAGTGATCAAGGCCGCATCGGGATGGGCATCGATGTCCTCTTGAGTACGGCGGATACGGCGGTAGAGCTCTTCAGCTTCACGTCTGTCCCGCCTGTCCAGAATATCGTCTTCCTCATGGTTCTTTTCATCGGTAAAATCCATGGCATCCAACAAGATCTCCTTCTCCTTAATCTTCTTCCTCAGCTGGTCCAGGGTCAAGTCATCATTTGAGGCCACAGATGACGGGGAATCGGGTCGGGGAGAGTTGTTCCCAACCCTGCGACGAGCGCTTGACCGATATCCAAACTGCTCGTCCTCGTTTTTAAAGACAGTGGCATCTTTGCGACCGGCAGCATTACCGCCAGCGCCTCCTCTGAATGATCGATTCTTCATATAACTGACACCAGTTTTCTGGGGCAGCAGAGCAGCCCCGGAGTTCTTGCGATGGTCTGACTCCTCATGAAGCATCGACTTCAGAGTGCCAATGGACTGGCTGAAGTTGCGAGTAGAGGGGGGGACGAGCTCAGGAGGAAGGTTGTTGGGGAGGGGGTAGCCGTTCAGCTTCCTGTAGATCAAATGCATAGCGACGGCGAACTCATCCAGATCAAGACGACCCTTATTGCCGTTGTCAGCCAGAGTCCAGACCCTCTCCAGATCAGGCTTCTCGAGACCACTCTGGCCGAAGATCTCAATAGCCTGCTCGCCACCAATAAAGCCCTTGCCGAGTCCGTCCCAAGCCTTGAAGAGCGCGTCGTAACGAGTCTTCTCCTCCTTGGTGATTGACCAAGGAATATCAGCATTGCCTTGGAGACCCTGGGTAGTGTATGTCCCAGCCTCACGGCCTTGCTGGGGCATCATGCGGGCCTGCAGAGCATCGATGTTGGGCAGGCCAGTGGACGGGGCATTCACTAGACCCCACTGACCAGGCCGCCCCGTGGGCTGGGCATTGAGGGGAGCAGCCATACCGGGAGCACCGGCGTTTGGCGACAGAGACTGACCGTAGCCTGTGGGCATCGGTGGCATCGGGGGGCGTGGGCCGGTGTATCCAACAGCCTGGGGGTTCTGCATGCCCGGGAAGCCAGTCTGCTGAGCCTGCAAACCTTGGGGCTGTCCAAATCCTGCCTGCTGGCCAGGGAAACCCGTCATCTGAGCCTGAAGTAGCTGCGAATTCGACGCCTGGGGTTGGGGTTGGTGAATGGTGGGCGGAGTCGCGGTGTTGGTTCTGATATCAGGGGTACTGCTGGTAGCCTGGCCACTCTCATCCGCAACACTGAAGTTGATGATATCCACCATGCTGGAGACCTCATTCTTGATAGTATCGGGCAGGTTCGGAGGCAGCTGCTTGCCAGTGAGTCTAATGTTGCAGAGGTACATGGCAAGCGCAAATTCAGGGAAGTACAGTTGACCGGCGCGGGTGGTATCAGCCAAAGTCCTGGTGTAAAATGTTAGTACTCATTCCCAGTAAGATCAAGAGACCTCTCGAGCGAGGACTGCATCTTTGCCTTACCAGATGAGCGATAGAGAATCACCGTCAAGCCTTGATCGCATAAGCAGATCGCGAGCCTTTTCTCCTGACATGGTCATTGAACCATCTCCAACGGCCGACTTGAACAATGTCTCAAACTTGGCCTGGTCCTGGGCAGTGATAAAGGACAACCTGATGTTGGGGATCTTGTTTGGCGTGGCCTTCTCAGCCCTGCGGCCTCTTGGCTTCGCCGTGCCGCCGGTGTGGAATGATGCGGCCATCTCGGTGAAGCCGGTCGGCTGAGGCTTCATCGGAACCGGTGGGTTGGAGGGCATGGCAGCGGGCTGCGGCGAGGCAGAGAAACCGGTGGGTTGGGAAATCTGGAAGCCAGGTTGAGGTTGTTGCTGCTGTTGCGGCTGCTGCTGCTGCTGTTGGAACTGCTGCTGGAACTGCGGTGGCATCGAGGGCATGGGAGGGGCGCCAGTCTGGAAGCTCTGCTGGGGCTGCGCCTGTCCCGGGAAGCCCGTGAACTGCTGCTGGAGCGGTTGTTGAGGCTGCAATCCCTGGCCTTGCGCCGGAAACCCGGTGAACTGCTGCTGTAGCGGAGCCTGGCCGAAGCCCGTAGGCTGGGGCGCAAAGGGGCCTGGTTGCTGGCCGGGCTGCTGCTGCTGCTGGCCAGGAGCCAAGTTGTTGAACGACCCTCCGCCATATTGCTGTGGCGCGCCAGGACGCTGGCTGTTGCCGCCTAAAAAGGCGTTGGAGTTGGAATACATGGCGGTGCGAGCGTCTCCTCAAGACAAGACCACGTGTGAAGCTCGCGGGATCGAGGGGAGTCGTCGAGGAGGAAATGAGGTCGCAGGAGGAGCGCGGAAGCTCCGCAGTAACGAGAATGAGGCGAAGTAAGAACACGAATCAGAATAAAAGGAATTAGAAACAAAAGAGGTCGCAGCCAACAGATGGCGGGCGCGGGTGCGGATGCGGATGGCGGATGGATAAGGAGGCAGGTATCCACGGATGTATGTGATGGTGGAGGATGAAGTGGACGACGCTGATGACGACTGGAGCGTCTCGTCTCGCCGCCAGCAGCCACCTTTCTGCAGAAGAATGGGGCTGGGCAACCGCCGAGTAATGCCTCTTCTCCCCCCTATGAAAATGAGCAGCTTGGCTCGGGCAGGGGTCAGTAGGGTTCCACTTTGGGCAGGTAGCTCGTGGCTGAGGCGAATGCAGTTCGTTTGAATGGTAGCAGTAGATATTACTATTCGCCTATATGCACTATTCGCTCATATGCATATAACTACATTCACAAATGGGTACAAATACATAGGTAGGTAGGTATCTTTTCACCCAAGCCCCAGCTTAATCCATGTGCCTGGTCCCCCGCGAGCAGTCGTCATTACACGCTTAGGCAAAGGGTTTACATTCGTTACTCAATTACTAAAATAAAATAAACAAAATTATTCATTACGAGCGATAAATACCACCAACGGATCTTACTAAATATCATTATTATAGTACCGAATTGGGTGCTCTATTGATGATTCTCTTTAGCATTGGAACATCCTGCTGAGTGCTAACAGCAATTGCGTTTCGTTTAGCTTACTATGGCGTGTACTTGCATACATCTCACGATAGGTAGTGCCGGTTTCTGGCACTTACAAGGCATCACCACAGCTAACAAGGTCACCATAGGCAGCTAACAAGGTCACCGCAGCCAAAATTGCATCCTTTCCAACTTAGGTTGACACAGTATTCCCCCAAAGACCACGCAATCATTGTTATTTTCTAACCTGGAGAAGGGTATCAAAGAACTCGCAGCACACGTATGCGCCTTAAAACAAGAAACAGCCGATGTCCATCCACATCGCTAGAACGCCATATTATCCGGATTATTCTCCCAATGCACTCCAACAAACCGAACCGAAAATGCCAAACGATGAATATCCATCCGCCCATAGCCATTTACTCATTCTCATACACGCCGTTCATTAACCGGAATACCATTATCCTCCTCTTCAATGCACCCAGCTTCGTCACTCCAGAACCGCCGATGCGCTGTGATTTCAAGGCCAAAATCGGCATCTTGAGCATCCGTAAAACTGTAATCATAATCAGGGGACTCTTCGCCGCCAATCCCCTGATCTTGCTGGTTGCCCAGACTGTATTCTCTATCCACTGGACTTTCGAGCTCGGGAGGCGTGGGGATCGCCGAACCCGTGCTCTGGCTGTCCACCGCCGGACTTCCGGCGTCATCGCCCGAGACAAAGGAGTATGATCTCACTCCATGGGTAGTTGAATCGGGTAATAGTCGAGTCATGCTTGTCGCCAAGGAGATGGTGCTTGCCCTCTTTTGCAAGTTGCCGGAGCCGTACCGACCTGTAACTCGGGGAGACTCAGTCGCTCGGCGGGCAAGTCCACCAAAGTCCTTGGAGAAGACAGCATCGCCAACCACATCTTGGAGGGACACATGTTCCCCTAATTCGTGGCGACCGTCCTGACCCTCCTGAAATAGAAGCCTATTTCTTGTCAAGATCTGCTGTAGTGTCTGCGCGGCATCTTCCCATCCCTCTCTCAGTTGTTGTGTCAGTGGCTGACTGACGTTCTGAGGGACCTTGTCAGCCCGAAATATGGAAATCATAGACTGTCGTCGTGTAGATGTAGCAGCTTGTTGAACTGCCTTATCAATCGACTTCTGAATTGTCTGTAAAAGATCCCGATCTTCAAAGGCAGAAAAGTATCGAATTGTCGCGTTATCAGCCATATGCCTGACAAGATGTCGGAAGTTGGAAAGGTTGAAGCCATTGCCCTCGCAGTCCAGGCTGTGCAGGGTCTTATTGGCTGAAATGGCCTCTGCAAGATCCCCGATATTGACGTTCAACATTTGGCTTCGCACGCGAAGGTGCTCGATTCGTGTATTTGAGCGGAGGCCGCTCAAGGCCCTTGAGAAATCTTGACCGAGATGTCCTTCATCCAGTTTGGATTCAAACCCGGAGAGGTCAAGAAATCTCACCGTGTCGTTGTCAGAAAAGAAGTCTGATATGGCCTCGCAGGTCTCTTCGCTGGCCGACTCAATGGTGGCCGTTCCTGCTAGGCTGAGACACTCGATCGTCTTGTTGACTGTCAATGCCCGCATAAGTTTGATGTAGCTCATCTCCGAAGAGAACTCGACCATTTCCACGAACAAGCTCCAAGGCCCAAAGCCACAGGAGATGGCCTCACACAAATTGTCAATTCCTTCGTCTAGGTAATTGGCGTTGATGTAAACCGTCATCTTCCTTGCCTGGCCCATCTCCCAGAATAGCTGAGCGACTTGTTGTCCGGTTAGGCCACAGTTGTTGAGGCGAAGGACCCGGAGATCCAGCGAACTTGGCTGCCTCAAATACTTGGCCAATAAGTCGACCGTTGACTCGTTAAGCTAGTAATCACATGTCAGCTATGGGAAATGCTAAATAGAGGCGGCCTTCTTACAGCAATGCCAGACAAGTCCAGTTCCTCTAGGGTCCAGAAGTTAAGTGCTGCTTCATCAAACAAAGGAATTTCGGGATGAAGACGGGTATTTCCGGCAATTTTCAACTTTTTGATAGCCCGAAGTTCGCTGAGAGAATGTTGGATAACATCGAATTTGACAGTTCCCTGGTTATCGGATGTGTCTAAGACTTCGAGGCTAGCGGCCTGTGCGGAAATTCCAGTCCATACTTTTGACAGTCCGGCATCTCCAAGGCCGCAGCTTGCAATCTCCAGCTTTCTCAAGTACGTGTGATCGAGAACAAGAAGATTTGCTAGATCTTCAACATCACTTGGAGATAGGAGGTTACCGGACATAGCGATGCTATGGCAACGACACGCCCCATACCTCAATAACCATAGGATTGGTCGAAATACTTCTGACGTTAACTTCCGCGCGTAGTCGAGGTCAACTTTAGGTCGACCTGGCTGACTTGTTGTACTTCGGGATCCCAGAACGTTTCTCAGGTCGATGCTTCGGATGGACTCGGAGGAAAAGACTAATGCGTGAATCTCCAAAACAAGAATTGGCGCCTGCATCAGGAGATCGTAATGCTCTTCAGAAATGCGTCGTCCTTTATGAACCGTCAGTGGTTTGATGAGAGATATTGGGGCCAGGGATTGTACCATTCAAAGAGTTATACACTACCGAATCGCCATATTGGGAGTAATCGTGCTTTCCAATAAGAGACGACAAATCGACGTTGCGAAAGGACAGCGCTTTGAAGTAACTGTTGTACCTTAATGCCCGAAACACGGCAAGAAGCTGTAGTGGGGAATATGCCGAGCCACCAGAAGGGAGAAGACGAAAGGCTGCCTGGGCCTGAGCATCCCATTCGATAGTCCATCGGGGAACCTGGGTATGAAATGCGGCACAGTAAGCGTTCAGGCTTCTCTGCAAGCCTCCCAAGTCATTTCCAGAGGTCAATTGGAGCGGCGGGGGCAAGCCTTTGACATCGAAGATGGCTTGTTGCAAGTGTTGTGGCCACATAGGTTTCAGTTCTCGATCGAGTTTGGTCATGGTCTCGATGATTCGCCGATAGTGGATGCTGGCAAGCTCTAACCGGGATTCACGCCCGAAGGGAAGACTTAAACTAGTTAGCACTGGAGCCATTGTTGTTGCAACTGGAGTTGTTTTGTCCTTGACTCACCGAAAACACATAACAAATCTCTGCTCCTGCGAGGCCACAGACGCCTTGAAGCGGGTAATTGTTACAGTGCCAAAAGACTGCACCTTTACCCGTAGATCGCCGGCGGTTGTTGTACAATCTGCCTTTAGAACTTCAAGGAAATAGCACATGCAAGGGCCAAGAACGACATAAAACGACGAGCCGTCGACAAGGTGCTGAGCCTCCTCAGTAGAGGATGATTTCTGCGGTAGCCCAATGATACGTTTTGCAACAGGGAACGTCAGGATCTTGGTACTTCCGTCGGGTGCGGTTGGTTCGTAGGTTTCGACGATGTGGTTGATGCGGGCTTTGAGGTTATCGGGGACGAGAGAGTGACCAGGAGATCGCCGTAGGCTCATTTTGCAAGTTCGTTGAATTTCGGCTAACCACTCGTCTCGGTCCTTTGGGAGCGAGAAGAAAAGTTGCATCTTGCCGTATGACAACTTAGGCCACTGAGAAGCCCACCACACTTCGATTCCGAATCGAGGACTCGAGCCTTCTTCGTTGAATGCGGCAACGATGGAGCGGAGGGGAATTTCAAGACGGAGTTCTGACGCAGTTGGCTTATTCGTGTGATATATGATGCTGCCTCTCTTTCCGACCGGCTGACCCAGTTGCGGGAAGACGCCTTTCGCGGCTTCCAAGTTGCCAAATTTGATCAAGCAGTGATCCGTCAGCACCAGATATTCAGAGCGGGCCTTGAGGATCGAGATATCCGCCTTAAGGGGGCCATGTTGGAGAATCTCCATCGATGTATATGGTAGTTCCAAAGGAGTGGCGGACAGTTCTGGCGGAGAGGCGCTCACTGGCGAGTGGCTCGAGACTCGTCGGTGAATCCTATCGATCATGGAACCCGAACCGGAATGGGTCTTTTGGAGTCGTCGTGCATTCGTGGATCCTCTGGAAGGGCTATGTGACAAGGACTCCATCGATGAATTACTGAGGGACCGGATAGCCTTGGAGAAGGCACGGGGCTTCTTGGATTCCATCGTGTCTGTTTCTTCGGTGGAATCACGCGGTATTGGAAGAGGAGAAGATGCTCGGAGGCTAGGAAGGGTCTTCCTCCTCCACTTGTCGGCGTGCATTTTAAAAAATGGGATGATAATCGACGTTTCGGATCCGGACCCAGCGGTTGTCGTGATTGTGTCTTAGGGAGAATATGAATGGAGAATCCGGCAAGAGGTTCAAGGACCGTCCAGCATGTCGCCGAATACAAGACCGATGCTTAAGGACTAGGCAACCGGGGTTGGGTACGAGGGGGCGTCTCGCAGGGCGACAACGAGCCAGGGCGAAGCCAGGTGAACGGGCAATCGGGGAGGATAGATCGAGGTTCGGTTCGACGTCAATTTGTCTCAGGACTCGGCTACTTGTCTTGGAATTTGGCAAAATCAATCCAAGACCTCCCGCATGCGTCGGTGGTGGGAGGGTTTGCCGCCAGGTCCGTGGTCTAGCGATTTGGGTTTGGTAGTTGGAACCGTGACGAGCTGAGGAATCTGATATGTCCCGAGCTCTCGGCCGAGGCGCGGCGGTCACGTAGGTATGAAGCCCAGAAAGAGGCGCTACAGCGCTACACTCGATGTGGGCGTAAAGGAGGATTGGGGAATCACGGAAGAGGGCTGGTTGGGTTGTGGGATCGATGGGAGGGAGGGAATTGCCGCCAGACAACGGGGGAGCTGTGACGAGCTCTGGCGTTGCGGATGACGTCGAGGCGAGGCCAAGGGTGGCCCGAGAACATGTCAGGTCTGGGTCACGTCGCAGGCATGCTGGAGGTTGCCAGGCACGGGAGACGAAGACGGGGGCGGAGCGAGGGGCAAGGCAAGCACAGATTTGCCAGAGAGGTGTGAAGGAGAGGTGAGGACTTCACGAGAGGAAGCGTAGCCTAGCCCGGCGACAATGCGGGAGGAAGATGTGGTTGGGCTGGAGAGACGAATTAGGCAGACCACCGCCGGCAATGAGTTGGCTCAAGAACGAACAAAAGAACAGAGAAAGAGGAGGCAAACCAAGCAAACAAAAAGAAAAGGCCAGTGGCGGATTACAGCCTTGTGGAAAAGGGACTTTGGAGAAGTAGAGTTAGAGAACAACAACGCAGCGGAGGGAGAAGAAGAAGTTGAATGGTGTGGTCGCTGTCTCGTTATTCGAGAGAGCCCCAGCACTAGCATCTCGCACCAAGCGTCGTCATTGTGCTGCGCCGGGGTGGTAGCGGCGGAGGCGACCCCTACAACCCCCACCAGTAAGGGAGGCCCCGGCCGCGCTGGACGCGCTGAAGCCACTGGGCGGGCGGGCCACGATTAACAGAGCGTAGTGGTGTGCATTGGTGGTGCAGTGGTGTGCACTCCACTGTGCACTGGCAGATAAGCCGCCCGCTCACGCCTAGAAACCGGAGCCCCAGCCCGGTAGGGTACCGAACTGGGGGCGCCAAGCCAGAACTAACGTCCCCTAACGAGATCTCGATCAGTGGCATGGAGCGCTGCAGCGAATTGAATAAACCAACCCAGAGATTGCAGGACGTCACCGATATTGAGCAAGGCCACCCCCGTAATACCGGGAGGAATCAGCAAGAACAAGGGCCAAAGGGCCAAAGGGCCCGATTACCAAGAATCCAAATGGCGTGGTTCAAGGTTCCAAGGTGCTGTCTGTTGCGGCGGTTGGGCGTCGTCTCTGGGCCTGGCTGACTTGGGCTTAGGCAAACCCCAAAAACCAGGGACAGACCGACAGAGTGCCATGATGCCCCCATGATGCCCCCATGATGAAGGGCGGCCCGCCAATGATGGCTGCCGTTCGCCGTCTTCGCACCTTAGCTCGGTCGACAGGTCCCATTGTCAGAATCAAGGACAGCTGAAGAAGACGACCCCTCTCCACCCAACGCCGACCCGCCAACCCGCCAACCCGCCGCCAACTCGCCAACCCGCCGCTCCAAGCCAAGAAACCGCTGCTGCTCCACGGTTCCAAGATGTCGACTGTCTCGCATGCATCCATAACTCAGTCCATGTGCATGCGTGCGTGCGCGTCCGCAAGTGGGCCATCGGCGGTGTCGGTGGGAAACCTGCACCCGAACCCGCAACGGCACACATGGCGTCCATTTTCGTCGTTGGCGGCCCTGGCTGCATCCTGACGGTGTCGTATCGACATCTCGTGTTTTGGCGTGGCTTGCCCATGTCGTGTTTTCCGTTCTATTGTCAGATTCAACAAGCCCTCGTAAGCCACGAGCCATCTATTTACCGTACCCGCTCCCTAGTGGATTCGGCTTCTGGTCCCTTGGGTGTAGCCGCCTCCGACGTATATCTCCCGAGTCCTTGTGACTCGATGACATACGGTCCTGGTCGCGTTGAGTCGGTTACGAGGAACGAGTCTTGATGAGGCCAGACCAATGAACCAAGCCTTCCCACTACTAATTATTGGATCCCCGTAGCGCAGCCCTTTGAGACACTCATCGCCGTTGTTTTCAACGCCAACGCTCCTCGACCCGCCTTGAATCGAGACCGGCTCATTGATCCATCGCGAGCTGGAACCATTCGGGCAATTCTTGTGGTGCTTCCTAGCTGCCAGACCGTCACCACGGTAGCGCCCGACGCCGCTATGACAGCGCAGGATTGGGTGCGCAAGTGGTGAAACCCGCCAGCGGCTCTTGTCCAGCAGGCCAGCTCCGGCGAGTCCGTGGCGGCAGGGTCATCATCGTATTCTGCAGCTCGCCCTCTCCAGCCATGGATGGCCCCTGTGGGGTTGGTAATGGAGGTGATGCTCGATAGCATACAGGGATTAAATAAAATGTGTGCTTCTTGGCGGTAACCTGTGCCACTAACATTTCCTCTTCAAGCTTTCAGCACAACGCACAAGGTGTCTAAAATACTGAGACCATAATAGCCTGCTATATTAGATATTGGGGGTTATCGGTACTCGTTCGCTTTCATATTTCGCTAAGAGCCTGAAGGCATCTCACTCTCGTTTGTACTGAAGCGATGTCACAAATGTACACATTTGATGATCCTGGTGGGCGGAACAAGGGAACGAACACGAACAGCCAGTGAGCGACTGGAACGCCGCAGTACTCTGCATCTGACCCGGCCGGTCCCAGCCCCTCGGCAAGTAAAGGTGGAGAATGTCCGCCCCTTTCCTATTTCTGCTCAAGTCCCCACATATGACGTGCTTCCAAGCCGGGTTGAGGCTAGACGAGCCTGTGGCGGTATTGGGTGGCTTTTGTCTCCTGTGGCTTGGTTATGTGGCTGTTACGTTGTGGCTGATATATGTGGCTAATAGGTGTGGCGGGTTTCCCCGGAATGTGGCTCATCGGATCATTAATAATCCTATCTCTCCCCCACTCTTTCCATTGCTCCGGTTTTGCCAGTGGGGGAAACCACTCCTGTCACCGCCTTCGGAATATTTCGGCCTTAACCCGAAATGGAAAACACTGGCGGTGGCAGAACTCAACGGAACGGTCCAACATTGGGATTCGGTGTCCTTCGGCCACCGGTCTTCGGCTTTCTCCTCACCACCACCACACTTTTTATATCGCCATCCAAACCCCCCCCTCAAGTCGTGCAGCAAGCCGACTTCCAGCCCTTGCTCTCGCGTCTTGAGCGTGAGACTACTTCTGGCCTTGACCGTGCTGTCATTGCCCCCGCTTGAGCTCCCTGCAATCGCTTGCCGGGCGCCCAGAGATCTTGCTTCGAAAAAGCCCTCCATATTGGTCTTGGTGGGGAACTTCCACTCTCGCACAAACCATGGCCTCCGACGACGCTTCGCTGTTCCAGCGCAAGTACATTGACTACGTCTATGTCCCCGCTGCGCTGCTCATCTTTGGCACCCTCATTGTCAAGCGCGATTGGGTGCCCTACTCTGCGCTCTTGGCCCTTGCCTTTGGCATCTACAACTTCAATGCCCTGAGTAAGTAACTTCCTTCCCCGCTGTCTCTTCGGGTCTTTGAGGGGGAATGCAAACTGACACTCGGAATCGCAGAGGTCAAGAAGGTCCTGAAGCCCGACGTCTTCCAGGAGTTTGAGCTCGAGGAGAAGACTGTCATCTCCCACAACGTTGCCATGTAAGTCTCCAGCTTGGCTATTCCCCTGCCAATTCCCTCAGCAACAGCGATATTTGATTCTAACTCGTCTGCCTTGTAACCAGCTACCGCTTCAAGCTCGATAACCCCTCTTCCATCCTCGGTCTCCCCATCGGCCAGCACATCTCCATCGGTGCTAAGCTTCCCCAGCCTGATGGCACCACCAAGGAAATTGTCCGCTCTTACACTCCTGTGTCTGGCGACCACCAGCCTGGCCACTTTGACGTCCTCATCAAGTCCTACCCCCAGGGCAACATCTCTAAGCACATGGCTTCTCTCGTTGTGGGCAAGACTATCCGTGTCCGCGGCCCCAAGGGTGCTTTCACTTACACTCCCAACATGGTTCGGCACTTCGGAATGATCGCCGGTGGTACCGGAATCACCCCGATGCTGCAGGTCATGCGGGCCATTGTCCGTGGCCGGGCCGCCGGGGATAAGACCGAGGTTGATCTGATCTTTGCCAATGTCACTCCTCAAGACATTCTCCTCAAGGAGGACCTCGATGCCCTTGCCGCCAAGGACGCTGGCATCCGTATCCACTACGTCCTCGACAAGCCCCCGGAGGGCTGGACTGGTGGTGTCGGATATGTTACGGCCGACATGATTACAGTAAGTCTCCGTCCCGGCGCTTGGCATGTGCGAGTCAACGAACTAACCTCTTGTAGAAATGGTTGCCGGCACCTGCGGACGACGTCAAGATCCTGCTCTGCGGTCCTCCTCCGATGGTTAGTGGCCTGAAGAAGTCCGCCGAGAGCCTTGGCTTCAAGAAGGCCCGCCCCGTCAGCAAGCTTGAGGACCAGATCTTTGCCTTCTAAGCATACCCCCATGTTTGTCCAAGGGAGCATCGCCTTCGCTGGACAGGACCCCAACGCATGCACATTCAAAAGGAAGGAAAAATGATACGAACATGCATCTAAAGACAAGTGGCTCTCGTCATAGAGTGAAAAGACTAGACGGCTTATATATCGTATGTGACGGGAATGCATCGTTTAATGTACAATCACGTTTATCATGTTCATCACTCGGCCGTCACCAATAGACACGCCTTTGTCTGCGTAGGAGCTGTCCCACCATGGTAATGACACATTGGGTACGATAAAAATGACAAATTATTGCAAGCACGCTTTCCATTTCCCCTAGTCCAGGTGTAAGAGCATCTAGCCATATAAGTACAACCTGCCTGGGGCCAACCCGAGGCTTTTAAGCACAACACAACATTCTAGATAGAGCACTCCCATCCTGTATCTTCACTACTCCTCGTCATCGTCATCAGCGTCCGCCATACTGGTATCCGCCTTGCGACCACCATCCTCCTCATCAGAGCGGCTCTTGGCCCGTGTGGGCTCCTCATCCTCATCCTCCTCGTCGCTCTCGACGACCCGTCCACGACGCGACCGCTTGTGTTGCTGACGGGGAGCCACCTCGTCGTCGTCTTCACCCTCGTGGTTCGCCTCGTCATCGACCTCCATCTTGTCGTCAGCGGCTTCCTCGTCCGCTTCCGTAAGAGGGCTATCATCTCGTTCGAGGTTTCTCTCAGCACGTTCGAGGGCGTCCTCGTCGTCTTCGTCGCTGTCCACCACAATCTCAGCCGACTTGAACTTGGACGACTCCTTCTTTGTGAGACGACGTCTCTTTTTGGTTTGCGTCTCCTCCTCTGAATCATCGTCTCGCTCGGCCTTCTTCTTCTTCTTTCCACCCGACGACCTCTTAGGCTTCGGTTCGCCGGAGGCACGTGGCGCAGTCTTGCGTTTCCGCTTCACCTTGTCTCCCGTCTCGCTGTCCGTCGTCATCTCTGCCTCAACGCGAGAACGCTCCTCTTCCGCTCGCTGTTCAGCCAGATGCCTGTCGCGTGCTGCAATCGCTTCACGCTCCTTCTTGATCTTCTCCTGTCGCTGCCGTTCCTTCTCCAAGACCTTCTCACGTTCCTCCTCGCGGCGTTTCAACTCGGCCTCTCTCTGCTCCCTGGCAGCCTGGATCTTCTCCTTGTTCTTCTCCTCCCACTCCTTTTGCTTGCCGATAGCCCTTTCTAGCTGCTTGCGCATGGTGTTGCGAGCCATGTTGGCACGTTGCTCAACATCATGCTTAGGATAGGGAGTCTGAGGATGGGCGGCGATTTCGTCCAGAGCCGTAATTGCAGCCTCGAGACCCTCCGCTGCTTTCTCGAGCTGCTCTGATGAGCGCTTGTTCTCTGGCAGCAGCTGAACGGTGGTAACGAGCTGGATCTGCACAAAGGCAACGTTGAACTTGTAATGGACTTGCTCCGGAGCAACTTCAAGGGCCTGCCAGTTCAGTTAGTATGTTGCAAAATGATTCATCAATGGCGAAGCTCACCTTCTGGGCGCACTCAAGCGCCTTTGTGTAGGCATCAATGTCGCGCTCCGCCCGGCCTCGGTTCAACCAAGTGCGGCCCAGGCAAGCAAGGATGAGAGGATCGTTGGCCTTTCCATCCCGAGAGAGAGCAATCTCATAGTGCTCGATCGCCTTCGAGTACTGCCTCAACTCGGCATAAATATGGCCCAGGTTGACATACAAGTGGGAGTCCCTGAGAGTTTCTCGAACCTTGTTGAAGATTCCAAGGGCTCCCTTGTAGTCCTTCCTATCCTCAACAAGAGCAATGGCGATGCCCTGAGCGGCGTAGGCATTCTTGGGGTCAAGGGAGAGGGCCTTTTCGAAGAACTCGACGGCCTTGCCGTACGTCACACTTCGCTTCTGCTTCTCTGAATCTGACTCCCGCCGCATCTCTCTTGCTTGCGCCAAGTAGAGGTTGCCCATTCCAACCAGAGCATGCCTGTCATGCTTGTCATGGTTCTGCAACGTATGCTTGTAATGACGGAATTCGGGATCTTCATTGATATTGGCAGGTCGTTTCCTGGAGTGAACTTTGCCTAGGTACCAGCCATAAAGTGACCTGACCTCGAGGTCGGTGTTGTTTTCCTGGTACAGTTTGGCGACTGCATCTGGCCCTTCCTTGTTGGGGTTCTTTCTGAGCTTGATGTATGCAAGTCTGGCACGGGCATCCGTGTAGTCGTCATGTCGAGCAAGGAGGCCTTCGTAGACTTCAACAGCCTTATCCGTGAGGGCTCGAGACTCGTAACTCCTGCCGAGGTTGAAACTGATAGTCGAGACCAGGGCATCAGTGTCCATGTCAGGATCTTTCTCGCCGATTCTCATGCAAGCGCTCAGAGCAGCCTCAAACATCTCGCTAGCAAGCTCATGCTTCTCTGCTTGTGAGTGGAAACAGCCGATATTGTTGAGGAGTTGTGGAGGCAGAAACTTGCGAGTGGCGCTACGGATTTCAGTCTCATCCGTCACATCTGTTGGGCGCTCCGAGGCAGGAACCTGCTCAAGTTCGAGTTGTTCCACTTGTTGCAAGCACTGCAAGGCCTTGTCTGGGTGGTCAGTCTCGTATAGACGCGCCAGGTTGAGGAGCACCGAAGCATCTGGAGCCAGAGTCTTCTTCGGATCTTTCCAGGCAGTTCGAACCCCCTCGAGAAGGGTGATGGCCTTCTTCAGCTCGGCAGACTTATCCTCCTTGCTGTCGCTGTACTGGTTCGTGAAGACCTCCTCAGCATACAACGTACCCAAAAGGATCATCGCTTCGTGGTTCTTTGACTGCTGGATCATCTTCTCCAATCGAAGTTTGGCTTCTCCGAGGTCATTCTTCAGAACAGACAGCTGCGCTACTCCGAACTTCGCGGGAAGATAGCCCGTATCGGCACCTCCACGCGCATCGTCGGCACGTCGATAGTAATCGCTTGCACGTTCCGTATTGCCACCGTAGTGCTCTTTTCTTGCCAGGAGATACCAGCCATCACTGGCGATGGCGTTGACATCAGTAAACTGGATAGCCTTGTGTGCCAGCTTGTCCGCATTATCCCATGCCTTTCGGGATAGGAAATAGCTAGAAAAGGTGGAACAGGTGAGGGGCAGGTCCTTGTCAAGCTTGAAGGACTTTTGCGTATACTCGGTCATGGCCTTCTTGTAGAGCCTGAGGAAGTCATCGCTGTTAACCGGAACATGACCGCTCGCGTCAAGATAGTACAAGCCCAAGAGGATATTAGCCACCTTTGAGTCGGGGTTGATCTCAAGACATCTTTCCCAGGCCATCTTAGCATCGTCTTTGAAGCCGAGCTGCCAAAAACAGCAGCCAATACCAATTCGGGGGTCAGGATCCACCAAATCGGGCATCTTCTGCAACACATCTTGGTAGATGGTCAAGGATTCCGGATATTTATGCATAGAGAAGAGTGCACGCGCCTTTCCCATTAGTGCGAGCATATTCTTCCCCTGGGAGACTCGGAGAGCATCGTCAAAGGACTTGACGGCCGTCTTCAGGAGCTCATGCTTCTCTGATCCAATACCTCCAGCAGTCTTGGACGGCGCCTGTAGCGATGCTCTCAGAAGCAAGAGAACGCCACGGGCAAGAAAGATGGGTGGGAACGACGGGTTGAGTCGAGCGGCATCGTTGAGAGAGGATGTCGCGAGCTGGAGATAGTACTCCTTCGTCTTGGCTTCGGACACTCGAGTTCCATCTGGCGCGACGCGAGGGGCTTCTCGACTCTTCCACAAGTACATCCAACACAGACAGCAGATCATGCTGACTTTATCACGCGGGTTCGTGCTGTTGTTCTGGATGGCGCTGCCGCCACGGAGGAGCATCTCGATGGCGTGGTCGATCTTGTGCTGCTTTGCGTATGCGAGAGCGACGGTCATCCAGTATGTTTTCGCGGCGCGTTCATTCTCGAAAAGCGTGCAGAGCTCGGTAGGGTCATCTACGAGGTCCTCGAGATCGATTTCCACGGCTTCATCTTCCTGGTCGCCCTGGACGGGAATGTCGATGGCAGAAGGGATGTCGGTGAATCGGGTGCTCACGGGGCCAGCAGCGGCGTCGCCGTTGATACCATTGGCGGCGCCATTCTGCTGCGTCGCCATGGCTATCGGAACGAGATGTTGAAGGATGGGGGAGGCGAGGAGTTCGAGTTCGTCGGGGGGTAGGAGGTGGGAGCAGGAACGCGTCGCTCGGAGCAGCTAGCAATGCGCCTCGAGTCGACGGACTTGCAGCTCATCGGCCAATTTAGAATCCAAAGAGCATAGTCAATCGCGAGGCCCGGGAGTTTGGATGGATTGCGCGGATTCGCGTGGACGATGGAACGACGGTCGTGGCTATTCGCGGGTGAAAGTGAAGGTCGTGTTAAATTTGTTGCGTCGCCAGGCTGATGAGAATTAGAAGCCCCCAGCTGGCAGAGCGGCTGTGTGGCCCGTGCTACGGGGGGTGAAAGCGCGGCTGGTGGTTGGTCGCTGGACCACGGGCCACAGGCCACCTGCAGCTGTCTCAATGGAGCTGAGACGCCTTTTTCAACCTCGTCTCAGTGTTAAACTGCTAAGTTACATGTCCATCACTTGGCGATGTCAACTTAGAGGTGCTTTTTTTGTTGCTTTTTGCAAACAATAATTATCAACTATATAACCCTATTTACCTCGGATTTTAATGTTTTCTTCTCTCAAGCATCCAATATTTCTATTTACGGCGGGTATCGAGCCGAGCCTAGCAATGTCGACCTCAGCTGTATCCCAGGTGTCAAGATGGCTCAAATCAAGAAGCTGCCCTCAAGAAGGTGCAGTGCATTGTGTGCGTTCAAGTCGTAGCTCGGGTGTGAATCCATGGTCGTTCTTCACTTCCTCCTCAGACAAGTCCCTGGTAGTAGAATACCTATGGTAGAGCACATGTACACCCACATGGCCTGAAATCCTAGGTAGGTAGCAGACGAGAGTCGCCAGCTGGCAGGCACTCTCTATCAGCTGCCCGCAACAACTTACAAGCACAGCCGCTCATTCTGAGGCACCTACCGACTCAGTCATCCTTTCTCTTTCTTCATCCTCTCGCACTCGTGCTCGATTGCTTTGACCGGGTTCGCACCTCGACTACTGTGTGGGACTCAAACGACGACCTCGCACAGGACGCGAAACACCAGAGAGAGGAAGAAAGAGATTCACTATAAAATGAATCTCTGTGCTCGAATTATAGAGGCTTTTTCGGCCCGCAAGGCCCTTTACTTCTCCGTTTTCCGCCGCCAGACCGATCAGTGCTCCGGTTGGAACTGCTTGACAACAGCACAACGGTTCGGAATAATCTTCAGTATCGTGGTCACTTCGGTCGTTCTGATACTTGCCTACATGTACTATCTTGGTAGGATAACCTCATCTCACCAAGAACTAGTGCTGGCTCGTCGTCGCAGCCGCCGACGGCATCGCCGCTATTCGGCGCCAAATATCGTTATGGGACAGCTACCTATTCATCAGCAACACCCTAGCTTCCAATCAACAGTCATGTACCAACCGGTGCTGTGCAATCCTGGGGGGGTTCCTGTCCATTATCCCCTGGGACATTTCTCTCCGGGTCGCTTACCTGCTCCGGGTCACTTACCTGCAGGTCAAGTTCCTCAGCCGCCAATTCCCATGGTCTACCCAGTTCCACCCTATCAATCTCGAAACCCTCAACGAAACTTCCAGCCCGAACCCCACCGTGGAGGCTCAGCTCGTATCAGTTTGTCACCTTCATCAATGGGATCGCCTCCACGGCAGCCAACCTGGAGACAACGGCTGAGTCGCGTATTCGCACTTCCAGTAGGAAGGGTCTCCACGGTAGCAAGCTCCTCCGCACCTGGAACTCCTATCCGCTCTAGATCTCAATCCACAGTCACACTTGAGAGGGGCGGGCAGACCACCCCCAGGTTAAGCTCTCGCTCAGTTCAAGAGCCGTCACACAATCACCGCGGGAGGATTTACTCTGTGAGTCCTACCCGGTCGGTCCGAACTCGCCATACCTCTACTGCACAACAAAGCGATGAGAGTGTGGTTCTTTCTCCGCGAACCGATGTTGCAACTGTCCACAGTGACGACTTTGAACTACAGCCTACGCCAGTATCTGCGGGCCAAGTGACACCCTCTTATCACCTCCCAATCACCGCTTCCGGAAATGGGGCAGCAAACAGCAACAGCAGTTTCGAAAGCAACATTTACTCAGATGATAGGCACTATCTGCCATCAGTCTCTTCATGTCGGTCAGGATGGAGCCCAGATTCGAGATCCATCACGCCGGTGACAGGACAAACAGATCCCAGTTTCAAGACAAACGAGGCAGATATACTGTCACAGCTTGCCTCTGCAGGCCATTCGAATGGGTATACGACGCCACTGTAAGGTACGTCGAGCCCGTAATGTTGCAGGGCTCTAACGCTCAGGGAGGTGTCGCGGGCCACCAGAGGCATCGATAATGGGGGGAGTGGCAAAACCGCGGCGCCACCGCAGAGTAAATGGAGATTTTCTCACTTCGCTGCAGTCTCTGAGGCGACTCGCATTCTACATGGTTACATCTCGTCGCGAAGAGGTTCGAATGATAAGACGAAAACATCGGTCAAGGGGGCAAAACCATCGTGGCCGAGAAATTCACAGGATGAAATGGGACAGAAGGTATCACAAGCTCAAGAATCATGGACCGGGATCGTGCTAATGATTACATTTCCACAGGCATCTTGCTCCAAGCGAGATAAGTGATGATAGCAGGAGTGGTCCGTTTCCACCTGAAGCTGTTCATCAAGGGAGGTATATCTACCACTCGAAGGGGATGAGGACAGAGGGTTGAGGCGCAGGGACCAGGCGGATGCATTGAAAGCAATTGATACAGAAGTGGGATCTTGCGATGCCATAACCAGAGTGCCCTTCGGCTGGAGTAGGCGGGGAGGACGACTACACTAGTGTGTGCTGCGCGGTTGTCGGCATGAGAGCGGCCAGAGTATTAACCAGGCTCTAGCCCTGATATGTCGTCCAGTAGATGACCATGAAGCTCGAAACTGTTGCCACTTCCATCCGCATCACATGGGGCTTGCGTACGGTCCGCTTCCTAGTTAGACAAGTGACGTGTGGTACATTAGAGATACTGTTCAGCAATGGAACCCACCCTATTCCTCAACGGGTTTCGCAGTGGCATCGCTCGCCTCTGTTTGGTGGATGCCTCCAAGAGTGGTAAGGAGGTACGTACCCAGTTCCTGATGACATCCACGACGGCAGCTTGTTGGCCCATGCGCTGACTGGCAGCGTCATCATCGTGTCCAGGGCTCCAGGCTTCCCTAAGAACCCCCTGTAGGCTACCTACCTAGGCCGTGTACCACTTCTAGAGCTATCCATTAGTTACTCCTACGTGGGTGCTCACGCTTAAGCCTTAGCACGGCCACCACCTCACATCCGCATCCACCAGCCCATCCAGCCCCGTCCAAACGTCAACCCATCCGCCGACACCGCCCGCGCTCGCGACACTCTGTCTCTGCCTTCGCACCCGTTTCTACAATCTCCTGGAGCTTTCGGAATGGCGACAGCGCCCTGAATCAACTTGCGCTCCTGCCTAACAGTCTCCTTGACTCTCCCGTCAACCGTCCTTGCCCCTCCCAAGACCCCCACCAGCCACCACTCAATCCTCGTCCCTCGTCCCTCGGTACCACTGGAGCTCCATCTCCGCCACAGCCTCTCCAACTAGGCGCCAGCTTAACAACGCTGCAGTTTGCCCGCAACCTCGCAAACAATCTATCGCCATGTGGAACGACGAAGATAACAACCCGTACGGGACCAGCTTCGACCGCCGCGACTCGCAAACATCCTCCACCGCAAACCCGACTTCCCCGACAACTCGTGAATGTGAGTCCCTCGCTGCTCTTCCGTCCCGCGATCTACCCCATTCAACATGATGCACTCGGTCTGGTTCAACCGCGCCGGCCAGGACTCTGCTTATTCTTCTTGCGCATCTATAGACCGATCCTTCGAACCCCCTCACACTCCAACTTCTGGCAGCGATGACGAGCAGCCGCAGTTTGGCCACGCCGCCGGTCATATCGACAGCGATGACGACGTAGTGTCGAGAGATGATGCTGGCCCCCGGCGCAAGCCTGGCGGCTATGACAGTCGCATCGAGCAGATCCTCTACGAGAATCCCGACTTACCCATCGTCATTACCGACGCTGGCAAGAGCCTCGAGAGCGGCGGCAGATACATTGTGTACACCATCAAGACCGGGGTATGGCCTTCGACTTCATCTCTACGACCTGTACTGACATGGAAGGAAAGGATCTAGAGGTTCGACGCCGATATTCTGAATTCGCCTCCCTCCGCGACGCCTTGACCCGCCTCCATCCCACTCTCGTCATTCCCCCCATCCCGGAGAAGCATACCATGGCCGACTATGCCGCGAACCCGACAAATGCGAAACAGGACCAACAGATTATCGATCTGCGAAAGCGTATGCTAGCGGTCTTCCTGAACCGTTGTCGCCGGATGGATATTGTCAGAACAGATGGAGTTTGGTGGAGGTTTCTCGATCCCAACGCCAGCTGGGTAGGTTATTAGTTGCTAACACGACGATGGCATGTGCTGATTCTACTCTATGATAGAGCGAGGTTCTCCATTCCCATCCAGTAGCATCGATTCCGAAATCAGTGCTGAAAGCACCGCCCTTGGATACAGCAAACCCTTCTATTGCCCACAACTATCTCCCCATTCCTCCAGTGTCGGCAAAGCTGAAGACAATTGCTGGACCGAATCACGACAACAGCTCGGGGGCTATTCAGGCAGGCCCTCATGCCTTCGGTCGATTCCCGCCCGAATCTCACAACTTGAGTGAACAAGAACTTGATCCATACTTCATCTCCTACGAGGCCTCAATCAAAGAGATGGAACTCCTCCTGACCGGTCCAATGGAAAAAGTCAATCGTCGGACGCTCAATCACTTGTCGTCTCTGGCAGCCGATCTTTGCGAGCTAGGGTCTGTATACAATGGATTTGCCGTCTCGGAACAAGCTCCATCCCTCGGTCCAGCCATTGAGCGAGTCGGCCAAGCCGCAGACTTGTCGTACATTGCAACCGAGGAATTATCAGGGTCTCTTGGGGCGAGTTTCGCCGAGCCGATGCGGGAGAACGCGCAGTTCGCTGGCGTTGTTCGGAATGTTCTCAGATACAGGGTTCTCAAGCGTGTGCAGCAGGACTTGACAAGTGAGGAACTAAACAAGAAGAGAGCACTTCTCGACCAGTTAGAACGCACCGAGGCCGAAGCGCGGCGCATCGAAAACTATCTGTCAGGTAGCCAACAAATCTCTCCGCCGCCCAAGAGATCAACAAGTCTTAAGGAGCCCAGCTCCCAGTATAGACGCGATGGCGGCAGCGAGGACACTGAATCCATCGACTCCGATTTCCCTCCAACACACGGCGACTTTCCAACGACACCTTCAGCGAGTCAAGGACTTCCCGAGCGGAGCACTAGCGTACCCTCACATAAGAAGATGCCAAGTGGAAACTCGATAACGAACAAGATCTTCGGTCCCATTCGCCATGCCGTGCAGGGCGTCGTGGACGTTGACCCTGAGCGAACACGACGAGACACAATCGGAAAGACAAGAGAAAGTATTGGGCAGTTGGAACAAGCGCAGGTCGCGGCCGAGCGAGACGTCAAGGATGCCAGCGCAAGCGTCTTGAAGGATCTGAAGCGGTTTCAGAAGGACAAGGAAGAAGACTTGCGGCGATACATGGTAAGTCTAATTAGACTCGTATTGGTCACCCCATGATACTAACATTTGATACCTAGCTGGCTTATGCCCAGAGTCAAATCGAGTGGGCAAAGAAGAGCAAGCTGCAATGGGAAGAAGCTAGGGCCGAAGTGGAGAAGATTGATGAGGCATGATGTGCCTGCTTCTGTATTGATCAGCGAGTTTGACTTGGAGAATGAGCAAGGAGATAAAAAGGTAAACTACATTAATTCACGGAGCTGACGGCTCTCTTCGTCGTGGCATTCATGGGGATGTAAGGGTGTCGAAGAGCCCCTGGCATTGATTGGAACAAGGCCCACGGATGTGGCCAGGTCTGCTTTGTTAGAGATTCCTAATAGTTCTCGAGGACTCCGAGTTCCATTCAACATGAGAGTGTGAGATTCGTTATTGCCCCATATATTTCTTTCTTGGTCCACGTCAAGACAGCTCGGTTGCCTGTTGGTTACCTAGATTGACGCAACTTGGTGGTCACTGCGAGAGCGAGACGCATGCAGGTGATCAGTTTAGGAGAGGCGTTGTAGCATTCTAACAATGAATTTGCACTTTGATGATAGAATCCCTCTTCCTCAGTCTTCCATTCCTCAGCATCGCTGTACGGTGAATCATTCCTCGCTGCGGCTGCTCAGGCTTTGTTCAAGACGATGCCTGAGCAATGCGGCGTCAACGCCCTTATCGATAAGGGGCGTGCGTCGTTGCGACAAACGCTCGTTGCGTCGCAACCTCCAAGTGCAAACGGAAAAAGAAACTTTTACTGCACTATGCCTCCGGGTTCTTCTAACGGAGCCTGGCCCGCGTCGTATTTGATGATTCACTGATTCAACCACGCGCGTCCCCATTCGACTGAGCGCGACGCGTTACTCTACGAGCCCATCAAGCAACCATGGAAGGTCCCGACGGCCCCATCGCCTCCATCGCCGAGCCTGGCGTCAAGGCTGAGGGACAGCTGCTGTACTCAATGCGTAAGGAGGTGGCAGAGCTGCTAGGCCGTCACCAGACCAGCTTCCCCGGCGCACAGCCAGTGAGCTTTGCTCGTCAGCACTTGGAGGAGCTCACCAAGCAAGAGTACACACGCCCCGACGCGAAGAATGCCCGATTCCTAGACCACTGCTAACCGTTGACCGGCAGTTACTACGTCTGCGAGAAGTCGGACGGCATCCGATACCTTCTCTACTCGACATCCGACGAAGGCGGTGGAGAGGCGCACTATCTGATCGATCGCAAGAACGACTACTGGTTCATCACCAACAGAAACCTCCACTTTCCTCTCGAGAACGATCAGGGAGCATTCCATACGGCAACCCTAGTCGATGGCGAGCTTGTTTGGGATAGCCTGCCCAATGGCAAGGCTGAGCCTCGGTTCCTCGTCTTTGACTGCCTCGTCATGGACGGCAACAAACTCATGGATCGCACATTGGACAAGCGGTTGGCGTACTTCAAGGAACGACTGTACAATCCATATAAGAAGCTGTTCAAGGACTTCCCCGATGAGCTCCGATTCCAGCCCTTCTACGTGGAGATGAAGCCCTTTCAGCTGGGCTACGGCATCGAGATGATGTTCAAGCAAATCCTACCAAGCTTGAAGCACGGCAACGATGGCCTTATCTTCACCTGCCGCAACACGCCCTACAAGCACGGCACCGACCCACACATCCTCAAGTGGAAGCCTCCGGAGGAGAACACTGTGGATTGCCGCCTGCGCCTGACATTCCCCACGGTCGAGCCCGACGAGTTGGAGAGGCGTGAGGGCATGACAGAGCCGTTCGTCGATTACGACAGCGTCCCCAAGGCTCAGCTGTTCGTCTTCAAAGGAGACAGTGGCCCAGATCGTTACGAGCCTTTCCACGAGGTGTTCATGACCGAGGATGAGTGGGAGGTTCTGAAGGGCCTCAACGATCCCTTGAATGACCGCATTGTCGAGTGTAACATAGACGAGCAAAACCGGTGGCGCATCGTCCGTTTCCGAGACGACAAGAGCGAGGCGAACCACAAGAGCACGATCACGAGTGTTCTCGAGAGCATCAACGACCGTGTTTGCGACAAGGATCTTTACAAGGCGGCCGGCCGGATCCGCGATAGCTGGAAGGCCCGCCAAGCTCGCCCTCGGTAGGCTCCTCTCGCAGCCGAGCCAGCACTGGAGCATGGCACAAGGCGGAACATGGCACGTTGGCTGAAATTTCGAATTAGGTAGAGAAGGATGGCTCCGCCCCCTATTCCTGACTCCTTGGCAAGTTTATTGGGGGAGCCACTTGAGTGAGGAGAGAGAGATGGCGTCTGTGGAGGGTGTTTCAATGATAGGGCGAGGCGTTTGGTCGAAAGATTTGGAAGGACAGGGAACATTAGTTTGCAATGTTTCTCGAGGATTCGCCTCTGTTTCGATATTCTAGGCGCCTGCTACAAAATTAGAGTCACTGTTGGATCTTGTAGGTCTACTAAACACAGCCATGTGACGCCACTGGATTTGAACTCTACCTAGCCCCCCATCTCGACTTATTATCTAGGTATGTAGCAGTCAACGGCCCAAAATAGACCCCGTGGTTTTGATTTCCAGTGTTTCCATGCCAAATTAATCTGACGAGACTCAAAAAAATCCCCAACTAGCCCTTACTCTCTCGGGCTGCGTCTCCTCGTCCCAATCCAAGGGTTTACGGGGCGCTCTGGTTTGCTCAGAGCATGAACATAATGGTTGCGATCAACATGATAGCGCAGCCAAGGTTAGAAGTGCCGGTGCCGCCACCCCAGCCACGAGGCTCAGGCTTCTTGCTCCCACCAGAAACGACGACGACAGGGGTCGTAGGGTTGGGAAGGACAGTGACAGTGCCCGAGGCGCCATTCGCGATGGTGTTGTTCGCGGTTGGGTAGGGGGGCTCAAAGACCTGGACGGTGGTAGTTGAGAGAAGAGGCTCACCACTTGTCTCGGTGACGAAGATGGTAAGGGTGGTGCTAGGCGAAGGGGAGGCGGCGGTGATGGCCTCGCCAGCAGCCTGAGAGGTCGCTCCCACGAAGGTTGAGAGATCGGAGTAAGGTTGGGAGATAGTGACCACGACAATGGCGGACTCATGCGTTGTGATGGTCTTCTGGATAGTGGTGACCTTGATGACGGTGCTCAAGGTGTGCTTGGGAGGGTATAGGTCGCCTGAGATGGTAATGACTGTCATAATCCCAGTCACGGAATAACTATGCTGGACCTCGGTGACAGTTGAAGGGCTACCGGAGACGGTTGCGTCAGGTAGGCCACTGGTGATCGAGAAGTCGGTCTGGACGTTGGTTACTGTGGCAGGATCCCCCGAGATGGTCGCGTCGGGTAGCCCGCTGGAAACAGACCAGTCGGTCTTCACGTTGGTGACGGTGTCCGGGTTTCCAGAAACAGTGGCATCTGGAAGTCCACTCAAGATGGAGAGATCAGTCTGGACCGCGGTCACGGTTGAAGGTCCACCCGTCACAGTGGCATCCTCAGGAGATGACGGGGTCGGAATAACCGTGATTGTGACGCTTTGGGTCATTGTGATAACCTCCATGTTGCAGACCTCGGAAGAGCTCTCGATGGTGACGAGCGAGACAGATGTGAACGGCTCGGGCTCTTCGACCGTGATGTAGGTGTAACCGGTAACGGTCTCTGTCTTAGTCGTCACCTCAGGAGCGTGGCTGAAGCTGTAGAGAGTAGTGAGAGCAGTTTGAGTCCTGTAAATGGTCAGAGAGGGGCAAATTAAGGGATGGCAAGGTGGACTTACGAAATAGGAATGGGAACACCATCGTGATCGTGATCATCATGGCGGCGAACAAAACCATGGGTACTACCGTGACCCATACCCTCAATCATGATGGCCTCATCATCCAAGCGAGCCTCCGACTCTACTGTAGCCCTGAGTTAGCATGGACTGGAGAATGGGGCTCTTTGGCTTACCATATTGAGCAGAGAGGATGCCCATGCCAAACATGACGGCAAGCATACAGACGAGTAAAACGCAGCCGACGAGTAATTTCTTCGGAGTGAGCCAGGTCTTGAGGTTCTGGAATTTGGAGACATTTTGGTCCACCTCCTGGACTTCGTGTCCCTTCTCGGCATCCATCGCGGTCGACACTAGTCGCGAGTCGTCAGCACAGATATGGGGGGCGAAGGTGGAGGGGCAAGCCCTACTTGAATCGAAGACGGTAACTAAACCGAGGTAAAAACGAGTGTGTCTGCTGTGCAGGTTAGAGGATGGCGTGTTTGTAAAAGAAGAGGTGCTGGGGAGAGGAGTGGTTTGCCTGGCGAACAGGAAGTTGTACGGCGGGAGGTTGTACAGGGGAAGCGAAGGAGCAACAAACGGAGAAACGGAAGAAGAGAAGTGCAACACGTACTTGAGTTGGCACCAATGCTTTGCTGAGAGTAAACCAAGTCAGAATGCTGACGACGAAGACAAGTTGAAAAGGAGAGACGAGGCGAGGAAGTTGCAAGAGCAGGATGCAGGATGCAGGTGTGAGGTGCGGAGGAGAAAAACAAGTAACGCGGTGGGAGTGTTTATTGTCACCGCGGTCAAGGCAGAAGAAAATCGGTGAATGTTGGCAGTGAATCAGTGAAGGGAAGAGAGAGAAACAGGTGCAGGTGTCATATCTGGCAGCTGGCTCGCAGCTGGCGGGAGGTGCAGAGTTGACAGCTGCCAGCACTCGGGCCTACCAGGCACCTGTACCTTAGGTGGCGAAGGTATAAACATCAAGAAGACACCAACCCATGACCGCACGATAGGTCTAGTTCAATAACAATATCTCTGAGTTGGACGATTATGGGCGTTGGTGTATTCGCTGCGCAATGGGGAGGATTGGTGAGCCTTGGCAGGAGAGGAGGTAAAGAGAAATATTGCCAAGGAACATAAGAAATTAGAGCAACTTACACTCGGTATCTTTCGTCAGACTGTTGCTCTCTTGATTTCTTGTCAAACCTGCGAGTATAGGAATCGGGTCGAACAAAGAGCGAGTGAAGTGAAGTTATGTGTAGGAGAGTGAGCGGAGGTGCCTTGGAAGGAGGAGATGGAGGCAAGTATATGCTCCACGGGGGACTAGGAAGAGCAACCGTGACATACAAACTAATCCAATCTCCCTCGTCATTCAACGGGAAGCCCGCCTAGCCGAGATTCAACAAGATGCGGCGCGACGGGGACTACATGTTATGGGGCATGAAATTGATTCGACCGCGGGCAAACGATACAATAGAGCTGTGCGACGAATGCCTCCTAAACCTCGCAGGGCGAAACCATAGACATGTTCCAGGACGGAGTCACAACCTCGTGTGCCGTGCATCGTGGACTGTGTCGCCCGGATGTGAAATGAGGCAAACAGGGCCGGAGTCGTACATCAACGGTCGTGATGGAACGGCCGAGTATCACCGTAATTTTCACAACGCATGCACTTCCGGATTTTGGATAAAGGGTCCGCTTCTGGGAATACGGGTGCGGTTTGGGAGGCTTGCTATCGGCAAAAGGAAGTCGCCAACAGTCTCGATGGGCGCCGAAGCTTGTCAGGGGCAAGGGATGGATATTCAAGGGGTCTCCGATCTTTGGTGGGAAGGTTGAACAAAGATTTGAACTCCTCTAAATATCATACCTTGAGGCTCAGCACTCACTCTAGGGTCCGCGGCAGATGCCTCGTCCCACAAGCAAATCCATATCGTCGAGTCTGCGGTGCCATCCACGACTGGACGTCGTCAGACAAGAGTTAACGAGAAGGAACGGAGAGATGAGAGATCATCGGGGTCGGTGGACACGGCATACATAGGTAGGTACGCAAATCCACCTCCCGCTGAAGTAACGATTCTTATCTCCCCAGCAGATGGCCGGTTTTGTTCAACCTCAGGACGTCACGACCAAAACTCGCTGGCGATGACACGACAGTGGGATGTGAGGGTGCCACTCGGGTTCAAGGAGTAACCTTGGGGGTTCCTATCAATTCTTGGACAATGTTGATGCTACAGATATTCAGTACGCTTGCCAGCTGCCATCCACACCATTATTTAGGGATGGTGGTTATGGGGGTTTCTATCTCGGTTTCTCAGGTCAACGTACGAAGATCAAAATAAGCAGAAACTCTCCTCACACGAAGACCAGAGAGGTCGATCACAGTAGTCAAAAACGTCAGCAAGTTTGAAATGTTGGACATTTACACCTGAACAGGTAAGTTACGCATCAACAAGCGTGCCTGTAGGAGAAACAAGGCGGGTTATGACAGCGTCTGAAGGTATTCTACTATCCGAGTCTTGCACGCATTGGCGGGGTCCACCCAAGCAAGGCCAAAGCCGCAAATAAATTGAGTAAAGCTGCTAGGGTGGAGGGGGTGGAGGAGGGAGGTGGAGGAGGTGGCGCCAACTCGAGGCGCTAATTGCACAGCCAGGGCAGGATAAGTCAAGTTACTGGGCGGGCCTGCAAAGTGGGCTGCTGCTATTATGGGCCAGCAAAGAGAAATGAGGAAACAGACAGCCAGCCAGCCAGCTCGTCGCGTCGCGCGTAGCACCCCCAAAACGCACGGCACCTGCAAAGAGACACGCAAAGCACACGCACGGCACACGGCACCTTTCCTCCGCTTATCACAGCACCGCCAGCTACACTGCACCTCTAGCTCCTCATCCTCCCTCAAACTTGCCTTCGCCTTCGCCTTCGCCTCTGCGTCTTTGCCATCAACCCACGCGCCCGTCGCCCCAATTTCTGCAGCTACCCGATCCTCTCGAGCCCGTCGCCCGGTGCTGGCTTGGATCCCCATTGTTGTGCACTGTCCTCCGTCATCCGTCTGGTGGGTGCGATGCCGTAACAGTTGCGCGCCACTACCCGCGACCCGACCACTGCGACCACTCGAAACATTTCCTCACCGCAGCCGTCTGCAACCTTCCAAACACGGCCGAATCGATCCTCCCGTCAGCGCCCGGGAGTCGTCCTTTTGCATCTAACGACCGCCAGCCACCCGTAGCGCACCATGGCGCGCCGTCGCGCACGCGTTGAGAAGCCCGTCGAGGTCGAGGAGGAAGAGGAAGAAGTCATGGAGCAGGGCCAGCCAGACCAGGAATCCGAGCAGGAGGACCCCGAGCAGGGCTCCGAACAGGAAGACGAGGGAGAGCAGCGCAGCCTACAGTTTGACGAAGAGCTCTCGTGGCGACCAGCCAAGTCAATTCCCGTCGGCACGCTCCTGGACCGTCTCGAGAGGCTCTCCAAAGAGCTTGCCGACCTCGACCAGGGCGCAACCGACCTCGAGTCACTCAAGGATGTCGCCAGCAAGCTCGGCCATCGCAACCTCTTGCAGCACAGGGACCGCGGCGTCAAGGCCTACACCGCGTGCTGTTTGGTTGATATTTTGCGGCTCTATGTCCCCGACGCCCCCTTGACCGACGACCAGCTCAAGGTGCGCACCAATGCAGCCTCCAGACTCGCCCTCAGATGCCAGCTAACAAGACGATCTAGATGATGTTTACTTTGTTCATCAAGGACATCCTACCGGCTCTTCACAATCCGACAGATCCTTACGACAGCCAGCACAAATATGTCTTGATGTCTCTTACCGATGTCAAGAGTATTCTCCTCATCACCGAAGTTCATGGTGCAGATGAACTCCTCTTGCGTCTCTTCAACTCCACCTTTGATGGAGTATCGACAGCCTCCAAAGCTGCCTCCGAAGAACAGGTCGCCAAGGATGTCGAAATACATTTGACCGAGATGCTCATCCAGTTAATCGACGAGTCTGGCAGTGTATCGGCTTCGATCATTGACGCCATCATTAGCCAGTTCTTGCGAGCTGCTACTCCCGGAGGAAATCGAAATCGAGAACAGAACGGCAATCAGTCTACCCTCCTCGTCAAAACGGAGCCCCCTGCATACGTCATGGCCAAGAACATCTGCAACGGATGCTCGGACAAAATGGCCCGCTATGTGAGCCAGTACTTCAGCGATGTCATCCTCAATGCATCTGGGTTTGCCACAAAAGCCAATGGCCATCGACAGGGAGACGACTCGGATGATGAAGACGGCACCTCAGGACCTTCAGACGCAGATTTGAAGAGCCTACGCCAGGCTCATCTCCTCATCCGTGAGCTCTGGCGAGCTGCCCCAGCCGTCCTCCAGAATGTTGTCCCTCAGATCGAGGCCGAACTCTCCGCGGACAACATCCACCTCCGCCAAATTGCCACTGAGACCATTGGAGATATGGTCTCCGGGATCGGCGCTGCAGGACCTCCCCCTCCCCCAGGGCTGGACCCAACTGCTTACCCTCCACTCAGACTCCTGGACGATGCACCAGCAACGCCTACTGATGAAAATGTCCTAACCAAGCCCTACTCTCCGCAGTCTTTCGCTCAAACTCACCACGTTGCCTATCGCAACTTTGTTGGCCGAAAGAATGACAAGACTGGCACCATTCGCACAGCATGGGTCTCGGCCGCCGGTTACATCCTATCCACGTCTGCTGGCGGTATTGGTCTAAGTCGAGAGGACGAGAGCGAACTCATCAAAGGATTGGCAGACAAGCTGAACGACAGCGAAGAGAAGGTCCGATTAGCTGCCGTCAAAGCCATCGAGCTCTTCGAATTCCGTGACATCATCCTGAAGCTTGGCGCCAATGGCGGTGTTGAGAAGGAGGGGTCCATCTTCGCGAGCCTTGCCGACCGGTGTCGAGACAGGAAACCCGCCGTGCGAGTCGATGCAATGGTTCTTCTTGGAAAGCTTTGGGCTGTCGGTGCCGAAGAGCTAGCCGAAGGCCAGGAGGCCGTCACGGCTTGTCTCGGTGGAGTTCCATCTCGCATTATCAATGCATTCTATGCCAATGACCCCGATCTAAACATCCTGTTGGATCGTGTCATGTTCGAGTGCCTTGTCCCTCTCAAGTACCCTGCGATCAAGGGAAAGGGGCAAAAGGCTGCTGCCGGGGGTTCTCAGTCCCAAGGACAGGCAAATGGAAGCCAGACCGATCAAGACAAAATCCGAGCTGAGAGAATCTTGCTGATGTTGAAGTCGCTCGATGCCCCTGCCAAGAAGGCCTTCTTCGCCATGCAGGCTCGCCAGCCGCAGGTCGCCAAAGGTGTTGCTGTGTTCATCCAGCAATGCGAGGCGTACAACGGTGGTGTCATCGATTCAAACGAGGAGAAGGTCAAGGCCGGTTTGAACAAGACCTTGCAATGGTTCGGTACATTCTTCCCCGATCCGCTTAGGGTTCGCAGCGATCTTCAAAAGTTCGCAAAGCTCAATGAGCGCCGCAACTACCAACTCATGAAGTTTGCCATTGGTTCGGACAGCGACTACAAGACCGTGCGAAGGGCGATCAATGAGTTGATTGCCAAAATTCAGGCTAGCTCGGCAGCGAGCTGCCTGGACACCCTCATTCCCCTCTTGTATCGCTCCAGCTCTCTCATGTTCAACCGAAGTCACCTTTCAACCATCATGGATTACTCCAAGAACGACAAGGACGGGTTTGCCACGGTTGCTCACGAGATTCTCAACGATATTTCACAACGTAACCCAGATCTGTTCAAGGCTCATTCAGAGAACCTGCGCAAAGAGATCATTAGCCAAGTGCCATCAGAAACGCGACCTAACGACCCCGGTCTGGTGGATATCCTCAAAGCGTACTCCTCATACTCCAAAAGATATCCCGACGACATCACGTACGATAGGAAGTTCATCCAGGTCCTCATGGAATATGCACTCTATGGCACTCCCCCCAGAGCCGCAAAGTATGCCGTGAACATTCTACTCGCCAAGAACGACGACAAGAGCAAGGTCACTGCCACCACGCTTCTCCAGAAAGTCATGAAGGATTGGGACTATGGGTCACCTCATTTCCTCAACCGGCTGGCCGCTGTTAGCCAGCTGGGGCGACTTGCACCAACAGTTACCGTGGACTTCGACGATGCGATTCATGAACTTACCATCAAAAAGATCTTGCGCCAAGTTCGTACAGAGGAAGAGGACCCCAAGGTTTCGTGGGTTAACGATGCGGATATGAATGAGGAGCTCCAAGCGAAGTGCCTCGCTCTGAAAACACTGGTCAATCAGGTGCTTGCAAATGAGCAGCAGCCCGATGCCGATGAGCGAGTTAAGCCTGTGTTCAAGCTGCTCAAGACGATTGTCGTGATGGAGGGAGAGTTTTGCAAGGTCAAGGACACCCCCTTGGCCCATAAGAAACGCCTCAGGCTTCTTGCTGGTCAGTTGATCTTGAAGCTCTGCACCGTCCGGAAGTATGACGATCAGTTGGACGCGGCAAGCTTTAACAAATTGGCCGAGCTTGTGCAAGATAGCGAGCTTCAGGTCCGTCGTCGGTTCATGGAGAAGCTCCAGAACTACCTCACCAGGGGCCGGCTGCGTGCGAGATTCTACACAATCCTCTTCCTGGTTGCTTTTGAGCCAGTGACAGAGTTGAAGAGCAGGGTAGAGACTTGGATCAGGTCTCGTGTGAGATACTACGCCGAGACTGAGAGGAATATCATGGAGGCCATGATGGGAAGGCTGATTCCTTTGCTGGCTCACCACCCCGATTACAGCTCAGATGCTCATGATCTCGCTGACTTCGCCAACTACTTCTTGTTTTACCTGGGTGTCGTAGCTTCTGAGGAGAACATTTCCCTGATCTACAAATACGCCGAAAGGGTTAAGCAGACTCGGGACGGTATCAACCCCGAGGCAAGCGACAGGCTCTATGTTTTGAGTGACCTCGCACAGGCCGTCGTTCGGAAGTGGCAGGAGAAGAGGAGTTGGGTTTTCCAAGCCTGGCCAGGCAAGGTTGGTCTGCCAACCGGACTCTACCAGGCCCTTCCCTCCAGCGAAGTGGCTCAAGAAATTGCCAAGAAGCAATACATTCCAGATGAGCTGGATGAAAAGCTAGATGATTTGATCAGGGCCCTGGATCGCAAGAAGGTATGTGAAAATGGTTGGATGGGAAGGATTGGAGCTAACAAATCTCGACAGAAACGTAAGTCCATGAGTGAGCGGAATGATCCTCCTGCCAAGCGGGCTAGGACACAAATCAAGACCGTGATTCGGGAAAAACGTGTCGGCAAGAGCAAGTCGGCAAAGGCGAAGAAGAGCAGTAAGGTTAGAAAGCCTAGGCCTTCCAAGGGCGACTCATCCCCGCCTCCTGGGGAGCGCCGCCGGAGCGGTCGTGCTCACCGGGTATCTGTCTACACCGAGCGAGATGATGAGGAAGACGAGGAGGAAATGCTGGAAGGCGTGGCTGAGTGGGAGTATGAAAAGGACAACTCGGATCGGGATTCAGAGCTATCGGACGCCCCCTCGGATGATGATGGAGACAACAATGGTGACAGCGACGCGGAATCGGAAGACGACGCGCCACCAAAGGACGATGAGGAGGCCCCCGAGTCCGAGGAGGAGCCCGAGCCGCCCAAGTCCAATGGAAGCAAGACAGCTGCTAAGGCCAGCGCGTTGGCAGAGGGGCAGCGTGCCTCTCGGTCAACTAGGTCGCGTCGGGGCGGCAAGGACGAGATGGACGTGGACAGCGACGAATGATCAAGGAGCGCAAGTAGTAGCACATTTGTGTACGTTCAAAAATAACCCGGGGTAGCCGGGTGGTTAAAGTCGGTTCTTATCAGGTATATGGGAGGCTTGTGGGAGCAGTTGTTTTTGTTCTTCCTTCTCTCTAGGCTGAATGAGGGAGGTAACGATGGCTGGGCAGATGTGGACGGACGGACTGCCTGCTTTGATACCAGGTGGAGTCTGGAGACCCTTGTATTTACTTATATTCGTATACCCACTTCTCGTTCTGTGGCCATAAAGACTCTTGATGCTCATTTCCTGGTGTCCTTGGTATGGTATGGGCACGGTGGTTTCAGAGGCCGGCTACAATCGAGTCGTGATGCCGCATATGTGACTGAATAACGCTTTGAATATTCCCGGTGTCCTACCAGCTATACATTCGGTCTTGGAAACCTCCCCAGTTTCCAGACAAAGACTCCAGAAAATAGACCAACCTTGAGGAAAAGGGGGATTCGGCCCCCCTTGGCGAGCCCATCGCTTCTTCCTCGTCCGCCCCCGTTCCTCCCAACGGCGCTTATGTGTGTATGTACAGATTTTGCTCCCAAGACTACTTTGATAAGGAAAAAAACGCCCCCTGTCCTTCCTCCTATCATCTCCATCTCTACAGTAAAGGCCGAAGTAGCGCAACCAGAGAGGCGCATGCCTGAATGCTGCGTGATAGCGTGCATCGGTCCTCCTACGAACTGCTGTCAACAGAGCTTCCCTCCGTCTATGAGGCGGAGCTTCCAACAGCAGCGGCCTCCTGAGCCTGGCGCAGCCGGACTTTTTCGCGGTGGCCCGAGAACTTCAGATGTGCCTCGAACTTCTGAGCCGTCATATCAGGGCCGGGGGTGTAGAGCTTAGTGGTGCAGTCCAGACAGCGGATGCGTGGCAACCAGGCGTACTTGACACCCTCGGGGAGTGGTTGGATCTGGGTGGGAAGCTCGGTGATGGGGTCCAGGTAGGAGTACTTCATAATAGCCTCGAACTTGTCGCCGTTGGGATACTGCTTCTCCAACTGCTTGAGGGCGTTGATGAGCCACTCGGGCGGTGGGGGCTATAAGAGAAGTGACGTTAGTACTGCGGAAAGGGGATTTATGGCATGTAGGGCCAACTTACAGCAGGAGGGGGTGATTGCCCGGGTACGGGCGGGGGAGCTGGAAGACGGCCTATTTGGCCGGGCGGGAAGGTTGAGGAGTTCTGAATGGTCTGGGGAGTAGGTGCGGTAGGAGTAGATGGAGGAGGCATGGCCCTTACGGGTGCCGTCACGCTGGTGGCGCGTGGGTTGGGAACAGGCGTCTGCGAAGGCGTCCTCTGGGTGCGATATTCGCCCCTGAGCAGCCTCCTCAGCTTATCTCGGTTCACCTTCAGTGTCACAATCAGTTGACCCGGCTCCTCTGTTTCCTCTCTGCCACGGCGAGATGTCCGCGTCTCGTGGTGGTGTGTGACCGAGCTAGTCTCGGGCGTCTCTGAACGGCCCAGGTTCGCCATTCTGACCTGGGCCACAGTTGCCGCTCCACGCATACCCCGTGTTCGGGCGGTGCCGCCAGTGATTTGTGAGGGAGCTGGTGAGTCGGGCGCTGAATCTTCACTTTCGTCAGACTCCGAAAGGTCGCCGTCACGGATAGGACGCTTCCGGTTGGCACCGGCGGCCCGCTTGTAGAGACGGGTATCGTCAATCGAGGTGGCAGCGCCAGGGAGGACAGACGATACAATGAGGGTTCGGATGGTGCGCTGTCTTTCTCGGAGGTCGGGGAGCGTGGGGCCGCCCCTTCGGTTGATCGATCGCTTCTGTCGCCGTTGTTCGCGCGACATGATGGTTTCGTTTCGCTCGAGATCGACCTCGCTGAGCTCGTATAAGTAGGGAGAGTAGTCCTTGGCCTGCTGCTGGGGCCGGAAGACTGCTGGGAGAGGGGTCTGGAGGAAGGCGTTGACAAGATCGGGGTCCTCGACGGGTCGTCCATCGAAGGGATGGCCGATGCCGTACAAGCTCCTGGTAAATAGTTGTGTCTGTTCTCGGATGCAATGGGCAATAGCTGTTGCGAACTCTCCAGACAGGGAAAGATCTCTAGCCATGTTGGCGGCAAATTCTTCAGGCGAGTTGGCTGGATTGTTAATCTCCCACTCGAATTGATCAACAAGAGTGTGCTGTCCAACAGTAATGTTAAGTCTGATGAGGATGCGCATCTCGTCGTTCTTGTACGCGGAGTAGGGGAGTTCGGGGTCCAGCGCGTCCTCGTCTGTGTATGCGAAGGGATAGAAATCGTTGAGCTGCTCGCGCATCTGCTGAACAACTTGCTCGTAGACGGGCTGGAACGCCGGGGGCTTCAACCCCATGTCCTCAACAAGCTGTGCTGCAAACAGTTCGACCTGGAGGAGGCGTTCGTGCAGGTTCCAGGTGAAGGTGTCGCGTAGCTTAATCTTGTCCCACTCGACCTCGAGCCGCAAGGGGACCAGCTCTTCGTGCTGGTCGGCCTGCTTCAGCATGTCCTTGCGCTTGTATTTGAAGGGTGGAGTGGTTCGCTGGCCAGGTCGGGGCTTCTGGGAGGGATAGACGATCCTGGAGGGCGCCTGGTTCTCTGTGTAGCCATTGGCGAAGCCGTTGTAGCCCTCGCCGTATAACCTGCCCGGGGGGAACCATTGGCGATAGTCGGTGCGGACCATGCGATACTCCTGCATCTTGTCGCGCGTGTCGGCGGTGGATTTGCGAGTCTGGTCGAGCTGACCACCGAGCGCCGCGGCGGCAATGGCATCACGGGTGATGAAGCGCTCGACCATGAGCTTATCGAACGTCTCCTTGGTGCGGACGGGCATGCTGGCGGCGGCGGACTTGGCGGCTGAGTCCTTCCCGGAGACCGACGTCGCGGTCGAAGACGAGCCCGTCGCGGGCGCCGAGGACGCGGAGGGCTGAGCGGCCATGGCGGATGGTCGCGGCGCAGCGAAAGGGCCGCGACGATGGCGGGAGATGATGGGACGCGCGGATGTCGGATCTCGATGCGCGACACGAGGCGGGAGTGGTGGAGTTGGATGGTGGATGGGCGGATGTGTGGGTGGGCGTGTGGGCGTGTGGCAGCGCGCGAGGCCAGAAATTGCCAGGCAGTGAGGCTGGATTTGCTTCCAGGTGCAGGTGCGAGTGAGAGAGGATTCTGCCGCGCCGCGAAATGCGAAGCCTCCTGTCTTGTCCGAGCAGGCTGTCGTGACATGTACCAGGACTTGTCGCGGCGCTCTAATTTTGCACTGGCCGTGGTATACAGTACCTTACCAGCCACAGCGGTGTGGCTGAATATGCACGGTGCGCCACATGTTTGAAGTGTGGCTTGCGGCTCATCTCAGGCACAGCTTGTCTCTTACACGCTTGAGCATCATAGGGGTGTCTACCTTACCTACCCTTTGGTTTTAACCGCGACGGGTGTGGCTACGTTCCGTAGGCTCGTTTCGGCACACATTGTAGGGTTGTAACGTGTTTTTTTTTTTTTTTTAAGGAGGTATTCTCATTCTCACGTCATTGGCGTCATGCTGTGGTTGAATGTTAAATGGTGCCTGCAAATGCGGGTTTTCACTAGCTAACATGGACGAGAGAATAGCACTATCATTCTGCTGAGGATCAACGCGATTGAACCTCAACATACGTAGCAGACAAATGGATTAGAGCAAACCTTGCTACATTTGCAGCACACACAAGAGAAACTCGCAACAGGAGACCCCTGGTGATGACGCCCATCGGCACGCCTAGTATAGGGTAGGCAAAAAGGCTAATTGGAGGGGCAGGGTAACTAGTTGCCCAAGACGGAAAGTAGGGCTGGATGAAGTCATTCCGTCATTCCTCCACTCCTCAGTAACACCGAGCTCCAGCTCCCACGACGCGCCGTGAAAAGGTCCCAAAGCCCGCTCCACCGAGCTGCCCTCTGCTCCCGGCCGAAGCGAGGCGTGGCTGCTAGTGCCAAGGCAGGTCAGGAAGCTGGAAACGACCGCTGTGGGGTACAGCAAGGTTCTCCTCGATGGGGTTGGGTTTGGTGGTTGGTCATGCATCTGATGCTGCTGCTTCAGGTTCTGTGGCGCACGCGCACACCCGCGCACCACGCACACACAAGGACAGACACACACACACACCCGCGCACACAGAATGAATGAATGGGGCGAGTTTACCTGCCCCGAACCTAACTAATAACAAGACAATAACCCCTCCTCCGCTGTCCACCGTCCATTGTCCACCATCCCTCGACCAACCCTCGAAACTCTTCCAAACCCCTCCTCTCGCAAATCCCATTTGCTCTCTTCCGAGCATCCATCCACCACCACCGCCCATCATACCCAACCCAGAACCCTTCCTCTCCCGCCACCAGGTCAGAGCAAATCGCGCCCACCATGTCGGAACAAAAGGAAGTTGTCGGTCAGTCACTCTCCCAGCTCGCGCCTTTTCCGTGTCGTTGCTGCACACGTGCACATGGCTGTGCCACTGCCGCCTGGCCAAATTCTGCTGCTCCAGCTGTTGTTGGTGCCCTGCGGCGGCCCATGCCCCTCAGTTGCTGCCCCGCTACATCGACACAACGCCAGAGCTCTGCGGCCACACTGCTGCCATCCGCTGCTTGGCGACCACCGCGCCGCTCCCAAACCGTCAGCAAAACAGAAGCTAACGCAAGCTCCAGACTACTCTTTGAGTAACCCCGACACCCTCACCAAGTACAAGACCGCTGCTCAGATCTCCGAGAAGGTCTTGGCCGAGGTGTCTAAGCTTGTCGTCCCCGGCGCCAAGATCGTCGACATCTGCCAGCAGGGCGACAAGTTGATCGAGGAGGAGGTCGCTAAGGTCTACCGAGGCAAGAAGGTCACCAAGGGTCTGTCTTCGCAACCTCTCCCGCCCCCAATTGCGCCGCCGTCACTGACCCGACCCAAGGCTTTTCTCACCCCACCACCGTCTCCCCTGCGTCCTACGTCACTCCCTACACCCCTCTCACCTCCGATGAGAGCGAGGCTAGTATCGAGATCAAGGAGGGCGAGCCCATCAAGATCCAGCTCGGCGCCCAGATCGATGGCTTCGGTTCCATTGTTTGCGACACCGTCATCGCCACCACCCCCGAGAAGGCTGGCGAGCCCATCACCGGCCGCCAGGCCGACCTGATGCTGGCCACTCACTATGCCAATGAGCTTCTTCTGAGGTTGATGGTGCCCCCTGGCCTCCTGGCCCAGGGCACCGAGGAGGAGAAGGCCAAGGCCGCCGCCCAGAAGGCCCCTACACAGTCCAAGATCACCAGCCTCCTCGAGAAGGTGACCAGCGCCTATGACGTCAACATTGTCGAGAGCACCACCTCGTGGCTGTTCGACCGCAACGAGATTGAGGGTACGAAGAAGATTGTGCTTGCTCCCGCTGAGGGCACCAAGGGTGATGGCGTCCCCGAGGCCGGTGAGGTCTGGGGTGTCGAGATTGGCGTCAGCACTGGCTCTGGCAAGATCAAGTCCATCGATCAGCGTGCCACCCTCCACCGCCGCACGAACCAGACCTACGGTCTGAAGCGACCTACTTCTCGCAAGATCCTCTCCGAGGTCCAGAAGAAGTTCGGAACCTTCCCCTTCAGTTTGAGGCAGCTAGAGGACGAGCGTGATGCCAAGTCTGGTGTCGTCGAGTGTGTCCGAGGCAACGTCTTCCGCCAGTACGAGCTGGTCGGCGACAAGGACAACGGCGAGGTCGCTAGATATCTCACTACCTTTGGTAAGTAATTTTCTGCAGAGCAGAGCAGAGTCAGCCCCCAAAAAAGCAATATAGCGGTCCATGCTAACAAGGAGACAGCCATCACCAAGAACGGCATCACCAAGCTGGGTGCCCCCCCTGCGCTTGACCTGAGTAAATTCCAGTCCGACAAGAAGATTGAGGACGAGGAGGTACTCAAGATTTTGGAGCAGCCCCTGTCCCGAAACACGGGTAACAAGAAGAACAAGAACAAGAAGAAGGCCACCAAGAAGGAGGGCGAGGCGTAAATGAAGCCGATGCAGAAATGACCAGTTCAGGGGCCAAGAGTTGGCAATCTGAATGACCGCTGGGGCGAGAGGCGCAAATTTTTACAGATGTGTATATCGGCAAGTCGGGCCACGGTCAGGCTGTCGTGGGGGCCGGCCTCGTTGGTCGAGGACGTTCCACGGCGCCGGGTCTCTCGAAGGCTGCCAGGGACGGTAGAGCTCCCCGGAAGCGGTATCCATTTCATGTTAGCTAAGGTAGTCGAGCAAGGTCAGGTATATAGAAACCCAACAAAGCTCGGCACTGACAAGCTGTCTCTCTCAATACCGACTCTAGGTGTTTGTTCCGGTTTGCAATTCGGGCTCTGATTCACATGACGGCTGGGGACAGATGGAAGGGTCTAGAACCAGGTGGCCAGTGAGGAGGGGACGGGTGGATGTGTGATTGTGCAGGAGAATGGAGAACGGAGAGCGGGCGAGAGAGCGAGCGAGAAGGTGAGTGAGTGAGTGAGTGAGCGAGCGAGGGAGGAGATGAATGAAGGGACAAGCGTCATATGAATGACTCGTGGGATGTGAGATGTGACGGAGATAGAGAGAGCGAGGGCAAGACGAGGTCGGGGAGGGGGCCACCATCAGAGACAGGGCGAGGCGAAGGCGACCAACTTGCAGATTGATCAGAGCCTTGATGAACGAGGCAACTGGCGGAGACGGACCAATGCAAGGCAAGGCAAGGCAATGCAAGTCCTAGACAGGGCGGGTGGGCTTCTCTCCTCCCGGGCCACTCACTGTGCGTATGCCGGGTGCCATGTGCCAGTGCCAACCAAGTGTGAGGTTGGGGAGGCGTGGACAGGGCGGGAGGATTATGGCCGGACCGCTGAACCGGCACCGGGATGGGATGGGATGGGATGGGCGAGCGAGCTTCTGGGCTGGGTCCCCTGGACAAGGCGAGGGAGATCAAATTGAAGCAGATCAAGTCGAGGCAGATCAAGTCGATTCGAGGCGGATCCAAGTCGAGTCGAGCCAAGTTCAAGCAGAACGGGAGCGCGGGTTTAGCCTCTGGGTAGCTGGAGGTGGAGGAGGTGGATAGCTCCCCCCCAGCTCGCTGGAGCTCCCTTATGACCTTAGCTCCGGTGGAGGACGCGATGGAAATGGACGACAGCGACAAGATGGCCAACTGCCGGCCACGCCCAAACGGGCCAAAAGGAAAGACGAGACAAAAGCACGCATCACCAAGCAGTTGGTTGGAGGCGGGTATCCAGGGCGCCCTCGCTGCCGTACGGTACAGCCTGTACCCGTCACTGTGCCGTGTTGTGCTGTGCAGCAGTGGTTCGCAGTTGCTTTTGTAGTGCTCTTGGGTGCTTGGGCGGGCTGGCCCCTTGTCCGACACGCCCGCCTCCCCCGACGCCTGTCTCGCAGCCCGCCTGCGACCTACCTACCCACACCCTTTTCTTCTCGTCAAGAAACCGCGTCCTCTCTTCCAAAAGACGCGATCACGCAGCAGAAATTCATGCTGCAGCCCAAGAGTCAAGTAACCGCTGCCCACCCCCCGACGCTGCGAGTGCCCTTCGCTGACCATCGCCCCCCCCCAGGCCTGAAGAGGTGCGCTGCCCGTCCCGCGGCCCAGGGGCGACCAGCCAGCCCGGCACCATGATTTCCAACACTCGAGCTACGCGATCTCGCTATTCGAGCCCGGCCCAACCCCAGACCACCAGCTGGAATGGACTCGCCGACGCGTCAAAGGTTTCTTCGAATCAGGCATCACGGGCCTTTATGCAGAGGTGGTTGGAGCCCTCCGTGCAGACCAAGGCGAGCTTCGAGGACGACGGCCTGGTTCGATATGGCGTCCTGGAGAACATGGCGCCGCTGGGATCGCTGCCCAAGGCTAAAAAGGCAGGCTCTGAGACGGGCCCCGCCGTGCGAAAGATCATTCTGCGGCCGTCCGGTGGAAATGCTGCAAATTCTGCCTCAGAGCCCGCCCCGAAGGCTCCGGCAGTTGCGTCCTCCCCTCCACCTCTAGCAGGACCCCCTACACCGCCACGACGGAGGTCTATCGCCGTAAAGGTTACAGCGGTGGAAGCAGCAGTAGCGGACGACGACGACGACGAGGACTACGAGCCCAAGGAGGCACCGAAACGTCGTCAGTCTGGTCGTGTATCCCTGGGTAAGCGAACCCGTCAGTCGTCAGGCGGCAGGAGGAGCTCCACGACTGCTGTAACCAAGCCGACCACACCAAAGGCGGCGAGAGAGGCAAAGGAGGCGAAAGCAGTGAAAGCAGTGAAAGCAGCCAAAGAAGCAAGAGAAGCCAAAGAGGCCAAGGAGGCCGAAGAGGCCAGGGAGGCCAAGCAAGCAAAGGAGGCCAAGGAGCTTGCTCCACCGGATCCTGAGGTCAAAGAATTCACAGACAAAGTCATTGAATCCGCCGTCGATGAGGCTCTCAAACACTACCGCTATCCTACTGCCTGGGCACTGAGGAACTTGTACGATGAAAACTCGCACAGCGCCCACTTTGTGGGCATGATCGAGGAAGTCTTCAACCAGACAGCAGACGCGGCCACGCTCCGAAAGTTCTCGAAGCAGATTGAGCAGAAGAAGCGTGAGGGCAAGAAGGATAATATTGGCTGCTACTACTTCATCCCGCCGTCGACCAACAGCCGTTTTACTCCTCACAAGCCCAAGGCCGCACCCTACGGCAAGCTTCTACAGCATTCTGAGGAACCGCAGTCGGAGGGCCGAGCAGCCAAGAGGACAAAAACGTCTCACTCTGCCCATACCCACAGCCACGCCACCCGCGACACACCCCGAAAAATGGCGTCGGGGGCCAGCAGCAGCAGCGGCCACGGCCACGGCCACGGCCCCAACGGCGAGCTCAGAACGCCCTCACGCAAACGAGCTCGACGCGACTCTGCATCTAGCGACTCATCGCTCTCGTCGGCCATGAGCCTGTCATCGCCTGAAGCCAGCATCGCCAGCGGCAGCCCAGCCCGTCGAGGGGCCACCACTCGCCCTGGACCCGACTCCAGCGATGCGCCAAAATCTCAGCCAATCACCACCCGCCGCAAATCACTCGGCTCCAAGTCCAAGAAAGCCAGGTCCAGCCCGTCCGCATCAACCTCACCCACACTACCCATCTCATCCAACACCCCCACGGCCCATGCCAGTGCCAACATGCCGGGCAGGCTTTCCGCTGCTCAGCTCTTCCCCAACCTCCCCAGCAAGTCATCAAAGGGAGTCAAGAACACTGGCAAGGCCCCTGTGCCCATGTCGACCGACGACTTCAGCGACGGGGAAGACCCGGATGTCTTCTGGGACAGGCGACGAGATGCGCGACAGTTCGCCAACAGCGTCACCGTCCGCGAGAGCTCGGTGCGCGGCGCCGACGAGGAACTGGTCGCCACGCCCGTTAGGAAGACCAGGAAAACGCGTCAGTCCATGGCGATCCCAGCCACCACCAGGGCCACACGATCAGCCAGCAAGCGGCCTCACGACGAGGTCGACATCGCAACCTCGCCCGTGGCCTGGTCCTTTCAGGGCGACGGACCACCCGAAGCTAGCTCGACTGTTGGGTCGCGAGCTGTGACTCCTACGCTACGCATGCCTAAGAAGCAGAGATCTGGACTTCGTGTCAAGTCATCGTAAGTCACTACCTCATCAGCTTTCCCGTTGTTTGCCATCACCACAATCACTGCTCTGGGCACAAACATGGAGGGCAACGTGTTTTTGCTTGCATCGCGAGAATCGGGGTGAGAAACGGCTCAGCGCGTCAGAGGCCACGTCTTATCTCATTCCCATTCTCATTCTCTCTCAAATGTCGCGTTTAACATGGTCGCGCGCCTCGAGCCCATGGACACACATCCCCTCTCCTTTTTGAGATGATCATCTGAGATGAGCTGTGCTAACTCTACGTCTCGTTCTAGGCCTGTGAAGAAGAAGGGAGGAACTGCCGCAGGGCTTCCTCGATCCCTGGGCGAAGCGTCAGCAGCCAACGGCGCGTCTAAAGAACAGGTATGTGTGACATGCCCCTCTTGGCGAGCTTCCGAGGAGCGTGTATGCCGGTTTTTCGCGATGCATCAAGGGGGCCACGGCTATTCTGGAGATTGTTGAGGTCATGGCGCCTTTTTCCCTCCGTCCAGGCAGGATCACCAGACACGGCAATTTTGGCGGCCCCTGCAGATCCGCTTTTCCGGCCAGCCCCCGAACCCCGACGCGTTGGAATTGCATGGCGATGTGACAGGATGTAGGCGCTGACGAGACCCCTAGGCATCTGACAATGACGAGGATTGCTCCGCTTGCGGCGCCGCTGGCGATGTCGTCTGCTGCGACGGCTGCCCTCGGTCATTCCACTTCGAGTGCGTGGGCATGGTGCAGTCTGAGAACCTGCCCGACGAGTGGTTCTGCAACGAGTGTCTGTTCAAACGATACCCGTCGCGAGTCCCTGTGCACAAGGGCGTCTTTGCGAATGCGTTGAACAACCTCGAGAAGAGCATCCCTCGCGCGTTCAGCCTCCCGAAACGACTTCAGACCCGTTTCGAAGGCGTCAAGGCCGGAAGTGATGGCGATTATGAGGAGGCCACGGCCGCCAAGACCGTCAAGTAAGTCACCGTCTCGCACTGTCCAGTCCCACAGAGCCTAATCCATGTGCGCAGGAAGAAGAATGGATACGAAGAGATTACCGACTTCTTCAAGCAGCGCGAAGACGGCCAAGCAGTGCTCTGCCACGGTTGCCAGAAATCGGCAACCGACGTCCGCGCCATCGTCTCGTGCAGCGTCTGTCCATTGCACTGGCACCTGGATTGCCTGGACCCCCCTCTGGCTGTTCCTCCCGTTCCTAAGACCTGGCGCTGTCCTACGCATGTCGACGATGTCTTGACAGAAGCTCCTCACCTGGGGCCAGCCCATCGATTTCGCAAGATCAAAGGAGGCCAAACGATTACCCCGGCCTTCTCTCGAGGTCTCAAGAACAATGGCCACATCGAAGTGGACTGGAGTGATGAGCCTGAACCATCCGACGACTCTGGCTGGCCAGACCCGGACTCGTTTGGCTATACCCACAAGCTTCAGTCCAAAGGCATTATCCTCGATTTCATTGAGCAGTGAGATTCCCGATCCAGTGTTGTCTCTTCTTACGCTGACCATTTTGTAGGGTACACCGCGATGGTGCTGGCTATGGACACCGTCAGGATGAACCTCGATGGGCGTCTTATTTGCCCGCCAAGCCCGCCAAGCCTGTCAATGCTGCTCACCATCCGACCAGGGGCTCTGACCTGCAGAGAACCGTCGACGAGATGCAGGTGTCACTTGCGTTGACTAGCCTGAAGGTGAAGAGATCGGAGAATGTTGACCACCTGATCTCGGCGCTTCTTGTAAGTTTTGCTGATCCGGCTTCACTCATCACAATATTAACAGCTGCTTAGACTGCTGCAGACCCCAGTGTCTTGGCCCTGATGGCAAAGAATAATGTGGACAATATTGCGCAGGGACAGCTCACCAATGACGACAAGGTTGGCCTCAGAGCTCTCCTTGCTCAGATGGATGCCATGAGTGCTCGTATCCGCGAGGCCCTCGGCGAAGCACCACCCACAAACGTCACCGCCACGAGGCTTGGCCAGGATACTGCAGTCCTTGACGTCCCATCCCCCCAAGACTCGGCCATCGCCGAACCTGATGAAAAGGAGACTGGAGCTCTCCCGGTCACCGAACCAACACCACCCTCTACTATCGACCATGCTGAAGGTTCCATGGACCTCGACTAGTATTTCCCTTGTTTTCCTTTGAGAATGACGACTTTCTCGACAAAATTGGCACTCTTGTTTGATTACGGCGTACCCCCTTGCCCCTATAGAATTGTATGAGTTGTTGGCACACAAATGCACCCCTTCATAGCCTCCCCTTTTCTTTCCAGCCTTGACTACGGACACAGGAGTTTGGAAGGGTTTTGGTATTCCCATCATGACCATGGCATAGAGACGACTCGGGTGCTCTTCCCAAATTTATTATGCTTTGTTATTGTTCTGGTTATTTTCTTCGTTGGTTGTTCTGCTCTTTCTCGTACCCTCCCCGCACTACCACCACCGCCACCATCACTCACGCAGACCATTCTGATTTGCCTGGTTGTCCTTTCTACGATTTGTTATGTGAGGAAATGCCCTCTCAGGTCCCAGACTGCGGGCGGCAGCGCTTTGTATCGCGTTGCCAACAGAGGGACTCGAGGGGCGGGAGGGATCGGCGGGGAAGTGAAAAAGGGACGATGGAGGACTTTACAGCCTTCGCTCTGCGTTTTTAATGCTTTTGTTGTATCATAATCGGATGGACGAGGTGGGATTGTTTTTTTGATACCACCACGGGGAGGAACGGAAAGGAAAGGAAAGGAATCGCGAGAAAGATGAGAACATATACCATAGGCACTGAAGACACCAAAATACGCAAATCGCATAGCCAGTTGGCTCGTCAAATCACCTTGCTTGTCTCCCGTCATCCTGCTACACTCACTTACTGCATCATGATTTAACGGATAACTCAATTCAAAAAATCGTCAAAACGTGCCGACAGGCCTTTTGATTCCATGATAATATACAATCCTCGACAGGCATCGCTGGCTAGCTACCTCAGTCTAGGAATAGTGAACGAGTTCACAAAGCAATCGGACCACTGCCACCCCAGCCAGAGAGAGACAGACAGACAAGCCAGCGCAACGGTTGCGACGCACGTCATAAAGCAAGTACTCGCAGACTGTCCCGTCGTATCATCCTATCGTCTCGCCCCCCTTATATCCGCTAATCAAGCCAAGCCAAGCCAAGCCCTCGCCCACAGAGCAGAACGGAGAGCAAGCTCAAGACTGATCTGCGGGAGAAGAGCTGCAATTTTTCTACAGAGAAGCGAACAAACAGAATTCAGGGCCTCGGCTACCGGAGGGGTTTGGTTTTTGTATGATTTTCTTCTTTTTTCCGGGTTCGTTCAATCGTGGAAGAGTCCTGCCTCTCCTGTCTTTGGCGGGCGGCGACGTACAGCATGAAAGGCCTGCCAGACGCCCACGCGCCGCGCCGCAAGCAAAGTGACAGAGGGAGGTATCGAAGCAAGAGGATGGGGCATCCAAAGATGTGCAGAGAATACACGGTCCAAGTGGACCATCATGACAACGCGGCCGTCAAATGCGGTGTCTTGCATCCGAATGACAGATAATCCCATATCCCCCCAACTCCTCATGGCATCTTGTGCCAGAAATGGCCTGATAAAGCGAGAAAGAAAGTGTCAATAGATTCGTCTAAGAATAGAAGGCACATTTTTAGCAACACAGAAATGCGACGTTTCATCATCTCTGCAGAATCTGATTAGCTCAGGGTTCTTGGCAGTTCGTTTCGAAACTAGGAATGTCTTACGCGGCCGCGTCTAGGGTTGCCCTGCTCCTGTTGCATGTAGCCCATGTTGGGCATATTGGGCATGTTTCCATAGCCATATCCGCCCATGCTCATACCAAAACCCGGAGGGGCAAAGGGGGTCTGACCAGCGGGCATCTGAGGCATGTGCGACGAGGGCGGCTGAATAGGGCTGCCATTGGGCATGTTCTGCTGGCGGAACTGGTCGACACTCGGGTTCGGGCCGTTGTAGCCGCCATATCCGGCCTGCATGGGGGGAAAGTTGTAGTTCATCGGTGGCGGACCCCTGTTCATCATGTTCTGCTGGAACTGCAGTTGCTGGATGTTGGCCGCGGCCATGGGGCCGTTGGGTGCGTTGTACATCATGCCCTGGTTGTATTGCGGGAAAGACGAAACACCGGCGTCAACGTTGTCATTCCTCTGGTTGTTGTAGCCCATTTCGAACCCAGGGGGGTTGGACGGTGGGTTCAGAGGGTTGTAGAATGGCTTGTTGGAATGACCTGACTGGGGATGATGCCCGCCACCGTTGACATTGGCCTGTCTGGAAGATGGTCGCGTGCGGTGCTCCGAGTGGGTGCTGGCATCGCGGTTGTTTCCAGAGTTTCGGGTCGACAAACCAACCTCATCCATGAGCCGCTTGTAACCCTGACTAGGCTGTGCCTTGATTCGAATCAGGACATTCTTGACATTCTCAACCACCTGAGTTCGGATCGTCTCGTCGAAGAAGGGCGTGGTAAGCACCTTGAAAATCAACGTGGCACCACAGGCGTGGTCGCTGAGGATCGCCTCCAGCACCTGGTCATTCGGAGTGAAGAAGAGAGCCTTGAGGATGACATCCCGGGCGTCGGCCTCCGCCTTTTGGTTAATGACCTTCAGGACCGTTAGGTAAGCAACCTTGTGAGTGCACAGGTGGACCAGATAAGGCACGAGCTGCGGCGACAGGACGGTGCGACGCTGGGGGAATGTGCAGGTGTCCAAGAACCACGTCAGGAGAAGAGCACCGTTGGCGTTGGTAGCCAGCTGGACGCTGTGCAGAGCAATGGCGGCAGCAAGCATACGCTGCTGGTCCTTGGTAGCATGGTGGCTCTCCAGGCAAGCCCTCATGGCGCGGGCACCGTATCGGCCCTGGGAAATCTCCCACATGCGTCCGAGCATGGTCTCAAAGATGAAGTCGTTGAAGGGGGCGCCGAACTTGAGGCATCCCTGCAGAACGTAGTTGCCATACTGGTCCAGGAACAAGGGGATGGTGTAGGGTCGCAGGTGCTCGACAATCATGTTCATCTGAGCGGGACTCTTGCAGACATCGATGATCTTCTGAGCGGCCCAGGTGCCATTCTTGTGTACACCAATCTCGGCCATGTGGGGAGCGATCTCGGCCAACATGGCATCGCGCAGCTGGTCGGAGCAGTGCTCAAAGAGCTTCTGGACAACAGTGTTGCCCAGGTAGTCAGATGCGAGCTCAGCAATCTCGGGCAGCATGTCGACGGCGATGTTCTCAATCTCAGCCTGCGACAGGGTCTGGTTGTCGATTCGCTTGCGGATATCCCGGAGCTTGGGCGCATCGTGGACTCGGGTGTGGGCAGGCTCACGGATCGGTGGGATCTCCTCGAGGAAGGTGTTGAACTGGATCGCGGATTGCAGGTTTCTGGAGATTCTGAACCTGTCCTCGTCCGTCGCGCCAAACTGCTTGACGATTTCGACAATATCGGTAGTCATCTCATGCAGAGGAGCAAGCTTGGGAGCACTGTTCGTGGAAGCGGCCGCAGGGGCGTTCTCGCTCGCAGGAGCGGCAGAGCCAGAGCCCGTAGCGTTGTCCTGTCCCTTTGCGAAAGGATCAGGGCTGGGAGATGGGTAGACACCGTCGTGGCCAGGAGTGTTGGAAGCAGAAGGGGGTTTGGCGAAGTTGATGCGGATAGGGCCAGCACCAGGGAAGATTTCCTTGCTGTTCATGCTGGCCTTGGCAGAAATGGCGCTCTCAACCCGCTCAAAGTTGACAAAGCCGCAGTTTTTGTGGGTGAGGACTCGAGCGGACAAAATGGGGCCATGGGACTTGAACATCTCGATCAGAGTCGAGGTGGTGGTCGAGGTAGGGATGCTGCCGAGCCAGAGTGCGCTGGTAGGGCCTTCAAGGCCCTGCTCCTCTGCACTCAGCAGCCCAGCATTCCGGCTGTTGGATCTGCCCAGGTTCATGCCGGTGACAGCCTGAGGGAGGTCCTCGTAATCCTTGTCGTCCTGCAGACGAATCTCGGCGGGCGCAATGGGATTGGGAATGCCAGTACTGCCGGACATGTAGGTTCTCATGAGTCGACTTCCAGGAGTATCCAAGACACCGGCGGTGCGAGCACGGGGGCGAGTGACAGAGGCCTGATTTGCAAAGGCCTGGACGGCTAGATTGTGATTGTGGATCGCGGCGTTAGTAGCAGCCAGCTGGTCTTGTAGAGCAGCCACGTACTGGGGATCCAATGGCATCTCCGAATCGTAGTCGTCGTCATCATCAGCATACTTGTCCTTGTTGTTTACCGAGTAGGATCGGAAACGGCTGGATTGCTTGGTGAAGTCGAGGTTGGCCAGGTATGGAGTAGCCAGCTGAGCGCGGGACTGCTGAGGGGTCTCGGCGAGGCCAAGGTAATCCAGAGTCCTCATATGGACATCGGACTCACCACCTCCCTCTTTGGAGAACTGGGACTGAGCAGGAGAGCTAGGACCGTTGGAACCGACACTGGCAATACTGGCAAGAGTCGAAGCCCTCTCACGGCCAACACCGGCTGGGTTCCAGCTGCTGAAGATGGAGGGGCCAAACGGAGAGTTCGTTCCTGGAATGGGCGCGTACTGGCTCCTCTGTGGCATGGATCCGGCGCGGAGGCGGGAGAGGAGGGTAGAGCTGTTGGTGGGGTTCTCGAGAGGCTCCGGGTTGGGGGAAGGCGACTTGTTGAAAGGACTCTGGGAGGGAGTGGGCCTGGCCGACTTTGGAGCGAGCCCGGCGACGCCCAGGAGGCCGTTGGCGGCACCGCCAGGGGAGAATCGAGATGGGACAGTGCCAGCGCGGGCGCGGCGGGTCTGAGGCATGGTGTCCGGAGTGGGGAGTTGGGCAAAGTCAGGGAAGCCATCGGTGGGGGATTCAGGGATGTTCTCGCGCAGCGGCGTCGAGTTGCCGCTGGTGGGAGGGCCGCCCCAGAGGCTTCCCGGCATGCCCGGGACGCCTTCTTGGGCCTGAATCTCGCGAGCTCTGCACAGACGGACTTCTAGTCAGCCTGAGTTTCAAGAAAAGGGCTGGGAGAGGGCACAAGAGGTGATGGGAAGAGGAGGAGGAGGACGGGGATGAACAAACCTCTTGGAGAACAGGCGGCTGGAACCAGCCATCTCGTGCGACGGAGAACCAGCCCCGGATCGCGAGTTGCTCGCCATCTTGCCAGAGGGGTTGAGAGCACCAGACATGCCAAATGGCGACCTGGAGGATGGTAAGGGATGGTCGATGGGGGAGTTGTTTGCGGAAGGGGAGGCGGAACGGGTTTGACTGGCGGACTGGGAGGAGTAGCCGCGAGTCAAGTGTTCAGATCTGGCAGTTGACATTATCAATTATCTAGCCGACCTCATGAGACAGTGACACGGAAGGTGTCGGGCCGGACACTGGATATTATTCGCAAAGGGGGATTGACTCGTGGATCGGGACGTAGGAGTCTTTATTGGCGAGGCGCTGGAGAATAGGAAGGTCCAAGTGCGCGACAGCTTCGGGCGTTGCGTCGTGTGTCGTGTGTTGTGCGTCTAGCGATGGGAGAGGACAACGTGGTGCGCCGAGGTATGTGCTGAGGGCGATGCTGGATCGGGGCTGATGGAACGGGGGGTTAAAGGAGCGCGGTGCGAACAGGAAGGAGATCCAGGAGCCGGTATTACAAGGAGAGTTCTCGTAGAAGAGGACAAGATCGGATGGGTCGATGTCGACGTCGGTGACGGTGACGATGTCGAGGTCCAAGTCGAAAGCAGGTCGACGGCCGGTCGGGGGTGAGGTTGTGAGGTTTGTGGGAAAAAAATGCGAGGAGCGACGTTGCCGAATGATGCGATGTTGGCCAGAGAGGCTAACTGAGAGGAGTCGAGTGGCCGCCCAGCGTGCGTCGTCCGAGCCCGCGGCCAGGGAGATGCGAAAGAGGAAGGGAAAAAGGGAAACGGGGCAGAGAGCCGGGGAGAGAGGGAGGGGAGGGGAAAGAAGAGGCACAAACAAAGTACGTAACGATCAATATACAGGCCTCATGGGGACGAAAAAAAAGAGGTTTTTTTTTCGGGGGGGGGCCTGGAGAAGGAGACGGGACGCGCGCGATATGGGGGAGGGGAGAAGGGGAGAATTGGGGGTGGTGGTGGAGGAGTGAGAGGGAAGAATGCGGCAGGAGAAGGAGACAGGCAAGACAACACAAGTGCAACAAGGCCGGACCAAGACGGTTCTATGGAGTCCTCCCAGCTAGGTACCTACCTACTAATTAGGGAGCAGAGGGCGACCACCACCGCACAGCGCGCTGACCGGGCGCCTCCAGGGCTTGCGCTGCAGTCTGCAGGGCCTCTTGGTGGCTCTGGCGCCCGGCCTTCAGCTGTCTACGGTACCTACCTAGCAGCAGTGGCGAGCTGTCACTGTACGTGCCACCCACACCCTCAACGAAGGGGCTCTGCGCACCTGTGCTTGTGCTCGCGCTGTACAGTTGCAACCCCCGACTCGAGAATCCGAACGAGGGGAGCCGCGGCGAGGGCAACCGGCGCTGCACCTCGTACATGGCACGCTGGCTGGTTGCGGCAGTGCGAGCTGTGTGCTCTGTGGGGGCCGGCCCCTGAGCGAGTATCTGGACACTTTGCTCACCTCACAGCCTCGTTTTTTGGGTACCTACGGAGTTACTCCATCACCGCACCACGGATGGAAAGGCAACTGGTGTGGAAACTGGTGTGGATTCACAGTGGACAAGCCCCCAGTCAGCATCTCGGCGTTGGATTTGGCCTATTTGGCCTGGGAGCCAGTAAAGTGGCCAGACGAGTGTCCACTGGGACCGAATCCAGGTACCACACTCGGGCTCAACCACCCGAGAACGCGTGTGCGTCCTGCATCACAGAGCATCCTCCACCCTGGGCTCAGGATGAAACACCCATACGCACGCATGCTGAACTCACTTCTGGATAGATCCAGTTTATTAGTTCCCCCCCTCAATTTGTCTTCCCTCACAACTTCAGGGACAGACTTGCCTTCGTCGGCGGCGGGGAGAAGAACGTATCTCTTTCTGTCACCCTCTTTTCCCTTCCCTTCTCTCTCTGCATCGTCATCGTCAACCCCCCCCCCCCCCCTTGCCTCAGATGGTCATGTACCACTGTACCTGACACGCTATTCAGGTGGCTTCCTTGCTTTGTCCAGCTTCTATGCTTAAGTAGCTGTCTTGTCCCGTCCGCCTCAGCGCATAAGGTATATTGCCTGAGTAGCGGTACCTACCTACCACCTAGGGAGGTACGAAGTACAAATCCACCGTAGCACTTGTAGTACAGTACCTGTGGTTTTTAAAGTTACAGGAGGTGATGGGTTTGCCTTGGTTTCGTTACCACGTACGTTATTCCCTGCCTCTCCCTCTCCGCTTTCCGTCCCCTTTCTGGTCGGTACGCCCCGATTCCCAGGGGGCCCAACCCATGGCGCAGGCTGCCTGCCCCGATCCTTCGCTTTGTGATACCCCCCTGTCCGATGTCCGATGTGTGTGCGTGTGTGTGTGTGTGTGTGAGAGAGAGAGAGAGAGAGAGCACGAACGGCACTACAGCACTGATGAGATGCTGTGTTTGCTCGATTGATATCCGACACACAAGGTGTGAATAAGGTAGGTAGTATGAATCAATGGATTCTGTGAGTCCACCTGGTTTGAAAATCGATCAAATATCTATCTAGCGTTTGCCAAGGCTCTTCCCCGGATGCGTTTTAAACAACGGCCAGCTAATCCAGCGTCGTTCGTCATCAGAGTCGCTCGTCAGAGTCGCTCGTCAGAGTCGCTCGTCAGAGTCGCTCGTCAGAGTCGTTGTCGTGCGTCGCAGCAAGAAAGCCACGACGGAGCTGGCCATTGGCACAGACACTGGCACCGCCTTTTCACTAGACACCCTGACGATGATCGCATGCATTAGCTGTGATCATTAGCTGTGATGGATAACGATATGCCGTCAGCTCTTTTCTCACACACGCACTCTACTCACTCTCTCGTTCATAGTTCAATTTCCCTCCACAGTCCGACACACCACCTGGAGACTTTCCTATTGGCGGCAACCCCATACACGCTCCCCTTTCACCCAACGAATGTCCCCACCAATCACCAGCCTGCACTGCCCTGTCGAGGATTGCTAACCACGATGCTGAAACAAGCCCTACAATGCCCCCTACCCGCACATATGCAAGCAAGCTAGTTGTTCGTATGCATTGCATACGGAGTGAGTTACAGACTGTACATGTGTCCGCAAAGCGCCCCCGCCCATTTTACGAGCCGTTTCGGTGTCGTGTGCTATCATTATCATGTAAGTTGGTACCGCTACATGGTGCATCTGCGTGTCTGTGTTTGCTTGGCCATCCCTCATCCCTTATCTCTCGCACCGCTGGCCGTCACTGTCCATCCATCCTCTCCGCCACCCTGATCTTTTCCTCTTCGCAGCCGTGTTTCCTCTCATCGATGACCTGCTTCTTTTTTTCCCCTTCACGATGCTGTTTCCCCTCCGCGATGCTGACGGGCCGGCCCTTGAAGAACCACTTTTGGACTAAGCCCTGGTTTCCCCAGCGGCTGACACCCCCTACTACGCCGCCCTCACCATCCCGCCCGACTGGGCTGACCTTTTGGCCCTTCTAGACCTTCTGGCCCTTGTGGTCTTGGCTTGGTATCCGCCTTGTGGCACCCGCCGCCCCCTTCTCCCCCTTCTCCCCTTTCTCCCAGGGGACGGTTCACCTCCCCCCGTTTCATCTCCCACCTCTGGCCGGCCATTCATAGCCAATTAAGGCCGCCCTCTGTATTCGTACCGACGGCTCTCGTCTTGTTCTCGGTTCGGCACTTGGTAAAGTCCCCCCTCCTCGTTTCTTATTGCTGCATCCCTTTTCATCGTAATATGTATCGACTTCCGGGGGTTACGTCGGCACTAGCTGGCATGGGTCTCCACGACTACAAGTGCCAAGTGGGGGCTAGGTTGTGTTGACGCCTACTGTACCTGCTCTCTCTTCGGCCACAGCCACATCACCAACAAGAGGCAAGCTTTCGTATGCGCATGCGGGCCTCGATGGGCTGTGTTCCATAAGCACTCCTCGTCCACTCAACTCGTAGGTATTAGTGGCCCAAGCCAAGAGCCCACGCTGCTGTGCAAGGTGCTCCAGCCAGCCACTGTTTGTGAATGGGATGCTAGCGAGACCCCATCCACTGCCTCATTGCGTGTCGACTTGGTAGTGGGTGGATGCGGCGTCTGGTCACTGCATCCTGATGCTACTGGTCAAGCTTTGCATTTGCATTCCCCCTTTTAGAGATTCCCATGAGGCCTGGGAATTTTCTGCCCATAACGGCTTCTTTGCCGACATGCACTCACTTAAACAAAGATTGGCTGTACAATTGGACAAGAGCATCTGCATACATTCTACGGAGTACAGCAGGCCATGTACAAAACACGTAAACATTGCAATCCTTGATTTCCTCTATGTTGTCTTCTAGTCATTTCCTGGGAATAGTTTCCCATGTGGGCGACAGTTACATTAGCCTTGCGTAAACCTCGTTTCCTTGACAAGGGAACCTGCCGTCCTCCTGTATGAACCTCTCCTAAAAAGCCACAAAGGGTCCGCATGTGACCTGGCCCGGCCTATGTGGTTACTTGCCAGCTCTCGCACAGGACATCAGCATCATCATCGATAAGCGCCCTGTCATGGTGCCTTGGATAAGTTGGCGTAGAGAGCTTGAGGCTGCGGGGCAATATCATGCCAAGAAGGGTGCAAATCAACTTCGTCCCAATCCTAAACGCCAAACCATCATTTGGGGGGAATATATGCGTCAGCTCTGCTTCCAAAACCACATCAAAAGTGCCAAATCAGAATAGAGCGAATGCTTTTCGAATTTACTCGAGTGCTCGCCCTTATTTGGCGTGCTTCTTGAATGCTAGCAGATCGGCAAGGCTGCTCAGAGGGCAACCGTGGCGGAGGAAGTCGTGGGCCAGGAGTTCGTCGGCCGACGCGCGGCTCTTGACGTCCACGCACAGGCAGACCGAAAGGAAAGCCTTGAGCTCCTTGCTCAGCTTCTCGGGCTTCTTGAGGCGAGGCGTGCCGTTAGTAGCGATAAGATACAGCGCCTTCAGAGGCTCCTCGTTGAGGTATGGGGGCTCCGATTCAATCATCTCAATGGCCATGATGCCCAGAGACCAAATATCGACCTTGGGTCCGTACTCCTTCTGCTTGACAACCTCGGGGGCCATCCAATAAGGAGTACCCACCATGGTCGCTCTCTTTGACTTGGTCTCCGTGAGCTTGGCGCAGAAGCCAAAATCGGCTTTGTGGTGTCAGTGCTATCGGTCCAAGCCATCTCCGGATCTGACGACTTACTAATTTTGACATTCCCGCGAGCGTCTAGAAGGACGTTGTCACTCTTGATATCTCGGTGAATGATGCTTTGGGCGTGGAGGTGCTGCAGTCCTTGGCATGTCTGGAAATATGTTAATACATTGGATAGAAATGCATCATCACGAAGCAACTTACCTCGTGGCAGATAGTCGAGATTTGCTCTTCCGAGATCGATGAGTTGTTGTCGATGACATCGGTCAGGGCACCACCCTCCATGAATTCCATGACTACCCAAAGTTCAGAATTGTTGTTGCGCAGGAATGCGTCCAAGAAGTTGACAATGTTCCGGTGTCGGCTGTCCTTCATGACCATGATTTCGTTCACAATCAGCTCTTTGCGGGGTTGATGAGCAAGATCCATCTGCTTAATGGCGACCTGGGCTCGAGGTCCCTGTTGGCGAATCACCTCACGGGCGATTCCTACGGCAGTCTCCTTGATCTTGGCAACGTAGACTGATCCAGAAGCACCCTGTCCGATCTTCTTCTGCTTGGAGTAGGACAGGTTGGGGTCGTCCTTGGACACTGCCTCCTTCAACTTGGCCATGACCTCACTCTCAGACATGGTGGACATGCGAACATCCTGCTTTCGCTCCGAAGCTGAGGGTTTAGCTGTCAGTGCGGCCTCGGCAGCCTTGACACTATCGGACTGCTGAGTCTGACTAGGCTTAGGAGCAACATTGAGCGGCTTAACAGGGGCAGGCAACCGTGAAGCCTGGGCCTGAGCCTGGGGCTGTCGGGGTTGCGACGCTTGGTTGCCGTTGGGGTACCGAGGGGCATTGGCATGGCCACCTGGGCTGTCGTTGCGAGAGCGCCCTTGAGAGGGGTCTCGAAGCGCGCCCGAGCTCTGCTGAGTGGCCAGCTGGGGCCGCTGGGCGGATGTAGTTGGAGGAGAGGGGGCAGCTCTCTGAGCGCGGAGCCCGTTGGACTGTGCGGGCTTTGGCGCAGGGGGAGCCGCTCTCGTTGGGTTGTAGCGGTCTGCCTGGGATGCACTGCTGTATCCGCCGCCAATCTCTTGCTGAGCCAGAGGCACCTTGGTCTTGGGAATAGCGGCGTTGAAAGCCTCGAGATCGCGACGGTTTTGCTCTTCGATGTCACGTTGCTCTCGCTGTCGCTGGGCCTCTAGCTGCTTCTTGCGCTGCTCTTCTCTCAAAGCCTCCTGTGACACGTAGTTGGGCGCCATCGCCTGCATCTGTTGGCGCTGCTGCTGCTGGTCCGCAACCGGGGGGCGATCAGGCCGGTCAGGGCGCTCAGGGCGCCGAGGAGCATTCGAGGGAGAAGTGTTGGTGTAGCCTGGAGTCCGGGGCGCGTTGGAAGGAGGCGCCGGTCGAGGAGGAGCCACTGATGAACCACCGCCATATCCAAGCTGCTTGTTTCCTTGGCTGGAAGCAGGGGGAGTAGGGGTGAGGCTGGAGTACTGGTTAGGGTTCTCTGCTCTCTTGGCAAGGTCCGTGTAGAAGTCTAGGACCTCGAAGACGGCCTGGGGGTTACGCTCGTAGTCCTCCTTGGTGATGGCAGACGAGTTGAGGAGCTTCGACCACTCTGGCGGCAAGCCTACAAACTCGCCGGTCTTGGGGTCAAATCCGACGTGAACGGCGTGAGAGAAGTTGGTCGGGTTGCTGACACCGCCCATGCCGGGGCAGGCGCCGTAGATGAAATCAATCCACTCGTAGAGATCATCGTCGCTCTTCACCTTGATTTGGAGTGTCTTGGTTTGACCGTCATCATCGCCGGGGCTGTTGGATGAGCCATCTGGCTTCCGCTTGATCTCAAAGATGGTACCCGCAGCTTCCACTCGACCAACATTGACCACGTCCCGCAAGTAGAGGGTATATGAAACTTTGCCACCCTCCGTCTTGTGGAAATCCAAAGATTCTTTGCGGAGGATCAGGTACTTTTGCTTCCAGGGCTGAATGAAGTTCTTGCTCTCCTTGACTGAGGCCCAGCCCTCCTTCTTGACGGCAACGCCTCCCATGCCATCAGTATTGTTGGACTGTTGGCGCGCAATTGGGAGCGAGATGGTGGAACCGGTGTAGGTCGAGGTCGCGGTGCTGCGAATAGGGGAAATGGCCATGTTGGCCATGCTCCCAGGAAGATTGGCGTTGGGGGTGAGGGCCAGGCGTGGGCGGTCGGTGGGAGGTCGTGGCGCTGGGCCAGGGTTCATAAACTGGCCAGACGCGTACATACTGTAGGTTGTTAGTCGCCGACCATCTACAACAAAGCTCGGTGTGGTGTGGATGGTTGGACAAGGTCTGCGGCGTTGGTGGCGAAATAAAGATGCACCACCCTTTATCGCGGGAGACAAACTGCCATTTCGCCAGACCTTGTCACGCTGAGCGGGAAGTGAGTCGTGGGAGCGCCACTTCTGGTGGTTCCGTTGTCACAAGCCTTGACAACACAGGACCAAGATCAAGGCCCCTCACCCCGCTCTGCCGCGTGAGGCGCGCTTCTTGAGGATTGGGTTCAAGGAGCGAGTTTGAGAGACGTACCTGTTCTGAGCCATCTTGAATTGAGTTCAAGGAGGTATGGGAGGGTATTAATCGCAATTGTATACTAAATTAAGAACGCGAGGAGTGGTTGTGGCGATGCGCCGGGTAGATGCAACGCTTGCTGTTTCGCTGAGTCGCTTCAGGTTGCGGCTGCGTTTGGTGTTTGAGGGTGACGGCCTCCGGGAGCGCTGCCGTGGGCGGTGCGAGGGTCGAATGAATACGAGAATGAGCGAGGCTGCAATCGAATAGCCGTGCGCAATCTGGTCGTCGGCGCAGCAAGAAGCCCTTCTCACGGGGAGGGCGTGAAGTGCATGTAGTTCGCTGGAGCGGCGGTCAAGGCGAAAGGTCGCCCGTCGTCGGTGACGAGAGACGGGGGGAATGGGTGGAGGCGCCTGGGCGGCAATGATGGGCGGGTGGAGGGCGGCCTGCTCTGGCAGGATATGGAGCGCAGAGCCAGAGGACTGCGCAGGGATTCAGTCACCCCAAGATGCGCCAGGGATTTCTGGTACAGCGCAGACTCAAACTGGTGAAGGCATCCAGAGAAGGTATGGTGAAAGGAGGAGGAGGTCGGGCGATGAGGGTGGATGAGAGAGCGACCAAGGAGAAGAAGAGGGAGTAATTAGTAGGAGCAGGTAAGGCAGGAGAAGTAGCAGGAGGCGGCGACGGGGGGGAAACGAGGGGTGGGGAAGGAGGTGTCAGGCGAGGCCCAGCAAAGGCCCAGCAAAGGCCCAGCACGCTCCAGCACCCGCTGCTGCCCGCTGCAGCATCCGACCCCCCTTCCCACAGCAAACAGGTCCCCAGTGAGCGAGTCGGCGGGTGAGCGATTCAGTGGGAAACTCCAGCTAATAGACGGGCCTCTGCTCCCGCATCCATAGTACACATGTTCGACGTCGGTTGACTGGGCGTCTTTCAGGTGAAGCAAACAACTCCTCACCTTTGATGCACTTACCAACTCCGTCATAAGATTGGGGCTTGCCGAATAGCGGTAGCCCACCGCCGTCAAGAAGCTCTGCCACAGGCCGCCTTGCACTTGTCAGCAGAAGCTTCCGTTGCTCCAGCCTGGATCCTGCTCCAACAACCAACTTAAAAACGCCGAATTCGTCAGGGAGAAATGCTGCCCCGCTTCTTTGCAATGTCTCCATTGCGCTCACCTCTACTCCGTAACGAGGCACACGCTGTGCGACGGACGGCCGTGCTGCACCGGTATTCCTGTTGTTTGTTTGCGAGGTGCCCGATGTTGTGTTTGCCTGACGGGTATGGGCACGTTGTATGGACACATACCTGCCAATGCCTAGCTGATTCTGACGTGTATTCGGTCCCCGGCTGCTGTATTTGCGGCTACGTTTGGTAGCTCGAGGCATCAAGAAACCTACTAATCCCCCTAGGCCCATAGAGCCTTCAGTGCTGAGTGCTAATGAGCTCTAGCGGACCTTGGGATTGGGCTTGGGGGGCTGCACCGCCAGCCCACACCCCATTCCTTCCTTCGCCCGTGGCGGCGGGCCACAAAGGCGTCGGGTCTAGCCCGCCGCAACTACCAACTCACGTAGGTAGGTAGGTAGTACTGGAAGTTACCTAAGGTGCCAGGTACATGGGAGGACTCTTGCGGGCGCGGTACGTACCTACTCCGGCTTAGCACTTCTGGCTTCTGGTGAGCTGGTGAGCTGGGGTTCCTTGGCCATGTCCACTTACCACCGCACAATCGCACAGTCCAATCTTGTCTTCCCCTGGCCTCAACCATGTCCATGTCGGGGTTGCAACGTGACGGTAGGCCAACGCGTCGTAGATGTTCTCCTTGGGTGACATTGGCGTCGCGATCGCCCCATGGAATGGTCTGGGGTTGTGCCTTGCTGTGCGGTGCACTGCAGTTTCCATGTGCCATCACCATCGCCATTGTGCAGATGTACCTAGATGTACTCAGATGCCAGGGGCTCGACCCAGGTCCTAACACCACCTCATTGCAAGACAGGGTGGGCCATCAAAATGATCAAAATGAACCAAACACAGGCTGCTGAGGCCCCCAGTGGGCTCTCGCATTGTCGTCCTCCATACAGAAACGCCATGAGCATTGTTATCATATCGGCATATCTTGACAAGCCAAACATGGGCCAGGCCGAGGCCGTAAACATGTGGCGACGGCCCTTTCCACTGTTCCAGCGCGTGCGAGCCAGGATCGGCGGCGGCGACGGCGACGGCGCCAGCGGATCGGACGCTATTGGTGCACTCGGATCACCTCCGCGTTGCCGCAATACGTCCCATCTAAGAACCATCCCACCGTCTTCACCTGTGGATGTTCCTCGTCTGTCACCAAAGACGAGATATCGACGGGCAGGGGCCCCGCCATTGCAACCCAATCTCTGCGAGCACGTAGTCATCATGCTCCGCAAAGTAAAATGGTGGTGCCCCTGGTGAAGGCTGTCACTGGCGTCTGTTCCTGGCGTCCGTCCCCCTGGAGGCTCGGCCAGCTCGTCCCGTTCCAGATGGAAATGACACTATACTCAAGGGAGGGGATTGCATGGCGTTGTTTACCATCGCCGTAATATTCCAACGTGCCAGAACCAGAATTGCCTTTGATTTCCGAGACAAACCAACAGAGGGCCACGAGTACCTTTATCGCCATGTCTCTTGCTGTCTCGCTTGCCATACCGCTGCTTGGCCGTTGGCTAAGGAGCACAGAATCCCCGCCGGGCAGCAATGTGGATGGTGGTCTTTGCAGCCCCCTAGTCTGCAGATCCACGGCTGTTCTGTTGTTGAAGGGTCCTCATCCCTGGATCCTGGATCCCGAATCCTGAATCCTGAATCCCTGAGACGCTGCCGAACCATAAAAGTCCAAGAATAAATAAATCACCTTCCAGCACCGCCCGCGACGGCCCGAAACGCAGCGCGTGTTTCCAAAACACGGCCGTCTTCGCCCTATGCCGTGTCCTGTTGTACATCTGAGCCTTGATGAGGTAACTGTGTTGCACGGCGGCCTCCAGGTCACCCCTTAACCTTAACGGGAACTCTACCCCCAAAATGAGCATATCTGTAGACTACCTGCGTACTATTGGAAGGTCCAATTGGAACATCCCGTTGAAGGGATTGGAGATTACTGTAGGACTGCATTGGACATGTGCGGAGGACCTAAGTTTGTGGTGACTCTTCGTTACATGCCCTCTTTAGATAGATGGTCATCACATTAAAGGCAAACCAGTCTGGCACATTTGATCAGTAGAGTTTCTTTTTGACCACATTTTTTTGGTTTATTTTGTTCCTTGGGATATCTAGATCGAATCTGGGCAATTCCTCGACCCAATGGTCAGCCTGACTCTGCTCATCCACCGACGCAGCCAAGTTCGCTCAGTCGTCTATAATTTACATCACCTCTACACCCATCTCTTCTATCGGCTAACGACCTCAACCTCTTGACCCTCAAACTTGGGAAGCTCTGCCTCAATGTCGGCCCACTTCTTGCTGCCGTCGACGAGGGACTTGATAGCCTCGATGATCTTGTCCTCGTCAGCGCGCACTTGAGTCGTGCTGTCACGGTCTCGGAGCGTAAGGGTACCGTCCTGGACGGTCTGGAAGTCGATAGTGATGCCCAGGGGAGTACCAAGCTCATCGTTTCGGCTGTAACGCTTGCCGATGGTGGCAGATGAGTCATCAATGCGGTTCGAGATACCGGTGGTACGCAGTCGCTGGGAAAGCGTCTTCAACAGGGGCTTGAACTTCTCGTTGGAAGAAAGAGGCACAATGAGAACCTTGGTAGGAGCCACGGTGGGAGGGAAGGACAGAACCTAAGAATGGGTTAGCTCATACGCTCGTCAATAAAAGGACGGGTGTTACTTACACCACGAGCTTCGTCGCCACCCTCGCTGCCACGAGTCCAGAAGCAGTGCTCCATGAGAGAGTATAGGATTCGGCCAATACCGAAAGAGGGCTCAATAACGTTGGGGGTGTACTCGCGAGTGTTCTCGACTCGCTTGCGGAACTCGATGGTAATTGAATCCTTGGCAACCTGGACCTTGCCGTCAGCGACACCAGCCACCTCGAGGGTGATCTTGCCAGTCTCGCTCAGCTCCTTGGCCAGCTTCTCACGCTGCTCCTGAGAGGTACCCTCAAGAGCGGCTTCGACAGCCTTGGCGTCCTTCTTGAACAGGGGACCGAATTTCTTCTTCTCGATATCGATCTGCCACTCCTCGATGACGAGGGGCTCCTCACGTCGCTCGCGGACGACTAGGGGGGCACCGGTCTTGTTGGCATGGACAGTCAAGTCATAGGCGCTTCGGTCAGCGCAGCCGACACACTCGATCCAGCCGGAGGTGGTGAACAGCTCACAGTCCCAGCAGTCACAGGCGTAGTGGGCCATCTCGTTGGCCATATGCTGTCGGAAGCGCATCTTGGACTCATCAACACCAATCCTTTGCATGAAAAGATGGATACGAGCAATAAAGTAACCCAGAGTCTCGTTGTCGATAAGACCAGACTTGACGGCCTCGCCAACCTTGACCTTCTTGGTTTCGGTCTTGCCGGACAGCTGGGTGTCGCGGTTAAGAAGGACGAGCTCGACGTCCTCGACCTCGTGGAATCGAGAGTGCTTCTTGCCACCCTCAGGGTCGACGAAGTGCTCAATCTCAGCCATTAGGAACTCTCGCACACGCAAGAGACCGGCACGAGGGGAGATCTCATTTCGGTAGGATTTGCCAATGCAGGCGGACGCGAAGGGCATCTGGGACTGGTTGAACTCGAGGAGCTTGGCAAAGTTGAGGAACTGGCCCTGGGCGGTCTCGGGGCGCAGGTAACCGGGAAGGTTGCTGCTAGGACCGATGGCGGTCTGGAACATGAGGTTGAAGGCGACGGGGTCGGAGGGCTGGACACCGGTGGCAGGGTTCTTGAGGTCGTACTTCTTGATGAGCTCACCGAGCTCAGGACCACCGTAGTTGTCGATCTTGGCGAGGACCTCCTCGTACTCCTTGACGACGGCATCCTCGAGCTTAACAGCCTCAGTCTTGGCCTTTCTCTTCTTCTTTTTGGGGTCCTCCTCCTTCTCCTCCACCTTGAGGCCGCGAGCCTCCTTGTCGCCGTTTAGGCGGGCCTCGAGAATGCCCTCGACGAAGTGGTCGGCGCGGAGAATGTCGCCGTTCTTGGGGTCCTTGCACATCCAGTCGGCGAACTTGTCAACGTGGCCGCTGGTCTTGAGGACCTCGTGCGGGGTCAGGGCAGTGGTGTCAACCTCGAGCATGTCCTCCTCGAGGATGAAGTGCTTGCGCCACACATCGACGATGTTGGCCTGGAGTGAGCAGCCGGGGGGACCGTAGTCGTAGAGACCACCTACACCACCGTAGATCTCGAAGGAGGGGGTGTAGAACAGGCGCCGGCGCAGGATGGTATCGAGGACGCCCTTGTCGAGGGGCTGGCCCTTGAGGGTCGTCGCGGAGGAAGTCATGGTGTCTGGCTTGTACTTCTGCTGCTTGTGCACCTGGAATGCGTGGAGGGGTCGCGATGTAGCGAACGAGCGGGAGCAGGCGATGCGGGGAGGTCGTCTGGCGGCGCAGGCCCTGAACCGATGGAGCGTCAACGACGGCGGGGAGCGAGTTGGCAGCGACGGTGCAAATGTCAGTGCCGATGTTGATGTCGATGTCGATGACGAAGTTGCGAGCGGTGCGGAGAGCGAGGGGAGACGAATTGGCTTCATCCACTGGGTCGATGGGCCGCGAGGAAAGAAGTGCGTGAGTCACAAGCTCAACCGCACTTGGTTCCTCTGTTCTGGTCTGAGATGGACGGTGGTGGATGGTGGGGGAATTGCCTGGTGCGACTTTGCTTGCAGGGCTCTAGTCGCTGATTGGTTTGCCGGTCGCTGGCGGTACCTTACCCTATCTTTTCTAAAGCTTTTGCGCGTTTGGAACTTCAGAAGCAGTCTCGCGGGAACTTCGATTCGCCGAGATAGGGCCCTTTTCAGTGGGCGGTGGGGTGTTCTGGGGCGTTCTGGGTTGCCTGGGGGAGAACCATTTACCCCTCTATTGACCTCCAAGGGCTTCCAGGCGCTGTTGTAGGACTTTTCAGGGCCTCGAGGTACGTGCAGCCACGAACAAGCAGCCTCGCTCTCAGCCACGGCTAGAGTGGCGCATCTGCTAACCAACCAACCCCACTCCCCCGATAAGCTCCTTATCGGCGCCTGGGCTGGGAACTTTTTTTTCCTAGCCCCGGCGACGACGACCGCTTGCTCAACACCAGTGAAACCAGCATCACGACATTGTCCATTCCCCTCCAGACAAGATGCGCCCCCTCACAGAAAAGGAGACTCAGGTCCTCTTCGAGAAGCTTGCCACCTACACTGGAAACTCTCTCAAGAACCTCATCGCGCCCCTCGACGACTCTCCCAATGCCGACCGATACGTCTTCAGACTGGTAAAGGACCGAGTTTACTACGTCCGCCTCTCCATCGCGAACATTGCGACCTCCATTGCCCGCGAGAAGCTTCTATCCCTCGGTACCTGTCTTGGTTAGCTATCCCGAAGATTAAACCCTGGTACGCACTCCTCAGCTAACCCAATCCCTCCAGGCAAGTTCACCAAGTCTGGCAAGTTCCGAATGCACATCACCGCGCTGCCCATCATTTCCGAGCATGCGCGCTACAAGATCTGGGTCAAGGAGAACGGAACGATGCCCTTCCTGTACGGCGGCAACACCGTCAAGGCGCACGTCGGTCGCTGGTCCGAGGACTGCCCCGAACACCAGGGTGTCGTCGTCTACAGCATGAACGATACCCCCCTGGGATTCGGTGTCACCGCGCGCAGCACCGCTGAGGCCAGGAGGCTGGATCCCACCGGAGTTGTCTGCTTCCGGCAGGCGGACTGCGGAGAGTTCCTCCGTGACGAGGACAACTTGTTTGCGACTGGTTAGTCTAGACGGTCGATACCAGGACATTACTGGCGTTGGGGTGTTTGTCCATTTGAGTGGCGTTCCGGGGATGGAAAAATTGGCAGTCACGTCAATCAAGATTTGGATTATCAGATAGGCACTTGTTAATCAAAGACGCTGTATTTGCTTGACCCCCCATCTATTTTGTATCTTATTCCATCATCGCTTGATTAATCTCCCGGGTCGGCGTTACTGGCCGGCTCTCTCTCCTGAAGAAGCCGACGTGTTGACGATGCACAACGTACTCGCTGTCCGCATATCCCAGGATGCTTTGGATATCCACGCTCTGGTGCCCTTTGATTCGAGAAATCTCAGCGGCTGCGTAGTTTACTATCGCCCTACCCACTTCTTGAGGCGCCTCCCAGAGCTTCCCATCAGGGCCAGGAGACCTGCGCCGTTGCACGAGAACAAGCCGAACGACTTCCTGTTGGGCAAAATTGCCTTTTACATCGACGACTCCTACCGGCAGCAGACCCGCCTTGCCAATTAGCGCCTTGTGAGCCCCCGAGTCGATATACAAGGTGCCATGTGGGTTCGGAGTGTGTAGGAGCCAGAAATGCCTGTCTCGGATGGGATCTTCTGAGGGCAAGAACCGTGTGTGCAATGGGACAGCCAAATCTTCTTCTGATGGGGGAGTTGATAGTCTCAAAGACGACGTTGACCGCGAGAGGGACTCCTCACTATGCTCCCCTGCGGACGGGGATGCTGACGAGGATGACTTTCGCTTTGATTGGAGGTAGCGGACGATGTTGAGAACATTTCCTGGGTTTGAGGACTTGGCAATAATTGTTGTAACTCCTGCCGAGGTTCCTAACCGGGCAGCGACGATCTTTGTGCTCATGCCACCAGTGCCGAGCGAGGAGCCAGCGCTCGATACTGAGCCGTATTAGTTCTTGATCACATGTCGTTAAACACATTATACATACCATCGGCTTGCAATGCAGAAATATCATCTACGACCTCAATGGGCTGGGCATCTGGGTTCGTGCGAGGATTCTTGTCATAGAGACAATCGACATCCGTCATGAGGAACAGCATGTCGGCATGGATCATAGCGGCGGTAATGGCAGAAAGGGTGTCGTTGTCGCCAAATTTGATCTCGGCAACGGCCAAAGTGTCGTTCTCATTGACAATTGGGATGACACCTTGTTCCAGCAAGGCGTTAAATGTGTTCTGGGCATTGTGATATCTCGTTCGCTAGGGTTGTAGTGTTAGCTTGGACGAATCCCACACCACTCCGGGGCGCTCATACGTCTGCAATATCGTTTCGGGTGAGTAGAATCTGGGCAACCGGCTGCCTCAAGTGGTTGAACAAGCTATCCCATAGGCTGATCAGGCGACATTGGCCGATGGCTGCCAGTGCCTGTGCGGGATGGTTAAAATCTCTGCCACAGGGGGGATTTTCGTCGACTCAAGTCTCACCTGCAGCTGTGCTAGATGCTTTGGTCGTTTTTCAACATCCATGCGTCGCAGACCAACTCCAATGGCCCCTGAGGATACAATGACGACTCGGTGGCCATCTTTGCGCAGCTTCACAGCTGTGTCGACGATGAGAGTCAGAATCGGCAGCAGGGGCTCGTGAGTCTTCTCATCGACGATGGAGCTCGTTCCTGTGCGCCAGGCGTGTCAGCGAGGGCAATTGGCAACCGAGAAAGCGGCGGTGAGACAGGAAACACAGGCCTGGAGTAAGCATACCCAGCTTGATGACAATCGTCAAGGGCTTATTCCCCTTCATATCTGCAACACGGCGGGGTTTAGGGATCAGTAAATATTCGTGGCGGGGTGATTGACTGATTGAGTCTTTGGCCCTGGGCGATACAACAACACCCAGGCTACAAAATATATATACCAGAGCTCAAGAGTCAAGACAGGGGCATCGTATCATGCATGAGGGGGACACCGCTTACATTGGCCGACGCTCTCACTTGTCATTTCGTACGCCCTGTCGTCTTGAATGTGGGACTGCGTTTTTGTCAAGCGTTGGGCGTGGGCGTCTGTGTTGTAGAACCCTGGCGATTCCTTCTTCAGCGGTTCGCTTGATTGGGCTGCCTGACTCGGAACGTAAGTTACTAGTGTAAAAGAGGTCGCCAGAACCGATGTCGGGCGAGGCGCTTTGACTGTTTTGGCCACCCATTTCGCTCTAGGGTTCTCACCGCCCTCGGGTGCGGGACCGACCCGAAGCGGCAGAATTTCTGCCGTGCAGAAGGCAGAGCGATGGCTTGTGTCGCGGCGACTATCACGAAAGCTATATACATCGATCGGTTCCTTGCCAAGCAACGACAGGACAATCACTAGCACCATCAACCAAGCGAATTGACTCTGGCCAGATCACGACCCCGGAATTCCTCGCAGCCATGGCATCCGAATCCCCGGCACCGACTTCGACCCCGGCAGCACCTCCAAGCCCCTCCTCCATCAAGCCCAAGGAGGTCGTCAACGATCCCTTGCGCACTGGCTTCGACCCCGAGACGAAATGGTGGATGAACTACTTCAAGATCCTCGCTGGCCAGATGACCCCCGAGGGCCAATTCCACTACCGTGAATGGCGGTACCGAGTCCACGAGGAGCGCGACTGCAAGCGTTGCGAGGACTACCGCGATTGGCTCTTCACCTACTCCCCCGTCGTGCGCTTCATGTCCGAGAAGATCGAGGGTCTCAACGGGCGGCTAGATCGGTCGAATGTCGTCTGCCGCCGCTGCCCCGCGCATCTGGAGGAGGACGGCCAAGTCCATCGCCAGTCTGGCGGCTTCAGCCCCAACCACGGCATCCTGCTGTGCGCTAACGAGGTGCGCGATCGGAAACACTTGGAGGATACACTGGCGCATGAGATGGTGCACGCGTGGGACCATTTGCGATGGAAGGTGGACTGGACCGGCGGCAAGGACTTGAAGCACGCCGCATGCACCGAGGTGAGTACTCAACTTTGGTTCCACATAAAACCGCGGACAGAATGCTAACTGTTCTACCAAGATTCGTGCGTCAATGCTCAGTGGAGAGTGCAGGTGGACCAGAGAGGCTTTCACGAGAGGAAACTGGAAGTTGACACAACAGTTCCAGAACTGCGTGCGGAAAAGGGCAATGCAGTCTGTCATGGCTCGTCCACAATGCAAAGACGAGACCCACGCCAACAAGGTCATCAACCAGGTCTGGGACTCATGTTTCTCAGACACTCGGCCGTTCGACGAAGTCTACAGATGATAGAATTTACCCTGTTTCAGGCGTGTATTATATAAGAAAAAAGACTCGACGAGGGGCTCCGAACCGAGCAGCGTGAAGCCCCTCTACTTACTCCAATGCCATTTAACGATACCCCCAGACAAACATATGAAAACAGCGTTCTCATTGCGTTTGACTGTTATGATTGAATCCACAAAAGAAAACTCGTTACTCCTTCCTATGCACACGCCCAATTTCCCTCGATGATGTGCCATATATATCAAAACGCCTTAAGCCCTTAGCATACCGGTGGGTTCATGCCACCTCATTACATCGTCATGATTTCCTCTCGCGGCTGGCAGCCTTCTCGCCTCCCTTGACACAGTGCTTCACGATCCAAGGGTGAACTTGAATTTGGTCAAGAGGAATTCGCTTCTCAGGGTCCAACACCAGGAGCTAATATCATGTTAGTCATTGAGGTCTCATTCGCAGTTCGGGATTGAACGCTTACCTTCTTAATGAGGTCAGTAGCCTCAGGGCTCACCCATGATGGGATGGTCATATCGCAGCGCGTAATCCTCCGTTGAGTGACAGGAGCCGAATCCTCGAAGGGTGCCTCGCCCACCAGAAACTCATAAGTCAGGACGCCCAAGCTCCACAGGTCAACTTTGTCGCCGTACCAGTTTTGCGAAGTGCCGGGCTTGATCATCTCTGGGGGAAGGTAGTCGAGAGTTCCGCAAAGGGTCTGTCTTCGGTTGCCGGGGGCGTGGACGCTCCATCCGAAATCCGATATCTTAATCTCGCCGTGGATACCGACCAGAATGTTCTCGGGCTTGATATCTCGGTGGATGACATGTTTGCCATGCAGGTAGCGGAGGGCTGAGGCCATCTGGGCGATGTACTGCGCAGCCTTCCACTCGGGGAAACGGTTCTCGCGTCGCAGGTGCTTGTACAGTTCACCCTTGCCGGCAAACTCCAGGATCAGGAAGATTCGCTTGCTGTCGTGGAAGTGACCGAAGAGCTTCAAGACGTTGGGGTGCCTCAAGTTGCTCTGAATCTCGATCTCTCTCTGGACCTGTGTCTTGATGCTCTTGTTCAGCTCACACTTGTGCAGCACCTTCAGTGCACAAATGAACCCAGTCGTTCGCTCCTTGGCGAGATACACTCGCCCAAACTTGCCCTTGCCGAGGGGTCGGCCGATCTCGAACATGCCGAGGTGGAATTGTTTAGGCATGCTCGGCTGCTTGGGAATGGTGAGGGCCTTGGCCTCGGCCTGCTCCTCGGAAGTCTCGCCGGAGGCGCGGGATGACGAGGAAGGGAGCGCTTTTCTGGGGGGAGATGTAGGGGAGGCGACTTTTCGTTGCGCGGCCTGCGAAGGCAGGGTGACGACGGTGTTGCTGGTTTGTGATTGAAGCGCAACCTTGAAGAGGTTCGGTCGACTGGCGCCGTGGGGGAGTTGCGAGGATCCCGAAGCAATTGCCGCCTGTTGCAGTCAGTACTTGATCGTCATGCGGTCGATATCATGAACAAATCGGTCGTACCTTGGACTTGGAGTAGACCTTGGACCCGTCGCCGAGAGGATCATTCTCATCGTTGACGGACATGCGCTCAAAGCGCGCCTCAAGGGTACGGGCAGCCATTGTGGTCGAGGACTGCGCAAGTGCTGGGGTTAGTAGGAAGTTGGAGGATGAAGAGGGTGTTTGCTTGGGAGAGTTCAAATACAAAGCGGCCCAGACATATATCGTGGTGGTCATGCTGGTGGACGGGGCAAACAAGTGCGGGTGCCCGGTTGTCGGGGCAACACGGCGCTTAGTGCGACATGCGACTTTGACTAAGCCCTGGCAACGGACCTCAGCTGCCATCATAATAACAACACTATTATTACCGCCACTTAAGTTGCAATGACACCCTATTTTCATCATGAATGGGTATTTGTCTAACCTGTAATTTTTAAGCCCCTGGGTATCCTATACTCGTGCGAAATTCGACGCTACTATGGCTAAATCATCACTCGTCCTCGGTGTCTTCTTTGCGCCATCATCCCAGCCTCAAAATCCAACTCCGGTATCAAAAACATCTCCAATGGAATCAATTCTAGAAACCCCATTTCCTCCAGCCTTCTCTTACCAACGCACCGAGGCAGGCAATAACTCCAATCAAAAACCTTCCCATCCCGTCCTAGAAGCCGTAAGGGGGTAGCTCACACTAAGCCCTTCTTAATTAGCTCCGCCAGCTCGCTTCCCCCAGGAATAGGCTTCTCGAAAAGAGCTCGTTGGATCTCCAGAAAGCGCTGCTTCGCAATATAAAACTTCTGCTGCTGGATGCATTTATTTGCATTACACATGGACTTCTTAAGAGCTTCCTCAGCTTGCAGGAGGTTGTCCATTGCCGTTCCAGCCCGCTGCGCCGCTCGCTTGGCCGAGTGGAACTGGTCCTGGGGTATTTCGCGGCGAAGCCCGACATAGTCGTTGAGGATCTGGCACTCCTCCTTCCAGTAACTGAGATTCTCGAGGATGTACCGGAGAGCCTCGGGTTCCTGCTCGTAGGTGTAGCGCAGGTCCTTGCGGGTCAACTCCTGGTAGTGATAGAGGTTGTAGTCGTTTTGGACATTGCCCCATAGGTGCAAGATTGGGATGATGCGTTTGAGGCGAGACTCGAGAAACTCGATCCTGGCAGGAATAGACTTGGAGTCAGGCCGGAAGACACGCACGTACCAGACCTTGCGCCATGCGAGGTATGCCTTCGAGAGCTCATCGTAGCCCTTGGCTGGGCGGCCCCAGAAGACCATGTCAGAAAACCAGGCTGGCGGCAGAGAAAAGAGGACTTTTTCCTCCAAGAATTTATGAGTAGCCTCCCTCTTAGATCTGAGGTCCCATTCTCGTTGAACCATTGCTGGGTCCAGCAGCAGGAAAGCGCGTTGGTTGGCATACGCAAAGCGCTCGGCGGAGATCCTGTAAAGGATATTGGGCGGTAACCACGCCGCATCCTCAGTCAAGGAGTTCATGATGTTTTTTGCTCTGGTATCATCTTGGCACTTCACCTCCCAGAACTTTGAGATGAGTGAGACGATGGTTTGAACATCCGCAGCATTGGCGTGGCCATTTGATCTTAGCCTTGGCATGTTCGGAACGAACCATTGGGAAATCTTGGTTGAGCCGTCGATATTCTTGGGGCTCAGTTCGGGATCCAGGGCCGGAGCAAACATCTCTGGCCGTTGCCCATCTGTAAGAACCTGGCAGCAATGTTTGGTGCAAGTCCCATAGCCAGTGTTGTAGATGAATGACATGCACTCAGCGACAGACGACTCCCTCAGGATCTGCTGGGCCTCCTCGGTGAGCGACCGAATAAACCGTCGGGTAGGTATCGGGTCGTCTTTGGTCATGTCGAAAGTTTCCGACTCCTGATCGGAGACGAGTTGTTCGGGGGGTTCTTGAGGGTTAAAGTAAGACATGTTGTGGACTGTGGACTGTGGACTGATGAAATGTTATAAGTAGAATGCGAATCGGGTGCCACTTGAACTCGCAGATAAAGAACAAGTCGTGGTATGAGGATCATTCTGCAGAAGGAGAAGAGATGGGCGATTCTTATAATAATTCCTGAAATCTCATCGGAGATACATGTGGTCAACTCTGAACCATTCGGGTACATCTGACAACTATTAAGGTCATGATGCTTTCCACAACTCCCTTGATGGCGACTATGACCCAATTATATACCATAGGCTCCAACTGGTAAGGCCAGCAAGGGACTCGGGTTTGAAATCCCATACCATTAACTTCTTTCTTTCTCCTATGACCGTTACCTTTGTGACTTTTAGAAATGGCTTGACAGAGCCCACTCGAGTTCCAACACGTCCTCGAGCATCCGAGGAGCCAGGCTAGCTGCAACTTGCCAGGTCCGCTTGTGATTTATGCAATTTTGGACGTTCCCTACTGTCGATAAAATATGTAGCTGATATTTGATTCATCCCTGCAAAATATTTGCGCCCCTTGTGCCTCTCGGGGTGTGTAAATTCCAACTCAACATGTGACGATATCGGGATCATGTCAACTTTGGCGGGGTAGAGCATTGCCCATTGCCGTTTGGAGCAGTTTCGGAGCTCCCCCACCAAACCCCACTACAGCTTCAACTTCGAATTCGAAACAGCAGCCTACTTCTGAAATCACTCCGCATCCGCCGCCCACATCCTCACTCTCGCGGCCCTGATCCTATTTAATTCTCAGAAACTCCCGCATCGCGCCAACATGAGCCACGTCACCGCCATGAACGAGCCCTTTCCGACGCCGCAGGCGCTTGCGGCCGGTACGACGACGCACGCCCAGCACCGCTTCCGCATCTCAACGCGCAAGCTCCCCATCTCCAAGGCCGGTGTCATCGACGACCTCACTGAGCGCCTCGGCATCCCCATGCCCGAGATGATCTTCGGCGACAATCTCGTTGCCATCACCCACGCGCCCTCGGGCTGGTCTATGGCCTTCTCCACCCCGGAGGCCCTGGACGCCGTCGACAAGACCGATCGCCGCATGCTCAAGGTCGCCTACGCCCGCGACTGGGAGAGCACCCGTGAGGGTACCACGCAGGGCATCAAGGAGGTTGTCAAGCCCTACGACTGGAGTTACTCCACCGACTACGCCGGCACCGTCGACCCGGCCGCCGAGAAGCAGTTCCAGCCCTCGGAGAAGCCCATCCCCATCGAGTTGCTGAAGCGCCGAGACCCGATCCTGTTCTTCGACGATGTCATGTTGTATGAGAGCGAGCTCGACGACAATGGCATCTCCATCTTTAGCGTCAAGGTCCGCGTGCATGACAAGCGCATGCTGCTGCTGTGCCGCCTATTCATGCGCCTCGACAACGTCATCGTCCGGGTGCGCGACACCCGTGTCTACGTCGACTTTGAAACGGACGAGGTGATCCGCGAGTACACTGCCCAAGAGGACAGCTTTGAGAACTTGAAGAGGGTGAGTCTAGATCTGCGTGCATCTGAAATCCTGTTAAATGTTCCTACTAATCCTTAAATCACAGAAGCTATTAATGTCTGGAAGACTGCCCGACGACATCACTATTGCCCTGCGAGATCCCAATCTACTTGCCCCCATGCTCCCCTTTGTCGAACAACGAAGAGAAGCCGTCAACTTGAGGGCATGAGACCACGACGACTGTTTTTGAGGGACTGCATTGCAAGTCGCGACGGCGTTCCGGATATATTTTATGCAAGTCACGACCCGCAAGGTGACAAAAGCCTATGGTAGCATAAGTGTGTTTTGATTTGATATCAGAAGGCATATTGGAATGGACCTCTTTTCCCCAATAGGGCCTGTTCCCAAGCTGTTGGCACATGCAAAAACCATCATTCAAGCTCATGAACCCCGTAACTCCCATATACTGATGGCCATATTTGACCCAACGCCAAGCAACTCCCTTTCCCCCAGCTTCCTTCGCACATTCATCGCGCCCCCTGCGGTGACGAGCTTTGTGTGACCTCCTCATACTCTAGTTCCCACTTGTCCACCTCGACGAACTTCTTTGCGGCCTGCCTCAGCTCATCTGCTGATGGGGTATCACCGCTCTGGTTGTCTCCGGTATCGAATGTGTCATCCGGGAGTGGTTCGAAGCGGCTCTGTTCGCCTTCATCATCATCTTCGCCCTCATTCTCCTTATCGGAAGATCGAGGGGCATATGTCCGGGTATTTCGTGCGGAAGGTCTGGTAGACGCAGGTGTCTGTCTTGGTTTCAGAGCTGAGTGTGCCGTACGACCGCCTCGTGAACGTGGCCTGGCTGATGTTGCACGGCTTGGTGGTCGGCTACCTTGTCTCCTTCGTGCGGCTCTACTCTGAACATACGACAACTCGTCCTCATCTTGTGGCATTTCCGAGGTGTCATGCTCTCCATCACTTTCCAGGCCAAACGGGTCGTCTCGTGCCTTCCTGTACCGACGCTTTGGGAGCATGCTTGTGAGATCAGCAGTAGTGACCTCGGGAGAAGGCTGGCGCCTCGCTGCAGCACGCCCTCTCGTCTTAGGGGCTTTGGACTCATTAAAATTGGGTGAGTGTGTTAGAGAGGGTGGCGAAGACATGTCCGACATATTATCAGCTCGAATTGGAGTAGTAACAGAAGGGCGTCTTCGTCGCTTCGCCAAGGTGTGGATATCGGGCCAGATATCAGCTCCACCTTCTGAATCGCTGCTGGCAGGTGGTGCAAGAATTTCATCCTCGTTGACAGGAGTGACAGGTCTGTCCGGTAGGATAGGGGAAGGCCCAAGCGGGGACGAGATAGACGACAGCGAAGACGAATCACTGTCGTTGGCGGCGTCTTCATCCGCCTCATTGTCTTCAGGCTCATCCAGCTCAACACGAGACATCTTCTCTGGCCTCTCACTGCTCAGTAGCGCATCTTCACTCTTTCGCTTCCTGGATCCGGGCTTGTCGCCAGCTTCTGGTGACTCGTCGCGTTCATCCTCCACATCGGGTGCAGGCTGAGTCCGGCGTCGGTTGTTCAAGGGCGTTGACTCCGCCTCGGGGAGAAAGTCCTCCTCGCTCTCAGAATTGTCCTCCTGCCCCGTGATAGTCTCGTCGGGTCGCGGTTTTCGTCCAGTGCCCAGAATGCTGGGTTCTCTTGCGCGTCGCCTGAAGGTACCGAAGTGCAGAGTCGAGCTGATACTTGGAGTGTTGCCACCACGGCTGCTAGGTCTGATTGGAGGATCGTTTCGGCCAATTATGCTGGACTGGCGTCGTCGCCCTTTGAAATTGCTCAGGTTCAGGGATGATGTGTCGGTTGATTGCACGCCCCTTGGGACATCTCCGTCCTCGAAACTGTCGTCGAGATCCCCGAACACATCGTCGTCAGCCAGATCCAGGCCCGTGGTGTCCCGTCTCTGAGCAGGCGTCGCCATGACGCGGCGTCCAATCTCAACGGAACTGCCCGACTCGGCATCATCGAGGGTATTACCGCTGGTGGTGAGGTCCTCGTTGGCTAGCCTGTCGAGGGCCGCATCGCGACGCTGGATCGCTGTCCGAATTGCCTGTTCGTCGGCGGCACTGGCGCGGGATCCCATGGAGCGCGTCGTCCTTCTTCGGCCTCGCTCTGGAGACTGAGCCGGCCCCGGGGCATCATTATCGCTGGCTTCGACTTCGGGGGTGGGCGGTCGTGCCGTCGGCTTGGTCGTCTGGGTTGGCGCACGACGCGCACGCTTCGGCCGCGGCATCGTAGAGTAAACGCAGGGATTGCACAAAGTATGGGAGGTTCTCTGGGCGTTCAAGCTGCCTTGTGAGGAGATTGATTTGGCTGCCGACAGCCCAGAGCTGGTGGTTGGAAAATTTGGGAATTTGGCACTTGGCGGACTCAAGCTACGAGGATATTGTGGGAGGGAAACACGCCCGCACACGCGACGCGACTGTGGTAGAGATACCGAGTAATACGCACCACACTAATACAGACTACCTGCATCGGGCGCTGGCCCACTGAAAAACGCCGGACGCTCGGACCACCACCCGGAGCTTGTTGATAGCTGCTCCGGCAAGTTAATATGGGATTCCAGACGACAACAACAATTCTCTTAAAAAACTTCAGACAAAAACTGGTTTAGAGTGTCATTTGATAGCATATTGCACGCTGGTATCTTCAAGGTTGAGATCGTCTATAAACAGCCACCTCAAGCAGTATACAAGTCCCTTCCTATTCCTTACACATGTCGCCACATGCCTCATGCCTAAAAAGTTAAGCGTCAATGCCGTTGTTCGTACAAGATTTTAACCCCCATCGTACACGTCATGTCAATATTCCACACACTTCGCCAACTAAATCAGAGCCTGTCCCATGAACATGCTGGTCTTCACCTCCGCCACAACGTCCTTTCTGTCGTCATTGCCAACAAGTACGATACCACGGCCACGACGTCCCATTCGTCCAGCACGGCCAAGACGGTGAATGAAGTCAATCGTTGTGTGAGGCACATCATACAGGATGACATGACGAACAGCCAGTGTGTCAATGCCTCTGGATGCCAGATCTGTCACGACAAGGACCCTCACATTGGGCAACGATCGGTGACGAGAGGCCGTCTGAGGCATGGGAATTCTGAGTGGCTCGGCCGATGTGAAAGTATCGAGAATCTCGCCATGACGCTTCTCGGGGGTGTCTCGGTGCAGAGCATCGGCATTGATGCCCTTGGACTGGAGGTATGCGGCTAACTCTTCCGTCTTCTCACGCTCATTCACAAAGACCATGATGCGGCGAACATCGAGTTCGTCCTTCACCGTGCCTTCGTGCTTAGACGCCTCGCGGCCGATGCCGTAGATGGCGTCAGCGCATGCCAGGTCCTTGTTGTTGCGGTAAGGATCTTTGGAGGCATCAATGACACCCAGTTGAACACGACGAGGGATGGCGTGGAGGTTAGGCGTCGTGATTCGAATCATCTTCGGGTGGTTGGTAGCCAGGTAGTTGTTGAGCTTTCTAGGGATGGTAGCCGAGCAGCAAATAAATTGCTTCATAGAGGGCGCCGCCCGCTCAATGATGCTAGTGGTCACTGGAGCGAAGCTTCGGTCAAACAGCGAGTCGGCCTCATCCACAATCAGGTGAGTGACGCGGGAAAGAATGTTTGGATCCGAGTCGGCGATGGATGCGAGAAGGTGAGGGGTAGAGACGATCACATCCACACCTCTGGGCCCGTACAGGTTGCGCTGGATCTGCTGAGGCTTCAGGTCGGACGCCAACATCTCCGTCTTGAACTTGGCCACATGGGAGATGGATTTGGAAACCTTGACAACCTGATGGGCGAGTTCGGCCGTAGGGACAAGCACAATAACCTTGGGGCGAGCCATGGTAGGGTGCGGCTCGTCAAACGGCTTGCCCTTTGCATTTCCTGCCTCCTGTCGCTCCTTTTCAATGATCCAGCGCTCCTTGTAGGACTTTATCTCCGGGTCTTCAGCTTCGGCGATCTTCAAGGCATCGATCGCTGGCAGCAAGTAGGCAAGGGTCTTTCCAGAGCCCGTCTCGGCCGCAATCAGGAAAGATTGCGTCTCCTTAGAGAGAGTCTTGCTGCCCACTACCGAGGTCTGGCCCAGCAGCGCTGGGATTGCCAGCCGTTGTACGGGGGTTGGCTTGATGTCGACCATGCCCTTGAAGAGCTCGTCGGTGAGGGCGACCTGGAGGGACGGAAGAAGGTCGAAGTTCTCAAAGGCATCGTACTCTGCCATGCGTTCTTTAACCGATGTCCTCCTCCCATATGAAATAGTCGTCAAGGCGCGCTGCATCTTAAGCGCCTTTCGGTCGTCCTTGTCCTCCCCTCGCTTGGTGTCCCTTCCCTTCCCTCTCGAGTCCTTGGACGTCAGGGCACGATTCCGCCCTCCTCGTCGGTCCGGGTCGGCATTAGCCACTTTCCTGTTCATGCCACCAAAGGGACCGGGGGCGAAGTTCTGGCGCTTTCGTCGGTCATCGCGAGACGGTGGGGGTCGGTCGACTCGGTCAGAGAGAACCATGCGGGAGGGGCGAGGCTTCATGTGGTTCGAAACGAAGCGCTGGGCGATGCATGACTGCAATGGGGCGCGCACTGCCGCGATGGGTCGACCCGTTGAAAGGCAGAGCGAACATATCGAGTTTGCTGTGACCCGATGCATTTTGTGGTGAAGAAATGACCGACGTGACGTGCCATCGGTTGCTTGAAAAGATTCGGTAGTGATTTGGGGCCGGTTTTTTTTCTGAACCTCCATGTCGGTCGTCGGAGCTATTGGGCCCGCGGCACGTGGAAGTCCGTTGCGGCAAGACTAAGGTGCTGTACCTTGCACGACACAGTGAACTACGCAACCTCGAAAAATCACTCGTGAAAGAATTGTATCAACATGTCAACAAATTTAAAGACACTTGCTGTATTATCGAATGAATAATGAGAAGGAAGAGCAGTTGGCCTATTCTGTTCCCGTGTTCGCCCATTCCTATCAAGTAGACCCTCCCCCAACTCATCGTAGAGAACCGTCAAATACACACGTTAACTATCGCACAATGCACCCTCGCATCTCACAATTAGCACTTCACTCATATGCAGGTAGGCAATATCCAAGCATTCGCAACTGGACCAAAAAAATCGTTCACTTGTCTGAGCCATTCCACCACCTAATCCCGACAGCGAGAGCCACTGCCCCGGTTAGTACTCTGTGTAATTCGTCAGCTTCACTCTTCGCCTTCATATCAGAGAGAATCAATTCACATACATGGGCAGCTTGTTGGCCGACATGCTGTTCAACAGCCCTGGGATCCGAGTTTCAGCGGGATTATGTCCGTGTATCACCTCTTGACGAGAACCCCTCTCTAAGACTGCAGCCTTCGCCTTGTCCTTCAGAGTAGCACCGGAACTAGTGTCAACACGGCTAGAGACTATGTTGTCCCCGGATTCTTCGCCAAGTGGCACTAAACGAGAATTTGTTTGGTCGCCTGTGAGTAGCGAGTTCGCATCTGCGACTTGAACGGGCACAACATTTGAAGTGGCGGCTAGTTCCATGCGCTCTTTGTCGGGAACAGACTCCTGGCTTGTATCCTGAGAAGGTGGCATCTTACTAACATTGTCTTTCGGGATTTCTTCTGAGGACTTCATCGCGACGGCTTCATCCTCTTCGCTCGGAGGAGATCGTGGTTCTTCAAGAACTGAAGCGGTGTTCGGGTTTGGCAACGAGATGACTGGTGGGCCCCGTAGGTCGATGGCATCGGGTTTGGGTTCTTCTGCAATGGAACCGAGGGACACTACTGATCGACTTCTCCCGAAGCTGCTATGGGACAATCGGTGTTCTCGAGTCCTCGTGCTATTAGGAGAGAGGCTCATCTCGTCCACGGTGTCAATGTTAGGTCGATTAGAGGAGACAGCTCGAGGCGAGGATTGAGTGTCGTCGAGATGAGGTTTGTCCTCGTCTAGGTGAGTTTGGATCGTCCGCAACGCATCTAGAATAGATGTGCGATCGGAGGGAAACTTCTCGATGGTAGGGTCGTTGAGATCAACATTGACCGGGCTGTGGTCGTCTGATTTCAGATTGACGTCTGACTTTGGGGGAACGCCTGGGCACGCCTCCTCTTCAGATTCTTCATCTTCAAAATCATAAGCGCCCAAACACTCATGGGCAAAGAGAGGTGTCTTCAACTCGTCGGCCACATCCTTGCTGTTAGTTTCAGGTTCGGGGATATAGACCCGAGTTTTGGGGTTTGGCGGTGGTGGATCATCCGCTCTGCCGTTAGTCAATAGGTCGTTTATACCGTTAGGGACGGCCTGTTCATCAGACACAGGCTTCGGGACATTTAGAACATTGTTCTGGTTACCCGAGTCGTCCGTCGCTGCAAGGTATGAGACATTATGGACATATGTGAGAGGATGATGAGAAAGAGCATACCGATGGGATAGTTCTCAGCTAAAATCCACCAGCTACCCTCGCCCATTCGGAGCTTGAATTGGTAGTCCTCGCCGGGTGTTATCATGACCTCGGATTGGAACGTATGTTCTCCATCGTCCTCCGTCTTGTATTCCATCTCCTTCGGCTCCCATTCTGGGTCAGAAAAGGAGCCCGCCAGGAAAAGGGGAGGCGCAGTTCCTGGCCTCTTGAAGGTGATGGTAGAAGGAATCTTGGATGACATGACGAAAAGCGATGATGGAGGAAGTATTCGGCTTTATGCGACTCGTTCGGAGTGTCGGAGTGTCAGGGCGTTAGATGACCGAGCCGAGCGTGATGGACGACGGTGCCGAAGGGAGAGAATGTTGAATCAGGTCAGGCGAAGAAGAGCGACGAAGGCAGTACGGGAGATGTTACGGAGTCCCCAATCTTGGAAATTGATGCTAGAAAGGCATCGTGTCAGTTCTGGTCTCGTCGGTGTGGGATGCTGCGAGAATCAGACGACGGGCCGGGGTACCTCTGGTGGCAATGCTATGGTTGGAGGTGTCGCGACGACATTACAGGGAATCCAAGGATGGAAAAGGCGGACAGGATGGAGGAGCTAGGGAAAGGAGAAATGTGTAAATGTGAGGACGATGATGCAGCGCCAGCTGTTCAGATGAAATGACGACACGAGCTGGGACACGGCGGCATTGTTGGGAAGGTGGTGAGTGAGTTGGGGTAAGAACAAGGCACCGCAACGGCCGGTAAAACGGCAGGTACCTGGAGGCTGGGCAGGAGGCGTGCACGTGAAAGATGGGATGGGATGGAACAGTACATGGACCATGTACCGGCCGACTTGTGCTGGAGTTACGTCTCGGTTCTAATGGAGAAGAACGCATCATCCGAATGCGTGCAAAGTCGGGTCAGGTACTCGACGACGTAACAGGTAAGGGGAAGGTACTAGGAGAAACTTAGTGACAGATCGAAGGCAAGGAGGCAAGGAGGCAATGCAAGTCAAGAGGGGGTTGGTGGAGTGGAGAATGCGCGCCAAAGCTGAATCTAGACGGCGAAGACTGCAAAAGCAATGCGCCGGTGGGTGGCGACGGGCGCGGATGATATGAGGCGAAGGTGACGATGACGGGAATGATGTTGACGATTGTGATACCAGGTGGAAAATGGAAAATGCTAGCCGCACCTCAGAGCTATAGCTCCGATGCCAGCACAAACCAGGGCCCAACTCCATGACTTGCAGACTCCAAGTACGTTCAAGACAGCTGATGCAGTACGACAGATCCATGAATGGTCCTAAATGTCTGGGGAAGACAGCCACCATCTGGACTTGTCACATGTCAAAGTGACCCAGCGGGCTGGGCAAACGCAGAGGGCGGATTAAGTCTCAAAAACATGGAACTTGTCCAGATATTGGTATTGGCGACTGAACCCCGCATTCCCTGAGAGCGCTACAAGATAAGACATAATTAAGGGATGGGCCAGCCCTCCCTTACTGTGTATGTGGTTGGGCAATCCCCAACCTCAAGAACCTCGGGCTTCCCGATCGAATGAATATCCCTGTTGAGAGATGAAAGCTGTCTTCATCGGCTGATGATAGATCCGTTGTCATTTCATCCGATGAATGCTGCCAACCACCGCCAGACAGTGGTACTGGCCCCGAACAACCCCGACAATTTGCCCAATGCAGGCCTTAGTCTTCCAGTACTAATGCCCTGATAACGAAATCTGAAATCCGGTACCAATGATTCGGCTCCAGCCAGAATATGATGCCACCAAGAGCGTTCGTACCTATCCAAACGCCGTCATCAAGCGCGATGTTAGACGTCAACTGTGGATTGGCCCTTTCTAAGCTGCCCCTCCACTGTAGCTCTCCCACTCTCCACCAGAGGCCACGCTAAGCTGCCACTAGATGCCCCCACTATCCGGGTGAGGCTCTCAGCGTCCTGAATCTCCACATGCTCAGTCCGGCAACGCCGTAAACCTCTGAGATTCAATTTCAGCCGCATCCATCTCCGAGTTCGCGCCTTTGATATTCAGCCTCCAGTCCGCAGTCCGGCCTCCAGTCTCTGTTGGCTTCGGTCTCTTGGCGCATCATCACAAAGGCCTTGGCTAATCTACCCCCTATACAGCCTCAACTCAGCTGGCGACCTTTGAGCAAAAAACTCTCCGACTGGGAAACATCGAAGCCCATCAGAAGACAGAACCGCCTCCAACCTTCCCACATGTCCATCCCGCCACAACTCATCCGTGTCAAACGGAAACGTGTTGATGAGTCACCCGTGACCTTCCTCCGTATGTCCTCCCCTACGCCGTCCCCGTCTTGCGAAGCATTCCATCTGACTCCGTGTAGAGTTTGACGAAAACGCGAAGCGACACCGGACTGGAAGCAACTGGGTATATCAACGCAGGCAAGCTGTAACCCAATCGCCGGCAGATGCTTCTGCGAGGATTTCACGCGATGCCAAGCCCATCATCCACGTCTCGAGCCCCGACGATGACCTCTCCAAGACGAGGAAACACAATGAAGCCCAGGTTGCGCAACCACCAGGCAATGCCCCCGATACCCAGATCCCGAAACAGTCCGATGCCGACAGACTGGCCGAACCGCGACGCTTCCACATTTCAAGAAAAATGATGATGCCGACTGGGGGCAATGCGCCAGGTTCGGGAGTCTCGAAGAAGACACGATATGGCCCAGCCGTGTTTGTCGAGCGCAGTCGAGCTAAGGCAACCAAGCGGGCTTCACGAGCCACTACCTCGTCCCAACTATCGCCAGCTGAGACTCCTGGGAAGCATGATGAGACTACAGAGATGGCTGTAGACGGCCCGGTTGAGGAGCAGCGCCTCAAGCGGCCTGGTGTTAAGAGCAGATCGCGTTCTCCTCAACCACGCACCCCTCTACCGGCGTCCGCCACGAGCCCCCACAATCAGGACATGACCAAGGTTGCGGCAGACATGAACGATTGGGTGATGAGAGAGATTGGGGCGAACCTCGACAGTATGGAACAGGAGAAGCAGAAGTCAGAACGAGCCAAGTTTAAGCCCAAGGCCCCGGCAAAAAGATATCAGGATCGCCACCCCGGAGTCGCCCCTGCTACTCCTCAGCCCGCCGGGGTTGACACAGCAATGAGCGACATCAGTGATCCTGATGACGATGATGATGAGTGGGTCATTGATGAATACGTCCGCATTCCGGCACACGCCATGACCGTGGGAGTCGCTCCTACTGATGTGGGATTGCTGGTCCTAGATGGCAAGGAGGATAACAATTTGTTCTTTGGACCAGAACGCGACGAGGACGATGATCTCGATGATGACGAGGACGATGAAAACGGTACGTTCCTATTATGAGGCGCACAACCCAGTGTGAGAAGTTTTATCGGGCGAGCAGGCTAACAGGAGAAATGTGATAGCCGAAAACTACTACACGGCTGATTACCCCGAGGACGAGGTTGCGTCAGATGATGAGTATGGTCTGCAACCCTACGGCTATCGCAATGGGAACGCCTCAGACGACGAGGAATTCGACAATGCGCACTTTGACGAAAGCGACGACGAGATGGTGATAGAAGGGGCCGACGAGGATGCAACCATGGCCCGCATCAAGGCGTACATGAAACGAAGCCGCGCATTCAAGTAGTGCAGACGGGCCACTGGGCGCTCGACACCCTGGGCTGCACGATACAACGCCTCATGTTCGACGGGGCGGCACTCCAACATAGACAATACCAATATGCAGCAAACAATGACGCGTGGGTGTGAATATTGGACAAACACACGCTGTGCTACCGATAGATACTCTAGGCCAAGCCAGCCACACCGCCAATGCCCCCGTGATGCGTGACACCATCTCCATTCGTCCACTAGCCGAACCTGCAGCACAGGGCGGCCGTTGGGCCTGACCGTTGATTGCCAAGGTCCTCGCGCATCTCCAATCGCAACGCGGCGTCTTTGAGACTCGGCTTTCCACACAGCGTGCGCACTCTATCTGTTCCTATCGCGGGCGAGTGCATATGCAAAACCCGCCTTTCTTGGTCCTGGTATGCAGTGGGACTGCAGGAGGGTCGTATTGACGGGGGTGAGACACGTGTACCCAGCGTGGTCCTTTTTTGGGACTGCCAATCCCCCGGGCTGCGTCGACCGGTCTAGAGGGCTCTCTTTTCTCTTTGACAGACCACTCCAGCCCTGTTCCCTCAACTACCCAGGATGTGTGACCAGGATCAACGCCACGCGGGGGCGACCGTGTGTTAGTGGGGGGTGATGACAGAAATCAGATAAATCATAATATGCCAACCGGACGAAGCCACGGTGGAAAGTAGCATTGCGAGAGAAAAAGAAACTATGAAGTACCTATAATCATGTAGCCTTTGTACACGCTGACTTGTTTACCGTGCCCAACGCCACTAACAATAGTCACGCTCATGCCGCCCTCCTCATTATTTTTGAATGTCAATCATCTAATAGTACAACTGTGGCAATAAGGCCACGAGGACACAATGGTCCTCTGGTCCCATACCTAACATCTCCGGGACTCGTCCTCTCCTTATTCTGCCTTCTCTCCGTCTCTTGTCAAATGGTAGTCATAAATGGGGACAAAGGAAATGGGGTAATAGTACATGAATACATAAATGTTCGTATCGTCGGAGCTTACGTCCGGTCGTATCGGGTGATTGGTTGGTAGCAAACGACTCGAATCCTTTGTCTCGGGGGAAGGGCCAATGCCACTGTCGGACACCGCCTTCAGCTTTCATGCGCTCTTTGTCTAGAGCTTCATCCGGCGTTGCTCTTTTCTGTGTCTCCGATCTCGTCGCTCGCGGTATTGCATGGCACGTTTCGCAGCTGTATATATAGTTAGAGCAAAATCCTTTTCGGGGGGGCAGCAATTTTAAATCAAAGACTTACCCCAGTCGCGGGCCTTGTGCTTCAGCTCCGGGTCAACCCATGAGTAGTTGACAGCACGCTCGGGGTAGCGCTGGGCGAGACCAAGGGGCTCCATTGGTTTGTCCTGGCTGTCGCGCTCACGGCACTTGATGCTGACATGCTGGGGCTCGAGCTCATCTTCGTTGTCAAAACACAGCCAGCCTTCCTGGTCCCAGATGGGGATGCGTTGGTTCATGCGGTAGTACCAGGCCTGGAGTCCTTGGACGGTACGCTCAGGCGTGCAGCCGAAGCGCACGGCAAATTCCTGCTTGATCCGCTGCCACTTCATCTTCTTGTCGTGCCACGCATAGATGATGAAGTCGCCCTCTTCGGTTGTGTACTTCTGGTTGATGTGTCGGTTCTCGTATTCTGGGGGTGGGCTGGGATAGCAGTCCATGTCTGGGCTGTTCATGGAGTAGCCATGGTAGTTATCTAGGGCCATGTAGCTTGGAAGTGGTTGCCGGAGCTGGTCAGCGGCGAGCGCGTACTGGCTCAAACTGGCAATCGTTCCTCTTCTTGAGACGAAGAAGTCGGCGGCGGGATCCTCAAAGCTACGGTCTCTGAGTGGCCATGAAGGTCGAGATGGGGTGACTGGCTGGAGGACTGAGGGGCTTCGAGTGATGCTGGGTAGAGTCCAGGAGTTGGCAGGCCCATGAGTTCGGGCCAGCGCCTCGACGCCTTGGTCAAACTCCCCCAAACTGGGAAGTCTGACGTGTGGGCTGCAGCCAAGCGAGTTGAGGTGAAGGATACCGGGAAGTGAAGTGGATTCCTGTGGAGAGCCTGAACACAGGCCTACTTTCTCAGTTAGTTACGAGTTGGCTATCCAACTAGCAGGCCACATGGGAATTACTCGCCCTCAATATTCATTCTAGGGCTCCCGGAGACTGAACCTGGAGGGGTCTGTGGTTGAAGCTGTTGCTGGGCCAAAACCGCCAAGGAGAGATTGCCCCTCGAGATGGTCGGTGCCATAGAGGGGGCCCCGACGACATCAAGCAGAGGCTCAATACCCATAGTGACGGAGAATTAGTCACAGACCAGGCGGGACTTGAAGAGGGCTTCCGTTGACGAAGACTGTTCCAGGAAGACGGACGTCTCCTCTTGAAGGGTTATAAGACAGCACAACTGCGGGTCGAATCCTTAAAGGATAGAGGCGGTTCCGGGGCAAGAAGCAAGACAGTGTCGAAAGTAGACGCGTATCAAAGCACTGGTGTAAGGCAAGGGGAAGGTGAAGGTCTTAAGTAGGAAGGGAGGATTGACGGGAATACTGTATACATGGGGTTTATGTCGAGATATGGCATCGAGACATGAGGGGCTGTGGCTCTCTTTGTACTCACGGCCGGCAAAGTGTCGAGACCCTAGCCAAGTTGAGGGACGTCCAATCACTTCTACTAATGCAGGCTTTTCTTCTGCTCCTGCCTGGTACCTGAATCAACAGTGATAAGCCCCGGAGGAAATGGCACCGCTGATTGTCTCGACTTTGCGAGGGTCTGTGTGCCACCCCTGCGGAACACGAAAGGGACGCTACCAACAGGTCCAAGATGCGGTTGGGCAAAGCGCCTCTTCTGGACTCTGGGCGCCCCCTCCTTCATCCACCAGACAGTGTGGGCCAATGTGCAGTTTTCGGCAAGGACTGTACCTGCGGCTATGAGAGACAAGTACGTACAGCGTCTCGTGGTTGTAAGTTCAGGGCAGGCTCTCCGAGAGGCTCTCTCGGAAGCACTGTCGACACACTCCCGTCCCGGAAGGATCTACCTTGCTTTGCCGTGGCGGTCGCTTGCTGCAAGCTGACCAGGTATATCATCCACAGTGGAGCGCGGGGATGTGGGTGTATAATGTTCCAAGACAGCGGCTGCAAGTAGGAGGTAACAATTGGCCTCAAACCCGCCTCAGAGAAGGGCAAAACAAGGCACCTGCACAGCTTGTGATGTGGGAGCAGCGGTATGTCATCTGCGTATGTACCAGGCGTCGTATCAAAAACAGAGAAGAGGATGTTTTGGGCCACCACCACCTCACTCTCACACACAGCGAGAGTGTAAGAGCCGCCCTTGGCTCACAGTCCCATCACTTTGGGGAGGGGTCCCGCTCCGCCGGCAAGCAAGGGGCTGATAGCTAGCGGAGAGACCCATCCACGGCAACTTGGCTAACCACTGTGACTGTGTGGACTCAGCGCCGCGTACATGGGTCCGGAGGCGGGCGACATTGAAGAGTCGAACCGCACGGTCCTCCAGGGGATTGACAGCCAGCTATGGATCCCTATTGATCAGAGAGGTCAGGGACCGAGACCCGAGATGATGGCGGCTGAAGTAGTGAGGTCGCTAAAGTCAGCACTGTAGGTGCAGGCTGGGCCAGAAGCCCACATCTGGGGCGATTGACCAGCCGTCCTGACGCACATTAGATCGCGAATCAAAGCTGGCACTGTTCAGGGTCAACCCTGTCGCTTAGATCCTTGCCAGATCTTGTTCAATTGGCCCGAGATGGTTGCGACGTGCATCTGGCCAGGGTCTCGAAGCCGGGGGTTGCCACTGCACTGGGCACCTTCCAAGCCGCCAACCGCGTCGCAGACGCTGCAATTGAGCTGGCGGACTGGTGCTGAATGACGACAGCCGGATAGCGATATTGGGAAAGTTTGTTTGCCTTTCCTCCCCCTCCCCCTCCCCCTCCCCTCCCCTCCATGTCCCCCCGTCCTTCAATATATTGGCCACAATGAATGGCCACGGCGGTCGACTAGTATCAGCCTGCTAGAACAGTGTTGACGAGGAGAGCGTGATCATATCCATTTCAGAAGAAGTTACGAAATGTCCTTGATACCACCCCGAGAGTCAGCAAGCAAGCAAACCAAGCAGGCCAGGCAGATTGTGGCATGTATTCGACTAGAGAACACGCACGCGGCAGGCGGAGTCCCGTCCAACCTCCGTCATATGACAGGCAGCCTTGACAGCCGCCACCACGGTCGTAACGGGCTCAATCGTTGTGTGGGGGGCAGGCATCGTCGAGACTCAACGCCGCGCGTGGCCCTGTTGGCGGGAAACAGCAAGATCGGCGATTGTGGAGCACAAAGGGTTGATGGTTTCGTTCCCTACCTTACGTGCTTGCCCTCCACCCTTACCCTCTATCTTTTACCTTTCCACACCAGACTTAGCGGGATGCTACCGTACTGCATGTTACTCTCGAGACGGTAAAAGTAAAGGTAGGGAGGGCACTGGCATAGCTCCATACAAGGACAAGGGTGCTGGTGTAGTCGGGCTAGATAATCCTGGAAAGGACCAAAAAAAAAGCGGATGAAAAACTGACAGGTATCATGCTTGGAGCCCCAGTTCCGCTTGAGTGCAGACGCTCGACAGCGAACTACGTCGTCGGCTTCGAACTCCTCGACCTGTCGTTTCTTCTGGCAAAACAAGTGCGACCACTAGCCAATTGTATGTCTCGATGGCGATGCAGGGCCACCCAACTTTGGGGAGGGGCGAGTTGTAACATTGGTGAGGGATGTCATCGAAGCCAGAGGCTCAGCTCTGCCATTCCCCCTCCACCCAATCTCTCAGTCTCGGTGGCTTTCTCCTCGTCTTCACCAGGCAAACTCTTTGTGGCATGGCGTTGATGCTCCTGTCCACTCTTCTCTCTTCTCCATATCGGCACGTTCGTGGATTCCCAGGCGCGAGTAAACGCGGGCAAGCGGCTGGAGTCGGGCGGCACGCAAACCGGCTGGTCGGTGTAATTAAGCGTCTGAGCCCATAGCGAACGGGCCAAAATTCAAAGAGCCAGAATGGCGGCTGATATCCGTTAGAACGGCGCGTGAGCCACCACTACCACCAGCTGGACGGGCATTGCAGCAAGGCGTCGCTAGGCAAGGTAAGGTATGGCATGGGCATGGCCGTCATTTGGGCCTGCATCGGGGCGTCATAGACTCCTGGTGATAAACGTAAACTGTGTCACCAACAGCTGAGGAGTTGCTTTTTGGCTCTGTGGTTCTTGGCTGGGGTTTGTTGCCCCGGTCGCCGACTACGCGTTAGGCCGGCCGCACATTGTAGCAAGCTGGAGCACGCCACCACCTGCTGCCCGCCCAATTCGGCCAGTGGTGCAGAAGGCTGTCGGCTGCTATTGAGGCGTTAGTGGTTGTGGCAGGCAATGTAAAGTGAGAGATGACCAGCGAGATGCCCGTGCTCTCGCAGTTTAGCGAGGAGATATGACCGACAGAGCCTCGCAACAAGCAACGTGGAGCAGAGGGCCGGGGTTACGTTGGGACTGCCATCCCGTCACAGGTGATGATGGATGGTGCACTGCGCGGTTCTGAAAACACGGGGCCATCTCCTTGTTCCTCAGGCATCAACATCCACCTGTGGTCCCTCCTTCCTGGTGCAAGCTCCTGGCGTCTGTCGCGCTAATTGTTGACTACCTGCTTCCCTCGGTCGCGATCCTTCCTCCGTCCACTGCAGCACTCTGGACGTCCGCTCTGTGTTGAGGGGTGATGGGTTTTGCCTTTGTGCTACACCAACTCCAACTACAGTACAGGTACGACGCATGTCAGCGAATGTTTTCTTTTTCTTTGTTTTGGTTCTGTTCCGCTCTGGCCAGTCAACGTCGCTCGCTCCTCCCTCCATCTTCACACACTCCCTCTAGTCGTACACGGCGTTGCGGAGCCGTCCCTGCCAATACACCGAGCCTACCGAATCAGACAAGAGCCGACCACGTCTCTTAGTCTTGCCTGAGGCCCTATCCGAGCTGTGATCTAGAGCGAGTCGAGTCCTCCTCTCATCCGCCGGTCATCGTCTTCCTTCTGATGACCGGCATCCCCACTCCCCCGGTTCACTTCAATCCACTTCCATCCACGCATCTTCCCCACGTCTCAACCAGGGGGACGGACCGTTCATATGGTGGTTCGCGCTGGCGTGCTACGATTCCACGCTACTGCACTCCTAGATTGTGTAATACGCGCGGAGTAGTTTGCTCCCGGTCTGACTTTGCCTCCATGTCTTTGCCTCCGCCAAGCGCCCCGGCCTGACATGAGAACTCCCACAACCACACTCAAACACCATCGTCTCCCACTCTCCAAGCCACGGCCCCTGTCTCCAATTGTCTTGTTTTACTTCTTATTGATATCAGTGTGCATCGTGTTCGTCTGAAATCCCATCCCCCGCTACACGAGGCTCGGTGATCACAATCAGATACCCATCAAACCCACGCTGTCAGTGAAAAAGTCTCGCATCGGAGAGTTTCTACCTTGCTCGGATCCGCAAGCAGGTACAGCCGGTATCTGAAGAAACCTCGGAAGAGAGACGCCATCGATCCCGTTCCGCCCACCCTTCCCTAGCCTCGTCTTTATCTGGGCGGCATCTCAAGATGCCCCAAGCCTCACCGTCACCCGGCCGCCGGACGGGTGGCTCGGCGTGATCATTCTCGCATATCACTTCTCAGAATCAGGGTACGGTTCTACTGCACTTGGGCAATCCGGCGTCCTCGGGAACACACACACATATAGCTTAGCGAGTTTTGGGACGGATGTAGTCAAGGGAGTGCCTTCTTGAACATCCGCGGCTGATGAGTGGCTAACCTGTGCCGGTCCGGATGACGGACACTATCGAGGCTTCGCTCCCCACTATCATTAGCGAGGCTTCAACCTTGCACCTTGCAGCAAGGGATGTTAGCACAAGGGACAAGGGGTTGCAGATCGATGGAGATCCCGTGCCCATCATGGTTTAGTGCCGGGGTCATGATCCGTCCCCGTGTGTTCGTCCGAAAAATAGACCAACCACCCCCATCACACCATCCAACAGCACGCCAGTACGCCAGCACACTGGCACACGTTAGCCTTCCGTCCCAAAGTCCCTAAAACTCCCTTCGTCACAATCCCGATTAGTAGCAAGTGACCTCAAAGACGGTTTGATGCTGGAGTCATCCACACCAGAGTTGCCAAACACATGTTGGCAACTCTGGGTTTGTATCCTTGCATCCTGTCCCGCAGTCCGTTTTATGAACTGCATAATTTCCCACACTACCCTTGTCCCCCTGCAATTAACAGATGCTCACAGTGGCTACAAGAAAGAAGAAAGTTGATCAACGTCATCAGATGCTAGCCGATACGAGGAGGCTCAGCATCTTGCCTGAGGGTCCAATTAGAGTATCGATGTGCTTGCACTCGAGATTTGAAGGAAGATGGGATGAACGCCGCAATGTCGGTAGCCATTTTTCCGTCGCGGAGGTCGGTAGCTAACCCAACTATCGATCCAGGGATGTCTGAGGCGCTGGCAGGCAATGTCCATATGTGGCAACACGATGCAAGCCTCAGGTGGTATTATTTCAAGTTTCAAGCCCTCGGCAGCTGCTCCATAGCCGGCACGCCGTGTGTCCATGTATTAGGGTAGGGGTCCGTCTGTGCGCCAGACAATGTCTAGGCTAGGTACTATCGCGCTCATACACAGCCATCATGGGGCGCCCTCGGCCTCACACGTCTCACAACTGGGCATTGTCTGATGGCCTATTAGCTTTCACTCCGTCTCTCGGAGGGAAAAATCTGATCTAGAGGAGACCAAGTACCTGCAGCAGACTGCGACTGTGCCTCCACGGCCCTACCGCAAATCTCACTAAGTGTCGGCACGAGTCTGATCGCGGCCTGGCTCTACAGTTTCGCATCTGGCTCTTGGGACATTGATCCAGTTCCAGCAAAGGACTCATCCCCTGAAAACATCCTGATCTTAATGTCAACGCGGCCCGAGATTGAAATGATTCACCTGGTGGCGGGGAGAAGCAAGTGACAGCTAAGTGGGGATATCAACTTACCAGCCTCGCTCTTCTCCAGAGCTTAGGAAACTGCAATCGCTATCGAGCTCGCATTCCCAATTTCCCATGTCTTCCGCGTCGGCAGCCGACATACCAGACGCGCGTTCTGTGCGTTGTTTGTTAGAATCTCTAATGCAGCCAAGGTTGGGAGCGCACTTGAGCTGCAAACTCACCCGTAGTCACGCTGCCCTGTGCGCCTTGTCTGCGGTAGACGCTTAACCCGCAGGTGTAGGCGTGGAAGTCCTTTGTTTCAACACTGTCTGGAATACGGCCGGTGAGGACACGGCCCAGAGCAATGACGACGGCGGCATGGGTGCATAAGACCACTGCGCGTTTTCCTTCCGCGTCACAGCGGTCGATAATGGATTGCATTGCCCCGGCAACTCTCCGGTAAAGGTCATCAATCCCTTCCCCCTTTCTCGACGGCGCCAAGGCGGAAGCGTATGTGTCATCATAAGACGGGAAGAAAGCCTTTAGTTTCTCGGGTGACGCTGGGATTGGATGATTGAACGGAGCCGCGCCAAAGAATTCACAGAGTCCATACTCGGGACGGATGGTTGCCGCCGTAGCGTCGGTTCCAGCAGGTGCATTTTCTAGCTGCTGCTTCTTGAGCTCCACGAAAGGGGTGATGGTCTCAAGACACCTGTAGTAGGGACTAGAGTACACGACGTCGACTGGAGGGTCCAGGGTCATCAGGTGGGTACCCATCTGCTTTGCCTGAGCGACTCCATGGGAGGTCAAGGCTGGGTCTGCGGGGATGCCAGTGGGCGAGGGGATGGACGCTGAGTAGATGCCTGTGGAAGGGTCGACACTCCAGGTAGACCGGAACTGATACCAGGACCGGCATGTCAACACTGGATGGAACAAGGGGAGATAAGTGGCTCTCAGTAGGAGGGTTTGTCGCGGCTGATAGCCCGTCCTCGTCGGGAACTTACGCCGTGGCGGGTAACGTAGATGACCTCGAGAGGCATTTTTGACTTCCCCAGATGAGTAGTGGGTGCGGATGGTTAAGCAGCGTCGGATAGCGTCGGATGAGAGCGATTCGAAGAGGCGTGGAGTTTGAGTCGACGACGAGCAACTTTGAACCCGGCGTGATGCAAGATCTTGGTGGACCTCGGGATCTCGGTAGCGAAATACGGAGTACTGACATGACGATCTCGTGCAACGTTAGGGTCGGCCCCACCTAAACGGCGTCAGCGGCCCAGCTCTGGCTTCGCGCCGCCCTCTTCGGTCCCAGGAATGCGGCGCCCTCTCACAGACAACCGGCGCCCTCCTGGTGATAGGAAAAGGTTGGCTTTTCTTGGAAGTTTAGAAGTCTAGGTGAGATGGCCGACGCGGTGGAAAGAGAGATGGAAAGAGAGAATGCCATGAAGGAGGTTGATCGTAAGCTTGACGGCTGAGACTGGTTCACTTCGTGCTGGCAGGGTTTGGAAATAATGGCCCAGTACATTGTCGGAGGATTCCATAAATGAGACGTAGTCTTTGCCTTGAGTTCACTCGTCATTGACAGTTTTTATTAGCTGAGGGCTTGGACGTCTAAATTGAAGTTAAGAGGTGGGAGTTGGTGAGTGAAGTCGTTACGCACAATATTATGGTTGTGGTTGGTGCCACCTCACTTTGCATACACAGCCGAGCTTTGTTATAATTCAAGAAACCCGTATAGAAATTATAAGCCCCAATAATGCTACAAATTTTTTGGGCTGCAGAATCCCAAGAGTCCTCATCTTGTCGTGCTTTAGGGTGGCGCCAATTAGGCCAATATGAAGAACCATCCAAATTAGGAAGTTTTAGGTAGCTAAAAGTGGGACTCCATAATGCTGTGGCTGACATCAGCCATTTTGGCTGACATGAGCCCTCATAATCACCGGCCGCAGCCGTCGCAAGCTTCCACTTACACAATCTCCTACGCCAAGCACCTCGCAGTTCAAGACACTGATATACAATGGAAGAAGGATATATAGTGGATCCTCCGAGTGGCACGCAGGACGCCCCGGCCGAGAAGCCCTCCACTCGTAGGAAGGCCGTCCGCCGCCGCGACCCAGACAAGAGGCGCCTGCAGAACCGTATGGCCCAGAAGACGTACAGTAAGTACTACGGGGGTTTGTTTCCTAAACCAGTAACTGAAAGGGAGTTAACGACTGCTATTGGACGGCTCTCCGGGATATGTGCTTAGATGAATAAGTTTGGTTTGGCTGACATGATCCATTTCAGGGGAAAAACAAAAGAAGAGGATCCAGGAACTAGAGCTACTTGCTGAGGGATCTAACTCGGTCAATGTTCCGTCAAACGACCAGCAGGGTGTGGTGGAACCTTCATCAAGTTCTGTCGACATTACAGGACAGGCCTCCCTCGAGGTGTCGACGATCAACCCGTCTCAGCTCCAACCCAGCACTACCAGCTCCGTTACCTTCTCAACAACTCCTTCGGAAGAAGTTGAAGGAGCCGGGGAAACATGGGACCAGGATATCCTCTCGCCCGAATTCGACCAATGGCTTGCAGAAGCATATCCCGTCGACCCCTCCGTTCCCCCAGTCGTCTTTTTCAACTGTGGCTGCCCCATCCTTCACATCGGCGTGCACCTCTCATCCGTTCTTTTACCCGTCATCCCTGATTTGCGCATGAACACGCTTCGCATAGATATCATGTGCTCCTTAGGCGCGCTCCTTGAGAACTGCCTCCAGGTCGGCATTACCCAACGGATGTACTGCGCCGAAGACTCGGTCTCCCCCTTCTACCGCCCGCAGATCGAAGACCCGGCTGAGCGAGCTGATTTCGTTGAATCGGTGCAGCGCGGATTCCGAGGACTGCACTTTGATTTGCGGCCGACGCGGAAGCAGATCGTTACGAATCACCATCCCTTCCTCGACGCTATTCCCTTCACTGACATCCGCGACAATCTCATCGCTTACGCGGATGAAATTGATGAGGATGAGTTCTTTCACGACTCGTTGAACCACATGACATGCTGGGGGAGCGTCAAGGGGGCACATACAGGCTCGCCATGGGATAGCCGCAGCTGGGAGGCCAGCGAATTGTTTCTTCAAAGGTGGGAACTGATAGTTGGCGGCGAGGACGGTCAGTTGACAAGACAGTCTCGCTGGTGGAGGTCGCTCAGGGGCGAGCGCGTAACCGAAATATCGTAAATATTACCAGAGCCTTGATTTTATGGGGCGTTCTGCAGATTAGTTGATGTAATGCGAAGGAGGAAGACTTCGGTAGGCGTAAATTGGACGGGGGCATGTTTAACAGGATTGAAATTGCTTCGAAGATGATTGATGTCTTGAAAAATGCGACTGTCTATGTGTGTAAGTGAGCCTCGTTCAATAAACTGAGCCTCCTGAGCAATATGTGCGCCGATGTAGATGACATGATTTGCTTGTACGCACAGAGTATGCCCAGCGCCCAAAACCATAGGCTTACACCCGGGCAAAGGGATGCAATGATCTACCATGACGCCTCCCGCTGCAAAATAAAACAACAGCAGCCAAATATCCGTCCCTTGAAATAAAAATCCAATCCACCAGTCGATCCTAAACCCATATTTCCCAGATTCCTACCCGTGTCGCCGCACATATCTCATGTTCCTCAACATTGCCTCGCAGTATCGGGATGATTCGTCATATTTCGTAATGGTGTTTTCGCTGTGTGCTCTTGTAGTCGGAGCCCACGACTCACATAACGGCGCACGAACCTAGAGTCCGAGCCCTGCGGCGACCGTTGACGCCAACAACGCCATCCTCCTCGTCAAGGTGGAGGGCCTGAGCCTCCCGGGCCCGACGCCTGCGTCTTCGATACCCAGCGCCCGCCATACCGGCCTCCTCGCTAGCCTGCATGTAGTCTGCCCACTTCCTCTCTAATCTGCCGGCGGACGCAAGGTCGTTCCGGAGAACACGCTTCTGGTGCTCGTCCACGGTCATCTGGAAGCCGTAGAAACACTTGAGGCCGATAACCTCGGTGGGGTAGCTGACACGGCCGGGATGACCCGCAGCCGGTTTGACCTGGGTGTTTCGGAAGAGGACCTCTCGGATACCGGTCCAGGTCACATTCTGACAGTCGTAGACGTCCATTTGCAGTGTGAGCTCTGGACACTTGTTTGCCTTGAGGGACCGCTTCGAGCGCTTGTTGACCATCGATGCCGCCTCGGCGAGGACGAGGTCGCTGATTCGTGTGTTATCTAGATCAGCTCGCCTTAACCCTACACACTTTTGCATGACCGGGAGCACTCCCATGTCGCCAAGGTTCTCGCAGTAGCTCAAGGACAAGTGCTCCAGGGTGCTGGCGCACGGCGCCTTGGCAAGGTGCTCCGACAAAAGGGTGTTTGTGAGGTTCTCGAGGTCTTCCAGCTCGAGGTGTGTCAGGCGGGGGGTAGAGGCCAGAATGGGCTCGAGGGCTGTGTCTGTCAACAACTTGCATCTCGACAGCTGCAGGCCTTCAAGATTCGGCAATTGATGGCCCAACGCCTTCACACCAACATCGGTGAGCAGTTCACAGCGGCTTAAATCCAGGTGGCGCAGATTTCGGGGAGGAACAACAGGAAGATCGGTCAAAATATCGATCTCGGGGTCGACTCCGTGGACCATAACCTTGAGAGCTTCGTCATTGAGGTCTGCGCAACCACTCAAGACCAATCTCTCGAGATTGTTAGTGTTGAAAATCACCTCGGCAGTTTCGATGTTGTTGAAGCCGCGAACCTCACCAACCCGAAGGTCCTTCAACCTAGGGCACCCTGTAATTACGGACTTGACACCCCGAGCATCCACTCTACCGCACCAAGAAATGTTGAAGACCTCAAGTTGGGGGCAGGACTCGGAAATTATGGTGCAAGATGTGTTGGATACCGCAGCCAGCCCAGTCAGGTTGAGGCTGACCAGTTTCTCATTGCTCCTCAACAGAGTGTGGAGAGTGCACTTGTGAAAGTTCTCGCACCCTTCGAGTGTCGCATTCATAAGGTTCTTGCATGCTTTGACAATGGCCTCTGTGCGTTTGTAATGCTCGACTTGGACGCAACCCCGGAGGTTTAGATCCTTGATAAAGGGACCGGCGGCGACAATGATCCTGGACAGAGACTCGGCTGGAATTTCCTGGTAGAATTCTGAGGCATCCAGGGTGGTCCAAAGCTGACCATCGAAACAGGACTTGTAGAATGCCTTGGACACTCGGGATGCTTGGACCAGCTCCTTCGGACGGAGAAAGGAGAATATATGAATCTGGACCTCGTAGGGGACGACATCCCAGAAGCGGAAGGGGGGCTTCTGGACCTGCTTGGCCTTGAGATCGGCGGGGAGCGGAACGGTTGCGTAGGAGGACGCCGGTGTGCCGGCTTCGACTCTTCGAACGGCCAGGTGACTGGCGATGCTCTCGAAGGGGAACTCCCCGGTGGATGTGTAAGTGGTTGTTGACGACGAGCTCGGATATCCCAGGGGGGATGTCTGCGGCGTGGACGATCGGGCGCTGCCGGGAGTGGACGGGGGCCCGGTCGCGGCGAGGCTGACGCAGGAGAGGGTGCTCCGGGTGCTGTAGGGGCTCCCGACAGACCTGGAGCGGCGCAAGCCCGTGAGCGACGGCGTCGAAGATATGCGCTGGATGCCGCGGAGCAGACGGTGACGGCCCTTAATCTTGACCGGCATGTCCGGCGCAAGCGGGGGCGAAGGTGAAGGCGAAGTGGAGACGCTTTCTGGGGCCGGGCTCGAGCTGCCGGACGCCATCTCGCGCACCTCGGCCATGGTGGGGGAAGAGATGGGTGAAGGTATTCGCAAAGCAGAAAAAAAATGAAGAACAGGCGGGTTGGTTCCCTATTCGTGCACCCGATGCCGCCAGCCGCTGCGACCGCTTATGCTCGCATCCAGGTGGTCTCGGAGCAGGTAGAATGAAGGGAAAAGGCTCGCAGAGCAGGCTGTCGCCACTGTCGGCGGGAGGTGGGGGGGCTGTGGTCGGGGGTTCTTTGGTCCTCGCTGGTGGCGGGACGCAGTCTATTTCATCGCTAGCGAGGGACGGCCGATCGAGGAGAGCCACGGGGTCCGATTTTCGACGCAAAAGGCGCAGACGCGGACGCAACAACTGCAAACGAGCAAAAATGAATGTCGAGATTGTCGAGGACGGAGGAGAGGGCGGTCGGTGTCTGGGAGCCGGGGATGCGAGATCAGCAGACGGACGAGGGTGACGGCTGATGGTGGGGGGGTCGTCAGCGGGGCGGTTCGCAGTGCAGTACAGTACAGCGGTGCAGTTACAGCGCAGTCAGGAAGAGATAGGCAAATAGGTAGTAGGTAGGTAGGTAGATGGGGAGAGAGGTAGATGGGGAGAGAGGTAGGTAAACAGATCTCTGTCTAGGTGCGCGAGCAGGGGCACATGCCCAGGGGCGATGGGAACATGACCGTGATCACCGGGACGAGACTGAATAAAGGGGAGAGACGGAGTGCGTGTGAGGGTGCGAGTGTTTGAGAAAAAAAGTTGGCTGCCATGTTCTTTTCTTCCCTTTCCCTCGGCGGCACTCTGCCCACTGCCTTTACACCTTTACACAGGTAGCATAGTACTTCGTTAGACAACGGCCCACGCGGGTTTTGGGAGGATGGACCCTGTCTTCCCGGCTGCGGCGCTGGGTTTCACTGGCTTATCGCGTGCAGCTTCTAGCGGGTCTCTGCAGAGCGTCTTGTAAAAGATCGGCCCTTGTTTGGTTGGGTCTAGGTCTAAGTCTGGGTCTAAGTCTGGGTCCAAGTCTGGATAGTTAGTACCGACTGGTACTGTGGAAAGACGGCCCAACGGTAGGTATCGCCGGGAGAGAACCCTGGAGTCTGCTATCGATAAAACCCTCAGCAGACATTCCAGAGCCAAGACCGGGGCTGTCACTAAATTGCTTCGTCCGTACTGGCCAGACACACACCACACCCGCCCACGCTCTCACACGAGGATAAGCCCCAAAGGACCCAGCGGAGCGGCGACCCGGCGGCCAATCAGTCGACGATTTTCAGGGGGTCCTTACAGGGTCTTGGGTGTCCATAGAGGGTCCCGAGGGCCTTGGAGGGGTCTTGGTGTGGTCCTCCACCCAACCCTTCCCCATCCCAGGACGATATGACGACCGGGTCCTCGTGTCCGCGTGGCACGCCTTCGTGCGCTACCATTGTGTTGTTGGGGGAGCCGTGATCAGATGGCCGTGGCCGGTTATCTCGCTGAGGGCGCCAGACCCGGCTCTTGTTGACTTTTTGTGTTGTTCGTTATCTTGGGTTGTCATTCAGAATACTGACTGACTGACACCCAGAAAAGCAGCTAAGGATGGCGAGATGGACGAGGCAATATGCTCACTAAAAAAGGCTACTCGCCGTTGCTTCGAAACCCAGCCCAACAAGTCAATATGCGCTCAAACTTGACAGTCTAGATGGACCCGTGGATCTCTAGGTTTCTCTGACACAAGGTACGCAAAGACCAAGACGCAAAGCCAAGCAGCCCGGGAGGCAAACTAAATGGTGCTCTGGTCCTGACTCGAGAGCATCTCGCCGGTCCCAGCCCAGTCCAGCCGCCCACCAGTCATGATACACAGCTGGAGAACCAAGCCATGAGCGCCCCTTCGCATGCCGTTGGTTGTGGCTTGGAAGGTGGCCACAAATAGCCTTGGAAAAGGGGATGATTTGAGGCCATTACGGCATTACATTGCACCACAGATACATTACCACTGTCGTGCTTGCACCCGGGGGTCAAGCAAGGCCAACCAGCCCAGATCATCGGGCATTGGTTATTGCAGGACCAATAAGTGCGGCATAAATGTTAGACAAAAAGATGTCATGAGAGCCCCCTAAAAGCCTGCCCCTAAAAGCCTCCCCCCTCCCCCCCAATAGAATTCAATAGTCTTGTCCTCGTCGCTGTGGTGAGTTTCACGGTATGGCAGGACGGGACCCTTGGCCATCCCAAGTGGGAGACCCACCCCGCTGCCCCTCATCCCCGGAGACTGACCCCGCGACACCTTTTTATCGCAATCGCAATCGCTTGCCACCTTATTAGCCTGCTGAGGACCTTGCTCAGTTTAGAGAGAGTAGAGTGTTCGGGGCTGAATTTCCTTCACGGCGGCTCCGAGCCATTATTGCACCAGCTCAGTGGGCTTTTCTTCTAGCATTGGCACCCGAAGTCCGCGGCTCCAGACGGTCGTTTTCCCCTTCGATGTCTTCACCTTTTTTGCTCACTTCGCCGCACAGGAATACTTCATTTCTCAACTTTTCCTAACCTACTCTTTGGCGGCCTGTCGCAAAGATAACACAACACACCGCCTAGTCTCGTGTGTGGAGACCACCAAGAGTCGCTGTACCGCTTGTACGTTGACCCCCACTGGCAAGCAGCAAGAGGTCGCCGTCGCGTGCCCTCGTGAGTCAGCGTGTCTTTCAACTGTCCAAGGCAGGTGGTCTCCTGACTCTCTCACACCAATTGCGACTTCGCACTATGGATATCCTGCTGGACAAGGCTAGATTTCGTTGAAAGAAGGAAATGGGCACGAGGCCGAGACGCGAAGATTACCTGTCCATTTGATTTGTGGCACTCAAACCATAACTTAATGTTAATCGTCGGCTGGTCATGTTTGAACGGGGACGGGAAAAGGAACGGCCACGATCAAGCAAAGCTCGTCTTAGGCTGGCATACTCTCTAATTGCGGTGTGCCCTCTTCCGTCCTACTTTTTTTTTTATTCGCATTAGAGTTCTTTGCCTCGTCACCCGCGACGTGAGCCCTTGTAGAGATGTGATTACCGCAGGGCTGGAGAGTCGCATCGATTTCGTACCAGCAAACACATAGGCTTGCCCGTCGACTTTTGTCCGACTGCGCCGAGTCGTTGATCCTCTCGCCAGTGGAGTCATGGACAGTGGACCCTGACGCAATCCGAGGGCATGATACAGAGGGATAACGATTGGCACCCTTCGGACGGGTCCGCAAGGGGTTACTTGCGCGATGCAGCTGCCTCCCACGTGCCCCTGGTGAGGGAGAGGCATTTGTCCCTTGAAGTGCTGCTGGTCTGGATGTCAGAGTACGTACTACGCATGTCATACGTCGTAGTCTCATTCCCTATGCCCCTTCCGGCGTCCCCAGCGCCCGGGAAGTGTCAACAGGGGCGCGTCTCTTCCGCGCAGCATTCCGACTTTCACATGGAGACGTTCAATGCTGTAAAAGCGCCCTGGGCATGTCGGTCCCTGATGAAGAAATCATGATCTATCCATCCATCTTGCAGCGGACCAACCAGCCACGACGTTGAAGCACTGACCAGCGATGCGGTCATTAGTCCCCATTCCTCACCAACAAGTCGAGAGCCACCAGACGGAGGGTGGGTTCGCCGAGAACTCGTTGTGGGACTAGAAGAAAGCATTGAGATGAGCCTCATGCCTCGCTCCAGGTTTAAAAAATAAATAAAAATAAAAACCTGCATCGATGGCAGCTCATGCACGATCCATCTTCTTGCCTTCCATGCACTGCCGGCGATGAACTCGCCGCTTGGTCCAAGTTGTCCGAGGTACGCGTCGTTGCGGGCGCCCACCTGCGTCTTAAGTTAGTTTTTCTGAGTCCGGGTTTGGCTTGTCAACAAAGGACATCTGCTTAGGCCAGACCCAACAATAGGGCGCCAGGGCGGCGACCTACTAAAGTCCAGGGCACGGCAGCGCCGCATTTAGTTGTGTTGTCCCGTAATTCACACATCTTTGTCCACTGTAGCCCGCTGAAAGGAGGGAAATGCCACGGGGCCGCTCCAGAAGGGCGTCTTTGCCCAACCAGACGGCTGTCTTGTTGCACCCGCCTCCATCCACGGGCAGCCGATGGAATCCAGTCCAATCAATCCTGCGAAACCCTGGCGCGATCCAATCCACTCGATTGTCAAAACCACCCCCAGCATCACCAGCGCCGCCAGGTTCCTCCTTCACATGAAGTCGGAGAGTGAGACGGGCAGCTTCCATCCCTATCTCGACTCATCTTCCAACCTCCTAGCATCGCCAGACAAACAGACGCCCCCGTCCCGTCTGTCTGTTCCTCATTCTCCGTTCCCCCAGTTCCTCCGTTCTCTCACGTCCCCCTCTTCCCCCTCTGCCGACGCCCGGAGCCCGTCGGTCGTCACCTGCAGCGTCCGTCACCTGCAGCCTTGTTGGCCCTCGCCCTCGACCCGTCTCCTCCACTCGTCGTCTCCTCTATCCATCCCGCCCAGAGACAGACAGACCCAGCCAGCCGCCCCCTAGCCAACCAACCGCAGTCTCCCCCCTCTCTCTCTGGCCCTGGAGTATCGATATTCCACGACGAGACTGCCCGGCCTGGTTCTCTCTCGCCGTGTGTGACAGGGGCCCTTTCTTAGTGGCGACGGCCTCGATTCATACCCTAGCATTTTCTCAACCAGACTTGGATTTGCTGCTCTGGAACCCCACCATCCGCCATCCGCCATCCGCCGTCCACCGTCCGCAAACGCCCCATCCCTCCTCCCATTCTCCAGCTCTACCAGACCGGTTGTCGCTGCCTCTCTCCGGCCGCCCTCAATTATGCTACAGACGCATGGCGGACATCAGGATCATGGTACGCATTGCCCTGCCCGTGCTTGTGCCCGTGCCCGTCTCGCCGCCCTGCACTGTCCACCCCCAACGCCGCCGCCAGTGCCCTGCCCCCACCGACAGCTGACCATGACACTCGCGCAGGCGCCGAAAACCACACGGGAGACGACGATCGCGGACGAGGTAGGCTGGGAACACAGCTCTCTCTACCCAAAAATCGAAGCACTGGAAACCTGGCCTCTGCCGCCGAGCCCACAGACCGCAGACGATACCGGATGTCGTTGGATGCGAATGCGGCGGCGTCCGTCGCCGCCGACCTTGAGTTGATCACCAGGTTCGTCGTGCAAAACATGTGTCACTGGGCCCAACAGTGGCGAGCCGCCTCAGCCTGCCTCCTGCTGACCACCACGTCAACTCCAGGTCTCCCATCATAACCGACCACGAGCATGGCTTGGGTCTGTCTGGCCTTCGCCGGATAAGACAGCATAACCCTCAGTCTCGTAATCCAACCCTTCCCGGCTCCAATGCCCCTTCCCGAAGCCCTTCCGTCGTCGCGCTCTCTCGCTCCACCTCGATGAGTGCTATGGTCTCGAGTACCGGCACTCTGCCGCTTGCCGGAGGCCCAACGTCCCCCAGCTACTCCGAGGATCTGTCCCGGTTTCCCTCTGAATCGCTGCACTCCTTTTCCTTCGCCCACCAACCAGAAGACTTCATGCACAATCGACAGAATGTCCTGAGACGATCCATAGCATTTATGGAGGATCAGATGGGATTGTCCGTCAACTCGAACCCACCGGGACTTGTCAGCCCGCAAGCCAGAGCCGTTAGTGACCTCGATGCTCAGAATATGCTGGAGCTGATCGCCCGAGCACAACTTCTGGGTGCCGGAAACCTACCAAATCATGATAGTTCCACTCCTCCAGGGCTGACAGGCCCAACACGCGGGTCGGATGACAATGCTTTCGATAGGCAGTTTAGCCCTCGCATTTCCACCCTTGAACTTTCAAGCCCTGATGAGCAGGCCCCTCCGGGTCCTGCCCACCTTTGGAGAAATGACAGCAACCAAAAATCCGACCTTGCGGAGCCTACATTCACCTCAAAGGTTGCGAGTGCAGTTGAAGACGAGAAAACCACAGCGACCTCTCTCCCGCCTCCTAGACCCACCAGCCTGAAAAGAACAATGACAGATACAAGATCCATCTCGGTCCAAGATAGATTGACTGACAGCATGGGTCGACCTTTCTTTCCTGGCCAGCCTCTTTATCAGGAACCACTAGCATCTCCTCTTTTGCAGCCGACTCCATCAACCCTCAACTTCCCCACGTCCATGGCTTCGCCTCTGGGTCCTTCTGTTCACGGGAACACGAACCGATGGGTCCCTGCTGCTCAAGCCATTTTCACAACTGAAGTCAAGCCTCCATGGACGATTATCGCTGCCAACGATCTTGCTTGTTTAGTATTTGGCGTCACAAAAGCGGAGGTTCGGAAGATGGGAATTCTCGAGGTAGTGCAAGAGGAGAGGAGAGCGTGGCTTGAGCGGAAGCTCCTTCGGAAACCCGACGATGACCTTGGCGAGGGAAAAGCTGTTTCTGGTCAAACTACGCCAGCTGCCTCGGCGGCTTCGGCACTTCTTGGTGGCCGCGGGGGCATCACTGCTCAGCTTCTGAACAAACCGAACTCGAGATCCCAACCACTCAGCTACGCTCAAAGACGTGCTCAAACTGTCCATGGTGGAGATCCAAGCCCACCCAAGACAAGAGGTAGCAATCACCATAAGAACACTCTATCTAGAGGGGTCCTGCTTTGTGGCGATGTGGTTCCCATTCAAAAGCGGAATGGTGCTACAGGTTCTGCTAGTCTCTGGGTCAAGGAGAAGCGAGTCGGTCTCATTTGGGTCCTGGAAGAAATCCATGAAGACGTTGCCCACATCAGTCTAGACGAAGAAGGTATCATCCAGAGTGTCTCTGGTGCAACAGGCCCCATCTGGGGTGTTGAATCCGCCCCATCAGGTTTCGATATCGCGACGCTTATCCCACGGATTCCTCGGCAAGGCATCGATCCCAACACCGGTGAGATCGATTTTGCACAGGCCACACGGCGGAAGTACTTCACTTGTCCTCATTCGCCCAAAGTCAACATCCCATGCACCGTTGAGCAGGTGAGGGGCAAACTTGAGCTCCGCGTGTCCACATTTCCCCATATGGCTGGAATCGTTGTGGTCGAGCCAGAAGGTCTCAAAGTTCGAAGCTCGAATTCCGTCTTTTGTGGTGCCCTTTTCGGGTTTGAAAAGGCTGACGGCATGCCCATTAACGCTTTGATCCCCGATTTCGACAAGCTTTTGCAATCTTTGATAAACGAAGACGGTATCCAGCTCCTCGATGGCATGGTCGTCCCTGAGCACCGGTTCAGAAAAGCCTCAGCATTCCTGGCTCTCAAGGAGCATCGGCCCGATGCCGCTGCTGCGTTTCTCAGTCCTGCAGGCATCCTCGGGAAACACCGCGACGGTTCAGACCTGAAAGTTGACGTCCAAATGCGTGTTGTCAAGAGCGAAAAGAAAACCCTGGTAAGGAGTGAAACTGTCGTTGAGGGCAGTGATGAAGAGAACGCCGACCCAGAGGCCGGCGACGCGACCTTCGAAGTGACACATTCGGAAATAGTGTATGCCCTGTGGATTACTTACTCACGCCATCTACATGGCACACAGCCCCATCTCAACATCGCCTCCCCTTCTCCGTCCGGAACTACGACGCCCCTGCACCAGCCCTCCCCAGGGCAGACCCCGGCTCATACTCCCATAGAAATCGCGTCAGACGATGACACGCCCAAGAAGGAGCTGCGCTCGGCAGCAACTTCGCTCTCCAAACAGTTGAAGGACGCCGCTCTCAGTGCGGCTGCAAAGCTCACTGGGCAGTCCAAGCCTTCGCCGAAGCCTGTTGAAAAGCCCTCCGTTCCCAAGGTGGTCGAACCTCCCCATAAGAAGACCATAGCCGATTACGTGATACTCGAGGACATGGGCCAGGGGGCATATGGCCAAGTGAAGCTTGCTCGTCACAAACAATCGGGTAAGAAGATTGTGCTAAAGTATGTCACGAAACGCCGTATTCTCGTGGACACGTGGACCAGGGACAGGAAATTGGGCACCGTCCCGTTAGAGATCCATGTCTTGGAGTACCTGCGAAAACCGGAGTTTGAGCACCCTAATATTGTTGAGATGGAGGGCTTCTTCGAGGACGACGTGAACTACTACATCGAGATGAAACCCCATGGACTACCTGGCATGGATCTTTTTGACTACATCGAATTGCGAGCCAACATGGACGAATCCGAGTGCCGCAGCATTTTCGTTCAAGTAGCCCAGGCCATCCACCACCTTCATATCAAGGCCAAGGTGGTCCATCGCGATATCAAGGACGAGAATGTCATCCTCGATGGCGAGGGCAACATCAAGATCATAGACTTTGGAAGTGCCGCGTACATTAAGAGCGGACCCTTTGACGTGTTTGTGGGAACCATTGGTGGGCATCACTCCTTCGCGTTGAATCTCATGCCGTAACTAACTCTGGTGCCCTAGATTATGCCGCTCCCGAAGTTCTTGCTGGAAAGCCATATGGTGGGACAGAACAAGACGTCTGGGCTCTGGGTATCCTCTTGTACACCATTGTCTACAAGGAGAACCCGTTTTACAGCATCGACGAGATTATGGACCGCGACCTCCGCATCCCCTTTATACTCAGCGAGGAGAGTATCGATCTCATCCGCTGCATGTTGGAACGTGATGTCACCAAGCGCTACGACATCAACCAGGTGCTTGACCACCCTTGGTGCAAGGCTACTGCTTCATGAAAACCGGAGGAGGAATCACCGAGAAAAAAAAACGACGACAGACCATCGACAGAAACTCATACTTACCGCTTGAAACCTTTTGGTCATGATACCCCCTCAAACAAGGAGACCTCACCGTTTTTGTCTGTTTGGGTGATAGAGAGATGTGTTTTGCTTGAAGAGATGGAAAGATAGAGATTCAGACGAGATGAGAAGGGACGTAAAGTGAGACATTCGAGGGTAGATGGGAGAACGGAGCATGGATAGGAAGATGTACATCATCATCGGGGCTTTCTAGGCAGGTTTCAGAAGATATGAATGGAATTATGAGCGATGATAGGAGGTGTCCTTGCTGCGGTTGTGTTGTGAGAGACGAGGAAGGGCAGAATGCATGGACCGTATTATTAGCCCGGGAAACATTTTGGTAAAGTCTCTTTGGGAGACGACGAGGTTTTATCATTAAGCGATCTCAATTGTTGGCCGTGACACTTTGGACTATGCTGAAAGGTGTGAAACTGAGAGAAATGGCAACTAATTAACACCCACCCCAACCGGCCCCGAATACATGCATTCACCAACTCTTAACTAGTGATAGCTCAACTCTGGATTCGCTCTGAAATTGCAACGGCACCGACACTCAGGCACGGGACATTCGACATGTCGAGCGAACCATTGTCGCGCATGGTCGAGGTGCAGGACGTGCTCGCAGCGCAAGCAGAAGGTCGGGAAACGCCCGGCCATGCGAGTCTCCTCCTTCTCCTCCGGCTTGTCAGAGCGCGGCACGCCGACGACCTCGAGACAGACGACGCAGCGAGGAAGATGGCGCCCGCAATTGGGGCAGCAGATACCAGCGTTGATAGTGGTGGCAAGCAGCGGGTTCCGAGTCTCGAAGGCCGAGGGCGCGGGTGCGGCGACGGCTTGGGCGCCTAGGTGGCGGGTATTTGCGAGCGAGGTCTCGGCATCGCAGAAGACGCAACGCAGGGCGATCTGGCGAGATGGCGGCTTGAGGCTGGGGGTGCCGTCCCGCTTAGAGCGCTTGGTCGACTCGACGTCGAACTTGGTGCGCTGGAAGAAGAGCTTGTGGCGCTGGAGGTGAGCGCGATAGGCGTTGCGCCAGGCACCGCAGCGGATGTCGTCAATGTACCGAGGGGCACAAATGGAGAGGACGAGCGTGGCAGTCTGGACGTCGTGGAATTTCTGGATGTAGCGGGCAAAGATGTCCACCATGGTCTCCGTGATGCCGGTGAGCACGATGCCCTCGATGTCTCCATCCGTTACGGCTTGGGCAACCTGGTCCTTTAGCCACGCGGCGAGCTGGTCATCGTCAAAGTTGCGGACTGCAACATAGGCACGATCCGATAGGGGTAGCGAAGGCTGGTTGGCAATGGCGGCCCAGTCGCCCGTCGCAATCAGAGACGAAATGGCACGGAGATAGGGGTCCGTCTTGGACGCCACGGCCTCGTCAAAGTCCAGCTGCTCCTCGGCAAGTTTCTTATCGCCACGGCCCATGAGCTGGAGGGCAAGAGAGACGAAGAGCAGCTCCGGATGCGCCGTGCTGGCTTTCTTGAGGATTTGGATAGCCTGCTTAGTGTCGCCGGCGAAGAGGGCCCGCGCTGCAGTCATAGTGTGGATCGTCGTTGGATACTCGGGGTCTGGCTCGCGATTACGGCCCTTGGGGTCATGCTTCTCCGAGTCGCCCCAGCCGCAAATCTCGAGACACAACTGACGATGGTGAGGATACTTGGTATAAGCTCCATCAAACTTGGGTAGATGGTGCTTTTTGCAGAATGCCCCAATGCTGCGCTCCCAGGTAGATCGATCTGGTACTGATGCTCCGGCGGGTAGCCTCAAGCCAGGATTCCGGCCTGACGGATATTAGCAGTTTCCATACCTGTTAAAGCTTTGCATCTTACCAAGGTTATTGGTCCATATAGAGTGAACGCCCATATAGCTGAGGTCGATATTTGACACAATCAAACCACCGTCATCTGCCATATCCTCTGCGCCTGGTACGAGTTAGCTCAAGTCGAATCCTACGACCAACGATAAACTCACTTGCAATCCAATCCCAGACATACTTGACCCAAGGATCATCCGCAACGATGTCTCTGTTTGCAACAGCATCGAAAAGGTACTTCTCCTTGGCACGCAAGAGCATGGTATGGTCAAGAACACATTGTGCCTCTCTTGGGAGACCATCAGCCTCCGCCAGAGAAGTCAACAGAGCATCATGGATCTCTCGGCATGAGCCCAGGCTATCTGAAGCCAAAGTCAACTTGCTAGTCTCGGGTTGGACCATCTTAGTATCGCCAACACGTGGCTTCACCCCGTTCACCGAAGCAGATGGCGTGAACTCATCGCGGGCAAATGCCCGCAATGCGCGGACCTTGGCGCCAACAACCGGGGCGCTGCGGAATTCTTCCGGCAACGGGGTCGCAGTTGCTGCAATATCATCGATCGTTATTGACGACAGAGTGTTGGACTTTAGCGTAGTTTCGACATCTGCCCTGATTTTGGCACTCTCCGGCCCAAACAGGGCAACTTCTGCTAAACTTTGCTCTATGAGAAGAGGCCCTAACATCCCAGAGGCTTGAGAAGGTTCAAATTTCATCATGCTATGATATGGAGCACCATCTGTGTCATGTTAGATATATGGTTATATCACGGGGATTCCTTTGCACACCTTCCAGCCCACGATGGGGCGCTTGCCATGGTACCAGCTTGAAGACGTGGTCAGCTGTGTTGGATGGCTGTTCCAAAATGTCGAAGTTGCCATTTGCCCGTAGTACAAGCAATCTCGGTCGCAAGACTGTGGATCCTAAAGGGATCCAGTCAAAGGCAACTATCCGGTCGTTCTTCCTTGACGTCTCCACGTAGGAGACATCCATTTCATGTGATTTCTGAACTTGCAGAAGTTCGGGGCCACTTTCTTCAATGACAGTCGGGTTTTCCTTGTTGGTCTGCAACACCTTGAGTTGACCGGTACGTGACAGCACAGCAAGTAGGCCACACTGATCACGGGAATATTTGAGTGAACGGATAAGGGAATGTTTGCCCTCTGCCAAAAAGGGATCTGAGTCGGTCTCAATGACGCGATCAAGTCGGAGGGCTCCTCCCCACGGAAGCTCATCTTCATCAACTGCCTGCAAGTAGCCAGGGGAGGCTATCGGCCTTGACGTAGCACGCCGATCCCATATCATGATTCCGGGGTGATCAAGAGCAGATGAGGCGAAATAATTCGGGTCATTATCAACTGTAAGATTGTTGTTACATTTCGTCTGGAAAGTGATAACACTTCCGGGATCTGTCATACAAGGGTCGGCATGGTTAGCGAGGGTACGTTCGTGGCTCCTGAGAGCTTCCCTTACCTCGAAGATCGTGAATTCGTAGCCCCTGAGCCTTGATACCGACCACGAGTGTTTGGGGGCTGTCTTCAAAGAATTTGACACTGGAGACTGAAACACTAGGCTCGAGGCGGTGTTTTGGATCTGTAATGTTGGCTGCATCCAAGGGGAAGCCTTTAGTGTGCTTGTCGAACGACGATAGACGGCTAACATCCCAGACGTGTAGACACTGATCCATGCGAACGCGGTCAAGGCCAACCGCCAACAGCCCTGTGGTATTGAAGGCCACTGCCTGACATGTGCGGGACATTTTGAGGCCGAGTTCGACATAGGCATTAGAGCCATCGTCGATCTTCAACAGATTCACGATGCCAGTCCCGGTGCCGACAGCCAGAAGTCCCGGGTTGGTCGGGGACCAGTCGTACGTCGTGAGGGGAGGGACATCATCGTGGCGGTTGACCTTTTTATAATCGAACCGGCCGGCACGCGCGTGCCCGGTCGGCTCATATACCTGGACGACACGGTGTTGGAGGTTGATGTGGATGAAGCTGTCGACTGAGGACTGGGTGCACCACTTGACCAGGCCAGGCTCCGGTCGATCCATGGCGGAGAGGTATCAATTGAAGCCCGAGGCCTCCAAAATGAGAAGACGGGTGGTATTGTCCAGCCAAGTATTGTCCAGCCAAGTATTGTCCAGCCAAGAGAAGATTGTGTGCGACGACGACTGCGTGCTTGCGATGGCCGAGTGCGCTGGTAGGATATGAGCGTCACCCTGTTGATCAGGCGACAGCTCCAAGGGGAACAGGGTTCGGGAGAGAGACGCGGGCAGTTAAGTAATAGATCTGTCTAGAAGCCGCAATCTGGAGCCATTGGAGGTGAAGGGCATGTATCGCATGGCTTCGCAATGAGTTGCGGCTCAAGGCGGAGAGTTGACCGAGGCGGTCATTGGTCATCCAGCTCCCACATGAGACTTTGAAGTCTGGAGTAGCGCACCTTCACCAGAAAGCGACCCGCCACCGAAGAGAAAGCGCTAGTCCCGATATGGTCACCGCTGATAAGATAACTCGTGGATTCGGCAGATCAATTCTTCCTTCCTTGCTCCCCGCCAGCCAAAAAAAAAGTTCCCTTCGCTCAGCTACGGACACTCCTTGTGCAAGTTGACGACGCCAGTCTCAAGTTGTTGATACTTTTCGACGGCATTCACAGTACCGCCACCAGGCCCAATACACTATGGGCAAGAGAGATTTCGACCAAGTCGGCTCCCCCTACCACGGCTCTCCCGAACCGTATTCTTCCGGCCCGTCCAAGAAGCAGAAACAGAGCGGCAAGTCCAAGAACCGGCCGAACGAGGGAAGCTCCCAATGGGCAAGGAAGCGCGCGCGCAACATCGACCGGCTACTGCAACGAAACCAAGATTTGCCTGCCAACGTTCGCAATGACCTCGAACGAGAGCTGGCCGCACACAAGACGACCGTCACCGACAAGGCTTTCCAGAAGAAACGCAGCGCCATGATCGGCAAGTACCACATGGTCCGCTTTTTTGGTAAGTGGTTTGAGATGGAAACCCCGGTGGTTGCGGGATGCTTATACGCGGGATATAGAACGCAAGAGGGCCATGCGACTAGCGAAGCAGGTCCGGAAGAGGCTCGAACAAAGCAGCTCCCCGGAGGAGACAGAGGAACTAAAGCGACACCTACACATTGCTGAAGTGGACGAGGCATACACCCAGAGTTTCCCGCATCTGGAAACGTACGTCAGCTTGTACAAGACGGAGTCGGCCAAGGATGACAAGGACGAGGACAAGGCTGCCAAGTCGAAGGCGTTGCTGGAAGCCGAGAGACCGCCCATGTGGTCGACGATAGAACAGGCAATGAGGGAAGGTCCTTCTGCCCTGCGAATGGTGCGGGAAAGGCGGTCGTCAGATGAGGCGCAAGGCGGAAGTCAGCCAGAGCGAAAGCAACGCAAGCAGCGGCCGACCACGACACAGACACAGAACAAGCCTGCTGCAAGGGCGCAGCCGACGCAGCAGCAGAAGGAAAAGGCGGCACCTCAGAAGAACGGCGACGCGCCGGCCAATATGAACAGGAGGGAACGCAGACGGCTGATGCGCGAGGCTGGAACGGCCACCGGCAAGGACGACGACAGCGACGACGGCGGCTTTTTCGAGGAGGGCTAAGGGTGAGGCAGGAAAGTTGGTTTGCATGGGCCTGCAAAATGTACATTGGTGTCAGGCAGCGGCGTTATCATTTGCATGTTGGTAGATACCCCAGTGGTTGGTCGACTCGGCTGAGCAACGAAACGTCATCGAGCTTCCATTGTCATCCGTCTCCTCCCACGCCTGTCCGCATCAGACCCTCGTCAGCCCCCTCACAGACGGCCAGAATAAGCAAGTTTCTCGAGCGTGCGATCCTAACCTCATCATAATTATTATGATTTATTTCAGGGTGTGTTGTTGAAGTTGAGATGCAGGAGATGTCGAGCTACCGACAATGTGAGGTACATGGGCCAAACTGCGGGGCGCGCTGCATGTGATGGAGAACATGTTAGTACCTACGAATGCAGCACGCGGTTTTAATTCTATACTGTTCACTGTATAAATATATCTGCCTGGTACGAGAAAAGCAGAAGGGAGCCCTGGAATCGGCCTCGCCCTTTCGGTGTTGGCCAGCTTCAGTGTCCTCCACAGCTTGGCCAGCAACGAGACCACCTGCGGCCGCGACCACGCCGTACTCAGCCTCATCACTCAACTCGACATCCTGCGCCAGCCGACATTTCCCACTTTGAAACATCTCCCCCCATTCGTAGCCTGAGTGGAGAGCCCACCACCAGACCACGCAGCGCCCCCAAGTGTCGGCTGCCCAATATCGCGCTCGCCGTCTTGTCAAGCCCGCGGCTTGGATGGTGCGCAATTGCGTCTATCGCACGGCCCGCCGAACTATTTCTATCTCGACCTTTCCACCCACCAATACCCTCCCCCATCAATCCTCAGCAACCTGTCGCCATTTTTTCGATTTTTGATTTTACTCTAGCTCTATACACTGCAACCTCACCCAAACGCAAGCACTATGGGTCCTGGCAATGATCAACCCGATGTCACCGCCATCGACTTGGACGCCTTAGAATCCAAGGTCAGGGCCTGGAAGGCATGGGAGAGAGAGCAGGGAATGCCCATGCCCTTCAGCCCTGCTCAGAGACACGCAATATCAATTCTCCTCCCACCCGACCCGGAGCCGAACCTCGATGATCGAAATTACATTGGCGAGCTCAATGGCAAGTCCTGGTCTGACTCCTTTTCATATTGTCAAACAACACCACTAACACCAGCCGGACGGCTTAGAATGGATTCAAAAGAAGTACGGTGCGATTGTGTGCAAGCCGGACGAGGAAGTGCTAGTTGAGCCTTTCTCTAAGCAGAGCCGCTTCCGCGTGTGGTACAAACTACCCGGGGTCGAGGGGCAGTTTCCCAGGGAAAGATTTGGCTACGCTCCTGGTGAGGAGGCTCCCAAATTCTCGCAGAAGAAGGTATGCTGCTAGTTGTTGCCACTTGTTAGTATCCAGATATTGACGGCCGTGATAGAAAGCGAAACTATTCGCTGCAAAGCAGGCTCTTGCTTGGCTGAACAGGGCGCCCACTTCAGATTATCCTCCCGGCAACCATGACGATGCTTCAGGTAATGGTGGGGAGGTAGGGAATAACGATGGTGATGGTGGTGACAGCAGCAGCGACAGCGGCAAAGGCAAAGGCAAGGTTGACCATCCACGGCCCACAACGCAAAACTCTCCCGAATCCAAGAAGATGAAGATCGAAGATGCTGAGGTACAAGATGGAGCCCCTATCGGCCCTCGACCACTGTTTAGTGAAGCCTCTGTGAAGTCACTGGCCAACGACAACATCAACGAAGACGAGGAAGAAAGCGCGTCCATCTTCAAGCGTATCGAGACAAAATGCAAGATGATGGGTATTGATGCTCCACAGTATATAACCACTTGCGAGCCCGACGGCTGGTGTTGTCTACCGTGTTTCTGGGCCGACGGGCTGATGCCCGAAGCCATGGGCCTCGTCCGCAATGCTCCGAATAAGCCGCAGGCAAAGATCAAGGCAGCGGAACGGGTGCTCGTGTGGTTATCCACAGAGGAACAGAGGCGGAATAAGGACATCGATACCATGCTTGGGAATATGGTTCACAAGCTCCAAACCTGATGTTGGCGATGGTAATTACGCAGAATATGGGCGGCGAATTTGATATTGAGGACCGGATCTTGGTCAAGTCAACGTCATTATTAATAGCACGATGAGTTCATGGCAATACTATATATCGTTGCGTCTTTTTTTGTCATCGGGGATATATCCTTTATTATGAGCCACGTCGGCCTCCCCGTCCTCCCCGTCCTCCTCTGCCTCCTCTTCCGCCGCCCCGTCCCTTGCCCATGGGCACATTGATCTTGATGCCCGCCGGTAAGTCGGCCACCCACTCGCCGTCCTGCCACAGCACGCCCACGTCCAACTGTCGTCCCATCACCATCTTGAAGTATCGCGAGCTCAGCACGCCCTGGGCGTCGCCCTCGGTCAGTAGCACATCGTTGTCGCTCTTCCACCACTTGACGCCGTCCTGCAGACTCGCCTCGACGTCGATCTCGATGATGAGCTCCGCGTCCCTGCGCATCCCACTAACGACGCCGTCCTCGGGCGTCCCCGTCGAGCAGTGCACATGGTTGCGCCCCATGACCTTCAGCCCGCCGGACTCGACGATCTTGGGCCAGAAGTAAAAGTACGTTCCGTGCAGGACGCGCGAGGGAATGTTGCGTTCCTCGGCGGTGATGGGTGCTAGCAGGGCGGCCGACTCCAGCTTGATGGAGTGGCCCTGGTTAGCACGGATGAGATAGTCTGCAGCGTCGGTGCTGGCCGTTGAGAGGTCGGCGTTGGTGCTGGGGTTGGGCTTAAGAGAGAAGCGCTGCTTGTCGTTGGAGCTGACGATGGACTGGACGTCGGCTAAGGTGACGTTGAGAGACTTCAACGGACCCCAAGCGAGCTGTGAAGCCGGCATTAGAATGGGTTCTTGGATGAGATACACAGCAATCTTGAGATGAGTGCAAACCCAGGTCACTCGACCGCAAATTTAAACGCACTCATCGCCACGAAGGAATCAGCGTGAGTCCTACCACTTGGCCCAACGGGGCATATCCCTCCTCGTCGAGTTTGATCTTCGCACTATCCGCCTGATGCCGCAGCAGCTTAGACAGCGCCTTGGACACCAGTACCTCACGGCTCTGGCCGCCTGCTCCTCTACCGCGGCCGCCTCCTCTCTTCTCCCGCTCTGCCTTGTTGAGAACCCGGTCCTCGAGCGCTTCGTGCCCGCGCTCCGACGTCTCTGCATGTGAATCCCCCGCCATTCTGCCAAGGTGAGAAGTGCACTGGTGGGTCTTGAGTTGCTTCACAGATCGATTCTGCGGCGGTGACGTGCGAAATGCGTCGATATCTCGCAAGAAAACTGGTGATGTGTAGAAGCGTTCTGACAAAATTCGCAATGTTGGCCTGCTCAAGGAGGTGAAGAGCATCTCTCTGAGTGAGAGCAATGGCTTCTTAAGCTGCCTGAGGTAGGCTGTGGAGCCGCTGCGCCTGATGAGTCTCTGCCGCCGCCGGCCTGACTCAGCGCCACAAGTCAAGCCATCGTTTCAGGAACTCGACTTATGGCTTCCTACATGCCCAGAGAATCAATCGCCATATGCTAATAAAGCTCAGAGACAGGAATGCGTCATCATGTACATACGCGTCATGTAACAGCATCACTGAGAGTCATTTCGTAAGCACGCTGCATCTGAATAAGCCGCCATCTCGTCACACAAGAAGGAACACAAAATAGAAGCAAAATATTCGCCGACACAATGCATGCCTGCCGTTCATTAACCAAAAAGAAATGGATCTGCTTTACGCGACCCTCGCCATATCATACATTAACCTTGGTGCCAGTAACCCATGCCTGCCTAGAATGCCAACCCGTTCACTCCTGTCCCCTATCCGACATGTCCTTAAAAGAAACCCTAATGTGCCGTGTCTGTGTTGAACCGAGATTCGTGGCCATTCTGGTGGCACCAGAGTACTTCTGGTGCCACCAAGACCCATCTTCCCATGTCTTTGTTCGGTTTTTTCCGCTCGTGTATATGTGTGATTGAGCAATGCTTGATGTACACTTCGTTGAACAGCGTTTGAGTCTTCGGGAATGTTGCTCATCATGAATCGTCAAGCCGAATGAAGTGAAAGGCGAAAATAATGCGGAATGCCCTCCACCGAGGAATACAAAAACAAATGATCACGCCCGCGAAAGAAGCATAAAGTATGTATAGTAGTACAATCATAAATCGGTGCAAATCATCAAAAAGGTCACCTATAGCCGCCAGCAGCTGCAGAGGATTGGGTTATGGTGACAGTGCTATCCCGGTTTGGCCTTCTGATCATGCTGCTGGTTCGACCCAGCAAAGACTGCCCCATTGACATGTGGCGCTGCGAACGCTCCTCAGGGATTTTCTCTGTCACATTGCTGCCATCGCGATCCTGGCCCGATCTCTCTAGATATCGCCTAGGGGAGGGGACATTCGAGGTCAAAGGCGTGGCCAGTCGTGAGGGGTTCAAGTTGGAAGATGCAAATCTGCGTCGGGGGAGAGCTGACGACCCCAATGTGCTGTTTTCGGAGGCTTGAGGTTGAGAAAGTTGCTCCTGTGTCACGTTCCGCATCGTATTGAGATCCGTGTGAGCCCGTGAAGGCGAGCGGAATATGGGTTGGTCCCCGTCATCTTCTCCCATAGTTCCCCGACGGTTTCGGACAAGCAGGGAGGTTCTCCGGCCTTCCTCGGGTTCCTCGGTGCCTGCCCGTCTAGTTCTCAGCATTACGGACGATCTTCTGCCATCTTCGGGCTCCTCTGTGCCCGCACGGCGGGTTCTCGCCACCATGAGGGATGACCTCCGTTGGGAAATCGACTCAAGTGGGGTCGATGGTGTTGAAGTGGTGGTTCGAGGGCCGGGCAGAGGGTTGCCGTTGAGGAGGTTGAGTCTCCTCTCCTCAAACTTGGACAGGGTCCTAGGACTAGTATTAGACCTTGCCAAGTTTTGTTCCGCGCTGATGCTCGGGCGACGTTGTGAGGTAAACCCAGAGAATGTCTTGTTCAGAGTAGGCGTTGTTGGGGCGTCGCTCGGTGCCGGAGCTGGAATTAGAACTGGAGCTGGGACCGGGGCTGGAGCTGGAGCTGGAGCTGGAGCTGGAGCCTGCACTGCGTGTTGTGCCCGCGATTGAGCGCGATCTTCACCCAACGCAACACAAAGTTCTGTCAAGCTGCGACAGACACTGTCTGCTTTCCGTCTCAGTTGGCGATCTGTCATGGTTGTCCCAGAGCCAATGGTACTGGCTCCACTGGAAATTGGGCCAAGTTGACCCGGTGAGCCCATCATCGTCGAAAGCGCCATGGCATCGTTTGCGGCAGACTCCAGTGCCCTGTACACCTCCACATCAAGGAGGTGTTTGGACTTGGTAAGGGCCGCGTGGAGTAGCGGGTGAGCTTCCTTTTGAATGGATGTGTTGCTCAGTGTATCAATCACCTGGTTGTCCTTTCCAGGTCGCTTTGGCGACGAAGACATCGTCGTCACTGTTGTGTTTGCTGTGGGCGGCCGTTCGTCAGAAAGTCGCGACACTGCGGCACCAGATGTCGACGGCAGTTTCCCCGTAAGTTCGAGGCGATGGATTCGCGATTTGAGGTCGTCAAGCTCATCCCATACCGTTGATGGGGCAGTATTGGAGGTTGTTGATTCGGTTCCCTCAACCTGGCTAGCTTCGGCCGCGGGTTGTTGCTGCTGTTGCTGGGGAGGAAAATCAAATGATTTAACCAGCGGTGATGAGTTGTAGGCTTTGCTGTGATTATGCGCAGTAGGGGTCCTGAACGTCGGGCCTCTCGCCTGTGGCGTGGAGTTGTTGTCGGTTATCGACGGTCGGCGGCGCGACTGCGACGCATTTTCGGACTCCTGGAAGGCCATAGATCGAGGGGTTAGGGGGGGGCTCGCGAACTAGAACCGGTAGTTCGTATACGGCCCAGGTCCTCTCCAGGATGGGCTGAGGCGGCCTTTTCCCTCGCAAATGTTCGGTAGGTGGACATGCGAGACACTTCGCTCGCTCGGTCATCGTCATAGTGTCTTTGGCGTGAGGTCTCTTGCTGATCGGAGAGTCGTCGGCGGATTTGAGGAGGTGAAGTCGGTTTATAGGTCGGGACCACGTTGGACAGTGGGCGACGGTGGGAGCGTGTCACCCGTGACTGTTCCGGTTAGCTCCGAACAAGGCAATGAAGAGTGACAAATCGCAGGTTCAGGGACTGGTGAGTGGAATAAATGGACAAGAATAGGAATCCCTAGGTTTTTTTTTTTTTTTTCATGTGGAGTCTTTTGGAAGTCGAGGCAGAGGCGGTTACAGGTCCGCGTCTCTCGACACGCATGGCGCTGAGACACACACCGAAAAACAAAATCCAGACGCAAGGGAAAATGACTTACTACTACACTCTGGGTCTCATCTGGCAGATTTTCGTCGGGCCGGCGCCTAGATGACTCTTCTCGGGCAATCTTAAGGAAAACATCACCAGTGTCGTCACCATCGAGGGTATCGCGACGGCCAGAGCCGGAGGTTGCCGAAAGCAGAAAATCTTGGTCGACTCTCCCCTCAAGGGCGCGAAGGGTACGGTCGTAGCTGGAGTCGAGAGGGTCGTCCCCAAAATCGTAGGCGCGGGGCCTCGTAGGCATGTCGAGGGTCAGGCTCTTGCGAGAGCCAGAGGAGCGGAAGGCTCGAATTGGCGGGACGCGAACGGGCGTTGACGTGGATGGTTGTGCGTTGTGGTTGACGGGTGGTCGGTACGAGACTGGAGGTCGATGCGAGACGGACACTCGCCTGTCATCGAGGGAGTTTGAGTTGGATAGCGCCTTGGGCAGGATCAATTCTCGCTGGCCGGGGGGTGAAGAATCCTTCGATGACCTGTCGGATGACCAGTGGACAGCCTGGGCGGCCTCGACGGCCTGTAGGCGATCCGAGTTCAGTGTGGGCGGCGGGCAAGAGGAGGATGCAGCAACATTCGACCTGCGCGATGTAAGGGATCGCCGGCTCCGAGATCGAGCGACAACGGATGCGGAATGCGGGGATTCCAGATCAGCGACGTCCTGGACGGGAGATGTGTTGGGGAATGATGCGGGACGCCTGGCTGGGGCGGTCGGCTCAGCAACGGAGACGGGAGAGTCGGGCTGGGAGGAGGAGGTTCGTGAGCGGTGTTGCAAAAGCGGCGGTGAGGCGACGGCGGCGATGGCGGCGATGGAAGTCGAAGTTGCGGCGGACGGCGGTGATGCAGAAGTGGACGCGGGTGCAGATGCAGACGCAGACTGTTTTTCGATGTGGTGATGCGTTGTCGGGTGAGCAAGGTTCTGGGCAGTCGCTGGGAGCGTCAATGCTGGGACCACATCTGGCGCCTCAAGGGGACCAGTAACGGCGGCGACGGGGCCTGGGTCAGTGGATGAGCCAGTGGACGGGCCTGCTAAAGGACCTGGGAATGGGCCTGTATCTGCTGATGGCAGTTGGATTGGGCTTGTGACGGGGCCAGCGCCGGGGCTCGGATTGGGTGAGACTGGCGAGGGTGGCGCGTGGTGCGCTAGCGACGGGTGCGACAGCACCGCTGATGTGCTGGAGGTGCTGGCGCCGCTGGCGCCGTTGGGGTCGTCGGCGCTGTTGATGCCGCTGTGGTTCTGCGCGCTAGCGTCAATGCTCTCGTCGTTGTTGGTGTCAGTGCTGCTGCCGCTGGTCTTGCGGTCGGCAAAGCGAAAAGAGGGCAACTTGGACGAGCTGTGGCTCTGGCGGTGCGAATCTGTGTTGGTGATGCTCGGTGCTGAGGCACGGGGGATCGTGGTGGTGGGCAGGTTCTGGACCATGTCGGCACCGTTGAGAGTGTGGCCCAAGTGGCCCGCACTGGTGAAACCAACCTTTGCACTCATGGTGTCGCCCACTGTAGCATCCCAGCAAGTGCTCTGCAGCGGATTGACGGTGGATTCGAGTGCTCCGCTGCCGCTGGAGCTGGACACGGAGCCCTTCCCGGGGGGTCCCTCGCTCACACAAAGCGTCGTCGTGGTTGTGGTCGTCGTCGCGGTAGTGGTGTTGCAAGCGCAACACTCAACGGGCGGTAATGGCGACGTCGTTATCGGTCTTGGTGAATCTGCTATGCCGTGTTTGGCTTGCTGTTGTTCCTGATTTCCGGGTCTCCGAGTCCTTGGCGGGCGGTTCTTTCGCAATAATTAGAGATTAATACAGGTGGCACTGTCGTGGTCGGGTCTCGGTCCTACACCGTTCCATGGAACACGGGACAGAAGTGGCTCCGGATGTCTCGCCTTCGTCCAAACTTCGGCATGCAACGGATCCTCCAAGGGCGAAAGGCACGAAGAGTGCAGCGACAATTCTGTCTGTCTCATCAACGGCCTGGGGTAGCAAGGTCGGTAAGGTAGCAAGCAACCAGATGCTGGAGAGGTTGGTTTTATCCGGGGAAGAAAAGTCGGGGAGCGAAACCGGGAGGCGGTCACGGCCTCGGGTCCGATGATTAGGTGATTAAGGAGGGCAGAGAAAGAAAGAACCAGGCTTGGGGAATCGAACAGGAGGGAAAGAGAGGATGAGAAGGAAGTACAAGCGGAAGAGGACGAGGAGGAGAAAGCCCATGAGCCAGGAGAGGGAAAAAACGAAGAGAGCAGAGAGCAGAGAGCAGAGAGAAAGAGGAGGGGTCTGTCAGTCTGTAAGGTTTGGTTTGGTGCGCGCGAGCAAACGTCGGCCACGACAGACAGGGCCACCACGAACGGGCCCTTTCGATCCAATGGAGACCAGCCAACCCAACAAGGACAGGATCAAGCAGTATGGATACCTGACCTTTGGGCAACGGGACGGTCAAGTGCAGTCGACGGCTCCGGACTCCTCGGTCAAGGCATGGATGTACTGTACCTACCTTGACCTGCCACCCTGCTACCGTCGGCACTACGTACTACGCAAGCAAGGCACTACCTGTGGCGCGTTGCGTCCGTTCGCCTTCACGTTGCTTGCTCGCAAACCGGCCAAGGGCCAAAGGGCCAAAGGGGCGGGGGGGAAGACATGGAGGGAAATGGATGGAGACTCTCAAATTATGGCATGTGGATTTGTGTGTGGATGCAGTTCGCGGCGGCGCCTTTCTCGAACCCAGGCCAAACCCAATTGCTGCAGAGCACGCACATCACACAGGCCCGCTGCAGTAGGCCAACCATGGATTTGATCTGCAATCCGACTCCCCTGCCATATGCAGAAGGACGAGGTTCGAGTCCCAAGCACCCAGCGCCGAGCCCCCCGGCCCCTCACACTGACTATCAAACATACAGAATGTTGTGCAACCTCCATACATCTCACCCATGGGCCACTGGTGGGACACAGTTTGTTGGGCAAACAACGGCGTTGTGTCTCGCCTTGCGCCTCTTACAAGAACTCTCCCTCCTTTTGCGGCCCTAGGTGGTATCCGTGGAACCATTCCGTCTGAGCCGGCGAGCTCTGTGCCCCCATTCCATGCCCCCAAGCTCGAGGTTCAAGCTCCCGTCTGTCCGCGCCCTGCTTGGCCGGTTCGACGATAGGAAACGGCAGCGATTCCTAGCCAGTTCAGTCCTCGCCCGGCCAGGGGCGCTTCCTTCAGACAGGGGCACCTCGTCCCTCTAACTGCGAACTACCTCGTCTGGAGGTCGAATTGATAGCGCGGGGGGCAGGCAAGGGCCGCCGTTGGACTCAACCGCCACAAAGAATCGCTAGAAAATACAAGGGCCGGGCGTTGTCGTTCGAGGAGGCTGGGGGGGAGGCTCCGTTCCAGGGAATAGCGCCAGGAGCTTCGGCCAGCCGGTTGTCTAGCCTCGTGGGAATGGGAAGTGCTTGCTGGGGGACTCCCATCTCCAATCCCTGTGCTGAAACAAGAGGCTCCCTCTGCGGTCGGACTCTGGGATAGGGTTGTCGACGCTCAAGGGATGGATTTGACGGAAACATGGTGGACGATTGTCAATCCACCAGATACAAAATACCCCGATCCACAGCAGTTCATCCCGGTATGCTGCTATGAATATATATGTATGTATGTATGTATGTATGTATGTATGAAGAATACGGTATGAAATGGTTATCCCAGGATGATCTGACCACCTGTAAAGGTCTCGTTCCGCCATCGGCCTCAGTCGATGGTTAGAGGAGTCCATGACGGGGTGCTGGAATTATTCGCTCGCCAACTGCGTCTACTCGGTGCCACTGACCATCAGAAAACAGACCAGTGTGCTGCAGTCGCGTGGCCACCTCCAGAATCAATCGGGAGGCTGGCAGCATTTTGTATGCATCGTTGCCCAAAAGCTCCGTCAAGTCAGTCCACGATCCATTTTCCATGCAGTTGTGCGGCCGGCTGTTGGTCGAGCCTCGTTCGCGTGCAAGCCCGCAGACAAGCCAGTGGAAGCCAGCAGGGGCGGCTCTGCATTAGCTTCGTGTTTGTGCAGAATGTACTTCGTTGTACACGGGGATATTCTCCATTCCTCGATTCAGCCCCCGTCTCAGCTCTTGGCTCCTGGCGCTTGGCCCATTGTCGACAAGCCGGCGTGCCGTGTCTCTCTTCGCTTGCTACTCTGAGCTTCAATTCCGCACCCGATTGTGCCTTTCGCGAGTCAAGCGGCTCAAGCATACGGAGTAAGAGCCACGTAGTTGCGCCGTCACGACGGCATCATTTGGCTGTGTCTCCCGCGGCCAACTTTCCGCTGCAATGGCATACAAACCTTGTCACATCCATGGCATTCCTCTCGATGAAAGGACCATCCGTCCCAGGGGCCCTTGTTACGACAGGACCACCTCTAATTTTCTTCCCTTGTTGAAGCGTTTCGTCCCCTTCCCTAGCAGCGTAGATCGCAAACGACCAGCCACCGGCAACCGGCCTGGGCAAAGCACGTAGCCGTCGGGAGGTACTGTACTCCGTATCTGCCCCCCGTTGGAAGTAGCCAAATCCGATCCGTCATATGTGCCCCCGTATCCTGCAGCGCCCGAGCGACGCGGGCTTGAAGTCGCACAGCATGTCAACTCGTTGCTAGCTCAGAGTCTAGAGCTAGGGCGCTTCTCCCCTTACCAGAGATTCCCCTATCACGCCGGACAATCTGCGTGACCCCTATTCTGGTAAAGCCGCCTACCTAGGTAAGTCAGCTGCGGACTATGTACATCATTTCACACCCTCATCCTCTAACCAACTTGCGAGGCCAATCTTCAAACGCCTTGGTCGCCATGGTGGGGGTTTCACTACGGAAAAGAAAAGAAAAAGGAAAGAAGAAAAAAATCTATAGAAGTCTTTCTCGCAGCAGCCATCGTGGCTGACGGCAGGGCAAGTACTTAGTGCGTGTGCCCTCCTGCAAGATCCATCGATGCCATCGAGCTCCAAACCACGCACGATGGCTCCGTGTAATCGCTCCGTGCACCTCATACATAAAAGACGTTTGTGCATTTGCGGGAATCGCTCCGTAGTTCATGTGGAGATGCAAACTCCCCCCAGCAACCCATCACACGTGGCTAACCGTCCCAAGGGGGAAGTTTCTAGGGTTCACAACGGGTCTCTAGACCATTGACTCTAATTAAACCAATCCTCACTTCGACCGAGCTTCTCTTCTGGCCTGATTACGGGCGTCCAACGTACGTAGTCTAGCTGGCGCAATGCAGGTCCCAGGCGAATTATCGTATCTCCGTCGACTGGAGGAAACCGTTGTTGTGGTATGAACCCTGTTCGTTCCATTCACCTCGGGCATACTGTAAAATATTGAACAGGGACTAACGCTTCAAGGTCAACTAATGGGCTTATTGAGACAGCAACTAATGTTGCAACAGTGCCATCCTACCTTTTTCGGTCCCTGATCCTGCTGTCATTCCCGAATAGTCAATCCCAATTAATCGGTTTACTACTGTAGCCTTGATGGTGGAGATATCCTCCTAACCGTGCTCGGTGGCTAGAACCCGAAAACCCTTGTGAGTTCGTCATAGCTCAACCACAACCTGATGTGAATTACGCAGGCCTAGGAACAATTCAATTGTGCGGCGAAATATCCTTATCCGCTAGAAGGGGTCCGGGAACACGGCAGTGTTGTACTCCGTAGATTGGTGATGGTCAATTGCTCGGATACACCACCCGACTTTGTCGGCTACCCTATACTATCACTGCAGTATTCTCTGAAACCTCAACACTCGGGTCCAGATCTACGGTAAGAAGCAGTTAGTCTTGTTCTAGCTTGGTATACGCGGATAACTATGTTATCATGGGCATAGATTGACAACCATCGGATTAAGAACGATTGCCACAAGAAGTAATCTCACCAAAGCAGAGAGTAACATAGGTGAACAATCGGAAGAACATTTTGTGAGACCGAAGCGGACTTTGGTCTTGGTACTAACACTTATCCTGGTATTAATTACATCGCAAATGAACCAGGAGGAGTATTTTTGGTTTAATTATAATTTCCAATAAACCGAGCGCAGTTAACAGAGACGCTACGTCGATGTGCCTCCAGTAGACGTTCATGGAAAGAGGATGCACGACATGACAGGGAACATGACAGGTCTCAAAGCCGATGGACTTGTAACTGAGATGTCAATGGCTGTAACATTGCACAGTTTGATTTCCAGTTGTGTTGCGCAAGTCAAGCCACGTCCGCGACGGTAAAATACATGATATAACCACCGTGCCACTTTTGAATAGCTACCCCAGGTTACGCCGCACCATCCATGCAGCGCGGTTACAGTGCTGTCAGACCAACAGATGTCCTTCTAGGCAAACCTTTACCAGACCAGAAGCACTCACCGATACCAGTATGACACCGGGCCGAGCAGCGATGCGGTGGCCGAAGTGAATCCGGAATTCACAAGTGTGTCGACGGAGTGACAACCCGCGTTGCAGCCGGCGTGATATTCGTCTTGAAATCGGAGGATCGCAAGCAGGCTCCCAACATGCATACAAGGAAGGTATTTTCTCCAGGCGTAATAACACGTTGTTGACCTGGCCCGAGTTTCGGGATGTTCCGATACACCTGAAACTCCAAGATGGGGCCTGTTGAAACTTGCCAGACACCCCTCTTATACTTCGTCTTATACAGGAATGGTAAGAAGGCAGCTCGAGCCTGGCCGCTGCCTGGCCACCGCCCGTGGATCATGTTTGAGGATGATGGCAATGAATTTTCCGACCGGTTGGTTGCCTTGTTGTCACAGATGATGCTCGGACCATTGGTCAGGTTGTTTCCAATGTGAAGCTGAAGCAGTGCAAACTGTCTGAGCCTCGCCTGGTTTCCGGAACAACCACACCTCGTGTTACACCTTGCGCACCCAGTTTCCGGCCTACCCTGGACGCCGGCTTCCAAACCTGCTTGGCACTGTTCAAGCACGCGACCAAGAAAGTCCCGGTTGGTGGAACTTTAGGGCGAGTTGATGACTTGGCGTGAGGATGTTTTCGCCACGAGAAAGATACGAGCCACGCTTTGTGGTCACGAGCTGCCTGGAACGAGAACATGATGTGAGAATATCGTGTTTGGTCAGCATCATTCATTATGTAACTCGAAAATAGAAGAGGTATCCAGGCTTGAGTTGGATAAAAGATCCCATCTCACCACATGAACAGGAATATGACGCCTAAATATGGAAAGGTGGTAAACGCTTGTCATCTTTGCTGGGCCTGTGCAAGGCTTCGCCCCTCACAGGTCTCTTTCGGCCGAGTCGAATAACAAACTGGGATGAGTCGTGATATGAACGCAAGAGTACAGAAGCCAAATTCATCCGCGGTAATACAGGCATGGTGCATATCACGAAACAAGCGCAATGGCGGTTGTCACCGCAGACGGAATGGGAATGCAGAAATAGGATAGCCGAGCAAATAATGAATTATGAAGGACGAGGCGGGGAGGGTGATGAATACGGGTGCAAAGCGCTACGCGACCCTGTAATGGGGAATCGCGTTTCAGATCCAACGTCCATTTTTCGTCCCCGCCAGTCCAAAAACGCGTCACCCCAAATCTCATCTCCGCCCCAAGAAGGGTCCAGGGCTCCAGAACTCCAGATGCGGGAGTTTGTCCGGGGGGGGGGGGCGGGGGGGGCTTGAAGAAGCGCGGCACAGTGCCCATAATACTGCTGCGACTTTCAGGTGGCTTATTAACTCAAGGGTCAGGCGTTGTATAATTACTATACGCCCGTGGCATCTAATAGCGGACAAGCAGATGACAACCCGCGCTGCCGGCATTGGCATTGACAGGGCCAGTGCGCGGGAGGGCGGACGAACCCTGCAGCGAGATCGATTCCTGCCTGTATCGACCACCGAGGGTTAGCTTCGGGGCGGCGCGGAACTAAAAAAGGCTTCTCTTGTCGAGGTGGGCATGCTGGGTGCTGGATGCTGGGTGCTGGATGTCTCCCCTTGTTCTGAGCAATTTGATTTGCATCGATCGCCCAGCGTGCAATCTTACGTACGTGGTATGTTCGGTTACAGGGCCGGACACTCGTCTAGGCGCTGAAAGCCCGTTAGAGGCTGGAAGCAATATAATAATAGCCTTGGCGGTCAAACAATTAATGGAGCTCCTCGTACAAAGTGGCGGTTTCGTCTGTGCCACTATCGCTGTGGCTTTAGCTGATCTACCACCAGACGCGGCCCCATCCAGATGAGGCTAATGGGGAAGTGCCGCTCGGCTCCCTCTGAACTAACAATTAGTTGTCGGTCGGTCGCTCGTCAGTGACATTGGATGCAGATGGTCGTGTTTCGCCCACTTAGAATTCCCCGTTATTAGAGCGAGTGCTTCTGCATGGTAATGAGGAGCCGCCCGACCGAGCATGCGAGACACTACCAGTATGGAAGCAGGGAAGCAGTTTGATTAGTACTGCGGCGGATGACGATGAAGATGGCGACTGACGACGGGCGACTGCTGAGTTAGAGTTGCAAGACACAATCTGAGCTCAACTCCCAGGATAACGTAATTGTCCGTTGCTAATTGATCCCTGGTTTCCGTGATTCCCTGGTGGTGGATCTAACATGCTAATAATACTCGCCTTACATAGTACGCTTCCTAATAACGCGCATATGTCTCCGCGGGGTGGCTCACTCTCTGATTACTGCAGGTTAGGCATGTCCGTACGGGGTTAAGTAGGCATAAAGGTAATTAACGAATACAGCCAGGTAAGGATGGATGCAGCCCAGAGCGACGTGACGCAACACAATGCAGCGTACCTTTCGTCTGGATCACAGGCGATTTCTTCCTCGTCCAGCACAGTATTGGCGCCGCCGTTGCCACTGGAGGCGCCGTGGTGATGATGGGCGCCGTCGTGGCGCAACCAAAAACCCGGCCGAGCCACGAGGCCCAGGATGCCAGTGACCAACCAACTGCTGACCTCAGTCGCCGCCCGAGATCAGAAACCCTTGCATCTCAACCATCCTTCGGGAACCGGTAGCCTGGCTGGACCAACCAAGGCCACGCGAGCCTCGGCCTCCAGCGGTCGTTCTCGCCCCCCCGACCCTGCTCTCTGCGACGTACGTTGGTGACGGCGTGACGCTGGGTAGCAGGCCAGATGAGAGAGAGCGAACAAACCAACCAAAGGGGAGACGACGTGACGGGTCCAGCAACGACCCTCACTGATCAGGCATCTTGGGGCCGGGGCACAGGGCGTCTGACGGCACGCAGTATTAGTTGACGGTGGGAGCGGCCCCCCTCTCTTCGGCCCCCCTGCCCACCTGTGACGCCAAACGCCCGAATCACCGAACATTGGATGAGACGAGGGGACGAACGGGGGGGACAGGGGCGACGGGGTACCGGGGGAGGGTCAGCCAGCGCTGTTGAGCCTGTTGGAGCATCCCTGCCCTGATCTGGCTGCGAGTCTGGCTTGGACGAGCGGCACCCGGCAACCGGTTCAGGACGGTAGCGATCTGTGTTCGTCTGTCGATGAGTCCGAAGCGAAGCGAGGCGAAGGCGAAGTCGTCGAGGGTGTTTCATTGACAGACGACGTGTTGTTTCGTCTCACTCAGACTCGGGCGAAGGTGGCGATGTCCTCGACGGAGAGAGTGAGACTATTCTGCTCAACGGAATTCCTTCTTCCCTCGATCCTGGCTCTCCTCCTTCACAGCACTCGGACATCTGCCAGTCCGTCCCCTCGAGGACCATCAGTGGACGCCCATCGCACAGTGCTCAGATGTATCTGCTGACGGAGCACTCGCGCGCCGGAGGGTTAAATTTAAACCCTCCAACTCTCCACCCTCGTCCCTCCCCGCCCCCTGTAATTCCGAATCCCAAATTTGGTTTCGCGACCGTGATTGGCCAGGCGTAAGCGCCTACCGTGCTGCGCATGCTCTATATTTAGCCTCGACCTGTTTCGCACCGCACCCCTGCCGGTCGCGGGCCAGTGAGGACGCGGCGCGACGCAGCAGAGGCACAGAGGGCCGCAGATGGTCTAACCGGGAAGGGAAACAGGGGGTGGTCAGTGGCCCCTCGTAGCGCTGCATTCGAAAAAAGCTGGCCCCCCAGCCTCTAGTTTAGTGGTCTCTCGGTCTCGAAGTCCCCCAAGTCCCCAAGTCCCCGGTTTCCCAATTCCCAATTCCTCCTTCAGTTGGCCACTTCGGCTGACTGCCTCAGCTGGCTTCAGCAGTGCTTGTTGGCCCAGTTGCCAGGCCAAAGGCAAAGCGCGGACCCCTGTTTTCGGCTCGCTGGGCTTAGAGCGCCCTCCCTCTCTGGGTCTGTGGTGTATCTTGTGTGCTATTATGTGCTCTGTGCTGTGACCTGGCCTGGCACCGGGTCCGGGGTTTGGGCCTGGGTCTGGGTCTAGGTGACTCTCGTCACCTGTCGCCCTGTCGCCTATCCCGAGACGACGTCCTGCCTGGCCCAGCTCCCGTCGCTTGCTGTGCTGCCGGTGAATCGCTGGCTGCAGTTGGTTCAGGTTAGTTTTGGGTGCCGCCGTTGCTGTGTCGGTCGGTTCCTCAGCGCTTCAACTCGAACTCGCTCGGGGTTTGGGACGCCCCTCCCACAGTAACCCGAGAACACACAGTAACGCCCCGCGTACAGCACAGTACAGCGCCTCCACTCCCCCAAGTACCCTGTGCCTCCACTACTGCGTACGCTGCGCGGTGCCCTGTGTGGCCCAGCGCCCAGCGCCCAGCGCCCAGTTCCCAGTTCCCAACTCCCAGCGTCCAGTGCCTGCCTTGCTAACCCACCTAGTTAGTCGCCCACCCCCAGCGTCTGTTTTGTCCTACCCTGTCTGCCCTGTCCTGTTACCAGCCAAACTCAATCCAATCCCAGGCGCCCTCGTCTCTCTTCTCTTCTCTTCCTCATTCTCACTTCCTCCATCCTCTTCCTCCCTTCTTCCTTTCCACGACGCCCAAACCTCCCCAAGAGTCGATCTCCCCAAGGGAATCATGATCCCGTTGTTATAACGGCGCCACACCCAGCCCTGCAGCCGCTCTCCTTCGCATGGTCTTCCCGAGGCGCCGATTCTTTGTCTCACCTCGTTTCTGGGATCCGTCCGTGTTCCTCCCTGCCACACGCTCGGCCCGACGACAATAGCTTCTCGCCTGTTTCTCGTCGCATCCCGTTCTTCTTCTTCTCCTACCAAGAATCGCCCTTTCCGCTCTGAGCGAGGCTCCCTTCTCTCCTTCGCACCACCCCGACCGACGCCCCAAGGGTTCCCCAATACCCATTCTCAACCGACACTGCTATCCTCGCATACCTCAGTGACAGGATCCAGCTGCGCTGTCCACCCACTCGAACCGACTCTCGATCGGATCGCCGTCCGCGAAGCCACTCCTTCTCCCGGTTCGACTTCTTTCCCGTCGCCCTTCTCAAACATAACTTTATAATTCCAAACGATACTGTCCCCGGTGGAAAGTACCGTGGTCAACTGAGACGACCAGCCAATCCCAGGAACTGTACCCTCCAGAGTGACACCCCTCCGGAGCGACGCCATCTCAACCACCACAGATTCCTACAACAACCACACCCACACCTCCGCACCGCGTCTTGTCGTCATGCCTTCAGCGACAGATCGGAGAGTGTACGAGGATCAAATACCCTCTTTTATGACCGTGTTTGATCTGGATGCCGAAACCATGGCCGATCAAGAAACCGTCACCCTTGTGGACCCTAAGTTCGCCGGCATGGAGTCTAAGGCGCCTGGGCTCATGAACCCTTCTCAGCAACACCCTTTCCGCACGGCCATGATTCCTACGGATCCAACCCACAAACACCACGAAAGCACCTCCACTCAGATGTCAGAGTCGACCGACTCTTCTCCCACGACGACGCTGTCCACAACCGACTCAGCTTCTCTCTCGGACCCTTCTCCGTCCTCATCTCCCGACTCCCCCGTCAACCTCATCCCTTTGAGCAGCTTCCCCGCGACTACCTTTGGCAACCTCTCTAGCAACACTGCCAGCATCTCAAACAACCTTAACTTGCCGGGCCCCCCACGCCTGCAGCGGCCTATGACTTCGCCTTCACCACGCCGGGCGCGGAACATGAAGGGTCTCTCCATTCAGCCCCCATTCGCAACTTCGACGACAACAACGGTGTCTTTAGTATCGGAACCTTCTTCTCCATCCTTCATCAAGCCCATGATACCTGCCATGAAGCGAAAGCCGAGTCAGTTGAGTCTTAAGACTAATACCTCCGATTTCATCTCCAAGACTACGCTCGAGATTCCTGCGTCACCAGCAATGCCCCCGATGTTGCAGCGCCGTGCCCTCAAGCATTCAACGTCATCTCCTCACATGCTGTCTGGTCTCAAGTCAACCACCTTTGGTCCAGCAGGCGGCATGACTTTCCCCAAGGTTTTAGAACGCAACGAATCGGGTCTGTCTGAGGTTCTGCGACCAATGAAGTCGAGTATGAAGATGTCGTTTGATGCCGTGATTACGGAGGAGGAATCACCCATCAAGACTCAATTGGCCAACCGATCAGAGCTAGAGCCGTTCCAGGAGAACGAGAATAACGAGGACCTAAAGACTCCAGGTTATCCCGACGGACCCATTGCTATCTATGGCGACAACGTTTTCCTCTACCTGGAACCCACGGCTGAGGAAGCATCCCGCTTTGACGTGGTAATTAACGTCGCCCGCGAGGTTAAAAACCCCTTTGAGATTCGAAAGGCCGCCCAGGAGTACCAGACAAGACTCAACCAATTCCGACAACCCACGCCTGAGGAAGAAAGCCCCATCCCTGACACCGCTGTGTCAACCGCTAGCTTTTCTACGGCCTTCGAGTACCCCCTTGCTGAGGACTCGATCGAAACACCGACCACCCCGAAGGCATTCTCCTTCAAGGACCCGGAATACATTCACATACCCTGGGACCACAATACCGATATTGCACCGGATCTAATGAGATTGTGCGACACCATTGAAAACCGGACCAAAGAGGGCAAGAAGGTGCTTATCCATTGCCAGCAGGGCGCTAGCCGCTCTGCCAGCCTCATCATCGCCTACGGCCTATACCAGAAACCCGAAATGACAGTCAACGATGCTTATTATGCAGCACAAGCTAAGAGCAGATGGATCAGTCCCAACATGAAACTCATGTACTCATTGCAGGATTTCCAGAAGGAGATGTCAACAAAGCGATCATCCCCACCCTCATTCCGACCTCGTACTGGAAGAAGCCCAACAAAGCACCGATTGACACTTTCGGCCGATGCCATTGAAATCAACCCTAAAGAGCCGAAAACTGCGCCTCTGCCCGAGACGGATGACCGATCCAACGAGGCAAGCCCTGGACAAAGCCCCAACCGACTGAGAGGGAACTCGACACCAGGTCCTCGACCAGCAGTCTCGCCAGGTCCAGCCTCAGCACCACCCAACTACACATGGGCGGAGGAAATCGAGCAAAAGACCGAGGAACGTTTGAACCCTTTCAAGTTGGGTGAGTTGCCTGCACGACCGAAATCCGGCCATGGCAGGCCCCATCCAACTCTGGGTTTCCCTCCAACCTTGGCTGAGTCTCCGATTCCAGCTCCAAGCCTCGCTCCGGCTGCAAGTCTAGCACCAGGTCCAGTGTTGAATCCATGGTCTAAACCGCCTCCGTCACCTGGATTCTCCTCGCCTGCGAACTTCGGGTTTCAAACCTTGTCATATCCCCGATTTAGCGAGCAGCCAGTTGGCAAGTTGGTATTATTCGACGAGCCTGTCGAAAGGACCATTTCCATCCCCGGTGGATATCCTGAAGATGATGAGGCTCTCATGTCTCCTCGGGTCGAAACGATGACCAAAAACCCACTTCACTCTTACCCCGATCCACCTAGTATGCGATTCGTCGAGTGTCCCCCAACACCAAGCGAGGGCCTCTTCTCACCCCGAGCTGGCATGTTTCCCCGGGATCCATTCTCGTCGTTCGTGGGACCTCAACCTGTGTCGGATCCTCGAAGTCCTCCCACCATGGGAGAGGCGCCGATTGTGCGTTCGATCGACGACTTGTTATGATGAAGAGGTCACGATGCATGGCTGGCCTTACAGACGCCTAAAGGCTATCATGGTAAAGAGCTACATATTGGTTCTTCGCTTCCAGTATCTGACATTCGCCTCTTTTATTCGCTACATAACCGGCAATTTTCGACCACATTCTTACACGGCATTTTCAGGGCGTTCTTGCTACAGGGGGGACATACCACTTGTGCATCATCCAGCAGGCACTCGAGCCTCGACGATCTCGAAACATTGACGTACGATGATACGTATTCAACTAAAATTCCTTTTGTCGCCACTACCCAATCAATCGTTTATATTCGACACCACCCATCTACTCTCGTTTCTCTTTCAACAAAGCACAGCGCACGGCGTCGAACGGTGCAGCCCATGGTGTCAACATGTTGTTGACCCAACTAGTGTAATTTAGACGATGGCCTGTCTTCACTTCTGTTTTTTTTCTCTATGTCTTTGGTTCGTGCTGCGCTTGGACTACAAAACGGAGTGGCGTATGGGTAGCTTAGGAAGCTGCTCAGTTTTGATTCAGACGGCGAGGGGGATAGTGGGCAGCAGGGGAAGTCAAGGAAACTCCATGGCAAATGGGGAAGACAACTGCTATCTTGGGTTATAGCAGGGAGTTTGGAAGCAAAGGGATTCTTATACCTATGGTGGAGATTCGGTCTGCAGATGTGATTAAATAATCGCATGAAGTGAAATGGAGAAGATGTTCATCTTCACATTAAATGTGTGCATTTCCGTGATCTGACTTGTCGGTATCTTTGAATGTTGACTTTCTGTGCTATGTTTATAAACAAAATCATATAGATTCACACCCAACGCCATCTTTTTGTGCGTCATCTTTCTAGTCATGCATTTGTCTCCCGTTCCGTCCGTAGCGTCTATAGATTCTTTTTCCCACCCCCAGCCGCCTTCTTGGCCGCCTCCTTGGCAATCTTCTCCTGGCGCGCAATGCCAGCCTCGACCCCGATACCGCCAAAGACCAGGGCGACGCCTAGCCACTGCATCTGGGTGAGGCGGTGGCCGAAGGCGAGGACGGACAGGATCATGGTGAACATCTTGCGGGTGACGGTGACGGTGACGAGGAGTACCGAGGAGAAAGTAGAGAGGGTGTAGACTGGTAGGGGACATGTTAGATTGCGAAATGGAGATGGCAGAAAGTGGAGATGGGGATAACTTACAGATGAAGACCTGGCCGACGGCGCCGCACGCCGCGAAGCCCAGGACGTCCTTCCACACGGCCGGGTACCGGCTCATGAAGTCCAGTGCAGCCGTGAGCTCGCCAGCACTGCCAGCGACATCCATGCCAAACCACTCGCCGAGACCGGTGGCAACGAGCCAGGGGCTCAGGATTAGGTATGCGCCGGTGACGAGGGTGCTCATCATGTTGTTGGCGCACATCATCTGTGGTCCCGAGTATGGCCGGAACGACTGGAAGATGTAGTCCTGAGTGCTGTTGGTCAGGCCGTCGAAGAGCAGGTTGATGCCGAGCAGGAGAAGGCCCCAGGCGGTGCTGGCGTCGTCGGCGCGGGCCGACTTCTTGCTCTTCTTGCCCGAGTGCAGCGTGAAGACGGCGACGCCGAGGGTGACGGCGGCAACAACGAGGTACTTGTACAGCGGGTAGCGCTTGCGGAAGATGGTGATGTGCAGGAACATGACGGGCAGCAGCTTGCAGCTCTTGGCGAGCAGGAAGGTGATGTAGTCGAGGTGGGCGAGGCTGGCGTAGCCGAAGGGGCTGGCCAGGCTGCTGGTGACGGCTACGAGAGCGAGGGGAGCGAGGATGCGCTGGGACGGGATGATGGGTGCGATGCTGGCGCCGGTGGGCGTCGACGCGACGAGGTATACGGCGCCGACCGTTGCGGCGAAGACGGACTGGATCGTGTTGAGGAAGACGGGGAAGTGCCACACCTCAGGCGCGTCGGCCGGGCCGTAATGTGTCGTCGTGAGCTTCTCCTGGAGGTACGCCCACGTCAGGCTATGACAGGCTGCCCGTTAGCATCTGGATTGCCGCTGGTTGTATTGCGACGTAGCCGCAGCAGAGGATCATGGACTTACAACGAAGCATAGATGCCCGCGACAGCAACGACAAGTTGCACAACACCTGCTTCGGGCTTCTCATGCGCCGCGTCCGTCTTGGCCGTCGCCGGATGGCCATTGGCCATCTTGTCCCCCTTGCCGCTGCCATTGGTATCCTCCCAGGTCGCCGTAGTCTTGTTGAAGAACTCGGATGACGCTTCGCGCTTGATCGCCGGTTGCTTGGTTCGAGCCATGGTGTTTGAAGGGTATCACGCAAGTCGCGAACAATGATAGGAAGTAGGAAATGACAGACAAGTGTCCCAAACAAAAGGTGGTCAAAGTAATGGCGCAACGCTAGAAGAGAGCGACAGGAAAGGTAGGAGTGAAGGAAATGAGATCGCACCAAAGCAAGGTTCGTTTAAGTTCGCTGAGTTGCCATCATGAAACTTGACAGTTGGCTTCATTACCCTAGCCGTCAAGGGACATACAGGACCCTGAGGCTGAGGACCAAATCAGATCGAACCCCACCAGCTGCGCCACAATACTTGGCGGTGCTCGCTGTGGCGCTTCTCATGCAGCTCCATTCTCAAACGTCGTCACAGCAGGCAGGGAAAAAGGCACCATCACTGGAATTTGGCAACTAAATTATGCCCAAATAGTTTTATTTTTGTGGCTCTTCGTTCCTAACTAGATACACTCCCAGCAAGACATCCTACCCCGAAATCTGGATACGATATTGCAAGCCATAGCATGGGTGTGAAGCGGCAAGGAACAAGTTTGAGGGGGTGAGGTGAGCGTTGAGAATAAGGGGGATGGGGTATGTAAGAGCGATACGTGGTTCGGGATTATGTGAGCGGTAACGTCGGTAGGCGCAGGTCGCGTGGGTGTGTCGAATTCCGAGGTTGTAAGAGAGAAAGCCGGTTGCGCGTGGGGAATGGGTGGGGAACGTGTCGTAAGGATTGAGTAGAGATTCAAGGCAGAAGACCACGATGTGCCCTTCTCGACCCCTGAAAGGAATGCGCTGTCCCGAGCATCACCGGCTCTTTTGGTATTTTTTTTGGTCATTAAGCCCCAGCCATCTCGGTCAAATCCGAAATGGTGCCATCAGTCGTTAGAAGGAGTACTGTGCCATGTCGGAGAGTCATGAAACAGTATCCCGTCATGAGAAGGAGGGTGCCGCGAGAGTTTAGTCGAGAGGATTTGATACAGACGGTTTGCCACATGGCAAGGATAGCGATGCATCGCACCGTCACCAAAGGGGGTGAGTTCGGTCAAATTGGGGGGTGATGAGGCGATATCAAGAAGAAGGGCAGCGAGGCAAGCAATGACCGCAGGTTGTGTCATTGAAGGCTCGCGCCAGCGGCGTTGTTGCGATAGGAATGAGAAGGAGAACAGACAGGAAAAAGAGAACGGCGTTGAGATGATGCTGTTTGGCGGGGGGAGGGGAGGGAGTGCTCGTCGTTACATCGTCTGGTATCATCCACGGAGAAAACAGAAGCCTTGCGGCAAGCCAGATCTGGAACTGCCCAGGTCGTTGTTGCCAAACCCGACCTCAGCAAGTCGCATGGAACATGCGAAGCAAAACTCAACTAGACGGTTAGCCGGGCTAGGCGGCGCCTACTCGGTGTCCTGGATCTGACTTCGGCGCATCTTCTCGGCTTCGAGGTTCTCGTATAAGAGGAACAGCGCCGATTCGTTGGCCTTGGCAGTGCCCATGATGGTGAACATTCGCTCGCCAGTCTCATCATGGGGAGCCTAAAGTGTGATTTCTGTTAGATTACGATGGTTCTCCGTTTGTCAATCTTTCGCTGGGTAGAAACAACTTGCCTTGGCAATGGAGATGCGGGCGCCAGACGTCTTGCGGATCTCGCTAATCTTGCTACCAGCGCGTCCGATGATGCAACCCACCATGTCCGCAGGGATGCTGATGTTTTGCGTTTGGATCTCTTCACCGTTCTCATCGTGGGTAGGAGGTCCTCGAATGGCAGCGTCAGAATCAGAGCGGCGGTTGTAGGGCCGGCTGCTGCCGTTGCTGAAGTCGGCACCATTGCCTGTTCGCATCACACGAGGGCTACCAAATTCGCCCCTGCTTGAACCAGTGCTATATCCCACTCCGCTGGTGCTGCTACCGCCGCCAACGGTTCCGGTTGTGGCGGGCTGGGTGCGAACGACAGGGTTGTAGAGAACGGTTCCGGTACCACGCTGCCAATCATCGACCAAGCACTTGCAGATTTCCCAAATGGCCCGCTGGATTCCCTCGGGAGTACCCTGGACCTCGACTATCCTTTCGGTGGACTGAGGCAGCATCTCCTTCTGAGCAACCATGCGAACGCCCGAGGCATCCTGGATGTGCTTGATCTTCAAACCCTGCCTTCCGATGATGGTACCCATCTGGTTGTGTGAAATGAGGAGCTTGATGGCTGCACGGGAATGGTTAGTGAGACCAAGACGAGTGCATCGTTTGGGGAGTTTGTAAAGTTAGACGTACGGTGGGTGCCGTTGCTTTGGACAACACCTCCCATGCCCATGGAGGGAGCGCCCTCGAGGAGAGCACGGGCAACGATGGCGTAGGCGCGAGAGATGGCATCGCAACCACCGGTGATGGTCAGGACACGGTCATGGACGCCCTGTACCACCTTACTGACGCCAGCCTTGACACCAGTCTCATCCCTGAGGTCAGCGACGTTCTTGCCGCCCTTGCCAATGATGACACCGGCCTCCTTGGAAGACACGATGGCGCGAAGGGTCAGTTGAGCCTGGGCGTACTCCTCGTCCGTCTTAGGGGCGGGTTCGCCATCAGGTCCGAGACGGTCTTCCATGCGGAGTTGGTCCATGGGGTCGAGGAGGTCGCTGCCGTTGGAGGGGATGTTATCCTGAGGAACCGACATGTTTGTAGGTTGGTGCGATGTCGGGAGATGCGGGGTGAAGTTGTGTGTGGGAGTTGGAAAAGGCGGAGGGCGAATGTTGGACAGAGGGAGTTTTGTCCGGTAGGAAGCTGTTAGAGAGTGTCAGGTCTGCTGATGCGGAGGGGAAGCCTTGTTGTAGTGACAGCACGCGAGCACGTATGCTTGGGGCGACGACAGTGATGTGCGGCGCACAACAACTAGAGCGACGAAACACACGAGAGCGGTGCGACAACGTCCAAGCGCACTGGACAAGGAAAAAATTGGGCGGAGGGCGATTACTGACCTAGAAGTTGACGCTGGGAGAGGCGACAACACCGAGGATTGGCGGGGGAGGAGAATGGAGATGGTGGTGCGGTGCAGTGCTTTTTTTTTCCTGCGGTCGTGTTCGCGAGGCGGGATATGGCGGGGTTAGAGGGTCGCGAGCGCTGATGACGAAGAAAAGCGGCGGCGGGACGCTGTGCGGAAGGGAGGCGGAATGCGGAGGGCGAGGCGCCGAAGGAGGATTTGGTGGGTGAGTGGGGGGGGGGGGAGGAAGAACGGGGAGGGGAGAGGGAGGGGAGAGGAAGACGAGGGAGGGAAGCGGTAGATGAGGTTTTGCGAGGATGGAGAGGATGGAGGATGAGGTTGGGAGGAAGAAGAAGAGGTGGTGAGGTGAGAGACGTAAGGTGAGGTGAGTGACAGAGAATGGAAGAATGGGCCAGCGCCAGAACCATTGGCAAAGAGGAGACAGACCCAGCGAGGAGAGCATGGAGGGGGAGGGAACAGAGAGACAGAACCTACCTGGGCAGGAGGGATGCTATGACCACGCAGAGGAAAGGTCCCCACCCAGGTACTTCCCTGTACATGGCACCGCAAGCATGCAGCCATGGGAGTTCTTGGAAAAGTGACCAAAGTGCGTCCTCTCTGGCGGACCGGGTTAGAGGTACTGCGTCCTACGTGTGCCGAGCCTGCCTGATCTATGTAGCAAGTACCCTCCTCGCCTGCTCACCTCGCCTGCCTACCTAGCTACCTCTACCTATTCACCCGCCAAGCTCCAGCCCAGCCCACCTGCCGGATCACACACCCACAATCATGCCGACCTAGAACTGCGACCAGCAGTTCTCAGTGCTTCTGCCAGCACCTCGGACAGGGGAAGGTACCCAGATGGGGCTCTGCTTTTTGCTTTCCCATCTTGTGCACCAGCCAGCCGTCTCCGACGCCCGGCCGATCATCATGTGTGCGACCGCATGGCTCTTGGACCAAGTTGAACCTGCGATCATGGGCAAAGGCGGGGAACCTACCTTACACCCGCTACCGACAAAGTACCGACCTGTACACTTTCCAAGGCTCCTGGCCGTTGTGATTGTGGGAGCTGCGAAAGGATGGGCACGGGACAGGAACGGACGGCACTTGTCTACCTTATTACTTGCCCGTCTGCCGTCTTTCCAACTTTGCCTTACGTGGTACCTCCCTTCGGACGGTACCTTCTTATTACCTTTAGTACCTGCCGTCCCATGTACCTTAGCTCACACCCTCCTTGAAGCTGTCGTGTTAATGGCCAACTACTACCCCAGACGCAAAATCCCCCGAGCTTATCGCCTTGCTCTCCCTCAAAGACCCTATTTAGAACGGAGGTAACGCGAGACTGAGATGCCAGAGACAGGCAGGTATTCCCGTCGAAACTCAAAGCATTGGGCGGTATCTGAGTGATGATCAACATACAGCCCGGCCAACCATCAACAGAAGCAACAGAGCTCCCCGCACCTATCATGGTCCCATCACTCCCGGCCGAGCCGACCAGCAGTGTACCTCAAATCAGATCAAGGCAAGGTACCACGCTGGTGCAGCCAAGCATTCTAGCCCTGGCGCCTCTGCGCGGGGGCGGCGGCGCCAAGGGATGATTTGGCTGGCTGGCTGTCGCGTCTGTGTTGCCTCTCCGCGCGCCGTCGTACGTTATATGTTGTCTGTCGTACTCGGTACTCGTCCCCGCTCTCCCGTTGTCTACCGAAAGCCTGCGGACAAATGTGACGGGGGTCCAATGCCGCTTGATAGCTGTCAACATCCTTCGACCTAGGAGCCGCCTTTGGGCTGGTTTGAATGGATGTGACGAAATGTCATGCTTCCCCGCCACAAAGTGGAAGCGGTTGAGTCGGGAGATTTTCCATTTGGCGGGGCTGGTTCCAGCACCTGTCGAACGTCGATCAATCGATCTGGGCTCTGACTTCACTCAGCCATCATTGTCAGCCGCTGGGCTCTCTAGCAAGCAAAATAGTTGTATTATTTTGCTTGTTGTGGAGGCACTCCTTGCAACTCCGCCCCAGACCAGGCCTGGCTACTTGGGGCTCCCTGCATCAGCGACATTCTAAAGCCCAATGACATACTGGATTCTGCACTCGACAGTCCCATTCGTCTGTGCGACAACGCTGCCGGCACAACAGCCAGGGTTGTGGACAAGTGATTCCTTCCGAAGTTCCCAGCCTCGTCATATTTTTGCCTCTCCCCATCAAATAAACTCGCTCAATTGAGTACTAATTTACTCTGAACCTATCCCGCGGCCATCGTCACCATTGCGCATGAGCGGGTGTCCAGAAGCGCATCGGATTGGGCTCTAGACAGGACGTGCTATGGAAGGACGATCCAGTCGGCTGCGTCTAGATTGTTACAGACACTATACGCATGACAGTCGCCTCACTTTGCTTCCCGTTGGTATATGGCTTCATGCAGTGCAACCGTACTCCGGGCCCCAGCATAACTTGAGTGGCTAGGTTGGATGTGCTCTCCTCTCAGGTCCGGAATCACACGCTACCAGTACTACTATAGAGTGCCTCCCTCCTCTCCTCATGGTCTGGGTACCTCCAAGTGGCTGCAGTCTCAAGCCTGCTCCTCAGACTCGGTCACCGAGTCCAGCCTATGTCCAGGGCGGATTGGTCACTTCAAGCCCTTTCCAGGGTGGGGTAACGTCGTGGATGCTGCAGCAGTCACTTAACCATGCGCCTCAACGCATCACGATTTGGCCGGGTGGGGAGCTATGTATGCTGCGTGGTGCTTGGTCTCATGCTGGTTGGCAGAGATGCTGCTAGATTCGATGTACCTCTTGTACCTTGCCTTAGTACCGGGGACGCTACTGATTCCTGCACACCACCTTCAGCAGACACGATTATGGTCGTCAGATAATCACGGTATCGCGCAGTATTGAGCCGCTCTGGATCATTGACTGTTCATCCGCCCTTTCGTTCCGTACAAGACTTACAGTCCAGGCGCTATATGTAACGAGCTATATGACCACTGCATGGATGTTTGGGAAGGTGGAATGAGATAGCAGTAGTTGACTGGCTTGCTATAAGGAACGCAGTGAACGACGGTAACAATTAAGAAATATAGAAGTTATAGAAGACTGACTATTGGAGATTAAAATTAAGGGTTGGGTTGTACGCTCTTGTGACTGTTAGCCGGAGCTAAATTTGGTAGGTGTCTCCCATAGCCTCCTAAGCTGGCGTAGATAGAAAATGGCTTCGCCTACCTCGTGTTCCAGTTTCCATCTACAATTATTAATGGGTGGAAATGAGTCTACGGATTTGGAAAGAGAATGTGATAAACAGCCCCAACGCTCAGAACGAGAAGCTGTCGAGGAACCCTCCGTGGCTCTGGCTGGAGGTGGCCGCTCCGATCCGCCCGCCCGGACACGGACACGGCCGCAGTGGGGCTTCTGGTACAGGGTGAGCTCGCCGCGCTCTTTCCCTTGGTCGAGCTTTGGAGTGGCGAATTAGTCCTTAAGATGGTGATGAATATGTATTTCCCACTCTTGCGAGTCTATCCCCTCTCCTTCTTGTTTATTATTAAGTTCTATATCTATTTTTTTTATGCTGTTATGTAAGTGCGATAACTTAACGATATGGGGAATAAAGGCAGGGGTTGATAATCTGGACATAGGATTTGATATATATATCTGAGCCACATCTCGCCAACTTAGAGAAGTGTAGCCAGAGATCACCCACAAACTCATCATCGCTGTCGTAGCATCTGCTCATGCTCTATCCAAAAGTTCTTGCATGCTTTGTGGCCCCAGTGATCCGCCCACCACTCTCCAAAGCTGTCTTCAACCTCGATGTCGACCTTGGCCACCCGTTCCTCCCTCTTCAGCCCGCAGATGATGCACGGCTTGGGAGCTGTCGGCACCAATTTCGCCGCGTGGACCGGTATGATCTCGCTAATTTCCGGGACCCGGAGCATTGGTGCTTTGCCGGCTGCCTTGGCCGCCGCGACAGCGGACCGGAGCCGACCCACCTGGCTCCGCCACACCGCAGCAACATCAGCGGCCTCGCGGTCTTCGCGCGCCGACTGTGTCTTGTCGACGCCCGCGAGTTTCATCCCCTTGCTTCCAGCTGCGGAGATGGACATGCTCTTGGCGAGGATCTTGTCACGATGCCAGCGTTGTTTGCGGCCTGCGATGACACGCGCTGCCGTTGTCGCTAGCAGAACATAGGCCTCAAGAAAGTCAACGGCCTTGGGATCTGATAATATCCGTTGCTTGATAGATGTATTCTGGCCAGATATGGGCGTGAACAGCGCGTCGCCCGTGTTCAGGAGTTCCGGGAACACCGAAAGAATAACCGACGGGGGCGGGACGTTTGTTGGCGGAGGAGCGTCAGCACTGATCTTGGACTTGGAGGGCTGGACGTTGTCGACTGCATCCCAGTCCCAGCTCTCTGGAGGAACAGTTGAGTCAACGTCTGTTTTCTTGTCCCCTTTCTTGCTGTCGTTGGCTGGGAAGTCATCCCAAGCCCCCCATCCTTCATCTTCGTCTTTGTACTCTTCATGCTTGGCCTCGACAGCGCTGTCTAGAGTTGGCCATGCTGTAATTGGCGAGGCCGATTTGGGCCCGTCGTCCTTTGGTGCAGGACCTGTGGGCGTTTTGATGGCCAATTCGGGAAAGGGATTGCGGTCCTGGAAGGATGGGGACTTCGGTGCCTGTGGGTAGTTCATAGCCGTGGAACCAAATGAAAGCGTCCCAAGCAGTTGGCTAGGTGGCTGTTTCCCCCTGGCTGGTTGCATTGGAGGTGGAACTGGGTCATCTAGAGAAAGGAGGTCCATGGAGGGAGGAGGCGGAGATGTCTTTACGGGAGCTGGCTTCGGGAGAGCTGGTTTGGGTTGAGGCGGGGGAGAGACCGTCTCGAAGTCACCAAATTCATCATCATCTTCATCCTCATCGTCCTCGGGGATCTGAAGTTCAAAGTCCTCAGCATCGAAGAGTACATTAGGGTCGCTAGGACCCGCCTTCAGCTTCGGCTTCATTCGTTCGTTTGATTTTGTCTCCTGCGCAGCTCGTTGGGCAGACGATTGGGCCGGCCGCTGTCCCCAGGAGGTTCCGGCTGGTTGTTGTGGTAGACCACTAGTATCGACGAGGTTGTTGGACATGAGATCAAGAGTGGAAGCTCGCACAACCCGGGTCCTTGCGGGTGGCCCTTGAGTAGTTGTTGGTTGTGGAGCCGGAGCTGGAGCCGGAGCCGGGCGCTGCCATGCTATTGACGGCGAGATACTCGGAGCTGGAGTTGCAGTTTGAGTGGAACTCTGCCATGAAATTGATGGCGAGATGTTTGGAGCCGGAGTTGCAGTTGGAGTAGAGCTCTGCCATGAAATTGACGGCGAGATGCTTGGAGCTGGAGTTGCAGTTTGAACCGGGCTCTGCCATGCGATTGATGGAGAGATGCTTGGAGCTGGACCTGCAGGTTGAGCTGGATTCTGCCATGAGATTGATGACGAGATGCTTGGACTAGCTACTACAGCCGGGGCGTGGACTGGAGCATGAGAGGGACCCGTTGGCTCGGCTACCTCGAAGTCACCCCAGCCGTCATCGTCCTCCTCAATCACGATCGCAGGTTTTGCCGGAGCCGTCGGAGCCGGGGGAGCCGACACAATTCCCCACGGGCTTGTGCTCACAGGCTGGGATTGGAACACTGGCCACTGCTGCGTCGCCTGCGCGGGCTGTGCGACTACTGGGGAGGCATGGCTGGCAGTGTTGAAGAAGTCAAAGGGGTCCTTGGGCGCGGCCTGTGGCGGAGGCTGCGATTGCAAGCGAGGTTGAGTGTGAAAGGGGCTTGGCTGTGGTTGGGTTGCTGGTGGTGGGCGATCCGAGAGGTCATTGAACTCAGCAAACAGATCCGCGGACATGGTGAAGCACGGGGCGATGCATGCTTCCGGCCTCGGGGATGACGAGGCCAGCAAGATCAGTTTCTGGGTCTGCGCAGGCGGAGGAGAGAGGTTGCGAATAGCGAGGGCCAGGTCGAGGACGAGGTCGAGGTCGAGGATGCGGCTGACGAGAGGCCAACTCGAGTCGGAGAACTGCCACGAGGCTAGAGCTAGAGTGGGCAGTCCAAGATTGAGGCGCTGAGCGGGAGACGGATCCAGGCATTCTGGTGGCGTGGCCACTGGCCAGCCCCTGAATGTGGAGGCCGCAGACGCCCTGTCACCCCTAGTTGGTACCGCCCTAGATCCCTCTGGGCCCCCCTAGCAGAGTCAGTCACGGGCGCTTCCAGCGCTGGGAGCGGGGCCCGAGCTGCCTGCCCACTCTGCCCGACTTTCCGCATCCTCGGTGGAATCCCGCATCCCGCATCCCGCCCGTCCAGACTTCAAACCGGAATTACGCCTCACAACTAACCTCCTCCGCCGCTCGGTGAGAGCCGGAATTTGAAAGAGCAAAGAGCTGAGACCTCGCGTCTTGTCCCACCCCTCTTTACGCAAGCCCGCCATGAAGTCCCTCGAGGAGCTGCTGTAGGTTGCGCGCCGAAGGAACCTTGCCATGACATCAGCGGACTGATAGGAACTCTCCCCGATAGGTCGCGATGGCGCCAGACGCAGGCTCATGGCGCCCATCTCGCCGACTTGCGGCGTGCCGTCAAGTACAACGGACCCTCGAGCCCCTGTCTCTCGGGCAGTCGCTCCTTGTGCTGGAAAGTGAGTTGCGCACCTTAGATGAGAGCCTGGGCATTGAGTTGACGCAGCCCACTCCTAGATGTTCCTGCTATCGAGTCCTGCCACCGGCATGAGCTGGTCTCAAGCCTTGGACGAGGGACGACGGCTATACGCGGAGAAGCATGATCACTTTCTCAAGTTCATCCAGCACCCCGAAACCCTCACTGAGCTCACCATCGACCCTCTGGCGGATGACCCCGACGTGAGTTTCGGTGCCATTCGTCTCAGTTGTTCACCTCCCACTGACAGACCTCGAGTCGCCTTGGAACACTGTTCGTCAGGATGAGATTATCCGCGCCGAAATCAAGCAGGATGTTCAACGGCTCCCCGATGAGGCATCCTACCACGAGCCTCGCACTCAAGCCATGATCCTGGACATCCTCTTCATGTACTGCAAGCTAAACCCGGAGAGAGGTGGCTATCGACAGGGCATGCACGAACTCCTGGCTCCCATGGTTTATGCCATCCAGGAAGACGCCCTTGACGTTACCACCGTCGCGTCAGATGTCGCTCTGGATGATGTCTTCTTGAAGACTTTTGATGCGACCTTCATTGAACATGATGCCTTTATCCTGTTCGCCCGGCTGATGGAGCATGCGCAATCTTTCTACGAGATCAAGGAATCCACTACCGGCTCGGCTCCAGGTTCCCATATGTCAGAGCAGAGCTCAGCCATCGTGGAGAGAAGCAAGTTCATTCACGAGGTGTGCCTGCATAAAGTGGATCCGGAGTTGGCGGCTCATCTCACCAACATCGAAATCCTACCACAAATCTTCCTTATGTGAGTATCGATGCCGACGTACCGGCCCGTTCAATATGTGGTATGATACTAATTAAGCGGCAAGTCGATGGGTCCGGTTGCTTTTCAGCAGAGAGTATCCTTTCGAGCAGTTTCTGGTTCTTTGGGATACAATCTTCGCTGTAGACCCGTCCTTGGAACTGATAGATCTCATCTGTGTAGCCATGTTGATTCGAATCCGATGGGAGTGTAAGTCACACTTATATGGCTTTCATCTTTTATCGTCTAACAATGCCGTATAGTACTAGAAGCAGACTACTCAGTTTGTTTGCAATTATTGCTAAAATATCCACCCCCAGCCCGGCCACATGGCCCTCATACGTTCGTCGATGATGCTCTCTACCTCAAGAACCACCTCTCCCCTTCTGGTGGAGCGTCCCTGATCATGAAGTATACTGGCAAGATGCCAACTGTATCATCACCCAACAATGCCTCACGGTCTGCAGCACCGAACTTCCGAGGCTTCAACTCGCTCCGTAATCGAGGATTCGGCGCAAAATCGCCTCTGTCATCACCGTCAAGATTCATGCAGCAGCAAGGCGGCATGGAAGCACTGTTCCAAGGAGCCGCCAAGGGAGCTAAAGGGGTACTGGAAAGAGGAGAGAAGCTGGGTATTAACCAAGCGGTAAGGGACGCCATGGGAGAGATCAAACGCAACATAAACGAAGCCCGACAGACAGCCCTGTCTCCCCGACAGGTCTTCGACGAGGAAGGCGCCGCACGAGGTCTCATGGCATTAGAGAGGCGCAATCGACAATTGGCAGCCATGCTCGATGAGACAGTCAACAACCTCAAGGCGCTATCTGGATCTAACCTCGATGATAAGGCTAAAAGTCTTGAGCTTATTGAGATCGCGGCCGCCAAGGTCCAGTTCGTCAAGATCTACTTGGAGGACTCGTCGATGGAGGTACCACTACTGGACCCCCCACCGCTTGAGGAGGAAGATCAAATATCTGCCGCAAGAGCCAATGACATTCACGATGGGTTAGGTATCAAGACCCAGCCCGACCCAATGCCGCCAGTCCCGGTGGATATTGGCATTGCCGCACTCACAATAACCGAGGATGCTCACATACCCAAGAAGGACGAGGCCTTGTCTCCCGTAAACCACGACATCATGGACATATCCAGCGATAATGTGCCCCCTGACCCGCTGGCAGCAGGCCCAGTGACCGACTCTCGACCTACTGGCCCCGTACCTACACGTTCTACCCTGGCCCAATCGTCCTTCTCTTGGATGCTCGAGCCGGACGAGCCTGGGTCGTCGCAACCATCCTTCGCAGCCAAGAAGTCGCAGCCTGTTCAGCATAAAAAGCGGATTTCCAACAGCACAAATCGTGAGAGGAATGCCTTCTTATTTGGCGAAGTGACGTCAAATGCAGAGAGTCGAAACCCATTGAGTTCGGATGAGATATTTGGGCTGGAACCAATCCGCAAGTCGAAGGACCCGCAACTGTGATTATTTACGGATCGAGATATACCACAATGTCTACTCCAATGCATTAGAAAACTGCTCGGAAATGTATCATGATGGCTACTATATGTCAGAATTGTGGAAGCGGTGGAGTTGAGGAGCCTACATACTGATAGCGAGCCTGCATGGTGGGTTATACCCTGACCTACTTGACGTTGTTGAATTCTTGAATATGATTAAATATAGACCAAGTTCTTTTTCGAACATTATTTGCATTTGAGGCGAATCTATCTATTATCGGCTGATTAAGATGAAATAGGAAGCGAATCTCAACAACCAAGCTACTGTTTGTGAGACGTTCACACGAGGATTAGTCTGTAAGCTTATTGAGAGTCTATTGATTTAAAAGCTTATATAAAGGCCACAGTCCAATCTTTACCTCTTTAGCGGCCTTTCCTTGATCCAGAATGTAACGAGGAACGAAGTAGTTAGGTACAACAGGATCAGTGCAAATGCACCCAAGGTAGCTGCTTGGTAGCTCGACCTAATCTGGTCCGCGATGTGTGGTGGCAGCTCCTTGATGTAGTCCAAGTTTTGGCGCACCTTGTCCTCAATCCCATGAGCCTCATCGCCGTTTGGCAGCCGAGCGGCGAGCTGTGTTCGGAGGACTTGCTGGATGACTGCCGAGCCAGTGCTGATACCGATGCTGGAACCGAGGGAGCGGAAGAGATATGAGCACGCGATGACTACGGCTGTATCCTCAACGGCAGCGTTGGCGAGGAGACCAACGAGGGTAGTGGTAATGCCTGTACATAGTCAGCACTTTGAATATCGCGTGTTACAGTCGGGTCGGCGTCCTACCGCATCCAGCTCCGAGGGACGTGATCACGAGCCCCAGTACTTCACCAGGGGTAGACCTGAACAATACCGACAGGATTAAGGGCAGGAGTGCGAAGAGTAGCACTCCATACCCCGATACCGTGACCCAATAGAACCTCCCAGTGTGTTTTATCCACCATCCCCCGAAGAGGGAAGCAAGGACACCGGCAATCATTCCCGGCACCAACAAGGCACCGCTCTGGGTCGCGCTGTTTCCCTGAACGGCTTGGAAGAACAGGGGCATGGAAAAGATGATGGCCATTTGTCCCGCCACGCCGAAGAAGTTGGCGAGATAGCAGGCAAACAAACTGCGGTCGAAGATGATATGGCCTGGCGCGAACGGATTGGAAGCCACTTTGATCTCGACAAACACAAAGAGGGCAAAGAGAGCTGGGGTCAGAGAGAGGGCGATCATGGTGATGATGTGAGTCCAACCAAGGTTGGAGCCGGAATCGAGGCCGACTAACAAGGCTACTACGGCGACGACGAGAGTGAAGGCGCCGAGGAAGTCGATCTGGCGCATCCTAGTGAGCCAGTGGTCGTGTGAGACGGGCGGCAGATCGAGGACGAAGTAGACGGCGAAGAAGGCGACGAAGCACAGGGGAACCTGGCCTAGGAAAGACCTTTAGAGGAGTTAAACCATGTACATGAACAAAACAATGGAGGTACAGGGCGTCAAATTACCATCGCCAACCAATCGAGTCCGCTAACAGACCATCCAGAGGCGCCCCCGTTGACGTTCCCGCGGCCCAGAGGATGTTGATATAGCCCTGCCAGACGCCGCGCTCGCGCAGCGGCACCAAGTCACTCAGCAGGATAGACACAACCGAGTTCATGCCGCCGCCGCCAATGCCGGCAACGGCGCGGGCGGCGCACAACTCGCCCATGGAGCGCGCGAGGCCGCAGCCCAGGCAGCCAAGGGCGAAGACGGAGTAGGCGAAGAGGAGGCAGGGCTTGCGGCCGAAGATGTCGCTGAGCTTGCCGTAGAGCGGCTGGTCAATGGCAACCATGTACACCTATTGAGTTCGTTAGCCCAATATGGCCCCTTTCACGAGTTCCTGGTCGGTGCATATTCCGAGGCCAACGGCTGGGAAGATGACGTGCATCTTCTTGGCCACAGCTCGCAGCTCCGACCCATTTTCATCTTCATGGCCATTCTCTGCGTCTTGATTGGCGGCATTTTGGCCTAGGCGGTCACCCAGGAGGGGAGAGGTTTCAGTTGGAGAGCCCAAGGCTCCGGCGTCGGGTCCGGTGGCCGGCATCTTCAGCTCGGAGAAGCGGGGTTGGCCGGTCCGGCGAACAAGCAATTTACAGTCCGGGGCGGACTCGGGCTCACAGGGCTCCTGACGGGGCGGGGATGACTGGTTCGGAACCGGGAATAGACTACTCGGTTTACAGAGGGATGAAGAGAAGGCCACTACGGTTCGGTGAAGCAGCTGGGAGAAGGATATTTGCCGTCGGAGTCAATTCTGGGCTGCGATCGCGCAAACCTGGGTTGGCTGCGGGCCGCCCCCGCAGATACTGAAAAGCGGCCCGGCGAATGGTCTAATAGGGCCAAATGCAACCAAAACTTCGTGGGACCGCATTGTGTGATTCTAGAGCAAAGAGACGTGATGGTGAAGATTTAGACTGTACCTTCGGGCAAGTTCAGAATTCCCCAGTCCACGACATCGGCGGTGTTCTGAATGGGTTTCAAGCTTATTACGTATCCGATTTGTGCCCCAGGTAGAGAGGCTCATGCAACTGACCATAGGAAGCCACATACTCGTGAAATGCGAACAGCATCATTGATGATATATTACTGCAGAACGCTAGGCGGTGCATTTTCTGCAATTGGATTAGATCTGCATGAGGGCTATAGTCGGTTGGATGGGAAGAGAAATAACAGGACCTTTATATGGGGAGACGTGTGGTTCGGGAGAGTCGGTAATTATCAAGGGGATGATGCAGCACCAAATAGATTGTGCGGGTGCATCCTTCTACAGCGCCGGACCACTTATTGTCATGCCTCGTGGTGGGCAAGTTAAATACCTAGAGTCCTGGAATAGCCAATCCAACGGGGGACGATTCATTACACCAATGTCCCGAAACACCCTCGGACAGGGAACGGGAGTAGTTGGTCGTGGTCGTCGGCGGCCGTGCCATTGCAGGCGGTACATCACACGAACCACGAACCAGGATGGTTTCCGATGGATCGGCCTCGCTTCAACAAATGCTTCCTGGCTCTCGGGTGGAGGTGCTCCGTGTCGGGAGCCCTTGTCTGATCGGCCGGCAGACGGAGATATTACCCTTCAACCGAGTATGACTGGTGCTGCGACGGGGGCTGGCGCTGGACTGGCGCGGCAACTGGTGCAACTGGTGCAACTGGTACAACTAGTACAAATAAGTATAATTAGATGTTTCGCATCGTGAGTGTGGCACGGCACGGCGCGGATTGCACGCGACGACAACAACAACAACGCGTAAATGCATATGAGTGATGGTGCGGGACGCTCGGCGGTGCATCTAGACTTTTGGTACCTGGGACATTTGGGCATTTGGCTTCCCGGCCCTTGTCTAACCCCAGAGGCCGCCGTTGAAATGGATATGCATTGCGGCTGGCTTTCGTCATAGGTGATCTGTGCGCTGAGCACTAATAGAGGGTGGGTGCCCCATGCCAGGGCCGCGAGCCTCTGGCATTGACATTGACAGTCATGCTAGATACGTATTACAGGAGGAGGAGGAGATGGTGAGGGATGGATGGAGGGATGGACCCAGACCTGTCAAGGCTACAAGGGATTGAAGGGATGAAAGGAACCCTCCCACTGCACCACAGGGTCACTAGGCCACTGGCGGTCGCACTTAACTGGCGACCACGTTGGACGGTTGGATCATGGATATGGGGCATGGAGAGAACCACGCCAGGCCCCTGGTCTAGCTGATGGAGGGGGTGTCGATCGCCTGGAGCGTGTGTCAAAGTGACCAAGTGACAGGCCAGTGACGTGACGATGCCCTTGGAGTTTTCATCGTGCTTATTATTACCGACGATCGGCGCTTTACTCTTGTCGTTCGAGGGAGAGGTTAGGTCGATCGTCCGGGTTCCAGGGCTCCAGGGCTCTAGGGGACACGTTGTTCTGCGGGCGAGAGTTTACAGCCAGTTGCTCGCTTGCGGCCGGTGTCTCAGCAATGTGTTCCTCGGGGGCTACGGCGGGCGAGAAGTTGGGATCTGAGACACGGAATTAAGAGGAAAAAAAGCCACCCCCTCGCGGTTGATGCAGATATATTTCATCGTCCGATCGTGAAGACGGGAGGACGGGAAGGGAAAACAGCCACTAAAAAAAAGCGCTGTACATACGTAGGTACCTCGGTAGGTGCTCAACCGTTCTAAGCTGCAACGACGCGCGACCGACAACGTGGAACCGAAGTGCGGTAATGTAAGGTACCTGATGGAACACAGGCTCAGGTACCACGGACAGGTACTTGATGAACGAACACGTTGTGGTGGGTTCCCCAACGAGCAGGTTACATACCGACATAGCACCAAAAGCTGCGTGTCGCCATCAATTTTAATTAGGTTCCCTGTTCCCTGGCTTCAATCCTCTTGCCTGCAGGAATGTCCAACGCCAATGCTCGTTAAGATTAAGTAAAGGGAAGTAGGTAGCGAAAGAAGAAGAAGAAGAAGTAAAAAAAAAAACCACTAAAAAAACTCAAGACCAAGGTGGATTCCAGATGCAGGGCGTGCGTGCCTGCCATGAGATGGATTCAGCTGGCATGGTCCTGAACGCTGGGGCTGGACTCGCTGTAACTCGTTCGTACTTGGTAGCCTGCCAGTTTTTTTGCTGTGACATCGTGGCTTGTTTCAGCCGATCTGGGCTAGTCCCTGGCTGCGGAGGGCCGGGATGGTCGCTGGAACCACCGGGAGCCACAGTGGACTATGCGCCAAGCTCCGAGGCCCCGCTCGCTACAAGTCTCCCTCCATTTCAAGGCCCACCGCATGCATTGCACCGCAGAGGTACAGAGAGGTATCCCACGTTCCCCGCCGCTGTCGAGCACAATTCAATCAATCAAGGCAGCGGCGGTCGCGGCGCGGGGGGGCAGGCGAGAACGGGGGGTTAGGCTGGGAGGCACAGCTGCAGGTACCTGAGCTAGAGAAGGCGTTCCCAGTTCCCAGTTTCCAGTTCCTAGCTCCCAGTTCCCACCAACTCTTTAACGGTTGGCTCGGGCCTTCGGGTTCCCAAGACACTGGGGGGCGATCAGCAGTCGTCTGTCGAGGCAGCCCATCCCATCCCATCCCATCCGATGCTCAAATCCGTCCCTCATTCATCCTCTTTGCTTCCCTATTTCTCATGTTTCTCCCCCCCGTGTCTATTCCTGGCTCTCCTCCTCCTGGCTCTCCTCCTCTCGGCTCCTCTTTCCTGGTTCCACAACGTCAAACCGCCCTGCCTTCACCCTCGCCTCGACGCCGGATGCTGGCCCACCGTCCCCGGACTGGCGCCTTGTGATTGCGCATTACAACGCTATTAACGACCCAAACCCACTGTCACTGTCCTCGACGTCCACCTTGCGCGCCCTCATCCTGTCCTGCCGCAGCTCGCGTTTCGCAACCTCATCTACCTCAGGTTGACGATACCCTGTCGACTTCCGACACGTCAGTGCCCATCATGCCCGCCATGCTGAGCGCCGGCTCTCTCCAGCCGCCTAAAACAGGCTCCTCGCGCTGGTCAAAGGCTCTCCCAGAGGTTCCGGGCGTTGACTTTGACGACATCTATGACGAATACTACGACGAGATTTCCCCCGTGTCCCCCCCAACCAAAAACCTTCCCAGGCTTCCTATTGTGCCACCGCCTCCTAGGTCGACTAGTATGGCAAATGCGAAGCTTCTCCCAGCATCATTACCCCCATTGCATCTCCTCAACACCTCTGTCAGTCCTTTCTCTGGCCCGCCCAAGATGGCTATCCCGCGCCGCCCAGTCGGCCAGCCCTCACGCCTCCCGCAACAACAGGACCAATTGCCGGCGCAACCTGCATCGCCCGCTCAGTCTATTTCCAGCATCTTGTCTGCATATTCGCGAAGCTCAGGCGAGTCTCTGATCCGGACATCCGATGCCACAACCGACACACGTCAGACCGATGTGAACTCTTCGCCGAGCCACCAAGCTCCACCTGCCAGCACCAAACCGGCGCCGCTTATTAGTCCCTCCACCGAGCTGAACACCACCACCCATTTCCCAACCACGCAACATCAGCATGTTGCACCGAAGCCTATTCCTACCTTCGAGAGCAGTCGCCCACCACCACCTCCTCCTACCAAGGACGTCAAATACGGTCTGCCGGCGTCGCCTGCCGCCGGCCGCAACCCAGCACCGGCCGTCGACTCATCATCGCCACCACGGCCTCAAATTTGGCGTCGTCGATCCGTCAAGACTGACCGGAGCTTGGAGCTCCCTGACCTGAAACTGATCATCAGTCACGGATCAACTGCTGCAACGCATCCCGTGGCTCAACCAGTGGACAAGCCCGTGATCCAACCCGTGACCCAACCGAACCTTCCACAGGGCGCCGTCAAGGTGCCGCCGACCTTGACGTATCAACAGCCCCAGAGCAACGAGCCCCGGGTCGTTCCCAACCAGGCCGCCCAGTACGCCCCAGCCCCAGCTCCAGCCGCGGCACCGGAGCAGGCACCCGAGACTGAGAACCAAACCATGGGTAGTGGAAGCTCTAAGATTAATCGTCTTAAGGATAAGCTCCACACTCTTCATCGCAAGGGCAAGTCTTCGAGTGACACGGCAAGCGAGTCCACCCTCCGACCAGGCGCACAACGGCCCCCGACGCCGGAGTACCAGAAACAAGATATCAAGACGCCTATTGTTGATGCTTTCATCTCGCCTTTGTCACCTGCCTCCTCCCCAGAGCCACGAGCAGAGGTGTCCCCGGAATTGCCCAAGGAACTTCACAAGGAACTCCCTAGGAACCCCTCTCAGGCGTCTGCACGGGTGGTTTCCCCCATTTCACCTTCAACCGACTCCAAGGTCTTCGCTCGCAAGGCATTGCCCCCACTCACACAACATCTTGGCGAAACCAAGCCTCTGCCGGAACCGAAAGAGGTCCCTCAGGTCACCGCCCCTCCACAGGTGAACAATGAAGCTAAACCACTCCCGAACCCAAAGCTTGGAGTCGTGGCCGAGGCCGAGTCTCCAGTGACCGGCTCCTTGCCGCCGTTAGCAACGGATGATGTTCGACTGCTAACCTCTGCTATCGAATCCCCGGCTAGTCGCACGTATCATTCTGCCGATGTCCCCACCAAGTTTCCCCCGCGAGGTTCGTCTGTACGATCCAATGCGCCTAAACTGTTGGAGCAGTCACGGCAACCCGCAGCAGAGTTGGACCCGAGATTCGGCCCGGTTGAGCCTCAAGGGTTTCTCTATAAAGGTCGAGACGGAACGTTATATCCCGAGATGAAGGTCACACGTGAGGCTGATCCACAGGCGACCTACTTCCCCAGGCAGGCAAATGACATCGTTTCAGATGGTGAAATTTTCAAAGCAATGCCACTGAAGGACTCTCACTTCCGCTGCTACCAGGCGCACCGAACAATGAACCGACGAAGCAACAGGAATTACCCACTCACATGCCAGAGTTGCGAGAAGCCGGACGCCGAAGACCGGTGGACCTGCACGTTCTGTCACCTGCGAGTCTGTGAATCGTGCTTCACGACACTCAATGCACAGCAGAGAGACCTACGCTATCTGGTCGAAGACTTGAGGCAAAAACTCTCAACCTAGACACCATCCTCGGAGAACTAGGGGCCTCCTGGGTACCCATTGACACAATCCTTAACTTTATCCTTCTTATCTTGTCCACTTTACACCCAAACCACATTTTTTCCTTTATCAAAGCATAGAACGCGCTCACAGGACTGGATCACGGTTGCATGTATCATACGAGGAGTGAGCAAAAAACGGCTGTACGGGAAACATAGAAGGCCCATTGGGGATATTTCTTTGAAAGTTTGACGATACCAATCTTCAACCCTCGGCGCACATGGCTCGCTGGGGGTGAATGGGAGCGCTGGCCTGTAGTTACACGGGAGAATATTTGAACAGCGCTGAGATTGATCTCACGATGACGGCCATTTTCTTTACGGGTTCTTTTAGGTACATTATATTTTGCGGCGTCCTTGAAGGGACGACCTGCGCTGTTGATCTGGTACGAGCTGTCGTACAGTTTCGTTCTGCTTCTGGTCGGTGACTTTGTGATACTGGAGCATGCCGCTGCAAATCGACGTGGCAAAGCGAGACAGACGGTGGACGCCACAAGCTGGATGCTACCGTGACTGCCGGGAGAAATTGACTCCTCACATTTACAGGCTAGGGGATCTGCAATCTACCCGATTAATCCGATCCATGTGGTCCATCTGATCTGATTCAATATCGGATTTCCGATCGATGGCTGTATATGATTTTAGATCTCTGGTCCAGCTTAGACAGCTGTGAATCTAGCTTGATAATCATGCAGCTGGTGGGCTCTGCTGTGGGTCGGCAGTCAGGGGGTTGCTGCTTCCTGTCCCCACAGCTGACAGCTGCCGCTACGACGCCCAAACTTACGGCAACTGCCACTACTACCGAGTCCGGAACTACGTACTCTCACCGGTGACCGAGCCTTGCCCCAGATCTCCAAATCTCCCCCGTCAGCTCACCGGTCACCCTGCAAAAACCGTAAACAAACAACAAACAACAAGGGGCGCCATGTCCTCCTCCCTCCAGCGCTCCCGGTCTCTCCGGAATCCCTCAGCAACGACCATCGCCAACGACCCGCCATCGCGGAAGCAGGACGTCGAGCCGCGCCACGGCTCCCCGAGTCGGCTCCCCGTCAAGCCGCTGACTCGAAGCGCCACCGCGGCCTCCTCCACCACCACCACGAGGACGTTGAGGAGCGGCTCTGCGGCGTCAAGTAGCCTCTCTCGTTCGTCGTCCGTACGGCAGTCGTCGAATTTGAAGCCCACGACTACAAAAGAGCCGCCGAAAAGGGAGACGAGTCGGTATCCGCCATCCACCACCACCACCAGAACTCGTCCGGCGGTGAGACCGAACTCCTCCGATGGGCCGCCCGCACAATCGAGACGAGCCCTCCCGCATACCCGTGCTAAGAGCACCGCCATCGCTCCGACCGCCTCAATCAGGGCAGCTCCAGTGCTACGACCGCCCTCTGGAGGCTCAACCTCGTCAGCATCCTCGACCACAACGCGAACTGTCACACGCAAGGTCTCCGGCCACGACAAACCTCCCGCCGCTTCCACACAGGCTCAGCCTCGCCTACGGCCGGCCTTCTCAACCCTTCAGCAACACTACTCCCCGGCCAAGTCTGCCGCCCCGAAACCCCTGACGGCCACCTTTCTCGCACCGCCGTCCCCCTCCAAGCTACCTGCCAACGTCGCTGCCTCCGCCGAGACGAGCAAGCTCCAAACGGAGCTCCTCCAACTACACCTCTTGCACCGAGATGCAGGAGCAGTCGATATAGAGTGGAAGGCGAGCGCGAAACAGAAGCTGGGCGAACGGTTCGCAAAGATTGCGGCTGAGGGGAGACAAGTGGATGAACACGAGAAGGCAGAAATTGAAAAGGAGAATGTGTTGGCGCTGAGGAGTTGGGCCGTAGGAGGCGGTCTAGAAGACAGGATCCAGACTCTGGATGCCGTGATAAACGGGGCGTGGACGCTGGGAGAGCCTGGTGGACGGTACGCCCGCGTCATCAGACGATTTGAGCGCTGGGTTGACCGCATGTGCGAAATCGAGGACGCCCGCCGCGGTGATGGAGCTCTCCTCCAGGAGCAAGACGTCCTCTTCATCGGCGAACTCGATGCCGCGTGGAAAGAGGAGTCCACCGGTCTTATCCGCCGCCTGGACGGAATGAAACGGCAATTGCAGGACCTGGGCCAGGTGCCAGACGAAGAAAACCAGGAACAATCGAGCCTGAAGCACATGATGGAGAATTCACGGACACTAGTCGAGGGCATGCTTGCAGAGCTGAGCCTCATGGAGGAGATTGAACGGGAGGCACTTGCACGAGAGGACGACTGGATCGAGAGGATGAACCGTGATGATGATGTCGATGATACCCCCAGGGCTGGAGCGATATGGCGAGTGGTATAGAGGACGATTAAAGGCTTTCCTTGATTTTGGGACAGTCGCAAAGCGCAGGGCATATATACATGGATAGATTGCAACATTAATCACAAAGGCGCCGTGGACGCGGTCACATTCCATTCCGTATGGTGAAATAGACTGCTTTTGTCACTTTCAGAAAAAGGCCGCTCTAACTAAGACGTTTCGCAGAACGAGCCAAGGGACAGAAGAGGGAAGCCAGACGAGCCGTTCAACTTCTCCGCTTCGAATCCCTCTAGTCAGGACGATGGGATATTAAAAAAAAAAGGATGAATCAACGTAGCGACGAATGTAACCTCCCATTCTAACTTTCGGTGTGTGTGTGTCATGGCATTGGCGTGGTAGAGCATAAATATCCTCCGCCTCACAACGCCCCCTCTAAATGGTTTCCGCATAAATCGTCATCAAGCTCGGGTCGGGTGGGTAAGGGGTACAAGGAAAAAAAACAGTAAAACAAGGACCTATCCCATCTCTATGTTCCGTCGGAGGTAAAGGCGCAAGGTTTCATGAACGTTGTTGATTTCTGCACCGAATCATGCGGGAAAGGAAGTTCCGGAGTGGTCCATCTGCCCCGCGCCGTTGTCGCCATGTTTTTTTATCATGTGAAGAAGCCCCTGTCATGGCACAAGAGCGCGATCTTGGCTGGATAAGTGTGTCTGGGCTGGAGATGGGGCTCTACAGGAAGGCTCTTCGGGGGAAGCTGACACCCTCGACAGCGGGCTCATCGACGAACCAGCTGCAACGCTCGCCAGTACCCTCGTTGACGAGAGCGCAGGGGAGACCGATGTTTTGATCAAAGATCTGCTTCATAATGTCCTTCTTGCCGCCGCCGGTCGCGACAAAGGCAACGCGGACGGAGTGGTTGACGACGGGGAGGGTAAGGGTGATGCGCTTCGGGGGAGGCTTGGGGGAGTCGTCGATGGGCGAGACCCAGGCGCTGGTCTCGCGGAGGAGCGGGTGGCCGGGGAAGAGAGAGCAGGTGTGGCCGTCAGGGCCGCAGCCGAGGAGGAGGAGGTCGAAGATGGGCAGGCGGACCGAGTCGCGGGAGGCGAAGCTGGCGACGAGGGTCTGCTCGTACTGGTCGGCGAGCTCCTGGAGGTCATCGAGGTGGGTGACGTCGATGGGGTGGACTTTGGGTTGCTGGTCGGCGGGGAGCTTGTCGAGCAGCTCAGCCTTGAGGAGGGCGTAGTTGGAGTCGGCGTGGTCGAGGGGCACGGCGCGCTCGTCGGCGAAGAAGATTTCCCAGCGGGTGAAGTCGACCTGGTCGTTGGGCCCGGAGGCCGGGGCAAGGAGCGCCTGGGCGAGCGTCTTGGGGAGCGAGCCGCCGGAGACGGCGACCTTGAAGGCGCCATGGCGGGCGAAGCCGGCGTTTTGAGCCTCAATAATGTAGAAGCGGAGGGCCGGGGCGAGGGCGTTGACGCTGGGGAAAGCGTACAGGTTGGGTTGAGTCTTACCCATTGTGGCGGTGGAGTTGCGGCTTGTGAGGGGGGTGGGGATAGATGGAGGAGTGGCGAGAGACAACGGAAGATGGAGAAGAGATTGGCGATGGAGTTGCAAGAAAGCCCGAGATGTATGAAGATGAGAGATGGAGGTTGAGATGAGCTGGATTTTGGGACAAGTGGGTTTGGTATTTGGGATGGAGGGGGCGGGGTTTCGACTTTTGGAGGGGGGGGGGGGGGGGGGGAGCTCGTTCGAATTTCTTCCTCTAATTAGGCTGGGCTGGGTTACCTGGGCGTGCAATGTGCAACGACAAGGTACCCCCGATGGTCGGTAATAGTTCACCCGCCAGAACAGAGAAGAAGACCCAGAAGAAGACCCGAAGAGAGGGTCCAGAGAAGGCGGGGGATTGCGATTCCACAAGACAAAAAAAAATCTGTAAAACGGACGGTCAACTCCCGGCGAGGCGGGCCGGTGGTTTTGGGTGGTGGATGACCAAAATATCAATAATCAACTGGGGCCAAGATGGTGTGAGCGAGGTCGACCAGGACCGATAATGCGATGCTGTGATGCTCAAGACAGCCCAGAAGCGGACAACCTGGACGCCGCGACGGGCGTAAGAACGATGCGCGCAGTGGCGTGCCGAGTGCGCGTGCGTGACAGGTGTTGGTTGGTTGGGTGAGACGGGATCCCGATGGAGAACAGACGAGAGGCGTTGCTTTCCCCAGTCGCCCGCCCGGAGAGCAAGGTTTAGGCCGGGGACGAGGGGATAGTATAATCGTGGCATGCATTGGGAGTCATCTCATCGGTTCTGGGCTAAGGTAGGTACAGTGCGGTGCGGGTTGGCGTTGAATATCTGGTTGCGGTTGATGCAGGCGATGTGCGGATGAAGCAGTTATTTTGGAGTTTCATGGGTTCATGGGCATGGGTATAACTCGGCGGCGGAGGGCGGTCACCGAGGGAGGCGGACGGAAAAACGCAGCAGTGGCACGCAACCTCGGCTACACTTCTTTCATCCCTATACAGTACTGGGCATATGGGATAAGACTGCAAAGAACAAACAAAAAAAGAACCCCCCAAAAAACAGGTCCAGCCTCGAACGCCGTGAAGTCGTCCCAACCGTCCAGCGGTGATACTTCCGCCCGCAGCGTGCAGCGTGCAGCGTCGGTGGTTGTCGGCGGTGCCCCCGTCTTCGCATGGTTAGTTGCCTATAGGTACCTACCTCTAGTTGGATAGGTACCTCTAGTTGGATACTAGCAGCCCCAGGGGGGAGGACGTCATGACGTAGTGGGGTCCCTTCCAGGGGGTTTAGTGGAATGGCCAGCCCCCTGGGACTGTGGCATTGGGCCGTTCCCGCAACCCCACCATGGGCGAGCGACCCCTCCATTCCCACCTGGAGCTCTCCCACACATGCCACCTCTCAAATCTCTGTTCGATTTCTCTGGCCATGGTAGTCGAACGGTCGAACGGTTGCTTCGGTCCTTGGGCTTGCTTCTTCTCTGCAGGACTAAACCCTGAGTTTTTTTTTTGTGTTGTGCCTGCGTGTGTCGGCCTGAACCAATCAAGACCCAACTAGGAGATGCATAGCGTTGGGCACTTGGCGCACATGTCAGCGGGTTTAAGAGAGAGAGAGAGAGATAGAGAGAGAGTGTGTGTGTGTGCGTGCGTGTGTGTGGTGCGGGTGCAAAGCCAAAGCCGTTGACGACACAACTAGCGCTGGGCCCGTTTGCTGCACCTCGTTCCGCTGGCGGCTGCGGCCTGAGCATCGTCGTCTTCACACAACCGGACCGGCGCATGCGCGGGGGGTGGTGTGTCTGGGCCCTGATTTTCAAGTAAACTACGCTCTCAGGAAAATATCGGCCGAAGACTTTTATTTGATTTTTCCCCCTTTTGGTTCCCACCCGTGGTGCGTGTGGAGGTCAAGAGGTGGGGGGGAGACTTGGCTGGACCCTGGAAATAACCAAACAATTCGACTTGCAAAGTTGCAGTGTTATGGTTTGACAGAGAAAGCCTCATTTGTTGAGTTGCTGGTTGAGATTTGATAGTTGCAGTCTCTCCATCTCTATCCCTATCTCTATCCCTATCTCAATCTTTTCTTTGCCGCTTGCAACTGCTGCCAACGCAACCAACGCTCATCACCACCCCCCGGAGCGAACACTCCTCCGCACCTCACTCAGCGCCTCATTTGCCGCATCCCACTTCCGGCGCATCGCACCTCTTGTTCGGCTTCCTTCACCTTCACCTCTCTTTTTCTCCCCAATCCCCCGCTACTCGGCATCTGGGCGTCCTAAGGTCCCACCCTCCAGCATCCAATCCCAGGCGCGCATCGCTCCCTCAGTGGCTTTAACGGGCCTGCCTGGGGTTCTTCGCTTGGCCAAAATGGGTCCCTGGCTGCCAAAGTCATACATGAGCCACACCTCTCTAGGCTTCACATTGTGTTGATCCTGCACATTGGCACTCCGTATACCTCGCTGTCTCATTGCCTCGCAGCCTCACTCGTCCGCCCGCATCGCATGCCCATGCGTGAAGCCAGCGTAGCATTTTATCCAGTCCTGCCACAACAACTCACGGCCCCGCGCCTGACTCCTCCCGCAACTCCACCACCCGCATATCTTCCCACATCTCCTCCCGCATCTCCTCCCGCATCTCCTCCCGCATCTTCTCCCGCATCTTCTGCCCGTCACCATCGGACACGGAACTCCCCTCCCGGAGGATTCCTTCAGCCCTTCCCCGGGCTTCTCCGTGAGGCGTCTACCGACCCTTGTTTAGCCAACTTGCAGCGTCGGTCTGCCTCCGAGTATCTGCGTCACCGCTCCAGATCGATAGCTGGCCACCATCGACGACTTCGTGTGGCTGCCCCATGGATTCTAGTCAATCCTAGTAAATCCTTGTCAACCCTTGTCAACCCTTGTCTGGAGCACTTAGACTGCCGGTAATTAATTAGAGCCCTATCAAATTCGGTCTTGGCCGCTTCCCGACTCTCTCAGACCGGCCGAGACTAGTTGCACTTGTCCCACCTCGCCGTCAACTCCCATATCTCTTCTATACCCACAAATTTACTCCGGCATCCTCCTTTCGTCCTTGTCCTGGTCGAGTGACTACTCGACAGTTCGTCCCTCAGTATGGACCATGCCGGCCGCCATGAGCAGCTGCTTGACCGCCGCTTGCAGCTGACCGAGGGACTCTCCAGTCTGCCCTACGACTTGATTCTGTATCTCGATCGCGCCGTCGTCCACTCAGACCTGGGATATCCCGACCTGGCCGCTAGCGATGCTTACCGAGCCCTTCTCCTCGTCGACGAAGTCTTCAACGAAGGCTTCGAGTACCATGAACAGGCACTGGAATCCCTGCAGATGCATACTGCTGTGCCCCTCCCCGACGTCTTAGCCCACGGCAGCCTCGCCGCAGATGATCTTACCACTCTTCAAGACGACGCCAACGCAAGCCAGGATGCCACCAGCCGCCTCGCAACCCTGGCTTCCGTTCGCTCATACCAGATCCTTTCCATGGGTCTCCTGCTCTGCGGATCTCTCCAGAGCGCCGCCAACTTTTGCCAACGGGGTCTCCAGTTGTCCCCCAAAAACCAGGAACTGCTCAACACCAAGGAGAACATCAGCACTGTGGCCCGACGGAGACTCCGCCGCGACGATGTCGATATCAGTACGGCCGACCTGCCTGACCATGGCCACGTCCGTCGTGAAGTATATCCCTGGAATGACCACGAGCCCGATCGTTTCTCCCCCGAGTCCCTCGCGGACCTGAATTCGCACTTGAGCCACATGGCCCCGAAATGCGCTGTTGAAGTGGCAACCCTGCCTGTGCTTTTAGAAGGAGCCAGCAACACTGACAACTACGAAATTATCCCTACGTGTAAACAGCTTGGTGTTTTCGCACAGGAGGACATTGAGCCAGGTGAGGCTGTCCTCCGGGAGTACTCCCTCCTGACAGCCAACAACCGCCTCAAGGATGCGCTCTGTGACGCCTGCAGCTGCGACTTGCCTCCCCTAGGCAGCAAGAACGAGTCCGTCAGCTGTCCCGACTGTTATGACACCGTCTTCTGCACCCAGTACTGCTTCGACCAGGCCCAAGAGCGATATCACCCTGCTGTATGTGAAAAAGACGTCGACGCCATCGCCAAGGACCCCGATGCCTTGGAAGCAGACGACACCCTCTACCTCCTACTCCTCACCCGCGTGCTGGCCATCTCTGCTCACGAAGAAGTCCATCCCCTAGAGGTCCGCGAGGTCAAGTACATCTGGGGCGATTTCGTCCCGACCCGCTTCAACGACATCAACGTCTCGCCCAATGCCGGCCCGCCGCCCGAGTGGACGTTACCCTTCTCGTTCAAGTATAACATCGAGACGCCACTCCACGTGCTTGAGAAGATGGATATTGACATCTACGCCACCCTGGCTGACTACGACCTCTGGACACTCAACACCCTCTACGCCAAGTTCCGCGGCACCGCATCCGCCCGCAAGAGCCTGCGAGACGGCCGCCCAGACGTCGCCGCTGTTCACCCCTATTGGTGCCTCGCCAACCACGACTGCGACCCCAACGTCACCTGGGAATGGGGAGGCCGCATGGTTCTCGAGGCCCGGCGCGAGCGCGTCGTGGGCGGCCGGCCGGGAGGCATCAGGCGTGGCGAGGAGATTCTCAACCACTACTGCGACGTCGACCTGCCCGTACAGCAGCGCAGGGAGTGGGCGAGCGGGAGCTTGGGCGGTTGGTGCATGTGTAAGCGGTGTCGGGACGAGGCCAGCGAGGAGGCAAATGTCGGCAAGGAAACCAAGGCAAGCGATGATGCAACAGCCGACGAGGCGAACCGTACTTGAGCTGGTGTTTACCTGGCGTAGGTGTATCAAAAAGGGCGAAATGGGATAGCCCACTAGACATGGCACGGAAGGATCTACAGGATATGGAGTATAGACAAAAAGTGAACAGTTTCAATGCGAAGAATTCTTACGGCCCTGCCATCAATGTTCATGTCACATTTGCAATATAGCAGTCGCCAGTCTCTGATACTCAAGGCTCGGTGATCCAGGACCGACTAATTTGCATTTAAGCTATCATCTATACGACTATTAACTGTAGCCCTTGATTCCTTCCCATCAACTGCGCACCTTTTCTCCTTCTCCCGCAGCCTCCGCGTTGGCCCCTCACCTCGGCTCCGGCAGCGGCCTCGGCCCCACGATCTGTCTCCGGCCGGCCCCGATGCCTTGCGCGCCCTTGTTCTGGCCGTCGCCGCCTGTGAAACCGCTCCACTGTCCGACATCCCAACGCCCGCCGATGCCTCCGCCGATGCCGTCCACGCCGTCGCCGTCTCGAACTGCAGCCGCTGTCTCCTTCTGCGCCTCCTCCCACTCCTGCTGTCTTTGGCGCTCCATCTCCATCTCGCGCTCTAGCAGCGACTTGGACGCCCATCCGCTCGCCTTGGTCTTTGCCTGGCTCTGTGCGCGCCGCTGGTCCTCGCCGTCACGCTCTGCCGTGGCACCAAGCTCCCGGGAATAGGTCTGTTGGGGGGCTACCGGCGCGGGGGCCGGGTTGTTGAAGAGGAATCGGTCGGTGCGGCTCGGCAAGGCCGGCTTGGGTGCAACAGGCTTCGGCGCGAAAGGTTTAGGCGCAGCGGGCTTGGGAGCAGCAGGCTTGGAAGCGTATGCCATGGGATCAGGGAGGGCACGGCCACCCGTATTGTGTGTCCTGACCTGCTGAGCAGGAGTTGGTTCGGGGAGGGGACGGCTGCCCGTGTGTTGCGTCTTGACTTGCTGAGTAGGGGTTGGTACAGGGAGCGGACGGCTGCCCGTGTGATGTGTATTGACCTGCTGGGCAGTGGTTGGCACGGGAAGGGGACGGGGTGACCTGGGAGGGATAATAACAGCTTCCTGTTGTTCTGCGTCGTGCTGTTGGGGAAGCTTGGTGCTCAAGACTTCGCGATCCGACCTCGACCATGAGTCCTGTCGGCTTGGAGGGCTTGCCAACCGGCTCCGGGATCTAGGTCTAGGCTTGGTATCACGAGCCGCTGCCCTTGACCGGGACCTGGGCTTAGCATCGCCGCCGCGAGGACTCTGGACTTTCTCCTGGCGCTCTCGCTCATACTCTGCCTCTCGTTGCCGCGCGAGCTCCAATTCCTTCTCCAGCTCTTGGACTCGGCTCCTGTATCCATCCGCCGCGCCGTCTTGTGATGCAGCTTCCTCAGCGCGGTACTGACTAAGGAATTGTCCGTTCAGCTTGGCGTCGCTTCGGCTTCTTGTGCGGCGTCGATCATCGGCTAGGCGAGCCTCGGCGTCCTCTTCTTCTTTGCGCCGCTTCTCTTCGGTTATCCTCCACTGGCGCTCTTCCTCTTCCCATCGTCGCTTCTCCTCCTGGGCCTCCTGTCGCTCCTTTTCGCGTAGTTGTTGGGCTTCCTCCTCCCATCTGCGCTCCTCCTCCAAACGGGCACGCTCTTCTTCGGCCGCCCTCCGGCGTTCCTCGGCCTCTGCCTCCTGGCGAAGGCGCTCCTCCTCTGCTTCTCGTTCCTTTCGACGCCGCTCTTTCTCGGCCAAGTTAGGCACGTGAGGGCCAGCCGTCGTGATTTGTCGTCGTCCACCAAATGCAATGCCCAAATTTCCCTGGCTGGCTCCTCCCAAGTATCCATACTGTGCAATATTCCATGCCGGTGCAGTAGAGCCCTCGTGCTCTCTCTTGCTCCAGCTGGTCACGGCCCGGGGAGATCCACCCCCAGTGGTAGGACTCTTGGTAGGACTCCACCGTCCTGACCCGGAATCCCCGGTCCTGTGGGGAACAGCGGCAGCATAAGCCGACGGGGAATGACCGGTCACGGAGCCCCCCCGATTGCGGGACCCGGCTGGTGTGATAGGGCCAGTTCCCTGTGGGCTCAGTGCATCAGAACGGTTCCTGGGGCCGATGGGCGCAGGGAATTTCTGTGGGTTCGCGGCATGAGCAGCTCTACTGAAGGCTCCCAGGCATTGTAGAACCTGCGCTGGGTCCTTCTGCTCGTACAGGTCGACGGTGAGGAACGTATCGTGCTGGTGGAGGTTGAGAGGCGCGGACTGGCAGGCGCGGAGGAAGAGGGAAATGTTTTCCATCTGAACAAACGGCATGGCCGACTGCTTGAATCTAACACCTGGAGGAGGAAGAACAAGGTTCGCGAGTCTGCGGAAGTGGTTAGAACGCAAGGCGGCATAAGATGGGGATATAAAACAAAACACCTACTTGCAAAGAGCAACGCCGTCTTTCAGGGCCTCGAGGAGATCTGAGGATGACAGACGTTCCCCTAGAATCTCTTCGACCCATGAGCGGGCCTCGTTTGCGGCCGCGGGTGTGTATTTATCAAGGCGCATCTTGCGCAAATCTTTGTCGAGGGACGTGACGGACGCCATCTTGAATCAGACGGATGTCTTTGCAGGAGATTGGTCGGTGGAGGTCAGCGAGTAGGTTCGTGGGACTTGTGGCTCGCTACTCAAGTCGGCAATGCGAAGCCGTTGATGGAACGCCGCCGCAAGACGGGCGCCTTGGCAAGAAGGCGGATCAATGGGAGGCAAAGCGATGATCCCAGCTTTGAGCGCTTTGCCTTAGCGGGGGTTGATCTGGCCGTCGTCGCGGGCTTCTTCGTTCACGGCGAGATTCGATCGCAGCCGTGGATGGTGGAGGATTGTAGATGGAAGAGGGAGAAGTTGGCGGCCCCAAGCAACCGTAGCGAAGTTGTATTGCGCAGTTGGGTACGACGCTCCCCACGCCGCCTAACATCCTGCCGAAGAGTCCGCCGTCCGCCACCCGCTGGGAATGACGTGGGCTGGGGTGGCTGGTGACTGGTGGCGCAGTGCTGCCCAATGTATGGTTGCGGTTGCATGCATAATGCATAATGCATAATGGCTCGAACCTTAGGGGTGTAATATGTACTGTGCACGGTGTGGCACCAAAGAAAAATAGTGTGGCTGGTGGCGGGCAGAATCTTGACCTCATCCCCATCCAAGTTCCATCGCGCCCCTCCCAAAACTAACTATCGGGCGACAACCGACCGCCGACTTGCAAATGGCCCCGAAACGCATAGGCACCTTTGCGCAAGCATGGTACAGGTGGAAGACCCTCCGCCTGCCATGGCGGAAGCGCTTCCTGATGGGTAAGTCCCTCCCCCGGCCCGCAATCGCTGCTGTCCGGCCAGTTGACTTACATGGCTCCCTGTTATAGGCTATGACCTCGAGGGCAACACATACTGGGAGTTCCGCCTCACGCGCGGCACCGAAGGCGGCGAGCGCTGGCGACGCATCGTCAACTACCCCCGATCGACGCACTACTCCCAGGTCAAGGTCAACCCGCAGTGGCATCAGTGGCTGCGGCACACCCGCCAGGAACCCCCGACCCTCGACGAACAACAAGACGACGTGGTGCGCCAGGCGCGGATCAAGGTGCTGGCCGCCCAGGCCGATGCGCGCTGGGAGTCCAAGCCGCGAGTAATGGAGGCCCCTGAGGAGACCGCCCAGAGACTGGCCCCAGTCAATGCCCCTGCGCCGACACAGAATGCTGAACCCCCGCGGCCGGCAGCTGCTCGTCGTCCTATACCGGTCAGAGAGGAAGTTGAAAAGGGCGAGGACCCGTGGGCAAAGGCAAAGGCAAACAAGGCTCAAGGCCCGAGCGAGAACTGGCAGCCTGCTGCTTGGACCCCGACACCGGCGAAGAAGCGATGAGGTGCCGATGTTGCACGGCAAATGCGACGGCTCGTCAATCAGGCTCGGTCTACACGCCCACAGCGACAACAGCATACGTGGGGCAGTGTGCCGACTGTAACTCTATTGTACACCAGGGATCCAAAATATCTCCAATATTAAGCGCCGAGGGAGTAATAACCCGCGGCCTATGGTCATCATTCGTTAAAGCATGGACGGTCTATATACGGGGTAATCTATATGTTGTTACAAGATGCAATCCAGGGAACCAACGCCGGTTCATTCTTCCGCCTCACTCGTTGTTTTCAACGCCTCCAGCAATATCCGAATCCTGTGCCCCGAATTCTCCAAGACATCCTGCGCCAAAGTGTCAGTCGCGTCCCCTTTCATCTTGCCCGTCCGTCTCTTTTTTGCCTTAGTCTCGCGAGCTGTAATCCCCTTCTCCGCGGCCGCAGCAAAACTTTCGCTGTACTCCATCATTTCGCACGTCCACAGCAGTTGAATGGCGTTCTCGACAAGCAACGATAATTTGGCATTGTCCTCGATCGCAACTGTGTTGGCAGGGTTAAGGATGTAGCAATGCTCTAACATCGGTGTCGTCAGGGATCCTTGTGCGTCGGCATCAGGGTCTATTTTGGCGGGGTTCTTGTATGAAGCTGGTAGAAGTATGTGAAACAGTTCTTTAGTGATGGTGATATGTGCCTCAGCGATAAGCGGATTTGGTCTCTGACTGACGAGGAGCGTAAAGGTCTGCAGGGGCAATAGCTTGACCGAAGCGGCATATCCCTCATAGAGGCGATCGAGATCAGATCGCTTCCGGGCTGCAAATGTAGCGGCTGAGAGCAGTTTAAACAGCCGCAGCCGGAAGCTAATCGACTCGACCAACCCAGGCTGATATGCTCCGGCAGATCCGGACTTCCTCTTATCCTTTGGCTTCTGGGGTGTGGGAGGCTCCGAGATACCCGACGACTGAGACTCCTCTTCAAAGTAGTCGCCAAATTTGTCGTTCTCTAGGTCGAGAACCTGTTCTCGCTTCCGTTTGTTGGGTTGCTTCCTGGGTCCCTTGGGCTCCCTGTCGAATATTTCGCGGAATGCAGAGGATGATATTTCGCTACCATCCGCGAAGAGGGCCTTGAGGATGCCCTTGATTCCGTATGTCCGGCCGTCCTGCTGATCCATGTACATGAGAATCATGGCTTCCTCGCGCGATTCTCGCGGCATTTCGCCATCTTCGCCTGTGGCTCGATGGGCCTCCCTGTCGCAGCGTTCCCTCTCTTTCCAGTCGGCTTCGAGCACATCCAGCATGAACCCCAGCCAAACCTTCCAGTATTGCCACCGATGTGGGTACAACGTACTACAGTTGAAGGCCCAACCGACAGTGGACCAGAAGTCTTGTCCACGGCTCCATAGACTACTCTCGTTCGAAATCTTTCCTCGAAGGTGCTCTTCATCTCCATCCACGTCAGCATCAGACGCATCACTGTCGTTTGCATGTGTGTGCTGTCCCCATCGCCTCCCAAATCTTGGAATTGAATGGAACCGAAACGCTGTTCTGAAATCCGCGTTGATGGGCCCCACAATGGTGAGTAGGTTGCGGAGATAGTCAAGAGCTTGAGACGACACATCCAAGTGCTCCTTCTTTTCTGCGCGAGTGGTATGTAGCGGGTGGACGACGAGCGTGGCTAAGAGAGCGAGATGACCCGGGGGAGGAACCGCAATGGACTTTCTGTTGGTCGAGGCGCGCTTGGATCCTCCGGAACCCGCGATAGAATTGAGGAGGTTGATGGCGCAAGTGTCTGTTCAATAGTCAGACAAGGTGTGCGGTGCATAAATCAGCAGTGGCACGTACAGAGCTGTTCCTCTAGAAAGATCTTGCAGTGGTCCTTCAACTCGCGGGGCAGGTGTCGCGCATCGCGATATGGGCAGGGATTGTCCTGGACGGGACTGCTCGCGGCGGTCGATTTCTCGAGGGAAGAGTCGCGGGCGGTCACGTAAGATGCCAGCGACGACAACTCGGAGGAGGTGGGCGACGCCGGGGCCATTTCGTTCTGGGCGCTGTCAACATTCGTGTTGACGTTTGGCTGGGAATGTGGGATGTGGATGCGGGTTGCAGGACGCAGATGAAGCCTTTACGCGGTGATGTGTTGGACTGCGCGAAGCGCGCCTACCCAATCAATCTACACTATCAAGGGTACCGACGAAGGCACTCGAGCACAGTGGGGAGGGGCAGCCTAGCGCTGGTTCGCACCGGCTGGCCCACCGGGCTGTGGCGCGGACCGCCCACTGAACACGGCGCCACAGCCACTAAACACTGTGCACAGCCTTGTTTCTGCGCACCGTACCAGGACCACGCGGGCTACTTCCTTCCATGCCCCTGAATCCCAAACTCTTAGTTACAACTGTCACGCCTTCAGACGGTCTGATTCGAACCTCAGCACATGCACTTGACGTTTGCTTTAGCTTTTAAGTGAATGTTTATGTATTTGGGTCTGTGCTATGTGCAAAAAGTCTATTGTGATGCAGCAGGTACATACAAAGGCCCTCCTATGAGAGTCTTCCTAACGTGAGACGTATGACCGAATACGTGCTCAAACCGCCAGCTCTTATAGTAAGCTGTACCTCCTCTCCTTGTGAGGACCTGAATTCTTCAGTGTAGAGTTCTCTATCCATTCTATCATGCCTTCCAGTCCAAAGATCTAGAGCCAGAACGCCGCCCAAATGCTGATTACCACACCCAAAGATCCCATGCTGCAACCGAGTCAAGTCTATATTGCCTCCGGGTATTCTAGGTTCTTGAACAAAAAAAGAAATAATATAGATAATATGAATAAGTGGAGAGCAGGATTCACTCCCGCCTTCTCAAAATGGTATGTCGTCTCTCATAAAGGGGGAGCGTTGATCCGCTGTTCGATTTGGTTTAGTTGTTGTTTGCGTGTTTGTTGCCTCTCATTTTGAGGGGTTTTAATGTAGAATCTTAGGCAGTTTACTGCTCTCGGGTAAGGGTGCGTCGAGTAGCATTGCTCTGGCGGCGTGAGGCGTTGCTCTGACGACGCTCCTTCTCGTGGGCCTCGGCTTCCATCACGGCCTGTTCCTCGGTGATCTCCTCGTGCTTAGTGCGCATGCGCTGGAGGACAGTGGCGGCCTCGGCCGCGAACTCGCACTTCATGCGGATTCTCTCACCGTACTTGTAGAACAGGAAAGGGAAGGGGATGCAAGCCACAGCCAAGAAGGCGGGAATGGAGCTGGCCCAGTGGTTGCCAAGGTCCTCGTACATGTAAGTCGTGAAGAGGGGGAATGCGGCACCGAACAGAGATCGAAGAACGGAGTTGGATGCAAGGACGGAAGCGGCGAAAATGACATCTAAGCGGGGTTAGCAACAGGCCATAGTGCCGTCTGGAGGTGGAGAGAAGCTTACAAGAATCGACGAGATAATTCATCAGAGAAAGAAACACCAGGACAAGGCCCATGGCGAAGACGGCTGAGCCCATAATGCATACAATCCAGTGGATGTCAGTGCCGTTGGTCCAGGCGAACCAGAACAGGCCAGCGGGGATGAGGATGGATCCGAGAAGAGTAGGAGGGAGTCTGGCCTCGGGGGGCGCATAGCCACCAGGGGATGCAGCAGCCACGCGCATATAACGGCGGTTGTCAATCAGAGTGTACGTAATAGCAAACACCATTCCAACTGCGATACCAATGAAAGCCAGACCTCCCTTTCCGGGGCTCCATCCTCGACCCTGCTGGAAGACGATAGGGAACGCGGCGAAGCAGAGATAAAGAGTGCCGTAGATGATGGCCATGTAGATGGAAGTGAGAAGAACGATGGGCTCCTTGAAGAGGAGGATCCACGGGCGAAGGAGGGAAACCTTGAACTGCGCACCAATGGTGGCGTGGGGCTTTCCGACATCGACCTTGGAAACGTAGACCTTGCCAGTTTTCTTAGACAGAGCTGCAGCACGTCGTCGCAGAAGCACAGGCGCATAGGTCTCCGGGATGACGAGGGAGTTGATGATCCAAACGATACCAGTGAAGATAGCCATCATGCCCTCAACCCAGCGCCAGCCTTCGTGCTCGCCGAGGAAGCCGCCAGCAATAGGACCTATTGATAAGAGTCAGCATGTTGGATCGATTTTATTTGATCAAGATTCACTAACCAATGGTGGGACCAAGAAAGGGGGCCATCGCGAAAAGCGCGGTGGCCATGCCTCGCTCGTTGGCGTCAAACATGTCTGCAATGACACCACCGGCGTTGGTCAGGGGCGAGGAGCCAAAAGAACCGGCGAAAAATCGCAGAACGATAAGGGCAGCCATAGTAGGAGCACCGGCGGCGCCAGCGTTGAAAGCCGTCAGAGCCATGTAAGAGATAAAGAAGAGGATCTGGCGGCCGTACAGCTCGGACAACGGGGCCCAAAACAGCGGGCCGATAGCAAAGCCCAGAACAAACAGGGAGATACCAAGAATCACCACCTCAGTGGAAACATCAAAGTCGATGAGAACTTGAGTGAGACCACCTGAGTAGGCGGTACTCACAAAGGCAACGGCCAGGGTGGCAATAGCCTGTAGGATCGTGATGAACCACTTTTTGGGTTGAGAGAAGTTCATGGCATTGCGAGGGTCATTAGGGAGGAAGTCGACGATATAAGGTGACTCTGCGGTGCCCTCGCCGGCATACTTGTGGTTGAGGACGGCTTGGTTAACGCCGGCTTGGTCGAAGATGAGGTTGAAGTGGGAAGCCTTGACGTCAGGCTGCTGAGCTTCGATATCGGTGTCTTGGGCGGTCACCGACGACGACGAGGATGAGGGCGTAGTCGGCGACATCGTGGTAAGAATGGAATTCACGCACACTATAGGAGATAGGGAGTGGCGTGATCGAAGTCGGTCGAGTTTGGTTCTCTGACGGGAGTCCTCGAGAATGGTCAGGAGCCGGTCAGTATAAGCGGTTGCTACAGCTTATCAGCAGAACGGGATCAGAATGGAACCCGCCATGGTGCAGGCAATGCAGATATATATGGTCATGTCGACGAGATTCAATCCAGGGTTCATTTTTAATCAAGATCCACCCAAGACCCAAAAACGCCCGTCGTCCATGGAATGGGTCGTGGATCCGACCGATATCCCGCGGGAGCAAGGGTGCATCGGGTCCGTGAGAGCACCGACCTTGTCCGTCTGGCGAGTGTGCGGGCTGACATGACGTTTGTTGGCGGCAAGCAAGACGGAATTGCCAGCGCCAAAGCCGTCCAGATAGCATACGAGGCAGATCCTGGATGCCAGATCGGAGGTGCGTGGCGGCTCAGAGGCGAGGCTCAATCCCGGTCGTCTGGGTCCCAGGTTCATCCAACCATACCATGTTGCTCATCTCGCGTCTCGTTCTTCTGGTATGCCGCTCTACCGGCATCCTTGCCTGCGGAGCATCTCCGAGGCCCAGGGCCCTCTACAGCACGAGTGTATCGATACGGGGCCTAGAAGCCCAGCAGAAGGGAGGAACCGTGGCCCATCCCTGGAAAGTCCGTCGGAGCTTTATCTCAGTACTCCGACGGGAGAGGATGACGCAGGGCCCGGATTCGCGGGACCCATGTTGTTTTAGGAATAACAGTGGCGCTTGGGCGGCGCACTACGCCTAAGGGCCGACTATCTCGTCCGTGTGTTCGGCTCCGAATATTTAGGATGTGGGTTGCTCAATTTTTCGCTTCTCCCTAATCTTTGAGCGAGTAAACATCCCCGTCGGCCTTTCATTCGATGATGGAGACGTCCACGTACTCCGTGCTTCTAGTCTGGCTCTAGCGAAGAGTCAAAGCCGATAGCCCTGTTGATAGTCTTCTCTCAGTTCAGTCCACCGCCTCGCCACTTTGGTAGGGGCAACAGTCTTCGGTCGGCTCCACGCAGAGCCTCGCTGTTGAAAGCTGACGTCGCTGTATTACGGCTGCAGAAAACTCGGTTCTCATCGCCCTCCGTTGCCATGACGGAGCCGCGGATCGGCTGGTCTCTTATTCCCGACCGTTGCTGACCTTGTATCGTCCGGCAACCATTTAAAGGTGCGGTTGATCCTGGTAATTTCTCAACTTGGAATGGTTCATGAGCGGGATTCGGACTTGGCCTAGCCGCTGGCGGACCACCTTTTTTTTAAACCCAGTCCCGTGGCGCATGGCTCACTTTAAATGGCCTGAGATCAGGAGATATGACTCGATTTAGCCTGGCCCTGCCCACCAGAGCCGCATCCACTGTCGGCGTTTTCAGGGTTGTCGCTCGCTGTCGCGGTGCCTCGGCTCGTACCGTTGGTCGTGGTCGAAAATCAATCACTTGTAGTTATCCATGCTTGACGTGTCTCGAATTGTGTCTGCCTACTCTCCGACAGAGTGGATCAATCTCCAAATCCTTGCCACTCATCCTCGATAGTGGTCGAAACCCCCACCTCCTGTTGGTATCTTGCATCTCTAGCAATCTCTGCGGCACTGTCGTCGCTGTAGCTGCTATCGTCGTCTTCCTCTTCCTCTTCCTCGTCATCTTCATTGTGATCCTCCTTCTTGCCTTGATCGGATCCAACCTCGTCTCGCGCGTTCAACGAGACCGGGGCTCCCGTTGATTTCAGAACCGGCATTCCAAGCACGTCTCGAATGATTGCGCCATCATCATCTCGTAAATATGGGCCCTCGTCGTCGTCCCCAGACCCGGCGTCTCGGGATCCAACCCTCACGAAGCCAGCGACAAAGAACCCCATGACGCCTTGGCCATCATCTTTGTAAGAGCGTATGCAAGCGTCGGCGATGTCTCCATCATCTCCACATGCCGAGGTTAGTCCTCGAACGGGCCACTCTTTCATGCCCGCAACCTGGTCTTTCCGCAGCAAAATGCGCCAGTTCCTCTCTTTCGCAATATCTGATTGGAGGGCCCGCATAACCACGCGCTCATTCTCTTGCATGTGAACCGAACATGTCGAGTATGTTATCTTGGTTGCTGCTGGGAAGCGGAATGCGTGCAGGAGCAGGGTCAGCTGAAAGCCTGACAAAGCCTCCAATCGGGATTCGAGGTCTTGGTCAGATTTCATGATCGTCTCGTTCCCGTCGTCGTCCACCATGACGGCGTGAGGCTCCGTTTCAACTTCCACGTGCTTTCTCTTACGGTTGTTCGTCCTCCCTGTCGTTTCCTTCGTCATGGTACTGGATAGTTCTGGTAGGTGGAGCTCCGGCATAGAATCTCGTCCAACGATGCCGCTCCCGGAGCAGCTCGGATCTAGGAGTAGGGCTCCCACAGATTTGTATCTCTCCGCGCGTGGGTCCACTTGCAGAAAGTCCTGGCCAAATCCAATGCGCGTCGTCGTCTTAGATCCTGCTGTTGTTACCATCTTGTCCAGGGTCTGCGCTCGCCTGGGATCCTTCTCGAACGCATATATTGTCTGGGGTGGTGTCTCAAACTCCGGCTGGTGTTCTTTCAGGATAGCTGCTAAATGTGTGGTCTTGTTGCCGGGTGCGGAGCAGGCATCGATCAAATCCCCATCTTCAGACCGGGGGTCCAACAGATAGGCCGGGAAGCACGATGCCTTGTCTTGAAGAATGATTTTGCCAGATGTATAGGCCTCCGTCTTTGTCAAGTCGACTCCAGACGTGATGGCGAGAAGATTGGGAACATGTGGGTCGATGAAGAGATGCTTGCCCGACTTTGTGATGACATCCTGGACGGAGCCAGCCCTTGCAAAAGCAGAAAATGTCGTTTCTAGCTGGTCCTCCAAGCTGGTTTTTACTGCATTCACGCGAACCCATCGGGGGTAGTTTGCTTCCTCGCCGGCAGATTCCTTGTCAATCTGCTCCTTCAACTCCGCGAGTGACGCTGCCCTTCTTCGCAATCGAGCCCGCGTAAGCTCAGAAGTAAGGCGACCCTTGTGTCTTTCGACAGATGCTCGTAATCCATGGCTATGGGGGAGAGCAATGCCCTTCTTGGCTAGCAATAAATCATGTACCAAGAGCAATGACAAAGGTGGCGTGAGCTGAGACCAGTAATTAGCGAATGCTCAATAGAATGAGGGTGGTTTTTGGTATGAGGTGCCAACCTTGCGTTCAAGCTTAAGGAGATCGGATTTCTCGATGACTTCCTTGATGACCGGACTCCATTTGCAACTTTCCAAGACAAGCGCATACAGTTGGCTGGGCGGAGACTTGAGGTTTTTCTTCTTAAAAACACGAGACTTGAGACTACCTCCTCCAGAGGACGAGCCTACTAGGAATTCGGCCGCCTCGTAATAGAGAGACATGTTGCGGTGTCGAAACAGAGAGAAAGTTTTGTTGATGAATTGTTGCGGGAGTGAAAATTGCCTGTTGCCAGTCGCGACGGATGGAAAGTTTACCCGGAATTCACCCGCCTCAACCTGGGAGGCTCCTACTTACCCTGGGTACATAACTTAGCTGTCAAGACGAACTCTCATTTCGGAACATGGATATACATATGTTTTCTTTGTTTTTATGAATTCCAGGGTTTGGTCTCAGACAGAATATTTTTAAAGATTTCGGTGCTCTTTAAACTGGGGTTTGTAGCAAAATGCTTAGTATCACCCAATCAGGTGTTAGTTAAGACGTCTGTTAGTCGGCTTTTACTTGACATGCTGTGGCAACGCGAGATAAGAGAGGTGATGCCCATCATTTAAATCCCATTTTGGGGCCCTAAATTCATAGCGGGCAAGAGTTGCGTTTGCGCATCTGCCCTTGGGAAGTAAAACTATGTCCTCAAAATGTACAAGTTAAGAATTGAAATATCCAACTCTCATAGAGAGCTTGGTGAATGAAGAATTGTCCCACCGAGATCGCCCACGCTTTTAACCATCCATCTACAAGACCCCCAGATCCGTGTGCGAAATACGCTATGTTATAACCGAGAGTCGTCCTAAATGATTGTACCATCTCGGTTTCCCTAGGAACCAATTGTTCAAGAAGCGAATAAATCTGTGTGGCGCATCTGTTCAGTAGCGACCTCGAACATGGTTGTGCATGTGTCGTCGAACGCTATCCCTCTTGTAGATATTGTCGGTCTGGGTGGGAGCGCTCTCAGCCGTCTCGGTGACAGTGACGGTGTTCCAGACAGTGTGAGTTTTGCGTATGCATGTGGTCTTGTCAGGGCTGCTGTAGAGGCTCGTGGCCTTGGCATCTTCGGATTCAGAGCTGGCGGTGACGGCTTCGGGAGCCTCTGAATAAGAAACAGCCTCAGATGAGGTTGCGACAGCGTCAGCGGAGTCGGTCACCTGGGTGGGCGCCTCTGCAATGGTCTTATCCGCGGCAGCATACTTGGTCGTGGTCTTATCGGAGGCAACATCCTTGACGGTGGAAGATGCGACAGATGAGCTTACGGTGTTCTCGCCCCCCGAAGCCTTGCTGCTGCTAGTTGCAGTCGAGTCATCGTCGTTGGAAAAATCGTCGGAGCTACCGCTGCCATACTGGAAGCCGCTGAGGGGGTTGTCGCCGGGGAGCTTGCTCAGGGTGCCAGAGACCTTCTCGTCGATCTCGGATTCGATGGTGCACTCGTCCTCGTTCAAGCCGTAGAACAGACCCTCGCACTTGTCCATGCCACCGGTGCCCGTGTCACAAGTGTCGATGATGTGCTGGAGGAGGTCCTCGTCCCAACCAGCCAGGAAATCAGCGTGACTGCTATAGCCAGTGACATCACCGTTGGAGAAGACAAAGGGCTGGTCCTTTTCCTTTCCTTCTTCCCAACGGCCCTGGAACTTTTGAGTGTCCCAGTACACCTCGTAGAAAAGTTGGGGAACATGGGTATATCCTTCAGGGCAGTCCAGCTTTCCATTATTGTCTTCGGGGAACGCCATGTTCGTCTTGTAGTTGGTGAGGCCGGCGTCGGGGTTGTAGCAAGAAGGGAAATGAATATCGGCACGGAGAGGAGAATACAAGCCGTCACAAGTTCGATAAGGGAAGCCCACACCCTCACCCAGGTTGATTGAATCGCCGACTCCGGCCGTGGTACCGTCTGAATCAGGCTTCCAGGACGGGGGGTCATAGATATTCTGCAAACGAGGGCAGGTCATCCGGGCAGGGTTGACGGGTCCCTTTGAAGGGTCGAGGTTGGCCTTGGCACCAGTTTTGGGCATGACGCGGGTCATGGCGTCACCTGCTACCATGTTGAGGCCGAGGGGGAAGGGCTTGATATCATCATTGGTTGCCTCGAAGCTGGACTTGTGTTAGCGATTGACTTCAGAGAAGACGATGCTTGGGAGTTGTGACGTTACGAAAACAGTCGAATGCGGAGCGGCAATGGCGCGAGAACTTACAAGTAGTAGGCGTTGAAGTAGTAGAGGTCGACGGATTCGAATTCGCCGGTCTTGGGATCGTGGAAGTAGAGCGAAGGAAACCAATAGGCGCTGTTGTCTCCCTTGACGAGGGCGTTGCTGCACTTGGAGTTCTGCATGTCCTTGCCAGTGGCGCTGATGCTGAAGCCACTGCCACCCATGACGCTGTGGACGTGGTGGAAGGTCTCGCCGGGGGTGATGATGGGATCCATGCGGCCCTTGGTCAACTCCTTGCCCTTGAAGCGCAGGACAGCGAAGGTTCCGGTGTCCTTGGCCATGGCGGCGCCTGCAAGGGCCGCAAGGGAGGTGGCGATGGTGAACTTCATGATGTTGGTGGTTGTGGGTTTGAATCAAACGGAAGGTGTTCTTGGTGTTTCGAAAGTAGGAGTGCAAAAACGCAGTTATTGGAGACGGTCTCTAGGACAGCGGCAACCAAGAATGAAGTGGAATTTCTCTTCACTTGGAAGGGATTGAGAGAGTGAAGTTGAAGGCGAAGGTGAATGTGAGGGGCAGAAGCTGCAGGTGATACCGGAGCACCCGTGAGAATGAACGTGTTGCAACCAAGTGAGTCGCAGCGAGTGTGAATCACAGCCGAGTCGACGGGACGAGGTTGACGACGAAGAAGAGGATGAAGAAGGAGTGGAACAAACAGACGTGGGACCTGCTGCAAGAAAAGAGAGAAGAAAAAGAGAGGACGTGCTCAGCAGGTTCTGCGGTGTACGAAGGGGAAAAAGAGGGTGAAGGAGCGAAGAATAAGAAGAGGGCGAGGTTGGACGAAGGATGAGGTCTTGTGAACGGGGAGATGGGCAACCTCAGCCCCCCAAACTGTACTTATTAGCGGAGATTCAGATTAGGGTACCTACCTTAGGTACCTCAGGCGGCCTGTCAGGTCAGTGTGAGTGGGCGGGTGCGCGGGTGAGGGCCCAAGCTCGGCAGTCTCCCTAGCCTAAGGCTGGTTTGCTGGCAGCGCTGGCCTCTGCGGGACCGGCCCTGTAAGCCCTGGAAGCTCAGTGGTTAGAACAGCGGCCAGGGCCACGCAGCTTGCGCGCGCGTGCACTGTGGGTGGCATTTTTGGCCACTTCGGCTTGTTGCAGCGAGCTGAACGATGGATGCCGATGCTGGGCCAGAGATGCGCCTCAGGGGTCGCCAAGCCGAGGGGGCGAGGCCACTCCTTTCACCCCTAGAATGAGGTAGGAAAGCATGGCCGCGATAACTACTACTATAGTACGGAGTACGGTAGGTGTGTCAAGTAGCAGCAGCCGCCAAGGATTGGTCCAGCTCGCCCTCTTCTCACGCCACCCCGAGGTTGTGTTGCGTTCTGTGTGTTCCATGTGTGTGCGCCCCTTTGGCTGTTGTCAAAGATAATGCCGTATAACACTGCAGATGGCCCTCAATTCCGGCTGGTCCAGGTCGCAAGTGCCTTGCAGGGTTGCCTTGGGGGCTCTCGCCTCCTCCGTACCTGCATCCAACGCCCGCATTGACATGGCAGATTGGGCTGTGGCGGTTGGCTTGAGGCAGACGGGAGACGAGATGGAATGATGGGAGGATGAGATGGAATATCGATGAGGGGCCTCAACAGGGATGTGTGACCGGACGAGAGTGGAGGCTCACCATCTCCGCTTTGTTGGCGGGTTACTCTGCTGCTCTACAGACTGGAGTTTGTGCTTGGCGACGATGTGTTGGCTTTTGGTGCAACATCATGAGGCACACCAACATGTGCATGCGGAACATGGCAGATGGTGGGGTGGTGATGGAAATGTCTACTGAGTTTTCTTCCAGACCATCGTGACCTTTGACCGGTACATGACACGACTGCGCCATCTAAAAGATGCATCCTGCCGGAGGATGGATGCGGATTGCTGACGTGCAAGGTGAGGATTGACGATATTGGAGGATGAGGCGCACTTGCCCTGTTGCATGGCGTCGTCGTCTCACAAAGACGACCCAGAAAAGGGAACAGAACAGTCCCCGCCGCCAACCAATGCAGATCAATGGAGATTACAGGGCCACCATGCGTCGTTTCCTGACTTCGGTGCCTTTCGTAGATCTAGCTTGGCCCACGGGGGATGAAAACAGGGGTTGTTATCGATCCCGGTGGGTAAGTTGGCCGCTTGGGTGGGGGTAGAAGAGGGCATCTTGCTTCTGTTTCCTTGGCATTGGCGCCTGAGAAATACCTAGAGTAAGATAAAAACTTTCACTTTTGATGTTTGTAGTCTCCCCCCTCTCTTCTACAGGGCATTTTTATAATTAATTATTTATTTGTCATGGAGATGCTGGCAATAGCAAACATATGAAGAAGCTATGTAAGAATTAGTACGTGCTCTTTCAGCTCACATGCGTTTCCCAGGAGGCAAAACCGACCGGGCGTTTCAAAGCCCGGCAGCGCTTCTCAAGACAACAAAAAGGTCGGTAGGTCGGCGACCATGCGGCTTACTGTCTTCCGTACCTGCTCCATTGCGCTTCGGCTCCATATCTCCCCTTGCCCTTGCGTTTAACCCTTGCGTGCGATCCTCCGGGGCGAATAAGCTCTTGCTCCCGGCCATGATCCGCCCTATTGCCGTCCAGCTCTTTAGCCAGGGGTTAAGCATGCGCTCAGGGGCACAGCTCATGAAACACACTACAAGGCCGCGGCCATGTGATTGGGCAAAGCACTGCAAGGTGACGGCTGTGCCTGAGAGAGCCTCTGAGTTGGCCAACCTCGAGCCTACGGCCCGCAGCCTGCAGCCTCTCCTCCTCCACTTCCGTCACCACTATCACCACCCCAAAAAAAAAAGCGTATATCTAGGTTTAAGTTGCAACGTCAACCTATCAGGATCCGATCATGGTTATCGTTTCGTTTAGGGCAACCTCAACCCTCTCATTGGTCGGTAGTATTGACGCTTAGGTGCGATATTTTCACCTGCATATTTACTCCAGGGGACATTTCCATCTGCCGTGCCGTGGCGGCCGCTGCTTGCTCCCGTTCCCATCCCTCCAACTCGCCAATTACCGACAGTACATTCCTGCTATTTCTCTCGGAACGACCGGCCGGTAACTTACAGTGTTGGCACTGCTACCCATCCCAGGAACTAGGCCCACTCTTGCTCATCCGCTCCCGACTCCATGGCTCAACCTGGTTCGGCACCACTTATCAGCATGATCATCCATTCGCCTCATGCATCTGTCCTCGAAGCGAGTTCTTGCACACTTAAACCCCACCAAGTAACCCAACTATCGGCTAGTTCAATAAAACTTCAAATGTGGCTGACTGCCAACATCTCAATCCAACCATCCTGCCCACTCGCGAAGCGGCATGTGGCAGCGCCTCGTCCCATGTCGAGGCCAATGAACCCGACAGCGGAGTTGTATGAGGTAACGCTAGCCTGTTCTCGAGGTTCCAGACTCACCAACCCAACAGCAAGCCGTTCCGCCCTGGTTTGGCCCGCCATTCGGCCCGGACCTCACCATGATACAGCCCGACTCTTGTTACCCCTGTCACAACCTCATCCTTGCTGGTCTCGTTGTTTTCAGGGCGCTCCCTCCAAAGCAAAATATCTACGCAAATAGCATCAAGGCAGAAACAGCTCACACCCAAGAAAGGGTCCAAGACGGCCGCGACTCTTCGAGCCCATTCCCCTGGCCAGCGCTTCTGTAGCCCACGACTGGACCCATGTACTTCGTGCTACAGTACTCATCGCATCACTACTCCTGAGTCGAGGTGTGACAACAAGCGCTTGCCGTGTCTGTGTTCAAGCCACCGCCGTGAGAGACTTCCGACACCTGTTCCCGAGCCCCTCACAGCACAATGGCCCGAGTAGGACGGGAGCACTATATCCTCAGACCTGAACCACCTATACCAGACCGCTTCAATATTGCTCACTGCCACCCTGTCCCACTCGCGGGCGCCACCTTTTCCCTCCCATAAGGTGCTGCCATGGCTTCGGTTCAGCTGCTCTCGGCGGTGTGTCGCATCTAAAATTTGCGATAAGAAAGCAATTGACGCCGGGGTATGTCACATCCGGTCTCTCCCAGTACCAATTCAACAAATATGATGGCCATTGAACCGTCCGGGCTAAAGTAAGTTCCGCCGACTGCGATGTACTCTTTCAACCCATCAAATTAAGGATATAAGGAGACTGTTTTTCCTACTAGTATTGAAGGTACACCTATGTTACAGATCCTTGATCGGGCAACTCGAGCCGGGCCGTCGAGGTGAATCATGTGGCAGGTGAGTTGGTGACAAGAGTGACCGTCACAACGTCCACGGCGTGGGCTTGTCGCACGCTTGTCAATGCAATGGTTCGGTCTTGAGGCCTCTACCAGAGCATGTTCCTTAGCATGCCCTGAAGCGCCTGTACATGTGTGTTATCTGCATTTTGGTGGCGTACGGATCAAGCACTGCATGTGACACCGCGGTTGATCCCGCCAACAAAGGGACCATTCCCGGTATGCCCAAACGTGAGAATTCGACACGGCATCTGCACGGTCACCTTATTGTCATTATGACTTAATATTATCCTCCTGAATAGTCAAGTGCTGATCGGTACTCTGCGTTGCGTGAAAAGATAGGTGGACCGTTGTAGCCTTCATCCCATAGTGTTATCAACGACGGCTAACTACCTAATCGCTCTCCAATCTCTAAGCTGGAACATCGCCTTATAGTGATGGATGGCGGTCAATAACACTGCCGCTTTAAGGCGCCCCAATGTGCCATAACCCATCCACCTGCTATATCCCGGGAAAGCTAACCGCGAAACGTTGAGCCTGGTGTTTTGTCCACTCTGACTTCACTATCACCCGCAAATATCTCGATGCGCCATGGTCTCGAAAAGAGACAATCATCATGCGTTTCTTATGAAGCCTTTCAACTACGAGTACACTGGTAGATTCTCCTCCCTTTTCACATATCTGTGCAACCCACTCCGTAATCTCCTGGTCGACCATCTCCAGGAAACAAAGGAGGCACATATGGCTCGTGTCAAATCAATTCATTTTCAACCACTTCGGTAGAAAATGAGGCTAATGATCTTTCGGAGTTTGAGCTTTAGAGCTCAATTGGAGTGCAATTAGCCATCATTCCATATTACTTGATTGGGTTTGACTCAACACCCGGGCCATATGTACGTATGGACATATATACGAACACATCATTTATTTAAAGAAAAATCATCAACTTCGTTTCAATTTATTGCTGTGATCTACATAGTATAGGAGATTTTATTTGGTTCATACGTCCTAGAGATACTAAATACTGCATTGGCTGGACTGGACGGCGACTACAACAAGTGTTGTGATCACTCTCTCGGTCGCTAGTTACGCAGGCGGTTCTGCATATTTCCCCATGTCACTTCATTCATCTCTGGACTTGTGGCAGTTCTCTTTGATACGCCTCGTAATATCATTATTCGCTCACAGCCAGGATTATGATACAACGATAATGATCGGCATTGGTGATATCTTCTCAGCACTACCGCTGAATCAATTACATCATTTTCAAATCTCACAAACACCTCTAAACACTCATGTGGATTTCAGCGGTGACTCAATTAGGGGCGTTTATTTGTTGCCGAGAAATGGGATCCAACACTCAAACATGAGTATTCGGAGTGTCTTGAATTGGTCACAGGCATGGAGTCGACTTCCGCCATTGTTATTCAACTGATACAGCTAACCCTGGAGAGTTAGTGATAATTATACTGCGAACATGCAATGTTCCAATACACATCGTTCTATTGATATACTTTATTTGCCACTCAGTACATATAATCATGGTAGGCAGCGATCGTGATATAACCACAACCGTATTGTGGCGGAAGGCGAAAGAGCATGTTTTAAACTCGGGGCGAGGAATGTTGAGGGTAAGCAAGGGATAACTATTCGACTGCATAAACGTGTCAGCACCGATTGAGGAGAGTAACCACTTTGCAGCACGTAAGGCAAAGTAACTGAAACTTACAATCAAAGCTTCGCCCTTGGCTTGTTCTGCCCAACGGACACGAGGCCAATGAGAGACACCATCTTAATCATCTCCAGACCTCGATAAGATCGGCAGATCGGCCCGGGATGGATCAGCCGTTTTCGACACGTCGTTGCCCTAAGTTAATGTGGTCACTTTCCTCAATAGTGGAATGCGGTTCTTTTGCCTTTCATTTTCTTTCTGCCCAACCACATGGGGCTCTCTTTAACAGCAGATGGAGCCAGTCCATCCAACCAGGAATGCAGACATTTGGATTTCAGGCTTGCCACTTACAGACGCCGTAAGCTGCGAGTGGAAAGAGTGATGTAGATCTTGGGTGTTTGACTTTGAACGAGCATAATAACCGTTGGGTGACTGCGGCAAGGAAGCTAGAGATCAATTGTAGGACGCAGATCGGGCAAGGTGTTTGAGATGCGAGCTTGCCGCCAGATCCTGAGGCATTCTAAGCCACATCCATGGTATTGGCAGGCATTCACTCAAGATTGATAGATACGATGTGACCGGAAAGGGTTTCCCTCTGACGTCAAAAATCTAGTCTCTGGTTACCGAGGGGACTTCAATTATTCTCGCCAATCCCGGGTTTTCTTCCTGGGTAGCGAACCACAACTACAAACACGCAGCCGGATGTGAGCGGCATCGGCGCCCCAAAAGAAAAGACAGGCAGTGTTGGATATTGTCTTGTACAAAACGACAGGTCGACAACACACCCAACATTTGGATGTTGGGCTGAGACTGTTCCACCCTGTGAGTCAATGAATTCCAATAACGTCTCCTCGAGATCCACTGGAAAGCTCCAGGAGGATGGTCAGCCTAATGCACCATGGGGGGTGGAAGGTTGACCGGTTGGCTTCTTCCGAAACACGACTCGAGCGTTGACGGGCGGAGGTTCTCGCCCGCCCGACATGGCGACGAGACATGCTCAACTTGCACCAGCCGCTTTTAATGTTAGTGGCGAATAAGGACGAGTAAGGAGGAGTGAGGACGGATGCAGGGTGATAAAATGGAGAAGACAAGCACGGTAAGCACAAGTCCATTCGCAGCCGGCTGTGATCCTTCGCCGCGTGGCTTTCCGGTGTGGAGAGTTGACAACCAACAAACTTCCCGCCAAGCCACGAACGGGCGAGGGAACTTGTTAGTCTAGAACCAAATGCCATTGTGACGACGTCTTTCCGCCAGTGGGGTGTGAATATTGATCTTGCGCATTTCCGTCCCGGCTTGGGATACCGCCTTCGTGATGCCGCCTTCGCTTTGGGCCGCCCGCAGCTGTGGCTGATCGGTTATTGTGCAACTCGCATAAACAAGTGAACGTATTCCACACACATGAATGCGCGCACGCACGCACGCACGCACGCACACACACATCCCAAGGACCCTTCTCGACCCTGCTGATTTGCCATCGGCTCACCGATCAAAATCCGCCCTGCCTCTTCGAGAAGTCCAGGTCTCACCCCAACAAACTAGGACCGAATAGTCTCACTGACAGGTCATTTTCACGGCAGAGTTGTCCCCGTCATGCCTTACAGGCCGCCCGGTTTCCGATCGTCCTGAGATTGCCATTTTGACAGCCTCGCATCCCGGCTCCCCTCCATCACCCTCCAGCACCCTCCATCACAATCGCGTGGCTGAACTCCCTAGCCCAATGGCCGAGTGAGCAGCCTTTCAGCTGTTTGAAGCTACTGTGCTCCGTACCCGGCACACGGCGGCAAGTGGAAGCTAAAAAGCCATCAATACATGGCGATGGGGCGCTATGGGGCTGGAAAGTCCATCTGGAATGCTCGCGAAGCCGAAACGGAAACGTCATTTGGCGGTCATGGCAGATTGCGGGTTTGGGACAAAGAGTTGCGGCAAGAGTCAACAAGGCGGGAAAGACGCCATCTCTTCCCACTCCGCTGGGTTTGTAATTTCTTTTTGCTCCTCTTGGGGCGGACGCTCACTTCGTTCTATCTCGAATGCGTCAATGGTAAAAACAAGTAAATATCAATACTTTGAGCGTCTTCCCCGCCCCCCTCCCAACAGACAATCCCGTGGCTGGGTCAACATCCCGCGGCCAATCGAGATGACGGCAAGTCACCTGCGGGATGCAGCAAGCCCTAAAAGACATGATGGCTGGCTTGTTGGTCAGATGCAGGCGAGACAAGCCCAAGCACCACACTCACATGTTTTCTCCTCCTTTGAAGCATGTGGTATTCGGCAGCTCGGGCCCCTTGGAGCCCGACCATGGCGTCCTCGAAAGCGGCAACAAGAGAACCAATGCAGTGGACCATCGAGGGCTTCGAAGCCGATGTCGTCCGGCGGCGTTCCGCTCAGGGCTCCCGGCCAATCAAGGACTCTCTGGGATCTCACTGGTGACATCCTCCCTCTGAGACATCCCCTCTGAGACAACTGAATTGTCAACCCTTGCACACTGTCTGGTCATCACGACGCAAGGGCTTGTTGAGACCTGAAATTGCTTTGTCCTGCAGGGCCCTCGGCCATTGGTGAACCCGAAGTGGCGGGTTAGGCACCCTGTTCATGTCCAGTTCTTGTAGTTCTGCTGCCAGCCGATGCCGAGGCCCACGCCTCTATGCCAGAAGCAAGCTGCTTTTGCCAAACACTGGAGTGTCGGGGCGTGTTTCCTGCGGGGCTCGATCAGAGTTTCCTCCCTCGAATTTCCACGTTGGTGAGGTCTCGTAGATCCGTGTTTTTGATTATGGTTTTAAACGAATACCGTCCTTGTTGAACGAACGCATGCTCCACCAGCTACCATGTCACCCTCCCAGTGCTGTTCAATCTGAGGCAAAATAGAACTGTTGAACCAACATTGACGGAGTGCCAGCCGTTCCAAATCACCCCCATCTCCCCCGCGGATAGGCTCGGAAGCACAGCGTCAGGATTTCGGAACGGGACAGGGCGACGTGGCTGGACAATTGAAACCCCAGCTCCCAACGGTTGTCTTTGACAAGTGTCATAGGAGAAAAGATAGTTTCCAAACTTGATCATGTCTCTGCAGATCCCATCGATCGTCGGTCCCCGAATCATCATCTCGCACACTGCCCCAACCCGAGTTTGGCTGAGACCAAGGCCGCACTGGGTCTCGGAACGCCTACCTCCCTGAGACTCCACCAATCCAAACCTGCCGCCGATTATTAAATGGCGGAGTTGGATCGCCACAGCTCCACCCCTACTGGGATAGCGGTAAGATGTCCTGCGCGGAAGCTGCGTCACGGTAGCCCGGGGGTTTGGAATCAACCGAGGTGAATATGGATATTGATGAACTCCCGCACGCTAGAAAGTGGTCATTGGCACTTGGCATTCTCAAGAACCGCTTGCAAGTTAGAAGATACTTAGTGGCATCCATGAACCATAGGCTCTGTACACCTGCGTCAGGCAAAGGGTCCGAGAGACAATATCCCAAGAATATCAAATAAAATTCTCTCGTTCATGCCCGAATATTGGCGTTGTTTCCCGATCCCTATAAACACCCTTTCGGTGATATAATTGCTTAAAAGAAGGGTAAAAAGGCCATTCGCTGCATGTCATGAGGCTAGGCCAGGTCGTGGGTATAACAATATGCAGAGGTTCCCGTTGTGAAATGGCGGGAAAATGAAACTGTAAAACCATAAACAAACCCAATCCGATCACCAGTAGCTGCCCCAGTCATGTGTCTCCGAAACACGATTACCTTGCAACCTATCCAAACGCCCCGTAGCTCCCACCTCGAGTAGCTATTGTTGACCGGAAAGCCGTTGCCTTTTGCCATAAGAAGACGGGCCCCCTTCGTCTTGCTCCTGATCACTCAAGTCATCGTGGATCCTGGAATTTTTCGACCTGTCGTTGCCTTTCTTGATGGAGATGATACACCCTTGTTCCTTTAGTCGCTTTGTCAACTTCGTGCTAGCCTGCATTCCGGGAAAGTCTTTGGCGCTGAAGACGGTGAAGACGTTGGTGGTAGTTTCGATAAGAACCGGGAAATGCACCACATCGCTTGCACGAGAGGGGTCAATCATGACTAAACTGAATTTGAGACGAAATGCCCCTGGCGTCCGACAAGACAGATCAGGGAAGCAAAAAAAGCACCCCTCTTTTCCAAACTCGTCTTTTCCCACAAACGGCGCACCGACCAGAGAGCCCATGAGTCGTCGCTGTTGTCGGTATTCCTCGGGCATGAAAGCCGCATCCTGAGTCCCAGAATCATCATAAATCGAGCAAGTCATGATATAATGAGGATATTTTAGTCGTGCGTTAATCTCCGCTTTACTGAGGTAGATGCTGTTGATGGTGAGCTGAACGATAGGAGGTGGGTCAATAACCCTCCTGTCTCTCTCTCCAAAGCCACACGATCGTGCGGCTACCGGCTGCTGGCGAATTTCAAGGTTGTATTCAGCATCTAGTCCACTGGCACGCCTGTTGACAATGGCGCTTCGTTTTCCATCATCGCTAAGGAGGTTGGGAATGCTCATGTGGCGCGGTTTGGATGAGGAAGGGGAAACGGGGGGGCTACTAACGGCGGGCGCAAGTACCTTTGCGGTTGCAGCTGGGGGAGCTGGTTGGATGTCTGGGCGTTGGTCACCACGGGTATCGACAGCTGGAGGACGAGTGGGGAGTGCAGGTTGAGGTCCTGGGGTAGCCTGTTCTCGGGCAGGGTGCAAAATGCGTTGGCTCTGAAAAGTTGGCGGGTTGGAGCTTGGGGGAGGGGATAGAATAGGCGGGGTCTGGGCTGGATGTAGTCCATGGTGCCTTTGCTGGTCGACCACGATGGCTGAACCGTGGTGAGACGGCAGCCCAGGCGGCGGTGGAGGGCGTGAGGCGTGCGGAGTAGAGGTCGGCACATCGGGGCCCTGGTATAGAGGAGCAAGCCTCGGGTACTGTGAAGATTGCAGATGCGAGGGACCACGGCTCCCAGGCGCTCCGGATACCAGGCTCTCTGGAGGAGGCAATCGAATACTTTGGGGCGGTTGATTATAGATCTGGGGATGGTGATGGCCAGGATCGCGAGGCGGTTGGCGAGAATCGGGAGCCCAGGCAGGTGTATATGGACGAGCCATGGCTTCTGGGACACCAAAGCTGTTGGCAGCAGTCTCGACGGTGGTGGAGGACATGGACAGTGAGCCCTCAGGATGGGAGTATTGCCATCCAAGAAAAAAGTTGCATGCAAGAAGAAACAAATGTCCAGCTTAGGCGAGGTAAATGGCAGCTTGAATCGCTTGCATCGATTGAGCAAACTTACATGGGCAGGTTGACCCTATATGGTCACCCAGGTCGCATCCAATGAGGGGTGAGATCGGCCTACTTAAGGGACAGCGCGACGGGAAGCCCCAGCAGCCCACCTTCGTCCAAGGAATGCGGATGGGTCCACTGGGCGGGTGGTGGTTGTCGCAGGGCAGGGAACCAACAGAGACACCCTAAGCAGCCAGGGGGGGAGTGTGAAGCGAAAGCTGGAGAGACACGAGGAAGACCCTAACAGACCGGTCAAACCCTCAGTTGGGCCCCGATTGATGGCGCAGTGAGGCGGCGGCGGCGAGGGACCGAGAGTCAGAATCGAGATCCAAGGAAAGAGCTTGTGAGAGAAGCGGCTTTTGAGAGAGGCGGCGGCGGCGGCGGCTGGTCGACCCCAAAGACGGCCGGATTTGGTGTTTGCCGAGCCTTGTGGCGGCCAGATGCCACCAGGAAACGGGGCGGACGGAGCGAACTGGGCGCTTCAGGCGTGAGAGCAACGGACGAGACGTCAATGAATCCGTCTCACGCGAGACGGCGCATTCTTCCCGAGGTGGAGGACAGAGAGGCCCAGGTCGGTGGGTTCAAGTAGGGTGATGGCCGTAGCTGTAACTTAGGTACTGTGGTTGCGGAATTGAGGGGCGAGAAGATGAGAGCAACGGGAGGGCGTGTGTCGGCAGAGGGGCGAGGGGATCGATCAGCGCGGAGGGGCGTGGATTTGCTGTGCTGTGCTGTGCTGTGCTGTGCTGTGCTGTGCTTGTACACAGACACAATAAAGAAAAAGAAAGGAGAGCGTAGGATCGGAAGGGGTACGACGCAAAAGGGGCGGGATGTATGCAGGACGGCAGGCAAGCCAGAGCTTGGATGATGGCGATGGAAATGGTGATAGCAGAGGTGGAGGAGTGGGGGAGAGGGTGGAGGAGCCGGTAGCTGTAGCCCAAGCTCTCGTTCCAAATCGAAATCGGCCAGAAGACGAAGTGAGGCTTAGTAGCCAAGAGAGTGAGCCAAGCAGGACACGGCCGACAGGATACGCAAGGCCGCCTCGTGTGGGCTAGCCAGAGGCCTGAGTGCGAAATAGTGAATTGGAAAGGATGGAAGGGACGCGAAAGTTGGGACGAGGGTTAAGAACCTGAGCAACGAGGCCCGCCCAACTACAGCGGTAGTTGTCAGCGCACAGGTGGTTGTGTCTAGAGCATGCAGGCTGCGGGCTGCACTACGAGCGTCCGTGCGGTACGGACGGGAGTGCAGGGAGTAGGCTAGTAACAGGGAGGAGGCTAGTAATAGGGCGTGGGCGACCCAACCAGGCTGGAGGTAAAATCACAACGCTGTCCTCTCTCTTTTTGGAATTAATCGACTATGAGCTTCCCTGGGTACCCTTACCTCAGCTCCCATTAACCGAGTGACCCGGACTCTGATGAGCCAATAGGACATGCTCGAGTCAGTCCAAGCTTGGTTCTTTTGCCTGCCTGAAGAGTGCCAAAGTTCCTTGCGTCCAGTTCAACGAAACCTCGAGTAACCGGTTACCGGGGACGAAAGGGAAAGGAAAGGAAAAACGCTAACCCACCTGCCGGGTCAGGCAAAAGCAGTTAGTCAGTCGTTGGGAAACATTCCGTCATGAGGGCCTACGATGGTAGCGAGTTAATTACAAAGGGCACTCGCTGGTGTCCGTGGACGCGAGTGTGGCGCTATTGGATGCCATGCCCACGCCACCACCATCATCCACAGCTTTGCAGCCAAGGATCTCAAATCTCCAGCCCGGTGACCGGCCGGCTGAGCGAAGAAAGGCCCCGGGAGTGGTCTAGTCTGCCCTATGGCTCAATCATCGACAAAAAGTGAATCTGCGGGTGGTAAATTACTGAACAGAGTGGGTGGGCAGGATGCTCCCTCCTCGCCCCTCCTGTGCCTCACTCGCCGCCATGTTTTGTTGGCGCTTTGACAATCCTACATGCTTGGCTACCTCGACCCAAGAATTCTAAGCAGGGTAGCTACATTGTACGGTTCTATGAAAACCGCGACCAGGCCAGGCTGGCGAGTTGATCCGCATGCATGGCTGATAGTCCCAGGTCAAGCCTGTTTGGGACGGAGCCAAAGGGAATGAGGTGACCATGCCACTTTGGTTATACGCTCCTGGGGGCTTCACACACTCCCGGCGAACTCGCCCAGGGGGTATGGGACAGATGTTGGTCGTGGATCCATGGTGGTGGTTTGACGGCGGTGGTCAAGGTCACAGGTTACAGTGGTGGGGGCGTACACCTGTGTGTAGCATGGTTGACGTTGATGACACCGGATTGACAGGTGGTTACGCAAGTCCACATGCGCATTCATGCACATATACATGTGGTCGTGTGCACTCACATCGAGCTATGATAGTTGCGAGTCTATGCGCGTATTCTAAACAATTCCCTACCTACCTTTACCTACCTAGGTAGTTGCAACCTTGTGGAAGGGACGGGTAGAGGAGGCTATATTTGGATCGATGTTGCTGAACTGAGCCGAATTTGCATGGCCCCGAGATAGGCAGCTCGCTCTTGCCGCCTGCACCTCCCTTACAGACAGGGAGGTCAGCAAGCGAGTACACCCCGCTGATCCCGGGCCTCAGGTACCAACGAACTGGCAACCTCCAACCCACAACTCTCCCTACCTTGCATCGCTGCATCACCGTACCACCACCAAACCTGTCGTGCCCTACCAACACATTGTGCTCATCGTTGCGTCATGGCAATCCCGGTCCCTGCATTTCCATCTCCCGTTCGCCCAGACTCCCAGCTTGCTGGACTCGATGGGAATCGCTTCGATGCCGCCGGTCGGTTAGCCGCACCTCATTGTGGAGCGAAATCTCACGGACTCAAAGCACTTGTTAGATGGAACATGGCGGACGGTTTAGACATGACCCATCGCACGAGGCACATCACAGCATCCATGGCCTCTCAATTCTCACCATTGTGCTGACTGCTAGATCTGCCACGTTCACACCGTCTCCACGAGCGAGCCCACCCTCCCAACGTTTGTTGCCAGTCAACCCCGGCTCCCAGTCACCGCCAGCCTCAAAGTACAGCATCCATCTCAAATCTCTCCTCCCCTCCCCGCCCAGCTGCCTCCGATCGGATCCTGACCCGGCTATCTGGGCTGGTCTAGCGTACCATTGGCGCATTGTTCACCAAGGCTTCTGGGCGAGATGTCTCTTCCCTCTTTCACCAGTGCGTGGCGTTTTCAGCCCCTCACACGGCACAAGTCATCCACCACCTGCAATTGCACAACAATGTGACGAACCGCTGTGCCTTTTTGTTTTCACAGACTCGACCATAACTCCAAGCAATCGATAACCTAGCCCGAGTTGCCGACTCTCTACTGCTCATCAATTACCGAGAACGATGCCGGTACCGAGAACGATTCCCGATCCTAAATTCTCTGAGAACTACAAGTCGGGTGGGCTCAGGTTTGTTGACCATGACCATTCGTTCATTGCTTTTGGTATTTGGGATTCGGACCCTGGACCGCCTAAAATACCCCGCCTGGCGTTCCGTGCCGTCTTTGGTCATTGGCCATATGCTTCTTGGGTGCTGGCGGACGGCCGGGGATGGATCCGGCCGAGTCTGATTCGACAGCGGGATCGATGAAGCGCAGGGGATGCTTGTCCGACTAACAGTAGCGCCCGCGACCAGGCCGTTCGTTTCTCTGAACCCCACACCACAATATCAACCCTCGATCAAGGTGCCAACACGCGTTGGCCTCGGTTCTGTATTTCAATCCCCTGGTTGCATGATGTGGCTGGGTTTTGCAAGCTGAAACCTCCCCGCTGGACACCGGCCGCTGGACGCCGGACGCCGCAGGTTCAAACTTGAATATTGCCGCCGCCCACCAGGGCCGAGAAGCAAGTATCAGCACAGCATCGTCCGATGTGGGTGTCGCTGCCACGTTCTGATTAGCGGTGCTGCAGAGCACTCTCCCGCTCAGACTGGCGCCTTGGCCCGATCCAGCCAGCTGCTGTGATTGCGACGTTGCTGGCGTTGTGGGCATTTTCCCCACGTTACACGAGACGAAGCCCGTCATCATCTGGTTCACGGCCCACGCTTCCGATGCAGCTTGGGTTGATCTGCTCGCCGGCACTGACTGGGTTCAGTGAAATCCAGCAGAGCCAATCCTCAATCCAACGCAAGGGAGCTATGCAGGCCTGATCCTCACCGCTTTCTTTGCAAATCATGCGTGGCCATGGCCCATTCATTCCCACGTTTCGGGTACGCGAGTTAGCTGCGACCTGGGGACTGCGACCTGGAGAGACGCGAATAGAGAGTAGCCGCCATCATCTCCCATCCCCGCCGCCATCAAGCTAGCAAAGAGGATCAGGCAAGGAGATCGCGCTCAAGCAGCCACGCTCGGCCCAGACTATTGACAAGGCACGCTACTTTCCGGCCTCGCCTCAGTCGATCCTGAGGCTTGCTGTTAGCCACCTGCTAGCTCTGGACCCCTAGTGCTCTTTGCACGAGGTTATTTTGTTCATGGAGGACGAGGTAGGGTGGATGAGCAGCCGCACCGCATCACTAGGTCCGTCCCCGGGCAAACTATCCTGGGAGGTGAGCGCCATGGACCCGGACCGTGGATGATGATCAGCCGGCATCAGCATGCACTGACAGCATGGCCCTGACCTGCAGTTGACTCTCAGTGGTGCATCTTGGTTCGTCACCAAGCATCCATGCTAGCAGCTGGGGGATCAGTGTGGTGGATCGACGAAACCAAGTCAAGCCTCCACCAGACCATTTCCCCAGTCGCCCGCTCGCAGTCTGATGCAGGCCATTACGGGCGTTTGTGATGCCAAATCCGCCCGCTGCAACGGGTGGGAAGACCGCCGAGTTATCGCAGCAGTTCCGCCATATCAACAGCCGAGGCCGCCCTGTTAAAATCGATGATGCATATGACATCTGACGGGGCCATAGCGAATGCTCGCAGCTCGTATTGGCCCAGACGTGGCAACAAGGCCGTTTCCTCATGCAACAACATCCCGCGCCTCTCAGCCAGCCCCAACTTTTGATTGGTGTTGAGTGCGTGAATTATTCGATCGGCCTGTAACAATGGTTGAGTTGTCGAGGGTGCGGTGGACTAAAAGAAAAATGTCTTAGGTTCACTCGTCGTCATTCCCCGTCATGCGATGACAACAGCCCCATCCTGCGTTGATAACCCCCCTCCCCCCTCTTCCCCCGCTTTGGGCGTGCTGCAGTAGTATCCATCTCGAGGGCTAGCGATCTTTCGTTTTCCCAGCCCGTTGTTGGGTCAGGTACGAGTATATCGCCATCAGACATACGCCCCTAGCTGAGAAGCCTACCCTCTCGATTCCTCCTTCCTGCTAGCTTGAATAGCAGCGTAGGTCATGATTCCGCTTTGACATAAGCTTATCAGGTCCCTACCACTGCGCTGGTCATACGCCATGTCGAGAAAGCCACAAGTGATCAGACGGGGACCGGGGCTGATCCGAAGGCTGTCCCGGCTCGACGTATCTGTAGTCGACCCAACCGCACAAGTTCAGATGCGCCGCTTTTTTATCCATTGAGAGTTGCCGTGGAGTGAGTGTGATTGCGCGTCACAGACGCCCCTCTAACCTAAGACTGGCTGGATGCGAATCAAGGGCTTCTTCTCTCCTCTTGTTTACTCGCAGCCCGACGAATTAGAAGATACCTGGACTAATCCGCCAGGTGTTCCTCAATCATCTTTCACTCTGGTGACTGTTCGGACAGGTCGGGTGAGGGCACATCTCAATGGGAAGCTTGGACTCGTCGGTCTTGATGCAGTCTCAGCCAATATAAGCAGAGTTACACAACATTAGGTCAAGGTAGCCCGGGCACGAAACAGTTAGACGGTGTGTGTTACATTCATCCGAGGCGTGACAGGTGTCCTTTCCGTCAATCTTCACCTGGTGCGTTCACCTCGAGGGGGCTCGGGCCGAGATGGCAAGCTTCCCGTTCACCCCACGCTGCCATCACCAACCAGATATACCAAATATAGTCAACCACGTAGGCGTGTGTGCACCGTGGCATTAATGATCAATTCTCTCCATCGCTCAGAGGTATCCCCGTCATCAACCCGGGACACGGTTCCCTGTCTCTCGATGTTGCCGCGTTACTTCTGTCCAACTGCCGTGCCGATGGTACACCGAGCCGGGGACTTGCTTCCAATATTCCATCAAGGAAACATCCCGGGCCGCTAATTCAAGAGTGCGGGAGACTAATTCCTCACCGGCATGCACGTCATGCACCTTTATCCGAATACTGCTAGGTTCGCTCAGATTGACAAAATCTTCCCATTTGCTGCTGCCCAAGAAATCGAAACCCAAACATGAGGCCTTTTTACTATGATGCTAGGATCAAGTATCGGTCCGCATTCGCGTCGTGGACTTCTCGGCGAGATACGATTTATGCATGCTCGCAATATTCTCTCGTAATCTATGCCCACAATGGAAGTGGCAGGCTTGCAAGGCTCCTCAGCTGGTCCCTGCTCCGTCGGCCCCAACAACCGACCGAACCTATCTAACATTTGAGAAAATGCCACGATAAAGGCTGCGGCACAGCTTATGAGATCAGCCGGAAGATCGTTCCGACAGCCAGTGGCGGATGTCCAGCGGCGGATGTCCAGCCACCAACATCCCACTAGGAACGGAAATATGGTGTCAGTGCTACATTGGTGCGGCTCGTTTGGGTAGCAAGAGAACTCAGCCGAGCAACTGGTCGAATAGGCTGTAGTTCTTGCAGTGCCATGCTGGCTAATCTCACTCTTTACGCGAACTTCGAAACGGCACGGTAGACAATGAAAAGGGAAAACTCCTTCCTCATACGAGTCAACATGCAGAAGTAGGAAGGTGAGGGAATTAGTGTCTACTTTGTACTGGGAAATAAAGACAGAGTGATTGAGTGAGCTGTTTTGGTTTACGTGTTCAAGACTCACACAACGTCACATCATAAAACCGCATCACACAAAACAGGAATGATTTAAACTTGTTTTGTTCAGTAGCTCATTGGCCTAGGCCATCTACCCATCACAGATTCTTCTGCGTTTCATCTCCATACAGAGGTCGTATATGTTCCATCTGTAAAGGCCCTCCAGGCACGGAGGCTATTCCATCCGTCCTTGGCCGCGTCCCACAGCTTGCGCCGTACTATTCCTCCATCCTCTGTGTTAGGATGTCCATGCGTTGAAATGGAGATCTTTGCCAACCCAAAATGCAAACTCCGGGCTGTGCTCGCTTTTGACAATTGAATCCGTCTAATACCGGAACTAAAAAATAATGATTGATGTACCTCCCGTCCGAGATTAAAAATGGTAATATAACCGAGTATTCCATCGCGGCCGTATAAGACAAGCACCGTGATAGTGGTGTAAAAAGAAATATGCCGAGGAAACTGGGTGAGGGTATCAGAGTCGTGAATATATACCAATGGTCGTATCGAAAAGAAAAGGCAGATCCAAAATGAAGGAAGATCTGCAGGCGTCGCGATTAAAAGTGATAATATGAGGGTCCTCGTCGAAGGGCCGTAAAGGAACGAGCCGCGGACCGCCATGTTTTGCAAAGGAATCCGTCTATAACAGAGTGTTGATGAGGGCAGCTCCCACGACCGAGGTGATCATGCCTGTCCAAGAGGGCATGAAAATGGAGCTGGCAGATGCTGTCGCCTCAGCGAGACTGCCGTTGACGAAATTGAGGCCACATATTGTGTTAACCTGCCTGGCTGCGTCTACGTACGTATTGGAGATGGGTTGGGATCGATCGGCTGAGGCAGTGTGAAAGATAGCCATAGTCTCTTGGACACACCAGCTGCACGCGGGAACGGTGCTGCCAGGAAGCGTAAGATTGTATGGGAGGTAGTAAAAGTAGGCGTTGGAGGCGGTGGTAAGGTTGGTGACAGCATTTGCGTAACAATACATGTCGTCATCAGGGTCCTGGAGGCAAGTAGCCTGATACATCATTTCGTAGGCCTGGAGACCGAAGAGGAACTGCTTAACGACACTGTCGCCGTTGTTGTATTCCTTCTTGCAGTTCGCCTCTGCTGTCAGATTCGCGGCGGCGGCGTCAAAGAACTCGGTGCAGTAGGTGACGTTGGCGGCGCAGGTGGCATCCAGGACTCTGACGACACTAAGTAGCTGCTTCTGGGCGTTGAAGAAACCCTGAGATGTCTGATCTCGAGTTAGGATTTATAGCATGACGCAGTGGATATATAGTGGGAGCTTACCTGGAGCATCATGGAGAGAGGATAGCAGGCCTCGTACGAAGGATCAGCGAGAACGCCATCGAGGAAGGTAGGGCAGTTGCTGTCGGCATCGGTGTTCAATTCGCCATCGAGATCTCCATCAAAGGCCTCGGGAAGGGGTGAAGAAGTGACATCGGCTGTCGAGGTGGCTTCGGAGTCGGTGATGGAGATGGTAAGGGTGGTGACGGTTGCGATAGCCTTGTCCTTGGATTCAGATTCGGTTGTGGCTTTGGCCGAACTCGAGGTCTTGGTTGAGGTCTTTGTTGCAGTCTTGGTCTTGGTGGTCTCTTCGTCGTCGCTTGCTGCTGAGTCTGCACGCTTCCACAGTTGGTCTTGGACGGATGTGTCGTGTATCGCTCGGGGGTTCGAGGCCTCCGAACCGGCGAGATCGATCGCACGGCGAACCCGGATGCGGGGGTGGTGTGTCTCAGTCCGGGCCAGAGTTCCTGAGGCGAGACAAGCTACAACGAGCAGCAGGCCCAAGGAAAATCGAAGGCTGGGGCGAGTGATGCGGGATGGGGGAGCCGAAGTGGCCATGGTAACGAATGACGAGACGAAAAGTCGCCCAACTAGATTGAGATGAAGATGAGAGAGAAAATGCGCCTGTCTTGGGCGCGTTCAGCAACAGCTTTGGGCGGTCCTGGTAGTGGCAGCTGGCTGGGCTGGGATGGGCGAGATTGCTGCGTGTTTCACCACGATGGACCCAGTCGACGGTATAGGGAGCGTGGTTGGCTCAACAGGTAACAGTTCAGCACAGACAGGCAGCCGAACAAAAAATAGAAGCCGACAGGTCGAGACGATGAGGGGTGTCGGTGTTTTATGTTACGAGACAACGCCGGATGTCGTCAAGGCCGAGGTGTCATAACCCGTCTTTGAGGTGAAGAACACGAGCCCTCGAGGGGAGATTGTGCCAGGCGATAGATGGCGGCTCAAATGAATGAGAACCAACCGCGTGCGTGACCGGCCAGACGAAGAGCAATTCCGATGTCGACCACGATGGCGGTATTTAGCGGCCAAGAGACTGGATTGGTCGAGACCGAAGGAGAACGAGAGCAGCTGAGATGTGGTCGTCCGAGGTGGTTGGCAGCGAGGCTCGCACGCAGGTCGGGGCCGTTGTCTCGGCGGCCGGGTGGGCTGAGTCGAGGCCTCGATCAACGACGATCAAGGAGTAAGAGAGAGGATTGGAGACAAGGCCAAAGGAGCGAAGCAGATGTCTCGGCAGAGGGCGTGATGGGTCGAGCACGTCGGGACTGGGCTTAACGAGGGATCGTCAAGGCGAGTGAGGTCGAGAACGAGCGGGCCCAGGAGGAATGATCGTCGGCGGCTCTGGGCAACGGTGCGCGAGATAGAAAGGAGCAAAGATGGGCAACAGGCGGGCAAGTGGAGGAAATAACATCAACCGAGTCCCCAAGCCCAGGAACGACAACTAGGCCAAGCACTAGACGGCCGGACCCAGAGGACGCACTGGTCGTGGGTGGGCCGGGGATTGAAGACGGGGATAGAGACCAGGGTCAGGCTGCATGTGGGTGTGTGGGTGGACCACGCAATCAGGGACCGCATCAAGCGGGAAGATAATTGCTGACCAGCGCGCCAGCTTGAAGAGGCAGCACTATCCAACCCCAGCCCGAATCGAGAACAGCCATGGCGCGGCATTGGAGCATGACTGGGCAAAGGAGGCGGAGGGCGACCCCAGCCAAAGAACAAGGGCATCCTCCGAAAGCCAGGGTCCCTGGAAGTGAGCTGGTGGTCACCTACCGTCCCGGGGCGCGGCTATCTGCGTTCCTAGGTACGCATGTAGCACGGCGTGGTGATCAGTTCCGCTGGCGTGGCAGGTGAGCGGTGGGGGACGCGTTGAGGTTGCTGGAGATGGTTGGTCGCGGGGTGAATATCCACGGTGCTTGAGGTAATAGCGGTCGGTGTTGGCGGCGGTGGTACACAACGGTAGTGGCAGCAACGGTGGACGTTGGTTAGGTAGGTAGGTAGGCACCTAGTGGGGGGGCACCTAGTGGGGGGGCACCTGCCGCTGGTACCTGACTACCGACAACCACTAGCAAGAGCCTACGGCCGTAGCACCTGCACTGTGTCCCAATTGTGCGTTACTAGCAACGCGGGTGGCCGTAGTGTGGGTCTTCCCTCCCCTTCTGGCCTTCTGGGGCTCTGGTGGGTTGCAGTAGACTAGCGCTACGCTTTATTGACTGGGCCGCTGGGGTGCTTCCTTGCTTTCTTGCTCGCTCCTGCCAGTCGGGTCCCCTCTTTCGGATTCCCCGTCGCGCTCTATATTCAGTACTCCCGTACCACGCAGTCGACTCCTCTCGAGGAACGCGACATCCAGCAGCGGCACAGTTGCTAACCCAAATGCGACCCTACGGCAGTTAAGCTTTCATCCGCGCCCTCGGCCGTTGCTTGATCCGCGGTTCTGATTCCACGGCACGCAGGCGCGCCATTATTTGCTGGCAGCCAACCGAACCATCTAGATGACAACTCGCCATCGGATTGGACGGACCCGGACATGAGAAGCCAGAGATGACATCTCGTCTCTCCAGGATGAATGGAGGGATAATAACGCCTAGATGGAGGCAGGAGGTCATTTAGATTTGCCAATTAACCAAAGAGGACAAATGGGCAGAAACCAAAACGCCATGGATGCCATTTTCGTGATTTCCTCCTCCAAACCAACCTGCCCGATCCAAGTCAGCAGCGCTAGAAGCTGCGAGATCGGTTTCCCGCCCAGCGTCTAGACTCGCGGAGCTCTTGGCCAGCCATGCCAGAGACCGGGCTTGTTGAGTAGGGCTTATTGTTAACGCATCTTGGCACAAGGGCCAGCGCATACATGCACTGCATCCCCGCCCTGTGGTAATATGCACGGCGTTCCCAAGTTGGTCCCTGCAGCTGCCTGCCCTTTTCCTCTGCTGGCCATGGCGATTATGCAGTGCGACTCTGGATGGGCGAGAGAGGGAATTTTCACATTGTACTACTTGAATCTTTTCTTCGGTGCAGCATGGAAATCCTACCTTACATTCTGGGCGACGCTTGTCGTCGTTCCGTGCTCCTTCATGCGCCATGGGACACTAACATCCCACGCATTACAGCTATTTCGCGCAGGCCGAAATGAGACACACGTGGGCGGAGGATAAGTTACCCACCAGAACAGCAGAAGAATGTGAGAAGAAGAGAGTTGAGAATCAGAGAATCATTAGGAAGCCACGAAGCAAGACAGATTTAATTTAGCTTCAGCCTCCTTTGTCGTGCTTGATTGCTATTTCGACTTTCGCCAGCACCACGCCTTCACTCCACAAGACAACTAGTCCAAGTTGGGAACCAATATTGCATCGTGGTTGCGCGTGATGCAGAAGTTCCCGGGCGCCCCCGACCTTGTTTTGTTTCTTCACCATGCAGCAGACACCGGGCGACGGCATTTGGGAGCAATCGGGGGCCATCAGCCCACACAATACGCGCAATGGTGCTCCGGAGCGCATCAAACAAAAATACACGCAAGTACTGTACATGGGAGAAACGGGAGGGCCACGCAGGATAGGGGGGGGGGGAGCCCGAGGCCACCGACGCGCTCCCACCGTGGCCGTCAAATCTCGCTTGGTCGGAGCAAAAGCAGCCACCATGCCACCAAGACAAATCGCCATTGGCTTCCACGCCCGACTCCATGTTAGACTCCATGTTCAATTGCTGGTGGCCTGGGATCCCCTGTCTGTCCGGAGCCCGTCTCCCCCAGCATCTGGCAGGATCGTTTCCTCGTCGGCAGGTGTTGGCTTGTCTATTTGCCAGTCAAGACTTGGATGTTTCTCTGTGAAGCCGGCCGGCTACGTGGGTTGCGTCAACCATGGCTTCTCGTCCCATATCTGCCCGTCTGCAAAAGCCCACTCTCGTCGCCTCAGTCTCACCGTTTGTCTTCAGCTTCAGGTAGCTCTGCCGCGCGGACTATGCCTCCCATCTCCCTATAGTACGCGGCTCTGATGGGGCACGTCGACTCTCGCCGTAGCCCTTCCGGTGAGCGCCCGTCACCTCTAGTTTTCACTGACACCAAGCCTCGAGAATGCCGCTGTGGAACCATCAAAGGCGGCCGGTCTCTTCTTGGTCCTCATGATCCAACTCCCGCGCAACCCGCTCTGTCCGCGTAACCCAGATGCCATGTACGGTACTCCAGGCCGTCGACTCCATCCGCAAGTCCGGGTCCGTCGCCGCGCGCCTCCACAGAGACAGCTAACAGCTAACCTCAAAGCCGGCCAATCGCCAGTCATGTTCCCCTGCCAAGACTCCCATCGTCTCCATCATCACCACCACAGCTCGATCGTATTTCCTTTTTGACGCCATCCGTTCGCCTTCTGCACGTGTAGCTCGCAACCCCGGGCTTGCCTTAACCTACCTCGTCCACAATAGAGGTAATCACACCTGAGCACACTTGCGAGAGGCGTGCCGCCGCCGCGTCTAGGCCTAAGACATCATCCCCCCTTCGGAATAGGGACAGCGGCGTTCTATATCCAGCATGTCCCCGTGGCCAGCCGCCAGCCGCCAGCCCGCATGTCTTCTTTTCTTCGCCGCGCCACCCAAGGCCTTCTTCCAATCTCGCTCTGCGTTGTGGCGCCTGCCTTGGTCTTGCCTCCATGCGTAGTGTCTGTTATAGTATCAGCCTCATCTACCACTCATCACCCAGCAGCTGTCTCTGTCTTCCGTCTTTTCCGAGTGCTCGTATTCTAGACTGTCATAATATCTTGGCAGCGACTTTGACTTTGACATCTACCTGACTGTCTACGTACTATTACGTATATTCCGCCAAGAGTCGAGAGCCAAGAGTCGGCGCAACTATCAGCCTGATCCATCCGACTCAGCCAGTAGGGGGTGTTGGTGTTCATCGCACACATCTAAAACGCAATTTGCAAAATCTTTGTTCAATTTCGAGCGGCGTCGATATATAATAAGAGGTAATGTACAAAGAAGACATTACATGAGTGTAGAGATTGGCAGCCTCGCGTCGCGATGGTACTCGCCTGATCTATGTATAAAAAAGTATCCATCCATCCCTTAACGCCATCCAATGCGAAAGTGTTTCCCAGACTTTTGTCCTATTGGATAACCATGCAATAATAAATCACAAGCTATTACCGCCCAAGAGGATTCCTCATGGCATCCCCGTCATCCGCATCCGGGAGACTGGCACTGCCCCACGCCATCTTAATGCTTCTCGAGGGACTGCAGGTTGACAAGCTCTGCGTATCGTCCATTCTTCTTCATGAGCTCTGAATGAGTTCCTTGCTCCACGATGCGGCCTTGGTCGAACACGTAAATCACATCCGCCTTCTGGATCGTGCTGAGACGGTGGGCCACGGCAATTGTCGTCCGGCCCTTGGCCGCCTTGTCCAGCGCCGCTTGCACCACATGTTCCGACTCTGAGTCCAGTGCGGACGTCGCTTCGTCGAGCAGGAGGATCTTGGGGTCTCGGATCAGCGCACGGGCAATAGCAATACGCTGCTTCTGACCACCCGACAACAGAGCACCCTTGCTACCCACGACAGTGTTGAAGCCATCCGGCAGGGACACGATGAAGTCATAGATGTTGGCCTCGCGGCAAGCAAACTCGATGGCCGAATCCGGGACGTTTTCGACTGGCGTTCCCAGAAGGATGTTTTCTCTGATGCTTCCCTGGTACAAAGTCGGTTCCTGGCTCACGAGGGCAATGTGCGATCGGTAGTCGTTGACGTTCAGCCCGCTGATCTCATGCCCATCAATAAAAATTCCACCAGAAAGGGGATCGTAAAAGCGCTCCAGAAGAGCAATCGTAGTACTCTTGCCGCAGCCAGATGCTCCCACCAGAGCCACGTATTGTCCAGGTCGGACCGTGAGGTTGAGACCGCGGAGCACAGGCTGCTCCGGTCGGGTTGGGTAGCGGAAGTGAACGTCCCGGAACTCAAGGGTACCATCAACTTCCGGCAAGCGCTCACCCTCGTCCGACCAGGTGTCCACGACGGGCTGTCTATCAAACAGCCTCTTCAGCTCACCTGCAGCATGGTATGCCTTGCCCATGTCGGGGGCAAAGGAGAAGATGGTACCCGCAGACTGGGCACCAAAGATGATAGCCATGAAGCATAGGAAGAATTGGAACATGCCGTACTCGTACTTGGCAATAAGGGTGCCGCCATACCAGAAACCAAGCGCGAAGCAAAGGAAGAGAAGAGACTGTGAGGCGGCGTACAAGAGCGACGACTTCATCACGGAGATCAGACTGCGGCGCTGTTGCTCGGCAAGAGATGCCTTATACTGGCCCAGGATGTCGTGTTCGCGAGTCAAGGAAGCGACAGTTCGAATGGCAGAGATAGCTTCCGAGGCAAAGGTCGCCGAGGAATCGTAGGCAGCCTTTGACCGCCGTTGGAAGTGTGCCAACATCCAGAAACGGAAGAAACCAGTTCCCAGCAAGACCGGGATAGTCGAAATGCACACAAGGGAGAGCTTCCATCCGATGGCCAGTGCCAAGGCACACGCAGAGATGAGAGTCGTCATGACCATCAGCACTGTCCCCAGGGTCACACCGCTCAGACCAGCAACGTGAGTGGTCTCGGTTGAGAGGAACGAGGTCAAGGCACCAGCGGTATTCTCGTCTTTGTCAAAGAACGCAACATCCTGTCGAAGCATGGTGCGGAAGGCGCGGTCTCGAACTCGGTGGATAAGTCGTTCAGAGCACTTGGCGAACAAGACACCTTGGATCACGAATGCCAGGAACTGAACGAATGCCAGCATCACATACATGGCACTCCAGAAGTCCGAATCCTTCTTCATTTGGTGACGATTCTCGGGGGTGACTGGTACAGACAAGGTGACGATCTCCTTGGCAAAGAACACTATAAAATGTCAGTCAGTGGTGCTGCATTGGAGTATGACGGGGAATGAACTTACCAGCCTGTGTGGGATTTCCACCTCCGCAGACGGCAGAGAAGACCAGACCAATCAGCATAAACTTCCATTCAGGAGCATTGAAAGAAGCAATTAGCTTCACCAACGTCCACAGTGTGTACTTTTCCTCCTCTTCAGCCTTGCGATTCTGGAGGGCAACACTGGACGCGGACTTGGTTGTTGTGGAGCGGTCAAGCTTGGCAGCAATGTCGTCATCGGGATCAGCCAGGACGAGGCCATCCTTTGTTGACATCTTTCGAATAAGAGTCAAATCCTCCTCGTCGAGTTTGGCTTGCTCCTCGGCAGTTAATTTCTCGGCAGCAGCGATATTCTGCGCGGACACGAGCTTGAAGTAGGCGCCTCGCTTCTCAAGGAGTTCGTTGTGCGTTCCTTGTTCGACAATACGACCCTCGGTCATGACAACGATATTGTGTGCATCTCTGATAGTGGATAATCGGTGAGCAATGGTAATGGTGGTACGTCCTTCAGAAGCCACCTCCAGGGCAGCCTGCACCACGCCTTCAGACTTGGTATCGAGTGCTGATGTAGCCTCATCCAGAAGTAGAACTGCAACAGTGTTAGTAGGGATATCAGAATATTTAGAAGAAGAACTTACTCTTGGGGTCCGAAACAACGGCTCTGGCAATCGCAATGCGCTGCTTCTGGCCACCAGATAGGAGAAATCCTCGCTCACCCACGTTGGTTTCATAACCTTCTGGGAGAGCGGAGACAAAATCGTGGGCGTTGGCCTTCTTGGCTGCTTCGATGACAAGTTCCCGTTGCTTTTCCTCGCTCTCGTTCTCGTGAGCGGTACCGATAAGTCCGTGTCGAATGTTGTGGTAGATGGTAGTGCCGAACAGGGTGGGTTCCTGGCTCACCAAAGCCATCTGCTGGCGCATCCACCGCAAGTTAAGCTTGCTGATGTCGTGTCCGTCGAGATAGACATTGCCCTCGACAGGATCGTAGAATCGCTCGACCAAGCCAACAATTGTGCTCTTACCGGACCCAGACGCACCAACCAGAGCAGTAGTCTTACCGGCAGGGATTTCGAGGCTGACGTCATTCATGACAACTACATCAGGCCGAGAAGGGTAAATATGCTTGATGTTGGCCAATCGAATAGTACCCTCGAGATGGTCAAGCTTCTCACCCTCATCATCGGTAGGGTTCAGGGGCGACACGCGATCAATGGTATTGAAGATCTTGGCAGCGGCGGCAACAGCATTGGTGAAGGCTTGCATGTTGGGGGCGACGTTCCCCAGATTGAAAGCACCAATCATGACGGACATGAGGATGGTCAGAACATTAGACAGAGATGTATCTCCGTCAACCAAGAACTTGCTACCCTGCCAGAACGCCAGGCCGTAGTTGAGGTACAGAACCATCATCATGCCGGCAATCATGCAGGAGAGGGCACCCTTAACACGGAAGCCAAAAAACTCGGCCCTCTTAAGATGGTCATCGTACTGCTTGGCGAGACGGTCCTGGGTACCAAACGCGACGGCATTACGGATCGAACTAATGACTTCGTCGGCCAAACTACCGCCGATAGCGTACGCCTCCAGGTTTTGCTTGTTGTACCTGAGGATAAAGGCGGAACCGCTGCCCATGTTGATAAGAAGGGCGATGACGGTAGAGAACAGGATCAACGTCAGCTTCCAGTATTTAATGAAGCCGATGACAAAGGCTGAGACGAAGGTGGCGACGGCGGCAAGGGTGAGGGAGACCTTCTCGGAGATGCCATCCTGGATGAGGTTGGTATCAGAAGTGATGCGGGTGGTGACCTCGCCGGCACCGAGCTTGTCGAAGAAGCCAATGTTCTGGCGCATGCAGCTCTCGAGGTAGTGCTCACGGATCTTGGCGCTGATATGCTCGCCGGTATAGATGAAGCCGACGGTGCAGATATAGGTAGTAACAAATTCGCCGACGGCCAGGTAAATAAAGTACAGGACAAAATGGGACAGTTCGCTGGTAAACTCGTGGTACGTCTTGAGGCCCGTGAAGTAGTCCTGGAAAATGCCCTGCAGGTTACCGAAAATGACCGTCATGAGAGGGAGAGCGGCGCCGGCACCGATGGCGCAGATGGAGGAGAAGAATATGATGATGATATCATTGCGGGATGCGTAGCGGTACAAGACAGCGACGCCTTGCTTGACTTCGGGGCTGATGACCTGGCGGCGCAGTATTTCAGCTTGGTCGGGAGGCAGATGAGCATACAGGTCGTCGGAGGATGGTCCCTTGGGCGGCGACACGACCTGTGAGTCGGCCTTTTGCAGGGCGAGCTTCTCGGGGTCGGCGTTCGATTCCTTGGCGGGACGAGCTACGTCGACCTCGGTCGAATCGCCTCGGCTGGAGGGCGGCGAGCGGTCGGCGCCGGAGTTCTTCTCTGATGATTCGGCGGCCATTGCGGAGGGAAGGGTTGAGGTCCGGCCGTGAGACGGGAGGCCGTTGGCCCGAAAGGCAACGCAGGATTCGCGGGACGGTTTGTGGAGAATGCGCTCGCGAAGTTGAGCGGGCGAACCCGACGGTTCAAATATGCGTGGTTAAGACGAGCGCAGCATGAAGGTGGGCAATAACACGGCGAAAGAGGCGCTAACGACTGGACAACGACATGGCCTAAGAGCAAGACACGGGCTCGGGGAGGAATGAGAGCTCGGCGACTGTCTCTTGAAGAGCAATAAATACAAATGGAACGAGGACGGAAAAAGCGAAGGCGGAGAAGCAGCGTTAATATCTTGCCATGCCTTGCCAGGTTGAGTCGGGCGGAAGACAAAAAGGGTCCCGATCACGCGCACCTTCCCTTGTTCCCTAGCGTCGCTGGTCTCCGTCGCCATCTCCATCCCATCTCCAGCGGCCCGGGTCTCTGGGGCCACGCCCCCCAGCGTGGTGCGGTGTCTCGGCCTGCACAGTGCACACGGTGCCGAGGTCCTGGCTGCGGTGCAGTGTTGCAGTGTTGTAGGGTTGCAGTGGTGTGCAGCTGCTGTCGGGGTTGCTGCGGTGCATGCAGCCACAGGGCTTTCAGTGGTCGACTGGTCGCACCCATCCCCCAAAATCACCCACAGCAGCGGGTGTGCAGCGGTCACTGGGGGTTCGGATCTCGGGCTACCTAGGTACCTAGGGATTCAGCGATACTGTCCCAAAGCCGTGGGCAATCCTCTACTACTAAGGTACCCCAGAGCGCCCAGGCGGCCACTGGCCACTGTAGGCGGGGCGTAGTGCAACGCTGGCGCTGAAGATTTGTCCGGGGCCACCCCCACTGTCCGGCCCAGGGACACGGTGAGACGGTTCTCCTGCTTTGTTCCGATCCTCAGTTGATCCCTGAGATGCCCTCAGACGCAACTTGGCGATCTGGCTCGGATCGATAACCTCCCGCCATGTGGCTTTGGCCCCAACTCCGTTCACAATTCCGACGCTCATGACGCCTCCGAGGGGAGCCATCCCCGGCAGCGCCCGGTGTAAGCACTTGACTCATGCCGATGCATGTCTCCCATCCGCCGATCTCACACAGGTTCGCACCTCACATCGCTGCTGCAGGCAGTCGAAGGAAGTTTCGGGGTCTTGCAGTAGCCCGAGGCCGTAGCCTCATCTCGAGGCGTGCGCTTGCTGGTCTGTGGTCAGCCAGACCTACTTTGTCGGCCGAAGGGTGGGGACCGGAGTTGGCTTCGTTGGCCACGCTCCGCTTGTCATCTCGAAACGGTGCCTGTTTTCGGATTGGATACGACTTGAAGTCCGGCCGGTCCCCAGTTGCGATTGGCTGCTCTCGCTTTCGCTTTCGCGTCGTCGGTGGTCTAGGTTGTCTCGAGTCTCGCAGTCTCGCAGTCTCGAACGGCGAATACGTCATGGTAAATAAGAATCGGCTTCCCGGCACGGCCTTGTCTGCGTCGTCGCCTTGCCCCCATCTCGCACACTCATTCGGGCCACAGTCGAGATTGGAGCAAGGGGAACCGTGATTTGTTTCCCCGTACGGAGCTCCGTATGCGACCTGCTCCGGCGCAGAGTGTCACCGCAAATCTCATCTGCAACTCTACCCCGATGCTTATCCCGACGCGATAGGAAGCCTAGACTTTTCCAAGCCTCGCCCTTTTTGCACACATACTCGCAGTGCCGAGTCCAGCACAATAACAACACGTCGATCGGATCGTACGAGTCGAATTTCTAGGGGGGTTTGCAGAGTCACACCTCGATGAGGCTCAATGGCGCACCCAGTAACACCTCGTACGCCTCGTACGCCGCGTATCATCTCGTATCACGGAAGTATGTCGCACATCCAAACGGGCGCCTCTACCATTCGCTCTCTACCCCTCTTATCTTGCTTCTTTTCTATTCACGGTTGATATCCACCTCGTCCTCTTTACATCCTTCATCTTCCATTATTCTCATCCAGCAAGAACCCGGCGCCCGGGTAGACGACTCTCCCGACCACCGACTTTGTGCCCAGGTCGGATATCGGTGGTCATTTGCTCCGGCCGCCGTGATCTTCCTCCTGACGAGCTAATCGCGTGGCATTCACTACCAAAAAGCTTAGCAGCCGCACGAGCTACGGCTCACATTTACTCCCGAATCCCGGTCGCAAATCTGAATCCAACCGTAGACGAGAGAGGGGACCCAGCGGCCGACGCTGAATGGAGGGAGTACGACGCTAGTGGGGCTTATTGAGAAGTCATCCCGTGGGGCTGCTGCTCCTTGTGTTGTCCCCTGATTTTTGCTGGCGCTGGCTGGACCGCTGCTAAATATGCAACGGAATCTTGATCCATGAATCCCAGCGAGCGGATCCTGGCCTGGCTCGCTTGGGAGCTTGCCATGATAGGAACACACCACCTCCGGGTCGTCGTTTTTTCTTTCGCGCACTGTAGATGACTCCTTCTAGACTACGTGCCTAGTCGATCAGCCCTACAGTATTTCTTGCTTACATTTTCTCCTTGCTTCTTTCGCTTCGTACTTACTCCATGCCTATTCGGGGACTTGGAGGGCCGTTTTGCCGGGGCCGTGCATCTTGCACCACTCGTGTAGGGTGTTGGACTCACCATGAATCCGAATCCCACATGTACATTGCGAATTGACGAAGCCCGTGTCCTTCCAATGTCGGCATCCGGAATTATTCATCTCGCCGTGTGACGCACCTCCCGCGTGCCGCACTCCCAGAACTCGCTTCGCAACAAGGAGTCACCCATTGTGGTGGTTCGCCATGATGCGGGTGTGGCTGACTGTGGTCAGATATTCACACTACGCCGGGAATAATGAGTAAGACGGGGCGTATCGGATTGAAAACTCGAGACTAGGGTAAACGCGCAAATCCTTATTGTATGAGTTACTTGCCTCCCGCCATTGGGTGTGACGCTAAGTGTGTGCGCCTATTGTTTGTTGGTGATATATATGGTTGTGAAAAGCGAAGACAACACGCGCGCGGTGGACCAAGGTGGAGGTGTGAAGAGGCCGTCACAGATTCACCCCTGAGATGGGCAAATGGAACGTGCATCCAGATTCGCAGAAAGAAAAGGAATGACTGCCTAGCACGAAAGCACGACCATGGAATTATTACTTTGTTGAACATATTCTGTCCTGGTTAGCCTCATCGGATAATACCTGAGGCACCTTGTGGTGCAAGGCGGCGTCCTACTACTGTTGCTACCCTAGACAAAACGTCATGGTGATTTATTTCCACTGCTGGTTGGTTCGACGTTCCTCGCCACGTCGCACCTCCTTCAAGGCTTGGCCACTCTGGTGCCTGCGAGCTTTCAGCCCTGCAGCCTAACTGTCTTTCCACGTGGTCTCATCATCTACATCTTTTGAGTGTGAACATTGTGTCCTCACGCTCTCGAACCACGCATCCAGCACAACGTGCCATCCGGGATCTGGGCCCTGCAAACGGCACATCGATTTGCCCGCTACCTGGTCATCACTAAACCTCCACCGGCTCTCACCATCACACAGCATCACCACCTTCAGCTACCACCACGCAGCCATGATCCCAACCACACTGGTCCTCTACCTCGCCCTCCCGGTGCTGGCCGTCGCCGCGCGCCCCAGGAACGCCATCCTCCTCTCCGATGTAGAGTCCCTCACCCTCCGCGGTGATGGCGCTAAGACGGCCCATCGCCGTGTCCCCGCCATTCCTCAGCTCCGGTGCATCTCCTCCCGCGGCATCTGCGACCTCTACGACATCGACGTGCTGCGCTGCACCAACCAGGGCTCCTCCTATGGCGACGAGGACATCCAGTGGAGCTGCTCGGCGTCGCTTCCCGAGGAGCTCAAGCTCGGCAGCACCGACGTCATCTGTGAAGGCTACTCATCCCCGGATGACCCGTACGTCCTCAAGGGCTCTTGCGGCGTCGAGTACCGCCTCGCCCTGACCAGCAAGGGTGAACGACGGTATCCCAACCTTGCGAACGGCGGCTGGTTCAACGACGGCCGAGGCGGTACTGACTGGGGCGCATGGCTCTTCACCATCATCTTCGTCTTCGTCCTTGGTTTCATCATCTACTCGGCCTGTATCGGGGCACAGCAAAACCGAGGGCCTCGACGTGACCGCATTCATCGTGCTGGCGGAGGCTGGGGTCCTGGTCCGGGTCCCGGTTGGGGTCCCGGCAATGATCCTCCTCCTCCTTACCCAGGCACGAAGCCGTCCGGTCAGGGCTGGACCCCGGGCTTCTGGTCTGGCATGGCTGGAGGCGCCGCGGCTGGCTATATGGCTGGGAGAGGAAACCGCAACGACGGCCACCAGCACGACTATGGAAGCATCGGGCGAGGAAATGCCGGATGGGGTGGCAACTCTAACGGGAGATCATCCTCATCAGGCTCCAATACGTCCAACCGCCACGAGAGCACTGGCTTCGGCTCTACCAGTCGCAGGTAAACAAACATACCACAACGACTCTCCAAGTCATGTGTTTTAGCAATTAGGATATAGCATCACACTGCTCAGCAAAGAATTTTTGGTAGCTTAATCGACGCCTTTCCATTTATCCAGCAGACCCTTATTCATCCCCATCCCCATCGTAAGCCTTGCCTGGTGCGCCATCTTCTGCTACACAGTATATACACGCCGTTGAGCACATCTCATGCTCCCCTGGCGAATAAAAGTACACGGAAAACTTTCCAAACATAGCCACCATCTAGCCCAGAGAAGAAGAAAGAAGCGTCAACGTTGGTTGTGACGAGCTCCACATCCACTCGCCACCCTTGACGATTTGGCTCCCCTAGACCAAGCCAAGCCATCAGAAATAAGCAGTAACGGATTGTACAATGCTTGATAAACGCAATTAAAGTAGAAAAGAGAGGTATCGTGACACGAATGTTGAAAAGGGGTGGGCTTGGGTTGCAGAGAGGCACTCTCCCTGGCCCATTTAATGGTGCACAGGCATGACGTCCATCTTGTCGAATGCTCGGGAGCAGGTCGGGCATTTGCGCATGCGATTGCTGATCCGGTCGTCCACGCACTGGTTGCAGAATAGATGACCACATGTCTTGAGCGCTGTGTTCTTGAAGTTGTTGCGGCAGATCGTGCACAAAGCAAAGGTCTGGTGATAAGAGTTAGCATAATTCAACAGATTCAATGGTCATGAGTCTTACTCGAAGCATCTCCTCCTCCTCTGACGAGTTACTCAACGCCTTGCTCTTCCAGTTGTCGCGGTCCTTCTGCACGTGTTCAATGCGGACCTTCAGCTTCTCCACCTCGGTTTCCTGCATCGTGTTTCGCTCCCTCACCACAGCAGATGCCGCGTCCTTGGATTTGACTAGGTTGGTCAGGTCACCCACCTGCTTGTTGAGGGAGTCTGTTCGTCGCACCGCTTCCAGGCTCGTTGTCTCCATCTTCTTGTTCTCCGAGACCAAAGTAGCATTTGCCTGCTTCAGATCCGTCAACTGCTTCTCCAAGTTGCCCAGCAAAGTCCGGTTTTGCGATTCAAGGTCCTTGAGCTGCGCAATGATTTCCGAGCTCTTGCTATTTTGGTGTCGGAGGGATCGGATTTCGTTGTTCCTGGTGTCCGCGTCCTTGCGAGCAGCAAAGTACTTCTGATCCGCCTTGCTCTTTTCCGCGATCAGAATCACCACTCTTTCCTCCATGGCAGTGAAGTCGAGAACCTTCTTCTGGGCCAGGTCCTTCATCTTCTTGTACGCCTTCTCTATTGACGGCAGTTCTTGGTTGATGGACTGGAAGTCTTGCTCCAGTTTCTTGTACTTTTGTCGAAGTTCGTCGTGTGAAATTTCCTCGTCATCTGCGTTGGTCATCTCTTGGTCCTCGTTCGACTTGAGGCGCGTGATTTCGGATTCAAGCGCCGAGATTCGATCGTCCTTGGCACTTACGAGCTCCTTGACGTGGTCGAACGAGGATCGTTCTTGATCCATGTTTGCCTTGCGCTGCATGTTTTCCGCTAGAATTTCGTCTCTTGCTGAGCGAACGCGAGCCAGATCTTGGTCTCGAGACATAATTTCTGCTTCAAGCTCCTGTGTAACCTGGTTCGCGTCGGCTTCTAACTGAGTGCGGAATGCGGATCGCTCCGCTTGTAGTTTCTCGGCCTCTTCTCGCAACTGCTTGTTCGTGGCTTCCAGGTTGTTGATCCGCTTAATCAGGTCCTCGTTCTGGCTCTTGAACTGCTTGAATACGTCCGTTCGAATGAAATCCTCGTCCGTCAGGTTTTCCCGTCGTGCTTTGAGGCTCGAATTTTCGTCCTGCATGGTTTTGATTTCCGCCAGGATGGTGTCCAACTGCTCCTTTTGCTTCGTCGCAGCAGCGGTGGCCTCCTCGTACTTGAGCAACAACTCACCAGATGTCCCGTTGACCTCGGAGCCTTCCGAACCACTGTCCCCGGACGCTGCCGGGCGGGTGGCACTGGCAAAGGCTTGCTGTTCCAACTTCTGCACCTGTGAGCTCTTGGCCCGATCCAGTTTCTTCTCCGCCTTGAAGTATCGCAAAGTAGCCGCATTCAGTTGTTCTGAGAGTTGGTCTTTCTCGCCGCTTAGTCGATCCAGTTTGAACAGGTACTCCTTTTGCGTGGCTAGAAGCTTGGTAAGTTTGTTCTCCAGCGCGGCCGCCTCCGGGGTGATCTCTCCACGCTTGGCAGCCAGTCGAGCAAGGAGCGTTTCGGCTTTCGATTTGATTGCTTTGCCCTTGTCTTGGAGGTGTTTCTGGAAATCGTGGAGGTCTTTGAAGCTCACGCCACTCAGATAGGGTGGATCTGACACCACATCAGCACACGCGCAAAATACGGGAGTGAGGTTCATACCGGAAGAGGCTGATGAGGACGATACGGTCGACTCTGCGAGGAGTTCCAACTCTTCAAGAACCTGCCCAATATCAGCCATGATCAATCAAAGTCGCATTGCACAAACGAACCTGTCGCCACCAAGCATCAATGATTCTCAAATGATCGTCATGATGTACGGATCGTTTATGCAGTTCTTCGAGTCGCGATTCAGCCGTTGCTGCCTTGCGACTGTATTCTTGCATCTGTCGATAGATGGATCCTTTCGTATAGGCCTGGTTAACCGAGGTCAGCGACAATTTCGTACTCAGCGCGTCGAACAACGTGTACGGGTTTGTGGAGGCATGGAACGAGGGCGCGGGCAATCGGGCGCATTCAGATCGCCTCTTCAAAGCCGGGGATATCTGTCGCTGAGGAGCGAGCATCATCGCTGGCTTGGTGAGCTAGGGGTCCAGCATCGGACTTTGATAAGAAGATGCGGCGATCCCGAGTGCGCAGGCCCTCACATAACAGCATAGGAGAGGTGGCAAGACGGTAGGACGGGCCGCGAGCACTCGCAATAGGAAACGGGGTCGGTCAGACACTTACCTCAATCCAGCCCTCCTCTTTCATTTCGAGGGCGTCTTCCTTGGCCTTGGATCCATTGACAGCGACTCTCTTGCTAGGAGGAGCCAAGTCATCGGCGCTGCTAATGGCAGGCCTCTTCCTGTCCTCCATCTTAGCGAGTGTGGATGGACGAGGCGAGGCAGAGGGGGTCGCTGTGAGAGGCATCAGAAGTCGCGTGGCAACGGGTGCAAAGGAGGCGTGAGGCGAAAAGAGAGCGAGGGCTCGGTCCTGAGAGCGCAATAGAGCCAAGTCCCGTCCCGACGTAGGGCGTGCGTGCCGTCATGAATGAGCGGCGCGAAGAAGTCGTGCAGTGCTGATGGGACGTTCCCTAGGCCAGGAGTTGAAATTTCGAAGTTGAGTCGCACATCGAGAAGCGCGCTCTCTCCACCTCAAAGGGGCTTAGTGGTGCGCTAGCCTAATTGGGCGACTCCCTTATCGATTTGCATACCGGCTAAACCTCGCTGAACCAGGCTGCCTCTCCACCATCCCGCATTTTCTCAGAGTTCGCGGTGCATACAATTTTCAACCTCTTCATGAACAAGGTCGATGTGCACGATGTAAGGTGATTGACCGACTCTCAAACCCTCAATATCACACTGGCGATTATTCACTACCATAATGAGCTCTATGTTCAAGAAAAAAGGCGGGCTCGCCTTCAAGCCCAAGATCCCGTCCGGTCGAGCTCGCCCCGCGGCCCCAGTACCACCACCACAACCTGCGAAACCTCCTCAGAGTCAACCGTCCATTGATGCGCAGTCGCAACCAGCGCATCAAGAAACTCCCGAGACTCCTGATTCGGCGACCCCGACGGTAGATTCGAGTGCCGTTACGACGCAAGTGACTCACGAACCACCCCACCACGCATCTCCAACCCCACCAGAGTCGGTTCCTGAGAATGCGAAACACGACGATACCACCACACTCGACCAAGTGACAAGCGATAAACCGCACGAGCCCGAAGCTGTACCTACGGTAGCCCGCGTGGAGAACGAAACAGCCGTTGGTGAGCCCGAGACCCAGCTTGAGGCGACCGCGCTCAAGTCGGCACCAACCACAGAACCTGAACGAGTCCAGCCTGCTCCAGCGAAAGACATCAGTATCCCTGATGATTCACATGGCGAGCAACAACCAGACACGACGGTAGTTCCAACGCCTGCGCCCCATACAGTAGATGAGGTTGCGACGACGGAGAGTTCCGCAACACCATCAATTACCCCGGCCGAGTCGAGTGAAACCACATCACAAGCACCTGAAGAGGCTCGCGAGAAGCCAGCGCCGAAACCAAGGAGCAGGAAACAATCGGCAAAGACTGCGCAAGAAGAAACTGTTGATGGGGATGACAGCGCTCGACCAAAGAAGCGCCCAAGGAAGACCGCAAAAGATGGAGCGGGTGCGGCGCCAAAGCAGCCAAGGAAGCGCAAAACACCTACACAGACCGATGGAGAAGGCCAGGCTAGGAGTAGGCGCGCCCGGTCGATCACTCCCGAGGATTCGGAGAATCAGATTGTGGACTTGCAACAACTGAAGATGGCGGATCTAACCAAGGACTTGCACATTGGCAAGAAGTTCAGCCGCCACGACGAACTCCGAGAGCGAGAGAGGCGGACCAGACTTAAGGCGAAGGTTGGCTTAGACGCGGATGGAGAGCGTGATGGCTCGGAAACACCTGACAGGACCGAACCAGGTCCCAAGAAAGATAGCCCGGCGACCACATCGGCACCTGCTCCCGCATCAGGTCCCCAATTTCGCATCGTGGACGGACAGATTGTCGTCGACCAGAGTTCTCTGGCTGTCGATCGGCACGCGCGCGCCGCCGCGGTCCTTGGAGACATGGAGACGGTCGAAGAGAACGACTTTACGCGACTAATCACCAGCAACTCCTTCATGAACACATCCAAGCTCAAGGGCCCAAACATCTGGACCGACCCGGAGACGGAGCTCTTCTACCGCGGCCTGCGCATGTTCGGCACCGACTTCGAGATGATTTCCAAGATGTTTCCCCGCAAGCAGCGCCGCCACATCAAACTCAAGTTCAACCGCGAGGAGCGCCACCGCCCCCGCCGCATCGACGCCGCCATCATCGGCGAGAAGACGATAAAGATGGACCTAGACGAGTACAAGGCCTTCACTGGCTCTGAGTTCGAGTCGGTCGAGTCCATCGAGGCCGAGCAGCGCAAGATTCAGGAGGACTTCGAGGCCGAGCAGCAACGCGTCGCTGACGAGCAGGCCGAGATCATGCGTAAGAAGCGTGAGGAGCTTTTCGCCGACGACGACGATGATGCTGCCAAGAAGAAGAAGGGCAAGAAGGGCAAGCAGAAGGTCATCTACGGGTTGAATGGAGAGCCCATTGCCGCAGAGTCCTAAGGACTGGGCCTTGAGGATCGGGAGACGGAAAACAATAGAACGGCGCAAAGGAGACCGGCATGATACCCGTTAGGTTTTTTCCACATGGAATAGAAATCAACCTAGTTATTGATATAGGATTCAATCATCCTTAGGACGGAATATGGGTACAAACGATGCACCCGGTAAGACGCAGCAAGCATGTGGTCTTCAAATTTTTTGAATTCGTCAATCTCGTCGACTTTACTACCTTGCCTTGGCTTCGCACATATCATGCCATGTAGATGCTCCCCGTGATAAGGCGACGCCGTCCCTTCGTGGCATCACGAACTTGTGAGGCGTTTCTGTAACGTGACCGCGCTATCTCCAAACCAGACTGTCGTCCGGCAACCATATTACTTTGGCCAAGGCCTGGATATGCCCCGTTTCCTCCTGTCATAATCGTAACAAGCACTGTCTGGCACAGCGATCCCAGCCCCGTATTTAGTTTCCGGGGCCAGTCTCGTCGTCCTCTGGTTGGTCGAAGAGGAAGTTGGCGGCGAGTTCCTCGTTCTTGTCGCAGGCAAAGTAGGCCTGGATAGCCTGATCACGGTCGAATCCTAGTCGGCATAGCTGAGTGATGGTAGTTAGTACGTAGGTTCAGATAGAGGGCGGCTCAAGGGTCCTTACTCGCTCAATTGCGTCGCGCTCCTCTTCGGTGACAGAGATAGCCTGGGCGCCAGGGGGAAGAGGAACATCGTCATCACCAGCATCCTCGCCAAGAAGCTGAAGGAATTGGTCGGGGTTTGAGGCAATGAGCTGGGCAAGCTGGGGGTTTCCGGCGCCAAGCTGCTGGAGGATAGGCTCAAGCATCTGGGGCTGTTGTTGAACGACTTGGCGCAGCTGCTGGAACTGAGCATTGTGTCGCAGGAAGTCCAAGTTGCCCAAATCGCCACCCTGGGTGGCGGCAGCGGCAGCAGCGGCGGCGGCGGCAGCCTCCTGGTTGTTGCCACTTCCACTTCGGGGAGTGCCACCATGCTGAGCAGCAAGGTCGAACAGGTTCACGTTGCCATCGTCACCGCCCTGGGCAGCGGCAGCGGGTCGAGCGCCAGAACTAGGGGCGGCAGCGGCTTGACGTTGTTGCTGCTCCTGCTGAATGTTGTCGGGGATTCCCTGAGCAGTGAATGTCAGCGGCCACAATGTGTCGTTGCGAGGTGGACAATTCTGCTAACGTACATTCAAGAGATACTCAACGGCGCGATCGGGGTTGTTGAAGGCAGCACGCATGGCAGCCTCAATCGCAGGCTTCTCGAAACCCATGGCCTCCATGTTAGCAATGGCCTCGGTGCGCGCGTTGCCCATGGCCAGAGTTGAAGCATCATTGCCAGATCCAGTATCGGCGGAGCGCTGAGGGGTAGGGGTCGCGGGAACAGCAGACGAGTGCGAAGCGGCCTGGATGGGAGCGGGGGGGGCAGCTGGCGTGCTGGCGATGTGTTGAGCGGGCGTCGCGGGGGGAGCGGCAGAGGACTCGGGGGCGGGGGCGGGAGGAGCAGGCTTTCCCTTGGGCTATCACGACGGAAGCGTCAGCGGAAGAAGGGGGCCGACGAGAAGGTTGAAGGTGCGCACCTTGTTCACCATGCAGACAACAAAGCCCTTCTCCTCGATGTTGTAGGAGCCGACGGTTTCTTCATCCTTCAAGATCTTGCCTGATATCACAGTAAGCGGATTGGACGAGGGCAATGCGGCTGGTGGCGAATGCGGAAATACCAGAGTAGATGAGCTTCTGCAGCTTGGGATCCCAGCCCTTCTCGGCGGAAATCTTTTCCTTGACAGCGGAGATCTGTTGGAGGGGGTCGTCAGTTCGGGGAATTCGCCCGGGTGGTGGGGGAGGATGGCGCGGGGTGGGCATACCAGCTCGGAGGGTTCGACGTCGAGCGTGAACTTTTGCTGCTTGAGATCCTAGAGAGCGGGTGAGCAAATGGACGAGGCTGCGAGAGGTCTGCAGCAGATAGGCGAGCGAGGGCGCCGAGGGGACGAGGCGGGCGACGGCAGAAGGTGCAGGTGGTGACGCACCTTGAAAGTGACCTTCATGATGGGCGAAAGAGTCTGCGAAGCGGGGAGACGAGAGGTGAGCACGGCAAGCGAGAGAGCGCAGCAGCCGTTGAATAGTGGCGGCGGCAGCTGGAGAGGGCCGAGTCGACAGGAATCGGCGACGTGGATGACGAGAAGAGGAGGAGGAGAGGGTGGAGAGGTGACTGGCGAGCGGGAGACGGCGGCGGAGAGAGTGAGTACCAGGTAGAGTAAGTCGAGTCGAGTAGGTGATGCTGCTTTTGACGTTGAGAGCCAAGAGCCACAAGCAGCAACAAGCAACGGGCAACGGCGCCAGGAAGAGCCGGGCTGGGGCCAGTCCAGCAAGCCGCCTGCCAACGCGGGGTGGGGCAGCCGAGTTTCTGCACCAAGTTCTGCACCTGTCTACAATGGATGGAGCCTGAGATGGCAGTGCTCTGGTGGCCAGCTAGGTACCTACACTACGCCATAATACGCAGTGTCCGTCGCTGTACTGTACGGTACTGTACCAGTCCCGCTGGACACGGAGGAGAGGCTAATTACCAAGCTTAGCCTGCCTGGGCGCTAGGGTTACAGGGGTCGTGGGGGAAAGCCGCGCTTCTGTTTGGTTCAGCCACTCCGAGGCTCCAGTGCTCCAGCGCTCCAACGCCCCCCGAGGCTCCAACTCCAACCCACCCCAGGCAACTGGGCGGCGGAGCCAAGTGGCGGTGCGCGCGTCGCTCTGGTGCCTGGTGAAGCCTCACGTTGCCTCAACTCACCTTGCTTACCTTGCATCTCACAGAGAGGTGGGGGGGAGCTCCGAGTTGCGACACAGAGATACCGCATCGGTACCGTACAAAGTAGCTCTAGGCACAACTGTTTTCGCCAGTCGCACCGTGCAGCTTGGTACAACCCAGTAATCACCTCCTACTTGCACGTCTCCGCCAAGCCAAACCGGACAAGAGACATCAGCCCTATCCATCTCGGTTGACAGCAACCCTCTAACAGCAGCAGCAGCACTACAATGACAGAATCAACAAATCTCTCACTCATCGATTGCAACTCACACACATTCACCGGTACGGACCGATTTTCTTTTCTTTTTTGGTTTCTTTTTTTATTCTTTTGAATCTATACTTTTGTCTACCTAGTTTCATTCCTGTCATTCATCTCTCCCGCTTCTAGGCGCGGAGACTTGGCTTTAATCATAAAACGCCTCGCTGAGGTTTTCCTCTGGTATCACCCGCCAAACCCACACCTGGGTAGAGTCCGCCATATCCCAATATCCAAGAAAAGAAAAGAAAAATTGTGTCCTCCCGAGACAAAGAGGGGAGATGAATGACTGGCCATCGTCGCCCGTCCAAGTCCAAGTCATGATCCTGCCTGCTGGATATCTTCATCCGCGCATCAAAAAGTCGTTAAGTGTTTCAGTTCGTCTTCTGCTCCTCCTCCGGGCTTCCTTCCACATCAGCCTTGACCTTGCGGCTGTTATATCCTGACCAACTCGTCCGAGTGCCTGCACCCAGTACCCATTCTGGAATCGGAGGCGTCATCGTTCGCTCTGATGGCGTTGGTGTCGGTTCTGTCTCTACATCTGTCTCCTCCTCCGTAATGCTGACGTTGCTGCTGCTCTGCTCGTCTCGTACAGTGCTATCGCGATTGCTGAGGGGGCTCGAGAAGAGCGGGTTGCTCGACACACGTGTCTGATTCAGTGATCGGACGCTCTGTCGGTGCGTAATCACTTGTCCGGCGTTCGGCGATGCGATCACCACGGTACCTGGCGTAGTAACTGGGGGTGGGTCGGGCGAGTCGGATCGGAACAGGGGGTGGATGTGCATCTCGTTCATCGATGGCGGCGGCTCCGGGATGGGGCTCGACTGCTCCCGTCTTCGGGGCACGGGGCTGTAGCTGCGGCTCCGGGGTCGGATGCGAGGGGGTTCAAAGGGCATCACCTCGGTGTTGGGGCTGGGAGTCCGGCTCACTGTCGGGCTTCCGGGAATCGTCTCGAGGAAGCGGCCCTGCGTCAGCGGAGGCGTCGACGCTTCCCAGACGGCTTGACGGTTCTGGGTATCAACCGACGACGTGTCCCACGTGTCAAAGGCGTCCTCGCCGCTAGCTCGGGGTCCGTACGAGTCCATCGAGGCAGGTCGTCGCAGTTCCTTGGTTGGCAGGAGCTGAGTCTTGGAAGTAACCGGGCGAATTGCATGCGAGAGTGACGACTTGATCGAGGTCATGGTGCCAGATCTCGATCGCCCACCAATGGACGAAGCAGGAGTATGAGAAGTCATCGAGTCCAACCGGGTTGCCATATCCGGGTCGGGGGAAGTCTGGCTGTACCGGATGGCCTTGACCCGATTGACCGGTAATTTCCGTTCCTCCTCCGTGGAGTGAAGGGATTGGGCCGGGTCAGAGGACCTTGAAAGAATGAAGTGAAACAGAAGGAAAGCGCTCTGGAGAGCAAAGGAGAGTCCAAGGGCAACTGAAGAGCCCGTGAGGAAGTTGTTCTTGTTGGCACCGAGGACCTTGTCATGGTGATCCACGGTTGCCTTGCTGAGTTGAATGAGAGTAGCCACGACTGCGACGGTAGCGAAGGTGATGGCCAAAAGGCAGAGCCCCTGGTCGACTCCGAGACATCGCCTGGACCAAGATCGCACAGAGGCTGAACTATACGTCGCAACCAGCCAGCCAATGCAGATGAGGACGATGGCCTCAACAGCAACAGATACCTGCGAGGATGCCCGGCCACTGGCCTGAGGGATGTGGATGGAAAGAACGATGAGGACTCCGATGATGGATGCTGTTGCGAGCAGAGCCACGGAGCCCAGTGTCACGGAAATAGCACGCTGCATGGTCATTGTCTGAATATGAAACAAAAGTCGGGTGACTTGACCAAGTTCGCCGGGGTCGAGGGCTACCTGGGGGACGACCGTCCACTCGGTAGCAGTCTACCTTATTTTAGAACAGGACGAAAAAGGGGTTGCTGAACGAGTTGCTGTTGTCGAAGGAAGGTTGAAAGATGGTGCATCGCAGGCTGGAAGCCAGCGAACTCCGTCAACTCGATGTCGCCACGAGAATCGCGGGTGGGGCAGATCCGCCGATCTGGAAGATGGTTGATGAGTCGAAAAGCGAATGTCGTCGGTAACAATGTGTAAGAGAAATGCGATGGGGTCCCTGGTCGTGTACGAAGGCCGAGTTCCTTGACGGTGAGGAGATATTCCAGGACGATATCCGAGTCTGACAAGACGAAGCGGGTACTGTGCTTCCGTCACGGGTAGGCGTATAGAAAGGTGGGTGCTGGGGCGCCGGGGCAAGAAAAGATTGTTACGGTAGTGAGAGACGTAGAACCCGATGCCGAGCGAAGGAGGCTTCAGGTGAAAGACGAGGTTGAGATGAAGGTTAACGAAGGGTGTGTTATAGGATAGGAAATGGGGTACGGGGAATGGGGAATTGGAACGGGGGATGGGAACGGGGAACCAACGAAAGAAGAATGAGGGAGAAGAAGCAGAGGCCGGAGGAGCAGAGAAACCGGCAGAGGGAAGGACTAAAAGAAGAAGAAGCGACGCAGGAGTGTGCGGACGAGGGTGTGGAGGAGGGTGTGAACGGGTGATGGAGTGGGCGAGGGTGTGGAACGCGGAGCTGATGGAGCACGAGCACGAGCACGAGCAAGAAGGCCAAGCTACCTTGGGTAGTAGTAGGTCCATGTGAGTGTCAGTGTGCGTGTGTGCGTCTTTGTGAGCTGTGTGAGCGAGTGAGCAAGCGAAGCACGAGCGTAACCGTCTTGCGTTCATCTCCACCTCCTCTCCTACCTTATCATCTATCTGCCTCCTCATCTGCCTCTTCCTCGACCTTCACTCGTGTATTGCCTCCATCGAGCAGCCCAACACCAACACCAACGGCGTGCATCTCTCCCCCCCAAAAGCAAGTGGTGGGATCGCGACCTTGCCCTGTAATATGCCCGGGATTGCATGCCATAGTCGAGCATGGGGGAGGGGGGACGAGAAATGGTTGTGCGCAGCGTAGCGTTGCGTGGACGGGACACCGGCGCCAGGCTGGGGCCGGAGTGGTCCGGGGCGGGCTGGCACTCAGGCACTCAGGCACTCAGGGCACTTCTCAGGTACGCTCAAAGCCTTGGAAACCTCTCACACACACCAAAGGCCCTGGTTCCTGGATCACTCGACAGGGGTTCCCTCCCTGCGCCCTCCCCCCCCCCCCCGTCCGATCTCCGAAGTTGTGGTGGTGGCTGCGCTGTGCTGCAAGTGATGAAGGGCCTCGTTCCTTTTGGTTCCAGCAGGCTCCCAATGAGCTCGCAATACATGCCGAGTGGAGAAGGGGTGTCTGTGGGTAAGAAATAATAATAAAAAAGCCTGGCTTCAGAGGTGCCTCCAAACGCTTCTTGCTCGAGCGGTCCGGCAATGTCGGTTCGGTCGCGTCCAGATACCCAAGTCGTATTGGTGTTGGAGAGGGTTCCTATTCGTGGTTACATTGGTTATCAGGTATGTGTGTCCCAAAGCAAGGTCAAGGTCAATGCCAAAGCCGGCCAAGGTCAGTTGTGCATCAACTTGGACCAATGTTGCTCACTTCCGCTGTTACTGCCGTTGCTACTACTGTTGCTACTCCTGCTGTTGCATGCATATGTCGGCTACCTAGACTGCCGTTGTACTTTGGGGCAGATTCCATAATATCTCTTCTCTCTTTCCGTCACTCGTCAATCCCAACTCCCCAACAAGACCGGCCAGGCACAAGACATACATTGCAATGCCCCTCCAGTCATCAGCGCGAGGCAAGGTTGACCATCATACCGCGCGGGAGGAATCATCTCGGAGAGTAAAGAAGGACCAAGCCCTACAATCCCCCTCCATCCTCGCTAGGGCTCCAACCGGCTAGCAACTTGTCACTACCCTCGTCCTCCAAGCCCATACGCACAAAGGCCCATCTCCACGCCCGTCTCATCTCAATGCTGACGACATCGTGGTACGGGATCCCGCCGAGCCCACCGAGCCCACTGAGCCCACCAAGCCCACCCGTAACGGCGCCGGGCCTGGTGCTAAGGTAGTCAAGTTCAGTAGCGGCAGCACGTCAGCTTTTTTGGAGGCCCAGCTGGCGAGGCGAGACGGCGGCGGCGTTAACCGTTGCTGTTACCCTCGGATGGTTGTTTTGTTGACGTTGATGTCGCATCAGACGCGTTACAACGGTTGGAGGTAAATAACTAGATTGGAGATGGTAGCGCGTTTTCTTTGAGTTTCGACCGACTACTACCCGAGGGCTTCAGTAGCATCACCAGGCCGGGCCAAGGTCCCGATGGGAAACGATGTCACCCTCCATGAACAACCGATAGCAAGAAATAAATCAAAAAAAAATTGTTGTTGTTGGGCCCAATGATCTCCAGTGATCCCATCGATACCCCATCAGAGCGCGCAGTTTGCCGACAGCAGGCCAAAAACATGTGCTCCAACTAGAACCGGAATTGGTACTGTTATTAGAGCCAGCTGAGTGAGAGGGGTCTGGGATCTGGGATCGGAGCGAGGGGCTCCCCTGCGACTGCGAGAATCATCCCGCCATCGTCTGGAGTGTTTTCCTGTCGCCCGTTGGCCACATGGATCGGGGGCCACATGGATGGCAATTAGCAGCCATGTTCGTTGTTTCGAGGAGATGCACTGGACTCCTGGAGGACAGGGCAGAGACGGGCCAATGCTGGGGCTGAGTAGGGGAGAGAAAGGCCCTGAAAAGCCCTGGACGCTTGGTGGCCAACCCTCTGTCTCAAATCGTTTCAAGGCCCATGCCTGCTCCGCATGTTTCACATTGGGAGGTTTTTTTTTCTCTCTATTTTATTCCGCTGCCTTTGTTTTTTTTTGTTTTGTTTTTTCAGAGGCGGAGGGAGGCGTAGTTAGACCCTTGATCGGGATCCACATCGCCAGCCGTTACTTACTCTGATGCACAGTATTGACTCAGTAGGTAAATCGGCCCTGAATCCTTCCCCCACTTATTGCCTTCGGGCTTTTTAAATACCTAATGATCTAGGAAATCTAAGCCTTATATAGCTTAGCTTTAGTCCATAAAAACAGGGTCATTTTATCGAACCGATACGGTACTTGAGGTGCGGGCCTTCAGTGGGCGAAAAGCGCCTGTAGCGGCTGGCATTGGCAGTGGCCGCCTAGTGCTGCATCGCATCAGAGGGGAGGTCACTGGGGGCCAGGCCGAATTTAGTGCACTGTGAGCTCAGCGGCGTCCAGTGAGCATCCCGTCAGCAGCGAAATGAAAAAGAAATGAAGTGGCCGGGAGGGTCCATTACGGAGACGTGCTATAGCACACCACCACCACTACCATAGAATAGACGAGAATAAAGAAAGAAATGTCAATTTATGAAGCCAGCACTAAGGCAAAGCAAGACGGGGAGTAAACGGAAATTGTTCGACCCTCTCTCCCTCCCATCAAGGCGCTAGCACACACCCGGTGCTCTTCGTCTGTCTGTCGTCTTCACCAGGGCTTCTTCCCCTTGTTTCTCATTGAGCTGATGAACCCGGGCCGCAGCTCTGACTCCGTCGCTGTCACTTGCGCCTTGTCTCTGATTTCCCTTCCCGCCGTGGCCGCCGCCCCCTTGAGGCCGAGGATCTGGCCATCTCTCCATTCCTTCCGTCATGTCACGCCAGGAACGAAGCGCTCGTTGACGCGGCCTGTACTTAACTACGCCTCCCCCTCTAGAAAAAACGGTATTCGGCCCTGAAGAGAAGTTGCACTTGAGGTGGCGGCGCGGGAAGCCATGTTTCAACGTCCCGGGGCCATGCTCGACTTGCCTTAGCCCCAGGTACGGGTGCGCCTCTGGCTCTGGCAGTATCCCACACACTAATTACGTTGTCCAGTGCCCACCGCACAGCACATCATAGCATAGCATTAACACGGCTCTCACAAAAGCTGCCCGTTGCTCGCTTCATTGGCGGTCGAGAGCCCTCACAGCCCGGGCTGGTGGTAATTGCAGCAGTGCACGCGGTCAGTGCCCTGCAGAAGACACAATGGCTGGGTTCCGCCCTGAAATCCCCGGCCTGGCTGTCGCAGTCGCCGTTCAGGTGGCGCGCGACAAGCTCGATGACTTCTCGCCGAGTGCATCTCGCAACGACGCTAGAACCCTTCCATGTAATTCTCCGGCCTCTCCGGGTTTCGTTGTTGGTGATGTTATTCCTGATCATCTCTGTCAAACCCACTCTGCGGAGCCCTGCGAGCCGAGATCCTGGCCGCAGATGAGATGCTCTCGAAACAACGAAGCCCTCGCCCCGAGCTCACCCGAGCTCACCCTCAGTCTCCAAAACTCCCTCCCCGGCCAGCCCCCCCCGAGAGGCCGGGCTCGCAAGCTACAGCACACACAGCATTGCCTTCTGATCGCCAACCTCGTACCTTGCTTAGTCGCCTTGCCCCAGGTAGGGCTGTCCCAGTAGCGGCATTTCCGGGGAGATCGAGACGGCAGCCGACGCTGGTCCTGATTGGTAAACGAGGCAACCCTCCTTCTCATCGAGGCTGCTGCTGAGGCTTTCCATTGTGTCACCAACATGTCATCGCGGACGGCACTACGATGCACGAAGCAGAAGCGATGCAATAGAGTTCTGTCCATCCAGCCCTCTCCAGCCTTCTCCGAGCTACGCAGCCAGTCCCGTCAGTGAAGCAGCCCTTGCCGACAGAGATCCCGATGCCTCATGGTTGCAGTCCTAATTACACGTGCGCCCACTCGATGCCATCCAATGGACGTTACACGACGCCTCTCGTCCATTCTTATCTTGGCTTGAGTGGCGGCGGCCGACAGACATCTCTCATCCAGACATTGCTCCTGGGCTGAACCACTCACTTCTCACTCCCTCGCCTCCCTCGCCTGATCGACAATCCCGCATCCGGCGCCGAGACTTTTGCTAAGAATAGAGTACCGCCGGCTCTGGCTGCGGGCGAGAGTCGACACGTCGCACCCATCTCACGCCATGGACGGATACACACGCAGCCAACCTCATCCTGCAGTTGACGATAGGATTGCCCGATTGCCTAGTCCCGTGCTCTCTATCTCCATCATCTGCTCCGCACCCAGCTTCCGCGTCCACGAATTAGTTCGCACTCCGCCAATCCGTCCAGCTGTCCATTACCAATCATCCACCGGCCCCCACATACTCACCGGGATATCTCCCCTCCAGGATCGACCATTCCCTCCGAAGACTCACCGTGCCCTCCGCCCAACCGCTAATACGAACTCCCTCGCCTTACTTGTCCCTCTCGTGAGTAGTCGAGCCTTCGGTCTGCGTTGTTAGCTGTGTTCATGTGTGCGTGTGTGGATGTCTGTGCCAAATCGCCAGTCTAGAAGCCCTGTATTGCGCTGCCACGAACCGCCCGTCTACCCATTTCGGGCTGAGCTCCTCGTGTTGCTATCAATCCGACGCCAGTCACCATGACGTGTCTCACACCTTGGCTTAGCACACAGGCATCGTGTAGAATCTCGACGGACTCTGTGGAGCGCATCAGTGCTGGCAAACATGGACACTGTCGCTTCTGCCTTGTGTTCCCCACGTCGGAACCACTTGCTTTCTCGTTCGGCCAACACGTCGTGAGCCAAGCCCGCCGTGCGTCTCCGCGCCTCGCGAATCGTCGACGGGTTACCCTTCCTTCATTCATGGCAGCCTGGATCACCCGAGCATCGATGCTTGGGAACCCGCGCCGTCGAGATTGGCGTTCGCCAGCGTGTCCTTGTTTTGATAATTGCTACTAATATTGGTCACGGGCCCAACGTCGTTGCGGGCAAGCGTATGTTTACATGGTCACAGCTCTAGATGTTTACAATCTCAACGCAATCTCAATGTTTACAGTTCTATATCAATACTGATCCGCCCAACCTCCCGGCTTCGCGCCATATAGATATCGATTTCAAGCCAGAGTAATACGGTACTTCAAAGCGTACTACGTTGCTTTGGCTTACACGCTGCCATTTTGCCCCAGTTTTGCACGCCTGATTGGCTGGCAGTTAGGGTGCAGTGTTCATTAGTCCATGACTGCCCAGCTAGTGTCTGGCGTATTCGTCTCTGGACTTATTTCGTTCCGAATACTGTCCGTAGCTCAGGAGCATTCATGCAGGTAGATGGACTCTGGAAATTGGGTCTACTAAATATTTAGTTCGAGGCTATGGTCTGTGGATTGAGGCCCGCTGGAGAACTGCGGGTCTGTTCTGCTACCTCGACCACTCAAACAGCGGCTTCCTCGGCTCGCACAGTTCTCTGAAACAGATTTCATGAACGAAAGTTGGCGGAAAGAAGATCCCCACAATCGCACCGACTATTTAGGAAGAAAGTAAACAAACAAACAAATCCAGGAAGACCTGCGAGGGCCACTATCATCTTGGATCCAGCAGTGAGCGTCAGTGCCGAATCCGGACACGTCAGTTGTGGTTAATAATGTCATTGACCATTCGTCGCAATCAACAGAGACTGTAGGGTAGCCGACGTCGCAGCAATGCCACAAAATCAATCACCTTGCCCAGACCAGGTGCATGGTGGAAATTTGCGGTGGTAATGACGGCTCAGCTCATTAATGGAGACGATGGCCACCTCACCCGTTCATGCACCTGAGAGCCCGTTTACGGTGAGAATGCACAATTGAGGGGAGCGTCGAGTAGAGAGCCACCAGATAATGAGACATCGTATGCACACCCCCCTACTTACCATGAAGGCACAAATTGCTAGTCCGTGATGAACGCAAAACGAACCATACGTGGTCTCCATGCAGAGACGGACAGATTGGGAGGAGACGAGCTCCTAGGTTCGAGCAATGCCGATCTGGTCCAGACCCGAAGGCCACCACGTCTTTGTCCATCCACCCAATGCATAACGACGATCCCAAATTCGCCTTTGGCGACATTGATAGTCTAGTGGGGGAGTGACACGAAGAAGCAACAACGGTCCCAGTTTGGCCAATACAACATGCGTAAAAACCCGCCCTCTCCCAACTGCTGCCCCCCTCTGCAAGGTAAATCACACATATTGACGGCGCCGGCAAATCAACCACGGAGCCACGGCTACGTATGGGACTCGCATTGTCTTGAACCCTGGGCAAGCTCAAATTGAGACATGCATCCCGGGACCTCGGTGCCTGCGCCCCGTGCATCCCATGATCTCATCGGCCGATGAGTCGCCCGCGAAAGACAGGAGCATGATGGGGTTTTTCTTCTTTCATCTTGTCTCCCCTGCCGGCTTCTGAGAATCCCATGCTGCGCCGCAGGACCCCTGGCGAACCCGGCAAACTGCGCTCGTCATTCGATCTCCATTTGAGTCAATGTCTCTGATAGCCCAGGAACCCCTCAACCACCCACTGGTCTGGTGACTGACCGACAATTGCCAGCCGCGCGCTTTTATGCCCAGACGGCACGGAATGACAATGAAGTCTCTTCTCTCCAGACACGTGGACGAGTGAAAACGTTGGTTGGAATCATGAGACCACATGTGAGGCGGCACCGCTCGTCCAAGACGAGACTGAATGTGACACTCGTTAGCCCCAGTCTCAGCCCGAGCATGTCGTTCCGCTATTCGGAGAGATGGCAAATTCAGCTGCACGAGATATTGCCCCTGCAGCTTGAACAACCCAATGGTGCCCAATGGAACTGAGCTCGATTTCTAGGGTGGCTAGGTAAGTTCCTTGCTGGTCACCACGACAAGTCCAGTATCAGGGAACTAGACCTCCCTTGAAGCCGACTAGAAATGATATTCGCCAATTGATAGGCCGCATTGAAAGGGTAACTTTCCCGTGACTACACGTATATATGTAGACCTGCATCTCAGGCACAAGAGAGTAGAGCGTGCGGTATTGTGGCCACGGGTAATTCTATCATTATCGGGAATCACATTCGTCTTATCTCAATCACCCTGGCTGTAGTCTGTTCACCTGGCGAGCAAAAAATGTCATAGAGCGAGGTCTCACCGCATTGGAGTGGTAACAGGCCTCCAACCATGAATGGGCCAAGGTCGTGTAACTGGGAGGCGAGACAACACTGGTGACATTTGAAGACTCAATTTCAGTCTCATAAAATTCCGATTAATTCAGTACATAAAGCAATATCATAAAGTTGTGGGGAAAAACCTTGATCGTGCTCGTTCTTCTCAGCCTTGTCTCACCGCAAGTGCGTGCTTGTTGTGGCTGGGCCAAACGAGCGTTGACATCATGACTTTTTTAGGCAGCGGCCCAGCCTCTTCTAAATCCTTTCTCAGAAGTCACAACTCCATTGACTTGACATCTACACCCGAATACCGAATCGCCCCTGGATCACAGAAATGACAAAACACCGGGTTATCTACTGGTTCCGTACCGATCTGCGCCTCCACGACTCCCCAGCCCTAAAAGCGGCCTTGGATCTTGACCCCGCCGTGCTGTGGCCCATCTTCACCTGGGATCCATACTATGTCTATCGGGCCAGAGGGGGGCTGAATCGATGGCAATTTCTGTGAGTGAATCATGGAGTCTTTTGGTCTCTGATATGCCGTGTCTAAATCATGCGCAGTTTGGATTGCCAAAATGACTTGTCCGAGTCCATCACCAAGCTTAACCCCGAGTCCAAGCTATTCGTGCTGAGAGAAGCTCCCCAGACGCTGTTTCCCAAACTTTTCAAAGCCTGGAAGGTTACACATCTGGTATTTGAAAAGGATACAGATTCCTATGCTCGTGAGCGCGATAGCGTTGTCATCCAAGCAGCCAAAGATGCTGGTGTTGAAGTCATCATCCGTTCTGGTCGAACCTTGTGGGATAGTGACCAGGTCGTTGAAAAACATATGGGAAAACCCACCATGTCAATCTCCCAACTGCAAGCAGCAGGGAAGAAAGTTGGAGACATACGCAAACCGATTCCAGCTCCAGACTACCTCCCAGGCCCCGGGGACATGCCTGTCGATTTTGACCAAGACCATCCAGAGACAAAACCCGACCTCAACTCCGAGCAGAGAACAGAAACAGACACAGGATACAACAAGATTGCGGGACCAAATGGAGACTTTGCTATCGAAACAATGGAGGAACTGGGCTTCCCGTCTGCCACGACTCCACACCGAGGAGGTGAAACCATTGCTTTGAGAATGCTTGATAAGATCATCGCGGACAAGAGGTACACGGCCACATTTGAGAAGCCCATGACGAGCCCTGCTCAGTTCGAGCCGCAATCAACAACGTTCCTCTCTCCGTTCCTCCACTTTGGAGCTCTCTCTGTGCGGGAGTTCTACTGGCGCGTTCAAGACGTCGTCACGTCCTTTGGCAAAGGCGCTTCGTCACCACCCGAGAGTCTCACTGGGCAACTGCTCTTCCGGGACATGTATTTTGCAGCCCAGGCGGCACTGGGGCCGGTTTTTGCCCAGACTGCAAAGAACCCATACTGTCGATTTATCCCCTGGCACCTGCCATCGAAGAGGGACCCTTCCACCGGCATGGTAACAGGCGAGTACCACGTGGATTCGGAGGCAGCGGACATCTGGTTCAAGAGGTGGAAGTGGGGGGTTACGGGATTTCCATGGATCGACGCCCTGATGCGACAACTCAGGGTTGAAGGATGGATACACCATCTTGGGCGACACAGTGTCGCCTGTTTCCTCACGAGAGGCGGATGCTATATTGACTGGGAGCGCGGTGCCGAAGTCTTTGAAGAATGGCTATTGGACCATGAACCAGCCTGCAACGCGGGGAACTGGCAATGGCTTTCTTGTACGGCCTTCTTCTCTCAATACTTTCGGTGTTACAGCCCCATCGCGTTTGGTCAGAAGTGGGACAAGCAGGGAAATTTCATCCGCCGATGGGTACCTGAGTTGAACGGCATGGATGAGAAGTACATATACGAGCCCTGGAAAGCCCCCCTGTTAGACCAGAAGAAGGCCGGAGTCCGCATCAAGGGCAATGGGTTAACTGAGGTGGAAAAGGGGACATATCCCAAGCCAATGTTTGATTTCTCACAGAGACGAACCGTGTGTCTTACCGCCATGAAGACGGCCTACAATGTCAAACTTTATGGTAATGACAGTCGAGTCCTGGATGGGACTTGGCGTGACATGTTCCCGGACGGTGCTGAGACGGAGATGCAAGGAGATTTTGGTGGCGACGACAACGGAGGCCACCAAGAAAATAAGCACGGGGGAAGTACGAGCAAACGAGGTGCCGGTAAAGCCAACGCCAACACATCATCCAAGAAGCAGAAGACGTTGATTTAACACACTTCGAAATACTATCAAAGCTGTAGTTCGACCAAGAGTAGATGTATATTACATGTTCAGTTGGACTAGAAACCTTCGCCTATCTGAGTATACTGTTCACCTTTGAATGGACTGGGTATATGGTCTGTATTGTTGATACTATGGTTGGTCTTTTTTTTTTATTTTTTTTACTGTTGAGCTTCTAGTCTCTCCTCTGGGTATGTGTGTACTAGGGCACCCTAACCTCTTGATATTAGATGTTCAGCTGTCTCGTACAAAAGCATCAAAATTGCTCCTTTGGGTCCGCTAAGCGGGACCACTCCATCGCCCAGAGTTGATGGTCTTTCATAGTCTGTTTATCAGTGGCTCTGGTCTGATTGTCGAAGGCGATCTCTGAGAGATGGCGGAACATTTCCGGTCTTCCATTGATGGCTGCGGCGTAGAGATGCTGTTCTGCCTTCTCCACGTCGCTGGACCGCAGCAGTTGACCAAGCTCAACGTCCGCCTCCGAGGAACCAGAACTCGGTATCGCCTGGAATGCCTCTTTCGCTTCTGCAGGCCGTTGAAGCTTCACGTATGCCTTCCCAAGGTACAGTTGGCACTGGGACTTCCATTCAAAATCCTCCCCGTCGAGAAGGAGAGCCCGTTTTAGGATCTTGGCCGCGGCGTCGTGCTTCCCAAGCTCGTAAAGCATCTCGCCCTCAACCGTCAGGGCATTGGGGTCCTTCCCTTCGGAGACCAACTGCTTGAACCGGGTTTCGACCTTTCTCAATTGCAACTTTTGGCCCCAGGCGTGCGAATGGATGAGTTGCCTGGCTAGGGAAAGGGTGGCAGGACGGTGACCCATGTCTGTGGCGGATGCCCACATTGCAACGGCAAATGATTGCGAGCTTCTAGGCTCCCTGATGTGTCTCATGATACAGCCGACATCATACAAGACGCGGGCGGAAATGGCATTTTCTGACACCACTGATTTAGCCGCTGATCAATATGAGAGGTATCCCGGAAATTACTCACGTCCTGCTAGCCTAACACTCCAGGGAGATGAGCCCTTCTGAATCGCCTCGGCAAATCTCCGTGCAACCTCATAGTACTGCGCTGGGGGCAGACTGTCGAACAAGCCAGACATCTTGATCACGTCCTCAAATGTCTGCAGCGTGATGCCTTCAAGATTGTAGACCTCGACAAATGATGGCCCCACCTTTGGCGCACGCGGTGCACGCGGCGTACGCGGCGCAGCGTATGAACGAGTTTGACAAGTTTCGTGAGAAATGAGCTGCCCTGAGCGAACAGCGTGTAAACTTGACAATGTGAGTGCCGCCGATGGTGATGCTGAGCTGGAACTCAGCAGCTGGTTGCACATCTGCCGGGCCCTCACATGGCGAGACATGGTGGTAAACTGGGTAATACAAGTGGCAGTAGTGAGCGCTGGGTCAAATTTGATATCCCAATTCGTCCGCTTCGTCGAAAGGGAAGCGATTCTATAAGTGAGGTTGAAGACCCCAAGTTGTGTGATTGCGTGAGGTTGGATGGAGCACCAGCCACACATGAGGCAGCCACAGCCCAGTGGGCCAATCACGGGCCGCATGACTTCAAGGTGAACAAACACTCACCGAAAAACCGACCTCAGATATAATTTTTTTTCGAGATTGGTCGACACCAGTTTGTGACAACAAAACCCACGCCCCAACGCAACAACGCAACAACTCACAGTACTCTTTTGACTCCCTGTCGTTGTAAATTTTACGGCGCACAGGGCACGGAATACGTTTATACCTTCTTTTCGCGCCTTAGCCGCATTAACGGCTCCTGAATCTCATCTCACTCTCACTCCAAATTCCTCCGCCATCTAGTCCCACACGCAAACAATGGCTCCAGCAAAAACCCGAAAGAGAAAGTCGGGTCAGGACTTGCCTACCTATAAAACCATTGATTCAGCCAGCCCGGAGGACTCTAAGCGTCAAAGAAAGTTGCCGGTGAGAGCCAAGGATGGCGAGGCCCCCACAGCCACTTCAACACCCGCGCAAGGGAGCATGAAGGTGTTCACGGATGAAGACGACGCGAAGCCGGTCTCAGTGGCACCTTCGAAGGCCGCTGCTCCGGCCCTTGAGGAGGAGGAGGAGGAGGATAGCGATGATGAGGCGCCAGAGGCTGTGTCAACCAGCAAGGTAGCATCTGATATCAAGAAGTCCGCCCAAGCAGCCCAGAAGGCCGCTCGAGAGTGAGTCTCCTCCATTATATGTCTTCCCTGGTCACGAGCGTTTATTAACCCGTTCTACCTAGACAAGCCGCGGAGCTGAAGCGTAAACGCCAGCAAAGAGACACCCTCCTCAAGCAACAAGCTGAGGAGCGCAAGAAGGCTGAGGAAGAAGCCCTGGCAGCTGAAGACACAGTCCAGAGCGAGTCGCTCACCAGGAAACGACAGACCGTTAAGGTCCAGGTGCCCAACCTCCTACCCGCCGAATTCCTCACGGACTCGTCGAGCGAGGATGAGGCCGAGGACGACAGGTTGGTCTCCGCCGGGCGCCCAAAGAGGAGAAAGATCACCACAATTCAGAAGAGTCTTGCGCGCGAGTCCAGGGGGCCCCGAGATGAAAGGGTTGGCTCCACCGTGTATCGCGTGGCGAAGAAGGTGGACGAGCGGATGGCCCCGAAGTTGGGCAAGTATGCCAAAAGTTCGAGGGATTTACTGCTCAAGAGGAATCGCACCGCCGTCAAACCTCAGCGCTCGGGCTTCTTGGTAAAGAAGTGAGGTCGAAGTTACAGTGTAATCAGTTACGTTACGTCTTGTTTGCTTTTTGTCCCAACAAACTCTTTGGAAGCGGTCAACTTGGTGCCATATGCACTCATGTCAGACTGTCGGGGTCGATTACTCCACATGCAAATCTTTCTGGCCGCCTAGAGCCGCATGTTGCGGATCAAAACTACGTCGCATGCAGGAGGAACACAAGGTGGTATCAAGAGGAATGCACGGTACTTAGAAATGCATCCAGTTATAAGGGTATTCAACAAGGACCAGCACGGCTTTAGAAAGGACATAACCAAAATTTGTCGTCCGGACTTTATCTTAATATCCCACAGTGTAAAGAGTTACGTTGGCAGTTTAGGCCAGCGAATGCATATATTTAGTTCACAGCTTTCTTTCATTCACACGGTCATATTGGACGCGCCATACCCTGGACCACATTGTGTGACAACTTCATTCTGATACCATGTGAAGGCCATCTCGCTTAGCAAACCAGGTACGCGGCTACTCCACAGTGAAGGTGTTGCCACCCAAAGGGCCCACGGAGGATGTTTCCGACTCAAAGCAAATCAACCCGACTCCACGGCGAGGGAATTCACAATTAAATTAGAACTACCGACGCAACGCTGACCATTAGGAGTTCTTAGTCAACCCCTAGCCAGCCAACAGACTTGGGACCCAACTCGGCTGCGTTCGAGGGTAAAATACGTCGCTAAGAACTCGCGTACCTTTTGCAGGGCTCACCTGGACAAAACACCCAGACGGCCCCAACAGCGGGTGACAGGGCAATAATGTGGTCAATATCCTGTGGGCCGCGTGTTGGTTGGTGCTTGTCAGTGTCAGCTGCGTGGCGACGGTCGTCACAGCATCGCTTCGTGCAGGTGCGAAATGTGAGACCGGGACATGGGCGGAAGGACAGAAACACAACGGGGACTTTTGACGAACCGGAATGCAAGGCTGGCCACGCAGGTAATTGAGAGCTGCAGTCTGCAGCTTCATATCCAGTAGTGGGGGAAGATGGACTCACTGCTGCCATTCCCCGCGTCAAGGTGCATCCGGTGGTGGACCAGTGATTGAGACCCATTGAGACCCATTGAGACCAGCCAGGAGCCGAGACGTTTCCAACAGGGCTGTTCCCTGTTCAAGGGCACGATAACGACCAGCGCAGTCGGCGTGTTGCGATTGGACAGCTGCGACAACCGGTCAGTGGAAAGGATGAAGCCTCGAGTGGGGAGTGAAGGCCTCAGTAGGAGACTAAACGCTCAACCCCAAAGGATTGCAAGTGTTCGCAAGAAATACCAATTGGGTTTCTCCGTTGGCCCTATTGTAATTAGTCGTCGCGAAGTTGCGGTGGGGGGGCCGAAGCTCGGGAGATGAGGACGAAAAGGAGGGTGACGGGGATGAAATCAATAGTGGCAATACCCATGAGGCTATAACAAGTGACATATATGTCAGAGTAAGCTACCAATCCCTGGACCCGAGACAAAGAAACAACTTCCCAAACAACTGTGAGGAAGGAGAGACAACTTGGCCGGTAGTAGGCAAGTAGGCAAGCCGGGACACTGCACAATTCTCCAACTCTCCGGGGTAAGCATAAGTGCTGCGCCTCGGCACTCGCAATTGTGGGGCCTTCTGATACCAACTCTTGTCCCAAGCTCTGTCGCGAATATTGAGAGAGTTGGTACGGCACATCCGTTGCTTCAGGACTGGAAGGGGATGGAAATATCATGCTTGCAAATTTGGAAGCCAGAGTTGATGAGACAACTTGTTGGCCAGTCGGTGCCTCTTGCCGTGGCTCTGCTTTCCTCGGGAGATCGACGCAAGCAATTAGACGCCCTGACTCGTGGCTCGCTGGAAGACATGGCGTATGGGCTGTTATTGGTGATCGACGTGGAGAGGGACTGAGCCACCAACGAAGCCCGGAGCCTCTAGCTAGCGCTCTTCTAGAATCGGATGCTTACCCGGCCAGGCAGTGATAGTGTCGCCACGTGGTTGCAAGGTGACAGCCAGTGTCAGTCAAGTGGCAAGACAGGTTCGAGCGGGCTACATGGAAGCCATACCTGGAAGCTCTGGAAGTCATTGTGGCAAATCATCACTGGAAATCTCACAGTCGGTCGGCGTATTTCCTATGATGCATTACACCAGTCTCTTGCACTGCCAATATCGCTTTCAGCCTCCACATCTAGGTAGTGTCCCTACAACGGAGTAAGTTGGCTGTCAGCTGTGTGCTTCCTCAATCCGGAATATGGAAGCGACACCCGCGCCTACCAGTCATTGTTCGTATGGAAAGGCTAAAATAGTTTGGATTAAAAAAAGCAATAACGGTTCACCGATCACGACGACGGAACAAATCTGCGGGGAATTGTCAACACTGTCCCAATCTCACAAGAGCGCTGGCGATGACGCCAAGAGCTTGCGCGATCTCGGGCGGCAAAATGCATGCAATCCTGCGCTTCGTCCACAGGAAACTCGCGATCTGCGTTCTAGGGCCAAGCAAGCTGAATGACGAGCCGATACTGATGGCTTCCAGGGCGTGATTCGCTCTGGCTGCAATGCGGGCTAAGATGGGGCGCACTAAAGATCATCACCGGGCTAAACTTGCATTGAAGAGGCAAAGCCATGTGCCGCCGTTGTACCCAGGACTTGCCCAAGCCTCAAAAGACCGGCGTGTTGAAAGCTCCAAGCCGTCTGCACGTTAGGTCCGTGCCATAGTTCAGGGTGGCAGCTGGTTGGACACGTGTGTTTCTCCCGCCGCATTGAAAGGGCCGTGGCGTTCAAGTTGTGCCGAGCGGGGGTGGGAGATGGATCCTGGAATCCTTCTCGAAAGCGGCGGAGAGAGAGACGCAAATGGGATGGGGATGGGACGGAAAGGAAACGGGCTTAGGACAAACTGGAGGCATCTGGTAAAACGGATGCGAGTCGTCGGCGCTGGTAAACCCGATCCCCGTTCCCAGAAAAGGAAGTCGTGTGTCTGTCACCACGAGAGTGACCGGTCAGGTATCAATGCTAGATGGGACACACTGACATGGGAGAGCCTGGTACCGCTAACATCCGCGCTCGGACGTGATGCACCTGGTCAATCATTAACCCGGCATCCCCCAGTCTGGCGACACAATCGAGACGGGTGTCTAGTATGTTGTGTGCCAGTGTGTGGGAGCTGTGGCGAGGAGGAACAGCGGCAGTCAAGATAATGCCGGTACCAGATGGGGATGTGGGAAGCTGCAAGATCGGTTTTCGAGATTCGGTGAAGAGCTGTGATGAGATGAGTTTATCCACCGGCATAGAGTGCCGATGAAGGAAGGCTGGTGGCTGTTTGGGTCTCAAATGCATTGCCCATCTGCCCGTCTGCCGGTGACATCCTTTGGCTTGCCCCCTCGGCTTGCCCCGACGCGGCTCGTCCGGTCTCGTCTCATCTCTTCCACCCGGTGAAGCAGATGTCGACGGAGGATTCGCTGGGCCACGCACTTGGAACACGGGCGGGCCACGGAAGCACCCTAGACCGACGGCCATCCACGAGCCGGATACTGCCTTGGTTGGTACAAAGTCGAGCCTATCGTCGTTTGACAATGCGGACTGGAAGTTGGAAGGGCTGCAGGTTGACCGTTGCTCCGTACAAGAAGGAACATCGCCGCCGGGTGTTGCCAGTCGCTAGCTGCGTCTCTTACGTCGGGTTGCCCGTGGTGGGCCACGTCAAGACCAACAGAGACTGAAAGGAAACTTTGTTCCAGGGACCAAACCAAACAAAGCTATATAACTCGGGTTGTATATGCGAGTGACCTTGGATTGGGAAATGTACGGCCCATTTGTCCCACAAGGACAAGAGGTAACCGAGCAGAACGGCGTATTCATTTCCGATTTGGATTCCGCAATTGGAGATTTCCAAGGCTAGGTCAGATGGGAAGGAGCGACGCAGGGCCAAGGTGCATCACGGCTGGACCCATGTGCGCGCTAGACCCATATAAGGACTAGCCCACCGCCGTTGCTCTTTCCAATGTCACGGCACACGGGAGGCCCCTGCTTGCCCCGCTCACCGTCACCACGCCGCCCATCCACGCGCATTGGTACACTCGCCCACTGCAAAGATTCGTTCTAACAAGGAGTCGAGCTGCACATTCGTCTTGCTACGGCTCAAAGTAGACGCTACAGTCGCCGCCGCCGTGGCCGAGGCAGTGCGGCTGCCAGTACTTTATCCGCTGACTTATTAGGATGGGTTGTGGCTGTTTGTTTCTCCTTCAGGCCACTCGCCCGGCTGCCGCGCACGGTTCGTGTAACGATGGCTACCTATGGGCGATCTCGAACGAAGGGCGGTTTCTCAAGGCGTTTATTACTCTGCAGTAGTCGATAAGCTGGCGCGGGCAAGCCAGAATTTAGCTTTCCTCTGCCGTGGTTCTGAGGCGCAGGCCTTTCGAGTTTCTTGTGAGACAGCCCTGCCATAAAATGGTCCGACGCAACGAGAGTCAAGACTCAGGAAGTTGCGTGCACCTTTGCAGCCATAACCCCGGCCCCAGCGCATGGGTTGCATCCTGGGTTCGCTATCCGGCCACCCGTCTCCTTTCCTTCCAGGCCGGTCTAGTCTTGTCCCTGCTTGGCGACATGACAGGGCAGCAGGCCGCACGGAGCGCTATCGGTACTCTTGCTCGGTTCGATGGTGCACTTGACAGCTGCACTATCAGCGCATTTGACTCTCGTCAACGAAAGTGCCCGCCCTTGGCAACGTGTGGAAGGCGAGCGATGACCAGGTTCCCATTGAGGCTTGAGGGCATTGGGACTAGGGTGTCATCGGTAAGAGAACTACGGGTACGTACTTGCTGGCTCAGTGTCTGGGCTGGCAAACCGGGAGATGGGTGTAGCAGCTGCCAATATCGCATACAGTATCTCTTCACACTGTGCTTGCTTCATGCAAAACCCACCGGCGATGGAGCGGATCGTCGACGTGTCTGGGGGACGCCGCCAACAACCGTTTGGAGGCTGTTCTGTTTCAGAACAGATACGGATTTGGCACACGTACCTGGACACTACGTACCCCTCAACCCCCCTGACACCGGGGATCCTGTCTCACCTTCATTTCTTCTTTCGTCTCCGAATTCTTCAACGGCGACGGGAGGCTCCCACGAGGGACGGGAGGGACCTCGCCGTAACACCCCGTTGCAGATGCCGTCATCGTCCGCGGTGGCCACCACCTGCTCAGTCCGTCTCAGCCAGCGTCCGATCCCACAGGGGTTATACCGAACCTGAGGGGCCTGCATCGCTCATGGGTGAGTTGCGTCAGTTAACTGGGTGCATAACGAAGATGGAGCAGTACCCTATCACTATCCGCCCGCCCGCATTTCACAAATGGCCATGTGTTGAGGGTTTGTTTTCCTCTAGTGCATCGCTGTCTTCTTTTTGCTAGCCCTAGCATCTGTCGAATCATCTTCGTAGTTAGTTTTCGAGGTTGGATTCGTCGCTCGCCTTGTTTTTAGAACAAGTTTCATGCAATGCGACTCACCGGGCAGATCGTGACGCTACCCAGCTTCTCCCAGTATTGCTTCGTTGTATCGAAGGCAAGTTGTTTCCTGCAAGCACTTCCAATTGTCGACTCGTGACTGTCTGATACGACACCTGGCAGGGATGTGGAGTTACGCGCATCTCCTCCACTTCCGACAGATTTGGACGCCAGTGCAACAAGGAACCTTTTTTGCGACAAGATGTAAAATGAAACACGGGGTTGAAGGATTACTATAGTATACGGATACATACTAATACGTACTGGAATACGAACGTGTGCTTCGCCTCAGCGTCCCAAGCTTTAGAACAAGGACACTCCCGAGGACCCGTTGTCGGCCGTGAGCGCTGGCCGCCGGGTTGGAGAGTGGCCGTGCTTGGAACGAAAAACGGGGGTCGGGAAAATGCTGGGAGAACTTGAGACAAGACAGTCTTGGCTAAACTCCTGGGGGATTCTTGACATCTTCTCTCATTGTTCCATTCATCCACACGGCCCGTCCCCAGAGTACATGATGGGTGCTGCACATGACACAGCAATCGAGAGATGCTCCGATTCCCGCAGTACGCAGTGGAGGCGCATCAATGGAATGCACAGTGCATCATTACTGGCCGCATCATCTGCAACCTCTCACGTACATCCCCCTTGGATGAGAGATATTCAATGTCCACGACGTCAGGTTGAGTCGGCAGCTGCAGAGCGCAGTGTGGCGTGTGAGGACGGGTCGAGCCAGCGTATTCAGTCATTCAAGTGAGACACCAGCCGTTCCTCTGCCTCTTCCTTGCCTTAGTGCATTGGTGCTGTCGACATTCCACGACCCACTGATCTGGACGGCACAGAAGTGGCGACAACGATGGGAAGCCCAGCCGCCGGCCGGCCGCCTGCAGGAGCCGGAGCTTGAGTTGGCGGATACCTATACAGAGGGTGATCAGTGGTTACGGCCACGTGAAAAGGTCCCGGCCGAGTTGCCTGGCCGCTTCTGCGGGTCAAAAACCCAGAGGTGTCCCTGGAAGAACCCCTGGATCCCTGAACGGCCCTGGCCCCAGCCCGTAGAACAGGGACAGACGTCCATGGTAATAATTCTGGGATGTGCCCCACAAGACCGCTGTCTGGCCCACGTCGCACGGACTACTGCGTAGCGGCACCGTGGCGGGAGCATGTACCTTGGGATGTACCGTATACACGGGCAACTTGGCCACCCCAACGCGAAGCTTGCCCATTGCTCTCGCTAGCCTGGGCGATGGTATTTCTCTGGAGGCCTGATCCTGGAATGGCCCTGACCCTAGCCCTGATGGCCTCTCAGGACTGGCGTGGTTGGACTCAGGAGATGACTGGGCTGCTCAGAACGACGCTGTCCGGCTGGCGGCCGTGACTCTTGCTGTATGTAGGTAGGCACAAAACCACTTGTAGGACCCAGTGACGACCTAGGAAGCTCCTGGGCCCTGAGGCGCGCTGTCGAAGCCGCTGTGGCGCCCCTGGAGCGACCGCTGGACCGCCAGGTCTTAGACGGCCAACCGACCTCTGGGTCGCCTAGGTGGGACCCCTGTTAATGCTTGCAACAGGGCCCCGCCCGGCAACCATAATGAGCACTCTAGCAGGCTAGGGGAGTTACCCAGCCGGAGGTGCGCCCTCCTAGCAGCGCCTTCACCAGCGTCCTGGTGCTGTCCGGAGGACGGGGTCAGTGTCGGTCGGGAGTAGCACCAAGCTCCTACCAAGCACCAGGGCCAGCAACAGGCCGGGCTTGCTGCTAGGTAGAGGCAATGGAGTAGTCCTGGTCGTACGGTGCAAATGAAATCGACGAACAATTAAAAGTCGCTTTGGCCCGCTCCGCCCGCTCCTCCAGTTCCGCCCTCTCTCGGTGCTCTCTGGTTATACCTACCGTACCTACCACTCTCCTTCCCTCCCGTCTCCCCCCTCCTTCCTTCCCCCCTTCCCAAAACCCACTCCTTCACTTACTCGCACAACACAACTCAACATCCACGACGCACCAACGTCTCCTTCAGCTGAGAAGGAGTCACAATAAAAAAGAAAGACGAAAGACGACAGGCCGTACGACGTACACGATACACGATCCCCACTGTCCGGCCCTACGACAATTCTTCATCGGACGAGCCCGCGACTCTAAAAAGCAAAGACATCGCCTGACGACTACCGTGGTGCGACGATTGTGGCTGCTTCTGCCGTTAGTGGAGAAGAATTCGGGTGTCACGTCCCAAAGTGAGCGACGACCAAGGATCAGGAAGACATCGCGCATTTTGCTAAAAAGCAAAAGTATCGGAATCCAGCGCAGCGTAACCCAACTTTGCGACCGCGGCCGACCGTTGTTCTCGAGCCGCCGGATTCGCCCCGACCCGTTGATAATCCAACGTCTCCTTCTTTTCCCACATCCTCTTCCACTAGGAATTTGAAAGCAATTCCTGACGGCTGTGCCGAACACTTCAATCACCGGCAGCACTCAATCCTGGCTCAGACGGTGCTGCAAGCAAGGTGTGTAGAGTCGCATCGCATCGCATTACACTGCATTTTGCGTCGCAACCCCCGCGATCTTGCCTACTTTTCCCAGTCCACCACCACTTCCATTTCCCGCCCTCAGCTTTGAGTTAGCGATTGCAGTGCCCAAAAGGGAACTTCGCTCGCGCCTGGGGTTTCTTGGATCTCGCATCATCATGCACAGGCCATCCCCGCCATCTCCCCTCTAATTAATTGCCATCGCCCACGCCATCACCCGAAACACGATCCGTTCTCTGTCCCACACCCTCACTAGTTTCTCACGCGACGTCTAGATCCGACCCCTATTCCGATCCCTCGACCTCTTCGATCGATTGCGCAGATGCAACTCGTTAACCCTGCTATGCGATTATCATTCATCTAGCATCCCTTGCTACGCACCGAAACTCCACAGATCGTGCTCCACGATAGCAGTTTTCCACGTAAATGTTCCGTCGACATCACAAGAATCAGGGTTACGGCGCGCAATCAGGTTCTACCAAAAACTCGGGCGACGACCACGGCTTCACCTCGAACCTTCGCGATCTTGGTATACTTGGCTCTCGCTCCTCGAAATCCATCGCCTCCCGCCCTGAAACTGGCTCAGCATCTCAGCAGTTCTCTGATGTGCCTACCTTTCCAGAAAAAGGTATGTTTGTTGCGTCTTTGACTCACCTCGGACTGGAGATGCCCCGCCCGCTGCATCGTGGATTGCTTTCTGAAAGAATCTTGAGGACTGTTACCAGTAACTTCTTACTGACTCTGTCCTTCCAGGTCGATCAATCAAAGCGGGATCTATTAGGACCTACTACGGCCAGGGATCTAACTCGTCCGCTGCCTCAGTAAGATCGGGACTCAGCAACGTCTCGCGCCGAATCGGTGGCATAGATAACAACGTCATGGCGACCAACACAGATAGAAGCCGCTCTCGAAGAGAGCGGACTTTCGTGGGTAGCGAGTGCGCTGTGTGCGAGGAGCCCCTCGAGCACACTCTCCGTGGAGAGCGAATCCTTCAGTTTTCATGTTCCCATGTTTCTCATGAGGCATGCTTTTACGAGTTCATTCGCGAATTCGAATCACAATATTGCCCGACATGCGACGCGCCACTTCACCTGGATACCAGCCGAGGCGGTAATGTAATCGATATTGGTATGTCATCTAACCACATTGAAAATATGAGTTGGTTTCTAATATGAACACAGAAAAAATTAGTAACATCGTGCGCTCTGTCGGTAATGACTCGCGAGCAGCCTTTGACTCTCGACCGGCCTTTGACTCTAGAGCCGCCTTATCCCCGACGCCTACTGCAACACCGTGGGACAACCAGACTGTGCGCCCGCCCAGTCTTGAGAGCAACCAGAGGCGGCTCATGCAACAACAGTCTTCCAGCGCTAGCGGCCGAGAGAGTGCCACGCGAGGCATGAGAGATAGTCGAGAAGCGCCCCTGTCAGAGCGGTATGGGACTTCACGCCACGCCCGGAGCGACAGTGAGGCTACCGGAGTAGCATCGTCAGGAGGATATCCCGAGACGACTCAGAGTGGGCCTCATCGCCGCCATGACTACGATGTCCAGGCTATGGAGACGACACCTGCAAGCCCACGCCCGATTACTCGCAATCCCATTCCGGCTCCGATCGTCACTGTCCGCTCAGAATTCCCAACTATGAACCGATCGCGACAACAGCAAACCCTCACTTGCCTAGTTACCGTTGAGGTACCCGATAACAAGTGGCGGCCGGATCCCGAAGATTTGGGTGTCCCCGCACCGCAGCCCACTGCTAGCAACCACCGCATTGACGCAGCTTTTGGTGGACGCCCGCCATCTCCTGCCAGAAGCGCGCCACGATTCTACCCCTATGAGTCGGCAGAGGTTTTGGAGGAGATGACGGAGAGCCTACGCAATCGCGTGGATAATTGGCATGGCCTAGACTTTAGCCGGTAAGTGGTGGCGTTCACCTTCACCCCGAAGCGCAGACATGACGGCTAACATAACCTAGATTCGGAAAATTGAGGCTCTATGGCACCCTAAGGGTCGGGAAGGATAAAGTATCTTGGCAGGAGCTGGAATGCTTTCTGTTCGCCGAGATGCTTATTTGCGTTAAGGAGAAGAAGCTCCCGCCACAGCTGGCGCAACAATGGGATGACAATGGTGCGCCCCGTAAGACGACACGATGCACGCTGAAGGGCTCAATTCTCATCAAGAAACACCTGAATGAGGTGGCAGAGACTGGTACCATCGACGAGAACGTCCTAACACTCAGCCTCTCGGTTGCCGAGTTGCCCCAGTTCCACCTCCGATTTGAGAACCGAAATCAGCTCAAGTTGTGGCAGCAGGCTTTGGTGGATCTGAACGCCGTCGAAACATCTCCTATGCGGAGCCCTGAATATGATCGTGAAGAGGTATCGGAGACTGACGAAGAACTTGAATGGCAACGATCAGCATCACGCCCCCAGAGGGTCTCTTCAGTCACCTCCTCGTGGGGTGGTGCCCGGTCAGCTACAACGGCTCCTACCGAGTACACCAACTTCCCCAAGAGCCCGGTGCTGAACTCTATCCATGTCCCCATCGACGTTGTCATCGTGGTTCCCATCTCCTCATCTATGCAGGGAGTTAAAATCAACCTTGTCCGCGATGCCTTGAAATTCATGGTCAACACCCTTGGCGAGCGTGATCGCATGGGTCTGGTTACCTTTGGATCGGGAGGTGGTGGTGTCCCGATCGTCGGCATGACCACCAAGGCTTGGCCAGGCTGGAGCAATGTCTTGTCCTCTATCAAGCCTGTTGGCCAGAAGAGCCATCGCGCCGACGTGGTTGAGGGCGCTAACGTTGCTATGGATCTGCTCATGCAACGGAAGCACAACAACCCCATTGCGTCCATCATGCTGATCAGCGATGCATCCACTTCCGATGCCGATAGCGTGGATTTCGTCGTCTCGAGAGCTGAAGCTGCCAAGATTACCATCCACTCTTTCGGGCTTGGCATGACCCATAAGCCTGATACCATGATCGAGCTTTCCACGAGGACCAAGGCCTCGTACACCTACGTTAAGGACTGGATGATGCTCCGAGAATGTCTTGCAGGCTGTCTTGGTAGCATGCAGACCCTATCGCATCAGAACGTCAAGCTCAAGCTCAAGCTTCCCGAGGGCTCGCCGGCCAAGTTCCACAAAATCAGCGGCGCACTGCAGATCACGAAGCGAGCCACTGGACGAGATGCGGAGGCGTCTCTTGGCGACCTCCGGTTCGGCGACAAGCGTGACATTCTCGTCCAATTGGTTATTCTCCCCGACAACGCGTCTCAGGAGCAACTCCCTCAAGACCCGTGGGACAACATCGTTTCGGGTCTCGAGGCCCTCGGCGGGTCGATGGATACCGATGGTGAGAGAACGCTCTCGGTTGAGGAGGTTCCTTTGATCCAGGCCGATCTCAACTGGGGCGACATCCTGCGTGATGGCACCGTCACCCACATGCCTCGACCATCTCTGTTGGCCATCACTATGCTGCCAGCTACCTCGAATTCGAAGAAGCCGTGGCAGAACTCGCCGCCCATTCCGCCTCACCCCAGCATCGTCCAGCGTCGCATGGAATTGCTTACCTCTGATATGCTTACTCGAGCCCTGACTCTGGTGAGCCGCGGTCAGCACGATCGTGCACACACTCTTCTGAACGAGACTCGCTCGATTCTGAAGGGTCTCGGAAAGGGTGGCCTCCCCCCAATCCCTCCCATGAATAACAGGTCGACACCTTCGACGCCTCACCCTGCAAACGATAGCCACTCTGGCTTATCGACCACCCCCGATCGCAAGAACAGCCCCTCGCCGCCAGCCTCGGCAACATCTTCTGGTGCCAACGGCTTCCCAACTTCGTCGCAGATTGCCCGCAGCCGCTCCAACGATGGCTTGGGCCTTGGCGCTGGTATTGACGTGACCACCGTCAATGCCTTGGACCTGGAACTTGAGAGTAGTCTGGAGTGGATTAACCACCCCGCCGTCTTCAGCCGGGACAGCCGGAAGGCAGTTTTGCAGGCGATTGGCGTCATCAGCTCACAGCGCGCCTTCACCTTCCGAACCCCCATTGAGGGTCTTTGGTCTGCCCGTGTCGGCGGTGTCAGACGCCTCACCGAGAAGAGCCGTGAATGGCGTGAGGATGGCGGCGGCGAAGTTGGCATTATGGAGGAGGCGTAATCGTTTTCTCCTCTTGAGACTGGTTTTCTCCAGCATCTTTATCGGCGCTACAACGGTTGGCGTCTGGTTTTCCGGCTTGGTTTATGACCCTAACGACCCAATTCCTGGACGTTCCCCATGTCCTTTTCTCTACCTGCATTTTATGCGGCGTGTGATGCACGCGCTTGTTCTGCTTGTTTGGACATCGATACCATCTCATCATACCCTATCCAAACGTCCCCTCTTGGGGAGTTTGACAATACCCCCTTTCCCATTTAGGCGCACCTCGTATCTTGGCTTTGACTTGTACTGGCTTGATTTTCTTGTTTGATCGGCAATCTGTTTGCCAACAGCACAATGGTTGGCTGTTTCTCTCATGCTATCTCGTACAAGCTCCGATTTGTTGAGAGAGAAGAAATAGGTGTTACGAGACGAGGTCGCGCCCTCTGGGCGATTTAGTTTTTTGTTGGTCGTGTTTCTGCGCTTTTTGGCCTATACCACTGGTACTTTCCCGGTTGTTTGATTTTCATATATATAATTCATGTGCCGGACGGTCTTTGACTGATGCATATATATACATACCTTGATATATATCTGTACCTGGCTAGCTAGATATGCGCAACGTCGAAGAATTTATGAGTTCAACCACCAATGTCCTTGACCAATAATTTGTCACTGTTGAAACAGGTTTATCGATGGTGCGACAACTCGTGGATTCCCAGAGGTCAGCTTGGCGGAAGCTTGATGACATTAGGTATTGTCGTAAAGGTGTGGCATTACTGGGCGACGATCCCTGGGTATATTCCAATAAGAAGTCCCCGGGTCGGTTGGTACTCTAGGTGATATGCGTAGCAACTCTCTTGCACGCCATACGTTTTTCCCCTTCCATCCATCCACCTGCACATGCAGAAACCGCCTCGTTGGGGACATCTAATCATCCGTGCCTCGAGGGTTTTTACATTGAACCGTTCCCTTGCCTTGCCCAGCCTCCTTTAAATGCGGCGCCATCATTTAGTCCTCATCCCAGTTCTGTACACAATGGTTAGCAACAGGGAATGCACCAGTAGGTTACGGTTGAGAACATACAGGGTTGGGGCCCGGAGGCTTTGGTCCACCAGCTTGTCGTGCCACGATGATCTGGTCGACCGAGAGGACTGTTCGGGCAGCCTCGGTAGCGAGCTTGATGGCCCAGGTCTTGGAAATGAGAAGATCGAGGATACCCTCATCCTTGGCGTCCAGAGTGCCGGTGTCATCATCGTTCTAGGGCTGTGAGTTAGTATCGCTCTGGGCTAAAGTCAGGGGCATTCAACTCACGTCGATATCAACACCAGTGTCCCAGTCCTCGTTGTTGTGGTGGGCAGCATACAGTCTGCTCAGAACCTCGGTGGCGTCCAGACCAGCGCTCTCGGCGATGAGACGGGGCACAACCTCGAAGGCCTCACCGTACTTCTTGATGGCGTATTGGCTTAGACCCGGGGTCTTCTCGCCGTGGGCCTGTATCCTCTCAACCAGCTCAACCTCTGTGGCACCAGCGCCAGGTACAAGTCGGGGATCTCGTGTGATGGCCTTGACAACGTTGACACCATCATCGACAGCTCGCTCGACGTCGTCGAGATGATTTTGGGTAGCACCACGCAGGACCAGGGTGGCGGTCCTGGTAACCTCATCTTCCTGTCGGAACACAGTAACTCGGTCACCGCCAATCTCGAGAGTCTCAACAACGTCGATGCTGCCCATCTCATCGGGCATTGGAGCACCTAACCGGGCAAGGGGGGTGGCGCCGACGACGCGGCACACTCGTCGCATCTCGAACTTGCTGAGAATTCGGATGCACAGAATGCCGAAGCGGTTAAGGTAGTGCATGGCCAGGTCGCCGACTCGGTCACCGCAGACAACGACGCGCAGGCCAGAGTCGTATAGCTCCTTGATGGTGGCCTCGAGCTGAGTCTCCTCGCCCTTGGTGAAGTCCATCATCTCCTTGGCGTTGTGCAGGAGAACGGTTCCCTTGGTCTCCGTCTGGCTGGTATCGATGGGACAGGTGTACACACCGACCTTGGCGCGGGTGGCCTTCTTGACCGAACCGTTGGGCTCCTTGGGGAAGACCATGCCCCTGACAACTCTGCTCTGATCCAGACTTCCACCCATGATCTTGACGACGCGGATGTTGTCGACGTTGAAGTTGGCCGGGTTCTTGGGCAGGACGGCAAGGACGGCTTCGGAGACGAGTTTAGCAAGGAAATCCTCGTTGCCGTTCTGCTTGCTGGCAATGACGGTGCTGATGGCCTTGCTGAGCTCCTCCTGATCACGGATATCCTCGACCTTATCGACAGCAAGCTCCTCGAGGGTCTCGAGGGCGAACTTTTGGGCCTTCTCGTAGCCGATGACAATATCAGCGGCCTTGAGACCCATGCGCAGCAAGTCCTCAGCTTTTCGGAGCAGCTCGCCGGCAAGGACGATGACGAGGTTGGTGGCGTCACCCATCTCGGCCTCTTGTTGCTGAGAGGCCATGACGAGGAGCTTGGCGGCGGGGTGGACGACGTCGAGTTCACGGAGGATGGTGGCAGCGTCCGAGGTAAGGATCATCTTCTGGAGGTGGTTGATGACGACCTTGTTGCGGCCGTAGGGACCGAGGGAGGTCTGGACGGTGGAGGCGATAGCGCGGCAGGCGTCGATGTTGCGGAGGACGGCGCCATCTTCGGAGTCGTAGCTGTGAGGAGGGAAGAAAGAGAATGGTCAGCGAGGAGTTGTGTGGCAGAGGAAGAGGTGGAGGAAGTGGCAGTGGCTATGGCAGTAACTCAGGCGGTCGTAGCTGGACAAAATGGTGACGATGGATAGATATGTGGTGTATGTGTGCGTGGAGGAGAGGAGAGTGGGGGGGAGCTTCACCCACATCCAGGCAAAGCAGGGACAAAGATATAGAGACGGAGACGAAGGCAATACTTACTTGTTGTAGCCCCCCTTGAAGAGACCCGCGTTAGGGGCGTTGGGGATGTTGAGCGACATGCTGGCGGCCACTACACGATACGTGCAAGTCTGGTCGTTGCGGGATGCTCAGGGGGTGAAGGGTTGGAGGTTTTGGAGGAGAGTCGTCGCTAGCTTCAGTCTCCCACCTTTGGCTCGGAAAATCTTGGGCAATCCAGGACCTTCTGTGGTGGTGGGCGGTGGGCGGTGGGATTTAGTGGGCTTTCTTAGTGGGCTTTCTTAGCGGGCTTTAGTGGGGAGGGAACTGGCTTCAGTGGCAGCCTGCTCTGTACTTGGCTCCAGCCACAGTCTCACAGCCTTGCAGCCTCACAAGCCCCACCCGACGCCCCCCTGAGGCTGGTGCTATCCTTCAGCCTCGTCCCCCTGTGGCGTGCCTACAAAGAAACACCGTACTCGGATGGCTTCCACTGGACCCGTACCCTGGCGCGCCGCGGCTGGTGATGGTGAATGGACATTTTCCGCGCGCGCATTGCTCTTCACACTCCTGCTTAACCATCTCCTCCTCCATCGTCGCGTTCTCCGTCACGACCGGCCATTGACCCACGTCCTCCCGCATAACGCCGCACGATCCAATCCCTGGCCATCGCCAATTGCGCTGCCATCGTCGCTCCCCGTCGAAACCGCCCGAGTTGGAGTCGTCACAGCGCCGCAAAGCGCAGCGCAAGCCCACGCACCTTCTCCCTACCTACACCATACACCACACACACGCTGGGTACCGCCCATCATGCCCGGTAAGCCCTGCTCCTTGCTTTTTTCTTTTTTTTTGCACATTCCCGTGCCTGTATCATGCATATGATCCTCGACTGTGCCTTCCCGGCGCTCTCGCCTTCTGTATCCTCCAATCCTGATGCTGCATCGGCTCTGAATCGCAGCCTCGGGAGCCCACACGACCAGGCTCGAGTCTGTCTGGCCACTCTCCTCACTCTCCCTTGCATCCCTTCCCCATCCACCAGCCTCATCGCCTTTCTCCTCGTCTCCAACACATCGTTCTTTACCTCACAACCTGCCCACTGCTTGCTCGTATCCCATCCGCCATGCCTGTTACTCTGAAGCGGAAAGCCCCCGAAGCTGACAACTCTCGTCCATCATCAGCCATCCCATCCGCCCTCCCCCCCTCCGTCGAGGAGGCCTATCGACGGAAGTGCGTCCAGCTTAAGAACCGCACGAACGAGGTCGAGGACGCCAACGATGCCGCCCGCCTGCGCCTCGCGCGCATCAAGCGTCAGGTCGAGAAGCTCCGGATAGAGCGCGCCTTCTTGCTTGAGCAACTCGCCAAGCGTACCAGCACCAATGTTGAAGACTCCGACGGGAGCCCTAGCCCGCCTCCTACGGTATGGATGCCTTTTTTCCTCTGTCTCTCTGCCTTGCTTTCGGAACCGTACACTGGCCAGCCAACGCGTTGGTCCACTTTCTCACCCTGTTTCAATGTTGATACTTGTGTCCTCCTGGAATAGGACCTCGCCAGTTTAGCTGAGTTGATGGTTAACCCCCGGAAGCCCAAGGATAAGCCACTGCGCACCAAGCGAGGCCATCGCAAGTCCATGGCCGTCGACGTCGACGCCAAGGCCAACCCCGCGGGCTCCTTCACGACCAACCAAGCCCAGTCGCCCGTCTCCGAGACTGCCTCCCACGCCGCCGATGGCCGGGCGAAGGACCGCGCCAATGGCGTCTCCTCTAAGAAGCCTGTCGATGCCTTCGAAGTCTACTGCGACGAGAACCGAGCCTCTCTCGAGGCCAAGAAGAAGGAGGATGGCGATGAAGATCTCAACGTCGAGGACGAGCTAGCCCGCAGCTGGAAGGAACTCCCTGACGCTGAAAAGGAGGAGTTTCAAATCAAGTTCGAGCAATCGGTAGCCAAGGAGACCGAGAAGGACGAGGTGTCGTCTCCGAGGGAGGAGAAGGAGGACAACGACGACAAAGAAGACAAGGAGGAGAAGGAGGAAAGCGAAGCCAAGGACGACAGGGAGGAGAAGTCTGAAAAGGCAGACAAGGCCCAGACCCAGGATGAGGATGTCGAGATGGGCAACTACGACACTGAGGATCAAGACACTCAGGCGGGTGAAAAGGCCGAGGAGTGAGCTACGACTGGTGGGAGGCTTTTCAGGGAGGCGTTTTCGGTGGGTTTATGGATCATCTGTCACATTAATGGCTCGGCTATAGAGCCGTTCGGCTTTACATGGAGAATTGGTACTTGCGCCATCTAGAAAAGAAAGAAGGGAATCACGCAAAAGACACTGTTGCCGCGTATCATGTTCAGTCCTGCCGCGAAGCCATTCTATCTAATACTGTATATTTACATCGGCACTCCGGATTGTACGTTTGAGGTGACCTAATCCAAGTTTAAGAATTACACGCAAGGGACCCGTCACCCACGCCATTAAACAACAAGATAAGCAAAGAAACGCCGTTGAGCTGCAGGTTTACTCCCCCATGTACAGATCCACTACAATATTCACGGCGGCGACTAGGATTTCTGCAGCGATGAGAACAATAACTATAAGCCGGGGTCAGCCTCTGCAGGAGCTCACACAGTACGTTGGGGACCACTCACCAATCCACTCGAGCTTCTCGTCGTGGCCGTGGCTCAACTCGCCCTTGAGCACCGCCAACAGGTCCGCAATGACGTCTAGGCGCTCGGTCAGGAGGCCTACGCGCTGGTCCATCTCCAGGTAGCTCCTGACAGCCTGGTAGACGGGTTCTAGCTGGGGCTCGACCCAGAACAGCTCCGGGGTGTCGAGGACGGAGCCGTTCAGGTGGATGTTGATACGGAGGATGAACAGCTCGCCAATTTGCATGTTGATTTGGGAGCGGCGCAGTGCGATCTTGCCGGTCAGGGCGATCTGGGTGGGGATATCCTTGCATGTCTCGACTGTGGACGCAATGAGCTCTTCGAAGAGCGAGGTCTAACACGGCCATTAGTATTGTTTGGTGCAATCGGCTAAATCATCACTTACCTTGACGCTCTGTGCCAGGGCGTGGGAAATTGCCAGCTTTGTCATGTAGTTGGTCTTGTCACGCAGCGTGATGAAGTCGTTGTAGATGCGAGCCTGGTATTCTCTGGTGTAGTAAAAGTTGAAAAGCTCCGTCTCGACATCGTCAGGCGCGAGCTTCTCTGTTTCGAACTTGGAAATGTCCTTGAGGAACTTGGCTTCCTGCGCCTCCGTCATTCCCCAGATCACCACGACACCGTAGTCAAATAGGAAGACCTCGGGTGTGTGAATCTGGGTGTCAAAGTCGGGGTTAGTATCTGCGATAGCGCTCTCGTCGCCCAGGCCCGAACCCAGGAGGTCTTGGTTGGCTAGGTGGGCAATGTCTCCGTCGGCATGGCCATTGTAGGGCGGGATCCCATTCCCGGATTCGGCGCCATCCGAGTGCAGGTTTATCAAATCTTCTCTGATCTGCTGCCCTCCGTTGATGCCTTCGCCGCCCGTCGAATGTCGACGTTCATAATTCTGAACGGGATCTGGGCGATTGCGGGAGCTTTTTGCGTAGTTGTAAGGCGTGTATATACACTCGTCGATGAGTTTTGGGTTCGCGCCCCTCGACTTCCCCCTTCCCTTGAGGAACCGCATCAGGCCGTCCATCTCGTATCGATTGGCGGTACAATAGGCTGTAACGCGTGGCAGCCGGGCACGGTCTGCCTTGCCCAGTCGTGCGGCATCTCTACGCGCTGTGGGGTCTTTAATTCGGGTGTATTGGGAGTAGACGTCCCTCCCGCTCTCCTCGTCAACTCCCTCCTCGTCGATATCGGGGTTGGGCAGGAGCTTAAGCTTTTCCGTCTTCTTCGTGCTTCGCTGGGGGCCAATCTTGGGACCAAGACCCAATTGTGCGACGGCGGGCACCGCGCTCTGGCTGTTTCGTCGGCGGAGCTTGTTGTTGAGAGCGGCGAGCATGGGAGGGCCGCTGGTACCACTTGGCGACGTGACTGGGCTGGAGGCGTGGTGATTGGGATTTCGAGCTGGCAATTGCTGCCGGATGGGCGAGAAGGTGCGGGTAACGGGATTTTCGCTAAATGTGACGGTACGGTGTCCCTTGGGACGGGTTGTCGAGGTTGTGGAAGTGGGCAGAAGAGGCGTAACCTCGCCGGTTGTCGCGCCGGGCGTGGATGTGGTGGTGTGAGACTCCATTGCGGTTTCGGTGGTCGAGGATCAAAGAAGCAAGCCACATGCGAAATCAAAACACTTGGTGCATGTCCCTGAGCTCAAGAGACGGTGAGGGAAGACGAGAATTGGGGATCGAGACGGACGGTTTATCGCGATAGTGATGGTGTCGATGTTGGATGGTGATAAAAGTAGTAGAGCGGCATGGACCGGTTCGAGTGAAGAGCCTGTTGGGGGTCGAGGCCAATGTTCTGCGGTGATGACGTTCTGCGCAAGAAGGTTTTGTCCCATTTCGGGGCCAGATGGGCCACAGTGAGACCCACTGAAGAGCTACTGCGGGGGCGTTTACAGGTGGGTCAAGCCACTAAAGCAACCTCTACAGCGCACATGCCTCCAGCGGGCTGGCTTCCAATCCAGGCCCAGTCCACTCTACCGCGAATCCGGAATAACGCCTCGACAGATGCTGTGCATCACGAGGGTACCTAAACAATGCGAGTCCTTCGCGAGTCGAAGCAAAATTCGAGTCTAGCTGTATTTCCCTGGATCTAAGGATGTATCCTCCAATATGGCTCCCATCATATCCAATTTGACTGCATTCCAGGGTCAAGCATCCCCCTTGCTCATTGCTTCCTTACATCATGGCGTTGCACACCCCATTGAAGGGTTCACGCGTTGAGAAGCTTGACCTCAAACTTGAGGCCAGCCTTGTCAAGTCGGTCAATCAAGCCTTGTCCCAAACAAGCTGGAGTGTAGATTCCCCCATCCAGCTCATTGTCGTCCTCAAGGATGGTTGCCGCGGTTTCGGCTAGCAGCTTTCCCGTCACTGCACATGGTTAGCGGGCTCGTTTTACCATCCATCACACAGACGTTGGAACTCACAATAATACATGCCACCGCGGTGCCAGGTCCTGCAGTAGGCAATCTTGCCAGCAGCCTTCTCAGAGTCTGGGTATGCAACTCCTCGATACTCAATCTCCTCCTTCTCTGTGTCCTCCCTGCTCGCGCCCTCTCCCGGTTGAAAGACGTAGCGCTTGATGACGGTCCTCGCCGGGGGGACAAGAGCGAGGATCGCCATGCCAACAATTAGCATCCAATGGAGGGCCATGCCGCTGAGCCAGTTTCGAGTCTTGAGGTACTCTCCCCACGTAAACTTGGGGCCGTAAAACTGGTCCTTCCTGGATGGCGTTTCCGAGAGGAGGCCCCAAGTACGTTCAACAACAGCAATGTCGGTAGATCCCATGGGAGACGTTGTCAACATGCCCAGGTTGGGAATGCTCCGCACACCAAAGACCTTCTCCAAGATGGAATCCCTAGGCCGCGAGGGCTCCGCGTGGGGAATAGGGGATTGAGCGTACGGGCTGCTCGCCGCCCTCACCTCCTCAACTGAGAACACGTCAAAGAGGGCCATCACGGTGGCAAGGGTGCCTCCAGATGGTGTCGAGCTATTTCTCGTCAGTTGGGCTCTTGGGAGTACCGCGGCCAAAATACCTGATGTTGTGGATGGAAAGTTTTACATCCTTGGTAAGAGCACCCAGCTCAGTGCGAATCGCCTTGGCCAGAGCCCAAGTGGTGAGATCCGCAGGCGCAGACTCGACACCTGTCTGAGGGAACAAGATGGCACCGCTGACCTTCGCGGTCTCCTCATACTTCTTGATCATTTTGCTGACCCAGGCAGCCTCGCCGGTCACGTCGACGTAGTGTGTTCCATTCTCAGCACAGGCTTTGAAGGCATGCTCACCATAGAGGGCATACGGGCCGACCGTCGTGAGGAGCACACAGGTCTTCTTTGCCAGGGCACTCAAGTCCTCGTCATTGAGGTTAGCGATTTCAATCGCTGTAATTCGTTGGTGCGTGTTAGCAATATGCTCATCTCAAGGCCCGATATGGCAGATGCTTGGCGATGCCACGACATACCTGGAGGAGTGCGGTCAGAGTTCAGTCGCTTGCACTCATCCACAACGGTCTGGAGCTTCGACTCGGAGCGGCCTGCAACCGCCCACTTCAAATCGGTAGGCAAATGGGTGGTGATGTATTCCGCCGTCAGCTTGCCGGTGTAGCCTCGCGAGATCGTTAGCATCCCTGTCCTGTTGACAACGTTCCGCCTTTTGCTCACCGGTGGCTCCAAAGACGACAACGTCGTACTGGCGACCATGTTCCTTAATCGGCATAATGACGGTGATATACCAAACAGAGAGTTTACTACTTAAATAATATCGAAAGAGCAAAAAAACAAATTGCGGAGGGGGGTAGGGGAATGCACAAAATATTAAACGCGATACCTGGCCAGCTTTGACATGATTCTCGCCTCCTAATAAACCTGGTCCGCAGTGGCGGTCGTGCTACAAACGGCCCACTCAGAGACTCGTGGGCGGATTGGGCGTCCAACAGGGGCCGTGTCGCGATTCAGCAGCATCAGCATCTTATATACACTTGACTTGGAGCATTTGTAGACAGAAGGCCAAGAGCCGTGATGCCCTGGATGTCTCCGATTCACAAGAGCTTAATGCTCACATATTTTGCTTGGATCAAGCATGTTACAAAACGTGGTTCTGTAACCAGGCCTCATCACTTCACAGGATTGGCATTGAGCGCCGCCATGAAACGGTTCCATTTTGCCTCGGCGATGTTGTCGTACACAGTACCTATGCGAAAACCGCATGTGGTCTACGGAGGGCCCTTTCAAAAGTCTTGTCCATAAGAAGTAAGTCCTAATCATTAGGTTAGATAATAAGTACACTAAGTACTTCCTGATTTCTATAGGCCCTAAAGGATAGCAGGCTACAGCATACAGCAACCGCTATATCCTGATCAGCAGCGTACTACTCCTGAAGTTATAGCGGCCGTTTAACGAGACTGTGACAGCTTTATGTATCTCAGGTAACCGACAGGGATAAATGGATATGATGTTACTAGCGCTTGGACAAGACTTTTGAAAGAGCCCTCCGTAGGATCGGGGTGAAGGAACATGGAACATGGGACATGATTCAGTATTGCGAAAATGTGCTGGGGGGATTGAGTAGTACCTAGGAGAGCTACCTAGGTAAGTTAGTCATCCATGTCCGTCCAGGTAGTTTTGCCGAAGTTTCCCCCCTTTCACAAAAAAATCGAGTGTTGAACAAATCGAGGAGGTGGGTCCCATTCGCTTCCCCCTCACGTGCTTGCCCTAAGGAAAATCACAATTCTAACTTTCTTGACATTTCGGCGCCGTCAGCCTCCAGAGCAACTACACCTGCCCTCGTCCATCTTCTCGTCTTCACTCTCCCCAAGACGTCCCACACATAATCCTCCAAGATGACCAAGCGAACGAAGAAGGTCGGCGTGACGTGCGTATCCCTTCCCCCAATTGATCTATCGTCAGGAAAATGCTAACGTCCCTGACAGCGGTAAATATGGTGTCCGGTAAGTCCCACGAAGCTCATCGCCGACAACCCTCGAGAACGACTTTGGACCTGCGTCCCGGATTCTGTCACGACCTACACTATCGCCCCGGAGTATATCAAGAGGAGGAATACGCCTCGCAAAGAGGGGAAGAACTTCGGGCGCCGTTTGTGCGGTCGTGACGGATCTCAACGACAAAGTCCAAACAACCTACTCGGGTCCGGCATCAGCCCTAGGGGAACACACAACTAACGAAACTGCTATCCAGTTATGGTGCCTCGCTCCGAAAGCAGGTGAAGAAGATGGAAATCACCCAGCACGCCAAGTACACCTGCACCTTCTGCGGCAAGACCACCGTCCGACGAAACGCTACCGGTATCTGGGACTGCAAGTCTTGCAAGCGCACCGTTGCTGGTGGTGCTTACACCGTCTCGTGCGTCCAACCCCGAGTCTGGCCAAGCCGGATTCAACAACGGAGAGCTAACCGTGATACAGCACCCCCGCTGCCGCCGCCATGCGATCGACCCTGCGACGACTGAGGGAGATTGCTGAGGTTTAAAAGAGTGGACTTTGGCGGAGGAAGTTTCGGCTTTGCTTTTCGGTCTGGTGTATGGGGGGACATGGATTTCGTGCCTACACTACGAGTTGACGAACTGGACGTCATCACCCGATCTTCGGTCATAGAGGCTGGTCGATTAGCAATGAAAAAAAAATTGCATGGTCTCGGACCCTTCAACCAGAGGATGCGGATTTGTTCGGGCCACTACCAAAACGTGATGATGAGACCAACCAGGGCCGGCGTTTTGGACTCGTGGGCACAGATTCGATCTCGTCTAGGATGCGATTCTGGCAGCTCTTGAGGATCCAACACGTTTGCCGGCTTGGGCTCTGGGATCCCTCGACAGACTTGGCTTCGTAGATCGGCCACGGGATAAGGGGATGTTTATCAGTGATGTGATGAGTGACGCAGTGGGCGATGGGATGAGCAATGAGGCCGCTGTAAGCCAGCGCAGCGCAACCGCGAGCGCGTTCATTTAAAGAGATGCCGTGACAAATGCAGAGCACGAAACAAGGCCAGTGGGTCAGACTCTATCATATCCTCCCTCCCGAGCATAGTGCAGTGGGGTTGCTGCACGCGCATGGAACAACTCATCGTCAGCTCGGCCAACATTGGAAGCCCACCCTCGGCTGGGTCACGATGTCGGCCGACAACCAACCACCCCCAAAATAAATAACAAAGAAATCAAAACAAAATGAAATATCTGCGCGTCGTTCTCGTCATCAGTTGCCGAGAATGACGATGTCCCTGAGCGGGCCACGTCGGCAGATGAGGGGGCCGTGCCCGATCCGCCCTGTGCCTGGCGGGTTGGGCGCTGACCCATGCGCTCAAGGTGACATCAAGGCTGGATGGCAACGAGGCGCACCGAAAAGCCACGGGCGATGACTCGATTCACGAGGCGCGGACGATGATGTGCAGTAGGACGTGAAGGGTTCGCAGAGGCTGAAGAAAGCAATGTAAGACAGTAGCCAGACAGCTCGATGTGGGCAGACGGCGACCAGACAGATCCCATCGACATGCGGCGTGCGTGACTCGTCTAACGCAGGTCGCCAGTTTGGACAGACTAGGGAACTAGTTCGAAGTCGACCGTCTTGCAGTGAGACCAAGGCAGCAAGGGACCAACAAGAAACGGGGAAAGAGACGGGAAAAGAGACGGGAAAAGAAACGAAGGAATGGCCTGGGAGTGGGAGGGACCGCGGCGATAACCAGCCATCCAGCCATTCAGCCATCCAGCGGAGGCAGACAAGGCCAAGACCCAGCACAAGAACCATCACGGGGCCGCTCAACCCGGCCGGCAGCTTAGGACCACGGAGTGCGCGATAGAGGCCCGGCTCTCTCTCTCTAATTATTTCTCTCACTTCGCTTCATGTGCGGAACTACGACTTACAGCAGAATGAAAACTGACAGAACCAACCTCCCTGTTTCCCTCACCTCGCTTGAACTCAACTCAACTGAGAGGCCAGCTCAGTGAGTCGGAGGCCATGCTGCTGCTGCTGCCCCCCCGTGTCCATTGTCCATGCGCCCCATGCTGCATGCTCGTGCTCATGCTTGAGAGCGCTTGCGGCTCGACACCACCAAGATGCCCTGCCAGCGGGTGCCAGATGGTGGTGCCCGCCCACTACCCACCGGCTGCGCCCCCCCAAAAAGCCTACTCTGTACCTACAGGAGGTAGCCCCATCCATCCCTAAGGTAGGGGAGGGTCGGGGAGGGTACATGGCACATCGTACATCGTACATCGTACAGTGTATGCACAGAGCAGAGCAGGGCTGCCTGTTTTTGTATACGGCCGTTGCGTGGCACGAGGAAGTGATGGTCGGCTGGCTGCCGAAGGGAGAGGGGGACCACTCTCTCGGTGAAAGTGACGGGAGCCAGAGCTGTGTTAATACTGTAAGAGGTCTCGAATGAATGCACACCAGAGTCGCATGTCTCTCGCCCCAGTTGGCTACGTAGGTACCTACACTCCATGGATGACCCGGTCTGGTCACACGTGTGAGATTCCGGGCTTGCCCATCCACATTGGCACATCCATCCCTTACTTAATAAGTTACTTATCCCATTCCCCATCCCCAGCTGGACAGGCGGCGGCGACAAGCCGTCCAGCGCAGTATTATAGTGTAGGTGGAGGTACCTAGCATAGCACAGCACAGCACAGCACAGTTCATCAGGGCTTCCCCCCTCCGGTCTCCGTCATCCATCCATCCACCCAGTGCTCTCATTCCATTCCTATTCCTATTCCTATTCCTGCCTGGACTCTTACTCTTACACTTATTTCCCATCTTTATTTCTCGCAAGCTGCAGAAATTCCCCCGTCTCCTCTTTTACTCTCTCTCTCTCTCTCTTTGGCTCTGCCTTGTCAACCTCAGCGCAGCTACCTCCCTAGGTACCTACCGTACCTACATCGCGGTGGACCGACCGACCGACCGACGACGGACCTGCATTTCTTCGTCTCCCAAACAGGGCGCTGTTAAAAGCCGAGACTCTTGTCTTTTCTCTCCTCCTCTTTCTTGCCCCCATTCCCATTCCACTTGTCTTCCTCGTTCTCGCCTTGCCAGTTTCACTTCCCCGGATAAAGTTGCCTCCTCACTCACCAAAGGGGAACAAGACGGGCCGGCCACCCTCAACGCTTGGTTGGCCACCCACCCATCTCACCAGGGTCGCCACCACCCACTTCTCGGTGCCTGTTATTAGTCGTTGCAAGCTATTATTGCTGTACCGAGCGCTCGCACCATCCCATCCATCGATTCATCCCTCAATCCACATCGGAACCCAACTCTGGTCCTGTACTCGGGCACAGTCATTGAGGACTCGGTGCTGAGAAGGAAGAAGAAGACGGAAAGCAGTAAAGTATAGGTACGTATATGAAACCACCAAGCGCTCGTGCATGATCAGACGCGAGAGACCAAGCCCCAAGACCCAATACCCAAGACCAAAAGGCTTCCCTCACCGAGGATTGGCTAGACGACTCCCTCGGTCGACGTCGTCGAGGACGCTGCACTAGGCCTCATGGGTCTCATCTCATGGGTCTGGTCTCATGGGGCAGCGGCCGGCCAGCAGCAGAAGCAGCCAGCCAGCACCAGCAGCACCAGCCAGCAGGGTCCTGGCAACCCCCGGCCCCCGAAGCACGCTGATTGGCCCCGCCATGGTCCCCTAACACGCGCGAAAACCGCCTCTGGAGCCCGCTGCTCAACTCTCCCTCTTTCAATTCCCAGCAGGCTCACTCAGGCGTCTTGTACCAGAACCACCCACTAATACATCACCACCCAGGCCCGACGCTTTAGCCCCCCCCAAGCATCCCGCCCCAGAACCATCACCGTCGACCGCTGCTCCCACTCCGCTCGAATCATCAAATCCCCTCTCGATTATTTTTACATGTTTCCATCAAGAGCCAGTCTGTATTATCGAATTCGACGTCATGTCTGAACCGGAGCAGTGCATTATATGCCTGGATCCCCTTCCGCGTCCCTCGTCCCTCGACGACGATCATGGTGGTGGTGTTGGTGACGCCGTCTCGGTACCCGCCGCTACCGCCCCCGAGGCTGTCCAGCTCGACGTCGACGTCGACATCAACAACGAAGACTCCAGCTACCTCGATATTGTCGCCGCCCTTGACGGGTGCAACCACATCATCCACGATGCCTGCATTCGCTCCTGGGCTCAAAAGACAAACACCTGTCCCATTTGCCGCAATCCCTTTCATTCGGTGCGCGTGTACAACGGTGTCGATGGTATGTTGCCTCGTCCCTGCCGCCATGCATGCGTCCACCCGCTGACTGACAACTTTCTCCATGCAGGCACCGTCATTTCCAAATACAACGTCCAAGACAAGAAACAAGTCGCCGAGTTCGACGTCCAACAGTGGCTAGGCGATAACCCCGAAGAAGAGGAGGAACAAGGCAACCCGTGCCCGGTCTGCAACTCCGCCGAGCGGGAAGATGTCCTCCTCCTGTGCGATAGCTGCGATGCTGCATACCATACCCACTGCGTCGGTCTCGAGTGCATTCCCGACGGCGACTGGTACTGCATGGAGTGTTCCCATCTCTTCCAGCTCGTGGATGAATCGCCAACCGCCGAGGTTGGCGAGCGATCGCCGCGTCCGCAACATGTCCGACGCCCAAATCCCCGAAACGTCCGCGGATACCACGTTCGAACGCGGGAACGCCTCAGACGGGCTCGCCGACAAGCTCGCAACGTCGAGTGGCAAGGCGCCTGGGGCCAGTTCTCTGGACGCTTTTACGAGATGAGCGAACTGGACCTGGACAACCATGACAACGAAGACGAAGAGCTCGAGCAGTTCCGGCGGTTCCAAGAACTCGGTCGACGGGAACTTGAGCGATGGCAGCAGCGGATGGACATTGCCCATCGCCTTGGCGCGAGCGAAGCCTTTGTGAACAATATCCCACCTGCCATCAGCGAGCGCCTGCAGCCTATACCCGAGCCAGTCGAGGAGACTCGCGACGAGAGGCGGGCCTGGGGCGCTCTTGATCGTGCTCGCGAAGTTGATGACCCAGCCCCCAATCCCAGCTCCCGGAAGCGAAAGGTGCGGTCCGTCTCTGCGTCGCCCAGGGAACCTGTCCAGGAGCCCGAACGCAAGCTTAAGCGACCGCGGACTCGACGGTTGGCGACTCAGAACGGTGAGGGCTCCAGTTCAATGTCCTCACCCGCTACTACAGCAGGGCCCTCGACCGTTCGGGCCACCAATGGATCCTCGTCGGCCACGAACGGTGCTCCTGGCCGAAACCATATCGATCCACCCCTCGTTTCTTCTCTTCTCAAAGAGCTCGAACCTAATGTCACATCGGAAGATGAGACGTCCGTGACGGTCGCCGGATGGCGAAATCCGCCAGACGCATCGTCGCCAGCCAATTCTCCAGCCGGTTCTCCATCCCCCTCAGCGTACAGCAGCCCGCGCGCTCTCTCGCTCACCCCACCCCCATTGCCCAGTGTGGGCGGCCGACCAACATCTCCGCCTCTATCTCTCAGCACCCATATCCAGCCTATCTACCCTCCAGCAAACTACTCTCCCAATCGTCGTATGAGCAGTGATCATAGCGACTCGGAATCGCGGCCCAGAGTGAATGGTCGAACAAGCTCACCTCCCCTCTCCCCGACCCTATCCCTCAGCACGCGCATCCAGCCGAGGTATCTCCCAGCCAATTATTCGCCTACTCGTCGCATGAGCAGTGACAACAGCGACTCGGAATCGCGACCCATGAGACCAGAGGGTCGCCCCCTCGAGCTGCGCCAGCCCCGACCGCGGCGACCCCACCAAGTCCCGGCGCAGCCAGAGGAACAACAATCTCCGACGAGGTGGACGATGACCCAAGAAGAAAAGAGGAGCATCAACGACATTGTCAAAATCGCTCTGAGACCCCATTGGCGGGCTCAGAAGCTGACGACGGAACAGTATGCCACCATCAATCGAGACATCTCGAGGAAACTTTACGACGAGGTCAAAGACACAATTTCGCTGAATGGAGATGCCCGGCGGTCATGGGAAAAACGAGCGACAAAGGAGGTGGCCCAGGCCGTCGCGGAGCTTCAGGCTTGATTAATCACGAAGACGAGAGCGAGCGGGAGTGTTTTATCAGGCGTTTCTGGCATTATCGGATGGTCGATATGGTTGATACCCAGCATCATTTGACACGGTGGACATGATTGTTAGCTTTGGTAGCGAGGTGTCGCGCGGGAGTCGTATCGGATTACATGGTCAGGTCTGGTCATCTTGTTATTGGCCACAGTTGATTGGCTCCAATGTGTAGGTAGTTTTGTCTAAATATCGTCTCTCGCGGTAGGCTTGTGAGGCCTAGGGTTTAGGAAATCAAAGACGGCGCAGCTTCAGTTTAGTTGCATGAGAACCTGACCACGCGCGCATTGAGTGATACACGTCTGATGGGGCACCTGACAGAAAGCGTTTAGCCGATGAGCTGGACAACTGACGGTGAGTTACCAGCGAGAAATCCGTGAGTCACGGGGGAACCGGCGGTCGGATAAATCCCCAGCAGGGGTCCAGTCTGCACTCGACGACAAGTCAAAAAAGCCTGAGGAACCGGCGGGCATTGCGAGGTCACGATTGCGGCGCGGCAGCGAGTGCCTCGTAAGGAGGCATTTTGAACTCGGCCAATGGTGGCTAGTTTGGTTGCTTCGCTCCACGATGTATGTGGTCGAGGCGCTGTTTTAAACACCAGATCGACCCCTTCACAAGAAGGGTTGAAATATTTAAAAAGATATGTCAGCAGTATCTATCTAACAGAACCCGGTAGGAATGAAAGGAGATCCCTTTTGCAGGCCCCGCTAGCGAAAAAAGACTGCGTTGGTCACTCTCGGCACACATAAATGGTCAGGACGTTCTGGAGGTGGAACGGGTCTTGACGATAAGGAAAGAGCGCCTTGAGGAGAGAAAGAAGGAAAGGAAACAAAATCGCTGGGGAAATTGGTTTTGTATGGGCCTTGCTGGGAGTGGGTATGTGTGCCTGAGGTATGAAGGGCTGGCAGTGGAACCCAGCTACCTGAGAGGCTTCTTCAGTTGAGATACCTTATGTAAGCCGCCTATTGGCCCCTCCAGCGGATGTGTCCAATGGGGCGGGACCGCAGGTACGTACCCTCCAACTCTCAGTACCAGCCCAGGCGGATGGAAAAAGTTCAAGAATCGCGGAACAGCTTTGGGTTGCTCGCTGCTCGCACACGGTCAAGAGCCAACCACAAGACACCACCACAATGACAGCCTCAAGTAGGGGCGGACGCGCCATGCAGGCCGTTCTCTCAAGTAAGTCGCAAGCCCTGCACTGCCCAATTGGCCTCGCAACGAGGTCGTGCGAGGGCATCAAGGAGGGGAGACCAGTTTGAAGCTGACCATGATGCCATCACCAACACAGCATCGCCCAACGTCTGCGCCCGATGCGCCTCCTCCGCCTCCCCCCTCGCCTTCGCCAGAATTCCCTCACGCCTCTACTCCTCCTCCGCCCCCGCTGCCGCTGCCGCTGCCGCTGCCAGTGCCAGCTCCGATGCCTCGCCGGCCGCCGCTCGCCCCCCGCCGCCGCCATACGACGTACGCTCCGGCATGATCCTCACCCGGCCGCCGCTGGTGACGCGCAAGCTGCACCCGTTTGAGAACTCCTTCTTCTTCTACCAGAAACGCCTCGAGGAGCGTCTCAACACCCCCTTCATCACCAGCATCTACTACAAGCCAGACACGGCCCGCCGCCTCGACTGGAACCTCAAGGTTCAGGACCGCCAAGGCACCGTCGCCAAGGAGCTGGGCGTCTACAACGGCAAGAGCTCCAAGGCGTGGGACGACGAGCTCCGCGTCGGAGATGAGCTCAGCAACCAGGAGAGCATCGTCAAGGCCCTCCTCAAGGACGCCGAGGCCCGCGTCAGCGACGACGCAGAGGTCATCAACACCGAGGACGTCGTCCCCATCGAGCCCCCCGTCAGCCGGATCACCGAGGCCGACAAGAAGGGCGACGTGCGCAGGTTGGACCGCCAGCTCGACCGCACGCTGTACTTGGTTGTCAAGAGCGGGGACAACTGGGTCTTCCCTGCCGATGTGATTCCCAAGGACCAGAACCTGCATGAGGTGAGTTTCCCTCCCCCCATAGTGAATGATGGAGACGAAGGCAGCCGCTAACACCGCATCAGTCCGCCAAGCGAACTCTGGAGGAGGCCGCCGGTGTCAACATGAACACCTGGGTCGTAGGTCGTGTTCCCGTCGCCCACGTCGTCACTCAGCCCGTCGTCAAGGCCGACGGCACCGTGGAGAAGAAGGGCCAGAAGACCTTCTTCCTCAAGGGCCGAATTATGGCTGGTCAGGCTGACCTTGGCGGAAACCGCTTCGGCTACTCCGACTTCAAGTGGCTGACCCGCGAGGAGCTCGAGAAGGAGCTGTCTCCCGAGTACTTCCACAGCGTTCGCAACATGATGGCGGACAGGTAGAAAAACTAGAGCAGCGTTTGGGTGCTGCGTGTACAATTACTATGTATACTTGCTGTACAGAATTCCACCGCTCCTATGGGCCCCGGTTCCTCTAACAAACGCTATCCCGTCCTCCCACTCCTTAATCTCCCCCGCTCTGTAGAAACTTGTAAAAGGTTCCCCGTACCTCACCAAGCTCACGCACTATCTCACGGATCTGACCCCGGACAAGGTCTTCGTCCTCATTAATGAAGGCCTCCCTGCATATGCGTGAAAACAGCTGCAGATTCTCGCCGTGCTCATGGGCATCCTTCAGGAGTCGCTCGCAGGTGATAGGGACATGTTGTTGAAGGCTATCCGGAGCACCCAAATTCTCTGAGCCCAGTAGAGACTCCGATTCGGGCTCTGACGCCTCTTGGGGTGACCAAAAACTATCCTCTGGAGTAAGGGAGCCGGGGCTGGCGAATGCGATGTTGATTTCCTCGTCAAGTTCCAAGAGATGGCGAGGGCCCACGAAGATTCGGTTAAGGATGTTCGCCCAGAAATCGTTAGACAGACGAGGGAGGCGATTGTCTATTTCTGAGAGACTTGTGTCCATTTCTGAGAGACTTGTGTCCAAGTTCTGGGAGGAGGCCTCGCCGCAACTGCCAGCCTCCACCGACGACTGATTGTCGTCAGTTGCGGGCTCCGTCTTGCATTTCTCCAGTCTCAAGCTTTGCCATCGTTCAGAGGCGGCCTTAAGAAAGACTATTGCAGTCATGTAACCTAGACCAAGTCAATGTTTTCCCAGGACGCTCGCAATAAACAGCCAGCTTACTTTCAGAGCCAGCTTCATAGGGAAGAAGAACAGTACCATCGGCACCCAAGTTAATGTCATGCCCCCATCCTTGCACCGTCGGAACAGGAAGCACCATGTGTCTCATTTCATGGTACATGTTATGGATCTCAACTTCGTGAACGGTGGGGTTGAATAGTTGAGTGACAAGTACTTTGGTCTCGATGACAGATGGGAAGAGGTCTTTATGGATATGATGTTGAAAAGCGGTTTTAGTGTGAGGAAACGACCCGGAGATCATGGTGTAGAGGAACCCCAGGTCTACGAGGGCATTATGCACCAAAAGCGTTGGTTGGCTGCTCTCCGCCATTCGAAATACTTTCAAAAGCTGCTCGGCAGCACTTCCTTGCCACTTCTCTAGATCCTGCCCCAGTGATACCAAGACTTCAGGACGAGGAGGCTGTATGCGAGGATTAAGCCCAAACTGTGTCATTTCGGCAAACTTCTTAGTGTTGCCGCTGAGTGCCTCGAAAATCCACAACAGGCCTGCGTGAGGGATAGTCCATTAGAAACTACGTTGAATAATTGTTGTGCGTTGACAAACTCACCCAGTTGATTCACAATAATTCCTCTCTTTACCTCTAGCTCATTGAATTTGGTCTTCCAAACGCTGTCAATTATTGTGGCTTAAAATTAAACTTGGGAAGTTAGGTGCCAACTCACGGCTTCCAGAGTAGCTTGATCAAGGTGGCAAATGACCATTCCCTAGTTATCATTATGCCTCCAACAGTGGCATTGCGGGAACTTTTTCCGGACGACCTCGAGTATGACTTCTGATGTCAACTTTGTCATTCTTCCCCCCGATGGATCATATACGTGAAGCTTATCCTCGTCAGTTCATGTATCGTCGCAATGGAGAGACAACTTGACAACATACGGGACTGTTCATGGAGTCACCTTTAAGCCAATTTTGAAGAGCATCTTCAATCCATTTGACAATGCTTGCCACGTCTTTCCGATTAATTGCCATCGGATCTGTTTTTGCCGGCCAGATCTCCCTGGTCAACCGTAGCCTGGCGAGGTTGCACTCGCGGCGGGTGAGGTACGGAACAGCATTGCCAAAGGCTGCAGACAAATCGAGCTTGTATTGTTGGAGAAACCGAAGTGATGTCTGTGAGAGGTTGAGCCGCCGATCAAGATGATTCGATAACTCTTGCTCTTCTTGGGTTGTATCAGGAAGCAGGGGGTTGATGGCGATCCTAAAGGAATGGGATGTATAGCCGTCTAGCGCGTCTGGTCAGCGCGAAAGCATTGATTGAAGAAGATGTTCAGCCTTACTTCCGTTCCAGTGAAGCGCTGTGATGCCCAGATGGGTAACTTCGAACTTCGGTGCAGCATCCTTGACTCTGCCGTACACCTGGTTGAGGGATATGGTATCGCCCGAGGTCAGTTCGCCCTTGATCGCAGGGTCGGTCATTTGAAGGTTGATGGCGACATAGTCGGACGAGGCAATGATGAGGAGTAGAGTCGGGAGCAGTTCCCAAAAGTTTCCGGCGTCGATCTCCATCTTGTTCGCTTGCTGAGATACTGGATGTAATTGTGATGTTGAAAGATTGATTCGTGTTGGTGTGTATCAGAACAAATCGCGAGGACGAGGGGCAGTACTTAAGGTAAGTAGGTAGGTAGGTAGATATGCAATTCAGGGGGTTAAAGCGCCGCATGTGTCGAGGAAAGAGCTCTCGTGGACCAGTGTCGAATCAGGAGTTACTTTTGCAGGTGGACTTTCCTATCCAGGGGCACCAATGCCCTCGATGTGGATAGCAGTCTTAACATGCTCCATTGGACTTAGTTAGGCAGGTAATATGATGATGGTCACTTTCGTACTTTTCTCCCGTTCACGAGAAACACCACGCCGGACAATAGATTGTAAACCCCATGCACGAGTTGCAATTTTCAACACCATGATAACTGCTGGCCTGTTGATACAAATAGGTATTCATCGCAGCACGACGCGGCGCGGAGCAATGTCATCTCCATCCTACGTCTACCAGAACAAGATAGCACCCAGAAATACATTCGTTACCGCATAAATCGTCGCAACCCCAACGCCAGTTCTCCGTCCGTAGTGCTAGCTACAACCCAGATTACATCCCATACCGGTCAACGCTCGCGGCAGGGGTTAAGCCGGCTTTGCTTGGCCTTCGACAAAGTTAAGCGCGTCCTCGGTGCTGACACAGTTGATCGAACTGGTCTTGTTGTGGAACGTTACACCGTAGCACTTGTCCGCAACGTGGACGATCTCCGGTCGGAAAGTGGTGCAGATGAATTGCGTTCCGATCTCGTTGGATATGGAATCCAGGAGGGCTGCGACGGCTGTTCGGTACTGGGCATCCAAGTTGGCATCCACCTCGTCGAAGATGACCATGGGACTGCTCTCAGTCTGCTGGAGTGCGAAAATCAGGCACAGAGCGCACAAACCTATCTCTGTTAGCGGCGTTTCTATCAATCATCCAACATTCAAACTCACTCTTTTGACCACCACTGAGCTGCTGGATCTTTTGCTGTTCGTCCAGGTGCTTGGAGTTGAAAGAAACGCTGATCCCCACGCCGATGTAGTTCTCAACGCTTCCACGGGCTTCCTCGTCAGACTCTTCCGGCTCTTGTCGACGATCAGTCCTTCGCTGAATAACCAAGCGCCCATGGCCGGCCGGGACCAGTTTTCCAAAGATGGTCGCGAACTCTTTCGACACCTGCTTGAAGGTGCGCTCGATCGCCTCGTCCTTGCGACGGTCCAGATGCTCGACGAGCTCTTCGATGGAGCTTTGAGACGCATCGAGCTCTTTGCGCCGCTTCATCAGATGATCTTGCTGAGTAGTAAAGTTGTTGTACTGCTCGAACGCCTTCTTGTTTACATGCTTGTACTTCTTCAAGGCCTCGTTGACTCGCTTCAGCTTTGAAGTAATCTGTGAAATGAAATTAGATCACCGAGTTCTCCTAGTATTTCACACACCACTTACTGGCTTGGCTTCCATGTTTTCGTACTTGTCGAAAGCCTCTTCGGGAAGAACACCTAGGTCTCGGATGTTCTTGGCGCACTCTGCCGCTTGCGTCGTCAGAAGAGCCTTCCTTCGGAGGCTCTTGTCCATCCTTTTCTGCTGCTTTTCGATTCTAACCGAGAGCTCTTGCTGTGTCTGCTCTCGCTCGCTCTTCTCTGTACCCATCTGCTCCAAGCGAAGTAGCACATCGTCCATCTTAGCTTCAGTCTCATGGAGGTTAGCCTCGACTGTCTTGAGCACACTTTGCGCCTTCTTCAACTCTCTCTGTGTCTCCTTCAGGCCGCCTGCGGAAGAGTTCGAGGCGGAATTCTCAAACGCCTGGCTGTTGAGCTGGTCCAACTTCATCTGCAAGTTTTGTCGAAGGTCAACTTCAAGGAGCTGTTTCCGTCGCTCCAGGTCTCGGCGAGATTTGCTAATGTCGTTCCACTGCTTCTGCAGCTCTTGCGCATTGCCACTAAGTTCCTCTAGCTGTCTCTCCTCGAGGGATGTCAGACTCTTCTTGAAGTCCGTACCGACCTCAGCCTCATGAGCGGCGACTTCCTCCATGAATCCATTCATGTTCTTCTCAACAGCGTCTCGGCGCTTGATTGCGGAGTCGAAATGGGTTCGCTCATTCTCGAGGTGTGCCGACTTATTCCTTAGTTCATGCTTCAATGGCTCGAAGCCGTCATCAGCCTGGCGCAGTCTTTGCTCAAACTTCTGAACTTCGGACATGGCAGCAGTGATCTCTTGATCCTTCAGCTCTACCTGTCTGCGGATCTCGCGCGACTGAGAAATGAGCTCCTCGTACTCCTCACGCCACTTGTTGACCGCTTGGACGGCTTCAAGGCGCGACTTGCGAGGGTCGATGTATCCACCGGTCATTGCACCTCTCTTGTTTGTGGTATCACCCTCCGCCGTGATACCATCCACACCGTGACTCCTGGCGTATTGACCAGCCACAGTCAAGTTGGGGCATACAACCACCTTGCCGAACACCTGCAGGAAGGCCTTCTCAAACTTGGAGTCGTAGGAGATCTTGCTCAAAAGGGGCACGGCATCATTTGACCTCGGCAGATTCATCTTTCGGGGACGTAGCTGGGCGAGCGGCATGAATGTCACTCTGCCTCCACGCTGCTTGAACAGGGCGTCGGCGAGGAAGGTGGCGGTTTCTGCATTGTCGACAACATAATGAAAGAGGCTCGCACCAGCGATCTGCTCAACGGGAAGTCGGTAGGCATCGCTGACTTCGAGGAGCTCAGCTAGCGTGCCATAGGCCCCTGGAATATCGCGGTCTTGCTTCAAGCGTCGAATTGTGGCCAAACCACGGGCAGTGGCTCCATCCATTGTGTGGGATAGTTCGCGTTCCGCATTGTCTCTCTCTTGGCGAGCATTGGAAATGACCGAGCTCAACTTGTCATCCTCGCGTCGGACCACCTTTCGCTCGTCGTTGAGTCTGTCGAGAGTATCGCGCGCCTTGGTTGCTTCGTCCGCAAGAACTGCTCTCTGGCCGCTCCAGCCAGCCAAACGTGATCGCAGATCGGTTACTTCCTGCTCGGTTTGGCCAATGGATTGCAGGACCCTCGCCACCTCCTCGTCAGCATCGACCTTGTTAGCCCTCTGGGTACTGAGGGTCAATTCCAGCTCATTAATCTCCTGTCGTAACCATGCGTCTCGTTCAGTCTTGTTTTTGAACCTCGAACCGCGGCTCTGTTTGGCGAAGAGACGTGCCCTCGTCGCCTCGACAGTGTCCAGCTGCCGCCTGATTTCGTCCTCTGACGTCTTTCTCTGGTTGTATTGCGGCAGAATGGAGGAGAGCTCATTCTCTTTGGCGGCGATCTCGGCCTGTACGGACTCCAGGCCAGCAGCGTGCTGTGCTCGGGCCTGTTCTTGAGCGGACTGTCCCTCCTTCAAGTTCTTTGCCTTCATCTCCACCTTGGCCAAGCCCTTTGCACCATCGCGACGGTCTTCTTCCAGTTGTCTTCGGTCGATTTGCAGCAGCTCCATCTCCCTCTGGAGCTTGTGGATCTCGGCATCGAGTCTCGAAATGGCTTTTTCTCCATCCAGAAACTCCTGTCGGCTGGTGTCGGATGTGTCGAGGCCGTCCTGTCGAGCGTTGTCGAGATCTTCGAGCGCTGACTGAATAGTGACCTGTTCCCGGTGGTGATAGGCGTACTCGAGGCATCGCCTTTCCCGATCTTTGTCTTGGAAACCTCGCAGCTCCTCCTTCTCCTCCTCCAGCTCGCTCAGTCTTTCCTTGATGTACTCCAGGAGCTCGTCGATCTTTTCTCGCTTGTTGTTCGTCTCGTTCATGATTTTGAGCGACTCGGCACGACGCTGTTCGTAGACCTGGGTTCCAGCGACCTCCTTCAGCAGGTTCAATCTGTCAGACTCCTTCATGTTGGTGAGGGCAGTGACTCGGCCCTGGGGCACAATGTAGTAGGGGTTTGATCGCGAGAAGCCCGCAGCTTCGAGGAGGTTCATCACATCGGCCTTTGTGACGACTTTGCGATCGACGGAATACTCGTCCTTCTTGAGTCCAATGGTGCGGCGCAAGACGAGCTCCTTGTTTCCAGTTAGGAATCGGTCATCGCTGTTGTCGAAGATGATCTCGACGTAGGCGGACATGACGGCGGAGCCCGAGCCCTCGTGGAGAAGACCCTGCCGCTCCTCGCGACTCATCTGGGTATAGGCATCGCTGAGGACGAAGCGGATGGCCGCAAAGAAGTTGCTCTTTCCGGAGCCATTGCGGCCGACGATGACATTGGTCTTGGAAGAGAAGGGCTCAATGACGGTCTGTTCCTTGTAGCTGTGGGGGTTGTCAGCGTTGGAGATGCGCACGCGAGAGGGGGACGCAAGAGAGAGATAGCAACGGGCACAGCATCATACCTCTTGAAGCCCTGGATGATGATCTGCTTGATATACATGATGAGCTGCGCCGGCGCTTGTTGCGCAACATGTGAGGGTTAAGGAGCTTGTCTGCGAGACACGGCACAGTCCCGGCGCTGGCTGTGATTTTTGGCGCTTGGGATGCGAACTGATGCGACTCGACGCGTCGGCCTCAAGAGCCGCGATCAAGAGTGGGCTTTCGCGTAACGGTGGTTGCGACGTGGATTGGTGCCTTGTGAATCAGGCATCGAATCTGGCGCCTTTTCTGTGCCGCTCTCTCTCTGGTTCTCGTATGTGGCCCGTGCCCGGCCGTGGAAAGCTTGGCCTTGTCGCTGCACCCCTGCTGACGATCAGAATGCAGCACCATGCCATAGCCATCAAGCTCGAATGTGAAGCTGCGAGGCTTTGAAGCTACAGAGCTGACTCGGCAAGCTTGATCTTCCATCACTCCTATCGGGTGGCATAGTATCGCCGTTCCTTCCAGGTAAAGCGCTATAAAGAAAGACTATGTAACAAGTGGTGGCGTGATGCCCGCACCCTATTCGGTGCTAAGTATCGGATAGCGGATGACGGACAGCCACTTTGGACCTCGCGCATCAATCTCAGCCAGGAAGAATCAAGCCACCACGACAGGATACACCGGAAGCTAAACAAATACAAGTTCCAGGACGGCTGTGGCTACCGGAAGAGGTGGATTCCTTGTCTGAAGCAGAATGCCTACGCTCGGAACATTTACACATGCTGCCATGTGGGTTCGGAAGGGAGATGAAGATGGGCGACCAATATGGAGGGGGAGTCGCGGCAACGGCGTTTCCTCATCTCTCCCCCGGATTGGTGAACGTTCCGGGACCAGTCGTTGAGGTCGCGCAAAGGCCCAGAACTGCACCATTTGTCCTTGCATCGACCGACCCACCCGGCCATGTTCCACTTGGGAATGCGGAGTGGGCAGAGTGGGTGAAGCATTCGGATGGGCGTGCTACGAATGCTTGCTCCTGGTCCCGACCTGAAGCTGCCGTGTATCAAGCGACACGTTGCAGGTTTCTCACCAGAGCCAAGCCTGTTCAAGCCCGCACGGCAGTCTGTAGATGGGATGTACCGCTTCATGATAGTGGGTGTGTCGCGTGAGGAGGGTCTGTCGAATCACCGTTGATCGAGTGCGTGCTTGACATGTGTTTCTTCCCGAGATGGTGGGGTCGTGGTAGGGCGGTGATCAGCCATGGCCGTGATCAAGATGCGGTGGTCCGAGGCAGATGGCAAGGTCGTCGACATGACGGGTGCAATCAGGTACTTCCGTTCACGCAAGGCTGGGTAGGTATGAGAGTGTGCACGTGCGTCGTCTTGTCCCCCAACATGACGTCGCGCAGAGAGGCTGATTACGCAGAAGAACAAATCGGCAACTGAGTTTGGCACTTTTATCACGAATGTTGACAGCGACGGGAGCGACGGGAACGCCCTGGACCAACGTGACCACGGTGGAATTGGCGAGAGGGGTTGGCCAGAGAATTGGGATGCCTGGTGCAAGTTAAAATCAGTTGGGCCGAGGGATGGTGGGTGTGTCCTGGGCGTTATCCGTGCATGAGCCGTGGTTGAATCGGGGACTTTAGGGTAAGTTTGAGGCTCGAGATGCATCTGTATCAAGGTACGTGAAAGCAAAAGCAGGCAGCGGGTTGGGGGCATTACCACTGGACTGGTATGGGTCAGGTTTGCACTTGAAAAGGCACCGGCGAGCGCAAGGCAGCGGGATGGCAGCCAATCAGGAGGACGGCAGAAGAAAAAAAAAGGGCTGTCGGGCGTTGGCGTCGTCGTCAGGGTCCCTTCGAGTCCCATCAAGTCCCAATCCGTTCTTGAGCAGCGAGTGACGCGCGGGCTCCACTTTGAGGCTGGTGAGTGGGTGTCAAGGTCGGCGTCGAGGCCGTCAAGCACCAGTCGAGCGACTCGCGCCGGTCAAGCCCCAGCTCAAGCCCCAGCACAAGCCCCAGTGGAGTGCGGAGTGGGCCCCCTCGAGGGAACAGGCCAGCCAGCAGGGGCCCCGGAAATGGCGCTAGCAAAGCAAGAGGAAATTAGGCGAGCGCAGCGAGGGAAACCGTTGGCCTGCTGGCAAAGCCGCGCCGCGTGTATAAAAATACAGCATACACATATAGAATGTCCGGCCTGCCCTCCACCCCGATTTTCCCACCTGGCCACCGGGACCGCAGCAGCTCCAGCGACAGGAGCTCCAGCACCACCACAGCTCCAAACGCACCCAGCCGACCAGCCAGCCAACCAACCAACACCAAATCAATCATCCCAGCGCCGGCTGCCACGGACCCGAATCCCGCGCCTGTCCACTTTTTTTCCTTTTGCATTTATTTGTTCCCTATCATTTTCGAAGCCGTTCCCAACTCAGGCCCGGGCCCCAGCCAGCTCACTTACACTGCACCGCGCTGTACCGCTACACTGCTCCTCCCGTGCTGCAACTCCCGTGCTGCAACCACCCTGCACCTCAGGCATCCCCAGCCGCCACGCCTCGCAAACTGGCCCCAATCCACCCGCCCGTCAACTTCCGCAACCGGGCCAACCGGGGCGGATCCAGCAAATAACGTCACCACCCGATACAATATCCATCCGTTTCGTATTTCGCCCGTTGGATCGCATTGAGTCGCGTTGGGTCGCATTGAATCGCCTCGCATCGCCTCGCCTTCCTCGTCATACAACTTCATCACGCTTTCAATCGCCCGTCGATTCCGCCGCATGCACCTAAGACGGTAACCCATCTTGCTACTGCTGGACCTTCCGAACTGGGCCGGGGGCCTCACCAGTCAGTGCTTTTTTAGCCAAGGCGCACGACACCCTGCCCCTGGGGGCTCTATCGCTGCACCAACTCCAACTCAGGCAAGTCACCTCGGCGCCCTTGCGCGCGTCAGCCGATTTTTTTCTTCACTATTTTCCACCAGCCCGTTCCTTTTATCCCGATCGTTCTTCCCCACACTACCTTACCTCCATTTAACTGCGTCATGGGTGATTCATTGCTCTCTGCCCTTTAATCAAGCATCCATGATTTGATGGCAGTGGCTTTTAATTACCCTTGACGTACCCCCAATCCCTTGCCTTGCCAATCGGAGCGGACTTTGTTTGCGCTCCGAGATACATCGTCTTCGGATGCATGCATCTCTATCCGGTGCCCCACTGCATCCCGTCGCGTCGCGCTACACGGTCCCGCGCCGCCGGGTACTAAATGACTGGCCTCGGTGCTTCCTTAAATCCCCATTTCTGCAACCCTGCGGCTACTAACATCCTGACCATAGAGATCGAAATGTCATGAATGCCGACCTTATTGACGCACTCACCTTCCAGACAAAATGGCATCAAGGTAGGCTTCCATCTCCTGCTTCGTTTTTGTCCATGACCGCCCTAACCGTCATCACAGACTTGACAGACTAGTCACGTGAGTACACGTTCCCCACCTATCTCGGAAGATCGCTGGTGATTGTCTTCACTTGTGAAGTCTTTGCGACCAGCGGGAACCCAAGCACTGCAAACCCATAGCTAACAAAACCAGGATTCTCGAGACGGGGAGTACGAGACTAATTCGAGATACTGCCGTCAACCAACTTGCCGATTGGCAGAGGCAACACCCAGATGAATTATTTAACCTCCTTTCCCGCGTTGTACCGTACTTGCGCCACAAAGAGTGGGAGACAAGGAGGACAGCTGCCTCGGCAATTGGCAAAATTGTAGATAATGCCCCTCTACACGACCCCAACGCCGACGATGCTCCAAGTGAGCCTAAAAAGGAGGAGCCCGCCGGCGAAAATGGCCACATTAAAAAGGAGGAGGAGGATGAGGAGGAGGAAGAGGATAAAGACTCGGCTTCACCAGACGACGATTTCTTTAAGCTTGAGTCTCTCGACGTCGAGATGATTCTTACGCACGGCCGAGAGTTGTTACGAGGCGGCGGAATCGAATACAGTCTTGCATCACTGGAACCTCAAGCCCGCCTGGCGCATCAGAAAAAGACACTCCTCGGGCGATTGGGTCTTCTCGGGAGGAAGTTCGAGGACGAGGAGATGCCCTTTTCTGGCGCTGAAGCCGCTCCCACGGCCCCCATGGATGCTAGCAATGGCAATGGTGTGAACCGAACTGATGGCGCCGGCCAAAGCCAACCGTCTGAAGAGTCTCAGTTGAGCTCGAGACAGCTGAATGTGCTGAAGCGAAAACGAAAACGAGAGGCCATGAAGGCGTCACAGGGAAAAGCCAGTTTTGGCGATCTTTCTGTCAGACGGTCATTGACTTCGGGATCCGAAATCCTAGTCGACGACTCTCAAACCGCCGACGGAGAGGCCAAGAAGAACGGGAAAGTGAATGACTACTTCAACCTCGACCGACCCGCCGACCTCGACGAGGACACCAAAGTGGTCAGCGAGTTCAAAGGTCCCGTCATCCCCATCAAGTCAGAACTTGAGGCCGAGGATACTACTGAAGGCTCAGAGTGGCCCTACGAACGTCTGTGTGATTTCCTCAAGGTGGATATATTCGACCCGTCTTGGGAAACACGACACGGAGCCGCAATGGGTCTGCGAGAGGTGATACGTGTCCACGGTGGAAGTGCTGGAAGAAGACATGGGAAAACCAGAGAAGAAAACGATGCTCTCAATCGGAAATGGCTCGATGACCTGGCATGTCGCCTCAGCTGCGTCCTAATGCTCGATCGATTTACCGACTACAGCTCTGACACATCCGTGGCACCAATTAGGGAAACCATCGGCCAATCCTTGGGCTCCGTTCTCAAACACCTTCCCTCGGTATCGGTCTACAGCACCTACCAAATTTTATATCGCATGGTTATGCAGGACGATCTTAAGCTTGATCGGCCAGTTTGGGCTGTTTGCCATGGTGGCATGGTCGGCCTGAGATACGTGGTGGCAGTCCGGAAAGACTTGCTTCTGAAGGACGGCGATATGATCGACGGTGTCATTCGAGCTGTCATGAAGGGCCTGGGTGACATGGACGATGATGTTCGTTCAGTCAGTGCCGCCACATTGATACCGATGGCCAAGGAGTTTGTGACGATGCGACCAGAGAAGTTGGATGGTCTTGTCAACATCATCTGGGAAAGTCTCTCCAACCTCGGTGACGATCTCAGCGCAAGCACCGGTCGAATCATGGATCTGCTTGCCACACTCTGCAGCTTCCCTGAGGTGTTGGAGGCAATGAAGACATCCGCAGCTCAGGACGAGGAGCGATCCTTCACTCTCCTCGTACCTCGCCTATACCCTTTCCTCCGACACACTATTACATCAGTTCGCCTGGCCGTTTTGAAGGCCCTTCTGACCTTTGCCAACCTTGGCGATGACACATCCCAGGGCTGGCTCAACGGCAGGATCTTGAGGTTGATCTTCCAAAACATTCTAGTTGAGAGGGACAAGGACGCTCTAAACATGTCTATGGACTTATGGGCGGCTTTGGTCGGCAGTCTGGCTAAGAACCCTGCTGTTCTTGCTGATGAGTTCGCGGCACACATAGATCCAATGATGCAGCTTACGTTGCACCCTATTGGAGTCTCGCGCAATCCGATCCCCATGAACGCCACCCTCTTCCAGAAGCCATCCGGCGGCACTTACACCATGCCAGGAGTTGTTCAACACGTCCCCAGAAAGTTGTCCTCGCCCGATGGTGCAGACCGAGCCCCGAAGCGCCGAAGAAAATCGACCAAGGTTGACGATGTGCCTACTAGTAGCCTGACCCATGATGTGGATGGCCACATGATGCAAGGCGATGTCGACCTCGTTGGCATGGACGTGTTGATCCGATCCCGAGTATCGGCGGCCAAGGCCATGGGCCTGATCATGTCTGCTGTTCCAGTACCGAACCTCGACGACTACGACGCACTACTAGTCCCTGGACTTTCATCCGCCTTCTCATCCACTCAACTCACAGCTTGTGCCGTCATCGATGAGTACGCAAAGAACTGCGAGACTCCGGGCGATTCTTCACGGTACCTCGATAACCTGCAACGCATGGTAGAGTCGGAACGTCCGGCAGCGTACAGGGATCTGGTCAACTTTATCCAGCGAGTCCGAACGCAATGTCAGCAGCTGCTCCACTTCTTCCGAGATCACGGGAAGGTGTCCCACAGCAGATTGCCGACCCTTCCTGTGGTGGTTCAAGGAGAAGCCGAGGCCGGCCCTAGCGCATTTTCGATTGCTATGGCTGAGAAATGCGTTAGCGACGACTACGAGAAGCTGAAGAAAATCATGTCTCCAGGTCAACGTCTGATTGCCAGCCAGCAACTTGCCGAGGCTCGCGATGTGACGTTCCTGGCAATTCAGGAGGCCAAGAGTGTCAAGGCGGCTAGAGATGTCAGAATCAAGGCGGCAGCCGCTTGTGCTATGGTTGCAATGAACATTCTACCCAAGAAGCCTAGCCCTCTGATCAAGGGTATCATGGATTCCGTCAAAACAGAGGAGAGTCAGCTGCTGCAAATCCGATCTGCAGACACCATCGCGAGATTGGTGCAGCTGTTTACCAACAAGGGCCGGAGAGGCCCAGCTGACAAGGTTGTTTCAAACCTGGTCAAATTCTCCTGCGTCGAGGTCGCAGAGACACCGGAGTTCCCTGTCCATGCCACTAAGACTGACTGCGTTCTCTCGATGCAAAAGGAGGAAGATAGAGTTGACCATGCCGATGCTGCCAAATGGGCCAAAGAGGCGAAAGCAGCTCGCATCACCAGACGCGGTGCCAAGGAGGCGCTCGAGATCCTCTCAAGAACCTATGGGGCCAAACTGCTGGAGACGGTGCCTAGTTTGCGAACCTTCATGGAAGCGCCCCTGGTCAAGGCATTCTCAGACAGCCTCCCCGAGGAGGCCAAGGACCCCGAGCAGAACTTTGGACAGGAGATTGTCGATGCTATGTCTGTCATTCGGACTATGACACCGACTCTTGACACGGCTCTGCACTCTTTCGTGATGGAGATGATGCCCCTGGTTATCAAAGCTCTCCACTCGGAACTTTCGGTCTTCCGCTACATGGCAGCCAAGTGCCTTGCTACCATTTGCAGTGTTATCACCGTGGATGGTATGACTGCACTCGTCGAGAAGGTTCTGCCATCAATCAACAACCCCATCGACCTCAGCTTCCGCCAGGGTGCCATCGAGGCCATCTACCACCTCATCGCTGTCATGGGCGATTCCATCCTCCCATATGTCATTTTCCTCATCGTGCCCGTGCTGGGACGGATGAGCGATTCCGACAACGAGATTCGTCTCATCGCTACAACATCCTTTGCTACGCTCGTGAAGCTTGTACCTTTAGAAGCCGGCATTCCCGACCCACCTGGTCTATCCGAGGAGATGTTCAAGGGCAGAGACCGCGAAAGAACCTTCATCGCACAGCTGCTGGACCCTAAGAAGGTAGAGGCATTCCAGATCCCTGTGGCCATCAAAGCCGAATTGCGATCGTACCAGCAAGAAGGTGTCAACTGGCTCCACTTCCTCAACAAATATCACCTCCACGGCATCCTTTGTGATGACATGGGTCTTGGAAAGACGCTCCAGACTCTTTGCATCGTTGCCAGTGATCATCATCAACGTGCCGAGGAATACGCCAAGACACAGTCCCCTGATGCTCGAAGGTTACCGTCGCTCATCGTTTGCCCACCGACACTCTCTGGGCATTGGCAACAGGAGATCAAGGCCTATGCCCCATTCTTGAGTGTGACCGCGTACGTGGGGCCGCCGATCGAGAGAAAGATGATGAGAGATAAGCTTGGAGAAACCGATATTGTCATCACCTCTTACGATGTGTGCCGCAATGATTCCGACATCCTCGATAAACATAACTGGAATTACGTCGTGTTGGATGAAGGCCATCTGATCAAGAACCCCAAGGCCAAGATCACGCAGGCGGTTAAGCGACTGGCTAGTAACCATCGCCTTATTCTCACCGGCACGCCAATTCAAAACAACGTTCTTGAGTTGTGGTCTCTGTTCGACTTCCTCATGCCTGGTTTCTTGGGCGCGGAGAAGGTCTTCTTGGATCGGTTTGCCAAGCCAATCGCGGCGAGTCGATACAGCAAAGCGTCCTCCAAGGAGCAGGAAGCTGGTGCGCTCGCCATTGAGGCCCTCCACAAGCAGGTTCTTCCCTTCCTGCTGCGTCGTCTCAAGGAGGAGGTGCTAAACGACCTCCCACCGAAGATCCTGCAAAACTACTACTGCGATCTGAGCGATCTGCAGAAGAAGCTCTTCGATGACTTTACTAAGAAACAGGGCAAGAAGATCCAGGCCGAGGCTGGTCGCGAGGACAAGGAATCCAAACAGCACATCTTCCAAGCTCTGCAATACATGCGCAAGCTGTGCAACTCGCCTGCCATGGTCATGAAGCCTGGGAATACCCTTTACGAGGAGACGCAGAAGATTCTCCGGAAGCAAGGAACATCTATTGATGATCCCCGACATGCACCGAAACTGACTGCCCTGAGAGATCTTCTGGTGGACTGCGGTATTGGCGTCGAGGGAGGAGACTCCAACGACCCCCTGTACCAACCCATCAAACCTCATCGCGCGCTCATCTTCTGTCAGATGAAGGAGATGCTTGACATGGTTCAGAACAAGGTCTTGAAGGAGCTGCTTCCTTCAGTATCTCACCTGCGGCTTGATGGTTCCGTCGAGGCCAACAAGAGACAGGATATTGTCAACAAGTTCAACAGTGACCCGTCGTATGACGTCCTCTTGTTGACTACCAGCGTTGGTGGTCTTGGTCTCAACCTGACGGGAGCCGATACCGTCATCTTTGTGGAACATGACTGGAATCCTCAGAAGGATCTGCAGGCCATGGACCGAGCTCATCGAATCGGTCAGAAGAAGGTGGTGAACGTGTACCGACTCATCACTCGTGGAACACTCGAGGAGAAGATCTTGAGCCTCCAGCGATTCAAGATTGATGTGGCGTCAACCGTCGTCAATCAGCAAAACGCCGGTCTTTCGACAATGGATACGGACCAGATCCTAGACTTGTTCAACCTGGGAGACTCTGGACCAAGCCTCATATCTGACAAGCCTCAAAATAGCATGGAAGGCAGAGAAGAGGACATGGTGGACCTCGAAACAGGCGATGTCGTCCAGCCTGGAAAGAAGGCATGGCTGGACGACTTAGGAGAGTTGTGGGACAACAAGCAGTACGAGGAGAGTTTCGACCTCGACGACTTCATGAAGACCATGTCCTGAGTTGCTTAGAACTTAGCTGGACGATAACGATCCTACATATTTCTAATTGGGCCACCGAGGAGACTGGGACGAGCATGGTCTTGCTAGAGAAAAGGGTGTTTTGGGGCTCATCAATACCTATTTGCCTGTATCATAGAACATTAGCGAAGGAGTATTACTGTTTGTATCAATGTCAATGGGACCCGAGAAAGCGGATCTACGGTTTTACACCAACCGAACCAAGTTTCAATTGTGTTCGCCCTTTGCTAGTAGATGATACAACAAGAAATGAGGATGCGACGATCTTCACCACTTCTATCTCCAAGGGAGAATAAGAAGACCAATTCCATTTGGTGGCCCTCTTGACATTTCTTCAGTCATAGATTAATACTGTGCCAGAATCCGGGAAACCTCTCACTTAGAATCAACCAGCTCGATGAACAAGTTCCTCTTTATTCCAACTGCGGTAATGCATTCCAAGGCTTGACTTGTGTGTGTGAGTAGCAACACTCGCATCAAAAGACCCTAGGTGAAGTTCTGAGAGCCGCCATTCCCAAAAGAAGCCAACAGTGGGAAGCGTAACGTCCTGATCCAAGATGATGCGTTTTCAGACCCATACATCTGGCACAGCGGACATATACCTAATTCCATGACAAGCATTGCATCAATCAACCAGCGTAATTGGTTTAGTGGTAAAATTCTCCGTTGCCATTCGAGCAACGTCGGGGAGCCCTGGGTTCGATTCCCAGATTACGCAACGTATTAAGTGCCTCATCGGCTCTGCGACTTTTCTTTTTTTGCCCTTCCTGTGAATTTCTTGTTGGTGTTTTGTGCCTTGCGTGTCTCTTTGCCGGGGAATGTGTGGTTGGCGAACTGGTGGTTGACTGTGGCGCACGGTGCCAAAGCCACACCCGCTCGAGTCTCGATGGTGGGGTGCTCGATTGGGAACCCCGCTATCATGTTCCAGCTTCAAGCCCCGTCCAGAATCTTCCACTGTGTGCGGTTATAATACAGCTCTTTCTTTACATCAACTGGTAGGCAATTCTTTTTTGTCTGTATCACGCCACTTTCAGGTTTAACTGTCCAGTGGTAGCACGAGCCTCTTTGCAAAGATGCCGGTCGACTACAGCAAATGGGTATGCAGTCTTGACCTCGCCTCACCCCTCTCGGCTTCTGGCAGATCCTGCTGACACGCGCTATTCGTCTAGGACGCCCTGGAGCTCAGTGATGACTCTGATATCGAAGTTCACCCCAACGTCGACAAGAGGTCCTTCATTCGCGCCAAGCAGAACCAGATCCACCAGGAGCGCCAGCAGCGGAAGCATCAGATCGAGACGCTCAAGTATGAGCGCATCATCAACGATGGCCTGATGAAGCGCATCTCGGCGCTCCTGGCCTCGCTGCGAGCCCATGCATCCGAGGCAGCCACCCGAAACCCCGCTGAGGTTGCTTTCCAGGCCGTGATGGAGTCGGCTGGGAACCCTGGCGACGACAAGCCGCCGCCACGGCCCGAGGGTGTCCACAGCGACGAAAAGGAGCTCCCCACATACTCCAAGATGATGGCCACTCTACTGGACCAGGTCAACAAGGCCCTGGACGAGAAGAAGCCCGAGAGCAGGTACGATGGGATGGTCGCGGAGATCCAAGAGCACGAGAACAAGGTCAAGACTCTGCAGACAGAGCTTGTGGCAAAGCTGGAGGAGCTGCAGAAGGAGGAGGGCAAGAAGATTACCAGCGAGGGTCTCCACACTGGGTTCAACAGCTCGCATGTCAACAAGTCGAAGCCCGCAGACAAGCCGGAGGGTACCCAGGTGGAGCTCCTGAACCCAGGCTTCGCGACTGCCTCTGGATCTGAAGGTGCGAATGAGCCGGTCAAGGTGGACAATGATGACGAAATCGAGTCGTCCCCGGCAGGCAAGAAGTTTGGAACGATCCGGGCCAATGATTACTCGTCGAGTTTGCAGTTCCTGTCACAGAACCCCCAGATTCTGGTGGAGAAGGAGACCGACGGGCTGCTGGTCTCGGCATTTGATGCCGCCCTTGAGAACAAGGACGACCTCGCTCGGCAATACGTGCACCAGGCGTTGCTCCTACAGTACTGCCGTGCTCTGGGTAAGGACGGCGTGGGCCTGTTTTTCAAGCGAATCACGACCAAGGGCCACCAGGCACAGGAGGTCTTCTACAAGGATGTCCAGGACACATTCATGAAGATCCGAACACGGTCACGGGAGATTATTGCGGAACGAGCCAGGGACGGAGAGGCGGAGGGCGTGGAGCAGATCCAACTGCACGCAGTGGAGCCCGGAACGGTGATCCAAATCAAGGTGCCGGCGGCGGACAGCCAAGACCCGGAGGAGCAGGAGGCCCGCAAGGTCTACGAAAGCTTCAAGCCGGAGATGAAGAAGGCCCTGGAGTCGGGAAAGCTGGACGAGGTGAACAAGGTGCTGGGCAACATGAAGGTTGACGAGGCTGAGGAATTGGTCGGTCTATTTGGCGAGGTACGTGACTGTGTCCCTTGTCTCCAGCCCCCAGAACAAAAGCTAACAAAGCGGTTGACAGGCCAACATCTTGAGTTTGGAGGAACAGATTATCGATGCGACCACGGAGGAGGGCCAGAAGCAGCTCAAGGAAATTGAGGCTGCGGCGGCGGAGGGCAGCACGCAGCCGAAGTATGCCGACCCGGAGTAAGGATGTTGACCATGGTGTGTGATACGGTGCGAGGATACCATTGAACACGGGTGGGATGCAGATCACATAAGCAAACGCAAGCAAATATCACGTACGTAGTACATGTAACGGTAGTTGGCGGATGGGTGCAGCAGTAGCTACAGTATGGTGGTGAGAAACCAGCTCAATGATGACCAACGTCGACCCAAACCGTTTGTCGGGTGAATGCAGCGATGATGTCATGCGGTTGGCAGTGGGACGGACGTGAATTTTGTCAGTCTTTCGGTGTCCACGATGCAAATGTCGATTTTGGACCGGAGCGGAATCCTCAAACAGTTCCTGTTCGGCAGTTGCGCCAAGCCGGTCGCATGGATCGATCATCATGGCACTGCAGCACTGTAGCATTGCATCACACACCATCTGGCGCGGTGCGCGGGACGCGTGTATAATTCAGCACCGTGGCTCTGGCTCTCGGCGCTGGGCCGTTGGCTCTCGGCGCCGGTGCATAAAAATAGCATCAGTGCCCACTACACCTGGGACAACAAAGCGTTCGAGTCCTGCGACTTGCACTGCCTCCCCACCGCCACCGACTTTTGTACATGCAGCTTGCGTTTGGGCTTGTGCTTGTGCTTGTACAGTACGCAGTCATCCGGTGGCGGGGCTGACGAGGCAGCTGGACGTTTATGGGTGTGGATGACATGCAAGTGGGCGCACACGAGGCTGGATTGCTCTTTGTAGATGCGAGATGCGAAATGCATAACCATACGGACAGAACAAGGTCGAATGTTGGCCTGCCAGATTCTAGAATCCAGGGAGCCGGGGTAGATATTTGTGGACCTTTGAATACGGGGTCCCCTGGCCTGATCGATCACCTCTGAACATGAAGCTCTGGATGTCTGCCGTATTACTTCATAATACCGGGCTGTTGTAAGTACGCCGCCACCTCTGCGGAAACCACTCTTTCGATGGGCTGTGAAGATGCGGTGGAAAAAAAATCCTGACCCCCATAATTAGTGCAGATCTATATCATCAAAGAGCTTCCGGAGTAGTCCGTGACATCAGAGATGTTAATCTCGCACGCCAAGTTTCTAGCACTCGAGCCCATTTCGGTTTGTCTCATGGTCCAAGCCAGCAGGGAACGGAACGTGTATCCACTCTAACAACCCTGGAGGCCGTACTGAGTACTGAGCACTCCGTACACGAGTAGGAAATTCAATGTAATTACTACGCAGGCCGCCGCGAGAGAGCACTACCTGCCTAGCATCCACCGTCTGTAGCTTGCGATGCAATGTCTTTGAATGCCATGTCCAGGCTGACGGGCATCTTGGCGAATAGCCGTGGTGCCGTTCCAAGACGGCGCTATAGCGGCCACTGTAAATAAACCCGCACAAGGCAGTGCTGACCTTGGCATCGATAGCTCCAACCCCTCGTGGTCAGCCCTTTTTCTGACGGCACACAAAGCGCAGTGCAAAAGCAGCAGCATTGGTCGAATCAGGCGCTGTTGGGATGCAGTCGTCACTCTGCGTGCGTCCAGAGTCGTGAATACGTAGCGCGGCTCGTTATGCCACAACTCGCAAGGGGTTTCAAAAGCGTACCAAGTACAAGATGCCGACCCGCTGCTGACGTTTCGGGAGGCGCAGCAGCGCTGTTTTCCCCCGTTGGGTCCACTGCAGGGAGCGCCATTGGCCTGGCTCTTCCAAACCGCCTCCCGCCGCCTCGTACTGGCACGTACGTACCTACGTACTGTACGTGTGTCATAGTGTCATAGTAGGGGTCCTCCTCTGTCGGGCGTCCGATTTAGGGACCCAGGCGCTGTTTGGGTGGTCCATTACAGGGGCTCTGGGGAGGGATACAGTATTACACAGCCGAAGAACTGTGAAGACTTGCAGTGCAGCACACACACAACTCAGCACCCAGAAAACCGGGGCCAGGCGACGTCAGCTCTCTCTGTCTTCTCTCTAGCACGGGGCAAAGGGCTGCGCTTCAGCTCCACTACCTGCAGATGAGGCAGTCTGGGCTGTCCCTTGCTCTGTTTCGTATCGACTATATCCTCTTCAACCTTTCTGCCTGCTTGGATTCACTTTGTTCTGTTGCTATTCTCCTGCTCCTTTGTCTGTCCGGGTTCCACTTTCTTCCACTTCAGTCCTTCGCTGCTACTGCCTCTACGAGGAATTCTCATAGACAGTCACTCTCACATCCACACCACACATCCTCACCACACATCCACATCTTTCTCTCATGATGCTTCCTTCGTCACTCTACCGCTCGGCCACCGCCGGAGCTCTCGCTCTCTTTGCCGCCGTCGCTTCCGTCAGCGCTGCCACGGCTTGCAACAACTCACCCAGCCTCTGCAGCCGCAACTACAACAATATCACACACATGGGCGCCCACGGCAGCTCGTTCCTTCGCGACGGCACCAGCAGCGTCGCAGCCGCTGGTAACCAGTTCAACAACGCCACCGTTGCCCTCAACGCCGGCATCCGACTTCTCCAGGCCCAGGTCCACGTGTCCAGCAATGTGCTTCGCCTGTGCCATACTTCGTGCGAGTTGCTCGACGCCGGCACCCTCGAGGACTGGCTGGTTAAGATCTATGATTGGATGAACCAGAACCCCAACGAGGTCGTCACTCTCTTGCTCGTCAACTCAGATGATGCCACAGCCTCTGAATTCGGCTCCGTCTTCAACAGCTCCGGCATTTCCGATCTGGCCTACACGCCTTCTAGTACGCAGAGCCCGACTAGCGACTGGCCCACCTTGACGTCCATGATTAGCAGTGGTGGGCGCCTTGTTAACTTCATCACCAACATCGACGCCAGCACCGACTACGCCTTCCTGCTGCCCGAGTTCGACTACGTCTTCGAGACTGCCTTCGAGGTCGCCACGCTCGACGGCTTCAACTGCACACTCGATCGCCCCTCCAGCGCCGATTCCGCGGCTTCCGCCCTCTCCAGCGGCTTCCTCAGCTTGGCCAACCACTTCAAGTACCAGAGCCTCAGCACTACGCTCTCGCTCTATATCCCCGACGTGTCCAATATCGAAATTGTCAACAGCGCCAACACCACCGAGGCCGGTAACTTGGGTCTGCATCTGCAGGATTGCAAGAGCGAGTGGGGTCTCATCCCGAACTTTGTCCTCGTTGACTTGTTTGAGGAAGGCAACGTCTTCACGGCCCTCGACCGCATGAACAATATTTCCGATGCCACCGGTCGTGAGAAGGTCGCAAGCAGCGCCGACGACCAGTCCAATGCCAGCCGCGGCGACAAGGGCATGGGCCCTGTTGCTCTGATCGCGTTCGTCGCAGCGGTCATCATGCTGGTGTAAGGACCCGTCTATTTCATTACCACACCACCTACACATACATATACCCATACACCAACCTATGGACGGGTTGGGCATTTAAGCACCTGAGTTTATTGATTGAGCATAAAGCGAGGCGTTTTGGGAGCGGATTTGCATTGGGAAGGGCTTTGCCCGAAAATTGATTTTCTTGCTGGTTGGTTTTCTTGGTTGCGGCATCTTTTGGAATAGATTTATATCATCTGGAGATTGAAGCCGTGTTTCCCGTAGATGGAAATCGGCGACCGAACACAATTAGATAGACTCATGAATGACAAGGCACAAAAAAAAAAAAGCCACAAGTTGATTCATCTGATTGGCCCCGATGCCTTTGCGTGAGATGTTGCTGCTGATGGCAGTGTGGAGATGAATCGTAAGTCAGCGTTGGTGTTTTTGTTAGCTTCCGTGACGGTTCGCTGCCCAATTGGCACTCGCATTTTCAACTTCCGAGCACTCCATACGCATTCATCTCGACTTCGGCCAACGCCACCTTCCAATCCAACACCCCCCCCGAACGATAGCATAAATCCTCCAAGATTAACGAATTAGCACCATAGGAGCGATGGACTACGCCAGCATTGCTACGCCGTCGGCCTGCTATGCTGACTTCTGCCTCCTCCCCGTGAGTCGCGTGCCTGATTTGCCACCGCATGTCTCGGGGTCCCGTTTTGGCGCTGACATTGGCTGGGATAGATTGGCACTGGCAGCGTCTCTGTGGCAGAGGATATTGCAGAGGTGCAGAAGGTGCTCAAGGCGAGCGGGCTGAAGTATACTCTGCACTCTGCTGGGACGACTGTTGGTGAGTCATTTACCTCTCGCTTCCTCCCGTTATACCCACATTGCGACCAGGCTCTCGTCAAGGCGTAGCAGAGACGCGCAGAAGCTAACATGTCAACTTTGCAGAGGGCCAGTGGGACGAAGTCATGGCGGCGGTTGGCAAGGCCCACGCCGTGGTGCACAAGCGTGGCGTCGTGAGGGTTCAGTCATCCATGAGGGTCGGCAGTAGGTGAGTTTTCCGCATCCTGGCTTCGCAGCATATCATGTGCGCGGAGATACTGATGGATCGTGCTGTGGCAGGACGGACAAGAAGCAGACGGCCGAGGACAAGGTCAAGCGGGTGGAGGGCCTGTTGGCTGCGGCGGGGGAGAGCAAGTGAGGCGCCATACGGGCAATGAAGCCTCTGGATTCTGCATCGCCATCTGCGGATGGGTCCATAGATGCCGAGGCAGTCAAACAGTGGAGGACGAGATACGTAAATAGATGACATGAAACTCCATATCTGGCCTCCCATCAGTGCTGCCAAGATGCCGTGTCCCAGCCCACGAGTCTCCGGTCCACCGGGCAAAAAACAAGTCTTCCGCTGCCGTCCCGGTCACGGCGGCCTCGCACACCCCCCCGTCCTCGCATCGAAGGCCGCCGGCACTGCCAAAACAATGTGTCAACTCGTAGTCGAGCCCCGCAAATCCGGGGGAATATACCGGCGGCTCGATTGCCTGTCTGGTCTATTACGTACAGCCCGCCCCCGCCCGGGAGATGGCCTTTCCTCCGATGGCGATGCTCTGTTATCCGGCCGGACCCCGGAGGTCGACTGCCCCGGCGTCGCCGTCCCCCTCCGGCTTCCCCCCGCCAGCGTCCTGGAGACCATGTCCCGTCGGCGGCGCATGTAGCTTACTCGCACGGGGGATTTGAAGGGTGTGCAATTGGCTAGCTGGAAACTCGGGGGTTTGGCGCTTGGTGCTCGGTTCCTACAATAGCCGTTTGCTGCGCAGAGACGTTCGTAGTGGCGGTTAATACACCGGGGCGGTCCCATGACGGAGGTACCGGGGTGGAGACGTCGATTTTTTCCCCATCACTTGTTGCTGGATGTTTCGGTCTGGCGGTCCGCGGGCGAGATCGGAGCCTGGCCTAAGACAAACTTGGTCAATAACTACCTAGTCAATGGGCCTAGAGTTGGTGTCATGGCTATCTACGACCGACCGGCCGGCGGGAAGGACAAGTCTGTCTATCTGATGAGATGTTTGTCGTAGGTAATCAATCCCGTGTCTTTGCCTATCTGGCTCCCGTATCACGGCCCGTATCACGGCATCGCAACACTCTCTCTGGACTATCGCTGTCAACATGTGTATGGTTCGCAGCGGCGACAACGCTCGCCCAATGGAAGCAGGCGTCTGTATCAGCAACCTCCGCGTCTTGACATGCAGGGAGACCCTCCGGGCGGAAATGTGTCTCCAGCTGCAGAAGCTTGCTGTCAGTGTCGCAGCTGAGTCGACGATGCAGCATGTCGCGACACAGCTGTAAGCCAAAGCCCAGCAGTCTCCTCGCAAACGCCGGGAAACCAATCGCCCGCGCGGATGCAACTAGATGCCGCTCCAATTTGCCACGGGTACCGGGAGTGCTCCCTCCCTTTCGCTCTTGACGTGACACACAGACGTCCGTGTACAAAGACACGTTTTGCCCATCCAGACACATGACCAGTCGACGTCACGGTGGTGTTTGATCTCCGAGGCGGCGAGCACGGGCTTGCTGTTCCCCGCGGTTCGCACGCCTCCCCGGCGGCCAAGTGGGGCCGGCAATCGTTCCCGGTCGTGGCGGGGTGTGGCTTTGCCCTGCAATCGTCGCTCCTTTAGCCAATTCTCCCGCCGTTCTGGTGTGTCACCTAGTTAAGCTTCTGGGGCTACTCGGTCTCTGGTGACCTTCCTTTCTCGGTGAGGCCGGAACCGGACCGGTTCGCGGTGCGGTTGGGAGCCGTAGCCGGCCCAAGCGCATCGACGACGACCACGGACAGGGCGTGTGCTGAAGGTCGTCGCTTGATGCTGAGCGGCGATCAAGATCTGATGGGACCGGAGGCGTGTAACCCGGCGATCTGGTTTTTATTTTCCCCCATTTGCTGCGTTGGGAGGCGTGCGCGCAACGAAAATGGCCTGGGCCCAGCAAGACAACACCAGCCCCGGGTGCCGGTGGCGGGGCTTGAGCGATGGTGATAACCTCACCGGCACGCAGGCGGCTCCGGCTTTTAAACTGGAATCAGGAGCAAGGGAGTACGCAAAATTGATAAAATTCGATGGTTTCATAACTGGGTTTGTAGATTTGACACCGCAACACTGAGCTTTGTCTTGTATTGCACATGTTGAGTTGTAGAACCGAAACATCCTAGTTTCCACCACATCAGAATCAAGCACATGTTGCAACAAAATTTACAAAATCAAAATCCTTCAAGCTCTTGAGGCCATTTCGAACGATTCTGAACATTGTCTGCGCCGTCCCGTGATCCTCGCCGTGGTGTTGACGAGGTGAATGACGCCCTCCCTCTCTCACCTCGGTGGCAGCCGTGGCAATGGCATGGCCCACTCCCTCTGACCCAAAGAGGCAAGGCCATGGAAGCTTCTGCCAGGGATTCTTCTGTCACAGCTCAGAGCCTCGCGGGTTTGGCGGTGTCTCGTCGGCACCCATGTCGCGTTCTTGCGTTACCGCGGTTTGCCGCTCCGTTGCGTAGCATAGTCATAGGTGCCCGCGTCTAAGTGGCGTATACGGGTCACAGTTTCACTTACACGCCGAAGAAGCCGCTGAGTTGGTGGGTTTGCAAGTTCTACTATTCATGTCGCATCTATCTCGCATTATATAGAACCAACGCTCGGCTCTCTAAGCACATCTCTTGGGTATTCCATGATCCTCCGTAATCCGTCTAAAACTCAAAGAAAACTCATGCGTCAATGCCAGTCATGACCATCTTGGTCACAGTAAACTCGTCAATGCCGTACTTGCTTCCCTCACGGCCGAAACCGCTCTGCTTTACACCGCCGAATGGGGCAGCGGGATCGCTCAAAACGCCTGGAAATACGTGTTAGTCAATTCTGCGTGAAAACAACTTCACATTGTTGAGAGGAAAACTTACCGACGTTGACGCCGACCATGCCGACATCGAGGGCCTCAGCCACTCGCCAGCAGCGACTAACATCCTTGCTGAAGAAGTACCCTCCGAGACCGACATCAGTGTCGTTGGAAATCTCAATAGCCTCCTCCTCGGTATCAAAGGCAAAGAAGGCAGCGACAGGGCCAAAAGTCTCCTCGGTGCAGATCTTCATACCAGGCTTCATATCCGTGAGGACAGTCAGTCCGAAGAAGTTGGCGCCGAGATGCGGCAGACGCTTGCCTCCGTGGAGAACACGAGCGCCCTTTTCCACGGCGTCTTGTACGTGCTCCTCGACCTTGGCGACGGCGCGGCCGTGGATGAGGGGGCCGTGAGTAGTTCCCTCGACAAAGCCGTTGCCGACGGTAAAGGTCTGGACAACGTCGAGAACCATCTTGACGAACTTGTCATAAATGCTGCGGTGCACCAGGATGCGGTTGGCGCAGACGCACGTCTGTCCGGAGTTTCGGAATTTGCAGGCCATCAGGCCGCGAACAGCAACCTCCAGGTCTGCGTCCTCAAAGACGATAAAGGGAGCGTTCCCGCCCAGCTCGAAAGACAGCTTCTTAATAGTCGACGAAGACTGGTTCATGAGAATTCTCCCTACTCCAGTAGAGCCGGTAAAGGAAACCTTCTTAACAGCGGCGTGAGTGGTCAGGACCTTGCCAACCTCAGCCGTGTTATCCAAAGCAGTAATAATATTGACCACACCGGCGGGAATACCGGCTCGATGGGCTAGCTCAGCAATGGCAAGGGCAGTAAAGGGCGCCTCAGCGGGAGCTTTAACAACAACGGAGCAGCCAGCGGCGAGCGCAGGGCCGACCTTGCGAGTGATCATGGCGGCCGGGAAGTTCCATGGTGCGATAAGACCGCAGACGCCCACGGGGTGCTTGAGGGTGACGATGCGGCACGAAGGGTTGCTGGCCTCAATGGTCTCGCCGTAGATGCGAGGAGCCTCCTCGGAGAACCACTCAAAGAAGTTGGCGGCATACGTGACCTCGCCCTTGGCCTCGGCCAGCGGCTTGCCGTTCTCGAGGGTGATGAGACGCGCCAGGTCGTCGGCGTTCTCGATCATGAGATCATACCAGCGGCGGAGCAGGCGGGCCCTCTGGCGAGCCGGGGTCTTGCGGTACGAGGCAAAAGCGACGGCGGCAGCTTCGATAGCGGCCTCGGTATCCTGGGCGTCGAACTCGGGACACTGGGCCACTTCTTCCTGGGTCGCCGGGTCTGCAGCAGCGCGATGCACAGGTCAGCGGATTTGCTCATTGCTGTTGGTGCGAGTAACGGCCCAACGGGGGGGAAAGCAAAGGTCAAATAATTGTTGAGGGTCAGGGTCAGGGGGGTGTAGGCTGTAGCTATTGCTGCTCCCACGGGATGGGTTGGTTGCAACTCACTCTCGACGCTGAAGACCTTGCCGGACTTTGCAGCAACCCATTGGCCGTTGACGTAGCAGGCCTCCTTCAGTAGCGAAGGGTCGTCGAGCTGCAGCATACAAGGGCGGCAACGCACCTTGGAGGAGGTGGTTGTGTTTGGGACGACCATGATCATGATGGTGGCGTGGTGGAGATGGTAGGACAGGGGAAAGATTGGTGCAGAGACTCGGTGTAAGTGAGGCCCGGCTCAGAGGTCAAGATGAAGGTGAAGATCAAGATGGAGATTCAGATGGAGAGATCAAGATCAGGATCAAGAGGATGGATATCTTTTTTTTCTCTCCCTCTGTCCTCTACAAACAAGATTCTCTTCGGCCCTTCCGGTATCCCTATCTATGCCCAGCGGCCATGATGCCTTATACCTCCGAGCTAGGTCAGGAGTTTGACCGAAGACACGGCAACGCTCCCGGCTGGCGGTTTGGCTCTTTGGGCAGACGCGGCATCGTCAGCATCGACAAGCTCCCCACCCATCACGACGACGATCGCAAATGCGTTTTGCTTGGAGGAGCACGATGCCGCCGTTGAAGCCGGCCGGTCTGGGCCTGTCCCGGACCGGCAACGGCCATGATTAATTCGCAATGGGGTGTGGTGAGGGCGTGTACGGAGGTGGCGTCTAGTGTCGAGAGTGGGGAGCAGTTCCAAGGTGTACGATGCACTGTAGTTACAGTGGGGGGGGGGGCTGGTTTCCATTGAGGAGCCCTGGAGAAGGAGAAAAAAAAAAAGGTTCGGCATGTCACACGGGGGCAACGAAGCCAGGGGACCGGGCCACTGAACGGCCACTAGACGGCCACTGAACGGTCGGTAAGAGCCAGTGGGGGAGCTGGTTCCAGGCGCTTCGACCAGCTGTCCTGTTGCGGGTGGTCGGTGGTTCGAGGATCAGAGACAGCGATCGCTGGCAGCTGGCTGGTTCAGTGGCCGGGCGGCCCTGGCAGTGGCGCTGTGCTCCGTAATAATCGTCACGGACATTGCCCTGTTTTCTGCCTTCCTTTCCTTTGCCATGTTGTTGAGCTGCTATGGTATGTTGTTGCGGGTTAGCAAGAGCCAAGATCAAGCGCCCAAGTTACATCCAGCTCACTGTCGTTGCACAAGGCGCTTTGGCTTTTGGGGGACATGGACATCCGCCGTGCATCGGCAAATGCGTCGTTCGTGCCAATGCGCAACAGGGAAGGAAGATTGACCAACGCGGGTCCCTGGTCCAAGTACCGTGCCTACCCCAAACACGGGCAGCAACTTGCAAACTGCCATTCCTTGGCCGTCGCCCTTGCCTTTTCGAGGTTGGCTGTCCTTGCCTTTCCAGGTTGTTCTTGCACCTCCTCCGCCTCCACCTCCACCTCCACCTCCCCCGTGCTGCTACGTAAGGTAGGTAGTACACACTAGAGGTACCTGCCTTCCTGCCCAGTGCTACACCCTAAATGTGGCGGCGCCGTGGTCTCGTGAGCCTCCGGCTTCGTCCCGGTTGCCTCGACTCCGGTCCCACGGCCGTCCCACGAGCCGCAATGCCCGATGCCTGAGCTGCCCGTCGCTCCTCTCTCTCTTGTTGAACGTCGCTCTAGCTCAACTCCGCTCAGCTCCACGCTCGCAGATCAATGGCCGCTGTGCATGGGTTCCTTCGGCCGGCGTGCCCTCTCCCTCGGCCCAGCGCCTAGCCACGGCCAATTGCTATAATAGCTCCTCCCCCAGCTTCTTCTTTTCCATCTCCAGTCCAAGCCATCTCTCATCTTCATTCCTCAAGAGTCATCCGAAGAGTCAACTCATACACGCCCTTCACGATGCCTTCCTTCGTCGAGACCCCCGTTACCACCGAGATCCCTGGCCCCGTCTCCCGGGCCAGCACCAAGCGACTTGATGCCATCTTCGATGCTCGTGCCGTCCACTTCGTTGTGGACTACAACAAGAGCAATGGCAACTACATTGTCGATGTCGATGGCAACAAGTACCTCGATGTGTATGTCTAAATTTACCCACCAACCCATCCATCCTTAACCATGCTAACATGACCCTTCTCCAGCTACGCCCAGATTGCCTCCATCCCCGTTGGTTACAACAACACCACCCTGATCGAGGCTGCCAAGTCCCCCGAGATGGCCTCCGCCCTCGTCAACCGCCCCGCCATGGGCAACTTCCCCTCCGACCAGTGGGTTGACATCCTCCGGGACGGCCTCATGAAGGTCGCTCCCAAGGGCCTCAGCTACATCTTCACAGCTCAGTCCGGCTCCGAGGCCAACGAGCTGGCCTACAAGGCTGCCTTCATGCTTTACACCCGCCGCAAGCGTGGTGAGGGCGTCGAGTGGACCGATGAGGAGACCAAGTCTTGCCTCAACAACTCCAAGCCCGGTTCCCCCGAGCTCGCCATCATGAGCTTCCAGAACTCCTTCCACGGCCGTGGCTTCGGCTCCCTCTCCACCACCCGCTCCAAGGCTGTCCACAAGCTCGATATCCCTAGCTTCGACTGGCCCCAGGCTCCTTTCCCCGCCCTCAAGTACCCCCTCGCCCAGCACACCGAGGAGAACGCCGCTGAGGAGAAGCGTTGCCTCGAGGAGGTTGAGCGCCTCATCAAGTCGTGGCACCACCCCGTGGCCGGTCTCATTGTTGAGCCCATCCAGAGCGAGGGTGGCGACAACCACGCCTCGCCTGCTTTCTTCCAGGGCCTCCGTGAGATCACCAAGAGACTCGGTGTCGCCCTGATTGCCGACGAGGTCCAGACCGGCTTCGGTGCCACTGGTTCTTTCTGGGGTCACGACCACTGGAACCTGAGCTCTCCCCCTGACATGGTCACCTTCTCCAAGAAGGCCCAGACTGCCGGTTACTTCTTCGGTAACGAGCAGATCATCCCTGACAAGGCTTACCGCCAGTTCAACACGTTCGTCTCCCCTTTCTCACTCCGTATCAACACTTGATTCTAACTTGGACGTAGCTGGATCGGCGACCCTGCCCGTGTCATCATGTGCAAGGCTGTCATCAAGGAGATCCTCGACAAGAAGCTGGTTGAGCAGACTGCCCGCGTCGGTGGCCTCCTCTACAACCAGCTCGAGACCCTCGCTGCCAAGTATCCCGAGTACATCCAGAACCTCCGAGGAAAGCACCAGGGGTAAGTTGTTCGCGAGCTTAAACTCACAGAGTATCAAAACTGACTGTTTCTCTTAGCCACTTCATTGCCTTCGACACCAAGGACCCTGCCTCTCTCGTCCGCTCCATGCGCGCCATTGGCGTCAACATCGGCACCTGCGGCACCCACACCGTCCGCCTCCGCCCCATGCTCATCTTCGAGGAGGCTCACATCCCCATCCTCGTCAACGCCCTCGACAAGGTTATCGGTGCTCTTTAGGCGACTGGTTTCGAAGAAAAAGTGGCCTGTCAGGACGGAGTTTATACCATCATGTTAACTAGCGTGCATTTGTTTATGAGGAGAACTGTGGGAAAATAAGGGTGATGATGATTTGATACGGTAATACCTGGGTATGGGAACAGACGAGTGTCGTATAAGACGAAGTAGTTCTACGCCGGGCGTACATTTTCAGGAAATGGGAATACATGAAGTTCTACCACGGTTCTGGATTTCTGGTGAAGGTCAATCGGCTCGTTTTGAGTTATTTTTTATTCACCTCATCACTCCTGGTAAGCATTCTCTGAGCAATGGCCAGGAGCCGTGACTGGTTAGTGACTTGTGGGTGGCAGTCTTACACGCAACACGTCAACTCGGCAAAGGAAACCCAAGGCCGGTGCACGTCCGGTCCCATCGCGGCTCACTCGGGATTGCGTCGGACAACCCTTGTCTGCCGGAAGACTGGGCCTGGAGAAGACTGCCACGTGCTAATCTTATCGCAGAAGCGAACGAACGAAACGAACGGCTGCGACCGGCAACATGCAGTGGTCGAGGCGTGACAGCGGTAATCTGCTCTCTGGCTGGACTGGGTGTGGTCTGGGCGGGGCACGTCAGCGAGCCATCTGGATCCCTCTGCGTGGCTTGCATACGAAGGGATTGGACGCGACTGTTCGGCTGCTGCATCGCATCACGGAGGATCGGGAATCTGCGATCACAAGGGTCTTGCTGTCGTCGGATTCGGCCGACACACTAGCTACGCGGAGGATTGGGGGCGCCGGGCCGCTGTACGGCACCCCTTCCCGAGGAGCGCGAATACCTTCTACCTACCCCCCTACGCCGTGAACCTGCGTCTCCCGACCAAACCTTCCCAGGCGAAGCTAAGAACGGTGGTAGAACCTGAGGGAATATGGCAGAGGTAGGCTTGGGCGGTGGTGGCGCTGGGGGCATGGGCAGGGGCATGTTTGCGCTGAGTGTGTGTGTGTGTGTGTGTGTGTGTGTGTCTGGGGCTTGGGACGGGACAACAATGAGGGGAAAGGAGGTTGGGCCATGCAGGTCGAGCAGCCACTTGAGTACGAAAGCGGTTATGCGGACCATTGGGAGAAGACATTGGGGCAAGACCATTGGGAAAGGCCAAGCGCAAATAGTTGTCACTCGACAGGTTTCGGATTGTGGTTGCGCGTCGACAACGCCAAGGGCTTGCTTTTGGAAGGCATCATGTACGGTGACGGCTGACGAGACGAGACGGGATGGGCTCGTCGACTTTCCTCGAATGGGCGGCTTCCTCAATTCCGAGGACGAGTCTGGAACTCTGTCATCCGCTGAGTTCTGTCAGTTTCTCCCTTGCTATCTAAGGTTCTCAATAGGGGACATGGGAGAGTATGATATTTGATAAGCGCAAGGGTTGTCTCGGCTTATACAACCCCAGGCCAGGATTCTCTCTCATTGAACACCGTTCTTGGGTTGGATCGTGCCCCCTCCTGCATGTACCCAATCTCAACATGGTCTCCCGAAGCACGACCTGCCTGGGGGGCGTGGTGCCGGGAGCGGCAGCCAAAGTCCGTCAGCTTGGTATAGCTTGACAGGCGTGCAGGCAGGCGAAATACGCAGACTGTCGGAGACAGTTTACCCGCATCAACCGCTTGGCGAGGGTGTGTCTATGGGATATCTTGGCCGAGGGGTCGTAGTGCACTGGCGGCGACGGGATGCTGGAGATCGGAAACCATCTCGCATCCTAGCGGCTGCTGCCGGGGTGGTTAGCGAGGGAGGTGATCGAGATGAGGTACTGGATGAGAGATATTGGATCTTGGGAGCCTGGATGCTGGATGCTGGATGCTTGATGCCGAATGCTGACGGGAGGGAGCGTCGTCATGGTTGAGCGACATGACGATAAGCAAGGCGGGCCAACTGACCAACTGACCAACTGACCAGCATCAACCAACATCAGCCAACCCCGCAAAAAGCACACATTCGCCAGATCCCGGGGGTGAGGCGAAGCGTAGATCCATGTGATGTCGTCTCCAACAGAGCCACCAACTACGTTGAACCCTGGATATACGGTAGTACAGCCACGGCATAGTCAATTGAATCAATGCCTTGGACGTTAAAAGTTGCTAGTTCGGTAGATCACCCCCCAACCCTAAGCCAAGTCACGTCCTAGCTCAAGCGGTGCTCCACTCGCGGATCCCCAATCAGCGAGTCGTCACAGAGGTGTGTCGTGTCTCGTCTTGTTGGTCAGTGCGGCTGGAATTTCATGTTCCATGGTGGAGAGGTTGAATGGGGATCGGAGGCGTGTCATTTGTTGGTATTCGAGCCCGCTGTCTTGGTATCGAGTCTTGGTCAGCAGATCCCGGTCTGCCGTGTGCTTGGCAACTCCGCGTGCGTGTGTGCGTCTCAGTTCCACGGCCCTGCACTCATGGGGAGTGTGCATCGAGTTGCGGTGCTGCGGTGTTGCGGGATGTGAGAGATGAGACTCGAACGTGAGTTAGTTTGTTGCCTCGAGGCGGTTGGCCCCGCTCCGCCCCGCTCCGCCCCGCCCGAGGATGAGGTGCTACGGCGCGTGGGCGCACTCAACGAGGGGCTCCCAGGGTGCCTTCAAGGTGCGAGGCTCGACGAGCAAGGGGGGATCAAGGGCGCACTAGGCCTGATGGAGGCGGGGGAGATGCTGTCAGGGCTGTCAGGGCTGTCAGGAGTGTCGTTGTTTGCTTTTTACTGCGATTTTTTCTCTCTCTCGGTGCTTTTCTCGCTTGCAGGCCTTCTCCAGTTGCTGGATCCGTCGTTGGATCCGTCCGCAGCTTGCGAGCCTTGTTACAGGCCGAGAGCCCCAATAAAGTAGAATCCTGGTCCCCTGGCACACGTGCCTCGACAGACCCTGGAAGAACTCGCCGTTCCCTCCGCCCCTCTGTCTCCTCCGCCCGCCAACGCCGCCCGCTGCATCCGTACTGAGAAAAGACTCCCACGTCCTTCCATCCCATGTCTTCTCCCAGCCCATATCCCACGACCCATTACGGAGTACGGAGTATCCCACAGCCCATTATCCCACAACCGCCTCCACTATCGCTATTGCGCGTCGCTGCGAGCCTCCCACGTACCGTGCCTGCAATGGCGACTCTGCTCGACTCAGGCGTGCTCTTCAAAACCCCCCAAACTTGGGCGTCCAGGTCGCCATCTCACAGCCCGTCCACTCGCACACCCACCTCCTCGCATCCAACCCGACCCTCGCCGTGCAGCTGTGCTTCTGCCCCAAGGTCCATCCATCCCAAAACCGTCCCCCAATCCCAAAAAGCAATGTGTCGCACGCTGCACCAATGGGCTTCGCCCGCACCAACCAGCGTTTGTGGCCGACCACCGTGCGCTATTGCGCCACCTTGCATCTGCACCTTTGGTCCACGGCTTTGCAGCAAATAGCAAATCTGTATAGCAACCACCCCCCCGGCGACCGAAGACGGCCGAGACGACGGCGTATGTACGACAGGCGCGGCCATCAAGCCTTGTATGTGTTGGATCTTGGGCCTGTTGCTGGAATTGCTTCTGTTGATGCCGTTGCCTGCACGTCCGTCCCACCATTGCATCCTCTGCATCCTCTGCAGCAGACCCGTAGATAGCCTAGCGTCCAGCCTGCCTCGATAGGTGTTTTCATTCTGTACCTTGCGCGCGCGGCGGGCGCTCTGCTCCTGATCGTGGGGCTGTCGGTGGGCGGCGTGCTATGTACGTATCAGCACACTTGTCATTCATTGCCCCGATTCTGCCAGCCTACGTGGTGTAGACAGTACACAGCGACATTGGAGGTACCCGGCCTGTATTAGCAATGGACGACTGACGACCGCCAACGGCTGCTGGTCGCATTCTGGTTCAATTGGGACAGTGGACTCTCCTCCCATCCTCCCATCAGCGGAGCCGAAGCGGGCTAATCTGACCAGTCACTGAGTGACTTGCGCGCAACGACTCCGCCAATGGCACTAAAAATGGCACTAGCCGCGATCCCCGCGTCTTACTTATCTCGCGGCCACAGCCAAGAGGAAGAAGAGCGCCGCCCCAGACCTGGACCTAGACCTAGACCCAGGCCAGCCCGCCCCAGCAGTGTAAAGCGAACCTGTCTCTGACAAGAGTGACAAGACGCACCAGCAGGCCACGACGTTACCTTTTGCCGTCCTTGCCTTCCTTGTCCTCCTTGCCTTGTCTCCCCCGAAGGCCAACCTTGCTCGATCCAGTACTTTACCTTGCCTGCGCGCCGCTGCACCTTACCTACATCGTGTACCTGCCTCCCTGCCTTGCTTGCCTTCAGTAGCACGGTACCAGGAGCTCGCTCACTCACTCACGCAGTCACTCACGCAGTCACTCTCACTCATTGACTCGCTCACCGGCTCTCACAACACCCGTCAGCGCCCATCCCAGCTTCCAGCACCCACCACTCCCCTAGCAAACCAGCTTTTTAGCGGCCCTCCGTCCAGGCTCCATTATTAGCCCCTACCCACCCGCACGACCTTGCTGCTGCTGCCGCGCCGGGTCCCGGATGGAGCTTTTCGTCCCTCGAACCTCGATCCAGCCCTGAGCCGCAAAACCCGTGATCCCTTCAACATCGACGTCCGTTCTCAACCTCCGTCCCGCCTCTCCACCAGCCGCCCCCGTCGTGCCGTACCCAACCCGCGCTCCTCTGCCCTCGTCGCTGGGATCTCCGGCCTCCGCGCCGAAAGAGCGTCCCAGGAGCCCATCCGTCCGCCCGCCGCAATCGGCCCCGCGCCGCGCGCGCGCTCCTGAATGAATGGATAACCAACAGAGCTTGCAGAAGCACAGGCAGCGTCGCGAGGCCGAGAGAGAGCGCAAACGAGCTCTTCGAGCGTAAGTCTTCTGCTCCTAATCGCTATTTCCTCGCCACCGCCCTCCAGCTGGTTGCTATGGCCTCTGAGACCCTGACATCTCATCCGTTGGCCTCAGCCTCGTCTGCGTCACATGCCGTCACTGGCACTCACTCCCCGCCCACTTCACCTCACTCTATGCCCGCAATCCCTTTGTCCAGTCACTTGCTTTAATCTCTATGCTGACTCTCTCTCGCCTGACAGTTGCGACGGCTGCCGACGCCAGAAGGAGAAGTGTGATGGTGGCGTGCCCTGCCGGCGATGCACCCGTCTGCATCGCCAATGTGAGTTCCTAGGCCCAACGGCCAGGGACGGTGATGGCGCTGGTGATGGCGCTGCTAGGTAAGCTCCTGCGACTCATCTCTCGTGTCGAAGCTGGCCGTTGTACTTCGTTGCTGACCATAGCTCTGTTTCGCCCTCTCCAGAAATCGCACTGGCGCCAGCAGCACCGAGCTCCTCCAGCGCGTCGCCTACATGGAGAAGATCATCACTCACTACGCTGGCAACATTTCCTTTGACTCGGAGACTCTCAAGGCAATGGCGGAATCGGTAGACAAGAACCCTGATGCCCCCAGGAGTCACCGACAGAACCAGGTAGTAGCATCGCCAGGTTCAGATTATCTTGGTGTTGACGATGAGAACTTTACTGTTCAACCGCTCGACAACAATACCACTCGTAAGAACCCATCACCAATCGCACCGCGGTCATCCTCAAGTGCACTCATTAACACTTGTCACAGACTACTCTGGTGAGTTTTCGCATTGGAATTTTTCAATGCGAATCAAGCAGTGGATTGAACAGTGTGTGCCAGACGGTGCTCGGCTTGTATGTTGTATCCAATCCACAATACCATGCTCGTGGGCTTGTCTAATCTCATGGCTGTTTAGGATGGCACGGGGTCTCTCAGCTTCAAGGAGTACTACCGAGCCGAGGAGCTCCAGTCCGCAAACACACTATCCTCGCTTTCTGCTTTGCCACCTCGATATGTGGCCGAGTTCTTGGTCCAGGCGTTTTATAAGCACGCCGAGACTAATTACTTTTATGTCGAAAGGGGTTGGCTTGCCGAACAGCTCGATCTTGTCTACCAGAATCCCGCCGCTCTCTCTCGAAGAGAGGTTGGTACTGTGTGCCTGATCTGGATCGTCTTTGCCATCGGTACTCAATACGCCTATCTCGACTCACGCCCAGAGAGGGGCGGCGACCCGAGCAAGGGTGGCATGGACACCAGTCCGTTTTCGGAGGACACCATCGGGGTCATGTTCTACCAGCAGGCTTGCAAGCTGGTCCCCGATGTCATCACTGTCGCCTCACTCGAAAGTGTCCAGGCCATTCTTCTCATCGGCATCTACACCCTGCCGCTAGACGCCTCGGGGCTGTCGTACATCTATCTTAACCTGGCAGTGAAGCTCGCCATCCAAAATGGTCTGCACAGGCGATACCCCGCCGAAGGGCTGGATCCTTTCATCCGTGAGACGAGGAATCGCGTGTGGTGGACAGCCTACACGACCGAAAAGTACGCTCGAGCTGTTTGCCAATTTCATATCAGGAGACTAACGTGTTGACAGGCGAGTCGGGATATACCACGGCCGACCAACTTCCATTCTGAGCAAGGATGTGGATGCGGAGATGCCTGTTGATCGGCCTGACATCATGCCATCTAACCCCACGAATGTAGCGCACATGCTCGCAACGCTGCGGCTGAATCAGGCCCTTGGAAATATCGCACACGAAATGTAAGGGTGCCTAGTCACAACGAGTTGATTCCCCTGGATGGCCATGTGCTAATTATTTCCCCTTAGATCGGTGCTCAGGACGTCCCAGAAGCATGAGATAACCGAAGGCCTCGGCCGAGTCATCGAGATGAAGGAAGAGCTCCGTAAGTGGTGGGACAGTCTCCCAGAGACAGCATTCCGCAAGGAGGTCAATCTCCAAGCCCCCATATCGCGGGCGGATATGCATCTGAAGCTGGAATACTGCCTCCTGCGCATGTACGCGGGCCGACCGTTCATCTTCCCTCGTGAAGCCATCAAGGGCAATGCGAGCACCTCGAGCTCCCCAACCGACTCGAACAACCAACGACCCGCGACCCCTCACAAGTCGAACCCCCGTGCCATCCTAGTCGCCGACTGTGTCGAAGCAGCGTTGACCATCATCGACACGTGCCACCTGCTCCAGAATACCATCGGCCTCGCACGGGCGTCGTATACCGAGTTCAGCTCCTGCCGCGCGGCCCTTCTCGTCATCATTACCCAGTGCCTTCAGAAAAAGACGGACAGGCTCCGCGAGGGTCTGCGGAATGGTATATCTATGATTAAGGAGATGTCGGCTGGCGGCGAATCGGCTCGTTCCGAGGCTTCCTTAATCGAGGTGTTTGAGCGTGCCATCTCGCGGCTCGACGCCACTGCCGACCCTTCCGGTCGCGAGTCGGAATACTCGCGGTTCAAGAAGTGGGAGCTTCTCTGGAAGAACGATGTACCAACCCAGGAGATAAGGCAGGAGGAGTCTCCCGAAGCATCGCTGCCTCTGCCTCCTAACCCCTCGGCATTCTGGCGCGGAAACGGAAACGGAAACGCAACGAGGCCGGGCATACCCGCCATGCATGCCGCAAGCCCTTTCATCGGGATGGATGCGAACTTCCCGTCAGTTCCGCAGGTTATGGACGAGTTCTCTACACTATTCGGGTACGGCTTCGGACCGAGCCCTGAAAGCATGGCCGGCACTGGAAACGGAGGTATGTGGATGGGACCTTGAACGGATTCACACTCGACCCCATTGAGTCGGCAGTCCATGTCGAACAGCAACGGGGAAGATAAATGGCCCGCCAGGGAGCCATACAGTGTGTTATCTATGGCTAGGGATGCCATAAGTCGGCGATCCTTCCAGGTCCACCATTCCGAAGACTCCGTCAGGTCAGGTCTCTCGCTCACCGCCTCCATGGTCGACATTGGTCAGTCGGTGATACACACCTCGTGTGGCTTGAGGGCATCGAATGCTACAGCCGTAGCTGGTGAGCATAAATCGGTCGAGCCCATCACTCGCCCCGTCTTGAAGGCTGGAGAGTGGTGGGTTCCAGGTCCAATTGTGCTCCAATATCGGGCGCCTGGGCGGCTGGCACGGATAGACAGGTATTTCTGAGGAATAACCTGTAAGATACACTTCGAGGTGTAGGATGCGTAACCGCAACTTGAAACCGTATGTACGTTTATTATTTTTAGGGAGTGGTGTTCTTGGTCATTGATATTGTCGGGTCGTCTTGACAAAGGTGGAGGGGCTCTTTTTTTTTGGATATGCGGGAGGAAAACATGGACGGTGGGTTGGCTGGTCAAACAAACCCAAAAAAAAGACCATAAAGTCATAGGTAGGCTAAGTGCTTTGTTCGTAATGTCAAATTCAATATCTCATCGCAGCAAATGGACTGTGAAAGTTTACACCAATTGGTTCCCTCTGTTCATTGTAACTCATGCAGGTTTTTATACTATTCCTTCGTATCAGGTTCGGATGGATGTAGTTGTAATCAGATTGAAAAATTACTAAATAACTAGGCAACATATATGCCCTTTTTTGTTTTAGATGACAGCCGCGGAGATTGCACATAGACACCCAGATTACCACAAGCGGGCCGTATACTAGTAATACAGTGGTTTTCAAATCTTTTTACAAGACCCAACCTGACGCAGACACGACACGAGTTAGCGGGCAATTTCAACCGCGCATAGTCGACTTCTTCTGCGACTTGCGCATCTCCTTCTCCCTCTCCTTGTCGAGATACTTCTTCTGGGCCTTGGCGTCGAGACCCTTAAGCTCGGCATCGCGCTTAGCCTTTCGGGCCTTCTCCTTCTCAAGGAGGCGCTCCTCGTTGCGCTCATCCTCGGAGGCCTTCTTGATTTCGGAAATCATACCCTCACGGGTGTTGCGGACCTTCTTGAGAACCTCGGGGCGGAAGTGGGCGGCCTTGACGAGGACGTCGGGGAGTTGCAGGAAGTATGTGAAGAGGGGCAGGAGAGCATCGTAGTCACTGCCGGAGGGTAGACGGTACTTGAGGAAGAGACGCTTGCGAGGGGTGGTCTCCTCAATGGTTGCGGGCTTGTCAATGGGCTGGTCCGAGATGATGAGGTACTCAAGCAGATCACCAGCAGACTTGACGGCATCGGCCAGCTCAGGGGTGAGAAGGGCCTCGGTAATCTCAGCGCTCTCGCTCATTACGGTTGTCCAGACAGGGAGCTTAGAGTTGTCCTTGGTGAAGGTGAGGGACAGGTCGTATCGCTCCTCGCGGGCCTGCTGCATGTTGTCCTTGTTGACAATAGCCCAGACAAAGCCGTCGTAGTTGCTCTTGGGGTCCTTGGCGCGCACCTCGGCGGAGCCGGGGATACCGGGGACGGTCAGGTTCTCCTTGCCATCGAAGGGGTAGGCAATGGCCTCCATAACATCCTGGGGGACAGGGAAGCTCTCCATGAAGTAACCGAGACCGGCCTCGAAAATGTTGACAATGGGGTTGAACTTCTTGGTCAAGGTGAGCTTAACATCCATGAAGGCGGTGTTCTGTCGACCGGTGGCGTAGGTGGCAAACTCGAAGAGCGACTTCTCCTTGATGAGGTTGTCGGGCTTGATATCGCTGTCCATGGTGGCAACACCACCGAAGCCGACGAGGGCAAACTCGCTCTTGAGGGCAGAGGCATTGGCGCGGATCCAAGACTTGGCCTTGGAGCGATTGGAGCGGGCGCCAAGGATGTGGAAAAAGAAGACGATGGACGCCATCACCATGATGATTCCCTCGGTCTTGAACTCGGAGAGGGAGTGACGCTCATGGATGTTGTACCACTTGGTGAAGGGAGGGGCCGTGGCGGCGGGAATGGCGGCGGCGATGGTGGCATCGGCGGGTTCGGGTACGGGGATGGGACTGGCAGCTTCAGCGAAGTCTGCGAAATCTGTGGGATTTGTGCGTCAGTCTCGATTCCCATGATGCTATCGGATGGGCATTTTCGCGCGTCGCATCGACACCACACCACACGACGACGGCGACGACGACAACGCGCGGGATCGGCAAGAAGAGGGGAAAACTCACCCGAGTCGGCGCTTGCGGCAGCGGCAGGCGCCTCAGATTTGGCGCCGCCAAAGGCATTTCTGAAGAATTCGGCCATGATCGCGGTTGATGACGGAGGAAGCTTGAGCCTTGGGGAGAGGAAGAGGAGGTTGTGGCCACGCCAACAGGAGGTAGAAAACTGGAGGAGTGGGCTCGCAGAGCTCCTGCTGAATCAGGACGGAAAAGAGTGGGGCAGGCAGGCCCGACAATCTGGGGCATGCATGGATTACTCTCGTTCGTCGCACACAGTCTGGTAGGTACGTAACACGAGGCCACTACCTTCAGTGACAGCTTCGGCCTCTCAGCTCGGCTCCTCGCATATATCCCTTGCAATAGTTTTCGCTTCGACATGCCGGGTTCCTGATGGTTTGGGATGGGGCTCCCAGGTCGCGATTGTCAATTTCTAACTGTTTGACACGGTGAGATAACGTCCCGCCAAGCGGACAAGGGCCTAGTCACGCCATTGTTTCTCCACACTCCTCGAACTAACAATCCATTCTATGCGCTTCTACGGAGTACAAAAAAGTATTAAAGTCGATGAATAAAATGTTTGGGGAAGAGCATGTCAAGTCTAGGATCCTAGTCAAGTGCCATAGAACCAATCACACTAATACTTGAAGAAGCTCTGATCTTCAAAGGCCACAACCCAGATTTCTCACATACCTTACCCTGCAGTCGACAACGGTCGAAGTGGCGTTCTGCAACCCTCGATCCCGCCGCCCCAGATCTCAAGTGCCTGACACCCCCGTGCTGGCTCGCATGGACCGCAATGTTGGATGTCGTTGGGTGACTGGGGAGGAATAGTTATATAATTAACTTAGGTGATGGGCATCCAAATCGGTGCCTCGCCCGCTCTATCATTGAGAGCGTATTACGAAGTGAACCAAAAACGTCGAATTTCAACATTAATTCACCATCGAAATACGCCACGTCATTTATTACCACAACCCCCCAAAAGCCCCTACAGAAATGTTCTGGAAGAAATCAATAAGTAATGGACACACCACTCTCTCGTGCGAGAGACCGGGAGAGTCCCACTTGCATGCGGAGTGTCTCACCTGATTGGGTTTTACATGTGACGCGTTACCGTGCCAACACATAGAACCTATCCCCTAATGCGCGACATCAGCGAGAGTCATCAACGCGACAGAAGCCAGAATGCTCAAGTGTCCACGGCCTCGCCATCAAAATGTCACGATCAACTGCCGCCCGAAAATATGGAAAGCCATCGAAGAAATCAAAAGCGGAGCGGCTGTTCGCCGAGTTGCCCCAGAGCCCGGTGCGCAGGCAGCCGGAGTCCAACACACAGAAGGACCAATTGGAGTCTTTAACAGAGAGGGTGTCCTCACTCAAAATTGAAGAAGTGCCCTCTCTTAGAAGATCACCCCGGAAATCGAATAAGGTGTCTCTCATTATCGAGGATCAACCAATCGAGGACCAACCAGTCGAAGATCAACCGATTGAGGCAACATGTGAAGAGGAAGACCAAGCGACATATGAACCAGACACGGATGTGACCCCACAAACTGAGGTCCCGGAACCTGCACCAGAGGTCCAACCGCAGGTCAACGAGAATGATGGAGAGCCAGTGTCAGAAGATGAACAACTTGGAACTTCGCTACGAACTCTGACGTGGGATGATGTTTGCCCTCCAGGGGACAGGATAGACAAGATTGCGGAGGCATCCTACGCAGAAGTGTACCGCGTCACAAACGACCGCGGAACAAGTATCATCAAAGTTATTCGGCTACCATCGCCTATCAAGCCTCAGACCAAAGCCCAAGTCAAATCTGGCCTCGTGGATGAGGAGCCCCATTCGGAAGAGGACGTTCAAGGCGAGCTGCGAATTTCCGAGTGGTTGGCTGACATCCCTGGATTTGTCGTGTACAAAGAGCGATACGTGGTTCAAGGGAAGACCACGGTGGAGCTGCTCGAAACACACCAAAAGTTCCAAAAGAAGATGAAGCGACAGGACCCGGACAGGGCGCAGTTCTACCCTTCCCCAAGCCGGTATGTCGACGGCACCCGGTTCTTGGTGGTGGAGTTGGGTGATGCTGGAAAGGCATTGGAGGATTGGAAGTTGGACACTCAGGCCCAGCTCTGGGATATCTTCTTCTTAGAGGCAATTGCACTGGCAAGGGCCGAGGATCTTGCCATGTTTGAGGTAAGAATATGTGTATTGAGCAATGTGGATTTCAACTAACTGGAGTAGCACCGTGATCTCCACGAGGGCAACCTGTGCATCAAGCAAAGAAGGCCTCCACGTGAGATGGGTCCTAGATCCAAGGGGTTCTTTGGATTTTCGGGGCTGGACATCACCATCTTGGACTACGGACTATCCCGAGCTGAGGATTTGTCCATTGATGACGTGGCGCCGGTGGCCTTCGACTTGGAAAAGGACCTCAGCCTCTTCACCAGCACGCACGCGCCACAATGCAAAGTATATCGCCAGATGAGATCATTCTTATTACGGGCCGACCGGAAATGCCTTCCTCCCTCGGCCCACGATACGCCTTACGCCAAGGGCATCGATGGGCCTCTATCCTGGGACGCCTTTGCTCCATACACTAATGTACTTTGGCTGGCGTACCTGTACGAGTACTTAACGGGTCATTTCACCGGAGACAAGAAGGAGCTCGCGGCCTTCAAGAAGGAGACGAAGGAGATGTGGACGTATCTAAACCCGGACGCCAAGGATAGTGTTCCGTGCTTTGGATGCGCGGCGGACGTGGTCTGCTTTGCCGTGGAATCCGGATGGATGACACAGGAGCAGCTTATAGGAGTGGAAGACTCGGTGCTTGAGCGGGAAGACAGTATCATAGTTCCACGAGAGACTGCACGAGAGACCCCGCGAGAAACTCTACGAGATGGTCTACGGGAGGCTCCACGAGAAGCCCCGCGAGAGGATGTCCAGGAATCCCAGGAGGGGACACCGCTGCGAAGATCATCCCGAAAACGACCGACGTAGCATGGCACGATGGGGCTTGACTGTTTGGCATTTAGGCATTTCATCTCTGGGAGGATCTGGATTTGGGTAAACGGCGTTTCTGGCAATAGATACCATCGGGCTGCCTTGTGTTGGTCGTAGTTACGATAACCCACACGCGTAGGCCTGCCTACTTGGATAGAACGAAATAGATGCCGTATCGTAGCAAAACATTGCGCTCAGCTTACTTGCTTTTTAGAGATGGTTCGATGCAGGTCAACTTCCCGATTCTTCATAGGCTGGTTAAGTGAGGTCCAATCAACTGAAGGCGCAGCCGACGTCGAGGTCTACTACAAACATTGTTTTCTTTTCCATCCGGCCATGTGGCTATATTTATTCAAGAGTTCATTGTTCCTTCATCCATGATCCCCGGAAAGAAGTCCGCAAATTAACCTAGCGGCTCCCATCACCGGAAAGTCATGTGGGTCGGGGCTTCAACCGAAGTCCGGAGCAATCCTCCATGCATGCGAGCTGCAAGAGGCGGAAGGTGTTTCGGACAACAACAAAAAGGCTTGTGACAGATGGTCGGCAATCCGTTACAAGGACGAGCCTGGGAGAAATGGAGATGAGCCACCCTCCATTATAAACCCAATGCAGGTAATGGGAGGTGGTGCGTGAAATGAGGTTGCCAGCTCAAATGGGTTCGTGATCTCCGTGTTTCCTGGTCGGAATGCGGAGGTGCCTCGCTGGACAGTGTTCCGGAGAGCTTGGATCATCCAGGCGGAGGTTAGGGAGATACAGCGCTTAGACCCTGTTGAAGCTCACTAAAGCCTGCTGACAGCCGCTAAAGGCCGCCGGAAGCGGGGAGGTTTTGTTGGGATGCAGGTACCATCTAACAAGAGCAACAGAGCTCCGAACTCATCTCATCGGCAAGTCGTCTGGCCTCGGCCTGCCCCGGGCTTCACCCCTGCGTCCTCGGCACCCCTAACGCCCCCTGTGACCTCACTTGTATTAGCGCACATACTCTGCTGAAAGGCTCCAGCGGAAAGCTACAGTGGGTGTGCAGCTGACTTGTAGGCCCAGGTGCCGAGGCTAAATCGCCAGGACACCGGCCGAAAAAACATGCCCACCTCGCTCGCTTCTGGCTGGCTGGCATGTTGAACCACATGTCACGGCCTTGCTCGTCGACGAACTCGCCCTGACGCGCGCGCCCAATCTCCTTGTTTGCTCCACGACGACATGCCATCGCATCTTATCATCACCACCTCACTCCGCTTGCTCAATTGATTCACGGCCTTGCGCAATCCCCCTCAACCCGCACCCGCCGCAGATAGCTGGCCGCTGGTCGTACTCTGACCGCCGACCTCGCGAGAGCCATCGTCGTCGGAATCGCTTCCATGTCCGTCCCGAGCTCCGCTTGACCTCACCGTCATCCCCTCATCGCCATGTCTACCAACGGCCACTACAACGGCTTCAGCCCGTTACCGACGACGTCTGGTGGCCCCCGAGGCCTCTCGAACAGCATCTGGGCTGCCCCCATCTCCGCCACGCTTCCGTCGGCCTCGGCCTCATCAACCTCCTCCCGCCAGCCTTCCCAAATCTCAAAGACATACCGCCAAGCATCTACCCTCTTCCTCACGCGTCGTCTCCCCGAGGCCCTGACTACGCTGCTGCCGCTCATCGCCTTTTCCGACCCTGTCGAAGATGGCGAGCCTCCGCCCGTCGCGCGTGCCTCCAAGACGACTCGCGTCAAAGTTTGGAGCCTCTACTTGACCATCCTCAATGCTATTGCCGAGCTGGAGCCTGAAGAGGGCAAGGATGCCTTTGGTAATCAGGAGTGGAGGGCCTTGTGCACCAAGGTCCGGGAAGGAGAGGTCTGGGATGAGGTGACCAGAAACGGCTACCACGGCGTCGAAGGCGATGTTGATTCGGATGTGGTCATCAACCTGTGAGTTCTGGAATGTGCCTGCCTGAGACCCTTTGACCGGTTTGCTAACTGAGACAGCGCGACTTTGTTACTGGCACATGCCCGCGATCAGTTATTCAACCAGAAGAAGCTCGAGGCCTATCTCGCTGCCTGCAGCACGCCCAACCTCGACATCACCGGCCGACTTGGCGAATCGCCTACCCCCGAATCGCGCATGGCGAATCGCTACCGATCGCCAGTCAAGGGCGCGAGCGGTGCCAACACCCCTAGGGATCTTAACTCTAGAGTTAAGATCTTGGAACTATACACGCTACATGTTCTCCTGCGTAACAACGAGTGGGATTACGCTCGTGAGTTCATTAGTGTGAGCCCCGTGCTTGATGACGAGCGTCGTGAAGCCTTTCTGCAAGCCCTGCAGAGTCTCCGAGATGAGCAGGAGGAGCAGGAGAGACAGGCTAATGAGGAACGTGAGCGGCAGGAGGAGGAGCTGCGGCAGGAGATTGAAGAGGCTAAAAGGCTGCGTGCCGAGAATGAGGAGAGGGAGCGGAAGAGAATAGAAGAGGAACGCTCACTCCGTGAAGGGAGCGAGGTCGACTATGGTGTCGATGAAACGCCTAGTCACCCGGCGGTGAACCGAAACCGACCTGCGCGATCACCATCGGCCGCTTCATCCCGACAAACCAAGAGACCTAACGGCAAGGCCGTGGCCGCTCCGACACTAAGCTCGCGCGCATCAATGGTCATTATGCGATTGCGCAATGTAATCGAGCAGCTCGGCATGTCGCTCAATTCCAACCCCATGATGCTGGCTAGATTCATGGCGTTCATCGTGGGCATTATTCTCATGCTTGGTCACCGAGGTATCCGCGAACGTGTCCAGCGAATACTGGGCTCATCGTGGAACAAGATCAAAACAACCGCCGGCATGGGAGTCAAGGTCACATATATTTGATCTGTTTTTGTTTTGTATCATAATATCCTTTCATGCATCATGAGGAGTTTAGGATGGGTTGTTGTATATTCAAGTCTGAATCGGTAATCACAGCTACAAAATGTCACCATCATCATGTTACATAAAGAATGACCACGTAAAATGCATCACATTTATTGTATTCCATAGCGGCTAGATTTCACAGTGACATTTCCCATCCTGACAGCGCGCCAAACGCCAGCGATGCAAGGTATCGAAGCTCGTTTTCCTGCAACCATAACAACCAATGACCCAACCCAGGCCGCCGCTTCGTTAATAATTCGTTGTCCGATTCGTTTTCTTTTGGTAGAATAACTAGAGGGGAATGAATTAGTACACATTCGCGAGCACAAAGGGGAGATGCCAACTCACATCTGTCCTTGAACTACCCAGATTGATAATCTTGGGACAGCCATCGCGATCCTTCTCCAGCCGGGTGCACTCAAAGCAGTAGAAGGCGTCCGAGATGCCCTCGCCTCCGCATACGACGCACTTGTTCTGGTAATTTCCGAAACTGCACTCGTCGCAGATTCGGACGAGGGTGGTGGGCCGGACGTAGGAATCGCAGACGGGGCATTTGCCGTCACACTTGTCGCAGAGGCGGCCGATGGCGATGCCAGCCGTCTTGCGGCACATGACGAGATCGCTGGAGGAAATGTTAGCAACCAGCAATTCGTTGTGAATGGAAATCGGACTTACGGGTGATGGCGAGACATGGCGAAGGAGCCTGAGGGGGGTGCAGCGGGAGGTTTGTGTTGGGAGGTTGTGTGGGTGAAGAAGCAGAAGATGGCGTTGGACGCTGAGAGCTTGGAGATGGCCGCTAGATGGAGATTTCTCAGCCTTGCCGCGGCGTTCGGACGAGTTCGAGAGGCGTCCAACGGCACGGGCCAATCATGTCGCCCGCTTCAGGATGAGCCGAGGCGGGGCCGATGTGGCTGGTGCCACTTTCAGAAGCTCCTACGACATGGCCGTTCGACAGTCCCACCTTTTGGACTTGATCTTCAGCCTCGACAAGCTCCCTCCGTCTGCCAACTATTTTTTATCTCCTGGCTGCCCTGGGTTTGTCGTGTGAATATTGCGCGACCCTGGATACCGGCCCCCAGTTTATGCGACAGCCATCCGACATCTGTCGCCACCAGTTATGGCCACTGTAGAGGAGTATGCATGCAGCCTGATCCTGGCCCGTTCATGCCACCTGCTAATCGAGTCGCAGAGAGCGTCCAATGGACGGAGCCATTTTAAACGCGGATGTGGATGCGCCCCCCCGCGACATGATCGAACCAGAGAACCTCAAGAGAAAGGTATCGCGAAATGACGACCGAGACGGCTCCCCGAAGCGAGCTAGGCACTATGACGACGACCGCGACCATTACGACCGACGATCAAGACGGGACTCATCCCCAGCTCGTCGCGACTCGTACGGGAGCGCTACGAATATTGATCACGATCGCCGCAAGTCCGCGACCCAGGAGGAGAAGAAGCGCGGGAAGCGCCTGTTCGGTGGCCTGCTCAGCACTCTGAGCCAGACGACCGGCAGCTCGCAGCAGAAACGACGCCTCGAGATTGAGCGGCGACAACAAGAACGGCAGCAGAAACAACGGGTCGTGGATGACAAAGAGAGGGCCGAGAAGCTCTCGCGATTAACGGGGATTCGCAGGTCGGAGCAGGTAGCGTTCGAGGAAGAAGTGGTGAGTCTAGGCCTGTTGGAGAATAACCTCATATTGGGAGCTAACTCTTGGGAACCAGATGCGGAATAAGCACTCTAAGATGCTCGCGATGGCGAAGTTCCTGCGCACAAAGGCACACCCACAGATTGTACGTTACTTGAGGTTCCATTCACTCATATCTTGCAGCTGACCAAATCCTCAGTGTTATCTCCCGTGGAAGCTTACGGCGGACCAAGAAGACGAGATCGACGACCAACTACAGAACGCGAAAGCAACTATCGAGAAGGAACTAGGTGCTTTCAATGAGCGGAAGAAGCGGCACGACAAAGACTACGGACAGCGTTCCCGACCCGCTCGGTCCCCAACCCCTGGAGAGCCTCCTGTGCCGGCGCCTTCTGGCGAGGATTCTGCCGAGAAGCCTACGCGCAGCACCAACGGCTCAGATCAGGCGGCTAAGGCGCCGGATAAGGAACAGAACCAAGACAATCATCATCATCATCATCATCACCACAATCATCATCACGACGAGTCGGCGGATGTGCTCGAGGAAGCTGACGAGGACATGGTAATCTACTAACTATATTCCCTCGACGGAATTCATGCACATCCATATCCTGACAACCGTGACTTTGTATTACCATTTGCCATTTTCTTGGAGCTTTCTTTGGGAATGGGGACGGGGATTTAGCTGGACCGGTGATTACGTGGGTGGCACGAGCTGTTAACGCCAGGACGAAAAATGTTTGTTGCAATCGCCGGGAGCCTTTACCGCCGGGGGGTTCCAACCTTTAAGATACCAAACTATTGTTCGATACCCATAATGAAGGTCCACAGGCATGATTGTTGTCATAAGATGTGTGTGATAACTTGCAGGGTACTCCTGAGCGCAAGAAGGACTACCTCGGCCATTTTCATGCGCCTTCATCGGCCCGTGAGTTGTCTTGCGGAACCCATATCCACTATCTTCGACGCTCCTCCCTTCCCGCATCAACTCTCCGGTCTGACGAAACAACTAAACGAACGTTTCACCCCATGGTACACATTTACCGCTCACCGCACACAGCCCAACAAAGCGACACCAGCCCGCTCTGGCGTCATCAACGGCGGTGACAGACAGGATGGGAAGTCGCCTCCGGATTGAACCTCGGCCCCCCCACTCTGCGTCTTAGTTCGCCTCCGAAGCTACGTCCCACCTCGTACCGTTGACCATGCTTCGGCAGCCGATTTTTGTCTCCATTACACACGGCGACATATATAAAAGCACCGCGCTTCAGCTCCTCTCTGTGCGGTTGCCATCTTTAGGTTCTTTAGTCGGCTCGCCATTGATTCTCGCTCGATCTGACAGGAGAACCCCTGGTTTGAACTGGAGCCGCTAAGCGCTTCATCGAGTCGGCTTCAGCCCGCAACTACGTAAGTTATACTCCGTAACTGCCCCGGGGTTTGAGTTGTCGCGTTGTTTGGGGTATTTTAAGGGACGTTGTCGTCCCGATAGCGTGTATGGTATTGTTCGGAGAGTATTCTTTGTGACGTCTCACTGGGCTTGAGAATTGTAGTCCCAAGATTCCGAGAGACAAGCTGACACGTAACCAGAACATACAAAACGTCTGGCCTTCAGGGAAAGGAAGATAATCATGTCTTCCGCCAAACTGGTGCCAAACGACCCTAGGGTCAGCATCGAGACGGCCCAGATTCGAGGCAAGAATTACAAGTACATCGTGGGGAAGCCGGAGGGCGAACCCATCGAAACTATGATCCTAGTCCACGGTTTCCCAGACTTGGGATTCGGATGGCGCTACCAGGTGCCTTACTTTATGTCATTGGGCTTCCAAGTCGTCGTTCCGGACATGATTGGGTATGGCGGCACCGATGCCCCTGAGGCCCTGGAGGAGTACACGTACAAGAGCGTGGCGGCAGACATCAAGGAGCTCGCCAAGAAATTCGTTGGCGAGGGGCAGATCATCCTCGGTGGCCATGACTGGGGCGGTGCGGTCTCCTGGAGAATTGCCATGTGGCACCCCGAGCTGATCAAGGCCATCTTCGTCGTGTGCACGCCCTACACATCGCCGTCGCCCACTTACGTCCCGCTCGACGCTATCATCGCTGCCGGTCACCTACCCAACTTTACGTACCAGCTGCAGTTCCAGGGCCCCGATGTGCAGACCGAGATCCAGGGCAAGGAGAAGGTCCGGCAGTTCCTGAACGCCATGTACGGCGGCCGAGGCCCCAACGGCGAGGTCGGCTTCAAGGCGCAGGAAGGCGTGCAGTTCGACAACCTGCCGCTCCTGGGACCCGCGCGGTTGGCTTCGGAGGAGGAAATCGAGTACTACACGGAAGAATACTTGCGCAACGGTGCCCCAGAGCTGCGTGGGCCACTGAACTGGTACCGCCTGCGGAAGCTGAACTTCGACGACGAGCTGGAGCTTGCGGGTAAGGGCCACAAGTTTGCGATGCCAGCACTTTTCATCACCGCGACGGAAGACGTGGCGTTGCCGCCATCGATGTCGAAGGGTATGGATAAGTACTTTGACGACTTGACGAGAGGGGAGGTGAAAGCATCGCACTGGGCGTTGACTCAGGCATCAGAGGCGGTCAATGGACAAGTGGCCAAGTGGGCGAATACTGTCTTGAAGGGGGCTTTGAAGGCATCTCTTTAAGGCGGAGGGATGTTTGTATGACCGAGGATGAATCATGAAGCTGGAAACGAACAGATTTATTGGATATTATGACATTGTGTGCACTGGTGGATGGGCAAGGGTCTCATACAATGTGCTACCAAGTATACTTTACGCTAACAGTAACTAAAACCTCACTTTTAGGATAATAAGAACCAACTCAAGTGCATCGCTCAAGTACTAAATAAGGGTCTTAAGGGCTTCTACTGAGAGATATCTACCCATACACTGTACTACACTGTACAGCTGATTCGGAAGTTGTAAAACTTCTTCCGTCAGCCTTGGTAGACGAGCAGGGGATGTTAGTCGGCGAACACTGACAGTGAGATGCCAAGGCTCGTCGAAGGCGTTCGCTGACTACGCTGATCCTCCCAATTATCTGGGATTTACCGGTGGGATTAAATGCGCGCGTTAGTGCCCAGGAATCGGGAGGAATCGCCTGAGAGAATTCTTTTTGACGAATGGTAGCATTTGCGCCGATCATGAAGATCTGAGGTGTGATGTAATGTAAGACCACTCAGAGCGACCCTTCCGGTATTATTATACAACGAGACACAGGGGAGAATAGAGGCGCTTAGAGAATCCTTTGGTTCATTTGCCCAAGGGTAGTTCCCGCTGTGGTAAGTCGTGAATGTCAAGTTCTTGGATGCTGATACCTGTAATCCCGTTGGAGGTAGAGCTTACTTGATAGCATCGTCTAGTACCTAGATGGAAGTGGCTGGCTTAAGGTGGGGACAGCGAAGATGACGACGTTCAGGGGGCGAGGGGTTCCCCACCAGTCGGCCGCGATGTACCTGTCACAAGTCGGGCACCTGGAGAACAAGTACCTCTTCAGTGGAAATTGGCGGGAGGAGATACCCGAAGCTAGCCTGGCGGGGTACATGGGAAGCCTGGGCCCTCGCGAATACGACCTGTTGGGTGGCGGGTGATGTGGCTCTGGCAAGACGTCGCGAATAGCAACACACAGCCCAGCACCTGGCAGGGGGGGAAGAAGAGGAGAGTCGAGGAGCCACTGGAAGAAGAGGAGAAGCCCGAGGAGAAGCCAAAGGACGCCAGAGCCCATGACAGCTCCTGTCAGGGGCTCAGACTTTTTACTTGTCGTTTTACATAGTACAGGGCCACTGCCGGATGCCATCCCCTTCACTGTTTGAAGAAACTGGACGCTGCTAGGGACCGCGCATTGCCAGGGGACGACTCGTTTCCTGTCAGCAACCAGACTCCCTTTGGCAATCAGCTACGGCACCTTTTAGCCAGGACCCCGTACATACTTCGTATTATGGACAGTACCCGTAGGCACCCACTGCAGCAGCTATGTACTGGGGGCAGCTTAGCACTGGGGCGCTGTGGCCACTGGACCAGTGACGACGACCCAGAGGCATGGGAAATCCGGCATGTTGACCCGCCAAGTCTTCTGCCACGTCCACATTTACTGCCATCGACGACAGGAGTGTGGCTCTGTCAAGTTTCAAACAAGTGACAAAATACGAAGACGCAGCCATTCACTCGGCGCCGTAGCTTCCGGGTGCGTGTGTGCGTGTGTGCGTGCATGCCGGTTTGCAGGTTCCATTTGCGGTGGTGCTCTGCTGCTTTCTGCTTTCTGCTCTGCTCTGCTCTGCTCTGCCTCTACCCTAGGTACTCTTCCCGCACTACTGCCCTGCTGCTCCACTGTGCGCTAGGCGTCTCGCGACCCGCCCGCTCAACCATCCGCTCACCACAGAAACAACCCCCAAACCCAAACCTCGACACGCAGTCTCAGGGACCCGGCCAATCGCTGCATGCAAGCTGGCCACACGAGCGCCCCTTCAGCCTTTGAGCCTCAGTCGACGTTCCACTGCGCAGCGCGCTACCCCTACAACGGAGCACCTCCAGCACCACTGCACCAGCCCAGCGCCTCGTACGCATTCTGGCACCCGCGGCCGCATACCTGCCGACTTTTAGTGGCGTAGGTCCTCTGTAGTGCGTCCTTCCAGTCCCTCGAGCTTACGCCCAGAAAGGAGGCTGTGCAGCCTTTCCAAGCCTAGAATCCCGACTCCAGAGTGGACGGCGAACTCAGCCAGCAACCAACCGGGCCAGAGCCACCGAGCCACCGACCGAAACCGAAGCACTGAGCCACTGCACCAACTGCACCAACTGCACCAACTACTGCACCAACTACTGCACCATTCAACCATCAGCTGCGCTTGAATCCTTTCTGTTGCGACAGCACGACACCCACGACGATCCCACGATTACGACCTCCCACCGACCGTCCATCCTTTGCTTCTTCCCTCGCTCCATCGCTGACTCGCTCTCATCACCCATCACCCATCTTTCTCTCATTCGCGTCTTTGCATTTCCGTCCATTCCGCATGCCGACCGTCCCTCCCCCCAGCTGATTGCCTGACCTCGAATTGTCCGCCAGCATGGCTGGACGCCAGCCAGGAGGGCCTCAAGGGGGTCCCTCCAACAATCGCGACAACCTGCTCCTGGATCTCGACAACGACCAGCCCGTCTACAACGATGGCCAGCGGTCCACCCTCAACGATGACGACTTAATGCGATTCCACAACCAAGAACAAGATCCCCAGGGCCGGCCGTCCGTCTCTTACGATGACTTCGTCGGCGGCGGCGGAGGTACCTCCAACACAGCACCAGCATCGCGCTCCGCAGGCGGCTTGGGAGTCCCAGGAGGACCCGACTCTGGCAACAACCCCTACCTGACGAGGCAATACAGTCAGACGTCGGACCTGAACAACTACCAGCGCTACGCCGACGACGACGACGACTACCCTGCTGAAGGCGAATCCTACTACCACGGCGGCCCCAGGGCGAACGAGAACTCTCCAGGTATGGCCAGGAACAATGCGCGGAATCGAAATAGTGTCCTGGGCCTGGGCGGAGGTTTTTTGGGCAGGGTAAAGAACAAGTTGGGAATGGGCCAGGGTTATTCGGAGATGGATCTGCCCTTGACGGAGCCAGGCCACGAACGAGGTGACTCCGTTGGAGGTTCCTCGCAACAACAGCAATTCAAGAAGGGGGGATTTGACATGGGCAACTTCAAATTCGGCTTCGGGAAAAGCAAACCTGATCCCTCAACCCTGGGTCCCAGACTCATCTACCTCAACAACCCTCCCGCCAATGCCGCCAACAAATTCGTCGACAACCACATCTCCACGGCCAAGTACAACGTTGCCACCTTCCTACCCAAGTTCCTTCTCGAGCAATTCTCCAAGTTCGCCAACGTCTTCTTCTTGTTCACTGCCGCGCTGCAGCAGATTCCCAACCTGTCGCCTACGAACCCGTACACCACCATTGCGCCCCTCGGCGTGGTGCTTCTCATCTCAGCTGGAAAGGAATTGGTCGAAGATTATAGGAGAAAGCAGGCCGACAATGCCCTCAACACGTCCAAGGCCCAGGTTCTACGAGGCTCTACATTTTCAGAGGCGCAATGGATCAACGTGGCCGTGGGAGATATCATTAGAGTGGAATCAGAAGAGCCCTTCCCCGCTGACCTGGTTCTTCTGGCTAGTTCTGAGCCCGAGGGTCTCTGCTATATCGAAACAGCTAACCTGGATGGCGAGACTAACCTCAAGATCAAGCAGGCTGTGCCAGAGACATCCACCATGGTGTCGCCGAGCGAGCTGAGCAGACTGGGCGGCCGAATCAAGTCGGAACAGCCCAACAGCAGTCTTTATACGTACGAAGCGACCTTGACGATGCAATCCGGAGGTGGAGAAAAGGAACTCGCTCTCAACCCTGAACAGCTTCTGCTCCGAGGTGCTACCCTGCGAAACACTCCCTGGGTGTACGGCGTAGTCGTGTTCACGGGACATGAGACCAAACTGATGCGAAATGCCACGGCTACCCCAATCAAGCGTACCAAGGTCGAGAAGCAGCTCAACTGGCTGGTTCTGGTGCTGATTGGTTTGCTCATGGTTTTGAGCATCGTCAGTACTGTCGGTGACCTCGTTCAACGGAATGTCGAAGGCGATGCGCTCTCATACCTTGAACTGGAGGATACGGACACTGCTGGAGCAGCCGTGAAGGTGTTTTTTAAGGACATGGTCACCTACTGGGTTTTGTTCTCCGCGCTGGTCCCTATCTCTCTCTTTGTCACTGTCGAACTGGTCAAGTATTGGCACGGAATTCTCATCAACGACGATCTCGATATGTACTACGACAAGACCGATACGCCGGCCACATGCCGAACTTCGAGTCTCGTCGAGGAATTGGGCATGGTCGAATACGTCTTCTCGGATAAAACTGGAACCTTGACCTGCAATATGATGGAGTTCAAGCAATGTTCTATCGCAGGAATCCAGTACAGCGACGACGTGCCAGAAGATCGACGCCCGGTTATGCAAGACGATGGTACGGAAGTCGGCATCTTCGACTTCAAGGCCCTCGAGGTTAACCGGAAGAACCACCACTCCGCGCCCGTCATCGATCACTTCTTGTCGCTCCTCTCAACCTGTCACACTGTCATCCCGGAAATGAGTGAAAAAGGCACTATGAAGTACCAAGCTGCTTCTCCCGACGAGGGCGCCTTGGTTCAAGGTGCGGCTGAGCTCGGATACAAGTTCACTGCACGAAAGCCCAAAGCTGTCATTATCGAGGCCAACGACCGGGAGTTCGAGTATGAGCTCCTGGCCGTTTGCGAATTTAACTCAACCCGAAAGAGAATGTCTACCATCTACCGATGCCCCGACGGCAAGATTCGTTGCTACTGCAAGGGTGCTGATACTGTTATCCTGGAGCGTCTGAGCGAGGAGAACCCCCACGTCGAAATCACATTGCAGCATCTCGAGGAGTACGCCTCGGAAGGTTTGCGAACTCTTTGTCTGGCTATGCGAGAAATCCCGGAGCAGGAGTATCAGGATTGGGCCAAGATCTTTGACACCGCTCAAATGACTGTTGGTGGAAACCGTGCGGACGAAGTCGACAAAGCCGCGGAGCTTATCGAGCATGACTTTTTCCTTCTCGGTGCAACGGCTATTGAAGATCGACTCCAGGACGGTGTCCCTGAGACGATCCACACTCTGCAGCAGGCCAACATCAAGGTGTGGGTATTGACTGGAGATCGACAGGAGACGGCTATCAACATTGGCATGAGTTGCAAACTGCTCAGCGAGGACATGATGCTGTTGATTGTCAACGAAGAAACGGCTGCTGCTACTCGAGACAACCTCCAAAAGAAGACTGATGCCATCCGCACTCAGGGCGACGGCACGATTGAGACCGAGACACTGGCCTTGATTATCGACGGAAAGTCATTGACTTATGCCCTGGAGAAGGATCTGGAGAAGTTGTTCCTCGACCTCGCCGTCATGTGTAAGGCTGTTATCTGCTGTCGTGTCTCGCCTCTACAAAAGGCACTGGTTGTTAAGCTGGTGAAGAAGTATCAAAAGGGCTCAATCCTCCTCGCTATTGGCGACGGAGCCAACGATGTCTCCATGATTCAGGCTGCTCATATTGGTGTTGGTATCAGTGGTATGGAAGGTCTCCAAGCTGCGCGAAGTGCCGATGTGGCCATTGGCCAGTTCAGGTATCTTCGGAAGCTGCTGCTGGTCCACGGCGCCTGGAGTTACCAGCGTGTGAGCAAGACGATTCTCTTCTCATTCTATAAGAACATCGCCTTGTATATGACACAGTTCTGGGTAAGTTTGACAGAATATTCAACTAGACCAACCTCAGCTAACCCTCTTGCTCCAGTTCACATTCCAAAACGTCTTCTCCGGTCAGGTCATTTACGAATCCTGGACTCTATCCTTCTACAACGTCTTCTACACCGTTCTCCCACCTCTGGCCCTTGGTATCTTAGATCAGTTCATCTCGGCGCGCCTCCTGGATCGCTACCCTCAGCTGTACATGATGGGCCAACAAAACTACTTCTTCAAGCTCAAGGTCTTTGCGCAATGGATCGCGAATGCGGTATACCACTCCATTATCCTCTACATTGGCGGCGAGCTCTTTTGGTATGGTGACCTCATCCAAGGCGATGGTAGGATTGCTGGCCATTGGGTTTGGGGAACCGGACTGTACGCCGCGACTGTGCTCACTGTCCTGGGCAAGGCGGCTTTGGTTACCAACAACTGGACCAAGTACCACGTGCTTGCCATCCCCGGTAGCATGGCTTTCTGGTATCTCTTCATCGCTGTCTACGGTATCGTGGCACCCATGGCCAATGTGTCCAATGAGTATCACGGCGTAGTGCCCAGGCTCTACAGCAGCCCCGTCTTTTGGCTCCAGACCATTGTTCTCGCCATCCTGTGTCTGATTCGAGACATTGCGTGGAAGTTTGCGAAGCGCATGTACTTCCCGCAAACGTACCACCACATCCAGGAGATCCAGAAGTACAACATCCAGGATTACCGACCGAGGTGTGCTCTCATGATGCCGCTCTTAATATTATGTCCATACTGATTGAATGTGTAGAATGGAGCAATTCCAGAAGGCCATCCGAAAGGTTCGGCAAGTGCAGCGCATGCGCAAGCAGCGAGGCTACGCCTTCTCTCAGGCAGATGAGAGTCAAACGCGTGTGCTCCAGGCATACGACACAACGAAGAACCGTGGAAGATACGGAGAAATGGTGAGCTCGAGGCCGGGTGGGAGGTAGCCGGCCACGGCTCGAACTCGGCGTGGATGCTCGGGATGGAAAGAAACCGTGATTTATTGCGCATGACGAAATAAAAACCCCGGGCCTGCTTAGGAGTTGGATGCTGCTTTTTGACATTGTTTGGTTGCTTTTTCTACTTCTCTTCGTTGTCCACCATCGCGCAGCGGGCGGCGACTGATCCCAGATCCTGCCCTCCGGTTACCCACCTGGCCTTTTTGTTTTCTGGTTGATTCTTGGCGGGTCACCCCCCCTTATCACATGGCTTGACGCTGTGGAAATAACGACGATCTTAGATGGCTCTCTCGAGGAGAGGGAAATAGTCTTAGTTAGATGTTGGGTTGCAAGGCTGGGTCGCGCTCTGTTCGGAGGCGGAGAGGTCTGGGATGATGGCACTGGATGAAACTGAACTGGACTGGATGGACGAGACGAGACGGGATGGGATGGGGACTTGGACTGACATGTATTGTGTTATGTATTTTATCGGGCGAAAGATGCCAGTCATGATGGGGAAATGTGACTCCTGTCTCTACGACATTTTAGATGCAAGCCAACTTTTGAACAAGGACTTAAATCAAGGGCACCCGCACTCGCATGGGAAGCTAGATGTCACCTAGCCCCGGCATCAGCCTCAATGTCTCATTCTTTAGGCAACCCTCAAGGACGTGATGAAACAAGGCGAGAGGTGCAGTCAACTCCATCTTGGCCTCCCCCATCAAGTTGAGACGGCGTTGCGCCCCTTCACATGACCCCCATCTCACAGCTAGCTCTCACAGCTAGCTCTCACAGCTAGCTTGTAATTGCTGAGGTTGGATCAACACGAGAAAACCGGCCAAGACGCCTCGTCCACTGGCGAACGAGTTCCAGCCCTTATCTTTCTCTATGGGCGCATGACGGACTCGGCCTTTGACAGACTCGGCCTCTGACGTAGAAAGGGCCCCCCACTCCTATTCTAAGAGTAAGCAGTAGCCTAGGCTAACTTAGGGATTATGAATATGGGAGCGTGCTCCAGTCTGCAGGCCGATTATTTTGCCGTCAAGGAGAGAGTGGCTCTGCTGGAAAGCGGCACGAGGCCCAATGAGGTCATAATAGCCCCAACCGCCCATCAGCAAAAAAGAGGTGCATAACACGGATGGATTCATGACCAGCTCAACCTCTTCAGCCTCCCCAAGGCCCCCTAATCCTGGCCCCCTAATCTCTCATCCCTACCTCGTACTCTCACGAGAACAACAACACACGCACGGAGCCACACCGGCCGCTGACGTTTTTCTGTTTCTCCCCCCACGGGTCGGCTGCCTCGTCTGCTGGTCACCAGGTGCTAACCCTCATCTCCCTCGACGCAGAAAAGGGAGCGGGGGTGGTTGCGTGCCAGCTCACATGACGCCTCGTTCACCCGGCGTTCCTGCTCGAATGAATGCATTGCATTGTATTACCGTAGTACCGAGAGAGTAGCACCAATAGGTACAGCACCAATATAGCACTACTCGAGAGGTAGAGGAGCACCGCTCGAGCTGCACAATGTACTTCGTTCCTCCAAGCTGCACCTAATTAATAATTACAAACTTGTCCTCCCAGCGGCTTTCGGTTCCGACCTTCCCCCCTCGATTGTCCCACTGCGACCACTACGACCACTACGAAAGGGGGGCCTAGCTTGCTTCTCCCGCGTTTTTTTAGTCTGGGGAAAATCTGGGGCCCCCGCGGAGAAAGAAATGGTGAGGCGATCGGAGCGCCGGAGAGGTCTTAGGGGGAGCTACGTGGGCCTGCAGCGGCGGTAGTTGAGGAGGTGGCGTGAGGCCGATGTGACGGAGAGACAGGGAGACCTGAATCAAGCTAGAAGTCACCCTAGTCATCAGTTGGCTTTCGGGAGGCATCGAGACCGGCTGAACTTTCACATATCTCGGTGCGGCCAAGTAGACACCGACAGAGTGGCTCAGCATGGGTTCTAGAATCAAGGGCCGCTCTACCCGTCGTGGCGGGGACCGGTCCGTTTCTTTGTTGATATGCGTTTGCTATCTCGTTGTAGTTGTAAAGTGTAAAAGTGTAAAAAACGTAACATGTAATGCCATGTAACTGTCATGCAATGCGATGCCTCCCTTCCCCTCCTGATGCGATCCGATGTTCCCGGCGCGGTAAAGTGCGCGATTCATACATGATTGGTATATATGCCTTCCTTGTCAAAGACAGAATATGCCGTTGAAAATGTCATGGTGCTGTGCTAATGATGATGATGTTGATGATATGATGGATGATATGATACCTCGCCTGATCAAGCAAATGACGGGCTGAGGCTGTTTTGTGTGTATGTTGAGACAAATGATGAGGGGTGATCTAGACGCCGACACAACCGGGGCGCGGAATCCATGACAAAGAAAAAACCAGAAAGAAGAAACCAGAAACCAGAAGCCAGAAGCCAACCAGTAGAAGAAAAAGATGAAGATGACGAAAAGTAAATCCAATAAACCCCATAAACCGACCCAAAAAGATTATACATCCGCCGAGGTAACCGCCAGCCAATGCAGTGCATGCATGCGCAATGCGTTCTATATGCCAAGTTTGCCCTGATGTGCCGTTCGCTGGCAAAGCCAGGCCAGGCCAGGCGAGGCTCAGGGGTGGAAGAGTCAACGAGATGAACCCGTTGTAGCACTCTCACTAGTTCGCGGGGTTGGGACGTCAGGGGCTGACCCTGCGCGAGCGAGGCTTGTGTGAGAGTTGACCGGACGGCGCCCCCAGCTTGGGATCGTCAAGGGAAATTACCGATCTGCTGGGGCAAGAATGTGAGAGACAGATGAGGAGGCCGTCCAACTCCGCTGCCATGATGCGAGGAACTTTTGAGCGCCGCGGACGAGATCCCGTCAATAGAGACGTACATGATGTGACGGGGTCTCACCCAAGTTTCGACAAATAAACAAACCAGAAAAAAATCAAGAAAACCCACGAGACACCGGGTGTGCTGTGCTGTGCTTCCAGTGGTGTCTTGTGGGAACAGGCACAGGATCTGCTGCCCCAGAGTGTTCGCAATGAGGCAGCAAAGATCCCTGCACCCCCGCAATCGTGATCAGCCATCTCGGGCAACACTCGCGGCGGGGGCTGCGTCCGAGACCGCGCGCGGGAGGCACTAGAACGAGTGCCCCCACAGGATTCGCCCGCAGGACTTTCAGCTCTGCGGTGCAACCACACCCAGCCCTGCGCCCTCAGTGGACGCCTTCAGTGGACAAGAGGTCACACACTGCGTCCGACTGCTGCTCATCCAGGCGGCAGTCGGCGGGCAACAGGGTGGTGGGCCACGCCGGACCTGTCAAGCGGTGCTGCGGCGGCGGCGGCGGCGGCGGCGCCTCTGCTTCACCTCATCTGCCGACCATGGGCGTCACGAGCTCGATGCTCTTGGGCCGCGAGTACGTCCCGGGGTGACGCGAGGGAAGCGGACGGTCCATACCTCCCGAGCTCACGTCGTAGGTGTAGGCGCCGCCGCCGTAGTAGCCTCCGTCGTACGTGGATGAAAAGTACGCCGCCGAGGGTCGCGAGTACGAGTTGTGCGGGCTGGTTGCGGCGCTGCGGCTAAAGGGCCAAAGGTTGTTGGAGCTGCCCGTCGGCGACGGAGGGCTCGGAGGGCGGACATTCAAGGATCGGAGCGCTGAAATGGCCGAAGTGTGTTGGTAAGCTGCGGAGCCGGTACCGGGCGTCACCGGTGGAGAAGTGTAGTGCATGGAGCTGGGCCGCGAGGGCGACGCTCGAGGAATGATGTCCTTGGGTTCCGGGTTGCCGACTGAGTAGAATGGGTAGTTGCCAGACGCGTAATTGCGGACTGAAGAAGCGGGCTGTGACGTCGACGTCTGATCAATTCTGCGGCAGCTGTAGCGATATTATTAGCAACAGGAGCGGATTCACGGGAGACGGGTTACGCGGGGGAGGCGAATGTGGAATGCGAAGATCCACACTCGAGAAGCGGATTTGCACGTACTTGTCGGAGCAGTACAAGCCCATGTCGTCGTGAGGAATGAATTGCTTCTCGCAGGTCATGCTGTAAACAAGGTCCAAGGTCAGCACAGGATTCTCACGGCTCTCGTGTCTAAAGATGGTGCGAAATCCCGCTCGCCGGGCGCCTGGGATGACGGCATCTGCGGCCTGCCAGGGCAAAAAGCAAGGAACCGGCGCCGGTCCACTGGGCGGGATGGACGGGGCGTTGAGGCGAAAGAAGGAAAAAAAGATGAATTCGAAGCCGAGGGCTGACGTGAGACATACCAGAACTGAGGAAAACTCTCTCTCTCGTCTTCCCAAGATTCACTCCATTCTCGCTCCCGTTCACGTTGGCTCCGGCCCAGCTTCTGGGGAGTCTGTTTCCGAGTCATGGCGGGTCGCTTGTACTTTGAGGGATCGGTTGCGGTGACAGCTTTTCGCACGTCCGTCATGGACGTGTTGGGCAGGCCGTGGCCCGACTTCTTGCGGCTGTGATGCATGGGGTTGAGGAAAAGAATGAAGTATGGAAGAGGCGAGGGAAAAAAAGAAGAGACAAGCCCGCCTTGTGTGGCCGGGAGTAGAAGGATGATATGACCAAGAACGTGCTGTGGAGAGTGAGGAGGAGGAGCAGAGATAAAGAGGTCCGGGTACCAGTAGTTGCAGTACCGCCTGGGGGCTGTTAGGGGCAATGGGGAGCCACTGGGCGCTGGGCGGGTGGGCGAACGCTTTTCAGTGGTTCGATTGCGGGGGGGAACTTGCTTATCGCGGGCGCTAGGCTGCAGAATTCAGTGCCCCTTTGCCTGGCCTGGTGGAAAGAAACGGGGACCTAGGGGAAATGGGATGCAAATTTTTTCTTGTGCTTTGTCGTGCCTGGACAATCGAGAATGTGTGATGCCAGGGTTGGTTCTTCGCGGTGGCAAATTATTGTTGGGGCGTCTGCGCATGTGCAGGGACGAGAGGACGACAATTCCCCGACGGCGGACGTCGGTGGATGTTAGTGTGGGGATTTTCGCACAGCGGACAGCGACAGCGACAGCGACAGTGACAGCGACAGGCGAGGTGTTGGACCGAAGAAAAAAGACGGACTAGGACAGGAGCTGCGTTTTAGGCTTCAGGTGCGGCCGGGTTTTTGAGGGTGGCACAGGATTTAATTCCCGTTCCCGATCTCGATGAGTCGAGGGAGTGAAAAAAAAAGGGCGCCAGGGAACTGACGGGAGAACAAGTCGAAGTTGCGTCACCGATCAGGCACTCGCAGGACTAGCAGATCTGCGACGTGGGGACGAGGCTGAACTATCTCAGGTTCGGCGCGGTAGGGAGATGTGTGCGTTGGCTGCTGGAGACTTTTAAGCGTCCAGTGGGCGTGTCAGTCCTTGTGTAGCCAACTATGTGGTAGTTCGCCGGTGTAAGTCGAGGTTGGAGGGAAACGGGAAACGGAGCCGGGGCGTCCTTGGTTCGATGTGGATTAATGAGGGGGTGTTTTTTTCGGCGGTGGTTTAGCGGGCGCCGGGGGTGTCAAGCCGTTCTTTGTTGCGTTGTTCTGGCGGCGGTCGTCGTAGCGTAGTAGTGTAGTACTAGGCGGCTGGGTTTGTTTGGCGAAGAGCGGATACTCTCGCTAACAGGAGAAAAGGGAGAAGTGGTAAGGGGGAGAGGAGAAAAAACGACGCAGGTTGGATTGGAGACGGTGGGAGTTTGTCGGAGCTCTTTTGACTCGACTTTGATAGATACGTAGATACGCTGCAAAACTTGGACCACGCGGCGAGATGGGCGAAGTCGGGGCACGCGAGACCTTTTGTACGAGATGGCTTGCCAAAAGCTGGGGCACCTGTGACTCGACTTTGTCGTCGTGATTGAGTGAGCGAGGAGCCGAAAGCGGAGATGGTTTGCCCGCAGAAACCGGCCAATCGCTGTCCGCAATCGAGGCTACAACTATCGCGACGGCTGTTGACTCTGACAGGGGGTTTGGGTCGGTCGTCCCAGTTCGCTGCGGCCAAGGCAGGGACTCAGCAGGGACTCAGCAGGGACTGGCAAGGACTGGCAAGGACTGGCAGGGACGCGCAGGGAACTGACCCTCCAACACAGGAGGAGCAGCGGCAGCGGGCCTGGTTGGTAAAAAATGGACGACTTCTTGTGACCGTTTTTGGTGGGTTCGTTCCCGTTGGGGATTCGCCCTGCGAGTGTAAGTGGCGTGGTGTGGTGGTAATGTGTTCTTTAAGGGAACGGCGTGCCTGTGCGTGAGAGGGTGAGAAGGCGAGGGCGTGAGCAAATATGAGGATGAGGGTGAGGGAGAGCTGCCTCGTGGGTGAGTGACGCTCTGGGAGTGTGGGCGTGTCTGACACCCGCTGACGAAGGCGTCGAGGCCGAAATAACAACGGGAAGCCAGGCGACCGTCGTTGCAGTATGAGGGAACGGGTTGGGTTAGGTAGAGAGCACTAGCAGCTGAGTAGGCAGGCGCTATGATAAGGAGCAATTGACACCGGCCAGATTGATAAGAACTGATGGAGTCGGGTACCGTACACTTAGAACAGGAGTACGGTGCTATTATGGGGTCCTTCGCTAAGAGGGACGACGGATAATCGACGATGGGCGACGGAGATCAGAGCAGGCGGATTGGAAAAAAAAAAGATAACCACGGACCATCAATCTTGGGACAGGTGAGGGGCGAGGGGGGGAGATGGTCATGGGGATGGGATGGGGAAGCTCAGCTCTTGTATGTTTTGCGCACCAGGGCCAACTGAGTAATGGATGGAATGGCATGGGGATGAAAGCAGCAGGAGCAGGAGCAGGAACAAGTAACAAGTAACCAGCCAAGAAAGCTGGATGGCGGTCGAGCGAACCAGGGAATACTACCTAGGTACCTTGCCCACCTATGCAGCCGACCTGAGGCGTACCATAGCCTTCCCGGCATGTACGAATGCCTGGGGGCTAGTAGGGGCCTCGTTCATGGCACCGCCTGGAGCGAATCTCGTCATCACCCACGAGGCATGAGGGGCATGATCCCGCATGGAAGCTCCGCGAAGCTGGCGCGAAGGGGACCTCGATGGTACAACGGGCCAAACCAAAACAACAGGTGCCTGGCTTTGACGGCGTGCTGCGCGGCGCTGCACTGGAGCTCCAGGTGAGCCGTGAGCTGTGCTTGTGCTGCTCTGCGCACGTCGCGCGTGCAGGGCTTTGTCCATCCCGATCGGAGCTAGCATCACGGACAATGTCAGGCACGCACCCATCCCAGCAGCAGCTCCTCGTCCATTGCTGTGCCGTCCCCAGCAAGGTGGTTTGAGGGGCGTGCGGATGGTCGTGAGACAGAGGCTGGACGGTCCAGTCAACGGGCTGCGACGTGCAGCGGCGGTGGGTTCATGGAGGGGGGAGGGTTGCAGGAGCGAGAAGCGTGTGGGAGGCTCGGATGGCTAAAAGTGGACGGCGAAGAGGAGGGGAGGGTGAGGAGGGGGCGTGGCCAGGTGACGGGATGGCGATGGATTGGACGGGGTCGTGACAGTTGTGGCATTGATGGCACAATTTGTTGGGTAGTACGGATACAAGCGTGCAGACAGTTGCGTCGATGATGCACTCACTCGTTCGGTGCGAAGCCAGCCAACGAGTCCATCCAGGTGGAATTGTGGAATTGCGGTGCACAGCGTATTAGTCTGGAGCGGCCCAGAAGACCCATCTACAACTGGCAAATGGCGGTTCTGTACCTACCTAGGTACCTACGCATAACACGACCGCCCGCCGGAGCGTAGGCCCGAGGTACACCTACACCTACACCTACACCGCACAGAACATGTCGCAGTTCTCCTCCCTCTCTGCCCTTGAGCCCCGGCTGGAGCTCTCCACCAGATACGGGGCGTCCCCACTGAACCGGTCACTGGGGAGGGGCCGGCTTCACTGGGGGTCTGGGGAGGAGGAGGAGGAGTCGCTGGCCGGGGAGGAAACAGCACAAAGCCTGCGGACCGCTAGATGCTGGACCGCTAGATGCTGGACCACTGAGGGCTGGTCGTCTCATCCACCCCGCCGAGCACGTTTCGCTGCGTCGTGGTGCGTGTTGCTGGCCGATTCTTGCGTCTTTGCGAAAGCCATTACGCCAACGAAACTCTCTTGTTCGACCAACCCGCAGCCCGCCCTCCCCGTCGACGGCCCGTTTCTTTCTTCCGGCTGGCCGGGCCCTTCGGGGGTACCTGGAGCCAAAGTGTAAAGGAAACCCAAAAACGAAGGGAAAAAAAACGCTGTTCCTGTCATTGATGATACGTGAGAATGCTACCGCTGCTACGTGCGAAGTTCTAGGTTCCCACTGGAGCGCGCGGGGGCCCAGCGTACCTACCTAAGGTAGGTACAGCTACTGTACCTACTGAGGTAGCTAAGGCATGCCGGATGCTCTCTCGTGCTTCCATCGGAAGCTTTCCCAACCTAACGCTGCCGGAATCGGGGCATGTGGACTTGGATTGGATCGCGGTGTCGGTCCTCATGCAGGCCGAGTTGCTAGGACTTGTTCGGAGAATGCGGCTGGCAGAACGATGAGACATGTCATGGATTGCGTCGCTCGACATGGCTCAGCAAGGTGCCTCTTTTTATTTTTATTTTTATTTTTGGTCGGAAGACGAGGAGCAAGCAGCACAGCACAGCGCAGCATAACACAGCACCACTAACCAGCAACCACCAACCATCACCGCCAACCTAACTGCATTGGATTGTCCCAGCATCTGAGACGATACACCACCTCACATCCGCACATTGTGTCTGTGTCCATGTATGATGTATAATCACAATCACAGACACGGCCAAGATCCGGAAAACACAAAGCACGCCGCCCAATTCCTCAAGGCCCTCATTCCACTCGACTCTCAAGGTTTCTGTGACATCCAAAACAAGCCCCCCCCCCCCCCCCCCCTCTCAACTACTGTAGTGTGGCTGGCCTATCCATGCCTCGTCGCTGCTGCTGCACTGCACGATGTCTCCATCCTCTCCATTTTGCCTGTGCACTCTTGCATCGTCGACGAGAAAACCCCCACCATGGCCGGAGCGCGGAGCCGGGGTTTGGCATGCCTCCCTCCTGCTCACGCTCATGCTAAACTCATGTTCCATTGCGCATTGCGGCTGTTCGGGTCGCGAGCTGCGGGACTCCGCTCAGATCATTCTAGCCATTCTCTTCTCGCTCAATTCCCCTCGCCATTGCCCTCAATGGGCCTCATCTGATCGTCATCGTCTCGGCCATCCTCGGTAGGTCGGGTTCCAGCTGCTGTGACCTGGTGGGCTAGTAGCAGTTGTGGTCCTTCTAGCTCTCCCCGCTCATCCCCTCCCTACCTAAGTTACGTGGTAGAACCATGGCTACATGGCTACAGTTGGTAGCAGCTAGTCTATCTCCCGGTGTCAATGGTTGCGGGGTTGGACCTGGAGTTGGGCAAGCGGAGGGGCCAAGAGCGCCAACGCCCGCTACACCCCGGACAAGGGCAAGACACCAGGAAGACGCCGGCTCGGCCACGAGCTTGGATTTTGCAAGGGACCAGAAGCAAGCGATTCATCCGAGTCAAGCCAGGGCCATGGGATGGGATCTGCTGGCCGTGTTGGAAGTTGGAACCCCGTCACTCACTCACTCACTTCCGCGCCCGCTCCATTCCTCGGTCCACCGGGCGATAGTTGCCCTAGGCATCTTGCGTTGATCTCTGGGCATGCAAGTACATGACAGACCCGAGCCGTAGGTGTAGGCAGGAAAGTCCTGACCTGTGAAGGTAGGACGATACGATACGACGCGGCACGATACTACGCAGCACGACACGACACGATGGACGATGCGATAGGTAGCTTCCTCGAGGAGGTCCGAGACCCGACAGCAGCTGCGGCAAACAACACCCTGACGGCTGGGACGTGGACTATTCCAACGGGAGCATCAGGGTCGGCGTGGGGTGATTGACTGGCGGAGTGGGGGTCGCTTCTCATTTGGAGTCTTGGCTGTCTGGGGTGTCAGTCCATCTGTACATGATCCCTACCTCAGCTACGCATTCTCTCCAGGCCGAGGGCTATTTTGTTTCCCGCCAATCTGGGGCAGGTGACAAAATACTACGGATGGTACGTACATGCGAAGTATAGACACTGGGGTTCTAGGATTCTCCTGGCCATCACGGTTGGTGGCTTCTGAAGTGATCTGCAGCCCCCGGGTGGTGTGTGCGGCTCTGGCTCGGGATTGCCAGGTTTGGATGTAACATCCTATGGCATTGATCCCCATGGGATCCGTCTCGTGGCAGGGAGCATGCCGTGGGATTCAGGCATGCACCTCCCCGACTTCTGTTTTGCCCATCGAGGGCCAGCTCCCCACGCCCTGGAGCTCCGGGTTGCGACCAAGACATCGATGATGCTGGTGATTCCCATGCAGGAGCTGCGCCGCCGACGACAGCGTGCTTGACAGAGTCGCATCAACCCACGAGGGCGGAAGCGGCGTAGAAAATGGAAAACATGGAATCAGATGCAAGAAATGGAATACAACGCGCGCGGGGGGGGGGGGGGGAGGGGTGCGTCTCCATCAGCGTCGTCGTTGTCGTCGTCGTTGTTGCTGTCGTCTCGGGCCCAGACCGAGGTACCTAGCGAAAGCATGTCACTCTCCAATCAATTGAGACGACGCTCACTTCTCAACAGGCCTTCTCACACAGCGCCGGAGTGTCTTCATCTTTCTCACCTTGAGAGGCAAGCGGGCCACTTGCGGCTCGGGAGTAGCCCACGGTTTAATTGGGAGCTGCTCGGTACTACGAATGCAAATTGGAGCCGCGGGCGCAGAAAATGGAGAACGGGCCGCCTTTTGGACGGATTCATAACGTAGTACCACGGACTAACAGAAACGAAATGATATGAGTGCACGTCCATCCACAGTGGAAGAGCAGAATTTTCTTCTCTGTGGCGTGGAACTCGTGGAGAGAGAGGGGCGAGGGGCGAGCGAGCCGCCATGGTCCAGAATCACATCATCAGTGCTCAGGCTCACGGGCCAATCGTTCTGGCACGCTGGCTGGCAGCGGATATTCGCGGTGCAAGCGAGACAACAAGAAGGGGTCGTACACAAAATGGACGATGACGCCCAACAGGCGAAACAGGCCAATCCCAGGGCCGGTGTTGTTCACGACAAAACAAAAGGTCAGAACGGCGCCCACGTTGGCGGTTGCGGCTGCATTGAACAAGACGCCGAACTGGGGGGAATGGGAAGCGCTGAATGGAGGGAACTAACAGAACCCCCGTGGGCTGGGCTGGGCTGAACCTGGATGGTGGGAGGGCAGCGAGGCCTGTGGATGGGCGGTTTGATGATGGGCGATTATGCGGTTATACTCGATTCATCTCAATGTGCATGGCGCCGACCAATCCGCTGGACCCAGGGCTCCCATCCAGGGAGGAGGCCAGGGGAGGAGGGCCTCGATAATGTCGAGATGGTGGTGGTGGTGGTGGTGGTGGCATGGGGGGAGGTCAGCAGCCTCTTCGGAACAAGTCGAGCGAACGAGGGCACGAGTTGAAGCAGCGAAAGCCTGCGAACCTACCAAGTTACCTCGTCCGTAGTCTACCGAGCGGCCTAGACGAAACGATCTGGACTAATAACCCTGGCGCGCCATGCAACGCAACGCATACAGGCGCAGGAGATAAGGGACGGACGCGAACGAGATGGGCACGAGGCGCCATACCCGCCAGGCTATTATTATTCCCATGTTATCGTGACCCGACCCGACGGGCGACGGGCAACGGGCGATGGTGTCTCATCTCATCTCATCTCATCCCTCCCCCTCCTCCTCCTCCTCGACTCAACTCGGTCCTTGTCCGGCCGGCGCCTCCGTGGCCGTGTCGGAGGGAGGGCTCGGGAGAGGAGTAGCGCTGATGGGCTTTTTGTCTGGGAGGGTCCCGATGCTGCAGGAACATGACGTCCCTGGGCCTGGATTGGAGTCGCCTGGAGTCCTGGACTCGTCACTCGTTGACGTCGTCTTATCACGTTTCCTCGTCATGCTTCTTCGCGCGTCCTTGTCCTTGTCGTGATTTGCGGGAACTCTCTCGATCCATTGAACAAAGCCCGGTCGTCGACCCACCCCTTCCGCTTCCTGCCGAAGCGTCAAGCGCCGTTGCCACCATCCATCCCACGGCCGCGGGATGTCGTCTTTATCGGGAGTACGGAGTAAGAACTGTAGAGGAGGGAAGAGGACCCTTCTTGCACTATCTATCAATCTAGCTGGATGCCCTGTAAGTATGCCCTGGATGCCCTGTACTTATGCATGCGGGGCCAAGCCGCTGCCGAACTGCAGCCATGGTGCCAGGTTCCCCCGTGGCAGTGGACTCGTCAAGTTCCATCACCAGCTTACTTGGAGCTTCTTCAGCTTGGCCCAAGCCTCCAGATTCCCCTTCTCCCGGCCACTCTCTCCTGCAAGCTTATCGCCTTGGCCGCGATTGTCGTCTCGTCCCGTCTCGTCTCCTCACTTCTCTCCTTCGGGCTGGTCGATCCGCTAACAGAAGCCGTCCTCGTGACTGCTGCTTATCTCGCCCTACCACCTCTCGTCTATCAACTCAGCTTTTGCCTGCCGCAGAACGCTACAGTATCTGGCTTGCCACCACGGTTACAGTTGCATCAATGATCAATGATCAATGATCAACCGCCACGGCTTATTAGTGACTTGGGTGTTCATGACCCCTCCTCCTCCTCCCACCGTCTCCTCCCACCCCATCAATCACCACGGACATCTTCCCGCCTCAATCTACCCGCTGCATGTTCCACTCTCCACTCTTCACTCTCCACGCTCCAGCCGTCGCGCGTTCCATGCCGACTTACATCCGAATGTGCACCGCAAACTCGCATTCTTATCAGTCTTTCCACTCGTGAACCTTAGCTTTATCCTGCTCCTCATCCCCATCTCTCGTCGTTACGGGGTCGCACCTCGGTCAATCCGAGCTGATAGGCATTAGCCATTCTGCCAGACTAGAACATGAAACGTGATATCATCAGATGAGCTGTCTTCTGCGTCAATGACATCTCTGGTGTCACACGGCCGTAACTTCCATGATGCCCAACAACACCATCATGGCATCATTGCTTCTTGCTTTCACCGCAACTAACCGCCCGCTCGCCGTGCTCTCACCGACGGCACTCAGCTCTCTCCCCCCTCGCCGCCCGCCCCGTCACACCATTCTCTGCAGGCATTGGAACATTCCATGGGGCGAGATCGGCCCTGCAGCTTACCCCAGAGTTGACCCAGGCTAAGGGACCCGTTGCGGCAGCTATGAGATTGCATCATTTCCTGCGGCTCTGTTGTTGTCTATCGCGGGGTCTGGGCTGCTCCTCAGCGTGGAGCCGCATCGCGTCAGTTGAAGCTGCGATTGCGCACCTGGCCTAGCACCATTTCCTGGGCCTACAGTGTTTGACCAACTCAAGGCGGTGTTTAATATAATCAACGGGACTCTTTGAGCCATGTCAGGGTTTTGATATTAGATAAATGTGTTATCGCGAGACTCTCGTGGCAGCAATGCTGTCCAGCCGTGGTCAGACACAAGCGCAAACACTACACCGAGTTCCATCAATTTCTCTCAAGTGACAACTACACTCGCAGGACAGTGTACAGTTCACTCGGGAGCTTAGGTCTCTTTGGTTGATACAATTCATTCACCAATGACGTCTTACGAGAGACTGCCAAAACGCCATAAACAACCTCTTCGCGCCATGATGCACCAGATAAACTCCAACTCACACAGGCATGCCTGCTCAACGCAACCCTCCAAATGCCCTAACCTGAGACTTTATCCGGGGTCTGGACTGAGTCTTTAACACACCCCATGCACGATTGTCACATTCCGCCCTGTATCATCTCACCAAGGACCCTGAGCAGATCATACCAAGCCACCAACACACCCCTCTGCTGGATCCGTGTCTTCGCTGGGGCATTATTACAACGATTGATCGCGGTACTCTTCTTCGAGGTGGTGAATTGGATCTCCCCGCATATGGAAATGGCGTGCTTAATGTCGAAACCGCATGCCACGGCTCAACTGACGTTCTCACTGTGCTCACATCCTTGAGCGTAACGCACAACGCCAGAGGGAGACGACATGATGTGATGGGTCTTCGTTTCACTAAACCTGGGGACACATGACAACAAACAGTCTGGGCACTGCAAAATGAGCATTAATGACGAAAGACTTTTTGTTCATATCCTTGGCCGTGAGGGAACCGTGTCCCGTGCTAACCTATTACCACATCTCTTCAAGACTGTACTGAAGAGCGCGCTGCTACACTCGCTGTAACATTATTGCACCTATGTGCAGAATCCAAAAATTCATGACCCGGCTCGCAAGGAAGGAACAAGCCAAGGCTACCCTTATGTAGGACCCAATCCCTTTACCCGACAACGAGAGCATCTCTGCAAAACGCTGAATATTCCTACTCCAATACTCCGTATCTTTCCTTGCCCGATGAGGGCATTCTCCAGTAAGTTAAAGATTTGAACATCAAGTTCAAAAAAGAAAATACAAAAGAAAAACATCAAAGCATGTTCCGTTGGCTAACGCTAATCATGGATGATAGTACGTTTGATGACGGCCGTTCCCCCCGCCTTGTGCGACCCTCTCTGCCTCAGTGGCCAGCTCCTGAGGTGTTCGTGAAGGCGAATAGCTCTGGTCATATTTTTGTACATGTGACTGGCTGTGCTCGTATTGGGGGCTTCCGGCTGGCGAGGGGCTCGGCTCCATCATAGTGACCTGAGGAACCCACAGGTTTCCTTGCGCGTCATATTTGGGCTCCGCGATACCCGGAGTCTCTGCGTATGGCGACACATGAAGCATATCGTTCGTCTCCGTGGGCAGCTCTACTGGCGGTGCGGGCGGATGGACGTTGGACTGAACGGTGTTAGGGCTGGACGAGTGGAAAGGCGGCGGGCTCGTAGTGTTGAAGTGGGAAGATCCGGGGCTCCAGGGGCCCTGCGAGAAGTGGGAACTGGTCTGGGCTGGATGGTAGTCATAGGACTGGTTCATCGCCTGCTGCGACACGTTGGTGGAATCACGGCCGCGGCGTCGTCTCATGAGGCAGCATGCGCCGACGAGTCCTAGGATTGCCACAACACCACCGCCAACTCCGATCCCGACAATGGCCCCGGTTGAGAGGCCGGACTTGGGTTTCGGTGTGTTGGTAGGCGCACTGCTCGTCTCGCTCGCGCCCACCACATCTCGGGTGGCTGTCCTCACAGCAGCCTCGGCCTTGCGCGTCATGAGAGCCTTCAGATCCGGGGCAGCGAACCCCTCCGCCGGTGCAGTCTTGGTAGCTCCGCCAGTCGACTTGCCACCCACGACGGAGAGGATATCAGTCGGGACCACGTACTTGGTCTTGTCCGGAACGTATAAGGCCCATGGCGAGTTGTCCTTGTTTTGCTTGCCCAAATCCATGTTGTGCATGCCCCATTGCTCCTCCGAGTCGCAGTCGTTGGTCAGGGGGAAGAAGCCGCCGTGGACGAGCATCTGGGCTTCATTGACAACGTTGCATGACATACTGTGATGCGGGAATTCGCCTGTCTGGTTGGTGTTGAGTGGGTACATCTTGACCCAAGTGAAGGTGGGAATCGTCAGGACGTAGATGTCGTCGAAGCCGATGCTACCTTCCGCTTCGCCGAGGCCACCATACAGATAACTAAAATGAAGTTAGTTGATCATCATAATGTACAGAATGCGCAACACTCACATGTTGTAGGATGACTGGTCGTCGACCCAAGTCGCTCCAGCACAGAACCGACGTCGCATCTCGGGGACAGAGCCTGTAGCATTCTGCAAGTAGCTCTTACCACTGAGAATGTCATAAATCATGATCTCCTCCATCGGTTGACCCTCCCAAGCCCCATTGCCCGTCCCACGGATACCTCCAAAGTAGATGATCAAGCCTCCGTCGCCGGCGGGGAGGTAGATCATGACACCCTCCGCACGACCGACCTCGTCTGGTCCAGTCGTATTCGACCAACTGTTGCTGTCCATGTCGTATTTCAACATGTACGAGGTTGGGATGCCAGGGGCGTCGCCCCAATTCGGGTCCGTGGCGCTATTCATCCATCCTCCGTAGTAGTATCCCTCTCCGCGACTCGAGATGGAGAGGCCGGCGCCGTAGCTGAGACCCATGATGTCGGTGGACCGGGGCGATCCATAGTTGTCCCAATAGTCGTTCAGGACGTCATATGCGTAGAGGTCGAAGGACCAGGGAGTCTCGCCGTAAAATTCGCCACCGAAGAGGTAGATTCGCTTGTTGACATCGTCGGGCCATAATATTCCACCATTAACATTAGGGATAGTCGAATTCTTGCTGAGATTCGCGTGGGGCGGTGGCATGCCCGAGCTGGAAACGGTGCTCAAATCATGGTAAATCAAGTAGGGGTCTAGTGTCTCATTGTTAGCAGGCAGAGTCTTCGTTTGTCCGGCGCCGTCCACAGCTCCGCGTCTTTTGCATTTGGGTAGGCGATGGAATTCGCGACGACGTACTGGTGACGTTCTCCGGATTCTCTGAGCCGCTGTAGGTGATTAATCCTCCATCGATGTAGAGCTTGTCGTCAATGACGGCAGTTTGGTGACCCCATCTCCGACAGAAGTCGTTTATAGGGTCGCGCTGCTGAACGGTCACTCCAACATAGCAAGCCAGCAACACCAAGGTTACCAGGTGTTCTCGTGCTTGGCTGATCCGAGATGGAGAGGTCCGCATTCTGGCTGACACCGAGATGGTGTAGGCATGCCCTGGGCGTTGGGCACCAGATTGGAGGCGGGTTCTCGTGATCTACGAACCGTCGCGATGGGGTGTAAGAGGCCGCTGGAATGGAACGAACGTCTCGGCGTGACAATAGTTGTTAGGCGAAGAATAATGGGAGGGAGAGACAAGGAGGGAAACCACGTTGTCAAGGCGTCAAAGTGTCAGAGCGTCAGAGCAAGGTGTCAAAGCATAAGCAGCGATGGGAACGAGTGTGGGCTAGGATCAGAGCATGGATGGCGGCCTGGCCTGGGACGTCTGGGACACCTGGGACACCTGGAACACTTGGGGACGCCTGGGACGCCCGAGAGGCAGCGCAGATGGTAGATGAAGTGGCGGAGGCGGAATCCGGGGCTGACCATCTCTGTGGTCCAGACTCGTGCCGGCCCAAGCCCTGGGAGGCTGCTCCACAGTGTGTCGCAGCGGTGCCTCCGTATTCGACCAGGCCGGCAGCTCACTATCCCGTAGCCTGTACGAGGTACCCGAGCCAGCGAGCGCCATCGTGGGCCATCCATGACCGGAGGAAGGGGGCTGAGGAGATGGCTGCAGACGCCATTGACATCCCATTGTCCATGACGGCACCCGTGTTCCTGCCCTGTTCCTGCCGACCCAGCCATGAGTGTGGTGAGACGACAGCCGGCCAGCACGTATCCAGCACGTATCCATCCAGCTGGTGGTACCTGGCTTGCAGAACTAGGCCTCGTACCGGCAGATGATTCGCACGGCGCGGGGGATGGCTGGGAGCTGGACGCAGCTAGGGGGCCAGCGCTGTGGGCAGCCGCCAATAGCGAGCTGTTGTCCTCTCATTCAGCTCCTGGGGGCTTGGGCCGGGACATGCATCCCTCCTTCATCTAGTCATCCAGCAGCGGTATCCCTCCCTGCGCTGCTAGAGTGCTCTGGAACGCCCTGAATGTTGGCTTGCCCACAGGGCTGAATGGAGCTGTGCCCACTTCGCTTAATATCCCAAATAGCGTCTGTTGAACTTTGTTCTATTGGGACGAGCGACGCGGCTACGCCAGAGTGGGCTCAAGCCGCCGTCCGAGACCAAAGCGCAGGTTGTTTGATTGATTGCGCTCTCTCCTTTATCGGATTTGACGGATGGAAATTTCTTCATTGAACCTTGGGGCCTTGAAGCCTCGAAGCCTCCGGATCCTTGGCTGACTGCCGCAGGTGAAACCTGACAATAAAAAGATTTGTGGGCGGCTTGTTGACATGCCCAACTGGCTGGCTAGCAAAGTACGGAGTAGTATCTGCAAAGATGAATCAGACGCCGCCACAGTCTATCCCGTCTGTGTAAGGGAAGTACCGGTCATCCTTGTCCCTTGTTTCAAGCGCCCGCCATCTCACCCACCGACTCACTTCGGGGACCACCTCTTGGCCCGGCAGCGCGCTGCACTGCGTTCAGCCAACCATCTAGAGGAAGATCTAGCGCTGCACGGGTGTCGCCGTCGGGGAATCCTTCAATTGGGTGAGCATCCTGCTGGCTACCCAGCCATGCATCGGGGTTCTGCAACTCGATTGATTGCCAGTCCAGCATGGCACAGCCCGCCAGTCCCAGGTGCGTCGGAACCGACTCTTCGCGCAGAGCCACAACTGATAGTGCAGCCCTGACTGCAGCCACGAAGTCCTCTGCGTTTACGCAGTTTTGGATATTATTCCCAGTTTGGGCATTTCCTTCGACACCGCCTCCTATCAAGCGCCACTCCTTCCACAACGTCGCGACAGCCCCGAGCTTCCCCAATGTCGAGATATAGGCTCTCAAGGCTTTCATAGCGTCGTCCCTCTCTTTGACAGTCGATTTTTCCGAGAGGAAGAGAAGAGCGACAGATCGAAACGACACTGGTGAAGCCTCATCTTCTTCGCCATGGCCTGTTAAAATTTGCAAGAGTGACTCACGACCAGAGACGTCGAGGGGTGGTGCCTCTGAAGGTGTGGTAAGATGAGCCGAATACGTCTCTAGGGCGAACAGCACATCCTTCATCATCTGCCCAGGCGTCTCGGTCCAGATGTTATGCTCAAAACCAAGCCCGAGATATTTCAATGTTGCCTCTGAGTTGGCAATGCGAGCCGAAAGCTGTAGCCCAAGTCCACAAAGAGAGCCTCCGATGTGGAGCCCATCGGATGCCAGTCTTTGTCTTAGGTTTCCCAGAAAGGCCATGGTCTCGAGGAGAGCTGGATACAGGGGGTCGCATTGGAATAGTATTCTCCCGCATGCTCGTCGAATCGCCGATGAAAAGTTGCGCGGTGCTTCCTTCCCTGGGGCCTGGGAGACCTGGAAAAGGGTGGTGTCCAACCCAGACGACAGAGCTTTTGAGACTAGCCTGCGGAGGCTTGCAATCGAAATCTGGTCGTCAAGCGCCGCAATGAATGTGTCGGGGGAGGGCGGAGTCTGACTCGGTTGGCGCCCAAGCTGAACAACTCTTTGGCGTGTCTTGAGCCATTGCAGCAGTAGCTCATCATTCCCAAGTGCGTAGTCGGATATGGCATTCTCAGAGCAGATAGTGTGGAACGTGTCTAATCGATTGCGCGGATCCAACACCTCGGAAGCAGTCAAGTCACCCATGTCCCCCCGCTGAGCCTCCTCACCTGAGTCGATCAGCGGAGTCGTCGGAGCACCACGGAGAGCTGCTGAGAGGATGTCATGACTTGACAGTCGCCAGGCATTGAAAGGCCCGTTCATGATATCGAATGACTTTTGCCGCGAGCGATCCAGCTGTTCTTTGGCCTGTCCGAGACGACTCTTGAGTCTCTCACGTGTGGGGTTCACGTCCCATTTCACCTGCAGCTGGGCCTCGTCGTCCGGAGCAAATGGGCGCACGTGCTTGCTGTCCAAGTCGTCGAGGTCGAGAAGGAGATCGCTAATCCGAAAAAGCTTGCTATCGTGGGGCTTCTTGGGCAATGACGGCCCCAGTTTGTTGATGGTATAGTAGTGATCGTTGTCCTCGCTGGATTGGCGGATGAATGTCTTTGAGCGTGCTTGATGCGCTCCGCCGCTGAGTGATGGAATCGCAACCTGCGGTCTGCGGGAGGCGGCTGTGCGTATCATCTTTGGTGAGACTGGGGATTTTCTATCCGCCGAGCATGTGTAAATATGGGCGAATCCTCATCGGTAACTTGATGGTGGAAGGACGAGGCCAGCCCGAGGTGATGAGTTGCAAACGCGGAAATGGCGATGCGACATTCAAGGGTGGCCAACGGGAAGAACTGGGGACAACGTTCCGCGTCATCAGCCGCCTATTCCCCCCTACCCCTTGCAGCACACGGCACCTACACAAACATTCCAGGGGACTGATTTCAAACCAGGCTCGCCAGCCGTCCACTGTTGGAAGGTTACAGGTGCTGCAACAGGGGAGACATTCCCCCAACGGCCAAAATGTCCGCCTAGGGCTTAGCGGTCCCGCCCGAGAACATCCGGGGAAAGCGGGGTCTGAGGGTCTTGACCTCGAGCTTCTGTTCGGCATATGATGTGGCGGTGCTCTTTCCTCAGCCACAGGAGTTGAACCCCGGAACTACGTTTATCCGAGGCGCATCAATTCCATGTTCGAATAGGCTTTGGGTAGACCTTGATGGACGAGACGAACATATAACAACAAACCCCCTGGCCAGTTCTACTCACATCATCTACGCGTCCGAAATTTAGTCAGATCTTCGCTTTACAAATACATTCGAATCCACCATGTCTCCTCCAGCCAAGAAGCGAAGAACCACGCGAAGTTCCGCTAAACAAGAACAAGAACAACAAGCGCAGCAGGAGCAGCAAGATCAGCAAGAGCGCCAAGAACAGCCAGTCGAAGCAGCTCCCGTCGAGGCCATCAAGACTCAGAACCCTCCAGAGGAAGACGAAGCGCCCCCGATGGAGCCCACTGTCGAGAAGAAGAGCGAGGCTCCCAGCGCCGATGCCGACCCTGCAGCCAAAGCCAAGGACCGGATGGCCCGTTTCAAAGCCCTTCAAGCCCGAGCCAAGACATCCTCGGAGAAAAATCTAAAGGAGGCCACCTTGGAATCCCAAAGACTGGCCACCGATCCAAACCAACTCACCGCGCTGCACCGAAAGCAAGCCATCGCATCTCACAAGCTTCTCAAAGCGGATGTCGAGGAAGCCGGCGAGGACTTTGAACGCAAGCGAGCATGGGACTGGACTATTGACGAGAGCGAGAAGTGGGACAAGCGCATGAAGAAGAAAGCATCAGCTCGTGACAACAACGCATTCCGAGACGACACGCAAGAGAGCAACAAGATCTACAAACGACAGCTGCGGAACATCAACCCCGATATGGACAAGTACGAAAAGGACAAGATGGCTGCTGTTGAGAAGGCCGCCGCCTCGGGTGGCCTGGACATCGTGGAGACAGAGGACGGCGAACTCATCGCCGTGGACAAAGATGGGTCATTCTACTCGACGGCCGACTCGACCTCGTTTGCTCAAAACAAGCCCGACAAGGCTGCCGTGGACCGACTAGTCGAGGATCTGAAACGGGCAGAGGAACAGAGACTGAAGAAGAGGAAGGAGAGGATGGCGCAGAACGGCGACGATGGCGACGTGACGTACATCAACGAGAAGAACAAGCAGTTTAACCAAAAGCTGTCGCGGTTCTACAACAAATACACGGCGGAGATTCGAGACAGCTTCGAGCGGGGCACCATGATATAAAAGGAAGACGGTTCATAGATTTTTGTATTTGATTTAGTCCTCTCGGGGGGTATTGTACAGTCTAGCGTTTGTTACAGCACAATTAAGATCTTACAGCATTGTCTTTCTCCAAGACTGAGTTGCCAGTTCCTCAATGTCGGCAGCCTCCACAACCCCGCGCTTCGTCTCATCGCCAAACGCCTCCACCACGGCCTCGGCGACGGTGCTGACCTTGAGCGGCTTGATTCCAGCGGCGCCCATGAGGCTTTTGAAATAGTGACCGGTGATACCGTTGAACATGGTGCCCAAGCCGACCACGGCAGCCAATGGCACGGTGAGGGTGCGCGAGCTGTCGAACATGAAGGGAGCCCGAATGTAGAGGCTCCTCAGTTCAGGGAAGCTGTTGGCGATGGTAGTCTCGGCCTGTCGCTTGGTAGAAATGTACCGCGCAGGGAGAACAGGTGCTCCGCCGGCGGCCGAGATGTAGCAGAATGAACTCACGTTGGCGGCGGCGGCGTGCTTGGCGAGGGTGATGGCACTGTCTCGGTTCATGATCTCGTATGAGAACTGGTCCTTGGGGTTGGGCGGCTTGATGTCCTCGCCCTCCTTTCTCGCCAATGGGTCGACGCCCCGATCACGCACGGGAGCAAAGGCCTTGGCCAGGCCGGCGATGGGCGATTCCTTGCCGGAGACAACGCCTTTGTAGTCGGCCTCAAGCAGAATGCCCATGCTGTGGACGACGAAGTCGGCGCCATTGAGCAGCGGCGCATACGTGGCGGGGCGTAGGATATCGCCGCGTTCCCACGTCACCTTGTGCGCCCAAGGAGGTGGCGCGGCGGAGGAGGTGACGGAGTCCCATTGGGGCTCGCCGGAGCGGCTTCGTGACGAAGTGAGCTTGGATACCTTGTGAGAGAGCGGCGTCTGCGAGGGAAAATTACCTGACGGAGGTCACATCCCAGCCTCGGGCCACGGCGAACTGGCAGATCCGGGAGCCTAGAAAGCCAGAGCCTCCGCAGACAACGAGCTTCTTCACTGTGGACATGGCGGCTGTGGTGGTGTTGGAAGTGGTGTGATTTGCGAGAGACACGGAGGGCCGGCGGAGGAAGACGGGCAGACAGAGCCGAGTCCGGAGGCGTGGGGAGGTGTCGTATTCAACAGCTTTGAATACGGCGGAAAAGGGGTTTATCAAGGTAAAAGAACAACTCAGGTGAGGGTATGGATTTTGGAATTGAGTCTCAAGGCTAACCCAATACACAGTACGAGTGCCGTACGAGCCACCGATGGAAATCATGAAGTCATCGTTTTGCCCGAGGCTGAAGCTCTCTAGGCTACCTAAAGCTACAGCTGCGCTGGGTTACTTTCAGCGCTATTACCCACCCCATCTCTAACACCAAGGCTACTCCAAAAATCCGACAGATATTGGAAGGGATTAAATTCTGTTAATTCAAACTCCCATTTAATTGATTAAAGTGCTGAACTGTGTCATATAGTCTTCATAGCCAGCTACAATCCCACACCACCTTTAGGCGTGCGTTAACGGCCAAAGTCGTTGTCGAGTAGCAAACACCATCCATCTTTTAGTGGTCCGCCCCGGTACGCGCCATCATTGGCCAACCAAACCGTGTCGCCTCTGCAAGGCTGAACCTCAAATAATCTTCTCCATCCAGGCCCGCCTTAACGAGCGTCGTCGCTGTCGCCTTCAACCGACTCCTCCCTCTTTCGAATGCGCCACGGCTTCCCGAACCACCCCAGGCTCTCGACACCCTCCGTATCAACATGGCGCCACAAAACCAGCTCGGAAAGCGCGTCAAGCTGACGCAGATCCGTCGGCCGTTCATCGTCGGAAGCACTGCTCGCCCATTCTCCGATACCAACCCGCGACCGGCAGGCATCCCCGACAACCACACTCACTCATGGGATGTCTTTGTCAAAGGCCTTGACGACACCGACATCACTTACTGGCTGCGGCGAGTGCAGTTCAAGCTCCACGAGTCGATTCCCAACTATGTGCGAAGTACGCTCGGCAAAGCTCCATTTCCTAATGCCCCCGGCGCATGCTGACCTTGAACTACAGTGGTCGAGGGCGAAGCGGGAAAGCCATTCCTCGTCAGCGAAACCGGATGGGGTGAATTCGACATTACGATCAAGCTATACTACGTCAATGACTCTGGCGAGAAGCCCCAGACTCTGTACCACTACCTGCGCCTCCACCCCTACGGTCGAACTGAAGAGGAAAAGCAATCTATGGTGACCAGCAGCGGCGAGGTCCGATCCTGGAGCTACGACGAGCAGCTCTTTAACGAACCCTACGAAGCCTTCTACAACCTGCTTACCGCAGGCGCAGTCCCCAAGGGATGGAAACCCTCGGGCGGAAAGGGCAAGGGGAAGAACCGCGCACCACCCGCATTGCCGCCAGCCGACAGTCAGGACGTCTGGGAGCACTCGGCCATGATTCCAGCGCATAACCGCCCGGGGCAACCATTCAGTCTGGAGACGGAGGCCGCTGAGATTAAGAAGCTGGCCGATGCCCAGGCACAGACCGAGGAGATGAGCAAGAAGATACTCGCCGAGCTCAAGGCCAAGGAGGAGCTACTGGCCAGCCTCAAGGCAGAGAACGCCACGGCTGCCGCTGCAGTCAAGCCCTCCTAGAATGGGGGTTCGGACCGCAAGCGCAACAACCGAGGGCGCAAGAGTCGAAGCCGCAAGGCCATGACAAAGGAGGAGGAGGAGGATTCTGACTGAGAGAGCAACGAGGACGTGCCGGCGAACTCGTCCTAGTCGTCCTCGGGCACATTTGAGGGCTCCTCGGTTTCGGATTCATCGGCCACAATAACGGGCCCGTCGGATGAGCAAAGCCTCCCTTGCGCTCCTCCAGAGCCAAGGGCTCATTCACCGGCCCGGTAACGCAACTGCGGAAGCTCCGGCGAGCACGCCCACAACCCGCAACCGCCGAATCCCGTCCCAAAATAGTACCTCCAGACTGATACTCTCGGAGGTACCAAACAGCAGATGATGTTGTGTCGTGACATGGCCCCCAGGACAATCGAAGTATGCATATACGAGCTGCCTGGGGCTCAACAACTATTAAAAGTGTCCAACGCAGGGATGTGGAGAGGTACCACAAGCGTGAAATGAGGACGTATTGATACAAGGAGCCGCATATATGGCTAGGTACCTATGCAGCGAGCGAGTCCTAGATTATGGTAGCGCAAGCATTCTTGTATGACAGCCAGTAGATGAGAATGTGATTGTGGACGCCTTGTTCCGCTGTCCTATAAGATCTTGACCTACCCTCCGTGCGACTACAGACCACAGACTGTATGTACAACACCACACCGTATTTCCCCTGCACTGCGCATACTCGACGCGTCATACCAGAGACGGTATTCACTCTTCACGGCTTTTCGTCAATCACAGCCACAAGATCACGACACCACGAAGCGGACAGGGTACACAGCCCGAGATGCATCTTTCAAATGATGTGAATTGGAGTGGTCTCTGCTGCTGCTCGCACGCTTAGCCATTGCCATCCCGCCGTCTTCGCCTTCCGTCCATGTATCCCAAAATTCCAAATGACCTACCACCTATTTTTGTAGGTCCCTACCAACCGTGCCTGTCCACAACCATCCCAACCATCCCAACCATCCCATCCCAGTGCCAGATCCCAATTGACAAAACCTCCGCTTGTGATGCGGACAACTCGCGCAGTCAATCCACCTGGGATCCGCAGCCGATTCGACAAAGGAAAACTGATAAAAAAGAATGCGGTCGCTTCCTGTGCGATGCCACATGTTGCTGACTTGTTCGTCATAAAACGAGGGGAAGAAAGCAAAAATAAACTCGAAACCACCTCCATGACTTGGCCGGTCATGTAACACTCCGTCCGGCCCACCATTTTGTTCTTCAAATAGCCATCTCCTACCAACGCCCGGGATATGTATTATAAAAGATGCTTTCGGGACGCGCCGAAAACCTAAACCCTCTTCAACTCCAGCGCCTGTCCAACTGAGAAACAAGGAAAAAGAAAAACGCTTAAAGAGTGTGTGGGGATGTGATTTATATACGGGTTCAGTTGCTTTATACAACTCAACGGGTTGCAGCTTCGTAGGCTGGTGGTGGGGCATCTTCCCCTTCCTCCCAGGTGCCGCGTTGTCGGTTTTTCTCGTCGTAGACGCGTTTCGCAATTTCGCCAGCCATCTTCATGATCCATGCTTGCTCGAGGATGACCGAAGAGGAGTCAGACCCGGCGGCGCTCTGGGTTTCGAGAAAAGCGGCTTTCTCCTTGTTGACACCCAGGCTGCTGGTCGCGGCAACCGTGGCACAGGTGGATAGAGGCTCGGTGGCGTTTTCTGAAGCCTTGATGGAAGAGGAACCATCGCCCATCTGGGACAATTTGTACAGATCAGCCATCAGTGGGCGATGGGTCGGGTCCTCCAAGGATCTGAAGCGAACCTTGTTCGGAGTAGGTGCCTCAGCAATCACGGATCCGTCTTCCGGTTCCTCCGGGATCGAGTCCGAGATCATCGGCTCTGATGACGGCACGTCAACAGAGGCCGTATCAGAAGCCTCGCTAACATTGTCAGGGGTCGCAGCCTCCGACTTGGTGCGCCTGAGGTTGACAACTCGGTTCTTCTTCTTGCGGCCTGGTCGTGACCGACCACCAGCCCCTAATGACAGTCCAGTAGTAGCCGAGTTGAGGCTGACAAGCGAGGGCCGAGACGGTAGGTGTCCATGAGCGGTGCTACCCGAGTCGGAGAACGTGTACGTCGTAGTTGACCCCGCAACAATTGAGTGGGTCTTTGTGAGGCTTGGTGTTCCGATGGATGGTGTCGAGGCATCAGATCGATCCCCATGCCCAGTCCAGGCTCGGAAGACGACGTCGCGGATACCAGGAGTGAAGAGGGAGAGGGTGCGATGAGAATCCGTCAAGGCAGCAAGTCGCAATAGGTTCTTTTGGGAGAAGAGCGATTGGACCTCACCGCCACCGTTCAAGGTAAGCTCTGAGATGGCATTCGGATCCACCAGGTTGCCGTTGGCATCCACGGGGTCCAATGGGGGGCTTGCGAGCGGGTCGACACCCGCTTCATCTTCAGCTTCGCTGGGCGTTTCAGTTCCCTTGTTAACTTGGTCGGGGCACCAGAGCTGGAGCGATAGCCTGTGGATAATGGTGGGTAGCTCATCCATCATCAGGTTGCGTAGTTGCTGTTCGATGGTCCGTTGCAAGTAGTCGCGAACGAACTGTATCGAATCAAAGGTCGAGGAGACCTTGAGTGACTCAAGTGGGTCATTGCGAAAGACAATGGTCAGGCCTTTTTGCTTGGAGAAGACGAGAATGATGAATGCCGAAAGCTTGATTTCTGACAGGGTGATGGAGAGAGGGATAGTGAGTCCTGACGCAGCTGCCAGGGGTTGTGGCGAGGTGAAGGTGGGCTTGGAATAGAGGTATGTGTTCAGGGGGTTGGCCTGTTGTTTCATATTAGCCCTGATATAACACAAATTCCCCGCATGAACTCAATAGACACGCTTGGGCGCCAACGAAAACGCGCATCCCGGACGGAGGGAAACAACATTCAATGCGTATGTAATTAGACAAAAAGATGGGACCAAAACAGTGGCGGTGAGTGAGGGTGACAACTCATCGAGTCTGAAGTGAGAGCTAGTCTCATACTTGAGACAGACAGGCTTGGCAAAAATGAGGAGTCGAGAGGATGAGGATGAGGATGAGGATGGGTAAACCGATAAGCCATCTGGGGGACCAAACGACTCGTCTGGTTGACAAAAGGCAGGGGATTCAATGGCGGAGTGCAATAGCAATAGTTGCAATTGCATCTTGGAACATTGAATTAAAGTTGGGGGGAGCGAACGGTTATGCCGGGGCTTCCCGGGGGTTCACAAGCGAAACGCCGCCAAAGATGACGCACGATCAGGAAGAAAAAAAAGAGATGCACCTACTTGAACTCTCGTCTTCAGGGTCAAGAAGGCGTCGCCGGTGTAGCTCATCTTGAAAATGCCTCGGAACCTATCCTCCGCAAGGTCGCCAATCTCCAGGATCTCCAGGTCGGGCGCCACACTGCCGAGGTTGAATTCGCTGACGAGGATATCATCGACAATGATGGGCGGCTTGGGGGATTTGTTCAGAGCCTTGGTCAAGAGGTCGCGCGCGCGCCGGTAGAACTCGGCATCGGCCGTGAGCGGCGACCAGTTGAAGTTGAAGGCCATGTTGAAATGGCGTTTACGTTCTCAAGACCATGGATGGGGCGAAGAGGTGCCGTCGTCGGCAGCGAGGGAATCGCGAGGGAAGTAAGCGGGAAGCGAAGCAAGAGAGGCGCGTGTTGTTGGAGCTCGAGGCCGAGGAACTGTCGCAACGAGGGAGCGACAAGGAAATGCGACGGTGCGAATAGGATTCGAAGTCGTCGGAGGTAAAGTGAGACGCGGCGTTGACAGATGACGTTCGACGTGACGGGACGGTGGAGGAGAGGAAGAAGTTAGGACGGATGGCTGGAGATGGATTGTATTTCCCAGGAGGGCAGATCGTGGAGATGACGCTACAGGAATTCCCGGAGCGGGAGCCGTTAGCTATTGGGGGAGAGGCCGAGGAAAGTGGGGAGCTTCGGGACTGGGGAGGCGCACTGGCACTGCTGCAGGAATAATTTTTTTTCGCGCAGGGCTCTGCGGCGCCAGGGCGGATGGCGTCCAATGCAACTGACGCTGGACCGATTTAGTGGACGCGATGCGTTTGAAGAACTTGCCGGCAACCCACAGCTGGACGCGCACCGAGATCGGTGTGGTTGCCCTGGAGAGGCGGTGGACGTGCAGGAGGCGAAGTGTGAGATGGAGTGTGAAAGCGGAGAAGAATGGCTGGTTTGAATGCGCACACGATGATGGTCCAGCTGGTTTGTTTCACGATGGAAGCAAGGAGCAAGTGACTGATGGTCAGTCCAGGTGCTGGCCGGGGGTGACGGTGACGACGTGCTCGGGGTCCGGAGTTGATCGGGATAGCGGAGAGCAAGGTCTGCCCGCAGTGCAGTGCGCGCTGTGTCGGGACGAACAGGGGCGACGAGAAACGCCTGGGGAGCGTCGAGTGTCAATAATAGCGAGGCACTGAATGGCCTAGCCTTGGACCCGATCCTGCCGGGACAGGTGGTCCTAGCGCCGAAGCACGGCCTCGCTAATGGAAAACGGCGGCGGTCGCTGCAGGGCTCGCTCAACCAGCGGCTCCCACGCACTCTCCCACACAATGCCACGCACGAGATGGCCGCGCAAACTGCCCGCGACCACAAAGTCGGCGGTCTGGACGGGCCAGAGGACGGGGCGCGTAAGTTGGCTGGCGCGGAACCGTAGGCCGAGGTTGGGTTCGACGGTGGTCCACGGGGGTATGGTTCCGTCAAGTCAGCCGGGCCGGGCCCAAGTCGCGTGACCCTGCGGAGGTCACTGGCGGAGGACGGTAGAGGGGAGGCGGGGACGTGTTGTTGCGCTGCGTTTTCGTTGCGTTGTATCGCGCTGTGATGCGCTGGATCGTGTTGTCTCGTAGCGTGGGCACGAATTGGCGTGTTTGACGACTAGACGCGTGCGGTGCGTCAATGCAATGCGTGTTCGCACAGATTCAATTAATTGCGAGATGGATCGTCTGAACCCGCAGCAGATGAGCAGCAATGCGCGGCCATGGCTAATCTTGTACAATTCTCTCTCCGTGTTTACCCATTCCCCTCCTCCCGATAAAAAAACCCCGGATCCCGTCCATTGCCGAACCAGCGTTCTTCTCTCCTTCAAAACGCCGTCACCATCATATGATATTCGTGAAAGCCGGCCTGTGGGACGACGTCTGCGTCAGGTGGTTCGATGTTCGTCCAGTTTTCCGGGGCAGGAAATCTGCCTCCCACCCCAAGAACCCAAGATCTTTCCTCATGCAGCCTCTTACGAAAAGACACGGGCCAGCGGCTCCAACCGGGCACCCGGCCCCCCCGTCTTGCCGACTCTCCTCGCGGACCCTGCCTCCTCGCACGTATTGACTTTTCCAACGGGACTGTACCCTAATCTAACCCACCACCGGCGCCGACGGCCGATGATAAGGCCAAGAGGGGGATGACTGTGGGGGAGGATGGGGGCCGTTCCGGAAGCGGCTCGGAAGCGAAGGTCGGCGAACGAACGATTGAGGGGAACGGACGAACGAGTGAGGGGAAGAGGGTGAGCGATGATGGTGGGCAGTGGAGTTGGTAGCGTTCCATCGTGCCAATCTCACACATGGTCTGGTGATCTTCGATCATCAATAACGAAGCGCCTATTCGGACTATGTCAGGTAGGATAAGCACACTGCCACCACCGCCTGCTCTCCTCATCGCACCCAGTCGCGGTAGCCCCATCACCCTGCCCTCCATGGCCCTCATGCAAGGCACCGTTTCGGGCGTTGCACAACCAGCATCTCCCTGTGAGATCCGAGATGCGGGTGTATCGTGACTTGGGGGAGTTGCCAAGTTGGCAAACAGCCGCAGCCGCAGCACCAGCATTTTCAACCACGGTGACATCGATTACTGGGGTCGCACAGCTGGAAAGGATCTCGTTAGCTGGTAAGATAATCCCCGGCTGTGCTACTTTGTGTTTTGCCTTATGGTACGCCTTCGTTATCCCACAATGGCAGCATTACACGTCGGCGTGCGCGCATCACCACCAACGACAATGCGAATCACCCAAGCCCAAGCTTAGATTTTATAGTCTTAGCGCAACGACGATGCATCGCTCAGGCCCTAATCATGCAATGGTAGAATGAGCGGGCGTCTACGGAGCACTATGCTGCGCCCTGCGTCGATAGTAACAGTTGGAAGTGAGAAGTACAGTACTGTGCTAGACGGAGGCATCCATCGTCACTAGAGACTAACAAGTGCGTGATATGTATGGACGAAGATTGTGATTGTGGTTGTGGGTGACGAGACGGTGAGGCCTCGGTCCCAGAAGACCCTGCGCCCACCAGAGAGAGCCCCGCACGGGACACGGCTAGCAGGCGTTCTTTCATCCAGTTCATCAGACACGGCGGCTAACAAACAGAGTCATCGCTTGACCCATATCATCCACCCGTGGCAACTTGGCCTCTCCTCGTGGATGCCGTGGATGCCAACGCTGACCGTCTCCGTTTGTCGGTGACGAAATAAAGCCACAGGCGATCAGCTACGTAGGAGGTACCTGAAGGACCCAGGCGGGCGGGTGAGCATGGGGGGCGCGGGCTGTCAACGTGACATCATCTGGCTCCGGCCATGACCGAGATGCCCACGTTGTTTCTGGATTTCTGATCCCGTGGCCACAGCTGCCGCTCAATGAAACGTCGAAGAGCTACTGCTGCATTGTTCTTTATTCGGATTCGGGCAAAACACGGGCGGTACAGTACATGCGCGGTAGTACAGGACGTGCCTCGGCGTTGGCCTCCTAGAGCTCCATGCGCCCTGTTCCATGCTCCATGCTCTCAGACCAGAAAGTTCCCTCCCGCTTCTCCACACGTCCGTCCGTCTGTCGTCACAAGGCTGGGCGGCTGGCGACGTGATGAGAGCTGAGCCGGATTCAGCCCTGCTTGCTGAGTCCTGTCAGCCTGTTCCAGCTGCTCTGACCGCATTCAAGCCCGCTTCCCTCCCTCCCTGTCCGTATCCGTTTCGGCTCGTTTTTGCTTCAGACCTGGGACCTGATCCCAAAGCAGCGCGTGCCTGTACCTGTCCCCGTGCCTGTGCCTGCGCTGTGCCAGAAACCCGACCAGGGTTGCAAGGGTTCTCGATGGGCCTTGGACACCACCCCAGGCGGCCTTGGACAACCTGGACCGTACTTTGCCAGCCAAGGAAAGCCGTCGCCAGCTAGTGTCAACCGTCGCCAGCCAAAGCAGATCGCCACCAAGGGGCCGACCTTGCGCAGTGGCCGCTGCGTCGCCTGCACGGGTCCCAAAGTTGCGCATTGCACCGCATCACCCCCCGGAGGTGGATTGACCAAAACGGACAGCCACTCGACGGGTTGGAGGCCCCTGACCATGTCAGTCAAGTCACCCGCTCGATGGTGGTTTCGGGGCAGCCAACCAGTATGCTGCGAGAGCGTTGCCAGAACGTTGCCAGAGCCACGCACAGCCATCCAAAAGCCATCGTCAGGTTGTAGGGGTTGTAGGGGTTGTAGGGGCTGTAAGGGCCGTAGGGGCGTTGCAGTGGCTGTAGGGTCCCCCCCCCCTGGCCGCTGGCGCTCCCCCTGCCAGATGCCTCGCTGTGGCTGGCCAGAACGGCCAGATCTCCGCCCAAGTCGGAGTCATCCAGACAACCACCAACTCCCAACTCGCCCACGACACCAAAGACCCGAGCACCCAAGCACGCACCATCATTACACTAATACACTATATACGTCCACACAGTCCACACACACGTCCACACACACGTCCACACACACGCCCAGTCCCTGTCCCACGTCCCACCAGATGCAAGACCAGCATGCTGCCAGCCATGATGACTGGCATTGGCGCAGGCCCTAGGCCAGGTCCGGCCCCATGGCAAAGGGCCTAAACCGCCTAAACCTGTGCGTCACCATCCCAGATCGAATCGTCGACTTTTGGACCAGACCAAGGCCGCTGGCAACGCACCAGTCAGGCCCTCTCGCCGCAACGTGCTGTACCGTGCCGTGCTCCGTACCTACAGTACACACGTCGACGGGGTCTCCAGTCCCCGTTTTAGGTGGTGTGTCTGCGTGCTGGCTTGTAAATGGCTCCTCCCAGGTGCAGCGGAGGCGGCGGCGAACTCGAGGCAAATCGCATCGTGGATGCCACACGCCCACACCTCTCCTCTTTCTCTGGGCGCCTAGACGCCTTGACGCCCCCAGACAGTCATCGTCTTCTCCGCCCTTTGCGCAGTTGGCTCGCTGGCCGCCCTATTCTCCGTCACCCACGCTGTCGGGTCCGACTGTCGGCTCTCCCTTGTCCAAAGCAAGCCATGATGACGCTGTGCCGGTAAAAGCCAGCCATGGCCCGTTGCCAGTCCCACGATCCTCCTCCCTGCCTGCACCGAGATCTTGTTCGACCACACCCTCTCCCTCATACTCCCCAAGTATCCTGCCACATATGCAGACAAGACATACATGCCCTCGCATACGTCCTGCAGCACAACACAGTACATGCCTCTTGTTGCTACCGCTCATCGCATCGCATCGCATCACTCTGCACCAAACCCTGTCGCCTCAAGTCGCCTTACATTCAACTCGCCGGAACGAGAAGGCGACGATAGACTCTGACAAGCGAGGCCAGTTAGGGTCATTCCCGGACGCCTCTTTTCAACCTTGATTGTCCTTGTCATTCTCCTTCTCCTTCTCCTTCTCCGCCTCTTCCTTCAACTTCTTCCCGGTCCCTCATTCCATTCGACTTCTCCTCGTCTCTCTTATTCTACTTGCCAGCTCCTTGCAAAAGAGGCCCGCAAACGCACCCGACCTACGCCGTCGCAGCCAACCCAAACCTAGACCTGCCCAGACCAAGGCGCAGAAACAGACCAGCAGCGGACAAATGCAAACACGAACACTGATGCAGATTCCAGCGAGCTTTACTCCTCCCCCATCTCCTACTCCATCCTCCTCATCCTCCTCCTCCTCGCCAATTCTCTCTGGGTCATTAGACCGTCCCCCATCACTTTCCCTTCTCGCCTCTCATATCGAATCATCCTCCTCCACTTCCACCCACTCTCCCCTCTGCTCACTCTCCCACCCCGCCGACGTGAGACATCCGGTGGCTTGGCCGTGCCTTGCAGCGACCTGCATGACCAAGGCAAGGCCTCCAATCATGTCGACACCGTCGGTATCTGATGGCCAGCTTACGCCTTCCGAAACCGACACTGATATTCTTCTCACCCACGGCCCCTACTACGAGGATGACCTATGGCCAACTTCTCAGGATGTCGCCGAGATGGCCATTATGCTCAACGGGAGTGCGGCACCGCTCTCCTGGGATCGACATTCCCTGAAGAGACTCCCGAGAGGTGCTCGGCCCGTCAAGCTGATCGGCGAGGGTGCTGCAAATGCCGTCTTCGAACTGGCCCTACCAGAAGGTTACCCTCCATCGTCTGAATTCAAGGGTTGGTAAAATTTCTCCTTTTTACATGATTCCATCTGGGCTGACCATGGATCGATTTAGGCTGGCTTCTCCGCGTTGCTAAAACCCCTACCAACGGCGCCCCTCCGAGATACAACTACTTGAAACAACAAGAATTCTATGCCGACAAGGTGAAGTCGCATCTCAAGGACCACGTCATTCAACAGGAACTCGTTGTTGTCCGTGACTCCGACATTGTCTATGAGCTGAACGCCTTTCTCCGGCGGATGGACCACCAACGCAAGGAAAAGTTTCGGGGCTCCTTTATCGCGCAGACTAATTGGGGGTTCCTAGTGGAGGATATGCGGCCGACGGGTAAGGCATTCCAAGAACCCTCGGGACTTCTCGTGCTCACCCAAATGTTTGCAGATCCCACAAAGAGCATTCTCATCGAGTTCAAGCCCAAATGGCTCAACCAGTCTCCCACGGCGCCATCTGGAGCCATCCGGTGCAGGCAATGCGCCATGGAGCTCTACAACTTCGTCAAGGACCCAAGCCTCACCAGATCGGTTCCAGAAACAAAACCGTGCCCCTTGGTCCTTGACAACCCCGACGCCCCGCTCGATATCAGCTCCCCATTTCGACTCGCTCCCCAACTAGCCAAGTTGAACAGCTCGACGATCCTCTCAAGTCTCTATAGCGCGGCCAACCACCAGGTCATACAGGACCTGCGGGAAGTCCAAAAGCTCGCAGATCCGCATGGTCCCCTCAATGCTTCGAAGGATGACCCCATGTTCAACTTTGCCATGACCGTTCGCGACTGTACCTGTTTCGTCCAGATCTTCCCCGACAAAGCTCACCCCGGCCCCGAAGGACCCATCCGGCTCCGTCTTGGCGATTTTGACTTCAAGGATACGTCTGTCAAGTTCGAACGGTGGCAGGCCGCCGAGCGAAACCTCATTTCATCTGGATGCTATACCGCCGACTGGATCCTCTGCGATGGAAAGTACTACCACCCGCCAACCATGTGCTTACTCGAATGGACTCGGCGCCAAGGCCAACCGTTGCACATCATCAATATCCAGGACAAGACTCGCCGCGAGCCCGGCTTGTCCAGCACCTGGCGCGACTTTCTCGACCCCTTAGAATCCAAGGGAACCATCCGCAACCTTCGCTCCCGCCCTGCGTTGCTGAAGGTGATGCTCCAGCGATTCAGCAAGGACAGTCCCAAAGCGAAGGTTTGTCCGTATAGGACCAAGCCCATGTAAGCCCCCCGCCCCCAACATCCCAACTAGGGCACCCCTGCTGACACATTACAGGGCTTTACCAATCCAGTGGTAAAAACGCCTCAAACTGCTAGCAATTTCATGGTTTCTTCTCTGTTGGTGTACAAGGATGGGCGGGGCATTCAAGCATAACTACGGCGGGTTGATTTATTTACATTTGGTGCATTACAGGCGGCAGGCGGCAGGCGGCAGGCAGCATTGGTATGCATAGCGTGGGTTGAATTTGGGTTGGCTACATATCACGGCGGTTACATTATCACGGCGGTTACATTATCATGGCGGTTACACATTACGGGGGTTACATATCATGGAGGTTACATATCACGGAGGTTGCATATTCTGGACAGCATTTTATACGGGTTTAAATCATGACATCCATTTATGACTCCCATGCAATGACCCAGGCTCGAAATGTGCTAAATGTCTTCTCATATACAGTGATCATAAATAAACAAAACGCCAAAAGAAAAATGCAATGTAATGAGAAATCACTCTACTATCTAAAGATCCGATATCGTAAAGCTCAGGAGACTGCCACACGTCAGGCCGGCCACCAGGCACAGGCCCATGAAGCCGCCAGCAGCCTCGCGCTCACCTTCTTCGACCCACTCACCTGACGCCATCATGCAGCTCGAGCCAAGCCAGCCGTTAGTAACGCCAAAGACTATTTGGACAACGAAAAGGTAGAAGAAATCGCTGGGAACAATAGCGCCGCGACCGCCAATGTTGCACAGGAGGTAGAGGGGAAGGATGCCAACGCGGGCGACGGAGAGAGCGAAGAGAGCAAACGGTCGGTGCTGAAGGGAGAAGGGCAGAATGGTGGACATGCGACCACAGAAGTCACCAAGGTTCCAGAAAAAGAAGCCCAGGGGGATAAAGGCCGCGGGATGGAAGAGCAGGCCGCTGTCCTCTTGGACAGAGTGAATCTTGGTTGTGAAGACAGGGAAGAACATGGTCGCAGTGAAGGTGGTCGCGACACCTGCAGCAAGCCAATGCAGCTTGAGGAATAGGTGCCACATAGAGGAGCCCTTGCGGGCAGCGCGCTCAGCGTCCTCAATGCTCTGCATGGACTCAGCCATCTGCTCGACCATGCGGTTCTCGATTATGTGGTTGTGACGCCGCACCAAGGGGATGAAAGCGAAGAGGGCGACCACGGAGACGGCCACGGCCGTGAGAAAGTAGACGAAGGCAGATGATGAGCCATCGGATGGGGATGGGCCCTCATCCGAGCCCTTCTCCTCCACAGGGGGGAAGACAAGGACTGTCATAACCTGTGCAATCGGGGGCAGAACGCCAGCGACACCCTGACCAGCCATGAGGGCCTGGATGTACTCGGGGCGACCGAAGCTAGCAGCGAAGGCAAAGGCACCGTTCTGGATGAGACCAGCGGCCCAAGCCGTGCCGGCAACGATGATGAGGAGGAAGGTAAGGTATGCAGCGGGCGAAGCGCTCAGGAACATGACGGTGGATGCGGTCAAGAGGGAAAATGTGACAACATTAATGATCAGGGCCAGGTTGATACGGAAGGGGTACGAAGCCGTGACTTGGATGTTGGTGAGGATGATCATGGCACCCAAGTTGGTCACGGTCGAAACGGCCTGGATTGTCGACTGGAAGTTGCCCTGGATCCAGTCGTCCCCGGCGAAGCGGGTCGCGAAGTAGGGAGCGGCAGCGAGGAACATATTCCTGTTGATGGGTTAACGGATGCGATTTCCTACATGTAGAGGCCGTAGAAAGGACGTACCATGCCCAGAGCATCGCCATGCCAAGCAGGGCAAAGACACCGTACTCCATCCACGAGAAGGGCAACTCATGCTGGCCCTGGAGAATGGCGGAGCCCTCGAGGGCAGTCGGTTCCTCGTTGCCAGTGAGAGGCGCATACTCAGACGCGGTCGACAGGCGACGGGTGAGGGCCCTCCGAATGCGATCCATGACGTCTTCTTATCTTGTTATCTCGGTCGATGTTGATCAGTGTTGTTGAGGGTGCAACCTGCTGGCAATTGCACGTCGAACTCAGGAGAGTCAACCAGCCAGCACGCGCGGCAGGATGCGTGGCCCGGGAAACGCTATAACTCGTTTGGCTGCGCTCTACGCCATGGATGGTGGGCGGAAGTGCGTCGCGTGCTCGTGAATCGTCCCGTCTCGAGGGTGTGCCGTACTCGTCGCCTGCCCGAAGCGCCAGAACCGACGCTGCTCGTTCGAAATGCAACCTTGGTCGTTGGTCAGAGGTTCGGAGGTTTCGGGGGCGGCGCTGGCGAGATTGTGGGGGAACGGATGACGATGGAGAGATGCAATTCTATGTACGACACGGTCCGGGCAGATTGATTGCCGATAGATAAGGGTCGAGGTCCGGGGTCGGAAGACGGCTCGGCCGCCGGCGGGCGCAGGGGCAGGAGCCAGAGGCGGCCTGCCCCCGTGCCTTCCTCATGCCCGCCTCTTGGCTCGAAATAAGGCTCATGTGCTCGAGTCAGGCGGCAGTTGCGATGGCGGAGGCGCTAAAATAGCGACTCGGTGCCTAGCTGAACAAACACCTTCGCTGGCACTCAGTGATGACGCAAGGGCATCGGGATAAAAAGAAACTAGAGCTCAGAATCATTTACTCAGACCTAACTCTAAACTTAGGGTCGTCGGCAGTATTATTTAATTCCTCTCTGTTTTATGGTCTGAGAAATGTATTCTCCGTTGTCTTACAGTTAGGGAAGCAGTAGCCGTAGCATATTGGTCGCGTAGAGCAGCACTTACATACAACTCGCCCCTATGGTAACACTGCATTGCTGCAGTCATGCCACCCCTGGGACTATCACAGCCCCTCGCTCCAACATACGCGCTTCACCAGCCCATCCTCGTGAGAACTTCTCTCATTCACGGTCTAGTGCTTTCCAACAAGGGCCCTCTTTTTGAGACATTTTCTGCCCTCGCGTAGCTCCTCTATTCTTGACCAAACGGGGGATTACCTGTGAGGCCCGTTCTGCGACCTCCACGTGATGGAAAACCGATGCAATGCATGCATGTCGTGCAGTATTTATATATTCGAATTCTCGCTATAAAGCGGGTGATTATACCTTTACAAGCATGATGCAGATCTCAGGGGGAGGCCTTGGTCAGAGAACTTGTATTCAGAAAGTTGCTGGGTCATGCCAACAAGAATCATGGGGTTAGACTATGCAAGAGCCTCTTACCACGCATAATACACTACCATATTCAACTAATTTGCTTATCCAGGGGGAATCTGTCCGTAAACTTAAACGTTGCCAAGCCGTCCTTGAGGTCATCCACAATCGCACCCACATTGGTCTCAAAGTAAACACCATCACCTTTGTTAACACTGGCGATCTGGGCCACAGATTGGGCACTCCCAAGGAATCCCACAGGTTTGCCCCAGTTGTAACCATCCGTGACGATCTGGGTGGGCCTGCCGAGAGGATACAAGGTCGACTTCGTCGTAAAGACTCCCTCCGCGCCTGCGACGACGACGATGGCATCGAATCCAACGGCCTCGGCAGCAGAGTAGGTGGCACCGACATCGTCTGTGAGGACCTGTCCCACAATTGTGACAACCAAGTCCAAGGCCTCGAGGGATGTCTTAAGGGACTTGGCCTGCTGAATCGACTTGTCCGAATCGGTCGAGGCAAGGATGCCGACCGTCAGAGTCGCAATAGTCGGCAGCTTGGTCCCAAAGATGGAGACACCAGTTGTGGTGTTGTCGTGGTAGTAGGTCGAGTCAGCGGCAGGGGCTTCAATTCCCAGAGCCTTGCTTACCCTCAATGCAATGTCGTGGCTAATCTTATTCAGTTGCGTGAGGACGTTCTTCTTGACATCCTCAGACAGCAGATGGCTAGTCTCGAAGCGGATCGCGTTAATGAGAAACTGTTGCTCCGCCTTGGTGAGGGAGTTGTAAAACAGACGGGGCTGGCTCCAGTGATCGGAAAAGGTGGAAGACCTGGCACGCAGGAGATTGCCCGAGACTCTTCGATTAGGGGCAGTGAAGAATCCCTTGCCCTGTGTCTGATTGGCTTGAGCGGGGAAACCCTTATTGAGGGTGTTGGGGGAATCTAAGTTGTATCAGCACTGTCCTTACTCCAAATGGTATGCCTGAGCTCTTACACGGCGCGGTGTTCTTGTGGATAAAGTTCTGGGCAGCTCCGTCTCGGTTGTTGTTGTGGATGGGAACGACCGGTCGGTTGACAGGGAGCTGCTCGAAGTTGGGGCCGCCATGACGGTTAAGCTGAGTGTCGAGATAGGAGAAGATGCGACCTTGCAACAACGGGTCTTCGGTAAAGTCGATGCCGCGGACAATGTGGCCAGGTTGGAACTAAGATGGGTTAGCTGTCTTTCACGACATATGTGGTGGACAATATACCATGATTTGCTCGGTCTCGGCAAAGTAGTTGACAGGATTCGCATCCAGCTTCATGAGACCAATTGGCTGCAGAGGAACAAACTCCTCGGGGATGATCTTTGTGGCGTCTAGGACATCGAATCCAAAGGAGAGAGCCTGATCTTCGTCAAAGATCTGGGCAGAAAGCTCCCACTCGGGGCCGTGTCCAGACTCGATGGCATTCCAAAGGTCGGAGCGGTGGTAGTCGGCGTTTTTGCCAGCAATGTGCTGCGCTTCATCCCACACCAAGCTGGCTTTGCCTTGCCTGGTCTTCCAGTGCCACTTGACGAACTTGGTGTCACCCTCATCAGTCACCAGGCGGAAGGTATGTACACCAAAGCCGTCCTACACATGTCAGCTCTGTATCCAATCAAGGTACAAATCCCTTACCATGTGTCGGAAGCTTCGAGGGATGCCGTTACCAGCCATGGCCCAGAACAGGGTATGTAGAGTTGTGGTCTGCTGGCTGAAAAAGTCCCACGCCGAGTCATGGGCGGTGGCAGCTTGGGGAATCTCATTATTAGGAGACGGTTTGACGGAGTGAATCAGGTCAGGGAATTGGATAGCATCCTGGATGAAGAAGACAGGAATGTTGTTTCCAACAATGTCAAAGTTGCCCTCATCAGTGTAGCTACGATGGTGAGCGCAGTGTTTGCTGTTCCACGGAGAAATGACTTACAACCGGGTCGCGAAACCATGGACATCGCGCGCCGTGTCGGCGCTACCCCTCGATCCGGCCACAGTTGAGAACCGCACAAATGTGGGAGTAGTCTTGCCCTTGGAGCTAAGGAACGAGGCCGCGGTAATGTTGCTATAGTCGCCGTAGCTCGTAAAGGTTCCATATGCACCAGCACCACGGGCATGAACAGCTCGCTCGGGAACCTGCATGAGGCGTCAATATCACGGCATTCTCGTCGTATGCTGTGCAACATACCCGCTCATGGTCAAAGTGGGTGATCTTCTGGCGGAAAATGAAGTCTTCCAGCAGGGTAGGTCCTCGTTCTCCGGCTTTGAGGCTTTCCTGATCCTCGATTGGACCGCCAACATCAGAGCTGAGGTATCCCTCGCTATCATCGACCTCAAATTCGGTCACATGGTCACGAGAGCCGTCGTCGCCTCTGGCTGCTAGACTGGCCGGGTCAGCATAAGGGCATTGACCAGCAGCCAAAGTAGCCAGGCCAATCGAGGCAAAGAGAAGGACGGAGGAAACCATGGCTGAAGCTCTAAGATCAAGGTCAAGGAGGGGTATGAGCTCTCCCGGATGGGTCTTGCTTGTCTTTGAACAGTGTGGCCCGGTCAAGGAGGAGCTTCCCCAAGTCTACTTATACTTCGAGGGGAAGTGACAAATGTCTGACAGGCCAAAACGGATTCCATCCACAGACAAACCAATGGGTCGCGCAAGAGGAGAGGGTGCAAGTGGCGTGGAGCGGGGGTATGCAAGCCCGGATTTCCGGGAGGTCAGAACGTCACTACATAGAGTAGTGCAGCGCTGTGCATCAAAATACTAGGCTGTAATTGTAGGACACTCTCATCTTAACAAGCCTATATCCTAAGCTGAGTGATTTAAACCAGGCCATTTCACATCTTGGCTGCGTCGAGCCGCATTCTGCCATGTCATTTGAACCAAGACTTCGTTAGAGCACACACCGACCCCTGCCGGGATGTTTGTTAGAAGAGGTACCAAGAGACCTGGTTACAACTTAGTGGACAAGTCAGTGGATTAATAGACTTCGTCGGGCATCCAATTCTGCAAGCAGCTGGCATTGGTCCCGTGGGTATGATTCTTCGGATTCGTAACTAGGAACGGCATAGGCTGTGGAACCTACGACATCCGGAAACCTTGGCAGACGCTGTGTGCAAGGATATCGGAGCTAAGGAAGAATGAGGAATCAATTTCGCTCTGGTAGTGACCAAATGATCCTGTAATAGCATGTGCAGGGTGTAGCAAGGTCTGGATGGTGTATGAGAGAGGTAGATGACGGGACGGCATAAGCTTGAAGGCCAACCATCGGCAGTGGAGAAAGCCCAAGGAATAGATCAGGGGCCTCCAATCAACAGGGCTTGGTTGCTAACATGAGGTTGCCGGTGGAGAGGACAGCCGGCCGGGGTCCCATGAGCTGCAGTGATGTGCCGAGATGCAGCAATGTCACTCGAAGCGCTTGCGAAGAAACATGGCACCGGCGTCCCGGAGGAATCTCATTCGCTGGAGAATCTACTCGCGTTCTTGGCGATGCGAGAGGATATAAATAAAATTCGTGAAGAGAACGTGGTGGTCTTGCCAGAACAAGACCACTCATCCGACAAGGATTGAACGATGAGTCTCCTAATGTTTGTAGACCATTGTCTTGCCCATTGAATTCATTGCCGAGGGCAGAAGGTCATCGGCCATCAGACGTTGGCCACGATGGCCGCCATGGTGTAGTATTTTATGCGGTAAGAGAGGCTTGCTCTGGTGCGCCAGCATGCGCTGTTCGTCGAAAACGGTGGCACACCTGCAGAATACGTGGAAATGAAATGAATGGCAGCCACTATGTGCTAACACGAGCGCCACATGAATAACAGAGCCGTTGCAGATTTTTCTGAAGTTGTGAATATGAACGCAGCATCGGGAGGATCGTACAATGCCCGCCAATGTCCAGCATAGTGGCAGTGCCTTGTATCGCGTGATATTTGGTGAAGCTGATTTGAACAACGGTCAAGACTAGGTCGACGCGGAACCGGCGGACGATGCCCATAGCTGTGACGCAAGCGTATGAAAGATACAAAATGTTAATTGACAGGGGTATAAGGTTTGATGGGACTTTTTGGATTACGACGCAGACGAGGGGGCTGATCAAATGGGGCCATGTTATTGTCAGCGAGGCGTCAATACTGTCCAGGCTACATGAGGCTGGCTGAGGGGATCCAACCAAAGAGACATGTCCCCTGTTCCTCGGCACTCAACATCCGTGCCTTTCCAGTAATATTGAGCCCGTAAAGAAAGCCATGCGCCAACACACGAGTGCGGGGAAATTTAGGCATTGAGAGAGTTCACTGGGAAGATGTGGAAGTGGTTTGGGAAGCCATCGACATTTCCCAGTCCGCCCGCTTACCCTACACTGTTCGGGATGTCGGTCCTCCGTAATTGGGTTGCAACTCAATTTGTTGGGATCACACCTATCATAGCTTAGAGTTTCGTAATTGCTGTCTGTCCACTCCTTGACAGGAGTGGCTTGCCATACGCACTAATGGTTTGGTAATGTCGTAGCATCTTGCGCCTCCAACTCCCCACCTTAATTCTCTTCGTAATGAATTGTTGTAACCTACTGTTAACCTAAGAAGCATAACCATTACTAACCCATGACCTCTCAAGTACATATATTACCTCGCATGGCGTATGTAGCGATGCTAAGCTATGTCTTAGCTCGAAAAAATTCGAGCTCGGGTTAGAACAGTTGTTCGAGACGGTGTCAAACGGGCTTATGATAAGGGCTTGCAACAGAGGTACCGGATAGATTACCCTCATATCCGGTAGCACTGAGTTTGTCCCCGGAAGTTCTGCTCTCAGGTCACTGTGCAAAACTAGCATAGTAGATCAGGCGACTTTACTGAAGAACAGTATTGCCATTCGGGTTCCAACCGGACCAGTACAGACGAATCTCCTCTGGATCCATGTGTACTTCCTCATGGATACTGCCTTTATTAGGCCTTGATTTTGAACCAGATGTGTAGGACAATTGAAAGACGCGAAGAACACACACCCCAAAGCCTTCGATAAATTGAACTTGTATATCTAATAGACTCCACTGAAATCCAACACGGTGCCACCAGTGGGCCCTCGTTTATGCCTTTTGTGATCCGTTTGGTAATAATTGCCTGCCCGCCATGGCCCACGGAAGCTGCCCTATCGCCCAGCTCTCTGCACGGTGGTTTCACTGGACTTGGATACAAACACCGGCTTCCAGCGCCCTTGACCAGGCGGCATCGAAAAATGATTGGCAAGGGCGTGCGGCCAGTCGCAGCAGTTCCCGCCGTGTCCCGAACCAGACCCCCGGGATTGCGGGATTGGCACCTGGCTACTTAGCTCTAGGATAGGCGTCTAGTTCTAGAATTGGCAAAGACTACTATCCGTGATCCACCCCGTGGCAACCCTGAGAAAGATGATGCCTTGGTGGGTAGGGGTTCGTGGGGACTGGCGATGGGATAACGACTGCTGCATCACAGGGCAGATCTCAACTTGGCGATGGCCTGCATGTACAAGAATGATACAGTACGCGGCGGCAACCCCAGGGACGTGTTCGAGATCCCGCCGCCGTGGTGGAATTCACTTCCAGAGTCACATGGAATATAGCGGCGTCGTGGCGAGAATGAAGGACTTAATGAAAGACGATTAACTCTGCCCTTCACACATAACACCAATAGTGTCGGATGCAAGTTTTACCGATGTCCGTCTTTGAACCAACAGCCGTATTTGAGGGCATCATGTGACCATAAGCCAGCCTCGTCGGCTGCAGGCAAATTGTCACCAGCAGTCTCGAGCCCTCATCCCCCAACCTCGCCAAAGGAGTACCGACAAACTATTCTGGACACTGCCAATATGATTGCGCGCTTGACCTTGTACCGCAGTATTGTTGGTGTGTGCTGATTTTTCGCACATCTTTCACGACGCTCCTCTAGCTACGACCTTCTCAACTATTCTATTGCGGACAACTTTGTTTTCTTGCTTTACAAGGCTCGCCGACGATCTCTACATTCACCGTTCCTCTTAGCGACACTTGTGTTTCATCTGGCACATGCCGACTTAAAACAAGCCATGGACTCACAATCCCTACCTTGTATCCCATCAGGCAGCGGCAGCACCTCGAATGCATCACTCCAAGAAAAATTCGCTCGCACGATTCGCGAAGCCCCCCAAGGCGAACCGCCCAGAGATGTCTTTGCCAAGGATGTATGGCCCATCATAGAAGCAGATTATGGGACGATGGTACAAGAACTAGTCGAATTTTGCAAGAACAAACTGCACGAAAACCCCATTTCTTGCAATGTTACCGGCAGAGTCAAATGTAGCGATTCTATCAGCCGATCCCTTCACCGACGCGAAAAAAACCTCATAGAGAAGGAGAACAAGCAGTACAAAAGCCTTGAAGAAGTGATCGACGATATACATGATCTCGCAGGGATTCGAATTGTGGTCGACTTCCGGTCTGACATTGAGAACGTCTCTTCTTTCATCCAGACAACATTTCAATAACTGAAGACCTTAAATAATTTCTCCCCTGACCGAAAAGTCAGCGAAATTTGGCAACCATTGTTTGGAGCCTACAAAACCTGCAACTATCGCGTCGGAGTGGAACCAAGGACCAGTGGCCCTCTTTCTCAATACTGCGGTGTGATGTTCGAAATTCAGCTCACCGATATTGCGGAGAGTTTATACAATCGATTTGCGCACTCTCTGTTGTACAAAAAGTCTTCTGGCGGACTCTGTCGTCAAGATGAAATAGTTATCGACATGACGCATGGAATATCTCTTCTGTACTCACTTTGTCTGGTGTACATGCAGGACAGATTGGAAGGTTCTGCCCGCGATAGTGATGTGAACAACAAACTACGTGGTGCCTTGAGACGGGCTGAAGGAGAGGGAAACTTGGACACATTGATGGAGACAATCCCCAAGATACCAGGATCTGATGTTCAGAACCGCATGATCTCAAGCGTAGGCAGATCTTCCTTGAAAAGGCGTGCGTCTTTTCGCGAGGCTATTCCCATCGCTACACTCAAAAGGGCACTTGAACCATCAGAAGGCCACACCTCTGCTGAGGATCTTTGGGCATTGCTTATCAACATGAGCAGCGACACTGAGCGTGAAAATCAGAGAGATGTTGCCGATGCTGACGCCTGGATTCGCGACAAACACTACAATGCAGACAGGCTCAAGATCGAACGACTGTCGGGTGACTTGTTGCCGATGGATCAGTGTTACATCAATCTTGCCGTCGTGGAGAAGCCTGGCCAGGACGCAGGTCACACAAGGGGAGGGAACGGAATGCCCTCTCCATTTTCACTCTTTGCTCGACAGAAAGTTGAGACACCGGACGAGACAATCCAAGTCGAGTTGGCCGCACTCTTCGGTCAACGAATTGCGCACGATAAGCGCACGATACACCCAAGACGAATTTTGATTCGCGGACGCGCGGGAGTTGGCAAGACCACACTGTGCAAAAAGATGGTCTATGACTTTACTCACGGAACGCAGACGGAACTTCATCGCACATGGGCAAAATTGTTCGACCGCTTGCTGTGGGTGCCTTTGAGGAATCTGAAAAGACAGTCATCTTTGGGGTATAACCACGAGGAATTGTTCTACCACCAACACTTTTCTGGACAGGGACGCGACAGGGGCCGCCACTCTGCTGGGAGACTATGGCAAACGTTGAATGATACCAACAGCAGCAGAACCCTGTTCGTTCTCGATGGATTGGACGAAGTATCCGAGCTCTTGGACCCAGATAACGAGATGTTCGAGTTTCTCCGAGATCTTTTATACCAACCCAACGTCATTATTACCTCCCGGCCACATACCGGCCTTCCTCCTAGCGTCCGAAATCCCGATCTTAAGTTGGAAACAATTGGGTTCTACCCAGATCAGGTGAAAGCATATCTGGAGGCCGACCCTAGCATTAATCCAAGAGCCAACGAAGTCCTCTCTTTCCTTCGAGATCATTGGCTTATGCAGGGTCATGTGAGAATCCCGATTCAACTGGATGCACTTTGTTTCACCTGGGAAGACTTTGATTCTGAAATCCAACTAGACACAATAACCAATATTTACGAAGCTATTGTGGAAAAGTTGTGAAAGAAAGATATCTTGCAATTGGAGAAGAAGCATGGTGGGGAACGGGTGACGCGCTCCCAAATTCAGGCAGCAGATATTGAAGACTTCGTCAAACATGAGGTTTGCTTCCTTGAATACCTCGGTTTCACGGGACTACACAACGACGTATTGGAGTTTAAGTCAGAGCATCTGCGAACTATATCCAGGTATTTCAAGGACACGAAACTGGTGCTTGATAAGACACTTCCACGCCTTTCTTTTCTGCGGAATTCAGATGCCTCGCCAAAAGACCGCCACCTCAACTATCACTTCCTACACCTGACCTTTCAAGAGTATTTCGCAGCTCGCTACTTTGTCCGGAAGTGGACATCCGGAGAGAAGCTCTGGACACCGAAGTTCGACAGCCGACGGGAGAGGTCCAGTGTCACAGAGAGCAATCCTGAAGAGTTCCTGCAGAAGGAAAAGTACAACATACGATACAATATTCTTTGGCGTCTTGTTGCTGGCCTTCTTTACGCCAACCATGATGAAGTGCAACTGTGTCGATTTTTTTACACGATCGAGGGCCAACCACGAGACCTCTTGGGTCCAGTGCATCAACGACTGGTCATGCATTGCCTGAGCGAAGTTGGCCCATCGCAGGAGACCCTAGAGTTTAACCGGCTTCGAAGGAACCTAGAGGCTCAATTGAAGCAGTGGCTACTGTTTGAATGTAATTTCAAAAAGCAAATATACCCACGTTTATCAAACGAGGTGGGATTCCCAGACTCCATTCTGCAAGCAGTTCTACAAGAAGAATGCGAGAGCGTTAAAGTGCAGGTCCTTGCCTCATTGAGCGTAAGACCGAGTATTTCTCAGCTCATGATAGAATATGTTGCTCCTTGGTTGGGAGGTAATGCTCCAATACAATTGAAAAGAGCAACCATTCTGGTATTCAGGCGTCCCCTAGCCCTGTCGGAGGAGACTCTTCAGACTCTCGTGGCCTTTTGAAGGACCCGGATAGTGTCATTCGGTCCAATGCGGCAGACGCCTTAGGCAGCCAGTCACCCCTATCAGAGGAGACTATTAAGGCCCTCGTGATCTTATTCGAGGATCCGGATAGTAATATTCGGTCCTCTGCAGCAGAGGCCGTGGGGAAGCAAGAGGCTCTATCAGAAGAGACTCTTAAGGCCCTCGTGGCCTTATTAAAGGATCCGAGCAGTGATATCCAGTCCTCTGCAGCAGAGGTTTTGGGGAGGCAAGCGGCTCTATCAGAAGAGACCCATAAGGCCCTCATGATCTTATTCGAGAATCCGGATAGTACTATTCGGTTCTCTGCAGCAGAGGCCTTAGGGAGGCAAGCGGCTCTACCAGAAGCGACTTTTAATGCCCTCGTGGCTTTATTAGAGGATCTGGATAGTAATATTCGGTCCTCTGCTGCAGAAGCCTTAAGTTGGCAGACACCTCTATCAGAGGAGACTATTCAGGTTCTTATGGCGTTATTAGAGGATCTGGATAGCAATGTTCGATCTTCTGCAGTAAATGCGTTAGGTAGGCAACCGGCTCTATCAGAGGGGACTCTCAAGGCTATCGTGGCGCTATTAGCGGATCCGGATAGTAATGTTCGATTTTCTGCGGTAGATGCCTTAGATATTCAGCCAGCTCCATCAGAGGGGACTCTCAGGGCTATTGCGGCGTTATTAGAGGATTCGGATAGTAATATTCGGTCCTCTGCTGCAGAAGCGTTAAGTTGGCAGACACCCCTATCAGAGGAGACTCTTCAGGTCCTTGTGGCCTTATTAGAGGATCTGGATAGTGATGTTCGGTCCTCTGCAGCAATTGCCTTAGGTAGGCAACCGGCTCTGTCAGAGAAGACTCTCCAGGCCCTTGTGGCCTCGTTAGACGATCCGAGTTGGGTTCGGTACGATACGGCCCAGGCCTTTGGTAGACAGTCGGGTCTCTCAGACGAAATATTCACTTCTTTTCTTCGGGAGACTGATAGGCGATCTTTCGAGGCCCTATATCGCATGTGGATATCGGAAAGCTTCTCAAATCACATAATCTGGCATGCCACGGCTAACAGTTGCAAAATCATTATGCCAGAAGCAGAGTGGGAAATTCCTTTCGATGGGCTGAAGATTGCAGTTGAAAGAGCACAAAAGTCATTGGAGGTCCCGGTGCCCCTTTCCATAAGCATATAGTGTGTAGCAGTTATTTTATATCATTTCAATACAGCAACCCAAAAGCCCTCACAGAGACCGCGAGCGTTTGCGGGGGAAAAGGAAGAGCGTTGGGAAGTCGTAGACGTTTGTGTGTCGACCTGCTCACTCTGCTCTAAACTACTAACGATATGTGAATCTAGCGCTTCACTACCGCAAAATCATGTCGCTACTCATTTCTTTTTCGATCGTATCGTGTACATGTGGTCATACTTACATGATGCAGCACAATGGCTTCATACAGTCAATGGTGTCTTGTATCTTAGGAGTTAAGCTTTCCACACAATTTTCCATACACTCGCTCAGTCTTGACTCTTTATTTAAGGTGAAATACATTGGCGCTGCACTAAATGAAACGAGACTGTCGCCGCTATCATGTAAATAGTGTTGTACCGGTGCATAGTCATACTAATTACTGTAGATGCTTCAGCAACGGGGGCGGAGGTTTTATCCGGCCCAACGCCCGACTTGGAATATCTCACTCCACCCACCCGGCCGCCTTAAATGTCTCTCCTCCAGTAGCAATGACTAGAGTCTTCGCTGAGAGCCATTCTGCAAAAACTACAGCGTGAAAGCAATCATGGCTGAGCCTGCGGACAGTCGCCAACAGATGGCCGTTGTAGAGCTACGCATTCTGACAGAACTAGGATCCTAATTGGGACGACGAACCTGACCGCGATTCCACCATTAGTCAACTGTAAATGGACCTAGAAAGATGAAAATGCGACACGAGACCTAACAAGTCTTAGGACCAGCTCTGCCACGTCTATCAGCGCTAGCGTCCTCGAGTACCGCAAGCTCCAAGGAAGAACTCACCAAAACTTCAACAACGGCACCAAATGGTGGTGCGTTTACCATCTGTATCGTTTATTAGTTATTGGTCTTTCTAGGGGACCCAACGATGAAAGCAAAATGATTTTACGTCTAACTGGCCTTAGCCATCACCTGCTCTCCCTGGGTATGGATGATAAGCTCTTCTTAGCCCATATTGATGAGAATCCACAGAGAGTCTTCGACGCAGGAACGGGAACTGGACTTTGGGCAATGTGAAGTTGGATTCCCAGACCGTGGACGACACTGGCGGCTCTACCGACTTTCCGGATCAATTCCTCTCTCCACATTTCACGGGCTCCGATCTATCACCAGTTTAAGCGTCTGAGCTAATGATCTTCCTCGACCTTTACAGTCTCATCTCTCCAATCAACTTAGGTCCCCGTGAATTGCAAGTTTGAGTTAGATGACGCCCAGCTCAATTGGCCATAACCTGATGACCACTTCGACTATATTCATATCCAGTGCTTAATGAGCTGCATGCAGGACTAACCCGCACTTTAACTGGAAGTCTTCCGCTGCCTCAAGGCAGGTGGCTGGTTCGAACACCAGGACTACTCCATCGAGGTCCGCGTCTACTATGACACTATCCCCAAATGCTCGCCGTTGAACGGATGGGGAGCTTTCTTCCGTCGGCGAGAAGATGGAGCCGACCTTCAAGATCATCGAAGACGGACACAGCACTGCCTAGTTTAAGGGCACGGGTTTGGAACAGATTGAAAACCACATGGCCAAGATGCCAGTTGGCGAATAGCCTGCGGACCACAAGTAGATAGAAATCAGCCAGTATAATCCGGTCATCACCAGTGGCATTCTAGGTGTCATGTCCTGTTCCTGTTGACCAACGTCACGGACTGGGAGCAAGTTGATGTACAGGATTTTCTCTTCAGGCCACGGAAGACTATTCTCGACAAGTCGATGCCCTCGTACTTTGATGTGTAAGTAACCGGCTCGGTGGGTATCCTACCGGTCTCGAGATAGAGACACCGTTTGGGGCCAGAAGACAATATTGACTGACGAGGAAGAGACGGCCGAATTCCTTGTTGCACCCGAAGTACAGGAGGGCGTGGTAGATTCGTGCATGAACGAATGAATGTAATTCCCCTTGATCTCGGTGTAGTATGGTAAACCGCACTCGCAGCATCAATACATCGCCTGAGGAGTCTGGCGGCACCGAAAGGGCTCAACTTGGCGTTTGTCAGTCCAATCAATGTGAGGTTTGATGATATCGAGAGCTAGATAGGTGGTAGGCCAAGCATAATTTGATGACAAGGGTTGTGAAGAGGTCGGAGGACTTGTCCTTTTTTTAGATTCGGATATTTTGGCCATTACCTCAGATCGCAGCCGGGAAGACAGTGATGGCCAGGGGGGATAGACACGAACACGGGCATCTATGTTATTTTGCTTCATCCATTGACTTAGGACTGTTAATTTAAATTAAAACCATTAAAGTGACCGTCCTGCCACGCTCTGCCATAGCATCATTCCAAGGGTATCGTCCGAACAATGCACTGACGGGTTTCAGAACGTCCAGAAATACATATAGTACACCACCTCCTGGGATCTATAAAAAGAATGGCTCCCCAGCCAACGCTCCGCAAAGAGCACGTCCTTGTGGAAACCATCACCTGGTACCTGAGATATACTCTAGGGACCCTAGAAAGGGATGAATCCCCCGTACAATGCCCTAGTCGCCTTGCGTCATGTCGACCTCTAGGCTCAGGAGATACTCAACTACAGGCTCCCCGGGTTTAAGCTTATGCGGCGAGCAACCCCTTTAACAATTTCGGTTAATGTGGCCAAATTTGGCCACTATTCTTGCAGTGCGAAAGACCGGCGGAAGCGTCGGCGCACTGACAGCGATGCCAAATATGCCGGGCCTATGTACTCTATGACGATCCTCCCCCTCCTTCAAGATAGCAGCAGTTTGGGTCGGCTGGCCAATACCACATGCACCGTCTCGGAAGTCTCAGATAAGCGTTGCACTCGCAGGTCAGTGATACCCCAGAGTCCAGACGGAGGGTTCGGAACAACGGTCAGCAGACCACTTCCTTTAGCATGTGCAGCATCATGAGCAAAGAGCACGAGCCGAAGTTCGCTCAAGCATGAGCTTTCTCCGAACAAGCTCGGCCTTCTATCGGCAAGCGGGATGATGTGACTGCCGCTTCTCTTCTCCCCGTCCGTCCATCCGCGGGACCAGCTTCAACGCCGTTGCCCCAGACTTCGCACCCCCATGAGTCAAGGCCAGGGCGTGCCATGACCAATGAGGGCATTCCTTCAGCCGTTTGCTCACCAAAGTCCGATCCCGGCCCCCGGCAAAACGGCCGGAAGTCGACGGCGGAGGTGTGTGGGGCTCTCTGGTCACCTGGACCGGGAATGGACCGGCCGTATGGTGTTCACGATGTTGGGTGGCCGACTCGGCGTGCTTGACCGATGGCCGAGGACCGAGAGCGATGCTAGCTAGAAGACATTGCAACATCCTGATAGAGAATGGCCTTTACGGATGGTGTTTCCATTGCTTCTCATGGATTTTGCGGGGGTGATGGCTGTAAGACCCCCTTTCCGGGAGTCCGCGGATCCAATGCCCAGACCACTCGCTTCTCGTTTGTGCTTCCCGCTCCCCCCTTATCAATCTCATGATCCAGATCAGGTGGCCCAAAATCCCCGAGGGCCAGCCCCAATCTGCACTCTGGCTTCCAACCCCCGTAAGTATGGATTTGCAATGCCGTGGCCCCGCAGACGCTTGCTGTGGCTCTAGTCTCGCAGTCGCCAGCTCGCATTGTCGCGGCCACGTCTCCTGCTCCTCCAGGGAAATACGGACGTGTAGATAGTGTTCCTCCTTTTCTCGCCGGGGTGTCTCGGTTCGCATGAACACTTGGTGGCTGGAGCGGTGACCCTTCAATCCCTCTCACCGTGCCCCTTTCCCGGCCCTTGGGTCGCCAGCGGCGGTCTCGTATACACCAGCCGAGACCAATTAAGACAGAAAATTCACAAAGAAGTTGCTTCTTGTGCCATGTCGGTCAGTCATTCGTCCGTTGACTAGAGGCGGTCAGTCCAGCTTTGGTCCAGCTCTGGTCCAGCAAGCCAACAAGCCCGGCACGCCATGTGCCCTTGCATGAAGGTGCCTGATTAAGGGCCAGTACCGAACTGAGATGGAGCTACACCGCACTAGGCCTTGGCGGCCAAGGGGCCCAAAGATGTGTGTTGATCAGATTCGTCGAGAACCATCTCCAATATTCCACAGCAACTATTGATGCAGGGAATCAGCGATGAGAAAAAGAAATTTGGCAAATTCTCCTGTTTCAATCAGATCATGGAAGGGGCATTGGGCATCCAGTCAGCGGGCCGCCTCAACGAGGTTACGGACACAGCCCAACACGTTTACGTGCACGCAGCCCACGCAGCCCAGACAACCACGTATCACGAGCGCTCCCAGGCTGGCGGCGAGTCACCTCAAGCCCAAGGACCCGCGCATACAAAATTCTGTGCATGGCTCATCCCGGTCCCCTTGGCGTGGGGCGGTGGACCGGCCGCGATAGTCTCGTGGATCCTCGCATCGTAGGGAACGGGAAGAGTGGGTAAGTAGGGCCTCAGCAGAACAGACGAGGTTTTCGCAACGACTGAAAAAGCGGGAACGAGAGCCGATACTTGCCAGGGACGCCGACGGCACACCAATCCGCAGGCGATTTAGGAAAGAAAAAAAAATTCAAGTATGGAGCAAAGAGTCATCGATCCCGCGGTGCCACTCGGGAGGCCGGCTTCTAAGGGAAATCAATCAACAGCCTCGGAACTTTGGGACTTGGCGGGTTTCTCGCTTCTTTTTCGCCTACAGTACGCCCTTGCGTTGCGGCGCCCTTGCGGCAGAACGGGCTGGACGGCCTGGTTAAGCCCCGAGCCCCGAGAACTGAGTCCAGAGTCCAGAGTCAAAGTCCAGCAAGTCAAAAGCCCAGTAAGCTCGACAAGCGAGAAACCGAGAAACAGGCGAAAGCCTCTTTGCTTCTGCTGACTGATTTCCGTGCTGACATAACCCAATCCCGTCCGTCAATTCCGGTCGATGCAGCCGAGTCGCACGCTGATTCGCCCTTGCAATCGAGATGCGCCAAGCCACGAGCCGGCAGCGCGCGGCGCAAGGAGGGTGAGTCAAGTCAATGGGCCTCGTCAGGGGGTGTGGGCTTAGTACAGAGTTACGCCAGCACTCTCGCGGCCGCTCACTCAAGCCCGAGTCGCGGGGGGCGCGGCTTCTGTGGAATCCGATGTCGCGGGTTCCCGCGGACTTTGCTGGCGGACTGTTGGCGGACTGCCGGATGTCGATGGCGTCAGTTCTTATCGCGCTGCCACGGCAAAGAGCGGTCACATTATGCAAGGCAGAGAGGCAGAGAGATGAAATGTCACAGTCACAATGAAAGAGAGTCAAGTAAAGTAGTGTTTTTGAATGTTTATTCAATTGGTTTCTCGGTGTCGTGCACCTTATCCTTGGGGTTGCCCCGCTGTTCTGTTTTTGGTGAGCTATCTACCCTTCCGTGGGGCCTGTATGAAAGGCGCTGCCACTCAACCCATGATCCCATCCAGTGGTGCTCCGGGAGCGGCAACTCGTTCAATCGTAATCCCCATTTCCCTGGTCGATTGACCCCTTTCTCTGCTGAGTGGTGATCCTCCTGTATTGTATACCAAGACATAATGAAACAATGTGTATCCGTGTGGCTGCAAATGCTGTATGCTGTATTGCTTTTTTCCAAAATCTCCCTGTGGTATCCGATGTATAGTAAATGAAAACGCCGCGCCATGCCCTTTATCGCTTTTTGGTAGTTGAAACAAGTCGTCAAGATGGTACAGTTCTTAGGTCGTAAGAAGTCTCTTAGTAGACCGTGATGGCCGATACCAGTCTCGCGGGGTTTCGAGCTGGCAGGTAGTAGTCATCTTGGTAGATTGTTCCGTCTTGTTGCGATTGCTTCTTGGCGTCCTTCTGGTCGAAGTCGGCAATGATGGGTTGCGGGGGCGATGGGGGCATGGAGTCGTCGTCGGATGAATCTGAGAAGTCTTCCGCGACAAGCTCAGGTGGGGATGTGGAGTGGGAGTGTGTTCGGACAAGCTCAAGCTGTGCGTAGTCCTCCTCGAGATCGTCCTCCTCCATATCGTCGATGTGGCTGATCTGGGGAATGACAGCCTTAGCGGGAGATCGAGCGGAGACGGTGTTGGTCATCTCAATATCCTCGTCCTCGGAGTCGTAGTCGTCCGAATCAGACGAGTCGGAGTCGTACTCCTGCTCGTCCTCCTCGTTGATGGCGTTGTCGGCCCACTGAACATGTCGGTCCTTGGTGTTGCTGGCACCGCGGACGGACTGGTTGAACCATCGCTCTTGTTCCCGCTCGGCATCGGCAAGCTCAAGCATCAGAGAATCGAGGAGGTTAGCGTGTCCAACCAGGAGGCGGAGGTCGTGATCGGGTTGGGCAGCCTCGCGAGAGAGCTTGGCCCGCGCCTTGTGGGCGAGGTAGTAGGTCTGAGTGATGGACATGTTCTTCTTGATGGCAGTCTGGCGGAGAGATTGCGAAGAGTGGGAGGCGGTGGCCTTGTAGATATTGTTGATTGTTGATGTCGACATGGTGAAAAGAGGCTCTCCAAGAGTGGAGGTGTGCTGCCTTTATGATGTTTCGTGGTAGATGATGTGAGTCAAGGCAACAATCCCGATTACGGCAAGCCTGATTAGTGGCAGGGGTCGCGGTGGTGACAGTGACTTGTGGGATTGGGTGATGCTAGCCGGGTTCTCGTGGTGGTGAAAGAAGCTGGGCGTTGTGGGGTAGGGGCGTCTGGCTCTTGGTGGTGATCCTTGCGTCAGTGTAGATGAGTTCTAGAAGCGATGTCGTGATCTTGTCTGAAGCTGATGGATGAGATGACTGTTTGGAAAGACTGACCGAGAACGGGGCATCAGAATCTTTTTAACTACAGTGATCGCGGACGACTCGGGGCGTCTAGCAGCACGCCTGCAAACTCCGTGTGTGGGGCGCGGTCTTTGGGGTGACTCCGCGCGGAAGGGTGTGAGTCTTGGTAATACTGGGTGGGGAGGGTGTGTGCGGGCGTGTGCAGGGCGCTGGCGTGCAAGGGCGTGCAGGCGGCGTATAGGCGTATAGGCTCGCGAATGTGTGGCTCCCGGTGATAAAAAATCCCCGGGCGGACAGTACCATGTGTCCGAAAAGCGAACGAGAGCGAGCGAGGCGCCGCCAGCAGCCCACCCCAGGTCTCTCACCACCCAAGGGTACTTCGGGCTGCCCGTGTCTCCTGAGCGTTGCGCAGGTACCCCCGGCGAAGGTCTGACATCGGCCGTCCGCACGCTCCTCCTCCTGGATTCCTAAGCTATTGCGGTGCCGACGGCTTAGAAACCACCCACCCACACACACACACTTCACGCAGAGGTGACGCTGGAGCATAACGGATTTGTCGTCCTCTGCGGAGCTAGACGGACTTGGGGGGCATTTGCAAGCCTACAGTCCGCATTTCTCAGCAACCGAACCTTATCGTTCTCGCTCTGGTCGATGGATGTCGATGGATGACTGATGACTCCTCACGACGCCGCACGTAGCCCGCTCCGCAATCGCGCCCTTTGGAGTTGCGATGACGCTTGAACCCTGATGACGGAGACGAGGGTCCGCAACAGCCATCGCAACACATCGCAAAAGCCATCGCAACACCCGCATTCTCAGGGAAACCGTTTCGACGTTTTGGCGTTTTGGCCGTGTGCCGTCTCCCCTCCCCGTGTCTCGTCCCCGTCACGATGACAGCCTGGGTGACCAGGCCCTGCGTCGGGCCACGGCACAAGGCCCGCCCTGCTGAGAGACAGCGCTCTCACCACTGAACAGCTCCCCGCGGGTGCGGAGGACCGGGCAACATGTCCATCCGTCATGGCCTAATTGCTGCGCAGTTTGAAGGCTGCTCCGCCGATCATGAACCCCCAAAAGCCCGCCCAAAGCCCGTCGCCGATTGAGAGGTGAAGCCACACGCCCCCCCCGGTAGCTCCGCCTCCCAGGCCGGCGCCGGGGTGGTTAACGAACGCGAGCAATCCGAAAATGCGAAAAACCTTGCGCGTTAGGGCAGCAAAAGGGGAGCGAAAGCGACGTGCGTGCACCGTCCCACAGGCTCCAGCGCTCGACGCCTGCTCGGCCTCGCTCGGCCACGCACATCCTACGTAAGGCACAGGCGATGTACCACCACAACAACGTAGGGCTGAGAAAAGTGGTCGCCTGCGCCGTACCACAGCCAAGGGCGAGAGCGAGTGCGACGCCCAAACTGACCAAAACCGACCAAAGCGAGCCAATCACGCAGCCTCCCTCGGCCAAAGTCCCTGGCGGCCGCTCCTCCATGGCCTTGCCCACGTAAGCGTGCTCGCCCTTTGCCCTCCAGGGCATTAGTTACAGGGCATTGATCCTCAGCCTGGAGGTTGTTTCGTCACCAATCGTGGCATGACAACCTCGCGTGGAGGTTTTGGCCAGGCATTGCGCTGCCCCTTTGGCCGTTCCCCTTTTCATTCACATGCGTACCTGTGCCACGCATCCCCCACGTATGTCTCGTCTAAAAAGGAAACATTGGTCGGCCAGGGAAGGCACCAGAATTACAGTTGCAGGGCAAGCAAGGTGTTCAGATCTGCCTTGGCCAGGCCCCTGTTCTCGCACTCGCAGCGACGCCCACAGCAACGCAAAAACGGGACCGTCTCGGCGTCGGGGCCATCACGGCCGCCGGGTGTGGGACGACGGCGACGGCACACACGGCTCCTCTCTGCCTTCTTCCCCCAGCAAATGCGGCGATCTCACGGGGATTCCCAAACTCCGACGACTGTCCGAATGGCACCGGCATTGGCTGCGACAGCGCCAAGAATCGCAACTCCAGGCCTCGCTACTGGACGCCTTGTAAACTCTCCAGATGGTGCTTAGTGAGTGATCGTCCTCGTTGTCGGGCCTCAGTCGCAATCGCAACCCCCCAATGACCTATCGCAGGGCGTGCTCGTCACCTCCATTCGTGCTCCTCACCTCCATTTGGCTCCTCGCAGCGAGGTCCTGGGTTCCTCAGTTCCGCATGACTTTGAAACGCGGGCCAATGTACAGAGGACCCGTTCGGCAAGCCACAATTGCAACCCAGATGCACGGCGTGCGGTGGTGATTCATCCGGCCATCCCCTCGCAGATGACTGACTGACCGCTGGTCTGGTTAAGGTTCACTGGACACACTGACTGGACACAGTCAGCGTCCCAGCAACCAAAAGGGCGGAGATGGAGATTTGTCAGTTCCCCCTCACTCCGACATCCCAGTCACGTCGATTTTGTAATCCACCCGGCCGAAAGAGCAAGATGACTGCAGCCTGTATTTCCGCACATCCTCCCTCGCACATCCTCCCTCGCACACGCCCCCCCCCCTCCCCCCTTACTTCCGTGGCAGCCTCACACCGAGACGAGCGGAGGCCCTAAGTCGATGCCTAATTCCACCTCTGGGGGGCTTTGCTTCCTAATGAGATGCGAACCTTCTAGGGGGTCCTGTGTTGTGGGGTGGATCAATGCCGGAGCCGAGCGTCCATGACTCTGCTAATTTGGTCGTATTCCCCTTGGGCGATCCGACAGACAACTTTAATTGCGTTTACACGCTGCGCCTCTTGCTGTGCTGTGGCTGTAAACTGCGTCGTAGAAGCCATCGCTCGCTTTCGGGGTCGTGAACCACCCCGATACCTCCATGCCCGTTGCGGAGGAACTGGATCCCGTCCCTCAGATCAGATTGATTGCGCATCATGCGCAGTCCGGGGTCTGCCTCTTTTGGCTTTTGCCTGGGGTCGTCGATAGGACCACGCTGGCCATGGACCCCAAGAAATACTGACGTAGTGGTATTGGTATCTCCTAGCCCCGAGCACCCGCATCATCGCACACCAGCCAAAGCCCGTAATTCCGGTCGGTGTTAACTAGGGGAATATGGACAGCAGCGCCAGCAGAAGCAAGCCACTCACGCAACTTGGTTGCTTATCTACAACGAGGAAAGCATTCAAGCCATCTCTCATTCGCTGAATCAGCTTCAAGAATATTTCTACTACTACGCATGTACGTCGCAGCTCACAAGCTCTTAGCCCCGTGCCGTAAATCCGCCACCACCCGGACGGAGGAATTGATTCGAGCAACCTCCGCAGCCACAAGCCACCTGCTCACACGCACGAGAGTACGCATCCCCAGGTTCTCACTGTATTGGTCGCAACCAAATGCCTATCTGAGGTTGATTGGGCTTATCCATTTCCAGAATCCGTAGCATGCACCGCCAACGCTGACACCAGCACGCACACAAGGCGTCCCATGGCAACCGCACGGCACTCTTTCGGAGACCCACGGCCGCCGACCCACCGAGAAGTCCCGACGGGCACGTATTGAACCCGGCAGCTAAAGAACCCAGAACCCTTTTGGGACGTCAACGCGCTAATGTTGAGGGCTTACACGGATCTTGGGAATTTTGCAACTGTCACCTGGCCGCTCAAGTCGCACAGGCCTCATGGCAACTCATCATACCCCGTTATCGGGTCTTGCGGCACTATGAGTCCGTCATCGCGCCTAACTCCCGGTTCTCTCCTCGTTCCTTGCGCTTCTTTGGAGTGTTTAGCGCCTTGAAGCCGGTTCCTGCCGTTCGGCAGACGGCATGGGACGTGTACGGGCCGTACGGATCGGGAGCCCGGCCATAACGGAGGATGTGGTGTCAAGATGCCGAGGCCGAGTCGCGAGCCTTGACCTCATCCAGGGCACACTCCCTCCATGCGACATCGCATGCAAGAGCCTCGTTGAGTGGATCTCCGATCGTCCCTGTCTCTATTATTCCCCTGTCTAGAGAGTCCTTCAAGGGACTGGATACGAAAATCGCCTTCACCACGGAAACGGCCACAGCTCTCCGGGTTCCAACTTGGCATCCCAGTCCGATGGGTCTACTCTAACTTACATGCCTCACCGGTGTCGACGGCCCCTAGTCGTTTACAGCAGGTAGCATCTGCTCCCAGTAAGTGTTAGTGAATGTGAAGCTGCAAATTTGACAGGTGGAAACGAGGATACTCAGGCCAAGACGAAACACTGGCGGACTGACCGGCAGGTTGTGAGTTGTCGCGCTGTAGTCTGTTCAACTCAATTGCATTTCCCATCTCCCATGACGGAGGTGTGCATGTCAAAGGTGATGGTGCAGTGTTATTGGTGCGAAGTCGTTTTTGCGCTGGTGTAGATGGCGGTTATCATGTATGATTTGGCGAGGCAAACCCAACGAATCTTGATGCTCGCAATGAAATATTCAATTGTCTCATCTGAGCGTTTGTCATGGCACCCCTAACGTAATTGCAACCCAAACATGCTGTGTTGGCTACGTCTAGGTGTACAGACTCTGAAAAATTACAAATTCGCCGAATTTGGTAGTCGTGTAGGGTGGCACATCAACGGGGACACACTCGAAATCATGGTGATACTATTTCGATAATACCCAAGATCATGCCCCATATGCTTATCTTACTTCTTTTCTTTTATTCCATTTTCCTGCTGTTATTAAGCTCCTATTGGGTATGAGGGTGGCATGTTGGATCATCTTGCTCCTTCGCAGGTCTTGGCAGACCACTCACAACTTGCTCCCTCGCCACCTTCACTTTCTCTGTCAGCAAAACGCATGGTGCTCTTAACCAGTTCTGGACACACGCCTGCCATGTCTAACTTACTTACTTAATGTTGGATCCGTAAGTGGAATGGTCGCTGACCACCACAGTGACGCTGTGAAACCTCATACTGGCGCGCAACCACATGCAAAGGTCGCATCCAACAAGCGCGTTGATTTCAAATCTCGTCTCTCTTCTCTCGTTGATTAATCTCACACACGGCCACTGCATATTGAAAGCACCACCTACGTCACACGTCTCCCCTGGTAGGGCGCTCTCTCCCAGGGTGCCCTCTCCCAGCCCAGGATGCCGCCCCCCCGCCCGGCGTCGTCTTTGTAATAGACGTGCAGCTCGCCGAGTCGCCGAGTCTCCGCCAAGTCTCCGCAATGCCGTCCTCCCGCAGGAGAGCACACACCTAAACCACCAACCCGGCATCTCTAAACCGAAAAATTCGCAGTCTGTTGCAATCCCAGCTTCGCGCGGTGCCACATCGGTGGACTGATGGAGACGGAGTGCCGCTGTCAGGCCTTTGTCGAGCCCTTGTCGAGCCCGCAGATGTGACGACGATCCTTCTTTGGAAGCTTCGCTAATGCATCCACGCATGTTCCATGCATGTTCGCGAAGCACGCCACAAACCGCCCCATAGCAGGACCCTCGCATTCGCAAACTAAAGCCCGCATCAACACCGAGATGTCACCTGCGTACTACGTAGTATGCAGAGATTTTTTCTTCTCTTGAAAGCCCCTGCATCCACGCTTAGGACGCCCGTGTCGGATCCGACCGGGGAGGGGCGTGCGCTCCATTGTGATCTGTGCTTTGAGGCATTAGACAGATCGGGATCCTTGAGCACCATCAATATCCACAGTTGACAGCTCAGCGACGTCACTGTAGCGAGAATCCGCAATCACCAGAAGACGATTCACGGGAATTGAACATTAGCATGGGTGACCGTATCTTTTACCACTATTCCCTTTTCGTCACGGCCGTCAACACATCGGTCCAGCTTTCCATCATCTAGCTTTCCAAGACTTGACATTTCTTGATACTGGAATAAGCCCAAGATGCTAAGAAATGATATTTATATGTTAGGAAATAAGAATCATATCATAATAGCTAATATAAGACATAAAAGGTATAGTGATCGCTGATGAAACCATCTTCCAGTGTACGGACAACGTCAGCCTCGTGACTGGGCGAATCGTCGATGGTGCGGACAGAGACACAACCTTCAGGGACTTTGGCGGAGCACAACTGCGCGAGTTGTGCATTGTACTCATACTTTTGCTGGCGGTACCCCGTAAGAACAAGGACCGATCCTTTTCGAATCTCCTCAGGGTCCTTCGTAAGAGAATCCCGCGTGTTTTGGATGGGATTGTCGTGGTAGAGAGTAGCAACAAGCTCTCTTACGAATGCCGCGTTTGTCGGATTGGTGAACGATGTACCAACGGGACACTCCATGGAATTTTAAACATGGCAGAAAATCGAGTTGACCTGAAGCTTCGGTGAGAAATTGTGAAGCCAGCTCAACATTCGACTGGTAACAGGAGTGACAGCTTGATTCACAATGTCCACCCGGCCGTGGTAAAAGTAGACATTAGGCCACGTAGCAACTGTTCCCAAAGCTAGGTATTTCGAATAAAGGACAATATCAACCTTCCCGAGAGTATCGGCGCGATAGAGGTAGCTGGTCTCGCGCTGGGGTCCGAACATGTCGCGGAAAACGACATCTTGTCGAGCTAGGTTGGTTTGAGCTGCCTCATATCACCCATTCACATAATAGCAGCATATGGACATTTAGCCACTGGGACCATTGACATTGCCATTGCCTCGGTCATTCGGCCAGCTTCGTCAACGATGACTAGATCCGGCTTCCATTCGACGTGGCTAGAATATTTCTATCTGCATACATGAGTATATTCCTCGATGTCGAGTCGGTACGGTAAGGCGCCGTCGACAAGTCTGTTCTGGGGAGCCAACCAAGCAATTCTGCTCTCAGTATTGACATTGGCAGTCGGATCTGCGGATTGTGATGTCACCTGAAGTGCATCATCTTATCCGGAACCAATGATGCAGCCGTCGTGTGGAGCTGGGAAATCCTTTGTCTCTATCGTCTCTTGCATATCGACATCGACCTCATTGATTTTCGCGCGAATCACCTCCATCTGGTCGGTGCCAGGCCATTTTAGAACACCTTTCATGCCATCAGCACCGTCGTCATTGTCGTCCTCTGCACCATCGACTATGCTTGTCTGCACCAAGGGGAGACTGTCGCGTTACACACAATGAGCCTGTGGTGGTCCAGCCAAGACAGCATTGCAGATTTCAATCCCCAAGGTGGATTTTCCGGCATCAGGACCACCCATTATGGTGACTCGGCCGAAGTTTGTGTTCTTCAGCTTGCCGATGGCCTCATATTGCTCGCCCTGGTATGCGCCGTCGTTTTATCTTCCTCCCAAGATCGGAAAGTCAACAAGCAAACCTCGGGTTTCGAGGCTAAAAACTTCAAACCCCAGAACATGGTTCTACCAAGCCTTCCTGTGGTCGCTCGCTGGCGCAGCGGAGGTATAAATGGGGATGGAAAAATGTTCTTATTCTTCAGCATGAAGACGGGCTTGTTATCCACGCCGGTTCCTGCCGCGGTCTCTCACCCCCTGTTTCTCTGTCGCCATCGAAAAGGTATAGTAGTATATATGATGCGATGCATCTGGGGAGACGGTGATGAGAATGAAGGCCAGGGTTGAAGAGAGGGACGACATTTTGGTTTGCTTGTCGATGGTCCCGATTCTCAGAATGAATGTGCGAGCTGCGAGTGACCTGGTTAAACAAGTACGCTTGATCAGTCATTGCTGCGCTTGGGTTGTTCCCTCCTCGTTGGCGTTATAAGCTGCAGATTAAACCCACTTGGATATTTATTGGTTGGGCCAAAGGGAAGGTTGAAGGGAAGCGTTGAGTGACGATCAGACTTAATGGGAGCTCTGAGGGCATATTGAGTCGCGGCAGAATCAAAGCTGGAAGACTGCTCGAATAGTATGCTAAGCATGGGAGGGAGTAAAACCATACCTATTTGCGTATGCAACTTCCCTCACATTGTCAACTGGTCGACGTGGTTCTCGGCAAGCACTGTGTGTTGTGGAGATCTGGTTGATGCCTTAGGAAGTTCGTGTGGCGATGGCAGGTTGACAACCATCTGTTCCGTGATCGGATCGAATCTCAAATTAGGCGCTGCGACAGCGTCCTTCAAATCGCGGGGAATAGGAGGGAGCAAACAGCTTTCCACTCAATGTCTAACAAGACAGCCATCCGTCAGCTGCTTTCCAAACTCCAAGATGGGGATGGGAATCGCTCCTGGCATCCAACAACTGATGAATCGTCGCTCGACGATAAAAAACCCCGCGGCCAGACACGTTTAATACGGATGTCCTCGCTCCTGCCCTGGCTGTGTGCCCTCTTGGCCAGGGTGGGGATTCAATCGCAGCAAGAGCCAGCGTGAATCACTGACAAAGAGTCAAGGGCTTTATAGCGCAACCCAACACATCCTGAAGCAGAAGTGTATTTCAACTCAACGTCTTCGGAACGCACGACTTCTCCTCATTCCTTCCTTCCAAGTCCCACCACAATTTATCACGTCCCTTGGGCTGAACCTGCCATACTGGTTCGGTATTCAAACACTCTTTCAAGTTGAGATTTGGAACATTCTGGATACCCAAGCGACACCAACCCCTTCGACAACGTACGATGATATCCATGTGAGTTTCAGATGCTTGGGCTCGCTGGCACAAGCGTTTCTCTAGATCTCCGCACACACACCCTTCGAACGTCTTCTTCAAGCTATCCTTCCTCGATCTGCAGAGCTACCAAGGCAAATACAAGCCAGAGACACCTCCAATCTAGGACCTACGCTAATATGGTATCAATGAGACACAGGGTCCAACTCATAGCCATGGACACACCTCCTGCTGGGCCATCGGATGCTCAGCTGAACGAGCCAGTCACTGGTGCTCAGCTTGCTCCCTTAGGCCCGACCCTCCCTTTGGCTCGCCATTTTACGGTCCCATCCACTCCGCGCTCCACCTCCCAACTAGAATATACCGTCAACCGTGGAGATGTTCTGGCTGCTGGAAGCAAGATCGTTAAAAAATTGGAGAAGCGTGAATCTGAAGAAAATGTGCTTAAGGATGAGGTGGCAGCTTGGCTGGACGAGCACAAGGTTCGAGTGCTCCCAGGTGAAATCAAGGATAGGGTCGAACTATGGGGCCGGCGCTTCACACCCCCTCACCCTGTGGTTAGTTGGATCACAAAGGCCTCCGCCGACCTGATGGAGTATTCTTACACTACAACCGACCTACTTCCACATGAGCCATTGGGGACGCTGGAGAAGGTGATTAACCCGCTCCACGACTTGGTGGAACATGCGAAGACGCTCGAGCCTGCTACACGAAGACGGTTCGAGGCGATGGCTCGGAATTTGGTCGATCTCACGGACTTGTACACCAAGCAACACGAGTGGTCCCAGGGCAAAATGAAAGAATTAACCGAAGTACTTTCTAAAGCCCTCCACGACTTCAAGGTATGCATAGAAAAAGAAGGCAATTCTGTGAATGTGAATGAAGTACGTCAGGCCATCCATATCATGAATACGAGCATCAACGACATGAGCAACGGAATCACAATGTCGATGGATTCGCCAGCTAAGAAGCGAAAAATTGCACTGTAATCCTCAGAGGATCATACCGAGAAACGCCGAGCCGATCTCCAAAAGCTCGTGGATGGGATGCTTTTCATCCTGCCAGAGCGCTGCCCCGTCATGAAGCAATTCCAAGACTTGATCCAGTCATACGACCCACATGCATTTGATGGAATCGATAGCAACAGAGATATTTGCCGCCAGCGACATATCGAGCTCATTCAAAAACAATGGAGTGGTTCTCCTGGGACAGAATGGGTTCGATCGTCTGATCCCTTGAAGGATGTGACAAGGCGCGATGTTGGCGATGACCAGGGATCCAAATCCGTTCGACAAGCAGCACTGGACGAAAAGTGAGATGGTGCGGGGGGACGACGGGAGTATGGAGTTTGATCACGGTGTCTAGGATTCATGGACAGTATTTGGAATTTAGCATGAGGAAGGTACTGGGATTCAAGGTCCAAGTCTGGTGGCCATGTCTGATGCTTCTGGGAGGCGTATTTCAGACAATGGGTATCGTTTATGCAACAAGACGGCACATTCCCCACGTATCAGCTAATTTCAGTTTCGAGAAATGACAACTTCGTCACTATGGTCTTGGCATCGGCCGACGTGAATGCGAATCCTTCTGGAGTTGGCGACCGAGGTCAAGAGGCCACAACCCCAAGCAGGTATGTATACACTCTCTTCATCATTTACAAGTCGCTTCAAACTAACGTACATCTACAATACAGCATCTACCGTCTAGGAATGAGTATACGGTCATCTGTGCCCTAAGAAACCTCGAGAAATGCGAGACCATGTCCGATGAGTTGGGAAATGCAGATCTCAGGTAAGTCCTAACCGAAGCCCGTCACACAAAGCCCCAAAACAACACACTCCAAAGACGTACCATTTCCTCTTTTGTGAAATTCCGATGGGTCTCCACGGGATGTGAGGTACGCGCAGGCACAGCGCGTGGATATCCTCGCCCTAGCTGCTGTTGTTTCCTGAAAGGGTTGCAGCTAGGATTATCATATTATCTATCCCCCTTCACATCTACAATCTCAATTATTTTTTCTTTTTCTGCGTTACCGTTTTATTTAGAGACTACTACGGCTCCGACACTCCAAAATAGAGTCCCTTCATACTCTTATTCGACACACACCGCAAGGCAATTTACCCATGCGTTCACTCGTCCCGAAGCCCGCTCCCTGGTTGACGCGCAGCCGTCAAGACAACCAGCCAACTCACTCCCGCCTGAAAGTAAATTTCGTACAATTTGTGTGACGACTATTGACATCTGAGACACAAATTTGGACTTTCCGAAAACCAACGAAATTTGTATGCCTCTTTATTCCTTTTCCCTTTCTCAACCTTTATACTAATTTCATTTCAGACCTCACTATCTCACAATACCTCGTCCACGCTTCTACTCCATAGGGGTTGAAGTACTTACTAGCCTGCTGCCATCATTGACGCCTTTCGCATCTGCCAAACGGTCGCAAATACGCTGGAAGATAGCATGGATTCCGCCGAAAGAACTCTCGCCTCCTCCGCGTGATCACCGACCCGGACATGGCTTTCATCTCATCAAATGCATTCTTTCACTCTTTCAAGACAATCTGCCGCAGTAGTTCGGATCTTAGAGCTCTTTTTACCCTCATTTCGAAGTACCAACGGCGCCTCCATCTGATGTTTCACCTGTGGCTGAAGTGGAAAGATCTCAGCAGCCCTCAGACAAGTCGATCGGTGGGTTCGACGTTTAGCCCATATGCGAAATTTGGCGTGAAAGTCAAGCAGCTCGACATTAACGACCTCACGCACAGGACAGTTGTGGCAAATTTCAGCCCATTCAGTCCCTGCTGTCAGCAGCTACATCACTCAGGATCAGCGCACAGTTTTATTGACTCGCCTGTGCTTCGACTTTCAATACATCCTCACAGATATCTTTCGTAACCTGCTGCATAGCATGGCCGGAATTGATACCTGGGGGGTTGTGGAAACCAATTGGCACGCGCAAGTAAATCTTGTATGGCTGCTCATTATCAGGGAGAAGACCTTGGACCTCTGTCGTGGACACTGCCTGCCAAGTGCATCAGCGATCAATGATTTCCCGAAAGAGACAAAAGAAGGACACATGGTTTTTCGCCACAGCAGTCCGCACGGCTCCCGATGTCCGCCATGGTGTTGACGAAGAGCACCATGCATCGACCGGGTGAATTCAGGATTGGATGCAGGCAAACTATATCCAAATGCGAAAGCCAAAGCTGATGTCTTGTTGTCACGAGTACCGAACTCCTTTTTGGTGCCAAAGATGAATGAATGCGAGTTCCTGAGAGACAAAGAGGCGCGCATGTTTGCGACTGCCATGAATGTGAAGGTTTTCGCCGACAAGTTCGCACTCATTGATGAGAACGCTGGATACATATGGCGTTCGATGGACGGAGCAAGATATGCTCGTCAGTGTGCTTCCCTTTCCTCTCTCCCGTGTCCAGGATTTATCTAACCGAAAGCCCAGTGATAATGTTTCTGGGCATTCCACGCGGTGGACGACCAATTTTTCGCAATTACGTACTCGATCTTCGCCAGTATAACCGCACCGCAAGAAATTTGGATTCTGCATTTCGGGCCGCAACTCAGCGAGCCGAGAACGCCCATCGCGAGCTTGAGACCCAAATTTTGAATCTAGAAGGAGAAAAAGACTTCCCTCGACGTTTGGATTGCGAAGATTCCCTCTTGTACACACACTATCTGGGAGGGTGTTTACCGCGGAGATGAGGACAGGTACCTTCTTGCTTTGGCACGTCACCAGATGATGCTGCTCGAGTCGCATTCCCAGATGATGAACGGCTGGTATTTACCAATCGTCGGCGATATGCAAATCATGTTCTAAAATGTTCAAACATGGCGGAAACAAGAATCTCAAGGGTCCCTTGTGGTACGAGGAGCCAGACAGCTCCGCCAAGCTTAATGCGCCGTCATTACGGCCATGGCCAATATTGATGTTAGCTCACCTGTTGCTAGCTGGTGGGAGCATGTCCCGGACTTTTCTGAGTTGACCAAAATCTCTGCAGGGAACATACTGCAGGGACTCCCAGAACTTGCACCTCGATTGGACCAAGGGCAATATGTTCGTGAGCAGATGAAGTAGACCAAATTTCTTCAAGCTCCAAACGTGGTTACCTTCTTGGCCCTGGAAGACTAGGCGCTGAGAAATCCACATTGACAACCAAAAAATGTGATGGTGTCATGCCGGCTTCAGTCAATTGCGGATGGATGGAAGCTAGTCAAGCTTTTGTCGAAACTACCCCTGAAGCTGCGCAAGACAACTACGAAGATGAGGATCCCGAAACATCTGTAGCTAGATTCAGCGAAATGGAAAACTTACTCGCAGCCATGAATTCAGTTGAGCAAGAAGAGTAAGTGGGCCCATTTCATGCCTTTCTTCAGTGCCAGAGGGAGTGGCTCGCTGAGCTAAACGCGATCTAACGAAAGAGGCAGATCACTCCGGGTATCGCCAACAAGAGTCTCATTACGCCCAAGCATCGCGAAACAACCGCTGCGCTTACAACAACGCTCTAAGATTCTGCCCGCATGCTGTCAAGCCGTTTCTAGACTTCCTAGACCTCGGCCCCATGCCTAATGATGAGGTGAACCGCAGCCCCTACCCCTTCAACTACGGCAGCTCCTCCTCCAGCAAACGCGACAAGTTTCGCAAGGCTGTTTGCCAAACGTGGATCTCTCCTTAGTGATGATGGAGGCCGGGCTCAGGCGTCGGTGATGCGTCAGACGATGTCCCGCGATGCAGCTGAGGTAGGTTTGACTACAACTATGCGAGAACGGGTGGAGATGAGCCAGTTGAAGGCAGAGACGACCTTGCTAGTTACAACCGAGGAGAGCAAGGTGATAGAACCTACTGAGGAGGAAGGTGACTATTGAGGACGAGGATGCTGTGGAGGAGGAGGAGGATTCAGGTGATACTAAGCCTGTTGGGGAGGATCAAATTGGAGCTGGCATTGTTAAGGAGTATCAAGCTGTTAATGTTGAGGCCGAGCAGGATGGGGGTGCTGATGAAGGTGACGCCTGGGGTGATGTGCGTTAAAGTAATCAGCTTGATAATGCCCGAAATTCTTTCCAATCGCTTCATACTAGTAGTAGACATCCTTAATCCTAAACGCTTAGTCCAAACAACAGATCGTCATATTTAGTCCTCATCCCCAATCATGAATGCTGGGCCTAATTAATAAGAAGCCAAACCTGACTTTAGTTCTATCGTCAATGTGTAAAACCGTTTCTAATCCCCCGTGTCTGGAATAGTACCCTTGAAGCTGCATAATCTCTGACTTCCCTATCGACCGACGATGAGTCCCCGGGTTTAAAGGTTGAGTCTCGTTGGCTTGAGCTTCGGGGTGGAGGTGGGAGACGGCGTGCACGGTCCACATTCTCGGTACGTCATCGGTCATTGTGGAAGTTTTTGAAATCAACCACCCAAAGTCATATCCTCGTCCGCGACAACACGACCAGGCAACATTGCTCACAGCCACTCGCGGCCGCCGTCATGCGAAATCTCCCGAAGCGCGCCCTCGCTCACGAGCTGTCACCGGGCCTCATCTGCCGCAGCTGCCGGCTACAGCGTCGTCAATTCGCGACATCCCCCGCTCCGCCCTCCCCCGCCGCGACCGGCCTCACGTCCCTGTCGTCACGGCGGCTCATTTCCGTTGCTGGTCCCGACGCCGCAAAGTTCCTGCAAGGCATCGTGACGGCAAATGTCACTACCAACGACGGGCAGCCGAGGAATGACGGGTTCTATACGGCCTTCTTGACCGCCACCGGCAGAGTGCTCTTCGATGTGTTCGTGTATCCCAATCACGGCGCCTCGGGAGCGTCAGCCGACGAGCCCGGGTTCTTGATCGAGGTGGATGCGGGCCAGGCGCAGACGTTGGCAAAGCATATCAAGCGATATAAGTTGAGGGCGAAGCTGGCTGTTAAGCTGCTGGGCGAGGACGAAGCAAGCGTTTGGCACGCCTGGGACGACTCAGCCAAGACCAATTGGGACTCGATTGTGGCATCTACCAAGTTTTCTCTCCAGGACTCCCGAGCGCCCGACTTGGGATATCGATTTGCGCGGCTGGATCAAAAGGCACCCGAGATTGACATCGAGCGAAGCACCGAGGATGCGTACACAATTCGACGATATCTACAGGGAGTTCCGGAAGGCCAGGAAGAGATGCCGAGGGAACATTCCCTGCCACAGGAGAGCAACATGGACTTCATGAACGGGATCGACTGGCGAAAGGGCTGTTACGTCGGTCAGGAACTCACAATCCGCACTAGGCACCGTGGAGTCGTCCGCAAGCGCATCCTGCCATGTGTAGTTTACGAGAAGGACCACGCAGCCCCGACAACCCTTGCATACCACGCAGAGAGCACTTCGCTCGAGAGTGTGACCGCAGACATGATTCCACAGGCCACGAGTATTGGTCGCTTTGAAAAGCGTGGCCGCAGTGCGGGCAAGTGGCTCAATGGCGTGGGCAACATAGGTCTGGGTCTCTGCCGCCTGGAAATTATGACTGACGTTCTCCCTGGGGAGACAGCCGCCGCAACCTTCAAGCCCGAGGATGAATTCGTTTTGGAATGGGGAGAAGATGGAAGCAAGACGGGCGTCAAGGTCAAGGCATTTGTGCCCGAGTGGTTGAGACAAGGCTTAGAGACACAGAAGCATTGATCAATGGAAAGAGGAAGAGGAGAGACAGACGCTGTACGATTGTGTATTACATACCTTTGTCCTAGTAGGAAGAAGATACCCCAACTCTGATCATTCGGACTGGCTTGTCTCGACATGCTGAACTAAGCCAGATGAGCGGAATGCGGCTCTTGTTGAATTGTGGCCCTGTGATCCATCGTTCGTCCCAGCTTACCCGCGAAATCGAAACATAGAATATCAAGTTGAATTCAACTCATCGAATTCGATCCTCTTCCAAACCCGGAGTGGCCGCTGCGGGAGGTCACTAGGATAGGCTTGTGGCCCATTTGGTGAAACACAAAACCACCCTGTCCGATGATATGCGACAGGGCTGAAAGGGCGGAGCAAAAGGAAACCCGCATGCGCCCGATTTATTTTGACCACCGGACCACCATGGCAGGCTCTCCCTTGCAAAACCTTGGTCCCCGGACTGGACTTGGGCGAGTCGTGACCTCGGGGGATTCGATCAGCCGTCAACCCTGCGCATCACGGCAGAGTTGTGGCGCCGCCGACAGAAGCCGCTGCGGCGATCCGACAATCCAGCCATTCTGAGAGGCTGCTAACGGGACACAAGAAGCGAAATAGTGAGACATGGCGCAGCCCCCGGCACGTATTCGCTCCCGCTCTTTGGCCTGTCCAGCCCCGGCGCGGGCCGGCAGGGCGGAGTGCAGACGGCGTGCTGCGGCCGTCGTTGGTGCGTGGGAAAATCGTCACCTCCTTGGGCGACGCTGGCACCGGTGTGAATGGCACGGAGGACAAGACCCATCGAGCAGCCTGTCGTTCGTCCGCTGCTGTGGATTCCACGATGTGTCGCTCCCGGTGATTGCGCGGTTGGTGCCCGATGATTCGACCAGGGGGCTGCCTCAGCTAACTCTTGGCGCCGCGGTCATGTCTATCACTTTGACCGGTCTGGACATGGCCGGGCATCGAGACACACAAACAGAGACATGCATGTTAGCAGAGACGGGATAGACTCGACCAGAGCTGGAACTGAGTCGCGAGGAGGCCCGAGGATGACGGGATGACCTATCGCCGTCACCCTTGGGCACGGGTCGGTATGAGTGGCTGGGCGCCGAGTCTCTCACGGGCCGTCGAGGAGCGCCTGTGATTCGCAATCTGCGTGTTTGTTGCTTGCTCACCGTGCATGAGCGGGATCATCGAGAGCCCCTTGCGTCATCTTCGTGTGCGTCGTTCAAGCCTCGGGGTCTGTTGGCTTGAGGACGCCGAGCACAATATTGCATCGAGTGCTGATTGGGTTTGGCATCCTCACAAGCTGCACCGGAAATCGCCTGTTTATGAGCAATATTGTCAGCCTGCATTTCTCAAGGGAGGATTGGCCCCTTTCCAGCTTACATAGAACTTGGGTCCTGTCAATTGTTGTTGGTGGAGACTCTTGGCTGTGTCGCTTATTTTGTCCGCCTTGTAATTGCCAGGCACCCTGTCACTCAAGAGCCTCTTTTTTAAACATATATAACTGCTGAGGCTCCCGCACTCTTCCTCAGTTGGTCTGTGTCCATTCTTCTCAAGCTTTACCTTCCTTCGGAGTTCTTGTGAAGCGCCCACCTCAACGTTCGATTCCCTCTTCCACGTCGCTCGCAATGGCGCCCGTCACAACCAAGCGATTGATCGCCTGCTGCGATGGGACGTGGATGGACAGCGACAATGGATACGAAGAGCCCGGCTTGCTGCGATCCGAAGGCACACTTCAAGTTCCTTCCAACGTCACTCGTATTTCCCGCTGCTTCAAGCGGAGGTGTAGTGACGGCAAGCTTCAAATCATCTCTTACGAGTCTGGTGTCGGGACTGGTAGCAACACTCTCGACAGCATCACCGGAGGTGCATTTGGTCTGGGCCTTTCCGAGGTATGCATTCCTTCTGATGACCTGAGACACTCAGCGGACTAACAGCGCCTCATTAGCGAATGCGAGAGACTTACTCTTACCTGTGTGCCAACTACATGGATGGCGATGAGATCATCCTGGTTGGCTACTCTCGCGGTGCCTTCACTGTTCGTTCAGTGGCCGGCATGGTGGGAGCTCTGGGTCTCTTAACACGAGAGGGTGTTGAGCACTTCTACCCAATCTTCAAGGATATGCAGCACTGGATGGACGACCACTACAAGGATCCATTCCCCAATGTGCCGTTCCCCAACAAGCCCAAGGGCCCAAATGCTGCAAAGGAGTACCGGGCTCGCCTTGAGAGTTTGGGTTACACTCGTGTCAAGCAAGATGGTGGGGACGGTGAGCTGATCAAGATCAAGGCCGTCTGTGTTTGGGACACAGTGGGCAGTCTGGGTGTCCCCCGTGTTGCCTGGCTGGACAAGTTGGGAATCCGCGCTGACAATGAAGAATAAGTCCTCCCACTCTGTGTTTGGTCCCGTTCCATACTGACTTGAGAGCACATATAAGTGGTACGACACGAGCTTGTCGGATCGGATCGAGCATGCTTTCCATGCCCTTGCCTTGGATGAGACTCGTCCACCCTTCAGCCCAGCCGTCTGGGAGAGGCTTCCCGGCAACAAGCTGACGACGGATCTGAGACAAGTCTGGTTCCCCGGAAACCATGCAAACTGTGGTGGTGGCTGGGAGGACCAGGGAATAGCCAACTGCACTCTCGCTTGTAAGTTTGATCATTCATTATCCTTGGGGGACTGTTCCACACCCGTCGTGTTGACAGGGTTGCGGTGCAACTCAAGGCTGTGATGTCGCATGGCTAATTCAAGCCCAGGGATGATGGATCAGATGGCATCTGTGGGCATAGAGTTTGATGCGCCGTCCTTGGAGAGAGTCTTCCAGCAGAATAAGGCGTACTATGAGACCACCTCTGTAGCCTTGAATGGGAAGAAGAAGAAGGGGTTGGACTGGGCTGTGAGCCCCATTTACGAGGGCAACTTGCCAATTCGGCCCTGGGGTCTTGGTGCGATCAACAAAGCCAGCAGCCTCTTGTACAAGCTCTCTGGCCAGACAATCAGAAGCCCGGGACTATACAAGCCCACCGATCCGAAGACGAAGATTGATGCCGACCGGTTCCTCATGGATACCAACGAGCGGATTCACAGCTCAGTGCGGATTCGTATCGCCTGTAAGGGGCTCGGGCTCAACGACAAGGCCGTTTGGGACTGCCCCGCCTTGTTGAAGAGCTGGAAGGTGAAGCGTACTCAGGAGGACTATGAAGATCCTGTACCATTCCACCCTGACTGGGATCCTGAGATGGAGAAAGACGCCTTTGGTCACCCCAGTGACTGGAAAAAGGGTCGATGGATCTGGGAGTACTGTGGCGAAGAAAAGAATGCGCCCACCGACAAGAAGCAGCGGATTATGGTTGAAGAACCACTTGGTCCGTACGAGAGGTATCTGCTGAAGTTGTCGGCCGGCGCGCCGAATGTCTATCATTTTGCGGATACTGTGGAGTAGGACATCCACTGACGGGGTTTGAGGATCTGGGATATATCAGAACCAAGCGGGTTATGTTCGAGGCGTTGATTTGAAAGAAACTAGGGACGGTGAAATTGGCCAAGAAGAAACACAAAGATCGAGTGGTGTTCTGAATGAAGAGTCTAGAAGGAGGATAGGATATGGTATGGTAAGAATGATTACACTGCTGCCTGTAGACTTTGTGTCGATAATTAAAGCATAAATAACCTCGAGGCCATGGATTACTGAAGATTCATGGAGGAGGTTGTTTTTAACCTTCACCTAAACCTGACTCGACGTCCGAGAAGACTTAGATGATGGTGGCAACGTCATGGTCACGTGTGGTCGCGCTTTGCGACGGCCGATTTAGATGCCTGGAACTTTTTTGGTGGGCGGACAGGCTTCGAGATTCCACTTCGTCCTCTTGTTCGAGCAGTCTTTCTTCTCTCAGAGGAGCTCTGTTTCGCTTTTCTAGCATGCATCGCATTGTGTTCGGGTTATAGCGCGTCATTTGGCAATCCGATCCATTTTCCGAGCTGGCCATCTTCCCTTCACCACGATCCATGCAGACGAAGCTTGGTCCACGGCCTTCGCCAACTGCCTATCGCTAATTCACCACCGACGAGACGGCCATGGACTCCAAGGCCGCAGACCTACTGCAGTACGCGCAAGAGTACGCGTCAAAAGATGTCGACCTCTACGATCTGCTGGGCATCGACGCCCTCACCGCGAAGGACGACATCCACCGCGCATGGCGCAAGCGCTCCCTGAAGTTCCACCCCGACAAGGCCGGCTCCAAGTTCGACCCCGAGAAGTGGCAGCTGTTCGAGCGCGCCCGCGATGTCCTCTCCGACCCCGACGCGCGAGCGGCGTACGACAATGCCATCAAGGCCGTGCTGCTGCGGAAGCAGGAGCGCGAGGCCATGGACAACCAGCGCAAGCACTTTGTCGACGACCTAGAGGCTCGCGAGAACGCCTGGAAGCGCCAGAGAGAAGAGAAGGAACAAAGCGATAAGGATGCGATCGAGAAGGAGAGGACGCGATTGCATGAGGAACAACGGATGCGCGAGGAGGAGGAGAAGCGACAGGTCGATGCCGCGCAGGAGCTGGAGGACCTTGCCGAAGCGAAACGGCGCCTCAAGGAAAAGAAAGAGAAAAAGAAGCAGGACGAAGCAAGGGAGAAGTTCCTAAGAAAGTCCAGGAAGGCTGCCAGCGCCGGCGACGGCAAATCACAACCTCAAGCGCCCCGAAATGGCGTCATTGTGGTCCCAGGAGACTACGTCTTCGACTCCGGGACGGAGAGGAGAAAGTATTGGGAATTGGTCTGCGACAAGCTTAGAGCTGTGCAGGCTATGAGAAATCTGAGCAAGCGAGAATCCACATTCGAGGAGCAGGAGGAAGCACAAAATGGCCTCCAGGAGGCGAAGCTGAGGATACATCAAGCCGAAGTGAAATTTGCCGAGGAGAAATCAGCGGCCTAAAAGGCTAACGCGAATAACGAACGACATATGACAGGTAGTCTTAATATACCACAATGGCTTGCTTATTTCTGTTGCTAATATTGAGTATATAGTCTCATGCATCCTCGTTGAGACGCAAGATATCGATGGCATTCCCTCCCATGATGGCCTTGGCCTCAGCCGAGCCCTCGCCCACCGCCTTGGAGACTGCTGCAGCATTCATGCTAACGCTTTCCCACTCCCCTTGCTCATCGGTAGTGAGAGGAGGGAAGAATGGGTGGTCAGTGCCAAACATGAGCCGGTCTGCACCGCTGGCATCAATAGCGGCCCTGAGTCCAACCTCCGAGTAGACAACCGCATCGAGGTACACCTGCTCTTTCAATACATCCCACACCGTCCGACGACCTTTGCCAACCTTGCCCTCGCTCACAAGCTGCCCGTCATGCATGATGCAGCTCTCTATTCGGCCAGCGAGGAACGGCAGCGTTCCGCCGCTGTGGGCGAGGATCATGCGCAGCTCACGCACCTTGTCAAACACGCCCGAGAGGTACATTCTCGTCACCGCAATGGTGGTTTCCATGGTGAAGCCCAGAGCCAAGGGAAGGACATGGCCGTACTCGGCGCTAGCCCTTGGGCCCCAGACCTCGATGGGGAGGCCATAATGAGGATGGAGGAAGATGGTCAGCTGGGCAGCGGCGACGGCCTCGAATATGGGGACGAGATTGGGATCGTCAAGTCCTTTCCCAAGCCCAGATGTTCCCAAGATGACTCCTCGGCAGTATTTGAGGCCTTTGAGGTGCTCTATTGAGGAGAGCACAACGTCAAGCGACGCTGTAAGGGGGAGTGTGCCGAAAAAGTAGAGCCGTCCAGGATGCTGACCACACATGCTCGAGAACTCATTGTTGACGGACTCGGCCATTGGGCCTGACTCAGACGGGTCCAAGAAGTCCAACCACGGATTCGCGAGAGAAATGACAGAGATGTCTATGTGGTGTGTGTCCATAAAGTGCATCTTCTGAGCGAGGGACGCATAATGCGACGTCAAAGGACGGCCGGGTAGCTTTGCGGCAGCATCTTGGGTGGCCTCCTCAAGAGTCTTGACCTCTGCTTCTAGGAGGATAAGCCGCGGATCGGGCGTCTCAGGAAAGCTCCGAACCAGCGGGATAGTAGAGCGGGATTCGAGGATGCTGATGTACGAAGGAGGGTACATGTGCGTGTGAATGTCGACGACACGCGTGGAGGACGACATGGTTCAGACGAGCACGGCGTGTGACTCGGGAGAGGTCGCGTGACTGAATTAAAGCAAAGAGAGTGGCGGGTATTGGAAGGATGGTACGGAGGATTGATTGAGCTTATGGCTTGTTGGTGTGGTGTGGTGGGATGAATGCGATGATAGGGTTGATGGCGGGGTCAAGCAGACGAGCCGAGACGTCTCAATATGCTCAAGTACCGAGGATTTTCACCGATGTGTCAATAATTAAACCAAATAAACCACAGCCAATAGACCTTCCGAAAGCAGGCTTTCCATGCTAGGCCAATGCCGAAATGAACATTGGTAAGAAATGGAAGGTCGCAACCGCGGAGATCCCTGGCCCCCACTCCGGAATAGGGCGTTATCGCTGGCCGGCCGGCGGCTGTTTATTAGCTGCGAGACATCTCACTTGCTTCTTATCAGCGCCGATTGAGGGGTCGTCCTGCAGGACAAGCACACATGGGAGCCTTCCGTCCCAATGACGTTGCGACGCCATTGCCTATCATATCTACGGAGTACGAGACCTCCTCTTTCTCGGCCGGCGCCGACCTACCTTTGTGCTAGGAAGGGGACGGGCTGGCGCGTGGCTGAGAGTTGAGGATGGTCGAACCTTGCCATTATTCTGGTGTAGCATTCCCGGCTGTGGCTTATATCTGCGGCGACGACGCTTGTGGTTCTCATTGCTCTCATTGTTCTGATTACCCTCATTTAATGCGATCAACTCTAGATTCACGCCCATTTGTGACCATCTCGTGACTTTGCAATCCCGACTACCCACCGCGATGGCTTCCGACGCTGCTGTTAGTAAGGAGGGCCTCCTCATCCCCGTACGTGCCGCCACCACCCGCCTCCACGCTGCTCAACTAACAGCTAACCCTCGCACAAGCTCATCGACTTCTCGCGCTTCCTCAGCGGAACGCCCGCAGAGCGCACCGAGACGGCCAAGGCAATCCTCCATGGCTTCCAGACGGCGGGCTTCATCTACCTGAAGAACCACTCGGTCCCGCTCGATGACCTCAAGCATGCCTTCTCCACGTCGGCGCGCTTCTTCGACCAGCCGCTCGATGATAAGCTGGATCTCGGCTGGACAACGCCCGAGGCCAATCGCGGATACTCGGCGCCAGGCCGAGAAAAGGTCACCCAGCTCAAGGAAATCGACGATGTCGAGAAGGTCCGCGCTGCGGCGCCAGATCTGAAGGAGAGCTACGAGATTGGCCGTGAAGGCGTCGACGGACTCCCAAACCAGTGGCCCAAAGACGGCGCCGTGCCCGATTTCCGGACCGATATGCTCGGCTTCTTTGACCAGTGCAAGGAGTTGCACGTCGAAGTCATGAGGGCCATCGCTGTGGGCATGGGCCTGGACGAGGAGTTCTTTGATCGCTATGTGGATGTGGGCGACAACACCCTGCGGTTGCTGCATTACCCGGAGATCAAGAGCGAAATCTTCAAGATCAACCCGGGTGCTGTGCGTGCTGGAGAGCACAGCGTAAGTCATGACATTGAGCAAGGCCGTCCTGTGGAGATTGCTAACTTGGCCAGGACTACGGATCCATCACTCTGCTTTTCCAAGACAACCGCGGTGGTTTGCAAGTCAAGAGTCCAAATGGGCAGTTTGTCGATGCCACCCCCATCGAAGGCACCGTTGTCGTCAACGCCGGTGATTTGCTTGCGCGATGGAGCAATGACACCATCAAGAGCACCATCCACCGCGTTGTCGAGCCGCCCCGGAAAACAGACCAAACCTACCCCCCACGATACAGCATCGCGTAAGTAGCCACTTGCACTTTATTCTCCATGAAACGTGGCCAACATGCTTCTAGGTACTTTTGCAACCCCAACTTCGAGAGCCACATCGAGGCTCTGCCAGGCACGTTTTCAACCGAGCAGGACAAGAAGTACGGCGGGATCAACAGCGGCGATTACTTGGTGCAGAGACTCACTGCCACCTACTGAAGTATTGGCCTGTATCTGATGGCAGCGTGGCTGGAATACAAAATGGGGAACGTCATGGCATTCTGGACTGCTATTTTGTAGTCACTCTCTAGGAGGGAATTACGAGCTCAATGAACACATTAAAACATATTGTCACGGGAATTTGCGCCATTATCGCTGCTGTACGGTGCAGGCCAAGAGGGGTCATGCGTGGCCGGTACTACGGCCATCTCACGTGGTCGTGACTTGCAAATGGAACTGTGGAAGTCATCTGCCTCACAAGCGTGGGGGGCAGCAGCCTGATTCTATACGAATACATTATAAGAGAAGAAGCACCACAATCTGAACTCACTTCGAATTCTGGCCTTGCGATTCTCTATATAACCAATACTCGATTTTTATTCTGCCGTAAACGATGGCTTCGTCGTCAACTCAGATCGTCAGGCTGGAGCGGCCGTCATTGCATTCACATTCCCTCTTGACATCTTTTCCAGCTCTTCCTTATCCTCCCGAGACTTGGGTCTGCAAGGAGGTTCAAGATGTCGATGACTTTTTTGCACGGAATGGCTTTGACAACCACGCGAAAGAAGCCTGTCACGTATTTGCCCAGGCGACTTATCCAGACATAGAGATAACACCGGTGAGGCCACAGGGATATTGTTCATACACCCTGGCCATCTCGACGACTCATTTGCTACAATTCCGCTCCGACACGTATCAGCTAGACCTCAAAGTCTGCGAAGAGGCAAGAATGGTCTTCGGCAGCCTGGTACCTCGCGTCCAATTCATTGGCTACGTTCCAGACTGTCACACAGTAGATGGCGAGCGAAGACTGCATGTGTATATCCAGGAAAGAATCCCCGGGGTGACGCTGAAAGAGTTCCACAAGATGGAGATGTTGAATGATGAGAGGCAGGGGCAATGTCGAAGACACCTTGTTGGGGATTTGGCTGAGATGTTCGCCATCGGCCTCCATCATGGACGCCCCGGAACTCACACAAGTGAAGATGAAACCTTCAAGAAGGGCCACATTGGAAGTTCGCTGCGGTGGCGTCTTAACCTCCTTAAAACCCTCTCCGAAAGCTTCCTCTTGGACACAGTAAGCGACGTCGCCTCTAGGATCGACCATATAGAGGGTTTGCCCTGGTGCTTAACCCACGGCGATCTCGTCCCTGCCAACATCATGGTCGATCCCTCTACCGGGCGTTTAACAGGCTTAATTGACTGGGCTGAAGGGGAATGGCTGCCATTTGGCGTTGGGTTGTATGGCCTGGACGAAGTCCTCGGCTCTGAAGATGCACAAACTGGATTCCGGTTCTTTGAAGAACACGAACAATTGAGGACGGTGTTCTGGAACAAGCTTCTTGAACTGACCGCAACAAGAGACGCGGAATCGCCGTCGTGGGTTCAAGATGCTGGGCTTGCACAAAAGCTGGGAATTCTACTCTGGCGCGGCATCGCCTTCGAGGATGGACGGATCGACCGAGTTGTCGAGACAGGCAGAGACGATCTCGAACTACAGAAGTTGAGGTTGTTTCTTGAGGCATCAAGCCAATCAAGAGTAATGATAGACGATCAGAATTAGCATATCAAACCTCTTATACCGTATCGACTCAGTAAATTAGCCCTGAATCCTTCTCCCACTTATTGCCTTCGGGGGTTTATATACCTAATGATTTAGGAAATCTAAGCCTTATTTATATAGCTTAGCTTTAGTCCAAAAAAACAGGGCCAATTTATCGAGTCGATACGGTAGTCGCCCTGGAGAGGTTGAGTGTTCCCGGGACCATCTCCAACAAACCGGGACGATATATCAGCAGAAATCCTTCTCACCTGGTATGCCATCAGGAAATACCCTGAGCCATTCTCCTCCCAAATTAAGACGGGAGCTTTACACTGTATTGCGAAGAAGAAGAGCGCCAGTGCGAGGATCATGTTGAAGGAGCTGCAAGCACATGCAAATGCCCCAGAGCCCAAGCTCCCCTGTCTCGGGCTGCGGGTGCGCTAAACCGGAACAGGCAACTAACATGTGGAAATTGAATGGAGTAGCATGCACCATCCTCAACATTAATTCCCATGACAATTGTCCTTCAACATCCACATAAGCTGCGACACCAGCGAATTTCTCGTCTGCAAAGACACACCATCGCACGCCCAATCCATCTCCCCGCGAACTCCGGATCCTCGCAGCAATGGCCTCCTCCGCCCCCGCCGCGCCGAAGCGCCAGCCGTCGGTGCTCAACAAGACGTACCTCATTCTCTACAACTTCGCTTCCGCCGTCGCCTGGTCCGTCGTCCTCGGCCGCACCGTCTCGCTGCTGAGCCAGAGCGGGCCGCAGTCTGTCTACGCCGGCGTCGGCGAGTGGACCAAGTGGACGCAGACGGTGGCTGCCATGGAGATTATGCATTCCCTGCTTGGTACGTTCTGTCATTGTCATTCTTCCGTCTTGTCTCCCAATCCCACTGCTAACTTGGAGTCTTCCCTCCCACAGGCGTCGTCCGCGCTCCTCTCCTCACCACGCTCGCCCAGGTCGCATCGCGCCTCCTCCTCGTCTGGCCTGTCGTCGACATGTTCCCCCAGCTCGCCGTTCAGCCCTGGTACTCGTCCATGCTCATTGCCTGGTCCGTCACCGAGGTCATCCGCTACTCCTTCTTTACCATGACGATTTCTGGCTTCCAACCTCGACCTCTGACCTGGCTCCGCTACACCACATTTTACATCCTATACCCCATTGGCATCAGCAGCGAATGCGCTCTCATCTGGAAGGCCATTGAGCCCGCTGGCGAGCTGAACCCCATGTACCCGTGGGCCCTGTATGGCATTCTGGCCATCTACGTTCCTGGTAAGTGTAGCGTGGCTCCCGTGCAAAAAAGTTGTTGCTAACATATCGCAGGCTCGTTCATGCTCTTCACTCACATGATGAGCCAGCGACGCAAGATCATGCGTAACATGAAGGCCCAGAGCAGCAAGGCCCAGTAGATGTTGCAAGCAGAATAATTGTAGAGGCTGTATGTAGAAGAGTTGTAGAGGCTGTAAGCAGGGGAGTTGTAAGAAATGACTTGCGTGGACTTGCGTGGAGTTGGGCATGGGGGAAAAGGCGGAGAGAATTTAGCCAACAACACACGTATGGAATTGAAGAGGAGTTGTAGGGATTTGGGACCTGGCATAGACTAATGTAATATATATCATAAAGATTTCAAGAGTCGTCGCACGCACCGAGAACTTTGCCTCATGTTCTAGACATCGCGATCCTTCCAAACTAAGCACCCAGCGGCCTCAAGTCGCAGCGACCTCTTCTAACAAGGGCCGATCCTCGACACTGGTCTCATACCAACCGTTCTGCAACCACCCCGCAATCAACCCCGCGGCATCCTGCGATAGTGTCTTATATCCAGGGTTCTCCTGTGGCGTAAACATGCCTGCTCAACTCGTCAGTCCATCTATTCATCGCTGTTGCTAGATCGTGCGCCTGGAACAACTCACTCATGTGTGCATGCGTCTCGTCCGTGGCCTTGTCGTTGACAGCCTCCCTCCACACACCCGCCACCTGCCTCTTGGGTAGGTTGCAAAACGTGCGATCTGATCCAAGCACCGTCCCGACCATACTCACTTGCTTGGAAGGCGCCGCTTTGCCTAGCCGTGTGTAGAGGTTTGCGAAGCCGACGTCGAGCTCCTCTTGCAGCTGCATGAGGAAGCTGACTCGCTTCTTCAGCTCCTCTGGACGGGCAAGGGACCCGACAAACTCGAGGTGCGACGTCGCCCACATCCATCCCTCACCAATGTGGTCGCGGTTCACCCACGCCGCCGCGCCGCCCGCCGCTACGGCCCCGGCAGCTCCGGCGTACATGGCCATTTTGCCCCATTTCTGCCACGGGCTGCCGGCGGGCTGCTCCGGGGCCGGCAGCGCGCCGGCCGTGGTCTTTGCGGGCGCCGTGGACTGCGCGGCCTTGTTGGCGCCCCAGAGGGAGGCCCCGAGGCCGCTGAGCTGCGAGATGGTGCTGCTGGCTTGCTGGTACTGGCCCTCGGCGCCGTGCGCCACGACGCCGGGTGAGATGCCCAGGTACGGCGTGTCAAAGGCGAGCACGCCCTGGATGTACGGGAACATGAGGGCATTGAACGACGGCGAGTCGGGCTTTTGGATGCCGTCCTCGGAGTAGATGGGCTTCTCTGAGGCCAGTCCGATGAGCATCTCGGCGGCGACGATGCCGCCCATCGAGTGGCCGATGAGGATTGTGCGCACCGACGGCTCGATGGTTGGCGACGGCGTCCCAGCCGCGACCTCCAAGTCGATGACCTTATCCTGCAGCCTTTTGCGCGCGGCGGGCACCGTCAGTCTCAGGCGAAGTCCTCAAGTGGGCGTTCCAATACATCACTTACCAGTCGCGGAAGCGGCTCACGCAATCTCCAAGATCCCCGCGAGTCTCATACTTTGGATACACGAGCACACGAACATCTAATTTGGGCAGTGCATGGGCAACCAGGTCCCGAAGGTGCTTGGTGAACTGATAGTCGTGGCCAAACGTGTCTTCGCCGCCCTGCGGAACATGGCATCAGCGAGCTGTCCCTCGACGACCGCTGGGCTGCGAGTCACATAGAGAACGCACCTTGAAGCCGTGGATGAAGCAGAGTATCAACGTCTTCTTCATTTTGCTGTCCCGGCCATTGACCTCGCGATGGAACGTCGGTAGTTGTCTATCGGAAGACGCGATGGTGTAAGATGTGGATGGCTGTGTAAGGCTGTGTGGCGAACAACCCGCTAACACCTGCCGACGGAGCTGCGTGACCTCCAGCAAGAATACATACGCCAAACCACCTGACGCCTCTATATGGCGGCCATACGAGACATTCTTACAACTACATTCCATTCGAAGTTGGACTACGGTCTTGCAGAAGAAAAATACGCTCACATCAACATCTATTAGAATACAGTTTACTTTATCTAGACACACAGAGCGAACTTGTTTAGCCCTTTGCAGGCTCGATGGCGTCCGTCCAGAGCCCACCCTTGGCAGCATTGCCCGGCCTTGGCTCCGGACGATCCATCCATTGTATGGTATTGGTTGCCCCCTTCTTTCCTTCCCCTTTCCTGGAATACACGTGCATGACACCTGTCCTGCCTAACGCCTTTGCATATATCATCAAGCAATCACTCCAAGAAGCCCCGTCTCGAATGGCCTCCATCAAGTCCCGATGAATGCCATGCGGCCGGGTTGTTTTTAATGTCCATCAGCACAGGTCCTCGCGAAAGGTCCTGAGGCTGCAGTATCCGCCTCAGTCCTCATCGCTCTGGGCAGCAGTGCTACCGCCATTCTGTTCCCTTGAGCTGCTTGAGATCAACTTGATCCGAGTTCCACTCGGCTGTGGTGTGCCACCGCTTCCAGAGGGTGCTACCGAGCTATCCTTGCCTCCATCTTCGAGTTCCTGGAGCTCGGGGTGTGTTGTCAAATGCTCCTGGTACTTGGCGTTGAAGAATTCCTGTCCGACGGTTAAAACTGACCAAACAAAATCCTACGCTCGGGGTATCAGTTATTTCACTCACCTGCATGGTTTTCGCATCCTGATAGAGGATACTTCCATCCTCATTGTAGGTTTGGCAGTTGACAATCATCAATTCGAAGTCCTTGCGCAAGGCGCTGAGACTGCCGTACTCCTCCTTCTTAATCCTCGTCGAGATCTGGTTCATGCAGATAGGATTAGAAATGATGAGGTAGTAGTCGGCATAGTCGCGCTTAGGAGGTAGCTTGATGAAGGGCCCAATGATCAGTCGCTTCCCGGCGTCAGATTCATCGTCCTCTGCTGGAGGCTCAATGTCGTCAACCTCCAGAAGCATAAGCGCATCATACAACGATCGCAGGCTCTTTTGAAGCACTTCGCGTTGCTGGGGGAGTAGGCGGGAGTCGCTGGCGCCCACTTTGCTGGCTCTTCCTTGTGGTCCACGTCGCTTCTTGGCTGGTGGCTCCTCGGTGCCCTCCTCAGCCTTACGCTTCTCATTCTTGGCAACAGGCTTGCGGCCACGCGGCTTCTTGGGGGTCTCTTCAACCTCCTCGCTACTAGCTCGGCTGGCTGTCGGAGATTCGTCATCCCCACCTCTCTTATCCCGGTTGGCTTCGCGCCTGTCTTTGCGCGCCTGTTTGCGCGCCGCCGCAGCTTCAGGAGAATCATCATCATCGTCCACAGCCATGAGCCATTGCTCCTCGGTGAGTCCATCGTCATACTTGACTTTGGTACGCTCACGCGCACCACGGCCCAGTATCACCTCCTCGGTATCTTCCTCGATGGGGTTGCCATCACTCAGGTAGATATCAGGCAACTCCGAATCACCCATCAGTCGTGGCTTGAGGCCGGAGCGGTTACCGTAGATGTTCTCTTTCTGTCGCTGCTCGTCCATTTTTTGGAAGACGGCAATTTCCTCGTCGCTACGGGCGAGTAGCATGTTCAACTCATCATCTTCCATCTCCTCCTGCTCGCCGGATTCGGCCATGTCGGCCGTCTCTAACAGCGTTCGGAGCATGGCGTCACGGTCCGTTTCTGACGATTTGTTATCGAAGCGACCGGCCTGGATAACCTTGCCGTCCATGTCCAACTTGAAACGAGCACGCTCCAGAATCTTCTCCTCGACAGAATTCGAGCTAATCAGTCGGAGAATACGCACTTCATTCTTCTGACCGATACGATGAGCACGATCCTGAGCCTGCAAATCCTGGTGAGGATTCCAATCCGAGTCGTAGATGATGACAGTGTCGGCCGTTTGCAAGTTCAGACCGAGACCACCGGCACGAGTCGACAACAGGAAAATAAAGTACTTGGAGTTGGGGGCGTTGAACTCTCGCAGAAGATCAGAACGTTCATCGGACTTGGTCGTACCGTCCAATCGAAGGTACTCCGTCTTGCGGTAGCGTAGGTAGTCTTCCATGATGTCCATAATCGCAGTCATTTGGAAGAACATCAGGACACGATGGCCAGTTGCCTCGTACTTGGGCAAAATCCTGTCCAGCAGCTCGAATTTACCGGCTGTTCGCCACAACAAATCGTTGCTGACGTTCAAGGGGTTCATCACATTCTCCACAATGTCAAAGACGAAGGGATGGTTGCAAAGCTTTCGAAGCTGCATGATCATGTTGCTCAGACCACGAGCACCAGTCTTGCCGCCCTTGCCGTCGCTAACAACAAGCTTGTTGTGGGTGACCATCTGCTTGTAAAGACGAGACTGAAGCGCAGAGAACTTGCACTTGATGACCTTCTCGGTCTTGTCGGGAAGATCCTTCTCGACATCCTTCTTCAACCGACGCAGCAAGAACGGGCGCAACACCTTGTGCAGACGTCGAATGACGAGGATTTGTTCTTCTTCAGTGAGTTCCATCTTGTCCTGACCACCAGTGTTGGCGAAGGGAGTGTTGAACCATTCATCAAACGTCTTGACTGACTTGAAAATGTTGGGTAAGACGAAGTTGAGCATGGCCCAAAGTTCGGACAGGTTGTTTTGCAAGGGAGTACCAGTGAGAATAAGTCGGAAGCGAGTAATGTAGTATTGCTGAATGGTGGCGCTGAGCTTGGAGTTCGAGTTCTTCATACGATGACCCTCGTCAATAATCATGTGGAACCACTTGATCTTACTGAGAATTGGTCGATCCTTGATGATGTATTCGTAAGTCGTCAGTAGCACCTGGAATTCACCGCGTCGGATCCTGTCCTGGTGCTGCTTACGGGTATTCGGGGGACCCTTGTAAACAACACGGCTGACCGACGGAGCCCACTTTTCGAACTCGAGGTTCCAGTTGGTCAGCGTACTTAGCGGGACAATGACTAAGTAGGGACCGGGTTGCTGCTTTCGCTCAATCAGGTACGTGATCAAACTAATGGTCTGAATTGTCTTTCCGAGACCCATTTCATCGGCCAAAATACCGTTGAGATTGTTGTTGTAGAGAGAAATCATCCACTGGAGACCCTTGATCTGGTACTCCTTCAGACTTCCACCAACGAGAATGTTGGCCTGCTCAGTAACCTCTTCGCGGACACGATGTGCCACAGCGTAGTAGTCGATCTTCTTTCCACTCTCCTCTTCATCTTCGACTTCACTCTCCTCGTCCACATAGGACCCGCCAGTCTCATCGGCATAACGCTCGGCAGCCTGGCGCTGTTGGGCCTTGACGGATGCGGCAAGTTGGTGCAAGAAGCCATCAGTCTGCTTGAGCAAGTGGGTAATACGAGTATCCTTGGCCTGGTCAAGCAGCTTAAGATAGGCCTCTTCATCGTTGGCCTTAAGAGCCTGCAGACGCTGCTTGGCGGTTCTCTCAATGCGCTTCTGCTCTTCCTTCTCAATGTTGAAGTGCTGGGAGTACATGAGTCGGCTGAGCTTATGCGACTTGGTTCGTTGCGCGGAGGCAGACTCCTGGATCTCCTGTCGGTGGTTGTAGATAGCTCGGAGGAAGTCGGTGTGCTTCTTCTTCTCGCGATTCTCGCGAGCATCGCGCTGCTGCTTCTCGAGCTTCTCAGTGATGCGGGCTTCTCGCACGTTCTGCTTCTTCATGCGACGGTAGTTGGTCCGGTTGGTGGTCATGGCTAGGTTGTCGTAGTGCATCATTTGGCGTCCAATCTTGTCTCGGAGAGCACGTTGCTTGGCGAAAAGAGCCAGACTCTTCATCTCGATAATCGCCTTCCTCTTCAGGGTGTCATCGGCCTCAACCGTGTCCTTTGAAGAGTCCCAGTGAGCGAGGTCACCAGGCAGATCTTTCAACTCAGCGTAGCGCTGTCTCATTCTGTTGGAGACAACAATCTCTCGCTCCCATCGCAAGTGGTCAAAATCGATGCCAGTGGGGAACACGCCAGGGATGAACCATCGGTTCTTGCGTTGGGAGTGGTCGAAGTATTTGATCGATGGGCGGATCATGCTCGTGCCGTAAGGCGACTTGACAGTCTTGAAGGTATGAGCCTTGGGAGCGCCAGAGTTGTCATCCTGCATCGCAGGCTCGGGCCCGTTGGCAACAGCCTTTCCAGCGTCGGGGCTGGCTTGGCTTGCCTTCGCAGAGGATGCGCCCAGACCAGCATCAGTGGCAGCAGCTTGTCTGCGCTGACGCTGGTTGAAGATGGCCTGCTGCAATTGCACAGAGACACCAGCGTTCTTGCCGAGAAGCTTGAACGCATGGATCTGCTGTCGCAGCAAGGCAAGTTGCTGTTGGCTGAAATGGGTTGACGAAGACGCGTTGGAGGGCGAGGCGCCGCTGGTGGCCGTCGCGGAAGGGTTCTGGTTCGGCATGGCGGAAGCACTTAGGGGATTAGAAGGAGGCTGGACACCTTGGGGCGCGACCTGTTGACGGGCGGCCTGAACGCCATTGACTGAAGCACCATTGGTCGCATTCTGCATTTGCTGCTGAAGTTGTTGCTGTGCCTGTTGGTGCTGTTGTTGCTGTTGCAGGTATTGTTGCTGATTCCGGCGCATGTTGTGTTGCTGTTGGAAACTCAACAAGAACTGAGACGCCTTGATATACTCGGGGTCTGTGGGTGGCACACCCTGCTCCTTCATCTGCTTGAGTTTCTGAAAACGAGTCAGCCAGGAGGGAACTGCGGTAAATTTCAAGCGGCAAACTCAGTCATGCATGGGCAGCGCGAAAGGGGAACATACTCGGAAGACTTCCTCGGCTTGCTGTTTAGTCGCGCCAGCGGGCATAGGCGCGCCGGGATGCTGGACCGCCGGGGGAGCTTGCACCGACGCCATGGTGATGGTGGTGTTGAACGCGCGATGGTGGTCGACAGTGGATTGTCCAATAAATAGATGGGCGTAATCCGGTTATCTATGTTGCATGTCGAGCGTGGCGTTTGGGATCGATATCGATGCTCGTCGCGCGAGGGTCAAGGCGTGTGGAGTTGTCGCGAAAACAAAAAAGAGTGTCGAGAAGGAAATCGAGGGCGAAAGCGAGCGCGTCGGGGTGGTGAGAAGGAGCAATGGATGGCTGATGGCGGACAGCGTCGTCAAGTGGTTGGCGACACGTCGTGGATGCGCGTGGGAGAGGCTCGGTTTGATGGTAGCTGCACACGGGTTGGGGAGCGCCGCGTGGAGGAACGAAGAACGGGGAACAGGCGAAGAGAGCCCGCGAAATGTCGTTGTCCAAGGGAAAAAGTGTGTTCTGTGGCGACGGGCGCGTCGGGGCCGGTGCCGGGTGCCGGTGCGGCGTGCAAATCGCGTGCAACACGGATTTGGCGAGGTCTCGAGATGGGAGCCGATGGTTTGAGAGGGCCCTGGCGATTTTTTGGATGCGCGCGCTCGCCGTTGATGATGGGGAGTGGTGAAGACACAACTGGACAAGATTCAGCGTGATGGTTGGTGCGGTATTGAGACGGCCGGCCACAGTATTTCTCAGCACGGCCCCCCTGCATGGTGACCACGAACGGCAGGCTGCAACTTGCGCCTGAGGCACCCATGTCTCAATTGGCTGGAAACGGCGCGGAACAATTTATTACGAGTACATGCACGTGACCACCGAGTCCATCGTCTCTGTCTTCGATACCTTGTCCTCCCCAGAAATTGTAAGTACTCTGTAGCAAAGGGTATGCCGATGTGGGTAAAGTAGCCAAACTGTCTGCTATCGAGGCAACGTTTTGCCGTATCGCGTGAGTGGGTCCTGGCTCGTTGTGGGAAAGTGAGGCGGCAGCTTGTTTGCATCCACCAAAAGCGTTTGCAAACGCGTCTCGGCGCTTTACGAGGGGTGTTACACGAGCCTTACATTATTGGGGCGTCTCCTCCAAAAAGCGCAGTCAATCGCCCGAGATGTGTTTGTCGCATCACCTCCTAGCCTTCTTCTTGTCGGGGCCCTCGTCCTCCTCGTCGCTGAGTTCTGCATATTGAGTCTGGGGTTGCGTCTTACTCCAGGCCTTGGTGAACATGGGATCACTCTGGGCCTTGTCAGCATACTTTAACAAAGCCTCGCGCGGATCTTCGTGCAGCATGCGCGCCAGGGGAATGTTTTCCGCAATGCGCTGTTCGTCGGGCTGGTTCTTCTGGAACGGCGTCTGCTGTGGGATGTTGGGGCGTCGGGGGTCCTTCGATCGGCCGGATGCCGTCACTCCAGCCCGTCGCGAACCGGATAGTGCACCTGGAGTCACAATTGCGTCTCCAGAAATACCCACGGATTGGTCCATTGTGAATTCGGGGTTATCGTCGATGTGGCGCTTCTTCGGGGCTCTTGACATGACTTCTACCGCTCCGCGACTTGACATTGTAGGATTGTAGAGAACGTGAGTCTCCGCGTTAGCTGAACCTGTGATGATCTGGTTAATCTTGGGGTGCCAATCCACGGTGATAAGAGCCGATCCAGGTGTTATCGGGGTGACGTGTTCTGCCCGCAAGTTGCCCGGGTTTAGGATGTGGAGATGGCCTGTCGCAGACCCGGTGATGATGCTCGTCGAATTGGGTCCGTATCTGATGTTGCTCGTTGCGTAGTGATCCGATGTCGAGGGATGCGAAACCGTCACGAGGGGCTTGGTGAATTTTCGAGTATCCCAGAGCTTGATCAAGTCGTCGCCGCCGCGCGTGACAATCATGCGACCGTCAGCGGAGATGTCGATACCACCTGTCCATGTCTGGGGCTTATGGGCGTCCCGGATTTCTCCTGCAGGACGCGAGAAAGGGCTGTTCCCGCTATACATGACAAGTGAGCCATCCAGTGCTGCTGCGACGAGGATATTGTTTCCTCCTTGCGCGGGAGAGCCCCAGGCTACCGTCGTCATCTTAGTCCTGCCAGCCGCACCGGCAGCCTTAGACTTGAACACAATAACCTCCTTCTGCGAGCGCTTATTATTGATGTCCCAAATTCTCAGCGTGCTGTCTGTTCCTGCTGTGACGCAGACGTTCTTGTCTGTGGGGTGCCAAGTTCCTGTCGTGATTTCGGAAATGTGGCCCTTGGTGTTGTGCATGTCGCGGAGGTACATGTCTCCCTTGACGAACTCGGTCAAGACATCTCCGTCTCGCGACATAATCCGAGCTTGTAGGTGCGCGGAGATGCAGAGAAACACGCCACCGGACTGCGGGTTGAATTCCACATGGTGTACTGGGTGGGACTCGGAGCTGGCGGCGGAAGACTTCGTCTCGAAGGGGTCAACGCTTCGAAATGCTCGTAATGTCGTCGGGGTCATGGAGGTGAAATCGTGGAGCTTGACGGTGCAATCCAAGGATGCTGACGCCAGGCGCCCTCCTGTAGGATCCAGTGAAACTGTAGTGACAGCGCGGTCGTGGGTCTTCAGCACCAGCTCATGGGAGACTGGATACTCGTCGTCGTCGTCGCCGGAATCGTCGCTGTCGCTATCGGAATCGCTCGAATCGTGTGCCTTTTTCGGCTCTTGTAGCCGTTTTCCCTGTCCACCGCTGCCATCCCCGCCTGATTTGTCCACCACTCGCCGGCTCCGGTCGATTTGGGCTGCAATATCGGTCTCCTTGGACTTCTTACCAAAAGAAGTAGGCAGGAATGCTCTCATAGGGTCATCGGCAGCCAGGTCGGGCACCTCGACTTCGTAATCATCGTCGGAACTCATGACGAGCAGGCGTCGGGGCGAGCGCCAAGAGGGTATGTAGGTGAAGGAAGGAAGAGACGGCGTGGGGGGACGAAGTAGGGCGAGATTTAATCTTCAAGTGGGTGGGAGGGCGGTCTTGTCATCCGGGTTCAGCGCTGGTTGGGCTCTCGGACTGGGAAGCCTTTGCCCACCGCCCCGATTATTTTAGGCCCTGTTTGCGGGGGGACAGGATGTCATCCCATGAACGGCAGATTGACAATCCCACGCCACCACTGCCTAGACCGCTCTGGCTGTGTCTCAAGCCATCGCAGTTGGGAAATATTAGGCAGTCTAGTCTGGTATGCCAGCCTCCGTCTTGCTCTGTTGCTCCGGGGCAACTTACCGCCGTTGAAACGGAGCATTGCTCGTTCATCTGTCAACTCGAGACAGTTGTCAATTGCCTCCATGTTGGGATGGCCATCGGAACTACCGTGAGGAGACGGCCATCCCATGGCGCGACGCACGTCACAGACAGGACCCATACCGCATTGCATTAAATCACACCGCATGTTCCACGTTATTGAGGGCTGCGCTCCGTGGCCCTTCTGGGTCTTCGTGTATCCACGACTAAGAACACTCCGGCCACCCAAAATCTCAACCTGCCATTCTCCGCAGTTCCATCCTTCTTCGTCCTTACTCGCACTTCCAACCATGATTGATACGCTCCACCCATTCCTGAAATACGGATGCACTAGGTCGGAGATGTAGTTAATTGGCCTTTGGTCATGAAGGCAAAAGTTGCCATCTCAACTAAGTGAGTCGCTGAGTAGAGAATGCATGTCATGGTGAATTAATCAAGTTTCCTAAATAGAAGATTGCATTTGAACAACAGAGATATGGCGTCAGTCGTGCGTAAGATGCATTGTTCTGGCTTGCGAGAGAGCAGTTTCGAAATCTTCAACGAGGGACAAGGCCAAGGTGGTTCGTAAAATGCAATGAGCTGATTGGTCACTCACCTTCCCCGGAAGTGTTTGCACACCCAGATCGGTCACTCACCGTGAACTTCTCGTCGCGCTTTACGCGAATCCATCTGCCGTCCAACCTTTCCCACCCCACCTTCTCACACAAAAATGCCACCCGATCCCCTTCTCGATGAAGAGGAGCAATATGCTTCATCCGAGGATTCCGATTTCGCGCCCGATGCGGCCGCGGATCAGGCCTCAGACCATTCTGGATCCGAGGACGACGGCGACAAACCGACCAAGAAACGAAAGCCGGTAGACGATGTGGATGCGGCCGATGCTGGCTACGACAACTCTGGCGACGAAGCGATTATCAAGAAAGGAGAGAAGCGACGGAAGAAGAGGTCGAAGCGAGTGGACGAGGATGACGAAGGCGGCGAGGGAGGGTTGATCAAGACTCGAAGGCAGCGCGCAGCAGAGTAAGTGCTCCTATCCGGTCTCATGGAGGAAGCACATATTAACTCTCGAGCAGAAAAGAAGAGCGCAAGTATGCCACAAATACCGAACCAGTCACTGTCGATGTCGATGCTCTCTGGGCACAGATGATCGCAGGACCAGCAGTCGCTGGGACGAAGACCGACGAAGCGCAAGACGGCAGCGGCAAGCCAGACACAGAGGCCGCGAGCTCCAAAGAAACTAGTGATGACAAGCAGTCAGGCGACTCTACGGCACCCGACGACTCGTCAGCGATGATCCGTATCAAGCGCACATACAACTTCGCCGGCCGAGTCCACACAGAGGAGAAGCTAGTGCACCGCGACTCCGCCGAAGCAAAGCTCTACCTCGCATCGCAAGCACCAGATGCACCCTCAGAGGAACCTGCCGCCAAGCGCATCACTAAAAAGGCATTCCGCTCCGCCTTTGAGCCGTTGACCGATCCGCTTCCCCAACGCGCAGATCTCAACCTCGGGATGGCAGCGCTGATCAAAGCTGGCAAAGAGGCGCAGGCAAAGAAGCTCAATACGGTGGAAAAGAGTCGTATGGATTGGGCTGGCTACGTGGACAAGGAAGGCATCAAAGATGAACTCGAGTTGGCGGGCAAGTCCAAACATTCATACACGGCCAGGGAGGACTTCCTGGCGAGGAGCGAGGCGAAAAGGGACGAGGACTCAAGAAGAGCAAGAATGTCTGGACGGGTATAAAAGAGCACTGGATTATCGATGGAGTTTGGGATATAATACCACGGATTGGTTTTCTTGTACACTCGATTGTACAATATGAGCAGGGAAATTTGGGCTCCTCAGCATACGGTCACTTGCATAGGTAGTAGATGTACGGCGTCGGTGGAACAGACTCGGGCCAGGGTTTCCCTAATTGCGCAATATCCATACCTTGTCTATCACTGAATGCTCTAGTTTATTGAAAAGATATGGCAAACGCGGAGGTTAAGCATAGAAAGGTGTTGGCTCATGGTTGTGTCGTCACCAATCATAGGTAGTGGGGCAGCCTCGCATCCCACCACAAGGCTGAGTGATCCGTCGCCAAAAATTTCCATCCAGCATAACCACAGCGTCCCGACCGCCGTTGCCCGACAGCACCCTACCACCTAATCGCAATCCAAAATGGCCGTCCTCGGTAAGCGAAAGGCCCGGGAGGAGCCCTCTATTTCACAGGAAGACGCCGCCGCCATCTTCCGGCGGCACTTTGAAGCGCAGTTCTCGCCGCTCCCGGCCAGCCAGACCAAAGCTGCCAAAGCTGCGCCCGCCGATGGTGTCGACGATGAAGACACTGAGGACGACGAGGAGGAAGATGAGGAGGAAGATGGAGACGACGACGAGTGGGGGGATCTTTCAGGCGACGAGTCCAACGAAGAAGAAGAAGGCATGTCCTCAATAGCGTCTGTTTGGGAGCATTTCAACTAACCTCGTTCAAAGCTGCACCGATCGAAGTCGTAGACCATTCTGGCGCACAACCACCCAAACCAACACCCATGTCCAAACGAGAATACAAAGCCTTCATGGTAGGTTTTATCATAATTGTTCTCCTACATCACGACTAACCAGTGCGCTTCCAGGCCTCCCGCCCACCCGACCAAACCTCCCGGCCCACCGAACAAACCATCACCACCTCATCATCCTCCACTACAACCCTCCCCGAAGACGCTCCCTCCCTCCTCGCGCAGGATCTCGAACTTCGCCGTCTCCTCGCCGAGTCCCACCTCCTCGCCCCCGCACTCGCCGGAGCCGGCACCGCCGTCGCACCCAAGGCCTTCGCAGCCGGCAAAACCCGCCAAAAGGCGACCGACCTGCGCGTCCAGGCCCTTGGCTCCAAGCTGTCCATTCATAAGCAGGAGAAGATGCCCATGAACATGCGCAAGGGCATCGTGGCTGCCGCTGGCGCTCGCGAGTCCAAGCGCAGGAGAGAGGCCAAGGAAAACGGTGTCATTCTCGAGAGGGAGACTGGCAAGAAGTCGAAGAAGAGAGATCGAGGGCGGGACTTGGGCGTTGATCGGCCTGGCATAGGAAGACTCAGAGGAGCTGAGTTGCGACTGAGCGACAGAGACGTGAGAGGTATCGAAGGAGTGAGAGACACATTTGGAAGACGAGGGAGGAGATAGGGAAGCCTTGGTCAGCCAGGGGGCGACAGAGAGATTGACATTTGCGCGGCACACGGCGCATGGAACTGTTACGGCATATACCAGACAGACCTTAGCATCAGGTTCAAATCACATCCACGAAGTAGATATTTAACGATTCTAGTTTCTCTCCATTTGTGATGCATTTAGCCACATCTGATCAAGCGCACTTGTCCATCACTGGTATCACATGGGATATATCATCCCCTCCGTGAAAAAGAAAGGCAGCTTTATATACAGATGCATCCTGTACACGTCCCATCTCCCTGTTTGTCCTCCTCTTGCTCAGAGGCCGAGAGCGGGCTCTTATTTCCCGCCTACCCATCCAAGCTTAATCTATCAGGGTTCTCTCCGTTTTGCCTCTCCACGAACGCTCTGAAAAAAATGATAAAAATAACATAAAAATGAACATATGAAAGGTCCTGGACAGGACGACTTGAAAACACCTAGTGCAGTTCTCCTTGAAAAAATTTAAGCCATAAATCCTCTGTAGTCATAACCCAGATATAAAAAAAAATCGCGAGGCGTGCCGTAATTCCGTTACATCATACCACTAGCGTTGATAGCTGCCGGCTGGCTGATGGTCATGGGCATGCTAAGAGTTTGAAGGCTGTTGAAGGATTGCGAGGGCGCCATGGTGTTGGGGATGGACATTCCGCTCGAGGGTGGTGTTGAGCCATGGGCAATGGCGTTCATGGAGCCGGGCACATAGGCGTGCTCAGAGTTGGGGGAAGCTTCCTCGAGAGAACCAAGCTGGTCCTCCCCAGAGAATTCCTCCTCGTCCTCACCCGAGAGGTTGAACGGTCCTTCTCCACCGTCTTCGCGACCATGGGTACGCTTGTGTCTGCAAGAAGTGATGATTAGCATATACTCAACATTACGGTTGGGTTGCGTTCCAGCGTTGAAGGGGTTGCAGGGTGGGCATATTGCGTTGGGGACAAAGGAAAAACGTGAAGAAAAGAAGGAGGCATACTGTGCGAGATTGTCTGATCGGGAGAATGCTTTGCTACAATGGGGGCAGATGTAGGGTCTCTCTTGTGTATGTGTTCTCACGTGTCTAAGTCGATGGTCAGATTCCGTGTGGAAGATGGACGTTTGTAAAAGAAACAAGAATTATCTTACCGCTTGAGGTGCTCTAGGCGCTTGAAGAGACGACCACAGGTTGGGATAGGGCAGGAGTGGGACTTCTGAGGGTAGGGTCCAACCTCTATGACGGTGGCTGAACGGGCGCGACGAACAACACCGCCACTACCAGGGGCAGGTGCGGATCGTCGCTCGCTCACGGAACCCTCCCTGTGGAATTCCTCGCTGTTAAGCTGAGGGAACTCTTGGTGAAGTCCCATGGGGTGGTGGTTAGGGCTTCCCTCAACAGTGGACAGGGGAGTGCCGTGCCTCGACATGTCAACCACATCCTTATGGTGCTGGCTGTTCACCGAAGCACTGTAGGAAAGACCAGGGGGCGAGTTGTCCGCGGACTCATCGCCTTCAGCCAGGGGACCGACCGAGGCAGAGATGGATCGTCGGAGCTCAGAGGGCCTGTGGGTTTGGGCTGTGTTGGGAGCAGTCGTGGTTGCAATTGCCGACATAGATGGGGGGATGGATGAACGCCGTCTTCTCTGCTTATATGTCGGCGAGCCTTCGATCACAGAGTAGACGTTGTTTGTGCCATATGGGCGGGAGAACTGGGGTCCAGCCAGATTGGAAGGAGGAAGCTGGACCACACCGTTCAAGCCGTTCATGCTAGCCAGGTGGTCAGGAATGGCAGAGTACAGACCGGTCTCTTCGTTGGCGATGTACGCGGGCTCAGCAGAGATCCCAAGGGCCTGTTGGGGAGGCGTAATAGGTTCAAAGGAGATTCCTCGATTGCTGTAGTCCTCATACTGAGAAGAGACGAAGGAAGGTGCCGGAGAGTACTCGAGGCCATAGGCTGGCATGGACGCATGGCGCTGGTGGCCCTGGGTGATGGGAACGCCGTTCTGGTTGTACTGAACGCGCGTGTAATCAGGCTCCCTCTTGACAGGGACTGCCTGTGCCATCTGAGGGGCCACCCCCATGGCTCCATATGGTACCATTGCGTCCATCCCCTCCGCTAAAGGGGGCATGGACTGAGGCATCATGGATGGGGGAGGGGGCATCGAGTCCATCGCCCTCATGACGGGGGAAGTGGACTGGCTCTGGGAGTAAGACGCCTGCTGGGCGCTGAAAGACGACGAGTTGGCTTGTTGAGCCTTGGTGAGCTGCTCGTACAGCGACTGAGAGGAGTCGTACTGGAACGAAAGGGCAGGCTCGCTGACAGCGACGGTAGTGGCTTCCTGGCCCATCTTCTCGCGCTTGAGGTCCCGCTCCAAGGCATCGAGGAACAAACGATCATGAGGCACGCTGTACCAGTAGAAGACCTTTTGCTTCTTCTGGGTTCGAATGCAGTTGTTCTTGTAGAGGAAGTCGAGGAAAGCGCTCTTGGGCTCTTCCAGAGAAGCATCGGTTCCCGACTTCAGGTTTCGCAAGTCGGAGAAAATACCCTCCTCGAACTTCTTAGAGTTCTTGACAGGTCGACCAAAGGCCTGGAATCGGAACGACAGGCATCGCACAATATCGGTTCCAGAGATGTGAAAGAGGTTGTTCCTAAACACGTGTCGAGTTAGCCACAGTCATCTGGGTCCGTTTGTCTTGCGCGGGCGCTTACCAGAGAACGCAAGACACGTATTCGCCGGTTGGCAACAAGAATCGGCGAATGTACTGATCTGGCTGCCAGTCGACGGGGGCAGAGATGAGGAAATACTTGACTGCAGGCAGTGTCAGTTCTCATTGTCGAGGTAATCATCCATGCATGTAAACCTACGGTTATCAACCTGCTGAAGAGCGACCTGGGCATCGTGAGGGAGTGCTTGCTGAGCCTCGGTGCTCAGCATGAACGTCTCCGGCTTTTGGGGAGCCATCCCGGGGTGTTGTGGGTACATGTTGGGCTGTTGTGATGTGGTGTCTGGAGGTGACGTGACCAGTAACGGCCAGTCGTTGTGAAGCCTGTGAGGCTGGGAGTTGCCGGCAAACTAATTTGGCGACTCAATTGAATCGCAGGTCGAACTGCTTCCGATGAGAACGAGATAGCTCGTGGTGATGGTCGCGATGAGGGAAGCGATGTTGTGAGTGGTCGAGGCGCTGCCTGGAGCCGACGTGTTGAGAGATGATGCGTGTTGACCAAAATTCGAGACCAGCCCGGAATAATGGAATCGCTTTGCAATGCGATTCAAGACCCAGCCACTGCGTCGAGCGAGTGGTGCTGGGAGTAGTCGAGAGAGTACCGTCAAGGCGTTGGCGATGGTGGGGGATCGAAGCCGGGTGTTTCGCGCGAAACAGTGAGGGATCGAGCCGGATTAAAGCTGTATGCGAATGGAGAAGAAATTCAATAACGAAAAAAAGGCAACAGGACCGATGGGACGATGCTCATCAAGCGAACAGCGACCTCGTGGTGATGGAAGCACGAAGGGCGACTGATGCAAGAGGGGGTGATGTGCGTCGGGCGGCGTCGGGGGCCTATTGAATGGAAGAGAAACGAGGTTGAGGGCGACTCCGGAATGGGGCGCGGAGACGGTGGAGCGAGGAGGGGAGGGGGGAGGGAGAATGTGAGAAATGAAGGGAAAATAAGAAAACGACAGAAGAAGAGATTTCAGAGAGAATCCAAACGGGCGGGTGAGGACGACTCGGGGGTTTAATGAGTTGTGTGGTAGCGTCGACGGCCGACGGGAGGGCAGGATAGGTAAGGTAGAGAGGGAAGGAGCAGGGTGGATTGGGGATTGGGCAAGCCCAGGCGGCGCGCAGAGGCGAGTGGGTGGGCGAGTAGTGGGTGAGCCGTGAGCCACACACACGCACGGTGCTTTTTTAGGGGACAAGGTGGGATGGGAGGGTGGAGGAGAGGTACCTCTCAGCGGCGCAAGCCAACGGAGCGCGCGCCGCTCCAGCGCAACAGCGAGTGACAGCAACAACAAACCCGACGGGTACAGATCAGAGGTACATTGGCTCCATGCCGTCCACGCTGTTTGCTCCAGGGACAGTCCTGTTCTATACAGTGCTCAGCCAGAAAACCTTACGGTATTATTGCTGGCGCAGAGAGCCTCCAGCCTATGAAGCCCAGAACGCCAGAACACCAGAAAGCTACACGTTGGCTTTTGGCCGGCGAATTCTCATTCCCCATGGATGTGCTACCGCGTCTTCATCGCGCGTCCCTTGCCTCTTCTGTACCGTCCTTCCCCTCGCGCCCGTACTGTACACGCTTCTCCTCGCTCGCTCCTCGGTCTGGATCCTGGGTCTGGTCTTGGGTCTTGGGTCGGGCTGATAGGACCCCTGGTCGTCCAAAAAACTGGGCCGCGTTGCCTTGACCAGGGATGACATGGGCATGGCATGGCATGGTCCACGGGGACAGGCTGCCAGGGGTGCGGTGCCCTCTGTGGATTGTTGTTTCTTGGGGTCGGGTCCGTCCCAGGAGGAGGCTTGTGCTCCTGGCTGCGCCTGTGGTGCCGTGCGCAACTTCGAGTGCGGTGTGGCAGTAGGCGTTTGATGGGCGTGAGGGTTCGGCGTGGGTGTGTACCCGGACGCGCGAGATGAGATGGGTGTGGTTACTCTGATTGTGGTGCCTGTGAGAATCCAGCATGGCTGCATATGGGAGGCGTCGAGTGGAGAGTGCTGCCCATTGCTTTCGCAGATGACCGAGCACACAAACAACACTGACGGACTCGCTGGCGACAGACAGCCACGAAGGATGGATTCAGAGCATGTCAACACACACGAGCAGGGGCCTGGTTGTTCGCTCCCCTTACCGGGGGCGCGTGCTTAGTCCCACGCCCCCTTCCTTCTACCGACCCCCATTACCATCGGACGAGACCTGCTGAACAAGACTCGAGCCGACCGGGCTGGCAGGGGATCGCGGAAACGAAACCGGAGTAGCATTCGCAGTTCCTCGCAAAAGGACATGGCTTTTACTGTACTCCCATGTTGTTCCCTCATGGCAACATTGACGACGAGATTGAGAAGCGACGGCGATCATGCACGCACATTGACTAACGAGCAGGAGGGAAACTCCGCGACACAGGCGTCAAGCGGTTCCTAACACGGCCGCATCAGGTCGCCTGTCTGAGCCCTGTGATTGGGTCCGCAGGTTATTCTGAAGCTTAGCTCGAAGAATCCCAGAGACAATCTCCAGCCGGATGTGCCCCGGCTACCAGCTCAAGTCTGTTGAGCGGGTAAGTTAGGGAGAAGATGACCACCAGAGAGAGAGGCGTGCCGTCTCGTGCGCCAGGGATGCCCATGCCGTCAACCTCCTGCGCCTGCAACTCCGATGGTCAGGGCGGCGACACTTCCAGGGCCGAGGCTCCGTATCATATCAGCTCTCGGGCCTGTTCATAACCCGGATCTCGAAATCAGCCTGTTGACTTGCCCATCACAAGCGTACCAAAACACCGAGCTACTGTGGAGTCCGAGAGATTACAAGCCATCATCACCACCTCGTTCGGGTGTGGACCACCGAACAAGGGCGAGGCGACTGGTTTTAGCGTCCTCTTACCCAGGCTCTCCGCGTTGTCTCCGCGAAACCAAAGAAAACAATCGAAATTATCCCAACCGACCAAGACCAGGTGGCTTAATTATTGGATCCGGAAATGATTCTGACGCTACTTGGTCAACTAAGGCTGATGCCAGCTATACTACCAGTCGCAATCCCACTCGCGGGCACGACGTCAGTGGCCTAATGTCTTGAAGCCACCGTAAGATACCATGCCATATACCTCGTGTACTCTTACTACTACCGGATCCAGATGCCATCATTTAAGACCTTTGAAGGGAGTCCCGTCCTGTCTCTGCTATTAGCGAGCAACTCCACACCGAGTGTCGTCCTGTCTCAAACATTGCGGCTTCCCTCATCCACGTTGTGAGCAATATTGATCGGGTTAAGATTGCCTATCTGCGCCTCTCTCACCTCGTGCTGTTGGTTGAGGGCGCTATATCTCTCAGAGGAGGACGGGGCCAAGCGGATATTTGATTACACCTCCAGCGGCGACTCAGCGTACCGAGCTTCCCGGCGAGACGAGGTGGTCCGTTCGCCGTCTTGCCCACGCGAACCGGAGAGTCGTGTTCCAGAAACTTGTCTCCCAAGATGAAGAATCGACGCTACTTGGGGCACGTCACTGCGGGTGCATGTGTAAAAATCTCCCAGGTCAGCACAGGTACAATTGTGCCTTACATCAGGGCGATGCCACCTGTGCTTGCACTGCAGGATTTTGTGATCTGCGATTCGCTTTACACACTATAGGATCAGTGGCCGCAACGACAGAAGTAACACACTACCACCCGAATTTAGGCGTCCCTAATACATACTACATATGGCGCAGATAATGGCTGTCCCCCTCTTCTCTCTCGAAAGGGCCAGCAGCTCGAACCGAAATGAGCCGTCTAAGGTTGTCTTGGTACCCCTCTCAGAGGTCGCAGTACGACTCCCTGGGCTGAGTCCGTATCCGCATCGCCATGATCTGCGCGACATTTCCATGTGAGCATTGTTTAGATCGAGTCCAAGTCGGCCCCTCTTGGGCTGTTACCATTTCCATGTTAGGAAGCCCACGTAATGAGGGATGGGGCCCTCGACACAACATCAGGCCATTAGAAGACCCTAGCTAGGCTAGAATGTGGTTGTGCTCTTCCAAAGCCGACCGGACCTACCATGCTCCAAACTGGAGATTCTGCAGTTTGAAGAAACAACCCCACCATCTTGGGCCATCGGACATGAGAAGCCATCGACACCTCTCGACACAGACACTTACTCACACTTGCCCACGCTTGCCCGTTTGTTGCAGACTGCATCAGCCAGCCAGCTTTCACCTCGCTCGGGGGTCTGCAGAAAACGGCTACATCTCGCCGCCGCTTTAGACAGCATCAACCGTCCATTCGGACATCAGGAATCAAGGCTACAAGACAGGGATATGGCCCGAGGCACCCAGAAAGTCCGTCCAGAGCAAAGAAGCCTCAGAGGCTCCCAAGGGGGCAGGAATCCAGGATTACTGGCACGCAGACCCTTGCGAAGGCTGAGTCAAGTGTGGGAGGAGGGGGCCTCGTCAAGGTGAAACGCGCCTGCGGGACTGCGTCAGGAAGTCATTCTCGTTTCTGATGCCTCAAGACTCCGCCGGCGCTAATGACACCCGCCCCTCTTCAGTGGCCCTCGAAGTGAGACACGCCCCCTCCAACACGGTCTCTTGTCTGTGTGTTTGTGAGTCTTTGGCGAGCCCAGTTTCCCGCCCAGCCACGCGCTACGCTGCTCGTCCAATTCTTGTTTGTGGACCACATCGAATCAATCGCATCATTGTCATCTTTGGGTATTCATTGGGCGCAAGAGTAGCTTTTGTGGGCCAATAGGTTCGGTTGGAGAAGCCGGTGCGAGCGCCAGCGCCAGTGTTGAAGAGTCAGCGATGGAGGACGAAGCATTCCCCAGAGATACTGCGAGACGCCCATCCGGGAAGCACAGTACTGGTGGCACTCTGCTTGTGATCTCCGTGTTTTGTTGACGACATGTAGCTGTCTGCTCTATTCCATTTCTGAACAGTCACAACCATTCGTTTACATGTCGTCGATGAAATGCGAAGCAGAGTCTAACAAAACGCTACTCTGTCTTGAATGAAGCAGGAAGGCTGCGTGGCTCAGTCATGCACATTAGAACGAGTAGCTTATTGGTCACAGCGATGACCACCGGTTGCATTAATGCTTCTTCGTCCGAAGCCTTTGCAGGTTCTGATCCCTGAAGGTGGCGGCCAGAATGCTCGACCGAGTGGCAACCTCTTTTTGGCGGTGCATTATTCGCCTCCATCATGACCAGTCACATACGCAAATCCCGAGCGGTTTGATCTCCAGGCCCTGAACTGGCTGCTTGATCGTCCCGCGCCAACGGCGAACCAACTCTCACCGTCTTAAGTGATGGTGAGCTCGGACTAGATCCAACTTGAACGCGTTTATAGCTGCGCAAGGGCTTGAAGGCTTGCATCCCCAATGCTCTTAGACACGAAAGCGGGAAAGGCTCCCATGTGGTCGGGCTACAGTAGCATCGGCTATCAGGAATCACCTGCAAAGCCCCTTGGGCAATTTTAATTTTCGCCATCACGACAGGCTACACTTGGGAAACACAATTGGACAGGGTCCTCATCGGATCAAACGGTGTGATGACGGGCTCGAGGCCGCCTGTGTTCTCATACCATCACTTGTTGCCAAACCGCAGGAGGGCGTATTGAGGAAACCACAGGCGCTGTTCACCGTCATGTGCCAGTGACTGGCGATCTGCCGGAGGTGTGGTCGTTTTTTCTGGCCGCGCATGCAGCTAAATTCCCATCAACAAGTTTCTAGCCCTACCACGGTCTTACACACGTACAAGGCCACGGCAAAGAACAGGATCCAGGAGTCACAAAACACAGAGGGCGTTTAGCTCGCCAATCTGATCTGATCAGTGAGGGCATAGGGATCCACTGGGCCTCGGGGATTTGGCCTGCCTGACTGCAGAAACACAGAAGACACAAAACTGATGAAGAAATGGGGGGCGTCAGGGTGTGGGAGAGTGGCGAAGAAAGAATCAAACCTATCCAACGGGCCGTTGTGACGCTCGACGCGGGCGTTTCAGAGCCTGGCTAGAGTCCAAAATTAGTACGACCTTATCCCGAAACACCCAATCAACGGCCTGAGGAGCTGACTCCCTGGCGGCACGCAGATGCTCCATGGGGAAGGGTCCAGTCTAGGATTCTGTTCTGGGCAACGATTGGCTCCGCCAGATTCAGAGCCCAACCTCATCTTCATGCTTCATCGTCGCCCACTTCCCCTCCAGCCTCGCGCCCACCCGGCACGGGCCAGGAATAGCAGCTACCCATGGTCGTGGCCGATCTGACCGCGGCCTGAAGAGTGGGTGGGTCGAGCTCCCGAGCCGCTCTTCATCGTGGAATCACAAGCTGAGATGACATCTCGACCAGACGATGTTGTCCAAAGGCTTCATCATCCCCTCCAGGTCGGCGCCAACTGAAGGATGAAAAAGACAGGGGCTGGAAATAGAACCTGGTTCTGTTGAGTGATGGAGCGGGGGCCTTTGGTTCAGCTTGTCGGCATCTCCAGTCCAGGCCTCGAGAGACCAGCCCGGACAACCTTCCTCGTTCAGACGGTTTAGCTCGGTGAGGAGGTGGTATGGTATCCCACAAGCGTCCTCGCTTCCATACTTCTCCGCCAAACGCCAACCCCGAATGCTACTATCTCTGGGGATATCTTGACTCGGCACAGTTCTGGAGGACTATTTTCAGATCTTGGCTGGTCTATCTTGTCAAAATAGCCCTGCTAACAGGCCTGAAACAGCCCAGGCTCGATGACTGAGCCGTTGAAACAATGGCATCTTCTCCAGCAGCAAGCACCACCGCCACTGCCACCGTCACCACCGCCACTATCCACCGCACTGGGTCGGGGAGGAGGGAATCGTCTCTTTTCCCCGAGTACGTGCCTTGCATGAAGTGAGACGGCCGATCTTATCGTCATCCAGGCGTGGGGACGGGGGGTTGTAAGCCGGCGCAAACTCGGTCCTAGTCTACTTGGTCCCCAGTCTAAGTGGAAGACTCGGTTGCAACTCTTTAACTGGACCAGCGCTGGGATTCCGCGTGCCTGACCTGGGGATGTCTGTTCCTTCTCGTGCAGAAGCCGAAACCTCATGGGGAGTCCCCTGCTCCCGCGCTCAGGTACATGAAACGCCCAAGGGGTAGCCACGCGATCTTCCAGAACATCTTGAAGCAGGCAGTCACGCATCTCAGACACCAAGGCCCTCGCCTCCAAGTTTGTTTCCGGGGTACCAAGGGTCCAGATCCCGTGGCTTTGCTAGCAGTGTCCACTAGGCCTTGCAGATACGACCAGTTGGCGATGTTACTGTGCCTGACCCGGTTGCACTCTTCCCTCGCTGCTTGACTCATGCCCCCAGCGGCCATCTGAGTCTCGATCCTTGGCCATGGACGGTGGTCCCTCATCTGCCGCTACAGTGGCAAATAGTGACTAGGCAATCCGGGTGGCGGGTTAAGGTCGGGCCCGTTGCATCTTCTTGCTTCTTTCGGCCGGCCGTGACAAGCGTTGCGCCGTTAACACCGTTGATAACAGCCAACTCCTGCATATGGTCACTCGGCTTGGTTCGTCTTTTCCCAAGAGCGGTTCCTGGATTCCCCCTTCTCTCTGCATCACAGTGGCTGGCGGGGCTTGCAGGATCCTCTAGCCTCGGACTTGTCCATGTAAAACGACGCATCTCAAGCTTGACATTAAGCTCGTCGGTATCTCCCTTGAAGGCTTGCAGCAAGCTCCCGCGCCAAGGTCATCAGCGGCCTTTCCTTGCCGGTAGGGCGCGCGTGGATCTAACAAGCGTAAGTCGTGGGCGATGCGGATCTTCTTTCCCAGGTTCAAAGCTCCGAGGTGGAGTTGTCGGACAAGTCCAATACCCTGGCTCCCAGGGATGTTCCTCAGCAACGGAATTGTCCATCTCTTCTTCGGCGGCCCGGCACCGTGATTTGGGGCTGGATTTCTTGCCGCCATCGTGTTCCTTCATTCATGGAGACCTTTCTCGATCAAGGAGCGGTCTATGGCGGTTTCCGGACGGACCCATGACCCCACGTCCCATCATGTCCCATCGCGTACCATTGAAGCCCCCTATCGTGAAACAGCCATGGCTCCGTGAAGCAGGCATCCCCGGCACGACAGCATAAACTTGGCCGGCGGCAAACCCACATCTCGGCGGTCCCCGACTGGTTGACGCTGCTTGGTGAGCTTCTCATCACAGGTTATCCCCGGGCTTGCCAGCCACTTGAGGGTTTTGGCCGAGACGGCAGAGCGAAAGCCCCAACTGACGGGCCCCATTATCCGCCCCAGGAGGCCTGCGCTTCCGCACGACGAGGTCGATCGGCTGGCGGCTGTGTTTCATAGGCCATCTCCCATGCAAAGAATATTCTCCGAGTGGGCAAGCTGCGGGCAGAGCGGTGCTGGAGGCGGCGCGTAGGAGCTAGCTGTATCAGATTCTTTGATGCATCGATGAATTCGGCCATGTCATTGTGTCATCTGTTTCTTCTCTTGTCAGCCTCGGGGTCGAGCCGCCATCCATACCGGATACGGAAGTATTTCCTTGTCTGGAGATAAATGGGCATCTGTAGCTAGGCCTCGCCGATGTAGGCCTTTTGTCATGTACTGTGCCGCCTGTCGGCCAAGCTTGTTTTGACAGCCGAAAGGGTCAAAGCGAGTAACAGAATTTCGTATAGCGGGGAACGATGAACTAACTGAACGGAGTCATGACAAATCGCAAGGTTGTGTCAATGTCTTGACGCGTTTTGACTATTTTGGTGTAAAGTGTGGAATGGTGTAGGGTAGACGACGCGTTGAGGCGGACTTTCACTTGGGAACTACTGAATTTGGCAAGTTCATCGAGTACAGGAGTATACAGGACTTTGATAGTGGCGCATTTGCTTGGGATGACTTTTCATTGTGGTCTTCACGCTTGCTTCGGTATCTGATACATCGGACTTGTTTGCTGCGCAATTTTAGAGACAAGATACGCGTTGACTGATGAACACAAGGGTTGCAAATGATACGCGAACATAACATGCCGTGTTAAGACCCAATAGAGTCAGCAATGGTAATGAGACGGACATATTGGCAAAAGTTTCATTGTGTATAGTAGAGGGTATCATAAGTTTATCCTGTCCCCTGTTTGTACACATCTCCAAACGCCAGGCCAGAACCCAAGAGCCGCGATAGCACGAAACACCAAAATCCCCGAGTTTCCTTCCCATACATTCGCCAAAACGCAGATCAAGTATCGTACGTTTCAGGACAACGCGTGTCTTCTGGATTAAATAGAGAACATCCGACATGATGACGAAAATGTGGCTTCAGATGAATGGAAATATTCGCTGAGCCGAGCTGTAGACCCCTGCCGGCGTGACCGAAGACTGATCAAGTCCTCAATGTAGAAATAGCGTCGACGAAAAATTCAGACAACTGTCGGAAAGAAAAACGCGCTCGTCCACCTCAGCGAAATCTCCATATCTGGGTCTTCATCTGGTGAGATGTTTCTGAGGCTTGCAGCCCAAATTTTGAGGTTCGTCATAGATCCGAGTAGTCGCCGCTGAAGCTCCATATTGTCGGAGCTGATGGGTTCTTGGGTTGGGGAAGGGACCCGAGCAATTGGGTATGAAATCATCTCACGGTGAGGCGACACCTTGGGTAGAAGTGATTGCTGACCATTCCTATCTCGATATGAGATGTAAGTGAAGTAGAAAGTGTCGACCAGAGAGTAAACAGTGTGATAGACGGTGTAAGCCTGCTAGATTACGTGTTTAGTTTTGGTTGGGAATGCAAAACACTAGGCTCTTAGGAAGGACACGCAGAAAGGGACCTGGACAAGAAGACCCAAGGGGATGAGATACACATCGGGATGGCCCCATTCCAGTGGGTACAAAATGTCACCAGGAATTCTGTCCCAGGGGGTGGCAGTGACCTCTCGACCGAAAAGAGGAAGATGCAGTCGAAAGCTGACGTTGGAGTAGTATGCCTAGTGTCTGTCAAAATGCAAGTTGTGACGTGATAGAAAGGCGGTGTTCTATACCAAGTATGTTGAAGTTCCGGATGCGTCTAGTTGATCTGGTTAGCAAGATAAAGCCAACTGTCAGGAGCACACGCACCGAGGTTCTCGCAGTTCGGCGAATATCTAGAATAGTCGGTTGTCCCGAGTACGGAGCACCGCTGCGGACGATACGACGGGTTTGAAATCCCCAACATGAGGAATAAAAGTGTAATCGTCGTCAGCTCAAGGGTAGTAATGGGATACCCTTGTCCGATGCGCCAGAACTTGTTCACAGGAAAGAAGAGTTGTTCAGCATCAATCGGGAACCCGTCAGGATAATCCGAACTAGTGAGGATAAAGCCCCCCATATTAGCAAAGAAGGCATGCATTAACGACCATTCTCGTCCTTGGAGGATCTCTGGACGCGCATTGAATTTCTGCTTCAAGCTAGACTCGAGATCTGGCTGGGTGAGTCAAAGACACCGACCTTGACACTTCTGCGGGCATTAAAAAGCTGCCCGCCAGCTAATGCGAACAAATAATCCGGCCCGAGGAGGCCAATACAGGCCTGGCTGAGTCTATCGATGACTCCGTGGTACCCTTTGTCCTTTGGCGATGGGACTTTGGGATGTGTCGATACCCCCACGCAAAGCGCGATTGTCAGACAGCAAGACCACAAGAAGAAATAAATCATGAAATACCTCGTCATCTGCCTAGAGCGGCCCTGCCTAGAGCGACTACTGCAGTTATGAAACTCAGTATACAATAATTATCCTTAAGTTATTGGCTATAGTACCAACAATTGCTTCCCAGCAAGCCACGGTTGTTGGTTGGCTGCGACTGGGTTTCGAGCGGCTGCGCCTCCACCTCACATAGGATGGGGATCACCACATTTCGGCACTGAGATAGGGGACACATGACTCGACTTAGTTCAAGTGACTTGGTTAAGCACATCCCATCTGGTATGGGAAACTAGTAAACAGAGTGAGTAACTCAGGAAGGCTGGAGAATAAAAACAACCATGATGCATCAGTGGAACCAACGAAAAACCAAATATTCGACCCTGGAAGCCCTGGAAACACTGGCAAGAATGAGAGAGCAAAAAAGAGTGGCAGACATCAGAAACGCAGCCTTTTGAACACCCTATATACACGTAGTCGCTACAACCATCCGCCCACATTCAACTTTCCAACATGCAACAACCACCGTCTTGTTGGTCTAGAAAGCGCAGCTTCTAAAGACCTCTCAAGACCTCGCCTCTTCCAGTTCAAGCTCGAGTTGTCGGATGCGCTCGCTCTGGTCCTGCGAACCAGTACCGACCTTGCGCTTGAGCGACTCGACCTCGGTGGCCAGGCTGGTGATGATCTTGGTCTGATTCTCAATCAACTCCTTAATCTGGGCCAGGGAGGGCTCGCTGCCGGAAGCGGAGGACGCGACGGCTCGGGGAGTCGAGGTGGTGGCGACGGGCTTGATGGGAGAAGATGGCTTCACAGGAGAAGCGGGAGCAGCAGCGGGGATGGTCTGAGTCTTGACGGGAGCGGCAACAGGTTTGGGCTCAGATCGGATGGGCACGGCAGTGCGCTGGGCAGGGCGCGAGACCTCTTCGAAGCTGGAATTATCGTCGTCCTCCTCTTCCTCAGACTCTTCGTTGTCCTGGTACTTTGAGGCCATAGCAGAAATGGAACCCTTTTGCTCATTCGCGGTAGGGGGAGGAGCTCGAGTAACTACGGCGGGCTTAGGCTCCTCTTTCTTGGGGGCGGGTTTCTCGACAACAGGCGCAGCAACCGGAGCAGGAGCCTTGTAGTCGGAGGCAATCTCCTTAGGAGCAGTGCCATCGTAGATACTCTCAAGGTCAATCTTGGCGGGAATTCCGGTCTTTCCCTCAAGCCACTCCTTGGCACTGACAGCCGGCTTTTGGCCTGTAGCAGGGGGGAAGATATCGGCCTGGAAGGTCTCGGCACGTCGGGGCACGGTGAAAGAGATGGGCTCAATGTAAGCATCATTGACCGTCTTGTAGGCCCTCATGACCTCGTTTTCGTGGACCTGCCATTGTTAGCTCTGTGTCAACACCTGCCATCAGTGGAAACTTACGTTGATGCCTCGTCGAGGAACGAAGGCAATACCTCGCTGCGGGTCGGCAGACTTGTACTCGCTGAGGAACTCGAACTTGTCGTTGTCAAATTCGAAGTATCGAATGTTGCCGTCACTGGTGATAATTAGATTATGCCGTCAAGTCGAAAACCGAGAAAAACCTACCCCTTTCCAGCAAGATACAGACAGTTCGAGCCATCATCTGCTCCATGTCAGCGCGAGCGCATTCAAAAACTTGGATAATGCCAACTTACCCCAGAAAGGCATGCAAACACCGGAAATGGAGTCCAGCATGGTGAATCCGCCAAGGGGCTCAGGGTTTCCGGGCTCCCATAGAGCTAGTTGTCGCTCGCTCATTCTCGAGAAACCGGTCGTGGCGAAGCGGTTGTGCTCACCCAACCAGACAGCACGGCTGTTCTTGGCACCGCCATGGCCGGCGGACTCGTGAACGGCCTTCTCCTGACGGACATCCCACACTCGCACCTTCTTGTCGCGCGAGGTGGTGACGAGCATGTCACCGCTTGCGTTCCATGACAGACTCTGGACGATGTCGCTGTGCTTCAGGGCGAGGGGGGACTGGCCGGTGCCGATATCCCAGATCTTGACGCTGAAGTCGCCGGACGCAGAGGCGAGAATGTTTTCGGCCGCGGGGTTGAAGAGGACTTGTCCGACCTTTCTGATGGTGGAGATTAGCATTCCAGCCAAGACGAAGTTGGGGTGAGTGCTGGGCAACCAACCTCGTGTGACCGGTTAGTTTGCTGATGGGCGCAACGTCGATAATCTCCTCGGCATCGGTGTGGAGCGTGAAGCCCTGGGGGACCTCCCAGATGAAGACCTTTCCATCCTCGGAAGCGGAAGCGATGATGTGGTCGTTGAAGGGGTTCCTGTATGCCTGTCAGCCAACGCTCGAGAGCCCAGTGCAAGGGGCACTATACCAATCGGTATCGAGGACAGCAGCGGTGTGTCCACGGAACAGCGGGATCTGGTCAGGCACCTTTCCTCGCTCTTCCAAGGGGATGACGGCGAACGCGCCGCCACCAGAAGAATCCCAATTGACAGAGAGGAATTCGGGGTTGGCCTAGTTATACCCCTAATCAGCGCGCCAGCCTCTTAAGGTGACCATGGACTGATCCGGCGGGCCGGCACGCACCTTGACCAAGTTTGTATCCCACGCATTGCGGCTGATATGGATATTGTCGTAGCAGAACTCCTTCCTGGTAGACTTGCCGAAGACGTGGCCTGGAGAGCAGCGTCAGCGTGTCAGAACGGATGCGGCGCGGGCGGGAGGTTTGCGCCAGCACGTACGGTACTTGGACGCCCGCACAAAACGGCCGGCCATGATGGCGGTTGGAGGTCGCGACGAGACCGGAAGAACAGGGAGAACGGCGAGGGGCGAAGGAGGAAGCGGCGTCAGTAGGGCGCGAGCGTAGGATCGAGGCTGACGGCGAGGTTGGTGTTTGGGCAAGGTCGGCCGTGGGCTGGAGGAGAGGTCCTGTAGTCGAATACTTGGGTAGCTTCGTAGTGCTAGCTGCTGAAGATGTACTGGGACGACTGCTGCAAAGCCACTGAGAGTCCGCTGCGCCTCGCAAGCTCCCCACTGTCGAGAACCAAGTGGAGCGATGCCTGTCGTCGCTTGACATGGCAACATGGCCGTGCAAGGATGCTACGTATGCTCAAAGCGGCGTCACGTGAGCGTCTCAGCGACAACCAAACCCCATGCTCGCCAACCAATGTGCGACGCGCCTCGTGGCTCCCTCAATGCAAAAACCAACACCGCAACGTTGTAGACACATTTTAGACATTCATTATGATCCCCGGGTTACAGTACAGAAATCCCAAATGCGCAGCACCAGTGCCACCGAACAAAAATGAAACAACCATATCCCTGCCGACGCCTGGAAAGTGCATAAACGGCGCTAATGCCCCCTTTCATCCAACTGCTCGTCACCTCTTTTGCCTGACTCCATCCCAAAGTTCATCAAATTAACAACTCCAGTGTCGCAAATGCCAGACCACACCGTCTCAAACGAGACAAGCAAAGAGGTATCACGAGTCAATCCGCCCACCCCGAACTCCTGGTCCAGGCGTGTGTCATAGATCCATCATCCCGGCGTTGCCTCGTACCTGTGCTCACCATAAATGCCAAAACTAACAAGCATCACTCTCTCAGAGGAACATGCTCTTAGGTCGTGAGTTCACTCGGCGCCCGGATGCTCGGCGGCGCAGCTGCTCTTCCCGTCTAAGAACGAGCTGGCACCACTTCGCTCTGGCTCGGGAGTCATCGTCACCGCCGTCGCGCCCGGCAACATCAGACAGGACCTTCATCCAGCCTTCCTTGTCTTCAGCTGTATCTGCGTAGAAGTCGATGACCTCACCGTTGTTGAATCGGATGCGGAAGCCCTCCTCAACAAACATGTAGCCTTCTTCCTCTTCCGCAAATGCAGATCGGCGACGTCGGCCACCTCGTACCGTGGTCTCCTTTTCGGTCAAGGTCCGGCGATCATCAATGAGTCGCTTGGCATTTGCTAGATTAATTGTCGCGCGAGGCTGGCGTGTTGCCTCGTGGTAGGCAGTCAGCTTGGTGCCGACCAGCTTGAAGTATCGTCGGCGCCAGTACTGTAGTATTGTTAGTTTTGGGTCGCGAAAAGTGTTGTAAGGGATACATACAGGGCAGTCACCACCTTGTTGGCTCAGGTGACCCTCCCAACTTCGGGACATTCTCTCCTCAGCCGCCTTGAGCTCTCGAATAGACGAGTTCATGCTCTTGGGCATGTCGTCATCCGTCGCATTCTTAGGGCGAGGGACGAAGAGCAGTTGCAACTCAAGCTTTCCGACCTTGTAGGGAGCTCGTCGGACGACGGCAGTGTTACCACGCTTGCTCTTGACGCTCGACGCGAAGGCAGCTTCTTCAGTTGCCCACTCATTGAAGCAGGCAACCTCGGCCATGTAGGGTCGGCCGAAGCATCGGCTTTCATGTTCTCGGAGACAAACATAAGCTCGGCCGAAGCTACCGTCTTCAGCTGCGAGAGGAGATAGCATCTCGTAAGCAGAAGGAGGAGTGTTGCGCTTCTTAGTTTGGGCGTCTCGCTCTTGCTGCGCGACTCGCTCTTCCTCTTCGCGATGTCGCATCTCAAGCTCCTTGCGCTTCTTGGGCGATGTGAATACCCTACTGAAGGTCGACGTCTTGTGTTTGTGGACTCTAGCTGCCTGAGGAGCCACCTTGACGGGCTCAGGCTTCTCAAGCTTGACGTTGAGGGTGAGCTGGAACTCAAGGTCGTTGGGAACAACGAGTTCGAATTCCTGGCCGATGGGGGCTTGCCGCGCTAGCTCAAGCCATGCAGTTGTGACGCAATGTACTCCGTTGTCCAGCGTGAGACTGAACCAAGTCCGTTCATCTAGTTTTGTTAGAGTCTCATTCAAAAACAGCCAGCTTGCGGTGGATGACTTACTTTTGGGAAGAGGAAGATCTAAATCCTTGACACCCATGACTTTGACGAAGAGACGACCTCGCTCTCCGCTCTCTGGTGTTGCCATCTCCAGGCCAATATCTTCCTCGACCACCTGGTTCAAGGCGGTGGTTGCGTTGCTCTCTTGACCGGGCATCGGGGGAATATATCCTACACTACCACCTACGCGTTTCCGCGTACTCCTTTGGCGCGGCTTACTGTTCCAAGGCTCAACAACACATGAAAGAGGTCGATCCTCCTTGACAGGAGAGTTGCCGACTGATCGGGCGCCTCGCGGCTCGTCGGTGTCTTTATCGCTCGCGGAAATGAGCTTCGTATTCTGTCGCATAAGGTAACCGCGCTGTTGACGAGATGTTACGTTAGCATTGAGTTCTTTAATATCTGACTGGGCGGATTCTGTAGACGCTTGTCCACTGGGAGTGTCATTGTTGACATGGAGTTGTTGACGTGATTGAATAATGGAATGGTTAAAAGCGACCTTTTGTGCCTCGATGACTCTCTCAAAGTCTTGATCAAGGCTGAGGCCCAAGTCAAGATCCAAAGTCAGGCTGCGGTTTTTGAAGCTGGGGTGTCGCTCAATGAACTCGTCACCAGTTGAAAGCATACTCGAGTTCACGTCTTGAGAGAGGCGCTTGCTAAGCCGTTCGGGAAGAACCGGTACATCTGGGATCTCGACACTGACTTGCCTGCGAGCTTCTCGCATGGCGGCAATGTCTGCGGGAGTGTTGGAAACTCGAGTCTTCAGCCTGGAGCCGGAAGCGCTCTTGATTGTCGCGTATCGCTCGGGGATAACGGGTGAGACGGCGGGGGGCTCTGGCTCCTCATCCTCCTCCATGTCGGGCACGGGATGGTGGATGACGGACTCTGGGGTTCCGGGATCTTCATCGTATTCATCCTCGGGCTCACCCCATCCTGAGCCATCGTACTCTGGCTTGGACAGCGGTTGCTCGGGCGTGAAGGGCCGTTGCAGGAAGGCCTGGGCATCAGCCATCTTTGGGGCCTCAGGCTCAGGCGCAGGCGCAGGTGCGGGCTTCTCTTCCTCCTTGGCTTCAGGAATCATAAAAGATTCAAAGCCTCGCGAAAACGAACCCTCCTTGGAGTTGGTACCGAAATCAGGAAGAGACTCATCCAAGCTTCGCTTCGGGGTGGGAGTAGTTGCCCGAGGGGTGGACGCCTCCTCTTTGACCTCTGGTTGTGGCTGTTCCTCGACTGGGTCCGGTTCCGAGTAGTGGCTCTCACTATCGGTATCTCCAGGCTGTTGCATCTTGTCCTCATCATCCTCATAGTCTGAGTCTTCGTAAAACTCAATCTCATCCTCAGGCATCCGGGTAATGATGACGCTGCCGTCTTCCTCCTCAGAGAACTCATCCATGGGGTCCTCAGTAGATGGAATAGGAACATCTGGATCCAGAGGCAACTGGCGCTCGGGGCTTCTGATGGGGCTGGAGCCGGGGGGTGATGAGAAGTTATAGTCGGTCTCCGGCTCGGCAGTCTTGCTGCCATTGACCTTGCGCATGATAGAGTCGCGCGAGATGCGGGGTGGCAACTGGTAGTCACCCAGGCCTGAGATATCACCAACAGCGTCGTCTTCTTCCTGAGCGGAGAGCATGCTGACGGTTGATTCAGGCTCAGATACAGGACTGCTGAGTCGATCACGACCAGTTGCTCGGCGAAGGCGTCGCTCGCGCTGTTGCTCTGCGGCGCTCTTTCCATCACTCTCGTCGGACAACATCATGAGTCTCAACCGCTCCTCAAGCGACATCCGTCCATTGCCAATGTTCTGCATGTCCGACTTGCTCGTGGCGGAAGCGGGTGGAGGAGAAGGCAAGTTTCTATGCGACCCAAGCATCCGTTCTGCAGTCGCCGAGAGCCCGGGGGAGGCTGGCGATGAACCACGGGAGTGGTTGCGGGCATGGCCGAAGGGGGGAAGTGGAGGTAGGGGACGATGCTCTCCGTTGGAGTTGGAGGAGTCAGTGCGACCGTGGGATGGGAGCGCGGCTGAAGCTACTGAGGGAGCATTGTCAGGCATGGGACTGGCTTCGTACTCTTGTGGCCCTCCACGGTGCACCATGGGGCTGTCTCCTCTCCAGTCATCTGGACCGACAACGGGAGTCTTATCCGTGTCTTCCAGAGACGCATCAAAGCTATCCCCCTCGAGATCCACGTGGGCGGGATCATAGAGCATGTCATCATCGTCATCGTCATCTTCAATAGACTCGTAGCTTCCCTCGCGAGAGTTAGTGCCGATGGAGGAAAGGTCGGGTGTGGCATCTTCGTATTCGTTGATCTGAGGAGGTGCAGCGTCGAATGTTACGCTCTTCGCATGACGATGCAACGACCGTCCAGGAGGCAGCTCGCGGTCGTCGAGCGACGAATCGCCAGACCACGTTCCAGTCTCCATGTCAAAGCTGCTCTTGAACCTTGAGGTGGAGAGAGATGATTTGGTAGGTGACACCTGATCTTTGCTGGGCGTCATAGGCCGAGTTGGAGAGACCGGCTGAGGTACAGACGACTTGGTTGGGCTCATTGTTGGGACACTCGTCTTGCTTTCGCTGCGAAAATGGCCGAGAACTGGGCGGTCGCTGGTGGAGTAGCGGAGTGATCCAGAAGACCCAAAGGGGCTGTCCTGGACCTTTGCGAGCGGTCTCTCGATCTGAGTGATCCGAGTGGGATCATATTCCTGCTTCTGCTCAAGTGCCAGGATGTTGCTGTTCCTGACACGAGAAGCCTTCTGGAGTCGCTCAATCGAAGACCGTCGGTTTGGTGAAGGTGATCCGCCTCGCCCACTGTAAAGGTTCTCCGTGTTGCGGTTCTGCCAAAACATTCGAGGAGAGGTTACAGAGTCCATCGGCGAGGACTGGAATGGGGATGAATCGGGGTTTTGGCCCGCTTTCTGCGTCATGTTGTCAACACAAGACATCATGGTCGGGGTTGGCAGGGTAGTTAAACGAACCTTGGGGGAACCATTGCTGTGCTGATGCCAGCTGGGGGAGTTTCGTCTCATTTCCGTGGGAGACAGCTCCGAGAGCGGGCGAGGGATCCCGCTGGGCATCTTTGCTGTAGACGGGTTCGGAGTGTGCTTGTTGATGCGCAAGGGGTGCACCTGTGGACATCCAGTGTCAGAGACAACCCGACAAGCGAGCGAGTAGCGCGATGGAACATACCTGTTCAGTGGCCATGCTACGCCAGTGAGTGGGAATCTAGTCGGGTGCCTATTGTAGGTAGGATGACTCTGGATGCATTGGCATGCGGAATGTAGTATAACCAGGGAAACGGAGGTGGAATGTCGCAGGTGGGCGTGAATGTCAACACTGGCCGGCGACGGAGAGAATGAATGCAAAGTATCAAATGCGACGACAAGTCTGCTGATGGAAGAAGAAAACACGCCCTCTGGGCAGGTCAATAACGGCGACTCTATCGATCACTCGACGATGTGAGTGATGTTGCTGACGATGGATGGACAGGTGGGAGGAGGAGCGCACTGGCGAGGTTCATGTGTTTAAGGGACGCACAGTCGAGCGCAACAGGGGATGTTGCTCATTGGCCGTGGGGAAAACAAACATCGGCGGAGCTTCGTGGTTGTTGCCGTGGAAACCGCTGCCCCAAGCGAGCTAACGCTGACGGCCCTTGGGCGTTCGGGGCCCTGCAGGACCGGCGGAGTGCTAATCAGTCTGTTACAATGCGCTGGGATCCCGACCCCGCTCCGCTAAAGTCGTCCCTCCAGGCGCTTTTACTGGGGCTCCGACAGCGCTGTTGCAGCATCGCGCAGCGCCCTACAGCTGAAGTCGCCATGGCAGCGACGCATGAAGCGGGTGGCGAGCACACATTGGCTGAGCCTGTGTCGGCAGATGCTGGCATGACCCTGGAACTCAACGAGCTTGCGGTTGTTTACGAGTCTGTGTTATCATCACAAAGCCACCCTCCAAGCCGATTTTTTTTCTCTTTCCGGCTCCCAAGGTACCTGTGGCGTTGGCAAAAAAGGTTCGGGCTGGCGGTTGTCTGCGTTCGTTTGCATCGATGCTCCGGTTCCCATCATCAGTCCGCCAGCACCTTTATCAACGGATTCAATCATGTTGTTGATGCACCTGCGGACCCAGGGACAACGACAACACTCACGATATCCACCCATCGCCTCGCTAGTCTTGCCCAGAGCCTTCGCCATGTCTTGCATCGAGATCTTCCCGAGCGCCAGTTGAGGCCATTTCGGCACTAGAATCTGATGCCGGCACTTTGGCACGGCCCACCAAGCATCAGCTCTGCTCTCTAGTGTTTGTTTCTCACTGTGTTCTGGATTTCCGCCGCGTCAGTGCTACGTATGTAACCCGTTTGCTGGTGCTGTAGACTCGACGCCTACTGTAGACTCCCGAGACTCGTTCTCAACACCATCGCCCCATTGTTGGGTGTCAACTGTTGGTCTGCACTTCTGGGACATGCATGCATGATACAGGAACTCTTGGGCCCTTCCCCGAGGTAGCATTGTGTGCCAGCACTAGCCAGCCTCTTGTGATGCAATTGACCACCATCCTGCACGAGTCCACCCGTATCCGCAAACCTGCCTCAAACTTGCTTCAGTCTCTATGCGGTGCGATTCATTGCGGGTTGTTGCTGGCTGCATTTCTCGGCTTTCGGTTTCAAAGCCACACACCCATCCATGCCCATGGACCAAGAGTGGACGCCCTCTGAGCAACCGACATCTGGATCCATTCCACAAACCTCTCAATTGCCTTGCTTTTTGTTCCATTCCACACAATCGTCAAACTTGACGCCCGAACCTCCAAAGCAATCTAGCGCACTCCCAATCGTGAGATCCACCTTGCCACCACTCAGTCGCTTAACAGCCTCTAGGTCCTCAAGGTTTCTGCCACCACCGGCATAAGTAACCGGAATCGTGCACCATTGAGCAAGTCGCTCTACTAGCTTCTCGTCGATGCCTTTCTGTAGGCCCTCATTGTCTGCCGCGTGGATGAGGAACTCGGAGCAGTACGGCTCTAGCGCCTTGATGGATTCTGATCCTGGTTAGATATTGGTGTGCGCATGCGGTCTTGAACACGAACCTTGATTGACCTCCATGTCGGTAATTGTCTGCCATTTGTTCATGGCCACATACCAGGAGTCCTCTCCTCGCCGTCGGCAGCTGAGATCAATCACCAGCTTGTTCTTATCGCCGCCAAGTGCCTCAAGCACTGCATCCAGCCTCGACTGGCTGAAGTGACCTTCCGGGAAGAGATGAGAAGTGATAATGACCTGCCGATCCGTAATCAGTCGGCCAATATCGCAAGGGTGAGGCTATTTTGGTTCCATACCTTCTCCGCGCCAGCGTCCATCCACTCCTGCGCATTTTTGTCGTTGATGCCTCCTCCAACCTGAAGCCCGCTTGGCCAAGCTTGCAGTGCCTCCTTCGCTGGGCCGTTGTTCCCAGGGCCCAGCATGATGACATGCGCCCCCGTGAGCTCATTGTCCCTGTACAGCTGAGCAAAGTGAGCAGGGGGGTGTTGAGAGACAAAGTTCGTCTGGAGAGCCGAGGAAGCACTGTCGAGAGTGCCACCGACGATCTGCTTCACTTGACCCGCATGAAGATCGATGCATGGCCGAAATCGAGTCATTTTGGCGGGTTTCCTAGTTGAAGCTGGGGATGTGACGGATGCAACTGACTGACGTTCCCGGAGTTTGAGGTTCGACGACTGACTTTGCTCACCATCGCGATGTGGGGCAGATCCGCAAACGAAGCGCCATCTGCAAGACCAATAAATAGGCCGCATCTAAACTCCATTCCTGTTGGACACACCATGGCATTGACCAAGGGTCGCCCTGCGGCGAGTAGAGCAACAATAACTATTTTTCAATGATTTAAAATCCATAACTACTTCGTGTCTCTATGTCATCCGGGATAACTGCTGCTTTCCGGGACACGATCCCGCATCGAACAACTGGAATGAATGACTTCCTTACCTCGTCACTGTCTGGCTCTTAGCTTCACCAATACTCTTGCCCAGGTTGAAGTAATCAGAGAGGAATAGACAACTTGGGGGATACATTTACCGCTTACTCTGAGTGAATTCTAAACCCTAGCACCCAAGAGACACTAGCGGACTCGGGGCTTGACTGACTAGAACTCCTAGGTGCCTCACAGCACCATTACACCGCACCTTCTACAAGCAATGTGAACTTGCCATTAACCAGGGCCTAGGACCAAGAGGGAATTTGATACGGTGGGCGCATCTTGGTACCATGTTTCTAGCATTGAGGTTATGCCGTCAAAGCCCCCGACTTCCTGAATGTCGTTCTGAGTTGTCGCTGATGTTCGGATGGCTTGAGAATATTGCGGCGCTGTGCGATCCATGCCCCTCCGCTGAGAGAAGAGGGTGGAACTGTTTCCGCGTTATTGCGCTTTTAATGGCACCTTTTACTGGTGCAACTCTCTGGGAGATTTATAGCTAGCAAAATCTGCGAGACAATCCTGTAGCGGGAAGTTTGTTGCAGGGTGCGAGATGGCTCTCCACACATTGATGGTCTGGTAGCGTCCCTTGAGCAGCTCATCAGCCTCGTCTGCAGGGAGATGGTGCCTCACACAATCTTCAGCGGCGCGATGTGTCTCGTCGTCATGGACTTGCTGTACCGGCTGACCTAGCCCGAGCGATTCCTCCCAATGGTGCACGACAGTGCAGATTAGGAAAAACCTAGATGGAATCTCAATAGATTGCGAAATTACTTTCATGAAATGGTATTCATAGACCCAGTGCTACCCTACTTAAGATACAACTCCAATGCTCTACACGAGCACCTGACCTCTACAGTCGCATTGCCAATAGGCTGAAGATGCAGATACCCACTGACCTGAAGGACTCCCGTCCTAAGGACTCATCGAGTCTTAGCGACCCCCATCAAATCACCGTGTCTTGGCATCCTCAATCGAGTCACCGGGTTTCGTTGCTGAGATAGCAATGTAATGCCAATGCCCGTGTCCTCGGTACGACTGTACCCCCGCGACGGTGTTGATGAAATACCGTTCCAGATGAAGGAAGGTAATTATGATGTAGGGGATGTAAGCGACCAAGAAGAACAGCCTTGTCATAGGCTTAATGTTGTCAGAGTAATCTCGGACAACCACATCTGTAAACCCGGCTTCCTCGAGCATGGTTTGGAAAGTGCCGGGATGAGAAACTTCATTTGTCGGCATGGCGGCATATTTGTTGATTTTCCGCATTGCCTGTGCCATCTCATCGGGCGAACCATCAATCAATTCATGGTCGTATTCGAAGAGTGATATACGGCCACCCGGACGAAGAAGACGGTGGAAGCCAGCAAGAACAGCTTGAGGGTCTGTGGCATGCACAAACGTTTCCATGGTGTAAATGCCGTCGAATGACTCCGTGTCCAGCTTTTTCAAATTGTGATAATCCATCATGCGTACCGAGACCTGACCGTCGGGAAGACCAGAGCGAGCGAAATTCCTCTTCGCCTTTTCCACATGATGGGCTACGACGTCAATGCCTTGGATGCGATATCCGTACTGCTTTGCGAGATGCAATGCGACATGGCCCACGCCACATCCGGCATCCAGGACATCGGAGCCCGAGGGAAGGCCGAGGGACTCCGCCAACTTATCCTCCATCGCGGCTAGGGCGCGGCCGATGGGAAAGGGCCAGTATGTATCATTCTCGTAGTAGCCAAAGTGGCGAGTGCCACCAAGGAACAATCGATATCCGATTCGTGATTCGAGCGAGAGGTAGTAGGATTGAAGTTGGGGGTTGTTGTTGATCGATGGCTCAGACTCAGTATCGGACGCCATTTTCGCAAGTTTGACTCGAGATCGCAGGTGCTAGGGAGAAACCCGCAGGTCGAGAGGGGAATGAATTTGTAGTCGTGTCGTTGTCTGGAGGAAAGTCTGCCTTGGTGTCGGAGCTGTTGGGGCCATCTCATATCACGTGAAAGAAAGAGTATTGCTATTCGTACAGTCTCTTATTGCTATTTGTACAGCCTTTGTCACGTGACCCCTTCCTTTGCCATCTTCCCCTCAACTCCTTCTTCTATACTACGTCTATCCCATTCTTCTGCAAGTATCAGCTGCGAGACTTAAGGGCCCAGGTGCTTCTAGCATTAGCTGGATACCAATTCATCTATTGTTTGCATGCTATAACTTGTTCAATAACGTTTTCAGCTTGCTTCAGACTGCCTCGAGAATGTAGAACGTTGCACGGGGGAAGATGCTAAATGCGGGGCAAAAAGTGTGAGGTTATGTGACAAAGGCTGTGCGAATAATAACACCTACCTAGGCACTCAAGAAAACGAGGGGCGATGTGGCCTACGTAATTTGAGGCTGGGTGTGATGGGAGTTGATCAACGATTTGATTGGTTCTCGAACCGCTGATCCCATGATAGCGCTACGTAGGCAATCACGATGGGAGGGGCTCAGCCAGCCCCGCCAAATTGGCTCTGCTCCATAATTGTTTCGCGGCCCGGCCCGATGACGAATTTAGTGGCTAAGTCTGTTCGGAAAGGTCAAATACTCGTACCTGGGAAGGTGAGAAACTCGCGGAGGATAAATCTCCAATTCGGCGAGGAGATTGGGGGATGGCTAACGGCTGTGCAATGATGCCCGTTGGTCGCGAGCCCTGAGGAAGTTCAAGGGCTGGAGCAATGAGCAACGTGCGTTGCATGTTGGTTGCATGTCCAACCAACACAACTGCTACCTGGGATATGAATGACTAGAAAAGTGGAGGATCCTGCCGAGAAGTAACCAGGATGCCGTACATCTCAGTGAATCCAAGCACCATCTGATGCGGCGCCTGCCACCAAGTGTTGCTAGTAACCTGATTTAGCCATCAAGGCTCCGCCGTCTCAAGTTCATCCATACAGCGTGTCTTCCAGCCCTCTCTTGGCCCCCATGCTCACCTTTCTACATACAAGTTAGCAGCCTGAACAACCGAGCGCCACAGGATAGTGGAGGGCTTGAATGGACTGAGATCTGGCGGCAGATTTTCCTGCAGACGCGGTGTCAGGCTGGCTAAATTATTGGTCCTTACCAAGGGAGGTAATCCTGGGGGCCAAAGATACAATGCCTGTTTCAGGCAGACGCTTGTCCCTCTCTCTCCCCTCTTGCCTTCTTTCTCAATCATCAATCTAACGGCACCGGTGTCGTGATGTGTTCGATACTTTCCCGCTTGTTACCTTGACAAAATCCAAGATCGACCGGTTCGATGACCCAGAACAATACCACCGACGAACAAATCCTAGGATGGGTTGGCTCTAGCAACGACAGGGGGACCATCGACATTATGTGGTCCTCCTGCATCACCATAATCCTGTGCTGCTGGGTTTCGACATACCCAAACGTTGGTTCGCCGAGCGATAAATGGTACCACATTTTCTACGACAAGATCAGCCTGGCGATGATCAGTATTCTCGGTCCCGATTTTCTGTTTGGTATAGCTTTTGGACAGTGGTCTAGCGCTAGGAGGAGTGTCAAGGTTGGCGATACCCGTGGTAGTATTGGCTTTCCAACTGGAATGGAAAGCGTACCGAGCGACCACCGCTAACTGCAACTTTCCCTACAGACTTTTCAGAAAGACAAGCATCTTTGCAACGGCGAAAAATGGACATACACTCACGCATTCTTCATCGACATGGGAGGAATTCATCTCACTAGTCCCGATTTCCAAGGCGGCTTCCCCATCAATGCCGAACAACTACACTATCTGGTTTTGCATAAACATCTCGACTTCCCGGATATGGAGACGATGGAGATTTCAGAGAGAAACAGTCTTGATAGACTTTCACGGTAAGCATCACGGCCTGGTTCAATGTTGATAACCTCTGAACCGTGCTGCTAGACTCATTACTGTCTTCCAAGCCTTCTGGTTCGTCGTCACGGAGATACAAAGATACCACATCGGTTTGCCAATGACAACACTCGAGCTGACCGCGCTCTCATTCACGTTCATTATGTTTTCGACATCGATACTGTGGTACGCGAAGCCATCTATCACGCAACCGCGTACCATCAGCACCAAAGAGAACAAAACAATCGCGGCAATCCGCGATTTTGCCAGGTCCAATGTAAGGTTCCCCTCCCCTAGCCGCTGGTGGCTACATTTACTAACGTTCGATGGTTGCAGACGCACCCAAACATGCCTGACACGTGGTATCAGACACCATTGGAATTTATCGGCGAAGAACGGTTTCGAATCAATGCTCACTGGCAGTACTATGTCAAGGTGACACACAAACTACACCTCTGGATTGTCTCCCGGCCCATCAAAGTCCGCCCCTGGGACAGATTCCCATCAGACCTCTGGATCTGCCCAGACCTGGTATTCGCTCCGGTTGCAGCGGCTATTTTAGTCGGTTTCAGCGTCTTGTTTCTCCCAGCATGGAATTTCCATTTTCCGACACCTACCGAACAACTCCTGTGGAGAATCTGTAGTACCTATCATGCAGTCTTCAGTCTCTATGGTGGCGGTTACTATTTAATCGAAATGTTCCGAAACCGCCGGCAATTCCTGCGGCGAGTGCGGGGACCACCTCTGGAGCGTGCCATCCCGCTTCAAGACCTGGAGTCTCAGAGGACTGTCCAAGTTGATGAACAACCAAATACATTTCGAGAAAGGATTTTGAGAAGCGTGGTGGATTGGATCAAAGATTGCAGAAATATATCTGATGGCCGAGACCCAAACATGGCTATTCCGCTGCGGATCTTGTTTCCAGTTTCTATCACCTGTGCCCTCTATGTCGCATGTCGGTTTTATATATATTTTGAGGATTTCTTTTCCCTGAGGGCACAACCAGCAGGAGTGTTTCTCTCGGTGAACAAGTTCATCCCCTTCCTCGTGGGACCTTGAAGTATATTTCTTTTCAATTTTAATATCATGAAACCTACTGGGCCGGGCCTGTAATGCTTGCAAAATTCGCACCACTTATCATTAAAACCCTCCCCCTGGATGAGGCGGTGACGACATTGACGTGGACAGCAACGACAAATATTCGCGACGTGATTAATGACAGCAGCAACTATTGGAAAGTGCCGTGTGCCGACGAAGGCAACGTCAGTAATAACAAGGTCCCTAAGACCAACAGAAAGGTCGGCCACGTAAACTCAGGCTTTGACAACAATCGCAGTCTATAAAATTCCATGTCTTACTTAGATAGTTTATATTGAACACCTTCCATTTCACGGGCGCAAAACATGATAAGGCATAGGAGGATCTAACAATTTGGTCCGTATGTCGCTCCAATTCCCTTCCTCTCTTGACCGAGGTGATGCTTGGAGTTCGTCATCGTCCCTCGACCTCTGCCAGATGCCAATATTTATAGAGACAATGATTGCTCCGTTCACTGCCTCCCGCCGCTTCCGCTCTCCTACAATCACCCTAAGCCCTTGAAAACTCTGCCCTAACTGTGAGTTTGACCGGTGTGGCTTGCTTTACTTGATTGGCTACTTAATTTCCAACAACTGTCACGCAGCTGCAACCAGTGTTGCCTAAACTTCTCCTGACCTTCCCACCTCCCGTTCACGATCCAAAAGAATGCATAAACCCCAGTCTGAACCACTGCAGCTCGACGTCGCCGTCATGCATAGCTTTGAAGTCCTACGCGGTCGTGTCTCATACGTCGTTGCGAGGCTAGCCACCGACTCTTGCCTCGCCACTTCACGTTACCATCTCAGCCCACTCTTTACACGAAGACGCAAAGCACAGCACATCTATAAACAACTCCGACCGTCGATAGCACCTTTATCATCGTCGGCTACCTCCGACAGCTTTCCGCGGGAGCTGAGGCACGCACAGGTGCAGCGCGTGGATGTCCTCGCCTTGGCTGCTGTTGTTGCCCACCTGAGTTGCAGCCAGGATTCAATCGACTCTTCCTTGCCATTTCGCCGCGTTACTTTCAAAACCAAACTGGATTGAGGTGATCTTCCACCCCATAGCGACTTCTTTGAATGCACCATGTTCTTGCTATACTAACAACAGCTGTTTAGGTATGGACCGATACCTCGACCCGCCTCGGCTGATGTTGCGTACCGCTTGCGGAGCTCAGCTGGGCCCTCACTTTTGAACGAGTTCTCTGGATTCCTCCTATATACTCTCTACTTTCTACTCAAAGCCTCCAAGCAAGAATCTCTACTAACAAACTCGCCTAGGTCTAGGTCTACAATCAGCACCTCGCCTCGACAAGGAGGAGCCCCAAACCACGAAAGACCAAAAAAGCGCAACACCCTTCCGGCTGCTACAGTGCCTTTTAGAGTAGCAGAGTCACCTGCCCCCTTCAATGGGGTGAGGGATCATGGAGGCACAGCACCTCCTCATCCCAGCTAATGTTGCGTACCTACATTAACCCAGCATGCCCACTCTGAGCCACAACCTCACCGTTACACCAATTGACTAGGTTCACGATGCCTGAGAGGCGCAGTTGACGGGCGAAAAGCAAAAAAGCAAAAAAGCGCAACACACTCTGTTACAGTGCCTTTCAACGTATCAGTTTTAAGCTTGTCCATTAATTGACGTTAATGGGAAAGAGAAGGACCGTGTGGGCGCAGCATCCCTTCTTCCCAGCCGAGTTGCGTACCTGCCCTCGTCAGGGTAGGTAACGACTGGGACTCCTTATTAAACTCCGAATTTACTGCTTTTTCTGCTCTCAACTCGCCTCTCTTTTTAGTATTTCCTTAACTACCCGCCAATCTTCTGTTCCTATTGGGATACTGCTAATAAAGAATCAGGCTGCTGTTTTGGTTAACAGTTTCTTTTGTTGGGAGGCATACTGCCAGTGTTGTGTGAGCTGGGACTCTTCATTAAATTACTAGGTCACTTTGGCTCCTCCCTCCTCTCTACTCTTTTCGCGCACCCTCCCAGCCATATCAAAACAGAAACCACGATCTGCTCCTTCCGCATCCGACATCATGCCCCCACCCCAACATTTTTTCCTCGTTGAGGGGGTGCATCTTGCTACTTCACCATTACTCGAACCCGAGTCGATCGAAGTCCGTTGGCTGTGTCGAATGGCATTCCCTCATGAGGAGCGACAGCCTGGCCATGGATCTTTCACCGCGGAATTCTGGGACGTATGGAAAGCACTCTGACGTCGAATTGACTCCCCCATCGACACTTTGCTGACACTCCTGCAGTCCAATAAGCATTATGGATGAGGGCCCGAGTAACCAACGGACCATGCCATTGTACCCAAGCCATCTAGCAAAGCACGAGCGTCCATAGGAGGACTCTAGCCTCGAAGAGTCAGTTTGATCTCGTCCCTAGCCCAATTGATACTGACGATGTCATCAGTACGACTCGAACGAATACCACAAGCGAAGGTGTATTGGACTCATACATTGCCCACGAGCCGCCAGCCAAACGACTTAGACTCGAATCTGATGAACCCAAGCACGGCAATCCCTCAGACCAAAGTCTGGTCATCGATATCAATCAGCTTGAAAACGCAATCCAGATCGAATTAGTAGAAGCTGTTCTAAGATCGTCCCAGGATATCGGCGGAGCGGAAGTGGATGAGGAGCAGACCACTGTCCTGTTAGAAGAACGCTTGGGTGCGGAAACATCATTTCAAGAGAATACCACTGAGCTCTTGGCTTACATGGGAATCTCCACCTCTACCACCGTGTCATCGTGGGGCGATATTCTTTTGGACCTTTGCGAGACAGGGGACTACATGCTCCCCCTCAAGAATTTCATCGGAGATTGCAAGACTCAAATGCTCTACCGAGAAGAATCTGCGGAACCGATCGATGATTACCTCAACCGCTACGGCAGGGAAAGTTGGTCGACCCACGACGTACGGATTGACCATGAATGGGACGCTTATGCCTCCGAGATTCACGGTCTAGCTGAAGGTGCCATCACTGTCGGTTCATTGTCAAAGCCGTCTGGGCCATTGAAAGCGGTACTCACATGCAACTGGCACTACCCAACATGGAGCAGCAAGTCGCCTTTATGGGGACATGTTATGGACCCAACTAATCCGTCCCTCCGTGCACAAAAGGAGAAGTTTGGCTTGAGTCCTCTTGTCAGATCTCAGAATCGACTGCCCATTCGGGAACATTACCAGGCCGGCGGCATCGACTGGGAGAGCAATTACCCTAACTGGAAGCGAATCGAGGAAAAGTCCCTTCTCAACCGGTCGCTCAATCGATACTCAAAACTCGTTATGGTCATTGGAACAGAGAACGCCCATTCCTTAGACACTATCATCAACCTTGATAGTACAGTGGAGGTTGTTGACGTCAGATTGAAGATTCCACTTGTTAGGGTATTCCAAGCTGTGCCCTATTTCAAGGTCATTCGGTCGAAAGCGACAAAGGAAGTTCAGCAAGTTGTCTTTTTCTCCTACCATACTCAAGCATTCCATCACAGAGATGTCGAAATGTCAACCCGAGCATACCACGATCTACTATGGAATGCAATAAGCGACTTTGCGATGACCGCGGCACCAACACGTGGAGCGGTATACTTCCTCCGCCAGAGCGATATCAACCGCCGAGTAGCAGGATCGAAATACGAAAATACTCAGTTCCATCTTGCGGCGAGGCTCCGCGGCAATGAAAAGAAATCTGGCGTTACTCTTCCGGAAGGTGTTGTCAGAAGAGCTTTCGCGAAAACGATCCGAAAGCACCCTGCCATCATGCTTGTACCGGATGATACAAACAGCTATGTCAGATGCTTGCTAATGCACTTCATATCGAGGGCGCAGGAAAGGATCAACGACCCCGAATGGAGAAAGGGTCCCGAGTATCAAAAAATGTACGATTCACATATTCGCGTATTGGACGCTCACCGGTCTTCTGGACATGCAAAAGGTCGCGCAACCAGACAAACAGTGGCCTATAAGGCGTCAGATAAAGGTCTTTACTCCACTGCTTCGCTCAAGAGATCTGCAACTTTGCCCCGAAACCAGCAGCAAAATAGAGTCGCCGCCTTGCTAAAGGTGAAACAAATCAAGGCATTGCGAGACTCCAACCCAGACGACCTCAATCCTAAGGAACGTGCAATGCAGGACCGAATCCGTTGTCTCAATGTCATGGACAATCAGAAACTGAGGGACTTCTTCAGAAATCAGGTTGTTTGGTGGACTCCGTGGCAACCCAACGGTCTTCGCTATGGTGGAGATGGATGCCAACAGCCAGATGACTTCCCCTACATGTTGCAGGATCATCCCGCTGTTAAAGTGTCTGGTGTTTTTAAGCCGCAAGAGAAGAAGGCTTTTGTCGTTGATCCCGCCGCGCCACCATAGGTTGAACATTTCAATCATGAATTCGAACCATTCTGTGTTGATGCAAGGCGCATTGAAGGTTGTTATTTCCTTGCTATAAATCGGGGTTGGAGGAGTTACAAATCTGATTGGTGCAAGTAATGCGAATACAATTATTCAATAGCAACATCTCAACGTCCATGACACACAAAGTGACATCGACCCTCGGGATGATTAGGTAGTTAGGATGGGCCACTCTGTGCGAAAGAAAACTCTGACGCTTTTTAAGTTGTTTTTGTTGTTGAGGAGTGACTCGGCATGCATAATATCATACAGTGGCTGGGCAGCTCAGCCCATAAAGACTACCCTCTCCATCCTAGCCGAAAATATTACGATCCAAGTCTATTCGATGTTGGTCTTCGGTTTTTTTTCTTTTTCAGCCTCCACTTGTCCACCACACTGCATCCTGTTTTCAGTGCACAGGCGACTCGGTAAACGCTTCCTGTTTCCATTCGGCAACATGTGCGACCACGATGCGTGTATTTAGTGAGTGCACGAAAAATGATCGAAAAAATAGGCCACCGCGGAGAGAAAGGGTCGCGCTATGTAAAAGTAAAAATGCACAGAAAAGTAAAAATGAAAGGATGAAGGTCCAACCGAGGTTCGAACTCAGGACCGATTCGGAGCACTTGAATGTGAGCGAAGCGTCATACCACTAGACCATTGGACCTTGTATTTCCTTACAGGAACTTGTTGACGGGAACCCGGATGTTTCAGTATATATAAGCTTCGATCACATCTAATTGTTCTTATTATTATGAAATAAAACCCCTTGTCCCTCGTAATGTTTTAAGATTGAGACTCACATGGGAACAATTGTACGCTAACTTAAGGATTAAGTAGTTTTGCACAGAGACTCTACATTTAATAATGTGCCACTCAAAAGACAAAGCCGAGCTACGTCCAAGGCCGCTGGACTTGAGACACATGCGATAATCACTACTTAGTATAAATAAATTGCTGTGCCTGAAGCAGAGAGCGCAATATTAATGATGAGTTTTTATGTGGTGCAGCGTAATGAGTGTCACTCTTGTAAAAGACCGTGAATGGAGGTCTTAAAAAAAGACATCGCTGGAACCCAGACTGGACCCGGTTGACGATCAGGCGTCCTAGTTGCATTTTGAAGCGTCATGAATTTAACAACAATTCCTTGAGCTCCGTTTCACTTTGAATCGTTCATCCGTCGGCTCACCCGCGTAACATCAGGGTAAGTGGAGCATCGTCGGACCGGCTGGCCGGTCTGAACGGCCCCACATTGAATCCGAGACAGGGAATTGGAAAAGAGCCGGCGCAGCGCACGTGGCGCGAGACCGTGAGCAGGGCGATCCTCAACTCTGGAGCAGTTTTTACTCTTCAGAGGCCTTAGACGAGGATAAACTTGCCCCGTAGACTCAATAAAGAAAGGGAGAGAACAGGAGCGACATGCAGACTTAATTAACAAATTCGTTTCTGGGCTCGCTATGCTGTCTCTTAGTCAAGGAATGGATTTAGCGCAGAACATCAAAGGAAGGTATGCTATTTCTGGACTGCTATTAATGCCAAATCCTGGGTTAGTATAGCGATACTGTCGTCACAGCGTGATAAAGAAGTGGATGTCTGCTGTAGAATACCACAGTCTCAACCACCTCGCTTTGAGTAGGCAGTGAACATGTGTCCAATAGAGCCAATCTAGCTGCTGCAAACCAAATAGATGGTACCTCATATTTAATGTTATTTTTGTGTGCGCACTGAGAACATAGTATTGGAGTGAGCTGGTGCTTTATGTGCTTTCTCTGAGGTGAAGCACCTTTAGGTAGCTGTAATCTATAGTTGTTATATTAGGTATGAGCTTCTAAGTAGATAAAACATAAGCGTTCTAAACAGACGATAAATATTTGTTTAAGATCCATTTAACTACCGTATCCGGGTATTAACCCAAAAGCATACTGATCTCGGGCTGAGAGTGAGTTGTTGCTGCTGTCGCCTGTTTACACCAAGAGTGCGTTAGTGTCACAACCGCTGCCATAAACCCCAAATACCGTATTGTTATTATTGGCGCCACCAAGCCGGAGAGAGGAACTATCTTAAATGGACATCGATCGAAGACAAGTGCCTTGAGCTTATCCCGACATTTGATCCGACATTTGATCTGTACTTAAAGTTAGTTATGGGGACTCCCATAGATAACCCCTAGTTATTGACAAACACATCAATCTCGAAGGAATAGCGCAGATTGTCAAAGTCCAATTGATAGTTCTACCCGTAAGAGTATTTCAAGCCCTACCTTACCTGAAGGTTACTAGACTGAAGGCTGCGAAGGAGGTCTGACATGTAGTTCTCTTCTCGCTTTACAGCCAAAGCCCTCCACTACAGGAACGTGGAAGTATCAACTCAGGTACATTACGACCTCTTTTTGAATGTGGCTTATGACTGTACAGCGATAGCAGCGCTACCTCTCTTCGTGATGCACTTCCTACATCAGAGTGGAATCAACCCCTAAGTGGCAGGATTACCTAGATACAAGAACACATAGTTTCACCTCGCGTTGAGGCTGTGAGGGAACAGTATGATTCTTCCAAAAAGTGTCATGAGAACCCTTCACAAAGATGATTCAGAAGCACCCAAACTCATCCCTTGTATCTGATGCTATACAACATAAGACCACATCATCAACCCTAAACTCAGACTACACGCACTCTTAGGCTCTTAGATAATGCCTAAAGTAGTGTCAAGGAAAACTTCGGGCCTTGACTCCTATGAGCGCTGTAGTTAGGACATGGGTAACCTTTGGTACCTTGAATTGAAGGGTGCCCTTTTAACTTCAGGCATATCGCGCTCTAGAATCCTAAGAGGTTGAGACGATTCCGCCTGACTGGGCGACAATAACCCTCCCCAAACATTTATTGAACGCATAATTGCCAACTCGTGGTGGACAGTCTGCCAGAAATCGCGGACCGGTTCGGGGAGCTACAGGGCATGACCCCTGGAATTTCGGTTGCCAGCTGCCCAACAGTCAGTCTCGAGGACGCCTGACCAGTCCCAGGCACTTGACAGCTGCTAACCAGCTCCAAACCCTCTTATCCAAACTTATTGGCACTCAATTTCAACAACCGGCGATGTGGTTCAATGGTAGAACATCTAGGATATAGCCCGCGAACGGCCTGTGTGGCCATAGAGTGTACGATGCTTGTGTTCGAGCGTGCGTACTGGAGGGTATACCTGGAAGGTACCTGGTTCAAATCCAGGCGTCGTCACTTTTTGGTCCTTCCTGCAATTGTTGTTATTTTTGGCCCCTGAATTGGGTGATTGTGTGGAAAAAAAATGCTCTTGGCCGGTCTGTTGTGTGTGCATCATCGCCATCCTCTCTGGTGTTTTGCATGTACGGACGGATACTCGGGGGAGCCAATCCCGGACACTCGCCAGCTGCCAACCAACTAACCAAACACAAAGTCTCGTATCCGAAATTCGTTCCACCTACCTATTTAAACGAAGTGCGTGCGTCGTTTAGTTGTTGAGCTCTCAACTATGTTGTCGACAAGTCAGCCCTGCGTACGGGGCCAACTGTGAGGCCTGTTTCGACCGCGCGTGAGCATCTAGCCCGAGTTCCTCTTAAATTGCCGACCACACAAAGGAGAAAATTCTCTACCCATGGCCTCATACTCATGGGTTATTGACAGGTCGATAAAGCACATCGGTAAGCGTGGAGGAACATCTTCTTTGATTATTGGGGATCTACTTGATTGAGGCGATCACTTCAGATTAGATCATGCTCAATCCATGAATTCCAGTGTGGCCAAATGTTTCCCGGAGATAAGCGAGACGCTGCTGAGCGATTATAAGTCGAAGGTCAAAGTTTTAGAAGCGGAAGGTTCCTCTGTCTGGGGTGACCATTGAAGGCTGGAGAACAAAATTGAACATTCTCTCAGTTGTAAGCCGAGTTTTCAATCGCACCACTATGTTCTCAGCAACCGCCAGAATCACGATTGCGGGGGTAAAATATTTGCATCGCGTTCAGTTTAATAGAATAGGTGCGCTGTCAAGAAAATTGATGGAAATAATTTTTGGCATTGGGTGCGATTTCGCTGTCGAGCAATTCAACACCACGCAAAGCTAGTCTTTCCAAATTGTCGAGACTGGCCATACCGATAAGCCGAGACTGACCGCTGATGGCCGTGTTCATCTTATGAGCGAACGTCTTGGCTCATGGACCTGGCGTGGATTTGGACTAAAATAAGGAAGCCTCCTGTAGAGGTACAGTCGAAGAATAGAACAATACCCTCAAGGAGCTCAGCGCCGGTGTCAATGAACATAAGAGGCTAGTGGGCAACAGGAACACACCGACTGCAAGCTAGATGAAATTCAAGCTAATTAAAATATCAACGGCGTGACCTTGGAAATCCTCGATTATTTGGGTTCGGCTCATCAGCTCTAACCCGAGCTTGCCGCTAATCCAAGAAATCTAATTTGTCTTACACCGTCGCTTTCATTAACACCTGGGCACTGGGTCTTTTAGTATGGACTCGATATCCACTGTAGTCAGCCACAAAGTAGCACTCGGGACGGGTAACGACAGGAGTGGGTCAGCCATGGAGGCGTCTTTCGCCAGTGAACTAGTCGGTCAAGAAGAAGACCGGGGATGCACAAAAATCATGAGCTTGTATTCATGGGCAGATGCTCTGAAACAATTGGGTAAGCGCTTTCACGTTTCAATTTTACTGTATCTATGACTGATACCCTCCGAGCCCAAAACCAATATTTTACGACCTTCTCCGCACACAGGCCATTGTTAGTGAGTTTCAGGGATCATGGCCGTTGCCCTGGAAGACGCCTTGACCGTTTGTTTGGATTCCTTGAGCTCTGACCAATCAGCGGGGGGCGCGGTCCAACCAGGTTGGAAAAAGCTGAGGGGCTTTTGGAGACAAGTGACATGACGCGGCACAGCTCGTCTCACCGAACGTGGTTGCATCATTTTCCAACCATGATCGTGGGGGCTTCTCAGTCTTGCCTCCTCCTTTCGAAGCTTCGCGTACCTTTTGCGACCTGAGATCTGGAATGCGCCGGATCCTAGCTCCTCCACCCGCCCGTGCAGCCCGAGACAATGCCAGACGAAACCCAGTCCCGCGATCCCCGCGATCGTGACCCCCGCGATCGCGACTCTCGAGACAGAGACAGAGACAGGGATAGGGACAGAGATAGGGATAGAAGGGACAGAGCACACAAGGGAGTCAAAGGAGAGAGGGAGGACAGAGACGACATACGAGAGAGGGTTGACAGAGAGGACCTGGAGGACAAGGATGACAGCGACGACAGCGACGACAGGAACGGCAGAGGAGGGAAGGTAAACAGAGACGACAGAAAAGACGGAGGGGGCAAGGTCGACAGAGATGATATGGATGATGTGGACGACAGAGGTGACAGAGGTGATAGAGGCGACCGAGCGGACAGAGGCGATCGAGTGGACAGAGGAGACCGAGTGGACAGAGGAGACCGAGCTGAAAGAAGCAACCGGGTGGACAGAGGTGACAGAGGCGACCGGATGGATAGAGGGGAAAGAGACAGAGTTCGCGATCGTGACAGAGACCGGGACAGAGAGAGGGACAAAATCCCCGAACGCGACCGCAACAGCCACCATCCTCGCGACAGCCAACACCCTCGGGACAGCCAGCACCCTCGTGAAGGCTCTCACCTTCGCAACCGAGACCATCTGAAAGAGAACCCGCCCAGCAAACGCAACAGCATCACCGACCGCCTCTTCGGCTCCCTCCGGGAAGCCCGCAACAAGGACCCTCCCCCTGTTGCCAATGCTCCTCTCCAGAGACGCTCTACCTCGGCGACCAAGCAGAGCCCCGTCCCGCGCATCCGCGAGTGGCTCGACGCTTGCAACTCTGAGCATGAGCACCACTGTGCCGCCAGTTCGGATACGAAGGTAGACACATGGCATCCCATTTGGCTGATCGACATCGTCGAGCGCCGCCTCGTCATGGCAACACCGAGAGACCGCTATCTGGCCCTGAGTTACGTCTGGGGATCGCCCAACCGTCGTAACCCGTCCCACCCTGTGGCCCAGGCACTCAAATCAAATATTGGCACATTCCAGGATATCCTTCCCGAAGCTGATATCCCTCAAACCTTTGTGGACGCCATGTGGCTCGCCAAGAAGCTGGGCATCCGATATCTCTGGATTGATAAATTGTGCATTGTGCAGGATGACCCGGAGGAGATGGACAAGAATGTCAAGAACATGGCATTTGTGTTTGCCAATGCCTATCTCACCATTGTGGCCGCTGCTGGCGACGTGCAAACCGGGTTGACGTCGTTGAACCCCCGGAAACCAGCATCTCGTGGCATTCGACCCGGCGGAGGACGCGATCAACATGAACTCATCCTGTCGTCGAACTGGAACACCCGAGGCTGGACGCTGGTAGAGCGCCTGTACTCCCGACGGTGTCTCTTCTTCTTCGAAGACTCCGTCACCTGGGAGTGCCATTGCGAGAAGTGGTCGGGAAGCCCGACAAGCGTGATGAAGAAGATCCGCGGCAACCGCCACGACTGCGCCAACCCCGTCTATGATGCCGCCTTTGCCTTCCACCACACGCCGTGGCCTGATCTCGACGAGTATGCGCGCATCGTCATGGACTACAGCTCCCGAAGACTGACCCTCGTCGACGACACCCTCCGGGCCTTTGCTGGCATCACTCACGTACTCTCACGGTCGTACCCGGGCGGCTTCATCTACGGCATGCCCGTCATGTTCCTCGACATTGCGCTGCTCTGGCGCCCCCACGCCTCTATCCGGCGGAGGGCTCCCTCACGACCACCGTTTCTGCCGTCTTGGTCTTGGATGGGTTGGTGGTTCGATAACATCGCCGTCGACCTGACGCTTTGGAGAGCTGCAGCCGACTACGTTGAAGACGCCAAGCCAACTAAGCGCGGCCAGGAGTCCAAGCGATACCGGTCGCCTAACACATTCCGCATTAGACCGACTGTGATATGGAACCTGACGGACCGAGCTGCCACCGTGCCGGTGGAGAACACTGGACTCCAGTTCCGCGACCTCCGGAGCCGACGGGGCTCAAGCTCTAGTCTCCCTCCGGGCTGGTCTCGCAGCGGATCCCTGTACAAGCACGATAGCGACGACGTGACGCTCTTCAAGTACCCCGTGCCGGTCGAGGAGCCCCCTAAAGCTGGCGCATACGACCCCCCCGTAGGCGAACTGGCCCTCCCCGGCCCCTTGCTCTCGTTCCGCACGACGACGGGCTTCTTCGAGGTCGACTACCTCTCTACCCTGGCGCACCGCGATCGACCCAATCCTCCCCTCGCCGTGGGCAACATCTGGAGCAAGACGAACCGGTGGATCGGACAGTTCCGTGCTCACGACGCGTGGCTCGGAATACAGTCATCAAACTACGACGGCGACGAGAAACTCGAGTTCATCGCCATCTCGGCGGCAACAGAGCGCCGCGGCTCGCACGCCCTTGAAGCCGAGCGCTTCGAGGAGTTTATGAGTGCGGACGAGGAGGTTGAGATTGTCAATGTGCTGTGGATCGAGCGCATCGGTGAGGTCGCGTACCGCCGCGGCGTCGGGCACATCCTGCAGAAGGCATGGGACGCGCAGGCCAAGGACGAGGTTGGGATTCTTCTTGGGTAGGCGGCTTGCTTAGCGAGGTGTTGCGGGGCGTTTGGAGTTGCCTGAGTGAAGATGCAATTTAGTTGGATGGACTTGACTGCAAGGACTATTATGTATGTTCATGTATGTTCATGTATGTTCGCAGTGTATCAGATCTGTCGTCAATCATGATTTATTACCATAGACATACCCATCCATTCAGGGATCAGCTTTGGGTCTTCTGGAAGCTCGCCATCCTCCACGGTATGCTTCTTTCAATCACGAGGGACATTATATGGACTCCCGCTGTTTGCTGTTAGCCGTACGCAGCTCCGGCTTCAACGCTAGAAAATGGTATGGATGAAGGGAATTGTTAAGAAATGATGGACGTAGAAGATAGAAACGATGCTCACCGACGCTGCCGAACCATTTCTGCCAAATGTAGTAATGTTGTCGTTCCTTCTGGTATACTTGCTCCATCACAGAAACAAAACCGGCGAGGTTCATAAACCGTGTTACCAAAGATCCTACGTTCACACACGCGTATATTATTAATGCCAATAATGGGGATAGACCTTTGAATCCTAGGTTGTTGCACATATAGATGAGATAGCTAGCTAGGACCTGGCAATGTGCTTCCCCGAATACCATTCTCCCAATTATATTGCCTCAGCGACAACGATTCCGGTTCCTCCCAAACCCCATAAGTAGTTCTTACCATCCTGGTTCGGGTGATTGACCGAATTTCTGAACCGAAGACGTCTTCCCGCATTACCCTATCCACACAGCATTCACATATGCGTGGACTCCCATAATATCCTTGCTAGCACATTCTTCAACTAGTCCTCCATCTAAGAGCTCTAGTTGTCGGCTTTGGACTCTTTCCATAACTGACTCAAATCTTCACACTGGACAGCGTTCGTAATCGGACAGAAACACTCCCAAACCCATGGACGAATTCGGGATCGTCGCCGGAAGCTTCAGGATGATTACTTTGGGTCTGTTGGCACCGAATCGTCTCCATTCAACAGGATGCGGGCAACGTGCCGATTGCGGCATGTCTCCTGGTCGTATTCGATTCCGTTCATGCAATCCGGGTCGAAGTGTCCAATGACGGCCTCAAACTTTTGTAGAACCCGACATCCTGGTGGCTTTATGAACATGAGCTCATCCACGAGTTGCTGAATATCGACTTTGACATGCTCGGCCTTGGTTGGTGACAGCTCAAGATGGCGTTTCTTGGACGGGTGGTGCATATTTTCGGCCAAGTTCTCTGACAGGCTGTCAATCTTAGCAGAGATATACGACATTTCTCCCTCGATATTGTTGATCAACTTGAGGTGCTCGCGCAGCGTAATAGAAGTGATCGTCTGGTCGGTAACCTGTTGTTCCACCTCGGCGTTAGAGGGCGATTTTGTTATAGTGTAGGAATACTCCATCAAGTCACTGGTAGCCTGTTCGACCCAGTTGGCCACGGTGTCGTTGAAGCGGCAGCCCCATGTGTAGACCATGTCTTTGGCCTCATCTGAAAGCACTCGAGCCTTGTGCTCATCGAGCCAATCCAATATCTCTTCCTTCAACGCACCCTGGTGGAACTTGCGCTTCCCAAGCTTGTGGAGGGTCCCGCTTCCTGCAGCCATCACCTGCTGGCGATTGATAGTATATCCTACTTCCGAGGTGTGATCTGGGGTTCGCGGGATCTCGCAGGGACCATCGTCAAAGAGAGTAGCAGTCATGGCTGGTGTCGCAGGACAAGAGTCCGGGTAGAAGAAGACATAATCGTCCCCTTCAACCTTGCAAATACTTCTGTCGTTGTGGCCAGTCTTGACAATCTGGAAAGGCTTGTCCGTGATCTGGAAGACCTCGAGTGCCAGTGGCAACCAATCAAAGAGATTGAATTCCTCGAGCTCGTTGGTCACTTCGTCTTTGAGGGTGCATCGGAGGCGTCGAATTCTCTTGGCCGCAGCAATAGCAATCATGTCTGGTGCTGGGAGCATGTTGATCTGATCACCGTCAACCTTTCGATTCTGTGGGAAGGTCATGACCTTGTCCTCCAGATCCCAATAACCTTCCCAGGTGGAGAAGCTGTATGCCTCCAAAACCTTTGTCGTCCTGATCAGGTTCAAAGCCGCCCTTGCAGATCGAATATATTTCTGCATATCGATCTCGAGCGATTCAAAAACCTGTTCAACCATAAATAGTTCGGCGGCCTCTCTCTGCGCCTTGGAAAGCTGTCTGGCCATAGTGGCATTCAGAGCCCCGATAGTGAGCTGGTCGGAAGTGATTGGCTCAGTCAGGCTGAAGCCCGATGTTTCGGCAGTGGATGTAGCCATGGCTAGCAGCTAGCTTTATTGTCCTATCGATGTCCTGTTAGTTTGAAACCGTTGTTGGCGATGCTTCTAGGATGTGTAGTGATTACCTTGACCGTTCTGTAGGTAGAGGATGACTCGGAGAGGCTTCTGAAGACTGAGTAGGTGGCGCAGATCTGAGGGAGCAACTTGATGTTAGCGAGAACAAATATTTAAAAGAAGGAGGGATGCCGTATTACATCGCTAGGCGAAAGTTGGTTGGTGTTGCTTCGGTATAGAAGATACCACGCGGAGTTTCGCGGTCGAAGAGCAGTGCCGAGCGCCGAAGAGCTGGGATAGAGAGAGGGCCTGAAGGAAAATCGGGACGAAAGTAAGCTCGGCCTGTGTGCTTTGAAGATGTTGTGTTGAAGTTTTGGCACAGATTTTTTATCCAGTGTTTGGCTTAAGTAGTCCCTCGGCCATGATTCACTCTCGTTCAGTCCTGCGGAGAGAATTTGCCCCCTCACTTATTTTCTGGTGCCTTTCCCTTACAATTTCAGAGCTCCACGGTATGGTATTCAAGCTTGCCTTGTTTGCAACGTAGTCGGGTGACCATTATTCTTATCGTGCCATGCATCTTAAGTCGTTTGGATTGGCAAACGCGCTACGTTTGACACGTAAAAGAACCCATACATTGCCCAAGAGGCACACAACAAAGAGTAGGGGAGGATAATCATGCACTACGCCTATACATGTCAAACTCTTATGTCCGCTGAAAGCAAAGTGGGAGGCATGAGTCAGCGGAGATGAAGATGCTGTTGCCAACGGCTTTCACAAAGCGAGAACCTGCGAAGACGAAAGGATCATAAAACTAGGGGATTCGCCAGGCAAACAAGTGTAATACACAAATGTGGGAGGCAGTTGGATAAACATTGATTATTTTCCCGTGTCTCTATGACACAACACGTCTAGTTTGCTCGAAGCTTCTGCTTCACACGTTTTCTCTTTCCGCCAACCTCTCGTCCCTCTTCCACCTCCAGAAGAGCCTCTCGCTTCTTCTCGCCCACCACCTTGAGGGCATCCCGGATTACACGCGTCTCCAAGTTGACACCCTCCTCCTCCCATGCCTCCATCTGACGACCGACACGCTCCTCAATTGCGAGTACGAGCTCCACATCCCGCTGTCCCACAAATGTAACAGCCTCACCCTTGCGTCCCGCACGCGCAGTACGGCCCACTCGGTGGATGTAGTCATCGGGGTCGCGGGGGATATCATAGTTGATGACAAGGCTGACCTCGGGGATATCGAGACCACGAGCGGCGACGTCGGTGGCGACGAGGATCCGGGCTGCCGCCGCTCGGAAGCGGCCCAGGTTGTCGATTCGCTGCCTCTGGGGAAGCTTGGAATGGAGTGAGGTGACTCGGTGGTCAAGCATTCTCAGTAGATGGTGGAGGTAGTCCGCTGTCGAGGTCCTGTTGCAGAACAAGATGATTGATTTTTCCACATTGGCGTCAGTGAGCAGGAAGGTGTGCAAATAGTGTTCCTTGTGGGTGACCGGAATTTGGAGATGCATCTGCTTCAGGGTCGCAGGAATGGCCAACATCTGGGTATCAACCTCGCATACAAAGACCGGTTGCTTCCCCGGCTTGATAGGCATGTTCTTCAACGCCCGGACTTCCGGAGTTATGGTAGCAGTGAAGAGAAGTGTCTGTCGCTCTGTGGCCGGTGGCAGGACGGAGAGACATTCCTCAACGTCGGGGAGCATGCTGCCGGTTCCGGTGCCATTGAGCAAGCGATCTGCCTCATCGAGAACAACATAGCGAACTCTTCTCAATCCACAAATGGTGTCTTCTCCAGACGTTCGGATGTGATCCGCCAGACGGCCTGGAGTCGCAATCACCACGTGAGGCCGCTGGGCCAACTCGATGGCTTGAGCTCGCATGTCGGATCCACCTGTGACGAGGATGGCCTTGAGGCTCTGGGGAGACGAGATGGCCTTGATCTGTTCATAGATCTGAAGGGCCAGCTCACGAGTGGGCGTCAAGACGACGGCAAAGATACCAGTAGGGTCTTCTGCCCATTTCTGGAGGATAGGCACCGCAAACGCAACCGTCTTTCCTGAACCTGTTCGGCTACCACCAATGCAATCTCTGCCCTTGAGAATCTCAGGGATGCAGCCCTTCTGAATACCCGTCGGCCGCCTGATGGCCATATTGGCCAACGACTGGACTAACCATGGGCGAACATTGATCGCTGAGAAGGTAGTATTAGGATCGGTAGGGGCGAGAACTGAAGCCTGGGGGGCTTTTTGAGCTTTCGCTGGAACATCCTTCTGGTCCTTTTTGGTATTTTTCTTGATTCGCGAGGGAGCTTGAATCGTGGGAAGCACCTGCTTCAGCTCCTCCTCGTCTTCGTCTTCATCCTCATCGTCAACTTGGGGCACCGGGGAAGGCGAGGTCCTTCTTCGCTTCCGGGACACGGCACTGTCGAGGTAGTCGGACTCGTCAGACGATGAGACGACGTCAGACACATCGGGGGCGTCTGACGCAGCAGTCGCGTGGTCGGGATCGGCGGGCGGCAACATGGCTCGGCTTTATAAATTGCAGGAGTTTGTCGAATCCATTCGTACAATGCGAATGGGAAATTTTTGGCGGCAGCAGTTGTCGCAAAACGGGGCCCTAGCGGGTGCGGGTGGGGCCGACCGGGCTGGTGGGTCCAATCGCAAGAATGGTTGTGTAGACGCGCGCTTAGAAGAGTGATGGCGATCGGCTGTCACACGCAAAGCGAGACTCCAGCAGTCTGGGTAACTCGCTAGAGAATGGTCTAGGCTTTCAGAGCGCCCTAGGTCATGGAATCATTGGGTCGTACAAGTCTGGACAACCCGATGCAGGAGCAGGGACGCCAAGGGAGCGGGATGAGCGCCCTTCACCGTCGGTTAGTTGCGAGCCAGTGAGGGCTCGGGAGGGGTCATCTGTATGTAAGCGGGGATGTGACTGTGATGAAGTGAGAAATGATGGTGAATTGCCTCCATTGATTTGACTCGCGATGCTTGATCTGCGTCTGACAGATATGACACACGACCCAAGAGTCAGGGCATGAGAAATCATGATGAAATGGACACAGGGGCTGACATCAAAGACAATGGGAGCATTGGGGGCTGTCCACGCAGTGGACTATCACTCGTCAATAGGTAGGTACTGCATGAAGAAAAAGAGACCAAACAACCAAGTACTACGACAGTACGTAGCAACAAATGCATGCCTTTGCTTGGCAGGGCCATGGTTGGCTCTGTTCCCGGCACCTTTTCTCGCGACACGGCTCCAGGTCCTAGCTGGCGTCGAACGATGAGTTCTGATGCACCTGGCCTAGGAGCTGCGGTTGGGCCACGTCGATGCAAGGCGAGCGCCCTATCCCATGCGTCTCCACCATGCAATGCGCAATGCAGCGCTCCGGGATGCGATCCGGGCATGGGAAATGGGCCGCATGCCTTGACGGCGGCTTGAGGAGGAGAGACATGTTGATGTTGAACAGAGGCACGAGGCTGATTCGTCCGACCGCGAGAGATTGCGTGGCGTGGACGTCAACAAAGCCCGGCGGGAGGCCACAGTGAGAGAACAAGGCGATAGCTTGGGGCAATGGCTTGAGTTCGCACGGTATGTTGACGAATGCGCTTTTCGATATCCAGTCTGGTGATCCCTTGGCGAGCCCCTGCAGGGCATAGCACAGGACCTCAAGACACCGGGGGAAACGCTGTCGGGTTGGACAGTCGAGACTGGTGCTGCCGCCACCGTGCCGTCGTCCGTGGTTGGGGGCGAGGAGGGAAGCCAGAAGGAGGAGAAGGTGGTGTTGGTGCTGGGGGACGAGTCGGAAGAGAGCGGAGCCATCCTGTTTCTGGCTGGCAGTGCGGTGCAGTACCTAGTTACGCCGTCCCAGCAGTGGTTCATCGCTAGGACATCCATCTCACCGTGTGCTGTGCGTCCTTCTTACCGTCGTTTGTTTTGCTTTTTTCTGCCGCCTGCTTCCTCAGTAAACCTGGACCCCAGTGTGTCATTGCTTCGATGACAGGTTGGGCCCCCGACATGCCCATTCAAGAACCGCCAAAGAGGGCATCCGCACGCGTGCCGCTGCACCCTGAGTCACAGTGAGCGGAGGGCCTGGACTCCCCCGCCCATGGCGAAGGTACCTGAGGGAGCCAACAGCGAGCCTCCAGCAGCGCCCGAAACGTCCCCCGCCCCGGCCCTAGCGCCCAAGCGATAATCCCCCCGCCTGTGGGCTGGGGGAACCTGGGCGCTGGGTGCTGGGTGCTGGGCACTGGGCATCGGCACAGGGCGTAGGTACCTCCTGCGTAGTACGGAGTAGCCGCCCGGACGTAGGTTACTGGGCCTAGAGCGCCACCACCGCGAGCTTGGTGCTTATGGCGGACGAGTTGGGTTGTCTCGCTCTTAGCCCTACAACGTAGTAGGACTTGGCGCTGTATTTTGCTGTACCTTCCCTGTATTTCGCCCCCTGTAGCCTGTGCGTCCTCCGCGTCCAGGCTCTCCGTTGGCGTTAACAGCCCACCGAGCCACCGAGGTCTCTCACCCGCCCCTCCACCAACTTGTACCTCCCTCCTCTATCCCAGGCTGAGTGTACTCCACCACTACGTAGTCCACCCGCTCACCCCCCCCAAACCCACCCAATCCACTCCTCCCGCCCACTCTCGATCCTCTCACATCCTCTCACTTCCTTCTCCTCTCGTTTCGGATCCTCACAAAGACGTGTCGCTCGTCGCCACGCTCTAGTACTTGTCTCGCTCGCCCTGCCACTGTTGGGCCTTGTTGAGCCGGCTACCTGCTTTCGACCCTACCGCCACAACTTGCTCCTCACACCATCTCGCAGCTTCCAGCATAGACTGCTGCCCCCAGCGTCTCCGACTACATTACATATCCCAAGCACCACCTTCTCCCGTTCGAACTACGCACACCTTCACGACGCTCGCTCTCCGTCCATTGATTGCTTTTGGCTATCTTATTATACATCAACCAACGCCAGCTTCAATTCACCGCTGTATAGCTGCCGACCGCGACCTGCTTTCACGACAACCGATTACTTCTCTAGTCCAGCATCCGCATTCCCGACCGCCAACCCGTACCACCACGATCGGATAAACGCCCCTGCTGCGAGGTCGCTGCTGTACCTCTGGCCCCGGCCTTTATATACCAACCGCCCTTACTCCCCTCGATTTCCTCCTATCCTCCGTCAGCTGCCCGAGGCAGCCCGACATCACCGAAATGGCTGATCAAGCACCACAAATTCCTCACGGGATCGACCCAAACGCCCAACATGTACGTGCAGCCCGGCCCCGGCTTGAATACCCCATTACTGACTCTTCCAAGATCCCCTCTGCAATGCCTATTCCTCTTCCTCTTTCCAACTCAGGCCCCACTGTTCCTCTACTCCGTCCTGCCATCCCCGGTGCCCGAAGTGGTGGAGCGCGAACACCCAGACTCGGCCTTGCTATCCCCCCATCTCCAAATGCCAAGGCTGTTGGCAACCAGGGCGCGCCAGCTATGGCCCCTTCAAGGCCGCCGCTACCCACACTGCATCTAGCGACTCCGATGGGAAGTCAAGTCGCTCCTTACGAACAGCCTCCCCGATTACAATGCACAACTCAGCCCGGTCACTCAGCAAGTGGAGGAAGCGAGAGCAGTGCTGCACACTCGAGGTCTGGTAGTTTTGGTCCTTTGGATGGCAGAGCAAGCAACCCCACTTCCGCCGGCTCACAATACTCGGCACTATCATTTGCATCCCAGTACGGTATTGGCGTGTCAAGAGCTCAGGGCACACCAGACCCTGTATCAGCAGTTGGATCCATGTACTCGGAGAGGAGCGAAGGTGGCGTTTCCATGGAGAGAGACGGCAGTCTGCAAGGACTTGAGGCCTTCGACAAGCTAAGCCTTGAAAAGGCAAGGACCCTCGACGTCGACGAGTTAGACGAGGAGGGTTGGAGAATCGCCAGCATGGAGAAGCGGATCGTTGAGATGGGCAACCTAGGTGAGGGGGCTGGAGGCGCCGTGACCAAGGCCAAGCTCAAGGGCGGTTCCACCGTGTTTGCTTTGAAGGTCAGAGACAAACGATCCCAGTATCCAAAATTAACGGCTAACATCGGACTAGATTATCACTACCAACCCCGACCCCGATGTCAAGAAGCAGATTCTTCGAGAATTGGGCTTCAACAAAGAGTGTGCCTCGGACCACATCTGCCGGTATTATGGTGCCTTCGTGGATCCTGCCACTGCCACCATCTCTATCGCCATGGAGTTCTGTGAGGGTGGTTCGCTAGACAGCATCTACAAGGAAGTCAAGCGACTGGGTGGACGAACAGGCGAAAAGGTTTTGGGTAAGATTGCCGAAGGTGTCTTGGGTGGTCTTACGTATCTTCACACCCGACGAATCATTCACCGAGACATCAAGCCATCCAACATTCTCCTATGTCGAGACGGCGCTGTCAAGCTCTGCGATTTTGGCGTTTCCGGTGACTTCGGAACCAAGGGCGAGGCCAACACCTTCATCGGAACCAGCTACTACATGGCTCCTGAGCGAATCACGGGTCAATCTTACACCATTACCTCCGACGTGTGGTCGACTGGAGTCACCCTCCTTGAGGTCGCACAGCATCGCTTCCCCTTCCCGGCCGATGGTACGGAGATGCAGCCCCGAGCTGGTCTCATCGACCTGCTCACCTATATTGTGCGACAAAACGTTCCCAAGTTGAAGGATGAGCCCGATATGGATGTGTACTGGAGTGATAACTTCAAATACTTTATCGAGTGCTGGTATGTTGTGAATCTCTACTCCTCACATCTACATCTTTTTCTGACAATGTTACAGTTTGGAAAAACAGCCTCAGCGCCGGGCAAGCCCGTGGAAGATGATGGAGCATCCCTGGATGGTAGAGATGCGCTCCAAGCGTGTCAACATGGTCAAGTACCTCTCCTTTGTGTGGGGTTGGGAAGATACACCCCAGACCTCGTAAACAGACACAAGGCACTCAAAATTAGGAGCACAAGGATGATTTGAGCAACGATGTACCTCACGTTACATGCGAGGGAATACTACACCTCACGCCCATGCATCTCCTGCCCATGACGACGTGAAAAGGCTGGGCCTGGGTCATGAGGAAACCATCGGAGATTGCGAATCTACGGACATGGTGTGGACGATATTTTCAGATCCATGACAGGGAAATGCACTCGCGGCCCCATGGATGCGGCGACGGCGGCGAAGATGATAGCGGGAGACGATGTCACGCAAGAGTTGGGCCGGGTTGGAACTGCAAGATTGCTGTGTTGGAAACAGGATGCCTTGAGGAGGGCAGAAAATATCCTCTCATCTAGCGAACGCTCCACGCGTCCGCATTATATGTATTTTCCCACTAATAGATGGGTATCAAAATTTAGGATACAGGCATTTCTCCACCACCTGTGCTTGTGCAACGCCCTAGACGTCATCTCACCCATTCGTGACTACTCTTGCACGACTCAAGCCGCGACCGGCTCCTCCGGGGTGTCGCCCATAAGATCTCGCAGCGCAACTGTGGCGTACGCGCTGCGGCCGAGCTGGAACTTGACCACCACCGCAACCTTTGTTGGCTCCGGTGCGGAAGAGACGGTGGTTGCAACCTCCGCCGTCAAAGGCGCCTCCTTAGATCCGTCCGCCTCCGTCATCTCGACGTCGACAGTGGCTGGTGCTGAGGCGCCCTCCACCTTGGGCTTCTTAGCGGTCTGGTCGTCGTTGGCATCCTCGCGGCGGCGCTTGCCACCGTGGCCGTCGCTCTTGGACGTCGCCTTGATGGTGTCCAAGTCGGTCGGGTGCATCTGCTCCGTGTCGTCGGCGTAAGCGCGGACCTCGACCGACGGCGGTGCCAGGAAGCGGTTCATGATCTTGCGGTACCGGCCGGGGAGGCTGAACTCGCGGCGCATGCGGCGCATCTTGTGAGGGTCGAGCCCGCCGTTCTCCTCGGCGCCCATGAACTCCTCGTAGAAGGTGCCCATCTCGTTGTCCGGGTACACGACGTCGTACCCCGGCGTAGGAAGCACGACATCGTAGACGGTGAACTGCCCGCTCGCAGCCTCCTCGGCGGTGAGGGGCCGGGCGCGCACGGGGGCCTCGTCGTCGTCCTCGGTAGGGTTGACGATGTCGTCGCCGTCCTGGTCCTGGCCGCTGACGAGAGGCGTGGCGTCGACTTGGGAGATGACGAGGTCGCCCTTGACGACCGTCTCGCCGTGGAGCTCCCAGCGCTTGCTGGCGGCGTGGTTCCAGATGTAGGACTGGAGCGCGTGGAGGTACATGGAGCGCAGGCCGCGGGTGATGTGGATGAGCGCGCCGACGAAGTCCTTTCGGGACTGGGCGCCTTGGCGGTTTAGGTGGCGGAGAATGCAGCTCTCGGCAGCGAAGCGTCTGGGCATGATCCTAAGGGCTTTGTCGACGTCCTTGCCCGTCAGGAATAGCATACAAGCCTGGTTACGAGCATAGTCGTCCCTCTTGGATGCTTCCTCGGGAACTTCTCCCGCCTCGGCCTTGGCGGCGATCTCCTCGTCGTAGTGAAGCAGTGACTTGACTGCCTCTTCGTACTTTTCACTGAGGATCAGCTTTCCAATGTCGTGCGTGCCGATCTCGTGTGTGCCGAATCTCTGGTGACCAAAGTAGTTGATCCAGCCATGTTCACCCATGTGAGTAATGGCAGACTCGACGTTGGTCTTCAGCTTCTCTACTCTCTGAGACAAAGGCTCATCCTTGGATTCGCCAACCATCTCACAGTTCTTGATGGCAATGACGAACTCGTTGCCCAAGAGCTGGCCCAGGTACACTGGCTTGTCGTGGTACTCATAGTCCCCAGTGGAGACACCCCACAACCGGCCATTGATACCAGCGAGGTTTCTCGAACGCATATAGCGCACTGAGCATCGCTGCACAGTTGAAGCTCTGCGGTCTTTTGTTCCGGCGTATGCAATAGACTGGGGCTTGGCCTTGAGGAATCGCGAAACCTGGTTCACGGCATCCATGGTGTCTCGGTTCTCCTTGAACAGGGTAAAGTGGAGGTATTCACCCGTGGGCCTGTCCTCGCGGTTGCCACGGTTTCCGCGAGCACCTCGGCTCTTCCTGTTGTTTGGCTTTCGTGGTGGTACGAAGCTGGCGATGATGGCTCCTGAGTCGCCTGTGTTGGTGTCGATCTGAGACTTGAAGATGCGTCGAATCTCCTGGTGGATTTGGCCTCGCTTAGGTCTGTCCTCTATGGGCTGCGAAGTGACTGACTTCTTCTTCTCGTGATCAGCCGCAGCACCGGCCTTGTACAGCTCTACGACCTCCTTTGTGAAGTTCGCGTCGGTAAGAGCCTCGAGGGCAGCCACATCTTCGGGCGAGACCTCTCGCGGTTGCTCAGGCTGGGCGGGGGTGGCTGCTCCATTGCCATTGCTCGCCGCTTCTTTATTCTCCTCCTGCTTTCCAGTTTCTTGCTTGGCTCCCTCTTTCGCTGCCTCAGAATTGGACTCCCGCTTGGCCTCGGTTGTCTGCTGGCGACGTTAGCTCATGAATAAGGCAATGAGGAGACCAAAGTACCTGTGTCTCATCATCACCCAATCCCACAGTCTTCAGATGGAGAACTGTTCCATCTTCCCTGATTTCATTTACTTGAAAGTCGGAGAACCTGGAGGGCATCAGAATTGTAAGTTTGAAATCGCTTCACTTGCTACAGCTTACCTCGCGCGAAGATCGCCCGTCCAAGCCGCAGAGAGTGGAGTGGCGCGCTGGGTAATGCCGAGGGTCTTGTTGTAGGAGGCACTTCCGCGCACCGCGAAATGAGGTTGATCGGCCATCGTAGTTGCGAATTGTCGTTGGAGAGGTATGCGCCGGCGACAATTCTACTGAAGATGCGACACGGGTATGTTATTTTACCCTTGTATAGCGGGGCGACTTTGCGACAGGTAATTTTTCATCCGGCAGTTATTTTCATGGGCGCCTAATCTAGAAGGCGGTGAAGTTTCTGAGGCCGCGATTGGAAGGCGGTGAGGCCAATGTTCCCAGATGGAGGTACAGGGTAAGTCCCTTCTCATCACGTCGCGTAAAGTTGTCATGCGATTCATGTGGATGAAGTTATCATGATTCTTTTGGCCGTTTATTTGGCTTATTTATGTACTTGGGCAGTGGGGTGGATTATATAAACACATCTCTGTCTGCTCAAAACAGCCTCGTTGCTTAAATTCGGGACTTGATACCTGGACCAGCTGCAGTCCGAATCAGCTGGATATCCATCAACTGTTCCTTCTCAAGAGCCTCAAGCATCACTAAAACAGGAGGACATTTCATGTGCTTGTCCAAGGCCTCTTGATCATCATAGCTATTATCCGTATTAGTTAAATACCACCCTTCTCTAGCAAGAGTCAGGTTTAATAATTACCCTTCAAGGACGACAAATTGCTCCTTGCCATCGTTGAGCTCCTTAATGCCACGGTGCAATTCGTATCGATGAACATAGGGCTCGTTAGCCTGAACGTACTGGGCGCACATATCGAAGAGCTCTAGGAACTATTCGAAATGAGCCAACTGCCATAAAAGTGTTGTCAAGTGGGCGGGGAACCTACTCGTTCTGCTTTTCCCGGCTTGGGGGTGATGATAGCTGTCAACTGGATGGGCGCCATGTCTGCCACAAATAATCAAAGTTGAGTCCGACTAAAGAAACCAAGTTCTAAATGAAGACAGAAATAAGTTCTAGGATTTAACTGAAGGGGCATGGAATAGGGGGACTGTATTATAATTAACGAGGGGCCGAGGGCCGTCGTTTACCGCGACCCTTACCCTTAGACTCGACTAACACGGAAAATGTTTGCCTGAAGAGTTGCCAAGAAAAGTCGCTGGCGCCAAATGAGCTTTTGCACTAGAGCGATTGCATGATGAAACTTCCTCAGCGATAAGGAATGCAAATGTTCGAATTGTCTTAATTAAAAAAATACTGGATAGGGACTTTTGGTTTGCGCACACATGTCCAGTACTATGACATGGCTGCCAGGGTGAGGCATTGCCGAGAGCATCATGGCGTGAGGGAACAGCTGAGGGACTGGGGTTAGGAGCGGGATGCGACCATTTCCGTTTCCACGACTACGACCAAACTTCAATCGCGTACCTACCTATAATGGGAGGACTGTAAGTGTTCAATCTGGCCTCTTGCTGCAGGTGCTGCTGGTATAGCAAGGCTTGCCTGCCGAGTCCGTTTTGCGATGGGCGATGACGCACATACTATCGCAAACGACGAGGCGCGAACATCACAGCACATGCGCCCTCTTCTCCTTGCCGTCTCTGCACCGGCCGTCTAGCTACCAAAAGCCATAACTTACCTATATTCCTTGATAATCCAACCTTCTTTCATCCCTCTACATGACCGCACAGATTGCCACACGACCCACCTCTGGACTCCTTAACCCGCGTCCTGCTATTGAAGCGCGGACCAGCATCTGACATATTAACCATGGGAGGACAAAGACATGTCGGTCCAATATCAGCCGCATGTCACGCCGCAGAACCGAGTACTAAACGAAAGACCGACCTCCTCATCCTAAGGTTGCACAAAGTACAACCTCCTCTCGCCATACCCTGGAAATGCCCAACAGATTATCAGTGAGCTATTGTCAAGTAAGCAGGGGCTCCCATCTCCCAAGAAGCTTCTCTCACTGATGCATACAGGTGCCCTTGTCAGCAGGGCTCGCTTGTGACTATGAATGGATGTACGACGGCTCTTCCGACTACCTGACGCACCTCAGAAGTACGACACGCACTTTGGGAATGGGATAATCGCAGATCAGCTTACGGTACATAGACCCTCTCTCTGTAATTGGCTCGGTCGAATCCTTCCATGACCATGGTATACCTTCCGACGATGGCCTCGACGAAGGCTTGCTACTCGACCTCTGCGACTCAGTCCGCTCCAGCCTTGGAGAAAGACGCAGACTGGGACCACGATGGGAAGAAGCTATGGGGTTCTTGGAGGCCGTGTTAAAAGACGAGGTCGACGGCATGCCAATGATTGAATTCGCAACCATCCAGAACGCACGCCTCGACAAACTACTCTCTGACATTGTGAGCCCCGGAAACCGCCCGATGCCGACTCCGACTAGGTTTCGAGACGACGTAATAGTAGCAGAGCGGCTTCAAAGGCTGTGGAGGACCCGATTTTTGGAGGGCTACTTTACCATCGATCAGTACCGCTATCACAATCTCCCCAGAACAGGCCGACTCAAGGATGTGGTGATGAACGACACCGACGAGAGCTCACAGGGACGTTGGAGAGCCAAGACTCGTGAAGCGCTATCAGAACTCGAAGGAAACCTGAAATTTGAGCCCGGACAGTGGGTCGTCCCCGTCAAAGAAAAAAATGCCAGGAATGTTGCTGACTGCGAATAAGTTGGTGGCTAAACTTGGCCTGCGCTCATCGCGATGGCATTGTTGGAAGTGTACTGGAAACACCCACCAAAGGGACGTACGGTATTACAGCGCTGCCCCTCGTCACTGGGTGGGAGAATGTATATCTGCCTGGCGGGACGGTTAAGTATGTCAAAGAGGGACATATTTCGGAAGTCCATGTATCGCTACTATCCCAAGTCGGCACTCAAATCCGGATCCTGCGTGGGCATCGACTTCACAGCCCACTCGCCCCAAAGGCTGGCATACGATACGACGGGCTGCAAGTTGAAACTAACCCATGTGCTGTGACACGGGACTGACCTTGCACTAGATATATCATTCGCCAGTATGGTCAAAGACTCAACCTTAGAACGGGGCTTCACCGTGTTGTTCTCACTCTCGAACGGGTCAACGACTCATTCTCTGTGGATGGGCTTATTAGAATCCCTCGCCCCTCGCAGCTGGATGACTGGAAGCTTTTTGAGACGTACGAGGGCGAGATGGTCAAGCAGAAGGTGGGACAACGAGGGTTCCTTGACTGGAAGATGGAGAGGGCCCAGGAGAGAATGGACCAGGAGCAATACATGAGGACGCTTGCATTCCAAACCTCGTTGGAGCTGGCCAAAATAGGGCAGCCGAGTCCGGTCCAGTCTTTTGTCAAGACAAAGGGAAAACGAATTGAGCCAATGTAAACAAGATACCATAAATTGCTGCAATCGGAAAATATTTGAACAAAGAAATCAATGCCCAGCCGAGGTTGACGAACCTGGCGCATCTGCATATCAATCATCGTGCACCATTGGGTGAGGGGCACTTTTCACCCAGATGGCGGGGCACCTATTTTATTTAACCCACCACATCCGACGTCCTCTCACCACCACCAGCGGAACATCGACGACGTACGCAAAGATGGGAAAGAACGACAAGAAGGGCGGCGACAAGGGCGGCGGGAAGGGAAAAGGCGACAAGAATAAGGGCGGCGACAAGGATACCAAGGAGTCTGGTGGCAAGGCCAAGGGCGCCATGTCCATCAACGTCCGCCACATTCTGGTACGCCTTGGCAATGGGCGCTCAGCACAATGACGCCACTACCTAATTGTGCATGCTGACGGGCGATTATAGTGCGAAAAGCACTCCAAGAAGGAGGAGGCGTTGGCCAAGCTCAACGAGGGAGTCAAGTTTGACGAGGTGGCGCGCGAGTATTCCGAGGACAAGGCGCGACAAGGTCAGTTTACAACTGGGTGTTGCGCATCAAGATTTGAAGCACGGCCATGGACTGACGCTGTGACTCTAGGTGGCTCACTAGGATGGAAGATCAAGGGAAGCTTGGATCCCACCTTTGAAGAGGCGGCCTTTGCTCTGGAGCCGAGCACCACTGGTAGCCCCAAGTTCGTCGAGGTGAAGACGGGCTTTGGATATCACATCATCATGGTGAGTTTGGTCCACAAGCATCACTCTGCAACAGGCTGACTAACGGTATGCCTAGGTCGAAGGTCGAAAGTAGAATCCACAATTGACAGAAAGAATCGGCCGGAGACTGATAGCACATTTGTATCTCGCCATAATAAGCTAAGTCCATCTCTACTACGTGCAGCCATATCTTGGACAAAGCCGCCATTCTGTACAGACAGATGTTACCTTGAGAAATACCAGCCCAAAATGCTGATTGGAAGGTAGAAGCGCACGGATGCAGCGAGAAAACATGACCAGTCATGCTCATATGTCAGGTGCTGGCCCTATGATGAGCAGGATCGTGGCGTATGTCCGATGTTAGTCTTGGCGACGCTGAGGGCGAAGGCTTGCGACGTCCGTACAGTACCTACGAGATGCCCAGCTTTCATATACGTGGACATCACATCTACTAAAGGTTTAGTGGAGACAATATTGATGATGCCCAATTTTTTTTATATTCCTCTCGATGCAATATGGCCGTGAGACGTCAGGCCTAAACCCATTCAGATGCCAACCGAAGTGGCCAGAGTACAATGACAAAGTCATGTCGAGTTGTCCCGAAACAGAGTCCGCACCTCTAGTCCCCTTCACATCCAACGCCGTCCAAGTCCATGCATTTACTGCTCGGTCTGGAAGTAGTTGAGGAGGACAGAGCGCTCCTGCGACTCCTCACCCCAGTCCTTGACAACGACGCAAGAGCAGTTGACGACCTTGCGGGCGTTGCCCTCGCGGTCCAGGACGCCTGTATCAACCTGTTAGCACTTGGCTCAAACATATGTAACCCCACCACCATGGAAAAGAACATACAGAGTCCGGCCCACTCGCCGAGCTGCTTGCCGTCGGGGATCTTGATGAGGGGGATGTTGTGCTCGCTGCAAAGAGCGATAACGAGCTTCTTGTAGGCCTCCTCCTCGCAGTTCTCGTTCAGGACACACATGTGAGCCTGTCGTCGGTCGAGGGCCTTGGAAGCCTCTCGGAGACCGCGGGCGAGACCGTCGTGCATAAGAGCGAGCTTCAGGGCACCCTTGAGGGCGTCGAGAATGGACATCTGACCCTTGGGAGCATCGCCGGAGACCTCAATCTCCTCGCTGACCTCGGGGGCGTTGTTCTCTTCTACGTCCGACTATTTCGATACTCGTTAGCGACCGTGTCCGCGAATATTCCCCCCGCCACAAATTCCCAGTTCAGGCGCATCGCGCAACCGCGCGCCCGGGCAATTGGCGGAAGATGCGGCGACAGCGTTGCAACTCACCATTTTGGTATGTTTTTCTTGTCGGGCGATCCTCGAAGATTTTTATGTGTATCAAGAAAATGGAAGGGGGGGGGGGGTTTGCGTCGTGATCTGGAAGTGTCTTCGTTTGGTTCCACGCAGATTTGCCGAAATCTAAACGACCGAGTGCGCGGGCCCTTAGGGCATTTTTACGTGCACGGACCACCAGGGCACACCACTTTCCACCTGTGGGTTCGTGTCACTTTTTTTTCCCACTCGCGCGCCTCTCCTGTTACCTTTCTACCCACTCGATCACGAACAACTCAAGAGGTATGTACAAGTGACGCTCGTAGCGATCCGAATCCAACAGGATGATGCCTTTTACCATGGCAGGGGAGAGCAATCCTGAGCGTCTCTGGCCGTGAGGCTCGACGATTGATGATTGACGGCTTCACCGACCGGCGACGTCTCTCGATACGCTTCTCCTCTTCAGCACACTGGGCGGCAGAACCCTCGGCGATCGATCGTTGAGGGCACTCTCCTCGCTCATGGCCTCGAAAGGCTAACCTCGATTGCTATGGCAGATACCTCATTTCCCGTCTCGATTTGAGAATCTCCAACAAACCGCCAAAATGGTCCGCACTTCCGTTCTCCACGATGCGCTCAACGCCATCAACAACGCCGAGAAGGCCGGCAAGCGTCAGGTTATGATCCGACCCAGCTCAAAGGTCATTATCAAGTTCCTCCAGGTCATGCAGCGCCACGGTATGTCCCCGACATTTCTCGTCCTCTATCTTCGCTTCTCCTTTTCCCATCTCTCGTTTGCACCCTGTTCGGCATGATAACTAGGGCTACCGTCGATACTGCCCCACGACTCAGCCCCTATAAATTGCCGATAGATTTAAACTCAGAGATCTTACAACGTGTTTCTGAATTTTATAACCCATGAGGTCTTACGTTTTAGTCTCTTGAAACATTTCTAACCATTTTGCAGGCTACATTGGCGAGTTCGAGGAGGTCGACGACCACCGCTCCGGCAAGATTGTCGTTCAGCTGAACGGCCGTCTCAACAAGACTGGTGTCATCTCTCCCCGATACAACGTCCGTCTCGCCGATCTCGAGAAGTGGGTCGTCAAGCTACTGCCCGCCCGTCAGTTCGGCTATGTCATCCTGACCACCTCTGCCGGTATCATGGACCACGAGGAGGCCCGCCGCAAGCACGTTGCCGGCAAGATCATTGGTTTCTTCTACTAAACGGGACGGATATCAAAAGTTTTAAAAAAGAAAGCCTGGCATTCTCGGCGTTAGGGGTGGATTATGATGACAATGACCGATGCGATTTTTACAGCCCTCGTGCTGGTCGCACACGCGAGCACTAGTAATGGAACCTTGACGAGATGTTCAGAGCCACATACTCAAGTTGTTGTGCATGTGTCGTGAAAGTGATGCTGCTGCTGTCATTGTTGCCCCTATTTGAATGTGTTGATGCCCCTGACGGATGCGACGGTGCTCGAGTGGGAGTATCTTGTGCAACCAATTTTAAAACCTCGTGATTGCATAAACCCGCATATACTTCAATGGCCACGGAATGTCATTTTTCATCGATTTGGTCCTTGGCCCTGGTCAAATTGAGCTATGCCAGATTCATGCTAGATTTCTCCAGCAAAGATCCAGGAGTCAGGGCGAGGGAAACTAAAGGTGGGGGTCATCCGGCCAACCGCCGTTTGTTTACTTTGGTGACGAAATCGTCCCCATTCGCCAGTCAGCGCTCGCGATCTGTCCACCAGCAATCTCCGCTACGGGTGTTATTCTTCCAACAACTGTACGATATTCTGCTGTAAATATACTGCCAGATACACCCCCCCAATAATATCGACTATCCTCCATACCTCCCTGCAATATTGAACCGATCTGGAATCGGCAAGCGTGACAGCTGCTCGACCCTGCAATCCAAAAGAGCACATTGTTGATCCGACACCATTCGATGCGAATACCCTGACTCGACGATGATTATACCGTCTTGAAGCCTGGTCTTGACATTCGAATGCAGTACAAGCCTTGCTGTCCCTCGATTTTTGGGCCTTCTAATTTCTCTTCTAACTCGAACGTCATTTCTGTCAGACACAGAGCCGGGGCTTAACTTCGTGATGGCCACTCGATCTGGTCGACAACGGCTTTTTACGGCTACAACCCTCCTCTGCTTCTGTTTCTTCGCCTACACGTTCCTACGAATCCCTATTGAACCGCCGCTATCTCAGCCTGAGACTGTCGATCGAGATCCCGTACCTGAACCCATCCCCGAGCCCGACTCGAAACAGGCGCCAATCCCGACTGCAGTGCTGGGTTGGGAAGATGTCCCAGTGGTGGCGGGCGGACCAGTGCCCAAAGGTGCGCCTGGGACGGCAGAACACCCGATTTCGTATCTCATCCGCGATGCGGAGAGCGAAATTAAGGAGATGGAGGCTCGACAGTCCAAGACGCTTGGAGACGCCGTGACAGAGTATCGCAGGCGGTACCAGATGCCTCCGCCGCCGCATTTTGATAAATGGTTCCATTTTGCGCAAGAGAACCAGGTTAAGCTGGTAGACGAGTTCGATACGATCCACGAGTTGATGACGCCCTTCTGGGGCGTGAAGCCGAAGACGATTCGGGCGAGAGCCAAGGAGGCTTTGGGATTCGACAACGGTTTGATCGGCATCGCTATTCGAAACCACAATGTCACATATATTCAGGGAGGAGACGGGTGGCAGCAGGAGGCGACTAAGGAAATGATGGCAAAGTTCATCAAGTTTTTGCCCGACATGGACCTCGCCTTCAACTTGCACGACGAACCACGGGTTGTCCTCTCGCACGAGGACCTGGCCAACTTGAGACGAAAGGCCAAAGAGGAGAATATTCCCGCGGCATTTGCTATCACCTCGCCGACCAATGAATTCACCGAGAACCACCCCGATTTGAACGACGGCAGGTCCTTCGATGAGACGACGCTGACACGCTTCAACACCTACTCGCACCAGCCAACCTGGAGCGACTCTCGAGTGTCATGCCCACCAGACACTCCCGCCCGGAACCTCGAGGAGGAAGAGAGGGCTGATGACCTGAGCAAATATGGCATGAGCGAACTCGGGTTCGTCTACAACACCACGGCCTTGTCTGACATCTGCCTCACCCCGTCCCTCAGCTCGACATTTGGCTTCTTCGACGGGCCTAATACGTACAAGGTTGTCCACGACCTCTTTCCCATCTTCTCACAGTCCAAGATCTCGTCATACAACGACCTGATCTATCCGTCCCCCTGGTATTGGAGTGATAAGGTCCCCTTCGACCAGGCCAAGGACATTGAATGGGAGAAGAAGCAGAATAAAATGTACTGGCGCGGCTCCACGACAGGTGGGTATAGCCGCAACGGCCGCTGGCGACGACAGCACCGTCAACGTCTCGTGCGGAAGATGAACGGCCCCGGCCAGGCAAAGATCATGGTCAACAATGGCACCGCTGAGCAACCCGAGTGGCATGCGAGCCTGGCCCCAAGGGGCGACTATCGTGATCTCGTCGACGTGCACTTCTCGCATGTCGGTCAATGTGACCCAGGCGACTGCGAGGCGCAGACGGCCTTCTTCAAGGTCGCCGAGCACGAGGAGCAGCAGGACGCCTGGAACTACAAGTATCTGCTCGACATGGACGGCAACGCATTCTCCGGCCGCTTCTACGCCTTCCTGCGAAGCCGCAGCCTCGTCTTCAAGCACGCCGTCTTCCGCGAGTGGCATGCCGAGTGGCTCAAGCCGTGGGCCCACTACGTTCCCCTCAGCATCCAGGGCGACGACTGGCTCGAGACGGTGCGCTTCTTCGACGCCGAGGCGAATGCCCTGGAGACGGAGCGCATCGCTTCAGCGAGTCGGGCGTGGGCGGATAAGACTGTCCGTCCGGTCGACATGGAGGCATGGTTCTTCCGGCTGTTGCTAGAGTAAGTTCATTCTTTGTTTCGTCGCCCTGATCCAGTCCTGGGCGTAATATATAAACCATCGGTGCTAACAGATACAGATACGCTCGTGTTAGTGATGATAAGAGAGAGACCATCGGCTACCATGTCTGAAACGGAGAGAAGACCAGGCGATACCGGAGGACTGGGGCTGTCCGTCGCGGTATAAAGGAAATGATTTCTGGGAGCATAATGACATATTTGGACATGTCTGAAAGCAAGCATATGTATTGATATTAGGTGATGGAGCAGGCCACCCGGCGTCGAAGTGGCTTGTAATTATACCCGGTATACGGTTTGGGACAACGGTTGGGTAGGCGTTCACAATGCAACGAGCATCGATAGAAATTATGGCTTATGATCGGTTTTTTCCATTTTCAGCAAACCTCGATCTATGATAAATGAAACCTGCGCCACGAGCCCAAAATTCGCCAAATGGATGCCACGAAATGGTTGCCATGTCTCTCTTTTTTCGATGTCGCTGATGTCGAGGGTCCCCTGGTAACAAATACAAACGTACAATATGTCCTCCGTAAACTACCACCCGCCGCCAACTTCTACTCGTCCTCCTCGCCCTCCGCGTCCCGGTCTTCGGAGGGTGACCTCGAGCGTCGAGGCGCGGGGCTGCTGCCGTGGTGATCGTCGTCGGCCTCCTCCTCCTGCTCCCAGCCGAGCGGGTGGTCTCGGTACCTCTTCATGGCGTCGCGCATCTCCTCGGTGGGATCGTTGACGGTGACGTCGAGCTGGTCGACAATCTGTTCCTCCTCGTCGGGGAGGCCGATGGTGCGGGCGATGTTCTTTGTTCGCTGGGGGCGGATGGTGGACTTTTGCATCACGGGGTAGTAGTAGACGGCCTTCTGGTTGGGGTAGAAGGTGTCCTCGTTGTAGGCCAGGATAATCTCCTCGTCGTACTTGGTCGGGTGGTCGAGCTCCGTCTCCTGGGCCGTCTCGTAGGCACGGAGGCGATCGAACTGGAAGCAGCCGCCGGTGTCGGTCTCGTTTGTGTAAAGCTCCTCGTCGCCGTGGTCGGGGTTCTCGACGTCGAACTTGCGACGGAAGCGGTCGCCAGCGCCGCCCGATTGGCTGAGGTAGAAGTCGTAGTTCATCAGGTTCTGTGGCTTGGGGTTGTTGGCAGGATCCTGCTCGTGGGCCTCCAGTGCGGCCTCGTACGCCTCCTCCTCGGCTTGCGTCCGATCTATGGGCTTGAACATGCCGCTGAGGAGGCGTTTGTCGTACTCCGCTGAGCTCGGCACAGGGTTTGTGAGGAACTTGAGGGTGACGTAGGCGCCTGAATCTGGGAACGCGTCCAGATCAGGAATGAGAGGCGAGGCATCCACCAGCTTGAGATGCTTCTTTGTGGGGTGCCTGACGCGCTTGGGTTCCTTGAGGTCTTGCTCGGCAACGTCGAAGCCCTTGTCGATCTTGCGCTTGATGGCCTGGGGGGAGTCTGCAGAAGCTTCCACGACACGTCGTCCCCTCTGGGCTTTGGCGAGGAGAGCGCGAGGCAGGGGGCCATCGTGTCGTTTGGTGGACGTGGAGGAGATGTACTCGGTTCGACGAAGGAAGGATACGTTGGCTTCGGCGACCTTGAGCTTTCCGAGAGCGGCAATGGGCCTCAGGAGCGGTCGGTCGTGTGGGTGAAGGGTAGGAGGGTGAGCAGGTGCTTGGATTGCTGTGGAAAGGTCAGCATGATTGATGGAATCTCGGCCAAACGCAGCCGTGGCAGCTCACATCGTTCGTCGCCATCGAAGACGCCTGGCATGCCCACCAGGTCGAGCGGCATTCCCAGCTCGGCATCGGCCTCGATGTTCAGGGGCTGCTCCCTGGCAAGGCGCGAGGCGAAACCGGGCGTGGTATACTGGCCACTAGCCAGGCCCGTGTTGGGGATGTCGAGCAGCTTGGGCGGGTGAGGCGGCGGCGGGAGCGCATTGCTGAAGCGGATGCGGGCGATGAAATCCTGGTGAATCATGCGCTCGCCGGAGCGAGGCGCCGAGGACGACATCGCGGGTGACGACGGGCGACGATGGGCGTCGCGAAGGATTGAGCCGGCAGAGAGCGATGCAGTTGGTTCGGGGGTTGCTGGGAAGAGTGCGAATGGCGAGTGGTGAGCTGGGGGTGAAGTGGTTGAAGCGCGGTCGCGGCCCTGTGCGAGACAGGAAATAATAGTTTGCGGCGCGAGGCTGAGAGGGAGCTCAGATGTTAGCGGCCAGCCTCTCCACCATGCCATCTGGTAACACCAACGCCAACACCAACACCACAGCCGGATAATCCACATTCACTTCAATCCAATTAGAAAATCCTTTTAATTGCTTCATTTCAGATTTCGTTCTTTTCATTAAATGGTTCGTCTCAAGACTCGAGTCTGTGCTCTCACTTGGATGCAGTCCCGAGCCCATTCAGTCTATATAGAAGCAGTCGCTGAAGGTTGCTGCGCCCCCCTGTCCCTGCAGTCCCAGAACCCACGCCATCCCTGATTGCAATACACGCCTTGGGACACACATTGCATTAGTGCGCCGTTTGATAAAGCCGGCTACGGTGTTTATACAGGACACGTAGTTGCCACGTCTCGCGACAGGCCGTGCCGAAGAAAAGGATCTTGGTCTCTCCCACAGCGGCGTTTAGGAGCTGTTCTTGGCGTAGTTCTTCTTGCCCATGGAGAAGGGCACGTAGCGGTACTTGATCATGTGCTGGATTTGTTTTCGCACTACTCGTGGTTAGATCTTGGCTTAACTGGGAATTGTCATGGGATGGGTGCAACTCACTGGTCAGAACGAAAAGAATGATCCAGTACATGACCAGAACAGGCCAGAAGACGGGGACGTTGAAGATCTCGAACCAACTGCAGACGAAGGAGATGAAGACAGCACGGGTTGCCCAGTACCAGAACTTGAACTCGGGAAGGCGTCGGATGAAGGGCTTGAACTCCTCGTCCTGCTTGGTAGGGAGGGTGCCCACGGAGCCGTCTTCCATCTCATTGTCGATCGCTTCGTTCGAGGGGTCAAACTTGGGCTGCAGGAAGGCTAGGAACAGGTTGAGAAGGTAGATTCCGAGCGCGTAGGCCACTGTCTTCGGGTCAGCTTGCACTCGATGCCATGACAGGCGTGTTGAGGGTGCCTACCAATGTACCATCCTTGCGCAAACAGGATGCGCAGGAAGAAGAGGAACAGGCAGACGCCAGTTGCGATCCATCGGTACAGGACAAAGGGAGTCGACTGGTCCAGGAGGGCTTGATAATGCTACACACTGTCAGCTCGGCGGTCGTCGACGGCGAGATGGAGACGCATACTCGCTGGATCTTGGATGTGTGGACGCTGACAGCCTCGAAAGGGGTCTGCTCAGGCTCGGGCGCATTCATTTTGGATTAGTGTTGCGCGTTGCGCGACGGTCGGACACGGAGGGTGTTGAAGGAGTGGACAGGTCGAGTGGAGCGGCGAGTTGAGAGCGAGCTGCAACGATGACCAGGACGACGGTGGTGGAATTGAAGAAACCAAGATGCAATCGCAATTCTCGATATGCTGGAACTTTGGGCCAACGAAGCCACGTTGGCTGCGCCGGCAGATTCCCGGAAGATTACCTCTTCGCCACTGTGATTGACTCTCAGGCCCGTACCCCACCAGAGACTGAGGCGCAGCGCCCTAACTTGATGGGTGCTCAAGCGCGTTCGCGTCCCTCTTAAGCTCCCGCTTCTAATTAATATCCGCGGTACTTCGTAGTTGGGTTGATCTACCCTACCCTATCAGTGGCTCGGCTCCGGGGTGTAGTAAATGAACCCATCTAATAAGAGTCCTTGGTTGACGCTCAGTACCACGAACCCTACGATGATGTGCCTGCAGCCCACGTCTTGCTCAATCGCTGTCTGGCCCTGTTCAGGCACGCAGCCACCACATCGAATGCCAACTGCATACCTGCGCAGAGTGGAGCTGCCAGGGAACAGCTTGATTAGGCACGGAGTACTTGCACGTACTACTATACGTACATGCTGGAGTTCTAAGATTAGACATCAACTCACGCGTAGCTTCATTTTGGTAAAACGAATGCCTTTTGCTCTTTCATTGAACTGATACCCCAAGGTTTCGAGTACACAGTTCAAGTCAAACTTCATTCCAAGGTTACTTTCGGCTATAACGGTTATTGCACGTGACCCCTCCCGTCGTCGACGCTCTGAGTGGCCATTGTTACCCTCGGCTCAAGCACCGACGCTATCCAGGCCCCATTTCGTCACAGTGGGCACAAGCTCTAGTCGTCTTAACCGGCCGTTGAGGAGCTTCATAAGCCGTCTCTCGTTCTTCCCTCACCCATTGAAGGAGAATCATTGGCTTTGACGCTGCAGTGAATAATTGAAGCCTGTTTCCTCCTCTGCTACCTGCCAACCCGACGGTTTCTCCCTTTCCAATCATCCCTTGCATACCTTAATCCTCCGATATCAGCTGTCAAGATGAACGCCCTACGATGCTTCAGACCTATCACTGCTCGGGTTCCCTTCCAAGCTCTAACCCTTCCCCGACTGGCTCGCGCATACAGCTCGAAGACCTATGAGTTTATCCAGGTTTCGCAGCCAAAGCCTGGTGTTAGCCAAGGTAAGATGTACTACCCTGGGAGTTAAGCTCATACGCTTACCAGCAATACAGTGACCTTGAACCGACCCAAGGCTCTCAATGCTCTGTGCACCCCGCTTATCAAGGAGCTCAACGAAGCTCTGGTCGAGCTCAATGGCTCAGATGAGACTTCAGTCATCATCCTGACTGGATCCCAGAAGGCCTTCGCCGCTGGTGCTGATATCAAGGAGATGGCCCCGCTCACCTTTGCCGACGCCTACACCAACTCCTTCATTGAGTCGTGGTCAAACCTCACTACTCAGATCAAGAAGCCCATTGTTGCTGCCGTCTCTGGCCACGCCCTTGGTGGTGGTTGCGAGCTGGCCATGATGTGCGATCTCATCTACTGCACTGAGAATGCCAACTTTGGCCAACCCGAGATCAAGCTTGGCACTGTCCCCGGTGCCGGTGGCAGCCAGCGACTGACCCGGGCCATTGGCAAGTCCAAGGCGATGGAGCTCATCCTTACGGGCAAGTCATTCTCAGGTGTGGAGGCCGAAAAGTGGGGTGTCGCCGCGAGGACGTTCCCTACCTACGAGGCCCTGATGGAGGAGACGCTGAAGCTGGCCGAGGCGATTGCCGGACACTCGAGGGTTGCCATCATCGCGGCCAAGGAGGTGGTTAACAAGAGTCAGGACCTGCCGCTGCGGGACGGCGTTGAGTATGAGAGGCGGGTGTTCCACAGCCTGTTCGGCAGCCAGGACCAGAAGATTGGTATGAAGGCATTTGCAGAGAAGAAGAAGGCGGAGTGGTCTCACTCGTAGAGAGATAATGGCATGCCAGAAGTGAGACCGGTGCTGTTGCAATTGGGGGCTGGTGCTTATGGGGGCGTCGCCGTTGCAACCGCTGCTGACGGAAGCGGGAAGCAGTGCTGGCGATGGCGATGTCGGCTCGGCCTTGGCGCTTGGAAACAGGCACACAACAGAGGCATACTTACACACCATCTCCAAGGGAGTGACGCGGGACGAGGCTCGGTTTTCCAAGTTTGTGCAAAATGCTTGGCCTGTTTCGGTTGGTGGATGGCGGGGGTGATGGGCGGTGACCACCCAGATCATGAAATAGTTATGACCAAGAGAATGACCAAGAGAATAGGACCTGCTACTAGCAACTGAACTCGAGCGAAAACCATTCCTTGAATACCGACAGAAAGCTGCCATACGCCGACCGACTCATCTCCATCTGCTCACTACAGTGCCGTGCCCGTTGCCGAATGTGTTACTGACAGGTCTCGCATCCGCAGCCGTATCCCTGCTCTGCTCTGTAAGGCTTCATTCGTATTCATGCGGCCCAACCCCTCGTGGCCCCGTGTGTGTGTGGTGTGTACGCCCAGCATCCATTGTGAGATGCCTATTTTTTGGTCGCCCGCCCTATCTCGCAGCGCCTAGGCGCCCATGCAGCCCCAAATATCCACCCCGCCACCCACTGACAGAACGATGACATGGGTTTACCAAGCCCAACACCGCCGCCATCCATCCACGCATCCATTACCTTTCTGTCCTCTCCCGCCTTCGCCCCGGAGGCTGTCGCCAACTCTTGCTCCCAGAGAATGGGCATTATCCGATCATAGGTGTCATGAATGGATTCTCCAAAGCCTGGCCTAGACCTCGAGAAGGAGCTGACGTGCTCGGTATGTTCCCCCTCCCACCTTGACAGTGCCCAACCACGAGCGATGTCCCATTGTTATACGTGACCGCTGCTGATGATGCGCAGATCTGCACAGAGCTCCTTTACCAACCCCTCACGCTTCTTGATTGCCTCCATACTTTTTGCGGCGCTTGTCTCAAGGAATGGTTCTCCTTTCGAGCTGCGACCGCCGAGAGATCGCCCAACTCACCAGCTCCCGGTACCGCCATCTTCACCTGCCCAGCATGCCGAGCATCAGTCCGAGATACCCGGCACAACGCCACCGTGGTGACTCTTTTGGACATGTTTGTGGCTGCGAACCCAGACAAGGACCGCTCGGCCGCCGAGAAGGAGGAAATGGCAGGGAAATACAAACCGGGTGATCAGGTGCTTCCCAGGCTCTCTGCCCGCGGAAGGACGGCGGAAGAGCGGCGTGCAGAGAACGAGGACCGGCGACTGGTTGACGAAGTGCGGGAGATGAGCCTACGAGATGCGGGAGTCTCGTCATCGGTGCCACCCAGGGCACGGAGACGACGAGACAGCCGGTCGGACGATAGGCCAAGAGCAAGCCGAGACAGGAGCTTGGACAGCCGACCACGACGAAGCGGACATCACTCACGGGGAGAAGAGGGTGCACGGCAAAGCTCTGAGCAGGTGTATTCCGACAGTGAACGGAGACATAGAAGAAGCGAGTCGAGACAGCGTCAGATCGAGCATCAGTCGTCCATCAGATCGCTCATCAGCTCGGCGGACATGAGTGAACGAGATATCGAGAGAGAGATCGAGTCTTTTGCTAGGCAAATCCAAGAAGAAGGACTTCTCGATGGACTTGACTTGGATAACATCGATTTGAGTCGAGACGACGAGCTCAGCCGGCGGATCACGGAGGCATATCGTCGACGACAGAGGGACCGAGCTCGACACGAGGCTTCGCGGAGGAATAATGCGAGCGGACAATCTTCCTCTTCCCGACACACGGAGTCAACCGGTACGGATCCGAGATTACGAGCCCCCGAAGGAAGCGACCGACAGAGAAGCCGCACTCGTCATTCCAGGTCGGCCAGCGCCACAAGCCAAACCGAAGAACGAAGCAGGCCACCCCCGTCGGCATCATCAGCTGTGTTGGAAGTCCAAGACTTCAGCCGAAGGACAAGGAGGCGGACATCCAGCGATAGCCGCAGTGCTACAACTCCAATCTTCCCCAGCGCATCCGAGACCAGGCCTGCTGCTCGGTCGTCAACGGATCTGACCTTGAGGTCTCAGACATCAGACCCGACGGCCCCACGATCTAGCTTCAGTGAATCGCGGAGCGCCAGCACGCCGGCGGTCCCAGGAGCGGTCCCAAACGCAAATGAATCAACACACGCAGGCACTTCGAGCAATTTGTCATTTGCCAATCGTGCACCTCAAGGAGCACCACCAAGCGGGCAGGCCCCAACGCAGCCTACAACAGGTCACCAAGAATCTGGTGCAGGACGTGGAAACAGAACCAATCGACCCGCAGACCTTGCTATTGTTCATTCAAGTGTCGCGAGCCCGGTCAGCAGCCCGACCATGATAGCGCACCAACGAGCTCGATCCCACCTGTTTCCGGAGCCATCAATCAGCTGCTCACGATGTAACAAGCCGCACATTGAGTACGAAGTCCACTACAGCTGCGGCACCTGTTCCAACGGCCAGTGGAACATGTGCCTTGACTGTTATCGAGCAGGAAAGGGATGTCTCTACTGGTTCGGCTTCGGCTACGGGGCCTGGGCCAAGTGGGAAAAGAAGCGCCAGCAATCAGAGGGACAAGTGGCGATGCCTCATATCCTTACGGCAAGTCGTTACATACGACCCCGGTCCACTCCTGGCGGAGCAGATGGCAGGAAAACCCTTTCGATTGAAGACCCTCGAAAGCGACTTGAAAGCGGAACATTCTGTGCAAAGTGTTCTGCATGGACCAACGATTGTTATTGGCGCTGTGATGTTTGCAACGAAGGCGACTGGGGCTTCTGTAATGACTGTGTGAATCAGGGAAGATCTTGCACGCACACTCTCCTACCACTCGCTCACGAAGCTACGCAATCTTCCCAGGGACGGCCGGTGAGCCCTCGATCGCCGGGTCGACCTCCAACCGCGACAATACTGACTGGTCCCAACACATCAAACATGGGAGCCTTTAAACCCCTATCGTTCGCTACCAGGTGTGATGTCTGCCAGGATCCCATAACCCCTAGCCAGGCAAGATACCATTGCTATAGCTGTACCAGCTCACTTGTCCCGGATGCGACGCCCGGCGACTACGACATCTGCTCTTCTTGCTACGGCAACCTCGTTGCCCAAGGTGAAATCAGTGGTGAAAATGGCCACTCGGGGTGGAGGAGATGTCTCAACGGACACAGAATGGTGGTAGTTGCGTTCACTGAAGGCAAGGTCGGCCAGTGGAGATATGTCGCCAAGGACCTCGTTGGTGGTCGTAGCTTGCGCTCCGAGGCCCCTGAGAACCCAGATCACCAGGCCAAGGGCTACCAAAAATGGCTATGGCAGCACGGTGACCAAGCCGTGGCCCGTCTCATTACGAAGGACGTATCAGAAAATGCACCAGCGAGCGACGGATCGAGCAAGATGGTACAAAACTTCCCACCTGATGGCGGAGTTGGCTACAAGGCGGGTGCCAGATGGGCTTGGTACCCCAAGGCTGGGTCAGACGACGAGTTGCTGTTTCCCCGAGGCGCCGAGATCAAAGAGATTGAGGACGTTAACGGCGATTGGTTCTTTGGGTCGTACATGGGCACTCGGGGGCTGTTCCCAGCGCCGTACGTGCGGTTGGAGCAGCGAGCCCACGGTGAGACTTGAGGGCAATGAAATACCAAGTTGGAATAGGGATGGATGAGAGTTCCGCGATGTAGGACAGTCTCGGTAATTTACTCGCAATATAACGATGTATATCCCTTCAGCAGCTGCCGGCCGCGGTTGGATTGCTAATGCAACTTCGGATGGAACTCGGGGTGGATTTCCCAAACCAACGCCGCCGAGGGTCCGACGAGCAATTGCGCCATCGTCTCCGGTTGCGGCCCCACCTGATATATCCCACCTCAAAACCTCCAATTCCTCTCTTTACAAAGCACAGCTCCGTCAGCCACTCTCTCTTCGCTCGGGGCATTTCCACCCGTGTGACTGCGCCAATTGCTTTCCTTTGGACGTTCACGATCCCGTTTCCTGCTCCAATGTTCCGTCACAGCGTGCGGCGCCTCGCCATCGCGGCGGCCAAGGCTGCTGAGCCCAGCGCCTACACTGTCGCTGTGTCGAGCGCCCAGGGCGTCTCCAAGGGCTTGACTGGAGGTGCGCTCCATGTGCCGGCGTAGCTGTCGACTGGACCCAAATGCTGACTGCCTGCTCTCTCCAGCTATCGGCAACACGCCCCTCATTCGCCTCAACAAGCTCTCCGAGGAGACGGGCTGCGAGATTCTCGGAAAGGCCGAGTTCATGAACCCCGGAGGCTCCGTCAAGGACCGCGCCGCCCTGTACGTCGTCAAGGATGCCGAGGAGCGCGGCCTGCTGCAGCCCGGCGGCACCGTCGTCGAAGGTACTGCCGGTAACACGGGCATCGGCTTGGCCCACGTCTGCCGGTCCCGCGGCTACAAACTCGTCATCTACATGCCCAACACCCAGTCGCAGGGCAAGATCGACCTGCTCCGACTCCTCGGCGCCGAGGTCTACCCCGTCCCCGCCGTCGCCTTCGACAACCCGGAGAACTACAACCACCAGGCCCGCCGCCACGCCGAGCGCCTCGAGAACGCCGTCTGGACCAACCAGTTCGACAACACTGCCAACCGGAGGGCGCACATCGAGACCACCGGCCCCGAGATCTGGACTCAGACCCAGGGCAAGGTCGATGCCTTCACCTGCGCCACCGGAACTGCGGGCACCCTGGCGGGCATCACTCGTTACCTGAAGGAGGTCTCCAACGGCCGCGTCAAGAGCTTCCTCGCCGATCCCCCCGGCAGCGTGCTGCACTCGTACATCAGCTCCGGCGGCAATCTCATTGAGCGCAGTGGCTCCTCCATCACCGAGGGCATCGGCCAGGGCCGCATCACCGACAATCTCCAGCCCGATCTTGACCTGATTGACGGTTCTATGACTATTGCCGACGAGAAGAGCATCGAGATGGTCTACCGCTGCCTCGACGAGGAGGGTCTGTACCTGGGCGCCAGCTCCTCGCTCAACGTCGTGGCCGCGAAGGAGGTGGCCGAGAAGCTCGGCAAGGGCAACACCGTCGTCACTGTCCTCTGCGACGGCGCCTACAGATATGCCGACCGGTTGTTCTCACGCACGTGGCTGACTGAAAAGAAGCTGCTGGGTGCTATTCCCAAGCACCTGGAGAAGTACATTGTTCTACCATAGAAGGATTTTGTTGTACAGAAGAGTAGATAATACACATTTATGGTACATTACAACGTCAAATTCATGCCTCAGCGGCTGGCTGTGCTGGGGCAGCCCAGACGGGCTTCTTTCCCATGACCTTCTCGTACACGTCGACAGAAGGCTCATTATACTTGGAACTGGACTCCACAAACTCCTTCAAGTGCTCCTCCAACTGCTTTTCGATGGGCTCCAGACCCTTGGCGGCATCGCCGAGGATCTCTCGGGCCAACGACATACCCTTGATGTTCAGGGCAACGGCCTGAACGAATTCACTCATGGAAAGGGTGGCGCGGCCCTTGTTCTTGGGCAGGTTCTGCTCCTGGTGAGGCCTCAAGTCCGAAATCGCGGAAGGAACCTTGAGCTCCTCTCCCTCCTTAAGCCCGCGAGACCACAAGCTTGTGAGAGCCTGCGTGCTATCGGAGAGAGCTACCAACTCTTTCTCGGCCGGCTTCTCCTGTTGCTTCAGATACTGAACGGTAGACGCTTGGGAAAACAGGACCTGTCCGCGCACAAGGGGGTGAGACTGTGTTTGCTCGAGCGCACTCAAGCTCTCGTTGACGTGCGGGGGTCGCTGGAGGAGGTCCAAGACAATCTCAGTCCATCTCAAAGCATCCACTGACTTGGCCTCCCCGGGGCCAACGTGGGTGATCTTGTTGCTGATGAAGCTCAACAGCTGGATAACATGCTCCTTCTGGGACAGCTCGAAGCCGGTCTTCTGCGCCTGCTTGGCACACTCAATGATTGAGTAGATTTGTCCGTTGCGGCCAGCTCTGCGGATCATCTTCATGTAGTGGTGCTTGGGGAGCTTAATGCCGGCCTTTTGGTAACCTGCTAAGAGCGTGCCCAGGTTGTCCCAGTCCTCCTTGGTCTTCATCAAATCGAGAGCGCTCAGGAGAGCCTTCTTGGAGTTGGGGATTTCGGTGAACCGATCGATGGTGGAGAACTTGTGCTCAAGGCCATCGACCTCGATGATGATGGGGTTTTGTTGGATGTAGTTTCGGGACTTGGGGTTGAGGACGAGCTCGCGCTGCTTTTCGGGGAGGTATGAGGGGAGAATGATCTTCTCTTGGATATTGCTGAGGACTTCGTTCAACCTGGAGTTGTCGGTCTCAGTGAAGATGGCCTTCAAGCCTGTGACAGGATATGTGAGTAGTGGACCTGAGGGGAGAGACAGAAGACATACCATGGGAGGGAGATGAGCTGAATTTGCGGATTGATCGCGGCACCACGGAAGTGCGCAGGTTGGCCAGCGGCCGAATGGCCTGTTTCAACGAGTTTTTAACCATGATTTCGGTGATTGAATCGCAAAAGATCCGATCTATTATTATTCTATGAAGCTCTATTAAAAAAGTGGCTGGCCTCGAAAATGATGGACGCATATGCGTGCAGGGACTTGGAAATTCCCGGAGAAACTATGCCCCGGGGCCAATCAGGGACAAGAATTGGAAGGCCAAACCCGGGACTTTGGAGCTCCGGAAATTCTAGAGTCGGACGAGTGCTCTGTATCTTCGCACGACAAGTCACCCACGATGAACGTTGCGAACGCCGGACGGCCTGTCGGCTGTCTCAAGTCCGTCTTCCGGCGGGCGAGATTTCAGAGATCGTTCCAGAGATGTCTCTCAGCGGCGGCCACCCCCGCCAAGTCGACGCCTCGAAATGAGTTCAGCGCACGACAACGTAAGCTCGGCCTTCACTCTCTCTCGTTTCGGTTGGACGCAATCCTCTAACACCGGAACTGTAGGGGCCGATAACGACAAGGTCAGCAAGTTTGCCATTTGGCCTCAGGTGCCTTCCATCCGCACCACCCACCCCGACCCGATGCCCATCCTCCGCGAGAAGCAAATCGCCAAGCTGGACCCGACCGGAGCCCGCACCCGACTCTTCTCACGGGAACATGCCGACAGCGCCAAAGTCGGCGACGTTTTGATGGTGTCGACCAAGGCCGGAGAGCCGTTTGCGGGAGCCTTCATCCAGATCCGCCGCCGCGGGCAGGACACGGCGATCCTTCTGCGAGGCCAGATGATGAAGGTGGGAGTGGAGATGTGGTTCAAGATCTACAGCCCTACGGTCACGGGCATCGATATTATCTGGCGACGGCCGAAGCGCGCGCGCAGAGCCCGGTTGACGTACATGCGCAAGCCCAGCCACGACATGGGCAGCGTGGACCAGCTGGTCTTTGCTTGGAAGAAGGAGCGACATACTCTGCGGTCACGGTCGCAGACTGGGCAGAAGAAGCGATAAAGGGATTATTGCATGGGAGGCTGAGCTGTATGATACTCGGTGTATAAGGGTCTGTATAAATGGACATGTACCAATCAACTCATCGAGGTTTGGTGCAAATTTTGTGTTCACTGTAAGAGAGGCTCATATGAGATAGCTTCAAAAACAAGGCTTGTTCATCGAATGGCGTATGCACGGATTTACCAACCAGTTGTCGACATTGGACAATGGTACAACTGACTGGACCTGTTGGTCGAGAATTATATACCCCAGTTGGGTTCTTCGCTCTTGTTGCTCAGTAGCCATATGTTCCACAGAGGCTCTGCTGCGAACCGAAAGAGTCTAATTTCCCAACAAAGCACTGCTCCTTTACACGCAAGTCCACCTCGTACGATTCTCAACGGATATAATGTCGTTAGCACCCATGACGCAACGTAGGGTAAAGTATGAGTCTTAGCTAATACCGCTTAGAGGAGTTCCTAAAACCCTCAACCTCCTAGTCTAAGCCCCTCTATCGTCCTGAATGGGTACACGTACGGGGTTTCTCGCAGGCGTCTATATGTGGCATCGTTCGTTTTCTGATGCGTTAGTTGTTTGGGTAATGTAAACATCAAATCATGCTCTGTTGGACGTTGACCAGCCCGTGCCCCTGCGATCAGTGCTGCATAGATTGGCGGCCGATCAGATCGAAGCACCAATGTATGAGGACGGGGCTCACCAAGTGTTCAAAGAGCTAGTAACCCCGCGCGTCGTGTGTCAGATGTAGAAACGACGCTGCGTCCAAAAATATCTCCCGTTTTGACGTTGAGCATGGGCAACCAACGACGGGCGTCGCAACCCCCTGGCGGATTGCACTTAACGGCATACAGGGTGCACCCTGGAGGATTTGCAGGATTTGCATGAATGGCCTGCCACACCCGGCCAGGGTTTGTGAACTGATGCAAGCAAAGGTATCGTGGAGTTGTAGCAAGTTAGAAGTAGTGTTCGCGGTCGAGAGGAGCATCTCACGCTGACATTGGGCGATGCTCTCGTTTCAGGAGTCGTCACGGGTCACTAATGGGGGGGGAAGATGGAGGGCTCAGCCTCTATGCGATCAACTTCCGGCGTCTCGAATGGTGTTGGAGAGAGAGGGCATAATTATGAAAGGGACGATATGGGGTCATGAGCAGAAAGGGGAACGTGGGGAACATGGAGGATGAGAGGGCATCATCTCGGAGGGTCGGGGGTATAAACCAGGCCGACGTTCTCTCTCCCGCCCGCGGCTTGGAGGAGTTGGTGTTCTGAGGTCAGCCCAGCCAACGGGATTTTGCATTTGATTCTGTCTCTCTTTTTGGGCAGGCCCGTTTCGATCCTTGTCACTCATTTACGGTCATTCTTTCATTTACTGTTACGGATATCTCGGGACGCTGCCGGCCACTCATCCAGCCTCTTTTAACGAAGCTCATCAACGACGTAGTCGATAGCGGAACCGGCACCTAGGGGCCCTAGCACATCACCAGGGTGCCGGCCACCCGCATTGGGCACTGCCGACAGGCGTCGCTCACTAATACTACCCACTGGGCCACGATACTCCCAGCGCGGCGAGCCACTAGAAACCGCCAAGCATGGCTGCCAGTCCCGCCGCTGGGGCAGCCGCTCAGGGGACGCTACCACTGCAGCCCGGCAACGTGGACAGCAACGAGCAGTTCCCCGATTTTTGTTTACACTCCCGATTTAGCGACGCTGACAGCGACTCGCAACCTGAAGACCACCACCACCACAACCACCATCACCAGCAGTCCCCCTCGATCTGCTCGTCGCGCCTGTCGACCATCTCCAACTTCTCCGCCGCATCCGTGTCGACCGCCGCCAGCTCCGTCGGCTCGCCCTCGTCCCGCCCCGTCTCGGCGTGTCTCGACTCCTGCAACAGCTCGCCGTCGCCCTTCGCCAGGCCCCGGACCCTCACCAGCGCCAGCGCCAGCTCCAGCGGGAGTGCCAGCGGGAGTGCCAGCGTTTCCAGCGCCTCCGCATCCGCATCCGCCACCTCATCCTCCTCCCCCACCCCGCGCACCCGACGCGACAAGTCGCAGCTGCATGCCGTGCGAGCGCAGCGGTCGGGAAGCAGATCTCTCTCATTGGGCATCCAGGACTGCAGTAGGGATAAACCCTCAACCAAGCCGCGGAGGTTCCTGCGAAGTTCCAGCAGCCCTGCCGATGCTCTTGCTGCCGTCGAGCCCCCGCATGACACTGGCCTGACCAAGATGGCCTTCGCCGAACAGCAGAGGTGGATTACCGTCCAGCAAAAGACGTTTACAAAATGGTCAGCTACCTATGTCCCGGTCTTGCTTTGTCTTGCCCTTAATGGTCTCCCCTTGTCCCCTGCGTCCTGCGTGCGTACTCGGTGACCCCTGTGCTGACCTTGTTTCCTTTGTTCCAGGCTCAACACCAAGGTCGAGGCCCGCAATGTCGAGGTCAAGGATCTGGTGGCCGATCTCAGCGATGGTGTATGTGCAATATTGCCCCAGGACAGCAACAACAACTCGTTCATACGCTGACTATGCATCCCTACAGGTCATCCTTATCCATCTCCTCGAATGCCTCTCCAACGAATCCCTCGGTCGCTATGCCTCCAAACCTAAGCTCCGCGTGCAGCGCTTCGAGAATGCCAACCTAGGTCTCGACTTTATCAAGTCCAGGGGCATCCAGATGACCAACATCGGTGCCGAAGATGTCGTCGATGGAAACCGCAAGATTGTTCTGGGTCTCATCTGGACCCTGATTCTCCGATTCACCATCAGCGACATCAACCAGGAGGGCATGTCAGCCAAGGAAGGCCTCCTTCTCTGGTGCCAAAGGAAGACGGCTTGTTACGACGAGGTCGAGGTTCGAGACTTCAGCGCCAGCTGGAACGACGGCCTGGCCTTTTGCGCCCTCCTGGACATCCACAGACCCGACCTCATCGACTATGACGCACTGGACAAGTCGGACCACCACGGCAACATGCAGATGGCCTTCGATATCGCGCATAAGGAGATTGGTATCCCGAAGCTGCTCGATGTCGAGGATGTGTGTGACGTGGCCAAGCCCGACGAACGAAGTCTGATGACCTACATTGCATACTGGTTCCACGCATTCTCGCAGATGGAAAAGGTAGAGAACGCTGGTCGCCGAGTCGAGAAGTTTGTCAACAGTATGCAAGGTGCATGGGAGATGCAGAGTGCTTACGAGCGCCGCATGCGCGCGCTCATCAAGACCATCCTCGGCCAGATTGAGCAATGGAAGCAGTCCAAGTTTGAAGGAACATACGCAGATGCCAAGGCACAGGCAATGGAGTTTTCTTCTTACAAGAGGGGGAATAAGCGTGAATGGGTTGCTGAGAAGAGTGAACTCGCAACCCTGCTTGGAAACATTAAAACGAAGCTTGGCACGTACCGCCTGCGACCATATGACCCGCCGGCAGATCTTAGCCTGGATGTTCTCGAGAGAAACTGGACCGACTTGTCCCAAACCGAAATGAAGCGGGCGCAGTTGATCAACGAGACCATTCGAGAGTAAGTTCCTCTGCCTCTCCTGGACGAAGTTCCCGATTAACACTGCGACAGCATCAAGAACGCCCTACGCAAGTCATTCGCTGACAAGGCCAACGACTTTGCTATGGCTCTTAACACAATGCAATTGGCTATTTCGGGTCTTGATGGCGACGTCGAGGATCAGTTACACCATGTCAGAAAGCTCAGCGATAACCTCCCGCCCCTAGATCGGTACTTGGATACGATTGCGTCACTGGACGAAAAGTGCCAGGAGGCTAACATTGAGGAGAACGATTTTACAACTTATACCTACGACGAGCTATCATACGAGCTTGGCCTGGTGAAGACGTCAGTGCAGAAGAAGCTCGCTTTCCTGGAGAACCAGATGGTGGCTAGAAACATGACCAACTTGACACCCATCCAGTTGGAAGAGTTTGAGAGTGTCTTTCGACATTTCGACCGTGACGATACCAATTCCTTGCATGAGCTCGAGTTTAGCGCTGCCCTCGCCTCGTTGGGTCTGGTGTTTTCAGAAGACGAGATGCACGACTATTTCTTGGAGACGTCCAGTGGACGAGATTATGTCACCTTTGAGCAGTTTATTCGGTTCATGGTCGACGTGACGGAAGATCAGAATACGGCAGAACAGGTGTTCCAGTCGTTCCGCGAGGTGGCCGACGGCAAGCCTTATGTGACAGAGATGGACCTGCGCCACAGTTTGGTGCCGGACGAGGTGATTGACCAATTGATCGACATTATGCCGCCTCACAAGGGGCCGGACATGTCTGAAGACCGAGGAATGCCGCAGTTTGATTACATCACCTTCATGGAGAGGATGATCAACGACCAGCGAGATGGACAAGATGATGCGGCGGCGAGTGGCGTGCTGCAGGACAGGACGAACCTTGAACCAGGAAGCCCACTCAAGGAGGGGCAGACCAACGGCGCATCAGAGTGAGTTGTCAGTGAGCGAGCGAGCGAGCGAGTAAGTGAGTGTTGAAGAGTCGACTGGATTTGGGATTGTCCTGGCCAAGGGGCATCGTCGGCGACTTAGGGAACCGCGCTGGATACGTGCCTTGCCCTTGAAGAAAAAGGAAGGTTGGGAAGGTGTTTCTTGAGTCAAAGCTGCGTTACCTTGTTACCTTATACCTTTTATTGTTAGATGCATCATGTGGTGTTTTGGTGGCGGGGAGGCTTGGCAAATGGATATCCCTTCGAATTATACCAGCGCGAATTGATCAGGATAATAGTATCTAGTGTAGTGTACGTTACTTTGTAATTGCAGCAACAAAATATCTTATTTATGATCCCATCAGTCATGTGTTGTGCAATTAGATGGCGAAATAAGGGCGAAATTGCTCTAGAGGAATGTCGAAGCTGAGTCCATGCGTGATTCGGCATCCTAGGCAGCGATGTCTTTCTTACCCATAAAAGTCGAGTAGGGATAGAATATCTCGTAGATATTGTATACCATCAACGAATCTTTACAAGTCTCCGCCACCCCGAGCACTCACTCTGACAACCTGTACTTTTCGTCGCAATTGCAAACTAGATCATCGCCTTCGCTTCCTCACGATGTATTCGGGGAATCTTCCTTCCTAGGCCACCCAAACTTAAGCTATGCTTCCATTTGCTTCCTCCCACCCATGACAGTATCCGTGAGGGAGAGTGTTCATTCCAAAGGCTCACACCTCAAAGATAGAAGGATGTGTGTAGAGTCCTTTCCACTTGGGCGGATGACAAGTGGAAGACATTGTACAGGAACCAGTTGCCCAAATCTGTGCCCGTAGAAAAGGGAAGTTTGTGTCGTCTTGTCAAGAGCTCCTAGACCAGAGCGGAAGCTGAAGGTTTCTGCTCCTGTATTCTACGTGTCCCGGAGTTTGAAGTAACCCGTCCCTCCCACTCGTACGTACGTACCTAGGTAGGTAGGTAGGCTTCAGAAACAACTAGGCTAATCTTGCAGTGTCTTGAACTTCCCTTCCCATCGCTCACTCTACACCACCGAGTGATTGTAGTGATTGGCTCATTCCACCCATAGGCTCCAAAGAGTGCCTAGCACAACGACGTAATCGTCCCTTGACTCTGCCAATTCCACGAACCACCATACCATAATGGCTAGGATACTTATCCTTTTCCTCGCTCTTTCCCCCATCCCATGATGTTCTGTTCCAGAGCTGTCCATTTCGGTGGCACTAGCACACTTCACGGTTGGATCTCCTGCTGCCTCAGCGCCCTGGGCAACTCATGATGAGTTCCCTCTCATCATTGACAACAGGTGAGGACCCCCGATAATTAGACTTTTTCATTACTGAGCCCAGCGGCTATGTTAAAACCGATCGCGAGATGAGGGGAGACTTAGCCCACTCAGCTTTGGCTGACCTCAATTTTTTGTCCTTGCAGGAGCCTCCTAATGCCTCAGCTCAATACCGCTGACGCTGGTGGCCTGTGGCAACTCTTGACGAGCTTCATCATTGGCAGCAGAGTTGTGAGACAATCAAGGTGAGAACCCCCGATGATCGGATATTTTCATCCCCGAATTAAGTGATGATACTAAACAATGGAGAAACGAGGGGAGATGGCACGCCGTTAAATATGCCGTGGCCCGGTCTAGACTTTTTTCGAAGCGGTGACCAAGGTTGCAGAGGGAGGTTCATGCAGGTTGCAGAGGGGGATTGATAAAGGTTACAGATGGAGGAGGAGGTGAATTTAAGTAGTATCCAGTGCAGCCTTTGCTACTATTTTGAATTTCAAGAACCAGAGGGTGCGTATCTTGTATTTGAGTCTACCAAAGTTTCCAATGATTGGTTTTGAAGGCATCCACCCACCCACCCATCTGGTCTCGGTGAAGTTGGAATAGGTCAAAGGTGGGATGTTGCGGTTCTGGGCCCATTGAGGATTTGTAGAGGTGATTTGCAAAGGGATTCGCGGAGGGACTTGCAGGGACTTCCGGGGACTTACATGGACATTTACAGGCGTGCGCTATTGGACGGAAGCATTTCCGGGTATTATGTAGGCCACAGCGGGTGGTGGTGGGCTTTGGTGGGTGGGTGATATCGCTGAGACTTGGCCGAAAATGGGGGCGTGTCAAGCGTCCCAAGAACCGGCATTGACAGCGAGCTGGCCGACCGGTAGTGGCCAAAGTTGAGCCAAAGTTGGACCGGCACCGGCCAAACGAAGCCGGTTGCCGACCGGGGCCGTCTAAGAAACGGCCGGTAATTGGGTAATGATTGAATAACTGGGTAAATGGTAAATGGGGGGGGTTTTTGCAATTGGCGTCTAATAAGTACCTGGGTAGGGCAGATTCGGAAATCCAACCCCCACTGCCGGGACTACGCCTCCGCTGTCGCTCAGAGCTCAAAACCGTCAAAAAGCTGGTCAACGAATCGCTCCGGTCCCATTGCAAAGGAGCGTCTCCCCAAGGACCAGTCCCAAGGACCAGTGCACCGGCAGCAATCCACTCACCATGGCCTCTCGATCGAGCCTCATGCGCGCGCTGAGGGCGCCCACTGGTAGAGCCAATGCCGCCAAGTCGAGTCGCCGGGTGGTTTGCGGCGCTGGACGGGTGGCCTCAGCGGCGACTTCACCTACAACTTCACCTACAACTTCACCTACGACTTCAACCCCCGCGAACATCCGCTGCCTTTCCACCTCTCCCCACAGACTCGTCGTCGCTCCCACGCTCGCCCGCCAGGCCAAACTGACGACGCAGACATACCCGAACCTCAAGCGCGATCCTCGCTTCGCTACTCTCACCGACGAGCATGTCGCCCGCTTCCGCGAGATCCTGGGCGACAACCCCTCGGCCATTGTCGACGGCGTGTCGGCCTCGATCGACGAGGCCGACCTCGAGCCCTTCAACGAAGACTGGATGCACAAGTACAAGGGCCAGACCCGTCTCGTCCTCAAGCCCTCGTCTACCGAAGAGGTCAGCCAGATCCTGCGCTACTGCAACGAGCAGCGCCTGGCCGTCGTGCCCCAGGGCGGCAACACTGGTCTTGTTGGTGGCTCCATCCCCGTCTTTGACGAGATCGTCATCAGCATCGCCCGCATGAACGAGATCCGCTCCTTTGACGATGTCAGCGGCGCCCTCGTCGTCGACGCCGGCTGCATTCTCGAGGCCGTCGACACCTACCTCGCCAAGCAGGGCTACATCTTCCCCCTCGATCTCGGCGCCAAGGGATCCTGCCACATTGGCGGCAACGTTTCCACCAACGCCGGTGGTCTGCGGCTGCTCCGTTATGGCAGCCTGCACGGCAGCGTTCTCGGTGTTGAGGCTGTCCTGCCCGACGGCACCATCATGAACGACCTGTGCACCCTGCGCAAGAACAACACCGGCTACGACCTCAAGCAGCTCTTCATCGGCGCCGAGGGCACCCTGGGCATAATCACTAAGCTCGCCATCCACTGCCCCCAGCGCTCCCCGGCCGTCAATGTCGCCCTCTTCGGCCTCGAGTCCTACGAGAAGGCCCAGCTTGCTTTCCGCGAGGCCAAGAAGCAGCTCTCTGAGATTCTCTCTGCCTTTGAGCTCATGGACGGCAAGAGCCAGCAGATTGTCTCCCTCGTCAAGAGCCAGGACAAGCCCCTCGAGGGCGACCACCCCTTCTACTGCCTCATCGAGACCAGCGGTTCCAACGGCGAGCACGACTATGCCAAGCTCGAGGCCTTCCTGGAGGATGTCATGACCCGCGAGGTCATTGCCGATGGTGTCGTGGCCCAGGATGAGACGCAAATCAAGGAGCTGTGGGGCTGGCGCGAGGGCATCACCGAGTGCCTCGGACACTGGGGCGGCACCTACAAGTACGACGTGTCCATCCCGCTCAAGGAGATGTACTCCCTGGTGGAGGACACCAAGACGCGCATGGAGGAGGCCGGCCTGCTGGGCGACACTGACGGCCACCCCGTCGTGGCCGTCCTGGGCTACGGCCACATGGGCGACTCCAACCTGCACCTCAACATCCCCGTCCGCCGCTACGACCCCAAGGTCGAGCAGACCCTGGAGCCCTTCGTCTACGAGTGGATCCAGAAGCGCAACGGCAGCATCAGCGCTGAGCACGGCCTGGGCATTGCCAAGAAGAACTTTGTCGGGTACAGCCGAGACGACACCATGCTGGGCTTGATGAAGCAAATCAAGAACCTCTATGATCCCGTGAGCTCTCTCCTTTCTTTTGACCCTGCCCTAATCTGGTCCTCGGCCTCTTCACTAACAAGCATCTCCCTTAGAACGGCATCATGAACCCCTACAAGTACCTTTAGATGCAACTTGCATAAAAATATACCACCACAGGCACGCCCACTAGGTGAAATGTAGAGCACTACATCTAGCTGGGAGGACGGAGGAGGGTCCCAAATATCATATCAATAGCCATCAGGATCTGGCGCTGGAGGCCGAGACATGCACTCGCCATCAAAGTTGTATATGTGGTATTTGCCTACTTAAAAAGACGGAAGCCCTTGAGGAATGAATAACAAGAAAGCGAAAGTAAATTTATAACCCAGTCTACGCTTCATCTGACGTGATGGTGCATAAGGAAGAGGGTCTTTGGGCCGGTCCCCCGTGCTGATGGTCACTCAGAGATCGCCAGCTAAATAACTGTGGAGAGTGTTGCGTAAGATTAATCACGAGTGGTTATTCTAGGCCTTTGCCGTGTCCGCTATTTGGTCTCATCCTTTGATTTAGGCTTCTTCTGAATTCTTAGGGATTTATGTTGTCTCTCGTCGTTTAAGAATGCCATCACTTCCGGCGCGCGTTCACCGTCGACAGAAAAAGCTCCAGGGCAGCTTCATCCTTGGCTTCAACATCATCCTCAAGCACCCATTGCGAGCTGTCACTTGAACCCCATCCATCCACCCAGTCCCTCCACTCATACCACTGATACGTATCATCGTAAATATACTTCATCCGAGCCTTGGTGCCTCCCACGTCAAGCGACGGGGAATCGAAATCCCGGAAAGCATTATACTTCAACGAGTGAGCTCTAATAGTAGCGGTTCTATCTAGCACCAGGCTGTTGAGGCGGCTGGGCTGCATATTCCGGGGAAACTTTTGTAGCTCTTCGTCCCATGCGCCGTAACCCATCTTGAAGACTTTCAAGGTCGACATGGAATCGCGCCACCGAGAGAAGAGCGTGTGCCACCGGATGTTGAAGCGAATCAGTTTAAACCGACGACGGATATTGTCGGCAGTAATTTCTTCTCCAGTATAATTCGAGTCCAAAGCAGCATCTGGATCCGTATCTAAGTCCCACACATCGTCATACCTCAGGTAGCCTTTGCTAGATATGACAACGTCATGGCCGTTGGCATCCTGGCCAACCACATTGGTGCGGTCATCTGGCGTCCAGTCGGTCCTGGATTGGTAAACAATGCGGCAATCATCAAGGTAGAGCTCTTCCAGGCCTAAAGATGGAAACCAATCCGCCTGCCACTCGTGGCTAAAGACGTATTTGCCCAAGGCAAGGACTTTTAGATTAGGCATTCCACCGCCAGCGCCCACGGTACGGAGATCGAGCTTCGGATTCCACCCCCAATACTCGTAGCAATATAATGACAGGACTTTCAGGTTCGAAGCCACGGGCTGTGATAGCCAGGTGGAAGGCAAGCTCTCAAACATGGCGTGTTTATCACGATAGCAGATACTGCGGCTTCCCCCGTAGGTGCTGAGCTGCGTAGTGATGTATATTTTCAGGTCAACGAGGTTACTAGAGGCGAGAACTTCCTTGAAGGCATCTGATCCACTGAGCCGGGTATCATTATTGTCGCCGAGGTTAGAAATCGTCAGGGCCGAAAGGGAGATGGGAGCTGTTGCATTCTCAGACAAGGGAATGCCATGGCGAGTTTGCAGGCCCAGAGATTGATCGATCTGTTGCTGTCTTCCAGCAGACCACGTCCCGGCCAGGCAGTTAAAGACTACATCTAGGACCCTATATCGAAAGTCGTCCGTCTCGATGGGAACCCGGGTTCTCCTCCCCTCGCGGCCGCAATGCTGGCTGGACCTCAAGTGGAGCGTCTTCAAGCCGTGAAAGAAGCGCAGGGATGGTAACGTGGCCATGAACCCCCGAGGAACCTCATCGCGGCCTGGTCTACGGTCCTCATGGTCGGGGCCAAACCAGGTGTCGCAGGTCATTTCTCGCACAAGGCCGCACAGCTTGTCCGACTGGGCGATATGGATGAAATGTTGAGGGCTATCGCCGAAAGCTCGGACGAGCACGGTTCGAAAAGCGAGGGCCGTCGCGATGAAGCCGAGTCGGTGATCAAGCAATCTCAGATGAGGCAAAGCAGGCCTAGGCATGAAAGAGAATATCTGCTTGATGATTTCGGGGGGCAGCGAAGCCAAAGTGGCCGGTGGGGAATCAGGCATTGCTGAGTGAATCGGGCGGTGACGAACGACGGTGGAGGCGGAAAGCGAAAGATATGCCCACGAAAAGCCAAGCGCCTTCAGAAGCGAGCCCCGGAGCTTGAGGCTATCTCTAGTTTTCAGCTGCGAGAGGCGTTTCTACTCGTTGGCGTGTGTATCTGGCTGGCCTTGCTTGGGTTGTTTGAGGTTGGTGGGGCCTGAGTCTAGGCACGTTAGTGGGAGAGGAACTGGCGATAACCTGGTGGGTGAGCAAGGTGTGTTTAGCCACGATGTTTGCATCCTTGACAATCACTCTCGCCACAATCGGAGTGGGTTCTTCTGGAAGGGCACGCTACAACGGACCATTGGGTTTGGACGAGCTCAATGCACCATCGATTATGACAAGAAGAAATGATTCCAAGGGCTTCTAGGCCGTTTGTTCATGACACAAGAGGACCGACCGAGCTGGCGGAAGAATATGGTTACGAGCTGGACATCTGTAACGAAGCGATAAGTAACCAACTGCGAGCCCTCAATTAAGAGATTCGCGCGAAAATAACCACGTCAACAGCTGTGAGAACTTCGGGCTGCGTCGACGGACGGTCGACCAAAGTTCGCATGGCTGCACCAGTAGCTTGAATGCGTGCATGTGACTATCGTGATGGCTCCAGATTAATAAACCGGCAACATTCAAGGACGGGACTTTTGTCGGGTCCATCTAATGCCCGTCTCTTGAACTGACTCTACTCTCACGCGAGCGACAGCCACCATGCAGCGTCATCCTGCAGCTGGGTAGTCTACCGGTACTCGGGTGCTGTCGGCCGCCCAGTCGTCCTCCCACTCCCACGGCGCCATCGACATGGCGCCCTTCCATACACCGTCCTCGCCTCGTCAATGCGGAAAGGAGCTCGTAGCTTCGCTGTGCAGATATCGTCATTGGTGCAGCCAATCGAACGAGGCGCGCCGCCGCATGCAGCAATAAGGAACACGGGCCGCCGCGGAACAGGGTCCGTCGTCGTCTGGGTCTTCTGGGTCGTCTGGACGGAATGCTCAAGAGATGCTGTTCGTGATTACCGCGTCCGACCGACCAAGGAGAGCCCTATGACAGGGCAGAGCAACGGCCCGCCCGTTGCATCCTGTCACGCCGGCTCCAGTCCCAGGGTTATCCGTAGTCGTGTGGCTTCCTCAGCTCCCTGATGCTTCAGCCAACCAGCGGCTGCTCTCGACCTGGCTCCCTGTCAGCCCTACGACGCCAAGGACGCAGGTTCCCCACCACCGCCCGGTCCACGGCGATGCGTCGTTTCGCTGTCAGGACAAAGTCCCCGAAAGAACCATGTACCACAGCCTAGTACCATGGCTGCCCTGCTTTCCCACCGTCCGCGTCATCATCCCCCATCCCATACTGATGCACACCCGAACCAAAGTCTTCCAGAATGGCCACCTAAACCTCTCCCCGCCCCTGAGCTTGAATCCCCGGTGGGTACGTAAGCGGCCCGTACCCCAGTGGGCTGGCTCGGGCAGGACTGCCTTCTCCTCTTATTCGCTGTGTCAAGACTTGCCTCATTACCGCGTAATGGGACTTCGCAGGGACTTCGCAGGGGAGCTGCCATGACGGCAGAAGGTTCTGCATCTCCTGGCCACCCCTTCTAGTGTAGGGGAGGTTCCCGGTGAGAGAAGAGGGCGAGGGTATTCCGCATTCTGTGGGGGGTGGTGAGGGTCGATCCGGTGCCTCGACGTGGGAAACCCGGGAAACTATTTAGAAGCAGGGCCGCGGACGTTTGAAAATTCGAACCTGGTATGGTATGCCCATCCCATTGCTCCCGCAAAGTCATCATTGTTGTTGCCCTCCGTTCCGAGCCCGATCCCCAAGCCAAACCTCCGACTGCGATAACATGGTGGGTGTGAAGGGAAAATATAAGGGATGTGAAACCTGCCGACGAAGAAGAGTCAAGGTTGGTATCCCAGAAGCGAGCCCGTGAGACACGTCGCTGAGATATTGATCGAGAAGCAGTGCAGCAACGAGCGACCGTTCTGCCAAAAATGCATCGCCAGCGGAAGAGAGTGTGAGGGCTATGAAAGGGAGAGGGTGTTCATCACCGGGACACCCGAGAACATGGGCAGGGTGGCCTCGCATCCCAAAAAGGGACCTTCGTCCAGCAAGCCAAAGACCCCTGCCGGCGAGGACAGCCCCAGGCCCGATCTGGCCCCGCTGCTACCCTTGACTTCGGCATGGGATGATCACACCCTCGTCTCAAGCCAGGGAATCGAGTATTCCGTTCTCGTCTCAGCGCTGCAGACCAAGCTTCCGAATGTTGTGCGAGATTATTCCGAGCAGGACGAGTCAGAGGGGTTTCACATCTCGTTTCCCCCATATGCCCCGTCCGAGTTGCAGCCGACATTGATCGATCAAGACTTGCGTGTCAGTGCGCAGTGTTTAGCACGCCTGCCAAGCATCGATGAGGGGGATGACTCGGCAGAGAGCTATTGCGTCTTCTTTTTCGAGGTTTGATAAGCTGCTTGTCGATTCTCCGAGGCCCTGCTGACACCCTTCCAGCATGATTTGCTTGCCAGCTCGGGAGAAGCTGGCACGTACCAGATGAGACGATTGGGTCCCGCCCACTTCAGCCAGTTTCCCAATCACCATTTCTTTGTTCGGGTATACCGACCTCTAGCGGTGAGGACCACTTGTTGATTTCGGTTGTGATTTGATGATCTGACCCAACTCAGGCCGGCTTCGCTCTCCTAAGTCGACGAGACACGTTTCTCTCCGCTCCAGAATGGACGTCTGTCCCCTGGCAGAGGCACCCCAAGTGCTCACTTGACCACCTTTTCGACCTTATCCTCTTTCTGCCCTCCATCCTCTCACACACGGATCAGATAGTACCCCTGGAGGCAACCCACAACCGCCGCCTCCGGGCCCAGGATCTTCTTCAAAGCAGCCTCTCGCTTGAGAGGCAGTTCGACTTGTGGCTCCATGCAGCCAACCAACCCACTCCAGGTCACCCAATTCCCTTCTGGGCTGAGGAGTTGACCAGCCCGGGGGGCCTCATCCCGTTTTCCAACTCTTACACTTTCAGAGACAACCATACTGGTCTCGCCTTCCTATATTACTGGATGACGCAAATCACATTTCACCGTTGCATTGAATCCCTCCAGCGTATCATCTTCCAGCCCGTCATCGATGCGTATCCCGATATGTGGCCAGACCTGCCACCAGATCTCCAGGTTGACGTGACACGGTACCAACATGGGCGCGAATTCGCAGCGGATATTTGTCGTGGCCTAGACTCGGTGCTTGATAGCACAGTCCAGCCTGACGTGTTGGTTGCGCCGATGGCGGCGGCGATGGATTTTTACAAGGAGATCAACACAACCTCACAGGACGGTTTGATGGAGATGATGTGGTTGGATAATTTCAGGTCGAGGTTAATTGAGAAGGGTCAGCATATTGCGAATGTTTTGCAAAGACAGAAATGGGTTGAAGTTGCAACCTTCTAGAAAGAGCTTCTGAGGTCATTCCACTGAGAACGACGTAGTAGCCGGTCCGTATTTAAGGAAGGAAAGTTGGACATGTATTTCAGTCGTGCCGATGTAAGATACAACGCAGACAGAATTAAAGCAAACACATATGCTTAGATTCATGTGGCAATGGAAAGAATTCCTTCCAAAAGTTCCTAGTTGAGAATCCCGCGAGGATTGGGGGGTGACAGTGCGCAGCACAGTCCGTGCACAGTTTATCGGACCCGCCATTACGTTTCTCCGTCTTCCCCATTGCGGGTGACATTGGAAGCTCCAGCCAGCTCTCAGCCTACTGGGCAGGCTGCAGTTCTGACGAAGCTCCCCGGCTCATAACATCAACCTCCATCATCGAACGCAACGCCACATCCACAACCCAACTTCTCGCCCTCAGGAACGTAACGCGGCCACAACCCCTCGACGAAACTACACAGATTGGCAACCGACCCTCTTGTTACATTCGTAAACCATGGCTTCCGGATACGACAGAGCTCTGTCGGGTAAGTTGCATAGCGCTGGCATTTTGGAGATTCGTGGCTAACAGTGATGAACAGTGTTCAGGTCAGTAGCAGCGAGCGTGCCTGTAATTAACCCTCTAACTTTTTGACAGTCCCGATGGCCACGTTTTCCAAGTCGAGTATGCTGGCGAGGCTGTCAAGAGAGGTCCGTACTAGGTTCCCCACGATCCTAAGGTTGCCGCAGCTCACACCTCGAATAGGAACCTGCGCAGTCGGTGTAAAGGGTGCCGATGTTGTGGTGCTGGGATGCGAGAAGCGATCCGCCATGAAGCTGCAAGACACACGAATTACTCCCTCAAAGATCCAACTCCTCGACAACCACGTCGCCCTTGCCTTCGCTGGTCTCAACGCTGATGCAAGAATCCTCGTTGACAAGGCGCGATTAGAGGCACAATCTCACCGCTTGTCTGTCGAAGACCCCGTTACGATCGACTACATCACCAAGTATGTTGCTGGAGTGCAGCAGCGCTACACCCAGGCTGGTGGTGTGCGACCATTCGGAATCAGCACCCTGATTGTTGGTTTCGACAACGGCGGCAAGGTCCCCAGACTCTACCAGACTGAGCCGTCTGGTATCTACTCCGCCTGGTACGTAATAGAAAGTATATTGATGGGAGAGTAATGCTGATCGTCCATCAGGAAGGCAAATGCTATCGGTCGTTCGAGCAAGACCGTTCGAGAGTTCCTCGAGCGCAACTACAAGGAGGACATGGACCGGGAGGCCACTATCCGACTGGCCATCAAGTCGCTCCTAGAGGTTGTTCAGACCGGTGCGAAGAACATCGAGATTGCCTTGATGGCACCTGGAGCTTCCATCGAGACCCTGCCAACTGAGGAGATCGAAGGTTACGTCAAGGAGATTGAGCAGGAGAAGCAGGAGGAGGCGGCCAAGAAGAAGACAGGTCGAACTCCGGGTACTGGAACCGCTGCTATCCTGACGAGGTCTCAGGATGATTCTGCGGCGGAGTAAGGGTAGCCATGATTGACGTTCATAGACAGGGGTATGGTTTACGAAACTAGAGCCCGGCGCCATTGTATCAACACTTATAATGACGGGACGCTTTCTATTTGACTGATTCCCTCCTCAAGTGAGCAAGACGCTCTGAAACCCGCAACGCCGTAGATTTTCCAAACTTGCTCTTCGCTCTACAATCAGCCCAGCTTGTCAGCATCCTCAGATGGGTCGAAAATGGTCTTTAACGCTTGCTGCTTCGCCCTCTCGTCCTTTAGCATCTTGCTGTCCATTCGGACGTCCTCGCTCTCGATGGATAGTGCTGCCCTGGGGGTCTTGGCCTCGATGATGAAGTGGTTATCGCAATGGGGGCAGTATTCGTCAGCCTCCTCGAACTCCGTGGCGTTTTTGCGGAAACACTTCCTGCACTTCTTGCAGGCGAAAATCATCTCGTAGTTCTCGGCGAGCGGGTGGGACTCCTGTTCGGTGTGGCACTCAACGCAGTCGAACCATTTCTTGCCTGGGGCACAACCTGTCAGTATCTGGAGGTATGTGTTCCACGTTAGGGTAGGATTAAGGCACGAGGACGTACAGCATGGCGACCGGACCGAGACTTGCGCGTTGAGAATGTGCTTGCTGCGAGGGTTGTGAGCTCTCTGGGTTGCGACCGAGGTGCAAATATTGGACCTACCACATGATGGCGAAAGTAGTGATTTCCGTTTCACGGCGATTGGCAAGAGTAGAGTTATCGGGCTTGAGAGGACAAGGAGTTGGCGGTCACAATGGTCGTCGGCTTTCCTCGTGATACCTAATCATCCAAACGGAATCGGGTCGATGTCGGCGGGGTATATTTACAGAGGTCTCGCCCCCTGGCCCGCCACTTCGAGCCCCTAATTTTCGGCGTTAAGTTAGCCGCGCGCAACCCGGCTGTCTCGCTCTTAGTCATCCGCGGCGTGTACCTTGCTCGTGCACTTCTCAACGTCTGCCTTGCAGCCTTCTTCACGTATCTTTCTCCCACCTCATCATCCTTCCACGTTCCACGACCGCCGCTGTTCGACCTCAAGCTGCACGGCCACCCGATCAAAATGCCCCCGAAGCGAAAGGCAGGCGGAGCCGTACAGGGAGGGACGAAGGCTGGCAGGTCCTCGCGGGTGTCGACTCCAGGAGCTGCGACTCCTCGCACGATCGATAGCACCGATGAAGTGGAGGAAGATGAGGGCCCCGTTGACGAGGTCCTGGAGCGGGACCTGGATAAGAACATAGACCTTTTCTCCCTCGATCGCTACCAGAAGAGACACGCGATCCGGGAACCGCTTCCTCATATCTTTGGGGACCATGACTTTTCGTACTTGGATCTGAAGAAGGACCACCAGAATCGCCCGCTCTGGATTGACCCCCAAAAAGGCCGCATCATCTTGGAGAGTTTCAACCCGCTCGCCGAACAGGCACAGGATTTCCTCATCACCATCTCCGAACCGCTATCACGACCGACGTTCATGCACGAATACGCCTTGACGACGCATAGTTTATACGCAGCCGTTTCGGTTGGTTTATCGCCACAGGACATCATTAATACCTTGGACCGCTTTCTCAAGACGCCGCTACCCGACGAAATCCGTGCATTCATTACAAACTGTACCCAGAGCTACGGCAAAGTTAAGCTGGTTCTCAAGAACACCAAATACTACGTCGAAAGCCCGGATCCAGAGATGCTCCAGACACTCCTAAAGAACCCCAAGATCGGACCATTGCGAGTCCAAGGAACCGAGGAAATTACGACCTCGGCAGCTCCTAAGATCGGTGGTCTTGTCATTCCAGGAACGAAGAACGCCGCAGGTGTTAAGCAAGCCAACGGCCTACAAAAGTCAGGACCCGAACAGACTCAAGAAGGACAGCCCGTACAGGAAGGGGACGTGTTTGCAAGCCTCAACGAAGAGGATGACGAGGACCAGGAGGTGACCCACGCATTCGAGATTGCGGACAAGGACGTCGAGACGGTACAGAAAGAGTGCCTCAATCTGGGATATCCTGTTCTGGAAGAGTACGATTTCCGTCGAGATGAGGTCAACCCCAACCTGGAGATCGATCTCAAGCCAGGCACACAGATTCGACCATACCAAGAGAAGAGTCTGAGCAAGATGTTCGGAAACGGACGAGCTAAGAGTGGTCTTATTGTTTTGCCTTGCGGCGCTGGCAAAACCCTAGTAGGCATCACAGCAGCCTGCACCATCAAGAAGGGTATTATCGTCCTCTGCACAAGTTCGATGTCAGTGGTGCAGTGGCGAAACGAATTCCTGAAATGGTCCAACATCAACCCTGACGACATTGTCGCCTTCACTTCCGATTCCAAAAACAATGTGTTCACTGGCAGCACGGGTATTATCGTTACGACGTACTCCATGGTGACACAATCGAGAGCAAGATCTTATGATGCCGAGAAGATGATGCGGTTCCTTACAGGTCGAGAATGGGGCCTGATGCTTCTAGACGAAGTGCACGTTGTGCCAGCTAACATCTTCCGAAAGGTGACATCTTCGATCAAGACTCACTCAAAGCTGGGGCTCACCGCCACTCTCTTGCGAGAAGATGACAAGATTTCGGATCTGAACTTCCTGATCGGCCCCAAGCTCTTCGAGGCGAACTGGATGGAGTTGTCGAAGCAGGGTCATATTGCACGAGTCCAGTGTGCCGAGGTTTGGTGTCCTATGCCGACTGAGTTCTACGACCAGTATTTGCGGGCCCCGTCTCGGAAGAAGAACCTGCTTTACATCATGAACCCCCGCAAGTTCCAGGCGTGCCAGTATCTGATCAACTACCATGAATCTCGAGGCGACAAGATCATCGTTTTCTCGGATAATGTGTATGCGCTGAAGGCGTATGCCCTGAAATTGGGCAAGGCTTATATCTACGGTAGTACCGGACAGGCCGAACGATTGCAGGTGTTGGAGAACTTCCAGCACAACCCGCAGGTCAACACGCTGTTCCTTTCTAAGATTGGAGATACATCACTAGATTTGCCCGAGGCGACTTGCTTGATCCAAATCTCATCGCATTACGGCTCGCGTCGTCAAGAAGCACAGAGGTTGGGACGAATTCTTCGAGCTAAGAGACGAAACGACGAAGGCTTCAACGCCTTCTTCTACTCGCTAGTATCCAAGGACACGCAGGAGATGTTTTTCTCGTCCAAGCGTCAGGCGTTCCTGGTGGATCAGGGATACGCATTCAAGGTGATTACGCAGCTGGCCAACATTGAGAAGACGCCAGGACTTGCATTTGCCGACGTGGGAGAACGACGGGAACTACTGCAGAAGGTGCTCGTTGAAAACGACAGTATGGAGGACGAAGACATCACGGACGATCTGTTCCATAGTGGAACAATGGGGCGACGAGCAAAGAAGAAGGGGGCTCGGCGAACGGCCGGTACGCTCGGAGAGCTCAGTGGCGGACAGGACATGGCATACATTGAACAGAACAAGAGGATGAACCAGTCCCTGAAACGGAACAAGAAGGACAGCCACTCCTTCTTCAAGAAGATTGGACGAGAAAACGCGAGGCGAGCCGCAGCAGGGTAATAGAATGGGTGATGACGGGTTTCACGGGATTCATGGGATAGAGACGGATAATCGGGATGGGACGGGTCTCAGGCAACCTAGATTGGCCAGCAACTTTGGACGAGACCGGAGGAGGTCGGGAGGTCCCTCTGGGCTGTTCAGGCACAGGGGCCGGGGAAGATTCGGCGTTCAGGAAAAACCGGCAGACAACAGAAGCCGATGTTGGTTGTGCAACATGTATAGTATAGTATGGAGTAAGCTGTAGAACGTAAACAAAAAAATGACGTTTTGAAATAACTTCTGGATGTGGGGACGGAAATGGGGTTCCTGGGTGGATGCACCATTGCTGTCGTGTGCTGAAGGCGCCACTCTTCGCCGCGACGCCGAAGTGCGTGATGTGATGGAGATGGGGATGGCCGAAGAACGGGCGTCATCATGCCACGGGGCAGTCATGCGCCTCGCACCCTGGACGATGCCCATGACGGAGCACGATATCTCATCCTGAGCGGTATGTATTTGCTCCGGCTGCCGGCTGTCGTGCGTTTCTGAAGCTGCATAGTATTCACCGCCGGCCCCTACGGGGCCTCTCTCGACGCTGGGGCCGGCTCATGGCTCTTCAGGTTAAAGCGTCCTAAATACATACCCGCACCTAGTGATCTTGGGGTAAAAGCTTGGCGACCTTGAGGGCTGGGGTTGGCAGAGAAGATGGTGTGGGAGGGCACCGAGGGTGGCCCACCATGGGACAGACGGATGAGGGGGTCTCGTTGGCAGCTGCTGATACATACTACGTACATACTACGTCCATATCTCAACAATCCAGTGCCGTACACCGGCAGTGCATGATGACAGGTTGCTGGCAGTGCTGCCGAGCTTTACCGTTCAAGGCAGGTCGAGGCCATGACGAGAAGGATGGTCCAGACGGAAAGCCAGGAGGGAACCCACAGAGCCGTGGACCACGGATTGTGTTACTCGGAACTGGAGGGTTCGGCTGTACCTGTCTTTGGTCGCTCGGAGGGTCCTCGGTGGGTCTAGGCCTGAGCTGTGGTGGATGGCCGGAGGCGGAGGGACTAAATGCAGGATTTGAATGATGGACACGTCAAAGAGAAACAGTCTGTGTGGTGCTACGCTACATAGACTGAGGCTCTCATTACGACTTGACACAATATAGCAGCATTGGACGGAGTAGCACAAGATAGGCTCTGTGCGACGTCAGTCGAAGTGGTGGCTAGTTAAAAGTGATGAAGAGTCACCGGCGGGCTCCGGTTGGACAGGAGAGTGTGGCTATAATTATCAGGGAGCTTAGATACGGAACATTAAAAGTACCCAGCATACGACGGCTACGTACAGGCATTGAATATAATCGACCAGGGCTCGGCATAATCTGCAGGGGATGGTGAGAGAAGCTTTGGCCCCCTGACGGAACCGATGCAGTGTACAGGCTGGATAGCTATCTATCCTTGTGCACCCGAGGATAAAATAAGCCGTGAGAAGGGGAGAAGAGATGGGAAAATTCGGACAATGACGGCGACGGAGGCGAAGTCAGTCAGTGGATGCCGGTGGATGTACTCCGTAGAGGAGTCTTTTTTTTTTCAGATTGCCACCTTGGTCCCATGGGAGAATAACGTCGACTGTCATTGGACAGGCCCGTTTGAGGTTCTTTGGATGCCCAGCCCCCTGACGCGGAAGGCCATTAGCCACAAACTACTGACAGGACTCTAATGCGGTTCCGATTTCCAACGTGTGTGTGACACCCTGCCCTATTTGCTCGATGAGTGCCGGCGGGCTGAATCAATGTCGATCCAGATGTGATTCGTGTCTCTGATTGCCCTGACATCAGGTTTGTTCCTTATCTTTCCGACTCTGAACCCCAGCAGGATCCGTCGTGATTTTGTGACGATGACAATTGGATTGTTTTGCCGGGCGTCATTGGCTGGTCCGTAGCGATGGATGAGCTGCACACACTCTGCACACCACTGCACAACAGCGGGCGGGCGCACCGAGGCCCCAACCGAGTGGAGGGTAACCTGGGTAGGTAGGTACCTGGGCTGGTCTACCAGCGGGTTCCCAGGTGGATGCCTTCTAGTGGGTGCAGTGGGTTTGCAGTGGGTGGGTGGGTCACTGCTCGCAGAAGCTCGACCCGCCGCAACGGGGAAAACAGGTACATGCAGTCAACCGTTCAGGGATGCAGTCTGACGTTTCCAGGCCAGAGGGTGTAATTTTGGCTGGCCTGCGTCATCAGCTTCTGCACCTGAGCCCGTACTCCGGGCTGGGTATCTTCGTGTAGAGCGTCCAGTCGGCACCCGGGCCTCCAGCAGAAGAGCACAATATCATCGGCGGTTGGAATTGGTGTCCCCAGTAACCAACGCCACAGCGGGAACAGAGTCAAACAGGTAGAGTCAGTCAGTTAGTCAGTCAGTCATCTATCAGGTCAGCCCAGGTCAGGCCAAGGTGAGTCCGCCCGCCCCTGGGAAAATCTCAGTGTGTCCGGGTCCGGTCTGGACTCTCCCGCGCGCCGGCACCTGTACGGGCGGCCTAGGGCCACCGCTACCGCTGCCGGGGAACTGACCCGAACTGAACGATAAGCCGCCTGACCCAGCCAACAAGCTTTTTTATGGCTGACGACGGGTCTGTTTTTTGGTGGCATGCCTCACGCCCGGGAGTGTCTTTTTTTCCCCTCCAGCTTCTTTTTTTCTCTCTCTCCCCCTTCACTCTTTCGTTGCCCGTTGCCGTTTCTCCTTTTGTTGGCATTGCCCGGTCCCGTTGTCCCCTAGGTTGTTTCAATCCCTTGGCCTGGACCTGCTCGTCGCCCGCACGTTGCCTGTCCCTGACTGGCTGTTCCTTGTCCTGCGAGCTGCTGATTGTGCCGGTGGCTGCTTTTTGTTGTACCAAGTACTGCATCATCTGTCCGTCTGTCCTGTGTCTCGTCCTAGGGAGGGTATTGTGCATCAAGATATGCGTGCGTGGGCTTGAACCTGGTCATTGCTTGGTGGCTTTGGTTGCTTGGCTCTGCCCTTGCAGAGCGAGAGAACTGCCCTCGTGGCTCCATCGCGTATCCCGAGTCGCTGTATCGATCTTTGTTCTGCCGCTTCTGTGTGATTGCGACTGGTTACCTCTCTGGACCCAACGCTGCGTCTTCGCAAGTACCCTGCTGTATCCTGTTGTATCCCGCTCCTTATCACTATACCATTCATCACCGCGTTGCTATTGTTGCCCCCTTTCCACGTTTATTGTGTTTGTTTGCTTTGCGCACCCGTTTGCATTGCTGTTATTGTTGCCTCCTTCCGCCCGGGGCCTGGGACCTGGGACCTACTTCAACCGCTCTCGGCAGCTTTTCGCTGCTGCTCCTCTCACATCATCACTTCACCTCAACTCACCTCACATCGCATCACATCACATCACCTCACCTGCCCTATTCGCCTCGGTTCAATCCTATTGTTCCGCTTTAGTACATCATCATCTCTTTGGGGTTGTGACCTTGCCCTACCTCAACCGTTCATCAACCTACCTACTACCTACATAAAGAACCCGCCCTACCTGCATCTCTACTGTCAACCCACTCAACCGACTCTACCCTCTTCGCCTCAATTTGTCCGAAGTTGCAGTACGCATTCGCCAATCATCGTGGCTCCCTTGTTCTTGGTCTGGGCTCTCCGTCAGCTAGTCGAGTCGAGCCTAGATCCAGTTCCTCACAGCCACCGTCCACTCTCCAAAGAACGACCAAACCCACCCGCCGTCGCACCCATCGCGTCCACGGTGCCCACACCCGGCCATTCATCATCCTCGTCATTCATCGCCGCCATCATCCTCTCACCATCCCAATCCGTCCACTCCCGAGCAATTCCGTGTCTGTCCTTAACCTTGTGCGCTTAAACGGCTTTCTGACACCACCGCCACTCTTTTACCTGTTGCTTTTCACCGCCTCCATCATGCCTTTGATCTAGTCGGCCACCGTCATTACCCCCGTCCTCCCTCCTTTCTCCTCCCCTCCTCTTCCCTCTACCGTTCGTCTTCCCAGCTTTCGTCCAGTTCCTCTCCGTCGTCGAGATATGCTGGACGGGGCGCGCGCCTTTTTCTGGGCGCAGCTCAGAGCTGTCAAGCCAGCGTTCGTGTCCAAGACGCCGCATTTCAATTTCATTTCGGTTCACTGTAAGTTGCTTCTGCTGCTGATTCTTGGCGCTCCTCGCTCGCGCTGCAGTGCAGTGCAGTGCATCACCCCCCACCACGCCCACGTGGCCCGCGACTCCATGCTGAGAATCCCAAGTCCACTGACACAACGCGCTGCAGATACTTGGATTATCGGTGCGACACTCCTCGCCTCCGTCATCATCTACGCCTCCGGGACCAACACCGTTACCTATGTCAACGCTCTCATGTTCGCCAGTGGCGCCAACACGCAGGCCGGCCTCAATCCCACAGACCTCATGGACCTGAACACCTTCCAACAGGTCGTCATCTACCTCTTCACCATGATGTCCAATCCCATCACGCTGCACAGCTCCGTCGTCTTCCTCCGTCTCTACTGGTTCGAAAAGCGATTCCAGGGCTGGGTCTCCGATGCCCGGCAGCGCCGAGGGACTCTATCCAAAGCTAAGTCACAGGCGCGCAACGACATGCGCGGCGCCGAAGAGGGTGTCAACGGGCGCAGCATTACCGTGGTTCCCAACCGTGGCCTCCCACCTCGCATGACCAACGATGGAATCCTGCTCGACGGAAACGAAAGGTTCGAATCACAAGCCATTGTGGACGACGATGACGAAGATGGATACCCGCCGGCCAAGACTACTCCAGCCAACAGCGACGAGAGCGACACAGCCACTGTGTCAGCTGCTCGGTCCAATAGCATGGAGCTGTGTCCGCTGGAGAAGCCCGAACAGTTACACGAAAACGGCCACGACGACAGGGGTCTTCCGCCGCACGCGAACACCGAGGGGCACAGCCAGAACCAGAGTCTCGGAATCACACACACAGCAATCACATTTGCTGACACGGTCAAGAGAAGCGACGGCGTCGATGACGACACCAAGTTCCCACAGAAGCGCCCAAATGCCGAGCACATAGCCATTCTCCAACGCCAACGGAACCAGGACAATGAGGTTTTGCGCATTCCTGGACCTCGTGATGCCGAGAAGGGAATGGGCCCGAGGCTCCTGGACGACCAGGATGCTGGAGAAGACGAGGATACCATCGCCGTGACCCGGTCCAACATCTTGGGGCCGGATCCTGCAACAGCCGACTCTAAAGTACCCCGCGACCGCCGACCGACCATCGTTATTGCTGAACCAGATCGGCCCGTTAGAGACGAGCTTGCTGATGATGGTAAGACCCTTGGCAGCACGCTCGAGGCCTTCAGGCTCCGAAAGCGTCGAGCATTCAGCCGCAGCCAGAAGCACGTTCACGAGGATAATGAGAGCGGCCGGCCCGTAAGCGCCTTCCGAACGCGCACGCTCGACACAATCAAGTCCGCCTGGTCGCGCGACGCCGTTAACGACATGCCTTACCTCAGTTACACGCCGACAATGGCACGAAACTCCAACTTCGTGGGTCTGACCCTCGAGCAACGCGAGGAATTGGGCGGCATCGAGTATCGCTCTCTCAGAACCTTGGCCTTGATTTTGATCTGCTACTTCTGGGGCTTCCAGACCATCGCTGTCGCTTGTCTACTGCCCTTCATTCGGCACAACGAGCGCTACGGCAGCCTCGTCGAAAGTCAAGGCATTTCCAGGACATGGTGGGGCTTTTGGACAGCCAACTCAGCCTTTATGGACTTGGGGTTCACCTTGACCCCGGACAGCATGAACTCGTTCAACACCTCCGAATACGCCATGATGATTATGTGGTTCTTCATCATCATCGGAAACACGGGGTTCCCAGTCATGCTGCGGTTCATCATCTGGATCCTCGCCAAAATCGTGCCCAGCGGGACAGGACTTTGGGAGGAGCTGAGGTTTCTCCTTGATCATCCTCGTCGATGCTTCACCCTGTTATTTCCTTCCAGCGCCAATTGGTGGCTTTTCTGGATCCTTGCCGGTCTCAATGTCATTGACTTGTTGTTCTTTATGGTTCTTGATGTCAGTCTTCTCCTTTCCCTTCTGTCCCATCTCCCATCTTCAGAGCTGAATATTAACGTTGTTTAGCTTCACTCCGGTGCCGTCTCCGAACTGCCCATTCACACGCGGTTCGCAGATGGTCTCTTCCAAGCAGCCGCCACCAGAACGGCGGGGTTCTCTTGCTTCTCCATGTCGGCCCTCCACCCAGCCATGCCCGTCCTATACATGATCATGATGTACATCTCAGTCTTCCCCATTGCCATCTCTATTCGTCGAACCAACGTCTATGAGGAAAAATCTCTTGGTGTTTACCCCGACAAGAAGGACGATGATGATACAGCTGCAGAGGCCAATGCTCTTTCTTACGTCGGTACCCATTTGCGGCGGCAACTGTCCTTCGATCTGTGGTACGTGTTCGTGGGCTTCTTTCTCCTCGCTATCAGCGAAGGAAATAAGCTCAAAGCCGGAGATTTCGATTTGTTTGCGATTTTATTCGAGGTCGTCAGCGCCTACGGCACTGTAGGACTCAGCATCGGCATCCCAACGGTCAATGCCTCTCTCTGTTCCCAATTCACCGTCGTGGGCAAACTCATCATCGTTGCGATGCAAATTCGAGGTCGTCATCGTGGCCTCCCATACGGGTTGGATCGAGCTGTCCTTCTTCCCAGCGAATCTCGCTTTCAGACGGAAGCCGAAGTGGACCAACCGATCCTGGTCCGAACTCGCACGGGGATGTCAACCGCTGCGACAGGTCAAGACAATCAGGCCAATCCCAATGTTCCTGGTCGCCGTCGCAGCACGAGCAGAGGCCGAGAACGCACCAACAGCCACATCATTACACAGTTTCTATACCCGGGTCCTGTGATCCGAAATGATGCGATCCACGGGCATAAACGTACCCCGTCAGGGGCCTCACAGCAGCAACAACAACAGCAATTCCCTCGAGCCGTCACGGAGCCTATCCCATCTGAAGAAAAAGATTCGGTCGGTCCACTTCGGACGATCGAGTCTCATATACACCACCCAAGAAGAGCAGAGACTAGTCCAATGTCCTAGGAGGGTTTTTGGAAAGATGTTTTTATCCCACTTGAGCGGGAATAATTCATTTTGCAGCCAGAAGTCTGGTTTGCCAACACAACAAGATCCCGGGTCGCTTAATATTGTAACCATCAACGACAAAATCAGGAGTTTCGTGCAAGGACGGATGTATGGGTCGGGAGAAATTACGGCGTGCAGTGCACAGGATTACAACTAGACAGGTTCGACAGATTGGAGTTGGACCAGGGTGCAGTCATCGGGTTGAGCGTTTTCAGTATTTTGTTGTCACTTTTCATCTCGAGAACCAGGCTCGGTGGCGCTGAGAAGGATTAAATATTTCGGGTCGACTTTTCGTCCGTATTGCTATCTTGCGGTACTGGACAGTGATTTTTCTTCGGAGTTAAAAGGTAGAATGGCAGTTCAAATACAAAGGGGCCGCCACCGGTCAAGCCAACGCCAGAAACACCCTCTTCCCTTCTCGTCCGTCTCTATGCCATCCCAGTACATGTATCGTGTCCCGGCCACGCGAGTCTCGGAACGGGGCGACACTTTATCTTAAGCTGGGTTCTATAGTCGAAAAGATTAAAGCCAACGCCACCTGCCAACCCATGATACCCAATTTATCTAGCCAGATCTTCTGACGTCTACCCGATTCCCGACATTTCCTACAGGCATTCCTGCCACTCTGTCGTGGCATCATGCTCACTTGGTCTCGAAGGCGCCGATATCCTTCAGCGCGCCAGCCAGGCGGCGGTAATCGCGCAGGAGGTCGAGGACCTCGCCGAGCTTGAGATCCCCAGGGGTCTGGATCTCCATAAAGCGCTTGTTAGGCGGCGCAATCTTGGGGATCTCTTTAGGGGGAAGGGCGGAGGCGATGTCAGGGAATGCCTAGTTGGGTCAGCTTTGAACAATATCATGATGTCATTTCAAGACAATTAGAGAGGTAATGAAGAAAGCTTACAGTTGCAAGATCGCCGCCATCCGCAGGCTTTGCGTCTTTCACCACGGGGGGAGTAGAAGGTGTCGAGGTATTCCGCCCGAAGCCACGGATCATGCTGATGCTGGGCAAGCGGGCCATTGGGTTGAAGGAGTTGCCCAGGTTGCGCATTTGTTCGAGCACAGCCGGGTTCTGGCCTGGAGGTGGAGTGGCGCCGGTGGCTCGGGGGTCCTCGAAGGCAAAGAGGCCCTTCTTAGAGGAGCTGACACTCCGGCCGCTGCGATTGCTATCCGCACTGTGATCACGGCGACCTCCAATGAGATTCAGAACTCGGTCCTCACGCTGACCAGGACGCTTCTGGGGTTCCGCATCGTCGGGGCCAAGGAGGGCGTTAATTCCGCTTGCTGAGTCGTCGTCGTCGGGAGGCGGTGTGCTGACTAGTTTGCGCGCGTCGTCCAGAGTGCGCGGGACGACAATGGACTCTCGGGGACTATCCTGGTGCTCCCGCAGCTTTCCCACTAGGAATTTGTAGCTGTCACCTAAGCTGGTCGAGATGTTCTTGAGACCCTGGTCGGCTGTGTTGAAGACGGCGTCACTGGCAGCACCGAAGGCTTGCGCAGGCGTATTGACGAGATCACTCAGTCGTCGATTGCGCAAGGTAGTGGTGGCTTTGAGGCCAGCTGGTGAGGCAGCGGGTTTAGTTGCTGCAGCAGTCTCCTTTGTTGTTTCCGGGGCGCTCTGAGTGGCAGGCGCGGCCCCTTGTGAGTACGCAGGCGGGAATGTTTCCGTCCTGGGGCTTGTACTCTTGGTCGGCCCAGAGAGGTGCTCATCAGCGCGCAAAGTGGCAAGGTCTACAGTCTGAAGGAAGCTAATGACAGCCTCGAGGTTGGTCAGGCAATATGCAGCTTCCCCTGTAAGTTTGGGCTCCCATCGGAAGTTCTGGATGAAATGGACGTCGCTGATGACGTGGAGGTTCTCTGGCGGGAGTGTAATGAGGGTGTAGATGAGCATGGGCATGATCTCATCGGCAGAGGCGGAGGGATGGAAGTGGGCGAGGGTATCGACGATGCTTCTGTGAGCGGCTTTGAGGTGGTTGAGCTTCCCAAGAGGATATCTCTTCTGGGTCATGAGGCCAAGATCTCTCCTCGCTTGCTCCAGGCGCTGCGTGATCTCCGCCAACTTGGCCGCGGTCGCTTCCGGTGATTGGTTTGAATCTTCACCAAGATCGATTCCCAAATCAACCGGACCAATTCCAACCAGTGCCAGAGCTGCCGTCTTGGAGCGGAGCTTGTCGTCCTGGGCTTCATCCTGGGTGCTCCGATGACGATATATCCGCTCGTAGATGCCTTCGCATAGCCTACGTTCAACGGCCTCCTCCAACAAGCCCCGTTTCGCCTCGAGGGCTTTCCTGGCACGCTTCCTCCTGGCGAGTTCTTCGGCGGTGATCATCTGCTGCTCGGAATCGGGCTTGGGTTTGTCTTTCATGTTCCGGGCGCTAGCCTTGGATCGCAGGCGGCTAGCGGCGGAGGAGATGGAGGAGGAGGACGGGGCGGGAGAGACATCGCGGCTCTGCATCGTCAACAGGGCATTGATGTGAGTATTGATGTGGGAGGCTGCGAGGGCGTAGAATTCTTGGAACTTCTCCGACAGCCTATCGATGGTAGGCGGGGTAGGATGGACCTTGGCGGAGAGGGAGTCGATGAAGCTGGGGATGGTTAGACAGGGGAAGCAAGATATGGAGGAGCTTCGCGAGGTACCTGTCGGTCAGAGTGACGAGCTCAATGGGCAAGATGTCGAGCTCTATAGAGGCTCGGGTGACCTCGAGGGCATCCTCCGTGTCGGTGTGGTCGCTGGTCTCGAAGGCATCGGGAGAGTCGGCGACATCGGCTGGGTTCGCAAACGTATGTGCCCTCTTGGGCAGGTGGAGGCGATCGTCGCCATCGGGAGTGACGGACTGGGAGGTTTGGGTACGCGGGACCGACGGGCGAGCTGACGAGCCCTTGGCGGGGCTTTGGGAAGCCATGGACCTGTGGGCGGAGCTGTAGACCATCATGGTGAGCTTCTGGGACGCGCGCTGCGAACAAGACGGTGATGGTGACGGAGGAGAATCAAGAGGGGAGGGAAGATGGAGGTTGGCGAGGTGACATGGAGCGCGATACATACCTACTGTTGCTACCACGGCGGCATGAAGCAAGTCAGAAGGCTGAGTGCAACTGGATGATGCAAGAGCCAACGTGTCTCGAAACTCAAAACCGGCCCGAGCAGTTACGGAGTTATTAGCGGATTCCAGGCTTACTCGTGCAGGGCAGTCGGATGCGACGGCCAGGAGCAGCAGAGAGGGTGCATAAAACGAATGTGTATTGGCTTGTGCGATGGTGAGGATGAGATGAGATTGATGATGCTCGAGAGGCCGCGACTCAGCATGACGGAGTCGACGATCGTCAGGTCACGCACGATAAGGGAAGGGAGAGATAAGTATTTAGGTAGGTAGACCCTGTGGACTGTGGAGGAGCTGCCCTGGGCCTGAATCTGCTGCATGACTGGCCAGTGCAGAGGGGGAGCGGGTGGGGGTCCAGACCGATATTAGCGGCAAGCCAATGCGCTGAGGTCGCAGCCTCCAGCTAAGTCACAGGGGGTTGAGCGTCATGCACAGGGGAGACTCCACTGAAGGATGGCACCTGGACACGATCGACTGCTATCCGAAGCCACACTAGCCACTACCAGCCCCATCCTCAGCCCCAACAAGCACTGTCGACAATAGCCTCGGATAAGTTTGAGGCTTGCCTCATCGAATACTGTGGCGATGGGGTCATAACCAAGGTTAGCACCAAGTCACCAACCTGCCATGAAAGACCCGTATGATTCTTGCATGCGAGGTCAGCCGAGGGCGTACAGCGTACAGCGTACAGTCTGCGAGCAACCCTCCCAGAAAGTGGTCTTCAACGAGAATTTGGAGAAATAAGACGCTTATAATTATTTATACACGCTCCAACAACTCCAAGCCGGATGCAACAGATGTCGAGTGACTGCGGAGCAGAGGATAATCCCCATGAACCCCAAGTTCTCCTCCCTCGTAATTATCTACAATTGGGGTAATGTACCTTGTATTCTCTGGGCCATAATTAGGTTCTCCGTAATGTGAGGATGCTGGTGGCGCCTATATCAACTTTATCCTCGGTAAACACCCACTAGAAGAAGGAGAGGGAGACGCGATGTAACGATGGTGGCATTGATGAGAGCCTCATTCACCGGTCAACGGGACCATCTCCAACATGTGATCTGATCTGTCTCCCAAAAGCCAATAATCCAATGGCGAAGAATCAATATTTCATGGGGTATCGAACCACAGCCGTTCTGATCTTCATCATTGAGCTCGGCACATGACGACTCTGGGACTGCCCTTCAGAATGACCAACGCTGACCATTCAGTGACGGGGGACCTGGGATAGGGCACTTCCCCACAGCATGTAGCCCGCTTTCCCCGCAAAACCCGCAGGAGCGGAGCCCAGATGTTGACGGGGACTAGGGCAGGCCTACTTGTTGGAGGTCCAATGCGCTGTAAGGAAGCACTCCCTCCTCTACCCACGTTGTCACAGGTACCTTGGCTCCCTAAGTTACCCTTAGGTACCGTAGGTATAATCGATCCCGTCACTGAATGCCGCTGTCACCTAATTATCCTTGACCCTACCATGCTCATGGCGAGATTTTCATCCATCCAGGGTCCAAGGGTCCAAGGTTCCAGGCCCAGACAGGCATTTCCAATCCTGGAGGATGCGAGCTGCTTTCCCCTGGCACCTGTCTTCCTTTCACCCATCCCATCCCTCTCGCCTTTGGAGTCTCGCTGCATCATGAAGATGCAAAATGTGCCGTCCGTCCAGGAAACGGTGGCTGTCCGATCACCCCACGGTAACGCAACAGTGGCCTCATTGCGTTTCCCCGGTTTCCCGTTCCTTGTATTCCCTTCAACTTCCCCTTCCATCATCGCACCGCATCAATTGCTCAACCAGTGAGTGGTCTGTCCCTCTAGAATCCACTTGGCCCCTACGTCGGCTATCTCTCTCTCACTCCACGCGGGGTCCCCACACGCGTCCCAAGCAACCACCAACCGCATCAGAGCAGCACCCCTTCAGGTTTTGAGCCGTCCTGTCGGTCCAAGTTACAGTACATGGGTGTGCCCGCCCCCCAAACGTCACTGGCGTCGCTCTCACCGTCGATCGGTTAAGGGCGAAAGTCCAAAAGCACAGCCGCCGTTGATGGGTGGAGTTAGTTGCTGGGGAGGGGGAATTGCAGAACCGAGTTGGCCCTGGGCTGGAGGTACAATAGCCGGGCCCAACCGAGACTGTAGCTATGAATTGGCCTGCTCTCCCTCACTTTGCCAATCTTCCACCATCTCTCTCTCGCCTGCGCGCTCTCTGCCTCTGCCTCTGTGCCTGTGTCTATCCTACCCTGCTCTCACCAGTTCTCTTGTTCTTCCCAAAGCCTTTTTCTCCATTAGGTGGCCCAGCAGGTAAGGGCAGAGAGCAGTAGAGTGGACCGGTTCTCACCACCCTCCTCTTCATCCTCATCCTCATTCTCGTCACAACACCAGCTTCACACGCGTGCCTCAACGCACTCAACTCGCAATGTCTGGCCCTCCGTCACGCATCCGCTCCATCCTCAATCACCTGCGCCCCCATCCGCAGACCCCCCCAAACTTCCACACCCTCTCGCCGACTCTCTTCCTTGAGCGCGCCGCCTCCATCGAGCCCAATGCCGAAGCCATCTTCCACATCACCGTCAACGGCGCCATCCTGCGTCGCTCCTACGCCGAGTTTGCCGATCGCGCCCGCGGCCTCGCCTACTACCTCCTCAAGCATGGCTACCGCCGCATAGGCATCCTCGCTCCCAACACTCCCGCCTTCCTCGAGTCCATCTACGGCATTGTCGCTGCCGGCGGAGTCGTTGTTCCAGTCAACTACCGCCTCAAGCAGGATGACATCGACTACATCTTGGACTATGCTGAGGTGGACTGCATCATTGTTGATAACGAGTTTGTCGGCTTGCTCGATCAGTACCGAGAGAAACACGCCAGTGTGCCGTTTATTGTCGATCTTGTGAGTATTTGTTCTTGAGGTTGGGCGCGCGCTCGTGTATCTAATCGACATATCTCAGGACACGGATGCGACTGAAGGACAACTCTGTGGTCCCTTTGACGAGGCCGTCTTGGAAGGCTTGAACCATGATCACGACCAGGGTGGTCAAGGCTGGGCTGGTCTCCATTCCCAGGCCAGAAGCGAGGACGACATGCTCGCCATCCCATTCACCTCTGGCACCACGTCGCGACCCAAGGGTTGCGTCTACACCCACAGAGGTGCTTATCTGGCTGCCATGGCCAACATCATCGAGTCAGGGCTAAACACTGGCCACTGCAAATACCTGTGGACTCTTCCCATGTCAGTTTTCTTGGTTGTCGCGAAGCTTGACCACTCTCTAACGGTTACAGGTTCCATGCCATGGGATGGACATTCCCCTGGTCCATTGTGGCTGTGCGCGGCGTCAACGTCTGTCTAAGAAAGATCGAGTACCCCCTCATCTGGAAGCTCCTCAAGGAGGAGGGAATCACTCACTTCAACGCCGCTCCCACAGTTAACACCTTGCTGGTTGCTGCCAAGGAGGCTGAGCGACTCCCCCAGCAAGTAATGGTGACTGTTGCCGCAAGCCCTCCAAGCGGCCATCTCTTTGAGCAAATGGTAAGTTCCCACATTACGACGAGTTGAAACAGCACGCTGACTCCTTGACAGACAAAACTCAACCTCATCCCCGTCCACGTATATGGAATGACAGGTACGCTCCTCTCAGATACCCTTGCTTGATCACGACGTACTCACCAATCTCTCCAGAAACCTACGGCCCCATCACCAAGTGCTATACTCTACCCGAGTGGGATAACCTCCCCCCGCAGGAAAAGTACGCCAAGATGGCCCGTCAAGGCCACGGCTTCATCACCAGCCTCCCCATCCGCATCATCAAGCCCGATCAGCCCCAGGGTGTCCTCATCGATGTCGCCAAAGATGGCAAGGAGATTGGTGAGATCGTCTTCCTCGGCAACATCTGCGCCAAGGAGTATTACAAGGACCCTGCCGCCACGAGCCAGCTCTTCGCCGGCGGCGTCCTCCACTCGGGTGATCTCGCCGTCTGGCATCCTGACGGCAGCGCACAGATCCTCGACCGCGCAAAGGACATCATCATCTCGGGGGGTGAAAATATCTCGTCCGTCGCCCTCGAGAGCATGCTCGTGAAGCACCCCGACATTCTCGAGGCTGGTGTTGTCGCAGTGCCAGACTCGCACTGGGGCGAGCGGCCCAAGGCATATGTCACCATCAAGGAGGGCAAGACGGTTGCCGGCGGCGACGTGATAACCTGGGCCAAGCACCAAAGCGACATCAGCAGGTTCATGGTTCCCCGAGAGGTCGAGGTGGTGGACGATCTGCCCAAGACCAGCACAGGCAAGATCCGGAAGAATGTGCTACGGGAGTGGGCCAAGCACGGCAGGAAATAGGAGGCCCAAGACGGAGTGTCTAGTAACGTGTAGTAGTCCGGGGGAATCTTGGTCTATATTGAAAAAGTGTATATAACTAGAATGACTGAGAGCGGCACGATGAAGACGAGGCGCCTGGATGTCAGAAGCGAACTCGCCCCAGGGCATCATTTTCTATCGCCTGTTTCCCCTTTGATCAAGTCACATTCGCCGGGAACCTCGCACCCTTCGCACCCTCGTCCAATGCATCCAGCGCCATCATATCCACTTCTTCGAGTACAAACTCGTACACATCGGCGTTCTCACGGATCCGGCCCGCTTGTGCACTTTTGGGCAGCGGCACCCAGTTCTTTTGCAGCGCATAGCGCACCAGCACTTGCGCCGGTGTCTTCCCATGCTTGCTTGCGATGGCTCCCAGCGTTGCGTCGTCGAGACGGGCACCGGTTGCGAGGGGGCTGTACGCCTGGACAACTATGCCCTTGGTGTTGCAGTACGAAACGAGGTCGCGCTGCTGGCACCATGGGTGAAGCTGGAAAAGCACATTGTTAGAGCCTCACATGCGTAAGGGGCTGTGAGACTCACTTCGATCTGGTTTACGCTTGGAGGCCAGACAGTTGCGTACTCGCGCATTTCCTCTAGATGATTCACGCGGAAGTTACTCACGCCGATGCTTCTCGCCTTCCCCTCGGCGCGGAGCTGTTCAAGTGCAGCCCAGAGCTTCCGGCGGTGCTCACGGGACGGACCGGGAACATGGATGAGGAGGAGGTCAACATAACTGTCTTCGTCGTCGCCCGCAATATGAGCTACGCCTTCTTTGGCATTTCGGTAGACTGCGTCCTCCCCATCGCCAACCGCACTCACGGTGTTCTCGTTTGTAGAAGTTTTGCCGCGCCGAGCCTTGGGGCTCCCGACCTTGGTAGTCAGGAAGATATCCTCACGTCTGAGGTTAGACCGGACCACGGCGTCACACACCAGGTGACTGTTGCGGTACAGCTCCGCCGAGTCGATGTGACGGTAGCCGGCGGCGAGAGCCTCGAGGCAAGCGTTTATGCAGGAATCGCCACGGAGCTTGTAGACACCGAAGCCAAGTTGGGGAATGGAGGTGTTTGAAATCGGAAGCCGAATGCGTGTGTCCAATGTAACGGTTTGCGAGGACGAGGACATTCCGGTAAGATAAAGTCGGACCCGCACTTGTTTCTAAGGATCTACAAACCCACATGCGTACTCCAGATTTCAACAATATTTGTATATATCACAGATATCAATCAATGACCGTGTGATAAGACAAGGGAGTTTGGCCGTGTGAGTCAGGGCGAATCTCGCCGCAATGTTGATGTTGTCTAGGGTAGCAGGCATTCCGGTGGAGCTCGCAGCTGGTGGCTAAGCATGCAGTAGAGGACCTGAAGCGGGCCTTTGGATGCCGCTAGAAGCTGCGCTGTAAGTGCCACAGAGAGCGTCACTGGGCCATCCTAATAAAATAAAAAAGGGTTAATACCTAAATATAAGACCCAACAGGCTCTTAGGTACTAACCCATTTTATTTTATCACATCCATCGCAGACATTTGCTTTACACGCCGATTTGGACGGAGGCGTTTGCTGCAGGTGTTGGTGTTCTAGAAGGCCCCACTGCCTACTGGAAATCTGTCGAAATGCACTGTCGTCACCTCACTACGGTAGCTAAATTGACACTGGCAGATTGCCCACAAGCCACCTGGCCCACCGCCCACTCGCTGCAACCGGCGAAGCGTCATGCTACTCAGTCAGGTGTAAATTCACCCTCCCTCGATCTCACTTCTCGGTCCATTCGCTCCCCCGAATTTAAACTTCTTCTTCTTCGTCGCCTCCCCAGACTGGACTCACCAGACGAAACCGCCGCCGACCCGATTTCGTGAGCCATTGAGCCAAGTCCAGAGAGACGAGATACAACAATGACGTCGCTGCGGCCTCTGCGGGGCGGCTGCCAGTGCGGCCGCAATCGTTACATCATCGCCATCCCCCACGATAGCCGCAGTCAGGTCCAGGTCCTCTTCAATACCGAGCCTGTCCACCGTGAGTCCTCCCGCATCGCCCGGCAAAGGCAGCGCAAAAGCGGCCCGTCAATTGTCCCTTCAGAAACCCAGTAGCTGACGGAGGAGCTTGCCTGTCGATCAGAGATCCCCCTAGCGACCCCACTAGCTGCCTACATTCGAGTGCCGCTCTCGTGGTATCATAGCACTACATACGCCTTCTTTCCCGACGAAACGCACACCCTCATCCGTCGTGCATATACACATCCCAGCCAGCAGTATTCAAAGAGGCACTTTTGTGGTTACTGTGGGACTCCGCTGTCCTACTGGTCCGAGGATCCGCCCAGCGAGGCCGAATACATCAACCTCACCCTGGGCAGCCTCCTTCGAGAGGACTTACGAGACCTTGAGGACATGGGACTTATTCCTGAAGACGCAAACGACAATGGAATGGCGGAACACGGCTCCTCAACAAGCGGAGATGCAACTGATAAAAGCACACCTCTACGACCGTCATATGGAGTGCCTTGGTTTGATGGTATGGTCGAGGGATCGAAGCTCGGACGCTTGCGGCGCAGCCAGGGCGTTCAGCAGTCAGAGGATGGGCGGGTAAAGGTCGAGTGGGAGGTTGTCGAGTACTCCGGAGAGGGAGACCACAGCGCCGATGACGAAAATACGAACATGGAGCCAATGCTGCACGCAAAGCGGAAGCTGCATGATAGAGACGATGCAGATGCCGAAATTTGATAAGGCGGCAAGGTTCCAGTCAGGGTTTCTGGGGAGTGAGCCCGGATAACAGCCTCGTGTAATTTTACACACGGGTCGCTCTGATGCTGAGACAAGTCCCACCGTAGGAGTTGAACAATAGTGCGGATATTCTGGAAGATAAGGAAATCGGTGCCATGTTTGTGTTTATGGGAAGGCTCAGGTTTGAGACGCAGGCCTTGACTTGTGTAATTTTGGAGCGAAGGAGGTGCTGTTTTCTCGCTGCTCTGTCTCCCTCTCTCGATGTCGAGCCTGGGATGACGAGATGTGTTGGGATAAACAGCTGGCTCGTGAAGGGGCAAACAATGATCGGAATGACGGAAACGAAGAGATAGAAGCAGGCCAAAAAAAAAAAGACACATGTGATGAACGAAAGAAGAAGACTGAAACACGATATGATATCAGATCGCATGGTTTGGGACTTTGTCATGGTGATTCGGGCCCGTAGCCAGCTCAAATATTGCACGGCAGCACCGGGGCTTCGCAAGCCGGGCCGCCTGCCATGGGAGGTGTTATTGCTCCAAGTGGAGCCAGATAGACGAGTGCATGTTGGAAGGATGATGAATTTCAAGGTGGGGGACAAGACCAACAACAGGCTACCTACCTAGGTAGGTACCTCCCTAAGAAGATTCCGGTGAGGAAAAGCGGAAGTACTCACCATGCGCCAGGAAGGGTTCCCGCAAGCCTTGCCTCATCTGCCGACGGATCGCACATCCTCTTGCCAAGTTCGCTGGTCATGCTTGGCCGACTGTCAGCTAGGAGCATACGGGAATGACCCGAAGATTTGGCGAGGGCGGGTGCCGTGGCGTCGGAGAGGCGGGCCGAAGGTTCGTGGTCTCCCTTCGTTGTGGGAATCAATCGGCTGACAGAGTGTCATGTACTCCTTGGGTTGGCTTGAAAGAGTAAGACGGTGCCGAGGCTAAGCCGGGGCTAAGATTGAATGTCGATGTCCCCCCTCTGGTTTTGACAGCGCCTGGAATGATTGAAGAAAACATGCCTGAAGAGAAAAAGGCAGAAGAAGAACTGGAGGTTCCTTCCCGCTGCGCAAGGTACACATGTCATACATGTCATAGGTACATGTCAGGGCGGGTAATTGAGGATGGGTGGAGCTTGCCGCCGTTCAAAGGCAAGCTGGGGAGGAAGGTACGGAGTACGGGGCGGGGAAGGGACCCTCTCCACTTAATCTCCGCCTCCACCTCTCCCACTAACACAGGGCAACACAACACCACTATTTCCCCGTCCCGCATCCTCGCGTCCCGCATCCCGCATGCCTGGTCCCTCGCCCCCGGCGTCTCTGGGCAGATGATCCGGCCTCGGTCATGACGGACCGATCAGAAAACCACTCGCTCTTGACACCAACCAACGGAGATGGTGGATGGTCGCATGAGGGAGCTGCAAGGGCTTGCAGCTAAGCCCCCGGAATCTCAAGCTATATAAGATGGCCTTCAGGCCCGCGTCTCCGGACACTGGACCTCGTCTCTTGCTCCTGCACCCATCTCTGCCCGCTCATTTCCAGGCATCGCTCCCGTGTCTCCAATTGCTTATATACCGGTTCCCCCGTTGCCCAATTGTTCGTGTTGCGCAATACCAACAAATCGGCTCCTCCTGACCTCCACAGTAACTCTGTCTAAAGAGTCCGTGAAGCAAACTCTCACGAACCCCACTACCTTCAACTTATCACCACCTCCCACGCTGCAGCCATGGTCACTCTGCCAAGTGATTTCAAGTGGGGCTTTGCCACTGCCTCGTGAGTTCCTTCATCTCCAAATCAGCCCAATCTCAATTGACCCATCCCCATAGCTACCAGATTGAGGGCGCCATTGACAAGGACGGACGCGGGCCTTCCATTTGGGACACATTCTGTGCCCGTCCCGGCAAGATTGCTGATGGGAGCTCCGGAGTCACTGCTTGCGACTCTTACAACCGCACTGATGAAGACATTGCCCTGCTCAAGTCCCTCGGCTCCCAGGCTTACCGCTTTTCTCTCTCCTGGTCTCGCATCATCCCCAAGGGCGGCCGTAATGACCCCATCAACCAGGCCGGTCTTGACCACTACCGCAAGTTTGTCGATGACCTCCTCGAAGCTGGCATCACTCCCTTCATTACCCTTCTCCACTGGGATGTTCCTGATGAGCTTGATACCCGCTATGGCGGCCTTCTCAACCGTACCGAGTTCCCCCTCGACTTTGAGAACTATGCTCGAGTAGTGTTCAAGGGCATTCCCCGCTGTAAGAACTGGATCACTTTCAACGAGCCGTGGTGCTCCTCCATTCTGGGCTACAATACCGGTTCCTTTGCTCCCGGTCGCACTTCAGACAGGTCCAAGTCCGCGGTCGGCGACTCGGCCCGTGAACCCTGGATCGTTGGACACAACCTCCTTGTCGCTCATGGCCGTGCCGTGAAAGCCTACCGGGATGACTTTAAGGCTGAGAACGGCGGCGAAATTGGTATTGTCCTCAACGGCGACGCCACATTCCCATGGGATCCCAAGGACCCCAAGGATGTTGAGGCAGCTAACCGCAAGATCGAGTTCGCAATCTCTTGGTTCGCTGACCCCATCTACTTTGGAGAATACCCTGCCTCGATGCGGGCCCAGCTCGGAGACCGCCTGCCAACCTTCACTCCAGAGGAGAAGGCATTTGTTGAGGGCTCAAACGACTTTTACGGCATGAACCACTACACCGCCAACTACGTCCGCCACATCGATGGGGAGGCTCCGGAGGATGACTTCCTCGGAAACTTAGAGATTCTCTTCCACAACAAGCGTGGTGACTGCATCGGTCCCGAAACCCAGTCGACGTGGCTGCGGCCCTGCCCAGTGGGATTCCGCGACCTTCTTGTCTGGCTGTCTCGCCGCTACGGCTTCCCCAAGATGTACGTCACCGAGAACGGCACTAGCATCTTGGGCGAGAACGACATGCCCAAGGAGGAGATCCTAAAGGACGATTTCCGCCTTCAGTACTACGACGACTACGTCAAGGCAATGGCTCAGGCTTCTACCTTCGACGGCGTTGACGTCCATGGATACTTTGCCTGGTCCCTTCTCGACAACTTCGAGTGGGCTGAGGGTTATGAAACCCGCTTCGGTGTTACATTTGTCGATTATGAGAACGGCCAGAGGCGATATCCCAAGAAGAGCGCTCAGTCCCTGGCACCTCTGTTTAAGAGCTTGGTAAAGAAGGATTAAATCTTTCTTGCGGTCAAGGAGGGATCAGGCACAAACGTGAATGAGATCGTTTCTTGAGGGACAAGAGTTCAAGGTGAACGAAGGAGATGAAGAGCAGGGGTTATCGCAACGGATCATCAATGTTGAAGCTTTTCACAAGCTACGCGGGACATGGGACTGACATTTTTATTGCAATATATTTCAGTGTAGATGAGGTTGACTGAATATGACACCATTTTATTAAGATTGAGTTATTCCACAACTATGACGTTCTATCCAACCTTTCAATCTCTTTTCTTTTTGTGTATCAGGATAACACAGAGTAACACATCAACTGATTGACGTCGTGGAGTTGGTCGTTAGGACTGGCTAACGATCTCCGCTACCGCAATAGTCCGGCGCCATAGCACCTATGGTAGTTAAACAACGCTACCCTAAGAAGCAATATCCTTGATAAATAGTCCACCAATCACCTCACATTGCCCTCCACCTTTTCTCGTTCAGATTGAACGGCTTCTTCGTTTCGTTGAGTGGCCACTTCCCTATCTCCCTCCACCACCTCAGTTCGGCCACACTCCTCCTCGGTATCATCCCCCTGTTTCTTTTCCCCTCGCCGCAGATACCACCGGAAGACATATACTAGCATCTGCGCGAGAAATACTTGCTCAATCGTGTACAGAAGCACGGGGATCTGAATGTACGCGCGTGTCAGATCGTCGGCCCGCGCCCACATCGCACTCACTAGTGGGATACCAAGGCTGGTGGTCTTGGCGGCGCCGCAGAAGCACACGGCGATGGTCTGCTCCTTAGACATGCGGCGCGGGATGAGAGCACGAGGGAGTGTCTGTCCTAGACGCGATGCAGCCACCCAGTCAGTGAGGCGCTGTGGGGGCCGAGCCGTGTAGAAGCAGATGAGGGTGAAGAGGATGTAAAGCGCCACATTCATAAAGACATTAAAGATGACGTTACTCGTCGATAACTGGAACAAGGCTCCGGTGCCAAATGCCCCCGAGAAGGTCGTCCACACTAGCAGTACGAGGCACAGCGTTGACACCTTGGCGAGCTTCACCTTGTCCAAGACTTTGACCGTCTTCTCCTCCCAGCGCCACCGCACAGTTTGCCCGACCACGAGCGGCAGCACAACGCTGAGGCTGAGCTGCTTAGCAACGTCGGCATACATGTTCCCGAGGGTGCTGGGGCTAGCCGGCCGCCAGTTCACGAAGGCGTCCCCGGTGGGGAAGAAACCGTAGATGAGCAGTGGGGAGAGGAAAGCGCCCGCGACATTTCCAATGACGACGGAGATGATGGCCGCGGCGTCATCGCCGCCTGAGGCGCGAGTCATAACAACATTGGAGGCGATTGTCGTAGGGAGGCAGGCGGTGGTGAGTAGACCGATGAGAATAGGGGGTGAGGGCGTTTGGGACTTGAGGCAATCTGCTGCGAGGCATATGTGGATAATTGCTAGAGATGTTGTTAGTATTTGTTTACTAGTTCCTGGTATATCCAGTGTCTATTTTCAAGGAGTTCTCAGGGGCGTTCAAGGATACCACAGGGACAGCTTACCAAGGATGATGGCCGGGATGATGGCAAAGCTGATCCCCTGCACAATGATGTGCAGCCGCCAATTCGTCACATTCTTCTTCAATTTCTCGGGCGATAGCTGCAGACCACTAACGAAGAAGATGAAGGCCACTGCGCCGTACAGGATACTATACTCGGAGCGAATCGTCCCGCCGTGTCGCGCAACGGCTACAATTGTCGCAAAGACTTGTCAGCACTTTATACTCACATTATAAACAGCGTCGGATCTGTCTCCTGGTAAAGGCAGACATTGTCCCAAGATCATGGGAGAAGACATACATGGAAAGAAGTATCCCAGTACGCACGCAACGGCGAAGCCAATGATGAGATATTGAGCGAGGATCAAATTAGCCGCTTTCTTAGCCCATGCCACCGCCCGGTTTGGCGAGGCCTCCCCGCGGTCAGGACTCTCGGAGGTTGACATGTTTGCAACGGCCATGAGGGCATCATTGTCAGCGTGTGGATAATTGCGAAGAGGCAAGATCAAAAGGCGAAAGCCGAGACGAGAGGAGATTATCGGTGACAGGGCCGATCGGAGTCTACTTGACCGGTCCCAGACCGGATGTGGGCGTGTCATTCGCCTGTCGGGTGTTTAAATGGCCGACGCATCGTTGGCCGTGCTATTACCGTTAGCACGACATACTGGAGATATGTCATATCAGCCAGATTGTGTTGAGTATTTTTCTGTCGGTGAACCGTCGTTAGTATTAACCAACCTGGCGATTTAAGAGAGGCTCATAGTGGTGCTTTTGCGGTCCTAAGGTCGTGTATTGACCTTTGACATAACTTCACTTAAGTTAACTTACCACGAAGAATCTGACGCCCGATTTGGTCATGTACGCTTTGAGGACCCTTGCCTCGACGTGTTAGCGAGCCAAGACTTGCGGTGAAGCCACATGCTCTGCATTAACTATGTTGCATAATTTATGCCAGGATCAGCCGCTGCTCTAAGGATATAATTCATTACAGACATGATGAGCGATGCTATTTCGCAATAGCTTCCTCTTCAACAGCTCTCGGGACAGAGACAACGACGTCACAGTTGTGCCCCGCGACCTAGTGGGGCAGCCACCAATGGTATCATCACATGACACCCCGCGGCTCGAGGCCGACAGCTTTTAGTTTTTTTCGCTCTTGGAATTCGAGTCACGATTTGAGTCGCATCGCATCGCATCGCATCGCTTTCACGTGGGCACACGCAGTGACAGCAATTGAGCAAATTGAGCAATTGGAGATTCCAGCTCAGTTCAGCCGCTCAGTTCAACCGCTCTAAGCACAGGTGTAAGCTTTCCCTCGCAGCAGTTCGCATCCGTTTAGTAGAACTTCAGTAGTGACTCAATCAAGGCCTCAACATTCAGAAGAAGATTCAAATCACGGCCAAAATGTCTCCCCCCGCGGTGACCTCCATTGATATTGCCTCCTTGCCCTTGGTTGCAAAGTATGCTCCCTCTAGCTGTCGGGCTCCTCTTGTCATAGCTACTGACATCCGCTTGTAGGGGTAAAGTGAGAGAGCTGTATACCATCAGCGACTCTACTCTGCTCATGGCAGTAACTGACAGGATTTCTGCCTATGATGTGATTCTATCCACAGGTATCCCTGACAAGGGTGCAATCCTATGCCAGATTTCGGGTAGGTCCTTGGATTTCCTGCTTTCATTCTCCCCAAACCTCCAAAACTATACAAACATGACCCCGCCCGAAGCCATCATTTTAATCCCGAGACACCCTCGCACAATACTTGAATGCCCACTTCCGAGAAATACTGACTCCATATAGCCCACTGGTTCTCGGTTCTCAGTGAAAAGGTTCCCGATCTGAAGCACCACGTCCTGAGCCTGAACCCCCCAATGGCCCCTCAGATCGTGTCCCCCGCTGAGAGAGCCGCCCTCCGAGGTCGATGCATGCAAATTCGATCCTTAAAGGTGTTCCCCGTTGAGGCCATTGGTATTTCTCCCGCATCCTCGCCACGGGACAGCACTAACGATGGAAACTATAGTCCGGGGTTACATTACTGGAAGCGCCTGGGCAGAGTAAGAAGCCATCCTTACAATGCTGTGCTCACTGACACGCGCCTCTCCAGATACAAGAAATCGGGCACCGTCCATGGCATGCCGCAACCAGCCGGACTGCAGTGGTCTCAGAAGTTCCCAGGAGGTCCAATCTACACCCGTGAGTTTTAGCCATTTTCTATGTCGGAACTGCCCTTTAGGACAATACTGGGCTACCTAGATAACTCCAGTTATCCCCAAGACTATCACTACAAGAAGTTACTGACATCAGAATGACAGCTTCTACCAAGGCACCAGCAGGCGAATCTGACGAGAACATCTCGCCCGAACAAGCACGACGTGAGTATACTTACCAAGTCAAAATTTCTCTTCAGATCGCTCGTCAAGAGCACCCTTGGTGTCCTTGATTTACGAGATGGAAATGTCCAGTGCAAATTCTAAGAGACACTAATTCAATTGCGGCAGACATCGTTGGCGACAAGTATGCCGATAAGATCGAAGTATGTTCTTTCGAGTCCTGAATGCTCTTCTGGGGGTTTCTTGGGGGCAAATCTTGATCCGGAACCTCCAGGGATACTTGCTAGGAAATACTAATCGGAACATGATAGTCATTGGCTTTGAGACTTTACTCGGCGGCTCACGAGTACGCTGTAAGTGGCATTCCTGGGGTCAAAACTGAATATACTAGCTGACTCGTGTGGTATAGCTGGACAAGGGCATCGTTCTCGCGTAAGTGCTTACATCGTCCCGACTCGTTGCCCCAAACCATAAGAAAAAGAATACTAATATCCAAATAGAGATACCAAATTCGAATTTGGTTGGTTTCTACGTCCGATTGGTTTGCTTTTATTTTGCTAATGAAGAGTTTAGGACTGGATGAGGAAACCGATGAGGTCATCTTGGTCGACGAGGTTTTGTGCGTTTATTCCAGTCCACTCTATGTTTCTCCTACATCTACTCCAAATAATCGTGATTCTTGAAAAGCTAACGACTGGATGTCAATAATAGGACCCCTGACAGCTCTCGTTTCTGGCCCGCGCCGGTGCAAGTCGGCCAGGACCAACCGTCGTTCGACAAGCAATATTTGAGAAACTGGCTTACGGAGACTGGCAAGAAGGGCAAACAAGGTGTAAGTCACTTTCGCATGTTCTACATACAGCCTCAGACGAAGCTCTCTACGCCCAAGCATTCTTGGATACTTGCTGTATAATACTGATTTTATTTTACAGGTTGAGCTGCCTGACGACATCGTCCTGAAGACCCGCCAGCTCTATGGCGATATTTTCCAGCGATTGACAGGCAAGACGCTTGAGCAATCTCTTGCAGCTCTTGACAACTAGGTTGCACGCGATTGTAGGGGATGACGCAGAGTCCGTATCCGTTTGTCGTTTCAAACATGAGCCCCTATCAATGAAATTTATCAAGAACTATGGAGGCGAAATATTAGTCGTAGAAGATATTAGACCCGCGTAGCTGAGAATCCAGAAGTATGTCCTACGTTCATTTAGCCTAGGACGGACAGCAGTAACAAAGCGTCCAGTTCTCGACAGTGAGCCACTCAGTTTTTTTGTCACACATATTAATTGTGTAGCTTCCATGAATAGAGGGGACGGCCCGGGTTATGAGGTTCTTGTTTAATGGGCAACCCGATCTTCACATTCGGGCTTAATAGCCAAAGACGAGGGGGAAAGTCTGAAGGTCTGAACGGAAAAGCCGACACTATTCGAGTAGAAGAGACCAACATGTTCAAATCCATAAATCAGTAGATTCGGTAATAGGGCAAGCGTGGTGAGGAGCAATTACATTCAGGTACTATTAAGGATATTTCTCTTCCTCGGCATATCCAACGCCGCCGCGTCCTCTTCTAGTCGCATACATCTAGCCACCCAAACTTCTGTTCACCCTCTAGTAGTAAGGGGGAACGCACTCATATAGGACAAAGACCCCGAAAACGCCGTGCCATGGGTGTTGGTATCAAACGATGAAAGGAGGTTCTTGAAACCAGAACTTGAGATGCCAGATAGGGTAATGATAGCTCGTTAAGAGAGGCGTTGTTCATGAAGAAGCCATCTCGGTGATCATCAAAAGAAAGAATTAAGGCAGAACTGCCATTGAAGAAATATTGGCCAACAGTGAGTCGGCCAATCGATCGGAAAGAGGAGGATCACGCATCATGTAGTGAGGCTGGGAATAGGTTCCAACGGTAAGATAACCCTCGAGTCACCAGCAGTCGTGCTTGGGGCAGGAGCAATTTCTGGGTCGGGAATTTGAATGTCCAGCTAGCAACCATTTGTTAGTCTGTTGTCAAGTAGTTCAGAGGTGATTGTGCTTACCGTCATGTACCCTGTTCGTCGGAGGGACACGAGCTTGGGTGCCAATGCTCCATCTTCAGACCCAATTGCCTTCTCCATCTCCACATTCCACTTCTCGATCCAGCGTTCGAGGTTGCTCAACCGCGATTTGATGCCTGTCAAGCCGAAATCGTCCCACAGCCAACCGGTCACGAGCCCGAGCATGCTATCAACCATGTTCCTCATGCTATACGGGTTAAAGGCAGGAATCAATTCGGCATTGAGCTTCTCGATGACCCGACGGAACTCCAGCTCGGACAACCCGGCCGGGTCCAGAATTTCGGGGTATAGGTTGGAAAATGTAGGAGCCAGATCGCCCTCTAGCAGCCAATCTCTTCGAATCCGGATGATACGAGTGCTCACATACTCGGGCGACTCCATGGGTACATGGGGGTTCATGTGTGGGTAGCAAGGATGTTGAGGACCCCATTCTCCAGCTGCGTCTGGTTCGACCTCCTCGCCCATAATGGAAGAATCCGTTGAAGACAGGGCAGATCCAATGCCATCTCCGGCGGACACATTTGAAATGCGCGGATCCATCACATCAGGCCCACGCTCCAGATCATGGGAGAAGGACTCCCTCGGCGGCTCTTGAGTCGTCATGATGGCCTTTCCTTTGCCCTTGTCAAGTTTGACTGGAATTTCGTCGAAGAATTCGCCCTCCTGGTGCGGTTGCCTGCTAGGTCCAGCTTCAAAATCGGTCGGAGATGTAATGGGGTTGCGAGTTCGCTTTTCGTCGTAGGAAGCCCGAACTGACCCAGGTAGGCTCACGCGGTGATCGCTACCACCTTGACGGTCCACTTGCAAGCTGGCACGGGTTGATACTGAATGTCGAGTCTGGCGTTGTTCAGGGAGGGTAAGCAGAGGGTAATCGCTAGCACCGGTTCCCACGGGGTCGGTCTTGTGATGGGAATCGCTAAAGACGGGATGCTGGAGCGGGACGGACGGCGGAGGAGGTGTCGAGGGTCGTCGCTTGCGAGATGTATGGGGACGAGGGGTCGAGTTTGTGGGATTCCAAAGACGGGCAGCTGAGAGTCGACGGACGCGGCGCAGAGCCGGACCAGCTGCACGGGGTCGGAAGGGCGAGAGAGGGAAAGCGGACGACTCCTGATGACGGCCAGCGGGGTGTCTGGCGGAGGGATGTTGGTTCAATGCGGCAGCGGCAACGGCGGCTAGATTCGCCGGGGATTTGTCGGCGCCGGGATAGGCGGGCTTCGGAGAGGAGAGGTGAGGCTTGACCGGCGCATCTAGGGAGGCCGGGAAGGATGGGGAGGGAGGCGCTCGGGATGGCAGAGGATCCGTGGGAAACACGCTGTCGGCACGGCCGCCGAGACGACCGCGCTGGTGAGGTATGGCGGCGTCCTTGATCTCACGTGAACGTGAGCGAGAGAGTGTCCCGGTAAGTGGGCGCTAATCCACGACGTAGGGAGCTGTCGTTGGCGCAGGGCAGTTGGTGGTTGTGTGGGCGGCTGGATCGACGAAGAAATGCGACGGCTACGTATGGCGGCTGCACGACGAGGAACAGGAGGAAGCGTCGGAGAAGGGATGAGGGACGAGACGGCGGTATCGGAGACGGTGATGATGGCGCCGGTGGAAGGGTCGTGGTCGTCGATTGCTGGACCGACAAGGCAGAATCTGCTGTCGGCGTTGAAGAGCAAAGGAGTTGGCGAAGTGAAGGAGGCAAAGCAGGACGAGGCGCCGGGGTGGAAGTGGTTGACGCCGGCTGGCCAATGGCAGCGCGGGATTGCTCCAGCGCGTGCAACTAGGGGGCCGTCCACAAAGGGTTTAGCGGACGAGAGGCAGCTGCTGGATGCTGATGCCCTGAAGGCCAGCATTCTCGGCCGCTAAGGGCCGCTGGAAGACCGCTGGGACCGTTGAAAGACCGCTGGGACCGCTGAGAGGCCACTGGGGAAGTGTTCAGTTTGCTGGTCCTGGCCAACGTCACTGGGATGCGCAGAGAGTGTGGAGGGCGTTCGCAATTGCAGGTTGGAATTGAACCCGCCGTATTCTGGGTTCGTGAGGGTGGAAGGTTTGTCGTCGATGGGCCCTTTCCCCTCAATTTCAATTTCTTCCGGATCGTTTCTTTTTCCTTATACCCGATGGCTTTGCGTTGCCAGTCCCTCTCTGGACTGGCTTCGGGCGGCGGCGCGGCAAACACGGCTTAGAATGTTGGCTGGGCTGGATGCCGAGGGTCGGCGGCGTGAAAGCCAGCGGAATCGTTGAAATTCCAGGCTATGTCCCTGGAGGTGGTTCAATGTGAAGATTGTGGGACCTTTCAAGATCCTCGTTGCAACAGAAAACGAGATCGAGAGCGCGGAGGGCTTGCGAAACCTTTTTAATAACCGGCTGCGGGAAACCGTCTCATCGAGATGGGACCTCTTTATGCGAAAGCCTCCCAATTTTCTTCTTGGGGGCGCGTCTCCTTTCTACTTTACTATGCCGCACTGGTGTCCATCTGTAACAAGGACAAATCGTCAACGGGCTAGCCCGGCCGCAAGCCCGATCCTTGTGTGACACGCGACGGCTTCATCGGGGTTCCCATGATCCGCTAACATGGCCGAGCCGGGAATCTCCAGATTAACACTTCGATGCTCTCATCTCATTTCAGCGTGCGTCTATCTTGGTCATCCGTGGGCCCGGGTTCCCCGACTCCTCAGCCCGCGCCGTTGGAACCGCCGGGATCGTGCGGGCGGTGTGGCCTTCGTCATCGTTGGCATCCTTGTTTGTGCGTCGTCTCGCATGATGTTAATTATAAGACACAGATGCTCGGTAGATGACGTCGAGGGGTCTGCCATGCGAGAGGACTGCAATTCCGTGCAGTGGCCGTCATGTCGTCCGCCTAACTAATTATTAGACTTCTGTCCTCCCCCTGTCTTTGCGACATGAGATGAACACCTGAAATTCTGGCACTCATGATAGCAACACTTGTCCTAAAATAGACAGGTCTAACTTACTCCTGTTCTCCGGCAGAGCAACAGCCCTGCTCGACAGGGGATTAAAGTGCCAGATACTCAATTTTGTAGAATGGCACCTGTCAGTATTTGGGTCTAGACTGGTGCCCCCCTGTTTGACATGCCGGGGTTGCGAGCTAAGAGTGAAGCAGTGTAAGACGAGGATGAAGGGCGATCAGACATCGGATGGACGATGAGTTATCCCGTCGTATTCCCTCCCCCTTTCAATCCATCGACCGGGCTGAACCATCTTCCGGGAGAATTGACGTCATGAGAACCCCCCGGACAAATCTCGTCTACAAAGTGCGGATTCCAGTGTAATTCTCACTAGTACGCCCTCTGTGTCAACTTACCCTACTGTAACCCCAGAGTGTCTCTCGGGATTGAAGCTTCCGCACCCGCAACCCAGCGAAGGACCAAGGCGACGGGTGATTGGAGCCCAATCAGCCCAACCAGCCGCCTCGAGTTGACAATGCAACAGAGGATTGCCCTTAGTGCTCACCTCCTCGACAGCCTCATGGTTGCACGCCCAATTGCGAAAGCAGTGTCGTAATGGTGTCTAGATTTGGGGCTATAATGCGACATTGGTTTTTCTTCTTTCGTATCCATCATGACGCTTGAGAGAGGATGTGACACAGTCAAGCCTTACATGGCATTATATCAGCCCCGTGTTTTCATGTCCGGGCACAGCTGTGGATTGGGTACGTCAGTGTATTTGCTTATTCCAGAGTCAAGCATATTTAGCCGGGGCGGTACAATGAGTGAGACTCGGAATCAAAATTGAACACGAGTACCTTAACTTAAGTGAAGTATCCCGTGTCGAGTGACCCCAAACAAGACAGGTGTCGATTGGTACTTTGGTGCGAACATGGCTGTAATTCGACGACACAATACACCCCACGTCGTGCATAGTCAATCGTCCTCGTAAACTAGTAAACTACAACATGCAAGCAAATCTGCTAAGTCGAGCGAACTGTGACGTCGTCCATTGCACTGCCAATCATCATCACCTGCCCGTAAGTTAGTAGCGACTCACCGGCCGCCATTCCCCATTCCACACTGCCTACACCTCCGTTCCCGTGCCTCCCGCTCCCGTCGCGTGACCTGTGGTTGTGTCGCCGCCCTACATCGCAACACGCCTCCTCATCCTACCCTCCCTCCCCCACGGCGCGCTTCGTAGATCGATCCATCGTCGCAGCCATCATGGACGAGAACCCGACCCTGACCCCGGCAGCTGCCCGGCTCAAAGGCGCCGTCTCCGCGGCCAGCTCCGCCATCAGCGCCCCGCTTCCGGGGAACCTTCGGCGCGCATTCACGGCGTCGGCCGCCGTCGATGACGCACGGCGTTCACGTCCATCTATCCAACTGCATAGCCCCTTCGCTGAAGCTTCGTCGCCGACGGGTGAGGCATTTCCGCGCCGCAGCTCCAACTTCTCCGAGTACAGCCTCAGCGAGGCTCGCGACCTGCTGAATCCGCAGCCCATGGGCCGCGCTGGCGACCAACTGACCACGAGCGACTCGTCCTCGCTGGCATCGCTGTCGTTGGCATTTGCCCTTCTTCCTGCCCTCGCGGGCGTACTGTTTAAGAATGGCAGCGCCGTGGTTACAGATATTATGCTCCTGGGCTTAGCTGGTGTCTTCCTGCACTGGTCCGTGACACAGCCATGGTAAGTTATATGCCACATGCGTCGACCTATATACGGGGTAAATAGCTTCTTATCAATGTCGTTATAGGACTTGGTACCATTCTGCACAAGAAGTGCGCATCCAGCAGGAAGCAAACCCCGACACTGCCATCGAGGACGATAGCGACTCCGAGTCTGCCACCCTGGCGCCAGCGCGTCACTCCTCGCTTGACCATGTCCCCGAGGAGGAGGCGACTCAGCCCGAGGCTGAAGGAAAGGCAACAAGGAAGCGACCCACGGCGCAGCAACAGTCGGCATTGGCGGAGCTCTACCTTTACGAGATCCTGGCCCTGGCTTCGTGCTTCATGCTCCCCCTCATCGGCGCCTACATGTTGCATGCGATCCGGTCGCAGCTCAGCCGGCCATCCGAAGGTCTTGTTTCCAATTATAACCTCACTATATTCCTGCTGGTATCGGAGCTGCGCGTGTTCTCGCACATGATCAAGCTGGTCCAGTCACGGACCCTTCACTTACAGCGAGTCGTGCAGGGGAACCACAACGGGTTCTCGACAACACACAATGCAGAACAGCTGGAAGCTGTCCTCTTGCGGCTGGAATGTCTTGAGTCACGTCTCACTACCGAGGAGAATCCAGCTGTGTCGGCAGGAAAGTCGGACACAGTCAAAGCAAAGCAGGAGAGTGCCATTGCCCGGGATGTGCGGAACGCCATCCAACCTGAACTCGACGCTCTCAACAGAGCTGTGCGTCGCTACGAGAAAAAGGCAACACTGTTGCAGTTTCAAACAGAGTCACGTTTCGCCGGAGTAGATGCAAGACTTGAGGACGCCATAGCACTGGCCGCGAATGTTGCAAAGAATAGCGCGTCACATCGAAACATATTCCTATGGACCATCGAGGCCCTCATCGCCGTGGTTCTCCTGCCTTTCAAGGCGCTCTTACGGATCCTGTTTCTGCCGCTCAACACACTCTTGGCACTGGCCAAAAAGAACAAGAAGAAGGGATCCCCGGCGAAGATTTCACGCAGCAGCCGGAGCGGGAAGGCTGGCACGCAACCCAGGTACAGTGGGGATCGAGTGCCGACTAGAGTATCGAAAAAATAGTCGAGACTAGTTTCTTTTGTCCGAGATTAGATGATATCCATACTGTACTTAATGTATTTTATAACTCCATGGGACGACCTGATGATAGAGGCTAGGAGATGTCTGGCTTGGAGACTGGGGGCGATACATTGGGCGCCCTTCTAATCATTGTCTTTCTTTGTGAGACGTCCACTCTCTCTAGTTTGTGGGCTCGGACTACAAGGACACGTCGAGCCTCTGTTTTGTGGTTACTTGCGTGCTTAATGTGATGATCTTCATTCTGTTGTGTTCCGGAGCACTGGATCAAGACACCGGCCGAAACGCGGATCTAATCTATCGGAGCGGAACGGCTCAACAACACGGACGGTTTTGCATGAATGATCTCCCTGTCTCAGGCCAAGTTTAGCGTCGCCTCTCTGACGCCAACTCAGCCAACCGCACAGCATGCCGCTAGTGAGGCCAAAAGCCAGCCTTCATGTTTCAAATCTATGAGCTGGGTTTAGTTGGATAATTGAATTCGTCCGGCCGGCGGTCTGTGATCTTGGGTCTGTGTGGATGGTGCGGAACGGGTATGATGGATCACAACAGAGCTGCCAAATCGAGGTGTAACTGAACCTCTGGTGCATCGCGACGAAGGAGTAGTCGTCTATCACACTAGGATCAACAATGACAAAATTCCGATCCCGATTGCCTCATCCTTGTAGGCGAGGTCATCGTAAGCAGATGGCGGAGGGGTTACCATTGCCACCATCCGTGCTTAGGACGAAGGTTCGCAATACGAAGACCATTACGAAGACCATGAATATGCTAGCAAGGGCGCTGAGGCTCTGAGGGTGTGGCACATAACATTGAACCACGGATGCTCTGCCGGATGACGACGGTGTGACGGAAGCACTCCCTCTCCGTGTGCGTATTACCGAGCACCAAGCTGAAGTAACCCTGATATGGTTCGGGGGATTCGCCTCAAATACCTAAGACAGCTAGGGGAACGAGTAGCACAGTGGTGGACGAAGCGATCTATTACCGCACCAAGGTCCGAAAAGGTCAAGATCCATCTCCCGCCATCTGATATCTGATGAGATGGTGTGATGTGGTGTGCTCTAGTCGAAGCGAAGCCGAGCACCAGCCCCGTCTCGGCATATGCGAGAAATGGTCGAGCTGAGGATGCGACAGAACCAGATATCGCCCACACACACCAAGTTCATGCGCCGTGGCGGTGCTGGACAGGGCTGGTCCGTCGCATTGAAAGACGTCCGGAAGAGGAGAGCGGTCCCACGAGCGACGAGTGACGAGTGACGAGAGACGAGACAGTAGACAATTGACCAGGGGGATGCGCGTATTTTTTGGGGGGCTAATGATCTTCCCGTGGCGAGATAGGCGAGGGAAACATTGGAAACAGGTTGTTGGGTGGCATGGTATGGGTCACGATGGGATGGGATGGTATTCGGTAAATTAATTGAGCATGTGGGTTAAGTTCAGTCTAGCACTGTCCAAGACGCCGGCCATGGCACAAAACGCGTCGTCGGGACTAAAATAGGTGGATCCTTAATCTCAACGCGTCGGTGAGGTGGCGCTGGCGGCCGAGTAGTGCAAGGTCCCAAGGGCAAAAAAGCTGCATGTAACTTGACATGTAGCGCGTGGTATCACTTTAGTCGGCGGGGCTTGGACACAACGTGAACCGTGGAGCTACAAGTCTACGTACTGCCCCCAGCTTGCCGCAAGCCCGCAAGCCCGTCAGACCGGACAAAGCAGAATTGTATGCAGGTCTCGGCCTCGAACGGCGACGGCTCGGTCGGTGTGAATGCATGTACGTACTGCGTATGTGCTTGCGCGCGGGGCTGCTGTTAAATGAGTTGGCGCGCCGATGTGGACGGACGCTAGGCACTGGCGCTGGCTGGGCCATGATCAAGGTTGCTGGTCATTAGTTGCTGGATGGTCGCCCGTCAGAAGAAAATTCAGTTGAAAATCCTGCCACTCAGACCATTTCACGCCCGGGATATGGTCATGGTTGGCATGGCACGATCGATAAAGCGTTGGAGTGGTATTCGGGGCGAGGCCTCTGCGGCCCCCGGAAGCAGTGCTACGGGAAATACCATGCCGACACGCATGGCCGTGTTAACCAAAATGGCCAGAGACGAGCCAGAAACGGTGAGAGTCCCAAGACCAAGCTCCAAGACATGAGAAAAGATGGGACCGGAGGACTAGGCTCCCGGACTGGGACCATGTACGGAGTGAGGACAGGAGAAGCGGCGATCACGCAGTGCAGTTGTCACGCCTGAGGACAACTGGACGCATGCACAACCGACGTTACGGGGGTGGTTGGTGGTCTGTATGCGCTGTGCGTATTGTACAAGGTACGAAGTTGGTAATGAGTACTCCCCAAGGTAGCAATATGAATAGGTGGCTGGTTGGATCATGTACCATGTCGGTCTTTGATGCTGTGGTTGCAACCGCATGGGACGGGTGATGGCAGATCGACGAGCGATGTGGGCGTTGGGTTCATGGAATAGGAAATGCCTAGGTCAGCAAGTGGAAAAAGCAAAAGACGATTGTCAATTAATTGGGCAATGGCGGCCACGGGAAGAGGGAAGAGGGAGCAGGCGGACAGTCACACAGGGGATCGAGGTAACAGCCCAGGCCGCTCCGGGTTGGCAGGCGTATCAGCCCAGGTCAGCCCAGACAGAACCAGGTTCAGGATTACTAGCATCGAGACACTACGAGACAGACAGAAGTGGACGAAGGGGAAAATTAAAATACGGATACAGAGCAGATGGGGAATTCCCCGAGCCAATGCACGTCCACCCTCTCATTCATTCGCTCGTTTCTCCATCCAGACAGGAGAGCAGATGAGGAGGTGGAGAGAAGAGAAGAGAACATGGATCAAGGCAGTTCTGCTGATTGCTTGGCCCTGGGGTGGTGCGCATCGCATCATCAGTGTTGGTTGGTCCTTGCCCTGCTTCGACGACAAAGCCTAGAAGCGACAAGGCGGCGAGCTTGGACCTAGAGAACCCACGAGTTGCTCATGGGCCCTGGCGTGAATCCGTAAATCTCGAGCGCAAGCGCCAGCGCTTCAGAGAAAAATTAGATACGTCAGTCTTGAGTAGGTAATGACACGGATGCTTTCGTAGTTGAGACAGTGCTGGGATTTGCGCCGTGACCGTCACCGATTGGGAGCCCTACGATAGAACCAACCCCACTGGTCGTTTGCAGAACCTGCCGGACAGAGATGAAATGATGAGGCGACGAGATGGGACGCCGCCTGGTTGGACGTGTGTCTATCCGCTGGAATTCTGCTGTTTGACTTTGGGAATAAACAAAAACATGACAAAAAACAACAATCCGCCTTGGCTTACACATACATGACCTACTTGGCTTGCTGTACTAGGTGGCCTGGCGTGTGACGAGGTATTCCTGCGTAGGTCGTGCAGCTCAGCTCCTACGTGAAGGCGGTCGAGGCGCAGCTGATGCCGGGGAAAGCAAACTCGAGCTCGGAGTGCTTTTTTCTCTGTCTCTCTTCAGACCAATTGGCCTATCAATGAGGCCCGTGGCGCTGCGGAGACCTGCATATTCTGGTGACCGCTTTGCCTGCCCATTGTTTGCCCGCTGCCACTGTGATGCCGGCGAGTGCTTCGCTGGCTACGTGTGTCCATCACACCGGTTGGGCGCATCGCAGCCCGCAGTCGCCCTGCAGCGGTCGTGCATTGGCTGCCAGCGGCTCAGCCGGTATGCTGATAGAACCATGCAGGTGGCTTCTCACCCACAGCAGCACAGGTGGCTCGCAGAGGCTGCTCACAGCGCCTCCGCCTCCTGCTGGGATCATCAATCAGCTTGTGGGCTCCCAGATGGTTGGCCATCTCCACTGGCAGAGTAACCTTGCCAGCGAGCCAATTCCGGCCGTGGCCTCTGTCGCAATACCTTGACAATTCGGACAAGCATTCATACAGGACAGGGGGGGACCATTCACAAGGAGACGATCAGACGGCCTCACAGGAATTCACAGGGGGGTGTGTGAAGCGTGCAGGATTTGCATTTGCATGCTCTCAGCCTCCTCCTCCAACTTCGGGCTCGCTGGCTGCTCTCTGGCCGGGCCCTCTGCCGCTCCCTGTACCGCCCCCTGCCCTCCCATCAGCCGCCCAGCCAACAGTCCCCTGTAGCCTGCAAATTTAGAAGCGCCTCAAGTGGCAGCGAAAAGCCATGGCCGTCTATGCCGTCTCAGCTCTGGTTCGGCTCGCCCAAGAAAAGGACAATGTGACACTTACTGGCTTTGCGGCCTCAGCCTGGCGACCTACCGGCTGAGCTAGCCCGTGGGCCAGATGGGCCAATTGCGGCATCTCGTCGGAGTCCTCGTTGCGATTGGATGCATGTAAGCCAAGCTTCCAGGTCCAGCAACGGGAAGGAAAGTACCTACAAGTACCCTGAACAGGTACATGAGCGCTGCCATTGGATGATTCGGTGGGTGGGATGAGGAAGGGTGTGCGGGCGTGGCAAGCGCGTTGGGATCTCCTGCCCTCTCTCCCCACAGCACCTGAAAGCGGAGGGCAGGTACGTACCGCGTGGCATGCGCCGCACTGGCCACTGAGCAGGTCCAAGTGGGTTTCGCAGGAGGGGACATGGGTACCTTGTCGCTCCGGCCGGCCCGCGTCTAAGTCGTTCACTCTCCATCTCACATCACGACACCCACGACACCCACGACACCACACTGTCATAGGAGGCCTGGTGGGAGATTAGCAGCAGAACCAGCTCAACACCCACGCCAGCCCACGCCATGTGTCGTCGCCACTCATCCGCGGCTGCCAGGGGTGCTCCCAGTCTCCTAGTCGTCTCCGCGTCTCCATCGGCCTCGTCAGTGGGTTGGGTTGGGTTGCTGGCCCATCGTCCAGCTCCAGAGTGCTGCAGTGGCCACCACCGCTTTGCTGCACCACCAGATCTCGTTGAAAGCTAAATTAATAACCACGGTTGCACGCCTACCTACCATGAGATGCCACACCCTTTCGTCCTTGGTCTTTCGTCTTTCGTCCCCTCTCTTCTTCTTCCCTTTCTGCCCCTCCTCACCCTTGTCCTTGTCCCCTCGACTGCGTTCTCGGCTGCGTCCTCGTCTTCATCCTCGACGTCTCCGGCTTTGGCTTTTGAGCTGCTTTGTTCCACCGACGTATCCCTTGCTGTGCTGCTGATCGTCTCCCAATAGAGCCGTGGCTGCGACTATCACACCCCCCTGCCTTGCCGGTCTCGTCTCCTCTGCCGCCTCCACCCCGCCATTGATCGGGCTGATCCCCTTGTCTCAATCCCGGTGGCCAGCAGTGACTAGAGCACGGAAGACAAGGCAATTTGGTATTGCTTCTTTACATCTCTCCGCCGGACTGCCGTCCAACATACGTTCTCTCGTCCTATCCTTTTCGACTTTCGTCTTTCCAACTTCTACTGTGGCAGTTGAATACGACGATGCTCCCTGGACCCGCGCATTCTGTTGCGAGGAGCTTTGAATACTAATTCTACTGGCCGTTGAGCTCATCACTTCGACTTTTTCGAACCACCACACACAATGCTCCCCCGATGGAATCAACTATGGGCGTTGCTCTGCCTCTTCTTGGCCATCCAGCTCGTCAGCACCGAGAGCTTCAGGATAGCCTACAGACGAGATGATAAAGCCTCTAGCCAGTTGACCGCCGTCTCCGAGTCCGCCACGAAAGAGAGCAAGGCCACTGGAACTGCAGATTCTTCTGGCAAGGCCACCGATGCCGCCGAGTCCACTGGCAAGGACGGCAAGTCCAAGTCCAAGTCCGTCACGGCAACGACAACCACAACCACCAAGGCAAAGGCAACCAAGGACGCCCAACCTACCGCTACCTCAACCATAATCAGCGGCGATGGGGCCCTGGATAATTCCACTTTCGTTAATGGTATGGATCGTCTTTTTCTGATTCACCACCCTAACTAACATGCTATTGCAGTCACCATTGCCAACGGACAACTCCCCCTTCAACCTGAAATAACCCCGGGATGGGGTGTTGCAGGTGTCATCATGCTTCTCTCTGGCGTGACCTATACTCTCATTGGCATAAAAAACAGATGGATCCATACATTCTTCTCGACGGCATACGTTGGAGCCCTGGGTGTTGCAGTACTGATTGTGTACGTCATGAACGTTCCCGTCAATAATGGTCTCCAGGGCGGCTACGTCGTCGCCGTGGTCATGTCGGGCTGCGCACTTGGTGCTGCCTCTGTATTCTTCAGGGAGCTTCTTGAAGGACTCGGCTGTGCCTTGGGCGGCTTTTGTGTAAGCATGTGGCTCATGTGCTTGGTGCCTGGCGGACTGCTCAAGACAGTCGCACCCAAGGCCATCTTTATTTCTTGTTTTACCCTTGCGGGGTTCGCTTTCTATTGCACTCGATACACTCGAGACTGGGCTCTCATTGTCATGATATCATTTACTGGTGCGACCGTCACAGTTTTGGGTATCGATTGCTTCAGCCGAGCTGGACTAAAGGAATTCTGGGCCTGGGTCTGGGATCTCAACGATAACCTGTTTCCTCTCGGAGCTGACACTTATCCTGTCACGAAGGGGATCCGGGTAGAGACGGCCGCCATCATCATCATCTTCCTTATCGGAGTTGTCTCACAGATTAAGCTGTGGAAGATCGTGCGCGAGCAACGGGAGAAGAGAGCCGAGGAAGCTGCCCAAGACCAGCGCAACCTACAAGAAGAGGAAGAGAATGTTGGTCGAAACATTGAAGAGGCTAATGCTCGTGAGCGACGCCAATGGGAACGGACCTATGGGAATGGCGAAGGAAGCTCAACCGTGTCTCGAAGCTCCGAGGCTGGAGACGAGGTCGGCGAGAAGAAGTTGAGAAGCAGCCATACTGGTTCATCGCAACGTCAATCCTCGGTTGAGAACATCGAAATGACTGATATGGCTGAGCCTCCGCAACCACCACGACCCGCTGCCGCTAACTTGATGGCTACCGAGCATGACATGGACGGCAGAGTGACAGTGCGAGTCGCCCAAGACGACTTTCCAAGATCTCCATCTGTTCAGGAAATGAATGAGAAGGTCGCAGATGATCAATCCTCCACTTTCGTTGGCCTCGAAGATGATCGGCGCGTGTCACGGGCGACCCACGTTTCCCAATCCCTCGCCCCCGAGGTAGTTCCCTTGCCTTTCGTCGTGCCGGCCACCGATGACGCCCGCTCCGAGGCAGATCGATCATCTGTTGCCACCTTTGCAGATGATGACGAGGGTCAACTACATACCCCTGGCGCTCGGCATTCTCTCGCTCAGCGGCTTTCGCGTCTATCCCATGGATCTGCAGAGTTGCTCAGGAGTCTATCGCAACGATCGGGTCACCCTCATGGCGACTTCTCTCAGGACCAATACCGAAGCACCGACGACTTGGTCATTCCCATCTCGAAACCCCATGATGATGATGGGTCCATGGCCGCAACAGTTGACGACGAGAGCGTAAGCGTTGGCGATAGGGATTCCCTGGCTTCGCCTGAAGCATCGAAGAACATCGAGATCACTGCCCAACTATCTGAACGCGGAGTGCTGAGCCCTTCTCTTAACGAACAGGCGAAGCTCAATGACGTTGATGCCAAAAGCAATACCAACCGAAGTCGAGCAGACCCATCTGAGGAGCCTGTGTCTGAGGCTCAGACTAAGGCAAAGTCGGTCGCTTCAGCTACCTCGACTCGTGTTAGCTTGACCAAGGATCGCCTGCCAAGGTCGCTTTCTCGAGTTGCCCTGTCATATCGTACTAACGAATGGGCAAAGCATCTGAGCACTGCAGATGCCCCCGACCTCGAGGAGATTCACATTAGCGAGCCTAGCGCTCAGGAATCGCCCGCACCTGTTTACGTTCAGGAGCTGCAAAAGTCAGCGGGTGAAGGAACCCTAGCACCCGCTGTCACTCGCTCTGACTCGCAACTCTCCAACATGCCTCACTCTGGCTCTAAGCGTGGTTCGAAACAAAACGTACCCGCTGCTCTGGCTATCCTCACTGGAGACGGCCCAAACCGCAGCCCTGGTACTACGCCTACCAGCGCTGGCATGCCTCGGCTATCCTCGTCAGGTCTGCGCAGGTCATCTGGAGGAGGATTTGAACCGATCGCCGAGGAGCGCGATGCCTTTGTCCGGGCCACCCCCCCTATCCCCGAAGAGGCTGAAGGCCTCCGAAATCAATCGACCACCCCTTCCATTCATTTGTCGGATGCACACCGTTCTGCTACACCGGGGCTCGTGTCGTATTCGAGCCCCCAGACACTCATTGGCCAACGCGAGATGGTCCTACGAAACAAATCCCAGGGCAACCTGGTTGCTAGCACATCAGATCTGAACCTTTACCGAGGCTCGAGTGACGCGGGCTCGCTGCACAACTACGCTATGTATGCTTCCGGTGTTGGCGCAGATGCAGATGATCTTCCTCTGAGCCAGCGAAAGCAGCTCATGCGCCAGAACAGCTTGAACCCGACCTCATCCACTCCTTCTCTCGCACGTCTGAGCGGTGGCTACGACCCTAGCAGCGCCGACATCCCCTTCGATTCCCATCAGCCACAACGCGTGTCTACTGTTCCGACAGCCGCCGCTCGTGAGGCCGCGCTCTCCCACTTCAGACAGACCGTTGCTCATGACCTACGCTCGGGTACTCCTGTGATTAATACCCCGGGACGCGAGACCCCCTTTGCGCCCATGTCGCTACTTGGTAGCAGGGAGACCGAGGTGCAACGCAACATTGAGATGGGGCGCAACATCCTTATGGGCCAGAAAGAGGCCGAGGCTCAGCGACGGGAGAAGGAGCAACGTCAGAAGGAATGGAACGATCGAGTCTTTGACGAACGCATGAGGACTGGTGATCTTCTCGAAGTCCACAGGGAGGCTATGCGAAAGATGCAGAAGCACGCCAAGAACTAACTTGGCCCATGAACAGAGCTCCCCGCAATAGACGGGACACAGCTACATAAAATTTCCTCTTTTCTTTTCTTTTCGAACCTTCTTTTGAACCAGTACTTCTACGATACCAGGGGTTTCACGTTTGGATTTTGGAACAGCGGGCTGGGCAGTGGTGTTTAAAAGTACGAGTAATCGGGCCAGCAAGGACCTGGCATACAGGTATATATAGAGTGCGTGTGTGTGAGACGCATCGCCGGCGTTGAAAGGATACACTGTTTGTTTAGTGGGAGTAATTTGGGTGCCCTTGGTCCCCGGCTGGGATGGTCCCCTGGTGACGAGTTGATTAGATATAGTGACTTCACCAGAATATTAAGCTTTGGGTTGTTCATAAGAGTACACATTTCATGCGTCCCTGCGCGAGAATGATCGAGTCAATTCCAATTCTAAAGAGGGTGCTGAGAGGTAGTTGTTTCTTATGACTCTTAGCAATAAAATGAAACCCCATGGGCGCCAACGCTGTCGCCTGCAGTGCTGTAAAATTCGGCTCTAAGTGCGAGTCGATGTGAGAAGAATACAAAGTAACAAAATGGAAGAAAGATATAAACCCCAGAAATATCCCTGTTGAAACTATCCTCGAGGCCGACTACCGACTCCTTAGACAGCCCAACCATACCTGCGCCCCTAGCGCTTGTGGGTTTCTCGAGTGAGCTGTGTCTCGATTGTGACTGCATGGCCGGAGTGCGATGGATCAAGTAGTCCAACCTCAGGCGTGGTACGACCAGATAGACCGCCCTCACCATTGGACCAGACACGGGTTTGGATGTTGGACGGATGAGTTGGGGGTTCCCAGTGAGGCTGGTGAATGACGGAGGTAAGAGATCCGAGAGGTAGGACTTGATCAGTGTGTGGATGAGCAGTCTTCTTGGACATAAAGGATGGGAAGAGTTTGAAGGGGCTTGAGAAGTTGATATGAGTGCGGAAGAGGAAGGGATTGTGGCGGAACAGCTCGGCCGGGTTGCTATTATCGGGGACCGTTGCGGAGTTGGTAGGCTGAGGTTGCAATGGATGATTGGGTGGGCGCCCTTGTTCGATGTCGACAGAGGACAACGCATCGTTAAGGGACTGCATATGCTCATGATGGGAGCTCCCTCCCGAAGAGGTGCTCATGGTCGTGCGCTGTCGAGACGACATAAAGTGCTTGATTTTTGCTGTAGTGGTCCTAATAAGGTCAGCGTCGTGAATCGAGTGAGGAGAAATGAGGAGAAAGAAACTTACGTGTTCGTGGATCCCGTGGCATTAGAGCTCATGCCACTGCTGCCATATGCGTCTCGATCAGGGTCGTACTCCTGATGGAGAGCTGGGAAGACCCGACCAAGACCAAGTTGAAGACAGCCTCGACGGTATGTATTCATGGCGTTCTTCGTCATGCCGAAGAAGACGAAAACGGGAACCGCGGAGAGGATTGAGATGTAGCAGTTGTTGATGAACGCGAATTCGAGCTGGTTGGAGGGGAGGTAGACGATGGTGTTCCACGGGAAAGGGAATTGTGTCTTGTGGATGGTATCGTAGTCGAAGGGCATTAGCGGAGATGCGTGGTTAACGTTGAGCACGGCAAGTATGATGATTACGGGCAAAAAGGGTACCAGAATGGAGATGACCATAAGGTAGAGGCGACGTTTGGCTCGTTGGGCCCGCTGGTTGGCGACACGGTTGTTGGATAGAGCGGAGACAGTAGTTTTGGCTAATTCGCGGAAGCGGATGTAAATGAGGACTGTAAGCTAGAGTCAGGGGGTGTACTCGCGGTTATTCAGCCAAAGAAGAGCTGCTTACCTGCGTAGAAGGTCGTAAACAGGGACACAAAAACCGGAGCGGCGACGAAGAAAACGATGTACGGCCACGATGGCCAGGCTGACCAAGTGCATCCGACCAAGGAGGCGACAATATATCGCTGAGAAGTGAGCGGCCAGACCCAAGCCAGTTGAATAACGGGCAAAGAAAACATGATGAGAGCTTGACCGAGGTTACGGCGGCGTCGCTCTCGCACAGTTAAGGGGTTGGCACGCATCATGCCGACCTGCTGGGCTAGATTTCGCATTATGGCCAGCAGACAGGTGACGTAGAGCGAGACGGTGACGTTGTGAAAGTATGGGTAGAAGTCGCACAGCCCGTACCCGGGCCACCAGGAGTCGGTATTGTCGTCGCGCCAGATGAGAGAGTGGACAACGTTTTTGAAGTTGGCCGCCATGATGTTGCCGATGAAGACGGCGGCCGCGAATTCGCCCCCTCGGTAGAGGTGCTTTAGAGGGACCAGACAAACCACGTTGGCCAAGATGCCGAGGACGACTCGCAAGATGAGGTTGGCTGTGAGGGCTGGCGATGTGGTTGTTTCTGGGCCTGGGGCCACGACGATGAAGTCGGCGTCACCGCGGCCGAACAAGTCGGATGCGGTAGCCATTGCGGAATGTTCGGGAGAGGCTTGACCATGAACTGTAGTAATGGAGGTCGGTGTGGAGATGGCGTAGGCACAGACTTGATGATGATGCTATTGAGAGAGTTACAGGAGGGCGGGAGAGCTTCGGTGGCTTCAAGACTCCTTCCTCTGTGCAACGGTTGACGAAGACGGAAGACGCGTGGGCCTCAATCGCAGCCGTGTTATTGACTTTATACACTGTTGAACTGACATCTGGATTCCTGCCGCAACGCCGCCAAATTCCAGGCTCGGGGAGCTGGGTTAATCGCCGTAGGGGGCTATTTGAGGCTATTGATAGACTGGCGAACCCTCGCCTCAATAGCGGACGACTTACATGACTGATCAACTTCAGGGAAACGAGAGCTATGAATCAGCAGGCTCGTAGGGAGAGAAGAGCTGAATAAGCCATACAAAAATGAAGAGTAGTCGAAGGTTATCATTTATGATATCGATTCGGGTAGGGTGTTCCGGTGGGAAAAGCCTGTTGTCTATAGAGCGCGGCTATTGAGGGCGTCTATTGACATCCCAAAGCGGAAATAGAGGCAGGGATGAGGATCAAAACGCAGGACCGTCCGGGATTGACGGGGGTAAGATTGGACAGAAACAGTGCAGTCGAAACCAAAAGGGGGTGAAGGGGTCGAAGGGGTCAGAGATGAAGAATATTTATCACTTTGGGCGACATGAGGCCAGGCGTGAAATGATGAGGCATCGCAGTTTGTATGAGAGAGGAAGACATGTGAGGCACAGTGAGGTGATGGTGATTTGCATCAGAGAATCGAACTTGGGCACGGATAGGGGAACCCGATTTTTCATTATGATACTAGAGAAACATGGTCAACGGAAGGTGCGTTTTATAGTGAGACAGAGTGGATTCCCGCAATTTGGCATCGACACCAAATCACCCATTGCGAGAGGCGAGTGTGACTGGCGATGGTGGTGAAGCCCACGAACGACGCTGGAGATTGCATCATCGCAATAGACGCCATATCGCATTACCCGAGCGCCAATATGGCATTGAGCAATAGACTCAAGCGGCTCGGCGCACGGTGCAAGTCATGCGAAACCAGCCAATCAAGGCGGCATGGCTGCGACCCTCTAATCTCCCCGCCAGGTGGTCCAAGTGCCGTATCGCGTCGCGGTGCCTGGGGAATGCTCCCCTCCCACTTTGCTCCCACCACCGCCGCAAACACCAAGCACCAAACACCACACGTCCCTCCGCATCACCACCACCAACAACCCGCTTCAACCACCAGAACCATGTCGTCCGCCGCCCTCTTCCGCCGTGCCGCCTTCGGCCAGGCCTCCGCCGCCCGCGCCTTCAGCACCTCGTCGCCGCGCGCCGTCGCCCGCATCACCATTGTCGGCAACCTCGCGGACACGCCCGAGCTCCACTCCACCAGCAACAACCGCGAGATCATCCGCTACGCCGTCGCCAGCAACCACGGCTCCCGCGAGAATCGCAAGACCAGCTGGTTCCGCGTCACCAGCTTCGCCGAGGGCCCGACCCGAGACTTCCTCATGAACCTGCCGAAGGGGTGAGTTCACCGCCCCGCCTGGATCGCAGCTTTGCGACGCCCATGTCTAGCATATGTCGTGACGCCCCAGACGATTCAATTTGCTGACCTTTAGTCTAGCGCCACCGTCTTCATCGAGGGCGACTGCTCCACCAACACCTACACCGACGCCAACGGCAACACCCGCAGTGGCTTCAGCATTGTTCAACGTACGCTCCTCCCCCTCTGGCGCATACACCACATGTCGTGCTAACCATCTCCAAGGCAGCATTGAGGTTCTCCGACGCCCCCAGCACACCGAGCACGCTGAGCACACCGAGCAGAGCCAGTAAATATGCAACTACGAGTTTTTATCCGAGTATGGGACCAGGTTCTCGTAGAGGATCCTCCCGTCTGTTTGTTCTCTCCCCTCTGTGATTAATGTTTCTATTGCTGGATGTCTTGTATGGTCAGATGTATGGTTAGGCTTGTACGCGAATCGTCTAGGGAGATGTATGATACCATGACGCGATATATCAATTGCTCTATTCAATCCCATGGCTCGAGCACAGCTTGACGGTCTGAGTGAATGCCCACTAACTTGCTGGGATTTCAAGCCCATGGCCAATATCAACGCTGCACACAGGCACGCTATATGCGCAAATTAACTCGCCGGCAGTGGGATCTAGTTTATTCCTCTTTTTGCTGGACAAACTTGTGTCGCTTAGCGATCTCTTTATACCAGAGTGCAACTGTCCATGCAGCCGAACCCAGCTGCGACGCCTCCCTCTTCGCTCTTGTCGCCCTTGGTGCGCAACAAGAAACCCGCCTCCTCGTTGCGACGGACCTCCCCAGTGTTCTGGTCCCAGAGGCAAGTGCCGTAGACGCCGAGCTCGCAAATAACACCACCTTGTTCTAGGTTGCCATTGCGGAGGATAATATTTTGGACTGGGGGAGGAGTGATGAGCTCCATGAGGATGTACGAGCCCCAATGCGCCTCGGGGACCGACTTGAGAAAGGCAGGAATTGCGCCTCGGTAGATGTTGTTACCACCTCCCTCGCGCTGTGGCTTAAGCACATATGCTTGGCAGAGCTGGGGGTCCAGAGCCTTCTTTCGAGCCTCCAGTCCTGCTTCGCTCGTGTCCATCGGGTAGATGTTGGTGAACGAACGCCAGAGCTCGGCCGCATCCTCGGTATCGTCTTTGATAAACTTGCTCAGGGCTGAGGGGGCAGAAGACGACTTGGGCGTGGTAAGGATCTGCTGCACTTTCTTTGTCCCGGCGAGCTGCGTCAAGATACTGGGACACTTGATCGCATGAGAACGTTCTAGGTGGTATCGGGCGTTCCAGGCTTCTTGGCCGGGGTAGTCACTGGGGTCGTAGCCCGACCGCATGTAAATCACGGCAACTTCGTAAACCTTGGATGGGTTTCGAGGAAGGTGGTAGAGGAGCTGGCGCTTGGAGGTGTCTGCGAGGGTGGTGTGCTTCAGAACATCCGCGTAAGGCAGGCGGAAGACTGGGATGGACGGTGATGCCTTGGCGATTTGGTACTCCAGATGACGCTGGTCGAAAACATTCCTTTCGCCTCCCTGGACCAGAAAAATGACGGCCTTTTGATGCCCAAGCTCGGACTTGGGGTACGCATGGTAGGCTGACTCGATGCCAGCGGCCAAGCCTTGCGCAGTCGTATTTTCAGGAAGATCCAGGGCGTCCTCGGCAATGGAGCTGTCGAGGAGCGGATATTCCGTCTTGGCAAGATATCTACTCATGTTAGAGAACCAACTCTCTACCTTTGGTAGGCTACGGGTGACTTACTTGTGTAGTAGAGATGTGTAAGTCGACAAGCCGCCGAAGGAGGCCGCGATAGTGTTGAACTCAACCTGCTTCACCTGCAGAGAGGGAGTTGAGGTCGAGGTATCCTGGTGGACCATGTAGTCGGATCGAAACAGGCCCAGAGACAGGGGCTGAATTTCATTAGAGCCAAGTTGGTTAATGTCTCTAGATAGAGGCTTACCTGAGTATATCCCTCAGCCTTGACCTTTTGGTGGACATTCCAGAGATTGCGAATGAAGTCATCACCACCTTCGACCCTGGCAAAGAGTCAACGTCTGGGAGATGAGACAAGCGAGTTGTGGTTCCTTACTCCTTGACAACCTGGGCCAGGAACTGCTCATCCCGGCTCACAGCAGCATACAGCTCGTTGTAAGTCTTCTGCACAGACTTTGCTTGCGCGAAGCACTGGCGCGGGAACGGGCTAGGGAAGAGCGTTACAGGAATATTGATGGCGGAAATAGCCTTGGGATCAGCCTCGGCGGCAATGACGGTGGGCGGCGGCCGGACTGCGAGGCCATTGCCTATCGACCAGTCCTTGACCGTCTCAATGAGGGCCTCTCGTTCCTCGGCCCTGAGGTTGGGCGGGTAAGCCCCGCTCGTGAGAGATGCCATGGTGCTGCGGATGGACTCAGGTGCACAGAAAGGTGAAACGAGGCTCCCGGATGCCGATGCCGGAGGGCGAGATTTTGCTGTCGAAGGATTGAGTTTGACTGAGTTGTTGCTTTTATTATTCCGTGTATCCGCCAACTTAGAAAGGTCTCAGTTTGCGGGATCAGAAAGTAGCGTGGCTTAATAATTCAGCGAGTGGGTGCTTCTAGATAGACGATGGAGCAAAACGCGACAGTACATCGTCCCGCGTAAGTGGCTACGGCCGTGTCTTTAAGCTAGCGCCCATGCGAGGACAGCAAGGTTACCTTTTTGAGCATAGCCAATGGGCATATTCGCATTTGAAGAGGATATCTGCGGCGCAATTACGTCCATGGTGTTGCGCATGCGAGAAACGGGCGGTTCTCGGGATGATGCAATGAGGGGCACGCGGGGTGTTGCTTTGCCTCTGCAAGCCATCATCAAGGTGTCTTAGGACTGAATCGCCGGCCGCCTTAGATGAAGTTTCGGGGTACAAAAAATAAGAGCCTTACCTAGGTACTTATGTATCTGGAATGTGGAATCAGTCTCTAGGTAGCTATCTCCACGCGATGCTCAAGCTGCGCTCCCTGCAAGCTCCCCTTCAGTTCATCCGCACGTGCAAAGACGATGGTATTTCTCCAGTGGGGCATAAACCGCCCGTTGTAGGGAATGGAGCCTTCTGTTGACCCAGGGCAGCGAGCAAAAGCTCTGCGCTGATTCGCCCAAGGAATTTTCGCGATCGAAAAGCTGCGCGTGGCGACCTGGACCCCGATGAAGCCATCGCCGCTTGGGTGTGTTTTTTCCCCCTACTAGGTAGGTAGGTACCTGCTTGCTGGCAGCTGCCAACGGCCCGACCAAAAAAAGTTGTATCACCAACCGATGCCGCAGGCGCCACTGCTGCAACTTCCGACCTAACACAACCTCAGCTCAGGCATCCAAACGGCGTGCCTCAGGGAAGCAGCGCGTTTGCTCCGAACACTGGATGCATCACGTGGTTGGGCGTTGCTAATCGCCGCGTGAAGTGCGCAGCGAACGCAAAACACGCGACTTCCTTCAGACGACAGCCAAGTATTCTCCCCCGAGGGACGACAACAAAGAAAACAAAGACAACAAGGATATTGTTCGCAGACGCCGCAAGCTCACTTACCCCCGGCTCCACCCCCAACGAAAGGAGCCCATTTTTCAAGCACGGTTTCACAACCTTGCTGGTTTTTGAGATATTGCATGGCCCTGGACAGGCCGCTCTCATCTGCGCCCTCCTCTACGCCTGAGACGTGACGCCCTGGTCTCTCGAAACGGCCTGCAGGCGGTTATGCGACACCACTCCTCTTCACACCTGCGCATACGGCTCATGCCTTAGAGAAGAAGGCAAGTTGCCCGAGTCTGCCCTGGCCTCTTGCCCAAGAGGCTGCTCCCAAATCATCCAAACACTACGGCGCTGGTGAAGCTGGTGAAGGGCCGCTGCAGCTTCCTCTTTCTAACACTTCGCTAGAAGCCTTCAGCCACCAGGCCTTTCAGCGCCCCCGCAACGCCAGATGGATGGCGCCGGAGACGATGATCCCTTCTCTTGGGAGGTGGCGACTGTGGTCAAAGTGCTCTCCGCACCCAACCGCCCATGGGCTCCGGATCCTGCGGCTATCGCTAATCGCGTTCAAGAGGAGGAGATCGATGGCAAGACTCTCCTTACCTTCGAGCATGTCTGTTCCCGTCAAGAGTTGATGGAATGCCTCGGCATCAGGTTGGCTCGTCACAAAGTGGCAATTGGGGAGCTCATCCTTACACTTCGATCAAAAAGCTGGGCGTATCAGCAGTGGAGACAGGATTTCAACCGGAAGCAGTCCGGTTTCTACTTTGACTCCGACGGACTCAAGAACTCGCCAACTTCCAGCCTGGGAGCGAATGGCTTCGTACTAAAGACACAGCCAAAGGAAAAAGGACTTGAGGCGTTGCCATCTCAGCCCCATACCAATGAACAGCCGGCCCTCCCTGCTGAACCCACCCAGCCCGAGCCCGAGCCTACAGACACTCCTAAGCCAAGACGGCTTGTCCCAATCGCTCTGTCAAGCAGACCACTCAATATTTCCAATGCATTCATCCCTACCGAGGCCGACACGCTCGGTTTCGTAGCCGAAGCTGTCCAAAAAGATGAGCAAAGCATCCCTTGGGAGGAAGCCTCGATCGGTGCCTATCTTGGAGATGGAAGCCTGACATTAGAGGCTCTCAAATCTCCGACCGGATCTCTGAGCTCTCGACTTCTTGAACCAACCGAGGACACATTCGCAACCGCGATACCTAATTGGCTACCCCCAGGAAGAAGACTCGCTGTGCATCGAGGCATCATGCGATTCTTGAAGAAGAACGGCCGGCAGGAGATGCTCCAGAAACAAGGCATTTTCTTGATGAGGTCGCCTACCCCAAGCGACTCGGACACGGTGCTCGACCTCGTAGACCTTCCCGATGAGTATGACGAACAGACAAAGAGAGAGATGGAAGAAGAGAGGCTGGAGAGGGAGAGATATGCTGCTCAAGCTGCCCGCCACTCCCTCTCATCTGAGAGAGTCACGCAGATCCTCATGGATGCTATTGATGCCATAGCAGTCACTTGGCAAGAGACGAAGCTGCCAAAGCACCAGAGGAAAGCCTATCAACTATGGCATCATGCTCAACGTAAGGGAAACAGGACGAGGCAGGTCTTGGACGCTCACACTCAAGCCAAGTTCTATGATGAACGAATCAAAAAGCTCTGTGCCGAAATTGTTGGAGAGACATGGACCAAGCAATTCGAAGTCAGAGACCAAGCGAAGTGCCTCGAGCAAAGCATCCATGACAAGCTCTACAATGGGTGGCTCGTCGACATGCTGGAATCTCGGACTGAACCTCCCAAGCCTCAAACCATTGCCAAGCCGAAGCCCCAAGCCTCGAAGAGACGTCTAGACGATTATTTAGATGAAGAAATCCTCACAAGCTCTGATGAGGATGATTTCATCGAACCAGATGATGAACCGGGAGTCAACAATGGGCGTCTCATGGACCTTGACGACACCTCTAAGTATGGCGACCCAAGTCTCCCGGCTGAACCGGTCAAAGAAGAGTCTCTTGAGTGCATAGATCTCACTCAAGGGAGCTGGGGAATGAACTCTCCCAAAGGCCCAAAGAAGACCGATTTTGTTGATTTGACAAGCCCGATCAGGTCAGATTGTGCTCCTAAGGACAGCCAAGCCAGCAATGACCTCACAGGCGCCCCTGATATACCACCGACCATCGAAAGCCTTGGTAGCTTTGAGGAAATTGGCGCTGTGACCTTGAAGCAGATGTCGAAAAGCAAGGATCGGTGGAAGCTATTGATTTGCCTCATCTGGAGACTTCCCCACACAAGACGGAGAGCATTGCTTGACTTTATCCAAGAAAAGTCGACCGACGAGGCTTGGGAAGAGGCAGTGAGACCCCAGATGACTGACCCACTTGAAGACCTCACAAAACTCGGAGTACAGACTTCTACGACCATTGCGTTCGATCTGACCCGGGCTTTTCTGTCCTTCTATCGGGTAAAGAATTTGAAAGAGTCATCTCTCGTCCCTCTTTCCCAGAAACTGAGGCAAGTACTGGAAAAGGCTAAGCGCCCATGGTTCCAGCCTTTTTGTTCTTTCGTCAAAGATGCAGCACATCAATTCCCTCAGGACAGTCAGATATACAGGGCTGATATACCCGAAGATGTACTGGAGGACGATCTGGAGGACGATCACTCGATGGCCAACAACGAGAGCAGCCAATCCAAACGTCGAAAAGTTGCACCAAAAGAAATCATCCAGAACAAAGAAGCAGTGGATTTGAGACAGAGGGAGCTGAAGAGAGTGCAAGAACAAGAATCGCGCAGAGCGAAACTCAGAGCGGATCTCGCTTCCTCCGGCTTGATGTCACGAGATAGAACTCGTTTGATCATCAACGAGAGCAAGCAGGATGGCCAATCGTTCGTGTACATCAACGAGGAAATTGGCAAGCGAATCAAAGAGCACCAGGTAAATGGCGTCCGGTTTATGTGGAACCAAGTTGTTGCCGCAGACACACGCCAAGGCTGTCTGTTGGCTCATACGATGGGTTTGGGGAAGACGATGCAAGTTATTACCCTCCTCGTCGCGATAAGGGAGTCATCTACGTCCTCAGACCCATCCATAAAGGCGCAGATACCCGAGGACCTTCAAACTCCCCAAACTTTGGTGCTCTGTCCTGCAGGATTGGTGGACAATTGGATGGATGAACTCCTCATGTGGGCGCCTGAGGGTATTCTCGGACCTTTGCGCAGGGTTGATGCACAGATGACCATTGATGAGAGGTCTGCTGCAGTCCAAGAATGGGCCAAGGGTGGCGGTGTCCTTGTTATGGGCTACCACATGCTCAAACAGATGATTTCTCCCAGCAAAGGCGTGGATGAGTTGCTTCTCGACAAACCAAACATCATTGTCGCAGATGAGGCACACCATTTGAAGAATGAAAAGAGCATAATTAATCACAGTTGTGCTCGATTCAGATCAAAGAGCCGTATCGCCTTGACAGGCTCTCCCTTAGCAAACAACGTTGAGGAGTATAGGTCTATGATCGACTGGGTGGCACCAAACTTCTTGGGTCCACTGGCAGAGTTCCGCGAGATGTACGCAACCCCGATTCAACATGGTTTATACAATGACAGCTCCGGGCCCGAGAAGAGACTTGCCTTGAAGAAGCTGGAAGCACTGAAGGTAACGGTTCAGCCCAAAGTCCATCGGGCTACGGTCAAGTCGTGTCTGAAGGACGATTTGCCACCCAAGTTCGAATTTGTTCTTTCTGTTCCTCCTACGCCATTGCAAAGCAAACTCTACGCTATCTACCTGAGGGGGCTTCTCGAGAATGGTATTGGTCCTGAGGGAAGTATTCTACAATCTCAACTTTTTACGATCACGAATCACCTAGCCCTGATCTGTAATCATCCCAGATGCTTTCAGCTCAAGGTCAAACGTATCATGCAAGGAACCTCCAAAGATGAAGATGACAACGGGAAGGAAGACAAGTCATTTCCCAAAAGCATCATTCAGCCGGTGTTGAAGGAGCTTAAGGTGCCTGATCCCGACCTTGCGTCTCTGTCGCGAAAAGTTGAACTGTTGACGGTCATCCTGGACGAAGCCCGAGTAATCGGAGACAAGGTGCTCGTTTTCAGCCAGTCATTGATGACAATTGAGTACCTGCTCAATTTGTTCCAAATGCAGAAAAGACGGGTTTCCTGTTTGACCGGGAAAACCGTCATCAACAAACGCCAAGAGATGACCAAGAACTTCAATTTGGGTGACCAAGAGGTGTACTTGATTTCTACGACAGCAGGAGGGGTTGGTCTCAATATTCAGGGTGCCAATAGGGTCGTTATTTTCGACATCAAATGGAACCCAGTACACGAGCAACAAGCCATTGGGCGAGCGTACCGAATTGGACAAGAGAAAACTGTATTCGTCTACCGGTTTGTGGTGGCAGGTACCTTCGAGGAGGATCTTCAGAGCAAGCACGTCTTCAAGACGCAACTAGCATCCCGAGTCGTGGACAAGAAAAACCCTGTTAGTTGGTCAAAACGGAGCGCCAAGCTCCTGCACGAAATCCGACCATCGCCGGTTAAGGACCTCTCGGACTTTCTCGGTAAGGATGGCATCCTGGATGCACTCATCAAGTACAAGAAAAATGGCGAGGCTGTTCGGTCGATACTCTCGACAGACACGTTTGAGGAGGAAGACGTTGACGCAAAACTCAGCGTGGACGAACTCAGAGATGTGAGGGAAATGGTCAAGCTGAACGGCCTTCGATCCTCCAACCCCGAGGAATTTCAAAAAGCCAAGATGCATGCAGCAGAGGAAGAATTTTTTCGTCTGGCCAGAATGTCCCAATCCGCTATTCATTCGGCACAACATCAGCAGCTCCCCAATGAATCAGCCACTTCGAAACCCCATCCGTCCGTGGACCAGTCCTTGGATGGATCGTTTGATGCACCCGATCCTGTCGGCATTGGGCATCTACAGAGCCAACACTTCATGAGATCAGCACTTCACGGACGCCCACAGGTAAATGCCTGTCTTTCTGGCCTTTGATTTAACGCCGGCACTGACTTTGAGAAATAGGAATTACTCCCAGGACCCTTTCAAACCTCAATCTCTGGACTAAGGTCGGTTCCTTTGCCCGTAGCTGGCGCAAACACGTACTTTGGAACACAACCACAACGGACCACGGCGCCAGTCATAGCCACGACCAACAATGAGACGGAGAAAGAGACACCCAAGGTTACCTTGGGACCGACAACGCAGAGCACGCCTTTCAATGGAGGCAACCTTTTCAGTCAGCCTCAATCGCAGCCCAAGATCAACTTTCAAAATCGCCTTGAAGCGAGGATTCACGGACTGCAAAAAGATCGCCTGTTAAGAATCCAGGGAGAGCCCAGAAATTTCGCAAAATCTCTGACAGATGCAATTTGTGGAGTTCGGGATAAACTCCAGCTTGGATTCCTGCCCGACGGTCGACACTGGAAGCACCTCGAGGAATTACTGGATCACAACAAGGTTGTGATATCATTGGTTTCAGGTCACTGGACGCCGTCATATGTGGCTGGAGCGGACAAGAAGGAGTTGGAAAGTCGGATGTATGCGATGAATGGACTGCCCGAGAAGGAGATTTCTGCCCAGGGGAGTCGAAGAGCTCACTCGCCAGATCCTCATGTAAGGGACAATACCGCACTATCCCGTAATTTTACTGACAGAGCATTTGCTCAAGAACTTGCATAACATTCGACGACGAAGCATGCCGACGGAAGGCGCATCGCAAAGCCCACACGCTAAGGAGGATATGGATGTGATGCGAGAAGCAGCGGATAATAGGAAACGACGAGGCGTCCGACTGCCAACGTGGGCAAACCAAGCCCTATCTGAGGAACAGAGCAGAGCGTTTCCTGCGTTGGGAACCGTCCAATCGCTGGAGGATCGACGCGCCAGACCAAGAAACGAGTCACCCCGAGGCGACAAGGAAGTTGGAAGTGACGGTCAGAGCGTGGAAGAGGGAGATCAGAGGCGTTGATCTGAGGATGTGTGATGGAAACTCAAGGCGGGGGGACACATGATCTTGACACGGATGGGCACGGCGTTGTCAAATTGATGATTTGTATGAGATACCCATTTTGGAGCCAGCTTGAGGCGCGCTCTTTTGCGCAATTTTGCCTAGATGAATTGTTTCCGGCTCAAGGAGTGGGCGGGAGGCGACCATATCAGAGAGCTAGAATACTAGAGATTCTTTACTAGCTTTCATTAAGATGCATTACTAACCTGGTTCCAGTGTTGGCGCAAATCATTCTGAGGGTGGTTGCACTGTGTGTTTACGGCGCGGTAGTTGCTCTTGCAGGTATGAGATTGGTGGCATATACGGCAGAGAAGCGACTGAAACTCGGTTATCCCGATGTACATGCACTCTGTCAGAATGGTGAGTGGATTGGTAAAGACGGTATCATGACGGGCCAGAACGACTAGGGTAGAGTGGTTCAGCGGGATTGATCGGAGAGTTCGGTGAGTAAACTCGGAGGAGCGAGGATGTATGTATCCCTGCCACTGCGACTGCGACTCCGCAATGGAGTCTGAGGTGAGTTAAGCGGTGGGCCACCTGAACAAGGTTTGGTTGATCTTTGATGGGAATGGAGGGGAGGATGGTTCAAGTACATCGTACGAGGAAGAGGCACTAATTACGGATTCAAAACGGAGCAACAAAAAAGAACTGGAGAAGGTAGTGAGTGGCAGGTGGGCCCGGTCCCGGAGCGGGAACAGATAGAGGATTTTAGTCACGATAATAGGGACAATACACACCTAGATAATCCAGTCATCGGTTCCGTGTTGGTCTCCAAAGGACAGGCGGCCGGCAGCGCTCAACGTCTTTTTTTGTGGGCGGGGCGAGCGGTGATGGGATGGATCAGAATGCTTTGGAATCCTGGAATGTTGGAAGCTTGGGTCGGAAAGATGGACGACCAATAGCTGACGGCGGCCAAGTGCCCGCACATTTCGGAATGCGTGCGACTGAGCCGTCGGTGCGTCCGCCTGCACTTCACAGTCACTGCACGCGCAGAATCCGTACGTGCAGGAGGAGTACAGTGGGATACGCCGCTGACGCCCTGGGGCTAAGGGGTTAGGGGGTCGGTGGACCAATGGCAGCGCATGTATTTCTTTCTCTAGGACATTCGACGGTCTGGACCTTGTGATGAGTGTCGTTTTTTTTTCCCTTGCCGGGGCCGCTCCGTGCTGGGCCGAGTCATCATGGCCCCTCTCTGGTGTGCGCTAAGCTGGCTTCATCCGGCGGTCGGGGTCAGATCAGATCAGATCAGTTGAGACCTGGCAGGATGTGTTTTAGTTTCAGGGCAAAGATCTCAGCGGAAAGCAAACCGTCGTGTAGAGAATTCAACAACTGGGCGACAGCGGAAAAAGACAGAACATGTTCCGAGGAACAGAAGTGCAACCTGACGCAGGAGCGGCAGCGGTTCGACCGACCATCGACCTACCACACCCACTAACCCACTCCGCACGGCGTGCGTCCGCTCCGAGGAGGTGGAGGTGGCGGCGAATGCGGCGACTGCGGCCAGGTAGCAACGACGTCAAGTCCCCTACCACGGGCTCGCTTTGCAGCCAGGTCCCTGTTAAATGTCTTCTTAGAAGGGATAAGTTAGTACCTAAGTTAGAGCGACAAGTGCCTGGAACAGAGTGGTAATAGTTGGAGCATTGTTGGACGGAGCAACATGCCCAGCAAGAGGCCCTCTTTCCCGAACCGCCGAAAACCCTCTCGCTCTCTGGCCTTCTCTCTTCGTCTCTTAACCGACCCATCCACTCTTTCCTCTTCTCCTCTTCCTCTCTTCTTCCTCTCCCAACTTCACTACCCCCATTGCCCATCACCCACTCCGGAATTACCACCGGCAATTGCTTCGTTCCGCTTGCAAAGCTTCCACGTGCAGCTGAGTGAATAGGGATTTGCCCCTCGTCCAAATCGCATCGCATCGCATCGGCATTCTCTGCCCCTCGCCAAATTCCCATATTTTGTGTCGCCAGACACCACCGCGCTCGCAACTCGCTGCCCCTCCGGTTCTTCGTCTGCCGCATTTCAATCACGCCTGCTGTCGCCCCGACTCCAATCCAATCCAATTCAACTCGCCATGGATAGTGTCCTCCGCCAGTCCAAGGCCATGTGCCCCTTCCTCAAGAAGGCCTCTCCCGCCACTCTGCGCGCCCTGTCCACCACGGCCCGTCCTCAGGCGGCCCAGGCCTCGCCTTGCGGTGGCACCATGTCCAAGCTGCAACTGCTCGGTCATCGCTGCCCCGTCATGGGCAAGGCCATGGCTGTCCAGTTGGCCAAGCACGGCGCTGCTGCCGGTGCTGGTTTCCGCGCCTTTTCTGGTAACGCGAAGACTGGCAAGGCCAAGATTCACACCAGCCGTCAGCAGGAGGCCCGCGCCGTCGAGCGCACCAACTTCGAGAGCCGCGACAAAGGTATGTCCCTAGCACTTACACTGCCACCATTCGCTTGCAGTCAATTGAACGTCTGCTAACGCGCACAACAGCCTCGATCCCTCCTGGCGTCTCCTTGAACCGAAAGGCTGCCTCTCCTGCTCCTGTCACTACCGGCCCCGTCAATTCCACCGGCAAGTTCAACTACGAAGGCTTTTATAATGCCGAGCTCGATAAGAAGCACAAGGACAAGTCCTACCGCTACTTCAACAACATCAATCGCCTCGCCAAGGAGTTTCCCCGCGCCCACATGTCCAACAAGGAAGAACGGGTCACTGTGTGGTGCGCCAACGACTACCTCGGTATGGGTCGCAACTCTCGTGTCCTGAACAAGATGCACGAGACTCTGGAGGAATACGGTGCTGGTGCTGGCGGAACTCGAAACATTTCCGGCCACAACCGACATGCCGTCGAACTGGAAGGCACTTTGGCCAAATTGCACGCACAGGAGGCTGCCCTTGTCTTCAGCTCCTGCTACGTCGCCAACGATGCCACTCTCGCCACCCTCGGCAGCAAGATGCCGGACTGCGTCATTCTGTCAGATAGCCTGAACCACGCCTCCATGATCCAGGGCATCCGCCATTCTGGAACCAAGAAGATCGTCTTCAAGCACAACGATGTTCAGGACCTCGAGGCTAAACTGGCTTCCCTCCCTCTGCACGTCCCCAAAATCATCGCCTTCGAGTCCGTATACAGTATGTGCGGTTCCATTGGCCCAATTGAGGAGATTTGCGACCTCGCCGACAAGTACGGCGCCATTACCTTCCTCGACGAAGTCCATGCCGTTGGTATGTACGGCCCCCACGGCGCTGGTGTTGCGGAGCATCTGGACTGGGAGGCGCATGTCAAGGGCTCGCCCCGAGGATCCATCATGGATCGCATCGACATCATTACTGGAACCCTGGGCAAGGCATACGGCTGCGTCGGCGGATACATCGCTGGTAGCGCCAAGCTCATTGACATGATCCGATCGCTGGCCCCTGGTTTCATCTTTACCACTTCGTTACCACCAGCCACCATGGCGGGTGCCAAGGCTTCCATTGAGTACCAGATGGAGTACGATGGTGACCGACGACTGCAGCAACTTCACACCCGAGCTGTCAAGGAGGCCATGGCTGAGCGAGACATCCCCGTCATCCCAAATCCCTCCCACATTATCCCCATCCTGGTTGGAAATGCTGAGGTCGCCAAGGCTGCGTCCGATATGCTGCTCCAAGACTACCGCATCTACGTCCAGTCGATCAACTACCCCACCGTGCCCGTTGGTCAGGAACGCCTCCGCATTACCCCCACCCCCGGCCACACCAAGGAATACCGAGATGAGCTCGTGCAGGCTGTCGATGAGATCTGGACCCGTCTGGGCATCAAGCGCACTTCTGAGTGGGCAGCCGAGGGTGGTTTCATCGGCGTCGGCGAGGAGGGCAACATTCAGGAGCCCCTCTGGACCGACAAACAGCTCAAGGTCGAGCAGGCTACCAAGGACATCATGGCCTCTGGTCAGCCAGCCAATGGTATCACCGAGGCCCTCCTCGAGCAGGAGTCGATGCAGACCGGCCAAGTTGCCAGCGCTTCTGCCTAAGGGTTGTAAACCAGTGTTTCCAATCCACTGCGATCGCGAAAAACTGTGACGCAGACACCCAGTTCCCTTCGATATATGCCAATTTTTGAGAGACATCTACGTCCGTCCTTGTTTGGATCGGCGAGAGAATTGAATACCTTTCTATCCATTGCCACAGATAATGTGGCGTCATGGATTACCAACCCCAAAAAAGCATACCCTCTGTCCCGTTTGACGTGAATGAGTGACGTTTCTGTATCGTTGCGCGTTGACTTTTGTGACGAGGATGAGCCCACCTGAAGTAGACGCGAAGCGCTAACATGAAGGACGGGGGAATCTTGGCTAGAGCCAAGTACGCTAATTGGCTGATTGGCTTAGTCAGCGTTATTGGCCCCGTGTCCGGCGGAGGAACGGAGCAATTTTGACGCTCCGTCTCCGCTCCTTGGACTACAATCCCGGCCAATTTGCAGCATCAATCATGTAGACGGCCTCCGTGGACACCGACGGCTGAACATACTTGGTCTTGTTGTTCTTTCTCAAGCATGCGGCCCGAATCTTCTCTTTCTTATCCGTTCCAACTCTCCGGCCCCCGATCGGAACCTTGACATGCCACGATGAGTCCCGACGCGGTGCAACTCAAGAACAAGGGTCCAAAGGCATGCACGACCTGTGCCAGGGCTAAGGCGAGATGTATTACAGGCCCTGAGGGGAGCCTCAAATGCGACAGGTGAGTTGGGAGAGACTGGCTCATCTGCTCCAGGCACGAAGGAATTCAACAAGATTCCGGTTGTTAACGCAATAGATTCAAGGTGCCATCGCCTGGACAAGCCCTGTATGTCGCAGACTCCGGCTCCGCCCCGGGTCCGGAAGAGTCCCAAGCTGTCTAAGATCGCTGCTCTCGAGAAGCGCCTCGAGGAGCTGTCGTCTCATGTCCAAGAAGGCCCGGCTCAATCTACCAGTCCATCTCCAAAGCGAGAGGAATTGTCGGGGCTCTGCAAAACTCCTGAGAAATGGGATTTCTCTCATCTATTTCCGCTTAAGAATGTCGCGGTAACCGTGAAAGACGGCGCCCACTTGCCGCCGCCTGCATCAGAAAAGCCCAGGCCATGGGAGTCGTGGTGGCCGACGCCTCAGGAGGGAGACATGCTGTTGGAGCAATACAGGACAGCCCATGCAGGTCTATTTCCTTTTGTTATTGTTCCAAAGGGCATAGCATCTCTGGAACTTCGCCAGCATCGTCCGTTTGTGTGGAAGGCTGCCATGATGGTGGGTTGTTTCCTAGATGGGGCAAGGCAGCTAAAGCTGGGCACGGAGTTGCTCTCCGAGGTTGGGCAGGCGGCGGTGGTGGATGGATCTAAAAACTTGGATCTTCTCCAGGGGCTGCAGATGCTCGTCTCATGGTAGGCGATACGTGTGGCTCGTCAAACAACGCATGCTAACGCGTGTGAAGGTATCACTATGCACTCAAAGGTCCGCAGGTGACGAATCTGCTTTTTCTTGCTAGGGCCATGTGTATGAACTTGGGATTCAAAGAGGATGCGACTCTCGAAGGAGCTGAGCACACGCGAAACATGGAACACATGAGGGCATATGCAGGAACATACTACCTCAACACCCTGTAAGTGTCTTGCCCGCATATTTCTTACGTCGAACTAATTCATCGTTAACAGGGTCTTTACAGCCAATAAGCGGCCAGATGCACTCATGAACACGGGTCTTCTTGAGACCTGCTGCAGGGTGCTACAAGCGACGATGCAGTACCCGTCAGATGAGTACCTGGTTAAACTAGTCCGGATCCAGCAGCTCGCCCAGTCCATTTCGTTGACGATGGCCATCGACAACATCAGTCAACATGCCATGAAACTCCCCCTAACTATGATGGTGCAGTCCTTCCAGGAACAATTGAATCAATTCAGCGCTTCTCTGTCTCCCAGATTTGCGGATAATGGTACGTAAAATGACGGTTCATATTTGGACTCGATGCTAACGCGTCTCGATAGATACTCTCAGGAGTCATGTCAATGTGGCCGAGGTCCTCCTCTACGAGATCGCCCTCTCGGATCAGCACTCCAGCGTCTCGTACGTGCCACTAACCGACCGGCTCCAACTCCTCTGGGGCTGTGTCCATTCCCTCAGGTCATTTTTCACCATCCGCTTCGCGAGCCGTGAGATCGATCGGCCTCGCTTCCTGTGTCTCAGTGCGTCTGACTTTGTCTTCGCTATCATCACGGGTATCAGGCTCCTGACGCTGCAGCTACCCGGCTGGAATTTGACACACATCCAAAATGAGCTCAACATGTTGGACGTAATGGACAGTCAAATCCAGGACCTTGTCATCATCATCAACCGCCGCAAGCAGGGCATCTACCTTAGTGCTGCGATGGCCGATCGGCCCGAAGACCCCTTTGAGCGCTTGCTAAGCCAACTCAAGGCGCTGCGCGACCTGGTGAAACTGGAGCTGGACCGCCAGAATGCCGGGTGTGCGGAAGTCCCAGCGGTGGACTTTACACAGGATCTGCTGGTCGAGGGCCTAGAAGGCGATTTCTGGCGGAGCATAGGGGGTGCTGTGGATGTTTGGAACGTGGTGGGGGATCCGACAGTGTTGGATGCGGGCAGGTCTTAAGGGACGGCTGAATGGTATTTCTGTGAGATGATGTGTGAAGGCAAACGGCTGATATTTGGGATATCATTTAACTATCATGGCGTTTGGGGATGGGATGGGACGGCAACCAAAGAGATTCAGAGTGACTCCATTTACCCAGGAGGTTGTCAAGGAACACTTTCCAGGCCCTGGTTATGTACTGTATATCCAACTACATTTGATCATACGCCTAGACATTTAGTCGGGCTTATCTCTACCGTTTTTGCTTTTGGTGTTGAGTGCTGACCAGTCTACGATTATTACGCCTCGTCCACTTCAACAGCCTGCACCTTGGCCATGGTCAACCACCTAAAGTCACCCTCCCCGGTGGCCTTTCGGATGGTGTACAGCTCATCCAAGAAAGCGGGGACAAATGTGCCAGGCCCACGAACCTCATTCCTCGCGGCTGCCAGCTCGGCCGCGAGTCCAAAGATGACGGTACCAGCGGCAGCGGCGAGCAGCGGATCGGCTGTATGGGCGGCCACCATGGCGCTGACGGTGGTGCCGAGCGTACATCCGGTGCCCGTGACAGCGGCGAGCAGCGGGTGTCCGTTGTCGATCCGGAGGGTGCGGCGGCCGTTGCTCAGGAGGTCGGTGACGCCGGTGAGAATGACGACGTTGCCGAGGCGGCGGGCAAGCGAGGAGACGAGGCTGGCCTTCTCGGCGAGGGTGAGAGAGGAGGTCGAGTCGACGCCGCGCTGGAGGATCGAGGCGCCCGCGACGGTTTGGATCTCGCCTTCGTTGCCCTTGATGACGGTGAAGTGGCCGGCTTCGAGGAGGGCTTTGACGGCGTTGCGGCGAACAGAGGTTGCACCGGCTCTAATTGTATGTGTCAGTATATCTGTCTCGCCGTATTTGCCAAGGTAAACGAAAGACAGTGGTAGCTAGATGGGGGCAAAGGGGTGATCAACTCACCCTACGGGATCAAATACAACAGGTCTCTCTGCGTCGTTGTAAGCCTTGAGAGCCTGGACGTAGTTCTTGAGGCCATCCGGAGTGACAGTGCCCATGTTGACGACAAGGGCTCCCCCAAGCTTGGCCAGGTCGGCGGCTTCCTCGGCGTAGTTGGCCATGATGGGACTGGCACCAACGGCGAGGGCCACGTTGGCGGCGAAGTTCTGGACAACCTGCGATTGAGATTATTAAGATGTGATATCAAGTTCGTTGCCAGCGTATCAACGCACCAAGTTGGTCATGTTGTGCGTCAGGGGCGTTGTCTCGGCCACGGCACGCACAACCTGCGGGATCATGGCGACGGTGACCTTGGCGAGCAGGTCGCGGGCCGCGGCAGCCGGGTCCGGAGCGGCGACGATTGCGCTGACGACGGCGATGCCATCGAGGGCCTTCGCGGCGGCCCGGCATCCGGCGATAACGGGGCCGGCGTTGGAGGCGTTGACGCCGCCGATGCACACGGTCGGCACGGCGCCGTGGCCGGCGGCGGCGAGGGCGGCGAGGATGTCGCGGACGCCCGAGGGGCCAATGATGGATTTGGTGTCTTTCTTGCTGCACGCGGAGAGTCGTGTTAGAGCGGGCGCGGGTTGGAGCGTGGTGGTGATGCTGGACTCACGTCTGAGTTGCGTAGACGGTGCCCAGGCCGAGATAGTCGGCTCCGGCCTCACAGGCACGGAGAGCCTCCTCCTTGGAGCTGGCCGTGACGCCGATGATCTTTGCAGGGCCTAGAAGCTTCCTTGCCTCAGTGTAGGCTGTGATGCGGACTGTCAGTTTGGTGTCTTTTCATGTCGTCTCATCTCATCTCATCTCATCTCTTCTTCCAAACTCACCCATGTCGTCCTGCCCAATGTGCACACCCTCGCAGCCCACCTCCACAGCGACATCCACGCGATCATTGATGAGCAGCGGAACACCAAACCTCTGAGCGATAACGTGCAGTTTCCGCGCAGTCTCAACGGCGACGCTGCGTTCGCTGTGCTTGTCGCGGTACTGCACCACCGTGACGCCGCCCCGCAGCGCTCTCTCGACGACGTCACAAATGTCGCCGTCGCCGAGGATCGCGGGCGTCGAGTCGGTGACGAGGTAGACGCCGTAGTTGACTGCGGGCTTGGCCATGGTTGTCGAGCTTGCAGCGGGGATTTTTCCTGGTGTTTTTTTCTGAGGTTTTGCGGTTGGATCGGCGAGGTGAGCGACTTGTTCAGGTGGGAGTGAGTGAATTGACTGCCGTTCTACACGACAGAGCCTAAACCTCGCCAATCTTGGCTAGCTAGCACCACAACTCAAGTTCGAAGATGTTGGCTCACAAAAAAGGAAGATTTAACAAATAGGAAAATATGGTGAAATAGACCTCGCCTACAAGTCCTTCCGTCCGAGTTCTATAATCTATGTGAGGGTATCTAGGCGACAAATATCTAATAAAACACGATCCCACTCAGTGTCAATCTAAGAAGTAAACCACAACACCAATGCCAACATACACTCCAACAAACAGAACCTCCTTTTTCCTCCCTTTTTTTTTTGATCGATAATAGAAAACAGCATGTTTATTCCCGTCCCCAGAGTAGAGATTCCGTACTCCCTAGTCCTTCCCAAAACATACTCCCAGGCCCCCTTCAAGTCCTTCTATACCTTGTCCTTAACACCACACCCTAGAAGCGCGAGATGTCTCGCCCAAAGATCCATGTAACAAGCCAGTAGATTGGAATCATCACCTTGTTTCGGATACTCATGCTCTTGGTCAGGTACGCAGTCCGCCACAGGATCCACGCTGCCCTGCCCTTGAGTTCGTCGCCCTTCGACTGATGAATCGCCCGCCATCCGCCAAGATACGCCATCGTGCCCCAGTTGCGGAAGCTGAAGGGTGCTGTTTTTGTATCTGATTCCGTCTTTGCGTTCAGTCGCTTTCCAAGGTATACGGCCTGCTGGCTGGCCACTTGCGCCGTGGCTGGGAGTGCCTGGCCCTGGACGACAGCGCAATCGCCAATGGCAAAGACGTCTGGTAGTGTGGTTGTTTCTGTGCCCTCGGAAGACTGTAACTGCACGCGGAGATGCGAGTCCGTGACGATGCCGCCCGATTTCGGGTCCTTGGCGATCCTGCCCACGCCTTCAATCTCCTGGTCGAGCAGCTTGCCCACGAGCGGATTCTGCATCAACCCCGTGCTCCAGACGACGATTCCCGCGCCAACCTCCTCGGGCTCCTCCTTAATAGACATCATCAGCACCTCGCCGTCGCGCCGGATCCGCTGCAGGTGATGCTCCGTCTTGACGCGAATGCCGTTGCGGCGGAACATCTCGGTGGCGTAGGTGGCCAGGTTCTGGTCGAACATGGGCAGCACCTTGGGCGCAATGTCGTAGATGGTGATGGCCACGTGCTGCATTAGCTCCGGATACAGCTTCGAGAGGTCTTCGTGAACCAGATCGTGGAGCTCGGCGGCAAACTCGATGCCCGTCGGTCCGCCTCCGACGACGGCGAAATGCAGCAGCTTTTCCCGGTCTTCAGGGCTCGCTGTTGGCAACGCAGCCTTCTCGAAGGCCTGGAGCACCTTGAGACGCACGGCACGCGCATCTTTGACGTCTCTGAGGAAGCTTGCGTGCTCCCTAACGCCTTCGACGCCAAACGTCTGGCTGTAGCAGCCCACGGCCACCACGAGCTTGTCATACGGAACCTCAAACTCCTTGTTCTCCGTCAGAACAGCGCCCGGCCGCGGCGGGAGCTCATCGCGCGTGTTGGTCTCGACGCGGATGATCTTGCGCTGGAAGTCAATATCTGACGCCCATGCCTGGTGAAACTCGGTCAGTCCGAGACGGCGCACTGGCTCGATGGCGGCGCGGAACTCGAGCGTCCCGACCGCTGTGGAAGCGAGCAGCGGCGTGAAGACGAAGTGGGAACGAGGAGATATGAGAATGCGCGAGGATTTTGATGGTGAGAGGGTTCTTGTGAGGGCGTAACCGGCCCATCCGGAGCCTAGGACGACGATGCGCTCCTTGGTTGAGGCTGCGAGAAGAGGCATTGTCAGCGGATGTCAGGTGTCACGCCACTATTTCGAAAGACATAGCAGCGAAGAAAGAAAATCAACCCCTTCTTTCAATCTCACAATTGACTCACCATCAAGTGCGGCCTTAGCAACTGTACTTGCTAAACGCGAGGAGCGACTTCGGAGACCAGGTCCTTTCGATTGTCGACTCAGCTGTACCAACACGCGGGCCTCAGGACGCGCAATTGCAGCCATTGACAGTTCTTCTCCTTTCCCAACCTCTCTAAATATTTGAGAGAATTTAATCTTGACCGCTGCGTGTGCTTGAGGGAGATATTTCAAAGACTTTGTCACACGCCCCGTCGTCTCGATGTCACAAGACCCAACAATCGGGCAGGAGGTTCGTCTAATTATAGTCCCCTGCACTCACCCCTGTGGCACTTTAAATCCACTACTACGTCAGCGTCTCAGTCAGAGTCAGCCTCACTAACACACTCGCCTCCACCACGATAATTCATCGGAGCCTCAACCCTTAGACTCGCTATCACGGGCTTCTCCGGCTGTCCGTCTTCACCACCACAGTGCTGCCCGGACGCCCGGAGTCCGAGGCTTTTAGCGTGTCACCCACATGTAAATACGGCCCGTTTAATGTTGAAATGTTTATTTGCGTCATACTTTTAAAATTTATGTGACTGACAATCCCAATTCCTTCGGTCCGTCCCCTTGGCCCGTCTTTTAAGTCTACTGTAACATGGAATCAAGGCTCTCTCCCAATACTCCCTCAATCTTCACGATCCATCTATGCGTCTCCCGCTCGACCACCTCGTCGTCATCCTCCTGCAGCTCGCTGATTCGAGGCAGCATCTCATGCAGCATCGCCAGCCACTCCTCTCCGAGACGGTCTGTCAACGCCTGCTCGCACTTGACCGCAGCCAGTCGGACGGGCGCTTGCTCTGACCTCAGATGCTTGAGCAGCGCCGAGTTGAGCTCCTTCTGATGCGCCTGTGAGTCTGCCGCCGACGCTAGCTCGACCGTAGCGGGGATCAGGTCTTCCGTGACATCCACCAAACCGGCATGTGAGAATTGCTCCATCATCACAGGTCCAACGGCACCGAAGTGAGCCGGAGCCTGCCAGAAGTCATCTTGATCATGCTCAAAGGACTGTGCAAGCGTCTGAAGCACCCTGCTCCACAAGGCTTGTTCCTCGGCAACCTCAAGGTCAGCCGACTTCAGAATCTTGACAGCATCATCGACAACGTAGGTAGCGTAGTTGGTGACGATGGATTTCAAGCCACCGAAAAAGGCCTCGAGGAACCCGTAGACACTGTACTGTCGGAGAGCTCGCCCAACGCGGTCACCCCTCGCCAATCCAGTTCCAGACCACTCGACGAGCTGAACAAACACCGGTCGGAACGCGGCATCATTGAGCTTGTAGATCATCTTGAGTGCCTTTTCGTTAAGGCTCTCTTCAATGGTGGCGAGCTTCTGCGAGGCTTGCTCGCTCAACTCGCCCTTGGCAGACTCCTGGCGGCGGAGATCAAAGGCCTTCTTCAAGATGCTCGACAACAGGGTCACGTTCTTGGAGATTCCAGACTTGGGGTGCTTATCAATGGCCAGGCCCAGGACATTGAGATACTCAGAAACCGCCTGCAACTGTTAGCAATCTGCTCATGTCAAACCAAGGGCATGTTCTTACAGAGAATCCGGAAGCCGTAGCGTTCTCCCAGTTTCGGTCCAAGCTCGAGAAAATCTCCTTCGCCTCGAGCTGCTTAGCCAGGAAATGGAGGCAGTCGACACGGCATTCCGTAGTTTCCTCGTCCAGGTCGATTTCGGCAGACTTGTTGGACACTTCCAGAATACGGTCCACATAGGTAGACAGCATGTAGGGGAGGTGTTCGGCAAGGGTGCTGATGAACCCGTAACTGGCCACGTGTAATTCTTTATCCACCTCTTCTCCTTCAATGCTCTCATTCAAGTACGCCACAGCCTGTGGGATGGCGCTTGGCAGGACTGGAATAATGGCGTCCTGGAGCACGTCCACGAGGGATGTCAAGCACAGCAGAGCCATGACCCGGAGACGCTGTTCAGACTGTCCCAGGCAATGCTCCCCAGCGATGGTAGCTGCAGCCCCCACAACGGCCTCGATGTCTTTCTTGCCATACTTCTCTGCAATCTTGTCCACACATGTAACCGCAGTGTGCTTGTACCGGATGTCGTTCGACTCCCGAATGCCAGCAGTGAGCTGGGGTAGGAAAGCCAGCAGCACTGCCCTAGAAGCAGGATCGGTGTTGCTTTCCTGTTCCACACGAACCTCGAGAGCACGGAGGACCTTTTGTCGGAGACCCATATCGGATCTGTCGAGGAGGTTCTCCACGGCCTTGATAAACTCGCCGATAGAGAGCAGATTAAGGTGGTTCTGGAGAGAGTGACCGCATTTGCTGTGAAGACTCTTAGTTGTCTTAACACCATCTGCCAGCACAAGAATATTCTCCAGAAGCGTGGCGTAAAGCTCGCGGGCCCTAGAGGCTTGCATGTCGTCCTGTTCCATGACTCCTCCGATTTGAGACTTGAGCTTCTTGCTAGACAAGAAGGTGGGGAATGCCGACAGTTGACGAAGAGCAATTTCTTGAATGTCCTTGTTGTTTCTGTCGTCACTAATACCCAGGAGAACAAATGAAATTCCAGGCTTGGACTTGAATAGATCGGCGATGAGATCCCAGAGCTTAACAAGGGTATCAAGCTGAGCCTCAATGCTAAAGTTGTTCAACAACTCAACGACAAACTGCAGAAGAGCATCACTCGGCCCATATCGATCGACCAGCATGCTAATGAGGCCATGAAGGAATTCCTGGGGTCCGAGGGTCTCCACGAGGGCAACGAATAAACCCTGTCTTCGGTGGGCTGGGATATGCTCGTACGCCGTGGTAAAGCTCACGAGTATATCTGACGCTCCGGCCACAGGGCTAGTCTGTCCCTGGCGCAAAGAGTCAATCAAAGGAGGGATGACCTCCTTGATTGTCTGGGAGACGACGTGAGCGGAGTAGTCATCGCTCTGTCGGAGCACAGAGGTGCCCATGAAGGTGAAAATGGGCATGACGCTGTGAAGTACCAGGTTGGGGGCAGTAGTGGCGAGGCTAGCAATCAAGAGCAACGCGGCGTTCTGAACGACGGGGCTAGACGACTTTTGAATGCAGTTAACAAGCAGGTCGCCATAGCCACCTGAGCTGTCGATCTTGAGCTTCTTGTTGGCCTTGTACGCTGGCATCATGGCCAGAACGCTTCGGAGAATCAGATTCTGCAGGTAGCCCAACTCGGATCCGACAACCGTTCTAAAGTGCTGGAGCTCCGAAAGAGCTGTGAAGAGGCCGTCGAGAAGCTCAGGGTGTTCCACTGGTTCGGAGTTCTCCACCAGTTGCAGAACAAATGTGACTTTTCGGAGCGCCTGGCTCAACTCGGGTGTCACCTGGGTGATCAAGCCCCGGTCACCACCAGAAGAGCTCGTGCGTCGTCGCTTGTTAGGGGGGGGCTCGGTGATCATCTTAGTTCCGGTTTGAATAGAGTCGAGGAAGAAAGACAGGATATCCGTAGTCAGCTTAACGTTCCTCAAAAGGTCAGCAGCTTCAGCGGGAACAATCGACGTAGAGTCACCAGAGCCTGCCGACTCCTGCGAGATCTCCAGCAATTGCTCGGCGGCAATAAACCTGAAATCGGCCTTCATCGGGGTCCACATCTTTCTGATGCGCGCAAAGATGGCCCGAATAAGGTCCGACTTTTCCCTCTGCTCAGGATCCCTGAGGAACTTCAAGAAGAACTCCAGTCCTGCAGTGTCGTTCGGAACAACAACATCAACAAATCGGGCGTCCATGTCTGACTTCTCAACACGCTCGGAGCTGCACAGCTTGGCGGCCTCCAGCTCGCTCAGATTGGCCCACCACTGCAAAGCCGGCAGGAGAAGTTGCGTTCTGGTGGTCGTTGAAACTCCTCGGATCTCGTTTACACACTTCAAAAGTCGGTTCTTGACCAAAACAAGGGGCGTATTGACAATATGAGAGGCGAGGAAAGTCAGAAGCGAGAGTCTACCTGGCTGGGACATGTGATCTTTCTTATCCAAGGCGGGATCGGGCTTCGATTGATATTTGCCTTGCTCAATCGAGGTTCTGAGAATCGCAGAGATGTGCTCAGGGTCAATCACACACTCCTCAACAGTAGGCAGGATTTGCAGGTGGAGCATCCTAGCGACAACATCTGGAGTAAGCGTTGCTGAATCCTTGGACTTGCCATACAGAACGCCCTCTCCCCAGGTAGCCATCCCACTCGAGGAGACTGGGGGGGTGTACAGAGTTGTAACCACAGTGATCAGGTCGGCGGCTGATTGTCGAACTCGCTTAGAAGGGTCGCTCACGGCTGCGATACAGTATGGGAGCAGGGACTGAAGATCAGTCTTATCTGAATCGCCAGCCTTGAGCCTTCTCTTGACCATATCCAGTGCTGCGACACGAGCCATCGCCGGGTAAGGGCCACACCAGATTCGAATAAAGAAGCCGAAGTAAGTGCAATCCTTGAACGCGGTCTCTCGCTGCAGCTTAGAGCTGCGTTCGAATTTGGCGAGCAATTCGCTATCCTGCGACTTCTCGGAGACGATAGAGAAGAAGATGTGGCTGAACTCGTCGAAAATCTCTCCCGGCTGCGGTACAAGGCAAGGCGACAAGCCCTCGGATCGACCAGAAAGCTCCTCCAACAGAACCCCAATATCCTGCGGCGTTTTGGACTGATCCACATCTGCCATCTCGTCGCCGTCTTTCGCGGTCTCGGGGAGTCTTCGAGAGCGGAAGGATAGATCGAGCTTCATCTCCAATTCCTCAATGTCGAATTTCACATCCTCGATCACAGATTGGATGATATCGCCCGACTTTCCAGTGTTCTGAGAGAGCGTGATAAGGGTAGATCCAAGTTCTCTTCGGAGTGCTCCATCCTTATCGTTGTCGTCGTTAAGTCGGTGGGCCGTCAGAATCAGGGATTTGAAAATGACAGATATTTGCTTGTCTTTCAGGATCGTGCTGCTCAGAATAGCCATGATAGTCGCAAGACCTCGCGGGTCGCCCTTCTTGGTCAGTCTCTCGATCAGGGCCAGGCACAAGCCATTGGCAAGTTTGTCGACTCGGCGCTCCTGGCCAATCTCGACGAGGAGTTTGCCAATGTCCGAAACCTTCATGAGAGCCTTCGTGGTCCTACCGCTCATTTGCTTGGCGGATCGATATTGCGCGAGGATAGCCAAACAAACGAGACCAGGTCGAACTGTGTCGTTGGTCCAGCCGTAGACAGTCTGATCCATGAAAGCTGTGACAGCAATATCCTCAAGGTTTCCCTTGGACACGAACACTGTGATGGCCATGTAAGAAGCAATCTGGATACTGGGGACCTTCTTCATAACCAAAGATTCCGCAAAGATTGGGCCCAGCCTATGAAGCAATGCCTGGTCGTTTTCGCTTTGGACAGCCGATCTACCCGACCTAGTCCTATCCAAGATACCGCTCACGGCTTCGGTCATAATACCGGCCCAGAAGGAGATCAAAGCAGGGTAGTTGTACTGCATACGGCAGGACTCGAGGGTGTACTCGGAGAGTAAAGTCAAGAACGCAGGATGTTGAACGGCCTGGTGGACCAAGACGGATCGTGGTGGCGAAGTTACAGAGCGGACGTAAGGATCAAGGAATCGGAACTCGTGGGGTATCTTGGTTGGGAGAATCGAGAGGAGGGTTGCAAAAGCCGGGATAGAGTGGTAAGGAAGGAAAGCCAAGAGCAAGGCACCGGTGTTTTCCTCGTGGATTCTTTTCGTGAGTTAGCTCACGACTTCTAAGCAGTTTGAGCACATCCATGACGTACCTGAATCGCCGAATCAACCATTCAATAGCCTTGATGGCGGGCATCAGCCTCAGTCGACTGCCAGCGAGGCGCAGAAAGGCCCGAACCCGTCGGTCCAGCTCCTGGTTTTCGGCCGCGGTGAGCTGCGTGCGGTCCTCATTCTGGCTCTCCTCGCTGAATATGGTCGACTGGAACTGAGCGAACCGAGAATCGAGCTGGCAGAGCTCCTCGAAGCCTTGGTGGCATGTGGTGTAGAGGACCTGGTAGCTCTGGGTCGCGGCGACTCGAGGCTCCCAGATCAACGACTTGGAATGGGCAGCCTTTTGCGCCTTGACGTTGAGGGTGGACTTGGAGTTGGCGGCCACCTGCGCCAATTGGGCAGCGAGAGAGGTCGCCATGATGACAAGCGCAGCACCTCGGGCTGCTGGAAGGTGTTGGTGGGGATGTCGATGCAACTTCGCTTCACAGCATCGAAGTGAAGCCTGCGCCGAAATTTTTTGGCTGGGAAAAAGACGAAGACTGGGAATTTTGTTATCGATAAGCCACCGCAAATCTCACTGGCGGCTTCTGTTGCTGCGGGCCATCCCACCACTGACCCACTCCGATTTGGTCATGGAAATTCTACCTTGAAGTACTTAGGGGCTTGTCAAGTTCTTACTTAACTGGTAAATAGATAATCCAGGTCAGATTGGATTACTATCTAATAAAAATGATTCTCGGCTTGCAGCAAGATATTCTAGTCAGAGTGAGAAATGCGCAGTCACATGAATACTTCCCATAGCATGCCCTTCCAAAGTACACCGATCTGAGCACCCTGAACCTCTGAGCACAGATCTCCATGGCCAAATTCATGCACCTCTGAAGAATACGCATGGTAGTAGTCTCACAGCAGTGAAATTCCCAATCAACTCACTCAATGTCCCGGGGGTCCCATTTACGGATGCAGCATTGTGCAAGAAGCCTGATTTGTTCAAGAAGTCTGTGTTACCTGGTCCACTTCGGATTCGCGATGGCAGCTCCCACGGCGCATAATTGGCTCGGAATCCCCTGCCGCGTCCTCTTAGTCGCAGGCAAACATGCAAGCACGCAGCGGCAAAGGACCAGCAGAATAGCGGGACGACGGGCAAAGAAGCCGCAAACATATCTGGCATGGTTTGGTTGGGCATTAAATAGGCGGCACCAACGAAGGCTACTATCTCACCTAGTCCAGTTTACTCATCCCTCAGCTCTATCTCCATACCCCGCGGCCAACATCAACAAAGTCTCGCATCACATTTGGTAGCACATTTCCACATGGCGGTAAGTCTCACTCCTTGTCTTTGGCTTGAATTCAATGAGATAAATCTGATTTCTCTCGATTATGCAAGGCTACATACCCCCAGCTCGTCCTCCTCGGAGACTCTCTGTTCCAGCACTCGGCCGAGACGCTTGACGGCTTCTCGTTTCAGGCGTCGCTGCAAACCTGTACGTCGAGGAAAACATAATGTGCTGCCAGTCCAAAACACTGATTGCCTCAAGATTTGTGTCGACGTGTAGATGTGTTGAACCGCGGTTTCTCGGGATGGAACTCGTCTCACGCCCTACAGCACGTCCCGGAGATGTTTCCAGAGCGCAACGGCGACTCGGGCCCCAAACTGGATTACCTCGTGAGCCGCCCAAATTCATGAATCACCATTACAAGCTCACCAGATACAGGTTATTCTGCTGGGTGCAAACGACGCTGTTATTGATCTCCCTACGACTGCACAGCACGTGCCCCTTGAGACGTACAAGGAAAACCTGACCAAAATCGTCAACCACCCTCGCATCACCGCCCACAAGCCCAAGATCCTGTTGGTCACCCCGCCACCACTGGATGAGATTAAAGTGACGGTCCGCGACATGAATTGGGGTCACTCCCAGGCGTGCCGAACGTCCGCCGTGAGTGCGTCTTACTCCGAGACAGCCCGCCAAGTGGCTCGGGAGAACCCTGGCGTGGTCCTCGTCGATCTTTGGCAGGCCATTATGGACAAAGCTATTGAGATGGCGCCTGGGGACTACCAGACTGGTGGGCCGTGGCTTGGCTCGCCCGAGAACGGCAAGCAGGGCGGACTAGATGAGCTTCTTCATGACGGTCTTCACATGAGCGGAAAGGCGTATCGGGTTTTCTACGATACTCTTCTTCCTCATATCGGTCAGGAATGGAAGTCTCTGCGAGCTGATGACCGCGCCGGATATGTCTTTCCTGACTGGAGAGAATTGACCGGCTTCAAATAGGCCACCTCTGGAGGAACACTAAGGGACCAAACGACCTCGAATCTAGACAAGTAGAATAGATATGCGCCAAGGCTTGGATAACTGCCTTTTTTTTTTAGATTTCTAGAAAGCTTTGGAATGAAACTCGGTTCTTTGGTCGGCCGTGAAACCATCGCCCGGAAGCACTGTGCATTGACTCCACTTGACTGTCGGAGCTGTCACAACTCTCTCCAACCTGTCACCATGTAGTGGCACGGCCACCTCTTCAAGTTACAAAAGTTTCAAGCTTTTCATGTGCCGAGCTAGCCAGTAGTCTAGATAGGTATGCAAACCCCTTGTCAAGATGTTAAATGCCAAGCTATGTCCCCAATCCCGGTCCTTTACCAACCATCCTGACTAACATGATGGCGGACGGTCTTTCTACGCTCTCGACATCTGCCTCATGTGGTCGGGCGTTTTTACTAGATCAGTTGTTTGAGCGTGACAAAAAAGAAGGCCAGAATCATACTGTCAATTCAGATATACGTTATTAGGATGAAGTAGGTGGCAAGAGATGATGCCGAGAGGTCAGGGACTTACCAAGGGCTGTCCGTGACTTTGGTACTGAATTGATCATGGCTGAGGGGCAGAAGGGGTCGGCTATATCACTTTTAGCGATGTGCAATGAGATATAAGTAGGGGAAGTTAAGGTGGCATTGGGTTGCGATTCGCCTTTGTCTAGAAGCGCAAGCACACGGGAGGTAATTTCCTATACAACCAGGTCGCTTCTCTTCGTCTACTCAAATAGAAACAGCCCTTCCACACCATCTAGGTAGCAACCTCTCTAGCGTCTATGCTCCATGTTCAAGGTAGCATCTTCAATCAAACCAATGGTCGCCAACCCGCCACCTCGGCCAAGTCATGTCTGGCCCTAACTTCGACAACGGTTTTTTTCTTCTTTTTAGGGAGACTCACTTCCATTCTCGTTTTCCAGTTTCACTTTGCGATTGACATGTGATTTTGCCGTCTCAGGCACGTTTGCGTAAGCCACGGCTGCACTGCAGGCTGCAGGACCTTCCACAGCCCAGTACGGAGGCCCAGCCCCGATATATCCCCCACTAATTACAGCCCTGCCAGCCTGGATTAGTGGGCGACAACGCCACAGGCGCTAGAGCAACCGCCACGTTAGCGCGGCCGCGGCGGTGGCCCAAGCCCCATCCATCATCCCTCCATCCCTCTTCTGTTGTCTGTTGGAGACGTCCATCCATCCAACTTTATATCCTCTTCATCCCACGCTCCCTGCGCCTTTCCCTCATCCTGCGACTCTCCCTGCACCCCCGACGATCGCATCCAAGAGGACTCCTGCCCCTTCCAACAGCTCCCTTCGCCCTTACCCCTCTTTCCGGTTTCTCGCCCTCGGCACCCTGCGAATCCGCCGCTAGCCGTCCCTCCCAACGTCCCAACCTAGACAGACAATAACGGAAACCCCCTTTCCTCGACTCCAAGACCCCACGAATACCCACGCCAGCTTCTACCTCGCCAGCTCGTTCGCCTTTTCCGATTTCGACTTCCGCCTAACACCTTCCTAACCGAATCCCCATCGAAGTACCGCCACTCTTTACTACATCCGGGGGTTACAACGAGGCCCGTTCTCGACTTCACGATCTCGGAGTTGTATCGATTCATATCGACACCCTTAGTTGCGAACCGCAGCACGCACACATCACCAGTTCTTAACCGATTGATTTTTAATCCTGTGGCCATCTTCACAAACGAGCGATTCTCCCAGATCGCCCCCTCTTCGCCACGGGACCTCGTGGTCTTGCCAGGCGATGTGGCGGGGGAGGTGGACCTCGTGAACTGATACCTGGGGATCGAGGTCGGAAGTGCCCAACAGACTTATCCGGAAAACAGAATCTGCGCACAGCTCGTGGTTCCATGAAGTGCAGCGACTAATCACGACTCCTCAACCCTCCGCCTTTCGGAAGCGCCCTCCCCTTCCGTCGGTTCTCCGAACTCTTAATTCTTCCCTGGTCATCCAGCTTCTCGCCTGCCATTCAGCCTCCACCATTTCCGTTTGATTGCCTCGACTACAACTCTCTGGTGTTTTCAGTCTTCTGCACTCGCTGGGGATGGATCCACGATTCGCTACCAATCGCGAGGATCTGTATAACTTACAGATGGAACTGAAGCAAGTCCAATACACGCAGAGCAATCATGCAGAGCGACTTTTGCGATTGGAGAAACGACAGGCAGATGATGCCGCGTTGAAGTCGGTTTGGAACTCTCCTTTTCCTGGCGTCCTTGGTGGCACACCACAGCAAGGTATGTCAAACGCCTCCCTTTCCCGCTGGAACTGTGAATGACTCTAACCGCGTATACCCAGGCCCAGTTCAAATGCCCCACGCTGACGTGTTTGATGACTTGGATGAGCAGGGTGAGCAACTTCTGGGCTCCCTCCATCTGGGCCCCGCGGAAGAAGAGCCAGTTCGTCGGGGTGCCGCTTCGCGAGCAAATAGCGTTCGCTTCGATGAGAGTGCCTTGCACGGATCCAACTGGGGTGGCCAGAGCAGCCGCCATTCAGGCGATTTTGGCCCTGTCCGGCCCGGCAGTGGCCTCATGATGGAGCGCTCGCTCTCTCACAAGTCTGATGGAAGGCACAGCTCCGCCGGACATTCGGTGCATTCCCACCACTCTGTTGCGTCGGGCCGAGCCAGCAGCTTGGGCCTCGATAACAACTTTGCGGTTGGAGATGATGACGACGATTCGTTCAACATACCCGAACCCCCTCCTTCCTTCTTCGTGCTTGGGACAGTCCCCTCGATAGCCCGGTGCTGGCTGACAACCAACTTTGCCCATGGCACCCTCCTCTATGCCGATATCTGCTCTGGGTCTCAGAAGTCCACCGTCGAATTTTCCCTTCTCAAGGAACTTGACCTTCTGGATGAAGTCCAACGCGACACTGACGGGGTATACCGCATTAGACTGAACGTCTACTTTGCTGAGGCTGTCATCACCCATCATGGAAATCGGTCTGACCGGTCTGACAGCCCCAGGGCGCCAGTCCCCTCCATCACGGTCTTCTTTGAGGTCTCTGGAACAGAGCAGATCGCCCAAGGCATGGATCGGAAAGCGATTGGAATTTTCTTAGGCAGCGATGCCCTGCGGGCTCACTCTGCCGATATCCTCTTCTCGCAAAACACAATGACCCTCTACGGAGACGAACGAGAACGACTGCAGGTACCCTTTGTACGCCCCGAGGATGATACTGTGTTCCGGAACCTCTGCACGACCAACCTTATCCCTGAGAAGCACAAACTGAATGCCAGTGCCGCGCCGTTTGTCTTGGGCGAGGCAGACCAAGGCATGACTCAAGAAGGGATTTCGGACGCAGGATCCAACGCTTTGCATGACGATGAGTCCCATAGCGGCGTCTCCCCTATGGCTTCTCAGGTCGTGCCTAGCAAGGACCTTGAGCCCAGCAGCAGCCTGTCCGATGCGGGCGGCGACGGCGATAGGCCTGGCAGAGACACCAATGGCTCCGAGTCCGGCAGTAGAGAGGGAATGGGCGGGTCGTCGTCATCGGAGCCTCGCCGGGAGTCTTCTGCTGGCATATGGGGATCTTGGCGCCAGGGGACGAGCAATGGAGCTGACGGCTCCCGGGAGAGTGGGCCGCTGAGCGGATACCAGCCGGCGGGCCGGGGCAACCGCAACATGAAGGTCTTGAAGCCCCAGAAATCGGGCTCGACATCTGCTAGAACCGGTGCGTCCTACGAACCCCCTCCGTCGTCCAAGGCCTCTAGCGAAGGCCGACGCAAGAGCCAACCCATCCTTGGTGGAGAGAACGGCAATAGATGGGATACGAAGCGGGTAGCAAGCATCAGCGGGGAACCGAAGTCGCAAATGCAGCCTCAGCCACAGCCGCAGCCGCAGCCGCTCGGGAATCGTGAAGTGCGTAACGCGAATGCGCTGCCGCGATCCGCCAACCCCGTCGGCGTTGCTTCAGCCTTCTCATGGATGACACCGACGATGAAGCCCAAGGGAACTACTACGGGCATGGAATAACCTAGGGCAGTGATGATGGGTAGTTCGGTCCAGTTGTTTGTGGTTCCAGTGCCTGTTTACTTCTTTTTTGGACCTCTCTGTAGACCCCCCCACGTCCCCCACGAGGCATGTTTTCGACTAGAAATAGTAGAGGAGGAAATTCACATTGAACCTACAATCGAGGCAAGGGATGGTGATGATGTGGTAGTCACGGCAGTTGTGTGTGATGAATAGCTTGTCAGAAAAGGAGACCCCATCAGGCTCCATGAAAAACAAATTAAAGTTGCGAAATGATGGCTTCTTTGGCATTGGTCTCTTTGGCTGGTGCGATATGAGTGTTGTCTATGCTGGGCGTCGGCTTGCTCGTGGTTTGCATACTGATGTCGTTGTTTCTCAAATCTTGGGACCAGGGGGCAGCGATTCCCAGACCTTCTTGGTATCGGCCATGGACCCCTTGACGACGTTGAAGAGCCCCTTGAAGGCTGTGTGAGAAGCATCGCCAACGCACTCGTACATCCAACTCTCGCTCGACGTGACGGTGATGCCGGGCTCGGAGCGCAGGCGATCCAGGGCGACGCCAACCTCGCCAGGGTTGCACGACGAGACGCCGTCGGCGAGGACGTAGACTTTGTGGCCGGCGTCGCGCAGGTCAAGCGCGGTCTGGGTGATGCAGATGTGCGACTCAATGCCGACAAGCGCGATCTGCGAAGGCACGGGCAGGGCGGCAGCGACAGGCGGGATGTACATGGAGAAGCGCGTCTTGTCATGCGGCGGTGACGGGAGCAGCTCGGCCAGGACAGAGACGGTCGGGCCGAGCTTGGCGGAGGTTTGCGTGGTGGCTATGACGGGGATGGAGAGCGGCTTGGCGAAGTGGAGGAGCTTTTGGGTGGTGAGGACGCTGGGTGAGAGGTGTCAGCATATGTCGCGAGTGAGTTGGTGAGGGTTGAGTTTTGGTGTTGAGGGGTGAGATGGAGGGGTGAGATGCTGAGCCTCGGCAAAGCCATGGCGGTGGGCATATATACGCGTACATCTTGTCAAACTCGTGGATGGCATTGCGGAACTTATCCTGGATGTCGCAGACACTGAATTAGGGGTTTATTTAGTTTTTCATTCATCTCTCGGTCGTCTTGAGACGTAGCACATAGCTTACAGAATCGCTGGGCTCTCTGTAGCTCCGGGTCAGATTACGTCCTCTCAGCACAACGATGAGGCTAGGAAACTCACTGAACCGCAGCTCAGTCGGCGCGGAGGAGGACATGGTGCGAAACGCAGGTCGCTCGGCGAGGCGGTTGTCTATCCTGGAAATGCGCAGGAAAGGAGAAGCAGAGATAGGGGAAGACGGCTGAGGCGAGCGACGTTGTTGCGAATAGCGGCGGCGGAGACCAGGTTGAAGTTGGAGGTAAAGTTGCGATCTACACAGGCCACGTCGACAGGGGAGGGCTCTCGAGCTAGCCTGCATCACCGGGGAAATAGGACGACGGACTAGCTTAGTCCAAGGGAGAAAAGTCCAAGGGAGAAGAGAAGCAAGCGAGCAAGGTGGATTTAATTGAGCCGGTTGCACATCAAACAGTTAGGTCGTCACTCAGAATGCAGGACATGATGGATCCACATGCGAGAGACACCGAGACATGCGGCCTGAAGGAGATTTAATAGTGGCAAGATAGAAGGCTTCAAGCCATTTGCCGCCATCCGTCATCGCGGGGCAGCGGAAGCGGGGGGGGGGGGGGTCCAAGTTAATTAGCAGGTGCATTAGCGGGGTTTTACTGCGTTCAGTGGGCATTGGTTATTGGTTGGGGGGTGTTTACAGCGTGTTCAGATGCTCCGGGGGCCTGGATTACTGCGTGTTTCTGGAGCTCCAGGGGGCTTGCATTTAGGGGGCTTGCATTTAGGGGGCTTGCAGCGCTGGGTGTAATGTCCTGGGTGTGTAATGACCAATTCTATACTTTTATATTCCGTCTATCAAACATTCATTCAATGTTACAGTTCCCTCGCAATGCAACGTCTAAATAAAGAAAAAACGCGATCAGAAACATCCCCAACTCCATGATATGCATCCATGTCCTATCAAGCATTAACCTCTGCAAACCACGTCCGCAACAGCCCCGCCAGTGCGTTCGGCAGCTCGTCCAGATGGTGCACAATCAGATAGTACTGGAACGGGAATGTGTCCAGGTATCGCTCAATCACCACCCGGCTCTCTCCGCCGTCCCGCACAAACTTGGCCTCCTTCAGCTCCAACACGCTGTCTCCCTTCTTCTTGTCTGTGTCGTCCATGATGATGAACACGATCATCACCCGCTCCTCCATCGCCTCGCGTAGTTGTCGTCGAATCGACTCGTGCGCCGATGATGGCGTCAAACCGTCCGAGAGGATCAGCGCCAGCTGCCACAAGTCAGACCCTCCACCGCTCTGCTGGCGTGCCCTTCGGAACGTCTCCATTGTCTCACGGATGAGAAGTCCAATGTCAGTTCGGTCCTGTGCGAAGCCAAACTTCTGAAGCACCTTGGCACCCGCATCAGATGCGAACGGATCTGTCAAGCGATGTGCCGTGAAAACGTCTGCTCCGAAGCCCATCACGCCCACTTGGCCGGCCTCCAACATTGTCAGCGATCGCGACACCATCACCAGAGACTCCATCGCTAGCGTGCCCGACGATGACTCTCCCATGCTCTTGCTGTCGTCCACGCAGAGCATGATTTGATATGTGCGCTTCGTCGGGATGGCTCGTCGCATCCAGATCTTGTCCCGCTTGTAGCTCGATGCAATGTACGGGATAATGCGCTTAATGTTCAGCCGCTTACCCGTTCGGAACGCTCCAGAGAGCTTTGTCGACTGCGATGGCGTCAGGATCAGTCGAAGTTGCGATGTCAGAGCCAACGACAGCGAGTGCGTCTTGGTTTGAAACTCTGACCATTGCTGCATCGACTCCCCAAAGTCCCGAAGCGGCCGCTGGTCATCCGAGATGTGCGTTGTCGAGAGTTGCGTCGATGTCTCTTGAATCTGAGCCTCGTCGTCGTCCTCTTCTGCCATCGGTGCGTCTGCTTCCGAAGGGGTGGATTCACGGTTGTAGTTCCCTTGTCTCGTCTTCACGCCCGATCGGGTATCGTCTTGATCCTTGTCGTCGTCCTGCTTGTTCGCATCGGGCGCATCCGCCGAATCAGTGACGTCCATCTTGTCGGCCTCCTGCTCAGCCTCTTCATCCTTGTCTTCCTCCATCAGGCGGCTGGAAGGATCTTGCTTCTCCTCATCAATCGCCATCGACTCATCCATGGGCTGGACTTGGTCATCGTCTGCCGTTCCCATGGCCTGTGTGTCTGCAGCGGTATCATCATCTTGAAGATGCTGGAATTCCCGTCGGCTCTGGTCTGCATCAGGGTCCTGCTGCTGATCTTGCTGGTTGTCGTCCGTGGGGTCGGCGCTCTTGATGTCCTCCTGCTGCCGGTGCCATCGTTCCAGGGCGTCGCCAAGCTTCTTGAACGGGTCGCTGCGTGCCGAGTCTGCACTGTCTTGTTCTTGCTCAGCCTTTTCCATAGTCTCCTTCGATCGAGACATGGATCCCTTATTGCCCGTGCTTGTGTCTTGGTCGGCAGCTCCATCGCCCATCTCACCGTCTTCTTGCTGAGCTGCGTTGCTCTGGAACTTTTCGTCCACATCCATGGACTCAGCATTTTGATCTTGGCCAGAGCTCTTGACATCGCTAGGTGCGGCGTTGTCTGTGTCCGCAGTGGCGTTGTCCTGGGGTGGTTGAGTCTGATCCGTCTGTTCTTCAGATTCGTCGGGCTTCTCCTCTTCTTCCTCAGACCGAGGCTCTTCCTGGACTTCGTCGTTGGCCCCAGTCTGTTCTTCGGCCTTCTCTTCCTCTTCTTCACCGACCTCCGGCTCATTTTCTTCGGCTTCTTCTTGAAGCTGTGCCTGAGCAGCGCCATCGTCAGACTCGTTATCCTTGTCGTCGCCCATTTCCTGATCCTCGGCCTCTTCTTTCTCTTCCTCAATGTCTGACAGCGCGTCTAGATCATCGCTGTCTGAGCCCGATTCATGCTCATCGCCAAGATCTAAGTCCATCTCGTCAGGGAGAGCCAGAGTGTCATTCTCCTCTGCGGTCTGCTCTTGTCGATTCATCTCCTCCTGAGCCTTGACGTCTTCTTCCTCCGCATCGGTATCTCCATCCTCCTGCTCGCCAGTATCGTCCATCTCTGGCTCTTCTTCGCCACCCTGCTTCTTCGCATCTTCATCGGCTGCCATCTGCTCATCGTCCTTCTTCTGGCCCTTGGCCTTATCTCCTTGCTGATCTTTCTCTGCTTTCTCCTCATCTTCTCCATCCCACATCTTCTCGTCCACGGCGGTAGGGTCCAGGTCATCAACGTCCCCTGCTTCCTCGTCAATATCGTCATTCTCCTCTTCCTCGTCCCCCTTTTTAGACCCTTCTTCGTCATCGTCGGCTCCATCAACGCTGCCCATGTCACCCTCCAGTTCTTCGTCTGCCATGTCCACGGCATCCTTTTCATCCTCCATCTCTCCGCTTTCCTCTTTGTTGACTTCCTGGGCGAGTTCAGAGAGGTCTTCGTCTGGCTGGATATCCTTGCTGATGTCTTCGGCACCCTCTCCATCTCCAAGGCCAGTTCCCGATTCTACTTGGTTCGACTCGCCAGACGTCTCGTCAGACTTTTCTTGAGGCGTGCAGAATCCCTTAGAAGCAATTTGGGTGAACGACTTAGTCATATTGTAGGCCATGTGTGCCAATGCCCCATGGATGTTGACAACTTGGGCAACGGATTGCTGACTCAAGGCAAGGAACTCAACCATGATGGGAGTTGCAACAGCCATCAAGCCCATGGCTGCTTGGCTCAGCTGCGGTTGCTCCAAGTCAATATGCTTCATCATTTCGATACACCTCGCGGTGCTCTTTTCGACTTCATAAATGTGAAGCTTCTTGATCAGAGACAGGAACCCATCGCTATGCTTTGTGAGCCAGCCAGCTTCATCCTCCTTTCTGGGAATTTCTGTTGCCATCTTCCGTGCTCCCTCGACAGCTACGAGAACCTTGTCGCAGAGTGTTGAAATGGCATTGGCGAAAGTCGACAACTCCAGCTCCGATGTATGCGTATCAACACTGTGCGCTGTGATATCAGACCAGCCAAGCATTTGCTGGAGAACGAAGCCCAGATTCGGGTGCTGCGAGATCATATTGTCAAGGCTGCTTCGGAAGCTCTCCAGTTCAGTAGAGAAGTCTGATTCCACCTTCACTACCCCCCCTGAGACCAAGCCTTCGGGCAGTTTGCTGAGGGCATGGTATGTAGTCTGGAGTGTTTGGAATCGGCCAGACCAAGAACTCAACTCTCCTAGGACCGAATCATGTTTCGTCTCCCCCAATTTTTCGTGAATCTGAATGAGACGGCTGGCGAATTTGAGTACCTCAATCAACCAGGGAAGAAGGCGATCCCAGTCAGAGCGAGTGCTCTTGCGGACCAAAGCACCATTATCTGTGAAATTTCCGAGGCTTTGGAACTGACTCGTTGATTTCTGGAGTGCTGATAGCGACTGAGCAGCCAATGAAATGGAGTTCCTCTGAACCAAAATAAGGTTGAGCATGCCCTCGACAAATCCAATACTTCGTCCAACCTCGGCACTGGTAAGATCCTCGGAGTGGTCTCGGGCGGCACTTCTTGCCTTGGGAGCGAGGTCGAGGATCTTGTGGAAGTAGTAGTCAATTGCTTCCATCGACTTGCTCCCGGTGAGCTCGACTGGTTGAACAAAAGCGAGGACAGCCGATAGTGAATCCTGCTCAGCAAGTCTGTCCTGTCCAAGGTTGAATTTCAGGCCCATCTGTCGGAGGTCGCGCAAAGTATCCGCGAATAACTTCCGCTTCCGTATTTTGAGATGCTTGATTTGGTCTTTGTTTTCGTCGGTCAAGAATGGAGGGGTTTCTTTCCGCAGCTCAGCCATCGACTCATTCAAGCTTGCGATGAAGTCATCCACAGCTTGAGGAACTGCGCTACTCATTTCTGGTGAATTGGAAACCCTCCGCATCACGGAAACCGTCTTCGAAACATTTGCAAGACGTCGGTGGCTATCGATCCATCCAGGCATGGTCTTGCTCAGGCGAGAGAAGGCCTCGGGGAGAACCTCGACAGAGGCACGCTTCTCAAACGGCTGGGATTCCCGTTGCACATCTTCATCCGGAAGACCTTGCTCGATGATTTGCTTAGCTTCTTGGCCGAGGACGCCGCGGAACTTTCTGACAAGGCGGAAAAGTTTCTGGTGTGACTTTCGGGCACTTTCTCGCAGAGCATTGATATTCGTGTCCTTCCAGCTGGCCATGAGTAGGACATCCTTCATTTTCTTCTCGATCGGCAGACGTCCTTTTTGGATGGCTTCGCCCATGACCTTTTCGTACCGGGCATAGTAAAGAATGAAGTTGGCCAGTGAGTTGATAATGGCATCCAACAGAGGATAGTCTGTAACCAAAAGCCGCAAATGGCTCTGAAGTTGTCTGAGCAAGGCCAGGCGAGCCTTGAACTGGCCAATGATGGAGGTCGAGAAATAAACTCCCAGATTATCAATGAGAGAGGTTGCGTAAGCCTTCAATTCGTCGGCCGAGTCCACCATAGACAGAGGGACGGCAATGACAACCTGGTAGGCAACAAACCACCAGGAGTAAGCATCATTCTCGCATTTCTTCTGCTCCATGTCAAAGAGATTGGCCCAGGTTGAGAGCTCCAATCGTCGCCAGCGAATCACAGTGTCAGTAAGAGCATTGTGGAGAGGAAGAACCGTGTGTACACGACTAGCCCATCCTCCGAACTGCCACTCGTAAACATGACTGTGGAGATATTCCACCTTCGGCAAGATCTTGATCAAGGGCTCGGTGTGGACCAACTCAAGAAGCTTATCGCAAGCCTCCAGAACATCTACCAGCGGTTGCATATGTCCAATTTCGTCGACAAGTTGGAGTTCGCGGAATCGAGCCTTGATCTTGTGAACCAAAGCAACAAGTTGACGCGCTTCGGGAATATTCGCGTCAGTGTAGATGTTGTAGGACTTATCAACTGTGGCCGAGAGCGATTCGATCTTGTCACTGGCCAACAGCATTGTACTGGCCAGCATCTTGCTCGTCAGGCCACGATCGATGTTGGAATGATCCGCAGTTTCAATGCTAACGCGATGTCCCACGATCCGGCACAAATCTTCAAGGGCAGCCGTTGGCTCCTTTCGATCAAGGAAGATTCGCTTGTGAACTTCTGCCACTCGCAGGGATTGATCACGAACCTCATCTCGTTTGTTGGCGGGAGTGTTGTTGGTAGCAGCTTCATCGCCATCATAGCTGGGGAAAAGTTCGTTGAATTCCTCAGCATCAAATTCTTCTTCATCTTCCCAGCTACCTCGGAAGCGGTACAGACTACCATTGGCAGCCGCTTCTTTACGGTCCGCATCAAGCCTCTTGGTCCACTCGTCGTAGAAGCTGTGGAAAGCTTCAAAGACCAATTCACGGGCTCGAGGGGTAACAGTGCCGATGTCTTCTACGGTGACGACGGCACCCATATAGCTCAGGAACTCGAAGCTTCTTCCCGAAAATGCACCCGTCGTTTGGTTCCACATCGTACCTCCCAGGAATGGCGTAACTTGAAGGAGTTCTTCGGAAGCAGGAGTAAGCTTGACGGCCGAGTTTGCATCGCACAAGGAGAGACCAATCAAGAGACATCGCAACAGGTTTGATGTTGGTCGCGTCATGTCTTGGTAAGCCTCAAATCGAGCAGAAAGTCGATCCAAAAGTCGAAGGACGTTTTCTCTGACGAGCTTCAGCTCTTCGGTAGCTCGTGCTGGGTCAGAGTCGATGAACTGGAGAGCTGAGGCCAAACTAGGACCAGTGACAGCTTTCAGGACGTTGGAAAACTCAGCATGTAGTCGGCTAAGTTCCGATTGCTCTGGTCTGTAGATCGGCTGAACCTCTTTTGGCAAAGGTCCGAGGTCAACTAGCTCTTGTTCCCGGATTTGAATGCGCTCGTTAGTATCTTGTCCGGTGGAGCGTTTCTCGAAGGCTCGCAAAGCAACAATATGGTTATTCAGGAGGTCGTGCATATCTTCGAAGAATTCTCGCTCCATCTTGGGTCGGCTTTGCGGATCAAAGACACGGTCTGGGACGTAAAGCTTGACAGCTCCCATGCTGAAGTGAATCCACGCGAACGCAGAAAGGTATGTCTGCTTCTCGGGTGCTTGTTGCGCTGCAACCAGAGCCTTGATGACTGGGATGAAGTGCTCAAGAGTTACTTGTCGGAAATGCTCAGCTTCGATAGCACCCAAGAGATCGTTGAAGATGGGTGAGTCAGAAGACATATCAACAGGTCCCTGGGACAATATCTCCATGGATGTGGCGGCAGCATCTCTGAGGTTGTCTCCATGGGCCTTGAAAACCTCCAAAACCAGCTTCCACAGAACTTGGTTCAATCTGGACACTGGATCAACCGCAAGATTGGCTGTAAGGTTGGCAAGCTGCCGCACAATAATTGGTAGCTCAGCTTCCAGCAAGGCCAGTGAATTGAGACTGACAGACCCCAAGGCCTCCAACTTGGACCAGAATGAGGTTGAAAATTTTCCATCCCAGGAAAACTGGTTCTGGTAAACCATGTTTTCGACAGATTGCAGAAGGGCTGCCTGCCTGCTCGAGCTAGCAAGCATAATTCCAGCCCTTGTAGGAACATCAGATAAGACCATCAACTCCTGGCTGGGCTGGTCAGGGCCAGAATCATTGCTCAAGGAGGTAAGCAGTGAAACCTGGCGCAACGTCTCGAACTGGGAGGCGAGGAACGGCTTCAGGTCGACTTCTGTTGTTCCTATCCGGGCTTCCAGAGACTCGATCTCGGTGGTAAGATCGCTCACGAGTTCGTCAGCGTTTGCAACTTCACCTCTAAGAATGCCTGACACCTTCTCAAGGGTAACCATGGCCTTTGACAGATCGGGAATAGATGCTCCAGCCTTCCATCGAAGTGCATCGAATCGGGCACCGAGTTTCTCGACCTCCATAGACCGGTCCAGGATCGCTTTGGTGGGCATTGGAGTCGGTCGGAATATTTGCCAGAGTATTTCCATGCTCAAGCCCGTTGACAACTTGAAGCCACTCGTGAAGGCTTCGCTCAACTTTTCTATGAGATGAGACACGAAGGCGCGTTCATGGCTCCCGAGCGATGTATCAAGATGCTTCTGCAGGAGATTTGCGCCTTGTGCAAGGTGGGCTTGGAACTTGGCCTCATCAAAATCGATCTCCGACGACAGCTTAATGGTTCGCTCAAGATAAAGTCTCACGGCTCGAAGGATCCGAACTCGCTCCTAGTGTGTGTTAGTAAGAAGAGGTGCAATATTATCAACGTAATAACTCACCATCCACGTGTCGAATGACTCAAAATTGAATCCCAGCCATTCCCGCATTGCGACAATGACGGATTCTAGGAATGAGGCAAGCTTGACTGTCGAATCTTTCGACACAGCGGCAACTCGGTCACTGATCAATGATCTTTGAAGCCGGTTCAAAGACGACAATTTGGTAGCTTGAGCTTGCCTGTGGTGATCTTCCAAGTTTATCTGGAGCTGGTAAATGTCACGATGGAACTCAAGACACGCGGCAAGCCACCTTTCTTGGTTAGGGATAGGCAACAATTGAGCGACAGGATAATTGATGAGGGGGTGGATTGGCTGCCTTTGAGTAAGCGGTGTACACTTGGTCCAGAAATAGTTCAAAACATACCTGGGCGTTCGACAGTCCAATGGAATAGGACTCGGGGAGAGTAGAGTACAGACGATGAATGGGGGTAACACCATTTGAGCCATCTGCTGAATGGAGGAACTTGACCAAGTCTTCCAAACTTTGGGATAATTCAGGTTTCTCGGCATCTCTACCAGGAAGGTTGCTTGCGTAACGAGGAAGAAGCGACACGTCCGCAATGGAGAGGGCTTCAAGAGCAGTTTGAGTTGCATCAAGGGATCCAATGTCGCCAGAAACAGATTCCGATATCTGTTGAGACCTATTGTATCTTTGCAAGCTGCTTTCAACATTTGCTACCCTGCTGAAGCAAGCTTCAGTTGCGGGGGGCTCGTTGTGAATGTGAATCTCAACAGCACGGTTCCTCATCGCACGCGAAAGCTCGCCATACCGAGGGTCCATTGTCAAGAAGATGCGGAACTCAGGGTGAGGCTCGACAATTCTAGGTTCGCCGCCAGGGCCACAGTGCTCGTTGATACTCAGGAACCCATGGGGTTCGAGTAGGGAGTTCAGTCTGTCCAAAACTGAAGCATTGCACATATTGGCGTTATCAAGGACTAGCCACTGGCCCATCTGTAAAGCCTTTACAATGACTCCATCAAGCCACTCAAAACGAGGGTTATCCAGTACCAGTGGGCCTTGGAACAGGGCAAGAGTTTTCGAAAGGGATACCGTGACCTCAGATTCCACAGGAATACGTGTAAGGAGGGATTCGATGCAAGAAGCGATGGTGGCGAGTGTATCCATGTCGCCAGAAAAGCTATCGAGAAGGTGAAGGAGCTCCAAGGCTTCTGTGGGAACCTCAGCTGGCACCGCAGACATGATGGAATTCTGCATCTCATCCTGTAATCCCTTGAGCGCGGCATTGACCTCTCGCAGAGGATCGGCCTGTTCAAAGCCACCAACAAGATCCATGGTGTCGATGTCGGCGTTCATGGGGAAAACAACAAGTGACTTCCCGGCCAACGCAGCGACGTGCTCGAGAAGAACAGACTTGCCATATCCTGAGGGGCTGCTCAAAATACATGGAATGTTTTGCTTCACACATATCATGAGGGACTCCAGCTCAGGAAGTCGCGGAACAATATCAATGTTAGGGAGTCGCTCTGGCTGAGAGTTGAGCTGCCGGTTGAGTAGAGCAAGACCGACTTGGCCGAATGTAGAGTTGATGTCATGGTAGAGGCTGTGGCGGCGAGGTGGCGAGCCAGAAACGAGACCAAAGAGCTTGTTTATTTCTTCTCGGTCTCTCTCGGTCCGGAACCGCTGTCTGACGATGATGTTGAGGAAATCGTCCACTTGCGCAGTTTGGAGGAGTGGGTCGGACGAGTTGAGGAGCTTCAGCCACCGGAGGACATCACGAAGGTTGAACTCCCAAGGGCTTCCCTGTATGCCGAATGATTTTGTAACCACGAGCTGATGCTCGAGTTGGGAAACAAACTGGATCAACTGGTTGATAACATCGGTCGAAATCTTGGGGTAGTTGTGTGCTGCAATCAGCTTCAGATCATCCTCCGAGAAAACATCCGCGTAAACGACGATAAATCGGTTGACGAAGGAGCTGGGTAGTCCCTTACGGCCGCCTCCTTGGTGGTGGGGGTTCTGTGCAGCAAAGAGTCGGAAATCAGGATGGCGCTTGAAGACTTGGTCCAGTTCCGAGACGTAAACCTCACCACGATGGTCAAGACAGGCATTCAATCCCTCAAGCACGGACTGCGAGGCAAGATTCATCTCGTCCAAGAGAACCCATTCACCCTTCTGCATGGCCTGGAGGAATGGCGCGTCTCTCCACGCAAAGTTTCCAGCTTCAGCGCCTTCGACTGGCACATCGGTACCAAACAGATCCATCAAGTCAGTCTGGTCTGAGAGGTTGATCCTCGTCAACGGCCGTCCACATGCCTGAGACAGGGCTGCAACAAGAGTAGTCTTTCCGACACCTGGGCTTCCTTCAAGGAGAATTGGCTTTTGCATTTGCAATGCTCGAAGGACTCTCATGGCATTAAGACGTGTGGTAGGGGCATGGAATGCGAAACCTGGGTCTGCCATACCAGTCGAGTCACGCGGGATGCTGAAATGCCCAATGGTGAGAGACTTTTCGTCCATCGTCGGCTCAGGGTGTGTCTCGTACACTTGAGACACATCTTTACCGATGAGTTCGCCCAGTTTTGCGACGCACTTCTGTCGTTGCTCATTGATTGACTTTGGATCGGTGGCTAGAATAGCCGAAGGGTTTGCGCCAATGCTGTCAATGAAAATGGTAGAAGCACCATGCACTAACGAAACGACAACATCTTCCGACTGGAAATTGTTGATGAACTGGACCCAGACCAGGATCTCTCGGATAGAGAAGGGGGTTGTAGCCATTGACCTGAACGTCTCTCCAAACCATTCTGCGAACTTGACGATGACCTCCACCAACTTCTTAGAGTTACCCACGAGCTTGGTCTGAACGATATCGTAGATATCCTCGGTTCCAGATAATGGAGGTACCCAAATCTCAGTGAATCGATTTCGCAAGGCAGGCGACAGCTCCTTCTTGCCAAAGTCACCACCGGGGTTCATGGTGGCGAAGAACTGAAAGCCGCTCGCTCCAACCACAAAGGAGTTGTCGATTCCTTTCTCGGCCAACAAGAGCGTTCTCTGAGGCTCCAGAACAGAGTTCAGTCTCTCGAGAACGGAATCATCAGCCAAAGAGATTTCATCAAGGAGGAAGAAGTGGCCTTCTCTCATTGCTTCCACGAGACTGCCATCTGCCCACTCAAACAAAGCCTTGCTTCGTGTCTCGCTCGATGCTATCTTTTCTCTGATCTGTTCGGGGATATTGTCAATGATCGACTGATCAAGAGCCTTGTATCGTTCAAGTCGGTCCTCAACAGTGCCAGATGTGTCCAGACCCAAAGGTCGTAAAACAGCTTTCAAGTCCACATCCAATGCCTCAAGAATGGCTCCTCGGTTACGGACCGGTCTCTGGGAACCAATGAGATCTCCCGTTTCCGTGTTCTGGTGGGCATTCACAATATGAAGCTCCTTCTGCAATGCCTCGGCGAGGAGTTGGCAGACAGTGGTTTTTCCACAACCAGTTTCGCCAACAAGGAGAACCGGTTCATTGTTGCGTAGAGCTCGAGCGACGAGCACATAAAGACGCCGCATGGCATGAGTCCAAACCACACCTTGGCTATTCTCTTGTTTGCTATGGTGCTTGAGCTCTGGTGCAGCGTTCGCAGAATACATCTCCTGTGTGTCAATTTTGACCTTGAACACCTTTTCAATGACATCCTTGACAGCAATGCGTTCTTCCTCATCTCGAACTCGCTCGGCAAGCAGCATGAAACCATGCGCAGCAATATCTTCTCGAGTTTCGGCTTCTCGCAGTGCCCATCGGAATAAGTCTCGAAGGGTAGCAAAACTGTCTTTCTGTTCAAACACTCTGCTAGTTTGTCGCAATCGGGAGAGTTCTTTGTAAACAGTCACAATTCGTTTGCAGTCAGAGGGAGACGTATTGCGGCTTCGCTGCTGAAGGATGAACTCCAATTCGTCTTCAGGAATATCATCGAAGTGCAATTCGAGGAATCTGTTCCGGAAAGCCCGAGAAAGCACTTTTCTGCCGCCATAGAGACCAGGAGGGTTCTGTGTAGCGAAAAGGATGAAGTTCTCATGGGGCCTGACGACTTCTTGGGTTTCAGGGATCAACAGTTCTCGGTTGTCGTCCAACAGTCGATTCAGTGCTTCCAATACGTCTGTGGGTGCCAAGTTGAGTTCATCGAGGACGATCCAGTGACCCTTCCGCATCGCTTGCACGAGGATACCTTCCTGGAAACGCAACTTCCCGTCTGATCCGGAAACATAGGTGCCAAGATACTCTTGGAGATCAGTATGTTCATGGTTGTTGATACGCACGAACTTGTTCCCAGTGAAATTTGCCAGGTATTCGATCATACTGGTCTTTCCTGCCGAAGTCGGACCTTGGATGAGGACGGGGAAGCGTCGAGTTGATGTTGCTCTCACAAGATTAAGCAGATTTCGTTCCACGTAGGGGGTAATGATGTAATCGTCTCGCTCGATGGGAGTCTCCTCTCCCTGGAACAACCAATACTGTCGGTCTCGGTTCTTGTTCTTGAATCGCACGTATTGTTTGCCATCGCCGGGGTGTTTCGGCGCTTGGGATAGCAATGATTGGGAATTCCCATGCCTTTCGAAGAGGTGATGAGTGATAAGGGGCACAAGCATCTTCTCGGATTCTCGATCAAGGAGGGTGAGGAAGCCCATTGAAAAACCTTCATACAAAGCTCTCCGCACGCCATAGAAGGGGGCGATTGTGTTGACATAGCTCAAGACTCGAGTGAGAGTTCGGAGACTGAAATGAGGGACTTCATTCGCGCCATCTACCAATCGCTTCTCCTCGGCCAGTCGCTTGGTGTTCAAGTAAAGGCGTGCAATGTCGTCTGCTGCTTGGTCGTTCTTGATGCTGCTACTCCCAAGGTAGGTTTTTATGATGGTGAGAAGGTCCTTGAGATCTTTATCGGGGCTTGAAACATAGAGCTCGGTAAATCTTGACCTGATTCCAATCGGTAGATCACGCTTTCCGATATCAGTTGCTGGGTTCATCGCTCCGAAGATGCGGAAGTTGGGGTGCGCCTCGATTTTCTCAATCTCTCCTGTTTCTGACAACAAGATCGACGGTCTCTCATCTGGTCCGGCCAAGAGATCTGCGATGCTTTCCAGTGTGTCTGGTGACGCCAGGTTAATTTCATCCAAAAGCACCCAGTCGCCATTCCGGACGGCCTTGACCATGTTTCCCTCCACGAAAGAGAAGGCAAAGCTGTCAGAACCTCCCAGGATTTGGACGTCGAACTGTCCGAGGTTGCGAGCAAATGCATTCCATCGTGGCCGCAAATCGAGGAGTGTTTGAAGTTTGGATTGTGTTTTTCGGCGTTTCGAGGGTTGCTCGTCCCCATTCCGGATGTCTGACTGCTCGGCATGTACCCGTTCAAGCTCCTTCACAATCTTGCTAAACATCTTCGGGGCTTCTTTCCATAGCTTAGACACTCTAGACCACTGTCCTTTAGCGAATGATTTTCCGATCTGTTCCAGGTACTTTTGGTTCTTAGATGCAGATATTCCGGTCGCAGAAAAGAGGTCTTCGAATTCTTCTTTTAAGGGAACGGCCAATGTTCGCATATTGACTGGCTTGAAACCACCAAGGAGATCTCCGACTTCGCTCTGCTGTGAAAGGTTGACGGCAATCAGCTTATGTCCGAGTGATTCCGCCAGCTGCTGTACAACAGTGGTCTTTCCAATACCAGTTTCTCCAACAAGTAACACTGGCTCGTTCAGCTTAACGGCCACGGCAATCTGCTCCAGAAGCTTCTTGGCGTGCGCTGTGCTGGCGAAGGGTCGTTTCGATTTCTGAACTCGGTTAGAGAGCTTCTTCTTCCGCAATATCACTCGTCCAATGCTAAATTGTGTCTCCCTCTCTTCCAAAGGGGGTATATTGGCAGAGATGTAATGTTCTGCCCGATCTTTGGAGAGTTGCATCTCTTCAGCGATCGCATAGATCAGTTGCTTGCCGAGCTCTTGGTCGGGACAACTTCCCAAAAAGCAATCGACGGCCTCCATGAACATCCAGTCCCGAGTGGTCTCGCTGATGGGCTCGTCTCCAGATGTTGAGCCAGCAGCCAATAGACACTCTCGCAGTCTGCGGCACCATTTCAGGAGATCTCTCAGGGTCATCTGACGATCCATAACATTACGGCCCCTTGACAGAAGTCCGGGAGTTCTACTGAGACGAGAGAGACGATCATAGACGGCCAGGATTCCAGGGAGATACTTTCGTAGGATGGGGTACGTTTGCACCACCACGTCTTCCAGTTCTGGCTGTTCGAGTGGTTGTGTGTAGAGTGACTGCCAAAAGCGGATTCCCACAAGACTGGGGAGATTTTCTCGTCCATTCATCCCTCGGGACGTTCTGACAGTTGCGAAAAGTCTGAAGCTGCTGGCCGCCCGGATTCTCTCTCCTCGGCTCGGGATAAGGAGTTCATTTCGTTCAATCAGAGGGAGAAGCGTGCTCAAAACCTCGGTCGGGGCGCGATCGAGATCCTCCACCAATACCCATCTTCCCTCTCGCACTGCGGTCGTCAAAACACCGGCACGCCATTGGAAACTTCCCGGCTTCGTGTCTGTGGAGTACAGACCGATGAGCATCTTAGCATCTGTCTGCTCATTCAGGTGCAGTGTCACCATGTTGGAGTACATGCCAAGCTGCTTGGCAATTTCGTGAACGAGAGCGGTCTTTCCTACACCAGGGAGACCGTGGAGAAGGATGGGGTCGGGATCTCGGAGCATAGTCGCCAGGCGTTCGAGGTTCCCCGTCGTTGTCGGGGTCAGAACGAGGCTCGAGGACTCGCCCGCCGGCCCAAGAGGGCGCGGTAGGATAACATCGCCATAGGATACAACGTATGGGGTGAGAGATTGCATACACGGAGATTCGCCATCATCATTCTCCTGCGCTGACTGCAGCTGTTGACGAAGGGCGATGACTGACTTTACTCGAGCATGTTCGTGCAGTGATAGGAATCCATAGTCAATCGATCTACCATCAAAGTCTGCATTAATGGCCTCACCCTTTCCGACGTGCTCCTGGATGAGAGCCTCCAGTTTCCAGTCAGACCCGTGGAGCAGCTGGGTGAAAACTCGGATAGCAAGATATCGAACAGCTTTGCTTTCATGGTGGAACAAGGCCTGCAAGAGCGCCGGGGAGGTTAAAGTGGCGAAATTTTGTGAGTCGAAGCTGATCAGTCTCCAGGCAACCAGGAGGCTCTGCAGCAGAGCGTCCTCGGTTGTGGGTGATGAGTCCTTGTCGAGCTTCGGGGGTGGAAGGCGCAAGGCGGGTGAGTTGGTCAATGAGGTTTGACCGTGAGAAGGAATCTCGAAGAAGGATGAGAGATAAGGAGCAAACGGCAACAGCCTAGCCAGCGCCGAGTATATTCGTATGCGTTGTTGCTCGTTTCCTGGGTTGAGGATCCATCGTGCGCAGATGTCGGGAAAGACCTGCTCAAAATGCACAAAGATTCGCTCTGTAAGTGGCGGACTGAGCGCCGCCTGTGAAACAGCATCGAGCAGTTTCGTCGAGGTCTGGTCCTCGATAATGGCCAATAATTCTGAAGGCAGATGTTCCAATACAGTCGCATCTTGGAGAAGCGACCTCCTCTGCCGCGAGACGTCAACCATGGCCATGATTGCGTCTGTGTCGACGTTTTTTGCTGTCGGCGCTGTTGATTTCCTTCAAACTCACATACTGCTCAGTAGCTTGGGAACTTTTTTTCTGAGCGGCAGGGGTCTTTTTTCGGCGCTGGCACCACGAATTTCCGGACCAATCAAAACCCCACTGTTCCACTGACACTTCCAAAAACTTCAACTCGACCGCAGCCTACCCTGGAGGTTATTGCGCAGTTCTGCGGCTTTACGACAGTTGAGTTCGTGTATGCCTATTTCTTAGTGTGCACCCGTGAAGTTTCGGGGGGCGCTTAGTTTTACCGGTTTTAACGTGATCGATTAATGAAGGTGAAAGTGATGTTGGCACAAGTGCTGTCTACGACAATGTGGCGAGATGAAGTACTTTCTTTACCAAGGACGACAACTTCCTCAGAGTCATGAAGTCGATTATAAGCCGCTACACAGCAACACAAAATATACACAATTTCCAGAATTCAAGTCGAATAATAACTAGAAGGCGCGATGAGGCAAATAATCAATTGATCCCAAATTTGTCCAAGACAATGTCCTGTGTTCAATTGATGACCTCGTTAACATCTACATCATGGCCTCCCTGCACCATGGCAACAATGTAGAATCGAGTCTTAGCTTTTCATAGACCTCCGACGTATTTTATCCCAGCAATAAACAAACCAACAACCGCTAAGAGCCTACCTATGGTAGATAGTAACTAGGTACCCAGACTGTCACCCAATATGCTGTTGGAAGATGTCAAATGGTGTGGACGACTTGATCTGAAGAGGCGCACGGACCATAACCAAACACGTGATGACTCTGCTAGTTTCCCAAGCACTGTCGACAGCTCCGAAAAACTTCGAGATGTTCCCTCAGACGCCCGCACGCGACGACCCTTGACACCACGAATTAAGCAACCCCAGCCCAATCCCTCTCGCAAAAATGGCCATGTCTTGCCGGTACGCCGCGCAGAGCTGCGCTCGCCAGCTCCGATCCTCCAGCGCCCGAGCCCCCGCACAACTCCTCCGAGTCTCCGCAGCTTCAAGGAGATGGAATTCGACTGAGGCAGCTCCCGTCAGCCCCAAGATCCAGACCATTGTCGACCAGATCAGCCAGTTGACCCTTCTGGAGACTGCTGACCTTGTGTCTAGCCTCAAGGTATGATGGGCGTGCGTCAATTGGTGCGAGATGACATCGGCTGACCTGATCCTCCTCTTTACAGACCAAGCTCAACATCCCCGACATGCCCATAGGCGGATTCGCCGCTGCCGGCCCCGCTGCTCCCGCCGCCGTCGAGGAAGTCGAGGAGGCCGCCCCCGCAGCCGCTGAGAAGTCCCTCTTCACCCTCAAGTTGCAAGGATTCGAGCCCACCATGAAGGCCAAGGTCATCAAGGAGATCAAGAACATGCTCGGCCTGAGCTTGGTAGACAGCAAGAAGTTCGTCGAGAGCGCGCCCAAGATGATGAAGGAGAACGTGCCAAAGGAGGATGCGGACAAGATTATCGCCATGATGAAGGAGCTTGGTGCCACCGTCGTCATGGACTAAGGTGGATTTCCGCAAATGCGCGAAACGGTCGAGTTGAGACGATAGAAGGCTGGATTGCATGTACAAAATCATATGTACTAGTATCTAACAACATGTACCCATCTTAACAGGATGCAATGTGGGCACCCGTGGCATATTCACGGGGGATCAGTTTGCTCCGCTCTCAAAAGCTAGATTTTACAGTTAATGAGACATGTGTTGATGTTTGCCCTCCCTAACCATTGCCATAAACCGGTGGGTATCTCAATTGTTTTCCAGGCTCGCATGCAAAGATAGAACCCAACGCCGCCCAAAATGCCAGTGTAAATACCGTAGTTGATGGTCAGTGGTGGTTGCCATTTGCTGCCTTTTCATGCTGGCATGGTTGTGTCTCCATCTCTTTCCGGAAATCATCCAATTCCTCGCTGAGTAGTCTATCATCGTCCTCGCCAAAATCGCTCGTCTCGTCCCATAGCTTGTCCATCTCCGCATTGTCAACCTTGGGAATGGCCCAGATGCTTTCGCGCTCACGCTTGTGACGCTCACGATCCTCTTCAATGCGCTGTTCAACCTGGCGTTTGTCTAGTCGTTGAGGTGCGGTCCGCCGGCCTGGTTTGGGAATGGTCTGTGAGGGAGGAATATCTGCCATCTCAACATCGCCATTCGGCGAGGCCAGGCCAAGGTCGTCGACATTGGTTTCTCGTTCCTTGATGACATCCTCAATCTGGCTTACGGCTTGCGCCTCAAGGTACCCCTTTCCTAGAAGACCCTGCAGGACCTAACTTGGGTGTTAGTAGTCGGACATAAATGGCGCATGTGGTGGGATCCCTATATGGCCCATGAGGCAACTTACCTTCCGTACGACTTTCACATTTGCGGCTCCGGAACCATCGTCCGGGGCAACAGCGTCGACAACACGGATGATGTCGCGCTGCATCATGCGGATGTAGTCGGAATGACCATCCCGCTGTGCTAAGTCGAGAAAGTGCTCGATGAAGTACATGATGTTGGCACGGGTGTTCATGTTGTTCTATGCGTCCAGGTCAGCAGGTGGTCAGTCGTTTTGTGGGGTCATGCTTACCCGTTCAAGCTGCTCAAGGATACACGAGTGCAAATCCTCGTCCATGTCTTTGTACTTGAGGGCATACTGGGCAGCTTTCTGCGCGGAAGCGACGGATGCGTTCAGGTGTTGCAGCTGCGAGGTGAAGCGCATACGCACTTCGAACGGGTCGGCCATGGTGGAGGCGGGCAGATGTCTCTGTCTGTGTATGTGGATGCGGTGTATGTGCGTGTGTATGGTCTGCGAGAATCACTTGGGCCGATATCCCGGATTGTCTCGGAAGTTCGGAAGCTCAGCGACGCCTGGCGCATGAAGCTGTCACAACCAAGACCTGGGAGCAAGGTAATTTATTACATGGATGGCTGGATTGGATGAGGATAAACGGTGGATGGACGTTGACAGTGGGGCTACAGCGAGTGGCCACTGACCTAGCTAGCTAGGGAGGTTACTGTGCCACCTGTGGCACACCACTGTTGAAGCCCCACTGGAAGAATGTGTCCACTGGAAAGAACAGATTCGTGCCAGTGGAGAGCACACCTCAAACGGCTGTCGGCGACCACTCGTAAAGAGGACACTTGTGCTAGCTGCCCCAAGTTATCCCCTACCCACAACGTTGTGACGACGTCCACCTCCAACAACCAACTCGCGAACCACGGTCACGCTTACGAGACGGCGTGCACCTCGACCTAGAGACCGAGCCGAGATCCCGATTGGGCCCCCTTTGTGCGTGCGCAAGAGCTTGGAACCGACGGACTTGAGCCATCATGCGGCTGTCCTCGCTGCCAGCTGTGCTGCTGGGCGCGTTCGCCTGGACTGCGAACGCCGTGAGCTCTGAGGATGACAATGTTAAGAGCATAACGGTATGGTTGCCCGTTGGTTGATAGAGCGTACATGGAGCTCCTTGCTAACGTTTTGGTTCTTCTAGTTGAGGACACACTCCCTCCAACAGGTTCGTTGCGACGCACGCGATCACGACGACTGGAACACAGCTTGGCTAACATAGCTTCCGAACAGCCCTACCTCGACTCGGACATGCAAAGTCGATGGTATGACTTTGGCGGCGACACCATCGTTCGAACCGACTCGTATGCTACATCGCCCCCGACTCTCGGAGGAACAATTGGTTGACAGGATTCTAGGTACATCCGACTGACCTCGGACCGCCCGTCGCAAACGGGCTGGATGTACTCGCGAGTACCCCTGACGGCGACCAACTGGCAGGTGGAGGTCGAGTTCAAGATTTCTGGCAAGAACCAGCTCTACGGCGATGGTCTCGCTATGTGGATTACCCGCCAGCGCGCGCAGTCCGGAACTGTCTTTGGCGGCCCGGACAAGTTCGAGGGCCTGGGTATCTTCATCGACACCTACAAGAATAACCGCCCCGGCGTTGTTTTCCCTTATGTCAGCGCTATGTACGGTGACGGCCAGATCTCGTACGACAAGGCTCACGATGGCAAGAGCACGGAGCTGGCTGGCTGCTCCGCTCGTGGCATCCGACATGCAAGCATCCCGACTAAGATGCGCCTTACCTATTTCCAGGACAAGCAGCTCAAACTAGAGCTTCAGTATAAGGATGAGGACGACTGGATGCTGTGCTTCGAGAACGAGGAGCCCCCCGCGATCCCCAATATCGCCTACGTCGGCTTCACGGCTGAGACCGGCGAGCTTAGCGACAACCACGATATCATCTCTGTGACGGCCAAGAACCTGTATATCCAGCCTGGCAATAAGGCTGGCCAGTCCGGAAGCAAGCAGCGCAGCAAGAAGGCCAAGAAGAACAAGAAGACAACGTCTGGTGGTAGCTGGACCTGGTTCTTCACCAAGATCATCCTCTTCATCATTGTCGCGGGCGGCGCGTACGTGGGCTTCACTGCTTACCGGGCGAAGAGCAAGTCGCACCGATTCTAATTTCCAGCGACTAATGGCGGACGGTGCGCGGACGGTGCGCGGAAACTCACGAGGCGGCATAGCCATCAATTCATTTCCTTTTGTGCAGTTTGTGTGAATACCAAGGAGAGAAAGGCGAGGGGAGTTTGTCAGTGGAAGGGGGTTGTGACATGCCACCCAGCGAAGAAAAAAGTTACCACCCCCGACGAGGGCTATCGTTGTATGTTCCCTTATCTTAGTCATGTATGGATGAGTCTGGTGTTTTGTAAGTAAGTGAGACTGGTTTCTTAGCAATGAATGTCAAGACAGTTGAATTTGGCGTCAAGCCCGGGCGGAATCGAGCTGAGTCTGGGGAGGATGGGCTGGCGTAAAGAGCTCTCTGAGATAGGCGGATATGCAGACCAGGGTTCATCCGCCCGCATGAGTGGTACACCCACATGCCTCACCCTAGCTGATTATCTCGCTCTCGCTATTCCCGTTCCTCTCCGCATCGCATGCGCCATGCCAGGAGAGCCAGCGTCGGGCGTCAAGTTGTTGTCTTCCCTACATGCCTGCCCCAAGACAACCGGGCCGGAAGTGCCGAGAGGTGTAGTACAGCGCGCTAGCCGGATCGGGATTCCGGTGAAGTAAGCGTTTTGCCCGAATCCAGGGGGCACAACTCACACACAGTACGGGGCCGCCAGTACCACCAGGCGGTTTCGCGGGGCGGCCCCGGCTGCTCAGTTGGGAAAGAATCGGGAGCCAGGCGAAAATAACACGCATCGTCAAGGCCTCATCATCTCCTGACGCGTTGACCCGGTGGTGAGACTTTGCCAGCGCTGCTCTCATTTGCCTCACAACCCCTTATCCGTTTCCGCCGACATGCCGACTTGTATACGGGGGCACCGTGCATTGGGCAGCGGAGGCACCTTACCGCCAGCCAATTTTCCCATCAGGTAAACAGGTCGGGTGAGAAACCCGTTCTTATGCCCTCAGATGCAAATCTTTTTTCCTTTTTTGTCTGTCCCTTTCCTCCTTTATAAATAAACCTCTCACTTCTCCTATCTCCTCCTCTCTCTCTCCCTATCACTCTCTCTCCCTTCCCCCTCCATCTCTTCTTCCCCGCCAGCACTAGTCACCGCTTACTGCTTGTCGACAATATCAGTGCTATCCTGCTCTTGTTTATTACCTGGTCTTGTTTGCTGCTCCTGTTGCCATGCCTCTTTCTAGCTCCACCAGCTTAACATCACTACCCAAGATGATGGCCCTCACCCCCTATGGCTCTAACGGGTCCACCGACCTCACCATGGCCGTCCTTGGCTGCGGTAAGTCATCCCCCATGTCCGCGGATATGGAAATGGATTCCACCTCTCCGGTACCGGTACTGTCCGCCGTATTGGTGTAGATGTTGTAGTACTGTACCGTAGTCACACCATCCCTACCCCCATCTCCATCCCCGTGCCCATCTTCTTCAATCTATGGAAGGGCCAGGTTACTCATCATTGGGCCGTCTGGCACAGGTACCATGGGCGTTGCCATTCTCAGCGGCATCCTGACGTCGCTCTCCGAGATGCAGGGCCCCAAGCCCCTGCAAATGCCCAGGTCCGGTGCCTCAACCCCCATGGAGGAGGTGCCCCAGCGACTTCCCTCACGCTTCATTGCTTGTGTCAACACTGCTGCTGGCGCCAAGAGGGTCAAGGGAACTCTGTGGGAGCACTCGTCCGTCCTCAAGGTTGTGCACAATGAGAACCTGGCTGCCGTCCAGCAGGCCGAGGTTGTCCTGCTGTCCTGCAAGGCTGGCTCCGTCAAGGAGATCCTCAGCGAACCTGGTATCGCCAAGGCCCTCCACGGCAAGCTTCTGATCAGCGTCGCCGCTGGTGTGACTGTCGAGGATGTCGAGATTGCCCTCCACGGCGCCGTCCCCTCCAAGGATCCCGCCGAGGACGGTCGATGCCGCATTGTCCGCGCCATGTGCAACACTGCTGCCGTGATCCGCGAGTCCATGACTGTCGTCGCTACTACCAACCCTCCCCTGGATTGCGCCACCGAGGGCCTCGTCACCTGGATCTTCAAGCGCATCGGCGACGTTACCTACCTCCCAGCCTCCAACATGGATGCCTCAACCGCCCTCTGTGCCTCGGGCCCGGCCTTTTTCGCCCTGGTCCTCGAGGCCTCTATTGATGGTGCCGTGGCAATGGGTATTCCTCGCCACGAGGCTCAGCGCATGGCCGTGCAGACCATGAGAGGCATGACTGGCCTGGTCCAGAACGGCGAGCACCCTGCTCTCCTCCGGGAAAAGACCTGCACCTCAGGCGGCTGCACCATTGGTGGTGTTTTGGTTCTGGAAGAGGGACGAGTCCGAGGAACTGTTGCTAGGGCGGTGCGGGAAGCCGCTGTTGTGGCAAGCCAGCTGGGCAAAGGAGTTGAGCAGGTGAATGGCACGAGGTTCACAACCCAGAACATGCAATGAATCAACGACGACCAGGAAGATGAGATAGCACCGGCCAACCAGACTCAACCGGGACCAGTGATTGAGTCTCAACCAGAGCTGGACGGGTCCGATTCTGAACCAGCCGAGGAACCCCATCCAAATTCGGTTGTAGAGTCGGAACCCAGGTCGGGTGACGGGTCTCGACAGGGTACTGGCCTTCTTTCATTCAGCGCCTCCTTCTTCGCTGGATTGTTTAGCACTTGGCAGGCCTTGCGGCAGGTTTTTAGAGATAACACTCACTTTGGCTAGCTCACATAGACGGGGGAATATAGATCCATTTGCTTTAGCATAATACAAGTTTCTTTTACAAATCCCAATGCCCAACTGGCCACACTCCGCCGAGGTCCTTCAGCCTCGCTCAACTCCCCTCTCAAATATGCACCTGATTTTACGCATCCTCCACGCGTGCCCTCTTGCTAGAATTCTCACCCGGCTCCTCCAGCTTTCGCTTGCCATTAGTTGATGCGGTCGGCTGTGGCTGAGAGTGCTTTATCGCACGTTCGTACGCAGCCAGGATCCGAGCATATTCCAGCTCAACGCCTCCGAGAGTTTGCTGAAGCTTCTCAATGCGCTCATTAGGTTCTATTTGGGACAGGACGTCCTTGTTGTGTCGGTAAAGGCGTTGCTTGACAATCAACTGCCACAGTCGCTCCTTGTGATTGTCTGCTCTGGTGGGCGACGGAACGTCGTCATCAAGTGCCATGCTGGGCCGCACCGACTCGGGCAGCTTTGACATTAGGTGCATCTCAAGAACTCGGTAGAACTGCCGAGGGGCGATCTTGGCTTGCAGGCGGATGCTCTCGAGGTCCTTGCCTCCAAGGATAAGCTGGGGGATGGCGCCCTTTTTAGGGATGGTGACATTGGGGTCGACACACAGGGCGTTAAACTGAGGAATGGCGCGAAGGAACTCCAAGTCACAGACATCTCGCAGATCATCAAACGCCTCATTCGGGTCCTCGACTGTGAACTCGTGGGTCTGGGGGTGTTTGTGGTAGTGCTCGAAGATAGTTTTGTAGAGACGAGCTCCGACTCCCTTTCCTTGGAAAGGGGGAAGGATGATGAACTGTGACAACCTGGTTCTGCAGGGAAGCTCGGCCAGGTCAAGGTCGCCGGCCGGAAGCTCCCACTCTCCCCTGGGAGATGCAGGGGGTGTTGGGGGCTGGAAGTAGAAGAAGCGGAAAATGGTGGAGTATCCCACGAAGGTGTAACTGCTCTTCTCAGGATTATCCGTCATCTTTTGCTTTTGATATAAAAAGAAGACGGTCCATCGGTCAGCGTCAGATAGGTCGAGCTCCGCCGAATCTGACTCAGGATCTTGTCCAATATAGCTGCCTCCCTCAATGAAGAAGGGGACAAAGATTTGGAGGCGGTTGTTTAGCTGCTTGACAGCTGGGTCAGCCAGGTTTCCGCGCCAAATTTCATATTCGCCTTCTGGAGCATGGATGGTGGTGTGAAGAGTGCCAGGGGGCGTCCAGTTGTCGCTGATCTGCTTGGAGCTATCCTCAAAGTCGGTCCCTTTGACAAAGGCAACTGATTAAACGTTAGTGGAGATGTTTCCAACACCAATGATCCCCGAACATACTCTTTGGCAAATGGCCCCCTTCCTCCAAGATTCCGACAATATCTGTAGGTTCGGTGTCTCCCACAGGCTTGAACTTCTTGCTGTAGGAGGTCTTGAGATGAGGGCGCATGTCATTAGCACGGTATCGCAAGCTGATCTTGAGATCCTTGTAGCCGAAGATTTGTTCCTCCTCGCCAAAGATGGAGTATGTGAACTTGGGGTTGAAGGTCGCAACGTTCTGGAGGCCAGACTTCGACGGCGCGACGAGGCTGATATTGATGGCATCGTTGGCGTTGGCCAGCCCTGGAGAGGCAAGTTAGCACTGAATGCGCGGTGCAGGGAGGGTGCAGGAAGGGTGCAGGAGATGTACTTACACTCCTCTGCGCTGGGCAAAGCAGCCATTTTTGTCGCTTTCGTCGGGCGATTCGAGAGAAAGTGTTGGTGTAAAGCGGTGATGCGCTGCGAGGTTGTGAAGAGGCAGTGAAGGGAGGTGCAGTGTGCGGCTGATGGTTGTCGCAAAGAAAGTTGCTGCACAGAGCCCGCGCACCAGTTGGCTAGGTACCTACCTACCTACGGCGCGTCGTTCACGCGATTCAATTAACGACCTAACTTTCTGCCTCATCTGTTAGGCTCCAAACGCTGACGGAGATGATGTAATGCTGCCTTGGCGTACCCAAGTACTTCGTACCTGAGTTAAAGTGGCCTGTGCCCATGGCGTCGCAAAGGTCAGGAACAGCCGGATCCTACCCACGCAACATCTCCAGGCTTCCTTCAACAAGCACTGATGGCTTTGCGCCTCGAGCCTTCACCATGATCCAGATCGCAAGCAGTTCGTCGCCTGTTGGCTCCGAGGTGTTCTCCTTGTTTGCACTGTTACTTATCTCACTGGCCGTCCTCCTGATCTTACGGCACTATCTCCCGCTCCGTACGACGCCAGCTTTTTATCTCGTCCCGATATTCTTCGCCCTTTGGCTTCCCTCGATCGTCATCATCCTCGTTCCCGTCGACCTCGCCTCGAGCGCAACCCCTGGTGATGACGCTACACGTGGAATATGGCTTCCCGAAAGGGTCATTCTGGTGTCTTGGAGAATCACTTACTGGCTTACATTTGCCTTGACTTGGTATGGACTGACAGAGCCGGGTACCGATTCTCCTGCTAATATGCCTCCCTAGGTTCATTCTCCCTGTCCTCGCCGAATACTCCGATGCAGGCTACCGCGAGCCAAAGGACAAACTTCTATACTCACTTCGGGGCAATGCGCAATTCCAGATCACGGCCCTAGGCTTCGGCTCCATCGGTCTCATTTACGTCTTCTATTACTGCGGTTTCAACTTCACAGCAGTCAAAGCCCTCGTCATGGCCTTGGCGTATTGCTGGGGGTTGATTCTAGCCATCTACCTCATGGGTCACGGCTTAGTCTCAATTCCGAGGCGCTTGATGCGAAGTGCGCGCATTAGCGGGCGATTGCGCCGACTCCAAAGCAAGGCACCCAAGGTCTACGAGCAGATGGAGGATTCTCTTATGAATCTGGAAGATATCGAAGCGCAGGTTGCCGAACTCGGCCGGCGCAAGGTGGGAAGCGCGATGAACTTCCGAGACTGGATCGAGGAGCTCCAAGAGATGGCCAATATTCCAGAGGCCCAGCCACGAGCCGCTCGATTCGGTGGCGGCGCCGAGACAGCCATTCTCCCGCACGTCATCACCGAAAAGTACCTTGCCGATCTGACCCGAAAGCTCACCCGTGCGAAACACGCCAGATCTCGATACGTCAATGCCTGGAGTCAACTTGTCGAGGAAGCTGCTGAGACGCAGACCATTTTGGATTCCGTCGCATCGAAGAAGCTCGAGTTTGATGATGCTAGCTCTCCAGGGGGGTTCTGGAAGAAGACCACCATCTTTACACCCTATACCCGGTACCTATACTATTACCATGTGCTGCCTTACGCGCAGATTCTGTTGGGTATATTCCTGGCAGCGGCCTCGGCTTGCATCGTCTGGTCTGAGGTTGTAAAGGTTGCGTTTCCCAAACTTTCTGTCATCAGACTTAGTGTCGTCCACCACTGGGTTGGTGATAGAGCCGAAGTTGGCTTTGCGGGCCAGGTAATCTCCTCGTTCTGGATCTGCTACATGTGCGCAGCCGCCCTTGTTTCTATGACCGAAGTCAAGGTTTGGCGTGGCCGAGCCCTTGTCAAGCGAAACACGGCCCACGAGTCGGCCTTCTGGTACGCCATGCAGGTCGCCAAGCTCACCATTCCGCTGTCGTATAACTTTATGACGTTCCTGTCGAAAGATGTTTATAAGAAGACCATCTTCTACAAGTTCCTCGGCAATCTCATTGACATGACGCCCCTGGGTCAATATTTTGATGATCTTTTCCCCGTCGTTGTCTGCTTCCCCGTCCTCGCTACCCTCTTCGGCATTTACGGTAAAGTTAAGCGTCTCTTTGTGGGAATGGACGTTATCGACGACGATGAAGAGAACACCTCGGGCTACGGTACTGGCTCATGGCGCGAGGGACGAGACCTTATTACCCGAGAACTCGGCGGTAGCACAATTCTTCGCCGTCGCGAGGAGGCTATCGCCAGACTAACCTCTGGGGGACGCTCGGCTCCGGTTCTATCTATTCCCTCTTCCTCATCGCCTGCCCGATCGCCTGCCCGCTTGCCCAATAACACCCGTCGTGCGGCCCATGGACCCTTGTGGGATGATGAACCTCCTCAGGACGACAACTTGTTCCAGATTATCGGCCACCGCATGAAGAACACCATGGACGGCATCGAAACCCCCAAATGGATGCAAGACTTTGGTCAAGGAATGAAGAAACCCAAGTGGATGGGTGCAGACGACAACGCTGGGGGGCCGAGTACCAGTCCTGGAGGAACCGACTTTAGGAGATGGTTTGGCGGCGGATCCGGGGAGGGTCAGGTTCGCATTTAAAGCATCCGAAGTCTCATATGGCGCAAAGATGTTACATCTTCTACTTTTCTCTTTTCTCTCCCTTGGGTTTGGACACGCCGGCATGGTTTTCATTCGGCAACGTTGGCACGGCCGAAAGCATTGCCAAGGAGTTTGGGAGACTGCTTTTTCTGGCGGCGCCTCATGTGAAGAAATCACCGAGGTTGCCACCACGGCGTTTTGAGCGAGGCAGCTCGCCCAGGGCTTTATTATTACTCTTGCAAGACAAGACTGTTATGAGTATGGTAGAGTTGGATGACACGATACATAGGTCTGAAGAGACGCAAGTGGTTTTAATATGAGTATTTCCATAGTCAAAAGACTTTAGAATATCTAAAGACTTTAGAATATCTAGTAACTGTATCATAACGTCTCATATCGTGGCATGCGTTTCATTATGGATGTCGATGCTCATAAGTCATAAGTCATACTGCGCAGAAGAAGAAAAACACTACCCAATTTGATGGCAAATCCCGACCACAGAGCCACGGGGGTAGTCTGGGACCTGTTTTGCCCAACCCACTCTTCGCTGCCTGCGCGAGCGTCTCACACAGGAGACGACTCCACGTAACTAGGCTTTCGAATTCTGGATGCTGTTCCAAGTGTTGGTCTTGCTCATGGTACGCTTTCGTAGATGGAACATGATCTCCTTCTCCATTTTTTCGATGTTCCTCTCGAGGTCTGCGTCATCTCTCTTAGCTTGCTTCATGCGGTGCTTGTCGATCATCAGCCAGGCGCCGACGATGAGGGCGGTGATGGGGACGGTGACGGCAAAATATATCCAGAGTTGGAAGGAGACGACTGGGCTGGCGCCTGATGAGAGTGTCAGTATAAGCAAACAGGAGTACGACCGAGACGGTCTACGGAAGGGAGTAGAGGAGAGCACATACCCTCTTGAAAGTTGAAAAACGTCATGCTGAAAACAGAGGCGAGGTATGTGCCTGGAAGGAAGAGAGCACCCATCAGGGACAGCGTTTTCATGGCTGTGCTGTCCCGCTTGCTTGCATGGGCTATTCTTCGTTGTTCTCCGGCAATCTGCAGGTTCAGCCTGGCCTCACGCTGCGACATGATGTTGTACAACTGTAGGCTAGATCAGTAACCATCCGGTATGAAGGACGCAACGGGGAGAATCGGCACACTTACTGCCTCGCGCTGGACCTTCAATCGCTCAAGCGTGGTGTGAATATAGTTCTCCAGCCCGGTGAGCTTGACCTTGTAAAAGTCGATGCGGGCGAGCATGCTTCGGTGCAGCTTATTGATCTCCTTCATATGGGTGCGTTCGGCTTGGTTCATGACCAACTGGTCGTCTTTGGATGCCACCCACTCGGACCCGAAGCTCTCCATTGCCTTCTCCATCTCCTTGGCGAGGGCCAAATAGGCCTGGGGCCGTTTCCACAGGACGTGGCCGTGACACTCGACGAGGTCGCGGTTCAGGCCGTCGACCTCCATGAGCCCGTCCTGGAAGTACTGCTCGTGCTCCTCGACCTCGTTACGCAGGCTGACGGCGTTTTCCAGGCGGCGCAGCCAGTCCCGAGCGTCGCGCTGCTTCTGGTCGTTGGCGAGCGACAGGTCGTAGGAGAGGAGGATGATGGGGAGCAGCATGGGATGGCCGACCTGGGCGGAACAGGCCTTCAGGTGGACGAGGCTCTTTTCGACATCGGAGCTGGGTGTGCCCTTGATGAAGCCGGTGGTGATGTTTGTCTTGAAGGAGTGGGAGAGCATCATCTCCCAGCCACGAGTTCTTCCCTTCTTTCGGACATCAGACTTGCGATGTATGATTTCTAGATTCGATGTATGAGTTGGGGCCCTTTTGGATGGTCATGATGGTCTTGGACTCACGCAGATGGGGGTCGTCATCGTCTTGATCATGAGACGACCAGAAAAATGGCCCAACCACGGCGGTGGTCTCGATGGCGCGGAACGGCAGCTTCATGACGCGGACCATGGACTCGTAGTTGTCCTTCTGGAGGGAGATGACCTTGGGCATGAATGTGTCTTTGTCCGAGGCATTCCTTTGGACTCTTGAGAAGGTGTTAATGGATGCTGAGGAGCATGGACTGGGCGAGGGACTTACATCAAGCGGACGCCGCTGAGCAACTGGGTCCCCGGGCGCTGGCGGTCTGGCGGTGCGAAAACGCCCTGGAGAATGGAGAGCGAGCGCCGGTCAGTTTGATATTTCCCAGAGTGTTTGGTGAGCGGACAAGGGTGTGTTGTGAGTAGGCGGGCGTGAGGTGACATACCTGGCGGTGCAGAAAGTTGTCGAACTCATCGTCTGGCAGCGGGTGCTCTTCTGAGGAGTTGTAGAAGGGATCCTGGAAGCGGACGCAGTGGGAATTAGCAACGGGATGCCGGGCAATTGCGCTCAATTGGGGCGTGTGTGCGCACCGAGTAGTTGAAGATCTCGAGGTAGTGGGTGTCTTCCTTGACAACGCGGCACTCGTCGACGTAGTAGCGGAACATGTAGTCGTCCATGGCGACGGATTTGGCGGCTGGCGCGACGTAGCAGCTGTCGTGGTGGTCCCTTGTTGTAGCGTCTCTGTCCGTCTCTCTGGCGGTTGCGATGTGCACAGCGAGCTTCCTTCTCCAACACGGCAGAGGAAGATAAAAACGGTGAGAAAAGGCCGAGAAACGATGATCCCGGAAACGAAAATCACTTCCCTGGAGGGCGCCAGCACAGATTGGTAAGGTAGGTAGGTCGCCGCCGTCCACAAGTAAGCTGCGGCTGTAAGACCGAGGCGCGCATGGAGCATGGAGCATGGAGCATGGAATAATAATATGGAGTAGGTACCTAGGGTGTATATGTAGGTAGGGCGGTCCGGGTCGATCCTGGCCCAGCCCCAGCCTCGTGACTTTTTTAGGGGATCGACCACTGTGTTTGGGGCTCCCATTGCGAACCGACAATTGCCTTTTCAGCCTCTTTTGCTGTTTAGGTACCTCGCATGTACCGAAGAGTGTTAATCCGAGGCGGCTGTTACCAGCGCGGTGCTTAATTGAACCCATTGTCAAAGTAGGTACGGAGTAGGTATACTGCCAAGACGCGCTACGAGTTCCCTGCAGGATAGACCAACAGACAGCGACACACAGGCCGATAGATACCGATTTTATTACCTGCGCGACATGAGGCCTCCAGTACTGGTTTGAATCCTGCAGTGGCTTGCTGCATATTATGCGCATCTGTCCATTTACCCCTCTCCCCGCGAAGGACGCCGTACAAGCATCCAACTCTTCTTAATCCATGCGCTGGCCCTTTCAGCAAATCCGGAGACGGTCTGTAGTTGAGACTTCAGACTCTGCTAGGTCCTATTCTTCGGTGCAAGCTCCATTCGTCTGCCTGCGCCCATGTTGCCAATTAGTCCCGTTACAATGAGATTCTGAACCAAGGGATCGAACAACTTGAGAACTAGCCTCTCGTGTGACTGCGGGGCTTGTGGTGACATAACAAATAGCTCAAGACCCATCTCTTCGACCTTGTTCTTGAATCGACCGGCAGACGGCGGCGTGTATCTCTTGATCTCGCCCCGGGAGGTGAGTAATAATCCTAGTTTGGGGCGACAGGTACTAAATTGACTTGAGCATCCGGTTATTTGTTTGTATATAACACTTCAAGCGTATTTTATCATGTTATTACAGGTCCTATAGGTCAAGGTGCTTCATACGGCTGCTGCTCTATCCTAGACAGGTTGCCCTCTCACGAGTATCCCAACCTCACGAGTATCCAACCTCATGAGTATCCCAACAACCCACTCCAACGTAGTTCTTGTCAGGCGCACAGGCCTCCCCACCTCATTCCGTGGCAATTCGAACCATTCGATCGCGTACAAGCCATAGTCGCCATAGCAGTTCAGAGGACCACTATGGGCCACGCCCTACTTTTCCCAGGGTGACCGCTGTGTGTCCTGTATCATTGATACCTCCCGAGACGCGCCACCAATTCAGCCATCAATGAAACCATTTGTACCAGGGTCGGACCTCCGACCCAGTCATCCAGGACCCAAGCATGTTACTCCCAAAAGGCATCCTTAAAACTCCGTAAACAGGTGTCCATATCTAGAAACGCGTTAGTCCGTCTGGTGAGTTGCACATATGTTCATGTCACTTACTCATCGTTTCCTCCAGTCTGCCCATACTTCTCGGGATCCTCGGGATACCGGTCGAACTGGCTAGCATCGCCAGCACCAGCCTTGACGGGCGGTGTGTACGGCGCATCAATGTCCTTCCGAGCCAAGCGGTCCCAGGTGACCTCCGTAAACCAGGGGTGATCCTTCACATCCTGCGGGCCTCCGTACAAGTTACCCAGTCGCTTCGTCAAGTCCGCAGTGATCAATCGCTCCAAGAGGTTTTGAGCATCTGCATTGACGTACGCAGGGTACTTGACCTTGCCCTTGAGGATGTTTTCGTAGATCTTCATCGGGGATCCACTGTCCCAGAAGGGTGTGTAGCCGCACAGCATTTCGTAGATTAGGATGCCCAATGACCACCTGTTAAACACCCCACGTTAGCTCCATTTCTATCGGATACTATGCGAATCAACCTCGCAGGGAACTCACCAATCCACAGACTTGTTGTATCCCTTGTTAGAGACCACTTCAGGTGCCAGGTAATCGGGGGTGCCACAGAGCGTCCATGTCTTGTCCGGCACTCGCTTTGCGAAGCCAAAATCGGTGATCTTGAGATGGCCGTGTCTGTCAAGGAGCAGGTTCTCGGGCTTCAGATCGCGGTAGATGATGTTTTTCGAGTGCAGATACTCAAGCGCCAGAGTGACCTCTGCGGCATAGAATTTGGCCACGGGATTTGGGAACCGCTATGCGCATGTTAATTTGGTAAACGGAGATGGAGGAAACGAAACAGGACGTACACCTGATTTCCTGAGGAGTGAGAAGAGCTCGCCGCCCTCGACGAAGTCCATGACCATGTACAGGTTCTTGAGATCCTGGAACGTTCCCCAGAGAGTGATGAGGAACGGATGCTTGACATCGCTCAACATGCGTCGCTCGTCGTTGGTGTGTTCAACCTGCTTCATCTTGACGACCTGAGCCTTCTTGAGCACCTTGACGGCATAGAACCGTTGGTTATGCTTCGATTGGACCAGATGAACTCGCCCGAAGCTACCAGTACCGAGGGTCCTCAGAATATCAAAGTCACCCAACGAGTACTTGCCCTTGGTGATGCGCGCCTGCGAGCCATTGCTGGGCTGCTGCTGATGCTGCTGGTACGCCGGTTGTTGTGCGGGTTGCCGAGCCGGCTGCTGCTGTCCCGCGGGCTGCATCGTAGGCTGAGGCAAAGCTTGCTGCTGCTGTTGTTGGACGAGGGCGGGAGTAGTGCCGGGGCTGGCCGTCTGGACCGATCTCGAGTCTATCGGATAGGGCGAATGAGAGCGAGAGTTGTTCGAGTTGGAGTAGGAGTTGGCCGCACTATCATGCTGGGGAGGATTGATGAGGTTGCTGATACTAGGGAGGTTCTGAGGATCGTGAGGATTGGGAGAGCCCGCCGGGTATGAGGGAGCGAGGACGTTGACGGAATTCATCTGCTGCCGTTCGGCCTCGGTGGCCGCCGTCTGATGCGCCGGGGCCGAGGGATATGGGTGGGATTGAGTCTGCGGCTGAGGCGCGGTGCCTGCTGAAGCGGGAGCTTGGGCGTGAGTCTGGGCGGTCGAGGCGGCGACGGGAGAAGAAGTCGAGGTCGTGGAGGAGCGCGGCAAGAGCGAGCTAAAGGGTCTGGAGATGGAGGCGGACCTGATGAACGAGGTGGACGAAGTGGGCGTGACGGGGCTGGTGGGATTTGAGGACGAAGGGTCAGAGTTGCCCTCCCTGGTCCGCTTTTTCTTGAGAAACCCCAGAGAAGGCATGGGGCAGACGGACAGTGGTCAGTGGGTGAGAGAGAGCAACCGGCGGGGAGGGGAGGGAGGGGAGGGGGGTGTGGGAGAGTGGTCGAAGAAGCGGGGAGAAGGTGACAAGAGAAGACGGCGGCGGCGGCAGAAGCAGAGTGAGTGGAGGGGATCCGGATTGAGGGAGAGCTCTTGCAGATCGCACCGTTTTCCGGATGCGGTCGTTGGATAGAGGTAGGTAAGGTAGGTAAGGTAGTTGGGTGAAGGTAGGTAGGTAGTAGGTGGTAATAGGTGGCAGGTGGTGGTAGGTCGCAGCGGGCGGAACAAAGGATGGTTGGTGGGTTGGTGGGTTGGTTGGTGTACAAGGCAGAAGCAATGGAGGAGCGAGATACTGCGAGATACTGGACGCAGTAGCACTGAGTTGAAAGCAACTGTCCGTTTCCGATGCCAGGTTCCCAGCCAACGCCGAGCGGAGGAGTGGAGGGAGGATTCGACCCTGTGTTTCGTCCTCGATGCCGCGGTGGCGGGGGTGTCAGTGAGCTCACTGAGGTCTCCCCCCGGAACGAGGTACCTGGGCGTGCTGCGGGGCCCTTTCAGTGGACCTCCCAGGGAGCTCAGATCGCTAACAGGCGTGCGGGCGGTGCGCCAGCCCCAGCTGCTAACGCAAAGGTTGTTGCTGTGACCTGGCACGGACGGCGGCGACTTGGTTCAGGTAGACCGGTACCTTGGCCCGCCACAATCGCGAGGAATTGGGGGTGCTAGTGGGCTTTTCCGCAGCTGGGGGTGTGATCGCTGTGGTGGGCGTGTGCACTTGGTATGCGCTGGGGCGAGAGCGAGAGCGCAAGTGTCGATGCCGCGGCTGCAGTCCTGCTGTGCTGTGAACAAAGCGCGCGCAAGATTGGCGCATTCCACCACGACAATTGGATGGATCTCAGACCGTCTCAACCCCCGGGAGCTGCGAGCACGCCTTTGTTGGTGGCGGAATGCGGAGAGAAGAGGCGATATCGAGTGCGTTGCGTTGCTTCGCCGGACGGTTGCTGGATCGCAGCGCAAGGTTTATTTGCGCGGAACTGTGCTGGTAGCTTCCCAAGCTTGCCCCTCTTTTTTTTTTACGCCCGGATTCAGCGGCGACCGCAATCCGCAAACTGGGCCGATGGAGACGACGGGAGACGACTTGCGGGAACGCTTCTTCGGCTGGGGTCAATCCGCCTGCTCAATCCACTCGGTCAATCAGCTCAAGCTCGTGCGCTCGCGTTGAGGAGCCCTTTTTGCTTATGCGCCTGACGGTCAATGGGCTGCGCGGCGGGGGGAAGAGGGGGGATTGCGGGCTGCGCAGAGCTTCCTTGCCGTGGGCGATTGGTCGGTGAACGATCTGCAGGTCTAGCAGACGACGGCGAGAGAAGAAGAGGAGGGGGACTGGGACAGCAGAGCGCACGGATGGGCGTCGATTCCGCGACACTCTTGCGCCGAGGAATAGGAAATGGGTCGGCTGCAGCTCGCGAGCAGCGAGACGGAAGCTTAATGCGTCGAGACGTCGAGACGCAGGAGTCGAGAATCAGTGAGGCTTCGACGAGCTTGCGATGGAAGTGTGCGGGAGAGACAGAGTGGCCGGGTTGCCGTTCGCGCGGGGGATGTGTTCACGATGACCATGACATGACTTTGGAATGGAAGGGAGAGCCACGGTGCCAACACGGAAGCTCCCGCGCATCTCTCTCTTATCCTCTCCAACCTGAGCCCGTAAGCTGTGGTGGAGCAAGCTCGTGCTGTCGAGTCTCGTGCTGTCGAGTCTCGTGCTGGTACCGATCTTCCTCTGACCACAGCCATCTCGTGCTGTGCTGCTCGCAGCGGTCAATCGGGGAGTGGACTGAGTACCTACCTACTCAGTGGAGGGTGTCGCTTGCTTCTAGGCCCTCCAGTGGCTCCCGTCAGTGGGTTTCTTGAAACAGCGCTGCTCATAGCGAGCCGTCGGCCTACCATGAGTCAACCGAAGGATCGAGTCTCCGTTGTCTGTCCCGCAGTCGTACAGCGGGATGCACAAAGTTTGCACCCAGTCTAAGTCTGTTAGGGCACGACATATCGCCCGTATAAGGGTTAGGATAAGAGTTAGAATAAAGTATTTATTAGGATCTTTATTTTATCCAAAAAGAATGCAGTGTCATAAAGCAGCAGGAGATACTAGCCCGTTATGCTTGGTCAAACTCTCACGGTACATGCATTCAGGTGCAAACTTTCTGCGTCCCACTGTATCGTCATACCGGCAGATTACGCACTCGATCGCTGGGTCCGGTCGATCGACTCCCGCCTCGGCTTAGTGCCCTGCTCAAGAACGTGGGAGCATGGGATGCGGAGAGGAGCGGGAATAAAGCGACGTGACCAGCAGCTGAGGTGAGGCATGCTGCGGTATGCACGTTAAGATGAACCCCGGTCTAGATATCCGCCTCTGCCAAAGTCGCCCTTTCGCCCATTGCTGTATCAGTAATCCTCCATGACAACCGTGGCCAAGACCAAACCTGTTCCCTAAGATTAAGCCACAGCGGCCTAGATCACCAATTGAAAAATTACATCCTCGAGATTGCACCCCCGCAAAGTCAATCACACCCCCCGAATGCCTCGGTTCTTTACTTTGGCCTACTCGCCGGATCATGGCTCTCCGGGGCCTGGACTTGAAAACCCACTTCTATGATTGAACACATCCAATTATCTTTTCACAATGCTCCGTTGGCTATGTTTCTCACTCAGTACCGTTGACCAGGCATTGGCAATTCCAATTCCACGACTTCCCCGCATGTCTTACAAACGTGGGACGTCGATGCCTGACCTTGGAGATTGGGTTACAACTCATAAACGACCTTGGTGGCCGAGATCTTTCCATCACGGTGCTCCTGGAACCCGGCTGGAATTGCACTGAGTCCACCAGGGAGGATCTTCACATTATTCGGCCTGATTTTTCCTTCCTCGATCAAAGCGGGGAGTTTCTCGCAGAATTCGGCTGCGAGGGTGTGGTCACCTTCATTGGCCTGTCATCTTCGTCAGTCTGAGCTCATGCCGACAGCTTCAGCCATAGAAACTCACCGGCCAGTGGAACTCCCGATATTTGTGTTCCTTCAAAAATGCCGTCCAAACTAGAACATCGGTGACCTTGGTCTGCTCTGTCACATTTTCGGTATGCGCCTTGCCTGGCCTGACGGTGCACAGGGTACCCCCGCGCTCGCTAATAGCCAGGGATCCGAGCATAGACGATGTCTCATTGCCGATCGTGTCAAAGCCATATCGCAGTCCGGGCGCTGCTTCCTTGATCAACTCGACGACGCGAGGGTCGCTATAGTAGAAAGCGTCGTGTGCGCCTAGCGATGAAACGAGATCGAAATGTTGAGGACTGCACGTTGTGACGACGTTGAACCCATGTAGCGCTGCGATCTGGATGGCGTATTGCCCGACACTGGCTGGAAGCATGTTAGTGCATCAGCTCTTATTACCCAGCCCACGCCCATTTTGACGCACAGGTTCCGCCCCAGATTAAGATGGTTGTGTCTGATCCTGAATTTGGATCAATGTCTAAGCTATCCTTTGAGAAAAGGGCCAACAGGGAAGTCAATGATGCCAGAGGGATTGTTGCTGCTTGTGAGAGCGAGATGTTGTGGGGTACTTTAAAGCAGATGCGCTCATCCGCGATGGTGTAGTCACTGTAGGCTCCAAGGCCCTTGATTTCGCCTATTTATGTTAGCCAGCGACCGTGAAATCAAGTTGAAGTTGCTTTCAACACACCTCCCCAGATGAGCCCAGCAATCGTGTCACCCTTGGAAACTTGAGTCACGTCAGAACCAACAGCTTCAACCGTCCCGGCAAAGTCACAACCAAGAACAGTCCCATCACCAAAAGCATTCGTGTCAAAAGCCTGGACTAGTCAATCAATTAGTTGGCACATAAAACGGAACAATCATTGGAACTTCGGTTTACCATCCGTCGGATTCTGTGCAACTGTCGATACCTTGACCAAGACCTGGTTCGGGGCGAGGGCTGGTAAAGGCACAGCCTTTTGCACGAGTGCGGGGGATCCGCGCTTAGGAACTTCTACCACTAAGGCGTTCGTCGTGGTCTGGCTCATCTTAGTTGTGGCGGAAGATATTAACAATATGGAGGACAATGCCAAAGTAAAGATGGAAAATAACAACTCAAGATGTGATGGCTGATGTTCAGGTGCAGGGCAGAGTTGAGGGGAACGCAATGGAGACGTTCAGTTCGAGTCGACTTATACAGCGAGCAACCAAATATGGATCAGGCTTGCATCACCTACATTGCTATTACTAAGGTAGGCGGGGTAGGGGCTTAGCAAGCAGAGGATATGGTAGCCAAGAAGTGGCAACTATAAGCGCAGGCTACAAATGGCACCCCAAACTGATACAGGATGCAGTAAAACGTGCTCGTTCGTCCTGATTGAGTGGAAGCATTAAATACCACAGTACTGTGGTCCTACCACGCTACGAAGCTAGGTGGAGCCCTTTGTCACTGTTCTTGCAACACGGATTGCAAGATAAAATCTCAAAGAGAAATCTACTACGATATAAACATAGGCTTGTATTTCGATAAAAATGGTTTGGCTCGAATCGCAAGTGATGAACGTGGGGTGTAGTACGGAGAAGATTCACCAAAAGTGGCTTAGTCACCTTAAATAACCGGACTATCTATTTTTGCCGGCACCGCTCTATCGGTCTCCGATGGGCCTGGAAGGTTGCATTTTCCGGAAGTCAGCCAGCCAGCCAGTACAAACGTCACAATACCCAATATCGCCAAAATGGACTCCAGCGCCGTCAAGCAGGCTGTTATGAAGCAGGTCCTGGCCGAGGCCAACATGGCCAACGCCCGAGTCCTCATCGAGGTACGAAACCCCAGCCAATTGACCTTCTTGGAGGCTGCAAGAACTAACAGTTTGTGATGTGACAGAAGCTCCAAGAGAACTGCTTCGACAAGTGTATTCCCAAGCCCGGATCCTCCCTCTCGAGCGGCGAGCAGACCTGCATGACATCCTGCATGGAAAAGTACATGGCCGCCTGGAACCAGGTCAACTCCGCCTACATCGCCCGGTTGCGACAGGAGCAGGCCAACGGCAACTAAGCCATGGAACGACGACGCCGCAGCCCACATGGGTTGCTCAACGACGACTTGCGATACGGAGCGGAGCGCAAGGATTGTAACATATTGTGCCAGTACATCTGGATATGACGACGGGAGTTTTGGACCCTACCGAGGCGCCGAGAATCTGCCAGCGGAAGAAAACCATGTACGATGGGTTGGAACTCGAGATGGCGGGATACATAGACATGGAGGCATAGATGAGCTCGAGCGGTATGGCAGGGGATAATGTCTAAACGGCCATATCAATGACAGAAAATCTTCTTTCTTGGGTATCTAATTTCCTCCCGTGGCTGCCTTCTTTTTCTCTTCCTCGGCCGCCCGCTTTCTCGCGAGGTAGCGCTCCTTGGCACTTGAGATGTCGCCCTCCGTCTTTTGACTCTTGGAGGCGCGCTCGACCTCCTCGCGCTGGGTTTCCTCTTCCTCTCTTGATCGCTTCATCGACTGCTCCAGCTGCTCTTCGAGCATGCGCGATTGCCGCTCTCGCATGGCCTGCTTCCTGCCAATTTGCTGCCCTGTGACTTCTTTCCGCGCCGCCTGAGCTGGCCGCTCGGCTTCGCGCCGTACCGATTCCTTCTTCTTTGCGCCGACGTTGAGGCCGCCCTTGAGGAGCTGTCGCTTGTCGACGACCTGGCCATCCTCGTTGAGAGCAACAGAGGCTCCCTTTTCGTTCATTTCCTTGGCAACATCTGCCTCAGTCTTTTCCTTGTCTTGCTCCTCCTCCTTGTCATCATTTTGCGGCCCGTTCTTGGCGTTTAGCTCGGCAGACTTGACGACATCCGCGTGCCTCTGCTCATCCTTATCCAGAAGCTTCCTGTAGAATGCGGACATGCCGCCACCCTTGTTCTTTTTCGCCTCCTCCTCTTCCCTCTTCTTCTCTTCCTCTTCTATGCGCTTGTTCTCCTCCTGCTGTTTGCGATATGCCTCCGTCACGAACTTCTCCTTTCCTTCGTACTCGTCGCCCTCGGCCTCTCGTTCCCTGGCGATCTTCTTTTCCTCGGCGATGAGCGCGTCACGCTTGCGCACTTCAGCAGCCTGCATTAGGTTGCGCATGTATTTTGGTCGCTTCTCCTCGTCCTCCTTAGTGGTCTGCTTCTTGGGCTTGAAGGAGTCGTAGACATTGTCGTACTCGTAGACGTTGGCGTCCACCTGAGAGGCGGCTTCGGCATTCTTGCGCGATGTGAGAGAGCTGGAGAGGTCGCCGAACATGGCGTTTAGCTGGCCCTTGGTCTTGAGCTTGGGAGGCTGAGTTGGCGGGCCGTTCTTGGATTTGGTGGGTTTTGCGCTGGTCGATTTAGAGACTGGGAGGGCACCAAAGTCGTCAAACTCTCCAATCTCTTCGGCCTTTCCCTCCTTGTTCGCACCGTCGTCGTCCGAATCGTCGTCGCCGCCAAACATGGGCTTTCGTTTCGGTGGGGCAGGCTTCGACGCGCCTGGTCTTTTGGTCATGTTCAGCCCGAAGGCTAGCGGTTTGCTCATGACGGGCGTTTGTTGTAGTCGGCGAAGTGTACCTTGGTGGGGGAATAATGAGGAGAAAAGGGTAACCGAGCCAATGTCTGGATACGCATCAATTGCGTGGTCGAGTTCCAGGCCGAAAGTCGAGATGGAAGTCGAAGTGCACAAGTTGAACATGACAGGGCTGGGTGGTGCCTACGGATACAGACGCAAAATATATTACAGCGCCCCCTAGCAGCGCACCTTTCGCTCGCCTTGAGATCCCTATCCGCATGAACCCTTTAAAATAAGCCACCAGCCTCTATAACATCTATCATTTGCCCACAATCTCCCTAATCGCACGAGGTTACTTCGCATTTTTTTTTAAGTCCAAATCCGCTATCAAGCCGTCTTCTGCTGTCGTGTGCATCTGGTTGCTTACATCACGAGTCCCGGTCAGTGGCGTCAATCATTCGCCGCTAGTATCTCCATCATATGACGTGATTGGACATCCACCACCATCCGCCCTGCAGCACCTCAAGGACCAAGGTTGCCTCGAATCTCCAACAATACTACATAGATAAAACCGCCGCCGCATAGTTCCTCAAACTTGCCCATAACGAACTGTCTGCTGGTTATATCAAGACCATGGAATCCTGCTGCACCTGTACGACGGTCCTCTCGTCCACTCCTCCCTATTCCAAAGAAGCAGAGGCCTTACCCCATGACCGCCGCCTCGAGTGCTGTGCTAGGATAATCTGTGGCAAATGTATCCATGTTCGTCGCCATGTCTCTCTGCGCCCGTGAACCATCCCTCTGATGCTGTAGTAGGAGAATAAACGCTTCGCCGGCTATTGCCCTTACTGTCAAGTGTCGTCAACCCCGTCCCCTCTACCACAGCGACTGAGAGATCCGCCGGCCTATACCTCGATGCCATCGTCAAGTGCCCGAACTACGGGAATCTCGGATACGCCTCCGCCGTACATGCCAGCCCCCGAGACCAAAGGAACCGCCGAGGCCGGAAAGCATACTCCCGAGTTCGACGACGAAAAGACAGCCGCTCAAGATATCCTCCATTTCCTTGACCATAAACTCGACAGTGTCACATCCTTATCTCTTCGATACGGGGTACCGACTGCCGTTTTTCGACGAGTCAACAACATTACTAGCGACCATCTCTTAGCCGGGAGAAGGACCGTCCTAATCCCTGGCGAGTATTACAAGGGCGGCGTTAGCCTCTCCCCGCGACCTATCGAGGGCGAGGAAGAGGAGCTGAGAAAGAACAAAATCCGCCGCTTCATGACCTCGTGCAAGGTGTCCGACTATGACATAGCAGTGCTATACCTCGAGCAGGCTGGATATGATACTGGGGCTGCCGTCGAATCGTACATGGATGATGAGTTATGGGAGGCGGAGAACCCTCCAGACAACCGAGGGCTAGGGCGCAGGATAAGCAAGGGATACAAGATTCGCGGGCCCTTTTGGAGAGGACTGTGAGGGCAAAGTCTCACGACAGAATACTTTGACATGGATATTAGATTTTATGCTTTCATATAATCGTGCGGGCCATACAGACATCCATTCGCTGGATGCTTTGCTCAACCCGGGACTGCTTTGACCCGATATCTTAACGCCGCTAACCATCCGACCAAACATGGCTTTTGTACAATAGTCCCTACTATGATACCAACTTTCCCTCACTAGAATGCAGATCGTGTGCGAATATCCTACGTATTGTCAGTAACGAGCCACACAGCTGTAAAGGGATTCTACTCACAGAAATCTTCCTCTCGATTTCGCGGACTGAGCGATCTAGCTCCCCTGCGATCATTTGCTTCTTATCATTTGGAAGCAAGTGGTATCTCTCACACAGGTCACCGTCGATGACGCCCTTGACAGGTGCGTAGTATGAACGGTACATCAGATGGTCTCTGCCTGCTAGGGGGGGATCCTCGGTCCGTAAGTGTCCTTCGAGGCTTTGGAAAAAGTCGGCGTCTTCGCGACTGATGAATGGGATGAACACTCCAATAGTGCCCATGATACCACTCCACAGTAGGACATCCTGGCCTCCAACAACTAGGCTGGTTTTGGAAATGGTTGTGGGGATATCCTGAGTGTAAAAGTGGCACATGAGGCTCACCCTATGCGGGGTTCCATGGAGATAATCCCGGCCATTGAGAAGATGCAAGCCAGCTTGCTCCTCATCCGCCTCTTCACTGGCCTTTTCTGGGCAGCGGACGAGGAACATGTTGCCGAACTTGTCACCTCCAGCAACAGATTCATAGTCAACCATAGTCGTGCAGGTTGTCCATCTCGCAATCGTATCGTCGGCAAAGGGGATAAGTTTGTTGCTGCCTGCCTTGTAGGCAACATATGTAATTCCTTGCTGGACATCGCCGACCACGATGCGGCTGCCCTGGGTGTTTAAGGACACAATCTGCTGGGCTGCCACCTCGGCCTGCGCCTTGCGCAGCATTTGTCTCATACCGAGATCGTATACTCGTAGGGTTTTGCCGACGGCAGCAAGAAGCTTGCCTTGGAACGGTAGTAGAGCTAGAGGAGGCTCCTCAACCTTCGTCTTATGGATAAACTCTAGTTCTCTGCCACCCTCCTGGAAGCGGTAAATGTGTAGGTAGCCTTCAGAGAAACTTCGGGGGTTGACAACCATGTCTTTGCCAGTACCAACAACGAGGAAGTTCTCATTATCTTGGCTGGTAAAGGATACGATGGCCGCGCTGACAGCTGCCTCGTTGTTGTCTAGATCAATTGTTTGCAGGATCTGAGGCTCTTCCGAGACAGGGTCGATCACGTTGATGCAAGATGCCCAGCGACGAGTGCCCCGAGGGTGACCGAACTCCTCAGGGGAGAGCACTGTAGAGTCTCCATTCACCACACTTGGGTCGGCGAGCAATTGCGCCCGGAGTTCGGGGGGAAGAGTGTGGTTGTCGGATTCGACTGTGTAGAAAAGAGGTTGGTCGGGATGCTTCACGAGCTTCTTGGGCGTGTAGGTCAATGGAATCGACTTCTGGATTAAGTTGTCTCCCAGTCGGTCGATGTTAAAAATCCTAATATCCAAAACATGTGTCAGTGTCTCATCTCACAAATAGAAGATTCTTAGACAATTGAGTGGATAGGTTGCTTTCAGTAGGAACAATTGGAAAAAATGCGTAATATGGCCTCATAACCCGTAGGCGTAGGATCCAGTTCTCATCAGGTGCAGAAGGAAGGAAAGATGTGCAGGAAAGTGTAAACGTACCTCAAAGATTGACCTTGGATGCCAACCACGCCTTCCTCGCATTGCTCACTGCTGAAGTTCCAACCCCATTCAAGATCGACATAGCTGAGTGGCGTAACCACGAATCCTTTAGTGATAGGATCGGCATATCCTAGCCAGGGTCTTGAGCTCAAACCAAGGACGCAGGTTCGTCCCTGAACAGTGACTTGGAATAATCTCACTTCCTTGGGCCCAAGGAATTTTTGACGGGTGTCAGTGAGCTCGCCGGTGACTTCATCCAAGACGGTTCGTAGATAGACACCGGAATGGAGACCGATGTGGAGATAAAGTGTAGAGCCGCCAGACGAGGAGTCCTCCATGGCAATAATGGCCAAAGATGTGGGTGCGGCGGTCAAGGCTTGTACTGACTTGTTCTCTAGAGTCGAATCAGGGTCCAAGCTGAGAATGCGAACAGTGCAGTCATCACAGCCGACAGCGAGGAATGAACTTCGCAGTCGACCTTCGGGGATGTCACCCAGGCTCAGACAAGTGACGGTGCCAAACATCTCCTTTTTCTCGTCATATTCGGCCAAAGAACCGTCACCATCCATCTCAAAGTAGACGATCTCACCGGAGCTCAGAGCAACTGCTACTTGGTGGGCGTTGGCAGTAGCAGCCACAATAGACCTGTGCTGTGGAGCAGCCCATTCATTTACGTGGCCATTGCGAATATGTCTGATACCCTTGGGGTGCACTTGAATCAAACCGTCCTCACCAAGAAGCTGGGCGGCAAGCGTGGGAACACTCGTGAGGAAGCCTGAGTCGCTAACTTCCTCCACGGTTTCGCCAATGCTGAGTACAAGGGTGCCGTTGGTGAAAGAGAGGACAATGTAGGCGTCGTATTGCTCATTTCGGTTCAGCTTGAGCGTCCACACGGCTGATGGAATTCCAGGGAGTTCTGAGGCCACAATTTCGTTGACCTCCAAGCCATGCTTGAGCGTTCTGAATGTGCTGCGGGCGCCGTTTCCGCAGACAGTATAGATCTGAGGAGCGTCTTCGCCGGTAAGGTTGGCGACCTTGCAGTCGATGAGGGGGTTCATCGCAGGTATGCTCTCAACCAAGGCCAAGTTTTCCGTTGGCCTAGGGTGGAAGTAGACTGGATCATATGACGCCCTTGGATCCGCTGGGAAATCGTCACTCAAGAACTCGAGTTCCTCGTCATCATCTCCCAGTTTCTCGAACTGATAGAAGGCGTAGTTGCCAAACTGGCTGGCAACGTACAGGAAACCGCTCTTCAAAATGCAAAGACTGGAAGCGACAGGAGCGGTGTCAAAATACTTAATCTTGAGCCTCCTGACCTCTCCTGTGGGGTTTCCATCTTCATCCTCGACCATGTCGATTGTGAGCTTAAAAAGATCGCCATCCTCGGACTGCAATAGGAAGAAGAAGGCACCGGCACTACCTTTCAGTTTGTGCATTACTCCAGCCACGATTGTGCGCTTCCGAGATGGATCTTCCGTTGCGCCGCGTCGACGAGGGACTGGGACACGGAATGCCTCCTGGTTTGAGTGACGGTAAGTGATATTTTCCTCTCCGCAAACAAGAACACCACTTGGTCCATCATTGCCACCTGGAACTTGGAATAGCACCGAGGCTGTTGGATCAACAGGCTCTGACCACTTGCGGACCACGTGGTTGAGTCCCAAATCGAGCTCGTAGTAAACCAGCTGAGTCTCCAGCTCCTCCATGGCCTGTCCGGTGGAGTCTTGATCGACTTCCGTGTAGTCGATTTCGAGGGCTGCGAAGACGGGGTTGGCATATCCAACATCCAATGCGACCATTGAAATGACAAGGACACCAGGCTTGTGGGCCTCGAGGGGTGACGAAATCGTTAGCTCCGCCTGAGAATTCCTGTTCAGGACATAGACGAGCTTGTTCTTTTCCATCGAGGCGATGAGACATGCTCGACCCTTAGGATCACAGGCAAGATACTCGCCCGGAATGACTCGTCGAACACCGGACTTGCCAAACGTCTCCAGGTGCAATCGCGAGAAGCGGTTTTGGGCGGGGACATATTCAATAATGGTGATCCGACCGGAGTCAGTTGCCAGGATCAGATAGTCTGACGAGCAGAGTTAGCAACCATTTGTTCCATTATCGCGTCTTGCGTTCGCGTTCGATGGGCGCGGCGTGAATCGCGTCTATGGCGTCGCCTTCGAACATCACTAAGTGACACTTCAGAGGATGGCTTGAATGACTTACCCTTGTTGCTTCCGGCGAGGCGAAAGGCCGCTAGGGAGCGGATGATACCAAAGACATCATGAGAGAGGAGGGTAACGACTTTTCCCTGGGATGGGTCAGGTCGCAACAGGGTCAGCTGCGAGCCGGCAGCGGTGATGATGAGCTGCTCTTTTGTGCCTGCGAACTGGCCCAGAACCGCTTGGACGACGTTGGTTGGTGGCTGGATCGTCAGCGAGTAGAGGAACATGTTCGACGTGGTCGCCATGTTCGCGGCTAGGCGCAGTCGAGCCTGCGCGGCTTCAAGGGCTTAGGTAGTCCGATTGAATCGCGTGGAAGCTGAAGTTTGAACTGCGAGAACTGTGAGAGCTTTGACTTTCGAAAGTTTGGCGCGCGTCGGAGGAATGATATTGCGGCGCACCGTATTGTGGTCCGAGCTCCTCGAAATATCCCACCTGCGCAACACCACGATTACTATCCAGCGGATTCTAAGACGACCATTTAAGTCTCAACCCCCAAAGTCTGAAGAATATGGAGCCCGCTTTCCGTCGTGCGGCTTCTAGCCTTTGTGGGCGTTGTTCCTCGTCAGTTCGGAGGCAATTGGTCACCGGAACCCCAGCGAAGCCTTTGATCAGATTATCAGCCCACCACCTCCGGAGTTTCCATGGGAGTGTTTCCAAGCAACACAAACGAACGACGCCTGAGGCGAGGGATTTCTCGACTTCCACAGCATCGAAATCCGAGGCCGCTGCCGCTTCGAAAGCTCCCGAGGCCCCATTACGGCTGAGCGAGGATGACCTGTTCCATCCATTTTCCAAGTCGCCTGTTCCCGAGTTTCGACGCCGGGCGGCCTTCATGAAACAGCATGCCTACTGTCCTCACCCTGACCACCAACCGACCAAACTCCCAACGGTCGCACAAAAAGCCGAAGTCGCCGAGACATCAACTGGAGAACAAGCACCTGCCCATGTCGACTTTGAGTGCCCCGATTGCGGATTGCCGGTGTACTGCTGCGAGGAACACTGGATGGATGACTACGAGAAGCACCTAGAAATTTGCGATACCCTTCGACAGATCAACGAGGACGACCATGACCTCCGATCTGGTCGCGTTTTCCACGAAGCCAACCTTCCCGATCTTCAGATGGTTGAGTCTGCCATCAACATGACGAACTGGGATACATTCATGTACACGCGAGAGTTTGATGCTGTCAACTCGGATCGGTCGATGCGACAAATCACCCGCCTCTTGACTTATCCGGTTACAATTGGCAGCGTTCTCCATGAGTTGAGCCCCTACAGCATCAAGGATGGCGAGCGCCTAACGATGGAGGGATTGAAGAGTTTCAGTGGTGAGTACGACCACTGTTAACGGCCTTAAATTAGACTAACTCAACATAACAGCTCTGCGATACAACCTGCACCCGGCCAAGTCCGGCCTGGGTACCGATGTCACGCAACTGAAACCCGAGGCTCCCCCAGTTAGACTGTTCATCCTGGGCGCTCGTGCTGAGTCCTCTCTGCCACGACCTGCCTGGGTCCAACTGGCGCACATGTTCCCCGAGTCCCGGTTGCACCTCATCTTTGTCGGCCCAGAAAGCATGGCCAACCGAGATGACGAGTTCCCGCTACCAGAGCGAACTCCTTCAAACCCCTTCGGAGCCATCGTGGAAGACCGAGTCTGGTACAAGATGAAGATCAGCACGATCGTAGACTACTACCATACGCTGCACCAGACTGGACACTTCGCGCCGTATGATCCCTACTTTGACTGCTTTGTTCTATTCCACCCTGGATTGGGCCACCCCGCTAGCAGTCACGAGTGGGAGGAAACCCTCCCCATGCTCCTGGAGACCAAGGTGCCCATTATCAGCACTGGATACACCCAGTTTGACATGGAGCGTGATGTTGAATGGGTCAAGAATAAGTCAAAGGGCGAGTTCGATATTCTCCTGCAGCCTGGTGAGAACAAGTTCAGGAGTCTCAGATGGGACCTGAACGACCTGGATCCCCAGGACGTCAGTGCCGGCAACTGGGGCGTGTGGGCATTCCGAGGCAAGAGGTACAGTCTCAGCAATCACCATTCTTGGTAAATGAACGCTAATCACTTTCTACTTAGATATGAGACAACCACTAAGGATGTTTGAATGTGAAAATATAGAGGATAAATGGGTGAAGGAGGCGCCGTTGTAAGCCATACTGTACAGAAATCCTTGTATTATCTACGGCCAGTTCTACTGGACTGGCCCATCTTGCTTCCGCAACAAAAAAAAAATATACATCTCCTGAACTTATGCCTACTGGAGCTATCCAATATTCCCCCTTGTCTTTTTATACATTTTTTTTTTGGCACGACTAGAGTGGCATTGTTGTTACCGTTGTAACGCCTCATCGTGGGCGTCAGGCTTTGGAGGCTAATGCACGTGCGGGGAGCCTGCAGCGCACGGTTCACGCGGGTCAGCCCGCGCGTGTGCAAGGAGCCAGGAGCTTGACACAACGGCATGCGGCTGGTCTGCGGCCCAATATCAACTTCAACTCCTCCACCATCCGCCGCTCCGGACGCTTTTCCGCAACGTCCTCCGCGACCGACGCCGACCGCCGAAGCCGACGCCGGGCCATGGTCACGTAGCTCCGTCCGACTCGCCGGTCATGACCGCCACAACCGCCGCCGCTGCCGGCCCTCCCACACGAGCGCCGGTCCCGCGCCCCAAGACGGCCTCTCCCGGTCCCGATGCGCCACCTGCCGCTGCCCGCCGATCCAACCGCCCTGGCGCAGCCGACCCTCTCTCGGACCGAGCCACGTCCCTTCTTATCCGTCGCACGCTATGCCCTCAACAGCTTGGGGACAAAGGGCGGGATGCGCCGACTCCCATCGACGAGCTTCTCCCGCCCCTGACGAGTCGGAACGACATGGACCTCCAACTCTACGCCTTCCTAGCCATCATCCTGAGGGAGTTTGTACAGAGCTGGTACAGCAAGATTACGACAGACGAGAACTTTGTGGCCGAGATCATCCACATCATTGCGCACTGCTCGCGAGCATTGGAGCAACGGTTTAGGAAGGTCGACCTAGAGAGCCTACTCCTGGATGAGATACCTGATTTGCTGGACAAGCATATCACCGGTGGGTGCCACGCCTGAGAGACCCGAAACACCATCTGACCATTTCAAGCCTACAGGACTGCCCATCGTGCCATGGCGCGGCCGCCGATAGTCGCAGATCCCCGAGAGGTCTATCACGCTCTGTGCCCCCTTCCGCACCTTGCGCCAGTGCCGTGCCCAGATGACCCGCTCACGGTATCTGACCAGCGGGAGAACGAGGCGCTCTACCGTCAGCTGCTCGTTCAGGGCGTGCTAGCGATCCTTCTGCCCACTGAGGACCTTGAGAATCCTTGTCTCACAGCCCTCGTCGAACAGATCTTTTCCGAGCTCATCATTGGCAATGTCATAGCCAATAAGGCATCTCAGCCGTGGCTTCTATACGAGGGCATTTGCATCACAGCAAGGGTCCTACAGGAGAAGAAGACGAAGAGTGAATGCACTACTGCGGCTAACACTCAGCCCTCGGACGCCAGGTTGGAGGTGAAGGGCGGCCGCCGCTGGTCGATTCGAGGACTTTTCCTCGGGTTGATTCAGCTCGGTATGCTTCTAGTCGGGTCGATTCGACTCATCACCATGACGCTAGTTATGGCCTCTTCGTTACCTCCTAGAGCCACGCCCTTTGATGAAAAAGGAGTTGTGACAGATTGCGGCAACGCCAAGGACGACAAGTCCCTATCAGGAGGCGGGCCTTCTGCATTTGTCAAGGCACCCGTCCTATCCTTTCGAATCTGGGCGTGTCTGGGCAACTTGGTCGAGATGGGGTCACGAATGCCCTGGCTTGATGGCTTTCTGTCATTATTACAGCTCGGAGCAGTCCACGGACCCGGACGAATGGCTGGCCTCGACGGGCCTGTTGACAGGTAAGATATGCAGGTTTCCTCCGTTCTTGCTTCCCTCCATGGTTGCGCATTTGACCCCTCCCATCCACTCGCATATATCCAGAGTCACTGGACCCTCGCCTGCTCCAGTGAGCTCGCAGAACAGGGCATCTTCAACGGCACCGCTAGCATTCGGGCCGCCCGCTCTCCATTGCGGCCCATACCCGTCTCTTTTCGGTCCCGTGTCAGGGATTTTGTCAACACACTGTCGCAGTCGTGCGAGGGCAAGCAGTCTCGGTGTCTCGAGATGGAGTCGATGGGTCTCCAGGATGTGTGGCCAATGGAAACGCCCAGCTCAGGCTCTGGCTTCCGATTGCTCGACAAGAGGCGCCAGCCTACCAGTCACGGTCCAGCCGGAGGTCGAGTTTACGCGCCCGGGCTGAACCGGGATGCCAGATTCTCGAGACGGGGCCACATGCTCTGCCGCCTGGTTTACGCTCTGCACTATGGCCTCGTCTACAATGGGCCCTACCCATGATGCCTACCCATGATGCCTACCCATAATGCAACGTTGAGAGCTTGTTTTGGCTTCCGCCTCGTGCCGCGCCACCCGGGAGGCTAGTTTGATATATCGCCGAAGGCCACTTTGCCGCGGCGTGTCGGAGGCGTGTCAGAGAGGGCGGCGGGCTTGCTCACGCCGTCAACGGCATTGCTGCTGTTGGCTGAGCCAAGCGACAGAAGCAGCATGGCGTTAGGCGTTGGGCGTTGGCCCTTGTGCCTTGTGCTTTGTGGAGCAGAGCGGCAGAGCCCATGCTGGCGTCCACCGGCCATTGCGCCGCCCGCATGTGTCTGGGTGGTGTCGGTGTGGTGCCTGTATGAGGCTTCCGGCGTGAGGCTTGCTGCATGGCCTCCTGGGCTCGTCTTTTACTTGGGGGCCGTCTGGTGGCATTGGGCGATGCATAATTCGCAATTCCACACCACCATGTCAGCCCATGGCCGCGGCGACGGTCACATCTACGGTCACATCGAACGGCCGCATCTACGGCCACATCCACACCCACATCCGCGCCAACGTCCACACCCACGTCCACATCGGCTGCCGTGTAATCTCGCAGGTCTGCACCAGACACACGCATCAGACACACTTGCATCAGATACACACACATCCGACGTGCCTCTGTAGCCTCTGCTGCACCGCGCTTCCCCGCACCCGACGCCCTCTGTCTGGCCATCCCTGTCGTCAATTTCTTCCTCTCTTCGCGTCTCATGCCTGCCCGGCGTTGCAGATCTACAATCCTACCTCCCTGGCAGCTGGCCGCCCGTCACCGGTCGCTGATGCCCAATGGACGATATACAGCCTCATGTTACTCCCTTCGGCAGACCAACTCCATCCATCCTTGTTCTTGGCCCCTTGCTGCAGTCCTTCCGCTCCCCCACGCCGGCCTAGTCGCAAATCCCCCGTGCTAACCTCTTTGGCAGGCTTCTTTCGCATCACATCCAGTCTCTCCTCTCACCGGCTCACCTGCCCCCCCTCCTGCGCACCATCCGTGGCGTCCTGTTCCCCAACAACGCCCCTGGCACGTCCACCTTGTTCCCTCCCTCCTCCGATGCCGAGCTGCAGGCCCTCCGTCGCAGAGCCGCTAATGCTCTTTGGGGGCTGCTGCCGAGCGGGGTGGCCAGACTCTACTTTGGCGGTCGCTTGTGGCGGCCTACAGGTGATGGGGCTGCTACCGAGCACGACGCTGCCGTCGACGAGCTGGAGCACTTGCTCCTGGTCCTCGACGACGAGTACTGCAACAAGCACCTGATGTACAGCGTCTTGGAGCTAATCCTGGTCAGGCTCATGCCCGAGCTGAGCGAGAAGGGCGTAGTCGAGCTCCAGGACGAGAGACTCGGTTAATGGTGATGGATGATGATGAACGGTGTATGCCCCCGTACGCTTTTTGACGATACCCACAGCTCTATAGTAATGAAGACTTGATTTCACGACATTCACCACGAATCATGGAACAAGGGAGTTTTTAAGATCAAGGGCATTCCCAAATGCACAAGTGCCGCCCATTCCTATCCTCCAACTATCTCGACTCTGAAGGTCTGTTCCCTTGGGATGTGCGAACCGTCCAAGCCAGGCAAAATCTCTCAATCCTGCCCAACTCAGCCCGTTTCGCTCCTGGCCACGTCAAAATCCTCGGGGGCGCCGAAAATAGGCGATTCCTCTCCGTCCCCCTTTCCCCCTTGGCCCAGTTTCTTCGTGTCACGTCTGTGAAGACGCAAATTCGACCCATTTCCAAAGAACACCTTAAATGTCCCCCACCCCCTGTCGCCCTTCCGTCCATGCTCGTTTGCCTTGCAGCAAGTGTCCCTCAAAGTCTTAAGCAAGAAAAATAAAATAAAAACCAGAAACAAGCGCGCGCGCGCAAGATAATTATGCCCTCCTCGAACAGTCATATATCCTGGGTGATAGAAACAAAACATTTAGGGAAGGGAACGAGGGTTAGTAAGAAAAACATAACGTAAGGAAACAGATAGTAAAGAGAAGGAAACGAGAAACGCGGGATGCTAGGGTTGCCCTTGAGAATTGTGAAAGCTGTGGTTGCCGTCGTGGTGTCCTCGTGTTCGCTGGAGAGTTGTTTCGCCATCGTACATCTCCGCCGTGATCCATCCGTCCGTCCATCCTTTCCATCGTGACCCCAATAATCCCATCCTGTTCCGTCGTATTCATTCCCTCCATAATCGGCCTTTTACTCCCCCCCCCCCCTCGGTCCTTCTCCGAGCTCCTCCTTCGAGCAAAAACAAGCACAGCAAGTGCAGTTAAATGTGGTGTTTAATATTTCGGGTCGCGTGAGCGGGCGAAAAAGTCTTCCTTGTGGTATCGGGTATAAAAGTGTTATTTTGTGCGGTTCGAAGAAGATAATGATTCGAGTCGAAGTCGACGAATAAAGCGGTAGAGATAATCGCTCGATCGGTTTCACGTCGCTGAATGGTCTGTCGCCAGTATATGTGTAGAGTAACCGCCACTTCCAAGCGGCCATTTTCCTTCCCAATCCTTTCCATACTAATGCTTGCCCTTAAAGGCATGGTGTTGTGATAACTCGTCCCGGGCGCCAAATCCAGCGCTCGGAGGGTACCAATTCAGTTGTCTGCGGCTACTTCCATAAGCAGCTCTTATTGTGTGAAGCACAATGCTTCAAGGGTTGCTCTCGTGTGGGTGAACAGCAGCCTTCTGCATAAGTTATTGCTGATCTAAAGATCCTCTGTACTGTGAAGCAGGCAGTTGCATCGGTCCATCGGAATGGTATGCCGCCCTGGGGTGAAAGGCCCTGGTAAAATCAAATAACAGAAACGCCAAGAATAAACGCAAATCAGGAAAGATATATCAGCACACGCAGGCGCGTTATGCAGACTCCATCTTTGCCTGCATCACTGAGGGCAGCTCAACGTCGCCCTCGGGGATCCGGGAGAGGCCCCCTATCGAGGGCCTCCCAGCCTGATGTTGGTGGATTTGCAATTTCTTGGTCAGCTGAACGACAGTCATGTATTCGCTCGAGTCGAAAGTGCCCGCGTTCTGGATGTAGCTGAGCAGGGTGGCCGCGGCACGACGAGCGTCCTCCTGGGATGGAGACACAGGGGAAGTGTCCAGCGGGGTGGACGAAATACCGCTCGTAGTCACAGGCGTGGTCGAGGAGCGAGTCATGCTCGAATTGCTGCTGCTGCGGCGCAGAGTAGGGGGCGGCGAGTTGATGTTCGTGTCGATGGCAAAGGGGGCTGCCATGTCAAGAGCTGGCGAGTCCAGAGCCGAGGACGGCGCGGTCGACGAGGGCTGATGTCGAGGAGTCATGGGCTCATTTGAAGCTGTCTGGTTCACGTAGTCAATGTTGAGCGACGGGAAGGTATTACTCCTCTTCTCGCGATGTTGAAAGTCGGGTGGACCGCGCAGGTGGTCCATCGGGAAGCCTCCCACGTTGGGATCGGGCGAGAAGGTAAACGGCGCCGTCGGGCTCATGGTTCCGGAGAAGGACGAGTTTCCTGTGTCCCGAAGATCGCTCGTCAGGGACGTCGTCGACTGGGACTCGGGATGCTTGTAGTGGAAATCGAAGCCGAGGCCGTCCGCGTGCGTCTCCTCGTCGCTCCGGCTCCCCGAGAGTGGTGACAACTGGCCGGTGGGCGATGAAGGCGAGATTCCGTTGGAACCCTTGTCATTCTTGGTCATCAGCGTCGACATTCGGGCGCTATCAGGAATGTTCGTCTCAGACGCCCGCCGCATCAGCTTGCCTGCTCCGATGCCGTGCTTCTGTTTGAACTTCTGCAGCCAACTGCTGGTCAAACTGTTAAGGAGGGTCTCCTGGTTGCCGCTTGCGTGGGCGAAAAGTCTGGCTTGCTCCATGATTTCCTCATCGGCAACTTCGAAGCCTCGTTGTTGCTGTCTCCTGACGTAGTTGCTGAGGGTTCGGTCGAAGTCAGGATGCTTGCCTTTGGCACGCTTCAGTGCGGCATGATCCGGTTCTTGATCGCGCTTGAGGTACTGATCCCTCTGTCGCAGTACCTTGGAAACCGTGCTGTGATATCAAGTCAGATCCATCCATCCATGATAGCCTCTACCACCTTAGGGACCTACCTTCGCTCCACCCCGAAGCGTGCGCCGATGTCTGCCTGTCTAGTTCCTGGGTTGTCCTCGTGGAACTGGCACATTGCCCGCTTCTGCTCTGTCGTCAAGGTCTTCCTCGACTTCTCATGCTGCGCAGGCAATCGCGGAGGGTCCACGGGGGGCGCACTCGAGACGGTGGGGATAGATACGGGGGGAGCCGAGTAGCTCCCCGAGGGGGTCGGGTTCGTCAACTGGCTCGGCCAGGTGGTGTTCAGCATTGGGAGCTGGTGATGAGCCATGGGTGCGGGTTGGATCATCTGGTGAGGTTGTGGTGGCGGAGGAGGCATGCGGTTGATTGATTCCGATGGCAGCCCGTGGGGGACGTAAGCACCAAACGAGTTGTACTCTGTTAGCGGGCTTTGGCTGTATGGGCTCTGGCTGTAAGGGCTCATGCTGGTCCACGTGTCGCTGCCATAGCCATTGCTCTGGGCCATGGTTGTGTCGTGGCCCATGGTCGACGTCCCATTGACGTTGTGCATCTTTCTGCGTTCTTGTCCAGCCAGTGCTGGATAGTTGAGGAGGATTCCCAGGAATTGGGTATCCGCTCAGCAGCACCAGGGAGCCTCGCCTTCTCTAGCGAGTCAGGACAGCAGGGCGAGCGAGACCTGCGCCGGTGGGAGTGATGGGATCCGAGTCTGGTGACGAGATGGGGGAGATGAGTCTCTTATCCCCAGCTAGTGAATTAATGTGAGGGCTGTCACGAACAACACCAACGGACGAGGCGATGCATCGTCTTGCTGAAGTGGGGTTCTAAATGTGCAAAAGGAGGCCGCGGTCCGCGTCCAAATCACCGTTGTTGGCGCTGTCGTTGTCGGAGTCGATTAAAGCCACAGCCAAAGCCAAAGTCCAGGGGCGTTCGTCTGAACAGCGACGGGCTGTTGCTCTTGCAGCAACACGCAGGCACGCACTCGAGACCAACAGCAGCTCTCCCAACGACGGGGCCGTGGGACGTCCGGGTACCAGGCCGTTCCCTCTGTTTCTCAAACCGGCCCTATCTGCAAGCCCTTCCTAGCCGGGTTGGGACCTGCTGAGGAGCCCTTCCACGCGAGACGGCCAAGTGAGACACCACGGGAAGCTTCTTTGGTTGCTTTTTTCTCGTTGCTCTCGTGGGGCGGTTTGCGGAGACAAGAGGTCCGTCGAAAGGCAAACGCGGCGGAGTACACGGCAGAGTGAAGAGGAACGGGGGGTGACAGGAACGGGGAGTGAGGTGAGTGAGTGAGTGAGTGAGCGAGGGAGTGATGAGTCGTTGGTAGAGCGGGTTGATGGGTACCCATAAAGTCAGTTGGCAACGACGAGTCAACGGCGAGTCGACGACAAGACTGGAAGTGTGATCCAGATTCCAGAGGAGGCGACGACGACGGGGTCAAGTCGAGAGACGAGAGAGTCGGCCGCAGTTCAAACCAAAGAGCACTCACTGTAGACGTCCCAGCACGAAGCCAGAGGCGTTTGGAGTATATCGACTATTAGGTGTGCGGTGCGAACAGGACATGAGCCATGCACCACACTACATATGTACGGACGAGGCCTGGCGACGGATCATGTCCTCCTTGTACATATGTAAGAATGCAGACGCACGAGGAGTACCGGGCCAGGGGTGGGGGGGGTGTGGTGGCCTCGCGGCAAGGGGGGGTGTGATAGAGGGTGAGAGAGAGAGGAGGGTGAGAGAGAGAGGAGGGTGAGAGAGAGAGGAGGGTGAGAGAAGAACCAGACCCAGTCCCAGTCCCAGTCCCAGTGTGAGCGAGCGAGGAAAGAGTGTGTGTGGGTAGGATTGAATCGAGCAGCCAAGTCTGGGCGGGTGCGTGAAGCGTGGAGCATGGAGCGGATAGTGTCTGTGTGTGCATGTCTGAGAGAGAGTCTGTGTGGTTGGGGATTGGGGGAATGAGAATGAAGAAGAACGGGGAACCTGGCTGGCATGGGGTATGACAAGACGACCGATGAACCAGGGCGTCTTTCACACGCGCATGCAGCAGCGCTCAGCATTCAGCAGCAGCATTCAGCATTCAGTACTTGAAGCCTTGAAGGAAGCCTTGATGAAGCATTCAAGCATCCAAACATCCAAGCCATCCAAGCATTCACACACACGCCCGTTGTGGTTTCTGGTTCCCAGGTCGAATCCATATTCTTCCTCCACCACCTACCTCCCAGACACCGAGCGTCAAGTACTGTACTGTACTTACTCTCCCTCCCGGAAGAAGCTAATGGACCTACCTGTCCACCAACTCTCTCTATCCGTCGTGATCCTTACCGCGTTGCCACGGCGGGAAAAGCAAAGAAAACGATTCATCAGCCGTTGGTGGACGCTCCCCCCCCCCCCCCCTCCCCGGTCTGCGGCAATCTGATAGGTGAGTTGCCCTCCTCCCTCTTCCTTCTCCGTCCGTCTGTCTCAAGTCTCAACGAGAAAAAAACTGTCCAAAGCCGCTTTCTGATCGGCGGTGGCATGGGATAGCGGGAAAAAAGTAAGCAATGACAGGACGACATGCCATAAGACAAGCTCAGGTGGGCGCCGCGCCAGTTAGCCCGCTTGTTTTGGACCGAAACGTTCTTCTTCTTTGGTCCTAAAATCGTCCCCTTGTTCCTCTCGCTTGTTGGGGCTTGTTGACGGGCTTGACGGGCTTGAATGGGCTTGATGGTTCCTCTCTTCCTCGTTCGTCCGTCCTCCCTTCCATCCCAATCTCTCCTTTCCAATCTGGGCCGACGGACCATCACCGAGCAGGTTAGGATCACTAGGCCATGAGGTTCCTGGATGGATCCGGCCGACCAGATGAGGTCAGAGATGGGGGCACCCACGCCGAATCAGCGCCTACCGTGGCCCATCAGGCATGAGGCATTTCGATGGCCAACTGTGTTGGACCATTTGAGGTCAGTGTTAGCTTTTCTCCCGCCCCCCACGAGGGAACCACTCGCGGGCTGGCCCTTCATCCAACTCCATCGTCAAGGGACAGAGAGAGCGCGCGCGCGCGAGAGAGAGAGAGAGAGACTACTACTACGACGGACCAGGGGGGCGTGCAGCGGGCGTGTGTTGGGTTGAGGGGGCTTGCGGCGGAGACCAAGAGACGCGCGGGCTAAGAGATGGGCCAAAAGCCACCCAGCTCGCGCTCTCAGAGGGTCAATAGAGGGACCAGGAGAGGACCAGTAGAGGGCCCTAGGTGCGTTCAACACGCCCTCGGGGGGCTTCAGGCCATGCGATTCGATGGCCGCAAATGCTGGCGGGCGGGGAGGGCCCTACTCCCGAGAGCCCACTCGGTGGGCCGGTCACCTGTTAGCCCAGATCCTCCCCAGATACGAAATGCCGCCCTGCTGCTGGCTAGTTAGGCGGGCCAGGCGGGCTGCTGGCGGGCATGGAATGGCGTGGGATGGGATGGGATGGGATGGGATGGGACGGGACGGTCAAGACACAGCCTGGGAGCCTGGGAGCCTGGGAAGCCCTGGAGTATTTCGAGCCCGCAGTGACCAGTGACGGCACCCCGGTGAGATCGACTGACGGATCATGGATGAGATACAGGTGACGGGAGGTCCGGCGGTGCATGGCCAGGGTCCTCGTCCGTCGGCCCCGGCCCAACTGGTCTAACTCGTCCAAGGGCGTCCAGTGCGTCCACAGCGCCAGGGATGTAGCCATGGAGCATGGAGCATGGAGCATGGAGAGCCGGCGAGTTAGAGATTGTCTGAGGGAGGGTGGGAAGGGTAGGGCCTTCGGCCACGAGAATGACACTGTCACTGTCACTGGCACTGGCTGACTGACTGACTGACTGCCATCCGTTGTTAGCTGCTTGGCTGCTTAGCCCCAGGCACAAGAGACACAGGAGCCGTCAGCCGCGCGAGCCTTGTTGGCTGGCTACCCCTTCTCGGAACCCCGAACGACTAGACGACGACGGCGCGTGTATCACGGCGCTCGGAGAGCTGGGAGATCAACGCCCTGAGGACGTCCTCCGACCGGATGGGGCGATCCGGGAGCTGTGCTTGTCTCATCGGCGGCCACTCAGCAGCGAGGCTTCGCAGCTGATCGGCCCTGGACGACTTTTGCTGCTGGGCAATGCTAGTAGGCAATGCTAGGTAATTAATGCTGGGTGACGCAGCTCAGCCTCGCCCTCGGTCCGTTGCCCGTTGCCTGTCGTTCCTTGTGTGGTGCATGCCGGCCTCAGCTCCGCTCTTGTTTCTGTTCTTGTCTCTCATCTTGTCTCTGCTCTGCTCTGCTCTGCTCTCCTCTCCTCTCCTCTCCTCTGAGCCCCTCACCCGTCCGTCCTGCAGCCTGCCTCGTGGTTCCGGCATGGTCGCGCCATGGCCAGGAACATGGAGAGGGACCGAACAAGCCAGGGCGTCGCGAGGCACGTTTTCTCCATGGAGAAGGGAGAGGCCATGAAATGGGTCCTGCTTCCGTTCCCCTGGTCAAGCCTCCTCGGCGGCATGGCTGACTGGTGAAAGTCTAGCGCGAGCCAAACATGTTTTCCTGTCCGTCGAAGGGCCAGCCCGGGCCAGACATGGCATGTATGTGCGAAGTCCGCAGTACTGTGCGAAGCGGCTGGCTTGTACTTGGTAGCTGAAGGTACAGTAGTACAGAAAATACGGTCGTACGCGGACCCTGGATGATACCGGGGTCAGACAGAGCCTACTGCTACTCCGTAGAGGCTAGGAGGTACTTTGTACCGGCGGCAGGTGTTTTGACGCGGCCCACTTGACGGCATGTTCTCTACGTAGAGTCGGTCTGCGATGCCGCTGCTGTTGGAGGAGGCCAGGTCGAGTCCGTATTGCTCGACGAGGCGGTGATGAAGGAGGAGGTCCATGCTAGTCACGGCTCCGCTCCATCGTCATGGTAGATGTGCGCTCGGTCCCGTCGTGTGGTTTTTGAAGAACTGGTGTAGTTAGAAGGCAAGTGAGTGAGTGAGTGAGTGAATGTCCTTGCCCTTGTCCTCAGTCCTCGTCCTCTATCACCGTCATCATCATCATCACCATCCATCACCATCACCCTTCCATCTCTCCTCCTTCTCCTCCTCTTCATTGCCACCACCATCACCGCTAAAGTCTCCTCTTCCCTCATCAAGGCTTGGACATCGACATGGCCTTCGGGATTCCGCAACTGGAATGAGGGTGGGTCGATGGGTTAATGGCCTGGTCCAACCCATCCCATCCTGTACTGTTCTATACTGTGCTGTACTGTGTCCCTCCTCTCTCCCCTGGTGCCCTGGGACGGCTCTGGTCTTGGCCCTCGCTCGACCTTGCCCGGTACTGGACTTTGTCAGGGTACCTATACCTTGACGGACGGAGATCTAGACTAGTGGGACGGCCCTTTTGGAGCGGTTTGACAGCCGCCTGCCGCCATCGCCATTCCGCCCCCGTCTCCGTCCCCTGTCAGCCATCCATGCCTGCCCATCTCTTTTGACTTTCTCTAACCCATGCAATATCCCCAGTCTTCTGTTCGTCCATCTGGGCTCGCCCTCTATTGATTAGTCCTGCCAGCGATGCCTGCCCGGGTGGGAAAAAAAGGTCTGAGCTGAGAGACAGAGAGAGACATGGCAACATCGACAGGGGAGCCACGAAGGTAGGTAGCAGCCAGCTTATACACACCCGGATCTACTACGTTAGTAAACATCACAACCCATCGGCCGCAATTTCCGGTCCGTCCAACACGGGAATCTCTCGCCCCTCCTCAGAGCAGCATTGGGCAGCAACTGGCAAGAAATTGACTTCCTCCATCAAGACGAGAGGGGGCGCGCCGCCGTGGGCGTGCAACAATGGCTTCCCCCAAGCGATGTCGCTGTTTCCGCCGTCCGGATGTTGTTCCCGTTGGCCAGCTCTATCAAGATCCCTGACGCCGGGCCTAGGGCAATCGTGGACGGTATTCCCCTTTCGCCGCGCCCACCTCCCACACACGTTTCTTTTTGCTGCAGGCGGTTTCTGTTGCAGGCAGTCCGCATACCTAGCTAGTTAGTACCGTACCTACGTAGTCGGTATGTGCGTACAGTGCAGCATCCGCATCCGCATTCGCAGCCAGCATCCGAACTGGTCGATCCGGGCAGTGGCCCATCCGCAAAGTCCAGTCGGGATACATGAAAGAAGAGAGAGGACGCTTCGCTTGCGATCATCAGGCCCCAATCCCAATCCGTTCGCCAGAGTTGGTTGCAGTAGTCTCACATCTCACATCTCCCGGAGCTTATCAAACGCGGTGGCAGCCAACCCGTTGTGCTCCATTGACCTCCGATGGCGCCTCCGTGAGTCTCACCTTGGTCGTAACGAATTGCTTCGGAGATGCTCCCCCCCCCCTTCCCCCTTCCCCCTCCCCCTCCCCCTCCCCAGGACATGACGCATCACCCATCATGACGACACTGGCATGGACGGGAGAGAGACGCCGCAGCAAGGTGAGGAAGGTCTAGATCTCATGATCTCATGACAGGGCACGCACCAGGCGTCGACGACTGGTTGATGGTGTTACTCCGACGGGGCCAATGGCATCGCAGAGCGTCAACCAGCAAAGCTCATGGGGTAGCCTCTGGGCAATGGTTGCTAATCAAGCGTAACCGGGCTTCTTATTCTCAAGGCCGGCCCTTGCACTGCCCGATTAAGATCTCAATTCGTCATGGTGGGCGGTACCCTGACCGGACGATGAGAAGGCAACCAAGAGGGTGTGAGTGTGGTCGTGTGTGTCTGGAGTTTGCATCCATCCCGTGGTCACCCCCCCATGGTCCAAGACATCTCGACGTCCATCCACTCATCGTCACGTCCACACATCCATCATGATGCTCACGTCCACATCCCATAGCATAGCCCATCCTTCCACCTTCTGCCGCCCTCAACTCTCTCACTCTCCCCCAGGGTTCCAGGGTTCCAGGGTCCCAGGGTCCCAGGGCCGCCACGTTCGCCATTGGCCGTGACCGCCCCCCTCCCGTTGACGTCTCTCGCTCCGGCAAGGCAAGGCAAGGCTGGCCATCGCCGCCAACAAGCAGACGTCCATGCAGTCCGGCCCTCCGTCTCCACCTCCTCCCTGCAGCCACTCTACACTCTCTGCATCTCTGCATGGTGTGGAGTCGGCCGCTCAATCTGTGAAGGCCTGAACTTCCCTCCAGGTCTGTGTGTGCCTCCGCTGCCTCCCCCGGCTAGGGTTTTGTCATGTCATGCACGCGGCACGCCGTCCGTCGCTCGCTCCCGCCGCCCGTTGCCTCGCTGGAGATCCCCTTTCGAATGCCATGCCGAAGGGAAGGGAGCTCGTGCTCCATCCCACATCCTCCCCCCCTCCATGCCACGCCCTGCCCTGCCATCCACTGTGGCCCCTCCCCCCGGTTCGTTGACGCTCGCAATTCAGCCCGGTCTCAGTCAAAAGAGACAACTGTAGCAGACACAAACACGGGCAGCACGGGCAGCCACGGACAGACACAGACCATCGACGGGGGCCCCCCTTTGGACATCAGTCTGAGCAACAAAGCGAACATCCCAAGCCCCAAGTCAGACAGCCGGACGCTCCAAGCACATGGCCCCCGGCAGGCGAGTCAGAACAACCCTCGGCGATTTCGATTCCCTCAATGGTGTCCGTCAGGTCCCCGCTAGTGCCGCTGCCGACCCACCATGGCCATCTTGCTCGGCGGCAAGAGAAGCGTCGTGAAAGGCGGAGCGCTCGACAACGTCCCGAAGCCTCCCCAGTCTAAGGGCCTAGAGCCCCAGGGTAAATTGTGTACAATGTAAGCCAGCCCAGTCAACGACTCTCTAAGCGCCCGATGCAAGCCAAGAAGCAGAGGCCTGTTTCACCCCCGCCTGCATCCCACGCTTCTGCTGGGAAAGACGGCCGCAGATCGAGAGGCCCTCGGCTATGCAGGTCGAACCACTGCGTCTTGTGTCGTCCAGGTCCACGTTCCTTGTTCTTTCCGCCTTTCAGCCTTGGGCCACGAGCCTTGAGCCTTGAGCCTTGAGCCTCGAAATCTCCTGGAAACTTGGAAACCTCCAACCTCGACAGAAATGTTGATGGAGGTGGTGGCGCGCCTCGTGGCCACCCACGCATGGTGAAGCCATCCGTCCGTCGTCGAGAAATGTCTCTTAATTATTGCTATAGGGACCAATCCAATATCCACCGCTTGCTTGATTTTGCTCTTGTCCCGGGCCCCCATGTCCGTTGTCCCCTGTCTCTCCTCTCCCTGTCCCTTGTCTAATGTTTCCCCCCCCCCAGTCAAAGCAGTCCCGGTCAGTGCTACCAGCCCTTCTGCTGTTAAGTGCACACGCCACTTTTTTCCCCCGGAAACTACAGTATTGCGCTGATCATTATCGTGTCTGGCCGAGTAGAGTCTCCGCATCGGCCATACTTTGCTCGTAGCCGCGCATCGCGTGTCAGCCCTGCCCTTATTGACCTTTGTGCTCCGTATCCGTCATTCCGATGTGAGAGGCAGCCTTCCGTGACGTTACTCCTCCTCGTGCTTCTAACCATCGAAGCGAGGCTAGAGTACACGTTGACCCTGGTTCGCAGTTGGGCTTGGGCTTTCGATGCTACATCTGATCTGAAGCGCGACGCGGCTCTCGAAGTCGTCCAGCAGCCGACCAACACCATAACGCCTCCCCGGAGGATTCCCCCCTTCATCTCGATCCTTTTTTTTTTTCATCATCGTTTGACAATGGTGACTTTCAAACAAAGTTAGCATGGCTACAAGATCCAGCCCGCTCCGTGGCAATTTTGGCTGCGCAGAGCAGACCAGGGAGGTAACGCCTCGGCCAGCCAAATACGCGACATCCCGATGAGTGTCGGGCATACGATCTGGGGGGCCTCAAAATTCCTCTTCCCTGCATCCATCCCCGCTTGGCCGCCTTTTAGGGTCGGGGGGATTTAACTCACCAACATCCTCGTCACACAACTCGTGCCCCAGGCCAACCCTTTGGGGTTGGTGCTTGACAGACTTTCCGTATACAATAGCCGTTTTGAACACCTCCACAATGCTTCGATGGATGGCGTTGCACTGGACAGGCATCTTCAGTCAGCAATCACTAAACCGGTGGGGTGTGACGATGCCCAGCGTCCGTATGTGGCAAGAGGGTCACAGTTGGGAGGCAACTTACAAAGTCTTCAACGGTACAACGCGAGGATCGGAGAACAACCGGTTGCGTGTAGTCCGGCTGCTTACCCTTGGGCTTTGTGTACACGCGGACTAGGTTGAGTTTGTCCCACATAGCCTCCATCAGCTCATCGACGTTCCACCCGTGCTCCGAGCTAATTGGCACTGCGTTGGGGATACGATGCAGGAGATCCAGCTCCTCAATGCTGATCGAGTCGATCTTGTTCAGAGCGTAAACCACAGGGATGTAACTGGCAGCGGCCGTTAGCACATCATTTTCGCCCGGAGATGTTGCTCCCTGGTGGCTTTCTTTTACCTTCGACTCTTCGCCTCTAGGACGTCGATCAGATCGTCAATGGTGGCATCACATCGGATGGCAATATCAGCTGAGTTAATGCGGTACTCGCTCATGACAGCCTTGATCTCATCGTTATCAATGTGGGTCAGGGGCACAGTGTGACTGATGTTCAGGCCGCCCTTGTCCTTCTTCTTGAAGGTGATGTTGGGGGGCTCCTTGTTGATGCGGATACCGAAGCCTTCCAATTCAGCCTCGATGATTCGCTTGTCGGTTAGAGGCTTGTTCACGTCCAACACGATGAAGATCAGATGGCACGTCTTAGCGACGGCAATAACCTGTCTACCTCGTCCACGTCCGTCCTTGGCACCCTCGATAATACCGGGAAGATCGATCATCTGCAAGGGGGCACCTGGTCCATCAAAAGTCAGTTCAAGGGAAAAGGGCACGGCATCGGACATTGGGCATTGGGCATGAAGCAACGAGCGGCACGTGGTGGAGCGCGCGGTGGAGGAGGCAGAGGAAGAGCATGGGGGCCAAAATGGGTGGGATAACGGCCCCCGGACAACGAAACTAACCATTGTAGACGACTTGGCCAGGCACGGAAGTGAGGGTGGTGAATTCGTATGCAGCGGCCTCCGAGTGTTGGCCCGTCAGGCGACTCATCAGCGTACTCTTGCCCACAGAGGGGAAGCCGATGAAGCCCACACTGGCGACACCGGTCCTGGCCACATCGAAACCAGCACCGCCGCCACCACCGCTGCTCGAGGGCGTCAACAGCTCGCGCTTGAGCTTGGCGAGCTTGGCCTTGAGTTGACCCAGATGGTACGAAGTCGCCTTGTTCTTCTGGGTCTTGGCCATCTATCGGACGGGTTAGAGCGACCGGGAACAGAGCCGGGGGCGTGTCTCGTCGAGGGGGGTCCATCGTGAACGTACTTCGGCCTCAATCTCCTTGATCTGTGGGCACGTCGGATTAGCGACTACTATGACACAAGCGAAGAAGACGCAAGACGGCTGCGCGGCCGGCGGCCGGCGTCAACGAACCTTGTCTACCGTGGTCGACATGGCGGCGGCTGGCGGCTGCTGCGGTCTGAGTCTGGTGCTAGCAGGATCTGAGTCGGGAAGTGGCCTGGTCTGGTCTGGGTCTGGGTCTGGGTCTCGGTCTCGGTCGTTGGGAGGTGTCACAAGCCCTCTGTGATAGTTGCAATTGCAGTGTGATGGAATTGTCTGGATGGTGGGGTAAATTTTTGCTGTGGTTGTAACCGCCACCAGTGTGAGTGTGATGTCAGCCAGTGAGCGGGGCCCACCTTTCTAACATTTCACTTCACACCTCTGTTTTCGCACATTAAACGCGCCCCGCTCATCCGCCGCGAATCATCCGCCGCCCATCATCGCCCATTATCCGCCCATCCATCGGAATGCCTCTCCCTCAGCGTCCATCCACCGCCAACCCGTAATTACTAACCCGTTACCGGCCTCTATTGGTCGTTCCTCCTCCAATCCGCATTCCCGTCCATCGCCGTCTTCGTCTTAACGGCACGGCCCGGTACGCCGGCTCTGCGCAACCAAGACATGCAATCTTACCTACACACCACAGAGTCTCATTGCGTAGTCCTAGTCCGCGGTCAACTGACTCGCAAGGCATGCACCATCATCAATCACCTGAAACACGCCGAGTGTCTCGCCCGTTCGTAGTGGCCACTGTTCTATTGTGCTTGTTGCCTTCAGCTCGAGCTCGCTACAGGGTTTCGAGCCACCACTTCCAACTTGGTAGTGCTGTTTCTTGTTCACTTCTGACATCAATATTCTTCATCCACGGCTTGCTCTCCTGCTCCCGTCCTCCTTCCACAATTCTTCCACAATCCGACAAGTCCTTCTTTCATCATCACTTCCAGTCTCCGACATCCAAAATCTCCAATGTCATCGTCGAGCGCCTCCATTGTCCTTTGCCTATCCCAACCTGTCCCACCCAGGTAGATATCCCACCGGCCGACATTCATATATAAAACAAAAAAGAAGAAACCAGACAAGGGGGTGTGTCTGTCTGCGCCATCCATGGTCGTTACCCTGACAAAGAGAATCTCTCAAAAAAAGATACACTATCAAACGTCTTGTTCTCCGTCGTCGTTCCCGTACAGTAGTCGGTTCCGTGCTGCGCTCAAGTCGAGGATCCGTTTATGCCATTCGTCAAAGTTCCATTCATGGCCATGTGCTCGTTCGGTGTGCTGGGCATCAAAACCTTCGTCGTTCCATTGGCAACGGACCCAGCCGGTGTAGCAGATTTCTGGCTTATCGGGGATGAGTGAATGCCGTTCACTAGGAGCGGACTCATGTGGCCATTCAAAAGGTGCTCCAGGCCTTGCTCCACGCACACGCGGGCGTACTCTGGGTCGTCTGGGTACACTTGTACGAGGCCTCGTCGTGGAACTCGTTTTTCGGGGAACGGCACTCTGCTCGTCTGGTGTACCGAGGGCATGTCCTCGCTCACCATTGATCCGTTATTGTAGTACTTAAATCGGGGAGCAAATCCGTGGAAGCGGCTTGCTCCTGGGTCCGACTTCCATTTCTGGTTTGCTTTCCAGCCGATTGCTTGTTCTTCCGTCTCCAAGAGCTCGCGGTACTCGACCCCGAGTTGAATGTTCCGGAGGTGTGGGATGTTGGGAACTGTATACATCAAATCCGACACCTAGGTGCAAGTTAGCAAGAACCCCTAGTAAGTATCAGGGTATCGGAACATACCTTGACAAAGAACATGTTAGTTTGGAGGAATCGCTCCCAAGCCTCCATCCTAAGTCGTTCCTTCGTCTGGAACCGCAAGGCGCATGGGTCTTCCTCGCCATAGTAGTCGGGGAGCTGTTGTCCAAGTTCCCACAATTTTTCGGATATTAGGGAGTACATTCTCCATTCAACTCTCCAAAGCGATTTCTTGGCAAGAGTAGTAACCGGAACACGCTCCCAGGCAGTATCTAAAGGCTCAGTTAGAATCAATGCAAATCATCTTCGGAAGTGAGACTTACATCTTGAAAGGTCAAGATCCTTCTCACCAAGCAATAGGGCAACGTGCGTGTTGAGGACCCATTGCTCGCGACCTTCTGCGGATTCGTTTGCCTCCGGTCGAATGGTGTCGTATCGAACGCCCTGCATCCGTTTGAATCTCTCTGCGACGGCGGGAAGCTTGGGGTTTGGGCATGTATCGAGCCACCTGAGCAGCGGTGGCAATTTGTCCAACCGTGCGCGCTCTTGCTCCTCTCGCATCCGTCGTAGCTCGGCTTCGCGGGCAGCTCGCTTCCTCTCCATCTCCTCACGGTGGGCTCGATCTCGTCGCTCGCGTTCCTTGCGTTCTTCTTCTTCGCGATGACGTCGAGCTTCTTCGGCCGCTTCTCTCTCAAGCTGCTCGCGGCGGAGTCTCTCTTCCTCCTCATGCTGCTTCCGCTCCTCCTCTTCCTTCTTCTTCTTCTCCTCCTCCAGTCTGCGCTTCTCTTCCTCTTCACGGCGCACCTTCTCTTCAGCCTCACGTCGCAGTTTTTCTTCCTCTTCAAGGCGTTTGCGCTCCTCTTCTTCTTTCCGCTTACGCTCCGCCTCACGTTCCTCTTCCTCCTTTCGCTTCTTTTCCTCTTCCTTGCGCTTAATCTCTTCCTCCTCCGCCTTTCTCCGAGTTTCTTCATGTTCGCGCTTCTTCTTCTCTTCAGCTTCAACGCGCTTGCGTTCTTCTTCCTCCTTCTCCCTCTTCTTCTTCCTCTTCGCCTCTTCCTGCTCCAAAAGGCGTTGCTTCTCTTGCTCAGCCTCCTTATCTCGGGCGGCCTGAGTATCAGCTTCAGACACAGCCTTTATCGTATCAGCATCCTTCATATCAACGTCCACATCTTCAGATTTGACGCGGGTCTGCTTTTCACTTCCGCTAGAGCGAACTGAATCCCCACGATGAAGTTCGTGGCGAGCTCCCCGACGCTCATCATCGTGATTCTTCTGGCTGGACTTGGACAAGATTTTGGACGAGTGATCTTGAGCGGTGTTGGATTTGCGAGGTCGCTCGTCCGAAGAAAGAGATCGCTTTTGTCGCTTCTCTTTGCCTTCACCGTCAAGTCGTCGCCGCTTCGGAGGAACTTCGCTATCATCCTTGTCGCCGTTGCTGGGTCTGTCGGGAGTGATGCTGTTGCGGTGTCGTTTCGTAGATCCGTCCCCAGATACGACAAGACGATCCCGTGAACCATCTCGTTTCAGGGCCTTGGTTCGATCGTGGTACTTTTCGGATAATTTCTCACTCCTATGCTTCTCAGAAGGTTCGTCATGCCTCGAGTCATGAGGGCTCAATGGATGATCTTTGAGAGAGGATGCGTTGGATACCATACTAGCGCGCCTTTGCTTTTCTCGTTCTCCCCGAAGCTCACCCTTGGAAACAAGTTTTCTTCTCGGCTTGACAGTTTCGCCTTCGGACGATACGCCGGCGGCGTCGGATTCGGTACGCTTGGTCTTGAGTTGCTTATGGGAGACGGTTGGTGAAAGTTCGCGATCAGAAACGGTGATGGAGGATATTCGGTCCTCTTTCTTTGGTCGTCCAGGGCCACGTTTTGGCAGAGGTTCATCGCCATGATTTGCGAGGGGTTCGGGCCTCCGCTTCTCTCTAGGACTAGTAAGCTTCGATGAAGCAACCTTTCTCCTGGGCTCAGCCTCTCGCGAGGGGCTTGACAGATTTCGCTTGAGCAGCCGAGCTTCCTCCTTAGCCTCGGCTCGTCGGGCCCGCTTGGCCTCTCGTTCTTCGCGTTCTCGTTCACGCTCGCGTCTGGTTGGAGATTTTGTCTTGACTGAGTCCTTGTGGCTGCGTTTGTGCTCGTCATATGCATTCTTCAACATATGTTCTTCTTCCTTCCAGTTCGTCCCTTGTCGTCGTCGGGCGATCTCATAGTACGTTTCTCCTTCGAAGCGTCTCGTCGGATCAAAACCTTGTTGTTCCAAGAGCAGTTCTAGCACTTTAATGTTCTCTTGTCCAATAGCTGCAAGTATCGGTGTTGCAAACTCTGGTTGTGTAGAGGAAATAGGTGATGGGTCCGGACGAGCTCCTCCGAGGCCGAGAAGTAATTGAATGACCAAGTCGTGGCCACCTCTCGCGGCGGCAACCATGGATTCGGGGTCGTCATAACCCTCCTTGACCTGCAGGATTCGGGCGACGGTCTCCTCATCACCGCGCCCAGCGGCTTGTCGGAGAGTTTTCTCGTCGAGAGGCATGTAGAGCAAGTCATTTCTCGTCTTGGTCGATCGTACCGTCCCAGTCCTTCGTCCACTTTGCCCAGACAGATTGGCCGGGGATTGGCGAGGGCTGTCCGGCGCGTGAGAGTCTCTGGCATCGTGATATTCGGGATGAGAATGGCGGTCTTCAGAGGTCCGTTGTCGTTCACCTGCTCGCTTTTTGGCTTCGATGAGAGCCGCTCGAATCTCCTCGGCATTCTCGGTGTCATCGCTCACTCGGTCGATGGGTTCCTCCCCGTTGACGTTGGCTTTCCGAGGGTTAACGCCAGCCTCCAACAGAAGCTTCACTACGCCCAAATGGCCATTATCAACAGCGTCCAGCAATGGTGTGTCTTTGTCGTAGTTGACACAGTCCAGGTTGCAACCAGCTTCGATGAGGAGCTTCACGATATTCTCACATCCATTAATTGCGGCAATTTGCAGGGGGGTATTGCCAGCGTAGTCAGCAACATTCAAGTCCTCAGGTCTTTCGCCAAGTCGGTGTTTTGCACCATCATACTCGCCTCTCGCGCAGGCACGAGCTAGGAACGTCTGGCCGTGAGCATCAAGATGCTTCTTGTGTGGCGCCAATTTGGCCGGTGACGCGTTGGGGTCGGCGTTGGAAGGCTGTGCGAGACCACGGAGCTTGGAGCTGCGAGGGTGTGGACTTCCACTAGCAGAGGACTCATCCGAATGATAGTCGGTGGGCTGCAGAGGAGCTGGCAGCCGCTTCTTTTTCTGCCCGAGGCCGTTTGACGAGTAGGAGGGTAGTTGAGACGAGGCGCTTCGTCGATGGGTTCGGGCATGAGGAGAAATCGATCGTGAATCATGGTGGGACTTCGACGACACAGACTTAGGGTCTCTAGGCACGCGGATGGTATCGGTGCCCGCACTGATGGTGCGTTGGCGCCGGGCCTTGCGGCCATCCGCCTCGTCGTCGGAGTCCAGCTTGGGGATCTTTCGCTTGGTTGGGAGCAGGCGCTCGCCGGATTTCAGCTTGTCTCGCAGTGTTGTTTTGGGAGGCCTGGGGTGCGATTGTTCGGATTCAGAAGAGGAGCGGGGGTCGTCGGAACGTGGACGGTGTTTACGATGGTGCTGAGGTGGGGACGCGGGTGCTGAGCTCAAACCACTGGAGGCGGCATCTTTGTTTCGAGGCTGCCTATCGCGGTCGAGGTGGCCAGACAAGCGCTTCTTCTTGACAACATCGGCGAGGCGGCTGGGGACAGCGGACTTGTCGCCATCGAAGGGGGCGGAGAGCTTGGCTGGGGGCTTGGTGGCGTCGGCGTCGCCATCGCTCTTGTCTTCCTGTCTCACCTTGCGGGCCTTGGAGGGGGAGTGGCCATCTTTGCCGGGCAGGACAATGGTCTCGGCATCCGAATCGCGGTCTTCGGGGGCGTCTGCGTCGGGGGCGGTGGAGGCATTCGCGGCTGGGCGTGTTTCCTTGACCGGGGATGCGGGCCTGGGGCTCACAGGCGCGGGCGAGGAAGTGGTCTCACGCCGGGGGCCGGGCCGCTGAGGGGAAGCGCCAGCAGGCCTCGTCTGGTCGGACTGGGCAGCATTCTGCGCATCCATATCATTTACCTGCGAGGAGGACAAGTAGCTACCACCATCCTGGAGATGATGGCGAGGGTCGGCGTGTCGGGGGCGATTGATTCGCGTCGACGAGGGCGGGTTGCTGGACCGGACCAGCCCCTATCGCTCGGAGAGGACGTGTTTGGGCGAGGAGGCGGCGAACACGGCGTGCAGCGGGCGCGGATCGGGGAAGCAAGCGAGGACGCGGGCGCGGGCGAGAAACGGGCACCGCAGCGGCACGGGGGGAACAGTCGAAGCTACGGAGAATCGAGGAGTCGTTGGAGCTTGGATGAGATGGATGAGATGGATGCTGCAAAAGGTCGATTGTCGGCGTCGGCTCGAAGCTGAACGAACCTTGTTTGGGAATGACAGATGAAAACGGGACTTTGGCCCAAGCCGCGAGACAAAGTCTGTCCTCCCAGGGCAAGTCGAGGCTGACGGCGCTATGATTGGCCGGGCGCGAGGGGGCGTACGGCGGTCCACAGCGACTCGAGCCGCACTTTCTGTTGGGCCAAAACACAGCCGCCGCCCTGCTGTAGCGGAGGTTGCAGTGGCCACAGTGGCGACGGGGTCAGTGTTACAGTGGTGAGAGTAGGCGACCCGGGAGCTGGCTTCAGTGGCTTCCGTGGCTTCACACCGCTACACTGCACATCTCCTTCCTACCAGACGGGACGGAGTCCGTACCTACGAGTTGCTATTATTCGAGATTCGGCCTGCGAGCCCTGTAAAAGGATCCCGCCGCCATCCAAACCTCCTCGCCATACTGTGCAAAGTGCAAATTGCAAAGTGCAAATGTGATATCAGTTGGTGTCTGCCGGCGCCAACTTCCTTCCCCTCTTGCCTTGCTTCTTGCATCACCTTCACATCCCTGGTCACGTTTCATCAACACCGGGTATTAGTTCGTGTCGGCATTTCGCAGCCACATTTGCCCTGTTGCCTGCAGGCGGCTCAGGGTCATAAGCGGCACGTGTGCCACCACCTGACGAGGTAATTCCACTTCCTTTCTTCTCAGCACACACCCCTGTCATAGCATCATCATCCAACTGTGCTAATCATCACAGCCCCATGAAACTCTGAACAGCAAAGCGCACGCGACAGCAAGACTCTTTGTCGACGCACTCTCGCCTCTCTTATTACGACGACTTATTACGCCATGGATCCATCCCCTCTTCAAATAAACTATCCCCTCCACGATGCTAGTGCTGATAGCAACCACAAAGGCATCTCGCTCCCAGTCTCTCTGGATCATGCCAGAATTACAGTTCTGCCCCAGAGCGCCTTCTACATCCCAAACTTCATTAGCGAGGAAGAAGAGCGGGTGATCCTAGGAAAAGTATGTGCGTCGGATTTGGCGAATGGGTCACCACTGACCCTCGCCAGATTGCCGCGGCGCCTAAGCCCAGATGGAAGCAACTCACCCACCGCAGACTCCAGACTTGGCCCTCCGACCTTGTCAAGAACAAGTTGCTCGACGCTCCTCTGCCACCATGGCTTGAGGGCCCTGTAGTTTCGCGGTTGCTGTCACTCCCCGTCCAAGAAGCCCACTCCGGACATATATTTGACGGCAGCGCACATGGGCGGCCTAATCACGTATTGATCAACGAGTATCCGCCGGGAATTGGCATCATGCCACACAAGTTAAGTACACGACAGGTGGATAGTCCCCCACGCTACGGGATGCTCATCTTATAATAGGATGGTGCTGCCTATTGGCCCGTTGTCTGCACGGTAAGCCTTGGCGCTAGCCTTTGCTTGAATCTCTACCGCAGCAAGGACGACGGAGCCCTGGATCCAGAGCCCGCCTGGAGGATCCTGCAAGAGCCTCGTAGTCTCCTCATCACAACTGAACAGCTCTACACCGGTTATCTTCATGGAATTGCCGATATCGAGGAGGACGCCGAGCTCTCTGCCGACAGCATTGCCAACTGGTCTCTGCTGCGGGATGCCGATGCGTTTGCCGATGGCCGCAACATCCGCCAGACCCGTACAAGCCTGACGTACCGAGACGTGCTGGGTGTCTCAAAGGTCGCAAACAAGCTTGGCATGTTTCTCAAGCGTTGAATGGGCCAAGCCCTTCAGTGAGCTTAAAATATAAAGGGTATCATCACCCACCTCCCGGCCACCTTGTCGGCACCAAACTTTTCCACGTACCACTTTTTAGTCCCGAACGCCGTTGCTCCTAGATTCACAGCCACGAATAAAAGGCCTAAGAGGACCGTCGTGTTGAATAGCTGGCCTGGGGGTGCAGCAACCCAGGCAATGGCGACATAGAGGAGGCACTCGCAGGTGTAGTGCGGGCAAATGAAGAATCGAAACCACCCTTCGTTGGGAAGGGTGTACTTTTTCAGACTTGCCAGATAGCGGTGACACTGGTTCTGCTTCATGCAAGCCACGAAATACAATGCCAGCCCGGATGGCAGCTTTCGCATCAACAACGGGCCCTGGTGAGGCGACTCCCATGATTCAAGAATCGCGCCTGTGGCTAGTCAGCGGCAGGTCCAGACAGTTCGGCAGGACAACATACTAGAGCCCTCAACCCAGACAGACACAGCCATAGTCGTGTAGTACACAAGTCCAAGGGCCCAATGGATGACCCACATGGGGGATGATCCTGGCTTGGACACATACAGACTCTCGTAGAGCCGTCTCGAGCCTTGCAGCGCCATCAGCAGCCACGCGGCGTACACCTGTCCCAATTCCATCGATGGCCCCCCGGCCCTGTCCTGTAGCTTTGCTATCTCCCTCATCAAGCTGCCTCTCTGGAAGTACTGCCATGCCCAGAATGCGGAGAAAGATGCCGAGAGGATGTAGAAGTGAAGAAACCAGGAATGAGGAACTTGTCCAAACTCCGTCAACATGGTCACCAGTCCCCACAGGGCTCCGAGAGCCCCTGCGGGCTTCTCTGGCTTCTTCCCGGCGTCCTGGGGCCGCCGTGCGCCATAGTTCATCACAGCACCGCGGACATGGCTGGGAAGGGCTTGGATGGCGACGATGATACCTGTGGCGAGGAGGAAGAAGGTCTGGCACCATTGGGCTGGCGTGAGGCCCAATGCCAGCTCAAACAGCGCATCCAACGAACCCATGCTTTATTTCCGTATGGGTTGCGTGTTACCTCAGCATGGGCAGAAGAGAAAAGTAGTTTGTTGAGGATTAAGGATGGAGGAGGCATGTGCTTTCATGTTGGCCCTAGTAATGTTGATTCCAGATCCCTGATGCACCAGAAAGTTCCTGGTCTCCACTGTGGAGTCACTACCATTCTCAACCCTTAACGTCATGCCTCCATTTTCTCACCGTGGAACAATAAGCGGCCGCCTAAATATGATAACCTTGTGTAGTTCGATCTGATGTATACGGACTATCAGCCCGAGCATGGGAGTTTCCTCGATTTTATGTTGTCCTGAGGGTTGTAGCTGACATCCCGCTGAATGGGAAACTGGCCTACCCTAAACCAGGCGCGATAATTCGGGTGAGCCGTTAAACATATTGCATTTCACTAAACAAGACCATTGAGACTTTTATTTTTTATTTTTCTGTAATCTGATTTGAATCGCCGAGGGGTTTTACTATTTATTCCACTCTACCCGAGGTGAGAGAGTCCATACACTTCTTCCGCATTATTTACGGAAATGCGAGATCCTCAAAATCAGACCAGAACCATGTTATTGTAAGACTCACCACTATAGGCTACAAGTGTCAGATAGAAAGCACCATTATTGCAAACCTAAAGGATAATATTTGTCCCCAGGGAAGATTCAGATTATCCATTACTGTAAATAATGAGAAGTTCATGTGTGAGGTCTCCAAACGAAGAGAACAACCTACCAACGACTAGAATCACTGCATCCCTCATAAACTTCAAGTTAATCCATCTGTGTACCCTCGATTGACAATGACTCATATCCATTGGAGCCCGCACGACAAAATGGTCTTAGAAAGCGCATCAAGCCAGGGCGCGCGATGTCAGAACAACCCACGCTTAAGCGCCACTAGCGGGTTCAGAGGCCATAAAGTTCAACTTACATTATATAGAAATTGGTTGTAAAATGCTAGGATCGAGCCAATGCGAGTAGGAGAGACAACCTTGGTGTAACGGATGGAGCCCAAGTTTACCAAAGCACTAACGATCTCCAATCGATCTCTCAGCCTTCGAGAGGTGAACTTAATCAGCTGGATACATCAGGTCTGTATGCTTCCCAAAGCATAGGTCGAGATGCGTAATGCGGAACTTAACTAAGCCACGACCCATCTAGATCAGGTTCGGGATGGAAAAAATCCTAACCTGGCGATACGCTGCTCCTCCTACTCCTCCTAAATCGATGCACTCATTAACACACCCACCAATCTCCGTGAATAAACTTCAGCTTCTGTAGGACCAAAAAAATGCTCCTTTGGGTTTTCTGGAACGGCTCATGCAAGGCCGCCGCAAGGCGTTTCCTACTCGGAAAGCCTATGTTCTTCCAGCGGCCCGACCCATAAGACCTATCGCTGTTAGCTGCAGAGCGCAAAAGTAACGTATGGAGTTTTTATTAGGTTCTACTTGCGTTGTTGCAGGGGTGAAAAAGAGTTTTCGCCAACATGTCTCCACGTTCCCGTGGTTCGACTATGCAGCCTTGGCTTACACGCAGGAATTCAACATTACGCATTTGGGATAGCTCTCCTTTACCGCAATGGAGAGGAGAAAAAAAAGGCCAGCAAGTTGTCAATGTGAGGGAAGAAAAATATGAGACAAACATAGAAGATGACTTAGTTGGGAGAAAATAAAATACTCAAATTGACTTTATCACATTCCAAGTTCAACATCAAGACCTGGCCCCATCCATTGCCCACCTAGCCTCTTGACTCCAGGCATGAAGCTTGACGCCTCACTAAGGCTTTCACTTTCAACTATCAACTAAAAACTGGTTTGAGATTTCTACTTGACGTTTTTTTGCTTGTGCCTATGGCTATCTCGCCCCCCTAGATTCACGTCTCTTTACAAGTGGCCCAGCTCAGTCCTGTGAGCCAAAAAGAGACACGGGAATTGAAGTGAGTGAAGACACAGGACTTGCATGCCGGTGACATAGATGCATCTAGGCTTACATACTAGGCACCAGGCATGTTAAAGGCTCATCAACCCTGCTGCCACAGGCTGCCCTAGCTCCATTGATATTCCTGTCTAGCTGCTCCTATTTGTTAATCAGTCTGGTACTGGGGGTCGAGATGGCTGAGACATGTCGCTCACGATCTTGCTCCTGCAACAAAACCTGCCAGTGTCTAATCTGCTCATAGGCCTAGCCTAGGACTAGCGAGTACTAAGCTGCGTCCATCGAGTGCCACTTTATACACCGCCCGTTCACGCCTGTTTGGGTCACAGACTTCTTGCGTTGAACCAACGGACAAGACCATCTCTCGTGCATGTGGAATATGGGCGGTTTCTACCACAGTACTCTATCAATCGATAGTGAGTAAAGCCAAAAACAAACAAACAAATAAGTACATCCTTAAACGCAGTGAGATTTTTAACCAGACATGAGGCTGGTGTTTCGCATCTCCGGATTGCTATGTATTAAAAGGGGATGCAAAAAAACAATACGTAGATGAATACTGTCGTTAAAAACGATTGACTCAAGCACAACAAATGTATTAGTATATTGTAGTCACCGCACAGTCGATCAGAAAACAAGAACTTCAACAATCATTCTATAACGCTAAACCAATAAGTTGTGCCCATGCTTATTCTGTCCAGCTATAAATCACGCCTCATTTTCCAAAAGAAACATAACCACATCACGCTCTTTGGGACTCGTTGGAATAATTGAACTCGTTAATGCTCAGACCACCTCATGACAGATACGTACTTGCTATACTTTTCTCTCCATTGTGGTGTGCTCATACCCTCAGATCGACGGAGATTAGACCGAGCTCTAGAGTACAACCATCGCCCGGTGTAACCATCCGATCCCTAAACGCCGGTGCGAATCGCAACAATATGTGTCCGTCTGCGCTGCGCGCCTTACCCTCCACTTAGGCCTTGTTCCTCAAATGAGGGGGAACCCACTTGCCAGCCGTTCGCGACGGGGGCAGAGAATCCGCGGGGGGAGCAGGCGACTCCTTACGGTCAACATCACCACGGGGGGGAGCTGGGCGCTCCGACGCTGCGGCCCGAGAGCCGAAGGTGCGAGGAGGAGGAGCGTCTCTGCTGCCGGTGTCGGGTGCGCTGGCGTCGCTGGCGCCGCTGGCGCCGCTGGCTGCCTTGGCCGCTTCGCGATCACGCCAGCTGGGCTTGCCGCCAGCAAGCGCCAGTCGTGGGGGACCACCAGCCGCCGGCCGGTCGTTGGAGTCGGTTCTCTCCATTGATGGGCCGGTGCGAGCGGGTGGCGGCGCATCGGATGCCTCTCGCTCGCGATCGCGCCACTTGCCAGAGCCGATGGTCGGTGGTCTCCGGGCCTCCGAGCCCTCGGCCGGAGCGCCTCTGCTGAAGGGAGAGCCAGCACCGCCCCGTTCCTTCTCGGCCTTGCGACGGGCCAGAGCCTCCTCCTCGCGTCGCTGCTGGAGAGCTGCCTTCTCCAGAAGTTCTTGGCGATCCTTCTCTCGCTGCTCCTTGAGCTTGGCTAGCTCCTCCCTGCGGGCCTCGTCCCGGATGCGCTGCTCCTCCTTCTCGCGAGCAGCACGCTCCTCGGCCTCCTGGAGCTCGCGCTCCCTCTCCTCGCGCTCCCGCTTCTCCCGGAGACGTCGGTCGCGCACCTCCTTCTTTCGCAGAGCAATCTGCTTCTCCAACTCGCGCTCCGCATCGCGGCGGCGCTTCTCAAACTCGTCACGGCGGCGCTCATGCAGAGAGTCTCGGAAAGCCTCGTACAGAGGCACCAGACGGCTGAGACGGTGCTTGAGCTCAACGCTCTCCTTGTGCTTCTGCTCAGCATCCTTGAGCGTCTTGGCCTTGACAGTGTCGTAAATGGCACGATCCTGCTCGCTCTGCTTGGCATAATCCTCGTGGAGCTTCTTGCCCTCCTCCTTACGGTAGGCACGCTCCAGATGATCCTGGCGTCTGCCAGTGATGCGGAGACGCTCATTGACATCGTTTTTCTCACGCTCCAACTGGGCCAGCTTCATGGCACGCAGACGGTTGCTGTCCAGATTGTCAAGGTCATCCATGTTGATGTCAAGAGCCTTGTCGCTCATGTTCAGGTCGGCAATCTGCTTCTTGAGCTCCTCCTTGCGGACGCGGTCTTGGTCAGCCTTGAGGCGTCTGGCCTCACGCTCCTTTTGCTCGTCAGCCAGTCGCTTATCTTCGGCCTCTTGGAGAGCCTGCTCGCGGAGTCGCTTTTGGCGAGCATTCTCCTTCTCCTTGCGGGCCTGGATCTCGGAAGCCTCGTCCTTGCGCTTCTGAATAACTTCCTTGCGGCCAAGAATCTCCAGATGCTCCTGCTCGGCACCAGCCTTGGCACGGGCCAAAGCCGCGTTGCGAGCGTCAAGGCGCTCCTTGTTCAAGCTGGGGTCGATATAGTGGCAGGTGGTGAACAGGGACTTGGCAAGACGGGTGAGCTGGGAGCGTACAATCTCCGAAGGAGTGCTCTGGAGTCGCTGGACGCTGCCGGCCTCAGCTTCGGCGGAACCAGCACCGGAACCACTGTGGCTTGCCTTGGAAGAAGAGAAGACGTCATTGTCGAAGCTGAGAACGCCGGTGGCATGGTCCATGCGGATGGCGAGGTCACCCTTCTTGTTTCCGTTCATGATGAACTTCTCAATGGTTCCGCGGGTGACCTGGAAGGGCTCGGGGAACTGGGCGAGGCTCTCCACGAAGGTAAGGTCGACGGTTTCGTAGACCTGGGAGAGCTGCTGGAACAGACGGGTCAGGATGACCTGCTGCAGAGGAAGAATGTACTTCTCCATCTCCTCGTCGGCGCCGATCTTGGTAAGAATGGGGGAGATCTTCTGGCAGATGGACAAGGGGTGGAAGTCCACCTCAAGAATGTTGTACAGATCCCGGATCTCAGGGCGGGCGCGCTGAAGAAGGGATTTGGACAGCGCATCGCGGAAAAGACGGGCACGGGTAGGGGCCTGGTTCATGCCGAGAAGGTGTGTCAAGCGCGAGTTCTTGTTCTTTCTGGCCTCATCAAAGTCGACCATGGCACCGCGGGATCGCGAGGTGCTGATAACGGGAATAGCAAGAGCTGACAGCAAGACGAAGGAAGCGGCCTTCTGGAGATCGGCCTCAGAGGCCGGGGGGTTGTCGGCCTTCTTGCCCTGACCGCTGGCAACCAGGACGGAGGACTGGCGGAGGAGGGTGTAGTATCGCGACCAAGCAGCGGCGTGGAAGAGGTAGTTCTCGCCGACGAGGAAAATTCGAGTGAGCTTCTCATAGTAGTTGGCCATCATGATGTTCTTGGGGGGGCGCTTGCTGAGGTTGAGCAGGGTGTGGATGTCCTCAACACTGCGGAAGGCCTCCTGCCACAGCTCCAGCTCGACGGCGACGTTGAGCTGCTGGAAACGAGTCTCCAAGTGTCGCTGCAGGGTATCGGGGTCGCTCAAGTTGATGGCGTGCATCTGAGAGGAGTACTTGGCGGCAGTCTGGACATGGTTGCGGAGGAGCTCGCAGAGTCTTCGGAACTCGGTCTTTCGGGTGTACTTGAGACAGAAGTCGAAGGCCTGCAGGGCAGTGCTCTGGTAGAGGACCTCGAGACGAGCATTGTTTCGGAGGATATCGAGGACGGTTCGGTAGGCCTCCCAGAGGAACTTGAGCCAGGGGGTGACGATGGCACGGTCGGTACGATCCCGAGACTGCTCACCGGAGACAGTGGCGAGAAGAATGGACTCGGGGGTCTCGCTGGCCTCAAGATCGTCGACGCTGGAGGTGGCGGCAGTAGCCTCGATGCTCTCTTGGACCTCGTCGGCCTTCTGCTGAGCGGCGGTGACCTTCTCGACGGCGAGCTCGATGAACTTTTTCAAAACCAACTGCACATCCCCACATTAGTTGAATTCCTTACTGTCAACCCACAGGGCGTCAAGAACATACCTCGATGGTGGCAATGTTTGTGTTCTGGGAGATGTTCTTGTACTGGTAGAGGGCGTCCTTGGCAAGCTTTCCCTTCTTCTGCTCGACGGACAGCTCGACGAGGAGGAGCATCACGGGCTCCAGGGACGCGATGGGGACATTTCGAGATCGCTTGTTGGTGATGTGCTCGTGCAGCAGGGTCAAGGCCGCGGGGGCCTGGCCGACCCCCATGAGTTCGTGTGCCCGCTTGAGAACATTCTCGGGCTTCTGGTGCGGCGGCGGAGGCTATCGAGACACGACAAATCAGTATCATGACGAAACTATAGCGTGGGGAGAGGGGTAAGAGAGTAGGGCTGGAGGCATCCGGGCTCCCGGATGTCCAGAGAGAGTCACATACCATGCTGGGCAACCTCCTCTGCGGGATGACTTGGCGGGAGAGGAGATTTATAGATGATCCGAGATCGATCGCAGCCTGGGGAGGCGAGTGTGCTGGGAGACTCGGCTGGCACTCGGTATGGTGTTGCGAGGCACGCAAGAGTAATTTTTCGATTTTCGTGTGCGGACGCTATGCGAGTCGTTGAGGGGCTCTGTGGTCCAAAAATGGCACATGTCACGTGAAAGCTTACCTCAGCGGGGGAGAAGACAACGGGTGTGGCTGTGCGTGTGGGATGTAGAGGAGCCAAGGGTCAAGCCACAGGTCAGGCCGCGTCTTCCCCAGATTTGTATCACAACACCAAGAGTCCTAACCTCATCTCCCGTGCTGGCACGCAAAATATTTCCCGCTTCATGACATTTCAATGTCAGAACGAGTCTGTCGGGCTCACAGACATGGTTGTGGCTACGACAGACTTCTGGAATTGAACCAAAAGAAAGGCTCGCCTTTCTCAGTGTCTCTTGACACTCACCGTGTACTGCCATTCGGCAAAAGATGCGATGCTTCAGGGATGGGATAAATTGCACCCTGAATGGGAAATGGGCATTCGCGTCGCCTACATGGCAGATTCGAGAAATGATCTAGAAGAAGGGTTTGATTGCGGTGGCCAGGCGGCTTGGGAGGCATGTTCGGCCTTGTCTGATTTCGGGGATGGACCGGAGCAATATCCTGCACGTGATGCGTCTATCCCAGGTTGACGATAATGGCGTCTCAACGGATGGCGTCACGGTCATTTGACACAGGTTCCGGCTGACTGAGGCGTGAATTAGTAGTTGGCAAAAGAAAGGTTTGGCGTCTCCCAGCTCAAGCTAGGATTCCTCATCAACACCACCAAAAGCACAGTGGAGAGGAGTGACATGTACAGTGTCACAGGTGCTACGCCTTGGGAACAAGGGAAAAGTTAAACCCAAGCTGCCGGTGGGTAAATGAAAAGCGCTAAGCTCAAGGCGGGCGTGATCCACCGGGGACGAACGGCTCGAACCATGTTGGTGAAGATGGCGCGCATCAGCCCACTGGGCAAAACTGGCGTCATGGTGCGACTTGGGGGCGAAGCTGAGGAAGACAAGGAGGCGTGATGGGCACTCAGCGCGATGCTGGAGCCAGGTCAGAAGGTTGGTCACTGAAGCAGATTATAGACATATGTCCATTGAGAAAGCTGTGGGTTGTCTCGCTCCTGAATGCAGAAGAAATGCCCTCTGCACTGTAAGAAAATGCGCAACGCTACTAACGCAACGCAAAGGCACGGAACAGCGGCCAGTTTTTTCCCTAGGACTTTCGGCTTGGGCACCCCCGAGGTATTAGAGGTACTCAGGTGGTGCTCAGGTTGGTCTCCCGTCTAGACCCAGGGGAGGTCCAATGTACCATTCCTACCGGTGGAGGGGGGCGACGAGCGGGTTGCCAAGACAAGGTCTCATCTTAATTGCTGTGCAAATCCGGCAACTTTACGGAGAGAGGATAGGCCCGGACGTATTAGGTAGTATGGACTGGTGGAGCACGAAGACGCGCTTGGTAATGGGCAAGGAAGGCCCCGGTGAGCCAGCGGGCGAGAGACAGACTGACAGCAAAAGAAAGGGTAGGAATAATAATAACGCGTACGTCGTGTTTCGTGCTGGTGGTGTCCATCCCAATCCCAATCCAACACTCTGTCGGGCCCGGGTCCTTCGGGATGAATGGGCCCTCGCCCATCAGCCATTGCCTCATTGCGCGGCTCACCCGCAGGTAGATTTGCTTTGCCCATCGGCCGGTGACCTCGAAGTGGCATTTTGTGGAATTCTCGGGGGCAAGCAGTCAGCCTCCAAGCCATCAAGCTCTCGACGGACGCCCCCTTTCGCTGGGAGCAATGGCGCATGTCGCTACTGCAGCAGCCCAGGAACGGGAGCGGCCAGCCCCAAGAGCGGACGGCCAATGCACTGACACGGGACGCGGACGGCAGTCTGTGCTGCGTTACCACAGAGTGCGCTGCAACCCAGGCGCTGGTGTAGCCTCAGGCGCATTGTCCCGCCCGAGTTCAGTCCGGGTCGGGTCATTCACTTCAGTTAGTAATTAGGTCCAGAGCTTGCCCCCAAGCGGAACCGTCCGTTTGTGGACCGTGGATTGGTGGAATGGGATGGTGGTGGGCTTTTCTCGTCGCTGTCGTCCAGATGCGTGTGTGCGAGTGTGCGAGTGTGTGTGCCGTGCCCACCACCAACTCTCGTTTTTGACTCTGCGTAGTATCAAACCCACGACGACGCATTGGTCCCATGGATACCAGTCCGACAATGGGAGCTGCGAAGGTTTCCGCCCTCGGCCGGGCGATCCATCCGATGGCCATCGCATTCAACTTCCAGTGTGCCGACCTCCGTCAGCGTCATCGCATTATGCGTCCTCGTCCTTGTCCTCGTCCTCGTGTTGGACACAACTTGCCTTGTTGAGCCGACAGTACCAAAGGAGATTTGTTGGTCCATGGTTGCTGATTCAGGGACACTGTACCTACTACGTAGTAGGTTCACGAACTCACCTCAAGGCCCCCCCAGCTCTCCCCCCTAATAGAAACAGACAATAGTACAATACCGACTTGGGTAAGGCAGTCCGTACTCCCCACTGCTGTGCAATGTACCATGTCGTCTCGCAGCATAAAACAGGTGCAGATATACCATGTCCAGACTAAAGCAAGGTACCTAACGTACTCTGAACGCAACCGGCGCTGGTGGGATTGGCGACATGGGGCCCGAGGTCACCAAGCAGGCCGAGGGGAGACCGCGGATTACACCCAGCCCCATCCGCCCCACACCGAGCCAATCGCTGCCATCGGCCAATTTGCCCAGAGGTCCGTTGCCGACGCCGTTCAGTGGGCTGCGACACAAACATCCAGGGGGTAGCACAGCTACTCAGGCGAGGTCGAGGCCACCTTGGGGGAGCTCTAGGGGATAGCACCCACTGTAACTCAGCAGTCCTCACTGTGTTAGCCCCCTAGCCCCCTAGCAACTGGCCTACATCCCCTAGCGGGCCCTAGCCTGATTGACGGGGGCCCCCAGATCCCCCCAATTTCCAGGGCACCCGCAGTAGCACCAGCTTCTGCTCCAGTGCACGCACCACCTTGCGCTATTGTCCCCTTGTTCTCCCCCGGGCAGCTAAAAGTACCTGCCTACGGCCGACCGGGCTCCTTCCCTGCCATCCATCCCGTCCCTCCCTCTCCTTCTTCCCCTTTGGTCTGCAGTTTCCCCCCTACCCGGTCCTTCCTACTGCGACTGCTACCTGCCACCTGCTGCTCCTTCCCCCCCGTTGCTACCTGCCTACTGCGCCATAACCCTTTTGTCGAACTCAACCACCGTCGCCCATCAACCACCACCACACAACCATCCGTCCTACACCTTCTATCTCGTCCGCATCTGCTTCACCGGCCCTCCGCCCGCTTGGAGGAAGCCTCTCGTTCTGTGTAAGTACCATCCCCAAACAGAGACACGAACGCCCTCGGACACGCTGCAAGACGGGCTTGCGGGAAAAGGGAAAGGGGAAATTGGGATTTTGCGAGAAGCGAAGAAAAAAAGGAACGACGACAAACCGACCGGCCAATCGTGCGACACAAAACGAATAGGAGTCGATCGGGAATGTCATCTTCGCAGTCACCCATTGCCCGACCTCGCCGTCAAATCCCCCTCGCATTTTCGCCGCTCGTCCAATGCCCTTCTCCGCCGCGCCGTGACCTCGCCCAGATCCCGTTCCAGCTAACCTTGGATTATGCACAGCTCTCATCGCGACCGCACCCGCGCACAATCCTTTCGCGATTCAACCACTTCATCCTTCTCTACTCCGCTGTCCCCAGCCTCCCGTTCCAAGATGCCTCAATACACCTCTCGCGATGTTGGCGACCCGTCGCAGATCAAGAAGAACAAGCAGTCGATGGCCGATCTTAAGCTGCGTCGCCTAACGGAGCTCAACAACCGCCTGCGCGAGGACCTGGAACGAGAACGCATCCCCGTGAGCACTGCGTCCAAGAGGTAAGCATATCCCCGCGAATTTGATGGCAACGCCAGCGCTGACGCGACTCGATAGCATCATCGCCTACTGCAACGGCACCCGAGACTACATGGTCCCCTCGGTCTGGGGAGCCGTCCCCAAGGGCGAAGACCCCTACGCACCGCAGCAATCCAACGGCTGCTGTGTGGTGATGTAATAATACAGCATTCCTTTTTTGTATTCCCGGTTATCAAAACAACAACCACGCAACGTCGATGATGATTCAGCGGTTGGACGGAAGAGGCCTCAGTCATTTTTGATGTGTCAAGTAACGCGTTCGAGAGGAGGATATTGGAAAGAGGAGAGACGCGGATGTTTAGAGGAGAGAGGGTGAGGAAGAGAAATCGACTCCGGACACCGAAGCACGACAACCACCACCACCACTACCACTATCAGCATTGGGAGGGCGGAGGAGACATGGCCCACCGACCAAGCGCGAGCAGGAGAGGAGGAGATACGGCGACCCCAGAACTAGTCGAGGATGCCGACCCGGATCGAGATACCCCATGATACCTGTTGGGCGGGATAAAAGCAACCGAGCGCGAGACGAGGGGGAGCAAGAGGTGCCGGGAGCTTAAACGACGTTGATGCTAATTATTTCCCTATGTATGCATGTCCTCCTTCTCTAGCTGGGGGGGCGGGGGCATGCACATGGCGAAGAGGTGATTTTTTTTTTGAGCAAGAGCAGAGGGTTTGATTTGAATCTACGGGTTTGGGGAGGGGGAGCATGGATTGGGATGGGCTCTTGCGCAATGTAATAATTCCCTTTTTCTCTATCAGCCCCCTTTCGTCGACTCTATCATTTCCATGTCGTGTACGTTTTTTTTTATATTTTTGCCAGCCAAATAAAGCTCTTTTTCCTTCTCGACCTCGATCGGCATGAGGCTTTGATGGTGGACTCCGGGCGTCCAATGTGGGCGCCAGATCAGCTTGGATCGACAAGATGGCAGAGACATACATAACACGGCAACACGATCCGTGCGAGAGGACACGTCCACAGGCGAGGGGGAAACACGGCGAGAGAGCCCTAGTAGTGACTGGGCTGGTGACTATATCTCGGCCAATGGCCATGATGGTGGACATGTTCAGCTTTCGCGGCGTCACCTCAGCTTTCGCCGATGACATGCTCCTCTGCGTCTCCCTCGCCGCCTCATCGCTCCCCCGTCTTCGATGAGCAGCCGCCGCCTCCACCCAAGGTCACGAGGCCAATCACGAGGGCCTGGATCAACTACGTAGTAAGTCGCCCCGCCAGCGGCCAGCTCCGCACCGGATCCGAGCTTTTTGCATCTCCCCCGCCCGCGGCGACTCGCGCGATAGCCTCGACTTCTGCACTAAGCCTAATTCAGGTGCCACAGGGCTTTTGCAAGCGGGCAGCTCGTTCCGTTCCGTTCGGTGTGCTGCGGTCTTTCCCATGGCATGGCGCGCTGCAGCTCAGCATTTGGCTTGTGTGGGTTTTTTTTGGTGTCTCGGGTAGAAACTCAAGCTTGCGGAACAGGACCTCAAAAAGACATTACGCAACAGCGCGTCACATACCATCTAGGGTAGGACAGTAGGAAACTACCTTGAACATCATGGCCGCCCAGGTTCCCGCAGGCTGTCTGCTGCCGCGCGTGACGATCCAGTTCTGCACCCAGTGCAAGTGGATGTTGCGCGCCGCCTATGTAAGTCCCACTGCCGCCCGGGTCCATCTTCCTCGATAGCAGAAACTACACACAAATAGCCATCCTGGGCGCATTCCTCTCACCATCCACCCTCAAGCCAACGCACTAACACATCCCCTCAGTTCGCCCAGGAACTGCTCTCCACCTTCTCCACCGCCCTCGGCGAAGTCGCCCTGCAGCCGTCCACCGGCGGCACCTTTGTCGTGGCCATCACGCATGCGGCGGGCGGCCAGGGCGATGCGTCGTCGCTCTCCACCAAGGTGCTGTGGGACCGCCGCATCGACGGCGGCTTCCCGGAGACCAAGGAGCTGAAGCGCCGCGTGCGCGATGTCGTCGAGCCCGGCCGGGATCTGGGCCATGTGGACCGCCACCACGCCGTGGCTGAGAAGGTCGTCGACGATGGCGGTAAGGCTGTGGAGGGTGGAGGGAAGGACGCGAAGGAGGAGGAGAAGAAGGAAGAGGAAGAGAAGAAGGGAGAAGAAGTGAAGAAAGGAGAGGGAAGGGAGAAATGTGAGGATTGTCAGTAGTTATACTGTCTGTATGGTTGAGTTGGTCTTGATGCCTGATGCCGATACCTGATACTCTTGCCTACGGGTCCCCCTTCACACAAGTCTCTTACACAACTCATATATACTCACCAAGATTGCAAGACCAAACTGGGACGTAAAGCTTGGCTAGTCTACCAGCTCGAAATACTGCCCAGGTTCCTGATAGGCAACCTGTCTGAAAGTGTATGAACTTGAAAGGTGTCTGTCATTCGGGTGGGTGAAAGTTCATGACATCTCACAACACCCACATAATGCCAACCCTGGGATACACAACATACAACAACCAGTGGCGTCCACTCTGGCACACCATCACTACACGACCTTTATCTACGTCATGGCATCTCGTATTGGAGAATCATGACCTCGCCTCTTCACGGAACAGCAAAGACACTCACTGCCTACGCTCTACATTGGACATGCAGCATCAAGTCTCGATATTAGCAACCATGGCCTCCATGCACACCATCGAAATGTCCGCCAGGTCGTTGGAAACAACAGGATTGGTTCATACACATCTCCCCCTTCGCTCATCGTCATCATAACTACTCTTGCCAAGGGGTACGACAACTACTACACCCCTCACCTCCCCCCCCTTCTCCAGAAAACAATTATACATGGCGACTTGTGCAATAGAAACATCTTTCCCGAGTCGGCCCTGGGTATGAAATGGACCATCATCAACCACCAACACCCCTCCCCTCCCGTCGTCGTCTGTCTGGCGCTCTTTCGTCACATGGAAAAACACATTCCCCAAAAACACCACCCCGGACCACCCCCCTCGCTGACACCAGTCTACGCAAAAAAGGCAGCGGCTTTCTGGCCGCGGATCTTGCATGGGATCCGAGCAACTGTGTGGGAAGTCAAATTTTTTGTGTATGTTTTATCTGTGAGCTAAGAAACAGCCGTTTGTCGTTATCAAGTTCGCATATGGGCATTAGAGACGATTCGGGTTTCGCAGAGGCAGCGCCGCATGTCGGCACACGTTCAGATCTGACACCCTCCCAGAGAACCAACATTCGGTGCCAGACCCGATGGCAAAGGCGAGGTGCGAGGTGGTCGAGACGAGGGAGCGCCAGTGGGAGGCGGGGCTCGGGTTAATCGTTCATCGCGATTCGTCGTCCGTCGGTCGAGGTATTCGGGAATCTAACGCCGGCCGAACCTAGATTAAAGCAAAATTGGTTGGTTTACATAATTCATAACTTGATATTGTTCTTGGAAGGGACTGGTTTGCGTCCACTCCCAAGACCACTTTTGACGTACTTTTGTTTCTTCTCAGCGGGTTTCAGGATCTGTGGAAGTCATGTCAGCACAATTGGATCTGGACAACACCAAGGATAACATAAAGGCACTGACCTGGAATGAACAAAGCAAGCTCTCATCGACGCTCATCATGGCACCTGCATTGTCAAACTCGCCACAGTAGTTGGGAGCACTGAACAGGGTCACGAGTTGACGCTTAGAAAAGAACTCGTAGCCATCCTCGACGACCTGATGGGCGCGACAGATGAGGTCCATGTCGTGCTTCTGGAGGAATCGAGAGACAACGTCGGGTCCGAAAGTGAACGAAACACCACGGTCGTTTTCGCTCCAGCCTGTAATGTCCTTATCAGGATCCGACCACAGGAGATCGCACAGGAGACCACAGTCGGGAATCTAGGGACCGTCAGTATGGATGCCGAGACACGACTCCCGCGCCGGCCAAGAAGCTTGGGGCATCGGGATGGGGAACGGGCTACATACGTCAGTGGGGCGCATCACTCGGCGGATCTGCTCCATCGAGTTGAGATCGGGGCTTAGACCGCCGTGCATGGTGAAGATCTTCTCGTCGATGATAGCGGCGATGGGAAGACAGTTGAAACAGTCGGTGAAGGTCTTCCACAGCTTAATGTTGTAACGGCGCTTGCACTCGTCGTAGAAGCCGTAGATTCGGTTGATGGAGGCACACTCGTGGTTGCCACGGAGGATGAAGAAGTTCTCGGGGTACTTGATCTTGTAGGCCAGGAGCAGGCAAATGGTCTCGAGGGATTGCTTACCTCGGTCGACGTAGTCACCGAGGAAAAGGTAGTTGGCCTCTGGAGGGAAGCCGCCGTATTCGAAGAGACGGAGCAAATCGTAGTATTGACCGTGGATGTCACCGCAGATCTATGGAGCACCGGACAGTCAGCGGGTCAATCTTCCCAAATGTGCTCTTCCAGCTCCATGTCCCGAGATTCAAATCCCAGGAGCAAATGGAAGGAGAGGGTGGGAAAAAGTACCTTGATAGGAGCTTCAAGCTCGAGGAGGATGGGCTGAGAGATGAAGATCTCACGAGCCTTAGTGCAGAGGTAGCGGATCTCGGTCTCAAGCAGCTGGACCTGCTTGCCGGGACGGCTGCCGCGTACCTCGAGTAGGCGGTCGATTATAGAGTCAAGATCGACCTCGTGTTGGTCGGCCATCTTGGAGGATTGTGCTGGCGAGAGCGGGCCCGCGGAAGTCGAGAGGGAGGTCGCGGGGCGGAGGGAGAGGACAGCAGGAGGATTCACTGGTCAATGAGATTGCGGGGGAAGTTCGTCAGATGTGAGGCCGATATGGCAAGCCGATGCACTTCGTAAATCTCGGTCGTGTCAGCTGGTGGCACACAGAAAACAAGGCGGTAATGGGCAGAGGAGGAATAATGTCGCAGAGGCCGGCGAAATCGCGACCGAAAGAGTCCAACAAAAACGACAGACGGTTGGAGATGAGGGCCCCGTGAGAGCAGTGGCGTGGAGACGAGAGAAAATTTGACGTTGAGGGCGGGATGAACGTGGAGAGGGCGCGGTGTGGGAGGAGGTGAGAGCGGAGAGCGGCAAGGACACACACGAAACTCACCTGAAGTGATCACGTCGCTTTGGGGGCTCTCGGGTAGCGAAAGCAGCAAACAAGGGCACAGCAGCGATAGCAGGCAGTCTCTCTCAGACAGTGCAGTCGTCGATACACAAACGAGGGATCGTGGCAGTCAAGATGTCAGATCAGATCGTCGTCAGGGTTGCCGCGGTGGGCCGCCGGCGTGGTTGTTGATAGCTGTCCGCGGGTCCCAGAAGAGGGCGGCAGAAGCAGGCGTCGGGAGGGGGGGGGGGATAAAAAAACAGCGTCAGCCAGCAGCGGGGACTAGCGGGCGTGTCTCGTCGCGGGAGGATAAAAAAAGAAGCGTCGAGTAGTAGACGCTTTGTCGCCGGTAGCACGATGCTGATGGAGATGGGTCTGGGTGCGAGGGCAGAGGAGCCTCGGTCGTCAGGTCACAGAGGGGATGGGGATAGGCCTCGTGGCTCCTTCGCGGGTGGGTTTCTTGTTGTTGGGGCGGCTGGTCGGGCGCGGGCGCGATCAGGAATTTGGAGTCGGGGGTCGGGTTGGGGACAGACACAGAGGCCGTCGTTCGCTTGTTCGTCTTTGGAGTTTTTGGAAATTTGCACGAGAAATAGAGTCTCGAGATGCCAGTAGGCGTCGCAGGGCGTGTCGGCGATGGGCAAACACGGGGGAGTTCGTTCTCGTCGTCGGGTTCGTTGGATGCAGATGGAGAAAGAGTCGAAGGGGGGCGGATTTTTTTTTCTCACGCAAAGGGGATGAGAAATCCATGGAATGGAGGCGGGCGCTGCCCATCCACATCCACGCCGGGGGTTTCCTGGGGTCGGTCGGGGATTGCGGCGCTCTCGGGGGGCGCTCTGGGCGCCCTGAAGGTGCTGGAGGCCACTGGAGAGGCGGGCAATATTAGCACTGCGAAGGTGCGCTTAGTGGGCACCTGTCCGTGGACTTGAGTTTTCGGGCCCTTGTTGACTTGGCCAATTTTGGCAGTGGCAGGGGAAAACGTCGGGTCGGCTACGGTAGGCTTGTGCTTTCGTGCTAATGTTGCTCCAAATTGTCCGTCGGGTACCTACCGTACTGGAACGACCCAGGAAACTCCCCTGGAAACTCCCCTGTAAGAAGCAAGGTCGAGGCGCATCCGGCCGCTGGAACCGACCCCCACGGTTCCTACCTAGCCAGGCCCACCACCACAGACCATCATCCAGCATGCAGTAGGCCTCCGGAGCTTGATTTGAAGCCTCACTCCCGTTGTCGAGACCGAAAGCCGGATTCTAGGACCTATGGGCGGCGAGACAAAAAGGGAGCTCGCTGGGTGAAGGCATGGAGGACTCAAGCCACATATTCTCAGAGCTGACTATTCCTCTCTCCCTCCATTCTCGGCCCCGGATTTGTCGGCGCCTACTCCGTAATCACCCCGGGTCTTGCTCAGCCTCTGTCTCTCTCACTCCCATGTCTCAAGGGGTACGAAGCTGGCTTCATGACCATAATCTCTCCTTCGTACTTCGTATACGGCCTGGCTGGGTTCATCTCTGACAGCAAAAAAAATGTCGGGCCCTGGGAGTTAATTGGTAATTGGTCCTCGACAAGACAGACTCGCTCACCAGCCCGACTTATCTCCTGGTCTTGCCGCTTCCCATGCCTCTCTTCCCATGCCCTGACCTGGCCACTTTGTTGAGCAAACCAACTCCTCCTCGCTTTGGTCCATAATCGTCTCGGCCCAGCGCCAAATAAAACTAGCACAGCCTCTCTCAGCAAACCGCACGAAAGTAATCCTCCCTCCCCGCCCACCCCTCCTCTCTTTTGCCACGCAACACAGCGCCATGCTACGCTACGCTGCGTCAACGCAACGCGACGTAACGCGACGACAACGCAGAAGCTGTTCCCCCTTATCCTCGTTGATCAGCTCTCATCTGTGCAGTTCTTCAAACCCATGGCGATAAAGTCACAGAGCTAGGGGGCTGACTCCCCCAAACTCAATCAACCCTCGACGCCTTCTGTCGCCCAATGAGTGGCTTCCACTGGATCTTGTCCCTGATTCAAGCGCCTCAAGCCCCTCTCATCTTGAATGACGTCTAGCAGTTCTATGTGTGGCCCGGTACTCCGTACATTACTTTGGATCAGGACTTTATGCTTCCCACTGTACGTAAGTGCTCATCACCTTTCACACACTCTGCTTCACAACCCCTCGATCTTTTTTGCCCCCCCTTCCCCATCCTTCACGATCCAATCCCCAAGCTTCCCTCCAGCTTCCCCCCGTTCTCCACCACTCATCTCTCCCCAAGCTGCACATCTTCGCCAAACTTAGCCCGCGATGCCCGCCGCCGGCAAACACGCATGCATTAAACCTGCTGCGCGAGAGAGCGCCACACGCAGCCAAGTGCTCACGCCATGGACATGGTTTCGCTTCGAAAGCCTGTCACAGTCCGTATGCGTCCCCCCTCTTCAGTTCAGGACCCCAGAGAGTTGTGTCATCATGCATTCCCTCACTTCGGCCCGAGTCACGTGACTACTCAATACCCAGAATCAACGACACCTCGGCCAATGAGACTCTGTACACCAGTTGAGCATTACTCGTCGCGCAATTTCTATATATTGTTGCTTAAACCTCCATTATCTTGGTACGCTCGTAATACTCTCCATAATCTAGGTTTCCCTCTTCATCCCATCATTCCTACCACTGGAGAAGATGGAACATCAAAGGGAAAGGCAGTGCTATCAGAGGAAGATCCTGTGCGAATGGAAATCCTCATCCCGTCTGTAGTCTCAAGTTGTAATCCTAATATGGACGTTGGTTTAATTTCCGACCACGGGTTCATTATATGGATACTTGCTTGCAATGCTTCGAAGAGTTCATACATTTATCTCATTTCGTCTTGTCCCTACATCCATCCCATCCCTCTCCACCTAACCTCCTCGACGCCCTCTGTTCCACATAATTAAAATATGAGTATCCCCATCTTGCCTTCAACGCCAAGCTGAATGGTGCACATGTATATGACCTGTATCATTCCAAAAGAAAAAAATCCCCTTGGGAAAAAAAAGAGCAACCCCCCCGCAAACGATCCTTAGCCCCGTAGTGGTACACCCTCTTCGTCGTAGCCCACCATATTCGCTCACCGCCTTCGTGTCGAAGTCCTCCGCTTCTTCACCTTGCTGGCCTTGCTCTTCGCAGCTGTAGTCTCTGCATCCACGTGGCCATTTACCTCCACTGCGACGGACGAAACCCCGTGGTCCACGTCCATCCCCAAGCCCTTCAACTCTTCATCATCCATGTCTGTCAGATCCTCACTGAGCATCCTTACGGCATCTCTTCCAGCCCAGTGCTCGCCAAGAACCGACGTCCCTCGTGGCTCGTGACCCTTGAGGTACCAGAGCACTCCTCCTTCGGTAAGAGGGTCCGCTGGGTCTAGGCCAAGGCTCCCGTTAGACTGCGGAGGTGTTGGGGGGCCGGACTGTACTGGTCGAGGCCTGGAGACATATCCATCTGTGTCCGGGGGCGTATCAGAGGATTTGATGCCATTGTGGAGCTCCACCTTGCTATCCTCTTCGTCAATGATTCCCAGGCCAGAGGTATTGACTTCGATGTTTCCACCATCTTCGTCGCCATCCTCGCCTGTATCCATTGCGTCTTCTTCCTCTGGGAGTGATCCCTTGACGGTGATCTGCAACGCCTGCGGGGCATCCACCATGATGGTATCATCGGCCTCCTCAATTGGTTCTTCGCGGTTCGGGGCAGCAGCTGGCCGTCCAGTCTCGACGCTATTGTCCACCATCGTCTCCAACTCTTTCTGGAGAGTCTCAAAGGGCTTCTGAGATATCTCTGACTCGACACGCAGAGCCGTCTCCAGATACGGCTGAACCGCTTTCAAAATGCGTTTACCCAGCTTACGGCGTTCTCGAATATCTGAAAACGTGTTCTTTGTCGGGGAAGCATCAATCGGCTCGAAGTGCGATTCAGATGGCTCGCTGGCGCTCCTAGGAGGAGTGCTAATGCCCGTGCTGATAATCTCGCAGAGATCTGCTGCAAATGAAAGCCCCGTCACGTAAAATCGAGTTTCTACGCGCTCTTGTAGCATTTCCAGTCCGTCCATGAAGACGTTCTTATCCAGCCTGTGATGGGTTAGTAATGAAACGCATTATATGCTGGAGGCGAGTTTCTTACGATATTGCTCTCTCGATTCCGGGGGAGAGTAGCTTCGCTACTGGGAAGTAGCACTCGTCGACAAAGTCTTGTTCGAGCTCACCAGCTTCCACTTTCAGCTGCTCCCGTTCGACGAGTTCATCCGAGAGGGTCTTGAGCTGTTCAAGATCTCGGATCAGGTTCTGGGCGAACTGGATGCGTCTGGCTAGTCTAGCCTTTCCGCTTGGACCCATGGCAGCGAAATCACGCCTCGTCAATTCCATAGATGAGAACGACTCCATTTGGAGCTGGAGGCGCTTCAATAGTGCAGCACCTCGCCGGGCTTCTCGCTTCAATGTCCAGTAACGGCAGGCTTCACTGAGATAGTCCTTTCGCTTGCGGAAGGGGAATCGCTGGATAGATGCCTCAACAATCTCAAACACTGCTTGAGGGATGATGGGAGCACCGGATGGCAGCTTCCAAAGGTTTTTCGGGGCCTGGCCCTTCTTCTTGTCACCACCCAGCACGGCGGAATTCTTGGCACCAGTCATTTGGGACTCATCGGGAGGATGATCCGTGATGGCGTTGCGGTGCTGTGCAGCAATGGCATTGGCCATGGCGTGGTTGTCAGCCCAGATGCGACCCCTCATGGTTCTCTTGTAGAACTTCTTTGCTGTCCTTGTGGCTTGATGAACTCCGTTCTCATGTGCATAATCAACGGGGCAGTGCCTGTCGCAGAAGGCCTTGAGAACCATGCCGCCATCCAATACGGCCAGTGCACCCTGGCTCGTCTTCATCTTGAGGAAAAGCCGAGATCTTCTGGCGCACGTCACATGGAAGGCCTGGTAACAGTTCTTGTTGCTGCACTGTATGCAAGCTCCCATTCTCTGTCGGCAGATGTAGCAAGTTAATTTCCAACGATTCTTAGGGACCTTTTCCACATCCATGACAGGTTCCATGAATGTGTGGTTGCCAAGCGACACCTCAGGAATCCACATCGCGCAGAGCAGGTGAGCCCACTTGGAAGAGTTGGTTTGCTTGAATGCGCCATCAGTGTTGGGGCAGAAGATGCAAGTCTGATACCACGAGTTAGTTGGTTCATCATTGGCATTAAACTGGGGATGCTTACCGGAACTCCACGGCCACAAAGCTGGCACTTTCGACAGAGCCACTGACCCTCGGGGATAAAGGGGACACCATAGCATTCCTGATGAACGGCCAGGTTACACCCATCGCAGAAGACGATGGCGTTGGTGTTTTCGCAGTCTCCGTCATCGCAAATAGCGCACTTCGAATCCGGCTCTTCTCCCAACTGCGGCTCACCATTAACGGCAGCAGCGGAACTGGACCGCGGACGGTGTGTTTGAGGAGGTTTTGGATTAGGCTTAGGGATCCTCTTTTCCAGAGCATGCCATTCCTTTTCGATCTTGGTCATGGTGATCTCAAATACCTCGCGGGTAATTTCTTCCAGCTCATGTTGCTTGCGCTGCATGTTGTATTGCTCGAGCCACATATCGTCCTGCTCGTCCATGTCATACTCGACACGACCAATTCGTGTGGAAGGAATGTGCTCTTCAGAATTTGCAGCTTCGGACTGATCTGCATCATCTTCAGCGTTCCCATCCGAGGCCTTGATAAGGGTCTGATCTGGACGAATGAAGTGGTCGCTCTCTTGATAACCGACATTACTCATCGCCTTGTCAACATAACGGGCCTGTCCAAATGTTTTGCTCTCAAAGAGCTCAATCCGGTTCGTCTTTCGATAGGATGGTAGTTTCAAGTCCAGTTTCTCCTTCGGCGTTTGGTTCTGTATGGGCAGGATCTTGGGGGTCTTGGGGGTTGTGGTGAAGTCTATTGGTCGGCTGCTGCTGTTATAGAAGCTAACAACATCTCTAGTCGGCCGCCGAGTGCGCCGTGATGGAGTGCCGTTGGGGTTATCTAAAGAGTTGGACTCCGCGTGACCCTGCGGGTTCGGGGTATTTCCGGTAGATGCGGGGTTGGGCTGCCTTGAAGGGGTGGAGGAGCTATTCATCGGCGTGCCCGTTGTCTGGGCAATTGGAGTGTCGGGGGCCTCCTGGGGTATGCCATCGACATCCTCGGAACGCAAGACGATGAAGGCCCCTTCAATATCAAGGTTTGGGTGGAAGTCTTCCCAGCTGCGCTCCTCGCGGGGTTTGTAATCTTCGGCCTGCTTCACCGAAGCCGCCATGGCTGCCGCAGATCCCCAGTGCATTTCTTCGAGATCGTCGTCGGTAGTGGTCGCTCGCGTTCGGGCGCTTCTCTCTCGCCGAGGCATCAGGGACGGGGAGGCTCCGTTGAGGACCTCCCGGGCGGCGTTTCGTGATCTTGAAACGGTTGATGGGCCGGCGGCACTGGGAGTATCGAGAAGATCGGATTCGATGAAACGGCCACCACCGCCGGGACCGCCTGGGATATATCGCCGCTTCTTTGGCGGCGGTTCGGATGCGACGCCAGCGGCCATCGCAGCCTGTTGTCTCGCGGCGCGCGCCGCGTTGGTTGTACCGGGGGGACGCCCACGGCGCCTAGCCGCAAGAGGTCGACGAGGAGTAGGCGATGTGGGAGCCATTGCAAAAGGGACAGATATCAATGTTTGTAGCAGATCGGGGGCTCGCTGGCGCAGGGGGGTCGGGTTGAATCACCGCGTCAGGGAGAGGTGGCGCGCGAGCTCGGTCCGGGGGTTGGCGGGGACTCCAGGCATCTGGAAGCCGGTACAGACGTTGGACGAGCTTTTTCTCGGGGCTGGCCAAGTTAGGAGTCGAACGGAAGCCTCGTTGGCGGGTGGTTGATGGATGTTGGCAGCATCAGGAGGAGGCGTGACGTCGGCCGGCGGCTCTGCGCAGGCGTGCGAAAAACAGACAACGCGTGAAGTTGGGGCGCACGGACCAGCGAACCTGGATTCGTGACAGAGTAGTCAGGGGGTTAGTCAGCTCCAGATGGGGCTAGGCCTGTTTGGGGCTACGCTCAGATGGGGATGCATCTGGCCCATCCTGCATCTGGGGGAATGGAGAATTGGCCCACGGCGATCGAATTTTCGCAAAAGGGCATGTGGTTATAGAGCCGACGTTGCTCTGTGAGATAGGGCGGCAGGGCCATTGACCAGCCCCGCATTCTCCCAATGTCGCTGGTAAACTCATTGCCGGGTTTGCCCGCAAGTCAAAACTGGTTCTCTAGAGAACAGAACCTTGGGTTGACGTTGGAACGAGTTGTCGGCTACCGCCAAAAGCCGTATGGAATATACAGCGATATAGTAGCGAATTCAGTTGCGGTCAAGTCGTCGTTCGGTCGGACGAGGGAGAACCCCGAGTTGGCAGGCATCCGACAAAGTTGAACTAGACGGCCTCCTCAATCGGCGCAACACCGAAACACCTAACTTACACCCCAGCTCCAGGTCGCGCATTAAAACAGGGCTCATATCTTTGATCGGCAGCTTTCCTGTTACTTGAGATCCAATCGACAGGCCTCTCACCTGAAATGGATCCCTCGTTGACTGTTCCCCATCTCGTCTCGCCCAATCCAATGCCCATGACAATCCCGGGGGTGGACACTGGACAACTCACACGTCCCACACCAATCAGCAGGCCGTCGCAAACCACAGCGCGCGACGCCAGAGTGCGACGCCAGAGTGCGACGCCAGGACGATCGGGGTCTCATGCAAGATGGCCAGAAGAGGGCCTCTAGATCTGGAGGCCCGGAAGGCCTAGTGTACTGTGTGGGACGATGATGCTGGCTCCCTGTCACTAGAGCCGAAGGGGCTTGCATCCGCGCCGCGCCCCGGCCGTGGAGCTGCCCGCCTTGGAGTCTTCACGAGACCCACCCGGCCAAGATGGCGCCGGCCAGGAGGCTGCTCCGTAGGCTTGTTGAAGAACTGGGAAGACTCGTGCAGATTTGACACCTGCGACATTTGGCGCTGGGGAGGTGCCTGGCCCACGTTGAGATGACCGTTCGGGCACCACTACCATACGTAAGATACCCGACATTCACAGCTACCGCTTATCCTTAAGCTGGATTAAAAATCCTATTAATCTTTAAAGCATGATTTCATTAGCTACGCCCGAAATACTTCCTTGGGCATCCCTCATAAGAAGGGCGCGCTTCCACCGCACGGCCCATTCTTTCCATCAGCTTTCAGGCGCAGACGCCGTCGTACCGAATACCTCACTCTGCTCGCACCCAAGTCTCCATCCCACCACCTTCATCATGCATCTGACACCACCCCAGCCACCGCAAATAGGATCCCAGTTCCAGACATTGACTCTGCTTACTGATTACGCTAAAATAGGCAACTCAAACCAAGGTCCCTAATTACGCCCACATGTTGCAAGGAGAGTTATCTTGCGCGAGTAAGGCAAGGTCGGGTGAGGTGACGGTGTGGTCATGCGAGCCAATACGATGGCTGACCATGTCACGTCAGCCTGCGGCTAGCGGAGCATATGCGTAACCAAAGTCATTCCTCCGAAGGTCCGGATGAAAACATCAAAGAGTCTTGGCGGATCTTAGATCGTGGGCGAGTGTGTCTTCCAGTACCAGTCGCACAACTGGCCACGGGTAATCATGGCGAATACAGGCTACACGACACTCAGGAATTCATCATTACGATCACAAGGTAGGCAGCGATAGAAACATCTGGTTCAGCAAATTCGGGACGTTCATGTATTACACTCCCCTCCACCACGCCCTCCTAAAAGCCACCAACTGCAATGCAAATTTCAACGGGAGAATTTTTTCTTCCAGACCATGCCACACGAATACCACCAGTAGAAAACAACTTCAATCAATCAATGGCCCTTTGTCCTTCGCTCCTAAACTCCGTTTCCAAATTCAACAACCAAAATGTATCAACCTTCCAAACGGCAAGGTAAGAAGGAATTGAACAAGTAGAAACATGAATGTTCCCTGAACAAGACCATGCCTCTCAGACGATATTCCTTCTTTCTTCGTGTTCCAGAGAGGCGTCTAGATATGATCTAGGATGCCAGGTCGCATAAGCAAGAGCGACGAAAAAAAAAACATGAAGGGGGTGGTCTGGGAAAGAAGTGAAGCGAAGTAACATGCGATGATGATGGTAATGCATGCCGAAAACAAAATGCAAATAACCCCCTGTCCTAAACTCCGTGTTCGCTATGCTCCGTGATATCATTCAAAAACACAAACACAAACAATCTTAAAATCCAGTAACTGTAAAACAAGTCGACGTAGTGTATCAGGCTCGACTCTCCTGAAACAAGCCAGTCGAAGAAGGATAAACGCAAATCAAGCTGCAGGATCCATTGGATCTTGCAACTGATGGGTATCATGGTATCATTCAAGGATCATCATCCTCCGAGTAAGGCTTGCAAGGTATTCGAGCGTAGTAGTTAACCGAGTGTTCGGCCACTGTGAATAGCCTGAGCAGGTGGCATGTGATGGGGAGTGTGAGCTGCCCGGAGAGCGGCTGGGGATGCGAGCCCAGACGGAGCAAAGTCTGGTGGGCCGTTAGGGGCCCAGCTCTCCTCACTCAAAACAGAGAGATAACCGTTTCCGACCTTGTCCCGCAAGGCTTCAATTTTTTGCCGGTAGATCTCTCCACTAGCATCCCAGTCCTGGGCATCGTTCGATGCATAGACTGACGAGATGTTGGGAACAACACTGGTGTCGATCCGAGGGACTTCGGGGGAGCTGGAGAAGCCACCGCTGGAGCTAGAGAAGCCACTGCTGGAGTTGGTTGACAGAACTACAGGTGGTAGTAGCTTAGTCTCGGGTTGTTGAGAGATGCGGTAGTTGCCGTCAGTGGTGATGGGGATTTTGGCGGGTTTCAGAACTGGCCTGCTAGTACGCAAATCCACGGGTGAGGGCGAGGGGAGTGTGTCGTTGGTGGCCAGGTCGACGATACGTCGCTTGGGGGTCTTGCGACGGCGAGTGGAAGTAGTGTTGGTCTCGCTCATGACTGCCTTGGGAGTTGGTCTCTCCTTACGGAGCACAGTAGGTTCCCTAGGAGTGTTGTAGACGATGGCAGGCTTGCTCACATCGACAGTTGGAACTTCAGGGGCTTTTGGCTTCACGACTGGGACGGAATCAGGAATGGGAGGGCGATCCACAAGCTGCCGCCTCTCGGCATAGCTAGGGCCGCTGCCATCAATGATCACATCCTCGGTATATCCAGAGGTCTTGCGAAAGAGGTTGAAAATGGTCACACGGTAATCCTTGTGAGTGCGAGTAAAGGGATTGCCCTCAACATAGATCTCACGGATTTCGGGGATACCGGTCAATCTCGCAAGCTCCATAGGATCAACCAGGCGGTTGTCTCGCAAGTCCAGGCGCTCCAGCGGGAACAATTTCTCAATGCCAGCAAGGCACTGCAGCCTGTTGGCCCGGAGGTTGAGCGCGGTGATGGCAGGAAGGGGGTTGCGAGTCAGAGACTGGAGAGAGTCGATCATGCAATGCGACAGGTTTAGAGCACGGAGCGCAGTGAGGGTAGCCAGGCTGTCTGGGATCTGGCTGAAGAGGTTGGAGGAGAGGTCAAGAGAGTAGAGAGTATTAGAGAGGGGGGCAAGGCTGGCTTGGGAGATCGAGTGCATCGAGTTGTCCGCCAAGCTGAGGTGTCTCAAGAAGCGCCACTTGGAAGCAGGGAGGATGCCCATGGCCAGGAGATTTCCTGAACTTCCACGGGCGTGATGGTGAGTCCATGAGTCGGAGAGGCTGGAGTTCGAACTTCCGGATCCCGACCGCCTCATGCGATGGTGGCCACGGACAGGATGAGATTGCGTCCGAGAGCTGGCAGGTCGCGAAGGCGAGTTGCTGCGAGGACGACCACCCTTCTTCGGCGAGCTGGGCAGGTCATCGACATCATCTCTTCCAAGGGATGTCCGCCTGCTGCTGTCTTCAACAGCATGCTCGTTAGGGCTCATGGAGCCGATGTGGAGCTCGCCAGAGACACGAGGGTCAGGGGAGCTGGGCGCAGAGGCTGCTCGATGTAGCTCCGGGTGACCACTTCTCCGCGGGCTGCTGCTGCCTGGCCACGCGTTCGTCGGCGATGACTGAGACTTGGACGTCCGTCGTCGTCTCTTGTCCATGTCATCCAGGACGATGTCGATCAAGATGTCGGCAGGGTCTTCGATGCCAGCGCGCTTCAGAGTGAGCGACCGCAACTGATCGGCCAAGCGATCCCAGCCGAAGAACTGTCGGAAGTCGATGCTGCTAACCTCAAGAGCCTGGAGGTTCTTGAAGGCGTAGAGAGGGACCGCCGAGTCAAATGGGAACTCTTCGTAGCCACGGATGAGGCGCGCACGCCAATCAGGCGCCAGTTTCAGACAGGGAATCTTCGTAAACGCTGAATAGAGGTACTTCATGTCTGCCTGAAGAGCAGCCTTCTGGCGCTCGGTTCGTGCGGCTGAGATGCTAGCACCAATGCCGAAGCTGGCCCACAAAGCAGACATGCCTGACATGACGCTTCGGATGCTCGATACCGAGTGTATAGAATCGATATCGGAGCCCTTGCTCCTCGATCGCTGGGTGTTGCTGAGGAAGGAGACATAGTTGGCTGATGAGGAACTGTCGTGTAGGTTCTCGAGGCGGACTTTCATGGGGCCAACGTTGATGCCCAGCTCTTCGAATCGGGAGAGGAGGTAGAAAAGGTGGTGGGGCGTAAGCGCCAACTTGGCGGACTTGACATTATGTGAGGTAAAGCTGAGGGTGCCAAGAGATAAGGCGGCAGCGAGAGAACTCGAGGTCGAGGAGGAGGTAGCGGGTCGTTCGGGGAGGGTAGTGGAGGCTTGGGTGATAGTAGCGGCGCTGGTGCTCTGCGACGACTTGTGTCGGACTTCGCGGCGCTGGAACTGGAGAGCGTTGGCCAGTGCCTTTTCGTGAGTCCGCACGAAGCCAGCGAGTTGCTATATCTGCGTTAGCAGGGAAATTGCGGGATGGATGGCGGCTTGTTGTCGCTGCATGGGAGCAGTTATACCTTTATGAATAGTTCTCCGTCTTCCGAATCCATGGTTATCGGCCGCTACGCATCGGGAGCGGGGGTGGCCCGGATGAGATGAAGTCGATATTTGGATTCCGAGGGATCGGCGGGAGTGGGAGGACGCAGAGAGTCGGGGGAGGAGCCGACAGGAGAGGTTCCGCGTTGCTAATCACGGCCGGGTGGTTTATCGAGGGAATGGAACGGCGAGAGAAGCCAAGTCTGTGTCACGGTAGGGTCAGTGGCAAGTCTTCGCCTGATGGCAGATGTTGATGCGCGGATGACTGAATAAATGAGATACATGGGCCACCCGGAGGATTTCCAAAGAACCCTCAGGGTCTGGGCGGCAAGCGCAGGACAAAAGAACAAAGACAGTGAAACCGGGAAGGACAAGGAAGTCAGGGATTTCGGACGTGTGATTGTCGCACAACTTCTTCGGTTCGCCACCTGTGAACAGTCGCAGTCGAAGTCGCAGTCGCTGCAGTCACACGCACTCGGGGATCCTTGAGGCAGCAGTCACGGTGCACGGGCGCGAACAGGCGAACAGCGGGGATGGCGACGGCGGAGGAGAGAGGATTCTGGGAACACAGGATGCCGTTGAAAAGGACGCAAAGGCATATACAGCGCAACGCGGAGAAGCGCAGAATGGCAAGGTCGCAGAGTTTGGAGTTCGGTGCACGGCGTGTGGCCGCAGGTGGAGGCCAGAAAGGAGGGGGTCGAAAAGCCGGGACAAGGCAAACGCAAAATGTGCCCGTGATGGCGAGGATGCCCAACAGCCAGCCATTTTCATCCACATGATTTTCTCGTCGCAGGCAAACAGAGCAGAAAACACAAACAGCAACAGCATTAAACATATAGAGGGTTTGGGGCAGAGATGCAAAGATGCAGGCATTTGGACAGCAGCAACAATCAAAAACGAAGGCACGCAACAACACTGTTTGAACTCACCTCGCCAGGGGGGAAGAAACACTGCGACGGCGGCAGCAATACCAAAAACCGAGAGAAGCCCAAAGCAAGAAAAAGGAAACCTTGAACGTGAAGGCGAAAGAAGTCGTCGTACACGATGCGGTGGATGGCCGAGAACCCAGGCTCCTTTCCTCGTGGCTGGTCGGGCGCCACGGCGAGATTGTCGACGATGAGGGATGGAGGAGGAAGAGAGGAACAAGGAGCAAGAAGGGTCCCAGCGGATGGTGGAGGGGCCAGGCGGCTTACTATAGTCACGGCGCCCTGGCAGGCCTGGAGCGTCGAGAGCCTTGGCTTAGCCCGGACCCGCCTGGAGCCCGCCATGGGCCATGGGCAATGGGACGGCCGTGGGATGTGCCATGGGACTGGGGGTTCTCACCCTGGGATTGAGACGCCGCTACCTGAACAGGAGTGGACTGGACGCTATTACCGCTCCCTAGGCTACGTACCCAAGGTAACCAACGCTGCGCTGCGCTGACCCCAGCCCGCTCCCCTACCTCTTCCCTCCTCCCTGAGCGAGCACGCACACCCTGGCTGGTTCCTCAGCGGTGCTGCGGGCGGTTGATTGGCGCTTGACGGCTTGATTGGGGCAGCTCAGTAGGGGGGCCATCCGTGGACCTCCCGTGGGGCTGGCGCAAAGTACCCGGTACTTGTTGACCCGCCCCGATGCCGCGACCCTCTGAGGATCCCACCTGGAGGCCCACTGGCGAGCCCACGGAGCAGCGACGAGGACCCTCTCTGTGGCCGTTCTGGGGCGCTTTGCCGCCATCAAGAGCGAGGGTCCACCCTCCAAAACGGCCAATAATGGATGCTAGACCGCCAGCTGCATTAGCACTTGCAGCTCTCTGCAGGCAGCCCGCCGCCGCAGCAGAGCACACAAGCAGCACGCAGAAACAGTCGAGGCGGCGACTTGCAAGCACACAGAACAATGGACGACCCGATTCAATGCCCTGGGCATCGTCCGTCCGCGTCCTGGGACGATGGGTCCATCGCTCCATCGTCCATCGCTTCATCGCTCCATCGAAATCCATCCCGGGTGTGACGTCTGCCACGACGGGTGGGTGCTCAGTCCTCGCACGACCCTGCGTGGGTGGAAATTTTCCCCGTTATCCGTTACCTAACCTCTGCCTATCCGTGGGCTCTTCAGTTTTGGAGTATCGCACTGTGAAAATCGATCATGACGCCCCCTGTCCCACGGCGGTCGGCCGCCAATGCGGAACGCAGCAAGACATACATGGCGGGCGACGCCGCAGAGCCCAGCCCGCCACAATTCGTGATGGGATTTGCGCCTGGTGAATAGGATTCGGGGACGCCTCACATCCCCTCCAGCTATCGAGCTGTCGGCGTCCTCATCCAGCTGAGACGGGCGGCGGAGGCTGGCAGAGGCGGTGGTCTCAAAAAAGCGAGTGCGGCGGCATGTCGTCGCCCGGGCTGGCCGCGCCAAGTCCCCCCCCCAGCTCCCACCCAGGTTGAAAAGCAAAATGACACTACGCCGCCGAGCGTTCGGAGTCTCAAGTGGAGTCACGATGGGTCCTTTGGTGGGGGCAGCTTGGCGTCGCGACCGGGACAAGGGACCAGACGCGACGAGTAGCAGGAGAGGATGCAAGTGCTGCACACGAGATTGGTGATGGGCATCTGCTGCTAGTCCTGTCCAACCAGACAACTGAGCAGCACTCTGGATGTCTGGGCTCGCTCACGAGCTGCGCGCCCTCATTTCCAACCAACATAGCATCACATCCACAAACGTCTTGCGCCTCGACGGCACTCCATCTTTTGGCGACCGCCACCCTTGGTCGGTGCGTGAGATTCTAGGAGATTTGAGTGTCTACGGTTCGCTTAAGGGCCCATGCCGTGTCTCACCGACCTGGACGAGGGGGAAGCTTGGATAAACAACCAGGACAAGGCCCCGTATGTTGTCTCTCTATTGTTGTTTGTTTACTGTGTCGGACCAAAAAAATACGCCGTCGTCCACCAGGACACGGAGATGGCGTCTTTCCACAGCATCCCAAATTTCGATGCTACCGCTGCTAGGGCCGGCGCCTCCGCCAGACTACTACAGCAATAAGCGTAATACAACCCCGAATATAATGATAAGGGGTCCTCACGCGAAACGGCGGACGTTGGCGCGAATATTTGGAGGGGGCAGATGGCGATGCCTCAGATCGACGATTGACGATGAGCTGGTCTCTGCACCTTGCGTCAGCTCCAAGACTCCAAGAGTCATGCAATTCTGATCGCCGCCCTGCCGTCTCGTCTCGCACTGCCTCCCAAACATTGGATCCCAGGTGCCTGGCCCGAGACAATACTATCTCGCCGCCTATCACCGTCTCGCTGCTGTTCATGCCGTGTGCATGAAATCTCATTTCCAGCGAGCCGTGCTGCACGGGACAGAGGCGTGGTGGTGTTGGTTGCACTCTGTACTGGGAGCCATGGCACTTTGCCTGCCCTGAGATCACTACAACCGTCCACTGCAGAGTGCAGACACCTTCTGTCACATCCAGCCCACCCAGCCCGGGATTCAACAACACCACCTCCTCCCGAATTATGCCTTCACACACACCGTCGCACACACTCTCTGACAAACACTCGCACACCGCATCCATTCCATCCACTATGCCTGGATCATCCACCCTCAGCGTGCCGTTTCGGTATGCCAGACCCCATCATAGTTCAAGACATGTCGTCACGCAACACCAAAAATCACTACCACGAGACCGAAACGTCCGGATTGCCCACCAAAACCCACAGCCCAGCGTCTCGCACCACCCGGCCACCCGGGGCTCCTGCATTCCCGTCGTTTGTTTGCCCTCGCCCCTCGCCCCTCGTCTCCGCGAATCTCACCCGCACGCTCACTCTGAGACTTCTGTCGCCTTTTGCCGCATCGCATCCTGCACCTGCGCCTGCGCCTGCTGCATCTGGGGGCGTAGCGCGGAGCCTCTGCCATTTGCTGCTCTTCAGCGCGCCAACAGCAGTTATGTCATATCTCCACTCAGCCCGCGTGGCGTCGACGTTTGATTGGGGGTAGCATGTCATCTTGCGTTCAAGGGCCCTGGTCCCTGGTCATAGTTCCAGCATGTACCCTCGACTTGCAGCGTAAAATCCACCAGTATCGCTCAAGGGTCCATGCCATCCCGCCCGAACCACCATCAAATGTTCCTTGGAGGCTATGATTTTCAGCAGACTGCAGACCGCAGACCGCAAAGCAGATCGCGGGTGCCAAGCCAAGCGACGTCGCGCTTCTGTCGTCACACTGCAACGATAGCCTTTGGGAATTGCCCATTTTCGTGTCCTTCGACTCATTTTTATGGCGCGCATTGTGTCATGGGATGAACTAACATTTCACCGTCTGCTTCCGCTACTCTCCGCATGGAAATCTGTCTGCGTGAAGTCGTCACGAGAATCCTCATGCTCACACTTAGCGGCGTTGTGGTGTTGTGTCCCGCCAAGGTCGGCCAAAGAGGCTAGAATGGGCAAGCCGACCACACAAGGTTGTCTGTCATCCCACACTCTCTAGCCTGCCTGCCCAGACCTCAAAGCGAGGCATGGCCCTCAGCGGCCACTCAGAATATTGATCGTCTCGATACTAGCTCCCTTCCCTCATCTGTGTTCCGTAAGCCTCCCTTGTCCTCGGTAACTTGATATTTCGCGTCGCAAATGTCTCTTCGCCTTCTCAGGGGCAATTTTCCGCAAAGGCCGACTATCAATCATCATCGGCAGTTTCTAGGAAAGACATGTCTCCCCCTTTCGAGCCGCGAGGATTGTTCCATGCCGATAGCCACAGCTGACACTGTGTCTTACTTTCCTCTGCATCCGAGAGACAGCATCTAGACCCCGGGTGGTTCGGCGCCGACATCAGCCCTGTTCCACTTTGTCTTGTCGGTTGCCGTATTGGGTAACTGAGTTTCTTGATGTCTGAGAACTTTCCTGTGAACTACTGCACGAGGAATCTCGCTGCGAGCTTTGTCACAAGCATGGCTCAATCCATGCTCGCCTAGGTATCTTGCAATGCGGTGTATTCAGGTGTCTTCAGGTATCTTCAGCCGAGTGTAGAGGATGCGACACCGCCGAAGACGGCGCACATGGCCTGTCGATGAAATTGCATCCCCCAAAAAATGGTGCAGCGACTGAGAGTACTCCGTACGACAGGCGATAGGCGCCTCCACGAAATGGGGCATCTTAGTTTGGACTCCCACGGCAGCAGGGTAGAAGGTGACCAGGGTCCAGCCAGGGTTTGTCGCAATCGCGCACTGGCCACAATCTGACGCTGGGATCGTCTCTGGGCTCCGGTCTGATGAGCCTCGCTCAACTGATAAGCTGGTCATCCGGTACTCGCGCCTCAAATCAGTCTGGGGAAGAGGATTGTCGTCAACGTAGCGGAGGCCCGCCCGGTTCTAAATTCCTCGGATCATACACCACACTGCGCCAAACTAAAAAGAAGGGTCCACCACCACGGACTGGTGGAGCTCACGTCACATCTACAGTAAGAGCGAGAGTGGCGAACTCCAATGTGCTCCGCGATATATAGGTCCATCGCGGCCTTTCGACGGGAGGTCGGACGAGTCGGTCCAATGACGACCGTGGTGTCGCTGAATGTCAAACTAGATAACCCCCGAAAGAACCCCGGGGCGCTCACGGACGGCCATCATCTGGCTCGGGTGCGGTTGATCAGTTGCGCTACACGGCACGCACCCAATCTAGATGTTGGCGGTCGGAGCATGTTGGAGGGTGGGATGTGGGATGGTCCGCCCACCTCGACGAATCGTCTTCATTCCCTGGCCACCAAGTGCGATGGGTGGTCGAGTCGGCTGAGCCTCCTTTGAACTCCCCAAGTCAGTCCAACCCCGCGCTACTGGCGGTTGTTCTAGAAATCAAGACGACCATGGCCAACCACGGGCCCCAGGTGCTTCGATGCCAGATTGCACAGGAGGAGCACATGACGGAGAAGACACATTCCTCACCCGGCCACGGGAACTGGCAGTGACTGTGTGGCAATGCCGGAGCACATACTTGAGAGTTGGCTCCCTGAATTGAAGGCGCTCACGGTGATTCGCCAGGTTCGCCGCTCACCGCTGCTCTCCCGCGGCCATGATGGGCGGCTTGTTCTAAACACGGCTGGGAGGATGCGCGGGCAGAACACCACACAGAGCACACAGATAGGGTATACCACACCTCCAAGGCGTTAGCGGATGGCGCGATGCAGCTGGCGTCGCTTCTGATTCACCCGCAAGCAACGCACTCTCGCACGGCGGGCATAATGGCCTGCATCTGGACGCCTCAACCGCAACTCGGCCCTCGTCTCATCTGCGGCGTCGGCCAACGACCGACGCCGTGCAAGAGGGACACACCAGACGCCGGACACCGGACCTCAGACACCAGACACCCAGAATAGGAGGGTGGGAATGGAGGGGGAGCAGGGGTGCCGTCGTGGATTTCTCCCCCCAAAACTTTACCCCTCGATCTGGTGGGGAATTGTCCAATCTCCATCAACGACAGGCCACTTCTACATCGCAGGGTCGCGGTGAGTGGGATGATGCTACTTCTCCCGAGAAGCCATCTACGCCATTCGTCGGAATGCCAAAGGCGGCCGAGACGGAATTCAGAGGAATCCGTCCACGGCACCCGTCGCGCACTAGGGAGCGGCCGAAGAATTGAAGCGAGTGAGCAGATGTTCCGATCCAGGTGGTCCAAGTCTGCTTCCAAGCCACCCCGCTGATGCGGCTGCACATCTGCAGAAGTATCCTGACTCTGTTTCCCAGTCATGCCCCCTGCTTCTTTGCCTGCCTGCCTGCGTGGGCCATGTTTCACCAGCGCCCGTCGAATAGCGATGGATGGTTTCTAGATGCCAATGCGGTTCTTGGTCGGATTCCATTGTGCGTAATAAAGTACACGAATACGTACTTACAGCCTCCACACGTCAATGCGATTCTGGGACCCTGCGCCGACCGATGACCTACATAGCCTCATGTGCGTGTAAGTGGGCAGAGGCTCACGGCCACCCGGCTGCTGGTCATACAGACGGTTACTATACCCAGTTCTGATAGCGGGTAACATGACCACGATCCGAGTCGATGTTCACGATGCATCGAGGACTCGGTATGGTAGCAGACGAATACACACACCTTCCTTACCTGATACTGCTTTGGTACGCAGACTGTCGCATTCCGCACACTACTGCGGCCATTGTGGCTCCTCCGCCTGGAGGACTGCATTGATTCTGGCTGTCGTCACCACGGTTCCCTGCCGATGGAATACCATTTGCGATATTCGCTCAGTATCGCTTTCTTCGTCAAAATCCGTAGCCTCGAGTTCTGAATATGGCGTTGATCTTCATTCATCCCAACTTCCAAGGCACTCAATGCAAGACCAGAGGTTTCCACTGCGCTAACCGCCAGACCCATCGCCTTTTGTGGGACAAATGGATCTCACCGCAAACGCACACCAACCTCGCTCGCATACTTTAACCCCGACCATGTAAGCATCGCAGAGCCACCATGACGTCGGGAGTCCACAGGAGCTTTCGCTGGGCATGGATTGAGGGGCCCCAACGAAAATTCGCGATGGCCCAACTTCAGCATCAAATTAATGAGGTTGTATATTGCAATTTGTGGACGTGCAACGTCTCTGTGCGCCGCTCTTTAGGACTGGACCCTGAAGCAGGGGTCGCACAGCCGTGCAGCTAGCTGCCGGATTGTCTCTCGTTCCTTGCACAGTTGCAGCGAGCGACGCGAGGCGACGCACGGTAAATGAGTTTGCTCACGCCTGGCGCGTCCATGGCATGATGTTGGCACAACCTCTGGCGACTTTCTCCGACCAGCCGAGCTTGCTCACAGGAGCCTACACACTAGCCTCACCAGTGGAACCCAGCCGTAGTTGCAGTTTACAACGGGCCAAGTGTCGCTAGGCCTGTGCCGTCCTTGTCCTTGTCAAGGATAGCCTCGCCTGTGAAGAAGTGCAAGTGAGGCTGACTGACCGCTAAACGACAAGACTGGATATCGACGACGTTGGTTTGGAGGGGTAACTACCGCAAAAATAATCCCCGCTCTTCGGGATTCGATTCGCCGTGCCGTTGGCCTCTGCGTCTTGATGGTTGGATGCCGTGCAAGCTTGGACTTGGAAACTGTTAGCCCCTGGGCTTCCAAGGTCCTGAAGATTTTTACCATCCGCCCATTGGCGGCCATGCATGTCGCAGGATGGATCAATGGAGACTGAACAGATGCGGCCAGCCTATTCCAATGCAGCTGCGTGCTGATCCGCGAGACGCAGCGCCTACGTATGTACGATCCCATCAGGCGTACGTACATGGAGCAGATTCCTGCCAGCCACTGGCGCGAGAGGCGTTTCAGCTCGAATGTCACTACCGGCAATATCTTGACGTTGACAGCCGCTCCGGCGCCCGGGTGGCTTTGCGACATCTGGCCATTGCCGACGTGGGCTGATGATGGGTGACCAGAATGCCATGTAAGTCAGCACGTCAATCTTCATGCGGCTCCTGGAGGTCACGAGGGCTCTCCAAATTGAACAAGTGCCGCAGCGATATGGATCGAGCTCCCATTGACTGCCTAGCGAGCTCAAACTAGAGGGGAGCTGGTATCGTGTACTTGCGGTACCCCTTCCCGGCGTGAACTATTTCGAGGCTCTTGGCTTACTTGGTGGAGATGACGATCGTACGTGTCCTCAGTCCCCGCTGGTTTCTTCCTTGAGGTTTCCCCTCGATCCTGGCGGTGTAAATTGAGTGATTTGCTGTGCATTGCGTCGGATCGTGCCGTTTCCACTTGCTGTTGCCGTCATCGATATGACGATGTCGCGTGCGGAGTAATCGAGCGATTGCATCACAAGGTGAGAAAAATTCTTACTCAGTTAGCAACTCTCTCACAAGGAGTGAAGCAACACAGATTCCCACGTTGTCCAACAGAGCCCCCATCTCGAAACAGCGAGAGATTATGTCGATTATTCTTTTCTTTTTCGTGTTTGAGGCTTGGGGGGAAATGTCTATGTTCGTACATAATTTCTTACACGGGCTTTGCAAGCTACAGGGTAGTGTCACGCTACTAACACCCACCCTGCTGCTCATGCTCGGGGTATCGCATCTTCCCTTGGCAGATAAGAGAAACAGCCATATACAATGCTGTCTACTGTCAAAGACCTTTTACTGACCGTGTCGTCTCTTTCTCACGGTTGGATATCCACCAGCTTCTCCAGGGTGCGGAACCCATCGTGCGCAAATCCCTTAGTTACATCCACCTTATAGTGCTTGCCGTCCACCTTGATGACCCCGTAGCCCATGTCTGTCCACGCTGATTTGATGCCATTGAACATGCCCAAGAACCCGCGGCCGACCTGGCGGAACGGCACCGTTAATAGGTGCTCCATGTCGAACTTGCGCAGCGCCTTGCGCTTGGCCTCCTCGGCGCGCTTGATCTCCAGGCGCTTCAGCTCGGGGACAAACTCTTCGGGCAGAGAGAAACGAGACGCGAGTGTCACCTTGTCGAGTGTCGTAGTGATCACCTTGGGCTCGAGCAGCGGCACCATACGCTTAACGGTGACTTCCATGTGGAGCGGCGCAGGGCCGGCCGAGAAAGCGCTGCCGGCGGCGGTGGGGGCTAGTTTTGCGGCCTGCGCGGGAAGCACGCGGATTCTGCTGACGATGTTGGGCGTCTTGGTGATGAGGTACATGCCCATGGAGCCGAGGAGGAGGTAGGCTGCGCCGAAGACGTAGCCGACCCATTTGGGCACGCCCTCTGGCTGTGTCATGGCGGTCGGCGCGGTGAGGGCGGTCCACGAGAGGATGGTGATGCCGCTACTCCAGCAACCGAAATAGAACCAGAAGTGTGAGGGCCCTTCGTATAGTATCGTCGGACTGGACTTGGTTGCAAGGTTCTTCATGAAGGCATATCGGCTCAGGCCAACCGAGGCGGCGACGTTCTGCGCGGCATGTCTTGGCGGGGCCGGTGCCCGGGTCGCTTTGAGAGTGGGTTCGGCGGCTCGGAGGCGGAGGGAGGTGGTGAAGAAGCGGGAGCGGGAGGCGGCGAATTCGGTGCGGGCGGCGAAGGGCCGGATGCCGGGGAGGCAGAAACCCCGGACGAAGCCAGCCATGGCGTGACGGAGAGTCGTTTTCCGAGGGGCGGGTTGGAAGAGAGGTCGAATATAAGATCGTCAGAGCTGGGGCACGCTCAATTGGGGGCGGGATGTCATGAGGGTGCAGCCATTGAAGGCGGCCGTGGTGGTCTGCTGTTGCAATTTGAAGCTATTCAAAAATCCATGATCCAACGGTCCCAGGATTTCGGCGCGCACGGACCGGTGCAGGGGCGTGGCAGAGCGCGCCAGGCCGGGGGTTGTGGGATTGGCGTGGCGGTCGGTTTCCGGCGAAATGTCGTCCGAGAGAAACCAGTGACAAAATACAGTGGGACAGTTGAGATATTAATGGGATGGACGTTGAACAAGGGCATCATAAACACGAATTCATTGCAGTCTAGATGGAAAATCAAGAAAACCATACCGGCTGGAAACCATATCTATACGTGAATACTCTATTCAACAACTATTGCCGCTATATTTAGCTATTACGAAGCTGTAAAGCAGTGCATCCTCTGTTCTGTCGGGCTCCTATACAATGGATGTCCCGCCAAAAAAAACACCGCCTGGCCCGTGCGCGCCCACCCAGCATCGGCGCCATCCCAACAGCTTCAGCGAAAGCAGCTCAATAAATCCATCCTTCGACAATCCCTCACCGCGGCCGTCGCCTCCTCCGTGCATCCCCTCCGAACCCTAGCCCTCGCCAATCCTCCGCGCTCAATTGAGCTCCCCAATGGCGTCCTTTGCGGCAGCATGCCGAGCGTCTGCCCGCCTTTCCAGCACCCGGGTTGTCGCTCGTAGTACGTCCTCTCCTGCGTCCTCCCGTCTTCCCAATATGCCGCTCGCGGAGGGAACAAGAAGCGTAGACTAACACCGCTCGCCACCGAATGTAGACTTCACCACATCTTCGCGATGCCTCGCCGCCCAGAACTTCACGATGCCGGCCCTCTCGCCAACCATGACCGAGGGGAATATCGCCAGCTGGAAGGTTAAGGATGGGGAGACTTTCAGCGCCGGCGACGTGCTGCTGGAGATTGAGACCGACAAGGCTACCATGGATGTCGAGGCCCAGGACGACGGTGTCATGGTCAAGATCATGACCCAGGATGGTAGCAAGGCCGTGCAGGTCGGCTCCCGCATCGCCGTCATCGCCGAAGCTGGCGACGACGTCAACAGCGTCGAGATTCCCGCCGCCCCCGTCGGGGCTCCCAAGGAGACCCCCGCCGCACCCTCCGCCAGCGAGTCGAAGCCTACCGAGACCAAGACCGCCCCCAAGCCCGTGGCCAACGGTACCTACGAGCACAACTACCCTCTGCTGCCCTCGGTCGGACACCTGATCAAGGAGAAGGGCATCAGCAAGGACGACGTCACCAAGATCAAGGGCACCGGTCCCAACGGCCGCCTACTCAAGGGCGACGTTCTGGCGTATCTGGGATCTATCAACGCCGAGACCCCCGCCGCCATCGAGACCCGTTTCAACGCCCTCTCCCACCTCGACCTCAGCAATATCAAGATCGCCGAGAAGAAGGCTCCCGCCCCCAAGGAGACCCCCAAGGAGGCTGCCCCTGCCCCCAAGGCCCCTGTTATCGAGAACCTCGAGGTTTCCGTTCCCGTCTCGCTCGCCAAGGTCGTCGAGGTCCAGAAGAAGATCCAGGACAAGCTCGGCGTCTTTCTGCCCATCTCCACCTTCGTAGGCCGTGCCGCTGAGGTGGCCAACGATGACCTCCCCCAGGCCCCTCGCGCCCCGACCGCCAACGAGCTGTTCGACCAGGTCCTCGGCCTCGACAAGGTCAAGGCTGCTAAGGGCTCCCGCGGCGTCTACCTGCCTCAGATCTCCGCCATCCCCCCCGCCTCCCTGCTCGCCCCCCGATCTGCGCCTCAGAAGGCCGACATCATCGATATCCTTGCTGCCTCCAGCAAGAAGTCTGCACCGCAACCCGCTGGTATCCGCACCGTCCCCGGCTTATCGAGCGGCGCCAACGTCTTCTCCCTGGTGGTTCCCAAGGCTGAGGAAGAGCGTGCTCAGATCTTCCTTGAGCGCTGCAAGGTGATTCTGGAAGGGGAGCCTGGACGGCTGGTGCTGTGAGCCGGAGATTTCTCGATTCCCTGTAATTATATCATACGCCTATAGACATTGATGCGGTAATTGGACGTCTTTATTCCTACCAAGATCTTGCCCTGGAGGCCCCGGGTATGTTGGGTGTATAGGGAAATTATATATCTCATTACTCGTCCCCATAGCGCTTGGATGAATAATACAACTTACAAAAATGATTTACTGGTCTATTCGTAATTTATTCTATTTCGTGACTGCTTATGTACCTCACAGCCTTCGAAGCTCCTTGATGGACCCGTCGGACCTACCAGCTCTCACATATACATATCCAACGCTGGAAGGCTGAGATGACATCCCCCAGCCTTAATTTACTTGGGTCTATCAGGTGTAAAATGGTCAGACCACACGCCAAATGACGCCGAGTAACTTTTTGTGGTATCGCAAACATGATCTTGTCAATGGTACCAGCACCAGTTATTCCATCGTCTTCAGAGTACCAAACGAATTGGACCTTCGTTCTGATGGGGGTTATCAACTCACCTTGAATATATGATTACCTGAGCCTGACCAATATCCGTATCTGCAGCCCGGCCACTCCGAGCGAGCCTCATTCCGCATTCTGTGCCCCTCTTAGGTATCATGCGCTTCCTTTCAGACGCCTCTTTCTCAGCCCAACTCACCAGCGTCGTACCGCAATCACAAAATATCATCATATCCAAGCCTCGATCTGCGTAGGACCGGTCTGCGATGTGAATCGAAGGTCTTTCAGGCAGCAATAGCCACAGCCTCGAGTGCTCGGATGACGGCAGCTGCTTCTTGCCCCTGCATTGGAAATTGAAACGTCGGTCTATTGAAGATGGTCGGTGGCGTAAACTCGATCACTGTGGTTCTGCATATATCCGCCGGGAAGCTGTGCATGGGGACTGGAGGCGACGAAGTAGGCAATCCGTCGCAAGCCTCACTTTTGACCGAGAATGTAACACAAGCGCTGACACGGGCGATACTTGATACACGTTCAGGCTTCCCAGGTGTACGGCTAACAAAAGATTCAGATATTTCCACAATCGGGTTACCGAAGCTGTATGGGTGTTGTCGTTGAGAAAAATGATGCAAGATTGAACCTCTCACCTGACCATAGCGAGATGATTGTGCGTGATTGCCTGCTTCAGAGGGGACTTCAAATATCAGTATCACTTTTGATGACGAGTCAAGTTATCGATGTTTCCTGGAGCATTAAAATATCGACTGAGACTGGTAAGCAAATTGTCTGTGTACCTGCATTGTCCCGATCGACGGCTTCTCCTAACATAGTATCCCGGGCAATTGCGTTGCTGTATATAGATGGAGCCAATTGATGTGGACGACTCTGGGAAACCAGCCATCGCCGATGTGGGAACTGAGTGGCGTGGGCTGCATGAGGCCCTCACCGGGGGATGACATGCTTGATGAGTGGCGTGGTGCCACAGGTATCGTCAACGGCCGCTAGTATGCGTGCAACATAGAAGATTGCAAAAGGCTCGTATTAGGCTGTGAATCAAAATAGATGAATATCGGCATGAAGTGTCTTGACACTTGGGCGTTTGCGTGGCGTGGACAGGGTGAAGCCGTTATATCGGTATCGGTGAGGCAGTGCTCCCACGCGCCTGCAACGTTACTAATTCCAACCAGTCGGATGGCCCCCGGATTGAGAGGGCAAAATGATGTGTCAAGTCGCATCCCAGGTCTGTTTTGGTTGGATTAGAACTTCAGCCAGTGAAGCTTTTCATGCCAGGTTGTTTGTTCGGCAATCCCCTGACAAGAAGTTTCGGGTTGCTTTTGCAATGCTGGGCGGAGTAACTCAACTGGCATCCCGCTCTGCACTTGTTGCGAAGTCATTACCAAAAATGGAGATTCCCAAATCCCATCACTGCTGGCGTTGCACATTTGGTATGGCCTAATGGTTGGCGCCTGGTGGGCTCGGTGAAACAGCTCTCCCCCGACCAACAAGCTACGAGAGTAGGGGTCATGTTGGGTGGCCTCTCTCCCTAGCGGGCTTTACCTCACCCCCTCAACTTCTCCCACCCCCCGATACAAGGGACGAGCCATGAGATGAGAGAGTCCAGGATCCGAGAACTGAAGATGTCGGATGAGGCACCGTTGCTCGGGAGATTGGATCTGACTGGGTGTTCGCCAATGAAACTGTAGGCATACTACGGGACGGTGGGCAGTAAGTTGAAATGTTGTTTGAGATTCGCCAAGACAATTCGATAGACACCTTACTCAGATCAGTGCTTCGTACATGAGGGCACTTGTCACGTGTGTTTAGTTGCTGCGAGGCCAGAGCCAACTCATCGTGGACGTGTGGAACCGCGCACCTGAAGGACATTAGCAGTGTTGGGAGGGCTGCAAAGGCATACCCGTGTAGGTTAGCGTCGCATCTTAGATGGCTTGCAGCTACAGCAGGGTCGGATGTTTTATAGTGATCTAGTAAGGTGGTGGCGCATCCTACGAAACGGGGGGCGTAAGCCCAAGAACCTGGCGAATGGAAGGCCTGGCAAGGAGATGGAGCTGGGGAGACGGAGCTGGGGAGAAGTTGCTACCTCTCACCTAGAGAACGGTTCCTATTCATGCCCCTGATTGTCAAGACTCCGATCGCTTTGAGACATACCGGGGCTGGGCGTGGGCCGCTGCGACGTGGAAGGCAGAATTGAGAGTGTTGGATCTGGAATGCCCTTGAGCGTAACCGCTTGCGAACTAGTGGTTTGATTTCCAGTGCAATGGGTAGCATTGCAATTCGTGGGATGGTACGAAGTATTATTCTTAGTTTGGCCCTCTTCCTTGGGATGAAGCAGAGTCCAGCTGCAGTGGGGGTGAGGCCACCGTCGTTGAGATGATTTCGTGCCTGCCCTTTTGCTACAGCTTACGGCTTTCCGGGAAGGGACGGCTTGGTATCTCTTCCCACGGTGTGTATTTATGATAGAATAAGGTATCCATACTTTGACTTAGGCTTAAATTTTTGGAGGCGGCCAGCACTTCTGGTCCCCCACCTGAACACTTACAACGTGCAGCCAACACCACCAACACCACCAACACGGCCAACAACACCAAACACCACCACGCGGCACTCGGCTTGAGACCTGACCGGGGACGGCCCCGCCGAGACTACATCGGATACGGGGGACCCTGCTCCGTTGTCTTAGATGGCACTATCCGAACTTGGGATCTCCGGTGCAGTCTGCAGGCCATCCGACAGGGTGTACCTCATTCCAGGGGATCACCGCATTTATGATTGATCCCCCATCAAGCAGAACGCCAGCTACAGGCCCAAGGTACATAGACAGCCGGCAAACCAAACCTGTCGGGCTTCATGGACGTAAGGGAGTCCATATAATATCCCGGCTGGTGGTCGGTATTCGTCTCAGTCACCATGGCCCACCCCCCGCCATGTTAAGCCAGGATACGCCACAGGCATCTAGGCGGAATACTCCGAGTAGATATGTTACCATCGACTTGCCTTCATCATGCACCATTTACCGGTCGTCTGGTACGGCCTCTAGTTGGGCCGCCAGCTTGGCTGTTGGTGGACCAGGTGGATAGAAAGGGCTTCCTTGTCCTCCCTCGCTGAAATCCCCCTCTTCTATCCATCCAGTCTGGTCTCGATTTACCTCATTAATAGGACGGCCCGCGTCTAAATCCTCCGTCATTGCCACCCCAGGCCTCATCCGCACCGAGGAGCTCGTTCCCGTCACAAGACGACTACCAACGGCAGCTGCAACATACCTACCCACAGTGTTTCTTTGTCGCACCGGAATACTCCCACGCTGCCTTCACAAACTTCTGTTCTCCTCGAAATCCTTCTCATCATTCGGTGTGTGGACCAGTACGGCATTTACCGACTCCCCTCTACACACCCATACCCTGAACTCAACAGGGCGTGCCGACGCTTTGGCAATCACCTTCTTGTCTTCGCATCTACCGACTTCTCCCACAGTCTACCACATCCGAACCTCGCTTGCATTCGTTTGTCTTCTCTCAGGCTCGCTCACCCATCATGACGCGTCCAAAGGTACCCGAGGATAAGCGACAAAGGACAGCTCAGGCTTGTGATACCTGCAAGCGACGGAAACAAAAGGTAAGATAATGGTGCTCATCTCCTTTTCTCATGCCCGGAACTTTCTTTCTGCTTCCGCGTTTCATCCCATTATATCCCGTTCGGCCACGATAGAGTTTTGATGCATCAACCCTCATCAAAACGCCGAACCATGGATTGCAATGTGGTGCATGGAAGCCATCATGTCATCAGCAGGATGACTGCAGTCGAAGCTCAGGTTCTTCCTTTCAAGTTCCTTCCAGCCAATGGACCACTTGGACAATGGGTAGCATCAAAATACACTTTGTCCAAAAACTTGTATGATACCATCAAGTTAATCACTGACACCTCGTTAAAAGTGCAATGGAATTCAGCCGTGCAGCCCTTGCACCAAGCGAAACACGAAGTGCACCTACAACGCAACCGACCTCGCCGGAGCCGACACCTTGAGTTCTTTCGGACCTCCATTCAAACGTCGACACGTCGAGATTGTCACCGGATTCCAGCCTCACAGTGACCTGATAGACAGACTGGCGAGTGGAGGGCAAAACCAGTACATTGGCGTTCGACCGTTTGATAACTTCGACCCCAAGTCTCACCAGAGTCCGCCTTTCGGTAAAGATGAAGAGACTGGTGTTTATGGATCATACAGAACGCTGCCAGATCCCAGTGGGAAGCGATCTTGTAAGTGCTTTCCTCCGATTTTCCCTGTGCAGCAATTGACTATTTCTTTTAGTGTATTTTGGCGAATCCTCCCCCTGGTCGTATCTTCAGTTGATGCGCAAGGTAGTAGAAGGCGTGGCAGGTCCATCGCAGTTCACACTGGATCCTGGCCAATCCGAAATCGTCGAACCCACCCTCACGGTACCGGAGACAGCTCGGAGTGTACAAATGCTCCCAGAGAAGAAGACAGCCGAAGTGCTCGTGCAATGCTTCTTCACCAATGTATGTTACGATCTGACCTCCAAACCTATTTCCATTCTAACCACACATAGACAAACGGCATCGTAGACATTGTGGAGTCGCGACGCTTCAAGCAGTCTTTGCATTCATGCTACTTGAGCCCACTTACTGTGGGATCATCGACGCTCTGCTTGGTTTATCTTGTGTTGTCAATCGGCCTTGAAATGGCGGCGCCGACTCCAGGCAGCCCTGACCACGAAATCATCGCCCATCTTCGGTCTCAGTCCCCAGATCAAGCAGAGGTTTTCTTCCGAAGCGCCCAGGGCTTGGGGCACCCTGTTTCAGGATTTCAGGACGGGGAATTTTGGTCTATCCAAGCCCTCAGCCTCATGTCTTTATACAAGCTAACCGTATGCAAGCATAACGCCGCGAATGCATACCTTGGTCAGCATAAACTCTCAATTCGTGATTTTTGGCGTTGACTTACATTGAATTAGGCATGGCTGTTCGATCCGCCCAGGGACTGGGGCTTCACAGAGCTCCGGAGACGGCAGATTTCTTGGGCGACGATCAAATGGAACGGCGAAACGTCTGGAGAAGTTTATTTGTGCTTGATCGATTTCTCGCCGTGCTTCTGGGCCGGCCTGTCGCAATATCCGAAGGCGGCTGTTCAGAGGACTCTCTCGAAGCGCCAACAAAACGAATGGGCCCCAAAAGGATGCGCCGGAGCCAGAACAACACTGGCCCCGGCCTCGACGGTGCCGTTCGAGCAAGCAAGGCTGTTGGTGAAGTCCTGAAAAAGGCCTACTCTGAAACCAAGATCACTACGACAGCTGCCCAAGAACTCTTCGAAAATTGCCAACGCTGGTTTGACGACCTTCAGCCAACCCCATACGCAAGCAAGCTCTTCATCAAGGACATTTCCACCGCACCTGCTCAAGGAATGGGGATTCTGCATGCCAAGCTCCTTGGTTTCCACTGCACTATCCTTCTCACCCGCCCCTTTTTCTTGCGTTTATTTGTCAGGGTGCGGGATGACAAGCCAGGACATCAGGTTCAAATATCTCAAACAGATTCGAGAATGCAGAGACTTTCTGCGACCTGCGTTTCTGAATCGACCCAGATGATCAAATTAACACAGGCGGTGTTTCAATCTCACATTATTCCCCGGCGAAATCCATTTGTGATGTAAGTATATGCTCGTTTGATTAGAATCTCCTTTCTCACAAGACCTTAGGCATTCCCTCTTTGCTGCCACCGTCATCATATTGGGTAACCAGTTTGCGCATTTACATGACAACGCCGACTACGACGAATCGATATCAAACGCAACGAACATCATGTCACACTTTTCTGCCAATGATTTTGAGGCAAGACGCTTGCTTTTCATCGTCACGTCGTTTAGAGATGCCGTTCAACGCCAAGCAACAGCCACTGCGCCGAGCGGCTTGGTCCAGACCTCGCAGGCAATGTACTATGTGAAGCCACGCACTGTCCCGAAAGCCCCGACAGAGAGTGTTTCTTCCTCCCATCACTACTCGGGAGAGAGCGAGGATAATATAACGAAATCCCCTCACGTGGAGTCCAAGAAGAGTATATCCCAGGTTTCCCAAGCTCCTATGAATCCGCAAGACGGGGCATCGCGAGGCATGAATGTCCCAGGTCTTGCAGCTCGAGGGTCTACGGAATCGCTAAGCAATAGCACCACTCCCTTATCCCAACCTACTGAAACATCGGACCAACAAGGCAGCGACCCGGGAGGCCCAGTATCCATTGGATGCGAGCATGGATTCCCCTTCGACGGCTTTTGGGGCTTTCCGACTGATGGCGGATCCGTGTCTCGTGTACAAACACCCGGGACAGGGCCAGGAGGCATGGCTCAGATACACTCAGCCGAGACAGGGGGGAACGCCATGGGGCACAGCCGCTATTCAGCTCCTGGCATTTCGGATGCGCCACAGAACCAGTCTCGCGGTGTTGTCTCAAGCCTCTCGGGGGTCATGTACCCAATGGAGGACCCACCGGGGTTCGGCAGGTGATTAGACGCACGCGCAAGGAATGAATGGGTCTTGTAGTGTATTGCGGATGGGGGGATTGTAGACTTTCCTATGAACATTTATCGTCACTTAACTTCCAAGCTGGCAAGTCCTATGCTACCGAACGATAGCATAATCACAATCACAAAATGTATGGCACGAATGTCCAGCCCTTTCGGAAAGATCGCGTGTCAGAATTAATCAACCTCGTGTAGATTTGATAACAAACACCTGAAGATTTAGCCGCGCCAGCCCGGTATGCTTGAGAAGACATTGAGACGTATCGACAACGGAGAGTACATTATGCAATGCATCTTGACCGCTCATTCAAACCAAAGCAAGTTCCTTGTTGGAGCCGCAACAATATTTGAAAAGGCCAAGCCACGTCTCACCGCAGTGTGCGTGGTATTAATGACAGCTCGAGCAGATGGTACTTTCGACTGGTGATTGGACCGGGGTTTAAACCACACAGCCATTTGATTATTCCCAACAATAGGGCATCCCTGCATAGCCACTTAAGTAGTCCCTGCGCTTAGCAGCTGAATGTGAGTCTCTCCGGGGGACCGGTCAAGGTCCCCGAAGCGCTCCCCGGATCCCCCTTGCCGGACGCGGGATATGCAGCTGGACGGATGTGGCAGAGACTGGATCGCCGAGACTTGAGTTATAATTCCGATATCCCGATGGAGGAGACGATCATTGCGTTAGCAATGTATCGGCCCGGCAAATGAAACCGCTGAGGCCTTGTGACCGGTATGAATGGCACTGGGAATTTCCCTTGGGTCAAGGTTCGTATAGAGGCGATACATGGCGATTCACCAGTAAGAAGCAGCTTATCATGTACACATTGGTTTGTGTGATAATACCGTGGCGATGCTACAACATCATTCTTCCCCTGTCTTGACCTCAGCCGTGTCTCCTCGGCAGGCCCAATGGCAAGTATTATTCGCCAGTAATGACATGTCATCGGGTTGGAAGGTGGTTAGAGAGACAGCAAAGAAATTGCGCGCGCGATCCGCGTCAATGGCGGGATGATCGCGGCAGCTCCGTTGCGACCAGCCCGTCTCAGGCTCGCAATGATGCCCCAATTCAGATAATGGCTCAGCCAGCCACTTTGCAGCACATCTACCTCGTTGAAAAGCCCTCCACCACCGAGAAGCACACCGGTTGTCTGGAGAGAAGAGAGAATAGGCAGCAAGCTATCTGCGGCCTCGTGCAGATGCCGCGTCGAAAATAATGCAGCTTTGCAGATGTTTGCTACAAGCCTGCAACCACGCTGCAGCATTCCCATATGCCGGACACGTTATTCGTCGACTAGGCCGTCCATGTACACTATTGACAGGGATCCCTGCATGCTGTGTCGACATGTCTAAGATGCGCAAGGGTCTTATGTAGCATGTGCTTAGATTCTGAAGGTCGTGTTTTGCTGGATACGGAGCCATGTAGCGCCCAATCTTTACTTGCTTTGGCGGCTACTTCGCTTCCCCACGGCGCCAAATACTCTCCAGTGAGCGGCAATCCCACGTAGCATTGACCGCGTTTGCCATAGTGCATTACTGTACAAGCGCAGACCGGACGCACGTTGAAGGTACAGTGGTCGATACATACATCATGTAATGGTTGCCCCCATATCGATGTCCAAGTGCGGAGTAAGACTGCAGGTGGACGGATGCCTCATACGTTGCCGTTCTACCGGTCGTCTTCCACACCGGTCACAGATCTCACATCTCACATCTCCCAAAGAGGAAACCCTAGGGCGCAACGTAAGTTAGGCCGCTGCCAAGAAAAAGCAACACTGCGGAACGGACCAATGGGTTGCTTCCCACTGGACGGGGCTGCGACTGTGCAGTGCCGGCCGTGAGCAGCGTGAGCATCGTGCGGTTCAGCGGCTTGGGATGTTGGGACGGGATGAAGGATGCAGCCACGTCTCAGAAGGAGTTGATATGTCATTCACGGTGATTCCACAGCCTGACAAGCATCATGAGTCCGTGTTGGTCATTGCCCAGCTTTATAGATCCGGGGTCCTTGTAAGCCACTGAGTAATCATATATATCGTCACCACGTCTCGGGCCCAAAGCGTTCCCCCTCCTTGACATGCATCTGCACTGCCGTCCCCTGGACATCCATGGTGGTTGAGACGACGCTGTTTCCCCACCAGTTGGGAGGCTCTACACCATTCAGCGTGAAGGCAAAAAATATGAACAGGGTTGCCAGCGCCAGCCCAAGATCCAGCGCCGACGACGTCAAAAAGTTCAGCCGGCTCCACCATTTGAAGTGGCGCTTCTTGATCCAGAACTGGAAGGCGAATCCAACCATGCCCCATGACAGATAGTTGAGCGGTGTTGCCGGCGGGATCGCCCCGGCGCCACCAAAGAGGAGCGGAGCTATGAGATACTTGGCTGGCGACTGGGGCCATTTCTTCGCCGCAAAGTAGAAGATGACTGGGGTTATGGCACCAACGATGAAGAACAAGAATAGCCCGGAGTAGATCTGGCCCGGGGAGAACATCCGTGCCGGTCCCAGAAGGCCCCAGATAATCGAAGCTGGCGCGCCTGTGTTAGTAAAGTACTTTGAAGTTCCTCGTTGGATGGGCTCACCGGAAAAGAATACCCGGCCGCCAGGGCATGTGAAGTGATCCTCCTGGTGGGGCTCACAGACATCTTCAATATTGTTCAGTGCCAGATTCAGCACAATAATCTGGATGAAGCAGGAGAAAGTTGTGGCAACGACTTGGGACAAGAACATGGTGCGAGGGGGGATCTTCATGTAGTGCCCGAATTTTAGGTCTGCGACGAAACTGAGAGCTTGTGACCTGAGTCATTGTTAGTGCTGGTACCAAATATGGCTATTTGAGAGCATACATTGTAATATACCCAAAGGTTTTGAAGCTGTTGGTACCAAGTCAGTCATGAGTTTATAATGAGTGTACGAAATCATAGCTGGGACGTACATCATGAGCGCCAAAGGACGCCCTGGTTGGATATACCCATAAATAAACTCCGTCAAAACGTTGAGCCCGATTTGGGTATTAGTGATGGCTTGTATGATTCCAATCGGGAGCGCGAATCCAAAGGAAATGGCAATTGCCAACAGAAACGCCCACCAAGAAAGATTGGTTGCATAACCAAGCACTGTGTAAAATCCCAATGCAAGCATCTTCACCCGCGGTTAGTCACATACTCCCGTAAGAGTGGGAAGTCAGGACTCACAACACCAAAGAGACTCATATACCACCAAGTCGGAGCCTCTTTATACTTTCTCATCAACTTCATGTGAATATCTGGTTTCTCGCTTGTGCTGTTTCTATACTGCTGCCAGATCTGTTTACCGTTGTGCAGATAGGTGTACACAACCAGGGATGAGATCGCTGCGAATGACAACCCATACGACATTGCGAATGTAGTGCTTCAAAAGTTAGTCGTCGTGTATTTTCAAGCGAACTTATCTTGACGTACCTGATGAATAAAGGTGAGTAGTTCTTGTATGCCTCCTCATCCAGGGTGAACTCGGGGGTTAGGATACGCGTAGTGTTGTAGTTGGCACCAGTGTTGTCATATGTACTGGAGTCACTCATGGGCAGATACCATGAATACCATACACCACTGTAGTGGAAGAAAGAGGACAAGACGATAAAAAACGTCCCAACGCCGATGAGGGTATTGGCGATAGCGTGCCTAGAACATACATATAAGTCGATGCTTTCACGAGACTCTGGGGCTCAACTTACCATGGCGGAATCAGCGGTGATCCGACGTAGCCAGCAATCTGCGTCCAATCGAAAGTGATGGGGATAAGTGACAGACCCGTCTGGCCGCCGAAAATCTGGTTCACTACAGGGTTTTGGGGTGCCAGCCAAGTAGCAACGGAGAATATGCTCAGGAATTGAGCTAGGAATCCGGGGATGAAGTAATAGACAAACGAACACCCAGTAACGATGGCAAACCACCTATACCTATGCATCGTGCCACCCAGGATAGTCGGGTCTGGTCGATCATTCCTCTCATACATGGCATTCATTAACGTCACACCTACCAAGTTCCCTGGCCAGATCATAGACGCAGGATACACTTTGGTGGATTAGCAGAGCTGCGATGATGGTCTCGAAGCAACGTACCGAGAAATTTGCGCAGCATTCCCGCAATACCGTATCCGAGCGATTGCGTAGATATAGTGAGAAAAAGCTGGAATGGAATGCCGAAGTTCTGTTTGTAAAAGACCAGTTGCGCAAGGATAATGTCGGTAGCATAGGCGACTGAGAAAGAGACACTGGCCATGACGACAATGATGGTGTGTTCCTTGATGTTGAACGGCCCTGGGTTGAGACTCCAGCTCATACCAAAGGTATTGAATTCCTTCTTGGGAAACCACTTTGCCCAGCCGTGACCCATTGGCCACGCGATGATTTGGGCGATGAGAGGTCCGATGCCAATTGAGGGTTGGCGGAGTGAGAAGAGGGTGTTCATCGAGGCACCGAGAACGACCAATAGCAGCCCAATTGTCCATGCTCTCACTGTGTTGCATGGCAAGTCCTCATCGTGGTTCCGCACAGCAGCCCGAACCTCCGGATAAGGCGAATCTTCTTGTTCCTCTTCGTCTTTGATCAAGGCGGCTTCATCGTCAACGTCTCCATCGTCCCTGTCGAGACGATCCTGCCGGGTGTCATACTCTTCCGCCAGATGGGGATCCATAAGAAGTTCGTATTCAGAACCTTGGTCATCGTCGACATCGTTGCGGGCGCCAGATTCACCCCACTGTGCAATTCGACGTCTCATATCCTCGCCATGATCGCCGGTGTCCGAGGATGTTGATAGCCGCCCACTAGGTCCGTTAATGGGTTTCCCGATAGCCTCGGAAGGGGCTGAAGAGCCCGCCTTCTGATTCGCACTCATCGCAAATCTCGTCCGAGTAACCCCGGGTGAGGGCGCAAGGGAATGCTAGGCTCGACAGTCAGAGCCAGTGGGAACAGGTTTAAGGTCCACAGCAATGTTGGGGAACTAGATCATGGATGTAATGCACCCCGATGCTTATACTCTCCACGGAATTCAGGAAGCCAACACAGAGGGCCACAGCAATAGATAGTCTTGAAGCAACACGGGGCTGGTATCCGGCGGAAATGACTGGATTGCGGAACAAGGCACAGACGCGCGTTCGAATTGCTCGGACCGCGCGGCAAAGGTACCAATAGCTCCAGTAATAACGGTTTCTCACCCTTGAGGAACTCTCAGAGGCTCGACCGTTGAAAGCGTGGGATTCAATGGCGGCGCGCAAAGACGGACGCTCGCGCAGCAAAGATCCGGATGAAACGTGTTGCCTCGAGGGCGACGCCCGCGTCTTTGTTGTCCCTTTTGAGCAGGTGGCGCCTATTCAGGGAAAAAGGATACCGCCTAAGACAATACTCACTTGTCAACAGCGTAGATTTTCAAATTGACGCGGGCGGAGCGGTCCACCAGGGAGAAACGGCAGACGATTGAAGGACGATGGAGGCTTGTCGAGAGATACAAGATATGATGAGGTACGTACTCCGTACATGACTAGAAGCTCCGGCTGACTTATCGCGAAGCTTGAAGGCCCCTGTAAACCCCCTGTAGCTCCCTGGGTACTGCAGGGATTACGCGCTAATCCTAAAATGGGAATTTTACATGCAGCAGTATTCAGCATCTTCACTTGCATCCACTCGACCTTCCATCTTCCCTTCCCATCACAAGTATTTTGTCTTTTCGTTTTACCCATTTGTCCATCCTTCAGGGCAGATGCGTGTCCGCCTCCCATAGTCTCAGCAACTCTGCTATGGAAAGACAATGCGTCGAGTAGTGGTGACTGGCCTCGGGGCCATCACACCTCTGGGAGTTGGAGTTCGACGAACTTGGGCTCGTCTCTTGGCTGGTGATTCAGGAATTGTCAGCGTCGCGCATCTGGAGCCCCAGGCCCGATGGCGGGAGCTGACGAGCACCGTTGCGGGACTGGTGCCCAGTGGCGAGGGAGAAGGGGAATGGACAGCGTCGGACTGGATCAGCAGGACAGAGCAACGGCGGATGTCCAAGTTCACGCAGTACGCGGTTGCAGCAAGCAGCATGGCCCTGAAGGATGCCGGATGGGAACCGTCCAGCCAAGAAGATCTGGAGACTACGGGCGTGTGCCTTGGGAGCGGCGTCGGGAACCTGGACGAAATCTATGAGGCCAGCCTGACACATAATCAAGGGGTGGGAACCCCAATATAATCTTCCAAGAGATGATGCTAACCACTCCAGCAGGGCTACAAGAAGGTTTCTCCGCTATTTGCCCCAAAGATATTGATCAACATGGCTGCAGGACATATAGCTATGCAACACGGATTCCAAGGCCCCAACCATGCAGCAACAACGGCCTGTACGACCGGAGCCCATTCAATCGGCGACGCCTCTCGGTTTGTGGCCATGGGGGACGCTGACGTGATGATTGCCGGAGGTTCCGAATCCTGCATCCATCCGTTGACGTTTGCGGGGTTTGGTCGGGCCAGGTCTCTATCTACGGCTTATAACGACGACCCTACCGCGAGTTGCCGCCCATTTGACGCCGACCGCAACGGCTTCGTCGTCTCTGAAGGAGCTGCAGTGTGTGTCCTCGAGGAGCTCGAGCATGCCAAGGCCCGGGGGGCACGCATCTATGCCGAGATCAAGGGTTATGGTTGCAGCGGTGACGCATATCATATGACGGCGCCGCGCGAAGATGGCCATGGCGCATTTCTTGCCATGAGGAGAGCACTGAAGAGCGCCGGGATCAAGCCGTCGCAAGTCGACTACATCAACGCACACGCAACGAGTACCCTGGTTGGCGATGCGGCGGAGGCGGCGGCTATTCAGCGGCTCATGCTAGGAGAGGAGGGCTACTCAACGGAGTCGAACGTCACTGTTAGCAGCACAAAGGGAGCAGTTGGACATCTTCTAGGAGCTGCCGGTGCCATTGAGGCCCTGTTCTCCATCCTTGCTATTCATGAGGTAAGCTCCTCCACCATCTTTCCTGAGACTACCACAGCTAACGATTGTTCCAGTGCGTTGTGCCTGCAACCTTGAATTTAGAGAAACCCAACGTTGGTCTCGACTTCAACTTTGTGGCTCAATCAGCACAGCAGAAGCAGGTTGACGTTGCGCTCTCCAATAGCTTTGGGTTTGGCGGTACGAACAGCTCGCTGGTTTTCTCTAAACATGTCTAGTTCTTCGAAGCAAGACGATGAATTATTTTCGGAAATGTTTAAATACTACACCCACTCAATTGTACAATATTTAAGAATAATTCGTTATTGAAGCTGGCTGCGATTATACTGGTGGAGTCAGCAGATTGTGAGACAATGTGCAGATCAGCGCAGATCAGACTGTGTGGGTTCACTGGCACCCGTGCTACCGACATTCTCCCGGAGCCACTCACGAGGCAGGCATTTTCTTTGCAATTGAATATCCATGCGGTCATATCCTCGGCCATGACGTGAAGCATTTAACGAACTTCCCTCCCACCGTGCCCCGACGCCTCCTCCCGATCCCCAACACCTCCGACGCCATGAGTCTAGCATGCGAGACCTGCCGGGCCCAGACGAGGACCCTCGTCCGCGCCGCAATCCGCGCAGGCGCATCTCGAGCCGCCGCTGCCCCGAAGAACTTTCTCCCACCCGCCAGAGCGCCCATGTCGATGCCCGTCCGGTACTTCAGCAAGACCAGTTCGAGGAACCTCCTCAAGGGCCTCAGCAGCGCCGTGTCCGAGCCCTATCGCGTGCTGGGTGCCACGGAACAGCTCTTCAAAGCCACATCCAAGGCCGCCGACTACCACATCACCGAGGCGGAACGTAAGGACGAGAGTGTGCAGCTTGCCGAGGATGGCGAGGAAGTCGGCCACTCGCTCAATGCGGACGGTGCCTGGCATAGCAGTACGTGGGCTCTTTAAAGGCTTTCTTATACTGGTATTGGACTAACCCACGACTGCGTAGAATTCAACCTCCCTCCCACCTTTAGCACCTGGTCCCACGTCACCATGCTGCACATGTACCTGATCAACGCCCGGATACGCTGCTTCGACCGCGATGTCTTCCACAACTGGCAGCACCAGCTGACCGACCACTTCTTCTTCGAGTGCGAGAAGAAAATGCACATCGACCATCAGATCACATCGAGTGCCCTGCGACAGCGGTACCTCAAGGACATCTTCGTCCAGTGGCGTGGCCTGCTATTGGCCTACGACGAGGGTCTTTTCAAGGGCGATGCAATCCTGGCCAGCGCCGTCTGGCGGAATCTGTTCAAGGGATCACCGGATGTGGACCCCAGGGCGCTGGTGGCCATTGTGGGATGGATGCGGTCGTCACTGATGCGCCTCGAAGCCGTCAACGACAACATGCTCGCAGCCCAGGCCCCCAAGATCCTTGCAAGGCCGGTGGAGGCGTTCTGGGACCCGCAGACTACCGGCCAGCAGGAAGACGTGCCGGTGAATGTTGAGAGACGGCAGACACAGGCCAGGGCGGCCAACGGAGACGTACGGCCAGCAGCAACGCCCAAGGTTGCGGTGAATTAAGGGCGAGGAGGTCTGTATTACCAATGTGCGGAGTAGGAATATAAAAAAAGAACGCTAGATAAGGACGTGACATGAGATGTATGAATAGGTTGGGGACGGTAGAGGCTAGGAAGTGGACTTTTGAACGAGACATGTTGGTTGTTTTACATACATGCATAATTCATGATGATATCCCGTCTCCCTTTCAACAGGAATCACTCCTTAATCATTTTACGAGCAATCAATCATGAGGTCAAGTATCAACCAGTCTTCTCCCACATCTGGAACTCGTACTGCGTCCCCGCCTCCTCCTGTCCACCCTCGACAACCTCTTGGCCCGTCCATTCCTCCAACGCCGCCCTCGGTCTCTTGATCCAATTCGTCATGCCACCATCCCCGAGGCGCAGCGGGAAGAAGGCATCGCAGTCGAATTCACGCTCGATGCTCGTCAGCAGCACGCGGCGCGCTTCCGGCAGCTTGAGCGCGGCGTCGTATATTTGCGCCCCGCCCATGATGAAGACGCGGGCCACGTCGGCGCGGGCGCGAGCGTACTGCAGCGCGGCCTCGAGCGAGTTTACCTTGACGGGCTCGGCCCGGGGGTCGGCATCCGCGGCCGGTGGCGTGGCCGGCGCGGAGCGGGAGATGACGATGTTGAGACGGTCCTTGAGTGGGCGGAATTTGGTGGGGATCGAGTCCCAAGTCTTGCGGCCCATGATGACGGCATTGACGCCTGTCGACGGAGCCTGAGACGGGTTTTCGTTAGCTACCCACGCTTCAATCCTCCGGTAATTTGAGCTCTTGAACGGGAGAGTCGAGCAATATGCTCTGTGAGTGGTGTCGAATGAGGCCCAAATACCTGAGGCGGGAGGTGCGTGGTGACGCGCGCAAAGTACTGCATCTCCTTGCGCAACCCGTTCCAGGGCATGGAGCCGTTGGCTCCGATTCCCATATTCCGGGTCGCGGCGACAATGAGCGTCAGTTCGAGGGGCTGCATGGTGGATGAGTTTGTTGACGAGGTGCAAGAAGGCAAAAAATGCGAAGTTGTGTGAAAGTGGGCGAAGGGTGAAAACGTCACCAGTCGCAACTCGCATCACCAAACTAGCCATGCAGATCCAGCAGCTTGTGAGACGTCATTGCGCCACAAACTGGTTTCTGCCATTGTAAGCAACAACTTTGTAGCCATAACTAAATACTAATAGTTCGTGTTTTTTACGTAGCAGAAAGTAGGCACATTGTTGTCATCTGAGGATTAATATAGTATTCAGGAAATCGGGCCCATAGAATGCATGATATAAAGTTGCTGCGTTGTCTTGGCTGCTATCCGAAAATGGAGGTCAGCGGCGAAGGATGCCGCCAATAACCCATGTGTCTAATTCTTTCAGCTTGATAAACTCTTAGGTTATTTACTATCGTTCCTGTCTACTTTGAAAAAACACGATCGGTCACGCACTCCGTCCTCCGTCTTACAACTTGGATGGTGGAAGCACCGCAACATCCTGGAACGGGACTCCTAGGAACCGGTATAAGTGATTAAATCTGCGCACCCGATTAGCAAAAATGAACACAGTGTCCATCCTTCATCCGATCCATCCTCGGGAGGGACGACTTACCTATCGCTCCCAAAGAATGACTGAGTCTTGCCCTCACTCGTCGTCGCCCACAGCCACGGTGCGCCAAATGCACCCCTCTCTACCGCCTCGCCAGTCAACTGCTTCACGCGCTCCTTCATCGACTCTCTCCCCGCCATGATCTTCTCAACATCCTCGGCGGTGAAGAGCCTTTTGCCGCCATCAGTTCTCTCTGTTGCCTCGGTGAGCGCGGCGGCTAGGTTGGCTTCGTCAACGAGGTTCACGTGCGGCGGCGTCCAGAGCTTGTGGAAGAAGAAAGCAAAGGCGGAGAGAAATGTCTCCAACGGGTAGTTGGCCTTGATGAAATGCAGAGCGCGCAGCGGGGAGAGGGTCTTGGATATTGCCATGATGTCCTCGGGGCCCCCTTCGTAGGGCAGGGAGAGACGAGCGGCGGCACGATAGGCGTCATCTGAGAGGTAAGCGGCCTTAGCTGGGAGCAGCCATGGGGGTTGGTTTCCTAGTAATCATCTAGATGAGTAATGTGTATTCGTTATGAGACTGTATGCCGACAGAATTCCTTACCGGAGAGATTGTTGATGCCACCCAAGAAGACGGGGTGGAACCTAGCTTCCCGTCAGTAACATGCAGCATATTGCGACATGGAGGGATGTGAGCACTCACTCCACTTCAACTCCGTGTGCAGCCAACTTGTCTAGGTTCCTGCGCAAGTCTGCGAATCCCACATAGCTGTAAAAAGACACTGCATTGGTGCCGTGTAAGCGCGCCGATAGCTCAAACAGCTCTTCCCGGGTCTTGCTCACCAATGTCCACGTAACAGTCGATGCGGCCGCCCATGATGTCGCCGCGGCTCTGGATTGATCGAGATTAAGTTCCTGATGAATGGAAAGCCCGTTGATTTGGATGCGAGAGGAGTAAGCTGTACAAACTGACCTCGGCCAGAACAGCCGCACTGAAGATGAATGATTACTGATCGTGGAACGCGCCGAACTCGTTCTGACGAACTTCAACTTCCCCAGACCGGACATGTGGGGGAGTGGGGCTGCCGAGGTCCGGGGAGAGCTTCGTGCCGCCGGCCTGCTTATTTGATAGCTCCGTCTGATATGTACCGTCCCTGGTTAAAACTGGTTAAAACACCACCTTCAAGGCCACCTGCACTGAATAGATAATTGAACCGATACTGTAGTCACCACCCCCAAAGACAAGACTCAACCATGCCCGCCGATAAACCTGTTGCCCTCATTGTCGGCGCCTCTCGTGGCATTGGCCGTCAAGTCGCCATCGACCTCGCCAGCAACGGTTACGCCGGTTCGTCCGCCTGCTTCATGTTCCTCGTCCTCGTCGAGACTACTAACAGGTGCTTTGGTGAATAAGTCGTCGTCGCAGCCAAGTCCGTCAGCGACCCTTCCAAGCCTGTTGTCCCTTTCCCTCCAAACCCCAACTCGCCAGCCTCCACCATCACCACCGTCGCCCGTGAGATCGCTTCCACCGGTGGCGATGCAACCGCCGTCCAGGTTGACGTCCGCTCCCCAGAGAGCATCCAGGCTCTCGTCTCGAAGACACTCTCTGTAAGCGTCCCTCCTCACCTTGATAGACCACCTGCACAACACAAGCCGCTCACACAATCCTCCAGACATACGGCCGCATCGACGTCCTGGTCTACAACTCGGGTGCCATCTTCTGGGCCTCAGTGCCATCCACGCCCCTGAAGCGCTTCCAGCTCATGCAGCGCGTCAACCCAGAGGGCCTCTACGCCACTGTCGAGGCCACCCTCCCTCACATGCGCCCCAGCGGCCGCATCATCGTCGTCAGCCCGCCAATTTACAGCCGCTTCTTCCGCGGCAAGACGGCCTACGCCATGGGCAAGGTCGGCATGAGCGTGCTGACCAAGGGACTCGCCATGGACTTTGAGCGCGAGGGAAGCAAAGACATGGCCATCACGAGCATTTGGCCTGCCGTGGTAAGCTCTGTCTTTCCCCAACCTCCATATCCCTCGTATCTCTCATATTGACGACAACACGCAGGCTATTGAATCTGGCGCCACCGAGCAGTTCACTCGTGCCAACCCAGACGAAGTAAACGACCTTCGCAAAGCCACCATCTTCTCCGACGCCATACTCGCCATTCTAAAAGCGCCCCCTTCGGTTGTCAACGGGGAGCTACTCCTAGACGAGGATTTCCTTCGGGATCACGCCGGCGTCACAGACTTCTCCAAGTACAACGTCGTCCCCGGCACATCCCCACGCCGGATGCTCCCTCAGAAGCTCCCAGACTTGACTGTAGCGGAGCAGGATGATGAAGGAAAACGCTATGACAGCAGCAAGGACAAGGCCAAACTATAGGAAAGTGATTGGGTGTATATAAGGCAAAACAAGTGTACAGCTAGCCATATGAAAACTTGAACCTATAATTTGATATCCTCTAGAACAAACACATCTAACCTCCTCGGGCCTCACGGCCACAAAACCACCCCAACTCCGAAACATGGACTGTACAATCAATCACCGACTCGTCGCTTTCTTTCCTTGCTCATATTACAAGACCCCAGACTTCGTCTGCTGTGCCTCAACAAACCGCCATCATATTTGCCACCTTGAGAAGCGGGATTTGAAGTGCCCTGCCTGGTCGAACTCTCCTCCTAGATGTCAAGGTTCTGTCGCTGGCTAAGCGGGCCCATCCCTTGCATGCTCTCAATATCCCCGATAGTGTCATTGAATACGCGCGTGATGTCGCCAAGGACCTTCATTCGGTTCCACTCATGTCTGCTGCGCCAGATTTCGTCCATCAGTTCGCGATTGATCTGCTCCAGTTGCTCAATTGTGCAACCCCCGGTGACGTCCGTCACTTCGTGCAGGAAGTTGTCTACTGCACCGTGAACTGAGAGCGGCTGCGATGCGGATGCTGATGAACCAGAATTTCGGATCGATTGCCTATCATCGATAGGTTGATCATTCAACAAATGAGCCATGCCCATATGCACCTTGGAACCTCCCGGTGTCCGCTGGACCTGGGACTGAGACGAAGTAGGACTGCCCGATAGATTCGATCCAGGCATCGGGTTGCTTCGGGTGAGAGCCCCAGCCTGAGAATGGATCCATGGCTCGTCGGGGGTATGTTGGCTGGCCAGAGGCAACGTGTCTGGAATCTCCCCGTCATTATCCTCATCGCCACCTCGGTTCTCGACATGTGTTCCGTTGGTGATCTGTGTACTGAAGTTGGATGAACGATGGGTGGACGGATCAGTACTCTTTGTCGTAGAGGCTTCGTTTACAACGGCTGACGGCGACACACCCGCAGGCAAAGAAGTGACGACAGACTTCTGGGAAATCTGCGTCATCGCCGTTGGCGCAATGCTGGCGTCTTGAGGATTAGTCGGGGGTCCCATCTCAGAAATGGGCAGTGTCTCATCATCAACACCGCTCATCTGGACATCGCCTTCTCCAGAAGGATGAGAAGTACCATTGCTGAGGGGATGCGATTCCTGGCCGGAAGTACCATGACCATTAGACAGTGGACTCTTCACCTGGAATCGAGCCATTGTTCGCGACCCGGGAACTGGCTCTCCGAGAGTCACCGGGCCTTGAGAGTCACTGTCATTCCCACCGCCAAGATCAGACTGGACGCGGTCCACAAGCGACTGCATAGCCTTCCTCTTTCGCTCTTTCTCAGTTGCTTGCTTCGCACGCTGGATCTGACGTCGATAGATGGCTTCCCAGTCAATGTGCGACGTGCTGTTCTCGATACTAGCTACATCAACTTCGACATTGCTGAGAAGTTCGTTGGCTTTGAGAGTTCGCTCCTTATCCCCAATGTTCTTCGCGTCCTTTGCGAGGGACTTGATATCAAACAGGAAGTCCTTTGGACGGGCGTAGAACCCGTTCGACAAGCGCTCCTCGATTGTTGTCGTCTCCAAGTTGTAGTAGCACTTCCCGGTAGTGGTGTCCCTTAAAACGTCGTTGTCGTACTTATCTTTGACAATCTCGAAAGGTCGGGGCTGGTCTCCCGCAAGATCCGGTCGTACGTAGTTGGGGTCTGATTCGACAAAGAGATAGTCGATCTGGGCCTGGGGAATGACAGGTTGTCTAAACTTCTTATACTTCCGGTTGATCTGATCCATGATGGGCTGAAGCTGGATCTTCAGGCCATTGAGAAGTTGGTGATCCTTCTTCTGCAGGGCCTTCATCTCCAACTTGGTGGGAGGAGCTGGCTCCGGTGTGGGGGCAACTGGTAGTTCCTCGAGCACCCTCTTCTTGCGGTTCTCGGGATCTGGGAACTCGGCGGGCTTCTTCTTGATGTAGTTCAACGTCGTGGCGAAGTACTCCATCCGGTTCATCTAATTAATGTGAGTAAACTGAGGAGTCAATGTAGATGTGGGATGTCTTACCTTCTCAGGCCGGGGAATCTCCATCCTGCTCTTGCGCGAGTATCCAAATAAGTCGCGGAAAAGTTCGTTAGGGATCTCCGACTTGTCGGATTCCGCAGTGGCAAGCAGAAGGACCGGATCGGTGGGAGCAATAGACCTCAACATGGTCTGGAAGGTAATGAAAGCAACAGTTCCGCAGAGTGTCGCATACCAGGCCTCAATGTTGGGAATATAGATGACACTGGGCTTGTGGCGTCTCACTTCCGTGAAAAGGCCGACAATAACCTGCTCCATTGACTATTGGCATGTTAGTATCCATCACCATAGTGTCTAGAATTGAATGCTTACCCGTCCATCCGCCAGCAAGCTAGGGAGATCAAAATTCTGTACATGGACACCCTCGAAATGGTGCAGGATTGCCGAGGCAAGGTATGCTTGACCCATTCCACTCACACCATAGATAACGAACCGAGGGCGGAACACTCGAGATCGCTCGAATTCTTGATGCAATTGCTCTCTGCCAAAGCCATGGTCGTCATCCTCGAATTGTTCGTACATAGCCTCCTCGAGCGCTGTTAATTTCTTCTTTCGGGGCAGAAGGTCATCCAGAGCCCGCTTGGCCTCGGCAAATTGGGCACGGAGCAATGGCTCGATGGACCTGGGAAGAGGACGAGCACCCGAAGTTGCCGATCGCTCAGAAGACGGGATAAGCTTCTTAATGGAGAGCATGAAATCTGTGGCATGAACAGAAATCTTTTCGGGGTTGACCACCAGCTTCTCCGTCGAGGAGTAGATCTGAGGGTACGTCCGCTGAATTGAATTGAGAGCGGCTTCAGTGCAGAGGGCTCGCAAGTCAGCACCTCCGTAGCCCTTGGTGTTATCAGCCAAAGAATCTTTGAACGGCTCGGAGAGACCCCAGTCCGCGGTGTGGATGTTCAGAATTGACTTTCGCGCATCAATGTCAGGGAGGGGGAAGTAGAACTCTCGGTCAAAACGACCTGGACGACGAAGTGCCGGGTCGATGTTGTCTGGACGATTAGTGGCACCAATGACGATGACTTGACCACGACCGTCCATACCATCCATAAGGGCCAGCAGCGTAGAGACGATGGAGGCATGAATCTGCTCCTGCTTGCTAGATCTAACAGGTGCAAGGCCATCAATTTCATCGAAAAAGATGATACTGGGCTGGGTTCTCCTGGCCTCTTCAAACAGCAATCGAAGCTGCTTCTCAGCCTCACCGACCCACTTGCTCAGGGCATCAGCTCCTTTTCGCATGTAGAACGAGATCTTCTTGCCGCCCGAGCCAATTGAGTTCGCCAAAGCTCGAGCGAGCAGCGTCTTACCCGTACCAGGTGGGCCATGAAATAAGACACCTCGCGGCGGAGTAACATGGAATCGAGTGAAGAGTTCCGGGTAGAGCAGTGGGAGCTGAACCATCTCCTTCAGCTGGTCAATGTGGCCTTGCAATCCACCAACCTGGCTGAAGTCGACGTTCATATCAACCCCAAGAGGGTCAGCGTCGGCCAAAGCCTTTCGATCCTTGATCTTGCCGACATTAGGCGTGGCGCCAACACCCTCAGCGTTCAGGCCGGGCGCAACTGGAAGAAGCCCGCCAGGGGCTGCAGAGGTCGGTGTCATACCCATGTTGCCAGCAACGTTGGAGCGGTGAACCATTTCATCGTCACTGCTATCGGAGTCAACTCCTCCAGCCGCCCCGGTGCCCCAAGGACCGTTGAGGAGTGAGCCAGCACCGCCGCCTCCACCGAATGGGCCAAACGTAGTGTTCAGGTTACGCTCCCATCCTTGGCTAGCGCCGCCGCGCCCTCGTCGTGCCCGGGCAGGTGTTGGGGCCGGATCCTCTTCATCTTCAATGTTGACCGAAGTCAGAGGAGGCATGTAGTAGTTCACACGAGCTCGTGATCGACGGGTGTTCTCTTGGTAGACGATAGGGGACTCTTTCCGAGGTCGGCGACGTGAGCGAGAGTCTTGTCGAAGCTCGCGAGCCTCTTCGTTCAACTCGTCGAGGTCGAAATCGGGTTCTTCGTCTGCGGACTCACCGCCTTGGCGAGAACCCCGGGTCGGTCTTGCTCGTTGGTTCGGTCGGCCTCGAGGAGTAGGGCTTTCAATTTCGTGAACGTCAGCACGACCCTTCTCGGATGCAGAGCCATCGGCTTCCGAATCATCGCCGGGGTCGAAATCGCTACTAGGTTCCTGTGTCGATTTCTTGAGGCCGGCCTTTTGAGTCAGACGGCGGGATTTCCTGGGGCCGCCGTCGGATTCAGCGTCTTCTGTTGGCGCAGAAATACTTGCGCGCGCGCCTCGCGTCCTGCGGGTGATGGGAACATCGTCTTCGTCATCATCGTCCTCGACAGTCTCGACTGGCGCGTCATCCCCGGTCGCTTTTTCGTTGTCGGCATCGTTCATCTCTTGATCATGCTCCGCATCTTGTTCCTCCTCTTGTTCCGGATCCTGCTCCGGTTGCTTCTCCGGCTCCAGCGCTGTCGGGTCTTCCACTTCCTCCTTCTTCTCAATCAGCTCGATGTCCTGAGATAACTCATCAATCTCGTCGACGCTTTTGATCTCTCGGGAGCTGGTCTCTTGTGTCGCCTCTTCAATAGTCTCGGGCTTCTTGAGACCCTTCATACCGCGAGAGGACCTCGTGTTTCGTGCGAGCGATTCGGGGCTCCTACTCCTCGAGTCTCGCGAAATAACAGCGTGTCGGCCAGAATTGGACAGCTCGACAAATTCCTCAGCATCTTCTGTATGCGCCCTAGTTGCCCTTCGCGTCACAGCACCCGAGGGAGTCGGAGGTACTCTGAGCTTAACAAGTCGCCTCACGGTTGGCTTGGGGGGTTCTTCGAGAGTCTCAGAGTCGCTCTTGGAACCCTCTTCAAGTTCGTCTTCGCTGCTCTCCTTGTAGTTTTGATGTTTGACGGCAGCCTTTCTGGCCCGACGACCAGCTGCGTTCACAGGCGCGTCTTCGTCCTCCTCATCGTCATCGAAGTCCTCCCCGAAATCTTCCTCCTGGCTATCGGAAAGCTCTTCTTCGTCGTCGTCAATATCGGATCCTCGATAACGGTGGGCTCGCTTGCGGCTTGGATTTCCAGCTCTCGAGGGGCGTGCCTTCTTGGAGCTCTTGCGTGGTCTTTCCACTGTGGGGTCGAAGTTCTCGTCCTCGGAGTCCGACTTGTTCGGGTCGAAGTCCTCGAGGACTCTCTTTCGCTTGCTAACCATCTTGGATGCAGCTAAGGTCCGATTGGTGATGCAGTTGTCGAGGCTGCGGCGTGGAACAGCACAGCAGATGGGTCTGAGAGAGCTTTAGAAGGTCTAGAGGCAGCCCGGATACGTCAGCAATGCATCGCCCAAGGTTGCAAAAATCGATGCCAATACGGAAATAAATCATTGAAAGAATGATGGCTATGTTGGAGGAATGTGTTGGATTCGCAGCGGGAACTCACCGTTGACCTGGGTGGGTAGTGCACGATATCACGAAGAACCGTGCATGGGGCGGCCTGGTCGCACGCAAGCTTGTGGCTTACAAAACGCGCGGGAACCAGCGCGGATGCAGCGAAAAAGCCGTGCAAAAGAATCGGCAAGAAACCACAGATCAAATATTGACCCGGGGCGATGGCGGTTTGTCGAGGGTTTCGACCAGTTGTGGTGAGTGCGATGTGAGACGGGTTTGCGCGTCCTGTTCGCGAGCGCTCAGCAGCGAGGGTCAAAGGGTCAGAGGTTTGGGCGTTGCGCCTCACGTGAAGATGGCGCGAAGAAAAACAAGGTGGTCCGAGCGTTTTTTTCAGGCAACATGGCCCACCATTTTTCGGCCTGCACAAAGGGGACCAGGCCATGACACTTTGCAACGCGCAAACCAGGTTCATTTCATGGCTTCAAATCAATTTCCAAACGGCGACTTTCCATGCAAACAACCCGTTCACGATGCCATTCGCCATTTTTGAGCCCGTTTCGAGCTCAAACCTAATATGACCACGTGTTTTAGACGCTTTTTCAGCGCCCCCAACACCGCCTGCACTGCCAATTCGCGTTTGACAAACAATCCCTTCAACCCATGAGCTCCCCCCCAGCTCCCCAGATTTTGTCAGTCGGCACCCAGAGCTTGAATATTGCGGCTCAAGTCAAGCTCCCGTCGTAGGGCTGATAGTTGACGGGCACGTCGCATGTGGCAGTCCCACCAAGTGCTAGCCAAGTCTCCATGCTGATGCCTTGGTGCCTTATTGCCTTGTTGCCTTACTCTGTTCTCAGGCACCCACATTTTCCCTTCCCTTTTCGGGACTCAACACAACATAACTTACCCTACAGGCCGGTTGAACCAACGGCGACCACCAACGGCGACCACCAACGGCGACCACCCACGTCAACGTGCCGATTCCCGAGCATTGATTGCTTGGCTCTTGGCTACAGGCAGCAGTCTAGATCACCCAAGGTTTTGCCATGATCCAACTTTGATCGCATCAGTTGACCGGCGTGGCGCGCTTTCCATGTGACCGTCTCACAGCTTGGCCATTCTTGGCTGTCCTTAGGCTCATTCTCGTATCTGCCTGACAAGCAACCGAGTCCCGAATAGCAAGGTCAACATGCACGCACCCACCAATGGCTACAGCGATAACTCCCGGGACGCGAGGCCATTCTCGCATTGACTTTTCGGTTCATACCGGCCATTGCCAAATTTAGAAGTCGTTATCATATTCATGGACTCATCAAAACTATTGCACACGTAAAGTGTTGTACATGGCCACTCCCACCAATTATTCTGGCCAGAGCCCTTCGCCCTCACACAGCCGGTTACGTTGCCCCCAGAAAACGCCGTACCGCCCACCATAATTCTCATCCCATGCCGGCCAGCGACGTTGCTTGCGTAAAATGATCGCACACGATCATGTGGAAACAAGTGGAATTACAACATGAAGAGCATTGTCCATTGACCCTGCACCTGTGTGTCATTTCTTTCCCATCATCGACCGCGCGAGCGCCGTCAAGGATGGCCCGCCAAATAGTAGCTGGTCGGTGTGTCGGCCGCAAGTGGTGTATACGTTGACAGTGGCCGCGGGCTTGATCCAAGGATGAGCTGACTTGGGCGGTGACGATGCAGAGTCGAGAATGGACACATCACTGGAGTACGAGCCAGTGCGTTGCTGTATCCTTGTTAGATTGATACGAGGAGGTGTTGGGGTTCTGGAGTGTACCTTATCGTCAATGAAGGCGGGCGAGTCGAAGTAGCCAGCACTCCCCTGGTCAGAGGTAGAAGAGGAAGTGCGCGATGCGCGGTGCATGTCGAGAGGCGCCGGAGCGGAGGCACGATTGAAGGAGTTCATAATGTTGGCGAGGCGAGGATTTGGGATGTGACAGTTTGCTATGTGTGGTATTTGGCGTCTGCGAGGATGATTGAGAGAATAATCCAGCAGACTAAAGATAAAAAGGCTTCAAGCCGGTTGATGGGTATCGTCAATGGGTATCGAGATTTGTCGTAGAGGCCGTTCAATTCTAACACACCAGGTGCAATCAATGTTTTCAATTGTCTTATCTTGTGTGGAAGGAAGGATGAAAGATGCTCACCCGACCCGACGAGCGACGTGACGCCCTCTTAAATGTCCTCTCGTCGTGCGGCTGATGGGTGATAACCACCTCCTCCACTGCTGTACTCCCCCTCCCCGCCACAACCCATACCACTGCCAACGAGACCAAACGCCCTATGTACAGGGTGCAGTAGTGGATGACAGCGTAAGCCGGGCGCAACCCGACCCGCATTGGGGATGACGCATCGTAGTCGGAGACACGGCACCCGTAGCAGGGCCGCCAAGACGACCAATGACTACAACCGAGCGGCGCATGCACCCGGGTCCAGGAATGGAAGGACTCTAGAAGCCACGGATCGACACTCCATAAGGCAGCAGGATAATGTTTTGTGGAGATGTTGGCTCCGGGGCTGGACCGGGGTCTTGGCCGGAGCTTACGGGCCCCACAACCGGAATCACCGATGATGCCAATCCAACTGTCAAGTCGCCGTGCCATCTGCGGGGCTCCACAGCCCCAGCTTCTTGACTCCACCTGACCGGCCGATTGACGCGGCCAAGCGGTGCTAACGTTAGAAGGGCCGTTACACCTCGATGATGCTGCAGAATCTCCTCGGCAGAACCTTGCCGTCGTCTGGGGACATGTGGGGATTTCAGTGATCTGATTTTAGAATCAGAGATCCAAGAACCAGAGATCCTAGACCCAAACCATCTTGGGTCCTCCAGCTAGGGTACTTGGCTTTGACACATATGACGTGTCTCTGAACCTACTGGACTGGCCGAGATGGCCGAGGATGATATCTCCGACGTAAAACCCCCTTCAATGGAGAAGCTTGTCTCCGCCATCTCTCTGACGAATTCATCCCATCCTCGACATTGATGAGTGTCTAGTTCGGACAGCTGAAAGTGAAGCATAGAGGTAAACGATGACCAAGGAAGACCATTCAGAGGAGCATCGCAGAACTGGAATGATGACTCGAAACTTAGAAATACCTTGGAAGGACCGACTGCTACCAGTTAGCCTGATGTATACTGACACTAAATAATCGGCACTAGGTGTGTTACATTTGTCTTAGGTACCATCTAGCGTAACGTGTGATCTCTGTGCTTTAACTTCAGACAGGCTTGGTACTGCCTCCACCTTATCTCGACGGCGTCCCCCAACATGACGGGAACTGCGCTATCACCCGGACGGGAATGAGAGAAGTCGAGTTTCTCATTGATCTCTTTTCCTTCTTGGACATGTTGAAGAAGTCGAATTAAATCTGAGACAGCTTTATTCTCCGGTCGAATCATGGTCTGCCAAACCCTTTAACCAACCTCATTCTCCTTCATTTGTCCCTCAAATAAGACAAAATAGACAATACCGTGGAGCTTTGAGGCGAAATACCACAAAATCTTAGCAGGATAATGTCTCTGCCCCTCGCGTCATGACTCCCCACTCATGCTCAAATCAGCAACCTCTAGAAGTCTTACCCTGCAGCTTCCTCCACCATCACTCGGTCTAAGACAATGCCTCCTATGGGGTTCCAGTATCCGACTTGTCTTCACGTAAGTCCTTCCCAAAGATTTTGCAGGTATCCCCAAGGTCGCCAATTCTCTCTTCCTGCTTCTGCTTGATTACTCGAGCAATGTGGTAGAGCAAAAGTCCAATGTTGCGGTTAACTCGAGGAAGAGCAGAACATGGATAATGTTTGAGTCCCACTCGAGAAACCCTCTACCCCTAGTACACTCTGCAGTATATAGACTCGCCGTGTGTCCCTGTCCTCACGTCTTATCCCACTTTCGCATGGTCACACGTGCCGCTTGATCATTTACACTGAAAATGTCTCCTGTACGTCACCTGCAGGGATGGACCCGGAAGTAAACTTCACCACAATTTTAAATAGGAGGCTTAACAGGCCCGTTCAGGACTAGGTATTTTGGGCCCTGTGTCTAACACAGGTCCTGTGGCAGAAGTGCTGCTTCGCTGTGGGGTAGTCGTCGGGGTGTGGAGAGTCATGATCACATAATATACAATCGGACTACCGAGTCTTGGGGCATTGGAATTAGGACATGTGGCAATAAAATGCGGTCAGAATGCTGAAAGTATTGAAAGTGTAATCGCGAGATGAGCGACTTAAAAGTGGTAACATCAATAATGCTCTTGCTTGATTCAAATTTAAACTAGTTGGGGTCGCCACAAGGGAAATGCTGTCAAGAAGGAATCGGAAAGTCGCAAGGATGAAGTATAAACAAGTGATCGATAAGTTTGGTGGTTGAATGTAAAGTCGAGTACATATTTCAAATGGCATATAAGTAACCATGGATTTAAGCCAACAGCCGAAGGTTTGTCTGGGTGCTAACGAGACAGAGTAAACCTCAGATACTCGAAGGTCCCATTGCCACCCTAGAGGATGGAATGAATCATGTTTTGAATCCACACCATTGTTATTAAGTACTTGTGGTAAAACATCGATATAGGCCACCAACTGATAATGTATTAAAAGCTTGACAGTATTGACTGTGTACTGGGAAAATTTACCCAAACAGAAATGAGGCAATACACCTTGACAACAAAACCTCATGGCACCTATTTCCGGGAACACTCGGAAGCTCCGGGATCTGGGCCCATAACCAGGACCGACCGCTGGCCTCTTCCACTACAAATACCCGTCTTTGTCCTCTCTCGGCGCCGGATATGTTGTCTTATCCACGGCAGCATAGCTCTTGGTGAAATTGTCCAGCAATGTCCTGATCCAGAGCTGGGCCTCAGCGCTCGCAAATTCGTACGCGATCCGCAGCGAGTACCCAACACGGTACGGCCCCATTGTGCCCCGGGCGACCGATTCGATGGAGCGGAGGATATTGGATACCAGGTCCTGCTTCGCCGCGTCGGAGCCGGGCGCCGGGGCACCACACTGCACCATCGTTTCCTGCAGAATCAGCATGGAGGCCCAGACCGCCAAGTGCATGGCACCAGCCCACTGGTTCGTGTGCTCCAGTATTGTCGGGTAAAGTGAGGTTGCTGGGTCGGAAGGCAGGGCCTCTGTGGGTTGGACATACGGAAGCGAGTTGAACTCTTCGTCGTACCATCTACTGAAGCTCGCGTAATTGGCGGCAGCTAGATGCGCGAGGATGACGACCTGGGAGGGATCTACTGGGATGCCTGCATTGTTCGCTTCGCGGACTAGATAGCCCCATTTGAGCACGGCCGGCACATCCACCAACCTCTGGAAGAAGCCGTCGATGATTATGACAGTCTCGACTGGAGTATCAGGAGCATGGACGAGACACCGGCCACCGTCGCACATCATGGGTTTCCACTCTTGTCGAGACAAGAAGCAGTTCTCCTCGCGTGGATGGAACATGTCACTCATAATCTAACAGGTGGCAGGGTCAGTCTTGGCTCGCTAAAGTATGATTGAAGAGCCATCGTCATGGGTCTGACGGAGGAAGATCCACAACCCCCGGCTTGACTGCCAGAACCAGCCTCCACTTGGGGCTAAGGGTATATCTGATATGCGATATCGTGCCATCTCAATGCGAACCGCGGGTACCAGTGACAATGCCACCGGCGATAACGACAATAAAACTGAACTTGCATGGGAGCTTTCCCTGCTGCAACCGCTGGGTTGCCAATATACCACTTACACGCCCTTGGTTATGGGTCCTTGATCTAAGGATATTGTTCTACAACCGGGCTGCTTGCGTGCCTTGTATTCGTTCTTGTGACGAGAAGGGAATGATGAACATACGATAATCCCGCGGAACGATAACAACATCGCTGCATCCCAGCCTTCAGCGTGAGCCGCGGGACCACGCTGTTCCATCAAAACGCCAATACCCTGGGCATGTTGGAGCCAGTTATCGGGGGAACTGGTCCCCGCAAACAGCTGATTGGATCATCAGTCATGAACCATGGGGGCAAAAAAGAAAAAAGGTCTTGGAAACTACCTCGAAGAAACAAAGGAGGATTGCGGCGAATAGCGTTTCTGAGGATCTCCATGCGGAGGGATGACGCAATGCCGCTTGGAGTTCAAGAAGGGACTTCCCATAGACGGTTCGGCTCTGAGCAACTTGCTGCGAGTTGGAAGCCTCCTTTCCCGCCAGGTGCAGCGCCAAGGAGCAGATTGCGCCATCCAGAAGTGCCTGCTTGCCCAGATGGTCAAACTTTACCCATTCAAACAGGCTCATGATGTCCGGGGGCGCTGAAGGGCAGAATTTCTCTATCATGGTATAGAGAACATGGCCCCTCATGGGCTGCAGGGGACGGTCCACCGGCGGGGTTAGGAGAGGACTCAATCGGGGGGCTGGTGTGGCAACTATTGAGCTCGCCCTATAAGTCAGAGTTGTGACGAGAGGCTGGGAGGAGTCATCGGAGCTGGTGCTGGAGCTGCGGTTGCCGTCGTCGGATCGCCTGCCCCGTGGGCGGATCTGGTGTTTACCAGCCACGAACTTGAGGCTGCGGTCGTAGCCCGGGCACTCAGCGCCATACTTGACACAGTTTCCGCATGTCGGCCGCGCCTCATCACACTTGACCTTGCGCTTCCTGCAGAGCTGACAGCCACTGCTATGAGGCACACCGACCATGTTTGTTGTTGTCGTTGTCTCTGCTCACCGCTGGATGCATGTACCACGCCCGGCGATGAAGGTTTCCCCCACGCTGGGGCGCTCGGCGGAGATAGGAAACCTGTTCGATGCGCGCGGAAGCGGGGCAGCGAGATGGATGGGATGTGCGACAGATCGGCCTGTTGGTTCTCGCAGCCCGCCTCTGGACACCGAGACACCGAGACACGGCAGCAAGGATGCCTTCTTTTCACGTGAAGCCACCGAATCCGACTGGGCAAGGCGGAAGGCGGTAAAGCTGTCCGGACCGGACCGTCTCAGGCGTTGTGGGAGCGGCGTGCGGTCGATGACTCGGCGTAGACACGGGCTGGGAATAATGTTCGGCCTTGATGAACGAGACAACGCCTCGTCCGGATGGGGAAACTGTGGCTGCGGGAGCGGAGGCGGGAACTTGCCCGGTGATGGCGGAGTTTGGATCGGCCAAGCAAGGGTGAACAGGACCGGGAAGAGCTTAACTTTGCGTCGGTGATACACTGCAAACACAGTCTAGGCAGGAATTGGTAGATGGGAAGAGCCTAGATGGAAGTCGATTTGCAAAAATGGAGAGGGGACATGCGGCGAAGTCACTTTCCTGTCCATTTACCTCGAACGCCCTATTGTAGATCGCCGCTGTGACCGGGCTTGCAGCTGCAGCAGCCAGGGAGTATCCACGGGCGATGGGGTAGGCTTTGGGAATGGTCAACGGCGGCCCTGCGTCTTCAAAGGACGTTCTGCTACAGTAGCGCTGCCGTCCGCATATCTTGGTCCGCATCGACCTTGGCGTCGACATTCCCCCGGCTGGCTGGCAGGCTGGCTGTTATTTGCACATGGTACTAGACATGGTACTACTACGTAGTAGAGCGAACTGTAGGTCACATCCGGCGGGGGCGGGATGAGGATGTGTGGTATGGATACGGTCCGGCGCTGGACGGATAGCGCCCTAGGCTCTGGGGAAGGGGACGGAGCCAGGGGACGGAGCAGGGCACGGAAAGGACGGGAGGCAAGCAATCAATCAAGCGATCAAGCAATCAAGCAATTCGGCGCAAAGGGCTGAGCGAGATTGATTAATAATGAGAAGGGAGAGATCGATGCGCACTGACGGCGTTCCATCGTCGCCAGGACGGTGCCGAGTGGTACTCATCCACCCTGCGTTATCTCCAGCTCATCTCCATGTTAAATGAGTCGGAGAAAGGGATCGGGGGGGCTTCTGGGGCAACGTCTGTCTGGCTGCGCCAGCAACGAGGACCAAGGCGGCTCTCGTCAATTGGGGGCGGCCGCTAGACCAAGACAACGACCAACAAGAAACGTCCAGCCTCTTTTCAATTGAGACCGAGCTTGCCTTGTCAGTCGCAGCCTAGTGTTTCTAGTCGTGTTTCTCTGAGCGAGCGAGCTGAACGCGCCATCTGAACACCTGTGTGGTAAACAAGGCTTACAGCACACTCAGTGAGGCGCGAAGTCGATGCCGTCTCGGATGCCGAACTTCTTCACAAGAGACACAACATCAGGGAAACCCTCGCTGACTCACATTACGGCAATGGCTCAGTTTCCGAGGCACGCCAGGCATTTTCACCTGGTCAACTAAGTAAACGGGCGAGAACATGCCTTCTTCGAGGAGAAGGAAAGGGACGGTAACAACGGGAGCTTAAATGCAGCGCTCCCTAGAATATCCTAGTGCGGGCTCTTGGAAAGCTGGAGGGCGGTAGGAGACGTTCTAAACGGACTGGCGCTGCTTAATAAACCATGACGAGGATCACTGCCGAGCAAAGCGCCGACAAAACCAATACTACCCAGGCACCGGCGTTGAAGCTATCGCCAATGGGCCCCCGCGTATCGTCCCTCCGAGTGCAAGGTGCACCGGCATGGGCCATGGGGACATCGCGGCCACGAACATGGGGGTGGGCATCCGACGCATCGTGCCCATGCCGGCCACAGAGTTGGGCTGCTTCTATGCAGGCGTGGGGTTGACTCGGTTGAGCTAGACGTGGCTGAGCCAGCGGCAGAATGTGAGATACGCACCACAGGAATTGACCGACCAACCAGACCGCCCGGCGACCTGTGACGTCTGCCCTTGACGCGTCGCCCATCGAAGATCCCAACGTTGAAGGTCAAGCAGGAGGGACAGTCATGGTCGTCGTCGCCGCCCGCGCCGCCGGCACTCGGGACGCAGGGGACGAGGTCGGGATGTCATGTTGATGACTATATCTGGGTCGAGTTATACATGTGTCCATAATGGCTACGCCGCTCCGCGTCCAGCGAAGGTGTTTTGTTGTTGTGAATCGCCAAAATGTCCCGTGTAATTCGCACATAACAACAGAACACGCCTTGAATGGGCGCGAGGCAGGTCGAACCCCGGTTCCAGCTTGTTTCATGTCAAGTGGCGGCTTCGCACTGGCATCATTTGGAGGCGGACGGGCGTGCGGGTCCGAGAATGTCGTACCCCAGACCCATCCCATCATCTGAGTCAAGCAATGCACAGCGTGGGTAGCGGGTTAATTTGCCCGTGGGTATGGCGGGCGTCTGTGTCTGGGATGCAGAATGACGGGGTTCGCAGCTATCGCCTGATGCCGCTTCTGCTACTGCCGCTTCTGGATGTTTCGCCATCGTCGGCCCCTCCAAGCCTTTTTTTTTTCTTTTTTTGTTCGCCTACACCTCAGTCTCCTATCCCATTGCCCAGGAGCCATTCTTCAGAGTCGACCGAGCCCTCCGTAAGTCCAAAGACTTTTCCTCGTACTCGACTCAACGAAAGGCTGCGGAGGTCATAGAAGCCGGCACTGGCGGCTACTTTGACAAGCTAGCGCCCCTGATGGTTTGCTCCATGTCGCCACGCAACCACGTCCACTACACCCGCCAGAATAATGTGAGTGAGTGGGACGAGTGAGTTCTGATGGCACCAAGGCAAGCCCTGGACCCTCCCGGGGCTGCCCCAGTCTAAAAATACGTAGTCAGTACCTGTTACGGCCACTGATCTTCGGGAGGGAAAAAAAAAGGAGACGGTTGGTGACAAGCATTTTTGTAGAGGATTGCTCCAGTTATTCCACGGTGAGAAACGGTGGTTGCTTTGCTGTCGATGAGATTCCGGGATGAGGAAGAAGGAGAAAAAAAACATCAATTGAACCAAAATAAAGCTGGGTCTTGAGGAAGGCCTGGGGATCCTGACTGGGAACTGGGGACCTTGCAGAGTGAGCAAGCATCGGCATCAGGGAACCAGCAAGAATAAGGCCACGAGCACGTCTCTCGGCGTGAGGTCACGGAATAAGAGTGCCCTATCACGACCCGGCCCTTCTCAGTTTTCGTGCATATTCGGGACCCTCAACTCTTTGCGTAGAGGGTCTAGCGGGACCGACCTTGCCTTACTTGAGCTTGCCTCGCTCCCAATGTACAGTACATCGGAGCCGCCATCCACCCCTTCCAACCACCAAGAGGCCATCTGCCTGCAGATGGGTTCCACGGTCCCGTCCGGGTATATTGCCTCACGACGAGGCTACTGCAGGCCATGGGAGGCAGTCAGAATGAGGCGTACGGGGCCACGCGCTTCGTCCTGGCCGGCGTCGTCTTGATCCAACCTCAGGACAGAAGCAGATGATCCAGTGCCATGCCCATGACCGAGTCCTGGGGAAATTTGAGGTCCCGGCAAGCCACAGCCGGGGCCAGGCAATGCAGGAGACAGGGACCGGTTTGATTTCGATCTCATAGGGGCCATGCGACCTGGCCGAATTGGTGTCTTCTGCTTACGGCGCCCTGGGAGATTCTTCCCTCTTGGGAACAAGGTCAATTTCCTGAGCAGATTCTGGGGGGAGGCTCGCAGGACCGATCGGCTGGCCGGCGATGATCCAGCGGTCTCGTTGATGAGGTGCCATTTTGGACCGAGTCTCAGGCCAAGTACTGGTACCGACGTTGGTGGTACATTGGTCTCGGAAGCCGCACCTGGGTAGGTGGTAAAGGGCCGGATACTTGACCAAGACGTTTGCGATGGCGAATTGAAGGTCAAACCCTCTTGGGCCGTTTTCGCCCACATCACAGAAAACCTCAACATTCCCAGACCCGGGCGGCTCCTGCACTGGAAACACCGTGCAACGGTGCGTGCTGGGGCGGAAAGATAGCAGGGCGAGGTATCGACACGCGAGCCCCAGCATCGGCCGCGAGGCTAAAGCACGGGGTATCGTATAGCGCATGTCGTAGAGGTACAGACCAGTACGATACGGGACCCTCGCGCAACCAACATCAACACCGGCTGGCCACCTGCTTCTGGCGGGTGCTGGATCTCTGTCTGAATCCCAGGCCTCCCTAAAAGGGCACAGTACTATGTGCCAAGGAGGATGGTCCACTTGATCCCTTGCTTGGCTTCGGTACCTGGGTAGGTACTGTACGTGTTACTGCGAAGTGGCAGTATCCTGGTACTGGCCGGATGGTGCCAGGGAGTAGACGGGATGGATTTTGCGTCAGACAACGGTACCAAAGCCACCGTTTCGCCAAACGGCGAGCTGAAGGGCTAGCCAACGCGCATGGCACTGACGGCCGTGGGAGCCAGAGTGGGTGGATGATGAGACTTGCATCTTTAGCATTTATTAGCAGCAATTCCGGCGGAGTGGAAGCGCAACAAGTAGGCCAAGGAGTAGCAGGTCCCTTGGATCGGCTTGTCAACCACGGATCTGGCCCTTTGCTCTTTCAAAAAGCTTACCCTCTTACTATGACGGCAACAAGCCAACCAAGAACGGACTATTCCTCTGTGGACCTTTCGGGACCAATTGCCCCATGGAAGCGTCTCCCTGTCTAGCGCAGTCTGGCTCAATGCCATGGACGGGCGGCCGGCCAATGGTGTGCACCTGGCCCCCTGTGGCATCAACACGACCCGCCGAAGGGCTCCTGTCCTGGGGGTGTCCTTCGCGCAGTACTCTGGTTCTGGTACATGGTACACAGTACACAACTGTCTTGGGGAATCCTGGAAGCGCGCCAGGATGGCACCACGGGCAACCTCGTGTTTGGTGGGCGTGTGAGCGCTGTGGTGGTGTGTGAGTGAGAGGAGCGAGAGAGTGTGTGTGTCTGCCGGTTTGGATGGGTGACCGTCCCCTTGGATAAGGCACGTCACTCTGAGAGGCGAGCGGCGGCACATCCTAGGTCGCTGTAATGGTGTAATGTATCTGTTCCTGGGCGGTTTATGCCGTCGGATCTTCTGTTCATCTCCCTGCGTTGCTGGTCCTGCACCCAGATGCCGTGCAGTGCGATGCAGTAGGGTGAGAGATGCACTGCACAAGACGGCACCTGCTCTCCCCCGTCTAGCACATCCCTCACCCTACCACGTCAGTACTCCTCAACCAACTGCCTGATGGGTGATCTGACGGAAGGATTTGGACGGCTTCCACTCACTTCCAACCGCGAGTTCCATGTCGGGTGCTGTTTGGCCGCAGGTGTGGTCCTGTGGGCGTGCTGTGGGCGTGCTGTGGGCGTGCTGTGGGCGTGGACCCCCTACAACCACGGGGGCTCCACTGTAGAGCAGGACGGTTTAGGGGAGACGAGCCATTGACTGGTGGGTGGCCAGGGCGGTGTCTCGCGGGCCCCACTCCTGCTGGCCGCTGAACGGAGCATCTCGTACAGCGCTGTACGTACCGCGGCGTCCCAGGCCAGGAGCCCTGGAGCGCCCTGCAAAGTAGAGGTACAGTACATGGTGCCTCTCCCGTCCCTCCAGAGTCAGCGAGCAGGGTGGGTATTGCGGTACGTACCCCTCCCCTGCTTGGTGCGCCTGCGGCCCAGAGCCCACTCAAGTGTGGCCCTTCACGGCTACTGCTGGCGCCAGGAGGCCGAGGAGCCAGGCCGTTTCTTCTCCCAAACTCCCAAATTCACCACCACTGCCTTTGACGACTCTTCTCTCTTCGTCTTCGTTTCCTATCACCATCTCCGTCTCTCATCCTCTTCGTTCTTCCTCGTTTTCCTTTCCTTTTACCCCCCTTCGCCATCACCATCGCCCTCGCCATCGCCGTCTCCTCAGCCCCTCGCCTTGACGCCCCGTGTCCCTCGGCTGCAGCCCATCTGCCGTGCCCCCTTTCTCTCCAACTTCGCCATCGTCTTCGCCTTCGCCCTCCCCGAGCCCCAATACACCCCCAGACGCCCACCCGACTCGTCTCCATTCCTCCTCCTTCCGCTCGTGCGCGTTGCGTTGCGTTGCACACCTTCGTCATTTCCAACGTCTTACCCCGTTGCATTTGCATCAGCGTCGTCGCTTGTCGCTGTTCCTTCCAAATATCCCGTGACGATCTCTACCCCCTGGGAGTCTGTCCACAGTCCGTTCTCGATCCTCATCGCGCCGAGCCCGTAATTCTTCCTTCCATCTCCTCGTCGCTCGCTCGAGACGCCGCCGACCCTCCCATGTTCTGTCACAACTAGGCCAAGACTCAAGGTGTCTACTCTGACTCTTGATCTTCGCCCATCGATCCCCTTTGCATCCGTCTTGTAGCGGAGTCGAAAGCCTGCTCGCGGTAACAGCGAACCAATTCTTCGACACTACCACTCGTTTTTGTCTCAGGTCGCTGGCGTCCTAGGATCCCAACGACTCTACGATCGCTTTTCTCCTTCGTCCAAAATATAACCAGAAAGAAAAAATGTTAGTCCTGGCTCAGCCTCAACTCCACATACGAGCATCAGGGGATTTCCCACTATTTGCAATCGCCTACCCAGCTCGTCTGTCTTTTGTCTTGTCCCTCCTATTTGCAACAAGAGGAGGTGGCTGGATCTAACAAACTCATTTCTCCATTCGGCCCGTGAACGTGTTTGCTGACTTTCGTCCTCGCAGTTATTTTTTTGTTGTCTCGCCTTGCATAATAGATTGCGTTGCGAATTCGAATCCACACCGAAGTACTTGCTTACGACAATAATCTACACGCGACATCGTGGTCAAGATTGTTGTCAACAGTCATTCAATTACATTGACCGCAAACTATGGCTGCGCTTGTCCAGACCTACCCTCAGCAAACTGGTACGGTAACGATGCTCCAGACGAGGCCGACCGCAGCCAATATGATTCCTAGCCAAGGACAGACGAGCCATCAATATATGGGAGGATCATCCCAAGCTCCCAGATCCACTTACGGAAGTGGTGCTCCTGCGGGATACCGTGGAAGTTCTGCCCCCGTTCAGCCATACGCGTTTACAAGCACCCCGACTTTGAATCGCAACCAGTCATGGCAGCAGCAAACGCAACAGAATGCCCGAAGCCACAACGCCAATGCTAGCTACGGTAACCGTCAATATAGCTCATCGATGACGAACTTGGCATACAACCCTATGGGCGTCGGACAGACCGGTTCTCGTGATGATACCGCGATACCTCCTGCTCGCAACATTGTACCTGCCCCTCGACCACAGTCCGCCTATCTTGCTGGCTCTTCCCAGCAGTCATTTGCCCCCTCGAGCTCGACAAAGGCTGCCCCTGATAGGTACAGGCGGATGGCCAACCCTCAACAGACCCAGAATCTGCACGGCCGCTCCCAGAGCACAGGTCTCCCTCCAAACAACGGAATGTTGCCCGCGGTTCAGATGTACAACGGGCCCAACCCCCAACGTTCTGCTGTGCCAAACCGACCCAACAGCTTCTACGGAGCAATGCCGGGAACGTCGATGGATGATATGCACGTCTACCCGCAATCACTCGCAGACGACGCGAAGCGATTGCGACGACGAAGCATGCACAGCAAAGATTACGCAGAGCTTTCCAAGCCGAACGTTCCGCCCAAGACTGAGAAGTCGGGTGACAAAGACGGCAGGACGCTGCGAGTCGTATCTAGCCCTACCCCCCGCTCTCGTAGTGGAAGCTCTGAGAGTGTTGTATCAAGCCGCAGCAGCAATTCTCGACCATCCTCGGTGAGTTCATATTATCCGTTGCATTGTCCAATCGGATGATCTTGGTTCAAGTCGTCTTGCTAACAGGGATTGTTACGTAGTCTGCCAACCGCAATGTATCGGCCCCCACTGCCAACCCCTCTTCCCTATCTGACGAAATCACTTCTAAGCAAGATCACGCCAAGTCGGTCAGCGTCCCACCACGAGGCTCATCCTCCGATGCGATCAAACGCACAACCAACCCCTCACCTCTGTCTAGGCCCGCCACTATGGCCACTGATGTCGCAGAAGACGCCGAATCCCCATCCAACCAAAACATCCCCTCAGGCACCGGTGGTAACCTTGAGTCACCAGCGGCTAGGCAGCTGGCTGCCATTAATCAAAAGGGTCGCAAGGCAAAGAGCAAGACTTCCAGGCTGCGACGTGCCTTCTCTTTTGGGAGTGCGGCTGATTTCCGCAAGGCTGCGGGCCCTGAGCTCGATGGCGCTGACAAGGGCGAGCCAGGGAAGCTTCATAAGGAGCCAACTGATGATGAGGCATATGATGCTGAGCAAGCCCGGATTGCTGAACAGCAAGAGGCATCTGGGCTCGGACATAGCATCTATGGCGGACGATTTTTTGGTGGCTCAACCGACAACTTGTCAATCTCATCCACTGCTTCCTCGGCGTCTATTATGATCCGCAAGATGGGCCGTGGAATGAAGAAGAGCACCCGATCGCTCGTCGGGCTCTTCCGCCCCAAGTCAGTTATCGGCGTGGCACCTGCTGATGGACCCATCCCGGAAGCCAGCCAAGCCGCCGTATCGATGGTCAACGCTGAGGCGGAGACTCAGCGCGTCAATGTCGCGGCAGAGCCCCAGGCTGAGGAGACTTTCCCACACCTGGAGCGAAACTCCATTGATACCAACCTCGGCGCTGAGATAGCTGAGCGCCTGGGAAGCTCTGGGACAGATAACTCCAACTCGCGGAAGAGTATTGTCGGAAGCGATAAGGACCGCGCCGAAGTGCTTGCTGCAGTCCGCAAGGGCATCCTGAAACGTATGTTAACCAGAATACTTTGCTAGTGCCCCCATTAACTGATTGATTTTAGGTCCAGGCTCTTCTAGCCCCTCTACCCGTCCTGCAGATGTGTCACCCGAACTGGACCTTCCTAGCATCCCTGCTATCAATGACTCTCCCAACTCCAGTGCCCCCAGCACGCCGAATGACGAGGCACAGGGTCATCGCAGAACCGGATCGATTGCTATCGGCAGCGAAGACTACTTTATGACGGCTCTCAGGTTGCGCCAGGATACCAAGAGCGCCCCCAACACACCCCAAGGGACAGTCAAGCGAAACGCGACATTTTCGCCCCGCCTTATCTTCTATGATACTTGGCCAAGCCAAGAGTACGACCGTCGCGGCGAAGTTTCCGCGTGCAACCGCATGACGCCCATGCTGGCACAGCAAATCAAGGAGGAGTTGAACACCTTTAAGATGGTGAGTTTCTATTGTGCTAGCATATCAGACCCGAAGCTAATATCGTTACAGGAGATGGAGGTGCACGAGACTTCGAAGATCTACACCCACTTTTTCTGATGATTACAAAACCTACACAGACCAAAACTTGTCACAGCATGTTTAATTTCCTTGATGACAGGTCGCGAGGCCGAAAGTCATGTATTCCACCATATTCACCGTTCGAGGGCGTTGAGGGGATAGCATAGTATGGTGTCAACGGCGTTTATCACTTTACCACTCTCTACATGTCATGTGGAATTTAGACCAAAGAGTCATACATTTTCTTTAATTTTTGCGGCAGACACAAGGCAGTGCGGAAGAACTCTGGATCATGAGCTGGAAGGAATCAGGACCTGGTGGGAATATGGGAGATGACGTGGCTCTGTGCAGCTGTGGCTGTCTTTGTGAGCCAGTCATTCCCTCCTCAGCCGGGATTGGGACGCCACTTGTCACAGAACACGGCATCATCTTTGCACAAGACGAGAACCGGGCTGGCTGAACAAGCTTGACGCAGCACCCTTTCTGAACTGACGGATCTCATCAGGCGGGACTTGAATTGGAGGAGGCTGTGCGATGCTCTGAAATTTTCTAACTCTGTTGGCGGGATGTCTCTACAGCCGGACTAGTAAATAAGCGAAATATTCCAGCGTTCTTTGGTCTGGACTAATTCTTGGCCCCATTTTGTTTTGCCATTTCCCGTTTGAACGTAAATGAACTGGATTTAGTACAGAAAACCTCCGTAATCGCAGGGCCGAATGTTTTGACAACACCGAGGTGGGCTGACTGAGCCCGGAGACTGAGTCGGGATTCGGAGCCTTGGGAGGGGCTGACGCGCCAGCCAACGAAGGTTCAGGTCCCGGCGTTCAGGGCCAGGCACAAGTACAGGTACCGGTACATTGGACTTTTGGCCCTGGGGCTGGAGAACGCCACAAGGCTATTCTTGGACCCTGCGAAGGTGACCCCCACGCCATCCCCGCGTTTTCAGCCACAGAGCCAGCCTTGTACCCCACTTCGGCATGTGGGCGAGGCTATGAACCAAGAGACAACTTTTTTTTTTTCTTCTCCAACTCAGCGCAATTTGACAACGACGGTGAAGACACTCGCGATCAACAAGGAGCGACGTTTCCGCCAGCGTGGAGCGATTTGCACGACGAGTTTGGCTCCGGACGACTCCGGGGCCCGTACCGACTTTTCGACTCGGCCATTTCACCATTTCCGCGAGACGACTAGCCACCATGGCGTCTGACAAGGAACAGAGCCCCGCCGTGGAGCACCCAGCGAAGTTGCATGGCAGGGCCTTTTACGAGAGCATCGGCAGCCCCAAGTTCGTTGTGGCTCCTATGGTAGACCAATCTGAGTTTGTATGCACTGCCGGACCCGGAACGCCTCGTAGAACCCATTTGTAACTAACTGATTCCTAGGCTTGGCGAATGCTCACCCGATCCTTCCTCTCCCCCACCGAACAGTCCAGCCTGCTGGCTTATACCCCGATGCTTCACGCCCGTCTCTACTCAGAAGACGAAAAGTATCGCAAGGCGCACTTCCAAGCCGTTCGCCCCGAGACCTCGACTCCATGGCTCGACGGCAACCCTTCTATCGACCGACCGCTCTTTGTTCAATTTTGTGCCAACGACCCGACTGCCCTTCTCTCTGCCGCCAAGCAAGTCGCGCCGTATTGCGATGCTGTGGACCTGAACCTTGGCTGCCCCCAGGGCATTGCACGAAAGGGCCACTATGGAGCGTTTTTGCAGGAGGACCAGGACCTCATCTTCCGACTGATTAATAACTTGCACAAGGAGCTGCCCGTCCCTGTTACGGCCAAGATTCGTTTGTTGGAGACCAAGGAGAAGTCACTCGCCTACGCGCAAAATGTGTTGAAGGCGGGGGCATCTATTCTGACGGTCCATGGGCGAAGACGGGAGCAAAAGGGTCATCTGACGGGCCTTGCAGACTGGAAGATGATTAGGTTCCTGAGGGATAGCCTGCCGCCGGATACGGTCATCTTCGCAAACGGCAATATTCTCCAGGAAGGGGACCTCGAGAAGTGCCTTGAAGCAACCGGCGCTGATGGTGTGATGAGTGCCGAGGGCAACCTCAGCGACCCGGCCATCTTCTCGAAGCCACCACCCATCGGCGAGGAAGGCCGAGAGTACTGGAGAGGAAAGGACGGCAAGGGAGGATGGAGAGTCGATGCGGTGGCCAGACGATATATCAATATTCTTCACGAGCACGCCCTTGGAAGCGAGCCTCCCAAGCGACGACCACTGTTCCTACCTGGCGACGATACTGCGTGGATCACGGAGAGCGCCGAGGACGAGCCATCGGCGAAGCGGAGGAAGATTATCGGAAAGAAGCAAGACCAGGGCCCAAACATGGGAGCTGTTCAACCCCATCTCTTCCATCTCCTGCGGCACTTTGTCTCCAAGCACACCGACGTGCGAGACATGCTGGCCAAGAGTCGCGCGGGCGACATCGATGCGTACGAGCGAGTACTGGAAGCTGTCGAGCGCAAGGTGGCCGAGGGCCTGATCGAGTACGAGCGAACAGATGGCGCGAGCATCGCAGAGCCGCCGTGCGAGGGCGAGGACTTACCGGAGGAGGAGAGCTCGGCGGCGACGATGGCGCGGTGCCGGCGGCCGTGGTGGGTGACGCAGGCCATTATCCGGCCGCTGCCCAGCGAGGCGTTGAAGAAGGGCGCTATTACGCTGAGCAAGAAGGACAGGGTGAAGCCGGAGACAGGGAAGGCCGGGGCTAAGCAAGATGGGGAGACCAAGGCCGGCGAGCAAGAGAAGCAGCCGGATACCAAGGCGACGAGCGAGGCTGCGGCTAAGTAACAGGTATATGCAGTTAGATGGTAGATATTAGCATGCAGAGGACATCTGCTCGGCTGGATATAGACGGCGCAGGGGTCAAGTTGATATATAGAAGCACAGCAACAACTGAACACTCGGTAGGGCCATACCCATTCCTCCTTGGCTGTTTCCAATTCGCACCTATGATCGAGTGTTGGCGTCATTGCGTCTCCCAGCTTCATCCCCGCCATGCTGAAATAGGCCTCTGTGGCTGACATAGTAGGTACACCGTCGCACCATCAGTCGAAAAGTGCAGACTTGGCGGGAGTTGTGCAGAATGAGCAGCGGGCTCATTGGTCTGCGTGTCTCAGCTCTGAGCTCTCAGCTCCAGCCTGGCGCTTTATTAGCCAGTATCCGGACCTATGCAAGTTCTGTGGCTGCACTGGCTGGCCCCCAACACAACGCGGGGGTTGAGGAGAGGTTTTCGTGTCGAGTGTCGGGCTGAAATGCGCTTCATCCTGCTGCTACTGCGAGGAGCCAGGAGTGAGGAGCTATTCACAGTCAGTCGACTCTGCCAGGATGGGTCGCATCGACGGCAGCTCTGAGGCCCTGCAGCAACTCCGCGCTGAGCTGGAGCCGATCCATCGCGACTTCTACCGCCTCGATGCCCTGACGCTGCGACGCGGGCTGCGGCTACCGCGTGTGGCCGTTGTTGGAGAGTTGTCCAGCGGCAAGTCGTCCGTCTTGGAGGCATTCACCCACATCGACTTCCCCGTTGGAGCAAGTCACGGGACCCTCTTCACCACGGCCGTCATTCTCCGCTGCACCTCGGTGGCCAAGGCCGATGCCAAAATCACCACCGGCGACAAGAGCATCGCGTCGGGCACCAGGATTCAACCTCTCAAGGGGAGCGGCGCAGACCAGCGTGACCTCGCCGGCGTCATCGCGGACTCCAAGTCGTTCTTGAAGATCGAGGATACCGACGCCTGCTACCCGCAACACGGCCTCTACGTCAAGATTTCCGGGCCCAATCTACTGCCGCTGTTCATCACGGATCTCCCCGGAATACGCTGGCAAGCCAAAAACCAGCAGGATGCCCTGCTTTGTCGGGAGCTGGCCGGCCGGGAGATGCTCAACCCAGACGTCACGATCCTCGCCGTGATCCCGGCCCAAGACAGCCCCAACGCCTTCAGAATCCTCGACATGGTGAGGCAGTATGATCCAAAGGGCGAGAGGACACTAGGGATCATCACGAAACCTGATACGGCCTTTTCGCAGGCGGAACAGATCAAGTTCGCAAAGGTCGCCATAAATATGGATCCCGAATACAAACTTGGCCTGGGCTGGCATATACTACGCAACCGGTCTCCATCAGAGTTGGGGACTTCCTCGCAAGAACGCGATTACGTTGAAAGCGAGTTCTTTCGCTCTGCGCCGTGGTCATCCATCCCGCCCCAGGCACGCGGCGCTTGGATGCTGCGTGTCCGGCTCAGCCAGATCTTGCAGGACTCGATCAAAAAGAGCTTCCCGGAACTATCTAAGGCTACAGAGGAGAAACTGCAGGCCATTGGCGCGCGTTTAACACGGCTTGGGCCGTCTTTATGTAGCGTCGACGAGGCGAGAAACTACATGTTCAAAGTTGCCGCCCATTTCCAGATTCTGGCGGCGGCAGCTCTCCGCGGCGACTACAGCGACGGCTTCTTCGGCGAGATTACTTTTGCCAACGAGTCTTCTCCATCTGAGGACTCTCGTGTGAGAAAACTTCGCACTTTATTGAGCGACCTGAATAGTGCCTTTGCGCTTGTGATGGTTACGAAGGGTGCACAACGGCACATTACTGATCTAGAACGCCTCCATGAAGACGAAGTGCACATCTCGCCGCACTTACAACCTCTTGTCGACTTTTACCACCACGATGATCCCATTTCCACCTCGAGGAATGAGCTTGTGTCTCAAGTGGAGCACATGCTATCCCCCAACACTACAGGCGTAGGATCGGTAACAGAGACAGTGGTCTCAAGTCTCTTTCGTGAGCAATCATCCGCGTGGAAGTCAATAGCAACAACATACCTTGAACTCACCAAGAGTTCAGTGAAGGCTTTTGTTGAAGCGGCCCTGGCCCATATAATTGGGACTGACAATAGGGCGTTGGGCGAAGTGCTCAAGATATTTGTGGATCCGTTCTTGGAACGGCAAAGCCAGAAGCTCGCAGGGAAGTTGAAAGAGCTGCTCAATCATTACAACGAGGGCCATCTTCAGCCACACGATACTGACTTCCGGCGCATACTCCTACAGGGTCGAAGGGGCATAGAGACCCAATCTGTCCTTCAAACCCCAGTCTCGACGACGGATCAAGAAGCCTGGAGCATTACTCGATCCAATGCGGAATCAGTCGTAACTGAAATGACGAAGTACTATAACGTGAGTAGAAGAATCGTCCCCCCAGGAGTTTCATCATGCACTGCTAACATGTCTCCACGCAGTTTGCCCTTCAAACATTTACAGAGAATGTCATCATTCTTGGAGCTGAGAACTGCCTTGTTTCACAAGTGCTGGAGATACTAAATTTGGATCGAGTTCTTGAGCTCAGCGACGATAAACTAGCGCTCTTGGCCACCGAGCCACTGGAGACGACACAAAGGCGAACTGAGCTCCAGCAAGAGTGCAGTGTCCTGAGAGCGGCGCTGAAGGCCTGCCAAAAGTACCAAAACCGCGGCTTTTCAGGTAATAAACCGGATTGATACATGGCGGGAAAGTTGGCTAACTGCCTTGATAGGAATACCCGTCGCATTGCGGGAAATGAAGCCGGCTGACAAAGTCACGGGCTTTCCTGCTCAACCTTCACCCAACCCCCAACCGAAAGAGATATTCGAAGTTGAATGAATGGAGAATTCAGAACTAAATGTATCTATGAGGCGTATGTAGGCACCTCTTTTGAGAGGATTTATTGTGCAATAATTTGATGTCAAGGGCTTCAGCTGCAGAGGACGACGAAGCCCTACGGACAGTGTAGTCACTCCCTCATTTCCGCTTTTCAAGTCAATGCAATGTACCCGGCCCTCTAATTCTGCCTGAAAGTGTTTTTCTTCCCTTCCTTTTGTATTTCCAAGCCCAGAGCTCACTGACTAGCCACATTGAACAGGCAGTTGCCGGCTTTGACTGCAAGGCTGCGAACCTCTTGGTAGAATTGCATTCAGTAATATTTAAATTCATTAAATAGTCATTCAAGGAAATGATACGGACTGAAAAGACTTGAGACACGGTGTATATGACATTGCTTAGACCCCGTGAGACATGAAAATGATAGACCCGTCCCGAGCCACTGTGATCCTTGACTTTCGCGTGTCACTCCCTGCTGTAACGATGGCCTGACTGTTACCCTCCAAGGCAACGGAGTGGCTCAAGTCAACACCTGAATCCACCCTCTTCCTTGCTGGCTGCTTTGTTTGGGATTTTGGTGGAGGCGCCGCCAGTATCTGGCGGAGTAGCGTCTTGAGTAAACCGCCCGCATGGGCTTCATTTCTGGGGAAGAACTTCCTCGTCTCGAGCGTATACTCCCGCAGGGCTTCGACCGTGGGGAAAATCTCGGCCTTTTCTCCTGTATGGGGAGACTCAGTGAGGTCGACGAGGTTGACGTGCGTTCGCTGCACACGCTGTAACATATCAGCACCGACTAGAGCGCTGCAGGTTGCACAGTATGATGGATAGCATACCTGTCGAGATTCTTTCAAGGTGTTGGGCACTCCGACCCCAAGAGTCCGGCAGAGCCGCTGCCATGACTCCAAGTTCTTCTCGTCAGTCCCAAAGGTGGTGTTAAATTGCTCTACCATGGCAGCCTTGAACTCTGCCTTGGCCTCATTTAGCTCACGCCTGTCCCACTTGAAGTGCCTGCACAGGCGGCCGAACTCGGTCCAGTAGGGGGCATTGCGTTTGTGCTTGAAACCCGAGTATTGCGAGAAGAACTCGTCGATGGGTTCCCCGGAAGTTTCGCTGTCTGAATACGGGGGAGGCCCCTCACCAGCTGGCGGCGGAGGATGCGGGGATGCGTGCTGGCGGTGGGCAAACTTGCACGAATCTCCGTAGGTGCATTTTCCGGTTTTCTGGAACTGGTGGCATACGTTCCTGGTTTTATTGGAAGTCTTTCTGGTACTGCTGGGCTCCATGGTTTGGCTCAGTGATATCGCTGTGCGACAAGAGATGGCATGCCGTGATAAGAGGAGGGTGGACGCGAGGACTGCCCGGGGAGGATGGACAGCTCCATGGAGATCCTGGCCCTTATGAGCACACCACAGAGATAATGGCGGTAAAGGGGGCAATGTGGAAAAAGGCTGTACGTAGAGGTACTGATGCATAAACATTGGAGCTATTGGCAGACACGACCAACAGCAAACCAACGCGGGTCACACTGCATGCGGCCAGCCTCGCCACAGTTTCGGGCATCCTTTCAGGCTCCGAACCGTTTTGGGAAGCCTGCGTTTGCGGGGGTCAATTTTCGCGATATTTCAAGGCGAGAACAGATGATAGTATATGGATCCTATGACAATACGAACTGTACAAGTGCCTCCGTGGTTCTCGGTACATGGACCCACAATATCCGGAGCTGACCCCGGCCCCGCTCGGGACCTCGCCGTTTAGGTCGATGGGCAACCATACAATAACCAGAAAATGCACGATGCAGGAGGCTCACAGGTGGGCCTGGAGCTCATCTGGCCGAGCATCTCCAGCCTCGTCTGCCTGATCTTGCGGGCCACCGTCCCCCGGCGCATTGCTTTCAGGTCCACCATCCTCATTGGGTTCGTCAGCTGTCTCGTTTTCTTCGTGGTCATCACCGGGTTTCGCATTCGCACCTCGTCTCTTAAACCAGCCTCGGATGCCTGTCGCTCCCAGGCCCCCCGCAGCTGCTCCTTGCACCACCCCATGAACTGCGGCCACGCCATATCCACCAGCCCCGGCACTCTGCAGCGTTGCAAAAATGCTGGGTGCGACGACACTCCCAATACCGCTCTGCGCCCCGGCGGCGAGAGAGCCTGGTCCGTGTTAGCAGTGCAGTGATTTCAACGGGTAGATACCCGGAAGATGGAGCTCTAACCTCCTACAATACCATTCGCTCCAAACCCAAGGAGTCCCAGAGCTGGCGACGCCACGATTGCTGGCGACACTAGAACCGCAGCACCAGCTCCAAGGGCAGTGGCCTGGATGGGGTGATCACTGGCCCATTGTCGCATCTAGGCCGCGAAATTAGCAAGTTGCATATAGATGATATCGTGGACCCCGCTCTCACGTTCGCGAAGTAACCGCTTTCCTCTTGGCCGGGATTCTCTTGGTCCTTCTGGTTTCCTTGACCCCCCTTCTGCTCTTGCTCCCATGACCAGGGACAGGTTTTCAGTGAGCCTGAACGAGGGCCGTCTGCGGCTTCGATTGATCTCGACATTGCGTGCGCGCTGATTCGAAATCTTCTTGCTGAATTGGGGTTCGGTAGGTGAGAGTGGAAAAACGCGGCACCGGGTCGCAGGCTTAAAGGTGACAGGTGAAAGAGGACTGAGTTGACCCCTCGAAAATAGTCAGGTAAGTCGGGGGTGGGGAGGCAGCCAAGTTGAGGCGAGGACTCACCTTGTTGGCGGAAGTGTGGAAGAAAAGAAAGGAAGATGAAACTGCTGCGGGGTGAAGTGAAGATTATGTAGCCTTGCGACCGTGAATCAAGGCCGGAAGCCGGACGCGCTGATCCCAGGCACCTACGGCAGTGATTCATAACCAGAGACTGGGCGGACCGAAAGTAGGCGGGCTTTATTAGCCACTGTAGACATTCTAGATGATCAGTATCAGATAAAAGAAAGTGAGCAATAAATGTAATATCGCCTTTATACAGTTACGAGTCAAGAGGAGAAGCATGACGATGGCCAACCAACCAACCAACCAACCAGCTTCCGCTGATATGGCTGTACAGCCTGATGGCCCCCATCCCTGCGGCCGTACGGATGGTCAGCGGTTGACAGTGGTGCATTATGCCTTGCAAGGCATACTCGCTTGGTTACATCGACACTGGGGTAAGTATTCCGCCTACGATCTTATAAACCGATACAGGGATGCTTCAGAAACACAACGCTACTCTCATATGACATACATGATCGTCGGCTAATAATGTTATACCTTTAATTCTATTCTCATGACTATTCAGTTATAGGGCACTGGCTGTTCAGTATCCAACAAAGACGCGCGAGACAGCCAATGCCGAACAATACGGGTCACTTCTGATACATCGTCTGCATGTAAATATCCACAAGAGTCGCACCATGCTGATTTCGGAAACAGCAAGGTAACTTTAGAAACATTACTTGAACGACATTGCAATAGCGTCCTGCCGTTACCCCAGCTTAAGCTACATGCTGTCTCGAGGGCTGAGGGCGACAAATGGTTGGGATGAAAGCGATGTATATTCAAAATTGAATTAATGCCACTCCTCGCTGACCCTTAACCGCAACAAGTAGACATCACAATCTTTCAAATAAAATAAGTGGGCCAACAACTTTCGATTTTTGGCAAGTCCTCGCTGGTATTACAAACTCCCGCCAGTCGCCCACGGAACCAATCTAGATGTAAGCATCATCCTTCCAATCCCGTCCTAACCCATCTTTGAACCATTCTCTTTGTGCCGTCACTCTTACATCCTTCAGCTTTCCCGTCGTCCTCGCTTTACCGGTGGCGGTGACCTCGATAAGCTATCGCTGTACCGTCTCCTCTTTGCTGGTACCGAGCTCAGCTCCCTCCTGTTCTCTCCGCGCTTGGGCGGGCTCGGCGATCGCGAGTATGAACCTCGCCGCCCACCATTTCGGGCAGGTGGAGGGGATCGCGAATCATATGAGGCTGACCGACTGCGCTGCTTGGGCTTGTTTCGTGGCCCACTGCTGACCGAGGAGCTGTTTCGGCGGTACGCCCCGGGGCCAGGCTTTCCAGTAGGTCGTCCACGTTGAGGAGGACCAGCTGGGGGCTTGTCCCGTCCTCTTGCGGGAGAGGGAGATCGGCTTCGGGAGCCATACGAGCCGCTTCGTGACCGCGCGCGCTTGTTTCGAGGAGCGGGCGAGGGTGACCGGCTTTGGGAAGCGTAAGAACCGCTCCGAGCGCGGGCTCGTCGGGCGGGAGGGGTTCGTGACCGACTCTGAGACGAGTATGAGCCACTGCGAGCCCGGCCGCGTCCACCCCGAGGTGCTGGAGACCTCGAACGGCTAACACTGCCTGGGCGTCTTCGTTGAGGACTGGCCGAGTACGAGCTCTGACGTCCGCGTGCCGGGGGAGATCTAGAGTGCGACCTCGACCTCGATCGCGATGAACTGTAAGAACGCGCCCGTCCTCTTCGGGATGGAGTTCGTGATAGTGAGCGACCTCGTTCACCCTCAACCCTGCGAGGCGACCGTGATCGTGACCGCGAGTACGAAGACCCGGTGTAGGAAGAGTAACTCGACACGGAATCAGAATCCGAATCGGCGGCAGGCGGCGCGGGTAGCGCTGGCTTGGGCATGTTCTGAAGGAACTCTCGCATCTCTTCAGTAAGGGCGCCCATACCAATACTTGTGAAGTAGTTGATGGAGAATCTGATATTGCGTGCGCTGTCCTTGGGGAACAGGCCTTCGAGGCTAGCCCGCAGCGTCTCATCCGATAGTCGTGTCCTGAGCTTGGCCATGCCAGTCTCCTCAGCAATGTTCTGGAACAAAATCTTGATGAAGATACGGCTGCTCGACGTGGTCTCGTCCTCATTGAGATGGATGACAGAGAGACAGTGCCAGCCCAGGGCATCCGAGGCGAACATGTGACCGAACAGCATGGCGATGTTGCGCAGCTTGTTGTTCTCGTAGCGGTGGATAGTCTCGTAGTACTTGACAAAAGCCTGCTCAAACAGGTCGCACCACAAGCGGTTGATCTTGGAGAAGCGCTCGCCTATCAGGCCGAAGAACTTGGTGTATGTCTTCTCCTGGGAACAGCACTCGACAACCATGGATGGCAGCTCTGACTCCTGACCCGCGGGGAGATTGATCTTCATGAGCTTGTGAACAGCTTCTTCGGGGTCGGCACTAGACATGATGGTGAGGTAGATGGTTCTCCGCAGGTTGACCAGATCGGCGTTAGACCGGTCCTTGATCTCCATCGCCTTGGTCTCCTGATCCTCCTCTTCCTCATCGGAGCTCTCGTCTTCATCGTCGTCGTCATCGTCGTAGTCACTGCCCTCGCCAAGAATTTCGGCCTTGAGCTTCTTGTATGCATCCTCGTGCTCCTCCCACTCGGCATCGAACTTGAAGATGTTCAAGCCATCCTGCACATCCACTTCTCCGTCTAGTTCCACTCGGTGGGTGATCTGATCCTCCTCCTCAACAAGGTCCAGCTCCTCCTTGACGGCCGGGTTGTCCTTGAACTTGTCCTTGCGCACTTGGAATAGCACCTCGATCATGTACTGGGTTCGCTTGTCGATGTCGGCCTCGTGGAGGATGTTCCGGAACTGGTCGAAGACAGCCATGGAGATGGACGGCTGCATCTCCTCCAGGTACTGTCCGACTTCGCGACAGAATCCAACCGCAATCTCAACGCTGTCGTCGGTCGGCTTGTGCAACAGTAGGAGCAGGATCTGGCCGGCCAGCATCTCGTACTGCACTTGTTGGTTGATGAGGTGAGCAAGGAAGGTGGTCGAGGAGAGGCAGACGGCCTTGTCGTTGCGCTTGAAACCCTTGCGGAACTGCATAACAATGCGCTTGACCAGCAGCTCGCCGACCTGGGGCAATTTGGTGTTGACAATGGCGGCCATGGCGGCGTAGATGGGAGTGAAGGGCAAACTAGCGGCCTGGGCCTTCATGATGGAGCGGCAGAAGAGGCCGCGGCCACGGACGAGGTTCTCTCCAAACAGCTCGGGCACAATGTATTTGATATTCGCCGTGTTGACCTTGTTGATGAGACCGTTGATACTCTTCTTGAGCGCCTCCCACGCCATGCGCTGGTACTCCTTGCTCGTCTTGTCGGTGATCTGGGCCTGGAGGGCGCGCAGACGGGCGGGCGGGATGTAGGTGCCGCCGGATCGCATGGTGAGCAACTTCTCATACTCGGCCTTTGCGGCGGCCTGCTTCTCCTCCTCGGTGCGGACGGGGACGGGCGCGGGAGGAGGCGATCGCGAGCGCGCGGCCTTGGAGGGGCGATAGGAGTCGCCATCGCGCTGGGCGCCGCGGTCGCGGTCGCGACGGGGGATGTCGACCTCGCCAGACGCCATCATCGCGACGGGGACGGTTGCGGTCGTGGGGAGCGGTGATGTGGTTATGTCGTCGTCGAGGCAGGCAAAACCATCCTCGCCCGTCGTCGGTCGAAAGAAGAAGTCAAACGTTGGTTGCTAGCTTGGGGCTGGGAAAGGCAGGCGTCGCGACCGGCCAGGCAGGCGACGGGAAGGAAAAAAAATCGGTGCACGGGCCAGCGAGGCTGCTCAGAAGCTGCTGCGCCTCACCATGATGAGGACATGTGGTGTGGCGCAGATGTGTGGCGGATGCTTCAGCAGCGCGCAAGCTGTTCTCGTCACCTCCTGAAATCGCGTCTAATAATTTTGGACAGGCTGGAGGTACCTGTGGTCGAATCCTGAACCCATCATCAACACCATCTTAACCACCACACTCCTTTCTCACTCTTCTCCTGCCCGCCGCATACGCTCGCTCACCCCGCGCACCCTCGACAATGGTAATTACTCTCCATCACTGCTTTCGTCCCTTCGGCCCCTGTCCCTGAATGAGACGCTCCCCGCGCCGCGAATCTTCGACAACCCCTCTGCTTGAACCTTCGGTTTGACTGACATCTTCTCTTCTCTGTAGTTGGACAAAATCGTCGGCCTAGCCATGCTCGTGGCCGCCTCTGTCGTCTTCCTCTACTACACCATCTGGACCCTGCTTATGGTGCGTGGGCGTGCTTCTTCTCTCCGTCGAGAGCCTCCCGTCTTCGCGCAATCGTCACCCCCCCGACTAACGCCTCCTAGCCCTTTGTCGATGGCGACCACCCGCTGCAGAACTTCTTCCCTCCCCGTGTTTGGGCTATCCGAATCCCCGTTATCCTCATCCTCCTGGGCTCCGCCGTTGTGGGCTCTTTCCTGGCCATGGTCATGATCCGAAGCAACAGGAAGAAGGCCGCCAAGGCCAAGGCCGCGGCCAAGAAGAAGAACTAAACAACGATGGATGTCGGTGGATATACCATGTAATTATCAATCGTGGCGGCCCTGGATGCTCGTACCAGGAAGAACCGCCAATTAATCAAGCCTCGGACTCGCTCAACTGGTGGACTGAGACGCCACGTCCGGCGCGTCGTCGCTCGGCACATCCAAAGCGCTGGCTACGAAGAAATGGGTATCTAATCTGTTTCTATATTTAATGAGGCCTCTGGGCCGGTCAAACAAAAGTGCTGTCCTAAAGATTACGTCTCCCCGTACAAGCAACGTGTCCAACAGGCCAGAATCAGACAACTCCAACGGGACCAAGACTCGAAGAGTGAAAGTGAACTAAGCTATACGTGCTTCGTCCGAACCACCAATCCTGCCCAATGCCAATAAAATAGCACGAGCAACCGGAAATCATTCACTGGTACTCCAGAGAGGAGAGCAAAGCCGAGCAATACCCATCTCAAGTCCCATACAAGCCTCATCCTCCAATGCGCCTCTTACACTCGCTGGTCCGCAAAGTCGAGGACTTCGCAGTCATCTTCAAAGAAGCCATCCTCACCAGGGCTGTTTCCTTGCGCTCCACGTCGTCTTCTCGTCGTCACGACGATCTGCTCCTCGTCCCCGTATTGCATCACACGCTCCATGGCAGACTGGGGGAGAGCAATATGGTCATCGGGACCGCCGTAGTCTTCCTCGGCCACTGGCGGCAGTCCAAGGTCCAGTCGAACAACGGCGATCTCCTGACCGAATGCCCAAGCTCCTGAGCTCGGCGTCTCGTGAGAGGCGCTACTTTCCGTGGGTTGCCCCTTCTTCTTCTTCGACCGCATTTTTCCCTCTAGACTAGTATCGGCTAGGATTTGTGATACCACCTCCAACTGGGCTGTCGTGCCCCGACTATATTCGCACAACGTGACTCGCCTGTCAGTGTGGAATGGCTGATATGGGGCGCTTGACTCTATCTCGGCCTGAGGGATCGAGGACTCCATGACCTGCTCCGCTGGGGCGATGCGTGGGCGTGCATTCAGAGTGAGCGTATTTCCTGCATCCATGTCACGGTCTGACAGGTCAAGGATCTCTTCCTGAGCCCCTAGGTCCATCATTTGTCGGACGGCAGGGGCTACGAGATCGTTGGGCAAAGCCGGCACGTTGTAATCCTGGTACCTGCTCGCTCGTGTTACCCGTCTACCGGATTGGACAGAGGAGCGGCGGGTCTTGCAGGAAAACGTTCGCACGAGGCCATCTCCGACCACGAAGAGCCCGTGATGTCTCCGGCTCTTGATCCAGGCCACACAAGAAGCCGACGGTAGCGCGGAACTTGGTGGCAGTGAAACCCGATTCTCGCCCGTGTGCCGAAGCTGGTTCAAGGCTGTCCCAGTCTTGCCGAGCGAGTTGCTGATGCTAGCAGCAATAACTCGTCCGCCAATAGCTGCCGAGTCCTTGAGCGTGCTTCCTGTTACACCGGGGATATTCGCACTGCTGCGGCGGGGACGTGTCACGAAAGGCTTCGCGGCGTGGTATGCTGCACCAAAAGCGCCTGACGCGATGGAGACTGCCGAGCTGGAGGGCTCGGGAGTCGCAGTCCCGCTCTCTGGGACAGCCTTGCGGCGGCGGGGTGCTGGCCAGATAAACGCACTCGATGGCATATCAAGAAGATGAACAGTGCCTCGTTCCGTCACCATTGCGATGCGCTCGCCCGATGCCTCGGTCCAAGCAACGTCGACAATACGTGCGACAGTCATTCGGGAAAACTGGGCAATTTGGCGAACCTGCGGCCCAGTGTTGGTGTTCGGAGTAACCGTCGCCTGCAGAGGCGAAGACCTGGTATGTTGGATACGGAAGAGGTCCCACACCGTCTGCACATCTCCTTTGCTACTCGCTGTGAAGAGAGCGAGAGAGGATGGGGAGAAAGAGAGGAAGCTGCATCCCAACGGGGTCACAAACGTCGTCAGGGGATGAATTGAGGCCGAGGATGTAAGAGACTCGGCATCAACGATCGATACCACGCCTAGTTCTTTAGACACAACTTGTCCAGAGGACCCATGCGTGGGAGGGAACTGGCTCGGATCTGCGTGAGGAGATCGAGTGCCAGCCCAATGTTGAGGAGGCGAGCGGGCTTGCTGTGGCAGCGATTGAGGGCCGGATGACTTATTCCAGTACGAGTTCCAGGCCTGTAAGCCTTGCTGCCCAACCCACTTGGCTCCTTGAATCAGCTCTTGAGTCGTCTCGCGCATAATCTTGTTGACGACACTGTCTGAGATTGGCAGGTCCACAGAGGCAGAGATCTGGGGCAGTTGCGGCGGTGTGATGCTTGAGAGCCCAGGTGCCTTGCCCAGGATAGGGAGGGGCACATGCGCTCTGAGTGAAATCTGGGACGACGGCGCCGAGGGACAATACGCAATCCACCGTCCGTTGAGAGTGAGGATCGGGGTTTGAGGGCTAGGCCGAGGCGGAGTTGGCGAGGCGCGTACCTTATCGGCCTCCTCGGGAACATCGCCGCGGTAGCTCTGTTGAAGGCTGGCCCATAGCTTGCCGACACATGTAAAGATGTGGCCGTTTTGGCTCTCCAGAAGCTGGAGGTATACCCAGCACTCACCAGTGAGACCAGAGCACACAACAATCGTTCCAGAATCTGCTCGGATTGTAAATGCGCCGTTGGGCTGGGGAGGCCGGAAGATGGGGTTGGTGACGGAGATCTCAGGATTGATCGGTATCTTGGGCGCTTGAAGCAGCACATCAACCTGCTGGTTCGTCTTAAGCGAGTATATTTCAACCGAAGTTTGATAAGAGTCGATTGGAAAGCTCTGCCGACCTTGGAATCCGTCCTGTTGGGTGAAAACGGACCTAGGACTGGTGGTGCCGTCGGGCTTGGGACTTGCACCATCAGCTTGAACGGAAATCCCTGGCGTCGAGGGCAGAACTGGCCCGTGGAGTACTACCGCCACAAGAGGAAAGAGGGATTCCTGGTCTCCGTCCACTGTCCAGGGGAGGATCTTGGCATGATGAACGCCTCCTCTCAGCCCCTTGAGACTGCCGACGGGCTCCAAACCTCGTTTGCCCACAGCATAGACATCCAAACCACCCTCATATCCCGCAATGACAACATTACCTGAACCACCAGGGAAACCGGAGCACTCTGGGAGCTTGTCAAACCCAAAGAAGTAACCCCGTTCCCCGGCCTTGATGCCCGAGTTGGATGTCATGTTAAGATCGATGTCAGGGGCGCCATAGAAGTGCGACTGGGGTTGGTGGGGAAGCGGTGGGTGGGATCCTATCCGGGAGCCCGGGAAAGGTGAATTCACAGAGCCACGGCGATAAGACGTTGGCAGGTGTGGCGGGGTTTCGGGCGACTGATACTGTGCCTCCATATGGAAGCTCAGAGGACGTCGAATGTTGTTGGGCGGGGAGAACGAGGCCGGGGAGGGGCTCATGTATGGTCGTTGGGCGGCCCATCCGTGATGAAGTCTACTTGGGTCCTCGTAGGAGGACGGCTGGGTTGGGGGTGATTCACCCATCAAGCTGATCAAGTTACCTGGAGAGCCGGCCAAACCGTTCCTCATCCAGTCGTTGCTCATGCTCGGTGCCGTACTTGCAGATACCGGAGTTGTAGACAAAGGTTCCAGCATGGGAGAGACGGCGGGATTGTCATTGTCGGGGACAGCAGAGGGTTTGATCTCTGGAGTATCGGCCGGGGGCGAGGACGCAGTGGAAGCAGGGGAAGCAGCAGGACTCTTACTGCCGTTGCTACCACCAGCGCTACCGTTGGTGTTGGCGTTGGGGATCCTGCCACAGCCAGGGTCAGTTATTACTTATTAGGGGCAGCAAGGAGGAGTCACGCGGCGAGGGGAGCACTCACGCGAACTTGCCAGCTGTCTGCTTCGTCACCGCAGCGGCAATGCCGCCATTTTCTTTGGCATGCTTCCTGTCCTTCTTGGAGGCTGGTCGAACAGTCATGGTCAGCTCCCCTTTGTTGCTGGGGCGCGTCGCGCTGGTGGTCCGGACGAGATGAGGGACCGGCGCGGGTGGAGGGGCGAAGATTAGAGGTACAACGTACAGGGCATTCAGCTGGTGTTGGGAGAGAGTCGGAGCAGTTCCCTGCCCCTAGAAGCGATCGCGTTTCCGCAGAACGTATATATTAAAAGGAAAGGGTCCGGTCGAGTAGTCGTCTGAGCAGCTATGTGTATCTCGGTCGAGTCGGTCGAGCCGATCGAGAGTCGTAGCAATGACGCAGAGAGAGAGAGGTTCACGCAGGACGAGGGGTTGATTAACAGGGAGGCAGGCGGTACCGTTCGGCGGTTACGAAGGAGCGGGGTGTGTTGGTCGTTGGGAGCGGCGCAGCCAGCTTCGTCGCGGACGTCTATAGAGTAGAAGAAGGAAAGAACGAGCAAGATGGATCGAGAGAGAGAGTGGGCAAAAGGAATCGAATTCGCTGGGTGATGCTGGTATCGTAGAGTCGTGCACAGTTTGGTTTGGTGATGAAGGGCGATGGACGGAGGAGCGTGTTTGGGCGCTGGAGGGGACCTAGTAATCCGAGGCGCGGCGCGGGTGCCATCATGTACCTGGGGTACCTGCGGTGGCCCTGCTGAGGGAACGCCGCGGGGGGGAGGGTAGCAACTGACGCAGGCTTCCGGGGGGGCGCTACGGGCGACGGGGGGAGGCCAGACGGCGGTGGACAGGGGGCCACATGTGCTGTAGCGTACTTGGATGGCGCTAGCGCCCAGGTGGCTCAGTGGGCGTTTGGTGCTCCATGTGCTGGATGCTCTGGTGGGGGGCCGGCTGAGGAGAGGGGGGCGTGTGGAGCGATAAGGCGGGCGGTGGAGGCTGGCACGGCGGCTGGCCAGTCGATAGCAGCGGGTACCTCAGGTACCTCCCATGACGCATGAAGGGGACGAATGTGACATCAATCATATCTCTCACTCCATGCTCCATGCGCCATGTTCCATGCTTCATGTACTTCGCACGGAAGACTCTGCACAGCCCAGCCCGCCATGTCAGGCACGTCGAACCGTCCAGCTGCCAGAGCAAAACGCTCGAGTCCGTTCCCGTCTCGGTCAGCGCCGACCACGGTAAGACACGCGCAGCAGGCGGCGGGGGCGCATGGAGCTCGCACTTGGTCAGCTCTCGCCGTCTCGGGGCGTGGCCGGGAGGAGGTGGATGTACGGTATGTACATGTTGCGCCGGGTGTACAACTGGTCACTGGTGCGCTGGCGGGCGGGGGAGGGGAGATGAGATGGCCCAGATGGGAACTCCATGGGAGAGACCGGAGAGGCTGGCGACGAGGAGGCCCGCGGGAGAGCGAGGGCTGTCAAGTTGTTTTCCTATCGGTATCTATCTGGTTCCCCAGGCCTCGGCGCGACATGGCGTATGACACGAACCACACTCCCGCTAGAGAACGAGCAGGCCTCTGGGCAATGGGCAATGGGCATTCGCTCCGGAGGAGGACGCGCCGACCGTTTCGAGGACCGCATCAGGTCGAGGGCTCTGGGGAGGCAACTTACTCCGTTTGGAGTAAGCCGTGGCCCTGGGTCCCAACTTCCAAGCGTCCATTACCGAGATTCCATCCGTCATCTATGATCCATCCTCCATGATCCAGTCTTCCCCTCCCCGGCCACCTGATTGAGTGCCGTGACCGCGGGTCAGGTGAGCCATGCCTCCTACGCAATGCTCGTGTCTCCCTTCATCTCCGCGACAGAGTCAAGACGCAAACCCAAAATATCGTGTGAATAGACCACGGACGGCCGCCCGAGGGGGGCGAATCAGCCAGAAACGGGAGCGACTAAAGTCAAGCGCCGCCATCTGTTGACCACAATACCAAACGTTGATGAAGCTCCCCTAAGACCCCCCGAACCCCGGGTGCTCGTAGCCAACGTGACCTCCACGGCCTGACTCCCCCCCTTGCTAACGGGAACGCGATGTAGCCTGGGGGATTTCCATCCCCTGCTTCCGTCTTCCATGAGCCGGCGTGGGAGTCAACCGTCCGTTCATTCGACGCCGCGCTCAACGCCCACCACATCCCATCGCCCCCGCATCGGGATGGCTCTCCTCTGAATACGCCGTCTCCACTATTCTGCCGGGTGCTAATGCAAGCAGGTGAATGTCAACGACGTCGAGCCTCAACAAACCTACCAAGCTCTGGTGGTTGACCACGTAAAATACGGAACAACAGTTCCTTAGTCGCTTTTGTTCAATGAACTAGCTACAAGGATAATGATAACAAAGAGCAAAAGAATGGCGGCAGATGCACAACAACTTCTCCCGTTTAGCCCGGTTCCGGAGCCAACTGCCGTTACTACCACTGAGTCACCTTTCGGGCCTTGCTGTGAAGGTGGCGCTCACCCAAGGGTCTAGACTTTGTTTTCAGCTTGGATAATTGACCGAGCAGGAATATGCAATAACAATAATGCATTTCTTAGTTGTCCATCGGTTGAAATACCCCGCCACGGTCTGGACGCAAGGGCAACCAATGCGAAAGCGACGGCTATGTGCCTCACCTCATGATTTGGCAAGCCCGACCTCGATGACGTTATAGACTTTGTCGCATATTTCGATGAATTGCCTGGCAATTTCATTCGTACGGAAAAGGTAGAGGAACTGTGGTATCGGTGATCGTGATGATAACTTGGTGATAGTATGGACGTTGATCACAATAGTGTAAGTCCCCGCTGATGCGAGCATCATAAGACCCGGGTGTTCTTGTCGGTTATTATTGACGATTATAGTAAGATAAGGGCAGGTGCACTTCGGTTTCAAGCATCAAGGCGTAGCATTAAACGAAAAGGTCATGGTCTCCTTAATAAGTTAGGCAATGCCAGCTTGAGTACGGGGGCTCAGGGGATCCCAAGCACTCCACAATCTCAATAAGATATACTAGAGCACGACGTGGGTAACAGTTGTCTAATGAATTGAAGGTAATTGTTTAGTACGTAAAACATAACCAAGGGGTATTCCTCCATTCCAGGCGTTGGTTTCCTGCCATCAGGTAGCCCACGGAAGAGCTCCTTCATATCCCATCCCACAGTCCAAATGAACTATAGCCGCAGTGTATCTTTGACTCCCTAACCACCCTCCCAAACTCCCAGTCTCCATACCATACCAAATCAACTTACATTCTCACTCCCCGGGCACTAACCTCCCCCTTCTCCCCAATGTTAAGCAGCACTCGACAGTCAGGGCAATACCACTTAGTCGTTCGTGCCGGAATGTCCGATAATTCGACGCACTCGAGGTGGAACCATTCCTGTTTACAGTTCTGTGTGGTGATTAGTTCTTTGTCGGGCCGGCTGGGCGTTGTTCTGGTCGACGTTGAGGATGGGGAGGCGCTTACGTCCATGTTATCACATTGAATCATGGTGCCGAAGCTGACTCGGTTGCAGAGACAGTACCGGTCCTCTTCTGGATCGATCGGGTTTCCCTCGTCGTCCACCTCCTCCATCTCTGTTTCCGCTAGCCCCTTGTCCTTCCTCGCGCGCGCCTTCTTCCGCGGCGCGGCCTTTCGCTTACCTACAGCACTGTTCCCGCCACTGTTCGTGGTGCTAACAACGCCGGGGGCGGGACGCTTAGTTCGCTTGTTGGGAGGCCGGGGCTCCGGAGCGGGTGTGTTACGAGCGGTGCTCGCCCGCCGTGGTCGGTCGGCCGCTAACGAGGGCTGTGGCTCTTGGCTCATAGCTTTACCCCGAGAGCTGGGTCGACGGGAGGAGAGGCCGTCGGGCGCGGGAGTTGTCCGAGGAGTCGCGGCTCGTGAGGAGGATTGCTTAATAACCGGTTCAGGGGCCTGGGAAGGCTGTCGAGGCTGGACCACGATGGGCGTCTGGTGCTGCTGCTGCGTCCGTTTCGCTGCTTCGCCGCGAGTTTCCCGCTTGCTCGTCTCTCGTGTGGGCGTCTCTCTGACCGGGGGCAGCACCGGTGTTGCCGACTTCCGCTGCTCGGAGGCGGGAAGAGGGACCGGTGTCTCTGCCGGGGGTAGTTTAACAGGGATAGAAGTGGTCACTGTGTTAGAGTTAGATGCACTCGGGGTTGGGGACGTCGCTGCTCGAGCGGCCGCGGACGATCCTTGAGGAGGGATGGGGAGAGGGACGGGGGTTTCGGAGTGCGTCACCACCGTAAATTCGGCAGGAGTCGACAGGGCATTGGAGGAAGATGAGTTTTCGGGAGTTGGCACCTTGCTATGGTTAATCGAAGGATGATGAGGAGGCGGGATTGGCGTCTCGGTTTTGGTTCGTTTGGTATGTGGCCGCGAGGATGGAGTTTCCGCCGGTTCTTGAATATCGGGGACGCCTTCGGGCTCCGCTTCCCTCTTGCGTTTCGTCGATCGCGAGGCTGTCCGCGATTTTCCGCCTTTTGCGCCAGATGCTGTCTCTTTGGGGGCTTCAGATGCAGAAGCGTTTTGGTTACCGTTGCTGCCGAAGAACAACTTGGCTGTCTCCGCCATCTTCCTCGCAGACTCTTCGGCCTCTTCAGCTGCAAGTTTCGCGAGTGCCTCCCTCTTGAGTTTCTTGGCCTCGTTTAGCTTCATTCCCCTGTTGCTTGTGGGAACTTCCTCGGCTGCCAGGGTGTCGGCACTAATGGCTCCAGCGGGTAGCTGTTGGGTTCCGGATTCTTCGTCGACTACGGGTGTGGGGACGGGAGGTGAGAAGGACTTTCCCTCCTCCTCAGCCTTCTTCTTAGCCTCTCTGAATGCGTCCGGGCCTCGACCCAAGGCCTTGAGTTCTCTTGCGATCATGGTCTCGCTGGGTGTCCACGTTGCGTTTTTCTTCATGCGCTTCCGGAGCTTTGCCAGCTCGTATTGCGTGAGCTGCAGCCATGGCGCATCTGGACTACCCAGAACTGCGTTTTCTGGCGGTGGGTGAAGCAGGGCCGCGGCATTGGCGGCTGCTGCTGCGCTAAGAGCTGCATTTGGATATTGAACTGGGCGCGCGAGACGGCTCGGGGTCTTTGGAGTTTTATTGTTGGTAAGCTTAATTCGGGCTTGGGGCGCTGGGGTTCGGCGCGGCCCTGGAGTATCAGATTCTTCGTCGGAGCTCACGTCGCTCTCGTCGGTAAAAGTGTCATACTCGAGATCATACGGCGCCAGGACCTCGCCGGGAACCACTATCCGAGGAACTTGCTGTCGCTTAACCTTCTGGCCTCCTTCCCCTCCAGTCCGCACGCCCAACTTGGCTCGCATCATCTGCGGCGACTTGGGGGCCACGGGGCTCTTCGCTTCCTCGGTCGGATAGTTGTCCATCATGGTCTGCAGCTTCGACAGCAGCACCTTGGCCTTGTTGTAATGCCTGTGCACATTTTCCGACATCCTCATGGCTTCGGAGTGCGCGAAGACCCTGGAGCTCACTGCCTGGTTCAGGTGCTCCGATATGTCAGCCCGCAGCTGGACCGGCGAGGGACGCTCATCGGCCGTGAGGCTAGGCAGGCGGCCCCATACGGTGGTCAGGTCGTTGACTTTGTACGAGGCCTCCGCGTAAGTCTGGTCGAGCTGGCCGATAAGCGTCAGAGATCGAACAACGTCGGAGGGCAGGTACTCGGTGAAGTCGAGGAAGTCGGTAACGGTCGTCTGCGCATCTGGGTCTGCGCGAGCCTCGAGGGACGCGATGCCGTTGCCTATCTGCCCGAGCGACTGCGTAACCGCATGCGTCATCGAGCTCTGGTGCTTGGGAGAGATGCCTTCCATTGCGGAGCCCTCGTCGTCGTTGCCTGGTGCAGCATGCGAGGTGTTGGCCATGGCAGCCATCTTCGGTTTCAGTCTTCAACCCTGAGCTGCGAGCTCCGAGCGGCGAGGCGCAATGAACACGGCGACACGGCGCAACCTAAATCATGCGTGTCGCAAAGTGCAATTCGAGGAGTCCGCTGTGCGACGTCGGCGTCGGCGATGCCATCTGCTGGCGGCGCGGCTGCTGAGGCGCGTCGGAGAGCTGGAGCTGTCGTTGGTGGGCACGTTTCCCTCTGGCGCGAGCATGCCGGTACGTCAACAAGTAACAAGTACGTTAGGCACGCCAGAGTCAGCGGACCAGGAACAGGCGCTGGCCCGTGCGCGTGCAACCCAATCGAGGGGAGGTCATGTGATGGCTGAGTCATCTAATCCACACCATTTCCGGGTGGTATCAGCGTCTCGGCAGCTAGGAAGGACTCAACTAATCAACTTCACGTCCAATCCTCCGTTGATGGGCAGGCTATTCACAACCTCCGCCACTTGAAAGTCCTGCAGCTAAAGATAAAGAATCCAATCAATGGTCTTCTTTAGCGTCATCCGCTTGGGTGCGCATAAATGCAACCCTCCCCTCATCCGTTAGCTAGCTTAATTTGAGTCGGGATTCCTACCATCGGTTTTAGTCCGCGAGTCAACCTTACCTGAACTCACCATTTAACCTAGATCCCTCTAAATCTCCGCATGTGTCTCCACGCACGGCGTGACAGACCCACGCCGGACGGAAACTTTGTCTGCATGGTACGCGGGTTCGAGCAAGGGCCAAGGGTGGTTATTCTAGATTGCCGTTGTCCTTGAACGCCTTGAGCTCAATCAAATATCCACGTCATAGTCGGCTCTCGGGGTACTGGGTTGACCGCCGCAAATTGATCCTTCGCGTCATCGTTCCGTGGCCCCCACGGCATGTCATTGAGATTCTGCCCACAGTGGATATTTGGTGTTGTGTGATGTACATGTGAATTCGTGTCTTGAATCTATGAAGTGACGAGGCATGATGTTGCCATCCTTGATGCTGTTGAATGAAGAGTCTATCTATTGTCCCATGACGCCGTTCCCTGTGATATCCGACTTTCGTGCCTGCCGTAAGTCTAATGCTTGCTAATCCATACCATCATATGAGTGGAAACTCAATCATCCTGCTTCGTAAATCATTCTGGAGACCCAATGATGCCTCATGCTCTCTACCAGTCCCAGTCGGCTTCATGCTCTCTCCTGACGACTGGTCCAGCAATCTGTTCAGGCTCCTCTGCGGAATACCAAGAATCCGACCCGATCAGGGTCACAGACCCGTAGACGACCAGGCGTCTGCATCTCCTATACATGTAGTTAGCGTGATGTCCTTCCATCCGAGTAGTAGAGCTCCTCGTGGTCGTACAGTGTTCCTTCAATGCTTAAGTTTCCGTAGATCTCCAGGTCTGTTCCCTCCAGCGAGCCCACGACCTTGAGCTTGCCAGATCCCTTGATCTTGTCACTGTCATGGTGTCAGCGTCGGGTTCCTTCTCGGTCGAAGTGTAATTGGGAATATTTACTTGGCAATGAGGTAGCCATGGACGCTTATGTTTCCGTACGCCTTGATTCTGCCACTGTTTAGGGCATTGATTAGCAGATGTTCATCAAGAAAGGGGTTGGGTTATGTCTACTAACCCGCAGTTCAAGCTGCCATTGATGAAGATGGCACCGTAGGCCTCGAGCTTCTCCCTGACCATGACGTCTGAGGTTAGGTTGACACCGCTTCCAGACTTGATAGAGCCATCAACGTAGATGGGGCCCAGGAGATCGACCTGGTGGTCGCTCTTGACACTCCTGGAACGCCTATAGCCTGGGGGAATCGACATGGCGAGGGAGTGGATATTATGTTGTAAAGTGGGTGGTCGAGATGTTGTTGTTGCTGTTGTTGCTACTGCTGTGTTGTTTGCTTTGCAGTGGTTGCTTTGTTGGATATGTTCGAGTTGTGCTGCAGAGTGTCTTCTCGGAGGGACTCGTCCATGTCTTATACCTGAGCGATGCTTCTGTCAGTGGACTCTGGAGGCTCCAGCAGCAACTTGGTGCGAACTGCGGCTCAGCCCATAAGGCTCACATCGACCAACACATACCAGTCATTACTCACATCAAAACAGGCACGAGACACCCTTCGCCTGGCCGTCGTACGGGGGCATTGGGGGGGTAAACTCTGGCGGGAGGGAGAGGAGAAAAGCCCTGCCAAGGGTCCCCTCGTCCTGCTTTCCACTTTGGAAGAAGTATCGAGCCCGGCATGTTTTGTTTGCACGGGAAACCCGGTCAAGCGGGGCGGTCCTTCGATCGCCCCGAGTCGAGCAGCGGAGGTGAGACGAGACGAAACGAGAGATCGCTCCATAGTGCGTCGGTCTAGGAATCCAGGGCTCCATGGCAGGGCTCCACGGCAGGGCTCCAGGCATCTCATGTAGGCGGCAGGCCTAAAATCGTGCAGTCTAGGTGGGAAGTGGGAAACGTGGGATGGGTCGTGTCGACTTACACCCACTACACCCACACCGGCTGCGAGGCGGAGCGGGTGGGGAGGAGGTGCCCAGTTTGACTGCGCAGGAGTCCTAACTTCGGCCTCGACACTCAACAGGACTCGGCCGGGCAGCCTCATTGTAGGGCTGCCGCGTGCCTGTCATTGCCTTATTTATGCCTGCAATTACCTGCAATTACAAGGGTGTTTTTCAATCAATGTGTGCCTTTTGGTGGACACGGGTCCATGGCCCACGGCCCCATCCCCATCCCCATCCCGGGGCAGAACGGACGCCGGCGGGCACAGGGATGCCGTGTGTAAGGTATTAGGTAGGTAGCGAGGCGCAGTTCTGGCGCCCTTGTACCTGTAAACCAGCGCTGCACACTCCGTACAGACGCAGCAGACCGTCTCCCACGCGCGTCAGCTGCTTTAATTACATCGTGCTTCCCGTACCAACTGCTTGGGTCGCAGCGTTGCGAAGTCGCAGAGCCGGAGCTGTAGAGCTTCTGGTTGGCGGCTGAGGCGTCCGGATGGTCCACAGCCGCCCGGGGCGTTTGGATTCATGGATGCCCTCCACTTACGGCACACTCACACACACACGCATGTCACACACCCCATATTCTCTCTCTCCATCTTCTCTCTCCATCTTCTCTCTCCATCTCTCTCTCTCTCTCGATTTTCCTCTGCTTCTCTTCTCTCTCTCCGTCCATACGGACGCACCCAAAGACACGCGCACTCACTCTATCTCGGCATGACTCCCCCCCTCTTGGTCACAATGCCACTCACACCAATCCATCCATAACCCTGGAAGCCTACTTATCTGTACAACCAACTCACATCGTCCAATCCATCTCGCAGGTTGTCCCACATAACCCAGCCCTACGGGCGTCACGCCTCAGGCCTCTTCAGCGGGCACGTCTCTTTTTGGCTTGGCAAACTTCTAATTTTGTTTCACCTCACTCGCTCAACCGACATCAAGCTGCATTATCCAATCCTTAGCCCTCAACTCCCCCTCCACCACCAATCAACCCATGTCCCCCGCGGCTGCCTTGGGGTTGACAGCCTGCAAGCCACGGTTCAGCACCCGACAAACAAGGGTCGGGCGCTGGCGAATCAGGCTGTCGGGCCTCGGTGACCGTCGTTCAGGGTGCGATGCCCTTCCCTGCTCAGCTGCATCGATCGATGGTCATCATCCACTGTACCTCCTCCTCTCGGGTCATTCTCCCAGCAGTCACCCGAGGATCTTATCGCCGTGTTTCTAATTTCAGCACTGTAATTGAGAAAGCGGGGGAACTAGAACTCCATCCGTCATGTTACATCCGTAACTGTAGGTAAGTAGACATAGAAAATTGGGTAAAGTGTAAAGACGCCATCCCCTCCTAATCACGGAGGCGTACTCGAAAACAATGAGTACACGACGAAAACGAGGCAATCCCCCGGTGACTAAAACTAGATAAGAACCAAATCGCCGGGGCTCCGCCTCATCGGGCCCATATCGTCCCATCCCATCTTGCCCCTTCTCCATTCTCCCTCGCCCGGGGATAATCTTGTCCCGATTCGTCTCAATTTCTCCATCTTACACGGACGAATTCAAATCTGATCCTCCCGAACCTCCGGCTCCACCCCTGGCCACCCCCGGCCACCCCGATGTAACCTCAAAACAAGCCTTACCATAGCCGCAAGGCTGATCCGGTCCGGGGCGTCGAGTAATCAACTAATCACTCGCCGCCGACGAAGCCCAGCCCGACGCCTGAGCATAGGGCTGCAAACGCCCAGACGCCCGCGTAGGCAGCGGCACCCAGTGGCTCGACACCGTACACCGTCTTGGAGCTGGCGAGGTACGTGTTGACGGCGGACACGAGCACGGCCACCGCCGTGCGCCGAATGACCACCTTGGTCTTGGCCGTATAGCCCCAAGCGTTCCACCAGACCGTCTCCCCAAGCGACGCCTCGACGGGATCAAATGCAGCGACTTTGTCGTCCTCCTTGACGTGGCCGGTCGTCGCGAACGGCGCAAAGATGAAGGTGCTGGCCGCGATGCCGAAGACTGCCGTCACGGGTAGGATGGAGGTGTAAGAGGCGGCGTACGCAGGCTCGATGGTGGGCAGGTTGGCGAAGTAGACGACGAGGACGCGAGGCAGGATGAAGTGCATCGATAGGACCAGGACGACCGAGTAGATTCCAGTCGATAGCGCCGCCGTGTACAGCTGAAGCGCCACGTCGAGGAGCTCGCGGTTGGGGAGCTTAGCCGCGGCTGAGGGTGTATGCACGGCGGAGAGCGGGCGGAGCAGGTAGAAGGGTGCGGCGACCGAGGCCATGTCAATGAGTAGAGCATAAAGCGCCGTCGACGGGCTGAGGTTGTAAAAGGTCGAGAGGAGGTAAAACTGGTCGACGAGTTAGAATGTGCGCGCCTCCCGTGCTTCTCATTCCACGAAGCAGACGTGGAGGAGGGGTAAACTGACGTGAGGGCCATGCGACAGCAGATCCAACATGGCAATATCCAAGCTATCAAGCTTGCCAAACCATCCTAACGCCAACTGGATTCTGTTGGACAGCGAAGAACCACACTCGTCAGCTCATCATTCCTTATCTATTGGGATATCGTCGCGCATCCGCTCAAAGGACTTACCCTCGCCACCCCGCCAACAAGCCCACCTCCTCCCACGTATCCTGGCTGCGACTGACGGCAGCGAGCTCGCCCTTAGTCACCTCGCCAAGCAGGCTGTACCCTAGACTCGCCATGGAGAAACTGAGGACGACCACCAGCGGGAACTGCACCGCGACGGGCAGCGCAGAGCTGCGAGTGGAGAGCGGCACTGACAGCGACGACTCCGCCGAGGATGGGGCCGGCGCCTCGTCTCCGGCGTCGGCCGGGTTCGCGGGAACTTGTCGCTGGGTCGACATGTTAGACAGATGATAAGCTCTTTGGCGGTGCAGTGCAGTGCAGTGACGCAGCCTGGGTTCGCTCGTCAGCGTCGATGGGGGAGGTTGGCAAAAAGAGGGACAGATGTGTTTTCCGAATAAGCAAACACGCAACAGTTCAAAGTGTTGGTTTGCGACGGAAGCACAACGCGATGAGGTAATGCCGCTGTGGTTTAGGCGCATCTGGACGGCGGCTTCAGTGGGGAAAATAGGAAAATAGTGACGTCGGGGGTCGCTAGGGAAACACTCCGCACCGATAATCAGTGACTTGCAGCCCAGTAACTTACAGCGCTCTTCGCCAGTGTCCACTATACCATCTTCTCCCTCACCCAAAGTGCTCCATCCTTGCGGCCCACTCTACTCTGCTCGAGCAGGCTAGCTTCCAGAGTCCCTCCCAGAATCGAAATTTTTGCTTTTCTCTTTTCTTCCCATTCCACCAAGCTTTCAGGAAGAGAATTTCATCCCCAAGGAGAGGGACAGTCTCGTCGATTTCACTTCGCTCTTCTCCTCTTTATCCCTCTCTAAGCCTGGAGTCAATGCCTCATCTCATCCCTGCGCTTGGTGTGACCTCGTCCGTGTGGTGTGACAGGATGGCCTCTTTCTGATTCTTCGCTGTCGGCCTCCAAACTCCAATCAACCAACGGCCGCCATGAGCTCGTCATTTACCCTTCTCAGTCGTGTTTGCTTTCACGCTTCATCGTCATCCTCTCCTCGTCCGTATTTGCATCCACGGGATCTCGTGTTTCACGTCAGAATCATGTTCGTTCATCATAATTTCCTTGCCATTTGGTAGGTATTTATTCGGGCGTCCGCTCGACGCCTCTCCGGATCTTCACTTTAACCTCGTGGCGATGCAATCTCGTCTGTGACGTCAAACCCCAAGATGGGCGACGTAGACGGGCCCTCCACTCTTCGGTGCTGAAGATCGGCGGCGGAGCTGAACCACCTCATACAGTCACAGTATATCGTGATACAAAAGAGACAACGCGCCTGTCCTTCGACGTCATCCAATAAAATCCAACTCCAGAGTCAACTTGCCCGACCCAAGAGATACTCCGTCCCAATCGTTATATAAACCCGGTATTGATGGTGCTGTCAACCAATTATTCCTCCATGCGTCCAAAAACTCCGTCGTCCTCTTCTTCGCTGCGGCCACGAGAGCGCATGTCAAAATCATCGTCGTCCATTACAGACTCGCCGCTCTCTTCCATTCTGACGTCCTCGCTGGGTCGTCGCATCTCCCCACGCGTGAAGCTCTCAGGCTGTCGGCTCGGGTAGCTGTTGATGAAACCAGCCACAGACAATGGAGTGGCTTGGTCAAGGTACTGCGCGGGCAGTGGTGGAACGGGAGGCGCATCGGATGGGAGTGTCACAGTCCGAGAACCATTGTTGCTACCAAAGCTGCAGCTGAGCAGCTCAACCGCCGCGGCCAGGTCTCTGTCGTCCTGGCCAGTCGCGTTGCGTCCAGAGGACGGTGGTCGAAAGTCATTGCTGGGCTGACGGAAGTGTCCGAAGCCCGAGCCGTGCGGGGCACTACCAGTGCCAAATGAGCCGGCGGATGGAGCAGACTGGTAGCTCCGGGAGAAGCCACCGCTGCTGAACCGCTTGTTCCGGTACGAAGTGCCATTGACGTTGAGTCCTTCCCCGGCCGGGGGTGGGGTCGTGTCTGCCGAGCTCTGGCGTTCGGCAAGGTCCGAGTATCCCGACGCCGCCGGCGACGAGGATTCGCCTTCGCTAGGGAAGTCCTTGGCGGAGTCAGGAGGAGTCGTCGACTCGGCAATCCCGTTCATGGCAACCAAAACGGATGCGGCCTCCAGCAGCTGCACTTGTTGGTGCTTGGAGATGAGCAGCTTCGAGGTGAAGGACCATTCGGGAGTGTGCTCCCACCTAACCAGCAAGTCAACAAATATAGTTCATACAGGCGCGCGCTCTCAACATCGAACGTCAAGGCCACCGGGCTACATCTTCATCGGACGAGGATAGTGGGGTTGGGCACGACAAAGGGGAGGGGTACGAACAGATGCTTGGTCAAACAGCTGCTATGCTTGTAGCCCTTGCCACACTTATCGCAGCGAACCTCCGCTCTGTTGCTCTTCTTGCCATCCTTGGAAAGGGGCTGGCCGTCGCTAGCACGTCTTGTGCGAGCCTTCTGGAACTTGGTGGTTCCCTCGTCGGCCGAGACGTCGTTCGGATCGTCATCGATGGCACTCCCGTTGAGTCCTCGCTTCACATCGACAATCGACTTGTGGGACGGTAGGCTCGCTGGCGGAGAGGGGAGGCTGCCCACGATGGCAGCCCGGGCAGCGGCGCTCTTGGACATTCGGCGACCGTGAGCAATGGGCATGGCAGCAGACCGTTCACCCTCTCGGATGGCGGCGGCCAGGGCTGCCACGTTGGACCCCGGGTTGGTGACGGACTTGCGGCGAGTCACTCGGTGGTTGGCATTGAGGGCACCTGTGAGGAGGGAGTGGGAGCTGGCTCGAGCGTGGGGTTGACGGCCGGTCAGGCCCGACGAGGCACTCGACATCGGGGAACGGTGTTGCGTCAATGGCCTCGAGGACTGCTGCATTTCCTGAAAAGGAGAAGGGGTATCAGCACATCTGGGCCTTTCGTGGGTGGGAGCAAGCTGGCATGGCACGGCATCAAGTCAAGGCAGGGCAGGACCAGGTGACTCGGGTCGATCCCCGAGGGCGGCAGCGTACTTTGGATGAGGCCATTGCCGGCAACTTGGAATACGCTCGGGATTCGACACGACGGGAGTCGGTCGACCGCGGGCTAGACGTGGAGATTGGTGCTGTAGCTTGCTCTTTGCCGGTGGTTTGTGGGCGGACGGTGCTGGACGGATGTGTAGAAAGTGGTGAGAGGCAAGGTCTCGCGAGAAGTGTAGCAGAGCGGACGAGAAATAATATTTTGGGAGGAGCACTGAGCCAGGGCGTGTGTGTGTGGCAGTGCGGGGGCGAATGTAGCAGTTCCGTGTCGAGAGTATCCTGTCTATGTGAATTGACGCCTGTGCGATTATCGGGACTTGGGGAGGAATGACTGTGCGGGCTGTACCGTATCTCGGCTGGTTCGTTCCCTATGGCCATGGAAATCGAACCAGCGAGGGGGACTTGAGGGAGCCAAGGCCCTGGACCGGTTCCAACGCCTTCCACCAGGCGCTATCCTGGTGCTGTGCTCGGGGGTGCGTCCTTGGGGGGCGGCCATTCGATAGCGGCAGGTGGGGAGGGTGACTCTGGGTTATTGGTCCGCTGACCCCCGTCGATCATCAGAACGATTGAGGTGCAGCAGGAGAGGAGGGAGGATAGCGTAGGGCAGGGGGCGTTCAGCAGAGAGCAGAGAGTGGCGTATGAAGGAGGGGCGTGTGTCTGGTGTCTCGCTGGGGACCGGGGATGGCGATTAGAGGCCAGATGGAGAGTCGTAGTGGGCTGTCGAATGGGGCTTAGCGATGGCTCTCCTCTGGCTGATGAAGGGCCACGTCCACACCACTGTGGACAAAGCAGCAGGCAAGGGACGGGCACTGTATCAAGGTACTCCGCCAGGTACTCCTCACTGTTGGCCCCGTACCGCACCCTGAAGCCCTGCTTGTTTCCCGTTTCCCACCTCCCTCCAATGCTCCGTGCCGCTTGCTTAGCCTGTGCCCTCGCACAGTACCGTACCTAGTATGCAGCAGCTCCTCCTCCTCACTCGTGCTCCACGTCCGGTACAGGCAGGCCAGCAGGTACTATAGGCGTGCGGAGGCGGAGGAAGGGTCAAGTCACGAAGGAGGGATCGAGGAGCCCGGAAAAGTCGCATCCGTACGCGTAGACATAAGAGTGAAGGTTGACAGGTCTGAGCAGTCTGTGGTGCCCTTTCGGCGGGACAGTCGTTCGTTGTCTGTTGACAATTGCAGCTGGAAGTTTGCCATTCCTTCATTCTGGGCTGATTCGTCACCCGACTCTGGCAGGACCTCATTCTCTGGTCGTATGCCTTTGCTTCTGCCTCCGTTCCGAGACTGGTCCCGTGGCCAGACTACCACAAGACCCGGGCACCGCGCGGGGGTGAGAGAGCCCATCGAGATGGAGCTTGCCCCCGGGTCTGCCGAAGTTGTGCCTGTTCCATTCAGTCTTTCACCTCTCACACTGGGCGGAGGGCTGCATTGACACACAATGCTGGAGCGGGCGGACGGGGGGTGTTGCCCGATGAAACCCAGAGCGGGCAATAAATAGAAGGGGCCCAGTCACAGCCGACGAAACAACAGAGGGCGTTTCCAGTGCGAGGGCTCGAACAACAAAGGCGGGTGGCTCTCGTGTCAGTGAACAACGGAATCATTTGTGGGCTCCGCGCTGGCACGAACCAGGACCGAGACCGCCTTTCATCTGGCCGTCATTCTTGACTTTGGAGTTCGAGTGAGGAGGAGTGCGGTGCTGCTGGTTGTATCTCCTTGCTTGCATTCGGTTAACACACTGTTCCCTAGCCGGGGGTGGGCGCGTGTCGCAGCCGTCCTGTGACCAGAATCACAATCCTAGACACACTCGCTCTGTTCGCCGCGTCTCTCATCCGTACTGTACTGTCGGTCCGTACTGTAGATTACAGCTGTTTCTTCACGGTGAGGTGCAGTGGATTCGTACTAGCATCCCGCCCGTGACCCCCATGAAAGCTCCGCTTCGTTTGGGGTGGCTCGGTCAGCGTAGGTCTGGTATAAGCCCACAAGCCCTTGCGGTTGACTGTGCGCAGCCAGCTCTCATGAAGCAGGCAACTGCTTTTGCCTAAGATAGGCGGAAGCGAGCGAGGATCCGCAGTTAGTAGCATTATCCGAAGCAGGTAAGTCTGAAATGTTGGCGAGACCGAAAGGAGCTCCCGCCCGAGTCGCGAGGCTCGATGGAGCTTGAACGTTACATGTTTGAGGCGGAGTTGAGTGTCGACGAAAGTGAGCGCCCGGCATTGGGTAGTGATAGCGAAGTGAACCAGGATTATGGGAGTGGATGATTCACCATGCGCTGGATTAAACCGATATTCTGTGTGCCTGGAGAGACATCGCAACCCGAGAACCGAGAAAATGGTTAATTTGTGAAGCAAGGGAGCACACACTTCTGCGGGCGGAATTACCAGACATGTGGTTTTGGCGCAGGTACGGTGCCAACCGTCAGCCGTCAGCCGTCAGCCTCTCTCATCAGCCGTCAGCAGCTGGCCACTGTCCAGTGGAATGTATAAAGTTTTGATCCAAAGCAATGTACTGAATTGTGCACCGCTAGTCTACATTAGGATATACTGCATTCCCATCTGAAGGGTTAGGACTCGGGTTAGGATAAACATCCTGGGCTTATACTCTAAAATAAATAAAAAGAACTTACTATATATGATAAGTTGAATACATATTGTATAGACCGTTTTGGATACAATGTAACTTTTGCTATAATTTTATTCTGCTATTTAAATAGAACGTAAGGTAAATCAGCGAGCCGATGCAGTACATGACTTGGATCGGGACTTTATGCATCCCCGATATCTGATGCCCGCCCCGCCTGAAGGCCCCTGGAGCAATGCCCATGTGCTCTGTTGGCCGCATCTAGTAGGCGTTCGTGCTCGCTCGCTGGCCCTGCCCTACCAATTAACCCTGCCCTGCCAAGCTTTGCAAACTGCCCAACGCCCTGATCTGATCTGATCGGGTCGTCCCTCTTCACAGCCGTCGGGGCAGCTAATTGCCCTTTCTGGCCCTCGCCCGGCGACTTTGTTGGGGTTTGATTGTGTGATAAAGTCGGCCCTCGCCTGAGGGGACCCGAAGAGACGGGCAGAGTTCCCGATGGCTGTGTTGTGCAGCACTGAACCGGGCCACGGCTGATGGCGGCAGACGCCACATGAGCTTCAGCGAGGCTTCCAGGCTTCCTGGCTTCCAGGCGGGCGCAGGTCGGCACGGAGGATCCAGATATCCGCCTTCCTGAATCGAACATAATTTGTGCCATTTGCGTGTAACCTAGGAAGCAGCATAAAAGACTGGTCTATTCATGTTGCTGAGCTCGCTGTGTTACCTTGCCCCTCCATGCCCAGCATACCAGGGCCCACGTTCTCGTTTTGCCAGCCGTGGTGCATGCTGCCATCATGTTTCCATGGCGTGCTGGCTGGCTCCCTAGCGGCCACTGGTCCCGTCCCAGCCCATTCCAGGGCGTCTGGGCGTGCTGGTAGTAAATTCGGCCCCAAAAGGAAGCATCCCAATGGGCTTAGTTGCATGCCCCGCCCTGGATACCCTGGGGGGTTGCGCCCACGGCGAGGGGTTGTCCCACATCCATCCGCCCAGTGCGGCAAAGCGACGAGACCACCGCCAGCGATTCACAAGGTGCGTCCCGCAAGGTGAGTCGTCAGCTGGGGCGTGCCACCGCTGCCACCTTGGCCGGACACAGTCTCGACGACAAATTTAGCTGCCACCGCAATTTTAACCTTGGAGCACGCCTGAACTGCCAGGCGCCTGGACATTATCAAGGGGGTAAGCCTTACAAAGGGGCAAAGCAAGACGCGACCAGCAAGGGGAAACAGGTGCTCACTAATTATCCGTCATCAAGAGAAGAGAGCGTGCTCACCAATGATCCAATGCGGCTCGGATCAAGCGCTCAATGCTCACTCGCGATCCACCACCCTTAATTACTCTGCAGCCTGGGTCCAATATCAGTAAACCATCATCGCACTGTGCCCCTCTCTTCTCGCGCTTCTCACGTAAGGCGGGCGAATAATCATGGATGGGTGGATGGAAGGATGGTGGCTGTTGGCTGTTGGTGGCTGTTGGTGCCCTACTGTCGGCTTGACTGGCGCTGGCACCGCAATTGCGAGATATACAAGCGCTCGCCTGAAGGCACTGCAGTGCTCCAACAAACAGCACTTCGTTGAGGTATCGTGAGAGGTCTTTATGCGGCTGGCACTAGGCAGAGATACCCAGATAGTCCGATGCACATAACACACACCAAGCCCAAAAGGCGGGCATCCATGCCGCGGTGGGCAATAGCTCCATCACTGGTTTGGGCACCTGATAGACTGTTGGGGTGTGCCTGAATATGGTCAGCTGGATGTGTCAAGATCCGATTATTGCAAGTAGCGAGTCGGTCGGTACGTACTCTGTATGTCTGGGTTCCCTCGAAGGCAGGTTAGTGCGTGAGGGGAAAGCACAACGGAAAGATGGTTAGCCATGCCGAAATGGCCTTCCCAATGTAGCGCACTCCATTACTGTTCCTAGGAAAGGGAAGGTGTCCAACGAGGAAACTAGAGACGATGGACTTGCAATGAGTCCCTTCCCAAGGCACAGGGCTCCCTCAATATTTCCCCCTCCTGTCAATTAATTAAATCGACGATCACTTTCGGCACGAACCGCACCAAATAGGGAGGCTGAATTAAAGCCTCGGGATGTCCAGCATTCGTTCCTGACTATCTGCCTTGGTGGACCTTCTTGTTCAGATAACGACTCGGCGATCTGCTCGCCGGAACCACAATTAACAGCACAGCTCCCTTGGCCAGATCCTAGTAACCGGGACAAAACAACCAATGGCACCATGCCCATCGGTGACTCTTCTGCAGACCATCTTCGAGCAGCAGGGACATCGGGATCAAAGGATTCAACCGAATCTTGATGGATCGAAAAGAAACTGCCTGGTCAGATACCATCGTCATCACTCGTATTACAAAAATAAAAAAATTCAAGCCCAGGGACAAAATCGACGACGTCATTAACTTTATAGCCCTAGCCCACCCCGTGTGACCACACAAGCCTTTTCCTCTTATTTACCTCGTTTGATCAATCACTAGACCGGACCCCGTCTGGGGCAGCATCGGCAGAAATAGCATCGAAGTCCGGCCTTTTGGTCCGGTTGTAAGCTTGCCGCCAGAGGCCAATCAGCGTGAGATCTCAACTCTCCACACTCTCGCAATCATGATAGTCAATGAGGAGCCATGAGCTGGACGCACAGCTGCCGTCTTAGGTTACCGAAGTGTGGTCGTCGGACATGCAGCAGCTGAACTGCCGATGGCGACCCGAGACGTGCTTGGTTCAGCTTTTCTCTCGGTATCTTTCTTCTGCACCCCTCGATTTCTCGCATCCAGTACGCATGCAGTGTCTCGCGGATGGCGATCCGGGGTGCGCCTCCTCCCCGCCAAAGGACACATTGAATAGGCCGAGGCCAGTGGCCCACCGGGCGCTCCCTGTTCGAGTTTGGCTCGCACCTGGACGACATTGTCGGCTGAATGACAGTTGGGGCCGAGTGGATATGGTAGCTGGGTTTATCAGAAGCATGGAGCCTGTCACACGCCTTTGGACGGGGCGTGAAAGCCCTCTTCAAAGGGCTTCACGCCGCAGGACCCATCATGGGGCACCCGTGGGACTCGGGGAATAGACTGGCGCGAGCCGGGTGACTCCGCTGTCATCATGATGAGCGAAGTCCGACAACGGCACAACTTTTTTGGTGGTTCCCAACTTTTTTTTTTTTTTTTTTTTTTTGGTTTGGTCCCCCCTCGACTGGCCTTCCCGACACGTCGTCGGCCCGTTGCCGTTGCAAGCCAACGTCGGGGAGTCGGGAAAAGCTGATCTCTGCTGGTGGCAATTGCGAAGCCAATACTTCGTACGGAATGTCGGGCTTCCGGCAACGCTACCGCAAGCCGACAGGCTGGCCTGGCTGTGGCCGAGGTTCGTGGACAAAGACGCCGTATGCGCCAGCCAGACGCATTCTGACGCCACCTCCCGCCTCTCTGCTTAGATCCATATCCTCATGTATGCGTTTCCTATGTAGCGTGTTTCACCAGCTCCCACAATCCTGGAGACACGGGATGGATTCGAGGCCGACTATGTACGCCATCTCGGAGCCATCATCATTGTTGCTCATCGTGACGACCACATTTGTCAACGCCAAGTGCGACGGGAATCCCAGGTGCCCAGATAGTTTACTCTCTTTTCGGGGGGAGTTCCAATGGTTGCGGTGGACATTGACAGCACCTCCGTTGAAGACTACGATATAACAAGCAAAGCCATCCCATTAAGATCAGTGAACCGTATCGTATGGTAGAGCCAGCAGATGATCACCTAGCTGGGATATGCCTCCTTCCATATCGTACAATCGAGTTCCGTCAAAGTACGTCTCGTTGCCGTCTAAAGATATATCAGCCGCCCATTGTGCATCCCCGCAGCGGGGCAAGAAACGCTGGACAGGTCCGATCTTCTCCAGCGAGCAATACTTCTCTTGTCAAGTTTATGGAAGGGTCCTTGCCGGCGCCTGGAACTATTTGCCCAGCCATTGCCAAAGAGTATTGCTATTCGCACACATGCCTCTTTCATCTGCACCACCAAATGCATACCCATCTTGAAGGTGTAAGATAGCATTCTTGAACAAGCATGTCTCCTATAACTCGAATTTATGCCAGGCATCCAGCTCTAACCCTACTTGCACGGGAATAGAAGTAAAAGACGGTACGGCTAAGAAGAATAAAGACAAGAGCATGTGGATTTTGAATCCGACATAGTGGGTGAGCTGGAAGTTAATTTAAAACGCTAAATGCCGGATTGATTCCTCCATGGTTCCAGACGCATTTATGCAACTATGGTCGGATAGCGGGGTCCGTTCGAACCGCCGCCACAAAGCCACAAGCAGCGGGCGGAGGGGGGCGTGCTGCAGTAGACCAGCAGACCAGCAGGTACGAATACAGTTCGGAGTACTCGGAGGTACCTTGATGCCTCGGCCTTGTTTCGAGAAGTAGACTGTGCCCGCTTCTCCCCTCCCCAACACACTAACCAGCACACCAACCAACACGACACCCTCCTGCAAGTGTAAAAAGCAAGGCAAAAAGCAAGTTGAGAGCAAGTTCTGGTCAGGGCAATGCGGCGCGGGTGACGCGACGTCAAAGGCAAACTCGCTCGGTCTCGGTACCTGCGTCAGCACCAAACCGTCTCTCTGTCCACGTGGAATCATGTCATTGTTTCGTTGCAAAACCGGCCCTCTTATTTCATCGAGGTGGATTACGCAATCACTCGGATCAGCGGGCGGTATCGAGACAGGCTCCCAGCGGCGTGGATTGAGCTGTTGACTCCCGAGATCAGCGACGCTTTCCGGCTTGGTGTGGGATGTACGATGTACGATGCAGCCTGCAAGTTAACTTGCTCCAGTTCTGTACTGTGCTACTCCGTATGTAATGGAGGGGAGGGGACCCTGCCGCAGCAGCCAGCGGGGACCCGGACGCCATTGTCAATCTGGATCCCTGGAGTCTGTCTCGTCCCCGTTATCTCGCTCATTGTGCGGCGTCAACACGGTGCCGATAAAGAACTACAGTAGAGCGTTGCGGATGACTCGTTATCGGGCGTTGGTCTTGGCCCGCTTGCCTGAATGCATGTCTTGAACATTTGATAATGCCTGGAGTCCGCCAGCCACTCACTCGGAGGATCGTGGATCACCTCATCAACTTTCGTCTCTCGACTCGTCCTCAGCCGTCCTCGGGCATCTTAATGCGGAGGTGTTCTGATTCCAAGCCCCCATACCAGCCACGGGCAAAAAGCCAAGCCGCCTTTCGCCTTTCGCTTGCCTGAACTTGCATTGGCGGCCCACGGGCTGCTTTGGGACCCGTCGATCTACCCCAGAACCTTAAGGACTGGTGCGCGCGAGTGCCAAGGCCCATTCCCATGTCCAAATCCGTTGACACACAGAAAATGGATTCAAGATAGCATCGCTGGAAACACCAGAATGCGGCCGTAGACCGGAGACAATCCCCCCCACGCGTATCGGGTGGCGTCGAGGAGCGTCGACTGAGCAAGTCTTTATTATGGCCCTGGCAGTCCCCGAGCGCAGATCATGACGTCCCGCGAGTCTTTTCCACTCATAAAAGAATCAAAGTGCTTCCAGAGACCCGTTCGTCCCCGACTCCTACAGCGATTTCCCCAGGCCCAGCCAGCTAGAACCCGTCGCGAAAATGCCTGCAGATCAGGATGTGTACCGCAAGGTCGGTCGAGGAGGAGCTGGCAACTACTACGCCCCTCCCACCGATGGCAATGACTCAAAAGTGACCACCCTCTCCTCCCAGCGATGCCGGCCACGATGTCGGCGTCCTTGACTCAGTTCCAGTCCCACTTACAACTCTCCGGCGCATATAGGATCTCGAAGCTCAAGCCCTGGGCACCTCAGTCGCTCCCACGCCCGACCGCTCCAACGCCCAGGTCCCCACGCGCGCCGGCCGAGGCGGCGCCGGCAACTACGTCGACCCGGCCAACATGCCCGACGCGCGCGAGCAGGAGGAGATGGCCAAGAAGACGGCCGCCGCCGTCAACGCCAGCCTCAAGCGGCACAGCCAGGCCCACGGCGGACAGTCGGGCCGCGGCGGCGCTGGCAACTGGAAGACGGACGAGGACGAGGAGCGCAAGAAGCTCGCCGACGAGGAGAGCGCCCTCGGCGTCCAGCTGGAGAAGCAGGTCAAGGAGGCCGTCGACAAGGGCCTGAAGATGCCCGACAAGGTGCACCACCACGTCGTCTAAGAGGGCATCGGATCGCGATCGATGGGAGAGGTGGTGTAAGACACTCATGCGAGCATGTGTGGAATTGAGTGCTTTTGAGAAGATAGAAATGATACCCATCGAGCAAAGATTCGCCTCTCAGCTCAGGCTTGAACTACCAAGCGTCGGGCACACTGTCCTGCTCTGTCATGAAAATTAAAATACCTGTCAGTCAATTACTCTGTGATTCTCTCTCAACGTCAGCCGTCAGTCAGAGGTCGCGCCTCTTGTTGGGCGTAGGGCCGAACAGATCCAAAACCAATCGAGTATGAGTATGTTTAATGGGTTTCAACTCAACCAACGTAATCCTCACAAAGATCCACATCCCGATGTCAGTAACAGCAACAGCGCCCATCTATCCCACCTTTCACAACCCCTAACGTGTAAGCTTACATAGAATCCTAGCAACTCAAACATAGCAAACAGGTCCAGCCGATCAATGAAGCACCCAACACCGAATCCAAACACCCTTCTCCCGTCCGTCTACCAACCCCCCCTCGGAAGATCCACCTCGTGCGCCAACTCAAACACAGCCGAGGCCAAGTCATCCTGCGCAGCGGCGTGTTGGTCCGTCGGCAGCTCAAACAGGTCGTAGTCCGGATCGCACTCGGCGCCAGCCAACGGCAGCGTGCCGTGTTGGAAGTATGCCCGAATGTGGCGCGCCGTGCATGTCGACGCCGCAGCAAGAGAGCAGTGCTAGAGGGAGACGGGTCAGCAAGGGGACCGATCCTTAGATTGCGGGGAGGTAGGCCAACGTACGCCATACGAGTTTTGCTTGAGGACCACGGAGCTGGGGAAGCGGGCCGAGTTGTTGAAGGCGCTCTGCAGGGGGGTTACGTTGTCGGCCATGTTGCCGATGAAGAGGATTGGGTGCGCCGTGTCACCCTGGAAGTCCTCTGGTCGGGATATTAGCATGCGCTCGATATAGGCTATTCAAAGAGGTGCAGACATACCGACGGAGAAGCGCCACTTCGGCCTCACAGTCTTACCCAGGCAAACAACCCGGAACAGGAGGTTCACCGCGCCCGCCCACTTGCTGATGCCCTCAATCTTGTTGGCGAACTGCTCAAATTCCTCAGGGGTATCGGTCACCGGCTCGTTATCGGAGCACATGATGGCCGGGAACGCATCGTCCTCGGTGCCCGTCTCCTGCGGCATCGTCGCCGGCGTGTCCCCGAGCAAGCACAACTGGCCGGGCTCGTCGGTGGCGTGCTCCCGCATCATGTCGTAAAAGGGCATGCCGTCGCCACGCTCCAGGGCCGCGTACACGTGCGCCATGCGCTGGAACTGCGTCTGCGGCTTATAGAGGATGGTCTGCGTAAGTCGCTGCAACTTGGAGTAGGTGATCAGCGCCGGGAGCTCTGGGCCGGACGGGTGCGACCACGCGGGGACGACAACGGGGGATATCCGGAGGCGGGCGAGGAGGTCGCCGCGACGGTTCTGGACGGCCTCGGGGGACTCGGCCCAGAGCGCGCATCTGTCGGGCCCTACCTTGTGGCAGGCACTGTCGAAGGCATCAAAGATCTTGTCAGTGTCAGAGACGAAGTTGGCGTGGTCTAACTTGAACCAGTCGTGATAGTCACAGTTGCCTGGTTTGATCGTTGTCAGTATCACCGAACACGCTCATAGTAGTTATCTTTGTAAACTTACCATCGCTAACAAGTCTCTCCACACGATCGGGATATAAGCCGGCAAAGACACCACCCAGGATAGTTCCGTAACTAAAACCCCAGTACCGAAGCCGGGCGTGGCCCGTCTTGTCCAGAATCTCAAGCATGTCGCGGGCGATTGATGCGGTGCTGAGGTGGCTCATGATTCCAGTAGAGGCCATGGCCGTCTCACAAACGCTCGAGTAAGCCGAGGCGCGGGCATAAGCATCGTACACAAGACCAGGGCGCTCGTCAACGACGGGAGTGTCCTGGAGAGACCACAGCTTGCGCTTCTGGGAAGAGCCCCAGCATTCGACTCGTGGAGTGGAAACACCGACTGAGAGGGCACCGTGTTAGAACCAGGTATTGTTTCGTCATATACAAGACATTAACTCACCTCCTCGAGGGTCGAAGCTGATGATGTCCTGTATACAGTCAGCAACTTGGTTGGAGAGGGCCTAGAGATGAAGTAGATACTCACATGGTTATCACCAACAATAGTCTGTAGCAGACTACCAGCCTTTTTAACAAATTGCACTCCGGATCCGCCAGGACCCTAAGTTGTCAGTAAGTTAGCATTACAGTCCGACGTTCATCATTGAAAATATCGGAGAGACTCACACCGGGGTTCACAAACACAGGGGAGAAGTTCTTTCCCTTGGACTTGGCGGCCAGTTTGATGACTCCCAAAACAACACGCTGCTCCTCGGTAGGGTCTAGCCAATCCATGGGAACCTGAAAGTGAAATTTGGTCAGCACGAATTCGTCAAATGATGAGGTTGAATTTCGGCAACTCACATCTAGTCTGGCACAGTCAAACTGGTTATCGTAGCACTTCTCCCAGACGAGGTCACGGCTCGGCTTGATCTTCAGGACTCTCGCCGTCAGCACTCATTTCTCCGATATTGACTGGCAGGATTCATTTGCCAATCGTGAGGGAGCCAAATTACGCACATCGCTCCAAGTCCACGGGAGTGGCTCAGCATCTGGGGCATGTTGACGCCCTGTCCCCAGTGGCCACAAATGGAAGCAAGCGACGATAGCGATGGTCGTCAGCAGCCCCAGCATCAAGGCAGACCTCCTCTTAGGCGGCTGCGTTGTCCGTTCTCTCAAGAGGGGATTCCCGTCGACGGCTGCCGCCATCGCTCTCTTATCGTCCATGGCGGCCACGAAATTGGGCGTGTCTGGGGAAGCTCAAGATACGGGGTCCTGTCAAGGCGTCTAGCGTCGGGCGAAGCCGCGGGAAAAAGCAATTATACGGCTGTGGACTGAAGGAGAGGGCGAGAGGTGGGACAGACGTCAACAGCCCAGTCTAGGGAGCAGGAGCAATAGCAGGGAAGCTACGAGCAGTCACCTGAACAAGAAAAGGGCAACGATATCTAGGAGAACTAGAACTAGGAGAAGTAAATCCGGGGAATGGGTCATGGGTCATGGGCCATCTCGGGCTACTAGGTAGGGAGTAGGCTACGGATCAACGGCAGCGACAGCGGCAGCGTGAGACATGCAGGCCAGGGCGCAATGATAAGCTGGCAGGAGTCCAAGAGGCCGGGCTTCCCTGTCCGGGAACGGCGGACTGGGTGCTGTGCAGAGCGTCAAAGCAGGCTCCCGCTGATTGTGGTGGTCGTGTGAGCTTGGCTTTCTCTCGTGTGAGAGAAGGACACGGCAATTGCGGGCGTCGGCCATCGAAATTCCCTGGCGAATGCGTCCAACCAGACATGGGCGATTGCATATTCCCTTTGTTGTCAAGGGAGGAGACGTGCCTACAGTACCTACCTCTACCTAGTAAGTTAAGCGGCCTAAGTAATGCTAAAGCCAAGATCGGCATTCCCTAATTTGGCCCGCTCGAATGCCGGCAGACGCTACACCACACCGACCTTTGTTCAGCCGCCACGCACTTGCATCCACACACGCAAAGAAATACAACTCAGTTTGTAGGCAATCAATACTAGTTCTATTCAATTCCGGTCGTCTGGGTTACTAAGGTTTCTTGGGTTTCTTAAGTCCCCCGCGTTGCTCGTCGAGACACCCTTGAGACACCGCGAGACCCATCTCGGCCCTCGAGACAACCTTCAGACTCCTCAAGGGGGGGGGCCAGCTGACTGCCTTGGTGGTGTTGGCTTCACCCAATCACCATCCACGAGTTGCCAAACCACTCGATCCTCTTCCTCGAGGCGAGACAGATATTCTTCACATCTCTCCCCCAAAAGGAACCGGACCGACCCCCTTCGTCAACGAAGCTCTCTATCTTGTTGCACTGTGCTGTACTGTACCGCACCAGAAGCCAGTCGTATATCCCAACGCCCGTGGTATGCCTCGAATCAAAACACCATAACGCCCGCCCCCCAATGCCCTTCTTCCCGGACACGTGCAATTTTTGGTTCGATGGACTCTCAGCTCTCACGTTTCTCAGCCGTCAGCTTCAGGCGTCCACCTCCATGCCCTCGACGTCCATGCCCTCAATGTCGACATCGTCCTCATCATCGTCGTCAGACCCATCATCCATGCCGTCCTGCTCCTCGTCATCGTCATCGTCGTCGTGCTCCAGCGCAATGGCAACCCGCTTCTTCTCGCCACCAAAGGCCTTGGCACGCTCGCGCTCGGGTTCGATCTCCTCGATCTCCGCCTCGGTAAGACCCTGCTCGCGCAGGCGGCGCTTCTCGCTTCCGCGCAGGCGGGGCAGGAGGTGCTCGTTCTCGGCGACCAGCTTGCGGGCAAGGGCAAGCTCGATCTCCTTCTTTCCGGCCATGCGCTTCTTGTAGAAAACGCGCTCGCGGCGGGAGCGGATCTCGGACACGCGCTCCATGGCCTTGAGGGTCTTGCCCATGAGGTCGCGGTCGTAGCGGACGGGCTCGTTGCGGCGGACGGCGAACTGCAGGGTCGAGTCGACCGTCATCTCCTTGCCGGCAGCCTTTCGGAAGGCCTTTGTCCACTTGAGCTTGCGGGGGTTGCGCTTCATTTTGAACTGTAGGGCGCTGTTAGCCATCCATGGTCCATCATCTCTCCGGCCGTGAAGTCTGTAGACGTACGTTCTTGTGACACTTGCTGCGGCAGAAACGGAAAACGCGCGCATCGTTGCGGACAAAGGTGATGCCCTTGCTGGGGTACGCAGGGCGACTGCAGAAGTAACAGGTTTCGATTCTGAACCAATTGGTTAGCCATTGTCCGTGAAGCAAGAGGCGCCGTCTCCAGCCCGGAGCGAAGTAGCTTTCTCGCAGCGGATGCAGGGTCTGCGAACCCGACACCCGGTACGTTCAAAAGCCTCGCCTGGCAGCTTGTCGTATGCAAAAACTCACCTCATTTTGCCGGTGTGTTGGTCTCAAGACCAGAACAGCTTCAATTCTTCTTCTTCCCGGCCCCGCTGGTGATACCGCACTTTTACGTCCCTCTCTCAAGAAATTTTTGTTCGGCCACCCACCGCTGTGGGTCCCGGCCGCAATCGATAGGAGTCCGGAGAAACACATATTCCGTCGCCTCCGGTCCGCGCCGGCGTGCTCCCGGAAAACTTCAGCAACTTCGCGATTTGCCATCCAAATCCGGGATTCCTAGTCACCACTTCCAACCCTGTGTCTTGCGCAATTAATTCCACCTTCAAAATGGCCTCCGTTTTCGCTTGGGGCGCTGGTGCTGCCGCTGCGGCCTTCCTGGTAGGTCCACCATTTTGCCTTGCTCTACTATTCGCCAGACCCTAACCAGGAATCGCAGGGCCGAGCCGGACTTGTCGCATGGAGACGTTCCCGTGGCGGTGTTGGTGCCATGGGCAAGGCTTTCTACAAGGGTGGCTTTGAGTCCAAGATGACCAAGAAGGAGGCTACTCTCATCCTGTCGCTCAGGTAGGTTTCTTCCATAACGTTGCTACCCCATCAACACTAACAATGCTTTCAGTGAGCGCTCTCTCTCCAAGGACAAGGTCCGCAAGGCCCACCGAACCCTCATGCTCCTCAACCACCCCGACCGAGGCGGCAGCCCCTACCTAGCGACCAAGGTCAACGAAGCAAAGGAGTTCTTAGACAAACAAACCTGACACCCCACCACGTCATGACCAACCAACCAATCCTCCACCCCGAGCCTCTGCCGCTCTGATTGTCACCCGGCCCGTCTCCATGTATCTGTGCTACGATTGCACCAGATGACGGTTAAAGTTACAACACGATGGGTGGCTCACTGCGTGTATGTGTGTATACTGTACACTACTTGTTTCCATAGCGAAGGCGTTTTGTGGTTCATACGGAAGCTCCTGAGAGTAAGAGCAAATTGATGCGATGAGTACGCCGTCGAGCTATCTTGGATGAATACTGTAACAATACAAAAAATACAGGGCCATGTGCCCGCTCTCTTCTCGCCATTCCATCTTCGTCTCAACGGTTACTATGTCCCTTGAGTGAGAGGAGTGTCTTCTTTCTCCTTGAGCTTGGCCTCGTGTTCCCGAATCTGTTCCAGGGCAATCCCGAACATGACGCAAACTGTGTAGTAAGCGTCATTTCCTGCGTTGTGGAGGTTCTTGCTGGGGATTCCCAGATCGGACAGTACCTTACCCAGGCCTCGTCCATTTGTCTCATTCCGCCACGCCTGATACATGTCTTGTGTGTCAACCTGCCCGACGACCTTCTTCAAGGTAAGCAGGTCCACGCCAAGAGTCGAAATCCATCGAAGATCTTGGCGAATATCATGGCCAACAATGACGATATTTCGAGAGGCGTCGAGGTATGGTGCAAGAATTGCCATTATCTCCTTTCGGACATCGGCTTTCCGTGGGAATGTGCTTGAACTGCGATGCATTAGCGTCCAGGTTCAGACTTCAGGAATCGGGTCCTTACCCAAAGTCAAATGAATCCGGGCATCCTTGCACATATTGCTGGTTTCTCAACCCAGCATACTCCCATACTCTGAGATGGTGGCAATTGATCAAAGTCCACCAGTTTTGACCGCCTGGGCCAGGTGCGACGTTTCTGATGTCATTCGTATCGAGAATCGCAAATCCGATTTCCGAGATGGGATTTGGTGGCCGTTCAATCGCCTCAACGTCGACACAAATGAATACCACACCTTGAGCCGGTGGTGTACCTCTCAGGCCGAGGTGGGCTTGCGTGTCGAGAACCATTTGCTCTCGTTCGCGTTTCTTTCGAGCCGCTTTCTCGCTGGTGCCCTTGCTGCCGTTGCCAGTCAAGCCAGTCTTGACCAACTTCATCTTGTCACTCCAGTCATCTTTCATTTGCATCGTGGCCGCATCGAAGCGCTGGATATCGTCTGAGGCCATCTGAGGCCATGGTCTGATATCCAGTGCTGTCTCGTCTTCGGACCGTCTGAGGTACCGTGGTCGTGGTGTGCCTCCTTGGCCAAACTTGAGAGCAAACCGACTTTCGTTGACTCCATTGGGGATCTTTAGCGAGATGCCGAGCTTAGCGTTGACATCTTCCAGGAAAGCTTCGAATTGCGCTGTTGGCACCAAGAGGTAAGGATCCCGCGTTGGCTCTTTTGGGTCGTGCAGGTAGAAGCTATAACAGTTAGCATCGAACACAGGCCAGTGAAGGGGAATTCCTACAAATCCCAAACTCTACCCAACAAAATTCTATCAAAGAAGGGTTTCGCCTATGCCATCGTCAGTGACTGGAGTGCGTACGCCTGTGGATCAACACGCACAAGAGGTTTGTTCGTTTTGCCAATAAAGCGCTCGGGGTATGTCACCATCGTCTTTAAAGGACAAAAGTGTACATCCTCGTCAAGTGGTTCGCCAACGCGAAAGCTTGAGCGGTCGAATGCCTTCCGGTGCCTCATCGCTCTCTCTTGATCCTTCGCCTCTTCGGACCTCGTGTGTCGATGCATAGTATCTTGGGCAAGTTTGGCATGACCTCCTGGGTTCGCTGCATTTTTCCAGTCGGAATCAGGATTCGATTCCACCGGAACCACGCCCTTGAGTGATTCCGTAGCTTTCTGGGGGTCAACAAGGCTTACTTCCTTGCCAAGAAGGGCCTGAAGCTTCTCCAGCCGTTCTGTGAGAGACATACCGAAACGCAACCCTGATCATACGGTATGGTGTCGAATGCGTCACTTTGGTGTGTAGGGGTCGCTGAGATGCAGGAAGAAAGATTTTATTGTATTTGGCTGTTGGGAAGATGAGAGAACGGGAGGAAGGCAGGTAGGAAGGCAGGAGTTACTTAAGCCGCGGGTAGGTGCTAACTAGGCAGGCACCTTAGGCTTAGGCACGATTAGGACAGCTGCATTTGGAGTAAGACAACAACCAAGCGACCGGCTGCTTGATTCGTCAAACGGGCTGCGCTGCATCACTGACAAGAAGCAAATCTCCCACAGCCTATTACAATGTCAGCTTTGCATTTGTTGTTATTGCTTTTCTCTCCGTGTTTGCTAGGCAAGTGGGGATTCATAAAAACAATCAAGTAGCGTTTGCGACAGGCGCTTTAGTAAAACAGCAACTGCTTGGATGAGAGCCACTCCATCTAGGTACTGACCAAGCTACAAATAATATCGTAGAAATACATGCCATGGTACACTCCCCCATCACCTCGACTTGTAGAACTGCGTGAGTGTTAGCATGTCTGTAATTCACAGCTAAAAAGAACTGTGTGCTCACCTCCTCGGCCTCCTCAGGTGTGACAACCGACACCTCTGACTGTTTCTTGTCGATCAGACCCATCCTTGTCCACCTTATTTTAAACCAAAAATCTCGTCGGTCACCGCCGAGAGCCCCAGAAAGTAGCTGCTTCTTCATGTCGCGCACGTATGTGTTGTACAACCCTGGCTCCTCCAGATTGATGAGCTCCTCCCGCATCACGGCTAGGCACTCCAAAGCTCGGGCATATTTACTATCGCCAAAGCTCTCTGTGATTAATGTGTTTGTAATGTTGCCCATCTGTTTGGTGGCGTCTTCAATCTCCGAAAGCTCTTCGGTCGCAGCCAGAGCCTGCTTGAAACCAGGTACCGCGTTGTCCGGGTCGATGTCGCTCTTCTCTCCTTCGCCAAGAAGGGCATCCACGTCAAGACCCGAAATAGGCTTAACGGTGTCTCTCACGCGCTTTCCCTTGGCTTTCGGGGGCACTTCATCTTGGTCAGCTTTAGTTATTCGTGAAGGTGGAAGAAACTCACCCTTCTTGACTTCTGCCGTTCCAATCAAGGCATCTATCTTGCTCTGAACCTTTTCAATCAAATCATCTGGCGGTGATGCGAAGCGCAATAGAATAGATGGTGTTTCTGGGATAGGCCGCTCAGGGTGGATTGCTCGCGACTTCACTGCATGGTTGATACGATGGATCGAGGGGTTGTATGAGTCGTCGATAGGCACGTACTCCGCAGGGTTTCTGCTCCAGCGGTCAGTGAGGGACATTGTAAGGAGTGGCATTGAGCATACCCTTCGTCATCAATCCCATACGATGATAGATCCATAGCATCTACGTAGTCACTCATGGCATCGTTGAGTTCATCCGTTGGTAGGAAACGATGCTTGGTGAGCGTCTGGCCAGTGACTGTGATGACCCGGTCCAGGGGAGGGAACTGGTAACTCCGAACGTCCTCCGCAAAAGGCAGCGGAACATCGTACAAGCACTCTAGGTCGGGTTCAATGTTAGGCGCCAGCAACACCAGCTGGGGGTCTTTCCCGTCTTTGGGAACAATGCGAGCCACGGCATATGACTCGAGTTCAGAAAGCGCCCAAATTAGTGATGACAGGGCTACTTCTGATTTCGTGTCGGCCTTGCGAGCTATGGTAACGCAAACCTCGCCCATGTTGAGGAATGGCTCGTACTAAACAGTATCAGCACAGCATTTACAAGTAAAAGTAGGACATCATACCTTTATGCATGGGATGAATCCAACGATTGAAAAGCTCTTTGTCGTTTCAATCTTGGTGATGTTGTATTCTGACTCACTGATATGCACAGCTGTTCGGCCATACTCGAATCCCTTTGCGAGTGACTCAAATTCGACGTCCCGCTTGCCGCCTGGTGCATCGGGATCATTGACCTTGTATGAACGAGCTTGCTTTACTGCAGCGAACTCGACACCCTCCATTTCATCACCTTCGACCGTTTGGGTAGACTGAGATCCCACGCCTTGTTCAGACTTGACCACCACGGTACTCGCTGCCAAGGGCCGGGCGAGATGGGTCTTGAAATATCTCTCTACGTTGATATTCATTGCAGCCGGAAATCTTTTCGGGTCTCCTAGCGTCAGCGCGCCGTCGAAGGTTTTGTAGGGCTTCACGGATTTGACGCGGGGGGTGTCAATCTCGTCGATTGCTTCGACGATGGACGCGTACACGCCGTTTTGGCAGTCGTTGACCAGCGACTGGAGAGTCTTCTCATTCTGGGCCTACCAACCGGTTAGTACTGCACAAGATGAATGCAGTCGTCAATATCCTGACCTTTTCTGTGGGCTTGTCCTCTTCCTTAAAGCCGTACTCAAGATCATCGAAATCCACGCCCCTGGTTTGTAAGTAGAGTCCAGCCGAGAGGACGAAAGCCAACTTACAAGACTGTAAGTTGAATATTCGAGTCATTTATCTTCTTTGAGATATCGGAGATACCGTCGTCGTCGATTGGGCCCCGGCCATCTGTAATGAGGACGATTTTGCGGTTCCACTTGAGCTTCTTGGTGAAAGTGTCAATCATGTCCACGGCCAGGACAATAGCGGAGATGGCATCGCCAAACTCTGTGCTGCTCGGCTTGATCTTCGCCTGCAATTCCCTCAAGGATGTCATCGTCATGGGTCCTAATTCCTGCAGCACCGAGATGTTTTCGTAGCCTTCATCGTCCTGTAGCTTGTTGTCGGTCTCGTCGCTTCTCAATCCCAATACTCCGACACATAGAGTCTTACGACTCGCTGCAACAAGGTCGGTGATCTTGTCCCACACGTATTGCATGCTCCAATCGAGATCCGATTCTGATCGGCCGCTATGAATCCGGGCCATGGATGAGCCCAGATCCAAGATGAACACGGTCGCTTCCTTGTCAGCCATGTTGGATTGTGAAAGGAAAAACGCGAATGGTTGTGACAGTGGGTAGCAGGAATAAGTGCCGTCTTTGTTTCTGGGAGTCTGGCGTTTTAAAAGAAATCCCACTGTGGTCGTGTTCTCATGGTGAATCCTGGTCCTCAATTAGGCAGAAGGCACCCATGAGCCAAAAGGCGTGAGATGAGCCCGTGCTCAGGACGCGTTCAAGCCACGAAGTCATGTGACCTCGGTATTGGAGACATGCATGACCTCACCTTCTTGCCTTGGATACAACTCCGCCCGTTCTGTCAAAATCATTCCACCATCCTCTTTCTATCTTCTTTGTTCCTCTTGTATCGTTATTGAACTGTAACAGAGGCACAATGGCAAGCACGGTCAGCGCAGTTGTGTTTTCGGTGGCACCGTACCACATCATCTCGTGAGCAAACTCAACTGGCAACGCATCACGCACTCAGACAATGGCTCACCCTCTGCCAGCTATGGAACCCTTCTGGGGACATCGTTCTTCCACGTGAGACCTCACATTCCCTAATGCCCTCGGCACATCGACCGGTTTCTCACGATCCGTTAGACCTTCATCAATGGCATCGTCATGTTCAGGACCGTTGATCGCCCGGCCTTCTCAGCGATTCAGCAGCAGCTCTTCCCCATCTACTTCGGGATGCAAACAGCCTTGCCCGTCGTCCTCGCCCTCACTTTCCCCGGTAACTCGTTGATTGGCCTCTCTTCCGGCATTTCCGGGCTTTTGAGCGACTTTGCTCGGTGGCACTCACTCGCACCTATCGCAACCATGTTCTTGACCGGCCTTGTCAACCTCGCCATCCTCCTTCCCGCGACGACCAAGACAATGAAGGATCGACGTGGTCAGGGTATGCTTCAAAGTCCTTGTGTTGTGTGGCGATATGAAAGCTGACCAGTTTCTAGCCAAGCGAGATGGTAAGGATTGGTATTCGCAGGGTCCTCACTCGGATGAGATGAAGGTCCTGAACAAGAAGTTCGGCATGCTCCACGGGATTTCTTCTCTGATCAACATAACGACCTTCTTTGCGGCCGTTGCGTACGGATTCACCCTAGGAGGCAGGGTCCTATCTGTTGCAGACCTTGCTTGAGGCGATGATATTATTCCATTGGCTATTTATCATGCAGTGTACAAACTAGCAACACTCAACCTGTTTCTCCGCTTTCATCTACTTCTAGTGTCAGGCCTTTCTTCAATTTCCCACTCCAGCCACCGTCCATCAACGCGCCTCGTTCAATCGTAGATTCATTATCCGTACAACCAAGGGTATAACCTCCAAGTTTTCAATGCGCCAACTTAATTCAGTATGTGCGAACCCAAACCGTAGTTCGGTTAGGGAGCTGAAGAGACCAAGGGTCTACATCTACCAGGATCCGTGGTTGGGTGGCTGATTGTTGCTTTGGAAAGCGAGGAGGTCTTTCTTTGCGGCTTCGAAGTCCCGCGCTCGTCTCTCTTTCAACTCCTCCTCGTTGAGTGTGGGTTTGTGTCGCTGCTGGTTGGCAGCAATCTGGCCCTGGATGGACCAGCGGCCTGGCTCTCGCTCCAGCATGGCCTTGACATCGACGTCTTGGGCTGGCTTGGGAAATTCTCGCTGAAGGGGAGACAGGGGGCGGGTGCCAATCTTGCAGGTGTCGCAGGTGTCATCCTCGGACTTCAGGCTCGGGGTAGACGAGGGTGTCATCTCTGGAGCGGAGGACTTGGTACCGGCAGTATTGGAGAAGAAGCTGGTGGTGCTGGAGCTTGACGACACAACCTCTGAGTGGACTTGGTTGGGGGCGGGAGTATCCATCTTGAGTGGGAGGAAGTGGGAGGAAGTGGGAGAGATAAGCTGGTGCGAACGGCTATGTCGAGAGTGTGATTGCTGCCACGGTTGTTGGGGGGTGTGCAAGGTGAATAGGTAAGAGGGAAGAATGCAGAGTGCAGAGGGAGAAGTGAGAAGTGAGAAGCGAGAAGTGAGAATTTTATTTGGCGTGACGAAAAGATGGGAAAGCAGTTCGGCCAAGTGCAGCAGAGCCTCCGGCTACGGTGAAGTGTCGCGTGCCCAGTGTGTACAACCTGTCAAGCCACGTCGGCGGAAGGAAGGCCAACTAGGATTGTGCCGGTATCAAAACGGAGCTGCCGGCGCACGAGATGCGAGAGGACTTTGGCGGAATTTATAATGAGCTCGCGCTCGCTGTTCAAAGCCGTCAAGTAATCAGGGTCTCCCGCTTAGCGGCAGCTTCGGTCGCCTCCCCTTCCAGCCCTGGCCTTAGCTTCGCAAGTTCAGGGTCCAAAGACTCCACCTCCGACAACTTGACACCTCAACCCCCCACTCCGACACGGGCAGCCATGGGCATCGTCGGGCGGTGTGTGCTTCGCTGCTGACTCGGTGAGCGCCCATCTGCCGTCCTGAGCTCGGGGAGGGTGCGGGCGAACGGGGGGTCATCCTCGTCCCCGGGCGTGATTTGGTGATACGTCGCGAACCCGTGAGAATTTGCATATGACAACTGAGGCTTGCTATCTGTCGCCTGTGGGCTGCCATGCCGGCTCCCGACCGCGAGCCAATGGCGGCTGCGCCGTTAAACGGCTTCTAGTGTGCCTTCGCTGAAGACCGAACACCCTGGTGAAACCTGTTCGGGTGAATGTCCCGGGCTCGGGAAATTTGTAACACCCTTTCGGGCAGACAACTCGGATTATGAACATGTACTCACATGTGAGAACGATGACAGAGACTCCTTCCGGCCGACCGTTCATCTGTTGACGTTATCGATTGAGTCTACAGGATTTAATGTCAGTGGGGATAGCCTGCATAGCGTGATAGGGGCGAACGACAACTACCTTGGTAGGTAGAATAAGCGGCCTACCCTATACTAACCCGCCCCTGTGACGATGATAATCTTATTATGGCTACTCAACAAGGTTGGTGTGATTTTTTCTTCTTGTTTGTTTAGGCTTTACTACGTGGTATGTCTCCAAGCTGACGTGTGTATAACATCCCGAAATAGCTGATTGATTCGAGTCAGTTCCTACATTGTAAGCGCTTGGCCCCACTGACTAAGCGTCACAACCTCCTCCGATAGAGGACAACAGTTGACTTTCATCACTTATCTTCACCCCTTCCCATAATTCAGACACAAGCGATTCCTCAAACCGACTATCGCAAGATGGCCATCACACCAAAATACCTCACTGGCGACTCTGCCGCAATCACCGAGTTCATTGACAAGTTCGATGTGAGTCATTTTAGTCGTCAGCAGTCAATAGTCCTCAATGCTGACATCATCGATAGACGTTTCTCTTCGACTGCGATGGTATGTTCGCAGAGTCTATAAGAGAAGAACGAAGCTCAAAGATGCAGGTGTCCTCTGGTCGGGCGATCACATCTTCGAGGGTGTGCCCGAAGTCATCAGCCTCCTGAGATCAAAAGGTTGAGTGAACCCAACGCCGTCACCGGACCAACACTCACAAACCCACAAGGAAAGAGGACCGTCTTCGTGACCAACAATTCAACCAAGTCTCGCTCCGAGTACCTCAAGAAGCTCACCAAGCTGGGAATTCCTAGCGAGGTCGACGACATCTTCGGCTCTAGCTACTCGGCCGCCATCTACATCGCCCGCATCCTCAAGCTCCCGGAGGACAAGAACAAGGTCTACATCATCGGTGAGGCTGGAATTGAGGAGGAACTCGAATCCGAGGGTATTCCGTACATCGGTGGCACGGACCCTACCTACCGACGGGACATCTCTCCGGAAGACTTCAAGGCTATCGCTGACGGCTCCATGTTGGATGACGACGTCGGTGTCGTCCTGTGTGGCCTCGACTTCCACATCAACTACCTCAAGCTCGCCGTTGGTATGCATTACCTGAAACGTGGAGCCATCTTCCTCGCCACCAACGTCGACTCTACCTTGCCCATGCACCACGACTTCTTCCTTGGTGCCGGGTCGGTCCATGTCCCTCTGGTGTATGCCTCGGGCCAACAGCCCTTGGCGTTGGGCAAGCCCAGCCAGGCTATGATGGATGCTGTCGAGGGCAAGTTCCAGTTGGATAGGGCTCGTACCTGCATGATTGGTGACCGACTCAACACTGACATTAAGTTCGGTGTCGAGGGAAAGCTGGGCGGGACTCTGCATGTTGCGACTGGCGTGAACCAAAAGGCAGACTGGGAGAAGGAGGACCCTATCGCCATTCCCTCGCATTATGCTGATAAACTTAGCGACCTTCTAGGCGCTTGAGATAGATTAGACTCTATAGACTTCTAGACTCTGCGGATACTTGAAATGCACTGGTACAATCATCCAACCATCATTCTGGATCCCAAGCGCCGTTCCTTCCTCCAGTCTACCCCAACACACGTTTATTTGCCCCTGACGCCACTATGATGACGGAGAAATACAACACAATCGCCTAGCTGGAGCGACTCTACTTCTGTTTCTTCGATTCCTCCTGTTGCTGACGCTTGTCAAGCTCGCTAGTCTTGATGACCCTTGGCTGCTGAACCGGTGTTTGGTATCCGCAAATCGAAGTCGGAAGAAACATAGCAACCTGTTTCTGGTACGCGGAATACTCAGAGTACTTTCCAGCAGTGATCAACTCCGTTAGCCATGTCGAGCCCTGGAAAAGCATGATCAAGAAGCCCGACCCAGCAAAGGTCCAGCTGTAAAGGTTGTTCGTAGCGAAGCAGCTCCACTGGTATAGAACAAACCAGATCATCTGCTCGGCGAAGAAGTTGGGATGTCTGCTGTACGCCCACATTCCCGAGGTTATGAAACCGCGGTCAAGGTCAGCCTGATTGAACCCATCGGGTAATTTGGCATCCTTCAGGTACTGATGCTTGGCGGTTTGGTAGGCTAGTTACTTCAGTTAGCTTGCCATGACCAAGGCACTCACGCAATATAACTAGGTACTTACTCCACTGCTGGCCATCGCTGAACCACTCGCTGAGAACCAGGGCGAGCTCCACGACAAGATAACAGACATCGGCTGCTGTGACGTCACTCTCGAATTGGGCAGAGAGTAGGATGGCGTATGCTGGGACAGCTGAGATGGCAAAGAGTAGAACACTCTGGATAAACGAGATGAAAGTAACGTTGAAAAGGAAGAAGATGAACCCAGGAACGTAACTCTTGACGATTGCCCTGCAGAAAATAAGCGATGCGCCCTGTTGGGGCGTGGGGCTTAACTCACCACCTATAGTCCTCTGACCCGACATTATAGCCACCCTTTCGCCAATAGTTGTATGTCAATCGGCACTACAAATAGGCTGTCAGCAAACCGAAAGCGAAATCCAGTGGACAATCTTACACTCCAAGCAGTGCTAAATATGGCGATGAGATCCACACGAGCGTGTGGCATATCGGCAAGGCGAGCCCAAACAGCAACGTGGATGATGTAGAGGTTAGGAAGCAGGCTCCACAAACGGTCAACCTGAGACCAGTTCCGGTTGATCTCGGAGATGACGAGAAAAACGAAACCCCAAGCCAGGGAAGCCGCAAATCCAGAGATGAGCGGGTTTGTATCAATGTAGAGTTGCGTCAGGGCAGCTGGGCTGTCGATGTTTTCGAGGATCTGGCTCGGTAGGGCATAGAGCTGGGGTAGAAAGACCTCGACTGTTTTTGAGAAATCACCGCAGTCCTCGAGGGACGAGAGGTGCGGGAGAGCCATGGCGAGAGCTTGCAGATACAGGGATGGAGAGCTTTGCGGACCGTTTCGGGGTGCTTGCAATGCCTGTTGGTTGATGTTGCAAAAAGCCGGATGCAACGTCATAGATTCGATCTGCTGAAATAAGGGAATGACAAGCGCCACTTTGCTCTTAGCCCCGCCTACTACGTAGTAGACGCTGTGGCATAGGCTGTGGGGTTAGGGGCCTGTCGCTGGGAGTTGGCCCTCTGCTAGCGGATGGAGCCGCTGTGGCTGGTGGTCCAGTACCGAGACCCGCCTGAACGTCACTGGACTACCGCCAACGGCACCTCACTAAAATTCACGTTGGCATCTCGATCACGACGCGTGCCGACTTTTCACATCCACGACAGTCAACTTCGCCCTCCAGGACAGTCAAGGCCCCAGGGCGTAGACAGCTGAGCCGGCTAATTGGGACATTGGGATGGGCGCTTGGGGGGAAATCTTGGGAAGCGGTATGATAAAGCTGATACGCGGTTGCTCATGGTAGTTGAAGGCCTTTTTCGCGTCTGCTCCTTCACTGTGCTGTTCCTGCCCCAGCTCTGATGAGTTGCGCCTAAGGCCACATTCTCGTGACCAGATCCCACCATCACAACCTCGATACACATACGCATACAATGAGAGTCTTGTGTGTGGCCGAGAAGCCGTCCATCTCCAAGGCCGTTGCTGGCCATCTCTCCGGTGGCTCTCATCAGACGGTGAGCCACGTCCACCTGGATTGTCCTCTCTTCCACGCATATGCTGACCATATGGCCAGCACAACACGCGGAGCCAGTACATCAAGAATTACTCATTCGATTTCGATTTTGGCTCACAATGGGGAAACTGCTCCGTTACCATGACATGCGTCACGGGCCACTTGACCAACGTTGAATTTACGCCGGAATACAAGAATTGGAGTCATCCGCCACCGGAGTCGCTCTTTAGGGCACCGGTAGTGACGAGTGTCCATGACGTGAGTACCACAGAGCTCTCGCAACCTTGCTTTATGCTGACCGTGTATAGGATAAGAAACAGATTGCCAAGAACCTCGAATCCCAGGCTCGGTATGCCCGACTTTTAGTCATCTGGACCGATTGTGATCGCGAAGGTGAGCACATCGGCCAAGAGATTGTTACAGCCGCACAAGCAGGAAACCCAACCATCCAAGTTAAGCGGGCTAGGTTTAGCAACATTGAACGAGCGTATGTGCTCCCTGCACCATGCCTTCTCATGTTTGCCAACCTCAACTGACAGCGAATCACAGCCATGTCCTCTCGGCGGCTAGAAGTTTGGCAAACTTGGATGAAAAACAAGTCGACGCTGTTTCTACTAGGATCGAGTTGGATCTTCGCATCGGCTATGCCTTCACTCGATTTATCACGAATAGTCTGAGGCCCCTGGGCGGGCCGATGGAGAATCTGACCCTGAGTTATGGTATGTGCGTTAATCCACGCTTGCTAGGCATTTGCTAACAGGAAAGGGTCATGTCAATTTCCAACCCTCGGTTTTGTCGTTGATCGATACTTTCGCGTGAAGAATTTCGTGCCAGAACCATTTTGGAGCATTAAGATGATGCACAACCGAGACAGCAAGAAGATCAATTTTAATTGGCAGCGTAATCATCTCTTCGATCGAATGTCAACAGTTATTCTATACGAGAGATGTCTCTCTGCCAAGACTGCCACTGTATCCAAGGTCCAGGAGAAACCAACCCGGAAGTTCAAGCCTTTGCCCCTCACAACAGTCGAGTTACAAAAGGCTGCGACGAGTCTCCTGCGTATGACTGGTCAGCAGGCTATGACTATTGCCGAGGGACTCTACAACAGGGGGTTTATCAGCTATCCGAGAACCGAAACAGACCGATTTGATAAGGGCATGAATCTCAGAGCTCTTGTCCAGAAGCAGACGACCGACCAAAGGTGGGGTCAATATTCGCAAGCCCTCGTGAATGGGGCTTTCCAACAACCAAGGGAAGGCAGGCATGATGACAAGGCCCATCCACCCATCCACCCAATCACACATGCTTCACCAAGTGTGCTTACATTTGACGAGGGCCGTCTCTACGAGTACGTTGTTCGCCGTTTCCTGGCCTGTTGTTCAGATGATGCCAAAGGCATGGCAACCGATGTCGATCTTGAATATGGAGAAGAAATCTTCAGTGCCCACGGGGTGATTGTGTTGGAGAGGAATTATCTTGACGTTTTCATCTACGAGACTTGGAATAACTCGGTCGAGCTGCCAAAATTTACCATGGGGGAACGGTTCGAACCGACCGAGGCTGTGATGACTGAAGGAAAGACGTCACCCCCCGGTTATCTCACCGAGGCCGACCTAATTGCACTCATGGATGCCAATGGGATCGGCACTGACGCAACCATGGCTGAGCACATTCAGAAGATTCAAGACAGGGAATACGTTGCAACAATTGATCGATCAGGTCAGGCATCAACAGGCGACGAGGAGCCGGGCGACGCCCCGCCTGCAAGAGGAGGCCGAGGACGGGGCGGACGGGGCGGCAGAGGCAGCCGAGGGCGAGGGGGAGCTTCGTCAGCTGGGAGTCGGAGGGGCGTGAAAGTATTCGTACCGACGCAACTGGGGGTGGCCCTCATTCTGGGCTTCGACCGGATGAACTTCGAGACGAGTCTCGGCAAGCCATTCCTGCGCAAGGAGATGGAATTGAAGATGAAGGCTATATGCGAAGGTCGTACGAGCAAGGAAGTGGTGCTCCGAGAGAGCATTGCTCAGTATCGCCATGTGTTCATGCAGACGCAAGAGAAACTGGATGTTCTGCGAGCGGTAAGTTCCTATCTAAGGAGCACAAAATGTACTGCATCACTGACTGGTGTGAATTAGGCATGCCGTGAGTTTGTCTTTGCACGACCTGGGAGTTGATGGATACGAGGCTCGGTTGTCCAGGGTTTGTAGACCCTTGGTCATGGCCACAACACACAACTCAAGTTGGGCATTGTCGATACTATCATCGGACTTTACTCGCCGAACCTGGGGGTTGAAGATCCGGCAGAACCGTACCTGCACGCCGCCTGATTGTGGAGCGAGCGACTTTACGAAATCCACGACTGTTATCAGGCCTATCAACCAATGGGCTAATGCACACGTACGATCCAAATGATGTGATTGAGCATCGTGACGATTTGACTAGAAACATGGCGGCGGGATATATCCAACACCCCCCCTTAGTGGGAGCACTTGCGGCGGGGTTGACTTGGGCCAAAAGGGTCGTTGCTGTGCGTCGACTCCAAGAGAATGTGACGAATTGAGTGGACTCGGCAACAAGCAGAATGGCGCTGTGCGTCAACCACCCGGTTGGGACAATGGACTCACGCCTCCTCCGCACGACGAGCCGGAGCGGGATAGACCGGGATCACCAAGGTAGCGCCGGCTACCCACCCCCCGCAAGATGCGATTATCGTCACCCTGGGCGCAGCAGCCGCGGGGCAACGGGAGCGATTGAGTGACACAGCGAACCAGTGGCGGCTGGGTTGACGAGTTGCTATCAATGCGCGCGCCCCCGTGGCCCCCATGGTCCCCCTCTCTGTGGCTGGGCCGGCAACCTAATGGTATGGAGAACCGTCGCGTTTTGAGGAAAGCCCACGATGCAGCGTTGTACAACGTGGGGTCGTGTCAATGGATGATGGGCCACCCAAGACTCGCAACCAGAATCCTTGATTCGATGAGGCACCGAGAGGGGAAGTTTCGCAGGTCGGGTGCCTCCACCGTCTGTAGTTGAGAGCCCTGTTGAGCAACGATGCTGGCCACAAAGGGCAACTTGTTTTCACTAAATATTACGGCATCACGAGCCCAATCATAAGGGGGGCGCGGGGAACGTGATGGTTGCACGTTTACCTGCCGGGGGCGACAGCCTGCCTGGGACAGGTACGCACGCCTGGCGATTCTGTGGGAGCGTGGGAAGCCGTGGGTGTGGGTGGGAGGCATTGCGCGAATTTGCCTGTTTGGAACCTCGGGCTGATGCTCAGCAGGTACGTGATGACGGCAGCCATTGAGACAACCGGCCGGCCATCCCTCACCATGTTCTGGGTGCTGCGATGGAAACCTAGACAGCCGGCCTGGTTGGGTTCCATTTCGGCCGCGCGTGGGACCTATCTGAGATGGAGCGAGGCATCTGTCACGGGGACGCGAAACCACTCCGCGTGAGTCGTTCTGGCCGCGACGGAAGCAATTTAAGGTCGGAGCCAGATTGCGAGTCACCGCGGAGGATGGGGCAATGTGAGGGAGCGAGCCCTATGGCTTGGAACGCTATTAGGGTTGTTATCTTGACGCCAACGCCAACATTCGCGATGAGGCACTCGGTACGATACACACAATTCCAGGGGCGACATGGGCTACGGCTTGGGGTGGTGACAGGACTGTGCGGATACATGGAGGCGACACGGTGCCACGGGAACAAAACGAGTACCCATCAAGTCAAGGACATCCGAAATGATACCATCACACCCCCCTTTTTGGATGTGGCTGAGGTTAAGCAGGCGCCTAGGCTCTGGCTCTAGATTATTCTACAATTCGGATGAGTGTGTGGAAGTGTGTATGGAGTATATACATATGCACATAATGAGCGATTGTTGCCGACTTCGTTGTCATGTCTCAGAACTCCTTTCAAGCCCTGCCCCCCCCTGAAGGCCTAGAAGGACGATGGAAATTGGCCCGGTTGCTAGATCCTGCCGTCTGCCATCTGCCATCTGCCAGGAATTAGGGGGCCGCTCCTGGGAGACGAACCCACTCTGCGCTGCGATGCACTGCGCTGGGTACGGGGATGAGCTGCATGTCATGACGACGGCCACGTTTCCGGGACCGTGATGTGCTGAATTTCGCCCCAGTTGCCATGATGATGACGCTGATGACTGAATCCAAGTGTGTGATTTCTTGCTTCCTGCCCTACCCCGATGTGTGATTCCCGCCCCAACAAACATGCACACAACCCAATCATCAATTCATACATATTTGCATCAAATTCAAGACCATGGGCCGCGGGGCCGGCCAGACCGGCGTGGATGAAGGAATGCGGGCACCATTAGGTGAATGGATGGGATGGGGCGCTGGCGCTCAGCGAAAGCCTAACCCTGGACATTGCCCCAATCTCTCGGGCCCAGTAGCGCTCGTGGGCTCATGGGTGCGAGGCGTTGGACTGACTCCTCCTGAGTCCTGAGAGAGCCGTCGAATGGTTTGCGGCCATGGCAAGTGTGCGCGCTAACAGATCCCCCAGACTTTTGCGAACGGGGGGCAACTAACAGCTGGAGATGGGGATTAGGACTGAGCCCTTTCGACGAGGGCCAGCCGTCATTAACACGAGGCCGGCAAAGAGCTGTACGTCAGGTGTGTATGGAGCCCGAAGCGCCGGACTGACGACACGAGCTCTGAGGCCCGCGACAACTTGGATGGGGAAGAGAAGCACAATGACGACGTTGAGTGGGCGGTCGCGGGTCTTTCGGGTCTGTACTGTCTCCAACGCCTTCGGTCTCCAGTCTGAAGTCCACATCCATGTTTTCTCCATCGCACTCCATCGCACTCCATCGCACTCCAACACGCTCCACCATCAACAACAACAATCGACGATGCATGGAGGGAACAGCCGAAATGCCCCGATCCTAGTCCGGACCAGGTGCAAGGTCGAACCGTGGATCTGGGTAAATTTTCTGCAAAAGGAGGAAATAAAATAATGAGCGGACGAGCCTCGCGGTGGACTCTGCGCCGAATGAAACTGCCATTATCTCGTTTCGCTTACCCGGATAGCTCCCCTAGACTGTCTCCAGCGATGTTGTGTCCCATCTCCCTGGACTACCGGCCCCGTGCGGAAGGGCATCCGGACAGCTGGCGGCGTGCACTGACTTGCACGCACGCAGAGAGTGACCATGAAGGAGAATTCTGTAAAATTGGAAGCAGGAAGAAGAAATCAACAGAACAACAAAGACATGGGCGTGGCCGGGGAGGGGGGCTGCTTTGATGAGAGACACGGTTCGGGCGCTGACGTCCGGAGTGCGCGCTGGGCTGAGCTCTTCCATCCCCAGGCGTGTCGCATTCCCTACAACCTTATCAGCAAGCCACTGTACACGCTATGCCAACGCCCTCGGGAGCAGCGAAAACACGGGGACTTGGACGCCAGGCCCGGTTTGGAGTCAGCGGAGACCAGACCCGGCCGTGGCTACTCCGTACCTAGGGTAGGTAGGCTTACCTGCAGAGGTACCTACAGCACCGTATTGTAGGTACCTCTCTCTACGCTGTTGCACTGGAAGGATGCGCTGGGGGGATGCGTTGGGGAAGGGGGGCGTCCAACTAGCACCCAAAGGCGTTGTCTTGTACTAAAATATATCCCACACTACTTCTTCACTCTCACACGCCCCCCCTATCCTTCATCCCCCCCCGGGCTGTGCCTATCGCTCTCTCGCTCTCACTCGCTCCCTGCCCCCGGAGCGCATCCAGTACGTACCGCGAGATACGTACCGCAAGACTCACAGACTCATGCTCACCTGCCCTGGCTGCTTTATACTTGTATCCGACCTTCGCAGGTCTGTCCCTCCCTTTCCTCCTCTCCAAGCAACAACAACACCGCACAAAGAAACACACATTCACATCTAGAGTCATCTGTCACAGTCCAGATCATCACGACCGCTCTGCCAGGCCTGCCACTATCGTTCCGTCGCTCCAGCTTCACTGTTGTCAGCGATCAGTACTCTCAGCTTCTGAACTAGGTACGTATCTTGATTCCCTTGCGCCGCGCCCGCGCCGCATGAGTCAACCTCCCATTCACCACCACCACGCACTCTCCTTGCCCCTATCCTCCCAAGTTCGCGTCGCATTACCATCATCATACCCAGACAGACTCTTTTGCTGACCGTCGCCTTTCCCTCTCCTACAGACTCGTTCGGAAGCGAACCCAAACCGAATACCGGTAATCATGGCTACCATGGCAGCGGCTACCCGCGATATCACCCAGGCCTCCTTGAGCCGAGACAACTTAGCTGTTGTAGCGGCTCGGAGTGTCCCTGCGACTGTGACACGATCTCAACCCCTCCCTACTCCCCCCAACTCCATCTCTCCCGCCCTTCCGCCTCACGGCCTCAAGGCGCAGCTCCAGAAGGCCAGGCTCGAGCCTATCGACTCGGACCTCGACCTTCACGAACCCGCCGATAACGGCCGGTCGGTCTCGCCTGCCCTCGTCGAGGCGTCGGGCGCCATCACCAGCTCCCTGCTCTCCAAATATCACCTGCCGGAGATCCTGCTCAACCACGGACCCCTGGCCATCAGACACATCATGGGATACCTGACCACCTCGGTACCGGGGTTCTCTGGCATTGCCCCCGCCAAGGCGCGGAGACTGGTTGTCGGAGCGTTGGAGGGTCGAGGAGGAGAAGGAGGCGGTTTGGAACGAGACGTGGAATTTGAAAAGGTTGGATGGGGTCGATGGGATGCCCGTCAGCGAGGACAGCCGGCGCGTCCCCGCCAGGGAACGCCGCCTTCCCCATACGGCACTGGCATCCCCATCAATAAGATGAGAGGCCAGGACCGCCTTCGAGCCGCTGCGTCGAGCGGCGCTGGGTCTACTCACTTTTCTCATGACGAACACGACATCTCCATGATGGAGAATGAGGCCGACAAGATGTCCATGGACGGCTCCGCATCCGCCTCGTGCTCCGAGGCACCGGATGATGACGTTGTTATGAATGACGACCCCGAGGACGTGACTGACGACGAGGATTGGGCGACCATGGGCGCTGCTGCCCTTCGAGCCGAATCCTACCCTAACATGGCTGCGGCCCAGACGGACCGCGGCTTTGTTCCTTCTTCTGTATACGCCCCTGGTGGGCTTCGATCGTTCTCTGCCAGCTCCGGCATGGCTCGCCCGCCCCAGCCAACAAACATCGACTTTTCGGCGTTGGCGGGCACCTCTGACGCCCAGGAGCGAGAGGCCGTAGAGGCTCTCCTTCGTCTCGGTTCTGTATAATACCTGTTTGCATGCGCGGCGTTTGGGGGCTCCGGAATTTTGCTGAAATGGTTCGGCTTCGGGTTGGCTGGTTGGCTGGGCCCGAGGAGGTCGTGTCGCCCATCATGATCGAGGCGGCGTCCTCAAGATCATATCACTATCCTCACGATGACACGGCTTTTCTCTGCACATTTCTTTCTTTCTTTCTCGCTTTCCCCACTTACACACTATTATTCATCCTTGGCGTCTTTGGGATTTGGCTGGCATTCTGTCTTGACATGGACAAATAAGCTTCCGATTGTGGGAAAAAAACAACGAGGGTGTTGGCCTCCATGAGGGTTCGCTTTACAGCCCACGCGCTGCTGTCGACATGGGCCGGAACGAAACCTTGCAAATCCGGTTGGGCGCGTTATATGATGGGACACGACGAGCCGTGAGCTGGCCGTCTATCATTGCTTTTTGTTGTCACTCAACGGGAGTACATTTGATTTCTGTTGGTCCCATTGGTCTGACCTGTGCTGAGAGCACTTGCTCCTGGCGATTCAACAACCCCTTGATGGGGAGGGCTGGTTTCCTTGGGTTGGGTCGTCTTCTTTTGCGGCATTCTTTCTTGCACATACCCGATTACTCAGTTGGCTTTGAGCATCCGCAACGACAATCACCACTTCAACATTATCTGTGGATGACTATTATGGCACTAGCCGTCACGGCTCATATCGAGCTTTTTTTGAAACCTTCTCGACTCCTTGTTTTAATCCAGTTTGGGGCTTTTTGGGGGGGGCAAATATCATCGTTAAATAGAGGAGGAGATGGAAGGGAAATAAGGTCATAATGGATTGACCCAATAACAACATGTGGATATGACAAAGGGGATGGAACTTGAAGGTTATCGCCATGGGCGCACCTCATTTTGTCTTTGTGTGCTGATGGCACCAAGACGGTCAAAAAGGAGTAAAATCAAGAGGGTGATCGGGGGATTAGGTAGCTTCCTGGCCGTTTCTTTAACAAGCCCTGCCAGCTCTGCAAATGGAAGTCTTGATCTTTCTTTCCCACACTATGTCTTAAAACTTGCAAGTGAAGGGTGAGCACCAGTGATATGGATGGTGATGTGGATGGTGCATGTGGGTGAGGTGTTTGCTTATTGTCTCAGCTTTGAGACTTCGCCACCAGATCAGACTAGCGAAGGAATGGGCTTGGAAGAGGGAGAACCTTGCGCTTGAACGCAGCAGTTTTTCTTGAACAGTGCGTATTTTCTCGTAGTGAAATGGTAGATGTAGTACTTGGACTGGATGCTTTTGTGTTGCTGTTGGATACCATGGAACCTGATACTTGTGATGTAAAGGTGTTTTGCATCTGCAGCTCCGCTTCGATGATGATGGCGTGGGTGGTGACGATCATAGTCACGTGAGTAAGCCTATTTGACGCGCTCCGCCTTCACGTCATTCTCAGTCATAGTGACTTGAGTCTGCTGTGATATCAATCGATCACTGCCTAAAATGGCGCATGCCGATGTGTTGGATTGATAAAAATAAAGCATGCGCACCCTTCAGTGGGGACGTTTGCTGAACATCGCCATGGCCTGAGTCGGGTTGAGTAAGAGGTCTCGCTAACCCTACAGTTGGCATGACTATGATCGGATATGGTAAATACCGCGCGGTCTGATTACGGAGGCCAAGCAAGATGACACGATCGATCCCGCTTCTGCATAACCCTGTGGGGGGGGGGGGGGATTCTCAGACTCTACTGTGTCAGCATACCGTTTGATCACAAGCCCAACTGATCGCCTTGGATGGCGACACATCGGAAGGACCCCCTTGGGACGCCGTCAGCGCCAACATGAGCTGACGATGAAATACGCAAAGTCTTGGCTACAAAGCTTGAGCGACAAGCGCCCCTAATAGCCCACCAAGTTCTTAACTCTTGCCACCGGGAATGAGATTGGGCACGATGGCGGGTGAAAACTGAACGGTGATAAGTGCCAAGCTGCATGCCACACTAGTTTGCACCGCCGCATCGCCGATAATACCAAGGCCTTGGCACAGGGGTCAACGTGCTGATGAGGAAGTCTTGGGGCTTCTTGGAGATTTTTTGGGGGTTTCTTGGCCCGCGCTTGGCAAACGCTTGGCTGTGGGAGGACGCCATGAGGATGAGGAGGAGCTGAGGAGTGGTGAGGATGCGAGCGCTTGGCAAATTGGCCGATAGAGCTAGAAATAGGGATAGAGACGTTGATGGATCTACTGTAAGCTTATGGAGTTTAAAGTTGAACGAGTCGTGATCGTGGTTGCGACGTCTGATACTGTAATTTAGTGTTGCTTCATCGGTCGCATCGCATCCCCCTCGTGGCCGCCACTTTCACCTTTGTTAGACTGGCTGGCGCGCACCTGGAACACCGGTGGGAAGGGAAAACGCCATCAGCGCTGTCGTTTCTCTTGCTCGGGCCCTTCGGAGGCAAGTTGAGTCCAGGCGGACTTGGACAGATGCCGCAGGGAAATATGGAGTCTCTCGGATCGGCGGGGCTCCCAGAGTCCGTGGCACGGCACATATAGCCGTCAGTTTACGACAGATGCGCAGCGAAATGGCTCTTTTTGTTTTTCAATTGGAGCTGACGATGAGACATTACGCAGCGCTGATCCCGCTGGCGGCGCAGAAAGATGCACCGAGTTTGCGGGTATGCTGCAGCCCAGTTCGGAGGAGGCACCCGAACGCTGTGGGCAATTGACGCAATATTGGGTTCACAAACGTGGGAGCTGTCTTCCGAATCAGGTTAGCGCAGGGAACTAACTGTACGTAACTGGGTGCTCCGTGTCCGGCCTGTAGTGACTACAAGAATGCGATGTGGTGGGTATTTCTTGGCTAGGGGGCGCCAAGGGCTTGGCAGGCTGGGGGCCAAGTTTTGCCAAGAGAAGCTGTGCAAAGGAAGAGACAGCCCAGATACGCCAAGGGATGCCAAGACACGCCAAGATACCTCAGCGCAAAAGGGCGTGGGCTCCAAGCTGGGCAGGTGGGCTCGGCGTCGAATGGGCGTAGACTGGGCGTAGGCTGGGCATAAGCTTGGCGGATTGCTGGGCACCAGGATTGGTGGCAGAAGGGCGAGGGAACAACACGGGGGGAGCAGGAGGCGGGCGGAAAGCTTGATTAAATCCGTCATTTGGCTCGAGAGCCAAGAATGCTTGAGTCGTGTGGCCGCTCGCCTTGGCTCCGAGCCTAATACGTACGTAAGAAGGGTCGCGGATATTGTTTGACCTGCTCGGATCATCGTATGGTTGCGCGTCGCCTGGCTTGGCTGTTCACTTTTGGGGCGAGTCACCAGATTCGCCAGATTCGCCGCTGTGGCCCAGGTTGTGTTATCATATGCCCGTCTTGCCACGGTTTCCTGCAAGTCTCGCGCCTGGCGAACCAGCCGACTCGGCCCTCTGCGGTGGTATTCTTGGCCCGGAACTTGAACCGTGCTCACACCACGGACGTCGGTATCGGTATGCTGTCCTTTCGTGCTGCCCTGGTTTGCGCCGGGCACCAAAGGGAGCGCATTTCGCGACAAGGTGGACAAGGACAAGTTGGACAAGGCGGCTTGTCGTGTTCCGGGGAGTTGTGAAAACCACCGCCCACTAATAAAGTTGACGGCCGGCAGGCTCGCCCCACCTCCCGGGATATGTTGCCTCCCAGGGCTCTTCAGGCCTCCTAGAACTCACCAGGGCATCCGTCTCAGGGCGTCGCCATCATCATGCAAAGGCCACGGCTGCGCGAGTTGGCGAGTGGCCCCCGGCCGTGACGCAAACCCTGGTTGCAACGCGGAGTCGGCGTATTTCGTTCTGACTGGCAAGTATAGAATATAGCGCGCACAGTGGGCGACAGGGAGGGAGGGAGGGGAATTCGGGACGATGGGATGGGGATGGGGAAGGGGAATGGCTCAGGTGACGTTGGGTGGCCGAATAAAACGCTTGACGCAGCCGTGGCCAGCCTTTGTGAGGCCCCGAGGTGAGCGAGGCCAATCGAAGCCGCGCGATGAGGGGCAGTGCCCAGAATGCCAAGCCTTGGCGGTCTTGGCACCGTTCTCTCCGCCCACAGTCTTGGCGTACCGGCGCCAGGCGGTACCTGCTTCCACACAGCGCAATTCGCGTCCAGCCATGTACTCTCTCGTCCCATGTACTTTGTAATCATCGCCAAGACCGCCAAGACCGCCAAGACTTTCCGCTCGCTCTTGCCCTCTTGCCCAGACTTTTGCGTAAATGTAAAGGGAGCTCTCGCCCCCGGAGACTTCAGGACAGGCGTTTCTTCCTCCCGAACATCTATCTCGTTCTTCTGCCCGTCTGCAAACTCTGTCAAGACGCGATTCAACGGTGGTTCTTTATCGTCGCCCGTTTCGCCTCAGTTTCGCTGAACCCACCTCCTCAAGGACAACCCGGCACCTGTCTCAAGCCATCAGCCCCTCCACGCTTGCGCTTGAGCCTGTGTCATTCAACGGCCCCTCGGCCAAACAGATACTCCGCACCGTCACCATGTCTGCCCCGGTCACGGAACAGCAGCAGCAGGCGTCGCAGCAGCCACAGCAGTCGACGACGCCATCAACGTCGGCCAGCGACTCCAAGTCGACAACTCCGGCCCCGAGTGCTGCTTCCAACACCTCCCAGAGCAGCGCTACCCCCTCCAATTCTTCCGATGAGAACCTCGTCTGCCGCTGGAATGCCTGCAACCAAAAGTTTGGCTCCCCAGAGCTGCTCTATGTAAGTCAACCACCAGCCTCACAAAGTGGCAACTATTGGGCAACGACACTGACTCCTTATTCAGGAGCACATCTGTGAGCGCCATGTTGGCCGCAAGAGCACAAACAACCTCAACTTGACTTGCCAGTGGAACTCGTGCCGTACCACCACGGTCAAGCGAGACCACATCACCTCTCACATCCGTGTCCACGTGCCCCTGAAGCCTCACAAGTGTGAGTTCTGCGGCAAGTCCTTCAAGCGTCCTCAGGACTTGAAGAAACACGTCAAGACCCATGCCGATGACTCGGTCTTGGTCCGCCCGTCTCAGGACCCCCAGGGCGGACTCAATTATAGGCCTCAGCCTCCCAAGGGTATGTTCTAGCTCTATTTTCTTACTTGATTTGTTCGGCTTTCCTTTCTCGAGGCTAACCCGCCTCCAGGCCCTTCTAGCTATTATGATCACAATGGCCAGATGCGAACTAACGCTGCCGCCTTCACCCACCAGCCTGGACCTCCTAGTGGCTATTATGCCCCTCAGCCCTCCACCAACTATGGTCTCTACTTCAACCAGCCGCCCATGAACAATGCCCGCACCGAGCACCTCGGCTACAACACCGCCCCTGCAGGCTACGATCGCAAGCGCACCTTTGACATGGTTGATGACTTCTTCGCCAACGCCAAGCGCCGCCAGATTGACCCCTCATCTTATCAGCAGATTGGCCGCTCCCTGATGCCCCTCCACGGTACCCTCTCCATCCCCAACGGGCCCATGGCCGCTGAGCAGCAGTACATGCCTCAGCCGGCCGGCCATGCTGTGATGCACGGCGGCCCTGCCCCCAGCCAGAACCCCTTGGCTCAGCAGTACTACCTGCCTATGCCCAACGCCCGGACCCAGAAGGATCTCGTCCACATTGACAACCTGCTCGGCCAAATGCAGGACACCATATATGAGAACGCCAGCCATGCCACTGCCGGTGTCCACATCCACAGCGGGGAGAACAACTTCAACGGATACCGCAGCACACCCTCACCCCCCACTGCCCATCGCTCCCCTGGTGGAATGCCAGTGACGGCCGAGAACTACCACTCCGTATCTGCGGCTAGCATGGCCTCACCCATGACAGCCATCTCCTCCACCGGAACTCCTGCAGTCACCCCGCCATCAAGCTCCATGTCATACACCTCTGGCCACTCCCCAAGTCCCTCGTCCTCGGCCATGTCTCCCCAGTCCCGTCATGGTTCAACGGCATCGGGCTCTGTCATGTATCCCAACCTGCCTACCAGCCTTCCCGCCGTCAGCCAGGGCTTTGGCCACTCTGCCACGACTACTCTTGGACCCAGCTTTGAGAGCAATGAGCGCCGACGTTACTCTGGTGGTATGCTCCAGCGGGCACGTGGCGGCCCTCTTCCCCGACCTCGTGAGGATACCAGCGGCGCCTCCACGCCTAAGGCTAGCGAGTCTGCTCTTTCGGTCGGCTCCCCCTCTTCCGAGTCGGACACCAGCGATGCTACCCGTGAGCGCGAGGAGCAGTACGACCGCTGGCTTGAGAACATGCGCGTCATCGAGACCCTGCGAGAGTACATTCGAGGCCGCCTTGATCGCAAGGAGTTTGCGGAAGAAGGCCAAGAGCGCCGGCCTTCCAGCGACAGTGATGCCATGGACATCGACGTCAAGAGCCCCAAGGGATCTTCAATTGAGCTTCCTCCCATCAACGCTCCTCGAGAGGGTTCTTCTCTCTACCCTATTCTTCGCATGCCTGGTTCTTAGGGAACTCATTCATCACTGGCTGCTAGTCGGGCTGTATTTGTATGATTTTCCTTCTGTCTGCAGTGGTCTAAGATTTGCCTGTGTGCAACTATAGCTTCCCGCTGTCCTCTAGTTTTGGCTGAAAAATATGTCGTGTTGGGTTGCTGGGTGGATAGGTCTGTTCTTTCATGAGCCGTACGGCTTCAAAGGGTATTTTGAAGATACGAGATATGCAAAGCATGATTTCTTTTGGATTCCAAATTTTCCTCTTTCTAGTTATCACCATATTCTCGTGGCGGTGGCGAGTTTCGCATGTCGAGGTTCTGATGGGTTATGATTGACTGGGAAAGATGATTTGGGTTGAAGGATGCTGGCTAAGGGTTGGGCTTTCTATTTCGCTAGCGCGTAAAAATCAATTGACGTACTGGAACTGAAACTATAATTGTCTACGACTGTGAAAAGTGATTCCTCATCGTGTGTGAGACGTGTTGATCGATCGTCTGGCTGGAGATCGCCTAATGCGATTAACGTTGACTAGACCCGATGATCCCCATTCTCAGCACCCCGTGCATGAACTATAACGTAGGTTCAAGAAACTCTGACGACAGTGATCGGCATTTGTACATACTGTTTTGGACACTGTTGAAAACGGTTTGCCCGGAACGCTCGATCAAAGGTCCCCCGTTGCTCGATCGTTATATGTATTGTCATTGGTGAAGTGGGAGCGATTCGTCGAATATTCCAGCCAGGAACCCAGAGCTCGTTTCTATGTATTGCCTTAGCATAACAGCCTCTCGACATATGTCTCCGAAGCTTTTAAGACGCTTAGTTTTATCCATCATCTGGAAAAGTCAGTGTTAGACAAGGGAAATCTCTAGAATTGACTGGTATCAACTTAGATCAATCATTTCTACAATAAGCTACTCTAATTCAACTTGGAGGACAATATTGACACGGTTGGGATTGGTAATTCGGGGGTTCAATGTTTAGAATTTATAACAAAGACTCGATACCAGAGGCGATTCCATGTTGAGTGGACAAACTGAAGCTATGGTGCAACTTGATGAGAAATATATTGAGGGCATAGTCAGTCCCGTCTCTCTACCTACTATTGTTTCACCTCAGATCTCTTTCTGGTAGACATCTGGATGTCGTCTAACTCACACTCATGCTGAAAGCTCTAACAACCTAAACCTCGCATCCGCAAAAAGGTCCCGAGTGGATGGGCAAAGCCTGTCCCACCGCCGGAGAACCGAATTGATCCTTTCCATACCCAGGCTTTGGATGTCCCTGTCAGTCGGAGGATGTAAACGCGGATACCTTCTGTAATGGGAGGAAGGATAGTGACCACATCTAGAGGGACACGAACAGAGCTAATTCGGATGCGCTCCGTGCTTGAGAAGTAGTGCAAAATAGCTGACGTCCCTCGGGGAACGAACGAGCAAGGCTCGACGCAAAAGAAAATCACACTTCGTATCTTTGACATTTGGGTCCGCTTTCGCTGCGATCAGGGCTCGGAAAATCGTGGCGTTGTCCAGCTCTATCCTCGTTCTCTTTTCCGAATCTTGTAAGCCAACTGCACTCTCCTTCAGGGTTATAGACATGGCTACCTCGAGCGGTGACGGGTGTAGATCGGAATCGTAACCGGGCAAACCCGGATCAGCTTTCTTGTCAAGAAGTCACTTCACAGCTTCGACCTGTCTGTTTTGGATGGCCACATGAATAGGGCGGCAGGATCGGTACATTTTCATATCCCAGCAAATGGAACCATCATGCCACTCTTGGTCTACTGGTGCATTCACTTCCAGGCACCGCTCAAGCATCTTGATAGAACCTAATTGCGCGCCGACGAAGAGAGGAAGCCAGTTGATGCGCCAGCTCTCTCTGTAGACCTCCCCGCTTAGAGATCTAGAAAATCTCTTTGACACCTTGACAAGATTAACAACATCCGCCATTGAGTACAGATGTGGAAGTAATTGAAGCAGCATCTCGTCCGGTAAGCTGGAGATTCTGTCGACATTGTCCCCCTCCTCGTTCTCCGTTGGCTCCTTCCAGGCGAAATCAGAAGAATAAAGGCGATCATCCCTCCACTCTTTTAGGCTCAGTCGAATAGTGTACAGTGGCATGGTTTTGGTGTTACCTTTTTAATTGAGGACTTCAAACTTCAGGCAGAGAAGGCATGTTGCTTTTAAGCACTTCTGGGTCGTTCTCAGATATGGCAGCATCATGCAACCTAGCTAAGTTCCGTTGTTTGGACGTCGCCTGTTCTCGAGCTTTGTCGTACGCTTGTCTTGTTCTTGGTTAATACGTGAAAGGAATTGTTCGGAGGCAAAGTTCTGGTCTGCTTTGTCAACCACAATGGTAGCCTAAGCTGCATTGCTTTCATTGGTAACCTAGCTGGGATGCGGTTTGTTAAACCACATGTGTTGCTGAATGCATCTTTCGCTTGGAATTGTGTTCACATAGCTATACGGTATGCCTTCTAACGTTACTGGCTAGGCGTGTATTTAGCGTCTTGTTCCTGCGCTCTACGTTCTCGACCCAAAAGAGTTCGTTAATCGCTAAATTTAAGGTATTATGCTTTCGGTCCAGATCCGTTGGCTTGAGAATTAGTGGAATTCCGGTTTCGATGGTCCCACACGGCGTCGTGAGATGCCGTGTGGGGTAATGAGCTGCAAAGAGTTACATCGTTCCTTGCAGCTGATGGGCAGTAGCTTTCTGTAAGGAATGACGCATGGAGAAGAGGAAAGGATCTGATGATATGACTCCGCTAGGAGCCTCGTACTGCGGCTGTCACTCCCGCTAAGATCAGGCAATGAGGGAAGAAGAGGTGGGCCGTGTGATTGCGAGACTTGAGCTGATTAGACTTCGGTGGCCCTGGAAAAGGGAGCTATTTCCGGCTACCGCCTCGTGTACACTAGGCAAGGGAGCGAAAGGTGACAGGGTAAGAGAGGCGGAAGATACTTTCTTAGTTTAGGTGGTATTATTTATCCTTGTTGCGGGTAGCTAAGTGTGTGTGGGTACGTTGGTGGCTGTTGAAGCATCGTTCTGGAGGCAGAGAGAACAAGAACAAGAGATGAAGTGTTGGATTGTCTGTGGTTGCCTCGGTCACCACAAGTAGTGCTAAAAAAAGCTGAGGAACTTGATCGCGACGAATGAGTCGGGAGTATATCCCTGACGACATTGACCAGGCACGATATGGGCTAAGCTTATCTTGTTGTAGGACATAGTGAGGGTGGAATGGGCCCAGACGCTTTGGAATTGCTTATTTTCTGGATGGCTCTCCTGGTGCTGCCGGCCCTCCCGGCAAGTCCTACGAAATGGGAATGGACGTCATATTTATATGAATGTCTGGTCTCGCTCTTACTAGTGATACGGCCTTGAATACCATCTCCGAACCAAGACAAAATACCAGATCCTTCCTTTCCACTTTTGAGACACTTGACCATTATCCCAGGGATCTTGACTTCGTCTCAAACCCACTCATACCTTCTGTGTCTCACAAATCACAATGCGATTCTTCGCCTTGATAGCTGTCTTTTTAGGAAGCAGCACCGTCCTCGCCGCCCCAGCCAACGCCAAGCGAGATTCATCATGTTGCTGTTGCGACATCTCAGAACCTGCCGTCGTTTGCAAGAAGATGGACGACTGCCTATGTTTGGATGTCTATTGCCCGGACGATGCTCCCACCATCTGGGCCAATACTGTTGGGCCTCCCGAGGCCACTGAAGGCCCCGTGAAGCGCCGAGACGACTGCGAGAATGACGACCAAGGCCATGGCTTTGACTGCTGCTGCTGTGATCCCTCGATTCCAGCTACAGTATGCGACTTTCGTGCCAGCCCTGAAGACTGTGTCTGTCTGGCAGTTGAATGCCCAGAAGGCGCGCCGACGATCCGGTCCGGTGATCCCCTACCTACCAAGACGCCAGTACATACACCTACGCCCACGCCCGCAACCCCGGAGCCGTGTTGCTGTTGTAACATTGGGCTGGGTTCGATCGTGTGCGAGCTGCGCACAGCCGTTGATGAAGGGTGCTTCTGCCCGCTGGTGATTTGCCCTGACGGTGCGCCCACCATCACAGTAGAGGCAAGTCAGCCAGAGAAGACGGAATAGGCTGGTACAAGAGACAATACGATACGGGCGGCAAGGATGAGCGAATGCGGGCTTATCCTCCTTCGTTCTACTTGGAGCATCTTGATTAGGGGCGTTTTTTCTCTTTCCATATTTTAAGTTCTGTCTGGTATGCCCGCATTTAGGAACTGGGCGTTGTGCCAATGTGGGAGTTATTCAGTGATATCGAAGATGTTGATGGCGGTAAGCTCCAGCCACCATTCCGACGGTTATGACAAAGTTTCAGACCATCATCAGATCATCAATAAAGTCTCGGGGAAAACGGTACTTGACACTGTCGAGCAACGTTAATCATTGTTAAAAAGGGAGGACGTAGGTAGACTTTATGTTCCTTGCGTCTTGTTTGTATTAGCTCCATTGCTCCAAACTTACATTGGTCACTTCACCGCTGTACGACTCATATCACCTCAGTCCAAAAGCAAGAATAGAAAATACCTGTATCGTGTTCTCCACATACATGATTCATTCACCATGCACTTCTCTATCCGGATAGCACTCGCTGCGGCCAGCGCCACCGTAGCCATGCTATAGCCGGTATTTCTTACCAAGTGCTGCTGTTGCGATATTCAACAGAACGAAACGGTGTGTGTACAGGAGCTCATTAAGAACGCTGCTAGTGCCGACGAAAATGATTGACGAAATGAATGACTGAATTGCAAGAGCCGAGTAGATGACAGCATTCCTTCTTGACTGGCAACAATGTTGGCCGATTTAATGCAGATATCATAAGACCTCTATGCCGCTCGGGTTTTGCTGACGCTCCCTGTGTGACGGTGGATGACTACTGTTACTATTTCCATCCGGGCCAATTTCGCCGGCGACCTGACAAGGTGTATTATCTCAAAACGAGCCACCAGACGCAACAAGGCAGTACTAGTATCGCTCTACCCAATGATAACTCCGAACTAAGTTCCTGCATGGAAGACAAGTTCCATCTTGCGGGACCTGGGGATGGAGCCACAAGCTTAAATACCCGTGGTACCCGAGAGTCGGGCACCTAGGATACTATGGTACATACGACAATGCTGGATCCCGCTTACTATGTATAGGATGGAGTAGAGGGAACATGGCTTCTCAATCGAGAGTTGCGCGGAGCCGGCGAATTCTGGACCGTTCGGGGCGTTGTAAAGACTAGGGACTACGTCCCTTGTCAGTCACCGACAGTGTTTTAACTATGAATCATGCGGCAACATTAGGAAGTGATAGCTAATTCCGGCATAGCAGTAGCATTGCATTTCTAAAAACATGTGTGCGGCATGAATGACGCGGGTTGGTGGGATATCAAGCCGCTTCTGCCAACATTTCCGTGGCTGTCATTTCATTTCGTATGGATGGGTTTGTGACGACGTGTGCATGAGATGATTACGCCTTCTAACCCATCTGGCTTGATAATCATGCTAGGAAGTCCAGCATTTGCTCACTAGACATGGCGCAAGGTAACATGGAATATTTGGTGTGGAACCAAGGATTAACAGACCCCTGGCATCCATGCCACATTGTGTCCCGAGCTCTGCGGCCGGAGGACGGGATTGGATCTGCAACGAGCCCGCGTGGTCGGGCTTTGAGTCGTTCGGCCGCTTTAAAATTCAGGTCCCCGGTAGCGCTTATTTTTTGCGATTGGCGGGGGAAGCTGAAGGCAGTAGTAGCCGGGACTCTGGGAGGGATGCCTCTTAGAGTCAAACAAGATATACGGAGTACCCGTCGGGCCATTGCATTTGGGTGAGAGACTTCGGAGCCGGCTCGGGGGGTGCTCCGTCTTACCACTCGTGCGTGCAGGCTGCAGTTTTAGTCTCGGAACTCGCACTTGTCACCGGGTTTCGCCTGTGGCTCTCGTATGTTCAAGGACGGCGATGAGAAAGATGTAGATGTCAGATGGATGAGCATTCGGGGTTGATGAGATAAGTAAGTACAGTGTGAGTGGGTGCTGGAGTGGGAGGATGAGAAGGAGAAGGAGAAGGAGAAGGAGAAGGAGAAGGAGAAGGAGAAGGAGAAGGAGAAGGGCCGGACGAAACCCCGGAGATCAGCAAGAGACGGCCAGGACCACGGACCACACCCACTATCAGCCTGGTTAACCGATTGCTTCTGTCTAATTCGGGCTCGCGTTGGAGGTGATCGAAGTTGTGAACAAACTAAGGGCTGGCGTGACATGGATGATGCATCCTACTCTCGTCCGAAGCAACACCTTGACCAGGGCTTTTTGCTGACGGATGGAGGGAAACTGCGCCGTCAGCCAACTTGGGTTTCACGTAGTGCTCTCTTCCAGAATAGAAGCACGCTTTAGGGAGCGCCTGCCCCCTGATCAGCCAGTACAGGTCAGCCTGGGCCAGCCTTGTTTGTCCCCGATTGTTCCTTCCCTGCCCTTCGCCGGGTTCTTCGCCTTTTCTTCGTTCCTTCTTATTCAACTCTGATCCAATCCCAGACTTCTGCAAGCGAGAGCCGTCCACAATCCAATCCTGCTACAATCCCCCCCGCTGATTGTCATCCTTCCTTCCGACGGTCGTCGATATATTACCCCTCCCTCTCTTTCTGAGAGCCCACACTGGTAATTACTTATTTAGTTGTTCTTTCCATCTGTTCCCTGCCGCCAATCTACCTTGTTCTACCTTATACAATGGACCCTCTGCCAGAAGATCCGCTCTCAAACGTCTCGCCGGACCTCCAGGACGCCGACATCATGCCCGCAACTTTGCCACCGCCAACGAACAAGCGCCGTCGCACTTTGCCCATCACCACTGACTGCTGTAGAACATGCAGACTCCGCAAGGTAAGAGCCTAGAGAGAAAACTGGCTCGGGACAATTTGTCGTCGCTAACTCCCAGTCGTCATGATGACAGGTGAAATGCACAGGCAATCCAGGAAATGGCCCTTGCGCCAACTGCGCCAGACTTGAGTTGTCGTGCCCCTTTATTGAGAATCGCACACATTCAGAGACTCTTGGTACGCATAGATATGTCTTTAATCCTTCGATTCCTTCCTACACTAACCACTGTGGCCTAACCACGTCTCACAGGCAAAATCTCAAGGACCGCTCCCTCTCAGAGCCACACAGAGGCTGGCACTGTCAGAAAGCGTGCCCAGCGAGCATGCAGTCAGTGTCATTCCCACAAGACCAAGTGCTCCGGAGATCTTCCCAAGTGTAAGAGATGCGAAGTGGGTAACCTGGCATGTGAATACACTCCAGCCAAGCGCAACTTTGCCAGCGTCCCTATCAACTCTACGACTTCCAAGTGCGATGATAATGTCTCCTCGAATCAAGGCTCTGAGGGTTCCGACCTTAGTAGTCCTGTTGTTAACAATAACGGAGGCCACTTTCTTCTCTCCATTGATGTGTCAATCCTCAACGCCGAGTAAGTGTCGTTGTCTATATTCAGCCACAGTGCTAACAGATGGTCAGGGAAATGCTATTCCGCAAGGACGTCATTATGAAACATATGGATGCTTACTTCGAGTACATCTACTACATGCCATGCATGGGGTTCTTCCGTAGAAATACAGTTTATCAAGAGATCGAGGTATGTAAACGAGACCCATGCCTCTGCTCAGTCAACCCCCATTTCGGATGCCAACCAACTGTTAGGACGGCATTTTCGATCCAGCTACAGCCGCCGCCATGTGCGCAGTCATAAGTCTATACCTCAATCCATGCGAAGCCGGTCGCGTATTTTCCATGAAGTGTAGCGAGCAGGTCGAGCTCTACGTCTTCCGCAGCATCTTTCGATTCGACGAAGAAGTCCTCATCCTCTACGCCCTCAACTGCTACCACAACTTTCTTCACGGCCACTTGGCCAAGGTCTGGCAATGTTTTGGGATAGCAACACGGCTTATGATCGGGCTTCAAGTGAATTGGGATGTTCGACCACGGGATCGCTCCTTTGCACATCAGGAGAAAATGCGACGTATTGTCTGGCAGTTCTTCTACCTGGATCGTCTCCTCGCCGGAGGCTATGACGAGTATATCGGGTGTCGTGACGAGATCATGAAAATTCGCCTCCCATGCAGCGAGGATGCATTCAGGGAAGATCGGCCAGTCGTCGTTGAGCGGTTGCATGAAAAGTCCAAGGACAAGAGCAACATGGGTATTCACGGATACCAGCTACGTCTTATTGACATCCGGCACCGTGTACTAGTGTAAGAATACTTGTTTCGTTCTTACCATCACCGCTAATAGCCACAGTGAGACCAGAAAGATGGGAGGGGGGCGTGGTCCAAATCGTCCACGTTTAGAGCCATCCAGAGTCATGTCCATCATCAACGGATTCCAAGGCGAGCTATCCCAAGTCAATGCATCTCTCCCCGAGCACCTGAAGCTCAACGACCAGAACATTGCGAGAGCAATGACGTCGGAGGATTCAGCCGGTTATGTTTTCATCCACACATGCATGGCCTCCGTTCACATTGACCTCTACAGCCTCTGCTTACCTGGCCTGCGAGAGCAGCTATCTGCCGATTTGCTCCGCAAGTTGCCTCGAGAGTTCGTCGCAAAGTCCCAAAAACAAGCGGTAGCACATGCTCTCTGTCTAGCCCGGTTCTGTGCCTCGCTCCAGCGGCGGCTTGACCAACAATCATATGCTAGAAAACTCAAGTTGGTGGGGTGTTCGTCGATGGTCAAAATTACAACTCAATGCCTCCGAGTGCTGTTAACAGCTTTGCAACACAATCTCTATCGAGACCTTGCTGATCACACGACTGCGCCGTTGTGGAGCAACGAACCTGCCGATGAGCCACATATCCGCTGCCTGATCGATAGTCTTCTCAAGATCAGCAAGTCATGGTGTCAAATTATCCCCAGGAACCAGCAAACGGTACGCCGGGCCCTCTACAGTGAAGCTCTCCTCTGACTCTGGATTACTAGTACGAGCGCAACAAAGCCGCAGTTGAGCAGTTTTACAAGACTCGAAAGTATGCCGACCAGAAATCACCAGGGCCTGTGCCTGACCAACACACAACTGGACATACACGACTACCTGGGCCGCAACACATTCTCGAGACTGCATTTGTGTCACCAATTGAGGAGGTCTATGGACATAAGGTGGATGATGCCGCTGCCGCTGCCCAATGGTTCGGTGCCACTCGGCAGGCAGCTCAGCCGGCCACCTACATGCAGGAAGGCGATTTTGATGTGGAATTCGGACCGCCTGGTCTCCCAATGCTTCTTGCCGAGGCACAGGGCGTGTCCCCTACGCCAACAGATGATATTGACACATTTGACGCCACAGATGACCTCCTACTCATCTCAAACAAGATGATGCAAATACCCAAGTTCAACGACCTCTTGCCACCCGATGATCCTATACGCCTCGCATCAGAAGGGGCATCGCTCGTGCTTCTAGACCATGCCAGTCACAGGGGCATGTTCCAACCTCCAATCCAGCATCCTGCCCCACAATCACAGTTCATGCCCCGGCAACCTGGTAATTATAATGAGTGCACCGGGCAGTACGAAAACCACCCGAAGGAGCCACCATACTTGAACCGGGCTAGCAATTAAATATCCAGGGGCAGCGATGGGTCGGATACAGAGCAGAAACTTGGTCGCTCGTGACGGAAATAAAAGGCCTTCTTCCTGGCAACTGAGGTGTCAGGTCGGGGTCGGGGTCGGGACACGCTTGGAGGTAGGTCGCAACGTGAACGATGAGTTCACGAAACGGATCAGGCTGGAAATCATGCTATTGGGCCGGAGTTCTAGTGCAAAGCATATCTGGGGAGGTTGATTCGTTTTTGCAACTCGGATTGGATAGATACCTCAGCATTGAGTCGAGTTCACATAGCTTGGCCTTTGAATAACCGTGTAACCTTGGGCCATTAACCACCAGGCAGCATTTTACACCAAAAGAGGATGAGGGGCTGCAACAATCGGTCGTAAAAAGCGTAAGAGCTTCAAGCTAAGAAATTATACACTATCGAATATAGACGGAGCTATACCACAGGGCCCATATTAACATGTCCCAGATTTGTCCCCACGACAGATCGCTGTATGTACAATTGTTGTTGTTCATGGCATCCACCTCCCCCTTTCAGCTACCACGGTGAGCAAGGTCCCGCCTTCTCTTTTGGCTTCTCGTGGAGGAGCACTCGCTGCCTCGCACTCTTTTCCCCCCTCTTTCGCCTCCTGGGACCTTGGTTCCGTGGTAACTGTGGACTAGTTAAGAGTCGAAACGGCGAGGGGGAGATGTGGTGGGGGAGGATGGCCGTTGATGGATAGCAGTGCGAAATTAAACCGCAACGTAACGGGTATATAATAACGGGTCGTGAAATAGGTTTTGGCCCATCCCCCTTCGGGATGTTCACTGCGAAGGGGGCGGCCAGGGTTGCGTCGGTTTTTTAGTTTTGGAGGTGAAGTTCCCAAAGAACGGGTTGGGCGGAAGGTCGTAACACGTCGTCCAGACGGTCTGGAAAAAGCATCGCCGGCGACGGAGAGTTAAGAAGGGAGGAAGGGGCGGTAAGGGAGAAATCGCTTATTGGAACTGGGAGCGATCCTTCTCCTTGAGGCCACCAATCTGGTTCATATCAATGGAGTAGAACTGGCCCTTGGCCTCCTTCTCATAAGCAGGCAGCTGCTCGTCGTTCATGGGCTCCAGGCCGACAGCGGAGTTGTCGCCAACACGGACGACAAGAACGCGGCCACTCTTGGGGCGACCTTGGTCATCCTGCTCGTCAGGGAAGGTGATGTGGATCTCAGGGACGTTGTCAGGAGAGTGAGGAGGCGAGTTAGGGTTGGTGAGCATGGGGCGACCGTTCCGGTCGACGATGAAGACGCTGGAGCGGCCGTTGTGCGTCGTCTCGATGGTAAGGCCACGGGGGTTGTTGTAGCGCTTGTTGTCATAGTACGGGGGCAGGCCGTCGTCCTTCTCGCCCTGGGCCTGCTCGCGCATGAGTTGCATGCGGCGGGAGCGGCGGAGGAAGAAGAGGATGGAGATGAGGATGAGGGCGACGAAGGCAATGCCGAGGACGACGAGCATGAGGTTGATCATGCTGTCGGAGCTGTCGTCGGCGGGCATGTCGGTAGCCCGAGCTCGGAGGTGGTGGATCGAAGGCATGATGAAGGCGAATGGTCGTCAAAATGAAGATCCAAGGGATCAAGGGTTGCTCTGGTACGGGGGGTAATGAGTGATGGGGTCGAATGATCTATTATTCGGGGGGGCATGTTAGCGGATATCGCACAATTGCGGTTCATGTGCCAGAATGTGGTGGTGGTGTCTGTAACGGAAGAGAGAGACGGGAGCTGTGTGCTGCAGTGTGCCGCAACGCATATCCAAAATGATGCCAGAGTCCATTCCGCTCGCAGGCTGGTACAATCGCAAGGACTGCGCTTGGCCAACCCAAGGCGAGGACATCCCACCCATTCATACCGCGCTGTGTCGCAGAAAGGAAAGATGCGCTGTAGAGGGAGAATCAGGGAGGCGGGGGATGTGTGGTCACGTACGCCAGGGAGAAATATCGCCAATAGTCGGGCTGGATGGAATATCTGGCGGGCTGGGCTGGCGCTACAGTCGAAAGCGAGGGGCTGGTAGTTGGTATACGCAAAAGAATGGAGGGTCGTTAGGGGTCGAAAGACTGGACGGAACTCAGCTGAAAGAGTGAAGCTGATGAACCAAAAAAGAGAGAGCGAAGGGATGTACAGTAGCAAACGATGCCTTTGGTCGTGATCACGAAGCTGGCCCGCGGCGGTTGAGGGAAGACAGAGCAAAAGAACAAAAGGAAGCACCGGCTGACGGGGGGGAAGCAGTAGAAAAAACAAGACGAACAGGGGGGTAGAGGAGATTGGGGGCCCCGGGGCGGAAATGAGGCCCCAGCGGTGCAGCGGCCAGTTTAGGTGCATTCTGCACTGTTTTGGTGGGCGGCGCGCTGGGCCACAGGGGTGGTGGGCGCGGTTCGGGGCCATCACAGGGGCCATCACACGCCGTAAGGGGCCCTTGGAGGCGGCCTTGTGCCCTTTCGGGGTACTGCGCTGGCTAAACCTCGAGGGTCTCTCAGGGGCGCAGGCGCTGTAATTGGCCGCCCGAGCCAACCGCTGGCCGCCCGCTCGCTGGCGGTGCAGGTGGGTCGCGCGAGGCCAATGGAATGCACGGACGATGGTGGACCGGGTGACCAGGGCATTGTTAGTGGGGGAGGGCCCCAGCCAAGCTTCTCTTACTACGCAGTAGGCGCGCGCTTTATTGGCTGCGACCGTTGGCTTGCTGCTGGCTTGTTGCTGGATTCCCCTGCCAAGCCTACCGGGGCCGGTGGAGAAACGGGCCCATTGTGCGTGACGACGACGACTCGATGGCAGCCCGCTAGGACGAAGAAGAAAAGGGTGTCGAGAAAAAGATTGGCTTCCATAGCCTTCTGGAATGCTGATTGGGGAGCTGTCTCAGTCGAGCCTGGAACGGTCCAGCGGTTCTGAAGATGGCAGCATGGCGGGCGGCACGAGGCAGGCAAGGCAAGGCGAGGCCTGACGACGGGCGGTTGGATTCAGCATTTAACGAGCGCGTGATGTGATATTGGCCACGGTCATGCCTGAGGTACGTATTCGGATAGTACATGATGTCGCTTATTCCCTACTGGATGGCTGGATGGCCACCTAGACGGCGGTAGGCTGATGGTACCGTTAGGTCGCTTGCATGGACATCACACTCCTGGCTCGTTCCGTCATGAATTGGCCGTCAAAGCTCATCCAAGCACCCGAAACCGAGCCCCTTCCCTTCCCCCTCAGGCGTCCGCCGTACTTCGCCTCCATTCCATCCGAAGCAACCGCTGAGCCAGCTGGCGACTGCAGCTATTTTGGACATGTTCTGGGCCACTGGGCCGCAGATCCGCAGCAAGAGACGGGGAAAACGCAGGCACGCGGAGCACGCACCACAAACAAGACAGGGACAAGCCCGACTTCATGCTTTGCACAAGATGCAGGTCAGTGAGGCCTTATTGTCCGTAAAATCCCCTTCCCCTGTCTCCGTCCGCGCACGGAGCCGCTGTAGGAATGCGAGTCCTGCTCAGATCAGCGCCTAGGAACGGTGCTCCTTCCGCTTTCCATGCTCGCCTCCGCGGTGGAGCAGTCAGCGATTGCTTCTTTCATGCCCGTGGGTCGAGCTTTGAGGTACGTGCTGGTTCGCCTCGTCTACCTACCTTACCTTACTACTCCATACGAATATCGTTTATCCAAGGAGTCCAAGGAGATCAAGGCTATCAAGCCTACCGCGTAGCATACCCATCCCATTCCGGTAGGGCCGACCGACAGGGCAAAGGTCGCCGAAATCGCGAGACTGAATCGCTGCGTGAAACCACCTCCTCTCGCTTCCTGGCGCTAGAAGGCCGTCATCATCCGCAAGGACGTTCGTTGGCTGCGTCTGCAGGGTGGCTCGGTCCAAGAACCCTGGGACCCTCATCCACGCTGCCACGCTGCCACGCAAAGGATTCGCCTCCGCTCAAATGCAGACTCGAGTGCAGACTCGAATGCAGGACAGGGCTGGGCGTCCATCCGCTGTTGCACTTTGATCGAACCCAGGATCGCAACTGTCTCTTGTCGCCCCGTGATGGTTCTGTCTCGGCCTGTCTCGCTGAGGAGAGTCCTCCTACGGTAGGTATCACGGTGCGCCAACACACACGCACCTCGTCTCCACCAAGACAGCTGGCATCGCTCGCTACCTCGCTCTCCGTCACACGCATTCATCACTGTCCTGTACTCGTTCAATCATCGCCGGCAATCCGATATATCCTCCAGAGGCAAACCGGCGGTGAGGCCATTTGTCTCTGTCCTCAGCGCCGAATCTCGACTGCCGCCCTGTGATTGGCCAGCAAGCGCCTCCATATTCACTCCTAACATGTCATCTGCCCAAGTTTTCGAGTCTGCTCGTTGCTTTTGTGTTTCGCACTTTGCCAACCTCTGTCCATTCTCATCAATTAGAACAGCAGTCTCTGATTGAGAACGCCTGATTCTGCCAATGTCGGCAGCCACTGGTGAGCTCATCTTCGGGCCCAGCCGTCGAGTTCTATTTCATTTATTCCCAGCCTTCGGTCCTACTCCGTCATCTGTCGCCTGCTTCGTGCGTCCACATGTGTTCCCATGTGTTCCCAGTCCCGCCAAGACAGCTCATCTGTCAATCAGCAAGACCAAGTGATCTCACCCAAGTGGGTTGAATATGCTGTCGTGCGAAAGCTAGAAGCGATGGTATCTCCAAGTCGGCGATAAACTCGCTCAAAGTGTCCTATGATCACCACCAGCCTCGTCTCCAAATGATTTTGTCATAGCGGTCTAGCGCGGCCACCTGGCGCGAATCTTGTCCACGGACTAGAACTTGTGTACCAAGCCGACTGATCACATTGCAATATCGATAGGTCACAAGCCAGTGTGGGTATTCATCGACTTCGATTCGCCATCACCTGCAGTCTCCTCGATCGCGGAACTGACCGATAATTAGCCATCCAGTAGAATATTCTAGGTGCGGGGGACTGTTATCTCAGCCGTTGTCTAAGACCAGGACAAACAGGCGGTCACGGAGTACCCGTAAACTATTGTTTGTCTGATTCACACCGTGCACCTGATAATACACCACATCAGACTGAATACATCACAGCTCAGAAGTCTGTAGTCTAGTGGAGACATAGCAGCATGGAACGTTCATAGGAGCCACTCAGAAAACTGGGCGAAGAAAAAGACCATCATCGAGAGACGGCTTGCCCTAGGTAACAATTAGGCCATTGTCAGACTCGAGGCAAATTATCTCTCCCCACTTGGACATACACTTTGTCGATTTTGTCAATTCGTCGTTCCAGTGCATGTGTTGTGAGATGGAGTGACCGTTGTCGTGGCCAGTTTCCGAGCCAACACCACGAATTAGTGCGTTCAGGCTTTGAAGCCGCCAAGTGTGTCGGATTCCAATACTCTACGTGTTGAGGATGGTGGTGGGCAGCGACGTTGGAGAATTGAAACCTGTCCCCACCACGCACCACTCACCGCGCACCACCAGCTACGGCCTCATATTACCAGATGCTCACTCAACACTTAGTAGATGGTCAAAAGCACTTTGTGTTCCCAGACGTTTTCTTTCTTCCAGAGAACACTCATTTCATCCAACTATGCAACTACAAGCAAAGATCGCGTTAGGGTGACATGGACCTTTTGATGAGGGAGGGAGTGATGCTCCGCCGCGGAACGGCATCACCACCTGAGCCCCATTAATATCTATGCCTTGAAGCCGTGGTGCGAGACGAGAAAGTTAGTAGACAGCGGGTGATACCGCTGTACCCATAGCCACGCTTGTCAGCAAGGTCAACATACCACGGATGATTACCTGGTTTGACATGGGCAATTTTAGGTCAGACCCAGCGTTCCAGAGCCGATGGGGGAGTTTTCTCACTCTAGAGAGAGGCGGATGATAGTGATACCAAAATGCACTTGGTACCATGGACGGGAAGATAGGTACCTGCCTCCCTTGCTCTTCGGCAATCTCCCTTCAAGGCAACGACTGCTTGTCGTTGGCAGTCCCTATGTGATGAGGGAGACCCCAATGCCGTAAGCGGATGTTCGGCAGGTTGCTGGTGGGAGGACGAGGAACAGACAGATGTCATCTGTCGCGGCAGTCTGATGTCGCTGGTTTGTTTGCTTGACGGGAGCACCGACCGCAGCTGTGCGCCGCGCCATGGATAAGTTGGGAATACAAGGAGGGAAGGACAGACAGGTTGGCAGGGAAGGGGAACAACCTCCATACAAAGAGTTCATGTTGGCAGCCGAATTGGTGTGGCCAAGCGGCCATTGTCGCCCACATGTCATAACTCCCACTGCTTCCTCCCTCGCTAGGGCTTGCAGGAGCTCTCTCGAGTCCCACAATCCACAATATGCGAAGTGTTCGAAGCACCCGCTCACATGGAGCGGGTAATTAGAGGTCTGGGGAGGGGAAAGAAAGAGGGGAGACGAGAGAAGCCATGAAAATTACGAGAGGAGGGAGGAGTACGTGCGGGAGCCCAGTATACCCATTCGCCTGGAAGAGGCGAGGGTGGAAAGAGAGAGAGGAACCGAACCCTCGGTTGCCTGCTCGCATATGGACGAATTACACTGGTTCGGCTCTCCAGACACATTCGTCGCACAGCTAAGGACGAACTATGCCAGAGCACCGGGGGCGGCGATGGGGCTTCGTTAAGAGAGTAGGTTTGTGTTCATCTGGACATGGCGTCGGCGTCATCTTGGTGGGATCGGCCGTTTGGTGTTTCTTCGCTGGACGCGCGAGAGGGTGCCATTTCATTTCATCGGGGTCGAAATAAAGGACAGTGAAAGCTCCCTGATTAGGATTGACCGCGGTTGGTGGGGGTGTCACTAAGCCCGCTTGGGGCTGGGAGGGGAGCTAAAGCCGCGATCTGGGTGGGAGCAGGGGGCTGCCCCGGCTTGGCTTTGTTGGCTTGATTAGAGAGAGGCCTTCTCTTGGCAATTGAATCGATGGCCAGGGCGATTTCATCAAATCGCCCTTGGTATCGAGGACTACGTGTTGAGAAGGGAGGATGGTGCCCATGCAGAGCAGAGGGAGGGCTATCGCGGTCTAGGGTTCACAGGGCACACGGTCACAGAGTCACAGAACACAGAGCACACAAGCGATGCCGGCCCAACCCCTCCTCCGTCCAAGAGTCTGCCGAGGACAGCGGGTGTGGCGGCCATGTTGCGGTGCAACCCTCGCGTCATGGCCGGTCTGGTTTGGCCTCCGCTGCCCTTGTGCACACAAATGCGCCGTGGACCAGCCAAACATTGAGACGCACCGCCGTGGGCAGGGCTGGCGCTTCCGCGGGCATGTCGGCAGTGAGGTAGGTGGGCGAGTACCCTGCTGCAGGACCTCTACCGGTGCGGGTACCCGGCCTGCTACGAGATCACCGACACCTGCACTTCTGTATACCCTTTTGCCTTACCTTGGCTCTGTCTACTTAGGTAGTCGTAGTAGATCTTCTTCTGCATTGCATCGCGGGTTTTGCTTTGCTTTGCTCTAGCCTGGCCGCCTGCTTGTAATCCCCTCGTTGCCTCCTCTCCGCCTCCTCCTGGTGCTTGCCTGCCGGCCCGTCCAGGTCCAATCCCTGGGTGGTTTTTCTCCCTCTTCCTCAACTGTCGAAGCTCGCTCCCCGTGTTTGTCTCCCCCCTCTTGCCATCCACCAGAGAGGTTCACATCGATACGGTCAGCATCTGACATTATTTGCCCTGCTACTGGCGGTTGGTTTACTACTACTCCTCCCGTCCGTCACCCTTGTCCCCTTCCCCTCCTGTTCCTGCTCCCCCACCATCGTCTCCCTGGTCATTTTGTTCATCCCGTCTCTTTTCTCATCTTCCTCCTTCGCGGCCTGCCCACACAAGCGCGCACGCTCGCACGCTCAAAGACATCCACCACTACCCATCGGTCTTGTCTCGCTCATCATTCCTCGCCCCGGCGCACATGAGCTATCCCTTAGCCTCGAGGGGAAACCACGGCAAGCCCGTCTTGACCTCTTGCCGCACCCGCGCATTCCGGCCCTGGAGGCGTGCAACCTGACGAAGCTGCCCTTGTTTGGCCCGCAGCCTGCTACATCTTTTAACTACTACGCCCGCCTCTTTGTTCGACCTTCCAACAACTCACCTCCTTCCGCCTCCGCCTTCCATATCCCTCTCTCTTCTCTTCCAATCACCCCTTCTCACTCTCTGAAATTTAATCCCTTTTCTTCTATCAATCTTGCTCTGTGCACAAAACAACCGAGTATACGCTTTAGTATATTTCCTCAGGGACATCTCTAGTGGCCCTTTCTGTTCAGTCTGGGACCCTGCCGTCGATTATTATTGACACAGTTACTTCACGTATCATCAACACCGACCAACCGTACCTACCTACCCTTGACTGTCCACTTACGGCTTCTTCTCTATATTTTTTTTGGTACATGCCGTCACAGTCCCGCATTTAAAAACTCCGCAGATCGGCTCGGTTCCAATTCATCCCGTCGCATAATCCCCCCCAAGGTGTTCCAGGATCCTGCTACATTCCTAAACATCGACCACACACACCCACGCACGCGACACCACACCCAGTCACTCGCACCACACAGGCGCATATTCACACACACCACAGGCAGCACACTGCACACTACACACTACACACAACACACTTCACCGCACACACGCACACACACACACACACACACACAATTTTTCTTATCCTCACAGTCGGCATTTGTGTTTGCCCTCTTACAGTTCGGGTCCTCCAGGTTTCTGGAACCAGAAACAAGAAAAGGCTACTAGCAACCCCTTGAGCCTGGAACGTGCGGCCAACCCTGGCGGCTGATACTCCTGACCGCTACCGCCTCCCTGCCGCTACAGATCCAGCTACAGATCCAGCTACAGCGCATCATTCCAAAGCATTTCTGCGAGTAAGTCCTGCCTTGCATACAGACACTGACTCTTCGGCCCCCCAAACTCCCGTCGCTTGTGTTTTTAAGTTGTCTGGCCCCCCTGGTCCGCCGGAGTCTCGACATCAGCCTTACCAACCCAGTACCAAGTCTACCCCGTCTTTTTTTTTTTTTCACCTCCACAAATGCCCTTCTGGCCTGTGAGCGGCTGCTGGTGCTCAACCGGGTATTAGATTGTGCTGACGCCTGTTCGGGGGTTACTTTTAGTCCCATCCTAGATCATTTTGTCGATAACAACTACCGCCCCATCATCTACCACGCAGCCGTTGAGCCCCATTCTACGAGGTCCGCCGTAACACGCCCGGAACCATTCCGTCTCTGCACCAGAACAAATACGACAGTCCTGCCAAAGCGGCTCCAACGCCATTGCAGGCCTCGCAGCTTCGTCCAGCGTCGATAGCGTGTCTTGTCTTGGCCACTGGCCTCCAACTGGCCGTCTCAGACCCCGTCCGTTCCACTGCCGAGCCTAGGCCCAGCCCCAAAGCGCAAACCCATCTGCCGCTCTAAAACCAAACCCTCCCTTGCGCCAGCGCCCTCGACAAAAGACCAACGAGCCCCAGCCAAATCCTGGTCCCGACACCGCTGAAAACTGTCCTCGTCCACCAACGTCTCTGCGCCCGACGAGACGACATTTCCATCCCTAATCATGACGACTGCGGTAAGTCTTCTCCTTTCGGCTTCGTCCCCGGCTTCGCCCCTCGGCTACCCGTCATCCCCCTGCCGAGGGCCCTGAGCCAGAGCTTGGAATGCGACGTCAGAGTGCTCGTGTGTCTCAACCATGCGCCAAACTAGCGCACAACTGGCCGGAGGCTTGATTCGCCCTGGCCTCGAGTCCACGTCCACATCAAAAAGACCACAACGTACCTACTCTTTTGCTCTACCGGCCCTCACAAAAAAAAAGGATTCGGTGACGGGGACAACGCCGCACGTCGCTTTGCAATTTATTTACGGCATACTGACTATCCTCTTTTCATTTTCTAGACGCGGTCGAGGGGATTCCCAAACTTCGCCATGCCCGCGGGTTCCAGCGACAAGTCGCAGCAGCAGCCCATCGCTTCTGCCTTCCCAGCCTCCAACCTCTACCCGAACAAGAACATCTGGTCATCGTCCATCTCCAATGCGAGGGACCGCTCTATCGCTTCCAAAGGTGCGTTTGAGGCCTCCGTCGCGTTCCCTTGGGTCCTCCAAGCGCTAACCCACAGCCCAGACTCCGAGGAGAACCCCTCTGGATCGAGCGCGCTCAACGCAAACTCTGAAGCCGACGTCGTCTGGGGAGCCAGTCCTTGGAACACAGAGAACCCTCCTCGATCTACGAGCACGTCGCCTAACCGGACACGCGATGGCGGCATCACCAACGGGTCGGGTTTCTTCGACCCCACACACCCTGCGATCGGAATGAAGAAGGGGGGATTCAACGGAAAGACATTCCAGGACGAGACGAATGGACACAACGCGCCCTACCCTTCTCAAAAGCGGAGTCCTCAGGAGGGCTCATACATTGACTCGATGGCTGCCTACAACTCGTCTCGCGACTCCAATGTCCCTCCCTCGCGTCAATCACAGGGCTCCCCAGCCTACAACGAGATGTACGGCCATGGACGTGGCCACACGCCCAGCAACTCCATCCAGTCTCAGCGACCAATGCCCACCCATTCAGCCTCATTCCAGAACCAGTCGGCAAACCAGCGGGCGTTCAACTTCAATAACAAGCAGATTGAAGATGACCTGTCGCTGCAATTCACCCGCAGGGTGACCATGGACAGCGCTGTTGCCGCCTCTGGCAACTCAACCTTCAATCCGGCCTCCCAGCCCTTCCAGATGAACCCTGGCTCCCAATCTTGGGTGAACGAAGCTGCCGCGTCTCGGTTCAGCAACAGCATCGACTTGGGATCTGACCCATTGGCTGCCCAGTTCCACGCCATGAAGCGGGGTTCTGTCGACCGCATCTCACCCGCACCCAGCTATCGCCTAGAGCAAGGAAGCAGTCCTAGAAGCTACGCGCCTACTCCGGATCCCTGGAGCGGCCGTCCCTCTTCCCGAGACCCGCGATCCGCTGAACAAGAGCGCCGGACTCCAGCTCAATACGCTCCACCTTTCCCTCCCTACTATCCCAACCAGTATCCCTACGCCAACTTCGCCTCTCAGTATCCCCCCAACTTCCTCGATCCCTACACCCAAGGCTTCCGTCACCCCATGCTTCCTGGCTATACCCTTCCTCCCCTGCACGCTAGCTATGCCCTGGGTGCCAATGTGCCTATCCGGCCGGCCCGTGATCAGGACCCTGGTAAGGGCGTCCGCAGCGTTCTTCTTGATGAGTTCCGACTCAGCAGCAAGTCCAACAAGCGGTACGAGCTCAAGGACATCTACAATTACGTGGTGGAGTTCAGCGGTGACCAGCATGGATCGCGATTTATCCAGCAGAAGTTGGAGACTGCGAACAGCGACGAAAAGGACCAGGTATTCCGGGAGATTGAGCCCAATGCCATCCAACTCATGAAGGATGTGTTTGGAAACTACGTCATCCAGAAGTTTTTTGAGCACGGCAACCAGGTTCAGAAGAAGGTTCTTGCGGAAAAGATGAAGGGCAAGGTTGTGGACTTGTCCGTACAGGTGTATGCCTGCCGTGTGGTCCAAAAGGTATGACTGCTCTCGCCACCTTTGAGGAAATACGGTGCTAACTTTTTACATAGGCTTTGGAGCACGTCCTGGTGGAGCAGCAGGCCGAGCTTACCAAGGAGCTTGAGTCCGAAATTGTTCGGGTCATCCGAGACCAGAACGGCAACCATGTTGTCCAGAAGATCATCGAGCTTGTGCCACGTCAGCACCTTGACTTCGTCATGGCGGCCTTCAAGGGTCATGTGACGGGCTTCGCTTCTCATGCCTATGGATGCCGCGTTATCCAGCGCATGCTCGAGCACGGCAATGAAGATGACAAGGCCAAGATCATGGCTGAGCTTCACGGCTCGATCCAGATCCTCATCACCGACCAGTACGGCAACTATGTTACGCAGCACGTCATCCAGAATGGGAAACCCGAAGACCGAGCGCAGATCATCCAGCTGGTTATGTCTCAGCTCGTGACTCTGTCGAAGCACAAATTCGCGTCAAACGTCGTGGAGAAGTGCATTGAGTACGGTTCGCCTCAACAACGGTCAGGAATCCGAGAACAGCTTACGGCTGTGGGAAGCGACGGCACCAGCCCTCTCCAGCAGATGATGAGGGACCAGTATGGAAATTATGTGATCCGTAAGTACACACATAGCAAGCCCATTGACCACGCTCTAACCATCTATCTAGAAAAACTGCTTGGGCAACTGGAGGGTACCGAGAGGGAGCTCCTAGTCGAAGAGATCAAGCCCCAATACTTTAGCTTGAAGAAGAGCGGGACTTCGCGACAGCTTCAGGCTTTGGAAAAGCTGCTTGGACTCAGCAGTGGCAGCACTCTGACCAAGACAGGATCGAACGGACTCCAGGTTGACTCGTCGGCCCCCACGCCCTCTCTGACGAACGAGACCAACAGCCCCCAGAGCAGCAGCCCGCCCAGCACCAGCGCCAGCGCTGTGGGTGTTCCTGCTGACGACGGAGTGACCAAGGCCTCGGTGGAGGGCGTCACACCCCAGGTGCAGGACAACGAGGTCTAAACCTCGGCACGAAGGCCTTTTAGGCGAGCAACTTCTTTCATAACTTGTATTATGACGTTATCCCGGGATCGTTGGACTGGTAAAATCTCACACGCTGGACGGTCCCGTGGGAACCAACATAAAAGCACCCAGGCACACTACACACATTCTTCACATGGAATATATGGCATCGTTACATGATTCACTAATACAGCACGGCAGGGCGAAGGGGGTAGATCAACCCTTCGCCTAACTCTCTTCGGGGAGATACGGTTGCACATGCACAAAGTCTCGATTCTGGATATTCGTCAGGCGGTCGATGGGTCAAGGAATCCCGAGGTTAGCGGACTTTTCTCTCGTGATTGGACGGGTTTCATTAGTGGGATGAGAGAAACAAAAAAACACAGCGGGGGTCTGGGTATTGTTATTTGCTTCTTTGCCTTTACGGGGTTTTGCTTGTTTACTGTACTGGGTTATCGGGGTCGCGAGTAATGCAGCGGATCGGAGGGGTATGGGACAGATCTCGGGCACTAGACTACGGCCAATGGAAGGGGAAATATGGTATTATGGGAAAACGTCGCATTCAGCGGGTGTCTTTTTGACTGGAATGGGATGGGAATGGAATGGGTGATGGTGGGGGTTTGGGGTGTGAGATGTAGAGCAGGGAGGTGGGATTGTCCATAGAGCTTCTGAGGAATGGGAGATTGTGCATGAAGATGAGGTTTGGTGTTTCGGGTCGTGACGGCGTGATGTCTTTGAGTTGCGGGTCGACAATTTCACTCGAGAGCATCCCTTCGGAGCAGGAGTGAAGTAGCTGGCAAGGGTCACAATTGCGGGCTCGGAATCAGGCAAGTCAGTGTGCGAGGCGTTTCATCCCAGCAATCATTCATCAATGAGATTTGAAATTATATTCCCCAGGTGACGTCCCTGGTTCTCCTCCTTTCAAATGTGCCCTGTAATCAACAGCTGAATAGGTAGTGGCTATAGGTAAGATGGTGACATCAAGCAATCCGTTGCTTTAACTTCGGAGGGGAAACAGACAAGAGAGCCTCTTTTCATTCTAAGTTGATCCAGGAGTAAAACCGTCCAATTTCCACAAATTTGTTGTCAACTAATTATCCTGCTCGCTTCTGGCTGTTGTATCCGTCGGATGGTGTGGTATAGGGTAGGGGGCTTGCCAAGTTGGACGTATCACTTTAGGGGTACCATTTTGTATCATATTCAGCGAGCAATTCCCAACAATCCTCATTCATTTGTGTCTTTTATAAGACAATAGAGAAGGCATTTTTGTAAGTTCGAGTTCTATCACAATTGATGGAAGATGTGACTGCGATGATTGATAAGTTAATCATGACGTCGGTAAATCTAAGAAACAGGAGTGAACTAATTGCGGCAGCTAAGAATAGGAGTGTGGCACATATCGAGTCACGTAGCCAAGCTGTAACTTATGGATATCTTGCATGTCAGCCAGACAATACCGAAGATCACAGATGGAATGAGTGTGCAACCAAGCTGGAACTGTGTATTGTATCTCCGTAGATATACTATCGGCTACTATATAATAGACAAGCAGCCCAATAATTATGTAACTCCCATGGATAGCAATAATTATTGAAAGAACTCTGCTTTCCGTCTCCGTCTCTGTGGTTTGTTTCCGTCTCCGTGCTGGTTTTGCTCTTGGTAAGTGTGGTGAGGTTTTCGGCCCAGTCAAGACGATGCATGCAATGGAAAATATGTCGGCTGAAACGTCCGAGCCGAGGGCCAACCAGTGGAGCATTTACTCTGTGATTTGCTAGACCTCCCGGATCCCAAACCCGAGCATGTTTGGACACTATTTTGCAATAACAAGGAGATGGGGGGGGGGGCGCTATCTCGCACTCAGAGCGCTCTTTTCTTCAAATTTGGGCATGGCAACACAACCCTTGTCCCATACGCAGTAGGTAGCGGACCACGCCCTTGATTTTGTGGTAGCGGGAACGGAGAACTTTGGGCGTAATGCCTTTTACCTTGGCTATACCCTCTGGCCTAGGCTATCCAATTGCCACTGATGTTTTGTCATTATCCCAAAAATCTCACTCGCCTTTTAGTTGTCAACTTGGTGTGTTTGTAGGGCTTGTTGTGGATGGACGTTGTCGCTGGCCGGCTAACGTCGGTTCTTGGTTTTTAGTAAGACATTTGCTCAGTGCTGTCATTGCTTTTAGTGCTGTCAGCGCTGTAAGCACTGTAATAAACGCGCCGTCCCCCTTTCCTTGACGGGGATGACGCCACGTGCAGAGAGCTAACGTACGGCATTTGCCGGCTCCGCCCCCGGAAGCTACAGTAGCTTGTCCCTCACCCGGGATTCACTGAGCAATCTTGGAACCTGGAACAAGTCGGACCTCTCTTGGGCATCATCAGCCGCAACCAACATCGACGCTCAGCAACGCCGCGGTCCCCATGGTTCGTCCAACTCGATGCCGATAGCCTGCACCATTCCCTACCCCCAAGCGCAATGACGGCCGCCGCCCGATTGACGTTTCTATATCCGCATTTGCTGCGCAGCGTCCGCGCGGGGGGGCCGTCTCGCGCCGCGGGGTTCGCCAGGCACAGGGGCACCTTCGCACGAAGGCGAGGGAAGGCAGTCGAGCCTTTATTGAGCGCTGTGAAGCCCCAGACTCCTGATGCCCTGCCCAAGGTAATTGAGGTTGCAGCTCCCGTGGAGGACGTTGAGCAGGTTTCTTCCCACCAACCCACGAGCCCAGTGCAGGACCCGACATCGGACTCGGCCCTGTCCTCCGATTCAACGTTGACGGCCGATGCATCCAGCGATATCAATCTGGCGCACGGCGATCAGACGTCGAGCAGTGCCTCGCAGCAGCCGAACACAGCCCAAACTGCCGCGGAGGAAGGAGCTCGACTAGCGAGGGACGAGGCCAAGCATAGCGGCCCCCTGGAGGAGGTCCTTCACATGCAGCCCCCCGAGAACATGGCGAAGCAGGGCCCTACCATGTCGCCGCCGCCATACGTCCACCACTTCGACAGCTACTCGCTCGTGAAGCAGCTTCAGGACGGAGGCTACTCCCTGGACCAAGCTACGACTACCATGAAGGCAATTCGCTCGTTGCTAGAGCAGAATCTACGTGTTGCCCAGTCGAGTCTGGTCAGCAAAAGCGACGTCGAGAATGTGAGATGGAGCATCTGAGCAAGAGACTGCGCGCACAATTGCTAACAGTCGTTTTCAGGAAACATATCTTTTTACAGCTGCATGTTCAGAGCTAGCTACGGAAATCAAGAATAACCGACGCCTCGAGGAGGAGCAGCTCAGACAGCAGCGGACGCACCTGCAACACGAGGTGGACATATTGACGCAGTCGCTTAACCAGGAGGCCCTGACGCTCAATGACAACGTCCGAGGCATGTTCAACGATCGCAGGATGGTCGTTAGGGAGGAACAGAAAGGTGTTGAGAGTGCTGTAGGTCGTCCTGACGCTGACTACCTTGGTGAATTCCAAATCTAACAACCGCACAGGTTCAGCAAATCAGCTACAAGATCAGCATCATGCTCAGCAGTGATGCCAAGTCGGACATTGAGGCTGTTCGGTGGATCCTGATTCGGCGATCCGTCCTGGGCATCCTTTTCATGGCGGTGCTTACCCTGGGCACACTACGCTACGCCACGTATGTCAGCCACGAACGACAGAGGGAGGCGGACCGGAAGAAGAAGGAAGCGGAGGAGAGGCGACGCGGTGGTGGGAAGCGAGATCACACCTCGGCGCCTGACGCCGCGGCGATTTTGACGGCGAATTGAACCGGCGGAACGATTCAATGACGACGGAGGTGGTTGGTTTTCCTTGGTATTTTTCTTTCTTTGATACCGATACCCTATAGACTTTCTTGGGAGGGATACTGTTGATACTGTCATGCACACGCAATGGATGGGCAGACAGGAGCGAGTTGGATGCGGAACATCTAGACCAGAGGCATATCGAGGTCTGGGTATGTGTAGACATATGGAGCATGGGGAGCCTTGGAGTCCTGATGACCGTGGACGGACAAAACAAACGCAGACGTCTTGTTCCCAGAGAAACTGGGACAAGATACAGACGCAGAGACGGTGGCTTTGACTAGCCAATTTCCTTAGTTATTCAGAATATACATTACTTGTGTTAACAAGCTGGAAACAAAACTGCTGATAGCCTCCACCTAAACCCTGTGAAGACGTGTCGAAATTTTCTTGATGCTGATCCACGCTTCGGCGCGTCACTTCTACGGGTGCAAGCCACTCCCGCGCGTCCCTGAACTTGCACCGCCACTTGAATGCCACACCTTGGCCGCCCCACCCGCCACCTATCGAGTATAAATTCCCGGCGACCCTTCCTTCCTTTCACTTTTTTTTCTTTCTTCTTCACGTCGACAATACTTCAGTAAGCCTCCCCCCTACTGTAGAGCACTCTCCAGAGCACTGTCTCGTCAGGCTCTGGCGATCTCTCACCATCATTCTCTTCTCGTTGCAGTCTGCTAACCCACGTCCGCAGGAGAATCATTTCTATAGTATTCGACCTTCTCTTGGTTCCCTAAAAGAGCCACAGATCCCACCCTGGTTGATGAGTGCATATCCTCGACACCCTAGAGTGAATACCTTGGTCCTCTCGCTCTGTCCGCAAGGATGGCGGAGCTGCTTCACGGCGGTCTCTGTATAGAGAGATGTTCACCTCTTGATGATCTCGACCCCGTTTGCGGTCTGCCTTCGGGCGCGCGCTCGGGGTGGGTGTCGATGGACGTCTGACAGGCGTGTTTCTTTTTTTCTTTTTCATTACATCGTGGGGCTTGCCCTGGACGTGAGGAAGAAGTTTCGTCCATGGTGCGAACAGGCGAACATGGGTGAAATGCTTGGTCTGCTAGATGAGATCGCAACCTCTGTCTCTGGCTCTGCCTTCCCTGTGACCATTGTCGTAGAGCTGGCAAAGCCATCCAGTGATGGTTCTACATTGCTGCCAATCCTCCATATTCTCTACCTACGTATTGCGTGCACAAACATCATGAGGACCCAGAGAATGCGACCGCATGCAAAACACGAGTAATTCGCTGGCGCGGATGTCCAAACTGCCAAGAAAACACGTGCGATAAGCTACCCCACGCGTCTGTCTTATCGACGGCGCGTCTCCCACCTTGAACCACCTTAAACCACCATAAATCATCGTCACCACCATCACCACCATCGTCACCCCTCACCGCCACCATCGCCGCGCAACCACATCCACAATGGCGCCCCAATCGCACAGCGAAGGCCCCGCGGTCGCTGAGCCCGCGACAGAGCAACCAGCCGCCCCCAACGACGACGCAAACGAGGACGAACAGCCCGCCGCCGATGCGCCCGCCTCCCCGCCGCTGCCCTCGCGACACACGGCCGTCGCGCCGGGCCCCCGCGCGTCGCGTCTGCAGGAGCTGTACGCGCAGCGCCTCCAGCGCACGCTGGGGAAGCTTGCGTGGCAAAACTTTGCCGGCTGCTATCCCACGGTGGCCAGGAAGGCCGAGGGCGTGCTGAAGCAGGTGCAGGGGCAGATGGTGGACAAGCTGGGGGAGAAGTGTGAGGTGAGTTTCTCCTCCAATTGCTATTTTCCGAGGCTTCCCATGGTGGATTTCGGGAGCTGGGGGCAAGTTGAAGAGGGAAGCTATATGGATGTGGTTTTACAACGAAGAAGCTGATGAATGATCCCCCCGCCTCGCAGAAGGAATTTGAAAATATCATGGTCGCGAGACAGGTCATTCCCAAGCTGAACGACCTCGAGAGCCTCATCAGCGATGCCTCCCACCGCCGCGCCGAATCATCCTCATCCACGACCGAAACTACACCACCAACACCGTACGCGCTCCCCTCAAGGTCCCCCCTATAACCCTAACCCTCGCGTTGACAATCATGACAGCCCTCATCTTCTCCCGCCCAACGCCATCCTCGCCGCACACCTGCACCCGGCCCTCACCGCCCACCAGTCGCAGCTCAACGCGCGACTACAGACGACGCAGTCCCAGAACGCCCTGCTGTACGACGAGGTGCGCCGCCAGCGCGCCGAGATTGCCGCCCTGCTCGACCGGCTCGATGCCGTCGTTGCCGATGTCCAGGTTGCCAATGACGCCTTCCGGCCTGTCGCGGATGACCTCGCCGCTGAGACGAGGGAAGGCCTTGCGGCAGTCGAGGCGGCGGGTGCGCGGAGGTCATGACCGCTTTGAGGCTGGTTTCCTGGCGGATGGGACCAAGTTCGGAGAGGCTCCGGGAGTATAATTCCTAGCTTGGCTGAGGGAAAAAGGGCCTTACGGGAAGTCAGGATACTTCTGGGATATGATCAAGGCCATGTTAATGATACCACTTTTTTGCCTTATGAAGCTACACTTTTCGATTTAGTTGCGTTCTTTCGGGGTTTGGGTCACAATATACAAAATCTCATGGAGCCCATGTCATGTGTCAATACTCAACGTCTACAACTCGTTTGTTCCTATATACAGGCAACGTCGTGCGTCCCAAAATGGTTGATATATACAAAACCACATGCTATTGGAGAATGAAACTAGTTTCCCTGCAAGCATGCTGCCCCAAAGGCTCCATTGACACGAATGGGTCAAAAAGGCTATAAATCAGAAAGAAATCTAACTCCGGTCCATGTGTACTTCGAGCCCCCTGCCAATATGGCTTATGCACCCCTGAACGCGCCAGATATGCAAAGATATACACAACCGAATCAGAGAGTCCAAGGAAATAGCTCGTGTGGCTTATATTCAAAAGTCGTCTTCGTGAGGTAACGGGATGTCCTTCAAAGGGCCGGTATGGCCAAGGTGCTCCTCGAAGCGCTGAGTGAGGTAGGTTGTCTTTGAGATAATGGTACTTCGTGAGGTGGATCATGCCGTCTTGGCATGTGTTGTTAATGAGATGATAGATGATAATGTTGATGATGATGAATGATGTTGATGCGTGATTTTCCAGGACCGCCGTTGGAATGCTCCGAGGTAAAGTAGGAAATGTTGAACCATAGATGGACCGTAACGTTCGTCTCCGCGTCGTCGAGAACCGTATAACTCTATATCCTTCTGTTTTCCGTATGGACCACCTGCCAAGGTCCGAAGTAGTCGACCTCCCCGTATGCCGGGGGTAATACCCTCACCATGCGACCCGTTGTCCAATCCACGTACCACTGCTTCCCCTTGCAGATGATGTAGTTAGACTTGCGGGGGCTCCTGAACAGGAGATTGCTGTAGCATAGTTTGGCGTATAGCATGTCGTGGGCCCTTGACCACCGATGTTCTGGAAACCATTTCCCTGAGCCGGGGTCGATGGCGAGGTTAGGATACGATGTTGTACTTAGCCGGTGAATGGGGTCGATTCGTGGGGGAGGCTCTGGCGCACCCTCTGTCTCGGGTTCTATCGGTATCTCAGGTTGCGGGGGGACTGGCGGGGGTGAGGTAGAGGGCCGGCGCTCGACCTGAGATGAAGAGGCTTCATTGAGTTGATTCTCTGTGAGGTCGAGCTCGGACAAGTCAACGGTAGTAGGGGTTGGATCCTCGCCACGGAACCACCGAATGCGTTGGATTCGAGGAATGGACATGTCGCGGGGGAAATCCCGATCGTCCAAGGGGGTAGCGACGTCAATGGCCGCGAACAAGCCCTCTAGCCACTTGACAAAGGTGCTTAGTTCGACACAAGATAGGAGGAACTGGTCTGTTTCTGCGCGGATGCGAATGACATACCGACGTCTACGAAACATTAGTACTTGGACGTGGGGCTTTACACCGGTTGCTGTTGGCGAAAGAGTTGACTCACTTCTTGTAGTCGGCAGCGATTCCGACATCAGCGTAGAGAAGACTATATGACCTTTCCAGCTTCGACTTCTTAATCCATGGAGGGTTGTCTGGGTCGATGGACGGGCCATCATCACGGGTCCTTCCCCAGCTCCAGGCCTTCTTGACCTCGTGAATGTTGAGCGCAGTTCCGTTCAGCCTGACGTATACGGTGTGCCATTGGCGATCCTCGGCCCTCTTCGTCGTGTTTTCGATCTCTTGCTTCTTGCAGAAGACGCCTTCTAGTGCTATTGATGTGTTGTATTCCGGAAGTTCTTCCTGTAGTTGTTCCTCCTCTTCTTTGGTGACTGGGTAGCGGGTTTCGTCGCCGCCCCCACCGGTCGCGACCTCTTTCCCCTTCTTGGATCCCTTTGCATGGCCAGAGGTGGATGCCGTTGACCGATCGCGCTGGTACGGGGGCGGCAGCGAAGGGCGACGAGGGTTTGTCATGATGCGCTGATAGAAGAAGTCTTCTTCCATCGAGACACGCCGCCTCTCAGGCGGCGATGCAGGAGCGGTCGGAGATAGTCCATCGTCCTCGGCCGGGACCCTGCCGGGTTCCATGGGGGGAGGTCGTACTTATATACGAGTCTCTCGAGACGTCTGGCGACCGGACGAAGCGGAGTGGGATGAGCAGAAGGAGTCGATGCGTTTGGGGGCGTGCGACTCAAGGGACCGTCGCCGCAGGAGTCTCCGTAGAGGGCGACAGGCTGGAGAGAGTGATCATAACGACCCGCTCTGGAGCTCGGTGGAGAGAAGTAGAGGAGAAAGAATGCGAGCGAGCCAACAGAGGAGCAAGGTCGATGAACGGACAGTCAGCGTGGAGCCGAGGCGAGAGCCATCCGTCATTGAAGGAAGGGCACAAGCACCAAGGGGTTTGGACGGATGAGGGGGGTGTGAGCTGAGTGGGATGGGGAGTCTGGAGTTGGGCGACGCGACGGACCAGTCGCTGCCACAGATGGAGTCGGCGCCGCAGTGGGATTCGATGGGGATGGGGTTGGGAATGGGAATAGAAGGGGCGTGGAACACGGCGGCTCTTTTGTTCGAAACTAGGATCGCAGGGTCAGGGCGGCGGCGGAGAACAGGCGGAGAACCAGGCGACAGGCGGAAGGCGGATGGTGGATGGCGGACGGAGAAGCACACGACGGGGACTTTGAGAGGCGCCGGGGCTTTCGAAAAGACCCACGTTGGGCGCGCAGAGAAGGAGAGGGAGTGGAGTGGGAAAACCGAGAGGGCGGATGGAGCGAGATGGAGGAGGGATCGAGTCCGTATGGGAACCCGGAGAGAGCGAAACGACCCCAGAGCAACGGAGCAGCAAGTTGCAGCGCAGCGCTGAGGGTGTGGATCGTAGCACGGTAGAGGGTGGCGAGATGAGCGCACGAGCAGACGGTCTTCTAGGTCTCCTAGTGGGATTGACAATTGGCAGAGTGCGACGGTATTGGTTTGTGTCTGCTTTTAGTTTGTTCGTCAGAGACGGGATCCGATGCGATGGAGCCGCCACCCGGGGTGGCTGCGAGCCGCAATCCTGGGCAGGGTACTCCGTACGGACTCAGGCAGGGTAATAAGGCGAACAAAGTACTGTGCGTGAGCTGCGTGGAGGTGCGTGAAGCTGCGTGTGTGCTGCGCGTTACTGTCGGAGTTCGGGACAAATCTTGGTAAGTCATACGGAGAAATAGTGGTTGTCGATCAATCCCTGCGGATGCCGGGCCTCGATTTGGAGAATTCGACGCAACGGGGGAGCGAGGGCAGATGCGCCGACGAGGGCCTTTTGCGGTTGTTCGGCTTAGGGAGGAGGTTTGACAACCAACGACAGATCGGCGAAGCGAGGTGGTGATGCCGGGCGGGTTTGTGATAGGACCCAGTACGATACGATGCGACAGGCACGGTATGGTACCGTCGGGGAAGGCGCGATTGGGTCGGCCGTAGTGACCGTTTTGTCTTTTCCTTTTTCTTGTAGCAGACAGACTCACTCAACAGAGCAGAGCGCGGCGACTCACTCACTGGCGGCTCGCTGGCTCACTGGCTGGATCACTGGCTGGATCACTGGCTGGATCACTGGCTGGATCACTGGCTCATCAAGGAGGGAGGGAGCAAAGAGAAAGGAACCTTTTACTGGAAGGGCAAGGCTTGAACATGGTTTGAACCTGGCAGGTCCGACCCCCGGCCCCATTCCCGCCAAAAGGTCCCCCGGGCGCGGTCCCACGGCCCACGCGCGCCCCACCAGGGCCACAGGGTCGTCCGCTCGTTTGACAGGCTCGCCCGGGCAGGAGCCAACGTGAGTGGTGTCGGTGGTACCTTCTTGGGGGCCGGTTTGCCTCGTGCGTGCTGCGATGTTGCGATGCTGGTGCTGTGGGGAAAGAAGTGTGGCCAGGGCAGGCGTGAGGCAAAGGGCGCCGCTAGTCCCGAACGGGTAGGTGAGTTTTCCCACCACGGATGTTACGGCACAGTCTGAGTCTGACGGACCGCCTGAGCAGCGTCCTTTTGCTGGCCGTCCGAGATTGAGTGACTGATTGATTGACCGTCACGTCTTGAGCCTTCCCGGCGATTACCTCTAGAGGAATTGATCGTACATGGTAGCGTGATCACGAGGCGCACCGTGTCCATCCATTTATTGTTTGCACTTGAAACAGACCTGGCAACTATTGTGCGTGCGCCATCATGCTCCGGGCCGTTGTTAATGAGGACGCGTCAGGATGTAACTCGAGTTGTCCGGAGTACTACGTCCAGACTTCTCGGCCGGGAGGCTTGACTGGGCTCCGGGTGCGCCTCTCGGCCCTCAAAAACCGCCCTCCAATCTGCAAGTCATCGTCTTGGGGGCTGGGTCCAGCCAAGCCCAGATCTCTTCTTGAAAAATGAAAACTGAAAAAAAAAGAAACGACAGGAAATCAACTACTTACCATCGCTATCCAAACGCCACAGCGCTCAAGTGAGTGATACAAACTGCGATCCATGGCTCTCACGGATCTGCAGTATCAAATCAGCATCATCTCCACTGTCGCAAACAAGAATGAACCCACTCACGCACCGGACCTCAAAGGTTCCGAAGACGCTTGAGACAAAACAAAAAAGTACCCTCTCGTTCCAGTCCGTTTTGCTGGACCCAAGACGATCGCCAATAGCCCGCTGCGGGAGGGACGCGTACCTCTGCTCTCTTCGCCGTTCTCGGGTCCCGATGGCATGGCCCAGGCCGCTGGAAGAGGAACTTTTGCCGTAGCCTTGGCACCTTTGAAAGAGGTGCAGCCCACCCCCGGGCGCCAACCAAAACCAGCCGCTGCGAGTCGCATCAGCATTAGCAATAGCAGCATTATTAGCAACATCCATCCGCAGGGGCGCCCCTCGGCCGTTCTTTTTAGGCATGCAGCAGGTTGTGCCCTGTCTCCACTTCCCGTATTAAGATTCGTCCCGCATCGTAGCCAATTTCTATTCGACTTTGTACGTACACGGAATGCAGACACACCGGGGAACAAATGAATTACTTGGCCGACCTTGATGGAGTAGAATATCAAAAATCTGCATGGAAGGTAGTGAACTGGATGTTGCGCAGAACACGTGTGCGTACACTCACGCTGCTTCGTCCATTCGTCCATATCGTTCGTGTTGGTCAAGCACGCACGCACGCCCCTCGTTGTTCGCTGGCATCGGTTGTCATAACCCTTAACTCCGACGCATCATGCGGGCCCCTTTGCATCGCTGCCATCGCCAGATCTTTTGGCCGGCTGGGTGCATGCCATGCCAGGGCAGACAATTGGCCCGGTGTGGAGGCGAAAACTATGTACTAGTTCACGGTTGTCTCGTCCGTGAACAACAAAAACCCTCCGTCTTACGGGATGACGGACAGTGCCGACGCTTGACTGCCACACTGCTCATACAACCTACTGAGCCGTGGTGTGGGATGTAACCCCCCTTCCCGTCCCCGGGCCATGCGTTGTTAAAGCGCAAGTGGCAAACCCAGATTGTCAATGGTTCATGGGTATTGGTGAGGGTGCAGGATCGGGAGACTACTGTACTGATTTGAACAAGAAGAAGAAAAACCTCCGTTTCATCCCTGCGTGGTGGCACAAGATGACATTGCCCGAGATGTTCTCAAACATCACGTAGCATCCATCCATGCTGACATTACTGGGCCGGAACCTTTTCATCACAACACCACACCCTTTGCATCCCCATCACCATACATCACAGGCCTAACTTAGTATGCAGTCCCTAAGTAGGTGGTTTACATACTACACACATAGCACAGGACACCCAATCCTTAATGTACCGGTCGATCTGGGACCACGGCCAGCCCACCCACTCACGTCTTCACCAAACAGCCACGCTGCTTAGGTGCCGATCCTCATCCCCATCCCTATGCCCATCTCCATTCCCATCTCTCCTCTGCCGGGCGCCCATTTCCCATCCCCGTCCCCCTTCCCTCGTGGCTGCGCCCGCCGGATCACTCTCTGCATGGCCTCGCATCTTTTCCCACCCCCCCGATCATCTAAAATCCTCCCCCGGATCTTCGGCACATGGCAACGAGCGCCGCCTGACTCACCCGGACACCCGAAACCCGCAAACCCGCAAACCCGGTCTGTTCCCTTTGCAAAGCCGTGCTCAACAAATACATAGCATGCTCCCTGCTTCGAGAACCGCGACGTCTACCAAATATACCCACCAGTGGCCTGCTTTGAGAAGGTCGCAACGGAACTTTTTCCAGGCTTCCCCTCCCGGAGGCGGGTACGTCCACCCCCTCCGACTCCCCCGAGGCTCCCGACAGCCCGGGGAATACACCCCCCGGACCACCCGACCAACAACCGGTCAAGAACAAGCAACACATCATTACGTATTGTCATCCACAAAAGTCCTTCGCTCAACCACAAAAGGTCATTCATGACAACTCTTGCACGGCGAACCACCCGACCGACTCCTTGGGCCCACGAGCTCGGACACGCCGCTCTCGGTTGTTGCTGCTATGAACTGATTCATCTTCGTGTCAACTGTCATAGCTCCATCATCGATCCATCATCACCACGAGCCTGTTTGATTTTGCTCGTATCAATCTTGCATCGTTTTCAACCAGCTTTGCATTGAGCAACCTTGCACCGGCTTGGCTTGTCATGATCAACTTTTGCATGCTTTCTTCATTCAACTTTGTTGGTATCAGTTTTGCCCAACCCTTCCTCACTGTCCACCAAACTCCCCTCAGACCAAAGGTACTGATGATTATTTTGCAACAGTAGAACGTACAGATATTGTTCCTTTCTGTCTTGCTTCCAGCCGGGCCTATCCAGGCCTCTTTCGTCCTAGGTTCCCTGTCCCTATGCTCCTGTCCGTCATCTCGCCCTCCGCCCTTTGTGTGCACCATCCGACTCCAGCCTCTATTCCCCGTCCCCATTGCTTTTTTGTGAAAATATACACGGCCATTAGGTAGTAATGATGCCAAAATCCGAGCTCCCAGCCAAGGACCTTTTTCCCTTTTTTGCTGAATCCATGAGCCAAATCGTCGGTCGGGGAGGATTAGATGCAGATGCAGCGCGCAAAGCAGCGAAAACTGAAAAAACGAACAATCATGACTCCGGCTCTAACTCCGACCTCCCTCCAAAGGGAATGCCCAACTCCGCTCCTCCCTATCCGTCCTATGATCCTTCCCTAGTTCCTTTGAATGTTATGTGTGTGTTTTGTGTGTTTGTGTCTGTATGGCATTATATGCCTCTTGACATGATCGTGGTGCCTATCATTGCACCACCGTCCCACCCTCATCTCAGCCACCAGCTGCCAGCATCTCGTTGAGTAGTGTCGAGAGCTGACCTCATACCGCTCACCTTGGGTTCGCGGCAGTGTAAGCTGATCCTTTAGGCATTGCTGGTGGCGGTGGTGGTAGCCGCAGCAGCGGCCTGGGCACCACCGCGACCTCGAGGAGCGCCACCACGGCCTCGGTTCTGGCCAGAGAAGTTACCGCGGGGGCCCTGGCTGCCGGATCGACCTCCCTCAAAACCACCGCGACCACGGCCGGGAGCACCTCCTCGGGTGGATCCGTAGCTGCTGCCTCCGTAGGCGTTGGCCTTGGGTCGGCGAGGCTCGACAACGATGTTCTCGCCGTTCACGGTGTGAGGGTTGGCGGCGACAGCGGTCTGATAACCCTCAGGGGTCTTGTACTCGACAAAGGCGCAGTTCTGCTTTGTGGTCAGTGTCGTTTTTGGAGGCTATTATATCAAGTCACATACCTTCTGGCGGTTGATGTCGAAGTAAGTCAACTCGCCGTGAGCAGCAAGAGCAGCTCGGAGATCCGCCTCCTGGACCTTCTCGGTCACATACTTAACGTATCCCAGAGTGCCCTCCTTCTCGGTAGGGGTACCGGAGATAGACTGGGGTCGGTTCTGTCGCTTCGAGTCAGAACCAGCAGTTTGCCAGCCGGTTGCCTCCTTAGCGGGAGCCTCAGTAGCAGCGGGGGCGGCGGCGGGGGCGGCGGGGGCGGCGGCAGTAGCAGCAGCGGGTTGTGTTGTGGAAGCAGCGGCGGCGGGAGCTCGGGTCTGGGTGGGAACGGGAGGAGTAGGAGCCTTGGCGAGAGGAACCACGGGCTTGGGACCGGCGGCAGCGGCAATCCGGCTGGCCCAGGTCATGGGCTTAGGGGGGCCGGTAGGCTCAGCAGCAGCAGGAGCGGCGACGGGCTTGGCCACAGGAGTAGGGCTGGGGTCCTTGGGCTTCTCAGCCTCCTTGGCATCCTCCTCGGCAAGCTCCTTGGCGGTGGTATCAGGGGAAAGAGTGGGAGCCGCGGCGCTTGTCTCGGAAACCTTGGCCTCGTCGGCTGAGGAATCGGAGGAGTCGCCGTTCACAGTGGTGTCCTTGGCGGAAGTAGACACCTCCTCGAGCTTCTCATCGACAACAGCGGGGTCGAGCTCGGCGGCAGGGACCTCCTCCTCCTCCTCCTCCTCCTCAACAGGTTCGGCCTCGGCCTCGACGGGAGCAGCGGGCTCGGCGGCGACCTCGGACTCCTCGACAGTCTCCTCAGCAGCCTCAGCAGACTCATCGTCGGTCTCCTCATCGATGTACCGCAGAATATCGTTCAGGACGAAGTAACCTGAGGGCTGTTGTGCCAGAACAAAAGTCTGAACAAACTTCTTGGGTTCGCCGGCCTTGTTGGAAGTCTCGCCAATGACTTGGATGACGATGTTGTCAAAGGATGCCTGGGAATCGACGTTGGATACGCGGACCTTGCAGTCTTGGAAGTCGAGAGCCTTGATTCGCTCTTGGATAGCCTGAGTGGATGTATGGTTAGCTGGGTGGGCCCAAAACATATGGTGGCGGGTGGGTGGTTCAATATACCTGTCGGCCAACTGAGACGTTGGCAACCTGAGCCTCGAGACCGTAGACGAATTGCGAACGCTTGCTGTAGAAAAGCTGGGGGCCGTATTAGCAGAGGAAACGTAACTGAAACTAAGGGATGGCGGCGCATACGTGAAGCTTCTCGGGTGACTTGCTCAGGGTAGTGTAGTATTGCTCGACGAAGTACCAGCCAACTTCATCCTTGGACGGGTTGTTGTTACCAGCGGTCGTGACGGAGGAGTCGGAGGCAGCGGCGATAGTAACTGTTTGTGGTTGGTCGGGGGTGTCCTTGTACTGATCCTGGAGGGTGAAGTTACCGTTGGAGGCCATGATGGCTGTGAGGCTCTGCAGAGTCTGGGGCGACGTGGAGAATTCGGCGGTTGAGGTGCGAAAATTAGAGCAGGTGGCGCGAGGGCAGCGGGGAGGGAGCGGTCGCAAGGAGGAGGCGGATTAAGGGAAAAGACGGAAAGACAGGAGCTTAAACGTCTCTGAGGGAAGGTGCAGAGATGAAGAAGATATTCCGGTCGGGGTCGACGGCGCGGTGCGAGGGGGCTCGGGTTGGCGATGAGGGCAGGCCGATGACAAAAATCGGGGGACAAAGGCCGGGCTGCAGAACGGGAGGGGCGGCGAGAATCGGAAACCGGAGGCGAAGCGCAGATGGAAGGAGGGAATCAGAAAGAAGACGTCACGGCGACGGGAGGATGATGGGGGATGGAAGATGGAGATGCGGCCGGAGAGGGAGAGGAGAGAGAGGGGAGCTAGAGGGTTGTTTGCGAGTGTCTCGGCAACGAGATTGGAGGAGATGCAGATGGTGGTGTTGGATTGTGAGGGTGGTTTGTGCGGCCCGGGAGGTGCGAAGGGAAAAAAATAACACACGCACACGCACACACTAGGATTAGTGGATGAGGGAGGCTAGACCCTCGCTGCGGGCTGCTTTCAGGGCGTGCATGGTCCGTGCACCGCTCTCGATTTTGGGTTCGGTGCTGGAGTTAACGCTGGAGTCGCCATTGTATTAATTGTCCACACTGGACTCGGTAGGTACCTGTGGTAGGCAGCTGGAAACCTCTAAATCAACAATAACCTCGGCCTCAACCTCAACTCAGCCTCAGCCTCACAATCGAGCCTTCTCTTGACGGCAAACCTCGTCCACCAACTTCGCCGCGACCTGCGCGCACCCGTACGAGCACTGATATCCAGCACCTCCATGTCCGTAATTGTGCACCACCCAAGTCCCGTCGATCTTCTCCTTCTCTATTCGCGCCCCACCCTCCCGAACCGGCCGCAGCCCCACGCCATGCCGAATCACGTCGAGATGCTCGATCCCTCGTCCGTTTGTCAACTGCGGGCAGGCCTTGACACATCTCTTCATGATCCTGAGAGCTAGGCTTGGATCTGGCTGCGACTCCCAATTGTGCTTCTGGTAGCATCCGCCCAGGATAGTGCCTCCGCCCGCCGCCCTGGTCATCATATACATGACCTCGTCGGGTCCGTCGTCGGTCCCAGAGACAGACATCATCTCATCTGCCTCGTTCCTCACCACGACGATCTGTCCGCGAGCGGGATAAACTAGCTCATCTGCAACTCCACCCAAGCTGCGGGAAGCTAGGCCTGTGCAGTTCAAGACCACATCAGCTGCCTGGCCGCTGTGGTGCACACCCTGCGCCGCAGCGTCGTTGATGTGCGAAAACACGGCACGCTTGAAGACGACGCTGTTGCGAAGACACTGAGAGACCAGCCAGGGAAGGTATATCGCCGTGTTGATGCATACAGATTTGAAATGGTGCCCATTGTCGACATCCGCGCCGAGTTCCGCCTGAGGAATTTGCCTGTACTGTAAGGGCGTGTGAGTGGCAGTTTCGATGAGACGGCACCGAGATCAGACTCACCTCGGGGAACAAAGTCTTCCACCAAGGGTCAGGGGATAGAAGCTCTGAGAACCATTTTGCTGTGTCACTGCCGACATCCTTCTTTCGGTTAAAGATCCTTGCCTCTATACGTGGTCAGTATCGGTTCTTCGTGAGCTCCAACATGTGCCATACTTTGAAAGTGAATTCCTGAATCAGGGTGATGCCGCGCCAACTCCTCTAACGCAAACCATGTGTTTTTATCCCACTCCGCAGCGTCAGTACCTCCGACAGATACCCTACGCGAGATCATGTCAGTTATGTGATATTGAACGCCGACAGACCTAGCATGGATGTCTCACGGCATGGAGTTGGCTCCTGCCCAAGGCGACGCATATTGGATGTCGTAGTCCCCCGGCATGTGCTTGGCAGCAACGGTGATTTTATAGCCATCTGTTTTGGATAACAGCAACGCGGTGGTGAGACCTGTGACGTTAGATGGAAGATGACGATTCTGGAGTGAACCACTCACCTGCCACACCAGCACTGTGGATAAACCGTTAGCAACGATGCCCGCTCAGAAAACTATGGGAATCGTAACTCACCCAACAACCACGATTCTCTTATCGGCCATGGTGTCGTCCTTTTTGGTGATTTATTTGATTGACGGTAACGGGTCTTCTTCTCGGCTCAGCGAATTGGGGTATGAGAAGAGGAATGTCTCTTAGGAGAATGCCTGCTTTTCAGCTCGGGAAACAAGCGCCTTATCACGCAGAAGCGGCTTCGGCCAGCTGCGGCAGGTCTACTTCCGGCCCGGGAGCAAATGCAGCCCAGATAAGCCGGATACCGCAACCTAACCGTTCTGGACATCAAGGCAAGCAAGGATCCTAAGGCTCCGCTCATGATATGTTGGTTTTCCGCGGGAAACCCGACTGGGTTGCCCCGAACATCGGCTCCGCCTGAGCCTCTGAGGCCGCAGGAAGCCGGTATTTTTGCGGGTTCTAGTACGGGATATTCATGCACGAGCTATCACCCCCGCACTTCTATTGTCTGTCACTCTGATATCCGTCGAACCCTTCAGCGTCTCGTTAGTGATGAGGGAAAATAAGGGATTTAATGGGGCAACAATTGCCGGAATAACCGTGCGATACTTGGGGTTGAACACGCGGATATCTAGTTGTTAATCCAGTGCAACTTATAGCAGTTCGACTTCTGATGTCCTGGAATAACAAAGTAAACACTCTATTAGACGGCAAATAGTCATCTACCGTAGATAAATAACAATGTAGGCTACTATGAAGCCGATAAATCGTCAAGTTGTACAGCACCGGGCGCGTGGCTTCTCTCATGAACATCCTCCTTGTACTTCCTGGGTGCTGAGGGCGATACCGCTTCTCTTGGCCTCCATCAGGTTTGTCAAAGCAACCACCAAGGCCTCGGCGGCCTCTCCAGAAGTCTGGTGGTGGAAGACAAGTCTCCCGTTGGGAAACACGACCAACTTCTGACCTAAACAGTACTCGACAAAAGCAGCCCCCGGAATGTCTACTGCCTCCAGGTCCAGCACAATCATATTTGTTTGCACCGGCAACGCAAACTTATAGCCTAGCTTCCCGATCTTCTCGCCGGTGGCCTTAGTCAGGGCATGGACTTGTGCAAGCCGTGGCATGCTATAGTCCAGTGCGGCATGTGCGGCCGCCGCCATCATCCCCGGCTGTCTCGTGCCTCCGCCAAACATCTTTCGGTACCACTTGGCGCGCTCGATGAATTGCTTGCTTCCGAGAATGACGCTACCCATAGGCGCGCCGAGGCCCTTGGATAGACAAATGGACATGCTGTCGAAGCAGGCCGCATATGCCTTGAGGTCGACTCCTTCGCCAGTGACGCCGTCGAACACGCGGGCGGCGTCTAAGTGCATGGCGATGGGCTTTTGGCCTTCTGGTACTGGGAAGGACCGGACAAATTGGGAGATGGCTTGAGCCTCGGTGAGGGGCAAAATGGTTCCACTGAGGGTATTCTCCAGAGCGACGACTCTCGTGGGAGGAAAGTGGACTAGGGGAGGAGATGGTGAGCATAACAGCTAATTTTGAGGCATGAAAAGAGATCTCACTGTTGCCATCCGCAATCATGTTAGCCTTGACGTCCGCGAGGGTCAAGTGTACGCCATTCTTTGGGTGCACCGTAGTGACAGACGCCTGGGACATGACTGGCAAAGCACCAGACTCCCAGCAATGCACATGAGCGCGGTGGTCCAGAAGCACCGTATGCGGCGGCTGGGTAAGATGGGTACGCAGGCAAATTTGGTTCCCCTGAGTGCCTGAGGTGACCCATAATGCCGCTTCTTTGCCAGTCAAAGCCATCAACTTGGCTTCAAGGGATTTGACCGAGGGATCGCCCTCCGTATCGTATATGTCATCGTTCACAGAAGCCTCTAAGATGGCCTGGGATATGACAGTCAGCCAAGCATGTCCTAGTAAGTGGGAGGACTGGCTTATACCTGCATCATCGCCTCATTCGGAACGGTGACAACATCTGAGCGAAAGTCCCGCGATGCCTTGTCACTCGAAGCTGCCCACTTCTCCTTGAGGCTAGCCGAAAAGATGGTCTCGGTGTTGTTGACTGCGACGGTCATGTTGGGTGGTTTGGGTTGAAGTGCTCTTGGGCTACTCAATATCTTAGAAAATAAATAAGAGGGAAAGGTTTAAAACAGTTGTATCTCAAGTTGGCTATCAAGGAACCTACTTATATGGGGAACGAGAGAATTGATTTGGCTTGAGTTGAGGGGGACCTCCCAAGGCCCGACGCAGACAAACAACCGAACTCCAATGAAAGCCGCCGATGCACAATCCATCTTGATCCATAGCAATAGATATTTACCTGCGTGATTGGCGCTCGCGATTGATACCACGTGGGGGGGATATTCGTGTGCCACTTCGTCGTCTTGATGATGCATGGGACTTTCCCGCGGGGAGTTTCGCTGCAGCATTTGGTTAGCGCGACAGTGCCAAAATCCTTCGGTCAGACTGGTCATATGCGGCCGTAATCTGCTTCGATAGGACCGAAATTCGGAGGCTAGATCAAATGCCGAACTGATTGTTTCTCATGAGTAACCACGTTGGCTTATCGTCTCTTGAGAGAAAGCCGGGATGCTCCTCGAGTTCGAATGGTTTGCTTCCTGCGCCCCACACTCATACGGCTTTCTAGACTCACCAGGTTTGCAATGAGACGTATGTACCTGTCGTTTCGTCATTATTGAGCGCAACTAGATAGGCACGTGATATTATTGATTGGAGAAAATGAATCAATTCTCTAAACGTTAGGTATAGAAACTTGTTTCTGGTTCGTGTCTTGCAGTAACCCTTTCATCGACTATGTTGACCTAGGTGAGTGTGGCCCTAACAAAAAAGCGTCCTGGGTCGGTTTCGAACGCACGAGCAAAAGGAACAAAAAGCGAAGGTCCCCAGGAGGAACGTAAACTGTCTTTTAGTTGGTAGGGGTACAGCTACTTCACTGACGGTAACTCGTCTTACTTTTGCTGATATACATACCTGTCGAGGCGCTGGGAAACCTGGATGGATGCCTTCGGCGACCAGATTGGCTCACCACGGTGAGTCTCTGGACCCCTGCTCGGTGAGCGCCCACCTACCAGCCCAGACCGTGGCGGACTGCGGGGTCCCACCGCCCACCCAATTTTTTTTGGTCCCGGCCTCGAAATTTTTCCACAATCTTATCAGTCAAGTCGTGTGTAGCGGCAAAGACGCTCGACCGCAACCTCGTCTTTCCACCTTTCCCACCTTTCGCGACGCCGTTCAATTCCTCCCCACCCGCGCCGTTGTCCCCGATTGAAGACCGTTCTTCTTCGTCCCGGGCAGGAAAACCAATAGACACGGGCCTTTTCGCTGTGTCGCATTCGTCGAATACCGAAATCGAGACAAGGATCCGCCCGCCAGTCGCAAATCTGTCAAGATGCCCAAGTCCAGACGCTCCAAGGTCGTCCACATGACGCAGGTGGACAAGAAGACCCGCGAGGACAAGGAAAAGCTCTTCCAGAACATTCGCGATGCCATACCCGAGTACCAGCACTGCTTCGTCTTCAGCGTCGACAACATGCGCAACTCCCACCTCAAGGACGTGAGACGTGAGCTCTCCGACTGCCGGTACGCTCTCTCTTCTCTTGTCTGTCTAGCTACAACGGGGTCCATGACGAACTAACCACCAATGCTGCAGCCTCTTCTTTGGCAAGACCAAGCTCATGGCCAAGGCCCTTGGCCAGACTCCCGCCGAGGCTATCGCCCCCGGCATCGAGGTCCTCGCCCGCCACATCACTGGCACCGTCGGCCTGATCCTGACCAATCGCCCCGTCGAGGCCATCATCGACTACTTTAACAACTTCTCTCCCGTCGACTTCGCCCGCGCTGGCGTTGCCGCCTCCCGCGACTTCTCCATCCCTACCGGCATCGTCTACGCCACCGCCGGCGAGGTCCCCGCCGAGCACGACGTGCCCCTCGAGCACTCCATCGAGCCCGAGCTGCGTCGCCTCGGCGTGCCCACCCGTATGGTCAAGGGCCGCGTCGTCCTCGGCGATGAGAGCGGCCAGGGCGAGGAGTACGTTGTTTGCAAGGAGGGCGATGTGCTGGACTCGCGACAGACGAGGCTGCTCAAGCTGTTTGGCCTGTGCATAAGCGAGTTCAAGGTCCAGATTGTAGCGTAAGTTGGCAACTTCCTTGCCCAGTCTCTTACACGCAAGCTAACCACTCCCAGATACTGGAACTCGGCTACTTCGGAGGTGACTGAGATTAACCCCGACGCCATGGCCGGCGTTGACGAGAATTGATGACCGCCTAGGGCCGGGAAAAAATGGTGCTAGAGATTTGGTTTGACACATTCTGTTCATATGACTGATACCAGCATGAAATTTTATGGGATCTCGGCGTTGAGGGCCATGGGATACGGAGGGCATCATGTTGACTAGAGCCGCCCCCGGATGACACAAAACACACACACACAAAGACACGATCAACAAAAACATGAACTTTCAGACTCGTTTTTGGCCGAGCTTGAAGTCGCTCCTATGACACAAAAAAACTCCCAAGTAATACATAGAGTCGCAATCCTAGGCCAACCTAGGGCCGACATGGGGGGGCTTCGCGGTCAGCAGGTCACGAAGTCCTTACCTCTGACCTTACCTCGAGTATCGCAGCCTGTGTGCATGCTACGTTCAATTCGACTTCTACCCTCCCTCGCTCCCGTCCTCCCGAGTCCAATTAGAATACATAAGATAAATTTTACCTTCCGCCTTGATCCATCACAGAACAGAAACCTTTGGCTCTTGCTGCAATCGGTTATCCACGAAAGCTAGGGGTTGGCTGCGCAATTGACCACCCATCGGGGGGGTGACAGATGGGGTGGGATAGGGTACTCAGGCCGTGGTGCTATAGGTGGTTGGAAGTTGCCAAAAAGGCTTTTTGGTGAGAGTGGTTGAAAAAGTCATGCGCGAAGAGTTGTGGAAAGGGGAATTGAATCAGTGACCAAGTGACAGAATCAACAACCCACCAGAAGCTCAGCGAGCGCAACTTAGTATCGGCGCAACTTCCGGGGATCCTCGTAGCCGCCGCCGTCGTAGCCGCGCTTTCGGCCAGCATCGTCGTCTCGGGGAGGTCGATCGTCTCGAGGAGGTCGGTCATCTCGAGGGGGTCGGTCGTAATCGCGGTCGCGATACCCACCTTCCCTACCACCTTCCCTACCACCTTCCCGTCTGCCATCTCGGGGGACGATGGGCTCCATGTTGCTGCCCGTGCGACGGCCTTCACGATCTCCGAATCGACCGCCGCCATCACGGTAGCCGCCGCCGCCCTGTCTGTCGTCATATGAGCGGCCGCCTCGAGAATCATACCCACCAGGGCCTCGGTCGCCTCCGCGATCCCCACGGTCACCTCTGTCTCCGCGGTCTCCGCCGCGATCGCCACCGTAGCCATTCCTTCGGTCGAAACCAGGGCCAGATGGCGCTCCGCTGGGTGCCCCGTAGCCATTTCTATCACCACCTCGAGGCCCGTCGAAGCCACCTCGGAAACCACCACCGCCTCGGCCTCCTCGGAATCCGCCTCGGCCACGACCACCGCCATCAAAGCCCCTGAAACCACCACGGAAGCCGCCTCCCCCAAACCCTCCGGGACCCATGGGGCGCGAAGGCATCGACCGGGTGTACCCTCGGCCACCGAGACCACCACCCAGGCGTCGAGGCTTCCAGCCTTTGACGGTTCTGCCTCGTTCGACGTCTACCTTGATCCGTCGATCCTTGATGCGAATTCCATCTAAAGAATCTAGAGCAGCTACTCATTGTTGCGCCAGATGGCGCAGGTGTCAGTACATCTTACCATGAAATAATACCTTGCGTGTTAAAGCGTGTCTGACAAAAGAAAAACAGGAAGTTGAGACGGGCAAGCCTGAGGGCCCTTTTGTGTCTCACAGTATACTCTTAGAGAAGGGCAAGCTTGAGGGCCACATCTCAAAAGGTACGTCCGGGAAGGAATGGTATGGCCGACCAGGGGGGTGGGGGTGGGTTTACCTCTCATGTCCTTTTCGCGCTCAAATACGACAAAGGCATATCCCCGATGGGGCTTCTTCTTCTTATTTGGTTTCTCGTGGGCATGTGTATCGGTGACGATACGGATCTGATGATTTCGTTAGCCGGCGATTCCGCGATCGCAAGAGGGGCATGAATGCGTACGCGCTCAATTGGGCCGATTCGGCCAAACTCCTTCTCCAAGTCGCGCTCATCCGCATCATAACTGAGGCGTGCCACGATAAGTGTCTTGAAGGCGTCGCCGCGAACATTGGGGTCTTCGTTGGGTTTGTCTGCACGCGTGGTTAGCGACTGCGCTGCAGCCGCAAGGCCGAGCTTTTTCTCACAAGTAGTTGGCGCCTCGGCAAGGAGCTTTTGCACAGCCTCCTTCTTCTCTCGGGTCTTGCGGTCGCGGGCTTGCAGCCAGCTCTCGGTGGGCTTGTAGTCGTCGGTCTCTTTGTATTTCTGTAGCTCGGGCAGGAAGGCCGCGACTCCGCTGACGGGTGCGGTTTTGCGAAGCTGCGGCGCATGGTCCGGGGGCTCGACCCATCGCAACGGAGGTCGCGCCGCGAAGAGCGCGAGCAGGTTGGGGGGAAGCTTGTCGGTCATCGCGGGATGTCGGTCGCGTATGCGAAAATAAAAATGGCCAAGGGTAAAGGAGCGGATAGAAGAGGCGCGCAGAAGCCGCCGAATTAACAGGTGACGGACGTGATGTAGAGCGAAGGCGAGCTCCAGGCTGTCGCGCGGTCGTGAAATTATCCAGGCGATGTTTGGGTTTCGCCGGAGTTCTGCCGGTGGCGCTAGGCTGGTCTGGGACACACTGCACGAGAGCTGATTTTCGGTCTGGCTTCGCGCGGTGCTCCGAAACTTCTCTTACCTGACGTCGGATCATGAGGATATTGATTGACACGGCCGAACAAAAATGACGATCAAGGCGATTAGGGCAGTTGCAACCGGCCAGGTGAGTCTATTCCGAAATCCTCTACAATTCGCCCACCACCGAGACTAACGTGTCCCAGAATGGCGTCGGTTCATTCATTCTCCAGTGCAAGAAGTTGGACTTTCACTACTGCGACTGGGCTGGAAGCTCCAAGGGCATGAAGTACGTGGCTGCTGGCTGAATAATTCCTCAAAGCATCTCCTAATTGTGTTGCAGCGGCTTCATCAAGTCCCTCCTCCCGAAATTCGCGACCGCCAACCCCCAAGTCGAGTTCGCCATCTCGCCCCGTCCCGGCAAGCACCCCGTCATTATCGGACACTACATTAACGGCCGAACGAAGCCCATCTGCGTGCGGAACCTGTCGCCCTACGAGATTCTGAAGAAGGCGGAGCTGCTGCGGGATGCCAACGGAGAGCAGTTGAAGCGTCACAACCGGGCGGTGACGAGCAGCCGGCCCAGTGTCCGAGGTATCTGGTCACCATACCACGGCAAGGGAATGGTGGTATAGAATGGTCAAGCGGCTTAGATCCGTGTACGTATATATGTATCAAATTGGGGGGCGTCACACAGCATTGGGTTGCGAAGAGATTGTACGATTTAGAGTCATGAATCTCAGAACTACACGACTATACCATGAGCGAGATGAATCTGGCACACCATTACAATTACGGAAGGGACCTTTCACATTAATAGCGCGGACAATCATTGCAATGCCGCGAGCACATGTGCCGATTATGAGGGCTACTAGCACGTCATAGGAGGCCTGGTATGTATGTCGGTTCCAACGCTTACCAACACGACATAGTGCTCCAATGGCTATGTTCACCGGTTCAGAATCGAAACTAATCGTGGGTATATTTGTTCTCTTTTCATTCATCATCTATCTGCTTTTCGGGGGACTGAGCCCTCGGCCAAAGACAGGTTATCCTAGTTGACCTTCTCTTCCTTTTTTTGAGATACGATTCTTACTGCTTCTTGGCGTTGATGATGTCGACGACTAGTAATTGGTCAGTATCGATTGAAGAAAGGAGCCAACGAGGGTATAGAGCATGGACTTACAGGCAGGCTTGAGGGAAGCACCACCGACGAGGAAACCGTCAATGTCGGGCTGGGCGCTGAGCTCGCCGCAGTTCTTCTCGTTGACGCTGCCGCCGTAGAGGATGCGGGTCTCGTCAGCGATCTGGGAGCTGATGCCGCGGAGGAAGATACGGATGGCCTTGTGGACCTCCTGGGCCTGGTCGACGGTGGCAACCTTGCCAGTGCCAATGGCCCAGATGGGCTCGTAGGCAATAACAATCTTGCTCCAGTCGGGCTTCTGCGCCTTGAGGGCCTCGATCTGGGCGGAGACGACCTCGATGGTCTTGCCAGCCTCACGGACCTCGAGGGACTCGCCGCAGCACCAGATGACGTTCAGGCCATTCTCGGTGGCGTACTTGGTCTTGGAGGAGACGACGTCATCGGACTCGCCGAGGATGGTGCGGCGCTCAGAGTGGCCGAGGATAACCCATTTGATGTTGCTGTCCAGGAGCTGGGAGACGGAGATCTCGCCAGTGTAGGCGCCACAGGGCTGGTCATAGACGTTCTGGGCGGCGACCTCGACGTCGGAGCGGATGGTGTCGCGGACGAGGGAGAGGTAGAGGGCAGGGGGGGAGACGACGACCTCTGCAGACGGGTGTTAGTCAAACGACAGGGAAGTGTGATTTGTTGAGGTTGGGGGGGAGGCGACGGAGGGTGGTACGAGGCCATCGCGGTCTCAGTCGAGCTCAGATGGCGGGGTTGCAGAGGTGGTGGAGGGGGAGGACGAGGGGGAGGAGGGGAGATATGACATACCGGTGTTCTCGTCGAGGGTGGAGTGGTTGAGGTTGGCAACAATCTCATTGATGGACGACACGGAGCCGTTCCTAGAAAACCGCGAGTGGTGAGCGCGAGTTGGGCGAGGCAGAGGTGCGGCTTTTTGCTTCTTGGAGAATTTGAGGGGGAGGGGAAAGCTTGCGCATGGTGGGGGTGGACGGGCAGCGGGAGACTTACATCTTGAAGTTGCCGCCGACGAAGAACTTGCGCATGATGGGCAATTGGGTGTGGATGTTTTGGGTGGAGGGGAAAGAAGCGATACTGGAGTAGGTTGAGCAAAAGGGAAGATATGATGAGAGAGAAGTTGGAGAGGAGAGGAAGAGGAAGAGGAGAGGACGGGATAAGTTGGTAAATAACGTCGGGGTGGTGGTGGTAGTGGTGTTAGTGGTGGTGCTGGGTGCTGGGTGCTAACTAGGTGCTGGGTCCAACGTGCTGGGTGGTGTGGACGGAACGTCGTAGCGTAGCTTACCGAGAGCGTAGGGGAAGAGACCCGCGTGTTACGGTGTTAGTTGGGGCTGCCAGCGGAGGCGCGGCTCAGGCCCGGTCAGGCAAGGTCAGGGAGGGGTCAGGTCATTGGCAGGGGATAAGGAGGGGCACCATTGCGTACCTAGTAGGGACTTGTTACGTTAGCATCACAGCGCTCCGCAATCACAGTAGCAATCACAGCATTCTAGCAGCCACGGTAAGAAGCCATACAAGCCAAACAAGCCAGCATTACAAGCCATAACACGTCCAGAACAACCGCACCAGGTCGCAGCTGATACCTACGAGACGATGGCTCACCAGCCACCGAAGCTTACCGTCTGTGCACCGCAGGCCGCCGTGGAGTTATCTTGCGCCTGTCCATCTGCGGCAAAGCCCGGAGCTGGCGACAGAACCATTCCCGTTTCTCGCCATGGTTTGTCGGGACAGCTTCAGCGAGCACCAAGTACCCGAGGCTCGAATCAGCCCAGTGCGCCAGTGGAGGCAACCTATGCCATGTCGCCGCCGTCAGGCCGGTTCCAGATCCCCCCTCTAGCCGTCGAAGCCAACCACAGCGATTCCAGACTCCCGTCCAGCCGTAGAAGTCGACGACGGCGGTTCCAGATCCCCTTCTAGCCGTTAAAGTCAACCGCAGTCGTTCTACCTAGATACCTGCCTAGATACCTAGATCCCCCTCTAGCCGTCAAAGTCAACCGCAGCGGTTCCAGCTGCCCGCTGCCCGCTTCTAGCAGGTTGTCCAGGTAGCCTTTGACGGGCGCCATGCTCTCGCGCTGGAAGCTACTCAGCCGCTAACACACAGGCCCGGTGCTCGGGGCCTCGGGCGGCCACTAAACCCTGCTGCCAGCTAAGTTGCCCTGCTGTATCCGGGTCACATCACAGCCAGCCTCGCTCACTCTACTCACCTTGCTCGGTGTCCGGGACACCACCACCCACCTTGGATGAAATGCATGCATCATCCCTACTGCCGCATCGCCCGAGTCAGCTTCGGTAACTCACGGTAGCCAACTAGCCATCGCCTCACCGCTTGAAATGGCCTCATCAGAGGGGCCAGAACACGGCCATGTGTAAAAGGGGCCAACTGATAATCAGCCATGGCCATGGTCATGGTCCTGGACATGGCTTCGGTGAGGCGGCTATGGTGCGTGTTCCCCAGCCGTCTCTCCCTGGACCAAGTATCCCAGCCATTCTGTCGACCTATTCATGCACATGTACACTATCTAAGTTACGTGCTTGGGCAAGTACTGCTCTTCCTCTCCCAGCACATGCAAGACACCTCATAACCCCCACCCATTCCATCTCCACACCTCTTCTCCGCGATCCTGCACCGCCACGCGAAGAGCCCTCGCCTCCTCGTCCTTTCCCTGCTTCTCCCGACGCCACTGCACCTTTCACCGCCGCTTGGGAAGCGTCTCCTTCATGCTTCGTGCATCTTGCCGGCTAATTCGACGTGCATCCGCCCATCTTGGTGTCAAGGGAAGGCCATGGTAGCTCATCTACATCTATATCTGTCTCATCTCGTGCATAGAGTACGGCCGAGATCGAGCACCTGACAAACCCAGGGATCCTCAGGTGATATAGTTCGTACGTTAAAGACGGCTCACATTACAAGCATCAAGAGCACAGGCCTCGTACCAACAGTCACGTCGTTCATCGAACCATGTAATTAACCCCTCAAACACTGATGCTGTGTGCGGTTCAGCCCCGGTGTCGACATCTACGAACTTCCAACTCACTCATTTCAAGTACAACCAGGCACAATCAAATCACGATAAACTGCGTAGCATTTTGCTATCAAATTTCTAACTTTCATTCATCCATTCTCTATCTGCTACCCTCCTTCTGTGTTCAATTCTGTAATCTTGCAAATTTTGTAGTAACAAAGAAAATATCGTCCCTTGGGTCTCCTCGCGACGTTCTAGTCGTTCCAAGTTCAATCCGCAAGGGCGGGTCCGTGATCCTCAAAAGGGCTCAAGCCAATCCATTGTCGGTCTTGTTGTCCTCGGGCTTCATGGGGTTTATGATCCTGGGTTCCTGTGAGATGGCTCACATGTCCTCTCTTTAGGAAATCTTCCGATCGGCAGGACGGTATGTCTCTGCCGGCGACCCGTGGGCGTATTGTGTGTCCGTCCGCATGGTACTGGATGCTAGGAAGGTCCAGGTTTTTTCTGTAGTAGACATAACTGTCTCTGTTTTTTTGTGCACTTGCACGGTGCTTGGTTGTTGATTCCCGGTAGCAGATAAGAGTCCTTCGCCTAGAGTCCATCTTGGTTAGCTTCTTACTCAAGGGTATATCGTAGGGAGATGGATACATACAATTCGTTCAACCGGTGCCAGTGAAGCTAGCGACCTTGGTGGAGGCGTTGAGGTCGGTGGTGACCTTGACCATAGCAGACAGTCGCAACTGCATGTCGTTGATGTTCTGAATGTTCCGGGCATCCTCGGGCTTTCCAAGTCCTTGGAAAAGGTTCTCCACGGCCTTGCGGTGTTCCATCCACTGGTCAAGCAGGGGTCGGGTCGAGTTCTCCTTGGGCTCCGGAGCGGACATGGCCTTGACGGACGCCTTGCGGCTATTGGTAGCCTGGCTCTCGGGCACGTCGGTCTTACGCTTACGTCCCTTGACGGGTTGGTTGACAGTGACAGAAGGGGGCGAGCCACCGGAGCTTCCATGGTCATTGTGGACTCGCTTCATGTGGTCACGGAGGTTCCACTGGCGAGGGAATCCATTGCCGGGCACGGCACGCTCACAACCATCGTAGATGCAAAGGAAAGGCTTCTCGCCATGGCCGTGGAGACCGTGGGCCTCACGTTCATGACGGAGGAGGCAAGCAGTGGAGGAAAATCGAGCACCCTCACAGGACTCAGCCTTGCAGCGGTAGGGCTTCAGGTGAGAGTCAACGAATTTGCTAAGACAGTTAGTTATCACGTGGGCAGATGGGATAGGATCCGGCTTGTTCTTACTCGTAGTTGCACTTGAGCTTCTCGGCCTTGTGGTTGCAGCTCGGCGTGCCCTCCCAGGGGCAGTGGTAGAGTCCATCCTCGAGGGGGGTGGCCTTCTTGTAAAGGTCATGGTCCCTAGCGGACTCACCTTCCGAGCCCTGTCGGCGGGGTCCAGTGAAGGGAGGGGGGAGAGTCATGGCATCCTCCAATTGGGGAATGGCGCTGAGGTTGAGATCATCGGAGATGATGGAGACTTTGCGGTCCTCGCTGAGCAGATCGAACTGGTGAGAAACCGATTGAGGAATTTTAGAGCAATCGGGCAATACATACCTCGGTGACTGGCACTTGATTTCAGGAGAAGAGTTGGGGCTCGGGGCAATGGGCCACATATCATCGATAGTGGCAGGAGAGGAAGACCGGGAAATGGAACTGGAGAAGCAGTCCCAGGAGCTGGGGGGAGAGTGTCCAGTCAGGCTGACATCAGGGCCAAGCTGCATGTGGGCTGGTACCACATGGAGTGGGCTGGCATCTGTCAGGGGAAAGGTAGCACCGGTAGGCAGTCCCAAGTCGAGGGAGTATCCAGACCAGTAGGGTTCAGTATCCAGGAGAAGGCATGACTCAATTCCAGCCATGGCACCGGCTTGAGATCCATTCCGGAACGCGGATGCATTACCTGTGACGTCCAAGTTGGACATGTGTGATGCTTGCGACAATGAAGAGCCGCTAGACCTGTTAGAGCTGACCCTGGACATGGCTTGTCCACCTTGGGGCACAGAAGTAACGGTCCTTGAGTTCCAGGTGTTTTGCATGTCCTGACGGCCTTGAGAGTGGATCTTGGTTCCTCTGGGGGTGGTCTGGCCAGACGTGAAAATGTACTCCTCGGCTTCTCCAGAGTGGGCAGATCCATTGTCTGAGAATTCTTGGAAGTTCTGGGGTCCTTCTGCTGTCGTGGCCCACGACGAACCTACCAAAAGGTCCGCCGATGGTTCTGTTTGAGAAAAAGAAAACATTCCTGAAGTGTTCGAAGCCATAGAAGCCTGAGTGTAGCTGTAATCGCTGGGCAAGGTTAGTATGCCATTCACCAGCAGTCAAAATGAAGAACAGTATAAAAAACAAAGACATGAAAGTCTGAGCTTGAATCAACTTTGAAACTGCATCGCAGGTTAGCAAGGGTATCATGTGACTACGATGGTGGTTGTGTACAGACCAAGTCAGACAGACAATAAGTGTTGCCTCCAGGAACGATATTGTGCGGTCCGTGTTGATTCCATTGATGGTCCATTGGTGACAGGCGGCAAGAACAGATGGGGTAAGTGGGTTTGTCAAGTCAAGTTGTCGAAGAGCAAGTCCGGGCAGGGTCTGAGTCCTTGGCATAACTGGATGTGTGTGGTCGAGCAAGGTTGATGTAGAGTTTGGTGAATATGGGACAGCGTCTTCCGTTGAATGTCTTGGATGTGTCGAGTTGAAAACCAGAGGGCCGCTACAGTGACGGGGTATTCCGGCAAGTCGAGATAAGCAAATCAAACGCGGCAAAGGTTCCAGTCTTCGGAATCCAGGTGTCCATTGTTCTCAGAGCAGTGTTCCAGGGCAACGGTATCAAGTCGGGCGACCATTTTGTGAGTCCAGTGCGGCTGCACGAGCAATTGAATTGAATTGCGACGGCTGTTAAGCCTGAGGGGCCATCCTGATTTCGAAGAAATGCAGGTAGGGAGCAGAAGTCCTGTCGGAATGAAGGTCCAGGTGCAAAATCCTTGTTCGGTCTTCAAGTCCTTTTGGTCCGAGTCCATGTAAATCCTGGAAATCAACGTCCTTTGGCACCATTGAGAAAGAAAAACCGGTAGGTAACGTGTGGTCCAGGTCTGAAATGAAGCTGTTGTCTCAATTTGCAGTGGGCAATACTTACCATGGGCACGAAGCCGGGTATGAGTATAATTGTTTTCTTGTCCGGGTTCGGACAGATCCACAGCAGGCATCCAGGTGAAGGGTCGAGAGTAAATATCCTTGGCAAGAAACGGTTCCATGAAATCCAGGGTTGAAGAGTTCCTCGATGTGGTATCCGGTGAGGCAAGATAGAAGGAACTGAAATGGGACATTTTTTTTTCGCGCAACATGATTGTAAAGCAAATGCAAGCCTCCCAAGGAATTGAATAAAGGAAACAGTACCTGGACAGCGAGTGAACCTCGTCGAGGTCGACTGAGTTATTGTAACCGGGCATGGTGGCCGGATGAGGCACAACAAGGGCAATGGTCATGATATCCTTGGATGGTAGAGCAGGTAGGCTCGAGATCCAGCAGATCAACTTGGAGTGTTGTCTTGCAGTTCAGACCAGTGGCAAAGCGGTTGTGATTGTCGTGGTGATGTTGCGCGACAGGATGATCCTTGGACTGGTTGGGTTGCTTCGAAAAGTTCCTCTGGCAGAGCTGGTAAAACAGGTACAGAAGAGCTAGTAAAGAGGTGGAAAGGATGGGTCGTCTCTGAGGGATCAGGCCGAAGTGAGGTTGGTTGGGCAGAAAGGGGCGAGTTGGGCTGGAAAATAGAGGAACAGAAGTGAGACGTTGGGCAACGAGGGACCCTGCGGGTTTTATTGTTGTCGTGGACCGACCGCCAGTTGGGAGATCCCCCCACCCGTCGCGTCGAGTGCCAATAAAAGCACTGCCAGTATGGCCGTCACACTGGCCGCAGGAGTGAGTTGGCGTTTTGTGATTTCGAAGCGCAGCGGGCTTCTTGAGCAGGGATATGGAACGAGCAAGTCGACGACTGGTCAACTTCCCTGCTTTGGAGAGGGGCTGAGTGGAGAGATGTGCAGGATGCCGTCCTATCAGTGACGGAGACAAGGGCGGACTCTGTGAAAAGGAGGGATTATGGCTGCTGGACAACGCAACACTGCAGGCTCTGCAGCTGGCCAGCGCAAAAGCAAGCTGACGAAGAGCACAGAAGAGAGAAGAGCGGGAAAAGAGGAGGCTGGCCCCGAAATTGCTCGTTGTTATCGCGGCAGCACGTTCTCATTGTCGACGACGATCCTCATGAAACAACTGCCAAGCGCCTCTTCAGAAAGTGATGTCACTACGTAGTACGAAGTACCGGCTTCGCGAGGGCTAGGTTTGCTCCCAGCAAGTCCAGGCTACCAGCTCGGAAGGTGACATTCCATGGCTGGCGGGAGCTGCGGGAGCGCGCGGCATGGACGGCCACTCAACCGCCCCGGCCGCGGGGTCACTTCGTAATTCTGCGACGGTGATGGTGGCTTCAGACCGGTCGGCCACCCTGCGGGCCACCTCTGGTCTGGCCTCGCCAGGTCAGAGAGGTGGATCAAGTGAGCGAGCACCATCACCAACCATTCGGCATTCTGCGAACCAGCATGCAACCGGCGGCACACCGAGTCTGCAGAGGAGGGCCAGCGTGCGCATTCTCGACAGCTGATTGACCACGATAACAGCTTACGGGCGGGGTATGCCGGAGGGGACGCGGCTCGTGAGACGGCGTCGCGCACAACGCAGAGGGCCTCAAAATGGCCGGCGAATGGCGTCGACGAGCGCCATATCACAGAAGTGCGGTCAGCGCGGGCTGCGGGCGACCATGTGAAGGGCGGCCGGAAGGTGAGAGGCGGCGGGTGACGACGGGTTGGGTGACGAGTGACGGGTGACGGGTGACGGAATGAGGGACGAGGGATGAGGGATGAGGGATGAGGGTACCAGGCGATAGACCAGGCCTCAGCGGGCCGTCTTTGCGATGCCATGATTGTGACGTCGCCAGCCCGCTTTCGCCTTGGTCGGGAGATGAGAAAGCCGAGTCGACCAGCGCCAAAACGGACCACGTCAAAGTCAAAGAGTTTAGCTGGTGCCTGCCGATGTGTTGGTCGCCCCACCTCAGTTTCCAGCTGCCTTCCCTGGTTCCAGAAACGCTCTTGCCCACTGGTTTTCCTCGCCCTGCCCCACGTGATGCACGGGACTGTCCGCATCTAAGGCGCGAAGGGTCCAAAGGCCCACGCTCGTCCCAATTCGACAACTCAGCAACCCCGGATGGCTTGATGCGGCTCTCGGAGCTGTTCACAATAAGAATCTTCTGGACCGGTCTTCTATCGTGGAACCTCTCACGGGGCCAACTCAACCAAGGCGAGTCGACGTGTAATGCAAGCTTCAGGGGCTACATCAACTGCCGACGGCTCGAGATTGTGATGCCTCACTTCTGTTGACGTGGCTATCATCACACACCGATAATGGCTCCAGAATGACAAATGCTCGGGGACCAAGGAGAGGGGTGACGATGTTGAGGCATTATGCATATCCTAGTCTTGATCCATTAGCTCTATCACTGATGGATCTATCGTGTCTTCACCAGAGGGTTCCTCTCGAACAACACCCTCCTCCCAAAGCTCCTTCAGTCCTTGTTCCAGTTGCCCTTCGAAGGTGCCCAGGAGTCCTGAAAGCACAGCCTTGACCGATTCCCAGCTACTGATCCCGAGCACTCGGCCCACCAGCCTCATTTTATCGTTATACACTTCTCGCCACCTTTCTAACTGTCTCTCCTCCACTGAGTTCGTCGCTCGCCCCGTCGAGGCTATGGCCGCCCCAAACATGGTACACCAGAGCCACAGCGGTTGGGTCCACGTACTTGTCTGGAGGTATTCCTCGCCCGCGTTGACGTCGTCGATGAGCTGTTCGAGAAGCCAGTCGACTAAGGTTACGTCAAAGTATCGGTGACCCAGCTCGGAGCAGAGGTAGAAGAAGGTGGCGATGAAACTTGTTCGGCTACTTTTCGGGTCTCCGTTGAGGATTCGGGGGATGTACTGGGTCGTGTTGAAGCCCCGTGATATCTCGTAGTTGAGGTTGAGCTCCCTGGTGTGGTTCTGCCACAACCTGGCCGCTTGTGTGTCTTGATCCTCCCACCATCCATATCTCGGTGCCTCCCGCGGTGGCAATGCCGTGATGTCCCAGATGGACGCGAACAAGAGGCCCATGAATATCGGTGTGTATCCTGGCACGTTAACCAGCTTTTCTGATTTCCCCGTTCGCAATCCGTCTCCGATCCTATTCCAGATAGTGTTAGTAACATGGCATTTCAGCAACCACCACAGACAACGTACATCTTCAACATGCTCTGTGGCAACGTAGGGGTTTGGTCGGCCATGTTCCATGCCCTCGCTGCGGACTGTATTCCTTGGAGATGTCTCGCGGAAGCATCTAACTCTCCGATAGCGCCCTATAAGGTCATGTTGTCAGCCTCTCCACCCCGCAGCTACCGTTATGCCAACACCCACCTCGGTAAGTGCAAGTGCAGAAATTGCCAACATGGTGTCTCCGCTCTGTGCCGCCTCAGGACTTTGAAGCTGTTCTCTTGCGAATTGATATGTCGCCGCTTTGTGGTAAAGGAACGGGATCCGGACTTCGTCCATCGAGCCTGTCACCCATGCCCACTGACATGCCGAAAGCATGAGGCACATATGCATGTACCCCGGATTCTCAAAGGACTTCTGGATCCTGGGGTATTGTCAGTGCGTATCCTGGCAGGTCGGCGATTCCGGGATGCCGGGAAAACTCACGCCGAGGACTGGAGCTCTCGAGCAACAGGTCTTTGTCCCCATACAGTATACTGGGAAACTGTCCAAGTCGTGTTAGTGGTCAATTGTACGAAAGCGTTGGGCGGGCCGTCAAGGGCTCGTCAAGATGACGTACAGTGACGCAGCAGTCGTTTAGAAGGTTCGGGGAGTGCATCAAACGAACCCCCAACATAGTCATTGAGGGGATCGATCAGCCCAGATGCAGGCTCGGCCAACACCATCTGTGCCTCGATGTCGATATTAACGTTCCCGCTACCGCTGCCGCTGCCGCTGCCGCTCGCGCTCCCGCTGTTGGAGGGCGATGATTCATTGGATGGTAATGATTGTTGGGGAACAGGATAGATGCATTCACTGCCTGTTTGGAGACAGTTGGTGCTGAGTCGCCAATCAACGTTAGTGAAGACTCGGGCATCATCGTGTACCAAGAGCCCGAGGGCGATATGGCGCGACGGCGTCGATGCAGGACTCGTGTATACCACAGCCTCGGGTCAAGGGTGCTAAAGGGAACACATACCAAAGTGGCTTCTGTTCGTCACACCGAACATGTCGTCTCTTACACGTCTGGCAGCCATTCTTGCTCCGTCGGTGGAATCTCCTCTTGCGGTCTTTGGGGGGAGCCATATTCTCACGTGTGCATACTGTGGCTTGCCTTCACACTGATAAATAGCCTCACCCACATGCTCGTCTCTCGTCAAGATCTATAGCTCTCGACTCGGGGACAGGGCTGGAAATATGCCCCAAGGAGGCGACGATCTGATGAGGCACAGTCTTAGAAGGAAGGCCATCGACACTTGCTGCAACTCGTATTGAAATCTGGACCTTGCCTGTTACAACCCAAGTCGGATGGTGGGATGCCCCCAAACAACAGCCAGGAGCAAATTCGATTGCTCTAGACGAACCGTGCAGGCATTATGACCAATCAAAGGGGGCGAATCCCCTGCCCTCATGACTCGCTAGGAGCCAGTGGCGGGGCGTTTCCCCAAGGTCAGTCGGCCGCCCACAAGCCTTGGGATCGTAGATCGGTGAAGCCATCACGAAATGTTCGACGAAGTCTTCATTTGGTGCCTCGATTTGTATGGTTTGCGCCATAAATTTCCTACGTCACATCTGCAGGATGGCCTTATCCCCGTGGATGGGCCCTCTTCTGTAACGGAGGAGTGGCGCTAATTAGGGGCCAGCGGTTCCAAGGGGGGGGATAGCCCGGGGTTGTGGCGTGAAAGGTGGCTTTGTCAGCCGCTGATAAGTGAAGAGTAAGAGCTGTGGCTTGTCCTAATCGCTGACAGATGCTTGGACGGCATGATTGCCAAGGGGCATGAGCCGATCTTGACTCCAGATTGGGAAAAGGGTACGGAGGGCGGCGCCGAAAACCCCCACCCGAGCGGCCGCCCTGTGGCGGAGGTCCGGCCCGTGTGTGGAGCCTCTTCGGAGGATGCGATGGTAGCACGGGAGATCGATCATTGTCCATTGGTGCGGGGGACGGGTGGTTATTTTTGGATAAGGTCTCGGAGGATTGACAGGGGAAGGGCATTTAATGAGGAACCATTCTGGGTTGGTAGCCTGTGTTTAGTCGTTCATCTCCCCACGTGCCATGCGTATTGATAAGAAGGGCACATCGGTCGACGAGAAGAGGTGACCGAAGTTGCGAAGGAAGCCAGCCTTGTCCGTTTCGCTTTCCTACACTGTCTCTTTTTGGTATTTTACCCGCACTCACTGTGTCTATCTTTCGAGGACGGCCGACCCCCGCCACTCCTGGGGCTGCTTGTCAACGTTCACAGTCTCCTCGGAGGCGGAGGTGGAGAGAAAACGACGTTGACCAACTTGATCGAGTCATATTAAGCGAGGGGGCGAACCGTCAGCATTGAGTGTACGAAGACAACGTCACATCAAGGCTGGGACCTGGACGAGAATAAAAGGGATACGTGAGTGAGAACCCGACATGCCATGCCATGCCAAGTAGACTTCGTGTTCAACCCCCGGAGTCCCAACAAGCGTGCGATGGCGCCTAAAGATAGACTGGCTCACGTGTTCGCGAGGGAGTGGTTGTGGCTGCCTGAGGCCAACACTTTGTTTTCAACCCAGGAAGCATGAAAGACGAGAGGTAAGGTTGCAGGCTAAGGCTAACCCTTGTTTTAAGACGTACGAAGTACCGCACCCGGGATAAGGCGAGACTGACTGCTGCTGTCGTGTCACGTCCCCACCACGCAGATCCATGCGCGTGCTTGGTCACATGCGTCCCTATGCTTCATGCCAGCCATCTGGCTGCTGGGTCGCTGGGTCGCTGACTGCCATCATCATCATGCCTGTCATCTGTGGGCTGCGATCTGGCACCTGCCACACGCCAGCCCAACGCCAGCCATCCCACTCGCACCGGACAGCCCTGGCAGCCTTGCCCTCATCTCGTTGGCCTCAACATGGCGTTCGGAATCCCGACTTACCCACAAAACCCACTTCCATCACGGCTCGCTCGCTCGCTGGCGCGGTCCACAATCCTTCGCCTCAACTTCAAGCTGAAGTCACGGGGGATGGATGGATCACGGCGACATGCGAAACAAAGCAAAACGCAAGCCAAGGTCCTTCGGCGTCCCACGAGTGCCAGCGATGCCGCAGCCAGTGCCTGGTGGAGCAGATGCAATGCCCACGTAGCCGACTGCTTGCATCGGCGTCAGGCCATGCTGTCGTCGAGATGATGGATGCCTTCAAGCTTTTGCCGGGGAGGGCTCTGCTCCTGTCCGGATCGCCCCCCTTCCGTCGAGGACGTCGTGAGCGCCCAACTTGCCCAACGGCCAAGCCTCAGTTGCGGCTCTGGACGATCACCGCCAGTTGCGTCGCCTTGAAGTTTCTCGCATTTGAGCCTGGTGGTGTGCCGCGTCCGTCGATGTGTTGTTGAACTTTGTCCGGTGAGTACGAGGAGGTGGTGGTGGGCATCAATCCGGGGGCGGTTGGGTGCTATTAGCTGGCATCGCCTTAGGCCCCTTGGTGCCCGACTCTGATCTCAGTCCCGCCATTGACCGCTCCTCGTCGTTCCGGGTAGTCCCCTGCTCCGATTCTCCCGCCTGAGGTCATCTCTACCTGATGCTGCCAGCGCGCCTTGGGCAACAACGCCAGCGCCCAATGATGCCGGGAAATTGCCTTGCTAGGGCCAAGGCCGTTGGTGAGCTGCCACCCTTCAACCACAAACATCTGGGGTAGTCCTGGACCTCTGACGAAACCTGTCCCGCTCTCCCAGTCCCCCTCGGCTACGAAGTACACAGCCAGCCAGTCCTCGCCAGCCCAGATTTCGCTCGATCAACAAGCGCACCCACCCTCGCACGAGATCGCAGACCCCCCCGATGGCTGTGGGCTCCGCGCTTGCTTGCGTCAACAGCGGACCGTTGCCTCTCCCCAGCCAGGCGGACTCTGGAACCCTCCAACCTTCCAACATTTAGAGAATTAGGGCGACTTTGTTGCAAATCTTTCCAGAAAGGACTTGGTGTTTTTGCTTCAGTGCTGGTCCCTGTTCACTCCGCTACTAGCGAACGGGGTATCTCTTCTCATTGCCATTTGACCAGGATCAGTCTACTTGACATGCTGCCCAGCTCGCTTGCTGCCTCACGAACGAAGATAAAATCATCACTATTCCGAGCACCACCCCCAGGTCTCACTCGTGCCAACTCAATCAGCATTTCCCAACACTGGCGACTGGTTCGCTGAAAACGCTCCAGGACCTTGCACTACCGTTAGTGCTTTACTGTTTTCCTGCAAGACTTGGTACAAGTCAGCTGGCGTTATTGTTGTGGACTGGTCCCCTGCCCAGGCCCCGGGACACACCGCCTAGAATCGCCGACAGGAAGACCCAGGAAACTCGACATCTCAGGAACCCTAGCCACCGTGGATTGCCCCGGAGTGATTGGAACCAGCCTTTTGGAAGAACCAAGGATCTCAGCCCGAGGCTCCATAGTGTGCGAGCTGTCCGTCGGTTTTAGTCTCTTTTTTTTGGAACCCGAGGCCCCGGTCCCATTGCTTCTTCTACTCCTGTGGATTTCTCTTTATCAGCCGCAAGTCTCGTCAAGTCTTGCCAAAGTTAACGCTGCGCTTTTACCATTATGAGCGAGAGCGACATGGCCCAACCAGAGTTTGCCTACAGATCTTCCGCCATGTCCGGCAGTCCTTGGAATCCTTCGCGAAGGTAGGTCATCAATCAACCTTGGATCGATCTTGGAGGAGTCAATGTTTGGCTGATCACCTGGTAGTTCCTTTGCCGAACCCCAGTCACATGGAGGGTTTGACAATGGCTTTTACCAGACCCCAAGGTATGACAAGCACCGAAGCCCCCTTGCTTGGACGCTTTAGTAACATTCACCTTCTCAAAGTGCCTCGAGCGTCAACTACTCAGCCAGCTCCTATAACTTAGCTGGTGGCATGCCCATAGGCGCCAATGGACATATGTCGCGCGCCGAGACAGTTTATTCCGCTGGTCCGGCGTACAATTCGCGCCCTCCGTCCGGTTCATACGGCAAGATAACAGTCGGCCATGGATCCTACAAGAGCTCTGGCTCTCAAGGATGGGACGCCCAAGACAGGTACTCGCCCACCGACTCGGTTGACGACATCATTGCGTCGCCCAACCTATCAGACTACTCCCTGGAGAATGGGATGAACGCCGCCACTTCCGGAGGGAAGTCGAAAACGAGCAGCACCAAGAGTCGATCGCAGCGACGACCCTCGAATCGAGACGAGTTCGATGGTCCACACCAGTTCCTGCAGCGTCCGCCTCCCGATGTGGTTGCAATGCAGGAGCGAGAACTCCCCCATCTACCTACGAACCTCCACGTTCAGGAGCAGGATAATGTCCTCAGCCAAGTCAACGACCGGCTTTCGCAGTGCGCATATGATTTCGTCGCGAAGTATCAGTTTCCGATCCCGTTGACCCAGGACATGAGACCTGTAGAGCGGCCTCAGGATCGAGAGTGGACCGAATGGGTCTACCTCTTGAAGCGGTTGGCGACAAAGCGTCGCATCCCGGCACGAGTTTTATACAATGGGCAAATTAAGCAGTTTGTCACTATTCTGGAGAACTCGCTGGAGATGCGACACGCCGCCAAACACCAAAGCCGCCCTCTCAAGGATGACCGAAACATCCTTCAGTTGATCTCCGCCGGCATTCAGGTGGCCAAGATCCTGAAGGATGCTTCCGCCATGGACTACCTTGATAGATTATACGTTTCCACGGAGAAGCAGATCCAAGACCGTTCCGCCTCGCGGTACCGGTCTTGAGACGACAGCCTCCATATGAGTCTACACAATGACTCGACCACGTTTTATGACATATCCTGATGACAGGAATGACAACCAGCCGAACACGACCACGGCACAGAACAAGAACAGGGACCTGAAGGGGGCCCACACGTTGGCGACTTCGCAAGTCGGATTGTGAATGATAATGTTTTTGTTTGTTATATGGAGCGGGCATCTTTCTCAGCTGCTCAATTTGGCACGCATGCCGAGCAACGGTTCGTCGCCGGAAGCACAGGCCCTTTACTCGGTGAGGGAAGCCTTCGTTCGGAGCGTCTCGGGAGTTTTTTGTGGTCTGGTTTTGCTTTTGGCGAAAGTGATGCGTTGTCTTTTTCCCCTGATTTGCAGCGTTTGCTTTTTATTGACCCCTGACACTTGTCGGATCATGTGCTGTCACCGTACACCTGTATGGCTTGGGATTCTATGGGAGAGGCGCACGACGAGGTCAGCCTGGCGTCGTGCCCATTGGAGGCGTTGGGAACTGATGAGGTTGGGGGTGTTGGGCGGGAGTGTTGGGCAATGGGATGTGGGGATAGTTATGAAGGGGAGTCAGGTGGCACATCTACTCGGTTTTTGCTTGAGCCGGCTGTAGGATTATGTGGTGGAACAGTTGTTGGGCTGTTTGGGGTGTGATGGGATTTGAAGATTGATCGAATCATACAGCAGAAGGTTGTGGAAATCTGGGCAAGATGGGACACGAGACAACGAAGAGATGCCAAGTTCTGCACATAGATTGAAACGAAGTACGATGCAAATGTCAGCATGATGAAAGCGCCCCCTTGTTCTGTCCAATAAACGTGACCATTGTAGTGTCTGGTTCCTGAGAGTGAACGAATAATTGCAAGTTCCGAGTTTCTCTAGGGTAAGGCTCTACGCCGGGGTGAGGTTGGGTATTGACCGAGACCAGCCACAGATGGAATGATCCAATGCTGCGGCTGGTGCGACCAAAAAAAGGCCCAGATGCTTGATGAGAGTCAGATTGATGATGTAGTCACGGGTTTGTATTGAGGCCTTCCCTGGCGGTGATCATGTCATGCATAGTGACCCGATGCATCTTAGACTCTTAGACGCCTGCCAGTGATGGCCGATAGTTAATGATGCAGGTGATTTGAGCTGTTGCACAATCCCAGGCGGAGGACGCACGGCCAGTCATGACAGACGCATTATTCGCGGTTATGCACATTGTGGAAGAGCGTGCGCTCAATCGTCTGGCTCAGAGGGGAATAGTGCGGGATCGGCCCACCTTATGCACATGTGCAGAAATGATTGGCTCTGCGCATGCTCTCATGCCTCCTTCCACCGAAGTGCGAAGGGAAGCTGCGGCCGGTCGAGTCGGCGACGCCCAGTCGGTCGCCAGTTAGGCTTAGTGCGCCTCCCGGTACGGGCTGGTTGGCGTCGATGGCGAGCAATAAGCCCCACGAAACCCCAAGAACGTCGACCGAGAGAGATGCTGATGAGTCCAGCTTTTCTTGCCTCCTTAAAGCAGGAATGCCCCGTACTCAATCGTCGCTCTTGCTTCCCCCATTTCTCCCTCCGTGAGCCTGGCCTGCTGACGAAGAGCGGGTGAATACGTGCGGAATCAGCGCCTGCGACTCTCTCTGTGGGCTGCCCACTACAGTTGCGACTGCGGCAGCGAGCAACCGACAGCGCGCGACAGCGACATATAGACAACCCAACCCGTTCTCCAGCAATCCAGATTGGGAAGTTGGTCGCATTACCATTGTCCCAAGTTCTTATACCGACATTCCCCATCTTAACTCCCTTCCCACTCCAGGTTTTCCCTCTGGGCAGACCGCGCCCATCAACATCTAATCTCTGCATCGGACCGGATTATATCCCGGACCTCGACCATCTCGCCCCCCTCTCCTTCACAATGGCCTCCGTTACTTCCAGGTCCCCCAACGGGTCATCGCCCTACGACTTCGATTCCGCCGCCGAGACCGACGAGTCGTGGCAGTACATCGACTACAATGCCGCTGGTTCTACGCCCTCCTCCATTGGCTTCCTTTCTGACCCTGCCAGCGGCAGCTTGAGCAGCTTCGCCGTTATTGGCAATGTTCCTGGCAACACCCCGTCGCCCTCGGCTGCGTCGCCGCTCCTCTTGGGTGAGATGGACCATTCGGCCTTCTTCCCTAGCAATGCATCCTTCCCTGCGCAGTCGGACACTGTCGGCTCTGATATGTTCTCAACGGCGGCGACAGCGGCGACAACGGATGGCGGGTTCGCCTCAGTCCCTGGATTTATGACACCCCAGCAATACCTATTCCCACAGCAGGACCCGGCCCAATTCTCGCCGCAGGAGCTGAATGGTATGCTGGTGACTCGGACGGTGTCCCGTTCGTCACAGGGTGCTGATGATCAAGCAGACATTGTGCCATTGATGAATGCCTTCCAAGCCGATATGTTCCCGGTGACATCAGAGGGCCAGACTCAAGTCCCTCAAGTTGACCTAAATATTCCTCAGCCTTTCCAGGCCGACGCCAACGTGCCGCCATGGAACCCTACTAACCCGCGAGGAACCGATGCCAACATGTTCATCATGGATGACTTCGGCAGCTCGTCACCCCAGAGCATGCAGTCGCACAGTACCTCGTCTCCCGGTTCCAGACCCAGCCCTGGCGGTAGTAGGTCACCACCCACGCAGATACGCAGGGTCAAGGTTGGAAAGGTAGAGAAGAAGAAGGTGGAACAGTCGGGCAAGTTCGTCATCATGACCCCGACGTCCATCTCTGCCCACGCCGGCAGGCCCAACCCATTCGAGTGCTTCGAGGCCATGCGGACGAGTCAGCGAGGACGAAAGGGTCCCTTGGCGAACGCCACCAAGGAGAACGCACTTCAGGTTCGACGACTGGGTGCCTGCTTCTGCTGTCACAGTCGCAAAGTCAAGTGTGACAAGGAGCGACCCTGCAAGAGCTGCAAGAAACTCATGGTTGCCGTCCCCCAGGTCGTCTGCTGGCAGTTTGGAGATTTCGTGCCCATTCTGTTCCCAGACTTCATCCGCGGCCACTTTCGCAAGGAGGAGATGTCCAAGTTCATGTCTGAGAACATTGAAGGCTTCGTGGTGAATGGCGTGGAGCAGTCTTGCTCCGTCGAGCTGTTCTCAGGTTCGCGCTTCTCGACTGTACTAGCCGTTGACGCCAAGTTTTTCACCCCTGCGACTTGTGACGTTGTACAGCACTGGCATATGAACGTGGGACCAGGTCGGGCGGACCTCCAGTCCAATGGATCCGCCGCCATCGGAATCCAATTTGAGACGAGTGCCCAGCGAGATAGCCTCAAGAAGCGGACCAGGAAGTACATCCAAGATACCATTGCGGAGCCTACTTTTGCGATCCAAGTCACCGAATCCATCCGCCATACACTCCTGCCTAGGAAAGTTCTTGAGATCGTCAAGGACTTTGCGGAAGAGACCGAATCCCTCATGGTCAAGCGAGCGCTGTCCATTCACTGCATGCATTACATCATGACCAGACATCTCTGCCTCACTGGGCAGACCATTGACTCACTCGGGGCCACTGGCCTGGTCCCCCAGAACGTCAACCGGCTCACTTCCCGAGTCCTGGGTCGACAGATCAAGTCCATCATTGACGAGATGATGATGCGGGAGATGGTACAGCTGTTCGAGCTCTTCTCTAAGTCTCTCAAGCCCAAGTCTCGGCGCGAATGGGCACCCTGCCTTGCCGCGTTCCTGACCCTCTGCCTCTTCATGGAGACCGTCGAGACGGCTGCCGACATTTTTGTATTGTCCCAGAACGAGATCGGGGTGAGAAACGGGTCTCGCCCTGAGTACGACAGAAGCGTCGCACTCAACACATGCAAGGAGGTCGAGAACATGCCGTTCAAGCAGTTCGCGTGGCAGTTCCACCAAGTCTATCAGACGCACATCAAGGAACCTAATGCCAAGAGCTTCAACCCACTGGTCCAACCCGCTGAGCGGGGCGAACTTGATGCGCCGGCGGCCAAACTGGCGGCGCGGTTAGGAGAACTTCTCTACGGCGAGGATTGTAAGTATAACCGTAAGACATGAGGGAGACATGAGGGAGACACGAATACTAATCGGGCTACAGGGCTTGACGTACAAACCCAATCCGAGAACGAGATTCTCCAGGATAGGGCACAACACCCGTACCCGATGAACCCAGAATATTTGTACACTGGCCGCCTCGTGGCCAGGTTCCTCAGGTCGTTCCTTGATGATAAATGGATTTGGGGGGAGTGGGCGTGAGAGAATTGCGTACCGGAATGAGACATCATTAGGCGGTTGGACGTACGAGGCAACGGTTTGTAACGACTTATGGCGCAAGTTAGGTATGGATCGGCGGCGAATTTGGATACCCTTGACAGGTAGGATGACAATGTTACGAAGAACACATATTTTATTCTGGAACGGCGAGCTTTTTGTGGATACATCTCAAGTATAGATATTTACGGATTTAAGATATGTTTGACCGATTTTAGTCCTGATTGTCATATTATTTTCAATGACGCCAGGGTGGAGCGGACAGGTTGTCTAGACCTTTGTGTTTTTCTCCCACTCGAACGAATAAAACAAGTTGACACGCATGCGCATTGAAAACGCGAGGTGTAGGCATTTCGTGGGTGCCGCCAGAGCGGACTTTGTGCATGTGTATATATCTGCGCAGACATTCCGACTCCGAGGAACACTTGTGCCATCGGAGTTAAGGATGATCGGGGCAAGGATGCTATGCCCCTGTTGCAAGATGATGCGGCATCACATGTGAAGGGGTCGAGGCCGTTTCCGCAGCAGCGACATACCACACAGTGCCGACAGGTGTTGTGCTTCGCATGATGGCGTATTGGCGGGCAGCTGAACAACGCGACGGTTTCCGACTCAAATGTCAATCGGAACCATGCGAACCACATGCGGAGCACTGCTCCGGTTCGGCGATGCCTTCTGCCATGTCACCAAGACGCATTGGAATGCCGAAGCGAGAAAATCCCTGTGGTGTTTGTGGCTGCCACTGAAGACAGAAGCAAAAGGGTGTTGTCAAGTGTGGAAGAAGGAGAACTTTGCAGAAATTTATAGCGGCGCCGGGAGGCTGGTGACAGGTGACACAGGTGGCATCCCACGTGACACGAACCAACAACCGTGCCTATTTCTCAGCAGTGGATCACGGCTAGTCTTGCCTCTCCTTTTCTCTTCTTCACACATTTTCCGCACGGCTAATCAACCGACAACGAAATCATCTACTTGGTTTTCGGTCAAATGCGTGCCAGAGCAACGGAGTCCCTGCCAAGTCGTGTTACATCGTCTTCTACGGCGAGATGCAGCCTGTCTCGCTGATCCGCGCAGGGCCCCCTACATGCCGCGTCCCCAGGACCTCTCAGCTTAGTACCTGACTACCGGCCGTTTGTCGGCAATTGACCACTGGGGCCGTCTCTAAAGAACCTTGTGCGCCCTTAAACCCGTCGGCCCCTGGCGTGTTGTGCAGGTGCGAGCTATGTTGAGAAGACGACGTCGCTCTCGTGTCTGATCCTGTAGCACTCAGCATGCCTTGTTCCCTTGTTGCCTTGTGGGACGGGATGGGCTTATTCTCGTGGACCTTTGGGCAACCCGCCGAGTGGCTGGGCTCGTACGTGACGGGCGGGAGGCCGTCTTGTTCATGCCCCTGGCCGAAGTCACTCTCAATTGTGTCGTTGAGTTTAGTCGCCCGGACCCGAGGAACAGGACTACGGAACCGATGCTGCGTGCTCAAGATACACATAGAGGTAGTGTGCGTGTTACCGCACCGTTGATTAACTGAACGGCCTCTTTGAGAGTCTCTGGATGGGCTGTAGCTCTTGGCCGGCGCTTCGACGAACGCTTCGGCGTTTCGGCGCATCTCGCAGGCCCGAAACTCTGTTGCCTTTGTATCGCACCTCTTGTTACAGTTCGCCCTGAATTTCAAGCGCTCGATTCGTCCACCACGCTGACGGGGCCGAAAGCACAAGTAAGACACAGCCAGCTTCCATCTGAGGCTGACATTGTTGGTCAATGGCACAAACAGTTCGGCGGTGCAACTCACCTGTCACAATGACCGACTTCCCTCATCCTATGAGGCGTGTTGTTACTTCATCCTATTCTGGCCCAACTATGCGGCCAGGCGTCTTTGAAGTCGGCGACTTGCAGCAATGGCAGCGGTTGCTATTCACACACCGAGCTGACGACGACATCCTACGAAGCGGACCACTCTGAGCAACGCCGGGTCGGATAAGTTCTGTAATCAGTAGCATTTGTGACGCCGTAAGGCATGCGAAGCCACTATCACCATCCCTCAATGTTGATCGCACAGCTGTGCCCTCGTTTCGGGTTCGGACGCTGACAGCAGATTTGTGAACGATGTTCAAAGTATAAAGGCTTGAAGTGTCCTCGGAGAAGATCCAAACTCCCCAAGCCTCTACAACACAACCGGTTGAAACCCTTCTCCTTCACAGTCTACTCGCTCTGCAAGATCGTCAACATATTGAACTTGAAACCCTCTCGAAGCTTTAACAACCATCTACCCTGCTTCTTCATTTCTTTCTCCGAGAGATTCTCGATTCATCCAAGTCATGGACGCCTTCACCCGCCACCCTGTCTGCGCTACCAAGGACTCTGGGAGCAGCAGCGCTACGACGGGATCCGACCCTGGGAACAATGGCCCTAAAAAGGACTTCCCTATCGATCCAAGTAAGTCTCTGATCCTCCCCACCTAGCAAGGAGTGCCCTTCCGAAATGAAGTGGAACCAACCCTGTCGTGTATCTTCTTTCACCCGCAGTGGCATGTGCCGCCACAGGAACGGTGACTCCCCGATTGGAGTATTGCTGACGCGTCTTCAAGCTTATGGAAAGTAAAAGTTCACTGTCGGACAAATTCCACGCACCCTGCACCACAAGTTCAGGTAGGGTGCTGACGGGCTATCGATGGAGATGAGAGGAGGGAAAGAGGGTAGAGAAATATGTGGAAGGAGAGTAGAGTAGAGGGGACGGTTCGCTTCAACGCGACGGAAAGGAGAAAATTTGATAGAGAGGAGGATGGAAGGAAGGGATAGAACATTGTCAGGTTTATTTGCGCTTAGATAGTCTAAAATTGAAAACTGGCCGTTTCTCTAACCATCCGCAATGTGCTTCCTCGGTTGCCTTGTGCGAATCTCACATCCCGAGAAAGGGTGACGTTGTCGTTGGTGCCTTTTCTAACGTGTGATAGCACTTGAATGGTTTGCTACGGGCGGGCGGAGGTGGAATCAGGGAAGAACATTGAAGGAAATAAATTGTGTCTTTTGCGAGAGGGGACATGTACGAATGTGGAGTTGAACATGACTGCGAGCATCAGTGCAGGAAGCAACGAGCGAATGTTGGGAGCACACAAGATGCTGTTGTTCCAAGTCACACCGGGTAAAGTCGGAGCTATCGATGACTGACTTATTTGACATGAATGGATGAATGCACAAGAGGAAGATGGGTTGCGGAGGAGGCATTTTTGCGAGCGTGTTACTAAATTGGGCAACCTGGGTATGGATATGCGAGATGCCAGCTGTTGATATCGCCTCTTCTAAGGCTCCAATGGGTGCTTAAAAGTGTCCCAGTACTCTCAAAAGTAGGTAGGAAGGAGGGAATGCAAGTGATTGTACAGTTAGTTGGATGTTGCTTGTGCGTTGTTACGACACATTGTACCTTCCACTGCTAGACATGCCTGGCGGTCGCCCTCCTGACATTCGGCTCCAGGTCGACCATGCGAAAAGCACCAACCCACTCACGAATTATAAGATTTGATTTGATTTATCCTCGAACCTCCTAAAGAATGACTTGAGACTCTGATACTCGCTCCTTTGTTGGACTCACTGCTACAAGTTTCTTGCTACCTCGATCGCATGCGGAGAAGCTCGTGTACCACTCAACTAGCAAACAACTTCGACCTTGCCTCTGATTTAACACCGTGTATTGATCGAAGGAATTCGATCCCTTCAACCTCAACCTAGTGCCAACACCTAAGCAAGGGACTTTCACCGACGAGCACGAGACCTCGACCTCCACATTCCGTACGTTCCCGAACGCAGCATGCCCGACGGCCACCGATCCCTCGAGGCGAACAGATTGGAAATAGTCCTCATTGCGGCGGGAATTTTGGTTCTGGTATCAGTCTTGGGAATTTTGATTCTCTTGGGTGTTGGTCTCAGGCCTCCCGCGGCAGCCCAGGATACCGAGAATGGACAACGCTGGACGGCCTGGGGAGGCGCATACAACGAGCCACAAGACCGTGGACCGATAGAACCCTACCATGACTGCGACAATACATTCATCAGCAGCGTTCGACGCGGGAGTCGGTCCCTGGCGGAAGAATTCAAGCAGGAGCTAAGAAACCTGCACTTCAGTTTCACTTCCCCTGGGCAGCAGCAAAACGACTCCAGCATCTCTGATCAGCTACAAAGGTTCAGCATGGACAGTACACTGGTCCCATCAGGGGATAGCTCTGACCAAGACACTGCCTGTGGCAGTTGTTGCGAGTTGATTGACTCTCCCCTGTCGGCAACGGGACGGGAGGATGAGTTAGGTGGACCACGAATGAGAATCAGCCGGACCGCGGAAAATGCGACGAGCAGTGACTTAGAGGCCCAGCATTGAGATGGCCCCGAGCAGCCGGGCTGCAGAGGACCCATGGAACCGTGTAATTATCACGGTGGATGTCCAGGATATCCTGATAGAGGGACTTGGGATGTTGTACATGATACCTCTATTGAATCTGAGAATCGTCCTACTCTGACACTGGCTCATCTGGAGGCCTGCGGCGCAGCCTCGTTGTTTCGCCTTCTAACTCTTCGCCATCCTGCATACCGTTGTTCATACAGCGAAAGTCTTCCTTGTCCCCGTCATATCCGCCACCCTTCAATAATCCAATTTATGCCTGTCTCTTCAGGTCTCGCGCAGCCTGCTTGAGGCTGAAGTTGCACTCCTCGTAGGCTCGTCCAGCACCGAATCCGACGCCGACAAATGCGGGCCACGCCCTTCGCTTGAACAAAAGGACAGAGAAAACAACACCGAATCCAAGGCCGAGGGTCGACTTGACGAGGAGGTTGGAGAGGCAGCGGTCCCACTAGACATCAATTAGCGTCTCCTTCAGCTTGCCGTGCACTGCGTATTCCGTGGTTCGATCAATACCTTCTCGTTGAGTAGCGACTCGCTGAGGGGCCGGGAAATGGCGCTCGGGGGAGTGCGAGTGACGGGAGCTTCAGCCATTGTGGGTGTACTGGACATGGGCGCGTTAGTTCCAATGGCGCAATCCGAGAGTGACGGGAGGAATTGGCATACGTGGAGGCGGAAATCGGATGGGAGAGCGAGAGATGGAGCTACGGCGAGCTTGACTTCGGATAGGCGTGATGTCAAGCTTCACGAGGAATAATCGGCAGAGCCACTGTTGAACGTCCGAAGGCGGTGAGGTGGGGCGTCCGGGAGTGGACTAGCGCTACGGCAGAATATTGGAAATTTTGGCCGTCGCTGCGAAAAGTCGTGGGGCGCATTGCAGACTCAAGACTAAAAGACATCCCGTCTGTTATTTCTTTCAGCGACACATTTTCGGAAGGATTTGGCCGCTATGGATGTGACCATGGCGGATGATTCTATTGAGGAGATCCCCCAGCATGAGGTAAGTGATAATGATGGCGCAGTCCTCCCGCAGCAAGGCTTACACGTGACAGGATAAGACGGATCTCATCAAGACTGTGAGAGGTCTCGACCAGTCTGGCCCGGGAGCAAACGGAGAAAATCTTGAAAAATTATGGAAGAAATTGGTCGCGTCAGCGGATGGCCAATTTCACGCGGCAGAGGAAAGTAGCCTAAGATGGTTGCTGAAGTCGATGAACGGCTCATCAAAGGAAGCTGAGACAATGAGGAGATGGCCTCTGACCTGGACAATCCTGGAATGCGTCTTCCAACGAATCCCACTCTTCTCGCTAGCCAAGTCTTTGGCCGACCGACGATTTATTGCGGTGCTTCAGCAGACATTGAAGGATATTTCCCAGCCTTCCACGGATTCGCCTTCAGCAACGTCAACAAAGAGAAAGAGATCCGTGGCAAAGGGTTATGCTCTTGAAGAACTGAAGGACTCTGAGGGTTGCCTAATGGCTGGTGATGCCGTCTTTCATGCCCTCAAGCGCTTGCTGGGCAGACTCGATTCTACAGCCACACAGTCGTCTCACGATAGGATCGGCGCTGAACACATCCGGTCTCTGTTTTGTTCCACAGCGGCCGAAGCTGCGGCGTTGGTCTCTCTGGCGCTCTCGCTGTGCGATGTAGCCTTGACTGGCGACAGCTTTGACCACGCCGAAGGACGAGAGACTTGGGTTGACACTGTTTCATCCATCTGGGACCTTCATCTTCAAGGTGGCAGCGACGCTCTGGAGGTCGCTACTCATTTGTTCAGCCCCTCGGCAGCAATTATTAGCAAACTGGAAAGAATTTCGGAGACACAAGATTTCAGTATTCGCGAGTCGCTTCGGATAAAGTGGTCGGCGGATATTCAGAAGTTCATGTACCGCAATTTGATACGTCCTGCCCGCGCCTTGTTCATCACCCGACAGGATTTCGAAGTCGTCACCACAATCCTCGAAGTCTCGAAGATAAATATCAGCGTTACCGCACCTGCGCTGTACTTCCTCACATCTGGCGTCACGGACTATCTTGGTGAAGGGAGACTACGGAAAGGAAACGGAGATTGGATGAAGCGGGTGTTTAAAGCAGTCGAAACCTCGATTCGGGAACGGGACGACCGGGACAATCTCATCCAGACCATTCTGGGACGGGCCGCTCAGCAGACCATGCCTGTCGATAACGACGACCTTCGGGCTGTTTGTCGCGAGTATGCCCTGCACAAAGACAGCACTAACTGGCGTCTCGTGGCTGACATTTCAACCTGCGATCCCGATGTTTTCCAACTGTCCGAAGACGGCGCAAGTCTGCTCAAGGAAGTGTGCGAGCGGAGCACAGTGGCAAATCTTACTGAGGCCGAGGCTGAGGCGGTGTCGAGGGTAATTGGGGCTATCGTTCAAGGATTCCGAACTGGGCGAGATTTCCCCAATTTCTTGAAACTGTGGTTCCAGCAGCTCTGCAAGGTCGAGAAGCAAAAGTCCAAACCAGCTTCACCCTGGCTCCTTGTTGGGGCCAATCAATACGGCAAAGACGACTTCAATGCTTTGATTGAAAAGGAGATGTCCTCACAACAGCTCATTGAGGTCCTCAAGTGGGCTGAAACCGAGACGTCTCATTCCAGAGCTCTCTGCCTTTTCCTGAATTCTATTGCTCAAGGAATTCGGACTGAGACGTACAGTGATGCTGTCGGCAACAGATTTTTCGACTTGGTCAGTCAAGTGTCAAAATCTTCATCAAACTTGACGGCACTCAAGTGGGGTGTTGTATCGAAGACGCTGTCTTGGGTTGTCCCCGTCGATAGGCTCAAAATATGGAAGGCTGTCAAGAAGCAGTTGTCTAAGATTCTGACTGACGCGCCCATTGCCTCCCGAGAAACTTTCGAAGCTTTCAAGTGTTGTTGCCAGGCTTGGACCTCCATGAGCCCGGATGACGAGCATGTCAATGAACCCACCAAACTAGTTGATGACTTCACAGCCCGATTGGCCCTGGAATTGATCACCTCGAGTGCCATGGAAGACAAGGATGTGACTTCATATCTTGAGCCCGGTGCAGAACCTGGGTATCTGGAAGAAGCAGCTCTCCAGCACTACCTGGCCTGGTTCTTGCGTGGTTCTAGCCGCCTTAATCGATTGCTTTACGGCAGCAAGGGGGCCTTTCCAAAGGCGTTGGAGAATACACTGGAGGTCTCCAATGGTCAGATTGGACAGATCAAAGAAATATGGGGAAGCCTGCTTAGCAACGAGAACAATTTGAACGACGCCAAAGTCATCGGCGACCTTATTGATCGCTTGGCAAAGGCGCTAGAGGAAGACGGGAAGGAAAAGCGCTGGCCCGCCGAGGGCAGCCAGACGTGGATTCGGGCGTTGAGTGCCATCCCAACAGATGCCTTTACCCGCCCGCAGCGAGAGCGCATCATGTCACTTCTGAACAAGCACCGAGCGAATACCAAAAAGCGGGTGCCCGTGGAGGGATGGAAGTTGATTCTAGGCCTCTCAACAAAACTCACAGGCCGACCAACCTTTTACGAGGAGATGCGATTCTCCGACAACGTCGAAGTGGCGGATGCGATGTCGGATCTTTCTTCTTCAACCTCAACCGATGATGGAACTTTGAGCGACTTGATCGAGGCCTTCTTTTCAATGGCTTCAGCTACGATACGACAAATGGCGGACCATATTGAGGACCGAAGTCTCAAGTACTTTGAGGAGAGCCGGGAATTCATCTCAGACTGTGACAATGCTGGGGACTTGTCCCCTTTCCGTCTAATGCTGCTCAAAGCGTTAGCTGTCGAGGCAACGAAATCACCGAATTTCAGAAGCCATCCTAACTTGGCTTCGCTCCCGGAGAGTGCGAAGGAGATGTTGGGAAGATGTGTCATGACTGCTACTGGGTACTTTATGACAGAGAAGAAGGCGTATGAAGGTCACAACGTGATTGCGGACCTTCGACTTCTGGCTGCAGTAAATGCTGCCGAGGCGCTCGATTCCCTGATTGAAGTATCAAAATTAAAGCAATCCGATGTTCGAAAGGCCGAGAAGCGAAGCCACTCAGCCATGGTTGCTGGCGATATACGAGGTTGGAAGATGCAGACATTCCTCAGGACATACTTCTCTTCGCTGATGGAAGAGGCTCGGCCAACGACCTTCCATAGCCTGGATGACCTGCCTTCAAAGTTCCGAGAGCCCCTCCTCACGAGCAATGTCGCATCTATCACTCGAGATATGGAAACAGCTACCAAAGTACTATACCTGCAAGATCTAGTGGCAGCATTCGTCGAGGGTTCTGATACAAATGGCCAAGCATCGGCCATCCAAACGGTCGTGAACCAATTGATAGGTAAGAAGAGTCTGCCCACAAACCCCTCGACTTCTAGCTTACAAGAAATAGAATGCTCCGACTTGGAAGGCAAAGGCGACACCTTTGGGCTAGCCAATGTGCATGGCGAGTTGACCTCGGCGCTCCTGTCGGTGAAGATACCGTCCGTCTCTACCCGAATCTGCAGGATCCTCTACACGATTCTCGAAAAGAAGCCACAGTCCATGACCCAGTGGAACGTTGAGTTCACTCTCAGCACTGTCTGTGATCTTAGCTCGCCCGAGAAGGCCAGTCAAGCATCTGTACCGTACGCGTGGTTGTGCAAGCTCGTCGAGGCCATCATCAAGAAACACAGACTCCGACTTGAGGGTCATCACCACCTGCTCTTGACAACAATGCAAGCCCTCCTGCGCAACCTGGTCGTCAGCCAAGGTGTCTCTGACGTGAAAGAGCAACCAATCCAGGAGTCCAAAGCACACCTCTACGCGCGACTCGTCACACTTATCTGCGAACCGACTGCTAGCGCTGTCTCACGCTCCCAGCACCAGAACGCCCTGGACTCAGCAACAGATGCGGCCAAGCGTTCTGCTGGACGAGATATGTACCTGGTGCTGATGCAGTATGTCAAGCTACAGCTAGAGGCGGATGTGCCCCGGCTGGTGAGGGAGGCACTGGAGCCGGCCATGAACTCTGTGTTTGATATTACGCCACCCGAAGTAAGGAAGATTTTGAACGATGGCATGGATGGGAGCGGGCGTGCGATTCTGCGGGAAATGTACAAGAGGTATACCAAGTTTGGGAAGTGGAGTGGCGTGTAAGCCTCTACGATATAGATGTAGACAGGATAGGAATACCCAATGGCGGAGAACCATGGAAAATAGACTGGATTTGAGCAAAGGTATTAAATATTTACGTTATCTTGAAATTAAGCAACGACCCATTCTTTGGGAGGAGAGCATCAAGCACTCTGTTTCTTGTATGTACTGGGATGACCGTGCTTCTTGCCAAACTTCCTGATCTTGCCATGGATGTCAGGCTGGACGAAGATCCAGACGATCTGGACGAGCCATGCACCGAGGAAGTCCAGCACCCAATTGTTGCGGAACGAACCGCCCATGACACCCCACTTCATCAACGTTCCGAGGAAGGCCACAGTGACAAAGTAATCTCCATTCTCGAGGCCCTTGATGGCGTTCCTGGCAACAACTTCAGGCTCCTGCTTAGTGTCAGTCTCCTCGATGATATTTGTGATTTCCGGCTTGGTGAGGTTCTCTTGGATATAGCCGGGAGAGAGGATCGTGCCCGGGTAAACGACATGGACCTTGACATTCTGAGGGTACATCATGACTTCCTGGGAAATGGTATCGGCAAGGCCACGGATGGCCCACTTGCCCGGGGCGTAGGGAGCGTATCCAGGGATGGAATAAAAGGCGACGACGCTCGATGTCATAATAAGGTGCTTCGGTTGCTTCTCAATGGGGGCTTCAGGTGCGAGCCACTCGCGGAGGATGGCGTGTGACATTTCGGCGGTACCATAGAAGTTGATGTCCATTTGATGGCGCAGTGAGGACATGTCCATATCGACAAAGAGCTCTGGGAACGAGGCGCCAGCGATGCACCATACGATATCGGGGGAACGGCCTCCGTTCCAGGCGATGGCTTCGGCGATGAGGGGGCCGGCATAGTCGGCTTTGGAGACGTCGGCGGAGATGTAGTGGAAGCGCTGGGTACTGGGGTTCTTGGCGGCGGCCTGGAGATTGATCTGATCAGCAAGGAACGACAAGAGAGGTGAGTGGCATGGGGCGGAGACGGACCTTGACGGCGGTGACGGCGCTCTCGAGCTTGCCGACGTTGCGGGAGACGAGGATGATGTTGGCGCCCTTGGCGGCGAGCTGCTGGGCAACGTTGAGGCCCATGCCTTCCGAGGCACCGGTGATCAGGACGGTCTAGAGATGTCCATTAGCGACGAAGTTCTCACAGGAGAGTTGGCGGGGTGTCTCTCGAGGTCGATGCGGACCAGCGTCATCTGGGGATAGGGAGTGGACGCACCTTGCCGTCAACGGGCATCTGGTTACCACCGAAGAAACCCATGATTACAGAGCCAAAGACGAGGGTTGCAAGTGCAATAGCAAGAAGAGACAAACTGGTCTGCCACGTCAATTCCATGGTGGGAGCAAGATGGAGGGTAAGCATGACCGAGGGGAGGATGGTCAAGGATTAAATTAATTCAGAGGCGCTGCCCCCCGGAAGTTACCGCACCACCGCCCGCAAGGGAACTAGTGATGGCGTGTCGTCCCCTGCAAGAGCTGGTTGCAGCATCACTACGTAGGTCTGACAGCCGTTGAGGGCATGCAACATTTCAAGGCAATAGAAACCCCCTCCCCTTGCTTTTAGTGATTATTTTATTTAATTATACTTAATTCTCGTATTTTGGACAAGATGCAGACATTGCAGAAACCACATCCAACATGGTGCTGTCCAATTGGATGATATCACATGCGGTCAGCACACAAACTGGAGCGGGACGTAAGCTCAGTCTCAGGGGGTCGCGGACGCTGAAGTATAGTGGTTGGCTGGCAGACCTGGCTCTGATATTGGGGGGGATGGGGACCTGCTGGCTTACTATGCAGGTGCCTCACATGATCACTGTTTATATAACTGAAAAAGTCACCGAAAAAAGATCCCAGGTCTATCACTTAAAGGGGTAAATTCTTCTATTCGCCAATCTGAAATTCAAGCCGTGGGGTTATGAAGCTGTGCGGCAGAGAGTTGCTCGTTCCAAGCCAGTGTGAAATACAGTGGCCCTAGATAAAGCGCACTGTAACACCGCCTAATCACGGTCACCAGCACGCCTAAGACGCAAGGCGACCACCATGAACTACAACAAATCATAGCGACCACGGCTCTCACCCAACCACGCAGCTTCAAACCCAAGGCGAAGCTTCCATCTGTTCGCTTATTCGGACGAGACTGGCCATGTCACACAACTGAACCTGATCGTGAGGCGACAAAAGTCCCCAGCGTGTCGCGTGAAACCGTCATGAGGAAATCCCTGCGTCCTCAATAAGCGTCGTATCACTGCCGTCATGTCCGCCAAAGATGAGGGTAACCGGTTGACGGTTCCCAAATTCGCGTCTTTCAAGACCAAGGAGGCCCCTGGGGAGCTAAAGGCGCCGAGGTTCTCCTCCTTTAAGCCAAAGGACCCCGAGAAACCCACCGAGAGCGCCAGTGCTGCAGACGACGGGAATGATCGAGACGCGAGACGGAAAAGGGCACGTCTGTCTGAAAACTGGCACTCCGATAGCCAACGCCACCGCCATCACTCCAGAAGCCATCGCCACGACTCTCATCATCGGCCAAAAGAACACTCCAAACCCTCCAGTCGATCAGAGACGCCAGTTCGGCAGGGACCAAATGTCAAACCTACACGGGAGGAAGACACCACCTCCAAGCTCTATTTCATTGACACCAAGGGCGATCCCTTAATAGTCAAATACGGTGGTATCGACAAGTCTCATATACCCTCTTATTACCGCTATGGATACGGCAGAGTCCTTGGGACTACAGGCCGCCTTGTGATACATCGCGAGGGGGCCAGAGACCAATTCAGTCTCCGCATGCCTGGCGAGGGGACGTCGGCTTTCAAGGATAGAGATGGCCTCCGCTCCAAGACTTGGAGAGTCACCTCGAATCCCAGAAGGATCCGGAGGCAAGAGGTAGAGGCGAAGTCCGATGACGACGAGGACTTCCTGCCCTTAAGGACATCCAAGAAACGGAAGCATGGTCCAGCCGACCCTGAATCCTCAGAAGATGACCAACAACCCACTTACCGGTCAATTGAAGGCAAGGCAAAGCCACGTCAGTTCTCGGATAGCGACCTGGACTCCGACTCCGAATCGGCTGCCGAAATGTTCAACGCGGACCAGAGCAACCCACTCAAGTGGAAGTCGATCCAGCTTTCACGTCAAGTCAAGGACCACCCAGAAGATATCGATGCTTGGTTAGAGCTTGCAAATCATCAAGATGCCCTCTTGAGAGCAGGTGAAGACATCGATCACAAGGCCTTGGAAGGCGAGGTGCATAGTTATGCTGAGATCAAGCTTTCTATGCTCGAGTCTGCTTTGTCGAACGTGTCGGATCCCCAAGACCGGCTGCGCGTACTGGTGCCTCTGATGCACGAGGGAATCAAGGTGTGGACTAGCAAGGCTGCCTCAAAAAAGTGGACAGAGCTGCTTAAAGACGAGGATAAGAGCTTTACACTCTGGAAGACACACCTTAACTTTGCCATGTCCAATATTACGACCTTTCACTATGATGACATCAAGAGGATGCACCTTGACCGGCTTCATCAAACTATCCGACGGCCCGAATCGGACGGTATGGAGGAGAAGTTTAGTGAACTCGTCTACATTTTCCTGAGAGCTACTAGGTTCATTCATGATTCGGGATACAAGGAGCTTGCCGTAGCTGCATGGCAAGCTGTTTTGGAACTCAACATTTTCCGGCCCGCTGAGGTGGAAGGGTATGACCAGGCCCTGGCTGAGTTCCGCGACTTCTGGGAGAGCGAGGTCCCAAGGATCGGAGAGGTTGATGCTCAGGGCTGGGCTAGGTTCGTGGAAGCTGGTGGCATAGGTGATCCGCCAGAGCCGCTTGAGGATGGAGGTGATCTCAGAAGCCAATCTAGAGACGACTACAAAGTCTGGGCGAGCATCGAGCATAACCGAGCTGAGAAAGCCAAGATCCCGGCAAGGACCATGGATGAGGGCACTGAAGATGACCCGTTCAGAGTAGTGATGTTCTCTGATATTGAGCAACTACTCTTCGTTATCCCCCGTAGTGTTCTGGCAGAGTTGGTACCGCAACTTCTCGATGCATTCTTGGTGTTCATGCGGTTACCACCAGCCTTTAAGTCTGGTGAGTGGGCAGAAGGCGCATATCACGACCAGTTCTTGGCGGGGCCAGCCCCTGGAAGTGAGTTGCTGACAGTCGAGAAACCTACTGGGATTGACGGCCTCTCTGAGGAAATCAAACGGAAGCCACCTTCATTCGACCAAGAGGGGCTCCACGCTGCGTCTTCGCTGGATGTGTTGTTTGCCGGAACTAATTGGTTCACTTATATGTCTCAGAGCATCAAAAATAGCGAGCCTGAATTGGGACTTGTGATTAATGCCACGAGGCAACTTGTTCATGCAGCCAGGATTGAGGGTCTAGGCGAGTATTATCTGGGGCTGTGCTCAATTAAGGACTGCGCCGGCGTCAAGAAACAAGCCAAGGCGCTCCTCAAGCAATATCCCACTAACCTTAGCCTGTATGGTGCTTACGCCCTGGCCGAGTTTTCGAACAACAACCATGGGGTTGCTACCAAAGTTCTTGCTTCTGCTACTGAGCTTGCATCGGTAAGCAACAAATCTCCACTGGAGCTGACTGTACTAATTTTGGTGATAGAAGTTACCAAGTTCGAGTGCGTTCTTGCTCTGGCGAATTTGGTCCTGGATGGAACTTGAGCTTGGGCACAAAAACGTAGCCATCAGGAGACTATGTTCGTCAGTGGACGAAGTGTTGAGGTCCAAGCCAGAGGATGTCGAAGTTTCACAAACAATGGTGCTCAAGGCGCAGCAAACCTTCTCTTCCAACTTGGCTCACTCGCTTATCACTGGAAACCTCGATGACGCCTCTATCTATGCCGAGTGCCTTGCTCTATTGGCCTACCTAAGAGCGGACGGTTGCACGGAACCTTCCTCGGCCGCGCAAGGTAATATTTCAGCTGCGATGGAGACCATCCATTCTCAATCTGCGGAATTCAAGTCGCGAGGATATGAATCATCTAAAGCCCATGAAAAAAACCTGCAGTTTGCCGCAAGGATTTTGTATCTCAACGCCACTCGAGGGTAAGTCTCCGAACATGGATTTGGTAGTGGGACGAGCTAACAGACGAAAGGCCTTTTCGGAGAGCGTACATGCTTGAGCAGCTGGGCAAGTTCATAGCGTTCTTTCCTCGTAACACCATCTTCCTGTCTCTTTTCGAGTGGGCTGATGCTAGTCTTCGTGTGGTTGACGAGGTACGGACACTGCTTCATGAAACGGTCCTCGTGCCGGGGCAAGACTGTGTGAGCAGCAGATTGTTTGCCATACAGCACGAGATACAACGAGGAAATGTGAACACGACAAAGGCGGCGTTTGAGCATGCAGTTACAAGCGACGTGTGCAAATCCAGCGTACCGGTGTGGGTTTTATTCATCAAGTTTTGTGGTTTGCAGAGGGAGCTCCGGGCCAAAGCAAAGGACATCTTGTTCCGAGCACTAAGACACTGTCCGTGGTCGAAGGACGTCATGATGGAGGCGTTTTACACGCTGAGCCGGGACATGGAGTCCACAGAGCTCAGGGGTGTGTTTGATACCATGACGACCAAGGGTCTCAGGGTTCATGTGGATATGGAAGAGTTTCTAGACAAGAGACGGAAGGAGAGGCGAGGGAAGAAGGATCTGGCATGATGGAAATCCATGTTAGAGTACATGTTCCATTCTTTGATAAAATTTTAATAACAAGCCAGTTCTATCGGTAATTCTTTCTAGGTTTTAGAGCCCGATTTCCTCAAGTTCCAAGTTCAGAATCGCTCTCCCTGATGGAAGTAGTAACACTTGACGGGCAATATGCGGTGAGCGGGGAAAGCCCCCTGTTAGTGATCAGAGGGGTGGATCTTGGCGGTTTGAAAGGTATGACAATGGAGAAGACGACAAGGGAGTCAAGACAAAACGATGTGGGTAACTAGAGGGAGAGCTGGAGCGGCGATGGAGGGGCACTGGGCACTGGGCTTGGTGGGGTAGAGCACGCACAGCCGCGCATGTCCAGCTGAACTACCCTGGAGGTGAGATGTTTTAAAACAGATTTGTATGAATATGGACTCTACAATGTAATAAGGCAATTCTGGTGGCTGGCCTGGTTCACATCATAGTCGGTTACTGGCGGTGTCGGGCATCTAGACTAATGGGGTTCTATTTATATCGTGGGATGATGCACCTGGGAATGCAAGGACAGGGAGGCAGGCACGCTTGGCTGGCTGGTGCTCTTGCCAAATACTTAGCTGAGGATTAGTTGGCTACCACGTACGTCGGCTGTGTCACTGCAGCTGGGAGGGAACAACTTGACACCTCCATAAACATATAAAACAGCAACATCACAAGCTTCCTCCTCTTCTTTCCTCCTCTTCTCTCCTCCCAACTCTGTCTGTGTCTTTTCCGCACCCGAGATCAACACGCAGTGCATCCATCACCCCGCCATGACTTCTCCCGTCGCCATCAACCCCTCCCAACAAGCGGGCGGCGGTGCCAGCGAAGGCGCTCGTTCGCTGACCTCAGTCAACGCAAACATCCAGAAGCGGCTCGAGAAGCTATTCCAGTCGCTTGCGGATCGGGACGATCACACGTGGAGCAATGCGCAGATTCGCTCCTTTGTCGAGACCACGCAGCGCCAGGGCCCTTCGCCCGCTCTCGACGAGCTGTTCGCCCGCGAGAACCTCACTCTCGACGCCTTCTTGGCCTGGATGAAGTCTCGCCAGAGCGCTGCCACCACGCCGCCAAAACCCGAGGATCTCTCGTGGCCACTGTCCAGCTACTTCATCAGCTCCAGCCACAACACCTACTTGACGGGCAACCAGCTGTCTAGTGACAGCTCCACCAAGCCCTACACGGACACCCTGCTGCGAGGCGGCCGTTGCATCGAGATTGATGTCTGGGATGGCGACGAGTCTGATGCGGAGGGCACAAGTAGCAGCAGCAGTAGCAGTAGTGATGAGGAGAATGGCAGAGGTAGGAAGCTCAAGGCTACCAAGAAGCGCGGCACCTTCAACATCCTCAAGGAGAAGCTTCAAAGGTCCAGCATCCACGACAAGAAAGAGGGCTCTACTACCACTGCTACTCTTCCAACTAGCGGCAGTCCTGCTCCTACTGCTCCTGTGTCTGGAGAACCTGAAGTTGCTATCGTCGAGCCCCGCGTCCTCCACGGCTATACCCTCACCAAGGAGGTGACTTTTCGGGCTGTCTGCATTGCCATCCGCGACAGTGCCTTTACTGCCAGTGAGCTACCTGTCATCGTCTCGCTCGAGGTTCATTGCGGCCCCGAGCAGCAGCTCGCCATGGTTCGTATCATGAAGGAGGTCTGGGCTGGTCTTCTCACCCCAGAGCCTAGTGAAGACCCTACCGCCCTGCCCAGTCCAGATGAGCTTCGTCGGAAACTCATTATCAAGGTCAAGTATGTGGCCCCAGGCGCTTCCGCTGCCACGACTGAAGATACCGATGAAGACGACCGGGCTCCCGTAAAACTGCCCGCTGGCAGCAAGCAGAGCAAGAACGCGAAGCCCGCAAAAATCATCCAGGAGCTGAGCAAGATGGGTACTTACTCGCGCGGCGTCAGCTTCAAGACGCTCTCGCAGCCCGAGGCTGAAATGCCCACGCACATCTTTTCCCTCTCTGAGAAGAAGGTCCAAGATGTGCACGAGAAGCAGGCTCACGAGCTCTTCAACCATAACCGCCACTTCTTCATGCGGACATACCCCTGGGGATTGCGAATTGGATCTTCCAACCTCGACCCGGCACTGTTTTGGCGAAAGGGAATCCAGATTGTGGCCTTGAACTGGCAGAATTGGGATGAGGGCATGATGCTCAACGAGGGCATGTTTGCCGGTACCGATGGTTATGTGCTCAAGCCTCAGGGTAAGCTGTCTCTTGCTATCTCATCCACCTCTCATTGTAGGACATATCTTTGGACGTATACTAAATCGCCGCAGGCTATCGTCCTATCCGGGAACAGGATGATGCCGCCTCTAACACCATCGTCCGCAAAACGCTCCAGCTCGCCATTACCGTCCTCGCAGCGCAAAACATCCCCCTGCCCCCGGGCGACTCCTCCGCCAAGAGTTTCGAGCCCTACATCAAGATCGAGTTGCACGTCGAGGGCCCTGAAGAACTCCAGGGCGCCAAGATGCCTAACAATGGCCACGAGCGCGAGGGTGAGTACAAAGTCCGCTCTCAAACCCACCGCGGCTGCGACCCGGATCTTGGTGCCGAGCGCCTCGCGTTCCCCAGCGTGCCCCACGTCGTCGATGAGCTCTCTTGGGTTCGCTTCACTATCCGAGATGACGAAATTGTTCGTGATGACCTCGCTGCTTGGGCTTGTGTGCGACTGGACCGTCTGGGACATGGCTACCGTTTCGTTCACCTGCTTGATTGCGAGGGCCGCCTGACGAATGGCGCCCTGTTTATCAAGATTGAGAAGAGCCTGATTTGAGAGGGAGTCACGGCTAGGTTTGGACGACGACAATGATGCCGACGATGATGACGTAGTATTTTGTTGGATAGAGTGAGATTGAGATTGGCAGCGAGATGTAACAGGGATACAGATTTGTCACATTTCAAGTATGGCATAAATGTCACAAGGAATATTCAAACAGCATCGCATCACGAGCGGGAGGATGGGTGAATTGGAGCACATATATCTTAACTACCGACAAGGCAGAAGAATCCCATTATTAATGATACAAAGCCGCTAGAGTGTTCATAATCATCACTGCATCACAACTAGTAGTCGTTGTTGTCGTTGTCCCGACCGCCCTGCTTCTTGATCTTGTTGTCGATGAAGTCGCCGGCCTTGTCCATGACCTTGCCCATGAGGCCACCGCTCCTCTCATTGTCGTTGTCACGACCTGAGGAGCCGTAACTGTCGGAGCCGCCGTAGCCGCCAGAGGTCTTGTTGCTGGAGTCATACGAGTCATCGTTGTTGCCGGAGCCGTAGCTGCCGGAAGAAGTCTTGTTTCCGGAGCCATACGAGTCGTCATTGTCACGGCCCGAGGAGCCGTAGCTGTCTGAGGTCTTGTTGCTAGAGCCATACGAGTCATCGTTGTTGCCGGAGCCGTAGCTGCCGGATGAAGTCTTGTTGCTGGAGCCATACGAGTCGTCGTTGCCGGATCCATAGCTGCCAGAGGAAGTCTTGTTGCTGGAGCCGTACGAGTCGTCGTCGTCATTGCGGCTGGAGCTGGTGTTGCCGTAGCCGCCGGACGAAGACTTGTTGCCGGAGCCGTAGGTGTCGTTGTCATTGTCGTTGTCACGACCGCTGGAACCGTAGCCACCAGAGGTGTTGCTGGATCCGTAGGTGTCATTGTCGCCAGTGCGGCGGCTGGACGAGTCGTTGTCCCGACCCGACGACCCATAGGAGTCGGAGTTGTCGCGACCGCTGGAGCCATAAGAGCTGGTGGTGTTGTCGTTGTCGTTGTCATTACGGCTGGAGCCATAGGAATCGTTCTTGGACGTTCCATAGGAGTCGTTGTTGTCGTTGTCACGACCGCCGGAGCCGTACGAGTCGGAGTTGTCGTTGTCACGGCGGTTGGACGAGCCCTGAAGAAGTACGTGTTAGTGCGTGGGACGACATGTGTAGAGAGTAGAAACACGTACGTAGCTGTCGTTGCCGCTGTTGCCGTAGCTGGACTCGTCGTTGTCACGGTAAGACATGTTGAAGAATGGAATAAGACCACGGGTATTGAAGTGGGAGTAGGAAGCTAGTGTGGATGGGATTGAAGTATGAGTATGGTGAAGATGACTGGGAGAGGGGGAATGACGACTGTTTAATATATCACGGCTGGGAGAGTGGTTCAGATGCCCTCACTCCCCCTCGCCGTCCGAGTGTGGACCTCTTGGACCAACAGTTCGGCTTCCTGATGGCACGCCCTCACCCACACGGCTGGACGGTCCCTCCAGAATGACGTGCCACGGTGTCATGGGAATGGAAATGGCATCGGGCATGGCTTGCGATGCGAGCTGAAGCAAGCTTGCGACAGGCGGGTGTATAAGTGGGAACATGCATGGCATCAGCGGCACCACTGACCAGCGATCCCAACCAAGCTTTTCCCAAGGATGCTAGCCTCGTAGGCGGTCGACAGGGCCGTAGCCAGAGCCTGTTAGACCCGGAGCACGCCTTAGCTTGTGCGTGGGTGGTCCTGGAGCCGGCCAACCATGGCGATGGCGTCCCACACGGCGGCGCGGGTCATGGTCTCGGCCGCACCGTCGTGGGGTTGTGGAGTCGTGGAGGAAGTATGTACAGTATGTACTCGCTACACCAGAGGGATATGCGAGAGTACATTGGCCTGTATGTATGAATACAGAACTGGACAATATTGCACAGCGGCCTCCTCCCTCGTGTCATCACCGTCGTCCCGCTTGTCGTGTCGTCCCGCCTGCCATGCCGCAAAAAACCGGTTGGCGACTCGCTGGTTCCTTGGTTCGATTGACGTACATACATATGTACCTGGCGGATTTATCCGGTACGACATTGACGATTGTCAAACCTTGCTCACAGCTCGACATCGTCATCCGCAATCGTGTCTGTCCATCTCGGTCGCCGCAATTGGCCCGATTGTGACGACATGGAGGGAGGTGAGGTGACACCAACGTCGTCATCTCGACGGCCCTCGGATCAGCAAGGAGTGAGCACAGCAAACACAAGCACAAAGAGAGCTTCCTTGGATAGCGGGGTAAACCTCATCCTCCTCCTCCTCTCTTCCTCCTCGCTCCCTGCCTCTAGCCTAGCCATCTCCGGCTGTCTCTCGCCGTCCCTCACTTGACCGGACGATCTGCCTGAGAGGTGCATTAGCGGTGATCTAGGCCACACTAACCGGGACTGCTCGCCCACTCGCCCAGCTTGACAGGGTATGTATGGGTCTCGGCCCCGGTGTGAACCCGGACGAGCTGATCGCGGTGGGCTGTGCCAGCTGTGAGTACACGCCAGCTGTCCAGAACCAGAATGAAGCTATTGATTGAACTGGAGCGACCATCCCAGAATCCCAGACCGTGGCACAAAGACCCTGTGCCGCTGAGATGAGATGGGGGCCATGCTCGGGATATTGCAGCAGTCCAACTTTTGCCAAGTCTTATCCGCAGCTTCAACGCAGACCGGTATAATGGTAGAGCCACCATGACAGCTCTTGCAGCCTCGTTTCTTGGAAACAAACACCTCTTGTTCGGTTTCGGATCGACGGGAGAACCTTGGTCGATGCCAATTGCCATGCCTATCCCATCTAGCTGCATGGCCTTTGCTCCTCCAGCCATGTCTGAGATCCTGCTTGTACCGCCCCTCTTCACACCACCCACAACCCGTCCCGTGATAGTACAGATGCAGATGGCTGGGCACAGAGCACCACGAGGCAGTGCCTGATGCCATGCCATGCTTGCTTTGTCTTCTCGGGGACGGACAATCCCGAATTCCCACAAGTGCCGGCCCCATGTCCATCCTACTTCTCTCTTCTCCATTCCATCCGCGTCTTTTCCTTCAGAGGAATCGTAGCAGACCACCGGCGTCTTGCGTTAGGCCACCCCCAAAACTCCGCTTCCGCAGCACGATATTATACTGTACATAGACTAGATCCTCGAGAAATCCCCAACCTTGCCCGTGCACTTGTTCCAGACGCGTGGATGCGCATGCACCCAGTCCCAGCCATCATCTGGGTTTACCGCTATGCCCGGAGTGACCGGCCAGTCCACCAGCTACACGTCCTCTCAAGATCTGCTCCTTGCTAGGCGGTATCCACGGGCTTGCAGAAAACTAGTCTCTTACACCGACACGCTGGCGGCATTTAAGATTCCATCGACGGCAATTGGGGGAGTTGTGACGCCCGTCAGCCCTTGCGTCAGCCGTGAGCTTGTACGAATGTGACATGGTTTAAGAGAAGGTAGCACAATGGTAACTGCCGCAGGGCCGAGGTGACCCCACAACCTATGCAGTTTGACAAAAGAAATACTGGTCTTCTCATAGTCCCGTCTAAACAGACGAAGCTAAGAAGACTCCGAAACTGACGAATCTGCGAGGCGGGAGACGACGTAATCGAAGAGGTGATGATCCGCCACGGTGATGCCCCAGCTTGTCAAGTTCTTTATGAACTAGCTCCGGCCATGGTAGACCATACGCCGCGATTCTGTGGCATCGTTTCGTAAATGACATGCACGAGGCCCCGACTTTCGGTACTACAAGTTCATAGCCGGCTTGTCCTGTCGGCACCAAGAGCTCCGCTCATCATGGCCGGCTGGTTCCCTCCCGAGAACACCAGGTCTCGACCCCCGTGGGTACCCCACCAAGCAACCCCGATAGCTGCTCGTTCCACATCCATTTCACCGCTCACTAGGATTTCCAAGAGCCGGTTCTTGACAGGCTCCCGTAGTGCCGGATCGGCTATTTCGTACATGGCTTGTGCAGCAATGGTAAGCCATTCCTCTAGCAAAGGAAGCGGGAGAAACGGCAAAGAGTCGACCAGCGCAAGGGTCAGCGAGCTTTGCTGAGAGAGAGGCTCTTCTTCTTGCTCAGAAGAGGCTGCCTGTGACACCGCATCTGGCTTGGGAGGAATGGGGGTTGTTGATGCCGCCGTAGTATAGGACCGGAGCATCTCCAGCAGGGTCTCCGAAAATTGAGGTTCCATTTCCGCGATGGGGAAAGGTGGCGATACAATTTGCATGACTGTTTTGAAGGCCACTCGGAACTGACGGGGCGAGATCTGTTGCGGGAACGATTCGAAGAGCTTGATAACGTAAAACGGCGTTATTTGGATCGTGAGCGCGCTATGTTGGGGACAGGACAGGGTCGATAGAACTGCACTATGAGCAGACTCGAAAAGCTCTATCATAGATGAGGTCATCGCTCCCTCATGAGACATGTACGCTGTTGCAGGCTTGATGATGAGTGTCTCGCAAGCTGCGGTTGGCAGCGTCAGAGGAAGATGCTCTGCTAGGTTTAGGTAGAATAGGTCCAAGACTCCCTGAAGATATGATGTGAAGACAGGAGCATTCTCCGCGGGACGGATTTCATGGAGCAAGGAGGAAGCTATGACCGCGTTGCGAGATATGACATCGATGGATGTCAGGTAAGTGAAGGTGTACACTTGGAAAGCATTGTTGCCGTTCCGGGAGGAGATGAAGAAAAGGTTCCGTAGAATATGAAGCGACTTGGTGGCAATCCCGGGAGCGGCCACGTCGTTCAGCATATAAGGGTCGAGTAGACTCCGAGACACGATGGATTGCAGCATAGCGACAACTCCAAACATGAGTTTTCTTAACAGAGCCCACAGAGCCGGCCAGGTGCTGCTCAGCGTCTCAGGAGTTAATGCGGCCCCCTCAATTGCCGGATCGACCTCGCTTAGTCGGTTTCTCTGCCATGCACCTAATACTTTGCAAGTGAAGTCGAGAAGAGCATCCTGGGCCTGAAGCACGACCCTGGTGTCCGTGACCTGCTGCACGACGTACCCCGTGAGCTTGGCCAGAGGGCCCATATTTGCCATAATCGGGCGCTTGTCCAGTTCTTGGAGCTGACGGAACGAGGGCGTCATAGGGGACCAGGCCAGTTGATGGCTGGGGGACTCGGCGACTTCGGCACCAATGTCTGCAAGGAACTGTCCTTGGCAAAAGCCCTCCTCTGCCGTAATCGCCCATACGGCCAGCGGCAACAGCGCGTTGCAGTTGATCAGACTTCTGTGGTAGTCGGAGATCAACGGAAAAGCGAAGTTGAGGGCCATGACGATGGAGGCTCCGGCCACAGGGCCATCCGCGAGCTGGGTCTCCAGCGCCAAGTTTGCCGCGGTGACAACTGCTCCCTCCAAGGTATTCCTCAGGCTTCGCGATAGTGATCGTCTTTCGTCCCCCTCCATGCCCATAAGCACTCCGGTAAGGACAAGAAGATGCTGCCACCGCCTCGACCGATCGTCGGCGCCCTTCGCCACGGCTCGGGCCCATTCCTCGCAGCCCAGTCCGCCTCCTTCGCGGTCATCACCGCCCTCTCTCCACGCGACCTCGTAGTTATGTATGCGTGTGGCGGCGGTGTTGTAAACGCTCATGATCCGGATCGAGTTTCGAACCCCGCCGTGCTGGTGCCATACTGCCGGCGCAGTCAGGAGCTGCGACGTGAGGACGCCGAGATTCAGCGGGTTGGAGAGCTCGGTGAGGAGGTGGACGGTCGAGCCGAGGATCTGCTCCGTCTTGGAGGCATCGTGAGGGTCTTGGTAGTGCCGCAGCACGGTATTGAGGTGTCTGTTATCGCGATTCATTTGCTGCGACAATGCGATGGATGCGACCGTGTTGATGTTGATGGGAGTGGTTTGTGAAGAAGGTCGCGGCTCGGAGTTGTTCCCGCCGGTTGACGTTGGCGGATTCACGAGCTTTTGCCGAGGCTCCGAATGACGTTCCCGGGAAAGTGCTCCCCGGACCCCAGCGCATCGAACCTACCCCTGTCGCCGCCAATTCTACCGCCCCATCGCTGTCGCAACACCGCCAATGCCGCCAACATAAACAACGGGCAATCCTCCCATGATGGCACGGTACGTGTAATATCTGTCCCCCGACCTAGCGACTAGGCAGCTAACCAGAGTCTCGCAGATGGTCCTCCCCAACGTTCCTCCCTCGACCTACAACACGCCGCGCTTTCCGTCCCTGAACGTCCAGACCCTATATGACACCACCGCGGACAGGCGATACACACTTTACTATGTTCTGGATGTCTGGCGCTTTACGCTGATATGGACGCTTATCATTTACGCTCTGTTCCATATGGGCGCAGTCCTGGTTGCCATGTTCACCCATGGCTGGAAGAAGTCGTCCTGGAAGTACCTCTGGGCGGTGCCTGTGGTGTACCTCGTCATGGCCGGCCTTGAAGCCGTCATGGCCGGTAGCATCGTTGGTTTAGTGTCAGTGCACCCAAGAACGTCTCTCCGGATGTGATCTAACGTCGATGTAGGCTGGGCGCTGTATATTCGGCGGGATACTACGAAATGAATACGTGGATACCGTGTACTTGGGGGTTCATCAACGTGCTGGTTCTGATCATTTCGTCATTCTCAATACAAGGCGGGCTTTAGGAAGGGGTTTTGGTTGTCTGAAAACATTTACTGGATTGGAAACCGCTACGCCTGCATCGATTGTGTGAAGGAGCAGAAATGCCCAACCTCGACGTCGAGGCGAAAAGCTGCAGGCATCTTCGCCTTGCCTCTTGAGTGGATGATACCACCTTCTGGGCCTTTTGGGTCAGAGTATCAAGAATGGCTTCTGTAAGACACAGCTCTCACTCTAATTTGCCATCACCACCGTCAGGAGGTTGGACTGCCGTTGAGGCATGCTGGCGGTCCCTTTGCCATGCGTGCTTGGCCTTCGACACAATCTCCGCTAGCAACTTGTTGATTTCTGGCGCTTCTTCAACAATCAAGCCCCGGAGAAGGCAAGGGTGACAATGGAATACGTGACCAAATTATAGAAGAATCTCAATTGAGGAATTCTTACAAAACCACAGGCTGATCAGCGAGGGAGTATCCTTCACGCTCTCTGGACCAACATTGACATGGAATATGGCTTATTTGTATCAGGGAGTGGCCAATATTGAACTAGAACTTGATGGCGATGAGACCAGTCCATCGCATTTCATATTGATACAACGCCAACTCCCCAGCCTTGAAACCAGTGACGGGTAGCTATCATCATTTCCGTAGCAAGGGAGAAACTCGGCCCGTGCGGCCACGGCTCCTGGGGTCTAATCATCGGGACGTTTTGCCCTCTCTCCGTTTAGACAATGGGGACGAGGAATGCAACAGCAAGGGCTGAAGCACCTTGACCATGTACATCCGACAGAGTAGTAGTGCGATGAGCATCACGGCAACGCATTCGTTCCCCACTGTAACACAACCTAGAACTACTTTCAAGTGAAACCTCTCACATCTCTAGGCCAATTTAAACATTTCAACTGTTATTTTTGGGAGTGGGATGATAATTTCAGTTGTTTTTCACGGGCGGCTCTCAAGGTATTTTTGTCTTTGAACAATACCCGACTCGTTCCCTGCGCTAGCCCCCACCATCCACTAAACCAGTGGAACCGCCGCCTTTACGTTCAACCCCCTACCTAAGGACCTCTCAAAAGACCAGTTTTGAGCCTCGTATTGTTCTTTTTGTCACAATCGAAACCACGACGCCGCACCTGGGGACAATGGCAAGCCCGCCGTCTCGGTAGTTTCTTTTACGTACCGGATCTGTGCCTGCTATACTTTTCTTTCCTTCTCTTCTTACCCTCCCTGCTGCCGTTCTGGTTCTCATTCCTGAAGCTCTCGCCAAAGTTTCATCGACGGGCAACGTGAACAGCTCAAGACGTGCTGAGACCCCAGAGTCTCCTCCCGCGCCGACCTTCTGTCTTGTTATTACTCTATATACCCTCACGCCTATTTCGTTTCGCGATGGCTGATTCTTATCGGAGCACCGGCCCTGGCAACGGCCGCGTCTCAGCTCGGCGGGCCAACTTCAACCCCTTGGCTGCTCACCATGAAGCAGCACCACCAGGCTTGGATGGCCTCTCGTCTGATGATTCAGATGCCCCCGCGCTGGTGTCTGCGGATCTTTACCAGATGAAACCCTTCTTCCCAGGCCAGCCCAAGTCACTCTCCGGGATCGCCCTCAGAGCCTTTTGTCTGGGCATCGCGCTCGCCGTCAGTGGCATCGCCGCGGCGGGCATCTTGCTCTTTACCGACAGCCCCATCTGGCGCGTCCCCTTCTTCCTCTTTGCGCTCTCGATCTTCCACTTCCTCGAGTTCTGGTGCACTGCCGAGCGCAACACCCTCGTCGCCAAGATTGACAGCTTCCTCCTTACCGCCAACTGGCCATCGTACGCCATCGCCCACTCCGCCGCATTCCTCGAGTGCGCAATCGTCAGCGTCTTCTTCCCAAACCGCTCCTGGACGCCGTTTGGGCTGGCTCCATGGTTTCTCGCCCTGGGCCTTTTCTTGACTCTCATTGGACAGGTCGTTCGTTCGGTGGCGATGTTGCAAGCTGGTGCTAGTTTCAACCATATGGTGCAGACAAGGAAGGCCGACTCACACCGGCTGGTCAAGTCGGGCATTTACTCCATTTTCAGACACCCGAGCTACTTTGGCTTCTTCTACTGGGGACTGGGCACACAAATGGTGCTAGGGAATGTCATCTGCTTTGTCGGGTATACGGCCGTTCTATGGCTATTTTTTAGCCGGAGGATAAGGCATGAGGAAGCTAAGCTGATCGAGTTCTTCAAGGACGACTATATCCAGTACCGCAAGAACGTTGGCACCAGGATGCCTTTCATTGGATGAAGCAAGTCCATGGAGTATGATTGAGGGCGTACTGTGCCGCGGATCGTGACTTATAAGTCGCTGGTGGTTCCAGAAGGTCACGGCAAGGCGCGTCGTTGACATGAGAACGTATTTTTGGATATAAATATAATGGTAAACAGATAAGGTCCCAATTATACCAGCTAATTAGCATCTACTGAGTTTGCGATCCGTGCTCTGCGAATGTCGACACTCATCGGCCAACTGGCGTCATGCTCTTGCTGACACTGCCATACTTGGCCTGCCAAGCATAAAAATACATCAACGCCGCAAAGGGTTGTCCAAAAATGGTGAATGAAACCCAAAATGTGATGTTTCCAATCAACTTTCCAGTATTTCCATGCTTCATTTTCTCCAGAGGTCGGGTGATGGCAATTAGTGGGAGCTGTAGAAACATTCCGAGGAAGGCAACCCCTAGGATGGTCAGTTGAAACTCGTGAAAGCTGTCTGATTGTGGTGACTCACCGATGATATTGTGGGTTGGAACGCCAACGAGGATCTCATGGAGAACGGCAGAGACAAAGAAGACAGCCAAGCTGGCAGCTTGGGGGCTCCAACCGCGCGCGATCATGGGCATGTACACATGGCGCTTAAAGTATGTGTAGACTGGCTTGTTCCAGGTCCGCCAGTAAGCGCCCAGACTTTCACTATTCCACCAGTCATCGTAGAATGACCTGTCGCCGAATCTTAGGATTTCGGCGAGGGCATTGAGGAAAGACTGGAAGAGGGCAAAGAACCCGGCTAGCCAAATGACGAGCGAGATGGTGGAGAGCTTCATCAATCGCTCTAGGATGGACGGAATGTCCAAGGATGCAATCTTATCGAGGGAGTTTCGCAGAACGGGCGCCGCGTACTGAGCACTAGCGAACCAGATGAAAGCACTGAGACAGAAGATTTCCCCCAGTCTCTTAAGCACAAAACCCCACCTGATTGTATCTGTTCGGGGGTAGACGGGTTGGTAAACCAGAGTAGGAGCCCACCAGAAGTAGATCAAGTTGCCAATGGTGATGTTCTGCGGATATGGGCACTGCTCATAGAGCTTGGGAACAAGCTCGCGCTCTCCCTTGACGGGATGGAGGTAGGCATGGCGCAGGTCGCGATTGGTGAATGCGTACGAGGCAGTCTTCAACCAAACAACCACGGCGTGCATTTCAGTCAGTGTGCCAATGAGAGGATGGTGAACCTTGAAATAGACGACAAGAGTGGTGATGGTGAGAGCGAGTGAAATATTGATGGTGTGTGCCCAGGCCACGACGATCCAGGTCGAGTTGAACTTCTTTCGCTCTGCCTCGGAGGGACCAGAATTCTCCTTGATTCGCTTGATTGATCCTCGCGCCTGCTGGGCGGCAGCAAGTTCAATTAGGTATGCCGCAATGAGATGGCATGGGATGAGGAAGTAGAGCGAAAGCCCGAGGAAGACGTCCTGTCGACTGTAATCATGGCATTTCAAGCAAATCAAAACACCGTACTAGAAAGAGATACTGTGTCAGCAATGTATCAACTCGAGAGTCATGGTGGAACAAAAAACTCACCTTTTGGATGTTTTCAATCATCAATCGCAGGTTGCCGACCACTGCCAAGAGTCAATGACGACCTCATTACGCCGCCCCTCGTCGCGATTTGAAACGCACCTAAGACGATAACCATGAGATTTCGGAAGCCGAGGAAGCTGGGAGCAGTGTCCGAGTCGTGGCTCAGGCATGACGGCCTCGTTTTGGAGTGCACCGCGGCGACGTGCCTGTACTTTTGCGATGGCTTCTCGGTTTGCTTTGTAGCGGCCCCGTTGCTTGGGTTCTGCGGCTCGCGGTCGGTGACGTCGACACCAGTGCGCCGGGCAATGGTGCTGGATGGCGCGCCATCCGAGGCCTCGATGCTGGTCGCGGTGGCTGAATTCATGATGCGCGCGTCCGTCTGCGAATACAGACCGAGCGACAAGGACACTGAGGTGATCTGAGAAGGGAGAGAGCGCAACGACGTTGGAAAAGGGAGTAGATGCGTGGTCTGTCGACGTCAAGTTATATAGTGGCGAGACCCGATAAGGTGTCAGGTATCATGGACGCCACAGACTCTAAATGCCAGACACGCCGGGCTTCCTGCAGCCCTCAACGTCGAGGCCGGCTAATGAGGGAATGGTGTGCAGCAGAACGTAGGATGGGCAGATGGGAGGAATGCGAAGGAACGGATCGGGTGAGTGAGCGGCCCAGAGACGGAAGAGGGGGCGAATTCCAAGCTTCCAAGCCCCCCGAGTGAAAGCCGCAGGGTGGTTGACATTTTTGGTGACATCGAGCGTTCGTTACGGCACGCCGAGTCGCCAGTGGCATGGCTCGGCCGCTGGGGAGTCATCCGTGGTATGCCATGCAGCAGTTGGCGGGGCTTTGTTTGGAGCTTCTCAGGGCTGTCGAGGGCCGTCGAGGGCATTCAGTGGCGGATTTAGTGGGTGCTCGGTGGGGCACGGCCCCTGGAACTGCTGCACCGTGGCGCTTCTGGAGCCGCTGGGGCCTGCAACGAACTGCTTGTGGTGGCCCCCGCCGTTTTGGTGTTGAGCATGTGAAAGTGCATGGCATCCTGTTGGTGGGAGGTGTGGGAGGTGTGGAATCTCGGTTACAATCCGTATGTGCCGAACCCCAACAAATCGCGGCCAAAGAGAAAGAGCCGGCATCTCCTGGAGGACGGCCCTACCATCACTAGATCTCCCGTTGAGCGATCTTCAAGATGGAGGGGAGGTGTAGCGTGTAGCCCCGGAGATTCAGCACTCGACGGTGGGTTGTGGGTAAGGTGTGGTGACTAAGACATGCTCCAGGACGGTAGGGGTCACATGACCTGGATTTTGGGGAGCTCGGCTGATCTGCGCTTAATCCCAGTCCAAGCTCGGGCTGGTCCAGACTTCACCTCATTGAACGCGCCAGGTCGACAGGTCAATAGCTCTGTCGTTTGATTGACTTCATTTTTATCACTTCTCTCTCACCTTCAAGCGCCTTACAAGGCAACTCATTCACAACCTCCTATCGGTATTCGCGGACCCACAATTCATCATTGCCGACTTTGATCTACTGGAAACGACGCGTTCCACCATCTCAAGATCCATCGCCTGTCGCGGATGCTAGAGCCCTTGAAAGGGTAGTAGCCACAATGGCTTATGAGCCGCGAGGCGATCGTGGTGACCGAGGTGACCGTGGAGACCGGGGCGACCGTGGTGACCATGGTGGAGGTCAGGGGCAGGATGGGTTTGTCAAAGTCCGGGGTCGACGTGAGTCTTTCTATTGTTCTCATCTTCTGTATTGTGAACTCCCAGTTTGGTTGTCCGGTTTGCTCCCTTTCTGTCTAGTGGCAGAATGCGGATAGCTACAGACTCAACCCACAAGCACATTCAAAAAGGCCACCGCCCTCAACAATGATCAGCACCCAGTCGGGCTCTATTGTCCTTATCTGAATCACATTCACGTTCCCATTGTATCGTTCACTACACTGGCGTGGCGATTCACCATGGAGCAGCATGACCTTGAACCTTTATAACTTGCTTTACATCCTCACCCCAACCATCTACTCGCTCTCACCTCCAAGTTCACTTTCCAACACTCTCGCTTGAACCTATCTCCTCCATTCACTGTGCAGTCGCACTCTGCATTGGCTTCGCGGAGTTGTTTTGGCTATGGATGCGAGGCATCGAGACAAGGCGATCTTGTTTGAAGGTCTAACCGTCAACCCATCAGGACCCGTAACCGACTATGGCGCTACCGTGACGCACTGGCAGCATAACCGGGTGCCAAATTACAAGGGCGGCTACATGGGCGAAGCTGAGCGGCCAAGCCCCAGCTACATTGTCAACGTGAGTTGTACCTGCTCCTGATATTGCTGGGTGAGGTGCTAATGATGTTTAGATGATCCCACCTGCAGGCAGACCAACCCAAGCTGGTGATAGTATTCCTATCAAGCACCTGCACTCCTCTCTTAATAAGATCAAGCACCCCATCAACGTTGTTCGATGGACCCCTGAAGGTCGAAGACTGTTGACTGCGTCGACAAGCGGTGAATTCACGTTGTGGAACGGAACAGGCTTCAACTTCGAAACCATCATGCAGGCCCACGACTCAGCGATTCGATCCCTGGAATACTCCCACAGTGACGACTGGCTCATTTCAGCTGACCACGACGGAGTAATCAAGTACTGGCAGCCAAATTTCAACAACGTTCAGAGCATCAACGCCCACACCGATCCTATCCGAGATATGGCCTTCAGCCCCAACGACTCCAAGTTTGTCACCGCTAGCGATGATTCGACACTGAAGATCTTCGATTTTGCTCTGGGTTCCATGGAGTCGAAACTAGAGGGCCACGGCTGGGATGCCAAAAGCGTCGATTGGCATCCGACCAAGGGCCTGCTGGTGTCTGGATCCAAGGATCACTTGGTCAAGCTATGGGATCCTCGTACCAGTCGATGCCTGACAACTCTCCACGGCCACAAGAGCACTATCACCAAGGTCGTGTTTGAGAAGGTTCGTGGTGCCTGCCTGGCAACTTCTGCTCGAGACCAAACCGCCCGAGTCTTCGATCTCAGAATGATGCGTGACATCTGTCTGCTCAAGGGTCACGAGAAGGACATCTCTACCCTAGCATGGCACCCGATCCATCCTAATCTGCTCAGCACTGGTGGCATGGATGGATCTTTGTTCCATTACTTACTGGATACCCCTAACCCACCACCGGGGCAGCCACTGACGGTTGCACCATACGACAGCCCTGATCCGACCACGGCGCCTGCTCAGTCCATCTGGCCAACGCACAAGGTCCCATATGCTCACGACTATGCCATCTGGTCCCTTGACTGGCATCCTCTGGGACATATTCTCGCATCTGGATCGAACGATCGTATCACTCGCTTCTGGACCCGTGCGCGACCAGGAGACAACGAAGTCTTCCAAGACCGCTACCATATCGGAGAGGCGGCTGCCGAAGCCCAAGGAACCTGGGACCGTCGCGGCAACCGACGCCAGCGACAGGAGGAGGAGCAACAACAACTGGAGGACGAGATGGACGCACTGGTCGACCAGGATACAGCTGTGAAAGCTGGCGGTCTTCCTGGCCTTCCCGGCATCCCTGGACTTCCCCTTGGTGGAGGCGTCCCCGGTCTTGGTTCTGCTGTGCCACCACCACCGATGATTCCTGGCGTGGGTGCAAACCCGGGTGCTCCCCCTCCACCTCTCCCATTCCCTCTGCCCGGCCTTAATGGCGCTCCTCCGCCTCCTCTTCCGGGCCTTGACCCCAACAACCCTCCTGACCCTGCACAGCTTATTGAGCTGATGAAGAAGGCGGGCGTCCCGCTTCCACCCCCTGGAGCATTGCCCCCTGGCTTCATGCCTCCTCCAGGGAACCTGCCCCCCCCCGGCAACTTCACCCTACCTGTGCCCCCGCCGCTTATGCCCGGCCTTGATATGGATAAGGGGGATCCGCGACGACGAGCCCCGTTGCCCAGCCAAGAGGAGAGTCTGCGACAGGAGCAGCGACATGGGAAGTACAATCGGATCCGATAAAACGGCGGAGTCATTTGCAATGTCAACAGCTCGATACCCTACGGCGTTGGTGGTAGAATGAGGAAAAGTTGATGAGGTTGACAATCATGGGTTTTCTTTGGGAGCTCTATCCAGGAACCAGATAATTATATGGAGAAGGTTTAGGAATTTGTTTCTTTTAAATGGCTGGTATGCATGCGACGATGGCCATGCTGATGTGGCTCATTCTCACGTATGTTCAGCTGATGCCGTGAAACAGTTTGCTGCGTAGATGCAACATGTCTGTTTGATCCAGGCTTCTCGGAGCACATGTGAAGCTCAACGAATCCCTATGCCTGGGACTATCTAGGCTAGAAGGGCTATGTAGAAGCCTCTCTATTCGTGAAAATATATCATTTTCTCTTGTCTACCCCCCTTATGCCTTGGGGGAGGCCTTCTGCCTGTCAGCATATTCCCTGATCACCAGAGAGCAGGTAGCATCAGCGCACAGGCGGCGCCTCCGTTGGACAGGTAGCTTCGCGGCGAACTCGAGACCACTGGCGCGCTCGACGACCTCGAGGGGCACCTCGAAGTCGGTGAGGGGCTTGGCATTATTGATGGGAGCATTGGGAAGGACGAAGGCGCCGAGGGCGACGTTGCCGCCGGCCTTGCCATCCTCGGCGAAAATGACCTTGTAGAAGTGGGTAGGTACGGCGACGGAAGGTGGGTTGCCAATCATCTCGTACTTGACGTACCACTTCTTGTCGACGGGGTCGAACTTGGGGAGGTAGAGGGGACCGGTGACGATGCGAACGGAGGGGTACTTGATGGTCAGGCGACGGCAGAAGTCCTCGAAATGTGCCCAGTAGTCGCGGTTGAAGCCCTCACCGACCTGGGGGCACATGTTGGAAAGGTAGAAGGTGTCGTCCATGGCCGCCTGGGACCACTTGCAGTCGGCAGCGGGGACCTGGTGGCCGCGGTCGAAGCCACTGCGGTAGTAGTCCTTGAGGAGGGCACGGAACTTGGCGGGCACGCTCTCATCTTCGGCGAAGTTGGAGTGCTTGCGGTCGCCCTCACGACGGCGGAGGGACTCGGGTGTGATGTGCTCGACGACCCAGTGAGGGTTGCGGGTGCGGCGGTCGTAGCCGGAGACGAGGCCGGTGCGGGTCGCGACGTCGGAGATGGGCCCGGGGAAGCCGTATTCGAAGAGGCCGGCCGGGTTGACGGGGGCGTTGCCGGCGAGGGGCGACGTGGGAGGGACCACGGCCGGGGACCGAATACCTGAGATGTCGGGATGCCAGCGGACGCGGGGGAGGGCGGGGGGGCGGTGAAGAAGTTGGCGGTGGTGGGCGGAGCTTGAGCCTCGGAGCTCTTGCTACTGCGGAGGGAGTATAAACCAGCGGCAAAGGCGGCACCGCCTCCAGCCCCGATGGCGAGTGTTGCAAAAGTAGCCTTGGACATGGTGGTGGAGATGACGAAGTTAAGAAGTTTCGAGCCTAGGGTGAAGCTTCGGTTTCGGGGAGGGGAAGGAAGAGAACTAAAGAAACCTCAGCCGAGATGAACACGGGACGAGACGGGGCGTCTACCAGCAGGTCACGAGGTGGAGGCACACCCAATTGCACTTTTTCCAACTGTAGGTTGGCCGTGATGTCTCAAACCGACGCTTCGGTGTGCGTGAGAGCTGGTACAGGCTGCCAGAAATTTTGGCACCGAAGCTGGGGCAGCCGGGGATTTCCCGCGGCGGGCAGATCAAGGGTCCTGCTGGGATCGTGGGGGTCCCACCGTATTGACGTCAGTAGGCTGCGAGTTTGGAGGGATTGCGGAAGCTAGAGCTCCTGCGCTGGGACAGGTATTCGGTGTGTAACATGGTGTCCCCGTGTGCGTGTTAGATAGGCATGCGAGTTGAGATGTGAGTGATCGGAAAGAATGTCATGTAGAGCCGCTGAGACGGAGTCCGGTTCGCAAATGAATCTCGAACCTCTCCTGAAACCCGGATATAGGTACGTACTGCTCTTCATCTTGGCGGTGTTACCGCCTGCTTTGTTGGTTCATTGCGGCTTCGGAATGCGAGCCGGCCATCAGGGTGTTTCATAGGTAAGGTTGAGGCGGGAGCGTCTCGTGCATGCGGGCCGCCGGATCCGCCATTTCCGCAACTCTACTGTCGCCCTAGAGGGAAGAAAGAGTAGACTCCCTTGCTTGGGGAAGCTGGAAATGTTGCCCATGATGTAGATTTCTATGATTCTTACCTAGGGAGGTGGGATCTGCTCGCCCTGGACCCCGGTGAGTGGCCATTGACGGAGCCAGCCGATTGCCTTTCAAGATGGTGTTTGATATGCCAACCCGACGTCGCTGATACGCCCTGAGGCTCGCACTAAGCCCAGTGATGACGATATGCGCGGGTTTGATTCGTTGGCATGGCTGGCGCCGGCTTATAAATGCAAGGTCTTGATTCCATTCTGCGCCGCAAACGCATGCGGTGCATTTGCACAAAGGTGGCCGAGACGGCCGTGGTGTAGCTACCTGCCTCATCCGGGGGAGCCTCAAGTCGACGGAAGAGAAAGACAAAGAGCGTCAAGACATGGCGATCCATTTGTGGTGTCAGCATCACGCTGACAGAATGACAGTGGAGGACGCTGGAAATGGGGCTCTGTCTAGCGCGGGTCTAGTGGACAAGGCCCTTCCAGTCTCGATTCTCCCCACGACCACGAGCAATGGTGAGCAGATGAGATGGATTTTAGACTGGCTGCCAGGATCCTACCTGATGTCCATATCTCTGCTGCAAGCATTGGTAGATAGCACATATGCTTTTTGTCTCACCGAAACATTGATTTACATATTACAAGCCTGGACACTGGGGCGAATGTGGGCGGGCGACCATCTGGCGATATCCAATGGCGAGCCGGCTTCACAGAAGGTGAGAACCCTGAGGGCCAACCTCCACTCCAGCGCCCCCTTCACCGGTGGCCCAGAGCACCCAGTCGCGCACCGGGAGCAGCGACTGTATAGCAGCCATGAGGCCACTAACTCTGGCACTGGGCCTTCCCCCCCACGCGCCAGCGCTCGAGAAGAGTCAACGGGTGGAAACTGGGAAGGCGAAAGGTACCTTGTCCACTGTAGCTTCCCCTTGAGCTGTCTGGCCCTGCTTGTGATTGACTGAGGCAATCCCACACTGCCTCGTCCCTGCCTCGTCCCTGCTTTACATCACCACCCTTCTGCTCCGTAGCTCCGTCGTCGTCTTTGTCTTCCTTTCACCTACATTTCTCCTCTCTTCACCCCATCTTTCTTCTCTTGGAAGTGACAAGTCTTCACCTTGCGCTAGTTCGAACCGCTGCGATTTTCGTGGACGTTCACATCCTGGTTCTAGCGAGGCCCCATTTGCCCCAGCAGCTCGCGAACTGCTCCGTCCGTGGCCGACGCTACGCTTGCGCGCCATCAGAAAGATCCGTCCCACCACGCACTTTCAAGCTTCGCCGCCCACCGTCAGTCTCGTCGTCGACCTCCGGGCTCAACTTGAACCGCGGTCCCAGTCTCACCTCCAGTACTACGCCTCCAGTCTCGCTCCCAACGCACATGCTGTGACCTTCGCGAGCTCTTAGGACACACGCCCTCGTCGGAGGCGGAGGAGTAGTTGTAACCATGGCTCTGTCGATCAGGGACCTCGACAATGACACTCGTGGATGGATTATGTGTATTGTCAGCGGCATTGGTGCGTCCAACCCTCAGGTTTTCTTCTCGCGCCTGCCGGTGCCTCTCTTGACATTCGTGTACTGACGCTGCAAATTTCTCCAGCCTGCGTTGTCGGTGCTTCCGTTGTCTGTGTTGACATAATCGTCCGATTGTTCCCTGGGAAGCGAAACTTCCGCATCCAGGACAGCAATGGCTTCCTCGCCTGCTCTCTAAGCCTAAGCTTTGGCGTCATGGTACTACTTCTCCGACTGTGACCTGTCTCTGGAGTACTTGCTAACGCTATTCCCAGCTCTTCTCGGCGCTGTATAGTATGCTGCCTGAGTCTAAGGGATACCTAAAAAGCGCCGGCTGGTCCGACCAAGAGGCTGGACTCCTTATGATGTCCTGCTTTATTGGGGGGTTTCTTGGTATCCAGTCAGTTTCGCGGTTTCTGCACCAACATATGCCTACTCATGTGGTCGACTGCGACCATACCCACGACGAGACGACCAAGGATGCTCACTCCGGTCATAGCCATGACCGTAGACAGTCCCGAGCAAGCCGTGCCCGGCGTCGAATGTCCAACCGTGCTTCCTCACGCCCCAAGATGGACCAGTCGATATCGAGCCTCGAAAACGGCAACGGCCATGCGATTGTTTCGGAAACCACCCCTTTACTTGACTCGGAACGCAACCGTCGACCTAACTCGCTGAAGAGAAATGCATCGACCCGCAGCGACAGGATGGCGCAGCAATCTATCAGTACTGCTGTGGTTAGCCGCAGCCGAGCGACAACGGGCAACTCGGAAGCTGCTGAACGACGATCGTCCATGTTCCAGGTACAGAAGCGCGTCTTGTCTTTCGTCCAAGACACGAAATGCAACTGCGACGAGTCTGGCTCCTGTTACGGATATACAGACCCATGCGGCCAAGAATGTTTTAAACACTTGGCTAATCGATCTGCAAATCCATCTCGGCACCAAACAGTTCTTCGAACCACTACTGGGGCGGTTCTACCTGCCGCCGCGCATAGCAATCGCGGTCACGATCATGACCACGACCACGACCATAGCCATGCTCACGGCGATGATACTCAAGATCATGACCATGAACACCACCACAGCCACACATCTGAGCCTCTTGTTAGTCCGACCTTTCGCACTAGTCGAGCCGCTTCCCGCGAGCCCTTGGATCCTATGTGTGAAGAGGAAGAGGAAGAGACAGAGCATGAGGAGCATGATGCCTCATGCTCGTCTATGGAGGAGGGAGATGATATCGAGGCACAGCACCATCACCATGTTCCCACCAACGCCTTCCTTTCCATCGGCCTCCAAACCTCCATCGCCATCGCCCTCCATAAATTCCCCGAGGGTTTCATTACCTATGCCACCAACCATGCAAATCCAACACTCGGTTTCAATGTCTTCATGGCCTTGTTTGTCCACAATATTACGGAAGGATTCGCCATGTGCCTCCCGCTCTATATGGCTCTCGGCTCTCGCTGGCGCGCTATAGCCTGGTCGGCCGTTCTTGGCGGTCTATCCCAGCCTTTCGGTGCCGGCATCGCCGCCCTGTGGTTCAAACTTGCCAGTCGCAGGCACCTGGAACCGAATGCTGTCGCGTATGCGTGTCTGTTTGCCATCACATCCGGTATTATGGTCAGCGTAGCCCTTCAGCTCTTCGTTGAGGGCCTGAGCCTAAACCATAACCGTAATCTGTGCATCTTCTTTGGATTCCTCGGAATGGCGCTGCTGGGGCTGAGCAACGCCCTGGTCGGGTCGCATTGAGATATCATTCTTTACTCGCGAATATTGATCTGACTTGATAGTCAAAGTTTCCTTTTGGCTTCACGTGCTGCATAATTCTGTGGCAGGACTGTTCCTGTTTCGGCTTTGTTTTTAGTATGGAGTTGGTTAATGGATCAGCATTGGGATGGGCTTTTTACACTTCTTGCTTTGTATATACTACGTCGGCTTCAACATCGCCAGGGGCGGAGAAACGAGGCTCACATTAGCAACTCAGGATCATAGATGAACGGAGGTAACAAACTCGGCACTGGTTAAAATTGAAATTCGCTTTTATTTCCCTCCATCTGACAACACCATTCGCGAGCGCTACCCGCTGATTTTTTACTAACATATCCTTCATAATGGTTGGAGAAATACTACCGAGTAAAGTCTCCTGCAGCCACGAGGCTAGGGGTATCTAAATTACATTGCGAGGGCCGATCACCAACGCTAGTTTTCATGTGTATCATATCATCAAGCTGCTAATGCAGGGTCGATCATGGAATCATGCTCCTGGGAGCCTCGTGCTAGGAGGAGGATGTTGGCCTCGTCCTCTGGCCACTCGTCGTGAGCTGGACCGTAGTTCATCTGAGCAGCGAATATTTCTTCCTGATGTATATTCTCCGACCAGGGGTTTAGGGCGGTGAAGTCATCACCGAAAAGGTGTTGCTCAGTGCCAAGTTGTGTCTGGGAAAGGAAGAGCGCGGGGTCGGTCTCGGCGGTACCACCTGGTCCATGGTAACTCTGGAGGTGCACATCGAGGTCATGGTAGCGGAAGAAGGCCTCGCTGCAGTGGGGGCATGTGATATTTTGCTTGGCGAGGTTCGCGACGCCCGAGATTTCGTCGATAAGGTCCGGCTCGGGAGCCTGTACCTTGGAAAGCTTGGGGCGCTCCAGGCGGAGGTGCTTGTAGCGGACGTGATCCTCCAGACGGACTTTGGTGCTGAACTTGTCACCGCAGCCCTGGTCATTGTTCCATCCAACCAGCCCTGCACTGGATATATCGACCTCTCCGCAGACGAAGCGGAAGCCCTCATGGGCGGTTCGGACGTGGGCATTGAGGTTGGACTTCTTTGTGAACTTCTTGGTGCAGTCCGCGTATGGGCAAGCAATCGTCTTTCGATCCTCGACAGTCTTCCCAGAGTGGTGCATCTCGACGTGCTTCTCAAGCTCCCATCGAGTGGCGGACTTGAACTCGCAGAACATACAGTTCTGGTGTTCTTGGCGGACGTGAGCTTGGAGGAGCACTTCTGTTGTAAATCCCACACGCTGCTCTGTCCCATCCGGCATCCGCTTCAAGCCGCACTCACCGCACCAAAACTTTGCTTCGCCGTGTTCTCGTTCTCGATGTCGCTTTAAGGCTGGTTTGGAGTCGAATGCGGCGTCACAATCCTTCTCAGGACATGGGTGGGCTCGCAAGCCTTGGTGATCTTTTCGGGAATGCTTGTTCAGGGTCTCTTTTTTGCGGAAGCTCTGGCCGCAGTCCTTGCAGCGGAATCTCTCCTCTCCTTCGTGCACAGCCTGGTGGCGCTTGAGTCTGGTACCAGTGACGAAGCTCTTTCCACAGCCCTCCTTGGGGCAGACATGTTTCCGTTCGAGTGTATGGACAGCCTTGACATGTTGCTTCAGATGTTTGTCCTCAATGTAATCCTTGTCACAGCCAGCATATGTGCACTTGAATGGTCGGGAATTGGTGTGAGAGTTGAGGTGGTCCCGCAATCGAGCAGGGCGGTTGAAGGTCTTGGGACAGTCGGGCCAGGTGCAGGCGAGGGTCTTGAGATCTGAGGGGAACTTTGGGCGGGGAGTTGTGCCACCGGTGTTTGCGGTCATGGGGGAATCGGCTTCGGATACAGATCCAGGTGTTTGAGCAGAGGTGACATCGTCATCGGGGTCGTCAATGTCTGGCTCGGGTGGTTAGCAGAATCAAACAAGATTGAGAGGCAGGGAAACGAACAAATGTCATCAAAGTCGTCAACCTGGTGCCGTTTGGCAGGGGGCGTCCCAGGCGCTGAGTCGACAGCGCCGCGTTTACTCATGGTGCTATCATGCCTGGGCCAAGTGCTTGGCTGGTGTTGAAGGAACTGGATCTTGTCGAGCCGGCAGAATCGGGAACAATTTAAAGGCGGTGTCTTCAAAATTTTACGGTGGGTGACGATGCATGCGATTTGGCGGGCAGGCGCGCCCCACTCCCCTCCCGCACTAGCCACAGACCACTTCCCACAGCACCGGAACATCTTCGGGGAAATCGGATTTTATCCCATGGCTCTTTGGCTTTTTTTGCGAGGCTGAACAAAGCCGCTTCAAGGATTGTCTACACATTCACTTGTCAAGGCAGCCCTTCCCCCCAGCACTTTCACTCGCTCTTGTGAATATCCTGCATCATGTCTGACTTTGGCGATGATGATATCGGTGGTGGTGGGTAAGTAATTGGCAGCGACCGGCCACAGCCTCCGATCCTCTGGCCATTTGTCTAACGCGTGCCTGGTAGCGACGAGGCCATGTACGAAGAGGAGGACGGTGCCGAGTTCTACGACCCCGAGGTTCTCGACGAGGATGGCGAGCAACAACAGAACGGAGACGATGACAATGTCGTCGTCTCGGGCGATCCCTCCGCCGCAGCGAACGCACTTAAGGGTGGCGACAAGCTCCTGAAGGACAAGAAGATCCCCGAAAGCGACCGAACCACGACTCCCTACATGACCAAGTACGAGAGGGCGCGTATTCTGGGCACTCGCGCCCTGCAAATCAGGTTCGTCTAGCCTCGCGGAGGATGTTGCGACGCGAAGACGCGTGCTAACAGGAACTTAGCATGAATGCGCCAGTGCTGGTCGATCTGGAGGGTGAGACGGATCCCCTCCAAATCGCCATCAAGGAGATGCGAGAGAAGAAGATCCCTCTGATCGTGCGACGATACCTCCCGGATGGCTAGTAAGTTGAACCACAGCAAACTGCTGGGCTTGGGACCGACGAGACTGACTGACGCGCCCACAGCTACGAGGACTGGACTTGCGAGGAGCTGCTGCAGTAAAGAGGAAAGGGAAATGGGACGACGAATGAATTGATTGGATTCAAGGCGCATATACCCATAACTTTTGCCTTGGACGACAATCAATCCGAGTCGATTCATTCTCTCCTACTCTCCACCCCTGCGCGGTGCATCCCACTTCCCCAAGGTCGTTTATGATGTATGAGCGTGGCGTTTGTCATTTTGACTGTACATTGGAACTAGACAAAAAGAAACAAAAAGGCATTGTTTGGGTTACGTGTTCTTGCTGCTGGTGCATCGTCCAAGTCGGCGAGAAGTAGTTTGCTTTGTGCCGAAGCCCAGGAGAAAGTCTCGTGGTCAACATTGTCACGCAAGGCGAGGCAAAGCGAGAATGAGATACAATCCCGGCTAGGATTCCGCTTGGTTCTACTGCCGAACGAACAAGAATGAGACGGTTGGCAAACGAGGTGCTGGGATGCAGGAGAATGTGTGGATCGATATAATCGGGGTATTTGGGCAACAAGACCAATGGCGGCCATGACCGCCCAGCTCAGACTGATTTCGGGAAGAATTCCTAGAGAAATGCCTGCATCTAGGCAAACGGTATTCAATCTGACTCTAGCTCTCATCATAGTGACGGAAAGCCAGTCTTTGACAAACATGGCATTCAAGTAGACCGGTGGTTTCATCACGAGTACAAAGTTTGGATGGCATGTCACATCTCTCTGTCGCAATCGCTGTGATAAGCCGGTCTAGCAATGCACGACCCTCGTGATGTCAATTGCCACGCCTCGTGCCTGGTCTTGATACAGATCGGCGTGGGACCTGACGTTATATCTCCGTTGTGGAATGAGACATGACGGCATGGCACTGAAAACATGCAAACGCGACTCCACGGCTTGGCCCGGGACGATAGCCGAGAGGCCTAACTAGGCAATGACGATGCAAAAAAGGCTGGACTCAAGATGGTGAAACCGTACGATAGCCAAGCGACGCAGGGACCAGACCGCATGCATAATGCTTGCGGCGGCTGTGTGGTTGTTGTGTGGTTGTGTGGCGGGTTGCACAGCCGACGATCGACCAACCACGAGCCACAACCGCAGTTCCAGCCTCCAACCTTCTGCCACGTTCTGCGGGCACCTGGCTGGGGAAGAGCCGCAGCCACGCACGCCGTCCGGACGCTCCGCGGGCAATCAAGACGGGGGCTTCCTATTCGCAGATGTCGACGGGCCGTCCTCGTATCCTTCGGTGTGTCGGCAGTGGGGCGGCCTGTGAAATGCGAGGGCCGACAGTGAGACTGGCTCGCGGCCCCATCTTTGGCGGGGGACTATCACGACCGGACCGCTCGATGATTGTCCATGACATGCCATTGCTGGACGGGCGAATGACGTCGATGGGATCCATTCGCTAGGTAGGGAGCGGCTTTTTACGTGGGACTTTGTAGCCGTCGCACGAGGGAAAGTGCACGCGGATGGATGGTGCTTGTTCCAGCTTGATTATTTAAGAGGTTGGTGGTGCATCCCTCATCGCGAAGTCGGTGGTTGGGCTTTAGTCGCCACAGACGATAAACAGTAAAAAGGGCTCGAGTCAACTGTAATTGTCAACCACATCTCTCCAGCCTTGACCAAGAATTCGATTCATTCATAAATTCCTTTACATCTCAGACAACTACTCAATCAACCATCAACCATCCACACCCACCCACCCCAACCGCCACTATGAAGTTTTCCGTCGCCGTCGCTACCATCGCCGTCATGGTCGCCTCTGCCCTGCCCATCCACAACTTCCAGAAGCGAGAAATCGGAGGTGTAAGTCTCTCCCCGCCCTATCAACACCCTCCAAGTCTCTTGAATATTTCTAACACATCTCAGATCCTCACATGCACCGGCGTCAACGCCACTGGTACTTGCCACTACGAGGTCTACGAGCTGGACAAGTGCCACCAGCTCCCGGAGCCCTTCCATGCCAACATCAACACCTTTGCTCCCGATGGCGAGGCCTTCTCTTGCTACCCGCGCACCACGGACTGCGACGGCATCTGCCGTAGCCCCACAGGATGCACCTTTGGCTCCGTGGACTTCAACTACGAGCACAAGTACGACCTCGGCGCTATCCACTGGAACACGCTCTTCAAGAGCTTTGACTGCTCGGCCAAGAAGTGGTCAAACAGCACCAGCACCAGCACCAGCACCAGCATCACCAAGAGGACCGCATAGATCAGCCGCGGCCAAGTGCATACGAGACGGAAAGAAAAAAACCATGAATGGAAAAACGAGACTTTATGATGTGACGGACGTTAATTATGCGGAGTTCCGGGACGGGTCTTTTGTCCTAATTGGGAAGGGTGCGGCAACTGGTCAATGGGTTACATACACTGGGCGGAAGGTTTTTGGGAAACAGGGACGGCAACGATGGGAGCATCGCACCATGACAGACCTATAGGAGCATGGCAACTAATCGATCGAAGAGCCGTGATCGGGAGCATTACCGGGAGGCGACTCGGAATTTGACAGAATGATTGGCATTGGGAATGGGAGATATTTCGGCGTTGCGGCGATGTGGGGAACCCCGGTAGCTTCCCCTCCTTGGGTTTCCCCCCGCATCCACTCTGGAATGAGCTGGATCAGCTTTGTCGGGTATCTATATGACGGCCATCCCATCCGCATTGCATTGCGAGACGAAAGAAGAGATTCTTCGACTCTAAATAATTATATAAATCTAGAGGCCGTATTTAATTGGTCCGCCTCAATTGATTGATACCTCTTCATTACATCATCACTCTCCTTCCTTGATATCATTTCTCTTCCTTCGACCTCCTCAACCTCCTCAACCTCCTCAACCTCCTCAACCTACAGCACCACAACCACAGTCACCATGGCGTCCGCATTCACCACCAACGCCACCATCACCAGCTTCGGCGGTCGATTCCTGAAGCTCACCCACCAGTCCGCCACCACCGGCACGCCCATGAACCTGACCCTCTACCTGCCGCCGTCCGCCTCGGCTTCCAAGCCCGCGCCGCTCCTCATCTACCTCTCCGGCCTGACCTGCACGCCCGACAATGTCACCGACAAGGGTTTCCTGCACGCCCACGCCGCGCCGCTCGGCCTCGCCCTGCTGTACCCGGACACGTCCCCGCGCGGCCTCGACCTGCCCGGCGAGCACGACAGCTGGGACTTTGGCAGCGCCGCCAGCTTCTACATCGACTCCACGCGCGATCCCTGGAGCACCAACTACAAGATGGAGTCGTACCTGACCAAGGAGCTGCCCGGCCTCGTCTTCGGCGCATTCAAGGAGCTTGACTCGTCGCGGGTCTCCATCAGCGGCCACTCCATGGGCGGCCACGGCGCCCTGACGCTGCACCTCAAGAACCCCGGCATGTTCAAGAGTGTCAGCGCGTTCTCTCCCATCTCCAACCCCATCAACTGCCCCTGGGGTGAGAAGGCCTTCTCCGGATACTTGGGTGATGACAAGGAGGAGTGGAAGAAGCACGATGCCACTGAGTTGGTCAAGAACTGGAAGGGTCCTCTGAACGCCCTCGTTGACGTGGTGAGTATATCTCTGGCATGATACCAAGAGGCCGGGTAGATTCCTAACAAGTTTGATTAGGGAACTGCCGACAACTTCTACAAGCAGGGCCAGCTGCTCCCTGAGAACCTTCAAAAGGCTGCCAAGGAGGCTGGTGTCGATGCTCTTGAGGTCAACTACCGAGAGGTATGGTCCCCCTTAACCCTCATATATCGTCTTCAATGATCTGTCATGCTAACATTAACCACCGTAGGGCTATGACCACTCCTACTTCTTCATCTCCACCTTCGGTGCCAACCACGTCCAGCACGCCGCCAAGGCCCTGGGTCTCCTCTGACTAGCCGAATCTCGTCTTTGAGCGATTGACAACTTCGTGTCTATTGGACCCTGGATATGAAATACCACCCTGCCACGTCGGTATATATGAGATGTACTGGAAGTTACCGCCAAGGGCCGGAGATTGAGTCTGACAGTCCCATCGAAAAATCAACAAGTGAGGAGCAGATTCATCTCTGAGACGAAGGGCACAATAGTCAGTCCCTTCCATCTCACCAAGGAATCCAAAATAATAATAAAAATTGATCACTAAAATATTCGAGACATAGTCCCATTTCGCTCATCAATAACATGCTCATCAAACCCGTAGAACCCATGACTTTGCTCCCCTTGTCTCCCCCGTGAATCTGACAACGCCGCCTAGATGAGTAATGGCTAGGAGTGATGATAAGTTGCGACAGTGTCTACCCGTAGGTTGAAGATGGAAAGATATATGACCCGATTCCCGAACAAATGCCACTCCATCAATGACGCGTTGCTCCCTCCTCCTCTTTCGCCGATTCTCAACGTCTAGCTAACCCTATTATCCACGACAGGACTTATTGTATCACCACCTTCTTGCCTTATACGTTCAGCCTCGGCCTCGCGCCGAATGCGATGATATGCTAGTTTCTCGAACCGGCTCATGCTCTTCCACCAATGTTGGCCCGCCTCGTGCTCGGAGATACGATCCAGCAAGTCGGCAGTGTCATTTCGCACATCGCGATCCTTGTGGAATAGTCCTAGTGCGATGTAGAAGAGTCCTGCATGGGACTCGGGTGCCACACTGAGCAGAAGACAAATTTCATCATACGTGCGGATATGCTTTGAGAATGTTTCGTAGATGTCCTTGCTCTGCGCGGGCGAGAGACGTTGCATGCGCAGGCGGTCATGCATGTGGGCAAGATCCAAGCCCTTCAACGGCCTGACTGTATAAACCTGGGCGAGGTCCTGATTCCTTTAGTGTTTGCTTCCATGTCACAGCGCGTATGCAGTCTTACCTGGATGAAGCTGTAGTAGCTGCGGGTGTTGCGCCAGCCCTCAATCCTTGTGACATTACCAGCGAGCTCCTTATGCTTCGCTGTGTCGTCAGGCCAGACATAGCCGTGCCCATTGACGCCCGCCGGCATCAAATCCTGGTCATCGCCCCCAATGTAAAGAGCACTCGCGCCATACACGCTCTCCTCGAATTGGGCGGCGATACGAGTAAACTTGCTAACCCAGTCGCGCCACTTGGCACGGATAACACGCTCACCGTGCCTTGCCGCCATGCTACGGAGGATATCGGCCATGAACGCATTATCACCAGTCAAGTCCTGAGTGTTGTTGGCGGTCCCGCTTGCAACATTGGCAAAGGCCGAGTTCTGCTGCTGGAAGTAAACCAGGCCCTCGGTGACGGGGGCGGCGTCAATCCTGCTACTTATTTTGACCCTGCCACTGGGTAGATCACAAAGAATGTCCCACCACTCAGGGTGATGCTCGAACGTAGGGTTTGTCACACCAGCGATGAATCCGGGAACATTCAGCAGGTCATCAACTTTGGTCAAGTCGGTGTATGGGAAAGCGTGACGTGTGAAGCCGCGCAAAATACCACCCGAAGCTAGAGCACAAGCGGCAAGCACAGCTTCTGCGACCTCGCCCGAAGGCATGTTGTACCCCAGAAAGATGATTCTCTTTTGTGTCAACAGGGCATTTGCAAGAATAATAACGGGGTGCGTATTAACGCCATTCGTTGTCAGATGGGGATGCAACGAAAACGGCTGTGGAGATTTGATGTGTGTATCCGAAATGTTCTGGATGAGCTTGATGAGGGAGAAATCACCGACCGTCTCCGGCATGACTGCCACCGGGACTTTGATAGGGATGGGGATGCCCTTGTACATGACCTTGCTCTCGAATTCGTGAGTGTCACGGGGAACGGAGTAAATCGACTGGCCGCCCTCAACATGGGCCTTGGTGCCAGCTCGCGATATGCCTGTCGGTTTGGGGGGACTACGACTTGTGTCCAACGTTTGGTCGATGGGATCCTCGGCCTGGTCTTCGGCTATACGCAGCTGAATCATCTGTTCAAACTTCTCCACAAACAAGTCTTTGTTGTCGCTCGCTTGAAGCAAATACCTCTCGAGGATGCTAAGTTTGGGCATAAGCGACAAGTCCATGGCATTGACAGCATCATAAAGCATGGCCAGCGTCTCCGGAACAGGCGACTTGAAGTATTCCTCCAGGGCTAATAATAGTAAGGGCTAATAGACGCGGCTGTCAGCATGTGCGCGGACACTAGAGTGAGTCCGGGACTTAGTTACCTTGTATATATGCAAGAAGGGGTGGCGCGTGCAGATGGCCATGGCTTTGACAATGGCGCCTCGCTTGACCGTCTTGTCATGCTTCGTGTTGACCAGATTCAGCACATAAATCAGTGGAGGGCCCTCGCCGCCCTCAGGCTCGCTATCGGTAGACGAGGAGTCGTCGTCATCGTCGTCGTCCCATTCTTCATCCTCCAAGAGATCATCCTCGTCGTCTTCGTCTTCCTCGTCGATTATCCCTGCGGCCCTGTCACGCCTCCTCCTGCGCCGCCTTCTTCGTTCCTCCTTGGCTGTGCGCTCCTCGTCTTCCTCCTCTTGGCTGGTATCCTTGTGGAGGAAGAAGATGGTCCAGTCCTGGTTGCGGGCATGGGCCTGATCGGGCAACATCAGCTCCGCCAACATGTTCTCGTCCCCAGTAATGGCAACCGGATATTGGTGTTCCATAATCGGGCCCCGATCGATATCGAAGGAGGCGACAAGAATATACTCGACATGGTTCTCGGTTGACGTCCGCGGATATTGCGATCGAAGCTTCCTCGAGGGACGACCCTCGGCATTGATACGGCGCGGCGCAGACAGGGACGAGTGCTGCGACGACAAGCCACTTGAGGGCGTCTTGGACTTTGAACTCGGGTCGGAGACACGATCAGGGTCGAGGGCCGGGGGAAAAGGCGACCTCGACGGCGGCGGCGAGGGCTGGGACATCTGAGAGGTCGAGCGCGACGAGGGGAATGATGCTAGCGAGGTGCGTCGCTTGGGTATCGTCGCATTGGTGTTGTTCCCGTTGCCAACGACGCTGTTGGCAGTGGTCGGGGTGTTGCTGCTGGAAGTCCGCGACGCAAGATTCGAGATGGTCGACTGGAACGAAGCCATAACAGCCGATAGACCAGTCTGGGCAGAGCCCAAACTTTAGCTGCCGACGGGAGAGGAAGAAGCCCCGCGCAGTTCGGCTGCCTCGCAGGGTCCCGATCCGGTGGTGTTGCGGTTCAAGTTGCGGTGCAAGAGCCGAGACAGGGCGATTCGGCACAATGCGATTCGACGTGATGCGATGCGATGCAATGCGATGTGCGGCCAGTCGGTCGCCAAGGCGGTCACTCAACCCAGCTCACAAGGGGGACGGATGCAGCCAAACAACCCAGAACTCCCGGCGGTTACCACGGCACAGGTGGAATTGATTCAGGCGGACAGCTCAATCCAAGACATGATCTGCTGGAACCGGCCGCAAGCCCTTCCCGAGTTCACTTGGTTCGGTTCGTGGAGGCTGGCTGGACGCTGGAGACAATTGGGCGACGATTGGACGAGGATGATATTTGGTTAGAATTAGTGGTGGTGAGGCACAGCTTCCCCTCCTCCTCAGGCAGTGAGCAGCCCCTGAAAATCGTTCGGTGGGTGGGCTTGTGGGCGGTTGGGCGCTCGTGCCCGCCTGCGGATGCCGGCATTGCATGGTTGAGCCAGGACAGGGGAGCTTGTGCCGGCCACTCAGAGCCCCTAGGTCCCGCTAGCAGCGCGCTGGAAGTCCGCGAGGGGCCACTGCGAGACACTGAAAGCCACTGAAGACCCCCTAACTTAACTTACCAGCCGCAGGCGGTCAACTTCGTGGTGGGAGGGGTCCTGGCGGCAAACCCCTAGCGTCCTGCGACCGCCACGCTCCCTCCCCATGGGTCCGACTTGCGACTTGGCTGCTCCCCGCTGTCTGTGGCTGGTGTGGCTCGTGCAGCCCTTTAAGCTTGTGGCTGGAGGCTTTGGTGGGGGTGGAGGCTAAGGTAGGTAGGTAATTACTGCAACTGGCTCCAATCCAGCGGTACGTACCTTTGCTGGTTCCGATCCCCCCAGCTACCATATCACGACCCGGATTTGTTTACTTTGAGATTGAAGCGTTCGCATCTGCAACCTCGCCTCCAGTGACGCAACCGAGTGCCCATCGCAATACGACACCTCGCTCCTACGCACGCTTCTAACGCACGCCTCCCCAAGACATTTCCCTCGAGCCGACCCCATCGTCTTCCCTCCCATACCCCATCAACATTGTTTGCTTGCTTCCATCCCGCCTCTCGGCGCAGGACCCACGTTCAAGACAATGGTACCTTTCACCAGCACGAACCCTGGCAAGCGTATGCATTCCTACTAACACCGTCGTTTCCAGTCTGTGCCGACTGCATACAAGCCCTCGCCCCTGGGCTATGGCTCATCCCCCACCCGCAGCTCTCCGTTTCGACGAGCCGAGTCGCCCGCTTCACCCTCGCCGCTTCGACACACAACACCTACCGGATCACCAAGCAAGTCTGGGCCCTTTGGCAGTTCGACATCCAGATTCGCCAGGCCGACGACGCCCACGAGTACGCAGCCTAGTTGGACTCCCAAAGCCAAGACCCCCGAAGTAGACATGGCTTCATCCCCTCCACGAATGGGCGCCGTTCGGACACCTGTGTCGAAGTCGCTTGGGCATGGCGGTGCTTTATCACAACTGCAGCCCGCGCAGGTTCGCACACTACGGGATGGCTTCCAGATTCTAGATCGGGATTGCGATGGCGTTGTCAACCGCGAAGACGTCGCCGACATGCTCAGCCAGCTCGGTAAGAATCTGCATTGCCGAAGAAGATAGTTAAATGCTGACCTCTCAACCCAGGACTACCTTCCAGCGCATCTGATGTCTCGAAATTCTTCCCCCCATCCGCTCCTCAAACCATTGCCCTTGCAGCTTTCCTCAACTCGCTGGCCGAGGCATTGGTAGCGCTCTCACCAAGCGCTGAACTGCTCTCCGCCTTTTCGGCTTTCGACGACGATGACAGCGGCCAGGTGGATTTGAATGAGTTGCGAAACGCATTGCTCGAGACCGCACCCGAGCCCGGCGAGCGGGCGCTGACATCAGCGGATGTGGACAAGATCATGAGTGGATTCACCGGGCGACGAGCCTTCAACCGGAATATGAACGCCCACCTCGGCGCCAAGCGAGGTGAGGTGTTCAAATACCAGGAGTTTGTCAACTCTATCATGGGGTCCAACGGTGGCTCCGAGAACCAGTCAAATGAGAACTCGGAAGACTAAGCGTCTCGTTCATCAGGTCTATTAGGTTGTATGTACATTACTGCGAAGGGACTGGGTTGGGTATCGGCTGGTCGGGTATTGATTGGTATTGGAAATGAGCAGGTTAGTGGGACTATAAACAGGAGCAATCATGATCAGCATACTTGTGAAAAGCAAACGTGGCTTGCAGCAGGCCCAGCTGGCGATATCCAAGAACGCATCGTATTGGCTGCCAAGACTCAAGAGTGCTGCACCTTGGTCAGATTCGCCATAAGCGCTGACGAGTCCACGTGATCATGGCATGTTGAGACAAGATCAGAAAACTGCTCACGAAGCACCGCTTGGAAGCTTACAACTCACTTTGTCCGTCATGGCAACATATCGGTTACCCGTGAGACCGAAGGGTGTTCCTTACCACACGCGGATTCGCATGTTGGAGCAATGTGGGGCATGTGGCTTTGACATCCCAAGAGGCGAGCCATGCGTCCCAGGTACAGAATCCTCCCGGCCTTCATCTGAAGGCCCAACTGGAGTAGTGTGAGAAACTAATCGCGTTGGGCCTCATAACTAGTTCTGTGGGATAGCCACTCCTCGTGCTTTCTAATCGAGTGCTCGATCCCTTTCCCGCATCGTTGTGTGACATATACAACACCTCGCGACTGGGCAGTCTTTGTTGAAAACCGTAACGACCCCGATCCAAGAACTCTCAAGAGCATCACTGTCCACGCCGATTGCTTCAATTTGTTTATGAAAGAGAGCACATTCAAAGACAAAATCAGCCAGTTGTTTGCGCTAGCACACTGGACCCAGCCATGGGCCGCAGTCTCTTCTCTCTATCTCGATCCCAGGACCAACGTTCAGAGAGGTATCGCCCTCGCTGCTGAAACCTACAACATTCCCCTACTAAAGTCTATGCCCTTCGAAATTGCTGACCTTATCCGGAATCACTCGAAGACAGACATTATCTGGCGATTCGCCTCAGTCTTGGACCGAATCGAGAGACTGTCTACACCTTCTCTCAACCAGCTGGACGATATTTCGCTGCACAAGATTGGCAGTTGGGAACGAGATACTAGTCCGACGATCTTAGCCAATCCTGCCAGAGGTTTTATTCGCCTCACAATCGATTTCCAAGGCCTGAAGCGGATTGAGCAACTGGAAGGACGACCTAAGCCCCACCCAAAATCCTCCGACGCCCTAGCGTACGTCGTCGAATCCGAAGAGTGTTTGAAGAACATTACTGTTGATTTCAAGGCTCGTTCAGTTACTCGTTCTCCTACTAAAGCCTTAACTAACATTAGGTAGGACGGGCTGGCACATCTTAATCTGCCCCCAGGTCCGACACAAGTAAAGATCTGGGACAGGCCATGTCCTCCCAATCTCATGGAGTGCCATGGCTTCCAGAAAATCTCCAAAGAAGTATACGATCTCCCGTTCAAGCTTATGAACACAATCGACCCACAGAAGTGCACCGGCATCACCTTCTTTCTCAACGGCGGCCTAGTCGATTTACATGCGCATACCAGCGCCAAGCCAAATCCCCTCGAGACCTTCAAACGGATGCGACTATTTGCACAGAGATACTGTACTTGGGCGTATCTCCCTCTTCCTCGAGGTGATACGATCCAGGCTTTTGGGAAGCAGAGGCGCAGACACCCGATTATGGAGTACGAAGGGGTATCTCGATATCTAGTGAGCATCGCGAACCTAACTTCTACCTGTCCGACATCTAACTGTGGTAGTTCCGCACGACTCTTTGCGGCGATATCGGTATTGGGCAAAGCCATGCCGGAGAGAAGAGAGATACGCTCCTTGGCACTGGACCTGACCTCACATTGATACACCACCCCTTTGTGGATATCCGAGAAGGCCACCTTTTCGGGACTTGCTCGGATGTCCAGAGCCGACCTGAATTTCGACCACACGAACCGCTCTCTGAAGCGCCTTTTGAACCTGGATTTTACTCTTCAGTCCCATTGGATAATGTCACCCGCGTGGAAGTTTTTGAGGACAAGTTGAACCAGTTTTGCAGAGGCATCATCTTCGAGTACGCCACCGGTGCTCAACGAGCCGTCGGGGAGTGTCGGTTTGGCCTTGATCCTGTTGTTACAGTAACGGACCCCTCACACATATGCCTGACAACCTTCCAAGACAATCGCGTTAAAGGGTCCCTGCCATGGACGACAATGAGAGTAAAATTCTCCTCCTCGTCTACACACAGTCATTGCAATGATGAGACAGAGTGGCAATGTTTCATCTTGAAAGGGACGCTAGAGTGTTGGTTCAACCGCTGCCAGGTAAATATTAAGGTCATTACGGATCATGATTGGTGCGAGGGGTAAGGAGGTGAAGACTTTAGCCTCTTTTCAACTCGGGGTCTTGCCTAGTAACGTTATTACTTCATAGTTTTGCCCCCTACAAGGGAATTGATTACTGCGCTTCCAGAGGGGTTATATGCACAGGGTAAATCCAACGAGAAAGCCAGAACTGATCAATAACCTTGTGACGGTCTATAAGAGCATCCGTAGTGCCCAGCTTGTTGAGACTGACACATAACATCCCGAGCTATCCAGGTTTGGAGAACTGCAACAGTGCCGCTCAGTGTGTCTACTAACAGCGCGTTCCTGATTTTATCTGAAAGTGCATGGGATCGCTGACAACTGAGTCTCTCCGAGGACCTGGCTGTCCTGCCCCCCTGTATGGGCCCTCGAAGCGACATCCTAGCCTTGCATGCATCATTGACGACATGGAATTGGAGAACTTTAGGGTGCGCCGCTACGAATGTGTTGGTTAGCATATATTTTTGGTAAAAGGGTAGATTCTCGGTGCCTCCTATAGTACATTCCAGGTCTTGTGAGCTCCCTCTTCTCAATTTCTCACCAACTCTAAAGAAGAACGACTGAAATCCCTTGTGTAGCGCAAGTTTAGTATGTATAGAGTTAAAAGCATGTTAATACTACGGATATGTGAAGCTCTTTTCCGGAGCTAGCGATCGAGGGGTCTTGTCAGTAGGCTCGAAGTTGATAAGGGACGAGGGCCACTCCTTCAAACTTTGAGGCAGAAAACATCCGGTTTGTAAAAGGAAACACGGTCTTTTGAGTCCCGAACGCCTCAGATGAATGGAGTAAAAAGGATCAATATTCCATGGTAGAGAGCGGAAACCTCATTGTCATCGTCGACTGGGAGTTGATCACATTTAACCCTTGCCTCGAACCTATCTTTGTAGCCTGTCTGATCCTATCTCCAACCGTCCAGAGCACCACTCGCAGGGATATACGTTTAGTTTTCCTTAGGTGTGCAGGCATCAAAGACACACGAGAGTATTGTCGTTACTGGCAGCTAATGCCACTGGGATTAGCTGCCTCGGCCAGCAGCTCTGTTCATAAGCACCTGGGGTGTATAATTGGGCATTGAAGTAGAATGTAGGGGGACGACGACCCCAACCAAAGTAACATTAGGCAGTGACTTCCCCTCCTTATCACAGCCAACCGTAGGTCAGGGAAGACAGTAGTCATCATTCGTCCCGGGGTCTGGGATAAGAGTCATCCTGTCTGATATCCTCCGTTTGACCTCTATCACCACACCACCATCGCGCTCAACAGCCAAGGCTTCAACACCATCCTCCACCTCCGTAAAGTGCTTCGAAACCAAGATAATCCGAGAATCCGACCGGCAGATCGTGGGATCATCTTGGCTACCTTTGCACTCCCCGTTTGCTTCCACCTAACTGAGACATTCCACTTTGTTCCGTGTCTCCGCCCTCAGGCGAGGCTTGCGACACAGGCCATGGCCTATTCAACAGAGAGCTCCATCAAGCAGCAACTTGTCGACAAGCTGCCCAAATGCTTGGCCGGCATCAAGTTTGGCATTCAGTAAGTATCCAGTTCCCCGCCCGAATTACATCGACCCGCTTGCTACTATGCTGACCACGGATAATTGCGACAAACAGGTCCAACCAAGATATCGCAAGCCAAGCAGTCGTCGAGGTTTCCAACCACCTGCTCTATGACATCAACAATAATCGTGCCCCCTATTCCAACGGCCCCCTCGACCCTAAACTAGTGAGTTATGCCATGATCCGACTGCCTCCTCTACAACTTTAGGAAACTAACGAGACTCGCTCATCGCTAGGGCGCTTCAAACAAGCTAGGAAAATGTTCCACCTGTCACGAATTGCTTCAGAATTGCAACGGCCATTTCGGATGTGTAAAACTTCCGCTTCCAGTATTTCATGTTGGATATTTTCGTTTCATACGGTCGATTCTCGAAGAAATTTGCAAGGTATGCACTCTGGCTTATTTCCCCTTTCCCCTGGATCGCGAATTAATGTTAACGGACTCTAGGATTGTGGCCGCGTGCTCCTCGAGGAGCATGACCGAAGAGCTTTTCTCAAGGACCTACGACGCCCAGAACTCGACAGTTTCCGTCAATCCCAGACACGCAAGAGAATCAACACACAATGTCGCAAGATCAACGCATGTCCCTACTGTGACTCCATCAACGGCCAAATACGCAAGATCAGTCCCATCAAATTGATTCATGACAAATTCTCTTCTTACAACAAATCCAACTCCGCAAAAAAGGTGCCGCCCGAGAGCAAGATCAAGTTTGACGCATCCTTTGCCGAAGTTCAACGAGAGAATCCCGATATTGAGACACACTTATCCAAGGCCATGGAAGACCTCAATCCTCTACGAGTCCTCAATCTTTTTCAGACTATCAGTGCGACCGACTGTGAGCTTCTCGGCTTTGACCCTGCTGAGGGTCGGCCTGAGATGTTAATCTGGCAATTTCTCCCAGCCCCTCCGGTGTGTATCAGGCCTTCTATTGCACGAGAAAATGCTAGCAATGAGGATGATCTGACAACAAAACTTGCGGAAATCGTGTGGGTTAGTGGTACGATTCGATCAGGGCTACACAAGGGAGCTACCATCCGAACGATTATGGAACAATGGGAATATCTCCAGACTCAAATCGCCATGTACATCAATAGCGACATTCCTGGTCTATCACAAGGTAGCTCTGGAAAGAAAACAGAAACGGGTTTCTGCCAGCGCCTCAAGGGCAAACAAGGGCGCTTCCGCGGTAACCTCTCTGGCAAGCGAGTCGATTTCTCCGGTCGCACTGTTATCTCACCAGACCCCAACTTAGGAATTGACCAAGTGGCTATTCCTCAGCTAGTCGCCAAAACCCTGACTTATCCGGAGAGAGTCCAGCGACATAACATCGACAAACTTCGGAAGCGTGTTGAGAATGGCCCTGATATCTGGCCCGGGGCCCAACATGTCATAAAAAAGGATGACCACGGGGGATACAAAGTTTCCTTGAGGTTTGCCAACAGAAAATCAACAGTACGCGAACTTTCCATTGGAGATATCGTGGAGCGTCATATCGAAGATGACGACATTGTCCTACTTAACCGCCAGCCATCGCTCCACAAGCTAAGTATTATGGGCCACCTTGCCAAGATTCGTCCTTGGAAGACGTTTCGTATCAACGAGTGCGTGTGTGGCCCGTACAATGCTGACTTTGACGGAGATGAGATGAACTTGCATGTTCCTCAGACTGAAGAGGCTCGCGCTGAAGCTATCAGTCTGATGGGGGTTAAGCACAACCTAGTCTCGCCAAGAAATGGAGATCCTATTATTGCGGCCACTCAAGACTTCATCACGTCTGCATTCCTTCTTAGCAGCAAGAACAACTTCTTCGATCGCAAGACATTCGCTTACCTATGTATGCACATGCTTGACGGTCAGACTCAACTCGACCTTCCACCACCGACAATCGTTGCACCAGTGGCACTATGGACAGGCAAACAAATATTCAACGTCCTAATGAGACCCAACAAGCTATCGCCGGTGAAGGTCAACCTCGATGCCAAGTGCAAAAGCTTCAAGTCACACCGGCCACCACGACCATCCCAGTCTGGCCAATATCCTGATATGGATCCTGATGATGGCTGGCTTGTGATTCGGAATTCGGAGGTGATGTGCGGTCAAATGGATAAGCATACGGTTGGATCGGGGAAGAAAGACTCTGTCTTCTGCGTTATTCTGCGCGACTTTGGTCCAGACGAGGCTGTCCTTGCTATGAATCGTCTGGCCAGGCTATGTTCCCGGCAACTTACTAACCGGGGGTTCTCTATTGGCATTGGCGATGTCTGCCCGACAGAGAGTCTGAAGGCAGAGACTGAGAACCTCGTCTCGATCGCATATCAACATTGCGATGATCTCATTGAGAAGTTCAAACAAGGGAAGCTAGCAAAAGCCTCCGGCTGCAATTTAGAACAGACCTTGGAGAATTCTATCTCAGGCATTCTCAGCAAGGTTCGTCAACAAGCCGGCGAGTTCTGCATCGACACACTCAGTCGCAACAATTCGCCACTCATTATGGCCAACTCAGGTTCGAAAGGGTCGAATATCAACGTCGCCCAAATGATTGCTTTAGTTGGCCAACAAATCATTGGTGGTCAACGGGTGCCTAACGGCTTTCAGGATCGAAGCCTACCACATTTCCATAAGAATTCTCGGCAACCTCTTTCTAAAGGCTTTGTGAAGAATAGCTTCTACTCTGGACTTCTCCCTCCTGAATTTCTCTTCCATGCTATCTCTGGCCGAGAAGGCTTGGTCGACACAGCAGTAAAAACTGCAGAGACTGGCTATATTTCACGGAGACTAATCAAGTCTTTGGAGGATGTCTCGGTTCAATATGACGATACAGTCCGGGTGTCTGACGGCACTGTTGTGCAGTTTCAATTTGGGGCTGATAGGCTTGACCCGGTAGATATGGAAGGAGCAACAGGACCGGTTCATCTCCAAAGAACCTGGAATCATGCTGAAACTCTCACATGGGACAACAATGAACCTTCGTTGTGTCCAAGCGAGATTAGGTCGCTTTGTAGCTCTATGCTTGAGAGTGAGCGAAAGCGAGTTTCGCGCAGAGGGCTGCTGCATAACGAAGAGCTAGACTACGAGGACGGTAGTGACTATGCTGTTGATGAGCATGAGAGTGTACGAAGATTCCTGAGGGAGATCGAGAACCATGTCGATAAGTTGGCCTCAAGGCTATCGGAAGTACGGGAGCTGGCTGGATTTCGTGGCGCAGAAATGACCAGGCCAACGGCACAGGATCATATCGACAGAACAGCCAAGGTGTCTAAAACGGCACTACGACTTTTTGTTCGGCTATCCCTCGAAAAACACAAGAGAGCTCGAGTAGAGCCGGGTCATGCCGTTGGTGCGATCGGAGCCCAGTCTATCGGCGAACCAGGCACACAGATGACACTGCAAACCTTCCACTTCGCTGGTGTCGCTGGCATGAGTATCACGCAGGGCGTTCCTCGGATCAGAGAGATTATCAATGCGTCTCAAGTCATCAGCACGCCGGTAATTACTTGTCCATTGCTAAATAACCGGCAAATTGAGGTAGCAAAGGTCGTCAAAGCTCGCATCGAAACAACGCGTTTATCTGACGTCCTCCGTTTTATCGAGGAAGAATGGCGTGCCGAAGAGGGCAATGTCATCATGGGAATTGACGCAGAGGCGCTTGCAAATTTACACTTGGACATCGATATTCACGGCATCGCTCAGGCTATTTGCAGGCAACGGAAACTCAATATCCATCCGAGCCAGATGACAGTCACCGGCGAAAATATAGTCATCAGTATCAAAGATACCGGCAACATGCCTGCAAGAGGCGCCATCAGAAGCGAAATCACGCTCAGGGAACTTCTACCAAGAGCCAACTTCCTTCGTCAAAAGCTTCCATCCACGTCGATCTCTGGCTATCCGGAAGCCACGCGAGCTCTTATTGAGACATCTCAAGATGGTACTCATAGAATCTTAGTTGAGGGCTATGGTCTCCAGGCATGCATGTCAACGGAAGGGGTGAATGGCATCAAAGTTCGTACCAATGATGTGAGAGAATGTTTCCAGGTGCTCGGTATTGAGGCAGCGAGAACCACAATTGCGGATGAGATCAACCAAGTCATGGGGCACATGGGTATTGACACCCGGCACATACAGCTTCTAGCAGATGGCATGACCTACAAAGGGGAGGTTATTGGCATAACACGGTTCGGTCTAGCAAAAATGAGGGATAGCGTGTTGCATCTAGCTTCGTTTGAGAAGACGCCAGATCACTTATTCGCAGCTGCCGGAGGGATGAAAACGGATCGGATCGAGGGAGTCAGTGAGGGCATTATCATGGGTCGACCCATGAGTCTTGGAACTGGTGCATGTCGCATTGTGCGACGTCTTGACATTCGACCAGGCGACTTTTGTCAGAAGGCGGCGTTGTTTGAGGATGCGTGGAGGGCAGAATCAGTATTGAAGAAATAATTCCAAGTGCTGATAGAGTAGGTTGTGCGTTTCATTTTCTAGCAATGGAGCAGATGATTTTTCTTAATGGAAATAGAGGGCGCGAGTGTCCTTAATTCACCGGTACTGTGCCCGTGAGTGTCAAGTTTCGATGTGTGGTGTGGCAGTGTGGTACACTAAAGAGGATGTTAGAATGATCAGAAATACACCTACTCTATACTTGACATCGCAGTATTATAATTTTTAGCCATCGCAGCGTACCTACGAAGAACAAGGAGCTTGGAAATGAGTCAACACATAATGCTTGTGCACAAGATAAGTTGGCCTCATTTGATTCTTAGGTAGCTCAGGCCCGTATTCAGGGTGAAGGATCTGGTTCTTTATGATTTCTACTAACCAACTATTGTTCAACAAGTTGAAAGAGAAAGCTACGATGTGATCGTGGTAAGAATTCCCTAGGTTCAACCATATTTTCTTTCAATAGCACGAGACGAGTGTTAATGCTTTGATAAAATCCAAAACTATCTCTCTAGGACGTTGGGTGGTAAATAGGTTAACCAATGGTCAGAGGCAAAACTTTATCGTTGAAGACGAGGGTTACAAGGATGGACAAATTTCTTAGAGAAGGATGAGGCTGAGGACGTCGCACGTACATTTTCTTAATAAGTCTGAGCTTCCACTGTAAACTTGAGTCTTGGTGTCTGCCTTGCCTAGGTATTCGGATCCTTGTCGAAGCTCCACTTGCGCCAACGATTTAGGGAATAGGCGCAATTGTGTGTTGCTCCGTATATAATATGTATCATATCTGGAGCTCACCTGTCTCAGACGTACTTTACAACTAAACCGGAGCCCGGGACTACGCCACCCACGTAGCCCGCCATGCAGACATCTCACGAACCCACGGATTACCGGCCCCCAGACCGGCGAGTTCTTCTTTTAATCGCCTCCGACGCCTTCCAAGAAGCCCTTGGACTATTTTCAGTGGCATTGCACAAATTGTTGCATATCTCAGCTTGCATCTTGCTCACCATCTTGCTCCTATTTCTGCAGTTTGGTATGCTGGTTCTCCCCTACTATACTCCCGAGATATCCTGGATCGGATCCAATGTGCCTGGTCTTATTGTTCTTTTAATTCTTTCGATAACTTTGTGGTACATCATAAGGTCCTTATTTTCACTCTCATTAAACATGATGCATTCCTTTGCAGTGAAAATAAGGGGTCGCGCGTAAACCAAGAAGTTACCCAAATCATAAATAGATAGACTCGCATGTACATCAGAGCATGGAGACTGCGGCAACGATGAGCCCAAACCCCTGCTAGATCGTGTATTGGATTTGGGTGGCTCCCTAGAGTCCACAATCAGACTGCTTGAGACACGGAACCAGCCGGGATATTACGCATGTCTGAGCCATCGGTGGGGCTTAGCCCAACCTTTACGAATACTCTCTTGGAACAAAGAGACTTTCCAGCAAGGCATCTCGATGGTTATTGCTATCTAAGACCTTCCAGGATGCCGTGTCTACCTGTCAAAAGCTCTCGATCCGCTACCTTTGGATAGATTTGCTTTGTATAGTCCAAGACTCTGACGAGGGGTGGCAACATCAATCATCGAAAATGGCGACGATTTTTGAAAACGCCTGTCTGACCATTGCCGCTACCAAGGCTGCTGGGCAGTGGGCACAACGAAGGCCTGCATTCTATGGAAGAAAAGCTACTTAACTTTTCGGAATTCACCCCTACATCGGAAATACGCGACGAAATCATCGACAAGGGACAAGAGCCCCCAACTATGCCAGAATTTATCCTTTCATCCGAAATAGACCGCTACCTCCTTCCTAAGCAGGAAGAGCCTCCTGGTTTCCTGGAAACTATATCTTCATCTGAAATAGGCCTCGAAGTCTCTCAGAAGACCTACATATGCATTGACCGCCGAGAGATCTTCTGCCATGCTCCGCACTGGGATACCAAAGATCTGGCTGGCGCTGAAGATCATACAAAATGGCCACTTCTTACTCGAGCCTGGGTCTTTCAAGAACGCCTACTATCTCCTAGGATACTTCATTTTATGAATAACCGGCTTAACACCAACGCAGCTTCGAAGTCTCTGGTATGCTACCGTTATGAGATATTCGCAAGTAATGGGGAATCTCACCTACGAAAGTGATATCTTTCCAACCCTATCCGGTCTTGCTAGCCGAATCTCTGCTCTTCTTAAGGATGGTTATATAGCTGGATTATGGCGCAGTAATTTGGTGGAAGGGTTTTCATGGACACATGAAGGAAAACGCAGGCCATTAAATGCCCAACCAAAGCTATGGCGTGCGCCAAGCTGGTCTTGGGCCTCCATGACAGATGGGGTCTTGTATAAACACAGAATCAGTCCAGATGACCTAAAACTCGATAAGATATATGCAACGGTAACAGATGTGGTGTGTATGCCTACAGGCTTGCAAAAGACTGGAACCATCTCGTCTGCAACGCTGACGCTCTCTGGTTGGACATCATGTGCCACCATTAAAAACTACATGAACAGCTAGTACGTCAAGAGTGGACTCGGAAATCATCCAATGCCTCTCCCGACTATGGTTCCCTCGGCCTTGATTTTCGCCATGGCAGTAGCCACGGCATCTTCTTCCCTGATGTTCCGGAAGGCATCAATGATGAAGAAACAGTGGTCTGTTTGAAACTATCAAGGATTGGAGAGACGAACTGGTCCTTGGTCACTGGGAGAGAATTGTCTAGTCCTGGCGACTTTAGGAGACTGGGGCTCTATTCAAGCTCAACCCCGAAGTGGCTTTGGTCGTCACCTGCAAGTTGGCGCCGTCGTGCCAAGGAAAGATACCACGAAGAGAGGCGTACGCTGAAAATCGTGTGAAGCGAGATGATTGTTATTTCTAAAATATATCAGTTTGAAGGTCCAACGCTAATCTTTTGCCTTAACACGCCTGATACCATTTTGAGGTGATAATTCTGGTGGTGGACGTTGGTAGAACATGAGGACGCGGCAGAGTGTCGAAGAATCAGCGCTGGGCGCGGAGGTTCCTCCAGAGTGCGTCTAAGTTACTGCAAAGGCACTCCACCTTGATTAAATTAGTTCTTGGCGTTTCCAAGGCATGCATGCGTGCACCAACGTTACACGTGAGTACTGTCCGTTACTACTTAGACCTGAGAAGCACCTGGTGGGACACAGACTGGTGTTCGAGGTCCTGGCATCAAGTGACACAATGCTATGGCGCGGGACTGCACGAAAGGACCTGTCATATGAGCGAGTCGAGTTGTACTGCGTCACCAAGTTTCCGTGTCGAGGGTTTGTATGTGTGATGGTGTGTTGGTGTCACGGCTGAGGATCAGAGATGACGCATGAGAAGCGCCGAGGACTCGATCCGGTGGTGGTAGGAAAGACCAAATCAGAAACCTCACGCTCGAGACGTCAATATTAGTGTTTTTTTATTCGCTTAGACAGCTTCTGAGTACTAAAGGCCTTGATCATGATGCATCCCACCACCTGTTAAACGACCTGTGATGGAAATAGGGAGCCAACTCTCTGTGCTACAAATAAAGCAATCCGCACAAGTGGCAAAGCACTGTGGGTCAATTGTGATGTTTAGTGACGATCAAACAGGTTAGGGGCAAGATAGCACAATCACGGTCACTACGACAGGCAGCAACAAGGCAAGTTTGTTTTGGTTCGCATGTTGTCAGGTTGTCGCGAGGAATGACGAGATAAGTTACTTGTTTACTCGTGGGGCGGGACGGACACTCCCGCCCGTCGCTAGGCTGTCACCTGGGGCGGCGGTGATAGGCCTCCATTCACTAGCACTGTAGGTGATTGGCGGTTGGCGAGCCGCTGAAGGCCTGAGGGGGCGGGAGAGACTGGCTGTGCAACCAGTGACGACAGCGGAGCATCAGCAACACCAGCGCCAGCCAGTTCATCAGATCCAGCGAATGCCAGCACGGAGGCGTTATTCCTTTTGCTTTTTTGACAGCCTCAGCACGGGGCACATTGGCAGGCACATGGCCACATGGACCAGATGTAACCTCGTCAGAGCCCATCCCGTCGCCATGACGAGCCAGTCAGCCATTCAGGCGAGCCGAGAGACAATGGCTGGGGGTCGGCGAACGCGGAGAGGACCCGCGGACTGGTGATTTGCAGGCGAGCAAGAGCCCAAGCCTCCAGGGTCCCCAGGACATCCCTGGAAAAGGGTCCAGTTTGCCAGTTCTCGGCCGTCAATCGTCATGGCTGGGAACGGGCGGGAGGTTTGGGAGGTCAATAGCCCAAAGGCCGGGCTGTGAGAGGCCGGCGAGCATGGGGCCGTGGACAAGGGCCACAAGGGCCCGGACGGAGCCCCACTGAACCTTCTAGAATGTCGTCCGGCTAAGCGCAACTCCTCGATATTACGAAGTTAGATTGCTGCGCCAGACGGGCCAGCCAGGTGCTTCCCGGATGTTGGCGGGCACTAAACTTAGAAGAGTCGACAGACAGACCAGGCTACGTGCCGTGTTTCTGGGGAGGACAGTGAATGGACAAAGAGATCTGGGAATTGGATGACTGGACTGGTCGTAGTACAGTAGTCGGTCGAGTTGCTAACTTAGTTGCTAGATGTAGACTTGTAGTGTAGTCGGCGCTTCCATCCAACCTCCTCCTCCTCTGTAACTGCATCCTGTCTGTCCATCCAAGTCCTATCGCAGATCAGACACCAACAAGGACACACACAGCGCTCCCACAACAACCACCTAATTAACCACAAACCGCAACAACACTGCCTACCTACTACGTACCTACCCACTGCCCCCTTCCTCTCTCTCAAACATGCTGCCGTCGGCCCAGTAAACAGCGCACCCCGTCCCCTGCTTCATTGGTTCCCATGGCCCTGCGCCTGGCCGTTGGGCGCTGTGGTGGGGGGGTTTGTTCCAGCTCGTCCGGGACCGGTACTGGATACCTGGGCCATGACCAATTCACTGCAGCTCGCGCATGTACCCATGACCGGCCGCAGCCGCCATTTTACCATCTTGTCAGCGCCCCCAGCAAGTCATAATCTCTTCACGCCCACTGTCGTAGCCCAGCCCAGTCCATCAATCACAACTGGTACCCAGCAAGCCCAGGCTGCCAGGAGACCAGCAGACCAGCAGACCAGGAGCAAGGAGCCAGGCTGGCCCAGCCCTTTTTTTCCCTTTTTCCCTTTTTGCGAGAGAGCCTGTGCTAATTGCCCCGGGTTGCTTGTGCTCGTGCTTGTGCCTGTGCCTATGCTTGCTTGTGCAAAGACCCAGCTGATAAATCGTTCACCCAGCCGTCATCAACGACTCCGTTGCCATCTTTTCCCATCCTCTCCTGCGTCTGCAAGTCAACCTTTCTCCCTCCCTTTCCCCTGGTCCATCACTGCCCACCCACCCCTCGACTGCCCCCCCCCCCCGTTAAAAGCCTAACAGCCGGACGACAGTGACTTGTCTCCCCCCCGGCGGCCACTACCACTCCAGCGGCCCCGAAAAAAAAATCGGTTTTTTTTTTAACGCCCGTTTAGGGCATTGAGTCAGTCAGTATCCGGCATAAGCTTGTACGGGATTCCTTCGGCTTCCAGACTCCACGCCGCCTCGCACCTCTTTCGCCCTTCCGCGCGCTTCGACTTTGGCCCAAATGAAGTTCTTCGCCAGCAGCAAGAAACCATCCTCCAAAAACCCCGCCGCCGACCCCAGCGTTGATGACCGCTTGCGCGACGACCTCTTGCAACCCGTCTCGGAGCCCTCGTCCCCCGCGCGGTCGCCGTCCAAGTCGTCGTCTCACCCGTCCAAGCCGTCTAAGAAGTCGACGTCGAGGCCCTCCTCGTACGTAGAGCCCAACAAGGCCTCCTCGCGCTCGTCTCGACTCTCGCGGCACCCGACCGACCCGGGCCGCGCCTCCTCTCGCCGGGCCAAAGTCGACCCCGACACCCATCCCTTGAACCTCCCCCCCGAGGAGCGCAAGCGCCTCTCCGACCTCGCCACCTCCGCCATGAACGGCAACTCCATGGATATCGACCGCGAGCCCGTCAACGGCGCCGCCAGGGCCTCCACCCCGCCCAACTCCAACCCCTCCGCCCAGGCCAACTTCTCCGTCCCCATCCCCAATGGAACCAGCCATGACGAGGCGCCCGCTCCCCCGCCGCACAAGTCCAACCCGTCCAGCCCGACCATCACCCCGCAGGAGGATGCCGAGTCTTACAAGGCTGCCGGCAACCGCTTCTTCAAGGACAAGAACTATGCCAAGGCCATTGAGCAGTACAGCAAAGGTATGCTTTCGACTCTGCGCTGCAACCCCGCCATTTCCCCCCTCCCGCTCTTTGGCCTTGCCTTGCTGACCTGCTATTTTCCCCTCCAGCTGTGGATTTGTTCCCTTTCGAGGCTACATATCTAGGCAACCGGGCTGCTGCTTACATGTCCAATGGTCAGTATGAGTCCGCTCTCGAGGATTGCTCCCGGGCCGCCGACATGGACCCCCAGAACGCCAAGATCTTGCTGCGACTGGCCCGTATCTACACCGGCTTGGGACGCCCCGAGGAGGCCATGACGACCTTTGGCCGCATCAACCCCCAGCCTTCTGCCAAGGATATGGCCCCGGCCAAGGAGATGCTGCACCACATCGAATCTGCACGACAGACCCTTAACCGGGGCTCCGCCATGTCCATGGTTCTCCACGCTTTGGACCTTGCTGAGCGTGGACTCGGCCCCAGCGTCGGCAAGCCCCGCAAGTGGCAGCTTATGCGCGGCGAGGCCTACCTTAAGATGGGTAGTGAGAACGCTCTCGGCGAAGCCCAAAACATCGCCATGACCTTGATCCGCAACAACAACCAGGACCCCGAGGCCCTGGTTCTTCGTGGCCGGGTGCTCTACGGACAGGGTGAGAACGATAAGGCCATTCAGTTCTTCCGTATGGCTATCAACTGTGATCCTGACTACCGGGATGCTGTTAAGTGGCTGAGGATTGTCCAGAAGCTTGACCGCATGAAGGAGGAGGGCAACGTTGAATTCAAAGCTGGCCGCCTGCCGCAAGCCATCCAAAAGTACACCGAGGCTCTGGAGATCGACCCCTCCAACAAGAACATGAACGCCAAGCTGCTGCAGAACCGAGCCCAGTGCCGGATTAAGCTGAAGGAGTACGACGAGGCTATTGGGGACTGCGATCGTGCTATCCGCCTAGACTCCAGCTACATGAAGGTCCGAAAGACCAAGGCCAACGCTATCGGCCTGGCTGGCAGATGGGAGGATGCTGTCAAGGAGTGGAAGTCCATCCACGAGATGGATCCCGAGGACCGCACCGTCATGAAAGAAATCCGCAAGGCCGAACTCGAGCTTAAGAAGTCCCAACGAAAGGACTACTACAAGATTATGGGTCTGGAGAAGTCGGCTGATGCCAATGATATTAAGAAGGCCTATCGCAAGATGGCTATCAAGCTGCATCCCGACAAGAACCCAGATGACCCACACGCCGAGGACAAGTTCAAGGACATGCAGGAGGCGTACGAGACCTTGAGCGACCCTGAGTAAGTCATTCCTCGGCCGTCGAGAGCGAATTAGTGCTAATTAAGTTTGCAGGAAGCGAGCTCGCTATGACAGTGGCGAGGACCTTGTTGACCCCAACGATATGTTCGGTGGCGGCGGCATGGGTGGAGGCATGGGCGGCATCGACCCTGAGATCCTCTTCAGCATGATGGGTAACCAGGGCGGCTTCGGCGGAGGTGGCTTCAGAAGCGCCGGTGGCTTCCCAGGCGGCGGCGGTGCCAGCTTCAACTTCGGCGGTGGTGGTGGTCAACAGCGCGGCGGCTTCCCCCCTGGTGGCTTCAACTTCTCGTGACAACCCGACTCCGATGAAGACTCCGATGAAGACGAAGAAGACGAATGGGATGACGAAGAAGATGAAGATGACGGGGACGAAGAGTACGTGGCCGCCTCTGCCAACGAGGGCTCTTGGTCACGGACCGTTCCCGGTAGCAAACTGCGAGATCAGGTCGAGCAGCGCCGTGAAACGCGCCATCGGCTGGTGGATACTGTCCGGCGATATGGCACGGTGGTCCTGGCGGCAGCTGTCCTCCTTCCGGCGCAACTGGCGCTTCTGGCTCTGGTGGGGATCGCATTTGTATACTTATGCATGAGACACGTCTGGCCTCTCGGCAGGAGCAAAATGCCGACGGGATAGAGGTGCGGGACACACTTACAACACTCATAAAATACCACATTGCCGGGGCGTTTTTGGGGGACTAGAGAACGAAAGAGACACGTACAAGGAGAAAGGGAACACAATTGGGCACAAGGCACAGGCTCTCCCAGCCGGGTTGACAATCTGAATGGGGTTTTCAGGAGGAGAGCCTGCTTTTTAGGCGGACACTTAACTTATAGAGCGGTTCCGTGGTGGAGTATATCGCAGGCATGCATGTAGGTTGTCAAGATAATAGAGGATTTCCTGAACAATTACTAGTCTTGGTCCGTCTGCTTGGAGATAAAAAGTTTTCGCTTCGGTGACTCTGCCATCTCTTAACTCTCTACGTCGCAGAAGGTTTGACCAGGCTATATGAGCAGGGTATTGCTTCCAAGTGACTGAATCAAACTGCTTTTGGGTATCTTGCCGACAGACGCCGCCTCTGCGAGGAGGTTCAACAGCACCACTCCTGGCGGTCCATGCTCGCAACGCGAGCGGCGCAATGGCTTTAGTCATGGCATCATTATTTTGTGTCTTTCATCCGAACCCTGTTCAACCCGAAGACATTCCAGCCGCCGAGCCAGCGTCCGCGCCAGCAGGCCCAGGCGCACCGCCATTCCGTTGCTCCGCGGCGCGGCCGGAGGTTGCCCCGCCGGTAGCCTCTACGACGTGGGCGATGTCCTCGCGCAGCTCCGGCATGGCGGCGGCCATCTGCTCGGCGAGGACGTCGCGGAAGGATCCAAAGGCGTTGAGCTTGCCGCGCATGAGCTGGTTGCCGCGGCGGACGAGCTCGACGAACTCGCGCGTGTAGATGTCCGGGTTACGGCCGTTCTCGACGTACTCGAGCAGCTCGGGCGGGATCGACGGGAGGTTGTTGGGCGGCGAGGCGGACGTGTGGAGGATCTGGAGGGAGCGGGAGAGGGTTTTGCTGGGGCGCGTGGTGTTAGCGGTGTGCAGGCAATTACAGGATCGGCAATGGCAGGAACATACATCTCGTTGGTCAGGACATCTCTGCTGGAGCGGCCCATGGAGTCGTACGTGGAGACCTGGACCATGACCTGGTAGAGGTCCTGGATGATGTCTTTGAGTTGCTCTGGAGGAACGAGGCCGGTCAGTACGGAGAGCGCAAAGGCAGCTGCGGGAGAGCAGGAAACGCACGCTCGAGCTCATTGTGGTCGACGTGATCTACGGGCGCCATGGCGGGCAAGACTTCTCGGTGATTGAGGCGCGGCGGCGACGGTTTTGCTGCGTTGGACGATGCGGCGGGATTGGATTGACGTTGGCGCAGGGCTGCGAGGCTGAAAGCTGCGAGCATGTGGTAAGGTGGGGCAGATCGGGGGATGGTGGTCTGTGCATTGGCATCTCCATTATCTCCATGTTTCTCACGTCCTCAAGTTGGGTTGAGAGATTCACTCACTCCGGGTCTAACCAAGTATGAACGCCATGTAGACCTAAAAGAAATATTGCAGAATTTCAAGGCATCTTTTACTATATCACGAATGGCTATTCTTAAAGCCTTGAGTCTGAAAATCATGAATGCTCGGCTGTCTGTTACTTTACCTAGCCTAGGACTCTGGGAGTAATGCTTGTCGCAGACGTTCACATGCACGCGGACCTGGCTCAATCCAAAAGATGGTTATCCGCAACACACCGGCTAGGACTATTTGTGAAGAGGAATCTACTGCTCCAATAAGTTTAATGTTGAGCATTTATCCCGATCAAACCCAATTTTACTACGTTTATTAAGTTAGATTTAGTAACAAGAGTAGAGCCTGAGAACACGCCCCTACCTGGACAGAGATGGTCGTCGTCCGAGAATCGTTCAACGCCAAGCCAGAGATATAGAAAATACACAGTAAAACAGTATGGTTATGTGTCCAGTCCCACATTATTTACAGATAGCTAAGTTCTGAACACTTACCATCTGCCTTCTCATTCTGCCTTGTCGCTGGGCCGGGGCTCTTAATGTGTATTTGTGCCTAATCCAGCCACATTTCCCACACAGCCTCAATGTGCTTCAACAAGGCTCTGCTTATTGTGCAAGAATACAAGGCACACGACTGAGAGAAGCCGCCAGTCAGCCCTGCCCCCCTCTTTGCATTACCCGTGCCCCGCTGCGTTTTGCTTTCCTGAGTTTGTGACCTTTCCCTTACCACCTTCTCACCATTCCTACATGAATCTTCTTATGCTTTTCGCGTCCCTCCAGCGCAAAGCTGACTTTCTGAACTACTTGTACTTGTTGGTTTAAAACCGTGCTCTACGGCCCCATCAGCCCATGATGGATCCTCTCCGTGCGGGCGCAAGTGTCGTGGACTTTCTCAAGGTTGCCCTGACATCCGCCAAGACCATTCATGATGTGCTATCGGCAATAAAAGACGGCCCTGAGGGCGTGGAGAGACTCACCAACGAGGTCGCGCAGCTACAGCACATCCTAGAACGTCTCAGTCAGATCCCATTCGGAAATGCAACCGACGTCGCTGAAATGGCAGACCTGGCAAGAAAATGCGCCAACGACGTCGCTGTTTTTGAGTCGAGGCTACAGCGTCTACAGCTCTCTGGTGCCGACTGTCGCAGGGCCCGATTCCGGAGGAGGATCCAGATTACTTTTAGCGACAAGGACTTGGAACAGATGCGAGATGTCATCCGAGCACATGTGTTGATGCTCAACTTCCGCCTCAACCTCGTCCAGACCACGCAGCTCTCCCTATCAACAACACAGTCCTCAGAAATCCTTGGCCTTTTGCAGCAGCTCAAGGGCGATGTGGCCGCCTTGCATCAGTCTAGAGCATCGGGGAACGACCAACCCGCAGCCCCTGCACACTCGCATGCGATGGAGGTTGATGACGAGGCCTCAGTGCCCCCTTCAACTGACGACACAGCGCTCGACGAAAGCATCTCCCGATTGACAAAACTAGTGGCAGAGAAAGAATGCACCGTTGACTCTGAGGATGCAGAGCAACTCATCCAAGACCTTGAAACCCTTCTAGCGTCTGCTCAAAGGAATGAGATTGAGTCGAGCCATGAAGTAACACCAGACCATCCTACAAGCGATCACAGTGAGGGAGAAGCCGTCTGGAAAGAGTTGAAGCTCGTCAACAACTTGATCTCATCGGCCCCATCTTTAACCATCAATCGGAACGGTAAGACAGATCTACCTAAACCGTCATGGATCGGGAAGCTTACTCTACATAGCTCAATTAGGGGTCATCTCTAACGTTCCGCAAGGGACCATAATTGAGCAAACCCGAAAGCGCAAAGAAATTGATCTCAGTAACGGTGTGCTTAGTATTTCAACTGTAAAGCGACGGCGCAGATACTTGGGCAATCGAAATAACAACGACGACAACAAAGGTAGCAAGGACTTCGTTGCTAAACTCGTCTTCAAGCCGAACAACGCTCATGCCATGATCGCGGTTTCCGTGAATCAAGGTCAAGTGCTTTTCGATAGCTTCATCAGCATGGCACCACGCGTTTCTGCCATTAACATTCTCCCCAAGGATTCATTAGTTTTCCAGCTCGCTGCCGGTGGCAAAGTCCAGGATTTGATGGCTTTGGTTGCTGAAGGGAAGGCAAGCCTTCGCGACCACGATACGGAAGGATGGTCCTTACTTCATGTGAGTAGTCGTAGTCGCTCAACTAATCCCATGAGTAAAAAGACCAAAATTGGCTCACGCCTCACTAACTTCCCAAAAGCATGCGATTCGGCATCCCACTATGTGCAAGTTCTTGATTCAAAACGGCTTGGACGTAGATGAGATCGCATTCAAAACTTGGAACGGAAGGGCCTTGGAGTTGTACGTCTCTATTCTCTGAATCAAAGCCTCAATCTCAAGAAAGACATTTTAATCACAAAATGGAAATCAGTACACCTCTACATTTCCTCAACGACATTCTCCACGAAACAGGTCGAGTACTGTTGGAGGCTGGTGCAGACCCGACCATATTAGTTCGAGGTAACCCGAGCGCTGTCAACAAGTTCGCAGAACTTCAGGATTTTTCAGCAAGTATTTCCCGCGCCAAAATAGTGTTGCATGGTCCTAACCATCGACTACCACTAAGCCTGAATCTATTCTTCGACAAATCTTTACTCTGTGCCATTACTTCGAGATCACCAGTCCGGTAGATCATATGGAAACAACTCCATTTTTAATGGCTTGCTCCCCGCCTTCAAGGATGTCTGGATCCTTTGATCCACAACAACACATCCAAAATCTTGCCTTCATGCTGGATAGGGGCTGCAGCATAAACGCTACTGACAAATACGAGCTCACTTGTTTACACAGCTTCTTTCTCTACCAGGATGCCTGGGATCTTGGGCATGACTGGAAGGAGGTGTTGATCTACCTGATACGCCGGGGAGCAGATGTTCATGCTGTGAGTGCTGAAGGTTGGTCTGTCTCAGCAATGGCCTATGGCGAAGCATGCAAGAAGAACTGCCCTATCAGGAAGGATTTTGGGTCATACTTTGGTGACCTTTGGGACGTCCTGCTTGATACTTGTGGCTACGAGATCATAGAGTTCAGGAAAAGCTATCCTCGGAAAGCACAATATGTCGAAATCTATTCGCGACAAGATTTCGAGCTCCTCTGGGAGGGTCGTGAACATCGGTGTCCCTATTGGGACGATGAAATATGGCCTGACATTGAGCACGATGTTGAAAAAGGAAATCAAAATAACCCAAAAGCGAAGGATATGTGCGCACGATGGCATCATTATGAAGAACCCATCGATGATGGCTCTACGACTGATGGCTGCAGTGGCTCCCCTGATGGCGCCCAAGAATATGGTAGCGACGATGACATCCAGGCACTCTCTGCTGCTGAAGTCGATTCCGGTTCAACATCATCTAATGGGGAAATGTCTTACGCCTTTGGATATGCCAACGACCACGACATCCAGGCACTCCCGGTTTCCGGTTCCGATTCAACATCGTCGAATGGCGAACTTTTTTATGTGCCGCACCAAGTTAACTCCGCAGATTCCAACTCAGGCCATCGTCACGAAATGGTCTCTGATCATCTTCGCCCGGTGATCTCGCCCAGGATTGAAAACTATACACGCGCAAGAGAATCCTCAGAGCGGGTAGACAATTACCACCGCGAAGTTTCGGCCTCCCAGAACGACGAGTTGTTTGATAACCCTTGGAGCGAGTACCGGTCACACGGCTTTGTTTGACACGGAAGGCCATTAGCCATAAGTCATTGTTGTCTGTATAGAGTCAGTGAGTTGTTAAGTAGAAGTATCGCGCAGGTATGTGGCGAGGTGGGGGCCTTGCTTGAAGCCGGCACCCCAACGTCAGTAGTAAAAGAATAGGGGCTAAAGAAGAATTCCTGGTTTAAATAACGAAAAAAAAGAATGATCTCTTTCGATTTACAATGGTGCCATCGCCACTCAGCAAACAAATGCGTCGGCAGCTATTTACACACGGACTGTAACCGGACAAATGGATCAAACCGTGAGGCCGGGAAGAGGGCTCATTTCATTTAGAGCAATTTACAAGCATAAGTACAGGCTTCAATCTTAAAGATAATTGCTATTCAGTCTAGCTTGATAACTACTTGAGATTATTGGGGGTGTATGCACTAAGACTAAGGGCGACAAAAATGACATTTCCTAACTGATAAAGTGCTACATCAAGTGTATTATTAATGAATATAGGTTTAAGGCCTAAGAATATGCCCTTCGACTATATCTACTAAGCATATTAGTTGTGTGAAGTTTAACTCAAGAGACTTATACCTGTGTCCAAATCGCAATACTCTTCATATCACATCATTCGCCGAAGTATTCAGTATACAGTGCAAATCCCCACCCAGTCAAAAGAGCAAACTTGAGTTGGCTGATACTATCAGACAAAAGATGGATTGGTTGAGACAGCTTTTGTGACGATGGATGATCTGGTCTTTTTGGTATAGGAAGCAGAAAAGGTAGCTATTCTTCCCTAGGGATCTGACTGACCCCGGTGCCCTTGATCCGATGCCGGATGCCCTTGATCTGATGATGCCTTCAATAGCCGACGATCTAAGTTGTTGAGAGTTATCTAGGTTACTGAGTTTAATCTAGGTTGTCGAGGTTAATCTAGGTTGTTGAGGGCATCTAGGTTCAAAGGAAACCACGGTACGGATCCGGTCCTATAAGTAGGTTCAAAGTCTCTATCTAAGTTCTAAGGAAACCACGGTACAGATCCGGTCCTATGCAAAGCTGACTTTTCCCATCAGGCTGTCTAACAGATACATAGTCTGGTGCCGGGGCAAATGTGACAAATGAAGACGATCAAGTGGAATACTTGTCATCAGCAGTGATGAGGAGCCCTCGGCGACTTTCCATCCTGGCAGGCGGACATCAGGCGAACCACTTCAGTCTCACGACATCCTCACTCTGCAGGCTTAGTTCAAGGCAACCGACACGCCATCCGGGTCAGCAATAATTGGTCTTCGGAAGACCGAGAAGCAGGCAGGATTTTCACGTAAGCGGCGCAATTGAGCATGATAAACGCCTGATGTTTTCCCCGGACAAATTCGAGAACCACCAGTCAAACACCAGCGAGGAAACCTTTCGCCTTGGCACGCCGCCGAGACTCCGACCCCCGCCCTGCGCGATGACTTCATCTTACAACCTCCCGCCGGGCCGTGGGACTTTTTACGAGGTCGCATGGTGCGAACCATGTAGATCATCCGAGCCGGTGTGTGAGGGGCCAAGCCGGATCTCCAGACCAGGCTAATAGCTTGCATGTTGTACGAGGCGTCAGTGGTGCGACTTGAGAAGCACATCATGAGTCACGGCGTCAAGAAATCCAACATCTCGAAACTCTCTATCCGTATTTTCAAGCAGTTTCCAATTGACTAACTAGCCTGTTGTTTCTCCTCCATCCGCAGACGACAACCCCAATGTCGTCAAAAATAAGGTTAATAGATATGTACAATAGAATTAAGTGGGAAAACCCCTCCACCTCGCGGTAGAATTAGAAGTAGAACCACCATGCACGACAGAGAGCCGTCGCGATGACGATGCTCCCCGGGCGGTGGCATTAAACCCTCCCCTGTATATCCAAAGCACAGCACAAGTGTGCAGCTCGTCCCATGGTCCCAGGGACGAGCACCCTATATCCTGTCCCAGAAAAAAAAACATCAGGTCGTTAAAGGAGTGTAGTGTCGTTGCCAAGCTAGGCTTGTCTGCCGGTGCGAAGCCGGTGCTTCATTAAAGACATGTCCCTTTTCCTGGACAGCCATTCGTCCAATTGGGGCTGAAAGAAGTGAAAGGCCCTCTGTGTAGCGGGCTTACAGGAGCGCCAGAGCACCAACAACACCAGCCATGAGCGCAAATGCGGGCTGGTTGGCGGCAGCAGCGCCAGTGGGAATGACGGGAGCGGAGGTAGGAGTACCAGCAGCCTCCGAAGTGACGACGACCGGGGGCTTGGTAACTACCGAAGTCTCGGCAACCGCGACGGTGGTCTGAGGGACGACAGTCTCGACAACAGTACCGCCGCCAACGGTGTAGATAACCTTGGAGTACTGGGTGTAGACCTCAACGCCGGTAGCGGTCTGGTAGATGGTCTTGACCTCATTGATGGTCGTCTTCACCTTGGACACGAGGTACTCAGTGGAAGTGTAAACCTTGGTGATAACCTCGCCGTTGACGGTCTTGGTTTCCGTCACAGGGCACAGGCTGATCGAGGTGACGTAGGCAACATCAACTTCGGTCTTGGTGGTGTCGGGAGCCTTGACGTGCTCGTAGACAGTCGTCTTGATGGCCTCCTTTACAACTGAGGTAGTCGTGTAAACAACTGTGATTTCCTTGCCCTCAATTGTCTTTGTCTCCGTGACGGGGCAGACAGTCGTATAAGTGGAATACTCGACAGCAGTCTCAGTCTCAACCTCGCCAGGCTTAGTGTAGTAGGCATAGGCGGTGGTCTTGACGGCCTCGGTGACCACGGAAGTGGTGGTGTAGACAATAGTAGTTGGCTTGCCTTCAACATACTTGGTTTCCGTCACAGGGCAGACGGTCGTATAGGTAGAGTACTCGACGTCAACGGCTGTCTTTGTCTCGCCAGGCTTAGTGTGGTAGTTGTAGGCAGTAGACTTGACAGCCTCTGTAACCACGGAAGTGGTGGTGTAAACGATGGTAGTTGGCTTGCCTTCGATATACTTGGTCTCCGTCACAGGGCAAACGGTAGTGTAAGTGGAGTATTCGACAGCAGTCTCAATCTCTGTGTTACCGGGCTTGGTGTGATACTCATAGGCGGTGGTCTTGACAGCCTCGGTGACAACGGAGGTGGTGGTATAAACGACAGTGGTCGGCTTGCCCTCAATCGTCTTGGTCTCCGTGACGGGACAGACAGTAGTGTAGGTAGTATACTCAACAGCGGTCTCAGTCTCTGTGTTGCCAGGCTTGGTATAATAGTCATAAGCAGTGCTCTTGACAGCCTCGGTGACAGTAGAAGTGGTGGTATAAACGACAGTAGTCGGCTTGCCCTCAATCGTCTTGGTCTCCGTGACGGGACAGACAGTGGTGTAAGTAGTATACTCAACAGCAGTCTCAGTCTCTGTGTTACCGGGCTTGGTGTGGTACTCATAGTCGGTGGTCTTGACAGCCTCTGTGACAGTGGAAGTGGTGGTGTAAACGACAGTGACTTCCTTGCCTTCGACGTACTTGGTCTCCGTCACAGGGCAGACGGTAGTGTAAGTGGTGTACTCAACATCATGTTCGGTCTTGGTGACATCGGGTCCCTGGACAGTAGTGACGCCGCAGCCATAACAGTCAGTGACGACGATAGTCGAGGTGGTGAGTTCCGTGACGCAGTAGGTGCTGCTCAGATGTTAGTCCATGTTCGTCCTCATATCTGAAGAGGCATGTGTGCAACTTACGTTCCCTCCTTGGTGTAGGTTGAAGTGACTGGGCAGGTAGTCACCGTGGTATACGTAGTCAAGGTCTTGGTTCCGCCATGACCTCCGCCATGATCTCCCCCATAATAGCCATCTCCTCTTTCCTGGACCTCGTTGGCCAAGGCCGAGGTTGCCAGAAGCAACAGGGAAGCGCCGAACTTCATTGTGAATGTGGCTGAGTAATCTCGGTGAGATTGGGTGAAACGAGAGCAAACCGTGAAGCAAGGAATTATATCGGTGAGCGAAGGGATTAAGTAACCTGAACGAAGGAGTTACTCAAGGGTACAGGGCCGGTCTGGTGTTGGCCGGGAGAAGGAGGTTGGTGGTAATGCAGGAGGTGAAAGAACAAAGGATCCCAGGTTCCGAGGGGGTTGGAGGCACGCTTATATTTGTAGCTGCTTGAACTGGGTGGTCATCTGGGAGAAGAGGGACGGACCAGACCATGACACGGCCATGTCGGTCCAACAGACGGCTTCATTTTCACCCCACCTCGGGTTGCATTAGACTACTAGGCCCATGCGGAGAAAGAAGCAACAGCGAGGGGGTGGAGTTCTGCAAAGCTGTGATACGACAACAGAGGTCCAACCCTACTCGAAGAGGTTGAGGGATGTGGCTGCGGCTAACTGGAGCAACGACATGGCGCATGGGAGGGTGGATGCATTGACGTCGGGCAAGGATTCGGTGAACGAGCGATTAGGCGGTTAGACTCAGTTCAGCCAGCCCGTCTGGGGTGGGAAAGACGTGATGTCAGGATTATGCACGGAGCTCGGCGACTTGAATTCAATCATGGACTCATATCCAAGAGGCTGGAGGGGGTGCGGCTGGCCGCGCAAGGTTTCGAGGCTTCATCCTGGGCTGGCGGATCTGCAATAGCAGGGCCGAAAGTCCGACTCCCTGGAGCTCAACAAACCCCTCTATGACATCGACGGGCCCGGCAAGGCTCAGGTGGTGCTAGGCCGGGGCCATAGAAGCCATCGGAACTTGTTGCACTCGTATTCTAGACCGGTAGCGGACGGACGGGTGGGAGATGGCAGGAGAACGACGTGGGAACGAGGTGACAGAGTAAGACATCGAGTCACTTTGCCATGTGCATCATGGCCTTACATAACGTGATAGGATGGAAAGTAAGATTATGGACGGCTTGAACCTGGCCTATTGTTGCACCTGTAGATGCATAAGTGGTGGATGCCCAGGTACGCAAATCGAAGCAAAAGGAAATACGGGAAAAAACAACCCAAGTCGGGCACCGAATCAGGATGACAGTTAGAACGGCTCGAAAATCCAGGATCAGCATGCCTCGGTGAGTGCCTGCTTCGGATCATTGCCAGGCAGAGGGCCAGTTGGCAAGGCCTTGGCTAGGCTTGCTAGAACCGAGCATGATGGATGAGTGGTTTGTTGATGCGGTATGCAGGTTGGATTAACCAGACCCAACCAAACCGTTCTGTAGGATGCACCAAGCATCCAACACCAGTCATCAGCCCCAACATGAGCACTTTTCCGAGTCCATCAAGTCAGAAAGTCGGCGGTGGGAGCCCAAAAGCCCGAGAGCCCGGACCCAAGATACGTGGGAGTCTTCTACGCCACAGCAAAGAAGCAAGGGAGCAAGGGATGGCGCATAAACCTGCTGTTATTGATACCATGACAGCTAGCCAGGGGAGCGTACAGTAGCTACCTGGCATCCTGTGCTGTACAGTACAGCGGCAAGGCGGCCGGGCGTGAGCAGTGAGGCGTTTTGTTTTGCCAATGGCACTTTGCTCGGGTCGGTTAGTCGATCGCCATCCCAGCAGTCGCCAATCGACGATTGCCCTCGATGGCCAACGCCTAGGTCCAGTTTAGGTGCCGAGTGGAGCGCGTGACAACGGTGCCATGGTTTCGGAGGGGTGGAGATCGCATGCAGAGCCATGTAGGAACGGGGACGAAAGCGGAGATCCACGTTGTGATGCCACGGCCGGACGAGACTTGGCAGTCGGCTTCATGGGCCGATGATGTGAGAAAGGCGGAGGCGGTCGGGACTTGGTTCTATGAGCTGGCTTGCGAATGGGTCGACGGGGCAGGGCGGAGAACTCTGTCGCCTCGATTCAAACCCGAGCACATTATTGCTTGCCCTGCCATGCCGATGTTGTGCAAGCACTTGCTTGTCTTTGTGTCGGGCAACGCTTGATGGCGGGAGAGTTCTCTAGCTTCCTTTCATGGCTTGAGCGATGTTAGGTCAGATAATGGCACAAGTGTGGCTCAAGCAAAGAAGAAGAAGAAACACAGTAACGGAGAGCCGATGCGGGCGCTCTCACGGCATATTCGCGGAATCCAGCCCAAGCTCCCCAGGGCCAGGATGACAAGAATTACGAGGTCGCGGTAGGTGCAGCCAATGGGCGTAGACGAAGTGCAAGCATCGGGACACTGCAGGACTCGGCGTCTGGCCTAGCACAGCAGCAGTGCAGCCACCACGCGCTGTGCGTTGCTCTGTGTATGCATGCTTCTGTGGGAGCCTGTTTTCGGAGCCGGGATCTGCAGGTGGTCAGGGGATCCCGGGGCAAGCGAGGAGTCGTCGGGGCGCCGTCCGTGGGCTCCGGGACCTAGGTCGGGCGAGGCAGAGGAAGAGAGACAGGCTGCGATCCGTAATCTGGGCTAACGGTTCGAAGGCGGCTGAGAGGGTGATGGTGGCGTGTCGTCAGGTCGCAACCAACAGCTGCCACAACAGGCAAATGTCGGGTGCCCAGCGACGAGATGGTGAGGTGGGGAGCTGTGGTGCGAGGAGGGAAAAGAATGGGTTGGTGTTGAATACGAGGGAATGCAGCCTCAAGGGTGGCAGCTAGGGATTGACTTTTTCCTGGGATACGGGACGTTGTAGTTGGGATGTAGGTGGTTGGATCATGGTGGATGGCCCGTGGTGGTTGGGTCACGGCGGCGGCTCTCAGGGCCTGAGGAATCAGGAATTCGCCCTGGCGAAGCAGGACACCGCAGCGACTTGCAGCGACTTGCAGCGGGAAGGTCACCCATCTTTCTCACTCGGCGCACAAAAGATACCTGGTCGCCCAGGCAGCCAACGGCGTGTTACCGCCCCTCGGTTGCACAGCGCTGCGGATTGGAGGGTGGGTGGGATTGGAGCTGGGTCGTCGAGCTGCAGATGCGATGCGATGGCTGGTGTTAGTGTGGGCGAATATGTGTGTGTGTGGGTGAGTGAGATATGGGGTTGTTTTTTTTCCGTGAGAATGACATCAAGACTTGACCAGCGGCAGCGGGGCAACTGCTCCAAGCGAAGAAGCATTTAGCATGACTTGTCGATGACCCATGATGACAGAACGGGTTCGTGTGCCCAAGGTAGAAGCAAGAATAAGCCCGAACGGCCAGATAGAGGAGATGAATGCGCTGTTGCTTTGTTGGATGTGATGCTACTCGCTGTCACTGCCGTGTGTCTGTGCCCGCCAGCCACCTTTCCCACCTCTCCACCGGGCTTGTTGCAGGGCCCAGCCACAAGGTCCTTGAATTCCGTCGCTTGCAGAGTTGCAGTCACAGTCCGACTGCAGGATGGGCGAAGCCGGCGTCCACACAAAAGAAAGCATCCCGGAAAATCTAGTTGGGGGGCAAAATGCGTGTTACAGGGAGAGACAAGTCAGGTTGAGAGGGAGAGGCGAGATCCCGTGCTACCCGGTCCGTCGCCTGGCAGTCCCTGACAGTGGGTTTTCAGCTGTGTACTGATATTCAATTCCCTTCTCTTTGTCCACTCTCTTCGTCTCTTGGTCTCTTTTTCACATCCCATCTCATCTCTTCCCGTTTCCATCACTTTGAAATCTCATCGATGGGATGGATCCTATGAATAGAAACCTTAGTGCCCACCCCCACCAACACACGTGTGAGTGCACCGCTGGCTGCTAGGGCATAACGCCTTGTCCCCAGCGCTAGCCTCCCCGGGCTTAGCTGAGCGATTGCCGTGTCTTTGCCCCTGAAAGCCACTGGCCCCTCAGGCCCCTTACAGCGGCTTTTAGGCTATGATGCCTCTGACGTGCTTTTGGGCCGCTTTAGACCGTGGCCATAATGGAGGCGTGTGCGTACCCAGAAAGCACGGAGAGTGTCCCATGGTCCCCGTCTGCCGGTCAACTGGCTGGCTTCTCTCCACCTCAATCCGCAATCCGAATGAACAAGTCCATTTCCGTCGAATAAGAACAATTCATAAGCCGTGGCGGTAACCATACTCCCATGCTTAATGCCACCAATATCAGCACAATGTATTAGCATCAGCTCGGAATTCTTGGCTTAAGCCCGCTCCGCGTATCGACCAAGAGAATTGGACCCTTCCACCCCCTCCTCCACTCACTGATCGCCAATACGACCAGCCATGAGCATGCACCCTAGATTCTAGACTCAGTCCATTACCAATGATATCCCCGGCGTGTCCGAGCGTCGGATGTCGCCTTTCTCGTATTGCCTCCCTATTCATTCTCCCGTCATGAGGCTTTTGACCTCGTCACGAGTCGGATGGGCAACCGATGGCCGGCCCGTAATCTAGTCCCCGGGAGCTGAAGAGCAAGGCACTCTGTTGTGCAGGGTAACATGAAACTTACTCTCTTCAGAGCCAACCTACCTCTCAATTCCTGGGGATCCAGTGTTCAAACCACGTCAAAGAGTTTTGCTGGCGTCGTATTGCATTAGCCGTTTGATACCCGCAGGCGCGCCAAAGTCTCACTGCAGCTCCAATCTTAAAAGGTGAGTTCGAATATCCATCACCTCGAAGTAGCATGTTCAGCTTGTAAGCCTCACCTGATGCTGTGACTCTCAACAATCGTGAACTGGGTGAGAAATTGGTTCATGTCCCAAGCCAGTGAATGATCATAACAGTTGCCTGTGTGGTTCATTGCTGCTTCTCGGGTGTATCAAACTCGTTTGCATTGACTGTGGAATGTCTGGCCTTTCATGATTTCCAGCTAGACATCAACTCTTTGCCGTTGTTGGCCAAACCATCACGTCTTTCAGATCTTACGGTCGCGATGTGTCGTCCGAATTGGCCTCGGGTACCGGCCCACTTGAGCTTTGCTAAAGGAGACATTTGTCAACTTCTTTAACCAAACTATTATGTCGAACCTACGTATTAGTACTCTAATGGATTGGACACACAATGCACAATTGTGTGATTTAAGTCGTTCCAATAGGGCTTTTATGCCATACCGTCAATGGTAAGGTTGGTCAAATTTCCAGGATTTAAACCGTAGACAGATGGAGCTCAGATAACGGATCCTTGAGAACTGTTCATTATTCAAGTATGACTGCTTTTACTGATTTTCCCCAACCAGGCCTTGTAGCCAGCCATGTATACGATTCCTTACATCCCAGTGACATGGCATTCCCTTGGTCTCTGTATCCTTCAAAACCCAAAGTCTGGGAACTTAAACTCCGACCCTCCGGCGCTCTAAGCCTTGAGGATCTGAGCCAGCTCCTTGACAACAGCGTCGCCCACCTCCTTAGTGCTGGCGTTGCCGCCCAAGTCCTTGCTGCGCAGCCCACCATCGAGGGCAGCCCGCACAGCCTCCTCGACTGCCTTGGCCTCGACGTGGAGGTTGAGGGAGTAGCGCAAGAGCATGGCCACGGATAGGATCGTGCCGATGGGGTTGACGATGCCCTGGCCGGAGATATCGGGGGCAGAGCCTGTATTGATAATCCAGTTAGCAAAGATGCGCGAACGTTCCAAGGGATAGGAACAAATAGGGGGACATGCCGTGAATGGGCTCGTAGATGCCGTTGCACTTGCTCTCGCCGTCGGGAATTCCGCTCAAGCTAGCGCTGGGCAGGAGACCAATGCTACCAGGGATAACACTGGCCTCGTCACTAATGATATCGCCGAAAAGGTTGCTGGTGACGACAACGCCGTTGAGGCCGGTGGGGTTCTTGACCATGATCATGGCCGCACTGTCAATGAGCTGGTGCTCGACCTTGAGGTCGGGGAATTCCTTCTCGAACGTCTCGGTCATGACCTTGCGCCACAGACGGCTGGTGGCCAGAACGTTAGCCTTGTCGAGCGACCAGACCTTCTTCTCGCCACGGCCGCGGGCGAGGAAGCCAGCGAGACGGGCAACGCGCTCAATCTCGGGGCGAGAGTAGGGCTCCATGTCCCAAGCGGTGCCAGAGCCGTCGTCCTCCTTGCGGTCGCCAAAGTAGATGCCGCCGGTCAATTCGCGGACGATGACGAAGTCGGTGCCGCGGCAGACCTCGGCCTTGAGGGGCGAGGAGTCGACGAGGGAGTCGGAGGCGAAGAAGCAGGGGCGCAGGTTTCCGTACGTGCCCATCTCCTTGCGCAGCCTCAACAGGCCCTGCTCGGGGCGGACAGCGCCGGTGCCCCATTTGGGACCGCCAATGGAACCGAGGAGGACGGCGTCGGCGGCCTTGGCGGCGGCGAGGGTCTCGTCTGTGAGGGGGGTGCCGTGGGCATCGATGGAGCACTGGGAGAGAGATGGAGGTCAGCGAGTTTTCGCAATGTGTGACGCGAGAGTGTCGTTTGTCAGGCAGACGAGGGCAGAGACTCACACCACCCATGAGGAGCTCCTGGAGAATGAACTTGCCAGCGCTGGGCTTGTTCTCCTCAATGGTTCTCAGGACCTATACTAGTATCAGCAATCATCAACCTAAAAACAGGACAATCACCGTTGGCTTCGTACCCGGATACCCTCGGCCATAACCTGTTCCAACGTTAGTACAACCCGCTCCCAACGAGAGGCAGGGCACACACCTCAGGACCGCAGTGGTCACCGCCCAGGACGACAATCTTGTGTTCAGCCATTGTGTATGTCGGGAGTTCGCTCAAAGGTGCAGCAATTGCTATGCTCTAGGCGGTCTGAACAAGCTTGTGTGATTGTGTTTAGTTTTGGGTTTCCTGTGGTTTGCTGCTCTCTGGTAAAATGCTGCCCCGCCTCAACCACCAAAGTTCTACCCCACCTGCCGAGATCGGAGGCCCATGGAGCTCCCGGTCTCCGGCTTGTCGCTCAGTAGCCGGCTCGGCCCTTTGCGGGATTGCCGGACATTGCCTAATGAGGACAATAGCTTGACGGGAAGACGGAACCAATATAGGGTAGCTGGCTGGGCTGACAGTGGGTGTTGGTCTCGAGATTTATTCAAGCTGCAGCTATCTAGCATCACCTCAGTGTCCAGTGACCACAAAGATGATCGGAAACGTTGCCAAGATTCCTACGCTTCTGTAACACACACACCTGTAATATGTGCTGCCCCAAATCCTTCAGAGCGGGGTCACCGCATCCAAACCCTCACGTTCCGTCTAGCCACAGTCGGTGACAACTCCCGTCCTCTGATACGTCTGTCGTGGGCTGACCTCTCACCTTTGGCCCCTCAGGTGGAGCTTCGTCTGAGACGACTGGAGCGAGAAGTCACCCCTCCATCAAACCACAGCATCCGCCTCAACTCTAGCCACGTCGGCTGCATTGATGCCCATATTCGTCACCGCTCTTGGTTATTGGCCTACAGGGCTGCGTCATCCGCGCCTGGTGAGTTAGGGTATTATCTAGGTGCATTTACTACATACCCCAACATGTACGGCGGGAGCCCTCTCTTGTCTTTTTCATCCTCATCGTCATACACCAAAGATATATTCAAAGTATTTCGTTCCGGCATTTCTTCCTTTTTTATTTCTTCATTTAAAGGACTTGTCGTCTCTCATCGAAATGACCTGAATGATTTGGTTGCCAGCGGAGACGGCGCACCCTTCACATTTCCTCGCCCAGTATCTCGCAACCGGCCTCCCCGCATGTTCGGCGTGTTTGCACAAAATGCGCAAATGTAAACTCTTGGGAGCGTCCGCCGGGTGATGTTGATACATTTGCCATGGAGCCACATCTCACACGACTCACTGCATGCGTGTCAGTTCAAACTCAGTTTACTTCTTGGTTCGTCGTCACGGGGACGCTTAAGCAGGGTGTTGTTGAACATACCATTGAACCATAAAGCCGTCTCCCTCCTCAGATGCCTTCCGGTTACAAACACATCGGATGTCTTGTCTGTCCGTCAACAGGCTCGACTCTGTGAGGTTTGACGGCGAGATGGTGTCGCCACGAAAGCTGCCGAGATTGTTGGTCTGCAGGTACCGCTGTGACCTTGCGCCTCCCATCTGATTTGATCGCTTCTGGCGATCCTCAATCACTTTTCGCAGCTCACTCGTTGCATCTCCCACCTTGTCGTGGTGCTCATTCATGACCGTTTCCGCCTCACTCTCCGCCTCGTGCTGGGACCCGCCATCCATTGCGAAACTGCTCGTACTCCTATCACTGACACTTCGTCTTGACGAGTGAAAAATGGAGCCCACGGGCCTCAAGGGGTCGGGGAGGGCAAAGGATGCATTGAAAGAGTTGGTTCGGCTTGGGATAATTATGGGCTCGTCATCTGTCGATGAGTCGTCTCCTGATGAAAAGCCTTCTGTATGACTCCTCTCACGAGAAGTTCGCCGGTGGCTAACAGTACCATCCAAGTCACGCTCACCATGCAGGATCGTCGTCTCAGCGCGGGCTCGTCCACGGGAATCGATTGTGAACCTGACCGATGTGCGGGTTCGAGGCTGCGGCGCCGTCTCAGGTATCGACGCAAGGCCCGATAGTCGGTGCTGGCTTTTGAGAGGGGATGCTCTTCCCGAAGGGCGGGCCATGGGCCTTCCAGACTCTACGCTAGATGTGCTACTGGCCTGCGAGACTGGCCGGGCAGCGGGGGCCAACTTTGGGAGCACCGGACGGTTTTGAGTCCGCCTTCCCCTGTTCTCGCTCACGCTTCGATTGAGTCCTGGTCGATTGGATTTGACAGGGGAACTGGCAAAAGAACGATCTGGCACCGCACCCAGCCTCATGTCTTTAGCGCTAGCCGATCGGCGGAGTTCATCTCCAATTGGTGTCCTGGACCCAGACTCCGCGATTGCTGCCTCGGCTGACCCAGACATTGTCACAGGCATGAAACTCGCCTCCATAGCGGAGGTTTGAGGTCGACTAAAGAGCAGCCCAGGATCCACCGCATCTCCAGGGGCCATGATACCAAACGGATCGTCCATGGATGCAGCAAATGCAGCAGACATGGCAACGGTTGCGGCTGTCGTGCTTGGATGCGGAACCAAGGGTTTGGGGGCGAGGATACGTTCTTGTCGAAGCGGCTGCATGTTCCCCTGGTTTGTCGACGGCATCGGTGCGCTCGGGTCCTGGAATAACTGGATCTCGCTGTTCCAGTCAAAAGATCCCGTGTGACGATGGGAGTGTGCGGGAGTCGTCTGGAAGACGTTTGACGCAGGCGCACTAAAATCCAAGTCCATTCCCATGGTTGAAGGGTCCCAGAAGTTGGCCGGCGCACCGGCCGGCGCCGACATGGGATATCCAAACATGTCGCCGGAGGCGGCCATCAGGGCAGCAATGTCATGCTGCTGCGAAGCCCCGGTAAAATCAGGCTGGCCGAAGCTCTGGTCATTTTGCATAGTGATCTTTGGAGCAAGCTTCCGCTCTCCCCTGCGGCCGGTAGGCGGAGGTGTCGCAGTTTGCGTGGGCTCCGAGTCAGTGACAGTACCCCTCCGTGCCTTCTTTGACGACGACGGGGGCTGCTTGGACGGGTCTGGGCTCGGCAGAGAGTCGGAGTCGGCGGTGTATTCTTTGGGGACGGTTATCGAATTCGGGGATGAGGCCAGGCGGCGAGATGGATCGACCGGAGGCAAGGGCAGGCTGGGATTGGGCGAGAAGTGATTCACATGAGTTGCGATCTCGACCGCGAGACCCTCTGCGGAGAGCAGTCTCTTGTGACGGGTGGCGGGCGTACCCGGGCCGAAGTCAACAAAGGGACCCTGGGAGCCGCGGAGGTTTCCCGGGGTCGAGTTGAAGACGGAGTAGTCCTCGGCGAAGCGCGGTGTCCAGCCCCCGGCGTCGGTGAAGGAGCCTTGGTTGAGCTTGGGAGTCTCGAAGACAGGACTGGGGAAGACAGCGGAGGTCGGGGTTTGTTTAGGTGTTGGGGGACGAGGGTTCAGATCGGCGAAGCTGCAGGACAGGGGACTCGGTCAGCCTTTGTAAAGGGGCGGGTAGGAGGAGAGGTATCGAGGTCGGTCGGTGGTAGGCAACAGATAGGTATGGAAGGTATGGAAAGTATGGAAAGTAATCTTGCCTGGTAGCCAGTTGATCCCCGCTCATAGCAACTTTGATTGTATATCATACAGGCCAGATCGGACCCAGCACTGTCGGTGCAAATTCGGTTCACGAGGTGGTGGGAACCAATTCACGGGGCGCCTTGGCAAGTCGAAAAGCACCTCAGCAGTAATGAAAGCACATGTAAGGAACCGAGGGGGTCGAAGAGGCGAGAACAAGACAGGAATATGTATAGGTATGTAGTCGTGGACGGGACGATAGGATCAAGCGCAACGGGTGGCCGGGACAGGACAGATGAAGGTCTAAGATTTTCGGTCGTCGTGGTTCATTATCGAAGGTCGTAAACGATCATGGCAGGACGGGAATCAACACATTAAAGTCTAGAACTGCGTGCCAGAGGACAGAGGTCAGCTTCAGTAGGCGGCGGGACAGAGGAGCGATGCGAAGGAAGGGAGGGAGGGAGTCGGGACGGAGACGGATCAGGGCGCCCCGGGGCAGAAAGAGGAGGGGCAGGAAAAGGGAGAGACGGATACGGACATTGAGAGCGGGAGCGGGAAGAAGGGAGACGGGATAGGATAGGATAGGATAGGACTGGACAGGGAGAGGGAGAGGGAAGACAAACACAAAAGGCACCGTTGCCCGAAGAGAAAAAAAGTAGCCGGTTGTAGATTTGCAAGACGTGGAGTCTTGCTGAAGGGAGACAAACAGGCAGACAGAGGATAGACAGATAGACAGATAGAGAGACTTGTCTTTTGGAGTCGACGGGGGGACAGCCAATGGAGGAGGGAGAGCGAGCGTACCGAGAGTAGCGAGAGTGACCTGGCGACAATGGGAGTCCAGGGCTGCGAATCTCGAGGTGAAAGAGCCTAGCAAGTGGTGATAGCCAAAGGTAAGGTCGGTCGGTACTGGTAGGTCACGCCGTCTCTTTGGCTGCTCCTCTCTCTTGGCTCTGGGGCGTTGCTACGACGGAGCTGGTGTGTGTGTCGTGGGGCTCGGCATCGTTAGTTTAGGCAGAAGAAGGGGCCCGGTCCATTGACTCGGTAAATTTCATGGCCAAGCACGCGAGGATCGAGGATGGATTGGACGGTTGGACGCAGTGGATTATCGGCCGGCCTACCCTACATATGCATGTGCGGAGGTACCTACCTAGCTGTGTATGGTACCTACTCGACCGGTTCACCCTTTTTTGTTGGCTGTTTGGCCGTCTGTCTCTCTACCGCATGTGTGTCTGACTGTCTGTTTGTTGGTCTGTTGGTCTGTTGGTCGGTTCTGTTGGCGGGCCACTCACGTCAATGACGGCACCAGAGAGTCGCAGTCCCACGTAAATCCCCTGGCTGAGCCGGCAACATCCCGTCCTCCGCTGAGCCAGCCCGGAAACGCACGCAACTGGGGACAAACAAAGGCAAACACGCACTTGACCAGAGGCACAGTCACTAAGCGGCACAAGCGCAGCCCGGCAACATGCACAAACAGCCCAGCAGTCCCCTGGCGCCCTGGCGAGCGCCGACTTGACGAGCTTCGGTTGGTGGGCAATTCGTTAGGGGGGTCGGGGCTTCAGGTGGCCCCGGGGGCGCCCGTTTCCAGTGGAGAGCGCCACCACTGCAGCGCCTCCAGCGGCCGTCCCGTAGCCAACCAACCGCTGGAAACCTTCCTTTTGTACCCCCACTCGGAACCTCCCCTCCCAGCCCCTCGACGAGACGGGACACCGAGCAATGCCGCTTTTTGCAGGAGCTTTTGCTTGAGATTTACTCCGAAGCACGCAGTGTCTAAGACATGTCGGCACTCAGCACAGGCCATCCTCCTCCTTGCATAAGTCTTTATCGATTGTCGCCGTTTGTACTACGTTTTAAACCATCGATGCTCCCTTGAGAGGTCTGCGATGACTTCGTAATGACATTCCTAGCTCAGACAATCATACGTGCCTTATCGTCTCTTATACTAAGGAGTTTCCAGCTGAAACAGAGAAATCACTTGATGCAATGGCGAAAATGCCAAGAGACCAACAGTGCTGATGCGCATCAACGGCGTTTCCGATGTGAGGCGTTTCGGACTCGAGAGTCAGTAATGTCTGCCGTTGCAATGCTTGTGACCTATTATTAAAAATACTAAACCAAGCAAGCACATGGTAACGTGAAGTTTTGTTGGTCTGCTCGTCATAACGACAGTGCCTGCATTCAGCTGTTTTAGTCCAACTTGACACCTCCAACACTTGTTCTTCGTTGGCAATCTGTGCTCACGAGTCACTATCTATGAAGGGTTGAGTTGGAAGATATTTATGGAATTCGAACGATCCATAAATTACTATGTGATGTAATAACTCGTGTGCTGCTTCTGCGCAGCCAATAAACTCAACCCTATGTTCACCTCAACACATGGAGTCATGGAATCCTAGGCTCGGTATGGGTAAAGAGAGGGCAAAAAACGTCAAGTAATAGAGTTTAAGAACCGCATTCTTCTCCATGGTTTGTGTAACCAATGGTTTGTGTTCCCATGTTGTACTGTGAGCGTTGCCGACCCTTCTGGATTGAATCCCTATGCTCAATGCAAAGTATTCTCTCTACCATCAGCTCTGGGATTCATGCCAACTAATGAATGAGAGTTTAACGATAGAAAATGTGCTGGACTTGTCGCCTTGGTTCTGCAGCTGACGTATTTAAGCTGTGTTGCTCATTTCCTCATTTCCTCATTTGTTGCCATGTTTGACGACTTTAGAACACCCGTATGGTCTTGTTCACGCGCGAAATTTCCATCAGTGTTTCAATGATTGAAACGTCCCCGGTATATGGACGTGTAAATTCCTATCGATGTAAATGGGCGACAGATTAAAGAAACACCCAAAACTACCTTGACCCGCCTGGAGGTACACTCTACGGTGTCCGGATGGGTGACGAAAATACTAAAAATATACATATCGAAACCTCACTGCGAGTCTACTGCGCTGGATTTTGCGCTCTATTTGTAGAGGGATTGCGCTTAAAGTCTTCTTAAAGACTGAAGGACTTGACACACATTATCTTGATTATCCGATACTCGACACTTGCTTGTCATGAGTCCAGCTTTCGTTACTTCGCAGAATGTACGCTTGATTCATAATTACTCTTAGCGAAGCCATAATGTTTGGCCAATGTGAATCGCTCAAATGTTAAGAGCCAGTCAAATTCAGATGAAGATTTTGGTCCTGACTTCCCCCAAGACCCAGCCTCCACTGCGGCCAAAGGAGGGCAAGTTTCCGGACTAATGCGACAAAGGTTTCCGTAGAAATAGGATGTTCATTTTCATTTGAGTCAACTATCACCCGACGGTAAGCCTGAACTTTCTCAAAAATGAGAATGAGTAAGGTATGGTAGATGTTCTAGAAAGACATGACTTCGGCTCATGAACGAGTCCTCAAGTCACGACTCCAGTTCTGGCTTTGTTTCTGCAAACCCCCAGGAATCAAGCAATGAGTAAAATATCAATGTGGATTGGAGACTAAATAACCAGTGCATCCGCATTGTTCACATTCTCCTTCCGTTTCAGTAGACTGTGTGTTATGAGAGGATTCATGTTGGAAAGTAACGGTGCAGCCACGTCTGTATTCCACGCCTAAACAAGATACCGTTTTGCACAGCTTGGTCGCATAAAAGTGGATAAAATCAGGCTCCCCAGGCAGGTGGGCCTCCTAGAATGCCTTAGTTAAGAGCAGCGAGGAAGCTAGCCCTGATTTGAATCCCCGGTCTGGGAAATGGCATCACCAACCTACACGAACGGACTCACCTCGCAAACCTCAGGGTTCGGTTATTCAAGGGAGAGCGGCATCAGGGCCACTCGGGTGCGATGTCAGAGGCGTGCGGGAGCGAAAAGGACGGGATCAACAGCCCAAATCGGCCTCAACAGGGATCAGCGAGGAGCTGAGTCTATCTTAGGTAAAGATGAGTAAAGGAGAGCACGCAGTTGGCGTGGTATGGTTCGCCTTGCGCTCCCGAAATCAGATGCTGCAACAGCCTGACTATGACGATGATGACGGTCATTCTCGCTGATAAGACCACCGAGGTTGCTCGCCTCCCTCACGGATGACCTCCTTTCCGGCTCTCATGTGTTGCGCTGCAGGGCTCGCGAATTGCTCTCTGGCCATTCATTCCCGCCTCGCGCTGTTTTCGGCTTGCCCCTGCATCCCTCAGCATCGGCGCAGAGCCAACCAACCCAGTGAGTTGAACAAGGCCAGACAAGGGCATCTCGCGCAGCGAATGAACCGGTGCAATGCATAGTCCACAACCTAAATATGGCATGTCTTTCGCAGGTTCTTGATCACTCGGCGCTTAAGAAAATCATTTGACTCCTATCCATCGAAATCGAAGACATCAACCACACCCAACAAATCCATCCTATAGACTGTCTCTGCCAAGTTCCAACCGTCCCTCCGCCGCTGAACCTTCTTCCCCGCGGACAGCTGAAGGTGGCTAAGACAGGAGGATCTCGCCCCCCTCAAAGCGTCCCGACAGCGCAAATGACGAGCAGTACCACGTTGGATCTCATCTCGAGTACCGTATCGGCTCGATAAATTGGCCCTGGTTTTATGGACTAAAGCTAAGCTATATACTTAAGGCTTGGATTTCCTAAATCATTAGTATAAGAAAGCCCGAAGGCAACAAGTGGGGGAAGAATTCAGGGCCAATTTACTGAGTCGATACGGTATTTACGTATTGTCCAAAGAAATTCACCTAGCCATTGGATCGGAAATCGATCTCAGCACTCTATCCACCACCCAAAACAACGGGAATTCGTAGTAGTGTCAATCGGCGGGTTTCCCTCCCCAAGACCCCTCTCGTGGCTGTCCTCCTGCTCGAATGCCCACCGCCGTGGCTCGCCCTAGGTGCGCCATGTCTCTCATTGAAGGGACAACTTGGCGCAACACTGAATTCCGCCTCACATTGTGTCTCAGTCTAGATGTTTGACGTGCTCGTTAGTGAGGCCACTCGACTGATGGAGGACTAGTCGCGGGGTCCGCTCGGCGAGATAAGTGCTATCTTGGATCATCATCATCTCGTCATGCCGTCACGCCGTTATCTTGAGCGTGACCTCAGACGGGCGTGGTGGTGGTGCGCCATCTTCTGTGCGGTTCCCATTGAGTATATTTTCATGTGCTTCCAGCCGTACGAAAAGAGATAAATTTAGTATGCATGGCAACCATGGGTGGACAATACTCCTGCTTTGGTTTACAAACGCAGAGAGTTGCCCAGGTAATGGGCTACGACTGTTACTGCCTACATGTGGTGGCCTCATCAGCTGCAGAGACCTCCCTCTGACATTGCGCCCACCTGGCATGGCCCAATGACTCTATCATTGATTGTGGCCTGTACCGCGGTACCTGCATGGCCGTCAATGCAGCCGGTTGCTAATGTTGGTCACGGACTGCAGACCAGCCTACGCATAAAGGCGACCCGGAACCGAACGATCGGAGGAACCGGTTGGCTTCCACACTGGCCACCGCTAGAGTTGGCCGCCGAAGCATTGGCCTAGTTTGCTTTTACTCGCATCTTTTGCGCCGGCAGGGTAGTGGGAGAATCTGGGGACGTGGCTGTGATCGTGAGACCTCATTTCCGAGAGACGGACGAACCCTCTTTTGCCGACGCCATGGATGCTTGGCCGTGCCCCTCTTGGGCTGAACGTCACTATGATGGAGAAGGGCAGTACGGATTAGACGGGGGTTGGTTCCCATTCATTCATGACGGCGGCCACCAGCTGAGGGAAACAGGCCAAGAAGAACGGCTGGTGGCTCGAGGGCAATATAAATTCATATAAATTGATTTAATACAAGATGCACCATGCTTGCAATGAGCAACATGGCAACCCGCCGTATGGTACACAAATTGATTGGATGCCCCCTGAGCGAAGGCCCGGAACGATGCGTTTTGAGTCCTGTAAATAGCACCTTGCTCGAACCGACGGCGCACCGTAGCCCGTACCTGAATTAGCTCGCGACCGGGGGTTTAAGTGCTTGCATCGGGAGGAAAGTTGGCAGTTCTTGCTGGGCACACCACACGTGCATGCGCAATCTCGGAGAGAAAAAGAAGTTGGTTTCGCTCGGTTCGATGCGATTCGATGCGATATATCGCAATGGATCTATCCTTATCAGCCGTAGCGCGCTGGTTCAGCTGGCCATGGCTGCTGAACTAGATGGCGTCGAGGCTAGGCTCGGACTGGCTCGACCGGCATCAGGCGATGGAGAGCGGGATATTCGCTCAAGTGTATCTCGATTTGAGGAACTGTTTGTCCGGAGATGTAAAAAGTATTGACTTAGGTGTTATCAATGGGGATTGATTGCGTCAGCGCCATGTCTCATCTGTCACATTGCCTCTTCTCTCTTGGTAACCACCCTCCTTGTACCATCATCCACAACCAACATGACTTCACTTCAGCTCCCATGTCAAAATCCCAGCCAAATGGACTCACTGTCCAGCTGAACGAGCCCCTCCTCCTCCTCCCGGCCAAACCCCACTACCACGTAATACGCTAGCACACTATGTACACCCGCGGGCTGTCCTCCGCGCCGCATGAATCTGGGAGATTAACCTCACCCTCACATCACCGACAACCTCCTCCCAGCAAACACGCCCCCCTTCGTCCACACGCCCACGCAGGCACTCCCCCCCGCCATGGCAAGATCCAGATCTGACTTCTGACTTTCCATTTGCCATCCACCCCGGAGAAGTTTCTCGTTTGAGTTTGGCCGGCTCAGGCACCAGCCGTGAGAGCAGAGCGACTCTGAGCAAGTGACAGATGCTTTCTTGTTGCCCTGGCCCCAGGAACATCCTAGGGCTGTTCCCTGTCGTGAGGTTGTGCGCTGTCGCCCTAAGCCCTTCGTTCGCCTCCAGATTCCACCTCTTCCAGTGGGATCCTCTCGCCGCCAGGGTCGGGTGCGCTTCCGGCAGGCTCATATGCTTCTGTCAACGCAGTAAGCTCTTTGACTTCTCTCAGAGTCGCCGAACCATCATCCGATGCCGGGACACATCCTTGCTGCCGGCTTCCCCATGACAGACCCAAGGCACATCCTGGAATCCTTGAATCCTGGAGCCATCTCGTTACACACCACCCACTTACTCACTCTACGCATATTGCCCCCCAATACCGACGACGGCTCTCAGAGAAACTTCGGCTCGTGCCCTATCATACGAGCAAGGGATACTTCGTTTGCTTCCAGCCCGGGTACCTGCGTCCCGACACCCGCCAATACAGTCCTCCTCCGCGTGGCCCTCCATCTGCAGACACTTTGACGCGTCTCCTCTTGCGTGTAAGATCATCCGTCCCTGTTTCTGGCACAATGTAACAACAGAGAAACCTAAGGACGCACCATGGCGGTCTACACAAGCCAATCACGCACATCCAAACCGTCCGTACTTGTCTACGAAGCATCCCAACTCAACTCAAGGGATCCTGTCCCTTTTGCCTCCGGAGCCGATATACCCAATTCTTCCATCGGTGCCAGCGAAGGCCGGGGCATCCGGCATGATCCATCCATATCCCAATCAACCTTCGTACCCAGAGAAGAAACGCCAAAGAATAGCCAGTCCCAGCTGGTAGAATCTCCCTCGTGTGAAACCTACCCTCGCCACTGTGGACTACAGACGTGCCCATTCTCATCTCCGCCCTCTCAACAGCCCGTGTAAGCCTCGCCTCGCCTCAATGCCCTCTCATCTGACAGCACCATTGGAAGTACCCCGGCGTAATATCAGGCTCCCTGTATAGGCTCTATAGCATCCGACCAGCCCCGTGGTACCACTTTGTCCGGCAGGGTCGCCGAAAAGCCCGGAAAGCGAGCACCCAGTGTTTCGATCGACGTGCCATCGCGGGGGGTTAGGCTAGTCGCGAAACAAACATTCGCGAGGGTCCTCAACGGCAATTGCCTCAGCGCACGTTTCATGCTGTTGCTCCCCTTGCTCCCCTTACTCCGTCAACGTAACTGCCGCGAGGCGGTATTGCGCGCAGGATGTGGGCTGTAGACTTTGGACCAAGTGGCAAGTGAAGCAAATCAAGTAAAAGAAAAAAACTGACTGTACTATTTTGATATCGTAACCTTTCTATCTAAACTTAATTTGCCCTGCATCCGACTGTCCAGCAGCGTCGTCCATCTTGCTCGTTCAATCATCATCAAGTCCTTCTTCCGACGGGGCGACTCAATGCCAGAGACTGTCTATCTAAAAAAGCAAAAACCAACTCCTGGGTATCTCTCAACAGGGTGAGCAGATATAGTAAAAACCATGCAGTGAAGAGGCTAGGCCTTAAACCCTCCAGATTTCTCCACGTCAAGCCCATGTCCCAATACCGGATATTCGCATCTTCCAACACAATAATTTGCCATCCAGACATCCGACCACTGAAAATAAATTTCGCGAGAAATCCTTCCATGACCGGGCTGGAGCCAGGCCCTTTCTTTTTCTTTTTTGATCCACAAATAATCCAAAACAAAAGCAAGAAAACCATGTGCAATATCGGGTGAATAATAAAAAAGAAGAAGCACAAAACAAAAAGAATAATGAGGCGTCATCAAGGGACTGGATAATAGTCGCCCCATGATGACACCCTGGTATCAACAATCCGTCTTTGTCCAAATTTCATAACATAGCGAGTGACTAGGCCATCTGGGCCTTGGATATACTTTCGTAAATGATAAACGAGTGGTGGTGAGAAATCTAAACAAATAAGGAAAAGGCTCTTGGTAATTAAATCATGTTCGGGAATGGTTCCGTAGCGGTCATGAGGGTCACAGGTGACGAGCCGAGCATGCTCATCTGAGGAGGCGGCACTGCCGCCATCATCTGATGCGGGTGCGGGTGCGAGGTAACCTGCGACATCGATACAGGCGTAGGCGTAGCAGCTTCAACCAGGGACGAAGCGGTCATTTGCGGAGTAATGGGTGGTTCGTTCTTCGGCTTGACCATGTTTGCTGCTGCCGTCATTGCCCTAGCGTTACTGCTCTCGCGGCGACGCTTAGGCGTGTCTTTGATCTTGAGGTGGGTGTGACACTACTCTGGTTAGTTTCTATTGAAATCATTGTTGGCCGCTGGGGCTTCTTACCTTGTAAGCGTGTCTGAACCAAGTTGTCCCCTTCTTCTTGCTGCTCACCAGTGCAATCCATTCGTTGCAGCTGCCGCACAGTCCCTCCCACACGTCAGGGTTGCCATCCATGCGCCGCTTCTGCTGGGGCTCTTGGAAAGAGCTTCCAGTGGCAGCGCTGATTCCATGGGTGAATGACTTGTCGTACCAGAAGGCGGAGTTCTTCAGGACGAGCCATCTTCCGGGCTTGCAAATTCCACACCAGCCTTCGCGCTTGTTGCCGTGTCCTCGAACCCATCTAGGAGTGTACAAGTCTCCCTCAAATCGCAACTCTTGCTCGCGAGGAATCAGGTCAGGGTCGGAAGGGTTCATGTCCTCGGGAGGAGGCGGGATTTGCTCCTCCTGAAGAGCGGCGTACAGGTCTGGTGGGTCGGACAAGTCGGTGTAGTGACCATGGAGTGAATGGGGATCACCGTTGCTCTGAAGCATTCTGAAAAGACCATGGGAGAGGAGCGGTGGCGGTGCTTCAAAGTGAGTTGTGTCCGGGTGCCAAGCCTGGGAGGGAACCTGAGGAGGAAGTTGCGAAGGTAGTAGCATACTGCTTCTCTGGAAGACGGGTGTACTAGTAACCATGAAGGGAGCCTGCTGGACTGCTTGGAGGTTGCCATAGTTCAGAGGCAGAGGGTTAGCACCAGGAGTGGGCGAGGAGTGTCCAGAGCACAGTTGTTGATGAGCGTTGAAGATTTCGGGGTTCGGATGGTAGACAAATGGCAAAGGCTTTCGGCTCATTGTGCCGTAGGTTCCGGTGGACCATCGCTTGATTCTTGGGCCATCGACGCTGTAGGGGGCAGCTCGTCCAGGGCGAGGAGATGGCGACGCTCCGCGGCCGCGGCTTTGAGTCCGGACCAGATCGGTTCGTGTCTGTTGGCTGGCCATGCGTGGGGAGGCGACAGGGGAGAGCTGGGTGGACGACATCAAAGAGTTGCGGTTAGAAGGCGGGGGGTAGTCAGAGCTGAAGGACTGAGCCTCGGAGAGAGCAGTTGAGAAGTCCTCGTAGGATGGCATATCCGACAGAGCACCCGAGGTGGACATAGAAAAGGAAGAGCCGGACATTCGGCGGGGCTTCACGTTGCCGTCGAGAGCCATCAACTCCTCGTCAGCGACTTGATCCTGGTATCTCAGGTCGAGGACGGGAATGGCCTCGTCGGTAGTGAAGGCCTGGCCGATTCCCATGCCCATGTCTTGGTCAAGACCATGGAGATCGAAGTGGTCCTCGCACGGCTTATCCATCCACGAGGCTATGCCATTGTTAGCAATGTACATGGCCTCCCAATGAGGCTGCTCACTGTTTTCGATCGACGTAGGAGGACAGAAATCCTGGTGCATCGAGATGGGGCGCGACATGGTGTCACTGGGCGTCTGCTGGAAGCTATCCCAGGAAGGCATCGAGTAGTCTTCGGGAGTAATGAAGGTGAACCCGGCGTGGATAGTGGCAGGTCGAGGGCGGGTCTGGGTGGTGGGTGTAGACCACATCACCTCTGAGGACATGACCTCGGAATCGGGAAACTCGGACCCATTCATGGCGACGGTGTGAGTCGACCTGGGTAGATCTTGGTAATGGCCGTCGGGGCTGCTGAGGGTGAAGGAAGGCGTGTATGCTTGTTGTTGGTGGTGATGGTGTTGTTGGCTATGGGCATGGCATGTAAGTCGAGGGTGCGGGTGCTGAAGGATAAATGAGTGTTGGCCTACAACTGTGTGTGACCAGAGTCCATAACTCAGAGGCCAAAGCGAAAAATGTGAGGGGGGGTTTAATCTCTTATTATTGGGAGAATAGATCTAGCAGGGCCGGGTGAGGGTCAGCATGATTCTGTGTCTGAGAGGGAGCGTCCGGGTGTATGCTAGGGCGGAAGATGCGACCAGGTCCACCCATCGTATCTGGATCTTCGGGAGTGCCGCGGGCCATCTCAGGACTTACCTGGTCAACTAAGGCCGCAGTGGCCAACTCGGAAGTGGGAATAATTTCCGGACAGCGAACATGCGTTGTGATGGATGGGTAAGGAACGCGTTGGTTTTTTGGCGCAGGGTTGGCCAGGGTGTATCGAGCAATTGCGAAGAAGAAAGCACCGATCCTCGAGCTGAGAGCGTAGTGGGGAGGGTGGGAAGTCGGGGGACCCGGCAATATCAAAGCGTTGGAAATGAGGGCGAGGAGTTGGTCTGTGGATCTCGTTGAGTGAGAAGGGCAGGCAGGCAGGCAGAGTAACCGGGGCAGGTCTAGGAGAGTGTGGGAGGAGGAGAGCCAGCTCGAGAGGATATTATAGACCGAGGCGGTATGTAGCTGAGCCGACGACTGGGCAAAGGAGTGACTATCAATCGGAAGAACAAGCAATGAGGGTGTGCAGGTGAAGTGGCGCGAAAGCAGGAGAGAAGCAGATGGATGGGCGGAGTCGGAACCTGGAGGTATAAAAGAAGACGTGTATTGTGGGCAAGAGGCATCATCCATGGTGAGGGCCAAGGCTCCGTAACCCAGAGACGGCACCAGGGACAAGTTTGGGAGGGCGGGAGGGGCTGGGCCGAATGCTCAGACGCAGACCGATCTGTGAACTAGGTTGAGTCGCAGGTCTGGGATACAATGGGTCACCAGTTGCGGGTGCGGGTGCGAGTGTGTTCCTCAGTGAGGTGGACATGGAAGTAAGGATGCCGATGGGGCCAGGAGCAAGAGGAGCCGGGTCAGGGACCGGGGTCAGAGGAACCCCGGGCGCCCAGGGATAAGGTGACGGAGCTACGGGGCGACAGGGCTGGACGGCACTAGAAGGCTGCTGCACACGCTCTCCAGCAGCGCGGAGTGCTATGGCAGGCTTTGGTTCTTTTGGTTCTGGCGGAGCGAGGGCCTCTGGATGCTCTCGGCGGCGGTGGAGATGTCGGCGGCCTTGCCGGGCGTTGTCCTGGTCGTGTAAAACGCGATGAAATCAAGCGATGGAACAGCGGAAAGGGGGGTGAACAGACCAGAGGAGATTGGGGTACATAGCATCCAGGATGCCCAACGAACGTCGAGGTGACGTGAATGCGGCGCAGACCACACGCATACTCCCAAACTGGGAGTGGAAGTGAGGACATCGCCAAGGGGTTCGATCGAGCCAGTGCACCGCCCACTCCGGACTGCACGACAGACTCGGCGGAGGAGGTGGCTTGTCTCATCCAATACTGAAGAAACGTCCAGGTGGTGTGGGCGGGCGGGCGAGTGAGTCGACGAGCACCGAACATGGGCGTGTCGACTCAAACCGAGCCACGTTAGGCTGTCTGGGGTTGACAAAACCTCCGACTAGAGCGGAGCCGATGATACACCCACGCTGGGCTCCGTGGCGCGGCCTCCACACGCCCCTAGGAATCAACTCAGTAACTTAACGCCGCAGCCAGACGCCTCATCGTCTATCCCTAAGACGACTCCCTGCTCTGAGGCGCGATTCCACGCCCTCCGCCTTAGACCGTGACCCCGGCACGGTCGATGGGAGAGCAAGGGTGGGACAGAGCATGTTGCTATTTTTCACAACACTCGAAACCGCTAAAAGTCGGGACGCCGAAGTCAATCCCCCCCAAAAAGCCCAGTCATGCTCTGCGGGAGCACTACTCCATCCAGCAAATCCAGGAACCACAAAGCCGGGGGGGGGCTAGAGAGCTCCCGGGCCAGGTTCTGTTTTGGGATCGCGTCGGGAAAGAAGTGTAGGCCAAGGGTGCGTCCCGGTGCGGAAGTTAGGGAATATAGGCATCAGAATGACATTCTCGTCCTCGGATCCCCCGCACAAGGGACCGGTTGGAGGAATTGTGGGATAGAGGGTAGATCCGTGCCTGGATAAGCAGTGCCCCCAGCGGCAGACGCAGCGGCAGCGGCAGCCAGTTGCAGCAGGGAGGGACACTCGTCATCCGGGATTTCACCATGGTTTTGACGGTACCCGGCGACCGGCGACAGTGGGCGAGGGGAATGACGGTATGTTCTGGGCAGGTTTTCAACCGCTTATTCTGGTGCACGCAGACCCGCCTGCTTCAGGTTCCCTCTTGTGCGCGGTTTCGGCGGCGACGAAGAAGCAACGCCAGCTGTCATCGCAGCGCAGCACATCGCAGCGCAGCGGCAGGCGGACGCGAATTGACTCGGTTCGGCTCGAGCTGGCTCAGCTCGATCTCGACTTAACGGTACAGGTTAGAATGAGAGGGTCTGGATTGGACGATGACGGTGGCAATGGATGTGGGTGTCGTTGATGTAGACAAGTGGACGTGTGGACGTGTGGACGTATGTGGCTGGCCCCAGCAGCAAGAGACACATCACCGACACGTCGCCCACCGTCAAGAATACTGAGGTTAGATCCGGGAAACGAAACACTCGAGTCTCCAGCCGAGCCAGCCACTGGTAGGCGATGGTGGTGGACTGGTGGACTGGTGTTGAACGACGCGGCCACAAGCCAAGATGGAGGGTATAGTCGAGCCCACGGGACGTGGTATAGCACGGATTAGTTGGCTCTGGTGAGCTGTCGCCCATCGGCTGACGCCTCGCACCTGATGCTGGACGCTTGTTGTCGGACGACGCTTGTCGCCAGCAGACGCTTGTAGCCTGTCCTGAGTGTGAAGAGTGAGCGTGGTGCCTCGGTTTGGCGGGATGGGAGTGTTTGAGGTTGGCTTGGAGCTGTCTGAGCGACACGTCGTGGTTGGCTGCGCGCTTACTTCAGTGGGGCGGCAGGGGCGCGGCGCGGGAGGCCAGCGGAGCCTCCAGCTCGCTTCAGGCCTCTTTGGGCGTAGAGGAGGTCGTCAACTATCTGCGATTGGCAGGGTGCCAGGTTTCAGAGCTGCGCTACAGGGGTAGCTACAGGGACCTGGCCAGGAACGGGTGTCTCAAGATCTGTTACAGGGCCAGGGCCCCATCTCTGGTACCGACGTCCACGTCCACTGACGGTCCACTGATGCCCTTGGTGCAGTCCACTGGAGAGCTCGCTGGAAGGACCCCGCTAGTGGGCACCGGCAGGCCCTCCGATGCCCTGCGCAGTGGGCACGATGGGCGATGTTGCACCTCCCAACCCTCTACTGCCGGGCTGGTCATGGCAAATACAGTGGGCTTGACAGTTGGGACAACAAGGTGAGGTGAACCGGACTGGGATGAGGTGAGCTGGGGTGAGCTCCAGTTCCCACCACGGCTGCCAGCCGACGGCTCTGCGACGAACACGTCACGAAGCTACAACAAGCTACGACGGGCTATGACGGATTAGTATTCTGCGGCTTTCTTTGCTCGACTTTTTTTTTGCCTTTCTCGCATATGACTAGATGTTGTGGCTAGGCATCTAGGCGTCTGGGTTTCTGGGTATTTCCTTTCTCCTCGTCTCCTAGCCTCGTCGTCACCCAGCAACTTGCTTGTTCCCAATCCACAATTGTCGGTGTTAACGACCACCTGATACACACTCACCGTTCATCCCCGGAAGCTGTTCCTCGCAAAAAATAATCTTAAAAAATGTTTCGAGCTTCAAACATTCCTTGGCCTAGCTACCATCTGCTTTCTTGCCTCAAGGTCAATGATAGAGCAAATGCATTGAGAGCTTTGGGCAACAACTCGCTCCATCGCGGATCCTTCTCGCAACTGCCGGTTGCTCTACTACGTACTACGTAGTAGCCAGCGATTGACCAGGAACGGGAGCCGTCTGGTGTTAGAGTCGTTACATCGCGCCTCCATCTGTTTCTTTTGTTCGTTTTAGGCTCTCCTGTCTCGTCTCGTCTGAACCAAGCAACTCGTCTCTCCTTCTTCCATACTCCCACTCCCACTTCCACTCCCATGGACCCCCAAAGCCTTATCCCTCCCATTCTGAGGCCTTGTCCACTCCGAGGCACTGCCTCATTGTGGGCAGCTGGTTGGCCAAAACTATCACCGACCATGGCCCACGGGCATCCTTGGGCATCGCTGCAACAACGCACAACGTACGAAGACGCGCTCGCCTCGGGGCTCATGCGCTCGCAGGCTGCCTCCCGCCGCACGCCGTCGTATAGCACCTCACGCGTCATATCAATGCCACGCGCGACGCGTCCAGCACTTTATTTTCCGCTTCGTCGTTTTTTTCCTTCTTCTACTACCCCACCATCACAAGGTGCGAGCCGTCTTGGGCGGCGATGTAGGGATGCCGTAGGGATGCCGTCAGGAGAGTTCCGAGCATCTGGTAGGACACCTGTGCCTTTGGGCAATTTGCATGATCGCCGTGTGATGACCCGACGACCCTGATGACTGCGACGACAGTGATGGATCGCATCCGGTCGACTCTCGGACCTTTGGTTGACATTGCGACTGGGCATTGGATTGGGATTGGCAACGGAGGTAACAAGAAGCCCACCAACAACCTGCCCACCCCCACGACAAGGTGCCTGCTCCTTGCGGCCGCCAACCTCAGGACGCCGAGACGCTTCTCCATTCCCTCCATTCCCTCCATTTCCTCTTTGGGCGGCCAGCCAGCTGCGCCTCGTATCAAATCCAGGGAGGGTGGTGTGCGTAATGTGTCTGGGGAGCCGTCCGCACTGACGTCCTGCGGGGCCTCGCTCTCCCTCCTCCTCCTCCTCGTCGGCTCGTCCCCTGCTGTTGCTCCCCAGTCTTTCTCTCTTTCCAGAAGGCCTTTCTTCCATGACTTGTTCTGTGGGGCGCCGCGCCCGGCAAGGCCGTTAGATCAGGGCCCTGCACTCTCCCGAGTCCGTCAGGCTTCGCAAATAGTGACACACTTGCACCTTCGACGGGAAATTAGATCTCCCTCCTAGTCCGCAGCCGTGGCCGCCCCCGTGGTTCATATGATTCTGAATATGGAGATCACAAGCCAATGATGGCACGATCTGCCCCCCGCAGAGATCGCTTTGGCGCCCTGGATGTGACGATGCCACTATCCAGGACCTCGATAGTGGCCCTCAGGTTCTCACTGGCCCTCTTCGGCCCTCTTCTGCCCTGACTAGCTCTCGGCATGTGCCCGCCATCCCCTCCATCCCCTCCATTAAACCCCCGGTTGGTCTGGAAATAGAACACTCGAAAGATTTTTGTTTTATCTCATGCCTCTTTTTGATTTTAATTTACACAAAGAAGCAACGCCAGGGTACCTCGGAATAATCGCCTCTGCCCACCCGCAATCCTGCCCAGATCCTTGGCCCCCTCAGTCCTTGTTGAGCCGTTTCCAAACCTCTTGCTCGGCCGCTGCAAGCCCCTCGCCGGCTACCGAAGCCCACTTCTTCGCCGCGCCCCAAACTCCGTCATCGTCGTCTCCCCCCTCAATAGCCACTGACACTCTGTGGGAAATTGACCTCCTCTGGGCATCCTCCCTTGCGATGGCGAGGTCATGCGCCTCCCTCTGTGTGCTGTTGAACTCGGAAGCGTTTACATTCTGATGATAACCAGGGGGATGCGACAAGTCCCCACCATCAGAGCGGCCGCCCAGCGGATCCAAGAACGGGGACGGAATCGGGATTGACGCTGAGGACCGTCTCGCGGGCACCTCCGGCACTCCGAGTGGAGCGTAGGCCGTCATCTGAGGAGACCTCGGAGCCTGCGTTGGCTGGCATTGCTCGGTTCGCAGCGATTCGCCAACCTTGGGAGGAGGCGGCAAATCGCATCCTCTCCTCGGAGCTGTGGGAACTGCTCCGGGCTGTGGCCCCGGAGGGCTCACATATACGGCCGTCGTAGTTGGTGTTATTCGAGGGATGGAAGGAGCCCAAGAAGTTCCCGTTGGGACCGAAGACGAGGGCTGTGCTCCAGGATGGGCAGCTGCATATGTGTTTGGTGAATGAGCCGTCTGAGCCGCTCCGACCTGCGCTTCCGTACCATCCGGGGCCGCAGTTTGGGGAGTGACACCCGATGCCTTGGTTGGGTTGATAGGGCTGGCCGTATAGATGGGTATGGCAGGCATGGTGCGAGTGTTGTTCTTTAGGCTGAAAGAATTCCAAATTATTGACGTAAATGTGGTATCCTCTCTCCTGTGATGCGTGTATCCGGATCCAATATCTGTTATTATGATGCTCGTGGGATAATTGAGAGTAGCCTTCAATAATGTTGTTGTGGTTGTGATCTTGGAGGTGGTGGCGGAAAGGTTGCCGCCTACGTCAGGTGACCCCAGGCACTCAAGATCTAAGACACGTGGGGTTAAGTGTCGATCTCATTCTATTCAAACCTCCATGAGAATGACTCGACAAGAATACCGACAAAGGCGATTCAGTCATATCTTATGATGACAAAAGCCTCGTATTAAGGTTGTTAGTTCTCGCTAGCTTGGCCTTACCCTATACCTAAGTCCACAACGGACGTTTCCGGAAAGGAACATTGGGTATCATAAACCCAGCTTAGACATTGGATGAGTACACTCCAAACTATATCAGAGGCCAGAAACTCACCTTGGCCTCGGTTATGTGGCGCTCTATTTTCTCATCTAGGACGGCCGTGCTCACCGCCGGAACCGTTCAGGGTGCAGGTTACGTGTGTAAGTGAACGGAACAAACCTACTCACTTGTTGTCTACTTTATAGTCCAAATCATGCCTCCCTTGACAGTAATAGGTATGCGTCGGCCACGAAACTATTTCAATTTAGACCTTCTGTGCTATCCTGAATTTAGTGCTCATGGTTTAGCTGCCATCGCAAACGGACATCCCGTGTTGGCTTTCTGCCTGACCATCTCTTCCAACTCCAATGCCTCCTTGATCCCCTCGCCCATTGTATTTTTCGGCCCCAAATCCTCAAAAAGCAGGCCTTCAGGTTTCATACCTGCGCCGCCATCTCCCGGGATCATTCCACCCCACACCCAAGTCAGGAGGGCCTCGAGATTCCATCGACTCCAGAACGTCACCGGAACATACCACGGCTCCTTCATGTAATGGTAGTGCTTGATGCGCCCAGTGGTCTTGTCCGGCTGAGAGATATACTCGATGGGGGTGATGCGCGGGAGGCAGAGGAATCTGACGGCCAGCTTTCGGATGAGGAGGAGACTGTACGTAATGACTGTCATGGCCAGGCTAGGCTCCGGGAACCTAATGCAAGTTAGCACTTGGAATATGAGAATCGATACCTAATCCGAGATATCTCTTACCTAAACACACGCCTGAGACGATTTCCCATGCCAACAAGCGCCATTGGGTAAGCAAACGGTCTTGCAAATGTTGGGTGAGATTGCAGGAGAAAATCCATCAAGATTTGACCCAATGCCTGTGTCTCTTTCGATGGCCGCATGTACAGATCTTCGTATTCTGATGCCCATTTTGTCACATCTTCAAGAAACTCGAGGGGGTTCTCCCAATCGTTCTTCTGGAGCACGGTCCTGTAGTCAATGTCCATCATGTCGCCAATGTATTTCCACATTGTGACAAGAGCGGCGGCCTCCATCTCATCCAGTTGACGCCATTCAAATATGTTGATGAATCGGATGGGCTCGGCCATGGAGGCGTAAAGCACATACAGCAAATCTTCCTGGAGAATCTTGCCGCTTTTAATGTACGGGGCATGGATATAGTTCATTCGGGCTATTGCCTTGTGCAACATTATTGAAGTTGGTGGGAAAGTCGCGAAACTGGACAATGTCAATAGAGGCTTAGCGTGTCATGTTGCGTATAAATTTACCAAGAGTAGACGACTTCGGTGTCCTCATATCTGAGAAGTTCAAATGATCAGAAGGCCTCTGGTATGTTCCCTGCGACAATAGCATACCTTTTGGGCAGTGTGTCCCATTTATTCAGATCACTGATGGCGAAGAGAAGTTTGCCGATGTTTTCGACTGCATATGTCTACTGATGAGTCAACAATGTCTGTTCTGGCTGCAATCATGACCACTGCTCTGTGATTTTCTATACCTCGAACAATGCCAACCGTACGGACAAGTCGTAAAACAACGGAAACTCGAGATAAATGAGGTTCTTCGAAATCTCATGGGCGTCTTGGTTGGTCATTCGAGCCAAGGACGCGCGATCAGTGTATCCATATCGAGCGCGAACCGATTGGAGGCGTCTAAACCGAAGCAAGGAGCAAAGCGCGGCATAGCTGGCGAATCCGAGAAGAATCAGGGCTGGCCAGCTCAAGAATCTTGTGTTAGATACTGGGACTGTCTGGTCTACATCGCCAGAAACGTTTGGGCTGCGTTGCTGAATGTCTGGGCTGTGATCCATGGTAGGAAGATGACGTATTATATTGGGAGACGAACCGACGATGAGCCAATCCTTAGTGAACGCAGAGAGGGATGTGGGCTTTCCCAGGTATATATGGGCACTAAAGGGCGACCGTAGCCTTCAGTGGTAGTGTCTCTACGACGTCAAATGTCTCTAGCAAATGTGACCTCGCTGAGTACGGCGCATATGCCACAGTCCCATTTCTTTCATTGATACGTGGATGCCAGTCACGCATTGCTCTAGCTTGCACTTCCCCTCCGCCACCATGCACCCGCGTCTGTCTAAGGAGCAAGCCAGCCACCAAAGTTCCACCGTAGCAGATAGTGCCATCAGGATTGTAGCGCCATTCGCCGGCTAATCAAGTACGGCTCAGTGAAATGCCGACATCACAGCTGAGCAGCCGTACTTTGGTGGAGACTCCGAGACGAGAAGTGAGACTAAACCCACTGATCTTCATGTATCGAGCTGAAGGTGTACATACAAGCAGAGAGGAAGATATCAGCTCAGTCAGCATTCCTAGTTTGCTAAATGAGAGGGGGTGTTCCAGGTGGGAAGTGCCGTGGTTTAATGATCTGTCAGTTAAGCCTCATGGGCTTCTTGTGTTCTCGACCAAGCCATCTCTGATGGTGTGCAACTGCGCAGGTCATCCTCAACACAGCACGGATCTCATAGGTGCAGATCTCCCTCTCATCAATCAGGAGGAGAGAGCTCTGGAGTCTAGCCAACGCCTCGGGAGGAAAGCCCCGCAACGGGACGCGGTCTAGATGGGCCGGAGTGTTCACCTTGGGGGAGATGCGACAGGGGATGCAGCGCATGTTACTGTTGGAGGCAGACAGCGTCCGTAAAAATGGCGGAACTACGGATCAACCTAATCCCGATAGTTCCTGCGCTAAGCTCGATTGGACCAGGCTACCTTCGAGATGCCGTGACGATGCACCAATGCGCGACAAGGAGTTTTCCCATTGATCATGAAGGCATTCAGCTAGTTTTCCCTTTCACCATCAATGTGAGCGTGCATACCTTTTTCCAAGTCGCTCCTACAGGAAGGGTATATTAGCCACCATGGTCGGCAAAGTCAGCGAGAGGGTCCTCCTCCGGGAAGGTATGGTTTTGATGCGCTCTGGAAACAAGCGCCTATCCCTCGCGACGCCTGGGCTGACGAGATGACAACGCAGGCCTCGAGAGGACCGACAATGGCATGAAACTGTCAAACTGGCCCGATGTCACGCCCATCAACCAGAAGAACTACTACACGTACGCCGCCCCAAGTACCTGGTCGACACGCGGCTGATACTGATTCTCCATTAGCGATTACATGAAGCGCGATGACCAAGTTCTCGCCCTCCGACTCCAGAACGACGCGACCCGCGATCGATTAGTTCAGCATGCCCGAGACCGCGACCGGGCTCTTTCGAAGACGGCCAATGGCGAGCTCCCTCTTCCCGTCGCAGATCTACCCGAGGAAGATGGTGCCACGACGCCCTCAGCCGGCCTGGACCCATCGAGGGTCATTGTCATCCACCCTGGAAGCCAGAACCTACGCATTGGCTTTGCTAGTGACGCGCTCCCGAAGACGATCCCGATGACTCTGGCGACTAAGTTTCCCCAGACCGAAACCGACATGTACGAGGCGCTTCCGAGAAGGCAGTTTGAGGCCAAGTCGGTGGAGCAGCAATACAACGAGGATTGGGCCAAGAAATACAAGGACATGTCTCATGACCTCAAAGTCGAGATGCGTGCAAACAAGCGCAAGGTTCTCCCCAACTCGAAGGAGTTGGTTCAGACTTTCAATCGCCGTACCGAACCCGAAATCATCCAAAAGCACAACGACCCTCTTGAGATTGAGTGGACCGACATCGACACCCTCGATGACCCAGAGTCTCTCGCATCCTGCTTTATTGGAAACCAAGCCCTGCGCGTTCCGGACGATTCAACCCCAAAGTTCAAGCTCTGGTGGCCTGTCCAGAACGGCTCGTGGAACGAGGATGGCTACACCAGCCAGGAACACCTCTACGATGATTTCGAGACCCTGTTGGACAAGGCACTAAGACAAGAACTTGGCTTGAAGACGAACAGCGAGTGGCAGCAGTACAGCTGCGTTTTCGTGATTCCAGATCTCTACGACAAGCGATATGTCGAGCAGGTGCTGCGGTCCTGCATGACCTGGTTTGAATTCAACAGGATATGCTTTGTCCAGGAGAGCATGGCGGCTACTTTTGGTGCCGGATACACACAGGCATGTGTAGTTGATATGGGAGCCCAGAAGACATCCGTTACTTGTGTGGAAGACGGACTCTGCATCGAGGACTCGAGAATCAACCTCAAGTTCGGAGGGTACGACGTTACCGAGACATTCATGAAGATGATGCTCTACGACAACTTCCCCTACCAGGATATGAACTTGCGGAGGCGGTACGATTTCCTCTTGGCTGAAGAGTTGAAGATCAAGCACTGCACCATGTCTCAGGCGGATATCTCGGTTCAACTGTACCAGTTCCATGTCCGAGCGCCGAACCAACCTACGCGGAAATACCAGTTCAAGACCTACGACGAGGTCATCCTCGCCCCAATGGGAGTTTACGACCCCGAAATTTTCGATAACAGCGTCAAGCTGAAGGGCCGACGGAAATTGGTGGAGCGCTCTTACAACGCATACGACGTGGATATCCCGGATGATCCGAATTCAGCCGCTCAGTTGGCTATTTTGGCCCTCGTGAAGCCAGAAATCACGACGAACGCCAACGGCTTCTCCCAATCGCAACCGGAAGTTTCTACCCCTAGCAAGGAAAAGTCACAGCCGTTCAACTTCCTTAACAAACCCGACATCGTAAACGGAACGCCGATGGGATCCCACGCCGGATCTCCGGCACCCGAGGGAGCCGGCACACCCGCCCCCCCACCGTTCGTCTTTGGCGGCAGGGACAAGGAAGGATTGAATGGAGGAAGCCCTGCGCCAAACGGCACTCGTGCCACGGGGACCCCTGTCCCGGGACAGAACTCGCTGCAGCCACCGGCGGGTATGTTTGTGGATGCCTCGGCTCGATCTGCCAAGGCTTTGGCGAATGAGCGAGACGAGGTGCTGCCCACCGCGCCGTTGGATGTTGCTATCCTTACGAGCATCCAGAATGCTGCCAAGGGTGACGACAAGAAGTTGCGTGACCTCTTGGGAAGTATTATGGTTGTCGGCGGTGGTGCCAAGATCCCGCACTTTACTGTCGTCCTCGAGGAGAAGCTCAAGGCGCGGCGGCCTGACCTTTACGACCGCATCCTGGTGAGCCGAAGCGCCAGGGACATGGACGAGCAGGTGGTGGCCTGGAAGGGCGCGAGCGTGTTTGCAAAACTGCCGACTAACGACTCGTGGATCACGCCGTTTGAGTTTGAGCGACTGGGCGCGAGGACGCTCCACCACAAGGTCCTCTGGGCGTGGTAGGGGACGCGAGGGCTGGTTGCATATAGAACTGGCAGTTGGGTTGGGATCGGGTCATTTGGAGTTTTGTGGACGTCAAGGGCAAGGAGTCTGGGTTGTTTGATGTCGAGTGTTGCAATGGACAAATCTACAAGCAAAAAAGAAGGCAGACAGAGAACGGGAAGACGGAAGAAGCGTATACATGGAGGTTACATGGACGCTGTCACACGTCGTTGTGGCTGGCTCCCGGCCGGAGACGATAGGTTACGGGTCCGGCGCAGCAAGTGACTAATTACACTCTCGCTTTGCAAATGTCATGGATGGCTTCAGCTCGTTGTTTGTTTTTGTTCCCGCCAGAGCCGCCCAGGTGCGAGGCTCGTCAGGCCACATTCACGGGCAAACAGAAGCTCGCGAACCGGATCTGCTCAGCTGATTGATAAGTAACTACCACCTCAACGGCGGCAAGGGGGCTCTCTCTGCGACATCGGTCCCACACGGAGATAATCTAGACCGGCTTATGTAATTCCGAGCGGACCCCACGCTCCAATCCAGCGCGCCTCCGCCCCACGTCCCGCAGCTCGTCCCATAGCTCCGGCCAGCTCCCTTCTTGTTATTACTCCTAGCGCAGTTCGTCCCAGTTCTAGAGCGTCACCATTGACATTTTGCATTCCCCCTCGCGATGTGATAACGGCCGGCACGTCTCACGCAAGTGCTCAGTCTCATCCTCCAATCTCTCAACCCGCGGCCCATCGCCAATTGCCCAGAGTCGCAAACCCGCCATGCCGACCTCTCTGCTGCGATCGCTGCTGCGATACCTGCCCTTTGCGCCGTCCACGACGCCCGTCCAGGCGCTGACGTATCTGCTGGGCATCTCGCTCTTCTCCATTTCGTTCCTCGTCTTCCTGAACAGCTCCGTCTCGTTCGTCATCACCGACCTCATCGGCCAGAAGAAGGGAGTCGGCGATGTCGTCGGAACCCTGGGCTTCGTCGACGAGATTGTCGCACTGGTGGCCTGTCCAGCCTGGGGCCTCGTCTCGGATCGCCTCGGTGTAAGATGGGTCGCCGTCATTGGGTACTCCATCATTGGCATCTCCCTAGCTCTCTTCGTCCAGGCGCGCGCAGTCTATCCCCAGTTGTTGCTGGCGCGCATCCTGTTCGCCGCGGGAGCTTCTGCATCGTGAGTCGCATTGCGCTGTACAGCCGAGGTCGCTCGGGCATAAGCTAACTGGGATAGAGCTACCATGGTCACGGCGATTCTGCCTTCTGTGACAGACGATAGCTCCACCGAGGATGACGATGCTCAGGCGAGGTTCAAGGCACTCCAGAGAGCTCGCACTAGCGTTGCCTTCTCCGTCGAGTCCGAGTTGACCATTACGCCGGAGCGATACACCCAATCCGTGTCAACCGACCGCGAACCCGAGGACGAGAACGAAAGGGCCGGACGACCAGCCAAGCTGGCAGGGCTCGTCGGTGTCTTTACTGGATGCGGTGCGCTCGTTGCATTAACCCTGTTCTTGCCGCTCCCGGTGAGCTTCGGCGAGATCAAGGGTGTGACGCCTGCAGAGGCAGTCTCGTATAGTTTCTACGTTGTTTCTGTCGTTGCATTTGTAGTTGCTGTCCTTGTTTCCTTTGGTCTACGGGACCTCAAGGGCGAGGAAGGCAAGGGATGGCACGTTCTCTTTGGAAGCCATAACGAATTCGAGACCCGGCCCAGGTTTGGCATTGAGGTTCAGAAGCCAGTAAGCCCATCACCAACTCCCTACACCTTCAACCCTTGCTAACAAGAAGACAGAAACTGGTTCCGTATCTTAGCCTTATGAAGGACTCGGTCCTTCTCGGATGCAGTGATTCTAGAATTGCCATTGGATATCTTGGCGGCTTCGTTGCCCGAGCATCGAGCGTAGCCATTTCGCTATTTATTCCTCTCTTCGTAAACACCTACTTCATCAACAACGGCTTCTGCAAGGGCTCACCGAATGACCCTTCCCCCGAGCTAAAGGAAGAATGCCGAGCCGCCTACGTGCTCTCTTCCATCCTGACAGGCGTGGCACAGCTTATGGGGCTCATGTGTGCACCCGTCTTTGGATACTTGTCTAGCCGACCCGGGCGCATCAACTGGCCTATTGTCGTCTCGACTGTCCTGGGCATTGTTGGTTACATCATCCTTCCGCAGCTTGCCAGCCCAGAGATCAAGAACGTCGAGGGCCGCGGCGGCAGCCCCATCATCTTCCTCGTTGTCACGCTCATCGGAATCAGCCAGATCGGCGCCATCGTCTGCAGTCTCGGTTCGCTCGGCCGCGGTGTTCTCGCGGTAGAGATCCCCCGGACTGCCCACCGTCCGCCCTCCTTGGATCCCGATGAGGATGAGGATGATACCGAGGAGGATCAGCCCTTGCTTACCATTGGCACTGAATATGAGAGTGCCTCCCGTATCCGCCTCAAGGGCTCCATCGCCGGCGTCTACTCGTTGTGCGGTGGTGTGGCCATCCTGCTCCTGACGAAGCTGGGAGGATATCTTTTCGACAAGCTCTCCCACGGCGCCCCGTTCTATATGATGGCCATCTTCAATGCCATCTTGCTGGCGGCTACTCTGGGAATAGATGCGTCACAGGCGTTTTCGAGGCGAGCTTAGATGTTCAAGAAATCTAGTTGACTGTATTTAGTCTTATGAAGATACGAACGGTGTTCTTGTCAAGCTCCATATCCCGATCAATATCGTTTGCATGTATGTGATTATTGATTGCTACTACTGAAGCCTACCAACTCGGGTCTGCAATATGTCTAATCCTACCAACGTCAGTCCTCCTGAGTTTCCCAACATGTTCCTACATCGATATCGAACCTCAAGAAGGTAGAATGCCGCCATCGCATTTGCACAACCACCGCTATGTACCTACCGTGCTTTCATCTGAAGCGCAGCACCACCAGCCCCAAACCACCACTCGCATCTCCGGTTCGCCTCAACCGGCGGCGTCACGACAATGAGCGGCGCCTCGGCTACCTCGCGCGCCTTTCCCTCGCCGCCGACAACGCTGCCACTCTCGTGGTCTACAAACAGCACGCCCACACCGGCAGCGGCGCTCCCAACCCCCACGAGAAAGTGCGCAATCCTGAAGTCCTGCGGCCTGCGCAGGGGGAGGCATCCTCTGGGGAGGTGGTCGCGATGGTTAAGCCCACCGCCTAGGTGGCGGGCAAAAAAGCGCCGGGTCCGAGGGATGACGTTTCGGGCGAAGTTGGCATGGGAGTGTGCGCCCGGTACATACTGGTGGTTGTGGAGCGGCTTTGGGAGCTCCCGCATAAGAATGTCCTCCGGGCAGGTCACGGTCAAACCCATGGCGGATAGCGGTATGCAATGGAATGGGGGAAGTGTTAATTGTTGATGTCGGTCAGTGGGAAGTTAGTAGTTCGAAACGATTCAAGATTCTGAGCGAAGAGAGCGGTAGAGAGGAGAAAGCAGAAATGTCAAGAGCTTATACTAGCTGGTGATCGATGTGTTTTGGTGTTTTGTGTTCCATTGTTCAGTTCTCACGCCTAAGCTGCCATTGCACAACGCGCTTTGTTCAAGGCAGCAACTGAGAACAATTGAAGCCAAGTAACAACGGAGTACAATGAGTTTTCAAGAATAGCCCTTTACTTACCAAGGTGCTCACGGACGAGATTTCGTCAAAACCCGGTACGCACTGAACATATCACCTTGTTTGTCGTATGGTGTGGGCGTCGTTGGAACCAACTGTTGACCAAATAAGACATGGTTTATAGCAGTATATCAAAGGCCGAAAAAGGCTACTGTTCTAGAAAAGCCCAACCCCCTCAAACCCCTTAGCTCTGATTCCCCTTTGTCGTCTCGCACCGAACCAATACAACATAAAAAGATGGACAGCGCATGGGCTTTAATCCTCCTTAGTTCTTCTTCAAGAGGAGGACCCCGGGACCACGAGGCATAGGATAGAGGCGCATTGCAGTGAAATTTGTTTTGTACGGAAACCTGTGAGAAGACCTAGAGGGGGACATATGGGCAACTGAGCTAGTGAACATAGATCACCCACTGCCCAGCGGACAGTTGACCGCAGAACCAATGGTCAAATTTTTCAACCTTCAAACACAACGGATATTGTCCTCCGCGTCCCCCACGGGGGCTGAGGTGACATGTAGTTGACCCATGCGCTATCGATGGGTATGGCTGAGGGCGTGCTTATTTGCCGCCGAGGCTGGGGAAAGCCGACTGGTCGCTGGTGTTGATGGGAGCAGCGTTGTCGCGGCCACCACGTCCACGGGGAGCGCTGTTAGCACCACGACCTCGGTCAGCACCACCACGGCCTCGCTCACCACCACGGGCACCGCCACGGCCACCACGGCCGCCACGGTCACCACGGTCACCACCACGGGCACCGCCGCGGCCGCCTCGGCCTCCAGTGCGCTCAGGCTCGACGAAGCGAGGGTCGAAGTCAACGGTCTGCTTGACCTTGCGCTCACGCTCGCGCTTGGACTTGCCGCCAGTAGGGGCGAAGTAATCGGTCTCCTCCTTCTCGAGGGCAACGGCGTTGGCCCACTTCTTGTCGAGCTTGCTGCCCTCGTTGGCGGCACGGACCTGAATGTCACCCTCGATGGCGGCCTTCTTCTCGGCTACCTGGGCGAGGTACTCGTTGTAGGAGACTTGCTTCTCCTCAGGCTCCTCGGGCTCCTGGGCGGCCTCCTCGGCGCCCTCCTTCTTCTCGGTCTGGGCAATGGCCTCGCCAGCCTGCTCATCCTTCAGCTCGGCGTTACCCTCAGTAGCACCCCAGGACTGGGCAGCCTGCTTATCAGAGCCACTGTTGACTTCGATTAGCATTTTTAATTTTTGGAGGGGTTTCATGGTAAATCGTACGTGAAGCCACCAGCCTTGGAGGGGTGTCGGTCGTCACGATCACGGGGGTGACGGGAGCCACGACCTGGGAAGGAGTCAGTGCCATTCTTGCGAGTGATGTATGTTGACATGGATGAGGGGAGTTCAATATCACTTACCACCACGGACGCGGGCACCGTAGCCACCTCGGCGGTCGCCGCGGGCGGGCTCCTCAGTGGAGCGGCCCTGGTTGCGGTCACTGCCAGCGGCACGGTCTCGGAAAGCTTCGACATGTTAGTTCCCAAATATTCAAGGAAGGGTGTATCCGTAAGGGGCGAGGCGCATGGAGATAATAAAATAAACTCACCACCCTCGCTTCCACTGGGACCACGGCGGTTGGAGCCGGCGCCGGCGGCCCTCACGGGAGCCTGGGGCTCGACATTGCGCTTAGTTGTGCGGGTGGAAGCCTTGTCGACGGTCTTCACGGGGACAACGGGCTTCTCCTCGCCATCGGAGTCGTTGCCTACATGGGAGCGGGTTGGTTAGCAAGAGCAATTGAAATATTGGATGGCGTCGGAGTTGCGAGCCGGCGAGGCGGGGTGAGCTGGCTCGCCGGAGGGAGGGGACCGAGGGAGGGGCGAGAGGACTCGTACCGAACAGGGCGTACGGGTTCTATTCGGGATGTGTTAGCTTTGCGACGAGGACATGAATGAGATTGATTTGCAGGGCTCTTGGTGTTGGTATGATGTGGAGAGGACGAGTGTGTAGTGTATGGAGGAGCAAGAGTCGGAATCGCAGCAAGAGCCACCACCACCACCACCACACTGTGTATGACAATGTTGGAGGTTTCAGGGCGACGAGGGAAGACGGCGTGAAGCGGGCGACGGTTTGCCGGGGGCGTCTCGACAGATGCTGGCGAGTGTGATGCTGAGGATGATGATGATGACGACGACGGCAGTAACGAGGAAGACAACCCAGCAAGGTCGTGGAGGGCAAAGCGACGCAACGGGAGGGACGACGCAGGCAATCCAAGCGGAAAGCAGCATCATGGCCCGCAAGCAGCGGCTGTGACAAGGCACACAGCACTCGCAGCACACACAACACACAAAACGTACCTTGCTAGCGACGCCTGACATCTTGTCGCCTGGGCTTATCGCCTACCGTCCGAGGGCGTAGAAACTTGAAGGGCGACACTGAGTCCGGGAAACTTGTGGCGGAGAGAGTTGGGTTACGGTCGCATGACCTGGCGGGAGCTTGCCTTTGTGTGGTGTTTTTTTCGGAGGTGATGAAGAGAAACCAGCCCGGGGCTTGGGCTTCTAAGTCGAGCCTTTCTCTGACACACACGCACGCACACGCCGCACATTCACGCGCACACAACCACACAACCACGCACACAGTGCATGCCTCGCCGAATTTGGGGCGGGGGCGCCAGGGCACAACGCAGCACAAGCAGCACAACGCCAGCACAAACCAGCGACAGGAAACTCTGGCGCACGCTAAAACGCCCGCCATCCCTTCCTTCCCAATCCAGCCCCAAGCTGCCCGCCTCGCTTAATTCGGGGAAATTATTTTGTGGCGGGCGTGGAACATTTGTTAGGGCTGTTACGGCCGGTGGTGCATCCAGGCCACGGGACTGGCCAGTTGGGCCGCCTTCCCACTACCACCTCGGCCACTATAGCAGCTGCGACAGTTTTGAATGCCGGCCCAATCGAGGACACGTCAATTTCAATCACCTGATTGACTTTTGTGTTCGTCCTGTGGTCAGTTATTGCATTGGCAGTACCTTGCAATCTCGTCAAAACCTGTCTACATTGTTACACTGTTCTCGTTGGTTCAGTGGGTGGTGGCCTTAGCTCAGAGGTCAAGCTTCGAGCTCCGAGTACACAGTGTCGATGGTGCACTGTACGGTTAGTCCCAGCCGTAACTACCCCGCGCCGAAAGAAAAAAAAAAGTACGTTCAGGTACCTACCTACCTGAGCACCTACGTAGGGTCCTACCTCAAAAGTCACCCCCGGCAAATCTTGTCTACTAGGTTCGTAAGCTTCCACCTCTATACCTGGCCCCACAGAGTCCTAGCAGATGCTGATTGACGCCGAGGAACCTGTAGCAAGAACAGCAATGGTGTGGTTTTGCGCTATTCGATGTAGATCTTCGTGGCGCCTAGGATGTATTAGACTTCTGCTGCCACCTAATTTGTGTGGCTGCTTGAGTACCTCTCAGATATTCTTCTTTAACTGCCCGTGGAGGTTTACGGCAGTCAAAGGGATAATGCTGTGCAATGACCCCGACGGGCCAGCCACAGGCAACCGACTTTCCGCTTTCCATTTCCTATGCTGTTGGCCAGGAATTCGGTGGCGAGTTTTACTATTTTTTGTGCGAATTTACGTGACACTTAAATGCTCTCAGATGCGTGGTAGAGGCCATGTGCCCTGCAATAACACGAATGCTGAGTCGGAGTGAGGAGAAAGCTAATAACTTCCACAGCTCCTGTTCGCGGAGCACTGTGCTGTGGTCTGCTCGAGGATGCCTTGTAGATCATGGTCAAAGCGCCCCATCAGTCCCATCGGCAGTCCGGGGAGCAGGGGCACTGTGTGACTTCAATGAAACATCACGCATCTTCATAAACTCCCTGCTCGTCATGTCAGGCATTTGGCCCAACTTCTGCCAATGGTTAGCCGACTCTTTGGATGCATCCCCAGCCCAAAACTCAAATATCTCGCCATAGGCCGCCCTGTCGGCTACGAGGTCGGCCGGTTTCCATGGAGCCTCCGGCTGGGCACATGTTGATGTGACGACCGGCATCGTCTCAATTGGAGTTCTGCTAGGGGCGCGCACGGGGTGTTGCTAGCCGCCTTGATCAGATACATGTAACAATTAAAGCGGATGGGAACGGAGCTTGGTAGATCTGCGTCATCCGCTTCACGAGTCAGTTAGAGCTGCCTGAGAGCTACGTACATGACAAGAGCTTCATCTCTAGAGAATAAACGTATTCTAGGATTTCGTATTGATCTAGTAACTAATGACAAAGTCTCCCTCGCATTCGTACCATCTAGGTATAACTCATCGCAACCTCACCGTCCAGCAAAGAATCGCCTCAACTCAGCCCCAACAACTCTCACTTTGCCCCAGCCTCTCCCATCGTCCGCGCTGCCACTAGCATCGTCCTCCACTTCTTCCCCGATCGTTCCTTCTTCTAACTCATGTTCCAAACTCTTCCGTATTCTCATTCTGTTAGTAGGCTCGGTCAAAGCTGGTGGCCGTCGTATTCCCGGCGTCATGATTGGCCGGTACCGTTCCAGATACTCCGATGATTGACGAGGTGCCGTGTGGACGACTCGATGAGGGTGTGACGTTAGCTGCGAGGGCAAAGGACTAATAGGCCGAAAGACAGATAGCGGGCGTGGGTATGAAGGATTAGACAGCGGCTCAGGATACTCGGGCGGTGTTTGATATACCGAAGAATGTGCATCTGAACGTCGTCGTGAAGCTGCAAGCCGTGATGAGGGTCGTTTCAGGGGCTCCTCTCTGACCACAGCAAATGTCGGTTTCCTTCCAAGGTCAAGTGGTCCGATATCGCCAAAGTATTCCTGCGATGACTCCCGCGACGATGTGGATATGTGTGCCCGCAACGGTGTAGGGGGGCGGGCAGCCGAAGCGTGCGGTGTAGAAGGTCTAGAGGCCAAAGGGCGAGGGGTTGTAGGTCTAGAGGTCCAATCAGTTGAAGCCGGTGGTGTTGGGCAAACAGTGGACGTCCCAGACACTGGATTCTTCAAGGGCGGCTTCTGGAGGTGTCCAACATCAGCGGATGGCTGGTACTGAGACTCGATGATAGAAGCCCGGGGTCTCTGCATGAACAAGGGAATTGGCTTTAATGGGCTGGGCTTAAACGACTGGCCGTTGATGGGATCAAAGAGGTCGACCCAAATGACCGACTCAAGGGGAGTGAGACAATCGGCCGGCGCATCGCTGATGCTGCGGATCTCGCTCTCTGCCCCATCGCCGCCACGGAGGGATGAGTCGCGAGCGCTTGCCTGGAAGCCACCATCGTCAGTTCAAGGAGATTCCCGTGTACGACACATATGCCCTCACCTTTGGCGGTCTCCTCGCATGTGCATGTCCCATGCCTCTCCCCTCCTTGGCCTCCCATCTCCTCCTCGTCAGCCCTGCGTCGACCTTGTCCACCCTCCTCAGCCCCCTCTGCACAACCACTGACTCGTCCCTGACCCCATCCAACTCCATCTCCACCACGCACGCAGCACACAGCGGCGCTTCCATGACCTCCACGCCACCCCCGGCCCCGTCTCGTCCATTGTCTCTAAACAGAGCCTGCACAGGGACGCCCCGACACACAGTTCGGCTGCCGCACAGGAGGCACCCGTAACACGCGCGGTGCCAGAAACACCACCCGAAGCTGACGCACTCGTCCCCGCGGAATATGAGCTCCCCGCACACCTAGCAGATGGAGAGGTCGAGAAGCGCGGCGTAGCACTGAGGACAAGCAAGACGGGCGGATCGGCCGACAACAGTAGGCGGACCGTGGGAGAGGTGGAAGCAGAAAGTGCAGGTAAAGATGTTGGCTGGGCTCGGCGTGTGCATTTGTTTGCGTCGAGTAGAATAGTGCGAGTGGTCTAAAGAGAGAAGTAATACAGGTTTGCGAGTTTCTTATCTGGCATCGTCATGAATTTGGCCAAAACAAAAACTCAGGAAAGGAGATAATGTCGGAGGTAAGGAGAGTTAATACTTGGCCCTTGAAGCCACCGTAGGTTGTACCAAGGCCAGCACGCTTCCTTCACACATGGGGAAAGGAAGGCCAACGTAAAGGGCAAGAACATCACACTTCTCTCACCCCCTAAGCAATCGGCCATTGTAAGTGATAAAAATCCATTCACAGTGGATGTTTTTATTCTGACAGCCTGTGGTTTTTGTTCACTAAACGCCCCTTGTCCGTATCGTATCCCAAATCCGTTCCAGTGTGAAGACACAACTAATCAACCAACCTTCATCCGTATTCCATTTGATGCAATGTAAACCTTTCCAGCCAGAAAACACAATCTCAAAACTCCAGCTGAATAAAGCCATTTCGTCATTCTCATCCACATCCCCATGTCCGACATGTTTTACTGGCAACCCTGGAATCAAAACGTCGGTAGTCGTAAAACTAGCAGCGTCCAACAGTTTCCAAGGCTGAAGCAAAAGACGATCTAGACACATCAGGAGCAGAAGAGTATCATATTATACACTCATTGATAGAGCAAGCACACCATACAGCATCATCTGTATTGGCGTCTTGCGATATCTTTAGGGGTGACCTAACCCCGCTTCTTTGGGCGCGCGAGCATGTTGAGTCGACTCATGCTGATGATGCTACGCTTCTTGGTCGGGGTGGCAGAAACTGACCGACCGACCTGAGCCTTCTTCGCACTGCTCATGGGAGTGCTACCGACAAGGCGGGGAGCAAGGAGTGCCTCACCCTCGGGCACATGTTGGTTCTTTCGCTTCTTCGCCGCACGGTCGGCATCCTCCTTCTCAGTCTCTTCCTCATCCCAGCTAGCGCGGTGTCGCTTCTTGTTGGACATGCCGTGAGGTGCTCCAAAAAGGACCTTGTGGGCAGGCGCTTTGTTCTCCTTGTTCGGGTGTGAGCCGGGGGAAGCTGGGGCAGGGAAACTACCAGGCATAGCAGTAGTAGGCTTAATGGATTGTCGAACCTGGCGAATACTTGATTGTCCCGGGGAAGCACCAAAGCCTACAGCGGGAGTAGCAGCAAACTCAATCGTGTGATCGCTTCTGAAGGTGAAGGCCCCAGGGACCGAAGGCGGCTTGGTTCCATCCTGAGTAGCAGGAGGCTCTGGCAGAGGGCGGAAACCTGAGAGATCAGGATACACCACGTCATCCGACTGAGCCTTAGCCAAGACCCCATCGAGGGTTGGGTACCGGTCTTCCTCGAGGGTCCGCAGAGGCTGGGACTTGGGCATCATCTTCTGGGGAGAGGGTGAAATCTGCTCCGCAGCAATGCGAGTGACCTCCGGGGTGAAGGCAACATGCTTTGTAACCTTGCGTCGAGGTGTAGTCAACGGAACGGGAGGGAGAGCCTTCTCGATCTTGGCAGGAGCTGGAGTCTGAGAAACAGTGGGGTGGGGAATCGCAGTCTGGACGTTGCCCGAAGCTGTTCTATGTCCCCGGAGAATTGACTTGACTCTCTCAAAGCGGCCCGGGCTGATAACACGGGCACGCGGGGTTGCAGGCTTAGCAGTCGACTTCAGGCTCTGAAGACTCGCCGATTTCGTCAGGCTCTTTCCGAGGTCTGTCTTCGAGGGCGACTTGACCAGAGAGATGGTCGGTTTGCCTTGGGCAGCGTGATGGGACAGAGTAGCTTTGGAAGGACTCATCAGGCGGGCAAGACCAGAAAGAGGAGGAGGCACCTTGGCCGAACCAGCTCCACTGGATTTTGGTCGAGGTATCGATGTGCCATCACGAGAGACGGGGCGGGCAGTCGAGGCATCATCCTCAAGGTGATGCTTGAATCGTTTCGAGGTGACGCGCTGTTCAACCCGTTGTTCGACGCGCTGTTCGACATTTCCAAAAATCTGAGGCTTCGTCAACGAGGGAGGAGGAGCAGTCTTCTTGGGAGAAGGAGACTGCTGATAGTCCTGCAGATTCGCACGAGACGATTTCCGCTTGAGGCTCGGCCTGACGCGGGGCGTGGTGGGAGTGGTTGGGTCCAGGTTTGTCTTGGAAGGGGCACCATGCAGGCTGGACTTTACTTGAGATGTCGGGGTAACGTCCAAGTTAGCCTTAGAGGGCGAACGCTTGAGACCAGACTTGACAGAGGGTGTCGGGGTAGTATCCAAATTCGCCTTTGATGGGGATCGCTTCAGTGAGACAACAGGTGTAAACCGCCCATTCTGAGCTCTCCAGGCCGAGGCGTGTCCTTCGATGGAGTCCATCTTCTTGAACTCGGCCATGTGAACAGCACTAAAACGGCCAGATTTCCCCTTGGGCTTGGCAATCTTGCGATCCTGGGCATCGGCCCCCGCAGCTTCAGCCTCTCGTTGGGCAACCAGTTCAGCCTTGATCTTTGCCGCCTCCTCTCGAAGCTCTCCCATCAGTCGCTGAGCATCGCCGCTCAGCTCGGCTTCAGCGGCCTCGCGAGCGACCCGGAACGTAAATGGCGATGATGGCATGGCGACCTTGGATGGGGTACCGGGCATGCCGATACGGCTTCCATCCCGAGTGGCAGACTTGATGTCGGTGAAGCCCAACCTCAGAGCCGACGACGGCTGTCCCATGGTCTGGTGAGCCTTGCTTGGGTGCATCTCATCGTGAGGAGGTTTGACCGCCGACGAGGCTGGGGTCGAAGGGGCAGGCATCGGGGACGAGGGGATGGTGTCGTAGCGTCCCTGGGGGAGCCTCTCGGGAGATCCAGCATACTCCGTGACGGAAGACAGACTGGGCGCAGCTGCCTTGCCCTGGATAACCTGGTCAGACCGCTTCCTTGGGGGTTTGTTGATATGGCATCACGGGGAGTTACCTTGACGGAGGAGGCGCTGGCCAGTCGGGCTGAGCGACGGTGCGGGGTGGACATTGTGAATATTGAGCAGCAATGCGATGCTTTCGCGCCTGTTCAACAGGCAGTCGGGGCAAAAAGAGGGTCGTGATCCTCGGGAAGGGATGTCTTATGCCGGTTGGTATGATGTCAAAGACGTTGATGGCGCGTGTGTTGCTGGTGGGGATTTGTTTACTTCGATGTGGTCCAAGCTCCGATGAACAACAACAAAGGGACGGGAGATCGCACAGTGCATGTACAGTGTATGTTTTCATTTCTGCACGCCACGCACGGTCTAAAAAATCACCTGACCACCACCAATTACGACATGATCGTAAGATCGGCCTGTGACTTCACTGCTGGGCAGCTTCGTCTCTGCACTCTATGCCGAGTACCGTGATGCATCGGCGGCAGATTTACTATCACGCCAGCTCAAAATCGGAATACCATCATGTTGCCATGTCCTCTGGTCTTGTCGCAGCGTCAACCGCTAAACTAGTGTCCCCAAATAGGTGTTAGAGGTGTCTGACGGAACCTCTAGCCAAGTGTTGGATCTTGATGAATTTGGAAAGATAAAGGATGGAAGTCCGAATCCGAGAATATTTTGCCCACCATCCAGTGTTTGCTGCCATGGGAAGGCAAAGCCAAATGATGGTGACGGAATGTTGTTTAAACTCAATACCGGCGGATAGCTGTGTGGCGGGTAGTGATGAAAGGTTAAGGATTGGGACTCGACGATCTTGTCCAGTTGAGTTCCGTGTAACGTTCCAAGTCAAGGTGCCATCCTCGTTCATCAATAAACAGCAAACCTTCCTGCTGTGGAGGCATCAAAACGACTCATTGTTACTCGGGACTCGTGACATTGGATGCTTTTGTGCTCTCGTGGCAGCACCGTAACCGCCGAGGAAGCCGCGTGTTGACAGGAAGAGATGCCCGACTCCAAGAAAGGACCAACGTAGCCCGACCCCTTGCTTCGTCATCCTTACATGCGTTTCAGGGGGTTTCTGGAAAACCCGCGACCTGCCGGACGATCTGTAGATTCCGCACTCACGCCCTTCGGTGGATCAGGGATCAGGCACAGCCCGAAGGACAGGGACATGATCGGGATCGAACAATGGAACAATTCCAACATTCTGACCTTCCCTTTCCGGACTATTTAACGATGCCAGGTCTCAAGGATCCGCTGTCCAGAGTCTCCCAACACGAATGTAGCCGATACGTCGTATGGGGATTGGGCACGGCTCGCGTCACACCAGGCCACGGGTGGAATCCATCGCGGCATCGGGTGAGGTTCGTTTGGATCTCGCAGTCTTGCCGTCGGTAGGGTAAGCCTTAAGCGACGCTAGAAATTTTCCAGAACGAGTAGCCCCACAACCTCAACGACCGCCCGACTAACCCGGCCATGGTGTGGAAGCCAATTCAAGGTCAGCTGAGGCGCCACTGTTTTCACAGCATCTCCGCCATTCCCCGAGCGTCGCCTGGGTCTTTGGACAGAGGAGAGCTAGGAACAACGATGTGGAGAGCACTAGGGTGGTCGGGGATCACGGGAGATGGTCATCAGACAAAGCCCGGGACGATACACCGTTGAACCCGTCCATTCCAGCCAACATGGGAATTGAGGCTTCAAGATGGCGACGGTGGTTAACGCTAGTGCGGGAGAGCTGTCCTCGGCACTTTCCAGATTCCCTGCAGATTCGAGGCGGCTAGCGAGCCTCCCGACGGGGACTCTTCGGAAATGTAAGTCTGGTGGATATTCACCTCGGCGAGGGCATCGGCCGCTGACAAGGGGGCGTCTTGAGAACAGGGATCAGACGACGGTCTGACCCCGATCCGTGTGTGGCCGAGCAAGAGCTACCACCTCTCTTCAACGAGAGGCATTATCGGACAGCCTGTGCTTCGAACGCGCCATTGTCGTCGCTGCCCCTGAGCCAAGTGGATTCCCCAACGTCTCTAATGTAGGTGGTTTGGGGAGATCTTCATGACAACTTAGTCTGGGGTTGATGTTGAACTAATCCGGTTGCGATAACCAACATCTGGGAATAGAGGAGGATCGACGACGGCCTTCAGCCCCATGGTTCGTGTGGACAACGGGCCAGCCGCAAACTTACTCGAAGCAGCAGTTCGGAAAGAATTTTCATCAAGCGGCGGCACTACGTACGTAGCAGACGGGTCCACGGGAGAGTGAGACCTACACCGAGTCAGTGTTTGCCAGGGATAAGACAAGGTCTTTGAACGGTTAATTCGCAGCAATAACAACACTACGAGGGTGGCACATCCAGATCGCATTGTTAAATTGGAGCTTTGCATGTTTCAGCTGCCAAAAAGCTCGCAAATAATGCCTTGATGGTGAGTTTGAAGATGTCGGGTGCCCGAATAGTCGAGACGAGCGAGGCCTTCCATCGGGGATAGCCGTGATGTGATGGTGTGTTGCTGTCACATCTTTGGTTACTGGTCTAGGATTCATGCAGTGTAGCATCACATCACCTATACCGGCGACTTGGATACAGGTCCTCCGTGCAGGAGGTGCCAGTGGGTGCACATTGCTGCCTTCACACCAAGTTTCCTGTCTCGCATGAACCGGAGTCACCAATGGTGGACGCGCACGTCGACAAGCACACCACTCCGCTCTGCTCCGGACATAGCCTCAGAGCTGGAGAAGCCTCGTAGGTAGTTCCGATATCCGGCAGACTAGGCATCGCCAATACGTGACAGCAGTGTAGAGTGGCAGGAAGGGAGCCGATGGGCTGCTCAGTGAGAGAATAACACGTCAAGTACTTCTCTTTCATTGTGACTGAAACCTTGTTGGTTGGAATGAAGCGGGTCCATACTGAAGGATTCATCGAGATGAGGCTCTCCACTCGATGAAGCTCTCCATGTATTGCGAGACCTGGACTGGGCGCTTGCGTGGTGATCCTGTAGAACTCAAGACAATGACCCATGAAGACGAGGATTCGACTGGATTCGAAGTAACCTTCGTCCAACAAGAGTAGCACGTGCATCTTAAGCCGAAGACTTCTCTCGGCTGTCAAAGCAAATTTAGATGAGCAAATGTGAAAGTAGAAGCCGCTCTACATCTCATCACACAATTGGGTTGGTTGCTCGGGTCAGGCTACGGAAATGCGCCATCCGGTGGGGGTGGTCACGATCATAGGACCAGGGTGCCTGCAGTGTGAAGTGATGGACGGGCCTTCCAAAGGGTGCACAATGACGCTTAAGGGAGAAAGCGAGTTGCATCACTGTCCTCATTTGATTCGTGAGCAAGCATTATCCATCCCAAAGAACACCTCCTCGCAAATTTTCACACTTCAGCTCAAGGGGTCATGAGGCACAACCATCCAGTCAGCGAAACGGCCGAATCGGTGAGCAGAGCGATACATAGTCCAGGGAGCGGACGGCCTAGACCATAAGGAACCTGGCCAGGGACGGCTTGGCGGAGTCGAGGCATTCTACCAACAGAGGGTCAAGGCGAAACAATCGTGCGTACTATATTCATCGGGGGCAAAAGGCACAAGGGACAGCTATGTTCGAGACGAAGCCGAGACGACGCCGGTTGTAGCATTGAGACGTCAAAGGGAGGCGTACTGGGCGACGCAGCAGGATGGCGATGAAACGGGGTATTTGGCGACCAAAGAACGGAGGTTGGGAGGCCGGGTCAACTTGCCCAAAGTGCCTCACTCACCAGGACGAGATTCCAGCGCTAGTTGTGCCACAGACGCACTGTGGATGGCCAGAGTGAGGTTGACTGCTCCACCTGACACCCTGCCTGTGCTGGTTGTGCAAAAGCCAGTGTTGGATGCTGCGTCGTTTTTTCTCGGTACCGTCGGCCGCAGATATCGGTGTTGGTTGTGACAGCGCTGAATGAGGCGACGGAATGACGGCGAGAATGTGGCGTGCGAGATAAAAAGACAGAATGGGAAATCGGCGGACGAACTGTCATGTTCCTGCCATACAGATAAGAGGCCGATAGACGATGACGTAGAAGAGGAGGCAACGTTCGTCGAGAAATTTGCTTTTGCTCTTCTGCACTTCTCCGCGGGGGTCTCGGCCAGCGCGCTGCCCACTGATTTGCACCTACCACCATTAGAACCAACACCTTTCCTTCGGAGGAAGCGGGGGTTACACAGTTCGCCAATACTACAGACGGTCAGCCAACAACCTAACTTGAGCTCGCCGCTGGAGCCAGAGCCGAGGTCGCCCACGAGTCCTAGACCAATTCCCTGGCAGAGGAGGAGGCGCTTCTATTCCCCTCCACCAGGCAAGGCAGCATCGTGTCTCATGTCGCATCGCTTTGATATTGCCATCACGCAGCTCCCATTGCATCAGGCAAGGCAACCCGGCTGGACAACCAGTCTCTGCCCGCTGTACTGGAGGTGCGCCGTGTGCTTCTGGGTGGCCAGTGGATTCCTGGCGCAGCTAACGCGAACGGTCAGGGCGAGTGGGCTGTCCTTTGGAGGAATAGTCGTGAAGGATTTTGGTGAGCGAGTTTGCTTGGCGAGTTGCGTCGAGTCCAGGTGGCCTGTGCTTTTTTTTTTCCTTGCACCAGGTGGTGAGTGGTGAGATTTTTCGAGTGGGGTTCACTTCCATCCCATCCAATCCGTTGCCGTTAGTGGATCGAGGTGGGTGGGGGCAATCACGCCCTGTGCCGCACTGACTTGTTCCCTGGAGTCTCTAGAAGCCTTTCTCTGTCCTCTGGTGGTGCTGGAACCCACCTAGACTTGCTGGGATGAGTGAAAAAAGGCCCTGATCCCAGAGCCGGAACCCAGCAACGAGAACCAGAGAGACCAGGCAGGTGTGGGAACGGTACGAATACACGGGTGGGCCCTGAGGAGATGGTGGACTGGCATTCTAGTGGTGGTGCCGGCTGGTGCGTTATTGTGCATTTAATGGTGCGTGCGGTGGTGGCCCTGGTGGCCCTGGTGGCCCTGGACAGGTGGGCAATCACTCCAGTCAGTGGGGAGCAGGCTGTGGGCCCCGTGGAATCCAGGGGGGTGTCGCCTGTCGCCGAGCTCGCAGCCCCCCCGACAGCGTCCCCTGATTGGCTGGCTGCCACCGTCCACGCAGCAAAGAAGACTGCGCAGGACGGCGCAGGACTGCCCTAGGCCGCCCCCTCTCGCAATTCCCATTACATAAAAGAGTACGGGCGTCTGCCTCCCTTGCGCGCGCAATCCGCCGTCCTCTTCCTGTTATCTTGCTCCCCCCAAGAAATCGCCAGCGCTCACAGGACGATTTGCAGGCGCCTTATCTTGCAACCGGTGTACATAGCATTTCCCTTACGTTTGCTCACTGTCGCAGTCGCCCAGGCCTACCACATCGCACTGATAGGCGCCCTAAACGCGCCCCAGGACAGCCAAAACACCGTCAGCCGCCCGCTGCACCCCCGTGGACCCCCAATCCTGGACGTATCGCTGCCTTCTTGCGCCCGCAACGCCCGCAAAGCAAAAACCCAACGGGCGCACACCTCTCCAAACTCGACATTTGCGCCCGTCGTCGACTCGACGTTCCACCTCTCCCACGTCACCGTCCCGTTTTGAGCCTCTGGGGCGTTTGCCGCACGGCGGCATCGTCTCTAAGCCCCGGTCTGGGGAAGGCATGGCCGACAAGATGTCCATCGATAAGGCGGATCCGACGCAGAACCACAACCATAACCATAACCACAACCTCAACCACAACTCATCCCTTAACGGCCACCGGTCCCGCGACGTGACCGACTCTCCCACCGGCTCCAGTCCGGACAGGGACCACAACCTCAATAACAACTCCAATGCCATCTCCCAAGAGGCTCAACAGCCCAAGCGGAAGGGTGGCCGCAAGCCCGTAAGTTAATCGCTTATTTCCACTCCCTGATCATCTTCCATCGACGGACTTTGGAATCCCTCCGACAATTTCGCCCTCAACCCTCAGGATCCATTCCAACCCTTGGCATCTTCGCCCTCTCCAAGCTACTCTCCATCACTTCAACCTCCACAATGCATTCCATCTCCCCAGAACCCGACCTCGCATCCACCCCCAATCGCCCACCACTCCGTCAACACACATCACCACCACCGCATCATCATAACTGACTCTCAACCCCTCAGATCTACGCCACGTCCGAGGAACGCAAACAACGGAACAGGCAGGCCCAGGCCGCCTTCCGAGAGCGTCGTACCGAATACATAAAGCAACTCGAAGAGACCATCCGTGTCCATGAGTCCAACCTCCACAACCTCCAGTCGGCTCACCGCACCGCCGCCGATGAGTGTTTGATGCTCCGATACAAGAACTCTCTCCTGGAACGTATCCTACTCGAGAAAGGCATCGATGTCCAAGCCGAGCTTCGAGCCAAGACTGGCAGCCCCAACCTGGGCCCGACTCATATGCCTCAGAACCTGGTCCAACCGCCTCCGATTCAGCGAGCCATTATGAACCGACACCACCAGTCTCGTCGATCTAACTCGCACATCGCTCCCAAGGCCGAGCCAGGTTCCAGTCTGCCGCCTCCCCTGCAGCCGCACTCATCCGCGACGTCGCCGAAGAATCGACCAACCCCGTCCTCCCACTCCAACTCGCCAAGCAACACGGGTTCTGCCTTCTCTCCAGCAGCTTCCGATAGCATTTCTATGCGCGGCTCGATGACCAGCGCGTCAAGGCAACAAATGCCTCAGCAGCAACTACCACAAGGCTCGCAAGCCAACCGACACTCCATGATGCAACCTGGAGTGCGAGGAGGTCCAGTCGGGTCGGGAGCCTCGTATTACCCCACTCCGGCTTTCCAAAATCACATTGAGCAACTTGGTAAGCTGACGGACCCCAATCGGCTTCCTACTGTAACACACACTAACGCTATCGGCACAGAGCAAGAATATGACGCCCAGGCCGACATGATCGACGATTCCGAAATCGAAACCCCAGGCGGCCCTGGACCGTATCCTTCCGGCTTCAACAGTGATCCGCAACAGCCCATGATGTTGTCCCCGGCATCCAACGGCCCCGGGCACCAAATGACACCATCCCACGAACCGGTTCACCATCCCCAGACATCACACTCGTCACAGTACCCATCGATGACGCAATTGTTGGATCAGAACTTAGATTGGGACCCTTTCGGCTTGAGCGCTAGCATGGCATTCCCTTCGCAGCAGTTTCAATTTGACCAGGCCAACATGCGGTGAACAGGAGTTCTGCCGAATATGATCCCTGAAAGGATTACTACGGGCCCTATATCTGGTACAGGTATCTATAGGACTTGATTCCCTGGGCTGAGAGTTCCAGCAACTCTGCAGGCCCGGGGCTTAGGGCAACCAACAAAAAGGGCGATTCATCGGGAGTGGTGGGCACTTACCTGATGGGTGTCGCCAGTGGAACCGAGCGTTGCGGCACGCTGAGGCTTGTTCAATGGCCAGCTCGATCGAGAATCGACGCCCGGGAACCAACCAACACCGCGATCGCCCGCCCATTCACACCGACAAGCCGATACCATGCGAAGAGTGATAGATATATCCTCGCATGGCGAAACTCGACGAAGGGCCACGATCGGACCATGGCATGCTCTCCTCACACAAATTTAAATGGCTAGGGCCCTTTCCAGAACCGACCGGGAACCCCGTTATGGCCGGTCTTTGTGAAGGACACAACATGATTGTCGTTGTTTTCATGGGCGGGTGATTCGGATGTCAGCTCACTTGACGATATTCTATTTCGTTCGAGGACGCTCTAGCATTATGATTATAAAAGTTGTGTCTTGATGTACTCTTCTCATGCCACATCTGCCGACACTCCTTCACACAATTATCCCGATGGAGATGAATTCTCAGTCGAATCGGGGATCAATAGGGACGGAACGCCTGGAGGGGTCGGATATACCCGGAATGAATTGAGGCTTTACGATGGCGAAATCGAGGGACGTGGCAATTACGGCGGTTTAGACGGACGACTTGACAAAAAAAAAAGTTTTGGGTTTACTAGGATGGCGTTCAGGGCAGTGTAACGACACGCGAGACTCTGGGTTACAAAGACAGACAGGATCAGAACCTGTCGGCCAGTTCGAACATTGGTTATGACGTCCCAGCCTAGAGATCATTAGCTACAAGCGTGCTGCAAATACATGACATTCACACATTTTATTGAACCCTCGAAGTAGCTCCCCGTCCCTGATTCCCCCGCCTCGTCAATAACTGGGGCGCCACTCGAGTGCTTTACCCCAGACACGAGCTTCTTTCCCAGTGGATATTCGTCCAGGGGCCGGCGTTGGAGAGTGGAGTATAGAAATGTTAGTTGATCACGCGGATCAGGGGATACATGAGGTCGTTACGCAGTGGGTGCGTCAGTACTGTGCAGGATCATGTGGGACGAATGAAGGAAGACCTTACGTACTAGATATGTAAGATCTATTCTTGGTAAGATGCGGTCTCCAGAAGGATCTGTTTGGTATTTGGTCGTCTCTGCGGGGGCTCCACCGATCTTGTCCCGTGGTGGTGGTAGTAAGACTCTATGGTACTTACGATTGCAGCGGTACGGACAGAATATTTCCCTGTGGCAGCAGGAAATTACATTATTTCCCAGCGAGCCACATATGTGTCCTTCATTGCCCTCATGAAGGGAATGGAGGTAGGGTTGAAAATTTGACACTGCAAGTTGTGGCATTCAGGGTAGCTGGGTTTACGACTCCAATGCTGCCCCCAAGACAACGCAATGTTTGTGGAAATCATGGGTGGTACAACAGAGGGGCTTGTTGAGAATTACATTGGTAAAAAACAAGAGTAGAGTCTGAAAAGTAGAAGGCCCTGCTAAATTCATCATGATGCCCTCGCATTACGTTATAACTCGTCTATCCGATCCAACCCACCAGTCGTTATACAAACCCAAAGCAAAGAAGAGCCACAACACTCATGACCCAGGTCACCAGCGATCCCACCCCCCCTACCATGCTCCCGTCTGTAAACACCCGTGATGCCGTGCTGTTCCACAGCATTTTGCTTGTGCCGGCCTTGTCCGTCTCGTCGATGCTACACACCACCTTGCACGCAGCGTCCGGGTCGCTCTCGCGGCGCACCAGCTTCCCCCCTGGGCCCACGTCTCTCCGTGACGGCCGCTGGTCGGCACTGCGCTTCCGCTTGTCGCCATAGGTCGTGTCGCTCGCGTTGTACACCATCTCGAGCCACTGGATCTGCATGTACGCGGCGCCGTGGAGGCTCATGTTGCCGCTCCACGAGCCGCCGTCACTCCACGCGTTGAGGATGATCAGCGCCGGGTCCTTGGGTGTCTGGTACTTGATGTTGGCCACCTCCTCGCCGTCCACGTACCACACCGAGCGTTCGGGCGTCCAGTCCAGCCGGTGCACCAGCCAGTCGTCCCAGCCGCGGCCGTCCGGCAAGCTGCCGTTGCGGGTGGCCTGGGGAATCTCGTCGCCGTCGTCGGTGTAGGACGGCTGGTTGGTGTACTGGATGCGGTCCTTGGGGTCGCGCGTCAGGATCTCAATGTCGGCCTCTTGGATGTCTGCCAGTTTATCGGCAGGGTAGTACGTGAAGAGGGCCATGCAGGCACCCGGGCTGCCTGTGACGCGGGCGAGCATGCGGATGGATAGGTACTGGTACGAGTCGATGGACTCGAACTCGGCGGCGCTCTGGAAGCCCGGGAGGCGCATCGTCCGCAGGGTCAGGAACGTGTTGGACGCGGCATCGGCGTCGTCATTTTTCTCAATGTAGACGTTGTTGGCCGAGTTGACCATCAACACCGACGCGTCCCCCGAGAGACTGACGCCGCCGCTGTTGCGGTTGCTCCAATACTGGATGCCCCATGCGCTGTCCCAGTCGTCGCTGTCAAAGTACTTGCTGGTGGTAGACGCCTTTACCGCCCGGCTCTCGTTCCGGATGGGATCCGGCACGCCGGCGTAGTCCCCGAGGTCCCGGAAGTCGAAGAACGCATGCTCTGAGTAGTAGGCCGGGACAGTTCCGTTGGTGAGGTAGCAGCTGCATGCGTCCTCGTCGACGACGTCCGAGTCGGTAGCGGCGAGCACAGCTGCGGCGAGCACGGCAAGCCGCAGGAATGGCCGGATCGGAAACGACATGGCGTTTAGCTGACCAGATAACCAGGAAGTTTCCCACGCAGAGGATCACGGTTGAAGAGCAATGCGAAGCGCAGAATCAGCTTGGCTAAGGAACCCCATAACTTCAGCTTCAGCTCACGCGCTGCTGTGGTCAATGCCCCATGTTGAAGCTGAGCTAGCGACCCAGACCTGGCGGTGCTTCGCCTTGTGGGAGGCCGCGGAGGGAAATACGATGTAGCCTATTACGTACGGAGGATCAAAATCGTAACAAATATTCTTGTCCGGCGGCTTGGAGCCGAATGCCAACTGACTTTGATGTCTCAAATGAGGCCCAGCCCTGTAGGGCCATCTCTTTATCAGAATTAGGCTTCGACGTCGTGTTGTTGCAGATTAATTGCCGTGGAACTGATTGGCCGTCGAAAACATCCTCTCCCGCTTTCAATGCCATGAGCCGTCTCACGTGACTCAGAACCGCGCCAAATCTGAAGCTTCCCCAGCTTTTTTTTACCCGCCTGAGGGCCTGAGGCGACGCCTGTAGGCGCAACTCTGCCTCGTCGTCAAAAAGCACTGATAGCCTGAAACCCTGCATCTCGTCTTCCTCGAGTCACAACGCGCCCTTGTATCATGTGAAGCGCATGCTCGAGCTCTTTTTCATGCTCATACTGCTCACTACACTCTGCTAAAACCACAGGTGCATAAGTATCACGATGACACTCTACGTTGCCGCAAACTCACCGTTGAGATGATAGACGTTCTGCGACAGCTTCGCCACCCCCCTCTCCACCACCATGCCGTCGTCGCCCAACCCGCCGGCCGCCCTGGACGATCCTGCGACACAGTCGCCCGTCCGTGCGGACCACGCGGATTCCCCGGCGAAGGACACCTACCCCGAGACCGCAGAGGACCAGGAGGACGGCCAAGATCGCGAACCCGGCGAGGTTGACGCTGAGCCCGAGGCCGAGTCTTCCAAGGCCTCCGAGAAGGCTCCCGCTTCCGAGGATGCGCCGCCTCTGCCGAACGAGCCTACCCCGGATGGACCCCCGCTGCCAAACGAGCCCGTTCCCACGCCTGAGGATGACGGATGGGACTGCCAGTGGGACCCGAGCGCCCAGTCGTGGTACTTTGTGAATCGCTTCACTGGCAAGTCCCAATGGGACAACCCGCGCGTCCCCGTTGATGCCGCCCCGGTTACCAACTCGGCGTCCATGCCTCCGCCCCCTACCTTGGAGAAGCCTGCGGCTGGAGGCTACAACCCCGCTATCCACGGCGACTATGACCCTAACGCCTGGTATGCGAAGGGCGGTACTGAAGAGGGGGAGCCGTCATCTAGCGCCGCCCTCAGCGACCCCTCGCAGGTGCAGGGCGTGACCGCGTCCTTCAACCGCTTCACCGGCCAGTTCCAGACGGACGACATGGGCCCCGACCGCCACTCCGACGAGGCCAAGTCGCGGCGCCAGATGAACGCCTTCTTCGATGTCGACGCCGCTGCCAACGCCCATGACGGCCGTAGTCTCAAGGCCGAGCGCTCAGGCAAGAAGCCCTCCAAGAATGAGCTCAAGGCCTTCAAAGAGAAGCGCCGCGCCCGCAAAGAAGAGAAGCGTCGAGCCTGGCTGAGGGACTAAGAATGGTCAAGACCACGGTGCTCACATCAAGATTGGGAGCACCCAACATCTTTATATACTTTTTTATCATTCGGCTGGAAAGATCATCATTGGACGGCGTTCTAGGGACTACGGTGGCAAGGCATGTTTTATACGGGATTGGCAGTCGTTGGGGCTGAAGTTAGAGAGATCCATTTTCTATCCTTGTTTGGGTTTTTGCGTATTTGAGATACCAGACCATGGGCGGCAAACCTTGGATGATGGAGACTTGCTGTCTCGCCTTGTATGTGGACCAGGTAGTGGTTCCGGAATCAGAGACTAAACATATTATATATGCTCCAATAAATGGCTCGAGCCACGGTTTTATATTCCCTTGACATCTATTCATCCTCCTCCTCCTCTTCGTCATCCTCAAGTTCCATGTTCAAGTGCACGCTCTCGTCATCATCATCGTCTTCATCGTCGTCTTCCTGAACTGCGGCAACTGGTGCAGCAGCTGGGCGCACTGGTGAGGAAGCCTTCTCCCGCACTTGTCTCTTGGGAGGAGTCGGGTCAGATCCCTCGTGTTTCCGCTTGGGCGGGGAGGCCGCTCTGTGACGCGCCTCGCCATCGGCAGTAGGTTTGGGTTCAAATGGGTTGGTCTGGATAGGCAGGCTCTTCTCAGTTTCAGGTACAGCAGAGAGCGTGCCTGGCTTGAACAGGTCTTCATTTGTTTCCTGAGCAAGTGGTTTCTCGTCAACGGCGGCATCCTCCATCTCCTCATCTTCATCCTCCTGTTCAACAGGGAGCTCCTCAAGCGGTGCCTCTCCATCGGCCAAGATTTGTGCACCAGCACGGAGATTGGTCCGCAAGATTTCCAAATCTTGGTCGCCAGGGAACTGTTGGGTGAGGTGGGGCAGGATGTTGGGGTAAACACGGCCGCGCTGGTCCTTGAAAGGGTTCAGGACACTGGAGACCATGGCGTCGCGGTTGCGAGTTAGGATGGCAGTCTGATCAACGAGGCCACGCAACGAGGGTTTGAGGTGTTGCTGGGGTAGCCGTGATGGAATAATGACGAGGAGAGCGGCGGCGGCAGCCTTGTGATCAGGCTGGAGTGTAGTCGTTTCGACGACGGCAGAGGCTTGGGGTTGCAGGAAGAGGTCCGCGTTGGCAGCAAGGCTGTTCTTTTTGGAATCGGTGCCAGAAGCGGTGGGCTTGTCGGTTTGCTTGAGATGACCAGCGTCTTGCTGAAGATCTCGGCAGCAGGCACCAAGCAGGGCATCGAGCATATCTACAGATGGCTTTGATAGAGTGGGACCGGCCAGCTTGAGGATGTCATTCAGAACAGAGTATCCCGTCATGCGAACGGTGGGGAGATTCATTCCGGATTTGACGACTCGAACAACATGGTCTAGAACCTCGGGCACGAGAGACACTGTGTTCTGCCCTAAACGCTGAAAGAGCACCTGCAGGAGTTGGAGAGCTGCGATGTGAATCTCTGGCATCAAGCTCCAAAGCTCATCCTTCTCTTCTCGACCGATCGCGGCGTTGGTTTGGAGGGCCTGGTCCCAACTTTGAGACTTGGGCGACAGCCGGGCAATCAAGAATACCCGGGACGCGGCATCCACAAGGGAACTGGTGGGAATGGTGACTGGGGCCTTTGTAGGATACCGTAAACAATCCGCGAGGTACTGGAACAATCCGACCAAGCGGTCTGTGCCGGCGTTGATCCCTGACCAGTCCGGCAGGCCATCAGAGGATGAGGTGCCGCCGTACGGCTCCCCGCCGAGTTCGACCTTTGACCGAGTGAAGCCACTTGATCCATCCCAAGACTCATCCACAGCTCTGAGTACTTGATCGGCAGTGGCGTGAAGTTCCTTAAGAAGGCCAGCAACTAGCTTGGCCCACTCATCGCTACCTCCTGACTTTGCCGCAACATGATGAAGGGAAATGACCAGGCGTCGTGCGGCTCGGGTTAAACTGCTGGGGATGACATAGTCGTCTGCCAGTGTGGGTGCGAGATATGAGCGGGTGGCGGTTCTGAGTTGGGAGCTGAAAGGACGGAAGGTGGTTGGGTAGAGAGGAATCAATGCAGAGAAGGCGTCGCAGATGGTCTCGATGACAGAGGACGGCGTCTTAGGAGGCTCTCCTGAGGGAGACTTCTTGATAAGCGCAACGCAAGCGGTGATGAATGCTGGAATGGTGGGGGTAGCGATCTCTCGGACGAGAGTCTGGTAGGGGTGGACCAGCATGTAAATCCTAGTCAACGTCACAATAGCAAGCTCTTTGGAGGCTATAGGATCGGCTTTCTAAACATTTGTTAGCCTCTGAGAGGTACTTGGGGAAGGCTCTAACACATACCTGGATCACAGATAACAGGCCGCGAACCCATGGCTCGGTTCCTCGCAGGACCTCCCATCCTCCAACGTCCACCGTAGCCTTGATGAGGCCAATGGCAGCAAACCGAGCATCGCGGTTACGACCATTCAAGAGAGTGGTGATGCTGGCCTTGAGTTTGTGGACAAGCTGGGAGGCTTCGGTGGATTTGTCCTTGGGCCTCTGCTCATGGGCAGCTGACAAGGGCTCCTTGCAGTGCAAGACATGGTTGATGAGAGAGGGGAGGGCGTGAGGAAGTTGAGCGGGGGGAATGGAAGTGAGCTTGCGGCAGAGAACCCGGAGGTCTGGGGGAAGTGAGGCCGACATGGTTTATGTCTGAGCCTGGGTTGTTCCTGGACGTTGCTGAAGTTGTTGGTGGTTGTCGCAACTGAGATGCTGTAGCTGTAGCTCTGCAGCTCTGCAGCTGAGCTGGTGTCGCCGTCACGTGCGGCTGGCCAAAACAGCGAGGTTTTGGGCTTCTGACGGCCGTAGCGGTTATCCGGAGCGGGCGAGACGAGTATGGGAGCTGTGGGAACGCAATTGCTGAGCCGGAAGCAACTAATGCCTCTCTTTCACAAGCCTGCGTCTCTCACTCTCGCCTCTGATGAACTTTTTTTTTTCTTCCCAGCACGCCGCAGCCAGCACAATCCACTACTGAAAGCGGACGGGGTGAACCCCTGGAGGCCGGGCCTGTCGTGGCGGCCCACTGGGCGCTGATTGGCCGCTGATTGGCCGCTGGCTTGGTTTACGTCGACGGTCGGCCCAGCATCATCCAGTACGGTGTGGCTCTGTACCTGGTTCGTACCGGCACGACCAACTTCCAAGACGCCCTCACTTCTTCACCTCCAGGTTGTGTTCAACGAGCTTCCTGCAACTCCCACGAACCTGCCCCTCTCCGCCATCCGCTCCCACCACGACAGCCTCGCTCCTCCTCCGCGCGGCCCCCTTGCCCGCCCTCCCTCCTCCGCGTCGCCCTCTCGCCATGCGCTTGGCGCTACTACGCTGCTAGTTGGACAACCTCCTGAACTGGTCGAATCATGGGTGTAAGACGACGCCTCGACGCGACTCCCCACGCCGCGAAGCTGACCACGGCGAATGCTGCCCTCTAGCCCAAAGCTGCGCAGTACATCAGCCAGCTCGACCATGCCCGCTGCGACGGGAACTGGGATGCCGTCCCGGAGCTGGTCCGCAAAGTCCGCAAGCATGCTCCAGAGAGGTCTTGTACGATGATCCAGCCCCACGTCGCCCGCCGCGATCTGTATCTAACACTGAACTGACTCCATACCTCTTCAGGCCTTGCCTTGACGGCCGAGACCGAATGCGCCATTACAAAGACGACGAATGCTGCCTCTGCTGGCTCCGACGGTCGACCCCAAACCGCCATCATCACCCCTGACGTCGACGTTGCCAGCCAGCTCCCTAAGCTTCTCCAGGCCATTGACGACGAAATATCTCACCCAGACGACAGATTCCAGGCCCAGGTGTGCGTCGGCTGGCTGCATTGGGTCTTGGGAGAATACGATCTTTGCGCTGCCCACCTGCCAGACATCCCCCAGGTGGAAGATGGCCAAATCAACCCCGCTGACAAGAGCGCAGAATGGTCCTCCGTCTGCGCCCTCAAAGCAGCTTACCTCAAGGCTAACTGCCTTGCGCGCGGCAGTGAGTTGAAGCAGGCCCTCGCCGCCTTCCGTTCCGGTCTGCCATCCCTCGGACGTATCTGGGCAGACCAGGGCATTGGCAGGCAGCTGCGGTATTGGGCGGAGCTATTCTTGACCGAGTTTTGCATGCTTTCAAGCCAAGCGCTCCAGGAGAATGAGACCTCCCTGGCCGAATCCGAATCGCTCGCCTGTTACCGCTCCTGGGCCAAATTCTGGGATGTCATTGGGGCACCCGTCACCGGTGGTTTTGGATTCAAGGGCTCTGTCCCAAGGCGGAGGATATGGAACGAGTACTACCTAGCCCTCTCGCAAGTCCTCGAGTTCGACCTGTCGTTCCCTACCGGGTTTGTGAGCAACCCTGGCGGGGAGCTGTCCACACGCGGCCAGTTGAGGGTGGAGCTCAAGCATGTCGAGACAGCCTACCAAGCTCTCCTCCTCAGCGAGACCAGCTTTCCCAGAGCCGAGGATGAGCGCCAAGAGGTCGAGGAGTTCGTCCACCAGGTGGTCAAGAACTGGTCCATTCTTTGCGGACGAGGTTGGAAGGAGCAGGATATCGGCCAGGGGGGACGAAATAACATGAGCCGTGCCGTCCTTGACACCCTCTACAGCGCGGCGACTAAGACGTACCACTCCACTGCAATCCTCCGAAATCTCTTCATTGTTCACCTCTCAGTGGCCGAATTTGATCTTGCTTTCAAATCATTCGATTCCTACCTCGAAATTGTCAAGAAGGGCAAGGCACGTGTTGACAAGACCGGCCACCTGGAGCCGAGCCTCGATGACGACGCTACTGTCCTTGAGACGATTTCGCAATGCATCATTGCCCTTTGCCGATACGGACAGAGATCTGCCGCAGAGAAGGCACGTCAACTCGGCGCGGAGCTGGAAGACTGGCTGGCCAAGCTGCCACCATCCAACTCCCAGGATACACCGATGATAGTGGAAGGATCAAGCGTGATACACCCACCGGTGCCTCCTCATATCGTTTCCCAGGCCTGGCAGGCCATTGGATTGTCACATGCCCATTGGTCAAGGGTGACATACGAAGCTGCCTCACGAACCGAGATCCAAACCAAGGCCATCCGGTGTCTCCGCAGGTCTCTGGCGCCGGAGTTTGGTCGCTCGAAAGATACCCGGAGTTTCTTTGCACTCGGCTTGTTGTTGGCCGAGCGAAGAGAGCTGACTGCTGCAATCGAAGTGGTGAAATCGGCCTTGACCGTAGCTAAAGACCAAGGTGAGCATTATGACTTGCTCCACGGTCCCTATTGGCAAGAGCGCTCCCTTATCCCTGTGTGGCATCTTCTTGCACTCCTTTTGAGTGCGAGACAGGACTATGCCATGGCGGCGAGGGCCTGTGAAGGCGCACTGGAGCAGTTTAAGAGCCCCTCTGTTCTGTTTGGAAAGACAGACCAGTCCTTCAGGAGCGAGCATCTGAAGGAGGCCGAAGCCAACACCACGGCACCGGAGACCCGAGGTTTGGTGGATGATATGGATGACGCAGAGAAGGAGAGCATCCTTGAGGTCAAGATGACGCAGCTTGCCTTGGTTGAGCTGCTTGAAGGCCCCGACGTTGCAGTCAACGCTAGTTTTGAGCTGCTAACTCTATTTTCGAGGCTGTTCGGCAACGTTACAGCGCAGCCGTCGTTGCACCCGCCAAAGGCATTGGAGCCTCCTAAGACGTCTGGCACCCTCAGAAGTATCAAGGGGAGCATCTTTGGACACAACGACAGATCGAGACCGCCGACGAGACAGGTCTACACCTCCATGTCGAATGATAGGTCAACGATCATGCCGTCCCGACCAGCAACTGCAACCACGGTCAGGAGCTCTGCGCCAACGATTCAGGTCACTGGAGAGAACGGATCCACGGCTGAGATTTCGCGACCGAGGACGTCGGCTTCGTCTATCCACCGAACCAGGCCAGGGCGAAGCAACAGCCTCAAGAAGCGAGATAGAAGCAAAAGCCGGACGAGGGCAACTAGCATTGGATCTGTCTCGAACAACCCCACGGTTCTCGACGGAGAAGTCTTCTTCCCTGTGGGCGGCGATGAGCCCGAACAGACAGATTTCTTCACCTTTTCGAGTAAACGACAGTCATCGTCAAGAGCCTCCTCTTTCTCCCGATCTCGACCGGTGTCGCACCTCTCTCATCTCTTCAACCATTCCAAGTCAACAGGCATCTCCGAGATGTCTGCGAGTGATGGCTTGAACGCCTCCACCAACCTACTACCCCTAATCCAATTCCCCAAGGATAAGGAGAGGGCCCAGAGAATGGCCAATCTCGTCAGAGTCTGGTTGATGATCGCCGGCTTCTATCGCCGGGCTGGCATGAACGAGGACTGCAAGGGGGCCATTACCGAGGCGCAGCGACTAGTTCAGAGCCTCGAGTCTGACTCGGCTAGAGACCCGTCCGGTTCCGGAAGCCTGAAGGCTCTGGGCTGGGCTGAGCGGAAGAGCGTGGAGGACCTGTGGAGTGACCTGTGGTCCGAGGTACGATTTCCCTGGTGACACTTGGTTTAAGCAATGACTGACATGCAATCTAGCTAGGAGAGTTGGCTCTCGCCAAAGAGGCACCGTACGCGGCCCGTTCAGACTTCGAGACAGCCCTGACGCATGCTCCTAACCATCCCTCTGCCATTATCGGCCTCTCAAATATCCTGCTGGACGTCTACAGCGAGAAGATGCTGCCACCGCCCGCAATTCCGCCCCTAGAGGAAATCATCCCCCTGTCGACGGCGAACAACCGAGGGTCCAGCCCCCACGGCGTCTCGGCCCTCCCCTCCACCCCTCTGGGTCTCGGCTCATCAACCCCTGAGCCCGCCGCCTCCATCAACAACCGCACCACCTCGGCGCTGCAGGACGACGGACTCCCTGACGCCTACAAGGCCACCCGCCTGCCGCTCGTCGACCGCCTCGCCGCCCGCGACCGCGCCTACGCCCTCCTCTCCACCCTCACCAAGCTCGGCTCCAGCTGGAACAACTCCGAGGCCTGGTTCGCCCTCGCCCGCGCCCACGAGGAGAGCGGCCAGCCGGACAAGGCCAAGGAGGTGCTGTGGTGGTGCGTCGAGCTCGAAGAAGGCACTGGCGTACGCGACTGGCGCTGCCTGAGCGGTGGCGGCTACATCATCTAGGCGAAGCAAGCGATGTTTATTGTGTGAGTTTGTCGTACTCTGCTTGGTTAGTAGCGATGGGGGGAGAAATAGAAGAATAGGTAATTCTCGGCGGTGGGACATTTGACATGTTGTAATAAACTCTCCCTTGGCTTTTTTTATTCTTCTTTTTCCGTCGATGACATAGTTGTGGTGTTGTGCTGGAGATGTTTCGATACCTTGATTGAGCCGACACGCGTGGTTAAAATGTGGCTTGCAAGAATATTATACCGCCGAGTAATTCGACATGTGTTGTGTTAAGACAGCGTGTTCCTGGTGTTTCGGCGGGTTCTTATATATACTTACTAACTCCAATAATTTAACATAATACCGTATTTATTCTATCATCGTTGTTAAACAGCAACATTCTCATCTTTGGTAATTCAGCAACCATCCTGCACAACGAAAGGTTCGGTTCGTGGTATATGCCCATGATGTAGAATGTTGTATTTCATCTATCCTCATCCCCAGGGTTCACCCCCTACACAACCCTCGACCGCCAGATAAGCAGGCCGCCAATGGCCGGGAATATTGACAAAAAATGACAAAGAAGATTTGTTCTTTTGACTCTAATGGTTCTGTCCTCCAACTCCCTGATATGCGCCGTGGGGCTTCCGTACATCCCTCGTTCACCATGCCTCATTCTCCTACGGCTCGTCTAGCCGGATCCACTCCTACCATACTGTCCACTCCTCTGCTGTCCACTACTCTTCTGTCCACTACTCTTCTGTTCACTCCTCTGCTGTCCATTCATCTACTGTCGGTTCTTAAGCAGGCCTTGGAGGTATGACGCAAATGTCTTCTTGTCAGTCGACGTAGTGAGGGATCGCAAGAAGCTATCGCCGTCGATTCCCATGCTGGGGAACAGCCCATTCTGTAGCTGTTGAATGAAGACTTCTCCCGTCTTGGTGTAGAGGATTTGTTCCAGGCCTGCAATTTCTACCAGGATTTGCTTCGTCTGAGCATCCTGCCACGGTCGGAAGTTGGGGTTCCTCATGACCTCCCAGCAGGCCGCGTGGAACCGGTCAATCATGAACTGATCGAACCCGGGGATTGCGGGGTTGGGGGCTCCCGAAGGTGCGGTCGGGTTCTGGGCGATGGTCGCGATATCGGGGCCACCCCAAACGGCCGAGATTCGTGCCATCAGGGTAAACGCCAGTCTGCTAGGTCCGATGTTGTTTTCGAGCGTCTTTGAGAGCTCGATGATGGAGGAGATCATCGGCTCGAAGAAGCCTTGGTTGGACTCGCTAATGAGAACGCCCTCAAGACCGTTGTTGAGGATGATTTGGAGGAATGAGAGGTACTCCCTTCTCAGCTCAGCCAGTTGGATCTCATCGTCGGTTCCAGCGATGGGTTCTGTGAGACCACCAAAGATTCGTTGAAGGAGCGGTGTGAGCAACATGTTGAGAACGTCGTAGATCTCCGACTTGAAGCCGAAGACCACTTGGTCCAACAATCTCAAGAACATGGCCATTTCATCCTTGGACGAGCTCTGAGACAACAAGCCTTCGATCCACTGGGGAAGCTGTGGTAGGACCGCAGAGCCGAGAACACCGAGCAACTTGGAGAAGGCAGATCGACAAGCTGTTCGGATCTCGGCGGACGAGTTGAGCTGGTTCAAGGCGATCAGTATCGCTTCGGCGGCACGAGAAAACTCGTCAGAAACGGCCTTGGCTGGGGGACCATGAGCGTTGGCGGCAATCGAGCCAGGAGTCCAGTCGGAGAAGCCGTGCGCCAGTGTTCCTAGAGCCATGACGATGTGGTGGATTTGGAGGGTGGCTTGGGCATCACCCGACTTGGCTCGAGGGAGGTGAGCCTCCATATCCGTGAAGAGAGGGTCCATCACGGAGCGGGCATAGAGTGCCTGGTTCTCAGGCGGTGTGCTCTGGGTGGACGATATACACCCAATAGCCTCGAAAAGATACAGCTGGCTCGTGAAGAGGGCATCCGCAGAATGATCAGACTCGTCCGATGACATGTCGTCGTCGGCGTCTTCTCCTGGGACCTCGGCCTTGATGGGCAGTAGGTCTCCAATCGACTGAATGACTGTCTCGGCGACGTTGCCGACCTGAGCGCGGAGTTGCTTGATAAATCGGTGGAAAAGATACCATGACCGGGTCTTGATACGAACATGGTCGTGGTGAACCAGTCGGACAAAGTTCTCCAGGACTTGGGGGATGTACTCTTGGTTGCTCTCGAAGACAACGCAGTAACGGACGCAAATCTCCATGTACTGAAGCAGAATCGCAGGATGAGAAAAGGTCGCAATGCCTATTGAGGATGTTAGGGACCATTCTCTTCCGAAAGCATGACACGAAGTTACGAACCTGACTCTACCATCTTTCGCATCATGACAATCAACCTCTCAGAGGCTTCGCTGTTTGGCTGGTTTTTGGTCCCCAGACCCTGGTTGGGGAGGGCAAGCTCGCCAAATAGGTACATCTCGTAGAGGGCGAGGTCCAAATCCCGCCAGTCCATCTGCGAGCCTTGCTGGTCGAGGGTCTGGAAGGTGGTGGCGACTAGATTGCTAAGCATCTCCATATACAGAGCCTGGTCGATGGCAGCGATGGTCTTTTGAAGGTTCTGCAGTTTTCGCCGTAGCTCTTGGAACTCGGCCTCGTCGGTCTGCTCGTCTTCATTCCCCCACATCGAAGTCTCATCATATCTCATCTTGCGAATGATGGCATCTAGAATCGGGGCAAGCATGTTGCCGTATTCCTGTGGCAGTTGGCCAACTTTACGGAGGAAGGTAAGCAGGTCTGTAAGGGCGGGAATGACGGTTGAGCAGATTTCATCGTACTCGTCGGCGAAGAATCGGAGGAGGAAGGGGAGGAAGCCATTCAGGTGCTGGTTGGCCCTCGCGCGGGTTTCATCACTGATCTGGTTGTCCTCGAGGGCCCGAACAATGTCGGATAGGACCGTGTTCACTAGCTTGGCAACAGCCTCGGCCAGATCGGTGTCGTATCGAGAGGATCCCTTGAACTCGCTCAAGGGAGGGCTAGCAACTAACTGTTCGACAATTCCCTGCAGATTGATGAAGGAAATCATCTCCATCTTGTCTCCTGACCGCATCTTCTTGCCACAAATCTCGGTCAGGGTGTCGATAGCGGTGTCACGGACCTTGTCTTCACCACCTGAGCCGCGAACCCGCCCGACCACTGGCAACAGGAGACTGAGCATGTCCTGGCTGATGACCAGAGAAATGTCTATCCAACTAACCCACTTCCCCAGGACCTTGAGGACCAGCTCCACGACAGCGTCATTGGTGTTGTATTGAGTGAGGAGTTGTTTCCAAGACTCGGAGACCTTGTTCATGTCCTGGGCACGGAGCTGGTCTTTGAGTTCGGTATTGCGCTTGGCATCGCTGCTCTCTCTTGACAGGAGCATGTCAGCGATCTCATCGTGGATGGAGCCAAGGACTCGGAGGTAGAAGACGACGCCGGAGACGTTGTCGGCGTTGTTGGGTATGCCCGCCAGCACTAGGAAGTCGTCGATGAAGCTCTGCCACCCATCCTGATAGAGGAACACAAACAGATACGTCAGTGTTTGGGCGAGCTTGTTCTGGAGATGTGGGGGGTCCGCTTCTTGCTGGGCATCGGGGCCGTAGGTCTGGCGGCAGTACTGGAGGAGGGTGTCCTTGAGGAAGCCAAGGCTGGCAGGGTCGAGGCCCTGGTTGTGGACAGCGTAGTTGACGACCTCAAGGCAGACCAGACGCACTACCTCGGAAGTGCGCGGCGTTCGGGCGAAGAGGGTGGTGCACGGCTGCCATCCTTGGGGATCGGTTCGGAGCTGGTTGAGGTATTCGAAGGCTTGCTCCTTGAGGGACTGGTCGGAGATGGGATTCGACAGAATCTCGACGGCATTCTCGACCTGGACAACAGAAGGGTAACGCATCAGCACTGGGACATGTCCCCACGAGGTTTGGGCATGCGATTGCCTGTCCGCATCGTCGGGTTGTTGGGGTTGGGCCGATGCCCCATGATTGTGGCCCAGACCGACGTCAAAATGGCGGGGCACAAGTCGGCCACACGAGCGTCATGGACCCCTGCAGGCAACGGACGACAAGGAGCAGCCAGCGTGACTCACCTGAGCCTCCATAGTCAATATTCAGGTGCAACAGGCACCGCGGATCGTGGGAGAGACGATGTGTAGAGGGCGACGCTGCTATAATTCCGGCAGCCGTGGGTACACAGCATCCAGCATAGTTGTATCGTTGGGAGGGCGAGGCGGACAAGGCTACCGAGGGGTCATGCCTGGGTCTGGATGCCGGTCGGAGAGTCGATGCTGGGGCCGGGCAGGGGCGACGGGAATCCACTGCAGACGGACAGCAGGCGCGCGAGACGGAGACACTGAGAAGGAGCCCGGCAGGGGGGCGGCGAGGCAGTTTTGGCAGGCGTATATCTGGTAAGGAGCTGCGTTTTTATCGGAGGGTGCTATTTCTAAAAGTCGGTGCGGTGCCCGTCTTGTGCCAATGTGGGGTAGCCGTCGAACAGCGAAGCTGCGCGGAAGATTCTCGGACAAACATTGAACCCACTGCCTCGGGTCCAGGCGCTGGGCCGCTACGACATAGGCAGTTACCTACCTATTTACCTGCCTGCTGGGGCTGGGGCCGTGGCTATTGCGCCTCTTTTCGCACTTCACACGGCTGAGCCGCATTCATCACTGTGCATATTCGTACATAAGTATCCAGTGGGCTTCTTTCTCGGTGTTTACCTATGATATGCAGTCCTTTTTTTACCTGTCTCAGCCCTCTCATCGGCCATGCTGATCACATGCAGCCCGTTGGATTTCGCAATTCCATGCTCACCACGCACGTTCAATCCCAACTCAACTTTAAGTAACCCTCTATTGTCGTGAAGATTACCACAGACGTGAACTGAGTTTGAAGAATGTCGCTTCATGTTTTTTATTTTCTAGAGAAATACACAGGGCAGAATGCTTACTGAAACCCATCCTGGCCACTGGGTTAACCGTAACGGATGCGATGTTGGGCGGTCATTTCCTACGCAGAATGCCCAACTGAGATGAGGCGTTAGATGTCTCAGCCAAACATCAGCACTAGTTTACTTTCCACAATAAGCTTAATTCTTCATCAGGGTTCGCAATCATTGCTTAGAACAGTTCCCCAATCCCTTATTAAACGAGCTGATCTGTACTAGGCGGTCGCCCGTGTTGACACCAACTTACCAGGAGATAATAATGCTGGCTCAACAATGGTATAGGGTAGCACGCCGCCAACTGGCTTGGTGGCCTCATACCGCCATGCTTTCTCCAGGGGCGTGCTGGTGAGCGAGTCTTATCAACGTGGGTGCACTGGGAGTTTGAATTGTCAGGGCTGACGTTGAATTACCCTCTGTCCCAAAAACATTCACGAGGTTGACTTTTCGAGATCATGCTGGGTTGGTACAATTTTGAAGTCATTAAATAGGATATCTCTCGGACCCTCAATTTCACCAACGGCCTCTAGTGCTGGGCTTCACAAAGTGTCGCAGACAGCGAGCAGTATCCCACAAGCCTGTCGGTTCCAAAATCCAAATAAAGCAATTACTGCTGGCGGCGGGTGGTATCTCGTCAATCTCCAACACTGGGCTGGTTCGAGTAGATATGTGTGACATTGAGATCATTAAAAGCCACGGACACGAAATTGCGACTGAGTCAAAGCAGCTCAGCCATAGTGCATTGGCTCAATAGCTTCCGAGATTGGACTTGTCATCTCCTCTTTGTTGGTTACAATGTTCCCAGTAAAGCAAGCCCCTGTGGTCCAAGCGGATGCGCCATCGCCGCGAAGTCTGCAGACAGCCATTATTACAGTGTAAGGCCAAGCCGACATGCAGCGGCGAGTTGACGACTCTCAAAGAAAGGAAAGAGAGGTGTATCTTCCGGGCACTTTGAGCATGTTGCGGTGAGACAAAGGATCCGACCTCGATGTGGCGACGATCTCCCAGTTGCGACTGGGACCCCTACACTTTCGATGGAATGCTTGTAGACCGTTCAAGGGCGAGACGGTGCCATTATCTACTCGCCCGGGATATTAACTGGGCCACCATCCTCATTTCCCCACCCGCAACTTGTCTTACCTATCTTAGGACCCCGCCTCCAGGAATAGCAGAAAGAAGCCTCGCCGCCTCCTATTTCTCCTTTGGCGGGGGATTGCAGAGGGGCCGCTTGAAGGAGTGGAGAGCAAGAGGAATTCCGGCCCCTGCTGGCGTCACGTTCTAGGCGTAGACTTCTCATCCCGAATAGCGCAGCGGAGTATTGGCCATGAACCGGTGGTTTTCAGGCTGGGAAGTTCCGAGGATGGGACCGCGATCGTCAGGAGAGGATCAGTTACTGCCGGCGCGATGTGGACTCGGCATGGCATTGCAAAGGCGACCTCGGAGGCCTGAACCGGCCATTAGATACTACGTAGTAGAATATGCTGTAGGGATATAGATTACACGGGTAGCGATTTTCATTGCTTTCGATTCGCCGTTTGTTCTTCTTGCCTGTCAAACGAGAGGCAGCCCGGAGGCCGCATTGTTCAAACAAAGTGGAGGGCACTGGATGCGGCGCACTGCGAATCAGCGGGCCACGGCCGCCATGATGCAATGAAATGCGAGTGCGAGAATCGCAGAAACAATGCACACAGCCACGCGGACTCGTTGACATGAATTGCGACATTTGTGGCTCTTCCTTGTTTCACACGAATTTCGACGTCATGGGGGAAGCGTGGCATTTGGATCAGCAGCGAGCCGTGGGATGGTGAGACAAGTGGGCGAGTTCGGCGGGAATAAGCACCTCTCAAGCGCACGGATTGGACGAGGCGGCGCGCCATGGGTGATGGTGTGGCGGCATGATCCATGTAATTGATGAGACATGATCCCTTGGCCACGATCCCTCGGGTCCATGTGCAATTATCCAGTCCCGAAGACACCCTTTAGCCGTCACCGCCTCACGGCGTTGCTCATCATCATCAAGGAACCCCAAGGCGGGCTGCATGTCGATGATTTAATTCTAGAACGAGACCGAATATGGAGCCGAGGGATGGCGATCCTGCATCTGGTATCCTTATTTCGGTTCTATTTAGGCGGTTTGGGAAGTAATGGCCTTGAGGTCCTCTCATCTTTGCAACCAGGGTTAGGTCGTCGTATCGGCGGTATTTGTTTCTGCGCGCATCCGTCTATACGTCGACTGGGCCTGGGTTTGCTTGCTTGTGAGCCACGAGGTACCCGGCAAAGGCCTCCACATCCTTTCGCTTCGGTTTGGCTTTTCAACTACCCCGTCGACTCTAAAGTGCGAGGGGGACCTTTGTGTGTAGGAGGGGCGGACCAGTCGACTGACTGGTGCTGGCGCGGATGCAGTGCGTCGGTGACATGGGGCGCTTCTGGAACTGGGAGGCCCCAGTGGCGGCTTGAGATGGATGCCACCCACATCTGGTTCCTGCATTAGGGGGAGGTGACCAGGGCGGCTGCAGCGACTCCGGTGCGTCCATCCGCGACTCCATCGAGTCGTTTGGATCGCTTGGCTGTGGTGCAAAGGCCAGTCATGGGCCTGGCCTGGCCGCTCTCGCCCCCTTGTGTGGAGAACCCTTGCTTTGCATTGATGAACGCGTGAGTACTACGTACTGTAGTAGGGCGGATGAAAGGACATTTATCCATTGGTAGCGAGGATAGTGGGAGGGAGGGGGAGATTGTGTGGCCTGCTCCATGGTGTTGTGTTTCGTGTCTCGTTGCCACTATTTAACTTACTTGTGACGTCCTAAAGTGCCCAGGGCACGACCAGCTAATAAACACTGCAAGGTACACGATAGGAACATTCGGATAGCACCGCATAAGAATGTTTGAAGAAAAAACACCGCCTGCGGTAGTTGAAGATAGCATCCACTGCGTGACTTAGACACTGTCTCTGGTCTTTGCAGCCACAGCCGTCATTGTAGAGCGATATGTCCGAATTTGGGCCAACCAAGGTTGGAGGGGAATGAGGCGGCAAGGCCGCCTCTACTGGCAACTAGAGTCCCGGTTCACTTGGTAGCCCAAGCGTAATTGCGCACTTGCCCTGGGAGTGGGATTGGGATTGGAAGGAGCAAGTAGTTGTGCAATTTGCGAGGCGCGTGTGCACAAGAGCGCACAAATTGGTTATTTGATCCCCAGGGTAGAAGCTCCAGAGGGGGCAGGCGCACTGCAGCACCAAGGCCCAATCGGAAAAGGGTCATTGCAGACGTCGTGCTGCTACCCTGACTTTCCGCTTACACCATCCCTGATCGACATGCACAGCCATCCGATCGTGGATTGCCGTGACTTGACAGGACAGGACGACAGCAGCAGCAGCAGTAGCAGCGGCAGCCGTTGCATCATTAGCAGCGGGAGGGAACCACGAAGGGCGGTAAAAATGTGATGGACAGGCCGAGCGGACCCTTCGTGCCCCTTCTCTTTCAGCTCTCAGCGATCACTCAGCGATCCCTCTCAGCGATGTTCGCTGGTCGTCGCCTTGGGTCGACTCAGCGTCGTGACTGGCCCACGGCGACTTAGCGGTGTCGTCAATCCAAGCCCACCAAGATTGGCGCCCCCTGTCGCCCAGCGAACTCCCTACTCAAACCGACGGCGCCAGTCGCAGATCGCCAGTACGGACGACGGGTGAGCCACTTTGGACGACCGAGATGAAGAGACGACAAAGGCACAGCGCTTGAGTGCCCCACAGGCCGTTCCACTAGCACCCACTCGAAGCACCCACTCACACGCAACATCAACAAGCTTCCTTCTTGGACGACTGGAGGTTGATGTCCCGTGGAATCCTCCATGAGTCTATGGGTTCAAATGCCCTTGCAAAGGGACAAACAGGCGCCTGGCTGCCATGTCCAATGACAAGCTCTCCAAGGCTCCAGAGGCCCCCAACCGCCCTCGCCCGAACCTTTGACCCCGGCTCCCAAGTTACCTATCGACCACAACACATCCCACGCAGGTCCGTGGTCCACGAGCCATGTTGATCCCAGGAGCGGTCCACGGCGGTTCCACTCCCATGTCCACCCGCGACATGGCTCGGCCGTCCCAACTTCCAATGCTTGTATGGGTCATTTGCCAGGGTCACACCCATCATCGGCCATGCCAACCTTCACTAAACCCCCTGGGTTGGGGTGGCGATGGACCTGCCGACCTCGAGGTACGTAATTTCCGTCTGGAGTACGGAGTGCTCTTGGTGGATTGACATGGCTATTAAAACGCGACCGTCCTGCATCCTCCCATCTCTTGTTCTCTTTTCTCCTCAGCCCAAAAGCCAACTTAAGCTGCCGCTTCTTAACCCATCTCTTGACTCCGGTCGTCCATTCTTTCAACGCTCTCAAACAACTTCTTTAGCTTACCAGCTTAGCCATTCTTTACAACACCTACCTTCTCAACCCCAAACTTCAACAAGATGCGTTTCACCGTTGCTGCCGCCGTTCTGGCTTCCTCGGCTATGGCCGCCCAGGAGGTTTCCACCGACTACACCACCAAGCTGATCACCATCATCTCTTGCGCCCCGGAGGTCACCAACTGCCCCGCTGACCAGACTTCCGTCACCTCGACCGTCCTTCCTCTGACCACCAGCACTGTCTACTCCACCCGCCTCAACACCGTTGTCGGCTGCCCCTCCAACGTCGTCAAGTGCCCTGCCAAGAGCACCGTCATCGAGACCGAGACCATCGCCGTCTCCACCACTGTCTGCCCCGTCACTGAGACCGAGGCCACTGAGGTTCCCGTGAAGACCACCAGCATCAAGGTCCCTGTGGAGACCACTCCCACTTACGAGGTCCCCGAGGAGACCACCAGCGTCGAGGTTCCTGAGGAGACTACCCCCACCTACGAGGTCCCTGTGAAGACCACTGGCGAGAACTCCCCCGAGACTCCCTCCGAGACCGTGTCTTACAAGGTCCCCGTTGTCTCCATCACCACCAAGCCCTCCAACGGCACCGTCCCGGCTGGTTCCACCTACGTTCCCTTCGCCACCACCACCCTGTCGTCTCCCGAGCAGTGTGTTCCCTCTTCCTCGGTGACTGCCATCACCAAGAGCTACACTACTGTATACACCTCGGTTGAGTACTCTACCATTCAGATCCCCTGCTCTTCTGCTGCCGTCGAGACCTCTTACATCCCTCCCGTTGCTACCACCCCCGCTGGCGGCAACAGCTCGTGAGTACACACATTCCCAAGATGTTTTTGGATAGCTCAGCTAACACATCTCTAGCGTTCCCACCACTAGCAGCACTCCCCCCGTCGTCACTGGTGGCGCTTCCTCTTTCGCCGGCTCTGCCTTCTTCGCCGCTGCTGCCGGCGTTGCCGCTATTGTCCTTGCTTAAATATTCCCCTCTTTGACTATAAGTTGAAGGCCGCAGGATACGGCAATTCATGACTAGCATTCAGTGCCTAGTTAACATGTAAAAAGTTTACTAGATCTATGAATACTATCGCATTTATGGCAACAAACCCTTGTACTTAATCTTCTAATGTATTGGGGCAATTCAAAAATGGTACTGGTCAACCCCGGTTGACCGGACCATGGACTGGTTGTCTGGTTGCAAAACAGACAAACAATTTTATTTTCTTAAACAAGCTCCTGTGTCCTGACGTGAATCGCGAAGGTCTCTTGTCCACCCTGTTGCATGAGAACCATTTATCTACCAGTGGAATCATTTCAACAAGAGTGATGCGGTGACAGTTGGCTAGACTCGGAATGGATGGGTGTCGTCTCAACCCTGGTAAATCTGGGGTTGGAGACGACGCCGGCGCGCCCCTCCCGCAGGCCCTCATTTCCCAAACCCACCAGGGTTAAGCCACCCGTGACTCGTCGTCCCAGCCTCTTTCACAGCAGCCCGAAGATGTCCACGCCCCCGGACTCTCAGGAAATTGCCATCTGCGGCGTACGGGCCGTATGATTGGTCTCATGGATCGGTAAACTGGGACGTGGGACCGTCGGTTGACAGACCGGGACTTTCGCGCTACGGCTGGATAGGGAAGGAAGAGTTGGACGGATGACGAGTCCCAGATGGGGTAAGTTGTGCTTGACTTGGGCGATGGATGGGTCGTCGTCGTCACGGCGTACGTACAGTAGTGGATGGGGGATGAAGCAGGCTAGGGTTGGGAAATCTCTCAATTGGGATGGACATCTGGACTACTGGAGTCATGCAGACTACGAATGTATAGTACGTGCTAGTACTCCGTAATATAGACGGGAATCAGGTACATTCCAGGTCCAGCAAAATGACCTCTGCTCTTGTGACCGTTTATAAATCCTCGAGCTGCATTCGAAACATCTCACGAGTCGATTTTGTGTCCACGATGACGCAGCTAGGTTTCCTAGTTGATGACCTAGTTTCATCAATCTATCCAGGTATGCCTCTCTCTCTCACATGGAGGGCATCGAGCGACTTTTGCTGAGACTCATGGATATGACCGTGTTTGTACCCCGAGGCACTGCCTGGTTCAGCACTGCGTTGGACATGGCGTCTAGTTTTGGAGTGTCTGCGCAAGGGAAAGTTTTGACGGGATGATGGGCGCACGAGTCTTTTCCGTGCCATACTATGGAGGAACAGGACAATAAAGATTAGACCCACTGTTGGTATTGACAGCCTTTTGACCGGCTGCATGGTAGGTATTTCAAGTCGGAATATATGGGGTGATGCAAGTTTACAACTACGACATCACACTGTGTCGGTGAAAATGATATGGCATCAAGGTTAGGACTATGGAGCGCCACGAACAGAGTTTCCAGATTGCAACGTCTGGGGCGTGAGGCTCTCAAGAGAACCTGGCGACGGGGCGACTTCTTCTCGCACCCGAGCTTCCATCTTTTGCTACTGACGTGCTAACTATCTTTAATAAAGATACCCGAACAGAATGTCCTGTAGTTCACTACGCTATTGATTACAATATATATCCTCCGAGTATATACGGGCTACGCTTTTCCTCCTTGACAAATGAGACTTACACATACACCAACACCGCAGGGGAAACCAATGCTGGTGCAGACATGGATAGCGACACAAGGGCACCGCATCGGAACTGGACGAGGTCCGCGTCCTGTTCGCTCACCGGTTCTGTACTTAATCCGTACAATAAAAATGACAGCACGTGCCAATGGCTATCCTCAATTTCATCGCGTCATGTGTTGAACAGATTCAGCACTCGGACATGAGCACGTTTGAGAGAGATGATGGGAGTCAGAGAGATCTTTACCTGGGATTACGAAACTCAAAACGAAACTTCGATTGAATTGTATTGATGCCCACAAGTTCAGGTCTCTGGTAGTTCCCATACGGAGCCCAGTCTGGTTGAGCGAACGCCATCCGTGAGGCGACAGCCATGGGGTTTCTCCATGGCACCGCAGGACTGGTCGTAGAGACTTGAAAGCAGAGAAGAAAACTACTGGCAGGGGTCTAATGGCTCAGGATTTGGCTGAGAAACTTAGGGGTCTTGGTGCCATTTTTGCGACGTCTACTCTTCCAAACCCGGCGCATAGGAGCGGAGGCATCGCAACCACGGGTCAACGAGGTTTCCCCGGCCCAGTAGGACGCCAGGACCATAAGGGTTTTGTGCCAAATAATTATACCATGATGGTCCCGGGCTTTTCCATTTCGGGTTTCCCCTGCAGAATCAAGGCTCTCCGGTCCGGCCGAAGGGGTGTGTTTCTAAGTAACCTAGGAGCATAGTGTCCGGACAGTTTGCTCAAGCGAACCCGGATGCCATTCTTTTCTTCCATGCATCTTCTTCGAGTATCCAAACCCACAAATACCCAGCTCTGTTACCAAGTAAATGCAGTCTGTTTCGGGGAAAGAAAAGTCTGCTGGCCAGATGGGAGCGTGCTAGGGCGGACCCGGAGGGCCTCCCAATTAGTATATGAATCTCGACTGCTCCTTGCTTTCATGTCATCTTCCATCCCTCAGGAATAATTATTTACCCTACTTGGACCACTAGGTTTTCACTAGTAGCAAGTACCTTGACCAGCACATCTTCTTTATTTCATCAAAAACGCCATCGACATCATCAAGGCATTGCCCATCTCTTATCATCAACACCAAGCCATCACTTCATCGATCAGGAGTCATGGATATGCAGCCACTTAAAACTTGGCTCAAACAAGCGGCGTTCTACGACGCCTCCCCTGCGAGCCCTGAAGTTGCTGAGGTTGCTGAGGTTGCTGAGGCCATTGAGGTCACTGAGGCCACCAAGGTTGCCGTGCCAAAGACCGACCCAGTCACAGCACTTGAGAACTACATCATCGCCGGGGCCATGAAAAAGGCGGAAGAGGCGGAAGAGAAGAAAAAGCGCGCCGAGAACAATGTGCCGGCTCCTCCCACAGTTTGCCTAAAGAGAAAGAGGGCCGCCAATGAAGACCCCTCAGAAACTGCTCCTATCGCCTCGACGCAACCTGATCTCGCTCCCTCCCCTTCGGTCCGGGTCCCTATGGCCTCGATGGAGCCTGGTCTCCCCCTCTCCACTTTGATACCCGATCCAATCGCCTCGACTCAACCTGGTCTCTCTCAATTCTCTTCGGTTCCGGCTCCCAACCAGCTCATCATGCCTAGTATGGAGGCACCCTCGCTCACATTTGAATCTGCACCGGTTCCTGCTCTTCCTATGCGCCCGTTTCCAGCCCCGGCTCAGACCCAGCAACCAAACATAACTGCGGACGTCTCTAATGCATGGGGTACTGGAGGACTGCCGACAATCCCAGCCGTGGACCTTACGATGCTAAACAGCATCGCCAATCCTATTGGAAACGGATATGACACTAGAAATGGATATTGCACTGCCTATGGGTATGGAATTGTCAACGGATTTGCCAATGCCAACGGAAATTTCATCGGAAACGACAGTAGCAGCAACGGACTTGGATTTACCAATGGATGTGTCACTGGAAACGGATCTGTCCTGATTTCAACTGCGAACCCTCCAATGCTGAGCAACAATATCAACCCTGTTGGTAACGGATATGGCACCACCAATGGGCATGGCACTATCAACAACTTCAACGTCGGCCCAAATCCGGCCCCTTCTCAGCAGGCAACCCAGCAAGGTGCCGTCCATAATCATCACAGGCACCCTCAAACCCAACAACAACCGGGCCCTAATATCACCGGGCCGAACAATGGCGAACCCGGACAGGCCAAGTGTCCCCGAGGGAAATGTGCCGCCCATCGTCAAAAACACCCTCATATCCAACAACAACCGGGCCCTAATACCACCGGGCAGCCCGGACAGGCCGAGGGTCCCCGATTGAATCACGGGACCAACGCCATTCCACGCAACAGCTGTATGGAAACTGCAGAACATACAGCAAAGATCTGTAATTTAGTCCAACGCATGGCTCAAGAAATTGCAGAGCTCAAGGAAAAGGTTCAGCGCCAGGATATGATGATCGAAACGATGCAGAATATCAGCACCGCCGCAACAAGCCCCGCCACAGACTGTTCTTAGAATGCAAAGCTTCCTATCTGGTTGAGCAAAGTCTCGACCATCAGATTGAAGAGGGGCAGAAAATGGTTGGATTGGTAATGGACTCTGTTTTATTGTTTGAGTATTAGTGATTGGAATGTTTGCTTCTCGGTATTCTACATTGTTGTCAGAGAATGGCTACTTCGGCATCCTATAAAAATCGAGCAGGACTACATTAAACAACTTGGAACTAAATAATTCATCATTGCTTAGGGTAGAACCTGCGGCATTGAATATGATTTGAATTAATATAATGTAGTCTTGCTATAAAACAAAACATTACCTGTGAGTCATTTGCAGCCTTTAATCTTCTTGATAGTGCGCAACCAAAATGAGCTCATGGCTTCTTTACTTCGACTAAATGATTATCGACACCGAGAAGCCGGTCACTCAAAGAAATCAAAAGATTTACTTTCATACTCTCCAGGGCTCTCATCAAGCTTGAATCCAAGCCCTGAAATACGCCGAGATGACTCTGCGCAACATGTTCTCACAGCTTCTGGTTGTTAACTTTCAAGTCCACGCAGCCAATACTATGCGAGGAAAATAATAGTATCACTGCCTGCGTCAAATATAACAGCTGCCTGCTCTCACTTATGGGTGCGGGTTTTCGGATGGTACACTTTTATCGTAAGTCTACAGAAGATCAGGACTACCTAAACGACGGTGCGGAACTTGCGGTTGATTCTTCCGAGTGTGGTAGGACTCACAATTGTCATGAATAAATAGATGCGAGTAGGGTATGCCGTGGCACTGTGAGCCCTCGATGGCGAGGGTGGTATTGCTCAATTTTGGCAGCCTATGCCATTACAGGTGGCATCTTGTAACACATTCGGTGACATCAGTTTGCCAAGTTAGCGGGCTGGGCAAACAGTGTAATGAAATAATATTACGCTTCTGCGTTCAAATAGCAACGAGCGTGCGTGTGCGTGTGAAAATAGCACCGCTGAAGAAATTTACCACCTCGTTACTGGGTCACTGCCTCGCGTGGATTACAATGCAAGGCGGTTTGAACATAGGAGCCGGCATTCCCAATTCAGAACCCGTCTCTTGCCACGGAGGAATGGTCCGAATTATGCGGCCGAAATCTCATCAGCAAACAAGGCGCAGTGGCAGAGTGGTCTAATGCGTATGACTAGAAATCATATCTCTTCGGAGGCGTCTGTTCAAATCAGGCCTGCGTCGCTACAAATTCTTCTTTTGCCTCTATCGAAACTTATTTTTTTTTACTCTGCCCTTTTTCTTTTTGGTGTGCCGTGTGCAACTGAATTGAATTGTTAACGATTGGGAAAAAAGGAAAGAAAAAACATACAGTTTAACTAAACCCCAGCATGAACATGGTTAGCGCTGCGACTCCACTTGCAACCAACAAAGGGAGTCTCGTGTGTCCATGAAGTTCATGGTAAGTAGCATCATGTGACATAATTGAATACATTGATTATGATTGATTAATACTGAGAGTTCCCGTCAGGCAGAATTGCAAACGACCATGCCTAATGGGGGTTTGCTTGACATGAACCAACCGACGGATACTCTGGCTTATGAAGTGCAGGGGCACTGGTAAGGTGAGAAGAAAATCGGTAGACTGGTGAAGGGAGGGGCCTAAAAAGAACTGAGACGTTCCGATACCGTTGGAGAGTTGCTACAAAGCATTGATGTACCTCGATTTGCTATAGACCCGATCGACTCGCTCGTTCCACAGAGTCCAGGTGGAGGCCGGTAAATGGTCTGGATGAGGTGTTCACTACAGCGGTTTGCTTTGTACACTAAGAACCAGTAGTTCGAACTATGGACACGAGCGCCTCTCGAGAAAATCTAAAAGATTCAAGAAAATCATGCCCACGTTCACAGTCACAGGGGTCAGCCGTGACAGCACAACGCACCTTCATTGTAGAAATAACTTTGGCATCGCTCACTCTGGTTGTTTGCTATGGCTATCAAATATGCACCATACGTTCATGAACTTCTTGGTTGCTTTACTGCAAGGTCAGTTTGCTGTATTAGGCTGCGGTTGGCACTGGAGACGGGAAATGAGGATAGTGGCCGAGTTCCATATGCCTCTGCACACATAGGCCTCGCCATAGGTGAGGCGAGAGCTTTCTTGAGTTTATATATTTTGGGCTTTCAGAGGATTGCAGCATTTAATGCGTATTTTGGTCTCAGATGAAGTGGGCGCGGGGGCCAAAGATATTTTGCAGCGGCGGTGGGGTAGGCGCAAGAAGCGGAGAGATGGTGGGGCGCCGGCGGAGGAAAGCGGCGGAGCGGAGGTGATGGGAAAACGCCGACGGAGACGGAGACGCTGGCCACAGAAACGGACACGGACACGGACAAGGGCGCATGCGAAGGAGAAAATGGGTGCTGTGTGCTAAGGTGGAGGGAGATGAGGCGCAGGCTTCACACTATTGGCCACATTGGCTACATATGACAGTACAATCAGCTAAAATTCTAGTGCTCTTTATCCTCCAGAACGTCATCACCACAGTGACATACTGATAGACCGGGATGCATCCAACTCTATGGAAGGGGAGATAGAGTTACGGATACCGGATGGGCCTGCATTCGTCGCGAACATGGGGGCTTACTTGCAGACAGACTGGCCGAGTGACTCCCTGTGGAGGAGGCAGTGTTGCGAACGGTGGTGAGTCGATGTAAGTGCGCTTGGTGACTGGTGAGTCTGGTGGTGGTAGTGTTCGTCAGGAGGTCAGTCAGCCGTAGCCTGGGAACACGGATTCTCTCGTGTTCCAAAACACCACACGGGATAAAAACAGCATCAGGGCGGGTAACGCGAGATGCGAACTACAGTGCGACGAAGGGACTTGCGTAATGAAGAGGGGACCTGGCCCGGTCTGTTCATGGGTTGGGGAGCGGAGAGAGTGCGAGGTGAGAGGAGTGAGGAGGGCTTACAAACAAAGAGGAACGGGCATGATTGAGCTTGGGAGGAATGCCGATCCCTGTCAGAGTAGCTAAATGCGGACCAACAATTGGCTGAGATGCGGTTGTCCTGTCGTGTCATTGCAGATGCGATCTTCAGATTACCGGTGCCCCGACGGAAGAAAAAAGTTGGGGCCACGGAACCTGAAAAGGCGCTAAAGCTCGCACTCGTTCGGACTTACACGCAGGGTTGCATTGGAGGTGCGCAGCCGCAGTGGTGACGAAGGACAGGACGCCTGTCAGCCCAACAGGCAAGCCACCTCATGTTTTAGAGCCTCGCTGGGCCTATCAGAGGTGTTTCGCATCTTGTTCCATTCGCATTCTCTGCCCGGTTCGAGTGCGAGGGGAGAAATGAGCTGAGTTCCGGGGAGTTGGCTGGGCTGTGGTGTTGCACTCCAGATGCCATGATGAGGATGATGATGATGATGATGATGACACCCTCCTGGAAAAATGAGGCTGGATCAGGCAACGAACATTTCTGCAGAGGCTACTCTCTACTACGTACCTACCAGTAGTATACAGCATTTTCGCTTAGCCTTGGTGTCTTGATTGACTCACCAGCCTTACGGCGTGGTTGATGATCCATTTTCCATGCATTCTTTGAGACGTGGGGGATGCAAGGATCCAGCATGGTCATCCTCTTCCTCACACAGCCCCCCAAGCTTCGCTGCACTGCACGTAGTTTTACTTCGGCGGCTACGACTCGCCCTTCGCCCTCGTCCTTTCGCACTCGCTCGCTCGCTCGCGCCCGTGCCAAGCCTGGATCCTCCCGCTCAAGCTCTAGGGCGCCGCGTACGCACACGGACTTGGGGGACGGAGCACCGGCGCAACCTTGTAGCTAGCGTGCTGCGTCGGCCGTTGGATCGGTAGAGGGAACGCCGCGTATGTACTGCACGGAGTAGCTCGATGATCGATCATGGCAACTAGAGGAGAACATGGCTTGCGGCTTCACTTGGGATACTTGCAGTCACCAAATCAGGTCCATTTAATGATGGCTATTGTATCGTTCCAGCACACCGACAAAACACCCGGCATCATGCTGCATGTCCTGTCCCGAACACTGCCATCTCATTTACCAACTGTTCCCGGGCAATGCAACAGAACGCCCATCTACTCAAACCCATACGCTGCATCTCGCTGCAGACGAGGGCATTGGCCCATCTTTGCGAAAGCCGGGAATCGCAGCGCAAGCCGAATGTCGCAGTGGGAGTCGTCGAGTGGTACCACCTCCGCTGACGGGCGGAGTCCCACTAGTCTTCAGTGGAGGAAGGGCTGAGGCGCAGCGGCCCTTGCGCAGATCGAACTCCCCTGTTGTGCCCTGTGTGTGAGTGGGCTCAGGGCTCCGAGTCCGAGTCGCCAGGTGCGAGGTGCGAGAGCGACCCCTGTCAGGCCAGGGCACTGCCGCCAGATGGACGTCCGCAGCGCGCCGGAAATCTTGTCGTAGGGCTTTACTGTATTGCCGGCTCCGTCTCTGCATCCACCCCGTTCACCAAGATGTGTTTCTATATCAAGGACGCCGTCTTCCTGCTTCATAGAGACTTTTTCTTCTTGTCAGCATCCGCATCAGCATCAGCACAACATCCATCCAGTCAACGGACCTTCTCCATCTCTCTCCGGAAGTGTGCCTACATTAAGCTTATTTGCGCCTCCATTTCCATCTCGCTCTTCAACCCCCTTATAAACGGATAACTCCTCCTATAACCCGAGACACAAATCCCATTCACACCCATTCACATCCGTTCGCATCGACAACAACTACAACACCAACAACAACACCCTCACACCCGTGACAATGACCGTCTCGGTTCCCGCCAACATCACCCAGGCCGATGCCTTCGGTGCCAACTCCCCCTGCAACCTCGACAACTGCCCCATCGAGTGGAGCATCTACACCTACCGACCCTCGCTCGCTGCCAATGTCTCCTTGGCTGCTCTCTTCGGCGCCCTTGGCCTCGTTCACCTCTTCCTGGGTGTCCGATGGAAGTCATGGGGCTTCATGGGAGGCATGCTCGCTGGCTGCATCTCCGAGGTCGTCGGCTACATTGGCCGCGTCATGCTCTACAACAACCCCTTCTCCTTCAATGCCTTCATGATCCAGATTGGTAAGTCTCGACATATCTCCTTTGGCGAACGCAGCAACTAACCACTATCGCAGTCTGCTTGACCATCGCTCCCGTCTTCTACACGGCCTCGATCTACGTCACCCTCTCCAAGACGATCAACTTCTTCGCCCCTGAGCTGTCTCGATTCAAGCCTCAGCTGTTCTACTGGATCTTCATCCCCTTCGATATTGTCTGCCTTATCCTCCAGGCCGCCGGTGGTGCTATGTCTACCAGTGACAACAGCAGTAACCTGGGCGTCGATATCTCGATGGCCGGTCTCATCCTCCAGGTCATCGTCCTCGCTGCCTTCATCATCGTCTTTGCCGACTACATGATCCGCTATATGCGCTCCGGCCATGCTGCTACCTTTGGATGGCGCCTCAACGCCTTCTTCGGTGGTCTTAGTGCCTCCATCATCCTCATCCTCATCCGATGCGTCTTCCGTGTTGTCGAGCTGCAGGACGGATACGATGGTAGCCTCATCAAGCACGAGGTCCCTTTCATCCTCCTTGAGGGTGTTGTCATTGTTCTCGCAGTTATGGCTCTATGCTTCGGCCACCCCGGCCTCGTCTTCAACCGCCAGCTCGGAGGCCGTTCTTCTTCCGACAGCGAGAAGGGCGTTAACTTGTCTGATAGCAACTAATATGGATTTTCAAAACGGCGATTCAGCATTGAAAGGAAGGCACCCGGGTCTCGTGCTCATTGGGAACGAGGCGGAATGAATCCGAAAACTTTCTTTTGTTTTAAGCGATCGAAGATTTATTTTAGCTTTTTGATTTTTCTTAACCTTTATCAGAATAGACCGGTGCCATCGAGCCCCGAGGATTGGAATAGGATAGATATCCAGCATGGCTGGAACTGGCCAAGGAGTTGCATTACGGGGATAGACACAGATAGTTTTGGATCATGAGAACATATCCAAAATACATGGAAATTAAGTTGACATTGTGTTCCGATTGCGTGACTCTGAAGATGACTTAATATTAAAGATACCGCACGCATTCATAACAATATCTCAACCACTGAATTTATTTAAGTAAGTCAAGTTCACACAGAAAGTCAGCAAGGTTTCGAATCTGGGCTGAATCCCATTTACTTGCCATGTGTTGATACCGTATCGACTCAGTAAATTGGTCCTGAATCCTTCCCCCGCTTATTGCCTTCGGGCTTTTTTACGCCTAATAATTTAGGAAATCTAAGCCTTATATAGCTTAGCTTTAGTCCATAAAAACAGGGCCAATTTATCGAGTCGATAAGGTACTCCCCCTCACTTATGGTATCGTCCGGGCGATAAGCTAACCCCACAGTTTACGAGAAGTGGGTACGTACCGTAGAATCTCAGTTCTTTGGCAAAGTCTAGCGCGACGCTAACAGACTCATCCCCCATTTTACAGCATCAATCCCCCTTCCTGATTGGCCTGATTACGCATTAATGGAGCGCTAGACTTTTCCAAAGAATTGAGATTTTACGGTACCTGCAGCTCCTGCCGCCTCTCAACTCCACGGCCAACCACATGACTTTGAGCGTCAACTTCGAGCTTCCTGTTTCGCCTCCGCTTCTTTCGCCCGTCTCGTCGCCCGCCTCCTCCTCCTCCTCCTCCTTTATCTACCCCCCTCCACCCAATGCTCTCGCCCTCCCACCTTTCATCCCGCATCGCTCGCCCTTCCAGGATCGCAATTGCAGCTACAACCCGTCTCTCGACCGCCCGAGCCGCTGCCTTCTCGACTTCACCCCCCGCCATGGCTCCTCCCCAGGAAGCTCTCGACTTTGTCGACTTCGTCAACGCCTCTCCCACTCGTTCGTCCTCTCACATGCCCAAGGTCTCATCTTCAGTGTCCGGATGTCCCTAACCGGTCCTCTCTAGCCTACCACGCCGTCCAATCTGCCTCCGAACGCTTCGAAAAGGCCGGCTTCACTCTCATCCGCGAGCGAGACTCGTGGGCCCAGGCCCTCCGCCCTGGCGGCAAGTACTACCTCACCCGCAACGCCTCCACCATCGTTGCCTTCACCATCGGCCGCAAGTGGCGCCCCGGTAACCCCGTCGCCATTGTCGGTGCCCATACCGACTCCCCCTGCCTACGAATCAAGCCCGTTTCCAAGAAGAGCAATGTCGGCTTCCTCCAGGTTGGCGTTGAGACTTACGGCGGCGGCATCTGGCACTCATGGTTCGATCGCGACCTTAGTATTGCTGGCCGCGTCTTGGTCAAGGAGGGCGATAAATTCGTCCAGAAGCTGATCAAGGTCGAGAAGCCTCTGCTGCGAATCCCGACCCTGGCTATCCACCTCCACCGTCAGAGCAACTTCGATCCCAACAAGGAGACGGAGCTGTTCCCCATTGCGGGCCTTGCCACAGCTGAGCTGAACAAGGGTGTCAAGGCGGAGGAGAAGAGGGAGGACAAGGATGAAAAGGAGGAGGAGGAGGACTTCAAGCCTCTCCAGGCCATGAACGAGCGTCACCACCCCCACGTTCTCGACGTCATCGCCTCGGAGGCGGGTGTCGAGGTCTCCGAGGTGGTAGACTTCGAGTTGGTTCTCTACGATACCCAGAAGTCTTGCATCGGTGGTATCAATGACGAATTCGTCTTCTCCCCACGTCTGGACAACCTCGGCATGACGTACTGCTCCATCGAGGGTCTCATCACCTCCGTCGAAGACGAGACCTCCCTGCAAAACGACAGCTGTATCCGCTTGACGGTCTGCTTTGACCACGAGGAGATCGGCTCCACTTCGGCCCAAGGTGCCAACTCTAACTTGCTCCCATCTGTCCTGCGTCGTCTGTCAGTACTCCCCGGTAACCGGGACGCGGCCAGCGAGGGAAGCTATGAGGCGATTCACCACGATAGCGAGGATGCGACAGCCTACGAGCAGACACTGTCACGTTCGTTCCTCGTCTCGGCAGACATGGCGCACTCTGTGCATCCCAACTACTCCGGCAAGTACGAGTCGTCTCATCAGCCCCTCATGAATGCCGGTACTGTCATCAAGATCAACGCCAACCAGCGTTACGCCACCAACTCGCCCGGCATCGTGCTCCTGCAGGAGTGTGCCCGCACAGCCGGTGTCCCTCTCCAGCTCTTCGTCGTCCGCAACGACTCGCCCTGTGGCAGCACCATTGGACCCGGGCTCGCTGCCAAGCTCGGCATGCGCACGCTTGACCTGGGTAACCCCCAGCTCAGCATGCACAGCATCCGCGAGACGGGCGGCACTGCTGATGTGGGATACGGAATCCGGTTGTTCAAGGAGTTCTTTGAGCAATACGGAACGCTAGAGCCCAGGATTCTCGTCGACTAAATTTACACCAGAGAACGGAATCGAGGTTGCGGCTAGAGTTGGTGTAGCGTGATATGATCCGCCGTGTTTGGAATCAACACTGGCATGTGTGTAGTACGAGTGATCTGCCTCACACAAAGAGACGCAAGCAAATGATGAAATCCAATGGCATTTAACTTTAAACCTGGCCCATGATACCAACAGATATGTCAAGTGACTCTATCCTGTCTCAAACCTACCGCAACGCCGTTCGATATCAGCATGACCATCCGCCCAGATAACATGTGATGATCGGTGCCCATGCCTGCAAAAAAAGCAAAAAAAAAAGCGTCCGCAAGATCCCACCCCGCCGTTGCATGCTTTGTTTCATGAGATGGATGATATATATATATACAAGTCCCGAGATCCTCCGACTTTTCCTCTTGTTTTGTATTCTTGGGCATCAACTGGACTCGGACCGCGCCATACTTAGTAGCCCACTCATTGCGCGACTACTCAACGCGGTGAGACTAGGGTCTGGCCTCGACACGACCACGGACGGGAGGGAATCCGTGGGCGGCAACTCAACATCATCATCATCGACGGGAGGGGACTCTCGGACCTGCTCCTCCTCGGATTCCAGTTCAGCTTCAGGCTGGGGCTGGGATTGTGGTCGGGCATCGGACGAACAGCGCGGGCTCTGGACGCGGACGACGCGCGGGCCGGGGCGGGGCATCGGGCGGCGTTGCAGGTCGGCGAGAGGGACGGAGGTCTGGCCGGTGCGGACTTTGTAGTTTGCGAGGCTGAGGCGCAGGCGGAGGATCTCAGCTTTCTGTTGCGCGAGTCAGTCCAGGCTCAGAGGAATGAGTTTACACGCCCCGACCCTCCATGGCACGGAGGAGCGGGACATTGAGTGCGAACGGGGGGGTTGGAAGCGTACCTCTCTTACTTGCTCCCGCGTCAGGGCGCGTGGCCGTGTAAATGGGATCCGCTCCAGGGCTGCTGCGGCCGTCGCGGGCGCTGAGTCGGGCTCGGTGGTGGTGGTTGCCCACGAAGCGTCGTTGGCGGACGTGTCGAACAGCGAGCTTGTGTCGGGGCTGTCACTCCTTGACGACGCGTCCTGGCGGCCGAGTTAGCATCGATATGCTTTTAATTTACACGGCTGAGCACGTCGCGCATGCCTCGGAGCCGTGGGGTGGAAGCTCCCATCACGCATCCAATTCTCCAAACGTACCTCATCACGTCCCAGACACGCCTTCTTGCCGACGGGGCTCGCGGTCCCGTCCACCTCAAACATCCTCTTGCGAGGCTCGACAGAGCGCTTCACGGGGCTAGGACCTCCCATGGGTTTGCTATCCTTGAAGAGCAGCTTGGGGGCAGCCAGCGCGTTGGAGTCCAGCGGGGCCAGGGCGCGTCGCTTGTTCGGGGAGCACGTCTCCATTGCAGCAACAGCTCCGTCGCGGAGGCGAATTATTTCGAAAAGGGTTGAGGATCTGAGGGACAGGCTCCAGTTCAAGGGTGCGATATGAAGACGACTGGCGTATGTTTGCTGTGTCGTGCGCTGCTTGTATATGTTTGTCCAGTTCAGATGTCGGACACGGTCGTTGAAGGTCGGCTAGAAGAAGGTATGGAGCCCTGGGAGTGGAGGTTTTGAGGCGGCCTGATAAGATAAGAGACGTGAGGTAGAGTGGGCAGGTACCCCGAATGTAACGAGTCAAGACGAAACGACGACACGCACGAGACGGAGCTCTCTGGGACAACGGGCAACAACAAGAAAATAAAACAACACCAAAATAAACAAAAGCCGAAAAACACAGCATATGGCATCAGAGTGTCAATTGCGTCGAGATGGCAGGACTACATAGAAATCCCACAGATACCTCAGTTACACACGCGACACTCGGTACACGCGCCAGGACGAACGCCTGCAGAAAACGGTCACTTAAAATTAGCCCGCCTGCGCCTGTGCCTGCGTCTGCGTGGCCGAGGCCGAGGCCAGAATCTCACCAAAGAGGCGGGAAAGTGTGCTCAAAATCCCTCCATGTCGATGCAACCCAGCCACTCCACACGGTGTCGCGCCCGTTAATTATCCCTCAACCCCAGCCCCCGGTCTCCTCCCCTCCTCCCCTCCTCCCCTCCCTCTCCCACGTCACTCCCGCAACTGTCACAGGAATGCATCTTATTTACTTATTTCCTATTCAGGCTTGGCCCGGCTTATATAACATCTCCATCGCGTCTTGTGCGGATGGTACCGTGCGCCAGCCCCAGAAAGGCTTAGTCTCGAGTTCCTGCCGTGTTCTGGTGTTGTGGAGAAAGATCCCGTCGGGCCCGTCGCCAAGCGGATGCAGGAACGGGGTCCGTCCTGTCCCCTCATCGAACTGGGGCCGAGTCTAAGGCCGGCTTTGGTCCGGCCATTGCTCCAGCTTTGGTCCGGCCTTGGTTCCGGCCTTGGCTCCGGCTTTGACACGGAGCTTACTCCAAGAACCCCAGGAACCCACAAAGAACACTTACAGTTTACCACTGAGTTCTCCGCCCCGAGCTCTTGCGCCATCGCCAGAGCGGCCGGGTCTCCACATCCCAAGGTCGAGTTACACCTCAACCTCTGACATCATTTACTTTGACGTCAACACAGTCCAACTCAGTAGCCACACTCACTCAACATCGTTCAACATCGGTAGCAAAATGCTGGGTATCATTTGCTCCTCGCTTATGTGTTCCTGGAGCTAAGACTGACCGCCTTCCCTCCTTTCGCAGAAACTAAAAGCTGCAGAAAGCATCTAAAAAATGTCCACAAGACAGCAGGAAACGCTAAAAACAACAACAAACTGGCAAAATCAGTTGGCCACATAAGACCGTCATCAGGTGCAGCATTGGCCGCCATCCTTCAACAAACTCCCAAAACAAAATATAGTCTCACGCCCTCCAAAACCTCATCGTATACCTCAGCCCGCCGCAGCAGATCAGAGGACAACGGCCGTGCTTCGGTGTTTTTGGTGTCCTATCTTCCCTTCTCCATTTTCCTCTCCTTTCCAGATGTCCATTCAAAACCGCCCTGCCTTGTTCCCTACACAAACCCTGCGCAGAAGTTCCATGCCCAAAAATCCGAATCATGTCGTCACACTTGGGTATATATCCCGGGACACCCCAACCTCGTCCAATTACAGGTCCCGCATCACTCACCAACCTAAACGTTCTTGCTCTCTCCTTTCATGTAGAGGCGCAATATTCTCTCATGCCTCCATGGAATAAAAGCTGGTATCAAGCTCAAATGGCTTGTTGAAATCAACGTGGTAGTCGTCCCAGTCAGGTGGTGGACCGGACGAAGAGTCTATCAACAACGAAGTATCGATGTCAACCCCATCCATCGAGCCCAAGGTTCCACTGAGGCTTGCGCTGTTCATGTCCAGGAGAAGATCTCTACCACCCATTTCATGCCAGCCGAAGTCAATCTCGAGACTAACGCCCTCTGAGATGTCGCTGTTCGGTTCGCTAGATCCACTGTCTTTGCTCGACTCAGGCGTATCGTTTGGCGTCAACGACCGATATACATTCAGATCGCCGATGACGTTCCGGAACCCGCCGTTCTCCAGGCCCAGGTTGCTCATCAAACTTTGAGGGTCAATGGTTGAGTTGGACCAAGGGTCGACCGCGGGCACAGTCTCGAGCGGCTTCGCATCCGCTAGTTTCAGCGTCGTCTCGCTTTTGATACCACCCTTTCCGTCTTGAGGCTTGCCCATGTTGCCACCAGGTAGCTTCACATCAGCCGAAATGGGTGTAGCTCCAAGGGTTGCAGGTGTCTGGCCTGGCTTCGAGTTGGTCACGCTCATCGCAGGCGCTGGCTCTTGTAGCTTCTGCTTCTTCAGAGTCCCATCAGGCTCCAACCCCAAAGATAGTGCAAGGCTCTCCTGAACAAACTTCATCGGGTCCTCCTTTGGCTTCGTATGTTCCTCTTGGATATGTGCTTGGAGGGCTTGCTCCGATGCGAATCCAGCGGTTGACATGTCACAGTCGGGCTCATTGCAAACAAAGAGGGGCTTCGGTGGGGCTTGAGACTCCGAAGCTCTCCTCATCTCGGGCGATGACTTTTTGCTAATTTGCGGCGATGGGGTGGCGCCTTGTGGGGTCTGTCCAGTCACCTTCTGCTTTTTGCGCGCCGGAATCTGGAGGTTCATGTCTTTGGGTTTGCCCACGTAGCTGGGGTTGCCGTGAGGGGACGAAGCTCCAAATTGGAAAGGTGGCTGGGCAGTGGTGGGAGCAACGGGAGTCTGGTTTCCCTTGCCAGCTGCCTTCTGGTTTGCCTTGGTCAAAGCTTGAGTATTCTTTTCCAGGTTGGCGGCGTTGAGAGGAGCAGGCGGGTTGCCTTGGGCCTGTTGCTGTGCCTGTTGCTGTTGTGCCTGCTGCTGGAGTTGTGCCTGCTGTTGCGCCTGCTGCTGCTGGGCGAGCTGGGTATTCTGGTTCTGAGGAGTAGCCTGCTGGCTATTCGACTTCATCATTCCGCGCCCGTAAACACTAGCGGCAAGGTCCTTGGCCATGCTCTCAAGCATCGCTCGGGCCTGGTCAATCTCAGCAGCCCGAATGCTGAACGTGTCCTTCAACACATTCATCTTCTCTCCATCTGCAAATTGCTTCATAATGCGCCATCGCTATGAAAGTCAGTTAATGTCACCCAGTAGGGAATATTATCCGAGGCTTACTGTTCTGAAAAACATTTTGGCGCGTTGATCATCGCGCGTGATTGCGTACCACTTGCTCAATCCACGGCCAATCTTTCCCATGTCCACCACGATTCGCTGGAGCTTGGCTGCCGTATCGCTGTGCTCTTGGGGGTTCATGTGGATGTCTACCATGACCTCTTGCGATGATCCCCTCTGCTCCTCTTGGCCAATCGCCTTGAGACGAGCCAAGTTGCTATCTGCCTGGTTACCGCCAGCCGCAGCCCTGTTCGCCATTTGCATCTTGACATATTGCTCGTATTTAGCTCGGTGCTCAGGGTTGAGCTGGGCAATCTGTTGCGGCGTCAAGTTAGGGAAGGCCTTCGGCTGCTGCTGTTGTTGATTAGGCTGGGACGGCGGTCGAGCTGGGGCGGCAGGCTTGACATTCTCGGTAATCTCGGCGTTCTCGTCAGTGCTGGGACGCTTCAGATTCTTAGGGGCTGGCGCTGGAGAGGGATTCGGTGGCTGAGCCCGGTTGTTGGCAGGTCGGGCAGCTCGCATCTGCTCTGGGGTCGGCGTGGTGTTAGGTTGCTTCTGAGCGCCAGTTTGCATGACAGCGTTCTGGCCCATAGCGTTAGGTACCTGCATGTTCTGCGGTTGAGGAGTCTGGATTGGCTGCGCAGGTTGCTGCTGGGGCGGTTGTTGAAGCTGCATCGGAGCTTGAGGAACTGGCATAGGGTTCTGTCCGCCTTGTTGACCCTGACCTTGTACGCGACCTTGGGCTTGCTGGCCTCGCATTTGCTGTTGCGTTATCCAGCTCTGCCTCTTCATTTGCATCACCATCATCCGCAGCTGCTCGTCGGGCACATTTGCCAGGTTGGGTCTTTGGTTTCGAACATGCATGAGCTCTTGAGGAGTGACTTGGAGGACGTGAGCCGGAATATTTGGCACCGGTCTCTGCATACCCTGCTGGGCGTTAGGTACTGGGCCACCAGGAGTCTGCATACCAGGGTTCATATTCGGATTCTGAACCTGCTGGGGCGGCTGCTGGGGAGGCTGGGTCTGTTGCTGCTGCTGAGCCTGTTGTTGCTGCTGCGCTTGTTGCTGCTGCGCCTGTTGCTGTTGTGCTTGTTGCTGTGCTTGCTGCTGTTGCTGAGGTGAGATGAAGTTTCGCTTCTGGAGCAAAAGCTGGAACTGTTTTTGTTGAATGGTTGAAAGCTGGTTGCGAACATGCTGAGCGACATTGTTCTGGCCAAGCCACATCTTCAATGCTCCCCATTTCTTCACCTCAGGAGGTACTTGACCCAGTTGTGCGAGAACCTGAGGGGGCAAATCCATCGAGTCCATCATAGCGATAGCCTGGGGGTTTTGAGGCACCCTCGGAACCTGCATTTGTTGACCTGCATTACCAGGAGCTCCGGGTTGAGGAGTCATCTGTCCAGCCATATTCATCTGGCCCATTTGACCTGGAGTTCGATTCTGCATCTGCCCTGGCGTCTGGCCTCCATTCATAGCCATCTGACCCTGGCGTTGGGTTTGCCACCTTCGCATCACCTCGTCCAGCTTCTCCGGGGGCATTCCACTAACCGCCGATCTCTGTTCTTGGGTCAGATTTTGAAGCATATTCTGAAAGGCTTGGCTGTTTGGTCGCTGGCTCCCTTGGTTGAAGCGTTGGTCTCCAAACTGGGCCGTACCCTGACCCATACCCTGGTTGCCCATGGGGTTCATATTATTCGGCGGTCGAGATACCGGTGTGTTCAACGTGTTCATGGCTGGGCTCTGGGCAGGCGGCATGTTGCCGTTCATCCCAGGCTGGCCTTGCATTTGCTTGATCTGTGCCTGCGCCTGAAGTTGTGCTTGGGACTGTTGCGCCGTCTGGTTCATCTTCATCTGTTGGAGGTTGATTTGTTGTTGAGGCTGAGGTTGAGACTGAGGCTGCTGCTGAGCTGGACGAGGAGGCTGGTTGGGACCTCCTTGGTTGGACATGTTCTGACCCATGGGTTGAGGAGTAGGGTTACGATTGGGCCCGGCGCTTGCAGGGACAACCATCTGACCGGCTTGCTGAGCCATGAGACCAGTCATCTGTTGATCCTTGATGCTCTCCATGTTGGGAGTGAACTGTGTGAAGTCGCTCCCATTTTGCGCCCCATTCATCATTCCCGGCTGCTGCTGTTGCTGGGATTGCTGCTGCTGCTGCTGCTGTTGCTGCTGTTGTTGCTGTTGCCTCTGTAGGGATTGCTGGCTTTGCTGTTGCTGCATCAAAGCTGCCTGTGCAGTGTTGGGGTTTCCAGGCCCCATCCGACCCATGTTCGCCTTAAGAACCTGGAAAGCCTGGTTTTGGTAGAACCACAAGAGGGGATCTTTGCCTTGAGCCTGGAATTCGGCCAGCTGCTGTGGCGGAAGCCTCTGTTGCAGTTGGATCCGAGTATTGGCTTTTGCTTGTTCTGAAGCGTTGCTCATCATCCTGGCAGCCAGCTCCGCGACCTTGCTCTTGTCCTGAGGTGACAGTCGTGACAGCTCATTGGGATATTGTTGTTGTGGCCGAGCCTGGTTGCCAGGCATACCCATCATCTGTTGGTTAGGGCCCATCCCGCGACCAGCCTGGTTTGGCATTCCCACTCCCATGCCCATACCCATTCCCATACCCATCTGCTGTTGTTGAGCCATCGGGGCGCCTTGCATGGGGTGTTGCATAGGCTGGAAGCCCTGCTGAGGACCTTGGCCCATGCCGCGACCCATCTGTGCCTGCATATTCATCATGGCTTGAGCTTGTGCTTGTGCTTGTGCCTGCACTTGCGCGTTGGCGTTGATGGCGTTCTGGAGGTTCGGCTCGTTGGCTTGACGTTTCTTGTAGAAGTCCATAATCTTATTCGTCATTTCTTGGTCATAAGCTTCCTGGGATGGGGGTCAGTACAGGATAAAAATAATAGGCCAGCAAAGAAAAGGCCAACAGGGTGGATGGGGCATACCTTTGTGGGAGACTTGTGGAACATCTCTCGCTCGAAGCTGCAACCAAACTCAGCTGCCTTCATGGAGTCGACTCCATTCATAGCAAGAGCAATATTGGAGATGCTATTATCCGTTAGCCAGAATCACTGTGAGGATTCACATCGCCCGTTGCGAGGGCGGCGAAAAGAAGCGGAAGTAAAACGTACAGGTTCATCGTCTTTCCCATACGATCACCGATAGGGATGTTGGCCTGCCAGCAGATGCCGGTAAAGGGTTGTGTGTGTTGGACCAGGTTCTGGTAGACGATCTGTTGCAGCTGGTTGCTGTTGGGCTTGCGCATCTGCTGCTGCTGCGGCATCATTTGGCCGGCCCCAGCCATATGCTGCATGTTGGCCGCCATGGCCGCTGGTGGGAGGATGGGACAAAGCCCAGGTTAAAGGGTGTGTGGTCGGTCGACACGTTGGGGGAGCGTGTTGGAATCGAACGGCGAGAGCGGTAGCTGCAGACAAAGGTGCGGCGAACAATGGTCGGGGCACCACGGTCGAACCGGAGTTAAGAAAGGACGGTGCGAACAAAGGATGGTGGAACCAAAGACTTGGGTGTTGCCTTTTTTACTATAAGGCAGATAGCCGTCGACAGGCTGTGAGCTGCCTAGCGGTGACTCGCAGGGCGTTCCATAAAAAGCCGGTCGTTTGTGTAATGAGGCGGCAGTGGAGGGTGAGAGGCGTCGCGTGGGACGAGCGGCGACAGGAGGGGAAAATACCACAGAACAAGAGAGCCCAGTCCGAAACGACGAGGGCAAGTTGTCGGGTCGTAAAGGAACAGAGAGAAGGCCAAGGGGAGGTGGTGAAGTGTCCGAAGTTGCGGATGAGCTGTGGATCGTGTAATATTAACGACTGTCCAGGTTTGGCACGATGGAGCAGCAGCAGAACGAGCGGCGAGGGTGCCGACGGGTGAATCACGATCAAGAAGAAGGGTCGGGACAGGCGGCGGGGTCCGCGTCGTGGCTCGTGGCGGTCGTCGTGATGGTCGGTCGTCTCGATCGATCGAGTCGGGGCGAGTTGAGTCGCTGGTCTCAGGCCAAGCGGTGTTGATGTGGACGGGAGGTGAAAAGGTCGCAAGCGCTGGGGGTCGAGGTGGTGTTGTGTGGGATTTCGCAGCGACAGGCCCCCCCAGTCGGAGCAGCAGGCGCGGAATTTCGTGGAGCCCAGGGCCAGGGACGACTGCCGAGCTGGGCAGTAGGAGCGGCGGATGCAGGAGGTCCCAGCACAAAACTGCGCTTTGATGAGCTGCGCGAACGGAAAAGAAAAGAAAAGGCGGCGACCAAGAAGGAGAAGTGATGAGCCTGAGAGACTGAGTGGAGAGGGAAAGGAGGGATAGAGAGAGTGTGAGAGAGAGAGTGAGGGAGGGAGACAGAGAGAGCGAGGAAGGACAAGGCGCGAGGCAATGTGACGAGCAAGATGGAAGAGAGATCGAATCCAAGGACACCCAGTAGAGAGGGAGCCTAGCAGTAGCCCAGCAGCCCAGCCCAGCCCAGCCCAGCAGAGGCAAGACGCCAGTCCAGGTGGGTAGCAAGGTACCCAGAAGTAGGTGGGTACAGAGTGTACATGGTGGAGGGGGTCCTGATATGGTCGACAGGGCGCTGGGCAGCATGCTGGCAGCGCTGCGCGAGCTCCCCATTAGCCAGCTGCGCGCTCCACTCCTGCCACCATTGACTCCAAGCGCTCAAGCAACGGCGAGGTACCATGCACTTCCAAGGTACCTACCTCCGAGTCTTAACAGGGCGGGCGGGATGTTTTTGGGGCAGACCCTTTCCCCATTAAGGTTCGGGTGCTGGCTGGTGGACTTCTACAGGTGTGTGGGCGAGGGACCGAGAGACAGTGGATCGCCCTGAAGCGGACGCTACAGCATTGCACCAACTGTGTAAGGCATGTCTCCCGCCGATGGGGAGGCATCGAAGCAGAGCCGCGTTGGATTGATCCTCGCTGCCAGCTGGGCCGGGTGAAGCCTGAAACGACAGTATGGCCAGTGCATGCAACGCAGCGCAGCAGTGGCAAGTGCACGTCCGACGGGGAAGGGAGCGATGGATCAGGTGTGCGTTGATTCGGGGTATGGATAGCCAAAGGGGTACCTACCAGCGACGAGAATTGGATGGATGCAGAGGGGGGGGATGGATGGAGAGGCGAAGGCAACGTATGGTGCGTAGCGGGGGGGAGAGAGTGGGCAAAGAAGGACCAAATCCGCAGGGAAATCAGAGAAGGCTGTAGAGAAAGGACAAGACGACATCAACTAACAATTCGTTACAGTAGGATGTGCGAGCCAAGGCGCTCAGATACAGTGCTCAGTAGGCCATGTTCGAACGGAATCGTGACGGGCGAGAAACGAGACGAGAGAAGGTGAGAGCTAAACCTGAGTGTGAGTGCGAGGGAGACCAGACACCGAACATCAGACGCCAGCAGAAACTGGAGAGTGGGTTGTAGTTTGGGCGGGAGTGCCACACCCACCTCAGGCACTGGCGACACATGAAGGAGAGACAGGACCAGAATGAGAGGGCATCATTGGCCCAGCCGAGGGAAGCCCTGGGCCAGGGACTCGACGAGACTCAACGAGAGTCGACGAGAAACTGGACAGAGCTGGATTGGACTTGGATTCGGGACAGGGCAGGGCAGTTGGATGGATCCACGGGGTCCTGGTGGTGAATCCCTGGTCCTGGTCGGGCTCATGATCCCTGTCCCCCGTCTCACCCAGGCACACTAACAATCGACGAAAGGTACCTCTGCGATGATCCAAGGCTCTGAGCTACCAGGTACCTCACGTAGTAGGTACCGCGGCAGCGCATCAGCACCGTCTCACTCTCCCACTTGCATTCGCTGGCTCAGTCTCCCTCTGGCTCTCCCAGACTGACTCGTCTTAGACGATGACTTGACTTAGGCAATACCCCAGAGGAATCCCATATCGCGCCATTCACCATTCGCAATGTAGGGTACCCTTACCCCCAGCAGCATGTGCGTATGACGGATGCCACTGGGCGCAGAGCAGAGTGTGGGTGGTGGTGCTAGTGGTAGTCGCGGTACCGGTACTACACACGCACAGCGGCGGTGGGTGGATGTCAATGGGGGTGGTGGGCACTGGTGAGTGGTGGCTCGTGGATCATAACCTCAGATGATGACTTGTCTCGCCCGCCTCTTTTGCCCGCCACATTCAAGTACTTGCGTCGAGTGCTGCGTACCTGGGCCTGGTAGGTACTCGTGCAGGTCTCAAAGTACGGGCCGCTCGCTTGGTAGAACGGCCTGCCTCATCTATCTGTACGAGCGCCATGCGATGCGCCCATTGACCGTCCCGTCTGAACCATCCCACCGCCCTATTCCCACGAGACACGACCTGCACCAACGGGCAGTGTGGGAGAATCGTTTTTGTCGACCGGTGGCAGAAACACGGCGACCAGGACAGGAAAAGGGCGAGTGAGGAACACAGCCTGAGCCAGAATCGGCGAACTAGGCTCGAGTGCAAAGTGCGTAAAACGAGGGCAAGGCGGGTGAGGGCGTGCGAATGTGTACGTACTTGTACAGCAGGGCGCAAATGCAAGACGTTGCGTTGATCATCCATCCCTCGATTCATGTTTTCTCCATGCGTCTGCATCAAACCCTCATTCGGGGCGGCAAAAGAACATCCGCACAGGACCCAACGCCGCATCGCGCATCCTCCAGCATCATCGGCGACATGGCGATTGATGAGTTCCTAGCGTTGGTATTTAAGACAGGCGGCTTGTAGATGTGAGCACCCAACGGCACCAGGAGTAGGTAGGTACCTACCACCTACCACACAGCACGTACTACGTAGACCGCTTTGAATGAAGTGGAGGAAGGCGGGAGGCGGAGAGGCCGGCGTGGGGTGGCCGTGGTACTGTACCTTCCTCCAGCTTCCAGACGAAGTCGAAGGGTGCGGTCCGCATGTACCATGTCAGGGCAGGAACAACCAAGGAAGGAGCCACGAGGCACGAGGCACAAGACGCTTCAGTTGGGCCATCGTGACGCACCTGGTTCTCTCTCACGCTCTCTCACGCTCTCTCACGCCCTCTGCAGTTGTACCTCACCTCGAGGCGCGGACTGACCTATAAACCCACACTCCGGCTCACCAACCCTGCGGCTCTCTCACACCGAAGAACCGGGAGGAAGAACTAGAGAATGTTCGCATCGTCATAGTCGCAGCACCTGGTCATCGTCACTCGGACCTCCAAACTCAGATGTTCGGCAGCCTACAACGAGCAGCATTCGCAGCATTCGCAGTGAAGAGGTCCACGATAATGAGGGCACGCAACGCATGGCATGGTATGGCATGGCCATCAAATCGAACGAACAACGGGCCGTCGAGAGATTGGACCCGAGCTCCACCGCACCCGTCCGTCGTCTTGTTTCCCCCTCCAAGTTCAAAGAACCTCCACTCCCACGTCTCCCACGTCTCCCGTCTTGGGCGGCGCTACCGGGCTGGCTTCATCGCCCCACCCCTGCCAGACGCCAATCTGGGATGACCCCTGTCTAGACCAGACACACACACGCACACACACACGCATGTCCTCACACGCATGCCGACTGGCCCTGTCGACTGGTTCTGTCAAAATCCACTTGCCAGCGAGACATTGCCTCCCGACTCAGCAAACCATGGGTTCTTGCAGGCCGACCAGACGTTGATCTGCGCTTTTCGAAATGGCATTGGAAGACTACGTCGTGCCATGGAATGCCAGTGCTTCGCGCTGCAACTTCGGGCTGCAACTTCGCTTGCTGATTCGGATCCTCCCCCTTCGTAAGCGACGGTTCTCTGAGTAGATACCTAGCTTTGGCACTGCAGTTGCCCTTGCGCCTTGCAGGAGAGGGTCCAGCCCACTTGGTTCCCAACTTCCAAGATGTCCATCCTCTCAATGCCGTCACTGTCGTCGGCCTAGCCAGGCTTAGTGCCAATGTTTGCCGCCGCATTAGCAGCTTCTTCGTCTTGGGGCCGGTACTATTGGGAGGCCCAATAGGCCATACTCTGGTCCATTGGAGGAAGGTTGATTAAGGATCCAATCTAATACAATTCCTACAATCGACCAGGCGACGAAAAGGGCAATCGTCGGCCGCCCTCCCTTTCAGGTCGCGATGTGTGCCTGGTGATGCATTGGCTCGGGCGGAGGTGGAAACGCAATCGTAAAGATGTTACAGGCACGGGATCGCGGTATTTCATTCAACCTCGAATGTGGTCCCCTAAATCCCGGGTACAACAGCCATCGCACGAACAACTAGCACCTACTTACGACTACCGCATGTACACGACTCGCCCTCCCTAATCAGACTACTCGCACCGCCATCAACAAGCCCCCAGTCAGCCAAGACGGGTGTGGCCACCTGGTCTAGACCCGTCATGAACCATTAGTGGTCCGTCAAAATACGCGCATGCTCGAATCACCTTGGTCCCCAGACAGACTCACGTCTTCTTCTCCATTACCAACAAGACACTCACTGCAACTTTCGGCCAACGAGGAGTCGGACTTTTCCCCGACAGCTACCACAGTAGCCGGTGCTATCTTCGACAGATGTGGAGATGCGATCTCGTTTATCCATCCCTTCCGTCTCATTCACGATTGGCAGCCGGCCTAGGTACTACTGTATGACTGATTTCTGAATACGTACCTAGGTATGCGGTGGCCATCTGCCCACCCATGAGAGCGTGACAGTAGGCTGGCTACCAACACCATCGCTCAGCTTCAAGGTGTCATTCTTCGCCATCTTCACGCAGCCCACGTCTCAATTCGACTCCCTTGAGCGGTCGTCTTACGCCCCACAGCGTTACACGCAAGATGGCTTCTTGAATACAAAGCCCAACGTCGGGGCTACTCGTTGAAGTTGCTGAATATAGTGGCGGATGAAGCGGAGTATTAAGCATTGTGCTGGTATCTTTCCCGCTTGCCTGCATGCCCCCTCTCTCCACCACTCAAGAAACCATGCCCAAGTTCCAGCAAAGTCATCCATTGTTTGCTTTGGAGGGGGAGTCGGGCGGACGAGAAGACGGCTAGGCAAAATCTTAGATTATCGGTTCTCTTGCTGCCAGGATTCCCCGCTCGTTGGCGACTTTTTGTTGCGTTGTTCACGGTTCGATGGTTCCCACGCACTTGGCCCGCTGCTGGCCGGATGACTGACTTACAACAGAAGCATACCCTGGTCTGACGGTGTCCTCCCGTCTCCGGGCCTCAGGAGGGTGGCCAGCGGTGGTGACCGCTTGATGTGCAGGGTTGTTGAGTGGCGGCCGTCAGACGGGTACAAGCAACCACACAGACTTTGAGACCGGGACGGCAGGTCTATTGCCTACAGGCCAGACATGAAAAGGTGCAGAATAGAGGGATGGGTACAGACTCCGGCCTGATGTCTTGCCTGCTGCAGCCACCGACCCATCAACCAAGAAGAAGCCAACCACAGTGCAGGCTTTGGGAGAGGACCCTTGGAACCCCAGGTCTTCATCGCAAACCCCGGAAATGGACGCGGCGGTTATTGTTCCAACGAGGCTGCATCCCACGGTTCTCGGCCAGTGAACTCGGGGATCCCAGGCTCATGGGTTCTGGGCTCCTCTCCGGTCTCCGAGTAAGGTTTCTTACCACCTGGACAATGATTTGAGGGGCGTTTCGTGGAAGCATGGGCTTCTTAGTTTGGAAGGCTTTTTTCGTAACGGGCTTAGCGTCAACGTCGCCCGGTTCGCTTTCCAGCCAAAAACACGCTATCTCTTCTCCAGGCCCTCCGCAGGTCCATCCTCCCCGACACTTTAACCTCGCCTGAGCTTACAACTGCTTCCATTTCTGCACCTTATGCCACTTTTGGAATGCGGCGAAGTCGGCCTGTTTTGCTGGCTTGCATCGCTCAGCCATCCAGTGTTTACTTCTTTTCCCCACAGGTCACCTGCGAGGTGAGGGAGAGGTGTATGAATGCAATGGATCGAAGCGGCCGAAATCAAATGCACCCCTGCCTTGTTTCTGTGTAACGGTGTTTGCTTTGACATTTGGCCTGCCACTACGGAACGTGGATACTATACCACATGGGAACTCTGTGTGTGTCGTGCCAAAGTCTGGATGAGATTATTATGACCGACTACAGATGCATTCGTACATTTTGGGGCAGAGGTGGATCGACGCCGCCTTCGAGTTTGGGACTCAGGTTGAACATGGCGCAAACGAAAAAAAAAAAGCCCCTGTGCAGCCCATCCAGGGGACCCTGATTTCCTGCAATGAGCAGCTCAACTCCCTGGCCGGTCTGCCGGCTAGACTTGCCACAGCGTTGCGCTAGCTCCCCTTGCTACCCAGGGCAGGTCGAGACTCCTTGCTTTTGAAATGGAAACAGGGCCACCGATTAGATTCCCCAAGAGCCCACGATACTTCAATGACATCGCTGCGGCCAGGGCAGGACCAAGGACGTCCTATGTCCAGGCAACACGATGATTATGAAGCAAACCACTCAGGCACATTGCAAACCACAACCACACCACGGCGACACCAGGCAACCGAGTGTCCGTAGGGCTACCGTCCGCCTTTCTGGGGCCACGAGGGCACGTTTCAAAAGTCGGCGGGTGAGGTTGACCCACTGCGCGCACGAGCAAACTGGCGCGCCAGAGCGAACGACCGGACAGAAGCATGATGGTGATGGTTGCACGAAGTCGTTCTTCAAGTACCTGGAGCACTTGGGGTTGGGGCTGAATACTTACGAAGGGCGGATAGCGTAAAGTTTCCTCCCTTCAACTCCTGCGTCGCTCATCTCTCCTCCCCGCCGTCTTGGAAGTTGGACGACCAGGGTAAGAACGTGCGCCTCGGCGCGTCAGTCTGTGTTACCACCATGTCCGTCCCCATCTCCATCCCAGTTCATACCGCATCCTCCGACCCCCCCTGACTCGGATTGGCCTTCCCTGTCCAGGGTGTCGATCATGCCGCGGGAACATCTTTTCACCATCTCAAACTTAGCGGGAAACAACGAAATCTTGCGCTTTCTTGACGGCCAAGATGCTCACCGTCACTACCGCCCAGTGCAGTTCGATTTGGTGAAATACGCTACTCTCGCAGTAGTAATGTACGGTACCCCCGGCTGCTCCCCCAGCGCCTCACTCTATCGGCTTGACCAGGGTTGGTCACTCCTTGTCTCCCCTGTTTCCCTCCTCAACCAGCTGCGCCGCTAGCTCCCGCAGGGGTGGGATGAAGCGATCAGGCTCAGTGGCATGGATGTTCTCGGTGAGCTCGTGGCTGAGAATGGCAGACTGCGATGCGATCTGACAGGCCCCTCTTGGCATGGATGTCACGACAGTGCTGTCCTCGACTCAAGATTACGGACGACGCCATCGCTGTCGTCGAGGGCTTACACAGCACCTTGGGTCGCGGTGATGCCGCACATATGAACAAAGGCAATCCAACGCGAATTACTCCTAGTCATCATATTCGGGGTTTCCTTCTCTCGAACCCAATCTCATCCCATTCCATCCCATCACAAACCCCCGATCCACCCAGCCACACGACCATTCTGGGGTACGCCAACCTGCCGGCGTGGTTACGCAACTCATCATCTCCCCAGCCCGAGCACCAGAACTGTTCCTTTTGCTATCCGTGCTAATGTAGTAGCCCTCTTTTTTGCCCGTTCTCCAGCTCTTACTTGTTCCCCGTCCTTCGTCTCTGTGTCTCGCCCCTGCAGGTACAAGGGTTACACCCGTCCCGTGCACAATGGCACCCTCTCGCGCGCCCCAGTCCTCGATCTCTGTCCCATCGGGCGCCATCATACACGGGAGCGGAAGGGACGGGTTGATCTCTTCGAGTTATTTCTTTTTATGCGGTTTACGGCACTCTTTTGAGGAGCGGGTGGGAGGGGTCGTGTGCCTCGCTGCAGGGACACGGTGAGATGCATGATGGACAAAAGCCAGCTTCGGACCAACCCACTGGATCACGAGTCTCTCGCGGGGCCGTGAGGTGGAGGTTTGTCTCTGACGAGTGAGGCGAACTGATTTACGGGGCACCAGGAAACTTTCCGGGCCTGACTGAGCTGCCTTGTCGTGCTGGCTTTTCTTTCCTTCAATTCTGATCGCCCTCCCAGAAAGTTGGGCGTTTCCAGCAGCAGCATGACTACCCTATACGATATTCTAGGTCCATGTCCCAGCTCGGTTTCCTTTCTCGTCTTGGGGACCTGGGGGGACGATGCGTGGGTAAAGCATGTTAGTGTGGTTCTGGTGATGTGTAAATCACGACGACCTAGTCATTTCCTCGACTACAGGCGAACAATTTGTCAGATTGTGAGGCAGGTTGATAAGATGACCCATCATACCAGTGCGATGCCACTACGCGTTGTGTCCACTATAGTGAGATGGTAATTAATCATTTCTTACCAAACAACAGAAGTGCATACGTTAGCCAGAGATAAGTTACATTCTCAAACCAAGAGATGCCCGACATGTATTTATGCGATAGTTTACGTTCGGCCTCTCTCTGCGTTGATACCGCTGGCCCTGATTTCCCACCCTCCATCGTGCTCCTCTGGCACCACGAGGGCAGTTGCCATGTGGGAGATGGGGCAACGAACGCCGTTTCATGAGCGTCTTCCGGTTTCACTCGCGTCTCTGGCGACCCGACCACAAGAGGAGGTGGAAAGGGAGGAGAGGCTGTCATTGCATCGTCACTCGATTTGTTGTGTAGCACTTGACGGCGGCGCTTGAAACGGACGGCGCTTTGTAATTACGCCCCGGCTGATGGATGCATCTCACGGGAGACAGGGGGTCGAGGACTAGAAGGCGTACTACGTGCTGCGGTACATGGGGCACAAGCGTGCTGCGTGCGTGTCCCATTACGGAGGGAGGATGGGTCGCGGCTTGGTTGAATGAGACGTCTATGGTGTTCTGGTGTAGGTTCACTCCCACGCCCATCTCGGCGGGGACTTATATGAGTGTCTCTCTTTCGCCACCCGTCACCCGTTCACCGTTCCACGCCTTACAAAATATCGGCCATTTCCCGCTGTCAATTTCACAGCACTCCGTCTCTCCACAAATGACCCGTCGCCATTGCCTGCTCTGCTGTCCGTCAGAGCAGCAAAAACAAACAAGGGTGTCCCCTTCGTCGGGACCAAAAACCGGGCCCCGCGACAGGGACTGGCCTGGCAAATGCCTGGCGCCTTTGGCCCTTTCGGAGCGATTCAAGGCGAACCCAATCTTGCTGGGCGATGGACGTGTTAAAACTCGGCGGCCAATGCTAATTATGTTCTCCATGCCGCGTCGCCGCCGGACCGTCAAGATGCGTATGGCCTCCGCGTACCCGTGTTGGCCCCTTTCTGGGCTCGATTTCCTGCGAGCCCCCATCGAGACCTCCAGATGCCTTTGGTGCTATTCTTGTTCCTGAAGAAACTGCACCGCATTTCTCGTGTTGGTCGGGCCTCCACTGCAGGGCCGGCTTGGCTCCGTCCGTCGCGATTGGACGCCTCTTCGGTAGACGCTGGCACAGCCTGTGTTTCCCCAGCCATTGCTTCGTCCTCCGTAAAATGTACCCAGTCCTGGCGTGTCCTGGACAAGGGACCCAGACGTCAAAACATTCAGCAGGACGGGGCTTTGGGAGGGCTGAGCAGAGAGCAATCCTGACAATTACGGGCTTTAGCACAATGCGCTATGCCTTCTTCCCCGTGGGACGACGCCATGGCGGGCGCACTGATGAGGACCGGTGGTGCCGCACCACGCCGATCAACACTCGCAGATGGCACTGACTGTGGCGAGGAATGATGATTTCGCCGACCAGGATCTGCAAGACATAGCCCACCGCAAGTTGTGAGCGAGGGCCTGATGTGATGTATCGAATTTTCTCCGTCGAGCTACGGAGGTCCGGGGCATCATACTCACCGCAAGCTTGCCTCCTCGAGTGTTAACTCGTGAACCCGAGATGGTATTATTAGCATGCCCGTGGCATGGCTTCGCGTTTCCCCACGTCTGCGCATGGCTAAGAAAGGGCTGATTATCATAAGGCTGGCAGATATGAACGGGCGTCTACTATGCAAAAGCAAATCCGTCAATCGCCACATCAAGGATCTAGCAGAATCCTTGCTTCGGCGCCTATCCCTGGAGCCTGAAGAATAAAGCCATTGTCGACGGGGACTGTCTTTCATCCGCCATCTGTCGGTTCTAGCGCCCAATTGCCCTACCAAATTAGCGGCGCAGAGGTGAAACTTGCAGCAAGCCATGTGGAGAAGGGAGATGGTGGAGGTTGGGAGGCTTGTCATCCGGCGCCTCTTGTCGGCGACAGACAGTGTCGAATCCATGAGCTATGAACCGTGTAGTCATCGACTGCTGTTATTTCGGTGACAGGCAGCATTGGATTCATGAGCGTAACCCTATAATTGTAGTTGTCAGCTGCTGTGACATCGGCACCCGGCAACGACGTTACTGTTAGTGGAGATGACGGTGTGACAGAGGCTGCCGCCGTGGCTGAATGATGCTTGAACAGAGTTCACCATGTGATTCACCAACATATTGAAGTCATCGTTTGAGCAAGAATTTGAGCGCTTATGGATGGACTCCGCCCGGATCTCTCTCCATCAAGCGTTATTCCCACTGTTCTGCTGAGTTCGAGATCATATTTCGGTAGCGTGGTTGGGCTTCCCTGGCTTTTATGTATCGGGCTCTCATGGCTGAAGACGTTCCGTTCAGGCACATTGACTCATTGGTGATCTGGCAATATGACACCGCCGGTCGGCCTATTGTCATACGACACCGATGGGGATACACTGCGAGGCGACACCTCCAAAGAGCTCCAGAACCATTCGTCTTCTGACTTGTTGCCGTACTTCTCTTGGATGATGATGTGTGACCTTGTGAGGATATATATTCACCGATACTAGTTCAATCCCGTAGCTGATCGTAGCATACATCATTGGTGAAATTACTGTCCCGAGCTTGCCCAAATGCCATTTATTAAGAAACCTAGACTCTTCCTTGAGTGGGCAGCTTGAATGACAGAGGACTCGAGCAAGAAGACCCCATGCTTGAATCGATATTGCCCGAAACCAAGTCTTATGTGAATGTCAACATCTTTCCCCATATCCTGGATATCTCACAGATACAGTCGACTCGCTAGGCCCATATTAACAGCTCCATGAGGACTGTCCACGCTTCCCCAGATAATGACCTGCCCAAGCGACACGTACTGAGCAAATGATTGTCTGTAGAGAACAATGGAGAACGTGATTTAGAAAGTAACAGATTGTAAGTGGAATGAAAGGACAGATATGAAGAGGCTCAACCGACCAGAACATCAGTCGAGACACGGGGGTAAAGTGTTGAAGTAAGGCGTTATTGAGACTGGCCGAGAAACACAACACTACCCCCGTATATCAGCTGTAAGGAGAGGATCGGGTCAAAGGTTCAAAGCGCGCCAGACCTATTAACCGAGGTTATGAGATGTTCTGGTGTTCATAGTGATTTATTGGTCCACTCCATATATCCGAGGATATTGACAGAGCTATACTGACTACATATGTGTCGATTGTCTCTTTGGACACCGTATCATCCCTGACCAGTTCTTGAAAACTGCCACCCTGGTTGCTCTGCAACGAGCATGGTTCCTTTTGAGCCAGTGACCTTAATTAGACTACAAAATAGACTACTCCCCCCTGCCCTGCAACTCACAGCACCCCCATGACTCAACGTTACATGGCAAATTATCCCAGGGAACTGAGTGCAATGGTTGCGAGCCCCCGACCTTCTCCGACAAGACGTGTAATGATGAATACTTGAACATCCACGAATGGAAGGCCTCTAGACCAACCAGCGGCAGCGAGGGTAGCTACATGGCCCGATATGGACAACTCCAAGTTCAAGAGATACACTTTGTCATCTTGGCCCAAGATGAAGACAGCGCTCCCCACGTGTACAATTCTCCAATGTCCATGTACTGGTTGAAAGAAATGCCCGTGTGCCGAGAGTAGGGACGTAAGGTGAAAGCGATCTAGAGCACAGCCATGAAGGACTGAGACGGGGTCTTTTGATGAACTGAGCCACCATCCATCTTTTCGTTTTCCGTCTTTGAAACAAATTCATCTAGAGACACAAGGTGCATATCACTTACTTGAGTTCATCTGAATGCTAATAGACTCCTGAATCATCGACTCATGCTTGATTTGACATTCAATTACGTTGTGTTTGCCCAGATTGCCTTCTCTTCAATCTACATACATGTTACTTGGCCGCATACTTGTTCATCAACATCGTTTACAGAAGCCACAATAAAACCAAAAGACAATCCCCGTCACGAAACTCCTACTCCACAAGATATTGATACAGCTTCACCTCCCGGAAGGTATGTTACTCTGCCCGATTTGAATACTATGGCGTGTCTCCAACTCTAGCCAGCAACCGCACGGCCGACTGCACCTGCGAGCTCGCCAAAGAGGATGCCCTTGAAGACATTCTCGCCCATGTGCTGTGTCCACGCGCCAGCATCCTTGAGACGGGCTTTCCACGCCTCCTTCTGCTCCGCACCCAGATCATCCCAGGTCTTGCCGGGACCGTGGACAGCCGAGTCGTGGACATCGAGTTGAATCTTGACGCTATCCTCGGCTCCATTCTCGCCAGTGGCGGGAGCTGTCTCACTACCCTCATAGACCACGAACATTTCGCCGGCTTGAGTCTTGATGTCTCCGCCGCCCAGCTTGGAGAGGAACTCCTGGCTGAGGAAAAAATCTGGTTGATGCTTGGGGGTTCGTAGGGTTCCGTACCAACTGGGGAGGAACTTGTGTGCGTGGATGATCGGGGGCCGGCCGACCAAGACTTCAAGCATGCCCTGGCCGACAATGGCGATGATGAGCGCGAAGACGGACAGGGTAATGATGAGTCCGCGGGAGGAGGGGCCGCGCGACTTCATGTCGACGACATAGCGGACGGGACGGGGTGGGCCGTTCTTGTTCTTGGTCGCCTTGTCGATGTGCTTGCGCAGGGGAATGCTGTGCACGGCGACAGTCTTCTGAAGGGAGATACTGGCGAGCTTGATGAACTGTTGACGAATGTGTGTTTGGGGGGCGACAAAGGTCGAGAAGGCCACGCCGGTGATGTTATCATTTCCGTGGACATCCTTGAGGGTGTGGAAAGGCCAGAGGTTGGTCAGAAGGTCAACGGAGCCGCTTGTTCTGTGCTCTAGCGTGTATAGTGAGATGGACGAGTCATGGCCGGCAACAGCGACGACAAACTGCGTCTGACCGACCGGCGCAGTGGGAGATGCCGGGGGAGAGAGGTTGGAGACTGCCAGGGCCGTGGCGGAGACCTTCTTGGGTATCCGGGCAGTCACTGCCAAACGCGCGTTGTCGTTGGCCTTGGTGGGTAATCGGAACCCGAACAGGACGACGCCGCTTCGCTTTGGGAGGTTGGCAGCAGCGAGGACGAAGTTGGGCGAGAGATATCGAATGGATCGGAAAACTGGTCGCTGCGCGTCATCATCGGGAATCGTGAATACCATCCTCGGCTCACTCTCCTCCTTGCCGATGCCCATCACATGCAGCTCGTACTTGTGGCAGAAGGCGACCTGGAAGCTGTTGTCCCCGGTCTGCACAATGTCCAGATCCTCTGCCTCCCTGGGAAGCTCTAGGATGCCCTTGAGCTTCGCAGCTGCCCCGGCAGTCTCGAAGACGGCCAGCTGCGGCTGCTTGCCCATAGCCGTGGCGGCAGCGCCCATTGGCCCCGCGATGCGCAGCAGGCGCTGGTAGGTATCGGCATCGGGGTCGGTGAACAGCGCGGTTCGCGAGAGCTCGGTGATCTTGGAGTCGGCCGTCTTGGTGCCGGCGGAGGCGCGCGCCTTGGACTGCTCGATGCCGAGGGCGCGGAGATGCTCGTTCTTGCCCTTGGCGATGCTCTCGTGGCTGGAGTTCACGCCGGCGTAGATGTGCGACGTCTTGCCCTTGCGGGGGCCCATCGCGAGGGACATGACGCTGTCTTCATCGCGGGAAAGGTCGATCTCGCCGGCCACGCGGAGCTCATGCTGGGAAGCCGTCTCGAGAATCGTCTGCGCAAGCAGGTTAGTGCACAAGCTCGCGAATGAGGGGGCCGGGAGAGGCGACGAACAATCTTGTTTCCAACGCCGGATCGCCCAGCACCGCCTCCACCACCGACAACCAAGTGGTTCGAATCCTCCTGGTCGAAGTCGAGGGCGTAGAGCGGATAGTCGAGCTCGATGCTCGCGCAAGGGAACGGCGGGGGGGCCATGGTGTTGCCGCGGAGGGACCTTGTCCCCGAGTCGTTGGTCCTGGCGGATAGAGAAGTGGCCCAAATATGAGCTGGAGCGGATGCGCCTCAGTGGTACAGGCGGAGAGGTAGGCAATCGTCCAGCTTGGGTCGCGATGTGCTGCTCTTCGGAGTGACGAGTTGGTTCGAGGCCAGATATTCCGGACGGGAGCTTTTCTGATTGGTTGGGGCGGGCGACTGCAGGGATGACGAAGACGGCAGCCACGCGAGGCGTTTCTTGGCGCTGTGGCTTGTGGGCTCCACCATGAACGTCGGCCCTTCTTCGAGATTCGAGAGGATAAGTTTATGTAACATCGAATAATTTACTATATATCGGCCCAGGAAATGTCTTTTCGTGAAGTAGCATGTTCGAAAAGGCCGTGAGTTTCGTAAAATGTCGTCCTTTTTATTGCTTGATTGGCGGTCCTCGTTTGCCAAATTCATTCATCTGTATCAGATCTGCTCAGCTCGAGCCCCAGTTCACAACACCACACTAACACGCTACTGAACTTCTAGTTTTCTGTCAAGTTAACATGAATAGCCTTGACGGAATAATAAGACCTTAAGCCTTCCTCTCCCAGTTCCCTCCCCAACCCGCTCTCTTTGACTCCCCCAAACGGCACCCTCACGTCCGAGTCGTTGCTGCTGTTCACCCACACCATGCCAGCCTCCAACTCCCGAGCCATGCGATGTGCCCTACCGAGATTGCGCGTGAACACCGCTCCTGCTAGTCCATAACGCGACGCGTTGGCCAGATCTAGCGCCTCATCCTCTGTACGGAACTTGACCACCGCGGCACACGGGCCAAAGATCTCCTGCCGGAAGATGGGCATCGACGGCGTCACATCCGTAAAGATAGTAGGAGGGACGAAGTAGCCGGTCTTCGGAAGTGGCGTAGGCGGGTGATAAACACTGGCTCCGGAGGCAGAGGCCGAAGAGATAAAGGAGAGAACGCTCTCACGCTGCTGGGCTGTGACCTGAGGGCCCTGGAAAGTCTTCTCGTCAAATGGATCACCGACAATGGATGTCTTCTCTGTGTACTCCTTGAACCTCTCCACAAACGCTTCGTATATTCCTTCTTGGACAAGTAACCTCGAGGTTGCTGTGCATACCTGGCCTTGATTTGCCATGATACCTTCGTGGGCCCACTTGACTGCCTGCTCCAGGTTTGCGTCGTCAAATACAATCAGCGGCGACTTGCCGCCTGTCTCGAGCGTGATTGCTTTCATTGTCCCCGCGGCCATTTTCATGATTTCCTTGCCCGTGGGGGTGCTTCCGGTAAAGGCAATCTTGTCCACACCATCATGTTGTGTCAATGCAGCACCAGCCTCTCTGCCGGTGCCATTGATGATGTTGATAACACCGGGCGGGAAACCCGCCTCTTGTACTAGGCGAGCTACGTATAACATGGAAAGAGGCGTCTGTTCGGCCAGTTTGAGCACAATGGTGTTACCACAGCAAAGTGCCGGCCCCAGTTTCCACGCCGCCATGTCTAGGGGGTAGTTCCACGGAATAATTTGACCGCACACACCAATGGGTTGCTTGAGGGTGTAGGCCATCTTGTTGGGACCAACATCTATGACTTTTCCAAAGTTCTTATCAGCATAGCCGGCATAATAGCGCAACACCTCTGAGAAGTGTGGGACATCTATCTCGCGGGAGACGGTCAATGGCTTTCCGTTGTCCAGCGTCTCGATAGTGGCGAGAGTTTCCAGCTCTCTATCTACGAGGTCGGCCAGCCGGTTCATCATATGGCCCCGGTCAGTTCCTGAGAGTAATTTCCACGAAGGGTCCCGGAGGGCATGGCGGGCGGACAAGACAGCCTTGTCGACATCTGCGGCATCCGCAGCAAAGACGGAACATATGTCTTGTTGAGTGCTTTGGAACTCTCAGCTCTGTTCAAGCTTAAAAATGGGGGCAAATTTAGCCGTTACAACATACTACGGGTTGACGGTGGTGATGGTCCGGCCACTGCTACTCTCCACAAACTGGTTGTTCACGAAGAGGCCTAAGGGCTGAGACCAGACCCGCCCGTTGGGGGCTGTCAGCTCGGCTTGCAATGGCGATCTCGATATTGCCGCGTTGCTTGAGTTCCTGGTCGGTGTAACCTTGGGAGGCTTGAGCGCCAATCTGGCAGTGAGGCGAACGCGGTGTGATAGCATGATGTGATGGAAGCGAATGCGCCACAAGACGCCAGCGTTGCGTCAAAAATGCGCAATGGGGATGTCGAGCGCGTCAGCCTCGTGGGAAACCAAGCGGTGGGAAGAGAGGGGGATACACAGAGGGCGTCGGCAAGGCGTTTAGCGTTGTTGCCACTGTGATGTGTCGTCAGTTGGCTAGCGACAAACGCATGGTTTCCGGAGAAGTGATCTGTCAAAACTGTCTCAACCTGAGCAAAAGCAAGTAATGTCTCACGAGGCGCTCCCATCCACTGAATGGCCGCAGGACGCTAAGCTGCAAGTGAGATGCGACTGGGCGGAGTCTCCGGGAAAGCAAACACACCTAGAAACACGTCGCACCGTCCACACGGGAGAGGGACGGAAGGGGCGTGGGGGATGGAAGCCTCACTTCGTAGGTTGTTACCCAAGCGTGTGGGTTGGGGTGGCGAGGGGTGAGAGGTGAGGGGTGAGAGGTGAGGGGCAAGGTGGAGGGGCGAGAGACAAGGCCAATGGCACAAGGATGGGATGTCGAGATGGAAAGATCTCGGGATGCCAGGGATGATGCTAGAAGGATGATGTAACGAGGTTGTTGGGATTTCCAGGAACGCGGGATGGCTCGATCGTTGTGTGGGGGGTCTTCCGCGGGGGGCAGCTACGACGCAATATGGGGGCATGGGGGTACGGAGTACCGGCAGGCGCGATGTGTCGCGGGGTCTCGTCTCGGGGACGGAAGGAGCCAGAGGGAAGAGGAGGGGCGGGCCACGTTTCGGCGGCAGGTTGTCGGTGCAGTCCAAGGAAGGCAGGTGAGGGTGGGGACGCAACTTACTACGTACTACGTAGTATGGACTACGGACGCACCCGATGATTCCCTGCAACCTTCCGAAGTGATATTTGCCACCCACGCCAACGGGAATATTGTGACATGCCGCCATAATATGGGCATGGACATGGTCAAGGAACAGCCCAAACGACCTCCGATACGGCATGTACTACAGTACGTAGTACGATCCTGGCAGCTCGAGCAAGCCTCCCGCGACTTGATCCTGAGACTCGGACGCTTTGGCGACGTGTGCTACCCGAGCCTGGAAATTGGAGGATGTGACAACCAGCACCGCCGCCATCCCATCACTCTCTGTTCGCCCTTGCTTGCCGCCCAACATCAATTTGCGTCTTTTCCCGCTGCACGTGGACCGAGCTCGTCACAGAGCTTGTTTAACTTGTTTTAGCTCTTGTGTTGGGCAATGTACTAGTAAGGAATCCCCAGCGCCCAACTGCCATAATCTCCCAAAGCAGGGCGGCCTGCGTCGGTCCCGCAACGAAAACTAAATGAATGGTGGCTGCGAGGCGCTCACAACGGCCGTCACAGACCTGCAGCTCAGCGCCGCCCCCGGCATGTCACGCAGCACGCGCAAACTAGGCCTGGTTCTGGATAGTGGCGTCTTGTCTCACCCGTGGATCATGCGCCGATAATCTCGCACTGTATCTGCATGGCTTCCTTGATTGGGAAATTCTCGACTTGACGGGAAATGTTCATGTTGGCTTGTGACTGTAGTAGCACGTTTCGTCAAACGTACGTGCCCCACAAGGCCAAGGCTAAGTAGAGGTAGGGAGATGCTGGAGTCTGCACCACCTTCCAGGAACTTGTAGATCATTGCAGAGCACCTCACACCCCTCCCCACTCAATCTGTTCTAGAGCTATGCACATGCGAAGATCACGCCTCACAGATACCTCAAATCCAAACTCATTGCCATGACAATAACATATTATAATATCTCTTCTTAAGCTTATAAGATTGTGGTGTGGTGGTATCTTGCTCTAAGGTAGTCCTGTTCAGCCTAGTTCCTGGTTTCTCCTGTTCCTATTCCCTTTCCCATTCCCATGCCCTGCCATGTCCCGCTCCAGCGCTAGAGCCCCGAGGTATCGATTACAGAAACATTAAAAACCGTAATGGGGAACCAATTAGAAAGACTGAGAAAACCCCTGCCCCATCCTGCCCGCCGTAGAGTACAGCCCTGAGCCGTTGCAAGTCCAATCTGGTATCTCTTTCCAGTCCTCCGTTATACAAGAAAAGAACCCCGAAGCAGGCTTAGACAAATGAGGTCAACTCAAAAGACGGAAGGCAACAAAAGAGGCCGGGAAATCAAATAAAACAGGGAATTCGGCACCACAACGTACTCGGAAAAGAAAACACCAAAAACACCCAGTGCTTCGGCCAAGCTTTTTGATTCTCACCACCATTGTTCCCCTTCCCAGTCCCCGTGGTATCATCGCCCTGCTTTTTCCTCTTGCGCTGATGTACCACTTTCCAAGCATGTATCTTTTGAACGAGTGTATCGGTCAGTATCTGACAATGAGAAGAAAAGAAAAAGGGTATGTGACTGCGCCCCGCCTATCGATAAAACAAAGAAAAGAAATCCAATCTGCGGATAGGGACGTGGCTTCTGTAGTAAGTCTGGGCTCGCCAGGGGTTCTGAAGTATGGCGTCAAGGTATAGAGTGATGGGGTAAAAAACAAAGCAAAACAAATCAAAACGCAGTACAGAAACACGCTTCACCAACTGCTCCCACCGTAGACTCTCCTGCCTGCAAAGCAGGATCCAACTCCGCAAAATAACAAACCAAACAGATGAAACAAAAAAAAAAGTGTGTCGGTCGCCCGATATGCGTCTTCCAAATTCCCGCCCCCCCCCGGTACCATTCCCACGAGCAAAAACCCAAACACGCCCTGGTATTAGATAGTAGATAGTTAGTAGGTAAATAGAACCCAACGAGATGTCGAGGGCTCAGAGCAGTGGAAACTATCCCAGCGTCCAGCTCTGTCTATATCCAAACTCCAGTCGGCCGATGATTGCAATCGTGCGGAGGCTGTGAGTTCTCGGAGTTGTCTTCTGACCATTATCTTGGTGGGCCTTCGCCGGGTCTCCGCGTTGCCCACCCTGTTTCCTGCGGGCGTGGCTGTACCGAGACCCACTGGCCAGTTCTGGGATCCTGCTCTTGGACGTGTGTTGGTCCAGCCGTCGGAGGTGGGGGCCCCCCCTCCATCGATCTCAGGGGTGGGAGTCTCTCGCCCCCTGTCGACGATGCCGCTGAAGTTGGCCGCGAGGGAACGCCGTACGGTGGGGTTTGCATCGGAGGCAACGAGCTTGGAGACGCACCCGGATGTACGCCTCCAGGGGTACTGTACATCGGCATGGAGAAGTCGGAGCGGTCGTCTGTTCTGCGGCGTTGTGCTGGTCGTTCGCCCGATGATAGATCGCTTGGATAACCTTGAGGGGCTGCCATCAAAGGACTCCTCTCTGCGTAAGAGCTGCTCCTCGCCGAGGCGGGACTCGAGGGTCCAGCTGCCAAATGGCTGATTCCTGATGTTTGTGACACAATATCCCTTAGCCGATTTCGGTCGTCTCGGTAAAAGTCTCGTTGGTGTGTTAGTTCCTCAAGTTTGATCTCCAGCTGTCGCCGCTCATCCCGGAGCTCCTGCAACTGCTTCGTATTCTCTTCTTGCATAATCTTTTTCTTCCTTCGGTGCCTTGTCGATGCCACCGCGTTCCGTTGTCTCTTCTCGTCTGCCTTCTTCGACGCCTGGGAGTAGTCTACTTGCACAGGGATCGGAGTATCGCTTCCCGGAAGTGTCATGAAGGCCTGTTGCCCCTCAGCGCCGACCATGGCTCCGGCCATGCCATGCCTTCGCATCATTTCAGACCAAGGTGGAGCACCCTCGTTCGTGGGACCCGTAGTCGAGAAAGACCGACCTTGTTGCATACCGGGAGGAAATTGGCTTTGGGTAGGCATTGGTGAATGCGGGTGGTGATGTTGATGTCCCTGGTAGTGACTTGGGGGCAAACCTGACGGATGCGAATGAGGACCTGGGGATTGTATTACCGACTGAGAAAGTGACCTCGTAGGGTTGTGGCTCCCGCCGGCGGGACCTGGAGGCATTCCTGGCGGATGGTGGAGTCCGCGGTGCTGTGATCGGTGTTCATCGGGAACGTCGCTCTCGTAAGGTCTCTTGGCTGGGGACATGCTCGGGAGTGGGGGTGGACGGGCATCCACGCTGTGGTGAGGTGCCTGTCCCTGACTTAGACTCATAGCTCGTGGGGGTTTCGGGCTGAGCATTCTTCTCGGGTTGTTAATGGCAGGGAAAGGGAACGCGGTCGTGGGAGAGTTGCGTTCGGAGAATGGGCCGCCTAGGGGCGTCCCTCCGCCTACAGGCGTTCCTGGAAGGGATATCGAGGCAGGCTGGCTGGTTGTGAAGGGGCGGGCCGCCGTGAAAGGCCCAGGAGTTGACGTGGGGATCTCGCCCTCCGGTGGCCTTGACGTTGGGGGGAGGCCCATGTTACCTCCTTGCGCCAGGCGATGCGGTTCGGAGGGGTTGAGAATGTTGTGTACACCAAGAGTCCTCGCGGGGACCAGTTGAGACCTGGTTTCGCCGTTTGTGTGAGGCACGCCGCCTAGGTCCTGTCGCATGTCACGACCACCGTGCTTGCCGTACCTCATTGATGACGGAGAGAGTTGGTCGTCGTCGACAGGGGACCTCGAAGAGCGGCGTGAGGCATGGCGAGACGCAGGTCCTCCCTGTGACATCGGGGCCTGATCGCCTTCGCACTCCTGGCCACGAGGACCGGCACATCGACCCTCCCCAACTCCAGTCAGCGACGGTTGGTGGTTGTCCTTGGCTGAGGAGGACTGGTGAAGCGAGAAGCTCTGCGGAGGCCAGGTGGGACTTGAAGGTGTTCGCGGAGAATTCGGTGTTGCGCCGGTAGAGTCGGTTCCGGCGGAGCTGGGGCTGCCCCGAGTGTTTTGTGATTGTGGCCACTGGCCTACCGACTGGATCGCCACCTTGAGCGTGTTGTGTATGGGGACTAGCTGGGGATTGCTACCCAAACAGTCCCAACGAAGAGCGGAGGTATTAGAGGACGAGATGGCAGATGCCAACTTCGAAGAGGAGAAAAGATCCAGAGGCGACAGGATGTCCGCCTGCTCCCGTGATCTTCTTTGCACGGGATGGAACCTAGCTTCAGGCAACCCCAGTCGATGTTGCCGGGGTCACTTTCGTCGGGATGCGGGAAATGGGCGTCCAAAGATTGGTCGCGTCCAAGCAATCGGAGACCAGAGCCGTGGCTAGCTGGTGATCAATAAGCTGAGTCGGCACAGCAGAAGTCGCCACGAGGGGCCTGATACGAGAGCGAGCGCTCGGGTGATCAGAACGGGGCCGAGCTGGATTCACTCGGTGTTCGTCATCAACAGAGATGAGAGGCGCAAGTGATGGTTGCCAGACAACCTGGGGTGTACAGGGGGATGATGAGCGCAGCAGGATAGTGGTCGGCAAATCAAACAACCCAAGTCCAGTCTCTTCCTTGTGAATGGCCGGGTGGGCGTGGAGGGCCAAAACAAAGGTGGATTGGTGAATTACCAGCCAAAGCAATCCGCTCGCCTCGCGCTTTTTAATAATAGGCCTTGGAGGCGTCTGCTCTCAACGAGCCTTGTCGATGAGGAAGCTTCAAGCTGGAGAGGTGACAGGGCTAGCTGCAAAGGAGTAAAGCAAGGTCTGTGGTGCTGGCGGATGGTGACCAAGAAACGAGGTATTGCCAACGGCTTTGCGGGAGACGATTGTGGACGAGGGGACTCGGCAACTTGAACGGTGAGGCTTGTGCAAAGCAAGTGAAGGAGAAAGTGACAAGAGGTAGAAGATGAATGAAACCAAGCCAAGCACTGGGACCAGCAAGCAAGTGATGTAGTAGTAAGTAAGATGCCTGGAGTCGTCCCGCACCGCCGCCAACAAAACGAATCCCTGTACGCATGTCGGAGACCTAGCAGCTGGGTCCTTGATGGACCAGCCACACACTGTGTAATTTTTCCTTGTACTTGCCATGCCATGCAGGCCTTGCAAGAGGGAGGGCTCTCCCGTGCCGGACTGTTATCATGCCCCAAAAGGGGCGGGGGGGGCCTGGTTGTCAAGTCCATCAACGCATGGGTCGAGGTCCCGCAGCTTGGGGGCTTTGACCAGGGTATTTCATGGTACAGGAAGCCGGGACCAGTCGCCGGAACTGGGGCTAGAGCTGGCACTGGGCACCTAAGGATGGGATACTTACTGCGTAGTACTCGTAGCACTTGGGACGATCCATTAACCAACCTGTGGGCCGGGGTCTCCAAGACGACCAGGAACGGCCAGCAAGCACATACTAGGGTGCCCGCCGCCCCATGCTGCCCATGCATCAAAGACTCCGTGGTGCCAAGCACATAGCAGGGCTTAGACGGGTTGGGTGCGATGAGGTTCCGGGGCCCGGGGAGCTACTGTAGCTTTGCCGTCATGTGCGTCAAGTTGCGTCTTGTTTTTTCCTCCCTGTGGTGGCAGTCGGTGTAGTAGTCTTCAGGGTGTCGAGCCAGGCCAGCCGAGGCCACCATCTTCCCTCCACCTACCGGGTTATGGAAGGCTGATGGCTGGTGACGATCCATCCGGCAGCCAAAGTAAGAATCGAGGCTGGAGCTAGGCGCTCGGGACCAAGGGGAGGCCACCCGCGAGGCCACCGTCGTGAGCAAACTTGAGCAAGCCTTGTGCCGCTGCTGAGAACCATCCAATGCTGTTAGCGCCATTGCAAAAGCTGGACGCGACACCGCCCCCCCCCCATTGCCTAGCCCGAAGCCGGCGGGCTCCTCAAGGGACGGGGAGCGACGGCCGAGGCGGTCAATGGAGGCGCCACCAGTGTAGAACAGACCAAGACGCTCTCAGTGCGCTGCGCTGGCCGTGGACCGTGGGCCATGAGCATGGGGACAGGGCCTAACCCATCCGCCCTCCCCTCCCACATAAGGTAGGTTGGGTAGGTACACATACCATATCTCGGCAGCGTTGAACGTGCTGCATCTCTCGATGACTCCCCAATGTGGTGGGAGGGTTGCCAAGGTGCCAACGAACGCACGTTGCTCCTGGGCGGGAGCGGCAGCGGGAGCCTGGTCATGCGGTCTGTATGCGACTTTGTTGGCGCGATGTGGACATGATCTAAGTTGAATAAGGGCTAGATGCTGGCTTCCCAAATGACCTCCTCGGGAACCCTAAAAAGCAAGGCAAGCGACGCGCTTTGCAGAAGAGAGAAGAGACGACAACAAGCGACGACGGACAACGAGCACGCCGCGCCGGAAGGGGGGCATGGAAGAAAAAGAACGATCGTCATGGCGCTCCGCGTCCGTGGGTTTGGGTGTGCTGCCCCGGCTGGTGCTGACGGACCCCGGTACGCCCAAGCCCCGGTACGCTTATGCGCTGTGGGCGCTGTGAGTGGCCTCCCTGGCCGCCTCCCTGCTCTTCGCTGGGCTTATGAAGGAGCTTTCTGGTGCCCTCTGGTAGGTTGCTGGGCTCGGTTGGCATGCTGGTATGCTGGCAAACTGGCATGCTGGCATGCATGGGGATGGGATGTCGACTGCGTTTACTCGATTCCATGTCGGGACAATGATGGGGATAAAAAGCCAAATCTAGCCATCGCTGCGCCCTCATGGCGGACGGGCTGCCTTCTCAGGCACAGCACCCGACGCTGCCGGCAGCACCAGCAAGTAGAGCGACAGGACGGCGAGAACTGGCGCGTCTGGCACGTACAGCGTGGCACAGCATTTGCATGGCATACATACATACACAGGAGCATGGCATAACATGGCAGCGCGTGGCTTCGGCCCCGACGGGAGCTGTGGGACCGCGGGATGGCTGGACGGGTTGCTGGCCAAATCTCACACCCCTACGGAGTACTTGACTGGCCGTTCGAGGTGCGCATGCCACCCATCTGCTGGTCTAGCACGAAAGGCCTCAGTCTAACAGCTCGTGTCCCAAAGGAGATATATCGACAATTGTGGCAGCTTTCGTTGGACTGTTGAGACAATGTTGCATGCTCACGTCGACCAAAGGGAAAAAAATCCGACCGCCGCATGGGGAAGAATCATGTCTTGCTTTGGGGCGTGTGGATATGGCCGTCCGCTAATGGAGAAGGAGCATACGGTCGCGCTGTAGGACACGGGGGGCGTGGCAGGATGACGAGCTACTACCTCGATAGCAGCATTGGCGGGTCTGGTGGGAGCTTCAGAGACGAATTGTCGCAGGGCACAGGTTGTCAGATTCTAGGCGGCTCCAGCAACGACTTCGTGTTGGCGAACTGAAGTTTTCTCAGAAAGGAACTTTGTGCGTCATAAGGTATGAGGTGGGTAGGTACGTTGGGAAGGTGAGTTTTGCCATGCCCAAGGAAGGTGCAAGCAAACCGCATAGAAAAAGTAAACATTGTCCTCCCCAACAGTGTAAGCAGGAACGCTCTCGCACACCCACTGGAACAATGACTGGATGACTGGCAGCCTGAGGAATACTCCTTCATACACGTAGGTAGTAGTAGTAAGGCAAACAATTTGTCCGCCCATCCACAAGCCTCTGAGACCAAGTCACCGTCTTTTTCTCCCCATCTTGGCAAAAGTCCTCGCGCCTCACTTGCCAGGCCAAAGTACGAATCGCTGGGTCTGGAGCTACGTCTCTTTTGCCTGCCGCAATTCGGGCCACACCATATCAAGCTTTCGTGCCTGGGTAGGCAAACGCATCGCCATCGCACGGCACAATCCAATAACTAACCTGCGTGGAAGTGCGGAACCCCCTGCTCGACATCTGCCCCCGTGGTCGTCAACAGCCTTGTTTCACAGCTAGGTAAGTACCGAAGGAAACAAGGTCCGCATGGTTGAGTCTCAGTCATTGACTCGTCGCTGGTGTCGAAAGGAAAAGGAAAAAAAAAACACCATGATCCTCGTCTCGCTCCAGATGCCGTCACTTCTCATCTCGTGTGCAAGGCGTTTCGGTCACCGCTAGGATCTCACTCACATTATCCTTGTAGGTTCGCGCTCTCTTTCTCACAGCTCTGAATCTGTGTCTCCCTCATCATGCGCCACGATGACTCGGTCCCTGAACAAGCCTCGGCCGTTACGCTTCTGTGTTGTACCCTGGACACCTCTGAATCCTTTTGGCTGCAACCTCATCCGAGTTGCCGAGTTGGGCCACGACTGCACGAAGGCCATGTGTAATGCGGTTGACGCACGTGTCTCACGGAGAACACCAGTTCTTGCTGCAACCGCATGCTACTTGGTGGTCCACGGTTTTCGTCTTGACCTCTCTCGTCTCCAAGTTCAATAACGCGGCGATATGCGGCAACATGGCCGAGGGGTGGTGTGCACGCATCGACGCTACTGAGGAGCCCCGTCTCATGGTACACCGAAAAAACAGGACAGCTCTGACGGGCCACGGTACGTAGTCTAGCTGCAGGACCAGGGGCTGGCTGGGGCAACCTTGTTGTGGAGCTGCAAGGTCCGCTGCGGCCAATATGCAACCGCTCCCACGACAGTTGTGCTTAGCGGCTCGACTACTCCTGCATCACCTCGACGCCGGAGCCCTCGCTGGCACCAGGCGCCCGTTCCGGTGCAGTGGTTGGAGCCAAGGCCTAGGGAGTTTTTCATCGGTGTGCGATGCGCCAGGCATTACGTATGTCACGCGCGAGGCGGACAGACCCGATCGTGGCAGACTACTGTATGATATGGCGGCGGGAGCGGGATCACTTCCTCCAGCTCACCACCAATCAGCCCGTGGAGAACCAGAGCCATCGTGAACGGCTGGCGTCGACGCCCAGCCTCATTGAGCATTGCCGCGGCGAACCACGTCTGCCTCCATCGTTGGGTGATCCAACAGGCATCACGAAGCTCATCTACTATGTGCATGGTTGGGATGAGGTTGTCCTTGGCCGAAGGTATGTGCACTGCCTGTCTCGACAGGGCATGGGCTTCAAGAGGAAGGGCCAGCTGCTGGCCCGACCCCACGGCCCCATGGGCGGCGAGCGAGCGCAGACAAACAGGAGCCAGAGGTTTGGAAATAGTGACGGCTTTGAGAGCCTGGGTCGACTGGGGTTAGGATTGATGACATATGCGACCATCGTGTGAGTGGCTCGGTCCTGGCTAGGATGAGGTGACGTTGCCACGCCCGTCGAGGGATTGGTTGTCTCCTGGTGGGCGGTCACGAGCTGGCGAGGAAATGAAACTTGAAGAGCAGCGAAATTAGCTGGGTATGGGGGCGGTTGCAACACGAACAGGGCTACGCAGAACTCGGCGACGGGTGGCTTAACATTTCACATCAAGGCATGGAGGACCTAGGAGTTTCTCCAGCCGCAGTATTCGGCGTCAACACTCGAAAGCCACGCTGGGCGGGACGGGGCGTGTTTGGCATTGCTTGCCGCAGGCCTAGACACTGCTAACTAAGAATAAGACTTGGACCCATTTTCTGTCGGGTCCAAGCCCGACCTTGTCTGCTAGCAACTCTTAGCGCGGCGAGTCTGTCCCTTCTACTAATACGTAGTAGGCATTCGCAAATGAGAAGCGCCTGTGAGGGCTGGCTGGTGGTGATGGTAGTGGGGGCAGACAGGTGGCCGATGGGACCACGGTCCATGTTATGGGCGCCAATCCTGAGTGGGAGGTACTTGGTGCACGTAGTAGCCTCATGAGTCCCCAGCGATGCTGAATGAACTGGCAAAGGCCGCTTGGAGCGAACGGGAAATGGAGTCTACGCGCTGGCAGTCTCGGCAGCAACGGGGCAGCCGGGTTGTTGTTGGTTCCGACGAGATCTCGAGGTATGTACGAATATGGCCCTTGTCATCTGGGGAGCGTGATGACCGGGTTGTCAACGTTGACGTGCCTCTTAGCCCCTGCACCCAATACGACGGGACAAAGTTCTGTCGACAGGCCTGGTCTGGTCCCAACGAGGATCCGAGCAAGGGACGCAAGTGAGAACAGATGAGACGAGAGATGACGGCAGTAAATAAGCAATCTCTGGAGTCAACAGGCCGGATCCCTACCTGCGGGACTGGTGCTGGGTCTCTCTGGTGTTCTACTTCAGGTGCCTTGCCTGTTCCAGCTCTGGACGGCATCCGAATCGAGCCATCACGCACGCTTTCATCCCCGTCCTCATTCCGGGCCGTCCCTAGTAATCTTTGGGACCCTATGGCCGTTGCTCGCTCAAACCTGTCGTGACTGTGTCTAGACAAAGCACTACCGGTATGTTACTACCACTACGTATGTAGTATGTTCGTACTGCACCTCCCCCGCCGAGCTAACTTGCTCCAGATGCCGCAATCATGTTTTATTCATTAGCCGCCGCTTGCCTCCCATGCCCTCCACGATCCGTCTTGTTTCCTCTCGTCTCGTCTCCATCCGCTGTTGTCCATCCAATCTTGTCCCAAGTCGTCGCCCTGCTTGCTCAAACCCCACAAGCATATCCTTCCACCGGATGGCACTGAGACGATCAGCGAGGTCTCGAAGGTCTCGAGGGCCTCGCCCAACGAGTCCCCCTTGTCTAGCAGCGGCGATCATTGGCCTTGGACCTCCCGTGACCAAGGCATCCTAGCGGTCAAGGCGGGTATAAGCCAGCAAGCCGCTGGAACACCCACCAGCTAGCCAGCGACCACCACATGTACCTATGGCATGCATTGCGTCCTGCAACTAATCCGCCCTGTCGTACCCTCCCCTCCCCTCACCAGCAAGGTGATGTGCTGGTCTGCCCTGGCCGCTGAGTACCGACGCTACCCCGAGCAGGCACTCGCATACATGCTCCGTACGCAGACCTGCAGCGTTTCGTCCGTGCTGCGTCGTTCGCCGGGAGTGTGACCGGGGTCCGGTTCATGCAGGATCCTCATGCATCGGTTGGCAATGCAGTATTGATGCACTGACGCACGCACCGCCAGCGGTCGGCATAGGCGCTGCAGCGCGAGCTGCGGAGCTGATGCAGGTCGCACCACGGGTGCCGTCGCCCAACGGTTCCTCCGTCCGCTTCACTTGCCTTGCGTGCTGATGATGCAGGTCGCTATTCGCGGTGTGGCGGTGTGTGTCTTGCCTGCGTGCGTCGTTGCCGGCCTTACCTACATGCGGGTTCTGCGGGTTGAGCTGTCTTTTTGCTGTGTTGTCCTTCTGGTTGCCAGTGTATAGGCGCGCGTGTGTCTGTCGGTAAGTATGTGCTTGCGTGGGTGGCCTGGCGTGGGTGTGGTAGTCTGCGCAATGATGGCCATGTTGATGCCCGATGACGACCTGATGAAGCCCCCCATGTTCCCGTCACTGGAGGAGGGGCGAGGATCCTTCACGATAGCGCGTCGGATCGTGTTATCCGGCGGGTTTCTCTTTTGAAGTTGGTCTGGGCCTTTGACTGTTCGGACGAGCACGGCCGCATCTCGTCAGTTCGGGGCGTGAGGTTTGTTCTTGGATGGGGCAGAGTGCGGAGCTAGACGGTGGAGAGTGCGGAATCGAGGAAGAGAAGGCGTATGGGGAAACAACTCAGTTAGTCGGTGGGCTTCCCGCTCCACGTCGGCTCTTGGCTTCATTCATGTTTGGTGTGGATAGTCCGTGCCATCGGCCGAAGCCCCTGAGCGTAGCCGAAGCCATTTGACGAAGATGAATGAGGAGCATGGAAGGGGCTGGCTGGCACGTTGCGGGCGTTGAGTCTTGATCAAGAAGTCGTGCTACCAACTCCGAGTGTAACGTGAACTCATCAAAGTTCAGCTTTGTGGGGGACGGGCAAACGCAAGGGGGAGTGAGTGAGTTCTCTTCCGCATCGTTTTGGGGCCACGTGAAACGGTGCAATGGAATCGGATTATCCATGATTCCATATCGAAGATGGATATTTTGGTGGGCGCATCCATCCGTACGGTACGGACTTGGACGACGGACTAAGTTACGGTACTTCCACCGAGCAGAGATGGCTGTGGATCCGGAACGGAGACGAGCTTGCAGACGGACTGGAGGAACTTGTGGTGATGGGGTCTGGGTTGCTGGTGACGGCGGTGGCTTGGAGGTGCGATGCCCATGCGCATGCCTTGGATCCTCTCGTCTCATCCTCCGGCACCGGATGAATATCCCCCTCTGTCCTCTGTGTAACGTGTTCCCTCTTGACGGTGCTTGTTCGGCGATGGCGCATGCGCCACGGGAGAAGCAAAATGACGATTGTGTTTCGAGTGCATAAGTCACGCTGCTATAGATTCACCTCCCCAGCCAATTCGTCAGATAAGCAAACACATCGGGAACAAACTTCAACTAAGGCGCATCTCATCTGCCTGGCCGGGCTTGGCTGGTGATACCGGGTGAGTCGGATCCCCACCCGGCCGATACGAGCTGGCCTTCAACCTCGATGGCGACTGGTTCCCTAACATGCCGTTTGAGAAAAAAACAAAAATAAAAAAAGGCAAAACGTTCTGCGACCGCCGCGTACGTACTTGGTTGTTGGTTGGTGTTGGACCCGGCCCAGTGCGACGCGACGTTGGACCCGGGGGACCTCCGGCCGAGCCTACTGGCCGCAAGCCCACCGCCCGCCCGCCGCCGCCAGCCCCCTTTCCAAGACACCCCCAATGGTGCCGGAGCGGCCAACTCCCCAATCGCGTTGCTCAATTGCGACGACAGCGTCCCGACAGTCTGGGACGGGGTTCAAGGAAGGTGAGATTGTTGCAGCGGCGGGATGCCTGGGAACAAACGCCACAGCCCAGACCAGGTCCAGGCCCGCGCCAATGTGCCCCGTATAAAGCACAAGAAGGAAAATAGTCGGTCGACTGCAGTCTGCAGGCTTCCTGCTGTCGAAACGCGCATGACGTAACCCAATAATATTTTTTTCTTCTTTTTCCTGCCGAGTCCTGGGGATATCCCACAGTGCTCGTCGAGGTGGCACCTCTCGATGCAGCGCGGTGCGGTGCAGTGCAGTGCAGGCCGGGACAAGGGTTTCTTCAACGTCCATCTGGGGGATCGGATGGGGTCTCCGAGGCCAGGCCCTGCTATAGACGAGGATAAGCATAGATAGCCGCGCCGTCATGCATGTTCCCGAGGAATGGCGAGATCAGGCACCGCGTTGAATCATGTTCGTGGTGGAGGTGACGCCCGGATCCCAGGCCCGCCCGACCCGGGGACTCGGCGCCGGGAACGTCGTGCGACCCTCCGCCGGCAAAGTGCTTGCGCATGTCTCGTTCCGGACTGCAGCGAAAGAGCCGCAAGAGGAACGATGCCATGATATAAGACGTGAGATGGCCTCGCTGGGCCCCGCGCGTTGCAGCACACACGCTGTTCCGTCCGCGTACTGTTGCTCTGGCGCTTCCACTTGCGCGAAAGGGCAGCTCCGCTCGGTTTCTCGCCCGAACCGGACCGAACTGGCCCCATCGTCACTTGTTGAACGGCCATATCAACCCCGCTGCCCGCATTATTTCCACCAGCGCATCATCATCAAGCAAAAGCCGCAACTCACAACGGTTGAAACCCCCCTGCCAATTCGTACGCGCATCCTCGTTTCAAAGCAGAGTTGCCGCAGGACAAGACGCAGATCACGCAATGGCCGATCTTCAACGGTGGACGGTCGAGGAGCCCTGGCTCGACGTGCGCTGCCTCCTCGGTGAGGGCCCCTTCTACGAGAAGAAGACCAACACGGTGCGCTTCGTCGACATCAAGAAGAAGCAGCTGCACCGCGTCTCGGTGGCCGAGGGCTCGTCGTCGCTGACGACGCTCCAGCTGGACGTCTGCCCGACGGTGACGGTCGACATCGCGGGCGTGGACCCCAGCGACCGCATCGCGCTCGGCATCAAGTACGGGCTCGCGGTGCTCGACGTCCAGAAGGGCACGTACGAGCTCATCCAGCCGTTCCACGAGCCGCGCAACGAGCGCGTGCGGAGCAACGACGGCGCGGCCGATCCGCACGGGCGCTTCTGGCTGGGGAGCATGACGGACTTTGGGCTCGGGCCGTTCCAGGCCGAAGGTGAGTTGTCTGGCTGATATCATGATGCCCTCGGCCTTGTGTCACCCCTCATGGCCGGGGACCCTCAGGGGGGCAGAGACCCAGGACTAGGGGATCTATTACACGCCACTTTGTCACAAAGCTAGGGGATTACATGACGGCACAGATGACGTAGCGATGGCTCCAGAGATGTCCCCTCTTTGCTCATCATGCGCTCTCAGTCATGTCCTGTTGGCCTGGGGTTCTCGCTCTCTCGGAATCAACGTCTGCATGTGCTAACCCTCCTGCATAGGCGCGCTCTTCCGCATGGACGCCCACTCCCGGGAGGAGGCTGTCACTGACCTCACCATTCCCAACACGCCCGGCTTCTCATCCGACGGGCGCACGCTGTACTTTACGCACTCGTCCGCGCGGCAGATCTTCGCGTTCGACTACGACCTGGACGGCGGCGGCGGGCTCTCGAACCGGCGGCTGTTCTACCAGCACGACGGCACGGGCGAGCCCGACGGCTTCCGCATCGACGTGGACGGCAACCTGTGGACGGCCGTGTACGGCGAGTCGCGGGTGCTCAAGATCAGCCCCGCGGGCGTCGTCGTGGGCGAGGTGCGGCTGCCGACGCGCAACATTACGTGCGTGCAGTTTGTGGGCACCGAGCTGGTGATTACGTCGGCGGCCGACGAGGAGGGGGAGGGGGAGAGCAAGGAGTATGGAGGGGCCGTGTTCCGGGTGGATGTTGGGGCCATGGGCCTGGATCTGCACGAGTTTAGGCTGTAGAACGGAGAATTAAATGGTGAGAGTTTAATAGATGGCATCGTTTGACTACGTAGTATAAAGAGAGAGAGAGAGGCGGAATTCCGAATTAACTCTTGTGATTATCGAGGTGGCCACTTTACATGAGATATCACCAAAGCGGCCGGCATCTCTTTGAACGCCTCGTAGCGACCCTTCATCTCGTCTCCTTCCCCGCATCCACGTTATGTTTCCTTATTTGTTTCATGTTTATCTTTCCTTGCCAGCCCAGAGGAGATGCCGAGATTTCTTCTTGCCGCATTGCTGTAATAAGCCGCATCGTCTAATCGATGGAGATTTTTGCAATAGCCCGTCTAAAACCGCCCTCCCCCACCACGCGGATGTCAAGCTAGGAGAAAAGCACAGACAAGAGATGCTCTTTAACATGCTCAACGCCGCCGAGCTACGCAAGCCTACGGACTAGTTCCGGACCGGACCCGAGTCCCAATGGCTTGGATGGGTGGCCAGCCCGCTCAGGGCCGAGACCCTCTGCTACGGGTGCACCAAAGACCCGGCATCTGGATCTCTGGGCTGCTTGGCTTCTTTTTCAGAGGGCGAGCCGGGTCTGGCATCCCACATTCCGCCATATTTTCCTACAGCAGGACTGCTCCATACGTAAGTTAGCGGCCCTCTTGCACCCTCGTCTTGTTGATGGATTCATCTCTCGACCGGAGCATCCCGTTGCCAATTACCTACCCAACTGCCTCGCCGCGGGACTGGAGACGTGGGATGGATACGTGCGGCCTAGCCCATCCCCAGTCTTCATTCAGTCTAGCAACCGGCGGGCTCTTCTTGTTTTCAAGTCATCTGCCTCGTCAGTGCGAATCTTGAGACTCACGGACTGTAGGATGATGATCGCCCTCAACTGCCGGGACGACAAGATCCACCAGTTCGCTCGCTCGCCCGCTCCCTACCGTTACCGCTCCCGCGCCGAGCCCAGCCCAAGTGCGGCCAAGCCGATCCCAGGAGCAATGGCCAGGGCGGCTCTCGCGAGTGTCACCCGTACAGTAGCGTAGCTTCACCACGGACAGGTCCACGGACAGGTCCACGGACAGGTCGTCCCTTGCTCCAAGCTCCCCTTGCTCCCTCGCCTCTAATAAAACACTCCCGCAGTTAGAGGCCGTCTGTCAAGCCCGCGAGCCGTCATGACGCCTTGACGCAAATCCTACGCCTTGACTCACGCACGCCCACACGCCCCCTCACACCGCCCAACCCTTCACCGCCCAAGGTGAGGCAGCCTGTGAGCGCTTTCTCCAGCCTCGGTGGGGGAGAGGGGACTCGATGCAAGGCCACCTGTCCCATCGCCATGTACGTATGTGGGCGAGCCTGTACGTGATCGCTGCGGGTACGACGCATGGGTTGCGGTTGTACAGTAGAGGCGAACTCGCTGTATGTACGCAGGGTATGCGGGCATGGACATGGGCATGGGGGCCATGATGGATGGATGGATGGATGGTGATGGAGTCAACAACCATGACAACGACCCATTCCCATCCGCCTGCCGAGCCGCGATGCGTATGCGAATGGCCTGCTCGTGCGTAGACGAACAAGTATCTTTTTTCTTTCCCTTCATCTCTCTTCTCACAGAGACGAAACAACCAAGCGAGCAGTCGGGCCTCACCGCCTCGCAAACCCTGCGCCGTGTCGTCGTTCATCCTTCAGCTGCTCCTCCCTGGTTCCTGCTGGCATGCTGCTCGACCCGGTCTCCGGAGCGTCGAGCATCATCACCATGCCTCACATATGCACCCGGCGCCGAGCCGTCTGTTCGCTCCTGGGCCCGTGTTGGCCGCCCCCCCAGCCTCTCGAGCGCTTCCCCAGCCCCAAGGCGAGCCCGGGAGGCTTGAGGCTTTGAGGCTTGGAGATCACGTTGATGGAGGGCTCTGCGAATGCTGACCTGCTTGGTCCAGAGCGTGCCCCAAGCTCCCAAGCTTCTCCTGCGTAGTCAGCTCCTACTACGTAGTAAGTACACTGACACACGTATACTTGGCTGCCATGACGCTTCTCTGGTCTCAAGATCCACCCCCCGTCGGTTGACGATCCTCCCCGTGCTAAGCCCTTCCCTGCTCTCAAAAGTCCAACTGGATGCCGAACCTACCTTCACCGTTCAATAGCTTACCAACCACCTAACACGAAAGAAAAAAAAGAAAAAAAAAAAGAAAAAACTTTCAAACAAACCCCGTCCCCAGATGCAAGTGACGGGGGGAGGGGACAAAAACCCAACCATCACCAACACAAAAAACGTGCGCTGCCGGCCCTTGCCTCGCTTGAGTGCCAGCCCCCCCTGTCCTCCTAGCGTCCCCGGGAAGACCAGACCAGAACAGCTCGAGGGCATCTTCTCCTCCCCCTCGCAGACCGCTTCTTCTCGCGGGGGCTTCCCTTTCAGCCTCGGGTCCCAGGAACGCGTGAGAGGGAGTTTCCGCACCGCCTTTTAATTTTTTTCTGCCGCTTGGGCGAATGTGAACGAGACGGTGCGCGTGTGCGTGGTGTGTCCCGCCGGTCCGCGGGGATGGATACGTGGGCTAATAAGGGGCCCGGGGAATAGTCCCTGTTGACGTTGGTGTTGGTACTGGTGCTGGTGTTGGTGCTGGCGTTGGCGCTGGCGCTGGCGTCGTGACCATTTTGCTGCATGCGAGTGGCTGCATCACAGTGTGTGTGACTGAGCTGTGCCGGAAGATATTGAGGTGGTGCGGAGTCGAGTTAGGTCCAAGGGCATCTTTAGGTCCAAGGGCATCTTTGGGTCCAAAGGCGTCTTTAGGGTGGCAATGACACTGCGAGATATTCCTCACCCGAGGCCGAGCAGAGTGAAGTTGCGTGCCCAAGTGCTCTTGGGACATCACATAACACCTCCATGCGTAGAACTCGGATCGGGATGTTGGCGATATCATCTCAGACCAAATCTGTAAGTTTCGTTTTATGCCTCACGAGCTTGCTGGGCTTTGTGGGACGCAACAATGTGGCAAATGATTCCCGTAGTTAATTGATACTATCGTAAACTACAACTCAAGACCCGGCCTCCTCATCGCCTTCTTCCCCCATCACCTCCCGCCATCACTGGAGAAGTCGTCTTTCTTCAAGTTGGTGTTGATCACCAAGTCGTCCTTGCCTCTCATATGCATAACAATCGTTAGGCCCTCGATTCTAATCTCAGGACACTGGTGTTGATTCAAATTCGCACCAATTGCAACGTCTCTTCGGGCAGCATCTGGCCCCCCAGACCCTGGATCTATCAACGGCCGCGAGCTCGCCTCGGACTTGAGTTGGTCAACTTCCGTGCTGAGGTCCATGTATCGAGTTCGCCATGCGCAAACGTGGTTGGGCGGGATGACTGGTCTCGGGTTGTGAATCTCAGTGATCGACTCCGTCTCCTCCAATGACGAATGACTCAAAGTCTTGCAGTGCTTGATAGTCCTCACCTCGCGGGTCTCGATAACTACATCCTCCGCTTGGTTACGAGATTCTTCCGCAAGGTCTTCGGCGCTCTTCCGAGCTAGTGATAGCTCAACTTGCTTCAACCTCAGTCGCGAGTTCTGTGGCTTCGCTGAGTAGCTCTGCTCATACTCGGGAGTTCCAGCTATCTCGTCGACAACTAGTCGAGGAGTTCCTTCCACTGGCTTGGATGACGAAGCCTCGCTCAAATGGCAAAATGTGCAAGTGCCTGCCTTGTCTAGCTCGGCATGAGGTGTCGGGGGAAGCTTGCTGAGGCTCCGTCGCCATTTTACTACTGGCGGCGTAGGTTGTTTGTCCCGAGGACGTTCTTTCGATTTGTCGACCTTCCTTAATTGCTTTCTCCAGGATGAGACGTTTGAGGCCCCAGTATTTCCTCTATCACGATCTGCAAGGGTGTTTTGCACCTTTCTCAGTGTTGGTCGTTCCAAGGCCAGTCTCGGAACCTCGTCAGGAGCTTCCTGCTTGTCAGTGACAGACTTACGCGCATTTAGAGCAGGTGGTAAGACTTTTTGCCCTTCTTGGGAGCTGGGTTGCCTTGCCAATGCGCTCTGTGACTGTCGAAATGCATGGGTGTTTTCTACCGGGCCAACCCTTTGTCGCGATCTCGTTATGGGTTGATCAAGTAGAGTCTTGGGTGACATTGGCTTCAGGACTGGAAAAGACGGACTCGAAGGTTGGATGTCGCCTTTTTGTGTCTCAGAACCTGCATCCTGGTAGATAGAGTGTGGCTTGACCCACTCAGAAACCTTTGTATGAACATCCTTGGGGAGTTCATGAGACTTGGGACTCAGCTCCCGGTCTGTGACAAGGTCATTCGCAAGGGGATGAGTCTCTGCGATAGGGGGATCAGGAAGCTTGACATCTCTTCTCAGGGAATGCACAGGCATGTCGTATCCGATCCTAGCTATGCTATCGCGAGCAAGGGAGTGGTCTCGCAGAGATTGCCGTCTTGTCGCTAAACCAGTCTCTCCGTGTGTATCTGCCCATCTCTGTTGGGCCGCAGTACGTTCAAGGGTTCTCGATCCAGCTGCAAGGTGTTCCATGATGTGTTGTGAATGATGGAGGTCCTCGGCATGGTGATACAATTGGTCAATCTTCCTCTCCAACGTGCCTTGGAGTGGAGAGTGCCTTGTCTGCTGTGTCCTTGATTCATCCGTATCCGCCTCTTCTAGGTTTGCAGATCCGGGAACTAGCTGTGTGGTGTTTTGGCGTGCCGCACACGCAATGCTATGCCGGAATGCGTGATTCCCTGCATGAGTTGCCCTGCAATTCGGATTGGAACACCTCCCTTCGCTTTTCGAACCACAACTTGATGGTGGATGCGACTCTTTGAGGGGAATACAATCCGAAAGTCGGGTCGGTCGGTTCGCTCGCACATTCATCGCCGTGGTTTTCGGTTCCGTGGCCCCGACTTTTGCCTCCTTGTCTGCGATAAAGAACGGGTTGTTCCTCACAGATGTTGAGATGGCCGTTTGGGGTGCTAAAGGCATAGGGTAGACGACAGTCTCTTCCTCATCTAGAGGCTCGAGTCTTTCGGAGGGGGTTCTTTCCGCTTGGGGTACTGGTTTTGGTGTTGCGATGGCCGTATCTGAGCTTGATGCGTGGCGGCGAACTGTACGGACGGTGATATGGGTAGAATGCAGATGATCTTGATCTGAGTTTTCACCGCGATGAAGGGTTTGCGTGATCGAGTGCTGGAAAGTGTTGTGCTCATGCTGTCTTATCGATTCGTGTGCTCTCTCAAGCTCATCGTCCGGGATCTCGCTGGTGCACTTCACACACGAGTCGTGACCACAATGGGGACAGTACTTCCGCGATGCTAATGGCTCTCCACAAGAATGGCAAACTCGAAACACTTTCGTCGGTGGCCTCTCTGGCTTTTCCAAGATGACTGAGCCATCTTCCGACAACCAACCCCCGGGTCTGGAGATTCCATACTGTTCAAAGATCTCCATGGCATCTTGTCTTCTTCCTGTCGAACTCACAGAGGGTGAGCCGCGAGCTGATGGAAGTGAAGTCGCCGGAAAATAGGGGACTTGGAGAGACGCAGGCGGAAGCATCTCTGTCGCGATGGATTCATCGTGACGACGGGTGAAACCAGGTAGAGTCCCTAGTTGACCAGTCGAGATACTGGACCGCAGCTTTCCAACGTTCGCCTCCGAGAGATTGAATCGGCCAATCCTTGAGCTCAGCCGCTCCCCGGGACCCTGGCGGCGACTCTTCCTATGCGACCTTATTCCGTGGTAGGTCTCCTCCAACAACAAGCTCGGGTGCTCCTCCACTAGTGTGTTGCGTGATGCGGGCTTTGCGAAACTACTGTCTACTCGCCGTCCCTATCCGAGAGTTGTGCTTTCTCGTTCGCGTTGCGATGTAGGAGATGGTTGGTCCTCGGGGGGTTGCTTATTGGCGATCTTCCTCAGCTGGCGGATGCGGTCCCCAACAATTCCAGAGGGAATATGCTCATCGTCAACGGCTTGTTGGTCGTATATCAACGTCGGGCTCCGCAGGGTTGTCCGCTGGGTTGACAACTGGACATGGGCGGGGTTGACTGAGCGAGCCATTGCCTCTAAGGAGCGAGAGCTGGCGGTGCCTAAGAATTATAAGGATACGAGAATGACACTCCACGTGTTGGAGGGAGAAGCATGTTGTAGGAGTTTGGGGACCTTAAAATCGAGGTTTGCAGCGATGGAAGGTTTAAGCACTATGACGGCAAGAGGTCCGGTATCGCACCGGCCGTTCCAAAATACAGCAGCACAATCAACATGGCAAAGGAAGGATTCACGCGCAAACAATCGCAGAACAGCTCAAAAAATGGTAGCACAGCCATGACTGGTTTCAATTGTCTCGGCTTGTTGCTAGGAAGGGATAGAAAATTGATGTACAAGGGCCTCCATCGCCATAAACGCTGTACACATTTATTTCACATGAGCGGCCAGGGTCTCGAGGACCTGTTTCAACGTTAGTAAATTGGTCAATTGCAGAGGGAATTCGTGTTCCACATACCTCCAGCTCGATCTTGGCCTCGGCGATGTCCTGCTCGCTGCCACTGCCGTTCGCGACCTTGGTAGCCTCGGCAATCTGGCTCTTGATGGCATCGGCGCTGAAGTCCTCGAGGGGGAAGCCCTCGACGGCGTTGATGCTCAGAACGGAGTTGGGCTGGACGGTAGCGAATCCACCGGACACTGTATTCCATCAGCTGGTATTCCTCATCCGTCATTGCCAATCGGCCACGTACGGAAGAACTGCTTGGCACCACCGGTCTCCTCGATAATCTCAACCAGACCGGGCTTAAGCTGCTCAATCGAGGCAACGTGGTTCGCCAGGACACCCATCTCGCCAGACTCAGCGGGAATGTTGACCTGAACGACGTCCTGGGACTTGTAGATGGCCTGAATGCGGCAATTAGCACCCGTCCATCAATTGACACGCCAATTCGTCAGAGAGCTCCAATTCCATCGCATCGCATCCAATTTCGATCGGGCTTCTCGGGCGGTGTCATACCTCGTGAGGCAGAGCCAGGCTCAGCTTGATCTATGCAATCGGTTAGTCGGGTCCGGATGTAAAAACAGAAGCCGAAGGTCTGCTTGCCTTGTCGGGAATGGCCTCGGCGTAGGTTCTTCGCTGGACGGGGACTCGCATAGCGACAGGGCGAGCTCGGAGAGCCGCGCGGGCGAGGCGGAGGGAGTTCATGATGGCTGAGCTGTGGGATGAGGTTGTTGCTTGCGTGAGCTCAAATAAGGCAGCTGGCACGAATCTTTGCCGGAGCAGCAATTCGCGATTCGGCTAACGGGAAAATCCGATGGAGATGCGGCACGTGCACAGTCACCTGATTCTGGTTGTGAGGACAGACCCACCTCTCATCTCTAAACCTGAACCTCACAACTATGTGGAATGCCATGAATGACCGGAAGCAGGAAGCTAAAATAATGGATCAATCGTCAATTGACTTGAGTTGAGTTCTTCATTTGATCGAGGATGATGATTTGTGGAGTTGTGCTGGCGCTGACGAGCACTGTGATCTCTCCAATGGCCCACTTAGAGATCTTAAGTGATCTAGATGGTCCAACGCCCAGCTGAAGGACGGCCGGATTTATAGTGAAATCACTAGATTAGCCGATAATGAGGATCCTAGGGATGTTGAGACACATTTTTAGTCAAGCAAATTGAGCACCAGCCACATATCTAGCAGACTGTGCGACCCATTGAGGAGCTCCCGCCTGATGTCCTCCCTTGGTCCGGTAATGTATAGATAGGGCCAATCTGGTCGAGTGTTGGTAAAGTTCTTCTCTAATGCCGACATGGTACATAGTAAAGGAGTACTGCTATTCGGACAGTAAGATTCTACCCACGTAAAATCCGTCACAGTAAAAGAAATGTATTACTAAAGTCTTGGTATCAATAAAAGTATTACACAAAATACCTAAAGCTCTGAATCAACATCTATTTATTTCCTTTATGCGCCTAACCTCATTTTAACGTTATTATCCTGAAGCAAAATAATCCTATTTACAACAAATAGCTCATCAGCAGAAACGTGTTGCGAGTCTGGGGATGGTTCCAGCTTATTGATCGTGGTAAGCCATCTCCCGGTGTGGTCATGCTTAAAGGGTTGTTGATGTAGGTCCGGATCCTTCTTGTGATCGGGCATGGGAAAGCGCTGACTTCGCCCAGGCTAGATCCCCGCCTTAGCTGCATGAGATACAGTCATTAGAGGTCGTTAGTCACCAATAGTCAATTTGTAAATTGCTGGCAAGGTAAGGAGCAAAAAGAAAGTCAGGACCGAGCGTGGATCGAACACGCGACCTAGGGATCTGCAATCCCTCGCTGATGTCTTGGTTAACACGGATGACCTGCGAAGTGAGACATTCAGACGTACCTCTACCGCTGAGCTATCTGTCCTGGGCGATGATGATGGAGTGACTCAATTCCTAGATATCTCTTACGCCACATGCAACAACAGGAAACCGACGGCCAAGTGTGGATTGCACAGCCGCCTTTGGGACAGTCATCCCTTTACCGCTGACGGAGCTGTCCTGACTGCTAGTTCCAAAACGTTGACAAGCTTTACGAGGACTTCACTACACTCACATCTAGGAACAATCGAGGGAAAACATGACTGCTGTCTTCATGTCCCGAAGTGTCAATACAAATGCTTCTCAGTGTACGCTCGTAATAACATCCATCTTGTTTCGTGGTTTTTGGACCCAAATCTCTGCGTCATAATACGAATAAGATGCCCTAATTAAAGTACGAGGTCTCAGGCGTTACCTCATCACTCGGGCGCCTAGTCAATATGAACCATGGCAGGAATTAAGGCTGCAGAGAGGCGAAAATAGCAAATACTCATACAGAGCGTGCGAGAAGGGAGGCCGAGAACCTACGCTATCCTCTCGTCGATAGAGGCCAGCAATGTGGGGCCACGGGCTGAAGCTGTGTTGACACTGTTGGCATCCGTCTGCCCTATGGGCTTCTTGGAGTTGTGATCTGTACGGTTCAAGGGCGCCACATTTTGGGCAACTTGCATTGTCAGACTTTAGCTCTTATTTTAGTGTCGATGACTACGCTTGTGACTTTGTATCCCTGCCGCAACAATCGTGGCCTGGTCCAACACCATAATCTGTGATCAATGAACTTTGTCCGCGAAGAGACTTACAGTGCAGGAACAATCTCCCATATTCGGCTGGCCAGGGTATTTACCAAGTACTACAAGTCATCACCAATGGTCCTGGAGCGAGGAAGAAGGCTCTAAACACCTCAGAGATTTTACAAGGACTTGCAGCAGCCCCCCTTACATGTTATGCGAAACGCCACTGGGTGATTACGAGCATGGCTTTCAGACTGCAGCAGTCCCGACCGCTCCATCTCAGACAAGCTGAGGACTAGTGATGTGTTCTCTCGTACCCCACCATTTTGTTTGTTGGGCGCATTCATTTAGCCTGGCTAACCTGTAGGTATACAAATTGGTACCAGGGAGCAATGTCTTGAAATCGCGTGCGGGTGTGATGCCAAATTCTTCTTGTTCGGAGAGACGGCTAGGAAAGCGAACTCTTTTCGCCTCACAGCTCAAGTTTAATTCAATCTCTCCCGTGCACTCTGACGACCCTAGGCTTAAATGAAATAGTCACTGTGACCCGGCGTGTCAATAATGGCAATGTCATATTGTTGAATAGTGATATTTACGTCTGACGCCGTGCATGTAAAGGAGGTACGCTAACACTGTCTGTGACTAAGTATCACCACGACAGGCTAAGACATACATGCATTTAAGCTTAATATGAGGAGCGAAATTTGGCCCACAGTGTGAATCCGTGGATAGAAGCAGCCGCCATCCACCAATTAATGGGAAGATTCATGGTTTTCTCCGGGGCTGAGGGACAGCGTGACTTTGAGTGCGGCTTGGCCAGCTGACGAACTAACGCGTCTTGTAATGTCTCACAATCCTCACCCTCAGCCAAAGCATTCAGCTGGAACCTTCGTTAAGATACTAAGCTCCTGGTTGGCTAACCATCGTTTCGATGGCTTTTCGCTACCCTTATCTGTAAGAATCGATTGAGGTCGAGGCCGAGCTGATGTCCAGGTGGCTGGCTGAATAGTCTGGCAGTGGAGAGGCACAGTGTTTTGGTTGGGATCAATAGAAGAAACCGAGATATAAATCATGGGCATCCATCTTCCGAAAGGACACAATTCCTCATCAACCCAGTCACATCATCCTTACCAATTGTTCAATCCAAACACTTCCCTTTCAAGCTTCAACTCTTTACAAACTGTCAACGCACGATGGCTGCTGAACAACCCAAGAGTTACCCTTCACCTGGAGAGGCGGAGAAGGTCCCTGTTGACTTGGCCAAGATCAAGGCTACTCCGACTTTCTGCCCTGGAGACAAGCAAGATGTCACCCATGTCCACAACTATCTCAAGCACTACGGGTACATGCCGCTGTCCATCGCCGCATCTGATGCAGCGGTGGACCAACACACAGGCACAGCCCTCAGAGCCTTTCAGGAGTTCTTCGCACTCAAGGTGGACGGGACCTTTGGTCCCGAGACGAGAGAGGCGATGACCACATCTCGTTGTGGGTTCCCTGACCTTTTGCACTCCGTGGGCTTCGCGACCCTCGGTCCCTGGAAGCATCGCGACCTCAAGTACTGCTTTGGAACCCAGTCCACTCAACTCAGCGCCGACGTCTGCAAAGCTGCCATGCGGCGGGCCATGAAAACCTGGCAGAATGCCGGCGTCGGCCTCTCCTTCACCGAGGTAGCTTCCAACCAGAACCCAGACGTCTTCATCGAGTTTCGTAGAGCCAACGACCCTGACTACTCAATGGTCGGTGGCGTGTTAGCTCACGCAGACTTCCCTCCGGGGTACTCCGTGGTTGTCACGCAGCTTCCATTGCCTACTCATTTTGACGATGAGGAGCACAAGTGGGTTGACGGCGCTGTTGCCAATGCCTTTGATGTGGAAACGGTTGGGCTCCACGAGCTTGGTCACATTCTTGGGCTTGCGCATACAAATGTCCCGGGAGCTGTCATGTATCCATCTGTTACGCCAAACTTCACCAACCGCGCGTTGGCGGCAGATGATCTCAACGGTATCCGAAACCTCTACCCGTACTGGCGAAACATCGGCGGGACGTACTATGGTAAATTGAATGCCCCGATGTAGCATATATATACTAACTGAACTCTAGGAATCCCTGCTGTCGTCTCTTGGGGAGCCGGGCGTACCGATGTCTTCGTCCGAGGGACTGACAATGCCGTCTATCACAAGTGGCAAAACGGCGATGGTGCTGCTTGGGGGCCTGCAGAGACTGGCTTCGAGAATTTGGCCGGGAGGATAAATGGAAACGTCACGGCTGTTTCCTGGGGCCCCAATCGCATTGACATCTTTGGTCTGGGAACTGACAATGCCTGCTGGCACAAGTCGTGGAACGGCACGGCTTGGAGTGGCTGGGAGAGTCTCGGTGGCGGAATCATTGGCGATATCTGCGCCGTTTCCTGGGCTGCTAATCGCCTTGATCTGTTCGTGCGTGGAATGGACAACTCAGTCTATCACAAATACTGGGACGGCAGAGTCTGGGGTCCCAGTCCGACAGGCTGGGAGTACCTTGGCGGCAAGATCCTAGGATCTCCCAAAGCAATCTGCTGGGGGCCGAACCGAATCGACATTTTCGTTCGGGGCACGGACAATGCTGTCTTCCAGAAAACATGGAACGGATCCATCTGGCAGCCATCCGTGACGGACTGGAAGAGGCTCGGCGGTACGATTATGGACGACATCACCCTTGCCTCATGGGGAGCCAACCGTCTGGATCTGTTTGTAAGGGGCACAGACAATTCGGTACACCAAAAGACATGGAACGGCAGTGCATGGCTTCCGTCCGAGACAGGGTGGACTAGCCTTGGGGGAACAATCATGTCACGCCCATCAGCGGTGGCCTGGGGAGGGAATAAGATCTCCATTGCGGGCCAGGGAGTGGACAATGCCGTTTGGGTCAAGAAGTGGAATGGCTCAGCATGGATCGACTGGACCTCTATTGGTGGGATCGTTACGGACGATCCAGTCGTTGATCCGAGGGGAGGAGAAAAGTTGGCCATCTATGTTCGCGGCACGAATGCAGCTCTACATGTCTTCAACTGAAGAACTTCATAGCTTCGTAGACTCATGGGAAGAAACGAGCTTGTGCTTTCCATGAGTGCATATTTAGCTTGAGATCAAAGTTCCCTCCATTCAAATGTGATCAAAGCAAGTGCCGCAATCTCTGTACACATATTAGCGAATCCAGTCTTGATTGATTCAATGACCACGTACATGCAAACCTCCGAGACTTTCATCTGTATGTCCCCCATCATGAGCCGAAAGCAAGACGCCAGCGAGATGTTTCTTCGACTCCTGGATCTCCATGACTTGCTGCAAGGTGTTAAAACATACTTTTCAATAAAATGTCAGACTGACGGACCTGCTCGAACGAGTCTCGCACGTAGAATCGCACCGTTGTCACCTCCTTTGTTTGCCCGATCCGGTAGATTCGCGCAAGGGCCTGCTCTTCAAGGGTTGGATTCCTAAATGGTTAGTTGAAGAGCAAAGAACCTCTTTCAGAACTTACCAATGAGGCTCCATCAGGTAGGCGCGTGTCGCTACTGTCAAAGTGAGGCTGGGAGCGTATTAGTTACCATTGAGAGTTCATCTGGCTCGTTACTTGCCCAACTGCACCACATGATAGCGTAAGGAGCATTATGCGGACGTTCGGGTCTGTCTTAAACCTTTCTACAACATTTTGACGCTCTTTTTGTGGCACTTTGCCGTCGAATCGGACGCTTGGAAGGGAGGCTTGCTCCAACCCAGCTTCAATAAGATCCAGAGTTAATCTCCAAGTCGAAAAGACAATACTGTCGACGGGTCAGTAGACTATCGCATCAGTTTAGCAATAGTATATTACCATTTAGCTCCCGGGGGTAGGGTCTTTATGTCTGCAACGAGGGCCTCTATTTTCGATGAGAGGGTGATGGATGTCGTCCTCGTCTGCGGAAGAATCAGGCATGGACTCGATTCAAGAACACTGCTGCTAGTGGAGACTGAGGCCACGGGGCAAGGCGGCTTGTGACCACATGCCACACTGCTTTTGTGTTTGGAACTCTTCTGCGTACAGTCGCCGCAGACAAATTTTAGGCAACGGGTGAATTGGGGCCCTTGTTGCCTCGCCACGGGATCATCCAGAAGGGTCTCGGTGAGATCAGGGACTGATGAACAGCGGAGACATACCACTGGAGCCATTTCCCGCTGGACATTGAACGTTTGCTGCGCGATGTTACTCCAGTCATCCGTCTCTTGAGAGGGCTGCGAAAGGTTCCTCTGCCTTGTGTGATAGTGAACGCCCAAGTTGCAAATTAATCGCAAAGATTCAATCTGTTGTAAGACATTCACATAAACTCCAGCCCTGGCCTGTTCAGAGTCCCCCTGGAGGGCTTCGTTGATACTAATGACAGCTTTCTGTCGTACCTTGTCATATAATGTCCTTTCTTCACGATTGAAGTCAACAGGACATTGCATATCTCGACGAGCAGGCAGCTTGATAGTATCTTTAGCCCGCCGTAGTAGAAGACAGGCTGATAGACGCTTCAGCCTATTGACGGCTTCTTCATCTTCTCCCAGCTTCCAGAGGCGGGATATATCGGCCTCAAAGCACTTTGGATCGGTGTATGGATGGGCTCGGATGAACTTAAAGAGGGATGCAAGATCGCCTAGCCGATTCTGGATTGGAGTGCCAGTTACAGCCCATCGGGACACCGAATCAAGTGCGCATATTGCATGGGCCATCCTTGAGTTCCCATTTCGGATGAAGTGTGCTAATTCCGTCAGAGTCAACAATTCCTAGACAAATATTATCATGACAAACCTTCATCGAGAACAATTCTCCTCCAACAAGTTGAGAAAATTATAGAATTTTCAACACCTCTTCCGGCGTTCCATTCGGCAGAGATAGTGTGATATGTGGTCAACACAATATTGACTCCGTCAAGCTCGCCAGTAGCAGTCAATCGAGCTTTGTCATGGTGTCGACGGCATTTCAAGCCACCCTCAATAACATGTCTGCTCAGTTGTTAGCATAGCTCAAAGGCGGGTCCTGTTTAGCTTACTCCGACAGTTGCTCTTCCCATGTACCTAACACTATTCTATGGTTAACAATAATGCATTCAAGTTAGTATGGAGAGCTAACTTACGGGGCGGGGGTACGACTATGAGAGTAGCCGGGGTATGTCGCTTGTTATCTCCACCAACACCCAAGTGAACCTGAGCGTCATCGCCATCAAGATCGGTTGCTGCCAGGGCTATCATAGTCAACGTCTTCCCTAGACCCATTGGGTCTGCGACGATGCCGCCGCAAAATTGTTGGGGTTCTTCGAGCTGGTGAGCGCCGGATACTCGATTAAAGAAACTAAACATTGTCAGCTAAAGTAATATGGAAATAGTGCTGAGAAGGGGTTGTCCTAAATACTACGAGAAGAGCGTAGTTCCGAGCCCAAACAAATCTCATGAAATCGGGTACAATCGCGCTATGGAAAATTTTGCTTCAGAAGCCTAGCGGAACTTACATTCTTCCCTGTTCAGTGTCTACTATTTCCCAGATGTCCGGGTGTTGGTTGCTGAAATTCCATCCTCGTTCCCTGCGGAGCATGAATGTGAGGGCTTGCTTCTGGTGTCTTTAAAACAACGTCAGTGGCACAAACTGCGAGTATTATGTATCGGAGTATTACCTCTTGAGATTTCCGAGTATTACTGAGGGCTGTGGTGTCTCCGGTATGTCAATGTAACTGCTCAAAACATCCAACAGTTCAGGCCTTTCAGGAATTTCCTGGAGACTGATAGATCTGGATGTTTGAGCAACAGCTTCAAGAACCGAAGGGCAGGAGCCGATATCATCCGAAGAGAGCCTTTGGGGATTGCAGTATCTGACATCAAGGTGACACTTTCGCGGATCCTGGAGGTACACCCCATACTCCTCAAACCAACTACCGATCTCTTCAAAAAGGTCCAAAGGTCCATACACGGTGATCTCTAAAGTAGAGTCCAGCAGTATGGAGCTTTTGGATCCCTTCTTGGTCATACGAGGGTCAGTAATCGTGCACGATGTGAACAGGGCCAGTGTCTCGTCGTCGAGGAGGCCTTGGACCATCTGACCATAGTCTGATAGGATCTGACCATGAGTCTTCAGGCCGCCTCCAGCACTGAAACTATTCGATGAGTCTAATACAACTTCGAATGGTGATGATGTAATTTCACCCAAATCTCGACCCTCGCATCTAGCAGAGATACCTGGGACCTGTGTCCGTCAGCGATACAGATCAAACGTATGAAGGAGGGGAGTTACCATTCCAAAGCAAACGACACTGCTTGTATCAATTGCAGTTTCAGATGATTGAACGATGGCAGATTCAACTGGTTGTTGGGGTGCTCTGTCGTTTCCTAGGATGAACGCCCGTGGAGCCTCGGCGGGAAACGGTTCTGAGGGTGGTTGTGAACTGGGAATGACCGGTATCGGGCTGGCCAGATATTGATGGTGGGACAACTGAAAAGTTTGCGCATTATAGCTCTGTTGATGGTGAATTGGATTTACGAAAGACTCTCCGGAAACTGGGACGGGGAAGTTCGGTGGCCACGACGGCCCCGGGACGAACCGCTCAGGATGGTGCCAGGTACTACCCGGCTGGTTTCCAAAGTAGTTTCCTTCGAATCGTGTGCTCGGTATTTCTTGTTTTCGACAAGGAGCGACATATGGTGGACCTGAAAAATTGGACGATAGCAAGGGGTTTTCGTGCCCTTGTGGAGCAGGGTTGAGGAGAGGCCTGATGGATGGAAGGTTCAAGGATGCTGGAGCAGGACAGGACTGCGGCGTCGGGCGATAAACTCCATGTGGAATGTGATCAGTAGAGTAACATGAGTAGAAGTTATTGTCCTCTCTGATCTGCTGCCCAGCAGGGAAAGCCCTCGTTTCTGGCGTCCCATCTAGCCGACGTCGCTTTGCTGGGGGGTGAAGTTGGTGATGAGCCGGGTCCATCCTAGGTGCAGGAGCCAGCTTCTTGGATGAAGAACTACTGGCCGTCGTTGAGTGTGTCTCTTCAGATTATAGTGGGAAGATTATGAGATAGAAAAGATTATGCGGTACTGTTTGAGTCGGTTGTTTGTTTCACGAAGGCACAGCCTCGTTGGAAAAGGCAGGGCGAACTGCTGGCGAACTACGCGGTGGACGCGCTTTAAGGCAACCGGCACGTCTCAAGATGACCAACACACCAGTGCATAACGATTGTTTAATTGGTTTATAGCCCCTGCACGAGCGCTGGTCTCCGCCCCCATACATTGCAGTCAGCCCGTGAGGCTCTCAACCTAGCCATGTCACTCAGCCGCAACTGGGATTGACGCGCCCCCATCATTATTTGCGATTTCTCTCTTCAATTAAACTTACTCTGCTTGTTCATTATCATCAGTCTCGTCAAAATGCCACGGGCGCCTGCGATTTCTGCGCCTGCTCGGCGAACCATCAAATCAGCCTTTGAAGAACTCGACCGCGCAATCGGTCCAGGAGACTCTCGCAAATTCGGTCAACTCACCCTCCAAGATGTTAAAAATGAGGCACTGGATATTGAGAACCAACTCGCCGCAAGACAGTCGCTCCGCTACATGAGACGGCTGATGCCTCTGTTTAACGGCTTAGAACACTACTCTAAAGTGATAGATATCCTCTGCAATGGCACCCCTTATCTACCATGGATATGGGCACCAATCACTCTCGTATTACGCCTCGCCTCTGAGTACGTAGATGCTTTCGAGCAGATTATCAAAGGATACGCCCGCATTGCTTCGTCACTCGGCCGGTTTGAGCTCCTCAGCGCTGCCTTCATCACCGACTCAAATTTCCAGCAGACTCTAGCAGTCTTCTATGCCGACATTCTACAATTCCACAAGCATGCCTACAAGTTTGTTAGCCGTAGTGGTGAGTATATAGCTCCTCTAAGCCTTATATATCTGACGGAATCCAGGTTGGAGGTTGCTCTTCCTCACATCATGGGGTCGCTTTCAGAGGCGCTTTGACAACATTCTTGACGACTTGAAGCATCATGGAGACTTGATTGACACCGAATCAAATGCTCGCAACATATCTGAGGCACAGAGAATGCGCCAAGATATCCGGACTTGGAGAGAAGAGAGTCGCGCTCAGGTCTACAAATTTGAAGAGGAGCAGACTGCCAGACAACACGAGTTCATCGCATCATGGCTGAATGTAAATGAATCCGACCAGTTGGCCATTTTCGACTCAATATCGGCGGAAGGAGTCGAGCACCCTGGCACCTGCGAATGGATCCTCCGGAATTCCAAGGTTCGTTCCTGGTGTCAGCGGAAACCAGACACCGCAATCCTTTGGTTGCAAGGGACACCTGGGTCGGGAAAGAGTGTTTTATCCACTCAACTCGTCAACTTCATGAAAACAGGGAAGCAGTTTGTCATCCGGCACTTTTGTTCTTACCTCTACGCGACATCCACGGCGTACGAACAAATCTTAAAATCCATGCTCATACAACTTCTCCGAAAAGACGACGATTTAGTGGCCCACGTTTACGAGCAGTACGTCGTCGGCAAGAAGTCCCCTTCATGTGGTGTTCTGGAGCAACTGTTACAGACTCTTCTGAAAAGTATGTCTACTGAGCCAAGCCAGGCAGAGTTCATTTGGATTGTCATCGATGGCTTAGATGAGTGTGAGTCAAAGAATCAAACCCGTCTTGTGAATTTGATCAACCATATCACGAAAACCTCTGTCCCCGGTGGGGTTACCTGCAAGGTCCTCATATCAAGTCGCGTTTCATCAACATCTCTAAGCCGCCTCCGCAAAAGGCAGGTATTATCCCTCGCTGAGGAGAAAGACTCGATGCAAGGGGCAATACAGCAGTACATACATCAAAGACTTCAGTCCCTGCATGAAGGTTTTTCTCAACTTGGTATGGGACAGCCCGAGTTTGATGAGATCCAGGACAAGATCGCCGGAAAAACTGACGGTAAGCTACTGTGACGCAAATAATCTGCATTAATCTCTAACTTTATCCAAAGGAATGTTCCTCTACGCTCGACTTGTCCTAGACTACCTATCCCATAACATCTTTTACACTTATGGCGAAATTAAAGACTCCCTGAACCAGTTGCCCGAGGAGCTCACCGATTTGTTCATATCCCCATCGTGCTCTATTTAATTAATGCTAACATAGTAGTAGCTATCGAAAGATTTTGACCCAGATGCTGGTCCAGTTGGATTCAAGGTCGGTTGACCATGTCAAGAACATTCTTGGCTGGGTTGCTTTTGCAAGGCGTCCCTTGAGAAAGCTGGAATTTTTGTCTGCCCTCTCCTACAGCTCTGGTAACCCAGATGTCACCAACCTTACCCCTCGGTATATTCTAGACATATGTGGATCTCTTGTCGAGGAAAGGCAGGACACCACTTTGGCTTTCATTCACATTTCTGTGAAAGAGTAGGTTACGGGAACACACATATATGGCGCGTATTGCTAAGAACCGGCACAGATTTCTCCAGACTCCATCAAGCAATGTTGTTATTCATGAGCAAGAAGCACTTCAAGAGCATGCCGTAGCTATAATTGCTTGTCTTCTCTCTGGGGCTCGGGTCTTCAACAAGGCATATCCAGAGCAGGCCAAGTACCAACGAGTTGCTAAGGGGCTACATGGACTTCACGTATATGCCACCGAGTATTGGACTGAGTGCTTATTGTCTCATGCTGCGTCTGGTGATGGACTTGACCAATCTTCATCTCTTTCGTTCTTGCGTCTCAGCTAGTGCACGAGCTAGACAAGGCGTACGGTCAACCAGGTGCACCCAACGCTGGTTCAAATATCAGGGTTTCGGATAAGCGACTGGAATTGCTGCAACAGCATGCTTTACTACACAGACATGTGGAGGGGGCTCTAAAGGGCAGGTCTCTCAAACGGCTTGAATCCGAACTGCTTCAAGTGCCTCGTAAGTCTTGCTTAGGACCCTCACAGCCTGCCTTTAACTAATCACAGATACAGTTCCCGATAAGAACAGCCAACAATTACCCAACTCACCTTTCATCGAACCCATATCGGCCATGCTGATATCCTATCAGGATGTAGTCAGGGCACTGCTTAGCAAACACACCTACCCAGGGGTATCTGCTGAAGAGCTCGAGTTATTCAAGACTCATTTCCGGACGTCGGCGTTCACATGTCGACTCAATTCTTGCTTCCGGGCAACCTTGGGGTTTGAATCTGCAAAAAAGTGCCTGGAGCACGAGATGTCCCACGTTCAGTGCCTGCGATGCACTTTTCCTGGTTGTCAGTACCCGCCTTTCGGATCCGCCCAGGCCCTAAGAAGTCATGCCAATAAGTACCACAACCCCAACCCTCCTCGAAAGGCAATACGCGGTCCAAGGGCGGTCCGTCAAATAAATCCGAGCCCAGGACAAATTGAGACTCCCTCCCGTTGGCCACAGGTAGATGATTCGGTAGACCCAACCCATGCGCAGAGACTCCTCAAAGGGCAAGACGGCAGACTCTACGGCACCCCTTTTTTCGACCGTAGTCTTTTACCCAACAACACCCAACAGATTCCTCATTTTCAATTACCTCCCGAGAAGCTAGACGCGCCTTCAGTCGACATGCAATCAGTTCCCTCCCCCACCTCCTTCATCCAACGCCCCCCGGATCAAGCCAACTTCTCCGCCACTGTGAGCAACCGCCCAATCACCTCTCTTCCGCCCTTCGATTACTTCATCGGTTTGGATGGGAGTCAGATTCTGACCAAGATCAAATCGATGATTCCCAATATTAAAAACGATTACATGTGCGTCTACCGCCCCCGGATGTGATCCAACAAATGGGTTCTCAGTCCGCAAGTCCTATTAATGTCAGTCAACAGATACAGGAACCAAGACTTCCTCAAGTCAGAATCCCTACAAGGGATCCATCACCACCACTAGCTCCTGGACAGCTCTCTGTTGAGCCTGTGGAGCAGGATCTTACCAAGCATGTTCGCCATTCAACATTCAACCACACCAGTTCCAACTCGAGAAGTGAAATTTCAGATTGGCTCAACAGAAGCAACTTCGACAGCAGCCGCTTTTGATACAAAAATGGAACACTTCATGCACCAGCAATAAGAAACCGACGTATTATCAAGGTTCAGAATTTTTACACCGCTGACAGGCATACATGGGAATGATATTGTGATGAGTGTGATTTAATACGGTTTAGCTACTTGCTCAATAAATTTCAACTTCCGCCTCGAGGATAACATAACAGAGATACTATCAATGAGAGTAGAGACGTGGGTACAACTCTCCCCGTCGTCCCCAGGACACCGGAAGAAGGCCTTCAATAACGCAGATAACCTGGCTAGCCGATCAAATCTCAGCCAGTCCCAAAATGAATAAAACCGCAGGCTTTTGATGAGTATTCATTCAAGGATATTGTGGAGAGTCTCATCGTATTGTCTTCTGCCTGAGAGGCTCTCGGCGTAGTGTAAGCTCAACCACAACTAAGATACTCATGAATATTCTTCTGGACGTTGAACAGCAAGAGCCCCCTCTGGCCGCTGCAGGATAACTAAGCCAGACTACAGGAATGTTCGATATCGAGTTCTTCATTTATTCATGTGCAAGGCTTTTAGTTCTCGAGTTAATGGATTGTCTTCAATTTATTTGCCTTTGAATGATGTGGTGCATCTAAATCGTTCTACGCGCAAGTGCCAAGACGACACCGTCATCGGGAGTAGCTTGAAACGAACCAAGTAGCTGTCAATCATGGACCAAAGTATCATTGAATCTTACCACTCCGATGACCACGACCACGGAAAGTTTTCCGCCGTCATTCTATCGACCGAGGAAGCCGTTGGTGGCGGCAGTGACACATCCGCCTACCCTGTAGACAGCCGAGGGACTGATCGCCGAGCGCCCGCAAGCAATGGGAAATGACGTCGGTTGGGCCCTCAACAACGAGAGACGTCCAACAGTCGGGGTTTTCGGGGTCCGGTAAATGATAGTCGCTCATTCTCGGCACCTGCGGCACCTAGATGCCACGATGCTGCCCTGGTAGCAACGTGGCGATTCGTGAGTTCAGTGCTAGAGGGAACATCCCTCGACGGGAATGACGTCCTCCTGGCTAGAGAACAAGAATCATTGAAGACGTCAAATGGGAACCTGACGGAACAGATCCGTGGCTGCTACGAGCACCGCCACGCTGCGTATGCTGCCTCAGCGCTACCAGTGGCTCATCTCATTCCCCATCCCTCCATGTCGTCACGATCACCGCCCCGAACAAGCTGAGCCTCTTCTTTCGGCCTGAAACTTCTCGCAAGTGCGTCACAATAGTGTTTGCACTGCCTTGCGAGTTCAAGTCAAAACGTTAACATCTGATACAATTAATAAGTGTATTTTCGTCCCACCGCGTAATCCCCTCTAACCCAGACAGCAGATCCGTCCATTCCATTCATCCGTTGAATCCCTCCTCGGCAGTCACAGCCTCGAACCTACACTTGCCCACAATGGCGCTAGCTACTACCTCCCTAGGGTTAGTCAACACGCCGCTCTTGCTCAGGGCTTTGATCATCACCCTTCATCAGTGATGCTCACCTTGGATCTGGGAATGCTTTATGGTCTGAATGTGAAATGCAATATAGAAGCAGATGTTTCAAAGTAACTAATCAGCAATCATCCGGAGACTTTATCACCAAAACATAACCTCATGCCTCTATCCGAAAGAGCCTTCTTAAGAAGCAGCCCCGCGACCACCAACTCCCCACTGTGCCAGTGCCTCGGCGATCGAGGTGTCAATCGCGGGCAGCTCACGACCTCTACCCGTGGGTGCGGCCATGAACTTGATCTCAACGAGGTACCGGAGATACCTACCGATATCCTCACGAGTGATGCCATCTCCTGCACTATCATCGATGCCTGTCCAGCGGTCTGCATCAGCCCTGAGAATAGCCACAGCGTTCCTATCATCCAGCTCAGGAGCACGAGTGGTGCTCGGGAGGTTTGCGGTAGCCATGTGGAATAGCGGCATTAGTGCGCTTTGCTCCTGATCCTTCTCGACGGCTCCGGCTGAGACATATTCCTCTAGCTGCGACTTCCAGTTATCGTAGTCGACCTCAGGTACTTCATAACCGTAGTAGCTTAGTGCAGAGAGGAACTCGTTCATCCGCAGACGGGGGTGGGCAGTAACGTGCACAACTTGAGTACCAGGAAGGGGGTTCAGCGTTGAAGCGACAACAACGCGAGCGACGTGGTCGACAGGGACGGCGTTGACCGTGTTGATAATGCGAGGACGAGCACCGAGCTCGCAACATCCCTTGCAGAGGCGGATAAGAAAGTCATCCGTGTTGGAGACACCGCTGTTGCGGCTGCCAAGGATGTAGCCTGGTCGGACGACTGCGCCGCGGAGACCCCGGCGGCCGGCTTCGCGGACGAGTTGCTCAGACACCCACTTAGTTTGCCCATACCCAGTACCAAGACCGGTGCGGCTACCATTCATTTCGTCGGACTCGAGGACAGCGCCGCGGCCGGTAGCGGTCTGGGCGTCGGACAGGTTGATATAGTAGTCTGTATCGAGGGTGGAAGTTGAGGATACAAAGGAGAAGAGCTTAGGCTTGCCCTCGTTGCAGAGCTTCATAGCGTCAATAGTAGAGAGAACATTTGGACGCATCATCTGCTCGTAACGAGCGATCCAGTGGACGTACGCAGCGTTGTGGATAAACGCATCAGCTGTATCAGCAACGTGCTTCCAGCTAGCGTCGTCAAGGCCAAGACGAGTCTTAGAGAGATCACCAATAACGCAGGAGACCCTCTCAGCCCAGGAGTCTTGCCAGAGACCGTAGCCCTTAAGGGACCTTATAAGACGCTCCTTGGCGAACTTAAGGTCCTTGGCTCCACGGATACAAGCGATAAGCTTAGTGTTCTTCCTGTCCAGTATATCCTTAGTTAGGTGTGCGCCAAGGAAGCCAGTGGCACCGGTAAGGAAGAAAGTGGCGCCGCTGGAAGGACTCAGAGCATCGGGATCCGCGCTTTGGTACTTCGCGTCCAGAGTCTTGGTGAGCTCATCGAGGGAGTCAGAGTAGACAGTATCGTCAGAATGGTCAACTGTAACCGCCTGGCCGCTGTGAAGACGGTCGACTTGGGCGCTCAGGCCGCGAATAGTGGGGTTTGCATAGAGGACACCGATGGTGATGTCGACGCCCAGGTTCTTGCGAATGTTAAGCAGGAGCTGCTGGGCAAGAAGACTGTGACCGCCGCAGTCGAAGAAACTTGAGTCCGGCCTACGAATCGAGGGTTAGTATTTAAATTGTACAGAAGTGAACCATCAGCAGAAGCATACTTGACTGTCTGGGCATTCAGACCTGGGATCAGAGTTGACCATTGTGTCGCAATAGTCTTCTCAGTCTCAGACAGACTCTCCCAGCTCTTCAGATCCTCCTCCGAGGCATCCTCCATCATCAGAGAGGCATCGGGGAAAGGTAGGTTAGGAGAGTCGACCTTTCCGTTGGGGTTGAGTGGCAGCTTCTGCAACACAATGTAGATCGAAGGAACCGAGTGCGCTGGTAAGCGAGACTTGAGGTGGTCTCGCACCTCGGCTTGGATACGGCGGAACCTCTTCTTCACGTAGACGATGCAGGGTCCCATTTCCACACCCTCCTCTTCGATATCCTGGAGGCCCTGAGTCTCAAGCCAGCGCTTCCATTCAGCAATCTCAGGCACGATGTAGCTGACGAGCGTCGGCTCCTCATTACGATCTCTTCGAACCAGGGTCTTGCAGTCTCGGATCAGAGGACTGCCACCGAGGTTCGCATCAATCTCGTTGAGTTCAACGCGGAATCCACGGATCTGTCGGAGTTAGCTTTGTAAAAAAGAATAAAGGAATGAATCATTGTTTACCTTGACTTGTGAGTCGATACGGCCTGAGACACGCACAGCCCCGTCCGATCGATATTCTCCGAGGTCCCCTGTGACGTAAAGTCTGTCTCGCGGTCCCTTGTAGTGCTTGCGCCACGGTTCGCCCTTATCGTTGGCCTTGTCTGCTTCAACCCACTTGTCGTTGTCAACGAACCAATTGTTAACGAACTTCTCCTTGTTCTTCTCGGGATCATTAAGGTATCCTTCGGCAAGACCAGCAGCGCGGATATAGATCTCTCCAACTACACCAATAGGACAGATCTTAGTGTGATCTTCCCGATCCACAACCAGCACCTGGACATCCTTCATGCCCCAGCCAGCTGGGACGGAGTCGCCGAGTGAATCCAGGGCTGTCGGGTCCTCCTGGGCGGAAGGGACTTCAAAGTAGGACACGGCGCGAGAAGTTTCGGTGGTTCCGTACATGTTGATGATAGTGCAGGCAGGACCAAGCTTACGAAGGGCCCTACAGTCGCGAGTAGTAAGGACGTCACCGACGAAGAAGGCCTGGCGCAGGTTAGAAAACTGCGCCGTGGCGCCACCGACCAGAATCTGTCCCATAGCAGGCGTAAGGTGAGTCGTCGTTGGTGACCACTCTCTCATCCATTCACTCAACCTCTCGTGCTGGATATCCTCCTTGGCGGGTATCAGGAGCTGAGCGCCCAAGAACAGGGGCATCATGATATCTGAGGCCAGAATTAGTAACAGCTTTTGAATACATCGCAAACGAATTCGCACCTCGCTGAATTGGATCATGGGCAATTCCAGAAAGACAGGCGTACACGCTTTCTGATGAGAGGCCGAACTTCTCAGCCATCCATGGGAAATATTTTGCCAGGCTATAATGACGGCCAAGCACGCCCCTATTGAACATTAGTAAAAGTTCAACTGAAAGTGAAGGAAAAAGAAAGGGAAATGCTCGTACTTTGGCAAACCTTGAGTTCCGCTCGTAAATGATAGCGTACAGTTGGAATCAGGTCCGATGACCACATCAGGAGGTGTTGAGGCCCTCTCCTTGACGTTGGCGAAGATATCGCCACTGTCTTGGCCGCCGCCAGTTAACGCGCCATCGTCGGTGAAGCGGAGGTCTGGAATCTTGATCTTAATGGCAAGGTCATCATCAATGTACTTCTGGACGAGAGGAGCAAGAGGACTGTATCAAGATGTCAACATTGTGAGTTCTTGGGTCATGGAGAGCTGGGGTTAGCAGTACCCACTCTCCTCCGTAGCCTTGCGAATGGAGATTAGCGCCTTAGGCTGAGAGACTTGAAGATAGACTGGGATGATATGTTAGTTGATTCTCATTTCAGTTCTCGTCTGAGGCTCATCATACTTTGTTGTCTTTGTGGGGGATATTGAGGGTCGAGGACGGTGACGATAGCACCAGCAGCCAGTGTTCCCATGTACGCGCAGACCAACTCAACCGAGCGGTGCGCAAAGATCATGACTGCGTCTCCATCCTGGATGCCAGCATCGCGCAAATAGTTGGCGATGTTGTTGCTTGCCTCGTCAATTTGGCGGTAGGTGTATGTTCTTGTTGGCGCCCTGTATGCGTTGTCAACAACTGACAGAAACATACCCATGTCTCAATGCAAAGGGACATCACTCACTTCGAGGTCTTGGTCTCTGTCACACAAGGCCTGTCAGGATGAGCCACGGCATTCTTGTGGAATATCTCATGAATGCCCCCAAGGTAGCCTCCCCAGTCGAGGTCTTCGGTAGGGTCAGGGAGCGACATTATGGCGGCTGTACTGGTACACGATATCAAGACTTTTACTGCCGGCTACGGCAGGTGGTGGATGTAAAGAGATCAGGCGGCTGAGGGTGTTGATGAATTCAAGCCTGCGGTCTGAGGGCACTTGAGAAAATAGTGGCTTGTGGCTTGCAATGCGTCACACAATAAATTTCTGCCGAGCTCCGAGAGTCGGAGGGGGAGGGTGAGGTGACTACCTACCTACTAGGTAGTGCGTAATAGCTCCCGGAATTGGAGGGGTGCACACGAGCGAAGAAGAGAGCCGGGATGAATGAGGTTCGAGAATTGAGATGATAAAGGAGAAGAAAAAAGGGAAGAGGAAAAGAGAAAGAGAGGTCTCTCTCCCTTTTCCCTCTCTCCTCTTTCCTTCGCAACTCACACCAAAAATGGGTGCGCTGGCGAAAACTTAACTGTGATCGTACCATCCTGGAACCTGTGCGCAAAATGTTTTAGAGGCCCAACAAATAATATTCATTTTGAGTATTGCTATTCGTACAACCTTTTTTTGCCAATCGTACAACCTTTGCCCTGAATTACAGGGCAACCCCCCCTGAAGCCCGCTAGCCTTCAGGCGCCAGCACTTACCATCGCCACTATTCGAGCTTTCCTATTACACTTTCAACAACACACTTTCAACACTACACTTTCTTTACTTTATATATCTCGTTCTTATACAATTTCCACAGCCCAGCCCTTTGAGAAATTAAATATCGTTAGCGACAGTTAGATAGTATTAGCAGTATTGCTGTTGTTAACTACAGGATTTTATTCCAGCGGGCAAAAAGAAGTGGTGCTACTAAAAAAAGGTTGTACGAATAGCAAAACAGGGTTGTACGAACAGCAATACTCATAAATTCACTTTTATTCGCACATTTCAAGTCACCTAATTCGACATTCAAGAGTGGCGTGTGTCGCCACCTCTGCTCACCACATCAGACATGAGCCTCCAAGGCTTAGTCAACCTTCTGGGTTTGCACACGTTCGGCGCGGACATGCACACCTGCGTTGCCCGGCTCCGAGCTGGGCTGAAGCTGACGGATGAATTACATCACGAGCGCAGCCCACGCGTAGAACCAACAGGAACAGTGACATGCACAAAACCCAAACAACGCCGAGTCCGGGGGGATCTCGAATATGCGCCTTCCGGGAGGAATTCGTCATTTTGTTGTGGCCTGACTGGTAAATCCACGGCGCCAGTACCAAGTGGCGATAGTCCCTGTCCGCGGTCGGACAGTGCCCGGCCCAGACGGTGAGCGAAAATACCTCCCGTCGTACATAGCGCTGTCCCAAGTGATGGCCCCGTACCGGCGGTACGTACAGATCACGAACCGCTATTAGGTACCTACCTTAGGGTTAAAAAAAAACTTCAATAAATTATCCTGGAACCGGGCAAGTCTGGGTGGAAGGGGAAATTTTCAGCACTGTATCCACCGCCGGCCCTTGAATCGGTCGTGTTCGGGTTGGGGAAACGCCTCAACTAGCCGTTGAGTGAGAAGAAAATTTTGCCTTTTTGTTGTGGATGGTTTGGCCCAGTCCGGAGGCTTTTGGCTGGACGCCGCAGCTGAGGAATTGAAGCATTGCAATTTACTCGACGGTAGGGGTTACCTCGGATGCTGTAAGTGAGGCGAACTGGCGGACGCCGGCATGGCAGGTAGAGGCTACGGTGTACCCCCGACGCCTCGTATGTCGTTCGAACGTAGGGCATTTCTCACATTTCTTGGCGTCTAAAAGGCGGCCAAGGGCAAATGCAAGTCCCTGATCGACAGCCGAGCAACCGTAGAACCGATGTGCAACAAGCTGCCGCGCGCTATCACAAAAAACCGCGCTCCAAGCGCCGCCCTAACTCGTCTTCTCGCCTTGGTCGACAGCTTCTAGCCCGTCTCTTCGGTAATGAGAGAACTGGTGGCTGACGGTGGCTGCGGAGGCTAGAACCTGAGCCAGCCGAGACCGGGCCAGCCATCGGCGAGGCAAGCGACAGGTCGGTGAGATGGCGTAGGAATTGCTTGACTCACTTCCCACAGGTATTCACATGCCCGCTTCTCATGTCAAAGACATCAGCAACGCCAAAAACCCGCAGGATACGTGCGGACCTGCAGCCTGAACCTCGATCTCATTACCAAACACGACCTGGCGATGGGTTTGGAGGTTAAAGGCGGATCTTTACAGGGAACTTGAAGACATCCGAGCGCCGCACGTACAGTAGAGGCCGAGGAGTAGCAAAATTGCCGTGTTAGGCTTAGACATGCCAAACTTCCAGTAGAACCTTGCCCTGGTTGGTGTGTTCGTAACTTTCGGATTGTAGGGTACCGCCGGACTGGAAGTGGTGCGCTGCGGATGTAAATGTCCGGAGCCCAGCCGCCGCATGTTCCTGTGCAGTGTTGCTGTTGCACGTAACGAGCATGGCCGGGTTGCCTCCTTCGACTCCCCTCATCTCATCTCATCGAGTAATGTGCTGGCTGTCCATTGAGGGAACACCATAGATCTGCAGGGACTCTCACCGCCGGTTGCCAACCGAGTGCTGATGCGTGTCGTCGAAAGGGGTGGGTGGTGACCAATGGAACATGAAATGGACCGAAATCTAGACAATCGATAGACCTTCGATAAGCAGAGACAATGATGCTGTGCCCTGCGCATAAAACGCCATGGGCCGAATGTTGGTGCTACGACCCAGTAGGTCGCAGAGGCGGCACGGGCGAAAATGAATTTCCATCTACGCGCTGATGCCGCGTTGCCCTCAGCAGTGGATGCGGGGTTGACTTCACCAACGCGGGGGTTAGCGTGGAGGTGGATGTGCCAACGTGACGAGCGGCGTCATTCCAGAGCCGACACCAATTGCCAGCAATTGCCTGAGAAGAGGAGAAGAGGAGAAAGCGGCGAGCTGAGATCACCTCAGAGAGGAGCATCGTCAGTCGACAAGGCGGAGGACGCCGGGCCTCGTGAGGGTTGTGCCACAAAGGCCGCACCGTGTCGATGAGGTTGTATAACATGGCACAATACCAGACAAGACATTTGAGGTTTGTCTTTACGTTCAGCATTGTTGCCCTGGGATATCTGTCTACATCAGTGCAGGCGCTAAGTCACCGAACTGATTGTTTCACTGCCAAGTTGCGGCTCGGTCATACTATCGGCTGGAATGACTTGGCAGGCACTGCAGATAAGACTGAATTGAAGGCCGTCGACGAAGGTCCCACCGACCCAGTTCCATCTGCAAAGGCGATAGCACAACATTGCAGAGAGACACGAGACATGAGTCGACCCGCGCATGGCACGGACACGCGGAAGAGGCAACCTGTCAAGCCCGCACCGGTGCTAAACGCTCTTATGATGCACCATGTCGTTCGCTGGTTGCAGGAGCTTCTTGTGGCGGGGTGGCATGGACCTCGGAAAGTGGGCGAGATGAGAGGAGATGAGGGGAGATGAGATCCAAATGGGATCTGCCCTCCAGCCGCTAGCCATGTGTAGAAGGGAGATACGTGCGGAGGCGACTGTGCTTCGTACAGTAGTCGGAGCGCATCCCCGGGCTATGCCTTGCTTGGCAGCTCGGCTTCAAGGGACTTCGAAACCAACCATTGCGCATCATCCGTAGGGGCAATGGGGAGATGGAGGCGGAAACGGAATCCACAACTTGCACCATAGAACAGCGACGCTGGACCAGAGCGGACGACCGGCAGTGGAGCAATGCAGACATACGGCCGAGTGAGCAATGCAACCCCCACGTACCAAGCTGCCCTGCTGCTTTGGGGTAGCACGAGCACCGAGGAACGGCACTGTGGTCGGAGAAGCAGACGGTTCGGTACATCCGGCTGACGAAGTATGATGAAAGCGTGCACATCCGGCCGGTGTTGCATTGGCCCATTCCCGCAAGGATATCCCTCGTGCTGTGTGCTGCGTCAAAGGCTAGCTCTCAAAGGCAAAAGGCATGACGGGCATCTGGACAACCGGGTACGTGCCGGTGTGACAACCAAAGACCCAAGACATGCATTCAACTATGGCCTTTGTGCATCGAGGCTTGAAGTATTGTCCGAAAAAGAAGCTTGACAAACGAAATGAAGGAGACATGTCTTAGGGGACTTCATGTGCCACGGAGCGCCTTTGGGATAAGGCCGAAGTTTGACGTTACAGTAGAAACACGCCAACACGCCAGCGCTTGTAGGTCTGAGCTAAGACTCTCAATGCCGGGCGGAAGTCCCCTGGACACCGCAGTGGTCTAGATCGATGACTGCCATGTTGCGTGCGTGTCGTGGCTGTCGTGGTTTGTTATGTCTCTCATGCCTTGCGTGTCTCCCATGCTGTGCGCCAGCGGCTGGGCACGGCATTGATGTTTTGATTGTGATTGATTGACAAAGATCCCACGTCATGGATTGGATGAGGATCAACACTCAATGGCTTCCGTTGTATTCGTACACGGGTGAGCAAGCAACCGACGAGAGCCAGCACACCGCCTCGCCAGCCTCTCCTCCTTGCCGAAGGAGGAAACGGGCTGCAACTCCAGCAACGACGAGTTGCGGCGACTCGGGTGCGCGTGTGTGTAGTGGACCAGGACCAGAATGCGCTGTACAGAGTACGGATTACGGAGGAGCACCGTAAGGCAGTACGTACTACGTAGTACAGTGTTTCGATGAGCGCCCGCGAGCATCAGTGGGGCACGGTCCAGGCACGGTCCACGGCGATGTGAATCAACGGCGGCCAAGGAAACTTGTAGCGGCACGAGATTGATGACGGGCGGCCGTACCGATGAATTTGCTGACAATGACCAAGGCTCAGGCGGGCAGTGCAGCCAGACAGAGGGAGAGTCTACTCGCTGCTTCGACGGTAATGTGAGTGAGACAGTGCTTGGACACAGTGCCCGAGACATCAGCCATTCAGGAGTCACGCACGTGGACCACCTGCGGCCGCCTGTGGCAGGCACCTAAGGGCAATTGCGAGCGGTCTGACTGGCTGCGACGGCGATGCTGGGACACTGTGCGGAGGCTCTCAACATCCACTGGGGTCGACGACACTTGCAGCCGAAATTAGGCCAGTGGTGAGGTCGCGCCAGGGCAAGGGCAAGCGGCAGAACACAGGCTAGGAATAGTACGGGCGCTGCACTGGCGGCAGGGCAAGGGCAGCGAACCATCCAAGATCCCGAGCGCCGAGGCCCCGAGCAAAGTCAATGAGCGATGAGTGAGGAGCCATGGATCGATCTGGCCGACCGCCAAAGCCAGCGCCCCGAACCAGTCGTTTCCAGGGCTGAGGAGCCACTGGAGCCACTGGAGCCACTGGAGCCACCGAAACACCGAAAGTCCACTGTCCGCCCACTGGCCGCCCACTGGGGCCACTGGAATTAGGGGCGCCAGGGTCACCAGATGGAGCCAAATGTAAGCCCTGGGCTTCTCCTGCCCCTCTCCACGAGCCCCCCAAACCAGTCCCCGTGAAGCAAAAACTTCTTGTCCAACTCGTGCCAGCAAAATTTCCCTGAATCTGGCCGTCGCACAACAACGCGCCCCATCTTTCCCAATTTTTTCCGTCCTTCTTCTCTCTGGCGGGGGCCCAGTTTTTACCCGCTCCTTGCTCGGCAAATACCCACGATTTGCCTTGGCCCTGTCTAATTAGAGACGAGCCCCCATCCCGCGCCTTTGTCGTCGTTGGCCCCAACCAGGCTGCTTGTGCCGCCGCCTCTCCTGTTGTTGCGGCTGTCGCTTTGTTGCTGCTTTTGGCGCGGCGCAACTTGTTGGCCGGCTAGAGTCACTCGGCTCATTGCTTTGCAAGGGCTTATTAAATCCAGGGCGAGGGCGACGAAGCCGGCTCCTTCCTCACCCTTCAATTTATTCCCTCTCCCGCCACCTCATGTTTATTACACAGCGCCCTTATTTACATTGAACGCTTTCCGCCTCACACACACCCTCCCAGACTTGCGCGACGCACACGCAAGGCCCATTACACGTGCCGTCGACGATCACCGACTTCCCGCGCGCGTTCTCAAGCCATCTCTTGGCTGCCAAGGCCTCCCTGTCTCGCCCAGCGCCGCAACCTCAGCGGGGACGTCATCTGGAAGCCCGCCAAGCCGCGCTGCCACCCACACATCATCAACCACGCCCGCGCAACGACTGGACGCACCCACACACCCACAGCACCCGCAGGAAACCCACCCCTAGCAACCCACCCGCAGCGACCCGTGTAACCGGACCCTGCGAGTTGAGACGGTCGCCTGCCGCTCTGCTCTCCCTCCAACTCCTAAAAGGCCCGCGTGTGGCTCTATCCAGACTTCGGCCCCGTCTCATCTACTTGAGCCTTCGCCCGTCCCCAGAGCTCCTCCATCCACCACCACCCTCCGCACATACCTGTTGATCATGTTTGTCGTCCCGGTATTATAACACCTCTGTCCTCAGGGACACACATTACAGTGCACAATCAGAACTTGAACTTGCTTACGAGACCGTTTGTCGTGTCTTGTACCCGTTCTCTGGAACACCCGCACTACAGCGCACCTTCAGCTGCTGAACACATTCCGCCTACTATAACCCATCCGTCACCACAAGCTGCCTCCCTGGATACCGTCCTGGCCGACTCCTGTTTCTACAACGACTCCCAATTCAGACTGGCTAGCTACCGTCAAACCGATTCTCTAGCCTTGATCCCTGCCTCCTCGGCTCATACATCTCAAATCCCTCGAAACACCCCCCCCACCACCATCCCTCCCATGTCCGCCAACATGACCACCACCACATCAAACTCCGATACCCTCTGGGCCACCCACGGTTCAGAAGAGTGCGAAGAAGCCGACGAACCTCCCGAGCTACGCTTCCAGCGCCATCTTGACTCCAACAAGTTCCAAAGGACCGCCATTCGACGCCCGAACGAGAGCTCCTCCTTGCTAACCAAGGCCATCATGGGACACTCGGACGATGACCTTCAGGGCTACACCCACGAAGTTCCCCGTCCCATCTCGACCAACACTCATCGCCGCCGCTCGATGGCCAGCAACATCAGCCTCGCCTCCACCGCTGATCTGACCAGCGACACGGGACTCACGAGTCCCTCACGACCCAACACTCCAAGCCCCCCTCCCCCGGAAATGGCAATCATGCGCCTGGACACTCCTATCGAACATAAGCACGTCTCTCTCCTCGGAGCTGCCGTCAGACTTCAGGACCCATCCAATCCGGCTGCCCAGGCACCTCGCAAGCGAAGCATCCAGTTTGCTTGCGGAGGCAAGCCTCTTCTCCAGGAGTCGGCTCTTCGTGCTCAGCCTATGGTCAAGACTCCTTCCGCCCAGGAAGCTCCTCGCCGATCATGCATCAAGTTTGCCTGCCCGGCCCGACCTGCCTCAACCCAGAACACTCCCCCACGGCAGATCGAATCTCAGATGGACCAAGCCTCTCGCAATGCTAGGCCCGAGTCTCCCTCAACCCCAAAGAGGACCTCGGCTCTCTCTACTGTCATCTCGACTACTCCTCGTCAGACAACCCCCCGGAGGCCTTCTATGGGACGCCCCAAGTTCCTCCGAGCCAACTCGAGGGAGCTCTCGACCGATGGATCCCAGTTTCACGAGTTTGCAAGTGGAACGACTCGCGAGGACGACTGGATTCGACAAGACAACCACCCTGCCTCGAGAAAGAAGCTCACCATTGACGACACTCTCACCAAGGAGAACCAGATTCGCCGGTTAGCTGCTGAAGCTGAAGAAGAGGCGGAAGAGGAAGAAGACGAGCTCAACAATGATGAGTACGCCGTGGACGACGAGGATGATGATGAAGATGAGGATGAACTCGACATGGAAGCTGAGTTGGACGACGAGGATGATGAGGATGAGAACGACTCTAATTCCGATGGCTATCACACCGATGAGGAAACTGGCTTTGCCGATTCCGATGACGACGACGATGATGACGAGAACATGGCTCTTTGGACCCCAAGCCAGAAGTCAGTTATCCATGGCTCATCAGCTCCCATTGCCCGAAGACTTTCCATCCACGAACAACAATCGGACTCATCCATCGCAAGCCAACGCAGCCATCCCCACACCCGTCGTGAAAAGGCCAGACGTATCAAGACCCGGGACGAGACACCAGACCTCCCAGACAGCACTGATTTCGTTTGCGGAACCCTGGATGAGGATAGACCTCTCGAGGAGGCCTACATGTCTTGTCTCGCGGCCCGCCGGAATGAGAGGTTGCGCATGATCCCTCAGGATATTGACCCTAGCTTCCCCGCTTCGGAGCCTGAGGAGGAAAACGATGGCGAGATCTTTAATCCCGTCCACCACGAAAGTGACGTGGATGATTGGCTAAACGGCAAGATGGAAGATATTCATCACGAGCTTGATCGTCCCCGCAGGAGGAGAAAGAGCAACGTGTCCCCCAAGCGCTACCGCTCGCCTCCACCTAAACGCCATCACTCTCCTCCTCCCCCCAAGGCTCGTGGTCGATCACCGAAGCTGTTGTTCGACCGTCCCTCCCCTCGGAAGACGAGATCACCTGGCCGGGCTGGAAAGCCCGTAACCACACCTCTTGGATCACCCCGATGCGGCCAGGTCAAGTTCAACCTCGCTGGTCGTCCCGGCCTGACCCATACCAAATCACTGCCTCGAGCCGGCGTCGCGTTTCTTCTCAAGCATGCCCGCCACCACAGGGCCAACCAAGATCAAGATATTCATGTTCGTGGCGCCATCGACATCGTCAAGGGCTTGGAAAGCAAGCGCCAGCGCCGCAAAGAGAAGTTCCACCAAAAGTACTGCAATCGTGCTCGACGTGGACAACTCCCTGAACGTCGCCCAATGCCAGGACGAGGCGCCGAACGCATGAAAGAACTCGGCCTGCTCATGGCGGGCAAGAAGGACCAGGGCAACTATGTCATGTCCGTCTAAACCACATTTCTTTTCATTTACGCAAAATGAGCGAACAGCATTTTTCGGTGGGTTCTCTGCATGGTATGCATGGCGAGCATCTGGCAACACATACGGTTTTAACTTGATGACATCTTTTTCACCTTTTATTTATTTTCTTTGTTATTTTTTTGAGGACGCATTCAACTGTACCTATTTAGCACCGGGATAGTGCTTAGCATACATGAGGTGTTGGTGTACATATTGGTTTTGTATTTGCATTGGGTGGACGGTCGGAACAAACATTCGCTATCGGCACAGGAAGGCCTGTTTGAAATTGTTTGGATACCCCTGACAAGGCATTGGGAATAATGAATTTCCCACTTGGCGTTGGATGAAAGGAAGGCACATAACGACATACTAGATATCAATTTACGACCCCATAACATTTCTTGCTGAAGCCATAGTGGCACATGTGACTTCCATAGAAAGAAGGACACGGTAGTCCTGATCCTATGACTCTTCCAAACTCCTGTAGGCAACAGTAGAACCAAGTCCGTTCAACGTGTTCGGATTCCTTTTCCGAGAAGCCGAAGTGCGGAATGCTCGATTGGGATGAGGTTCTGGGTACGTCGACGTTCGATCTCGGAAGAAACTCGTGGACTCGGAATGTTGTAAAAGCACCCGAAAGAGAAAAAATCAACATGCAATACGATAGATGCAAGTAAATTCGTAAGCACAAGTCTCCCGATATCTCTTGATGGTGTGTTCCAAGGACAGCGTGACAGGCCACGTATTTGTGCCTGAAATTCAAGGCCCCACAAGGCGTCACCCTTTCTGCCAGCTTTCTACTTGGGCTATGAACGTCTCCCGATCTACCAGCTCACACTCAACGACGCCGGCGATAACGACTACAAATACCACCCGCCAGACCACAAGACGAGTTCGATTCGATTTAATACCCTATTAATATCTTGCCCAACATGTGGATTGTCAACTGGTGTATGTTCTGGCCTGCTAGCCGACCATCGGAGCGAAATGGGCTGACACGTGCTGCGAATAGTCTACGATGTGCTGTCCTCGCTGGGACTGCTTAACAAGCACGCCAAGCTCCTTTTCCTGGGCCTCGACAATGCGGGAAAGACGACTCTTCTGCACATGCTGAAGGTACGTTGCGATGCGCCGCTTGGCTGCGTGGGCGGGATCATCGGTGTTGGGAGGATGCCGACCGACGACTCGGCCACCCGCTGTCTCTGCTCGGCGAGTGCAAAATGCTAACGATGAATGCGCAGAACGACCGTGTGGCTATCCTCCAGCCCACTCTCCACCCCAGTAAGTCTTGCGCGGCTTCCGCTGCTGTTGCGGCTCGTCTGCCATGATGCTAAGACTTTGCAGCCTCCGAGGAGCTCGCCATCGGCAACGTTCGATTCACCACCTTCGATTTGGGCGGTCACCAGCAGGGTATGTGCCTTATCTCCCATGCGCCCGATATCCATGACTAACGCCAGCCATCTAGCTCGCCGTATCTGGAGAGACTACTTCCCTGAGGTCAACGGTGTCGTCTTCCTCATCGACGCCAAGGACCACGAGCGATTCCCCGAGGCCAAGGCCGAGCTCGACGCCCTCCTGTCCATGGAGGAGCTTGCCAAGGTTCCCTTCGTCATCCTCGGCAACAAGATCGACCACCCCGACGCCGTCTCCGAGGACGAGCTGCGACACCAGCTGGGTCTTTACCAGACCACTGGAAAGGGCAAGGTTCCTCTGGAGGGCATCCGGCCGCTTGAGATGTTCATGTGCTCCGTCGTGATGCGACAAGGCTACGGCGATGGCATTCGCTGGTTGTCGCAGTACGTGTAAGAGCGAGCGAGCGAGCGAGATACGGGGAGGAAGTGTTGCCGAGAGCTATACCAGTTTGGAGGATTGAGGGTCGGGGAGGGATGTGTGTCACCCGCTGTTTACGAAGTTCAGACTTCTTCTCTTTTAGGCGAACTTTTTGGTCGCGCAAATTCTACAATACTATGTATCATGATGATAGCCGAGATGTCCGTTGGGAAACGCCCCCTGAGCCCTGAGGGTTTTCTCGGGCGAAGATGCTGAACTGGGAAGCCGATGCAGGGTCCTTTCTCGATGCCGGGTGGACAGATTCCGGGGTCATGAGCAGGTCCACAAGATGTTGGGGAAGGGCAGGCCACTGCACACATGATGTATTCGAATAGAGACGACATCGGGGGCGGGCAATCCTCCCTGAACCACTCGCCAGCATGACACAGGTCAGCATCGCCATCATCATATGTCTTGAAGTTGCATTCTGGCCCTTCGGGGTCCTGGAATCCATGAGCGAACCGCCTCGGCTCCGCCCAGACGAACCGCCGCAAGTTGCCGGCCGGGTCCCATTGGCCGGGGGCGTGAACCACTGTAGCACTCCGCTGTACCACTGCACTGTGTCAGCCACTCAAGGTACTTTACCCCAACGAAAAGCGACGTCATCCCACTCTGGCACGTTGTCGCATCACGGGGCAACCCGACACTGGCTCGCGGCTCCGATTGAGGCAACATTTATTTTCGCAGTCTTCGCCGCTCACTCTGGGCCGCCTCTTCTGCCGTCTCCCCGAAGCCTCGACATGGAGAAGGGAGCCTGCCCTTGAATCCGCTCATCATGTCACAGCCGTACATGTCTCTGTTCCCTCCCGATCCCGTCTACGGCTTTCCGCCCGAGGCCTTCGAACCGTCGAGCCTTCCGGACGGCGACCACGAATTCGTCACTGCGCAGGACCTCGAAGCGTTCGAGAAGGCGCTCCAGGCCCCGGATCCTCTCCAGAGCCCTGTCGATGAGACGGGATGCCGATCGCCGCGCAGCCCCAGCACCTACAGCCTGACTAAACGACCTTCGCAGTCGGAATCTGGCCTCGAGATCGATGTCGCCGCCATCGCAGCCGCTGCAGGTGCCGCCTCGGGGGACTTGCCTGTCCCGCAGACGCCGAGCCAGGGGACCTTCATCACGGCACAGAATGACTGGGCACCCGTGAACCCCAAGGCCTACCGCAGCAAGCGAGGTCACAAGAAGCAGAAGAAGTACAAGAAGCATGCCAGAAAGGGCAAAGGAGCCATCGAGGGCCTGCTGGGCACCCGGACCAAGGACGAGACCCGCGAGGGATATCTATACCGGGTCTTGAAATGGCCCCTGCTGTTCTTCGTCGTTACGTGGCTCGCGGGCTTGGCGGTGGCGTATCTCTCGACGAGGCTGTATATCTGGGTCTTTGAGCACTTCTTCACATGGCGTGGTCAACGGCAACGACTACGAACGAGCATGCGAAATACATCTCATTACCGTGACTGGGTGGCCGCCGCGAAGGAGTTGGACGGCTATCTGGGACGCCAAACCTGGAAGGAAGAGAACGACTACGCATACTACGACTCGAATACGGTACGCAAAGTGTGGGAGCAGATGAGAAAGACGAGAGTGCTCGCAGAGGAGCAAGAAGGAAAGGGCAAAAGGGGCGACGGAGGAAAGGCAATCGACGACTTGAGGGCCTTGACCGAAGCATGCGTCAAGAATAACTTTGTTGGCGTTGAGAACTCGAGGTTGTATAGCCAGACGTACTACGGGACGAAAAACCTGGTCCAGAATTTCCTTGATGAGGGTGAGTTGAATTCCTTGCCAAGTATATGGAGAGCCACACTAACCCTTGCACAGTTGAAAGGAGCTTGAAGTTCTTGATAAAGACACCACAGCTTGAGATGGAACAAAAGCGAGTCCTCTTTAAGCATGTCTACGCAAACTACGGACGAACGGCACTGTGCCTCTCTGGAGGTGCAGCATTTGCGTATTACCACGCTGGAGTTGTCAAAGCGCTCCTGGATGAGGACCTTTTACCCGATGTCATTACCGGAACTAGCGGCGGCGCTCTGATGGCTGCTCTTGTTGCTACCCGCACCAACGATGAGTTGAAGGAGCTTCTGATCCCAGCCTTGGCAGAGCGGATCAACGCTTGCAGTGAGCCCTTTACCACCTGGGTTCCTCGGTGGTGGAAGACGGGCGCTCGATTTGACTCGGTGGACTGGGCCGAGCGATGTAGCTGGTGGACCCGGGGTTCAATGACTTTTAAGGAGGCATTCGAACGGACTGGGCGTATTCTCAATGTGACTTGCGTCCCGGCAGACCCACACTCACCGACAATTCTTTGCAACTACTTGACGAGCCCGGACTGCGTCATCTGGTCAGCTGTGTTGGCGTCGGCGGCGGTGCCTGGCATCTTGAACCCCGTGGTTCTGATGATGAAGACGCGGGACGGGACACTGGTGCCATACTCGTTTGGACACAAGTGGAAGGATGGCAGCCTACGGACCGACATTCCTATCAAGGCTCTCAACACACAATTCAACGTCAACTTTACCATTGTCAGCCAGGTCAACCCTCATATCAACCTCTTCTTCTTCTCGTCTCGAGGGTCGGTAGGCCACCCGGTGACGCACCGCAAGGGCCGAGGATGGCGAGGTGGATATCTCATGTCGGCCTTTGAGCACTACCTCAAGCTGGACATGAACAAGTGGCTCAAATTTATCCGACACGCGGAGCTGCTCCCGCGGCCGCTGGGGCAGGACTGGAGTCAGCTGTGGCTGCAGCAGTTCAGTGGAACCATTACTATCTGGCCCAAGACGATCCTGTCGGACTTTTGGCACATCTTGTCAGACCCGGAACCTCCCCGACTGGCGCGGATGATCCATGAGGGACGACAGAGCGCGTTCCCGAAGCTCAAGTTTGTGGCAAACCGGCTCAAGCTGGAGCGGCTGGTGGAACAAGGCCGACAAGAGTCGCGGCCGTGGGTGCGCCGCGGCAGTCTTCAGACTATTTTGAGTGATGATGACCTGCGAAGCTTATTGGTGGAAGAGATTGGCAACAGTGCGACTACGGAGGAGGAGACAACGGACGCGGAGGAGGTGAATGGGCTTGGGATGGCATTGGGGATGACGTCGCTTGATGAGAAGAGCGATTGATTCAATTTAGACGTGAATCTTGCTTTATGGCGATCACGGGGATCAGTCGATCCAGTACTACCCAGGGGTGTACTCTGGCGTTGGATGGAGTCATGAGATGGATCAAGGATTCGGATTTGGGCCTGGGAATTGGGCATATGGATGGGAGGCATTGGGACACTAGGTATTCACAAGACTATTGGTATTTGTACACATACACACGATTATTCGCACACATGTAATTCGACCTGAACCCCGGCTTAATATGCGCCCAGTCCATGCGTGGAGTTGGCAGTGGACGCTTGGGTTAAGCTTACATTGGTTGGTATTTCATACAATAAGTGAGCTAAAAGTAATTATTGTAAGAACTACCTTTATGAAAATATTTTCGAACATTAATTAGGTATTGAGTTTGGATTGTACTCGTGTGTGTGCGTATAGCAGGACACGTGTGAATCGCAAGGCTCATTAACAAAGGGAGGCAGGGCGGTCGATTCATTTAGGGTTTTGCCGAGACATTCAGAGATTTCCAACCTTGGGCGGACGGTCCTTTGTGCAATTTCGTGAAGAATAACTTCCCATGGTGTGAGTGAGATGCAGACGTATGCGTAAAGGAGAGAGAAGGGCATGGAATTCACAGGAAGCAGTACGAATTACTGGCCGAGTTGGGTACCCAGGTATACACTGGAGTTGCTGACAGGTGGCCCTCATCAGGGTCACGTCACAGGGCTGAAGCCAGGCCGCAGCACCGCTGTGAACACGGTGGCGCGTAAATTAGCGGGCAACGCTGCGCCAACAAAGAGGCTAGAGCGAGCCCCCCCCGGCGGCCGGCGGGGATGGACAGATAATCCGACCAGCCGGCGAAACGGGCGCCATCGGGCTGCGTGGCCGTAACATTTTCAGGACACTCTACACCAGATCGAGCCGTGACGCTACTTCGTACTTTCGTGCGCTGGCCACAATTCGTGCTCCTCGCAACTTCCTCTGCAACGGACAGGACGACAGGACAGCACACACACTCTTTTGACGTTTACCTTCTAATTGTTATTGCGCCTGGGTTTCCTGCGAGCCGCCCTGAGCTCCTCCAATTGTCAAGATGAGTTCAGAGTACTCGTATGACGAGCAGGTGCGTCGCTTGTGCTTCCCGCCGAGTCCGTGATGCTTCTCGCGTGCAAAATGCGAGATGCGCCTGGACGGCTTCTCCTCCTCCTTCTCCTTCCCTCACAATGCAGCTTCGCTAACCCTCGTCTCCTCCGCAGGGCCAGTTCTTCCCCTTCTTCATCCTCACCCTCACCGGCCTGGTCACACTCCCCCTGACCTACACCCTCGTCTGCCCCAGCAAGGACGACGATGCCCTGGCGCCGCGCATCAAGACCGACTACAAGACGGAGCATGCCGCCACCGTCGACGCGCTGAGGACCACCCAGAAGCGCAAGCAATGGCGAGTCAAGCGGGCCATTGTGGTCGTGGTGGGGTGGGCCGTCATGGCCGGCATGGTCTACCTCATCATGGTGACCCAGCGCACCGTTCCTAAGCTCTGGAACCCCTATGATATCCTGGGCGTCTCCGAGGTAAGGGCTCTCTGGTCCTGTTTTGGCGTCTTGGGGCTGTCTCTAACCCGAATCGCGTCACTAGTCCTTCACCGAGAAGCAGATCAAGTCCCACTACAAGCGACTATCTGTCAAGTTCCACCCCGACAAGGTCCGACCCGACCCGGCCAAGAACGAGACCCTCGAGACCCTCAACGACTACTACGTCGAGCTCACCAAGGCCTACCAGGCCCTGACTGACGAGGACGTCCGCAACAACTACATCCAGTATGGCCACCCCGACGGCAAGCAGAGCTTCAGCATGGGCATCGCCCTCCCCATGTTCATCATCTCCGATGGCAACGGCAAGTACGTCGTCCTCGTCTACACCCTGCTCCTCGGCGTCCTGCTCCCCTACCTTGTTGGCTCGTGGTGGTACGGCACGAAGCGCAGGTCCAAGGAGGGCGTCCTGATGGAGAGCGCCAACAACCTGTTCCGACAGTACGAGGAGGGCATCGAGGAGGGCGCCATCATCACCGCTCTCAGCACCGGAAAGGAATTCGAGGAAGTGTTCAAGGGCGACAAGGCCGAGGCGGGTTTGTCCAAGATTGAGTCGCGCATCACTGCTGAGAGTGACACCGTCCCTCTCGCCGCCGGCATGTCAGTCAAGGACAAGGAACAGCTCGAGGACCTCGACAACGGCGTGCGACGAAAGGCTCTCGCTCTGTTGTGGGCGTACCTGGGCCGCGTCGAGCTCGATGACCCTGCTCTCACCAAGGCCAAGTACGAAGTTGCCCCCATCGCCCGCGCTCTGAACCAGGCTTTCGCCGCCATCTCGCTCGCCTACGGAAACATTGACCCCATTGCCGGTTCCTACTCCACCAGCCAGCATCTGATCCAAGCCATCCCTCCCAAGGCCTCTCCCCTTCTCCAGCTCCCCCACTTCGACAACTCCATTGTTGCTGCTGTCGAGGGCGACTCTAAGACGCACATGTCTGTCCAGCAGTTCATGGACCGCCCCGACGCTATCCGAAGACAGCTCGCTGTCGGCAAGGACCTCCTGACCGAGAAGCAGTACGAGAGTGCCATCACTGTCGCAAAGCAAATCCCTTTCCTCCGTGTGGCCAAGGCCTTCTTCAAGGTCACTGGCGAGCGCTTCATCATCCCCTCTTCCCTCGTTACCCTGGTCATCAAGGGCCGCTTCATCCCCCCTGGCACTGAGAACATCCCCGCCGTCAACGAGCTGGACCTCGAGGACATCGATCCCGATGAGGACGACCTCGAGGGCAACAGTGGAAAGAAGAAGATGATCAAGGGTCCCGATGGCAAGCCTATTCCCGTTGACGAGCAGGCCATTTCTCCCCCTCTTGCTTTCGCTCCCCACTACGCTCGCGAAGTCTCCCCCAGGTGGTACGCCTTCCTCAGCGACTCCAAGCAGGGCAAGATGGCCGTCCCCCCCTTCGCCTTCGCCAAGTTCGACCAGCCTATTGTTGACGACAAGGGCAACCCTACCTTCAACATGCAGACTCTCAAGGCTCAGTTCGCTGCCCCCCCTCAGGCTGGTCACTACACCTTTGTGCTACACGTTGTCTGCGATGCCTATGTTGGCTTCGATACTAAGATGGAGGTTACCTTGGTGGTCGAGGAAGCCAGCAAAGCTGCAGCAATGCAGGCCGAGGATGACATCAGCGAGCCTGATGAGGGTAAGTTTCTCACGCAATTCCCTAAAAAGAAGCCACATAACTAACTCAATTACAGACACTCTTGCTGGCCAGATGCAAGCCCTGAAGACTGGCCAGGCTCCCAAGCCCCGCCGAAATGACGATGATTCGGATGACGAGAGTGGCACCGAAGAGGAAGAGGAGGACACCAGCGCGACCAACACGGATACCGAGGACGAGTCATAGCTGGGCTCTGCCCTCTCGAGGCCCCCCGCTGACGTGGGCTGCGGTCCTAGTCTTGTATTTGTTCGCCAAAGCGTCTTCTTTTCGCAAGCAAACCGAGTAGTTTTTGATGGCACTCTGGGCAGGGAGACATGGGGGGGGGAAAGTGGCATCAAGGGGACATATTTTTCGCAGCTGCTGTTCTTCTCTGCGCCGCACCGGGATATCTGGGAGTTTTAGGGTGTTTCAAGGTATTATATATCATAACTGTTGCTGTCTCTTGCGACGGTTCTTGTTTCTTCTTTTGTGTCTTGAAATTATTCTCTCCTACGACATAGAAATGGGAAATGGCGAGGGAGATGGCCCCCAGAGGTCGGTGTTGTGATCGCGGTGATAACTATATCGTAACAACACCCTGTTGCAGGGCATAGAAGAGGAAAAATGAAAGACAGAGGATCAATTCGCTATTCCCCATGGTGTTGAGATCCCCCACACTTCCCTGGACCCGGCCCCTTGTCACATGGGGTCTGGGTTGTTGTTCATACATTCGGAACCTGGTCTCTGATTCCTCGCACCCAAAACAGGTACTCCGGGACTTGCGTTGCCGCTGGTACAAAATCTTATAAGACGCAAGTCCAGCTTCGTCTCGTTCGCCGTGAGCATGACATATGGCTTGACATTTTCAACACACCCTCACACCGCACACCTCGACGCCCTTGCTCTCGATCCGGGCAGACCGTCCAAAATACTGGGTGGAAAGTTCGCGCACAAAAAGGGCGTCGCCGTTGCTCCAGACGTCGAGACCCATGTTCTCCACGGCGTGGGTGTCGACACGGATAGCGTCAGCGTCATCGAGATCATCATCTCCCGGATGAAGGGGGGTGTTCTCGGCGGAAGAGGGCGGGGAGGAGTCGTCGTCCTCGTCGTCGCCATCGGTGTAGGGGCCCTCCTGGCTGTCAGCGAGGTCACCAAGAACGGAGATGATCTGGGTGGTGAGGCGGTGGAAGTAGGCAATGATGGCGAGCTCGATACGCGCCTCGCTGGTTTCGTCAGAGGTAGTACGGCGGGTGGCAGCGAGTGAAGAGAGGGAGTCGGTAAGGGGTTCGGAGCGGGAGGATGGCCTGGGCATGGCCATTGGACCAGGGCCGAGGTCGGCGAGTAGGGCGGCATCACGGGATGCTTCTTCTTGCTCTTCAGAGCGCAGCTGCTCGCCGGCGCTGGCCCACCACATGTAGCCGTTGTAGGCGAGGGCAGTCCAAGTCAAGGGCTCGACAATCGCCTCGACGCCGTCGTCACGAGGGTCCCGGACCACACGGGTCGACTGGTTGGAAAGGCGCACGGCCGAAGTGTCTGAGTGCGGGGACTCCGGGGCGGGGCCGAGGTTCGGGGTTGACATGGAGAGCCGCTCAAGGCCGTTCTTGAGAGAGGTGAAGCGTCGGAGGTCGCGTTGGGTGGCCTTGACGGGTTGGCCGCGAGGAAACTCCACGAGGGGCCAGACCCGTTCTGCAGCATTGGACGAGTAGTCTGGGGGGATGGTGATGAGCATGTCCCATAGGGTGTCTTTCATGGCGAGGATACTGTCTGTGGTGCAGGCAATCCAGCCGGAGCCGGACTCATCATCGACAGCATCCTCGGTGCTGCGCTCGCGTTTCGATGCCTCAAAGTCCTCCATGAGGAAAGGAATATCATGAACACCAATAGAGAAGAGGGGCCTTAGGCGTTGAGTCGATGATGCGCTAGGCAGTATGTCCGTGACGGACAGGGGGATATTTGAGAGAACAGATATGTTATATACTGGCGGGGGTTAGACGGACGTGGTTAAGATGGCGATGTAGTTTAGTCGACTCACCAAAATCACAGATCTCATGGACCGGTGCATGGCACGAAATTAAGATGCGCTTCCGTAACAAGGCGGCGCGATGAATGGGGAATATTAAGGGACCAAACTTATCCAAGAGGCTGGTGAGGCTCCAGGCAGGATGATACGGTGAGAGCCTGTGGCCGGCGGGGACCACGGAGGTGCCATCGGACGCGGAGCGGTTGCGGGCGTGGCCTTTGCGACCGAATGGCTCAGAAGGCATTAGAGGCGAGCTCACAGGTGTCTCGCCAGAGAGGCGCCGATTAACCTGACCGGGCTTCTCCTTGTTTGCAGTCCAGTAGTCCTCAAGTACACCGGTGTCCTTGCGATCCTCAGCGAGCTTACTGTGGGGTTGTCAGTTGCCATCACAAGCAGATGCGACCCTAGGTGAGACATACGCAGCCATCTCCTTCAACACCTCGGCATGCCTCCAGGCGCGGCCCAGGCGGCCATAGCTGAGAGGTACCAAGACGCCGACGGCAATCATTCTAGCATGCCGCGCCTCCTCCTCATCGCAGGGCATGTTGATGAAGGCGCTGAGGCCTGCATGGCCGCCATCGTGGACGAAGTAGATGAGGTCGTTGGAGACGGTGTGAAGGCCGGAAGGTAGGGACTTGTACTCGACGAGTCCCTCGAGCTCGACGCCGGGAGCAGACTGCTTCCAGACGATGGTGTAGCCGGCCTTGACGTCGAAGTGGATGAGGAAGAGGGCGGCGATCGGGGGGCGGTCGGGGGGCGGGTTGGAGGGCATTCGAACGGAGAGGGAGGGTTGCCCTCTACGAGAGGAGGCCATGGCGACTATCGGGAGAGTCGCATCATATGGGGGGCTCGGATATTGGTCGAGGACAAGCTCGATCGGTCAGAGGGTGGAGATGCGGACTGAGCTGGGAGTCGAGAACAGAGGGCGGGCTGGATTGACAACGCAGGCGCAGTCGGTAAATGCTCGGACGAAGCAGATTGATTATCGCACAGCCGGAAGCAAGACAATGCGAGGCGTCAAGCGCGGTGACGACGGGAGGTGCTGTCGCAATTGGCCTTGCGGTAGGATGCAGGATGGACGTTGGTGATGGTAGGGTTTGGTGGTTGGAACCTCCTTGGTAGTGCCCAACTGTTCTAGTCCGCGGGCGCTTCAGTGGAGGTGGTGCTAGCTTACAGTGGTTACATGCCCCGGGAGCCTATCCGATAGGCGACAGCGCCGCTGTTTTCACGTGATGTGGACGCGAGGCGATGGAACCGAAGTGGAAGTGCAACAAGGGATGACGACGATGGCTCACAGCATCAAGGATTATCCAAACATGGGGCCAGGTTCAGATAGAAGGAAGATGTATACCACGTAGTTGATGCCGGAATTTAGTTCTTCTTTTCACGTGTTAGAAGGCGTGGAGTGGGAGATGCGCTCCCATATTCTACAAAAGGGTGTGCTGAGCTCGACCTCGTGATTTCCAGCAGCTTACGCGCCGCAAGGAGAATGCGTGGAATCGTGGCCTGACAGTCGCGAGCTGGGGGTTCCTATATGTCTGCCTATTACTTTTCCCGTCTTGGTGACGGCAGCCAATCAACTGGTTGGAACAATAAGGTCTGATTCATCTGGAATTGAATCTCATATCCCGTCAGAGGCGTTCCTTGATGACATCGGACGAAGCTACGAACCTAATGCACATGCACAGTAAAGGATTTACTGTCAAGAATTGCTGATCGTAGCTTGTCAAAGGAGGAGTGGGACATCTTTTCTTCACCAAATCCCCTATTGGCTCCCCCCGCAACTCCCCCGCTTCCACTGGTCGTATCATCACTGGTCATCGCCAGCAACACTACAATTCCAAGCCTTGTATACGGGGTGACCTGTAATCTGCAGATAGTTGTAGTCGTGGCGATTGCTACCCTTCCATTGCCATTTTCCAATACGCATACATTTTCAACTCCTGACTCCTACCCCAAAGCTTATTCCTTCTCCAGTCTCCAGAACAACACCTATCTCCCGGATCGCCTCCATATCCTTGCGCGATAGCTCGTCCTTTTCAGCATCGACCTCATGCGTTCTACTCCACCAGTAACCCAAGAAGAATTCGAAAAATTATTGACCGAGTTCCATAAACTTGGCATCAAATTCCGCAACTTAATCATCTAAACGTGCAGCCAAGTGCTGGCCCTCCTCTTGTATCTCTACAATGTCCTCGGGGTCCAAGATGTATATAATTCTGTACTTGCCCTGGAGGATCGCTTGCGCAGGGCTCGTTCTGATGTGGTCAAACGGCCGGGAGTATGTACAGCAAGTGTGGTTCATCCCAAGGCGAGTAAATGTGCTTAGTCGAATTATGTCCGTGATAGCTTCGGTTTGTACGTTGCTTGGCGATAAAGCATTGTTTATTAGTTCCACGTCATCGCGTCGGCGTTGGCGAGACCAAGAGATCTGGTGGAATGGTAAGCTTCCCATAGGCCTCTCGTGAACAGTGAAGCGGGCGAGCACCCCCGGCGTGCATAGTAACAGTTGCAAGGCTCAGTTGTCTGGTCTTGAGAATCCTGCCCAACTGTGCGATGCGTGGATTGCCATTTCTCAAGACCGTCCGACGCAAGATTTTACAGCAGAATGCTGTCTCGAAGGCGACGCGTTGGATTGTTTGATAACATCCACCTCGCCCCCCATTCTGATGTAGCCCCTCCGCTGCAGGCAACGCGAGGGATCGAACTGTTGAGGTCTTCGCCGTGATCCACGAACCAGGCCACTAGGTCTAAAATTCCTCCCATCCCACGTCTGTTGGCGGTCGCCCCAATATCAGTTGTCATCAAAAGGCTGGTGTGATTGAATCCAGCCCTGAATAATGACTCTGCGAGAACAGCGCTCATGCATGCTGAATGACAGATTAAACGGCTGATAGCCTTAAATTTGCCAAGGGATTGACATTGGACACTCCTGTTGATCTTGGACAACCGAAAACGCTTCTTATTGAAGCACTTGAAAATGTCACACATCACACAGTGTATCTTACAGTGCTGTTCGTTGACTTATTTAGCGGATTTCTACGAGAATTAGGGCACATCAAGCCCCTGGGGCCTGGCACAAATCCCCCTGGAAGCCCGGACGGGAGGGTCAGAGACAGCCCAGACAGACCCTTCCTTCCTTTCGAGGCGTTTCCCGCCAGAACCGTACAGCTGGGACCAATAGGTGGGCGGCAGGGGTTCCGGCGACAGAGCCTGCCGGCCCCTAACCGTATGTCGGGGCGCTTGACCCGGTTCCAGTGGGAATATCCGGCATGGCACACCTGAACAATGTCTCCGGACCAGAGTACGGAGCAGCTACGGCAAAGAACTCTGATGGCTCTCTCGGCCGAGGGACGAGATGGACGAGGCGTATGGGGCGTTCCTAGGAGCCGCAAGTTTCCGGGCAGTGGCACCTGCTCATCGCACTTCTGCACCATGGATTGGCGACCACGCGAGTGCGAATGTGGGCCAAGGATGACGGTGCCACAGGGGAGCCGGGACGAAGTGCTGTCCCATCATTCGCATTCACACCATCTCACGAAGTCGCGTGTGGAGTCGGCATGCGGAAACGGGATATGGCTGTACTCCCCCAATGCCAGGTTAGCTCTATGACTCCGGGTTGAATGAACCACAAAGCCACTACTAAGTGGAGGGGCGGAGCAATCTAGAGTCAATCTGCCAAGCCCCTTTTCGCCCGATTAACTCAGCTGGATCCCGGCAGACATGACACGGGGGGGCCATGGTTCGGAGCATGGGAGTGCATGCGGGCTTCCCGTTGGCCCTTGGCCCACGGCCGAAAACGGGGGCATGCATGGGAATGTCACCCACCAACTCAACCACCATAACCAGCACAACCAATATCCTACAACCAACGTGCATATTCGGGCTGCAATGGACGTCCAGGAATCACTGCTAATGCGCCATCAGCACATGCCCGGTTCTCCAGCCCCCGTGCCTCCGCTTGTCTTGCAGGGCCTTGGCCGGCCCCCAAGGCCTGCCGTCAAATTCGACTCGTCTGCCTTTGAAACATTTGAGGCTTCAATTTCCTCTGCCTTACGGACACTTGTACTGCGCTCTGGCTTCGTGAACCCACTTAGTTGCAAACCTCCTACAAGTATGTTAGACTGGAGTAAAGGTAGGTAATCCCTAAGCGATCGCTTACCTTCCGCTGCTTTTTGAAATCTGTATAAAAACCATTCCAAATTTTCCGAGCTGCGCAGTCCTCAACGCCATCTGTTGAGTTCATACATTTAGGCTGCAATTTCAGACGTAGATTGTCAGGTGTCGGTAGCCAAGGTTTTGGAATTGGCCAATCGGAAAAATGAACGAGCTTTGCCTCATTGTAGACCGCAGTAGGATCCCAAGTTTCAACGTCAGAGCCGAGGTACTTCGTGTGGTCATCACCTCGGAATTCGCCAGTTAATAGGTCGTAGGGACGATGCGGGAGAACGAGAGCGTTATTTCGATAGAGATAATTAACGATCTCCATATCGTAGTCGTCCTTGGAAGCTAAATTTACTTTATCCATAATACGGGTAAACTCAACCTCGGACGGCTCAATAAGAACAACTTGAGATGAGAGAATCTCCTTATCGGGGTATAGCCAGTAGGCTCGAGGCATGGCTACCGGCACCGAAGGTAGAAGGAAAAGTTCGTCCATCTCTTGCAGAAGAATAGAGTCTGAATCGATGGAAAGAACGCGACTATATTGGGTTTGGTTGAAGGCGAGGAGTTTCGTAAACGAGTCGGCCCAGGTAGCTAAGGTAATAATGTCAGTCAGCGTTATCATTAGGGTGCTGTCATGTTTGGTTGAAGAAAATAAGGACAGCCGCTTACTATCTGCATTGTCTCTGTGTTGGACAGTGATGGGAATGAGCTTGACTTTGAATTCGTCACGAGCTTTGATGAGCAAACGAGCATCGCTCGAGTCATCGTCGTCCGACCCGAGCATTCGGGAGGGATACATCATGACACGGTCGGCGCGGCTGGAAAGGCGATGCAAGGCTTCGAAGAACATGACCGAGTTGCAGAGGTATTCGCTGTTCGTGACATATTGGGTATAGGCAAAGCGCGACCAATCAACATCGGCTGTCGTATGGAACAACGGTTCCCTCTGGGTAAACAGTTCAAAGTTTCGCAGGGTGAAGAAGACGACGACCATGAGGATAGCGGCACCCGTTGCCCAACGATAGCGCCTGGACGCAATGAGGCTCCGTGGGAACCGAGGGGCTGGTTCACTCGGCATGCCGATGAAGCGGCCTGCGACGCGTGACAGTTGGGGTTGCAAGGACCACTGGCGAGGCATTCAAATTCGACTCGAAGTGCCGAGGAACCAATGTCGAGTGGAGAGGAGGAAAGAAGTAAAGTGACCAAGTCTTGCTACCGAAGGGAAAGAGAGAACTTGTACCTTCAAGGCAGTTATTCACGACCCAGCTCGAGGCCAAAGCGGTCACGCCGGGCAGAACGTGCACTACATCCACTTTTCAAGCACTCCCACGGGACGCTGGTGTCCGCTCCGTGACAACAGTGACTGCCCCAGTATATGTACACACTCAGATCTTAGCATTAGAATAGCTCTACGCTCCTTAGCTATCAACACACCTCCTCGATCATACACCACCACGTCTCGGACCTATCCGACGCTTCCAGGTTAGACCCGACCGTCACAAAAGGGAGTAATAAGCGCCATGAGGAACAGGGACAGATTTGCTAAAACCCTGGGGATGCCTGTGTTCAGATTGCATCGCATTCGGAAAACTACTACGGACAGTGGTACTACGTACAGTGGGACGCAAGAAATTTGAGACCTGAAGTACACTACTCGGCGCCCCGTCCCGATAAAGCACCTCAATGTGCACTTATCATACGTAGGTAGGTAAATGAGTCTCTCTACTAACCCAGGCGGAGATGGAGTCCGGCGTTGACGTGCAACCGGGACCCAGTCCGGTGGAGCACGAAGCCCTAGGGCCCTTGTAACGGGACCCTGCAAGTGGAACTGAGATCGTGTTTCGGAGAGGGCTGAAGGATTCCGGCCGGACTGATTGGCTAGTGTGCTCTGGGGATTTTAGGTCGGAATGATGATGATGACCGGGGTGGAATGAGCATGGGGGTGACCACTGGGACTACGGGAACGCACGGGCTTATACTCCATAGGTATGGACAGAACTGTTCCGACCTAGGGGAATTCATGGGTTACTTGCGCAATTGATAAGGCAAATAAATACGTTGAATCGAAATGCCACGACAGACGCAACAACTGGTTTCACGGATTCGCCGTGTCCATTAGGCAGAAACAAGCCGGTCAGCAGCTGAGGCCACCCCCTTGTCTCCGGGTGCTTACTTGCAGTTGAATGGGCACCTCTCGCCTAATAATATCGTTCTCGTGCTGGTACGGCAGGGCGGCATCACACGCTTTTCGCCAATCATACGTCATTGCTGCTGTGTCCCGTCTCGCTGAGGGACCTGCTTATGGACAGATCCTTCCGGGTGGCTGGGCCGGGTACTTGAGTTCGTGTTTCTCCACCGCCGACGTGTTTAGGCTAACAAACCGTCAATAGGATTTTCCATTCTCTATCCCAGCCACTCAAGTACAGATAAGGGCAGCATCGCGCCAATGCATTGCGACATAGTCATGACCAGCCTTGCCCTACATCGCACCGCACAGAGAGGTTTGTACCGGTACCTTAGTCGCCGCAGGTCGTCGAGTCACAGCCTCCCTTAAAGAAGAGCTTAACCCTAAAGCGACCAGCCAGCATTCATGGCTGACTCTAGGTCGCGGGGACGGCCCGGAATCTTTCACACTAGTGCCCACAAATTACTGTATGGAGGTTTGGCAGGTCTGCCAATGACCAACGGGATTGGAGCCCACCTCCTTATCCTGTAGATCACTTCCTCATATAGTTAATTATGGGCCAATCTCGGGAAAGATTCCGGGCGAATTCGTTGAGGCTCTACGGCATTACCTGAGGCTGAGTTGTGGGGCACAACCTCATTGGTGGTACCCCGGCTAGAAGTTGTCCACGATGGCCACCCCTGACGATTTGAGAACCCAGGACGGACTTCGGAGTGCCTACCAACTGGGTCAACAGCATGACCACCCTTTAACTGCCACTTCACCTGAGGCGAGAACAACATCCTCGGCGCAGCTACACAAAGAGACCCGCCTTTTATGCACCATGTTGGTTTGCAAGTGGGCCGAGCTGAGCCTCCTACACCTCAACTTTCGATTGGCTTAACACCGGCACCACTCACAACCTGCCTCCTACTGCTCTCCTTTCCGCCGTTTGTCCACTTCCTGTTCCCTTTGTTTCTTCCGTCTGAGTGACATACCCTCCATGGTAGCTTAACAACTTTCTTTAACGGCCCATTCTCTCCCATTGATTTCAAATAGCTTGATGCATTCTCTCGCTTATCAGATCATGTTAGCACACATGTCCTGGACTCTCTTTCTCGCTATGGTGGCCTTTATCCTCGCCACCTCGGCCGAAACAATCCCGAGGGAGCTCAAATGGACTGACGATACGTTCGGGCCAGATGGGCCCTGGCGTGCAATCCATGTACAAATGGGATATGAAGAAACTTCAATCGGCCTCTTCCCTGGCAGCGCCTGGGAGACGTGGTTAATCGATGACAATTACTGCCAAACAGGTACCTGTTATGCCTCCAAGGCTGGTACCTATGACAAATCCTCAGGCGACGACGGGGGCATCCGGTTAGATGGCGGTCTCAACAGCTTCATGCTCGGCTTGAACCTTGAGGGCGAGCCAGGCACTCGATATTTGGACGACATGTCGTTGAACGGCATCACGGTGGAAAACGTGAGTCTTGTCCTGTTGGAGTCCCAGATGATCAGATATCCCGGCGGGCAAACATCGCCGTTCTTCGCTGGCTGTCTGAGCTTAGGCGGTACTGGCGCGACAAACCAGACTTTCACCCTAGACGATGCTCCCGCCATAAATGCCAGTCTCCCGCCAGGCTGGATGTGGGAAACCGAGTGGACACCATCCAACTCTTTCGGCATGCACATTGGATCGGTACAGCCTGCCATGTCTGGCTCTCTCTGGTTCGGGGGCTACGACCAGAACCGCGTCGTGGGAGACATCCTCAGTATGAAGGGAAATCCTAGAAATGGCATCACACTCTGGGACATTGGTATCGAGGATATTGGAAACAATTCCCTTTTCGAACCCGGCGCCGAGGATAGCCTTCTTGCCAAAGGGAATTCCTCTATCGTGAGTGGGCTCAAGGTCTCGATAGACGGCTGCTCGCCCTATCTCACTCTTCCCAAATCCACTTGCGACAACATCGCCACCCACCTCCCAGTGAGTTTCAACGAAGATCTTGGTCTATATCTCTGGGACACAAAGTCGGACAAGTACCACGACATCATCAACTCCGCTACAGCCTTGAGCTTGTCATTTATTTCCGGCTCCAACACAAAGCTGGTAAAGATACGCGTTCCTTTTCTGCACCTCAACCTAACTCTATCGGCGCCCCTCGTCAACGAACCAGTTCCTTACTTCCCATGCCATGTCAACGACAAAGGGGTATATGTTCTAGGCCGAGCATTCCTCCAAGACGCCTTCATAGGGGCCAACTGGGACCCCTCCGCCGAGACTTGGTGGTTAGCTCAAGCCCCAGGTCGTAATATCCAAGCCACCACGAATGTCGTATCGATCGGAAAGGAAGACAAAACCATCGTCAAGGGTGGTAATGATTGGAAGGTATCCTGGGATGGAGTCTGGAACGATGACTCCGATGAGCAAGCCCCCTCGAGCACTCCAACGAGCGACGCCAATGACAAAGAGAATAACAAAGAGAATAACAAGGATGGCAGGGGCGAGATGTCAACTGGCGCCAAGGCTGGTATCGGTATTGGCGGCGCTGCTGCTTTCCTAGCGCTTGGGCTTGGAGCATTCTTCTTCTGGCGTCGGCGTCGAAGCCAAGCCCAGCCGACACAAACACCATCTGCCACCTCCCCAAAAACAGCGTCAAGCGAACCGCTTCCAAATGAAATGCCGAACCACGAGATGCAGCACGGATCATCATCGCCTTACCAAAGATACGAGATGCCTTCCTAAACCTGCAGCGGATGTATTAATATTCGGTTCTTAGGCTAGCCATGGTATTTTTTGGGTGGAACTTCTTCCATTTGATCGCGTTATGCTTCGGGCTTAATTGGTTCTTGTTGTTTCCTAGCTACTGCTTTTTCAGTTTATATTTAGAGAGCCCCACTGAGGATACAGCAGGAGGTTTCTACCTAATACAATTTACTATTTCCTGATTCACGGGATACACCACCATCATCATTCTATTGCACTAGACCCCTGCATCAGACCGGACGACTATCTCGCTGCCAGTCATGTGTCTGGCACCGTGGGGTAGGCGTGTGGCCCACAACACCAAGTGGCCGAGAGGAGCATCATCGCACCACACCTCAAAATACAGTTATTTTGGCCAACCTCCGCCTCACACTAGCCCTTCATATAACAAAATAGCACTCATTTTGCTAGCACCGATATCTCTGATACTTGCTGCCTGCTAATATGGTTCGAAAGAATGTCGATATGTTCTGGAAGAGTCGCGGAGAAATTTAAGCGGATGATGCGGGTTGAATTATAATTAAAAGTCCTCCCTGTCTACTCTGCATAGTTTGCTTAAAAAAGTGCTTGCCATCGAAATTCAAATCGCCCATTGCAAATTAGGACGCAACCACAAAGGATGAGATACGAAGGACCTAGAAACATCACACTAATGAATGCAGTAATGGTTCAGATCATATCAAACCAGTCGTGGGGACACATGCACAGATGCAACGGGAGTGTTCTGACATCCGCATCCCTTATCTCCATAGCTTTGGCTTCTCAAACCACCGCCATATAAGTTCAGTAGACCCACTCTCAGCGCATACTGGCAGTCTGGCCTTCTAGTTTGCGCATAAAGCACATCGCCCCTGGTATATCCGCCTTGCCCATATGCTCAAGCGCTGCGCCGCCAATCTTCTGCAGCACCGAATGCTCCCTAGCTACACTCGAAACCCGACGAGCCACAATCTACCTACGGCTTATATACTGCTCGATCACACCGGCCCTGATGTGGGACAGATGCTTTCAAATACATGGGAGTTGCAGCGAGCCAACCCGTGCGGCAGGGGACGCCTCTTCAAGGACAGGCTCCCGTGATAGCCCGCGCTTCTATTTCTGTGCCCTGTTGAACTCTTTCAACTTACTTTTGCCGTGCGCATATAACTAAATAACAGACGCGTAGTTTATAGCTGGGACTACAGTTGCGATAAGGAGTTGTCTGGCAGCAGCATTCTGAGTTTTTTTTTTTTTAAGATATATAGCTGCAAAAAGATCTTTAACAGTACCTTTAGCTATATGAAGAAATGAAAATATTTCAATATATAGATATCTAGAAAGAGAATTAAAAAAATATAATGAAAATAAAAATACTAAATAATTAAGTTTATTATTATTATTTTTATGTAACTTTTTTTAATAAATTATAATTATTAAATTTTAAATTTTAAAATTATTGTAGCTTTTATTAAGTAATGCTGTTTTTCTATTCTGGGATTTCTCTATTAAAAAGCCAGATATGTTACAAGCCAAAGCTGAGCCTGGGATCAGCTGCAACCTTGCTTGGCCTAGAAATCTCAGAAATATGTGGGGGAAAGCATGGCTCCCTTGCAAGTTGCAAGTTGCAGAGCGTCCGCAATCGCAATCTACGGGGGACTAAACGGTTGGGGGAGAAAAAGGTTACCACGTGATTGTCATGGCTTCGACCCCAACGCAATTCTGGACGACGGACAGATGCAGCCTCGGCTCGCGTTCAAGTGCGAGCGTGTGGGTGGCGAGACGTTGAAGGTGGCATTCAGACGCTGCCGTGGCGCAGCTGAACTCCCGGAAATGTCTCTTCTGTGATATGGTGACCCGCCGCCTCATTGAATAGTCCCCCCCAGCAATTCTAATTCTGGTGCTTTTTGTCTCACATATCCAGGCCCATGGCATCGACTGGACGCGGCTGACTAAGACTCCGGCTGTCACAAGCCATCGCCATCCATCGGATCGGTGCATGTTCGACCGGGTGACACGCCCGCCGCCGGCCAATCACAGCGCTTCCTTTCTGGTTTCCGCCAGGTACCCCGAAGCCCCGTTCTCCGATCCCGTGGCCGTGCCCGCATGCCGCTGCAACGGGCTTTTTCTTCTTCTCCTTGGTCCTCAACTGCGCTGGCTTTGGTCTTACTGCTTGGTCTTCCTTGTGTTTCTTTCTGTAATGGTCTTGCGATAGCACTTGTCCATTTCTGTCTTTTCTCCTTCCTTCCTCTCCTCTATCCTACGGGCTACGCCGAGCACCAGTGTTCCCACACTGCCCTTTCTCCGGTAGTCCTACCGCTAGCAGAAAAAAGAACCCCGCCGAACGGCCGTCCGCCACTACCGCCCGCTGCTTGAAAGAGCCTCAACCCGGCTCAACAACCAACCACCCCGCCAAATCCTGCTTTCTCCCCTCCTCACCCTCTCCTCGGCCTCCTCCTCCTCCTCTCCTCCTCTCCGCCGAGCGAGCGCCCGCTTCACGATCCCCACGATCCCCTCGACTCCCCCGATAGAGACCGCCGCAAACCGCCACCATGTCCGTCTCCAGCGCAATCTCGTACTTCCTCGTCGGCTACGCCGCCCTCACCGTCTTCTTCTACGCCCTGTCGCTCGTCATCCCCAAGGCCGCCTTCGTCGCCCGTAGCCTCGCCTTCTATATCGGCGTGATGTTCTGCGCCCTCTATGGCGTCTTCGCTTCCATCGCCCTTACCCTCGCCGGCTACCAAGGCATCTCACAATGGGCCACTGGCCGCTCGTTCTGGCTCATCTTCCGCTGGATCGGCGGCGTCGAGTTCGTCATCGATGACCCCAAGAACATTCTCGGCTCTACTCGCCCCGCCGTCTTCATTGGAAACCACCAGACCGAGCTCGACGTCCTCATGCTGGGTACCATGTTCCCCCAGTACTGCAGCGTCACCGCCAAGGCCTCGCTCAAGCGCACTCCCTTCCTCGGCTGGTTCATGACCCTGAGCGGCTCAATCTTCATCGACCGCAAGAACGCTAAGGACGCCCGCGAGGCTATGAAGGGCGCTGCCCAGGAGATCCAGACCAAGCGCCAGAGCGTCTACATGTTCCCCGAGGGCACGCGCTCATACGCGAAGGAGCCCATGCTGCTACCCTTCAAGAAGGGCGCTTTCCACCTGGCTGTCCAGGCCGGCGTCCCCATCGTCCCCTGTGTTGTCGCAAACTACAGCCACGTCTTGTACTTCAAGGATTTTGTCTTTAACGCCGGAAAGATCCCCATCAAGGGTGCGCTCATCCCAAATCTGTTCAACTTGTCGCATGCGCTAACATCCACTCCTAGTCCTCGACCCTATCCCCACCAAGGGCCTTACCGCCGCCGACGTCGATGCGCTCACCACCTCTACCCGCGATAACATGCTCGAGGAGCTCATCAATCTCACCGCCTCAATCAAAGGCCGACGTGTCGCTATACCCGCCGAGCCCGCCAACTCCACTGGCAAGAGCACCGGCGTCGACGCCCAATAAGACCCCCCAACATGAAACCATGCCGCTAGACCACGAATCGATATGCCGTAGAACCTAGAGGAGGTATCCAGTAGATCGCAGGAGGGAAGCAGGACGAGATGACGAGTTTCCTTTTTGAGGTGGGTTCGAAGGGGAGCCATGTCGGAATTAAGACTCAAGACAGCCATTTGATACCCCCATAGACGTATGCGGCGACTTACGCTCCCACGAACCGAGCAAGCCAATGCTCTTTGTTTCTGGTTATGAATTTTTCTAATATGGGCTCTTCTTGTTTCTTGTTTCTTGTTTCTTTTTTTATTGGATAAGACGAATAGAAGCATGCGTGCGTGACACGTTACTCATTTCCATGAATTCAAGTACATATATTTCAAACCGTTCGAAAACGAGGTCATCATTATGCTAGACTGTCCGGGAGGAAGAGGTATGTCAACGTATGTAGAGGGTATGCACATATGCTTTTTCGTCTTCACTGCCCCCTTAACCACCTATGGATGCAACCAAATATTAAACTCCAAAATCGCCAGCCATCCATCCATCCTTAGATCTCATGATGCACCGAACCAAGCATAACAAGGGCAGACAAAACAGACCCAAAACCCCACACCTCTAACCGGAGGTTCCGAAGCGCCCCTTTGCTGTCGTCGTCATCTACTCGCTCATTGCCTGTAGCGCCTGTGTCAGGGACACGACGCGCAGACTCCTCCCGCGCTTAGGCGCACCGGGGGCAGCAACACCGACGGTGTTGGTGGCCGTGGGGCTGAGCTCGTCGCGCCAGCTGCGGAAGACGCGCTTGAGGTCGCGGGGAACGCCCTCAAGAACGACAGTGGAAATGGGAACGAAGGGCCGGTCCTCCATGCCAGAGGCGAGGATGGCGTACTCCTGAGCGAAGTCAAGGGCGTTGCGGAAAGAGGCGTACTGAGTCTGAGCGCGGGCGCCGACAATGATGTACATCTCGAAGAAGGCATCAAGGACATAAATGTTCTCAGGGGAGAGGTCCCGCTGGTTGAAAGGGGTGACCTCGAAGATCTGAAAGCTCTGTTAGCACGTCGTCCCAAAAGCCGGAATGGGAAATAGGAACATACCTGTTGCCGCGTGTCTACATCTGAGCAGAAGAGTCTGCTGCTGTACTTGGCATAGTTGGGCTTTAGTTTCCAATGGTCTGCCGAACCAAGCTTTGATCCTCCCTGGAAAAGCGACCAGAACGATGCAGGCTCGCTGCCGTCGTCGTACTCAATCAACTCGCCGGTGAGCGTGAGCTCCATACCAATCAGCCGGGCACAGCTCAATTCAGCCACGTCGCTGCCCTTGCCCTTCCACAAGTAGCACTTGCCGCCATGAGTGATGAGATAGGGGAAGCCCGCGCAGAGGTTTGCTGGGACGAAGTCGACCTCGTCAAAGGCGACTTGGCCCAGGAATCGTCGGCCACAAAGCATATTGGAGGCGAGCGAATCAAACTTGTTGCTGGATCCGCGCCTGACGATGATCACGCCGCCCATAGCTTGCAGGAATTCAGCCGTCTCTTTGCCTTGCTGAATCTTGACTAGCTTGGCGCCCAAGGCTTTGACCTCCTTCTGTACGAAGATCAACGCATCCGCAGCGGCCGACTCGGGAACTTCGTCGCCAACCCAGAAGTAGACCTCAAGTCGCTTCCAGCCGGCCTCATTAGTGAAGCTGTGAGGGCAGATGTACATCTCCTGCTCAAACAGCACACGCTCGTAGTGAGAAGACACAGGAGTCTTCTTGCCTGCTCCAGAAATCTGGAATGTCTGGAAGCTCAGGGGCTGGATTTTGCCACCCTCGGAAGGACGGTTCATGAGAACTTCAGCGGTATCAACCTTGTAAGGCACTGTTCTAGATTGCTTTGGCCCGAAGAAATCGCTGAGCAACGTAGCCGCATCGTTTCCTTGCCTGGGCGGAGGTGATGACACGGCAGGAGGGGATCTGGGCTCCTTGGACGGGGGGAGAGGCAGAGGTCGAGTGGCCACCCTTGAAGGTGTCTTGGCAACCTCCAGGTCAGGGGAGTGGCCATCGAAAGATGGCTTGGAAGCTGAGGGTGGAGTTCGAAGTGAAGCACCTCCAAACATGGCGGCGGCGTTCCTCACAGAAGCGATGGGGTCGCTGTCAACCTTGGTCGGAGAGACCGGTTCCGGCTCTGGTAGAGCTCGTCTTGGCGGCGATGACGGCTCCGGGTCAGGAAGTCTTCGTCTCTCAAGTCTCTGGGGAGACGCTGGTTCTGGTTCTGGCAGCGGGCGCTGGAACATCTTCACGGGCGACCTTGAGCCAGTTCGCTGATGTGTCAACCGAGCCGGTTCCCAAGGCTCCGAGAGGGGCGCACCCTCATCCATGAACTTGGAAATACGCTTCGTGTCGAGCTTCTTGGGTGAGCTGGGTTGCGAGGCAACATCTCCGGTCTTCTGGATTCTAAGAGGAGACGGAAAGTCGCCAACAGGTGGCTCAGCGACGATGCTCTGCTTGCGTGTGAACGAGGGAGCTCTCTGCTCTAGGACTGGAGCCATGTCTTGCTCTGGCTTCTTGAAGGGCGTGGGCTTGCTACGAACAGCAGCCTTGGCAGCGACCTGATGTTGGATAGATATCGTCTCTGCTCTTTCGACAAGGGCAGGCTTCTCATCCACAAAGGGCTTGGGCTCCGCACTAGCAGTCTTCGCTGGGGTAGATGCAGTAGTCGGCGCCTTTCTCCTAGGTCCTCGCGCTCGACCCTTAGTCATATGAGTTAACTGAGGCCCGGGAGCGGATGGCTCAGTGACTGGTTCTTTAGAACCAGTGAGAGAAACTCCGCCAGATTCATCATTGCCTCCGTTGCTAGCCATCGGAGGTGGCCCTCTTGCTAGCATGCCAGCAAGAGCTGGGTTGAATCGGCCAGCGAGTTTGCCTCCACCCACGCGTCCCTGCAGCATGGCTGGTGCACTCGTCTCCTTTTGCAGGACGGGCAGAGATCTGGGCTCGGCAACAGGTTTCGTGCTGGACTCGGCAGAAACGGAGGGAGACCTGGGTGATAGGGCCGAATGACTCGGTATCCTCTTGGGACCAGGAATTGGCTTTGGAGACGCTGGCTTGTGAGGCACGGCGGCAGAGTCCCTTTTGTTGGCAAGCTCGGCTCTCCTCGCAAGTCCCTCGGGTATGGGAGTGCTCGCTACAGGGGTTGTGCTCCTTGAGATTCCCTTGCCTTCTGACTGAGCCTGCTTGAAGGATGCCTTCTTCTTCAAGATTGCATCCTTGAACTCATCAACTCGCTCCGATTTCTGGGGGCCCCCAGTCTGGCTGAGACCGGCCTTTCCGCGGAGAATGTTGCTCTTGAGCTCATCCGGAGCCACGTAATTCTGGGTCTTGGTGCGGCGCAGTGTGCCGAAGACACTCTTGAACTCGGGTTCATCACCCTTGGAAAGATCTCCACCTGTCGGGCGACGCCTCAGACTGGCACGGAAATCGTTATTGGGAGCGGTTTCCGGCTTAGGCTTGATAGCAGGAGGATTGGCAGCTGTGGAGCTGGCGGAAGTCTCTTGCTTCTCAGGTTCTTGGGGCTTCTGAGCCACCTCAACAGGCTGGGGCTCGAGCTCGGGGTCTGGCACGGGGTCAAGTGCCTTTTCTTCTTCGTTCTTCTGCTCGAGCTTGGGAGCGCTCTTAGAGAAGTTGAGGCTGCCTTGGCCACCATATACGGGCCGGTTACCACCGGGTGGAGGGGAATAAATCCCGCCCAGTCCGGTCGTGTTGGTCTTTGCAGTTGATCCCATAGGGGTAGACCTCATAAGCCCGCCGATGCTAACTTGATGCTTGTGGGATGGTGTGTTTGGACGCTCGGCCTTGTTCTTGTTCAGCTCCGCCATCCATGAAGGCTGGGATGTGTTGGACTTGTGTTGCGGCTTGGGTGATTCGGGCTTGTTCAATGCGCTCTCTAGCCAGCTCGACTTGGTTGGGCTCCACCGTCGAGGGTCCATGGTCTTGGTTGGGCTCACGGGAAGAGCTCCATCTTCAGTCTTTGGGGTTCTTGAACCAAGGGCAGTGTCGATTGTAGGGGCTTTGGGCGTGGAATCGCCGTCAGCCTCTTCTTCTCCGTGTCGTGAGGTCGGCCGGCTAGAAGTCGGCGTCCTCACTCCAGATCCGATCATGCTCTGGGGTCTCGAGGTCGATGAAAGGCCAGCGGTGCGGCTCGCGGCTACTGTGTGTGCCAAGCCGGGAGGGCTCGCAACGCTCCACCGCTTCACACTGTCTGACCTCTTCATCATAGCGCTCTGCACAAACCCTCCCATACCCTTTGTGGGCGAGTTGGAGCGGGAATTGGAGCGGAAGGGAGATGTCCGGCCCGTAGGGGTGATGGAGCGTTCGACCGAAGGCTGGTCGTCACCGCCGTCAAAGCGAGGAGGATTCAGCATAGGTGGGCTCATGATCCGCGTCTTTGTGGGAGTGCTCAAGACTGGCTCCGGCCGTGGGCTTGGTTTGGGCTTGACAGCTTCCATGCCTGGCAGTTGGGCCTTAACGGAGCTCATATCTAGGCGATCATCATCCTCAACCTGGTTTCGTCGGTAAGCAGCAGAGTTGGCACCTCTGTCAGCAGTCTGACGGAACCATGAGGGATCTTTAGAACCCAGAGCATGTGCAATCTGGTCCTTGTTGAAGGTCTGTTCAGTGGCTGACGTTGACGCAGGTTCCTGCGACCCAACCAGCGACCTCTGGGTCGCATTTTGGGTCGCGAGCATGCTAAGCGGACGACCACCACCACTCCGAGACTTGGGCCGCTGCTGCCACGACAAGGCAGAGCCGCGGGAAGGCGGTCTTGGCGTGGGCTTTGTATCGACGTCGAGGGGAGATTCGTTCTCCTTGGTGGGCGAGGAGCTGGGGTAGCTCATAGCGTCCTGCTTTCCCTCGGGCTCGGCAGATGCTCGAGCTCGGGAGGAGTCGTCTTCCTTGGCAGCACCCGGTGATTCGAGCTTCAATGCCTCGGAGAGGTGTACGCTGCGGCGGTTCGAGCGAGGCGAGGGGGTGTTGGCTGGCGAGGACTTTTGGGGGGAGATTGATCTGGCGCGTTCTAGGAGGAGAGGGGGGGGAAGGTTAGCAAAAGAAAGAACTCTTTTGAGGCGCACAGCGTCAGACGGGAACCTAGACGCGCACCGAGAGCGAACGCCTAGGTCCTATGATAACGGGTAGAGTAAGCCATAAACACGGGAAGCATAAGGCTGGGCCGGAAACGACGCCATCCATGCAACAGCGAAGCCATGTTGTGGCCGTCGACGGAAACATAGGAAAATAGGAACACAGGAGGCAGCTCTCACCTTCACGTCGGGCTTGCCTCTCTCGCTTGGCAACCATGTACTCTTCAAGCTCACGAGCTCGCACTTCGTCCTCTTCAATCTGTTGACCTCGCAGGCGCTCGACCTGCTCGAGGAACTGGGAGACTTCGTCGGACATGGCTCCGGGGCTTGGGGGACATGACACGAGGGAGGAGGGGCCGCTTTGGAGTGGAAGGGGGGGGCCGGCCTAGCAACTGCGTCTACGTGCGCTTTGTGTCGCGCCGAATGCCAGTTAGCTTGTGCTTGGGCTTGGGAAGAGGAGGAGTCGGAGGGCCCTCTTGGTCGGGGCGGTCGATATTGGCGCTGGAGTCCTTGCTGGGGAACTGACTGGGATGGGATGTTGATCTAGAGTGGAATTTCTGCCCCCCAATGGAACCTGGGAGAGCACGAGGGAGCACGATGCGGTTCTCTCCCCTGCATGTCAGTGGGATTTAGCGCCCGGGATTGGTGGTCGTAGGCGGCGCCCCCCACTGGGGCCACTGAGAACGGTGCACTGGAGCTGAACTTCAGGGGGCGCCTCCGCTACCAGAGGCTCCAGAGCGCTGCATTGGTATGGTGGCCGCCAGCCCAACGCCTCGAGATAAAGACACCTCACGCTTGGCCTGCGACTGTCTCAACGCCGGAACCATCAGAGGGACAATTGGCGGCCGGTGTCGGGCCTGGTCCCGTCTGTTTCGAAATATCAATACCATAACATCATATATCTTCCGCTTGCCCACAAACCGAGCCGTTTCACCGCTCGAGCCCGGTTCTGAAATGACGCCCACCCCGGTCCCTTATGCGAAACTTCACATGTTGAGTTTTCTGTGTGGGTGGACAAAGTACGACAGCCGGAAGCAGAGCCAACGTCATCTTTTGTTTACATGGATCATATCAACATCCCATCGCGTCAACAACAAAAAAAAAATCTCAAACCTTTTTTTTCGATCCCGCGTTCCGCTTTTCCATCGGAAACCCACAAGCTCCGATCGGCCCAGGCCTGGGCCGCTCCAAAATACGACATTGCGGCTTGAGATGCACATTTCATGCAACGCCTCACAATGCCTATCCTCGGGCCAGGTCGCTCGGGATATCCCTGTCTTCCTTATCCCGTCCCACCCAAAAAAAAACCCAACCTGTTCGTTCTGTTGCCCGGCGTTACCGTGGCTGGCCTAACACAGTCACGTCATCTACACAGCCAGAGGCTTGCAGTGGGAGCTGAATGTACATCATGTCAACAGCCAGCAGTCATTGAAGCATCCTGACTCGTCGGACACCCGCATTCAGCTTGAGGCTGTGTGACACATGGATTGCTTGTTTCAACAAAAAGGGTATGTAGATTCAATTTGTTGTGTTGCAACGCCATTCAGTAGAGGAACAGTCGCTTCTTGGCGTCTTCCACCACCCACGCCAATCCCTCCTTGAGATTGTTGCCCGTCATGGCACTGCATGGCAAAATGTGCCAGTGGTGTGTCCGTATGGACTCCAGTTGCAGAGACTAGGCATCCGAAGTCGGTCATTAGCCTCGTCCTTGATGTCCTCTCTTGCCTACAACTTACCGCGAGAATCTCTTGCTCTGTCATGCATCCGTCCACATCCATCTTGTTCGCAAACACCAGCAGGCTCGCTCCTGCAAGACGCTGCATTGCATATTGGTTAGCCATGCATTGCCAGATCTGACCGGTTGCATCTCCGTATTGGCACAAACCTCTTCTTGCAGCAATCCTTGCAGCTCGTCTCTGCAATCTTCGATTCGGAGTCGGTCAGTGGCGTCAACCACCCAGATCAGCGCATCTGTCTTCTCAAAATAGTTCCTCCAGTAAGATCGCAGCGTCTTCTGACCGCCCACGTCCCCTAGGAAGGTCAGTCCCGGCAATGTCTTTGAGGCCGTAATCACATACAGATATTCAGCTTGTATCTGGGTCACCGGTTGTTAACAGTGCCCCTCACATGGATATTGACCCGCAGCTTACCCCTCATACTCGATCGTCTTGATAATGAACCCTAGTGTTGGGCTCACTGTGTTCACGTCCTCTCCCATTATCTTTTTCACAATGGTCGTCTTGCCTGCGTTGTCTAGGCCACTGTCCTTTGTCAGTCTTCTATCCCAAACCTCCAGGCCAACTGCAACACACAGCATCAGGATTCGCATCTCCTTATCCTTGAGGCGCGCTTTTCGCAAAATGGACAGCATATTCTGCGAAACGTTGGCCGCGGTTGGATGTGTATAGAATAAGGATTCCTAGTGTTAATTTTGTTCACTGGCTGAGAGATCTTGGGAGTTGGTGTATTAGGTACTCGATGATTGATTAAGCAGGCAACCAACCACCTCTGTGAAGAGGCGGGAGCTTTAGTTTCCAGCAGAGACTGCGCAACATGTGCTTAGTCAGCCTCGCAGATGGCATCCCTTGCCATTGAATTCAGGGTTTGATCTTCTCGACTGGATTAAGGAAACCCGATTGCCACACAGTGACATCAGAAGTGCATTCTTTTCTCTTGGTACCACCTGTTGCTGTTGTGGATAAAAAACGGCTGGCCTTTTCCGCCTTCCTGTGAAAACGGAGCAGCTAGGTCTCAAAGGGCGAATACGGGAGTCCAAATTGGCTGACTTGTCAGGGAGATGCATGTCGTAAATCCGGGTGCCTCCGCTTGAAAGGGTTGCCAATCGCCGTGCGGTCCTTCTTGCACGACCATAGACAGCATCTTTTGCCAGGCAGGTTTCTTAGAGCAAGACATTCTTTGCCTAGTTACTTATGATTTCCTTACAGCAGCTACCCCGTTGACATTCCCGTTCGTTTGACTTCATTTTCTCAACATGTTCCCTTCCTGACCTCACCACCCCTCCAACCACAAGCCTCGCACCAAATAACCCCCTTCCACCTTCAGAATGACAGAAAGCAGGTCAACATCGTAAAAATAGTTCCATCATAATCCACTCCTCGGGTGGGCATCAACAATTCGTCAGTACATTGCTAGTTTTGAAGGTGTGTCATCTCCGATCTCCTTAGCTGGGCGGGCCTGAAGTTCCCACACGGCCAAATCTAACCATTCGCTTTCTGTTGAGTTGCCAGCTCGAACTGCCTGCTCAAACCGTGCGACACGTTTGAACTCAAACTTTTCGAGCATCTTACCGATCCAACTCTGGTCGATATTCTCCTCTCCTTGGAATAGGGCCTCGATGTAGACGCGAGCGTACTGTCGCCAGTTTCTGGTTACTGTGTGCTCGTAAATTGACGCCGGCTCGGAGCATTCCCACTTGTAGTCGACCAGACTTCCGTGGTAAGCTGCGACAGAAAGTAGAATGCGGTCAAGGAGCGCGGATCCATACAGCTTTCGGCGATGGGCTGGGTCGACCACCACTGTGATGCGTCCCGTAAACCTCGAGCCGTAAGAGGGGGAACCAAAAACATCCATCCTGGAGTCCGTGACAAAAGCGAACCCCAGAATGGTTTTTTCGTCACTTGAAGACTTTTGGGTGCGTTTGAACCGGACAAATTCTTCGTACTCATTGTCTGCCCCCTCCGGCCACTTCGACCGATCCAAAAGAATGCTTGCTGACGGGACAGCCACGATGAATGGTCGCTTATTGCGACGGCAGTTCTCATATATTCTTCGAATATCTTGAGTGCCAGTAGTGGCAGGACCAAGCCCCTGCGGGGACTTGGTTTGCCTACTCTCTTTGTTCATGACGGCAGCAATGCCGGAGAAGTCGTTCGGTGTTGCTGGTCGTAGAAGGCAGTTCGCCGTCGGCCAAGGTTCCTCAACAGGGGTGGGCTGGGCTACTTTGTTGTTTTCTTCAATCTCAGCCCTGATTCTTTGAGCAATCTGGTTGCGGTTCTTGATCTCCCTTGCAATCCACAACTCCGATGTCATATTTGCCTGGCGCCAGTTGAGGTCTCGCACATCATGGCACTGCCCGGGATTCTGAGACTTGTGGGTTTCGGGATACTCCACTGGTGATAGGAGGGTTCCATCTCCCGTATCAATGTCGCGTTGGTCGGATAACGGGTCCCGAGTTCCATCGTGGAAGAACTCTGCGGTAGGCGGGTTCGAGCACGTAGCCGCCCATCCTTTGGTTATCCGGCCGAGACCAATTTTTGCAACAGGGAGAGCGCGGTGGTTAACTGGAAGAGGGTGAAGAGAACCCCAAGGCCCGGTCGAATCTGCGCCATCGCTGTTGACGGGTAGAGGAGTCGAGTCACTCTGAGGACTTTCCAGCTCACTGACGCTCCAATCAGGGCTGCTCAGCTTCGGCTTCAGTCCAGGTGCTAAGTCTTGAGATGCGAAGGCTTCAATAACGTGAAGCGGTGCAGGAAGTGGAGCCTTTCTGTCGAGGTTGACCATTTCGCTCGAAATGAGCTGCTGCGAAACCTCGTCGCTGTCGGACTCTGATCGCCTCTTTCTGGCTGGTTCGGTCTGTTCTGATGTCGGATCCTGATCCTCAACTTCAGAGGTAGACTGCTGTAGGCTGACAGACCCCTTCGACGGGACCAGCTTGGCCATGGGGCTGTTCACGAGTGTATCGTACTGCGAGGATCGATTCTCGTCATGAGATGTGCCTTTATCGTTACCGAGTCGAGAAACAAACTAGGCTGTGTCGACAGGGTTTGTTGAAGGCCCCAGCCTAGACTTCAGTACTGCGGTTGGAAGAAGTTGGGGAGCTGGGTCTCTGGGATCGACGGGCGTTGGAGGTAAGAGCTGAACAGGTTGGCTCTGCGGAGAGAGCCACTGCTTCATGGATTTGGAAACTTTGGATACGCTGACCACGGATTCGCGGGAACGCTCGAGGGGGTGTTCGCCCAGAGAGGATGTGTGGTTGGACATTGCTCAAGTGTGCGAGGCGGTGTGAGAAAGTGAGGTGAGTTGATGAAGAGTTGAGGAAGGGAAGTGAGGAAGTGGGGAGTTGAGAGGAAAGAGCTTTCTCTCTTGCCTTAAGTAGATAGGCGCCTAGGCAGAAGGGCTCAGCAGTGAGTCACATGCACCTGCCTGCCAGCTGCCGTGGATTTTGGTGGCAGGTGGCAGGTTCTAGTTCGGAGTTGTTGTGGTCTTTTAGGTGCTGGAGGTGGCTTAGGATTTATGTTGACCGATTGGCCCCGAAACGTAACACTCAAGATTGTGCCGATGGCCAAACATCCATCTTCGTTCTTAACTCTAAGCTGGTAAATAAAAAAGAAAATTCTTCTTGGGAGAGAAAGACACTGTTAAAGAGACCAGGTGCGTAAACTACATCCATGCAGGCTATTGGTATAGGAGTTTGCTGCCTTGCTAACTTAGCGGTTTAATAAATACAAAGAAAAAATCCAATGGAATATTATTTTATAAGCTGCCTTATTTAATATATTAAGTATATCTTGAGGACGGCTTTTAAAGTAGTAGAGAATTAGGCTGATACCTGAAGAATAAGTTCCTTATTAATTCCCCAAATATTAAGATCAGGTATATAAACTGAAGTATAGTGGGTCAGGTATACATAGTTTCATTTAAGCCAGAATAATAGCTAGCTTAGCAAATACATACTTAAAGTCGTAGTAACACTCCGGTCTTTAATAATAGGCTATGCTTTTTTATTCTAAAAGCTATATCTTCTGTCTCTTAGCTTAGTCTGCATTTATATATATCTCTAATAACAAAATACCCGACATCAAATTAAATAAATTGTTGGATCCCATAATATCAAATTTCCCTATGTTGAGATGAGAGACAAATCTCACGAGGCGAATTATCGAGATCCGGGTCTCAAGGTAAGAGATCTTGCCATTGGCGGCTCGGATCTTGTGGAGAACCGTGAAAAGGCCAATCCAATTTGGCATGCCTTTAATATTGACTTATTTAATATGTCAGCCATGAGAAACCGTACTGGGTACGTTGTGTGGCTAAAAGACATATCGCAAATAGGTAGTGAGTGGACAAGAATAGCATTTAGATAAGAAGACGAGAAAAGGAAGAGAAGCGAGACCACGTCTTTTCATACCTTAAAAGTCGTAAGGGATTGTTCTTTCTTGTAAGAAGCTGGTAATAATTGAGATGGGGTGCTCTACCAGAGGAGACGACGTGATTGGAGCCGTCTCAAAGAATTGCATTAGATGTCTAGTTCTTAATATCTTTCCGGTAGGTATTTTAACTTTCTTTCTATCAGGTATGGCTGAAATATTAGAGGAGAGACAAGAGTTCCAGATAAGGAGTTACGTGTCTGCAGTCGACGGAACCGTCGTCTCGAAAGCCACTTCCAATACTCTGTGTCATACCGCAAACACTGCTAATAGAGCACCTGGGCTAAGGGATCAAGCATTCTCATTTCAACTCACATCATGGCCATTTGGTCTGAACGACAAACTCTTTTCGTCAAGTAAGGTACATCACCGGTAGTCCCATGGAAGCAGCAACATCCAAAAAAGGCAGCAAAAGACAAAGGCCAGCTCTTATGATGAAAGAAAGCCATACCACCACGCCTGTAGAATCAGAATCAGAGAAGATTTATTGCATGGCACAGCTAGGGAAGTTCGAGCCCAAGCAGACTGACATAGTGAACTCGACTGGGAGCGAGAATACCGGATAGCCTCACGAAGTATTGGATCCCAAATCCATGCAAACAAAGAACGAAGATTAAGTAGACGCCAGTGGAGAACTTGCAAAGGAAGGTGGAGTGAGATGCCTCATGTGGACCTGCGCCCTGCCGTCATGATTCCTGTTTGACGCAGCCCCATGCTTTTGTCTTTGACATTAGTCCTTGCTCTCAGGCCAGGCATCCAATAACGAGCTGTACGTTCCACCGAGCCAGGCAGAACGCGTAAGTGCGGGCCACGGTTGCGTACAACAGGCATATATATGTGAAGAGTTTGTGTGTGTCCGGTGCACTAGCTGTGCCCCTATTGACATAGAATATTCATCCTGATATCTGCAATTAGAGGGATCATCTCGCGCCGACGGACGTTGTGCTCAAAATTCTCGATAAGCTAAATATCCCTCCTACATTACCTGATAGCTAGTAGTCAATCATGCTCCATGATTATGGTGCAGGATGTCTTGTATTGATTGCATTGTTCTGCTCCACCATGACAGGAGTGTGCAGCCTGTCATTGCGCCCCCGAATCCTTTGTGCGTGTCTCTTAACCTGCATTTCGATTTCCTCCTGGCAACAGCCCAGCTAGTTTGCTTCTTAAAAGTCTCTTGCGTTAGTCGAAGGTACCTTGCGATTTTGGGTAGCCCCTGAATCTCGCGCAACGGTCAAATTGAATCGAAAGCATGGGGTCGAAAGGTTCACTCTTAATTAATCAGCGGCCGTCGTCTACCTGAGGATCACTGACGAACCTCTTCTTCTTTTTGACAAAATAAATTTAGTTGTAATGTGCTTGTTAGGCACTGTAATGCGCTTGTTAAGCACGGGTATCTCTCAAACGCCTCCCTTTGTCCTTCATCCTTCCACCTCCTTTCATTAACCCCACCGGTTTTCCAAAGTTCTAGACATTACGAGATCATTGGTACGTATTCCATTGTATCCATTGCAAGGGACCCAAGACTCAGATTTTCGTGGCAATGCCACAAATACACATATTTAATCCTGTCATAGGCTCCATGCCAGTAGCACTAGACTCAGGCCCAGACGCCCGCCAATAACCGTATCATAAACTCTCCAGATCGTAAGACCGTCGGAACCCCGGGTGCGACGAGTACACACTTGAGGCTGGTGGCGGGGGAATCGGGTCTTGCCGCTTGGTGCGGCACGGTTTGTTCCAGTCTTTGCGTGCGGCAATATAAGCGCCGGCTCCATCGACTTCGCTCCAGGTACTGGACGGATCTCGTCGTTGTTCTGAAGACGAATATTGCGACTCCCACTCCCACTCTGGCTCGTCAGGCTGCCACCTCGGGCGGACACCCGATAAATCCAGGCGGTCCACCGCCATTGCCACCTCGCTCTCCTCTGTGTGCACAGTGATGGTCACCCAACTGCTCGCCGGTAATGTAACTGACGAACCCTCGTCCGGATCGAGTGACGGCATCGCCGCACTGTCGGGGTCGTACTCACTAAAGGCCGGATGAGCATTGCGCATCGCTTGGCGACGATCCTGGGTTTTCAGGCCTCGTCCTCGCATCTGGTCATCGAACCAGTCCCAAGTCTCGTCGCCCGTGGAATCACCGTCGTCGTAATAGTCATCGTGCAGGTTGTCGCCCCCATTGTCCTGGGTGATGGTGGTGGCAGGCAGTTCGTAGTAAACCGACACCGGTTCTTCCTGGACGGGCACCTCGCCATCGGAAGCATAGCCAAGTAAACTAGAATACGGTGACCACCGAGTGATGGCAGGAGGACGCGGTTCCGGGAGAACATTGTCTTTCCTCTTCCTCCGTGGTTGTCGGCGCCATATCTGCCGGGGCAGTTTTCCAGCATCGGCTCTGCTCTCTGCGCTCTCCTCCTTCCGCCTCTCGATTTCATTAAGCCAGGCGCTGATACCCTCAGACAGCTCGTCACTAGCTTCGCAAATTTTCTTGGCGGTTTTATGGTCGAAATGCCGGATCCACGACTCCACAAAGAGCCGCAGTCGCGGCTCTGTCCTATTTCTCCTGGGATAATGAAACCGCCGCGCACGCAAGTTGGCGCGCAGGTCGATAAGCACCTGAGGACGCCCACCAATGACAGAAATAATGCATGCTTCGCATCCGCTCTCAACCGTCCCGATTGGAGCGGTGCGGTTGTATCCGAACACGGCGCGGAAGGCGTCCTGGCCCATCCAAAGCGCTGTCATCGTGTCCATGCGGTCGAGCCAAGCCTCGAGCTTCTCTGTAAAGGCAGGACACTCGCGCCACTTACGGAAACGGTCGGTGCGTTGAGTGAGCTCTTGCGCCATGAGGAGCATGATGCGGCGGATAAGGCGAGGGTTCAGGCCACGGTGCGAAGAGCACAGGTGGGCAACCTTCGACGGATGGCGGCGGTTGTCATAGTGGGCGGCCAAGCGTTTAAGAATATTATGTGGTCGCCGGACTGATTGGTCGAGCTCCTCGATCAGGTCTTTCTGCTCCTTGAGCCAGTCTGGATGCGGATTGGCGACGTCAACAGACTGGGGCATCCAGAGCATACGGGTGAGTTCGTCGAGCGCTTCTGGGGACACGTCAGGACAGCGGCTTCTACCGTGACCCGCCTTCTCGTCAGGAGCTGATGATAATGCAGAAGGCGATGAGTAGTGAGAGGATGCCATGTCTGTAATGCGAGAAGGCATGGTGAAGATGGGGTTGTCCAAAAACACTACTTTGACAAAACCTTCAGTCGTCTAATTGGGCTCAATGCACGCTGCGACAAAAGCGCAACGACAAATAACTCTCTAACTGCAGGTAGAATAAGTGTCCAAGGCAATTCTTTGTTGCCGCGTTTTGCTTCAGGCGTATATACGTATATAATGTTTGGGATGGTTTCTCGGCTTCAGCCCTCTTGACTGCACGGTTGCGTTTCCCATACCTTATATAATTCTGTCGGAAGAGCAGATTCAAAAAGGGGGAGGCCGTTCCACAGTTGGCAACGATGTTCCAGAAGGACAAGATGTCGAGTTCGGAGGGAAATGCCCATCGTGCCTTTGTCCAAGGTAGAACGGCGACCATTCTTGAGACTAGACTTCCAAGCCATTGTTCACGTCCTGAAGTGAACATGAACCGTGGCGGAGTGGCTTGAACTATGGAAACCTAATACTGTTAGCTAGTACGCTTTTCCGTAGTGAACAGACTCTGTACCTAGAACAAACATCGGAGTGCTGGTTAAATGCTAGTGTTGTCCACGTCGGATCTAGACTGCTCCTGGCTATCATCAAAACAGGTGATGGATAACTGATAGGTGAGTCTACTGCCCAGGCACCATGTGCGCCCCTGGGCCAGTCATCCAAGAAGGGAATGCGATGGTTCCTCGGGGATGAGGGAACAGTTGTCCGTGTTTATTAGACCTGACACAGGAAAGAATGAAAAGTCCGGTTGTCCGAATGTCGCTGGGGCTCAACCAGCACGCTTGACGCCCCCAAACCCAACGTCATGCTTCCCATCCTTCCAATCGTCGCCTTTGTTTAGAACCTGCCGTCCACCGTAGATGACAACTCCAAGGAAAAACAAATAGAAAGCTGCGGGGAGATGCAGCGGCTAATGCACTAGAGTACAATGACATGTCGGATGGTCATAAGCCGGCCCCTCCCCACGTAGGAGATTTATCCTTTCGTTGTACACGCCATTAAGAGAAACCCAAACTCCATGATCATGCTCGTGTTGTTTCGTTAGTAGTATAGATTCAGATCGCCTTGTGTCGTTTTGTCTTCATCCCACGTATTGCGGATGCCTGACAGCCTCTTGTTCCATTCGTAACCTCTCAAGCCGAATCTTCGCCGCCTCGGTTCCATCATCAGGCTGGGCCATTTCCTTGAACCAGGGGTGGTTCAGGGCCTGCTTCGCAGTGATACGCTGAGCAGGGTCGTAGACAAAAATCTTCTTGAGCAAGTCAAGGAAGTTCTTGAGGAAAGGGTTGTTGTTGGCGGGAATGGCATCCTGGTTTGGTCAGTAATCGAAAACACAGAGACGGACAGAATTCACGCACAGTCAGATGCTTCATAGCCTTTACGAAGCGACGGGAGCCCCGGGTCGTTTCCGCGGTGGGGTAGTCAAGTCGGAGTCGCTTGAAGTACCTAGAGAATGTTAGTCTACATGTTGGTTAGAAGATATGAATAACTGACTTTGAAGCAGCGTTTCCTCCACTCCGTGTGGACATCTTGTTGACCGCTTGCACAAGGTGAGTGTCAATGCGGGAGCCTACTACCGCCTCCATCATAGCAAGATGTTCCAAGTTGTCATGGGTTTGGAATAGGGCGTCGCCGGTGAAGAACTCGACAAGGATGCAGCCGATACTCCAGATATCACACGGGTATGACCATCCGAGTCCGAGGATAATCTCAGGGGCTCGGTAATGGCGAGTCGATACCACAGAGGAGTGGTATTCGTCCTGGAATGTGGCAGATCCAAAGTCGATTAGCCGAATCTCGGTGTCAAGCAAGACCCGGCGCTGCGTAGCCTGTCGGTTGATGGTTGTTGAGGAAGAGGGAATCTTTCGGTTGTAGGTGAAAGTCTGGTAGGAGTTGTCACAGAGCAAGATGTTTTCGGGCTTCAAGTCAGTGTGGATGAGGTTAAGATCATGAAGGACTAGAAACTGTCAGCAGGCGAACACACGAATAATGCGCAGGATACTTACAAGCAACACTGGTGAAGAGTTGTCGAGCAAAGCTCTGGATCTGGCTGTTGGGAAAAGGGACGAAGCCGTTGCTCTTAAGGAAGTCAAAGACACTCTGACTGAGAAGATCCATGACGATGCAGATGTGGCCGCGGTAGTCAAAGCAGTCCCGAAGGTGGATGCATCGATTTCGGTTCTCATCATCGTTGGCTTTGAGGGTGGCGAGAACCCTCAGTTCGATCCTGGAGGCATCTCGGTATTTTTGCACAGATCGGATGATCTTGACGGCAACGAGCTTATTGTGCCTTCGGTCACGGGCCTTGACGACCTTGCCAAAGGTGCCCTGCCCAAGGAGCCGAACGATTTGGTCTAGTCTAGTCAGTGATTCAAGTCCCTGATAGCGATCATCAAAACGGTAGTCAAACGCACACTTATCGGTCAACTCTGCATCAGGAACAACGATGTAATGACCATCGTCATCGTCGACCTTGACATTCTTGTTGTAGTGGTGCTATTCATGACGGTTAGTAACGGTGCATTCCAATCGGAATGTGGAGAGACTCACGTCATGGATGACTCTGACTGTGACATCGCCGGCCTTTTTCGGTGGATAGGGCGGAGGCTTGTAGGTGAAGAAGGGATCGCCGAGGCCATCAATGTCCCTCCGCTTTGCCTCGTTGGCGACCTGTTGGCGAGTCCGTTTCCGCTTGAGCGGAACCTGGGCTTCCGTGTACTGGCTGTTGTTGGAGGAGAGGGAGGTAGGCGCGGTGGTGCTGAGGGCGGAATTGGTGCGGTCGCCACTAGAGTTGGCGGAGCCTGTGGGAGTGACGGCGTTCAACGGGGTGTTGTTTTGCGAGCCCAGATACTTGATGTGGTAACCGGCGGACTGGACAGTGGCAGTGGCAGTCTCGTCGTCTCGTCTCCTCTTCTTGGCGGCCTGGCGAGCCGGGGCGGAGTCGTTGGTGCCAGGGGCCACACCATTTGTGATTTTGCGGCCGGTGTTAGCCTCGGGCTCGGGGGTGTCGTCGATGACGATGATCTCCTTGGGGAGGCCGTTCTTGTAGAAGGTGTTCCAGTCGGGCTCGCGAGAGCGGCGACGCTTCCGCGAGTGCTCGTCAGCGGTATCGGGCATGGCGGCGTCCGAGTAATTCGCGTCGTGTCGGGGCGATGGGTCGTGGGGAGAAGGGACGGGACGGGCAACCGAGGACTGGGTGAGGGCTATGCCATTCGTCCCAGAGGAGGAGTAGGCGACGCTGGAGGGCGGGTATGCCGGCGGGAGTCGGGGGGCGGCAGTGGACGAGGCCGACGAGACGACGGGAGGCAAGATTGACGAGGTTGCGGCGGTCGAGCGATAGCTGGCGCTGGGGTTGGGCTGGTAGCCCTGCTGGTGCGAATGCAAGTGCGAGTAGGTCGGGGGATAGTGATGGGGATGATAATGTGGTAGTGTGGCCGTGGCCGTGGTGGGCGTCGACATGACGGAGGAGAGCCAGAGCCGTCCAGGGCCAACAGCAGAAGGGGGAAGGAGAAGGGCAAGGGGACGGTGCCGTGTCGAACGGGGCGAGGCTCGAGTCGAGTTCGTATCGTATGCGTGGTGATGTCCTTGGTAGAAGCCGTGGGAGAAGGGGAGAAGGAGAAACAGACGAGCGAGCGACGCTGCTGGAGGCGACGAGGAGACGGGATGGATGGACGGGGAAGGGGACCCGGGCTTTCCCAAACCGCTTGGTGGTGGTGTGTGAATGATGGCCGTGGGAACGGAAGCGTACTGTGCACAGCGGTCGCCACAGCGGGCACAGCGGGCTGCAGTGGGTGACAGCGGGTAGCCTCAGTGGGTGGTGAGCCCTGGAGTGCGGTGGAGTAGTGGTGGCACGTCGCGCTGGGGGTGGCTGAGTTTTCGCCGGTGCGGGAGGGAGGGAGGAGAGAAGCCCAAGAGAATGGACGACGATGGGAGAGTCCCGCCCAAAAAAAACTACGGATTGTGCAGTCAGGATAGCTAGCAGTTACCAGGTACCATCAAGGTCGCTTTCACCGCGAGCAAACAACAATCCCAGTGATCTATTTTTCTTTCCTTCTTCGTCGTCGGCTGGGGGAGTTTCCCGGGGACCCAGATGGCAGAAGAGGCTGAGGTGGCGCTACGATCCGGGCGCTGGCTTGCTGGTGCGCGTGCAGGCGTGCTTTTGCAATGGCCCCCGGAAGAAGCGCTGCAGGGCCGCCTTCTCTCAAGAGGAGGAAAGGCGAGGGGGAAAAAAGGCTCCGCGCCGGCTGGTTGGAGCGACGCCGAGAGGGACGTTGGCCGAGTAAGGCAAAGTGGAGGGCGACAGAGGGCCTGGGACGCTGTCGCCGGCTGCTTTAGGGTTTCTTGGCCGAGTTCGCCAGCGGGTTGGATGGGGGCTCTTGGGACGGGACCCAGGGGGCCTCTGTCGCCCTGTGGGGAGCCCTGTGGGGAGCCCTGAAGGGTACAGCGCCACCCAGTGCACCACCACCACTACGGGACACCACCACAACCTCTACGCCGGTGCGTATCCAGCCAACTCACGACGCGAACGTCCATTTACTCCCCGGCGGGATGGGAATTGGCGGCAGCGATGGGAGAGTCTCTAGTATCGATGGGGGGGGGCTCTCGGGTATCGAACGGGGGGAATCACGGTGCGCAGGAGGAGCGCTCAGGGGCCCAGACACCGACGAGATGAGGCCTGGGCTTTGTCTGGGCCTTGTTCCTGTTCTGCGGCGGCGGGCAGCGGGCGGAGACGCGGAGGAGGAGACGATAGCCCCAGGTACCTGAGGTACCTCGTCACAAAAGTGTCCGGTGCTCGAAATCGCCAGAGGGACTTTGCTCGTGCGCGGAAACGCTCCAATTCTCGAAGTACCGACGACGAGAGCCAGGACCATGCACCGGATCACACCAACCTCGGCCTCTCGCTGTCTCAAATCTTAATAGAGTGGGAGACTCCATCGTGGGTTTGATGAAGGGCTTCCCAGCAGCACTCACAAGCAGCCGCACGGTGGTGCAGTACGAACGAGGGCCCTGTGTGAACAGATGCATGCGTCACGTCAGAGCACGCCAGTACCTTACTCTTGTATTTCGTACCTCGCCTCCTCATCGTCCGTCCTCCTCCTCCCCCTCACCAAAAGTAAGCCCCAAGCGGAGTCCCCTCTCGAGGCAAGTCAAGTCAAGTCCAGGGCCCCGGCTCCCCGAGTCTCCAGTCGTCAGACCCCAGTCGTCGACGTTCAACAAGCAAAAAGTCAACAGAAACAGGAAAAAGTGCTTCCAAGGCCTCACCAATGCCCGCGGCTGAACCCGAATTCACAAGTGCACTACTGGACACGGCTGATAAGCTATTAATAAGGACAGGCAACAGCAGCAGCGACGTTGGAGTGGAGCGATACGCCTTGACGGAGTGTCAGAGTACGGATCCGTCAAAAGCACCAGCGTCGACTCTCCCGCTCGCCTCCACTCTGATACCACGTAGAAACAGACAGGAACGAAAAAAAGACCCGTATGGTACTGCATCAGCACGCGAGGATGGGCGGGCTAACACCGACCCAACGTCCCTGGGATCGTGGTTCTGGTGATGCCGCCCATCCATTCGTCGCGCAGCCCGGGACACCACCAGAACCACGAGAGTTCGCCGTCGCAATGTGAGCCTGACAGCCAAGAAGCCCAGTAAACTCTGCGAGCGGTCGGCCAGACTTGCGACCAGAGGGTGAGGGCGTCCAGTGGGCGTCCAGCCAGCCAACCAACCAACCGTCCAACCAACCGTCCAACCAACTCTCGATCCTCGCGCAACCCCGTGCGTGCGCCTGTGCCAGCCTGCGCGCCTCTCTGTGCCTGGCCATCATGCCGCCTCTGGCTGCGTCTCGACGTGCGCCTTGGCTGCTCATGACCTCGCTTGATAAAGTCAATCACGACTCATGCAATGTCCCGGTGGCATCGAACAATTGCCATGTGGGAAATCGACATGGCCCTGAATCCAACACACGTCGGTTGTGCCCAACTAGCAGGCAAACGGGCTGGGTTGCAACAGGAACGGGAACTTGTAACAGGCGGTGCCGCGGCCCCCGTTCTCTTTCTCTGTGCGTCTCTGGCAAATGAATTTTGTGTTTCCAGTTGTGCCCCGATTTACACTCCCTGGCCCGTCTCCCACTTCCCCGGGTCGTCAGAAGGGTCGTGAGTCGTCAGCGGCCATCGTCATCCGTCATCCGTCATCCATCGCGCAGCCGAGTCTCCACGCTCAAAGCTCAAAGCCCAAGCCTGCGAAACCAAACCCAGGCTGGAGCCAACAGCCAAGCCGGCAGACAACTCACACAACACGATGCAGCTTCGGCCTGAGCCAACAGCCTGGGCGAGCCAACAGCCCCAGCCCACCATGCCCGTTCCAGAACCTCTCGTAGCCATGACAGAGAGAGAGAGAGGGCGACCCGTTTTGTCTTGGGTCATGTCCACGTCAATACGGAGTCCTGTGCTCAGTGCGCTGCCCCGTGCTGTGTCGTGTCGGCCCTGTGGTCTACGGACTTGTGCTCAGCGTGACAACTGCCTCTCCACCGACACTGTCAGCGCATCTACTCGGTGCATCTCGTCGGCAGAGCTGGGCCTTGCAATGGCTTGGCGGGATCGTAACTACTTGGGTACTCGATCACATCGAAATTCACCGTCTTTGGTGCAAATCCGCGTTGCTGCAAGGTACGTACTGCGGTACACTTTACGCACGCGTGCATCTTCCCCGTCACACCCGCGTCCAACCACGAGCAAGCAGCAAGCCCATCATGGGTCCTCTCCCTCAGCCATGGACCCTCTTTCGCAGCCATGGAACCTCCCTCAGCCATGGCGACGCCTCCGCCCGCTTCGGCCGTGGATCCATTTGTTCCCTCCCCGGCTGCAAAGTGCAGAGCGAGTGAGCGAGTGACGAGGTGAGAGCCACAGGGCGGGCCCCTGCTTGCGTCCTGTCCTGGCAGACCCCAGCTTCTGGGCTGTCCGACCTTTGGAGCCTCGATACCGAAGCCATGATCCATCCAGTCTGCATCCTCCCGCTCCGTCGTCATTTCGTCCCGAAGAGAGAGATGAAATGATGCCGGTAGACGACGCACCGTAGAGGATGCCATCTCAACATCAACGCCCTGTGCTTCGTATCATCCAAGATCCATCCGGCTCCCAGCGTTATCTCGCCCACTCCATCGTCGCTGTCTGCGTCGTTCTCAACTTCTCCGCCCCACTGCATCACACCCCGGGACGGGCTGGCCCTTGACTCTTGGCCCATCCTCCAGGCCCGTCCTCTCGGCCCTTGGCCAGCCCTTGACCATTTCCTGTGGCAGACGACCCAACCGGCAGAACTGTTTCCGCTCCTGGTCAGGTTTCTCGTCTGGTCTTTGAGCCTGGCCCACGCACTCCTTGGAACTGATTGTCTCTCTTCTGTCCCTGTTCGTCGAGCCCTGTATCTCCTCTCTACGCTCCGTTTGGTCGTCGCCTCCTTGCCCTTGTCTCGAGCCCGGTGGCCCACTCCACTCGGCTTCCCCACTGCCACGAGCTGTGCTGCGTTCTGTGACATAACTTATGTCACCTCTGGCTCAGTTGCGGCCATCGCCCATCCCATCCCATCGTCGCCCATCGTGAGCCACCCTTGGATTGCCCGGTCCTCTCGCGGCCTGGCTCGCAGCCTCTTCACTGGCCCTCGCTGGCCCCCCTCTCTTCCCGTGGCACCATCTCTCGACGACTCCCCGTGACAACCGGTCTTTTCCAAATCGTAAACACCAATCCGGAACCGAAGATGGCGCCATCAAGCCTGGGTAATCCAGTCCAGCTGCCCTCCCTGGGTACGCTCCAGCGCCCACAGGTACCCATAACTACTGCCTGCAGTGCCGGTGCGTTCCCTGCCATGTCCTGCGCGTGCGGCCTCGTCAACAAGTGACGCCTCCCCGCTCCTCGTTAAGTTCCAACGGCGGGCAGACGGTCAAGTCACCTGTTATTAGCCCTGTCTTACCCGCTCCCGCCAGAGCAAGGCTAGCCTGCCGATCTGGGTGGCGACGTGCACTCCACCAGCCGTTGATCCCCTCCTCCGATCTCTTCGCCTGCAAGCCTGTCGATGTTGGATGGATGGATGTTCACTCTGCATCAGCAAGTGCGTCTCATTCCCCTCTTTCTCCTCCCCGGCTTTCTTCCGGATTTCTTCCGGAATGCGTGGGATGAGCCCATCCAGCTGGCCCATGACTGGCTGCTGCAACGTTTCCCCTCGGTCCCTCACCCGAGTCCACGATAGCGATGCAAACAAGCACGGCATAACGGCCCTTGTGAATCTTCTCCATCCTTGTTAATCTGCCCATTCTCACGCCTTGCACGCTTCGTCTTGCCCAGGCGTGTCAGATAGTTTCGCTTTTCGTTTGGCATTGATCCCCGGCCTTCCTTTTCGGGTTCACGGACAGATACGGCGGCTGTTCAATGATACCCCAGCATACAATGTAACCACGTGCAGCCTGGCCAATAGCATGAGATGCAATATCCAAGGTCTACAATCGGAAGGTCTACAATCGGAACGACAAGTGAGATGCTGAATGATGTTCTACTTCTATCCAATTCTAGGAACGAAATGCCATCCCTCTCTCTATCCCAGATCCCCCATGCTATGATTGTCTGCCTGTCCCTCTAGCACTCACTTGAAGATTATCTAGAACGCATATAAAGATCGGTGTCTGATCCTTGAACGCCTTCGTGAATCCGTCAAACCCGCTTTCGAAATGAAATAGCAATCGGGGCTCCCTTTGCATCTCCTAGATCCCCATTGGTATCTTCGTCAAATACTGCTTCTCCCAGGCAAGATGAGTAAACGTTCCATTCCAGGCCGCCATGTTGCTCTCTGAATCAACATTTGCTGTGAAACAGTCCACACATGGTAGATCAGTCCATCCATCCCCTCCTAGACGTCAGTTGGCGTAGGCGGTGAGGATACCTGAGACCAACGTCCCGTGCCTTACGCCTTACAGGCCGCGGTTGAAGACAACCTTGCCGTCCTTGCCACCCTTTCCGTGGAACTCGGGCTCGAGTCGTTTGGCGCTGATCGCCTGCTGCTGAGGGAAGATGGCCAAAGCAAAGGGCAGGACGGCAAAGGACGTCACGGCAATCAAACCCAGGTTGATAGACAGGGGGATCGCCTTGACCAGCGTGGGCCGCGCGCGCACCCACTCCTTCTGCATCAGGTTTCGGTACCAGGCCTGCTTCTGTTCGATGTGGTACAGCACCATGGGCGGGATGACCATGATGGGGCTACCAGTCAGCACACGGCTGGCGGCAGTCTCATATACGGCAATCTTGGCGGCAGTGTGACTATGGCCCAACGACGGCACATCGCGCTCCGACTTGCCCTCGGCCAGGAGCTTCGCCTTGTCCTCCTCGGTGAGCACGGGTCGGACGTCGATGCCCTTGGTGATTTCGTCCCGGCGCATCAGATATGTGTTGAGGCCACCCGCCGAGGCGACGGCGGCAAAGGGAATCAGTCGGCCGAGGATGGCACGGGTAGCCGGTGCGACTTTCAGACGGGGGACGATCGAGTTGAGGCCAAGGGCCACCGAGCAGGATGCGCCGACGGCGAAGCAGTAGGACTTGATCATGGCGGCGGTCGTCATCGGGGACGACTTGTTGGCGTTGGCGCTGTTTATGGCGACGTTGAGGGACTGGTTGGCCACCTGCCAGCCGACGATGCCCACGGTCTGGAGGCCGGGCTGGAGCATGCCGGCCGTGACAATCAGGTTGGTCAGGACATAGCAGGACATTCGGAAAGGCAAGAAGACCGGTTCGCCAGTATCTACACTACCAGTCAGTTTCTACCTGGCCCATAACCTCTGCGAACACATACCCGGGTGCAGCGTGGAATCCACGACCTTCTTGGCATGCCAGAGCTCGGGAGTCATGCGCTCGAGCTTGCCGGTCTTGAATTCCGTGACCAGCCGCTTGGCTGCCTCGAGGCCTGACGAGCCAGCAAGGAGGGTCCTACATTTCGCCATCAGCCAGAGATTCCATATCCAAGCTCCTAGGGCCAAGCTCACGTCGGGTCGGTGAGGCCCATCGCATGGCGCACCCGTCCCATGTAGGTGTTGAGGTCATACTGCGAGGCAGGGAGCTCGCGCGAGCCGGGCAGCGAGGACGACATGATGAGGCACCGGTAGCCCAATTGGAGTCGCGGGGATGGACAACGGCGAGGGAACAGTCGGGAAGGGCCTCCGGCCAAGAGGGGGCACGCTGCAGGGCTTTTGTGCGGTCGACGGGTGGTTGTGACTAGACCGAGCCGTGTGGAAAAATGATGCGACGATAAGCGTGTCCCGCTTTCGGCGCTGGCGGTTGGTGGCAGAGGGGCCTGACTGCAGTGGCTTGTAGGGCGTGTAGGGGTTGTAGGGGTCGTAGGGCGTAAAGCCGCTGAGGTGAGAGGGGGCTAGCGCATGTCGGCAATCCGAACGTGGAGAAATGCTGCGCGGGTTGATCGGGTGCCCTGCCGATGGCGGCACTTGCTCCGCCAAGCAAAGAGTCTCCCGGTCACGAAGCCGACTTTGATAGCGTTGTTCCCGAGTTTATAAAGGTCATGAGGCTGTATTCTTGCTTGTTTCCCAGTTGCGGAAGGAACCTGTACCGAACACAAATTAGAGTTCATGTACCCCGGACGCCCCCACGTAGAAGGCCGCAAAAAGGGAAGGAGCCCAAGTTGCGATATCACAGAGTCGCAGCATCAACACCACCTCGTCAACAGCTTCAACCAAGCGCAAAAAGATATGGAGCGGATGCTCGTTGCTGCGACCACGCCAGGATTCGAACCTGGAATCTCTAGAGAGGGTGAAATCGGTGAACCGAAATCTAGCGCCTTAGCCATTAGGCCACGCGGCCGATGGGAAAGTTGCTGATAATGAGGAATATATGGCTCAGATGCGGATGAGGTGGGGGAGTGGGGTTGTTGACAGTGTGAGACAACATGAGTCCACCTCGAGAGGATACATTGGCGTCAAAAATGATCCACAGTTGTTGAAGGAACAAGCTGGAGCTGGTGCGAGATGAGAAAGTCTTGCTTGAGGCGTGACATGATTCCTCCGGTGGAACAATCAAGATGGGCGCCTCGTGGAGTCGATCCAGTGAGACGCGATGAAGGAGGATATATTCCCCACATCAGACACAACTGCAGTCCAAGGACACTGTGCGTTCGTTATCACAACCAGACGGGCCAGCCGCCTCCAAGGGTTTCCCAAGACCACGATACCACTTAGGCATAACTCCTAATAATAAGGATATTAGTCCTCATTTCCTTATATCGTTCCTAAGAACCTACCCTGCTTAGGCGCTATGTTTGGTGGTGGCACAAGTTAATCCTTGATATGGGCTGTGTTAGTAGCGACATGATCCACGGTGAATGAGCAAACCGCATGGAGCAGCTGTGCAAATGAGAGGCTTCTTGGAACGCCGCACCGCATAATTACTCCAGTAAAGCGTCAAGATAGGTGATCCGCGGTAGACAGAGTGGTGCCGTTGCGAAGAAGGCCCCATTCCATAAGGTCGCACAGCTACGTCAAAACTGAACGCTCCTATGGAACTTGTGTAAGTCAGACCCTGGGGATTCGGCCAGTAGGTTATTCGTGACATATTCTATCACATACTTGTTGCGAACAAAGTGAGTTGAACTCGTGGAGTGGATTTACCGCCACCTCTATATGTCTATCCGTCTATTCGTCATGCCAGTAATTTACATAACCAACCATGGCCAAACATGTCCAGGCAGTTTACTTCTCGCTCGACTCGGCCAGCATCTGAGCAATCGCTGGCTGGAAGGCCGCCGCCTTCTTAAAGTCTCCCAGGCGCACCCGCATGTGGTCAAACGCCATGAGCACCTCGCCGACGTTGGTGATATCGCGCTTGAGCGATTCGGACTTGACGTAACGCTGCGAAAAGTGCGTCAGCAGGGTGCGGCGGGCGCGCATCTTCTGTGCAACGCTCAAGGCCTCCTTCATGGTCGAGTGCTGCTTCTTCTTGGCGTGCGATCCCATGTCGTCGTCAAAGGTGCACTCGTGGATGAGGAGGTGCGCGCCGTCGCACTCGCGCGCAAAATCGTCCGAGGGCCTGCAGTCACCCGAGTAGGCGATGCGGAGGCCCGAGGTGAGCTCAATCTGCACTGCGTCGGAGCGCCAGCAGTGGGTGACGGGAATACGTTTGACGGAGGCGAGGCCGAAGTTGTTATCGCCCATTTGGTCGGCCGTCACGACCGGCAGATCGCCCGTGGGACTGCAGTTCACAAAGCGTAGACGATGGAAACCAATGTCTTCTACCTGTGAAACTTCCTCCAAGAGTGTGCGATATCTCCAGATGCACGAGATAGCCAGCTTGGCATTCCCGTCATCGATAGTGCTCTCATACCAGGCCTTGATGAGGCTAGGGGTGCCGAGGTGGTGATCGGCGTGAAGGTGACTGATGGCAATGCATCTCAAGTCACGGAGGATTTTAGCCGTCTCTTCGTCACCAAAGAGTCGTCGAATCTGGCCGAGCGTCCCTTCACCGCAGTCAAGTAGATAGTTTCCGAAACCAGGGACACGAATCAGCGTCGCGGAGACGTTGCGGTACTTGCCAGGGCATGAAGACCCCGTTCCAAGTGGAATGATTTCAGCATCCCTATTGGGCATATCTGCCTCATCCTCCTCGATTCCTCGGAGGAATTCAGGGTCGGACGTCTCCTCCTGGGCCTTGCGTGCGAGATCTAGGATCGTGTCGTTCACCCCCTTGGCCGCTTCGAGTAGATTTGGAAAGGGAGCTATTTTGCCAGCATCAAGGTTAACGCGAGGCATGAGCACGGTCTTGTGACCAATCCGCCCAAGCTCCACCTGGGGGCCCTTGGGGGCCTCTCCTTTGACTGCATTCTCGTACTTGAGCAGAGTGAATCGCTCGGGGTCAATACGGCGGAGCTTGGTCTGAAGCTCTCCGGGACCGGCTAGAGCAATCATGTTGGGACAAGTATCGCTAGCGCAGAAGATGTGCTTAATCTTTGGGTGGTCTTGTACGAACTTTTTGATTCGAACATCGTTGGCCATTCCAGATCCCAAGATCCAGTACATGGAGACAATGTCCGACATCAAGTCAGAATTGGACCACTCAGGTCTCTCAATGAAGGAGTCGAGAAAGTCGCGAGACTCAATATCCGCAACAATGAATCCCTTTCCGGGCTGGGGGTCGCCCAGAACCATCTCGGGTGTCACGGTGCCGTCCGTCCCTTCGACGGCGCAGCCTGCCGTCAGAAGCTTGAAGTCTTGTACCTTGACGCCAAGCTTCTTTGCTGCACTAGGATTAAACTTGCCTCGGCGCTCATGGCATTTGACAATATAGGACATAGATATCTCACTATATGTCGTCCGAGGGAGAGGAGTGTGCTTCAGGTTGATGTATTCGCTCGGGTCGATAGTGTCGTCCTTTGTTGGCAGTACCCAGACAGTCTCTTCTGGATTGGGGAGTTCAGCACCAGTATCTGCAAAAGGCCCAGTATAACGGGTCAAGTCTCTGTCTTTACGAACAAAGGCCGTGTCAGTGGACTTGATGAGACTGAGGTGCCTGGGTATCAAGACACCAGCGTTCCCTCCGAGTTGGCCATTGAACATAGCTTTCTCTACCATTATTGACGCGAGTGTTGGGTCCGACGGGCCTTCGACTGGTTTGAAGATGTTAACAGCTGACGAAGGATCCCCATTGTCGGGGCTCGCAAAGCGACGCTTCTGTGGGCTGCTTGAGCGGGTCCTTCGAACGGGGACCTTCCATACTCGAAGGCCATCGTCTTCCCAGTCGGGCTCGACCTGGCTTGGGTTATCAACCCTCGGATCCTCCCTATGTTCGAAAGTAGACACAGTGATAGGTTGTCGGAGAATGACAGGACGGCAGGCTGCCAGAGTGTGGCAGAGGTTGTCGCCTCCGTGGATGCCCAGGACAGTGTTTTGCGATTGTTCGAGCAGTTTTTGGCCCTTCCTTTCTCTCTCCGAGTTGAGCTGCGCAGTCTGCTCCTTGGATGACTCGATGGAATTCCCGACAGTGAGAACATAGCCGTACAACCCACCGATCTGGTTCCAGCTAAGACTGCCACTCAGAAAGACATGTTCGGTGCCTCCCATGCCTATGCGACGGGTATTGAAGGCTCTCTGGGTGCCCTCGGAGGGCCGACCGAAAACATATGCCCGTTTGTCGGTATGGACAAACAGACAGGTCCCAGGGGTGTCTGCGGTGGGCGCCGAAGCAATATCGACGTAGGTCGTCATTATTTCGTAGAGGTCGGTGTTCCCGCGTTGTAGGATAGGTTCTGGGATAAAGGAGACCTTATGCTGTCCACGTCGACGCGATAACGAGGGGGAGACGCTGAAGGGGCGCTCCTGTGGAAAATTGTGTCGAGGGTATCGGGTCGAGTTGGTCGAGCGGGTCGCAAGCGAAGAAGCAGAAGCGGCGAGACGCAACTGACGGCTAAGAGAAGGTAATAAATAACTGAGGCGCCGGCAGCCCCATCTTTCCATAAAGAAGGACTTACATAGACCAGCTATGGGAGCAGATCAGACCAAAGCGGGGACGCAGCTGCTGCATGAACAGTGCAATGCGCAGTGTACAATGTGCAGATGTACAGTGTAGCTGCCGCTCGATCTATCTGCCCCACGATGACTTTTTTTTGGTGTCGCGGCGAGTGACTCTGCGTTGCGCTAGCTTTCGGCGTGGCTGCGCGACGGGACGACCAATGACAACTACGTCATGAGGCTTACATAATGTCAGCAGCGCCTACCCTGGAGAATGCGACTGGAACCAGACAGCTGGCAAAAGGGTGGCTTTTGGGCTTTTGTTTAATTTGGCGTGGAGTGACTCATTCTAATATGGGATATGGTCACTTAAAACTGACCTCCAATCGAATCCTGCGGTGTGATGATACGGGGAGGACTCATCCAGAGCCAACTTGAAATGGTGGGGTAAAGTCCGTGATACGACGGAGGAATTATTGGAGTTGAACAAGTGGCCTTGAAAGGGATATTAGCTTATTATCATGCATTACGTCGACAGACGTCGTCCTACATAGCACATGTACTCACACACTAGATTATACGAGTTAGCGAACAATATTCATGCTATTTAGAATCTGACCTCTCCATGTAGGTACCCGGCCGGAAGCCAATGCCAGGCCGTTATCTTATCGCACCCCGCATCACGACAGCGCCGGATCGGATATCGGGATCTCGTCGTTGGCACTGCAGGAAATTATTTGGGAATATTCAGGATTGATATTTATGAGGAATTAAATCAATAAATATGCCAGAGTGTAGACTCAACGAGAAGACGCAGGATGTGATATGGATTTAATATGTGCAAGCAGAAACTAGATATCTCTACCTTGGATCCAAGCCCGAGAGTACTCATTATTGAAGTACGCTGAAGATCTTCGCCTCAATTATTTGCTCGCTCCTCGACTGCCGTCTCCCATCCCGACAGTGCCCCATCTCCACCACACCTCGCAATCCATGCTTATAAACCACCTGTAAAGCCGCACCAGCTCTCCTCTCCTGGGTCTGTTCCACTTGATTCGCTGCCTCTCGCACATGCATCTCCAGCGTGCTCGCCCCCTCATCACGACGCTCCTCGGCCCCTCAGTTCCCCTCGTCCAAAGAATCACCACCACCGTCGCAATGGCCGACAACATGAAGCGCAACCCGCACCCGGACTTCAAGTCCGTCGAGGCCTCGCGCCCTGAATGGGACACCCAGGCGCAGTTCCACTACACCAAGACGGCGGATCCCGAGTGGAAGTATGGCTCTGGCGCAAACGGCCTCGACCCCGCGGCCGCGTCCAAGAAGCACGTCGCCATCGACCCCCACGAGGCCGGACGCATCCCTGGCTTCAACTACAAGCTGATGATCTCGTCCATCGTCCCGCGCCCCATTGCCTTTGTCAGCACGCGCGCCGCCGACGGCTCGTCGACCAACCTGGCGCCCTTCAGCTACTTCAACATGGTCAACCACGACCCGCCGCTGTTCGTCATTGGAATCGCCAGCGGGCTGGAGCGTGCCAAGGACACGCTGCGCAACATTGTCGACACGGACGAGTGCGTCATCAACATCATCTCCGAGCCCTTCCTTGAGGCCGCCAACTCCACGAGCGCCAACGCCCCGTACGGCGTGTCGGAGTGGGAAATCTCCGGCCTGACCCCCGTGGAGGACTGCGAGACGGTCAAGTGCGCGCGCGTTGGCGAGGCTATCATCAGCATCGAGGCCAAGCTGGACACCGTCAAGGAGTACGAGAGCCGCGCAAAGCCTGGCAACAAGTCCGGGACTGTCCTCATCCTCGAGGGCACTCGCTTCTGGGTGAGGGAAGACGCCGTCAACGAAGAAAAGAACCTCGTCGACCCAGAGGTGTTGCGGCCCATCAGCCGTCTGGGTGGCATCACCTACGCCAGAGTGACCGAGGGTATCGAGCTTCCGCGGATGGATTTCGAAAAAGACGTTGGTGGTATGGACGGTTTTGCAAAGATCAAGCAGCAGACTCAGAACGGAACGAACGGCGAGAAGAGCTCGTAAGAAAAAATGTCATTTCGCATCATAAACTCTAGTATAGAAATAGATATAGACAACTGGAACCGACCGCGGGTAAATACATGGGACACAATCAAATAGTCCAGTCGATCGATCATAAACGTGAATATCCAACCAATTCACTTCCCAATCATGGTTGAACAGCATCTCCAACGAAATATCGAGACCAAGGCTCGAATGACAATCCCCGCTAAAGATAGAGCCCATCCGCAATCCGGTACCAGAATCCGGATACCCATGCATTCAGCTCTATATCTGAGAACTCTCTTTCACAAGTGAGGATAATATCTTCCTGCACCCGAAGGTCTTCCTTGAGTGACTTCATCCGCATCGTGAAGGCAAATGCGCCCTTGAAGGCAACGAATAGAACCACCAGGAGAAAGAAACAACCTCCAATGTCCCAAAAAGAGTTTTTGGGGTCAAACAGTCTCCATCCGCTCAAGACTCCTCCAAGCCCGAGCAAGACCATGCCGTAAAACCCAAACAGGTAGAGCACATGTGTGAGGGTCCTGAGATTCATCCCTAAAAAGCGATCTGCGTCGAGCAGCTCATGAAATCTGAAAATTCCTGGCTTCATTCTACTGCTGGTTAGAATGGATGCCGGGACTGGAAAAGCAGGGCACGTACTCGGCCGTATGAACAATGTTTCCAGATGTAAATTTACCGTGTCTCTGAGAAATTTGGCGGTAAATTGTTCCAAGTGAGGACTTGCGGTCAACCTCGCCGTGCTTGAAGTTTGAACTGAATGACTAGAAGCGCTGGTTCTCTGTAGCAATCCAAGCTTGGCTGAAACGGTTGCCGATGGGCTTTTTTATGTCCCTTGGGGCCTTGATGGAACAAGTCGTCAAGGTTGGTAGGGTTTGTCGAGGTCAAAGCATGCCAGCTCTGTACTCATCCCAATCAAGCTCGATCTGGGTGAGTAAATCATAGGTAGAAACTCTGTCCCGGCTTGGAGACGATGAACTCACAGCCCAGCTGCGCATCCTTCTCGTGGTCTAGCAACTCTTGCAGGATCGTTTCTCCTACTGGAGGCCCGTCTGATAGTTTGTCCTTGACGTGGATAATGATTACCTTGAGGCCCTCCAACTGTCTCTGTGGCCCGATGGTGGGGCTGAAACGCTCGGCTTCTCTCAATGAGAGCTCGGCGGTTGGGGTCGATAGGTGTGGCGTGTCCGGTCCGACAATGAGCGCTCCTTCACCCAGCATGGAGGACTTGATAGTCTTTGGAGAGACGGGGTCCTCCGGGGCCAGGCTTGGATTGGAGGGAACCCGGCGAGGGGCCTCATCGGCAAGGCTGCCCATGCGCTTCCGTTTCTTCATGGCGCGCAGTTTGCGGGCACCCTCAACTTCGGAAGCTAAGGTCCGCAGCTCCTCAATGACAAAAACGGGCTTGAGGTGGCCAAAGAGTCGGTCGTTGCATTGAGAGTCATCGTAGCTGCACTCGATGAAAATGGCACGGAGGTTGCCGGCAGCAATCTTGGGGGCAGCTTCTTGCCAGATCTGCAGATTCCTGGGACTTAGAGAGACACTGTCTGGCTCAACGTCGCCAAATATTAGCACCTCGCGGTGATTGCCTTGCTCCTGGATGAAATATGCACTCGAGTCGTAGACACATATCTTTTCCTGCTCGGCCTGAGGAGACCCTGGGCCAAATGCAGCTTGACTAAGCAGACTTGACGTCCTTAGAGGTGGTTGCGTCGGGAAGTTGTATACATCGCGTCTTGGGGTTTGGCTGGATCCATCATGGCTGCCGAAGCGAGTTGATGCACTTGAAGCCGAGCCTCGATGGCTGTGCCTTTCAATGCAGTGTCCATGACTCACGCTCCAAACTTTGATGAGAAGGCCATCGCAGATTTCAGAGTATCCTCTTCCTTCACCTTCGCCCAGCGCAGGGCTTCCGCCTTCCACCAACCTCAGGTATGTCAGCAACCCGGCACCGTTGTTCTCGTCACTCAAATTTGGCCAGATGACGTTGTTGAAGATGTGTGTCTTGAGGGCCTGAATGGTACTAGGAAGGGCGGCGACCTTTTTGGGACGGGTTCCGGGGAGGCCAGCGGTGTTGACGACGAAACCGGAGATGTGATCGAGGTGAGGATGGGTGATGAGGTACGTATCCACGAGACTGCGGGTGATGTGGGCGGCGTTGGCCGAAGCGGTGGTAAAGGGGAGAGGGAGGCCGGCGAAGGGGCCTGTGGCGAGAGTGAATGGCGGTTCAGGGGTTTCTGATGGCATGGCGGCCTCGATGAGTCGAGTGATGGAGGAGAGGTGGACACCGGCATCGACAGCGATCACGGAGCCTCTGCGCCAATCCTGTTCAACGGAGCGAACGAGAAAGGCAGTGGTATTTGACTCTTGAGGTCCACCACCAGAGCCCTAAGTGATTTGTTAGTGAAATGTCTTAAAGTCATGATGATTGTTATGGTGGTTGAATTAAGGTGGGGGGAGCAGTGGTAGGGCGGTGGACGTCGGCGCATCATGATAACCATTACCAGATCCTCCTCGATCTGGCGCATGCGCTCAATGTATGATAGGGCTGTTTAGGGTTGTTCCAGTCGTTGAGTGATGTCATTCCCGACATTGCCTCCGATGCAATGTGTCATGCGCTTGTCATGCCTCAGACGCAGGCCAGCCACATATGTAATAGGTAATACAAGACATGCAATCCACGAGGCGCAGAAAATAAACCAAACATGGTGTGAGATGCGAAAAAGGAAACACTAGACTGACCAAGACAATAACCTGCAGCGCAGGCTTCATCTCATCGTAACACATGGGCGAAAGAAGTTGGTGGTTGTTGCGACACTGTGGACGGTGAGCTGGCGGTTTATCCTGGACGGTGGTTGGCTTTGGTCAACGAGGTGCCGAGGTGCAGATGGGCCGCAGCGGTGGCTTTGATGGTGCAGACGGTTCAGACGGCGTTGACGTCGTTGCCTCAAGGGCAATTCGTCCGGATGCGGAGCGAAAAAGGGAATCTCCAACGGCGACATGCAGGTACGGGATGTCGTTGGGCTCTCCACAAGCCGGATTGGGGAATTGACGTCGTGGGTGGTAGTGGTGTAGTGAGTGGTTGGCGGCGGCGATGGTAGTGGTGGTAGTGCGGTGCTGTAGTGCTGTAGTGCTTGTGCTGCTGTGGTGATCAGGTTACGGGCGAAATGCGTGTGTGCGGCGAACCCGATGCAAGGTGATGTGATGCGCTGTGATGCGCTGTGATGCGATGCGATGTGATGCGTTACGATACGGGGCGATACCCGACAGGCTGGACGGGATGACGGATGAGTGTATTCGACAGGAATGGTTCGAGGTTGGTTGCGGCACGTGATGGAGCGCGATACAGATTGACGGGATGACGGGATGAGGCGCGAACCACGAACAGGATCGAAATAAAAAATCCGAGGCAGGAAGTTTTGAAACCTTGAGGTCGAAGATTGCTGGATGTCGACTGTGGGCTATTGGCTTTTGTCGTTCTGGATGCAGTGCGTGCAGCGAATCCGGGGTGCGTGCCAAGCAACAAAGAAGAGCTGGACTGTGCTGCGGATGCACCCCCAACAATAAGCAGTGATCGCGGGGCTGGTCATGCGTGTTTGTGCGTGTGTGTGTGTGTGTGGGCAAGGGAGCCGGATTGAAACGAAACAAGTGGCGACGAGACGAGAATGAGTTGAGAGCTCGAGCCGTGTCCGTTTCGATATGGTCGGATCTTAGCAGCGATCGGTACGGAGCACGGGGGAGTTGGTGGTGGGTGTGGTGTGGATATACGCCCGGCCGGTGAAGCAACTGTATTGTACAGCCCCCCCCAGGCTAAACCAAGGGCAGGTACCGAGTGCGTACCGTACGTAGCAATAAGTAATAAAACGGCCGGGGACGGAGACGGGACGGGGAGCGAGGCTTCTCCGTTGACAGGCAAAGGGCGAGAAATTCCCCGAGATAAGCAGCAAGATGAAGATGGTCTTTGCTTCGGATCCTGGGTAAAAGGTAGGTAGGAGAGGAGGGAGGAGTGAAGATGAAGTTGAAGCTGGAGGTAAAGATGAAGCTGGAGGTAAAAGTGACAAGACAATAGCCCGGGATTCCCGCTTCTTTTTGTAACTCCCGTCGTCTTTTCTCGCGCAGTCTCGCGCAGCTTCGCACATGGCCGACGCAGTCCAGCAAAGCAAGCAAGCAGCTCGTCCGTCTTCCTCTTGCTTGTGCCCTCCCCTCTCTGCCTCCATCATCCCTACCTACCCCGTCCGTCCTGTCTCCTCTCTCCGCCCAAAGCAAAAGCCCGCGAGCCCCCAAAGAACCAAAAGCACCAAAAGCAACCCCGGTCTGTTCGGGGCTGGCCCGCCTTTGGACAGGCCTGAGCTCCCAGGCCGCAGAGCTGCCCTAGCGTAGCGCTCCTTCTGCCAGTTAGCGCCCCTGTTTGCGCCCCATTGCCATCGGCGTTGCCGTGAGCCAAGTGTGAGCCTGTGAGCTATAGTGGAGTGTTGAGCCATCCGGACTGCAGACCGGACTGCAGACCCTGGCCACTCAGCACGAGCTCCAGAAGCTTGACTTTCTGGTCTGCATCTGCGGCTGCATCTGCATCTGCATGGGTCGTTAGTTGTTGGTCGTGGCTCGTTCGCCGCGGCGGGAGAGCGTCCCTCCTAATCCACTAGAGTGAGTCCGTCTGTCAGTCTGTCTGTGTCTCTGTCAGCCCAGCATCCCTCTCTCTGAGCTAACGCCCTCTTCCCGCCAGCCCGCCGCCTGCCAGCCCTGCAGCCGTCCGTGGCTCGGCCAGCTTAGTCTTGAGTCTCTCGACATCGTAAGTGGGTTCTGCGTCTTGCTGCCTTCCTAGACGGTCCCGGGTGGATAACGGCTGGTTGCCTCGGCGCATGAAAACGGCCACGGCCACGGCTTCCCTCCGCCCTGAGTCTCATTCCTTTGTGGCGGTTCGTCCTGGCATGCGTTTGCTCCTGAGGCTGACATGCGGATATGCAGGGCTTGCGTGTGAGGTGAGGTGCATGTTGAGGGGCTGGCTGCTCCAAGACCCCGTCATACACGTCACCTTGTTGTTCCCGCCCACCCATAATCTGTCACTCTTCACGTTGCACCAAGAACACGCATGCATTGTTGATTTGGAATTTATTAGGAGTATTGCTATTCGCTCACAGGTACGAGCTCCTTCGCTAACTTTTCCTTCCCTAAAGCCCCAGCTTGACCAAGAATCCTACCACTGGCACCATCAAAGAGTATATCATCATTATCGTAAGATTGAGGGTGAAGTTGTGTGTGCGAATAGAAATATTCTTTATTATTTGCTGGTTGATGCCTGCATCTCTAAATAGCCCAGCCTTTGTTGTCCCATCTGGCCATCTGGTCATTGAGCCATTGATGCCAAGACAACTCTACACAAATCTAGATACCGTTCTAACAAAGAATGGACAACCGCTAGTGCTCGCTATGCCATGCTATAATTCGAAATGTGACGAAGGATGAAGCTAGAGGAGGCACAAAACCGACAAGAAAGACAAGAAAGACAAACGTATTTGCCAACTCAGTTCGTGGAGGGTGTCCAGGCCAGCTGAGCCAAGAGAGGGGGGGAAGCAAACCAAGATCTGCAACAACTCGCGGCACTTGCCCGGCAAAGACACTCGTCTTTTGGAACCGTTGACCTCTAGGCGAGGATTCCACGCTGGAGCCTCCTAGGGTCATCCCCGCTGCACCACGTCCGGCGGCGGCAGCCAAGTTCGCCCGCGCGTCTTTTCAGCATCTCGTTGAACTTTCGTAGGCCCGCATCTGCCTCATCCCCCTCGCTGATACGGACACGCTTGTGCGCTCGCTTGTATATTCGTGGGCCGGCGAACTCGTCGCTTGGATCGGGCAAACAGTCACAGTCAGAGTCAGAGTCAGAGTCGTCGTCCTCGCCGTCGTTTCGCGCCCGCTTCTTGCCGACAAGCTTCTTGCCTCTGACATCTGGGCCAGAGCTGCCTCTGCCGTCTGAGCTAGAGCTGACGTCTGAGCCCCGCGGAGGTGGTGGGGGCATCAACAGGCGGTCCTCTGGGTAGGTTGCTTGAGCTAGCAGCTGCATCGAGGGTGCTGGGATTGTCTCGTCGTTCGCCCCCTGGGCCATTCGTGCAGCAGTGTTGTTGCCAAAGAGGTTGGTGTTCGCATTCATCCCGTGTGCCATCATCATTTCCTTGGTTACTTGCTTTTCCAGCCGCTTTTGCTCCCTCTCCTTGTTGTTTTCAGCGACCCATAAGCCCAGGTTTCCTTTGTGACAGTCAGCCGTCTTTTTCACCTTTGTTTGCTTCTTGTTGAAGCGCTTGTCCCGGGTCATCTGACGAGTAACCGATTGAGCTGTTAGGTGATGATTGAAGAGCGCCTGCGAAAGCGACTCTTCCTCAGGACGAGGCATCATCTGTGGACCTATCTTCAACTGCCTTTTAATCCAAGGCATGAAGGTCTGCTCAACGATATGTTTGTCCGGGTGTCGGTTTAATGCCATAGGGTTCTTCTCCTCTTTCGGGAGGACTCGGACGTCTGGGCGGAGAGCACCTTTGTGGTAATATTGCGCAGGGTCGAAGCACCGCTCGAAGCACCAGAGATGCATTGCTCCAGCGATATGGAAGGGGTCTTTGTCGCCATTTTTGGTGAGCAAAGAGTATTCGTCGAAGACCACGCGATGCCAGCCCGGGCCGATATTCTTGCTTAGAACCGGACATCCACTATAACGACACGAATGATCTCGACCGATCATTCGTGAGTTGCACTGTGCCGGGTGATGCTGAACCCAGAGACGCAGTTGTCGAGGGCAATATTCGAAGTAATTGCGCAATTGGTCTGCATTGAACGTTAGGCCACTAGTCAAGTGACCATACGCGTCATAGGAGAAGGTAGTACCATCAATCTCCCACGGTTGGGGCATTTCCATAGGTTTTGTGTAGAACTTGGACGGGTCAGCGATTTTGAGTTTGTTTGCCTTGTCTCCGCGCGCATAGCTGATTTTGTCACCTGGGTTAATTTGATTGTTGTTGTTTTCATTACCAAGGGTCTCTGAGTCAGAATCATAATTAACACTGGAAACATAGTGGCCAGTAACTGGGGAATAGTTCCTGCTGGGTTGCTGCGCTCCGTAGAGCAGGTTTTGGGTATTGTCCGGGAATCGGTTCGGCTGAGGAACTTGGCCCATAGGGGTGTTCCATGTATTCTGGGTTTGAACATAGCCATTGGTATACCGGTTGTCGGGTAGCGGTGGTTGCCAACTCGGGAGATACATTTGATCACCATGAGCGCTAACGCTGGTAAAGCTCTGCTGTGGGGGGTAGGGATTTTGCGCCGTTGGGTAGAAGCTATTGGCCGCATAATTCATAGAGGGGGGCCCTAATAGGTTGTGCCCAGGGGGAGCAAGTCCAGGGTGTGTCTGAGTTGGAGGTGCTGGTGTTGGTGCTGGTGTTAGAGGATCAGACAGAAGAGGATCAGACAGAAGAGGATCGGACAGAAGAGGACCGGACAGAAAAGCATTGAGGTTCAAGGATCCGCCCGGCGAGACTGCCCTAGACTGTTCCTGCTCAGGCAACAGAAAACTACCCAGTTCTGGGAGCAGGGTGGTGCGATTGCCAGTAGGTACTCCGTCGAGATGGTCGGTAGGCGCTTCCTCGTAATAGTCGGTAGGCGCTTCCTCGTAATAGTCGGTAGGCGCTTCCTCGGTAGGCGCTCCGCCGTTATCGGGAGATAAATCCGAGGGGATACTGAAGTCGAAATCATTTCCCGACTTATCGTCGTGACTCAGCATCCCGGCGTTGGCCGCCGCAGCGCTACCCGGTAGGTACGGATTCGAGTCCATCTCGGGAACAGTCGTGGTGGGACCCAGAAGGTGACAGTTTGTTGTTCGGTTGTGGATGTGGATGGTGTTCAAATGGCTAGACAGTTTGCGCTTTCTTGTCCCAAACAAATGAAATCCGAACAGTCTAAGAGCAGCCCGGTAAGATTTATATTACTCTGCTGGACATGGATAGATCCAAGTCCACACTGCCGAGTTCACGGCTTTGTTCCTGGGACGCTTTGGATGCCGAACAAAGCGACATGTTAACACGAGTAACGACATGTTCATCATTTGGATAACTATGGAACACTAATTTGTTACAAAGAACATGAGACTGATTGGGCTTTGTTCAGGGAAATACTGAACAAGGAAAATATATTTGGACGACCTGAAACGTCAAATGGGCACATTGAACGAGCACTAAGAATCCCTGGTCGATTGTTAGTGACCGTTGCAGAAAGTAGGGAGATTCAACAAGAGATGAATGGTGGCGGGTTTGTATCAGGAAAAAAAACATTGTTTTCGACAGCAAGTGTTCAGAACAGGTCTGTGTTATGTGTCTCTCATCATGCAAACAGGTGGCTGAGGCTGGAGTTGGAAATAAACGACTTACCATTGTGATCCTGCGGACCAATGTTCGACCTGGACTTGTTAATTCTAGGTTAGAGACGTCGGGATAGCATCAGATCCCCATGGACACAAGCGTTGAGACCGATCCAATTGAACGAGAGCGTGAGCTCAGAGACAAAGCGTTGCCTCATCTGTGATTCGTAGAGTTGAGATCATTGTGATAGCAGTGATATACTGCCAGCGTAGAGGAGCTCGCACATTCTCCTCGTTGACATGTGTGGTCATGGTGAAGGGAGAATGAAAAATCTAGAGCATCGCAAAGTTGACCAGGAAGAAAAAGAGTGGGCACGGAGCTCGGGGCAACAGTCTCCGGGCTCAGTCTGGAGCCGCCAAATGCTGCCTTACGTAAGGACAACCGTTGTCTCTGTGGCACCCCTGTCAAATCCTGTCACACGTCTTCGAGAATACAGAATGTATCCAGCCTTGAATCTTGTCGCCGAGCATTCCTCTGGAGCCTCATAAACCGGTCTTGGAGACCAAATTAATTTGGAATACAGTAGCTGAGGCGTCGATCCGGCACGCCAACCCGTTTTAGCCTTGCTGATGCTCGGTGGCAAAGAGCTCGACATTGAATATTTCCCGAATAGGCCTGTGGCTGAGGAATGGTTGCACGTCCGGGGGTCGCCAACGCGGATTCAGGTGATAAACTTGGGACAAAAATATCCTGTTCATGCCCGGGGTTGCCAGTCTGGGAAGAGCGATCGTTGAGAGTGCAATCAAGCGATGGTCATGTGTATGGAGAGTTGAGGATAATTGACCTTCAATACCTTGGGTAAAGCGACCACGAGGCTTCATCTATACTTCAGGCAGCGCTCAGCGGCCCAGTCGCTTTGCAAGTGATGTTTATGCCCTGAAGAGGCCGAGAAAGGCGCTCATCAGGGAGCACCGATAGTGACTTTCAGGACCTCTCAGCCGTCCAACCAAAGCCACTGCAACACACCTAAGTGTCCCATAGACAAGTCACCCGGCCCAACCAACTGTACGTGACCTGGTACACCTGATCGCGCGAGCCTGACGAGGGCTGAATTTTGGAGCCAATAATGGCAATTAGAATTAAACTGCGGACATTATGATGGGTGTGACGTTTAGAGTGGTGCATACTAGTAGAGGCTGAAGGTGGTGAAAAGAGTCTCCGCCCATTGAAAGGTCGAAGTTAACTCATATATAATAAAGTTAATATAAGTACAGAAGAATATTACATGTCTTTCCGAGTTAACATAACATGGCCCCTGTTGACTTAATACACCGCTCTGCATCGTCCACCGCCAGAGCAGACAGGAGGATCCCGGCTGGGATACTTTGTCTCTCTAACTACAATTGTTCGTGTGCTGGTGACAACATCGCCACACACGGTCGTTGTGATGTTGTCAGTCTGAGTAGTATAGACAGTCTCAGTGGCGGGCGCGGGAGTCACATTGATGGTGACAGTAGCAGGAGTTGGCGCAATAGTGGTGGTGGTGTCCTCAAAGATTGTGCGTGTCGATGTAGCGGTGGTTGTTGATGTTGTAGTAGATCGATCAGCCGTGACCGTGATCGTCTCCGTAGTAGTCGGTGTAGTCGTGACCGTGGCTTCCACGTCGGAGCAGACCGTGGTAGTCAGGACATCGGGGAATTCAGTCGAGATGTCAGTGACCGTGCTGGTCTCGTATGCAGTTGAGACTGTTGTAACAGTGTCCGTAGGAGTAGCAGCAGTAACAACCTCGGTCTCGGTGTTTGTGATCGTCTCCGTCTCTGTGTCCGAGTCGTAGCTGCAAGTTGTAGTTGTTGCCGGGTCGGGGGTAATGGTGTCAACTTCAGTCGTGACAACTGTAGCTCCAAAGTTCTCGGTAGATGTGACAGTGGTCTGCATAGTGATGGTGCCACTGGCAATTGTTGTTGTCGCGGGTGCATCGCAGTTCAGCGTAGCACGCTTCTTGATCCCGCCTGATTGCTCACCCGGGACACAGAAGCGGGACACGGTCGAAGTGAAGACGACAGTCTCAGTGACAGTGCGAGGAGCGTCTGTTGTAGTGAAAATACTGGTAACAGTACCGGCTGGCAGAGTCTCGGTTGTGGTCGACCTGTCAGCGTAGACCGTGATCTCCTCCGGGTCTTCTCGAATAGTTTGAGTCAAGTACTCAGTCGTAGAGGTACACTCGCCGGCAGTCTCGATGTATGTTGACGGATCGGGAGTCGTTGTGCTTGTGACGGACTCGGTGCTCTCGGGAGCAGCCTCGGTCAAGGTTCCAGTGGTGCAGAGACTGGTCGATGTTTCTTGTGCAACGCTCGAAGTGGATGTCGTAGTTTCTGTACTAGTTTCCGTGACGCTGTCGGTTTGAGTAGTAATTTCGGCGTCTGGCGTAGTCGTGGTAGTTGACGTCTCAGTATCAGTCTGGGTCTCGGTCACAGTCCCGTCGACACAGCGGCTGCTCGTTGTTACGAGGGCCAGTGTTGAGGACGTTGTGATAGTGTTGGTTATGTCGCTCGAGATACTCAACGTATCAGTGGCAGTTTGTGTGGCAGTTGCTAGTGAGTACACAGTGCTCTGAGTATTAACTGCAAACGTGATTCTTTGAGTCGTTGTTGTTGACAGGGCAGCTCGATATCCTAAATGGGTAACGGTCACTGAAGAGCCAGGCTTAAAACTTTTGGTAAGAACCAAGAACGTGAGTGAGACGGTTTGAAGCGAGTTCGGGACTACAGTCGATCCCTGATTTGGAAGTTGGCCTGTGGTGGTCGAAACAACACCATTGGCCATGGTGAACGCAACATTTGCTCTCTCAACCTCTTGATAGCAAGGACTAAATACCCCCCGTTAGTCTGTACCTCTGCCGACCAGAAGGTAAAGGACTCACCAAACAACAAATGCGATGGAAAAAAGGTCTGAACCAAGGGGACTGAACACACAAGCTCCATCCTGACTTTGGGCGTATGATGGAATCAAGGTGTCACATGCGTATTGGCCACAGTCAGCGGCTGCAAGACCCAAAAGACATGCCCAAAGGGCGAAAAGGTATGAAGCAATCATGGCTTCTGGTTTAAACGAGTGTATGTAATGAACGACGGTCGGGGTTGAAAGAAGGACAGAACCCCGTAAAGCTGTGGTTGATCATAGATATATGACTCTCTGGTCGGCAAACCGTCGCGTGGGTCCGCTGCCAAACGTCGGAGCACATGTCCTGGTTGACTCTAGTCAGGGATTTCGAGGCTATTGAATATAGCTTCCAGCCACGTTCGATAGTTTATCCAAATGCATCACGTATCTGGACCCATTTAGCGCCCATAAACGTGGATAGCCGCTAATCTGGTGGAGGCCACGCGTTGTGTTTTTCTCAACTTTCAATGCTTCCGTTGGTATGTTCTATATTCTTGGCCAAAAAGGGAGCCCTCCATATGCAATTGCTTCTTGCAATGTGACGATAGAAGTGAGGCAATCATGAGATTGGAAGCAATATGCTTGTTCATCACCTCCTTGTCTACAAATGAGTAGAGCATGATCCTGTGGAGAACTATTACCTGGAAGCTAAGCAAAAGGTGTGGAGAACGAATTCCTGCATCAGTCACGTTATTTCCTGTGCAGGTCCAAGGAGTTGTTTTGTTTTGTACTGTGGACATGCTCATCAGGACGGAGACATCGGATCCCATCATCCCCATTTTCGGGTCACTCAGCTGCTCCAGCGACAGCCACCAACTCGATAAACCCTTGCACCTTGCACCTTGCTCCATCTCGGTCAGGAATCCCCTGAACCCCGGGCGTGTGGAAGATGCTTGTTTGGGGAGTCAATACCCACCCAGATCCGCCGAAGCTGAGCGTTTACCTGATTAAGTACTGAGGGTCCCACTGCTCCACTAACAGGCATACGAAGACCAACCTCGCTCCCCCTGTCGCTATCCGTAAAGAAGCAGGAGTAAAATGACAGGAGCATTTTTCTAGCCGATCATGAGATGAGTGCCTAACGCTTGTATTCATCGGGCTTGGTACCACTGCTGAGGCTATCACTGGCTCGTTCCATTTGGAAGCGAGGCCGTGAAATCCCCATTTGATTCTGGGTCGATTGCCAAGAGCAATAGAATCCCCGCTGTGGGTTGCTCATCCTCCTCCGCACTCCTTTCTGAAATGTCTGTTCAGCCGCACAACCACAATGATGATCGACTTCGCTGGTTTTGGACGTCTTTATGTGACTGGAATTTTTGACTCAGACTCTCCAATGAGTATTTACATGTGCTGACGTATGCCGCGCTAACAATCGGAAGTGGCTTTCTTCCCGCATTCTTCAGCCGTTCCGGAAAAAAAGTAAGTTAGGGTGGCGTCGCTGGTGAAAATTCAATCTCTACACTAATTTTAGCCTGCCACATTGGACAACCAGAGGCACGCCTAAACTTCGAAATAATGTTCCACACGACATCAGACGTCAAATGGCCTCGCATCTGCTCATATGCGGTCCTGAACTCTGATTTTACTGAGTATCCATCGACCGTTGCGAAATGGGATTCTTATTTTATGGACACCGGTCACTTGACATTTTGATTTGACCGCGGCCTCGTCAACCAGCCCACGCCCTCATGGCTACATGACCTGAATACAATTATTCTAATGATAGATTTTAGTTGCCTAGGTAATGGGGAGAATTAATTGGCAAATTTTGCTAGTGGTAAGTATTGCAGATTTAACTGGGAGACGGTGACATTTGCAATTTGTCCTCCCTTTCCTGGATTGCGAGAGTATCGGGGGGGGACTAATGGACAATGATAAGCTTTAGTTGTGCTCCTTTAGCAATTGCAAGAGCAGAATTGTACATCTCGAGATTGATTTCTCCCTTCCGCATAGTAAGTTAACTCGTCTATACCCCGGTAATACTGGAAGACTTGCCCTTGGTGTCGATTTCACTGAGTTAGATGCACAAATAGATCGGCATCGAGGGAGCTAGGAGACACAAGCCATTAGGTCATTAGCCGCATTAAAAAAGTCAACGACTTTTCAAGTGCCTCGGTTGTACTCCGTAAATGTAGCCTCATCATGTCGAGCTGAGCGGATAGTTTCGTTAACTCCGTCCTCACTGAACATAAGGCAACCGCCCACAGTTATGGTAGGATCCAACGGATCAAAGACCGAAGGCGTACCATCAGCAAGAATATGTTGGAGCCTTTTGCTGTCTCCGAGGTGAATATTGTCAGGAGTTGAAGACGTTGGCCAAGCTGGCAGGTTGTGCCGCTTCTAGACGGAACCCGTAATCAAGACTCTCACCACGCTCTCTCTTCAACATGATCATACTTCGCGGGATATTTGCCTAAAAATTAAAGCGCTTGTATTGTCTCACCATTCTGAGCCTGCAGATGGGTCCAAGGGCAACGGTGAGCGCCATGTCCATTTCGTTCTCATAAGTTCTGGTACTCCCCATTGTTTGCTTCAAGATAATGCCATACCACCTCGTAGTCAAAAGTTTCGTACATGCGTCATTCTGCCGCAGCGTACCAACATGAATTACCCAAGTCAGGATGGCTGATATCGTGCGTGAGTTAAGGAGCCCGGGCATGGAAATGGCTCTGCAAGCGAGGTGGAGTTCATAACTGAAGTAACGCGCTTAAAAGGTTCGGCCCATCGAATATTTTCTGGAGACTCCAGCCTTCTTGAAATGCGGCAGTGTCGCCCCAGGAGAGATGCGCATATTGAAAGGGCCATTTCCCCATGCATGTTTGGCATCATCGTGGGGAGCGATAAAGATAATGGAAGGAGCCAGTATATCAAAGCTGCTCTCTCATCCCGTGTATTGCCGTGCGTCTATCCGCGTATTCACTGCGGCTAGCGTCGAATTGTCTAGAAGGGCCGGAGTGTTCTGCTAACTTACTAAAGGATCTGGCATTTCCTCGAAGCAAACCCTCTTGCCCTTAATATTGACAGGAAGATGTTATGGCCATAAGGATATCGGACAAGAAAGATTCCTCGAGGATGGTATTCAACAGGGCGACGTAGGCCAGCAGCAAGAACGATGCCATTTTTGACCGGGATCTTGATGGTTTAACTTAAATGGTGTAGCAACAAGACTCGGAAGGCAGTCTTAGAAACCGTCCAACTGTGCAGGTCCGAGGACGAATTCCTTCTCCGTCGGGGCCAACAAGAAGCGAGTGACCACAAAACTTATCGTCAAGATTTAAGAGCATCAATGCTTTTATCTCGAGAGACTATCGAGGCTATTGTCAGAACAGACCTCCTCCTCAGTGGTGGTTCATGTGGCTAAGGCTGTTGGTGTGGCTAGTGGGTGTGGCTGCTCACCCACCTACCAACGGCCCTAGCTGCGTGTTGACTTAGACAACGTGAGGCGAAAAGAATCTTCGGTATCGCGGTCCCGCCGCAACGTGACGCAGCTCGCCAAAGGGAAATAGCAACATCAGTGAGCAACATCAGTTACCATGCGGAACAACGTCAGAGGCCCCCATCAGAGCCTGTAACTAATGGTTGCTTGGCTCACCCAGCAGGGGGCTGGCCAAGCTTACCCCGGTTTTGCTGCGTCCCACGATTGGCTGGAGTGCCAGAGTGCTAAATACATCCTCAGCCTAATCCCTTTAGGTGCTGTGCCGCTGTACGTGCGCCGTTGTGCCCTGAAAACCTGAGCCTAAGACGGTGTTGCCCAAAAGGTACAGAGGCTCGACCTACGTCACGAGACTCCGACGTCGTGGCCGCGCAGTGGCTGCATCTCCAATTCAACTCCCGCCGCCAATCCTCACCCGCTCCTCAACGGCCGCATCTCCGGATCCTCAGATCTCAGATCCCCCACCATGGCGGCCGAACTCAGTCCCGAGCTCCAGGACAGGCTCGAAGAGCTTGATCGCGAGCTTGAGGTATGTCCTGTCCCATCTGCCGGCCTTGTTACCCCACGCCACAATCCCTCGCGTCTCACCCCATCAAACCAAGCGTTTGACGGGAGCCGGCTCGATTCGCTTGATAGGACTGGATGTGACTGACGCGGATATACTATAGGAGGGAGATATTACACAGAAAGGGTGAGCGCTTGCCCGCGACGCCGTCCAGGCCATCTGCGCCGTACCCGCCGGCATTGACTAACGCCTTCACAGCTACCAGAAGCGACGAACACAGCTCTTCTCCCAATTCTACGGCGCCCCTTCGCCCCAGACCGCGGCTCCGGTCTCTCCCCAGGCGGCGGAACCACAGTCTGGCCTGCGCATACACTCCCCCGACGATTCAGCGCATCCTTCGAGCGATGGCCACCGCGTCGCTGCCTTTGCCTCCCTGGGCGCTGCCGCTGGCCCTGTCCCCGACAGCCCCGACTCACCCGTCTACCGACCAGTCTCGGCATATTCAGGAGCTTCGGCACCGGCGCCTCCGGCCACGCATCCCGCTCATCTCTTGATGCCCGGGGTTCCGATCACAGAGCGGCCGGCTGCTCCCCCCGCAAGAGACTCCCTCTTCCTCTCCCTCGCTCCGGGCGACAGCGAATCCGCTCAGGACCGAAGCGCCACGATGAGGTCGGGCGACTACGCCTTCAAGCCCGAGCAGCAGGGCGCGTACGTTGGCCCCCAGCAGCAGCAGCAGCAGCAGCCCTACGACGGTAGGACGACAACACTCCTCGACAACCAGGCTTACTTCTCCGACTTTGCGGGGCAGCAGCACTATGATCAACCCCAAACAATTGAGTACGGCGCTCCCCAACAGCGATATTCTTCGAGCGACGCATTCTCCCCCACCGCCGCCATGGCACCGCCCATGTTGACGGCTAGTGATCTTCCACCCCCCGAGGTCCTCGAGTACCAGCCGCCGCTCGAACCCCGTGAAGTGCCATTTGCCATTCAAGACCCTCATGACGACTCCACACCAATGTCCAAGTTTGACAATATTGCCGCCGTCCTTAGGCACAGGGGCCGGACGACACCCAAGAGGCCAGCATACTGGGTGCTTGACAGCAAAGGCAAAGAGATTGCCTCGATCACTTGGGAAAAGCTGGCCTCAAGAGCTGAAAAGGTTGCTCAGGTTATTAGGGACAAGAGCTCTCTTTACAGAGGTGATAGGGTGGCTTTGGTTTACCGCGACTCGGAAGTCATTGATTTTGCTATTGCCATGATGGGATGCTTTATCGCCGGTGTCGTGGCCGTGCCCATTAATGACCTACAAGACTATCAGCGCCTCAACCAAGTCTTGACTTCGACCCAAGCTCACCTTGCTTTAACGACCGATAACAACCTCAAAGCCTTCCAAAGAGACATCACTACCCAAAAGCTAACATGGCCCAAGGGTGTCGAGTGGTGGAAGACGAATGAGTTTGGCGGTTACCATCCCAAGAAGAAGGACGATGTTCCTGCCTTGTCCGTTCCCGACCTGGCATACATCGAGTTCTCCAGAGCACCTACTGGAGACTTGAGGGGTGTCGTGCTTAGCCACCGGACGATCATGCATCAAATGGCTTGCATGAGCGCCGTCATCTCCACCATCCCTAGCAACGGACCTGGGGACACTTTTAACCCGTCCCTTCGAGACAAGAATGGTCGGTTGATTGGGGGCGGTGCCAGCAGTGAAATTTTGCTCTCATACCTTGACCCGCGCCAAGGCATCGGCATGATCCTCAGCGTCTTGATGACTGTCTATGGCGGTCACACGACTGTCTGGTTCGACAACAAGGCTGTTGATGTTCCTGGCCTGTACGCGCACCTCATCACCAAGTACAAGGCCACCGTCATGATTGCAGACTACCCAGGCCTCAAGCGAGCGGCTTATAACTACCAGTCAGATCCAATGACGACTCGAAATTACAAGAAGGGAATAGAGCCAAACTTCCAGATGGTCAAGCTCTGCTTGATTGATACCCTAACTGTGGATAGCGGATTCCACGAGGTGCTGGCAGACCGATGGCTTCGGCCACTCAGAAACCCACGGGCGCGCGAAGTGGTGGCCCCCATGCTCTGCCTACCCGAGCATGGTGGCATGGTCATTAGTGTTCGAGACTGGCTGGGAGGAGAAGAGCGCATGGGCGTCCCTTTGAAAATAGACCTTGAAGAAGACAGCGAATTAGAGGGAGACGAGAAGGAAGAAGAAAAGGCGGCACCTTCCAACGGATTCGGCAGTTTGCTGGGTGGAGGCGGAACGACAACGACCGAAGAGCGAGCAAAGAACGAGCTCGGCGAGGTTCTCCTAGACCGTGAAGCTCTCAAAACCAACGAAGTCATTGTGGTTGCCATTGGCGACGAGGTACGGAAGAGGGGCTCGGACGAGCCTGGATTGGTGCGAGTGGGTGCTTTTGGATATCCCATTCCAGACGCTACTCTCGCCGTTGTTGATCCGGAGACGGGTCTTCTTGCATCCTCCCATTCGGTGGGAGAAATTTGGGTCGACTCGCCTTCGCTGTCGGGTGGATTCTGGGCTCAGCCTAAGAACACTGAGCTCATATTCCACGCGCGGCCATACAAGTTTGACCCTGGCGATCCTACGCCCAACCCAGTTGAGCCCGAATTTCTGCGAACCGGTTTGTTGGGAACCGTCATTGAGGGCAAGATCTTTGTTCTTGGACTCTACGAGGACCGCATCCGTCAAAGGGTCGAATGGGTTGAGCATGGCCACGAGATTGCAGAGTACCGGTACTTCTTTGTCCAGCACATCGTTGTCAGCATTGTCAAGAATGTGCCAAAGATCTACGATTGCTCAGCTTTCGATGTCTTTGTCAATGACGAGCATCTCCCCGTTGTCGTCCTAGAATCGGCGGCAGCGTCAACGGCGCCACTCACCAATGGAGGGCCGCCTCGACAGCCGGACACGGCCCTTCTCGAATCGCTAGCTGAGCGATGCATGGAGGTTCTCATGACAGAGCATCATATGCGCCTGTACTGCGTGATGATCACAGCGCCCAACTCCTTACCACGAGTCGTCAAGAACGGCAGACGTGAGATTGGAAACATGCTCTGCCGCCGAGAGTTCGATCTCGGCAACCTCCCATGTGTTCATGTCAAGTTTGGCGTGGAGCACGCGGTGCTGAACCTCCCCATAGGAGTTGACCCTATGGGAGGCATCTGGTCACCGCTTGCATCAGACTCGCGTGCCGAGTTCCTTCTTCCCGCTGACAAGCAGTACTCTGGTGTCGATAGACGAGAAGTTGTCATGGATGACAGAACATCAACTCCTTTGAACAACTTCTCATGCATCTCCGATCTCATCCAATGGCGTGTGGCTCGCCAACCGGAAGAATTGGCTTATTGCACAATCGATGGCCGAGGCAGAGAAGGAAAGGGCATTACTTGGAAGAAGTTTGACACCAAGGTGGCTGCAGTCGCCATGTACCTGAAGAACAAGGTCAAGGTCAAGCCTGGGGACCACATGATTCTCATGTACACCCATTCTGAGGAGTTCGTCTTTGCCGTCCATGCCTGTATCAGCCTCGGCGCCATCGTGATCCCACTGGCCCCTCTCGACCAGAACCGACTCAACGAGGATGTCCCTGCGTTCTTGCACATCGTTGCGGACTACCGCGTCAAGGCCGTGTTGGTAAACCAAGAAGTGGACCACTTGATCAAACTCAAGGTGGTGGGAAGCCACATTAAGCAATCTGCTCAGATTCTCAAAATCTCCAGCCCTACTGTCTACAACACAACTAAACCTCCTAAACAGAACAGTGGATTGAGGGATCTGAGGCTCACAATCGACCCCGCCTGGATCCGACCTGGATATCCCGTCATTGTTTGGACGTATTGGACCCCAGATCAGCGAAGAATTGCCGTACAGCTTGGTCACGACACCATTCTGGGCATGTGCAAAGTCCAGAAGGAGACGTGCCAGATGACCAGCACGCGGCCGGTACTTGGTTGCGTGCGAAGCACCACCGGCTTGGGCTTCATCCATACCTGTCTGATGGGCATCTACGTTGGCACACCGACGTACCTGCTGTCACCTGTCGAGTTCGCCGCCAACCCAATGTCACTATTCGTCACATTGTCAAGATACAAGATCAAGGATACGTATGCAACTTCACAGATGCTTGACCACGCCATGGCTTCGATGCAAGCCAAGGGTTTCACGCTGCATGAAATGAAGAACATGATGATCACCGCCGAGGGCCGGCCAAGAGTTGATGTGTTCCAGAAGGTACGGCTTCACTTCGCTGCAGCTGGTCTGGACATGACGGCCATCAACACAGTCTACTCCCATGTCCTCAACCCAATGGTTGCCTCAAGATCTTACATGTGTGTTGAACCCATTGAACTCTGGCTGGATACCCAGGCCCTTCGTCGTGGTCTGGTCATCCCCGTCGATCAGGATGTACCCGGTGCTTTGCTGGTCCAAGACTCGGGAATGGTTCCCGTTTCAACCCAAATCGCTATTGTCAACCCAGAGAGCAGAATACACTGCCTCGATGGAGAATATGGAGAGATCTGGGTGGACTCAGAAGCCTGCGTCAAATCATTCTACGGATCGAAGGATGCATTCGATGCTGAGCGCTTCGATGGCCGAGCTGTAGATGGAGACCCGAGTGTCCAGTACATCCGAACTGGTGATCTCGGATTCTTGCACAACGTTAGCCGACCCATCGGTCCCAATGGCGCTCAAGTTGACATGCAAGTGCTGTTTGTCCTGGGCAGCATCGGCGAGACGTTTGAGATTAATGGTCTCAGCCACTTCCCGATGGATATCGAGAACTCCGTCGAACGATGCCATCGGCACATTGTCCTCAATGGCTGGTAAGTGAAGCACTCCTGAATATTTGAACCTGACTAACAAGTTTGCAGCGCCGTCTTCCAAGCTGGTGGCCTGGTTGTCGTCCTGGTCGAGGTTAGCCGCAAACCCTACCTCGCATCGATTGTGCCCGTGATTGTCAATGCAATCCTGAACGAGCACCAGATCATTGTTGATATTGTCGCATTTGTCAACAAGGGAGACTTCCCGCGGTCGCGTCTCGGAGAGAAGCAACGCGGTAAGATCCTCGCCGGCTGGGTCACTCGCAAGATGCGCACCCTGGCTCAGTTTGCTATTCGCGATGTCGATGCGGTTGCATTGATGAATGAGATGAATGGCCCAGGCGGAGAGGCTATGGACACGAGAGCCTCCATGGTTAGTGTACGAAGTGGAGGCCCTGCAGGCTCCAGCTTGAGGAATGCCGAGCATGCGTCGCGAATCCCCGAGCAAGAGGAGCATGAGCAGCCGATGGATCGCCGCCTCTCGTTTGTTCCTCAACCCAGAGCCAACACAATGGAGCTTCCGGATCAGCAAATACCGGTGGCCCAATATGCGCACGACCTCCCACCTGAGGCCGTCCACCATCCTACGCCGTCTGCGCCTCCAGAGCAGTTGAGTCTCGCTCTCCAGACCGGGCAAGGCTTCGAGATGCCCGACTTTGCGCGTTTCGGGGCCCCATCGGAGCACGAGCATGGCCATCCGGGGACAGGATTTGTAGCCGAACTACCTAGCCAGGAGCCTCCCCAGATTCGATTACCTAGCGTGGATGGGCATGAGGATCTCAGCATTTGGAAGGGTAAAAAGGAGGCGGGCAATGACGAGGAGGAATGGACAACGGACGCCATCATGCACATGAACCTGGCGGGCAACACGAACCCTCGATGATCATAACGGTCTCAAGGAACGTGGTGTCTAGCTGGGACGAATGAGGGGGAGATATGGAGTTTGGGTACTAAGAGCGCGAGACTTGGAATCTTCTGGCTTCAAGCAATTCCAGCATTGTTTTTCAATAGCATGGATAATTGGAGCAATTTTATGATGGTTCAGTGCACAATTGAATTGCCAAGACGTAGCAAAATGTCTTTATACATTATAAATGCCCCATGTATTTTACCCCAAGAACTCCCGGGCTGCCTACGCCAAACATTGCAACCAATGTGTATTCCTGGCTGAAGTAGAAGAAGAAGAAAAGATGCGCTTGTGGTATAAGAAAGGTTCCAGGCCAGTTCCCCATTGCAACGGTGCGTTAGTGTGCTCCATGAGTATAGCCCGTGTTGTTATTCATGCCCCCTTCGACATCGTTTTATAGCGGCGTCCTTGATCCTGGTACCGGTGAAGTCTTGTATGTCTCGGGCGACCCGGAGCCAACAGTGCTCGCCCACATGGGCGTGGAGTCGAGCTCAGACCGCACTTCGCGGTCAGTGGACATCTCCTGCGGCGGAGGAACAGACTGGTGCCACTCGTTGTAGGATGCCGGAGGTGGTGACTTGGTGTCGTTGCTGGAGGGCATTTCGGCGGCAGCGCGGTTTTGACGGCTTTGACGGCGACGCCACCAGAGGAAGAAGAGGCCAATGCCCATGCCGAGGACGGCGATGCCCACGCCGACTCCGATACCTGCGGCGGCGCCAGTGGAGATGCCGCCGGAAGATGATGACGATCCGGACGATGTCGTGGATTCAGACGAAGCGGTGGATTGAGAGGCGGCATCGGTGGTTTCTGAGGAAGAGGATGTTTCGGTAGTGATGGTTTCTGATCTGGTGGCGGATGGGACCTAAGGAGGCATTCATGTGAGTAGAAGTGAGATGAAGACGTTGTCATTATGTCTTACCTTAGTAAAGACGGTCGAGAATGCGCCATCGTCAACGTCGCTTACACTTGTCATGAGCCAGTGGCGTCCCGGCTGGGGAATATTGGTCCTCAGGTCAGAGGCCATGAAGGGCGGATTCCCCGGGTGAACGTCCATGACATAGTCGGAGCCATTCTTGACGTTGAGGAAGCGGTACGTCTGGTTCCCCCAGTCGGTAATGTCCCACATCTGGGCCTTGGTGCCGTCCGACGCCCTCATGCACGGCTGCGTCTTGGAGTCGTCGATCTCGTCGGCGACGTAGCACGCGCTCAGCTGCTTGAAGACGCCCGTCCTGCTGCAGCGCAGCGCGTACCGGCCGGCGGGCCCATTCTTGACGGGCTGGAACTGCCAGTAGTGGTCGACGGCGCCCCAGACGGCGACGCCGTCGTCGTCCTCGACCTGGAGCGCGCTGGTGAAGTTGGCCTTGTCGTAGTCGTCGACGCGGGCCTCGGTGACGTGGTACCAGACGTTGGAGTCGAGCGTCACGGTGTCGTACTTGGCCATGGCGAGAGAGTGGAAGGGGGACCGTGGTGAGGGATTCGAGGATGAGACGATGACGGATTAGAACATTGGGGACCGCCGTCAGAGAGAAAGATGGGGACGGAACAAGAGAGTCAGAGACTGAAAAGGAAGAGGATCCTGGGGAGATCAGCAAGGCAGACAGGGCCACTCAGTTAGGTAGTGACTTGACGCTGGGCTGGCAAAAGCTTGGTAGCATCCCCGTCGAAGGATCCGCGACACTATGCCCCCAGTAGTATACATGACTGGCTGGACGACCAGTAGTGTTGCAATTGCCAGGGTGGCTCTGCTCTCACCTCGCAGTGGAGCCCCCTTGGATGGGGAAGGGATCCTCCTTCTGGGGCCGTTGGGTGGCGATGGAGTTGACGGGCTCGGGCAGTGCGCCGTTCTCTTTGACTATTGTCTCATGTGAGAGGTTAGTTTGTGGACTAAGGAAGCACATGGCTGGGGCGGGTTGGATGTATCTCATGAACCAACATGATCACCAAGATTGACAGAGGGACTCACAGACAGACTCACAGACAGACTCACAGACAGACTCACAGACAGACCCACAGACAGTCTCACAGATAGACACCCTAAAACCTCACTCCATCCCTGTCGTCACAACACCGCCTTCCAGGGCTGAAACGTCGTAGTCTATCGGTGATATCACCATGTAATACAGCCCCTTGCGGGCCCCACCCAATCCCGACGGACCAGAACCGGCTCCGGGGCTCCATGTCCGGGCATTGCCAAATCAGGACTCCGCCACAACTCCGCCCGGCCACGCTCCGAACACTCCAACTGCGAGGCCACGGGGTTGCAAAGTCGCCTTTGGCGCCGCGGGGGAATGATTGCGCCCGCTGTTTTTTTTCCTCGGCGCGTGTAAGAAGCCCGTTGGCAGCGTGGGATGGTGTGAGACGGCATCCGGTGAGTCGCTGCGTACGCGCTTGGGCGGGTTCGGCGTGCATATCTCATCTCAACTAACCAGCTAGCGATGCAACTCTTGGGGGCCGCATCGATGCCGCAGTCGTGAGTTTGGGGGCCAATCCAGGGGCCTAGCAGAAGGTCTGTGAGAGACTAAGGAAGAATGGTCCGGTCTGTAACGGGGGCTCGGTCTCTGATGATGCTCGAATGCGACCTAGCAAATCAACCGTCGGATCTCGTCAACGTCCGGCTCTCGTCTCCAATCAAGTTGTCCATATTCCCGCCCACGACCCTGGTCCAAGATAGACCCATGCACTCACTAGCTTTAGCTTCCATGTCATCCGCGTACAGGAATCCCAAGTGTACGAGTAACATTACTCCATGTAAATGCATTGTGCCTGGTTGTTACAGGCTTGAGAATTCCGTCTTCTGATTCCGTCTCTTCAATTCCCCTTGTCGTCTATACCCTATCCAACCCTGTAGTGTTACATCACCCATCCTCCTCTACATCCTAGAGAACCGGGCGGCCACAGCTCTAGTCCATCATATGTATACCGGGACTTCACCTACAATCGATCATCAATCATCCCCCAGTCTGTAACCATCTACCGAGCCCTGCGTGCCCTGTTCATGTCTGCAAGGGCACGCTTCACGATGCCCTCCGCTTCCGAAACAACATCGCTGCCTCTCCGCCAGGTGTACAAAGACACGTTTAGTCCGTCGAGCTGCTCCTGAGCCCTTGCAAGTCGCCGCCTCCACAATTCCAGCTTCTTGTTCACTGCCTGCGGGCCAAAGTTCGGAGACCCCGCAGGTGTGTTGCCGTCAGATCGACTTCCCGATCGAGTCGCCGCAAATGGAGGTGGTGGCGATGTAGGCGGAGGGAGAGGTTCATAGTCAACATCCAAGTTTGACGTCTGCGACCGTCGTGGGGGTAGCGGTGGCTTCGGGCTTTCAACATGAGTTGGGGTACCTCGTCGCCGAGGCGGAGGAGGCGGCGGGCGATCCCCTGCAGTGTTGCTATCCCCAGGTGCAGTCCTATCCCACATCTGTGCTGCAGCAGCACTCCTGGGGATTTTCACGTTGTTCCCCAGTGACCGTTGGGAAGAGTTCTGGATTTGTGACAAAGGATGCGGGGGAGGTTCCTTGATCTGAGGAACAGGTTTCCTCGGCGGAGGAGGCGGCGGCTCATCGCTCGTAAAGGAGCCCTCCCGCGATAGTCCGATTCTGGTCACCCCCTTGTTGAGCTCTGTGATGGACTTTGCGCTCCTCAACGCCGCCGGCTTTGCGGGTCGAGGTGGCGCCGGCTTCCGCACAGTAATGTCAGGCGTGCTCGTACTTCTATTTGCATTCGAGTTGCGAATCTGGGCAAGGGCCGCGGATCTATCCACCTTTGTCTCCTCGGGTTCGCCAGAGAAGTCAATCAATGTTCCCATGCTGGGCCCAGCCGAGAGCTTTCTCTCGCGGGATCCGCTAGGTATCAGACTAGACTGGCTGGCATTGTTGCTGACACTTTGATCAAATGTCCTACTCTTTTTTCGGGAGAGATTGAAGCCAGGGTCGAAGTAGCCCGTTTCCTCTGGTGTCGTCACGTCTCGGATGAAGACTGCCAGGATCCGACCCGGGTTCGCCATTGCCAACTCGGTATACACTTCCAAGTCGGCCTCGCCACTGTCGCCCACAAGCAGAAACTTTCGCTCAGGGAAATCTCTCAGCAGCCGGTTCAATGTCGACTTCTTCCTTTCTGCGACCGGCTCAAAAATCCCTTGAAGCATTCCACTATATTGTTTCAAGTGGAGTGACCCGGGGGGGAGACCAGTGAGCTTGAAGAAGCTCGCCAGAACAGGGAAAAGCTGCCAGGGGCTGTTCGAGCAGTAATGCATGCTAACGCCGAGGTCATGCATTCTATTGAACCATTCTTTGACTCCGTCAATCTTGAGTTCAGACAGGTCTCGGATAAAAGTGTTGCGGAAGATTTCTTTCGCACCGCCGAGAATGTTGGACCTCTTGACCGTGTCGTCTATGTCGCTGATGAGACTGACTCCGTTAGGCTCGGTGATCTTAATCTCCTGGGTCGCGGACAGGTCCTCGTTGGCCAAGACCCTAACGTGAGTTGGGATGAATTCGAGTGCCGCCCGAACCACAAAATGACCGGCATCGTTAGTCATGACCGTCTTTGACTGTGATTTGGTGTCGTTGTAGAAGAAGAGAGTAATCGGGAGAGCAACCGAGGGGTTCGTCATGAATGGTGCTATCCGAGCCATGAGATTCGCGTTGGCGACCGACAGCTCAGCTTCACTGAGCTCGTTGGTGCTCGATGAAAATGTCCTGGCTGGCATGGTCGGGCTGGTCGGTGCTGAGTCTGGAGACTGCTGTCCGCTGCGAGATCTCGTAGGATAAATGCTCTGCACCTCATCGCCAGCTTCCTGTGGTCTCTCGCTGTATCCTCCTCGGTTGGCGACCCGTTTCTCCGCCTGGCCTATACGTTCGATCCGCGCCGCCTCATGGGCAATCTTCTCTTGTTCACGTAGGTCATCCGTCTGGTTATTTGGTTGAGGCGCCCCAATATTGGAGTTGTAACCTTGGTCGGCTCTTGGGGCCGGTATCCCACTTAGTTGCCGAGCGAGGCCGATCAGCATTCGGTTCCGTCTCGTCATCGGTCCCATTTGAGGAGAGTATACCCAGCCTCGGACATCGACATCGACGATTGCCCTCTCGTCTTCGTTTCTCTCCCATTCCTGGCGCCAGTAGTCCTCGTCTCGGATGCTTCCAGAGCCAGCTTGTGACTGGGGCATTCCTCCCTGGTCCCAATCTTGCTTGCTGTGTCGTTTCGCGTACGAGGGGAACAAGACCATTTGATCGTTGCCCTGAACTGTGATGGCCACGTCTGGAAACGCACCGGGGATGTGTATTCGGCCGTGGTTCTCAGATGCGCCATCCATGCCTCGCACCCGTGTCTGCGCATAGGATTCCTTGATCTCCGTCACAGCTTGTTGTCCGGTTCGGTACAAGTTGCCAGCCATAGCTGCGAGCCTCTTTCTTCGGTAACCCCTCTCCTGGCCACCCGGGCTCGACGGCCGGTCCGAGCCATAACTTGTCATCCCTGCTCCTACAGGCGAAATTTTGCGTACCGCTGAGCCCCTCGTCCGGGCCTTGACATGCTTAAGCGGCGAAAGTGCTTGCGAACCCAGCCACAGACGTCTGCCCTGCCTCGCGACGAGGTCTACAATGCGCCCCTGCTCTGCGCGTCGGCGCTGGCGCTCAAGTATATAGCGGTAAACCCGAGATTGGACGTTGTGCTTGACGTACGGGAGGGTCGTGAGGCGGAAGTTGAGGAGTCGTTCGCGATAGCGGTCTCGGACGGCGCGAGGGAAGAGGAAACGGACGAGGCTCTGCTTGTGGCGCGGGTGGGGACGTCCAGGACCGAACATGGGCCAGGTTATCGCGGGTTATCGCCGACGGAGGTCAATTATATACACGGACGGGACAGGGCGGATCGAGCAAGTGTAGAGGCCGTGATGCGCCGCAATACGGGTGATATTGGCCGCTGAGGCGTGCGAGCGCTGCGGAAGCCCTCAGGCGAGTGCGTCTTCTGACGGGGCGGATCGGCCTAGTGCAGTGCGAAGAGAATATGATGCGTACACATGATTCGAGCCTGGCCAGCGGGATCCGGAGCCTCTGCTGGTAGCACTCGGATGTCAGCCAAGAAGATGGGGGTGAGAATGCGCTCGTGATCTCGGCAGCCTGGGAGTTCGAGACCTCGTGCCTTACGTCATCAAAACCAGCCATGGCGGGGGAGCGTAGCACAGGGCAGAGCATGGAGATGGTATTGGCCCAAGCTCCTCGAGGAGCGATTAGGTAGTACCAGGTTACTCTGCGTAGTACAGACACGTTTAGATATAAATTGCACAGATACGTTCTCAGCCTCTCCTCCTCACGGGACTCGGGACAGTAGCTTGAATCATGATCGGTTTATAACGCCCGCATTAAACCCCTCGGGATATTTATAGCCTGTCTATACATTGGTGACCTGTGTCTCATACACCAGCTGTTCATCTTCGCTTGCCGCCCATCCGAGCCTTCGGTTTGCCCTTGTTAGGAACCTTCTTTTCTCCACCCTTGGTCTTGGACTTGGCCTTGTCCTTGGCTCTGGCCTTCATGTCAGCCTCGGAGGTCTTGCCCTTCCTCCACTCTCCACCCTCTTTGCGGAGGGCCTTGTTGTCTAGTCGCTTCTTGTCCTTGTTGCTCAGCTTTCCCGTCTTCTTCTTCATGGCCTCCCGCATGCCGTTCAGTTCCTCGTCACCAGCCTGCTTTGACTTCTTCTTGTCGTGCTCGGACTCGAACCACGTTCGCCTGGGACGAGCCTTGATCTCAGCCTCATGCTCCATCAGGTTCTCGCCCTTCTTGACCTGCATCTCGACGTGGGCGAGATGCTTCTCCTCCTGTTCTTCCTTCAGGATTTCCTCAATTTCGTCATCCATGTCGTCAATCTGGTCTTGCAACTTGTCGGCTTCCGAAGCCTCGATCACTCGGCTGATAATCTTGGCTCCCTGGCCCTTGCCTGCCTTAACAGCAGCCTTAACGACCTTGCGATCGGGCTCCGCAGCCAGGGTGAGGGCGGTACCCTTACGTCCAGCTCGGGCAGTACGACCGACTCTGTGGAGGTAGATCTCCAGCGATTGAGGCGCTTCGTAGTTGATGACGGTGTCGACTCCTTTGATATCCAAACCACGGGACGCAAGATCGGTGGCCAACAAGTAGGACACCTTGCCGTCTCGGAAGTCTTCCACACTTGCAATACGCTATCACTTAATGTTAGCTATGTAGCTCGCTTGACTTTGGAACAGATACTCACCTGTGTTTGGTTCATGCTACCGTGAAGCTCCGCACAGGTCAGGCCGAGAAGACCAAAAATGATGCGGGCTCGGTGGGCATCCTTCTTTTGACGGAAGAAGATGATAACCCTTTCGGCATAAAGCTTCTTGCAGACATATGCCAAGTAACCCATACGCTTCTCTTCTCGACCTGGTCGCAAGCGAACGAACTCTTGGACCAAAGTGGTGACAGTCTTCTTTTGTGAATCAACCATAACTCGAGCGGGCTTGTTCAAACCCACGCGAATCAGACGATCGACGGTAGATGTCATGGTGGCAGAGAAGAGCATAGTCTGGCGTGACTTGGGGAGAGTGGTGAGAATCTCATTCAGTTCTTCCGCAAATCCGTCCTCGAGCATTCGATCAGCTTCGTCCAGAACCAGAATCTCGACGGTATTGGTGTCAAAACTGGCAGAGTTGCGCATGTGATCGATGAATCGACCAGGGGTTGCGATGATGACATCTGGTCGCATGCGCAGCTCGGCCTCCTGCATCTTAAGACTCAAACCACCGACAGCCAGCGTAAACTTGATATCCGTATAGGCGGCAAGCTTCGTCGCGACTGCGTGACACTGGATAGCCAACTCACGAGTGGGTGTAAGAATGACAACGCGAGTGGTGGCGATTTTCTTGGGTCGATATAGCAACCGTTCCAAGATAGGTACAACGAAAGCACCTGTTTTTCCAGATCCAGTCACTGCACCACCCACAACGTCCTTGCCCATCAGGGAAATGGGGATAGACTTGGCCTGAATAGGAGTAGGTTTGGAGAAGCCGACGGCAGCAAGACCTCGCAGGATCGGTCGAGACAGTGACATGCCATTGAAGTTTGACATGACCACCTTCTTCCCGGGCTTTTCTGCTTCCTCGGGAGCGAAGAACGCCTTGCGCTTTGCTGCTTCCTCGGCATCCTCTACCTCGTCATCACTGCCAGCGTCTGAGACGTCGTCGTCAGGGTGGCCGACGGGGGTAGCAACAGAGTCGTTGTCGGAAGCTGCATCGTCGTCCTCGTCTCCCTCGTCGTTATCGCCGTCCTCGCTTCCGGCTTCCTTCTCCTCACCGTCGGAGTTCTCGGCCTCAGAATCAATGTTCATACCAAATGCGTCGTCGGCCAGGACCTCATCGTCGTCATCGTCGAGGTCGACGTTCATGTGGTCCAGTTCGTCAACATCCGCCTCGGGGGCTTTTTCACCCCTCTTCTCCCGGCGGCGGCGGATGATCTCGTCGATGTCCACGCCAGGTTTGTTGGTATTCATTCCCTTCTTTGCGCTGTCAAGGCCCCATCCCTCGAATTCCACGGCGTCATTGTCGCCGGCCTCCTCGGCAAGAAACTCGAATTCCGAGTCCATGGCGCCATCGTCGTCGTCATTGTTGCCCCAAATTCCATTTGGCGCCTCCTCCTCATCGTCCTCGGGGGTAGCCTCCCGTAGTGGCTTCTTGACAACCTTGGCGGTCTTTGCCTTCTTCTTCGGGGGCTGCGCAGTGATCTGCTCCTCCTCGACGATGCCGTCCTCGTTGTCGGAGATTGTGTGGATGAAGTCGTCTTCAATTGGCTTCCGTTTCTGTGAGGGGGCCATCTTGATTAGGATTTGTAGGCGGTTGGCGTTTCCGTGCAACGTCGATGAAGTTCTCTTCGATGCTGGTGGGGCAGTCTCTCACCACTGCAAAAATTGAATGCTTGGGTTCCAGGCGCATTTTTTTCTGCCGTTTCCAAATTTTGGCGGTGAGGAGGGACCGGGGAGGTACCTTTAGCTGGCAGCTGGGGCCCGACCCGAAGGTGGTACGTGCCGTCCCCAACCTGGAAAACGACGTTGCAGCACGTGACTCCACTGAGCCGTCCCAAAGTCAACATCAGGGGAAGGCGGGGAGGCGATCTGAGTGTCGTGGACGTGGCCAGGGTGGGCGGTGGGAGGTGCCAGACGCCAGACGCCAGGTGCGAGGTACGTACCGGTACACACAATCACAGCAAAAAGCAAGGCCTCGCGGTGGTTCCCCCGAGTAACCCCCACCACGGTTGGTTTGGTTGATTGGGCGACTGGCTTGGGCTGGCCGCCAATACAATTACTTCTGGAATCAGCGCGAACACTGAGGACCTGGTTTAATTTCTCCATCCCGGCTCTCCGTCCGTCTCCTTTCGCCGCCTCGCGCAATCTTCCACCGCGTCCCTCCGCCTCCGGACCACGCTCCTCGATACCCTTCCTGTTCCCTGTTCCGCGAGCATTCTTGTCTCCTGCACCTCGGCGTCTCTCTCGCGCCGCCTCGCTCTCCTCCGATCCTATTTAGCTGTTCCCCTCCACGTCCCCAGACAAACATTCAAGATGGGCGAGTCAAGGTGCGTTGCCTCCCCTCCCGTCCCATCCCATCTCGGCCGCAGAACCAGGACTAACCAGCGCTCCATCCGCCAGGCAAGAGCTTATCCAGTGGCTGAACAGCCTTCTCCAGCTCAACATCACAAAGGTCGAGCAATGCGGTACCGGGTGAGTCGACTACTTCCGCCCCGCCCCCTCCTCGCACCATCATGGCCATGATGTCCCAACCCGCCCACTCCGCCGAGCAAACAAAGCAACGAGCCTAACACCAGCCCAGTGCTGCCCTCTGCCAGGTCTTCGACAGCATCTACATGGATGTGCCCATGTCCAAGGTCAAGTTCAATGTCAACTCTGAGTATCTGTACATTCAGAACTTCAAGGTCCTGCAGAGTAAGCTTTTGTTTTGGCCGCTCCACTTGGCCGCGCCCAGGCACTGACCCGCTTCCCAGATACCTTCACCAAGCACCAGATCGATAAACCCATCCCCGTATCAGCTCTCGTCAAGTGCAAGATGCAGGACAACCTCGAGTTCCTGCAGTGGACCAAGCGGTTCTGGGACCTCAACTTCCCCGACCACGACTACGACGCCGTTGCCCGACGAAAAGGCGGCGCTCTCCCTCCCGGTGGCAGTGCCTCGCGACCCGCTCCTGCCGCCACTACCGCCGCCCGCCGTGGAGGAAACACTCCCAGCGGTGGTACCCGTGTTGCCAAGGCTGCCGGCCCCGGAACCGCCGCTTTGCAGCAGGAGAATGCAACCCTCAAGGAGACGGTGGTCGGCCTCGAGAGGGAACGGGACTTCTACTTCAGCAAGCTCCGTGACATTGAGCTCTTGGTCCAGCAGGCCGTCGATGAAGACCCTGAGCTGGAGAAGCAGGAGGACGGATTGGTCAAGCACATCCAGGCAATCCTGTACTCGACCGAGGAGGGTTTTGAGATTCCTGACGACGCAGCGGAGGACCAGGAGACCTTCTAAGCCTAAGATGCATTATCTACAAGAGATGTAATGAACGCGACCATGAGCGTGTGAGAAAAGTGTGGTTTCTGGGAGGAGGCAAAAGTGCATGGACTGGACTTGCGGCCTCGTATTCCGAGACTGCATTGCAAGAAGGAAAGGCAATGACTGGCACTAGAGGCGACGTATTCTCGTCACGGAGACGCTTGGCGCCCTCCAAAACGGGGACAACATTGATCTTGTTGGACACTTTACCTGTAATGGTCATAATACCTAATGTGATGGTGACTGTCCCAACGCGGATGTATTGATGCGATTCCTCGCTTTACGCCAATGGTGCATGCCAATTTAGTAAATCGCGGGATGATGACGACGCATCATCGTGGCACAGCCTGGTTCCAAGATGGGAGAAAAGCAATTCTGGTTTTGATTGTGACCTTTCAATCTCGGGTAGAGTCAAGGAAACGCGCCATCCAACCATCACCCCTATAGTCTCTCATCTTATACGTCGAGGGTGCTCCAATCTTGCGGCACACCATAACTCAATACCTTCTATAGCAGCCTAGCCAACCGAGATGCACGAGACGAGGTGCAGGACATGTAGGCAGGCAATCTCACACACGAGTACTCTTCTTTCATACCGTGTAAACGAGAAATGCCGGTGCCTAGATTTTACGTCAACTCACGATATTTTTTATAGTCTCGAAATGCTCCACCTGCAAGAACGTATTCCAACGAGTCTAACTTTGTCCTAGTGTTAGAGTTACGACGTCCCAATCTATGCCATTTCGGCAGACCAGGAGTGGCGGTCTCGTAATCCGCCACCGAAGCTGAACGGAAATTGGTTAGTAGAACACTCGAATCGGATAGACTCATAACAATCTCGGGAGAATCGGTGTGCATGTACTTATTCGGATATATAGCAGCTCAGATGTTTATCCTTGCCACAGGGGAACCTAGAGTTCTGCTGTAATCACAGAGTAATTGACGTCTCGGTGTTAAGTGATGACGCTCAACAGGATCGCTTTCTCCGACTACCTATATCATCCCTTTTTGCAGACCACAAACACCGTGATGGATCTGAGTTCAAGGTGTCTTCTTTCGTTCATAAATTATCGCTCTCTCGAGGTCAAGTGAGCACTTGCTCCCTCAGTCGACTTGGGGTAGATCTGGGGCATGCTTGAACTGGTAGCCTGGAGATGCAGCCCCAAGTAACCGGTAAACTTTGGGCAGGAAAATCTCCGTATCTTCGTGGCCTATTTAGAATGCTGCGATTTCCAAATATATTGGATGTGGTCGCCTAATGCCATGGCGATCAGGCTCCCAACATGTTGCCTGAAAGTGGACAACAAGAGGACGTGGACATTGTTTTTCCAAGAGCTGATGTGGGCAGTGAATCTTCACCTAGTCTTCGGTGTAAAGTGAAATCAAGGAAATAAATACACGTATTGATACAGAAAAGCCATCACCTCTCCACCTTCACATTGCTGGTCGGCTCGCGGATGGCATCAAGTGGCTGTTGTACAGGGTAGGTGAAGATGAAGTTCACATTGGGAGCCGGCCATTAGGATAGTGTTGAAATTCAGGCTGCAGTGAATATGGAGGCCGGTAAGACATACAATTATTACATTGAGCTTGGACAGAGCTTTTCATTGTATGGCCATAGATCCAGGGTGGGCTATGTATGATAACGTTGTTCTATCCACTGTCTCGGCGGCTTGGTGGTATTGATGCAGTTGTGCGCAAAAGGACAATTGTTAATGCAAGGTTGCTTTATAATTATTCAAGCAAGGAGCAGCCAGCAACTAGCCTTTATGTTTCATTTCCCTTAGTGCCAAGAGGAATAGGAACAGGAACAGAAGCTGGCCACGCGACCTCGTCCAGGTGAGCAGAAGGGTCGCATGCTCATGCGTGCCCGGTTCTGGGAACCGAGGAAGTGGTGCAGAGGGGCCCTGTTGCAGGTTAGTGGACTCCGTAGCGCGATCGCACTGTTCCAACCCGGCACTGAGTGCCCTGTGGTGCCCACTCAAGCCGCTTAAACAGCCGCCCACGCTCACGCTGCAGGGCACGCTAAGCCCCCTACGACAGCGCTGAACGAATACGTCAGGCATCTGAGCGTTCCGGGACCGAGCTTCCATTCCTTGTGCACGACCGCCATGACGCATTCATCATCATTCATGCCCAGGAACTTTCATTGCTCATCAATCCTAAGTCCACTCGGCGCTTTTCCGAGCACAATCGAAAGATCTGATACTGTCGCACTGTATCGAGATACCAACAAACCCTCGCCGATACCGACCAGAGGAGGACCTACTGGAAACAAGGGAGACCACAATCATGGCACCGCCGCCTGAGATTGCGATACCGTCGACGAGCGTCTCCGACGAAGGCTCCTCGAAGCCCTACACCCTCTTTAACATCACTCTACGACTTCCCCTCCGCTCCTTTGTCGTCCAGAAGCGATACTCCGATTTTGACGCCCTCAATAAGATCCTCGTCGAGCAGGTCGGCGCTCCCCCCCCAGAGCCGCTGCCTGCGAAGCACTGGCTAAAGTCGACGGTCAACTCGCCTGAGCTGACGAAAGCCCGCCAAGAAGGACTAGAGAAATACCTGCGCGGGATCGCAGAGTCTCCAGACCGCAGATGGCGCGACACCTCGGCCTGGAGGGCATTCCTGAACCTGCCCAGCTCTAGCACAACCAACTCGGCCATGTCAGCTGGGGGCAGAGTGACGAGTGCGGCGGCCGGAGCGGCAGACCCGGGAACGTGGCTGGAGATTCACAGAGACCTCAAACAACATCTACACGAGGCAAGACAATGCTTGTCGAGACGGGATGCGGCCGTGGATAATGGGAACTCGACGGCGGCAGTCGAGGCAGGGGCAGCGGCCAAGAGGGTTCTTGTGAAGGGAGGGACGTTGATCGCGACCCTGGCTGACGGGCTGCGGAGGATGCAAGAATCGAGCCGATTAGGTGAGGGAGAGCTGCGGCGCCGCAGGGACCTGGTTTCTCAAGCGCGCATAGAACGGGAGGGTCTAGACAAGCTCTCGAATAGCATGCCCAGTTCGACAACGATGTCTGGGCGAGGAGGTGCTAGCCAAGGGCAAGCGTCCACTTCCGACAAGGCCAATCTTCTGAAAGGCGGGCGACCCAGCGGGCGTGTACTGGGGGCTCCGCTGCCCGAGACGGACAAGACGCGGGAGCTGGATAACCAAGGCGTGCTGCTCCTGCAGAAGCAGGAGATGCAGGCGCAAGACGCGCAGGTCGAGCAGCTTGCAGCAATCATTCGGCGGCAGAGGGAGATGGGCCTGCAGATCAACGAGGAGGTTGAGCGGCAGACCGAGGTGCTCGACACGATGGACGACGACGCCTCCCGGCTGCAGGCCAAGTTGAAGGTGGCCAACAACCGCATCAGGAAGATGTGACTGGGGCTATTGGGCTTGCTGGTGAGGGTGTTATTGCTGGGGGTGCAAGTAGTGGTGTGGTGGCTGTGGATGGTGAAGACGGTTCTCGTTGGGCTCTCCTGGGTTGCCGACTTGGTTTCACTCGTCACCCAGCCGAGCCAGTAATGGTTGGTGGATTCTGTTTAGAGCGTTGAGGCATCTGGGACGGGCGTTGTGATTTGCGTCTTGTTGAAGATTGCTGTACTTTTGCATGTGTTGAGATTCATAGTAGCGCAGGTGTCTTTGGAAGGGGCCAGTTGGGGATAGGTAGCACTTTTTCTTCTTCAGGCGAGATGTGAATGATACGATACCTTACTTTCTTGATATAAGTCAACTGGAGATGATGACTCTGCGCTTGATACCAAGTGGGATCTCCTACTAGGCTACTCCTATTTGTGCATCTCGTCTGAGGTTCGAGTGAAGTCTAGCACGAGGCGATGTCTACCCGGATATATCAACCAACCGAGATGCTCTAATTGCCGGCCTTTCACCATCAGAAATAAAGAGCAAGCATTGCAGTGGCACGAACAAGGGACATCCCGCTTCACATGCCATTAAGCAGAGGCGGGGAAGCAAACCCAACCCAACAGGTCGGGATCGGGATCGGGACACCCAAACAAGACGGCGTCGTCCTCGAGAGGCGACGGACCGTCCCACGTGTTTGGATGGTAGCGAAGCAGACACGGAGGGACAGGCGGTGGTGTGGACTGGGAGCTGCAGTGGCGGGCACCACAAAATCCAGACGGAAAAGTACATCCCAAAGTACAAAGGGGATACTTGGGCGGTACCTCCCGTAGACCCTGCATCCCTGTCGGGTCCAGCTTTTTGGTCAGAGGACACCAACTCATCTCCTGCAACCGGAAATTCCGGGGTACTCAGGACTGTGCTCTCAATTGCCTGGGCCTCGTATGAAATGAGGCGGCTGGGACACGGGGGGATGTAATAATGTCTGCCGACTGATAATCGAGTTTGTTTCCCGAGAGAGAGAGGCCTGGAACGGAGAGCAGAGAGCGAGAGACAGTAGAGACAGTTCTTCCTTTCTCGTCCTGGTCGTAGACTTACGCTAGCCTTCGCGCTCCCACTCAGTTGCCGCACGCTAGAGGCATGCAACAGTCAGACAAGTCTTCACCGCGAGGGCGGAGCCAGGCTACGTCACTAGCCGACGTCTCGCCTCGCGTGAGGTGGATTAGCTGTGTTTGGTGCGAGTTTCGGTACAGGGTCGATCACCTCCACTGGTTGCTAGGCAACGCGATTGGCAAATGACCGCTAATTTCCAATCAGACCCTGACCGTGGGCAAGCCCCCTGGACGAGCGTGACAAAAACTCGACTCGAGTTTTCTCGCCATCTGGAGGGGATCGTCGCAAGAGGTACCGTATCGTCGCAGCGGCCATGGCAGGCTGCTGGCCAAGTCCATTGGAGGCGGGGTTGCCACGCAGCAGAAGCAACGACGAAGGAGGGGGGGAGGTTGGAGGATGCGGATGGCTGACGATGCTCGTTCGCGCTCGCTGTCAATCAACAAACGTACGTAGCCAGTAGCCTGCATCACGCATCACGCACCACGCATCACACACCACGCAACACCACGCACCGTCGAGAGGCTGGCGGACACGCCGGCGCGTACCCGGTGGAGCAGCCGGGCGGTGTTCGTTGCGACGATACTCCGTTGTTGCCTCACCGCTTCTGGGAGGCCGGCCACAAGCGGAAACCGCCGTGGCGATGCCGCGGTCTGGCTGCGTGTGTATTTGTAGTGCTGCAATTCCACGAGGGCGGTCGGTAGTTGCGGCGTTGGGCTGTCGAGGTTGCGGCGTTGGGCTGTCGAGTTTTGGTGTTGGCGTCGGGAGAAGCTTCGGTCGCATTAGAGGAAGCAACACAGGGTGTCATCCCGCCTGTCCAGTTGTCCGAGTTTGTTGTGCCACACTGTAAGTAATGTTGTGGCGGGGGTGGAGGTGAATTGGAATATTGGATGCTGGACAGGCCAATCAGATTACACGGTCAGGTGCCGCTCAAATTGACTTCACAATGCCTTCAAGGTGTTTGGGGGAGAGTCATACATCAAGAACTTTTTTTCCCGATGACTCTGGGGACATTTCTTAGGAATAGAGTGCTGATATTCGTAAATGGCCTAAATCATTGTCGGACCTTCAAGTATCTAATTTTCCGAACGAGGTCACGAAGAAGGTCTTGCAGAACATCACGATCACTGTTACAACCACGACTCTACGGAGTGGACGCAGAAACTAACAAGCATCCCAACATGGTCCCAAAAGGAAAAAAAAAGATACCCGGACCTACCAGTCAACCATTGCCCGCCCAGGACCAGCCCAAGGAGGAGGATAATGGCCCTTTGTTCTTCTATATGCCAGATGCAAAGAATGGCGAGTTGTGCCAGTGGTATCCGTCTCGATTTACTGTAGGAAAAGCACACATCTCGAAGCTAGTCGGCCGTGTCGTCGATGAGACCGACCCGGACAGCGATATTACCTTCACTTGTGCGGAACAATTCATGATGTACTGTAAAGCCGCCCGTTTTGGCGACACTGCGCGCCAAGCCCGGATCCTCGCGACAACGAATCCCAAGGAGCAAAAACAACTAGGCAAAGGCACGGAGGGCTTCACAGACGCCAGCTGGGACGAGGTGAAGAGCGCAGTGGTGGAAGCCGGAAACATCGCCAAGTTTGGGCAGAACCTGGGGCTGCGGCGGAAGCTGTTGGCGACGGGGGGGCGAGTGCTGTGCGAAGCGGCGTCGAGGGATCGGGTGTGGGGGATTGGGTACTCGGAGAAGCATGCTATGGCGCATGGGCGGCACTGGGGAGAGAACAGGCTGGGCAAGGCATTGATGGTGGCGAGGGATGTCTTACAGCGGGAGGATAACGACGGCGAAGGAGAGAAGTCGTGGGAGATGGAGGAGGATGATGCTTCGTGAGATGCTTCCAGTACAGAAGCAGTCACTGGCAGTATTTCCGTCCTAACCATAGGGAACGGACCATGTGTCGTCAACATATATCTGCATCATTAATACCAAAAGGCATGAACATCTCATCGCTTTGACAAGGCCGGCATTAATCTTTTGGAAAAACAAATGACATGTGAATCATCTCCTGCACAGAATAGTTGCTGGGGTTGCCTAAGCCACAGCGCAATGGCTCCTGGTCATGACTCTCCAAGTGACAGATGCATGACATGACTAGAACACAGGGGGCGCACGGAGACGAAGCAACGTGGCCCAGGTAAGTCATGGATATTTGTTGACGGGATCGACGGGCGGGGAAGAGAAGCAATAGAAGCATTGCTTTGTAGCGGACTAGTGGAGTTTCTTTTCGAAAGGATGGGAGTCACTGGAGGCAACAAAGCCTCTCCAGCAGTAAGGTTCACGAGTCGGGACGAGCTTGCGAACGGGCTATGCAAGCCAACGTTTCTTTTTTCCTGCTTTGACCTCCTCCTCGCTCAGTCTTTTCAGGGTCCTATCAGTGGCATTGTGCAAGGCGGGCAGCCGCGTGATTGGGGGCAAGGGGGTGTATGTTGACAACGGGGAACCGGGGGGGAGAAGACGACAACAGAGAGAAGTGGGTGGAAGACGCTCGCGCGACAGGCAGGGGAGTCCCAGCCGCCAGCGGGTTTTTGACTCGAGCGTCATCAACGGTCTCGCAGGCGGCCACGGAGACCCGCGGAAGAGGCGGCGGGTGGAAGCAGAGGAGATGACGAGCGAGATGACAAGTGGGAGACGAGATTGATCCGGTCGACGCTGCGGATGGCCTGATACGAGTCAGCTGAATGGCCGCTGTGCAGTTTCGGCTTGAGGCGCCTCTTCTCTCGTTTTTTTGCTTTCTGTCGCCCCCAAAAAACAAGTCCCAAGTGTGTATCTCTCGAGGCGAGACGGATGCATGTCAGAGATAGACAGCGCCCAGACCCGACAACCGTTGATCAACCACCACCATCAACAGTGTTGCAGCCAACGAATGCCGTTGCAGTATGCATCCGCAGCTGCGAGTTTTCACAACTTTGTCCCTCAGGCCAGCCTGGCAACCCAGGCCAGCCCATCGTATCATGGCAGGCCCCATTCCGCAGCCCAGTCGCTCGTACGTACACAATACGGACAATGACAGGCAACGAAGCCACAAACTCTCGTCCCCTCAGGCCCAGCCCGTTCCGGCGGCGGCATTGGACCCTAGTCCCCTGCGCTGGATCAATGGCTGGCCTGATTGATAGGTGCGAAGCCGCAAAGGGGGGATGTCGTTAGCGCCCACGTAGAGGCTCATCCAGCAACCACTCCAGAAGAAATAAAGGTCACTCACCACGGCGGGGTGGAACCGACTGGCTGCAGGAGGGGCGCTAGAGCTGGGTCGAGGCTCCACTGAATTTAGGGGCCGCCCGTGCTGGGTTGGGAACAGCGTCGGTGACCTGAGAACGCACCCCACTCGTCGTCTCCTCTGGGACTGTGACTTTTGTCGGTGGGCTTTGGTGTGAGCTCTTTCGGCGTAGGTTTGTCTGGCTGTGGATTCGTCTCTGGTCTTTTCGAGGAGGCAACCGCACATAGTGAAGCATCTCTCAGCGAAGAAACACAGCTGCTGAAGCCGGGTCTGGCCACGGGTAAACGCAGGCGGTGGAGGCTGGCCCGTGTGCTGCAGAGGCTACAGTGGCCAACCCACTGAGTAAGGTACGTAGAGGCACAGTTCTCAGACACCTCGAGGTACCTGCAGGGTACCCCCAAGCCCCTTGTGCATTAGCCCCGTCAACCCGTCAACCCGCTCCCCGTCCCGCCCGCCACGCCCTTTCCCCAAACCGCCTGGAAGTAAACAATCTTTTGCTCGTGGCTCATGGCCTGGTGCTGGCTGCTCTGCGCTTGGCCTCACCTCCACCTCGTCATCTCCCCTCGCTCCTACCCTCCTACCCTCCGCAGCCTCCGCCTCCGCTTCCTGGTGCCTGCCTCCACTTGAGAGACCCAGCCGCCGCGCCTTTTTCCCTCTTCCTTGCCAACTCTTGCCAACTCCTCTTGCTTCCACCCTCCTCTCCTCCTGAACATCCCGGCTCCTTACTAAGTCGACCAACAAATCTCCCACCGCCAAACTTTGCCAACTTTGCCGTCAATTTTGCGCTCCAGACGCTTCTTGTGTCTGTTCATATCCGTCTTGTGCATTGTCGATTGTGCATTTTCCTCGCTCTGGAGCTTGGAGCCTGGAGTTCGTTTGCCGTCGTCCCCGTTTTTCTTGCGTGAGTCTGTCCTACAACCATACCACTCCACCGGTCCGCCCGAGCGAAGCAATCTCGCCCCATTCATTATTCATTGCCTCGGGCCCAATCCCCCTTTTCCTTTTCCATTTTCAACCTGCCCGGAGGCTCTCGGATCACTTTCGCAACGGGTCGAGTTCGAGGCATCTTGACTAACCACCTCGCCAGTTTTGCTCTCGCTGTCCCGGCCTTGATGGCTTCCCCAAGATACCCGTAGCCGAGCGATATCGCATACGTGTACCACCTCTTCGACTTCGAAGCGTCTGATAGACGACACAACCGAGCTGACCGCCGGCGATGAGCGCACCTCCTCCGCCTCCGCCTCATGGCGGAGTGCCAAGGGGCTCCGGGTTACCACCCGGAAAGTACGACATCTTCGTCATCCCCGAACACTCGTCCGGTGGCGGATTCCTCTACCTGCCGTCGTTGAAACCCAATGTCAACAGCTTTGCCGCTGGCTTTGCCTCGGCTCTCATTCTCGTCGTCATGTTCCAGACCATGGCTCCCGCCTTCCGGGCTTGGTGGGACAACTTCCAAGGTTTGGGCAACATGGCCATATCCATGCTCATCATCGGCGTGGGTTTCGGTGCCTGGAGCCTGGGAAGGATACAACAGGATAGACCGGACCCTCGTAGTGGTCGTAACGCCTCCGGCGGCCACGGTAGTGAAGGAGGCTTTGGAGGAACGAGCCAAAGGTCGGCACCCAACACCGGTGCCCCCCCTCCTCCTCCTCACGGTAGCAATGGACCACCTCCACCGCCGCCACATAGCGAACCACCCCCTCGACCCCCCCCACAACAAGAAGGACCCAAGACGTCATGGCAAGGTCCCCCTCCCCAACAACGTCCACAACCACAACCTTCACCACCACCACCTCCTCAACCACCGGAGCCCGAACCTGAACGAGAGCCTCAGCCTCCGCCTCGACCATCACCCCAAGCTCGACCTCCGCCGCCTCAAACTCCTCCTCAAACTCCTCCACCGAAGCCTCGCCAACGGGAACCGTCACCCCCGCCGCCACCATCTCCAAAGCCAGCGCCCACTCCTAAACAAAAGGGTTCTTGGGAGAAGGCCCGGGAGGAATTGAGGAAAAAGGAAGAGGAACGTAAAATAAAGGAGGCAGAGCAAAAGCGGCGAGAGGAGGCTATACGACGGTTGGCCGAACTGAGAGCCAAGGACGCCAAGGAACGTCTAGAGAGAGAAAAAGAGCGAGAACGGCGAGAAAGAGAAGCCAAGGACCGTAAGGAGCGTCTGGATGCTGAACAACGCGCCAAGGATCTCGCCGAGAAGCTGGAACATGAGCGCAAAGAGAGAGAACGATTTGAAAAGGAGGCAAAGGAGATCCGAGAACGTGAAGCTCAGAGACAGAAGGAGGTGCAAGAACAAGAAGAGAAAAAGAGAAAAGAGGTTCGAGAGCGAGAAGAGAGGAGAAGGAAGTTTGCAGCTGAGCGGGAAGCGCAGAGGAAGCGGGAAGCCGACGAAGCTCATAAGCGTGAAGAGTTGAGGAAGCAGAAAGAAAGGCAGCAGGAATTGGAGAAACAAAGAGAGAGAGAGAAAGCAGAGAGAGAAAAGGCCGAGAAGGAAAGGGCTGAGAAGGCCGAAAAGGAAAGAGTCGAAAAGGAAAGAGCTGAGAAGGAACGAATTGAAAGAGAACGCGCTGAAAGGGAACGGGCCGAAAAGGAACGAGCTGAAAAGGAAAAGGAATCCCATTCGCCTCGCACAGGAACCTATGCGTTCTCTGGTGTCGGCGAGAGGATCAGCATGTGGCCCAACGGCCGGCCACCAGCTCCTGCTCAATCGACAACATCGTCTTCGTCGACTCCGAAAAAGGCTCCTCCCAGCACAGCTGCCCCATCACCGGCCTCCAAGAAACCTCCTCCTAGCACTGCTGCACCTTCTCCATCCGCAAAGAAGGCTACTCCTCCGCCCAGTAGTGCTAGGTCTGGCGTCAGCACGGAAAACTCCTATCGACCGTACGACAAGGCCAAGAAACCGCAACACAAGAAGTCGGCTTCTTCCTTGGGATCCGAGTCCTCGTTCGCGCCATCTCACAGTACTGCCCGGACAACACCCCCACCCTCTGCGCGAGGTGGCCCTTATACTACCACCGACCCTGACAAGATTGTCATCTCTGCTGTGTATCTTTTCATGAACCAATACGCCAAGACGCCCGCCAGCCAGCTCATCTCGGGAGTCGGCACCGTCACCGATGGCCTCATCCTCCGCATCACGACCGAGGGCCTCTTCATCGATGACGATGTCCGAAGTGTACCACAACGAGAGTGGGATGTCAAGGCTTGGACCTTGAAACAAGTTGAGGTATGTCCGCCGCACTGTTTGAACCCGTCGTCGAATGATGCTAACCAGTATGACCAGACCGGCGAATGGAAAACCAAGGGCTTGAACTTGCTTCGTGCCACGATCCGCGACCAAGAAGGCAAACGGTACGTGTTTGTCATCGATGAGTCAGAAAGCTGGAAGGTAGCCGCCGGTCTGCAACGCCTTCGAAAGGGAAGCCAAGTTCGCCAAATGACTGTCAGCAACATGACAGCCGCCGAGGCTCGTGGCGCCCTCGAGATGCTAGGCTGGGCTAGCTGAGAGGTCCCCCTGTGGGGGGCCATTCGATTCGGTACATAGGTTTTGGGTCAGAAGGCATCGGTACACGTTAGATGCTCGACCATAGAGAGCGAGCAGGAGCATGGTCATTTATGGACTCTGGCGGTCGGCGACCAGGACAAAAACATTCGAGAGCGGCATTGTGGAGACATGATTGTTGGAATGTGGAGGGATTGCATAGCAAGACAGGAGTACTGGAGAAAGGTGAATGCGACGGGGCGTTCCGCTCGTGTCAATCGTTTTTGTTGGTTTGCGAGCATTCCGTTGATCATACCCCACGAATTGCAGATTGGATCGGAAACTAGATTCACAACGACAGACATGAACACAATATGAGATTTTAATACCCAAATATACCTGACCTTTTGCTATATTCTATTTCCATGACGTGACCATGAACCTGATTTTTCCTCTTGGTCTTGAGCAGAACATGAAACACAATTGAGGAATTGACTACAGGTTGTCTAGACCACGGACCATTCCTCAGTATTGTCACCTGAGACATCTCCATCACAGGAGACTCAATGATTGGCTGGGGTTTCTACAGTAACATGATGTCTTATGATGATCTGCTAAATACAATTCTACTCTTTCCATGATGTCTGTGAATGATAGGTGGAGAGTATATACCTGGGCTGCGGCTCCAACTGCCTCCCTTGTTGACTTGTTGTGCGCTAATTCTGGCTGAGAGAAACTCAAACGGAGTATCTCTATTTGAAAAGAAATTGATTCATGGATTCTTATACCCCTGCTGGACACTGGATCCCATCGAATACCTCAGTCTGTTGCTGAACCAATCCCAGCTAGAGGAGTCAACTGCTATTATCTTTATAACCAGCCTTTACGTGTGAATTATGTGATTGCTAAGGGATAAATAATGAGGCATTTAATTTATCGATCTTGGTTTTTTGAATAGAGATATGTGATCTTAGCCGTATTAACTGATTGACATAGCAATATGAGTATAATGTTTAAAAGTATTACTATTCGCACACAGGTACAAGCTTCTTTATTAAAGCATCAGCTTAACTAAAGACATGAATCTGCCTTATGTACAATATAGTTAAATATAACCTTGAATTTCTGGCTTTCTTATTAAATCAGACCTAATAGTCACGGGCGTCAAGATTGTGAAGCGGTTTGTTAGTTAGATGTCGGGCAATGCGGGCACACTGCTGGTGGCGAGAGCTTGGTTCGAGTACCGCATGCCATATGGCAACTCGATATTCGGAACCTGCTGTGTCCAATTGGGCGCCCTTGCCTTGTATTTCAACCAGAAATTGGCGGGTCGCTTTGGGTAGTCCTCCCACTCGGCCGTGGGGTCCCCATATCCGAGTGCCCCATACATTGGATTGAAGTCCATTAGAATAAAGCCAGGATATCGATCACATCCAAGGCCGCGTGGGAGAGTCTGTGCGCCTGCCCAGTCGTAGATTTTTAGTTAGGTTTCCATCTTCATCGCAGAGCATATTCCCGCCATCGAAGTTATCAAACCCAGGATAATAGTCCGCCGGCTTCTCGGAGTCTATTGAAGAAATGACACTTCGCAATGATTCAAGGAAAGAGCTCACTGGGATTTTGGGCTCTGCTGTAGTGTCGTCGACGGCCTTGATGTAGTCTTCGATTGAATGGAAAGGGCCTAATTCTGTGATGGTGGTGTGGTCACCACGTTCAGAAGGGCCCCGTCTGTAAGTTATAGACAACCGATGTTATTACCGTCGATTGTGGACCCGATCGTATCAAAATGCATCGAGGAGAGATGTGCCATCGCTCGCGCAACGGACTCGAGAATGTTCATCCGCACGTTTCCACCGTGTTTCCGATCCTCATACCAGGCATCGCATATCTGGCGACCCGACTGATAACTCATCACGATGTATGGGGCCGAAAGAGGGTTGTCGTTGCCTGTGTCGAAGTTATAGACCTCAGGTACGGGGACCTGCGTCTTTTCACGCATCATGCGCACGGTTTCGAGAGCGGACTTGGGAGCTTTCCGTGTCACCTCTGAAACATCGTCTACTAGCATCATGCGTAGTACCAGCCCCGTGAGTCGTCGAGATTAACGATGTAGTCACAGGGTGTGTTGCAGAAGATGGAGTGCAGGTTGTTGCAGTGGGCAGAGGAAGAGAGGTTGACTCTCCGTTTCAGTGTTCTAACATGAGGGCTCGGGCTTGAATGAAGCTTAATCTGCAAACAGTCTGCTCTGGACTGGGTAGAAGCAGAGTTAGATCTGCTTTGGCTGGTTTGGAATGTGAGTTTAGTGAAAGACCAGGCAGGCAGTGCCCTTTGTGTTGTGTTTGAGAAGTGGGTGGGTTTGCCGCGTCAACATGCAAACATGTTTCCGTAGCACACGCGCACGAAACCAGAGACCTTGTGTGCGGTGAATCAACCACGTAAGTTGATGTGTTGCTGAAGATGAAACCCCCAGCGGTAGGCCATTGTTTTCCATCTTATGAGATCTGTCTTCCATTCAGTTGCCTACGGAATCAAAATACTGATACTCAAAGCGCATTTACGCCGAGTTTTCGAACCAGTTCTCTTCCCATTATGAGTTGTCTCAAGGCACACGCACAAAAGTACTTAACAGCCAGCGGTCTTCATACCAGCGAGCGGTGACGGTGTTGCTGGGCTCCCTCTAATATCAATTTCCCTTATTTCCGAAAAGCCCCAAACATCACCGCTGCATAGTAGCAAACAATGGGTACAGGTAAAAAGATGTGGAGTAAAGAGGATGTGTGAATTACGAGAACACACATCGTTCAGGTCACTCAAGTCGACGCTGCTGCTATAGCGGGCTACTCAACCTGACCTGTCTTAAGTTACTACACCATTCAACAATTGGAGCGTGACAGTGTAGTTGATAGTTTGTATTTATTTGGCTTGATTAGGCTAGGAGAATATTTCCTGCATGTGTTTGCCATTAGTTGATAATAACAATACTTTTGTCCCCCAGAGCGAAGGGCGAGTGGGGATCTAGTTGATCTTGACCGGCATCGCCTTCGCCTCCATACCCTTTATATCCAGTCCTCGAAGTAAACGAACCCACGCCTCAACTTCTCGATCAATGTTCAATCTGTAAGATCCTCATGAACCCAAACTCCTTGCATCCGTCGCACATATTGACACATATCATACAGTCATCATTCAAAGCTTGTCGTCACGCACATCCCAAACCTCCACATTACCATCCATCTTCCCAAACACCAGCGTCTTCCCGTCGGCCGCAAACGCCGCGGAAGTCACAATCACGTCCTCGTCCCGCGCAAAGACGACCTCCCCGGACGCAATGTCCATAATGTCAAACCCATCTTCCGTGCGGCACGTCATGTACCGGCAGTCGGGCGAGATGCACAGCGGCCAGCCTTCGTTGCGGCGCACGCTGTTGAGGTTGTACGAGGTTAGGTCGTTGGTTTGCGGCAGCCAGACGTGGACGGTCGTGTCCCAGACGGAGACGATGCGGCGACCGTCTGCCGAGACGGCGAGGCAGCGTGGATTAGTCGAGTTCTCGATTTCCAGGCGGCGCAGAGTTTTGGCTGTCGTAGGGTTGGTGATGCGCAAGGTGCCGTCGCGCGAGATTGTGACGAGGCTGTTGTCCGGCATGAATGCAGCGTGGGTAACCGCATCGATGTGGCTCATGACTCTGCCGACTCTTGTGCCGGTGCGGACATCCCAGATGCTCATGCGGTTGTTGGCCTCTCCAGCAGCGAGGATTCTCCCATCGCCGTTCCACGCAATAGGTGCACCGTCTGCCTCCTTGAGCTCCCCCGCCGTCTTCCCAGTCGCCCCATCGCGCAGCAGGACGGTGCTGTTGTGGTGATACTCGACCCCTCCAGCGAGCTGGACAGTCCAGTCACGAACAGTAGCGAAGCGGTTTCCCTGGGGCGAAAAGGCAGCGTGAGACCCGCTCGTCTTGGAGTAGCCGCGCTGGTTCGTCAGGTCAAAGACGTCGATCCAGGATTGGGCTGTCTGCGCCGCTGTGTAAACAGCGTAGGCGGCTGAGCTGGATGGAGAAACCCCGACAGCGGTGACTTCGACCTTGCTGCAGAGACGTCGGAATCGCAGAGCCAGGTTTAAGCCGGGGGAGCAAATGCTATCAGTCACCGTAGTGCTGGTCATGGCTGAGTCTGAGGTTGGCGATTGACCCCTGGTCCCGTGTTAGTCTGAGTGTGCTTGGAGTTTGGTAAGGATCGACTTACATGTTGCGGAGTAGTAATTGTCCGAGAAAGGCAATCGGAGATATAAGTGTGCTGATTCACTGGGGAGCCAATCACTTGTTTCAGTTCAGAAGTTCTAATTGAGTTTGAAGGGTCGGGATCAAGGAATAAGTGTTGTGAGGAGTTGTTTGTGTTGTAGGTAGTGTATGTGATGGGCAGAATCCTTTGAAAAGAGGGCGGCCATACCATCTTAAAGTCCCACGCGCAGTCATGATGGAGTGATGACTCTACGGAGTAATGGCCGCCCAAATCTCCAAACTGGATGGGTTGTTAATCACGCCCACCCTCTCGCATGGGACGTCGGCCGCGAGGAGCTAGGGCGCATCGACTAAGGCCTGAATAGTTCGAATAAGCAACATGGTAAACTTCTCACCAGCCGGGGGGAAAATAACCGCTTTTCCTATTTAGTTCGGACAGATGCACGTTCTTTCAAGTAAACACTCGTATTTTGTCCTAGTTAGACGCTTGAGGGTAATGGCAGCTGGCTAACAAGCGTACGCCTCGCTGGGGGAAGCAGGGTGTTGTCGAGCAAGCAAGGCACAGCCAATGAGACTAACCTGATGCTATCACGACTTGACCGCACACCTCTTTACACCTCCCTCGGTTCCTACTCTCTGCGGAGCCATGATGGCCTCGGCGTGAAGGCTGGTGCGGCGTGAGTCACGGCGGCGGGCAGCCTTGAAAAACACTGCTGGAGCTGTGATTGATTGACCCGCCCACCCCTGCACAAATACGCCAACATGCACCCGCTGCAGGAGCGCCAGAGGGGCTCTTCGGCGAGGCGCAATAGGGAATAGCGTCCGTCGCGCAGCACTGCGCCCTTTGTGCTGTCATGGGATGGCGCATTTGGGGGAGGCATTTGGAGATTGGGGGGAGTTGGCTGTGGCTTTGTTGCTTCGCCAAGCATGCCCAGCTTTAAGGATGGCTGGGCAGCCAAACCAGGAATTTGCCGAGATGGATGGGAGTTGGATGGACTGCGAATACGGTCACTGAGGGGTGTCAGCTGGCTTTAGGATTGTATTTCAAACATTCTCATGGCTGAGTAATTGCTTCTGCCATTGAGCTTGGTGAGGCTGTCATCAAGCGATGGTTCCTTCAGCAAGCACGCGTGATGGCGGCATTCAGCATCGCGCAATCGTCATTCACCTGGCGGACATCACAAGACGGCAATTGGACAGTACCGGGGTGTTAACATTCAATTCGTCATATATTGTCGTTGTATGCCAATAACTACCTGTATAGGTAAGCAGCACGACTTTTACCTACGGAATCTCATAGGGTTGTCGTCATTTCCCAAGTGCCATCAGGGTGCCCGCTCATGATGAGGGGTCTTTCTCTTCCACCCCCCATAACAAGCACGTCTCCTTCGCAAGACATGCTACCCATCTCTCCTTTTCTCTCTTTACTTAAGCACCAAAGGCCTCCTCGTAGCCGACCATGCACGATCGGTATCGCACTGAGCTGGTCTCGAGGTTGTGCATGGCCTTCTGGAGACCCTCCTTGGAGATGGGAATCTCCTCAACCCACGACTTGATGCCCTGGTCGGCTGCAAGCTGCAGCATCTCGAGCATCTCACGTCGGCTACCCAAGTGGGAGCTGCCGATGTAGCAGCCGTTGGCGAGGAAGTCCTGGTTGCGGACGGTGAGGCCCTCGCCACCGGGCAGACCGACCGAGTTCCAGTGGCCGTGGATGTCGAGCAGGCTGAGGTACTCGCTCAGGGCGAAGCCGTCGAACGAGGTGGCGGTGTTGATGATGATGTCGAAGGTCATCTTGTGGCCCTCGGTCCAGTTCTTCTCGCCAGTGGCCAGGAAGCCGTCGGCGCCCATCTTCTTGGCGTCGGCCTCCTTGGCACGCGAGCGGGAGATGGCCCAGACCTCAGCACCGAGAGCCTTTGCGAAGAGGAGACCGTAGTGGCCAAGACCACCGATGCCGACGATGCCGACCTTCTTGCCAGGGCCGGCGCCGAGTCGCTTCAGGGGGCTGTAGACGGTGATACCGGCGCACAGCATGGGAGCGGCCTGGGTGCTGGGGAGAGCCTCGGGAATGGGGTAGACCCTGTGAAGAGAGGCTTGGTTAGTTGACGATACATACAATGGGAGACGCTGACTGAGACTGCAGTTGAAAAAAAAAGCGGAATTGGAGACTCACCAGTACTCATCGACTCGGGTGTGAGAGGAGTAACCACCCTGGGTGGTGAAGCCGGTGTCGAGGTAGGGAGCGCCATAGGCGTCAATCTGGTGCTTGCAGTAGGTCTCGTTGTCGTTCTTGCACTGGCGGCACTCCATGCACGAATAAACCTGAGCACCAGCGCCAACACGGTCACCAACCTTGGCGGTGGTGACCTTGGAGCCGACGCGGACGACCTTGCCGACGACCTCGTGCCCGACGGCCAGAGGGTAGGGGCAGCCTCCCCAGTCGCCGCTGATGGTGTGCTTGTCGCTGGCGCAGACACCGCAGCAGTCGATCTTGATGTCGATGTCCTTCTCGCCGAAGGGACGGGGCTGCCACGAGTTCTTCTCGAACTCGAGCCAGTTGTCGGCGCTGGGCGACTGGAAGCTCTGGAACTGATCGGGGGAAGACATGATGGGCTTGAGGCTGAGGGTTGTACAGGGACTCTACTACTCAGGGAAAGGGAGAGAGGAGGAACGCGTCAATGGATTGCGACGGGGGATCTGATTCTTAAAGCTGTCGCTCGAGAACCCAAAAGCCCAAAAGCCACCTCCAGTCCCAACATACCCCCACTCTATCGGTCATGAGCTCGGTCTCGTCGCGATGAGCGTCGCGGGCTGCATCTGGAGCGGAGTGAGGGGTGAGCACTGAGGGGCAGCGATTGCTCCGAGGTGGAGGGGCAGCTTTGGGGGGAACCACAGGCGCCAATGGGTTTGGGGGTCGGCTTTGGCTTCATCCCGCACCTGGCCGTGCTCAACGACGATCGGATGGGCATCGCAACGGCACGCGATAGGGTCACAGAGGGTCACGGAGGGTCACAAGAGGGTCTCATCGCAGCCTGTGTCCCGCAAAAGCCCCATCACAGCCGGCTCCCGCTCCAATTTACCCCACCATCTCGGGGCTCTGGTGTTGGTGGCGGTCGGATTATCGTGGGCAGATTAATCCGACGGCGGCCGATTCCTCCACGAAACATGACCCCAACTCGACCCCCAGACTCTGGGATCCCGCAGACACTACACCACGCCTGAACAAGTGCCGAGATGCAATGAGATTGATGGGTGCGAGGCTGTTGCTCTCCTTCCTTCCTCTCTCCTCGTTGTTTCCCCTCTCTTCCGTTCGTCCTTGATGCGACACCACTCGGCTCTACGGACGCGAAGCTTCATTGTAACCCTTGCATATCCAATTCGTCCTACGTTGACTACAATTGCTCGTTCCATCGCCTATCGGATATCGGGTATCCCTCCCGAGTCGTCTCGACACACGCCCGCCACTAAAATATCCCGACCCTCCCCCGATCACAATTTATCCTGCGACCTCATGTGCCCATCGTGACCAGATGACCGACTCATTTACCCCTTCACTCGCTCTTCTTCCAGTCCTTGCGCTTCAGGGCCCGCGACTCGCCCAGCCCAATCCCCGCCAGGAAACACACTCGCAGCGTCGCTCCGACGTAGACCCACGGCACGTTGCCCAGGTCGCTCACGTTCCACCCCGCGACATTGTAGTAGATTTCGAGCCCGAGCTCCCGAAGCGAGTACAGGTGGCCCAGGTCCGCCAGCAGCAGCACCGTCAGCACCGCGCGCCACACTCGCAGGTCGGCCGTCGATCGGAGCACGAGCGCCTCGTTGAGCGCGAAGAACAGGTACATGTTGGACAGCTGCGACAGCGCCACCGATGTGCTCAGCGGCACCTGCTCGGCCGTCGACGCCGCGTTCAGCAGCGAGAGGTACTCATGCTGGCGGAAGTGGCTGTAAAAGGCACCCACGAGGGCGGATAGGGGCTCGATGAGGAAGAAGAAGACCCGGTAAACGACATGGATCCGAAAGGCCACCTGTTGTTGAGGGGCCATTTTGAGGAACTGCGTTGACAGGGCTCAATTGGTTGTGAGAGGGTAGCAATGAAGCAATGGGTGAGTTTTTATGTTGGCTTGACTGACAATTGAAGCTGTGAATCTGTCTTTTCAGAATGAGAGAATCTTTACACCATGGACCCTAGAATTCGGGAAAAACCTTGATCCACAATATACTGGGGACCTTGGACACAGCGCGGGGCATCTCGAGCATCAGAGTCTACAACTTCACAACGGCCCCGTCGCGACAACTATTTTTCGAGGTGGGTCGGCCGATGGACTATATCTGCCCAAGTTTCGATCCAGAGACGAGCCATGGCTTTTGCGCACCCGCCAGGTGATGCCTTGGACGGAGTTGTCCGCAAGGCGGGTGTCCAACCCTGTTCTGCGAAATGACTGCCACAAACCGCGCAGGTATAAATAACTGGTACGGACCACGATAACTTTATGGCTTCCCGGCTACCTTGGGATGCATCTTTTCTATCGCATTGCCTCGGTGATTTCGCAACGTATTCGTCTGGCTGGAATCGAATTGCCTTGATTCTGCAACTTACACATCGCCATTACAGCATAGGTACCATGGGTTCTTAGAAAAAGAAGTAAAGGAATAAACCTATCATCTCCCCTAATGTGTAGCCTACGCCTCAGTACTTTCAGCGGAAAGTAGCTGCGTTGTGCTGAGTACTATGAGCAGGAGGCAAGTTAGTGGTAAAGAAGAATGCGCAGGTTTTATTGTTGTGGCCTGTGTCATGCATGCAGTGAGCGAATCGAGTGCACTTCAACATCACACCGTAAAATCGAGTGCCTGCAACGAATGGTTCGCGGTGTGGTAGCACATGCAACACTTCGGATGCTTCAACTTGTCTGATTTGTGACCGCCATGAGCTGGGGAAGTAATTGCAACCCAATGAAGCAAGTGGCAGAACAAGCGGGAGAAGGCGGTGACAGAATTTCTTGGTTCGGGCTGTGGCGGCAGCGTTCGGACTCTCCGTCTAGTCGGGATAAGCTAATCTGGTCCTGGACCAGTTTGGGGTTCGAACAGAAGGATTTTGGGTGATCTCTCTGTAGATCCTCGGCCTAAGCTCAACAAGCTGGTGCTGCGCCTGGGGAATGTGAGTGGCCCGGACGGCTTGGGGGCGAGTCTGGGGCGACTATGTCGAAAAGTCTGCGCGATTGCGATAGGATGGGCTTGCGAGTCAGGGCGGGCATGAATCATGGCGGCAATCTTGGTTCTCTCTGCAGAGAAATATCGGTAAGACGTGCTGACGTTGGTGAGCGGTCAGTTTTGCCAGGGTTGAACCCCGAGATGGTGTTCGGTACCACCCGAAACTGAGCACTGCAGAAGATATGTCTTGTCTTCACCCGGCGCGCGCGGTGTCTGAGAGTGAGAAAAACAAACAAAGATAATCCCTGCGGATGAGATCATCAAGGTGGGAGAGGAATCCGGGGAGAACCCCTTGCAACCTTCTGGTTGGGGTTGAGGGTCCAGTGCCGTTTTAGCGTGTCGGGTCAGGTTCTGGACAACCCAACAAGCTGGGCAGGAATCCTCCATGCAGTAGTGAGTGCTACGCCGTGAATGGACATTGAGATGGATGCGAGCCTGAGAGAAACGAAATAAAATTGGAAATTGAAGAAATTTCGGGATATTTTCTCAACTGTGCGTTGTGTCTGTTGATGATATGATCATGTTGTTTCCGATGCCCCTCAATAAAAAGCAAGCACTTCCGGTATTCGCCTGGCGTGCCGCAATGGCGATGCACTGACGATACACTGGCGAGACGCGGCTGTCCGTGCAGATAACATGACAAGACCGTATTTGGTGTCGTGCATGAGGGTGCTGGAAATATAAACAAACCGTCGCCAACCAACCCGGCATCAGGCATCACGAGACAGCTGGCTGCGCGGGCTGTGATGTGCTGCACTGTCCAGACGCATGTCCAGACACGTTCGTCACAACAATCGTTGGCGAAGAAATTGCCGGAGGATTACGTAGTAAGATGAAAGGCCAATATTCCCCTGCGGCGAACCATGCTAATATTGTCCGCCACCCACAAAAGCCCAAACACCGAGTCTTGCGCTTCGCGCCACGACGGACAGCAGAGTGGCCACCGACTGACGCCATCCAGCTAGCCGAGAGTCAGGGAGGGGAGAAGCCAGCGGGCGAGCCAGCGACCTCAGATGCAGCCATTTCGTTTAATTCGCCCTCTGGGGGAATGCAGCAGCGGTCCCGATAGCACAGCGTGGCAGCGGTGAGAGCTCGCAGACATGATTTTCCACGTCTTGGTGCCAGGGCTCGGAATCTTGTTGGAAGGAGGCGTCGAGGAGGCGTATTCGTACGTCCCCCTAGTAATTCGAGGCGTGCCCCATCCATGCACCGTCCAGCCAGAACCACGGCTGGTCCACCGGGCCGCCCGCATTCCACTCCTCCAACTCCCTGTTCGGGCCTGTCCTGACTGACTTGACTCCTGTGGTATCCTGCATAGAAGCGGGACTCTAGCGGTGGCTGCTCCGTGCTGGCGACGGCTGGGTGCTTTGCACGTATTCTCGATTGTGTTCCGGCCGTCTGGGGAGGGCTCTAGAGGTATCACTAGCAAACTCTGAATCGCCTCGGTACCTTGCCTTACATGCATGCGACAACGACGGTCTTTGCCCGGAGATTTACATGGGCTTAAGCCTCCTTCTCGGCCCAGTCCTTTCCCCATAAACCCCTTCCTCTTCTCCTCCTTTGACCCTCGTGCATCTGTTTACTCCCTCTCCCTCTCTCTCTCTATTTCTGCCTCTCTTACATCCCTGACCTATATCTCCCTCTTTCGTCCCCTGGCCCGGCTCTGGCTTCGCTCTCTTTTATCTCCCTCCCCTGATCCCTCCACCCTCGCTTCGGCCCCTGGTTCCCGACCTGTGACCCGGCGCTGATACAACCTGAAGCCCGTTGTTTCGCTGATTGCTAATAATCGACATCGTTTTTACTTCTGCTGGCTGGCTGCCAACCGTACCTCCTTGTCACCCACCTTCATTCTTTTTTTTTTCTCTGTTGTTTTATTTGTTTTTGTCAGGAGCCGCCACAACGGTCATCATCCGAAACAGACACATTTTCGTCTCTGCGACGCGACGTTGTTACTTGGCTTGGAACTGGAAAAGCGGATCAAAAGGCGATCATCATTACTGCAGTCCTGTGGCCCTGTATTCCCCGAGACAGCGGACCAAAACAAGCGGAGACGGCCCCTCAATCATACCTTGCACTGCACGGACACTGACACGGCACTCGCCATTTCAAATTAAAAGAGGCACGCCCGCCCGAGGCTTGAACTCGCGCTCAACACGCCCGAACGCCCAGTGGCACGCTCCGGTCGACCGCAGAGATTGGGTTCTGACCTCCTTTCGCCGAAGCGCAACGGGTTGTTCTTCGATTTCTTGTCTCTGGCCGTGGGCGAACTGGACTTGGATCTCGCGATTCCGCTTGCTCGGCTGACCACTCGTCGTCACGCCCTGGTCTGCGCTGCACTGCACTGCCCGCGTACCTCCACTTCTTTGTTCGACTCGACGACACCGACCCGAAATCTCACGACCATAAACACGACCACCGAAGCGAAAACGAAATAGAACTCGAGCCCGACGACCGTCTCTTGCTTGCGCCACCTCGCGGGCGTCACGCCACGACCATGACCCGACGCATCTTCCCCGTTACCGACTGGGCGCCTACCCAGGAAGCCATGATGGACCCTCTTGCTTCATCCGCTGCCGAGTCCTCCGCCGTGGGAGAGTCTGCCAACACGAACGCTAATGCCAACCCGAACGTCACGATGCCCAGCGCAACGGCTGCGACTGTCAACAACTCCCATAGCGATGCTGGTGCCACAGGTGCGACGAGTGGTCTGCGATATCGCAGCCTCAGCGTCTCGCTGCCATGGCGCCGTCCAAAGTCCTTCGCCTTTGGCCACGACCACCTACACCATCTCCCGCGACACTTCAACGACCACGCTATTGACGACACCGAAGAAGAGACTCCTGAGCAGGCTCACGCCCAAAGCCACGGCCAGAGCCATTCCCTGGCTCATAATAGCTACAACCACCACCACGCCTCGGGAAGCATCAAGGGCATCTTCCGTCGCGCGTCTCTCTCCCTCAAAGGTATGGTCCACCGCAGACCCTCTGCCGCTGCAGAGGACCTCCCCCAGGAAGACGCCCACCACGGCGCACAGCACGGCTGGCATTCAGCCAGACCCGGGACTGCCCACACCCCCTCTACGTGGAACCGACTGCGCCAGGCGGCCAGTTTCCGACATTCGCGCGTCATCTACGACCATGACATGGACCTGACCCAGGAGCCGACTGCTTTCCACCACCCGCATGCCAACTCGTTTCACCTGCCCATTCCTGGCTTCGGCGGCGAGCCGCCCATCATTCCTACCAACTCGGGTGCCGCAGCCAAGGCATCGGCGGCCATGCAGAACGAATACCTTGCTAGACAAGGCCTCCAGAACCTATGGCTTAACCCCACGACTAGCGATGACGGAAATGACCGAGAGAGCGGTATTGGAATCACGGTTACCATTCCTGGCACCGAAGCCGATGACGGAACTGATTCGGAGCTCGAACTGGGATCTACCATCAGCAGGATCGACTTTATCACAAAGCTACCCATCGAGTTGGCCATCCATGTCCTGGCCTGTCTTGATGCCGCCGCTCTTGCCAAGGCCAGTGAGGTATCTCAAAACTGGAAAAAGATCGTCGCCAACCAGCACATTTGGCGGGAGTCGTGTCTCCGAGAGATGACGACGACGTATGCCACCAGTGGACCCGTTGCTCCTGGCACAGGACTAGGAATCCCTCCAGTATCCCCTTCCAACGACTGGAAGGAGATTTACCGCGTCAAGCAGGAACTCACCCACCGATGGAAAGCCGGAAAGGCACGACCTGTTTATCTGAATGGGCACTCAGATAGTATCTACTGCCTGCAGTTTGACGAGTATGGCTCTCACTCCCATTCACTATAGGCGCAAATAACTGACTGTGTTAGGTACAAAATCATCACTGGGTCGCGAGACAAGACGATCCGAATCTGGGACATGCGCACGCTTGAGTGTCGTCTCGTCATTGGTCCCCCAGAGGTCATCAACGAAGCTGGGATGCTCATCGATGAAGAAGGAAACCCGGTGCACTACGCTGCAGGCTCCGACAATGAGCGCACAGCGACGTCAATGCCCACTCTCGCCACATTCCCGACTCACCACAAGGCGTCCATTCTGTGCCTACAGTATGATGACGAAATTCTTGTAACGGGGTCGTCAGACTCCAGCTGCATTGTCTACGATGTCCGCGCTGGGTATCGGCCTATTCGCCGGCTTCGCCATCACACCTCGCCTGTTTTGGACCTTGCGTTTGACGAAAAGCATATTGTTACCTGCAGCAAAGACACCAGCATCTGCGTGTGGGACCGCGAGACAGGGGCTCTGCTGCGTCAGCTCCGTGGCCATGGTGGACCTGTGAATGCCGTGCAGATGCGCGCAAACACAATCGTGTCTTGCTCCGGAGATTTCCGTGTCAAGTTGTGGAATATTGATACCGGCAAGAACATTCGCGAATTTGCCGGTCACACCAAGGGTCTCGCTTGCTCGCAGTTCTCGGAGGACGGAAGATACATTGCTTCTGCTGGAAATGACAAGGTGATCCGTATCTGGGACGCCAATACTGGCGAGTGTCTCCGGGAGATGCGGGCCCACGAGAACCTAGTCCGAAGCCTGCACATTGATAGCGTCAGCGGACGACTCATCAGCGGAAGCTATGATACGGATATCAAAGTCTGGGACATGGAGACAGGCCACCAGCTTTTGGACTTTCCCCGCTGGCACGCGAGCTGGGTTTTAAGCGCCAAGAGCGATTACCGACGAATCGTCAGCACCGGCCAGGATCCCAAAATCCTGATTATGGATTTTGGCGCCGATATTGAAGGCATTGGCATGCTGGATAGCCAACGACCAGTTCAGCAGAATGCCGGTTTCATCTGAAGCTGTCAATCAACCGAGCAGGAAATGAGAGTGAGACATCGGTGATACGATGCACTGAGAGGCCACGAGCGATGATAATCAAAGGATATACACAGGGCGTACATAATTAGGCTAGGTGTCACTCGCAGGGTCGAGGTAACACCCAGCTATGACGAATTTTCTTATCACGACTAGGGGTTTGGCTAGAGTCTTTGCAGGAGAGTTGTCAAAGAGCATTCACAAGGGACATAGTTGCGTTGTATTGGAAACACGGATGTCCTCACGGAGCACTGGATGGCATTTACTCGAGGTAGCGGTTGGAATTTCTTTGGCGCTGAGTCGTTTTGATGTTGGCATGAGGGCATCTGGTCAGGAACCCGGATTTGCAGATAGACATACTTGTTGGGTAACACGCTGGTATTCACGAATCTTCTTGTCCCTTGTTCACTCATGACGTTCTCTGGACGTACAAGGAAAGTATGCTTCCCTCAGATGGTACGTTGCATCGGTGACGGTATTCAGAGCATTTCGGGACTTGGTCATCGAGGCCGAAATTGAAGCTGAAAGAAAGTTGGCTTGTGATACCGAAAGCTGGTCCTTTTTTGCTCATGGGACATTGCCGCATCTGAACTTTCTGAAGACTGGTTCCTGGGGTATGCAGGTGGGACGATGTAACAGCGGGCAGATGACAGGGTTTTAGGGGGAGGATGTGATGCTGTGGGGAGGTAAGGCCGAACTGCGCCCGAGATTGAGGGATAGGCAGTATAGACCGGGGGTCAATAGAAGTGTAGAAAGCGTCACATGTTGCAACAAGGAGGATGAGGCATAGATGAAGATCGTGATGGGGTGTTCGGATGGTCGCCAAGTGTTTGTGGGTGGTTGCAATGGTGGCGACAGTTGTTGTTCATGACAGCAGACTACATGTGGTTGTGGACGTTACTCGCCGAAGTACGAATTTCGATAGTAATTCAATGCGACATCAAATATTGTGTCTCAGGCTGTCAACAAGTGTGGGTAGTATAAGTGAGTCAGGTGAATCTGGGGGATGGTGTTGTTCTTGAGACTGCGCGACAACATACACGCAAATGCGGTCTGACGGCATGTCTGAATACAACAGTCAGGCTGAGAAGATCCGCTGCTATGGTTGAGAGGATCGTCACTAGCTCGTCACACATGTCTGTCATACTCACCTGTCATGCTCTCATCACCTCACATCATCTCCGACAAGCAAGAAACAGAAGCACAGCACATGCATGCGCTGTGCAACCACGTGCCACATGGCATGGCATACAGCCCACGTTGCCAAAACCCTGAATCAACTTGGGATGACACCGGCTCCGTCACCATCAATTTTTTCCCTTGTACTCTTGTTTTTGCACTCCTGTTCGTTAGCGCCGCGTGCACGCCGAGTGTGGATGCTGGCTCAGGCTATCGGGGGGCGGATGGTTTCGCTTCTCGCTGGCGTGTGTGGTGTAGTGAAGCGACAGCGAGTCAAATGGCCCCGCGAGCAGGTGTGATGCGACAGAAATTGCCCGGCATGTTTCGAAACGGGGCATCGGGCAGGGTGGGCGCTGGCAGACGGGCTGTTTCTAGAGGATTTCTTTTTAGCGAAGGGACGGATCAGTGTGTTTCTTTCGAGTGTTTGGAGTGCCTTGATGCCGGACCAGTGGGTGGGTGGTAGAGGCTCACAGCAAGATTGAGGAGGCCGGCTAATGAGGCCAAGCATGGCATTGCTTTGGCTACGGGGCTCTCAATCCGGCTTTCATCGCCCATTGGATTTGGCGCATGACAGGCCAAATGAGACAAAATGCAAGACGGTGTGAGTCGGGTGGACGCCATCCTCGATGGACTGGTGCATCGCGTGAAGGGGAAAAAGCAACAAGAAACAAGAGGCCAAGCGGCCATGTTAGCCGACTGGCTTACAAGACGAAGCTGAAGTTAGCCGTGTGGATGCCCTCGAAGGAGGGACGGGATGATCGTCGGGGCTCCCCGTCCGTAGCCGCTGCAGTGGACCGCGAAGTTGTATTCTTGGACCTCAGCGCCCACAATAGAAGCAGCATTCGCGGATCTCAACTGACAATCCCAGGCCACAGGCGCCTATGCCTCCGTCCCCCAAATGCCCAAATGCCCTGGCGTTCATGCGGCGCTTCGAGAACTGCAGGCGAAAAGGATCCGCTGCTCCACTGCTGCTCCACTGCCGCTCCACTGCCGTCCCTCGTCGCGCGCGTGTTTGGGGCCATGACGCAGGTAGATTGAGACAGCCGGTGAGAGTGACGCGACGTTTGGTTGGTGGCGGGGACGTGGTCGGCTGAGGCAAAGCTTGGCACCGGGGCGGCTACGCGATGGGGGTGGGCTGGTGGTGCGGAGGCAGGAAACAGGACCTGGGGATGAAATCCAGCGCTGTAATTAAGGGACAGGGTCAATGTCGCTGGAATGGGCGGCGACGCGTTGCGGTTGGGGTGGGCAGGATGAAGATGAGACGTGATTGGGAGTGGGCAGGAATGTCTCTTCCAATAGATGGGGCCTTCACCTGAACGACTATATGCCCCGCGTCTTAAGTAGATTTTATTGTTCCTGCTTCAGTATTGAGGACCCCTCAGGTACACTCGGTTGATGGACGACGACAAGTAAATGATGCTTTGATGATGATGAGCATGCGTTAGGGCAGTCGGCGCTGACAGGCGCGGGAATGTGATTTGTCCAACAGGGCCAACTGTCCCAGTTAGGCATGTCGGACCTGCAGACACCCGCACTTCTGCAAGGCACCCGTTCGTGAAGGAAGCCAAAACCAAACCAAACATCGGGGGGGGGCTGATCATGATGATGCACGGCCGAGATATGGATGATCCGACATGGAATGGAAATCGACACCAGACGGAGGCGTGGGATCCCTGAACAGCCACCTGCCGACACTCGCGTAGCCCACGCCTAGGAACGCCGAAAATAAACACCCGCGGGTCCGTTAGCCAGGCCTGAAATCTCATTAATCTCCTTGGGCTCTGGGACAGGTCCTGTGCGCTGCGGCGTCCAAAACTCAACTGAACGGGGTGCTGGCGGGCTCCTCGCTCCAGCGCGTCGGAGCACCTGGAGCCTCTGGGCCACCCGCTGTCGTGCCCCGGGGCCGCCACTGAAACAGCGCTAGGCCGGCTTGGGGGCTTGCGACTTCGTTGGTGGTGCTCCCTCCGGGCCTGATTTGGTCGTGGGATACTTAGAGCTTCGAGATGGAAAAGTGGTGATTGTCTGTGCCCTCGTGATTTCCCTCGTCGTTCTCACATTGTTCTCCTTTTCATCTCTTGTCGAATTGCGCTCTGCGTCTGCCGATTCTGGTGACAGACACGCCGTCGGTTCGCATCTGCTGCAACCTCAGTGGCACAGCTGGCCACCATCCCAGCCAGAGTGCCATCACCACCACCTGCCTGGTCAAGCGCTCCTCCACTCTCAACCTCACACACTCCAAACGCACTCCACCGAGTCCGCCCCAATCCATCCGATGCCCAACGCCCCCGGTTGAAACGCAATGCACCGCCGCGGCCAATGGTAATGGCGGGTTCCCCTGGACGCCCCTGCACGTCTGTTCTGTCCCTTGCTCGCTCGTTCCGCTGCGTCGATCATGGATGGCTCCACCGCCATCAGTGGCGCTTCGTCCGAGAGACAGAGAGACACGGCCAGAGACAGAGCCACAGGCAACAAGCCAGAGACAGACGCCGGCATCCATCCGACGACGGAGGCGTCGGCCTTGGGTTCGGACTCGGCACCACCACTCACACCCTTGCCCGTGTCCACGACTATGCCCTTGTCCCTGCGCATGCTCCTCACGATGCTACCCTGCCCGAGCCAGTTGAGCCCGGATGGCCTGGATGGACGGACCCCCAATATCCATCCATCTCTATTAGCCTCTCCTAGTCAAGACATTTAACCCAGGTCACATATAAGACACTTGAGCACGCGGGTCTGCCCTCACCTCCCTTCTCTGCCCTGCCCTCTGCCTCTCCGTTCTTCGCTTCTTGCCTCAACCTACGGTCCTTTTCGTGAACTGCGCGCGTGCGTGTGTCTCTCTTTTCAACCCTTTTTATTCAAACACTCCCTCCACCCTCTTTATTTTTCTTGCGAATTCCCATTCGTTTTGGTCTACCTGCCTTGACTGGTCTCGGCTGCTACAATCATCACGCTCAGCCCCCAGCAACGATTCGGTAAGTAAGAAAAGTGTGCACCTACACCCCTTGACGCCTCCCTTGCACTGTTCCTGTTGGTCCGACTTCTTAAGACGCCACGAAAATGTTGTGCATGCCTCGGTTGGTTCGCAAAGCTGCGCCTCGCCTTCAAGGCATTGGCTGGCTCTGACAGCTTGGGTTGGTCTCAGGCCAAGAAAACAATAGTCGCGATTTGCGTGACGGAAACCCATTCAGGCCATACAAAAAGCACACCTCGTTGGCGCAATCAACGCGCTACCTCACCTCGCTCTTCATGTGATTTTCTATTCACTCATTCACCACCTCTATTCCATTGTTTTTATTGTTGACCAGTCCATTTTTGGCATTGTTCTTCATTGTTCGCCTCCCACTTCATGCATTCCTTTCTTCCCAACCTTGTCCCCATTTGCAACCTTGACAGCCTCTTTTTCACTTTGAGACCTCAATTTTCTCCCCGAATACCCTCCCGCACCAATTTTTTCCTTTTCCCAGCCATTCTACCACTTTGCATCTGAGACAGATATCGCTTAACCGAAAGCAAGACACGAAAACGCGACTGACCCGATTTACATATACATAGTCCGCCGCTGGATCTACTTCATCAACAACTCCTTTTGAACAACTACTGAACCCGATTCCCTGGAGGACATCACTCAAGTGGTACTACATCATGATGGGTCTCTCAACGATCCTCACCACCGGCCTTTTGGCCTTGCGCTTGTTCGCCCCCGTCAGCGCTGCTCCTTCTCCCATTGCCGCCGAGGCATCCCTCTCCGCCAGGGCAGACTCCACTTGGTGGTTTGCGAACATCGAGCGCCAGGGCGCCGCCGCCTACGGAGCTGCAGACTACAAGGTCTTCCGCAACGTCAAGGACTATGGCGCTACTGGTGACGGCAGCACCGACGACACCGATGCTATCAACTCAGCCATGTCTGATGGTAACCGCTGTGGCAAGGGCTGCGACTCCAGCACCGTCACTCCCGGTCTCGTCTACTTCCCTCCCGGTACCTACGTCGTCTCCAAGCCCATCACCCCCTACTACTACACCCACATGGTTGGTGACATCAAGTCCCTTCCCGTCCTGAAGCCTTCTGCCGCCTTCACTGGCATGGCCGTCATCGATGCCAACCCCTACGAATCCGATGGCAGCAACTGGTTCACCAACCAGAACAACTTCTTCCGCCAGATCCGCAACTTCAAGATCGATCTCACTGGCATGCCCAAGACCTCTGGTACCGGTATCCATTGGCAGGTTGCCCAGGCCACGTCCCTTCAGAACATCGAGTTCATCATGATTGAAGACTCAAGCGAGGAAAACGCCCAGCAGGGTATCTTCATCGACAACGGCTCCGGTGGCTTCATGACCGACCTCACCTTCACCGGTGGCAAGTACGGCGCTTTTATGGGCAGCCAGCAGTTCACCACCCGCAACATGACCTTCAACAAGTGCAACACTGCCATCTACATGAACTGGAACTGGGCCTGGGCCTTCCACGGCGTCACCATTGACAACTGTGGCGTCGGTATCGACATGACTTCCGGCGACGGTAGTGTTCAGAATGTGGGCTCTGTTCTCCTCCTCGATAGCACCATCTCCAACACCCCCATCGGTGTCGCTACTCTCTACGACCCTGCCCAGTCTGGTGGCACCAACGGAACCCTCATTCTCGACAACGTCGACATGTCCAGCAACGTTCCCATTGCTGTTAAGAACACCGGCACCGAGGCCACCATCCTTGCTGGCAACGCCAAGATTGAGTCGTGGATCCAGGGCCGCACCTACATTGACGGCAATGGCAAGACTGTCCAGGACACGCAAACCGCCGTCTCCAAGCCTGATGTCCTGATTGACAGCAACGGCCACGTCGTTACCAAGAGCAAGCCCCAATACGACGACGTCGCCGCTGACAAGTTTGTCTCTGTCAAGGCCAAGGGTGCCAAGGGTGACGGCTCCACCGATGACACTGCTGCTATTCAGGCCGTCTTTGACAGCATCGGCACTGATGAGATTGTCTACTTCGACCACGGTGCCTATGTCATCACCGACACCGTCAAGGTCCCCAAGAATGTCAAGATCGTCGGTGAAATCTGGCCTCTGATCATGGCTGGTGGTGACACCAACTTCAAGGACCAGGCCAACCCCAAGCCCGTCTGGCAAGTTGGTGAGAAAGGCGATGTCGGCAACATTGAGATGCAGGACCTCATGTTCGAGACCCTCGGTCCCCAGCCCGGTGCCATTCTCATGGAGTTCAACGTGGCTGGAGAGACTGCTGGCTCCGCTGGTCTCTTTGACGTGCACTTCCGCGTTGGTGGCTCTGCCGGTACAAACCTGCAATCCGACACTTGCAAGAAGACTCCCAAGGTTGACACCAAGCCTGTTGACGAGTGCGTCGGCGCTTTTATGCTTGTGCATGTCACTTCCGAGGCCAGCATCTACATGGAGAACACCTGGCTCTGGGTGTCTGACCACGAGCTCGACTTGTCTGACCACTCCCAGATCAACATTTACAACGGCCGTGGTATCCTGATTGAGAGCACCAAGGGCTGCTGGCTTTGGGGTACCAGCTCTGAGCACAACGTCCTCTACAACTACCAGTTGACCAAGGCCTCCAATGTCTACATGTCGCTCATTCAGACCGAGACCGCCTACTTCCAGGGCAACCCCGATGCGACCGTTCCCTTCACCGTCAACTCAGACTTCTACGACCCCGACTTCTCTACCTCGTGCACTGGCGACTCGACCAAGTGTGCCCGTACCTGGGGTGTTCGCGCCGTGGACTCGTCTGACATCTTCATCTACGGTGCCGGCCTCTACAGTTTCTTCAACAACTACGACCAGGTCTGTGTCGGCGAAAACAACTGCCAGGACAACATGGTCAGCATCGAGAGCTCCACTCTGCACCTCTATGGCCTGTCTACCAAGGCCAGCGTCAACATGGTTACTGTGGATGGATCTTCCGCAGCTCTCGACTCGGACAACCGCAACAACTTCTGTGCTGCCATCGGTCTCTTCTCTACAACCAGCAACGGTCAGAGCGACGGTGGCAGTGGCAGCTCAGACTCTAGCTCTTCTAAGGCCAGTGCGAGTAAGACCACCGTGGTGAACGATGCAGCCTCCACAAAGCCTGCGGTTGTGACCTCTGCTGCGGCGACCTCTGTTGCAGCCACGACTGTTGCGACCTACGTCTCCGTGACCACAGTCACTGTCACGAAGACAGTCGTTCAGACCATTTACCCTACCGCCTGAACATATCCTCTACAAACGTACATATTGAAGGAGTCGCCGCAGAAGTGGTTGTTACCTTATTCTTTTCAACAGTTTTTTTATGTTTCTTTTTCTTGGTACCGTAGTGACTGATTGGGTTTTAAAAGTCACCGGGATTTGGAGTTCGGGATAGCGACGCAATGCGCCAGGCAGGGGCTCGGGTGAGCTAGACGGGGTAGCTAGATGAATTAAATCAAAGCGCTTCCCTTACATGATTGAGTGTCTTCTGGTGCGATGCATGACAGCGATGTGAGGTGGTGGAGTATTGAAACAGACGACCATACATCCAGGGTGGCTTGTCCTTTCGTCGTATCGGTCGCTGGGCTTCGCGACGACGACCAGCGTTTGAAATCAGACTTAAATAATGGCGAATGAGGAAATGAGGGCCAAAAAAGGCCCAAAAGATCTCTGTAGCAAAAAGAAACAAGTTATGTCGTACGCTAGCAAGACGATGGAGTCTCGAACTGACGAACTTGGACAGCTGTGACTGGCAAAAAGCGAAGCTCACCGAAGTGATGTTAATATCAAGGAAGATTTGAATAATCAATTAGTTTCGCTACTTCGCTAAAAGAAGTGACAATTAGTTTTGCTTATAAGGGCTGGTGGCTATGGCTGGATGCCTGGTCCGTGGCGTTGGTAGCGTGTTGACTACGAGGTGGCGTAGGACTGGGCGGTGGGTGGGTGGCTGGCGTCGTGGGAGATGAGCGTGAGTACGTGGGACGTTATTGTAGAAACAAGCTCAACCGCTCAGTACTTCGTATTAGAGCTACTAAACGGAAATGGGCATATGATGGAAATTTGGATATGGGACGGCGTATGGACATGCATTGTGGGCGAATAATACGCTGTATGCATAAAGAGGTAGGCCGGCGTGGAACACAGGGAGCTTCAAAGGAGATCAAAACAAAACTAGGATTTGTAGGATTGGCAAAAAATAAATAATCAGGTAGCCCAGGAGCGGTATTCGAACACAGAGGCCCAGGCCAAACCCCTCTAACCCAAAAAGCGAAGCCTCCCGAGAGAGGCCAATGATAACCCGGTTGTTTATGCCGGACCACTGGAACGATCCATTGGATTGATTTGACTTGAACGTTGCTACTTCGCTGAGGAAGAATATTGTTACTTCGGTATATCAATCAAGCTTTTCTTGGTCTGCAGCTGGAATCGATTGGTTGGTGAGGGCGAGAAGTGGGCGGGGGTGAGTACCTGGAGAGTGTAGGCAGCCACAGGCGAGAAGCGCCGGCAACCCGGATGACGCAGACCGAGCTTCACGATGGAAATGTCAACGAGTGCGAGGGGATAATGATTTATTGATTTATTACGGATTAGATGGAGAGAAAGGACGGCAAATAAAAATAAATAAAAAATACAGTAGAAATAGACTGTATATCCAAAAGCGAAATAACTTGGACTTGAACAGCAAGCCTCAAGCCCATCTCTGTCCCAAAAAAGCGAAGGACGGGTATCAAGAGCGATCCTCCCTGTTGGTCATAGGGTCGCACTGCTCGGCCACATCTCAGTTTCATTGTAGAATGACTACTTCGCTGGGAGAGGAGAAGGTTACTTTGGTATATCAAGGTCAATCACTGTCTGTGGATGCAAATCACTTGGTTGGGGCGAGAGAGGAGTGGGTCGAGGGCCGGTGATCATAGGCGAGCAACCCGGATGATCAGAACGCGCTTCGTCACGCAAGAGAGAAGACAAAAGAGAAAAAAAAGAGCAATCGTAAAAATTAAAATATGGTTGAAAGAAAACTAAAAACACGAGTAAATAGATGAGCATGGGCAGGCGCTAGGTCAAAAGCGGAATCCCTTGATCTCGAACAAAGGGACGAATCCAGCTCTATCGCCCGAATAAGCAAAAAGCGAAGGCCGACGAGGGCCATCACGAAACGCCCACTCGACTACAGAAACTAGGTATGGTAAATCTCGCTACTTCGCTGAGAGACCAGATTGTCTCATTGGTATATAACGGCTCTATTTTTTGATGTTGGATGGTGGGGTGAGACGTGGGCTGGATGCCTGGAGCGTCAAGGGACCAGGCAGCCACTTGGGGATAACCCAGTGTGAGCCATACAGGGATGACACAACGAGCACTCTTCGCCAAGGAGTAATAAAAGATGATAAAGAGACGGTCATTAAAACAAATTACACAACTGGGACAAAAAGGAACTAAAATTACACACGCAAGAACAAGCGGGGGTCAACGGTCAAAAAGTGACGACAGTTTCGAACTCAGGGTCCTACGTTATAGATGTCACCAAAGTAGCAAAAAGCGAAGGCTTCCCAAGGAAAGCTTAATGTGGTAAACGTTTGATCGGAATCAAGCATCAAAATGGCCGTTAAGGCAGACTGTGTGATCTACTACTTCGCTGGGAGAGTCTGACGGTACTTTGGTATATCAGGGCTCGTGTTAGTCGTTGGGTGGTGGGGCGAGAAGTCGGCGCAGGACGCCAGGAGCATCCAGGCCGCAGGCAGCAACACAAGATGAGCCACAGCATATTGTGCCTCATGGGGAGGATGGAGATTGACGTGATGATCAAATGAAATACTAATGGAATCGAGATATATTTTTATCTACGGCATTTAAAAATTGCAAACACGAATTAAATAAGGACTAAGAACACGTCAAAAAGGGAGAAACGCCTTTCGAACTCAAGGCTCTCCGTGATTGAGGCATGTCGCCCAAAGCAGTAAAAAGCGAAGGCTTCCCAAGGGAAGCTTAATATGGTAAACGTTTGATCGGAATCAAGCATCAATGGTCCGTTAAGGCAGACGGTGTGATCTGCTACTTCGCTGGGAGAGTAGTCAGCTGGATTTGGCTATAAGGGAGGGTTCGGATGCCAGCGCTGGTGCCTGCTGGGATCTGGGACAGTACATAAGATGAGCGCTGAGGTATTTGTGCTATGATATGCAGCGGCACAGGTGCTAATACATATTCGGATTGTGTAATGTTCTGGATGCCTGCCTACCTCACTCTCTTGATCAAGATAGCTCACAGAACGTCCGCCCGCCCACCTCAGTACCAACCCTTACTTTGGCCCTTCTACTTAGACGCTTATCGTCACCAGCAGGCTACATCGCCTTAGAGAACGAGCGATAACCGGAGCAGAGAAGGACAATTTGTAGCACGCAACCAAGACGGACACCAGTTAACCGAGGGCAAGTAAGCTACCCTAGACTAAGGAATCTTAGCTCCGGATGCAGTTGGTGGAAGCGATTGCTTCTGCCACAGCCGCCACGTTCTTTCAAGATCGTGAATTTGACGTTGAGATTCTTGGATATTATCTAGTCGCTGCTAGCCTGATGACTGGGGTGTTGAATCTCCCTTCCTCAGCATGAAGCGTCCCATGCTAGCTCTACTCTAAGTGCTATCGGCTCAGAGTCCTAACCACTCGAAATCCTTGTCCACAACTGCCGTGCTCTCTAGACCCTCGACATGACCAATGCTAATGCCATAAGTTCCCCTTTCAACCTTCCATACGTTCTTTGCAACGTCCCAATGACTAAGGGATTTCTTCAGATCCAGTACAATCTCTACCTCCTTCGAAGTTCCAGGCTCGAGTGTCACCTTGGTAAACCCTCTGAGTGACTTCGGACGTGATACTGGCGTATTGATGGGTCGGACGTAGACTTGGACTGCCTCTGCGCCGACCACACTTCCTGTGTTCTTCAGGTTTACCTTGACGATAAACTTGTCCTTCTTTTCGATGTTGCCGATACTGCTAGACTCGACGACGAGATCGCTGTACTGGAAAGTGGTGTAGGAGAGACCGAAGCCGAATGGATATCTGTGGCTAATTTCGGTCGTGTCGCGGCGATACCCGACTTGGAGTCCCTCATTGAGATGCAAGTCGATAGTACCATCGGCAGCCTGAGTGGCAGGGAAATGAGAAAACGAGCCGACGTCCTCCAAGCGCTTCGGCCACGTCGTAGACAACTTTCCACTTGGGTTCACCTTGCCCAACAGAACATCTACAATAGCTGCGCCTCCCTCTTGTCCCAGGTAGTGAGCGTGGACAATCGCATCAACATCGTTGACGAATGAAGACACATCCAGAGGGCCACCGCTGTAAAGAACCACAATGGTTCGCTTGCTGGCAGCCGCCACAGCCTTCACCATGGCAGCTTGGTTGCCTGGGAGGCTGATGTCAGGCATGTCTGCGCCTTCTCCCTCATGCTCCGAGTTTCGTCCCGCGAAGACGATAGAGACGTCCGATTCGGATGCAATTGAGACCGCTTCCGCAATAGCATCCTCGTCAGAGAAGGCGTACTGAAAGCAGAGACGTCCAATGTGAGGGGCAGGCTCGTTGGGCTTTTGCTTTACAGACGTCCAGGATTGAATGACCAGTTTGATGGAATATGATTTCCCGGCTTGCATGGGATGCGCACATGATTTCTCTAGTTTGAATGGAGTGAACAGGAAGTCTTCGGCATTGCAGTTCGGGGACGGTGCAGACAAGACCTGATACCACGATTAGCTTTTCCCACAATAACAGACTGGGAGAAAGATTTACCTCGGAACTATCTACAAATAACTTGAATGCGCCGGTTGTGTGTACACCAATGGTATGATTGCCGGTGGTTTCCGGAGTCAAGGTTGTGCTTAGCTCGTATCTGAAGCCAGCTGCATCCAACCCAGGTCTAATACGACCCAGCATCGCAACTTGACCATGGCTCTGGAACTCTTTGAGTACAGGAGAATCAGGAGACTTGTTGTTGTAATATGTAACGTCAACTCCATTCTTTCCGTTCTCTGCCCTAATCAAGTCGGTGGGTATGGTTGGAAGAAGCTTGTTGCATCGAACGCCAGCAGCGAATTGAACAAGCTCCGACTGAGGATGCGCAGCGTCGATGAAGTCTAACGGCTTCAGCACGTATTGCGGAGGTGCGAGGGAGCTTCCTCCGCCGCCCACAGGAGGGTCAACTGCTGGCTGTCCAACAATAGCGAGCTTGGGAGCTTTCGTCAGATCCAACGGCAGGGCCTCGTTCTCGTTTTTGAGCAAGACAATTCCCTCCGAGGCAACCTCACGGGCGACGGAGATGGCTTCTTTAGTGGTCAAGGCCGGCTTGCGATCGGAACTGGTCACTCTGTCAATCCATTCCAGCATCTTGCGTGCGCATCGATTAATATGCTCCTCGGTGACTTGGCCCTCTTCGAGGGCTTTGAGAAGTCGGGGTCCACGGAAAATGGATGGTCCAGGCATTTCTAAATCCTGGCCGGCCAAAATAGATGCGGCCGTAGACACAGTACCGAACCAGTCAGACTGGATGGCACCGCCATAGCCCCATTCTCCACGGATGACCTTCTCAATGAGTGGCGTCTCTGACGTATAAACACCTTCGACTTTGTTGTACCTTCATGCAGTTAGCATTGCGCTTCTTCCGTTCCATTGTGATGTCGGTGGGAGTCAAGGTGAAAACTCACGACGTCATGATGCAGACTGGGTTAGAATAAACAAGAAGCTCCTGGAAAGCTGCCAGATATAGTTCCCGTAGCGCGATGCCGCCTGTAGGGTCAATGACATTATACGCCCTCCTGTGGTTCTCGGCATCGTTGGCGACAAAATGCTTTGCACATGCGCCAACTCCCTGCTGCTGGATACCGTTGATCATGGCGCCACTCAGCCGGCCTGTGAGATAGGGGTCCTCGCTGAAATATTCAAAGTTTCGTCCGCAGCGTGGGTCACGATGCAGATTGACACCCGGGCCCATGATAGTTGCTATGTCTTTCTCTCTCGCCTGGCTGCCGAGCGCTTGGCCGAGGCGATAGCTCAATTCCGGGTTAAAGGTAGCTCCAAAGCAGCTGGTACTTGGGAAGCAAACGGTCTTGGGACCACCGCCTGCCAGAACATCGGCGACTGTGTCACCGGCATCAATGGCCATGGCGTCCTTGACACCATTTACTCCCTCAGCTAACTGTGTCCACACTATTAGCCCAGCTCATCATCAATGATGTGCTGAGCATGGCAGCAAATTCTTACCTTGAGGGAAGGAATGTCTAATCGAGGGATTCCAGCTGTGGTAGTGAATCCAGAACCCGCGAGAAGAGAGACTTTTTCTTCAATTGACAGCTGGGCCAACTGCGCCGTCACTTTCTCGTTATTGTAAGGCAGAGAGATTCTCTCGGATGCCTCCGCAAAGTGCCCCATATTTGGGAAGGGAGGATGTTGAGAATCCTAAGCTTTGAGTAAAATGGCTGTGTTTACTTGAGTTCCTGGGGTAAAGGCACCACGATTAAACAATATCATGAGTTTTGGTGTGGTGTGCTTTGCCTTCAATCAACACAGGTTAATAAGAATGTATTATTTATACGTTCGGGCCTAAAAGCCTCCAGGAATACCTATAACGGACCACCTTCCGAAGGACTTGCCATCTCCACAACTTGGTGTTTGCCTGTCACTCCATCGCCCACCTTCCGGGATCTCCGAATATCTATCGGCTGTTCCGTAATCAGAGTCAAAGCATAGCTGTGCTGTTTGGTGCCGTATTGCTAGCGTGATCTCTCGGAATTAAACCAAGACTAAAACCATCCACCGCGCCAATCTAGATCATCATTCTTTGTGCCGCACCAATAGGGTCAAAGCAGCCACAGGGTAAACAGAATGACATTCAGGCTATTTTATTGTGCTGCTCGGAAAGTGGTCCCGTCACTAAATGGCTGGCTGTTACGCAGACAGGCGGCACATCTAGCTTCTTGGCCGTCCGAATAGGACTAAATTACTCGAATGGACCCCTTTAGAAGCGTTCGTGATAGTATCTCTCATGTTTACTGCGCCCTTGTGATATAGAAGCCTGACTTGCCACTCAAACGCTACTCAAGCCACCTCGGGTTGTGGCCCGCACGAATCCTCTTTGCAAGTACCCTGAGTTCACCCCGGACTGTGTCGAGTATGGGGAAATGGATTTCATGTATAGAGGCACTAGGGTACTTAGATCCTTAGATCTCTTCTTGAAAGAGCGTTTTCATTTTCACAATTAGATCTCATTCTTCTCCCATTAGTAAAACCCTCCTATCTCGTCTTTATATTTCCCGTCATCTTTAAAGATGGAGGCTGACAAACCTGATGAAATCTATCTCAAGTAGCGAGATGGCAAGCTCGAGGTCGAAGAGGGCATCCAGCTCTATGAATCGGAGCGTGACATGACTCTGTGGCAGGTCGCGAAAGCCCATCGCTTAATCCTGTTGTATGGTGAGATTCAATCTCGTCACTCGGCTGTTCTGGCTAGATTGATGGCAACTAAAAAGCTCAGGCTGCCATTCTAGTCGTCATGTTCGCTTTTGTCCCTGAGTGAGTGCATTGGTATTAAATAATTGAAAATCGTATGACTAACCTCTACTTGCTAGATCTCCCGTCTACCTGATTAATCAAGGCCGACTCGACCAAGCGAAGAAGTCTCTGCATACTCTCCATGGGAAATATAACTTTATCGATGCGCGATCCGCTCATCTGATGCACGTCATTCGACACGAAAACTCTGGCAACCAGATTGGGGCTGGAAACTACATTGATTGTTTCAAAGAAACAAATCTCAGGCGCACATTGACCGTCGTTTTTGTCCTTGGTGGTCTAAATATCTACGGCGCTCAGCTTCTTGTCCAAAACATTTACTTCTTGCTCATTGCCGGCCTTCCATTTGTCCATATTCTCGACATTGGAATTGGCGGTATGGGACTTGGCCTCTTCTTCACTGTAGCTAGTCGCGATGGAGAAGCTCGGCCGCCGTCTCATCTTCCTGTCTGGCCCCTTCTTATCCGGAATTTCCTACTTGTTGTGGGTGGGTTGTATTACGCCCCCGGCTTGGGTCCTATCTGGGCTGTGGCTATCATTCTCAACTTCCTCATTGCTTGGGGAGTGTTGTCTTTCATGTCTGTCGGGTGGGCTACTGGCGCGGAACTTTCCTCCCACAAGTTGCGAGCTAAGACACAGTCCCTTGCTGTCATCTCTAGTGCTTACTTTGCTTGGTTCTTTTCTTTTATTACACCATTCAGGTATAGTGTGGACTCTGGAAACCTGGGGGCAAGGACTGGATTTATCTTTACGGGTCTTTGCACCATATACGTGGTTATGGCGTACTTTGTTGTGCCTGAAGCAGTGGTCCAAGTTCGCCTAGTTGGACTGGATGCATGAGAATAGGGTCCCGTCGCGGAAGTTTCAGGCTTTGGAGGAGGAAGCTAGGAGCGTGTTGGTTGAGTACGCGGCCAATTGAGTAGGTAATGAACCAGCATGAACCTTCGGGGTTAATTTTAGCTAAACATTTATTGCTACTGTCTCATCATGATTCGGATCTTCAAAAGTTGTGATAAAACAGAATGAGACTACTGGGACCTGAAGGGAGGGTTGTGTAAGTATCGTCCTTTCATTTTCCCAGCAAATATAACCTAAGGTGTGGTGTTCAAAGCAGCGCCGTAACGTCCGAGTGTGTATGCCTTCATCATCCTGTCTGCCCCATGCCCCCTTCCACTAATCTCACACAAGCAACAGCCGTTCCAGCTGCCATCATCCCCAATATTAACATCTGCAAGCCCTCCCAGATACATCGCCAACCCATCCCCTGGCCTCTAAGTACCCAGCTCTTCCCTGATCCGAATGTGAACAAAGCGATCAGACAGAGACAAATGCTCCAACGCAGGCCCATCCCAACTGTGCTAGCAAGGAAGTACGGACAAAGTGGAATAATACCACCGATTGCGTAGCCGACGGAAATGGACAGGCCGGAAAGAAGAGGAGAGATTGGAAGAGCGTCGGAGGTCGCGGTAGAGAGTTTGTCGTTATAGGATTGAAGGCCGGCAGCAACACGTACTGCTCTCCTAGGTTCATCTTGCAGAGTTGTGAGGATTATTGATACGATCGCTGGATGAAGATCCAGCGGCTCGAGATGACGGCGTACGAGCTCCTCTGTGTCGCCACTGAACTTCTCCGTGACCTCTGGGCTGGTAATGGTCTCGTGATTCCCATCATAGCTGAGCATCCCTCTCGCCTCCTCCTCATCATCGACATCGCTTTGTTGCTGACTCGGCCGTTGCACTTGGGGGACTTCATCGCGAGCAGCCAAGTACCCTCCGATGCCCATGCTGATGCATCCTGCACATAGCTCTGCCAAACCACCAGATATGACTGTGTCGGTGCTGCCGAGGGAGCTGAGCCCAGCGGTCAAGGCGAATGGGACGGTCAACCCATCTGAGAATCCGAGGGTGAAGTCGGAGAGGAAGCGGGTGAGGGATGGACTCCGCGATAGCTTCATGGCTTGCTATTTCTGCAGATAGATCAAAGGAATGGAGAAAGAGTGAGTGACAGGATCTCAATCCCAAGCTCGCCGAGGTCATGGACAAAATGCACGGCAGTCTGTTCCGTCGCTTCCACCTACACCACAGCGATCCACATGCAAGCTCATATCTACTTTCCTCTTTGGCTCGCTCGTCTCGGCCTTCGGTGACGATCCTGGATAGCTCTCAGCTGCTTCCCGCCATCTCGGCATCTTGCTGCCGTTCAGACCCTGCACGCAAACGGCAAGGGTAGAGGAGCAGTCCCACAACCCTGTGAAGCATGCATAACGCTCCATTCCCGGCTTATCAACGCCCACCATCTCATTCGCCTCGTCCCGGACGCCCCTGGACCGATGACAGTGGATCCATGGCGGGAGGCGTTCCTGGAGAAGACGTTACAGCCACAACCGACGGAGTTGGAGGCACGTGGGTGGAGAATCCTTGTTGCGATAAAGCTTGTGTGCCGATCTTCCATCGACTTGGCGACTTGGCGAGATCTCGCGCATACGTCATTCGTCCGAACAGCTTTCACAATGTTTACATGTCAATTGTTACTGTACGCCATTGTCCGCGTCAGCTTTATGCGCTGTCACTTCTAATTACATGCTTAATTGTAACTGTCGGTATGTAATTGCTTCCTATTATGCTTCCACACAGAGGACATCGTCTATCTACAGGCCGAGAATAGAAGTACAGCTACTTATGCGACAGGGGCATAACCCTTGGGGGGGCTAAGCCCATCGGGCAGCTCAATGGTATCCTTGTAGTACGTCGGCGCCTTGCTCTTCTTCCACTCCTCCTTCACGGGTCCGTAGACCTTTCGGCCGGAAAAGGTGTGCTCAAGGTCCAAGTTGGGCGCAGGGTACCTGGAGTTGCCGCCATCGCTGTTGAAGTAGCCCGCGTACGAGAAGTTCCAGAACATGCCCTCAAACTTCTTCTCCGACGTCCACTTGCGGATCTTGTCGCCCGTCTTCTTGCCAACCATCTTGAAGACGTTGGCGCCGACGTCCCAACGTCCAAGGGTGGGGAGATCCCAGTTGGCCTGGACGGTGGCAATCTCCGAGTAATGGTTGTAGAAGCTGTTGTCGGTGGTGCCGACAAGGTTCTTGGGAACGGCATCGCCGACGAGGATGGCGAGGATGTTGTTCTGGATAGCGTAGGTCTCGTTCTCATCCCAGGTGATCAGGACGAGCGTGTTGTCCATGAAGTGCTTGTCCTCCATGAGAGGCCCCAGGAACGAACGGCACCAAGCACCGGCGACAGTAGCAGAGGTGTCGTGGCCGTCGGAGGTCATGTTGGGGGTGATGAACATCCACTGGGGCAGCTTGTTTGCCTTCAGATCCTTGTGGAACATGGACTGCTTGGTGTCAATCATGGAGAGGTTCTTGATCTGCGACAGGCGCTGCTCAGAGCTGGCCACCTTGTCAACCAGGACGGCGGGGTTGTGCTTTCGAACGTAGTCGTTGGCTCCGTTCTTCTGGTTCACCCAGCTGAAGCCCTCGTACCCAGAGTAAGGCATGTCCTCCTGGTACATGCCCCAGGAGACGCCACGGTGCTCGAGCAGGTCAATGACGGTGGAGATGTTGGCATCGGCGCGATTGAAGGCATCGTTCTGCATGCCAAAGTAGTCACCGGCAATGGCGGCTAGGTAGTTTGGCTCCGAAGGATGGGTGACGCCGAAGTAGTTGGAGAGCGTAATGCCCTTGGAGGCGAACCAGGCAAAGTTGGCTGGGTGGCTTTAGCATGAGAACTGGAATGCGAGGAGGTCAATTACTTACGGTCTCCAATGGCCTTGTCGTAGTTCTCGTTCTCGAAGTAGATGATGGCAATTCGATCAAACGACTTGCCCTTCACCTTGCTGGTCGGGCTGCTCGTCTTGGCCGTGGCAGCCGCAGCAGCAACCTCGGCGGTTCCAGTAGCAGTGTACTTGGTCTCCCACCCGGTGACTTGGGATGGCTTGTTATAATCCGGCTTGCGAGGGCTAGCAAGAGCAAGTCCGGCGACGGCCAGAACGGTGGCAGCTTTGAACAACATCTTGGTGAGCTGTGGGCAGTTCTGGGAGATTGACCGATGATGCAAAAGTTGGAAGTCGCCTTGATCGACGGGAACACCGAGGTTGATATCGACGTTGTCAACTATTCACACGGTCTTACAAAATGTAGTTCCCTTCGCCGAAGCCAAGCTCTTCATGGGTCTACTTCCGACTTCCGAGCCTGGTTCACGCCATCTCCACCGTCGGTCAAGGAAAGGTCCATGGTGCTGGATGAGCCTTCAACTCGCAGGCCCAGTTCAGCTTCGACTTCATGGGTCGGATGCCAATCCATTCTCCAATGGATGCACGTGTCTTCGAGGTTCGGAGTTGTGTGGGGTGATACACGCGGCGCTCGCGTGCCGTCTGATCCGGCGAGAAGGATGAAGATCCCAACTCCACCAAAAAAGTTCCCGCACTATCGGCCTGTGCAATGGAGACGAACGATGTGACCTAATGCTAATTCACAGGATTGTTACTGGCTGCCTCGTCCAACACGGCCGCCTCTTCGGGTGGTTGGTTGTTCGCCTTCCTATCTCATCCAAGTTGGACAACGAGTTTGTGCGGTTTGCTATGGTCAATTGCGACCTCTGACGATGCCATGGACGAGGGGACAGCAAAAAAATGAAGAAGACATGGACCGTCGAGCATGTTCTCTTCAAGAAACCCACGAAGCAACTGCGATGATGGCAGATGAACATGATGGCGCGACTCGTGCGAGTTCATCGGATGACGATCGAGCTCTCGAGCAGCAGCCATTCCTGGAAGCCCACGAGGACTCTGGCAATGAGGAGAAGAATCACCCAAAGAAGCAATCAATATTGAGCCATTGGCCAATGCGATTGTTCATCCTGCTCACCATTGTTTCGATTCTCGCACTCGGAGCTCTAGCTCTGGCATTCCAGCTCAGTTCTGCGAATAAATCTCACGACATTGATCACCAAGACCCATCCCAGCCAGCGCCCTCACCATCAGCAGGCATCCTCTACTACCACGAGGACATCCCCGAGACGCCTCAACTCCGCGATTCCGAAGAGTACGTCCTTGCTCAAACATGGGAGTGGGATGCGCCTCCGACAACGCGAGAATACAACTGGACTATCGCCTCTGCTACTCTCAACCCAGACGGAGTCTATCGGCCTATGATCCTCATCAACAACCAATACCCGGGGCCATTGATCGAATGCAACGAAGGAGACACCATCATCGTCCACGTCGATAACCAAGCTGTCAATGCGACAGCCATTCACTTCCATGGCATGTTCCAAAACGGCACCAATGCGATGGATGGTACCGTTGGCATCACACAATGCGCCATCGCCCCAAACTCGTCCTTCACCTACCAATTCGACGTGAAGGGGCAGTCGGGGACATATTGGTACCATGCACACCATAGCGCGCAGGCGTCAGATGGACTCTTAGGTCCCATGGTCGTACATTCGCCACAGGAGCGGACGCTTCAGAAGCTGGAGTATGCGACTGACAGAGTGGTGATGGTGCAAGACCACTACCACAACTTGACCTCGGACCTCCTCATGGAATATCTAGGGCCTGACCAGGAAAATGACGAGCCCGTCCCTGACAATGCCCTCATAAATGGCCGCGGCGTCCGCGATTGTGCAGACTTCGAAGGCTGGCCGTGCGACAGCACCAACCGCTCCACGCCAACATTCGATCTCGCAGCTGGAAAGCGCCACAGATTGCGCATCATCAACGTGGGCGCATTTGCAGAGTTCCAGATCCAGTTCGATGAGCATCCCTTCTATGTAACGGAAGTCGACGGCACGGATGTTCACCCCGAGCCATTTCATCGGCTGAATATCCTCCCCGCGCAGCGATACAGCGTTGTGATAGAGACGAATGTGACGACGGCGTCGGAGTTTTGGATGAGATCCCGAATGGTCACGCATTGCTTCACGAGACCTAATAAATACCTCCAGCCGGAGATACGGGCAGTAATCAGGTACACGTCTCCGGAGTCGAAGCCCTCGTTGGATGCGCCGACAAGCAAGGAGTGGCCCGAGGCAATCGAGGTCCTCTGTCGCGATCTCAACACCAGCCTCCTCCATCCAGTGGAGGCTATATCGCCACCTCCCGCAGATGATTTTGTTTTCCTCCGCGCCAACTTCGAAATTGGAGCGTGGCGTCTGGCAAGAGGGTTCTTCAACGACTCATCCTGGCATGCCAACGCAACACACCCGTCTCTGCACCGCTTCCTAGACGCCAGCGCTGGGGATGCTTCAATAGGGAGTCCCATCGGCCTCAACGAATTGGCATTCAATCGCCAGACAGAGATGGTCCTCCAAACAACCGGAATCCGCACGGTCGACATCTCAATCAACAACTTCGACGACGGAGCGCACCCTTTCCATCTCCATGGACACAACTTCTTCGTCCTCGTGCAGGGAAGCAGCGGCTACCCTCCTACGCAGGCCGAATTACCCAATTATCTCGAGAAACACGGATTGCTAGAGAACCCCCTCCGGCGGGATACCATTACGATTGAAGGATATGGGTGGGCGGTTATCCGGGTCACTTTTGACAACCCAGGCCTCTGGGCCTTCCACTGCCACAACACATGGCACGCTGAGTCCGGCATGTTGATGCAGGTGCTTGTCCGCTCGGACGTGGTGAGCGGCTGGGAGGTTGACCCGGAACAGAGAGAGATGTGTAAGCGGAAGGGTGTTGAAAAGGGCATGCGACCAGATGATAGCATATGGTTTGGACAATTTTAGACGAAGAAATGATGTGCCGAGGATTGTATATAAATAGAGGCACATTCCACCTGTAAATAGTTACGATTTTTGCCCTTCGAATTGCAGTGCACAATATCCTTGCAAGCGATCAGTAGCATAAAACATGTCCAATTCCGTACCGTTGCTTCGATATGTCGGGGAGGATGTGGCATCATAGGTGGGCCTGAATGTCAACTGAAGTGGAGGGGGAACAGAGGGATGAAAGAAAGGCGAAGATTGGGGTGGTTGAGCAACCCAAGCGATGCTTTGAATAAAAGAAAAAGGACAGTAAGAATGGTTTTCGAACTTGTGGCCTCCCTCCTCTGGCAACTTGTTCCCGAAACGGCAAAAAGCGAAGGCTGCCCGAAGGCGCCGATGTCTAGAGCGACGATCAGGTGAGTGACCATCGCCCGAACAAGAGTTCAGTGGTATCTGGCTACTTCGCTGGAAGAGGGAGCTATTGTTTTGGTTAATAAGGCCTGGTCTAGAGTGTTGGTTGGGTGCGTCTGAGCCGATCCTAGCCACTTGACTAGGGTGGTGATGACGGTCTGAGTCAGTCGGTGTCAGCCCACCGGGGAGTTGTGGCCTCAGTGTTGGTTGACAAGCTGATCCGAGAGCCAACAGTTGTGTCCGATGAGGCTACTGATTACTGGGGATTCGGAGTGGCTCGAGACATCTCGAGGTTGAGCGTGGCGGATATTCCGAAGGTTGACGACACCCCACCGGAAGTTCGTTACACCGCGGCCGGGGTGGAAGCATCGCGAACACGCCCCACGCCACCGCGTAGACGTCATAGGTGGCAGCTCCGGCCATCGCCAACAACCTGCCAGCAGAGCAGTTCCGTCACCACGCAATCCAATCTTCCTCCTCACCACTGAGTTCTTGTCGCGCTCAATTCATCCGATGCGACGTTGATTTCCGCGCGAGTCTCTCGTTCTCTTGTCTCGTCCGTCTTCGATCCGCCTATGGCCACCACTCGCCGTGCCGCAAAGCAGGCGGCCTCCCCCTCCAACTCCAGCGTCGAACCCATGGCTTCCGCCCAAGCCTCGGCCTCGACGCCGCGCAACTCGCCGTTTATTCCGACGCCCCTTGAGCGGCTCTTTCTCGCAGCGTTCCCCGTCGTGCTCGTCTTCGGCACCCTCTTCTCCGTCCTCTCTCCGGAGACGCGCTCGGCCCAGTACGATCCCGTCTCGCAGTCGCACTCGCAGGACCCGACGGCCGCGCCGAGCTACTTCGCGCGCAAGTCAAATATCTTCAATGTCTTCTTTGTCAAGCGCGGTTGGGCGTGGATTACCGTCGCATTCGCTGCCTTTGTCTTCACTCACCCCAGCACTGCCGTCGGGTCGCGCCGGCTCCGCGCCTCGCTGCGATGGGTTGCTGTCACCACTCTCTGGTTCCTCGTCACGCAGTGGTGCTTCGGCGCTCCCATAATCGACCGTGGCTTCCGATGGACTGGCGGCCGGTGTGAGTTCGCGCAACGGGAGGTCCAGATGGGGGATACTAGCATTGGAGAAATGGTGACGGGAATGGCGTGTAAAGCTGCAGGCGGAAAGTGGAAAGGAGGACATGATATCTCGGGCCACGTTTTCTTGTTGTCACTTGGAACTGCCTTCTTGATGCAAGAGGTGGGATGGCCAATCTTGCGATGGTCCGGCTGGCAGGCTGAGGAGAGGTGTGTCGTCATGTCCGACGGTGCACTGAAGAGTGCCAACGTTGAGGCCGAAGCGCCGGTTGGCCATGGCGCAGGAAAGCCTGCTCTAGGGCTAGGCACTAATTTTGCGCTCGGCGTGATGGGTTTAAGTATCTGGATGTTGTTGATGACGGCCATCTACTTCCACACCTGGTTTGAGAAGGTAAGTTCCCCCAACCACAGCTCCTACACGAAGATAAGGCTAACGGACCTTAGTTTACCGGACTCTTGACCGCGATAACGGCATACTCGATTGTATACACTGTTCCTCGGTTCGTCCCGGACATCAGACAGGTCATTGGCCTGCCGGGAATTTAATCCAAGCGGATGACACGGGGTGTTGTGGAATTGTGGAATACAACCATTAATGACAATGGGTTTAAATAGACATTAGAACTAAACAAATAATATCATTACTAATAAACTTACATCTCTCTAGATTGAAGTCAAAATTGTTTAAATTAACACCTTTAGTGGCCCAGACGAGACTTCCTAGTATCCACATGATCAATCGCTTACGTCCCTATCGGATCGGCAAAGACGATGCAAAATGTGAAGATTATTGACATTTCACAACATTCATAGCCAAATTCTGGGAAGGTACTCTGATTCAGGTCAGAAATAGCAAGGTACTAAAGGAATGCATTTGTGTGCGAAGAGAAACACTCGTCAACAACCTTTACTCCTCCTCGAAATCAAGAATTGGATACGCAACGTCAAAGAAAACCTCATGCAGTTCACCCAACAATGGTTGCTCAACTTTGCCACTCAGAACCTCGACGAACTCATCTCTTACTATGCACCTTGTCATCAGCTCAATCGTTTCAATATTGTCAAGGATCAAATCCTCGTCCCAGGAGTTATTCTGGATGATTGCTAGCTGTGATATAGCAGCCAGTTGCTCAATTTCTGGGATTCCTGCGATAAATTAACTTTCTGATGTGCAACTGGACTTCGAGAATTCTTACCACAGTCTTGGATACGCCCTGTTTAGGTCGTTAGTTGTAATAACACAAAGTAAAGGAGTCAAGGGCGAAATTACCTGGTGTCTCGAACGTAAACTTGTACACCTGTTTGACATGCATGAGATAGTCCCAAGGAGACAAAATCATTGTTTCGGGCTCCTTCGGTCTTTTGAGATTGTTCAAGGCAGTGTGATACATAAGCCGTGCAAGACTATCACTCTCGATGATGTGGGAGGCTGAGTAGAATTTTAATATATGATGACAGAAGGATGGGAGAGTGGTACTTACCGCGTGCGATGACGTCCTCAGGTCCGTCCTCCATTGTGTCTGACTGAAAAGGCAACCCATTCTTCTTCCCCATGATTCCCAAAGACCTCGCCTGTAGCTTGAAAGTCTCAAATCTTAGATGTTTCAGAAAGAACCACACGCGGCCAGGTGGAAGTCTCAAATAAGCATCAATAAGAAGACGGCGGTTCCGGTCCCTTATACGTTCGTCGACACCTTGAGACCAGGAATCGATCTTCACTCGTAGTTTCCACATAAGGCCGGACTGTTCCATGTCATACAACATCCCCTGTGCAGATCCACCTGAGACGCCTTCGTTAGACTGTTGTGCCGAGATCAAGTCAGAACGACATACCTAATGCTTTGTAGCTCCCCATGAGTTTCGTGAACTCTGGATTCGAACCTTGCTCATCTAGTTTCTGGAAGTGATTGCATATCTGCCTTCTCACAGCTTTTCCACGTCGAAACAACTCGTAGTGTGGAGTCGCCGGAAAGGACTGCACTTTCCAAACTGGCTTCTTTTCAGACCCCAGACTTCTCAACAGCGCTGCCAATTTGTTCAAGCATGAGAGTCGAGGCTCATCGCCCTCAGCGCTGACAATTTTTGTCAAAGGACATGGCTCTGTCAAGTACCATTCCAAACTTTGGCGGAACGCTGTTTCCGATTCAAAAACCACACTGGTGCAAGTGTAGGCATTGTCAAAAAGGATGGCATTGATTAGGAGGACATGTTTTGTTTCAATAGGGGAGAATTTAAAACAAAATTTGTGGTCCTTCCGTGTCCTGCCATCCTCTCCATCGAGATATCGCAACCGACCATTGACTCTATCAGCGTAGTTGTTCATTGCCTTGCTAATAGGAAGATCTTCGAGGATTGAATTCACTGGTCCTTTGTAAACCTTTCCAAGGGCCTGATAACGGCAGTCCTCACGCCACCTTTTCATGCCCGCATCGGCATCCTCTTCTGGCACCGACAGGAGGAAGCTCCTAAGCACGATGATCAACTTTGGCGATATCGGGGCAAATTCGTGGAGCGGGGTGTAGCCAACGCCTTCGGTATTCCCGGTTGCTTCGTCAGTAACAAAGGAATTAGGCCCTTCGAAGACGTTGAAACTGTTGTCCGTAAGGACGAATTCGTCATCAGCATCAGCAGGTGTGCAGATGGCCATGTAGGTGCCTTCGACATGGGTGATGAACCACTCAGCATCAAGGGGAAACATCTTCTTTGGGAGTTCAAAGATCCATTTCTTCTCGGCATCCATCTCGAGTTCCATGATTGCTTTGAGATTGTCGAACCAAACATCGATTGGCCGTTTGTAGCCCTTTTCTTCCATGTAGTCATTTAATACCTCTCGATCATCTGAGTTGTAGGTATCTCGACTTTCGTGGTAGAAACGGCGATGGAAAGTGGATCCGCGATACTTCAAGATGAAGAGGAACTTGCGGATGACGTTTCTCTCGGCGCGAGTAAGCCAGAGACCACTTTCGCGTTGCTCAAAGGACTTGACTATCTCATGGAAGATGATACTGGCAGACGATTCAAGCCTGGAGAACATTTGTTCCACGTGTTGCTGCTGTTTTGGGGTTGGTTGGCTTGTGTCTCGATACATGTCCATCTTCCCGAGAATCCGCTTGACTGGCTTTTCGCAGATGACGGGAGGATTCGCAGTGAGGTCAACATTTCGAACGACGCGATCACCAGGGTACATGCCCTTCTTGTATTTCCCCTTCGGTCGCTTCGACTTTTGCCCAGGTATCTTTGGCGGGGCGTATGGGTGGGAGAAGTTGTGCAAAAGAAATTGCGGGACGAAGTGGTGATACTGGGAGTTTGGTGCTTGAGCCATTGTCGACATTTGTGGCTTGTAAAGGGCAGTGAGAAGGAGTGAACTGAAATGTGTGCCAATGGAGAGTCTTGGAAAGGGAAGACAGGTCCCTTTGCCGACATAAATGCCTAAAGTATGGACGGGCGGAGGCCGTCGAACGGCTTTGTATTCATTTGCGGCCTACCATGGCGACGGCTCAGAGGCACCAATGAAATGAAGTTGCTGCCGGAGGCCCTCTGCTCCACTGGGAATCGGGGGATCTTGCCCCCGATTGCAGGATTATGCCGCACCCTTCAGGCCATGAATAGTAAGATCAACCCAGGAGCAAATCATAAAGCGACACGAGTTCAGCGACAAAGGCAACAATCAAGGCCAACGCCGAAATGCAAAAGAAATTCTACCCGAATGATTCGATGCACATGTGATTGGCGTGTCTATTCAGAGTTCTTCGCTAGCAGCTTATTGCAAAGAAGTAGACATTATGGGCTTCAGAATATGTTGCAATTATGCAGAGTTTAGTACGCCAACATGGCTTCCTGTGGAGAATAGACTACACTGAATGAGATTTCAACAAAAGCTTTCTGATCTAAAAGGTACAAAAACGTAAAAATAAAAGCAAGAGGCCGAGGTCATTGTCCGCACAGATAATGATGAATAGAAAACCCAAGAATAACCCAAATGCCTGGTGTTGGACGAGTGAAGCAGAAACTAAAAGCCTTTATGAGAAGGTTCCATCACGTTAAATGATGATTTTTCACGTGTCTTGTGAGATTGTCTTCCCTGCTGAACGTTTTTATACAAGACGGGTGCTTGCATCTGAATGTTTCCACAGACAACCCTATAGTCTTCGCTTCGTGCTTGTGCTTGGCGATGATATGTCGCTTCAAATCACGTCCGAAGCCGAAGCGTCTGGGGCAGAACTTGCAGAGCTCAGGCCTTTCGTCCTTCTTTCTCTCCCGTCTACTACCATGTCAATGTCAGATGTAAGGAAAAGGGGCGGACCTACAAACCTCAAATCACATGGACGACTTCGAGTCTTTTTGGAGACTAGAGTCACTTGGTCATTCGAACTATTCCCTGGCTGCGGATAATTTTGTAGGTCCGCAAGTGGCGCCGGGCTTAGTGAGGTTCCAGAGAGGTAGGAGTCATCTAACTGAGCGAAGGGAACACCGTGAACTGAACTGGCGCTTGATTCAGTAGTTAGTGAACCTCCTAACCATAGGGACTCAGGCGACAATGTAGTGCTTTCAGTTGACGTTGAATTATATGTTGTGAAAAATGCCATTGCATCTGATTCTGCGATGGCATCGTTCAAGGCGTTGGGCGAGGAGTCATGGCTGGTAGTTGTGAGGAGAGCATTGTTGAACTGATGTGTTTGGGGAGACGTGTCTAAGTTAGTGTTATCTTGAAGCGGGATTTCGGGAACCAAAGAATCGAAAGGAGTATCAAGCCAACCCTGAAGCAATCCACAGCTGAAATAGTTGTAGCGCGACGTCATGGATAGATTCCCTTCGACCCAAGGACCGTTGTCCATCGTAAGGTCTACTCCCGTGATCATTTGGTCCATATCGATTGCAGTCGGAGGATCCATGTCTTGTTTTGTCCGTGGAAGAGGCTGTCCGGCTCGTCACCCTCACCAGGGATTCTATTGCTCGTGTGTTGCGTGGTTATTGGGTTTCGTGGAATAAGTGGTGTAGAATTTTCGACTCCTGTTCGGATCGATATGGGACCTTTTTACGACGTATCCGGGTCCGACAAACTACTGTCGCGAAGGGTTAGCTGATACGTTTGTCTTTTCTGTTAGATCCGGGGAGCGATCATACGGAGTTCCAGAGAGAACCACTCGTCCTTCGTGCCATATCCCCCCATCTGAAGTCTCTTTGTCTTTCCAGCAACGCGTTGCTTGCGCCTCCTTTATTAACCGAAACCCAGAGACCGGCAGCACTTTGCGCAAACCCAAACGAGGTGGCATCCAGCAGCCATTGAAGGCAACTTCCATCCTCAGGGAAACGCTCCGCCCTGCGCGGTCGGTGGAGGATCGGCAAACCGGATCGGCAGCGGCAATTCGATGCTCTAAGAGCGTCAAATTCGACATCGAAAGTCCAGCCATAGCGGCAGATAATGAACTTTGGGGGGGCAAGGGCATCGGTGACTCAAGGAGGAATCAGCACAAGCTGCAAGGCAGAACTGGGGAAAGCTGAGCTGACGGAGCGTGTAGTTTCCTTAGAACAGTACCCGTCATATACCTGCCCTGAAGTAGGCCCAGCATATGACGGGTACTGTTCTAAGGAAAGCACACGCTCCGTGAGGGTTTTGTGATTATGGATGGAAACGAGAAGGAACCAGCGTTGGGGGAGAATCAGGCTTTATCAATTTTGGCTGCTGGTATCGCCAGCCCCGCATCGGACGATAAATGTACCGACTTTATGGCCCCCATTGGCATGCTGTAGTGACTGGGAGACACTTTATCTGCCTGCTACTGGGGTTTGGTTGGTTGGGCAGCGGTGGAGTTGGGAGGCCCATCACGCCGGCCACCTCAGAATGAGGCGGCCAATGCGATGGGACGCTGTACTTCCAGAGGCCTTGAGTAAGACAATTCTGGATCAATCACCTCACCAAAACTCCGCCATTTATCTTGGCCTTTATGACTTTTTATCGATAAGCTTATATGCGGAATCGACAAAAGTCCTTGAGTTGTTTAGGACGGAGGCATTCGACATGACAGCAGTAGTTGGCTGGAGGGGTTTGTCCAGCATGAACCACCCAACCTAGGTGGGAAGAGTGCCCAGTGGTGAAGCAAAGTCAGTGTACCATCAGAATTCCGTCCCAGCATCCCAGCTAAATAGTTATGCAAGTCCGCGACAAATGCCCAATTCGCTCGTAGGCCAGGAATTCCAGCACGCTCAAGTCGAGATATGTACCAACGAAAGCTAGATGGCACGTTAATACTAACACGGCTATGAGACTGTTCTTCAAAGTGATTAGATCTTGCACGTTGGCTTGTCCCTTCGAGTAAGCCTTGGCAGCCAAGCAGACCCCTCCAATCACTCAACGACACGACATTCCCTGCAGTCCTTGAAACTACGGTAGCCCATCGCCATGTAAATTTGAAATGCGAACCATCCACGTGATATGCTAGGCAGGCAATCATGGGGCGATTGAAAGCCAAAGGCCTCCCCGAGTTTGGAGAGTCGTATTTGGTTTCAACACCTTCTCGTCTTGCAAGCACAACTTGGAACCACGCTCTGCTCCTTTTTTCCCCCAGGTATGCCAAGGGAGAGTGTAGTCTCGAAGAAAGCTTTCGGAAAGCCCTGTGCAGCCTGAAGCGTCTCAAGTCTGCGCTGGCTGGTACCGCCTTAGCTACCTATTCCAGTGACCCCGCAACTCAGCCACCATTGGGAGCATCCAACTTTGACATCTTGACTCACCCACAACGACAAAAGTCTGCTTTTTCAGGACAAGAACTTCTGCAATTATTATTGGATACGGCGGCAGTGGACTGCTTCTTTCGGCATTCATCATCGTTATGGCCGATCGAGTCGCCGCGGACAAAGGCCAGAGCAGTCGTGACCAGGAACGGAGTTCTGAAGTTGGCCAGGATGCGACCTCTTCCGTTCCTGGGGTGCCGGACAGTGAAGTCGAGGGCAGAAAACGCAAAGGCCGCAATAATAAGCGGCTGCGAGGAACACGAGACACGTCCCCGAACATTGAGCGCCCCAGAACGTTTACGTGCCCATTTTACGTGTACGATCCTAAGGGCTACGCCCGGTGCTGGCTATTTTCTCCTCGCAGTCTGGCCGATGTCCGCCAGCATATCCGACGGACTCACATGCAGCCTTTCCATTGTCCCACCTGTAACCGGGTCTTCGTTCGCCAGGGAGATCGTGATAGGCACATAAACCAGCGCACCTGCATCCGCAGGGACATCAAGATTCCCGGCATTACTGAAAATCAGTCACAACAGATCAAGGACTCTCAAAACGGCTCCGGTTCAGAAATGGAAAAATGGTTCACGCTCTGGGGGATCATATTTCCTGATGCTGTCCCGCCTGATTCGTCCTATATTAAGGCCCCTATGTTCATGGACCCGGTGCAGCAACTATTTGATCAACAATTTAAAGAGGGTATGGATTGGCTCGCCGGAACCCCTCCTATTCCGCAGCGAGCTCACGCTCCCCTCTTCATCACCTTAATTTAAGCTAACTTTGGCCAGGGCCCCTTCCACGAGCACCTGCCACTTCTGAAGCCTCGATAGGAGAGATTCACCCTGCCAGACCAAACACGTCCCCTTGGGACGATGTGGACGACATGTCATCCGATGAAGATAGATATGCTCGATCATTCATCTTCTCTGCGAGTGTGTCTGCGTCTTCTGATACGTCTCGCTCATCTTCTGGCCATGCCAAGCCCGCCCGAGAAATCCTCGCGGACCTTCTGACGAACGATGACGAACTCCGAGCGCTTCTAGCTGCTGGGGCCGCGGATACTAACATTGGGATTGAGAGGCTTTCTAAAAACTTCCGCACCTTACTAAAAATTTATTCGGAGGAGCTACTCGAGCTTGCGGACACAACTGCTCTTAAAGAGGCGGGAAAACTTGTGAGGAATAGTTCGTTGTATGTGTCGAACAGGATTCGAACACAGTTTGGCCAGCCATCCCAATCATCTCCTTTGGAAGATCCCGGGCGGCTTATGAATGAAGAAGAAAGATCAGCAAAGGAGGAGAGATTGAATCAATATCTCAAGTCATTGAATGCAGCAGATCAGATAGCCCTTGGCGACGCACTTCCGGGGGCTGGTATTGAAGATACTGATGAGGACTGGCACGATGAGGAAGCCATCACAAACGCACTTGAGCAGGTCAAATCCTTCCTACGAAACGGCCCACCATTTGAAAATTTGAGACAAAGATTGAAGAGCTTTGTCACGCCAGCTTCCGGCGCAGGAGATCAGCCCATGGATAAAGGCATGGTGAAAATCCAGGCATCAGCAGATGGTAAGTTATTCACTCATCGAACCAGTAACCGCTAAGAATTTTCAGGGTTTACTCAGACGTTGCCTATTCTCATAGACTCATTGCTTGAGCACTTGGTAGATTTGCTTCCGGAATCCCCAGTTCATGAAGGGAAGGTCCGGGCTAGGTGGACCTGTGTAAGTCAAACCCTTCTTGCCAAACTCCAGGGCTAACTGAGGACTGTATAGCGCTGTGGAGTGCGCCTGTTTGACGACTTTACCGAGCTTGAGCTAGGATCGGTGAAAGACCTCGAGAATCACCTACGGGAACTCAATTCTGGGACGCAAGGTACTCAACAACTCGCACGAACGGTTTTCGAATCTATGAAAGATCTGTCAATACGTGTTCAAAGTGTGTTCCGCCGAATGCGGAGAGCAACGAGAATCCAGGGCACTACGCTACCACTACAAAACGTCGTGTCACAATCTGCTGGGACTGGACCTCAGGGTCAGAAATCTCTACATATCCTCTTCTGCATAGAGAAAGAGAATTTGGGGACGAGGTTGCATCAAGCATGTGTTGAAAATATCAATACAGATCGCGAGACGTTCGATTTGTTGAGAAAGGAATACCAAGCACGTCGAAACACAACGTCTTGGCTCACTCTAAGAAGCATCAAGAAATTGTCCTTGAGTCGGGTACGTTCAATGAGGGCGTTCGTGGCTCTTTCGTGTGAATTCCAGGAAACTAATCGTCTTTTAGTTTCTTATCGACTCGAGCAACTTGGCGGATGTTCACTGGCACTTGGATATCTGCAGGGCGGGTTGTGTCTGTCTACCACCACTTCCTCTAGTACTGGAGAAAAAATACGCTTGCTGTCCAGCACCAGAGGTTCCTCAAAAACACGAACCGGCCATTGGGCCCAATCGCCTGAGACATTGCTTTCTAAATCCCGAATGCCTGAACTTAAATCAACAAAGCATCTACAATCAGCTGCCCAAGAGGGTGGGTAAACCATTGTCGGTATCCCATCTAGAGGAAGAGCTTGGCTGGGGCGTCCATTTTGAGGAGGGGTGGCATCACATGACGATCTATCTCATCGCCGTCATTCTTTTGGTGTTTTCCAGTCTAGTGTTTGGGATTACTTGGGCTGTGACAAAAGGAGACATCCAAGGCGCATTTGCTATCTCATGCTTCTTGACTTCGTTAGGGGGGATTCTAGTGGGATATCTGGCGATAAAGAGTCAATAGATACATGGTTTAATTCGAAAGACTGTTGGTCACAGTCCTGATAGGCATAACTTTGATCGCCACCCGTCAATCCGTATCACGGGCTCTTACTTTTGAGGCCGTCAGCGCGTCAGCACAAGACCGTGTTGATAGCTCTGTACCATCATGCAACATACCTGACGAGAATTAGTGAACCTGAATTTGGCTAGGTTTTCCAAGGACTGTTGAACTGGGACGTCCAGACTAACAGGGTTGTCTTTCGAGAGAGGGTCAGGCGTGGACAACGTTCCCTCCTTAGACGCGGCCGCCTTCGCCCCTTGATCGACTATAGAAACACTCTAAGCCTCTTTAATGAATACTTCCGCATCATCGTAGGTATTTGAGGTTTCTTGCTCAGTGGTCGCGGTTGGAGAGTACAGAGAAGTGTCGTAGAAGGTGTCGGCTAGCAGGACAGGGCCTGGACCATTTGGGGATGGAGAAGAGGTGAATTGAGTCGTACGGGATCCCGCTCTTGTGGGCGACAGCATGATCTACTACCCTGGAGACTATCATGATCGAGTCTAATACTTCAGAGAATTATGCCATCCAAAACGGTTAGCACATAAAATACACAAAATGGGTAGAATAATTTGCTTGAAATTGCAGGACTGAAGATGGCACAAGAAAAGTCAAGCCTTTCCTTAATTTTCGTTGAGATGACAGTGTCTCGTAAGGTGCGACCCATCTACTCTGCGATTGACACAATCTGTGTCCGACAATGGTGAGCTGAATCCAAACTGAATGGTAGTTAGCTGGAGACATGTAGTGTCAAAAATGTGAGGACTCCCAATTCAAGTGATGTCAGAATAGATCCAGCCTTCACAGTGGAAGGCTATACTCGACTGGCAGTTCTAGATCTTCGGTTAGTGAACTATCCCCATAACCTACAGCTTTCCTGGTTGTGAGGACTCATCATCCTCGAAGAAGGAGGGTAAATTAGCGACGATTCTCAATTCACTTGTTGGCCCTGACTTAATTACCTACATGTCTGTCTGCAGAACTTTGATCAGAGCCTGTTCTCGAGTTAGGATAATTCTGGGGCAGAGTGTCAAAAGCGTGAGGAGAGTGGGATATCCGACCGCGAATGCTCACATCGTCAGACTTGGGTGTCTCTAGGGGGCCGTGGTAAACTCTAGCGGTGTCAGCGAAATATTCATTCAGCTTAGCATGCTCGAGCCTCATGGTTGTATCAAAGTTCGTCCAACATTTCCCTCTCCATCAACATCGCCAGCAATGGTTTTTGGGGTCACGAACCTTCTATCTCCCTTCGGAACACGGGGACATGGTGTCACATGAGCCAGTTACCCCAATTGGTGTCGTCTTTTTCTGACTCTGCTGGACGCTTTGCGACAGCGGAGGTCAAAATCATTGCTCCCTTGGCGATAAGTAGAAGGGAATCAAAGATGGTGGCATTTTGATTCGAGTACGTCGACTAGACTTGAAAGGGCATCTTTTTCGTCGTGGACCGGTCTTGCGTCCCTCCTTTCTCAACTCCCAGGTCAACAATTTGTTAACCCGACTTCTCTCATTGCTCAAATTTGACGTTGCTCGACCTTCGTACGCTCTGTACAACCGTGGTGGTGTTGCTTGGGGGGGGATCGACGGGGGAAGCCTGGGCTTTGAGTTAGCTCTGGAAACGGGTGAGACTAGCCTCGACAGAGCCAAAGTAGGCATTCCCCTCCCTCTCCGAAATGAGATAGAAGAGGCGCCTGGAATCGAGTCAAGCAAGAGGCCGAAGCCCTTACATCAAACTAAGAACTTACTTGCAATACGCCTGAAGCCTCCCCATGAAAGGGAGAGTCCCGACCGAGTCGAAAATCTCAAGTCTGAAACCAAGTGCCACGGATGAACCTGCTCAAGAACCCCGGGTTAAGGTTTTCTGTTCTCTTTGACTCGTAGTTCGACATGTCTCTATCGTCAAATAGATGATGTGCTTCACTCGTCACGCTTGAGGTCAATACAGTCATGCCAGGTGATGGCATGTCCGCGTCACTGACGCTGTGGCATCCTGCTCCGACACCAGTCAGCCAAGTTACTATAAGTCCCGCAAGCAATGGGGCAATGAACACAAAGCCTTAAATGGAACCGTCATCAAGAGGATACGCTGTGTATTTGTCGTGAGATTTACAGGCAGCTCCCGGGCCTCGTTGTCCCCTTTGGGAACAAAAACCTCTCGCAATCTTCCCTGTTGAACCAAATCTAAGGGCGGGGGCGGGGGGCTGATCCTATAACGGGGGTCGCTCTACTTTTCTTATCGTCTTGTCGAGGTTGAATGATCCTTTGGAAGAATCTGTTCTATTCTGTCAGCGCTTCATTCTGTCAGACGGAGACATGGACTACAATAACGCTACCGGCAAGTGGAGTGATCATTCCCTTTTGCCATAGCGGTATTGCGACACAATCACCAAGAGGTTCGCCGGATACAACTAGCTTGACTTTGTCAATTGCTCCACCACCGTTAGCCAATACATTTATGCTCAGAACGTTCTCACCTTATACTACTTCTGTCCATGAAAGTCCTTGAAGAAAAGATTGGGCTTTGGGGGAAGTGAACTCACTGGAGAAAATTTCGAGGTTCCAAGAGGTATTAATGCTCGAAGTTCTTCGAGAGGGCTGGGGCTTGCTTTGGATGGTGAGGTCAAAGTTCTTTGCCGCTCGAGGGATGTGGATTCTAGTTGGGGATCTCCTTTCGAGCGGAGGACAACTCGTAAATATCCTCAAGGGAAAGATCAAAGGAGAAAACTCGGGTTCGCGGCTGTCCACAGCAAGATAATTCGAAGTTCTTGGGAGACTCGAGAAATGGGGAGGTTTCGGTCGTTGGGAGGAAGGAGATTTCGAGGAAAGACGATCCGAAGATGTTGAGGAATAGGATCTCGAGAAAGGAGGATTCGAAGTTCCTAGAACGCGGGGTTCTTCTATGGGAGTATCGGGTTTCTTGAAAGGCTCGGAGGGGGGTGTCGAGATTTCTTAGAACGCGCGGGGTTCTTTCTTCGGGAGGAGGAGATTTGGAGGAGGGGGGTTCGGAAGTCTTGAAACGCGCGAGGTTCTTTCTTTAAGAGGAGACTTAGGGGGGGTTCGGTATTCTCAGAAAGTTCGGGGTTCTTTTCTTAGGGGGAGTTCGGAGGAGGAAATTCGGAGGAGGAGATTCGGAGGGGAGGATTCGGAGGAGGGGGTGTCGGAATTCTTAAAACGCGGTGTTCTTTCTTCAGGAGGAGATTCGAAGTCCGAGGAGACTTAAAGGAGGGAGTGTCGAAGTTCTTAGAACGCTCGGGGTTCTTTCTTACGAAGAGATTCGAAGTTCTTGGACATTGGAATAATCGAGAAAGGGGGTTCGAAGAAACGGGTTTCGGGTATTCTTAGGACGCTCGGGGTTCTTATTTAGGAGGAGATTCGAAGTTCCTGTACGGTCGTGGGGAGGGGGTTTCGAAGGAATTGTTTCGGACTTCTTAGACTCGGGATTCTTTCGTAGGACATTCGAAGGTCTATAATAATAGAGGGGAGGGAGGGTTCGAAGCAGGGGGTTTCGGAATTCTTAGAACGGACGGGGTTCTTTCTTGAAGAGGGGATATCGGAAGGCTCGGAGGGGGGTGTCGGAAATTTTGGAACACGCGAGGTTTTTTCTTAGGAGGGGATTCGAGGTTCTTGAAGTGATCGAGGGAAGTGGTTCGAAGAAATGTGTTTCGGGATTCTTAGAACGCGCGGGGTTCTCGCAGGGAGGAGGTTCGGAATTGTTCGAGGAAGAGGGGTTCGGAGTAGTCAGGCAGGTTCGGAATTCTTGGACATGTACTCGGAGCCTTGGGGCGGGATAATGATCGTAGATTCTAAGATACAACTTAAAGTGTTAGAAAATGTCTCTCACTTGCAGGACTTTGTGAGATGGGTCTGGAGTTTGAAGTGGTAAAATCTGAAGGGGGAGGAGAAGAGGAATGGCTTTTGAGGGAATCATGGTTTCCTGCGATTTTGGGGAAACCAAGATCAACGGTCACAACGGTCAGTATTAAATCGCCAATCTCATTAATCTTGGGCTGAGTCAACTCACATGAACCCCGGGAGCGGTTCCGGTGGTAGAGCGTCCTTCGCCGATTCTCTGGGTTTCTGGAAAACATTGGCCGCGTAGCTGCTTTGTCCACACCACCTTCACGCTCTGCTCTTAGTATCAGGATTTCCAAACGATCCTTTCGTAGGAAACCGTGAGCTTGGGGGATCGTGGTACATACCAGTAGTCATTCTCACCTCGTGGATCGATACTGGACCCAAAATCCTCGTGGTCTCGATTCCAACACTCCCTCCACGGGCGAGAATGACTGGAAATAATTTCCGTCGTAATCCTGGGCTCCGTGGGTGAGTAGGTCCTAGTATTTGGGGTGCCCGATGCCTTTATTCACTGCCCTTATCCTCGGACAGGGCGGAGTTCTTGTCGTGCTTCTCGGTGGTCGTGTCTGAAAATTCCGGTCAGCTTCGCGTTCTCTCCAAGAGAGCCCAGGCGTGACTGTGTGGCCGCACCACGCCCACCATCACTCCACAGGGTGCATATGATGGAGATACTTGCCAGTTCATCGGTGCTTGCTGCTGCAGAATTAGAATTCCTTGGTGTTTTCAGGGAGGGGGGGCTGGGGTTGCTGACCCGTCACACAGACACTTGTGAGTCGTGACACCAAACCCTGGCAGATATTTATTCCGGCATGTCGACACCCGGCAGCCAACATCGTCATTCAACATACCATCTCCATGATCTTCCATCAGCGAGGGAATCACAAATACCTGTTGTTGCCGTGTGGTGGTCCTCCGCCGTCGCTTTTTGTGATGGCGGTGTTAAACACCTCGCGACCCCGTCAGCAGGAAGCGCCAGCAAACGATTTAATGCATGGGATGATGCTCTTCACGTCATAGAGTCCAAATCAATAGTAAATTCACGGGAAAAATCAAAAGTGTCAACGAAGGTGAGGTTAAAGTCGACGGGGAGGACGAAAGGGATAACGACGCGGCAGTGTTGAATTAGTAGCACCCAGCAGCGTTAGGGAGGACAAATGCGCTGTAGACACAGCGCAATCTGCACGGGCCACGTAATTGGACGCCGACGGCCCAGTCTCCAGACCAGCCCTCGACACTCTTCTCCTACGGACTCAATCATTCATTTGAATTATTCAAATTCCCTGGCATTGGAAATAACGAAACAACGCTTCATAATGACTCGTATCAAGGCTCCCTCGGCCCTCCCAGACCTGGTCAAGTCGGCGTTTGCAAAGGCTCGCTCGGAAGGGGATCTGCACTACTACCCCACCCAGGTCACCGTCCTCAAGGCCAACAATATCCCAGTGAGTCCCTGCCAACGATCTCTGCTCTCTCCGGCATTCTCTGGACGTTGGAATACTCGATGAGACTGTGGCTGACAGCTTCTGCAGTTCCAGCTTCGCTTCTCTCCAGCACTGGCAAACAAACCCAAGGCGGCGCCGAAGGATCACTCCAAACCCCTCAAGCCATTCGACCCGTTCGCAGACCCTCCCGCGGCTCTCCGCATCACGGATGTGAGCTCGACACACTACGTCGTGCTGAACAAGTTCGCCGTTGTCCCAGAGCATTTCATTCTAGCGACCACAGAGTTCAAGCCTCAAACTCATGTGTTAGAGGAATCGGATCTGGAGGCCACACTGGCGTGTATCCAGGCGTACGAGCCAGCACCAAGCACCGAGGACGATCCAGGGCACTACGATGGTAACGGAGGGAATAGAGATGGTCTCTTTGCCTTCTTCAACTGCGGAGATCACTCGGGGGCCAGCCAACCGCACCGGCACATCCAGCTGCTGCCCATCGCGAGAATGAAGGAAGACCTGGCAGCTGACAGCCACTGGACCGTCCTCGCCGACACCCTGAACTCCAAGTCCGCTCCTTTCACTACATTTGCTGAGAAGATTAGTCTAGAAATGCCATCCAAGGACCTTCACGCCGCCTACATTCGCCTCTACCGACAGGCATGCCAAGCCGTGGCCGCACACTCAGGCATCACTCACCTCGATGAAGAGATTTCCGCAGAGGGCGAGACAAGAATGAGCTACAACATGGCCATGACCAAGGACACACTGGTCATCTGCCCGCGCTTGGCAGAAGGAGCAAAGATACTTGGCGAGGATGGAGATGTGCTAGGGACATTATCGTTGAATGGGACAGTTCTGGCGGGCACGGCGTTGGTCAAGAATAACGTGGAATGGGAGGCACTCAAGAAGGATCCAGAAGTATTACTACAAGTGTTAAAGACCATTGGGCTCACGGATGAATGCGTACTTGGGAACTCGGTTCGACTCTGAATCGCGGGTCTACTGTGTAGCCCTTTGTTTTGTTCAGATGACGACTGCCTAGCTAGCTAACCCTATCCCCTTTTGATTGAAGCAATGTGATGAAGAACCTTTTGATGTGACCACCCTTCCTTAAAAATCTCAAACCACCATTGCCAACCTGAAATCAGAACCAGCCTCCATGTTGAACTGCACGATGTGCCACTCCTGTGTGAAATGCAAACGAAACTTCCTGTGAAACTCAGAGATGAAAAAAAAAGAACCTGGATATTACAAAGTGCAAACTCGGTTGCCGAAGAAGGGAAGAACTGGATGTTGCGAGGTGCAAACTCGGTTGCCGAAGAAGACAAGACCTGGATGTTGCGAAGTGCAAACGCGGTTGCCGAAGAAGAAAGACCTGGATACTGTGAAGTGCAAACTCAGTTGCCGAAGAAGAAAAGACTTAGTTGCCGCCCTGGAGCTGCTCCCACTTCTTCTTCGCCGCAGCTGCAGAGTAGCGTTCACCATCGTGCTGGTAGATGAAGTCCCGAATGACCTTCCAGGTGACACTAGCTTCCTTGGGAGAGGCATGGTCGGGACCACAGAAGTGGGCAACAGCGTCTAGGAGGAGGTAGACCTGATCGGTGATTGTTAGCAACGGTCATCAAGGGGATTTCAAGTTCAAGCTCACATTGCGCTCATCCCAATCAACAACTCGAGCCTTCTCTCTGGGGGTCAGAACCGCGTTGCGAACATGACCTCGCATAGTTGCGTCTGCCATGTCGAAGCCACCAAGGTTCTTGATCTCCTTGTAGGAGAAGTTCCAGGCTCGACCGCGAAGGATGTAAGAGATGATGGACTGAGTGTCATCTCCAGGACGATAGGTTGCCATGTAGATCTCTTCGAAGCTTCTGCGACGTTTTCGGGACTCGGATGTGATAAGGGCGTCCTTGGCCACGCCAGATTCCAGGGTATCCAGGTAGCGGATTCGTTCGATGAACATCGCATCATTGCCAACCTGAACTTCAGCTCTGAGGTAGTCATCATGTCTGTTTGTGAGGAGAAGCTTGCCATTTCGCTGCAGGCTCGCACCATGGGCCATGTCTCGGGAGGCACGAGCAAAGCCGTCTTCGAGCATGCCCTTAACCCTGAGTTTGACGTCAGGGGTTTTGGCATGTCTGAGAAACTTCTGATGCTCCGGGACCACGTTGGCGCGCCAATTTTGTACCTTCTTAATCATTTCGATGCCGAGTGCAATCATCTGAGTGCCTCTGTCAATGTTCGCCTGAGCCAGGCGAAGGCCATGGCACACTTGCGGAGGGGGGTTGACAGTTGCAATGATGTACTCGCAGTTACCCATGAGTGAGGGGATAGGACCCGCGCAGTGATAGGTCTGTTGAGTGTCATCAGCAGGCGCAGGGGCAATAGGCTCGCCCTCAGCATCCTCGTCAGAGAGGGCGATGGGAGATTCCTCCATAGGAGCATTGAAGTTGTAGGCGTAACCAGTGCCAGGGCCCTGTACAGCAGCGGTGTACATGGGATGAAGTGGTGCCTGTTGAACAGGCGCCTGCTCGACGAGCAGGTTCTGAGCAACAGGTGCAGGCTGGACGTTCATAACCTGACCCTGCTGGGGGAGAGGAACACCAACGTTGTTGTCAGCCTGTGAGAATCGAAGTGTTAGTGTACTGAAAGGCTTTGGTTGAGGTTCAATCTGATGCAGAGGATGGTTCCTTTGCTTACCATGTTGGGCTGGGGATGGTTGACGGTGCCTCTTTCAACTTGCTGTAAATGGTTGAAGAGTTAGTATGAGTAAACTTCTAGGGTAGAGAGTCAAGACTATGCAGAGAGGTGAAGGTTTACTTACCAGCATGATACCGTACTGAGCGTTCTCTTTGGCACGCTCCAGGTTGAACAGATCAATGAAGTGCTCGACAGTCATTCCATATTGTCGAGCGGTCACTTCAACGGCCTGAGTCACAGAAAAGACGGGAGCAGGCTCAGGTGCCTGAAGGTTCAAGACCGGATCCATGTTGAGAAAATCTGTGGGCTCCCGAGGTCAGAAGTGTGTCATGGTACAGGGAGTGGTACACAACATGGAACGTACCAGCAATGACCAGGTGGTAATAGCCAAGGTGTGTCTCGAAGCAGCTGCCAAAGATGCAGATCGATGTTGTGTCCCGAAGGATGTGTGACAGAAGAAGTAGTTGGTGGTCAAGTAAAAGAGAAGACAGATGTGTTGGTTGTGATGAGGAAGAAAGGTGATGAGGGTGGTGTGGGAGAAAGTGGTGATTAAATAGAGAAGTGAAAGGGGGTGAGGCCCTCCTCAAGTCTCTTCCTAATGGTAAGAGTCCTTGAGAATGGCCCTTTCTGGCACAATAGAGCAGCAAGGTGAGATGAGAATGAAGACCACTTCCGAATGAGGACAAGGTGACGGCCCACAATGTGTGTTTGGGGACGAACTGGGAGTAGCAGGGTAAACAAATGGGGCGGGACAATAAGGGGAGTGGTTGGGGGGAGACCACGGGGCCAACGGCGTGGAAAACAATGGAAGACTGCCACCGAAAGAGGAAAGGTTCCGAGGGAATGCAAACGCAGTACTGGCCTTGTGATGAATTAGGAGCTCGAATAATGACCTAGAGATCAAGAACCGTTCTCGAGGGATTATTCTCCTTTGATATATGGCATTCCCTAGGCAGGGGGGGGGGAACCACCTCGATCTGGGGGGCAAGCTTCCTCGGCCTCGACGCCTTTAGCTCAACGGGTAGCTCCCTAGGCCCACTTGCCTCCCGTAATGGAGGGCTCACCAACACGGGATAGCAGGGCCCTTAGCACATTAGATCTCGTCCCAAAATGTGTGGGCGTTTCCATTTGCGTCAGGGCTTGCCTCGAGTCCCCACAGGACCTGGCCCCGATATCGTTTTCCACCACTCCTCGATGGCGGTTTATCTCCCCTTCGGTGGTTTATTCGTGCAAAGCCCTTCACCTCCTTCTGAGGCCACAGCTTTAGAGTCATTTGTCATTCACCACAGAATAGTTTTCGTAGAACCCCCTCCCCCTGTAGAAGATGTCGGCATAACCACAAAGGGACGAGACCCAGGAGACAGCTGGGACAGCTCCCCGTATGCACCGTAGATCCTGACATGCACCCCCATCCCCATTATTCACATGAGCATGGCGCACGGATAGCCCACCCTGTTTAGGATCGGAGTCCAGGATCAGGGGGGCTCATGCTCTCCAGATTCACTTCAGCAGATTAGGTCTAGCCTAACGCCTCTTCCGAATTGACATGCCCAGAGGGTCTAGCTGTTGTGTTTGCGTTTGAAAGCCCCCGCAGAGACGGATCAGTGCAGCTTGTCTGGGCCTGAGTCACTCGAGAAGGATCCGCGGGGGGCAGAGTGGGCTCCAGGCCCGTTGGCTTCACGCAGCTGTCAGTCGAGCTCGGTGTCCCTCTGTCTTTTTCTCATTCCCCATTCGTTCTTCGTCCTATTGTGATCTATGCCAAGGGGGGGTGGAGCATGCTGTTGTCGACCCCTGTCAAAAAGTCGGTCACTGCGAACATGGCGTATGCACGTCACCTGCTCTAGGCCGAACTCGTCACGCCTCTTCTCAGGTTGACTTCAGGTCTCGACTGTGTGGTGCTCACAAAGGGACTCGGGGGCTGGGGGCTCAGGCACTCGAGCAGGCAGCAAGGTGTGGGTGGGTGGCCCCGTCATCTCAGAGCAGGTCTCGCACTTGTGTCGGGACCTAGGTTTGAGGTTCCCGCGCTGAGCCGTTGTCGAGACTGGTCTGTATGTCTGTGAGGTCTGCGATGGGGCTCTGTATTTCCTTTCTGGGAGAAAGCTGCAGATCCAGGAGCGCGGGACGAAGATGGAGCACGGAATCAATCCTCCTTAGGCCACACGCTGTCCCCACTACTCTCTGTAGACTCCCGCAGAGGTGTGCTTGGACCTGGCCAAAGCATGCGGGAGTGACACTCACCCACCGAGAACCCGGTTCCTTAGGATTAGGCTCTGCCGGCCTCTACGAATGTGGGTTTTGGAGATTTGACTGCCCATTAATACGCAATCGGGCCTCCAGAGGGCCAGTGAGCAATGTCGGCACGGGCTATGAAGGACTCAGCCGTAATGACGTTTGCGAAGCTTAGGCCGTTACAGAGTTATTTGTTGACAAGCGTGTTTGGTCCATGTACGTACCGTACAGGTAGGAGCAGAGGGATCATCGAATGTGCAAAGAGCTGCATGTGGTGTGGCCGAGTGAGTGGCCAGCGGTCAGCTTGCCTCCAGAGAGTCTGCCCTCGAGTTTGCCATCTGCGGCCGCTGTAGCCCCCACACCACGAGAAGGCTGGTAAATAATGACTGTCTGACCCAAACCTAGACATACACAATGTAGTCTCGCTTTTGCTTCTGTAGATGTACTGGTGGCGCTGTCAGGGATTCTCGATGCACGGTGCTCTCCCTCGCGGCAGCATGCATCTCAGGCGGAGAGAGCTGACACTGCGAGGCCAGTGAGGAAGGATGGCCAAGTTTGCTATCACTCAAGCTCCACGGATCTTCCACCAAGAGGAAGCTCTCATAGGCAGGGCTCTGCGCTCCCCCTCTTTTCTGCGCAGGACAGCCGCTACCAAGCCAGGGTGTGCTTCTGGCCACTGAGAGAGCAGGCCAAAGCAGTCCCGGTGAGAGAAGAGACAACACAGGGCATTCATAAACATCATTTCATAATTGCTGCAGTCACTGTCCAGCAGTGTCGTTAATTGAAGCCATCCATGATGAGTAATCTGCGATGGCCGTTGGGAACCAGGGAATTTTGAGTTAGCTTCCGATCAGGAAATGCCGGCGCGATTGTGCCATGTGTGTTCAAAATGCGCATGACTGGCAGGTCGTCCTAACGCTTTTCGGCGTCGTTGCTGGGAAAAAAGCTGGGGAGAGATCTGGACGATGGGACCGCCCCCCCCCCCCCCCCCTCTCTCTCTCCCCCTGGCCATGGGCAGATCCATCGTATCGATCGGAGGTCCCAGTGACCCGGAATTGTGCACCGAATGTGGACCGGCCGGTTGACTTTACGATGCTTCGCGCCGTGCCGTGTGGCTTTCAGCCGTAATCCTGAAATAGTTGCTCGCAGCAAGCCTGCAGCTTATCGCCCGCGGTGGCCGACTTGGACTGACCTTCATGCCCGCCTCGCAAAGGAACAGTTTGCCAGGATCTCCGAGCGCGTGTGTGTGAATTATTTGCGTACGGACATTCCAGCGTATGACGGCTCGCCATCTCATCAGGTTCATTGCGATAGCATGAGTTTTACCCCCATCCTGTGGGAGTTTGTCACCACTGTGCAGCCCACCCACCACCTCCATCGTCCCGTTTCAGCTCAGCTCCGTCGAATTTGAGGGCAGCAAATGTGCCAAAATCCCCAGCCATGCATCCGTACCCATTCGTGCCAACCTATTTTAATTCAATACCCTTCTCGTGGCCTGCTCCCTGCATAATTATTTGATTTCCAGCAGGCAGCACTACAGTTCAGAGACAGACAATTGGACAATGCAAACGCGTTTTGCCGCAGAACGCAGTCTTGGCTTATCTCTACCAAACGTTCGCCTCATGACCCGTCCTGTCCCTTGCCCTTTTAGGTAGTGGCGCTCTGGCGGGGCTGGGCTCTCAAAAGACACACACGGTCAGTGGCTGTCGAGCTGTTTGTTTCAAGCCAAGGTCCAAACGGCTGTGCATCGTGGTGGGGACAGCCTGAACAGTGTCAGACTGACAGAGCCTGTCACACATCCCAGTGAAGGATAGTTTACGATGCCCACCCCCAAATCTATGGCTCAAACGAGCTTGGTGTTGTCTTTTGAAAGTGAGCTCAACATACATGTGAATAAACTGGACTAGTGTGTGAATCAGGGCTTTGAGAGTGACATTGGCACTGTTCTGTTTCGCTGCGGTCCCGAATTGATGTTGGTTCCAGGGTAGCTGGCTCAGTGTTGGCCCCTGTTCCACGCCCCTCCCGTTTCCTGTCAAGTCGTGGGGCGCCCCGGACGGCAAATGTAGTACCAAAGTCGGGCAAAGATAGTAGTAGTATAGTTGAGATGATGACGAGAGTGAGTTGAACAAGCATAAATTGGCATCGTAGTCGACGTGATGAACTACCTCACAGAGCTAGTTAAAGGTACAGTATGTTTCGGTATCACATAGCCCACCAGAACTCCCGCCATGTCCTTCTAGATATAAACCCATAGGAAAGAATAAAAAAGAAACCCAAAACAAAGAGCTCCTCAAGTCCCACTGTCACCGGTATAAGAATAATAGTCTTCCTCCCTCAGTCCTCCCACTCCTCGTCCAGCTGATCGATCAGCCGGTTCTCTGCGTCTATATTTCGTTCCCTGCGGCTGGGACTCGTGCTGAGATGGCGATAACCCCGTCGAATCGACATGCGCTGGAAGCACGCTGACACGGCAAGTACGATCAAATCCTGTTTCTCCTCCGTCAGCCCCATGGTCAGGCTTAGGGGAAATATCTTTCCCCCTTCATCGGGGTAGAACGCACGCAAACAAAGCTCCAGATACCGGCCCATAGGGTAAAGTTGGGCAATTGGCGCCAACCACGCGCATGGGCGACGGTCCGGTTATAGAAGATACCACCCAGCAGATACACCAGCACAGCAATGATAAGAATGAGACCGAAGATGCTGCCAGGGCCGACGCTGCCCGGCTTGTGAGGCTCAGCGTGAGCGCAGGCATGGCTGGAACGGGCCTCGAAGAAGTACGCGCACTCGTCGGGGTCGGTTCCGACAAAGTACACATTGGCGGAGGTCGCCCCCGGATCCCGGTCGCAAAGGAAGGAGATGGTGGCGGACTTGCGCCTCACCTTGTCCTCCTCTGGCTCTGGCTTATTATCCGTTGGCTTATCGTCCGCTGAGCTGGTTGCTTCTGGCTGAGATTGCCCAGAGGCGGAGGCAACGGCGCTCGACTCCGGATTGTTACCATCGTAGTGATAGTCGGTCTGGGGGTCTCGTTTCGACTTGATAGCCGCATCCGGTCCGCAAGGAGAACCCCCGGTGTATTGGAGCACTAGTTTTCGGCCACGGCTCTGCAATTCCATCGACTCGGAGCTGTGTCTCAGTCAGTACAATATCCTTAGTCCTAATCTAGTGTTGCACCAACCCTATGGAGAAAATTTGTCCCTTGGATGTATAATATGCGCTCACGTTCTGCCAGCGGGGAGGTGTGATGCCTACCACATCGCTGACAGGGTCCACCACGGCACCGCAGATGTTCAGTGTGAAGTTCTTGCCGTAGTCATAGCCCTTGGAGAAGTAGTCCTTGGTCGGGCCGGACCTGTATGAGCCTTCTTGCGGTTCTACGGCCATGTCGGGCCGGAGATCGAAGAATGCGCCACTGCCGGTCGAGGACGTCGCTGTGCATGCTGGAGCGTGTACTGTCGCCGTCGGGTCGTCCTGGACCGCACCGACAGCAGCCGCCAGGAAGGGAACGAGTGACGCTGATTGGAATCGCATATTGAATGTCGGTCGTGTGCGCCAGGGGGTTCGGATGGGAGAACGAAGATCAATATGGGCCGGACAGTAAGGAATGGCTGGGAGAGCAAATGACAGATTGTACAGGTGCGCCTCGCGCGGTATCGACAGCTGGAGATACAAAAAAGGAGCAAAAGGAATGTGGGTTGAGGAATTGTCGAACTTCGGCAGAGACGGCGGGTGTCGTAGCCCAGCAGCAGCGTGATGATAACGCCTGCCGCGACTCAACCTCAAACTGTCATCAGGGCCTCGACAATCAGAAAGGGTGACGAGTCGTCTATGCGATTGATGATTGGCTGGGCCGCGCTCTCGCTGACCCCTTGACGTACCCCCTGACAGATCTTGCTGTCGATGTGACGTCCTCCTCGAGTTCCAGCCGGCTCAACTGTTTCTCCGTCTACAGAGGAGCCTTTCAAAAGTCTCTGCTCACGCTAAGGACACTAGCGTCACGGGAAAGAGCAGGGTCCCACCCAAAATGTATAGTAGGATTCCCAATGTACCTACCGCTGTGTCCGACTTTCCTTGTATTCATTTCCTCCTTCCAACTCAATGATTTTTTTAATATGATGAGGGATGCGCTCAATCCAAGCCTGAATAGCTTCCTGCGGAAGCTCCTTCCAAGCTGCTTTCCAAGCTTTGACTGCCTCATGCCTTGACTTTGGGGCTCCTTTCCTTGTAGTCCGTCTCTTTATCCATGGCCAAGCCGGCTCAATAGGATTGAGGTCCGGGGAATTCCCACACCATAGCAGCCGGCTGATGCTATTCGCATCATAACATTGTTGCTGTATATAGTGGCTGTGAGCAGGAGCCTTATCTTCTTGGACCAAAGTGCCCGGGCGGTCCTTGGTACATTCCAAAGCAAAAGGAAACATCTTAGGGATCAGGATTGTCTTCTGATAGCGATACCAGTCAATACCGCCCTTGGACCCTCTCGTCAGCTTTCCGGACTTCTTATTCCATCGCCAGATTGGCTTCGGGCCGGGTAGTTGATGTAGATGTAATCGTCGTATTCCATTTGAAATTTCCCACTCTTCTCGCATAACAGCTTCAAGATCCTCATTCATTTTATTAATGATTTTTTCGGCTTCCTTCTTTTCGGCAGCAGTCTCTGGACCCCAACAGTGGCAGGGGCCCTTCTTATCATAGGAAAAGGCGCCCCAGAACATAAATTCAGATGCATCTTTCCATCGCTCCCGGATACAACTTCGAACAAATGCCTCATCGGCTTTTCGCCATACGCGATAGCTTCCTCGTCGATGGAGCAGGATAACAGAGGTCTCGTCAGACCAAATGACATTCTTCCAGTCCTCTAGGGTCCAGTGCTGGTGTTCAAGACACCAAGCCAGACGTGCCTCCCTCATCTTCTTCGTCAATCCAGGTTTCCTCGTTGGCTTTGTCTTTCGGAATCCAGCTTTCTTCAGTATTCGCCATACAGTGACGGCCGAGATCTCGATCCCATCGCTGCTCAGTTCGCCCGCAATATCAGCACACGTCTTTTCCCTGCCAAATCGATCGCGGCGAACCTTGGCGATGATCTCTATTCGTGCCTCGTCCGTCTGCTTCTTGGGACGCCCGGAGCGGTGCGCATCACGAAGGAATTCGTCATGGAGGGTCATCGGTCGGTGGTTGGGATCGAATCCGCGGGAAATAGCGCGTGCGTAGATGTCATTGATTGTACGGGGCGAAAGACCTGTTATCTCTGCAACTTCAGCTGTTGTTTTCCCGCCCGATGGGCTCTTGAAGACGACCACAAGAGCCCGGGTTGCAATATCGGTATTTTGACGCATTTTGGCGGTCAAGATGAGGGGAAAACAGGAAAAGTGAAAGAGGGGTGAGGTACCTAAGAATTTGGCTGGGTACATTCGCTTTCGGCACGATCCCTGTTTGTGGCTGACCTTAGCGTCCACGCGAGCAGAGACTTTTGAAAGGCTCCTCTGTAGACTGCCGTGTATCCAGTGCTGGGCGAGTCATGCTATCCGAATACGGATATGCAGGCACGGCAGGTGCTAGGAATATGCTTTAGCCCGGCTTGGCGGGTCCCTTCCCGCTAATGAGCAAATGAGACCATCCGGAGAACGAGAGCTCCGAGAGTTTCTTCAATTTACAACCCCGCGACTTGTTGACGCGGTGTAATAAATCTTGCCGATTGCTACAAGGGACTTGTACTGTGGACTGTCGAGGATTTATAAACCTCGCGTTGTGTCTGGATTTTTCTCTTCTCATCAACGCCGTTCCAGTACTGCAACCCCCCCCCCTTGTTGTCAATATGGCGACCAGTTCAAAGGCGGCTGCCGTCGAGGAGCCACACGGATACGAATTCTTCGGACCGTGAGTTCATCAACCATCTATTGGACTGGCTATCATTGCTAACTGGACATGTCAACAGTCCCGGTGCCTTCGCCATCTCCTTCGGCCTCCCCATCCTCGTTTACGTCTTCAACTTCGTCTGCAACGACATCTCTGGTTGCCCTGCGCCATCGCTCTTGAGCCCCAAGACCCTGTCCCTCGACAAGCTTAAGGTGGAGGTTGGCTGGCCTGAGAATGGATTCGCCGGTCTGCTCAATTGGGAGGCCTCTGCTGCCACGGCCGGCTACATGTTGCTTTCCATGATTCTCTACCGCATCCTCCCCGCGATCGAGGTTGAAGGTACCGAGTTGAGGAATGGTGGAAAGTTGAAGTATAGGTTCAACAGTATGAAAATCCTTGGCAAACCAGGTTGAACCTCAAGCTGACGGAGCCTTAGCCATGTACAGCAGCACCGTCACCCTGGCCGTCCTGGCCGCCGGTACTTTCGCCCAAGGAGCCGAGTTCCCCGTCTGGACCTTCATCTCCGACAACTTTATTCAGATCCTGACCGCCAACATCCTCTTCGCATACGGTGTCGCCCATTTCGTCTACATCCGCAGCTTCAGCGTCAAGGCGGACAACAAGGAGAACCGAGAGCTTGCTGCAGGCGGCCACAGCGGCAACTTGATGTACGATTGGTTCATCGGGCGTGAGCTGAATCCCCGTGTCACTCTGCCCCTAATTGGCGAGATCGACCTGAAGGAGTTCCTGGAGCTGCGACCCGGCATGATGGGCTGGATCATCCTCAACTGCTCGTGGTGCGCCCAACAATACCGCAACTATGGCTTCGTCACAGACAGCGCCATCTGCATCACGGCAGTCCAGGCTCTATATGTCGTTGATTCATGGTGGAACGAGCCTGCTATTCTCACCACAATCGACATCACCAACGATGGATTCGGCTTCATGTTGTCATTTGGCGACATTGTCTGGTTACCGTTCGTCTACTCGCTCCCCGTTCGCTACCTCTCTGTCCACCCCTTATCCCTTGGCCCGCTGGGTATTGCTGGCATGCTCTCGCTTATTGGACTCGGCTTCTACATCTTCCGCTCTGCCAATAACGAAAAGAACCGGTTCCGGACGAACCCCGACGACCCCAGAGTCGCCCACCTCAAGTACCTCCAGACCAAGCGAGGCAGCAAGCTCCTCATCTCAGGCTGGTGGGGTGTTGCCCGTCACATCAACTACTTTGGAGACTGGATCCAGTCGTGGCCTTACTGCCTGCCCACTGGCATTGCTGGATACCAGATTCTGAGTGCTGGGACTCAGGTCGAGGGTGAGGTTGCCTTTGTGATGCAGGATGGCCGTCAGGTCATCCAAGGCGAGGCCAGGGGATGGGGCATGTTCATCACCTACTTCTACGTCTTGTACTTTGCGATCCTGCTCATTCACCGGGACAGCCGTGATGACGAGAAGTGCCAACGCAAGTACGGCGAGGACTGGGAGAAGTACAAGAAGATTGTCCGGTGGCGAATCGTCCCCGGCATCTATTAGTCCTTGACCATCCGGATCGTGGAACTACTGCAGTGGATGTATGCACGTCCGACTGCTGATGGTAAGGCCTGGAAGGCGTGGAGTAGAGATGGTTCGATTTGCAATACATGGGCGATGGCGGCCCGTCTCACTCTTATGAACCCACGACGTGGAATACTTTGCCTGCTTTGCCTACCTCAACACCCTATCAATTCAGTGTAGATAGCCTAAGGCGGTTCCAACCGTCATAATATTAACGTCTTTAATATCGCAATCTCTGTATTCCTGTACCTCTGATACCTTCGGCCACTCCGTTAGACCACGATGGCCAAGGCCAAGGCCGAGCCAACACTGATGAGTGGGAAGCTGTGGGTGCATTTACGTGAGGGGATGCATGATGCCCCTCATACGACGTTGCTTCCGTCTTTGCTTTTAGCTGCGGGAAAACGGAGAATTGCAACCTGACGATGACTATTCCCACCAGCTGATGGTCTCCCGGAAGGCGTCGAAGGAGCACGAGGCCCGAGAGTTCTCCAGATCCTAGAAACGGGCCGAAGAGCGCGGGGCTGTGGTGCAGCGCCGGAGGGTCCTTCTTTCCACTGGCCGAGTGCCAAGACGGCGGGTGCGGGGGATAGATGAAGCGTACATGGGGTCAGCAGGGTCTGGGGGAGAGGTGAGATAACGGGTTGAGCTTGAGAAGCTTGAGATTTGGTGGTTGAAGGTTGGGTCATGTCGTCATATGGGATCCTCGGTGATCTTGGAGCGGGTGGAGGGCGGGGAAACGCGCTGCATCGCGACGTCGCATCGGCAAATAAAGTTGGTAGCAGCAATTTCGCCGGGCCGGAGTTTGGGCTACGGGATTGTGCTAACGCGAGGGTGAGGACGATAATGAGGGCGGTAGCTGGCGTGACAGAGGACTGGTAAGGGGCAGAGAGTTGGGACTCGGAAAGAGGCTTCACAGGGAGCTTGTCGATCACCATTTTGGCGGATTTTTGGCGGAAAGCCACGCCCTTGGGTCAGCCGTTCCCGAAATAGGGGATGCCAGATAGGCGTTCTGCTTATCGATGGGACAGGGAGACGACGTATTCGATAGCTCGATACGCCACTCGATAGATAGAAAAGTGATACATTGTTGGTTCCTGGCACAGCGCCCATCGCGAGAAACAAGTTAGCGGAGGCAACCTCGGAGTGAGACAAGACACTAACCGCCTGACGTCAAGACAGACCAAGACAATAACAAAGTACAAACACGATCATGCAATGGTGAGCAATCGGTTGACTAAAAGACGAATAAAGCCGAAAAAACCTCGAAAGCAGCACGCTCGTCGACATCACCTGGTCCATCGTCCGGTCCATCAGCCCAAGGTCGTGCTGCTTTCACATCATCGCGCAGCTCCTCCACACGCCCGGCTCTTGCACTGGCGCACCACGACCCTGGCCTTTTGGCCCTGGACCATCGGCCCTTTTCTTGTGCGCAAAAGCAACTGCCAAATTGATCAATGCCGCGTCCCCCACAGAGCCAGGGCTGTCCACTCCCGGCGCAGCACCGCCCTCCAGCGCCCCGTTCGCCCCGGCCGCGAGCCTGGTTCCCCCGATGTCGTCGAGGATTGCTTTGTGGGGTAGCCTGGCAGACGGGGGAATAAAGCACAGCAGGGATCGGCAGCTAGGCCGGTTGGCAGTGGAGGGAGGGCGGAGTTGGAAGAGTCAGTCCGCTTAAGAATCATCAAACCACTTTTTCCATCCCGGCTCGATACCAAGGAACGATGTGATACTGGACGAATGCAAAGTGCAGTGTTGGTGGAGGCCCATGGGTAAATAGGCTTGCTTGGGGCGAGCGGACCCCTTCTTCTCGTGGGCCCGTGGCCCTTCCGGGAAGGGATTCGCGGTCTGGCAGAGACATGCGGCGGGCGAGACATACATAGTAGAGTTCGTGTTGGATTCGCGCCGTGTTGCCCTGGCATGCGGTATCCTGTGAAGGGGGCCCAACGTTAATTGCCTGCAGAGACAACGCGTGAGTGTGACGGCGAGCTCCAGGGGTCTCGTCCGTGTCTCTTTTATAAATATACCTTGAGCATCGCCCTCCCCGTTGAAACGGTCGACGGGAGGCTTTACTTAGGCGCTTGCTCTCGACGGATGCATACACCTCGGTTGTTTCTCCTTTGCTGATCCTACTCAGCGACTCTCTGCACATCCCGGTGTGCCATCATCGTCATCTCCACTCCGCGCCCATCGCCTTATTTGCCTGGAAGGCTTAAAGGTCTCGGTCCTCCTTCGTCGAGCTGGCTGTTGACGCCCGAGCCTCGAAATTTCCCAAGACATTGGCGAGTTGACAGTTTGCCACTCCACCAAGAAATCCTCGTCAAACATGAAGACGACGACGTCGCTCGCCGCAGCGTTGGTGCTGTTGGCTGGCGCCGACGCTGCTATTCCCGCTGGAGGTGTCCCAAAGGTGAGCCCACATTCTACTGTTTCCAGTTTCCAGTTTCCACCTTCCCCGTCCCGATTTCCCCTGGATCGGACGCCATGCATCCGGCATCGCTGCCAATTGGGTTACTCATGGGCGCCGTGTCGCGACACCGGCACGAGGTTCCGTCCTTTCACCATCATACTCTCCCATACAGTCATTTATCCTCCACCGCCAGAACAAAAAACACTCGCTTTCGACTGCATTTTGCACTCTTTAGTTCTATATAGATATCTCTTTTTGCGGCACGGGCACGGTGATGCATTGTCGATCCTTTTAGAAAAGACCCGACGACGCCACAATGCATTCTCCCGGCGCTCTAGCATTGCTTTCACTGGCATTCGCTCCTTTGGCGCGCTCCCAAGCTGACACACAAGCTACGCTGCAGGTTGCCGCTAGAGAAGACGGCCTCGCATTCTCTCCTCCTCACTATCCGTCACCATGGATGGATCCCGCGGCCCCGGGCTGGGAAAATGCCTACGCCAGAGCCAAGGATTTTGTGTCGCAATTGACGCTCACTGAGAAAGTCAACCTGACCACCGGTGTTGGGTGAGTATCCAGCTATTGAAGCCCATGCTTCAATGCAGAATATCTTGGGCATGGTTCTAACCCTCTACTCTAGATGGATGTCAGAACGATGTGTCGGCAACGCTGGATCTATCCCTCGCCTTGGCATGCGTGGACTGTGCATGCAGGATGGCCCTCTGGGTCTCAGACTCTCAGATTACAACAGCGCCTTTCCTGGTGGCATCACTGCTGGTGCTTCATGGAGCCGTACGCTCTGGCACGAGCGCGGTCTCTTGATGGGCACTGAGGCCAACGAGAAGGGAGTAGACGTTCTCCTCGGTCCCGCGTCTGGCCCGCTTGGTCGCGCCCCTACCGGTGGCCGGAACTGGGAGGGCTTCACTGTTGACCCCTACATGGCCGGCATCGCCCTGTCTGAGACTTCCATGGGCATCCAGGAGGGCGGCGTGATTGCTACCGCGAAGCATTACATCGGCAACGAGCAAGGTAGGCCAGCAGCACGATTGCCGATTTTACGCGACTTCTTAGACTAACGGCATCCAGAACACTTCCGACAGGCCCCCGAGGCCGTGGGTTATGGTTACAACATCACCGAGTCCATGTCGTCCAACATCGATGACAAGACCCTCCACGAGCTCTATGTATGGCCTTTTGCCGACGCTGTCCGCGCTGGTGTGGGTGCCATCATGTGCTCCTACCAGCAAGTCAACAACTCGTACTCGTGCCAAAACTCGAAGATCATCAACGGTATCCTCAAGGACGAGCTTGGCTTCCAGGGTTTCGTCATGAGCGACTGGCAGGCTCAACATGCCGGTGCCGCCACTGCTGCTGCCGGCCTCGACATGACCATGCCCGGCGACCCCACCTTCAACTCCGGTCTTAGCTTCTGGGGAGCCAACCAGACCCTGGCCGTCATCAACGGTACCGTTCCCGAATGGAGAATCGACGACATGGCCATGCGAATCATGGCCTCCTTTTTCAAGGTTGGCCGAACTGTTGAGAGTATGCCCGACATCAACTTCTCATCATGGTCTCGCGATACCTTTGGCTACGTTCAGATTGCCGCCAAAGAGAACTGGGAGCAGATCAACTTCGGAGTTGATGTCCGCCATGACCACGGCCAACACATTCGTGAAGCTGCCGCCAAGGGCAGTGTCCTACTCAAGAACACCGGTTCTTTGCCACTGAACAAGCCCAAGTTTGTCGCCGTCATTGGCGAGGATGCTGGAGGCAACCCTGCCGGCCCCAACGGGTGCAGCGATCGCGGATGTGACAACGGAACTCTTGCCATGGCTTGGGGCTCGGGAACTTCCCAGTTCTCATACCTGGTCACCCCGGACCAAGCTCTCCAGGCTCAAGCCCTTACAGACGGCACTCGATACGAAAGCATCCTCAACAATAACCAGTGGGCACAGGTTAGCCAGGTTATTGCCCAGCCCAACGTCACCGCTATCGTCTTCGCCAATGCCGACTCTGGGGAGGGGTATATCAATGTCGATGGGAACGAGGGCGACCGCAAGAACCTGACTCTCTGGAAGGAAGGCGACGACCTCATCAAGAATGTCTCTTCCATCTGCCCTAACACGATCGTTGTGCTTCACACAGTCGGCCCAGTCCTTCTGACCGAGTGGTATGACAACCCCAACATCACTGCCATCGTCTGGGCTGGTCTTCCTGGCCAGGAATCCGGCAACTCGATTGCCGACATTCTCTACGGCAAGACGAGTCCCGGCCGATCGCCCTTCACCTGGGGTCGCACCCGCAACAGCTACGGCACAGATGTCCTGTACGAGCCCAACAATGGCGAGGGTGCTCCCCAGCACGAATTTTCTGAGGGTGTTTTCATCGACTACCGCCACTTCGACCGCAACTCTCCCAGCACCGATCGTACAGCCGCCTCCAACGACTCCGCTGCGCCCCTCTACGAGTTTGGCTTTGGTCTTTCCTGGAGCACCTTTGAGTACTCTAGCCTTGAGATTCAACCTCATATTGACACCACCTACGAACCCACCTCTGGTGACACGATTGCCGCTCCTGAGCTGGGCAACTTCAGCACCGACCTGTCCGATTATACTTTCCCGTCCAACATCCGATACATCTACCAGTTCATCTACCCCTGGCTTAACACCTCATCCTCTGGCAAGGAGGCCTCAGCCGATCCCTACTATGGCCAAACCGCCGAAGAATTCCTCCCCCCCAAGGCCGTCGATGGCTCTCCCCAGCCCAAGAACCCGGCCGGTGGTGCACCCGGTGGCAATTCTCAGCTTTGGGATGTCCTCTACACCGTCTCCGCAACCATCACCAACACCGGTAGCGCTACGTCTGACGAGATTCCTCAACTTTACATCAGCCTTGGTGGCGAAAACGAGCCCATCCGTGTTCTGCGCGGCTTTGAGCGCATAGAGGGCATCGCGCCTGGCCAGAGCGTCATCTTCACTGCCGACATCACACGCCGTGACCTAAGCAACTGGGATGTTACATCACAGAACTGGGTCATCACGGAGCATGAGAAGACGGTGTACGTTGGTAGTAGTTCAAGGAACCTACCCCTCAGTGCGGTTTTGGAGCAGAGCTACAGCACATGATGCAGGCAAATGAGGCCTCCCCTACCTGATGAAGAGGGCATTGCAACAAAAAGAAAGAGGACGATGATAGGTTTTGGATGACGGTCTTTAAGAGTCTTCTTGTATATACTTATGAATGCATACGAATATTCACACTGAATAACCTGTTCCCGGATCAATCCCAGGTCCTGTTATTGACTACATGGCATGTCAGCTAAAGTATCACTACCTGAACACAAGAGCGCAAGAGCAGAGAATGCACCTAAGCGCTTCGGTCAAGCACGGCTGGCACTGCGTTGACCTCTCGCTTACTCGCCGGCTACTACACTGTGTCCAAAGACCCTGTCAACTGACTTCAGCATCGTTGCGGACGATACCACCTCGGGTGTCCCATCAACCGGGTAGGGGCATCCGTTTGTTGAGCCTCTGGTAACGTCACAAACTCCGTTCACCAATCGCGCCCATAACTGTTCGGTCGAATACCCCCATTCCGTAACCCTTCGCGAGAGTAGCCCATTCTGGTCATCCGGTTCGCAGAATATCCTTGAACAGAACTGGTCACCCACCACCCTATTGAGACCACAGGCAGATGACAGATGAGCTCCCACTATTACCGATGCACCTAAATCAGAGAAAATAGCCGAAGCACATATGGGAATCATACGATTTCGCTTACCGCTTGGATTCCTTGGCCGTTCTTCATCTTCGTCAAACCTCGCAGGGGGGAAAAAGCCCACCGAGTTCTTCACCGACTAAACCCGCCTCTAGCAGCCGAAATTGGCCGTCGAATGAGTCAATAAAGCGAATAGCGAGCGAAGTGTTTATAAATGCAGCTCCCCCATCGGTTTCCGGTGGTCGGTCAGCTCGGGTACGATGAGTCTGGAGGCCCTCGCCTGGCGTCTTGGTGGGAGGGTGAGGGTGTGTTTCGAGAGGTAAGACGCTCTGTTTTATGTATGCAGCCTTCTTGGTATCAACTAACTCGGCTTTGTAGTAGGACCATGGGGGGAGACGCCGACATTCGTCAGTGTCGGTGCTGCTCTTTGCCCATCAGCCAACTGCCTCTTCCTCGGTTGTTAGGTCACGAGGAGCGATAGCTGTGCTATTTCACCCCGAAGAAAGCCTTGAGGGAGCCTTATGGTCAACTCAACGGACACAGGCCGCGTGGAGGCATGTTTGTGTCGTCAGTTTCCACTCATGGGAGGGAGCCCATGAGTTTGCTGGTGCCTTCCGCGTGCTGATCGAACAAACGGCCTGTATACAGACGCAACATTCCGCCAAGGCCCTTTGTCCGATGGATTCAAGAACGATACCGATGCCGGCGACCTGGACGTGTTGGGACGAGTATGGTACAACCGCCGACGGGACGAGGTGGTCGGAGTCACTGTCGGCTGGGACAGAGTGGGACAGAAAGAGGATGCTACAGCATGAGGATGGAATGTGAGGGAATGTGAGGGCACTGCAGGAGGCATCGCCATACCCAAGACGCGACGGTAACGTGGCATGGAATCTGGTCATGAGGCTCAAGTTTGCATATCCACCTAGACAATCGCTCGTCAATGAATTTTACTTGCAACGAACTGGCATATTTTACTACTCATAATTCCATCGCTTGTGAAGTGTCAGATTCTCTTTGGTATATCGCGCCTGCTGATTTAACGCGTTGGAAATACAATACTTGAAACTCGGATTCGGTGAAAGCTGGGTCTTTGAATGGCCTTTACCATACGCAACAAATACGCGAAGATGATGGTAACCACATCCCCAACTATTTGCGTACACTTACCATGTGTTGGCTCACGATCGATCGCTGAACATGCACCCCAGACCCTACCACGATATAGACAGCCGCAGACCTCGTTGTGTTCGACGAAACCGTTGCACATTCCACAAAGGCTAAGCCGGCATGGCACAGTTGAACAAGATTGGTGCTCCGACACAGCCATCTTGAGGCCTCATGCGGACTAGTATCACAAAATTTAAGCCCAATGGGTTCCCTCGAGGCCTGACAGCAGACCCATGTACCGGGAACAACCTCACCGCTGAAACTTTGACAGACTGTCAATCTCAACGGAGAGTGGGGTTCTAGGCGAGTACTTGAGGCGGGCCACATTCGGGGCTTCACTCCTAGATCTTCGTGGCTGACAATGGTGAAACTATAGGACACAAACCTGAGTGTATTCCTCAGGAGATGGCTGCTAACTCCTCCAAGAATGAGTGCTGAATCACATAAAGTAGAGTTCGTCAACTGGAGGAATAACAAGACATGGACTGGCAAGAAACATTGTGATTATGGGACATCCCGGTTGTGGAACTGGAAATATACCGAGACACCGTGTGATATGTAACCGGGGTCTGAGGTACATTGGTCGCGTGTCCTCGGTGACTTAGAACTTTGAGCCAAACCTCAGGGTCCCACTGGATCAATGCATGCGTAGTCTCAGGGACTTTAACTTGACGTCTCAGGGACTCGGACTTGAAGTCTCAAAGACTCGGACTTGAAGTGATCCACGATCTTTTTAAAGAACCCCGTATTAGCTATCGATGAAAGGTGATTCAGTGGAACAACAAGGGACTGCGAAGAAGTCTACATCTTGTGGCTGTATACCACCTTCTGAGCATCACAGTATAACCCAAAAGTAGGCTCATTATCAGGGCGGAATGGTATCTTTAGCCAATGATCTCGCATATCTTCATGCGCGTCAAGATCACGATATCGGAGGTAACAACTGCCGCAGTGTTTCGATGTGTTCCACATGCTCTGCTCCCTTGCATCCGGTGTCCGAAAGCAGCGACGAACTGCTGCCGGTGTCCGATCAACAGTGAGTCAGAGGCATATTGGACACGAATGTGAGGCTCCTAACGATAGTTTGCGGTGCAGCGCGTCACCAAGTGGTCGCGATGCCATTGCGCGTGTCACAACTTGCGACGAGGCAGAGTAAGCCGTTCCACGAACCTCGGGTCCGCAGCTATGCAAGGGCCAGAATTCTTGTCACAAGGGCAGAAATTGAGAGTGAATCACAGCTGCTCTATGATGATGTGTACCACTGATGGGCTGCCATCGTTGAGAACGGGTTTCAACTCTGAACTATAAGTACGGTCTTAGCTATCCATCATAGCCCTTCCTTCCTCAGCACTGTATCGAGTCTTGTAAGCCACGCCGACCAGCCTGAGTTCCCGTTCCTGCCTTTTCTGCACTTTATCTTTGGTTCGAGAGAGGCAGCCTCTACCTTTCCCTTTGACTTCCCTGCTGGCCCTTCTTGGAGACACAGGCTACAGAGGACCACCTGACCTGTGCGATATTGCCAGCTGGTATCCTGTCACAATGCCCCTCTGCATCAGAAGCAACTCAAAGTTGTCACTTCAGAAATGCGGTAAACCCGACTGTTCTTCAGTCGTCTACTGCAAGGACGGTTGCATTTCTTTGTGGTGCAAAAGACGTAAGTTGGCTACCTTGACCCATCAATGGACATCGAGCTGACAGGACACAGATTCGTGCCGCCTTGGACCTGCTCTCTGTAGGGAAAAGAAGAGAAAAAGCAAGGACTACTGTCACCTGCGTAAGTCCATCTGCCTTCACCCCTTTCCACCGACATTTCCTAACCAAAACTAGACAGGGCATGTGATGCTCAGGGATGTAGTGTGGAGAGGGACTACAAGCACACAGTTTCTTGGTGTTGCCCGGAACGTCAGTCTCCCTTTCTCAGCTGAATGCAAGCCATGAGAGATCGTTCAAATCACTGACATCGTGAGCAGACGCCTGTCGCTTTGACAGTCCACCTGGCAAACGGGCTTGTACAAAGAAGCCTGCAGCGAATTCCGCCTACTGCGGTGACCACGTGCAACAGTCGACGTGCGCGTGGGAACGTTGCAGGCTGGAAAAGTTTCCGGGCAGCCAATTCTGCTTGACACACAAGTGTGTCGTGTGCTCAAGAGGATGTTATCCCGGCCGTGATACTGGGCACTGCTCCCAGCACCAACCCTGTGCAGCCCCTACGTGTACCGACTTCTGCGCTGTTGGGAGCGATGGCGAGCCTCAGATGTGCTGTCCCGAGCACCACGTCTGTTCAGCTCCTGGGAGAAAATGCCAGGAGGTTGTGATCAAGGCCCAGACATGCTGTCAGTGGCATCGCTGCGGTGTCAACGGGTGTAAGGGGAGCCGGGATCAGTTCCGCGGCCAAAGAAATCTGTGGTGTCGAGATCGTAAGTCACTTTACTCATCAATCTCATCCTGTATACCAGCTAACCAGATAAGATGCCTGCACGAAGGGAAACTGCGTAGGACGCATAGCAAGCCCGGGCGTTCCATTTTCTCGAAACTGTGTCGACCACACATGTCGGCAGGCGGATTGCTTCGGGCAGGCCATTGACGCCCGTGGACTGTGTCAACAGCACTGCTGCAGAGCTCTCGGCTGCAACAACCAAGCTGCGACGGGGAACGCTTATTGCGGGAACCACAAGTGCCAGGACGCAGACTGCCAGCTGCCTGCTAAGATGCCGGGCGGGTACTGCACGCAGCACGCGTGCGTTGTTGAAGATTGCGGTGGTGAGAGAGCTAAATCTTACCGCAACATGTGTCCGGAGCACGTCTACCGCGCGGGACGCGATGATGAGTTTAATGAACGCAATCACTTGGAAGCGCAGCGGATGGCCGACGAGGAAGAACGGCTAGCGGAACAGAAGAGGATCAAGAATGAGCGCGAAGAGCGAGAGATGCTTGCACAATATGCGAGGGCCAAGGAGCAGGAGCAACGAGAAGCGGCCGCCCGACAGCATCGACAACAACAACGCCACTGGCGAGCTGTCCCAAGACCTCAAGCCCGGGAAGATAGGGCACAGCAAGAGGCAGATCAAAGGGCGCGGCTCTACCAGCGTTTGCCAACGGGGGGAGTGCGAGGCTGGTGAGGCAATCGCAAGTTTCGCTCCAGGTCGACAGCACAAGACCCCCGTCATTCGAGGTTTGCACTGCGCCTTCCACTCATTTCGTTCTCTGAAGAACATACGTATATCCGCCGCCATATGCACCTCCGAAGCGCATATTTGACACCAACACCATTCACCATTCGGAGATGCTTTGCCCGACGATGGACATAATGGTCCCAGCAATTTGGATTGTGGACGTATACAAGGAAGTATATACTTTAGAACATTGCCATTCGCACACATACATATGGCTACTTGCACACAGATGCAAATGGGTCTGGCTAAGCCTCATCTTTACTTTCATATCTAGCTTAGGCGTACGATTAGAAGTACGCTCCTGGGCCTGCATTTGTTGCTTATTTAACAACATAAGAGTCTCGAAGGAGAGGGGTACATACTTAGAATTAGTCTTAATCAACTTACTCTACTAAGTACTACATCGTGGAAAATATTTTTAATAATCTCAAGTGTTATGGTACATAATTTTCTGCAGGAGAGTCGGCGGGAGATGTAAGAAAGGCGTATGATGGGCTCCGATCCAGTAGCCAACCGGGTGCTGCAAGCGCCTTAAACAACCCTTGTGTCTGCAAAGATCGATGCGAACACAGGCAAATAAGTTTATTCTGAAGAAAAGGTTATTTACAATGTAGCTAATTAATCCTCGTCCGTTTTTTCCTCCTTGCGTCCTCCTTCTGCGCAAACGAATATTACACAATAAGTGCACATAGCAGGCGAGAGGCGGGGATAAGTCTTCCTCGACCACGCCCAAATTCTTTCAACTCGCTGCTCGAGAATTATTTTTAATATTTAAAATGTTTCATCGCTTCTCAGAGCTTCCTTTGGAGCTCAGGGAGGAAATCTGGAAACTCACAATTCGTCCCAACCGCCCGGGAGTTCATGCCTTCAGCATCTACAGCAGTAAGGAAGATGAAGATGCCATCGACGAAATGAACGATGCCAGAATACCCGCTGCATATTACCCCGATCTTCGCCTGGCAGCTCCGCAGCTGGCGCTCCGGTCTATCGACAATCCTTCAAGCAAACGCAAAGACACAACGGCCTCGTGGACCGTAAACAACCCATCAACATACCTTATCGACGGAGGCCTCTGGACGGCTTGTAAAGAATCGCGGTTAATTATGGAACGCCACTTCTGTACTCAGGAATGGAATGCGATTCGAAATCATTCCTTTCAGAGCTTTAGAGATGCCCAACGTCAGGAGTCCGTACCGGCAATGGGATGTTTCAACGAGAAGGATGCTGGCGACCACTACTTTACAGTTTTCCCAAATCAAGACCTCTTTTTTCTCCAACCATACAACCTCAACACTCTTGACTGGGGAAGAGTGTCTCACGACATATCCATTGCTTCAATGTGGAATGGTTTCGGGGGCCTGAAGCATGTCGCCCTGGAATTTAACCCAAGCTGGGCTCTGGAACTCGAAAAAGACCGACCCTTTTTCATCGAGCTGGAATTCATGACCAACCTCACTGACGCGGTTATTGATGGAACGGCATGGGGAGGATTAGATACACTTTGGTTCATCGACTTCGGGATGAAACGAAAAGCACATGTCCCTACAAAAGCGGAAACCGAGAGACCGCCTCGCAAAGTCTTCTATCAGAACAATTGTCGCTTTGTAGAAGTTTATACAGGCTCACCATTTGATCATCAATGGGAGCAGTATTATAAAGCTGGAGGAGTTGAGAATATTTCGAGTCGTAGATTTATCCAGGAGCTTGAATACGCCATTGAGGACGGACTTGATGACCGTCAGGCCGAACACTTCGGTCTGGATGCAAAAATTGGGATCCTAGGCTGCGAGTTCTGACAAAACCTCGATAAAATACATAATAGCATCTTCAATAGAGCCATACATTTAATGCGACTTTTTTGAGTATGTATTCTTAGCATTCATTTTTCGTTGTAGGAGAAACTCGGAGTATGTCAGAGAATGAACGAGGCCACGTAATAAGGCTGTATGACTAGCAATGCTCTCAATCGAATATCGCATCCATTCGTGACCTAACTTTCTAATGGCTAGGCAATATGAACAGAGTGATTGTCGACAAAGTGTACCGCAACTTCTAAGGGATGTCTATACTTCGATTGCGTCATCATCGTGAGGAGTGAACGGCCGGTAGAACGGGAGAATCGGCCATTCTGGCTGCTCATATGGCGCCGAGAAAGCGTGAGTTCCAGAGCCAACATGAATAGTTTCAGTGCTCGCCGGAAGTTTGATCGCCGCGACCGAGTTCAGCGGGATCTTGACGGTCATGGTGAATAGCTCTCCTTCAATCGCCCAAGAGACTTCAATCAAGCCATACGGCGACAGGTGCTTCGCATTCACGGATGTCACTGATCCACCAGGTATGGGTGCGATCTGTATCTTCTTCCAACCGGGTTCGAGGGATGTGATTCCTGCCATCACGCTGTGCATCCAATCCGCCACAGCCCCCAAGGCGTAGTGGTTGAAGGACGTCATCTCACCCGGGTTGACGGAGCCGTCGGGCAGCATACTGTCCCACCTCTCCCAGATCGTCGTCGCCCCCATCTGCACAGGGTACAGCCAGGAGGGATTTTTTCGATGTTCAAGCATGCGGTTGAAGATATGCGTCCTGCCAGCCTTCGACAAGGCGGGCCCCAAGATGGCGCTTCCGACAAATCCGGAAGCGATCTTGAAACGAGACTCGGATCGGATGATCTCCTCCAGTCGAGCAGCTGCGACTTCGACCTGCTCGTCTGTTTTGAGAAAGTCGAAGTGGATGGCAAGGGCGATTGCTGTCTGCGAGTCATTGACTACTCGACCTCGCCGGGTAATATACTCGTCGGTGAATGCCTCAAGAAGCTCATTGAAGTCATTCGAGTACTTCTTTGCGCCTTCTTCGTCTCCAATCACCGAGGAAATCTTGGCCATTAATCTGGTGATGTGCACGAGGAAGGCGTTGGCCACGAAAACCGAGTCGGCTCGGCCCAAGCCAGGCTCTGAGGGTGGCGCCGATGGATCGAGCCAGTCGCCAAGCTGCTGCACGCTCGTCGTATCCCAGAGCTTCCTTTCGTTCCTGGGGATTCCTTGTTCAATCCAAGCCCGCATTCCTTCAATTTGGGCCTCGAGGACTTTCTTGTCACCAGATGCTTGGTACAAGTCCCAAGGAACCAGTACCACCGCATCACCCCAGACGGCAGTGGCTGGTCTGAAGGGGAAGTCAGGGAAGACATCAGGAGTGAACAAATTGGGAATGCCATTTTTGTTTTGCTTCTGCTCTGAGTCCACATCACTCAGCCAATTCTTCAAAACCCCAACAGTATCGTACAGGAAGCTTCCTGTTTTGCAGAAGACAGCAATATCTCCAGTCCACCCGAGTCTCTCGTCTCGCTGTGGGCAATCTGTCGGGACACCGACGAAATTGCCACGCATACTCCACACAATGTTCTTGTGTAGCTTTGAGATTAATGGGTGGGAGCAGTCGAACCAACCTGTTCTTTCCATGTCTGAGTGAACAACAACTGCCGTGATGGATAACAGGTCAGCCATCGCCAACCCAGTAATCTCGGCGTATCGAAAGCCGTGGAAGGTAAATTTGGGTTCCCACTCGATTGGGTCGCTTCCGCAGAGGATTATAGAGTCCTGGGCCTTGGCGGTCCTCAGAGGGCGGGTGTCAACATGTTCTTTATCCTTCTGCAAGACTTCGCCATGCTGAATAACCACCTTCTGCCCCGAAGTGCCAGCAGCGAGCCGGATCTTGACCCAACCAACGAGATTTTGTCCAAAGTCAACAATGATAGACTTGGACTTGGTCTCCCGTGTTTCTAATGGCTGCTGGAATTGTGTTCGTCGGATAGGCGGGCCACTCGGCGCGACCAGGCGTTCTCTGCAGTCGAGCGTCGCAGTCTTGACCTGGCGCCAGTTGGAGTCATCGAATTCCGGTAGCAACCAGCCTGGCTCATCTATCCGGGCATCGAATTCCTCTCCATCGTAGATTCCTGACGAAAGAAGTGGGCCAAATTCCTCTTTCCAGGACTTGTCGGTATTGATCACAACAGGTTCTTCATCTGAGGGTGTCAGGAATAGAGACGCCTGCAATCCCAGTGTTTTGCCCCAAATATTGTCGTTTCCTCCCGCAAATCCCAGTCGTCCACAATACCACCCCTCGCCTACGTATGCAGCGATGGTGTTTTTGCCCGAGCGGAGGAGGCTCGTCACGTCGAAAGTCTGAAAGGGCAATTGAAATTTGTAGTTGGTCCAACCTGGTGTCAGCACATGGTCGCCAACTCGTTGGCCGTTGATATGGCATTCGTAGAGTCCATGCGCTGTGATGTATAGTCGGGCCTTGGCCAGGCTGTTGGCGTCTGCTACCTCGAAGTCGCGACGGAAGCGGATAGGACGATGGGGTTTTCCCTTCTCGCCATCCAAACCAGATTCGATGACGTCGCAGGACCAAGTGGACTGGTCAATTCCGGCTTCAACTGCTGTCCAAGGTGACCATTCTGAAACGGAGCCGTCTGCGCCAGTCACCCTAACCCGAAGCTTCGCTGACTCGCGTTCCTGAAGAGGATCTGCTGGCCAAGGGGCAAGCACAGAGTCTGATGAGTCGGCATGGAATGACTGGATGCCTTTCAAGCTATCTCGCTGGATCTCAATGTCGTAGGAAGCCTGCTGCCAGTTTTGGACGTCCCCGCCAGACACCCATGACAATCGAGGGCTGCGCTCATCAATTCCCAAGGCTTCCCGGTGGTGCTCGAACCGCACTTTGTCCACGGTGAGTGACATGTTGCGGGATTGGTGGTGTGGGAGGGTGTAAAGACTGTTGATGCAACTCAACCAAGCCTCAGTGTGGAGAGTCGGGATCTAGGAGATGACTCGGCGGCTTGTGGTCACGCACAGTCAGGGCCCTGGGCTTTCTTGCCAGTTGACTTGAGAGCAATCTCAAAACCAACCTCGATCGCTCTTGGATATAAACTACATCTCGGTGTAAATAATCCCGAAAACATCACCAACCCTCGCTCTTTCGGTAGGATGATTCTCTTCTCCTTCCCGCATCTTGAACACGGGAATTGGTCCTGTCTGTGGGGCCGAAGTGCTGCGGAGCCAGAGCCCAGGTATTCGCCAATTATGGATAAGGGGACTATAGCTGCTAGGCCTAAACAGGGCTAGATGATCCCGGAAAACCCGGGCTCGGCTGGTACCATCGGGTTACCCCAATCTTATGGCACGGACTGAGACAGTTTGAGATGTTCACAAGTCTCGAGTTTTGGAGTTCCTTAGCGGTTTCAAATCCACATGTTTGATTTCTCGACTAAAAAGGCGAAACTTAAGGCACAGGCGTGGAAAAGCGTCGTTTCGATTGATGAATGGAACACGCTCGTGAAGAACGGAGCTGCTTCCGGACGGTTTTCCACGACCAGTCAGGTGTTGTTAGGCGTCTTGCTCTCGGATTCCGCAAATCTGTGTAAAGAAAATTATGCCTTGTACTTGTTGGTCCTCCTCATCGTAATTGTAGAAGCTCTGGACGCGAGGAAAATAATGTACATAGACTGGCCACTCATTGCCAACCGGGCAGTGAGGAAGCGGTTCGGTGCCGTATCACAAAGGTACTATCGTGGACTTGGTGCAATACATTAGGGAGAGGAGATGTGGTGCCGAGAAGACTGTAAATATTCAGGTAATATTATCTACTAATTGAAGCTCGAAGTTTTGGCGATGCGAAGATGTTGACGATCGCCACTCTTTGTCAATGTAGGTTAAACCTCATGTGGATTGGACCTTTGGCAAGTGCTTACTTACTTGCCGGGTGACTCCAATGCCTCTCTTCGGTCTGTGCCAGCTGTCGCAGACCTATTTTATACTTAAGCGGGAGACCGCCTGCCTATAATAGCTAGTTGAGTAATTTTCGTCACTGATAAACCCATGGAATACCAAGCAACACCAACGTCTGGGAGTTTGCTACCTCCAGACAGCGCCTCATCCGTCGCAGAGATGGCCGCTCTCAATGCGAATGATTTTGGCGCCAAAGTGCCTGCGATTTTAGCATCCGCGAGCAGGCGCATATTCAAGGAGCAGGGATGGAAGGATCGCCCATTTGTTGACATCAAGGCGGTGCGATCCCGTGCAACTGAGCCCCCAACAATAGCAGCCATTGCAACAGTTCTGCAGTCGTCGCTGAGAGATCAGGATGAATTTCGCATTGCCTGGACCGCGTTTTACGAGGTCGTTGTCGAACTTCCCTCGGACGCAATCCGGTTCTACCGCCCTGCTTTGGAGGCACTCTCTGCTACGGAATCAAGTGACACTGGCACTGAAGCCTCGCACTCTGTCGCAGCCACCTCATTGAGAAAGGAAAGCAAGAATCTACTACGATATTTGGACAACCCGAGGCCGTATGGGTTCCAACGCACAAGGGCGACTACATCGGCGAGCTCAGCCTGCAGCAGCGCGTTACAACGGCAGAGCAGATGCGGCCGCACGTCACGGAGCTTCTCGGGTGGCTAGCGGATGGGAATTGGCCTCCGTTCCGTGGCTCCCGGAAGCAGCTGGCCCGGTTCCCGGAGGTTACGGTGGAGCCGATTCGGGAGCTGATGGAGAAGGAACGGGGCGACGGCGGATGGCTGTTGAACCTGTTGGAGTTTGTGGGGGATTGTGTACCGGTTGGGCCGCTTTGGGAGCCTCTGAGACCGGTGGTGCAGGCGATTTCGGATGATCCTAAGGGAGATGAAGATGACTGGGAGCTTTCGGATTGTGCGCGACTGTGGTTGGTAAGATTAGATGAGTGGAAGGAAAAGAATAAGGTGGTGTGAATGTCTTGACTTAGCGACTGCAGTATTGTTAGCTATTGTGATAGTGTATTCGCCGCCGTCTTGTCACAATCGTGTCACCACTTTGGGCTGTGTGGCTGTGTGATTCAATATGAATATGAATATGGCGCTTAGCCGTCTGTAGCAAGGCCAACAACGAGGGCGGTAACACCAGGTTGCCTGTTGGTTCGGACCTGCGTGAGAACACCTACAGTCTAATGATTTGCCGCAGGCCACTTGTTGGTCGAGAGGTTGTGCCAAGCGACCGGAGTGGTTGATTGTGATGGCCTCAATCTGCCAGGCGATGGCGGGGGAAACCAAGGAACTCGCAGCAAGATCGACTCGCATGGCTGGGAGATGAAGAAATGCGCTCACTCGGTCAGACGGTCAGCCCATCAGTCCAATATATCTTTCCACTCGGGTCTATTCTTGTCTCATAGCCATCACGGCGCCGGGGTGCATCTGCTGCGAGTGCGCGCTTACAGCACGGCTTCATTGGTGCCATGGGGCTTCGCTGCGGGTCGCGGGCTGCAACTAGCATCACGACGCAGGCGGCCAGCGGCATCACGCATGGCCGAATACGGAATAAGCGGTCGGCTGGGCCTCATCCGGCCCTGGGCCTCGGATGCGCGGCACTCGATTGGCCCGGCGTCGCATTAGAGGCCGGCGCGAGACCCGTGAGACTGGTCGTGTGTGAGGAGTGATTGGGAAGTGTGCGATCGCCGCGTTTCTGCGACGGGAATGGTCGCTGTGACGAGCATCCCTGCATGCGCTTGGCCGTGGCTTCACTATTTGACGGGCCCCGGCCTCACCACAGGACGAGGGGAATCCTTTTCTTGGGCGCCTCCGCTGGATTTGTGGCCGTCGTTCTCTTCTTCTGTTCACTCGCAGGCGAGATTTTACTATTGCTGGTCAATCATTTCCTCCTACAGAAACACACTCTCTCAACCCACCGCTTCCAACCTCCACAACAACGACGACGCTTCCCAGTCATTACTCCACCACGCTGCCTGCAGACCAAATACACCCCAAGTACGCAAAGCACCCGACATCATGGGCAACAACCTCTCGACGTCTGTCCAGTTCGACACCTCGGGCGCCGTCTTCAGCCCCGAGGATCGAGCATCCGGCATCAAGCTCATCATCTTCTGGGTGTCCACCCTCTACGTCTGCGCCATGATCTTCAGCACCTGCGCCCTCGTCGACCGATGGAAGGGGCCCTACGACCGAATCCGCACTGGTGCAGGGTCGGTCATGGCGGCGTTATTGTTGTCAACGGCCTGGCCAGTGGTGATGGCATACCTGCTCATGGCCGGCTAAAGCAGCCATCCGGGGCGACGACGGGAGACGGAGGATGGGCGCGGGAAAGACAGGACGGAGCGCTTCATGGGTTAACACATGAATCAAAGGCAAATTGCGGTCATGTTGATTGTATACTACGGAGTTCGAAATAAACGGTTGGAGGCGCAGATGGGCCCGTCTCATCGACATTGACGACGCGAGCCACCTCAGCCGTGATGGGACGAAAGGCCAATGCCGGGTTTGTTAGCGACACGGGCGTTCAATGCGCTCAATATTTCTATCTAATACAAGAAATTTTACAAGACTCTGTGTGCCACCTTTCTATGGTCATCATGCCTCGAGGATCAATAATACTACCTGCCGCAAATGCGGAATCAATACCTTATATCGGTATCAACTGGATTGAGTAGTTGAGTCGCTTTCATCCCCACCATGATCAGCCCACCAATGTGTTGCGCCGGCTCCTATCCGAACGGGTATCCTTTCTGCCGATGATAGATTCAAGGGCCTGTGCCAGAGCCTTCGCATCGTACCTCCCACCCCTTCCCGCTTCGTCTTTCGGGCCGTAAAGCCTTGTCGCGTCGATCCCCAGCTGCCCAAACCGTTGCTTGTCCACCTTTGGCGAGTTTGGCCCCTCGATGTAAATGACATGTGTGACATACTGGCAGTAGTCGTCCTCATCCGGCTTAGGGAGACCCCGTGAGTCGGCGCAGGCGTTGGAAATGGCAGCCACAAAGTCCAAGCCCGAGAACGGGTTGGCGGATGGTCCGGTTTCGCGATCGGTCGTGCCGTTGAGTATCAGGATCTTGTTTCGGATCATGGGACTAGAGATAGCCTGACCTACGCCACGGAGGACAAGACTAGGTATAATGGACGTAAAGAGGGATCCGATGCAGTAAACTAAGCTGTTTGTGGAGTGAAGTGCATCTAAGACTCGCGGGTTGGCAGGAATCTTGATCTCCTCGCCGTACGGATTGATGTACCATATCCGGTCAATCCTGGACGGGAGGTCTTCTTCCTGTTCCTTGGAAAAGACAATGGCAGGCCGTCTCAGTGCAGGTAGCGTGCCAGGGAGGTTAGCATCTTCAACTTTGTCATGTTCCCACGTGTCGTGTCTCGTCGACACGGGACTGTGCATCCCGGCGCTGGTTCCCGGGACCGCAGCTGTGGGCGCGCTGGGGTGCGAGATGTCGTTCTGCCCAGTGATTACTGTGCCATCATTTAAACCGGCGGCGATATGAAGCGCAAAGTTGGTATTGAGCGCTGGCAAGACGGCGATACGGTCCGGAACTGAGCATATAGAGCTCAAGAGGTAGACGGCTGCCTCAAAGCTACCAGTGAAGACCCTGGCGCCTGTGAGGAACAGGTTACCTATGCTCGCCCCGGAGAAGTCAAATCGACTACTAGGCCTCATTCGTTTGACGACTTCGAGATTGAAACTGTTCAAGTACGAGCGAATAAGCTCCCGCTTTGGCGAAGAGATGTCGTCCCAGAGTGGGTGTGACGCTTCCAAGATCTCGAACCACTCCGCTCTCGCCTCAGCGTAGACTTTCGGCAGACGGTGATTGAAGAAATGCTTGATGGCCGCCGTTTCCTCGCTGCCGTCATTGGGGATAAGTCGTACCAACCGAGATCTCACATCTCCTATACCTAGCTTGCAAGTCAGCCAACTCGTGCAACTCTAGCGCATCAACGGGCATGGGTGGTACCTGGGCCTCCGAAAACACGGATCAGCTCGCTGCTACTTCCGCCATTGTCCGAGATGGGAATCACGTAGCTGAGTTTGAAGTGATTGGCTTCCCGGACGCTCTCAAAGACATCTACGAGATTGTTTGCGGCGCTCCCGCCGGAAAAGACAACGATGCCGTTCAGGATACTGGGGCTGGGGACGGTGTGCTGGAGCGAACTCAGTCCCAGCGGCCCACTTCCTTTCGGCAGCTGGAGTCCATTCTTATGGTGTATATTCTGAGGCATTGAAATACAGGTTCTATAAAGCAATTCCCGTGCGACGAGGAATAACGACGATTAATTAAAGCTGACATGTGTCCAAAGTCGCGATTGATGGTGTTTATCCATGAAATTACCGGGGTAATGTTAACCCCACTCATTACGGATAGCTGCATCTCCTTCAAGAAGCAATTCTTCGCCGGGACTGAATGCTGACGATTTCTAAACCTCTCCAACATCTCACAATGCGATTTTCCTTGTGACACATCCAAGACTACCGCCCATTTCATCCAAAACGCGTGCCGCAGTGAACAGCCGACGGTCAAGTCTCTGCAATTGGAAGTCCAATACGCGTACCTGGAGAACCTCGGCGGATTCGGGCCCAAGCCGCTCTGGGAAAGTTCCCACTTACAAAGCAGCGTTGCTCCTCACTGACCGTGGAACCCGGTATCCGGAACCACCAAATGCTCCCATTTGAACACACCTCGGCTGGCGTGGGCCAATTAAGCAGGCTGAAATGATGTGACGGGCCTCTGATATCGGTGAACGACATTATCACCACGCCATGGACAGTGCCAAGATGCAGCGGAGGGACATCTTACTCAGTGTGGTCCGTCCCCGCTCGAAAAGAATCCATCACATCAACCGTCTGTTTGTCCGTTGCCGAGTAGCCCCACGGTTAACATCAGAAGCCCGACTTTTCGAAGGGTCTGCCCTCCACGGAGTTCTATCCCTCTTGTTCTTACAAATCAACCTCAGCTCACCAATCTCGCGACCCTTACTGCGAGGAATCCAACGATTCTAGACGTCACATTTGGGCGATAAAAAGCTCGACAACAGACGACAACCACATTGGGTCATATATTCATCACTATAACCGTTTTGACTTGAAGAGCCATTCATCGTCCGCAATGGCCCAAACAATCCCAACCACAGTGAGGCAGTGGAATACCACCGACCAGGCTGGATTCGACTCCCTCAAGGTTTCCGAGCAACCCCTGGGAGAGCTCGGCGATACTCAGGTCTTGGTCAAGAGTAAGCTCCCCTAATATTCCATGGCAATTAGCTCAAGGTTCAGCTAACCGCTTCGACAGTCCAGGGCGCTTCTCTCAACGTGTGTAACCATCGTCAGTCTTTGACAGCTTACTAACTGACTCGATAGTATCGCGATCTAATCATTGCAATGGGCCAGTACCCAGGTGGAGTATCCCCCAATGTCGTTCCAGGCTCCGATGGTGCTGGCACCGTCTTGGCTATCGGAAAGAATGTGAAGAGATTCAAGGTTGGCGATAAAGTCATTACCCTCTTCAACCAAGGTCACATTGGCGGTTCGCTGGACGCTCTGAGTGCGAAGACCGGCCTTGGAGGCTCCATCAACGGCACCCTTCGCTCTGCCGCAGCTTTCGATGAGCAAGGCCTTGTGCGTATGCCCTCCAACTTGAGCTTTACTGAGGCATCAACCCTCACTTGCGCCGGCCTGACCGCCTGGAATGCACTCTTTGGTCTAGCGGATAAGAAGCTCATGGCCGGTCAGTGGGTCCTGACCCAAGGCACTGGTGGCGTCAGCATATTTGGAGTCCAGTTCGCCAAGGCAGCTGGAGCCAAGGTTATTGCGACGACCAGTTCAAGCGAGAAGGCCAAGTTATTAGAGAAGCTCGGCGCAGATCACATCATTAACTACAATGAAACGCCGGAATGGGGTGACAAGGCCAAGGAGCTGACTGGTGGAGTTGGTGTCGACCATGTTATCGAAGTCGCAGGCCCAGCCTCGATGCGACAGAGTCTTGCCAGCGTCAAGATGGACGGTGTCATCACCATCATCGGGTTTGTCGGTGGCCAGACCAAAGATCAGCCAGGATTCCTCGAGAACCTGACTCGACTTTGCATCACGCGGGGCATTCTCGTCGGAAACCGGAGCATGATGGAAGATATGTGCCGCGCAATTGAGGCTAACCCTGAGACTCTTCGGCCCGTTGTTGACCCCAAGGTCTTCACCTTCGACCAGGTCAAGGAGGCGTACGAGTACCAGTGGTCGGGCAAACACCAGGGCAAGGTCTGCATCGAGGTGAACTGAGCACACGTCACAGCGTCCTTTTTTAAGACAAGGCGGGATGGTCACCACCGCATGTACGCAAACGGAAAGGCTAATTGTTGCCAAAGCCTAATTCTATTCCAGGATTGTGAGGCGCCTCTGACGAAAGGCTCTGGTTTCTACTAGGATGGATCACTTTCTATGCATGATTGACGCTGTGTTAGCTCTCTCTGGCGGGTACAACGCTCACGTTTCTTACAGGACGGAAGAGTAATCCCCCGCAAAAGCGCACGCACGGATGCAGATCTTAGACCTAATGATTGTGATTGAACGCTTAATGACATTTGCTGAATACATTTGTTTGTGCACTGGGCCAGCACTTGGCACACCCGCACGTTGTGAAACGGTTAGCCTGACCGCCACCCCCTTCCTTCTGCTGGTCTTGGCGGCTCTATTTGATAGCCGCTCGCGATCCCGGATCGATCTAGATGAGGAGAACAGCAGCAGCGGCTAACAAGCCACTGACCATGTTGATGCCGAACGAGGCACCGCTGCTTGGGATGCCAGTTGGGGTGCTGGCGGGCGGTGTGCCGATGGGGGTGGTGCTGTTGTTTCCGGGAGTAGGGATAATGCCGGCGGGAGTTGTCGCAGGCTGAACAAAGGTCTGAGTCTCCGTCTTGAGCGTCCCGATCGGGGTGTATGAGATTACGACCTCGGCGGAGGACTCCGGGACGGGCGTCTCAACGGGGACAGCGGCAGATGTCTCTGCAGGAGGCTGCTCATAACCGCCGCCGGCGCTGGTCGCTTCGGTAAGGATGGTAGAAGCCCCTCCCTCTCCAGGAACGGTGATGGTGTTGATGGAAGCGTCGGTGTTGACGCCACCCTCACCTTCGCAGGTCTCGCCAACGGGGCAGCAGCCGTACTCGCCGTTGCTGCCAAGGGAGCAGGTCTCAGTAGCAGGGCAACCTCGATCGCCGCTGGGGCAGCAAGTCCACGTGAGCTCGATGCAGCCATCGCCGCAGTCCTTTGCTCCCTGGTCACTGCAAGACACCTTGTAGAGCTCGCGGGCGTTGAAAGGGCTGTGCGCGGCGGCGAGGGCGCCAGTGGCGGAGAGAGTGAGGAGGATGAGCTTGTTCATGATGGACGAGTGGGAGAGCGTAGTGATGGGGTCAACGGCAGGCTGTTGGGAAATTCGTGTATTTGTTCAAAGGCGGTTGAAGGAGATGGAGAGATGAGAATATGAAGACCAGAAGAACCACCTACGCAGAGAATTGCATTTATATATCTGCAGCTCAGTTTCTCTATTTTGAGTACGCGGCCCCGTACAAAGGCAATGATCTGTGTGTTACCAGCATGCGCAATGAGGCTGGCCAGCTGACAACAAACAGTACGTACGCGTAGTTGAACCATGGAGAGCCCGGATCCGCCAGGACCAGGGCCTCATCTACTCCTCTGGGTCCCTCCATACCGATCGCCATTGGTGGTCGGGCCGATCCTCTGGGGCCATGGCTGTCTCACCATTCGGGATGCCGGTGCAGCATGGAAGCAGACGTCAGGAGAGAACGTCATCTCAGGACGGCGAAGGAGTTAAGCTTGAAGGCTTCTTTGCGTCGCATGGTTTCAGTCCCGTACATGTCTTGAAGGAACACATGTTGCCAGAAGGAGGGGGTTTTAGAAAAGAGTGCTCAGATCCGGGAGTGAACAAGCATCTCTTTCTGTTGCGCTTCGCTGAAACCTCTGGGTTTTCGTCTCTTCGACGGGGCAGCCTGCGTGTCACTCGATCTGGATCGCGGCACTTGCGTCAGTATTCCCGGCCATTCTCACACAGATGGAAATAGACCTCGCCTGCTCCCGATAAATCAGAAGCGTCTTGCGTAGCATATTATTACCTTATTCCTTGCTAATAATGAGTACGTAGATTGCACTATTTTTACCTATGTCGTGCGTCGTTCTCCACTGGCTTGCCCCGCGCGGGTCCAAGCTGAACCAAGTGCCGGCCAAGCCAAGCAAAGAGGCCTGAACCAACAACCATCCTTGTTCTCAATTGATCGACACCAGAGGCGTGTATGCTTCAATCTTGTAGCTGCCGGCTTTGCTTGAGGCCGACGTAATTAGGTCATGACGAGCGCTGAAACATTGCATCTGCCACTGAGCTTTGGTGATGCGACGAATGCCTCAGCGTGGTGCGGTAGAACACTGTAGCTTGCCAACAAAGTCGACAATGGGTACGATGATCAGCCAAGTATCTTATACAGAAAGGAATCCACGGGCTCTCAGCACGTAAATCGATTAATCAATCGATCTCTCATCTGCTGAAGCCAACTCTTAATCGCGCGGGATTGAAATGGCCGAGCGATTGCGCGCACACGCCAGATTGCGTCTTTCCGTGGCGATCAAGTTTAGCGATGCAGCCAGGAGCAAGACTCGGCATCCACGTATTCCTTCGACTTCGAGCTGACGAGGCCTCCACCAACACTTCCGAACGCCTCTATGTAGGCGTGGCCACTTACACTGTTGCAAAGGGGGAGATGTTCAAGGATTCGCGCGTCTTGAGGCTGCATTAATGCAGCCCGTCAATGCGGTCCGTCGTATTCAACATGCACAGCCTTGAATTCTTACACAGCCTCCACTGAAAGCGCCATGGCCACTGCAGCTGGGTCTGCTGCACAACCAACCACATCGTATATGCAGAAAGCTGACCTTTCCCATTTATTACACTAAAGGATCGATCTCGGAGGTTTTTTTTTTTTTTTTTGAGGGAGTTCTGCTGGTATCAGTAAAACCTCATCAGGGTCAATGGATCGATAAGACTTACATCATCCTCCCAGGGTGAGCATCAAACTCGCTTTAGAAACGCGCCTCATTCAGCACTATTCCTTTTATTATCTCAATCTTCAATTCTTCTACTAAGAGATTCAAGCAGTGTCTACTATTTGATATTTTCGTCTTTATCCAGGTACTAGATTTACCTATGATTTTGAACTGGTGCAGGGTAGGAATGAGCCGCCTGGACTTAGTTGTGAGGAAATGCTCATGAAGCTGAGAGATTTGAACTGCAAACTGTGTCGCCATTCTTTATTAAGCCAAGTCTGATTCGTTTGAATTTAAGTTCCTTGAATGTTCCAGTCATCATTGTCAAAATCATAATGCAATATTTCAGCAGTATGGTTATTCACGCATGTGACAACTTAGACTTCAGTCTACCCAGCTTAGTATTTAGTCAGAAAGAGACTGAAGAAGGAAAATGAACTGAATAAAATAATGATACTTATGATCGATAAGGATAGACAGCTATAAATAGAAAGGCTTGACTTTATCCCAACAGTAACATTCTGTTTTATCAGAACTTCATCAAGATTGCTATTGCGTTTTCTTTGCCCTAAGTTTCTTTTGAAGTGGCCTTCCAACAGCACATATTCTTTGAATGAATATCTAAGATACAAATCTCCTGACGTGCGAGTCTTAGGCGAAGCCACTGCGAGACCTTTTGAGGCTACCTCTCTCTAGTTAGTGCAAGATTTCGAGAGCCGACTTAAAGATGCGACTCAAATTTATTAGCTCCATGACCATATTACGAGATCACAACACGATGTCCGGAATCATGTGCTACTAATCTTGAAGATCAGGCCCATTGAAATGAGAAGAGTCCATTTCATAGATCAAATGCTGACTCAGTTGCCTTCGTCCCAGTTCGGCCACCCCTGCCACGGGAAATGCCGGGCATTGCGGCTCCGGTATTAGTGTCTTTTTTAGTCGACGATCTATCAGCAATTCAGAAGACGCCACAACTTCCGCCGCATGTCTTGGCAATGATAGTAGATCTTGGTCATCCCTGTTAGATAGAGATGAAATTGATATTTGACATGGCATATGTACGAGGGATGCCAAATTAGTGGGACGTAAATGAAGCTTACCCAACTTCTCTAGACGCATTTGGATTTCTCTAGCTTAGACCATCACAGATCCAAAGTACACGAAGGAGATGATCAGTTCTTTCAACAGCAGCCACTCATGAAATACCTAAATATTCTCTGGAGACGTCTTGTTATCGTACATGCCTGCAATCAAGGGTCAGACAAATTTCCATCTTGTAATTTTTCAAACTTATCGATTCCCTTGCGGTTTAGTTACTCTTGTCTGCACAACAAGCTGCGGTCCATCACCGGCCAGCCGGCCGCACATTATCTGATCTCATGTGGTTTACTAGATGGGTTTGAAGAAATCAAGTCTCCAGAGGCAGGCCCTTGGCCAGTTATGTTCAGTGTCTGGTAGCCACGTGTACTGGGATTCCAGCCGACCAAATGCATGAGCCTCCGTCTTTAAGCAAAGGACCATGACACTCCACAGCACGGCAAACACAAATATGATAAGAGACGTGCTTCCTTGATCTTGGGGGCGTAACGAGTATCCACTGTGCTGGGAACATGGTACCACACAAGTATGTGGGAGCTTGTTGCATTATTCCTGTCTCGGTCAGATTTTCACGGCTCCGTCTTCTAGCTCCGCCGGGTTACTTTCTCAGCACCCACGTGGAAGATGCCCGGAGACGGGCCCCGGAACCTGGAACACATTGCTTTTTGCTGCAGAAGACATGCACCCCAGGTTTTCAGTACAGGGGCACCCGTGTTCCAGTCATTGTCTTCTGAACTGATTTCGTCTCATATATGTTGTCCAGCCATTCAATGAAGTTGATCCCAGAGGTACTCTGGTTTGTGCCATTCTGGCCCTAGCCCCTAACTAGCGATCTGGCTGCTGGAAGGCTTCCGTTTGCCCGGATGGGTAATCGAAGTGAGCCGAACTACAGATCTCTCTAACATTAAGGGGCAGAAAAACAAGATAGTAGCGGAAGGCGACTGCACCCATTTTGGTATGTTTTCCATTGCATTAAGTACGTCTAGTAGTCTTATGATTCTATCAAAATATCCCGTTGGGTATCGTTTTCGAGGTCGTTGCCGAGGCATCTAATTGCGAAGCAGAGAAAGTCGCTCTATCCGTTTATAGGCTCCATCAACATTAATTGTTCAAGCTGTAATCCTGTCACAAAATCTTCCAACACCGTGTGTAGATGGTATCCTTGGTGTTCACAGAGCAAAAGGCTCCCTTTTCAGCTGATGTGTCGAACTCGACTCGCTAGCCAAGTCCTGCTCGTCGTATCCCGACTGAGACTTCACCACAACCTGGGTTGTAGTCGTCTTCTGAATTCCACCGTGTTCTCTTTGCGGCATCTGGATGTCGTCTCCTCCGCCCTGGATATAGGTGGTGTTTCCATCGGGGAAAACCGAGCGCATATGCTTGCTGTTAACTGTCTGGCCCCGACTCGAGCTCTTGCCGTTGGTAGGCTGGGAACGGGAGCCGGAGTAGTCGGCGTAACCAGAGGGGTTACTGGCCTTGACGACCTTGGTAATGAGTTCGGCCATGTTCATCTCGATGTGAAGCTTGACGAGGTACGCAAGGGGATGGAACTGGAGGTAGCTATGAAAGATTAGCCAAGGGTGTAATCGCAGCGAGGTGAACAATACTAACACAATGTCGTTAGGAAGTGACATCATCGCAATAAGGAGGATCTATAGATGGTTAGCATTAATCCCATGTTCATGGTAGCCACAATGACTTACATCCATGGTCATTGACAGACCAATCATGCCAAGGTTAAATCGGAACAGGCGACCATACTTGGTCAGTCCGTTAGCGATAAGGCGGGTTCGAACCAGGTAGATAAAGTAGAGGTTGAGGCCGGCGTCGACAAGAAGGAAAATGACCTTTTCAATTCGATCCCAGATGTTGTTGACTTTTATCCAAGTATTTGTAATCTGCAGGCGGGCAGGAACCCATACACAAAAGACGCTGATGTTGATGGCCAGCATAATCAAGAATGCAATGATCTTGAGCTTCTTTGCGTTTTGTCGATTGACCATGAGAATAGCGATTCGGTTGATGATGACTTGAATTAGGGCTTGGATCTGAATTGACCAGAGCAACACTGAGAAACGGGTAAGCCACTGCCAAGTCATTGTGAAGCCACACGGCGGAGTACAACGGCGCTGACGTACCAACCATGAAAAAGAAAATAAAGCCGGGCTCGATGTATCCTCGTAGATAAGACCACACCAGGGCGCTCATGATGGTACTGCTGGACCATTCCATCCACAACAAAATGATATACGGGTTCATCTTCCGGCCTCGCTTCCATGAGTTGATGGTCTGCCTCGCTCCCTTGGCGGCGGTGAAAATGCAGACGCCCATGGAGACGCCCCAAGCAATACTCGCAATGTTCATGTCGTTCGGGTCCGGTTTCACGGCCTTGTAGTGGGCCGGGATCAAAAGGCCGACCATATTGACAGCTGTTGGCGAGGCTCTGCGGACCTCGAAGAGAGCGGAATGGACGAAATGTCGAGCAAGTTGACGGCAACAAGACGCACAAGGAGAGACCCAGCATCACCAACACGGCCAACGCAGGGGACCGCAGGATACATATTCAGAATATCGACGCTAACCAGGACCCGACCTCGTGGATGCCGGCCCTACTGTACCTCCCACAGTAGCATCAAGACGTTGTCTGCAAGGCCCAGAACGGTGCAGGGGGCAGGTTCCAGGATCATGGACGCCAGGGTTCGGATCCGCAACATAGCGGGCCATGGGCGATCACTAGTCTTCGGACCCGTGTTACATACGACGACGAGAGTAAACTCGCGTTGCGGACGAGTCGTTTATGCAAAAATGAGGGATATCGATTGACCTGGCCGCACGTTCGATGCATGATGTTGGGTTGGTTCATCCGGCCAAATACGCAGCATGTTGGATGCCCTCACAGACATGGCATGTCGTTCGGATACAGCCCCGGTCGCATATTTCCGGACGAGAGGCGATCTGACAGAGTGACATCCGCCGGGCCGGGAGAAGCTAAGATAGCAAATCACGACGCTGGCATGACGCTATCGAGCCTTATCGATCGAGAAAGGGGCGTGTCGAAAACGTGGCTCGCGAAGTAGTCGAGGGCCGCAATAACACCGGTGAGCCCTCCTCATCCTCATCTTGTCTCTCGGGCTACTCGTAGGGGAAATTGGGAAACGGGCGCAAGACCACCAATTAAGCCGCTCAACAGACCAAATATCTTTCTCAGTAAACCCACTGCTCAGGCAGCCTCTAATCCGCCTACGCCGTCCACGGGTGGGGGGATGTCGAGAGCCGCAGGAGGTACGGGAGCGCGAGTCAGCCGCTATGGACCTGAGCCCATCTCCGCAGGACGGATGCGCAAGCGGTTGGCTCTGGCCTCATTGGCCGTCTGCTGGGAGATTGATCCTTGGTGCAAAGTGTATTTTGTCCAGGGGAAGATGGAGTGTAAGACGGGAATCTCCTGGATGCATCGCGCATGCGGACGCACGGCATCTCGAGATGTTGCGGAGAGGCCTGCTCCTGCTGTACGACGTAGGACTCAACCGCATCCTCGCCGCAAACCCAGCACGATGGCTGGCCTCGAGAGGACGGGGACGACGGGATCTTGCCAGGATCTGCTGCACGCATCCGTTCTGTCCACCAAGGTCTTGCAAGCTTGCGCTTCTACTAGGGCTCCGGCTACAAGGGTGAGCAAGGTGCGGAGCCGACAGTGACCTGACTGAAGACGCCACCCAACGTGGATAACGAGATCAAAGGTCAAGGGCCCTCACAAATCTCAGCCACTGGAGAATCACAGACCCAGCGGAGGCCCTCTCTAACGGCTATCAGACAAGCGTTGCAGATTAGTCTCGGCCTGGCTCTGAGCCTCCAGCTTGTTCCAGGGCCCAACGCTGGACGGCTGGGAGGCTCGGCGGCCATGCGGAAGCCTCACGCCTTAGCCTACATCTTGAGACAAAACCTAGCCAGTCATCGTTTACTTTACTCTGTTGTCCGGCTCAGAGCAGCGCGGAAGCTTTTTCAACGGGCCACTGGGCCTACAGCACCGAGTGCAATGTCGATCTGAGAACGCCATCTTATGGCGCCTCTGTCTCAGCAACAAACTCCGAATGTGAAACTTGCCGCCGCTCCGAAATTTGGTCGTATGGGACTCTGTGTCTCTCTTCTCCAGGATTCTGCGGGCACGTTCCACGGCGCCCAAGCGCACCCACGCGGCGATAACACAGACCGGGCACTCTACACGAGTGCACCACGCATGTTTGATCAGTATCCTTTGAATGCCAAGCATGGAATTGCAGAGTACGCCTAAAATAACAAGTGAAACGGCGATAACTGCTGTACGATGACGCCTCATCCGTAGCAGAAGCGGCCCAGTGGCCGTGGGGTTCAAACTGTTGACAATTGTCCAGCCCTCGCCCTGACATCGACAGCGGTTCGTATCCAGCAGGGATAACGCATCATTCGCATGCGGGGTGTAAGATCAAGAATGGGTCGGCCGAATGCTGCGTGGTATGATATTGACCAGGGAGCGGAGATCAACTTTGATCAAGCTGCGTCTGATCGGCCGCAAAAGCAAGCCCTGGCAGGCCCTTGTTCCTATCCTTGTCCGTGGAAATGCTACCCTTGATCCCCCGACTTTTGACTTTGTATGTCTGGCCGGACTGACCTCCGGATCTCGTCCGATGTCGTTCTTCCCGGGCCAATGGCATGTTCCCACCTTGCCCACGCCGTGGCAAGCACTTTTTCCCATGGCCGTGTACCAAACCTCTACGGTGGGTCAACGTGACACAATGTCTTGCTTTTGGCAACTGAAATTCTGTTACTGGGGTTGCCAAATCCTGGATTGAACAGCAATGGTGCTGGATAGCAATGGTGCTGGATAGCAATGGTGCTGGATGGCGAAGGTGCTGGATAGGATAGTAATGGGCAGTCATCACGGTTTCCGTCGTTGGCACAAGTATTCAGAGACAAAGTTTTCCTTCATCCTGCGGTGTCACCTTGAAGGCCTTCTTCCAGAAGGTTGTAGAAGCCTGAGTCTGCCCATTATAGTGGCGATGGCTTTGACCATCCGGGTGAGGATACCCAACATCAAGGTGACCATGAAGGTATTCGGAGAAAGGCAAACGGAGCCGACTGAAGAGTTTATTCTTCGCTTCTATTATAAAATCCCGACACTTCCTCAACCTGCCTCAGATTTAATTTCCTCCTCCATACATCCAGTTTCCCATTGTCTTCCTCCAAAGACCCACTTTGCCTCACAGTTGACAACCTCGAAAGCTTGTCAACTTGTCCATCACGGCCAACCACTCCAATACATTCATCGTATCTTGATACATTTGTTCTACCTTGATACGCTCCATCCATAATATCATCTACACATCGCATTTGACATCATGCGTTCATCAGTCCTCTCTACCCTCTTGTTGGGTGCCATCCTTCCCGTTTTCGGCTTTGCCAAGGAAGTGTTCCACGAGACAAGGGATGCTCAGTATCTCAACAACACGAGAGCTTGTGAGGAACAAAAGGATTTGCCCAACCAAGTCGGCTTCATCAAGGTCGGCGATCAGAGTATGTTGCTTCCCTAACCTCTCACCGAAGACCACGCCGCTAACTCGATGCTACAGACGAAGACGCAAAGATGTGGTTCTGGTTCTATGAATCGCGCAAGGCCGGAAGTGACGGCCCCCTCGTCCTCGTCGTTGGAGGCGGTCCCGGAGTCGCTGCTTCACACATCATGATGGATGGCACCGGCCCTTGCGTCGTGCCCGAAAAGAAGGACTACCCCATCAATAATCGATACCATAGCCTCAACGAGTGGGCCTCCGTTCTATATGTTGACGCTCCCATTGGCACAGGGTTCAGCACTGGAAATACATACATCGACAATACGGAAATGGCGACCGAGTACATGCTCAAGTTCCTCGGTAAATTCTTCGACGAGTTTCCCAAGCTGCGACGGCGAAAGTTCGGCATCTGGAGCATCGACTATGGCGCCCATCTCGCGACCTCGCTTGGAGTCGAAATCCTCAAGAAGAACAAGGAGGCTGGAAAGAAGGGGTTCAAGGGCGACTACCGCCCCATCTCATTTGACAACATCGGCTTCGATAGCCCTCATCTAGACCTCACCCTGCAGCACAAGGCCGCCATCGAGTACGCCCACGACAACGACTGGATTGAAGTCATCACTGCGAAAGACCGCGATGCTCTCTTGAAGGACTTTGTCAAGTACGAGAAGCGGTGGAATGACTGCGGCAAGCACCGGTACATGGATTGCACCAAGGAGATCAAGGAGCACAAGGTCCTCTGGAACAACCTCACCGACGGTCGCGTCCACGGCAAGGGGCCCAGCTTGTCCCGCTACGTCGATTTTGAAAACATCCTGAAGCCACGCAAGAATTATAACCATGAAATGCGCCTTAGTATGATGCTGAACACCCGAGGAGCCCGCTGGTTGCGAGCCCAAGCGACACAGAAGAAGCTTGGCCTCATGGGTGGCAAGATCAACGGCGAGAAGATCGAATACATGCCTTTCAGCGCTCGCCTGCACGACGACTTTTGGAAGAGTGGTGATGGTACGTGAAACCTCAACCCCTTCATCCATTGACTACATTGAAGCTGACCCTGTTTTAGTGATCCGATCTTCTCTCCCCCACCTCGACACCCTTCTCCAGGCCGGCATCCGGACTTTGTTCGTGACTGGCGATACTGGTAAGTCGCAAGCCCACAGTCTATCAATTCTTGAACAATAACTGACCACTCAATCCAGATTTCGTCACCAACCACATCGGCGTTACCAGAATCGCAGAAGGTATCGAGTTTGACGGTCGGGAAGCATTCAAGAACGCCAAATTCTTCCCTATCTTGGCAAGCCGCGAAGAAAATGGCGACAAGGACGAAGAGGCTCTCTGGTACACGGCAGAGGTCGGCTATGCCAGGACTGCCGGCCCCCTCACCGTCGTGAGGTACACCGGGGTTGGCCACTACGTTGGCGAGCGCAGTAAGTTATCCCTTATCCCCTCGCAATCTCGAAGCGGTCAATGCTAACTTCTAATAGAGCCCGGTCTTTTGAGCAAGGCTTTCAAGATTCACAGCCGAAAGCTTAGTTATCTTCCTGAGCCTTAATTGGAAGGAAGTCTAGCAAACGCTTCTATCGAAGCCTTAATGGGAATACCTGGAGTTTGTTGTTTAATCTTGTCGAGTTCATAAAGCGGAAAGGACGTAAAAAAGAGTCTGAAAAAAACCCCCTGCTATTCGGGACCTAGTGCCCACATGCAAGGTAGTTAGCGATCGATAGATTGTAACCTGAATTGGAAAATTCCTTCAAGATTTCATTTGGTGTCGTGACATTTGCTGGGTCGAGCTCCAATCCCCAACACGGATTAGCATCCTCCTTCTCCACCACAAGTCACGCTCTTAAATGAAGAAGATGGGCGAGACTCCGAGAGGTTCACGGTGGAGATTATTCCACGTCCAGTGAAGTTGAAGTTGGCGATCGCATTGGTAGGCTTCCGTCTGTCTCGGGCGCCGAATGAAGCGAGGTCGCGGTGGAGCTGAGCTAGAGATCGGATCTCGGGCACTTCGAATCCCGAGAACAGGGTACTAAAACGCATCGTCATAGAAAAGGCTCCTTGAGCCTCAACTGTCGAGCCGCAAGTGTCCTTTGTCATCTGTCCTTCTTGAGGTGCGCGCCATCATATCAGCGCATAGGTCTTTGCTATTGTGACGCTCTTTTATTGACACTCGAGTAAGTCGCGGCCAGGGGCAATGAGGACCTCAGTGGGACTCTCAGGTATCCTCAACGGCACCGCACGTCGCTCAGCATGTTGGTGTCTCTCATCATCCTTCTCATCTCGTGGATTCCAGGGCTGAACAGAGACTCAGACTCCAGAGGTGCCATCTCCCAAGTGACAACCCCAGCCGCTTCATCGTCTGCACCGCCGAGACCCTCTCACCAGGCCTTGTCCGCGTCAAACCCGCATCCGTCAAGTTTGGCATCCTTTACTTCGGTGACAGGACCAAGTCTCAACAACATGGGTTTTCAGGTGTCGGAAAAGAATTTGACTATTATTGGGCAACACCTTACGCCGACCCTCTTGAAAGACATTCGGGACTTTTGGTTCGAGTCGTTCGAGGAGAATGACTACGTCCTGCCCCAGAAGAGCCATACCATGCGGTGGTACATGGGCGGCAAGGAACTCGACAATATCTGCGTGTAAGTGTCAATCGGTTGCTGTGACCCAGGAGCGAATTGACGTTGCTTACACATTCATATTCAGTCAGCGTTTCGCCCCGGCCCTCGAGGCAATCCGCGACTCAGGCGCAACCACGGGTGATGAGATCCTGAGCATAGTCCAACCTCGCGGACCGCTTGATTGGCTGGGCCTTCTCCTTCTTCTGGATCAGATCTCGCGCAATTGCTACCGCGGTGACGAGTCCAAGATTGTCTACGGCTTTTTCGACGTGTTGGCGCAGCAGATCGCCTTGGCGGCCATTAAGCAGGGCGTGCCGGACCAGGACCCGGAGATCCGGTGGCATTTCGCATACCGCAACTGGTTCTACATGCCGCTGATGCATTCGGAGTCGCTCCCCGCGCATGAAAAAGCAGTCGAGGAGTTCGGCCTGCTCGTGAAGGATGTATACGGTCTCCTTGAGGGCCCGGGCGCTCCGGACGCGAGTGGGTTGGAGAAGCGGGCGAGAGAAGTGATCCAGAAGAACGCGGAGGCGGCCAAGTCGATGGCGGATAGCAATATGCAATTTGAGAACAAGCACAAGGACATCATTGCGCAGTTTGGGCGGTATCCGCATCGAAACAAGGCGATGGGCCGAGAACCGACTGCGGCGGAGACGGAGTATCTGGAGAATGGCGGCGAGACGTTTAGTGGATGATTTGGGGACAGGCTGGATGGCAGCTGGATGACAGGCTGTATTGGATCATGGTTGTCTAACTGTAGGCTAGGCAATGATGGGTTTATTCAGGATAGAACTGACATACGCACAGGCAAATACGAATACATCAATCAATTAAACCCAAGTAACGAATACCTCCATGTAGTCACACGCCCCAACGCGAAACCGAGCCACCGTCACCAGGCCAAGCCAATATCGCGCCCCTCACAAGCTCCTCGGTGCAAATTGCGGGGGAGGCCACTCCCCTAGTCCCCTGGAAGCCTAGCGGACGGCAGTGGATTCAACCCGCGCGTCGCCAGTCGGACGGCACAGTTCCACCGTCGGATGCAAGAGTTGCCGTGCACCACCACTCGCTGAAGCAGGCCGCTCTCCAGTGGTGTGATGGGGGCTCTGGTTGCGCCGGAACTCGAGGCTCCAGCGCGGGGGACGACAGGAGAGGTCGACGGCACATCCCAGCGCGCCGCGACGGGAGGAACAGGAAACCTAGAGACGCTTTATAATCGTATTCGGCAAAAATGGGTTGGTGGTAAATGCGATGGGATGCTCCCTGGGATGTGCCCCTCTTCCTCCATCCTCCCGTCTTTTGTTTACTTCGTCCATCCTGCATCGACAGTATCAACGTCGCCATTAACCGCCCCCAGCATCCGCCATGGTCAGCACACGCGCAGCCTCCCGCGCCGCCAGCACAGCTCCCGAGTCGACTCCGCCGCCGCCAGACTCAGCGTCAGCGTCAGCGTCAGCGCTGCAGCCGCCTACGACTCCATCGACGACGCGCCGACGCGCCAGCAAGCAACCGGCCACCACCACCAAGAAACGCCCCGGACGGCCCTCCTCCAGCGGCGCCCACGTCTGGTCCCATGCGCCGTCGACCCTGACCGTCCTGTGGCTCGCCATCTCGCTGCCCCTCGTCATCTGGGACACGGGCTACATGCTCAACCGCCCGCGCACCTTTGAAGGCGGCGATCTGCACTGGCCCATCTGGGTGCCCTACGCCCTGTACGCCCAGATCGACCACGTCTACAGCCGCAAGGCCTTCGACTCCAACAATGGCTTCTCTGGCGCCCAGAGCTTCCTCAACGTCATCGAGACCGCCATGTACCTCGTCTACCTGTGGCTCTTCTGGTCGCGCGCCGAGGCCGCCACTGCCGGGGCCCGTCGCACGCTCGGCGGTCGGCGCGGAGCCCTCGCCGTGCTCGTCGGCTTCAGCGCCGCCGTCATGACGCTGAGCAAGACGGTGCTTTACTGTACGTGAGATGTGACTTGTGTGCGCGCTCTTCGCTACATGGCTGTGATAACTGACACGGCGCCTTCGTATTTCTAGTTATGCACGAGTACTACGCTGGTTTCGATAACGTAGGCCACAACTCAGCCTTCGACCTCACCACCCTTTGGATAATGCCCAAGTAAGCTCTTTACCGCCAATGATCGCCTCAATTGAAACCAGTCTCACATGTTGTCTTCTTGCTAGTGTTCCGTGGATCGTCATCCCGGCTTACATGGTCTGGTCAATGGGGGGTAACATACTCGATGGCCTGGCCCAGGCTTCCGACTCCTCCTAGTAAGAGAGTCGCTGCGACAGATTTGAAAGACATCTGCACAGGGGTTGTGGTGAGGTATTATCGGTGCCCAATGTTTTGACATGAGGAGGTCCGCAAGCTGTGAGGCCATGAGACATGAGTGCGGTGAGAAGGTCAGGCGTTGAGCCACGCTTGCCAAGTGTATGCATCCCAATTGATACCCAGTACAGTCTACACTTGGCGTATTAGTATTCACATTTGTAATGGGGTCACGCACGGCGTTCGAGTTCGGGCGAGGGTTCAGTTATGATATAGCATATAGTTTTGGTTTGTTTATTTTCAAGCCTCCATCACCCTCAAAGACGGGCAGAGACGTGGTCAATAAAGTTGCTTTGAACATAATAAATGATGGCTTCGTCCAGACATGTCGAGTCGTTTACAAAATGAAGGAGTAAAATGCGGGGGTATCAGACGAATAATAAACACTCCGAAAACAAAAAAAGATGGCTGGGCAGAGCCACGCTGCAGGAAAGAAACAAAGATCACCTCATGAATGAGACATGTGTGGCGGGGCAGCATCGATAGTGTGATGCTTGCTTCACCGCGTCTCCCATCTTTTTCTTTTGTGTGCTGTTCACCTCATGTCCGTGAGTCCTCCTAGTTCAGCATACTGCTCCCACCCCGGCGCTTCGTCGTGGAGTATCTCCAGCGCGTCAGGGTCCATGAACGCCTGCATGGCCGTCCAGTCGGCATCCTCCGACACAATGTACGGCTCGTCATCGTCGTCGTCGTTCACGCCCAGCTGCTCCAGCGGCTTGTCCGGTTGGCTCTCCGGCACGTTGCCCTTTCGGCGGAGGTCGGAGAGCAGCAGGCTGTGGCGCGTGAGCGACCGGGGCAACGGCGGCATCGGCGGGATCTGGTGGCCGAGGACGAACGAGCTCGTGCGCTGCGGCTGCGGTTGCTGGGGTTGTTCGAACATGTCGTCGTAGTCGGTGTGCTTGGAGCTGTCTGAGAAGATGGCGCTAATCGGGCGCCGGCCGGAGACGCGGCCGGAGACGGACCGAGCAACCATGGAGACGACCTCACGACGCTTCTGGCGCCGGGATTTGGTCTTCTCCGGTATAGGATAGTATGATACCGGCGGGGGTGTGGCGACAGGCGAATCCCAGGTGTCGTCCGTGCTGCCCATGCTCTCCGGGGTTGATCCTCCACGCTCGTCCGTCTTAGATGCCGTCGTGGAAGTCGTCGAGTCACTCCGGTCGGGCCAGGTAGTCGTATCCATGTACGGGCCGTCCATGTTCAGGTTCACGTCGTTCGTTCCATTGCCGTAGCCAAGCACCACGATTTCGTGATACGTCTGCCTCGACTTGGACTGCGCAGGAGCCGTCTGTGGCGGCGTTCCGGGCGCCGTTTTAAACATCCGCATTGAGCGTCTGATGGTAGATGAGCGGCTCAATGCCCGTGAGAGAGAGTTTGAGCGCGAAGGCAGAGAAGGCCGGCGCTCGGGGAGGGCTCTGATGGAGGCTAGGTTGTCCTTGGGGGGCTCTTTATGTGTAAGAGCGAAATAGTCAATATCGGGTTTGATCTCAATCTTCGCAGGCGGTTCCTCCAGGTCGCAGTCGTCTGGGAAGATGAGGTTAGGGGTGCTGGTAAACAGTTCCGTCTGGCGGCGCAGAATGCGCTCCATCTGACGGGTCTTCTTCCACGGCGGAGTGTTCGCGGTTGACACCGCAAGGCTGTAATTGGCCTCGTCGACGTCCTGCTCAGCCTCCGCAGGAGTGTCCGTAGCGCTGCGGAGAACCTGGTAGATGGCGTAGACCAGGATCCATCTCACCCTGCGCGCATCCACCAAGGACACCTTCTCCAACTTGTCGGCCTTGTTCGGCGAGGTGATGGACTCCTCCTCGAACCGCCTGTACGACCTGACGAGGTCATTCTGGGCGACTCCTGGTTTCATGATGTTGGATGCCTTGATGAGGGCCGCATGCGCCGTCGTGCGGCGGTCAGACCGTAGCCTGTCGCGTCCCGGGAGCCAGAACATCCGGCGCGAAGAGTCCGATAGCTGCGGAATCAGTGGTAACGGGTGCTCGAGAGTTGTGTAATCGTGGCCCATGTCGAAGGAGTGGACCAGCTGGATGGTACAGATACCACCATACGCCATGGAGGGCATTGTCTGAGATGACGTGTACTTGTCATCCACGAGGAGGTCATACAAGGCCTCGAAATCCTCCAGCATCGTCCGATAGATGCTGGCATCGAAGAAGTCGTGCGCCGGATCGGTCGCAAGAGGGGGGTAATAACCCAGCTTGGTGGTGTAGAACGAGAGGAGGAAGCTGCGGAACCGCTCGAGGTGAGCCCGAGCGCCTTCGGAGACGCTCAAGTGTGCCTCGGAGAGCTCATCATCAAGGAACGTCTTTAGCATTCTCGAGGACAGCATTAACCTCGTCTCCATCTCCGTGCGGGCTCGTCGGATGAGTTTGCGTGACTCTGGGGTGATGAACTGTGCCGTGTTAGTGAACTCTCATTGCCACCTCCAAGATGATGGTACCTGGTATTCGGTGCTCCCCAGCAAGTGCTCACTCATTCCAACGCAATGAGCAAACGCTCTGGTGTAGAGTTCGGGCATCTGGAAGAGCTCCGCAAGGTAGAGCATAGCCAATGCGTGGTTGGGTTGGTTTGCCATGCTCAGATAGCCCTCCTCGTCGAAATACGCCATCATGTCGGCCACATTGTCGTCGACATCGGTTCGAAACTCGTGCATGCTGTGAAGAAGCGCAACAATGGCACTGCCCAGACTCTTGCCCACCATTGATCGTCGAAACACCCACGCAAGAAAGTTCCGAGTCGCCACATGATATTGGAAGGCCTGCATCCTATCGGCCGTCGGGGGTGCTGGGATAAATAGTTCAATCCTCCTGGAGGGGTTCTTGCGGCTCCATTTCGCAAGGTCGAGGGCGTTCGGGGTCTCGATGCCCTCCCAGGCGATGAAACGTTCGATCAGAGGGTAGCATTTCGCTTCGAGCAGCGTGGCAAAGGGGACCTTGAATGAAGGGCCTCTTCGCGACTCGCCTTTGCCATACAAATAAATCAGACAGTTGCTGTTTCGGAACCACAGCTCGGGATCCTGCATGGTGCGGCGGTTAGAAGCTAGACGTTGTTGGCTGCAAGGAGCATGCAGACTTACTCGTCGCAGGTTGTCCCAATCAGCGCAAGTCCTCGCAGCACCATCCCACCGCTTGATCAGCGGGTTGGGCGCGACTCTTGAATCCACAAACTCTCCAAATCTCCTCATCCTCGGACTCCTTCGTGAACTTGCCATTGGAGCAGCGTTGGGTTATGTCCCAGGGCCCCCAAGGCAAGTCCTTAAGGCTCGTCGGGCGTATGTCTCACACAGCACTGCCGACGGATGCGTCCAGTCCGGAAGCCTCCCAGAACTGCGAAAGGGAAGGGGGAAAAAACCGAGTCGGCCCAGAAGTAGATGCCGCGATCCGGACGGCACGGACTTGGTGTAACAGACCGAACCCAACGGCTGAGCGTGGTGGGCTTCGGGCTGCGGCACGCCTGCACGGTCGTCGCTGGAGCTCGTCGCCGGGCTCCTTATCAGCGGTGATATCCGTTGCTGGCGTCGAGCAGCAATGGATGAATCGGCGGCGAGCTGGTGCAATCTCACAGAGAAAAGGAGAAACTCAGCATCTTGGGCAACGATCCGCCTCTCCCAGCCTTTCGCGGGGACGAGCAAGCAACCGGGATCTGTCAGTCGAGCAGAGCAATGGAAGCAGGACAGAGAGAGGGTCTCCAAACGCGAGATCGCCACGGACCTTCAGGGGACAGGCCATGTTAATATTGCGCACATCGTCCTTCACACAAGTCCCGGCCCCCCAACGGCAAAGCGACTAGGTCCAGGTCCCAGGTCCCGGTCCCGTTCAGCCAAGCTCAGCCAAGCAATAAACCCAATCCCAAGCCTGCTTCGAGGCTAGGCTAGCTACCTTAGACAGCCCCGGCCGTCGGGAATTCGAGTTGGAGTGACGGGCCACGCACCACAAGCTCTGAGACTTGCAAGCCACCGTCTTAGCGCGGCCCATTCACCGTCGCCCAAAGTGAGCGACCCCTGTAACCAGCTCGCCGACCGCCTGAAGAGAGGCGAGAGGAGCAGTGAGCTGGCAACGGGGCTTGATTGATCGGCCTACCCGTGTCGGACTATTGCTTTGGTGCTGAATATTTGCCTTCTGCCGTGCGTGAGCTGAGCTCTGCATGAGCGCATGAGCATCTGAGCATGAGAGAGCATGGACGACGATGCGGTCAACGGCCTGAAATTACAAGCCTGAATCACCACCATCCGCATTTGTCCTCCAGAGGAACTCTCTCCAGAGGAAAACCCGAAACATGAGAACATGAGCAGCAATGCATCTCCGCTCTGCTCCTCTGCCCTTCAATCCTACGCCGTATCCGTACATGTGCACTCTGTCCCAACATGCAAAATGGCTGGCTGTCGATTGCCAAGATGCCGTAAGTGTGAACCTATCGTCGTAACGGCACTTGTCTGCACTCTGCAGGCGGTCTGTGGTCTGGCCGTTAACCCTGGTTGTTGGCTGCAGCTCCTCCCATGCAGTCATACCATGTTACGGCTTTCCAGCCGGCCTTGCAAACACCAAGGCCAGGTTTTTTTCCCTGGCGGGAATTGCATGACCCGGCTCGGCGAAGAGCTAGCTCACAGACCAGATGGCGTAATCTCGTTGTAACCCCCCGCAAATCTCAATCGAAATCCTCCATCCCGTCCCCGTCACCGTCACCGTCCGTCCCCGTCACGAACCGTCACTTTGCTTGAAACGACGCCTCAAATGAATCCCGAGCAGGGCAATCGCTGTGACGTGACCTTGTCATCATACTTCGTGTTGTAAGATCTGACCCGTCCCCAGTCCGGCGGGTCTCCAAGCTGGCGGGAATCCACCCCACCCACTCTCAAGCTTGACACGGCAGCCACACACCTGGGAATCTGGATTCACGATACATCTCGGATGCATGTTGGCTGCATATAGCCTGGAACTCTAGGCCGCTCTAGGTCCTACAGAGACATTCGACCTCTTCTGGACTCTCTGAAAACGCTCTGTTTTCGGCGTTTCCATGTGCTACCTCCCCCAGCGGTGCACTCGAATAGCTCCCGTTTGGCCACACTGACCAAACTGTCGAGTATTTAATTTCTCTCAGGAGCTTAGCCCGCCGACGGTTGGCTTATGCCAAGTGGTCGAGAGCTCGGGGATTCAGCTTAGCCCAGCTCAGCTGGCGTTAGTTCGACCCCATCGCGGGCCATGAAACTTACCTCTATTGATGGCGTCGGATCGTCCGTTGCGGCACGCCCGTTGGTCGTTGGCTATTATCGTCCCGCCGTTGTTAGGCTGCTCAGCGACGGGAGATGAGAAGCCCAGAATCATCGCCCCGCAAAATGGCGTGCAGGTGTTGAGCAGCAGAGCAGACTGCTCATCAGCACGGATTGCTCTGACTCGGAAGTGACATTTCCCAGTACTGAAGATGCCACAATTGCTTTCGGGTCACTTCTGACGTCCGGTTCGCGTGCCTCAGCTAGATAGAGACCAGCATTCTTAGGACCTAAGGAATCCCATCCTCCCTCACACCGGGTCCAGCCCTGTTCGCAAATATTTTTTTCTCGGGGCTGCTCCGGGGCCTCTCCTCACGGGAACCGCTCGGGAATCCTGTCCATATCGTCATGGAGAAATTTACCCAGTTCGTGGACAATGTCTCACTACCAATAGAGCTTGTCCCCCACTTGGGACGCCACTGACTCGGGCAACATAAACGGCCTGTGGTCCTCGCCTAGTATCCAAAGCCTATAGGGCGGAGCAGTCGGTGAAATGGCCATGAGACAAGCCTCCCGAGGCGTGCTTTTGCCGTAGAATGGCCTCCGCCACTAAGAGACTACTGCAGCAACGTTCTCCGCCACAGTCTATCCAAATCCTGGCTCAGATCAGCATCAGCTCACCACCTACGTGGCCACCTATCCTTCCTTGGCAATTTGTCTCTCAACATAAGATTCGTTTGGGATTTTAGGAACTCTGATCCATGACGTGTTCAGTTCTCGGGTTCCAAACCCGTGCATTAAATTGATGGTGTTAGACAAACGTCCCAGTTTTCGTTCTCGTACTGTTTCATTGTGCTCCGTACGCGTGTGACGGTCACTGGTTCTGGGTACTTCTTAAACATTCTGCTCATGAGACTAAAATTGTCGGAAATTAGTACGGGGTGCGAAGCCCATTGTGTAAGCTTGCGGCGGTTGTCCTCTGTCGTATCCGAAATTCCGATAGTTCCAGCATCCTCCATGACACTGGGAAGGGAGCCTCCAGGTGTAAACGGGGCAGGTCACCTGACCATCCCCTCACCGAGCTCACCTTGGCCCCACCGAGCTAGACCTGGATATTTCGAGATGGGTGGGTAGCTAGCTCCTCTTCCCCGTTGTCGAGCTTCCCAACAGGGCCAACACCGCTGCGATGGCGCCCGTGATCCCATACACGTACATCCAATGCCCCTGCTCTGACAGCTCGGCTCTCGATCGCGGAAACGACACCCACTCTAACGACTCCGTCGACGACGAAGAGCGCACCTTCGACCCGCGTGCCCCTCGATCAAACTACAGCCTCTACCCCCTCGAATACCTCCTCTACTGTGAAGATTGCCAGCAGATACGATGTCCGCGATGTGTCAACGAGGAGGTTGTGACATACTACTGCCCCCACTGTCTCTTCGAGGTTCCTAGCAGTAACCTACGAAGCGAGGGCAACAGGTAAATAACATCCCTCACAACGTCAGTCTCGCCCCTTGCAATCTGACTAACCTCGGCTTCTGGTAGATGCACACGAAGCTGCTATCAATGCCCAGTCTGCATAGCCCCGCTTCAGTCCATGTCCATGGCACCGTCTCATGACCCGAGTCATCTGGGTGGCGAAGGCTCCTCCAGTCACGCAGGCACATATGCCCTCTTCTGCCAATATTGCAACTGGTCTTCGAGCGAGATTGGGATCGAATTCGATCGGCCGAGCGGCATCCACGCCCAGCTGGCCAAGGTGAAGAATGGCGGCGAACACAGACTCACGGCAAAGGAGATCAAGGAAAGGCGAAAGGAGAATCCGGAAGAGCCTCCCATCCCCGACGACCAGCTCGATACAGACCTGCAATTCACAACCCTAAAGTCATTCTATCAGACGCAATTGGCGGATTCAAACACATCGGCCAGCGGTATGCAGTTCGACAGCGTCGGCTTCTCGTCCCCCGCAGCCCTCTCTCGTATAATGTCCCTATACACCGGCCATGGCCACCCAGGCCGGAAGAGACAAGGCCCGTCCGATGTGATGCGAGAGGCGTTGACAACCGATGAGGGCCTGAAGGTTGTTGACCTAGATGAGTCCACTGCCATCAAGAAGCTACAGCAGCTAGGATGGGATGAGACCGCTTCAACCCAGCAGAACCTAGAACAAACTGAGGTTTCCCGTTTTCAAGACGGCCTACGGCCGATACCATACCTTCTCCGTACGAAACGCTCCAAGCGTTGTTCCGTCTGCCGACACATCATCTCCAAACCCGAGAACAAGGTGCAGTCCACGCGATTCAAAATCCGTCTGGTCGCCAAGTCGTACATTCCCAACATCACCATCCGCCCTCTCAATCCTACAGCGCCTCCTGTGCCTACGACATCCCGGCCGCAAAACCCAGAGGAACCCTCGTTAGAGCCCCTGAAGCCCTATCACTACATCGTCACTTTCAAGAACCCCTTGTTCGACAACATCAAGGTAACCCTAGCCACTCCGAACACCACGCCTGGCCGGTTCTCCAGCAAGGTCACCGTCCTATGTCCTCAATTTGAGGTAGACGCGAACACAGACATGTGGGATGATGCCCTAAAGGACGACGGTCGAGATCGGAGACGCAAGGGCGAGGAGAGTAATGGCCAGCTTGAGGCGGGCAAGATCTGGGAACGAGGCCGCAACTGGGTCAGCATCGTGCTAGAGGTAGTACCAGCGTCACTACGGCTCGATGACCAGGAGCCAGACGAGGACGAGGTGGTAGACAAGAGCCCTCTCAAGGAGGACGAAGACGTTTTGGAGATACCCATGTTTGTGAGGATGGAATGGGAAGCTGACTCTCAGCAGGACGTGGGATCAGCTCCGGGCAAAGACAGGGATGGCAGGGAGAAGAGGGAGTTGGCATACTGGTGTGTACTTGGGGTGGGCCGTATACGTCACGACTAGACATGGCAGATACGATATGTACATTCACATGAAACATAGATCAAGATACCCAAGAATGGATGAGTCATGGACGAGAAGTGTTTGAGTTTGTCTTGTCTTGTCAAATCATAAGCAGCTTGTACCATTTATCAAGCTACGCTCTTAGACGCCGAGCCCTTTTTGAACCAACGATGTGAAAAAGCACTCCCAGCCCTGAATATTCATCACAGATCTCCCAAGCTAAGTATCTAGTACTCAGCGGAGGCCTGGGGGAACTCGAAGTTGACGTTGCGGCCGGTGAGGCGGCGGTAGACCTCGGAGTAGGTGTCCAGGCGGTAGTCAACACCACCACGCTCCTTCTCGTCAAGGATAACCTTGAGGGTCTTGCTGCCGTCCTCCTTGGTGCGGACGCGCTTGCCGACAATCTCAACGGGGTAGGTGAGGTCGTCAAGGATGGCGTCGTGGACAGCAGTCAGGGTGCGCGAACGGGGTCGCTTCTGCTTCTGGGTGTTGCGCGAGCGGGCAGAGCGCTTGGGGCGGGGAAGGATACGGCGCGAAGCGAGGATCAGGACATGGCGGTCAGAGAACTTCTTCTCGAGCTCACGGGTGAGGCTGGAAAGGAGTCAGTTTGGCATGTTTCAAATTCTGTGGGAGAGGAATTGCTTACCGCTGCTGGACACGGTGGAAGCCCTGCAGGGAAGGGACGGGGACAAAGATGACAATAGCCTTCTTGCCGTGGCCAACTTCGATCTATTCAAGACCCAAAATCAGCATGCGAGCTCCAGGACAAGCCTTGGACCGCTTCCCGTCCTGTTCCACAGAAGTCAATTATACTCCGGCTGGCACGCCCGCCCGGCGACACGGATGCGCATGCACATCAATCAATTCTTTCGAATCGAGCATCATGTGTGTTGCGCGTCGGGGGCGAAGTGGTGGCCATTGCAATAGCTTTGGGAACAGGATTTCGAAGATCTAGTCGTGGGACGTTCACGGTGTTCATACCTCGCGGGCAGAGACGATCTGCAGAGGTCGCAGGGCAACCTTGAGGTCGGCAGTGTTGGTCTCGAGGTCGTAGAGAGCCTGAGCAATGTTCTGCTCGAGCTCCGAGGGAGTCTGCCGCGAAGGGCTGTTGGCGGCGATCTTGTTCAGGGACTGGGCGCTCATTTTGACGGTGGTGGACAACGAGGTTGGCTGAGGATGTTGCGATGGAGTCTCGACTGAAGTTTTGGACAATTCATGGAGGGTCGCTAAATTGGGGTTTTCAAACCCTGTGTTGTGTGCGTTGGTCCGTGCGCCGGACTCGGAGAACCCTTGCCTCAGGCATGCTCGAGGGTGTGCTCCACCGAGATACACCTTAGCTCGCTCGGTAAGGTCGACTTCACCGAATCTCCACTTGCCCCACCACATGCAAGTCACTCTCGGCACTCATTGAGCAAGACGCCGACTTACATCCTCAAGATGGCTACGATGCCTAAGCAGACCCTTGCTTCAAATAAAATGAAATGAACATCACTAGTCAGTCCTGAGATCGTGCAGCACATGAAATACCATACAAGAGCCGCAATTGAATCCCTCATTCCCGTCATCACCGCTCTTGCATGTGCCACGATGAGAACTAACTGGTCGCTACCACTAATGCAAAATGATCAGCGCCATAGTAGACATGAATATGCCGAGTAATAGCTCTTTATTTCACAGAATCGACTCTAATATACCATGGCGGTCGACTCCCAAACCGTCATCATCCAGACATCAACCAGAAACTTGACACCTTCTCCTGTGATGTCCGTTGGTCACTCATACTGGCATGAACGCTCCTTCCTCCAAGCAGAACGAAAGGTGCCTTCCCATGCTAAAGATTCTTTCCAACTAGCCTGCCGCGTGCTGTTGTTCTGTCATTCTGTTCTCTTCCACCTCCTCTCCTCCACCGTTGGAGCTCGTCTCGTCTTGATTCTTCTCCCATCCGGAATCGGAGGGACTTCATCCACTCATTTCAGCTCATCCAGCCATTCGTTTTCTCTTCGCTATCGTCCCAAAATGTTCATCATCCTCCTTATCGCCGTCTTAGGCATTGCAGGAACCTTGTCCCAGGATTCTTATGGCAGCGACTCGTTCTCCTACTGGGGTTGTGCCTCTGTTGACCCAACAGGCTTCGGGGAGCCGATTGTATTTCCTGCTGGCCAACTCACTCCAGAAGTGTGCCAAACAGCCTGCGAAGGCCAGATGTTCGCCGCTGTATCCCCTGAGTTGGTGGTCCCTCCAGTACTTCTTGATGTCAGACTAACTCGCCCACAGCACTTGTCGATGTGGAGACAATCCTGACGCAATTATTTCGGTCGACGAAGGCTCTTGTGACTATCCTTGCACGAAGGAACCAAACTCTCCCATGTGCGGAGGCATCTGCCCAGATGAAACTCCAAGCATCTCCAATGTGTTTGTCATCAGTCCCGGTCTGATGTCGGATCAGGACCAAATTCCAGTGGGTGATGGCCCTGGAGGTCCGTCAACGGCAAACGATCTCCAGCCTCTGACAATCGTTCAAACGACCGCGACAGCTTCTCAAGGTCCTTCAATTGAGCCTTCTCGAGGACCCCCAGTTGCACCCGTCCCTCAGGATCCCACCCCTGCATCTCCTACTCCTCCAGGAAACACTTTACAGGTTCCCCCTGAAATATCAGCCCCAGACTCATTGAGTGCTCCAGTGCCCTCCTCTCAAATTTCTACAGGCGACCAGTCACCAATACTTCCTACGCAAACCCTTTCCGTGGCCTCAACCGCCCTCACTTCGTTCCTCGATGGCCCGCCGTCTTTAAGCTTGGAGGTGCCAAACAACCCGTCTGTTTTTCAAACCCCCTCGAGCGCTATTCCCACCTTCCCTGAGGGTACCGACTTGACGGATCCGCCCGGTAGCACTTTGTGGCCAGAGCCTTCTACAACACCAAAGACAGATGACGATCCACCGGTTCCCTCTCAGATTACAGTGTCTGGTTCCAGTCGTTTCGATCTTCCATTTCTGGTAGACTTAAGAGGGATTATTTTTATCGCGGCAATGATAATCTAGATTGCGTGCACAATATTAAAAAGGGTCCCAAAGACATTGGCGGTGTCAAGGCATTGGTGATAGAGGACAAGGGATGGTGTCTTCGGTGGTGATTTGGACGAATTTGGGCGTTAATGGGCGGCAGGTGTACAATATGATAGAATTAGCTGAAGAAAGGAACTCAATCCACTCCACAAAACGAAATGAATATTAGTGATCTCTTCCATCTACAATCGAGTGGCTGTTAAGTAGTTTGTCAACCCAAGTTCAGATACATGATTGTGAGCCCCCGAGACCGATATAACAGTGGCATATTTCAGAACCGGAGTCCAAACCCAGAATTCGAAGACGCCAGTGATCTTCTTAACCCTTTTGACGTGTTAAGTAGCATCAATGCCGCTTGAGATGTTAGCCATGTGGGCTGTAGGGTAGGCTCACGTCATGGGTCAAGGGAGGGCCCACATTGAGCTATGAAGCGTCTCAGGAAAGTGGCGGGGTAGGTCTTATACCAAACATCAACATCACCATTACCGTCAGCCCACTCCGCCGTCTTCCTGTCGACGGTTGGCGACTCGGGTCATCTATCTGACGTACTAGTCGTGGCCGAGACACGCGGACACGATGCAATCCGGAATTTCCGGTATGACACTCACTCGGGGACCTCGGGAGTGCGGTAGCTAATCAACAGCAGCTTCTGAGGAGCTCCAAGCTCAGTTCAACTCGTTGCTGGCCACGAGTGACACCTTTGGACTCCTCGCAACGATCGAAAAGGAATCCCTTGTACCTATTGCCACGATTCCCTCCTCGTCCTCGTCCTTCAGCGACAACCTTGCGAGCCTCCAGCCTCACATCAAATCAAATGTCGCTCTTTACATCATCCTCCGCCGCTTCGATTCGACCCCTCGCTTCCTGGCCATCACCTACGTTCCCGATGAGGCGCCTGTTCGCCAGAAAATGCTGTTCGCATCCACCCGTCTCACGCTTGTCAGAGAGCTCGGCACCGAACACTTCCGCGAGACCATCCTCCTGACGATGGCCGCCGAGCTGACCGCCAAGGGTTTCGAGAAGCACGATGCACACAACAAGCTTGATGCGCCCCTAACTGAAGAGGAGCAGGCCCTTGGTGAGGTTAAGAGGGCTGAGCAAGAGGCTGGATCGGGTACGGGAACGAGGGAGATCCACCTAAGCAAGAGCCTGGCGATGCCGGTGGCAGAGCAGGCGATTGCTGCGATGAAGGAGGTCGGACAGGATGGGGGACGCGTGGTAACGATGCTGGTGGGTCATTTGCACCAAACTCTCGGGTATGAGTTAACAACTAACCGTGGGATTAGAGAATCAACCCGGAGACGGAGGCGGTAGAACTGGTTCCTGAGTCGCCGACACCGAGCACCATCGGAGAGCTATCGCAAGTCATCTCGACGACCGAGCCCCGGTTCACCTTGTTCCGGTTCACTCACACCCACAACGGCGCCGAGCAAAGCCCGATTCTGTTCTTCTACACCTGCCCAATCACCCCTGGCACCAAGGCGATCAAGTACAGGATGATGTACCCGCTTATGAAGCGGGCGGTCTTGGAGGTGGCCGACAAGGAAGCCGGACTGAAGATTGAGAAGCGATTCGAGGTAGAGGAGCCAAGCGAGATCACAGAGCAGACTGTCCTGGAGGACCTGCATCCCAAGGTGACAGCCAGGCAGGGCTTCAGCCGACCGAAGCGACCCGGCCGGTAAACGGAAACGCGACCAAGTAACAGATATGGATCCTAAACTCGGACTCACCTAAATAGGTTACACCCATACACAATTATACACGAAAGTCAAGAAAGTCTTCCCACAGACACCGCCTGCAGTTTGAGATGAATAGAATTGGGCCTCGAGGTCCGATGCAAGAAAATTCAATTGTCCTAGCTGCAGAATGCTGGTATTTTATCCAAGATGCATGCACAAAAGAGAACCTAGCCGCCCTCCAACCTATGTATGGTATCCCTTTCTAACACCGTCTCGACACACTTGTCATGAGACGTCGTCCATCGCTTTCGCTCCCCCCTTATAGACTGCCCCGGGAAGAACTCGTACACGTTCGGATCTACAGGGTCGATTCCGCCGCTCCCACCGTTTTTGTAACTGAACTCTCGAATTAGAAACCCAGACGATAAGAGTCGCAATCTTCTCTTCGAAGCTTCCGTGGCTCAACACACCAGAGCACAGGTCGCCGTCTCTACTCCTCGTACTTGCCTCCTGGCACAGCAACCTTGCTCTTTTCTAGCTTGTCCTTCAGGAATTCGTAAACGGTGAAGGTGACGGCCTGGCCGGGGGCGACACGCATGATACGGGGGGTGATGCCCTTGTAGAAGGCGTGGAATCCTTCTTGCCTGGAGGGAGAAACGTCAGCATGGGGATATAAAGGAGAAGGAGAGGGAAAAGACTGACTTGAACATGTCGGCGGCAATTCGGGTGATGCGAGTCCAGGCGCTGGTACCAGGCTCGGCGGGGGTCTTCTGGAGGCGGGTCTTGATGGTGTCGATGGGGGCGTTGCTCAGGGGGCCCATGGCACCGCTAACAAGACCGATGAAGGTGGTTTGCCAGCTGGGCAGGTTGGTGCTCTCGTACTGCGGCTGCCACACCTTGAGCCACTCCTTGAAGTAGCTGTAGGCGGTGAAGTTGACGGCCTGGTTGGAGCCCTGGCGCAGGGCAGTCAGGCTGACTCCGCGGTACAGGGCGCCGAATCCCTCCTCCTTCACGACGGTGTACAGGGCGTGGGCGGCGTTGCGGTACTTGGGGATGTCGAGGGGGTCGGCCATGGAGTGGTGCTGCGCCTGGAGGCGGATCTTGATGACCTCCATGGGGGTGACGACGGCGACGGCCTCGGTGACACCGGCGGCGAGACCGGCGAAGAAGGTGGCCTTTCCGGAGACGAGCCCGGTCTCCTTGTTGGCGAGCAGCTGCTTGTACCACTCGAATGAGGTGAATCGGATGGCCATCTTGGGGACAATACCGGTCAAGACGGCACCCAGACCCTTGTACAGACCCAGGGCAGTCTCCTTGCGGACGATCTCGGCACCAGTCTTGATGAAGCCGCGCTTGGGAGCGCCGGGCTGTCGCGCACGCCTGGACAGCTGCATGCGGACCTTAATTGTGTCTTTTAAGGCGAACCAAGTTAGTTGAGAGGTTTTGGGGGAGTGCGCACGCATGCGCGCATGAGTGAGGGCGACGTACCTAAAGGATGGCAGGCGAGAGCCTCCATCATACCAGCACCACCTCCGGCTACAAACAGGCATCGTCAGCTCGCCGCGCATAGAAAATACCAAGGCCAACGGAGTCGCCATGTGCCACATGACGGTTCAGGAGGGCCATTGGGGCGAATTGACGTGACCTACCCATGAGGTTGGTGGCCACAGAGGGCGGCTGCTTCTTCCCGTCGCCGTTTCGAGCCATGACGCCGACCCAATTCCAGAAACCTTTGACCTGCGGTTTTCTCTTCTCAGCCCGGCAGATGTCTAACCGGATATTCTATTCCTTTTGTTTTTTCCTTTGTTCGGAGCAGGAAACAACACCAAGAGACGTGATTTAAAGGCGAATTGACTTGCTGTTCCGCGGTCGTGGGGTTTACACGGTAGGCCGAGGTTCGGAGGGGTTCGGAGATCGGGTGGGTGTTGTGGCAGGCGACAAACGACCAACAACCGGATACAGGCTACGAAGGGGGAGGGGGGGGGGGGAGGAAGATTCACACTTGGAGGGGAGAGGGGACCGAAGGACGGAGGAAAAGGAAGAATAATAGAGGGAGAGGGGAGAGGAGCTCGGGCGAGGAAGCAGGAGGATTTATGATTTTATGAGCGATGGGGGAGAGTCTAGAGAGGGAGCGGAAACCGAGACGAGGGATTCCGCCAAAGGCCGAGTCGCCGGACCGTAGCCGTCGACATATGAAATTCCACACGCGCCTTCTGGGCTCCCGCAAGTGACCCTCTGACTCTTTTCCTATGTAGCTGGCTCGCTCTGGCTGGGCTGATGGGCTTGCCCGGTATCTTTCTGGCCTGGGCCTGGGGGCGTGTACTCCACAGCCCACCACCACGAGCCGTTCGGGAGTCAGAGTCCTGACGGCTAAGTAACCTGCGCAAGTACGTACCCGCTGCCCAGTCACACGGGGGGTTTTGGGGAGCCTTTTTGGGTTCGGGGGGGCGTGTGGGGAGAGGCGACGAGGCGTGGCCATCCGAGGAAAGCCTCCCGCGAACCGACACTTGCGGAGATGCAAAGCTCTGGAATCTGGATCCAGGGACCTCGGAGGACGAGAAAGGAGAGCTTGGGGCGCACATGCAGGCACATGTTATGTACAGCAAGTGCGTACCCGGCCCCTCCTCCAGCTTTCGCCCGTCATCCGTTGCTGGCCCTGTCTGGACGGCCTGGACGTACATGTCATGGCATCATGAGGCGCTTCTCTTTTGAGTCTTTGTCTGGCTATTTGCTGGCCTGCTCACACTCCCTCCGTCCCTCACGCCCCCCGCTCCCCCCTCACTGGTAACCACATTGCACGTGCCTGTACCACCCTTCACGCCGAGGACAGCTTTTTTAGCAGCTGGCTTGCTGTTGTATGACTCCCCCAAGGCTGGAAAGCTTGCTCTTTGCGCCTCTGCACAAAACCTGGGGCAACTCGGAACTGCGACGGTTTGGGGGTGGGCGCGGCGGAACCCCACCCGAACTGGTGGCTCCGGGCAGACGGAGGACCGGGGGCGCGAGATGGGGCGGGCGTCGTTGCTTTCATCCATGCGGCCGAGGACGCTTCTCTCTTGTATCAGTGTGCTGCTCTGCTTCGCTGGGGGGGATTGCATTCGTGGCGCACGTCTAACTCTAGCAAGGGGATGCAAGCCTGCAGGATACGGGTGCCACAGCGTCGACGTTGGTGAATGAATCAATGGCCATGTCGATCCCCAATTTCTCCATTCCCATCTTCCACCACTTCACACTCTGGAGCGAAATCTCCAAGTGACGTACGAAATAGCTTTTGCCGACGCACAACCGAGCTTGTGATTTTGCGGGGTCTGGCCGCTGCTGCCCACTTTGTCCACTCCCCCAGCCAGCGAGCGTCAACTTTTTTCCAAGCTTGCTGACCTTTCCCAGGTGATGGTCCAGGTACCACCCCCACTGTCCAGCGGTGCGGACGACTCTTCCTGGGCTCTTCAGGGCAGGTGGGGTAGCAGCAGACAGCCCCCAGGGTCCCTCTATAGCTGGCTGCCCCACCTGTCTGCCAGCGCTGTCGGGTAATTAATTGGCGACCAACTTGCTGGCCTGGCCCCCTTCAGTGAAGATGCCCGGATGGAGACGCGCTGCATCTTTCCAGCGCAACTCGGAGGCTCCCGGGTTGAGACGACCAGGGATCACATCTACGCCATCAAGTTGATCTCGTCCCTTGCTTGTTTTTCACCGCACACCGGTGTGCCTCTTGCGTCTGTCTCTCTCCCGCCGTCTTATTCATTATTCCGGGAGTGAGGTGAAGAGACCCACCCCGGATGTCCGATCCTAGGCCGGCCATTGCCGAGGTCTGGATTCTTGGTGCTCTCTCTCTCTCATCTCATTGCCATGCCTCGCTGGAGATTGGTTCAGAACCGCGGCCCGCTGTCTTATACTGCGTTATTCGACCTGAACCGTGCTCGGAGGTGCTTCACCGGGCGAGCAACAACAAAAAAAAAAAAACAAGTCCGGCGTTGGCGGCGCGGTGAACTACCGCTGGCCTCTACCGGGACAACGTCGTGCCATCTGCCATCCCAATGTACCGGAAATCACAGCGCATCCAGCACAGGCCTCCCGGCGGACACCTTCCTGGATCGTTCCGAGCACAGATCTGGAGATCTTGCGGTTTGCCGTTGCCCCTGCCGTGGCGTTATGTGCGTGGTTCGTCTCGGTGTACGTACTTCTAGATGCACATCCAGTACGCTGAGCCGAGCCATCAGATTAGATCCTCACGAGATAAACGATGCTTTCTCGCCATCCAGCTCATCCACAAGGCACATCCAGCGGCCCACCTCTCTCCCGTCCTCCGTCCCGTTCCATTTATCCATGCCGACCACCCATCCTTCCATCCATCCACCCAAACCCCCCGGTCCGTCCCCGTCCGTGGTCCTGCCAGTAGCGAGTGCTCGTCCCGGTGCTCGGAGATTCGGAGACCCGGGCGGAGACCGCTGCCGCCGACCGAACCTCTGCAAACCGACCGTCTCCGAATAACCCCACGCTTCCAACGTTCCCGCAACCCGCTCGCGGGACGCCTACTGCGTAGAACGCCCGCCACAATGCAAGCCCGGCTCTGCCACAACCTGGCTGGCCGGGATGCCTGGCCGTACCTCACCTCGCATCCCGCGGAGCCGCAACCGGAGATCGTCGAAAGCTATTGGGACGCTTCGCAGCTCCCTATCGATAGTCCAGACACGTTCCGGGTGCAGCTACGGACGTAGGAACCCGTCCACCAGGGCAACACCCGGGATAAAGTCCCCAGTCGTTCGCCCCCACCAGTTTCCTCTCCCTTGTCATCTACTTTCACATTTCGTCTCTTCACATCTCGAGTTGCACTCTTCCTGTCATAATTCTCCAATGGCATTGGCCGACTGCTTCTATGCTGACGTGAATGGCTGGTAGCTAGGGTACAATTCCTCCGTGTACCATCTTCCTTGCCTCCAGTAATTCCAAAAAAAGAAAAAAAGGCATTGAAAATATCCGTCCCCCAAACTCCCCCAATCCTCGTTCCTTGATCTCCCGAGTTTTGGTCCCCTTGCCTCGGCACCCATTCCCCCAGGTCCTTTCATTCCTCAATCATATCTTAATCTTCCCGAGCTTTCACCTCCAATGAATCATTGCTCGTCTTAATCCCATGCATGCCATCGATAAAGCGCTATTCCGTCAATCCGCTTTTGAAACAACTCCAATGCTCCATAATATCAAAGTAACAACAACGTGTAAAAAGAAAACAAGAACCAATGACGCAACAGATGCTTCGTGAGAGTGTCAATGCGCTTGGTATCTTGGACATCATAAAATGCTTCGGCGTCATAAAACAGCGCGAGTCGTTAAGACGGAAGAGCAGAGCCTCGCACTATATTGAGACTCTTGCTACGAGGGTGTTCCTCGTTCTTCCACTCGCTCGCCTTCAAAACTGTACAGTCGCACCTCGCCGTCTTCGCTGCCACTCGCCATGCGGCTATCACTCAGACCGACGCAGGTGACGGGGCCAGCATGGCCAGTGAAGCTGCGCTCGCACTTCCCGGATCTCGGTTCCCAGATCTTGGTCATCGAGTCGTTGGCGCCGGTCACGACTCGCAGAGTGTCGCCGACCAGGCCCCAGATACCCTCAACGTGTCCGAACATGCTGCGGATGCACTTGCCAGTGGCCGTGTCCCAGAGACGGACCGTGTTGTCCAGTCCGCCGGTGAGCATGTATCGTGGAGGCAGTGGTCGGGAGGGGTCTGATGCGAAGCCCGACCCATACGCGGCTCGGTCATCAATGGGCTGCTCCGGCGCCACTGGGGTTGTGCTGCGGCCGCTTGATACTGACACCGCATCGCTATTGTCGGCATCAGGTGGCACCTCATCCGGTTCAAAGTCTGCCGGCATCAGGAGGACCTGCTGCACCTGTCCCACATGACCCAGGAACGTCTTGATGCATTGCTTCGAGTCCAGATCCCAGAGCTTGACAGACAGGTCGTCGGATGCCGAGAAGACCACCCGCGATGGCGAGTCGATGCGCACATGGTTGACCCAGTCAGTGTGACCCCGTAGGCAGAATGTCTGTTTCGTGTCGAAGCTGAAGATCTTGACTGTCTTGTCAATTGACCCAGATGCCAACGTGCAACCGTCAAAATGGACGGAAAGCACGCCTTCGGTATGGCACTGGAGTGTGCTCAAGCACTCCCCAGTCTGCCAATTCCAGATCTTGATGGTCTTGTCGAAGCTGCCACTGATCAACTTGGAGTCGTCAAACTGAAGACATCGCACAGCTGACGTGTGACCACGCAGCGTGCGCATGACCTCGCCCGTCTCGATGTTCCAGATTCTGATGGTCGTGTCGTAAGAGCCGGTAGCCATGATGTTGTCGTCGAACTGCAGACAAGTGACGCCATTCTCATGACCCTTGAACGTCTTGATCGAGCATCGACCCGTCTTCCAGTTGTACCCCACCTTGAATCTATCCCTGTATACATCCTTCCACGGTCGGAATTTGCGCTCCTTGTCCAGCTGCTGCCGCGAACTGGAAGATCCATTGACGCGTGGTCGCTTTGCAGGTCGGTCTTCGTCGGTATCGTCGTGGGAGTGTCGCTTCTGAACTGCCAAACCGGACTCGGACTCGGGGATTTCGTCGATCTCGACCACGGCGGCGGGAGGCTGCTGTTGGTGATCTTGTTGATGACCTTGTTGATGGCGGTTCCAGGCCATCAACTTCTTTCGCTCCAGGAGGGGGAGTCCCCAGCCACACTTGGTGCACTTGCGGTCGATATGTTGTTCGCACATGCGATGCCACACAACATCGTCATCAGCGAGGCTTCGCCATCGTCGGCTGACTTGGGCAGCCTTGCAGAGCGATACGGTGTCGAGAGAGCAAAGGATCTTGTATGAGAGTTCGTTGGGAAGGGCGGCGAGGAAGTCGATCTTGAGCTGCTCATGCACCTCGCGCGACACAGTCGAGAGCTGTGGGAAGCAGCATTGAGTGATGATTCCCTGCAACATCAACTCGCGATGCTTGGAGGGGGCGGCAGAGAAGATCGACCACACGTGGGTGATGGCTTCTTGATCGGCTGTCGACAGGCTGTTGAGTTCCTGGAAGGGGTTCATGTTAATAAGAAGACAGGACAAGGGGACGACAAGAGGACGGGAAGGGGACAACAAGAGCAGCGACAATAGCAGCGACAATTGGGCGGTGTCATTGACAAGGGCAATACCTACACTCTGAATGAATCCCATCTTAGTCTCGTCGGCGGCGCGGCGGCACTTGGAATCGGGGCGATGGCGGTAGCAAAACTTGCTGTTCGGGTCTCTCTTCCGGACGGTCGGGGCAGAGTTCGGGTTGGCGCCGACAAGTTGCCTGCTTTTGCCGATGGGAGCGTAAAGGCCGGGGATGTGTTCCTTGAGAAAGGGGCTGACAGTCTTGCCAACGAGTGCAGAGGACATCTTGACAAGTCGGGGGTTGATCTCCTCGTCGGAGCGGGTTCTATCGCAGTTGTCCTTGGAGAGTTGGTGTTGGTGTTGGGAATGTTCGTGGCTGGTGTCGGACAACCTCACAGACGGTGAAGAGGCGCCCGGGCCGGTGCCAACAGCAGAAGGAATAGGCGTAGAAGAGGGTGATGTGGTCGAATTCGGATTCAGGGACGAAGCGGGAGCATGGCGGTGTATAGAAGCAGAGGGCGAGACGATCGATTCGTTCGAGACGGCGGAGGAGGTGGGAGCGGAGGAGTCGGAGGAGGGCCGATGGCCGTTGACGAGCATCTGGCGGTCCATGGCGCAGCTACCTTGGTTTTGAGGAGACGAGTTGCGCGATGGAAGGGCGAGATATCGTAACTCCCTGTCGAAGTCTGGGGAAGAGAGTGACTCGACACACGCCCCAATGACTCTGGAACTCTGGGGAGGATCTGAGGCAAGGCCGTCCAGCGATGGCGTGCTGAGCTCTCGAGCGCACTGGGCTGGTCCACCCAAGAGTTTGCGCCAGAACCCCAGTCACAATCCCCGTCAGCCCTCTGGGACGGTCGGTCGGCCGCTTTTAGGTGCCGCTAGGGGCTGAGGTACACAGTACGGGCTGGGCACTGTCCGCTGCAGCTAGTTAGATTTGGTCGGGCGGCGTGCGATCGAGTTTCGCGTGCTGCGTGCGGCGTGTGCGGGAGATGCGATGACTTGCGCTTCTGAGGTGCGTGTGTGAGCGAGTTGGAGTGGGTGAGTGGGCGAGCGAGTGAGAGCTGGCGGTGGATGCGATAAAGGCCCTTCGGGTCGTCGGCGGAAGGCCCTGGTGAGGGAGGTTACGGTGCGTTGCCTGCCCGTGTCCCACTGAGGGCGACATGCAGAGCGATAGGGCGAGGGCGGGGAGCGAAATAGAGGGGGAGGCGACCAGCGGAATTTGTTACCTCATGGAGCCTTTTTTGGGTTGACTTTACGTACAGGACAGTCACCGAACGCCGTGTATTACATGGCCGGTGTAGGCAATTGGGCATTCATTTGCAACTTTGCGCCGTCGCTTGGTTATGCAGCTGCAGAGCAACCCCGGACGGCTCTGTTGTGCAGCCCGAGTCCGTGTGTCTATTCAAGATTCGAGGTTGTACATGCAAATCTCGCGCTCCAAACACTAACATGACCACTGTTCGATGGGGCCTGGGCGTGTTAATCCGCGGATTGAGCGACCGCCCGGCGACCCTGGGCTACGCGGTATGGGGGGGGTGCCAGGTTCCTGGGAGGCACGGGTACCCCCTGGGCTCAACACTCAGGCTGTAAATTCCCCATGGCGCACAGGACTGCTGTCGAATTTGGGCCTGAGATGGCGTTATCCCAAGGGCTGCTGGCACCGATCGGGCGGATAGGCAATAGGCTGGCTGATAAAGCGGGTCCGGCACGGCAATCGGAGGACGGCTCGCTCGCCGGCGGTTGTACCTCCAGTATGCAAATGCTTTGAAGCTGAAGCTGGCTTTGCTGGCATTCGCCACCTTGCGTGCTGATGCCGCGCGGGTCATGGGTCATGGGATTTGGCAGCGCCGTCGTCATCATCACCAATTTGGACACCCGTTGGAGTTGTTGCTGACTGCCATCAGGGTCGTATACAGTGATAGTCTAGCTCCCACTTGTTTGCACGGAGCGTCACAGCATGCGGCCAACTGGGGCATCGACGGGGTCAGGGTCGTCTTCTAATGCACCATTTGCTCTGCCCTAATGCGTCCCCGGGCAGCATCCCACACGCCCTCGCATCTGCCGCTCTCATCGCCCAATCATGGCTGTTCTGCCTCGTCTCGCGCATCTCTGCATTTTTTTAGGTCTGGAGTCTCTCTTCCTCGCCCCTCTCTTGGGCATTTCGGCCGCCATATCTTCTCCGTTTTTCTTTCTTTTTAGATGGCTTACATACCCCATTTTCAATTCTGCCCCAAGACATCCCATCCCATTTCCACGCATTTCGATCAGCCTCGAACGCACTCGGCCCCTTTGACGCATCCACCTCAACAGCTTCGCCCCATGCACAAAATTCTTGCGCAAGCCGTCGGTTCGGCATATCCCATTCTCAAATGACGTGATTGCCATGGCGTCTGGACGGACCGAACCCTCCCTTGACACTACCGAAAGGCTGCCGCCAGCCGCCAAAACGCCATATGCCATCTCCGAGACCCGTCCTATACGTAGTACGACATCGACTCACCTCGCTTCACATCCTATGGCCCAAGGATCACGAATCATCCAAGTCAAGGCATATCCTAGGTCATGCCACTGTCGAACAACATGGATCATCTCCCGTGATTCTGTCGCAATGCGTCTGTGTTGAGCCCTAGCAGGCCCAGTCAGCCTACTAGTTTCGAGTGACGCAGCTCATCTGCTTGCTCACTCAGCTCGCCGAGCACATCATCCTGTGGCCCAGTGGCCAATATTCCCAGAGATTGGCCATGGCCATGTCATCTTCACCCCATCAGAAATGCTCCTGAAACCTTTTCAACCTCTCCGCGCCCGCTGGAGATTTCGCCATCTTCCCTCGCAATCTTCCGGAATCCATGCGCAACTCGGTACTCCGACAAACAGCGATCCCCTGCTTCCGTTGATTCCGGCAACCCTCAGTCCCTCGGTATCGATGAAGATCTATCCGAGCTCCACGAATCGTTTCGCAACGCGTCTCCGTGTCAAAAGCGGTCAGTTCAGGCTGCCCACCTCCACTCGCTTGCTTGCTCCTTGCAGATCCCAGGATATGTCCCAACACATGTGTCCTACCACAGCTGGACTTCAGCCACTCATCTCGCTGCAACGGCCGGCTCACAGCCGCAAACCTGGCGACATCGCGTGTCGGTATGGCGGCATTGGAGACGAAACGAGGCTTACACCCCCTTCATGCCCTGTTTGCGCCCGTCTCTGGCCAGCGTGTCTTGATCGGGTGCGTGTAGTAATCTTGGCAAGCCACGGATTCTGTGACTTCAAGAAGTCCAAACCCTACTCACCGCTCTGAAGCAACTTGTGTATCTGAGGCGTTCCTCATCCGTAGTCTCGTAGATAGTGCATGTGAGATGTAGGAAGAAGTCCGCCAACGCACCACGCACTGTAAGGAGGTTGCAGTCTTGATTGGACCCAGAGCACTGCAGTGTTGGTTTTGTCCTACACCAAGACGACAGAACTTATTTGTAATTCTCCAAACGAATCAAAGAGCGTCGATATGAAGCCTGCCGCTCGGTCAGAAGGGCCAGAGCCCTCTCGATCTCATCAATCAGAAGTTTAAACAACCCCATGCCTGTGATGAGTTCCAAGACCTGCATATTAATATGTAAGCATTGCATCCTAGCGAATCAGGTCTTGCTGCACCTCCACCCGCACTTTCTTCCAGTTACCCAAGGAACTTGAGCCAAATTTTCAAGCTCCGTCGCCATCAACAAGCGGGTCTCACGACTCCGGGTGAGATGGCCGAGTTGGTTATGGCGCCAGGTTAAGGTCAACCTTAACACCTCAATTTCCTGGTGGAGCAATCCTCCTGGGTTCGAATCCCAGTCTCATCATTTCTTTTTGCCTTTCTCGTGTACATATCTCACATGTGGCCTATTCTTTTTGCTCCTCGTTCGAGGCAGGCCATTGAGTTTGCGAGAGGTACGAGGGGCTCAGAATAGGAAGAATGCTATAGCAAGTTCATCACCACCGGCTAAGATTCTCTATCTTTCAACTGCGAGTTGTGGTAAATTATAGACGTTATCTTGATGGCTACTCTTCTTTTCTTTTCTTGGGCATTATGGTTCAGCTCAAAAACGCGCTCTTATGACCTCCACTGACAGGGAACGGCCATGCCAGTGATATTCTGCGACGAGGAAGGACGGATGACAGTGGGAGGCCCTCTATAGATAGAATCCAGTAATGTTTGTCTTCACTCAATTAGAGCATTTACACTCATATCTCATAAGCTTATGTATGTCAAAGCCGAGAGGCATTCAGCCATGCGAGTTTAGGGCGATGCCAGGGGTCCTCCATGACATGGAATAATTACATCCCAAACATGCTCTATACTCTATCGCTACGTCATTTATCATAGTGAAATATTGCCCTGGCGAATTAAGCTAATCATATCATTACTTGAAGAGGCTGGTGGTATCGCCGCTGTGTATCTGATGGTAGGTGTCTCAAAGTTGCGGCAATGCAGCATCCTCCATACCAGTGCGTGGCTCATCATAGGGGAGCCCATATTAGGGAACGACTTTGACGACCAATTCTCATTGAAGTTTTGCTGTTCGTTAATCCTTTTCTAGCACACTTCTGCTGCCACCATGTCGTGCCTCGCGCGGTTAGTTCGACGGCTCAACGCTCAGATAAACGCCCCCGGCTACGAAAACACCGACGATGAGACCATCTTCAGACTTACAGGCCGAACATCCCGAAACGAACATTTCGATGCAAGAAGTTGGCCAACGGCATGGATTGGGCTCGGAGATAAGCCCTCCGTTGACCCCTCGGACGCAGCCGCCGGATTACTCTGACGAGGGCGTACCTTCTGTGTATCAGGCGGCGAGTTACAAAACCCCGAAGATCAAGATAAACAAAACCGTCGTCGTACGGATTCTGGCATCTTTATTCATCACGACCATCGTGGCAGTCATTGTCGCAGCAGTAGTCGGAAAGATCCATGCTGGAAAGTCACCGGGACAGCCAGTCGAGGCACAGAAAACATCAGCGTAGGTGCTCTTTCAAGCAGTCTCCGAGAGACTGGGTTCTAATTTCGAAAACAGGAATGCGACAGAAACAGAAGCTTGGACAACACTCACCATCACTACGACCCTGACAATAACAAATCGTGGGAAAGGTCGTCAACTTCAGGTCAAAACAACGTCGGCGCCTCGCCCGTTAGCCATTCCAACCCACGCACATGTCATCTTCGACTGTCCCTCGTTCGCACAAGCCACGCCGACTCTCGCAGCAAGGAACGAGCACTTGATATTAGGGCCCATCTGCGATACCCTAGACCCAGAGAAAAACGAACAGGACAACATTCTCGGGGTGGAGACGTATTCGCATCAGAACTGTCTCTTGGCGCGAGTATCATATCTGAGTTGTGGGTGGGAGTTGAACTACCGATGTACCGCATCGTGTCATTCTGTCAAGACAGAGAGAGGAAAAGCGGGTGAGATTTTGGTGGACGACTGGGAATGGGACGCTGGTTGAGTCATGATACTTGAGCCATGATTCGTGTAAGAGAAGGTGTTTGCTAGCGTTTAGGACATATGTTGTTTGTGAGCCAGTTAGATTTCAACTTTTCAATCAAGTATGAATACTTGGCACAAACGGGGCTTTAGAATGACCTCCGAAACATGATTGATAAAAACAATCGTCTAAAACTGGAGGTAGGTAGGGGGAGAGACAAGTAAATCCGCGATGTGAGAGAAGGTCTAGGGTACCGCGCCAAGCCTCAATGGATATGCCCCACTAAAAGTCGCATTGAAATTCTCTGACGCCCAAACAAGCTTCAGTGCTTGATGGAAATATAGACTGGCGATCCTCTCTCTATTCCTCCCCCTCCACCACATCACATTAGATGCAGCTATGGCGGCCGACAACGAGGCTCCTGTCGCGAGCAACGCTAGCAACTCCCGCCCTAGCGAGGGTTCGGGCAAGGGCAATGCCGATGGCGGCGCTTCTTCCAAGAACGAGTCTGGCAAGGATGGGTTCCGTCGCAATCCTCGACACGATCACCGAACCCGCGGCAAGGGCCGAAGCGAGAAAGGACGAGGCGAATGGAGGTATGTCTTCTCGTTGCACATCTTTGACGGGTCGCACGTACCAATGGGACTAACCAGATGCTAGCCGGCAGAAGAACGACAAGCGCAAGAAGAACGACGAGTATCACGAGTACAAGCGCCGCAAGCTGAACGAGCGGGGAGACACGGCCGAGGCCAAAAACCCCTTCTCCAAGGATGAGATTTCCGCCGAGGAGCGCCGCCCCAAGCGTAAAGTCGCGGTCCTGGTCGGCTATGCTGGCACTGGATACAAGGGCATGCAGGTCAACGGCGACGAGAAGACTATCGAGGCGGACCTGTTCAAGGCCTTTGTCGCCGCCGGCGCCATCTCCAAGGCCAACGCCGACGACCCCAAGAAGTCAAGCCTGATCCGTTGTGCGCGAACCGACAAGGGTGTCCACGCCGCGGGCAACGTCATCAGCTTGAAGCTCATCATCGAGGACGACGATGTCATCCAAAAGATCAACGATGCTCTGCCGGAGCAGATCCGCGTCTGGGACATCCAGAGGACCAACAATGCCTTCAGCTGCTACCAGCTGTGCGATTCGCGGTGGTACGAGTACCTCATGCCGAGTTACTGCCTGCTGCCTCCCCACCCCGAGACCTTCTTGGGCAGGAAGCTGGTTGAGCTTGCCAAGGAGCACAACGTGGAGGACGACCTCAACGCTAAGATGGCGGACGTGAAGGACTTCTGGACCGATGTGGAAGAGAAGGAGATCAAGCCCATCTTGGCTCGATTGGACCCCGAGGTTAGGGCTGCTGTTTTGGAGCGATTGCACGTCGCCGAAGAGTCTGGCCAGACCGAGGAAGACAAGGAAGAGAAGGAGGAGGAGAAGCCTGCTGCTGAGACGGCCTCCGAGGGTGCTGCTGAGTCTGGAGCACCCCAGGCCACCATCACTCTCGAGAGCCACCAGCCCAAGGGCCGCGAACTCGGACCCATCGACTTCGCGCTCCGCGACATCAAGGCCGCCTACGTTACGGCCAAGCGTCGCTACCGCGTCACCCCCGACCGTCTCCAGCGACTCCAGGACACTCTGGACAAGTACACCGGCACACGCAACTTCCACAACTACACGGTGCAGAAGTCCTTCTTCGATGCCTCAGCAAAGCGCCACATCAAGTCCTTCATTGCGAACCCCGAGCCCATCATCATCAACGATACCGAGTGGCTCTCGCTCAAGGTCCATGGACAGAGCTTCATGATGCATCAAATCCGCAAAATGGTCGGCCTGGCTAGCTTGATGGTCCGCTGCGGAACTCCCCTCGAGCGTGTCGAGGAGAGCTACCAGAACCAGAAGATGGCCATCCCCAAGGCTCCCGGCCTGGGACTGTTGCTCGAGCGGCCAGTCTTCCATAACTACAACAGGAAGGCGATGGAGGCGTTCCAGAAGGAGACGATTGACTTTGCCAAGTACGATGAGAAGATCCTGGCGTTCAAGGACAAGCAGATTTACCAGCGAATTTTTGACGTAGAGGAGAAGGACAACTCGTAAGTCTAACCTGATCTCTGTGGCAAATGCCAGCAATGCTAACACCCCGCAAGGTTCCACATGTTCTTCAACCAGATCGACCAGTTCAAGACGAACCACTTCCTGTGGCTGACCGCAGGTGGCATGAAGGCTGCTGAGATTTCCCGTGATTCGACCGGTGAGAAGGTGCAGCGAGATGTGGACAAGCGACTGGGCGATGATGATGAGGATGAGGACCCCGAGGGTGGTGAGGGTTAAGCATATGAGCCTTGGATATGTATGAGATGGTAATGAAAACGCCTGTATGCCTTTACATAGCATTAGCATTAGATGGGGAGCGTGCCCCTGTTCGCAACAATCAACGGTTTCCGGTACTTTCAAGGAGTCCTTAGGTCCGTGGTGAAGTTCTTGAGTTATCGCATAGTACAGTTGGTCTTCACTGAGCATGGCATGACATCAAAACGAGCATGCAATGCGCTTTGTATTGTACTTTTTGAAATCCCGAGGCTCTGGGTATCTAAATCCGTCCTCGTCCCAAGCAAACCCCAACGCCCAAACCAAACGCCTCCGGATCCGCCAGCATGCCCGGCTCCATCCACAGCATCACCGCTCACCGCCCCGTCGTAACCGAGCCCGCAGTGGTCCCATCGGCCTGCGCCGTGGCCGTCACGGTCGCCGAGGCGGAGGCCGCGTCGTCGCCGGAGCCGAGGGCCTCCCAGGAGCCGCCGCAGCGCTGGGCGAGCGCCTGCATGCCGCGGGCGTCGAGGGCGTCGAGCAGCGAGGCGACGGCGCCGACGTCACGGTCGATCTGCTCCTCCTTTGCGCGGGCGTTGGGGTCGCCGCGGCCGAGGGGCCCAAAGACCCATAGCTCCTTGATCTTGCGCGAGAGGGCGAGGAGTTCCTTGATGGAGGTGTACTGTGGGAATGCGTTAAAACAACTGTCCCCTTTGCCCAATGAGATATACGGGAGGAGCAGGCTCGGGCTTACCAGGCCGTCAAACTCCATCTTCATGGAGATGCCCGTCACAGCGATGGCCTCCGGGTTGGCGTTGTTGCGCTCGCCCTCGGCCTGGATCGTCGCCAGCATCATGAGGGTGCGGTAGCGAGTGAGGACGTCCGCAACGAGGCGGTTGTGCGTGTCTAGGCGCAGGGAATTAGCGTCTTTGCTACATGTCGATCCGGCCTTTGGTGAATCGTGCGTTCCAGGTCCTGCAGACGACGATGCAAACAAAACAAGGCCACGAGGGTGGCATCTTACCCATGAGATTGGACGCCGCGGCTTGTTGCGCGCGGTCCATGGTGTGCGAGGTTCAAGTGCGAGACCGGGGTGCGGAGAACTAGAGAAGATTGAGGCTAGGAAACAAAAGAGGGTGAGGTGTGACAAGGCGCTTCCATCCAGATGAGACGAGACGTGGATGAGACGTTGATGAGATGCGAGGCTAGAGCTGGAGTTGGCTTTGGCGTCGTTGGCGCGCACGGCTTTGCTTGAGCTGGTGGGGGTGGGGCCAGGAGATTCCGTGGTGGCGGTGGGGTGCAGTATTCCCGTAAGCCTGTGAGAATACTGACCGGTATTTGATTAGATCAACAGGAGAATCTCTGCACAACGCGTGATTGAGTATAGCTTGAATATCTTGATTGGACATGATATTGGACATATCAATGGCGTTGAGGTTTCATTTCACATCTTCTAGACTCCCTCCTTCTTCTAGTGCTAATTTTGTCCCGGTTACTTGACGTACGCAGATACAGAGATGCCTTGCCCCTATTACCAGACGCCCATTTCAGTTAATTCCATATAATAAAACAGCCCAACAACCCAACAAGGCAGATGCTGGCGACCTTTTTGAAATGCCCATGCCGCCGAGACCAAACTCCCCGGTCAATGCAATCCAGATTGCGCGCGGGGCCCTGGTATCGTCTCCCTTCCAACTCGTACACGCGCCATTCAGCCATCAGTATTATCGTGGAGCTGCTTCTTACGGCAGACCCGTCCACCCGCGGTCCTCCTGCTTCCAGCCCTTGTGTGGCCAACCCTTAGGTAGTGTCGAAAAGGGCGGGAGAATGTACTGGCCCTCGCACTTGTCGTTTTCGCACTTCAAGTCGCACATGCCATAGTTCTGGCAGTAACAGTCGGAAGCGTTAGGGCAATGGACTGCCTTCTTGCCGAAGATGACTGGAGGAATTCCGAATTAGCACTGGTTCAGGCGGATAGGGGAAGTAGAAAAGGGGTAGCTTACCATGCCATGAATACTCGAGAACTCGCCCGCTCAGGTCATCGCCCAGCGGCGACACCAAAAGCCACTCGCGGAAGCGGACGTACTCGGCGCGGGGCCGCAGGCGAATCGTCTCGCGGCGGACGGCGAACTGCGAGCAGCAGGTAACGCCAATCTCCTCGGGAACGGGGAGGCTGGGGAAGAGCTCCTCGAAGGCGGCCTTGTAGACGTGGCGGGCGTGGACTGGCTCGTTCTCCTTGGAGGGGGTTTCGTCCTGGATGGGCTTGATCTCGGCGGGGCAGCCGAGGACCCAGACGCAGCGCAGGTTGGCGTAGCCGACCTTCTTGAGGTTGTCGAAGCGGAACTTCTGCAGCAGAGGGAGCGCATCGTAGTCGGGGTTGTCGTTGTGCCACTGGAAGCGCTCGGCGTGGTGGAAGATGACGTTTCCGGGCAGGTCGTCGTAGCGGTCGATGATGTAGCTAGAGAGACATGGTCAGAGGGAATCCAAGACGGGGAATCTAAGACAGGAGTAGTTGCATGGAGCATAGACGGGATAGCTAGCTACCTTAGGAAGACCATGGCCTCGCGACCCTTATTCATCGGGACCGTCAGCTTCGCCTTGTTGTCATCGACGACGTAAATGTTCTTCTTCCACTCGGGCAGGTATTCGTCGAGCCACGAGACGTTCTCGTGCTTCATGCTGGCCACCACCATCTCGACATCGTCGTCGCCGAGGTGCTGCGACGCCAAGCTCTTGCCGCGGTTGGGGCGGTTCGACGAGGGCAGGATGTTGTCGCGGAAGATGACGAGGATGAAGATGACGAAGACGCAGATGCCGATGAGGTTGACGCGGTTCGCGCGCTGGCGCGGGCTCCAGCGACCAGGCATGGCTGTGCCAGACCGCGAGGCCGGATGTGAGAGCAGAGCGGAGGAGAGGAGATGGGGGAGTCGTAGAAGCCCGGTGTTCGTTCGATCGTGGGCGTTCGGGCGGTCGCAAACAGATTCGTTTGGAGAAGCAAGGGTAAGGTGTTCGGATGTACAATCAGAAGGCGGACTATTATCACTCCTCCCAGTAGTTTCGCATTCCCTTTTCTGGGGGACGGCCACGGGTGACACAGGGGATACAGGGGGAGATCGGGGGGCCGCGGCGGACGGGACAGCAAGGCAGGAAAAACGACAGGGGACTACGCAAGGGAGGTGGCGCACTAACGGCTACTTCGTAATGGTACAAGGTCGTAGTACAAGGTAGTAGTACACAGCAATACGCCCACTTCCACTTCCACATCCACGCCGTTTCTTCGTATCTTGGCTGCCTACCTGGTCTTCCCACTGTGGGCGAAGTCCCCATCCCTGCATCACGTTTTTTTCCCTTTTGGGTTCGCCTGTCAGCTTTCAAGTTTCCGCAGCGTCAAGCCTCATTCTCGTGTTGCATTGCAGGCTCCAGCCCCGCAGGGAGTCCAGGCTCCACACTGCAACGGCCGCCCTGCAACGTCACTGAGCATTCTTGCGGTGTGCAAAGTAATTAAGCCACCGCGAATTGCAACTATTCTTTCTTTGGCCTCGACTCGCGTCCGAATCAAGATGGGAACATTGGTTCCTCGGGTGGATTTTGGGTGAATTACGGCGTATACATTGTAGATACGATACTGTGCAGTAACTAGTAACTCGGAGCTGAATAAGAACCTCCCAAGGCTAATGCACCCCTGATATTACCTCCCCTTAGTTACCATTACTGCTGGCATGTGAATGGTCAGAACCATGACGCTATTTATTACGGAGCAAACTGCCTTAATTCATGTTGCAGAAAGCTGGACGAGGAGAGCAAACTAGGAAAACTGTACCACGCGATTGGAAATACGCGAGGGAGGGAGGTGGCGCAACAGGCCCGCCTCGACCTCGACCTCGACTCAAGCTCCTATTTTTACCAGGACTGTCTGCCTTTATCTCCTCAGCCATATTTTCAATCATCGGACCATGAAGTGGGATCGGCCTACTGATAGCTCCGGCCCGATCCGTGATTCACGATAGACGACTCCGACTGCGGCAAACATGGCCCTCAGGATACTGGACGAAGCCGCCGAGGCTTGCGATTTAGAGCTAGTTAAGTTGCTGCTCTCAAGGGGTGCGAAACCCGGAAGCCGAGTCATTGCTTTTGAAGATGACATGTACTAAGCATTCTTCAAGTTGAATACGATGCTGTAAAATCACTGATAGGCCGAGCTGTGCCTTGACTCTAGCTCGCATCCGATCCAAAGCGTAATATGTATGATGGTTCATCCGGCTGAATTTCTGTAAAGTAGATATCGCAGATGCAATCAGTGATGAATCTGAACCGGCGTGATCGCAGCTGGCATAAACGACTGGAACTTGAACAACAATAAAATCGTATTATATCTAACAAAGGCCGTGTATCAATTGCACGTGGTGGGAAGGCGGCTTTTCGCAGTCCTGAAGCCATCCAATCTCCATTCGCCAGTGACGCTGACAGCGCCACTCCGTTCTCCAAGCTCTGGCGTGGTAATTACACAGCGCCCCTTGTCCAGCCGAGCTCGCTCTTGGCAGCGGCTAATGTCCCGAATGACAAGTTTGATAACGACCGAAAAGTCTCCGAGGCGCTGGCCCGTCTGAGCTTCAGCCCTACATGGTGCCTAACTGCCCAGGAGCGAGTAGCGCTTGGAACACCAGATCAAGCAAGAGAGAGACCAGGCGGAATCCAGGATGGCCACCATTTCGTAGTAGATTAGTCAAAGAAGATGCAATGTGCAAGCGAGAAACTCATCTAGCTGGAAACCTCCATGAACATTGCCATTGCGGTCTATGTATTCCACTATCCATGTGTTTCCTCAAAGTGCAGCTTGGGTGAGGGTTTGGCCAACTTTTTTTCCTGTTGGTGAATAGATGACATTATAGCAGTTATGTCCAGACTATCAAATTGCGACACTTGCGATCTCCATGTTTAATTGCTACTTGTAGCAGCTGTTGCCAGCCGGTCTAGACGTTCAGCTGCGCGGTGGCAGACCCAGCAATGTACTGTTGGTACGGCGCAAGCGCCTTCTCCACGGCTCCGCCGGCTCCGCAGTACTTCTCAACCATCTGGACGCTGCGGCCGACGTAGAGCTCGGGCTGCATCATGGAGTCGAGGTCACCCCAGATGGGCTTGAAGTACTCGGTGTTGCGAATACGCTCAATGAGGTCGTTTACCTTGCCCTGTGAAGATTTCAATTAACAATCTGCTTAGACAGGGTAAAAACCCCCAGACACAGTGAGCTAGCCTAGATAAAAGAAAAGAGTCCACATACCTCGTTCTTGACCACGCTCGCTGCTTGGTGCGAGAGGACTCGGATTTCCTCATGCGCCCTAAATTATGTTCAGCATCGGTCATTGTTATGATGATAGCAGAAACTCACTCTTGACGAGAGGCACCCTTGGCTACAAGCTTCATGATGATCTAGCCTAGCAAGAGCTCCACTCAATGATCCCGTCGAGCATGTTTGCAAGCTTATTACAACATAATGAGCTCAGTGGCAGCTCTAAGGAGATGCTACTCACCGCTTAGGTGACCATGAACGGGAGCTCCTCGAGGAATCGACTCCGAATACGGGCCGGTTAGACGACAAGTCCATCGGTAACGTTGTCCAATCCAATCAAAATCGAGTCGGCGAGCAGGAACATCTCTGGAATGTCCATCCTATTTCCAGTATTAGTTGAGAATGCTCTCTGAGAAGCGCTCTGAAACTTTGGTGGGAGAAAATTGATCGACAGCAGCCTCTTGGGCCTGTCGTTTTCATCCCATCTTCGGAGGCACAAAACTGGGGTGTCTTACGTCTAATCGCGCTGTCATCTAATGTGCGCTCCATCCAAGCCGTTGCATGCGTATTGGCAAATGATGACTAGAAATCGTCGAGTCAGAAGATGGAGAGCGATACTAGGGGTTCTGACGGGTTTGCAAAGGGAAAGGAGGTCGGGGAGTTGGCGTTTGGGCAACGAACCGGCTTGGCCATCAATGCGCGGGAAAGCGAGCAGATTCTCTCACTCCTCATCTTCTCAAGGTTAGTAATAGGGCTCATGCAGAATAAAAGGAAGAGGAACTTTCTGGATTGCGCTTATATGCCATCGCACTAGATTCTTGTTAGTGGGCGCGTAGTTCAGTGCTTTTTCAGCGGTGTTACCTAGATCCTATCTCTTCTCAGAGTTAATTTTATTAGTGCACCAATTATTGCGGAACACAATGTACTGGCGGGATTTTTCGAAGGGCCTGATAGCGTTAAATTTTGGACAATCCATGTGGGAATGATGTGCTTACTCTTCAATCTCTTTCCATGAGGCGAGCAGGCGGATGTCCGTCGCGGCCTTGTGTGCTGTGGATGCCAACCCGACAACGGCGTTGGACACGATCAAGTCGACTTTTCGGGTGCTTGTGTTGGTGTTATTAGTTACAGGCTCGTATATCAGGATGAGAGATATGAGGGGACCTCAATTAACTCACTAGGTCTGGGTTGAGATTTCCTTTAAGCAGAAATTAGTAAGGGGCTCTAAAGGTTGGCTTTGCAAGGAGAACGTGAGCCTGAGCGCTAGAGGGACAAAGCAATGAACTGAATATGGAAAACTCACATAGAACGCCGGGAAGCCAAAGCGCTTGCAAAGCTTTCCATTGAGGGCATCACACTTGGCATGGTCGCCTTGGAATCTGCATGGTGATCAGTCGAGTCTTCTTACCACCCGGTCTTACCTGGGCACATGAAATTGCAGCCATGGGGCCACTCACATCTCCAGAACGAAGCCTGAGTTCCAGTCGTTCCTGCTTGCCGTCAGTGAAAGGCCGTGATGGATCAATAGGATAGGAGTGCTGCCTGAAGTTCTTCAACATACCCATGGTGCCTCGGAACTTGAGACTGTTGCGGACAGACTCGAGAGCTTCAAGGTCAAACATCAAATCCTGAAGCCATTGGGCGGCTGGTGTTCCTGTTAGGAAAGCCATGCTTGACAAGTCGGTTAAACGTTGTAGACTTACAACGTCGTCCAACAGTAATGGGCCTAGGTTCTGGTCAGCCTCCGGTCTGAATTCAAAGCAAGCTAAGAAAGCAAGGAATAATATAGATAAAGATGCTTCTGAGTATCAGTGTAGAGGGAGATACTTACTGAGCGCTCTGCAGATGGGTGTAGGCCAACGTGGGCTCCGCTACAATGCATGTAAGTTAACAATGTCCTCTAAAGTCTGCTTGAACAGCAGCGGAGGGAGGGAGAATAAATCCCCACCTTTCCATTTGAGAGAGAAAGCCTGAAGGTTAGCGATAACCTTGGCGATCTTGTTGATCAAGATATCAAGGGCATCACGCATAAGGAAGAGCTCCGCATTGTCGGTCACCTGACTTGGTCAGCTTCAACAAGATAGTTTGCGTAGTTCATTAAACCCACGTAGCATGAAGTTGCTCCGCAGTGAATCACACTAGCGGCAGCCGGTGCAACAAGCCCAAAGGCATGGACGTGCTGGGTTGAGTGTTAGCCAATCTAGGAGTGTCTTGTCGCAAGGAGAGGCTGGCTTACAGCCATGACATCCTGGTCGGACCCATGTTAGCACATCACGTTCCATGAAAATAAAGATTACACTTATAGAACCGGTGACTTACATGCGCCTGATCTTCTCCTCCACACGAGCAGCATCGAAATCGGCATCAGTGACGGTAAGATGGGCTCTCATCTGATCGAGGGCCTCAGGTGTAATGACATTAATGCCCAGCTCCACCTCAGCCTCGGCAAGCGCCAGCCAGAGCTTACGCCAGGTCGAGTGCCTGGACCTCTGGCTGAATATAGTCGTCATCTCATCGCTGCAGTAGCGATGGGTTAGGGATGTCTGGCAGGCATCGTATGGGCTCTTCTGGCGAGCTTGGGCCTGCTGGAGCTCCTGGATTTGCTGCTGCGGCTCCTCGATTTTGGCCTGGGCAGCCTGGGACAGTTCAGCCATATTGGGCGAGTCAGCGCTTTTGCTTGTCGTTTAATGTTGGCTGCTAATCTGGCTGAATTTGGAAATTTGGTGCACTCAACCCGCCGGAGATGGCTTCTAAACGTTATTGGGCAGAAAATTCTTTACTACACAAAGGCTCCGCAGTCAGCAGTTCAACAGTCTACCAAGCAACCTGCCCGATATTCTGCCGCTCCCGCCCTGCTTCAAGCCATTGATGTCGAGGAGCTGGAAACCTCCGTAGACGTTGCCATTGTAGTCTATGTATTAAAGAATGCCTATCCCCCTCTTCATCTTGTCTGGCAATGAAGTTGTCTGCGTTCTCCTTCCCGTCTGCGGCATCAGAAATCTCGTAGTCGCTCAAAAGGGCGGTAAGGATCTGCTTCTGACAGTCCGTTAGGAAGGACTCGCGACATTGGAGGTCTGTTGGTTCGTGTATGATGTCTGTGGCCACAGATATTGTGTGTTATTCTTAGAGCTGGTCGTTTTCGTCTAGTTGTTTTTGACCTTGAGGAGCGGCGACCACTTACTGAACTCCATTTGTGTCACCGCATCCTTCCTAGTCTCGTTGAGTCGACGCAAGATGTCTTGTAGTCTTGTTGCTGCGGTTTGCTGGAAGATGCCGTGCCAGCGTTCATGCGAGAAATGCAGGCCTGACGTGCTCATGTCCTAGAGCAATCTCTCCATCACCTGCTGGAGGAGCCTGTCGAAATGGGCCGAGGAAATAACCAAACGTACCGCGAATTTTACCTTCCCGAGCCTGATGTATTCGCCATCGTGAAAAAATCATTTCCTTCTCGCTCATCGTAGCTTGGTGTACGACAGCTTTGATGATCTCCGTGAGGCGTGCCACAACACTCCTCGGCAAACCCGCCATCCGCCTAACTCAGTCACCGCTGATTAAATTCGGCAGGCCATCTTCATATTATGCATGAGTATTTATTTTCTACCCAAGGAGAAGGCTCAAAACTGTTCTTCTCAGAAAAGCCAGTTGGGCCCAAAACGAAATATCCAGTACAGTGCCTTGTCACCTTGCTCATGGGTGTCGTACAAGCCCCTGCAATTTGCTCCGCTCAATGCCAGCAGAAGGTCAACATGGCATATCAGGAGGTCGCAGTGGCTGTCAATCGAAGCCTTTAATTACACCATGTACTGCACGTGGCAGGGCTGGCAGATTCGAGAGCCGGAGACATGTTAGCTTCTCAGACCAATCGGCAGCATGGAGCATCTGAGGCAATGCCCCGTGAACCTGAACACTTGCATCCTTTCTGTAATACACGGCAAGACGGTTTCCCCATCAAGGCAGATCGCCGGGGGGCGACTCGCTTCGGTTTCTCCAGGCCGTTTGTTTTCTCTTCTTCATTTCGCTCTGGTGGTCAAACGTTGAACCGGTTACGATGCTGATTCACACGTTTGCTGTGCATCGAATCGCTTGAGCCGGGCTGCTGTGGTTTGGCCGACACTCCATCATCCTCGCGGACGACGTATTAACTACTTGTTGTTGGATCCTGGCTTTGAAAATTGGCTGTTGGCCCGCTCCCTTAACCAACACCATGTTCCTCACCCGCCAGGTCGCGGCTCTCGCATTACTAGGGGCGGCGGTCGCAACAGACGCCTACGTCCCAGTTCACAACCGTTTCACCTTTGATGTCACCGTCAACGACTTTATCTATCTAGGCATGCTCTCGAAGCGCGATGCCTGCTCGGATGCCTTTGGAGACAATGCGCACAACTCGAACTGCGCCCCCGATTTTACCCTCTGCTGTAGGGCATCCCAGCGGTATCCCATGTTCGTTTCGATAACTGACATGGCGAGATAGGTACTCGTGATGGCGAGTCGTATCCTTCGTGCGAGAAATGGCTTGATAAAGGGTGGTGCTGTGTAGGAGAGTTCGTCGTCGTGAAGCTCCGTTGTGGTGTAATGGCCGCTGACTGAGGGAACAGCGGCGAGGGAGATAAATGCTATGTGGACCAAGAGTCCGTCTGCAACGAAGACAGCGCAGTTGCGTGTACGAGCCGCCAGAAAGGAACCGCCAGAGCGTGTTGTCCTAAGTTGACAACATGCGATGAGTCGATTCCTGCCAGTGCGGCCCATGTCCGGTGCAACATTAAACGAAGCGATCTCCTCGTGGCTGATGCCGCAGCGAACGGCAAATCTTCGACGACAGAGTCTTCAACCACCGAGGCCTTATCAACATCCACCGAAGCTTTGATGTCGACGTCGGCCGATGCATCCAAGACCGTCGACCCCGAGGCTCAGACCTCATCGACAACGTCTACCCCCGACGACGAATCGACCACACTATCCGGAGGTGTCATCGGCGGCATCATCGTTGCCGGCGTGGTTGGAATTGCTGGCATTGGCGGGCTGGCTTTCTGGCTCGTCCGACGCAGCAGGAAAGCCAAGCACGAAGCCGCGAACCAGTCACCACCGCACCCGTCCATCCCGCAGCATTCCCAGGACCAGCAGTTGAAATACCGACAGGGACAGCAAGGCTACTCCCAGAACGGGCCGCCGAACCAATACGGCGGATACATGCACCCGCAACAACAACCACAGCCTCCCACCGAGCTCATGGACGAGCGACCCCCAGCCGAGCTGGATTCCAGACCGCCGCAGTCGTCGTCGCGATAGTAAAGCGTGCAAGTCGAGAGAGCCTAGCGGGGCGAAAGTGGGAAAACAGGCATTTCTGATGATACCACTAATATTTCTCTTCTTTTTTGTACAGATGCTGCTTGGTTGGCATTTGATTCCCTCGACCGGCGTTGGTACATGGCGGATTGAGAAACGGACGGGGGCCACCTTTGAAGAGGACAAATAGATGGATAAGCGTGGAAGCCACGATATCACGCGCCTCAAGAAGATCTAGCAAGATCCTCTGCTACGGGTCGCACGTATATGTGCGCTGGAGAACCAGGTTGGACTTCTGTAAGTGGAGTCTGTGCCTCTTTGAAGGATGAGCTCCATCTCCCGGTCTCGGTTTAATGGAGGAGTTTCTTAGAGCTATGAAAGTAGCTTTAGCTCATGACTGGACAATTAAAACAATTGAGATAACCAAACTCACCTTCCCCTTCCCCTAGAGAGCATACGCACACTCTATTGACACGCTGTGGTTCTCTTGCCGATGGAGGGTACAGATTGCCGACAACGTTGACAGTGCTACAACTCCGCTATCGTGCATTCGGCCCATTCCCCACACACCCTTCGCCCTGTTCCAGGCCTTATCTCTGGGGAAATGCTGGAGTACGTAACAGCTTCCCGACGCTCTGGTTCTGCTCTTCCGACGATCATGCGCTGCAATGCCGCTTTGCATGTTCCCGTTGTGAGCGAGTATGGATTCGCCCTCCGCGATTCGTCGGCGGAGACGTCGCCGCGTTGCCGATGAGAATCGCAAGAGAGCGCCACGAGCGTGAGAAATACTTTCCAGGCGTTCGTCGCTCAACCGGCCGAGCTAATGTGATGCCGTAGATGCGATCGCTGCAAGGCGCGGAAGAGCAAGTGCATCGAGTCGCTCGCCGGCACATGCCAAAGATGTTCGTTGAACAATCTGGCCTGCAGGTTCGAGAGGTATGGTCGTTGCATAACCCAAGGCAACTGGTTTCTCACAATGGCACAGGGAAAAGTCGCCGCCAGATGCTGAACAGAGTCGACCATCTCCTCGGGTGGGAGACCAGATCACTTCAGCCCATGCGGGAACGAGTCCAGAGGAAAACATTGCTATCGACAGTCGTGAGTCCTCGTATTGCCGTCAATGCTCCCATGCTCACCATAGTGCCGTCCAAGACCAGACGGAGAGAATACTATGGCCTCATTTCCTCTCACGACTACGAGAGGCCTTCTCGTTGGACTCACAAACGGCACCAGAGGAACAGGATATGGTGGCAATGCAAGCAGTCAGTTGGCCTTCCCCGGTTTGATGAACCTCCAACTGACAAACCGAAGCACATCACCCGTCCTACCATCCTTCAGCCAGCCGAACTATCCCGCTTGCGAGGCGTAATAGAAGCGTTCCCTCCACGGCACGTGGCCGAATTCCTATTATCAGTCTGCATAAAGCATGGAACGGACACCTTTTTTTACTTTGACCAGGCCCAATTCTCGGTCGACATTGATCAATTCTACACGGATCCAAATTCCCATCTAAGGTCGGACTCCAGCTTCGTCTGCCTCGCAATGGCTGCTTTCGCCCTTGGTAGCCAATGGACGCTCCTCGAGCGACCCGACGGTCCAGCCCCGGGACCTCGCCCCGATGATGGTGATCCTGGACGAGTATTTTACAGCCAGGCCAAGACGCTGATTCCTGACATCATTGATCGGCCGTGTCTGCGATCCATACAAGCCTCGTTTGTCTTGGGCGTCTACCTAATGCCGGCGAGTGCGATTGGATCGTCATACGTCTACATGGGCCTGGCCTTGCGTAAAGCGCTGGCATTCGACCTCCATCAAAATACGGATGATCAGACTCTTGACGAACGTGAAAGAGAAGTGCGCCGTCGACTCTGGTGGTCAATCTACTCCCTAGAGCGGTTCGTCTGCGCATTAAAACCGCTGATTTAATTATGTGAAAGCCTAACGATTCGGTTAGGTGTACAACGGTTAAATTGAACCGTCCTCGGTCAATAAATGTCGACATTGTCACCGTACCTCTCCCGTCGCCGCTGGCATCATTAGACAGCGCACAAACCTTCAACAACGTCCAACTACAGATAGCCTATGTACGCCTGATTATTATATTAGACCGAGCCGCAGAACCAGGGTAAGAACACCAAACTTGCTCGAAGAAGCCGCTAATCAGATCGAAGAGATTGGTTGACTGATGCAACAAAGCCCACACGCTCTGCCAGCGCCGAAGCAGAGCTCAGGCAATGGAAAAAGTCGCTGCCCCCAGAGTTTAAGCTTGAAAACATACACCCAAAGGACTCGAACTATCGCGCCGTGTTCCATCTCTACCTAAACTACTACTACTCCTGGATCGCCATGGGGAAAGTCTCCCTCGTCACTGTTGCTCGGGCCAAGCTTCGGTATCATTTTGGCCGCGAGTCGGAACTGCCCCAGATCGACGATACGGTGGATCAACTATCCAAGTCCTGCTCCAAAGCTGGCAGAAAACTCCTACAGCTCTTTGAGAACTTGACGCGCACCGGAAACAGCACCCGCTTCTCCTTCACTGACTTCCAAGGTTGTAGTACCGCAGTCATCGTGACGCTAGTGTCGGGCATCCTCGAACGAGATTCCGCTTATGAAGCCCGCGTAGCCTTCGGTTTGGATTGTCTCCGGAATATGGCTGCTGGAAACATGACGGCTAAGATGGGGGTGCGATTCGTTGAGGCCCTGCAATCCATCACAAGCGAGGCGATTGAGAAGCTAAACCAGACGTCTTCTTTTACGGGCAGTAATCTGGTCATGGAAGAATCAACGTTGGCATCTGAATACAACCAATGGGCTGAGTGGCTAGCAAGACAAGATCGATCGCAGCGGACTGACCAAACACCGTCTTCTGGAGACCATCTCACAACAGATACCGTGGTTCCAATCCCACAAGCCCAAATATGGCCCATCTCACAACCAAATGCGGCTGGGCTTGCCTGGGAGTCTACAGGACGGGAGATGCTTACGCCGGTATCTCTTGTGCCACAGGTTGCGCAGCAAGACGCGACCATGTCCCGACAAACCCCTGCGGCAGATAATGAATTCCTCTCAGTCATGTATAATGACGAGCAAACTTTCCTGATGGGCTTGACAGGACTGGACGTTCTTGATTTTTCTGGATTTCCGACGTCGATATGAGAAGTACGTGCTCCGTCTCAAAGAGACCCAGATTATGGAGACCATCGAGCTTGAGTTTTATATAGCCTCCTCAATCTATGCCGTGAAGCAAAGAAATAAAGGATAACTGGTGACTGGGGAGGGGCGGAGTACCATGAGGATAATGGGATCCAACGACCAACACTCCACTGTCGGGACTACGATAGTCTTCGGGGACGCCTTATTCCATGCCGAGGTGACAGCACCGGACGATTGTGTCGACATAATCTAGATAGTGGGAACTGGAAAGGATAGAATAATTACCTGCGCAAGTGTATGTGCCAGTAGCAATCCGAACGATCTCACCCTGTGAACTGGCTTCATGTGACACGATCAACCAGCAAATACGTAACAAGAACCACTGTCCCGCACTTGACAGCAACCCCGGATTCGACTGTTCGCATGGCCCCAGAAGGGGGGAAATAAGGAATCCGGGGTGCATGAGGGAATTCTAGCTTGGGGTGATGATTCGTGTTCTGTCGGCAATCCGCCCATCTTACGATCTTTAGGCGAATACCCGACTGACGGGTGACCCGTCAGCCTGCCAAGGCTATGTTCTCAGCTTTTAAAGACCAACCAACACCAATGCGTACCAAAGAAACGGCTAATATCCGATATCGTTCATGATTGTTGAAAGTTGTGCTAGTCGAAGCTTGCGACTCGCGCGAGATCCGATATCGCGATGGCCTGGGACAGATTGCCGACGACACTATCCCAGCGTGCGCTCGCTAGTGACGAACCTCCAGCATATGCATCAGAAGATATTGTAAATCGCTTGATTATGATGAGATTATAATGCGGCCGTATGTTAGAATATCCATGTAGAGGGGGTTCTCAACTCAGATTAGATGGGACTCGCTTCTCGACTGAGATACAGAGACAAGGGACTGGATGGAGGTAATGTTATTTGTACAGGAAAAGCCATGTCATATTAAAAATTCCGAAACTTTTATTTCTTCATCGCCAGTAATACGCATCCATCTAATAACTCTTCATTTTACAATAGGGAGTTTAACCTGACGGGGATATCCGCATCAACGGGCAACCCACTCCACCGGCTCTTGTACACGCGCCCATCCTTCATGACGCCCAGCACATACTTCTCCGGCTCATCAAAGATGGTCACATCCTCCAAGGGGTTCTTCTCCAGGACCAGCACGTCCGCACAGAAGCCCTCCTTGAGCTGGCCGATGGCATCCTCCCAGCCCATCATCTTGGCCGGGTTGACGGTGGCGCTCTGTAGGATTTGGAGGGGCGTCAGTGCCTGGGAACGCAGGGCGAATTCCTGCGTCTGGGCGGCGCCGAGGGGGCCGAGCAGGTCGGTGCCGTAGCACATGTTTACGCCCGCGTCGGAAGCGATCTTGAGAGCCTCGAGGCCGGCCTTGAAGACCTGGGTGTTCTTGACCTGGGACTCTGGAGGGAGATAGCCCTTCCATTGCTCTGACGCCATCTGGGCGTAAGTGATGAGGGTGGGTGTCAAGTATACACCCTTCTCGGCCATCAGCTTGGCCGTAGGAGGGTCGACAAAGTTGCCGTGCTCAATGCCCCGGACGCCGTTGTCAATGCAGTGCCGGATGGCCTTGGCGGTATAAGCATGGGCCGTCACGAACGTGCCCGCGTTGTCGGCACACTCTACCATGGCCTGGATCTCGGTGGGAGTGAACTGAAGGTGCTCCAGCTTGTCCGTGGGCGACGACACGCCGCCAGAGCCCATGATCTTGATAAAGTCGGCACCGCAGCGGATCTCGGTGCGCACCGCAGCCATACACTCCGGCACGCCGTTGCACAAGCGGCCCAGCGACCCGTGGTGTCCCCCACAGCACTCGAACTGGTCGTGCGGGCCGCGCAGATCACCGTGGCCGCCAAACTGCGAGAGCGCATGGCCGGAGATGAAGAGGCGCGGGCCGGGAAAGACGCCGTCGGCGAGGGCCTCCTTCAGGGCGAGTTGGGCGCCGCCGCAGTCGCGCACGCTGGTGAAGCCGCGATGCAGCATCTGCGCGGCCACGTAGGGCTGACGTAGTAGTGAGACATCGTTGGGGTTGCCAAATGCCTTGGACAGATCTTCGAAGCCCGGGACGGCGCAGAGGTGGACGTGAGCGTCGAATAAACCTGGACAGAGAAACCGGCCCTCGCAGTCGATGACGGTGTGGTCTGTGGGCAATGGGCTTGGAGTTGATGAAGAGATGGACTGGATTTTGCCGTTGCTAGTCGCGAGGGAGGCGGTAGCGATGATAGCGCCCGCCTTCACATCAACAATGTTGGCGTTGATAAAGAGGTAGCCTTGGGGAGTTTGACGCAGCCACGGCTTGATGTTAGAGCCGGGCACCGCGTTTAATTGAGCCATGGCGATGTGAAAGAGCGGAAACCAACTGGTGAAACCGACGGAATGTGTTTGTACGACGATCTCCGGTTGAATGATGACAGATTGGAATGTTGTACTCAACAGAAATGATGAACCTGCAGCCTTTTGAACGACGCCGCAAATCTGCTGCAGCCCGTCTCCGACGATCCTATTCGTAATCCGCACCAAGCCTCATCCTCGCCCATCCTATCACTTACACCAGAGATGTCGGCACTCCAACCACAGCGGGGAGGGCCAAGTTGCCGACGCCGCGCCATCGGATCGATGGCCCAGCTCGTCGGATACATGGTCGTTCCCCACAAACCGCTATCAAGAGGCCCATCTTTTTCCGGTTTGGACGGCGGACGTGACAAGGGATTCCCTCGAGATCGAGCGAGCCGGCAATCTGAAGGCGACGGTGCCATGGCGGCCGGCTTGGAAACAGCATATAACCAGACGTCGCATCCTGTTCGAGGCGGACATGCCGTCGATTGTGCATCGCCAACGACGCATTGACTACGCTTCGTCGCTCACGACTCGCCAAGCCTAAGTTTTTTTCACAGCACACACAATGGATAACAACGCCGAGGCTAAGATGCCGTCGTCGGTCAACGATGACGAGCACGAGGAGCGAGGCGAGATCATCGAGTTGAGCGAGGAGTACACTCCCGAGGAAGAGAAGGCAGTGCTCCGCAAGATTGACATGGTTATTTTGCCGTTTGTGAGTGTTTCCCTAGATTAGCATGGTGTCCATCGACACAAGGACTTGATGGCTAACGCGACGTGCAGATGTGCTTCACCTTCTTCCTCCAGTATCTCGACAAGCAAAGTCTCAGCTATGCGGCCGTCTTTGGTCTAATTACCGACCTCAACATGACGAGCTCGCAGTACTCGTGGTGCAGCTCCATCTTCTACGTCGGCCAGCTGGTCTCGGAATATCCCTTCATCTACCTGATGAGTCGACTCCAGCTGACCAAGTTTGTCGGCGCAACTGTGTATGTTGCCACCACTTTGGCATATCGATAGTGCCGTGGTCACTAACACTTTCGCGTGAATAGCATCATCTGGGGAATCATCTGCATGTGTCTGGCCGCACCCCAGAACTACGCCGGCTTCGCAACCGTGCGCTTCCTACTCGGCTTCAGCGAGGGCGCCGTGTCGCCGGCCTTTGTCACCATCACGTCCATCTGGTACCGCAAGGAGGAGCACACGCTGCGGACAGCGCTGTGGGTCACCATGAACGGCGTCGCGCAGGTTGTCGGGTGCCTGCTCATGTACGGCATCGGCAAGAACACGTCGCTGAGCCTCGCTCCCTGGCGCACGCTGTTCCTTGTGTGCGGCGCGCTGACAACGGCCGCCGGCGTCGCCTTTTTCGTGCTCATGCCGACGGGCCCCAAGGACGCCTGGTTCCTGACACCACGCGAGAAGGAGGTGCTATCCATGCGGATGGCCAAGGACCGCGAGGGTGGCGACAAAACGAGCTTCTCGCTCGAGCAATTGCGGGAGACGATGCTCGATCCCAAGGCATGGGCTGTGTTCTGGTTCGGCGTGCTGGTAACGATGCAGTCGCCCGTGCTCACCTTTGCGTCGCTCGTCATCAAGTCCATCGGATATAGTCAGCTGGATACGATGCTGTACACGGCGCCGTCCGGTGCGGTTCAGATCTTCCTGCTCTGGATCGGCGTTGCCCTCTGCCAATTCTTCCCCAAGCAGCGAACGCTGGTTGTCCTCGTTATGATCATCCCGCCGCTCATTGGCAATGTGTTCTTGATGAAGCTTGACGTGACCGCCGGATGGGGTCTAGTTGTTGCTTCCTGGTTGGTAAGTGAAACAGTCCAATTCTTCACCATCGTGTCTGACCGAGTACACTTGTATAGGCCTCTTGCATCACAGCAACCCTTTCGATCCTGCTGTCTCTCTCCGCATCGAACGTCAAGGGAAACACGAAGCGCTCCATCACCAACGGCATGTTCTTCATCGGCTACTGCGCCGGCTGCATCGGTGCTCCTCAGCTTTGGACCAACAGCCCGCGGTACCGGGAGGGTGTCATCACAGCCATCGTGACTTGGTGCCTGCTGTTCGTGACTGTCCTCATCTACCGCGCCATGTGTATGCGGGACAACAAGCAGCGCGACGAGCAGGCGATCGCCGGGCCCGGAAGCGTGCAGATGGAGGTTGTGCTGGACAAGCACGGAGCGCCCAAGTCGGACTTGACGGATAAGGAGGATCGGGAGTTCCGATACAGCTGGTGATTGTTCAGCAGAAGAGTACATACATACGTGGGGCCCGAGTTCCCCAGGCTGCTCGGTTGTCTGTAAATTACACAATAAAGCACATAGTTGGAATAATTTACAACGCTTAGTGAAAGCATGACCCAACTGCCTCGGCCCGTAAATGGTGTTTCGGCAGACTTCTTTGTTCAACCATGTGACCCGGGCCCAACGGCCAACTTTGTGATTGTCAGCAGAAATAACACATGGGAAGCTAATAGTCCAAGGCTAGGCCGAGAGGGAAGAGATGTCTCGATGAAACGGCCGGGGCTTCTGTGAGATGAGGCTAAGCGAAAGGAAGCTAGTGCGCAATAGCTGGCAAGCGTGTCAGCAATTGGGACATTGGGACATTGGGTTCATCAGATGATGTCCACTCGGATGCAGATGAGCCTCAGCTTCTTCAGGCGGCCGGTGGGCCTTGGAACTGGAACTGGACCGGGGCAAACTTGACGAGGTGAGGCTGGGACCACCAGGTGAGTCAGAAGAACCCAGCTCCTAGGAACCAACGGAGACATATGCGGCCGAAGAGAAGGATTGAACAAACAGCAACTCGACAAGGGAGGCATGGAGCTGAAACGGGGTTCGTGGGAGAGCGATGGGACTTCGGCACTGGAAAAGGCCTACTGCTCACCGAGTATTCAGGCCCAGCCCCCGCCAAGTGGGGAGAGGAAATAGGGCTGAGGAGTTTGCGGATTAGCTGAAGCCAGCGAGGAAGGGTGAAGCATGTCGTGATCCTGGCTGAAATTGGTTGCAGGGCCCGATTTGGGCTCGCTTTGGGCCTTCTGATTGTTGGGGGCCACGGACGTGGTTGGTTGTGTTGTGTTGTGGTGCGTTGCGTTGTCAGCTTTTTTAGGGCTGCAGCGTGCGAAAAATCACCTTAGCGACAAGGCGCCAGGCGAAAACAGAGTAAGGTTGAGGGCGCAAGAGTGGCGCTCGGTCGTTCGTCTCAACACCACATGCCCAAGCCTGCACGATATGATCTGCAGCAGGACGGGAAACCGGCTTCCAAGAGGCTTGGAAGCATGCATCACGGGGCCAAAGAGGAAACCCCATCAAGATCTCTGCTGACAAGGCTGAAGAGGTTAGCTGCGATACGCACGCCAAAAACGGGTATATCTTTCGCCAACAACGCCCGCTCCACTGGACGGGTGTTACGTCTTGGCTGCTAAACCGGACCCGAAGCGGAACATGTCAGCAAGAATGGCACAGGCCCACACCACACACCACAGCTCGGACGCTTCTTAATTTTCTGCTTCTCAATTTTGAGGCCCGTCAAGAGATGGCATTGTAGTACCTAACCTGATGGTTGGGAGCAGGTGACGCTGCTGTCATGCTGAGGTGGCCTCCACAGTACAAAATGGCACACACGTCAACAGCCACGAGCACGAGACCAGTGCGTGAACAGCAACTGCCAGGGGTCTGGGGATAGCGAGATCGCGGGTGAAAAAAGCTTGGTACTGACTAGTGCAACTCACTCGTGTGCGCGTTCTGTGGCGGTGGAGAAGGAGCCGTGATTTGCTTCATTTCATCGCTGCGGCAGCTTACCAGGTTCTCGCAAAAGTCCGACCGACCTAGCAGGGTGCGTCCGCCAGCCGCAAGTAAATAGCCAAGGACGGTGAGGATTGCCAGCTGACATGCGTACCTTGCTTGACGTGTGGTTGTAGGCAGCATGGCGTCGTACTATGTGCTATGTGCTATGTGCTATGTGCTATGCAGGAGTTGTTGTTGCATTAGAAAAGAGACAAAGAAATGGTTGGGTTACGTGCATTGGTGTCCTCAAGAAAGGGGCGAGGCAATGCTGAAGGATCTCGGTACTTTGTGGACATGGAGACCTGACATGGAGACCATGGCCTCGTATTGTTGTTGCGTGGTTGTCGGTTCCCAGCCGACCAACATGGCGGGTGATCCAACTGGTTCTAGTGCCATAAGCTAAACTAAACTTTAGTCGTGAGCCTAATTGCAGATTTTCTTTCTTTCCCTGTTGTGCACTCTCTCATAAGTTGGATCAATTTCGTCCTACGTAGCACATCCGTTCCAGGGTTGCTCAACCCCTGGGTCAATTTCGCTGAGCGACTTGGGGACGTAAAATACTTCGTACGCGCTTGTTGGCCCTCGAGGGGGCTGTGCATCCAGAATGGGACTCAGTTCCAGGGGCGTTAGTGGGTGTCAGTGGACGTTAGTGGGTCCCTGGTTTGTTCCCGTCATCTCCATGTCTCCATACCTACCTCCACGCCTCCAGCGCCTTTGCGTCCATGTTCCGTGTCCGTGTCCGCGGCCGACTCCTGATGCCTCCATTTATTTGCCCTCCGGCCAGCACGGAGTACGGCGACACGTCACAAGGGGGTGGGCTGGGGAATGGATGGGACGCTCATCTCTCTTCCGTCCAGCCAATCAACGGCGTCGCGAGAGTCATTGCTCCGGGGTATGAGTAAGATGTCTCATCTCTCGCGGGTGCGGTTTGCCACGGGGGACGGAACTTTGACCTCGATGCGTCGCTGAACCTGATCCTGAGCCTGAGAGACGACACGACTCTACAATGAGGCTCTCTGACCCCCTGAAACCTGCATTCCACCACAGCCGCGTGTTTCCATTCCCCCCTTTGATCGCTGTGTCATGGACGAGGCCATGTCACGCTTCCAAACGCAGAGCGGCTGAGAGAGGCCAGGATTTTTTCTCAGACCACCCGTTCATCAAACCAACCGGCGACTTCTTGACGCCTCGAGCCAAGCTTCCATGTGCATAACCGAACATCTATTCGCGTGCAAATGTATGTCAGCTCCGTGGCTGAAGTACGGAGTACCATTTCCAACGTTGGTACCGCACTAATGAACCAAGCGGTAGCGCCACCGGCAATTTGTGCGTTCTATTGGCGGTGCGACGTAGCGAAGGCCAAGGCGGCCAGGTGGGAAGCCAACCCCGTCTCTGTTTCAAGTTTGTTCAGTGGGAAGTGGATGGGATGATCGCGGCGTCCAGGGCCTACCGACAGGAGGTATTGGGCGCATCACAGGTACCTACCTACCGCTCGGACTAAAGCAAGAAGCCTCAGAAGCGCCAGTCAGCGGCATCAACGGGGACTTCAGTATGCACGGTAGCGCTGATGGGCGGCTTAGTGCAGAGCGTGCATAGGGTTGCGATATCACGGCATTGCGGCATTGCGGCATTGCTCGTAGGGCATCGGCTTGCGTGGGCCGCGCCAACTACGATTTGGTCTATTCCCAGCCGTTGCGCGGTGAGATGCGGATTGTGCACTGCCGAGTACGGAGCTCCAACTACGCTGTAGTACTACTACTGCAACTACGATGGAATGACGGTACAGACTACGACCAAAGTCCCAATGCATTCACATGGGGCTGGATGTTATTTCAAGGCACCCAGCACTATGCCCAGGCGGGCCCAGCCGCACACCGTAAACCCTTTCCAGGGGAGGGCGGGGGGTTGCGGATGCCCCATATCCAATGGCGGCAACGGGTGCGCTGAAGCGTCCGAAGCTTCCAGGGGATTGGGTGGCACGGGGACCTGCAGCGACCAAGTTTAGAGGCCTTCGGGCCCTAAAGGGGAGCAAGGTAGGGCGTAGTAGGTACCTGTGGACGGGGCGGACATGGCTTCCCAGGGGGGCCGACAGGGGTCCGCTGTGGTGCGCGCGGGGGGGTGTGGCGGCCCCTGTTGCAGGTCGGACGGTGGTTCCTGAGTGGCGGCGCGGCTGTGCTGGGCCCACCTTTTCTTTTTCGACTGGTCTGCATCTCGGGTTTTCCGTCTCGCTGCTGCACGGCTTCGCGTCGTCTCTGCAGGGCTTGCTTGTACATTGCGCTCTCTCCACAGCTTCATTGCGACTCCATCAGGCGACCGAGGGATTGGCGCCATTCACACTCGTTCTTCCTTCCTTCCTGTACTTATTCCTTTATTTCGCCTCCCCCCCCGGCCTGCTGACTACTTCTTCCTTTCATCCCGTCTTCTCCTCGTCTTTGTCCCTCCCATTCTTTCGGGAGCTTCATCATCTCCTTGTGTCCTTTCTTTGGCCCATCACTGCATCGCATCACTGCATTACTCTGCCTCTCCCCCTACACAACACCTGCTGGGCAGGATCCTCCGAAGCTCATCGAAGCTCATCACCACTGAAAGACTTACGCATAGCGCATTCCACACATACCCAACACACCCAACAACACCCAGGAAACAGGTTCACCAAGCATTCCATCATGGGCGACGAAAGCTACTCCAACGCGTCCGGCAAGACCTTCGTCACGCGCCCGACCATCGACACCACCAAGATCAATGACCCCATCCAGCAGGTCAAGCAGCAAGAGGCGGATCCTAACAAGCGCCTCCAAAGCCTCGACATCCCGCCTCTTGAACATGTTCTCTCCCCGCCCTCGCCCAACATGGAGATCAATGCGAGCATGTTCCGCCGCCAGACCTCGCTCGACATCGACGACTACTTCACAGGCCCTCGCAACATTAGCAAGCACTCCAAATGGCCCCTCATCATGCAGATGCACGGCAGCATCATCCCCAAGCTGATTGTCCCGTTGCTCCTCGTCAGTGGCTGGGCCTCTGCCATCACCGCCATCTCCATGAAAGTCCACAGCCTCAGCGTCAATTCTGTCCTCCTGACCATTCTGGGTTTCGTCGTCGGTCTGTCCTTGTCCTTCCGCTCCTCCACCGCATACGAGCGTTACGCCGAGGGTCGTCGCTTCTGGGGTCAGCTCACTCTCGCCTCCCAGGCTCTTGGCCGCACTTTCTGGATCCACGCGAGGGACGTTGCCAATGAGGATCCTCGCGAGGCCATCCTCGAGAAGATCAGCGCCATGAACTTGGTCGTCGCCTTCTCCATCGCCCTCAAGCATTCCCTGCGCTTCGAGCCCTACAGCACCTACCCCGACCTCCAGCACCTCATTGGCCACCTTAACACGTTTGCCAAGGATGCTATCATTGCCGAGCCGGATCTCCCTCTGACCAGGCGCAAGAACTTCTTCAAGTCCACGGGCGAGTACCTCGGTATCTCCTTCGCCGCCAGCAACCCCCGAAAGGCCCTCAAGAAGACCACCCAGCACCTCGGTAACCTGCCCCTCGAGATCCTCAACCATCTCGCCCTCACCCTTGATCACATGGTCGAGAATGCGCAACTTCCCGTCCCCATGCAACAGACGGTTGCCTACAACCACCTCACCATGATGAACGACGTCATGGTCGGCTGCGAGCGTGTCCTCAACACCCCTCTCCCCATTGCCTACAACATCGCCATCAGCCAGATCACCTTCGTCTACGTCATTCTTCTGCCCTTCCAGCTCGTCGGTACTCTTAAGTGGATCGCCATTCCTGCTACCATTGCCGCCGCATACATCATCTTTGGCCTGCTCTTCATTGGTCAAGAGATTGAGAACCCCTTCGGCCTCGACGTGAACGATCTGCCTCTGGAGACTTATTGCGATCAGATTGCCAATGATATGGATCTCATTGCCGCCTTTGATAAGCGCGAGGCCGCTTCTTTCATTTTCAGCAACAAGAACATGCCCCTCTACCCCGTCAGCTGCGCTCCCGCCAGCGACTGGATGAAGCGCAGTGATGATAAGCTCCGTGCCATCATCAAGGAGAAGCCCAAGACTGTGTTTGAGTGGCGCCGAGACGCAATGCTTAAGAAGGAGAGCGAGCTGACCACTCGAAAGCACCGCGTTGTGCATAACCACAACCAGGAGAACGAGGCCGAGATGACCAAGAGTGTCAGCCCCAAGATCACTCCCAAGGTCAGCCCGAAGCCAGCAAGGGAGCCTACCTTTGTCGATCCCAAGTTCACCGCCGGCGATCACAACGTCTGAAGCCCGCGTTCTGTTAAGTTGATTGGAGGAAAGAAATATTATTAATGCCTTTTTCCGGAAATCTTCAAAGCAAACAATCGTGTTATAAAAACAAAATGGCGTATCAAAATTGGCAAATATCCCCTTGTTTTGTGTTTGTATCTTTTTCTAATTCTCGTGCTTGTGAATCTCGGAGGCCCGCGAGAGCCTAGGGTTGGGAGTGAGGAAAGTCGGGATCTGGCATAATATCATCAGTTACTTGGCCTACATTAGCATGTAATCCATCATGTTTCGGACAGGTACAACAAATCACGTGAGTTGAAACAAGTCAGTACACGTGCGATGTCTTGCTGTTGATGCCCGGGTTCTCTGTAGTGCTGGGAGTGCCAGAACTAAAGATTGTAGAGTAGAAACGGAATAGTTGGATATTCCGTGGAAACAACTCGAGTGAATGGTGACACGAGTGTAGGAGTCGTCGCACCTCGTTGAGAATTTCCCACCCCGAACCTCTAGGGTAGTTTCTGATCGCCGCGGTCACAGTGGGCAGATTATCATACCGGAGTTTGTAGACAGAACTGAAAATCGTTGATATACTTACAGTCGGTCAACACTTGGCTCTCACTCTGCATTGCCCATTTTCTGAAATGCGACGCTCAGAACCGCCATCTTAACTATCTATCAGATTTGATACGATGCTCTTTGTGTTCGCACACTGATGCTTCAACATCCCAAATCGGGACCCAAAGGCCCGCCGACCTTATGGGGACGCTCGGGGGCTAAGCTCCGGTGGAGCACCGGCCTTGGCCCGTGCTACGAGTCGGGGAGCGTTGGACTTAAGCGGGCGACCCTGAGGACGTCAAACCTTATGTTGATGCCGTCGTCACCTTCAGACTTGTCCCATGGATGAACCGCACTGGGAGTCATCGCAGGTTTACGTCATGGGTGATCTGGGCGGCTGGTTTGGATCAGTAGAGCTTGCTGATCTGAGGGACTGGGTGATTTGGGCGACGGGGTGGTCTGAGTTACTGGGTGATCCAGAGGAACGCCCAGAGACTACGAAACACCGAGATCACCAAGACACATTTTCTGGAATATTTCTAGAAGCCAATCGAAACGTTGCCGAATTACGTACCGGCCAAAAGTCACCAGGACCCTGCATGGTGCGACACACATCAGTCGACCACGCTCCAGTTAGGATCACTCAACCCAGCGTGGTCCCTCTCAAGTTTCTCTGAAGCGTGTTCCAGCCTGTCAACAGGTCTGGGTGTAGCTGATCACAAGAAAATGTAAGAAAATAGAAACCGGCCGACTTACACTCGGATTCATTTCGTTCATTTCCTGCGCCATCCCAGTCTCAACCTTGTCCCATTTCCTTGCTTTCCCTGTTTTCCCCACGGGTGCATTCACAAACATCATTTTCATACTCCAATCCTAAAGACAACTGGACAATAAACGTAATAGCACAGTTTACGAAAAACCCTTTTCATAAGACTTATTCTTAGTATTCATCCCTCCTAATTTGGGCCTGGACAGAATCATTTGCGGCCCAAGACGGAGTGGCCCCAGACGGAGTGATCCAAGACGAAGTGATCCAAGACGGAGTGATCCAAGACGAAGTGAGTCAAAGAGTGAGTGATCCCAGCCCAGGTGGCTCCAAACCCCAGAGTCCACCTGCATCCCATTTTCCCATGTTCCCATTTTCTCATTCGTCATGGGCCTGGATAATAACCTTCGTGATCCAAGGCGGAGTGATCTGGACGGAGTGATCCCAACCGTAGTGACTCTCAACACCGTTGGTCTGGCTGGAACGGTCCCAGCTGCACCCTATTTTCCCATTTTCCCATTTTCTTATTCGTCCTGGAGTAATCACTCTGACCCACCGACTCGGTTTGTAACTTTATTCCAGTTGTGTTCGTCATCGTCACTCGCGTCCCAGTTACCGATTTGGTTTCTCCTGCCCACAAGGGTACGCCACGTCCAAGCCCACGCCCACACCCACGCTCACGCCCTTGGAAATACACGCGGCCCCCATTTACGCAACTCTGGAATATGGCCGCGTACCATTTACCATTTTCCCATTTTCTGATCTCGCCCGATCCGGACAGACTGGCTTCCCAGATCACTGCAGCCCAGAAAGAGTGGGACCCTCTGTCTATAAGTAACCCTCCAGTTTCCCTCCATTGTTGGATTTTCTCTTTTTTTTCCTTCTTCCTTACACACTGCCCGATTACGTAAGAAGGATAACGAACGCACTACAGCAAGACATCATCAACCGATCAAGTCTGTTCACAGAGCAGTCCTGATTGTGTCGTGTACTCTTGCTGACGTTTGTGAAATGTTTTAGGAACTACCGTATCGAAAAACTACTCCCACTCAAAGAGTTCTATCATCATTCTTTGTGCCCCGTGACTGGTGATTGCTAACAGGTGACGCGCCTAGCCGACCATTTTCTCGCGAAAATGGGCATCCGATTCTCGAAGCTCCGAAAGGCGAAGCGCGTCGTGGACGTGGGGGTTGACCCGGTCCTGGGTTCTGATCCTTATGCCTTCAGGTATGAGGCTCAGGCCCAGGGGCCTAAGCCCAAGTACTACAACCCGGTGACCCATAGTTCGCACACGCGTACGGCATCTGCGACATGGGAGTCACACCCGGGAGAAGTACTTGGGCTTCCGAAACCCCCACCGGAAGCGACATCGTCGGAGGAGCGGCGTCGAGCGCAGGTCAGGCCTGTGCCGCCACGACAATCGGTGCAGACGGTCGAGTGGAGTAGTCAGAGTATGTTGTCTGCTTAGTTGAGTCGAGTGTGCCTTCATGACTTACCTTCCCAGGAAACGGTAGTCCGCGGAAGATGAAGTCAAAGTCCCGAAGGAGAGCCGTCCCTCGGCGAAAGCCGGTGACGGCGATCAATTGGGCAGGTAGCGTTCGGGAGCCTCCCAAATACGGCATATATGATCCCCGCATCAGAAAACAGCTTTTCTGATAAAGTAATCCGGCAGTGTGTCTTATGGCGGTGGATTGGTGGGTGTGGAGGTACTGTAGAATCCAGCACATGGTGGCATGGAGTTTGAGCTGACCTTCTTTTAGGATTTGGGGGCAAAGGTAGGGTTGTAGGTTTGCTGACTTATGCAGACAAGTCGGGGATCATATAGGGAGGCGAGGAATCGGCGAGATTGGGGTTGGGTTTAGGTAAGTTCATCAGGGTTATTTGTGAGGCCTTAGCTGACAGCTCTTCAGGATGGGGTCGGAGGGTCAGGTAGGTACGGTATACGGCGGAGGACTCAGGTGGGGGGCGGAGGATACGGTGGGGTTCGGAGGATTTGGGCAGCGTTGTTTTCTTGGGAGGCAGCGTTGATTTGGGGGATGGGATGGAGGATGGTATGGGGCTGGAGGATGGGCAGCGCAGCGTTGTTTTTGCGGAGGAATTGGGGGTTCGGTTTGTATCGCAGCGCTTTTGTTTTTGGCAGGGGAGCAGGACTGGGGGAAATGCTAACGTGATCCTAGGACCGACGAGGATTGGGGATGGATGGTTGGGTTGGTTTGTATCACAGCGTTTTTGTTTTTGGTAGGGGAGGAGGATTGGGGGAAATGCTAACGTGAGTCTAGGACCGACGGAGGACGAGGATTGGGGACGGAGGGTTGGGTTGGTTTGTATCACAGCGGTTGTTTTCTTGCGGGTGTTTGCTACCAGCGTTGCTTGTTTCTAGATAGCGTTGTTTTTCTTGCGGGTGGGAGTGCTGGGATGCTAACAGGACTTAGAATCGACGACGACGATATATTACAAGGGTGGAGGATTCGGCTTTTTTTCCTTCGGGATTCAGGTATGTGATCACTGACCCCGAATGGATGTGTGGACTCGACCCTAACAGAGATTGCAGTTTTTGTATTCGGTCGCTGGTGCTCAGTCACGACTGAAGACGGTCAAGTTGTTTTCGTAGGGAGTGTTGGGATCGCTGTGTGTGTTCGCTGACGTGGTTAGGCGCTGCAGCACGACATCAAGGATGATGTGCGAGGGATGTTCAAGCTTTGGGTTGAATGTGGAGGAGAGTATATGTAATGGCAATGTTTCATCCATAAGTGCAGTTCCATCTGGCTGCTCCAAGCGGAAGTAGTCTGGGCCATTGCCTGCCGAACTTGGTCCTGCAGATAAAAAAATGGGATACGTTGTGTCTGTATGTCGTGCAGCTTGCCAAAGGGGGAGACGTGACGTGTGAAAGAATGAATGATGCAATTCTGTGATGACTATATTATACAAGTGGCTTCTTCCACGCTTCCAGGAATTTCCAAGGGATCACCCCTGCGACATCACGCCCGTCCAGCAGGCCGGTGATCATGTCTAGGTCTATAGCATCCATGAGCCCTGAATGGCCATGTTGTCTAAACACACGAGTTATGCCCCAGGCGAAGATCGGTTGACAGCGCTGCTTGTCGTGATGTAGTTTAAGTATCTCCCATCTGAGGGAACAGGTTCGTCGAGTGTGATTTGCCACGACGTAGTGGATGCTGCCAGCCTCGCTAGGGCACTTCAAGCTAGGGCACTTCAAGCAAACAGTGCACCCAGGGGTATGGAAGTGACGTTATGAGTCCTCCTCATCATTGCTGTCTTTAGCAGTTTGAGGGTCCTCCGGCAGATACCTGCAGGCGATGCCAAAGGCGGCAGCAAGAGGGATCAGAATCACCCACGCCAGAAGGCCCCCGAAGATCTGACCATGCACTCCAATGGCAAAGATGGCCGTCGCGGCGCCGGGAACAATGGACCGGACGGCGCTGGAGAGAGTAAGGGCCAGAGCATTGAGCGTTCCAAGCACATTCGAGCTGGGCGAAACATCGTTGAGAGCAAGCTGGACGGCAATAAATGACATGGACACGCCGGGCCCCAGGATGGCGACTACCGGACCCAGTATCCAACACCAGGTGAGCGCGACAGGGCCTCCATTACGCAGGAGGAGGTTGAGCACGATGTAGGCGAGGAAGAAGAAGGGATACACCGCACCGCACAGCTTCATGATTCCTCGCGTACCGTAACGGTGCTGTAACGTGGGGAATGCGAGGAGCAACCAAGCGGCCTGACTAGCGCCCTGGAGAGCCATGAAGATGGAGATTTGGGAGTACCCCAGGCCTGCGCCGCCTAGGTCGATGGGCGTGAAGAGGACGACGGGCAGGATGGCGGTGAATGCAAAGGCCAGGAACATAACGTGGCCGTAGATCCACAGAACGACACCGACGCCAGGGGCTTTGACGAGCTCCCAAGTCGAGAGTGCGGGCGGGGGCGCCGCGGATTGGGCTTCTGTCTCGTCGGTGTTGGGTTTGTCGAGCGTCTCTGTGAGGAACAAGGCGCTTACAAGGAAGCTGGTCGCACTGATCAGGGCGGTGACGAAGCCTGGGAGCGCAAAGGGATAGTCCTCGAAGAACTTGACACCGCCGAAGACGCCGGGATACTGCTCGGCAGGATCCGCAAGGACGCCGCCGATGAGGGGCCCGATGAAGATGCCCAGGTTCCCCGCAAACGCGAACCAGCTGAACGCACGCGCCTGCGTCTCGGGGGTGCTGTGCTCCGCAATCATAGTCCGGATGATGAGGCCGCTCCCGGAGAAGACGCCAGCGAAGCAGCGGGAGATGAACATCTGCGGCAGCGAGCTCGACAGGCCAAAGAGCGCGGGTCCAATTGCCGTGCCCGCAAGGCTGTAGAGCAGGACGGGCTTGCGGCCGATCCGGTCGGCGAGCTTGCCCCAGCTCACCAAGACGACCATCTGCGTGGCCGAGAAGAGCGATTCGATCAGTCCAGAATAGAAGCCGACGTCGGAGGTCGGGAGGTGGCCGTTGCGCTGGACCATATCCGCGATGAAGGGAAAGATGCAGAAGAAGGCGACGGGCTCCGTCATGCGCGCGTAGCACAGCAGGAAGATCTGGAGCCCGGGGAGCGGCTTGCCACTGCCGGGGACGGCCGTCGCGCCGGAGCTGGATGGGTCGTCTCCCGAGGCGGAGTCGGCGATGCTGCCGGGGGACGTCGAGCCGACGAGCGTGGAGGCTTCCGTGTCCGGGTCCGCGAGCAATGCGCCGGTGCTGGAGAGCAACGGCGTCGTCTCCGACGCCTCGCGGTCGAGCCCCGAGCCGGGACTCGGGGAGCGGCGCTGCGATGCCGGCATGCTGGTGACGGACGGCCTGGTGTTGTGCGGGATGTTCGGTGTTTGTTTACCAGCCGCAGGATTGAGACGGCGCGACCGAGCACATTGGGCTCGTGGAAGCCAGCGCTAGATCGGACGGACGGGTAAGATGTCAGATGGAGGTTTCGCAATGCCGCAAGGTTGTCGTCGGTGCATGTGTAGTTGCGTGGGGTGTCACTGGGCATGGGCAAGGGGGCCTTGAAGATTGAATTGTGGAGCGGTGCCGACGTTACCGGAAGCAGTGCAAGGGAAGGTCTAGGGTAAATCGAAGCGACCTTCCTCTCTTGGCCACCCCGGGAGATTATGAGGGACGTTATGCTTCATCGAAAAGATAAGATCGTTAGTCTCCCCACACGGAATGCTTCTCGGGTTGGTTGCTATTTCTGGGGCCAGCTCCATGATGTGGGTTTTGAAGCCTTAGTCTTATTCTTAAGTTCACTACCTTCGTGGTAAACCGTGTCGGAGACCTCGAAATCTATTATATGATGCCTCAGTAACTGGAAATAAACCAATGCTACTCCATAACATATGAACACCCCTAAACCTCCTTGATAAGGTGTCGAAAGTAGTCCCTCACAAAATATGCCGACCGTTTCGGCCACCTCCTTCTCTCGGGGTCCTTAAAGTCAACCCATGTAACTCCGAATCGATCATCGAACCCTGCCGCCCACTCCCAGTTGTCGGTGAACGTCCAGCCAAAGTAGCTCTTGATGATGGCACCCTCCTGCGTAGCCGTCGCAATCTCTGTGAGGTATCCCTTGTAGAAGTCGATACGGAAGGGGTCCTCCAAGACGTCATCTGGGCCTGCGGGTTTCCAGTCATTCTCCCCCTGCGCAGTCGTGCCGTTCTCTGTGATAAAGATGGGCGTCTGGTAGCGGTTCCAGACCCAGCGTAACGTCTTCCCCCAGCCCCAAGGCGTGGTGCGCAGCCAGTATGTATCACTCTTGGGACCTCGACTCACGCCCTTCGAGTTCACGTCAAGCTTTTCGACGTTGCCGAGGTGATCGGTGAGTTCTGGCGGGGTGTCCTTGTGTCGTATATAGAAGGCCGAGTAGGAATTCATGCCGTATCGCTCAGAGCTGCCGAGGACGAGCTTGCTCTCCTCGGGAGTGAACCGAGGCAGACGATCGCCGAGCTGGGCTCGCATTGACGCCGGGTAGTCGCCGGTCAAGTACAATGGGTCGCCGAACCAACCAATCTCGAACTCGCGGGCACGCTGGGCGGCTTCGACGTCCTTGGGGTCGTCTTCGTCCCACGGCTCCGACCAATTCCCGTGCAGTGTGATCATGATGCTTCCCTTTTGCGTCGGCTGGAACTCCTTCTTGTACATGTCGCAAGTGTAAGCATGGGCTATTAACTCGGTGTGCCCAACGGTAAAGGGCTCGGTGCTCGAGTCTCCCACATCGTTTCGCTCTCGGAAGCTGGACCGTGCTGGGGCGTGGACTCCGGCGGCGTACCCGGCAAGACTAAACACTCCGGGCTCATTGAATGTGATCCAGTTCTTGACACGGTCGCCGAAGCTTTCGAAGCACACGCGGGCGTAACGGACGAAATCAGGGGTAAGCCTCTCCTTGTTCAGAAAGCTGCCGTACCGATCCTCGAGTGCCTGGGGAGTGTCCCAGTGGAACAACGTGACGAAAGGAGTGATGCCATTGGCGAGAAGTTCGTCGATTAGGCGGTTGTAGTAGGCGATTCCCGAGTCATTGACGGGATCGTCCTTGCCACCAAGGGGAATAATACGACTCCATGATAACGAAAACCGGTATGCCGTAACGCCATAATCCTTCATTCGTGCCACGTCCTGCTTGTACAAATCATAGGACCTCACGGCGTCATCACCGCTGCTACCGTCAGCCACTTTGCCAGGGGTATGGGCAAAGGTATCCCAGATGGAAATACCCTTGCCGTCTCGGTCCCAAGCGCCCTCGATCTGGGGAGCGGCGGTGGCATAGCCGAAGTTGAAGTCGGCAGGTAGCGCTCCCTTCAATTTGGCATCAAAGTCCCATTGGGAAGCCATTTTTCAGGGTGTTGCTGGACGGAAACCGGGACGCGGGGATCTTGGCCGGTCTGGAACGAACAATTGAGTACAGGAACATTATAACGGCTGGGAAAGGGCAGATATAGTCCTCCTCTTGAACTCATCCGCGATTGCTGTCATGCCATCTAACCCCACCAAACCCCGCGCTCGCGATGCGGGGTGTCAACCGGTTGATGGATTGATTCGTGGAACTCTGGAAGAATGCATCGGGCCACGGACCGACGAAGCGACGGGACGAGATCATGTGATCAGATGAGTGTTAAGTGTTGGAAGGAGCGATGAAAATGGGGCACCTAGGTAAGTACCTACCTATCTGCCTAGGTAGTAGGTCAGTAAGCATGGGAGTTGGAGCATCGCTTTGACCCGTGTTGGGTGTTTCATGCGGGTCAAAGAGCCAATGCTAACCAGGGCGATCTCGAATATAGTCGCCGATCCAGAAAACGGATGCATGGACTGAGGATCGGAGAACCGACTCGCGGGATTTCCCTAGTTAATATAGGTACCTGACTACGTACCGCCTCGATTTTGTGTGGCGTTGGCGGGAAGGGCGCCTGATTGCTCATATTTCAGCCAACAACCGGTGTGATGACGTCCCCCTGGACGCCAATGCATGCACCTCAGAAACATGCGTCTGACAGCCCGGCAATTGCTAGCGTACAGAAATGTTGACCTGTCATGGAGTGCAAGATGGGGATGGGGTAGGAATCAACAGAAACAGAGCACGTGGACCCGGTGTTTGTGAAGGCTCCCAACACCTCGGGAGTGTGTGCTTCACGAACCAGCAGAATCTCGACTCCGGCAGTATTTTTCCACCGTCATCATTATTCCAGTTCGAATACCTGGTTCGAAAATGGTCACTATCCGAGACTCGTGTTCTCGGTTCTCGGTCCTCGACCGACGACCGACGCATCTTCCGACGGTGTGCGATCCGCCCTGCCGCCCTTCTGTGAGATTCGGCACCCAAGACCGTTGTCTTAGCCTCGTACGATCCTCAGTACAGCATGCAAGCCACGATTGATCTTGGACCCATGGGATTCTCGAGATGGGAGGCGTCCAAACATCCAAATTTCCCGATGTGACATGGGCAACATATCCTGGTGATGTTCCAAAGCGCACAATCTCAGGGGAGAGTCTGGATCGGTACTCGTACTCCGCCGAGGAGATCTATTCGGGCCAGATCCAACACCCGTGCGCCTCTTGCGCGCCACTATCCTCGGTACGTACTCGTTACGGAGGGCGTCGAAGGTGTGCTTTTTCGACATGGCAAACCCTTGATGAGTACTCTGTACTGACTGTCAATAATCTTTTTGGTTCCTGGCCGGCAGTATGGCTACCCACCTCGGTGTCGTCGAGGCCAGTCGGAACAAACCCTGGCAACCCTGGGACCTTGCAAATAGAAACCTTGTACATACGTAGCCAGTAGCGGACGTTAACCCTAGAGGCGGGTGGTAGTCAAAGTGTATCGTCCTGACTCTCGAGCCACTTTTCCTTTCCTTTCTTTTTCTCCCGCCTCCCCGAGGCAGGGTTTGCATCCTTGTCGACAGGAGAGATGCTGGGAAGCGTTTTGAATTCCGCCCAGATTCTTTGACCGGTCTTCCATACTCGGCATACTCGGTCAGCACCGTGCCGGTTCTTGACTCTGAGCGCCGGTGGCCGGTGGTCGATGCAACCTAGTCGCGCGCTCGCGGGTGCCCACATGATACATCCAACCCCCAACCCCCCATTCCAAATTGACTCGGGCACGCCCCAGTGAGACCGAGACAAAGAGGCTTCTATGTGTCGGGGACCAAACCCAGCTCTGGCCAGTCATAGATTACCCCGGATCACTGATTACTGAACATTCATAATTGCTTGTGCTGGGTCGGTGTGGCCTGGTTGCCACAGAGTTGGGACCTCTCACGCATTCCTGGCTGAAACCCACTCCCAGGTACCGGCGCGAGGCGTCAAGCGTGGGCTAACAATGCCTAATACCGCAAGGGCCATGACGCAGGGTAGCAGGGGAGCAGGGGGCGGCGTCTTGAATGGCTTGGCAAGTAACCCGACGTATCGGCTGCCCTTCTGAATGGACATCTCCATCCCACATGGCTGCTCGTCCTTGTCGAAGAGCTAAATCACCTCCTCCCCTCTCGCTACTCTTCGTTGGATGCATGCATTGTACCCAGGGGATGCCTTAGACCGCGCCCCCGTCGGCATACTATGTATAGTGAGTAAATCTCCGGCATATCCTCCTGCGATTTCCCAGAAACATCGTCGCCAGATTCGTGGCTCGTTGCGTCGCTGTCCTCGCGGATCACGACGAGGCTGGACCGGCAAGAGAGTCCCGCCTTGCTTGGCGTGTCTCCCAGTTTTCCTTTTTTTCCACCGAGAAAAGAAACGAAACAGCCATACCCAGACCTCCCTTTTCCAGCTCGCCCGATTCACAACTGTGCTCACTCGACCGCTGTTGTGTGGCTTTCTGACACCATCTAGAACCCACAACCTATCGTTGTCTGTCACTCCAAGAGCCTCAATATTATCTCCTCCGCCTCCCATGCAGTGAAACGTGAATCAGAAATCAGGCTGGCGAATTGCCAGGCTCATTCATCTTTCACGAGGACTCGGCTGTGCTCTTGTTTCTGGGGTCTTCCCGCTTCTCGGGTGTGTACGTACATACGGCACGAAGGGGTGAGCTGCACATCGCATCAAGAGCTGGAGAGGTATATATCTAGGCATTCTCCCGGACATTTACGCCATGTTCAAACCCATTACTTCTCAACGAGCTTTCAAGTGCAGAGCAACAACGACTGAAGCTATTCGACATTCCCACCATATTCCCAAAATGCCATCCATCAGTATTGCAGTCCAACCTCCCCAGGAGGCCCAAGTTGGGGAAGCTTTATACCCATCCGTCATTGCCAAAATGCCCACCAGAAGCAGCGATGAAGGATACTACTTCTTCTCCATGGCGGCCTTGCTAGGGCACGATGGCAGTGTCATAGACGGGGCGCTAGCCGGACTCACACTCTCGACTGGCGTGGTGGTAGACTCCCATGTGGTTTTTGTTTTTCCTAATCTTTCCATCACGTTGCAAGGAGAGTACAAAATCAGGCTAGACGTCTACAAGGTTGCCTACGAAAATCCGGCTGGGGCTGCATTCAACACGCAGACAGAGACAAGGGAAATTTCCGTCGTGGAAAGAGTCGCCCATGAAGCCAAGCCATGTATGTACAACCCCCACAAACCCCCTGCCCCCCCCATCTTTAACAATTTCTGGTGACTTAGCTACTGCGGAGCGCAGCTACATCCGCACCCTCCGAGATGCTGGGCTTACTACGTAGTACGGTCCCATCTCGGTCTTCCTGATGCAGAGAGAGTGGATAGAGGGTGCAGATGGCCGGTGGGATCGGCAAAGATGGCAGGTGGGACAGTTTCCGACTAGAATAGAATGGGAAATGGTGGAATTTCGGGCAACGAGATGGTACTTTCTTTACTTGACGAGATTTCAGGGTTCTGGGAATGGCGCAAGGGAGCAAGGATGCGGGTTTCTAGCTGGCTTGGGACTCGGCTTGAACAAGTGGATCTAGAAGCTGTTGCTAGTAATGAATCAGGCTTCTAGGGACCTGGGAGATCGTCGGTTTCCCTAACGGCTACTACTGGGTTGTTTCACTAATTCATTCATTGATACCCCGTGACCGAAGGTGAGCGAGTCGGACCATAAAAATCATACACCTCTGGCCTGCAGCGTAGCCTCTAGGGCCCTTTTGATTTAGTGTCTGTGGGCCATGTGCGCCCGATTACTGCCACGCATCTAAAACATTTTACTCACTACAATTGGTTTTATTGAGGGATTGATATTGCGTTTAGCTGTACTTTGACAGGATGTGGTGTGGGCCAAGCATAAGCAAGTCGAGGCTACTCTGACCGGGTGTCGTAGCCGTCCCACGAGCCTATCCACCCTTGCTGACGCCACGGCTGCATGTTCTCCTCAGAGATAGCAGCCAAGATTTATTTTCCGCGATGCACCAAACAAAATGTCACTGATGAATATGTATTCGCCGAGGGGATTTACCCACAGGCCGTGGGTCAGTTTGGGCGACTTACAAGTCGGGAGCCTTAATTCCTTGGTCGAGTCTTCAACACACGGCGTAGCTAGCTAACCACCGTCGCAGAGACGGGCACTAAGGGAATCTTTGCAGCAGTGCAATGCGGATGCGGATGCGGTAGCGGTAGCGGTATTTAGTGCACGTGGATGATGGCCAAGCGGCACACGTTCTGGAGCCAGTGTATTCTTCCATCCCGCGTGTCATGTACCATGAGCCTGCGCAGCTCGGATGCTATTCGATGGATGCCACTTCTCTGGGAGGTTCTGTGATAGGTGGATCTGAGACATGCCTGACAAGCACTTGAGACATGCGGCATGGGCCCTGGCTCCCTCGTACAGTACTACGTAGTAGCCCAAGCTTTATTGACAGGAAGAAGCACAATCCATTCCCAAGAAATGACACATCGACTACTCCACAGCCTCCTCCACCAGACCTACATCAGCTCCGGAGAAGACGATCCCAACGCTAGCGATGGTCCACTGAAGACCCTTCCGCCCGGATTCCGACTCATACATACCGACCACATAGGGTCACGGGATGCTACTGCGCCAGCTAGCAAAAGGACAACGCTCCACAATGTAGACCTGATACCGTACAATGGGTATGGAAACAGCTACCCTGACTGACCGGCTCCTTGTTGGTTGTTCAATATCGTGCGCCGCGTCAGCCCATCCAATGACCCGATTCACCTTTCGTCCGGACCCAAGCCACATCGTTCATGCTTTTCGGATAACTGTGTTCCCGGGGCGTGGCGTTTTAGACCAATCGGGACATTTTCCAGCGATCTGTCGTCTTTTCCAGATCGTAACTCCGAGCGGCTGGTACTCTGATCGATTTGGGTAGATTGGGATCGGGCTGACATGTTTGCACACGCCCTTAGAATGGGATGTGGCGTTTGGGGCTTGGAAAAGTACAAATGGGAGCCCAAGTAAAAGAAACGTAAACTTAAACATAAAGATAAGAGGAAACATGGCGGGACAATGATGGAACTGTGAGTATCAATTACATTTTGGAACAGAGATAGCCCCGAAAGACAAGGGTAACCTGGGCGATCGGGGATGTTTGCCAACTATTGGAGACAACCGCTCGCAGCTTTTTGCAATATTCGCTTTTGGAACAATGAGTAAGTTAGCGCCAGATGACAGAAAAAAGAAACACTCAGCTTATGTTGTTTCTTTTTGTTTGTGCTTCGCTATTGGCTGAACCCGATGGCCCCGAAGACCCACCCCGATATTCTTCGGACGCTCCACCATTGGCTGAAGGGAGGGAAGGTCAAAGGCTGAAGCTGAATGAGACGGCACGGGGCAATGTGGTATTCACCGGCATGGTTGAGACTCAATGTATCTCGCCTCTTCAAACATATGGAGTGTACGTATGGAGTGTACATGTAGGGGAGACGGGCAATTACCCGCCATACAGGAAGAGGGGTGTTTCTTGGCGTTGGTACGGAGAGGAAGGGGAAAGAGGAAACTACATCCTAGACGCCGCCGACTTAAGCGGGACAACTCCACGCCGTCTTTAGCTGAAGGGGTATGTATATTACACATTGTGTTGAAGTCACAGTCAACAAGAGTCTCGTCGGCAGACCCGCATCTTGAATGGTCTCTCCCGTAGTGGGGGCTACAGCCAGCCAAGAAGAAGGGGGTATCGGCGAGGTGAGAGGGTCATGCATACATGCCATTTGGCAATGGCAAGGTCTGAGTTTCTGGTTACATCCGTGACTCTGGCTCCGCCCATGGTATGCGGTGGTAACAACGGCACTCCTCGGTGCTACTTTGCTGACTGAATCTCGGTCGATTCACAGCCTGCGGCTCTACCTGTCACTGGGAACTTCCGTGGAAGACCCCAGCCACGAGCCCGAGGTCCGGCAACTATCCATGGGTGTTTCAGGCATCCTGTTGCCACTAGTTCTGACAGCGGCAGCAGAGGGAGTGTGCAGTAGTACGCTGTTTAGCTGGGCCACTCTGTACTTGCTAGTCGGATCGAACATTGAGGGAGGGTGTGGATCAACATCTCCGAGAGTTATGTATGTGATAACTGATGGGGCCATGATCCCGGCTTAGACAGTATGGGTTTGCTTAGTGTCAACTGGTACAGGCTTTGAGATAGCTTCATCCTGGATGCAGGATTCGCCCGAGCTCCTATCCGGATTTGGCGTATGGGTCTGAAGTTGAGCCTGTCTTCCATACAACACCGACATACACCCAATGCTGACATACAGCCAAGACACGCCCTGCATAAAGAGTCATGAGCTTGAGCTTGACATGTCAAGAGCTGAAAGTAAGACATACAACCCCATCACGGCTCACCCAGTTACACGGCTCTGAATGTAAGAGTTGGCGGTGTGCCAGTGGGACCAACACATTCGTGCAGCGTCCAGGTGACAAATTAACACCCCACGATAATCCGTTTTGGGAAGACTGATAATTGAATAAAATATGCCAAAGCCAAACCGTATATATACATGTTGGTGACAATACCGAAACCACTTGCCTTCCAGGTTGCTGGCCAATCCTGCGTGTTGCGAATCCCCTCCCCAATCAAGGGTGACTTTTGGTGTCACGTGGTGTGAACCACCTGCTTCAGGGCATATCCAGCGGGTACTTCCCCGCTATCCGGGGCCTTTACCTTAGCGCATGAATAGCGCTAGCTCAGGGGCACACATGGGGATGTGCTGTTAGGGACCAAGTACCCTCGCATCACCAAATTTTTGCGATCCCCTCACTGCACGAGCCGTCCAGATAATGACTTGACGCATCTAACTCTTGTTTCCCACTCCCAAGCTGCGCTTCCACGGCCTGTGATTTGGTCAGCGAGTAGCTGTGCTGCACTAGATTCGAAAATGGTCTACTACTTCACCTCCAACGTCGTTGACCCTCCTGCCTTCGTCTACGTCGGCAAGGACAAGTTTGAGAGTATGCCCACTCCCACTCGCCGCCTGCGCTGTTTCCACAGCTGAAACATGCTAGATGAGGATTTGATCAAGTTCGGTTGGGAGGAAGATATCTGGTGAATATTCCCCCCCTGCCTGAACGCGTGGAAGCTTTCTAATTCCGTCACAGGGTGCGTCCTCACCCCCTACCATCGCATTAACTTGACTAGCACCGAGGGAACCACTGACCCATGCCCTCTTAGTTCCACGTGGATAAACTGTCCAGCGCGCATATCTATCTCCGGATGAGGGATGGCCAAGAATGGGACTCGCTGCCTGAAGAACTCGTCATGGACCTTGCCCAGCTGACAAAGGCCAACTCCATCGAGGGTATTCTAGCCACCTTGAACATGACGTTTTGCGAGGACTAGCTGACGAAGGCATGAATAGGCAACAAGAAGGACAACATTACGGTCATTTACACCCCTTGGTCTAACCTAAAGAAGGATGGCAGCATGGAGGTCGGCCAAGTTAGCTTCAAGGACCATCGCAAGGTAGGCAACCATCTCCCTTGCCAATAATGGCTGCCTTGCTCATGCGCATTACGCAGGTCAAGAGGGTACTTGTCGCTCAGCGCGAGAACCCAATCGTCAACCGCCTCAACAAGACCAAGGTGGAGCAGAAGCCCGACTTCAAGCAGGAGAAGGACGACCGGCTTAAGGAGCTCCGCAAGAAGGAGCAGGCAGCTACCCAGCAACGAGTACGTTCCCCTGATACAGAGACAAGCATAATGGCCCTCTTATTGACCAACAACAGCGGAAGGATGAGGCCAAGCAAGCTCAGGAGTGGAAGGAGAAAAAGTGGCAGAAGGACCACGCATATGATGATCTGTTCACGGAGGAAAACATGGCGGCCACGAGCAACCAGGACCGCGACGAGAATTGGGAAGATGATTTCATGTAGTCACAAGTCGTTCAATTATTGGCGACGTGCGGCGCCGCAGAAAGAAGTAATCACGAAAGTGGTCATACAGCATCCAATCTCATGAGTGGTACTTGCAATTCCCATCAATCCACTACATCACAATCTGCCAAACTCATCTCGCAAACAGGGTATCCGGTTCTCCAATTCATGGATGAACAACATATGAACAATTCTTATCCAATATTGACATAGCAAAAAATATTTCCGTTAGCCACTCACACCAATCCCCAGGCTTCCACTCAAGCTCATCTCGTCTAAGCGGCCCGTAATCCCTCCCACTTCGCTTGAAGTCTCAAGACGGATGGGGCTGGATGAGCCACGCTCGCTGGCACTGCAGCTCGAAATACCCCCTTGACGGTGACTAGGGCGGTCTTTGGTACCGACCAAGGAAGTTAGCTGAGGCGGGAGGTCGTCATCTTCCGGTTCCTCCTCAACCAGGTCATCCAGGTCCTCGTCAGGCTGCCGAGCTCGCTCGTCTGAGGGATTGGAGCCCTTCTGACCGCCCATTCTGACCACAGGCTCGCCCCCAGGAAGCTTTACTTCGTGGGCCTCCAGAGTCTCGGCAATGTCGACAAGTAGCATATCCATCGGGCAGATGTAGGCTGCATGTTTTCGCTGGCTCCAAGCGAGAACATGCCCGCAGAGCTGTCCGTGTCGGCGATCGATGACCCAAGCCCCGCTATCTCCGGGAATACCGAGAGGCATGCCCATCGGCTTTCCCTCGTCTTGTGGGAATCGGGCACTTGTAACCTGATATGTGTGGCTCGGAGAAGCCCGTCCGTAGATCTTCACGCTGGTAAGGGCAGGGAGGATCTGTCCCGTCTGCAGGCCACTCGTCCGTGCCAGACACTGGACCTCCATACCTGGCAAGGAAGTGGAAGGGGCAACAGTGGTAGGTCGCAGCAATGCCGCACCGTCTTTGTTTCGGCGGCCTAGCTTTTCCAGAGACGCGGAGTCTTGCGCTCGAGGGATCGAGTTATCATTGGGCATGCGGTTGTCGGTAAATTCGAAGAGAGCCCAATCGACCTCGTGGATGAGACCGTTGACCTGTTTCCTGCGAATGCCACTTGAGGCGTAGATTTCCCCAAGGCCGTATGTGTCGAGATGATCTTCATCTTCCGTTTCAATACAAGGGTAGAAGCCTTCCTCCACATCATCAAGGGCAGGTTGGGTAACGATATATCCATCACCACAACCAGGTTCGATACCTGGGATATCGCCAGGTTCATCGTATTCGTCATCTTCGTCATCCTCATCGTCCTCATAATCGCTTGTTACATCAGAATCTGAATACGCTTCTGATTCCGTGTCCGATAGGTCGTAAGCAAACTCGTCGTCAGCAGTGCTCTCTCCGCCAGACTCAGCGTACCAGTCCAAGTCAGGAAGAGCACTGCATCTTAATGCCTCGTCGTTTCCAAAGTCCCGATCCGGATCATCGAGCATGTGATGGACAGTCATTCCATAGGGTTTGTCGTCAATCATAACAAGACCACCCAGACTAACAGGGGGGAGGTGGCGATCACCGATCCAAGCGCCGATACTTGCCCCATTGCCCGGCCGCTCCTGATACTCTGGGTTGATGGCGTCGACACTGTCGCCACCTTGACTATTGGAATTGCTCCTTCGGGCCATGGACCTTAATACCGAATTCGGCTGGCGTCGCGACCTGAGGACTTGGCCGCGGCAAACCTTGAGGGAAAACCCGGTTGTACCGTCAAACAATTCGCTGAGTCTCTTGTTGAGAATTGCACGAACTTTGCCAACCGAGGTGCAAACGACAAGCACCGTGGGCTGGGTCTTTTGCGGATTCGGCCCAACCGACTCAAGAGAAATCTCTACCGACTCGGGGTGCTTGCGATAGAAGTGTCGGAGAGCGTGATTGATCTGAGGCATCAAAATTTTGTTCCATCTATCCACAAGTTCGGGTGCAAGTGGCACATGGGGATATAGTCGGACCTTTGTATCCGACTTTGTAGCAGATTTCCCCAGCAAAGGATCTGGAAATGGTTAGCAATCTAATCTAATCTTGCTTAAAAGAGGGTCTTACCATCAAGATCTGCATCTTTCTCAACCTTTCCGATCTCCTTTGTGGGGAGTGGTGTGGGGACCTCCACAGGTGACGGTTTCTCGCTGACAAGCTTTAATGAGCTCTTCGAATCCTTGCTATCCTTGCTGTTCTTGGACATGGAAGTGACAGAGTGATCGGTGAGAGACGAGCGGCCATCTGCTTGTTGCACTTCTTGAATGAGCCTCTCTTCGAGACCGCTCACACCGTCCAGGATGCAGCAAGCTTCCAAGAAGCGGCTCGCTCTTACTTGCACGGTGGAAAGCAAAGCCTCTCCGCTGGAGCGTCCGGCAAGCTCGTCATCAACTGCAATCCAACATGCCTGCACGGCCTTCATGTAAAGGCTACCACACCGGACGGCGAGCTGCTCCAGGAGGGATTCCGGAACGAATGTCGAAGCATCGGGAACAAGAGTTTCCAGTTTCGTCCATAGTCCCACTGAAAGCAACAGCATGGCTAAGGAGTAAAGGTCCAGAACTCGTTGATCTGTACTCTTGGCCAAGGGAGATGTCGGTACGTTGCGAGGATCGAGTGGATGACGGAAAAGGGTTGGCGCTGACGAAGGTGTGTCCTCGGAGAACAGGTCAAAGGAAGATACCAAAGGCCGGCGGATATCTACCTCGCCATTGCTGACGCCGGGCTCCGTGGTCACGGCGTCACAAAACGAAATATTCCTGTCGACAAGGTCGCCATGTGTAACTCCTCGGGCGTGCATGTCGAATACGGTGTTCATCAGATTGTGGGCCAATCTGAACTTCGCTTCCAGCTTAGGTTCTGAGCCAGGCTGAGAGAGAAGGTCGCCCAAGGTGGGGAGGTTGTAAAGAGGATTCTTGGTCAGGCGCTCGAATGAGACAGCATTGAAGGATGCAGGGAACCTGTAAACCAAGCCGAGCCTGGAATTTTCGAGATCTTCGAAGTATCCCAGAAGGCGAGGTAGGCCAGTCCAAGTGCCAGGTGATCGCTGGGGATCTTGTTGCAACCCAGCTGATAGCTTCTCAAAACGAGCCATTGGTGGCATGATGCCAGTCATGGCGTATATCGAGTCGAAAGTAGCATACTCGAGGAGCAATGGCGCCCAGGGTTGTCTCGCAGTTCCTTGAGTGAGTTCCGAGTACGCCGTTTTGCTCATGAAGACAACTTCGCGGGAATTAGAGCCCTGATCCCCTTGCCTGGGTCGCAGGTGAGTTAATGTCTGGGTGTCGATTTGTTGGGGAGTCTGCATTCGAGTTGACTCAAAAGGACGGAAATCTTCTGAAGTTGTTGACGATTTAAATGGTGTCTTGGGTGGTCGGCGAAGGGTCGCGCCAGATGAGCGCGTGCGAGAGAGGTCGTACAGAGTGTCGATGGATGCAGTGAGGTCATTCACCAAATCTTCGAACCGGCCCTTGTCCCACTGGACTAGTGGTGGTTTCGAGTCTTTTGAGGTCTGAGGTCCCTGAATCATGCGCTTGGAGCTGAGCCACAATGGCTCTGCCTCAGCTAGAATGTCTTTGATTGTCGACATGATACTTCCCACAACCTCACTCAAGCCAGCTTTTGATAGAGACTCATCGATCTCGGCGGATTGGGTTGGGTCCGACCACTCGAGGCCCCAGCTGACAAGTCGGTCTTTCTGGATGCGCAGCTTGCGATGCAGCGCCTTGATCTCGGGGTCTTCTTCATTTTGGACGGGCTCCTTGACGAAATCGCTCGATTTCTTGGTGTCATTGTAAAGCCGACTGAGACGCTTCTGGAAGGGCAGCTGGAAGCCGCCCAGTGGGAGAAACGATTCCATGGCGGTCCTTTGCTTCTATATCCCTTTGTTCGATGCGAATGCGACGTCTGCTGTCGTCACCTCCAATGGCGTGGGGACGTTGCCGCGTGATGTGTGCAATAAGCGGCCGGGCTGAGGCGGGGAACCGATGTGTTTAGTGAGGCTCAACAAGAGGCGTGCAGCTGAGCTAGCGCCAGTGCGTCGGCATGGTCTTGGCGCGCAGTTGGTTGTTTCGAGGGTCCGTCTAAGAATCGGCTTCACACGCGGGATATGCAGAATAGAGACGGTGAGCTCAAGGAGCGAGGGGTTCCCGTTGATACAAATGAGGAGCTGTTATCTCGGTGCCTGTAGCGGATCTGCGTTACGGCCTCATTGCGGCCATTCCTTGGATTCGCGATGGTACAAAATGCTGCTGCCTGAAGATCAGCAGCTCTTTGATTGGTCGGCATGATACTACACACCTGACAATCCGAGTGGATGGGACACGGGGATTCTCTTTTCCGCTCCGCTCTTGTCACAGGACTCATCACATGACATAGCAACCGCAAAACCCGTGCTCAAACCCGTGATCCGTAACGCTGCTGCCTCCTGGACATGAGCGAGGGTGGATGATCCACAAATAACCCGCCCGATTCATCATCTTCTAACGCGGGTTAATTAATTTTCATTAATCACAGGGACTCCGACCCCAGTTCACCGTGTTGATACTACGTAGTATGTAGTCGACGACGACTAGATCCAACCATGCAAAGAAGTCAAGCGACGATCATGAACCTGGCCAGACACACGTTCCTCTACAACCCCTTCGGTCTCGGTTTATCCCTCTCTGTTGCATCGAGCTACGACGGTTGTGGTTTCGAGTAATTGTCAGGCGAGTGCCGATGAAGCCCCCTGTCAGGACCCCGAAGCGGCCCGTTATCGCTACCACTTCTTCGAGGAACAAGGCTCCCGTGCCAAGTCGCAGCGGTCGATCTTGCTGGGGACCCCAGAAGTGACTCCATTTTCGACGTCGTTTCTTGGCCCTAAGGCACACACTGCTGACGGGGACAAGGTCTTTCTGCAGTCTACTGGATCCAACGTTCAATTGTCGACTCATGATAATATCCTGCATGGATCCCGCATTGATCCTGCGTTGAATCTCATGGGATCCAATATTACACTGTGGCCTTGACAGACGTCGTACACGTCCAGACTCTCTTGCCGACGGCTCTGTCTTGGCCAAGGATGATCATTTCATATTCGTTTCGTTGGGGTACATGGTCACCAATCAGCCTCTGTCGTGCAAACTGTTGGATTAACTAAGAACCCCATCATAGCTCTCGAAATGTTTCGACAACTTTAGAGTTTCTGTCGGTGGCACGGCATTTCTTCGCCGGTCGGCCGACGTCAGCGCCGATCATGCCAACAGGTACCCTCGACTGTGACAAACTCGAGCATCGCGGATTTCTACCAGTCACTTCTACAGGGCAGCGTTTACTGAGCGACTTCCAATAATCTTCCAGCTCCTCTCGGCGCCAGGACTTTGCATTTCCTTTGTCTATCCAATACGCCAGGGGTCACCACCGTGGAACGAAGCTACTTACATTGCCGTCGAAACTATTTACACCATTAATCGTAACGCGCCATCGGAACTCACCTTGTTGGCGTGTTCCAAAAGGATCCAGTGTCGCAGTTTTAGTTTGTCTTTTGCGAGTACTCCACGCTGTATTGCATTGTCTTTTGGATAGCCCCTTCTTGGCCGCTCTGCCATTCAGGTCCAGTACTCGGCCCGCTTTGGATGGTTGCGCCTAGGATGCTCTCCTCGCTGCCCGTGGATCCAGGCTTCTTGATAGAGTTCATTGGTATTCCGCCATTGCCATCGATCTGAATCCATTCATTCTTGTCTCGCGCCTGGCTGTGCGCTGTCATGAAGGACTTGGTACCGTAACCTTGTGAGCCGTACTTTTGGTTGTTGCTGCTGCTCTTGGGCATCAGCTTGGGGAACAGTTTGACAATCACAGGTCGGATCATTGGGAGACAGGCGCAGACAATCGCCACGTTCATCTCGATGACCGTCCACATGGTTGAAGAAATGTCATATGTTACGTCGGTCGATGTCGCCGCGATGTCGATAGTCGTGACTCGAAGACAGGAAGTGACGACAACGAACCCTCCAAGAGCAAACACAATTACCAGGGCCGCTTTCTGGGCTCGTTGAATCTGCAACTGATACACAAGCGCCATGGGCATGAAGAGAATTATGAGATCCGTCGCGATGGAGAACCCGGCATTGGCGTACCAGAACGTGCCGCTGTCGATGCATGTTCCGTCGATTGACTTGTCGAATGCTCGTGGGACCGGGCTGCATTGGAAGATGGTGACGGTAACGGAAGCAATGCAGTACACGATGACGGACACGACCAAAAACCAGCAGAGCCACTTGAACCACCGGATCTTGCCAAATATTCGCAGGTAGAGCAAAAGGATCGAACCCTTTGTGAAGTTGATGGACGCTTTGTACGTGACTTGACACACATAAAAGTACTGCAACGATATATCAGGTCAGAAGCTGAACCTAGCAACCAAGTGTCAAACGAAGAATTACTAACCTTGAGAGCCTCAACTTTGTTCGCGGGTTTGAGTGTAGCGACGTGGTGGCCAAATCCAAAATGGCAAGCTAGGAGAATAAGTCGAAGGTCGAAAACATCAGGCTCACCCAACTTACATGCGATTTCCACTCCACTCGACAATAACGCGAAGAGCTACCAAGTGAAGAGGTTAGATCCTGGGACTCTTTGAAAGGGTGGAGGAGGCCGTGGGTTACCAGAGATGCGAAGATGGCATAATCATCGGCACCAAGATGTCCACCTTTCCTAAGCCGTGCCCATACTCTGGTCACAACCAACACAGGGCATAGTACTCCGAAGATGGCAATAGGGATATATAGCATGTGCGCATTGCTTGCTTCCGAGTCCAAGCTATCTGTCGCCATGTTGGATGATGGTTGTTGGAATTGCGTATGGGGTTGTCAGAATTCGTCAGGGGGTCGGGGTCAAGTTAAGGATCGTCGGGAGCTCCAAGTTATATGGGGGCACTCTTTCCTGGAAGGAGAAGCAGCGAGAGCCTCCTGTACCTCAGATAACCAGCTATGCGTTGAAGGCAGGGGATCGGGGGCAGTCGACCAGCGTGAACCGGCTCACAAAGACGACATTCGGGGTGATATACAACCCAGAGACGGTCTCACCACTGCGAAGCCTGGGTCGAAAATTAGGGCAGGTCGTACTGTGGCCCTCTACCTTTGACGAACCCGTACAGAGCGGCGTGTGCGTGTACTTTTCTTCTCGACGACACTCCCACGACGTTTGCTTCGCTGAGGACTTGATGGAGGGGGGTGTTTCCAAGCAAGCCCATCCTTGTCGTCATTCGGAAATCAGCCGCAGTGGTTCGAGCATGCGAGTGGGAGGTTAGCATAATGAGCAGGCGAATCGATCAGGGGGACGAGACGGAATCCGCTCATTCAGGGGTCGTGATGCAAGCTTTACTCCTCTGCGGAGACGGGGAGAGTGGCCTCGATAGACCGGCCCACGCCCGGTGAAGGAGCGTCGCCTTGGAGGCGTTGCAATTCGGTGCTCTTGCAGCCACTCAGGTGGCTGGAACTGCTTCGGAGGTGTCACTCTGCGACGGCTTAGCAGAAACTCGGATATTGGAACATGGGGGTTTTTGCTTTTGTCACTGACACCCATGGTGTTCAGTCATTGAGGATTCGCGTATTCACCCGCGTCTCGACCGACGATCACTCCTATCGTGGACGGTGGACCTGCAGCAACGGAATCTGTAGCCCAGCTGCATCCATGCCCATGTTGATATTGTCAGAGGCGAAGTACGAATAGCTCTTCCCGAGACCGACTGAACCCACTCGGACGGGAAGTGGTGGCTTGAAGCTCGCCTCGCGAGGTTCAGTGGACGGGACAGCGGGCGTTGCCAAGGGAGGCAGGCTGAGCTGGTCAGGGTACTTCTTCCGCTGACAGATTCAGATCCCGCGCCGCGGCCGACTTGGACGGGGCGTTTACTACCTTACGTAGTAGAATCAGGGTGGGCGTTGTGGAAACGTACCAGATCTGAACCCTACAAGTCCGCCCCATTTCTACGATGAGCTTGCCCTGAGGACCTGTCAACTACGACGATTGCACATATAGTGTTGGTTATTGCGATCGATCCCGAGTCCATGGCTCGCAGTACCGGGCTGACGGGCTCTCAAGCCAACAGTCCGTGCCTCGATCCGGCGTTTGCGCTGCTCTTCCCATCGGATCTGCGGTCTGTTTGCAGATGATTACCTTGAAGGGCAACGGACGGCCATCACGCCAGGACTTCCGCCCTTCTGGCAGCATACCGCACAGACGAAACGCCGGGGGGGCTGGCAGCGAATCCTACGGCCATGGGATACGCGGACGCGGCGTTGCATGCGTAACTCACGAGGAGGGATCCCAGCTCCCGTGCGACGTCCCTTTGCATCTGTGGAGCCGGCATGGAGCCGGGCGAAGATGTGGTTGTTGGTCGTGGCCTTGCTACGCCCGTCTTGCCACCTCAATCTCGCGTCGCGGTTGGTTGTTGGGTGAAATGGGCAATCAACCCTTGCTGGCATTGTGGCAGCGTCCCGATGCCATGGAAGCTAATTGTGCTGTATGATAACTCATGCATGGGCAAAGTCCCGGTGGAAAAATTCAGCAACAAAGGGATCCCGAGAAAAGCCACCTCGGATCCGAAGCAGTTCCATCCATTAGTCCGTAAACCGCCCAGCTCGATCGGCAACGCTTGGTTGTATCTTTGTCACATCGCAAGGCGGCGGGTGGGGGAGAGAGATCAACGCGGCTTCTCCAGTTAATGTCCTGGGGAAGCAGCCGTCCCATCGCCCCGTACCGTTCAAAGAGGCCAGCCCGTTCTAGACTAAACCCAGGGGCCGTTTACGAAATCTCCAGTTTGCGAGAAATGGACCGTGGCCACTTCCCCCGGCTCTCCAAAGGCCAGCCGGGGTGTCCAGGGTCCAAGGCGCATTTGCATTGGATTTAATGATGGAATGCGACTCTGTGTTGGGAGGATGCCGCCGCTGCCAGACCCGCTACTGACCCGCTACTGACACCGGGATCTAGGGCTCTAGCGCCTGACGTCTTGGCTTTCCAGTGGCTTTCCAGTGGCTAGGTGCACAGGGGACACAGGGGATACAGGGGACGGGAAGCGGCCGCTAGCGACGGCACTGGCCACATTGGCATCCGGTACATGGGCGGCTGGTCACTTGTTTCGGCGGGACTGGGGCTCTGTGATTCTGTCAGGCCACTCTGGATACTCCTCTGCAGCCTGGACATGTCAACTTCTGCCGACTGTGGATGTTTGGCTTTTCTCTCTTCTCTCCAATGCAACCCTGGGCGGCAGTTGTCGACGCGTGTGGCACAGTATGCTCTGCTACCCTGTGGCGTATTCTTCAACGGTGTTGCACGCGGCAGTCAGTGTAATGTCGGAGAGAGCCGACTTTCGGAACTGGACGTCGGCGAGACGAGGCTGCAGATGCAGATCCCTCCAACTACTGAGGTGATGAGGCCCGCGACGTCGTCACTTGTGCAAGGGCAACCGAAGGATCACCCTCACCACGGGCTAGAGGACAGCCGCTTGCAAGACAGATCTCGCCTCATCTAGGAATGCAATCGCAGCTGCCCCAATCATAGGGCGTCGGGTACGAAGTTGACGGATCGGCGATTTCGCATCGTTCGACCGTGTGCCCCCGTGTCGAGACCATCGACAACCTCCGGAAGGCGACCTATCGCACACAGCAGCAACCCCCGTACGCCTGCAACGGGATCCTCGTCAGCACGGGGGTAACCCGGGGCTTTCAGCTCCGTGTTGCGCGGGTCTTCTCGCGGGGGTTCTCTCGCGGGTTTCCTCCCGCAGTTCTCCTCTCGCAGGGCGACCTGTCAACTAGTGGCGGACAACCACTCACAAGCATCACCGGGGGTCCCTGATCAGCCGACAACCATCTCGACACAGGCTGCTCGCTTCCTCTTGTTGGTTGATCCGGAGCCCCCCATCATCCAGTCTCGCCTAGCACCCGTCCGGCCTCCCTACCACAGAAGATCATCTCCCCACAACACCACCCCACTCAGAGGCACACCTCTGATAGACTCAGTCCTACGGCCGCCTCCCTTGGACCATGGCAAGATGACAAGATTTCGGCCTCAACCTCGACCACTTCCCGATGCGACATGGACGGCATGTCTAACCCTTTCCCACGACGGGTCTCGTCTCCGTCGAGGCACCTGGCGCACGAGGAATCAACCGACTAGGGCGTAGGCAAATCGCTCCGGGCCATCGGTTCAGGTACGACTGCTCGCAGGATCCCGCTCCCCTTGCCAACAACGTGCCACCAGTTCCAGAAGCAGGAGGGGGAACCGGTAGATGGTGTTCCTTAGTGCCCTGCCGACCTTGGCGCGGAAACCCGTCGCGTTGCGCCCCTGGAAAGTGTTGCAGGAAAAATGGGAACTCGTTGGAGGTGTCAATATATTTGGCTCGGCCGTCCGGCTGCCGTCTTGTTGCTTTCCTCAGCGAGTCCTTTTGTTTTCCTGCAGTGTGCTACCCACTTGAATCTGCAGATCAGCTACCTGTACTCGGGTGGATGTTGATCTTCGTTCCATCCCGGCCTCCCTTCACATTGCCCGCTGTTGCTCTTTCTCCCTCGTTGTCTCTCGCTCTGCATACCACCTCTCAGTAACCGAGTCAATTTCCCTCTACCTCTCTCTGACTTCGCCATGTCGATCAGTGAGGGTAAGTCGCCTACGGTGTCGGACGAGCAGCATGTCCCCAGCACGCCCAAGTCCGTCGACCAGCTTGCGCCTATCGACCCCAAGGTCGAGCGCAGGCTGCTCATGAAGCTGGATCTATGCATCTACCCGCCGCTGTTTGTCATCTACATGATGTCTTTCCTTGATCGCATCAACATCAGCAATGCTCGAATTCAGGGCATGACCGAGGAGATTGACTTCTCGGGCAACCGCTTCAATATTGCGCTTTTTGTAAGTTGATCGCATCCCCATTGCGACCGAAGAAGTTTGTCTAACGAGAGCAGATCTACTTTGTTCCTTACATCCTCCTCGAGGTCCCTTCCAACATGCTTATTCGAAGGGTCCGCCCGTCTCTGTACCTCTCTTGCCTCATGTTCATCTGGGGCATCATCAACATGTGTATGGGCTTCGTTCACTCCTACGGTGCCCTCGTCGCCTTGCGATTCCTTCTTGGAGCCTTTGAGGCCGGCGTGCTCCCCGGAATCATCTACGTTACTTCCATGTACTACAAGCGCCATGAGTTCCAGAAGCGCATGTCTTTCTTCTTCTGCAGCACACTGATTGGAGGCGCCTTTGGTGGTCTCCTTGCCTACGCCATTGCGCGGTTGGGTGGCGAGAAGGGCATGAGCGCCTGGCGATGGATCTTCATCATAGAGGGTGCTATCACGGCTTTCCTGTCCATCTTCGCCGTCTTCCTCATCGCCGACTGGCCCGAGCAGGCTCGTTTCCTCACCGCAGAGGAGAAGGAGCTCGTCCAGCGCCGCATTTCTGAGGACACTGGTGACGATTGCCGCATGGACACCCTCAACAAGTTTGCCTACACTCGCATCCTCCGCGACTGGAAGATCTGGCTCGGCGCGTTCATCTACATGGGTATCGGCACAACCGGTTACGCTGGTGTTTTCTTTATGCCTACCATCCTGCTTGAGTTCGGCTGGAAGGCTCAGGAGGCCCAGGTCCGAACCATCCCCGTCTACGTGCTTTCCGCTGGCTGCATGCTCCTCTCAGCTTGGGCTTCTGATCGGACCAAACACCGATATGGCTTCATTCTGAGTGGTGCGTGCATTGCTACCATCGGATACTCGATGCTGCTTAACCAGGGGGACAAGACTCGCGATTACAAGTTCGCCGCTGTCTTCCTAATCAACGCGGGAGGTTACATCGCGACGCCCATTGCCCTCGCCTGGCTGCAGAACAACCTCTCCGGACACTGGAAGCGAGCCTTCGGCTCGGCCATCCAGGTCACTTTGGGCAACGTTGCCGGCATTATTGGCGCCAACATCTTCCTCATCAAAGAGAGCCCTACCTACAAAACTGGTTACGGCACCGCCCTAGGCATGATGTGGATGGGCACCCTCGCAGCCACCACCATGTTCGCCCTCATGTGGCGAGAGAACAAGAAGCGTGCGGCTGGAGAGCGGGATAACAGGCTGAACCTGGCCGACGAGGACCGCAAGAACATGGGTGACTGGCACCCCAGCTTCAGATTCACTCTGTAAGCGGTGTACATTGTAAATACTTTCTAGCACGTACCGTACATAGCGCTGAATGGCAAGATACAAGTCTTAGTCAATGCTTCTCCAAGCCCCCTGTAATGTTTTGATGTTTTACGTGACTTTGAGAACGCACGATGCATAATACGTAGCATTTAATAATAATAATCATATCAGCCTCCCGTGCCACACCTTGTATATGTTTGACGGCGTACTTTGTGAATGACTTTAAGAACGTACAGTGCATACATACCATGTCATATTGATTCGCAAGACGCCCCATCTATGTCAACACTTAGTCTCCCCCCGTACCCGGGGTATTTTATACAAGGATTCCAATCACCATAAAGAACAAGCTCTCAGCCCCTGTCTCTCAGAAATCACGCCCGTCGTACTCCAGTCCATTGCGCATTCCGAACCACGAGCCCCGACAGCCCTGTCCAAACCTAGCCAGCGGCCACATAGCCCCTGTTATGCTGCCTCAACGTTGCATCTTCCATCTATCCCTTGGCATCGGCCTTGTCCTTGCCCCGGCCCTGGCCCATGTCACGCGGAGGTCGCATGCTGCTTCGCCGACATCCTGCCGCATCCTTCGGGACGGCGTCCCTTGCGAGTATTCAAATACGGGTGCCACGAGGCGTAAACTCCAGCCGGTATTCCCTTTCCGTGGCTTGCTTTCGCTTTCGGGTCGTTCTCATCGGCGGAATTCGTCCACATTCATCCCGGCGAGTTGGAACCGATGCTGCAAGACCCCGGCAACCAGCCATGCCGTGCCATTCCACGAGACCTAGCCAACCTCATGAGATAACCACGTTCAGGCGAACACATTCCCCTCTCTCGTGCATGCGGTGAACTAGATGCCACAATGCAGGCTCAAGGGTAGTGTCGGGGAACGGGTACAACAACCACAAACCTTCAAGCGTGATGGCTATCTTCAACCCCGGCTTTGAGCAAAAACCTTGCCACTAACCTGCTAGATGGTTTGATATTGGCTTTCTTCAGGAGGCAGATTCAATATCCCGTTCAAGGTTGCAGTCGCTTCGTCACCTGGCTCTAGACAGGCCCATGCCGTATCACCTCGTGGCGTTCACGACGTGCGTAATCAACTCATTACATAGCAAGCAATCCATGTCGCTCCGTTTTGAATAAAGCTGAGTTATCACATTGCTAATGCTCGCATTACCGTCACTCGGGGTGGATGGGCCAGAGAAATTATTCAAACGGAGGTATTCGTAAACATTGGGTATGAGATGCAACTCCTTTTATCAGTCGAACAAAGGGTCCACTTCTAGCTCCTCACTTTGACACTTCACGTTGACTCCTGAATCGGCACCTCACTTAGGAGAAGCTACAATGAAAGATCAAAGCGTTTAGAATGGGTATATTAAAAATTCACTTTTCATCTCTCATCTATCTTCGACAATGGACCGAGGTCTCTCAAGAATTCTTTGCCAGAAATGTCCTGATGTCCCAATGTACTCATGTACGCCGTCTAGGCCTTTTCATAACTCCATCTTTACATTCTGCATTATGTTAGCGGTGTCTACTATCAATAGGACACAAATAACCTACCGGTTCACGGGCGACAGGCCCAGCAATTTCATTGCATTGCTCAACACGATTCGGGCCGAATCATACAGAGCCATACGAGCCTTTTGGAGCTCCTTCTCACTGCCGACAATTCGGAGCTGGTCATAGCTAGAGCTGACAGCATGGGACATCTTAAAGAGGTACGTCAAGATGGTGGTGGGCTCAAGGGTCTTGAGGGTGTTTTGAACAACATCGGGCCACTGGGCGAGGAGGCGGATCAAGTCAACAGCGTGCTTCTCAGTCAGGAGGCTAAGGTCAGCACTCTCCAGCTCCTCGTCACTAAGGCCAACCTTTCGGCGAATAGAGCAGAGACGAGCGTGAGCGTACTGGAGATAGGGGCCAGTGTCACCCTCGAAAGACGTCATGGTCTCCATGTTGAACTTGTAGTTGTTGATACTATGCCCGTTAGTAAATATTGCCCGCTCGAGTGTCTAGGGGAGTACATACCGCTTTCCTGACATATCTTGAACCATGACACTGCTGATGCCGAGGATATCGGCAACGGCCTCAGGATTCTCAATCTGGGCGTACTTGGACTCGTTCTTCTTCATCACCTCGTGCATGGTATCGGCGACATCACGAAGGATGTCATCGAGGAACTTGACAGTGCCCTTACGGGTGCTCATGCCCAACACAAGACCGAAGTTGATGTGCTGGCACTTCTTGGCAATATCATCGTGACCCATGAGCTCAACGGTCTTGAAGAGCTGCTTGAGATGCAGGTCCTGGGCAGAAGCCACGACGTAGATCATGTGATCGAAGTTGTATTCCGCGTTTCGGTTCAGGAGCTCGCTGATATCTCGAGTCAGGTACAGAGCAGTGCCGTCTCTCTTTCGGATAACGGCCTTCTCGAGGCTCTTTCCAGGCTTGCCAGCGACATGCTTTGAGAAGTCAATGAGAACAGCACCGTCAGAATCCTCGGACACGCCCTTCTCGAGGAGAACCTTGGCAGAATTCTCCATATCGGACTCGGGGACCTGGCTCTCTCCGGAGTAGACGTCAAACTCAATGTTTAGTCGAGCGTAAGTTTGCTTGTATCGCACAATGCTGAGATCTCGGAATCGTCGCCAAAGAGCGACGGCCTTCTCGTCACCGTCGGTCATTTGTCGGAAGTACTTTCGGGCTTGCTCATCCAAGCAGTTGGCCAAGAGCTCGGTAACATCCTCGCCAGCCTTCTTCTTCTCTTCGATGGTCTCCTTCTCTGCGCTCATGTCCTGGTTAATCCGGACGTAGAGGTTGAAGAGATGGTTGATGGGATCGGCGAGGAGGGCGTCCTCCTCACCCCACTTCTCCCAAGCAAGGGCCAACAAACCGTACTGCTTGCCCCAGTCACCCAGATAATTGATTCGGGTGACATCCCAACCAGCTCCCTCGTACAACTTGGAGAGGAAGCCACCGATGATTGTACTTCGCAGGTGACCAGCGTGGAAGGGCTTGGCAATGTTGGGGGAGGAGAACTCGACAATCATCTTCTTCTTGCCGGAGTTGGGATCGTTGGGGTCCTTGAGACCATTGTGGGGGTTTCTGCCGAAGTTTTCGCCCCGACTTCGGATGGTAGGGAGGAGGAAGTTGGTGAGGGCACCAGGCTTGAAGAAGAAGGAAATAAAGGGGCCGGCAGCGGTGGGCTTCTCGATCAAGGGCGATTCGGGAAACTGGTTCAAGGAGTCAGTTTGAAACCCATTGAGTCATTGATTCACCAGTTGTGGTTGCGAGAAACCGGTGCTACTAACCTTGGCAATCCACTCGACAGCCAGGTCGTTGGGCTTCTTGCCCTTGACACGGAGAGCAGGGACGGCGAGAATGGCGTCGCCCTTGTCGAGGGACTGGGTCCACTGGACAGCCGGATAGATGAGAGCAGTGTCAATTCCGGTGACCTCATGCATCAGGGAGGTGATGTGGGAACGGTAGACGTCCACGGGGTTGGTCTCGGGGAAGCAGTTGGGATATCGCTCGACCTTGTCGAGGCCGAGGCGCTCGAGCTGGGCGGCCAGCGCATTGGGGTCGACTGAAGCCATGGTCTTGGTGGAGTAGTATTGGTGGTGAGAGTGGGAGTGGTATCTCGGGCAGCAACGATGTCGGCTGTGGGCTCGCTGATGGAGCCGCTGCGTTTGTTGACGTTGGTACTTCTGCTGTGGTTGCCGCGGGACAATCAAGGGCCGTTGGAGGATAGAAGAAGACCAGCGAATACGGGGAATCGACGCGGGCAAAGAGGAGGGAGAAGAAGAAAAATTAGGGGAGCAAATGGGAATGAAGCGGCGCGAGAGCATCTGCGCCGGCGTGCGAGTGGCAGTGGGAGTGTGACTCAAGTGGGCAAAGGGCTTTTTGCGGTACTGTGGGTGGCTCTTGCCTCATGCAACCTGCACCGCAGAGCTTGTCGTGCCTGCCAAACTGCGACTTTAGCGCGGGGCATGGCGGGGCCGCGTTTCTCCGATGCCGTTACCCCTCCTTGGCTACCCTAGACCTGCCCCGCAACACCACGGTTGTGACGTTCGTCTTCTCTACAAAGGGCATCGCCATGGAATTAGAGTCTGAGATATACTTGATGATGGTGTGGCAATTAGCCAAAAAAAAAAAAATCCAGTAATGAACGAAGAAATATTAATTTTGGAGGTTTATGTTTCACCATCGGCTCTACCAGATAAGTATTTACAAGTATTTACGAAGCCAGAATAGTATCGCAAGCCAACATGCCTCTAAATGTTCCTATATTTCCATAATCTATATACAATTAGGCCTCCTGACAGCAACCAAGTTTCATATTTATCCGTCCAAAAGATTGTTTATCTAGTATACAATTCACATTTGTTAATCACCCCTCCTCGTTCTCATCGCACGTGTCCTATGCGTACTTGATGCCAAACGCGGGTGACTCAGACTTGTCCCAATCACTCGTCTTCTTCTCATCCCCAAAGATCCTCAGCGCCCGGTAAACAATCTTGTACATGCCCGCGGGCGCATAGCTGCCATCCGCCAACTCGCCAGTCCACGGCATCGAGTTTTGGCCCATTGAGTTCCACAGCATTGGGAAGTCCACGACCTGTCCAAAGCTGCCGTTACTGGGCACATCGAAATCGCCATTCGTCAAGTTGGACTTGACGGGGACAACGTCGGCGCGCAACTTGGAAGAGCCGAGAGCAAGGAACCAGACCAGCGTCGGGAACACGGCGCTCGTGGAGTTGAGGTCCTCCTGGTCGGTGATTGTGCCGGGCTTTGGGAGCGTGAATGTGGTGTTTTCGGCGACGGGGAGTTTTCTGTCGTCGCTTGACTTGCTGATCCAAGTGTCCTCGGGACCTAGCACTTTCGAGTCGTGTAAGGACCCGGTGAGACCCTGGTATGGAATGGACAGCGAGCTTCCGTCTGTACCGTTGATGGCAATATATCCGGACCAGACAGGAAGACGAACCGCCTGAAGTCCGTTTGGAGGAGTGGGGAGGACCTCAATAGTCACGCTCTTGCCAGCGCCGACGGTGACCTTGTTCTCACTAAACTTGACAGTGGCTTGTGGGGAAGTAAACTCATTAGGAAACGAGTCGGGATAAATGCTATTTTCAACAAGCGTATACGTAGTACCAGCGGGTGCGTGTGAGATCTCAAACTCGACATCCTTGGTGCATGTGTTCTTGAGTGTGAAGTTGAGCGATTGCACAAAGTGATCCGTGTCGTTGAACGACAAGCTCGAGGGGCTCAAGAGAACCTTGGCGTGGGCGGCGTCGTGGGCCTGGACAAGACCGGCGCCTTGTTGCGGAACGGGGGCGAGGAACTGGTAGTAGCGCTCGCCATCGTTGAACAGCTGCGGGTTGGAGCTTGCAGACAAGAGGTTCTCAATAAGCTCTGGCTCAAGCGTGCCGCGGACCTCGGAGATGAGGGCGAAGATGCCCGCCATTAGGGGGGTTGCCATCGAGGTGCCGGAGAGCACAGCATAGCTGCCCAGGTTTCGAGGGTAGGTAGACAAGATGCCACCGCCGGGGGCGCCGAACTGTGGCTTGGCTTCTAGCTCCCAGTTCGGACCCCAAGAGGTAAAGGTGCTGACGGCGCCGCCGGTGAGGTCGTTCCGGACCTGCTCGAACGTGACCTTGCCGTCAGAGCCATCGGACATCTCAACGACGACCTTGGAGCCCGCTTGGAGGAGCTTGATCCACTTCTCGCCCTGCTCGGGCGTCACCATGGCAGCAGCTTTGATGCCGTCGACGGGGGACACATCGTAGGGGATAACGCCAGCCTCATTGTTGTAGACAATAATGTACTTGGCTCCAGCCTCGGCCGCGTTGGTAGCCTTGCTAATGAACTCGCAGGTTCCTCGGCGGATGAGAACGATGTAGCCGCTTAGATCGGGAGTGCCCTTGGGGAACTCATCGCAAGCGTCATTCGTGACATTCGTATCGTAGTTTAGGGCCCAGAGCGGAAGCTTGACGCCGGTCCAGGCAGCAGGGATGCCGGCTTGGGAGCCAAACTCCTGCTTTGCGCTGCCGTTGACGGTGTAGTGGGAAACGTTGAGAATCGAGACAGTCTCGGTGTTGTCGAACGAGGCAACGGCCGTCACGCCCTTTCCGCTCGCCGCCGTGCTGGCGTAGAACATGCCGACGTTACCAGAGTTGCCCGCGGCCAGGGTGCAGGGGACGCCCTGCTCGACGATTCGAGAGACGCTGACGGCCCAGGCCTCCTCCGACCAGCCGCTGGGGCCGCCGATGGAGGCGGTGATGATGTCGGCGCCGTCCTCGTAGGCCTTGTTGAAGGCGGCGATCAGGACGTCGTTTCCGGCCTCGCCGTTGCAGCCGAAGACGCGGTAGGAGCCGAGTGTGACGCCAGGGGCGGCGCCGGTAAAGTCCATCGAGTTCTCCTGAGCAGCGAGAATGCCGGCGACGTGGGTTCCGTGGCCCTGGCAGTCCATGGGGTCGTCGTCAGGGTTGACTTCGTTGTAGCCGTTGTAGTCATCACCGACGAGATCAGTTCCAAAACTGACAAGACATCCATCGCCAAAGCATCCGCCAAGAGCTGGATGCTTATAGTCGATCTAAAACAATAAGATGTTAGTAAAGCGCAGAGACAGATCGTGTCATCCACTTACACCGCTGTCAATGACGGCAACCTTGACGCCTTTTCCAGTATAGCCCTCCTCTCGAAGCTTGTCGACCTGGGTCATGACGTGAGGCGAGAAGATATCCTTGGCAGTCTCAGATGCCGATCGCTTCTTCATGGTTGCGTACTCCTGTCCCGGCGTGCCCTGCCAATCAATCCGCGGCTCCGGGATGCCGTACACCCTGACCGGCCACATTGCCTTGACAGCAGGGAGTTCTAAGATCTTGGCCGCAATCTCCTCCGCGCGCTCGTGGTCGTTGAATTGAATCGAGGCTCCTTTGAATAGCTTGAAGTCGAACTCCATTCGAGTCTTGCCATCAGTGCTGGTCTTGGAATAGAAGTCGGCGTGGTCCTAGAGAGAGTTAGGGCTGCCACTGAGCCAATTGACACCCTCGACGTGAAAACATACACTTTCATCCTCGAATTCAAAGATGTAGGCGCCTGGAAGACGCGTGGTGCCCTTCTTGTTGCCAATCTGCTCGACAGTCACGGCACTGGCTACCGCCGCGAAGAGCGACGCAACCAAGCTTAGACGCACCATGATGAAGATTGGCAAGCTGGTCTCTTTCCAAATTCCGATGTAAATGAGAGTGAGAAATGAAAATAGAAACAAAAAGAGAAGCAAAAACGAGTATGGGGACTCGCTGCTTTGGCCCAGCAAGTGCGTAGTCTGGCGGGTCATCCGCACTACTATATGCGATCATCACTGCGTGGAGCAAGTCCATCCACAGCCCCATCGACCCTCATGTCATCAACCGCCAGCGCTTCGAAACGCCGGGGGAGGGGGGTGTCAATCCATCGAGCGCAAGCTGCTGGTCCCGGCCAGCCAAGTGCTGCGGATGCGAGTGGGCATGGTACTGTGCAAAGTGCGCACTGCAGTCAGAGATTGCAGGGGACACGCCTCGCGGAACCACCAACATCACCAACAGACGTAGAGTCTTTCCTTTCACGTGGAGAGACATGGATAAGCTGCTCGCCTGTGCGCTCGCCACTCGTGAGTGAGCCGGCCGAGCCCGTCCCGCCGTTCTACAGCATACAGTAGGGCCTTCATCCGGAAAGTATCATCCCCTGACGATCCCGCTAGCGACGGTCGCGATTAGCTGCGATTGGAAGGCAAAATTCCGAGTGGATTGAACGGTGCGAGCCGGGCATCATAATGACGGAGTCTGCCAAGGAGGAGCCGGGACGAAGAGCGCCAATCATGCCGTCACAGCGCGTTGAGGTTGACTGAGGGATCAAGTGACATGGACATGGACATGGGGTTTAGCTGTAGATCGCCAGGCACCCGACCGCTTCTCAACAACAAGGCGCAGGTCCCCTATAGCGACTCTCATAACGGCTGCTGAACATAGCCAGGTGGTTGGCTGGCTGCTGGAGCCAAAGCTAAGATCTCATAGAGTGGCGCTAATTAGATCCCCCAGCGGCTCGTGAGTATCGCGTGAGGTCCGGGACCTTTTGTGATGCGCATCACAGTGTGTGACCTGGAAACCGCCTGCCTCTGCTGGCGATGGTTGGTTACACCGTAAGTTAGCGGGTTGCATCGCCCCTTATTATCTTCACCAGCCGTCGACAAAAGGTGTGGAACTGGTGTCACTCGCTCCATTTCTTTTTCGGATCTGTGGCTGTGTGGATCTCGGTGGCAACGGGAATATGGGCCGCCGCAACCATGCAAAGATCCGTCATGCAACCACAACACTTGCTCGGGTGCTGGGATGGATGTTGGCAGGCTGCAGACCCCATTATTCTGTTCGAAACAGAAAAGCCGGGGTCGTTTGTCTTAGACAGGCGGATGGGTGCTGCCAAGCACAGCTCGGAGATTGAACCGGCAGAAGTACTGTAGATCGCAGAGACACTTTCTCCAGTAGAGACCGAGAGTCAATTAACCCGAGGCTCTCGCTAGTCGCATAGGTAGAGTCGATATGCGTATGACATCTGGTAAAGGAGCAACTCATCTTCTGCGGCTGACTTGTCCGCTGTGACGCCCCAGCGTACGCCAAGTTCCTCCAGTTTCAAAGTTGTCTGCCCTACTCCTTTCGACCAGGGTTCCTTGGTTGGAAGAGCACGGTTCAAGCTTCCAAGAAACATTGTGAGCAAGGTTATTTGTTCCCAGATAAATTACGGCATTCCCGGTCCCATCCTCATCTCGTCTCGTCTCTGGGGCTCCTTTACTCTACACCGATAATGCTGCCACAAAACCGCCTGCAATGAAACCCGACCAACAATGCACGACGCCGGCACCAAATGCCGTGCGACAGTCGCCGACGCTAGTATTGAGTGTTCCATCGACGCATGTTTCGCAGCAGTCATGTTCTCTCTCGGCCGGGTCTTGTACACGTGTACGAGGCCCCTCACCATGGCGCAGGGATCATAAATCGGCAGATCCACGCGACTGAGAAACATGGAGGACCCGTTGCAGTCGGGCGATGAGCCTGGCGATGGATCAATGCGCCTCGTTGCTTACTCGTTGCCAGTTGGCGAATCTATTTCCAACGCGGTGCCAAGACGACCCACTGAGCCGCAGGCGTAGTGGTAGCTGACAAGGCTGTGATATCTTCAGGCTGCGGTTCATCGCCATCAGCGTCGGTCGATTTGTACGTAGTAGTGCTGATTATTCCTCGGCAACAAACTGTGAGAGACGAAGGATGTCTCAGGCTGTGCTTGTGCGCGGTCATCCCTTGGCGTCATCAGTCGAGGGTATACCCGAAACAAGAGCTTGGTCAGTTGGAATGCTCTACACGAGGTCTCGAATTTATCATCCATCAGTTTGGTTCGTTCGGTCACCGACCTGACTTTTTAAGTCAAACGCGATGTTACAGTATCACATAATTCCAAGGCGCTACGCAGTCGACACATCACCAAGGGGGTCAAGCATAGCCTCGGGCTTTCTAAAAACTCTCCGGTCCAAAAAGATGCTCCATCTCGTGGCTGGGATGAACAAACCCTTTCTGTAGATCCGGCCTTATGAGCTTGGCAATACGCACACCTATTCACGGTACGCAGAAGGTACACACTAATTAGTGCCCAGTTGCAGTATCGCCCTATAAGATAATGATTATGATAAGCAAAATACCTTAATGGCTGCTCGATTAACCTTATAATAATGTTTATTCCGCTCTTCTTTATCCGCTGTGGGTTAGTTAACGCGGTGCTCATACTTAAAGTATGATGCCGTCTCTCTCAGCAACGAATCTGGCATTCGAATTTAAGATGCCCAAAATTGCAATGCGATAGACAAATTGACTTATTTGGCACAAACTTTATCCCCAGACATTCGTTGTCTTTTGTCGCTGCGCTCACATGCGCACATTTGAATAAGCTCACGTGCCATGCATTCCGTTTAGATGTCTAGATGGGCCATTAAGCCCAGCAAGCCCAGCAAGCCCAGCACGCCCAGCGTTTTAAATGGTGTGCTTTAAACGGTCACCATCTCATAATTCTTGCTCCGCATCGGCCTGCCTGCCATTCTTGGCGGCTCCTGTCCTGGTCTCATTTTTTTATTGATCAGAGAAATGCCGGCCGACTTACGGGGCAAGCTAGTCCTGGGAACCTGTCATGCCCCGGCCCTCATTGGTTGAGCGCAACGAGACAAGATTCCGTGAGGGAAACCCGTCTCTGTGATTCTACACCGACGCTCGATCAAGAAACCTCGAGGTTTATAATCAAGAGATACCTGGATGTTCTGGTATAAATATCCTCTCTTTTTATTTTCATTCTGTACTGCTTGAAGAAGTCAAACCTTGAGTATCCTCTTACCTTCCTCTGCAAGAAACCCCGATTATCGGACATCCTCGAACTACACCAACGACACTACATTTCTTGACACCCTCGATACAATCTACCACTGCTTCGAGCACGATCACCTCGAAGAACTTTGTATACACCAGCAAGACTCCAACTGACCTCTCTACGAACAATATGCTTAAAGAAACCACCAACCCTCCTGTCACCCCTCAGGATGACACCCCAACTCGATCCGAAAACGAAGTCGAAATAACAAACAACGTCCCCAGAGACGTGGAGAGCCATGTTGTGCGAGGAGAAAAGGCCAGCGGGTCCAAGAATGCTTCTGCGTTCAAGTCCCTCGGCTGGCTGGATCGCTTCCTCGCCGTGTGGATCTTGCTTGCCATGGTTGTGGGCATCATCCTGGGCAACTTCGTCTCTGGAATCGGGGAGGCCTTGGAGAAGGGCAAGTTCGTCGGCGTTTCGGTTCCCATCGGTATGACCCTTTCCTACGTGCCTGGTTTGGGCTTGGCTCACATCTGTTTGTAGCTGTTGGCTTGCTCGTTATGATGTACCCAATCCTGTGCAAAGTACGGTACGAATCTTTGCATGAGATACTCTCACATCGGGAGATTTGGAAGCAGATTCTCTTCAGCATCTTCATCAACTGGATCGTGGCACCGTTCTTGATGGTGGGTTTCTAGGCAAATATTGATACGGAGTGATATTGACAGATACCAGCTGGGCCTCGCGTGGGCATTTCTCCCCGATGAGCCTGAACTCCGCATCGGCCTCATCCTTGTGGGTCTGGCAAGATGCATCGCCATGGTACGTACTATCTTTATCTCTCTATTATTTCCCCTCCAGATGTAAGAAGCTGACAAGTGCTGTAGGTCCTGATTTGGAATGGCCTCGCTGGAGGCGATAGCGAGTACTGTGCAATCTTAGTGGCCATCAACTCCATCCTCCAGATGGTCCTTTATGCGCCCATGTCCGTCTTCTTCATCCGAGTCATTAGCGGAGAGGCGGACGACACTGATGTCTCATACTCGATCGTGGCTCGAAGCGTCGCCGTGTTTCTCGGCATCCCACTAGGGGCTGCTGTCGTCACGCGGTTCTCACTGCGTGCGATGCTAGGGTTGGATTGGTACGAGCGCATCTTCATCAGGTTTGCTTCTCCTTGGTCGCTCATCGGGCTCCTGTATACCATCCTAGTGCTATTCGCGTCGCAGGGCCACCAGGTCGTCCACCAAGTCGTGTCCGTTGTGCGCGTTGCAGCGCCTCTTGTGGTGTACTTTGTCATCATCTTCTTTGCCACGCTTCTCGTGGCGCGTCATGCCGGGTTTGGATACCCTCTGTCGACTACCCAGAGCTTCACAGCCGCGAGCAACAACTTTGAGCTGGCGATTGCGGTGGCGATTGCAACCTACGGGCCGAGCAGTGACCAGGCTCTCGCTGCCACGGTAGGCCCATTGATCGAGGTTCCGGTTCTGTTGGCCCTGGTTTACCTCCTCCGCTGGGTTTCGGGAAGATGGAACTGGGTGTAGTGGTTGTATTCACCCGCTGTATTGAAGGCCGTGGGTATCCTTTATCGAGGCATGATTGCGGCTAGGATGAACCAGATACTCCATAAATAAATGCTGAATTCGCTTGATCCCTTGACAATTTTCCGGCAAACTTGCAGACGGAAATTTCATGTCATGTCGTCCATCAGCTGAAGCAGGTCGGTATTGCGGACCATGCAGTTCTTACTGTCAGAGCAGCCAAGCGCTGCCAACGCAATGTTGTCATCGGGGTAGCCACGAAGCCGAGCGAGGATTGTGGCAGCTTCCACGCAGTGCATCTTATTTGATGGGTCAGATGCAGAAGGATTTGATGCAAAAGGAACTTGTGCCTGTTGGTGAGGATTCGGTTGGGGTTGGCATGTCGAGACCTGGCCAGTTCGAGGGTTGAGACAACACGCAGGCTCCTGGTTGGGTTCCGGCTGAGGGAAACCCGCTGGTTTTGGTTCTGGTCGAGACCGAGAAACGCCGACCGGCTGATCCAGCTCCATGAGAGACGGACCGTTACCACCGCAGCCTGGTGGTCTGACTGGTGGGAGTTCCGACCGCGAGTTGATATGCTGCGGATGTCGACTAGGAACGACGTTGCTGAGCGGGGAAATGGGGACGGATGAGGCGTGTGGTTGCAAACATTGCAGTGGCTTGGGTGCAATAGGGATGGGTGATGCGCGGGATGAGACTGAGGCGGAAGCCGAGACAGGTCTGGAGACCGGGATGGAGGCTGATATTGACGGCGTGGCCGTTATTGACGACGATGAGAATGGAGATGTGCGCGAGAGCTGCTGCTGGGACATCTCCAGCCGGGGATCGTAGTATACTTGACGTAGCGGCGGATCTAGGGGGATGTCTCTCCGATCCGACAAGTCTTCCCGGGCAATCAAAGGCATTATTTGAGGTTGAAGTTGAGGTTGAGGTTGAGGTTGAGGCAGCGTCTGAACTGCCATCCTCGCCGCTTGCAGATGGGCCTCCACCTCGTCCGGCGGCACGCCCTTAGCCGCGAGCAGGCCCTTCAGTGCGGCGTTTTCAGCCGCCACCTCGCGCGCAACACGCTGCATGTCGAGCGTGGCTTGCGCATCGCGGCGCTCGTAGTCCCGGACGCGGCCCTGCAGCTCCTCGAGCAGCTCGCGGTGGCGTGCGCGCGACCGGCGCTGGTTCTCGCGGTTGAGAGCCAGAGACTCTGGCGTGCGGTGCTGTTGCTGAGGTTAGAGAGAGAGAGGCGAGGGAGAGAGTGACGGAGTGAAGTTTTGGGTCATGTTGGGGCACGAGCGTTGAGCTTGACACAGGGGACCGGACTGCACTGGAATACAAGAAGACGGCTTACCTTTCGGGGCATCTAGAATACCCGAGTAGATCAAAGTCGCCCTCGCTCGTCTCTGACAACTCAAGTTGTGAATGATGCAAGTAAAAACCCGGTTGACTAAGGATCCAGTGTATTAAAAAAAAGACGCCGCGTGTACTCACACACCTCCAGAACCGCCAGAACACAAAGCCACTGGGCCCCGATCATATACCCGCGTCAGGCTCAGGCCCAGCTCGTTGTTTACGACACGGCCATCCAGCATTCACACGGCCTAGCTAATGAGAATGCATCGATTTGTTTTAACCTTGTGCTGCCCGTCTCGTCGTCTCGTTGCAGGGCGCTCGCTACCGTCGTGCGGTTCTTACATAAAGACTAAAGCAGGGCGTTCCGAATCGAGCCAAGCGAGCTTCGTTTCCGCTGCATCGCCTTTCCCTCCTGAGAAGCTCATGCCTGCGCAGGACGTGGGACAGGGCGCCTCTCCACGTGGGGGGCTCATGGAACTCCCAGCCGCGCTGGGTTCATGCCGGGTTCATGGGGTTGAGGAATCGTCTTGAGTCGCGACTCTTGCGCCAATCATCTCACTGCCGATTGAGATGACTTGCTTCTCAGCCGCTCTGCGCAATGCAGGCTCTCGCGGCATCCAACCTCCCGGCAGGCTGATATCCACCAGTTCACCCCCAAAACCCCAAAGAGGAAAACGGAGAAAAAGCAACGAAAGGAGGAGCAGTCCATCCTCCAGCTCAACTAATCCGACTTCCCCGATTACCAACACCTATCCACTCTTTTCCCACCCTCTCCCACGGCTTCTCTTGGCGGCCGGACTCTCGCTGTCTGCGGCGGGCCGAGGAGGGAGCCTGTCACTGTACGGCAACTAACAAGCTAACTGCCTGATTAAGTAATAATCCCCACTTTTCGTTTCTCCAGTTTCTCAACTCCACACTCTTGCTCTTCCATGCGAATCTCAATTGCCGACAACCGCTGCAGTTAATTCCGCTGTCAACTTTTCTTCTCAACAACTATAATCGCAGTATCAATTGCAATCTCCGTCTTCAACATGATTTGCAACGCCTGTCGTGCTGGCCTGCGCACCGCCCGCGCCAATCCCCTCCGCACAATTGCCCTCCGCGCATCATCGGTATCCTCATCGACGTCCTCACCGTCCTCTCGCCTTATCGCCGCAATCACTCTCCAGTCAACGTCCTTCACGCGCTCCTTCTCCGCTTCCCGCACCCTCCGCTCGGTCTCCGCCACAATCGACGAAGAGCTCCCTTCTATGTCCCCCGCCGAGAGCGCCATCGCGGAGCTCCTTGCCGAGAAGCTCTCCCCGACGCAACTGCTCGTCCAGGACGTCTCGGGCGGCTGCGGTAGCATGTACGCCATCGACATCACCTCGCCGGCGTTCCGTGGCCAGACCATCCTCAAGCAGCAGCGCATGGTGAATGCGGCGCTGGGCGATCTTGTCAAGGGCTGGCATGGTGTGCAGATCCGAACCAAGGTTCCTGCGGAGGATGCTTGAAGAGCGGGCACGAGACATGAACGAAAACAATGAATTATGGGCTACGAATGGGAGAGTTATCAAAGGTGTATGATTATGATTTCGGGTCTAAATGTGTCTGGATGTACGACGGGAGCGGTGGCTCAGGCATTAAGATCCGAAGGCCTCCCTGCAAAACAGTTGGGAAGGACCTCGGCGGGCGAATGAAGCAATAAGGATAGAGGATGAGTGGGAAGAAGCCAAACAACGACAAATGGAGTTGTGCTCATTGGATATATTCAAGAGACGGAAGCATTCACGAGTTGATGACCTCTATTTTCCATTAATCAGCACCGACCGTGGTGGATGGGACGGCAGATGGCACCCATCACAATGTATCATATACCCTTGTGCTGTCACAAGCGAGAGGGACTTTGCATCCTACCTTGTATACAACGAAATAAAACCACTCTACTCACCGCTGTTCATGTCCAAATCGTTGCTCATCTCCACATCAAGAATCAATCACTCTCTGTCCTTGCCATACCCACGCTGGCCAACTGGAGGGCTCTGAATCTAGGCGCATGGCGTATGTGGTGTCGATAGCAACCTTTGCCTCTGTCTGGGAATAGTCAAATTGGGCGTCACGGGTCGAAGTTCCATTTCTCGATGACACATCTCGCTCGCTCAGTTTGTTTGTCTCGCAGAACTGACCCTCCACGTGAAGAGATGAGCAAGAGAAATGGTTTGGTTAGGATGCACCAAGTTTGCTGCTGGACGGTAGAAAATTGAGCACTACTGCTCCGAACCCCAAACTCGCACTGATCTCGTGCCTGATTCACAGCATAAAGCCCATTACCTTTTCAACGAAACCAGAACTCTGCTTCTCCTCCAATCTTCCCACATCATCAGAACCAAAAAAAAAAACCATCGCGAACCAAGAAAAGAGATTCCCGGTACAGTCTCCTTTCATCCGCTTTTATGTTGAGGGGAATGCTAATAATACTCAGATCCCAAGATGAGCTTCGCAAGAATTATCACTTGGATACATAGTGCGACTATGCACGAGAGACTCCTATCCTCTCAAGACGGGAGACCTGTGGATACCAAGAATACAGTGAGTTTGAAGTTGTAAGCGAAGATTTTGTACTGATTATTTTTGCTAGATCAATACCGACATCCGAGCGACCCCTTGCCTGCCATGTACCAAGATGATGGCAGGAGACGTTTCGGGAATGGCAGCAAACACCTCTGTATGCTGCGGGGCTCTAGGATTCCTCCGTTGCTCAAATTGTGTTTTCCAAGGGTATGACTGTGAGCAGGTAGGCAATAGCCCATTCGTGTTTGTATTAATCCGGTGTACTGATCCATTTAGATTACGAACCACAGTGTTCGGGAGAAAGCCAACGAGCTTGCTGCTGCCCACCATGCATTCTATTGCACTAGAGATGCCACCTGTCCTCCTGTATGTATCACATTGTGCTCATATAGCTTTTACTGATAATTTTAGCCTTCTCAAGTCCAGAGACTTGCCCGGGGGTTTCGTGACCTTCTCCTACTTCATGGCAACCGGGAAACTCAAAATGAGCTCGACTGAGGCTAATGGGGAGTATGGCACGGATTTCGATGATAACCTACAGACTCCCTCTGATCATGGGGACGTTAAAGTTAACGTTGCGGAGAGCGAAGAGGATGGCAATGGTTGCGGTGCTTCTGAGAATACTGGGGAATTAATACACAATGGTAGGGAGTTCTACAATTAACAACAAGGAGATGTTGCGAAACTAAGTCCATCTGATGTCAAATTGCCACAACCTCAAGCTAGTAGCACTCAGATTTGCAGACTTAGCGACATCCATAAAGTTGAAGACCAGAACACCCATGCCCAACACAATCCTATCCATAAAGCCATCCAACTCTTAGCCCAAGTTGACGTCCAAATCGTCGTCCAACGCGTCATCTTCTAGATCACTGTCGTGTGTGATGCCCTCGCCTGTATCTTTGAAGTGCAATTCCTCCAACTGAGCATCAAACGCCCTTGGGGTGATGGTCTCGTCAACCCATTGGCGAGGCATCTGAATACCGAGAAACATACTCTTTCACTTCGGCAAAATGATTCATGAAAGTAGGACTTCATGAAGTTACTCACCTATGCCTCAACGGGGATGTTGTTGTCCCCGTCAACACGGTCCCTAAGCATGGTGAGCCGCCGTGGCCACCCTGTTCGCACCTGTCGTTGGTGAATAAGAGTGTAATCGTAAATGTAAGTGGCTTGCGTGGGTAAATATGGAGAGGCATGCCTGGAACTCGGTGTACTTGGACTGCATGTCGGTTTTGACTTCAAAGTCTTCATCTCCATGCACAGTGGCCATTCTCCCGATGCAGACCTGAGAGAACAATTTCAAGAAGACGGTGGTTGGATTGTCCTCTATCAGATGGTGGCTGTTGCAGAATCCGATCATTCGTGTGTACCTGGTGAACATAATAAGCCAAAGCAGCTCTCCCAGCGGCATCAAACTTGCCATCACAATGTATGATATACCCTCGTTCTCTCAACAAGCCACAGGAAGTTTGGGACCCTACTTGTATGTAACAAAATATGACCACTCTGCTCACCGCTGTCAACTCCACATTAAGAATCAGTAACTGAAAAGCAGAGGAAAACAGGCACACATGTTTAAGTCAAATGTAGATATTGAATCATGCTTGAAACTATCGAGTCCCTGACGCCTGTTACACAATCCGCCCATGGTTTCTATCCTCCGTCGTGGCTCTAACAAAGTCTTGATAAGATGGCAACATAAACCACAATGCCTCATGAATCACCTCTAAACACAATACACAAATGCTCCCAAAGTCTACCTCTTCCCAGTATCCCTTCTCTCTGCATCTACTGCTGGAGATACTTGAGGATCTGGTCCCGCTCCTCAACAGGCATGACCCTCAGCACCTCGCGCACACCGGTCCATCCAGCCTTGGCGTGTCCTCGGACCACACTGGCGACCTCAGCGGCAAGCACCTCTGACTTGAGGGCATCCACCTTCTCTCCAATCATCTTACGCTCCGACTCGTACCACTCCGTCACGGCACGGTCGTCCTTCTCCCAGTCGACAATGCCAGACCAGCTGCGCAAAAGGTGCAGGTACTTCTCGCGGACCTCGGTGGTCTTGGAAGTGCTCTGGGTGCCAGAGGCGTTGAGAATGCTGGCCGTCATACGTCGGAGGATGTACTCCTCGTTGAGACGACGGCGCAGACGCCAATAGAAGTATCGGCGAGCGTTGGTCCACTCCAAGACCTCGCGGATGACACCCTTGGCCTTCATGCGGCCTGCGCGATCGTGAAGGTCGGCGAACTGCACAGCGATCTGAGCGTAGACCGGCAGCAGCTGCTTCTCACGGAACGACATCTTCTTCTTAATCTCGTCGGTCTCCTCCTGAGACAGGCTAAGATCCTCAAGCTGCTTCTTGAGGCCGGCGTAGGTGGGGTCCATGCGGGCCATGGTCGCGATCTGCTTGTCCTTGCGGTACTTGATACCGACCATACCCTCGGGCTCCAAGACACCACCGCGGGCCTCCTCGTCGGCATACATTTCCATGGCAACGGGGTTGATCGTAGGGTCGACGACGACCCAAGATCCACCACGAAGCTCACCATGGGGAGGAATGTAGACGAAGATGGGCTGCTCGAACTTGACGAGGGCATCGACGATGAAGGAACCGTACTTGAGGACCTCGTTGTACATGTCGCGCTGGCCACCAGAGAAACCACGCCAGTTGGCAAGGATCATCAGAGGAAGCTGCTCACCATTGTTGAAGTCGTTGATCGCCTGAGCAGTCTTGAAGGCCGAGTTGGGGTACCAAACACCACCAGCCTCGTTGGTAAGCTGCTCGATGGAGTCGGGGTTGGCGGGATCGGCGGGAGTAATGTTCTCCACCGAGCGAGTCTCGACCGCGATGACACCCATGGGGATACCACCAAGGCGAGCACGTCCGACAACTACGGTCTTGGCCCAGCCGCCAAGGGTCTCAACGAATGAGTCCTTGTCGAACAGACCAGGTTCGAAGCCATCGTCGCCATCGCGACCGCCAATCATCCACCGGACATCGTAAGGCTGCTTCTGGGGAGGCGTGTACACGATATCACGGTCCCAGTCGTCAACACTGGGGCTAACAGGGACAGGGCTGTTGCGCTTCTCGGGAACAAACGACATCCACTCGACAATCTTGGAGATACCAGCAAAGTCGTCATTGGCAGTCATGTGGGAGACACCGTTGCGGTACATGATCTGAGTACCACCCAACTGCAGGTTAGAGGTGTAAACCTCGCGACCAAGCAGGTTGTTCAGGGCAGGGGCACCAGTAAGGATAATGGGCTGACCCTCGATCTGAACGGCTCGCTGACCGAGACGGACGAGGTAGGCACCAATACCTGAATTACGTTAGATATACACTTCTCAAGGTTGTAGATAATAACTTACCAACTGATCGGCAGGTGACCAGGGTAACGGTGAAGATGTCGTTGTAGGCTCTGCTGGTCGCACCGGCGATGAGACCAGATCCCCTCAAGCACTCAACACCGAGACCCTCCTCCTTGCCAATGACGGTGACGATCTTGTGTCGCTTCTCGCCATCCTCCGAGATCTCCTCGGTGATGACATCCTTCTCGAAACGCTTCTTGGACTCGTCGTCAAGGTACAGGTAGCGGAAACCGGTATCCTGCTTATTGACGTCGTTCCAGGCGACCTTGAAGTAGCCCATGAGCTCGTCGGCGAGACCGAGACGAGCACCAGAGTTGGCCGACAGGTAGATACGGGGGATACCCAGCTTGCGGGCCAGCTCCGTGCACTTGTGGAAGAAGTCATCCTCCTTGGGTCCGAACGAACCAATCTTGTAGGTAATATCGTTCGCAATGACGATGAAGCGACGGCCGTTGGGGTACTCGGGAGTTCGGGCCCGGAAGATCCAACCAACCATACCGCAAGTGTTGGTACCAGGCTCACGGTTCACTTCATCAAGGTTGTCCTTGTCATCAAGGACAAGCTCGGTGAAGGTGATGCAGTCACCGGGCTTAGGCGCCTGGGCAGCCAGGGTAGGCTGCTCCTTGGTAGCCTTGGCCCAGGTGTTCTGAATAGCCTGGCGGAACAGCTCGGGGAAATCATAAACGTACTGAGTACCCATGAGATGGGCCTTGTATCGCTTAGGCTGGAGCCAGTTCTTGGTGGCGTACGGGGTCGAAACGGGCATCAAGTGCATGGGACCCTTCTCCTTGGTACCACCAATGCTGTGGAAAACCCACTCGCCCTTCTCGGACTTGCGCTCCGCATACATGTCGACGTCGACAACATATCCGGAGGTGTTGGTGATAACGACACGGAGAGGGTAAGGCTGCTCAGTCTGAGGATCGGTGCAAATGATGCGGATCTCGACCTGAGAAACACGGAGTCGCCAAGCACGAAGACCGAATCGGTCCAAGAAGCCCTGGAGACTCTCCTCAACCTCACGAGGCTGAAGCTGGAAGACGGGAGTGAAGTTGATGAAGATATGGTTCAGATCGGAGTTGTTGTTGCCGACAATCTCAAGGGCGTCAAAGATGTCGTTAATGACACGATCGGCCTCAGAGATCAGGTACTCGGCAGTGGGGATCTCGTCACGGAGACGACCAGGTCGAATAACAGCACGAGTAAAGTATCGCTTGTCAGTGTCCACAGTCTTGCCAATACCCTCATAAACGTGGATATTCTTGTTCTCAGTGAACACCGGCTTAATGTGGAACTTGGCAAGACGAGCAAGCTCAAGCTGGAAAGCAAGAGCAGGCTCGCTGTGTCGAATACTGTCGTCCTCGTTGTACTCAGGACCACGGAAGGTGTAGTATCCGGGGTACGAGCCGTCGCTGCGACCGCAGATGAAAGTCAAGCGACGAACACGACGAGCCAAAAGCTCATCCTTGTACAGCTGAACAATGGGAACGATGCGCTCCAGGGTATCTTGATCACCGCGGCTCTCAGCATCTCGGATAGCGACGTTGATAACAGCAGAAAGCTCCTCAGCGTCGTGTTGCTTGGGCTGCGCAGGCTTGCGCTTGCCGCTCAGGTCGGGGATCAGGCCAGGAGTGGTGCGCGACTTCTTCTGCTTCTGCTCATAGGCGAGAGCCTCGAGGGCCTTACCGATCAGGTCCTCAGCATCATCAATGTACTTGCAGGGGACGATAACACCCCTGCGGGTGGGCTCCTCTTCCCACTTGTGAGACAGGTAGGACATGTCACTAATCGAGTGGATTCGGTTGAACTTGAACTCTCCACCCAGGGGGGTAGCAGGCGTGGAGGGAGCAGCGGACTGGATAGGCAGACCGAACTCGGACTGTCCAATCTTTCGGAGCTGGAAATCCCAAGAGACGAACTGGGGCAGGTCGTTCTCATCCTGGTGATACTCGATCTGCTTCAAGATGTACGCACGATAGGCACGTCGGACATAAACCTCGAGCGAAGCCAGGGAAACCCAGGAGTCGTCGTGGGCGAAGAAGAGGGGCAAGACATCGAAGACGGTGTACTTAGAGTCAACCACCTCCTTGATAATGTCCAAGCTAGGCTCCCGGTGGTCCCAACCAGTCTCTCCGTATCGAGACTCGATGACGGAAGAGCGCAGGATGTGCTCCATCTGTGCGGTTCGCTCCTCCAGGGAAGGAAGGGAGCACTGGATCATAATCTCACGAGCCTTGAGCGAGACCTTGGAGGTCGAGCGCGAGACTTGCAGCTCGGTGAGCTTGCGGAGAGTATCACGGAGGCTCTTAGCGATGTTGCTAACGTTAGGCTTGTTGGGGCGGTACTCCTCGAGGATGGCGAGGATGAGCGAGCTCTTTGCGCTGACACGGCTGTGGGAGAGAACGGTCTGGACAACCTTGGGGATGTCCTCCTTGTTCTGGTCACGGAGCTTCAAGACAACCGCGTCCTCCTGGGGCTGGTTCATGAAGAGCACCTCAACCTCAAAGTATTGCTCGAGCAGATCCCGGATGACAGCAAGCTCACGAGCCTTCTGACCATCGGCGTACATCTCGAGGACGTCGGTCAGGGGAGCAAGAGTAGTCTTGAGGAGGGAAACATCGCCATCAGCGACATTCTCCTCGAGGAACTTCTGGAACGCCTTGCTCAGAGACTTGGCAGGGAATTCAGCGTGTCGAGACTTGGCGCGGTCGACGATCTGGGTAAACTGCACATCGAGCTTGTTGGGCATACGAGCGTGCAGCGCCGAGAACTGAGCGTTCCACTCGCTGTAGGGCAGCTCGGCATCGCGAAGGACCTCAATCAGCGCCTTGAGGGTGGGGACCATAATGACTGAGTTGTCATAACCAGCCAGGATGTTGTTCAGGGTGCTGTGAAGGAGGGTGAAGCGCTGAGCTGGCTTGTTGCCGACGATGACAGGCGCGGCGTAGTCGGGGAGCTTGTCAACGAAGGCTTGAGCCTGCTTAACGCGAGTGGGGTCGTCAAGCGCAAGTATACCAAGAATGTCACCCGCCTCGAGGGTAGCTCCGGGCTGCTTGATGAGCTGCACCATGCCGTCCTCCTGGGCAATGAGAGGCATGTACATCTTCATGACCTCAACCTCGGCGTAGGTCTGGCCAGCACGGACATGAGCACCGTTCTCGACGGTGTACTTGACCAGCTTACCAGGGCTGGGAGATCGGAGCTGGGTAGGGTCGTTCTCCTGCTCCAACAAGCAAGTCTTGCTGTCGACGGAGAGACGAGTGGCACCAACCTCCTCCTTCCAGTAGACGTTGTGACTGCGTCCGTCGAGAAGGATAAGAAGACCACCGTCACTCAGGGCACGGACACCAACCGAGCACTTGGAACCGTTGATGAAAAGGTGGTAGCTGTCAGCACTGGCGCGGGTAGCCGTGAACTTGTAACGGAAGCCCTCATAGATGAAGTCGATGGTAAAGACAGTCTTGAGGATCTCCTTGGAAGGGACCTGACCCTTCTCGAGGCCAGCGCGGTACTCGGCCAAGGAGTTTTCGCTCGCAATGTGGGCCTTGGTGATGGCACCGCACACGACGGCAAGCATGGTGTCAGGTCGCTCAGCAGTGAGACGCTTGGAGATGAGCTCATCCAGCCAGCCAGTGGAGATGGTGTTGTCCTCGAAGGCCTCAGTCTCGAGAAGCTTGATGAGGTACTCAACGGTGGTTCTGAAATCACCACGAATGCTCAGCTCCTTGAGAGCGATGACCATGTGTTTCCGTGAAGCTGATCGGTTCTCACCATAGGCGAAGATGTGACCGAACTGACTGTCGGAGAAACTGTGAATACCACCCTGGGCCGCAACGGAGAAGTAACCCCAGACATTGGAACTACTTCGGAAGTTGAGCTCGTGCATAACACCATTGGACGGCTTGAAGCCCTCACCGGGATCTTCGGAGGTGATTCGGCAGGCCGTGCAGTGACCCTTGGGACGGGGTCGTCGCTGGCTCTGGGAGGTGCTCTCGTTCTTGAAGTTGAAGTCAATGTCGCTCGAGGTCTTTGGGTCGACACCGTACAACAATCGAATGTCGCGGATTCTGTGGAGGGGAAGACCCATGGCAATCTGCAGCTGGGCGGCGGGCAAGTTGACACCACTGACCATCTCGGTGGTGGGATGCTCGACCTGAAGTCTGGGGTTGAGCTCCAGGAAGTAGAACTTGTCGTCGGAGTGAGAGTAGAGGTACTCGACAGTACCGGCAGAGACGTAACCGACCAGCTTTCCAAGACGGACGGCGGCATCCTCCATGGCCTTGAAGGTGTCCTCCTTGGCGATGGTGACGGGCGCTTCCTCGATAATCTTCTGGTGACGTCGCTGAACGGAGCAATCTCGACCGAAGAGGGAGATGTTGTTGCCGTACTGATCAGCCAGCAGCTGGACCTCGAGATGGCGGGCGTTGCCAGCCAGCTTCATGATGAAGATGGGAGATCCGGGAATCTCGCTAGCGGCGGCCTTGTAGAGCTCCTCGAAGCCTTCCTCGGAATCGGCTTTTCGGATACCCTTGCCACCACCACCCTCGGAGGCCTTGATCATGATGGGAAAGCCAATCTCCTTGGCCTTCTCGAGACCCTCCTCCCACGAGTTCACGCAGCCCTTCTGGTAGACATCATCGGCAACAGTGACGATGCCCTTGTCGTCCAGCTCGACTTCTTTCACGCCGGTTCCTGACCAGGGAATGCATGGTACGTCGGCGTGTTGTGCTACAATCGTGGAGGAAATCTTGTCACCAAGCGATCGCATGGCAGACCCGGGAGGGCCAATGAAGACAATCTTCTTGGGGGAGGCGGCCAGCGACTCTGGCAGCTTAGGGTTCTCGGAGGCGTGGCCCCTGTGACACAATTGTAAGCTTCCGCGATTGACGACGGAGCCCGCTCGTCTTGGTGGGGGTGAAACCGAGTCGGGCGGGAAACTGTTGGGGAATCACTCACCATCCAGCCCACACCGCGTGGACGTTCATGCGCTCGGCAATATCCACGATCAATTCCACGTTGGCATAGTTGTGGTTGTTTGTGCCTCCGGGGACCTCGACGTAGTGGTCGGCCATTCGGATGTAGTCTGCGTTGGACGCCAGATCTTCGGGGGTAGCCATGACGGTGAAGTGAATGGCTCGCTCGTCGCCGAACGTCTCGTAGGCCCATTTTCGGACTGATCGGATCTCCTTGACGGCGGCGATACCGTTGTTGGCAATGAGAACCTAAGGAGTAGCTTCTAGTCAGCAAGCTGTCCCGTCGCACAGGACCAATGTTCCAGGGCGGTACCCAAACAAACCCCACGGTGTTGGGATTTGGTCCCAAGCCCGCGAAACGGTTGGGAGCGCGCGGAAAGCACTCGGAGGGGGATTCTCACATTGGTGATGACGGTGTGACCGTAGTTTTGGGCGACAAAGTCCTTGACCTTGCTGGGGGCGGCGTTGGACAACCGGTTGCCCCCTATGAAGTGGTCCGCAATGCTGAACTTCTCGGCATACGACACCTTGCCATTGACGTAGGGCACCGACCGCCCATTGGCACCATCGTGGGCACCAGCTGAGATATCAGTCATGGCTGTTTCGGTATGTGTATGTGTGAAGGAGAAGAAGAAGGGAGAGAGCGGGAGAAGAGGAGGAGACGTGGGTTGTTGATTTCGTGAGGATGGTTGGACTGCGATGGGATTGTCGCTGTCTCGGTCAGGGCGTCATGAACCGGCTGAAGCAGGGGGAGCTACGGCCGAGAAAAAAAAAGCGCCTAGGGAGCTTTTTTGCGTTGGGCGGGCGCCTGGTATGGGTGATGTAGGCGCTAAAAATACAGAGGGGTGCGCAACCGGGACACTGGAGGGTATTCGGAAAGAAGTATTGGGGGCGCCCTTGTGGATTATAAGAACAACCGCCGGACACGAGTATCTTGCGATTGCCTCTGCAGTGAGTCTGAGGAAGGGGGAGGATGGGATTAGAGAAGAGAAGAGAGGTAGAACGAGATCAGAGTCGATCGCGAAAATGCGGGAGATGCAAGGCAAATAGTCGAGGGCGTGGCTGGTGGCAAGCTCCGGCACCTGGACGCACTACACTAGAACTGTTGGGAGACAAGCCGTCAGCCGGAGGAGCAACAAGAGTCGAGGGGTTCCACGCTGCCCACGCTTCCCACTTCCCACGCCCCAAAGAAAAAAAATTGGTGGTGGAGTCGGGCGCAACCCAGCAGAGAGGCGGGCAGCTTCAGGGTCCAGCAGAGAGTTCCACCAGCGGGAATTGGGGAATTGGATCGCAAAGTGATGGATGGAACCCAGTGGGCCCCCCGCCAAATCACCTCCCACCTCCCCTCCCTCCCCGGGCCAAGCACAGAGCTCTTTAGTGCCTGGGCGTGTTGGCGTCCCAAGGAGGTGGTGGGCGATGGGGTGGGTATCTATCGCGTTTCCGGAGGGTTTCGGGTGCGCCAAAGGTGAAGTTCTGCTCGTCGGACGAGCGAGTGCATTGGGCGCGCTGAGATTCGAGGGATTGAAGGATGAGGTGAGAGTTGTTCTCAGTGCGTAAGAGCGACGCACCACCACGGGGCCATTCATGGGGTTTTCGGAATCCGAATCGGACCCCGATTTGTTTTGCGAGGGGCAGGACATGGGAATTGGAACCCGCGAGACGGACACTTACTTACGGAGCTGACTTGGGAGTAATGGGTCGTTCGACTGGATGACGAGGTCGAGAAAACAGGTGTTTTTCCTTCTTCGATGGAATAGAGAAAGTACGTGTCGTCGTGGGATCGTCGTCGTGAGATCGTCGTCGTCAATTAACAGAGATTGGAGTCCTCGGCGGGTTGCAAGAAAGCTGCCTATGTCGGTCTTGAACGTGATACCGTTGGAGTCGCAAAAGGAGAAAAATCAAAGCAAGAGATGTCTAAAACTGCCAAAAACGAGAGGGCATGATCGGGCAATTTTAATACAAGCCATTGTCTATTCCTGTCCATCCATGTCGCACAACCATCACCATCATCACCAGCTCCTCCCCGGGTCATCACCAGACAATGCCCCCTTTTGCCGGCAGCATCGGAGCATTCGGCACGACCACGTCCCCACGAGCGCCGCCGGCTCCGTCAGGGAAAGGCAACTGCCCCCAAAAAGAGGCCGCAAGGCTGAGGGTTTACAGCATGTCCTGGGCGTTGCTGATGCCCGGTCCGCATTCCCTCCGCCGGCGGACGGGGGATATGCGAATGCCTGCTGAATGCTGACTTGGGGTTGATGCTGATTAGCTTCGGCTTCAGAGCAGTAGCCTGTGGCGTGTGCATAGCAGGCGGGGCGTGGTGCCACCGACGTACGTGCGTGAGCCGCTCCGGGGTGTTGAGGCCAGTCGGGATCGGAGCGGGGCCTTTCTCACCATCTGTTCACTGTTGTTTCTTGTTGCTGTCCCGGACAGGCCTCGGTGACGTCGCCTTCTCACTCATCTGCTTCCACTGAACCGAGACACCGAGTGCAGCCTACTTGTGCCGAACGGGAAGAAAGGATTGGGGATGTTGCATGCACCTGCAGCTCTGTCTATCAATTAACACAGTGCGCTGTGCACCACTCATGACACGTCCCATGATGCTCGCCCCTTCAAGGTACCGGCGACATATGGCCCGAAAACCATCCGACCTGGTTCTCTGATCGGGAGACGAGCCGACATTTCAAGACCGAGTATGGTTCGAATATTTCTTTACCATGCAATTACTCTCTCCCGCCATGAACCCCTTTCCGTTGCCATGACACTGTTAATCAGGCCGAGTCTTGGCCTCTGGGCTCTTATTCGGATCCGGATGAAATCCATCGTCTTAGAAGCAGTCCAGGAACTCTGCTCAACTCCCCGGTCACGTTTAAATTACACTGTCTGCACTGTACGGCGCTATTCATTCCATCCCGATCCATCCATCACAATCTGCATTGGGCCTCACCTTCAGAAAATACCCCTGCTTATCGCTCCCCCATCATTCAACACAAATACGATACTTGCACACATACTCACCACGAACACACGGACACACACAATCGCATCAACAACACCGATGCGGTACGCCGCATTCCAACAAAACAGGACCCGTCGCGTCACATCTTTGCCTCTCGGTGTTTCCCTCAGTCCCGTTAAGGGGGCCCGGCCAACTCACCCGCTAATACGGGCCCAAATTTAATTCCACCCTTTTCGCAAGCGTTGCAGATGACATCCTAACTTATGTATTATGGATCCCGGTATTTTTGGGCTCCGTGCCCAGAGAGAAGGCCTCCCCCAATTGTTGAGAGTTCCCCATCCCCCGCGCCAATCACTACCGCTCCCGCCCACTGCGGGACCCACTGCCCCGAATTGGCATTTATTAGACTGGATTCACTGGAAGGAAATGGAAGACCAGGACGCAGGTACGTACCCCACCGCCAGAGCAGAGCCTCCGCTCAGCCTTTCCATCGCCGGGCATCCTCCGAATCCCCAACATGTTGGTCCCCGGGCGGGTCCGTGACCCAGCGGAGTTACGGAGCTCCCGCCATCCGTCCTCGACTAGCGGTTGCTTTGTTGTAACTTGTCGTTCCTTGGTTCCAGGGGGCTCGAGTTGGATGAATCGGCGATCGAGTAGATGATCGGCCTCTTCTGATCCCCTTCCTCCCGCCCTGCCGACCTGCCGCATACCGCCATTGATTGCCGTTAATCGATTTCTCTCGGTTATCGGCGCTACTCATGAGGCATGCCATGGACATAACGTGTCAATCATGGACTGAGACATCAACCTAGACAAGTTTATCACGATTGATATGTGATACGCTAGAAGGGCGTGACAGATACGACATTGAGGCGCAATGCATGTAAGACGGAATCCGCATAACTTAGCTTCTGCAAGGGAAGCCCGTAGAAGGAGGGAGTAAGCAAGACATGATCACCATCACGTAGCATACCGACATGTTCATCCAACTTCCAAGTGCCGACTTCTCTGTAGGGCATGATGCGATACAGGAGCAGGTTAAGTCACGGGCATCAGAATGAGCTTAATTGGAGGGCTGATTGAACGGCTAATTGAAGGGTATGTAGTTGGCTATAACTGTGCTAATAACAGTGTGACGTTCTTCGCCTTTTGACAGTCTGTATGTACAACAACTTGCCCTATTCCCCGTCCCTCGGACTCTCCCATCGCTTCCCTCCCTCCGCGCGTCGTCTTCTGTATGGTATAAACAAAGGAAAAAGGTATAAGTAATAGTTATTCGCAGGCTTTGTCTTCAGCCTTGTTGTAGACATCGTACGACTCCCCACCGATGTCATCCCCCTGATCCTCTCCCGTCCTAGCCTCGCATCTCTTCCCCAGTATTACCCGCTATCGGCCATCCCTCCATCCCTCCACCCAATCTGCCAACGGCTTGCCCTATATTTGCAGGCCGCTGGTATCTTCGCACACTTGCGCACCCCTCCCCGGTACCCTTTTCCCCAGAAGGCCGTTGGCCAATAATTGTGTTTGCTTGCTGAAAGATCAAATACCATCTCTTCATAAACGTCCGTGAACCCCTCTCCAATGCCCGAACCCCAGAATAAACCAATCAAACAACAAAGATGCCATGTTTGCCACAGAGAAAGAAAAGACTTCCGTAATTGCAATCAACACCGGTCTTCGCCTCCTTCCATGCCATGCCATGCCATGCACCTGTTGAAAATGCCCACCCCCGTAAAATGCAGATACGTAGGTGAATCCAAGCCAGAGAGCCCGCTCCAGACAGAAAGAGAAAAAAGAGTATTAACAACCAGGGAGATACGGCGAAAGTATCTGACAGAAACCAAAACTGCTTTAATATGTTTCTCCCAGGTCGCTCAATTTCCTCTGTCCGGATACACTTGATCTTGAAGGGCCGTTGCTGGGTCGTCGGCCACCGCTCTGACGCCGAGTTGAAGGCATGGGGATTGCACTGCCAGCACTTGCATCAAGGTCCAGCTTCGAGTATGTGCCTCGTCGGCTCGGCGTCCTGAACTCGCCCTCGTCCTCCTCCATTAGATCAATATGGCTGATGCTAGCAGAGTGGCTGTGGAGCGAGCCCCCGAGACTTGACCGCGGTCGGCCCATGGGAGTTCGGGTTCCCGTGAGTGACGTTCGAGATGCTGGGCGTGGGATCATGTCTGTTCGGGATGGTGGTCGGGCGTACGACGAGACACTAGCCCGCGAACTAGGCCGGCTGATCTCTGAATCTGGTCCGCGGTTCGGTAGGGGTCCAGTTCCATATGAGAGGCGGCTCACTCCCGAGGTACTCAGTCGAGGAACATGGCTACCCTTGGATGATGATGTCGAGGAGTGGAAGTTGGTAGGGGTCATGTCGTCACCTGCTACTGAGCCTGCTACCGAAGAAGCTGCAGATCCCATAGTGCGCTTTCGAGACCGGATCGTAACCGTCGAAGGCACCTGGGGATTTCCGTGAATGGACGTCCGAGGAGACGCGCGAGGGGGAGTATAAGTCGGCCCAGGAAGCTTGGACCGTACCGAGTGGACACGAGCTTCGAGGCGCTGCATCTGGGCTGTGAGAGTACGGATGTGGGCGAGAGAGTTGGAGGCTGGGATCTTGTGCGAGGCAGAGCGAGGCCCAACGTTCCGGTTCGCCGGAGTTCGCAAGGTGGTACCGCCAGTCGAGATACGGCTGCCTGGTGCCCGAGTAGATCCAGTCGGAGGCTTGGCTCTTGGCTTGGGAGTAATACTGTTTTCGGCAGAGGGAAGGCGGGTCTTGCGAGACTTGTTCGGGGCGGGAGTCCTCGCAGCTGCGACCTTGGGCAAGGTGGCCGAGGCGTCGGACATGGGAGGCGAAGGAGGTTCGCGCAGATCGGAGAGGGAGTCGGAAGGCAAGGGTGACTTGGCTTCGGGAGGCGTAGTGATGAGAGGAGAGCTGGCGGTAGAGCCGGGTGAGGCGTCAAGGTCCTTGTCGAAGGTAGGGGACCCAAGCATGGAGAGATCGGTAGAGATGGTAGAGAGATGGCGCGACTCTTGCTTCTTGAGCTTGTCTTGTAGGAGCTCGGCCTCGATCTTGAGGTCGCCCAGCTCATCTCGTAGGCGCTGCGACTCGATTCGCAGCTGTTCTCGCTCCTGTTCGCCCATCTTAATCTCCTCCTCCATCATGACAGCGCGCTCAATGGCCTGGTTGTACTTGGACTCCATATCTTCAAGCGACGACGTGGTGTTGCGCGCCTGTCGCTCAAAGTCGTCGTTGGCGACTTCGATATCCCGCAGCTTCAGTTGCATAGTTCGGTTCGAGTCTCGCAGCGTTGTGATTTCCTTCTCGAGCTGATGTTGCGCAGCGCTAGATTCCGTCTTTGACTCCTTGTGCTTTCTCTACACGGATCAAACACAGGCCAAGTCAGTCAAAATGCTCGCGCAAGGCGATTGTGGTTGTCGAAACGACGGTGGTAGGGGGCGCATCACATACCTTCCACTCCTCGACCTCAAAACCGAGCGTTTCGGCCTTTTCTTGCAAAATTCGCTCCTGCTTCTCTGCCCGCTCGATGTCCTTCTCCAGTTCCTGCTCAAGCTCCCTGCTGGAGTCTCTGAACTCGGCCAGCTCCATCTCGAGCTGCTCATACTGGGCCTTGTACCAAGTGACGGCATCTTCAGCGCTGGTGGCCTCGCTAGGCGGCGACGACGGAATGTCTAACGACATGATGGGCGGCGGTTGCGATTCGATTCAGCCAGGCGGTGCGGTTCGGTTCAAGTCGCGAAGGCGATTGCGCGGAAAGGGTGAGAGGACCGAGCGGCAGGAGGTGAGTGGCGATATCGGGGATCGGATCGAATAGCTCGGCGAGAAGACCAGCTGGGTCGAAACGAATGATTCTGACTGCGCGAGACGCAACGCATGCATCGTCAGTCGGGCTGTCGGGCAGGAACCGGCGGGGAGCCTGGTTGCAGGGCCAAATGACACTCACCGATACCGAGCATCCGACGATCGCTGTGAATAGCTGGCGGCGCCGTCGAAATGATGGCAGCGCTCGTAGCAGCAGGCTGGACTTACCGTTGCTGTTGTTCTTACCTGTGATGCTGTGGGTTAGTAGAAAGCAGCCGCTGCGGCGCGGAGTTGCGAAAGGCTGCACCGCAATGTCGATGATTGCTTTGCTGTTTTGGCTCGTGACGAGACGGTGTTGATGCGACACATCGCGGGTTGGCACCCGCCCCATTCTCCTTGACCCGACAGCTGTGCCTAAGCCTGTTTGGGTTTGGCGTCTGGCAGCCATGGGCAACAGGGCGTTACAGTTCGCCGCAGACTCCGCCGTTGATTGGCTGGGAGCTGTCCCCTTGATCCCGCACGTGACTTGCTCGGCCTCTTGTTGAGCTGAGCACGTACCCTTGGGTGTACCTGCCGAGACCAACCTGCAAACTCCCACGTCACACCCCTGGAGCCATGGAGGGGTTGTTTGCGGCACCTTATCAACATGGCTTCCGGGCACTTTAACAGCTATAATAGTCTACCCTGGAGCATAATGCCACAGTACGTGTGTCGATGCATCGCTCCCGAGACAGGAGTTAAAACACTTCTAGCTTCTTCCATCTTTTTCTTCATTTACCCGTCACTTTAATGTCTCCAATCCGTCTTAATTTGGGCTCAAATCCTCAATGCCTCATGCGCAAGGGTCACGGCCCATGTCCACTTTATGCAAGACAAACCATGCCACCCACTTCAAACACGTCACTCGGTCGTAATGTGACTCCCCAAATAACTCACCCACTTTCCCTAGCATTCCAACCCAACCAAGACTCCAAGAACAATGAATCACACAGATGGACTATCTCCAGCGATTTCGTAAATAGATGATGCGTTTTTAAAAAGAGTGTTGCTATTCGCACACAGGTGCAAATCCTCACAAATAAACAAATGGACCTGGGTAGTATATGAGTCAAAGGTACATTTTGAGGCCTCTTTCCTACATTATTAACAAATCCAACTCAATAAACTTACAAACGTAATGAAATTGATTCTTCGGGGATAAATATTAAGACTACGGATCATTAAAATGTCATTTCCTCAACTGCTGTATTAGGTTGATAATTATATGTACTTGTGTGTGCGAATCGGCTGCACGTGTGCAATGCTCTTCAAAGTCAACACCCTCACCTTGTATAACGAGAACCGCCCAGACACGTGATGGAGAGTAAAACTTGCTTTGAGATTGAAATAGTATAAAAGTAGTGTCCCATCTGGGTTTCTCGTCATTATTGATCTCCACACTTGGTGCCAGATCTTGGCACAGCCTGATGTTGTGGTCCGTATCTGATTGTAATTATTGTAAGCACTTCTATTCAAGACAATGCCAACAGGTTCTCATTAACAATGTCAACTGGGACTTAATATCATAAAACGCCATATCGTTAACATGTACTGGAGTGGTATCTTAGGTCATCTCCTCTTAGAGCCTCGCTCCCCCTGCCCTCCAAGCTCCCCTAACTCTCCTCGCACCCGCTGCTGCAGCCCCAAAGTTGTGTAATCTCTCTCCAATTAAATAAGCCTCATCGCGGATGCGGGCCGACCACCCATGGAACACCCTCACCAGCCCAATGGTGTTCTTGATCAACAGTGCGGCTAATGCCACGGCGGGATACGACTGTCGGTAAATGATTGCTAGTCGGGCCGCCTCTGCTGCCTCGTTCAGACCGGCTTGCGCACCGGCGATCATACCATACTTGATGAGGGCCGTGGTTATCGCTGGAGGCCCAAACACTGCTGCCACAGAGATCGCTAGTCCGGGGACGACGAATGCCCTAGTCAAGACACTAGCATCGGGATATAACCAGCCCTCGCGGAGGACAGTGCGGACGGCGACGGCGAGACGCGTGTCGGCGAACAACGTGGTCACCATCCGAGCACTCAACTTCAAATACAACACACCTAACGTCCATGCCTGAATGACCCGCACGGTGTGTCGGCTCGCTTCCGGAGCTCCATCTCTCGACGCTTGAATTGACGCCGCAGTCGGGGGATACATGTAGGTGTGGAGCGGGATGGCGAGATACAGCTCCATGATTGCCGACACCAGTAGCGGGAATACGACAAGGAGGAGGAAGTAGGAGTACAATACCGAGCATCCATGAAGAATCACGCTAGTGACACCTGGAGGGGCACCCCCCATAGCGACCTGTTCTAGGGCAATGTTGAACCATCGGTGGGCCTTGGCCCAGAGGCTCTTGATGTGGAAGACCAGATAGGCAAGAGATCCAAGGAGATACACTCCGATGCTGAAGGCGTAGATGTCGTTGGTTCTGATGTGAGAGGGGATCAGCATCTTGAACATCCTGCGGCCAAACACTAGTGGGATAATTGTGAATCCGACACCGGTGACGGCGGCGAAGATCCAGATGAACAAAATGAACAAGAAGACTCTCGCGCGGAAGTTCGGGGGGATGTAGACCATCTGGTACTGGTTGGAAGAATACAGATCGGTGTCCAACTGCCTATCGAGTCGGACGCCACGTTCCGAAACGTCAAGAAAGACCCTCCTGCCCTTGGGGATCTTGACTCGATCGGAAGCCGGGGCGCGCACGAAGTGACCACTCTCCAAGATCTGGCTTGAGTCCCTGAGGCGGGCCTTCTTGCGTCGGAGATGGGACATTTCTGCCTGAGTCAACGGTGGCTTCGGCTTGGCATCGCCTCCATCGAAAGCGTCCTTCCAAGTCTTCGGGGTGACCTGATGATTCTTGTCCAATTCCAGGAAAAGTGTCCTGTACCAAGGGAGTGCGTGGTACTCCGACGTCACGCCCAGCTGAAGGCTACCCTCCTCATCGATTCTCCGTTCGCCGAAGAGGAAAAATGTTAGACGCAGACCACGCGCGCAGGTTCGGAACCACCACGTGTACATAGCATGCAGTCCATCGCCGGGCTTGAAGAAGTTGACCGCCAGTGGCATAAGGAAGTTGTAGAAGAGTAGGTCGACAGGGAATTCCAGGACGGGTTCGTTTGATGAGTAGTGGATCGGGAGAACGTTGGGCAACGTGTAGGACAGACCCCAAACGACACCACCCAGACAGACAACGACCAATGCGCCGTAGACAAATGCGGAGAAGAGAATCTTCCTCAGCTGTGTCGTCAGGTTTCTCTCGAGTACATCACGAACTGGGTGAAACTCAGGATCATCGGGGTCGCGGATGAAGTCTAGCACGCTGTTAGTAAGGAAGTAAAGGGAGTGGTGAGTTGAACTTACAGAGGACGCCCTGTCGCATAATCTTGCGGCACATGGAAACGAAGAGCGCGAAATGGAACATATACCCGGTGCCAACAAACCAGTGAACGAAGACAGATGTCAAGGGATAGTTGTACGTGAAGAGCATCCGAGACTTGAAAGTCGTGTCTTCAAACAAGGGCAAGAGAGCACCGTCGAGGAGAAGGCCGCAATAAAGGGGAAAGACGAGCATTTCGATGCTGATGATCATGATGACCTTCATGATGCCGCTGGCTTGGTGCAACGTATCGATCACGCCTGCCTCCCACGCCTGCATGAGATTGCCTCTGGAGAATGGGCTTCCGCGCTTGAGGTACATGGCACCAATAAAGAAGAGCGTAACGTAGCCCGCGAGGATAGCCCAAAATCGATCCACTCCAGACCAGTCCGCCAGCTCAGGGTTAATGGATGGCGAGGTCTCCGCTTCGCCGAGATTAATTACCCAAGCGTTGGGGTTTAGCAACACTGAGGAGGAGAGGCGAATGTGATTCCAAGCAGCCCCTGAAAAGGAGGCAATGGCTGGAAGAGAGGGGAGGTTGTAAAAGATGTGTCCGCCAAAGACAAAGGTAAATGCTTCGCTCACGGTCGAAAGTACCGTACCGATGTGGCCCTTGACTGTGAGCAACGCCCCGTGGCTGATGGCCGAAAAGTTCTGCATCTCGGAGGCGGACATAGGGAAGTCCATAAAGGCATACTCCAGGACTCGCGATCCGGCACTGGTCCACAGCGCCCATGACGCCTTTCTTGCTGACACGACCTGTGACGCAACGAAACCTCCGATGATGTTGGTAAACATGTCGAGTAGGTTCAAAGCCACCCAAGAAGCGAGCCCGGCAAACATGACAGCGGCATCTTGAAGAAGCTTCGAAAGCTCAAAGAGTAGCCGAACAAGTCGCATTGGGTTTGCTAGGATCCAGACACTGACACGTCCAATGTTGTATGGGATGAAGATGCAGGCAAAGATCGTTACAGAGACGAGGACTGCGCAGAATATAGCGTTCTGGAATAGGCCTGCGATAGGACCGCGCATACCGATGAGCTCCATGACGCCCTCAAAGTCCTCGAGGTCTTCGATGGCTTCTGGGTCGAGCCCATCGCCAGGTATACCATCAAGGTCTTCAGGCTGTACATCGGCATTATCATCTGCAGCGTCCGCTTCATCGACATCAACCCATGCATCATCATTAGCATCGGCAGCAGCAACATGGTTAATCGCTTCGGCCTGAATATGATGATGATCCTCGAGATCACCCCACATGAATTCGGTGACTCGATCAACCAAGCCGTGAGCCCTTTCATTATCTTGCTCGACGGCCTCTTCCGGGTTTCTGTGGTTTGCAGCCTGTTCTTGATGAGCGTTATGGACGTTTGATGGCCGTTCTTCGAAGGTGATGTCCGGTTTAGACGAGTGACGCCTATGCTCAGGATCCTCGAACTCGGCCGAGAGGCTACTAGAGGATCCAGTCTCAGGAATTCGGTCAGAAGAAGGGGACCTGCTCTCGAAGAAACTAGGTCGGTCATTGGTGCGATACTGCCGTGCATATAGATCCTCAGCCTCAGACTCGGATGGCAAGGCCGCAAAGGACCAACTGTTGTTGGCCAGCGGGTTAATGGTGTCATGCAGCTTAGGACCATCAGATACAGCACGGGGCCGTGAAGGACCCGGGACCAATCCTGTCCAAGGGTCGGCGTCTATGTCTGGGATTGGGAGTGACTCCCTTTCCTTCCCCTTTCGAGAAGCTGCCGGGTGTTCTTCCATATCAATCGCAGATCCTTCGTTTGACCCTGGGGTGAGCGCAATCCTGGAAGAGCTCTCGCCTGTTGAACCAGAGCTCTCAGGGCGATCACCGACTAGAGGCAGCTCTGGGCGCCTATGAAGTGCCGCCAGCTCTGGGATGCTGGCTTCTTGGCCGGGGATAGATCGGCGAGTAATGTCGACCCAATAAGCGAGTTTTTCTTCAAGACCCTCATCCTCAACTATCTGCAAAATCCTCTGAGGGTCTCCATCCGCGAGGCGATAAATGCGCAGGTACTCATGTACGCTGGTTCGTTCTTCCAAGGCGCTGGAATTCACCTGAGGCCAAGGTTCAGGTGCCACGACGCTAGCAGCGCCAGTATCCTCAAACCCTGCTTGCGGTTGTCGAGCATAGGATGGACCGAGTCGTGGATCATTGACTTCAACGGGCCCTATGAGCTCTCCATCATCTAGAGTCTCCTCATCCGACTCATCTAGTCCTCGAAGATCTTCTGCGTCTTCTTGTCGGACAAGAATCGGTTCCTGTGCAGCAAGAGGATTTTCAGGGGCAGCGAAGGCAGCGCGCATGTTAATTTCGGGCTGTTGCTGAACGACGTAGTCTCGAACCAAGATGACGAGGATAAAGCAGACGATGACCAACACCGTGATAATCTGCCCCTCGAGCACATAGACGAGAGTTCGATTTAGGGTGGGGTTTCGGGTCAAGTTGTGGAGAAAGGTGACGTCGCCGAGAAGAGACGGGGGCGTCGTTCCTATGGGAGAGCCGTCGGCTGAAGTCGCAGAATCACCTGATTCCGATCGATTGTACTTGGAGGACATGTATAATGAGTTGAGAAGGACACGGAGGAGGAACTCGGAGATGTTCTGGCCTGACAGCCCATCAAGCATGGCTTGGGCGACGGCAGCGGATGTGGTGACGGGCACAAAGAGGGGACTGGCCGGGCATGTATCATTTCCGAAGGCTGACTGTGCCAGCTCTACTGTAGCCGCGACCGTTTCGTTTGACCCAGAGAGCATTGAGCTGGCACCGAGCCCTTCGTCGCTGACCCAGAACATGAAAGACCATACTGATCTCATCAAATAGGGCAGCCAAAAAACCCAGACGCTGATGGCCATGACGGCGCGGAGCCAGACCAGGACATTGCGCAGGAGATATTTGGCCATGTGACCGACGAATACGTGTACGGGCAGAGACTGGGGCATGTCTGGGGCGTAGAGCTTGGTGAAGCGGAACGACGTCTTGCAGAGCTCGCAGTACTTCTTCTGCGAGTGCGACAGCCACTCCATCAAACAGTCCTGGTGGACAAATTTGATGCTACCGCTGCACTTGCATGGATAGAACAGCGGCTCTTCTGGTGTACCCTCGCCACGACATATTCGACAGATGCCGGGGGCCGTATCCTGGGATTGGAAGGGGTCGTCGGATCGGGTAGCAGCGCGGTGGAAGCCCTTGAGCTTGAGACCTGGGGTGGGATCCTCCATGGCGTCGGTGAGGGCGATGGCGATCCGAAGGAAAATCGACCGTACCCGCAAGGGGCTTCTTAGGGGAAGGTTGCGGGTAGAACCATGCGCAAGATGGTGAGCTGGCGCAGTTGAAGTCGAACAATGTAGCCACCAGACACCGACGCGACCGAGACTCCGAAAGGCGGGCCAAGACGGGCCGGTGCGATTCGTCGAGGCACAAGTGGGGAGACGGCAGAGGCGGTGGGAGCTGGGCGTGGTTCGCTTGCGTACTCGTTCGCTGGGGTTGAGGGAGAGAGGTGAATCGCGATTTGCGTGGCCGCGCGATGGTGTTAGCGTTTGGTTGTGGATTTCGTGATGGTGTTGAGACGTGGTTGTTAATTCGCAGTAATGTTGGGTGGCTGTTGGAGAGACAAGGCACTGCCGCTAATTGCCACCACGGTTCCGACTTGCTTCTTAGTGCTGGGGCTGCGTTCTGCAGTGAGCAGTTGGCTGCCAGGTGGCGGTTGGTGGGCGCCTGGGCTCTGGTGGCTTAGGTGCGGTGAGTGGTACGAACACAGGGTCCTCGACTGATCCGTCTACGCGTACGCCTGATAACTTGCATCCTAAAAATTAGGCTACCTAACCTGATAATAGGACTTATGATGGAAACGATATGGCTAATTTCTTTCTTTAGCATTTCTTTCTTAGTTTCCAGGTGGTAAAGTTTTCTTCCTGTTTCCCCTTCCTCGTACACACGACTTTCTGCGCACTTGCTATTTTGGATAGAGTCTATGCCGCAAAGAGGTGAGGGCTACACAATATAATATGGTGCACTCATACAAAAGCCATGTACCGCACACGTGTGAATAACAAAGTTGCCTGTGCTAATAACAACATCAAACAAGTTGGCGGATTGTCTCCGGATTATATAATGATCCGATGCTTCCACAATGCGTTCCAAAGTGCTCTCACGTGCCAGAGTGCTCATTCGCCGGTTCAACGAACGGCCTCGGAGCATGATGCGTGCACGGGCTGATGTCATGGGTACATATAAAGCGGCATCTGTCACATGGGAAGGGATCGTCGTATCGTTAAGAGGTGGTCTACTGGCTATGATCATCTGGGCTATGGAGTAATTCATTTTTGTTTCGTAGATGAAGCAAACATAGCAGATTTGGGTCTCATCTCGACGTTGTCCCTAAATGTTATAATGAGTAAGGAATGGATTGCGCCATTTGAAGTACCCTCGGTCAAAGCGAACTGTTGCCACGGGTTTGCCTTAAGAAGCTGTTAATGACTTGAGCTGCCATAGCATTGTGCGCAAACTTCTTGAGTCAACTTCAACATGGCATCGCGTTTCTATGAAGCCAATCAAGTACCCCTCATGAAGTCATTGCTTCCATTACTTGCAAAATATTGGCCGATATGTAGCTGTAATTGGAATGCATCCCCAACACGTTCTTGGCTGTTCAACGCCCGCGATGTGACGTAGATGAGTTGAACTCGGATTGCCTCTGGCTCCAACACTTGGTTGCGCGTTCCCAAATGGCTGGCTGTCGCTGAGTCTACCCGTTAGCACCTTTTACTGTGCCTTGTATCGAAAAATATGTTGGAGATCAAGATAGCAAATCAAGCTTCGGTCGACTTCGATGACGTCTGCGTGCTTCTGATAGCGGCGCAGAGTCGCTGCAGTGTCTCAAGGTGGTGTACCTAGGCGGTCTAGGCCACCCAGGCTTGGAAGCGAACTGCTAAAACCTGGTGGGGGGGAGATGACACCACTGGGACCACACCGCGGGCGTTCGGGTCTGGGATCAAAGGCGTCAATCCGGCTTCACCACTCCCTCTTTTTACTCACTGACGTCCTAAGAATAATGCTCGCCTACGATTCATAAATCCAGCCCGCGGTTTGAAGAACCCTTCGTCTCCATCCTCGTTTGCGCCGCCTGTCTCGCTTTCGTCTCGTGTCGCGTCGCAGGAAAATCCCCCGGCGTTCACGGAACCTGAAGCGACGAACCCCTGCAAGCTTTGTCCCAGGCAAAGCTTCGCCCCAGGCAAAAAGTCCACATAGGTCGATTGGCTTCACGGCGTCGCCAACTGCCAGAGCTTCCTCAGCTCCTCAGCTTCCTCTCGCTCCACCAACCGGCTTTGTCGCGACATTGCTCGCTTTCTTGATTCGCTGCATCTTCTACCCATCATCACGACTCTGCGTGGCCTCCAACAGCCGGCCTCACTTCGCCCTCCCGCCGCGCGACGAGCTGCCGCCGGTCGCAGCCAGCTCCGATAACAGCACCACCTCCGCCATGGCCGAGTCTGCCGGTTCCATCATGACTGGCAACGGCGCCGCCCACATCAACGGCAAGTCGAATGGCCAGCCTCTTGGTCGTCGAAGGACCAGCAGGAAGCGCCGCAGTCCCCTGCTCTGGACGTTCAACGTCGTCGCAAGGTTCGTTTCTCCCGTTGCCACGTCCCTATCAGCCCAGACTTTGTGGCTGGCCTCGTGCATGGCGCGTCCTGTCGCTGCAGATGCTGCAGTCGCTACAGTCGCATGGCATCATCATCTGCAGGACATCACCAACTGATTTGTGGATATTATAGACTCGCGACCTGGGCTGCCATCCTCACCATCCTCTTCCGATGCCCCTCCTCCCCCGAGACTTGCGACGAGAGCTCACCGTTCATCTGCCGACCCTACTTCCAAGTCAAGAACGCCGTGTCACCTCATCTCCAACCCTACTACGACGAATTCGCCGCACCCTACGTCGAGATTGCTCGACCATACTACGAGACCGTCCATGAGAGGGCCTGGAAGCCCACTCGCGCATACGCTATCCAATATGGAGCCCCCTGGGTGGAGAAAGCACAGGAGCACGCCTGGGCCCAGTGGCAGAAGAACGGACAACCTCAGCTTGCCAAGTACCAAGGTATCGCGCAGGAGAAGTACGATGAGTCTGTTGCCCCGTATGTGAGCCAGGCCACCTATACCGTTGGTCCATACTACGACATTGCTCGCACCAACGCCCTCCAAGTATATTACGAGTACGTTCTCCCGGGCTACGAGTTTGTCCACCCATACATGATCAAGGGCTATGATGCGGCCTCGGATTTCACCACTAGTACCGCCCTCCCCACTGCCTACTGGGCATGGAACAAGTCGTATGTCTTCCTAGACGCTAAAGTCTGGCCTCACTTGCGAGTTGTCTACAACGAGAACGTAGAACCTCAGCTGGTTCGCATTGGAGAGCGTCTCGGACGTTTCAATGCCCGGGACAAGGTCAAGACCTCCCAAGCCTCGCAAGAAAAGGTACCATCCAGGTGAGTTCCTTCATACCTCCCCCCAAACACATATCGCTGACATAGCGTTTTTAGCTCTGTGACGGATTCAGTGCCCTCATCGTTCATCAAGCCAGCCCCGCAGAGTACAGCTTCTCCGGAAACCACCTCGCAGCAACCTGTGGCTAGTGAAAGCCTCAAGACTAAGGAGGTCCCTGAGCCCAGCCCTGAGCCCAATTCTGATCTTGAAGCCGAGGACGTTGCCGGCCAGTATGTCAACCCCGTGCAGGCACCGCCGGCCGACGAGAACGAGACCGAAGGCCGCAGGAAAGCTCGCGAGATGGTTGCCCAGGATCTTGAGACCTGGCAGAACAAGTTTGCTACACAGGCTGACGACGGTGCTGCTGATATGGAGGACCGTGTCGACGAGATTGCGGATCGCATGATTGAGCAAAATGCCAAGGTCACCGGCAGGGCACTATTTGACGAGCTCGAGTCCACCATTGATTTAGAGCTCCGGGAACTCAAATCCAAGATCTCATCGCTTGTGGAAGTGGCTGACGAGAGGCCGGATAGCGTCCAAGGACAAGTTCTCGACGCCGTTCGATCCGCGGGTGTGGCCATTAAGACGAGGGCACTGGCAATTCGACAGTGGCGCGAAAGCTACGACAAGGAGCTGCAGAACACCGTCATTGCCGTCGCCGATGTCCACTTCCAGATCCTTGACGAGACCCGGAATCTTGCCCTGCAGCACATTGGCATGAGATGGGCCTGGACAGAGGGCGTCACCTACAAGGACTGGGCCAAATACCACGAGTTGAAAGCCACTCTCAACGAGTGGACTGAGCAGCTCAAGCAACTCATCGTCACCCACCCTGCCTTGCTGGAGGCTCAAGATGCCTCGGCGCAGGTGGAAGATGAAGGCATGGAAATCGCCTCGGCTGCGGCTAGGGAACTGGCTCGACTTAAAGAGGTCGCTCGCTGGAAGATTTCTGCTGGGGATGCTACAGATAACTTCGACAGCGAGGAAATGAAGATGGCTGCTGAGGCTGCCACTTTGGCCGCCACTGTCGCGGCTGCCGAGAAGGAACAAGCAGCTACTGAAGCCGTTGTCGAGGACATCAGTGATACTGAGTTCTCGTACGCAGAATCTGTTTTTGACGAAAAGGACACCGCATCTATCGATACATCATCCACTGACGATGACGCCGCCCCTACCACCGCTGCTAGAGAGCCTGAACTCAGGTTTGAGGAGTTTGACTCTTTGGTCGGAGAGCCCATTGAGGAAGCCACCTCGTCGATACCCGAAGCTGATCAAGACGACTCAGCTGATGATGCCGAAACTGTCACGATTAGCTTGGCTGACGGCACCGAGACCGAGACTATCAGTTTGGCTGGAGCAAGCGAACCTTCCGACAACATCGACAAGACGTCTTTAGTTGCTACAGACACGATCGAGGAAATCAGCACCGAAGCCTCGAGCCTCATGGACGAAGCCAAAGAGACACTTAGCAGCATTGCGGACCAGATCTTGGAAACTGCGGAGGACCTACCAATTGCGGAGCCTGAGTCTATCGCCAGTGTGGTTGAGGAGTTGTCCAGTGAGATTTCAGAGGCGTCTTCTTCTCCCGATGCCACTGATGCTACGGATGCTGCCGAACACGAGGACGCGACCTTGACCGATTATCTTGTTTCAGAAGCATCTGAGGCGCTTGTGGGTGATGGTACTTACACAATCGCCAGCAACGAGAGCGAAGAACCGGCTTCCGTGGATGGTGAAGATGAGTCTAGCCACACCGACATCGACGAAGATGTTCTCCGTGATGAGACGCCGATTTCAGAGGAAAAGCCCGTCAAACGCGTAATGTTCGGTGCTGCTGCCCAAGAAGTCCCTAACCGCCAGATAGTTCTCGAGGATTACGAAGACGACGACGTCGTTGGGAAAGCTACGGGCGCTGCCCAGGCAGCCTACTCTAGCGCCGTCTCTCGTGCATCTGAGCAATACTCGAGTGCGCTCTCCGTTGTGTCTGCCCAGATTTATGGAACTCCCAAACCTGTCCATGGGCAGCTCTTATCCTCGGTCTCCAACGCTTACCAGAGTGCCGTCTCGGCGGCCAGCGAAAAGTTCAACAATGCCGTGGAGGGCATTAAGGGCACGCCTGCAACCCCCACCACGACCCCTACCTTTGTGGACTGGCAGAATGTCGAGGCAATCGCCGCTCAAAGACTCAACGAAGGGCGACTTTGGGCTGAGGTGCAGTATCAGAGTGCTCTTATTGCACTCGGCCTCGCCACCAGTGCCACGCCGACTCCGTCAACTGTCATGGAGAAATATTATGAGCAGGCCAAGTTCAACTATTACGCTGGTCTTGGAATTGCCCAGGATCGATACTATAGCTTCATGGCTGGAGCCTCATCGGCGCTTTCGTCCATGACGGCTACGCCTACCCCCACCTCAACTCCAACCAATGTCGCTGAGTCTGCTTCTTCAATTGCGTCCGTGGCCTACGAGTCGGCAGCTTCTGCTCTTTCCGCAGCGGGCAATGGCGTTGCGTCGGCTGCTCAGGCAGTGGACGACTCCGTTTCCTCCGTTGTTGATGCTGCGAACGAGCAAATCTCGAATGCTGGCATTGCCATTGCCGACACTTGGGGCAATGTCGTAGCGGAAATCAGTGCGCAGGTCTATGGAGAGCCGACACACACTGCACAGATTGCTTGGTATGAGCATATCTTCAGTGATATTGGTTCTTATGCCGCTGCAGCAACTGACGCTGTAACAAACAAGGCACACTCTGCATCGGACTCTGCTGCCACCGTCGCCGGTGACGCGTCGAAGCAATACGAGGCGGTGAATGAGCTTGTATCAGAGCTTATTAGTGGGAAGGAACCCTCCTTCTCTGAAAGTGTGCTCTCAAGACTACACGCAGCCTACACCACGGCGGCTGCAAGTGTCGGAAGTCTGGCCAACGCAGCGAGCCAGGCGACAGAGGCAGTTAAAGAGAAGGTCCAGAACATTAGGGACGAATTGTAAGGAGGAGAACCGAGGCTGAAGTGAAGCCACGCTCTTTTGGACGATACCCAAGTTGATATGACGATCGTTTGATGCCATATTTTGAGGACGAGATGAAAATGACATTTGAGAAGGCCGGGGAGGTTTGACAGCGGGAGTTACCGACAAGGATGGAATAATGGGTGTGATTGATGGGACTTGGACGTCGTTCGTGATTGGCGGTGGACAAGAGCTTGTACTCTGCCATGACAGCCCTGGAGATGTGTCTACGGCGACACCGAGACCAACCCATGTGACCACAAGGAGGAGGGGGGCAAACCTGGTTGTACGGAGCAAGATCTGAGAGACCGCTATGCCGGCTCAGGAGGCACCAATGGGCTGGGCTCGAGGTGCATATGCCCTTGATTGTTTTGATATTCTATGCGGCGTCAGGTGGGGATTTGGTGCTGGGCTGTGGTCGGCAACACAGGCATGGCGCTGAGCACACGCTCCCAAGATATCCCTGAGATACGACAATCTGATGTTTTTGTTTTTGCTTCTTACCTGAACGTCCACGCACGCTCCCTCTTGTGATTCATGTGTCAGACCACGGCCTTGAGAAGGACCTCTCCTCCACATCCTCGGTTCGCATCCTCGGTTATCGCGGTTTGGGCTGTGGTATGACCGCCAAGAGAGACGCTTTCCAACGCTGTGGAACCACCCGTTTCGGTAACCCTGAGCTTCGGGGTCTTGGTGAACATGGTCGATGCAGTTATCCTGCTGCCTAAACAGTCTAGCCCGTCATGGTGCAGCGATGACGAGCTACGGGCCCTTATGATTCGATGCTGGGTCCTGGAGGATCGGCAATGCGTCGATTCATTCAAGGTAACTGAGTATTAGGAAAGGCTCCTAACAGGCTTTCGATAAGGTTAATATGTGGGCATCCTTTTCAACAGCACCGGTGTGAGCCGTTCTGCCGATAGGTACAGTCCGTTTACGGAAGAGAGGGGGACCGACTGTCCAACAGCGGCATCCCCGCGCGGCGCTTGAGTGGAAGAAGTTGGACTTTCTGGACCTTCGGAGCTTTCTCAACGGGTGGGGTGTCGTTCACGGACCAATGGCACAAGCGACACAGGGGACAGGGTGTGAGAAGATGGCATTGGTTGTTAGGTATGTTCCAGCATTTGGGAGACGCTCGACAGGGAAGCTCCAACGGAACGTTGTATCTCGCAGCGCCCGCGGGGGGGAACACCCAATTGATGGCGTGGTGACCACGGGACCAGCGTCGTACTCTGGGACGAGGAGGATGAGAGCTGAGGTGGCGGTTCGTCTGATTGTTTTCCTGGCAGCATGGGGCGCAGGGATTGAGGCCGGGGAACAGGGAGGGGATGAGCTTGGAGGCGGATAGACCTTGACCGACACCCGGGCTAACGAGTGAGTGGTGATGGATGTGAGGGATTAGAAAAGGTTTGGGATTGGAGACGGAATCTGGAAATGAGGCTAGACTTACAGCGTAGGATGCTGCTGGGGGAGGGTGCCGAGGTTGGTTGTGACGGTTGATGGGGTGTTTTATGTAAAGGAAATATAACTGCTGTGGATGTCGCCATACATGTTCTTTCAGTCCGAGTCGTATCATTCATTCCTCAAACTAGGTAATAAGCCCTACTGCTCTCCGGCGAAACGCCAGAACCTTCAGAACCACACACGCACACGCACACAATTGTCGGCATCGAGCACCAAGAAATTGCAACGTAGCGCAGGGTCGATGTCGATCTCTCTCCCATGGCGTCTTAGACGTGCCTCGTCGCCCGTGGGGGAAGCCCAAGCGGCTTACTCCGTACTTACTTGCGCAGGACGGAGTCCCCGAAGGGAACGGGGGCTTGCTGTAGCGCGACGCCCCAGGCCCTTATCGGAGCTAGCGCCCTGTACGCTAGGGGGAGAGGCGCTCTGGGGATGCGCTCCGGCGCTCTGGGGATGAGGCTATTTTGCAGCCTCTCGGCCCAACTCTTCGCCTCTTGCGCGGGGAGCAACTGCGTGCCCCTCCACGACGGGACAGTTGCAGTCGAGGTCGAGCGTGGTCAGACATGGCAATCAATAATCAGGGTCCCTATTGGCCTGCAAAGGGGAACCAACATGGACCCCCAGTCGCTGAACGTCGCCGTCAATCTTCTCCATATCGGGTATGCTGGGCCGCGGCCTCGAGAGCCAACGAAAGCCCGGGAGAAAATCTCCCATGCAAGAAATTCCACGCGACAGCCCTGAAGACGCGGATATGTACGTTGGACGCCACCGAGGCGCCTCTCTTCGTCGACTCCGAGCTGTAGGCCTGCGAATTGGTGGGTTCCTCTTCTCGAGAACCAGCATCAGCAGCACCGTCTTCTCTCATCCCGGGCGTAGATTACGTGCGACACCCATGTGCGGCCGTGTCTCTCCACACGGGACTTGGATCGCCGAGGTGTAGATAGGCAGCATGTGGACTGTACTCCGTAACTTACGTCGTATAGATATGGAGACTTGGTGTAGTAGTACCTACTATGGGAGCTACTGCGATACGGCGGATCGGCGCCCGTATATAAACCTCGCCGATGGCCCGGCTGTTGGTTCCGTCTAGGCTCCTTGGCTCTGCATTCCTCTCTTGGCATTCTGCGTGCATCGGTTTGTGTTACCAAGTCGCCATTTTGAGACATCGTTTTTGGGAAATACCTAGCCAGAGCGCGCGAGAAAAGAAACCACGCCCTCAGTCTAACTTCGCCTTACGGCCCATGGAATTCTTCGCCATCTTCTTTTCCCTCTTCAAATCTCTCCATTGAGAGACACCGATAGTCTCTCTTTCGAACCTCACCCGACTCAAACGTCAACGACCACTCATTAGATCTGCGATGGCTTCAACTGGCATATCCTCGACACCGCCGGCCTACTCGTCCGACCATGAGAAGAGAGGCGGCCCCGAATCGCTTCCCTCACCTATCGACGACCTTCACATGACACTTTCCCACACGGTCAACAAAGATGCCACCCACCGCAAGCTCAAAGCCCGCCATATCCAGCTCATTGGCATTGGTGGTACCATCGGCACTGCTCTTTATGTGCGTACTTATGAGATGAACCGGCCTTACTCCCCGTGAAATTGCGTTCCATGTGCTCATCCATGTCTGTCTTGTCGTCTTGCAGGTTCAAATCGGCAAAGGTCTGCTCAATGGAGGCCCTGCTAGCTTGTTCATCGCCTTCACAATCTGGTGCAGTTTTATCCTGGCCATCACCCTGTGCATGGCTGAGATGGTGACCTACCTGCCTATTTCGTCCCCTTTTATTCGATTCGCTGGTCGCTATGTTGACGAGGCCTTTGGCTTTGCTGCTGGCTGGAACTTCTTCGTCTTCGAGGCCGTGCTTGTCCCTTTCGAGGTCACCGCGTGCAACCTGATCATCCATTTCTGGAGCGATGCTGTTCCAACAGGCGCCATCATTGCCATCATCATCGTACTATATGCGCTCATCAATGTCCTCGCTGTGCAATGGTACGGCGAAACTGAATTCTGGGCTGCCCTCGGCAAGGTTCTCCTCATCATCGGCCTCATCATCTTCACCTTCATCGTCATGGTCGGCGGAAACCCCCAACACGACGCTTTCGGGTTCCGGTATTGGAAAAATCCAGGTGCTTTTACTGAGCTGTACTACGGAGGCTCGCTGGGTCGCTTCCTCGGATTCCTCCAGTGTGTGATTCAAGCTTCCTTCACCATTGCCGGTCCCGACTACGTCTCCATGGCTGCTGGAGAGGCCGAGAACCCGCGATCCATCATGCCCCGGGCCTTCAATGCCGTGTTCTACCGTCTCACAACATTCTTCGTCCTTGGATCGCTCTGCGTGGGAATCCTGGTTCCCTTCAACGACGCAGAGCTGTCGGCTGCCTTCAAGAATGCCGAGCCCGGTGCCGCAGCCTCACCCTACGTCGTCGCCATGAACCGACTTGGAATCCCAGTCCTTCCCCATATTGTCAACGCCATGGTGTTGCTGTCTGCCTTTTCCGCCGGCAACTCCTACGTGTACTGCGCTTCGCGATCGCTCTATGGTCTTGCCCTGGAAGGAAAGGCGCCCAAGTTCTTCACCATTTGCACTCGGAATGGTGTTCCCCTGTACTGTGTGATTGTGGTTCTACTCATCGCCTTGCTTTCATTCCTCCAGCTCTCCAACAACACTGCCGTTGTCCTGGATTGGTTCGTGTCCCTTGTTACCGCATCCCAGCTCATCAACTTCTCCTGCATGTGTGTGTCCTATCTGTGCTTCTACCGTGCGCTCAAAGCACAGGGAATCAGCCGAGATACGCTCCCCTACAAGTCTATCTTGATGCCCTACGCAGCTTACTATGGATTGGTCGGAACCTTCATCATGACCTTTGTTGGAGGATACACCGTGTTTTTGCCCTTTGAGGGTTACTGGAACGTGCCGGACTTCCTCTTCTCGTGAGACAGACCCAAAGAACATCAATGGACTCTACTAACGGCAATAGGTACACCATGGTTGGGGTCTTTCCTGTGCTCTACGTTGGATGGAAGTTGATCCACAAAACAAAAATCCATAAGCCTGAAGATGTTGACCTGAAGAAGGATCTTGATACTGTGGCGGAATACGAACAGAACTATATCCCTCAACCACCATCGTGAGTTTAATTTTGTGATTCGAGAATAAAGAAGAATAAAGAGAAGCTAACTATCATATAGGAGTTGGTTTGAGAAGATATTGGACAAGCTGTTTGCCTAAGGTAAAATAACCTGTGGTAGCATGTTTCTTCTGCTGTGATTTCTGCATAGTAATTAGACAGAGCAAGCTGCTGGGGCACGCCTAACAGCTGCCTTAGAAAATAGAAGCCCAAATCTGTCCGGAGACACCCGAATTCGCGAGTGAGGTTTGTGACACTTATTGAAATTCGCAAGGACACCATAATCCTTAATCCCTACATCATATGGCGAGCACCCATTCTTCCAATACGCATCTGCCATAGGTCACTCCAAGCCCACTAATTGCTTTTGTTATTTACTCTTCCCATCTTCACACGTCATACATGACCCCGGCGTGTATTTGCTGGGCCACGGCTTCTTCTGGATGTCCTTCGTGTCCACGTTGGAGGGCACCCAACAGTCTCGACCCCAACTAATAGCTCGAATGCATGGCTCCAAGCTCCAAACATGGGACGATGCAATAAGGTGACTGCACATGGGGTGTACGTAACGGACAGGGAGGCACATGGTCGGTACTGATATCTTGGCTGTTCGCCTGTTTGCTGTTTCTGCCAGGGTAGTTTGAGAATACACGATGGTGGATTTCGTATCATAGGAACAATAATAAACGAAAGTCAAGAAAGATCATGAGCACTTGAAGAATGCGCCTGGAAGTTGTGTTTAGAAATGATCACGGGGGGCCTCACGAGAGGGATGTCGGCGCCACTTGACAACCAAAACATGCTTTCAAGCGGGAGTATTCCTACTCGCACACATACACATTGCTATTCACGTAAAATTACAGATTCTATCAACCAAGCTTTAGCTACATGAATATACCTAGCATGTGCGTAGTCGAAGGGTGCATTCTTAGGCCAGAAGCACAACAGTGATATTAAATCTGGGCCAGTAAATGAATAAAAAACAGTTGTTAGGATATATCTTAAGAATGAATCTTATTAAATGTCTTTTCCTAAGCTACTATATCAGGCGCATTAAGAATAGCACCTTCTAAAATCGGGTATGCACTGGAGTGTGCAAGTAGCAACCTGTATATGCCTGACTAGCACTCGATATTCTTTCATAAGTAGCTAGGTGATTGATCGAAATTGGCACTGCAAAGAATACTAATATGCGTGGATGATTTTGAAGGCAATCTGACTGTGATTCAATACCCCTTGAAAACATGTAGACTAATTGAGGGGCCGGCGTAATGAATGACGACAAGTTCCCATGACGAGATGCTCGAACCTAAGTTAGACCAATAGTTTGGTGTGAATATTGAAACTTTGGTTGAGTCACTGTTTCGATGTGGACTTCTTCTCAGCAAGACATATTATATAGAAACAAACATTAACTTTTATCCTACTTGCAATCTAAAACATTTCTATCCAAAATCTAGGACTCTTTTCCATTCTACCGCTCACGAATTGAGACTTGTGTTGTTATGGACAGCTTAGTTCACAAACCTCCAAACCTTTATCTCTCAGGAACTCCGATTGTATCCTTGAGACTCACTCTGTGATCCCCCAAGATGTCGCGCCGGGCCGCATTCAACAACCTTGCCGTGGTCTAATCTCAGACACCAATTTGCATCCTCCACCGCCTCAAGGCGGTGGGCAATTGTGATGACTGTACTCTTGGACAACTCCTCTCTCAAGATACGCTGTACTCTGGCAGCGGTCGCGCGGTCGATGGACGCCGTAGCTTCATCCAGGATGACCAACCCGCTCCTCCGTAGGACCGCCCGGCCGATGCCCACGAGTTGTCGTTGTCCTTGGCTGAGATTCTTGCCGCCGGCGTCAATTTGCGAGTAAAGACCCCATTCTTCACCAAGGACACGATGGATGGCGTTGTTACATTCGATGTCGGTGAACTTGCCTTCCGGGTCAATGTTGTCACGCAAGGTTCCAGGGAACAGCGTTGGATCTTGCTGAATAAAGGTGACTCGGTTTCGCAGGGCTGTGCGGTTTACTTGAGACAGATCAATGCTTCCAATGGTGACTTGACCGTCGCAGGGTGCTTGAGTCGCTAGGAGGGCGTTGGCAATCGTCGACTTGCCGGATCCGGTGCGACCCAAGACAGCGCATGTGGAACCACCAGGAATCTCAAAGGAGACCTTGTCAAGAACAGAGGGGAGGTCATCAGCGTACTTGAACGACATGGCATTGAAACAAACACTGTCGCATGGCCGTGGCCAGTCCTCAGGTGGCTCGATATCGCCAGTTGGTTCCTCAGGAATTCGGTTCAGGGCATTGACACGTTCCAACGAAACCGCGTCGAGCTGCAGGGATGCGAACCTTTCGCAGAGCTGCTGAACAGCGCTCATCGCAACAGTAGTCTGAGTCAAGACGAAACCAACTGCACTCGCGGGTGTGCCGTACCACACCATGAACAGGATCAAGATGGCGCGCATACAGGCTGAAGAAGTGCCTAGTCTGAAGTCCAGCCAAAACGCCATGCTCCAGAAGAAGTGATCCTGTTTCTGAAAGTCATCCACGGCGTCCAAGTGTCTGTCTTGGAAGTGACCCTCGACCCGCAACGCGCGGATGGTCACGAGGCCGTCTTGCATGACGCCGATGTTGGCGATGATTGGGGTCAAGTATCTCATCTCCATGCGGCGCAGACACCGGGAGACTGGCACGTAAAGTCGGAAAAAGTATACAAAGAGCAATGCGACGCAGATAAGGATGATGATCAGTGATGGCTGGTGAGTCATAATGGCGACCAGACTAAGGATCAGGGCAATCAGGTTGTACACGAAGGACTCCAGAGGAGACAGAATGCCGCCATCAACCATGCCCATATCAGCAATCAGGCGGTTCTTCAGCTGACTCGTCGGAGTGATGTCGTGGTAGCGGAACGAAGCTTTGCTAACCTTCTCGATAGCGATCCTGAACAGGCCACGCGCAGCGTTGATGCTGATGCGGGCTAGGAGGAGCTGGGCGATGCCGTATGATACAATTTGCGCACCAGAGAGTCCGGCTAAGACATAAATCCACGGCTTGGGTTGCTGGCTAGGGTTGGGAAGGCCCCAGTAACTGCTGATCATGATCTCGGAGGTGTTGGCGGATTCGTTGCCCCATGCCTCGAGGAGGCGGGCTCGGGCGATGTCGCAGTATCGAGATAGGCCATAGAAAATAGCCAAGAAGATCCAGAGATGCCATCCGCCAGCCGTCATGTACCTGACAAAGATCGACAGAGGAACCCCGCCAGTCTCAGATGGCTCCTCTGGGGCCTCCTTTGTCCCTGCAATGTCACCTGGCTGGTCATCCTGGATTGTCTCATGGGTTTGAGCGCCGACGTGTCCGGAGTCGGAGTGACGAGGGTGGGCGAGTTCAGACTGTAGCTCGAGCAGAGACAAGACGTGCGCACGACCATCGGCAATATCAATAACTTGATCCGAATGTCGAAGAACCAGGTCATCACGGTGCGTAACCATGACGATAGTCCGGCCTTCTGCCAAAGGACCACAGAGGAAGCGCTTAACAATGGTGGCAGCAGTATCGTGATCCAGGGGGGCGAGGGGGTCGTCGAGAAGGAGAATGCGGCATTGGCTGTAAACTGCCCGGGCGAGGGCAACGCGTGCCTTTTGACCGCCAGAAAGACCGATGCCTCCCTCCTCCAGCTTGGTCTGATCTCCCTTGGGGAAAATAGCAAGATCGGGAACCAAGGCACAGGCATTGAGCACCTCGCGATATCGGACCGGATCATATCCCTGGTGGAAGAGGATGTTCTCACGGATGGTCTTGTTCTGAAGCCAAGGAAGCTGCTGTGCGTATGCGACTGGCTCATCAGGCCTGGAGAAATGGCCACCCCGGTGCTCCATCTCGTTGAGCATGGCAAGGAGAAGGCTGGACTTTCCGGAGCCGACCTTTCCTCGGATGACATGTAGACCCGTGGTGAACTTGAGGGTGAGATCACGAAGAACCAAGTGATCCGTAGAGGGCCGAGAGAAGGATGCACCGGAGAACTCAAAGTCCTTGCTGGCCGCGGTGTTGGACTCCTCATCCCTATCTGGCTCAGACATGTACTTGTTGACACGCTCGACTGGGGTGGTCGCCTTCCAGTATGCCGAGATAAGGTCGAATGCCTCCTTGACACTGGACTCCAAGTGACCAAAGAGCTGCAGCGATGGCCAGATGACGTCGTTGGGAAGACCCTGTCCAAGGATGAGAGTGTACAAGGTGATACTAGCGAGAGGGTACGTTGCGCCACCAAGGACGTTGACCGAGGAGATTGCCGCACCAACATGGGAAATCTGAAGCCGTTTGGCCATCTCCAGGTCTCGGAACTTCATGATCCTGCTACTCCACGACGATGTCCAGCCGTTCAGCTTGAGGGGTCGGCTAGCCTCAACGAAGTGCGACACCGCCTGGGCGCGCCTGTCAGAATGAGCCGCTCTCTCGCGCTCGAGCTTGATGGACTCGCGAACAAGCAAGGAGTTGAAAGAGAGAAAGAAGACCATCAGCCCAAAACCGATGCACGACGGCCATCCCATGATGTCGATGAGGTAGTACACGGTGAAGATGACCTTGATGGGCTGAGAGATGACCTTGGAGAATTCCCAGAATCGTTGGGAAATTTCGTAAGTATCCCCACGGACCAGGTTGACGACTTTTGCGTTGGAGGCGGACTGGGCTTGACCGTCGTTGCTAGAAACCTTGGCCTTCTTGCGACGACAAACCCGAGCAAAGAACCTCGAAAACTTGCTGGAAGATTGCAGAGAGTCAGGATAGGCATCGGCGGCAGTGGGATCCTTTTCTGTGCTTTCGGACCCAGGCACGGCTCGGGTCAGGAGTTTTCCAAACAGTCCGATGAAGGTTTCTCCGCGAGATCTCTCGTACGCCTTGCGAGCGTACCATCCAGCCGTGGTCTTTGAGACTTGGCGGATGGAATCGATGCCCAGCATCACGACACACCACAGGGCGGCCTCGGAGGGTTCGCCGTTGTCGAGGGCGTTGTAAAGCTTGCTCGTCAACCGGATGCCAGACACCTCAGAAACTTTTTCAACTATGGAGAGAGAGGTCGCGAGAAAGAGATCCAACCCATTGGCTTCGATGAGGCAGGGTAGAAGCTTGCCTTCAAGCTCGCGGAAGGCCATGTACAACCGGGTGTGCTGGAACTCAAAGGGAAGCTGCCACACGTCCTCGACGGTGATCTCTCGGTTCTTAGCCGCGAATGCCAGAGGATAGACCCAAGACATGGTCCAGAATTGGAAGAGAGTGAGGTTGTCTTCAGGGCTGCGAAGGTGGCTGGATGACGGGAGGCGTGGGCTTCCGATGTCCGAGATATCCCACGACGGGTCCCGCAGAGGCATGTTTCCAATTATGATGATGGCGAGAGAAGTGAGAATGGCTCTGGAGGCATGGATGGAACCCGAGATTTCGATTCTAGGATCCAGGAAGTGAACCGCGTAGATGGCCAAGCTCGAGAACAGAAGCAGCAGATATTGAAGCAGGAGGAGTTTTGGAGTCTTCGTTGGGCGATCAACCGAGGTGATGAGTGTGGCCACGAGCCATGGAACAGTCTCAAGCATGAAGATCGGACGACCGGGATTAAGAATAACGCAGACAATGGATAGGGCGAGTCCGATGAAGGAGATGATTTCGAGACAGAAGGTCGACGCGGTCCACCGCCTGCCCTTGCGAGGTTGCGGAGCATCCTCTTGGGCGAAGGGCTTCAACCAACGGGGCAATAGCTTGTCGAACTTGTTACGGCCGGCATATATGATGAGTGTAAAAAGGGACAGGACGGCCAGGGCGAGGGTGATGCGGGTGTCAGGTCCTGAAACTGCACCAGCACGGATTCGCTGAAGGAGTTTCTGATGAGAACCAAATGGAGTGAGAGGAACTCGGATTTGCCCAGGCTCTTCAAGAGCATTAGCGAAGTGAGCAGACGTCATGATGATTTGGAGCAGCCCGGGGCTCGTTCGTCAGTTGTGAGGATGGAAACGAAGGAGAAACATGGAAATTCCAACGGCCGAGAAGGGCTGGGTGAAGAAAAAATGAAGGAAAAATATTGGGCTCGGTATCTAAATATGGGCCGCCGAGGAGCCTTGTGGTCTATGCCAAAGGGGTTGAACGTCGAGAGAGTTGCAATCTGTAAAACAATATCCAGATAGGTTGCGGGATGAACTCTGGTGCTGAACCTTACCGAACCCGGCGAACAACAAGGTGGAAGAGGCGGCGAGGGAGCCAAAGCGGTTGTTGCATATGCCACAAGGTCCGCCTAGGCCATTGATGGCGAACTGCGAACAATGCCCACGACCGGACTGCGCAATCGACGTCCGCCAGGCAAAGGTCGAGCTGGGCTTGCTTCGGTGAGGCGGAGGCCGGAGAGGTGAGCGCTGAGCGGTTGGAGCTGGAGCTACCCCTCAGCATGTGAGAACCGTGAGGTCCTGTCACGTTGTTAGCGCTGTGACGGCGTATCAGGGCCTAGGGTGCAGTGGAGAAATGCTTGAAGCAACGGACATGGGTGATGGTGGAGTTGGAGGTTGGGAAGCGAGTCATGGAATGCCGACCCGTACGGTGTGGAAGATGCGGCCAGGACGGAGTGGCAGGTCAATCGGCTGGTCAATTGGTTTTTGACGCGGTGTATTATTTTCAATTGAGTCAAATGGAGGTTCTGCGATGCCATGGACGGGCACTGTTCAAGGCCTTAGCAACTGCAAAGCCATTGTCCACACTCTAGAAGTGCCGTCCATTGAATAGGTCGGGCGTGATAAAAGGTCATTAAATTCGGCCAGCCTCGGCTGCGTCGTGACGACTCGCTAAACAGAATATTCGTTTGTACGTATACAGGTATTTTCAGTCTCAGTTCTCCTCGAACCGGCCCATGCATTAGATCATCAGAGCTCCTCCAACAAACGCCATCGACAGCATGGTGACGATGCTGCCCAGGCCAGTAACGGACCACGCCTGCAGGGCCGACGCAGCGTCGGCGCTCTGGCTGGACGAGGCCGCACCGGAGGTCGCAGAAGTGCCCGCCGAGGCGGTGGTGGTCGAGCTGTCAGAGGTCGAGTTGGTGTCGACGAGAGCGGACAGGGCACTGTCGTCGGTGAAGGAGGCCTTGACGGAGGAGGCGTTGGTGCACACAGAGGGAGCGTCGGCAGAGCCCTTAACGAACGTGGCGGCGATGCACTGTAGAAGAAAGAATCAATCACCGCTCGGAATAGAGACACAAGGAGACAAACCTGGTACAGCAGACCGTCGGCAGCGGAGGAGACAACGCTCACAACGCCCTTCTTGCCAATGTAACTCTCGTTGACGGTGATCTGGGGCTCGCAGAAGTCGCCCAAGCCGCTCTGCTGGACAATGGGGAACAGCTGCTCCCAGCCCGACTTGGCCTTCTGGTCGGAAGTGACGCGGAACAGCCAGTTGGCCTGCTGGTGAGTGGAGCGCACGGCGATGGCCTCGCCGCCGACGTGGAACTCGACAAGCTTGCTCGAGTCGGAGAAGTCGGGGGTGAAGCCGCCGCAGGGGGAGTCGCCCTCGTTGTCGTCGCTGAAGCCGATGGACGCAGGGTACCTGAGCTCGAAGTGGGCCAGCGAGAGGCCGCAGAGGGCGGCGGCGGAGAGGAGGGTGTTGGAGCGCATGTTGGAGGAGTGGTGGTGATGGTTAGTGTGGAGGTGTAGGAGGAGGATTGGAAGTATCAAGGACCCAGCAACACTCAGTGATTCACTGGAGCAGAAAAACAGAACCTTTATACGGAAGAGGAACCTGAATATGGAGAAGACCAAGGAGAATGAAACTCGAATCCGGGCGCGTCAATGGCTTTTTGTAGCTCGCGTGCGGAATCGGAGGCTAAGGCAGGTGAGCAACGGCCAGCATGCGATGGTGTAACTTGGGGGAGCCCGACAGCCCGGGTTTGGCTGCTGTACCACTCAATGCGGCTACATCGGATACGGCAGAGGGTTTGAGTCGATTCGTATGAAACAGCCTCGCCGTGGTGTGACAAGTGGGAGTGGTTGAGACTGAGATTGGCACTATGAGTTTACACCATCGCCTGTCTTACATCTTACACGCGCAGGCCCAGGATATTGGAGTTTTGGAGTTGATTGCTTTTACTCTGCTTGCCCTCCAAAGATGCGATTCTGGTTCCTCTCTACAACACCTCTCCGAGTATCACAGCAGTACCCAGCATACGCCCAGCAAATACTCGCTCATACCACCATTGATGGAAGAGCGGCATCGCTAAAAACGTGGGGAGACGACCATAAAGGTGCAAAAGGTCGCGGCTTGGCGAACCAAGTGGGATCGTGTACAGGCGAGATCGACAGGGATCAGCACCGATCCAATCGGGACGGCGCTGGCGCACGGGCCCTGAGGTTGTTTGAGCAAGTTTACTCCTCTTTTTCCCACTGACGGATTGCAAGGTCAGCCAGCGATGACTTCAGCCCAAGCCTGATTTGGCTGCTGTCATGCTCTCTTACAAGAGGCAAAACAGCGCGTTTTGGTGGCAGATGCCTTCGGATCTCGGATACCCGGCACAGACACGGGGAAGGAGAATGCAATACTGCAGAGTGAGCAAGATAACGTGAGGCAAAGGCAACGGCACCATGATCCGAGAAACGAGACGCAAATAGAAGACACAGAACCGAGGATGGCGCGAATTCACTAGCTTAGAGTCCTTGGACCCGTTTTCTCTCTCTCTCTCTCTCTCTCTTGTGCGTTCCTCCAATCGACAAGCACGCAAGTCACATTGCATATCCCATTCGGAAGCAACATCTGCCGACGCTCATGACATCTCCCAGTTCCCGCCCAAGACAAAGCTCAGAGACAAACTAAGACACAATCACAACCTGCGCTGCGTATAGAGGCAAACGGACTCCCGTCATATTTTTGTCGCATCTGCTTGTGCATCCAACACATCTGGATCTTGCCTTGCCGACCGATCCACTCACTTTTGCGCATCAACTTGCCGCTGATTGTCGACATCGCCAACCCACAAGTCGACACGACACGACGATACCATGGCCACCTAAGACGCTGGATTCTAAACCAGACGTCATTTTGTCTTTCCATTTTCTCCTCCACCACCAACACGGCTGCTCCCGGCGAGCAAAGTCGACTAACTCCACCGAAACCGGCTCTCGTCTAACCCCAACTCTACCATCACCAGACGGCCGCAACCCGTCTGCATCTCTTCACCATGGATATGGATAGCATGCACCACGATCCCGGCCTGGGGATGGAAACCAACTATGCCTTTGCGCGGGGATACTGGTATACCATCGCCGGAGTCTTGGGTTCCCTGGCCGTCGTCCGCGGCATCAACCACTACGATGGGCTCCAGAGGTAGGTCGAGATATCCCACGCAACTCAGGTGTTGCGGCTTCTTTGGAATTTTCCTAACCTGTAGTCAACAGGTTAAAAGCCTGCCGTGATCCCTCGATCGAGCACCCTACCCGACCCCAAGGGCCTCTCAGCCAGGCCTGGGCCACTGCGACAGCCATCGTCCGCGAGACGAGCCACCCGCAGTATTACATTTCTCTCAAGGGCCTCCGATGGGCCACGCCTTTTCCTCTCGGGCGCATCATCGTCCTCGCCTGCTACTGGGCCGTCATCGTCTACCTCATGAGCTGGAGAGTGTCGGTGAACGATATTTACTACTTCGAGCGCATCGGGTACCGCAACGCCTGGGTTTCGCTATGCCAGCTCCCGCTGCTCTACCTTCTCGCCATGAAGGTCAACGTCGTCGGCTTCCTCATCGGCACCGGCCACGAGAGGCTCAACTGGCTCCACCGCTGGGTTGCGCGCACCATGTTCGTGACCGCGACGGTCCACGGCTTCCACTTCTGGACGCTGTGGGTGCGTGCCGACTTTGTCGCCTTTGAGCTCCAGATCATGCCCCTCGTCAAGTACGGCATCGGGGCCTGGGGGATTTTGCTGTGGAACGTCGCAACTGGCCTGGTGCCGATTCGGCGGCTTGCCTACGAAGTCTGGGTGGTGCAGCACGTCCTTTCGAGCATCATCATGTTGTGGCTACTCCACAAGCACATTCCTTCCAACGCGCGCTACCTGCTCTGGATGAGCATCTCGTTCCTCGTCTTCGACCGAGCTGCAAGGTGGGCGCTTTTGCTGTGGCAAAACACGCGGCTGCGACCAACCGGATCGGCTTGTCAGGGCATGAAACGCCTAGGACATCGTGTCACTGCTCGAGCTGTCTGCCCTTCGACAACCGTGGTGACCATTAAGGATGTACACTTTGAGTGGAAGGCCGGTCAGCACATCTATCTCTGGGTTCCTAGACTCGGACCCATTGAGGCGCACCCGTACACAATAGCTTGCGCGCACAAATTAGAAGGCACATGCTGTTGTAATAGCATCCAGCTGGTTGTTCGCGCTCAAGCCGGTTTCTCCAAGAGGATCCACGAGTATGCGACTAAGAACCCTACGTCGGAGCTGACCGGGTTCGTGTCCGGCCCTTACGGCGTTCCGCCCCGGTGGGACATCTACGAGACCATGGTTTTGATCGGAGCATCGACGGGAGCGAGCTTCACGGTCCCGATTCTGGAAGGAATTGCAAATGCCGAGAGCGAAAACTGTACGCGGAGAGTCGAAGTTGTTTTAATAGCACGGACGACGGAGGAGATCCAGTACTACGTCGAGCGAACGATGGAGGCAAGTCGTATCGCGAGAGACAAGGGTGTGACGGTCAGGGTCCATGTCGCAATAACCGGGGCCAACAAGGGTGGGCAGGAATCAGTATCCCTATCCCTTGCCAAGTCTAGCCCGCAGAGCGACTCAGACAACACGCTCGAGACTGACTCCGGAAGCGTCGAGAAAACGGGAGCATGCTGTTGCAGCAGGCCACTGGAGAAGGGCAGCAGCCCACCGGAGAAGGCCACGGAGAAAGCCACGGACGGGGATTCGGCCAGGGGCTGCTCTGGCGATCCCCCCTGCAGCAATAGCACTGCGACGTCGACGGGCGCGGCCGGGCTGGTTCGCGAGTACACCAGCCGCCCGGACATCGACGCTCTAGTCCGCGAGCCGGTCGAGCAGGCGTGGGGCGAGACGGCCGTGGTGGTTTGCGGCGGGCGCGAGGTGGTCGCGCGGACGAGGAATTGCGTGAGTCGGCTGAGCGACGAGAGGGCCGTTCACAAGGGGACGGGCGCGCAGGGGATCTACTTGCACGTGGAGGAGTATTCATTTTAAATTATCGACGGCATGGTACGACCGCACGGTCCCGTCATGAGAAACGACGGCGGCCCAATTTTAGATGCATGTTTATTATTCGGATTGCACATTGTATGTACGGAGTACTCCTGCGAACTTAACGCGGGAGACAGGAGGCGAATAGCTGCACCTCACTCAGCCTGAGCATGGTCCAAGGGTCCAGCCACGGCTAAATTGTTGCATCTCGAGTTTCAATCCTGCATCTGCACTCTCCTCGCCCTGAGTTTTGACGTATTTTTCTTCGCCGTCTCCCATTGCGAGTTGGCCCTTATAGCCACCGCTATCTCTCCCTCAAAACCAGCTCCTCCTAGCCCCAATCATCCCTGAAAACATCCAGATCGGTCTGGAATGCGACTCATGCACCACGCCTCGCTCCACTTCGACCCGCGCTTTCTCGAATAGCTCCAAAATCTCGCTGGTTGCCGCATGCGCATTGCGCCAGAGACTCCCTGTTGGCTCGTGGCAACGCACCGGGGTTTCGTCCCGCCGAAATCTCTCAGCCCTTCGACTCTTCGTCTCTTCGTCTCTTCGATATCGTCGGTTTCTCGCACAGAGGCCGCCCTCGCCGCCGCTCTCCCGCCCTCCCTCGATGTCCCCGGAATAAGGACTGCCATCTCGCGCGGCGATGCCTTCTCCTCCGACCTTCCTGCCCGCGCACTATGGCCTGATGCAAGCCGGCGTCAGGTCCGTCTCCTGGGCCACGGGCTTGGTTGCGATAATGATGCTGGGCTACGTGGGCAGAACCTGGCCGGACAAGGGCCAGGTGATTGTCGCTGGCCTCATGGGGGTATGTTGCAATTCCGAAGCCATCTCGGCGCGTACACAGGCGCCATGATGGAAAATTTTGGGTGTTTGGGAGCTAAGACCCGCCGGTAGTCCGCAATTGCGATGCTCAACGATAGCTGGGAGGTTGTCGCCCTGACCGATACCTGGCAAACCCTCCCGCGACTCTCGACGTCTCGACGAGTGCTGCACGACTTATTTTCACTCGCGCTGTCCGTTGGCGGCATCATCATGATGTGGGTGTCGAACATCCAAATTGGGGACACGGGCGATACCAAGACCGCCAGCGAACGACGACAGGAGAAGTACCTCATGGCAGCCATGTGGGGACTTCTAGCACAAGTGTGAGTGTCACAGTGAATGCCATTTGCTTTGTTTTGTCTTGCAATGGCTGTTAACCCGATCATAGTGCCTGGAGATTTGTCCATGCTATCTGGGGGTGTGTGGATTGCTCGAGGGATGCCCGCGCTGCAGACCGACGGCGAAGACGACGAAGACGGCGTCACAGACACCGCGAGCGCCACACCGACCCCTGGTATGAGATCACAGGGTACCGAGCTTGACGAAACCTGCGAGCTTTATGCGTATTTGCCTTTCTAGCCAGCCATTGGGAAACGGAGTTCCGGGAAACGAAACGAAACCAAAAGACAGCGGACCCTGTCACCAACTCACTAATGTTTTATCAGTCCGCCCGATTACAGGACAGACCACTACCTCAAGACTCATTTCGATGAAGGACGAAGGATGAGATTAATAGATGATGGATACGGAACATGACGAAATCACACGACCCGCCTCACTTCCACAACCATCCCTTGCCGTTGGGAGCGTACCCCTTCGCCTCCATGCTCGCTACACACGGCTTCACCGACTCCCAGAATGCCTGGAGCAGGTCTCCACGCAGCCACGCCTCCCACACCTCGCGACTCTTGTACCGCGCAAATATCCTCGCACCCGTATCGTTGTCCAGCGACTTGAGCCCCAGGAACGTCAGCACCTCGCCCGAGCCGCCGCGCTGCCTCTCCTCGACCATCGAGCACAGCAGCCGCAGCGCGCCCAACAGCTCTGCGCGCGCCGCGCCGTCGACGCACCGGATCTGGATGTCGTGCATCAGCCCGCACTCGGTCTTCTGCCCGCTGAGGTCCAGGAAGCCGCCCACGGCGGCGAAGTGCGTGAGGTCGAGGCCCGTCGTCATGGTTGGGCCGGCGTTGGGGAGGAACGTGGTCGTCATGACCTCGGACTTGAGGTGGACGTCGTAGAGGTCCTCGCGGGTGCGGTAGCCCTCGAAGGCGAGCATGTTGTCGGTGCGGGACGGGTTCGAGGCGTGTTCGAGGGGGATGCCGAAGTAGTACGTCAGGGTGTTGGGCTCGTTGTCGAAGACATACTCAGCGAGCTTGTCATAGGCGGCTTGCCACTGAAGCGGGGTCGGTTAGTACTCAAAGACGAGCCAAACATCAGGGTGCCATCAGGCCCTGAGGATCATACGTCGTCATATCTGTCGGGAACAATGTTGCAGTTTCCGAATAGGAAGAACCGATCTGTTAATGGAATTGCGGTGGCCATCCTCTCTAATTGCGAACTGCTCTATGGACAATATTGGTGAATGGGCAATGAACTGAACGTGATGATGGGTATATACTTGAGTTTGAGCCTCTTCCCCCCAGTGTATATCCTCAGCTTATAAGTCCACACTGTTATTTCTCTCGAGGCACATACCAAAGCCCGCCCCCTCGGTGCCATTAGCCTTTCTTCAACCACCTACTCCATCATCCCGGCCCAACTTTTACGTCCCATCAGGGAGTCTGTATCCAGAACGGCGGTCTTGCAGAGAATACCCCACCCGAAGCCTCCTGTGATCAGATTCAGGGCGTCAGGGTGGAGCTGATACCTGTCCTGTGACGGGGAAGAGGAGCCCGGATGCCCCGCGTCTCCGGTGTACCAATCGGCTAGGACAAGGGGCTCAGTCCGGGAGTAGGGCCCGGGGACAACATTGACAAAGCTCTCGCCAAATGGCTTCCATGCTCGTGCGGTCGTTGGTTGGCATGTCGCCAAGAACGAGATGTTGGCGGGGTGTGAAGCAGCCGGGTTCCGTTATCCGCTGCTCGCAATCACAGGAATCAGCCTCAATGAGAATTGAGGAGGTTCAGATGCCAGATTCCGGTTTCAATAGCACATGGGGAGAAGCGTCTCTGCTCGAGTGTATCAGCGGACTTCCTTCATTCGGTGGATGCAGAATAAGTAAATAAAGCGTCCCGACTAGTGAATAGTTAAGGGCAAAAATCAAGGGTTCATGGTCATGTATTTAGGCCATATATTTAGGTCGTATATTTAGGTCATGTATTTTAGGTCTTGTATTTTAATAAAGACAGTCCGGGTATCATCACCTAACTCGCCTCCGCAATCCTCCGTTCGTCCATTCGCGTGGGACTTGTTCACGGTTTGCGCCTCCAATCTCCCCTCTAATTATCGGATTAAAAGCGAACTAATGGTATTTATTCATGTCCGCGTGCTTGTCATTTTCCAGGAAGATCTCAATCTTGTCATTCATCTTGTGCTCAATGTCTTGGCAGCAGAGACATGCTAGTATAGGGTCAGTCTCGTAAAATGCCAGAGATCATTAAGAAACCTACCGATGATTCCGATTATACCAAAAGACAGAGACGAAAGACAAGTTGTTCGCAAGCCTACGACATAGCTTTGCTGGAAAGCTGCACCTGCGGCTCCCATGATATCGGCCGTGATCCCAGGAACTTGTTGAAGTGCAGCTGAGCCCAATGGCAGGGCGGCAAGCAACTTCTCAATAGAGTCCTCAGGTAGACCCGCCTTGAGAGCTGCAGCGGGGACGAGTTTGAGCATTGACGAAGATTGGACATTGGTCAAGATGGTGGTGTATACCGAGATGGCGATAGCGCCACCTGCAAAACGGGACACACCCCTGCCTGAAGTTAGCACATGGACCACACGGAAGCAAGATACAATACGTACGCAAGACCACCAGAGATTCCCAGCTCCACTTGGTCAGTACCAAATTGGATAAAGGCAATGCTCAGATACTGAGCCCAGCCAAAGCCAACCTCGGCGATGAAGATGAAGGCAATCACCATGCCAAAGCGATCAGGAGTTCCCAACGCAAGCAAGGCGCCGAAAACAACCATAATAGTAACCGAGCCTGTCAGGGTCCATCGCCAGTGCCCTATCTTTGTGCCGAATAGTGTTAGAAGCACAGCGCCAAAGGTGAGGCCAAGGTTCTGCGGAAGCGTCAAGACGATCGCATACTTGAAGTCGGTAGTTTCGTTGGTGAAGAATACAGCAATCATGGTGGGGTACACAACATTTAAGCAGTAATAAAACATCGTGACGACAAACCCGGCAACGAAGGGCGCAGTGAGCTCTCGGCCATTGTCTCGAGTGAAGATGCGAGTCGGTGTTAGTGGTTGCTTCAGCGGGGCGAACGTCTCCCACAACGCGAAGGCGGTCATCAAGGCGAACCCGGGTACTAGCGTACCAATGACCTTTGGGTCGGAGGACTTGAGCGTGGTAGTGTATACAATTCCAGTGAGGATGAGCGTAGTGGCAACAGTGAAGAGTAATGCGCCGACATAGTCGAGCTCGCGAAATGCCTGCTTGGTGGGGAGACCGCGGGGATGTCGAGGCGGGTGGTAGTACAAGTATAGTCCGACAAAAGAAAATACAATGACAATGGCAGGTCCGTAGAATAGCCATCGCCACTTTTTAGGTCAGAAATGGGTTTGGGAGTAGATCAAGAGGAGCACTTACGTTGTCTCCATGCTGAATGGCGAAGCGACCAGCGACTGGGCCAACGATGACGGAGAAGTAGACACCGACATCTAGAGATCATCAGTAACCCTCAATTCCATAGTATTCAAAAGTCCCATACCGGCGAACACAATTGCAGAGTGTCTCCATTTATTTGGTAGAAGCTCTGGGAGGGCAAAGGCAGCCAGTTGAGCATTACCAGCACCCTACTTTCAAGTCAGCGACACCCAAAAGCGTTTTGTCAAATAAATCTTACAAATCCAATAAATGCGCAAGCAACGATGATGGCGGTGTTGTTCTTCGCAGTCCCGCCGACAATGAATCCGATGAATAGGAGGATGTTGCCGCAGATGATGAACCAGCGGCGACCGAACAAATCCGAGTTGGCACCACAGATCCTGGAAAATATTAGCGAGTACCAAGGCCTTTTCCCAGTTTGCATAAACTTACATGAATGCCAATGTGACTGTCATTGTGTATATCGGGACATACCACGCAGCCTGAGTCGGGTCTCCGAGCTGCGTCGCGACACCACCCTGGCATGAGCTCAGCGACGGAACGATCCAGAATGAGACGCCATATGACAGCGCAAGGATCTAGAAATAAAGTGTTAATACCTATCGGACGATCGACATATGGTTATTCTTACCGATGCCACAATCCATGTCTTGAAGGTGACATCGTACTGAGTGTCATCCTGAGGAATCCACGCCGCGGCCTTCTCGTCGTGTTCTGCGTGGCTGGCTGTCTCATGCGCCTTCTCGATATCGATGGATCCCTTGTCGAGCTTTTGCCCGTCCACGGGGTCTTTAGTATCAGTGGTCATGTTGAAGTATCCTGATTAACCTTGGTAATTGGCAAATCTTCCAAGGAATTGGTCCGTCACACATCAAGAACACCAAGCAGGGATCATGCCGCTGCTGCCCGTCTATTTAAGAAAACACCCTTACCTTAGCCTTTCCCCCGGCCTTAGAGCGTTTCAACCTGGATCGGCACAGCCGAACTGATACGGTCAGTTGGCTCGACGATTCATGAGGTCGGCGTACCCCGGATTCCGGATAACCATCTCCACACGATCCCGTTGGCCGGAATAGCTTACCGGCCCCCCGCCCACACCACGGCGTTTGCTACCGCCTCCTTGTCCTCAATTATGGAGTTCAAGAGGCAGGGGTGATGACTCAGTGGAGAACAAGGTCCAGGCTAAGAAACGGGACGGGAGAAAATTGGGTTTAGATAACACGTTTCGCAACCTCTTCAAAGCCAGTAAATCATTTGAGTGGGCTGCCGGTGACGACCAGTGTCCACATTATCAGCCCAGCCCAATTAGGTAGTGTTAAATTGAGTGAGTCTTGGGCATGATGATTGTCCAGGAAAATGGTGCCCGGGCGTAAGATGACATTGACCTCCTGTCTCAGACCTATCACCAAAGGCTAGCCAATATCAAAACCAACGGGCTGAGGGCAAGTGACACATTCATGAGCCATCACAATGCAGGGAGGCCACATCCTTGCAAAATGTGACCATGATTGCAGCAAAAACGCCCCCGGCAACAGACCAAAGGGTCCGGGTGACATCGAACAAACATTTCTTGAAGTATCCAATAGCATCTCACTTCCTGTGTCAAGACAAAGAAGCTAATTGTACTCCACGCAACCACACGTCGGCTACTACCGCTAGTGCAATAGAGATGGAGAAAGATATCCACAAGTTATTAAGCTGAAAATGAAGAACCAGAAGTAGGATGAAATATTAGCTCTATCTGTCCTATAAAATATTGGTGTGATGGAAAAAAATCTCCTTGTAATAGTCTGCTTCACATGACGTTATTTTTTGAAGAGCTGTACGTCTGATTCTTACCTACCACGATGAGTCTCAAGCGTGTCGCCATTGTTACTGGGGCTTCAGTAAGACAATTCCGCTGCATGGGAGTACTCGGCGTGCTAACTTCGTCTTAGTCAGGTATGGGCGAGGCCCTATCAGAGGACCTGGTGCAGAGAGGATGGATTGTTGCAATGGCGGATATCCAACCCAATGTAGATCTGGCCTCCAAGCTGGGCGAGAGCGCGAGTTTCCATACATGTGATGTCTCCGACTATGATAGCCAGGCCAAATGCTTTCAAGAAGTATGGGATATATACGGGCGGTTAGATGCGCTTTGCGCCAATGCTGGGATCGTTGATAAGAGGTAGGTGTCTCATCATGAGAAATGGCCAGGGCTTATTGTTTGCGACAGCTCAATCTACATTTTGGATCACAGAGATTCCGATAAGTAAGTCAAATAATACCGATGCTATTTCCGTTATTGACTCTTACAGGATTCCTCCAAAGCCCGATTTGCTTTGCACAGATGTAGACTACAAGGGCGTGGTGTATGGCACCCAGCTGGCTATCCATTTCATGAGGAAAAATAAGACACCGGGGGGTAGTATTGTGGCTACAGCTAGCATTGCGGCCGTTCACCCCCATGAGACCTATCCGGAGTATGATGGCGCCAAAGCAGCAGTCAGTATCACTCAGCCCACCGCATGAACACAATTCATCTGACTGTCGCCAGGTATACAACTTTGTTCGCGCCACATCTAGAATACTAAAAATTGTAGGAGACAATACGCATTGTATCTCATGAGGTCGTACTGATCGTCTATAGAAGGAGAATATCCGGATCAACTGCATCCTGCCAGGGATTGTGGCTACCAAGATCATCCCTCCGGAGATGGTGGCCGCAGTATTGCCTGAATGGTAGGTCTAAGTTTGAAAAGCAGAAATCGGAAGCTAATTTGAACTAGTATGACACCTATTGCCACCATAGTGGCCGCCTACAACAAATGTCTTGAAGACCACTCGCTCTCAGGCGAAGCCATCGAGTGCTCTGTGGATAAGCTCCTCCTTGTCCCCAGGCCGGAGTATCAGAATGGCCGGGTTTCTAAACGCGCTGTCACCGTATGGGATCCGCTCTTCAAGATGTATCACCATGAGCTTTCCCAGCTGCCAGACGCCATCGCTTGAAATGTCCGATGGCTTGGGATGTTGTCAACTACTGCGAGTCATGAGCGAGACAGCTGGAAGATAGAATCCATATATAAGTGAACTACAAAGATCTGATATTTGCCTCACGCGATGCGTTAATTTGCCGCCCCAATCTGGTTGTACGGGTTGGGAAAGAGATAGTAGCAGTGCAAATACGAGACAGGATGCTAAAGTAAGGAGCCCAGCGTGTCGAAACAACAAGAATACATCAAATTTTAAGGCTGGGTGTCGGAAAGGAGACCTATTCTTACGTGGGGAAGATTATATAGCAGATCTCTTCATATTAATCTGGAGTTCAATATTTTGTCCTATATAGTAGCTCCCTTAAACTTGGTAATATAGGTGGCTACAGGCACTACGTGAGTGATATTTAATGGTTCATAGTCAATTGACATAATTTACACTCTTTTCTAACTCGGAAGCCATATGCTAAGCTCATTTTTATAACCACCTCCGAGTTGAAGCAGGGTAGTGCTAAACAAACACATAAAGAGAGCAAAACCAACACCCCCCACTCCATCCACGCCATGCTCCATTCCCGCTCATGCAAATCCAAGCCTTTATAGTTAGAAAAACAGAACCATCGATAGAGGTCGTAAGGATCGTCAGCTGAGCACTCTACACCTTGGAGAAGCCTATTGAAGGGTTGGTTTGGGAGAGTAACTCAGTTCATGTCACAATAATCACAAGACCTAGACCTTCCAATCGAAGCTTATGTCGAAATAGCCACGTTCAGGTATGGCCAGGTTCGAACATCTGACAGCGCTGTTGTTGGCATCAAAGAAGCCCCCTTGGTCAACTCCTTGTGAAGCAATTCGGTTTCCCCACCAATCCAACCGAACGTTCAATCTTTGCAAGGCGAAAAACATGACGAGCCCAGATAGTCCAATTGCAGCCATGAAGGAACTTGTCAAGACGTAGGCATACATCTCCCACCAAGCCTTGCATCGCCTTTTGATGTAGAAGTTGAAGAAAAGGGCCAGAACAACCGTGCCTTGCATAAAGCTCCAGTTGTATGGGGACCATCCAAGTGGGCCAGCCATGAAAACGGGGATGTTAACATTTCGCCAGAATGATCGCGGCCATCTTTTGGCAGCATAATAGACTGCAATCGGAAGGACAACGCCCAATGGAATGGCGTAGCAGACAGCTCGGTATGGGCCATCAGTACCGAACATGCGACGCGGTCCGATTACGCCCCAAAGAATTGACGACATGAAGTATGAATGGGTGGAAGGGCACGTGAAGCGGTCTTCCTGTTTTGCCTGACAAAGGTTTGGTATGTTGCGCAAGACCCAGTGGTTCACTCCCAGAGCCACGAAGCCGGCCAGAACGGTTGCGTAAACTTGAGCTTTGAAAGCACAGCGGGGTGGGATCTTCGCGTAGTGTGCCAACTTTAGGTCGGACACAAAGTTGAGAGATTGAGATGTTGACATATAGCTGAACATTTTGAAGATCATGTTAGGGATGGTTTTGCCTTCCAGTGCATGACCTCCAATGACCATTGCAAGGATGCCTGTGGATAATTCCATATTGGTGATTGCTGCCAGCATGCCAATGGGAATCTGCAACACAAATGTGAAGATCAATGCGAGCACAATTCCCCAAATGGGCATCCCCGTGGGCCAAAGAGAGACGGAGATGCATGCCAGGGTAAAAGAAATGGCGAGGACGACAAGGTACCACCAATGAGGGCACTCGGGATAAACAGACATTAACCGGTTATGAACGTCGTTGAATTCTTCCGATCGCTTTTTCTTATTCCAAATAGACCTCAGTCCATTTGCGATGTCCTTGCGGTGCCAGAGATACATGTGAACAGGGATTGCGGCGTACAGCGTGAAGAAGGCAGCATAATTCGTAATCTGAGTGGTCGTAACCAAAGGCACGCTGTAATCGTAGTACGCCGTTTCGTTCATGGTGAGGTCGGCTTTGAGGATACGTTGGACGTCGTAAAACTTTCCAGTGTTATCGTAGAGTTTGTTCCCATTGATTGGGAAGTATCCAGCATCCCAAACGTTGTTGAAGTACATGAAGGGGACGACGAGGAAACCCATGATCGCCATGCCGCAAGAAAAGTTCATCAGTGTGAATAATGGAGTGACGATCGGGTCTCCGAGGTATGTCGCAATGTTCCAATCCAGTGTCGGAAGTGGATTGATGCCGAGACCGCATGTTGATCCCGCGATCAGGGCAAGGGTGACGTTTCCAGGGGAGATCCAAGTGATCCAATTAAACAAAGCGAGTCCTTGAAAAAGATAATTGGGAATCCAATACCACATGAACATGGCCGTAAATGACAGGACGAAGAATCGGTACCGCGACATGGTCCAGCCGTTCGCATTCACGCCGGCATCCCGCCCATTATCTTTGTATAGGGCCTTAGTGAGTGCGATGTTGGCCAGGGGTTTCTGCCAGATCATGGCCGGGGGATAAACGAGAAATCGTCGGGCCATACCAGCACATCCATAGCCGATGAGCTGTGTAGCCAGAAGGGTGGTGATTTGCCAGGGAATACTATTGGAGAGTACTTTTTCGCCGTAGAACCGATCGAGTTTGAGAACCTGGATGATGCTGACGATGTACGCCCCGGTGGAATGGCCGCCAAAGGCGACATTGGCCATCATGGCAACGAGAATGTGTTCTTTCTGGTTGAAGGGGCCAGGATTTAGAGTAAAATGCAAAGGTCCGAGGCGAAATATTCTCTCTGGAAGCCACTTTGCCATGAGGAGGCCGAGGGGCATGGAGAGCAACTGCACCACGTACGTTGAAATGGCAATGCTGGGCATTCGCAAGGAAAAGAACTGTTGAATAGCCGTCCCTCCGATGGTGAAGATGGTTCCCATGAAAAATACTCGGAAGGTGTCCACTGGGAGTGTTGGGTCATCGGTTGGGTCGACCACGGCGCGAACTTCAGGGTAGGCCGAGTTGTTGATCATCAAATCCTTCTGAGTGTGGAAGTCGTCGATGAGCTTTTGGGCGAGCTCTGGGTCTTCGTTGCCATCGTTTCTGTTCTCGAGGTATTCTCGAGCGCGATCGATTATGTTGGTGGGAAAATTCTGATCGAACGAGTGTTCTTCGACAAGGGCGTGGAGAGCCTCGACGAGACTGGCGTCGGAGTCGGCTTCGACGGAATCTTTTGGCTCGGAGTCTAGTTTCTGGTCGACATTTTCGTTTTCCGTGTTTTCGCCCTTGGTGATGGGCGTTTTATCCGTTGCCAAACTCATCTTGGGGTGAGAATCGCAGTTGACAACGACAAGTGGAAAGGAGCGTGCAGGTCTGGATTGGGAGGATATTCCTATCTCAAGTTTTCTTCACCAGGTCTGAGAACCGGGAGGGCACCTGGAGACATAAAGGTAGATATCGCATCGAGTGGCGGATCCTTCCTCCAACCTTACTTTGGGTTCATTTAAGCCATGGTATAATTCATTGTGGTGCATAAAGCAATACAAGTCAAAGGAGCCCATTTCGACGCTCGTTTTGACACTCATTTTGATACCATCAATAGTACCGAGACTAGAGCTGGAATATGTTTTCTCTGACTAACCGGGCGCCATCTTCGACATGGCTGTAGGATGCCCGCCCGAAGACATAATCATGATGACCTCTTGCTTCGACCAAGATTTGAAACAAGGTCTGCAGAGATTATTCCACCCTTAAATGGCTAGAAAGGTTGTGAAGGTTTTCTGTCACCTTATCAGGAAAAATTAACTCGAGTCAAGCTCAGGTACAATACCTTGGTGAGCTGATTGCATTTTAGTCATTTGATATGAACACCTTTGTAACCTTATCTCATAGCATTGCCGAAATTCCACAGTGTGAAGCGGAATTCGCCATTTCCAGTATTCATGATGCTAATTCAAAGAATCTTGCAGTAGTATATGGTTCCTAGGATGTTGGCATCGCCGTGATCCGACACCACCATCTACTATAATTGGGAACGGCGAATGCGGCTACAACTGGAAGCTTTGTCACCCTAACATATGGGTGGGTACGACGTTCTACAGTTAAGCCGAAGAAATGCGCATGAAATATCTACGAATACCGTTGGTGCCATTACTTCCGGTCTGTCATCCTTACAAATGCCTCACAACGGAGGGAAGTTAGAGACATGAGCTATGGCTCACGACATGAACACATTAAACATGTCGAATCAGTGCATTACTTTAAATAAAATTTCTATTCTTCATTAAATAAAGTACTTGACATTATACAGTTGGAAGCAAACGAGGTTCATGCGCAAAATGAACTCAGCAAGCATAGCAAAGACTTCATGTCCCTCAAACTCATAGGAGCAAGCAGACTGGATAGTGCCCTAGATGCAGGCAACTTGACCCTAATTATTCCCGGGACTCAGTTCTGAACTCTTCATCTCCATCGCCTGCAACACTCTCCCATGGTGCAGTTGGCACCAGGTAGTGCCCTGGGATTCGAGATTCCATCCTAACATATTCTGACACGCACACCAAGCTGTGATAGGAATTGGCAATACGCTGAATATGCTGGAGCATTCTATCCCTGGGAGCACCAATCCTCATATCTGCCAGAAGAAACTTCGTGTTGAACCCAAGTTGGCGATCGTCGTATGTCGAATACAGAGATATGAGGAACGGCTTCAGCTTCCTGGTGTTTTCCTCGGTCCATTCAGCTTCGAGTCCAATCTGGAACTCTGAAATGTACTCCGCTAACTGCTCACGCATATGGAGTGTCCGGGCGCTCATCTCATTCAGTGCATCAACCAGGCTCCCAGGGTCCATCTCTCCTCCATCTTGAAGCCCCTTTTTGAGCTCAAGAAGAGCAATGTGCCCACAAGTGAAAAAGCCGGACTTGTCCATCAGTTTCCGGACCTTGTTGGAGATTTCAGTTGCCTTTTTCTCTGTCCAGCGTCGAATCAAGTCGGGTTGCGATTTGAAGGTGGCAAAGAGATTTGCTCTCTCCAACCCGAGTTTGGTCAGAGCAATGGTACCGGTCTTTGTGACGTCAAAATGCATTGGGTTGATGAGGCCCCCAGTTCCAGCAATCCGAAGGACCTCATTGTGGGTAATGGAGTTGTACTGGGTTATTCCCTTGAGGCTTGGGTCTTCGAAGCTGGAGTAGTCGACTTCAGTTGATGGCCGCATTCTCTTGTTGGAGCCACTGTCATGAAAGAGGTCATGTTCAACCTTCCGCTTTAGGCTCGATCGGCTCATTTCGTTCAACTTGTTGAGAAGATCCTCTCCGCTGACTCTAAGATTGAGTTCATCGGAAACTTCATTTTCGCTGGCGGAGCCGATTTCTGCCTCAAGGACTTCCGGGTTGTCGCGTAACTCAACATTCTCACTCATAAGCACCCGAGCCTTCTCCAACTCGTTCTGAAGGCGTTCCAAAAGCTGACCCTGATATTGACGGTCGCTAAAGTCTCGGATCTCCATTCCCATCTCCAAAATCTTGTTCTGTTTCTTCTTAATGGATTCATTGAGAGAAGCCTTTTCTTCCTTAAGGTCGTCGATGGACTGAGTGACAATTTGAGTCTCAAGATGAGCCCTATGCGCTTGAACAAGCCTCTCCTTCAGCTCCTTTGTTTGTTCTTCCAGTGTCTTGATTTTGGTGGTGCTCAGGGACAGCTGCCTTTCTGTATCAGCAAGTTGCTCTCGTAGACCTCGGCTGCCTACTTCTCCAGCTGAGGGTGCGGTCGAGGTCCCGCTGTTCAAATCTAGAGGTACAGCTCGAGCAGGTTCCGCTGTAGGTACTCCGATTTCCGCCAAGCGTCGGTCCGCCAGAGACTGAAATTTATCGACTGTTGCTTCCATTTCCGTACGACAAGCAACACGGTGTGACTTGAGTTGAGGGTTTAACATCCGGAGCCTGTTTTCAAGAGACCTTTTGTCCCTCTCGAGAGGCCTGTTTTCTTTTCCGAGACCCTTGTTGCTCTTTTGGAGACTTTTCGCGTTCTTTTCTAGAGAATGAACCTTCGAGCTGGTGGCATCAACTTCGCAAGACTTTTCCGCAATTAAAGCCCGAGTTCGAGCCTCAATGGAGTCAACCTTCATTTTGATGTCTCGCCAAGGCATGGAAGTTGGGGAAGAGAGAAAATCTGGATGTTCAATGGGGCTCCCAAACGAGACGACAGTGTTCCAGCTGGTAAGGAACTTCGAGCTTAGAGAGCTGCCGGTTTTTTGGGTAAATCGAGCTCTGTCGCCAGCAATCCTATTCGGGCTCACGTTGAAGTTGGATATCACATGAACATGTCCCACTCGGCAAAGAAGACCTTCTTTGCCTGGAAGATGCGACGTCCATCCTGGGTTGGCATTGACCGTAGAGTTTCCCAATTTGACCCCAATATGACGGATGGGGATGGTGGAAGTAGTGCCAGAAAGGATCCCGGCGAGGGTATTTCGATTGAGATCAGACGAAACAGAGAGCCAACTGTCGGGCATATGTGAATGCATCATCGTAGTCATGCCACTGGCGATGTTTGGTGGAGAGTTGACACTCGCGAAAGTCGACTGGGGCTGAAGAGGCTGGCTGAGTGCATATGGAAGCTCAGAGTTCCAGTGGTCGGGGTAGGCAAAGAGTCCGAAATGAGCTTTGCCATGTTCATTGCAAACCGTTGCGGGCATTCCAGGTAGTCCGATACCCCAAATTGAGCCAAGCCCATGTAATGGTGTACTTCGTGCAGAGTCCAGTCGATGGGTAGGAATGGGCCGGCAAGGGCGGACCCTTCCTGCATTGCAGGACTCAAAAAGGCGAAAGGACCATCTTCAAAGGTCTTCAAATCCTCAAATGCTGTGTCCCAGGAATCTCCCTTCACGGTATAGTCCGAGTGAGTCCCTTGGTCCCGACGGTAGAACTCATCGATGAGGTCAAATGGGTGGCAGTAAGCCCCAAGTCGGAACAGCTCGTGAAACTTGAGGTAGGTTGGAAAGTAAGTAATAAAAGGACCCATTTTGACGTGAGGAAGTGGACAGGAAGCTTGGCGACCTGCCTCTAGTCGCTTGGAGTCGTCGCTCACAATCCAAAAGTACACCAGCGCCGCGTAGATGGTCTGGATTCGCGTGATATAGGTTGTCGGGTTGGCATTCTGGAAGTCATCGACTGCTTTCTAGACAGAGTCGTGAAAGGCCTTTCCGGTCAGGCCAAATGCTGGCAAAGGGAAGTAAGGATACGTCGTGGTGTTTTCAGGCTGTTGCTTGTCTGCGGTGGGTTGGCACTGCCATGGCACAAATCTCGCCTGGCGTGCCTTATTCGCATCGTACTGCCTGAATGCTACCACACTGTCCAAAGGGTGAGGGCCAGGCTTGACTTCGAGGCCGTCGAGGTTCAAAGATTTTGTAGCGGCAACCTCTCGGCTGTACTCCTCTTCCGTGTTGATGTTCGAGTCCTGCAGCTTGAAGGCCCTTCCAGCGATTGCGCGCTTCACGTCTCCAAGGCGGTCAACCCCGAAAGGAGTGTTGAGTGGGATCCAACGGGTGGTGTAGTACAACGTAGCTGACCGTGGCACGGATGTCAAGACACACGAATTGAAGTTAGGTTTGAGGTCGTCAGTTGTGATGTCGTTCTTCTTTCGAGAATGGAGGCGCATCAGTGCCGGGTACCCTTGTGAGCTCATTCCAACCAAATACCGATTTTGAAAAGTCCTGTTTGCAGTCGGAGTTGTGAGAACTCGATTGCATCCACGCCTGAGGAAAGGTGCCACGAGGTAGCCGTTCGGTTCCTGGAATCTGGGACATCGACTCCCCACGGAAAAGTCGGCAGGGCCATGCGGAGGATCACCGGAGCCCGCCATTGTGAAGTTGAGGAGCTCTAATGGCAAATTAGTGGAAGGTCATTTTGCAGGTCAAAATGACACTTACGGTTCTAGGATTGTCGATCCAATTTGACCTTGCGCGGTAGGCAATGGCCAGCGGGAGCTGCTAATTGCAAGTTAATGGACGCTCGTTCTGAAGTGAAGTGGCACTCACGTCTTCCGATGAAGTTCGCGGCCCGTATCGCTGGGAATGACCAAGAAAAGGTGCTGACGCAATTAGTAGACAGCCTTTTGCTATACCGAACGTGGTAACTTACCGACTGTAGTTGTTGAAGAGGATGCGGGATGAAAAGGAAGAAGAGGAAACGAAGTCTGTGGAGGAGATTAATGACATAGGTACTATATGGATGTTTTCAGTGAATCATTAGAGATCATAGCAAGCATAAATTTGAGAGTTATGCCTAATCCCCTGCCTGTCGCGCAGTTACTGAGTCCAGCACAGCGAATTTGATCCTCCCACGCACCTCCTCCATCAGGTGGATTGGTCAGAGGGCTGCAATTCATTCAGGATCAGTCGCAGCCTTAAAAGAGATTAGGCACACATCTTTTTCGCTACAAGTCGCACTTGCCTCAACCTGCACATGTGCGTCAGCCGAGATGGAATCGTTTCAGTCCCGAGAAACCAACCGGCTCCTGCTACTACCACCCATTCTTCCCGCTACGATGAGCATGCTGATACCAACACGGCCCTCATCAAACCTGCCCACCACTCTGGGGAGGCGCTTTCACACTCCGAGTGGGAAGAATCTCACAACCCTGCCCTAAGAGCAACTCCCTTCCGCAGGGACCCTGCATCTTCAGGTGCACTAGAGTGAATAATTTGCACTGAGATTTGGATCAAAATGTTCAATGGCTTCATCAAGAGCTCAGACAGGCCCATCGTTCCGACGGCTAGTCTCACTCTCTCCATGCTCCAGTTCACACATTTCTGCATCAGCTGTGCTTCATAACCAGACTAGTTTACTTTGACAAGCTAAAACAACAATAGTGGGGGATCAAGTTGAGTCAGAGTATTTCGTCCGTCATCATGTGATCGTGTCAGGGGAGTGGTGGTTAACCACTCCAATTGTACGCGATTTCAGCAGGTTCGTAGAGATTTTAGACTGGTGTCTACGCATGTACGCCGGTCTATTACTAAAAACTAGATCATCGGACTAGGTTGATTTCAATAGACTCGATTGATGGCCTGTGATTTAAACAAACTATAAAGACATGGGCACCGATCGATTCAAGAATTAACAAAAACACAACCCAAAAGTCAATACTCTTTCATACATTACTTTCATGCTGTTCAGGCAACAACACCCTGTGATCCTGCTATCTCTCTGTCCATTTTCTCTTTCTCTTGTCTTGCTTTGTAAATCTTCAACGACATGGCCACTGGCTTCTCGCCATGGGTCTCAAAGATGGTGTCGATTTCCTCAAGAGACAGCTTGCTGGTTTCCGGGAAAAGAAAGTAGGCGATAATTCCCTGCAAGGCATTGTACACAATGTAGACGACCCAAATCTTATACCCCACCTTGCCAATACCGACGCCGATACCATATGTGTGGACGACACCAGCAGCACCCTGGAACATAGCGTAGAGACCCATTCCCTTCGCACGAAGGGAAAGAGAGAGAATCTCGACGGGATACAGGTTATGCATGGTGGCAATTGTACTGGCGCTGCAGATTTGGAAGCAGTATACCCAGAGGACCATGAGTATGGCGCTTGCCTTGTTTGGGTTGATAGTGTATTGCCAGCTTGTGATGGTGACAGCGGTCTGGAAAATGACAATCAACACAATTCCAGTGAAGATCAGGGTTCTTCGACGGAACTTGTCAATAATGTATGCTCCAAATAGTGTGAAGACGAAGTAGAGGCCAGTCGAGCCAAGTGTGATGCCGAGTTGCTGGAGAGTTCCGTCGATTCCGACTGTCATAAGCGCGGGAGTAAGGTAATAGCCCTAGATGACAATATTTGGTTAGCAAAAGAAGTAGCAAGTTTTAAAGTAACCTTTTATCAGCTTTTGAATCAATCAGGCGCTTGCCATCAGTGTTGTGTATGGGAGTGGACTCAAATTTCTTGAGCTTCCACCGACCAGGATATCAACCACCACAAAAATGTTCACAACATTAATATGAGACCGAATGAAATGAAACAGGCTCACGAACAATTATACCACCTGAGTATTATTAGCGAACGTAATTCCAAATATTGAATAAGATCCTATACCTCCGTTCCACTGCTGAAACACTGAATAGATTATGAGAACCGTTGTGCGGAAGCCGACAGCGCGGGTGAAGAAGATGCGGAAGTCGTACGCGGCTCGGAGTGTCTTGTTTTGGGAATTTTCGAGAGATTGCTCAATTTGCGCAATAACCATGCCGACAATGGGATCATTGATATCATTATGAGTTGTTTGGTACTTCGCAATGACCTCGCGGGCCTTCTGGACCTTGCCCTTCATCACCAAGTATCGAGGCGATTCTGGACACCAGAGATAGATGGTGACGCACACGACGGTAGGGAAGATTGCCTGGATCATAAACGCAGTACGCCACTGCCAATCGCTCTCCCACCTCGTCAATGCCATCATCACTCCAAGCATCATCATGGAGCCGACCTGGAAGCAGGCGCCGAAGATACCAACGATGCGGCCGCGGAGATGGACGGGAGCCACTTCGGCCACGTACTGAGGGGCTGTGCATAGCGCTGTGCCGAAACCCAAAATGAGACGGCCGACGAAGAGAGTCGCAAGGTTGGGCGCATTTCCTTGCATAAAAGCAGCAATGATGGTGAGGAAATTGCCGGCGAAGTTGACACCCCGTCGACCGATCACATCACTAAGAGCGAGGAAAGGGGCTCCCACGAAGATACCGATCTGCATCAAGGCGTTGATTGTGCTGATGATGACACCAGTCTTGCCAAAGCCGTAGTAGTCGTGCCATCGGTCAAACGCATTGATGCCTCCAACCACTCCCCAATCAACACCATACGCGGCCTGGTTGAAACCCATACAGATCTTTGAGCTGTCAGCGATACTAGGTCCCAATGGTCTACATCCTCGTCTTGACTAACCATGATGAGGCAAATGCGGAAGCCTGTCTTGGAGTAGATGGTGAGAGACTCTCGAGATTGTCTCAACAGATCCTCTTCGGTAATTCGGTGGGCGACGACTTCACCAACACCAACTCCGAGCTTGTTAGCCTGGGCGACATCATCGTAATGGTGTATCGCCTCCTTGCGGTCGTCGTCTGCCGCCATGGTCGCAACGCAATTACAATTATTCGGGGCGAAAGCGAAAAATGAATCAGGTCCCGAAAATCAGGATTGACAGGTGAATCAATCTATGCGACGGGAAGATTTGATTCGCGAGTAACTTATATAGAATCACTGACACTACCCCCAGATCATATGCGGTCTTACCTTTTAGCCATGTCGGCATTTCGCAAACACCCTTCCAATCCCCAAGCGGCTCCAATTACAGGATAAATTCGGCGTCTAGACTCCCACCGCCATCTGAATGTCGACTGATTGCGTCTGCTGGGCCAATGGCCCCTCACTTGGCCGTCTGTCAACGAGTCAACCAAGCAGTGGGGATCGGACTGATGGCCCGTGAAGCCATCACGGCAACAGTGCCGTCGCAAGTAACGCGGATCTGAGCACCACGAACCGGTGTTAGACAAGGCCATTGCGGACTATCATTGGCCACATCGGGGAGACTACTCCAATTGCCTGCAGACGGCTGCTGGGATCCCCGCATCAACATGCAATCCATGCCAGTTTTTCCATCCATACAACTCCCCTCCCGCGTCAAATGATCCCCCAGACTTGCGAGAACCTGGGGATTTAGCCGGTCTCCACTCAGGAGAGGTGCCATCAGATGATTCACTTCGGGTCCCCGCAACGGGGATCTTTGTCTTTAACAAGAGCTGCTCGGCCGCTCGACCAATTGATACACTGGTCTCATTCCAACGAGCCGGAACCCAGACGCTGTCCTGGCTATATTCCCGGCAACTCGGCCCTCTGTTCCTAGACGCACGCAATGGAGCAAGGTGATCGGCGTCTCCATCTCCACTACTCGGCACCGGCAACGGAGTGGGCTCAGGCGCTGCCCATCGGCAACGGCCGGCTTGGATGTATGATCCACGGGCGGCCCTCGACTGAGCTATGGCAGCTCAACGAGGACTCGGTGTGGTACGGCGGTCCACAGGAGAGAACGCCAAGGGACGCGTTCAAGCACCTTGGCACCCTGCGACAACTTATCCGGGATGCCAAACACGCAGAGGCCGAGGAGTTGGTCCGGACGGCCTTTTTTGCGGCGCCCGCGACGATGAGACACTATGAGCCGCTAGGAAGTTGCTCTCTCGAGTTTGGACACACTGGCGAATTGACCAACTATCGTCGCCTTCTCGATCTTGGGTCCGCCGTGCACACAGTCAAATACGACCATGACGGCGTCTCGCACGAAAGACAGAGCTTCGCCAGCCATCCAGATGGCGCCCTTGTTACTCAAATCACATCGTCGAAGCCAATTCGCTTCATCATTCGCTTAAATCGGGTTGGTGAGCAGGAATGGGACTCCAACGAGTTTCTTGACAGTATTCAGGCTACCGACAACCGCATCGTCTTACACGCCACCCCAGGCGGTCGCAACAGCAATCGTCTATGTATCGTGTTAGGAGTTCGTGTTCCGGCAGACGGGTCTGTAGAAGCAATTGGGGGCAGTTTAATCGTGCACTCCTCATCATGCGTGGTTTCCATCGGCGCCCATACTACATACAGGCATGAGGACCCTGAGCTTGCAGCCAGGCAGAATGTCGACGCCGCATTGAGCAAGTCTTGGGACGACCTCCTGGCCACACATTCCGCGGATTACCGGGGGCTATTTACAAGGACAAGTCTTGCTATGAGGCCCGATGCCAGCCATATACCGACTGATGAGCGGATCAAGAACCATCGAGACCCGGGGCTTGTTGCACTCTACCACAACTACGGGCGCTATCTACTCATCTCTTCGAGCCGACCTGGACTCAAGTCCTTGCCAGCGAATCTTCAAGGAATATGGAACCCATCATTCTCTCCACCCTGGGGGTGCAAGTACACGATCAATATCAACATCCAAATGAATTACTGGCCTGTTGGCTCAAGCAATTTATTCGAATGTGCTTTACCCTTGCTCGAGCTCGTCCAACGGATAGCCATCAGAGGGCGGGTCACTGCAAAGACCATGTACGGCTGCAAAGGATGGTGCGCCCATCACAACACAGACATCTGGGCCGACACAGATCCCGCTGATCAGTGGATGCCTTCTACACTATGGCCGCTCGGGGGAGTGTGGTTGTGCATGGATCTTGTGGAGTTGCTACAGTATCGATACAATCGCGCGCTTCATGAGCAAGTCGCACCTCTGCTTGAGGGATGCATCGAGTTTATTGTGGATTTCCTAATCCCGTCCAAGGATGGCAAACACTTGGTGACATGTCCATCACTCTCGCCGGAGAACACTTTCATCTCGGGCAACGGCTCCATGGGCATTTTATGCGAAGGCTCTGTCATCGACATCACCATCATCCGCATCGCGTTTGAGCAGTACCTTTGGAGTCACCAGAAGCTCCCAACATCAGCAAGCAGTGAGCTTGTAGCCAAGGTCCACAAGATTCTTAATCCGACCGGTCCCCTCGATCCACGCCTGCCCGACATGAAGATTAACCCGCAGGGGTTGATCCAGGAATGGGGTCTAGAGGACTATGGCGAGCACGAACCAGGACATCGACATGTCTCCCATCTATTCGGGCTCTATCCTGGCAACATAATCCATCCAGGCACTACACCAGAGTTAGCTGCAGCCGCACGGAAGGTCCTCGATCGCCGAGCTGCGCATGGAGGCGGGCACACGGGATGGAGTCGAGCATGGTTGCTGAATCTCCACGCGCGACTCCGTGACGCCGAAGGGTGTGCCAAGCACATGGACCAGCTGTTGGAGAGCTCGACTCTTCCAAACATGCTTGACAGCCATCCGCCGTTCCAGATTGATGGCAACTTTGGGGGGTGCTCAGGCATCCTTGAATGTCTCGTACAATCGAGGATAGATCATGACAGTGAGGGGCCATTTACTGCTATCTACTTGCTCCCAGCTTGTCCCACCGATTGGAGCAGTGGTCGGCTGAAGGATGTTGGGGTGAAGGGCGGTTGGGCTGCTTCGTTTTCTTGGGAAGAGGGAAAGATCCAAACGCCGAGTTTAAAACCAGTCGAAAGTGACCACTTGAGAGCCCGAGTTTCAAGTCCATCTCACAAACATGTCTGGATACCTTCTGGTGCCTCCGAACCGAAAACGGTCGACTTTTACAATTGAATTAAATTCATTTCTTCTACATTGGAGAGTATCAGCCTCGGCAAACCGAGGCTCATGTCTTGATTCTTCCTCGTCAACGCGCGTCAAGAAGGCTACCCTGGAGCCGCATTGAGCCAAATCGCAACACCACAGGATTTGCCATCTGGCGTGATTCTAGTGAACGCATGCGACATGTGGGCAGGCTGCATGGGAAATGAAGGCAAAATCAGAAGCTTTTCCTACAAAATAGAACAATTTTGCCGCCGCCTGACTTTGCCGCGTGGAAACATCTACTGGGGGTGGTTGTCAAGTTGGGCTACGCGAATCACGACGCGGAATTGAGGAACTATAGCGACGACCTCAAACTCCACGGCGGGAATTGACTGGTTCGCAAGCGACGCAGATAATTGAACAGGGAGCTTGGCTGTGAACATGCGACCTCTCGGACGACTTTGTCGGGTCGTAGATTCTGGCCAACATGACTTACACCAGAGGAGAACTTTGTCCATTTTGGGGCATCGCCGGACCCGAGAGAACGGTTTGCGTTGTTGGCTCGATCCGACGGCCAAGCGTGAAACTGGTTGCGACGACAGAAGCGCGCGTCAATGCGACGGAGGATTCGAATTCTTAGAATAGGAAGTGTATTTTGGGCCATGGCTTGGCCGTTTGTCTTCGGTAATGACGAGGCGAAGAAATTGAGCAAGATTCAGAAGCGAGCGATAAGCGACGTGCGCAGCAATGAAATGAAACGGCCGTGACGATGGCAAAGTTCAAGAGCGCAATCTCCACACCTCGCCTCGACCCACTCCGACTCTCGAGAACAAGCGACGGGATCGCCAGTGAAGATGTGGGGAGGGAACCGGCGGCGGCAGCCAATATGGCGGCAGACGGCACGGGGCTGTGCTGGCCTTGGCTGGAGTGCCTCACAGGGCTGACTTGGGTCCATCTTGGCCTTGTCGCTTGCATCCCTGGCACTGAAACGGACATCGCCACTGGCCTGCCGCAGTGTGCAGGGGGTTGGTGGGGAGCTTCAACACCATCACCACCATCGCCATCGCGTTCGTGATGCCGGCTGGGGCCTCCAGCAAAACGGAGTTTACCTCTGCGCGCAGTTGATCATGCTATGTAAGACGGCAACGCCTTTAGAACGCGCAATCTCCCCAGCAGCAGGGGAATCCATTGGCCAGCGCCGCCTCCAAGAGGCCGCCGAGTGCTAATTTCCAGGCTCATATTTGGGGGCCGTTTGCGTTTGGGGGCTGATTTCTTGGGCTGCTCCCAGCAACGAGGCCCAGCCGCGAGGGGCGAAAAGGGGGCTCTGCGGGAGAGAGAGGGGGAGGGGAAAAAAACTTCGCCGTTGGGCTGCTGATGCGACCGGCTTTGAAATCAGAGGGAGCACGAAACAAGCTGCGGTCGCAATAAGGCAAACTGCGCGACGATGACTTCTTACGTGGAGGGTCGTCATCTGGTCCACGATTTTCGTTTCATGAGCTACGTCGGTGCCGGTGCGCCCCCCTCCTCATGACCTGGTGTCTTTTTGTGTGCGCAACACGTTGAAGACGACGGCGGCCACGACCCAATCATGACGAGACGAGTGGAGGTTTGTCGTGTTTGCGAGGTTTGCAAAGTTCACCGTTGTCCAGATCCGGCACCGACCTGCTCGGCTTCGCTGGCAGCCTTGGGTGCGAGGTGGATCAACAGTTGGGATTTCGCATTCTGGTCGGTTCCCGTTTGTGCGACTGCTACGTAGAACGTGCCAAGCGATCATCGGCAACGTCAACAGTCCTATCGATCCGGGGCCATTTGGACCTTTGGTGTTGCGGCCGTCGGCATTTGGGGGCCGTTTGGAATTTGCCCCCGCCAGGTTGAAGCTATTCACTCACTGATTTACCCAGCGGCTGGCAGGACAAGGCAACCGGTTAAGCCGTTTGCGGAAACTCGTCACGTCGCAACTCCATCATACACCCTCTGTGATTCACAATCAAGAGCATCAGTCCGGCATCCGCCGTCGAGTGGCTTCTGCTGCGCCGTCTGTTCGTCGAAACTTCTGGCGTTGCAGCTTCATGACTGGCGTGACCCATGCGATCGGCCATGCCCATCATCCATGCGAGCTCTTTAGTTCCCGTCGCCTTCGATCGTGGTGGCTGGTGCACGGCGCAGAGAAGCGAGAGAGAGGCATCCAATGGACCACAAAGGATGCCATCATATTCGAGGTCGCATGCTTTGATAGCCCACAGAAAGCGCACAGCGTGCAAGCAAGCAAACTAACTAAGCCTTGTAAAGTGGTTGCGGGAAGGCTGAGCAACCCTGGACGCATTCTCCCCCAGATGCGATCCAGAATTCGAGCCGGCGGAGGCTGTGAGTGCGCCTCTGGTCCAAACAGGCCAAACGCAGGCCAAGCCTCCACGAACTAACCACAGTAACCAGCAGCCCAGACGTCACCCAGGGTGTGCCGGAGCACCGCCTACTGCCTGCCCTTGCAGCGCAGGGCTGCGCAGGGGCCAGTGGCATCAGTCGGCGGCGAGGATTTGCCAAGCCTGCAGAGTCCTAGACGAATCGTTGTCGATGCAGAGTGCCATGGCTCCATTCTCCCGTACAGTTTCCTGCAAACCACTGCGGGCCGGACAGAGCACGCGCATGCCCTCGGTTTTTCTGCACACCTCGCACACCGCACGCAACTGGCTTGCTTGGCCTGAATCTAGGACTGATTGCCTCGTTACTTGGGGCGTGTACATTGGTTTCCTAGCGTCCGCCGTGCAGCCAGACGACGTCGACGATGAGTCAATGCCGAATCATGTAACCCGTCGTCTTCCGCGCGCAAGTGACCCCATGATCCGTCCAGTCAACCGGCCGAAGAGTCAAATCGCGCTCTGCGATGGAGATGTTCTGCAGGTGATGGGCTTGTAGGGCGGCCGGCGTCATGGCGTCGAGTCCCCCTGCGCCAGAGAGCCGGCGTTTAATCGTAGGTTAGCAGGAAGACGAGTCCGATAGTGCTTGCAGCTCGAGGGTCGCGGTTTCGGGCGAGCCCTCTGCGATGGTATTGTCCAAGATTGGCTCCGTCGGTGAATTGAATCGGATGGGTGGACGCAGAAAATAGAATTAGCCGGGGAATTTGATTGATTCCTACTCCGTACTCCGTAGGAGTTGAAGTGTTTCAACCGGGGTCGCGTCGTCGGCAGCCGCATCATCACCAACACCACCAAAAATGGCAAGACGCGCACGACACGGTATGAATTGCTCTTGGCTGGGCCGTCCACCTCTTCCATCCTCCGTCGGACACCGTGGGTTCGTCCGGCATGCGTGCACCCGCTGGCCGATCCTGTCCGTGTCCGTCCCGGATATCTCCAGACTGTGGGTGCGGCGGCTGGACCTGGCCCACGGCAGCCTTGAGTCCTTGGCGTCCTAGTCGTTGAAGCTCGTCATATCGTTGGCTACACACCCTCCCTCCCTCCACTGGCATTGACATGCTGCTGACGGGAGGGAGGGTGGAGGAGAGAGGGTGGAGGAGAGAGGGTGGTGTTTGGGGATGGGATGGCCCGTGGCTCAGCACAGCAACACTGCCCATTGGGCCACCCCACCTCCCGCGCTCCCTTTGGCCATCTGCCATCCCTCTATCACTGCAGATGTGAGTTGTGTGGGTTTGGTGGGAGTCATCGGCATGGCCTTTGTTCCCCACTGCGTTCCCCCCCAACGGCCTCTCGCACTGAAGCCCCTGCCAGTGCCGTTACTGAATGAAGGTCGCCTGGCCTTGTGGCCCCCAAAAAGCCAATGCCCCAGTGGTGGCACCCCCTGCACGTCCTTGGGGCCCTGGGAGCATGGGCCAGGGTGGCCTTGGCGGCCTGGGGCGCAACTCTAGTCTCTGCAATGGCTTTCTGGTAGGCAGAAACGGCGTGGGACCAGCCCAGAGCCAGGGGGGGTGCGTCGAGCACACCACCAGACAGGCCGCGCTCCCTCTCACACGCTCACACTCACCCACACATTTAATATACGCGCGGGTCCTCACGATGGGATACTTTTAAGGCACCGACTTCCTCACCTCCCTCCGCACATTTTCCACTTCGATTCCTGGTATCACAACAACATCAGTCTACTTGTCTACATCTACATTCCTACTTCTTCTTCCCCAGGCATCCACTCCCCTGTACTCCATTGAGTCCCGCACTTACAACCGCCACTACTTCCAACTTCGACCACCAACCCTCCCACCTACCTCCCTCGTCTATAAAGACCTCCTCACCTCCCACCCTTGGCCAGACTTCCAAGACAATCGAACTTCATCTACAACAACAAAGAACAAACAAGCATACACATACAAGCTTGCTACCACACCTTGCATTGACAGCTAGCTATTCTCTCAAGTTGTCTTCTCCCATCATCGTCGACAACACCGTCTACAACCACCACCGCAAGAACCCCTCCACACCTCGCCAACCCGAGCTTGAGCATCGGATTCGCCAATCCCAACCGACGAGGCCTTCTCGTGCCCTCGCGCCGGTAGTCATCCAGGAGAATCCTCCTACTACCAACCTACACCCATATACGTTACACAACACCGACACGATGTGCACCAGCAACATCTACACCTGGGTTCACCCAGACGGCCGAACCGAGCAGACCTACCAGCCTACACTCTGCGGACACTCACTAAACGGCCAACCATGCGCCAACAACGTCGTCTTCCAGCACCCCAGCCAGTTTATCTCCTACAATGAGTCGACCGCGCCCTACATGACCCAGCTTCCTCCCACTCCTCAGTACAGCCCTGCGCCTTCAACTCCTCACTACCGCTCCGGCGACGACTCAGACCACTCCTTTGGCAGCTCGAACAGCAAGAAGAAGCGATCATCCGGTGTTTATGTCAACGGCCAGAAGGTCCTCGACCTGAACCGCCGTGACCGCCGCGAGCGCATCGTGCTGGTTGAGAACCCGCCTACGCCTCGCACGCCGCCGCAGACCTGGACTTCACCGCACACTGCTCCCCCATCTCCCAACGCCAACGTCTACCTCGATTCTTCTCCTAGCCGCCACCGCCCCGTCATTGTAGATGAGCGCAGCCGCGTCCAGATTGAGGTTGTCGATAACAACCGCCGATCATCACACTCACACTCTCGACACGCCTCTACAAGCTCGCGCGACAGCCGCCAGAGCGCCGAAGACGACGAGAAACGCCGTCGTCGTCGCCAGCGCGAGAAGGAGCGCGAGGAGCAGGAGATTCGCCAGCAGCGCATGCGTGCCCGCATCGCCGAAGCCAACGCCGAGATTAACAGCCGCCCTTCAGTCCCCATGGCGCCCGCCCCTCGGCGCGCCTCCACTTACAAGCGACCAGAGGTTGAGATCCCCATTGACGCGGAGACCGCCTTGGTCGAGGCTGTGCGCCGTCTCAACTTCGAGGAGGCCCAGCGTGACAAGAAGGCGCGCCGCCTTGCCGAGAAGGAGGAGCGCAAGGAGGACGAGGCCCAGCGCCAGCGACTGCGGGAGCGCATCATGCCCGGCCGACGAGCCACTGTTGGCCCCGGAAGCCGACGGCACCGTGTGCTCTACGATGACGGTGTTTACCGCTGGGAGTAAAGAATGAGCCAATGAGCAATTTCTTGTGTTGATTAGTTTGTCTCCTTTTCTCGACTTGTACTTTTGTATCATTGGCTTTTACTGGGATGGATGGACGGATGGGATTGTGATTTGACAGTGAGCATGCACAGCACAGCAAGGCTTTTTCTTCTTCTTTTTGGGGATTTTGAGCGATGATTTTTTTTGGGATTGGAATTTCCGGGCTGCAATCTGGATGAATGTATATGATACGATGGATGGGCGATGGTCTTTTGATACTACTATACTCAGGCGGACAAAAACAAGCCGAAGAGGAGGATGACAGCACACACAAAATCAGAAAGAAAAAAAAGAATCCTAAATGGATTCCTGTTTATGACAACATATTGGTTTCAAACACTTTTTTTTGCCTTTGACTTGGATGGCGAGTGACTTTTTGGAGGGGCTTCAGCCCAGTGGTTGCCTGGCCACCAACGCGCATCATTTCCGTCCCCGTTAGGAGCCCGGACGGACATTAGATAGTATCACGAATCAACACGCTGGCCATGTCACCTTGGCTACCATCAGTAGCACAGACTTTGTGTCCCCGTCTTGTGCGACCCGTCCCATTCCCCATTCGCAATTTCCAACTCCTCGGCACCACCACCATCCCATCCATCTCCCGGTCGACCATGGCCCATCCGCCGAATCGTCCCATTGACCACTGATCGTCTAGTGACTCACAGCGAGGGAACGCCATGCGTCCCAAGACGGAAACTAAACATTGGCAAACCAACCAGCGGCCCTTGCGCCTCAGCTCACCTTACTTCCCACATTCAAGCTGCTGTCTAGAGTCACCCCGCCATGCATTGGGATCCACCGCCCGTTTGCTTGCCCCGCAGCTTATCGATAGAAGCCTCAGTGGACGTACATGCGATGCCCGTTTTTTTCAGGGTTGCTCCACAGGGTCTCGGTCCCCTCGCTGAAACTCCCCTTTCCCAGTGGATGGCTGCCTGCCCGAGGGACGGTTCGGGAAGGGGATGGTTCAGAGTGCGAAGATCCATCGCCAATCGTCCTAGGCGGGGTTCGATGACTCGGCGACGGGCCCGGCGGGCAAGGGGGGGGGGGGGGAGGGGGATCCTCGGCCACTTGGCGTTGCGCGAAGTGTATCCCGGAGTGGGGAAGACTAGGCAGGCAATGGCATCGAGTGAGGGCATTCGGGATGGGAATGATGGCGGGAGTTTGGCCATCTCGTGATGGCATGGCCAAAAGTTTCTCAGATGAGGATGCTTTGTGGCTTTGGATCAGATCGGGCAGTGTTGAAGGCTGAGTAGATGCGACGGCGATCTGCATTTCCTAGCGCACACACTCCATCGCAAGACCACTTACACATACACAACCTTTGTCTAACAAGCCCTCAACGTCGTCACAGCGCAACTATCATGATCACGTCAAACCCAAGGCATCGCGACGATCTTCAACTGATCCCATTCCCAGTCCCCATTCCTAAAGGCCGCTCGCGAGCTAGCCCAGGACTCGCCCGCTCCCCCACGCCGCAAAGTGTAAAAAGGGAACTTTGGTGGTTTCCACCTGCGCCGGCGCCCTGCAACATGCGGGTTCCCGCCGGCTGCAGTGCATCGCATCACGAAAGGCGCGCCCCAGGGTCTAATTTTCCCGGCTTGGGCCCTGTCTTCCCCCCCGTTCCCCTTGCGTATCTCATGACTTAGACATGCCCCTCGGCATTTCTTGGCGAGTCACGATATATAGTGACATGTTTTGTGGTCCTGGACCTGGTGGTGCGGGGAGGGCATACGCTTGTTAGGCAGCAGGGCCGCCTGTATGGTTGGCTGAGAGGTTGAGGACTCGCCCCTCGGCCTGCCGGGTGCGCATCGCATCGCATCGCGGCACATCACGGCTGCGTCCACCTTTTCCCCTGCGATAGATGTGGGAGCTGGTTTCCAGTTGACATGGCATCCGCAGCAAGGCCTGGACCGCGGATACGAGGCGTCAAAGGCTGCTACGCCCGCCTGTATCGTCGAAGGCAGGCAGATTCACGAAACTTCAACCACCAGCGCCCACCAACACCACTAACACCAACATTCCATATCCCCCCCTCCTCCCCATCCATGTCACCCATCACTGCTGCACACGCCCCCTCCATCCTCCCATCCCGCCGTCGCATCAACCCACCCACGCCCGGCCGCTTTCCAATCTTTCCAAGCACCGCGTTCCCAGGTTGCCGGCCACGCTCGAGTCACCCGGACAGCCACCGATCTCGGCCGGCGGTGGTCTTGTGACTGCACCTGGCGGGAAGGGTGGTGTGATTGGACGACGGCGCCCAACATGTCTTGGTTGATGGTGGTGATGCGAAGTTTGCTTTGATAAACTCGTGCCGGAAGAGCTGATAGAGAGCTGGGGGTGTCTGGAAGCGGTGAGGAAAGGGTCGTTGATTCGGAGCATTTCGGTATTTGTGGTTCTGGTCGTGATGCTGTCTTGGTTGGACGACGACGCCACCCGTCGACAGAGGCAAGTTTACCAAGTATGAGTGAGACACAGCAGTGAGACATGGCAAACTCGCAGCCTTCTCGTCGACCATGTTGCCTCACCTCTCTGCATGCATCCTCACCTATCTTCACCTCAACTCAGCTCAGCTCAGCTCAGCGCATCGCCTCTCCTGCGCAGTCCTTCCGCCACCCAGAGCTCGTAGGCCTCGTAACACTTACACGGCTTCGAGCATCTCAACCACGACATCCATCGCACAACACGACATTTTCCAACATCCAGCCCACCACATCCATCCCAACAAATTGCACATTGGCGACACCATCAACACCAACTTCCAAGTTGCGCCGACTCACCGCCAACCCTCACCACCACACTCGCCGCAACCAACACGGACATGACTCTACCCATGACCCAGCCTCACCTCCCTCAGCTGAAACATTTTGGAAAAATCATTGCCCTCCTCGGACGCCACCATAGCCTTGCCCACCTCCTTCTTCTCCTATCCATCCTCTTCTTCTGAGCATCCCGCGGCTTTGCCATCTCCGTCCCCCCACACGGTAACGCAACGCAGCACCGCAACGCGCCGCCCCGTCCCCTCGTTGCGACCCGACTGCAACGCCAAAGTGCAACCCTCCTACACGAGATTCTGGCCACGGGACCACACTAAGCCGGGATTGTTTCAAGCTTCGCCATCGTAGTTGCGTGGGTTGGGACTGGGAATCGTAATAGTTGTGTCTGAGTAAAACAAGTGGGCTGGACTAGAACGGCCTGTCTTACTCAAATGTCTCGGGCGCTATTCGTAGCTGTCTTACGCGTCCCTATGTCAGGTTGGAAGTTAACTCTGACCGTATTCATAATCCACGGCTCGATCCTTACCGGGCTTACGCCAAGGGGATGGGTAAGGGATGTTTTCGCGCGCCACAGAAGAATCCCAAAAATAGAAACGTGTGAAGACCACGCATGTGCCGTATATTTAGTTCAATTCTTACAAAGCCGGGTATCGAAAAAGCGCTTCCCTTATCGTCGACCGCTGTTCATGTATCTGCCATGCCAAATATCAATGCCCTGCCTGTAACAATGCTATTTCCGAGCACCCAAACAATATGACTCGTAGTGTATGTAATTCCGCCTATCATCGTGTGTTGATCCGGCCTTCTTCCATCTCTTCCTCATATATATGTCTGCGACGGGCTCCTCCTCAAAGTTGAGAAGGGAGTCGATCACTGTGTCGTATTAAAGTCAAACGCCACCCATCCCGTTTCAGCCTGCAGATTGGACCTGCTCACGAGGTTTCCTTGTCAATCTAAGTGTAGGAACCTCTAGGTCATCTATAGTCTGCCGGGAAGTGACGACTTTCAAACTCTCGTAGTGTTGCTGCAATCTTTCAACTCCCACGACGAGCTCGAACCCAGCCAAAAAGCAGAAACTTATCTCCAAACGGGCGAGCTCTGCTTCGCTGACACCGCCGACCTTGGCCATTTTAGAGTGAGGGTATGATAAATCCTCAAGCGCCTTCATCGCAACCCTTAGTCCTGCGAGGACCAGTCGATGGGCATTGCGCCGGGTAACCGGGATAGCGCGCTCCTCTACGGCCAAGCGATGGATATATAGGGATGTGGCAAGGTAAACAGCTGTGCTCATCGGGCAGAACTGATGCAGGCGCATCAAGTACTGATTTATGCTGATCGGAGGCTCGTTCTTGCTGTAGAACTTGCGCGTAATGGCACCATGCTGGAGATTGATCGGTTGAGAGTCTGCGCCAACAACGATGTATGGCGCACGCGTTCCAGGGGGTGACATGGGCGTTGAGGACTGCTTGAGTTGGACTCCGTCGACAGTTTCGGAACTGTTGTGACAATGGGACTGTAGGGTATCGGGGTGGGCAATGGCCGTGGAAGAATGCTTGGCCTCTAGCCTCTTGGCCTCCAATTCTGCCTGCTGCCGCATTCTGATAAGACTTTTTTCTGAATGGGTTCGCGCAATATTCTCTTTTTCGGCCTGCATGCCCTTCATGTGAGGCACGGTAGGGGATTTGGGTGGCGGCGTCGGCGGAACATCACCCGTTATCCGGACGAGCAACTCGACATTGGCGCTCAGCAGCTTGAGCGCTTCTGACGGCTCCATCTTGAAGATGTCATGATCGGAAGCAGCGAGGCGGGTATCGGAGGAGATCGGGAGGTTTGTCTCGGTCGTCGCGGTGGCGGAGGGCTGGTCGGACATGACTCGAGTCGATGGGAGTGGATAAGATAGAGATAGGCGCTCCTTCACGAGATGCAGCCGTTCACGCGCCTCAGTCTTTTCAGGAGGACCAGACGCTCGACAAGTCTCGATTCGCCGCTTTTCATGATCTCGTCGCTCGAGACTGGTTGCAGGGACGCGTAGGACGGCGGGGTATTATCGTGGGGCAACTCGTGGTTTACGAGCGCCAACCCGAGAGATAGAGTGGGACGACGTGTGGACCTGGTCCCTGAAAAGCAGCCGGAGTAATTAATACGGAAGAGTTTGAGACAGGGCAACCAAGTGTTGTTCCACCAGGTGGACGTTGAAAGTTTTCAACTGTCAACACGAGCATCCGGGGCCAGTCCGAGCCAGATGGCGGGGCGATAACTGCTGCGCATCAATCGCGTGAGCAAAAGAAGAAGCGGTGGCGTGTTACAGACACCGCAGGCGTCAGTTGAAGATACGGGGAGACTGCTGATGATATGGGGCGAATTCGAGGCGAGTAAAGAGCAACGCGCGGCCAAGCAATGGTGGTGATGTTGAAGCAGGTGTTTTTGTAGCCTGGTGAATTCCCACGTCGTGAGACACAAGCGGCACGTGGTGCGGGGGGGGACTAAGAGGAAGGTACCGTACCGACTCGTGCCCTTGAGCCGAGATGTTTTCTAGACGAGATTATAGCAGGAATGCTAGACTCGCCTTAGCCAGCTGCTGTTTTGTGACTCAGCCAGGCCGAGGCAAAATTCGGCGCGCGTCTAGCCTGGCTCCAGTGCGAAACAGACTTTAAAAGTCGTCGTCTAGCTCGCGATCCAGTCGAGTTGGCCTAGGGATTCTGGAGCGGCGAGCGCCGGGGATGGCGGGCTACCTTATGGATATGGCGGACGTGTTCTCGCGTATTCGTACAAGCAGCAAATGGACCCGAGGACACTGGGTTGTCAATGGGTCGGCCGTTCTCCAATGCCAAAAGTACGCTATCGACGGGGAACAGGCTTGTTTATAGCAAATATCGCGGGCCGAACAAGCAGAGCAATAACACTCGCCAGCAAGCCAGAAGCAAGTGTCGTCTGATTTCGCTATTAGAGCCGCCCGAACCGCAGGGGATTGGCCACTCGCTGCAGTGCGGTACGGTACCCGCGTCCAACAGCAGCCAACAGCGCCTACGACAGAGCACCTTTGCAACCAGCACAGGCCAGCCGTCCAGTAAAATTACAGCGGGATCCAGGGGAGCTGGGCCGACAGCTATGGACCCCTGGAGCCGCCTGACCTGCTGGGGTGATCACTAATTTACAGCGTCCCGCAGGGCATCCCTGGCTTCGGCCGGCACTGACGAGGCCAATCTCACGGCCCGGAGAACTGCGGTCCGGAAGTGAGGCTTTCCCGCCTTCGCTTGCGAGAAAGACTCAACGTTACGTTTGCTGGTTTCGTTTGCACGGACAGACATAATAGCGTGATGAAGCGAGCAGCATACTGCTACACAGTACGGAGGGCCCTTTTAAAAGTCTTGTCCATAAGAAGTAAGTCCTAATTATTAGGTTAGATAATAAGTACACTAAGTACTTCCTAATTTCTATAGGCCCTAAAGGATAGCAGGCTACAGCACACAGCATGCGCTATATCCTGATCAGCAGCGTACTACTCCTGAAGTTATAGCGGCCGTTTAACGAGACTGTGATAGCTTTATGTATCTCAGGTAACCGACAGGGATAAGTGGATATGATGTTACTAGCGCTTGGACAAGACTTTTGAAAGAGCCCTCCGTAGACAAACGAGATATGAAGACGCCTAACTCGAGCTGATCCTGGCAGTCAATGCCCTCCTCGGCGGATCCGGCATGGACAAATACCAATGAGGCCATAATTCCGAGTCCGAAATACAGATCCGGTGTTAACAGTTATCCAGTTCTTAGACCATGCTTAATTCATCGGACAAAATCGAACAGGAAAGCTCCTACCAGAGGCGGCCCCAAGCGCTAATTCCCATTCCGAATCGCCGGTTGTGGCTTGCCTCTTGGCCGGTTCCGTCTCACTTCATCCTGTCTCGGCCTGTCACGTCTCATATTGGCCTCGTGGGCACTACCGCGATGCGCGACAATTTGTCTTGCAGACGGGCTACTGCGGAACGGGTAAGTTAGCGATCTAAGCTCTGTGGTGAATGCAGTGTAGTCGGGGAGTAGCCCCGGAGCGCTTAGCCTTGTCCGTCGATATGAGGGGAAATGACTTACCTGCGGCGTTCCACACGTCCGTGATCACCAGTCACCGCCTGGGAACCGTATAGACGAGTGCCGTTTTTCCAACCGAACGAGACTCTCGATGGGATTAAGGCTACGACACTATCTTTGGCAATCTTAGATGGTTGCTATTCTAGGCGGTGTCGCCACTTGTGTGAGTCCACCGTAGTATCACTTAGCAATAAGCTGCCATTTATGCAACTCATTCAGATTGCAGATGCTTACGACATGTTTATATTTTGACATCAATATTCAAGGAAATGACAAATTTCATCGTGGCTGCCCCCGATTACTCTCAATTCAAACCCTCTCTTTCCTGTTTGACTAGCTCGGTGTTCTCTTTGAAATACATCGTATTTATTGTCTTCATTGGTTGTCATCATTCATTAATGCATTTCTCAGCAGTCAGACACGACCTTACAGTCAATGACTGCAGTCTGGCCACTCTGGACCTTGGCAACGGCCTCCTTCAGGACGCTTTCAAGATCTGCCGACTGCTCCACCTTGGCAGCAAAGATATCTCCACCAGCGGCCGCCTTGGCGATGCCAGAATAGTCCGGTACAGGGTCGAATGAGATGTTGATCTCCTCGTTGGTAGCCGTGGAACCTAGGCCCTCAGGGTGAACCAACAGAAGTGACCTTCGGGGCGCATTCCATCCTGACATCTTTGTTAGCTTACTTCAAAGCTATGGAGTTTCAAACTCACCCTTGTTATTGAGCACAATAGTTAGTACGGGAATGTTGTATCGTTTCGAGATCCAGTAGACACTTCCGGGGACGGTGAAGAGATAAGTTCCATCTCCCACAATCTGGACAACAAACTTGCCCTTGCCCTTACCGCCATTCTCGGCATCCGTCGCCAGCTTGACGCCCAGAGCACCACCGCCAGACCAGCCGAGACCACCTCCGCCGCAGTTGATCCAAGATCCGGGAATTTTAGGCTGCAGATTGTCGTGGACGAACCCAGTGTTGGTCACTGCCTCGACTGCCCACAGGGTGTCTTCGGGACAGACGTTGCGAAGTACCTGGCAGAGGTGACCAGTTCCGAAAGTGCCGTCCTTTAGAGGCTCAGCAGCCTTGGAAATTGCTGCCAATTTCGCCTCATACGACTTGACAAGCTTCTGTTCCAGCTCAGCAGCGGTCGCCTCCATCTTGCTGGCAAGCTCAGGGGCCTTCAAAGCGGCGGTAATTTGCTCAACAGACGTCAACGCATCCGCGCGGTACCTGGCGTCAGACTGGATGTAGAAGAGGGGCATCTGCTGCTTCAAGGGGTCGACATCGATGTGGAAGATTTTGGCATCCTCGCGAGGCTTGCACCTAGTCTGGATCCAGGGCACGTCACAGTCAAGGACAACAATAACGTCGGCGGTGGTGATGGCATCGTCAGCGCCGAAGCGAAGCCCTAGCCATCCCGGGTGATCTGAAGGGAAGCACATGTCGCTGCCGCCAGTGTCAAGCACTCGCAGTCCCTTGACCGTGTTGGCGAGTTCCACCAAGGCAGCGGGGATATCATGGTTCCTGCCCGAATATCCGGTGACGATAAGAGGCTCTTTGGCACCGGCTAGAGCCTCGGATATCTTGGTCACGGCTCTCTTGGGCAGACCACCGAGCTCGACAGGGTCCCAGTGCTCCTGCTTCAGGGAGTAAGGAGTGATGTCGGCCTCCATAACCTCTCGCGCACCGCACAGATAGACGGGGCCCTGGGGATCAGATGTGGCGAATTGCAAAGCTCGGTTAACCATCTGTTTCACGTTGGTGCCCGTCTTGATCTCGGCCGTGTAGCGGCAGTACTGCGCGACAATCTGCTTCTGGTCGGGGACATCCTGGATCCAGTGGATGTACTCAGTGCGGCTGCCTCGCAACTCGCCCTCCTGAGTGAAGGGCGAGAGACCAGCAAACACCAATACGGGGGCTCGACCTGTGGATGCGTTGTGCACAGCCGCTCCGAGACCCTGAGTTCCAACATCGACATGGATGATTACGCACTGAGGCTTGCCAGTCAATCGAGCGTATCCATCAGCCATTGACATGGCCACCATCTTCAGCAGACCAAAAAAACTACAGGTCAGCACTCTCCCATCTCCTAATTTTTACTAAATGCATCGAGTTGAAACCTACCTCATTAGGGCAGGTGATGATGCGAGGAAAGTTGCCCTTTGCTTCACGTTGACCCTTGACCATCGCCTCGATAATGCTGGGGTGATCGGACCCCAAATTGACGAAGCAATGTGTGATCCCGGCCTCCCAAATGGCCTCAAAAAAGGCGAACGACGCAGTATACATTTTGGGGTTGGCAGTCGAGTATGGGCGAGAGATAATTCCACGAATTGATAGATCAGCTGTTGTCAAAGGCCCAGCGGTTTGGTCCCTGGCCGTGGTTACTAAAGAGGAGACAGAACGAACTCCACGAGGGGCCGACGCAGCGAGACAGGCCGTGTTATATCCTCGCAAGGAGGAGCCAACAGCCCCTGCATGTCGGCATCTCCAAAAGATCGGAGCAGCCAATGCGACACGCTGCAGCAGTGCCATTATCGGATTGGCCTTTATTGGCACAGTATCAGTATTCTGGGTGGGCAATTAGAAGAGGGGCCATGGAGATGGACGCTAGCGAGGCGCTGCCGAGGACGAGTGCCAACGGGAAATGGGGACGGGAATGGGGCGGATGGCGGCCGGGATGGCGGCCGGGCCAGGGGTTTGCACCTTTCGTGCAGGGGACGGGGGAGAGGGGAGGGGTTGAGGGCCTGGGAATGCTGAGGGTTTGGCAGGGTGGTTGGGATGGAGTTAATGGAGCCCATGGAGCCCATGGAGCCCATGGAAGCTAACTAACGAGACCAGGACGAAGAAGCAACAATCGGACGATGAGTGGGTGCTGATTTGTGGATGAACAGCAGATGGGATAGGCACTTGCACCAGGGATGGGGAGTAGAGAATCCGATAGCGAGGGGATTAACGAGTGGGGACGGCGGATGAAGACTCAAGGTAGAGTGTGCGTGTATTGGTGTAAATGTGTAGGTGTATCAAGCGGAGTTGTAAGTGAGACAGTAGGTGTAAGTGTGCAAGTACACACAAGTACCGCAACGGTTGTAATTCATTGGTGTAAGTTGTACTTATGGGAGGACGCAAATTTGGCGCAGTGTGGTTCAGTGACCATAGGTGGCTTAGAGGGAGGTGGAAGAATGCGCAAATGCCTGGATTGCCTTACCTAAAATATGTCAAGGGACAGTGAGATAACCGCAAGTGGAAATGGGACCAATATATCTAAATTGGAACAGAAAACAGGGAGGATTCAAGACGAAAATAAGTTAGGTGACAGAGGAAGGATGGGCAAGAAACCCCAACCTCACAGAGCGGGTTTTGTTGCCCCGCAAACAGCTACCTTACGTTACCAAGGTGTTAAACTCATTTCAGCGTTGGGATCGGCATCTAGATTTTATCCCTTATCACACTGTGACGCTCTTGGGCTAATTTGGTAGGTTTTCCCTGTTGTGGTAGTTTCGAGCTGCGGGTGGGAGGAGCGTGCGGGAGAGGAGGCGGAGGCGGATGCGGAGGAGGACTGTGCCATGATTGGCCGGTTGCGCCGAGGAACACAGGGATATGGATGGCGATACCGCAGCGTAAATGCTGAAGCTATGGACAGAGTTCGAGATTAGAAGTAGACGACATGTTCATGGTAAAGAAGCGCGTATTTAAATGACTGGTTGCCAAGGTCCGTTCTACGTTGCGCTTTGTGAGAGGATATACCAAGAGTCGGGACAAGAGACCCACTCACTCTGATATCATGGCCAGTTTACAGCTTTACTACTATCACAATGCAGAAGTCAATACCTAGCCCTTTCTTCCAACATGGTCCCCTGGAATAAAATACTAAACTCTCATCATGGACCCATCCTTATCTTGCGAGAACAGGGTCCTAGGCGGATTGCTGGCATGTAATGAGGTTGCATTCCACGAGGATTGCATGCAGAGGAACCCACCAAATCCCACTCTGAAGAACAACCCACCCCAGCTCCTGAGATGAATGGGCTCACGCTTCGTACAGTATCTACACAGTACGCGGCTCGAGACTCTCTCGACCAACAGCACAACCAGGGTAGCCAGCGATGCCTCTCTAGCAAGGACCCCACTGCTGACGCATGAGAGAACCCTCGCTGTCGCTTAGAGGCCGAAAAGGTGTCACGGGAATATAATGCACTGGACCTTAGCGGCTCCGTGATACCGCATGTGCGTATCGTACCCACTGAAATTTCAGTGGTTGTCAACTAAACAAGTCCCACTCATCCCCGCAATGAGCATCTCGAGGCGAGACAAGAGCGTCACGGGGGACCAGCTTTTGGGCATTGTCGTAGAATTCGACAGGAAATTTGCTCATTCTCGTTGGGTTAATTAGCCACCCTCCCTGTCCGTCCCTCTGGTTCTGTGCACAGACTGACCGGCGTGCCAACGTCCCTCAGCGTCAGCCGGACCAACACGGAGGTCAACGGGGCTTGAGCGGCGCCACCGGCCGCGGAGTCTCGGTTCCAGAGCACCGTCCACCGATTGAATACTGCTGCAATAGGTAACCATCCTGTCAGGTGTCATACCGCCTCCGTGCTCCATCATGTCGTGGGTGCTCTCCCCTCACTCGACCGGCTGCACACTCTGCGTGTTGCTAAACACATCCTTTGGATCCCACTCCTTCTTCAACTGTCTCAGCCGGGGCAGTTGGCTCCCCCAGTAGAGCTCCGTCGCCTCCGTTCGGTCCATCTCCGTGTCAATGTATCCGGCATATGTTGAATTAGCCCCCGGCGCCCCGCTCTGGATCTTGGTATGCACTCCGTCCAGAAACGTCCGTATCGTGTCTGTAACTTTCGGCAAGCCCACGGCGTAGGACTGGTACATCATTATCTTGTCCCGGTGTGGATACGCCGTCGCGTTAGCCGCCGTGTCCCCCATCGCTCCGCCCTCCGAGTTGAAGATGATGGCCCACAGCAGCGTTCCGCGGTCCGCGCCGTCCACGTAGTCGAAGAGCTCCGTGATGCTATCATCAGACAATAGATCCTCCTTCCGGAACGCCAGTGACTTGCTGTAGAAAGGAGTTGCCAGATCGCTAATCGACAACAATTCCAACTCTGCCTGGTGGGCGAGACTGCCCAGCCAGTCCGTCAGCAGTATCCCATCACTGTCTTTGCCGCCTCCTGGTATCTTGTCCGGTATACCCGAATCCTTGTACTCGTCCTCGGTGCCGTAGAACGTCCCTGTGATGAGTGCTCCAAGCGGCTGGGCAATAAACTGTGACGAGAATCGCCGGTCGAGGTCTGGATCGCCGATAAAGCCCTGCCACTCCTGGTACACAGGTGCTATCTCTGACTGGGAGCTAAATGTGAGGCTATATGTGTACTCGATAACATCACCAGGCTCCGGGTGTGTCCGCACCACGAACTCTGTGATGATGCCAAAGCTGGCTCCTGCTCCACGAAGGGCCCAGAAGAGATCTTTGTTTTCGGTCTCGCTTGCGCGCTGAATGGCACCGTCTGCCGTGACCACTTCCACCTCGACCACATGGTCAAGCGCGCTTCCCCACATTCTGGACATTGGTCCTAGGCCACCCTGTTTCCTGCGTCAGCTGTGGGCCATGGTGATGGAGAAGAAACTCACAATTGTGGCATGCCCTCCGATGCCCACACCAGGGCATGTTCCATGAGCCATTGCTCTGCCCCCATTGCCATGCAGATGCTCGTCCAATTTTCCCAGTCGTGTTCCAGCCCCAATAGTCGCGTGCCAAGTCTCCATGTCCATGCTGAACCCTTTCAGATTTACCAAGTCTAGCGCCAACGCCCCATCCTCTCCACCTAGACCAAGGTTGCTATTTCTCATCAATATCTATATCTCAAAATACGGACATTAGAACTTACCCATAGGAGTGACCTCCCGACTTGGCCTGAACCTTGAAACCATGTTCCATCGCGCACTTCACCGCGTCGGCAACATCTTGCGCATTATCGGGTCGTAGAACGGCTGCGGGGGTGACCGGCACGTCGAGATTGTACGGCTTTACCCAAGAGATCTGGTACAGAGGATCGCTCGGATACGAAACACATTCGGTGCGGCTTCCGCAGACGGCGTCGAGGCAAGACTGGCCGGGGGAGCTCTGACCACTACCCATTCTGATTCTTGATGACGGAAAATCGAAAGAAAATCGAACGTAAGCCGAGAATATTCAGGATATTTAGGAAATGCGGGGATTCTAGGGTAAGACAATAAGCATAAAGATGGATGAGGTTACACGAAGATGTTTGTTCCAAGGACGGTGCCCGTGATTCACATAGGCAGGAGCCAGTCAGTGCCCGTCTCACCTTCCGGCAAACATCTTCTACCTTGACAGGCCGTCACTCTGGCAGTGAAACCCGACAGTAGCAATTTGCTGAAGATCCAGATCCCCCTTTTCACGACCTGCCAAGATGGCAATGGAAGAGAGCCATTGGACAACCCGTATGTTACAGTCGTCATTCAGCCTGCCAATCTTGACTATGGAACCCAGATTCGTAAATTGCGGCGCAGTATCCCGGCGCTAATGTTTCCCGGATGCAGAACAATTCGTCGAAATTCTTGTTTTGAAACGGGCGGTGATCCCCGGCCCTGTCCACTAGATGAAACAAGACGTTACGTCGCATCCAGGAATATTGCACATCATATGTCCCATGCTAAGAGCCTAAGACCCACGTGTAAAAGCGTCAACCAAACGAAGGCTTTGCATGGATTATTCTCCCCTCCCAGAAGTCCCAGAAGTGACGTCTTCTCTATCGGCATCCAAATCATGCAGCGCATGTTTCTTGATTTCCATCTTCGCCACTCACCCCCGCAACGAGAGATTATTTGGACACTTTTAAGTTACGTTGTGATAATCTCTTTTCTTCTTTGGGAAATGAGTTCTCCTACTTTGTAGCCTGACAGGTCGGGAGTTGACTCTGGCGTTCTCGCGGTAGAAGTCCATCTTACTCAAACCCTTTGATGTCCGGTAGCGATTGCACCACCCGGTTGCTTGCTTCGTCCATTTTTGCGGCTGTTTCTGTTTGAGCAAGAGCCAGGTCTATATCTGCTAAACCCAGTGCCACCCTACCGCAAGTGATGGGTTAATCGCAGTGATCTAACTCGAAGGGTACTCCGTAGGGCAATCTTGACATGTGACTTCCCAACCTCGGAGAGCCAGTTATAACACAGCTGTGATTGGGACACGTGGTATTTGAACTTGTCACTCTTAGTCGGCCCCTTGATTCTATGCGCCTTCGAGACAGTTGATGTAGACCCCTTCCACCTTGGCAGCCAGTGGTTGGGCCTCAAATCGGCTGGGCTATTAATTACCTTACCCCTTGATTGCGCATGACGCTATTGTGGTTGAAGTTCATGACGGGCTACACAGGCTGGTGAAAATATAGTTCTTCCAAGTTAGTACCCAATTGAGAGTTTGGAGTTTCCAAATGTTCCAGTTCTCCCAGCGCAGTTTTCCTCTACAGATATTCCACCTTACAACTTTCTCCACACTCACTCTTCTCTCCCCCATACCCACCTCCCTTGTCAACAGTCAAAGTTCCAACAACAAGTTCATCCCATTGTTTTATGCTGCAAAAGGGTCTCTCCAATCTCAAGGAGGGGCATCTGGTACAGTTTCCCTCCCCCCACTACACCAATACACATCTAACCTCCGTCTCCCGAACTCAAACTTTATCACTTCTAAATCAGGGTATCTTGACTGAAAGTGGAAGATGCCAAGAGCTCAAAAATGTGTGCATTGTGATGACAATGACTAGCTAGCTAGTCTCCTGGCGGTATTTTGGTTGATTGCGGACTCTCGGGTGTCGCAATCACTTTGACCTGAACTTCAGTAAGACTACATAAGGGCGAGGTTTTAGGGAATAAAAGGATACGGACCATCGAAGCGAGGAGACACATTTGTCAGTAGAGAGTACTGTTCATCACAGACGTTATCTTAACCTGTTTATTATCGTGGCTGGTCATCTTAACTTGACGACTGGTGGTCACCGTCACCATGTTGATCCGCAGACTGGTTGTCGCTGGTATCATCCGGACCTGTTGACTCAGTTGCGAAATCATCCGACATGGGAGAAGACCCCATTGAAGGTAGCAACCGTACAGTTTAAAACAACTCCATCATTACCAAAAAGGATATCGGGAGACGGAGAGGATTGGTGATTTATTAAGAAGAATTGAGATGAGCGCGCAAAATTTAGACGATTTCAGCGCCCGAGGCAAAGGCAAATATTTTTAGCCGCTCTTTTGGCGAGAGAAACGAAATCGCTAATATGAGGCCAGACCCTGAGGACTAGGCCACATGCTCAAATTTTACAAGGACAGGAATACTGCGGGAGGCCTCAATGATGGCTAATAATAAAGTGCAAATAATTAGCTGAAGCGGACTCATTTCAGCTCCCCGTTAGCGTTACATGCCACGCGTCAGCCATTGTGGCTGATTTGGAGTGTTATCCTGCTGCCTGAGGACATGACCGACGTTGAATTGAACCGAAATGAGGTCGGTTTTATGAGATGATAGTTTGAAGCACCCGTAAGGCTTTGACTTGCTTGAATTCGGTTAATGAGCTGAACAAATTACTGTTGCCTGAGTCAAATAGGTGAGACGAAACAGCCAAGGCGAGTTCGAGGCTGAGGCTGAGGCTGCCAGGCAGCCGAATTAACATTGGAGTTGGAAGTCAATGAGAATACAAAACAAAAGCCAAGTTGCTTTAGATAGGCGAAACGATTCATGAAACAACTTGCATTGCCCTCAATTCGATTACTTGTCCCATTCCATGTCACCAACTTCGCTCAACTTTCACCTCTGCCCCAATTCATCTCAATTTCAACTTAACTCGAGTCGACTCAACTCGGCTCAAGTCAGCTGATCAAGTCTTAGTTTAGTCATTTCATCTTATTCTCGCCCACCATACTCAGCGTTCTACTTATAGTATGTCAATGGCTACGGACTCGAAGAGACCCCACCCTACGGTTCGCCGACCAACCTCAAATCGACTCATCCCATGGGCCGAATTCGGGTAACTCCCAGGCTGGCCAGCCATCTTCTTCCACGGAACCCCCTCCTCACGCCTAAAATCTCAAGATTCCGTCAGGAGTTGGATGGGCCCCAGTTTCGCCTCATTGCACCCGGTCGGTCCTCTGCCGCTCTGAGTTTCACCAAACTAGGTTATTCAAGGCTACGCTATCGGCGCTCGAGCCTTTATCAATTGGAACTCAATACTTCATTGTCATGGATGGGCCGTAAACACCTATGTGTGCAGAGCGGAGCGATCCTAGCGAGGGACTCAACGCGATGACGGTGCTTGCGGGCAGCCATGGTCAAACGACTCAAGCCCAATGGCCAGGAGACGACGAACAAACAAGGTGGTCGTGAATATTCTACGTCCTTCCTTATCAATCACCCATTCAAGGACTAGATGGACACATTTACTAGAGCAACTTGTACAGGAAGGAATAGGATGTAAGCAGGACATGATCTTAGTTGGGAACACCACCAACCGTTGGCTCTATGTTGGAGCGGGACAGGCGATATGCCTGGACACATGGGTGATAGATGGACGAGCAGGCTATGGGGGTAAAATTATGTGCTTCTTAGTTCGAAGGGGCGCAGTCTCTTGAACAAGAAAAGGACTACTCAAACTCTAGCTCAGTCGCAAAGTCAGAGTGTAGGGTAAGGGGGGTTCGAGGCATCACGAGATTGAGCACAACGAGCCAAAGTTAGTCAAATGAAATGAAATCCTTTGTATACTCTATCCTAATACTACTTTGCGTATTCGTTCGGCTTCCATTACTTAAACTCTGCGCCGTTGTTTTTTTTTCTCGTTCGATCGAGCACCAACTTGTTTTCATGCTAGCTCTTAGACGATGGTCCAGCCACATGGAGCAAAACTATCAACAAAGGAAATTGCGACTGGCTAGTGCCTGTAGCGGCTTCCTCGGAACGCGAAAACGACCGTGCCATGAGGCTTCGCCGCAGGAACACGAGCGCAGTAGGGCAGGAGGGCATGAGAACATTTGGGTAAGCGTGAGGTGGCCAAGGTTAAAAGGCCAAGAAACGCCACCGCCGAGCCGTAGCCACAGTGGCCAACTTAGAGTCAACGACGTCTGACAACTTGGCTGTTTCATCATCTGCATTCGCCTTAGACACACCAGCGCTCAGCGTACACGCCTTAGACGCACCAACGCTCAACGTGCACACCCTGGACATGATCAAGGACACCAAAATCTAGGCCGTCCTGGCGGAATGCGACGATGACCATGTCGAACTTCTGCTCCAGCGACTCGACAGTCCAGTCACTGTCGGCCAGCCGAGCGATCTGAGGCACCGCCTCTTGGTTCACCAACGGATCTGCCCAAGTGACGTCGACCTTGTTGGTCAGCACCAAGCTCTTGGCCAGTTCCAGCCCAGGGGAGTTGGCCAGATGCGACTGTCCGCGCTTGAAACCGATGCCAACGACGAGCACCCGCGGCCGCAGTCCGTTCCGTGCCCCTGTGTATAAACGGTCGACGGCACGCTGGGCAACAGCAGCAGGACGCGCTGCCATCTTCTCCGACGCCGTTTGGAGGAGCGGGAAGGGGCTGTTGGAGAGGAGATACCACGGGTTGACGGGGATGCAGTGTCCACCGACGCCGAGGCCCGGCGAGAAGGGCATGTAGCCAAAGGGCTTGGTAGATGCAGCGCGGCAAACCTCAAACGGGTCAATGTTGTGTCCGAGGCACGCGTCGGCCATCTCGTTGGCATAGGCGATGCAGACCATTCGCTGACAGTTCTCGTACAGCTTCATCATCTCAGCAACCTCGGGTCGGGAGACGGGCACCACCTGATCGAAACATTGCGAGTAGAGCTGCATGATGGCATCGAGGGAGCCTGGCACAACGTCGTCCAGGCCAGACACAATCTTGGGGATCGCATGGGCAGGCGGTTCAAATCGCCCAGGATCGACACGCTCTGGAGACATGCCAGCAAAGTACCCGCGCTCTTTGGCGAGCGGCCCAAGCAACTGTCGGGTCATGCCAACCGCCACAGAACTCTCGACGACGACGGTCGCACCTCGTCGGGCATGGAAACCAACGGCAGAAAGTGCACTGCGTAGGTATGACGAGTCAATGGTCTTGTCCGGGAGCAACAGCGTTGGCACCGAGATTAGGAAGTGAGTGGCTTCAGCAAGGTCACTGGCCTTGGATGTGAATCGCGCTCTGCTGCCAGCCTCCTGCTTTTGTACCAACTGCTGTGTCCTGGCCTCCGATACATCGAACCCAAGAACGTTGTAATTATTCGAGAAGACGCTCACCAGGTGCTCGCCAACATAGCCAACGCCAATGATGGCAACGAGTGGCTCCGTATTCTTGTCGATGGCACCCAGGGTTGGGTGAGGGAATGCGTCTTCCGTCTCCGAGATCTCGCTGGGGGGAGTAATGTCGTAGTACCCTCGATCAGAGAGGCTCCACGGCTTGGAGTCAGCATCACGAGAGATCAAGGGAAGCCCCTGAGCAAGGAGACTTTGGGGTAGGAGTTGGGTCATGATTGAAACGATCGACAAAGGTCTGCTAAAGAACGAGAGGTGGGCGGTGCCTCGGAATTCAACGGGGTCCACGGGCAAGATATCCAAAGACCGGAGAGCTGACGAGGCTACAGACTCGATGGAGGGCGGAGCGACGCAGTGACTTCGTCTGGAGATCAAATATAACTACCCAGGAGCGACTTCGTGCTTTTGCCCGACTCCACGTCAGCAGCCTTTCCAAGCGGCGTCCAACAGACGGAAAGGATATTTTCTCCAATTTATGCCCACTTCCACCTGGCTTCAGTCTAGATGCGGTAAGAACGCCTCCGATGGGCGTGCGGCTCGAGACGATTATTCCAATACCCGTCACATACGACGCCCTCAGACAGGGAGGACCTTTGTCAATCTGAGGAAAGCAAGCCGCCCCCCTGTGATCAGCCGAGCGCGCAACCCGCCACCTCGTAACTTCATCCGGGCTACAGGTCGAGTGTCCCTTCCGTTCGTGTTGGCATCTTATTTGGAAGTTGGATACCGCGCGCGAATCACGGAAGCCCAGAGGGATGGTAGCTGGCCCGGGTCTGGCGTGCCTGCATCATCGAACCCCAACCCATCAGGAAGTTTCACAAGGGCGAGGCTGTACACACCGGGTCTGGGACGAGGACCGGGGTTGGTGATGTTGCTCCTCCATGGCGGTTGGCATACGCACTTAGCTGAAAGGTGCATATCCGGGATGACTTGAGCTCGGACTGAGCGAAATTGTGCGTGATGGGAAGCATTGCCAGGTCGAGTAGGAGGAGTGCGGTGGTTCGACTGCACAATCCTCAATACTTTCTCAAGCAGAGACTGATCGTCGGGGGTCTTGACGGTAGTCCCGCTCACAGATCTGTGACAGGGATTGGGGCTAGGGCCCTTGGATCGATTCGACTGGATGGGAAAAGCCTGAATCTAACCAAACGATGCTGGTGTACAAGCTCCATGTACCAATACATGGAGCAGCAGGCAGCCGCAACCAGCCCCAATCCGCGGCGTTGTCCCTCCAGCTCGGCCGACCACACGTGGACCGCGGACCGGGAATATGCCTATATTGTACAAGGGATTGTCTGGGACGAAAATTCAGGAACAGAACATTGCACGGGCGCTTTGTTATACAATGGCGTTCCACTGCAGTTGCCGAAACCCCCCACCGAGGACTATATCGCAATCCCCTCCGGAAGTATAATATTTGTCAGATTAAGGGCAACAATGGGATCTGAAACAATATGGCTAGGGTGTCCCGGCCATTCGCGTCGGAAGACCGAAATAGGCTGGTACTACAGCAACAAATGGTGTCGTTACCTCAATATGGTGTCATGCTAGGGTTGAGAGACTGTTGTCCCTCGCTCCGAGTTGCATCATCCGCTCACCGAGTAGATGATCATAAAACAAATCTTCCGCTGGATGCTGACGAGGAAAACTTGACCGTAGGGCCTACCAGGCCTGCGAGGGGTGACTGGGGTGGGTGCCATTGCCCACGCATGGAGGTGCATTGCGAGTTGGGCGTTTTCAGTGCAGGTTGAATGTTGCACGACAAAAGCTGGGATGAATACGAATTACCCCCGTCCACCAGTTCACCCTGCGTCAACTCTGATTATGGAACTGACACTATTCGGCTTCTTTTCCCAAGGAAGAAGGAAGTTAAAGCAGGGGGGTACGTTACACGTCCCCTCCATACCTACTACCGATGATGGGATACCGAGACCGGTGCTCTATTTGAGGTTGACTTTTCGGGACTTGGCCTGGTCTCTCTATGGAGTACCCAGTCTCAAGATCAGCATCCGATAAGTGCCTGGCTCCGCAGTGAGCTGGTTAAGGACCGCCAGCTGCATGTTTGGGGTACACCGTGCGTGCTATATTTGTTCTGGTGATGTGATGGATATCTCGATCCCAAGGTGGCAGGGGGACCTCGGCCGCAATCCGGTCCCCCAAATCGCGGCTCACGTCCACCGCGTCAGTCAAGACATGATGGCCGACGCAGCCAGCTGACGAATGCTTTCCCAGATTGGTCCCGAGAAATGATAAAATCAATAGTCAAGTCCACATCAGTATTCGGCATGGCCTCAAAAACCAAGTTAGAAAGTAAGTGCGGGGGCTGGTTATTGTTAGCCACCAGCGAGCGTTTCCGAGATCTCGGCCAGCACAGCGGCCTTGGCTTGTTGAATTCTCGTGTTCAGGCTGGGCTGCCGATACCACAAGCCCCATGGTGATTTTAATTCTCCATCGGCTCAGCTTTATGCATGTTAGCGTGACTATGTAAATAGAGTCTTGTCCTCCATCGAGCAGGGCTAGTGCTCCCCTCACTACTTGTCCTCCTAGTCATTCGTTCCGTTGTTTCAAGTTGCTTCACGCTTTCCCGAGAAGTCCACGTCAAGATGAAGGTCGTCATATCTCCTACCCTCGCCTGCGTCGTGCTTAATGCCGGCGCAGCCTTTGCAAGTCCTGCAATGGCTGGGTATCTCACACCGAGACACGTTCTGCTGCAAGAGCGTGCTGGAAACGAGTGTGGTGAGGGGATTGGATCGTGCGACGCAGGATCCTGCTGCTCGGAGAGCGGCTACTGTGGCACGGAGACCGACTACTGCGCTGGATCTGATTGCCAGCTGGATTACAGCGACTCCTGTGACACTTTGTAAGGCTTCCCAGGTTCCGAGGGGGAGAGAGACGCGGCGGCACAGCAGCTAACTTCTGGAACGCAGCTTCGGTCCTGGCGGGACCAGCACGGAGAGCATCGCCCGGCCGAAGATTGGCAATGTGCCTTATGGTGTGTTTTGCAACATAAATGCGGTGATGCCTTTCTATCGCCGACAGCTGACGGAGTCATCACAGGCAGCCCCATCACGACCTGCGTCGAGTCGGGCATGATCGCATTGACCTTTGATGACGGCCCGTACACTTACACCAGTGAGATTCTGGATCTCTTGGACGAGTACGATGTCAAGGCAACCTTCATGATTGCCGGAAACAACAGGGGCAAGGGTCACATCGACGACTCGTCCCTGGACTGGCCGGGCGTGCTGCGTCGCATGTATGCCGCCGGCCACCACATTACCAGCCACACGTGGACTCATCGCAATCTGAACCAAGTCAACAGCACCATCAAGCGGTCCGAGATGATCTACAACGAGATGGCCCTCCGCAACGTCTTCGGGTGGATCCCCACTTACATGCGACCCCCGTACCTAGAGTGCAGCGCCAGCTCCGGCTGCCAGTCGCTGATGGGCGAGCTGGGCTACCACGTCGTCAGCACCGACCTCGACACCAAGGACTGGGAGTACGACTCGTCGATGCTGATCCAGAACGCCAAGGACAGGTTCAGCGCGGGCGTGTCGACCAATCCCGCGAGCAACTCGTACATTGTCCTCGCGCACGACGTGCATGAGCAGACCGTCACCAACCTGACGGCCTACATGATCAGGACCGCGCAGGACCGCGGCTACAAGCTCGTGACGCTGGGCGAGTGCCTCGGAGATCCCGTGGCGAACTGGTACCGCCAGGCTCCGGGGGGCACGCCCGCGGCGACGAGCTCCGCCAGCTCCGGCGCGTCGTCGACGAGATCGAGGTCGTCCAGCTCGGCCACGGCGACCAGCGGAGTTGTCATTTCCCCGAACCAGAAGTGTGGCGGCGATACGGGCTACACCTGCATTGGGTCCGGCTTCGGGAACTGCTGCTCCCACTACGGGTACTGGTAAGTTTCATGTGCTGGGAGTCTCATGTCCCGGGCGATTATCCAGCCTTGTGCATTCGTTTCTATTTTGCCTCCTCCCCCACGTCTCTGCTGCTCTAGCCAAGAGGTCCATGCTAACGGCTTTCCTTTCTCCTCAGCGGTTTCAGTGATAACTACTGCGGTACCGGCTGCGACGTTGACTTTGGCGAATGCAACTCAACTTCGGAGGACGTCACCGATACGACCAACGGTCTTTGCGGGGCTGGCTTCCATTCCACCTGCAGCAACTACGGCACCAAAACCTGTTGCTCGCAATACGGCTACTGGTAAGTGACATTCAATGATATTCCGGGGTGCTGAGCGTCGCCATCTGTGAAAGTGCCGAGCACACCCTTCAAACTGCAACGCTGACTGAACAACTCACAGCGGCAGCAGCAGTGCACATTGCGGCACCGGCTGCCAGAGCGGCTTCGGGACATGTAACTGAGACACGATGCCCACACGCGGATCGTGTTCCCTAGGGCCTTGGCGGTGTATGCCAAACCTCTGTAGATCCGTTTCTCCAGGACGGGCTTGGCTTGCGGGAAGGAAGCCGGCGTGGCGCCATCCGCACTCCATCCGGCCAGGGGACCCATGAAAGAGATGGGATCTATTATAGAAACTCGGGCGATCATCTATTTCTATATAGCTCTTGGCACGCGGGTCACAACCGACTATAGCGCGGGAAGCCGGCCTCAATCTTAGTCTTAATACGAAAAGGCCTCGTGCTTAATGTTTCGTTTCAGATTTATCACCTTAAAAAGCTGGTGTGTACGACGTATTGAGAAGTCGGTGCTCCGCTCCGTTCAAGCTAACAACGCCTTGTCTAACTTGGGAGGCTATGTTTGTTTTTTTGTTTGTTTTGCGTCGCACGTACCGTATCGACTCAGTAAATTGGCCCTGAATCCTTCCCTCACTTATTGCCTTCGGGGTTTTTATACCTAATGATCTAGGGAATGTAAGCCTTGTGTAGTTTAACGTTAATCCATAAAAGCAGTGCCAATTTATCCAGTCGATACAGTAGTTGGTTCAAATGGGCATGGCGGCTCCATCCCGTTCGTCGTTTATATTACTCCGATCCTTGCTCTCTTCCCCGCTTATCGGATGGTTCTGAGCTAAACAGCGAGCAGCAACTCTCACAGCGAGCAGCAACTCTCACAGCGAGCAGAAACTCTCACAGCGAGTCAACTCGAAGATACCAGGGGAATCCATACTCTGCCTCAGGTGAAGGGAAGCTGCATTCGAGATGCAAGCGGCCACACTAGCTTGGTCGGATATGCATGGAAACACGCAGAAACGTCATGTCACACAGGCGGAAACCCAAGGGACGAAGCCCCCATCGACTGCCATCCATACAGGCTCTCGCAGCCGACGTTGGGTTATGTGGCAAAACACGCCATGCTGCGTGAGGCTCTTGGCTTCTTCGTATGGAGGAGGATCTCGCCCGTATTCCCACGTGTGATGCAGCCCGTGTGCGCCCCCATCCTGTCACTCCATCTCTCCGCTCATCTGCCCATGCTCCCAAAATAGGGCTCCCGCGCAGATCGGGATGGGGCATGGAGCTGCAGCCAACCACCACGCAAACCAGTTCCGCTCCACCAATCTGCATGCGGTCTCACGCACACCGACGATGAGCTATACACGCAAGTCAGCACACTCACGGGCATCCACGCGGCATGGACAGGCACCGGCCCAATCAACCCGCCATCCCACGGGTACGGGAGGAAGGGGGAAGTCATGTGCCAGGGCAGCCGTGCTCCGGAAGCCGGACGGACGAAGGATTCGGCGTGCGCGGCTTCTGCAGGCCTGTGACTGGCAGATTGTGTACAAATGTAGGAACGAAGGTACTGTCTAGGAACGGGACTGCAATTGCAGGGCCCCGAGGCCAGTGGTGAAACCCACGAGCCGTGAGTCGTGTGGCATGGGCAATGGAATGACGAGTCGACCGGGATCAATCACAAAACACCATCCCGTTGCTTAATCCCGTCAATCCCTCCCCATGTCCACCGGCTTGGCTGATGACAACCGTGGTCTTGTCTAGACTTCCTCCCCGGGTCACCTTCAGCTGTCCACCGTATTCTGTGACGGGCTGTTCTCATCTGCCGGCGGGGAGGCTCCAACCGGGGACTGATGCCATAGACGACGAGGCCAGGGATGGGCTAGCTGCTACCCGTCAAGATCCTCGTCAGATCTCGGCCGATGGGCGTGTTTCCTTGGGTGCGCGGCCGGGGTTCCCGGCGGTGGGTTGACGGTCGTTGGCTTCGAGATGCTCGAGGATGCGTTCACGGTTCCGCCTGGGAGGCACTTACTGCACAAAAGTAGTGAGAGCTGCGAGGGCTGCGTTGCTTGTACCGTTACATGTACAAGTTCGACGTGAACCCCTGTATATGCTCATGCAAGGCCCCGGGGAGGATCCAGAGTGATCCAGAGTGAATCCCTGATATCGGACTGGACGCCACAATTCGACGCTGACGACAGGAGGACAGACGGCTCTTTGATGTACTGGATGGTCCACTGTTGTTCTTCTCACCCACGACGACTTCACCCCGGACGAGCTGCGTGGGCTGTCGTCCGCGTCTGGGGCGATGCTGCCTTGCATATCGCATCTGATAGTCGATGTCACCGTGTACTTACTTCCTCACTCCAATACGTCTGAGAACGGGGCTTTCAAGGTGGTTTCGCCGATGCGGGACTAGAAATACCACCACTCATGGCTGTAGGCATCGTAATATCGCCGCCCCTGCGACCCCTTGGGGGCGGTTATCGAGGCCCGCTTCTCCTCTCACACTTAAGCTCCCGCGATCACGAATCTAAGCATATCACAGTCAGCATATGCCAAGCGGTACAAAGACGATTCGTCATCTGCTTGTCAGATGTGGACATCCAGCCACCCACGTATTCGTTGCCGCCCCATGTGCTAGAAGCTGTCACCGACCTGGAATGTTGAGTCTAGCTGTTCGTCTAGCTAGATCAGTAGCAACGCGGGATGGCACACGGCACCACCAAAGTCCTGCCAAACTCCCTCACAGGCTACGCCTAGTTAAAGCTAAACATACGCCGCCATCTTATTGCTTATGCAAAATTTAGCCTGGAGGCGAGGATGAACCCCAAGGTGGAAATATTGGGTCGAGTCGGTAGCACCAACGCGGCTTGTTGTCTCTGTCTCCATCGTGGACCAACAGGAACCCGGTCAGGACCAGGCTGCTCGCTGTTTCCCGTGAAGATCCCTGCTACTTCGGTGGTCTTCCACGCCCAAAGACTGTTCGTCGGCAGATCGACTAGGGATCTCGGAAGTGCGGTCAACAAAGAGCAGTCGTCATCCTCGCCAGCCGGCTTTTGTTCCATCACCCTCCACGTTGGCCGGTTCACGATGGTGATTCGAAGTCCGGGATACCTCAACCTCCACCGTCCTACAGTCCGTCCGTAGGATGCGTGCGTACTATACGGCCGGGACCCGCTGAATAAACCCATGACGTCCAACGGACAATATCGTCTCTCAGCATTTCATCCCTGTCCCTGTCTCTGCACTAAACAAAGCGAGAAAACACGGCTGATGGCAGGCATCAAACGGCAGCTGCAAGCCCAGGGGCGTGTGTGATTCTCCGCCGCCGCATCGCCCCTCTCACCGTGGAATCCCCCAAGACTGTTCGCCCCGTGGCGCGAGGGACGGCAGTATGCAGCGTTAGTCCAACCCCCGAGTCAGGATCCTCGCAATCCCTGCTTGCCTGGGGAGAAGACGGAGCTGAGCGTTCGTATTAGGCGGCCGAGAGATGGGTGTGGTGCGCTGTCGTGCTATGTGCCGGGGCCCATCTCGAAGGGGGCCTCTTTTTCTGCTGGTCTATTTGCATTGAAGCCGGCGCAATGGTTCTCGTTGAGGCGCCCACGGGCGGGGACAGGGCAGTATTGCAAGGACCTGGCCTTGCAGGATCGCGAGCACGTTGAAGTGGGAAAAGGTCGTTTGCTTGGCCGGGCCCGTTGCGCTCCCAGATCCTGCTATAGCTTCGCTCTCCCCCGGTTTCCTCTTCTCTTCTCTCCTGGCTTCCCTTGCTGCTCACCCCCGTCACTCGCTCAAGTTTAGTCCCCGCCTTGCCTGAGGGCTTCCCTTCCCCAGTCGTATATTTCGACTCTACCCATCGCTGTTGCTGCTGTTGTTCCGATCTTCTGTCGTTGTCGTTATCGCACTCCTTGCTGTCGTTATCACAGTCGTCGTTGCATCCCAACCCTATCTCTCCTACACATATCCTGTTCTCTCCGACCTCTGTCGTCCCTGTCAATTGCTTCGGCATAGCTGTCCGTTGCTGTGTTTCGTGAGGGGCTGGCCTTGACCAGCGGCGAGCTGCTTGTGTCTGTCGGGCTACACGTCGACCACTTGGCCGTGCCATCGTCACAATGAACGCTCCTCGCATACCAAGCCCACCTGGGGCCTCAGCTGCTTCGTCTTCTGAACGGGTCAATAGGGTAGAGCGTAATGGGCCTCCGGTTTCTCACAGCCAGCCTGCCCAATATCAACTGCGTCCCAGTGGCCACACCTCCCGAGACTCGGTGAGTACCTCAAGTCTATTCCATAGCTCAGCTTCAGCGCTGTATGTCATGAGAAATTGCTGACATCGTTGCAGTCCGTGATCCGGGGCATCAATGGCAGCTTCGCGCCGGGTGCGCAAACGCCGCGCTCCGGCGTCACCCACGCCTCCTGGTTATCGCAGGGCGTCGACTCGAACCTGTCCTTCACGTCCTCGGTCCAACAAGAAGAAGCCAAGCTGCGATGGGACTCGGACGAGGAGCTCAAGAAGATGTCCAAGGAAGTGCTCCGCCTCCAGAAATGGGCCCTCATTTCCGGCCTCGTCATGCTCAACGCTGCCCTCATTTACGTCGGATACACGTACGGCACTAAGGTGTACTACTTCTTCCTCGTCCTCCTCAGCTCCAACACGATGCTCCAGGCGGCCATGTGTATCACCATCATCTTTCACTGGTTCGTCACCCATGTGCTCCTGTTCTGGTGGAAGCCGAAGGAGAACATCCCCGAGATGCCGGAGAAGATGGTCATGCTGCTTCCCTGCTACAACGAGACGTACGACGAGCTGAGGCGCTCGCTCGATTCGTTGATCGCCCAGAAGAACATTGACGACCACCCCCGCGTCATCTTCATCGTTGTCGACGGCAATGTCCGTGGCCCTGGCATGACCAAGACCACCCAGGGCTATCTCCTCGAGGATATCCTGGAGCCTGGCCCATCTCGGTACTTTGAGAACGGATACCGTGCTCGCGACGGCTTGTTCATGCCCGTCAACACGCAGACCGGCTTCTACAAAGGCATACCGTACGTCTTCGTCGGCAAGCGCTACAACCAGGGTAAGCGCGACAGTTTGTGCTTCGCCCGTTCGTTCCTGTACCACTTCAAGCAGCGCTCGGAGAACATCGTCACTATGTTCAACAACGAGCTCTTCGAGTACCTCGGCAACAACTTCGTGCAGGGCGGCGTCGACAACATCGACTACCTCTGCGGCATGGACGCCGACACCGTCTTCGATGACTTCTGTGTCTGGGAGATGATCAAGGAGATCCGGAAGAATCCCAAGGTCGTCGGCGTCTGCGGCCACGTCTGCGTCGACTACGACGGCCACAACTGGGGCTGGTGGTCGCTATATCAGTCCGTCGAGTACTCCCAAACCCAAGGTCTCCGTCGTATGTTCCAGTCGCGCATCACCGGCAAGGTCAACTGTCTTCCCGGTTGTTGCCAGCTCATCCGCGTCGACGAGGCCACGTTCGGTGATTCGGTGCTCCGCGAGCGCTTCGGCTACTGCCCCAAGCCCAACGACGTCATGACCCAGCACATCATGGGCAACTATTCCGAGGATAGCATCCACGCGTCCATCATCTTCAGCCTCTTCCCGCACAAGCAGACGGCGCAGGCCCTCCGCGCAAAGGCCTTCACCATCGTGCCTCAGAACTGGAAGGTGTTCCTGTCGCAGCGCAAGCGTTGGGCGCTGGGCAGCATCTCCAACGAGTTCGTCATGATTTTCCGGCCGGGCATCATCCTGATCGAGCGGCTGCAGAGCATCGTCGCCGTCGTCACCTGGGCCATCACGCCCTTCATCATCGCGGCGTTTGTCGAGCTCATGATCGTCTTCGCCAAGCGAGGCCGGGAAGTCATGTCAGACCCTGTTTTCCTCGGCCTAATCTGTGTTTTATTCTTCCGCTACGTAAGTGCCCAGCCGTGTCCCTTTCCCTTCGTCCAAGCGGTCAATTGCAGTCTGGACTCGGCCGTTGCAGGTGGGCCGCATCTGCCAAGTATGCTGTGGTTGACCTGAAATCTACTAGGTTTACTCCTTCTGCATTGGCTTCTGGCTGCCTCGGAATTTCCTCGAGAGCATGCAGTATTTTGTGGGCTTCTTCCTCCACATTGCCACATCTCCGTTCATGAACATCATCATCTTGGTATACTCTCTGTTCCACTCCGACGACTTCAAGTGGGGTAAGACCCGTGAAGTTATCCGAGGTGATAATGAAAAGGACGACGTCGACGACACCGGTGGCCGCGGCACTCACTGCTGATAAACTGGTCAATTAATGAACTGATTGTCTGATTAGCATACACCCCCCTCCCCAACTGGCCCAATCTCCGGGCCAAGACGAGGCAAAAATAATCTCTTTCCTGAGTCTTTCTTTATGGATGTAATAGATGGCAAGCAACAGAAAATGTCGGGATAGGATATTGTACGCGTGGAATAGCCTGGCGAATTGTTACATACTCAACCCCGCGGCCAAGGGTGCCGCAACTCTTAGCAATAGAGAATATACTGAGCGCAATGCGCGTCTTCGATCCAAGCCTCCCTTCGTACTGTCCACTTGCCGATAGTAAACTGGGGTTCAGATCCTTGAGATAACGAGCTTGGCAATTTTCAGCCAGTCTCGGGGTCAGCTTGGCAGCGGCTTCTGCTTTCCGCCTCTGGTCAAATTTGTCCAAACCGCGGGGCGCGCAGATGGCTACCTCAACCAGGTTGACCGTTTGAACCGACGGGATGGTCTGGCGATGGTGGGCGAGGAACTTGTTGTGACGGATTATACCTCTTTGGGCCGCCACGGTGGCCCTTCCTGCACTTTCGGCAAAAGAAGCAAAATAATATGCACATGGATACTCCCACCACTGCCCCTACTGCAATGCCATTTTTTGAGCCTGTTTAGAACTTGTCGCTGGTTGAAAAGATATTACAATTGATTAAATATTGCCGCGACGTACGGTTATATGGCCCTGTACTCCTCGTGGTTGTTGTACTTAGAGTTGTATTGCTCCTTAGCGAGGATCGCGAGCTTATTTGCGACGACTTGGGCTTGATTGGCTCGAGCTTATCTTGGATTGATTACCCGGAGATCTTGGTTCGAGTTAGCGTTGAGAGTGCGAAGCACAGGGGAGTTTCTACACCTCTCAGATATTTTAGGTCAGGACCACCATAGCTAACGAAGCGTCTGAGTTGCTTCCGGTCTGTTAGAGAAATAAACCAGCTTCACTGCCTACCAAGCCAATAATCTAGGCAGCTAAGGGGCCATGTGATGGTCCGGAACAACAAAGCAACCAACGGTGGTGGGATTTAACGTGGACACGAGTGGAGACGGGTGGTTCTTACCCGGTAGCATTAATTTCATGTGTAAGCCAATTCTCGTCGACGCTTGCTGGATTGATAGACTTATATCCTCGTCGAAATTACTTGTGCGCAACACGTTGGTGCTGGTTCAAAGATCGTCAAGGATTTTCGTATCCTTGCAAGCAATAGCAAACGAAGATGCCGTTAGCAAGGATCTTCACCCCGCGTGGAAACCTCCGACCGATCTCCCCACCCACTTCGGAGATTTATGTAGAATAATGATTCAGCCAATCGAATAGTCGTCTCCATCGCGAGCCTAATAAAGAACACGCATCCTCAAGTCGATTGCGAAATCTCTGGAGATGACCTTTGATCAAGTTTCAAGTTTGCCACCATGTCCGCTCTCGTTTCTATGAAGGTATGCTCCGCACACCAAGCCAGATACAGCAATCCACATATTGCGGATGAGGTCAACATCTCTATCATCACTTAATTACCGCAGAGCAGAAAATATTACCAAGTATTTTGATACCATACTACATAGATATTGTTATTTTACATGCACACTTTACATGCCGGGCTAGTCGCGTCTTACACCGAGTGTCACTTGTGGCTGTGTTGGCGTCAGTGGCTGAGACATCCTTGCGTCGACGTATAACTTTGCGTTGTCAGACTACTATGTATTTTCTCCTTTATATTTGCCAATATCCACGTAGCTTCTTGTATTGAGGACATTGTGAGTGGTTACCTTGTAGCCAACCAGACAGCACACCTGTCAATCAGCGTAGCATCCGCGATACGGGAACTATGCGTTGCTATTGGAGGGAATCCCCCGATGTCCAAGATCTCCTAATCGGCGTGCGACATGGTCCTAATCACAAAGTCAGGAAGGACCTGCAATGAATATCACGACGAAAGAAGCAGAAAGAAGCCGTCTCAAAGTCCGATGTCTTACACGCAACCTCCGAACGTGGCCCGAGAGTGCCCCACTGTCGGCTTCCCGTTCTGGAAACAGACCGGGCCGGCCCCGATTGTCCCCCGGCAATGACGGTCCCCGGGAAATCACTGGGCTGAGTGCTTGAGTAGAGGGAGGCCTTGGCAAGGCTAAGCGAGCTTCGCCTTCGATGCAAGATTTCAAATGCTGGCTCGGTCTGACAGGTGCGTTCAGCCTAAGCCCTATCTGAGCTGATGACGCTGTCGCATATCAGTCACGGCATCGGTCAAACCCCTCATTTCGCGCACCTGCATCGACGTAGGCTAGCCACAAGACGGGGGGAAACGTGCGGGATGACCTCTTGTGCGTTGAACATCGCAACCCTCCGCTAGAGCTGTTCGACTTGATGCGTTGGCACTGCTGCGGATAATTCGCATCCCATGTCTGACAGGCCTCTCGCTCGGTCGTCGCGTCTGAACTAGACTCGGATCCCGCGATGTTGTCAGCGCGCAGCCCGTCAAGCGCTATCCAAACAGATGCGGCACCATCAGGGAATAACCTCACCATGCACCTGACCACTTGCAACCCATCCAAACTCCCCGCAAGGCGCCCAGCAAGGCATCGCGCTCTGCCCTCAGCCCTGGGAGCCTGGCCGGCCAGACTGCATTGCCCACCACCCCGCCTGCACTGCGCAATGGCGCCATTGGCTCGAGCTGCATCGTCCAGATAGAATCCGGCCTCTGATGCTTGAGACCAGCCCACTTTCGCCGGCGTCCTGGGGGGCCATCTCCGCCGTGGAGCTTCGGCCTAGCCGTATCGCGCCTTGGAAACATGACGTTCGTATGCAAGTCGAGCAACAATGCGCCGCGGTTGGTGTCTCCACACTGGGAACTCTTGCAGCCCCCAACCACACTCGCCTTCAGAGTAACAGCAGCGGTGCCGGCAACCAACATCAGATGACTGGCCGGCGTAGGAAGTGGTTGCCTCCAGGATAAGAGGAGTGGGACGCGTACCATGGGCCGCAACTAATGCGCTCACAAAAGGAACGGCCCTCGCCGGACATAGATCCAAGCCAGGGCATTTCTTGCACATTCAGACGACGGTGTATTGTTGTTTTCTGTCGACCAAACCCCGGAACCGTCATTGAGGAACTATCGACGCAGTATGGAGGCCATTACAGAAGAACCGCTTCCCCACTCGGTAGTGATTCGTCAAGCGGTCCATGTCATCACACAAACCCTGACACGGGAACATACCACCTTTACCACCACCGTTACGCTGGGCGGAGAAGCCACAGACACGGCGGCGCAAGTCCCGGAGAATCACGAAAGCGGCGGGGGTCTTAACGGGGCCCAAATCGGAGCCATCGTCGGCTCTCTTGTTGGCACCTTTGTCCTGATCATGGTCGTCCTATGTTGTTGCTGTCAGCGACGTCCGCCCCCGAGGCGGCATAATGACCGTCGCAGCTACGGAAGCTACAGCAGCTCATATGTCACCGACGATTTCGTCGAGCCGTGGCCGCCCAAGGGACATTACCGGCGTACGCCGCAGCCCATGGCCTTTCCCTTTCCCATGAGACAGCCTACGCCGCGGCCTACACCACGGCCTACGCCGCGACCTGTCCCTGTGCAAATGCCGCCGCCGGTTGTGGAACGCATCCCCGGAGGTCCGCGATACCCGACATACCGCGCCATCCCGATCCCGAACCCTCGTCGACCCAAGGTTCCGCATCGAACTTGAGTCTTTGTACTTGCTTCGACGTATTGATGCGGCGTGCGTCTGTGTTGGGGCATGGGCGCGCACGTATTGTACGGTCCGACAGAGTTCCAGCTTTCCAGAGATTTATGAGGATGTAGAGACCAAGTGCGTCCCTCGGTTGTGTTCTATCTCCTCTCCGGTCACAGAGTTTCGGAGAATGTGATTACGATTCATGAGTTTGTAAGTCTGCCATGAACTGGCTCAACTCAATGGGGCGAGACTAACATTGATCGTTGCAGGTTTCAATATCCAGCCAACATGGCAATTAGTTTACGAGTCATAATGTCAATCTTCTTTCATAGCCAGGGAGTCATAATTGGGAATTTATCATTTTTGCGTTTTGGAATTGACCAAACTAGTGGAGTGCACAAACACTCAACAACACTACTCCGTATCTCTATCATTAATCATACCCCACACCATCGTTTCCACCCAGCTGCGTGGTCAATTACCTTAGCCCATGATGAAGGATCTCCCTGTCCAATACCCGATTCGGTATCTCCAGGACGGATTTCAGACGTTTAAACAACAACCTTTCCGCTCGCAGCACAGCTGTGCTGCTTTCCGACAACCTTGACCTTAGCCTCCCACTTCTCAAAGCTCAAGGCCAAAGATCGCTTGCTCTTCGGGTTGGTTGAGGTTTGAGCTCTCGGAGGGACACCCTCCAGACTCAGAGCAAACTGAGCCGCTGCTCGGCCGGCAGTCTTGGCGTTGAGCGTCAATGCAGACCAGTTGATGTTGTCAGTAGTGTCGCACGCGAGGTGATAGCAAGGGTCGGTCTCGGAGTCTGCGCCAGTGAAGATGCCAGATGACGGGATACCGAGCTCAAGGAAGGCAACGTAGTCGGAAGACGATCCGAACTCGCTTTATGGTCATTAGTCTTTTGTGTTGATAGGTATTCGAAGGATCAAACATACCCGTACTGCGCATCCTTGCCCTTCTTCTGGAGCCACTTGAGGATAATGTCTCCGCCAACTTTGTCACCATCGTTGTTGGCATACACACTGTAAGTGGGGTAAGGAGAGCCGATCATATCGTAGTTGAAGTAAAACCGGATCTTGTCAGCCTCCCCTGAGGTCAACTGAGAGCCGTAGTAAAGGGAACCAATCAAGCCGCTCCTAGGCAATAGTTAGTCACCAGTGTATGGTTAAATGGTCATTGCACTTACTCTTCAGCTCCCCACCAAGCGAAACGGACTTTGTTGGTGTATCCCTTGTACTTGGAAAAGGACTTGGCAACCTCAAGGATAGCTGCAGTTCCGCTGCCATCGTCGTTGATACCCGGGCCCGCTTGCACACTGTCAAGGTGAGCTCCCAGCATGACGACATTGTTGGGATCACCCTCCTTTGTCTCCGAAATAATGTTCCAGGATTCTCTTATCTCATTGATGGAATCAACCAACAGGGTAGCCTCGAGGGTCTCTCCTGCAGCCAAACGCTCTAGCCACCCAGTACCCACGGCGTATCGAATGACACCAACTGGCACAAGCAGGCCAAGGTTCTCAGCACCGAGAGTGGCACTGCCGATGTTGTCACCAGGAGTCTGGTTGATGAGGATGACGGCCAGCGCTCCATGAGCCTTAGCCAGCTTGAGCTTATCAGAGATGGCGCAGGAGCCGCGCATCACGAGTGCGATCTTCCCAGTGGCATCAATTCCGTCCCACTGGTCCTCGAAGCATCCGGATCCACGCTCCAGATCGACAGGAACGGGGATAAGCTCTGCAGTGACACCATCCGGAGTGGGGGTCGCGCTGTTGTAAATCAGAGTGATGACATATTCATCCTCGCCGTCTGGTCCGCGGACCCAGATGTCGCGGGTCTGCTCGAAGGTGTGGTTGAATGGCTGAACGTAGGTGTCCAAGTATTTTCCGTACTTGCCCTCGACGATGCTTAGGATGTAGTCGAGGGAAGCCTTGTAGCCAGGGAGACCAAAGGCTCGGTTGCCACCGTTTGCGACACCGATTTTGTTCAAGTCGGAGAGGGTTTGCTTGAGCCTGAGATTGTCAGAGAGTCGTTTATGGATAGCTTGCTTGACGGCACCTACTTGGACTTCTTAATGTCCCCCTCAACCTGGCTGGCAGTCAATTTCTTGCCAGTCACCTCGGCAGCAAATAGTGCTCCGTAGAGCAAACTGGTGAGGAGCTTCATGGTGCAAAATGATGACTCTAAGATGGCGCACAGCTCTGTGAGAAGCCTGTCGTGCAGCTTCCAGGAGCTCAAGACACACGACTCCATGGCACTTATATAGCACAGCATCACTAGCAACTTGCTCGAGTGGATCAATGAGCTCACGTCTATGCAGTCTCACACAGTAAGAATAGGAGCTCTCGGCAAGCCTCTTGGCCTATCGGCAGACATAGCGCAAACGGCAGGTCCCAAAACAAGTTGCTTGGCACGCGGGTTGGCGCAACCATCCATGTAACGACGGGAGCTATGGTGATGGTTCATTCGCCACTACGTCAAGCTCGACCGGGATGCGGGGGAGTGCAACGATCAGTGCACGCAGCGAATATGAGCTGTAAGAGGTCATCAGTGGCGAGACGGCCAATCGAAAGCAACGACGGGGGAATTGGCGATGGCGATAGGCCCCTTGTCCAAAAGGCGGAGTAGAGTGAGGAACTATTGCGAAGGACAAGACCGACGGGCAGGCAAAAGATCCCTACCAGTGAGCAAGATACTAACCCTACCCATGGCTTGAATACACGAAGATACCATGGTGAGATCCTGTAGGATATGACGACAGAGCACCAGAGTCAGAGGCATTTATCGTATCTTATCGAATTACAGCATGGGGCGTTCATGCCGTGTTACTGACGTCGCAGCTCTACCCTGTATCAGTCAGAGAGCTCTCCTCTCGCTTGACCTGTTGGGATATGGCTATCGGGAACGACGGGGGGTAAACAAGCTTACTTTTATCTTTGTTCTTGACGAGCTAGCATCGCGCGTTGATCTTATCATGAAGAGGGGAATCGCCGTGCTTGATTAGGAAGGCATGGGCTTGGAACTTATGATGGTGCATGGATCATCATCAACTCATGGGCGCTACACAGTCTGCGGCACTGGAGCTAGCCGAGGAGAGCTGTAGAGACTGTGCTGAAGATGATTGGTGGGATTGGATTAGCTAATGCGCATCTTTCACATGGCGCATTTGGCCTTCTAGAACTCGGATTCTCGGTCTTCTTTTCTACATGACTAACACCCGTCGCCTTCATGCGGATAGACTCGGCATTGGCGGGGTAGACGATACGGAAACGTAAAGTTTGACTTGTCCCGCCAAACCACACCAGCTGATTGACGGAGCCATGGCGGTGCTTTCATCAAAGACTCCGCCGTGGCGTGCTTTCGCAACCTGACCACCTCACATTGTTTTCTTCCAACTTCGCAATCCTTTCGAGTTTTATCTCGGTGCGTCGTTTCGTCTCTTTTTTCATAGACTGATCGCTCAGCTTCGCAAGAATGGCGTCCCAGGTCCCTCACACCCGCCCTCGTCCAGCGACCGTCCTCTCCGCCACCGAACTCATCGGCAACACTCCTCTCGTCCGACTCAACAAGGTGCCTCAGTCTCTGGGCATCGAGTGCGATGTCTACGTCAAGCCTGAGCTGTTCAGCGCCGGCGGCAGCGTCAAGGACCGCATCGCCCTGCGCATGATCGAGGAGGCCGAGAAGAGCGGCAGGATCAAGCCTGGCGACACCTTGATTGAGCCCACCAGCGGCAACACGTAAGACACCGCCTTATTCGATTCAATTGCTGGATATTTTCTAACAATCTCGCGCAGTGGTATTGGTCTAGCCCTCGTCGGCGCCATCAAGGGCTACAAGACAATCATCACTCTTCCCGAGAAGATGTCTGCCGAAAAAGTCTCAGTTCTCCGTGCCCTCGGTGCAACCATCATCCGTACTCCCACGCAGGCTGCTTGGGATGCCCCAGAATCGCACATTGGTGTCGCCCGCCGCCTCGAGAAGGAGCTCCCCAACGCCCACATTCTCGACCAGTACAGCAACCTGGACAACCCCCTAGCCCACGAGTTTGGCACCGCCGAGGAGATCTGGGAACAGACTGGCGGTCTGATCAACGCCATTGTTGCTGGCGCTGGTACTGGTGGCACCATCACTGGTCTGGCCAGGGGATTGAAGAAGCACAACAAGGATATCAAGGTCATCGCGGCCGATCCTCACGGCAGTATCCTTGCTCTGCCTGAGCTCCTCAACAAGGAGCATGCGGACGAGCCGTACAAGGTGGAAGGTATTGGTTATGACTTCATCCCCGACGTCCTGGACCGCGAGATTGTCGACAAGTGGTACAAGACCGATGACCAACAGTCCTTCTACCTCGCCAGGAGGCTCATCGCCGAGGAGGGGCTCCTCGTCGGTGGCAGCTCTGGTTCTGCCATGGCCGCCATGCTCCTCGCCGTCAAGGAGTACGGCTTCAAGAAGGGCGATGTCGTTGTCGTTGTCCTGCCCGACAGTATCCGAAGCTATCTATCCAAGTTTGCCGACGATGATTGGCTTGCCGCCAACAACCTGCTGCCCGTCAACGGTCTGGAGTCGACAGTGCAGCAGAGCAAGTCCGCCGATCCCTACGAGGGCGCTACCATTGCAGCTCTGCGCCTCAAGCCGGTGACTTCGGTTGGCGCTTCAGCTTCGTGCTCCGAGGCGATTGAGACTATGCGCGACAAGGGCTTCGACCAGCTCCCCGTTCTCTCCGACTCTGGCAACAAGCTGGTTGGTCTGGTGACGCTGGGCAACCTGCTTAGCTACATCTCTCGTGGTCGCGCCACAGCCCAGAGCCCCGTCAAGGATGTCATGTTTGACTTTGCTCGCTTTGACGAAATCGTCACCGACCCCCGAGAGATCTCTGCCCCCAGCAAGGCTGGTAAGAGAAGGAACTTTGTCGAGATTACCATCGACACACCCCTCACCACCCTGAGCAAGTTCTTCGAATGGAACAGCGCTGCTGTTGTCACCGAGAGGACTGGGGACTCCACCTCCCTGTCCAAGCCCATTGCGGTTGTGACCAAGGTCGACCTGCTCAGCTGGATGGTCAACAAGAAGTTGTAAATTTACCTCGCAAGAGGTGGGAACGAGTACTCTCATGTGTTCAACGACATTAACGTCTGGCGTTCCAAGGATATGATAGATGGAGAAGCGAAGGGTTTCAGAGTTGGTTATAGAAAGGGAATCTGAACACGTGGTAGACTCAACATCTACAGGACATTCTGAGAGGGACACTGTTTGCATGAATTAAAATGTTATAATTAATATTGAAGTGTCATCCACTACAAAATGCTGCTCGACGTGAATCGCACCAAAGATGCCACTAGTTTTATACCTTCTGGGCAATCCACCACCACCACTTGCCTGCACCGGGGCCGTCGCCGGTGACATTGCCAGGAACGACATCGACATCGATATCGAACTCTCGGAGCTGGCTGAAGGTGAACTTGGCCGAACCATACTCTCCCAGCCACGAATCTTGCTCCTCGGAGCCAATCTCGTCGGTTCCCACGCCCGAGTCCAATAGTCCCTTGCTCTTGGAGGCGCGGATCCGTGTGAGCTCGGCCTCGAGGTTGGACTTGACGAGGGTTGACGGGAGCGCGGTGAAGAGATCCATCTTGTTGGCGGCGATCAAAATCGGAATGGCGGCCTTGGTCTTTGCGCTGGTGGTAGCACGCTTCTGGACGAAGAGGAGGACATCGTAAAGGTAGGCAGCTGTGGGTGCGAGCGTCTCCTGCTCGCCGAGCGCTGCGGCGTCAACCATGAAGACAACGGCCTGGAGCTTCTCGGTGCTGTTCAGCTTGCCCATGGCGGAGTTGCGCAGCTTGCCGTGGCCGGGGGTGTCGACGAGGAGGAACTTGGTGTAGGTGCCATCGGTGGCCTCGTGGTTGCGGAAGTCCTCCTTGGTGGCCGAGTCGGTCGAAGCCATCAGCTCGACCGACTGCGGGACCTGCGAGGTATGGGTCTCGGTGTCGGAGGAGCCGCGTTCGAAGAGCGTCTGGAGTGACGTCTTGCCGGCGTTGGAGGGGCCGACGAGCAGGATGGTGGGCGGGATCGTGTACGTGCGCGACGAGGAGAGGATGACGTGGAGGAGGATTGGCATGCCGAGGATGATGAGCACCCCTATGATGATTGTAGGTAGGGAAGGCGTCATGATGGCCTCGACGACCTGGGTGAAGGTCGCCATGGTAGCTGTAGGGCGGCGACTCCCGCTGGGCGTCGATGGGGTATGCGAAGTCGAGACGTGGAGGTGTTTGGGGGGAATTGGAAAGTAAGAGACGCCCCAAGGAGAGACTCTGGCGTTCGATGTAGCAGGCGACCGAACAAGTCAACACCGCGCGACAACTGGCGGTGATTTATACGGGCTGCAATTATCGACAATCGAAAGGTCGGAAGTTTGCGATGCCGTGCGGGACGGTAATCTGGCCAGCCCACCTTGAAGGTCCTAGACCGGCCACAAGACACGGCGCCACAGCGTCCGTGGACAGCAGCCACAGCTCCCAAGCCACAGGGCACGTGAGAAGCCACCTCTCCAGTTCCGGGGGAAGGCGCCGAAGCGTTCAGCCACAGGGGTCCCCTGAACTGGCAGTTAGGATTGGAGGCGTCGCTAGGCCCGTTTGGGGATGGGCTAGGCTCATCCAGGCTGAGCCAAGCTCAGCCGCGCTCGGCATCACGGCTTCAGTAATACGTAGGCTGGTCCACGCGCTGCTCCTCGCAAAATTGCCATTTTATTCGCATCAGCCTTTCGCCCAGCTTCTCTCCTCGCTGCGCCTCCTGTTCGACTTCGACATGATCCGGCTGTAGTCGTTCTTCCTCTGCCTCTCGACCTCCCGCCGTTCCCCCGTGTGCCGCCTCATCCAACCAGTTCCGTCTCAGGAGTCCACCTCGCCTAGCTAATCCTCGTCGACCCCTGGCTTACCCCCGTGATGGGAAGCGAAACGCCAGCCAGCAGCATGTCGGCTGCCTCGGCCGCGCCCATTCAACCTTCAACAAAGGCCACTGCCGCCGTACCGAAACTCAACAGCGAGATGGAGATGGGAAGCCTGCCCGGCGATGGCCAGGACCAGGAGGAGGACATCATGCAGATTGCCCGTGTGGGCGATGTCCCGGCCATGGAGAAGCTGTTTGAATCCGGCGAGTTCGACGCTACATATACCGATGACGAAGGGATCACTCCCCTGCACGTAAGTGTCCATTTTGATCCGGTGGGAGTGCGATGGAATAGCTTCCAGAGCTTGAAGCTGACAGATGCCGTCATCTAGTGGGCTGCCATTAACAACCAGTACGCCATGTGCAAGTTCCTCATCGACCACGGCGCCGAGATCAACAGAAAGGGAGGCGATTCGATTGCGACACCTCTCCAGTGGGCTGCCCAACGTTGCCATTACTACACGGTCAATCTACTCCTCCAGCATGGCGCCGACCCTCTTATCACCGACGCTCAGGGTTACAACACTCTTCACATCTCGACCTTTAACGGCAACGTCCTCCTTATCGTCCTCCTGCTACACCAGGGCATCCCCGTGGATGTCATCGACAACTTTGGCCACACGGCGCTGATGTGGTCGGCGTACAAGGGCTTCCCCGCGTGTGTCGACGTCTTCCTGCGATGGGGCGCCAGCGTCCATGCTACGGATGAGCAAGGGTTCACGGCCCTGCATTGGGCCTTGGTCAAGGGCAACCCGGGTTGCATTCTCAAACTTATCGAGTACGGAGCCGACCGGTTTGCAAAGACACAGACTGGAAAGACTCCAGCTGTGACCGCGAGCGAGTTGAACACCCAGTCCGCCTGGCACCGTGCCCTCCGGGAGTGCGGCTTCGACGAAGATGGCCATCCCGCAATTCCAGCGTGGCCTGGCGCAAGCTATTTCTTGAAGGACAAGAGGGCCTTTGTGACCAGGTTTCTCTTCTTCTGGCCGTTCCTGTTGGTCTGGTCAATGGTTATGATTTTATCGCAAGCACCCGTATATTTCGGCGTGCCGTTGGCATTGGCCGCTGTGTATGGCATCCAATGGTGTGCTCAGCAGGTGCTAGAGTATGCACCCTCTGACATGCGACACTTCCACAAGACAGTATGTTCCCTGGTCTCCCGTTCTGTCTTCATTCTAACCACGATTAGCCTTGGCTTGCTGGTATCTTTGCTGCCACGCTCTTTTTCGTCGGCGTGAACTGGCTGACCAATGTTTTCTGGGCAACGACGATGGGAGCGAATGCGGGAAACACACATACTTTCCTCAACCTTGCTTTTGGCGTATTCTTTGGCCTCACGGCGTATTTCTACATTGCTAGCATGAGATATGACCCTGGATTCGTTCCCAAGATGAACGGCATTGCGGAGCAAAAGGCCGTCATTGACGAGCTGCTTCAGCAGTGGAAGTTTGACGAGTCCAACTTCTGTGTTACGTGCATGATTCGGACGCCTCTACGAAGCAAGCACTGCCGTAGATGCCAGCGATGTGTTGCCAAGCACGACCAGTGAGTTTATCTGCTTCGTATAGATTGGGCATTGCTAACAGAACCCTAGCCATTGTCCCTGGGTCAACAACTGCGTTGGAGTTAACAACCACCGCCACTTCTTCTTCTACATTGTTGCTCTCAGCTTCGGAATTCTTTCGTATGACTGGTTGTTGTATCATTGTGAGTTGTTACACATTCTCGGCTCCTCTCAATCACTAATGGTGGCTTCAGATTTCAACACCGTTTCTGAGAATGCGTCGGACATTTGCAATGTTCTGAGCCCCAGTCTCTGCAAGATGGTCAACGCCGACTCTTACACCGCCCTCCTGGGTGTCTGGATTACGCTCCAGCTCCTCTGGGTGACCATGCTCCTATTCACCCAGTTCTTCCAGGTTTCCCGGGCCATGACTACTTTCGAGAACATGTACGGTATCCGAGATGCCAGTGCTACCACCGCTTTCACATCTACGGGTACTCCTCTCGACCCCAACCATCCTTCTCTATCCACACCCGCTGCCCACGGTGCCCACGGTCACAAGCATAAGGGCGGCATGCTCAAGCAGTGGAGCCGCCTCCTGGGCGTTGATCCTTTTATTGAGACCATCACTGGCCGAGGAGCCGCGTCTACTCAGAACAAGCGCAAGAAGAAGAACCCCTACAGCCGAGGCTGCGTGGCCAACTGCAAGGACTTCTGGTGCGATCCCGCTCCCATCTTTGGGCCGAGGGAGAATGGCACCGCCGTTCTTGGTGGCGAGAGGATTGACTACACGGCGACTTACGAGAGCCCGACACTGATGCAATTGACTGGCAGACGTGATCGTGGTGGTTACGAAGCTGTGGGCGGGGAGGATGTCTAAGCTGTTGCTTCCATGATTCACAACAGGAAACGCAAGCGAACGGAGACCAGATTCTCCAATGAATGAGACGGCCGGGCACGAAACTGGATTCGGTATATATACGGAAGAGGTGTGAGTGCGCCTCAGAAGACAATGTGTTACGAACACGGACAGACTTTGTGCATACAAGTGGGATGGGGCGATCGAGTAGATGAGGAGGGATGGGGACCAAGATGAGCTGTACAACGACGCGCCATGTAATATTAATGTCGATGATCTCGACAAGGAGCAATGGATGTTGTTTTTCGTGAATGATTCGCCTGAGGAGGATAGGGATGGATTGGATGTTGTTTTGTGATGACTGGTATGCTCTGTAAAGAATTGAACACCAGACTCGTGGTCTAACTGAAAATTGGGAAAGATATGGATGTGAGATGGAAGGAGAAATCCTCGACTGCAGGTTGTGTCAACCTGCCGACTCACCTTCGGTATTCCGTTCCGGACCAACGTCTCATCCTGCTGTCGCTTCCGTTGCCGGTGGCCGGTCTTAATCCGCATTTTAATAAACAGGACAGTGCGGTACCGGCCAGTCAGCTCGAGCCGGACCGTGAATACAGGACCTCGACGGGATCACATTACGCATGGCGATAAAATGACGGTTGCTTGGGAAATTGGTGTGACATGGCCCGATACAGAATGTCAGCCGCGCAGGTGGAACGTCGGGAGGTGCTCCTCGGGAATGACAGCAGTTCCAAGAAAGAAGCAAAGTACAAGAGCACGTTGGTGGCTTGAAGGGAGACAATATTGATGGCGTACCGCCTCCCTCGCTACTGGGCTGTTAGCTTACCCGCGATGGTCTGATCTGCAGGTATGTTGGTAGAGCCGTCTGGGGACAAAGGCGGAGATGCATCAGTTGGTGGCTTTGAGGTTGATTCAGACCAACATTAGCTCCTGGCCAAGCGCCCGTTGGACCGTCTGGGCTACATGAACCGACAGGCCAAGCACGCCGCCTTACACAGAACTGAGTAATTCGGCAGGGCTCCGGTCGGGCAGACTTGAGAAGCCGGCTATGACTCGGGAAGAGATTGAGGCGTGCCAGTGAGGTTTTGACGTCTCGGCAATCAGCCAGGGGCATGCCATTCCACGCAAGAGACGGCCAGGGGGATAGCAGGGTGGGCTAAGTTGGGGAATCCGAGACGGGGGGCATTCGAGGCAGGGCAAGATTCGAGGCGGCACAATGGGAGGTGACCTCTCATGTTCAGGATTCACATGCCGGTGCGGACATGACCTGGAAATAGTGACAGGTACGCTAATGTAACGTCCCAAAGCCTTCGGTAGTGGACGATCGTATTTGATTTTTGACAATCCCACGCTGACCTGTATCGTCATGGGGCTGAGCTGGTAAACTTGCCTCAATGCACTCATCCTGAGCGGGAGATGCAAGACGGGACGCAGGTCGGCCAGGTGAGGGCGAGAAAACGTCCCCAAACCTCCCACGGACACCACACGATCACTCCAGGGATGCCAATTTGTCGACCCCATTCCCGACGCCTCCGAAAAGAGGCGTATGCGAATAAAAGCTCGTCATGTCCGACGGGACCGAGAATGCTGATTGTACCTGCATGAGGGCAGACGGTGCAGCGACTGCGGAGTGTGGAGGGCCGCTCGTCCATTGAGGACCGCTCGTCCACTCCGGGCCGTGGCACAGGCGTGTAGGCGTCCTCCGATGCGCTTGTGAAAATCTCTGAGGCATGGTTGCTTTTTTATCAGGCCGTGGCTGTCGCGCCTTGAGATCGCCTGATCTGAGGAGTCACTGGGCAGCCACCCGGCAGGCTGGAGACTGGAGACAAGGAGACAAGAGGAATCTCCTGCAGAGCGTGGGCGGAGTTGATCAGTGAGCTCGCCCATACACATCGTAGAGTGACCTGCGTCAGACACCAAGACGGGGAACAGCAAGGATTACACTGCTTTCACCATGGTTTCTAATGGCATCTTTACGTACTGGCCACGTTACAGCCTTAGTTGGCGCCGTCTAGGTAATGGCAAAACGAACTTGTCCATTATGCTACCCACTGGAAAAGAAAAATGCTCGTCTTCCGCGTCTCCAGCATCACTCATGCGCCGGGACAGGCTGCGCAATGCCTTGCAGAGCCGTTGGCTGATGTGCATCGCAACTCGCAGGTACGAGCACGCTCAGTGGAGTTTGATCCAGGAACAGGGCCAAACGCGTCAACTAGCAACGCAATTGACCCGTTGCGTTGGTTCTGGTTCCCCGAGTCGTCGGCCAAGATGTTGCGTACGAATACGTGCGCAGACGACTCTTCCCCGTCGTGAAATTGGCTCGTGGACCGCCATCGACCGCATTCAGACGGAATCCGACGATGAGGTTGTGTGTGTCAATCGTGTTGTAGACGGGCAGGGATGTTCTCTCTTTGGAGCCCCAGTGTTTCCTCTTTTCGCATTAACCAACTGAAGAATCGCCAACCTTGCCAAGTCCGCCACGCCCCCTACGCGTACTACGCAGAAACCAGAAAAAGCAACTTCACGTCTCTCTCTCTCACAGCGCCAACACACAACGGGCCTTCTTTCCCCCCTGTGGCGCGGCGCTTACAGATTACCGACTCGGGGTTGGCAGCCAGAACTGGAGACGTTGGAGTTCGTCCTCACTCAAGCAGTGCGGCTCCGCAAGAATCGAAGCCGGACGGTTCTCGTCCCAAGTCCTTCTCGGGACACATCGGATCCCGCATTTCCTCGATTCGCTTCTGGATTGCCCTTTTCACACCTTGTGATGGGCCCTTTTCAGACCGGTCGCTCGAATCACACCATTTTCGGATTTTGGCGTCAACCTACTCTCCACCCAATGGAGCACGTAGATCGGTGAGGAAGCGTCAGAGAGGCGCGAGGAAAAAGAAACCTGCGAAGACGCAACGCGCCCAGAAAAAGAAATTTGCGACGGATAGCGTCGATATCGCTGTTTCCGATAATGCGCTCGCTATGGCGGAGTCCCGCGTTGGAAACAGTCGCGCCATCAAGAGACAAGGCCCTCGAAAAGTTTCCTGATTAGGCCCAATATCAAAAAAGCAAAGCCGTTGCGCCATCCGACTTGGGTGTGTTATCCTTCGGCTGTTGTTATCTCGAGTCGAAGAAGGGTGTGAGGCCCATGCTCCGAGTGATTCACCTCGACGGCGTCGATCCTCCGCATCGATTTTGGCCCTCAGACTTTCATGTTGCCGGAGATGCCTGCTTGTTGACCAACAAGCCATACGGCCTGAACCCGGCACATACCCCCTGCTGACAGGACTTGCGATTTGATCCTGAGTAGTATCCTCCCGGGGATGGACCATCGCCAGATTCAGAGTGCAACTCTCCACAGCACGAGCGTTTGGCAACCTGGACCAGTTCAACCCTAGCATCTCCATCCACTCCATCTCCCACATCGCGGCCGAGTTTGCGACGACGACGACGACGTGAGAAGTGATGTATCTCCTGGCCGGCTGTTGCAGTCGGCCCAACTCAAGAGACCTCCCCATCAAGCTGCAACGTGACTCGGACACGGGGGTGCTGGATGACTCGAAACCTACCTTTTCTTTCTTTTCTTCTGGTGTCCTCAGAAACCGCCCATGTGAGATGTGATGCATATCTCCAACAAAGCCATGTTGGTCGTCTCCGTCCAATCCCCGGTAGAGCCCGGGCGCCGCCGAGGAGCGGATCCTGGGACCGGGGTCGATGGACCCGAGACATGCCTGTCTGCCGAAGCTGGGTCCCGCGAGAGAGGCAGCGCAATAGACAACCTCGTCCACACCACAGCCGGCCCCGTTAAAGATTTTCTCCCAGGGCATCCCCACGCAGGCGGGGCCTTGGACACGGGGGGGCCTGGACGCGCGCATATGGGGAGCTGCCCACCCACCCTGGAGCATTGTGGAAGTTGCTTTTTATACATGCCCAAGTGAGCCGTCACTTTTCGTTCCTGGATGAGCCATGGAGCCCCATTGACTCGGGGATCAAGTCGAACCATCTTTCTTTCAGCCTTGGAGCCCCGGCCCCGGCCATTGTCGGCCATAACGGTCACCTTGCCGCTTCATCTGCCACCCTGGCCCACGCCCAAAGAGGATCCCAAGCAGTTGGGACGACGGACTTCTCACTGCGGCCGCGGTCCCTGAAGATTCTTAACATCCTTAATGCGATGTGGGACCTGGGGAGGGGGCGTGGGCTGTCGTTTTTTCGATGGCTGACGGGGAGGCCCCAGTTGAATTCTCATCCCGGCCGGCTCCATGCTTGAAAGCCAGGTCGAGGATATAATCCTCTTGGCCTCCCGGCAAAGCCACTTGCGAAGCTCGGTCACGCCCATCTTTACCGCAAGTGGTCGCCCAAACAACGAAGATCATCTCTTCTCCGTTGTTAGTCCCCGTCACCTACCGCAATGGCTCCCGTATACGTCATGGAGCCGCCCGAGGGCGAGGTGCGGACCGCCGTCCAACCCCCGAGCAGCGCCGGAGGAGTCCTGCCGGCCGGAGTTGCTACGACTGTCCTCGCCTGCATCGCCGTCTGTCTTCGATTGTTCACCAGGAAATATGTGGTGAAGGGTGTGCTTGGTCTGGATGACTGTTGGTGTCCCCGATTTATATCCTCGGATCGTGTGTGCTAACATCTGAAAGACATGTGTCTATGTGCTCTCGGCTTCTCCATCATCTTCCTTGGGCTCACCTCCCACCGTATGTTCTCTTCACATGACTTAATCTGTCTTGGGACTCGCTAACAACAGTGATAGTCAGCAGCCTTGGTGCCGGCCATCACATGTGGGATATCTTGTTGTCGGACTTCAGCCCGCACTTTTGGCAGGTGAGAACCCTCCAGAGCCTCCTTGGATGTGTGACTGTGCTAACATCTCCATGTTGAAAAGACGTCGATCAGTGCAACTCTTATCTTTGCCGTCTCCATCGCTTTCTCTAAGCTCTCCGTCCTGTTCTTCTTTCTTCGAATCTCCCCAGACAGGGTGATCCGCCGCGCCGTGCACACACTCATTTCTCTCATTTGCGTTTACACCCTTGTCTACATTTTCCTCATGATCTTCCGATGCCGACCCGTCTCGTCCGGCTGGGACCTGACTGTGGAGGGACAATGCATTGACAGCCTTGTCCCGATGTTGACCCTCAGCATTGCCAACATTGTCATCGACCTCTTCGTTCTTCTCCTTCCTATTAGGATCGTCATCCCACTGCAGATCCCTCTGCGACAAAAGATTTCCCTTGCTCTGCTATTTGCGACTGGTGGCTTGTGAGTTTACCCTTGACACTGTCGTCACGTCCCTCACTAACATCAACCCAGTGTCTGCGTCGCTTCCATCAAGCGGACGGTCATTATGTCACCCCTTCTGAGGTCTGATGACTACTCGTGGGATGTTTCCCAACAGATCATCTGGACCTACATCGAAGTCAACGCCGGCGTCATCTGCGCGTCGGTGCCGGCCTTGAAGCCCTTCTGCATGCGATACATCCCCATCATCATCTCGGCGCGGCTCCGTGGTGCTTCCCAGGACAAGTCTTCCTCCAAGAAACAGTCGAACGGCGCCGACAAGAAGAGGAGGAGCCGAAACATTTACTCTTATGAAATGCCCAGCCGCGACGAAGTGTCTGAAACCACACTGCAGGATGACGAGGCCCGGCTGTGGTCGTTGAGGGGCGCCAAGAACAATGGCAAACCGAGAGAAATAATCCAGGAAATGGAAAGTTTCGACACCTTGGCTGATAACGTCACCCTGCCTCCCAAACCAGAACCTGCCGTGGTCGGATTTGGAACCAAGCGCACTGAAAATGTCAACGGAATTCAAATCACCAAGGAAACTTACATCTCCTATGGCCCTGCCTGAGCACTCGATCACAGCCTCACGGGCCAGAATTGAAGATTCATTTCAAACCGCGTCGCTCAGTTGAGCATGGAAAGATGACTCCTCAGGGTCGTATGTCGCCCTGGTTCCGATGAGAGACGATGTCCGGGTGGAATTCAGAACCCAAGCCTTGTATAAGACAGGGTTGGTATAAATAGGCACTTGCCACTTAAAAAAAGAAGTCGCGATGAGAAAAACAGGATCAGCCGCGATTAGTCTGAATGGGACTATTTCAGCTTCAAGTGGAAGGTCGGCTGGTACCAGAAAAATAGAAGACAATGGAGCCCTTACATATTAATCAGATAGATGAACGAATGTATGACCGAATAAAACCTAATTTTTACAATTGAGTCTCAGTCCTTGCCAACATTTAGTCCAAATTTATCCCCAGTTTGAGAGTTGTCCATTGTTGCATCCATGACAGCCCCTTGCTGCCGGCGCGAAATCCCACGAGTTCCCAGTCGAGGGTTTTGCACGGAGATACAAGCGGATGACCGAGAAAAAGCATCTCCTGGCCAAATACGGAGTATGTTGAACCCCATTAAGGGATCTGCGCAAGACTTCTCGGAATGCTCCATCGATTAGAGTGAGACAAGATCGTTGCCTCAGCGGCATCCTTCAGGGACACAAACCCAGCAGTCCCAGGCGCCTGACGACGGCAGCTTCCTTTGCTACATTTCCTGCGGGTATTTCAAGGTCTGAATCCAGGGTAAATCCTCGCTGTACCCGAGCTGCAACGAATTACACTCGGCGGGGCCATCACGGCGACGGTAGCTTGTCCAGAAACCATTGGGGCAGCCTTACAGTACGAATGAGGAGGAGTGTTCTAAAGCGAGAGTCTGAGACATGCTCATTCACATGTTTCAGCAATCACTTCTCTCTGCAAGCCAAATCCAAGCCTCAATTCTGAGATGAATATCAAAAGGATGGCCTCAGCCACGGGGTGTCCCTTGGCGATGTCAATTTCACATGCCACATTCAATGGAATCTAGACAACACTCGAGAATCTAGGGAGTGATACAACACATTCCAGTCACTCTCAGAACTCGTGTTTGTTGATCCCCTTAATCTTGTATGGATGCCTCGACGGTTTCCTGCGACCATATTTCGCAAATATTATTTCTACGCTATCGTGCTACTTCGACGTTAAATCGCTATAGCGACCTGTAGCACAAACCACGACCCTAGTAGCAAATATGGAGTATCCCGGTAAGACTGCCTGCGCTACAACTATGGATCGATACTAATCGACACAGTCAAGGAGATCCCGGGCGTCATCAGAGCCCTCGCTCAGGGCAGTCCAGAGCAACAAGCAATCACGCTATCGGACTACTTTCTGCCAAATGCATCATTTTCACATCCTCCTTGCGACACGCCATCCCTCGCCAGAGGTTCGGTCCCTCTCGCCGGCGGCATTGACTCTCTATGGGTAGTGCTCACCATCTACCGATGGTATCGCACACTCAGCCCTCACATCGACATCAAGGTCGATTCTGCTGGTACGTCTGATATGCTTGGAGTCTGGTCGCCAGTGCTAATGTACTCTTGCAGCATTCGACCCACGCAGCGGGCTTCTCTCCGTATCACTTCGGCAGACCTTTGCCTTGTGGTTTATTCCTATCTACAAAGCGCCGGTCCGACTCGTTTCAGTGTTGCAACTCACTCAGATTACCTCCCCGTTACCCGACGAAACCAAGGATGGCTTTTCAAAAAGCGGTATTTCTCTGGTACCTGCAAGCCCTCGCTCGAATAGACCAAAGTACTACATCGCCAGTCAGGAAGACCTGTATCCGGTTGCAGATCGTATGCGGTGCTTCATACCAGGGCTAGGGCCTTTTCTTTGGTTCGTGTGGCAACTGTATAGTGCCTGGTTGTTCGTGATGGGATCACTGCTATTTTTGCCGCTGTACCTGCTGCTAAATCGATCAACTAAACCAAGGGCTAAGTAGCAGTGGGAATTTTCAGGGCAAAGCGTGTTAGGTGTTGGGATCTGCCTTTTTCTGTCTATTTGCGGGCCTGAAGCAGTTGGGGCTTCAAAGGTTGCGACTTTTTCGCTTTTACTGCTGAACGCAGTCACGATTGCTTTCATGATCAATAATGAATCGATATGGGACACGTGGGATTATAGTGGGGGATCATTTTTGGACGTTTGGGACGGATCATGACTAATTGGTTACTGAATACAATGATACGACACTCTACACTATGAGTGTTAAACTTGATGAACTAGTCAAGCAACGTGAACATAGTAGTATGGATGAACTAAAAATGAGGGAACCGTATCAGCAGATAAGGTGGTTTAGTCTAGTCATACGGCACGGTCCGAGAAACGATATCAGTCTCTGCCTGCCGCCGATTGACAGCCACGGCACACCTCTAGGTGCTGTTGGAGAAAGTTCCCCTGTAGCTTCAACCAACCTTTTCTGGAGTAACCGACGAAAGCAGGCTGATGGCTTAGTTGGCGGGTCGAAACTGAGGCTCGCTGGACTGTGGTCGATTGGACGCCGCGTTGAGCGTTGATGCTAAATTAACTCAACGTTGACAAGACCCAGGTTTGTACGACCCAAATAAAATAAAACATTCCTCATACAAGTAAATCTTAATCCCCAACGTTGCAGAGTGCAGTACGTATCTCACAACCATGTAAGTGGGTAAACTCTCTTGGCCAATGCTTCCCGCCCCATTACGAATTTTGCCTCAACTTCTAGAAACCTTCCTCTCAACCGACCCCGGAGCCGCTGTGGAGGCGTTGATCTCCAACCGCCACTCATCTCCCTTCTCCCAGGAACACGGCATTTCCATGTGACGAATTGAAATGCCTCGCGTCGCCACTCGACAGTCCATACTCCCGTCGTCTGACTCGGGGTCTCCGCGGTAGCATGGGGACAATTAGGTAAAATGGACCGACTCTTGACTCACGGAATCCACATCAACCAAATTTTCCCCATCGTAAAACTTCGCTCACGCCTGATGCACGCCCTGGCAATCATTCTCAGACCCGAGAAAACGTTGGTTTTGGTTCTCTTTTGCTTTGCCAATTGTGTGGTAGAACGATGAGTAAAACCAAGCTACGAATGCAATAAATTGGAGTTGGCGAAACTCGGGGTGAGGAGCCACATTGTCCTTGTCCACCGGGGATTTTCCCCGGATCTTGAAAGCTACCCAGATATCCGTCTCATCGGTTCCGTAGCTCATCATCTCTTTTAGAATGGTCCACATCCATGGATCAACAGTTGGCCTATGCTGCTGGGTCGAGGCTAGACGGCCATTCTGGATGGAGATTTTTGCCATGACTGGTCATCATCGACTGACAAACAGACTTTGCTCCCCCGAGGTTCTCCAGAAACCCTGAGCTACGAGTCCGACCTCGGGTGATCGTGTCCATCCTCAAAAGGGCCGGATCCCCAGAGTTTAATTCTTGTCCCATCTCGATTGACTTCCTGTCTACCAACTCTTTCCCCGAGCCTAAATTCACCGGGCCGAACACCAACGCCTTCTCCGGCTCTATCTCGAATACCCCTGGACCACAGAGTTCTGGACCTCAAAACCGTCTGTGTGACCATGATAGACTAATCAACACCTACAATGATCCCCACAACAACTACTCCTCCTGCGGCCGAGGCCGCCGACAACATCACCAAGAGTGCCAACAAGGGTGCCGGCAATCATGGTCCGGGCAACTTGTTCGTCCCGGATGACTCCATCAGCGAAAAGATGGTGGGAGAAGTGACCGAGTTCGAGAAGCGCAAGATCATTGCTGGAAATGCAAAGTTCCACCGCCTCGGCTGGAAGCGCCTCACCATTGTGTTGATCGTCCAGGCCATCGCCCTGGGATCGCTGTCCATCCCGGCCGCGTTCGCGACCCTGGGCATGGTTGCTGGTGTCATTTGCTCCGTCGGTATCGGCCTGATCGCCATTTACACATCATACATTGTGGGACAGGTCAAGGTGAACTTCCCAGATGTGCAGCACTACCCTGCCGCAGGAGGGCTCATGTTTGGCCGGGCCGGATACGAAATCTTCGGCGTCATGTTGACGCTTCAGCTTGTGTTCCTAACGGCCTCGCATTGTTTAACGGGGACAATTGCGTTTCAAACTCTCACAGAGAGCGATGTCTGCAGCTTGGTTTGGGGCGTAGTGTCTGCCGTCATCCTGTTGCTGCTCGCTGTGCCTCCCAGCTTCGCTGAAGTGGCCATCTTGGGATACGTCGATTTCGTCTCGATTATTCTGGCCATTGGAATCACTATTATTGCGACCGGAGTCAGGAAATCCTCCATTTCACCTCCGGTGGAATGGTCAGCGTGGCCAAAGGAGGACATCAGCTTCGCAACGGCATTCATCGCGATTTGCAACATCTTCTTCGCCTACAGCTTTTCGATTTCTCAATTCTCCTTCATGGATGAGATGCACACGCCTACAGACTATATGAAGTCCATCTGGACTCTGGGAGGCATCGAAATTATCATCTACACTCTCACAGGCGCCCTCATCTACTCCTTTGTGGGAGTTGACGTCAAGTCACCCGCCATCTTGTCCTCGGGATCGACGGTGGCCAAAGTGGCCTTTGGAGTTGCACTGCCTGTCATCTTCATCAGTGGATCCATCAACACAACGGTTGGTGTTCGATATATCCACGGGAGGATGTACAAAAACAGCGTCACTCGCTTCGTCAATACTAAGAAGGGCTGGATCTCGTGGTTGGCTTTGATCACGGTATTTACCTGGATCAGTTTTGTCGTTGCAGAGTCTATCCCATTCTTCAGCGACTTGATCGCCATCACATCGAGCTTGCTGAACTCCGGTTTCACGCTGTACATCCCTGCCATGATGTGGTTCATTCTTCTCAAGAAGGGAAATTGGTACAGCAAGGAGAACCTTTTCTGGAGCATTGTCAACGGATTTATCTTCGTCATGGGACTCATTCTCTTGGTCGGAGGTACCTATTCGTCGATTAAGAACATTGTAAGTTGGAATCCCCAAACTTGACGAGGATGGCTATCTAACACTGCACAGAGAGACGAGTACAAGGCTGGAACTGTAAATAACGCATTCACTTGCGCTTCCTTCGTGTAATGTAGAAAGTTTCCGTTGGTGTCATCGCTTGGAGATGGTGTACTTGGAGATGTGTAGATATGACGCCTGTTACTATACAGACGAGAACATGTTTCAATATTGAGGAACTCACAGATTAATACTTCGATGTCAAAAATGAGCTCGTGTTTGAGTGTGAGTGATTGTTAATACATGCAGAGTACATGAGAAGGACAAGAGCATATGTCATCATAGTAGGAGCTAGAACTGGCCCGGGTACTGGGTACTGCATTCCGGCAGAGCAAAAAGCGATGCGACATCAATATACCCGAATACAAATAAAATTCATGCGTTCAAAGAGCGCGAGTCTTGTAGCGGGAGGAAGGTGATGGAAGGTGAAGGCGTGGATGCAGGCACGGAAAATCAGCCATCACTCCGCGCTGTCCCATCACCGAACAGTTCAAAGACGTACACATGGGCAGATGGTGAAGTAACAAACAGAATAGCATAAAGAAATCCTAAAGCAAAACATAAAGTCAAGAACTAAAACAGAGAACAAAACAATTTCCTCGACAGCTAGGAGTGAGGCAGAGGCAGGTCCACACACGTTTCTGACGTGGGGACTTCATCGCAAGTGCAGCGAATGCCATGGTCGTACTTTTGGGCCTCACCCCTTCTCGACATGGTCAATCTTGCAGTCCCCCATTCCTTAGTCCTTCTTGTCGTCCAGCTTCTTCTGCTCCTCCTCCTTCTTCTGCTCCTCCTCCTTCCTCGCCCTGTCCTCCTCCAGCTTTTTGGCCTGCTTCTGCTTCTTTTCCTTCTCCCTCTGCCGCTCCTCCTCCTCCTCCTCCCTTTCCTCCTCCGCCTTTTCGGCCTGAATCTTCTTCCTGTGCTTCTCCTCCTCTTCCTCCTCTTTCTTCTTCTTCCTGTCTTCCTTCCTCTTCTCCTCCTGCACCTCCTGCTCCTTCTTCTTCTTCCTTTCCTCTTCCTGCTTCTTCTCCTTCTTCTTCCTCTTGATTTCCTTCAACTTCTTCTGCGTCTCCTCCTTCTCCTTTTCGACCTTTTTCTTCCTCTGACGTTCTTCCTCCTTATTCTTGGCCTCAATCGCTTTCCACTTTTTATCGAACGCGGCCTGCTCCAACGCCTTCGCGTAGCTCGCCTCCATCTTGATTCTCTGCCTCTCGATCCTCTCCAGGTTCTTCTTCTTATTCTGCAGGGCCGTCTTCTTCCTGTTCTCCTTCTTCTTCTTCTTCTCGTCCTTCTTCAACTGCTTCCCGTCAGCCTTCGCCTTCTCATATGCCTCGTTTTTCTCGTCAGTCTCTTCTTTTGTAAGCTTCTTTTTGTCTGCCTTCTCCTTCTTCTTTTGTGCCTTCTTCTTCTTCTTCCTATCCTTCCTCTTCTCGTTTTCCTCTTCGTTGATGTCGTCTTGTTCCTTCTTCTGCTTGTCCTCAACCGCTTTCCACTTTTTATCCAATGCGGCCTGCTCCAGCTCCTTCTTGTACTTCGCCTGCCGTATGATTCTCTCGTCCTCGATTCTGTCCAGGTTCTTCTTCTCCTCGGCCTGCGCTTTCACGACGTCGGGATAAATGAAGTCCTCCGCTTTCCAGGTGCCGTTTCTCTTAGCCTCGTCCTCGATCTTTTTCCGGGCTCTCTGCCGGTCGTCCCATGCGTGCCACGCCTTGGCGTAGTCTCTGTTGTTTTTTTTAAACCACCCGTTCCGTGGGGACAGCTTTGAAACAATGCCGCTGCTATCTGGTGTAGCAATTGTGTCCCGGCGAGGCATGTGCGACCCCTGCAGAGGGACAGCAAGGGCACTGGCCAAAAGGCCGAGGGTGAGGGAAACGAAGCCGAACTTCATGTTTTCGACGAGAAGAGGAAGTGATAGAGAAAAAGATGGTTTGAATGGGGACGGTGAGTAAGCCTCCGCTGGATGGGCTCCCACCTAACTGTAGTCAGGAAATGGCTGAGATGTCGGGAGACTATCTTTCAGTTGATAGCATCTGGACCGGGAAAATGTTTCTTGTTGGAGAATCCCCTTGCTTTTATATCTAGACATGATGGGGGTTGTTACGAGGCAGATGTCATGATTGATCGTTAAGAGCAGATGTATCTCTGGTACCTCGGGTGGTTCAGAATTCAGAAGCCAATGGTTAAACTCGTCAGTTACGCGTCACGCAGGAAAATATCTAATTCATCTATGTCGGTCGGAATCAAAAGTGTGCTGCAGAAGCAGCGTATATCCTGTACAAGAGGCTCTCACGTTGCATACTGAATGAGACGTAGGGTGGATCATCAAGTGTCGCTCCGCTTTGCTCCACCACTACGCCGTTTTACGCTGAACAGATAAGATAGACGGCCTGTGGAGAAGAAAATGGGACGACATGTGGCGCTAACTCAACGGCTATCTTGAGCCAATTGGGCTTTGATCCCGTTCAGGACTCCTTTGCTTCTTCCCTAGACATGGCAAGTTGAGTTGCGGGCATGGATCAGGACTCAAGAGTGATGGGAGCAAGGAGTGAGAGAATTGCCTGGCTGGGCATGACTCGGATGGCGGGTGTCCATGACAGGGGTCGGAAGCTCCGATACTTGAGTCATGTTGATCTTACAATGAATGAGTTTGGAGAAAAGAGAAACCTGGGCAGAGGACTTGACTTAAGTACGAAGAGCATCGCTTGAACAGAAGAACATTAAAAAATTGGTGGATGGGCAGTCCCCACACCTGTGTCTCATATATCGCCGTTGATCACATCTGCTCGAATGACATGTGGGTTACGAAAGCCCGGGATGGGAGATTCCAGAACAAAGACGTGTGGTCAAAACCTGGCAAGTCTCACACAGTGATCATCAGCTGCCGCCAGATACACACACGCATCCCCTAATAATACTATGTTAAATAGAAATCTCCGTCATGTTCCATGGCCGGGACCGTCCCCGAAGCCGAGGCTGGCTTATGTACCTACTCCCAGGCCATACCGCGGGGGTTCGGAAAAGGCGGGGCGCTCGCCTCCATCCGCTTCCATCGGCTCCCATTTCCATTCCCAGCAACTCCCCGGCCTGGCCTCACCACTCACTCTCCCGCTGACACCGCCGCTTCTGACCCGAACTCGCGACGAGCCGGCCACGAGAAACCGACAAAAGGGGCGCCGCCGTGTCTGTGTTTAGCATTGTTCGTGGGCGTCTCCTCGGCCGCGACCGGTGAATCCGTCCCTCCCCCCCCCCCCCGCGCGCTGCGGCATTGAGATGCTCTAAGCCCCTCCGATCCCGCCGCCCCGACCCGACACTATGGATGCTTCTCGATTGAACGGCGTCGCAAACGGCGTCGCGACCCTGAATGCAGACCGCACCCTCCCGGACATATGCCATACGCTGCAGCAAAAGGTGCTCGCTTTCCTCGACGAGCAGCTCGAGGATCCCACGCTGCGAAAGGTCCAGGAGCAGGTCCGCATCTCCAACGGCGTCATTGAGGATGCGTTGCGCCGATATGGGTGAGTGATGCTCGGGATTCGCGGCGCCTACGAGCCACGTATTTTCGCTGTCGACTCTTTGACTGACCCATTGCGCCATCCAAACAGCGCCGAACACCTCTCCATCTCGTATAACGGCGGCAAGGACTGCCTCGTCCTCTTGATCCTCCTCCTCGCCTGTCTCCCCGCCGTCCACCCGTCCTCATCCGCCTCCAGCGCCAACTCCGACTCGGGCTCTTCCCAGCCGAAACCAGAGCCCACGCCCATCAAGGCGCTCTACATCGTCTCCTCCAAGCCCTTCCAGGAGGTCGAGGACTTCGTCGCCTCCACCTCCAAGGAGTACCACCTCGACCTCGACCGCTACACCACCAAGATGCGACCCGCCCTCGAGGAGTACCTTGCGAAACGGCCCGAGCTCAAGGCCATCTTCATGGGCACGCGCCGCACCGATCCGCACGCTGAACAGCTGACGCACTTTGACGTTACCGACAAGGACTGGCCTCAGTTCATGCGTGTGCACCCCGTCATCGACTGGCACTACGTCGAGATTTGGGCCGTGAGTTCCCCTCCCTCTCTATAACCTCCTCCCCCCTGATGAAACACCATTTGGGCGAGGCACGGCCATGTCGTGACATGGCGAGTCAAGACACAACGCTGACGAAACAACAGTTCATCCGCCATCTCGAAATTCCATTTTGCGAACTGTACAACCAAGGCTTCACCTCCCTTGGCGGTGTGACGGATACACGGCCCAATCCGGCCCTGGCGGTTGGCAACGATTCCACCAAGTTCCGACCCGCGTACGAGCTCCGGGACGATTACGAGGAGCGCCTTGGTCGAGACCGGTAGAGTCTCGTCCACCAAGTTAACAATGAGACTCGACGACATCGACAGTGCGTATGTGAACAAGGGAATATGAGCTGGGTGCTAGCGAAGGTTGAGCACAAGTGACCAAAAATGCCGAGATTCGACAAATCATTCGCACGTGGGTTCGAGCAGAGGGAGCAACGGCACCAATCGGACGCCCAACATCCCGGGGCCGATTCCAGGCAGGACTCCCACATTGGACAGCAGCGGCCACTTCGAGCGGATGGGCCGTGTGGTGGTGATAGAAGCATAGGGCGGATGTGGTGCCAGTAAGGCGTTTTGCTCATGTAAATATAGATGTGCTTTCAACTAGACCATTCCACAATACAGGCGTATGCGGTTTTGGGGTACATTCAACCATCTATCTAGAATCGGCAACTTGTCAGTTCCTGAGAAACCTAACACTGTAAATACTAGCAAGCCTGTTGTTATGCCCAGCGGTGCACAAATTCATCTTTCTTAATACTCTTGGCCCCTTTCTTCACATCCACAGCGTCGAGCTGCTCCTTTACCTTTTCCACCTCTTGGCCGAGCACGTGGATCGAGCCTTCAATTTCCGGGTCCACGAGCCTCACTTCCTCAAACGGACTCTCCGCAAGGATGCTGTCTCGCAGTAGCTGAATAGCCAAGCGCGCATCCTGCAGCTTGGAAACAGTATTAGCCTCAAACGTCTCCTGGGCGTTCCTGGCGACGTCGTTGGCCTTCTGGGAACGCTCGGCGATGACTTGGGCGAGGTCCGCTGCTTGCTCTTCCGTGGTGGCGTCTTCCGGCGGTGGCAAGGAGAGGGCAATGTTGCGCAGGAGGGCTTCCATTGCGGGTTCGTCTTGGATTCCAGACGAGCGTCGGCGGTTGCCACGACCGGATATGTCAGTGTTAGAACGCATCCGGATTGGCGCCGGCTTTCGAATGGGTGACGCGGGGAGAGCCTGCTTGACTGGTTTTCTAACAGGAGATATCGGGGTTGATGCCTCATTTTTGGCCGTAGCGAGAATCGCAGCCGCCGCATTTTGGTGCGAATTCAATGTTTCGACGCGGCCTCCGAGCAGGTCTACACGGTCTAGCAGATAGTCGAGAGTTTCGTTGATCTAATGATGTTAGCGAGAGCGAATGAGTTTCCATGAAGGTGAGGACAAACATATGTCACAGCCGTTGCTGAACGGCGCAAGCTCTGTCCGCTCTGGGAGTCAGTAGACTGCAGTGCAGGCTCAAGATGCTCTTGTTCGGCCGACATCTGAGCGACGGGCAGGATTTCAGAGTAGAGCGACTCAAGCTCCTCCTCGAGCGCCTTGACCTCATCTCCGCTGGCAGGCTTGCTCTCCCCTGCGCGGTCAGTTGCGACAACTGCCTCGAGATAGACCCTATCGAGTCTAGTGCGGAGCGTCTCTACGGTAGTCTTGATGTAACTATTGACAATGTTAGTTATGAGCTCGGGCAATAGCGAGGGAACAATTACCGCATGAGAATCTCTCGAAGCTTCTCAACCGTCTTTTGCTCCTCAGGGTCCCGTTGGTCAAGCTCCCAGCCAAGCTTTTGGAGGCTGGATAGGAGCTTGTCGTCTGAGTGGAAAACGCTATCCACCGTCTCATTGAGGATCGTCCGCACATCCTTTGTCTGCTGCTCCAGATCGGCGACCCGATAGCCGAGACTATGTGAGAGGTCCTCCACCTAACATCTTGTGTCAGCTGACCTGTCATACTTTGGACGGGAGCATGTTACCTCAGCAGCGAGCTTTTTGCGCTGAGACTCGGACTGGCGTAGCCGGGTCGACTCAAGGTCCCGGCGCTGAGCCTCGTTCTCGGCTCGCTTCTTGACGAGGCGCGAGAGGGCGTCTTGCTGTTGGCGCAGGGTCTCTGTTTGCTTGGAGATTGTAGCGGTGGACCGATTAAGCTCCTCGATTGCAGTCCGGATGTCCTCTTCGTTGACCGCCTGCACCTCGCCCAGGTCGTGCGCGTCCGCCAACACGTCGACCTGGCCGCTCCTGTCGAGGGCCGTATATCTAGCAATCAACCACCGCGGTCAGCAGTCTGCAACAGTCAGTCCCCGAGACATGCCTCGGGGGGTGTCCATTCCACGCTTACAATGCCAGCTCATCAGCCGTCAGGAGGTGATCGGACGCGAGATGCATGTTCGCCCACTCGACCAAGGCGGTGCCGCGATCAGGGTCGGCCAGAGCCCGGCGCACGTCGTCTTTGGCAGCATGGACGCCGTACGTGCGGGCGGCCTTGACGAGCAGGGCCTCGGCATGGCCGCTGGGGCCGAGATCCATCGTGGTCCTGTGGAATAGCGAGGTGGCGTTTTCCCGTGATGCCTTGGGCGGTTGCACAAGCACTGAATCCTCAGCCACTTTCCGGCATCAATCCAAAAGCGGCTGCGAGTCGCTGGCCTAGTGGTACGGACGCGAGAAATAAGATGTATGCCCAAGTTCAGATGAAACAGAAGATGGGCTGATGGACTAGATTGGGGTGTCAGAGCTGGGTTGGACGGATTGCGGCAGAGGAAACCCACGATGTCTGGGGATGTAGCGTAAGGCCGAAACCAAGAAGCTGTACGTGGGGACGCGGTCTGAAAGACGATCTGAGAGACAATCTGAATCAGGCTTGCACGTCAAATGAGTGCCAGGTCTCGGCTGCCGATGTTGTTTCTCGAGTGCAAACGACCTACTCCCTTGCCTCGATCAAACAAACAGAAAACAAAGCATCACACGTCGTTGCGCCAAGACCCGCGACAGCTTTTTGGCGGTCAGTGACGGGCGCACCCATTGGAGGCCCGACGCCCCAGCGGCACGCTACAGCGCATTAGTGGCCGGCTGTCTCCAGCTGGAAACCCACCGAAACGGCTGCACCAGCTGGTTTGGTGCTCCACCCGCCTGGACGACGGGACCCTCAGGTGACCAACCCCCTGTGGTTTCAGGGGCACGGCTCGCACTGTCGCTGCCATCCACGCCGAGTGGCTGGCGGCCACTGCACAGGTCCCGATCTGGAAACGCCTCGCGGGCACGAACGACTGCGGGTGTTTGTGCTCCAACTTGCGCCTCAATACTTCGCCATACCCAAGTTGTGCCAGCCTGAACCTCAAGAAAGAACATCAAACGCAGAATCAATTGCTTCATAGCATTTCCATTACCCAGCCCTTCCCCACGTCCCGTAGCAAAATTACCTACCGTCGTTAACACGCCCCCATCTTCCCGTTAACAAGCTGTCCCACGTCCCTCAACGTCTCTGCCGTGGCCCAGGGGGTCTATCAGATCTGTCTCCGTCCGCACCGCCAGTTTCTCTGCTGTCCTTTCTCTGATCGCCTGCTTCCATGTTGCTGTTCCTACCTCTAAGCGTTGTACTCAACCCGCGGGGAATATCGACTGCTGTGTTTCTCTCCAAGTGCGAGGGGCGGCCTTGGTGCTAGTGTCATGATGCTATTTCGAGGCCGTGTTTGCTCCCCAGATGACATGCCGGCGTTTCACTCGATTGGATTGGCCAGCAACACCCATTTATCAACACGATACGAACCATGGCCAACAGATACACGTCGATCGCCAGGGCTCCCTATGCAATTCCGACGGCACATCTAGGACGGAGCCGCCAATTAGGACCTCGAGGCGGGTATCTTGCCGTCCCGTTCCCGGAAACGTGTATCTGGGGCACCCACGCACAAACAACTGCGCATAGGCAAGTTTGCTCGACGCGGGTACTTTGTTGTCATACATTGGTCTGTTTCTGATGTCTCTCGGCGAAGGGGAGTGGCTCTCGGCTCTCCCGCAGAGGCCTAGGCTGCTTTTCCTCCACTCAGGGCCGGCATCCTACATGGTCGAAACTGAAAGATATCTGAAAGCACCTGCAGACATGGCAGCAAAAACGCCAACGAGCCTCCGCTACCCGCATGGATCCCTTCTGTTTGTTCCCCTTTTGGCAATCCTCGCAGCAGCAATCCGAAGTCTTCCACCGCCACCGCCATCGCCAAACACTCCCTCGGCAACCCGCTCTGCCCTCGCCCTCGTCCATGACGTGTCAGGCACCTCCTCATCGAGTCTCAGAAGCTCTTTAACCCCGTGTTCCCAAGCCGCGAGGTACGAGGACATGTGTAACGGCTTCGCATCGTCTGGGACAGCTGAGTTGCTGCTCTTGACGACCTTTTGTCCGTCATCTCCCTCGTCGTGTCGCATACACTCCGTTTCACAATGACAGCACCCAGGTTCAACGTCTCTGAAATCCTCCGCTGTCTACATGGCTGTCTCAGACACTCATATGAGTCGCTTCGCCCGGCTCTTGCTAGTCTCGGGCAGCTGTCGACATGGCCGGCGGTGATGCTGTTTCAAACCGACCGAGACAATTCAACCATGGCTGTCTCATCGAGTATCTGGAGACGGCGGCTGGTGAGAATCGCCCAAGCGATCCTTGCCTTCTTTTGGGTTGCCGTCATCTACCTGGCGAGCGAGCTCATTATCTGGGGCCTGAGTAGAGCACTTGCTCCAGTGAACCTAAGCTTCTTCTCTTCCATCTTCGGAATGGCCTTGACCTTCACAGCAATGGCGATAGCCTCTATATGGGTTCAGAACATCGGCGACATCTACAAAGGCCATATCAAAGAAAAGGTGCGCAAGCTCCAGGGCCTTGACAAGCTCCCTAGTGTTGACACAGGTGCAGATAGATTTCATCAACGCCCATCTCGGCCTAGGCTTCCCCATCCCACTGGTTATGCTCAACCAAAGCGACATCCTGAATGCCCATGACATTGCTCGAATAATTGGGAACTTTGGTTGGTCTCTCCCACGCGTGGGCGGATCTATGACTGACTTTGTTCCAGTCATAACGAACCTCGCGTCGTGGATGGTTGTGTTCGGAATGTCACTCCTCATCATGAGCTCAACAAACGCAGCATCTCGAACTTCGCAAGAATTCTGCGATCCCCAACCAATGATGACGACAGCGCCCCAACTCGAAATAACCTGGCCTTCTAATTCAACCCTCGAGCAGTCTATAAATGTGATGAACAGCGGTCGTGAAAAGACCAGACGAGGTTCAACTCCGTATCAAGAAGTCGAGTCTTCCGCCACCACAACACGGAGGTCTTCAATCGACCAGTGCATGAACGACAATGCCGACGCTTCCCTCGTGTGGAATTTCTTTACTTCTTACTTCCCCCTTCTGGCCTCCTTCTTCAGCATCTTCCTCATCGGAACCCCAATAGCCGCTGCTACCAAGGAGGACCGTGTGCTTGACGGCTGTGTCCTGTGGTTCGTCTGGGCTGCTAGCGTCCGGCTCCAAAAGAACTTCAAAATCTCGCTATTCTTGCTATCTACTCCAAGGTTAAAGAACGCCTTGGTGACCATTATGAACCCCGTGCTCATGACGACTCTCCTCATGACGGCCTACACAAGGGGCAAGGCCTCCGCTTACGGCTCTGCGAGCCTCCCAGAAGTCTTGCACATCTTCAGCAGCGGCACGCCCCTCTACACACTCTGGACATCTGCTGTAACATCGATACCCCTTCCAGCTGGCACGACAGCCTGGTTCGGCGCGGGCGACGCAGCCCTCTCAATCCTCGAATGCGGGATCCTCATCTGGGGCTTCAAGCTATACGAGTGCCAGCGCCAACTATTCAGCTCCGCCGGCCTGTTGACGGTGCTCATATCTGTCGCTGCGGCAGCTGGAAACGTGTTTCTGTCGGTGCTGTCCGGGCGGACCTTCGGACTTGCTACACCCGAGGCACTTGCATTCGCTGCTCGGAGTACGACTCTAGCGCTGGCGAAACCGGCCATGGCAGCGGTAGGCGGAAACTTGGGCGCGAATGCCGCGCTGGTCGTGAGTAACGGCATCTTAGGACAGTTGATGTATCCTGTTGCCCTGGACAAGCTGGGCGTGAAGGCGGGGAGGGACAGCATCTCATCACAAGACGGGGTGAGCCCGTCAGTAGCTAACACACAGGATTCGCATCAACGCCACATATCTCACTCGAAAGAAGAGGAAGATTTCACGAGCGGAGATGACCCAGTCACCATTGCGGCCGGAATCGCAATTGGAATCAACGGGGCGGCGATGGGAGTGTCATATTTGTATGAGACGAGGAGTCGCGCAGCCCCGTACGCCGCCCTGGCCATGACGGTGTTTGGGATCATGACGGTTGTCTTTACGACGGTTGAGCCGTTCAAGGGGGTGCTTACGGGCCTTGCGAGCCGGTGATACTGTTGAGCATGGCGGAGCTCGTTCTGTTTGATATGCGTTGTGTGGCATCTGTGATAGCGATGGAGTGGCATTGGAATTTGAAGGGTTAGAGCTACTTGAGGTGGTCCTGAGGAACATACGCGAGCAAAATAGGTCAGGTTCGATGTTAGTATTCAGTAACTAGTTATTCAGAAATCTCCGTTAAGGTCACCAAGTCATGGAGTAAAAGAACCCCAGGTCGTAGAGTGCAGCCAACAACACGTTATATTCATGGCTCATTGACACAGACAAAAGTCAACAGCCCTTCACCTTACTTTTCGGGATATCGGCGCCCGCTCTCACACTATCTTCAGCTAACACCATGCACTATTCGTCTCATCTCTCTCAAGGCAATCTATATGCGGCACTCAATTTAGCATCTCACTTGATATTACAGCGGCAGAAAGGGGAACGGGTAAGGCTTACCGCTCAATCAAGTGCAGGCCACTTGCTGTCTCCACCACGGAGCTCATCTGGCCAGGCTGGAGGCTGAAGGCGGCGTCCTCAAACTCCTTCTGCATGTCGCCCTTGCCAAAGTATCCCAGGTCGCCACGCTTGCGAGCGGATGAGCAATCGGACTCGGTGAGGGCCAGCTCGCCGAGGGTGATGCTACCGCTGTTGATCTTCTGCTCATGGGCCTTGATAATCTCGTAGGCCTCGTCCTTGGAGCGGGTAATTTCGGCCTATACAAGTCGCGCGCAATCGTCAGAACATAGTTTCGGCCATTCCATGGACAATGCATACCTCTCGCCAGCTGCTCGGCCGTCGGCTCTCGCGGTGCTTGACCAGCAAATGGGCGGCGCGGATCTTGCCCTCAGTGGCATCCGGAGCGTCGCCCGGGCGGGTGCCAGCGCTGTGGTAGGCAGCCATGTAGTGCTTGAGCTTCTCGGTGTCGGTGCCTGACGGGGGCTCCCATCGGGAGACTTTCTCGGCGGCATTGAAGTAGTAGGGGAGGTTCTTGGAGTTGGAGTGTCGAACCTCCCAGCCGGAGGGAAGGCCGTTCTCAGCCTACGACATGGTGGGATCTCACGTTAGCTCAAGCGATCATATATACAGAGGGAGCTTTGCAGGGCTTTGAGGAGTTCTAGGAATGCGCCGCGAGTGCTGGAGGCAATGGGGTTGATCGCGGTGGCCGTGGCGACGGCATGTTTTGATGGGAGCGGAGGGGTCGGCCGGTTGCTTACCATGGTTGCTATGGGAGCAGGTTAAGAGGAGAATTGGGCAAGTTTGTGACAGCAATGAACTCGGCAAAGAGCAGGCAGAACGAGAGTCTCTTGGAGTCGTCTTGGAGGTCGCAAAGTATGCGGCCGAGGGATATTCGTTGGGATGGGATGTCTGCAGGTGTGTGGGGGAGAGAAAGCAGCAGACGAGAAGCAGAGACAGACCGGCCTTGTCTTGTTGTGGAGAGCTTCAGCGCCCCCAGAGCCTCGGGGCCCAGTGGACGGAGCGATGACGTGCCGCCCGCGCTGAGGGAGCGGCCCCCAGGCGCCAGGCGGGCGGGGTTGGATCCTGGGATCATCAGATGCGGGGGGGGAGGCCGCAGCGCCGTTGGCCTCCAGGTTCCTAGTTTGGGTACCTTACAGTGGAGGGGCAGCCACTGAGACAGGGAGATTGCCGCCACCACCGCTGGCGAGGCACGCCTGTACAACGATTACAGCGCGCGTTCGCTTAGCACGTTGGTACTTCATCAACTGCGACACTGTTTCTTAGTTGCAGCCATCTCGGATGGCCCCTCTGTTTTAGCACAGCCCGGAGTCCCGGCAGTTCATACTGAGCTTGGCATGAAGTCAATGGAGGGGAGAGGGGCGGGAGATCTTAATGGCTGGCTGAGCTGGATTGTGGTTGTTGCTGGCCTTGGTCATGGGGTCTCTGACCAGTGCGCACTGCGGGGATATGACGACCTGCTGCGGCGCGGCCTTGGTAACATTGTCACGATGCCCAGATGCACAGCGAGTGAGTGACATGGTGCGAGCCCTGCGGGAAAGTTGGGTGGTGGGGCCTCCGTCGGTTGCCGGGATATTGGTAATGAGACAGAAGGGTATCCCGATGATGCAGATGGGTTGAATGCAGATAAAGCTACATACAGCTCTGCATGTCGTATTGGGGCGCACTCCTACCTAGGAAGGTAGGGGAAAGATAGCTGAAGACGCCCTGAGAATAACCGAAGGGCATCGTCCACACGTGTCCTCAGCGTCAGACTGGTTGGTGTTCCCAGTCCTGACAAAAGAGAATCACCTGGTAGGTCCCGTGAACTCGAACCCCCGATAGGATGAACACCAAGTCCCGTGTGACGTCGCCAAGATACGTCACGCTTCTCTAGTAGGTACCTCTACTCAACAAAGAGCACGGTAGATTTGTAGGCTGATAGACAAGGTACCTGCTACGATGTTCCAGTAGCTTCCACCGGGACACGTTCTGCTTCTTGCCTGGTCTCCATCGTCGTCTAACTCAACTATGTGTACTCGAAATGCGGGGTGTCTAGGCTGGTGCATGGAGTTTACGCAAACAGCGGGGGCCATCAAAATTGAGAACCAGGTCTGCTGTTTTCGTGGAGAATCACTGAATTGCAGAAGGAATGCCTGTGTCGTTAGCTGGCCCCGTTTCAAGGCTAGTCCGCGGAACATACTGATCGAGCCATAAGGTAGGCATGACAACACCGAGATGGATGCGCCCGGGGTCTGGCTCTCCTATGAAGGTAACTAATAGTCTAGATAATAAGCATTAAAAGCCTCTGCAGCTAGCTGTCTGCTAACAGCTCTTGCCCGGAGAATTTTCTCAAGAGGACAGTTGTAGTGGCAATCCGTATGATCAATTATATGCTCCTTCAGCCATGACACCTTGTGTTGAGGTAGGGCTGATGTTACGAGTACTGAAGTTGCTTTTTGGAAATAAATGCATGATTGAATCAAAGATCTTGCCATAAATCGTTCATTCGTCATTTGGAGCAGACACTATGGGAAAATTGCTGATCGGTGGACCAGGCTGTGACCGTCAGTGACTCCAAGACCCGTCTTCAGGGCATGATCCACTAGCACTAAACAAATGAATCCTGCGGCAGTGCGTCTCCATTACCGCACGCGCTTGCTGGGCTCTGTGGGCGATCGCATCACAGTGTTTACAAATTGCCAGGCATCCATCCAGCTCAGCACCTGGGCCGGTGCAATAACCCCTATTCAAGGATATTGGTTGTTATCTGAGTGACTCATCACCATTTACGTGGATCCGCTGTGGCCGTGTCATCGCCGTACTCGCCTTGCCTTGCGCCTCGCCACCCAACCGCAAATCTGACAGAACAGTGAAGACGGGCCAGGGTCCAAAGTGAGGGAACCTTCTGAGTCTTCATATGACCAACCACACGTGGCCAGCGAAACGATCAGGGTGAAATCACATTTGCGTGTTCCCACACACGTTAATAATACGGCCTGTCCTCTTTTTTAGACCGAGCAAGTCTTCTTCTCTTCATACCTTTTGTGAAAAGCACATACCTGCACTTCGCCGTCGCTCTCTACCACGCACCACACAAACGCTGTAACCTAAAGCAAGGTGGCGGTGAATTTTTACTGAAGCGCTTTTCCCCCACCAAAAAACCAACCAGTGGAGCCTTACCACTACGCGCCTGTTCCCAGCTGGCAGCCAACTTATTTCCACCGCGCTCAACGCTCCTCTTTTGCGACCGAACCTTCCACCTTCACCTTCACATCCGCATCCGCGTCAACTTTCAACAACTTCACATCCAACAACCGAACAACCATCTGGATTTCGAGCCTGCGATCTTGCTTTCTGCATCTGCACCTTGTATCTGCATCTACTCACTATAGCCTGCATCTCTTCCGTCCCCGAACGCGAACTCGAAGCCATGGCTACTCCCCAGTCTACCGCCTCCGACGACGCCGCCGCCAACGATAAGAACGAGCAGATCACCTTCCGCTTCTGCTCCGAGTGTTCCAACATGTTGTACCCCAAGGAGGACGCCGATGCACATAAGCTCCAGTACACCTGTCGTACCTGCCAGTACACCGAGGAAGCCCATTCCCACTGCGTCTTCCGCAACAACCTCGACACCAACGCCGGCGAGACAGCCGGTGTCACCCAGGATGTTGGCTCCGATCCAACGGTTAGTGAACTTTCGCCTCTTCTCTGCATTGGTTGTGGCGGAGTCATTTACTGCAACACCTGCGCCGAATCCGACACAGAGATGACGGTCACCTCAACAAAGGAGATCAAACGTGAGAGCATGGGCATGTGCCAGTTCATCCTGCCATGGGGCGACGAGGACCCATTCGCCGAGTACGACGAGGAGATGATGGTCGACGAACCCGGCGACTCTGACTCGTCCGATTCCAACGACGAGTTTTGTCATGATGGTGCAATGAAAGTTGGCCTATGATTGGCTCACTCCAACATGACTCAACCAACGACCTTACAACTGTTACAACAATTTGGCTTGTTACGACATAATTAATGCTCCAAATTCATCTCGCTCCCAACTGGCACATGCTCTTGCGGCTCAAAGATAACCAGGCAGCTGGCAGTGGGCGGCTACCTGAGTCGAAGCTGGAGTGTTGCGCGTGTCCTTTGGATCTCGTTTGCCCCCGCTTAAAAGGCTTCTGGCTGACTGAGTTTGTTCTTTCTTCCGCTACAGCTCCCGCGATCCAACAAGACGTGCCCCGTTTGCAGCCATGAAGAAGCCGTCTTCTTCCAGTCTCAGCAGCGAAGCGCCGAAACCGGCATGGTAAGCCGTCACTCTCTACCAATGTTGTACGGGTAGCAGTACTAATTCCATGTCAGAAATTGTTCTACGTTTGCTGCGAGTGCGGTAACATTTTCTCTTAAGCAAGACTTTCTTGTACCGATACCCCGATAGCATCGATTTGGCTATGCTATCCTACTAGAGTGATGGAGAAGGAAGCACTCTTTGGTTTTTACTTGGCATGGCGTTAAGGGAGGAAAGGAGGGTTCATCACAATGATGCGGAACGGCATCTAGACGCATTTCAGGAGTTGAATATCACCGCTTGCGTATGGTGTTCACTCGGAAACAGGAAAGAAACTAGTACAATAACATCAAGAAAGCTGCTTCTAGCAGCATGCACTCATCACTTCATATTCGTTCTTCTGCATGTGACATGTTCAATTCGTAAAAACCCGTTTGGCTGAAAGGTGTGATTTATTTTCGCATCTCAACGCCGCGTAAATGCCTGATATTCGTAGTGTACAGAATCCCACTCGTACATAACTGCCTCCCCAAGCCTCTATTTCATGCCTGAAGCCCCAGTGCGCTTTTTACACATAGCTCATGCACAGTTCATCCACCAAGTTCCCATTCCAACCCGCTTATGCCTGCATGGGAGCCATGGAGAGAATCTTGCTCCACTTCTTGCGCTTGAGCTCAGCACCGACGGCGCCGTTGATGCGGGAGCCGACGGGGTCGCCAGCCTTGTTGAGGAGGACGCAGGCGTTGTCGTCGAAGCGGACGACGGAGCCGTCGCGGCGCTGGGTAGGGTAGCGAGTTCGGACGACGACGGCGTGGCGGATGTCACCACGCTTGACCTTGTTGGCGGCCGAGATGCCAGCCATGCCGGAGGAGGAAGCACCACGCTGCTCTTGGACGACGCAGACGATGCGGTCACCTGGGGGTGTGTTAGCTGTCGAGTATATAATGGGTTGTTCGGTTCGATTGGGTGTGGGCGGTCGGGATTGGGAGATTGGGTCGGAGGATCGAGGGCGGGAGGCGCTATATCGTACCAATTCTGGCATGTCGCTTCTGGCCGACGACGAGGACGCACTCAACAAGGGCAGCACCCGAGTTGTCGATGCAGTTGAGCATGGTCTACATGGATTAGCAAGCGGACTTGGACGGCAATTGACCAACAAACCTTTAATTGAATCATCTTGGCGGTACTTCCTCGTGTGGGGAAGTCTGAATCGCTTCTCGCGCCGGATATCCATCTCGGGATGTGACCAAAGCATGGCGTTGAACTTTTTGGACATTGTCACGTGATGCAGCTGTCTTCCTTTGTCCCCTGTTCTTTGTCCGTAAGCCGCTTGTCTTAGGTTTGGTCGTTTCCTGTAACTTTCCTGCACCAGCCGCAGGCACAGCCACAGTAATTCCGGGGGGGCGGTGTTCTAGCCGCATTGAGCAGTGAGAGCCACGCAGAGCCACCCGTCGCCTGGCCAGCCAACGCAATGGGGCTGGAATGCGACAAACTAAGCCCAGTAAATGACCCCTTAGTCCACCACAACGATGTCATTCCACTTCGCACATCACTTCTCTCCTTCAATCCCGTGAGGCCGAGTCTCCGCCTCTCCGGTACATCTCCTCTGTCGTCTTTTCCGCTCGTCGTCTCGCTCGCCGCCGATTCCGACCCGCTCGTTTGCCTGCCTCTGACCTTGGCCTTGGACATCTGCCCGGACCCCAATCTCAAGACTATGACGTTGCGGGACTGAGCTGAACCGAGTGCCCAACGCTTCGCTACACCTCGCTACGCCTGTCCTTTTCATCCATCGCTCGAGAGTTTGCATTGTTGCTTTTCCCGTGCTCGGTCCGACGAAGGTTTGCTGCTCGGCGTCCACTCATTTGCCGTCTGTTGGCTGCGCTCGGAAGGATACGTACGCTCATTTACTGCCATTTCGACTGCCTTTTGTACCCTGGTTCATTGCGGAACTGCAAAGGAAGCGGGAAATATGCCACCTCCCAAGCAGCCGGCTGCCAAGAGGCAGCGTCTGACGCTTTCGCAATTGTCTGCTTACGACGACATTCTCACCGATGCCCTGGTTGACCATGTGAGTGCTTCTCTGAGAGGGATTAGGTCGCTAGTGCACGTCTAACGCCCCCTGAAGGTCTTCTACTGGACGACCGTCCCCAAGAACCGCTCATCGTACCACCCGTCCCGTGGAGTTCGAGAGGAGGATATCGCCAAGATTCTCCAGGAGGAGGTGGCCTTAAACAAAGACTTGGCCGCCGCCGAGAAGAGGCTGCTGGCCACAGACGGTCTCAGGAGGTTCAGCAACAGCCTGAAGACGGACAAAGAAAAGGAAGACTTCAGGCGACACCTTCGACGCTACATGCAGATCTACCTCCCGGATTGTCCGTGGGAGGTCAATTCAACCAACCGATATACGATTGTCACCCACGAGGCCTCCGTCACTGCGAGGCGATCAATCAAGCGCAACGAGTCGATCAAGTACCTCTCCGGTATTCAGGTCGTCATCACCCCTGAGGAGGAGAAGGAAATTTCGGTTCGCAAGAAGGATTTCAGCATCGTCGTCAGCTCACGCAGCAAGTCCACCAGCTTATTCATGGGGCCCGCCCGCTTTGCGAACCACGATTGCGATGCGAATGCCAAACTCATGACGACGAGCAATTCAGGAATTGAAATCATCGCCACCCGACCCATCGAGCCAGGCGACGAAATCACCGTCACTTATGGAGAAAACTACTTTGGCGACGACAACTGCGAATGCCTGTGCAAGACGTGCGAGGATGGCCTGAGGAACGCGTGGGAGCAGGAGGGTGCAGTAGCGGTCAAGGGAGATGCTGAGCAAGCCAAGTCCGACGGCTACTCGCTTCGGCGGCGGCGGAGAGATGACAGTATGGGTGGCTCACGAACTCCATCAGTCACTCCCGACATCCGACCGCGTATTTTCAAGACGTTTTCGAGGAGCTCAAGGCTCAGCCAGGCCGGGGATTCTTCCGCGGCTGGCTCTCCTCCACCAAACGAGTCGCCCCGGGGCCGAAAACGCCCGCTTGACGCGCTCGCCACACCGCCCAAAACTCCCGCGAAGAGACTCAAGCATCTTGTCGTGCCTGTGCCTATTCCCACTGAGCGCTCTACTTCTCCTGGAAGCTCAGTCAGCGGAAGCGACACTTCCAGCAATGGAGATGTTGTCGAGACGGATGTGACGTCGCCCGAGAAGGAGACGCCTGAGCCCATGCAAACACCAGTGAAGGCTCCAATTTCTTCTCTAAGGCGAGAGGAAAGCGACCAAAGCAGAAACGAGCCTGTGACCCAGGTGGCGCCATTTTCTCCTCAGAGCACAGAGGGTGCAACCTCACCAAGACCAGTCAAGACAAACGAGGTTGGTCCTGGCAGGATCAGCGCTTCCAGCAGTTTGTCCAGCATGTCCATCACGGCCATTCTGAATGCCCCAACTCCTTCAGAAGCGGGTGACGAACCTGAGTCCGTGGAACCTGCGTCAGTGGAACCCGAGCCTGCGGAACCCGAGTCTATGGAACCCGAGCCTGTGCAGCCAGAGCCTGTGCCCATCGCCACTAGTATTGAGACGGTTGAGGATAGCCAAGCTGCAGACGTTGACGAAGAGCCGCAGAAGCGTCGCAAAAAGTACCAACGGCGAGTCTTTATCAAGCAGACAACTCCCCCCGCCCGAATGCGGACGCCTGGTGACTACCTCCTTACGCCGCTGCTACTGTCTGAGCCCGAAATGGCTTGGATTCAATGCACAAATTGCGTCACATACTTTGTGCAAAAGGACGCCTACTTTACTCGTTCATCATGCCCAAGGTGTGAACGACACTCGAAGATCTACGGATTTGTGTGGCCGAAGACGGAGAGGGAAGGCCCTCGTGACAAAGAAGAGAGGATTCTAGACCATCGAACGATCCACCGGTTTCTGGACCCCGATGATGAACGGAAAGTGAGAGGCCGGAAGGGCTTTGGGACTTCCAAAGAGGAAATAGATGAGCCAGAGGAGCTTGAGCGAGGGCGAAAGCTCAACCGATACACTGCGACGGGTGTCACAAAGAGGATGGCAAAGGCGATGGACGATGATCTCTCCAACTTTCGCCGGAGCCGAAGAGTGAGGAGGGAGAGCAGCAAGCTAGCTGATCGGTGACGAAAGCTTCTCCTGGAGAAGCCCCAACGTGACATAGGACTTAGACGTGGGTGATGTGGAACGGAATGCGGCGCATTTGGCGCGTTGTTGGAACTATACATTATAGGGTAGCAAGAGTTGTGCGGTACTTGGATTCCCAGCTGCCTCGGAGGCAGCGGGGCCAAGCTGGTTTTGAAGCGTGGAGGATATACGGATGACGACTAGGAGTATAACAGGGAAGTGCGTATGCTTCTCTATAATTGGCTTGCAAATAAATACCTACATATATGGATTTTTATTGTTGGCTGTGAGCTGTGTCTTTCCCTTCGGTCGAGAGGAGGGAGTTTCTAGGGTAGGACCATTGTGGACTCGCAATCTCGATGGGGAAAACCAGGACATTTTGGCCTACAATTAGAAGCTTCCACTGATGTAACGTAGAGATCGATGACATTGCTTGAGCCCCACTGCCACAATCCAAACTCATATAGCAATGAATGCAAGAACGTAGAAAACCCGGGATAGATACATGGGTTTAACCTCCCGAAATCAAGGTGTTTGTGCCTCGTTAATTAGCAACACTCCTCACTGGCGGCTTCAACTAGAACGACCAGTTCGTGTCTCTCTCAACTACAGTTCGATCAACAAAACTCACATGATCCATACGGCGTGCAGGAGTGTGATTTATGCAGGTACCTTTATGCCATGGAGAGGCTGTCATGTCTTCTGTGAATTTGGAGTCCTCGCTCAACTTGTCATCATATGTGTTTACTTTGACTTATTTTCCGTCGCGATAATGGTTTCAGGAGCTAGCCTCGGGACATGTCGCCTGCTTGGAGGAAAGGGAAGTGTTTGGATTCTCTTGTGAATCTAGGCCACGAATTTTTCCAAGTCGCTTTGGAACGAAAGAGACCTGGTCATTCAGTATGATCGCAAGATCTGTCCCCATCAGAACATAACTACGTCAGCTGAGTGAGATAACTCGGCCTATCAAACCTAGGCTCCACGCGCCGACTTGTAATAGCACGAGGCGGTATGATTTGCGGAGAGGATATTCTGAAGATGCTTCGCCGCACATGGAAGGGTTGTGGCTGGTGCTTAGCTGAGATGGAGGTGTAAGCTTGGGGACTTTGGGTAGGGGACGTGGTCTCAGGTGAGAAGGATAAAGTGTGATGGATGTCCTAATTCCCTCTCTTACTATTGTTTGCTAGAGTTATTGTTATTTTTCTCTTCATTTGGGAAAACTCGCGCCGACGTTCTGTGGTTGTCGTTGCCAGAATTCATCGCCACGGCTCTCTGTTCTTCTCGAGATGCACCCCGCCTACGTTCTGTACAACGGGGCCAAGACGGGGTTGAAGTCGAGCGTCTACAGCGTGGTAGAGAAGACATTTTCGACGCAGAAGAAGGTTCGAGACCAAGTGAGTATTGAAAATCAACCCTATCAATTATATAATTTGCTTTCATCGGCTATTAAGAGCGCGGGCTATGGTCGCTGACATGGGGAGCACAAGGTCACGGGTACCAAGGCGAATGCTGAGCGAGAAGCCGAAGAGGGACGTCGCCAACGGGAACAAGCAAGTTCGGATGCCATGTTCGAGTTCTACGGGGCGCGACCACCGCCGGGACAATATTTGGAGAGTTCGTGAAGGAAGGAGAGCGATGGGGGTGGGTGTGATTGAGATCGGTTACATCCACAGCTTGGGTTTTGGTGGGCGCCACGCTCCCTAACACGTCGGGCACATCTCCTAGAATGGAACGGGACGACCGAGCAGAATTGAGCACGCGACACACAGTTAATTAGGTATGCGCTACAGCTGGAGTATTGAGAGGGTGGATTGCGGCTGGCCGCTAGGGAGAGAATCACGGTAAAGGTCAGGGAAAGCACCGGGCACAGTATGGCCAGCGCAGGGGGGGGGGGGGGGGGGGGGGGGGGGGGGGGGGAAGAATATACATAATTGGTATAGATACTCTTTGAATAACGTCGCTGCAGATGTGTCTCAACCACTCGTCAATGGAACCTCTCTTATGTGATGGCGACATCTGCCAAGACAGTTCGAAATTGAAGGCTGTCGCGCGTCTGGTTAAGGGCTTTAGCTGGTGGTAAGCCCAGCGGGAACGGTCCAGCTTGTTCGGGATGAGCGGCCTGTCTTTGTCTGTCATTGAGTGCTGAAACAACTTATGTACGGGCAGCAGTTGTCTTCGTAGATTAGGGTTGTTGTTCAGTCTCAGGGGATCCGCTCTTGTATGCAATGCGACTGCGGACTAATTAACGTGTGATCCATACGTGCCTCCCACCGAGGACAATACAGATGATTCGTCACCAGGCGACGACATGCGTATCCCTTCCTCTGGCCTTGGATATTCGACGCCAATCACCACGCCCCAAAGACAAGCCCCAAGTGGTCCAGAACGGATCCCGTCCAGGGCAGAGCGCCGGGCGTAGTGTATGTCAAAGGATTGTGCTCGTCTGGACGACGCTGAGAGAGAGGTTGAGGAGACTCGAGTATGTCTTGTCTTATGGCTTTTACTGATTATTATAGCTACTATCGTTCCTGGCGATTATGGTTCATTATGGCTCCTGAACATTATAATTTCTGATGACTACTATAAGGTAAGGTGCAGCGAAGGTTCCTAGATGACAAAGTTTCCTAGGTAAGCAACTAGGGTTCCTGGATAACTCAGTTTCCTAAATACCTAAATTTCCTAAATCACTAAATTTCACAAGTAACTGGAATTTATAGATATTCAAATAGTAAAAGTTCTTAAATAATTTAATTTCTAATAAATCTAACTTATACTTGCAGCTTTATATTATTCACATTAATCTATTTATTAGGTATTGTAAACCCAAACCTTACTTAACTATTTGCACCTAATTTTGCCTACTCTTGCCTACTCTTCATAATTATATAGCAGTAAACAAAATGGCCCGGATCTTGGTTGTGCCAGGGGCGGGGACCAGAGTCATACCGCCATCGTCGAATATCTCGTCGTATCTTTTGCGCATGCGAATGGCATTGCGGGCGCTCACGATATGGCAGTTCTTCATGGAGGGGCTAGGCTTTCCGAACAGGCACTCCGCATTGACTTCGCCGTCGTTATACGGCACGACATGAGCGGCGACTCAATCTGCTGCGACGACAAAGATATGCGGTCCTTGGATGGTGGAACGCTTGTGCTGAGCATGGCCCACAGTTATAATACTGTATTTTCCTCTAGAATGTTATGGCAGTGATTCATATCTTATCTTAAAGGGGCACTTGTTTCTCATCTCGTATCTGGTCCCTTAGGTTGTTTTCGCTCTTTGCCTCCTTCCGCGTTTGTTCAAGATCTGATCCTGGGGCGGCGCTCAGTCTCCGAACCGGCTTCTCTTCCCCCCCGGAACTTGACTTAACCCCTCCATCCCAAGCCTCCAAGCATCTTCCTTACAATGGCCAACGACGGTCTCAGTGACGTCCCCAAAGGCGGATGGCGAGCTTCTCGCGGCTGGCGAATACCAGAATGGGTTGAGCCCGTGGTATGTATCCATATATTGGTTCTCCCGCCGCAGTCCCTCCATGTCTAACCGCAACCTATCGATACAGCTCATCGTCACTATTCTCTTCTCATCTATGTATATCACCCGCCGCAAGAACTACTCCATCATCAGGCAGAACTCGCCAGCGCGCTCACACCCCATACAAGATGATTCCTCTCGCCACAGCACACCACTACTCAACTACCCAGACGTCGAATCGCCTCGTCGCTCCCACGAGTCCAATAGGGACTCCTTCGGAGGACCGCACCCGCTCAAGGATCGCACTCTGTGCGGCGTGATGCGCATCCAGACGCCCAACTCTAGCCGGTTCACCACCAACGTCCACTCGCGCATCCTCCAAAAGTTCCCCTTCCTTATTGAGACGTGGTACTGGGGCATCAGCTTCGGCTTCTACCGCCTGACAACGACCCTGGCCCAGTGGTACTACGGCGGCCGTCGTAGCATGTGGGACTCGGCCCAGGCGCACGGCATGTACCTCTTGGATCTCGAGGCCAGCTTCTGGGGCGGCGACTACGAGGGACCCGCGCGCTGGCTAGAGTGGCGTATCCAGCGTTGGTTCCTCGTAGGCATGGAGGTTGGTGACTGGCGTGGTGTTTGGCTGACGATCCTTAACCGCGGATATGCCCTCATCCATATTCCTGGTACTGTGGGCTTCATTGCGTATTATTACGCCACGGCCCCGACGCACTCACGCTTCTGTACCGTCCGCCGCACCATGACCGTAACCAACTTCATAGCCTTTGCCATCTTCATCACGGTACCCACTATGCCGCCACGCCTGCTGCCCGAAAAGTACGGTTTTGTCGATACGGTCAACTTGGAAAATGCCGAGTCCGTGTGGATGAGCGGCGACTTTGTCAACAAGTTGGCGGCCATGCCAAGTATGCACTTTGGTTACGCGTTTTGCATCGGCGCCGTCTTCATGGCCGACAGCGGTGTGTTGAACGGCGCATACGCCTGGATAAAGCGGGCGTTTGCGTGCCAGACCGGAGACGAGCGCCTGGTAGACGACGACGACGAGAGCGATGTGAAGATCCTGGCGCAGCGCAGTGCGTTTACACGATGGGCCATGTTCGCGTTCGGCCTTTGGTATCCATGCTGGACCCTATTGACAATTGTGGCGACGGCCAACCACTACTTCCTGGACGCGCTGTTCGCGACGTTTGTCGTCCTAATCGCCTACTGGCGCAACCTGTGTCTGAAGGTGTTTATCCCACTCGAAGACTACCAGCTGTGGTTGATGAGGGTGGAGAAGCCGATTCCCACGACGGGAAGGAAAAAGAATATGGTTGTGGATTAGAGTCAGTATAGTCTATGATGGCCATTAGATATCACGAGTTTGGAAATCGACAGTCGGTAACTTAGTCGATTAATCCAGCCTAGACGGGGTAGACACTGCATTATAAATGTGAGAAAGAGTATTTTGCCACTTGCATAATTCAGCAATCGCCTGTTTGGCATTCGTTATACACAGGCTACTTAGAGACCTGGCAGCAGTCTTCAAACCTACCTAGCTTTGTTGCCTGGTCCGGGTAGCATGGAGAGCCAGTATTCGTCCTCCGTTCTCGCAGATGACGTGTAGTCACAAATGGACGAATATCACTGGGCATGGAATTGTGAATTGAGCAACGGCAGATCGACAACCCTGCATCCTATTCCATGCCGAGACGGGCGGAGCATATCATCTGACTGACACAGCAAATGACCCAGTGAACAGTGAAGCTCCTCCCAACCCCCGCAAAGCAAGGCGCAATGACGCTGCGAGATAAGATAAGAGCTGTTAGCCCGTGTGGGACCTGCGTCCGGGCATCGGCTTCCAGGGCAACGAACGAGCTAGGCCGCCCCAGCCCCAGGTACCCAGCCTCAGGTACCCAGTCGATAGGCAGGTGGTGGTACGGCAGGTGTCTCAGCTCGGTACAGTAGGTACCTAGTAGCTAGCACCTCATCGCTACTCTGCATCACAATCTCTCTTCCTCCATCTCTCTCTCTCTCCCTCTTTCTCTCTCTCCCACCCACTCTCACCACTCCCTCTCCCCCAATTCCACCTGCAATGTCCGTCTCCAAGGGCCTCGTTGTGGCCGCCGCCGCGCTCTCGGGCGTCTCTGCCCTCCAGCTCCCCCAGATCCACCTGGGCGGCTCCGGCGCAAGCTCCAGCAGTGATCTCGCCAACCTGCCCGTCATCGACACCAAGGCCCTCCAGGAGCTCATCACCGCCGACAACCTCGAGGCTCGCGCCAAAGAGTTTTACAAGATCGCCAAGCTCGGCGAGGGCGAGTACAACCACCCGACGCGTGTGATTGGCAGCAAGGGTGAGTCTATGTCCGATGGCGGGGATACACATGCAACGTTGAACATTTGAAGCTAACTGTGCCACCAGGTCACGAAGGCACTCTGTCGTACGTCACTGCCGAGCTTGCCAAGCTGGGTGACTTCTACAGCGTCTCTAAGCAGCCCTTCCCTGCCGTCTCTGGCAACGTCTTCGAGTCCCGCCTAGTTATCGGCAACCATGTTCCCAAGGACGCTTCCCCCATGGGCCTGACCCCTGCTACCGCCCACAGGGAGCCCGTCTACGGCGATTTGGTCGTCGTTAAGAACGATGGCTGCGACGAGTCCGACTTCCCCGAGAACGTCAAGGGCAACATTGCTCTCATCAAGCGCGGAACCTGCCCCTTCGGCACCAAGTCCGAGAACGCCGGCAAGTCTGGTGCCGTTGCCGCCATTGTCTACAATACCGACAAGGACGAGGTTCACGGCACTCTGGGCACGCCCTCCCCCAACCACGTTGCCACTTTTGGGCTGTCTGGCAAGGAGGGCCAGGCCATCACCAAGCGCCTCAACGATGGCGAGAAGATTGACGCCATCGCCTACATTGATGCCGTGGTCAACACCATCTCCACCACCAACATCATCGCCCAGACCCGCGACGGTGATCCCAACAACTGCGTCATGCTTGGTGGCCACAGCGACAGTGTCGCCGAGGGGCCTGGCATCAACGACGACGGATCCGGCAGCATCTCGGTCCTCGAGGTCGCCACTCAGCTGACCAAATTCAGCGTCAACAACTGCGTGCGATTTGCCTGGTGGGCTGGTAAGTGCAGAAACCAATTGATGCCCATTGAATCACTTGACTAACCCTGACCAGGAGAGGAGGAGGGCCTCCTGGGTAGCGACCACTACGTTGAGGTGCTTCCGGAGGACGAGAACAAGAAGATCCGCCTCTTCATGGACTACGACATGATGGCCAGCCCCAACTTTGCCTACCAGATTTACAACGCCACCAATGCCGAGAACCCTGCCGGTTCCGAGGAGCTGCGGGACCTGTATATCAACTGGTACGAGGACCAGGGTCTAAACTACACCTTCATTCCCTTTGATGGCCGCAGCGACTACGATGGATTCATCCGAGGTGGCATCCCCGCCGGAGGAATCGCCACCGGCGCTGAGGGCATCAAGACCAAGGAGGAGGTTGAGCAGTTTGGCGGCAAGGCCGGCGACTGGTATGACCCGTGCTACCACCAGCTCTGTGACGATCTTAACAATGTCAACTACACGGCTTGGGTCGTCAACACCAAGGTAAGCCAATTGTTCGTAAACTGCTGAGGGATACGGAACTGACTTTGCACGCAGTTGATTGCCCACTCTGTCGCCACTTATGCCCTTTCTTTCGACGGCTTCCCTGAGCGCACCGATGAGGAGGTGACGGTGAGCTCGTACGACAAGAAGGTCAAGTACCACGGCAGCAAGCTCATCATGTAAGCTGATGACTGTTTAAAGGCACACGTTGCCTTGATGTGCATTTTGGATGTTCCTATATTTGTTGTTTTGCATTGCCTTGGCTATTTGGTTATTCCTGGATCTAATTTGGTAGGATAGAATGATAGAATGAATGAATGCATCCTGAAATAAGAAGTTGTATCCCACAAGAATAAAGAAGGAAGAGTCCATTTGCCATAACAGGCAATGTCGTGCGTGATATCAAATGTACATGGAAGAAATACCCTCTATACACCTTGGCCTAACAATGCTATAATATTTTCCCAAACCCTAAACCTGGTAGAGCAAACTGCGGAGTGCTGTGAGCCGCGAACCTCAAACCAATCTCAGTAATAAATAGACGAAAAAACTCCTCTCAATGGCGCACACGTTCATTAAGTTACCTCGCTGCCCCCGACGTTATGTGTGTTTGTGTTTGCACGGTGGACATTTCCTTTGTCTCCCAGCTGGATCCTGGCGGGCTTGGCGTGGCTGATGGCGATCGGAAGCTGGCCTGGCTGAGGACGGAACCTCCACCGAATTCGTAGCCGGTCTGCGGCGCGTAGGCTCCGGGGTAGAAGTCGCGGTCGCCCCTCAACTCGCCGGCGCTGACGGGGAGGCGGACGTAGGAGAGGAAGGCGGTGTCGGCGAGGGTGTAGCCGGAGAAGGTGGCGGGCCAGCCGGGAACTGATCGGGGGGTGCGACCCACTTCGGAGTCGGAGGGTGGTGGGGCTGCCGCGGTAGCGAACTTGGCGATGCCGGATGGATGGGCGGCGGAAATGCTTGGCAGGGGAGCAGCTGCGGATGCGGAGGCGGAGGCGGAGGCGGAGGATATGGAGGCGGGCGGGGAGGGCGAGGGTGACATGGCGGCGCCGGCGTACGAGGCGCCCATTGGCGTGATGCCGCGCTGCATGCGCGATGCGAGGCCAATGTTGAAGGTGAGGAGGCGGGTTATGCGGTGGGCGAGTTCGTCGCGGCTGTTTTTGGCGTCGGTTTCGGCCGGGCTGTGTTACGAGGTGAGTTAACCATGCTGGACGTGAGTGCACCGCCCCTCGGGAGGTTCGGGGGGGTATTAGGATACGCGTTCCCGGGTTGGGGGGTTGGGGGGTTGGGGGAGGCGTACCAGTTGATAATGGTCATAATCATGGCAATGGACAGGTTATGCCAGCGGATACGTGCGCACAGGGCCTTCATGCGCTTCTCATAGCGGCGGCTGGCCTCCTCGGGACTGGACCTGGCGGCCTCGGCCTCGACGGCGGAGCACAAGGCGTAGAGCTTGGAGAAGGCGAGGACGGCGTCGGTGAGGGTGGCGACGAGCTCGTCGACCTCGATCCACGAGGCGCGGCCGGGGAAGGGCACCTGGCGGGACTCGAGCAGCGAGAGCGTCTTGTGCAGGGCCTGGATGGACGAGCGGCTCTCCTTGACCTCGCGCAGGGCCAGGTTGAAGACGGCGGTGGCGGCCTTGGGCGACGTGTTGAGGTCCCAGAGCACGTCGATGGCGATGCCGCTGACGGCGAGCAGGCCGGCGATGGCCGCTGTTGCGGGCAGGCCGTCCATGTGGGTGGTGGGTTGTGGGTGAGGCTGTGGACGATATAGATAGGGAGCAGTATGTCGCAGGATAGATAACGTAGTAAGTGGTTGTCGTCGCGGGGTGGTCGTTTGTAGAGTCTCTCTGTCACTCTGTCTCTCTCTCTTTCTGACCCTCTCTTGGAGCCCGTCTTGTCTCTCAACTCGAATTTCACTTGCTTTCTCTTTCACTCACTTCAAGCTGCGGGACCGTGGACGATGACGGAGAGCAGCATCCTCACCGGACGCAGCAGGGGAGCGGGCAGTAAATGGGGATGATGGAGATGGGCATGGGGGACGGGAAACCGGGAATGGAGATGCTTGGCGTTCCGTCCCGGGCACTTGAGAATAAAAGGGCCAGGCGGCATGCGGCATGCCAGGGCGTGGCGGCGGGCGGCAAGGCGAGTTGCAGGGAAATCGGCACCGTAGAGAGGAAAAAAAAGAACGAGCACACGCAACGAACGGCACCTGGAGCCGCGGACTTGGGGGAAGATGGGCGGCTGAGCGACTGAGCGACGGAGCGTCAGAGGGTCGAAGAAGCCGCACTTCCGAGACAGCGCAGTGCGGCGCACCAGCGAGAGGCTGCGCTTGGAGGCGGCCAGGAGCTTGCTGAAGCCGGGAGCCGAGAACGAAACGAGCGCTGGAACAAGGGCCCCCCAAACGCAAAAAGAGAGAAGAGTCGCGGGCGTGACGAACGAACGTGGTTTGAATTGGACGAGAGCGAGAGTGTGACCTGGGGTCTAACTACGGATACGTCTACTGGTGCTGGGACTACTTGGGGGAGGGGTGTGGCCTGGCGCCGCGCGCGCGGACGGCGAAAGCTTGCCGAAGAATGTACGACGACACGACGACACGACGCCTGATGGGAAGGGGGGGCAGTCAGTCAAGCCAGTATTAGGTAGACAGACAGTTCATTCAAGCTGGCGGCGGCTTTGACACGACAGCCGCTTCCCGCAAAGGAAGGGGGAGGGATTGAAGCCCCGCAGCAGCGCCAGGAGGGAGGGGACAGTCAGCGGAGGATGAGCCAGCGGACGAAGAGGGGAGCCAGCAACAACAGAAGCTCACGACAGATAAGGACGAGTGACACTCCAGGCGAGCAAAGGAGGATTGCGCAGACAGGATGAGCAGGTCAAGGCCAGTCCAGAAGGTCCAGAGGTGTGGATGTCGCCGTGCCGACTTGCCGGGGGTCGATTGGGCGCGATCGGATACCGGCACCGCCGCGGTGAGATGATGCTATCCCCCACTTATAGGGGCGCTGTTGGACGACGCCCTTTTTTTTCCCAGCGCTTTTTTATTAGTCTTTTCAGCGGCTTATTTCCATTTTCCCTTTTTGCTTATGGCGAGGCTTGTGTGCCGTTTTCCGTTGCTGGGGGCTTAAAACAAATGCAATTGATTTCGAGGCGGCGGCGGTTCTGCGGAGTTTGGCGTGTTGGGGGGACCCGCTCCGTCACGGGGGGTGGGTTTTTGCCGAGAGAGAGCCGTCTGGAACTCTGGTCTGTTCTGTTTGTTCTAGTTCTGGCCGGTGGGGGGGGTAGGGAACGAATTGCGTTGCATGAATGCAAATACAGATGGAGGAAAAAAACAGAGAGGAGGTATTTCCCTTTGGTTTGAGGCTGAACGAGTGACTGCCGGGTCGATTGGGTGTGGTGCGTATGCCGCGTTTCGTTGGTTTGGATTTACATCAAGCGGCTCTCTGCCTCTCTGCCTCCGTCATGCTCCTGGCTCTCCTCCGCGGGTGTGTCTCAGGCTCCAGCACGGCTAACACGGGATCGCTAGCCTGGCTTTTTTTCGCTCCTGACCCCATCTATCCCCTGGGGGCGGCGGCGCGCAGGAAATAAATCCCCCCAGGTCCCCGCCTACGTCCGTCTTTCTAGTCTACCACCCCCGGTAATTGAGCCACCGAAAGGGCAAGCCCCACATCCCGGGCCTCAGGTCGGGTTTCACTCTGTGCGTCGGTGGCCGAGGATCCCTCTAATTTTGGACGAGGATAGCGGGCCTTTTTTTGGAGCTTTGGCGTGGTGACGTACATATGTACATAGTAGGGACGGGTTCCTGAAGACGAGGGTTTGGCCGTGTGTGTCGCATATACAGGTAGTGAAGTGAGTCAGTCAGTCATTCATTCATCAGCCAGCCAGTCAAGTCATCCAAGTCAGCCCTGCAACGTTAAAATGGCACTATCGAATCCGCGCTCAACGCCTCGCAACGGTGCCAAGCATTTATTCCCGGTTAACCGTCCTGCCCTATCCTATCAATCGCACGTCGCGACAAACATACAATACAATTCGCCCTTTGTGCGACTAGGTGACTCCAGACTGCTGCGCTCGAGTAACACGGCATTGTCATGGTTCCACTCTCGACTTCCCCCCCTCGACTTCCCACCCTTTCGTTTTGACTTCTCCGTCGGCCTTCCGCAACTCCTGCGCCGCTCCTCCGCAGTTCCCCCTCGGCTTGCTCGTTACTTATACGCTAGAACCAATAATCGAAGGGCTAGAACTTAGAACCAGGGATTGTCGCCCTGCTCCCGCCGCCGCTGCATTTTGCTCTGGATATAGTCCTCCCGATCCCGGTGCAGGTCGTCAAACTCGTCGTCGAGAATCTTCAAAAACACCTTGGCGATGGCTTCACGGTCGCACTTCCGCCGCTCGCCCTCCAGCCCGTCCATGATGTAGTACAGCAGCGTCACGAACCCGGGCTCGATCTCCTTGGCCGCCTCCGGCCACCGCCCGCGGTCCAGCCGGGCCCTCCAGCTCCTGCGCGCCTCGCACCGCCTGCACTCGAGCTTGTACGGGGCGCCCTCGGGGATCGTCGGCCTCATGGCGGGTGCGGCAGCGACGGCGGGGCCATCGGATACCGGGACGAGGTGGTTACGAGCGCTGGGCGTGGGGCTGCTCGGGACTTGTGCCGCGAACATGTTGCACATCTTGCCGCACTGCCGACACGAGAGCTCCAGCCGGCACGTCGGGCACGACTCGGGCTGCGAGGGATTGCGCCTGCGCTGCTCCTGGATGGCGTGCGTGAAGCACGGCCGGCAGAAGATGTGCCCACAGGGCGTGTAATGGCACGTTTGCCGTGACGACTCTCCCTCGTCGAGCGGAGGCTCGGCGAGGCCCGCGACGCTGAGGTCATCCAGACAAATGTAGCACGAGCCTTTGACTGGCTTCCCCTGCCGGATATGGGGCACCAGGTTCGGCCAGAAGGACTCTGCGACGGGACCTTGGTCTAACGGAGTTTGGTCTGGAGCTGACTGTTCTACGGGAGATTGTCTTGCAGGAGACGAAGACGATCCAGAAGCTGATGATTCAGAAGATGATGATTCAAGAAACCATGATCCAGAAGCAGACCCTCCCGAGAGATCATGTGCCTGCTCTTCCTCTTCCCCTTCCCGCCCATGTTTCACTCTGGACCAGTTGAATGTTGGTGCGTAGATTTCTTGTAGAGTCTGCCACGGTTCCTCGACCCGGAAAGCCATTGTGCTATTTATACTTCCCTCGGTACGTTACAGGGTGCTGATATCGAACTCCCTGTCTGAGCGGCCTTTCTTGAAAAGCTGTCCGGAATGTGGTCTTCGGTGTAAATTGACGTGGCACGCGTCCTCGTTCTATCTTGAGTAAAGATTATTATATGAATTACCGTCGTTGGTGTTGTTCTCGTCCCTGAAGGGAAACATGCCCCGAACATTCAGTCATCATGTACAGGTAGACGGAACACTAACCAAGACAGTCACTTGGTGTTCTTTGTCTGGTTGATATCCAGTCCAGAACAAACCTTGCACTCACAGACCTGTTATTATTCTTTAGCTTTGTTCAATGCCATATGTTCGATCAAAGCCATAGGGGCACGCGCTCCCAGTACCAGGAGATGTAGGAACTCGACAATAGGGTTTTCGCGCATTTACCTTTGTCGAGTCCTCAACTTATCCAACCTGGCTACAGTACAATAACGGTGCTACCCATGGACAATGGCCGCACTCACAGACCTGCCATCATAAGCCATTCGGTTCGCAGTCAGTCTCCTCTCGAACTTAGGACGGTAATGTCTTGATGTGTTCTTTTGCAATTGACCAGTCATGTACAAAGCAACCCGGTCAAAAATCCCGACGGCATTCAAACCCTGCCACCGCCCATTATCCGACTTTGAATTCTCCTTCTACTTGGTATAGAAAAGGAAGAAAGATCAGTCTTCGCAATCGATACCATGAGACCAAATGCCCCGAATGCTCAAACGCGCAATCCACTAATATACAGTTTTGCTACAATGCCGCCAAAGGCCATCCCATCGCGCAATGTATCGATTTCCGGTGTTCGTCCAGCAGAATAACTCTTTACCGGAAAACGAAAAAAGAAAGCAGGAACGCCTATTGCTAAGCCATCCAATACGTTAGTACCCAATCCCAGCTGGTACGGACGTCCCATATTAAACCTCGCGAGCCCCGCTGCTATGACGAGCACGCTTGCGGTGGCTGCTTGACGCGGGGTGCATCTTATCAGTGCGTTCTCGCTTGAGCTTGTCGTCCAAGACACGAGCTGGATATTATTAGTACCGCGCTGACTTCTTTGAAGGGGGGAAGACATACTGAGAACATCGTATCCGAATTGAGGGTGCTCCAAGCATAGCGACTTGAACTCCGACTCTGCCTCGGCCCGCAGAGTGTGTGATCGTGTCGCCCAGAAGCTTGCGACGGGAGCGCGGATAACGGTATCGTCGTCGCTGGTGTAGGCATACACGTAGCGGGCGTAGGCAATCTCGCCCTTTACGGTCGAGTTGACGCAGTGAATCTTAGAGCTGGCGAGCGTCTTGAGTCCGGGCACGCCAAACTTCTCAGCCAAGGTGTAAACTCGCGCGTGTTTCAGCAGCTGGTCGCCGCTGCCGTCGACCGAGGGGACCGTGGGGTCGGATTCGAGAACTCGCTGGCCGGGGAGCTTCTTGGGGAAGTATTCGCCGGTGTAGAGGTACTCGAGGAAACAGCCGACAGCGCCAACGTCAAAGTCTGTGAGCTCAACCTCGCGTGGCTGTGCGGTAGGTGTTAGCAGTGGCGCGCAAAGCAAAGCCGCGTGTTGCGCGCCTGCGAAAGGGACAACTCACACTGCCATCCTCGACCCAGGCATCGAAGATGTCGCGGAAGTAGGGGCTCTGGTTCAACAGCGCTTGATGCGCCGTAAGAACCGCCTTCTCTCCATCAACTGGCCCAACAATCAGGGTGACAACTGGACTCTTCAGGTACGTGGCAAAGGAGATGCGAGGCTCGACGGTTTCCGTGTCGGCGTCTGTTTTCTCGGCACCGTTGGCATCCTCGGCAGTGTCGCCGCCCTCGCCACCCTCCGCACCCTTCGCGAGTTCAGTTGTCTCGGTCATCTCGACGTCGGCGCCCGCATCGGTCGTCTCGTCGGGGACGGTCTCGTGAACCTGATCGTCGGCCATGTTCGACACTGTGGTTTAGTCGAGCTTGAAAGACGCGTCTCAATGATTAGGGTTCAATTAAGGACGAAACGAAAGACGCGCTTAAACGAATGAAAAAGGAATGAAGGCGTGGGCTGATGGCTTTGGCGAAGCTCCGAAGCTGGGCGAGCTAGGTGAAGTCTGTTGGATGCAGGTTGCTAGTCGCATGCAGGTACCTCACTAGAGCTTGTTGATGCCTAGGATATTAGGCCTCTCTCGCGTCATGCGACGGCCAAGACATCGCCCCGCCGGTTCCTGGACGATAATATAAGTGCCTAAGGCTTAGAACTAATTGCTGATTTAGATGACTTAATAGATGATTATATGGTGGCTTTTGTTGGTATTAACATACTATGAACTTGGCACTAGCCTCTTTGTTAGCCTGTTGGTTCAGTACCGCGTACTGATTTCCTCTAATCCACCACCTTTCCATCTCCCGATAGTAAGCCAAAGTTCAATTGATACAAATAGAAGATTTTCTATTGACTCAATCCTTTGCTACGATCCATTGAGAACTTCATCCACCTGTTTGAAGCTTTGTCTCATCTGCCGTCAATGATTCCGGCATCCAGACCTACCCTATACCACTTCCGGTTTCCATCCCGGTGGGGCCTCTGGAGACGGACGTGCCCCGCCCCCACCATCCTTTTCCTTCTGACTGATCGAGTCACCTCAATTGGCAATCGGCAGGAGCACAAATTCCCCAGCTGGGCCGATTACTCACCGATCGACTCAAGCTCTTTGACCCTTTCTTCTCCATACACCAAACAAAGCCTCAACAACCTCTGGCTCTGCAAAGATGAACGGCCTAGCCCATGTACGTACTGCCATAACTGCTTCACCTGTTACTCTTACGAGAACCTGGACTGACTTGCACCCGTCGCGACTTCAGCTCGATATACGGCCATCCGTCGCCGAAGCTCGCGATGCCCTCAACCAAGCCTGGGACGATAGCAACCGCCCTACCCTTGTCCCCGTTTGCGCCTCGAGCCCCGCGGATCTATTGACGCCCTCTGCCATATACCTCAAGCTCTCGTCTGGGTAAATACCGTTGCGCTCTCGACAGTCCTGGACTGACTCTGACTCTTCCAAAGTGCCACGGCCGAGTATTCGTTCCTCCTCGAGAGCGCTACTGGTAGCAGCGAAACCGTCGGACGCTATAGCTTTATCGGCGCAAGTAAGCTTTCTACCAGACCGAAATATCCCAGGGGGCCATTAACATCTGATCACTCTTGCCAGATCCCAGAAAGGTCTTGAAGACTGGCCCCGGATATGATCACAGTGGTGACCCCCTCCGCACCCTGGAGGCCGAACTATCCCAGCACAAGGTCCTTGATATTCCTTCACTCCGAATCCCCAAGCTCTCGGGTGGAGGTGTTGGCTATGTCTCATATGACTGTATCAAGTACTTCGAGCCCAAGACTGAACGAGCGCTCAAGGACAACCTCCAAATCCCAGAGGCCCTTTTCATGCTCTTCGACACCATCATCGCCCTCGATCATTTCCGTTCGACCCTGACCATTGTGACGCACATGGCCGTCCCCCAAAACCCTTCCGACGACATCCAAGCAGCCTATGACGAGGCCTGCGCAACCCTTCGAACCACCTTGGACATAATTCAACAGCCTGAGGCGCCTCTCCCCGTACAGAACCTTAGCTCACAATCGAGCTCTGACCTCCAGTACTCGTCAAATGTTGGCCGTCGGGGATATGAGAACTTCGTCACCAAACTCAAGGAGTACATCGTCAAGGGAGACATCATCCAGGCTGTGCCCTCTCAGCGCTTCTCTCGAAGCACCAACCTCCATCCGTTTAACATTTACAGGACTTTGCGCACCTTGAACCCCTCGCCATATGTATTTTTCCTGTCGTGTGCCGACTTCTACATTGTCGGTGCCTCGCCTGAGTGTCTTATGAAAACGGACGGCTACGCCCCTCTTCCGGTCGACCCTCGGTTTGGTTACAGCGTTGCAGAGGCGCGATCACGACCCAGAATCGTCAACCACGCCATTGCTGGTACAATCCACCGTGGTCGCAACGCCGCCGAGGACGACGAGCTCGCGGCTCAGCTTCAAGGCTCAAAGAAGGACCGTGCCGAACACGTTATGCTGGTTGACCTTGCCCGCAACGACGTCAACCGTGTCTGCCACCCCAACACTGTCAAGGTCGATCGCTTGATGAGAATCGATCGTTTTTCTCATGTGCAACACTTGACCTCAGAGGTATCTGGAGTTTTGCGTCCTGAGTGCACGCGCTTCGATGCGCTGCGATCCATCTTCCCTGCTGGAACAGTCTCAGGTGCGCCCAAGATCCGTGCCATGGAGCTCATTTACGATTTGGAGCAAGAAAAGCGTGGCATATATGCTGGTGCTGCTGGCTGGTTTGGATACGACATTGTCAGGGTAGACGACTCCGACAAGGTTGACGCTGCGGATCGAATCTACGTTGACGAAGGCCCGATGGACACCTGTATCGCAATTCGAACCATGCTTGTCAAGGATGGAGTAGCATATATGCAAGCAGGCGGCGGCATCGTGTTTGACAGTGACGAGACTGAGGAGTGGATGGAGACAATGAACAAACTGGCAGCCAACCTTCGATGCGTTGAGTTATCAGAGAAGTACTTTGGCAATGGCGTAAGCACCAAGTCAGTCGAAGAGATCATTGCCGAAGAGAGGAGGAAGGGAGAGGAGGAGATCAAGGCCGCAGCCCGGAACTGAAGTTCTCTGGCATGACTGCATGGAATAGCCTGGTAAAAGTACGATTTTTTGTTCAGTGAACATCTAAAAAGAGAGGAGTAAACAGGCGCGATTGTGTGGCATCTGAAAAGTTGAACATGAAGGCCTAGATATCATTGCTTCATTGTTATCTCTATAAAGTCTGCTTTTTATCCGCCTCGAAACGTCTCCTACGAAGACACCACAGAACATTATATTTGGAACTTTCTAATCACGGATCAACTTTTTACTCTACTCAGCTACCTTCATGAGATAGACATGTCTCAAAAGGCGGGTTCTCAACATTACCAGGAAAATACCTGGCCGACTGCACGGCATCAACTCATATGCCGGCCTGATGAGGAGCCTCGAGTCACTTGTTCTCACTGCCGTTTAGCTGTTGAGCACGGCAAAGAAGCAGGCGTCGTCACATTTTGCGGGCATATTTTCCATCTCGCGTGCCTCATTGACATCGAAGGAGGTACTGAGTCGCCTTATACATGCCCGGTTTGCAAAGTCCAGAACTGCCACAGTGAATGTGGATGTCCTGCTACGCGTGTAGAGCTCCCTTGGACCGATACCGAAGATCAACGGGTACCAAAGACCAAGATGGAAGGGGCCGAACTTTCTGCGAATTGCAAAATGCATTATCTCTGGACGATTTTGCGGGACATGTGCATTCAGACGCACCGAGCGTTGCACACCAACGAAATTATGCACGAGGACGCGCCATTTACCATGTATGCGACCGACGGAAGGCAAACTTGTTGGATGTCTCAGTTGTCGTTTTGTTTTGACTTCGAAGTAGACTTCGCCGGCCACGATTCCAGCGAGGTTGACATCACTTGGCCAGCACAGCAGAAATCGGGAGGGGTGAATCGTGCTTGGTCAGGCTTCGTGTTTGAGGACTTCAGGCCGAAGATAAAAATCTACACAGTGGATAAGCGACCGGATGTGTGTCTCGAGGCCTGTTGGACCTGCTCCAAGTTGGCATGCCCCAATGCCCCGGCCCGAAGGTCGTAGGAGAGATCATCTCATGTTCAGATGCCCCGGCTGCCCGTGCAACGCGGCGTCGGTCGATAGAACACTACAGGATCGAAGGCAAGTTGTGCTGTTCAGAGAAGACAAAGAAATTGTAATTAGCATGAGTCAATTGAATCCAACATGGCTAGAACCATATATGAAAGAATTTTATAAATCCTGTACAAGTCTTTGTTCTATGCGAGAGTATCTGATGAGTGTTGTTTGTGTCCTTGGTTGAACAACCACCTAACAAAGGATTTGTATAATGGATTGTTCAAGAAAATGTCCGAATGAAGCAATGCTGTAAAATGAAACAGAAGAACAGTGTGACGAGCAACTGGATACTTCTCTGGTATTCAAAGTTATAAGACTGCTGTTTGACTGTTGTCAGTCCACGTAGGTAAACCAAACAAGCAGCGCCGTAGGACAGAACAACCCAGGGAACAGACTGACACCATCGAGGACGAACCAGTCAACGTGCAACTGGAAAGATGTCTGATGCCGCTGGTGACCCGGGATCTTCTCTTCTAAGCTCAGCGCCGTCCTCCCCTTCTCTACCACCTCCCACCCCTTGTCAGTGTCCCCGGTGTCGCCGGTGTCGCCGGTCTCGCCAGGGTCGTATACCTAGACAGTGTCAGATGTGCCCGGAAGCTCGGCGGCTTCAGCAGCATTTTAGACGATTTCAGTCGTCCCGACGGTCATCCTCAGCCTCCGCCCAATCCCCTCGGCCTGCGCCAGCTCCCTCACCTCCAGCTCCTCCAGCTCCTCCAGCTCCCTCACCTCCAGGATCTCCAGGTCCCCAACCTCCAGGTCCCCCAGGTCCCCCAGGTCCTCCAGGATCTCCATCTCCTTCACCCCCACGATCTCCCCCACCACAGATCACAGAAGGATACTGGCCGGAACTGAAGCAAGTTCTCCTGGCGGATCCGACAGGCCTTGATCGAATGAACATCAGATGCCCTATATGCCTTATAGACATGGACGGTAGGGAAGTCCCCGACCCTCTTAACAGGGAACTGGGCCATGCCGCGAACATAGCCCCCTGTGGGCATATATTTTGCATCCCGTGTTTAGTAGGATTGGAACGGCAAACCAACAGGTTCGACCCCTTGGTCTGTCCCTTTTGCTTATACTGTTGGGAGCATAAGGTATGCCGGCACTCAAGCCTCGGATACCCATTGGGGCGAGTTCAACAAGTCGAAACCGTGCCGACGCATCTAAGACAGCCTGCGGACGAGTGCGTGGTATGCGTGTTGTCTCGTTCCGCCGACGCTCTGACCGGATTCGCCAGGATCTTTTATGGAAACGATCTGCGGGAGGTTCGAAGTCAGCTCATAGGAGTCTTAGTATCCTACAAGGGCCTCCGGTGGGATGCGCCTGATACATCGTCGATACGCGAAGCACCTAGGACTTTGCGCCATTTGGAAATGGTTGAAAGGATGGGAGGCATGGTGCGAATGTGTCTAGAGCAGCTTGAATTTTTTTTTCGAGACAATCGGCTTCTGATCGATATTGAGCAAGTCAGGTTTGAAGTACGCCTGTATGATATGACGGATTTATATCCGGATGTGGACCGGAACGGCAATTTTGCCATAGCAGGTAACCTGTGGCGGGACGAGGATGAGCCGTAAAAGAGCGGCATTGTTGAGTACACTCATTTAGGCAGGCCTTACAAGATGAACTGGACCAAATATGCGGTGTCCGGATATTTAAACAATTCAAATTGAAGCACAAATCTAGAAGAGATGACGTGAAGTGGTAAATATTGTAAGGGAAGTGTAGAAAGCTCTATTGAAGTCGTATAAGAAGTGTGCTATAGTGGGAGGTGTAAGTTCGGGATGGGCGTTTCCCATTCCAGAAAACTGGGAGAACTACGCGCTCTCAAAGTCTAGGATCAAACCGGGGAGGAGTTCAATGGCCTTTGGGCTCTGATTGGTCCCCAAAAGGGTCAACCTGATTTCGGACTTGGTGTCGTTGTTTACCAAGGCCGATATGAATACCCGGTGGGTGCCCTGAGTCGCACCAGAATGCACGTCAAATGACCACCCATCCTCGGCGCTCCCCGTCTCTTGACCGACGGTATGAATGGCGTCGTAGACTGGCTTCAACGTGGAAGAATCCTCCTCAGACAAGAAAACCGTGACTTTGGAGACGCCCTGAGCTTTCGAGGCGTGCTTTGTATGCTCCAGCCGTTCGGTGCCCTCTTGGTACGGCACCCGCAAGTGTCGTGGAGTTCGATCGAGACACCAAAACGGGGCATCGCCTGGCCAGACAGGGTTCCCCGCTGCGTCCTGAGCCGATGCTACGGCCCATTTCAAAACGGTCTGGTCTGGCCGAACCCGTCCTCCCGCGACAGGATCGATGTAGGTGACTCCCGCGCCGCCCTCTCGGACCCGTTGCTGGACCTGGCTGAAGTCGGCCTCGTCTGGTAGAGTGTATGCCCAATCGATGATGCGCCCCTCTTTGAGGCTTCCCCAGCGGTGACTGCGCCGCCGGGCTGGATCAGCGCCCTTGTTGAAGGCAATCAACTCGAGATATGTGCCGTCGGGGAAGATGACCAGCTTGTTGACCGTCAATCCGTCGGCGTGCTCGCCGCCATGGATGATGGTGAGGGCGTCATGGAGACGCTTGGGCAATTCAAAGAGCTCGTCGTACGAGACTAAGATGACGATGTGATCCAGAATAGGCCGTGGGCTTGATTTATTCGACATTTTGACGGATGGAGTGCGAATATTTACGCTCTTGAGTTTACTTGCTTCGATGGTGAGGGGTAGCATCGGGAGTTTGATCCGAAGACATCGCGTCACGCATTGCGTGCTTGTTGATACCATTGCAACATCCTGCGACTTGTATTAATCAAATTTACTAAATAACAAGTCAATTCATGCTTTTTTTTTAAACGATTCTGAGTGAGAATTCCTCATAGTTTACGCTTTTGGTTCAGAATTGGTTCTTTTTGGAAACTCCCCCGTACAACGTTACCTTGTCAAAAACATTGCTCGCCTTCAGCCTGAAAGTGGCTCACAGGGTTATCATTCATTTCCGGAAACCTCGTCGCGCCGATTTCCGATATTTCCGTGCCGTCGATCAGATTGAATAGACCAGCGGCGAATTGGTCCGAGATTACCACACCAACATGCTCCCTAGAGGTGCAGCAATTCAATCAATCGTTTTTTGACCCAACCCTGTGATTAAAAAGGGGCCAAGGACAAGCCGGCAAGTCTCTGTTTTCCAGATTGACTTTGATCCATAATTTGGGCTGAAATGAAGATGTCCCGTCCTGGGCCATCACCTTTGACTATCCGTGTTTAAGTGGCCAGTCCTCGTCAACGCCAACCGGAGAACATGCCTGACTGGGATGGCAACACCTTCGCTTCCAACACACGTTGCTGTCATTCAGTTCGGTGACCTGGAAATGGACCTGGACCTGGACCTGGCTAGACTCTTGCTCGTGACTCCTCATCACATGCCGAGCGGCGACATGGGATATTGATATTGCTGCATCATCAACTATGCCGATTTCGACTCGATTGCTTAAAGCGTCCCGCATGCTGCTGTTGGCCATCCCCTGTTAAGCGATGGCCTTGGTTGTTAGCCTGTGATCCATGCCGAGATCATCCAAGCGTCCAGTTTCCCCGCATCTCGGCCTCGTCGATCGCCAACGTTGTGCCTTGCATCCCTGCTCTCGGATGGTCGGCCCTCGACATGCTGACCACTCGCAGCCTGTCGAGCCGTCTTCCCCTGGTAAGCCACCATCGTATTCGGTGCCTCTCGCACCGTTCCTGATGCTACTTCCACATTTAGAGCGCGCCGAGGCCGAGGAAAATCTGGGGAAACATTGGCATCTGATTGCATTTCCCGCTGGGCGTGGCCAACACGGGCCACGTTCGACGTCGTCCAAGCCATTGACCCCAGCCAGTAAGGCGCCCATGTTGGGCTGGGGAATATCCGAAAACGGTACACTCGCCGGGAGCGTGTATCCTTGGTTCAAGATCGCGATCGTGTCTTTAGGCTGGCTGCTGCCAAGTTTGATCGTAGCCTGGGTCACGGAAGGGGCTCGCTTCCTTATGCCCTGCTCAGGAGGAGACTAATAACGGACACCAGATACTATGAATCTGTCTTCTAGGCCTAATAAATCCCAACTGAGAGTGACACTACAGCCAAGTTGTCAGAACTGGAGGCAATGTCCGAGTTGGGTCTCCAAGAGACGCATGTTGTCAGATGGCCTCACCAACCTCGTTGGATCTCCTCGGAAGTCGCCTTTCATAGAACAAGCAACCATCACACCCTTGCTCGCCTTTCCAGCCCAAATAACTGACACCGTTACACTCCTGCAATGACAGGGGCTTCGTTGGTTAAAGTTACCTGTAGGATCACATCGATCCTCAAAACGGACGCTCTCCGTCTTCACGAGCCAATCGACTCCTTACTAGACCCTCCACCATCTGAACAGAAGTACCTCCGGCCGGACGACATCACCACTCTGGCTGAAGGCAGGTTCAGATGCAGACCTAGACGACGAGGGAATTGAGGAAATAGAGTCATTAGACTTCTTTGGGAGTGGCAATGAGCTCATAGTATTGGCATCACCCTGGTCAAGTCATGCAGAAGGAATTACCATGAGGGCCAGAAATCATATGAAGAATCCAGGAAACAAGCTCAAGGCCGAGGCTCCCCTCCGCCCCAAGCCCTGCCCTGCTTGCTTGCTGGAGTATATAGATGAGGGAACCTGGGGAATACTGATCTTGGTTGTCAGGCCTCCCGAGCATCAGCCACCGACTCTTAATTCCGAGTCTTTGGTCGATTACTGCAAACAAGTTAGCAGTCTCAGAGCTTACAACGCCTGGGGTCGTCAACACCCTGCCAAAATCATGAAGACCCCCGTGGGTCCTCTGAGCCTCTTGGCGCTCGTTCAACTCGTTACCGCCCAAAAGGCGTGTCTGAGCCTTACGACTCTGTTCCCCGACTGCGCGGTATGTCGCTCGTGTTAAAACCGCCTCGATTCAGACTAATTCCTCTAGTTCCCCTGCGTCGTCTCGGCTGGTTCAGCAGTTGGTTGTACCGTGTCCACAGACCTTGCATGTAAGTCAATCGTGTGAAGCCTCTGCCGCGCCTAAGCTCATTCGTGTAGGCCGTTGCGACCCAGCTAGTTCACAAGCCATCCAAGCCAGCGCTGTAGGATGCGTTCTTGCCGCCTGCACAAAGGCGGGTGAGCTAGGTAGCGCCTTGGCTGCTGGTCCTGCTATCTGCGGATGTGCGGCGACGGCTGTCCCAGACGCAACCACCACGAGCGAAGCGCCTCCAGCAGAGACAACAACTGATGTAACTACTACGTCTGAGGCACCGGAGACGACAACCGAAGCTACAACTACCGCGGAAGATACGACCGGCCCGATCACTACGACTGCTTCCGCTGGAGACAGCACCACGACTGCACACTGTGACTCGGAGAGCCCCTGTCAAGCGAGCGCCGATGTTGTCCCCAGCTGCGCTACTAGCTGTATCTCGTCCGCCGCTGTGACTGCAGCTGGATGTTCCTATGGTGACTATGAGTGCCAATGCTCATCTACGGCTGTGATCCAAAACGCGGCACAGGATTGCGTTATTGGTGACTGTGGTATCTCCGGGGCTATCGACGTGCTCAACGCCGTGGGCGGCTTGTGCGAATGTGTCTCGGCCAATCCAACTACACCTTGCACCGGGACAGCAACCGAGCCTCCTACAGACACCACGACACAGAGCGAAGCTACCCAGACGACAGAAACGGAAACTGAATCAGAGACTCAATCAGAGACTCAATCAGAGACTCAATCAGAAACTGAGACAGAGACTGAGACCACAAAGACTGACAACCCTGGGCCAACCTGCAAACCCGGCACCACAGAGGATTGCGGACCTGTGGCTTCCTCTGCGATCCCATCCTGCGCTCACGCGTGCTTTTCAAGTGCCGCGCCGAACATTGGCTGCGGCGTTGACGACTATGCCTGCCAATGCGGCGCCGAGGCTCAGGCTTCTCTCTCACAGATCCTCGTCCCCTGCGTCATCACCGCGTGCGACTCTGGCGATCTTCCCGCCATCATCACAGGCGCGAGCTCTGTCTGCGCTTGTGCAACTGCCGCTCCTCCTGCGGGCGACTGCACGACAACAGACGATGGGACTGCGACTGCGACTGAGACTGGGACTGGATCGGCGACGAAGCCTCCTACTTACAGCAACCCTCCCGCAACGGAGACCGGCGGGACAACTACGCCCTGTCCCGATGCGACGACTCAGGACTGCGGCCCTGTTGCTACCTCGGCTGTCCCGTCTTGCGCTCATGCCTGCTTCTCTTCTGCAGCCCCGAAGGTCGGTTGCGACGTCGACGACTATGCTTGTCAGTGCGAGGATGCGGCCCAGGCTTCTCTCTCTCAGCTTCTCATTCCCTGCGTGGCAACAGCCTGCGACTCCGGAGACCTCCCCGCCGTCATTACCGGCGCTAGCTCTGTCTGCGCATGTGCGAATGCCGATCCTACTGGTGGTTGTGCCACAGGAAACCCTCCAGGTGGAAGTGATACTACTACCGCTGAGCCTACTAAGACCGGCGGATCTGGAGGTGATCACAGCACCACCTGTGCTGACGCGACTACTCAAGACTGTGGCCCTGTGGCCACCTCAGCTGTTCCATCATGCGCTCATGCTTGCTTCTCATCTGCGGCTCCAAAGGTCGGCTGCGCTGTCGACGACTATTCCTGCCAGTGCGAGGATGCAGCCCAGGCTTCTCTCTCTCAGCTTCTCATTCCCTGCGTAGCAACAGCTTGCGACTCTGGAGACCTGCCCGCTGTTATTACTGGCGCCAGCTCTGTCTGTGCCTGTGCCAACGCCGGTCCTACTGGCGGCTGTGCCACAGGAAACCCTCCACATGGAGGTGATACTACCACGACTGTTGAGCCTACTAAGACTGGCGGATCGGGCGGCGATCACAGCACTACTTGCGCTGACGCGACTACTCAAGACTGCGGACCTATTGCCACCTCGGCTGTCCCATCCTGCGCTCATGCTTGCTTCTCCTCTGCGGCTCCGGGCGTTGGCTGCGGCGTAAACGACTATGCTTGCCAGTGTGAAGCAGAGGCCCAGGCCAGCCTATCCCAGCTCCTTATCCCTTGTGTCGCAACAGCTTGTGACTCCGGAGACTTGCCTGCCGTTATCACGGGTGCCAGCTCTGTGTGTGCTTGCGCTCAAGCTGGTCCTACTGGCGGCTGTGCCACAGGAAACCCCCCTAATGGAGGGCATACGACTACACCCGTTGAGCCCACCAAGACTGGCGGATCTGGCGGTGGCACTACTTGCGCCGAAGCAACCACTTCCGACTGTGCCCCTGTCGCCAGCGCCGCCATTCCTTCTTGTGCCCAGGCATGCTTCACTTCTGCCGCACCCAGCGTGGGTTGCGATGTTGACGACTACGCCTGTCAGTGCGGAGACGAGGCACAAGCGAGTCTTTCCCAACTCCTGATTCCTTGCGTTGCTACCGCTTGTGACTCTGGCGAGCTGCCCGGTGTCATCACTGGAGCCAGCTCCGTTTGCGCTTGCGCTACTGCTCCTCCATCAGGCGGCGACTGCGGAGGATCTGGTGGTGGTGGCGGCGGAGAGCCAACGAAGACGAACACCCCCTCGTATCCCACTGGCGGTAGTGGAGGCGAGGGTTCAACTTGTGTTGCTGGACCTCTTACCTCTGCGGATTGCGGACCTATTGCTTCATCAGCTGTGCCATCGTGTGCCCATGCCTGCTTCTCTTCCGCAGCGCCAGGCGTTGGCTGCGGCGTGAATGACTATGCTTGTCAATGTCAAGCAGAGGCTCAAGCCAGCCTTTCTCAGCTTCTCATTCCCTGCGTAGCCACAGCTTGCGACTCTGGAGACTTACCTGCTGTGATTACCGGCGCAAGCTCTGTATGTGCCTGCGCTACTGCTCCTGCTTCGGGTGGAGAGGGAGATTGTGGAGGATCTGGTGGCGGCGGCGGCGGCGGCGGCGGAGAGCCAACAAAGACGGGAGACTCATCGAAGCCAACTGGCAGCGGAGAGGGCTCATCTTGTGTTGCTGGACCTCTCACATCTGCAGACTGCGCATCTGTCGCTTCATCAGCGGTCCCGTCTTGCGCTCGTGCTTGCTTCTCCTCTGCGGCTCCAGGCGTCGGATGCGATGTGGATGATTATGCTTGCCAATGTGAAGCAGATGCTCAGGCCAGCCTCTCTCAGCTCCTTGTGCCTTGCGTTGCCACTGCCTGCGACTCCGGGGATTTACCTGCAGTTATCACTGGAGCAAGTGCCGTTTGCGCCTGCGCGACTGCTCCGGCTGCTGGGGGCGATTGCGGAGGATCTGAGCCAACAAAGACAGGAGACTCCTCGAAGCCCACTGGCAGCGGAAATGAGGGCTCAACTTGTGTTGCCGGACCTCTCACGTCGGCAGACTGTGCACCTATTGCATCCTCAGCTGTTCCTTCGTGCGCCCACGCTTGTTTCTCCTCGGCGGCACCTGGTGTTGGCTGTGGTGTTGATGACTATGCTTGCCAGTGCGAGGAGAAGGCTCAAGCCAGCCTTTCTGAGCTACTCGTGCCATGTGTTGCTACAGCCTGCGACTCTGATCAACTAGCTGGTGTTATTGCCGGTGCTAGCTCTGTGTGTGCTTGTGCTACTGCTCCTGCTTCCGGCGGCAATGACTGTGGATCTGGCGGTAGCGGATCTGGAGGCAGCGGATCTGGCGGTAGTGATACCACTTGCGTTACTGTCACCAAGTCTGGAAGCGGTGGAGAGGTCACCAAGTCTACTTCATGCTACCGCGCACCGGGCGGCGGAACTCTGACGACGAAGTCCAGCCCAACGGCCAAGGGTGGTGAGAGTGGGACCGAATCCGAGGCGGCTTCGCCCTCTGAGACTGGGCCTGTGGTTGTCAAGGGAAGTGCCGCTCGCTTCGAGATGGGCATCGTTGCTGGAGTGTTCGGCGCCTTCTGGCTTGCTGCTGTCGCCTTGTAGATGCCGAGAGATGTTAGGAATGAATGCTTGGCCTTTACTTAATACTGTATATATATCTGTGTTTTTTTCTTTCCCGCTACATCCCGCGGGTGGTCGGCTTGAGCTGGACTAAATAAACCCGAAAAAACACAAGGAACTGCAGAGAGTCCCTGCGATTAATAAACCACTCCTTAAGTTAGCTTTAATGAATTAAAAGAGAAATCTAGTTGATTGGGATCATGTTGATTGCTGACCGGAAAATGTGTATGTCGACCAAAGCCACACCCATCATTAATCGATTGATATTGACCTGTAGCTGTGTTCTCATTCTTTCAGCCCAAAACCCTTGCTAATTAATATGGAAGGGCCATTCTAAGGCTGGTTCTTCGAGTATGGGGATGTGAGTACCCTCTAGAGTACATATACCAGCCGTGCTAGTCGTCCAGTTACCTGCTGGTGAGATATAAGCGCTTACGCTGCTACACTGTTTCAAGATCAGGCGACATCAGCGGCGGCTGGGTTTAACGGCTAATATCCATGGAAATAAGAAAACAGAGCATGATATGGATTAATAATGAATGATGCCGACACTTCAATGCCTTGTGCGGAGCGGAGATACGTGGCGTCTGGTGGGCGGAATTCCGACGCAACCGGGGTTGGCTAGGCTACATGATCCTTCGACGATAATGGCGGACTTTGGTTTTGTGGCTGAGGAGTAAGACGCGGGGCCGTCGCTCCATCCTTATAAGCCGCCGGAAGTCGGCGATTCTAGACCTTTGAGCTTCATCCATAATTGTCCCTCGCCAAGTCAGCATAGTACCGCAAAACCCAAGTCCAAATCGCCACCATGTCGTCGCTCTATCAGCAATTCGTCCCGGTGCTCATCAAGTACCTCAAGAACCTCGGGCTTATCCTTGAGAAGGCCGAGAAGTTCTGTGAGGAGAAGGGGATCAAGCCCGAGGACATGATTACGTATCGGCTCATCGCTGACATGCAAGGGTAAGAGAGAAGTAAAGACCCGATTGTCCGCAATAGTACTGACCACCAGCGATAGCCTGGCGTACCAAGTTCGGTCGTGCTCAAACACGTCCAAGTTCTCGGTGCATCGCCTCGGTGCACCCGACATCCCCGTCTTTGAGGACAATGAAGAGACGTTCGAGGAGCTTCAGTCTCGCATAAAGCGCACCGTTGAGATGCTGGAGAAGGTCGACCCAGAACTCATCAATAGCAAGTTGAATGAGGAATTCATCATGGAGACCAAGATGGGCAACTTTCGGTTCCAGTCGGGACAGCAATACATCTCCGAGTACATCATTCCCAACTTCCATTTCCATTTGAGTTCGGCGTACTGCATTTTGCGGACGCAGGGAGTGCCGATTGGGGCATTGGATTACCTCAACGATGTCTTTGTCAAGGTCTAGGCTGGACGGTCCGCGATGGAATAATGGGGCCGATGTGGTTGAATGGAGATGAGGGTATGCGGAACTGGAGGATATTCTTTAAAAGGGGCCGGGCTTTGTCCGTTCAACAATTTCCGCTTGGGGGACAAAACCTTCTCAGCGAAGCACTTGCACTGAATATACCCTCAATACTTGGCTTCTCGAAATCCCGACCTGATTTTTATTAATTAAAAATGGTGATCCACATAAACACGTTGGAAGATTCTCCGATATGGGCGGCGACACTCGCCCACGTCCAACGAGTCATCGACCGCCTCATCGCAAACAGCCCTATCTACACCCTCTTACTCTCCTCCATCAAACTCGTCGACGCCCAAAAAGGCACTGTCACCACGCGACTTGTCCTGGAGCCGAACCACGTGAACAGCAGAGGCACGCTCCACGGCGCAGTCTCGGCTACCATCATCGACTTCACCACCGGCCTCGCCATTGCGTCGTGGGATTTGCGGGAGACGACGGGGGCCAGTGTGGACATGCACATCAGCTATCTCAGCACGGCTAAAATTGGCGAAACCCTCGAGATTGTGTCGACGGCAGACAAAGTCGGAGGAAGCATGTCCTTTTCGACAATTCGCATCTCAAAGATCGCCGAGGATGGAACAAGCACGCTGGTCACTCTGGGACAGCACACTAAATATGGGAAGAACCCTGGGGCTGCTGCATCTCAACCGCCAACAGCATAGATGATGTCAAATGGAATAGACTACAACAAGACTGTCTCTTTGTGCTCTTAAATTTCTTAGCTTCACATGGGAAGATGGATAGAATACTACAAAGTCCTCCCAGTCGACGAAGTAATACCCCCATCTACCACAATCTTTTGACCAGTAATGTACCTTGCCTCATCGGAAACTAGGAACAAGGCCGAATTTGCAACATCCCATGCATCACCCATCTTGCCCATTGGCACTTGGTTATTTCTCGTCTCGCAAAACTGCTCATAACCACCCAGTAACGGGAACCGATCTGCCAAACTCTTGGTGTAAGGGGTGTCCATCAGCCCTGGCACGACTGTGTTGAGTCTCACGCCCTTTTTGGCGTAACTGACGGCGGTGGCCTTGACAAATTGCATGATGGCGGCCTTGGTAGTGTTGTATGCAATCTGTGGCTTTCCGATGTATCTCATGCCCGCGATGCTGGATACACACACAATGGAGCCTCCAGTGGCCTGCTTTTCCATGATTGGAAGGACGTGGTGACAGGCCAAATAGACGCTCTTCAGGTTGATGTCCATCTGCGAGTCCCAGACCTCCTCGGACATGGTTGCAGGGTCTCCCGGTTGAGACTGACCCACGTTGGTCAAGAGGATATCGATCCGGCCATGCTTAGCCATGCAGGCATCCACGAGGGCTTTCACAGACTCCGAGTTGGTGGCATCGGTCGCGACAATCTCGCATTGGCCACCTTCAGCCTCAATGGCTTCTCTGGTCTTCAAGGTTGAAGCGATGGTTCTGTTACCACCAAAGATGACAGCTCCTTGTCGGGCAAATAACACTGCGCATGCTGCTCCAATGCCCCATCCTTCAGTTCCTGTCTGCCCCAGTCCAATGACTAGGGCAACCTTTCCCTTCAAACTTAGCATTTTGAGTTGGAGTCAAGTTTTTCGAAATTATGAAATAAGCAAAAAGAATTCGGATTTTTGATGGAATTGTACTTACATGGGCATGACTTGGCTCTAGCTTGGCTTTGAGCACGTCTGTGATCGCATCGTTCCGGTCGAGTATCGGCATCACTAAGCCGTCGGAGTGGTTCCGTCGGGATTTTCTCCGTCGCGGACATTTCCCGTCTGCACGACATCGATCACGCCTTGCAACTTCAGTATGTAATACATAATTACTGATAGGGCAATTAAAGCCTGAGTCTTGGTGCCTGAGTCTTGGTGCATCATTCATCGTGCAGCATTTCTCTTGTACAACTGCGCTTGGCTTTGTATTAGTGAATCCAACATGGCAGAGACGCAAGATCAAGAACAGACTGTCAAAGTCAACATGGATTACGACCTCGACACTCCAATTACCTCCAAGGTCGGCCTTCGCCAAGGTCTCGCCTCTTATGGAGATCCCCACTTCTCTCTCTTCCTGCGCAAGGTATTCATCAAAGCGCTGGGATATAGCGAAGATGCTCTGTCGCGACCAATTATTGGCATCGTGAACACTTATTCTAGCTTCAATCCATGTCATGCCAACATTCCTCAGCTGATAGACGCCGTGAAACGCGGCGTTCAACTGAACGGCGGCCTAGCTATTGATTTCCCCACCATAAGCATCGCTGAGTCCTTCTCGTCGCCGACAAGCATGTATCTTCGAAACCTCATGAGCATGGATACGGAGGAGATGATTGGCGCTCAACCTTGTGACGCCGTGGTCCTCATTGGTGGTTAGTACACTGATCTCGACTGCGGATACGATACTGATGTCCTGTTCAGGTTGTGATAAGACCACTCCTGCCCAACTAATGGGAGGAATATCAGCGAACAAACCAATCCTACATCTTGTGACGGGCCCGATGATGCCCGGAAGCCACCGAGGTGTCAGAATTGGCGCTTGTACAGATTGTAGAAACAACTGGGCCAAGTACAGAGCCGGGGCTATCGACATTGAAGACATCTCTGCTATCAACGACGAGTTGGCGCCCACAGTAAGCACCCTTTCTGAGCAGCGCCTTCTACAGCCTAGAATCTAACTCGGATTGACAGAGTGGAACTTGTGGTGTGATGGGCACCGCGAGCACAATGGCGTGCATCCTTGTTGGACTTGGAATGATGCCCTTTGCTGGCGCCTCAGCACCAGCAGTCTCGTCATCCCGGCTCCGCATCGCAGAGGAAACAGGAAAGCATGCGGTGGCTGCCACCACGAATCTTGACAAGCTACGACCGCAAACAGTTTTGACCCGCGAGTCGTTCCTCAACGCAATTACGGTTCTCCAAGCGATAGGAGGCTCGACCAATGCGGTTGTGCATCTCATGGCTATCATCGGACGGCACCCAGAGGTTGCGGGCACCATCGACCTTGACACAGTTGACGAAATTGGTCGTAAAACGCCGCTGGTTGTCGACTTGAAGCCGAGCGGAGACAATTACATGACGGATTTCCACAATTCTGGTCAGTTATCCACTTCCATCACTCACAGTCAACATCCATTAACGCCCGTTTAGGCGGAATGCTTGCGCTCTTCCACGAGATCAAGCCTCTCCTATTCCTTGACGCCATGACGGTGATGGGGCTTACAATTGGCGAGGAAATGGCCCGGGCGTCTTATTCCGCTGTTCCACGAGAACTCAGTGTCATCCAGCCGTTCGACAAGCCTCTATACCCAGCGTCATCTTTGGTTGTGCTTCGGGGCAACTTGGCTCCGGGAGGCGCCGTGATGAAGGCGAGCGCGTCAAAGTACAGGCATCTCCTAAAGCACTCTGGGCCTGCTGTCGTGTTCTCCAACTCAGCAGACCTTGCAGATAGGGTAGACGACCCAAACTTGGATGTGACGCCTGACAGTGTCCTTGTGCTGCAGAATATCGGCCTGGTTGGTAATCCGGGAATGCCAGAGGCTGGATTGATTCCCATCCCGAGAAAGATTGCATCGCAAGGCGTGTTGGATATGCTCCGGTTGTCTGATGGCCGGATGAGCGGCACGGCGGGCGGAACAATCGGTCTTCACATTTCGCCCGAGGCAGCAGACCCAAAGTCAGTGCTTGGTATCATCAGGGACGGCGACATCATCACCTGCGACGTGGAGGCGCGGGTTCTTCGAGTCGCGCTCTCTGATGAGGAGATACAGGCGAGAATCAAGGAGAGAGCTCAGCAAGTCAAAGAAAAGAAGTTGCCGTGGGAGGCGAGGAAACGGATTAGAGGCTACCGGGGACTCTTCATGCGGAACGTCAATCAAGCTCAGAATGGGGGCGATTTCGACTTCTTGACCGCTGCAGGGCCTGATCAAGAGGATGAGTCTTAGGAACTGTATTAATTTACAATAGACTTAATTAAGCGCTTCTAAGCGGGAGGGTTAAGCAAAATTTGGGTAAATCGGGATGAGGTCCTGAAACAAGTCGCGCACGATTGTATCAACGTTGACAGATTCACTGGCTTCAAAATATTCGGCAAACGAATCGTTGATCTGGAAATCGTCAAAGGGATTTTGCATGAAGCCAGCCATATTCCCGTTGTCCATGTCGATCGTGGAGTCTCCGGTAAGTGGTATGGTGCTTCCTGGGACGAATGGCGTGCCTTGGGCATGTGCTGGGCTGATCATGTGTTGAGCATCGAGCTGTGGTCCTTGACGCTCAGTTTGATAGAAGTTTCTACCATTGTTCACGTCACGAAGCCAGCGGATTGTGGACCTCCCGAGTTTATCCAAGATGTCACGACTGCGCTTCGCTCCTGACCAGTGTTCACCAGTGGCGCTGAGCACGCTCAGAGCGATGCTGAGATCGCCCATGAGCACTTCCACTTCGGTCCGTCGGGCGATTTCAGGGACAACTTTGATGCAAAACAGCATGGTGATGGTGCTCAAAACCAGCGAATGAAACGTAATCCAACTGTGCACCAGCAAGTTTGTCCTGTACAGGGTGTCGAAGAGCCTGAGACTTTCGCAAGCACTCTTGTGGCACTGGGTTAAAGCTTCAGGTGAAGGTTTGGGTATAGCAGGACTCGGCCGTAGTAGCAGCATCCTCAAGCCATGGTATCGCATTTGACACGTCATCCTGAGATATTGCTCAGATGGTGCCTCATCCATGGAGCCTGGTATTTGCTCTGCCCATTTGTCCAGCTGGCTTAGCATTGAAGACTGCCAGCTGTTGATGTCTATTACTGGTGGGTATGCGTAACTCGGCACGCCTCTATTGATGCTGTTGGCGACGTATTTGATCTCCGAGTTGAGTCTGGCCGCTCGAAATAGGTGGACTGCGTATTGCATCTGCTTGGATCCGGTCTGCAAAGGTAACTGAGAAGTCTTATCAGTAACTAAATCAAGGTCGCTAAGTCCTTCCGGCATCTGTTCATGTTAGATCGATACTAGTTCCAGCTTATCAGGATGCGTGCTTACTCGAAGTTCGCATGCTTCGTCTCGAATTCCAATAGGCCGTCCCATCATGGTAGCAAGGACGCGGTCAAACGTCAAGATGACCCAGAATATCCTCGTCCTCATCTCTTGCTCTAGCAAGGATATACCGGCACGAGTATTGATATTTCGTTGCAGTCCAAGATCGAGAAGTGCAGCAAGGCAGTGGTAGTTCAAATACCATACATTGAGGCGGACATAAGGGTTGTGAATGGTAAAGATTAGGAGCAAGAGCAGACACTGGACGCCCTGCAGGGAGTTTTCGAGGTTGAGGTTGGTGAAGTATTTTAACGCAGAGAGACAATACGATTCTCCCGGGATACGGGCCTTGAGACGCGCAGAGAGAATCATGGCACCAATGGCCAAGACCATAAACACTTGGAAGCCCACAATGGGCTCTATGTCGTCTTGGGCATATGCTTGCTCCAGTATTTTCAGAAACGTCGGCTCATGTAATATGGGGTACTGTGGATGTATCACATTAAAGTAAGCGTCGCATAACTGCTTCGCCATGTCTCTCGCCGGCAGAGGGAGAGGAGCCTGGATAGCTTCGACCAGCTGTGTCGGAAAAGGGCCGTCGCGACTGGGTCTCCCAGCCCTTTCATCCAGCCCGGAAACCGAATCGAGCATGATTCGAGCTAGGAAGTAACCGCTCGAGGGTCCGATGTAGCGCGGGTCCTGGTTTGTCACCAGAGACACCAAGCCGATTTCGTGAGTGAGGGCATTGGCAGCTTCACCAGCCTGTGGCCCAGGTCCCGATCTCATGGGTTGACGAGGAGTTTCGGCCAATGCCGTACTCATCACCGTGGGAGGCTCTTGTGTTGGAGTGGCTGTGGGGGATCGAGGCTGCAGGTTTATGCTGTCGTCCACAGTCTCATCGAACTGATCTTCCGTCTCATCTCCTGGTGGAAGCTCTTGTGTTAGATCCACATCGGGACATCTTGACCGAACAATGGACTCTAGCCAGGATATTCGCCGCTTCAAGTTCACAATGTACCTAGATTGACGGTTAACACCATTCTCGGACGGATAGACAAGGACCCGACGCGTACGCCCTGGGGAGGTCTCGCAGACGGGCACTTTCTCCGTCTGCACATGTCGCGCCAGCATTCCGACAGTTCTTGCACGCCGGAAGCTCTCCGTCACACTTAGACCAGGTCAGCGATGTCCAATTCGAAGTACAATGGGCAAATCCCGACGGGCAGGGCCATACTCGGATTTTCCGCCGCTGGCAACGAAGACAGGCCAGCCGCAGTCTCGGATTCCTCCGCCCCTGCTGGGCCTGTCCCGGGCGGGCTCGTGGCCCGTTGCCACTGTCATTATCGGCCATTCTCTGTGACAGGGACACGCGATTGCACTCCGTATCAAGGCATCCGGGGGCAAATGTGGAGGCGTGGAGTAGAGAAGTAGGTGTTGAAGTGGCAAAGTTCCGCGAGGCGGGGAGATGCCGCTCATAACAACGGGAGAACCCCGTGCGTCCAACACAGTGCGTGTTCCGCTCAGATCAACAAAAAAGACTGTCTAAATACGACGCTGGATGAATGAGATGAAGCCATTGTAGGCCAATGCCGATACTTCTGTATACCAGCCTCATTTCCGCAATTTTAATATATACTTCATCTTCGCTCTTTGTAATTAGTCCTCGACTGAGCCTCGCCTTTCCAATTGCTCAACTGTTCTCTATACCCCCCAGCATCCTCATCATGGCGGACACGCAAGAATCATCCGAGTCTCGACGAATCCACGTCGCCGCGTCAGAAGCACGGCGGCTGGTGGAAGACATCCTGAAGGGCAACGGTGTTCCGGCTGAGAACGCTGCCACCGTGGCTCGCTGTCTGGTCGCTGCCGACCTCCGCGGCGTCGACACTCACGGAATGAACCGAATCCCCTCGTACATGGAGCGCATTCGACAGGGCGTCCTCAACGCCGGCGCGCAGCCGACGGTGAACCAGGTTACCCCCGTCGTCGCCCAAGTTGACGGCCAGAATGGCTTTGGATTCGTCGCCGCTCACATGGGCATGGCCGCCGCTATCGAGTCTGCCCGGGTTTACGGCATTGGCATGGCCAGCATCAAGCACTCAAATCACTTTGGCATGAGCGCATGGCTAGTGCAGCAAGCCTTAGACGCGGACATGATGAGCCTCGTCTTTACCAATTCAAGCCCTGCATTGCCAGCTTGGGGTGGCCGCAGCAAGCTCATGGGTGTGTCGCCCATAGCTTGCGGCGCACCGGGCATAGCGCCGACGTCAGACTTCATCCTGGACATGGCTCCATCGGTTGCAGCCCGAGGGAAGATTTACAAGGCCAAGCGACGTGGGGAAAAGATCCCATTGGACTGGGCACTGGATGCGGAAGGACATCCGACGGACGACCCAGCTGCTGCACTCGACGGTGTCATGCTTCCCATGGGAGGACCGAAGGGTTCCGCCCTGTCCATCATGATGGATGTCTTCTCCGGCGTGTTATCCGGGTCGGCCTTTGCAGGGCACGTCACCAACCCGTACGATCCGTCGCGCCCTGCCGACGTTGGCCACTTCCTGATCGCCATCAAGCCGGACCTGTTTATGAGCCTGGAAGAGTTCCGCGAGCGCATGCAGTATCTGTATGAGCGGGTAGTTGGATCTGATAAGGCGGCTGGAGTGGAGCGCATTTATTTTCCGGGCGAGATGGAGCAGCTTGCGCAGGCGGAACGGGAGAAGACTGGAATTCCGCTCGTCCAGGCTGAGATTGACGCCCTGAACGAAGAAGCTAAGAAGGTGTCTGCCAAGGAATTTGTAACAATTAGTTCTTAGTATACTCGAATGCAGTTTAATGGTTTATCCTCGCTTCAAGTTGCCCTGTCTGTCTGCTCTCATGATCAACTCGTCCCCATGGCCTCACCTCGGGGAAATGCCCGCCCACCTCTCCACAAGAACCAATAATTGACCCATCGACTCATAGATCATGTGGATATGAATCCCATGTTTGATTAAATGGAGTCGTGGGCAAATTCCATCTTCCTTCGGAGGATGCCCGCGGACAAATCCCGACGTACGTCTTGTGACGGTAGTCGTACGCTTCGGCTTTTCTCCGATCCACCACACGCGACGTCTCACACCCACCCCGTCTTATTAAAGGTCCCGCGCCCCAAGAGAGTAGGCTATTGAAATTTCAAGCATACCGGAAAAAGCATTGAAAAGTTGCAATCATGACTGTCGTTCATATCGGTCAGTAATCCTCTCAGATTTTGCCCCGCTTCCTGAAACTCATCCATGTGGTAGTGTTGTTCAAGTTCAAGGAAGAGGTCGATGAGTCTCATAGGCAAACCTTTGCCAAGGAGCTCAAGACTCTCAAAGATTTGCCTTGTGTAAAAGACCAACGCCTCATAGTCGGAGGCCCGTCCATTACCGACCCCATTGCCCGGAGCAAGGGATTTCAAGTTGCTCTCTTGAGCTTTCACCCCGATGCGGCTGCGTTGGTCGAATACCAGGCCAGTAGCGAGCACCACCGGTAAGCGCATCGCTCACAATGTTTAACCAGATGCAAACGCTGACTGAGAAATAATAGGGTGACGAGCCAATACCTGTGGCCGTTTGCAGAAGATGTTACACGGTACGACTTTGAGGTGAATCAGGAGGACGAGTGCATGTTGAATTTTATGCCCATGAGCAACAAGTTGTAACAAGCGCTGAATCTGTATTTGGGAGCGAAGGAGTTAATTAGACCATACCCTACCATAGATCAATGCCCTGAGACTTTGCCCTTCTCTTGAGGATGGCCCCAGAATTCCCGCCTTTGCCGCCAGTCAAGTGCCGCGCTGTCGTTAGTTAACAATTGCTTTTCTCGACAGCTCAATCATTAGTCATGGATCAACGATAAGAACCACCCCGCTCTCGCCATACGTCGCATCATGGCATGTGAGGCGGCCGGCGGCGCGGCGGCCAACCCTCGATCCGATTAACGAGCAGATTTCTACGTGCCCGCCGCCGCATCTCCTCCCGCGTTTCCTCTTTCACTGACTCCGAGCGCGAGCTAGGCGGCGCCTTGCATGGAAATAGCTTAGTAGCGGCGGGAGTGGGCGGGGTTGAGGCAGATCTTCACAATATTATATACCGGCGCATCATCAAAACCTTGTCTTGTGGATGGTTGCTCCTGTTCTGGTTCGTCGTAGTACAGCGAGTCTTTCTCGGGTATTTATTGCTGCTGTTTCGTTGTTGCTGAGATCCCGAGTGAGTCGTTTCTGAACAAGGCCACCACAGACTCACCTCTGCGTCGCCCATCATGGCGCGCTTCAACCTCCCCGGGCGGCTGCAGGCCATCACCAAGCCCAAGTTCCTCCGGGGCATTCCAACGAACAGCCTCGTCATGATCATGCTCCTCATTGCCGTCAACGCTCTGGTCTGGTCTGTCGCCGCCGTGGTCCTTCGCTTCCACCCCGCTCTCATCTCGCCCGCCGCCTTGTCGTACGTTCTCGGCATGCGCCATGCCCTTGACGCGGATCACATCTCCGCCATCGACCTGATGACACGGCGGCTCATTGCCTCTGGACAGAGACCCGCTACCGTGGGCACCTTTTTCTCCCTCGGGCACAGCACCATTGTCATTATTACCTGCATTGTCGTCGCGGCCACCAGCGGTGCGCTCAGAGACCGATTCGACAATTTCAGTCATATTGGAAATATCATAGGAACCAGTGTCAGCGCCGCATTTCTAATAATTCTATGCCTGGGCAACGGCTGGGTTCTGTACAAGCTTGTTCAGCGCCTAAAAGTGGTTCTAGCAGAGCGCCAACGTCAGCAGGAAACGGGCGAGGATGCTGATGTGCAGGATCAATTCGCCCTTGAGGGTGCAGGGTTTCTGTCGCGAGTCTTCAAGAGACTATTCCGGATCATCGACCGGCCGTGGAAGATGTATCCCCTTGGCGTCGTTTTTGGACTTGGATTTGATACAAGCTCCGAAATTGCTATTCTCGGAATTGCCAGTATCCAGGCTGTACAGGGCACAAGCATTTGGCTGATCTTGATCTTCCCAATTTTGTTCACAGGTAAGTTAGTTCCAACCCATTCCGCAGCCATTCTAACTAGATGTAGCTGGAATGTGTCTTCTCGACACCACTGATGGCGCCTTGATGATGGCCTTGTACACATCCAAAGTCTTTTCTCGAGATACGGTGGCCATCCTCTACTATTCCATTGTGTTAACGGGAATCACCGTCTTCGTGTCCGCCTTTATTGGCATCATCCAAGTTTTGTCGCTCATTCAAAACGTGGCAGATCCCGAAGGCAGCTTTTGGGACGGCGTTTCGGCGATCGGCGACCATTTTGACATCATCGGTGGCAGCATTTGCGGCGTTTTCGTTGTGGTTGGCCTGGGATCTGTTATCATCTATAAGCCGTGGAGAAGACGCGTCGAGAGAAGAAATCGAGCGTTGGCATCAGCGGCTGATGAAGGTCTTGAAGATGACTTGGGCCCTGCCTCTCCACCTCCCTCGGACGAAACTCCTCGAAGGATCGATACATGAGGTTGGGACAATTGGCTTTGTTGATTTCTACCAAGTTGAGCCTCGAGTACCCAATACTGTAGTCCTCGCCCGCCCATTTCACTTCACAACTTGGCCAGAACTACTTCCTCTAGGCTACCCTAGGTGCCTACCAGTTTGTTTCAAACTGCTTCAACATGTGACAGAAGTTTTCTCGTTTGCAGTGGCCGCACTGTCTTCTCCGGAGCGGCTCTCCAGCCTTCCGCACAAACGGAGGCGATATGCCCAGCCTGTGATGCGCTCCGATCACCTCATCTAGGTCGCCTGGTAGTGGGTTATCTCGGTCTAGAAATCTTTCACAGCGTGGGCAAAGCCAAAGTCCGTCCTCTTTGTATTCCTCACGTTTCCATGGCCGTGTCCATTGGGAAGCGCCGTTCTGGCCAGAAGTAGTCGACTTCGGCGAGGAAGGAGGATTATTGGGATAGGGTTTCGCGCCTGCGGCCTCCTTGGGCCTGAATGGTGCTGAGATGTGTCTGTTGTCAAGGTTGGTTCGCCCTTGGTTCGTCACTCTGGTTGAACTCGGGGCGGTATCATGAGCACTTGGCTGTCGGCCCTGGGATAAAAATTAGCATTGCTCTGGTCTGTCTTCAGCTGTTTGAGCTGATCACCGTGAGTGGAGTTGATCGAAATCGATCCACTGGGTATATCGGGGGTTGAGGTTAAAACAACTGACTCTGCTCGTAGTTTCCGGAGAGGAGCCATCCAAGTTGCTAGTCCAAAGAATTTCGCCGCCCAACATATCGCCGTTGAACCAAGAATATCCTTCTCCCAGGGGAGGAACTGTATCGTTCACGTCCAGTGGAGGGGAATTGACAGGAAGTTCAGGCGATCTTGTGGGAGACGGGCCGAGCTGCGTATGTCTTGTTTGTCTTTCGTAGTAAAGGGTAGGTTGAATCGCATGATGCTGACCAACCTGTGAGGGAAGAAAAGTCAGGGACCAAACCTCATCGAAAAGATTTGCCGAAGTGTCATTAAGGTCTAAGAAAGTGTTTTCGCTGTACGAAGAACCACGGGAGCTTGTGGTTTTGCATCGCGTAAGCTCGGGTAGACTCTCATCATCTGAGGAGGTGTCCAAATCCATGGGCGTTGTGAACTCTGGTTCATCTAAGGTTTTGTCCTTGATCCCCGGGGCGGGATTAGAATCTCCACGGTTGATTGGTGGAAAGTAGTCCAAAGAAAGTTGGCCTTGGCCCATGGGAGGCGAAGCTTCGCCAACGGGGTCGTCGGAGCCAAACGCATCAGTACCCCAAAATACATCTCTCCCAAGCGGCGAATACACTATGGGGCTTGTCACTTCCGGGTGTCGTTGCATTATTGTCGAATAAACCGATCGTCGATCAGTGTCTCCTGGGGTGTACGCTCCGAGATTCGTCATATCTTGGGGGACTGTATCAGGGTCGGGTTCGCGAAGTGTATAGACATCGTCTTCTCCCCATTCGCTGTCGCGAATAGATGGGGATGGTGGAGGTGGAGACTGAGGAGGTACAAGACGGGGTTCCTAGCCACTTCGGGGCAGCGATGGCCTTTCAGTTGCATCTTGTTTGTTGTCGCTTTCGGAGCGCTTCGAGCGCTTCGAGCGTTTGCTAGACCTCATCTTTCGGGAGGGCGGAAATAACCGGATCGGAAAGCTGGATGGGAATAAACTAATCGAATGCTCTTTGTGTGAGGTGAGGTATCAATGAAAATAATACGGCGAATCACAATGAATCAATAATGTTGAGAAGCGATGATGTCCAAGTGACTGGTTGCCGGCGGTGTTTCAGTGTCGTGCGTGGGTTACGAGAACACCAGAGTCATCACGTGCACTGATGGTAACGATTCAGAATTATCAGAGGAAGGAACTCCGTGTTTGGAAAACTCTAAAGGGCAGGTGACAACTCGATCTCTCGTCAGTGAGTGTGAAATCGTCTCTGCAGTTTGCCGCATGTGGAATGGATATTCAGTTGCCAGCATTCCGCTACTAGTTGCCGCCTTCAGAAAGCGACAGGAATTTAGTATCGAAACCTCGCAGTTGGCCGTGATGCTGTGCTGCTGTTCCGGACCGGAGTAGCTTTTGCCCGCATTCGAGAGGGGAAGAGTCACGTCTTCCCTGCTCGAGAGATATAAGAAGTTCATCCTCCGGCACAACTCATCCGCGATAATTCTAGTCAAAACATTTGCAAGCCGCCGATTTCTGTATTCTCAACAACTACCAGCCACCTAGCGCAGCCCGCCAAACCCCGCTTCTCCAGTTACGCACCACTCCAGCACTTCAACATGTCAAAGGCGTCGAAAGTAGTTTCCGTCGAGCCACTCGTGAGTTTCGACAGTAACATTCAACATAACTTACTGACCGAGTTTCTAGGACAATGCCGATGCCAAATGGATAAATCTTGTCAAGTGAGACCTCTCCCCAACTCGCGCCGCTCATAAATGTCTCAACCGTGAACACGGCTAACGCACGTATCGCTAGGATAAAATACGAAGACGACCATGGAAAGCTCCGAGACTGGGAAGGAATGCGAAGAAAGAGCCGCCCGAAGAATAGCGTCGTTGACGCCGTCCAAGTTGTGGCCCTTCTGCAACGGCCGAGCGGTACCGAGGTGCTCCTGGAGAAGCAATTCCGCCCGCCCACTGAGAAGGTTTGTATCGAATTCCCAGCTGGACTGATGGATGAAGGCGAAACTCCCGAGGAGTGCGCCGTCCGTGAACTCAAGGAAGAGACGGGCTACGTTGGCGAGGTGATCCCTGACCGCATTGGAGTGCGACCAATCTTGATGAGTGGTAAGAAATCCTGTTGTCAGAGTTGCCGAACTATTATCTCTAACAGCGCTTCTTAGCTCCTGCTTCTTCTAGGTACCCTTCTTTTGCCCTTGTCTCTCTTTTCTTGGCTGACTTGTAGGACCGCAGCTCGACGACTTTCATGATCAACGTCAAGATTGATCCGGCGCGACCAGAGAACGAGAACCCTGTGACAGAGTTGGAAGACGGGGAGTTTATCGAATGTTTTTGGGTCCCTTTGAAGGATCTATACGAGGCCTGCAGAAAATTGCAGACCGAAGGATATGCGATAGACGGAAAGGTCGGTGCATTTGCTGAAGGTATTGAGGCCGCGAAGGTGTGGCAGTAGATTTATGTCTTCGCCGTGAGTATCATCAAGGTTGCCTTTGGCTCATAGCCCTTTGAGAGATCATGATATAAAGAAATAAGATATTTTTACCGACCCCATCTTCACAGCACACTACCATCGTGTGGAGAAATCTTGAACAGCGAGGGTAGTCCCGAGGGAGCACCCGCTGCTGGTCCAACCCAAACTCGATTCTGTTGATCTTGTTGCCTCAACCAAACAAACCCGATCGGTGACTCGAGTCTTAAAATCACAGACCTTCCGCACGGACGCAGTGTTCCTTACCTTAAGCGTGGTGACACAGAAAACTTAGAAGCAGCTAAGCGCTGAATTGCTGTCGGCCGTTGTGCAGTCAAAGTGCACCACGTATTGTTCGTAGAAGCACGCTAGATTGTCGGGCCTGGGACTAGCACTGCACCTCGTTTGGGTTGTGCAAAGGTTACACGAAAACATCGGGAACAGGGACTTGACATGTCTTGCATGGTAGCCAGTGTAATGAATCTCACGTTGGCCACTCGTGGTGATCAATTGGCCCCACGGTTCAGAATGAGGCCGTTGAAGCTCACATGCCCATGATGCGCCATGTTGTGGCATTCGGCCCGCCGGTCTGCTGGTCACGAGTTGCTAATGCGAGGACCAAGCCCCTCGGTCTGATGGGTTTCGGAATGCTGCATGCTGCAGAGGTCATCACCCAAGCCAGCCAATCTGCAGCAGGGCGGTTCATGGCGAATTTTAACGGGCAGAGGACATACTGCAGCTCGCCGAATTCGCGTGTTATAGTTAAGGTTACAATGACAGAATACTAGACCACGGAGCAATAGCCTCTGGCCTCAAAAGCGTGCTGCGGCTACTGAAGTAGGTGGCACCAATCACTCACCGAAGCGCCATGGCACCCACCCTCTTTGCGAAGAGTGAGCTTGGTGCTCTGCCTTGTCCACGATCCACGATGGTCTCAGAGCGGACAGCATCGAGTATTCACAGACATGTCAGAAAGGTAACGAGTCAGCTCCCACGTGCCCGAAAGGCCCGTTACAGTTGAGATCCCGTGGTTAGCGCATCCTAGGATACGGTAGTCGGGCTTGGTCAGCGTGGAAGCAACCCGAAGGCATGGAATTCTGATTGATCGAGTCATTGGGCGGCCTACGACGCAGTACTTTGAGGGCCTCGTCACGATGGAGGGCGAGGCGGCACCGCATTGGCGCCAAGCCATGCCGATCAGGGTCCGGCCGCCATCCCTCAGCCATCGCGGTCTCTCGTGCCCTCCTTTTCGGCTTTTGGCACTTTGAGCAACCTGTTCGGCCTTGAAAGTGTCGAGACGAGGCTCGTTTAGTGTCGGAAAACCGGTATTCGGGGACATGAGGCTCAAGGGAATGGGACTCGTCGCAGGCAACCGGGCTGATTCCAACGGTCTTGGATGCCTCGATGGAGGCGCGCGGGGTGCTTGGGGGGGGATGCGACTCGCCAATGCGTCCCTGGCACTTTGCCTTATTTTTTGCGACCCAAGGCGAGATCGTCGGAAGTACTGGGGACTTGTGAGGCTGAAGCCGTAAAGGAGGGTCACTAAGATGGCGAGTCGAGTCGAGTCGAAGCCCCACTGCCACTGCACTGCTCACGGGTGCGCCGATGTCGTCTCTTGCATGCCAGAAGAGGGAAGAGGCATTGCCCAGAAGGTGATTGCCCTGAGGCCTGGACCAACCCCGGGATCTGCATTGTTAAGGGGGAGATTCCTCGTCAAAGTCTCCAGGGTCTGGGCCGGAGCCTGTGCAGGTACCGTACAGTGCTTGCACCGTCTCTTCGGACCACCTCAGCCGATTGCAACCAGACCAACAGTTCTCGCAGCCCTGTAGCATCCCAGCATCCCAGCCTCTCGCGCTGTTGGTCACCCTGATCACTTGCAGTGAGGCCATTACCCTTGTTGAAACGATTTCAACCGATTACGGTCATCTTACCAACAGGCAGCCTCCCTGCCCCACGACCCCCCAGTTGCGGCAGCCTCGGACAATTCGTGGTGGACTGGCCAGCCGGTCGCTGCAGAACTGGGACTTGCTCTGGTAAGCAGGGCTGGGGAGATACCCACAGGGAGGGTCTAGGCGGAGACGATCCCCGCACTGTTCGCCTCGTCCGCTAAAATGTACCCTGAAGACCCCTAAAATCCAGAGGACCCACCCAGACCTCCCTTGGATCAGCCGGCGAATCGGAGCGGTTGGGAGGCGCTATCAAAGGGTTGGGAGAAGGTCACCGCGATAACGGGATGATGCTGTGGAAGAAAAATCTTCGGATGACATTTATTCTTTTGAGCTGCCAATCATCCAATGTACTGTGCTGGGGTACGTGCTTAATTGGCCATCCATTTTGCCATCCCAGCCCGTTTGCCATCCATTCGCCGTCCGTCCACCCCGATGGAAAGCCCCATCATATCCCACGGCGATGATCCCAGATTCGGCCCCCACAGCCCCAAGGACCGGCCTTTGGTTGCGGCTGAGTGGGCTCAATGGACTCAATGGTGCCTTGGAGCCTGCTATCCGTGGAGAAGTCTAGCCGCAATCCCATTTCAACCTACTAGGCTGACGGCAAAGAATCAAAAAACCGCATAGAATGGGCGCGGCTCCGGTAGGCATCTGGGCGCAACGGACTTCGGAGACGCCAACGGGTTGGGGCGTTGGGTCGCCCAGCCGGTGGCCATGCATGGATGATGGATGGGATGGCAATCACTCGCCAACCAACGGCAATGGCGTACACGCCGTACTCGCTCGAGGCGTACTACCGACGTACGGAGTAGTGCGTACATAATAACACTGTACAGATGCATGGTAACCCCGGGGGAAACTGATAGTTCCCCTGCATGCGTGGTCATCCCACCAGCTGCACAGTATCACCGCACAGCTGCGCCAGTTGACGGTCATCACGACAGTACATTGTCACATTGCTGTGCATGGTCACAATTATGGTACATTGTCACAACTACTGTACATATGTCAGTTCCCAGTCTCAGCCCGCCACTGCCTGTCTTACTTACTCCGTAGTAGCTTGCCTGTCTTAGCCTGCCAAGGGGAAAAAGACCCTTGTCTTGTCTTGTCTCACCCCGTTCTCCGCCATCCCCGGCCTGTCCACTTCGCCCGGCCCGCCTTGTGGCCCATGCCCCCCTCATGGTACCATTCTAGCCTTGCCGGGCCAAAGAAGTATCAGAGATGGCTTCAATGCGGTGAGGTGAGCCGCAACCTTGAGCGTGCTAACGCTGCCTCGCCTGCTCCATCCCGTGTGGCGGCGACTCAGGCAGCCCATTGACTATTGACTACCTATTGTTCGTATCTCCGTAGTCTGTCCCGGCCCTGCACCACCTTGCCTATATAACCATGGCCCCTCCGAGCTCGCACCGCCATTTCCCATGACTCTGTGACCGCCTCCGTCCTTTGACTGTTCTCGTTTCCCTCTCATTTCTATCTCGCTTCCATCTCGTTTCCATTCCCTTTTCGTTACACAGCATTGGTCTTGTCCTTCTACTTTTGCTGTATACTACCCCTCAGCGCGTCCCTTCGTCGTCTCTTATCTCGACCTTGGCGTCTCTGTCCACGCGACCCCCACCCAGTACCTAGCATTCTCCATCCTCCCCCAGATTTGTCACACCTCCTTCAGTTCTGCCTCTTCTCTCCAGACGAAGAATCACACCGCAATCATGCACGGCTACAGCTCATCCGAGGAGTCGGACGACCCGCGTCGGCCTCGTGCGCCGCCAGCAACGACGACCACTACACAGGATCAGAAGAAGCGCAAGAAGAAGAAGCTCCCCCCTCAAAAGTCCATCAATCGCATTTGGAAGAAGTTCTCCAAGCGCAAGTTCCAAACTGCACTCGCCGTCCTGCCGTTTGATCCCGTTCAACCCCCAGCCATCTCCAACCAGCCCAATGAGCTGCTATCGGCCGGATATACTCGAGCTGCCGAGGAATGTCGGCGCAAAGTTGAAAAGATTATCAAGGAGTGCAAGCGGGTGAATATGCGCTACCGAGACCCTGGTTGGGACCTTGTAAGTCTTCACAACCACCTTCTACCAGGAATTGAGCGCGGTAACTGACAATTTCCATAGGATTGGGATCTCAAGTACGAAAAGGGCTACTGCCTGAACAGCCTGGGCGGCCAGAAGTTTGAGATTGGACGAACCACCCTGTTGAGCGCAAAGGCCAATGTGCCCAAGGCTGTGAAGCGAGTGCACCAGATCTTCGAAAACCCCACCTTCATGAAAGTCGTCGATGGAGGCGATTTGAAGCAGGGCGGCTTGGGCGATTGCTGGATCATGTCCAGCATGACCGCCCTCGCGAGTGTTGAGGACGGCATCAAGCGCCTATGTGTTGCCCATAATACGAGTAAGCCCATCCTATCTGCTTTTGATACACCCTGCTAATCGGGCTTAGAAATCGGCATCTACGGATTCGTCTTTTACAGAGACGGCGAATGGGTCTACTCCATCATCGACGACAAGCTGTACCTCAAGTCTCCAACCTGGGACTCTCCTAGCATGCAGCGCGATCTGCTGCAGCAAATCGATCGCGAGGACGTAGAGAATGTGTACCGGAAAACCTATCAGACTGGTTCCAAGGCACTTTTCTTCGCTCAGTGCAAGGACCAGAACGAGACCTGGGTGCCTCTTCTCGAGAAGGCATACGCCAAGGCGCATGGCGACTATGCCAGCTTGTCTGGCGGCTGGATCGGAGAAGGCCTGGAGGATCTGTCTGGCGGTGTCACCACGGAACTTTTCACCTCTGATATCCTAGACACCGACGAGTTTTGGGAGAACGAGGTGTCACGTGTAAACGAGGAGTTCCTGTTCGGCGCCTCCACCGGCCTCCTCGAGTATGGCTATGGCGACCGCAATGGCATCTCAGAGGGCCACGCATACGTCATCATGGAAGCCAGGACACTCAAGAGCGGCCAGCGCCTTGTCAAGCTTAGAAACCCTTGGGGCAAGGTCCGCAAGGGTCTCTGGGAGGGCGCGTGGAGCGATGGCTCCAAGGAGTGGACAAGGGAGACGCAGGAGGAGCTTAACCACACATTCGGCAGCGACTCGGTCTTCTGGATCTCCTACGAAGACCTGATCCGCAAATACTCGCACTTTGATCGAACTCGCCTCTTCCGAGACCCCGACTGGAGATGCTGCCAGCGATGGATCGGCGTCGATGTTCCATGGAAGGCCGAGTATCACGAAAAGTTTCACATCAAGCTGACCAAGGACTCGCCTCTTGTCATGGTCCTCTCCCAGCTAGATAAACGATACTTCAAGGGTCTCCACGGACAGTACAGCTTCCGTCTTCATTTCCGCCTTCACTACCAGGAAAGTCCCGACGCTGAAGACTACATTGTGCGATCCCACGGCAACTACTTGATGGACAGATCCGTCTCGGTCGAGCTCCCAGACATGCCTGCCGGCAATTATGTCGTTTACCTCAAGGTAACAGGCGAGCGAGATTCGTCTCTCAAGTCCGTTGAGGAGGTGGTCAAGCGCGAGTGTTCGGAGCGGGTCGAGAACGAGAAGCTGGCTCAGGTCGGCTACGCCTACGACCTCGCCCACAGCAAGGCCTGGGACCACATGGACAAGGTCGTGAAGCTGCGCAACAAGAAGGAGCAGGAGAAGGCATCCGGCTGCCGTCAGAAGGAGCGTCGTAAGATGTGGGAGAAGAGGCACGCTAATCGCGAGGTCGCTAAGAAGCAGACTGAGAAGAACAAGGAGAAGAAACAGCGACGACGCGAGGTGTGGGAGGCTGCCCAGGACGCCAAGGAGAAGGCTGAGAAGGAAGCCCAGGCCAAAGCTGAGGCTGAAGCCGAAGCCAAAGCAGTGGAAGAGAAGACTGCTGAAGCAAAGGTATCCAATGACGAGATTTCCTCCGAGGAGAAGAAGTCGGATGTGAAGCTTGAGGCCGAGGACGACAAGACGACTGAGGAGAAGCCCTCCGAGAAGTCGGCCTCAGAAGACAACGAGACTCCTATCGTGGTCGACAAGGAGGATGGATCTGAGGAGAAGACCTCGGAGCAGCAGGCTGAGGATTCTGAAAAGTCAGACTCCAAGAACGTCGACGACTCCAATGCATCAGTGTCAACTAGCTCTCCCATGGACACTCCCAAGTCCCAGGATTCTTCCATCGATGTTTTGGCAGAGAAGAAGCAGGAGGTGCCACCTATCAGCGGACCTCCTCCTCCTCCGGCGCCGCCGGCAGCCACTGAAGTCGAGGAGAAGAACAAGCCGGCCGTTTCTCGTCCCGCGTATGATTCGGCGGGCGATTCCTCGGATTCACCGGTCGAAGACTGGGAAGAGCTCTACAGCAGCGACGACATGACTCGCAAGCCACGCATCACCCCTCAGGCAGCGCCGCCTCATCGTGACGACTACGACACGGAGGAGGAGAAGATGCCGGATCCGTGGAACGCCATCGGCATCATCGGCATCCGGGTCTACTCCAAGGACGAAAACCTTGAGCTTCGCACCGTTATGGAGGGCGGCGAGCTTCTCGAGGGCGGCATGGGCGAGAAGGGAGCTGCTGATCTGGACGATGCCCAGACAAATGCCGCGGGTGTGCGAGCCGAGGAGAAAGACGGCGCAGACACGGCGAAGATGGAGGGCGAGATCGCCTCGTACCCTCCGGTGATTCGAAAGGACGGCACCGAAATCGACGTCGACGTCGAAGGTCAGGAGAAGAACTCGGCCATCAAGAGCCTGCTCCACATCGACTCCATGGACTCAACGCGGATGAACACGCCCGAGCCAACACCACTGGAATCGGACAAGCAGCTCGAGCGGTCGTGAGTTAGACTCAAGACGGCCTGGATATTAGTCCGGGTATTTGCGATTAGCTAACCCCATTGTACACGAATTTCGAGGGGATATTATGATGACGGAATGAACTGGAAAGATTGCGTTTGCTTGCGACATTGGGGTGGTGTTTTATTACAGGGTGCTTCAGGATTTCTCAGCTCTTTACACAGGATCGCAGGCGAGACGACAGACACGATAAAATGCATGACGTACAGAGACGACCGATAGGATACAACTCAACCGATTTTTAATGAATTTTGCAACGTCTACAATATTGCGTAGTGATGTATTAAATGGATGAATAATTAAAACCAAGAGCCAAAACACACCGAAACGCCCAAAAACGCCTTGTCTCTTGGCCTGTCTCGCCTGTGTCGTCTGCTCCGAAAGTGGAGGCGGAGGCGCAGGCCGGCGAGACATGACGGCGAGCGCGACGCCGCCACCAGCAGGTCCACGTGCTATAACTACGCGCTAAGCGGTGCGCTAACTCGGAGCGGATAGCGCTGGAGCAGCGCTGTAGGTACCGGTAGACGGTGCCGCGCACCGCGTTGGGGGCTGGAGCACAGAGGCGTCCCAGCGGCGCGCAGGGGTCGATCCGGCAGCTCGTCATCTGCCTGGGCCTGGCGATAACGGACTCCCAGAGATGTCTTATCGTAGGTCGTCATCGCCTGCCTTGAGCTTGCTCTGCTTCTTCTTCTCCTTCATCCACCATCACGAGTCCTCGTTTGTGAGGCATCGCCGTAACCCTCTCCAACCACTGCGCCATCTCGTACGTTCGGCCTGCGTAATGTAGCCATGAGACTGCTGCACGCAACATCGCAATCACCATAACGTCCCGCTTCACGGCCTGCGTATTTCCCATTGTCTTAGTCCACGCGAACCATCATCATCATGGCTGCGTCCTCAGCCGCCTCGTTGCGTCGCAGCCACGGCTCGTCGGCCGCTTCATCCAAACACTCGCACTCGCACTCGCACACGCTCCCCTCTCATGATGACGACCCCAACTCGCCGTCCATCTCCATCGATACCCTTGTGAACCATCTCCTGCTTGCCAAGCGATCGCTCTCCTCCATGACTCTTGTGCTGCGCGCAAACGAAATCGCAACCGCCGCGCAACAATCGCACGAAGATGTCGCCATCCTTGCCGCGCAAGCCGGCTTCCTGCAGACATCCATCCTCGACCAGGCCGCCATCCTAGTCAGACTCAGAAGGAGCCTGCAGGCCACATACGATTGGGGGAAGAAGGACTTCAAAACGCTCATCAAGTCGATGGATCTGGTTGATGGCGAGCTCGAAGGCACAATGGAGATGCTGAGAAGCACCGGCGTCCAGAGCGTCTTCCGCCCCAAAGGCGAGGAGAGGAGGAGCCTACTGCATTTCATTGACGAGGCGAGCGTGCACGGGATGCGGAATGCGATGAAGAAGAGCATCGAGGACTTACAGGTAGGACTCACCCACCATCTGCTATCGCATCCAAACCGCTGACTCCAAAACACAGGGTATCCAGCAGTCATTTGATGGAGACTTGCTACGATTCGATACCGACATCCGAAACCTCAAGAAGATCATCGTCGAAGCACCTGTGCCTCTCCCCCACGACAAGGCAGATCCACTGAACCCCCCTTCGGCCGAGCTGTTAGAAAGTTTAATTGACCACTCAGCAAACATGGCGCAGCTTCTTGCCTCCCTCACAACACACTTTGATATGTGCGTCACGGCTATCCGGACCACAGAAGGCGCAGTGGCCCTCGCCCGCCGAAGGGTTGCCGAAGTCACACAGTCGCAAGGCAGTGACGGCGTCTCCATCTCGGGTGTCATTGCGGAGCAGGAATCCAATGTGTCGGACCTCGAACCCAAAACCGCAAACGACCGTACCGAGATGCTCAAGGTGGTCGTACAGGACGCCGAAGAGGTAGACGATGTGGTTCAGGAGATCCAGGAGCGCCTTAGTGCGATGGAGCAGGAATTCGCCGTCCTGCAGGATCAAACAGAACAAGCAAAGAAAGCATACACCGGCATGCTCGAGGCGTATGCCATGCTTGGGGAAATTGGGGATCGGCTGGGCGACTACCTAGCAGCTGAGGAGGACTTCAAGACGAGGTGGGAGATTGAAAAAGAAGCCGTGTTTGGCAAGCTGCAGGAGATGAAGCAGATGAGAGACTTTTACGAGGGCTATGCCAGCGCGTACGACAGTCTTATTCTTGAAGTTGAGCGAAGGCGAGGAGTGGACGATCGAGTCCGAAACATCTGGCGCAAGGCACAGGAGAACGTGGACAAGATGCTCGAAGTCGATCGACAATCGCGCGAGACGTTCCGACAAGATGTCGGCGAGTTCCTACCCACGGATCTCTGGGCCGGGATGCAAGGCTCTGTAAGACGCTGGGAAGTTGTGCCGATCAAAGATGACGGCACGATTGTTCCGGATGACGAGGAGGAGCAAGGCCCCGCGCTGCGACGTAGCGTCGTAGAGGCAGCAAGGATGAGACTTGGCAAGGTGGCAGCAGAACCCAGGTGAAGAATGAAGTGTGTAGGATTTATCTTGTCTGAATTAGTTTGGAATTGGCGTTTAGGGAAATCTGGATGGCGTCAGGGATTCTACACCGTTGGCAACACGCTCTGCTGGAGGTAAGCTGAATATTGGTTAAGATAGCGAGCGAGGTGACTCTCTTTGGTTATGTATGTACTGTATATACTTGGAACCCAACCCAACTCTGTGGTACTCCGTCCAGGCAATGTGACCCCATTGCGCGTGCACATCCCCGCCATCCAATCCAGCTCTTGGTGTTCTAGAGCGATCTCATTCTCCACACAGAGTAGGATGATCCCTGCCTCATAAGTAGTTTATGCATGTTATTAACCCATCCTCCACCCTCAGCTCGCCAATTCCAAACACCCAGCGCCAGCCCTACCCATCCAATCCACCCTCTCACAACCACCCGCGAGCCAGCGGGCTACCGTACCCCAGCCTTAGTCTGCAGCCACGCGACCCTCAATCTCGCTGGCGCACTGCTAGCGCCGAGATTCTGAGGCACACCCTGGTATTCTTAGCCCAGGCGCGGGTTGTTTGATACGGCGTGGTGCTTCTAGATGGTGCCTTGCGGCTGAGGAGGGCCGGCGTGCTGCGAGGAGATAAAGAGGCGTGGTGCGTCGGCGTGCGGGAGGGGAGTGGCTTTCTGTGGAATTGTTCTGGTTTTTTGAATCAGCCCGGTTTTGAGAACGAGACGAGACGAGACGAAACAAATCGATACCCCTTGTTCCACCGTTGAATATACTCCTGTGGACCAACATCAACCCGTATTACATCCCACGGCCAAGCCAACATCTCTCACAAGTCCCAACTCCAAAAACAACACAAACAGCCAAAAACTCAGGACAAACTACACAAAATGTCGACCGGACCAAACTCGTTCGATCGGCTCATGTCGTTTCTCACGACCCTCCTCCTCACGGGCGTCGTTGTTATCCTCGCCATGCTCCTCGTCGAGTTCAAACGCCTGAGCAATGACCAGGAAGGCATCGTTGTGCGCATCGCCAACGGCGAGTCTATCGAGGTCGAAGGACGTCTCAGCTACCCTCTCTACGTGACGGCGCTGCCTTGAGAATTGGGAGGACGAGGGAGGGATGCAAGTCGATCTTAGGTCTCTCTCTAGAACCCGGGTCTTGATGAGACGACACCAAACACGATAGGAAACAACGTTGCGGGAGTTGAGGTTCAAGGATTTTCAGCGGGTATTGATTAAAATAGTCGATTAATAAATTATCGTCATGAAGCTATTGCTTGTGGACTGGCCAAAATGCCGTCGCCAGGACAGACAAACAAACACCAGAAGCATCTTCAAACTCTTGATTTCGTATCCCCCAACCTTCTCATTCTTTCTGATACCATGGTATCATGCTATAAAAGCCTCTCTTCCCACAAGTGCGTGCACATCAATCGTAAACGGGTTCTCAACGATCGCGAATGACGTGCTGCACCTTGGGATAGACCCGGACCATTTCGGCATAGATCTCGGGGTGATCGCTTGCCAGAACCTGCGGATCCCAGCCGGCCGCGACGAAGATGGTGTCGATGCCGCTGGACAAGGGGGTGGTAAAGACGTTGGCGATCTGGAAGCCCATGAGGAAAGAAAATGCCATGACGACAGGGGTATAGGCTCCGTCGTTGTTGTACGCGGGGTTGGTGAAGAGCAGATAGAGATACGCGAGGAGAGCGCAGACATAACCGATGAAAAGGGCACCGAAGGAGAGAACAGGGCCAATGAGGCATTCCTGGCAGTAGTTAGTAAAGCTTGGTTGCTTGGGTATTAAACAGGAAAACTTACATTGATGAGCGCATCGATGCCACGATCCTTGATCATCTTCCAGGTGTCCTTGGCGGCTGGGAAGTACGCCTTGCCATAAAGCGCGATGTGGCAGAAGGCATATCGGTTGAGGAACTGAACGGCCCACTCCAGGAGACTCAGCAAGCAACCCAAGCAGCAGAAGATGGCATATCCGATGATGCCTCCACCAGCCGCCTCCTGTTGGCGCGCGACGGAGCACATCTGACGGAGAAACTGGACAATGGCCACCAGCAGGCTGCCCAGGCTGATGGATCCGAAACTGTAACTGAGAGCACGCTTAGCAGCTCCGCGAGTGGCATCCTGAGGAAAGTTGTGGACACAGAAGTACCAAGAAGCATAGACACCAGCGATGGTAGTGTGGATGGTGTTCTTGAGCCACTCGGAGATCCAGTACATAGTAAAGGTGACAAAGACTATGAGGCCAATCACCTTGCCCTGGCTGCAGCCACCATCGGAGCAGGAGGGGTTGTTGTCGGCTGGCTGGTATGTTACGTAGATGGCAACCAGGGTGACAGAGTACCAAGCGCCAAACGCCGTGGCTACCAAGCCTCCAATAAAGCTAACCAGGTAGACATGGCCATAGTTTTTGCTAATGTCAATGGCGGTCTTGAGCATCAGGGCCGAGAATTGAATGCGCGAGATCCAGGTATAGAAGCAGAAGGCCATGAAAAGACCAAAGATGAGGAACACGATGCCCGCGGACCAGTAGCGTTTGTAAAGGTAGAAGATGGCCGTGCCAATGGCCCAGACGATGTTGAGGAGACCTGTCACCCAGATAAACTGCCTGGGGAACATGCGCGCGACCCAGACGTAGCCGTACGAGAGAATTAGGGCCACTCCAAGGCAGAAGGCGAACAGTATAAGGGTATTCGTGTTGAGGGAGAAGTCGTTGCTGCTGTCGTAGATACCGTCGCCACTGAAGGTGAAGTTGCTGACGTAGCCGTGGATGGAAATGGCCGAGACGACGACGAAACCGATGAAGAACAGGATGAACTAGATGCGCACGTCGTTAATCATATTGGGCGATTCCGAGATACTTCAAGGGAGCGTCGTTGCTTACCAGAATGCCGGCCCACAAGTCATTGTACTTTGGCTTGGGGATATTGAAGGTCTGGTCGAACGAGTACTTTTCGCCATCGATACCCTGCGCGGTCGTGTAGCCATTGCCATTCGGAGGAGGATACGACAGCTGGTACTGCTGCGGCGGCGGAGGAGGCTGCTGCTGGTAGTTCATGGGAGGTTGTTGATAGTTGCCACCATTGTTGTAGCCGGACTGCTGCTGTTGGTAGTATCCGGCATCATTGCCCCGCTGGTTGGCATTGTAGTAATTATCGGCTTCACCCATGGCGCCTGGGCTCGTCGCTAGCGGATATCGACGAGTCGCACAATGTCAATGGTGGATGATATCGGCGTCGATGATTTCGGTAGCAATATTGATGGAAGTTGCAAGATCCAGGTCGCGAGTCGCAAGATGCAATGGCGCTGTGCCAGCGAAGATGAAAAGAACAGAAATGCAGATGCGGACTGTGGCCGCAAACAGCAACCAAGACAAGCGGGGTGGATGGGAACTGGAAGGGAACCGGGAGATGAGAGAGACATGGCAAGACACGCCGCGTGGTGCCGGCCAGCGGCTTGGCTCGCTCCTGCCCGGTTCCAGTCCGGTTCCAACCCAGTTCATGAAGTCATTGATTCGGCGCCGCACAAGCTGCGCACAAGCTGCGCAAGGTTCGCAACGCTATCGGTCAACTGTAGCGCGATCGGGTTTAGGGCCCCCTGCAGCGCCCATAGCTCCAAGCTCGGCAGCTTTTTCGCCCGCTGTGAGTGGTCGACTCGTCCGCAAGCAGCGCCAGTTCAGCTGCCCAGGCCTCTGAGAAATTAGAGTTACAGGGGCCCATCGGCCCACCAGATCGGCAGCAGGCTCCCAAGAGCTCTGGGCACGCTGCTGATTGGTCGGAGCGGCACTTGGGAGCCGAAGCCAGGTAGAGCATCTCAGCTTGCTTTTGTTCCTCTTCAGGTGAATCATGTCAGATTTGCTCGATCTGTAATTTCTGACCACGCAACAATCCTCCAAAAATCGAATAAACTACGATTTGTTTATTTTTAAAATCTCACACAACATCTAGGCTCAGTCCCGGATCCAGTTCTCTTTGGTGATTTTTCTTTATTGGATCACCACCCAGTGGACGCGATATCCAAGCCTGGCGCCAAGAGAAGGCATCAGGATTAAAGATGAATGGGGACACTTAGCCCCAGTGGAGATGTTTACCCCAGAGGTCCAAACACATGGCACATCTGACTGGGATCTTCAAAGTACCATCATTATGTCGATGAGCTAAATTGCAGACTCGGATGATCCCGCAATAGAGCGCCTCCAGGAATATACAGTATCGAAGCTCGGCCAATGGCGAATTGATCTCAGCTCTAAACTATTCTAACGACGATTGCTTGTGCACACTACAGATCTTTTTTCCAGTTGATATTTCAGGATGGGACGGGATGAATTTGCAAGCACGCTTCCCCAGACACCCAAATAATAGCCTTTGTGTCGACGAGCTCGAATACCAGCTTGTGGAGTTTACAACTCGCCACATCTGGCCGTCCCTAACACACCCCTTCGCGCGTATTAAAGCTGAAGGGGTTCCACCAGTTTATGAGCTTTGGAGTGATGTGAGTCTGGATTATGGTATGACGCACCAGGTCACCCACCTCACGCAACCATTTGGTGGATGATAAACGATTTACTTCTCCTTATTCGATTCTAACTCCTCAGCTCGCATCATAGCGAAACTAGATCAAGGGAAACATCTTGATAGTGTACGATATCAGCACACGTCTTAATAAATCCTGCAATGTTCCTCACGATGAGAAGGATCCAGCTATTAAAAGGCTGAACGAACGGGAGAAACGCCCTGCTTTCGAACTTGGCTCCGTCTCAGAGTTCAACCAGCTCTCGAAACAGTGTTGTCCAAAAAAAAAGGCGGCTCGGAAGGCAAGGGCAGCTACAGATGCCTCCGAGCGTATCGTCCTGGTATGATCCGTTACCAACTAAGTTCAACTCCCAAATGGTGTGCTGTGATGAAATATGATCAGTGAAGCGGGAAAATTGGGAGCGCACGCCGAAGAACAAGCTCGGTAGCGGGGTTCGTATTTTTACGATTTTGTGTCTGGTGACGTGATGGACGGCAACTAAGCCCTATTGTTCTAGGTATTAGTATTTATTTCACCCCAAGTAACATGAGTAGTACCACAAGGTTAAAATGAGAGAGAGTAAAGGAACATGTAACGATCCCTTTGGTCGTTAAGTCTGTGTCGTTGTATCCTTGGCTGCAAGACAGGGTGGCGACGGGTGGTGGGCCAGGGAATCGCCGATCGCCTCACTCAGGATCAGGCGCATCATATTTTTCGGGTGGCGTTCATACCCGCTGATCATCTTTTTTTTCTTGGAATGGCAGAGTTTGACGAGCGTGCTTTTCTGTTTGCAGAAATCAAGCGATTGCACCCAACTCCTTCCACCCATCAACGCCGTGCATTACGCAGCAGATAAAGCGTGACGTGAAGGTATTAAATCTCAGAATTAGTCACGCTGCTGATCAGACCCCATATTCATCGAAACCTGGCGGATGACTCTCCCCGGGTGAGGTGAGATTTGTCGAACGATGGGGAACGGGTGCTTGCGTCCGAGGATGCAAATCTCAGAGACCCGCCGGCTGTGTCTCCTGTTTCTGGCAAGACGCAGTGTCAATAGTCTATGTAAGAGACTGTTGGTTCGCCCCGACGCGAGTGGGAGGTTGCTTGGTGTCATTCTCTTTTGTCAACTACGTCTTCTTCAAAACAACATCCACGCGCAAGGCAGTCAGAAAAGCTCCCCCGTCTGGGAGATTTTGCCGCGACCGGGCCGGTGACAGAGGGAAAAAGCCAGCAGGGATAAGGCAGCACCGATGAGTCCTCAGATGGGTCCCTGGGGCCCCGTGATAGCCCCCGTGATGTTAAGATGTGACGACGACATCGGCCTGGATAGTACGAGGTACGGCGGGGAGCGTAGTAAAGAGTACATAATAGAAAAGCAGGCTTCTAGAAGGCATCTGGGCTGCAGGGCGGGGGGTGAATGCGTGCGAGCCGTTGTAGCAGCGGGAACCGGCGGCGCCAGATCGAAGCTAGCAGGGATGCCGGGGGACCCAAGCCGGTCAGGCCGACCTGTGTAATACCAGGTACGTACGCGAAGAAGGCGAATTGGTTGTTGACGTTGGGTTGGGTTGGGTTGGAGGAAATCCTTGGCTGGTTCCCTGTGCCGCAATGATGGGATGAACAGAGTCATGAGAGGGCAGGGTAAAAATCAGTAGAGAAGACACATGCCGCAACGAGGCACAGAATAGGCAGTTGTTGAGTGGCGCGCATCCTCGGTACAGAAGATGAAAAAAAACAGGATCGATCCGTCCCTCCATCATCGTAAATCAGGTCCCATCTAGAATATGCATGGAATGCGCGGAAAGAATGCATGGATGGGCAATGGAAGCCAGCTCGCAGCAAATAGCCTCAGCGCTCGTGCAAAATTTTGGCTCTTGGCTTGGGTTTGGCTTGGTTGGCCACCGAAAAGGGCCAGGGCGCTGAAGCCGATTGGCCTGGAGCGCAACCGACACCCACTGCCGCGAACGCTTTTACGCCGCAGCAGCGCCGTAGTGCAGCCAAACCAGGCCCTAGCTTGGGCATTTTTCAGCGGGCCGTCGCCGAAACAGTGAAGGAGCCGCGCTCTGGAGAGGCGAAACCTCCACTAGGAAAATCTCGCGATGGGTTCACGTTTTTTTTTCTTCATCGCCTTCTCCACAACGTCACCACCACCACGTCCGCTGTCCCAGCTCCTCCCGCTGCAAGCCATCGCCGGCCCCTGCTGCTGCTGTCTTTGCCGCTGCCACGGGCGTCGCCGATGCTACCAGGCCCAGCTGAGGCGGTTGGGGGCACACTACAGCTGCGGCAGGCGGCTAGGGCTCCGGCAACGGGGGCCAGTGGCATGGCAATATGGGAATAGGATGGGATCAGCTTGGCCATTGCTCGTTCCCGTGGGGAGAAATTTTGCGCAATGGGCCCATGGGGCCATGATGGAGCCCTGTCTTTGACGGGCCTCGCATTCTGTTCTTGTTACATAACACGACCGCTTTCCATCCCACTTGGCCCTGACTCCCCCGTTGCTCATCCAGTTCTGTGCCGTCCCGACTTGTCTGCTTTGCTTTGCTCTGCTCTGCTTTGCCCTCTTCTGTCCCGCTGCTCTGCCTCTCTGCTGTAGCTCTTTGATGCTGGCTGGTTGTCCTGTCACGGTCTCCGTGTCTCTGTGCCTCTAGTCGCTTGCTCCATATATCAATTGCTTCTCGGCCAACCTTCGTCAACCTCCTCGATTCTTGTCGACTGGCTACCGGCTTTGTCCCTGGCGCTCCCCGGAAACCACACATCAGATCTCAACCCCCGCCAAGGCTGCAAAAATGTTTGCCGCCGATTCGTCCAACGACGAAAAGTCGCCCCGGCCCAGCAAGGAGAAGCGCGTTGCCGGCGATGGCCCTCAGGAGGATCTCGAGACGGGCGACTCTGGCCTTGACCGTAGCATGAGCTCCCGCCATCTCCAGTTCATCGCCATTGGTGCAACCATTGGAACTGGTCTGTTCCTGGGTATTGGCTCGGCCCTCGCCAAGGCCGGCCCCGTCTCTCTGCTTATTGCCTTCATCTTCATGGGTACTGTCGTCTACTCCGTCATGACCAGTCTGGGAGAGATGGCCGCTTATATTCCCGTTGCCGGCTCCTTCACCGCGTACGCCACGCGCTTCGTCGACCCAACTCTCGGTTTCGCCATGGGTTGGATCTACTGGTTTAGTTGGTCCATCACCTTCGCCCTCGAGCTTACCGCTGCCGGTCTCATCATCCAATACTGGAATAGCTCTCTCAGCATCGCCATTTGGATCGCCGTGTTCTGGGTTCTCTTCACCGCTCTCAACTTCCTTCCCATCCGCTGGTTCGGTGAGGTGGAGATGTGGTTCTCCAGCATCAAGGTCATCACCATCATCGGCTTCATCATCTTCTCCATCTGCATCAACGCCGGTGTAGGTGACGAGGGCTACATTGGCTTCAGCAACTGGAAGAACCCGGGCCCTTTTGCCGAGTACATGGTTGAGGGTGACAAGGGCAAGTTTGTGGGTTTCTGGGCCGTCCTCGTCACCGCTGGCTTCAGCTACCAGGGCGCCGAGCTCGTCGGTGTTGGTGCCGGTGAGACTGCCAACCCTAGCAAGGCCATTCCCTCCGCCATCCGCTGGACTTTCTGGGGCATCTTTGTCCTCTTCGTCTCCACCGTCTTCTTCGTCGGTCTCAATGTTCCGTTCGACCTCGAGGCCCTCAACACCGACAAGACCGATGCCTCAGCTTCTCCCCTCGTCATTATGGTGGTGCGCGCCGGCGTGCCTGTTCTTCCCCACATCCTTAACGCTGTGCTGCTCACGGCTGTGCTCACGGCCGCCAACTCGAACGTCTACTCCAGCAGCCGCATCATGGTCGGTCTGGCCGAGGAAGGCCTTGCCCCCCAGTTCCTCAAGCGCACCAACCGCGTTGGAACTCCCTACTACGCCGTCGGTCTCTGCTCTCTGCTCGGCCTCCTTGGTTTCCTCAACCTCTCCTCCAGCGGCACCCTCGTCTTCGACTGGCTGCTCAACATCTGCGCCACCGCCAGCTTCATCGTTTGGGCTCTCATCAGTATCTGCCATCTCCGCTTCCAAAAGATCCTCAAGGTCCAGGGTATCAACCGCGAAGAGCTCCCATTCATTGCTCCATTCCAGCCTTTCCTGTCTTACTACGGCTTCTTCTTCAACACTCTGATCACCATTACCAACGGCTTCACTGTATTCATTGACTGGAACACGAGTGACTTCTTCTCGTGTTACGTCAGTCTCATGCTCTTTATCGCTCTCTACGTCGGGCATAAGATTATCTGCCGCACCAAGATTGTCCCGCTAGCCGAGGCCGATATTACTAGGGGGCGGCAATCGTGATGGGAGGTGGTGGTTAAAAAAAGCATGTGTTGTAATTTTGCGTAATGTTTTGATAATAATGATACCCGTTTATCGGAAAAGTCTTTACACCCAGTGTTTCTCGTAAGAGCGCAATGTGAGCTATGTCTAAACATGTTTCCAGTTATGAACTATGTGATGGAAACAGAGGCAAACTGGCTGGTTTCAATATGCGTCCTTCGGTGTATGATCTCTTCACGTATCACGACCACAGCATCAAGCCTCCCTGGGGTCACCGTTACGTGTTTACATTAAAATGCGATGTTTCCAAGGTCTCGAACATGTGCCTCCCCCACGCATTCATAGCTATTATTGATGATCGGAAAGCCTGGAGCATGTCGCGTCTCGGAATCACATTCTCGGTCAACTAGCTCCCCCTAGTCGACGTATCAATAAAGACCATTCGACTGACCGCTCATGCAAAGGGATATGCAGGACGATGGAAGGGGAAATATACACGTAAACAGGGCGCACGCGACCTCAAACTACCTCGGGCCGTCGGGTTGTGCAACACTATCTCGAGCCATATCTACAAAGGTGGTGCATTTGAGACGTCAAGATTTGGTATAAGTCATGACTATCGTAAAAATCAATGAGTACGCTTTTTATTTAACTTTCAGACTAATAGGTACAGAATTAACGGGAGTCAAAAATTTTGCGAGATCCGAGAATGAAGTCAACTCAGGTACTCATATCCAAATACTTTCCTAGATTGTCCAAGGCTCGATCACGCAATCGTCATCCCGCGGGCACATGGACCACACCTGCATTTTAGGACAACACATCACGAGGGTTTCCAATACGATAGGCGTTCGACATAGCGAACTAACATTGGCACATGACCTAACACTGCCGCAATTGACTCTTTGAACACCTTGCATAGGCACACTCGGAGTGCCCCAAAGCATGAAGCCGAGTCGATCCTGGTTTCTGTGGAATTGCAGCTACCCTGTACCTGTTCCTGAGAGCTTATCAAAGCCGACATCGGGTGCTTCCGATTTGCAGAGGATGACCTCACTAGGACCAAATATAGCCTAGCGCCCTATACCGAAACATTTTCTGGCACGTGAAAGTGGCCCAGCAGTTTGGTTGGGAATACCCCCAGCTCGAAAACATCGTCATCGAAAATGCAACAGTTCTCATGATCGACGACAGTTGACACCATCACCGACTCTATTGGCAGTTGTGCAGAACGTCCCCCACGCGTGATTCATAGCCACGATGGCTCTCGAGACACAAACATTGGCCCGGGCTCGCACATCCCGCCATTGCTCCGGGTTCAGAGTGTTGGGCCCCGGATCAAGATGCTGCACCAAGCCTGATTCGGAGCTAGATCAAGCGGTATGAACCGTGTGGTTTTGGTGGAGGCTGTCGTCCAACCCAATCACGGAACCCCAATTCCCGACGTGGGGGCTTTGCAACTCAACATTGCCCTGATGGATGCACAAGGTGATGCACAAGCGAGGAAATAAATCGGGGCCGAGCAGCCTCTGGTTCCTGGTTGATGTGAGGGCGGTGGCAACATCTGGGGCAGTCCTGTTCCAAGTCTGAACCAAGAACTTCTATTTATCATCCCATCTCGCGTCCCTGTTTGTGGAGACAACCTCAATTGCCACTTCCATCGCGTCATCGACCCCGCGAGTCGCCTTTTAAGCCCGTTTCGAACGATGGAAACCGTTTGAGACGTTGGTCCAAGACATACATTACACGACAGCCGCGCTTCGTGAACCCCGGCGTCTGTGAAAACTTATCGACAGTCATCATTTTAGACCCGCCGATAACCTTTGTCCGTCTCCGTCTGTCTCCATCTGTCCGCACCTTGTTGGGGTTTTCCCGGGATCCATCACCGACATCTCTGGATTAACGGCGTGGTCGCGTGACCCACTCCGTCTCTCACTTAACTACGGCCGCCCGCCGTCCTGCCACGCTGTCTTGATACGAGACACACTTGGAAAGATGACTGTCCTCGACATTAACAAGGACTTGGTGAGCTTGTTCGAGCAGCAGGCCGCGGCTACGCCCAATGCCGTCGCTCTCGAGGATGAGACGAGAACTCTCACCTATGCCGAGCTTGACAGCGAGACATGGGCCCTGGCAGACCGCCTCCGGGACCATGGCGTTGGCCGCGACGACCTCGTCGGTGTGCTCATGGGTCGGAGTGCCGACTACGTGATTGCTTCTCTTGCTGCACTTCGTGCTGGAGGTGCATTCCTCGTGCTTGAGCTGGCCTATCCTCCGGGTCTGCTGCGCGATGTGGTTGACGATGCAAAGCCCACCGTGGTTATCACCCAGATGGCTCATGCCAGCCAAATTAAGTCAGACGTCCCTGTCATCATCATTGACAACCCCGACAAAGCTGCCGGGAGGGAACATGTCCCCGAGCTTGACGCAAGACGTCCATTGCCTTCCGAGGATGATGTTGAGAGGCTTGCGTTTGTCTCATACTCCTCCGGTACCACTGGCCAGCCCAAGGGAATCATGAACCCCCACAGAGCAGCGGTGCGCTCATACGACCTGAGATTCGGCGTCAGCGACCTTCAGCCCGGTGACAGGGTGGCTTGCAACGTCTTCTTCGTCTGGGAGATTCTTCGTCCTCTGTTGCGTGGAGCGACAGTGGTTGCCGTCCCAGACCGGGTCAGCTACGACCCCACGGCTCTTGTTGACCTGCTTGCGTCTAAGCGCATTACCGACACTCTCATGACTCCGACACTCCTGGCGACTGTTCTTTCTCGACACCCCAAACTCAGCGACCGCCTGCCGGAGCTGCGCTCACTATGGCTCAATGGAGAGGTGGTTACCACAGATCTCTGCCGCCGCGCCATCTCCGCGCTCCCCTCCACCACCAGCCTACTCAATGTCTACAGCGCAAGCGAGACTCACGAGGTTGCCGCTGGCAAGATCCAAAGCTTCATTAACTATGAGGACAGCGTGTGCCCCGTCGGCCAGCCTACCGACCCTGAGCATACTTACATTCTGGATGAGGCTGGCAACAGAGTTGGTCCCGGCGTCAGCGGCGAGCTCTTCGTTGGCGGAGACCTCCTTGCGAGAGGTTATCTAAACCTCCCAGAGACAACCGATAAAGCCTTCCAGATGGACCCTTTTGAGAGGAAAAAGGGCGCCAAAATGTATCGCACTGGCGATCTCGCCCGAATTCTCCCTTCTGGCCTCTTGGAGATCACTGGCAGAGTTGGTGGCATGATTAAGACTCGTGGCTACACCGTCCAGCCCGGTGCCGTTGAGAGCGCCATCGTCAAGCACCTGTCCGTCCGCGACTGTGCAGTCATTGCTCACGGCGAAGGACTCCAGAGGCAGCTCGTTGCCTACTTTGTCCGCGACGAAGGTGAGCACAGAGACCGAACCATGCCCATCATTGATGAGTATGGGTACAGCCCGGTGTCCCGGCGTGCCCTTTCTGCGCATCTTGCGCACTACATGATTCCTGCAATCTGGGTCGAACTGGATGAGTTGCCTACACATGGTGTGTCTGGAAAGACGGACCTCAAGGCGTTGCCCTCACCGCCATCACCCAGGTCACCCATCGTTGGCAGCCCTAAAAAGGAGCAAAACATCAAGATCAAGATGGAAACCATTATCATGATGTGGGCGGCTTCTCTCAAAATGCCAGCAACCGCCATTACCCCCAAGCATGACTTTTTTGACCTTGGTGGCCACTCCCTTGCACTCGCAGACCTGGCTAGCCGACTATCAAAGACCTTTGGCTTCCCTGTTCCACTTGGTCCCCTGGCTGGAACTCCTACCCTGGAGGGACATGTTGAAGCTGTGAAGGCTGCGCGCGACGGCCACACCGCGGCTGTGCAAGCTGATTTGCCAGCTGTTCTCCGTGCTGATAGTGTTCTTCCTGACGATATTCAGTCTAACGGCACCCCGATGCGTCCACTTAAGGACGCCGAGACTGTTCTGTTGACTGGTTCCACTGGATACTTGGGTGCTTTCCTGCTCAAGACTCTAGTGGATACTACTTCTGCTCACATTATTTGCCTTGTACGCTTCCCCGAACCGGTTGAGGACTGTGCCCCTGCGGGTATGGCTCGAATCCGCAAGAATCTGATTGATTTGGGTCTATGGGATGACTCAATCCTCGAGCGTATGGAGATCCTCCCCGGTAACCTGGCAAGAAAGCGTCTGGGTCTTTCCCCTGAGAATTTTGACGACCTGGCGACACGAGTTCAGGTGATAGTGCATGCCGCCGCTACTGTCAACTTGGTCTACCCCTACGCTGCTCTTCGAAATGCCAATGTGGGAGGCACGAGAGAAATCTTGCGCCTGGCCTCCCGCAGCGGTGCCACTGTTCACCATGTGTCCACCAATGGTGTCCTCCCGCCCTCAACTGAGGGTTGGTCTGAGGATGTGGTTATCGACGTTGATAGGGTCCCGACAGATCTCCTAGATGGATATGGACAGACCAAGTGGGTTGCCGAGAAGCTGGTCTACGAGGCCGGTAGTCGCGGAATTCCTGTTCGAGTGTACCGTCCAGGTACTATCACTGGCCACAGCGTCTCTGGATCGACCAACACCTACGATCTAATGAACGCGTTGGTCGTTGAGTCCTTGCAGCTTGGCTATGCCCCCGATGTTGAAGGATGGTTCTTGGAGATGGCCCCCGTGGATTTCGTTAGTGACGCCATTGTTACTCTTGCCAACCACACAGATGACACCGAGCAACCTCTGTATCACCTTGGCGACCCTGCCCCCATTTCTTCCAAGGACTTGTTTGCGTCTCTCGCTGAACTTGGGTACGCGACCCAACCTCTTCCGTGGGACGAATGGGTTGCACTCTGGAACGAGAAGCGCGGCGGCAAGAAGGGCGGTGATTGCCCCTTCACTGTGGACATCCTCCGTGGTGGTATGCCTAGTGTGGAGGTCCTAAAGTCTGTCATTGTGCTTAAGGATGGCAAGACTCAGCCGACTTTGGATAAATATGGCATCAGCCGCCGAAAGATCGACGGCGGGCTCCTCGAAATCTACACTCGACACTTCTACGCGCGAGGTTGGATTTCCAAGCCCCCTCGTCGAAACCAGGTCAACGGCGTTGTGCCCAAGGTTCGCAAGGGCAAGTTGGCTGGCAAGGTTGCTGTTATCACAGGTGCCTCGTCTGGCATCGGTGCTGCCGTAGCTGCTGGGTTGGCCAAGGAGGGTGCCCACGTTGCGATCGCAGCTCGACGTACCGACGCCCTCGAAGCCATCAAGAAGAAGATCGCTGTGCATGGAGGCAAGGTCCTGATCCACAAGACAGACGTGACCAGCAAGGCGCAAGTGGAGTCGCTCATGAAGACGGCCAGCGAGGAACTCGGCCCCGTTGACATCCTTGTTAGCTGCGCCGGAGTAATGTACTTTACTATGATGGCCAACAACCATACCGACGACTGGGAGCGAACCGTTGATGTCAACTGCAAGGGTCTGCTCCACTGCATTTCCTCCACGGTCCCGGGCATGCTGGCCCGAGGCGCTGGCCACATTGTTGCCATCTCCTCTGATGCAGGACGCAAGGTATTCCCTGGTCTTGGAGTCTATTCTGCTAGCAAGTTCTTCGTCGAGGCGACGCTGCAGAGCTTGCGACTTGAGACGGCGGGCTCAGGACTTCGCGTCACATCGATCCAGCCAGGCAATGTCGCTACCGACCTTTTGGGCCTGTCGACCGACGCCGAGGCCCTGAAGAAGTTTGGCGAGCCCTCGGGCGCCAAGGTGCTGGAGCCAGAGGAAGTGGCCTCGTCTATTGTCTACGCCGTGTGCCAACCTGGTCATGTTGCTGTCAACGAGGTGCTCATCGAGCCCCGTGACGAGCCCATCTAATAAGGGTGACCAACTGCGAGAATTCAACAAATCGAGTGATGTGCTCTCTCGACAACGATTTGCATGATTTACGCGTTATTTAGGATTCATGTAGATTGTTTCACCTCGACCGGCCTCTCTTGGCCTTGGCATTTTGTTTCTTGGTACGATCAAATCACGATGATGTAGCGACTCAACGGCGTTGAAGAAAGATCGCGGGGCCTGGGCTTGCGCGTTTCAACACGCCAGAAGCAGATATACCCCTTTCAGAGGTTCCTTCAAGGAGCCCCGGAGATTGTTTGAATAAAGTATTGTTTCGATTTGTTGTCTCATGTGCGCTGGGGGTTGTGTGATGACCATGATGAACATGATCACCACGTCCGGTTTCGTTTCCGTCCGCTCTCTCTTGAATTGATTGCATGAACTTGAGAATCACCCTTTGGCGATTTCTTGCGGTTCAGGACTGCAAATACATTTTAAATCACTGGCCAAGCCGACATGATCCAGCTGTTGCATTGACAATGGGCCCGAAGGATCCCCGTCCCTTAGATGTTTGGCTCGCCAAATTAATTGACCTGCTGGGATGCAAACCCGGCGTCGACCACTCGGATTGCCCCGAACAAATCATCTCACCTGGGCCCACGACGTGGTTGCGCAGCCTGAAACGGGACGCACCCAGGGCCGTCGTGTGGATTCGCCTCTGCGGCCTTGGCTGCAGCTGGTAAGGAAGAGTAGGGCTCGCAATGGCCCACGAAGAACCCAGGCGGGTACGCGGAGCAGCGGTGCAGACGGGGAGTTTGAATCGAGCCCACGCTTGCTCGCTCTAAGCTTAACGGCAGCCAGCATCACCGTGGGCTCTTAACCGAACGGTGACAGAACCCGGCCGAGATGAGAGACTGGGCCTCCACCTGAACTGGGACTGACAGGGGGCTCCGGCGGCTCAAGGTCGACAGGGGGATGGGAAGCGAAGATCACCCCATCGTCTAGACGGCAATCGAGGCTCGGGAAACCTTCTTGATCGAGGATTGAACCCAGCGATGCGGCTCTCCACTATGGGGGGTTGCTCCGCGTACCTGACGAGGAGAATTGTAGCTTCGCGAACGAGTCACGGGAGTCAATGGCGAAGTGCAGTCTTGTTCACGGGCTTTGGCCAGTTCTCATCTGCTGAAGCCTTACCGGTATTGCCTCTCGCTTCAGCCAAGCGAATCGATCCAACGCATCTTGGTTTTTCTGTTTCTCCCGCTTGGCAAGTTTCCCGTTACCGACTGAGCATCCTCGCCGGAAATCTCCTCGCAATCTCTCCAGGCCTCGCGTGGCCGTCGCAACTTGAGGCTCAAACATGACATGGCGATAATCCACCAATCGCCGCGGCGCCCCTTGCGCTGGCCCCAAACACGGGGGTTCCAGGGACCCGCCCTACCGACTTACAGGGGGGGGCCCAGATGGACGCTATTTCCACGCGACGCGAGGGGCGGATAATGATGGGATCTGGGATTCTCGCAGCCTAGTGGGTTGTAGGCGGGGTTCCAGAATCCGGTGAGCTCGGCTCTTGGCTGCGGTTTTGGGAACGCCTTGCGCTGGGGGCCAGGCCGCATGCGAGATGCTGGGCTGGGCTGGGCGAGTTTGGGTCTGGTTGAGATGCCATGGACAAGCTTGTAGGACAGGGCGGGCGCTGGAATGGCCCTGTTCACCGACTTCTGCGTGTATCTTGGTTGTGGTTGAGTTATTGAAATGGTGTGGTTCAGTTATTGAAATGGCGGTGGTGGTGTTGCTGGTCGTCAAGACAATGAACATCCATTGACACGCAGACGCAATGCTTTCCGCGCATTACGCCTCCCCATCCGCCCGTCTACGAATCAATGCCGCGGCACACAGCGCCAATGTTTGGAATTGACAGTCTCCAGGCCGCTCACCGGCTCGAAACGGCGGAATCTGGCCCCGGGTCGTCCAGATGCAGTTTGCCGCAATGGCAATTGGCGGACTATCAACGCAACGCTCCTCCGGGCCTGGGGTCCATCTCCGGCCGGCGCTTGTCATCCCAAGACCCCTGTCCTGGCTCCATTCTCGTTGCCGCCACCGGGCTTCGGTTGTGGTGGACGACCGGGGGGGTTGGACAAATTGACAGAGGAAACTGGGCTAGGGAACTGAGGACTGACTGCTCGGTTGTGGAGAGCCAGCAAGGGATGAGACGGGACGGTTCAACTCTGCCTGTCCTAGGCCAGATCTAGAAACTCAGGCCCGGCCAGCTCGCTGCCAAACATCCGTATATCAACTGCACCTCCCTCGCCGCTTGGTTGTATTCCCTTCCCTTCTCTCCTCAGCCTCTTTTCTCAACGGACCTCGAAGGACCAGATCAGCCATTCTTTTCTTGTACGCTTGTACATTCACTTTCATTGTATTGCCATTCTTTCAAGCCTTGACGGCCCCCAATTTTCAAACACACCAAACTTTTTGCTTCGTGCTCCTTGAGCCTTCATTCCAACCACTCTCTATCCCTAGCATCTGGTCCCAGAGACTCCAACCAAGATCCTCAACAAACAAACTACCCAGTTCCAAAAACTCGACTTATTCGTTTATACCCCAACCGCCAAAATGAAGTCCTTTGCCGCCCTCGCCGCCATCGTGCCCCTCGTCGCCGCCCACGGCTTCATCAAGTCCCCCGCGCCCCGCCAGCCCGGCGATGCCTTCCGGGCTGCTTGCGGTGACCAGCCCTACTACCAGCAGTCCTCGGACATCAACGGCAATGTCCAGGGCATCCTGCAGGTCGTCGGCAGCGACTTCGACGCCTCGGCCTGCAACCTGTGGCTCTGCAAGGGTTTCCAACTCGCCGACAACACCGACCTCGTCCAGAGCTACACCGCCGGCGAGACGGTCGACTTCGCCATCAACATTGCCGCTCCCCACACCGGTTACGCCAACGTGTCGGTTGTCAAGACCAGCACCAACAGCATCATCGGCACGCCCCTGATCGAGTTCTCCAACTATGCCTCCAACGCTGGCATGCCCGCCAACAACACCGCCTTCAGCGTCACCATCCCCGACGACCTCGGCAGCGAGTGCTCCACCGCCGGTGACTGTGTTCTGCAGTGGTTCTGGGACGCTGCCGATATCAACCAGACCTACGAGTCTTGCGTTGATTTCACTGTTGGTGGCAGCTCCTCTGGCGGCTCCGGCTCCGGCTCTGCCTCTTCCGCCGTTGCCTCTTCCGCCGCCCCCGCCGTTACCTCCGCTGCCGCTACCACTGCCGTCGCCGCTGTCACTGAGACCGGTGTTGTGACTTCTGCCATCACTCCCGTTGCTGCCTCTTCTGCCGCCGCTGAGGTTACCTCCGAGGCTCCTGCTGCCACCACTTCCGCTGTTGCTGACGATGAGGAGTGCCCCGCCGATGAGGATGAGGGCGATGACGAGGATGCTGGTGATGATGAGGAGTGCCCCGCTGATGAGGATGAGGGTGATGACGAGGGTGACGATGAGGACGACTGCGAGGATGACGGCGAGGAGACCACCATCGAGTCCACCGTCGTCGTTGCTCCTACTGTCGCTGCCGTCTCTGTTGTCTCTTCCGCCGCTGCCCAGGTCACCTCCGCCGCTGCCTCTTATGTTGTCCCCTCCGCCGCCCAGTCCGGCTCCAGCGGATCCGGTAACGGCTCTGGCAACGGCGCCGCCGTCACTTCGTACGTCACCGTGACCGGCAAGCCTCACACCAAGACACATGTGCAAACCAAGTACGTCACCGTCACTGCTGATGCCCCTGCTTGCACTTAAGCAGCGGAGCGTCGCGCGCTCACGGGAGTCCTGCCGTCTTGAATGGAGGTGGTGCTCGGCCGTTTGAGCCATGGATCGTGTTGGCAGTTAGATTTATTCGTCGACTGTAGATATTTCTTCTGGGTAGCCCCCTGTGGGGGTAATTCAATTGTACCATACTTGAGCATCTTTGATTCTTTGCCTGCTTGCTGTGAGATGTGTTAATGCGATGTAAATGTGATGTCAATGTCGGATTCCTCGACAGTCGCTGGGCTCGGCGCAAAGGGAGAGGTTGACGCTTCCTTAGTGGCAGTCCGACTTCGCTTGCGTTCTGATAATCCCATGGAATGTTTCGCTTGTGGACAACCCATTGTGCATTGTATTGCTTCCGCATTCCTGAACTCAACTTCGGGTGGCTTCGAGACAAGGGAAAGACCTTCGGCAAGCATCTCTGGATTGCTGTGACGACGACAATCCGCTTGGATGCGCGTAAGACATTCAATGGGAGCACTCGCTATTAATGGCAGCAGACATGACGAGGCGCAATTAAACATAACGCCGAGTGACCTGTGTGGATGACACAGAGACACAAACTGACTCAACTCAGACCCGAGACAAGAATGAAATACCGGGCTGGACTGGTACACACTCTGTTGTTCGGGATGAGCTGGAATGCCAACAAGAAAACTGAGAGCTTAGAGGTAGGTTTGACGATAAGCATGTCCTTGGAGTAAATAGGCTTAAGTTGGCGTCAAACCGGACAGCTTCGTATACGGGTATACGGGGGAATGAAGGGAAGAGGAAGATCAGACGGAAAGTCAATCGACCCATCGACCAATTGGTCAATCGCGTCCAACTGTCATTACCTACCGCATTAGGCAAATAAAACTAGGCAAAATGAAACAAGGCCAATCAAGCAGTAGGTGAATGCCCTACCGGCCGTCGGTGTCCCGAGACCCGGATTCTCGGGAGTCGCAAAGGCACTACTGCATCTTCAGGGGCGCTGTGACCTTGTGAGAGAGGGCCTGAGAGCCTGCGGCTGCGTAAGACGCAGGGCATAGCGTCGCGCTGGAGACGCCCCCATGTAGGTGAGAAGGGGCGCGTGAGCGCTACAGCCCCTGTAAATCTCCCCTGTATTTTGTAGGTTCCTTGTAGTGCTTCCAGAGCTTCCTGCTGGGCTCTCAGTGTGGCTGCCGCCCATCAGGTCGGTAATTTTTAGCCTCCACATTCTGACGCTGGCGGTTATTATGTATGCACCACTACGCAGCATGTAGGGGCCAGGGTTCATCGTGCTGCTTCTTACATGGTGCTTCGGGACATCCATGTTGCTTTGTACCTGGTACGAGTGAGGCCGAGTTCCAGCGCTTCGGAAGTCGGTGGCCGCGTAGCCTCAACCATCAACACTCCGAGTATCTTGCTTGACGGCTTCAAGACTCGGAAGATTGGATCACTCTGGAACTAAATATCCGCCGTGCCAGCACCTACCGGGCCAACCACTGTGCCGTATGCCCAAGAACCAGCCACATTTGCCCGACACTGGAATTCACTGCTGCATCTCCGAAGCCAATCCCGATCTCCAACCGCCTCATGTCGCAGGCGTCATGTGCGGGTGTCGGCCGGTTCCAAGTCCCCCTATTTCCACGCGGGAGTTTACTTTTGTGGGGAGCCGATGAGCCCGATGAGACAACAGAAAATAAGACCGGCGCCCCTTCTGAGGACGTGACATGGGGATCAGCATTCTGGCGCATCCGGGATTCGAGAGGGGGCGTGGGAGCTGAAGTAAATGGGCCTTTGATTACGTGGCTGGTGGTGCCGGCAGCTGGAAAAGGTGATGCTAAGAACAGCGCCGTCCCGTCCCCACGTCCCGAGGGAATGCCGCACTTGTGATTTGGATGTTCTTTTCGGGATATGGTGCTCGAGACTGGCCCCGGTTTGTCGTGTGAGAACGCGCGTAACGCCTGGGTTGGGTGGACGCTGCGTCTCTTGCGTTCTGCCCCTGTGGATCGCCGGCCCACGAGGCAAATCAGGGCTGGGCTACGATCAAACATCCATCAGACCCTCCTGGGCCGTCTTGGGACGTTGATGGTCGGAGGTTTTTGGTGCCTACACCCCAGCGTGTGGCGGGAGTCTCATGAATCCACTGCAGCAGCGTTGGAAGTACTTTGGTCGAGTAATTTAATCGAGGGCTTTGGCCGAGTCGTCTGATGTTGGGGAGGCTTTCCCGCCCCCAATCTAATATGCGGCTGCGGTTGGTTCGTTCCTGTGAGGCCGATGTACGGGAACGCCTGGTGGGTTTGTTGTGAGACCTGTCTCTCGTTCAGAGTGTTGCGTCTCCGAAGATGCAGCTAGACCCGGTTGGTCGGGTGGCTTGCGAAACCAGATGAATGTGAAAAGCGACTATAATATGATTGCTTGGCAAAGGGCAATATTGAAGGATGAACCTCGAAACATTGAATGAGCACGGGCGACGAGGATGGACATGACCTTGGCAATGGCCCTAGAAACGATGACGGAGAGGTGATGCATTCCGGTGCCCGTCCGCAGGCCATTCCGCATCGTCCGGCGCCAGACGAGGCCCAAGCCAGCAAAGCCAGCAGCATAATTCCGACCTTCGTCACCTGTCTGCGGAAACATACGTACGCAAACCCACCATAACCCACGCACAACCGCGCGGCGCACATGATGGCGAGCAGGGAACCGACGCAGCGCAGCCGGGCCACTTTATTGGGAACCTCCGGGCGACCGCCCGAACCCTGCGCTGGGCTTGCGTCAACAGCCCCAGGGGCGGAGACGCCTGGCATGGGCACCCATGTTGTGGGCACGACGCTGCTTTTACCGCGGGTTCGAGTTGATGGAATGTGTGGTTTTTTTGCTGAGACAATGGCCCATATTACTGTGTGGCACTACGGGAAGGGCGGTCTCGCAAAGGTAAATTCTTGGGAGGCGGCGGCCGTTGTCTGAGTCGTGGTGGCGAGTTGAGGTGGGATTTCGACTGTGCTCGGGTATCGTGATTGGGAACAAAGCAGTCGGCTTCACAGAACAGTAGAGGAGCAGATAGGGATCGACTGCGATGACCACGGTTCAACTCCATAGTATCCGTATATCCTCCGAGATTGGGAGTCGAGAGCAAGTGGCCAGTGCTGCGTCGTGGACCACGAAATTCTCCGCCCTTCTCATTAGAGTAGCGGCTTTGGACTTGGCGGATGCTTAACAACAACAACGGTCGTCAGCCACAGAATAGAGACCGGCCTAATGCGTGCATGACATATATCCCATTAACCTTGATATACACTCATAAAAGAAGCGTCTCAAAATGCTAAAAGCTTAGCCACGGACACGCGTATCGAGAAGCCATCTCAGGCACAAAGCTGGCCCGTCTGTCTTGCGTGACGTCGACTGGCCCACCGACGCCGTCAACCCTGCGCGTGGCAGGGTTTCTCCCAACGACGCAGCTTATAGCGGCGAGACGGCCTGCTCGACTCGGCTGAGCGCACCCTGGACGATGACTGGACGATGGGGAGGCGCGACGAGGCGTGGAGGTGGCTGCTGTGAATACTACTGTACATAGTACGCGGAGGGCGACGTACCTACATCCACCCTCCACTTACACCTGGTGCGCCTAGTAAAGACCAACCGGGGGGTCAGAATCGGCTTCGATGGTACGGAGTACTACGCAGTATATCAAGATGGCTGCCCCTCGATTGTGCCATCTATGCTCTGGCCCAGCCTGGCTTAAGAAACCGCCACAATATTATCTCGATCCTCCATCTCCTTGCTTCATCCTCCCCTCCTTCTCCTTCTCCTCCTCCTCCTCCTCGCCTTCGCTCTCTTTCGCTTTGCTTCCCCTTCTGCGAGCCGCTTTTCTTCGCCCGCCCTCGCCGCTCCCGTTGCCTTCGTTACTCTTAGTTCGGTCTTGCCTGGTCTTGCATTGCTCGCGTGAGAGCGTCACCAGTTTTTGCGCCGCTTCTGCCTTTTTGTCCTCGATTATCGCCATCGCTCGCCAGTTGATGCGTCCAATCCTTACCGTGATTACTACTGCTACTACTGCTGCGACTTCTGCTCTGGCTGTCCCTCCACCCCATCGCTAAACTCGACCTACGATTTGCTACTCCCGACGACTTTCTACTCTCGACGACACTCCAACTTTGCGATTGTACGACTTATTTCAGCATCTTACTCCTAATGGCTCCCAGCCTCAGAAGCACGGCCTCGGCTGTGCTGTCGGCACTCGCCTGGGCTGGCTCCTCCCTGGCGGACACGGTCTTCTACGACAGCCTCGATGAATTCACAGCCCTTGCAAATGCCACCAGCGGATTCCCCAGCCAGACGTTCCGATCCTCGGAAATCATTGCTCCCGTGCTCCACGTCAACACGTACGACCGCAGCGCCGTCGACGATGCTGGCTACATCTTCATCGGCGCCGTGTACGGCAAGATGCGGGCGGGCCCCATGATCCTCGACGCCAAGGACATGAGCCTGGTCTACGCCGACCAGCGCTACGACAACTCCTACACCTCGCAGGTCCAGACGGTGAACGGAACCAACTACCTGGTCTTCTGGGAGGGCGTCCACAACCGCGGCCATGCTAACGGCTACGGCCTCGTGTTCAACGAGAACTACGACCTCGTCTACAACGTGACGGCCCACGGCTACCAGGACACCCTTGCTGACATGCACGAGATGCGCATCACCGAGAACAACACTGCCTTGTTCACCGTCTACTGGAGTATCCCCTGGGACTGCACCTCTATGGGAGGGCCCGTCGACGGCTTGTTGATGGACAGCGGCTTCCAGGAGGTCGACATGGAGACGGACGAGGTGCTCTTCACTTGGGCGGCTACGGATCACTTCGATGTTAAAGACACCTACGCCCGCTACGGCAGCGGATTCGGCGTCAGCGACAACTCGGGCTTTGACTTCTTCCACATCAACTCGGTCGACAAGACCGAAGACGGAAACTATCTCATCTCCAGCCGCCATCTCTCGCTCCTCGCCCTCATCGACGGCAAGGACGGCCACCCGATCTGGGTGCTCGGCGGCCACCGCAACCAGTTCCTCGATTTGAACGACGGCCGCGCCACCAACTTTGGCTGGCAGCACGACGCGCGGTTCTACAAGAACCAGAGCCACATCACCATGTTTGACAATCACGGCGAGCAAACCGGCCCCTGTAAGGAGGACGGCTGTAAGACCCGCGGCCTGCACCTGGCCATTGACACCGAGGCCATGACGGCCCGCATTGTGCAAGAGTATTTCCACCCCGCAGGTATCGACTCGGGCGCCATGGGCGGCTTCCACACGCTCGACAATGACAACGTCATTATCGGCTGGGGCTACAATCCCGGGTTCGTTGAGTACACGCCCGACGGCAAGCCGGTGCTGGACTTCCAGCGCGGCAAGCTGGGCGAGGGCTTCCAGGCCGACATGTTCGCGTACCGCGTCATGAAGCACGACTGGATCGGGCGGCCCAGATGGCTCCCCAGCGCCGCCATCGAGGCTCCTCATCGCACCACGGAGAATGCCACCGTGTGGCTGTCGTGGAACGGCGCCACGGATATTGTCTCGTGGGTAGTGGTAGGTTTTCCTATCCCTGTTTCACCCGTCAGTTTCGTGCCCGCTAACATCACGCAGCTCGCTTCCGACTACGCCAACACGCTCAACGGCCACAGGAACGTCGTGGCCGTCGCCAACCGCACCGGCTTCGAGACGGAGATCTACCTCGGCGGCGAGACGAGCCATCGCTACATGGCCGCCGCCGCCGTCACCGCCGACGGCACCATCCTCGGCTCGACGTTTGTGATTGATATGGCCACCGGCCAGCCGTGCCTCATGGCCAGCCACGTCACCTCCATCTGGCCCGAGATGGAGACCACCATGACTAACTTTGTCCTCATGGGCATGATCATCGGCGCCATCGCCACCGTCTCGACGCTGGGACGCTGGTTTTGGCGGCGACGATACCACCTCCACAGCTGGGACAGCAGTGTCGCCAAGTACGAGCGGCTGGAGCCCGAAGAGAGGCGCATCGACTAAAAAAGAAAAAAGTCCTGTGCTCTTGTGCCTATTAATCTCATGCATGGCGTTGATACCTAGGGAAACGGTGGGAACGGGGAATGGCGAACTGGCGTTACGCGTATTGGGTAAGAGATCCTCATCGCGAGGGGTTCATTTTGTTCACATTCTGTAATTACTCATGGATTATTCCAATATTTACTCATACCCTCTGTCTATTTGCGTGTGACTATTGAATACTTCCCGGCCGGGGGTTGTACACGGCACCAGTTGTCTGTACTCCCCTGGGGTCTCTGATGCTCCGAGACAAAGCCATGTTACTCGCCCGGGAATTTACGAATACAACACCGGGAGCCGCAAAATGTTTCAGTCAAGTCGAGCGAGTGGTTGGGGTGTTGATTCCCTGTAGTGGAGAACGCGTCAGCTGGAGTCTAGCGGTTGTCAATGACGGACGGGGCCCGGGTCTATGTGGGGGGATGCCGGATCGGATCAGGACCAACGTCACCGCGATGACGACGCAGACGAGAAGAACAAAATGTGGGTCGCGCGGGCCCTGTGCGGACTATTCATAGCCTGCAGAATGTGTTGTATCCGAGTTGATGGGTCGGTTGTCATGTCGGAGGGCGTATATCCGTTCTAGAATGCGTCGCCTATCGGTCTGGATAGCTTGCTGTTGGTCGCGGGGAGGAATTCAAGCCAGGTACTAAACCAATCGGCGGGTCGGAGTGTCATGGGCTGGTCTGTGGCATGACTGCGAAACAGACGGAGTTGTCGCTAAGAACCTGAGGGACGGGTGAGGTGATCTAACGGTTCATGGCCGGAAACTGTGACATGTAGCCTCAAACGATGAGTTGCGAGTTGCAGATGGGGCCACTGTGGGATGTGACTTGAATGATGACTTGGCTGGTAGATGTCTCGAGGGAAGACAAGTCATGATGAGGACGAGGGTCGATGGATCTCGTCTAGTTGATATCCGTCGACGCAAACTTGACATGTAATTTTTACTCTAGTTAAATCAAGTAAAATGGATTTTATCCCTATGCGCCATCAACCCTCGAAAGGAAAGACTGTAACTTAATCCATCTTGCGAGGGGACAAGTTGAGCCGCGACGCCCGCAACGCCGAGCCACTTAGTGCGGAACGGGCCGCTCTAGCCTAGTTCTCTCCACTATCACGAGCTGTCAAGCGTCAAGCGTCAACTATCAAGCGTCAAATATCAAGCGTCAAATATCAAGCGTCAAATATCAAGCGTCACAGATCGATCGCCTCTTGTCATAGCCGCCAGACACAATCTAGAGGAGAAGCATCTAAGCCCACACCGAGTCCTCGATCCAAAACAGCCGCCGTGAGAGTCCCTCGCTTCTCCCAATTCCCCGCGACACGCAACATGCATCCAGCCGCTCCCCCTGCGACGGCACGAGCAGTCAATGGCCAGCTGGGAACCTCGCGACAGGGGCCGTTCTCTAGCTGCAGTGTGATTCCGAACGGAGAAGCTCGTTGAGTCGTTAGGGCTAACAGGGACTTGCATGATCGGCCATTGTGAGAACTGACTGGCTCGCGGGACGGGGGTTGTGATGTGATAAATCCCCGCCCCCTCACGAACACCATCGGATCTGAGACGCAACTCTGCCGCTCCAGGTTCCTTACTGCCGGATCCTGCACGTAAAGTGTCCCTCATTGTCCATCATGGCCGACCGCAGCACGCCCGGAAAGTCGCCCAAGTCTCCCTCAGACAACCCCGGCTCCTCGCCGCCCATCGAGGCCGACCCCGGGGTTGACGACGGCGACGACACCACGGATGCCGACTCTGCCATCGGCGGCGCCAGCCTCAACACGTCTACCGCGTCCATCTCCGAGAGCATCCTCGACTACCGCAAGATCCACGGCCGCACGTACGAGAACATCAAGACGACCGAGTACTGGGCGCCCAACGACGACCAGCAGAATGGCGGCCTCGACATGATCCACAACGCGCTGCTCATGACGCTCGACGACGAGCTGTTCTTCGCGCCCATTGGAGATAATCCCGCTCGCGTCTTGGACATTGGCACTGGCACTGGCATCTGGGCCATCGACTTTGGCGACCAGTTCCCCGCGACCCAGGTCATCGGCACCGACCTCAGCCCGATCCAGCCGGCCTGGGCGCCGCCCAACGTCGAGTTCGTCATCGACGACTGCCTACTGGACTGGACGTGGCCGGCGGACCACTTCGACTTTGTCCACATGCGCGCGCTGTACGGCAGCATCCCCGACTGGCAGGCCCTGTACGCAAAGGCGTTCCGCCACCTCAAGCCCGGCGGCTGGATGCAGGACCTGGAGATGAACGTGCGCATCGAGTCGGACCACGCGGACCTCGCCGCGGACCACATCTTCAACCGCTGGGCCGACGTCTTCCACGCGGGCGGCGACAAGATGGGCCGGTCGTTCACCGTGAGCCAGGGCCACACGATGCGCGACAACATGGCGGCCGCGGGCTTCGTCGACATCGTCGAGAGGAAGGTCAAGGCGCCGATGCACGGGTGGCCGCAGGAGCCCAAGCTGCAGCAGGCCGGCTTGCTGTTCCAGCTGGCCCTGGACGAGAGCATCGAGGGCTTCGCCGTCTTTCTCCTGACGCAGGTCATGGGCTGGCAGCGCGAGGAGGTGCTGGTGCTGGTGGCCGAGTTCCGCCGGGAGATGAGGAAGAAGTCCAACTTTGGCTGGTGTCAAGTGTGAGTGATGCCATCTCCTGAACCCAGTTCTCTGCTAACGCGTGTGCAGTACAATTGTATATGGCCGGAAACCGCTGCCAGCTGAGTAGCCGTGATGAAGGATCTCAGTAAATGAAGCCGATAAATATACCCTTTACATCAGTATTCTTTGGAGTGGCCGAGTGATAATAAGGTGCAAAGACAAGAATTGTCCATTGTTCGTGCTAGGAGCAGCGACATTGCGCTCCAGCCAAGAGACGAAGAAACAGTGCCGTTAAATATGAGATGTCCATATATTAGACCCACCGATGAAGCCAGAAATTCCATCATCACGGGAAAGTAAGAAACAGGTCTTTATCCGAGTCTTGACGTCTAGTCTAGAAGCCTCTAACCCAACCTCTCAATATCTATCGCACCCGGGGTATCCCTCAACAACTCGCATCTATAACCGTACAGAAAATGTCCATTAACAGTCGCCACAGCGAAAACTCTAGCTGCGGCGGCACCAATCTCTCTGAAGTGAGCATCCTAAACAGGTGAGGCCGCCATGTCAAAACAGAGTCTTGCCCATCTGTCCAACCCGACCGCGACCTCCCGTTCTTTCATGACACACATGTATCTTTCGTCATCGTCGTCGTCATCGTCATCTCAAAACCTAAAAAATCGCCGCCTCTAATCATCATCTCGTCTAGAACAGCTGTCTAGGAATCGTCGATCTGAGTGCCGTTATCATCAAACTCCGAAATCTCCTCAATGGCAGCAATGCTCTCGTTATCCTGACCACTCCCGCGTCGAGCAGCAAGCCCCGTGATCCGCTTGGTGTCGGGTCTCAAAACACTCCACATGGGCGCGGTAATTGTCACCGCGCTCACGTCTCCATCTCCCCGAGATGCCGTTGCCTTGATCCGAGCAAGTTGCTGGCCTGCAAGCCGCCACACCATTTTGTACCCACTCCGATGGCACAGTTTAAACATGGTGGATGCTTTGAGCAGTGCCCATTTGCTCATGGCAGGATCCTTGTTCCAGTGATCAAGGAGCCCCATGACCGTCTTGGATGACATCAACTCTTTCGGGGGTTGGATCAAAACCCATTCTTCAAAAATCTCCCTGAGTTTGGTACTGAAATCACTGCTTGTGTCTGATCTGTTAGCCATGGTCACCTTCCACTTCGTTTCCACAGCCTTGATGCTTGAGCGTAGGTGTGCTATGAGGGCGCTGTAGATTTTAGATTGCTTGCTGTAACCCTCATACTCGTCAAACAGGAGCACCAGTTCCTTGTCCCAATTCGTTACGCTGGACACGTTGATGGTTTTGGAAAAGCCCTTAAGCGACTGTTCAACTATGACATTCGCGACGTCAAACTTGAGAAAATCCAGGATATGGATTGTACCATCCCTATTGACGTAATTTGAGCTCCTCTCATTGAGATACTCGGGTTCTCTGGCTCTCATACGCATATCGCTCTTCAACCGATCGTAGTCGAAGTTGCTAAAGAGTAAGCCCTGTTTGCTCTGATCGACAAGGAGCCCAACTAAAGTGCTCAAGGCGACCGCGCGCTCGCTGCTGACGCTGTTCTCGTAGTAGCAAAGCCTCTCTTTGAAAGAGGTGCAAATTCCCAACAGAGACGGTTTCATGCTGAAGGAGATGGCCGAGTGCAAAAAGGTGGCGCATGCACTGTCAATGTCCGCATTCGTATCCATGATGGATTGAAAGGTTCGGTTGAACTTCTGAAGATAACCTGAACCGAGTAGGTCAGGCTGCGCGGGCACAGGCGAATTGGTAAAATTCCGAACGATCTCAGGGTCCCAGCAAACCCAAGCCTGGTCGCCATCATAGTCGCCTCCGGACAACATGTCGGCGAGAGGGGAGTCTCCTTTGGAGGAGAACACAATGACATCCTTCAGCCTCTTTAGGCTTGGCTTGAAAACCGCCTTAACCTTTTGGATGTCGCTCACAAAGTGGGCGGGCGCTCTGGCAACAAGCACCTCGACACCGTCCAAGAGCGTGTCGGATTCTTCATCAACTTGAAACTTGGACGAAAACGCAAGGTGGACCTCGCCCTCTTCCAATGTCCCGGTAAAGTCAACAACCATGTAGGCATAGGTCGACCGGGGGATCCTGATATTCATCTTGGCTTTGAGTTGATCGGTCTGCCTCTTTCGCATATCCCACGTGAGATCCTTGAGAAACGCGTTTTTGCTTGTGTCGAACCCTGAATCAAGAAGAAATGCGACAACGTCTTCATCTCTTTCAGGTAGTCCAGCGATGAATGGAACGTGTCCCTGGGACAGGCTGCCAATCGATGAAGACCCGGCTCGTTTGATCCAGGCGCGAAGATCCATGGGGTGGTTCATGGCAGTAATTTGGCCGTCGAGTTCCATCCGCAAACCGTCGACTAGGTGTTTCGCAATGGCTTGTCGCATTTTTCCAGGTTCCCGAGACTGTGCCTCGAGAACTGGTATGAACTGCGCATTGAGAGAAGCTGACCTCAGTTCCCTTGGCCAGTTCCGGACTTCAAAGGTTCGATGGTGAATGTCCTCAAAGTCGCATTCCCATTTTCGTTGTGATGGATACGTCTCAATCCAATCGTTGTCGTCAAGTCCATCGTCTTCCACATCTACAATCCAAATACCCTTGGCGCTCCCAATTCGAGCTTGGTAGCAACATGGGGTTTCCGAAAGGCCAAGATGAGTTGCCACTTTTCGAGCAACACTGCGAGACATTCTTCCGATGCCATCGTTCATGACTTTTTTGTTCACCAGATCGGCTGCTCGATTGTAAATTTGATGGCGCTCCAGGACAATCGTCGGGCACGTCCTGCTGAGGCCTGAAAATGTTAGCACGGTCATTGATTAGTTTGCGGGTGACTTACTGAGTGCAAGGCGGGAAAAAAGCTTGGGAACGGGTTGCTTCGCGTTTTTCTCGATACTCACAGCCCAGCCCAAGAGATCGCAACGTCTCATCTTTGTCCGAGTTGACAAAGACAGTGCTTCTTGCGGTAGTGGGAACTGGGATTGAGGCAGTCGAAAGCTGATGCCGTCAACGGCAAAGAATTGGACGCGCTCTTGGAAGATGTTGCGAGTCTTCTGAGGATTCTGAGGGTCTTTGGTAGTCTTCTTCATGTCGCGGGTATAGAACGGCACCCAAGAGCGTCCCACAAAATAGTGAAGCTTATCGGTTAGCCACCGAATGATCTTTTCAGCGCCTTCAGGGTCTTTCTTGACGATTGATGGGACATCCTTTCCATTTGGCGACGGCATGGTTACTTCCATGAATCGATCACTTCCGAAACGACGACTCAATCGATGGCCGAGCTCTAGTCTAGGTGGCTGAAGCTTGGGACGGAACAATGGACCCGATTCATCCGTGCTGTAAACCAGCTCAACGGATAGTGTGACCGTCTTGTCGTGTGCACTGAAAGTGCCTAAGCCTGCTGTCCAAGAGGTTGCATCGCAGGGAGGAGGAAGGCCTTTTCCTACAAACAGAGGATGAGAGATTATCTTCCCTCTGAACTTGGTCTGATCGTGCCAGCCATCACTCGGCCGGTACTGAATATCCCATTCAGCCAAGTTGACGTTGCAGTGGATTGCAGCTCGTGTCAACTCCCAGAGGATGATGAACGGAGCCTGGTTTAATCCCGGGACGGGGAATTTTGCTGCCTGATGTTAGAGAGGGATACTGAACGGAGGAATGAACTAGAGCCAACTTACGCCATACGCGGGATAACCGATCTGCTAAAGTAGGTGACGCAGTTTCCTTCATAAACCTAGCATCAACAATCGGAGTGCGCATCTCTGCTATATCTGGCACGCTGGAGTATGTTGAGATTGGGCTGCTAAGTGGCAAGGGGCCATCGCGGTGCCTGTGTCGGGCTCGCTGGGGCGTTTCGGGATCCGGTTGAGTGTCATATTGACGGAAAGAGTCGTCAAGTGGCTGCTTGTACGCGACAGGCGCAACCTGAATAGTCTTGCGAGAGCTGACAGACTCAAAGGAGGATTGGCTGTTGGAGGCAACCTCATCGGCAGCAGAGAATACGCTGGATGCAAAAGACAGCTTAGAAGAGGAAGTTGTCGCGCATCGGCTTATGAAAGAGGAAGACCGTGATTGGGTCGATGATGCCAATGAGACGCCAATCGAGGGTCTAGATCGAACCGGGATGTCATCAAGGCTATCTGCAACCCGGTATGGCTGGGGCCTGGGGCGCTTCGGGCTGCGGTCCGGAAACTCGGGGGATGGCCGCTTAGCCCGGGTCGGAGGAGAATTGACATTCTGGAGTAGCTCGAGGAGAAGGATCTGGAGAGCGGCCCGTTCCTCGAGGCTTCTGGGGACGCGAAGTGGGTCGAGTGTCGGGGCGGCGTCGGGATTGGCATTGAGGTTGGAGTTGAGGTTGGAGTTGAGCTTGTCAGAAGTCCACTCCCGGAGCAACTGGTCGGCCTGTTCGCGGAAGCGGCCAATGCTGGTGGAGAGACGCTGGCGATCTTTGAAATGGAGGAATTGAACCCGACTGTAGATTGCATTGACACGGTCCTGTTCGTCGCTGCGGCGCTGCTGGCGACGCTTGCTAGGCGACATAGTGGGGTCGGGAATCGGGATATGCAGCGCGAAATCAGAATTCAGCGACCCAATGGTACGACGTACCTCGTCCAGGGCCTGCTGCCTCTTGGACACGGGTAGAGCTGCCGCCATGGCGAGAGAGAGAACCGGTAACTCGCACCGGTGGCGGCAAGAGACGCGTACTAACTAGCAAGGTGCGCCGGTGCAGTGTCGTGATAGTGGGCTGCGACAAGGCCAAATGAGGGTGACTGTGGCGGGGAAGCTGGAGGTTCGGCGCCTCTCCCGAGAATAGCAAGTAGGAAGCCCGCCAATGGTGCCGAACGAATGGCACGTCCAAGACAGAGGTCGGGATGAGGAGGGTGAGGAATCCACGCGTGTGGAAATTAGGATGTAGATGCCGAGCTCGACAGCAGCGCTGTGCTGTGCTGTGCTGCGGGTTGTTCTGTCGTGTTACAGTGAATCCCTCTCAGCCCGGTTTGGCAACTTGAGCACCATGATTCACGTGAGGCGCGTACTGGATGGGGGCGGTTTTGGCGGCTCTCTGTTTGCACACATGGCCATATCAACACTCGGTGCAACTCTTAAGGTTGCCAGCTGCCAGGCACTTGTAGGCAGTGCGCTACAGCTGCGGCTATCCATGCAAGTGTGCAAACTAAGAATTGAAGCCAGCCTAAACATGATGGCCAACTAAAGTACCATGGCGGTCTATAGTTCCTCCTACCTGGTGCACGATTGGCAACTGGCACGCAAGCACCTGCCGAAACCAACCACGCTCCCTTGGACCAAATCTCGGCACCGGGTTAACCCACCCTCCGGCTCGTGATTCCCCACCAAATATCCTAGCCGCCAAGGCTTCGTCCAACCGAAACACAGCAACACTCTGCTGGTGACCATTAGATGAAAGCCGAGCGGCCCCGCCATCACCGCCCTCCGCCCGTCTTTTCCCCTCGCCGCCGCATGGAGCTGCTCGGAGTTCGGCATTTGTGATCCCTCGTCTTGCACTTGCAGCCAAAGCATCCGCTCACGCTCCGTCTGGACTGTCGCGTCGCCTTGCTGTGTGGCTACCATCTGGAGCCACTCACCCGCTTTGCCCTGCCTGAATCATGGACGACAACCCCAGTCCTGAGGACCGGGTCGCCATTGATGAGCTGACGCCCGAGGAGGCCAGCCGCATCATCCATTCTCACCGCAAGGTCCGCTATGGTACGCCGTTCTTCTTTGCCTGTATCGCGTCCGATGCCCGTCGCTGTCTCGCCTCCGAGCGATGGCGGGTGCCCTCCGACTTCTCTCCCACCTCCGCCTCGTCCGCTTCCTCCGCCGCCTCCTCCTCCTCTAACTCATCATCGCCCGACAGGTACCGCCTGCTGGCCATGTCGCCAACGCAAGGTCAAGTGTGATAACAAGCAGCCCTGCGAGAACTGCGTCAAGCGAGAACATCCTCGGCTATGCTCCTATAAGCCCAACCGCTCCTCTACGGCCACGGCCAAGAACCCGTCCACGGCCTCCGAGGCAAGCCAGTCAAATCGGAAGAGGACTCACTCCTTCTCTGACCCTCGTGAGGAGGTCGTCCGCAAAGTCGAACGCCAGGATAGCTGGCCACGAACCATCAGTACGCCTCATCTCCTCATCTCTGCCCCTGGGTCACGCCACTAATAAACACCACAGCCAGTATCGATGAGCCAGAATCCGCGGGGGACCGCTACCTGGGACAGAACAGCATTCCCGCCTTGCTTCGGGAGCAGTCGTCGCCCATGACCAAAAACGACAATGTTGACATCCGCCAGGATATGCGGTCCATCCTCGGCTTGGACACATCAGCTCCGTTCCCGTTGATGTCAGCCCACCACCTCCAAAGAATGACCCAGGACATTTCCAACGAGTTGCCCTCTGACAGAGAGGTCATGAAGTGAGTCAGCCTCCAATTAGATCCCCCTTCAGCGTACTCATCAGCACCCCCAGGCTGTTCCGTGCCTACAAAGAAATACCGCAGCCTTTCTGGGGATTTGTGATGGATGTGGATGAACTCGAATCAAAACTCATGGTCTACCTCGAGGATCGCTCCCGTAATGCGACCAACGGTGTCAGATCAACAAAGCCCGTCACTGCTTCTTGGCTTGCCATTCTCTTCGCCGTTTTGGCAGTAGGTTCGCAGTATCATGAATCGCCCTACCACATCCGTACTCGGGACTCCCAAAGATACATCCAAATTTCATTTCACTTCCTCCGGCTCGGAAATTTCCTCCTCAGGTACGCATTCAAGACTCTTCATCTAACTTGCTTGGACTCATAATTTCAGGCCCTCATTCGACTCAATCCAAGCCCTTCTTTTGACCTGTTTTGTTCTCCTCAACGATATGAAAGCCGAGGCCTCCTGGGCTTTGATGGGGCTGACATGTCGCCTCGCCCAATCACTTGGCCTGCATAGGCCGACGCCCAGCGAAAGTCGCGACAGCACCCCGCCAAACACCCAATCGAAGGAGATGATCCGGCGAAGACTCTGGTGGAGTGTTGTCTGGCATGATACTCTAACATCACTGTCTTTTGATAGGTACGGCCCGTTATGGCAGGTCGTCAATTCCATGGCTAACCGATTTTCCTAGGTGTCCGATGACCAACTTCCCCTGCTGCCCGATCCCTGTCAGTTCGACAACCCCCAATGGCAACTTATCCTACTTGGAGACCATGTATCACCTCATGGACATCATCTCTCGCCGGCTCGTACCGGACGTGGTTTCCACCACTTCGTACGACCAGATTGTGGAAAACTGTGACGCTGTGGAAGCACTCCGCACTCGAACATGCCCCCAGCTTCAATTCAAAGAAAGCTGCAAGACGGCACTCGACAGACTACAACACTATGCCATCCGCCTCCATACCTCCTTTGTCATATCTGTCGCCTGTCGCCCGGCTCTACGAAGGGACTGTGAGATGGACCCGGAACAGAAAAAGTCACTAGCGGACCGATGCAAAACCAACCTGACCGAAACGGTCCGAATGTTCCTGGCCATGCATCAATTGTCGGCCATCCCAACCAGGAGCTGGGCATTTACGTACCATGGCTTGTCTTCTGCCCTTTTGCTGGGTATACTCTCCGAGAGCAAGACCGACCCGGAAGTTCGGCAGCTCCAGGGTGATTTGATCGCCGCTCTCTCGGCCACGGCGGCCAAGGATGCTAGCTCTCCCGAGCCTCACGTCATGACAACCGATAAGGACATTGAGTTATCTGGGCCTCTATGGAGAGCCTTGACCGCTTTGAAGAATATTTACGACCACGGTTCTGTTGTCGGCTCTAACTTGAAAAGAGAGGGAGACTCATCTGTCAGTGGTAGCGGGACCAGGACACCAATGCTTCCCTTCGGACCTGGAAGCCAGCTTATTACCCCGAACAATGGACAGTTCCGCAGCGTACCTCAAGGATCCGACCCGCGAGAGGATGCTGCTTTAGCTATGGCAGAGATGCAAAACGGAGGCGCTACATTGCAGGATTTCGCCGGGTAAGTCCATGTCTTGAACTCGACCCTAATATGATCTCATTCTAACATGTACAACAGGATCCCATACGGTCAACAGATGCAACCCAACAGCCTCCAACTGGATAACATGGGCGCAATCACTGTAGATCCCACGCAGTACATGGCGCCAATGGACCTCTACGAGTCCATCTGGGGTGGTATGTGCTCCCACCCGCAAGCCTTCGTAGACGGCGCGGCTGACTTGCCAGAATCGCCCGATCCGTGGAACACGGGCATGGATTCGCTGAACTTTGACTTCCTGGCCCAGCCGCCCCCTGGACAGCCACAGCAGCAGTTCTATTTCTAGTATCTATTGTTAATGTCGAATTGGTCAAATCGGACCTTCAAAATGACTCGAGCGGGCGTGGGTATTATTGGAATGGAGGATTGATTTCACTACGGGTATTTGTATATAATTGGAACCAGGTATGACGGGCATGTCAAGGCGCGAAAGAACGAGCGATTACGGAACGACTCATGAAATGACGTTCAGTCTTTATATTTTGAGGGTGTGGTTCACTATGGCTGTGTATCCGTGATGTGCCTGGACTCAAAAGTCTTCATGTTGGCGACACCACCAGCCAGCGCCCGATGTCATCGCTTGATGATTCCATCCACAGCGCAATTTGCATGTCCCACGTCTCGCAATCGTCAGCGCTCTCTTTGATCGTCCTCACACCCGGAGGCGTTCAGATCGCAGCCGGCAGCCGGGACAAGAGAGGTTACACACCGGGCGATCCCAATGCCAAACCATCTCTGCTCCGACGCCTGAGCGACAAATCAGGGCTCATCATCCGATTGCAGTTCCTCATTTGATCCCGGCACGTTTTTGGCCAGGACCCAAGACGGGTTGCTTTTGGGTCAGCCCCCACGGGGCAGGCTGGTCTACTTCTTCTTGCGCGATGTGCTAGACACAATCTTCTTCTTCAGGTGCTTGGGCATCTTTTCCTTGCGCTTCTCCCGCTTCGCCTCCTTGACGGCTTGCTTGTGTTGCTGTGGGTAGGTTAGCACCAATCTGTTCATGGGGGGTGGAGACTGGCGGAGATACCTTCTTCTCGTCCTTATCCTCGAAGCGGCGTCCACGGGGAGTGCCCTTCTCAAACCGGCTCTCGTCGTAGTCGGAGTCGTCGCTGTCGAGCGAAGCACCTGAGCCATCCTCGTCGTTTGACGCGCTCTCCTCTTCGCCTTCCTTCTTCTCGGCATCGTTCGGCTTAACTACCTGGTCGGCCAGCAAGTTGCTGTAGACGAGGTCGTTGCCCTCGCCCTTGCCGACCTTTTGGGCATCCTTCTCGATGTCGTACACCTGCTCGAGGGTCTGAGGAATGTACTGGTTCCGGAACACCTCGTTGTCGACCTCGAGCTGGTCCTGGTCTTCGTCGGCTCCGGGCGTGCGGGTCTCGTAGAGGACCTCGATGGCCTTGGTCATCTCGGGCTCCTCGACGGCTCCGTCGGGAGCGGTGATGAAGTTGAAGATTGCCCGGTCGGCAAGGGTGTCGACGCCCTTTCTTCGGAAAAAGTCTCCGACGTTCTTGATATCCATTCGCAGGAACTCGAGCGACCTGGGGTGGTCGGGCTCGACACTTTGGGAGACATCGATGATGTAGAGCTTTCCGTCGTGGTAGAGGATGTTGTACTCGCTCAAATCAGCGTGCACGAGGCGGCAGACCTGGTAGATGCGGCGCATGAGACCCAGCAGTTGGACGTAGAGCTTGTGCCACTGCTGGTCGACATCGTCTCCGGACAGCGTGGCGTCGCGCAGACGGGGGTAGGCCCAGCCCTTGCGGTCGCCGAGGAAGCCCATGACCAGGACGTGCAGCTTGAGGCTGATGGGCTCCGGGCACAGGATGCCGGCGCTGTGGATTCGGCGCAAGTTGCGGAACTCCTTCTCGGCCCACAGCTTGACCATCTTGCGGTTGTTGCCCTTGTCGAAGCCGCCCTTGAAGCGGTGCTCGCCGGTGATGTAGCGCTCGCGGTCCTTGAAGCTCAGGATGGCCGTCTTGTAGACCTTGATGGCGCGGTGGGTCGTCTCGCCGGAGCGGTCGTCGTGCAGCACGGCGCCGTAGACGTTGGCCTCCTTGCCGGTGCTGATGGCGCCGTGGACCTCGCTGACGAAGCCGCGGTTGATCATCTGCAGCAGGATCATGCGCGTGCGCTGGTCCAGCACCTGGTCGCTGGTGGCGCGGTCGCCCTTGTCCTTGTCCTTGTCGCTGTCCTGCTTGACCGAGTCGAGGCGGATCTTGGCCGCGTGCTTGGAGAGGGCCGAGATCTGGTCGTCGACGCTGGCGAAGGTGTTGGCCGTGGGCTTCTGCTGGTTGGAGCGCGGCAGCAGGGCCACGCCGTCGCTGTCGCCGTGCAGCTGGCGCTGGCGGTTGTATGACTTGGTGAGATCGCCGGCGTCGGCGGCCCACTCCTCGTCGTCGAGGTCGGCATCGTCGTCAAAGATGTCGTCAAAGTCGTCGTCGGCCGCATCGTCGTCGGCCGGAGCCCCGCGTGGCATGCGCAGCTCGGCGGGGATGTCGCTGGTCTGCTCGTAGCCCTGGCTCGCGGTGTAGTTGTAGGGCGGCTGGTGAGGAGCCGCGGGCGAGGCCGCGCTCGCATCTGCGGCGGGATCCATGATTGCTTGCGGACGGTGGGTGAGGGTTGGGTGTTGTTTGAATCCTGGTGGTTGTGGAATTTTCTGTCCCACCTTGAGAGTTGTCGCGGGGTTTGGTGGTTATCTTATCGGCGACACTTCTAAGTTGTGCGAGGACTTCATTTTTTTAGCGGGGTAATCTTTTTTGTGTTAGTGAGTCAGGGTCTCAGCATCCGTCATTTCGTCCAATAGACTCGTCCACCCAAGACTCACTTCACATACATGATGACGCTCACAATTCAGGCGTCGACGATGATGTGGTTTCGACTCATATCCAACACCCGAGTCTAATGGCAAATTGCCATGACTCCCGCTTACGTGGGGACGCTACCAGAGATGAATCATCAGATCCAGTCATGATGATGAATGTCGCTTGCACCAACACTCACCTCGACGCTTGCTCCTCCAAGGCTCGGTCAACTTTTCAACCTTCATTATCCGAGGCGAGAAGAAAAATCACATGAACCACACCGGCGCCCTCTGCCGAGACACCACGGGAGTAGACACGCGCCACCTGGAGATTTCCGAGTCGCAGCGCTCGTTGCAGCGTTGGGCGCGCCAAGATGATAACTAAAACTCCGGAGTCCTGACTGTCCGGAACCATACGCGGAACAAACCCAATGCCGCGTGGCCGCGCCTCACAGTGGACTAGATCAATCCCCGTTTGCGGGAGACTTTCTACCACTGTGCCCCGGCCCAGATAGAGCCCTGGCCGAACCCGTCTCGATCCCGCCGGGGTCTCGTTTCTAGGAATGCGGGCGCTTGGTCTTGACCGCCGTGCTGTAGATTCGCTAGATTCGCTTGGCATTCCTCTTCCCTTAGCTGCCCAGACTGGCTTCATTCCAGCTCGCCATAGAACTGCCGATCTACACCATGGGACTGGGCCATTGGCACATACTGGCATCTCCTCCACTTGACGAATGCAATCTGAGATGGGCTTTGACAAGCGAAGCTCTATTTCGACTCATGGAAAATGCATTTTGGCCCAGTTGTCCAGCCTAATATTGTAATATACATGATAGTGCATCTTGAAGATCCTGTTCGTTCTCTCGCCAGATCTCCTGACATCCATCATCTCTGCAATTCATCATGAAACTGTCCTTGCTTGCACTTACTGCCGCGCAATTCAGTAATTGCGTCAATGCCTCTCCTTCTTGCCATGATAAGCGGTCCTTAGAGGAGGTTGGAGAAGGGTACTGGGAAGAGGACGCACCGCGCTCCCTATACGCCCGAGCCAACCCCAAGGGAAAGAAATTCAAGCTCAAGCAGATCCAGAACAACGAATACCATGGCCTAGGCGTCCCAATGGAGATGGCCCACGCATTCGGCAAGTATCACAGGACTCCGCCGGCAGCCGTGCAACAAGCCGTCGAGGCCATGATGGTACCAACCCCAAAGATCAAGGCCGTAAACAGTCAGTCTTGTTCCTAGCTTGTGTCGTTCACCTCTGACCTCTATCCGACAGCTTCTGGTAAATTCGGCACCGCCCAGTCACTTCCGACAAAATACTACGACTCTCAATACGTGATACCGGTCAGCCTAGGCACCCCGCCTCAGTCGACACTCTTGAACCTAGATACTGGGTCCGCTGATCTGTGAGGATATTAGTCCTCCTACAGCAACCCCCAGCTAACTATATGCAGCTGGACTTTACCGGCGAAACCCCCAAGGCGATGGCGGTGGGCCATATCCTGTACCGCCCTCGCAAGTCCACGACGAGCAAGTTGGTCAAAGGCGCCTCCTGGGGCCTGACGTACGGAGATGGCTCAGGGGCCAGTGGCACCGTCCACACTGACAAGGTTGCGATCGGTGACACGTTTGTCAACTCCCAGGCAGTCCAGTCTGCAACCAAAGTCTCGTCGTCGATTGCCGATGATACCTTTTCTTCTGGCATCATGGGCATGGCCTTTAGCTCTCTCAACAGCGTCCGCCCAACCCAGCAAAAGACGTACTTTGAAAACGTCCAGAGCAGCCTCGCCCAGCCGATATTTACTGCTAATCTTCAAAAGGGGCTCCCGGGGACCTACAATTTCGGCTACATCGACAAGACGGAATACACCGGCTCCATTTATTACAACCCGATTAATCCGAACAGCCCGTTCTGGCAGATTACGCTCACCGGCTACCAAATTGGCGCAAACCCATACAAAAGGTTCAACTGGATATCCATTGTCGACACGGGGACCACGCTCCTCCTGGCCCCGACGGATATTGTCAACGCCTACTACGCCAAAGTCAAAGGCGCAAAGATGGATCCGTACATGGGAGTCATGGTATTCCCTTGCACGGCACAGCTTCCCGATTTCTACTTCGGCCTCGGTCCGTACCGAGGCAAGATTCCGGGTGCCTACATGAGCTATGGACCGGTAGGCGGCGGCTCGTGTTATGGTGGACTCCAGACATCAAAGGGCATAGGGTTTGCGATCCTCGGCAACATTCTGCTGAAGGCTCAATTTGTGGTGTTTAACATAAAAGCCAAGACGGTTGGCTTTGCAAACAAGAAGCCAGTGCCTCTAGTTCCTTCATGAAGTATTAAAATTGAGTATTGGGTTGATTTAGTTAAATGTTATGAAGTGTTCCTTGCCACTAGTGATTACTTTTGTGGAATGCGTGGTCTCGACTCTTGGCTGTTGTAGTGTACTTACACAGGTGGACTAATACAATCTCCAACCCTGTCTGAGGGATAAAAAGTGATGCCAAGTGATCTTACAAATCCAAACATGGGAGCGGAGGAACTTGATAAATGGATTTCTCATCAAGAGCCCCACGACGGCGGAGTTTATGGACATAAGGACGCTTTCACGGCGATGGTCCAGGGTAACTCACCGACGAATGGCTTGGAGTGGCGGCGCAAAAGTAGTCTGCAGAAGTGGTCTGCGGTTGAGCGCCACTCCAGATGTGACATGGGCTCATCCCCAACAGGTCGGATCGACACGGAGACGCGGGCATTACAGGCATCCCCACAGCGCCCCATGGCGCGGCGCGGGAGGAGATCCGACCTTGTTCCTAAGTCGGTAAGACGGGAATGGTCAGAGTCGCAGGCTATTTGGCTATAATCCAGATGCTCGCCCGCGAGATATGTCAGTCCAACCGCCGCTCAAACTCTCGGTTGCCAACCTACAGGCTCTGGAACGACTGCACAACCCGGCACAGAAAATGATCGACAGCGTCCTCGTTCTGGGCGCCGGCGAGCTGGGCCTCGGCATGCTCGAGGCGCTGGCTCGTCACCCCCGCCGCCAGAACACCCGCGTCTCTGTCTTGTTGAGACAGGCGACGCTGGACTCGGCCGCGCCGGAGAAGAAGAAGCTCACGCAGCGCATACGGGCGCTGGGCGTCGACTTTGAGGCCGCCGACGTCGTGGGCGCGTCCGTGTCGGACCTGGCCGCCATCTTCTCGAAATTCGACACCATCCTGTCATGCAACGGGATGGGCCTCCCGGCGGGAACGCAAGTCAAGCTCCTGGAGGCGGTGCTGGAGGCCAAGGTGAAGCGCTACTTTCCCTGGCAGTTTGGAATGGACTACGATGTGATTGGGGAGGGCAGTTCGCAGGACCTCTTTGACGAGCAGCTCGAGGTGCGGCGCGGCCTGCGGGCGCAGTCGCAGCTGGACTGGGTGATTGTGTCGACGGGCCTGTTCATGAGCTTCCTGTTCCTGCCCGAGTTTGGCGTCGTCGACCTGGAGGCGAGGACAGTGAGGGCGCTGGGGAGCTGGGACAACCGCATCACGCTGACGACACCGGGCGACATTGGGCGAGTGACGGCGGACGTGGTGCTAGATCCGCAGGACATCAAGAGTCAAGTGGCGTACACGGCCGGGGACACCATCTCATACGGCGGGCTGGCCGACCTGCTGGATCAACACTTTCAGATCAAGTTCCGGCGCGAGCTGTGGGACGCCGCCGAGCTGCGGCGGCAGATGGACGAGGACCCCAATACCATGGTCAAGTACCGGGATACCTTTGCGCAGGGCCGGGGCGTGGCGTGGGACAAGGACTCGACGGTGAATTTCCAGCGGGGGATTGGAATGACGGATGTGAAGACGTACCTGGAGGGGTTGTAGGTGAGGTTGGGAGGATGAGAGCGTATTAGGAAGGGGAAGAGGAACGGAACAATGGGAGAAGTGTGGGGAGACTGTCAATGTGTGTCGAGGACGACTGATGGTGCCTGGGAGGATCAGGTGGGATCGGAAAGGATGGAAAGGAAACGACCATCGAGATTCACAAAAGTATGACGAATTGAATATCATGATTGATTATGATGGATGTCGAGGCACGGCACGGCACACGTTTGGGGCGGCCGGGTGTGGCTCGTTGGTTGGCTATATCTGCATACCCGTCCATCCCTGGCTGAGTCAGGTCAGTGGTGTGAATGAGAGCATGAACGCCGGCGCGTGTGATGTTCACGACGGGCGAATGGACGAGATTCTTGCCACGGGGGTGCATGAATGGAATGGAGCCTGGCTCCAAAGTCTCTGCCAGGCGACAAGTCACAGTCACAGTCGCATCCATCCACTTGAGGCCCAGTCGCGCTTGAGGCCCTCCCCGAACGGGAGCTGTCCGGGCGTCTGAGTGGGTGAGACGGTGCCGGGCCTTATCGGGATGTGCGGATGGAGCACGAGGGAGCCAGCCTCTGGCCGTATCAATATCCGCCCGGAGGACGTATCTGCGGAGGTCACAGGTTGGCGATTCGTGCATTTGATAAGAGATTTCTCCCGATGTGGAAGTTGTATCTGATGGGTACTTTGGATGTGATGGAGGACAGCCAAGTTATCGTCTTGGCGGATCGAGATCATGGGAACGGGTGGAGGCACACGCTCAATGGATGTCCCAAACGGAGGATGCTGAATAGAGAGGCAATCTTCCATGACATAACATGAAACTGGATGCCTCAGGAAATAGCAAGCAAAGTAAAACAATGACCAACCCCCAGCAAACGCCTTGTTGACTCCCATTTCCAACCAGCGCCCTAGAGTGACTCTCGCACTGCCCGGCATGACTCCTCCTCCGGGGGCGGAGCTGAGCCGAGCTGACAATTAGCCGTGCAGCCCCCCCGGAGGCCTTTGTCCCCCTCCCCGAAAGTGCAGCACCTGGTGGGCCGCGCAGGCAGATACAGGGCACAGGGTTGATCCCCCAGGCTGTGACGTCCCCTAAAACGCCCTAAAGCCTGGAAATGCACCCCGGGCTGGTGGATGACGACACCCACTTTTCGTCTTATCGTCATCGAGTAGTGGGAGAGTCGGGCGCGTGGACGGTAATAGGGAGGCGACCCCCAACTGCACCGGCCAATCACGGTATCATCATTGAGGCCGTCACATGGCCGCTGATGGATGATGGATGGCTTGCAGCCTGCTACATTTCAATACCGGTTCCGAGTGCCTGGGCGGGCGTGGATCGCCTGGAGTTCCCGGTATAGCTCATGTACACGGCCCGTGGCAAGGCGCAACAAAGACACCCTGCAGCCCACGGCGACGAGGCGTCCCCGGAGTTCAAAGCATCATGCGCCCTGTTTTGACTGCCAGGCACGACGCGAACCGAGCTGGGCTTATCGCTAAATCGCCGTATCAGAGACCTTCCGGCCCCCGCGTGGACTGGGCGAGCGTGTGAGCGTCGTCTCATGTCGCTGTGATGGACGCCGACTAAGCTAGGCTGGAGATGGTGCCAACCAGCTAGCTAACTTATCGGTGCCAGGCTCCGCCACTTGCACCTCTGCCTTTCTTCTAGGCCTTCTGCTAGTCCATACCTAGGCTTACAGGAGTTGCCGTTGTTGCCCGGGTCGCGACATTGTAGTCAGTGAAATGATGGTGACTCACGACATGGCTGGGCAACCAACCCAGTCAGTCTGTACCATGGACTGGACTGGACTGGACTGTGCCGTCTGGGTAAAGGCTCCAACGGGGGCCTGGCAGCCACAAACCACTATTCCGGCCGTGGAGGGGACGAGATCCTTGCCCCCGTTGACACCATCTTGGTGCAGATGACTCCCTCGGCCGCTCGTCCAATCAGCCGAACCGCCCGTCGTCGTGATATAATGCTTGCCTCCCCGGCGATTGTTCCAGATGCCTCGCCCATCTTCCAACCCTCTGACACCAGAGCCCCAGTCCTACGCCCTTTAGCGGCGAGCACGCAACTTCTTCTTCTGCTTGAGACAGCCCCGGGCCCGCAGCCTCGCAGGCTTCCACCACCGACTTACAAGGCGCCCCAAGTTACGCCATCGCTGACGCCCTTTGACAACAACACGCGCCATCGACAACCTCACTTCATCCCCCCCGCCCATCCCATTTATAAAAGATAATCCCATCTCCTCCATCATGGATATCGACACTCTTCCCACCAGTTCTGGAGTCCTTCCCGTCTCCCTCACCCAGCACAAACACTTCCCAGTGGACGGCGGCTTTGCAAAGCCTCACGCCCATCGTTCGCGCCACTATCTCGTCCGCGCTGCCGCCAAGCGGTACGCCCACGGTTCCGGCCGCTACGTCTGCAAGGACCTCGGGCTCGTCTGTCCCAACCGTGTCGGAGGTGAATCGCAGTGTTCTCGCTGCGGCGACTCCAACCCGGTGACCCGACGGGTCCGTCTGGAGGCTGACCTCCGCGCCAACGGCGTCTTTGCTGCGGCTTCCGCCCTGCGAGAGCGCACGCCGCGGACTCGCACCCGATGGTCTAACGACAAGTCCGAGGGCTGCGACCTCGCCCGCAGCGCCGTCCCTCTGCCCAGCGACCGCTACCGCCTCGTGCGGACGCCCTCCCTCGAGCGGGAGGACGCCTTCCGCGATGCCGCCACTGCCAAGCGTCTCCGACGCAACCCCCCCGTGAACGAGGACGCCGACGTGGCCGAGCTCTACCGCATGGGTCTGCTCTACGACGACGAGCAGGACCGCGGCGAGGGCTTCGACCTCAACAGCATCGACCACCAGGAGCCCGTCTATTCCATCCGCCCCGCCAAGCGGTCGCGCAGGAACAAGGCGCGCGGCTGGGACGACCTGGACCAGCTGCACCTGAACCTCTCCTTCACCGACCTGGGCGGCGACCAGACCATCGCCCAGTTCTTGTCTTCTACGGATTCTGACCCTTCAGACGACGGCTCGCTGCAGCCGTCGTCGACTCGCACCTCGCGCATCTTTGCGCCCCTCCGCGTCATCTACGAGCTCAACGGCTCGCAGCCTGACATTGACGTCGACACGTCACAGCCGCCCGATTTGATTACCGATATTCTTTCCGACTACGATTGCTTTTCCGACAGCGATCTCGACGACCTCCCCTCTCAGCGGGAGGTCCGAGACAGTGCAGCCGCCCCGGCCTCGGACGCCTGGGTCGTGCTAGGTGACGACTCGTAACAGGTCCGCCTCAGAATTCCCCCCCGTGCCCCGTCGGGGTTCTGAGCATTGCAGCCGGCGGGAGAGCCCCGCCGCGGACTGGTCCTCACAAACCTAGCCTTCCCGGGAGTCGCGAGTGCTCCGAGGTGAAAAGGGTGGAGTGGATGGATGGATGGATGGGATGGCCGAAGGCGTGCTTTGCCCGCTGGAGCTCGCGGTTGTGGCCGCTTGAGCATCGCGGATCGAGGCATCCTTGCGGACCACCTAACTGTATCATCTTGTACAGAACGCGTCCATTGACGGACCCGCTTGCATAGTCTTGTATAGAGCGTTGTCATTTCTTGTACTTGTTCGCTGGCTAGCCGAGCGCATTTTACTCAAATATCTACAATAACACGAGCATTATTATCCGTGCCAAACCCGATTTATCCATTGTTCATTCTTAAAATAAAAAACTTGAAATAAAAAAGCTTGTCATGATCCGAATACCCTGAGAGATTCCTTACCAGTCGTATTATTAATTCTTCGACCGACATAAGTGAGCCTTTTGGCCTCACTAAGTTACCCAAGTAGGCAACATGCCCATAATGTCTCCGAGTGCCCCACCCCGCGTCCGGGCCAGTGGGTCAATGTCTCCGGCCGGAGATTTTCAGACTCTTCTGGAAAAGAATATAAACTGAAGATCGTAACGACACAGAGTTTCATGATTATACTTTATCCTGCAAAAATACCGCGTCTTTCGTCCATCATTACCTAGAGCATTCTTTCCTTATTACACACAAACGCTTACAAAAACACTACACCACTTAGAGGATGAGGGCGACGATCTACGACGCTCTCATCATCGGTGGCGGCCCTGCTGGCCTGGCTATCGCCACCGGCCTTGCCCGCCAACTGTACACTGCCGTCGTTCTCGACTCCGGATCGTATCGGAATGAGCGAGCAACGCACATGCACAACGTCCTGGGGTTCGACCACGTGGACCCGGCCGAGTTCCGGGCCAAGGCCAAGGCTGACCTGCTGAGGCGCTATGAGACCATCGAGTTCAAGTCTGCGACCGTCGAGTCGGTCCGGAAATTGGACACGGGCGTGTTCGAGGCCGTTGATAGCAAAGGCGCTGTGTACCAGGGTAAGAAGCTGGGCTTGGGAACGGGCATTTGGGATGTGATGGAGGGTCAACCCGAAGGGTATGAGGAGTGCTGGGGGCGTGGCATGTAAGTGACACAATTTCGGCCACCTGTATTCCCTGATTCTAATATCCCACAGATTCCATTGTCTCTTCTGCCACGGCTTTGAAGAGCGTGGTGCCGAGTCAGCTGGCGTTCTTGCTGGAGGCTTCCTGAACGCACCCGAAATGCTCCTCCATATCGCCCCGATGGCCAAGCGCCTCGCAAAGAGTGTCACCGTTTACACCAACGACAACGAGGCGCTGCATGCCGATGTACAAGGAAAGCTTCACAGCACCAAGATAAACTTTGACAACCGCAAGATTACCCGCTTCCAGCTCAAGGACGGCGGCCCCGAGGTGACGATTCACTTCGAGGACGGCACAACCAAGATGGAAGGGTTCATCGCCAACCACCCTAGTATCGCGCAGAAGGCGCCATTCATCGAAGAGCTGGGGCTGGAGTGCTTGCCGTCGGGAGACATCAAAGTCAACGATCCGTTTGGGGAGACCAGTGTGCAGGGGTGCTTTGCCGCTGGGGACGCGGCCACGATGAAGAGGGCGGTCGTGCAAGCCCAGGCCATGGGGGCCTTTGTGGCGGCGGGGATTGCGACCCAGTTGCAGATGGAGTTGGATGCCAAGGATGAGTTGTAAAGGATGATGTGTGGGGATAGCGACGATAGATGTTAATTCAACATAATGGCTTCTCCGGATCCGAGTTCCACGAAAGTATATGACGGTGTAGCTTCAGAATCTGCCAGTTGAGACTCTGCGTGCGCCACGGCTTCCTTCAAGGTATACTGCGTTCTCTGGAGAAACGGTGCAACCAAACCTCCTTCAGTTTTGACTTCGTCGTGCGTAGCAACCCAATACTTGGCACCGCTCGCAGCTACAGCGCGGATGCCGTTGAGCGCCCCTAGATTGAGTTGCTTCACCATCCATAGCCGCACGTCGTGCATTCCATGGAGGAGCGCTAGGGTCTCAAGGCCGGATTTCCTGACTATCGAGAGGTCTTGGCAGTTGATGCCGTGTGGAGAGTAGATGATGGCCTCGGCTCGTGAGTCAGGTAGCTCATGACTGGGGAGGATTGTGACGAGGATGGCAGAGTGATAGTATAGGGCGTTCCCCGGCGATGTGATTCGGCCTATTCCAACCCAGTTGGGGAGTACGTTTGCACATAGCCGTGTCCATTTCTCGCCTTCTTTTAAATCTTGTGCCGTTAGTACGTGCGTGAAATGCCCCCAGCCGCGGATTAGATCGGCAGCCGCATCAGATGCAAGGACTGGGGTATCCGGAGGAAGCTCCTCAAGTGTAGCTTTGTGACAGTGATCCGTAAACTCGTGCGAGATGATTACCGCATCGATAAACGACACCGAATTCTCCGAACTTCCGTTAGTCGGGCCCCCTTCGACCTCGCGCAAAGCGGCGTTCAGGTCCGCTACGGTGGCGACGCTCGGCGGGACGGCGTGCCATTGCGTGCTGAACCACCAGGCCACATCGCTTTGCGGTCCTTGAAGCCACGGGTCGAGCACGATGTTGAAATGAGTACGGCCGGCTGGAGGTGTTACTGCGGCGGGATAGGGGAGCTGGATCAGCCAGGTGGTGTCCGCGTTGAGATGAACTAGAAGCGGCCGATGACGCGAGTGGAGGACTCGCGACCACTCTTCCAAGTTGGAAATGTGGATAGACGGCGGGCATGGTTGAGAGCCTGTAGTAGAGTTCATCGTCTGGAAGTGGGTGATCAGAGGCTACAGCTTGGTAGCAACTTGATCAATGTTTGAAAACCGCTTTTGGGGTGACGTCGATGCAAAGGCGGACATGTCCGAGATGTGGGGAAGAGGGGAAGTGTTTCTTCTTGTTATTTGGAATCATGTCTCACCTCGGGAAGGTTTCGATATCTCAAACTTGGCCCCATCTTCGACCTTTCTCACATGCTTGTATATCTTCAAGAATAGGGAGTTCATGGCCGTGAATGACCTGACGATACACGTCCTGGCTCCGGGCCGCAAGCGCATCGCAATATCCTCTCACAGCGCTCATGTGTCCGAATCAAAGTTTGTACTGTCCAAGACAACTCCCGGATATTAAATGGGATCGCCATATGCCTGCAGCGATCTGCGGACAAAGGGGTAACTAAACAACGCGCGAAACTAATTTCCTGATCGGCCTCCCTCCCCAGGTACTAGATACAAACCCTTGTGGTCGCCAAAACAACAATCGTCAACATCGCGATACTAGATCTACTCCCGAAACTTCCTTTAACAAACGCGACGGCAATAAATGAGGAGCCTGCATTGGCAAGTCTTGGACTAATAAAAACCTTCATCATACGGACGCGGGCTCGGCCGACGCCAATTCCATCGGCCAGTATCCTCCACCCCAGATTAGCCATTGGAGACTAAATTGAAGAAATAAACCTTTGCTACCACCGCTCATCGCGGCTTCGACCTTTTTTACTCTGTCCTAAAGCACCGAAGCGCGAAGATCTTCAGATGGCACGGGCGACTAACCACGGGATAGTCTCTGCCGAGAGTAGATCTCAATTAGAGAAGCGGGCGCTAGATGCACATTTCTTTTTCTCCGCTGGTTCCTGTCAATCAAACCCAGTCTTCCTAATAGAATCCCCTCTTGTATTACATTTCCACCGTCATGCGAGTTGCGCATGGGGCTTAGGTGCATTTGTTTGATCACGCTGCGTGGGCCTGTCCTGGATCTAGCCAAGGACCGTGACAGAGGTGCGGCTTGGGCTGCATCTCGCTTCCGTGACGACCGGCCGCATGTATTTGTCACAGATAATCTTTTCAACCGATCGGAGCTATCATCGGCTTTGGAGAGATCCTCAAATCGCCTCCAAGACTGGTAAGGCGGCATCGTCGCCTGCTTCTGATGCCCTGGTTTCAGCGACTAGGGGTGAGCATTTGGATCCCTGTAGAGCAATCATCCCCAAGCATGGGTGAGACACCAATTTCCAATGGCTGCCATCACGAGAGGGGAAGACCTGCGTTGGGTATAAGACGGTTCAGGCCGCTGTTGGTGTTGTGGCTTGGAGAATTGAACCACCACCCACGCTCGTTACACTCGCTCCTTATTTTTGTTTCATTTCGAAACCGCCACTATGTTTAAGCTTGTGGCTTTATTCAGCCTCCTCGCCGTCGGTTCGGCGAGGAAGTGCAAGGATATCATGATCCCTGTTTCGTTATCTGCTGAAAACGCCGTATTTGACATCGAAGCGCCTGTGAGCAAGATCGAGGTCACATCACTCTTCTTGAACATGGCTCAGCAGGGGCGGGATTACGCCACGCTCAAGCAGACTGGAGTACGTTGCTGTCTTACAATTTTATTCACCTTGATGGCTAATGCGCTCTAGGTCAAGAAGATTTCTGGTAACTACAAACTTGCGGCAACCTACTGCGAGCCCGACAATGGACCCGGGAAAGAGCTGCAAATCATGACCCATGGCGTTGGGTTCGACCGCCGATACTGGGATTTTCCTCACAACAACTACAACTACAGCTATGTGGAGAAGGCGGTTGACCAGCATGGATATTCTACTCTCACCTGGGACCGATTGGGCATCGGGGCTTCGTCGAAGGGCCACCCCATCGATGAGATTCAAGTGTTCCTGGAACTTGCTGCTCTCCGTGAGTTGACGAGAAAAGCGACCAGCGGGGAAATTGCTGGAGCTCACACCACATTTGACCGGGTTATACACATTGGCCACTCGTTTGGATCCGTCATGACCTATGCGCTGGCAAACATGTACCCCGAAATGACCGACGCCATCGTCCTGACTGGGTTTTCTCACATCTTCTCATTCATCCCTCAATTTCTCCTCGGAAACAACTATATCCCCGTCAAGGATTCGCCCCTACTGGCTGGCCAGTATCCGGAAGGCTATGTTGTGTCGGCTTCCACGACGAGCATGTACATCAACTTCTTCTCCGACGGGGACTTTGACCCTGTGATGCTGAACCTTTCCTACTTGATGGGGCAGCCCGCCGCTCCGGCCGAACTGCTCACCGTGGGCGCGCCCGTCACGGTCAAGAGCGCGTACACCGGCCCCGTGCTGGTCATTACCGGCGGTGAGTGCGGCCTTGATATTCTGGGAAGTTTGATGCTGATGATTGACAGAGCGCGACCTCCCCTTTTGCGGAAGTGACTGCTATGCGACCGCCGGCGTTGACAAGGACCTCCCGTCTCTGCTTCATGCCTCCAAGGAGTATTTCCCTCACGCATCCCGGTTCAATGCTACTGTTGTGCCTGGCGCGGGCCATGGATTGAACTACGGGTACTCGCACACGTTTACTTTTAATTCCATCCTTGATTTTCTTTCCGAATAAGCCGGAAGTCGTGGGGGCGAGTTGGAAATTTGATACATTAGATGCGAGCGCCAGGTATGCCTTTACCTTTACAACCGATTTGCCTGGTCGCCATTGAAGAGCCAAGCTTCTGTGTAACACTCTTGGATTGTAGCGTTCTTTTAATCATGATGCGGACTTGAGCCGCCTACGAAATTCTGTTCTTATATACAAGAGATGTAAGAGGATGTACCGAGATGTAATACTATCGTTATCAATACCGCTGTAAACCGCACTTACCTACCGTGTTGTCCATCATTAGATTGCAAGTCACATAGGCGGTGTCTTGAAGGTTTACTCTAGCATCCTCGAGAAAATCTAAAGGCATTGCGATGTAAGTGAGCGCTCAGGGTGCGGGAGGCCTTGGGATAAGATATATCGATGCACGATGCAAAGCTTGAGCCCAGCTTGCCCTTACCCACGAGTGTTTTCTTGCTGTGATTTTTCATTCAGGCAGAAACAACACGGAATCAGAGCACATACATGCGATTTTTCACGATGATTCGACTTCCTTTCATCGCTTTCTTGATCCCGTGCCTCCTCGGCCTGGCCCAGGTGGGGATGGGCAAAGAACAGAACAAGCCTCTACCTATGGATCTCGACACGACACAACTCGATCTCAACCAAAGCCGCACGAACGATTTCGAGCAGGTCGTCCTCAATCTGACAACCATCAACAAGGACATCCTCACCCACAAAGGAGAGAAGGCCACCCGAGCCGACATCCGGTGCCAGTTCCAGGAACAAGGGCGGAAGGGGAAGAAGTTTTTCGCCTACAAGGTGTTCGTGGCCCCTTACGAGGCAGACCTCCCAAACTGGTGCAGGAAGCTGGAGTCGGCTCTTCGCGTGAACTGCCGAGACAAAAAGGGCCATGTTCTGGACGATTGGAAGATCAAGTGGAAGCGCTGCGACCTCCAGTCGACCGACGTCCGCTCTGGACTGCAGGGGCGGACGGCGTTCTGGGAGATTCACCACAAGAACAAGCCTCACAAGCGCTGGGGAGGCGACGTCGCCAACAAGCAGTGCTCGGAGAATGCGATTACGTTTGCGACGCCGGGGGTCGTGTATGAGTGGATGAATGGGAAAGGGTGTGTTCAGATGCACAGGAACGAGGGCAAGCTGAACCACGGATGAGGGGATTTTGGGGATGGACGGAGTGGGGGGAGAGTTGGGAGTGTTGGGAACGAGGGTTATGGGCTGACTAGTTTCTAATTGTTCGAGCTTCTATTTCACATGAATCGAATGGTTTCCATAAAAGGCCAATATCAATCAACCTGAAAACACCAGATTTTGCAGTGGATGCATGTTAGCAGTGGAGTTGACATCTCGCCGCCAGCAAAAGGCCTACGGAAGCCGCTGGCAGCCGCTGCGGGGACATGGCACAACCCCTGCAGCGCCGGAAACAAAGGTTCGCGGGCGCTGTAGTTTACGAGGGAAACCGCTAGACCTGGAACCGCTAGACGGCCCCGAATGTCATGAGGGTCAGCGAGCTCAGGGAGCTTCCTCTTTCGTTGCAGCTGCCCCGCAGTGCGTTTTGCGTCTCTCATGGCTGCTTCCGCGTGTGTTATCAAGCGCTCGGCGGCGGCGGCTTCCATGGCGGGGTTGCGTCTTGCAACCCGCCGTCCGCTTTGTTATTCCCGTCTCTGCTCAACGGGATCAACCTCGACTTTGCGTGCATCTCGGTCTGCGATAGTGACTCGATCAGCTTCTCGACACTTCTCTCCCGTCCGACAGCTCTTCCTCGCTCACCTCTCCCGTCGCCTCGCCTCGCCTGGCCCCTCCGATCGATCGCGACAATACAGACGCCTCACCACTCCATCTTCCCCGTCTCCTCCTTCGAAAGCCTCTACCATGGTCGCCGAAGACTACGAGGCCGTCCTCAAGGGCAAATACCCCGCCAAGTCGCACGCCAAGCGCGTCGTCGAGCTTATCCGCGAGAAGAAGCCCGATGCTACCGGCGTGCTCTATCTCGAGGGCCGCATGACCAAGCTCCTCGAGGACAATGATGGAGAAGAGCACTTCCGGTGCGTCTGAATCTGCGCGGTCCCGTGAATGCGTGCTGACACTTCAACAGCCAGCGCCGATACTTCTACTATCTCACCGGTTGCAACCTCGCCGACTGCCACTTCGCCTACGACATCGAATCCTCCAAGTCGATCCTCTTTATCCCCCCCATCGACCCCGATAGTGTCATCTGGTCAGGTCTCCCTGTCAGTATCGACGAAGCCCTCGAGAGGTACGAAGTCGACGAGGTCCGACTCACCACCGAGATCAACGCCACACTGACCAGCCTCGGAGGTGCCAACCCCAAGTCCACCGTCTTCGCTATTGCAAACCAGGTCTCGGATAGTGTCACATTCCTCGAATTCGAAGCCAAGGACTTCGACGTCCTGAAGACCGCCATTGAGGTTTCGCGTGTTGTCAAGGATGAGTTTGAGGTTGCCCTCATCCGCAAGGCCAACGAGGTATCAGACATCGCCCACAGGGCCGTCGTGGAAAACACCGCCAAGGCCAAGAACGAGAGAGAACTGGAGGCCATCTTTTTGGAACGATGCGTTGCCAACGGAGGCAAGGAGATGGCATACAGCCCCATCTTCGCCAGTGGCCGGGCCGCCGCAACTCTACACTACGTCAAGAACGACGAGCCTCTCGACGGAAAGCTGAACCTCTTGCTCGATGCCGGTGCCGAGTGGAACAACTACGCTTCGGATATTGTGAGTGGGCCCACATCTGTCCCGTCTGTCTGGTTAAGCATCAATCTAACACCCTGCAGACCAGAACCTTCCCGTTGTCGGGCAAGTTCACCAAGGAATCTCGAGAAATCTACGACATTGTCCTCAAAATGCAAAAGGATTGCACCGACATACTGAAGGAGGGCGTTCTGTGGGACGATGTGCATCTGCTTGCCCACAAGATTGCCATCGACGGTCTGTTGTCCATTGGCATTCTCAAGGGAGACAAGGATGAAATCCTCAAGGCCCGCACCAGCGTCGCCTTCTTTCCCCACGGCCTCGGACACTATCTCGGTATGGATACCCACGATACCGGCGGCAATGCCAACTACAGCGACGAGGACACCATCTTCCGCTATCTCCGAGTCCGTGGCAAGCTGCCAAGCGGAAGTGTCATTACCGTTGAGCCCGGCGTGAGTTAACCTGAATGATGCGCACTGTCCGTGGCGTCGATGTATGGGTCAACTGACAAGCCTAGATTTACTTTTGCAACTTCATTATTGCCCCTTATCTAGAAGACCCCAAGCACAACAAGTTTATCGACTCTGCGGTATTGGACAAGTACTGGGATGTCGGTGGAGTTCGGTAAGTGGCACCACCAGCGCCAAGCAAGACACGACGCCTCTAACGTTTTTCAGCATTGAGGATAACATTCTCATCACTGCGACTGGCAGCGAGAACTTGACGACTGTGCCGAAGGAGGCAGCAGAGCTCGAGGCCATGATCTCAGGCAACTAAAGAAACAGCAACATGGTAATTCTTGAGTCTGGCGACGTAGACAGGCGCTGTGGCATCTATGACGGCCTTGGCATGATGGCCCTGGCACAACATGTGATGGCTGGCGCGAAGACATGATTAGATGAATGATGATGCCGGTGTCGGCGAATGAAAAGCAATGGCACCACTAGCCAAGCAATGGCCAAGAAATAGTCGAGAATTAACCAAATCAAGCTTCTTTAGACGACAGGTGGCGAAATGAATACGTCGTATCGAGGTCATTGTTCGTATTTCGTACTGTGTGCCTGGGCGACAACACGGTGCAATTTCCCAGCCGATAGAGGCCTCACTTCATTCCCCTTGACAGCCTCCCTCAACAGCGACGCACCCATCTACTGGCAAAATGGCCGCAAACCTGTAATATCTGCAACCCCGTGAAATGGAGAAACAACCAGACTGGGCCGAGAGGTACCAGCTGCCGCCATCGCCGTCGGTCTCGGTGCCGCCGCCACCGCCGCCCTACAGCCCGTACAACCCGTACATGGCGTACAACGGAACGACCGGCAACGACTACGCCTCGAGCAGCGCGTCCCTGGCTCCGCTCCCGCCTCCGCCGCCGCAGCATCCACACCCGGTCCGGCCGCTCCGGCCCGCGCGCTCAGCGACCAATCTCTCCGGCGCGCACCCCCGCGAGCGCTCCGGCTTCGTCGACAGCGCCGGCAACCTGCAGGTCGACTTTGTCGTCGACCCGCTGCCCCGCCAGGGATCCGGATCCCTGAGTCCCCAGCCGGCCGCCGAGATCAGGCGTGTCAAGAGCTCGTCGGCCTTGTCGGCCACCTTGGACCAGGACCAGAAGCCCAAGGATCAGTCGAAATGGAAGGCTGCTCTCGGCGAGGCTCAGTACTTTGCGGGAGGACTCATCAGCCACCCTGCCGAGTCGAACAAGCACTTCACCATCATCCGCCACTCGCATGCCTTGGTCTGGTACCGCGGCCCAGCGACCTCCGTGCCCATCACTATTCTCTCCGATGCCCCACTGCCTCCCACTAGGACAATATGGCTGCAGCAGAAGGGCTTCTCGGGCAATGTGGGCATGTCTATCAAAGCCCTCATGGGTACCACGGGAGGCTGGATTAACGTCACCCCGGCCACCAAGGCTGCGCCAGAGCACATCCCGGAGAACGACGAACGTGGAATCCAGAGGGATCTGAAGCGATTCTTCAAGAAGGTTTCAGGGAAGGCGAGGAAGCACGTTATCAGAGAGACTCACATTGTGCGTATCCCCGCTGCAGCTACGGACGGATACTTCCGCCTCGTCCTCAGTGATGGCGACGAAGGCAAAAAGGCCCTCTGCGGAAGCCCCGTGTTCCGAATCGCGAGCACTTCGACAGATGTCAGCGCCGTCCGCGGTTCGAGCATTAGCACCCTGCCCTTGGAATTCGGCGTCAAGGTCGCCACTACCATTGGGCAGCAGGTTGTGAAGAAATACACTGGCGTTGCGGGAGCCGTGGTTCAAAGCGGCGCAAAGAGATTCGTCCCGAAGGAGACCATCAGGAAAGTTGCCCGCACGGCATACAAAAATTCTGGAATCGGCGAGAAAGTCAACGAGAGTTGGCAGAATGGCAAGGCAGGCCGGTACGACCCCATCATTGATGGTGCAATGTTCGATGGGCCGCTCTCCGTCGTCGGTCCCGAGACTGGCCCCGAGGCACCGTTCCCGTTCAAGTTTTCAGGAAAGGTCGTTCGTGGAACAGGAATCTCGGTCAGAAATCTCGGCATACCGACGGCCAATTTGAGCGAGGTGCCGGATGATATCAAGATGCGCATGTCTGGAGTCTTTGTGGCATGGGCGTGTATCCAACCGAAGCCGGGCCTGGAGGAAATTGCCGGCGACTGGTACGAGGCGCTCGTGACGATTGCGCCTCTGAGAAACGCGATTCCTGGAGTTGTGAAGAAGAACGGGGTCGCCGTGCACATCATCAATGACTTTGAAGACGTAGCGTTCTTCGACGCGAGGCTGAAGGTCATCCTGATGGGATACCTACACCCTTATACGCCAGATCTTTCGGACGAGCTTGTCATCGAGGAGCATGGCCAGGATGTGATGACGACGCTGGCCAGCTTGGGCCGTGAGAACTGGGAGCCGCAGGAGGCAGTTGCGAGCGTGCAGATCATGAAGAGCGAGAGGAGCTTCTCGGACCGGCTGGGTGACGTGACGGGCAAGGTCCAGAACCAGGTAGATAGGCTTCCGGTTCACTGGGCCGGTGTCAGGTCTGAATCGGGCCTGGCGAGGGATCAAGCTTATGGGACCGGCGGTCTTTGGATTCCTCGGTGACGAGGCATCTTGGAGTGTTTGTCCAGCTGCCAGAATTTGACTGAATGTGAGGATGAGCAACTTGACATAATTGCTGACCACTGAAAGCGAGATGGAGTGTGGTCTTGGATTAATAGTAAAAAGTTTGTATAATTAGTATTTAATAATAGACCATGATAGATGTCCGACCCTTCAGATAGTTAAACCCAGCTATTTGTGTATACTGCTATCTGACAGATCCTGACGCTAAGATTCGGGAAAAGCTTCCTAAAGAGGCATCACTTACAGCTACGTGACGAGACTACCGCAACCACTAGCTGGATGTGGATTTTTATCGAGGTGCGATCGATAACGGGGTAGAAAAGGTCAATACGGTTGACGCAGGTATAAAACGGTTGCACTTGCGACTGAAACGATTGTTCATGGGCTTACCAGTCTCTGCGAATCGCCGATTCTGTCCTCATCATGTCTCAATTTGAGACTCCGACTGAAACGAAGCATCACGTTGTTTTTCTGGAGGCTGCCAATGCACCTTTTCCAACCTTCAGTTTCCCTCACACGTCCCGTCGACACGCCCACACACAGCCGCACGAAGTTGCAGCGCGCATCAAGGACGCCACCATTTTGGTTGTGGGTGTGATTGCGATAACTGCCGAACATCTCGGCCAGGCACCGCTCTTGCAGTGCATGGCCATCACCGCGACGGGGTGTGAATGGCTAGACCGGGCGGCGTTTGCGAAGAGGGGCATCACCGTGGTAAACTGTCCTCAAAGCAATGTCGAGGCGGTCGGCGAGCACTTCCTCGCTCTGTATTTCTCGGCGCGGAAGAAAGTCGTCCAAGTGCACAATGCGATCACGGGGCCGGACAGACAATGGGTTCAAGACGGCTCTCTCGTGCCGCTGTGGAAGCAAGGGCCTCCTCTTAGTTGTCAGCAAGAGACGTTGGGTATTATTGGATACGGAGCGCTCGGCCGCAATATCGAGAGTCTGGCGAAGAGCGTCGGCTTCGGCCGGGTCTTGATTGGAGAGCGGAAAGGCGAAAGCAAAGCAAGAGACGGGAGGGTGTCATTCGAAGACGTGATTAGACTTGCGACGACGATTGTGGTCTGTTGCCCAAAGGAGCCTGAAACACTAGGTCTGATTTCCGAGTTAGAATTCAACGCCATGAAGCGAGAGGCGTTGCTTCTAAATTTATCGCGAGGAGGAGTAGTGTGCGAGCAAGCACTAGCCACCGCTCTAAAGAAGGGGCAAATCTTTGGTGCTGCGACCGATGTGCTCGAGACGGAGCCCGGCGGTGTTGGAACTACGCCCCTGATGCCAGATATCGCAAATGGGGAAGAGCCGGTGCCCAACCTGACGATAAGCAGCCATCTGGCGTGGTTTTCTCAAAAGACGGTTGAGAACCTGGACCGGTTGCTGAAGCTTGGGATCGAGGGGTTTGTGTTGGACACGCTACTAGATCCGTCGTCGAAGCCAACCGTTATGGTACATAAAGGGGAGATTTTTAGATGATGTACGAAATAGACTACTTAGAATCGCTTTCTGCGACTACACTAATGACTGTGATATAACTTGAGGGGAAATGGGTCAATCCAGAGCACCCAAGACTCGGGATGGAAGTAGTTATCTATGAATCCACCGTGTGTACCCAATTATTTCTCAGCCATCTCCACTCCCCACTCTGTATGGGGGCAAAATAATAGTCGAGGAATGTAAACCCGAGATCAATTCGGCTTAGCTTGCCATTTGAGTGAAAGCCACCCGCAAGGCCGGGATCAGCATCGGGACCAAGACCTGGCGTTGAGGATTGGTAACGAATGGGTACGCGGACTGCTCACACAGGATAAATATTGGGTGAATCTACCGAGGGAGAGATTTCTTATCTCTCACCACTTCCAATCCATCCTTAATCAGTGCAAATTACTATCACTCCCCTCATAGGGTATCATTTCAACAGCCTCTACAGGGATTTGAGTTCACAAGTCGGCTTCACCAGCAGACATGGCGCCACACTCTAGCACTGATATGTCGTCTTCGACCACTACCGATCAGGTTGCGACAAAGAAACACTGGGTGCCGCATGCCAAGGCAGACAAGACAGCCCTCGAGGCTATCTCGCAAGGCGTGCCACTCGCCGGCATCCCAAAGTTCCCCTCCTTCCACGAGGAGCGCACACACATCCTGGAGCACATGGCCGCGGCGTTTCGAATCTTTGCTCGCAAGGGATTCAACGAGGGCATGTCCGGCCACATCTCCATCCGCGACCCTGAGAACATCCACACTTTCTGGACAAACCCGCTCGGCCGCCCGTGGCCTCTGATGCGCGCTTCTGACATGGTCCTCGTCGACTACAGTGGCCAGGCTGTGGGAGGCAACATGAGCCGGCCCTCAAACGCGGCGGGATTCCTCATCCACAGCGCTCTGCACAAGGCTAGGCCCGATGTAAATGCTGCCTGTCACACGCATTCTATATATGGAAAGGCTTGGTCTACGTTCGGTAGGCCGCTTGAGATGATTAGCCAAGACGCTTGCATATTCTACGGAAAGGCACAAGCTGTATATGAAGATTTCGGAGGTGTAGTCTTCGATGAAGACGAGGGAATCAGGCTCGCTGCTTCTCTGGGAGCAGAAGGCAAAGTGATGACACTGACAAACCACGGTCTCCTGACAGTGGGCCAAACAGTTGACGAGGCAGCGTACCTGTTTACGTTGATGGAGAAGAGCTGTCAGATCCAGCTGATGGTGGAAGCCGCTGCTGCCAATGGAATTCCGAAACGGATCGTCGACGATGCCGTGGCTGCGTACACGTTTGAGATGACGTCGAGCCCAGACAGCTTGTACTGCGAATTCCAGCCGGAATTCGAGGTCGAGGATGCTCTGAGTAATGGAGACTTTCGTAAATGAGATTTTAAGAGGGTTAAGTTGTAAATTTTGGATATCAAGTACATAGCAATGCATACACCTGAAACTGGACACCCAAGGTTTTTCAACGCATGCATAGTTTGAACGCTCTATTCGTCTTTCCACTATAACGCATTGCCATTGTGATTACTTCTTAGCATTCAGATTTATGCATTGAAAGGAAGACCTGGTTAAAGAATGTTCGCCGACCCACGATCGCTCACACAGGCGCATGCGGACTTGCGTTTCGAGGTATTACCCAAGAGCGATAGATACAGCGAAAAAGGCAAGCTAGACAGCAGACACCCACAAGAAGAAGGCCGATTCTACCCAGATCTTGGTTGGCACCAGCTTTGACGACGAGGATATTAAGAGCGAAACCACGGAACGAAAGGAGCTTGGGGCTATGCTTGCTGCGCTAATAAATCTGGTCTTTGAGGCCCAGCTCTCAAAGTTTACTTAGCATTCTCTTGTGGACATGCACATGACGAACTTACCACTGGTTGGAAGACACAAACCCATAATATAGACGTTGTCAGCCGCAGTCAATACTACAAGGGTCCCCAAATAATACAGGAGTAGCTCCCACCTTCTAGGACCGTGGTCCAGCAAATCTTCCCAAACTACTCCATGTTGATAATGCTCAACCGTGGGTGACCTTAACATTATGGGACAATTACAAAGGGCATGATGCAATTGGCAAACGTCGACTCTCGCATTTACGCATTATCGAGGTGTTATTAGGAGAGATATTCCTAGCAATGACAAAATGCGGACAAGGATTGGGACTGGCAATAATGAGAGCGACGAGGAGGGCAATGACAAGGGTAACACGATAACCAACATCCTGATCCGAAATACATTGTGAGGGCTGCAACAGGAGTACATGATTTGTTTTATTCATGGTCCGTGGAGCAAGCAAATGCCGCTTGTAAGAGGTAGAGATGGTGGGTTATAAAGTGAATGGTAGTGCCATCCTGATGACACTCTGCATCAAGTCAGAACCAGTGCCAGTTGTCGGTCTCTGACCATATCCATCCAGGTGATATTGACATCTGATTTCTCTCGACGAAGTCTCCACAGATCCTGCAGAAAGTCGGCCGCAAGGTCAAAGTTCCACATCCCGCTGAACTTCGCGCAACCTCGCAAGCGTCGATCGAAGCGAGCCTGTAGATCAGGGTCTAGTGCCTCAGCACCAGCAATGAATCCAGGCCACACAATACCACAGTTGACCTGTGAAAAGTTTCGCTGCTCTTGCTCGAACCGCTCGAGGTTGGTAATGGTCTTCTCGACGTAGGGCTGGAGCAGAAGGGGATTTAATTGCCGTACTCGCCGGTAGAAGAATATGATGACGGCGCAATGGAAGGCAGCTATTAGGTGGTGCATGATGGCACGGCTAGTGAGCACCGTCGCCGGGTCTACCTCGCCGTTGAGACTGCCCTTTTGATTGTTCCAGGAACAGAGCTCGTTTTCGAGTTCGCTGCACCAATTTTCAAGCCTGGCAGTCATGGAAAACCCAGGGTCCCTATTCCGAAGCTTTGCGATCTCGTTTGCGAGATATGTCGAACGCGAGATAAAGGAGAGCAACTCCTGCGGGACGCCGTAGATTTCCTTGAAAAATGCAGTGTTTGATGAGTCGCAGTCGGTCCCCAATTCCCCAAAGAGCCCAAATTCGAAGTCCATACCGCAAGACTCGTCGAGATCTCTCCCCAGACAAAGGCTGTGTGTCCTTAATGATGGAAACATCATCTTGTCTTGGGATCGAGATGGGCTCATGAGGGGGTGTTTTTCTGAGGGGTACATGTATGTGCTCTCTTCGATGACCCGAAGAAATAAATAGATAGCGTGAAGCAACTTCACCTTTTTGGACTTGTTTACTTTCGGAGCGCCCCGAAGACTGATGAATAGCTCGGCGTTGAGTAAGAATGATCGAGCCTCCTCCTGTTGGCCAGTGACAACCTGAGACACGCATCGTTAGCTTGTTATATTATGGTGGAAGTGGGGGAAACTTACAGTAATGGTAACCATTGTTAAGATAGCCATAAGAATATCCTTGTACTTTGAACTCTTCTCTCCAGCCAACTCGGTTTCGCAGGTCCATTCGAGTTCCTTCTTCGCTCCACGCCAGAATCCTTCTCCAACATTCCGCCAGTAAGTCGTGCTGTTCTTTTGCTCTCGGCAGATGTTGTCCCAGTTAAAAGCGCTGACTGCGAGCACAGAGTATAAAAGCGACATTGGAGCATGTTTTGTCTTGTTGAAGATGTTCAGCTCCGATAGGGCAGAGAGAGCGCGTGGGAAATGCAGTATGCTCCACGGCGACTTGCGAACGCGGAGGGGAGAGAATAGTGTTCCAGTCTGAGCCTTGTAGTGTTGAAGGAGGAAATTTGCATGGGTAGATATCGATGGACCGAGGCGTTGGTCGAGGCCACTGCTCATATGGGAAGCAAGAGGAGAAGGTATTGCTAGAGCATCATTAACTGGTGAGGATTCAAGGATCATGTCGAAGGACGACAGGTTCAGCGCAGGGTCCTCATCGTTGTCGACGACTGGGAGCATCTGCAAGTCGTCCAAGGATGGGAGGTCGGAGACATCCAACCCAGGTGCCTCCCAGGGGCAAGGGCTGGGTAGATCGGTGATTTGCGGAATGGGGACATGGTGCACATCTGGAGAGATCGGGTCCCATAGAGCCAATGGTGATGGGAGAGGCTGATCAGGCGATTCAGAGGCTACTGCGCCTTTGGACTGAAATACTGAAAATGGACCTCGTAGAGGCAGCTCGCATGACTGGCGCTCATAATCCGAGTCCAGGTTGTTCAGCACCTGGTCTATTTCACCCCAATCGACCAGGTGCTGTATCTGGCTGGACATGGCTGCTCGCTCCACCTCTTTGGCAGATTATTAGCAGAGTTCATTTTACATGCATTCGCCATGCTGTAACAAGCTGAGGCAAATAGAGCACAAATTCCATACCAGTGAAGAGTATACGACGACTGTGGCCGCCATCGTTCTGTTTGCCGTCTGCTGCGGCGGATCCATCAGGCGTGTAGTGAACAAAGCGTATCTTCGCCTCATAGCCGCCGCAGACGAGACCAGAACGCAAACACTGGCCACAGAGCGGATGGGTCTCGTCGCACTTGACCTTGCGTGTTCTACAGGTCAAGCAACCCCCGAAAGAGCGAACTCGCGTCCGCCACGACCCTGCCGCGGCCTTTGGCATCGCGCGTATTCTGAGGCTGGGAAACTTTGGTCTACAGATAGGGATGGCTGATATCGGGATGACTTGCTGAATATCATAGACGGCTTGGTGAAATTAGTAATGGCAAATACATGATCACTGAGGGGGACGTAGGATCACGACAAGGATAACACGCGGGTCCACATCAAAGAAATGGCTATTTACGGTTAGGCCTCGCGCATTTCCGCTCAGATTGCGGATTTCCGTTGAGATTGCCATGCTCTTTATCCAATCATATTGAGAAGCGAGTCAGACGTTTGTGCTCGCTAAAACCTTCCAACCGGCTTCAGATATGGCATCCGAACCAATGCGATAGTTGCACATCTTCCCCGGAAATCTAGTTCCCAGTACAGACACGACATGGGGTGCATGATAATGTGGAGTGAGATCAACATGATGTATCATGGGCAATCGGCATATATAACGTGTCAATGGGACGCCTAGGCTGCTCTGTCATTTCGAGACCATTCTGTTGATCACCACGAGTCTCACACTGGAATTTCAGTCTCTTGTTGCTTCAACGGCTCTTCCATTCGCAATGGCCAGCGTCTTGAAATCCTCTACGGAGAAGATGGATGCTAATCCCAAGATCGATTCCTCCAACGATGTTGAATCGTCCATCGACAACACCGCCGAAGCTGGCACCAGTGTCATCATAGACCCGGAGGGCGAACGCTCATATGGTAAGCCATCTCCCTAGTAGCCCAGCTATCTTGTCACCTTGTTCGCGGAACTAACTATTATGCGCAGTCAAAAAGTTGGACATGTATCTTTTGCCGTTTCTCTCATTGATGTATTTCTTCAATGCTGTCGACAGGTCCAACTTGGGCAATGCGAAAACCGACGGATTAGAGGCGGATCTCAATTTCACGGGCAACGAATACAGTCTGCTTATCCTGCTGTTCTATATTCCCTTCGGCACCCTGGACCTACCTCTCAACCTGCTCACCAAGAAATTCTCCGCCAAGTGGGTGCTTCCCTCCTTGATGGTTACATGGGGCGGTATTGCCACTATTCAGATTGCCTCCAAGAACTTCGCTGGTATTCTCGTTCTGCGCCTGATACTTGGTGCCTGTGAAGCCGGATTTTTCGCTGGTGTCGTCTTCTACTTCACCCTCTTTTATAAGCGTTCCGAGTTAGGATTTCGAGTCGCCATCTTCTTCGGTAGTGCGCTGCTCGCAGCTGCTTTCAGTGGCAGTATCTCTTACGGTGTCTTTCAGATCAAGGGTACACGTCTTCAGGGCTGGCAATGGCTGATGCTGATCGAGGGCATTTTGACAATCATTGTCGGAGTCATATCCTTCTGGTGGCTGCCTGCTTCCCCTGCCTCCGCATGGTTCCTTACCGATAGGGAGAAGGCCGCAGCTAGGGCCCGAACTCTTCGTGATGGTTCGAACAAGATCGACAGCCAGTTCAGTTGGAAAGACTGCTTCTCCACGTGGAAGGACTGGAAGTTTGGGATGTGGTGCGTTATCAACTTCACCTATCCCGTCGCATTTGCCACCACCTCGAACTTTCTGCCCCAGATTGTGCAGCGTCTCGGCTACAGCGTCATCAAAACCAACCTCTGGACAGTCGCACCCAACGCCGTTGGATTTGTCGTGCTTCTTATTGTCGCCAAGTCCTCCGATCACTTCCATGAGCGTACTTTCCACGTTTTTGGTGCTCTCGCTACTTCGCTTATTGGAATGATTCTGCTCATTACCATTGATGTGCTGAAGCACAAGGAAGTCGCCTACTTTGCTTGTTTCCTCATGGCATCCGGCGCATATATCCCCTCTTGTCTCGTGCAGTCTTGGCACAATAACAACAACTTGAACGAGAATAGCCGTGCTGCAACAACTGGTCTCCTAGTGGGACTGGGAAATTTTGCCGGAATCATGTCCGCCGCTACTTTCCGGACAGAATATGCGCCCAAGTATATTCCTACTCTGATTTTGACTTGCTGTTGCAATGTTATTGCGATGACTTCCATCCTGATCCTTGGCGGCTGGATGAAGCTCGAGAACCGTCGGAGGAACAAAGCGCAGGGTGTTAATCTTCGGGCTCAGGATGTCGATACGTCTGAGCTGCCTGATGGAGAGAAATCTCCTAAATTTCGCTTCTTCACCTAAGAGGAAGAAATGGGATCAAGGCAGACTGGAGTGAACTAGCTAGTCTTTCGCAAAGTCTGTACAACTTGGCTCGTCAGGTTCCTCTATCTTATATGAAGCGCCTTAGGATGGAATGAATTCTTCAATAAGGGACATAAAATTGACACTAAACTTCATTCACAGAGCATCCGTGATTCCACCTTCTCGTCTCCTAAGGCATTGGCTACATTTAGGGTTGAGGAAATGGGTGTGCACTCCGAGTGGATGGGCTCATTTCGTGAAGAGTATCTGTTGATTGTGCTGCATGATGACACTCAACTCCTCCACCGAATTCAACCACCCTATACCTCCCTTGTGAAGGACAGGATGGAATCGGGTCACGTGAGATGGTGGCACAGTGCCACCACCTCAAACACTGTATAATAAATACTGTACCACAAAGGTTAGTGAGGGAAGCCTCTAGAGCTTCCTTCGCAACCTAAGCAATTGAAGCATATATTGCACCTTTCCCTACGGCTATACCTTCTTTTCCCCCTTTTGGGCAATGTGACAGGCGGTTAGGGACACTTGGGCTAGCTGGTCGCTAGCGGGGATGTCTCTAGGGTGACCCGGATGGGGTTAAAAGGGGAGGTCAGGGCCGTCACTGGGGAAAATCATCGCTTTTCCTTTCATCAGAGATTCTTCCTAGAAGTCAGAGAGGCCGGAAGGGCTCGAGGCTGCTAGGGAGTCTATTAATTGATTGCCTTTATTTTTGAGAGATTTATTTAAGCCTTCTTGCCGTTACTACGTTCCCTGTCCAACCTCCGTCTTCAACCTCCCTCAGATATCGGGCTGCCGCAGGCCCCATTGATGCCTTGCCAGCGAACTTTCCTACGACCGACCCGATATTCTATCTCATGAGATGCTTCCCTATCAGGAGACATGAGCCTCAGATTGATCCGACCTCATACGCGTAATCTGGTGCAGCTTCGGGCTGACCGGCCAAGACGCCTGTGCGACGACTCTCTGTGCATTTCCCCTAGGGTAAGTTAATGAGTTGGGTGTTGTTTTCCGTCCCTTCCTGCTGCTAAACGATGTCGACGACAGAACTTAATACTGTGGGTTCATGCCCCATGGTTCATGAGAGCATCCAGGTCAGCCGGGGTATGGCTGTTAATAAAAGGGGTCCATTCACCCCGAAAGTTTCCGCAGTGACTTAACAGAGACAGGATGTCGCGATCGACCAATCCTGGTTTTTGCCGCACTTACAAGACTCGCCTCTTCCTCTAACTACTCAGATCCGTAAAAGTCTTGTTATGGCCCGGATTATCGGCAAAGACGAAAATAGCAAGGATCTGGAGACAATGTGGAGTCGCTGTTTGACTCCAGACATCTTGTGCGGGGCGGTGGCTCTCTGAGCAATGAAGAACCGGCACACGTGACAAAAAGCATGACGTTTAACAGGTGTTCCTTGACATAAACGTTCTCATTTTAGAACCTAATCCCTAACAGGAGACGCAACCCGCTTGCGGGTTGCCCAGCTGAAACGCTATCAGGACTGCCGATCTGGGCAGTGGCTGAGTAACCATGGGATGCATGCATTTTCGGAAGAATGACTAAAGTGTCACCGCTAGGATCGACTTCAATACGTTTGGTCGACGTCTTCTTCACTGAGTATGGAAATTCGGCCAGAAGGAACGATGATTGTGGGGATGGCTTAGTTGGGTGGTTGATGGGGGCCGGGTAAGCCAAGGATCATACTACACTGCAGCCTGAGGCCAAAACAGGGTAGCCGGGGTGATCGATTTGCATGTGTACAGTGTTCTATTTCCATCTCTGCGGAGGCGATCAAACTCCATTCTACTAGGACTGGCGGGTCCGGGCAACATGCATTCGGCGGTACAGAGAGCCTTGCTTCGATGGCACGGCTTCTTACGTCTACCTCGACACCCACAGTCGTGGTATAAAGACAGGTTGCGAGAGGAAATCTGCGAACGACGCCTGGCAACGACCCCTTTCCAAAAGCTCAATGAGACGGCCGACGTATTCTATATTATCAGCCGAGTGCAATATGATAGTCATGCTCTCCGAAGACTCCCCGATTTTATCCTTCCGCATCTCGTCGTATATGCATACCTGCTTTCAAAATACACGTCGAGGTGGCAGTTCTACCGAGTAGCCGCTTCTTGTGTCTTCAATACGCGAAGTCGTCAACCCGAGCAAAGATCATAAGGTGCGAGAGGTCGCGTGCCGCCATGGGATCGATCCGACCAGCTTTATACGAGTCTGCCGTCGGCTTCGGATGGTATGGCCCCTCCTGCCGTGACCAGAGTGTGGTCGTTAGTAGACGCACCGATGAGATGGACCCGGACGTTTGAGATATATCGTTACTCTCTATCCAGAGGCCCGCCGATCAATTGCCCTCGTTGCGTCGCGGATGTACTGGGTTGCACTTGTTCTCGTATAGAACAGGCGCCCGCATATCGGTTAGAATGGTGGTGTGCCTCAAGGCGATGTCTGGTCAGTTGGAGAAGCTGAGACAACTCAATACAAAGGATTATCGAGGCTCCATGGGTTCACCCCAAGTACGCAAATCAATTCTTTGGAATACTGAAGTCCACGTCTTGCGCCAAGTGCGAGACATTGCAGGGTCTCTTGGCTACATTTTGACCCCACACAGTATCATCCCCAGATTTTAGACTGGCTGAACATGCTCAGCTCCAACTAGCCCGATTGGTTCCTGGAATATGTCTAAGGTCACTGAACCTTGGCTCTAGTAGTGCTGTGGTTTCATTGAAAGGGGGGCGGGGGAATAAATACCCCAAACCTCGTCATTTATTCTTCTCCAACTGGCTGGCAGGGGCATTCCCCGCCCGGATGCATTGCCGTGGAGAAGGTTATAATAGATTGATTCACTTTAATCACAATAGATTAGGCTCTCTTTAGACAGTTACGGGTTCTCCTTGATATTAAAGCAGGGACCAATATTAAGCCGATTGGCTACTATTAGTCATACAGTATAAATAGTGCTATTAATACTGTATTTTAGTATATATTAATAGGATTTTATATAGAATTTTATAGCTGCTTTTTAAGCTTAAAGCTTCGCTAGTAAAGAAGTTATATATATATTTATATAGTTACAGACTTTAATACTAGCTAAGCTTTAAGCTTAAAAAGCAGCTTAAAAATTCTATAAAAAGCTTTATAAAAAGAAGCTAAAATACAGTATAAATAAAAATTCACACTATAGATTGATTAAATATTAGGGTGAAAAATTGTGTATTCTCCGTGCTACTATATCTTGAGGTTTCAGGACAAGCTTTATATACCCTTTCTCTTGTATAGAATCAGCTAGAAGCTGATTCCTAAGCCTTGTGGCAAAATACTAGGCAACTGGTCACATGACCCACCCGGTCTGATGCCAGGTGCATGGTCCAATCTAACACATCTAACCATAGGCGACATGAAAAACCACAACGGAACCCACCTTCCAGGGCCACTAGGACGGCGCGACCTAGCGCGTCCCCCCGACCAGGTGAATTCGGGGCCATCCCGGACTCCGCAGCGGAAACTGAAGCCCGCTTCGTGGCTGTGATGACATATGTGATGACCGGGTGACACGGGAGCGCGATTTAAACAGAGTTTCCGCTAGATTCGTTCCACCTCCGCCTGGATTCGAACGAAACTGTAATGTCTCCATATTTGCAAGAAACTGGGGATTCTTTTCCTCCGGCTTGCAGCATTGGCGAATATCATCGACGATGTCGTCATGGACGCCACCCTGGGGAGGCATCGTGACTAGTGGCTGTGATAGTGGTTGGTATTGATGAAATGACTTCAGAGTTTCCTATTGAGGCGTTGCTAGGTATGGGATGATAACCCCTGTAACTGAACCTTGGAAGAGACCGAGTTGTGCCGGATGGGGAAAGAATATATTTGACACATAACTAGGCAGTGTAACACAGTACCCTCGGGCAAGTCACCTCAGCCAAGCCCAGCGCCAGGATTTCGGAGCCGGCCACCCACCCCCTCTGTTGCATGAATCTCAACTCAGATTGGCGCTAGCCCAGAGAGAAGTATGGTCTGCCACTTGAAAGGGATTAAAGCCGAGATCTTCTTTGACCAAAACAGGCTTTGTCAACCCCTCAATGCCTATGGTGAAGAGGGGCAGCCAGTGGCAGTTATGCGCCCAGCCGTGACCTGTAATTTCCGCTAACTTGCCCCTCTATGAATACTGAAGCCTCTGAGTTCGAGTGCCAAAGAACGATAAATGATGGCCATTTTGTAGTTAACTGGGCTACGATTTAAGGGACTTTGCTATTCTTAGGTCCCTACTTCTCTCTGTAGGCTATTCCCTCAATTAAAGATCTGTGGACGAAGGGGGTATGTTAACTACTACTTCTAAGGACGTTATCCTTTTGCTGGAGTGCTTGAAACGCTCGGCCCCCACTCTGAACCCTATTAGCCGGGGCCATCATGCTATTGTTCGAAACTAGACCAAGACAACTTCCGAGGCTTTCTAGCTGTGTCAGTTGGACGGATGCCTCGGCTACTATCAGTCATCTACGTAGTATCAGGCAACTGCTTGCCCGAACCCCCTGGCTCTTTGTCATAGTATATAAGCTCTCTCATTTGCCTGAACTTAACTTTGTTCCATACTTCCAATCTTTTCATAGGTGCATCAGCCCAAACACTACTCTTCTGCCAGCATTTTTCTCCCTCCCCGTCCGGAAACGCTCTACTTTCCAGTCGTTATAATCTCCAATTATGGATCACCGGTCTAAGCTCAAACTTGAGGCCGCTGCTGCATGGAGCGGCGTGGTCTTTATTGTGTTCTACCCCATCTTCTGGCTCATCATCGGAAAGATGCACCCTCCGGTTCCGTACAGTATGTCGCCGGAAGATATGAAGGACTACTACCTGTCCCACCGTGATGGGATCATGTATGGCATGGTCTTCTCCGCCGTGGTCGGTGGGACCTGGCTCCCCTTCACGGCTCAGCTGGCCGTCACCCTCCGCCGTATAGAGGGCGAGGGTGCAGTCTTCACCCTCATCTCCATCCTGGGAGGTGTGCTCACCGCCTGGGCCCTTATCTTCACCCCCGTCACCTGGATGATGCCTGCTATGCGCCCTGACGCCGACGCTCAAATCATCCGCGCCTTCCATGACTACGCCTATCTCCTCTTCAAGGGAACATTCGTGATTTCGACGCTACAGGCCGTAGCTCACGGTGTCGTCGGCCTGCTCGACCGTTCCCCCCGTAAGGTCTTCCCTGCCTGGTCCTGCTGGGTCGCCATTGCTGCCGGTATCGGCTTTGCTGTTGCCGGCCCAACCCCCTTTATCGAATCCGGACCTTTCGCTCTCGACGGTTGGTTCGCTGGATGGCTCCCGGGCACCGGATTTTTTATTTGGACAGCTGTAACTACTTACTACCTCATCCTCGACGTCAACCAGCGACAGAAGGGAGTTGTCCTGGAGTGAGTAACTTCTGTGGCACAAACACCCGACTGCGAAATACTGAGCACCATGGTAGTGAATCCACGGACTTGCCATGAGCCCAGGTTCAAGAGTACGCACAGCAGTTCGGCTATGGTCCCAGGGACAAACAACAAACCTCCAGAACGCGGCGATCGCAATTGGTTATTAGGAATATAACAGGTTAGGAAATGCATATTTCTTTAACAAAATAGTAACCTTCCTTGGAGGAGATAGACGAAACTTAGCTTAAACCTATACTTAAATCCCACAGTATCTTTTCTTCAGCCATGAACGTGAACGCAACGCCCACAAGTGGTTTTTTTTACCACTTCTTAGCCAACCCAACATACGGGGCATATAACTTGGTGCTCGACTACAATCTCTATTAAATTTCGGAAGATCTTTTGAAAGAGCTTGAACTTTTCCCTGAAGTGAGTGGTTACGTTCTTGCCGTTCCCTCGCTTCCCTCGCTTCTTTACAATATGCCGTGATCCGCCAAAGAAGCCAGTCGGGGTAACACCGCACGCAACCTTCGCAAACAGGAGGCACCACACTGAAAGCCACGCGATATAGCAACAGGAGAGTTATTATTAAGTGATTTTTCTGAATGTTCTTTGAGGGAAAACATATATTGCCTAAGGAGGAGCAAGTATTACCTATATTATATCGCTGAGAGTGCTCTAACACACAGGCTGTATAACTATTTAAAACAAAACTGAAATCATATTTCCTGTCTCTATACCCCAACTCTCTACCTTTTCTACCCCCAACTGAGCTGTCAGTAAGTGCCGTACAAACTCGTCCACCTCCACGGCTGGCACGCGGTTATGAATAACGGCGTCGGCGTGCAAGCTATGTATAAATAACGGGTCCGTAGACTTGAGTATGGATCCCCAGCGCGCGGCTGAGGGAGCGTCCCAAAGTTCCGCACGAGCGGTAAAGAAGATGCCGCCTTCGCAGCTTGTTGATCCATCCTTGAGGACCTGATAGGTACCAATCATATATTTTACTAGCAACCATGTACGGCGGGTCGACTCGGAGAGTGCGAAGGCGCGGTATATCCTCGCCATCATGCCTGTCTCGGCGTTGGCAGCCACGTCTGTCGACGGGTGAGAGGAAGATGAGGGGGGTAGGGATGATATATTTGCATCTAAAAGGGCCGAGTCCCAAAGCTGTTGCGACCAGAGGTGGAGTGTTGGGATCAAAGCCTCTGCCTTGGCTCGGCCAGGGATGGAAGGGGAGAAGAGGGTTAGAATCAGGTAGATGAGGAGTGCTTGCGTACGGGCAAGGTGTTCTCTTGTCGAGAGCAGGGGCGCTGAGAAGAAAAAGTCCAAAGCAGGCTGAGACTGAGAGTCAACCAGGTCAGAAACATAGGTAGACAGAATGTCGTAAATATGGTTCTCATTCTGCGGAGTAATAGTCCGCGCGATGGCGATTGAGGCGTAGGCGTCTTGTATGCACCGGGGGAAAGGTGCTTCGGCGTAAAGACCACGGTGAACGAATGGGTTATGGCCGTACCGTAGGAAGCGGGCGAGCCAGTCCTGTAGGCCACGAATGAAGTTGGTGAAGACGGAGACAGGGAAAGAGTTCAGTGGCCTATCGTGGGGAGTTATCGACCAAGTGGCGGGCGTTAGGAACCAACTTCCTGCAGCTAGGCCCGGGGATCCCGGAGAGGAGATGAGCCGGGTTGACGTCGTGCGCGAAGACGGGGCGGCTGCTGCTGTTGCTGCAGGGAGCGAGGATGCGGTTGCAGCCGCGGACGTTGTTGGCCACGAGAGCCCACCCCGGGTTTGTCGTTGTTCTTGGCGGCCGTGCCTCCTGTTGATTGGGGGATACATGCAATCCATGTCCTTATCCAAGCATCTCATACAACCAGGAAGCGTCCTGTCGCAGCGGCGCTTTGCGTTGGTACAGGCGATGCATGCCCTTTGCTTCGAGATCCGGGCCATAGTGAGGCCAAAAAAAAACAATGAATGATGGTGGAAGAGCGGGTAATTTGCGGGCGCAATTTAACCAATGTTCCCTGGTCACCAGCCCCGAAGGGGGATTTGTCAGCTCATTGACGCTCTATTTTGCGGGCATAAATGGGGGGCGCGGGTAATTTGCGGCCGCGACAAGGCTCCAGAGTTGGGCCCTTACTGGGTGTTGCGGAAGACTAGCGGGTTTAAAAGCGCCATGTAGCGGAGAATTGCGGCGTTTCTAAGCATACCGCCAGGTCGAACCTCCAGTGACCAGCTCATTGACTTCACATGATCAGTATGGCAGACGCCAGAGACAGCTCTCGGCTGTCCTCAAGTCTTTAAATATAAGGGCGTTGGGCGTTGGGTAAATTTGTGGTTGAGAGTCTAGAAGCAACTGCATCATACCACGACACAAGTCAGAGCACCCAGACATACAATCATCCTCGTTAACCATCGCATTAAAACCTTCATCATGGCACTCGCTACCTCTTCTGTCTTTCCTGGCTTCGCATTCACCAAGACCATCCATCATGCCCCGTATCCCGCCATCTCACCGCTTCGCCCAGAGCTCTCCCAGGCTGGCAGGACGGCCCTTATCACCGGTGGGTCGACGGGGATAGGATTCGCCATTGCCAAAGCCTATGCTCAGGCCGGAGCGGAGCGCATTATCATCCTCGGCCGTCGCAGGGAATTGGTCCAATCGGCCATAGCGCGGCTTGAGTCGGAGTATCCCGGCGTTCACTTGACAGGGCGTGTCTGTGACGTGACCAATCTGGCTGCTGTCGAGGAGCTTTGGATCAGCTTTGAGAAGGATAGAGTCTTCATCGATGTGCTTGTGCTAAATGCCGCCAAGGTTTCGCCGGCCGAGCCTCTCCTTGTACTGGGGCGAGACACCGTTTTAGACGACTTCAATATGAACGTGCGGTCGCACATGGACTTCGCAGAGAGACTCTGTAAGCAACCTGGGGGTAAGACCCGAGCAAAGGTGAGTTTCCGCCTTCACTTCACCACACGGCCGCTGCCCTTGACAAACACGCTGACTGCAGACAAGGCCCTCGTAAATGTGTCAACCCAGGCAATCCACGACTTTAACATTGCGGGAAAGTTACCTAACTATACTCTAACTAAGAATGCGGGAACACTGCTGGTTCAGATGATCGCCAAGGACGTCAGCTCATTGGAGCTGCAGGTGGTGAGCTTCCATCCCGGCGGCATCTTTACCGAGGGCACCCAGAGCGGAGGGTGGAAGAAAGACGACTTCCCCTGGGACGATGGTGGGTAGTTACTAAACTTCCGTTTTCTACCACGCCGCAATACCTTTCCCACATAACTAAGACTGACTCTACGAGCAGAGAACTTGCCTGGGCAATTCGCCCTCTGGGCGGCGTCCCCAGAAGCCAGATTCTTACACGGCCGCTTTGTGTGGGCAGGGTGGGATGTCAATGAGCTACAGGAGGGGGAGCTGCGAGAGCGTATTGACCAAGATGAATACTTCTTGAGGGTTGGGGTTGTGGGTATTCAGGAGTGGGAAAAGAGAAACTAGATATTGCTGATAGATTTGAGGAAACTGGCACGGGCATCTGGGCTATCGACAGTGAGACTACACTTGATGCGAGCCCCCAAGTTTATACAAGATATTGAATTTTATAACTAATATTGGTGCTTCTTAATGCAGTGGGCGACGAGTACCCCTCTGCGGAAATTACCGGCATCGACCTCAGCCCGATCTAACCGTTATGGGTGCCTCCTAACGTCAAGTTTATCGTCGACGACGCCAAGACGGAATAGGTAGACCCTCCAAACTCGCTCGACTGCATCTACCTGCGCCACATGGCTCTGACTATAAAAGATATACTGCGCCTCTTGGAGCAAGTATACAAGGCCCTGAAACCGGGGGGTTAGATCGAGCTGCAGGACTTTCTGTATATTATATACAGCAATAATAGCTCCAAGCCCGACGACTATAAGTACGATAAGTTTATTAGGCTATTATATAAGGGCTTTCTTAATGAGTCGGGGCTTTCCGGTCTTTGGGGATAAAGGTCATTTGATCGGATGCTTGCAGCCACTAGGGCTAGGATTGGTGGGTTCCTTCAACAGGAAATGCTGCATCGGGTAGGACCGGTAGCCAGACCTACTGGGGCCATAAATTGGGAAGGTCTCGGACAGGACCCTCCAGACGAAACACAAGCATCATCCTTCTAGCATCTCATCTTTTTTGAATTGACAGTCTTTTGACCTATTCTTTGGGGACCTATTGAAGGTCCATTTGATCAAACGGTATCAGCTGAAAAAGCTATCTACTTAGCCCAGCTATCCGATTTATCCGGACCCCAAACCTGACCCTTTCCGACCCTTCCGACACAACACTATCGCGGTCATCACAGCTCTGTTTCTGGGCGGGTTGTGTGTTCTTAGTGTCCTCTGCTCACTCCCTCACTCATTAAGTTCGGCTTTAACCTGTACGGATAGCAGAAGAATAAGAGTATAGTTAAGGATGCCGGTTTTATTAATATCGATAATAAGATATATAAGATACCTATCGGTATATAGCCTGAGAACCAGGGGCTTAAGATGGCAGGGCTATATAACCAGGCTATTATACTTAACTTCTTCTTAGCTATTATAGCCCCCTTTACCCGCAGCCTTAAATAGTCTACTAAGTAGGTTAAGGTCTTTCTAATTAATATTAGAAAGTCTATCTATAATACCAATATATATATATATTATACTCTTTATATAGTTATTAGATAAAAGCTATTAGATATAGCTTAGGTATTTTCTGCGAAGTAATATAACTCTAGAAATAGAATCTTTTATAATAATATCTTAAGAAGTGTCACGACCCGTGCATGGCTCGGATAGCCACAGGGCGGTCGGGACTAGCAGTAAACTTAGTACCCACAAATTCCAACCAACCACGTCGGGATCACTGGATCATCGCTACGATCCTACGATCCACGCAACTATATAGACACCTGAGAAGTACACATCCAGTATAAGCAGCTACTCAGCTATCAATACAACTTGGTTACCTCAATCACCTTGACTCGCTACGCATCACTGTGCTTGACTATTACCAGACGTAACATTTACTCTGTAAGTGACGCCCTAACCGCTCTGCTAACATAAACCTACGGTTTATCCACCAGCAACCAGCCTTCTGCCAACCCTAGACCACGTCTACGGCAGACCAGAAGACACGACCGTTACATAATCCATTCCACTTCTCTTTAACAATATAATGCCCAAGTGGCTTGTTCCTTTTCAGCGTACAACTCTCGGCTTAACCTCGGCCCAGCGGAAGGTCTATTCTCAGCCGAAGTGGAGCAGAAGGCAGTGCACTCACCCTTTCATTTCATCATCATCCTGCGGCTCAGCCTCAGCCTCAGCCTCAGATGTTTTATATCCTCCAATCCTGTCTTTTCCCTGTTGGCCTCCAGCGTGGAACGAATAATATCAAATAGATACATCCCAACACTTCATTCTCATTGCCAAAACCTTTTGTTCTTGCCGCATCCTTCGCAGCACAATCCCGAATCTGACGATCATGGACACACTTCCACCCGAACTCATATCCAGGATTGTTCCATACCTCATCGAGGAAACGCGTTTGAATCATGATGTTATGGAACGTCTGCCCGTAACATCGCTTGCTGTATACGCAGTCATTTCTCGCCGATGGCAGCATATTGTCGAGACCATCACATTCCGCTACTTGCACTTGTCCCCGACCAGACTTGCCATAGCCGAAGCGAATAATCACCTCACGCCAACCCGTCTCGGGTATGTTCGACGCATCTGGTTCTATTTCGAGTTTCCTGCCCACGACCACGCAGTCTCAACTGATCCAGACGATGACAATGACCAATGTGTATTCAACAAGACTACCAGACAACTATTCGGTGTCCTTTTGCGGATTCCAGTCAAATTGAATCCTTCGGTCGCCTTGCATCTTATCATATTAACCGACAACAATCCTTCAGATTCTGATGACATACAAGACACGGAAGAATGGAAAATTTTCACTGGAAAAGATCGCACAACGTACCTTCAGTTGTCCCCAGATTGGGATAGCGATATTTCAGAACTACCCGCAATTTCCTACCTTCGAACAGAATTATCCTCAAAAAGGGTCCTTTTCTCACCACATTCGATTAATCTTATATCCAGCAAGATGAATCGATTAGAAGCAGTCGAGTGGGAGCTCAGTGATGCGGAGAAGATTGACCCGGATCTGAGAATACGCCAAAGAACATGTAAGTCTGTCAAATCCTGTCCATTTTCTGTACTTTCTGGATAATTACTCACAAGACCCTGTAGCATTTGCGCAGACATTGGAAAGAATTCCAAATTCGTTGAAGAGCTTCAAGCTCAAATATGTCCGAGAGCCCCCGAGGAATCAATACTTCCGACCTCCAAGCATCATCCCGCCCAACTCTCCAGGCGACATCCTCAGCCAAGCACTCTTCGACTTCACCCAGAGGGACGGCCTCTGTGATTTTGAACTTGATGCTAGTGTCGACAGTACACTCTTCTGGCCGCAAACACAAGATTTCAACGAAAAATGGTGTTGGCCTACGCTGACAAACATGTACGTCGAGTTGCACGATGTGTTACCTTCAGGCCAGTGGATTACTGTGGCTCTGGACCCAGGGCAAGAAGACTCTGAATCACCTAACGGCTATGAGTCAGACGAATGGGAAAACGAAATTCCAGGTGAGGAGACCGAGAGGTCGTTCTCGTCGGTATGCGACCAGGGTCTGATGAACCAATTCGCCCTGGCTGCTGGAAAAAGTGTGAGCCATATGCGAAATATCAAGTGGCTTTTCATCAGTCAGTATGGTGGGTCAGGGATGGGTATCGAGTTTACGAGGTATAAGGACAAGGAGAGCACCCTGGAGCTGAACCGAATTGATGATGTGGGCAACCCGATGGAGCCAGGGTTCAACGACGAAGCTCTGAATGCTTGGAGCGAGGCAATGAAGGCACAAAATTTGGAGTGGAAAATTGAGAAGAACGAGTAGCACGATTTAGTTACACCAGTAATCAGACAATAGCAATAGGTTGATTGATTGAGCTGACGATATCCACATCTACTACGCTATGCTAGGGGCTGGTGTTGGGTACCAGGCCTGAGTAGTTTCTGGGTACGATATTATGTGTTGCTTCAAGCCGTCTGCGAAATTCGATAAATTATTGGCTTGATACAGAGACGCAATAAGCCTCGTCAACCCACAAATTCTTACAGTCAGCTAAAGTAAAGGAGTTAGCAAACAGACAAATGTACGCAGCGACTGCAAGAATACAGCGAAAATTCAGCGAGCTGGGAGATGATGGAGCGGGCACTCACTTCCTACTGCAGGGTTCCAAAAGTAAAAGTCGCTTAGAGTGATCTTGAACTTGTCGGCAATGGCCTGGCAACCATCATCCTTCTGGGCAAGATACCATTTTTGGCAGTTCTTCGCAATTCCAGACTGCGTGGGGCCAGGAGGACCCGAGGAAGTCTTCGATGCTGTTTGTTGTGTGGTCTTGGCCGAAGTTTTGGCCGTGTTTCTGGTCGTGGAGGCTGCGGAATTCTTTGCAGTTGACGTGATCTCAATAATTGTGCCAGTGACTGTGCTTGAAGGGATTTGTGTTAGGCTCTGGGTAGCATCATAGGAGACAGTCTCCCATCCTGGGCCTCGAATGCAATACGAGGCGTCAACCATCAGCTTCTCACACTTGGACCCGACACTTGGGTTCCAGTCGTGAAGGGCCCACAACGGAATGTCAACCTCCTCGAGGAGTTCTTCACATGTTTCACCCTCGCTCACTGTGTACCAATCCTCACATGAGGTAGTGGCATTGGCAGTTGCATCGGTCGGCTTTGGTACGTATATGTCTGTTGTCTCAGACTCCACACTGCCAGGATCGTAGAAGACGCCACAGTACTGAGTCTCGTTTTTGAGTGTGCAGTTACCTGGGGAGTAAGAGTCTGCACCGCCGAGGACGCTGGGATTCCACTTCACCCAGTCATAAACACTGACACCTAGGGCGGCTGCTACAATTGAGCAGGACACTTCGCCGTTATCGTTGTTGAAATTATGGTAGCATGCCTGGACCGAGTCATTGGCGAAAGGATAGCCCGTGGAGACCGGGGAAATGGCGCTGGGTGTATACGTGGCTTCTGGCAGATCACCGAGATTGACGCTCGTTACCGAAGTGGCAGTTGGAATTACTGCGGTTCCTGAATAGTTGGTGTATGTGTTGATATCTCCGACGGCCATGATGCAGTATGAAGTTTCTGAAAATATTAAAACCAGGTCTAACAAACTCAAATGCGTAAGAATACTCACCTGCCCACATATTAGTGCAGTTTGCATCGATTTGAGGGTTCAGAAAACGAAAGTCATCAAATGTAATTCCATTTATGTTGGTCAATTCAGCACAGCCTAGAATCATAAGCGCTTACTATTTAAATGGGATAACACCACTTACCTTGATCTTTCGGAGGCTCATACCACTTGCCACAGGCCTTGGTTGACTCAGGCTGCGCGTCCGAAGGGACTGGAGCTGCAGTTGTGGCTGTCCCATCCACAATGCTGGGTATAGATGCTTTGGGCGGTGTATAGCCAGAAGGGTCAGTGACGCAAATGACATGGCCTATTTGCTGGTCCCAGTTGTTACAATAAGGATCAATAAAGTAATTCCATCGCAGCAGCTGCGTTAGAGTAATGTTGTGGGCCCTGGCTACCCTTCCACAAGTATCGTCCTTCTGAACAACATATGGCTCACAGCTGCCCTCAATACAGAGTTCGGATGAGTCTCCTGGCCAATCTGCGCACCCACCAGACAGATGATTGCGCGAGAGTAGCTGAGATGTGCTGATGTTATGGGCAAAAGCAAAGTCATCACATGAGACGCTGGTTGGCACAATCATGGAAGATCCTTGGCAAGTCTTCGTGGAAGTTGATTGGTCGGTTCCGGTACTGAATATGGAGTCAGCCTTAGCAGAAATGAAGACGGTGCGTATTTATGATGGAACTTGCCTAGTCTCATCAATGTACACCGGCGAAGGAGTGGTTATAGGAGCCGCAGTTACTTTGCAGGACGAAGCAACGGAAGAATACTCCTCGACAAGCTCCTCGTCGAATGTCCTAGCGTCTTCGAGTTGCAATCGCATAGCATCAAGATTACACGAGCTGCAATCGCTGAGAGTTGTGTTCTTGCCATTCCCGGTTTCGGAATAGCAAAACCTTTTGGATTCACTGAAAACATTTCCAAGTCAGCTCATAGCTAAGCTGGGCTGAATGGTTCTTGTACGTACTCATCTTTTAGGCATAGCAACCTGTAGTTTAGAAAGTAGTAATCGGCCAGAGCGATTGGCTGAACAGAGACGCCGCCGACATTGTAGATGTCTTCCCGAGTGTTCGTACCGTCGATGTACTCCGTGGAATTAATCACGGGGTCCGTATAGACGTCGTCGGCACACGCTGTGATCACGTTGGATCGGTAATTTTCAATCGACTTGGAGCAGTTTGTTGTGCAGAGGGCGACAAGATTCTCATCGGAGAATCCGCCCCAAGTGTAGAGCATGTCCTCGTCCAGAATGTAGCCAGAACAACCCAACGGGGCAGCCAAAGCGTCGATGCATGCATGCGATAGGGACGTGTCAGTGAGTGTAGTGGCATTGAACAAAATTGTCGTGGCACCAGTGGCTCGCTTCTGGAGCGAGGCTAAGAAATGACTATGAAGGGCATGGTGGCTTTGATGAGGCCTTGCAGCCACGAATAAAGACAGACAGGAAAGAGTGAGAAGAGTCCAAGGCACGAGGCGGAAGCCCGTTGGAGTCATGATTTAGATGCCGAGTTTGGAAGCTCGTAAAAGATTGGACGGGGAGAAGTTGATGCGGATTTCTCACGACCACAGACAAAGGAATGCTGTGTGACTTTATGAAGAGACGAAAGTGATGAGATTTGGACTTCGGGCATGTGAAGAATGTCAAAGCAGTGAGCATTCCGATAATTAGACCGCACTGCTACTTTTGGCACCAATTGATGAGGCAGGGGTTAAGTGGAGAAATAACTTGATGACCCTTCGCCTCATAGCTTGACCCTCAGGCCATTTCTCGTAACGATGGTCAAGTTGGGCTATGATAGTAGTAAATTGTGCCTTGGGGATATTAATCCCTCTCGGTCTAATTAATCCTGCGAAGCGTTATAAATTAGCAAGCGAGCGAGCAGGACTATCTTTGCCTGAAATCAGCTCCACGAGGCAGTGTTGAGGTTTCAGTTATGAACAGACCACGCTGCGGAGTTTTAGAGCCAACAACTCACAAGCAAGCGAATAATTGCAAAAACGATGGTTGCTTGCTGTTGGTCAGCACAATTGACGCTCAGGTTGGCTATGCCTAATATGCTCAGCCCCAAATCCTTCGGGGCGAATGTTTTCCAGATGAAACAAATGAAATATCTTGGCACCTACAAACCCCACATAATCCTTCGGTTCGAGGCTGGATCTCAATTACTCACTACCAACACGGGCCGAAGTCTTGGCACTCGATGGGTGATGGATGGGTGTTGGTCTTTCTGGTAGGAGACGTGGGAGGTTTGTCCGAAAGATATCATAGTACATAACCTCACCACCAATCTTTCATTTGATGTATCGCAAACACCAGTCTCTCTCTTAGAAACCTTCCATTCATTCAGCATCCACTCATTGAAATACATACATCATTGCAACGGCGAGGTGCTTTCGTCAACATGGCGCTATCACCTCTCAAATATCCATTTCTCCTCACATTCGTTGTTGTTTCGGTCTCATTGGTTTTCATCCCTTGGTATGTCATTACACTATTTTCTTCAAGTTTCGTATGTGTAACTAACCTGAGTTTAATAGGGATGCTTCCATCCATTCGTTAACTACGTCCCTCGAACGGAAGTTGCCATGGCTTTGGTCAGATGTCTCGGTTCGTGATGATGACGACGGCGACGGCGGTGCCGGAGTATCCGATCCAGGGGATAGCCCCATTGCCCAAGGAGGGTCTTACTCATGCTCCAAGGACTCTCCTTGCTATAATGGAGCCTGCTGCGGCAAAGACGGCTGGTGTGGCTATGGACCAACCTACTGTGGCACAGGTTGCCAGTCCCAGTGCGATGCCCATGCCGAGTGTGGTCAGTACTCTAAGAAGCCTGGACAAACCTGCCCTCTCAATGTATGTTGCTCTGAGTTTGGCTTCTGTGGTACCACCGCCGACTTTTGCAACGACAAATGCCAATCAAACTGTGGCTCTCCCAATAGGCCACGGGGCAGCGGTGGTGACGTTCGGGATCACATCATCGGTTACTATGAGAGTTGGAAGTCTTCTGGGGATGGATGTGGACACATGACCCCTTCTCAGATTCCTGTCCAAGTTCTTGATGCGGTCAATCTTGCATTTGGCTATATCACGCCGGATGATGTAAGTTCAATCGTTGCTTGTCAACGCAGGGCTACTTTGAATCGTTAGCTAATGCAACTTAGTACGATATTGTTCCCATGGAGCACCAGACTGAGTCAATCTTCCAGCAAGTCGCAGACGTGAAGAAGCGCAGCCGAAGCACCGAAGTTTGGTTATCGCTGGGTGGATGGACTTTCAACGATAACGATACTGTTACGCAGCCCATCTTTGGCGAACTGGCAGCCGACAGCACCAAAGCAAAGGAATTTGCTGGCAAGCTTGTGGAAATGATGGACCACTATGGCTTTGATGGAGTGGACATCGACTGGGAGTACCCCGGAGCAACAGATCGAGGAGGCAAGAAGCAGACGGATGTCGACAACTTCCCTACCTTACTCAAGAACATCCGACAAGTTTTCTCGAGTCATTTGAAACCCCTCAAGCTTTCCATCACACTTCCAACCTCATACTGGTATCTTCGATGGTTTGACCTGCCAGAACTCGCCAAACACGTCGACTTTTTTAATATCATGAGTTATGACCTTCACGGCACTTGGGATTCTTCAAACCCTATCGGCCCCTACGTTTACGCTCACACCAATCTGACAGAGATCAAACTCGCCCTGGATCTATTCTGGAGAGAAGACATCGGCCCTGACATGATCAACTTAGGGCTTGCCTTCTATGGCCGGTCTTTTAAGCTTAGAGATCCTTCTTGCTCAGATCCAGGCTGTCGCTTCGGAGGTCCTGGTGAGAAGGGGCGATGTACCGATACTGCTGGGATTCTATCGTACCGAGAGATCAATGAGCACAGAGCAATGTCGGAGTTGAATAAAGGGGCATATACGATACATGATAAAGAAGCCGCCATTAACTACATGGTCTACGGAGATAAGAATGAGGACTGTGAGTAACGCTGGAAAGTCTCATGAGGGTCCGATTCTAATTTCCGTTTAGGGATATCTTATGACTCAAAAGAGACATTTGAGCAGAAAATTGACTTTGCCAACGAGCTTGGCCTTCGCGGACTGCTGATTTGGGCAATAGATCAAGACGATGATCGATACACAGCGCTGAAAGCCGTAACTGGCAAGGATATTTCTCCACGAATCGAAGAGAGTGACACCTTTGAGCACTGGGACGTTAGCAAGTGTTTCGTCAGCGGATGCAAAGAGGACTGTGGCGATGGCTTTACAAAGATGGTGCGTGATTTCCCATCCCACGGGGTTGGATGCTAACGATTCCCTGCTTAGACAAACCTGAATGACGATGCCAAAACCCAGCGTGGATGCGGTGGGAACCACAAACAGAGAAGTCTGTGTTGTCCTTCTTGGGGTGCTCCGGACCCGAAGACCTGCTCGTGGCAAGGATCAGCACCATGGTGCTACGAGACTTGCAAGGACGGCGATATTCTGTTCGCTACGGATCATTATGGAAACGGCGGTTCTAACTGTCACACCGGAACGAAGAAGTATTGCTGCCCGGCGAATAACGGGAACCGAGCAGTAGCGTCGTGTGGATGGGTTAGCAAGGATACTTGTCCCAACGAGAGACCCCAGAAGCTATACAGCCACACCGATTCCGAGCAGCTTGATGGTGAGACTGTCTTTGGAACACGGACTTTATGCTGCCCTGATGAGCCAACCTTCGAACACTGCACGTGGCATGGCGATGTTGGAGCTTGTACCAACAATTTCTGTCCCAAAAGCAAGATACAGGTCGCGAGAAGTAATAGCCGCCCTGGTGGCAGGTGCAACTTCGGCCGCAAAGCCGTTCTCTGTTGCGACCCTCCAACAGGGTAAACAAGACATGGTTGTTTGTATTTTGCATTGGCTGACTTCATGCTCAGAGACGACGCAATTCTTCCTGTGGCTCTGGAAGACCTCTTCCCATACGACATTCCCGCCACCGACAAGCCAGTATATCACGAAGCAATAGACAGTGAGTAATCCACCTGACTATCCAGTCTATGAGAATAGCTGAGTGATGGCGTGCACATCCTTGAACACGCATACAAAGCATCTGGCCGACGAGACTGACATATGGTAGACTATTCCGACGCGTTTCCCAAGAACTGGGACGGCGAGGACGACCCCAACGAACAACCCTTTGGTATGTTTCGACTCTCAGTTTAGTTGCTGCCATTTCTAATTACCAAATAGCTTGGATCGTCATGGTTGGCAGCGAAAAGGATGTACAGTCTCTGCGGAAGCGCGATGGATCGCACCTCGAGCTATTTGACTGCCCTGATCCAGCCAAGGATGACTTCACCATTCAAAAACTCAAAGCTGTCTGCATGGTAGAAGGGCAGGATGGAAATTGTGAAGATCTGATGCTAGGCAGCGTTAAGGGCACGATTGCGCGGCTCCCAGAAGATTGCGGCAAAGACGAATGGGTTCGAGTGGTCTCCTTCGAAGCCATCGAAGACCACCCTGTCCCGTCACACCTCGAGAAACGTGCTCCTGAGAATGCCAAAGTCTATCGACTGGAATACGACTACAAGTTCCATGAGCTTCGAGCAGACGGCGGCGAGGTCTTTGTCCGCGCCGATGCATCTACCCACCCGGGATATTGGGATGGTGAGCTCTGTTGTCTGTGAAAAAGACTGGCAAAGGTGCTAACTTGGCGTCTAGAAATTGTCGCGTCGAAGACAGGAAAGGGCATCTCTCGTCGGGATCCCAAGAACTGGCGAGAAGATGAAATGTCTTGGTTCCGAGAACGCGGGTTTGTCGGAGACGCTGTCCAGGAACGCGGCGAGTCTTCTTCGCTGAATTGGTGGCTAGAGAAGTTCAAGGCACTTCTCAAGGCCCACGACAATTATGGCGTTCACAAACTTTTCGATTACAAGCAGGTGCTGTACTCGGCCACAAAGTCTTGCCCAGGGCTCGGGGACGCGTCTCTTGAAGCTAGGCTTGAGGGCCGTGTGGAAACGACCTTTGACTATGGTATTTCGGTTATTGGTACACTGAAGAATTTCAATTTCGATCAGTCGTATGCCTACTTCCATGTGCACGACTTCAATATGTCAACCATGAGTGTTGTGGATGCATATGCGAAGATCCAAATGCAGACTCAGAAGTTGCCTATTCGTACGTATCATTGCTGTGAAACTACCGAGGCATTGCTAATGACTTACAGTGGGATGGTTGGATCTATTTGGTGGCAACTTCAACGTGAAAGGTCTGCTTGAAGTCGGGCCGTTTTTCGACATCCAGGCTCAGCTCCGCGCGGCTCTTACGTTGTCAGGGTTTGTTCTTCCTTTTCTCTAGGTCTCGAAGAACTCAATGGCTAATCTGAAAGCAGACAAGCTCGTGCCGGTCTTACTTTCAGATCCAGGGGTCTCTCCTGGATGTATCCGCAGTAAGCAGATGTTTGCCCAGTGTATAGTTTTATTTGCTGACAGACAAATAGGGGAATGAACGAATGGCCTACAAAAGACCTTTTGACTACATATGAGCCTGAAATCCTGCTAAGTCCCAAGACCGAGGTTAGTGTCAAAGCAAAGGGCGATCTCACTGTGGCCATCAACCCAGCGCTTGGCTTCGAGCTCAAGGTCACATGGAACGACAACAACCTTGTCAACAATGATGTGCGTCTTAATTTTGAGACGAATTACACATTCACCGTCACCGCCGAAACTGGCAACGCGGCCACATGCGATGGCCTACTCATGGGCGTTGATTTAGGATATGGGCTTGCTATCGACATGTCGAAGCCTATTCCCGGGTGGAAACAAACAGACACACACCACACCATCATTAGTCCCAGATCCGTTCAACTGGCTGAGACTCAATGTAAGAAGTGGTCAGAAGGAGGAGCAGGCCCAACTATTGGCAGCAGCCGAAGAGAGGTCGGTGCCCCCACAAGCAATGCCCCCAGTGTGAAGCGCGTTTTCTCGCGGAGTGACGTAGGAGATGATGCCCTCTTTCCTGATACCCCAGGATCCTCGCTTCGATGTATCAACGACTTCAAAACGCCTACTGGAGATTGCCGTGACCACACGGCGGAGGATGACTATGCGACCGACCCATCATTATTCGATAAGAGAGCGACTTCGGCGGGCACTGGAAAGAAGCCGTGGAGTTTATGCGACAACTCCAAGAAAATCTACGTCAAGGGGATCAATTTCCCAACCTCTGGACAGATGATTAAAAAAGAAGGCAAGTACAAAGACTTGGGAAAATTCTCAAGCTGGGGCCCGAGTGACCCCGACGAATGCGATGACTACGACTTCCGTTTGTTGGACGAAACCCCTTCAGCCGATAGATCTGGTGAGTATGACTCGGAACATGTCCTGGAGTGGCAGACTCTCAAGCAGTTCATGATCAACGTGGGCTTCATCAAAGACAAGAAAGTATCCAACAAGCCGTCTATCGCTGCCACGAGTCCGTACAAGGACTGGACAACAGATAACCCAATAGTCGCAGAGCTGAGGACTAAAAAGAAGTATCCACAGAAGGACGAGGTTGACTTTTGCGACTATTTCTGGTTCTGGTGGTCCCAGAAAGTCTTTGAGTATAAAGGCGTCAACCACAACGCTCTGGACCATCTCAGATTAGCGATCCCGAACGACGATTTCTACAGGGATGAGTTGCAGCTCCTTTGGAGTGGCGCCAATACTGTCAAACAAGCGTAAGTTTTGAGATCTGATTTCCATTTTACACATAACTCCAATTCCCGCGTCTATATAATAGTGAAGCTAACATTGCGTGTTTTCAAGCATGTGGCAAATGGGAACTTACACCATTCGATCGAAATCGAAGATGGAGTCGTATCTGAAGGGGACGACCGAAAGGGGCAAGAAGAGGGATGTCAATGATGCAATCAACGTTCTCAAGGACACAATGTTTGCAGTCCGATATGTAAGTTTGTTTGCATGGCAGTGTTAAGTGCGCTGAGACTAATCGTGTTCACCAACAGATGGCAGAACCGGACGTGAAGAGAGTCATGTTTTCCCAGGCAGACCGCATCTATAAGCGAATGTGAGAATTCTGCCGCAAACAACAATGGAGACTTCGCTGATGACCAACCTTGCAGGAATGAGTTTGAAGATATGTTTGTTGCGGAAGGTGTAAGTTGAGCTTGCAGCTCATATATCTTGAAGTTGAGGACTTTTTCTAACCTTTATCTCCCTTCATTAGAAAATCAAGGGGTTCAACGATCTTGTCTACGTTAAGCTTGAACTTGGAGAGGAATGGAAGAAATGGTGTGAGGCCTCATACACGAACGCGAACATCAGACACAAAGGTGAGATGATATCACCTAAACCAAACCAACTGAACAAGAAGGCTAACATGCGTGTTTCCAACAGACTTTCTTGAGACATGGGTGCCTCGTTTGAAGAGAGATTACCTACCTGACGAGGACGATGAGAGTGGCGGTGATGAGTCAGACGGGGGAACCGAGATCAATGAGGATATCAAGAAGCGCGTCGAGGAGTTGGTTAAAGCATACGACGAGTTCAAGCAGAGCCCATGGGTCAGTCCTTTCCAATGGGATTAGGTGATGGGTAGAGTTGTGGGAAGCGGCGAGACAAAGCTCAGCCAGAGCAGGATCAAAACAGGGGGTGGCTCTATTATGTAAAAATCACTGAGAACTAAGAAGTATTTAGTCAAGAAATATGGTCCAAAAAAAAGTTTTTCCAACTCTACTATCTACGTGTCTACTGGGTGTTGGATTTATATATTGTTGGCAGCGCGTTATGAGAAAAGCGTTACGCACAGGGGGTCATCATGCACCTCGAGTATAGCTAGCAAAAGCACTCGGAGAATCACTCACGCTATTATCTCTATCTCCGAGCACGCACTAAAGTTGCACCACATTGCATCAATCGATTATTATCTTGAAGACTAAGCTAGGGGTTTTAGAAGACAGGTGGACGATGAGGAAGGGAGCCAGGTGTGAGACAAGGGCAGCTTAGCAGAGAATCCAATGTTCCCCTTGAACAGAGAGTCGCGCTAGAGGAAACAGTGCGGTTGACTTTTGGAAAGGAAGAATAGACACGTTCCGGACCAGCCAACCTAGCGACGGTGCTGCCAGGCCAAGATGCGTGATTCGGCTAACTACCAGCAATAGATAAAGCAGCCTGTCTTGGGCGCCCACGTCAGAGGCCACCACATATCAGGATTCCACAGATACGCCTGGTCGCGTTATTGGCCGGACTAATGGAGCAAATCGTACGTTTTTATGCTAATTCCATGTGAAGGAAAGATATCGAGCCATGGCGGCCTACACGACCGTCCTATCTCGAGCTAATAACCCCGCATTGATGCCATGTCGAATTGGAAGGTTTATTCTGATAGCGATCAAAGGGGAATCTGAATTAGGAATGTTTAATCTGGCTATTCCCGTGTTTACGTAACCCAAAGTCACCTGTGTTCTTTCGTTAGAAGCTAGCTATATCTGGCAATTTGGCACGAACACACTCCGGCCTGCCTCAGTCAAGTCGGAAAGTATTATCCATGAGTCGTCACTTTCGGATGAGACACAAACCTACAATACATGGGGGATTTGCATTCTAACAACGCAGTGCATCCTAGACTTCTCAAAAATCTTCACTCAACAATACACTCACGACATTTTTACTAAATCTCGAAACTCGTTAGGTCTCGCTTTCACTTCGGGTCGCATGAAATCCATTGTGTCGAACATGGCCGAACTTAACCTCGTTGAGGCTTCCATTGAAGACTTGCAAAATGCCTTGACTTCGGGCTCTGTGACGAGTGTCGAACTGGTCGCTCGTTATCTTCGTCGCATTAGTGCATATGATTGCCGAAATACTGCTCTCAATGCTATTCCTGTCATGAACAAGGCCATCTTTGACGAGGCCCAGCAATCCGACGATCGGCGGGCTTCCGGCGCGCCTCTGAGACCTTTGGAGGGCATTCCCTTTACCATCAAGGACAGCTTCAAGGTCAAGGGAATGGCGGCAGCCGCGGGATCTCCGGCGTTTAAAGACCTCATCGCCAACGAGGATGCCTTCTTGGTGAAGACGGTCCGAGATGCTGGCGCTATCCTGGTCGGACGCACTAACATGCCCGCTGTGGCATGCGGCGGTATGCAGAGGGGCATATGGGGGAGAGCTGAGAATCCCTATAACCCAGACTACCTTGCTGCGGCTTTTGCTTCGGGCTCCTCCAACGGATCAGCTGTGTCTACGGCTGCATCCTTTGCCGCCTTTGGCATCGGTGCTGAGACCGTATCTTCTGGTCGCTCCCCTGCATCGAACAACGCATTAGTCGCATACACCCCCTCAAGAGGGTTTCTTTCCCTCCGTGGAAACTGGCCGCCGTATCCTACTTGCGATGTCCCGGTTCCACAAACGAGAACTATGAGGGATATGCTGTGTCTGCTGGATGTTATTACGGCTGAGGACCCCGTGAAAGAGGGCGAGTTTTGGCGCGAGCAGACTTTTACAATGCTACCGGAACCATGGCAGGATAAGCCCAAGTCATTCAAGGAAATCTCTTCGTCCAAATCCTTGTCGGGTCTGCGCATCGCAGTCCCCGAGATGTTCATTGGCGGGCCCGCGCCAGAGGGGGCAAGACAAGTGGAAACAAGTCCGGCAGTTATCAAGCTATGGGAACAAGCACGAAAAGACCTTGAAGCTCTTGGTGCTGAAATTGTTCTGGTGCCTGATTTTCCCCCAATGACGGCATACGAGAACGACGACCTATTGCCCGAGGGTTGCCCCAGACGACCGCATGACTGGAATGCAGTGGAGAGAGGTCCATTAATTGCGCATGCCTGGAACGACTTCTTGAAGGGCTTCGGTGACTCCGAATTGCCTGACATCTTCGCCGTTGACCCGTTCAACATTTACCCTGAGTCCCTTCGGACAGAACCTGAGTTGAAGCACTTTGAGAAGGCCAATGCCATCCAGTACCATAAGCTGGCAGACTATGTTCGCAACACGACCTTCTATGAAGTAGAAGGGCTCGAGGAAGCTGTTAAGGGCCTAGAAGGAATGCGTAAGGTGCTTCTTGAAGACTGGTTGACTTGCTTGGGCTGTGATTGCGTTGCCTTCCCTGCGGCGGGCGACGTAGGCCCTGCAAACGCAGACTCGAGTTTCGAAGGCGCGGCACTGGCGTGGAGAAACGGCACCTATTACAGCAATGGGAATAGGGCAATGCGCCATCTAGGAATCCCCTCGATGTCGGTACCGATGGGCATTATGAGCGACAAGGGTGTTCCGGTAAACCTTACGCTTGCCGGTCGAGCGTACGACGATGTGAAGTTGCTGGAGTGGGCAAACGCATTCGAAGCGAAGACAAAGCATCGTGTTCCTCCACCGAATACCCCTGCTCTTGACTCTGATGTCATCCCATTGATCCCAGAGCGCTCATCTAGGGCACTTCATCCTAAGTTGAACATTGAGAAGTTTGAAGCAATCCCGGAGAATGATATGGCTAGGTCATCACTCCGAGTCAATGTCCAGGGTCTGGTAACAGTGCCAGCTCCAGCTTTTGGTTTGCCAGAGCTGGATATCATGATTGATGGTACTGCCATTCCTGTAGAGAATATCGCGGTCGAAACACTATCACAAACAGCGGCGGGCGAAGTCCAATTCTTGTTCAAGGCTCAAGCGGTGACATTGAAACCCATCGAGAGGGAAGGACTGGAACGAACGAGGGCTCCTGTGGCTCGTGACATGACGATGGGTGTTGTTTTGGCTAAGGCTACTAAAGGTGGACAGCCTGCAGGTTGGCTTGGGTTGATTTAAGGAAATTGTTAAGGAACTGTTTAAGTCGGTGTCAATTCCCCAACCCGATCCATGGCGAGGGAAACAAAATGCGGCAATTAGTTAACACGATGGAAATGTAAACCAGTGCTGCATAAATTGTTAATGGCCATGTTCTTTATATTGTTCCATGCTTTGTACCGCACTAACATTTCCTCTCCAACATATCTGCTTCTATTAGCTACATGCCCCAACCCTTACACCTTTCCTCGTTCAAGAAACTTGTTCGGGATATCTACATGTCTGCTTCTGATGTATTCACACAAGTTCTTACCCAAACTATCAAAGCTCGAAGTCGAGTTGAAGCCTCGGTCAAGGTGGTCCTTCAACAGGAAATGCACAGCTCGAATGTTGGCCATCTCGCAACGGTCGATTTGCCGACCGACGTCGTCCTTGCCTAGAAGCTCGCGCAGCTTCGCTGTGGAGAGGACTGTCCGCAGCCAGTCCCATTCGTCCTCGTTGCGGACAAAGAGGCCTAGGTTCGCGTTGGACGACTTGTCGCCAGAACGGCCCATGACAATCCACCCCAAAGGCCCGCGGGTCGTTGGGCCAAAAGAGGAGAGGTCGGCAGGGTCTGTCGTCTCTGGGTACGAAGGCTGCTCGCGGGGGTATTCCTTCGTCAACGTAGGTGGCGGGATGTTCTTGATGGTGCCGTCGGGTAGGTGAGCGGTCTCTTCCACAAACGACTGCGGCATCAGGGAAACCCAGTACTCGAAGAAGGGCCTGCCCACGGCAGTTCGCATGTCGGGAGCCATGGTGCCGCCGGGGTATGACTGCAGCAAGTTCTCGATACAGAAGCGTGCGAATGAACCGCGGTCTGAGTCTACGAAGCTGCTGCCAGATAGGAGCTCATCGTCACGAGTCTGGGCGAAAATGCCTGTGGAGGATCACTGTTAGCAGAGAACTCTCCAGCTCATAGCAAGATCAAATAAACGTACGCATGTCCACCGTAGCCGACTCCTGCGAATCGGGATTCTCTGGGACTTCGCCGGCAATCATGAACTTGAGACAGGAGAACTTGTCTAGGTACTTGCCCATGCGGGCTTTCGTCTGGCGCTCAATCATGGCCGCCTTCTCCGGAATATCGATACCGGTAAGGTAGAAGTGGAACTCGGCCTGCCATCCGCCCTTTGCTGTGATTCCAACTATTGAGAAAGTCAGTCAAGCCCTGGTGACATGGTGCGTTACACATACCCTTGGTTGTAGCCGGGGCTGGCAGTCCCTTAATTCCCGAGACTCGGACTGCGTTCTTGCCGACCTGCTCGAGCTTTACATCTTCAATCGACGCAGTGACGTCTGAGTTGTAGTACAAGGGACCCTGGATCTCATAGAGAAGTTGGCTGGCGATCGTGGCCGTGTTGACAAGGCCGTCTCGACCCTGCTCCATGGTAATGACACTCTCGCCACTCTCCTCGATGGAAGCAATGGGATATCCCATATCCAGGTCATTGACGCCCAGATCCTTGAACCCGGAGTAGTAGCCGCCGGTCGCATATGTCGAGCACTCGATGATGTGGCCAACCATCAGAGCGTTGGCAAGCTCGGTCAAGTGCTCCTCGCGGTTCCATCCGTACCACCACATTGCGGCGCCGACTGTCGGGGAAGCATCGGCGACGCGGCCGCAGAGCACAATGTCTGCGCCGGCTCGGAAACACTCCGCGATACCGGTGCCGCCGAGGTAGCATTGCGCGCAGACGGGGTCGTAACCCCATTCTTGGATGGACTTATTTGCCGGGAGGTTCAAAAAGGGCTCGCCTGGGTGGTTAGTTAGCATGCGTTAAGTCGGCTGTAGAGATGGGAGACGTGCCTTTCTTGTAGAGATCCAGCACAGCATCGGTTACATCGTCGCCGTCCACGACACCAACCTTCAGGTCCACCCCATGCTTTTTGATCAGTTCCTTGACAGCTTCCGCCAAGCCGTGGACGTCTGAGGCTCCAGCGTTCACCGCAAGCTTGGTGCCCTTCTTTGCAAGCCAAGGGATGGCCGGGTCAACCTCCTCGAGGAAATACGGCTCGTACCCTTTGGCCACTTCGGTTGAACCAGTAGCCATCTTGCGCTGTGCAAGTCTGTCTCTCTTGTCTGATCCTCGAAGAGTCATATTGCACTCGCTCATCCAATCACCTGGGTTGATGTCAGCGACTGCAGAAGCTCAGATTCTCCAATCTCGACTCCGCTGAGGATCCACCAACCTGTTATCACATCGACGTCTTCGTTCTTGGCCATGTCTTCCATAGCTCGTTTTCGGTCGTAAACACCTGTTAAAAAAGAATCAGCACTGGACCTTTACCAAGATGGTTTCACGCCTACCTCCAGAGCATCCTGCAATGCGGATAGGTCGTCCAGAAGGGACGCCAAGTTGTAGTTGGCCGTTACCGCCATTTGAGGCAAGGTCATTGATAGCCGAGGGAGCCATGGTGAGCAATTCTATAAGAATCAACCAAGGAATGAAGAAAAAGTTTATGAAGTGAATGCGGTGCGCATATGAACATCGTGGAAGAGCCGTAGCACACATATATGTCATTCCCGGATCACTTCATCCACCCACGGCTCGGAGATTAGGATTCTCTGTAAGCAAAGCCTACATTCTCCAACAACCCCTCACTCGAATAGCCAAACAAAGTGATTCATCCATCATGGAGTTCGGATGCTCGCAGGTTCTTGCCACCTCCTGGAGACGCACTAATGATTCAGCACCCGCTAACCCCGCCATCCATCTGCGCCCCTCTTTTCAGCATCCTCATGACCATCCGACGTAGCCATGAGTCCCAGAAGGAGATAGCCTGCTATGCGGGTCATCAATTATATTCCCGGAGACGCCATCAAGCTAAATGCCATGCCGAGCTTGGAGATATCGGTTCTCTTTACGTGGGGTGCTATACTGTACTATCTTCCATGAGGTGGTTTTGGGGAACATGAGATGTTGTTCGAAGAGAAGCGATCATGATGGTTCAGCATCGAGTGGTAGAAATGCAAGACGTGACCTTGGTCAACTTGGGTGTAAATAAGACTCTAGCCCGCTAAATACAATCCCAAGCATTATTTCCTGTACAAGAAACCGCCTTTCTTCTGCAGAAAGTGGTGCTTCAACCCCGTTCTCAAATGCTTCGTATTGTTGATGCTACTCTGGATAGCTTCGCTCGGAACATGAACGTCCTTCAAGTATTCGGCGCTCTCGTATACCTCAAATGCACAGAGGCGATTTTCTTTCTGTGAGTCTTTCAAGATTCTAAGCATTTTAGCATACGCATTATAGTGTTACTCTTCATGTGGTAGCTTACCCATACACCAATGTTCCGGGCTCATCCTCACGCCCAGTTTCCACCACGGCTTTCCAGTAGGGAATGGATGTGTCAACACCACCCGGGATATAGTCAAGCTCTGCAAACGCAATATGGGGGTCCCCATGCGTGAGCACCTCTTGTCGGTCGAAGCGAAACTCGGGGAGATATTCCAGGATATGAACATCGGGCTTGTCGTTGGGATCCAGGACCTTCTCATCAACAAACCATTGGTTTATGTCTTTGACCCCAATGGTAGACATGTGAAGATCAAATGCCGCTTTGTCGGTATATCTGTAATTACTTATCATGTGCGTTCGAGAATTCGAGAATTGTTGCACACTTACTCTTCAACCGCATACACTGTCTTGCCGTCGTCGTCGCGCGGGATGAGTGTAGCATACTTTAGCGTTCCGGGCTCGCCCTTTAAAGCCGTATCCGCCAGGACTTGCAATCTTTCCAGCAGCTTACAGCCGTTAGCTTCAGGCATCTTTGTGAGCGGAATCACGAACCTCATTGCGACGGCGAGTGTCAACCGTGAGCATTCGCGCTACAACTAAAATTCTCTCGACCATTTTGAAATGAAGAGTCGCGAAGAGGTCAAACTTTCCAGAAATGAGACACCGCGCTATTCATTGGTCTACCCTCATATAGAACTTTGTTGTGGCCGGCCTGGAGGCGCCACAATCGATGCATGTACCCCTCAGCTCGCTTTACTTTATCCGGGTTTTGTGGGACAGAAATGCACTGGGTCAATTTTTAGTTGTGTATCAAAGATGACTATCCCGAATCGCCGAGGAATTAAAGGTCGGGGAAGAATATTCATGTGGCCCAGATATCATGTGGATTGTGTTCGTCATTCATGTCAGGACCAACTTCAGGCCATCAGAGCTACCCTACAGCGATATGTCGGTGGACGGAAGATAGGCGCACCAGATAGACCTCGTGTTGATTCTAGTTCTCATCTTAATACAATCCTCACCCTAATCTAATCTAAAGCTTTGCGGGAAATCTCTTGTCCAGCGAACAAAGCCCGTCCCTCATTCCCGTCATTTCTTTCCTCAGGATCTTCCCTGTTGCGTTCCTCGGCAACTTGCTCGCTTCCCAAACACCACCCCGAAGCTTTTTATACCCGCTCACCTGCTCATCTATCCATGATTGAACATTCCTGAGGGACTTCTTTTTGTCAGCTGCGCTCTTACTCACCAGGTGAGGCTTGAGCACCACCCAGGCTGTGGGCACCTCAGTCAACTGGCTTTCGTCCCACAGAGCTGCAACTCCGCCCTCCGCGACATCCGGGTGAGAGTTGATATACGATTCGAGCTCTGATGGAGAAACCTGGAAGCCTTTGTATTTGATCAGGTCCTTGGTACGCCCCACGATGGAAAGCCGTCCTTCTTTGTCAATCGTGCACACATCGCCCGTGTTGTACCAGTTGTCCTCAGGAAACCCTTGCTTATTCGCTTCGTCGTTGAACGCGTAGCCACTGGTAATATTTGGTCCTCGTAACCACAGCTCGCCGGGGCCACCTAATGGCGCATCATTTACCGTGCCTTCTTTGACCAGTCGAGCTTCAATGCCTGGGAGCAGTCGTCCAGTTGAGCCTTCTGGGAGAGTCTCATCAAGGCGCTGGTAAGCTACGTATCCAGACGCTTCTGTCATGCCAAAAGCCTGAATCATCTTCCAAGGGGCTCGTGACATGAGTCTCTCCATGTCACCCTTCTTGAGCGGCGCGCCGCCGACGTTGAGGATTGCCGCACGGGAGAAGTCATAGCGCTCCGTCACATCGGACTTTGCTAGTGACAGAACCACGGAGGGAACGCCCTGGAAGGAAGTGGCCTGGTTAGACCCAACCAGCTTCGCAAAGCTCTCGAGATTGTATGAGGGCATGGCGTGGTGAAACATGCCAGTGTAGGGCCCTAGAAACATCGGCATGGTTGTCATGGCAATATGAGCCCATGGTGTGAATGCCACGGTCTTTGATGCGGGATGAAACTGAGACGCGTCGTGGGAAACGAGCTGATGCACGTTTGCAACAAAGTTGTAGTGTGTAAGACACACACCCTTGGGTTTCCCTGTCGTCCCGGACGATAGATGGATCGACGCGAGACGTTTTGAAGTATCTGGGTAGTGGGGGATTTCCAATCGCGCTGAAGACAGGAAGTCGTCTGGGATATGAAGATGATGTGCTGTTTTGGCGATGACAGTGAGGATTATTGGGGGCTGCCATTCCACGCCTTCCTTCTTCAGTTCAGCTGCTGCAACCTCGACTGCCTCATTGATTGCAGGGAGGATATTCCCATAAGCGACGATGAATTGAGGGCGACACACTGCAATTCCATGTCCAATTTCAGTTGCCTTTAGTGCATAATTGATTGGGCAGATGGCGCCTCCCGTCCACAAGATAGAATGGAAGACCTCCATGAATTCTACACTGTTGGGAAGAATAATGGCCCATCTTGCCTGATCTGGCGGGTTGAGCTTTTGCTTGATCCCATTTGCGATTCTGCCCGTACGGTCGCGAAGTTCACCAAGTGTGATGCTCCGATTGGTGAGACTATCGGCTGCGATGAGGTGGGAGTCTGGAAGATCGTAGTGGGAAGAGTGAAGAAGTTGAGTGAGGTTTTGGTCTTTGGGAATATCGACCCTCCGGTCCAGGTTGTAAACTGTCATGGTCGGTGTTGATTGAGTGGCCATAATGCATGCCTGTGTCGACAAGTTCTGAGTGCGCTTGGAGTTGGACGTCTGACTATGATTCTCGAAATCCGGCTCGTCTGGAGCGCTGGTAAGCCTCACGACAATTACCGAGAGTCTGGGAGATGTCTTCCGCCACCCCTGTCACGACCCCAGATGTAGGCCCTGGGGAGCAACACCTTTCAACATTTTGGGAAACCAGTCTAGATAGCTTGCATTAGCTCGTGGGGGTCGTTACCGAGTACGGTCTCGGGAAGACCGGCTGACACGATGAATCATTAGGGCCGCTCCACCTCCGCATCTTAGTTCGCCTACCGGATAGCGAGGTGCACGAGGCGGGGTTTGAATGGCGAAGGAATCGGGAAGTGAGGCAAATGAGACATGGATATGCCGGAAGGTAACTTGTCAATGGTATCGTTTACCGAGGACGAAAAAGATTGAGTGTCGTTGGGAAAAGTGATTGCGGGGGAGATTCATGGTGTTGGAAAACTTCCAGTCAAGCCTTCACGATAGCCCTCGGCGTATTCACCAGAAAGGCTTATTCACGGCTGTAAAATGTCATCGACCGAATCGAAAGAGAAGTCTCGCCGTCCCATTCGGATTGGCAATGCATCTGGTGCCATTGGCGACGGGTAAGTGATGATCGCCCTTCCGCGTGACAACACCTGGTTGACAAGTTCAGCCTTGATCAGGTTTTCCGACTGGCATCTTCCGGCGCCGTGGATGCCATCACGGCCGATTATCTCGCAGAGTTCAACATTGCGTGGAAGGCAATCGAACTGCAATCACGGCCTGATCTGGGATACGAACCCAACTTTCTCGAACAATTAGCCTACAACAACGGAGATGGTGCCCGTGCGGTGGCCAACAACAACGTCAAGGTTGTCCACGATGGCGGCGCTCTCAATCCCAAGAGCTTAGCTGAGAGGGTCGATTCGTACTTTCGCAGCTTGGGAATTCGACATATGAAGGTCGCTTGGGTCGAAGGCGACAATGTCACCGAACAGATCAGGACCAATCGATTCGGGAACCCGCAGCACCTGGACCAAGCTGGCAGGAAGTTTGAGACCGAGGGAAAACAAATACTCGCGGCAAACGTGTATACCGGACAGAGAGGTATCATCGAGGCACTCGAAAAAGGCGCAGACATTGTGATCTGCGGCCGGTGCTGCGATGCGTCCCCTGTCATGGCACTTGCATCCTGGCACTGGGGTTGGAAACCGACCGACTACAACCAAATTGCCGGCAGTCTCATGGCTGGACATCTCATCGAATGTGGTGCCTATGTGACTGGCGGGAACTACTGCGGCGCTCAAGAAGTTGCTCAACTCCATCATGTCGGGTACCCAATCGCCGAGATTGCGGCAGACGGGACATGCATCATCACCAAGCCCGAGGGCACCAACGGGGCCGTTACGGTAGACACATGCAAGGGCCAACTGCTGTACGAGATTCAAGGACCGACATATCTCAATCCTGATGTTGTGGCGCGGATCGATGGCGCCTGTCTTGAGCAAGTCGGCAAGGACCGCGTTAGACTGTCAGGAATCGTGGGAATCCCTCCACCCCAGACTGCAAAGGTCGCCATCAGTGTTTTGGGCGGCTTCCAGGCCGAGATCTCAGCATACGCCGCAGGGCTCGACACTGATTTCAAGTTCAACTTGATGAAAGAACAAGTCCTGGGCCAAGTCAATTTGGCAGATTTCACAACCTTCAGCATTGAGAAATACGGGTCTGTAGGTACCAACCCTCGGTCACAGAAGTCCTGCACCGTCCAGTTTCGCTTTTTTGCCCAAAGCCCGAAGAAAGAGGCCTTCACTCAATTCCGCAGGGCCATCTTTTACAACGGGATGCAGGGTTATTGCGGTCTGCACCTCGGGATGGACTGGCGGACAATGGAGCCCAAGCCGTATGTTCGGTACTTCCCCGCCCTGATCCCTCAGGAAGTTCTTCCCATCTTGACGGTACACTTCATCTCGGGAGAGAAGTATGCTGTTCCGCAGCCGAACTTCAAAGACATGAGAGCCATCTCAGAGTCTGCTTTGGCTATTAGCCCCGCGTTGGCGAATTCGCCATCCACAAACGGACGATTGATCAGGCGTCCCCTCGGCGACCTCTTCTTCGCCCGGAGTGGCGACAAGGGCGGCAACGCGAACGTTGGCTTCTGGGTGCGAGATCCAAAAGCATTCTCCTTTGCGCAAGCCTATTTGACGGTACCGAAACTGATTGAACTTCTGGCCGACGACTGGGACGCTCAGTACTCTGTTGAGCGGTGTGAGTTCCCGCACCTCAACGCGGTCCACTTTGTGATCAAGGGGATTTTGCAGGACGGAGTAAGTAGTAGCAGTGTACTTGACGGATTCGGGAAGAGTATTTCGGAGTTTTTGAGGGCCAGGGTCGATGATTTGCCGTATGAATTAGTCCAAGTTGAAGAGCAGCGACGTATGAGTGCGCAGCAAAAAGCCATCTCATCACGAATGACGTTGTAGGAGAGAGCACATGTAAATTGTTCTACATAGATAGTTATATCTTCAAATACAACAACTTCTTTGATGAAATACTATCCCTGGAACATACAAGAACCCAAGAGAACCTTCCAACTTCTGCAATTAAATCTGGGACAATGATTGTTAGGAGGGATAAAACCCACATTAAGAAGCGTCCTCAGTACTTATTTTTAGGATTGAGGCATGCACTCGTTTGCAAAAATTAAGATGCATGTGTCCGAATAGCAATGCCCTTCAACAAATGATACGTCGCATGTAGTCCAGCTCCTCGTACTGTCGGTCAGAGCTGGCCGAAACGGGTGACCGTCCGAGGCAGCGCGGATCGAGCCGAGGCAAATGGCATGGCCCTGGTATGGAACGGCGGGGTAAGTGGCCGGTGGGCGAGGAATAATTAGTGGGAGATCGCCCCAGATTCATATCATGATCTCCAGTTCAGACCTCGAAAACATCCATTATTTTATTTGCATCGAGTCTAAATCATGAGTTCGAGCGACAGACCCGTGAAGAATGCCTCTGGGCGATACGATAATGTCGATTTCCGCAAAGCGGCTGGGTACAAATACCCGCCGCTGAAGTGCAGCTATAACCGCCGAGATGTGCTCCTCTTTGTAAGTGCACTCTGTCTGCCTACTGCCATCAAGCTATTAACCAGATGCCCATAGGCCAATGCAATTGGGGCGAAGGCGGAGGAGCGCCACTTGCTTTACGAGCTTCACCCAAAGTTCGCTACGTTCCCGACGTTTCCTATCAATCTGGCTTTCAAGCAGACGGACCAGGATGTCTTTGACTTCATCTCGCGCATGATTTCGGGAGAAGTTCCTGGCACGCCGCCGTTCGACGCACAGAAGTCCGTGGACGGTGAGCGAGGAATTGAGATTCTAAAGACGATTCCCACCAGCTCGGAAGGATTGGACCTTGAGATCCAGAACAAAGTCATTGGTGTTTACGACAAAGGTAAGATCCAACGCCAACACACTCGCGGCAGTGGCTGACTCGTGTCTTGCATCAGGTGGCGCCATGATTCTCGAAGCTGAGCAGGAGCTTGTGGATGTCAAGACAGGAACCGTCTACGCCAAGATGAACTCAATGGCTTTCGGTATCGGCCAAGGCGGCTATGACGGCCCTCGCGGTCCATCCAAGCCTTCGCCCAAGCCTCCCGCCCGGGCTCCTGATGCCGTCCACAATTTCCAGACCACTCCAGAGATTGCTCTGCTATACAGACTCTGCGGCGACTACAATCCCATGCATGCAGACCCAGATTTCGGAGCGCGTGCCGGCTTCAAGGGATGTATCCTCCACGGTCTCGGCACCTGGAACATTGCAGCTCACGGTGTCCTAAAGGAGCTCGGAGATTCTGACCCTAGTCGCTTCAAGAGGTTTGGCGCTCGATTCAAGAGTGTTGTGTATCCTGGCGACGAACTTGAGACCAGGATGTGGGTGGTTGGGTCCAAAGGTGGTGTTGACGATATTATGTTTGAGACGATTGTTAAAGGCGACGGGCGAGTGGCCTTGTCCAACGGCTACGCCCAAATTGCGCAGAGCGGCAGCAAGTTGTAAATAATCAGTGTATAATAATTTATTCACCCATCATTTCTAGTCATGAATCGTCCTGGTATGCGTGAATGCCACTCAGATCCGAGAGAGTTGGCGGGGTAAATCACCAGCGGTCAAGGATTGCAGGAAAGAAATTATGGGTAAATAAAATGCATATTTATAAAATCTAGATATGTGACGGGAACCATTTGGGATCTCGCTTCTCTCGGTACGCAGCCAAGCCCTCGCTCGCGTTCTTGCTTCGCAGCATGGCTTCTGCCCACAGTTCCTGTCCCCTCATCGTAGCCCTGCTCACGCCCGTTTCCCATACTTCCCGCGCACCCAGGCGGGAGATGATGACGCTGTCTGGGCTCAAATTGGCAATCTCAGAGGCGTAGTCCAGAGTTCTATCCAGCAGTTTATCCTGGGGGACAATCTCTTTGATAAGACCCCATTGCACACCCTCCTCCGCTGAGAGTGTCCGGCCGGTCAGAACAAGATCCATTGTGCGATGGTTCCCGAAGAGCAGCATCGATCTGGGGAGCGCGCCTGCAAGGGCTGAAACGCCGCGAAGGACTTCGGGGAGACGGAATGTTGCATTTGGGGACGCGAAAATAACATCGGCATTGAGTACGATTTCGAAGCCGCCACCTGGGATGTCAGTCTTGCCATAAAGGGTTGCATTAGCAATGTGTCTTACCATGCGCATGCCCATTGCAGGCGATAATTATTGGCTTCTTTCCAGTCCTATTCGTCATCCCCCCGAAGCCACCAGAAGGATACTCGTGAGCGACATCGTTGGTCTTGATGATGTCGAATCTCTGCTTCAGGTCCATCCCCGCGCAGAATGCCTTGTCGCCTGCGCCAGTGAAGACAGCGCACCGCAGCTCGGGCTCACTGTCGTACCACTTCCACAGCGCACCGAGTTCAATTGTTGCCTCCACTGGCAGGCAATTGCGATATTCCGGCCGGTTGATTGTAACTTGAAGAATGTGCTTGCGGGGGAAGCTAACAATGCTGTGTTCGACGTGTGGGTAGGGGTTCTCGATCCACGAAGGGACGGGGTTCTTCGTTCGCGGTGTAGACATGCTGGCGATGGATGCAATTGCGTAAACGGATTGTCGGGTCAGTGGATTGGCGAGACTGTGTATCCAATATTACATTTCGGGAACCTCATCGACGAGCGTGAAGTGAAAACCCCCCCATTCCTCGTGAGAATTATCACCTCGGTTGCTGGCGGGCAAAAAGACCCCGAGCGAAAGGAACCGTCCACCCTGACTCTTCAGCCGACAGGATAACACTTGAACAGCGTTCAGGGCGATCAACCTGGCCGCCCGTATCACTGTGAATCCGGGTGCTGGGCAGATGATCGCATCCCCCCCCCCCCCCCTCCTTGCGATGAATCACTAGTGTCCAGCTTCCCCGCACTTTGTATCAACGGTGGGGTGGGGATGGGCCTCGGTCTCGCGTTACTTAGCGGGGTCCCTTTTGGGCGAGAGTGGGCGTCCAAGGAACAGGGAAGTGTGGCAGCTGGAGATTTGGGTACTTGGGTCCAGTCGTGGTTGAAGTCAGGGAGACGAAGCCCGAGAGAAGGGAGCGACTAGTGGTCAAACTGTTCCGACAGCCGGGGTGATGCGGTAACGACTTGTCTATTTACGGGTGGCAGAGAATATTACCTGTTTGCCTTGCTTTTTATTGATTGAATTTTAGAATTCTGTCCATCAGTATTCAAGCATTTTCTTGACCACATTTTGCATTGAACCTCACCCATTGCTTCCAATCCACCTTCACCAAGCCATCCACCTCACCTCACCACTACACTTTCTCAGACACACCCCAAAACATGTCTCAGAACTCATATCCGACGGAGACGCCTCCACCTCCGACTCCAGCTTTTCTCAAACTTACCTTCCCTGCACCACGAGTCGTCCTAATTCGCATGGACAGGCCAAAGGATCTCAACGCCATGTCCACAGCCGCCCAGTGGGAGATGGATTCTGTTTGGAAGTGGTTTGACGAAGAACCAAACCTCTCAGTAGCCATCATTACCGGAACTGGCCGAGCCTTTTCTGCCGGTGCCGATTTGAAGGAGTGGAACAACTCAATGTCAGACGATGCGGACCCGAGCAAGCGGATGGGAAATGCCCCAGCCTTCAAGCCTCTGAGCCGGCGCCTAGGGAAGAAGCCTGTCATTGCGGCAGTGAATGGCCTCGCTATGGGCGGTGGATGTGAGTTTATTGTCAACTGCGACCTCGTCGTCGCAGCCGACGACGCATATTTTGGCCTCCCAGAAGTTCGGCGTGGAATCGCGGCCATTGGTGGAGCACTCCCTCGATTAATACGGACAATTGGCTTACAGAGGGCATCTGAGTTCGCTCTTACTGGACGAAATGTTTCTGCGCAAGAGATGCTTCAGTGGGGTGTTGTCAACAAGGTGGTCCCCAAAGAGGAGGTCGTCCAGGAAGCAGTTAAATTTGCGGAAATGATTGCAAAGAACAGCCCAGATGCCATTATCTGCACACGAGCGGGCCTCCGTCAAGGATGGGAGACGGCATCAGTGGAAAGAGCCGTGGAATGGACGCTCGAGAAGGAGTTTGCGGAGCTTCAGAAAGGAGAAAATATTCTAGAGGGTCTAAAGGCGTTCTCGGAGAAGAGGGAACCGAGATGGAAAGGAAGTCGGCTGTGAGTGATTTTACCAACAGTCTAGTCACATTAATTCGAAACATACGGGAGTGTATAGAAAGGTATTATTCCTTATGTTGCCGACAAATACTGTATCCAAGTCGTCAAGCTTTCTCACCACTCGCGTTTTCCGACACAAATTGGCCAAAGTCCAAGGTGTCGAACATGACACAGAGCATGGAAATTACGATGAATCATTTATTGGAGGGTATCATGGTTCAGCTGTGATACTGTTAGTGCCGCTGCTGCTCTCCAGACTTCAGTACTCCAACAATGATTCATCTCCATCACACCTCCCGTGGATGTGACTACTGTGTCGTTCACAGAAGAGTTGGTACGTGTTAGCTCCTAAATTTCACCTGAGGAACTAACACACACATCCTCCGACGGTTCCGGCGTTTGGCTAGAACTTTTAGATGGTCGTAGCCCCTCGCGTGACGACCTAGTTCCCCTCTCGCTAGGTTGGTTAAGACGCCACCACTAATGATTCATCGGCCAACACGCGAATACGCAAGCTTCGTGGAGCTATATTGGGTCAAAAAGCTATCCTTGCACCCCCACAGTACCGCCGCTTCCCCGCAAACATCAGCTGGATCATGGCAGCCATTTTCCGGGGTAGTCTGGGGTAATGGGCTCGTGGCAGGGCCAAGAAGCATTGCGAGCTGGGTGATAGGCCGACTGTGATTGCGGTGGCAGTTCGTGCCACGGGAAATCAGTTAATTTGACGACGGATGAGCTGGTTTGAATGCTGGTAGTACCATCTTGAAGTGGTCGGAGATGCAACTCCTCCTTACATCTTGACTTTGGCATTCCGAACATCTATAAGGCGCCGATCATCCCCCAACTTGTAAGAAGGGGCTATATTAGACATCCATCCTCTACAGGTTCACAACCACCACCACCTAACATTTACTCAATCTCACTATTTCTCAAAAGTGCTGGCTTCAAGCTGCAGCGCGCCCTTCAACAATGGAGGTCAACAAAATCGAGAATACAGCAGAGCATCTTGATATAGTCGAGGATGAAAAGGAACGAGCGAAGCGCGATAACGATACCGGGTCAATCAACTCCGCCGCCCTAGGCGATGACCTACCACCTGGATACTTTTACTCCGTCCGCTTCATTGGAGCTATGGCTGTATGTAATGCATCCTTATTCAGGTCGAACTTTGTGACTGATGATTTGCGCAGGGTTTCTGTTTCTCGGCCCTCAGCGCGTACATCTTCTTGATCCTGCCGACCAATGTCTTGACCTACATCAACGCGGAAATCGGTCCGAGCAATTACATTGCATGGGTTAATATTTCTCGAACTCTCGCTCTGTCTTTCACGTATACAATCCTCGGCCGCCTTTCTGATCTCTTTGGCCGCCGGTGGTTCTTCATTGGCGGCAACGTGGTTGCCCTGATTGGAATCATCATCTGCGCCTGTGCCAACAATGTGAATACCCTCATCGTCGGCAGCGCTATCTACGGACTCGGTGAAACAGTCCAGCTCAGCTTCAACGTTGCAGTGGGAGAACTTGTACCGAACAAGTACAGACCTATGGTCTTGTCGTTTGTCTTCCTCACGAACGCCCCCATTGCTACATTTGGACCTATCATCGGTGGGTAGATGAGAACCATTCCTCATGAACATCAGCTAATTGTGTATAGCCCGGAAGTTTATTGAGAATCCCAATCTCGGGTGGCGCTGGTGCTACTATATCAACATCATCGACGTCGGTCTGGCCATCATCTTTCTGTTCTTCTTCTACCACCCGCCGACGTTCGAGCTGCTCCATGAGCGCAAGACCAAGCGTCAGATGCTCAAGGAGCTCGACTATCTTGGCATCTTCCTCTGGACTGCTGGTCTCACCCTTTTCCTCATGGGTGTCTCGTGGGGAGGCAAAATGTACCCGTGGAAGTCTGCAGCAACGATTTCGTCTCTTGTTATCGGTGCCCTGCTCTTGATTGCTCTATTCATTTGGGAGGCGTTTGCCAACCTCAAATACCCAGCCATTCCAGTAAAGTTCTTTGCCAACCGTGGTTTCATGGCTTTGGTCTGTTGCGCCACCGTCGCCAGCAGTAAGTTATTTTTGTCAACAGCAAGATCGCCAGCTAATCAAGAGAACAGTGTTCTACTATAGCGCTGTACTTCTATGGCCACAGCAAGTCCAGGCTCTCTTTACAAAGGATGTCACCTACGCCGGGTGGTTGTCCTGCACGGTGGCCTCTTCGACGGCGCTGGGGCAGATCTGTGCCGGTTTAATCGTTCGTTGGGGTGGAAATGTTCGATACTGGCTGATCTTTTCGACCTTTGCCATGGTTGGTTTCGTCGCCGCACTGGCCTCACTCACCCCATCCGATAAGAACACTGGTATTGCCCTCACTATCCTTGGACCATTCTTCGTTGGCTTCATCGAGTTGGCATCTTTGGCCCTGGCTCCTCTTTTCTGCGCTGCCCAAGACATTGGACTTGCCTCTGGTTTGCTTGCCTCCATTCGCTCAGCAGGTGGCTCCATCGCGGTGGCAGTCTATACCTCGATATTGAGCAACCGACTCACGGACACCATCCCCAACAATGTCATTCCAGCAGCCGAAAAGGCTGGACTCCCAGAGAGCCAGGCCTCGGATCTTCTCACGGCTCTTACTGCAGGCGACTTGTCCAGCTTCTCGGATGCAGTCCAAGCAGCAGTCGCGGGCGCGCTGCCCACTGCATATGCGCAAGCTTTCAAGACAGTATACCTCGCGAGTTTGGGATTTGGTGCTATCGCCATCATCGGTTGCCTCTTCTCCAAGGATGCCAAGAAGCACTTGACGGATAAGGTAGAGAGACGGATGCACGACGGGAAGGCGACCAAGAAGACGCACACTGCAGTTGATGTCTAAGTCCGTGTTCGATCGCAGATAGTTGTACAAAGAATGTCATTATGGTTAAGCCTCTCATTCCAACATGAAACTTTCCATCCGTCCGAAATCTTCTCTGTAAGTCTTTGATTCTCCATCGCCGAAGCTGTTGGCAAGAAAGTGCCAAGGTCTACCTATGGTCGCATATGGGGTGATGAGGTTGCAAAAGGTGCAAATATTAGGGGCTAAGTGTCCTAAAGATTAAAGGGCCTTGTAGTAATTATAGAAGGTCCCTATACTAATGGTTTAGGGGCTAGATGCACTGGAAACTGGCCAGAGGCACGATAAATTAGTAGAGGGACCTACTATAAATTAGGGGTTTACCGCTAATATTTAGGGGTTAGCTAAATTAAGTGCAATTTCCGGGCTTTGGGCACTTTGCGGACCTTGTCTCATATGCTACCGTCAAGGTCGGCTAAGTCCAACTCTACGATTGTGTAAAGAACTCATATGGGCTCTAAAACAGAAAATTATAGAAAGCAGAGAAAATGTCAGAAAGGAACCAGGTTGAATAACTCATGTGTTTCTCTAGGACATTTAATTTGTATATAATTAAGTCGTCTAGCAATTCCACCCACCATCAACACTGACAGAATTGCCACTAATGTAACTTGCATCGTCACTGAGAAGGAAAGCAATCAACGTGGCTACTTCTTCGGGCCGTCCAGTTCTCTTGAGTGCAATATCGTTCATTGTCTCCTTTTCGAATTGTTTATCAGCACCCGACTCCACAGCCACTGCTGCTGCTGCCCTATACATGGGTGTATCGATCCGGCCTCTGTGTCTATGTCAGTAGTTGCGCTTATCAAGTTAGGTGGGAAAGACCTACGGGCAGATTGCGTTTACACGGATTCCTCGTGCTCCAACATCCCTCGCCGCAGAGCGCGTCAACCCTAGCACGGCGTGTTTGCTTGCCGAGTAAGCGCCATTCTTCTCTCGTCCGATCAACCCGGCAATGGAGCTGGCATTGACAATGCTGCCGTTGTTGGAAATGTTCTTGATCTGCGCCTTCATGCAGTGCATCAGGCCCGTGGTGTTGACTCCAAACACAAACTCCCACTCTTCGAAGTCCTGGTTCTCGATGGCGCCGTGCTCACCCCCGATGCTCTTGGGAATGACACCAGCCAAGTTAGCGGCACCGTCGAGACGGCCAAAGCGCTTTACTGTCTGCCCAATCCAGTCGAGAACTTGGTCGTATTTCCGAACATCCAGCGGAAAAGCAAAGACTTCAGCTTTGTGTTCAGACTCGATGTCTCTTTGCGCCTTTGCGAGGCCTTCTTGGGAAACATCGGCGATGGATATTTTTGCCCCTCTGCTGGCCAGGAGCTTTGCTGTGGCCAGGCCGATTCCAGAAGCAGCTCCAGTGATAGCAATGACCTTGCCGGCTAGCTGTGTGTTTGCCATGGTATTATGATCGACAAATGTTTCCAAATATATTCAATATTGTTCAAGATGATCACCAGTGAATATGAGCTGTTAATTTGACTCTGCTGAAACCGCGGGTACTTAAGTGGCATTGTTCGCGGTAACCGATTTCCGGCATCGTGTCCCCCGCACTGGGATGCGTCATGAGGTCCCTTACTCTAGCCGACGAAGGTCCTGTCTCAAACTGAATTGTTTAGGCTCGGTTAATGCTGATTTTCCGGTTGTATTGAGTGCGGTAATTGTCTAGCTTGGTCTAATGCTACTTTTCCGTGTCACGGCTACAAGTGTCCGTCCTCGATGAACTTCTTGGGCACCGGGACGAATTTAGCCCTTAGATACTCCCCTAGGTTTTTCGCAAGAGTATCAAGCTTGCTTCCAGAGTTGTATCCCCTGTCAAGATGGTTCTTGAGCAAGAAATGCACGGCTCGGAGGTTTGGAAGCTCAAATCTATCTACGCGCCCTCCGGTGTACTCGTGCTTGCCAAGTAGCTCCTTCATTTTACCAATGGTGAGGAATGCGCGTAACCATTCCCACTGCTCGTTATTGGAGACAAATAGCCCGACATTGGCATCGGATGCCTTGTCCCCAGAGCGAGACAGGGCAACCCATCCCAGCGGCGCTTGCACCGTGGGCCCGAAGGATTCGAGCGCTCGAGGATGTAGAGCGTCGTAGGACTCATGGGGTCCATAGTCCTTTGTCACTGGCGGCAACGAGATTGGGATTATCGACTCATCGCCAAACAATAGATGAACGCGATGATTGCAGGCGCTCTGAGGTATGAGCGAGACAAAATATTCCCAGTAACTCTTTGGTGCTGATTGCCGCAAGTCGTTGGGTCGAGAAACACCCTAATCGCAGCCTGTTAGTCGAGAATAGCGCATCTAGCAGACAAAACTCACAGGACATGACTGCAAAACAGTCTCATATAGTTTTCTCGCAAACCCATCCGGCAGACTGCCATCAAACAACTCTGCCCTTGGACCCTGCGCAAAGATACGGTAGTCCACAGTTGCGATTTCTTGATTGACCGGATCAGGCGGACTGCTGCCGTGGACGTGAAATTTCAGCATGGTGAATTCCCGAATGAGCTCTTCTCCAATGGCGTGTCGGGCTTGCTCCTCCATCCATTGGCACTTTTCCTCAATGTCAAGGCCTACGAGGTAGAAATGCCATTCCGCTTGATAGCCTCCATGAGCCGTCACTCCCATGCGCGTTGTTGCAGGCGGCGGGAGTCCTTTCACTCCCGACACATGGACAATGTCTTCTCCGAGCTGCCCCATTCGGATGTTTCGCAAGTCGGCAACGACGTCCGAATTGAAGTACAAGGGGCCGGATATCTCATACACCAACTGCGACGTCACAGTTTCGGTGTTCACGATGCCATTTGAGCCTTCTTCTTTTGTGATGTTGCATTCCCCATCACTGAAAACCTCAGCGATAGGGAAGCCAAGGCCCAGGTGCTTCTTAGCCTTCATGAGGTCCTTGAAGCGGCTGTAGTAACCACCAGTTACAAATGCAGAGCATTCGATCAAGTGGCCTGCAATAAGAGCACCAGCTAACTCATCAAACTGATCTGCTTTCCAGTCGTGCCAGAAGGCAGCCAGACCTATTGTTGGGGCGGCGTCTGATACTCTATGATCGTTAGCTGTGATTCGAGTGGTGTCAACAATTCGCTATCAAGTGGTTTGCGTACCTTCCGCATATTACAATATCTGCCCCCCGTCTAAGTGCTTCTGCAATACCAAGACTTCCAAGGTATGCTTGTGCACAGAGAGGCTTGTGCCCCCACTCGCTCAATGTCTTGCCGTCCGTTACGCTGGTGAAGACGTGACCGTCGGCGGCCATCGCTTCAAACGGTCCAGTCACATCATCGCCCTCAACCCAGGCCACCTTCATGCCGTATCCGGCCTTTTGAACCATGTCATGGACAACTTTGGCAAGGAGTTCGGTGTCACTGGCGCCAGCATTGACTGCGAGTTTGGTCTTATTCTCCGCCAAGAACGGAATTGCAGGCTCAAAGCATTGCAGAAAAGTGCTGGCATACATGGCCGTTCGCTTGCGCTCCTCAAGCGGCAGTGTAGCGATGGAAGGGTCCTGTTGAGCCTTGCCAGCACCGTACCCAGTCATGACATTTTCAGACAGCCAATCTCCCACAATGGCATCGACACGCGTGTCTTTAGCTAGACGAGAAATCGCCGCGACGCGGTCTGTGAATCCTCCTGATGCACCGCCAATTCGAATGGGCCGACGACCCGGTGTCTGCTCCGAATGCATTGTGAGAGATGAAAAGGTATCCAATCTAGAGAGGAAAGCATAGTCAGAGTATCAGAAACCGACTTAGGGGGTGCTCCCAATAGGATAACACTCTGTATAGGCAATTGACTCCCGTTGTAAGACCGCTCCAGTTCGGAGCCGGGCGTGGGACTGAGATGCCGTGCTATTCCCACCCCGCCGTAACGCCCGGTTACCGATCTCCGAGACGGTCCATTTTGACAGCTTTCCCCGCATTAATGATTCATCGGGGGCATGCAGCACCTGTACTCGTGATTGTGTGACAATTCCAGTATTCCGAGGATTGGGAGCGGTCGAGTCCTCATGGAGAGTGTTGGGGTGGGCCAACCGGGGAGGAAACGGAGGCCTGGCCCGAGTCGAGGTCGATTAGGTGCGACAGGTCCGGGAATCGGTTGCGAAACGCCTCTCCCACCGTCCAGTTCCTGATTTGACGCATGTGCTCCTCGTAGACGGGGTTAATGGCTATTTCTGCGGTGCCGTTGCCGTTGACAGACGCGGCCAAAAGAACCGAAGCTGGGTCGTAAGGCCAGTTTAGCTTGAAGCCCGAGCTGTAGGGGGCAGCAAAGTCGTCGAGTGTGATCTCCGGGTGACTGATAAGATACTCTCGCGCTCGGGGCCTGATTGACTGTCAATCAATGCAAGAAGACGAGTCATTAGCGGACTCACCATGGAATACGATCTATCCACGCTGAATGGGGCGTCGTGAGTTGGCTGGGAACGGGTCGCAGCCAGTCGGGCATGAGGTCCCAGCTTTGCTTATCGAGAAGCACCATCCACTGCTGCGTCTAAGTTACGGTCCAAAGGGTCCTGAGAATGCAATCCTACCTTGAGTAAAGCCCCCATGACGTAGAACACGGCCACCTGCTTGGGTAGACCTTCAATCTCACAATAGGTTCTCAGCACGTCAGCCACGACGTTGCTAATGTCGTCTTCTGAGTGGTGGCTCTTGTCGAGGAGACTGCACAAGTTCGGCCGCAATGGGAACCTCGCAGCCCTTTCTCCAGGAGACGACGGCACCAAAACACCTTCGGTCCTGATGCCATCGACAAATCCCTGGAGAATCTGGTCCGCGAGGCAACTCGGCGGAGTGTTTTTGGGGTGCAACTCCCATAGAGCTGGCCCAATGCTGCTAGCATTGCTAACAACACCAGGGCTGTGGCCAGTTTCCTCACCCAGACCATCACGGCCCATGAGACTAAGCTGCAAAGCCGCATTCTGGGTCCGTAGCTGGGAGTTCTCGCTCTCCAGGTACCCCATCTTCGTTTCCAAGAGGCTCATGGCACGGTTCCGTTCATCGAGAGCACTCGTAAGGCAGGCAACCTGATCACTCAGCGTCTGGATTGCCCACTTGTTCCGATCACGCATGGCCTGCTGGGACTTGCGGTCCCTGGCACGTTTGCGCTGCAGCTCCTGCTCGCGCAGCGATTGTGACAACGGGAGGGACGAAGCGTGGGCATACTCTGGACCTGGAGATGAATCATCGCCATGATCGATTGTGCTGGTCGTCGATGGGGCCATGATGATGACGGAGTTGGTGATCCATAGGCTGTCATTCCAGTGGAGTAGAGGGGCAGTTAAGACAGGGAGGACAGTGGCCTGGAGACATAACAACGCCCCGTGGAAATGGAAACGCGGGGTTAATATGGGGACCACTGACTCGTTTCTGGGGGTAGCTTACAGGGGCTGATGGGGGTGGTTACAGGCGGCCTTGGAGGGGTATGTGTTGGGTGGCGCCGCCATGAGAGATGGGATGGATGGGATGATCATGTCCAACACTCAAAGGGAAATATGCCAAGGAATTCGTTGACATTTGGCATTTTGGAAGTCTGAGTTACTCTCTATCCGACATCAACAATTCCCTGGTGCCCTACACTGCCAGAGGCGCCCCAAACACGGATGGATCAAACAGCGAAGCACTACATTGCCTCCCTGCACAATCAGTCCATGGGGACGGACCTGGAAGACACTTGGTATTGCATCGCAGTATGCTCCCAAGCTACACATAGTCTCTGTTTTCGCATGCTTACTTTGGTTTATAGGCTTGTTCATTCGCAGCCAGCAACAAGGGCTGCTATGTCGCTGATGTCTTCACGCAAGCAATCAGCACACGCCAGGAAAACCACCAGTACCACAGGCATGTTTTAAAGAGGATCAAAGGTCCAATATCCAGCCCAAGGTCGTGTTTTCGTGAAACTTTACTGACACTACGCAGAAGGACTTCTGAAAACCGGCATCATCTACGGCATCCCCCGCGTCATCAACGCCTTCAGAGCACTTGTCAAAGCCATTCCCTCTCCGGAGTCCAACGAAACATCATCAATTAGAAACACCATTACGGTTCCTACGGATACGGATGAAAGAGGACTCGAATACATGCGCAACATCTTCCGCGCCGACCTGGACCCATTCCTGGGCACAATGGACAAGTACTGGCCGGACCTTCGAACTCTCGTTGTTACGTACATTTACGGCTACTACCAGTCCGACACGTCGATTCTGGATGCCATCACTACTTCGCAGCTGAACATCGCCACGCTGGTGCCGATGGATGTGGCCGCTGAGGTCGCCTGGCACATGAGAGGCACCATTAGGAATGGGGGGACGGAAGGTCAGCTCAAGGCAGCATACGACATCACATTGAGGGTTTGCGAAATTTGTGAAGTAACTTTGAAGAACGAGATGCCAAAGGCGCAGGATGTTATCAATGAAGAGAGGCTGATAATAGACTGACCACCCTATCGTCAGTTCTTAGACGCAAGCCTGGATCACTGACTGTCCTGGGCAATTTCATCAACATAATAGGATTCTAAATCTACAATCTTATATAGATATCAGGTCATTTTAATCTCTTCTCTATAGCTTCTGGCGTCTGCTGCGTAACTCCGTCGCCTTCGCCACCAAGTGTCGCCGCAGCAACTTCCCCGATGCGTTCTTAGGGAGCGCTTCCATACGGAACAGACTCTCCCTAAATGTCTTATACGGAGCAACCCTACTATTTACAAACTCGCGTACCTCCTCCAGCACTTCTGCATGCTTCTCCGTCGAAACCTCCGCTGCAAGTGTCACGAAGCCCACAGCAATCTCGGTGTCGAGTTGTTTATCCTTCACCCCACACACGCCCGCATCAACGACGTGTGGGTGTAATAACAAAACTGCCTCCAGTTCTGCGGGGGCGATTTGGTTCCCTTTGAACTTGATGAGCTCCTTCTTCCGGCCGGTGAGATAGAAGAACCCATCCTCATCCACACGCACAACGTCTCCAGATCGGAGCCATCCATCTCTTTTCACCTCTCGCGTCTCTAAATTGTTTCCCTTGTATTCCATAAAGACCGTCGGGCCTTTAATCAGGCACTCCCCGTCTGTCCCGGGCCGGACATCCTCGTAGTTGTCATCCACGACCCGGATGGACACTCCGGCGGCAGGGCGTCCAACACTGGCACCTTTGTCTCTTCGCGTTTCTCTCAGCAGCGTAACAGTGCACTCGCTCATGCCAAAGCCATTTAGAACTCCTGCATTTGGTGCGAGTAGGCGTCGCAGGTGCTCGACGACATCGTCTGACAACGGTGCACCAGAGCACATGGCCGCCTGGACGCAGCTAAAGTCCAACCGCTTAACCCCTGCATCTTTGACCATCCTCACGGCCACAGCAGGAACAAGCCTTAGCACAGTCGCTCGTATTTCGGCGCATCTTTCGAGATATCCGGAGTAGTTGAACTTCTTCATCGCCTGCACGTACGAGCCGACCCACGCCGGCAGAAGCACCGCGGATACAATGCCGTACACGTGCGAGAACGACGGAAAGAAAACCTCGCGCATGTGGCCGTTGTGTAGAAACGGGTTGGTTGCTCGAAGGGAAAGCAGTTGGGCGATGAGGTTATGGTGAGAGAAGACCACGCCTTTGGGTTTGCCCGATGTGCCAGAGCTGAAGCACATGCCTGCTGGTTGCTTTCTATTGTCTCTCAGGGAGAGGTCCAAAGGCTCGATCTGTAACGCATTTTCTCGATCGAAATCACGGGGATACTTTACTCATTTCAGCTCGTGAATTAACAGGGCGTATCGTAGACTTACCATGAGGTGGCTATGCGCCGGGGCGTTCGCCGTGTCATCAATGACCATGATCTTAGGAGTCAATTTGAGCTGCTTGATTGCCTCCACCACATTTTGCACCAGATTGCTGTCAACTGCTATAATCTTCGGGCTGGCTACCTCGAAGTAGTGAACCAGCTCAAAGCTCGTAGCCAAAGGGTTGATGCCGCTGTTCCCAGTGTAAGCCAAAGACGCCAACTTATCCGATCACGACGTACCAGAAGCACCCACCAGCCCACATGACCGCATGCGCCAATGAAGCCCAGTCAACAGAGTTGTACGCATATATGCACACCACGTCGCCCTCGTTTAGTCCGTGGACGTCTCGCAGGATCGCAGCGTCTCGAGCGGCATTGCGCCGGAGTGCGCCGTAGGTGAGTTCTCGCTTGGGGTTGTCGAAATCGGCCAGGATGACTTGGTCTGGGTGCGCGTCGTCTGGGTTACTCTGGAGGAGAAATTGCGATATGCTTTGGTTGGTTGGGACATCGGGTTTGGGGTACGGGGAGTCGTAGATTCGTTGACTTGCCATTGTAACGGTTGGACCCTTGGATGGACCTGAAGGCAATTGACTTGCTGGGTTGGCGATACAGCATGCAAGATCTCAGATGTCAAAGTTCTATGCCAATCAACCCCCCATACTTAGTTATGCAGTTGCATCGACTTCAAGAAAGCGGCAATAGCCTCTACCTTCGTCAAGACTACCAGCCCAACAACTCTCAAGACTTTGCCGTGCTTCCGTCCCATCCGTCCCACTGATTCAAAATCAGAACGCAACCATGACGAGCATCATGAACGCAGACAATCCCAGCGGCCCTAATGATTCACTAGCTCCCCATGACCCTCAGATCCATCCATCCCCGCAATACAAAGTCTTGCAATGTGCCTAGATCCTTGTCACGCACCCCGCATCTGGGGTAACGAGTTCCAGAGATCCGCGGATCCGGTGCCGTCTCCGTCAACTCCACTCCCGCGAACCCCGGGCCTTGAGATTCCGGGATCATGCCGGTAAGAGTCAGCCAGGGGTTGTCGGTGGTGAGAATTTGGCAGCAGGCAGCTTGCGACCGGTTTGCGCACGTCAATAAAATTCGGCCTATTTGCTTCGTTGCATCAAACGACTGGATCATCACTCCGCTCCTACAATCTCTGCTCGCATCCTCAGCTCTAGGTAGTCAACCATGGCGAGCGATCCAGACAAGCAAGACTTCTCTCACAAAGTCGAGCACCATGACACGATCCCAGCCGACCCGGAGAAGTCGCCCATCATGGACTCGGAAAGCGAAGGCGAAGTGACGCTCAAGACCAAATTAGCCGTGCTCTCTCTCATCTTCATGTACGAGTCGTACTTGTTTACGTTGGTCATGTAAGTCTGTAACTCGTACGTGGCAGCAACCCTACTCATTCTCCTTCAGGCCAGCAGCAGTCCTAACGTATATTGACGCCGACCTTGGGCCAGATGCACGATACCCGTGGATTGCAATTACGTGAGTCCTCACATTACGCCGTCCTTGCAAGGCAATCTCCGATATCTAACCCAAGACAGATGGAACCTCGGAGCCGCCATCATCGTCAGTGTAGGCGGCAGACTATCAGACATAGCCGGCCGCCGATGGTTCCTCATGTTCGGCGCCATCTCCGCCGCCGTAGGGGCCCTCGTCGGCGCCACGGGACAATCCATCACCCAGATGATCGTCAGCGGCATCATCTTTGGCATTGGCGGCGGCTTCCAAGAGATGTGCTTCGCCTGCGCGCAAGAGCTGGTGCCGAACAAGTATCGCTTCCAAACGCTGGGTACGTCGGATCACTACCGACGAAAAGAGTGTCGCTAAACTGTCCAGGTATCATGATCCTCGCCAACCACTTCAGCTCCTTCTCGCCGCTGATCGGCTACGTCTTCATCGCCTACACCAAGATCGGCTGGAGGGCGTGCTACTGGTGGTGCTTCGCCTGGGAGGTGGTGACGGCCGTGATGCTGTACTTCTTCTACCACCCGCCGACGTTTGAGACCAAGCACAAGGACGACCACAAGACGAAGTGGCAGCTGGTCAAGGAGATTGACTACGTCGGCCTCATCCTCTTCGCCGGCGGGTGTCTGCTCCTACTGCTGGCTCTGAACTGGGGCAACGGAATCCACCCCTGGAACAGCGCGTGGATCATCGCGCCTCTTGTTGTTGCCTGCGTCTGCTTCATCGCGCTGGGTTTCTGGGAGGTGTACGCGCCGCTACCATATCCCATCCTCCCACCGCATCTGTTCCGAGAGTGGCGCCGATTCACAGCCTTCCTGGTCGTCTGCTTCGTCGCCGGAATGCTGTACTACAGCCTCAATGTGATTTGGCCGCGCCAGTCCGGCCTGCTGTGGGTTCCTGCGGACAAGCCGATTATCCGCGGCGTATACGCCAACATGGTGTCGTTTGGCACCATCATCGCGGGCTGGTACTGTGTCAGCTTGATGCCGTGGCTCCAGCACGAGAAATGGCAACTCGTCGGCTGCATTGTCATCCAGACGTCGCTGATCGGTTCCTTGGCGTCCGTAGGGCTCGCTGACAAGGCCCAGGCCATCGGCACAGTCATCGCCGTGTCGTCGGTCAACCTCCCCCCGTCGCCGCTCTCGTTTGGCATGGTGTCATTACACCTGGCTGACCAGACTGACATCGGCATTGGCGTCGGTCTCATCAGCACCTTTCGCCTCATCGGCGGTGCCGTGGCAACCGCAATCTACACGTCCATCCAGACAAGCGAGTTCGCCAAGCTGCTCCCGGGCCAAGTCCGCGCCGCCGCCGAAAACACCAACTATGGCGGATCCATCGAGTCCCTCGTCGCGGCGGCAAAGGCAAACACGCCTGCAGCGTACAGTGCCATCGAAGGAATCACCAACTCCACGATAGCAGCAGTGCAGCATGCGGTCTTGGTATCCAACTCCAAGTCCTACCGTATCGTATATCTAGTGGCCATTGCGTTTGGGTGTGTGGCTATTGCTGCGGCGTTGAGCGTGAAGTCGATCGACAGATCGCAACGGTCTAATGCGGTTGCTGCCAAGTTAGAGACTGAGAAATTTGAGATAGCTAAAGGGAGTGACGAAAGTGTCATTAGATAGATACATTCCAGTGCTTAATGACTAGAATATATCTCAGGTGACAATCTGAAGACTGAGAATAATCCCAAACTAGGTACAAACCAGTCCTGGCTCGTAGTCCACCCTGTTCCAGTTCAGGCGAGACGAACACTTTGGACATCATTTCACGTCAGCCAGTCACATATTCAGCATGCAAACGACAATTTTTAGTCATGCATTAATTGCATTCTGGATTCCATTGTATAACCTATATCCCCGTCTGAGCGCAATCCCCCATCCTGTGTGTCCCAGGAGGAATGTCACTTTTTGACCCATCCTGACCCCCTCTTTTGCGCCGATGCAGTCGGCAAATCTTGCCAGCACAGAAACGTATCGAGACGTTGACGCGTGAGACCTGTTTTGCCTGACCTTGAGCCATTGGAGATTGTTCCCGAGCAGTTGTCGTGTCCACTTTTCCCGTCCGCGAGCCCACATTCCTTCCAGCCTTCCTCAGCCCGGTCAACGGTGAGCGGCCAACATGACGATGGCCAAAAGGCAATGATAATTAAAACACTTAAGGAGAGGATAGGAAAAAAGCAGAAGAACAAAACCAGGCTTCCTTAAACTCCACGCGCGAATGCCCACTCGCGAACCCAAGTTGCAAAAGGCCCAAATGCCCTGAACGCCAAACCATTGGAAGCAAAAACTAAAACAGAACATTTCAATGCTCGATCAGACGATGACAATCTCGAATCAAACAGGCCGGAGCAAGTACAGTTGACAGGCAGGGAACCCCCTGCCATGCGTGAAAATGAGGAGTTGAATCGCAAAGTACCAGGCTACCGCTGGTGAATGAATCTACCCCAGGCAACAATTACCATGGGGGCTCAAGATGCGTAGCTCAGTCCACAGTCATCGCCCAAATTCTATCCTCTGATGGCTGTGGCTGCGTGGGCATCTCCCGCCCAAGGAAATCGATCCATCGATAGCGGATACGAAGTGTCGCTTGGGGGTGTGCCATCAAATGTGGTGAAAGAAGTTGCCGCTGCGGCGGCGGCGGCAGAAGTTCTCGGCGTCGAAGGGTTGCTCGCCGCCTTTACCAGGGTAATATCCCTAGTTGGTAAAACAATCGATGAGGGGTTATAGGTGATAGGTCGGAAGACGGAACCGGAGCTGCCAAGTTGGAGGGTGTGGTGAGTCGCTGAGCCAGCATGCTGGTAGATCTGGGGGGATGTGGTCAGGCTTCTCGTCGCTCGGCCGGCATGGTCTCCAGAAGTCCCATCGAATCGCCCACTGTTCATCGTGCCATCCCTGAGGGTGGGACTCGACTGCTTTGAACCAAACTATATGCCCAATAACTGTCAGTAACCAACTCTTATCCAGGACTCTTGTATGGCGACCACCCTAATAGGCTAGGGAAGAGGAAGATCCTTTTCGACCATGGCATGTGTCGGGTGGTGCGCCGGGGGTACGTACAAAGCAGTACTTGTTAACAAGCTCTTCGTACGATGAGCTTGGTAGGGTGGGAGTCGAAGCCGCACTCGGGCTCGGGGCCTTCTGAGTAGAAGGAGTCGCCAAAGGAAGCGGGGCGGAAGGGACCGGAGGAGCGGGCTTAGCACTGCGGACGTTGGCCTTCATGTAAAGCCCGTCCTTGTCCTTGTTGACGGTGTCTTTGGCAGCCTTGACGGCGGCGTTGAGAGATGCACCAAAGTCGTATCGGTTCGCAAAAGCCAATCCACTAGGGGATCCCAATCCGTTAGACATGTTGTCGCTGGCGAGGTTGCTGGTGGACTTGGTCTTCAAGCGAAGACCAGTGGACCCAGATGCAGACTCCCCCAAGTACTCGTGGATGGGTTGATCGAGGAACTTGGCATCATTCTCAAATTCGCCAAAGCTGGGCATCGACTTGGGTCGGGGCACGTTGGCGCCGCGTCGGTTACTCCGCGGCAGGCCATTGTGCGATCGGCCCGAGGCGCCCTGGAAGTTGTTCTTCCCGTTCTGGGCAAGGTGCTTCTTGCGGAAGTCGACTTGGAAGTTGCGAGAGTCATTGTTGTCCCAGTACTCTCGCCCATTGACAGCATAGCGAATGCAGAAGAACAACGTCTTCGACTCCAAGTTGGCTGTGTCGGCCAGCTTGATGGAGAAGGTGAACCGGTCATGGCCAAGGGGGGTTTCACGAGGACGAATCTCGTGGCCAAATTCGGCAGCAACCTCTGATGTGGTCTTCCAGTAGTCGAGAGTGAATCGGCAGGTGACTGCCTTCTGGAAGGCCAGATTGCTGATGGCAATGGAGCCATGGAGGGTCTTTTGGTCGGCGGACAACCACACCTTCTCAAGGCGAACCGGGAGAGCTTTGCGTGCGGGGCTATCCTGGGGGAAGTTGGAAGTGAGAATCTCCCACTCAAAAGGAGGGGATCTTGTTTTATCTTCTGAAGGGAATGGATACTCGGTGTCGCTATCGTAGTTCTCGACTGGTGACGATCCAGCACTGACAGCAAGGGGACGATCAACCTGGAGGAAGTGACGAACATGTTCCAAGTGAGAGTCGAAGTGAACAGCCTTGGAGAAGATGGGAGTGCCGGGCATGCTAGAAGGACGCCGGCGGGACGGTGGCCGCAGAGCGGGTCGTACCAACTCACCCGACTTCTTTCGCACCATTTGCGGCTTCTTGCGCAAGTCATCGTCCGACTCCTCGTCAGAGGCCGTCAACGAGTTGTCGGCCGACTTGGCAACTTGAGCATGAGGCTCAGTGGCCGAACGAACATGGCCCATCCTTCGGCCAGGCTTGCCCAGGTCGCCCAGCGCACTTGTGCTGAAGCTGAAGTGGACGCCATTTCGGTTGGCAGAGTCGGAGCGATCGGCGTGGTTGCGCTCGGGAGATGGTGTCCTTTGTTGGGGGATCTGGCTGGCTGCGTCTCTCAGCTTCTCGAGCTTCCTCCCTCGTATCTTGAGAGTTCCCTCATCGTCGCTACCAGACGAGGCCGAGTCGGGTGGGGAAATGATGGCACCCATGGGCATTGTGCGGTCGTCGGTGACGGGGGGTGGTGACTGCCGCACCGCTGAAGACAGGTTGGACACCATGCTCTTCAGATCCTCCGACGTGCCTTGGGGGGTTAGGGTGCCGGTCGATCCATCGCTGACTGCTGATGCTGAGGGTGTTCGACGGTGCTTGAGGAGATACGAGGCAGATCGGGGAAGGGAGGGTCGAGTCCCTGTTTGAAGTGATGAACGTCGGCTCACATTAGGTGAAGTCGATGCTGAGGAAGCTGGAGATCGATGTGAAGGAGGTGTGTAAGGCATTACCGAAGCAGGACGGGTTTGGAGGGGAAAGAAAAGGGATACGCGCAGGCTTTGCCTACAAGCCGATCCACACGAAGGTGAAGGGAGAGGTGAAGGGCCTCGAACAGGACAAGGATGCGAAGTCGATGATGCTAGTTTATCGGAAAAGCACAAGAGAGGAAGGGCGACGGAGCGATGTTTCGTTGTCGAGATTAGGTCTGTGAGAGCGGAAGGCGCTGGTCAGTATCCTGACTCGTGGAAGGACAATTGTTCGATCAACGACTGGGAGGAAGAGAAACGGTGTTTCCAAGTGCAGGGATCCGACGGGAAGGAGGAATGACGTTGCGGTTGCGTGATGGTTTCTTTCTTTCTTCTGCGGCTGTAAATTGACTTACATGAGTCCCAAGGGGGTGATGAGGCGGCAACAAACAGGCGACACGGGGATGCTCAGGCAATATTCCAGCAACAGAGCAGGCCGTGAAGCGCGATCGCAGCGCAACGGAAGGAGGGAAGGAGGAATGGAGGAATTGAGGAATTGACCGTGAAGGGGCACGGTTCAAGTGATGCTGGAGATCCAGACAAGAGGCGAAACGGAGATGACTGGTCCGGTGGCGAAGCGGGATTGCCTCGAGATGAAAATGTTGGCGTCGCGACGGGGAAGGCGACGGAGAGGGCGACAGGGAGGGCGAAGTCGTCAAGGACTTAAGGGGAGAGAGTCCAGGGGTGGGATGGTGGAATAGTCGTGAGGAGAGAAGCTGCTGATGCTGATACTGATGGGACAGTCAGTCAGGCAGTCAAGCAGTCTAGTCAAGAATCTTGACAGCAGAAGCTGGTAGAGGCTGAGGGAGGCAGAGAGACAGGCTCAAGCGATGGCGATAGCGGGGGGCAGGTGGTTTTGAGGGCTTGCTCGAGGGCTGAAAGACTCGCTGGAAGGCTCGGCCGGGCTGGGCGGCATCGACTAACAGGACAAGGTTGTGAGCCGCGTAGGCGTGGGCTTGGTGCGCAGAGGTGGAGGCGTGGGCATGGGCCGTCCAGGATCGTCTAGGAGCGTCTAGGCGTCCGGGATGGGTGGGATGGATGGTTTGGCGGGTTTGGAGGGTTTGGTAGCCTGGTAGGGGTGCGATGGCTAAGGACGCCCGGTGGAGCGATGGCGATTGTCGGGGGGGAGTCGGAGGATGGCGACGAACCAAGAGGTATGGGGCTTGCCTTTTTGGCGATGAAGGCAGACACCCAGAACCAGCCAGTTGCAGGGCTGGTGCGAGTTGTGTGAGTGGGATGGAGGGATTGAGGCTAGGGGGGGCGTCTCGATTGCCTCGAGAGAGTGCGGTGAGGGTGAGTTGAAGGATGGAGGTACCGGTTTTGAGGTACAGTCGGTATCAAGGTGTGTGCGAGCGAGCGAGCGAACGAAGTGTGTGCATGTACAGTACGTATTGGTGTAAATCTGGTCAATGGAGGGATGGAGATGTGTGTGTGAGTGTGAGGGTAGGGATTATTGTGTGTATCTTACTCCCGTATAGCTGGGGAGCACTGGCGAACAGGGGGGGCCCTTGAACAATGGCGACCAGGGTGCAAGGTGAGTTGAAAACGAAGTGGAATACAAAGGGGACACAATTAGAGAGAGACGATGGGCAAATTAAAGATGCGATGTATAACAAAAGAAACGACCGAGTGAGGGTTTGGACGATGACGTTGGGCGTCGAAAACGGACACGACGTCGGCGGAGGCGGCGGCAGACAAAGAGAAGGCGGATGAAGACGGGGAACAGAGAGAGCAAGTGGAGGAGTCAATTCAAAGATGGAGGAGGAGTCGGAGGAGTAAGAAGGTAAAAAAAGGTTGGTTGCGGTCGTCATGGCGAGGGTTGTTCCAGGACGGACCCAGGTTTGTCTGAGCCACGGCGCATCCTAGACATCCCAAACATCCCAGACGTGAGCGAAAGCATGTCAGATCATCGAGTGGTGGTGTTTTTTTTTTTTCTTTCCCTTCCCTCCCGCGGGCGGCGAGCCACTGAGACTCGGCGAGCGAGCGCCAGAACGAGTGGCGCCGGGCCCGAGCTTTTCTTAGGCGCATTCGTCGTACATGCAGGATAGGCATGGTGGGCATGTTGGGTGGAGGCTGCGAGTGTGTGTGGATTGCGGTGGTGTTGGGATGTGCGTGCAGGGCTTGGCGTGCGTTTGGGATGGAACAAGCCATCTGGGTTGAGGGTTGAGGCCGGAGAAGTCAAGTCTTCGCCCTCAGTGCAGTGAGCGAGCGAGCGCGGTGGGGCGAGCGCGCACAGTGCGGCCAGTCCGGGGCCCGTTGGTTCCGGGTGCGCCGAGTCCAGGGCCAATCCCACCGCCGTCACAGCGCTGAATGGCATCCCGTACCTACGAAGGCATCTACTACCTCTCACCTCCCCGTGGAATAAGGGATATGCGGATGGAACTCTTGTCAGGTTGTCCGGCCGGCCGCCACTCACCGACACCGACTCGTAGCTGGCTGGAACTTACGCCTTGGGAGCCTCTCCCCCCCCTACTAAACACCGACGAACACTGGTCGTAGTCGGAGATCAGACGCCACGACAAAGGCCCCTATCCCCGCAAGCGCCTGGTAGTTTTTGTGTCTAGCCCCCCGAACATGGCCACCGAAGGGCACTGACAAAGAGGTGCCCAGCAATCCAGTCGATCCGATGCAGACTAACGTGCTACATAGTACTTGATATATGTGCTCCGTGGGGGTGGAAACGCCTTGGCCCGTGGCCTGTGGGCTCCGTCAGTATCAGTTCATCAGTTCATCTTCTTAGCTCGCCCAGACTTCCAAGCACCGGGAACCGAGTCTTAGCAAGCGAGAAGCAACGATATCATCATCATCGGCGCATATCATCACCTGCCTAACTACTGCACGTACTGCGTACCGTTTAATTGCCTGCTGATTGTACGCATGGCACTCAGCCTCTTGCAGCTCGCTCATGCAAGTCGACTGACGGGCGGCGCTCGTGGCCGTCACTCGCAGAGGCCTATGACGTAGTCGTCGTAGAAACCACGCGCTCATTCTTCCATGTCTCACCACGGCCGGCCAAGGGATTGGTCAAGGGATTGGAGATTGGAGAGGCAGAACCCTCCCCAAGCCCTGGAAGCCCTGGCAGCAAGCCCCAGGCCGGGGCCGAACCCGGACCTTGAAATCTCACCGTTGAAGCGAGCAGATGCGAATGTCTTGCCCGTGTCTTGCCCACGGGCTGTCTCAGAAGATGCCTGCCAGGCCCAGTTTCCGGATGAGGCACCCCAGGCCGCGACCGGGGGAGGAGCTCGTTTTCAGTTGTTTCGTCCCCTGCGACTGGCCTGCAACGGTTCCGGTCGGTGGGTGATGGTGGGCCTGCTGGAAGCTGCCCTGCTTCGACGATGCCCTGCCTCTGCGGTGACCTGCTTCTTCTAGGCCCGCTGGACCTGTCGCTGAGTTCTCTCCGGGACCTGCGATCTCAACGCCCGTGGCGGATCCCTATCTGACAGGAAGCGAACCCAAGCCCCCCGTGGGCCTTTTGGATGGACCCAAACTTGGCTCTCGCTCAAGCTGGCAAGCTGGGGCCGCCCGCACTGGGCCGCTCGCACTGGGCTCTCTCTCTCCTGAGCTAAACCCGCTGCTTGTCGCTTGAGCCCCCCCCAGGCCGCCACACAGCCAAGTGCCAAGCCACAAGCCACTGAACTTTGTTGTTCCGACTGTCGACTGTTGACTGTTGACTGTTGGACTCTCTCTCTTTGCGCGACTGACTGGCACTCTGGCAAGATGACGGTGAGCACAGATGGACACGCCCAAAACACACAAATAAACACCACACGGCGAATGCAAAAATATGCCGTCCCACGGCAACTAGCTGAACTATGAGCTAGCTGACTTGCTGACTTATGGATCCGAAACACAAATCTGCGGGGGAGGAATGCTGGTGAACCGTTTCTGGATCTCATCGTCGGATCCAGCACCGTCCATCATCTCGTCTCCATATTTCAACTCGACAAATGTCTTGTCGTGTCGTATCCTGTTCGGCATGATCGGATAGAACCGGTGCTCTCGGCAACGGGAAACATTTCGAGCGCATCCAGCGGATCAAAGTCGAATCATCAAATCATCATATCATCAACAATGCCCCTTACTAAGGCCCTGTCATGGTGGAGGGCTTTCTTTCTAAGGGGAACGAGTTTTTTCCTCCTAGTGCGCTTTCTAAGCCTGCAGCAATTGGGGCACAGTGGGCACAGTGGGAACAGCATGCAGCACGATGCACCCGATGCACATCTGCGCCATGCCTGCATGGGATGGCGTCCCCTTGCCGGTAAAGGAGATAAGAAACAGTGCACGGGCCAGTAGTAGGTAGTCCTGGCGAGTGGTCCTGGCGCACTCTCAGGCCATCCCACGATCTGGGTTTTCTTCTTTCTTTGTGCTCAACACCAAGCACCAAGGCCTTGGGACAACTGGTGGGGCAACTTATTTTTTTTCTCGCCCTATACCTTGGCGGCCGACCTACGGCAACTAAAAATTTCAACCTCCCCCTTACAGTTTATTCGTACACAGCTGGTAGCCGAAGAGGAATGAACCCCGTTCTTAGTAGATATTAAGCGCCCTCCCGCCGGGCACCAAAGTCAGCGAAGCAGTCACTCGATCCAGTCCAGTCACTCGATCCAGTCCAGTCACTCAATCTAGGCCAGTCACCCCATCCAGGCCAGTCATTCAATCCAGTCATTCTATCCAGTCATACCGTCCATCAGCGTCCAGTAGCGGCACTAGGGCATGAGGGAAAAGAAAAGCCCCAACAACAAACGCCACCCCAAGCCCCAAGGCGACAGAAAGACTAAAAATCATGAGCTTTGCGGCCCATGGAACGCCGTCCAAGGATCTCCTCGGCACTCGCTGCACTGTCATGGATGCGCGTACTGTGGTGCGCACTGTCCCGTGGTAGCCTTGGCTGGTTCTGGTGGACTGTGGGCTCGAGGCGACTCCAGCTCGGCTGCCTTCCTATGCGCGCCAAGCCGCAACCTTGTACATCGGAGTGCACCGCTGCGTCGCGGCAATGCAATGTATCATGATCTGATGGAGGGATGTTGGACGGCGATGCTTCACAGAGACTCACGGCGAGATGCCACTCGTCGACGCAGTTGCCATCGCCCCGTCGCCTCCATGGGGCCCCTGTCGGTCTGCACCTTTGAACTTGTGCACTTCCGCACTTCTGCACTGCTCCCCTCGCGCTACGCACGCCAGAGCTTCCCCAACCAAGTTCCCTGCGTCTAATGCGACACCACTCCTCCTGTCACAGCTGGCCATCATGGACGATGATGATACAATGATACGCAGTGATGGTGGGCGTCTGACCCCTTGCAACTGCTCGGAGCGAGCTCACCCAACATGGCAAACCGCCATCCCCCAACAATGGGCCATCCCATTCCCCGACAGGGTGCAGCAAACTGCGTTCCTCGCCGCACGCCGACAATTCCCATTGTCCTGATTCTCCGGGTTCATGTACTCCATGCTGTGCTACCTATTACTCGCTGCCGATGCTTCCTCGTGTTAGCCTTGGCCTACCACGCCCTGACGCGTCCCATCGCATCAGCCATTGCGTCCATCGGCCTCGTGGTTCTCCGTTGCACGCCGGCGTCGCAACAGCCACATTGCAACTCCAACTGACTCGATGCCTCTGGAGCCATCTGCACGCCGTGTCAAACTCACCCACCGCTGGATTGTTACGTGGGAAAAGCCCAGTTAGCACTTCTGTCCGGAGCGGGAGGCACCGAGCGTGGAACGATACCAGAGTTTCGCTCATCTTGTGCCTCGTCAACTTTAGCGCCTCCACGCCCTCTCACCAGAACCCAAACTACACAACTCACCAGGCGAGAAGAGTAAAGAGCAGAGGCTCCCACGCGCCCGCCCGGGGCCCCCCGTCGTATGATTGGGAGTGTGCGGAGGCTCGGTCGGCACGGTACGTACGGATGAGATTCCAGCACGATGCGACCAGGGAGGGAGGGGTGGAGCACCGTCAATCAGTAACATCAACGTGGATATTCTTGGCCCGAGATACCCTCATTCAGTCTATCGCTCCCGACCTTCCCTCTGGGACAATCAGCGTATCGATAGCCCTCCGGTCCTCCGGTTCTCCTCGGAGTGTCCCTCGATAAGGCGCCGGCTCGCCTCTCCGGTGTCGTCCAGTCAAGTGCATGACATGACACAGCCAGAGGCCGGGCGGCAAAAGATAAACCTCTTGCGGGATCGGCATGGCATGTCTTATCAGAGCCGCTCATAACCCTGATTGCCATCCCCCCGCGTATCTGTATCTTTGTCTCAACTCGGAGCCTTCGCACGCCACCCCATGCACCCTCGCAGGCGCCCGAGTTCTCTGCAGCCAAATCGCCCACCAAAGCTCGATGCACTTGCAAACGGCCATGCAAACCTTTCCATTGGCTGCGTCCGAGACCTGCATGGCCCACCAGTCCCGCCATCCCCTGTGAGGCTTTGCCTTTCGCTGAGCCGGCACCCACGCCATGACAGGGGGCAGGGGTGTAGGGGGCGCCGAACAGGAACAGGGAACAGGGGTGAGGCAATCCGCACACCGAGATTCATGATGGACGGCACATCATTTGTACTTGTTTGCATGTCGAAACTCGCTTCCAACATTTGTCGAGTCTTGGTCGCATCGAGATGCATCAAACCACCTCCCTCTTCCCCTCCCCCCATGGCCCCAGCTTCGTCCTTCACCCACAGAAGCGACCCAAGCGGCCAACCAGCCGCCAGATCAGCATCCCCACGCCGTCCAGTTTGAGCCAGGCAAGCAAGCAAGCAAGCAAGCAAGCACGGAACTGGAGCGGTGTGGGGACGTGTTGAAGACCCTAAACTCGATATCAACGGCTGACTTGCAGTACCACGGTACGGAGTACTTGCCACTGGTGTCCCGAGAAGGGTGGCATTTTGTTGCAAACACGCCCAACACTGCGCCGGCCACGGCAGAAACCCCCATTTCGCCTGGGATGAGCGACATCTCGAGATTCGCCCTCGCTCTGCGGGTCCGGTAGAACCCTCTGTCATGCAGGATGCTATTCATGATCAGATAACTCACGCAATATTGAGGGTCCATTACCTAGCCCATTCCGAACTCGCAAGTTGCGATTGAGTTCCACACCATGATGTTGGTGCCATCGAAAGCAGGCCATCATCTGGTGTTGCTCAAACCTGGGGCTTAGGGATCAGCAAACATGGCGCAAGCATACTCGACCCTGATCGTCCGAGTCCCTTGGCAACTAGAGCCACAATGCCAGAGGGTCTACCTGAGTGTGCTGCATCGACATCCGGGATGTCGCCATCCTTGAATCCATCCTTGGACCCATCCAAGCCACGACCGTCCGCTCATCTTTCCCCTTCATATGGCAGACGGGCGCAAAGGCCATCATCAGGACCCTTGGTACATGCTTCGAGAACTACTGAACGACATCATCCGTGCAGTCTAGACCCTGGATTCAGGCGTTTGCCATTTCACCAAGAGCAGTATAGTGAAGCCCCCCCCCCTCTTCGTACCACAAACTCCAGCGCGGACTACTCATGTACGCGCTGGATATGAAGCAGCAATGCCCCTGCCACCGCCTACGCCTCTCGAGCCAACCCCTCAGGCCAAGCCCTCCGAAGTGAAGCGCCTGCAACGCTATATGCCAGCGGCAATGTCCTTGACGCCGCTTCATCTAGACCCAGGCGGCGAGATGCGAGAGGCGGGGGTGGCACCGCCCCCCGGAGATCCACGACTCGTCGACGATCCCTCCCCCACAAGAGACTGCCGCGCGAGACGTGAATAGATATTCAGAGTTCGCTATCTGGGAATCTTTGGTGTTCTAGGTTTTTGGCATTACACAAGCATACCTCGTCCTCGGTGTGGAGGAGCCTCAAGCTTCCGGATGTTCCGCGCCGGCCGGAGCTAGTGGGGTGATGTGATAGAGTCAACCGCCGGAACAGGACCATGAGTTGACAGCCACACCAAGCCCGACCCCGTCAACCCGTGCAGCCACTCGTCGCTCGGATGTCCACGTCCCTCGACCTGTATGTCACCCTATCTTGGGCTCACTATCGTCTGGGACCTTTGCCTCATCAAGCATCCCTTGTGTTCCCCACCTCCTTACCCCTCAATGCAACATCCAGCTGTTGTCATTTCTCCTCAGCAGCAACGCCAACGCCAACGCCAGCGCCGCTGTCCCGTCAGAGTCTATTGCCTCGTTCGGCTCGCTTTGATGGTTTCCCCTGTCTGTGCCGAAACAACCCTCCAGCCGCAATGGACATGCACTGCATAGCTCTGGAGTGGTGTCGAGGCCAACAAGGCCCTTTCAGAGCTCCGTTGTTGTCCTGTGTCACCCTTGGATGTGACACAAGATGGGGATGACTTGGAGCTGCATGGCTCCGGTTGAACCTGAACTGGTCTTCCGGCCACCGGTCAGTCACCCTCCACAATCCCCAACCCACGGTCAGATCCAGCATCATCTCCTCCATACAGAGTACACCATGAGCACCCATTCGAGCATCCTCTGGCGTCCCAAAGCGCCCTGGTCGAGACGGCGTGCTAGAGCTTACCCGCACGTCCCCCCCCCCCATATCTCACGAAGCATGCAAGCCCTAGCTACCCCATGCGGGCAAAGATGCGGAGCAGGACGCGAAGCCGTGCAAAGAGGGGATGTTTGAACGCTCGGAAGGGGTGTCTGGGGCCAGCTGCCAGTGGCTTAATATCCCCCGCTGATCGCCAGCACCCTTATCCCAGCACACTCGGTCAGATAGGGACGGGATGGTGACATTCGACTCGCAACTAGGCCCGTGGCTAACGTTTTGAACACGACTCTTTGTCCATCAGCCATTCGGCAGTCATCTCCGTGCGGGGGGCGCGCATGCTCCCGTTACCAAGAGCGAGCGCCTACACCAAGTCGAGGCACCATTTTGGACACACACTCTGTCGACACACACTTTGTCGGGAGGGTTGCCGCGTTGGTAACCCACCTAACAGACAAGTCTGACAACCCGTTTTGCCTTGACCTTCAGGAACGCATCTTTCCCTTGATTCCACAAACTGCTTTGTGCTTCCACTTACCGGCCCGGGACCGTTTTTTTCACACGGGAAATTTGCGTCTGCCCTGGACCCATTCTCCAGCGCTGTTGATGTCGTCATGACGTATTCTGCAGGCTTGGTTTCGCGCCCCCATCGGGATATAGCGTCTGCATCGCACGCTGGGGAGATTGGGACCAGGATTCCAAGGCACGGCCACTACGCCGCCTTGGTCGCTGGGGGCATTTGCAGTGCCAAGCAGTGTCAGGACTAATGTAGGACGTGCCATTGCGGCGCCAGTGCCACCAGCCGGCCCCCCCAGCGCTGGGCCAGCGTCGTACAACAGCGCATCTGAGCTGTGCAACTAGCTGCATTGGCGCCTGGAGTGGTCTCATCTCAGGTCTCACTCGGCGGGGAGAGGCTGATCTAACAGACTAATAACCGCTAATAACAGCCTCCGTCGCCGCGTACTTGGGTGCCGGAGCCCATGTCCGGACCTTTTAGCGCTGCCGGCCGCCTTGGACGGTGCAACCTCCAGGGGAAGCCAAAGGAGCCAAAGGAACTAAAGGAGCCAAAGGAGCCCCAATCGTACGAATATATCGCATTCGTCTTTGGCGAGCGCCGCTAGGATCCGCTCTGCTGCGCATCGTCGATTTGGTCAATATTGGCGACGACTTTATCTGGTCCTTACGTAAGTACCTGCATTGTGAAGCCTGCCAGGACCAGTATCAGCATCGAAGCAGCAATTATCTCAATGTCGCTTCATTGATATTGAGACCGGCCCGCACGCACCCAAACGCGCAACCAGATGGACCGACGCGGATCTAACATGCAGCCCCCGACGCCCTAACAGCAGCTCTCACGCATAGCGCAACGTCATCGCACCTTCGGTCACGGCCTAATTCACCGCCTTTAGACAGAGCTGCCTCGATCCTCCGTGAGGGCTGCGCGGAGAGGTTGCGGCGTATCCCCCTTGGGCGGTAGCATCCCGAGGCTGCAGATCCGAACCTGTACCCTTTCCTCCTCTTGCGCAGCCCATCTCACGAGATGCGGCTGGATTCATCCCCTTCCCATGCACGCACGCATGTCGCGCCTAGGGAGCTCTCTGATGCATTCACCGGTGCAGTCGTGGCTCCTGCGAGCCCGAAGATCCGGGGTATCCGTGGCCCGTCGACGTTCATGCAGTAGTGTCATCTTCACACCCACAACCCTCCCGCGCAGTATGCGCTGCAAAACACGGGGCAGATGACCTCTCCGATGATGATGAATCTCTTTGATTGAGCAAGTATTCCCCTCAGCCGCCAAACACGAGGCTGGACAACAAGTCATCCCGGTGAGAGAGTTCGGCAATGCATCGATCCAGGCCCAGACAAGGTCATGTGCCCCCATCCCCCCGGCATTAGCAATGCATTTCCATGCCTTGAGGTGTGATCTGGGCGTATTCCTCTATGCCATCATCTTGTCAACTGACTAGTCTTTCGTCCACCCTTTATCTCAGCGACTCACCGATATACCCGCTCGAGAGGAGTTCGGGGACGCGTGCCATAATGTGAGTTGTCAGATCTCGTTTAACGGAAAGCAACGGTAATCGGACTCGGGTTGAGTGAGGCGGTTCTATTCCCCTTCTGATACAGAACCTTTCCACCATTATGGCCGATTGTGTTCTCCGGTTTTCTTTCCCATAGATCGTATACTATGATACCGTTGTTTGATATATTTCATTGCAGTCTTGTGGTTCCCAACGCATATATGGTGTGGTGGCTTAGGCTGAGTCCACGGAACCAGAACTGCATGTCCTCGGAGCTGAGAGCATCTCGTGTATTATGCAAGTATCTCGTGTGACTATTTTACTCAAGGAGCCTAGTAGAAGAATACACTAGGCCCGTATGACTGAATGCTTTGGGCTTATCAAGGGCATGCAGAAAGAATCTCCGAGTGCGATTTGAATATCACTCTTATCCTAAGCGCCGAACCAAGCCCCCCGGGTCATTTGCCTAGGCCTATTTCAGAGATATCAAAGTCTCCCCAAATTCCCTCACTCTTACTCCATTCCGTTTTCGTCTCGATATGAGGGTATATCGAAATGATGCCCCAGTATCAAATGCACCAGAACCAAAGAGCACGGCGAATAGAACTATGTCGGCGGGTCTAACCCTGTTGGATAAACACGAATAGCGATTGGCCCCCTCGTCTCAAAGGAGGTGGCAAGGTTCATGCCCTGGTCGCAGGGGTGGCACAACATATGCATGGTGGTCCTCTTTGGTTCTGGACCAGCCCGAATCCAGTCACCGGTTAGGTTACACAACCTCAACAAATGAAAAGCCATCCAAGGGAATGGGCTGTTTTGCCTGGAATATCGCTGTATTTGTGTGTCGCGCAAACTCCGGTTCGGGAAGATCTACTGCTCCATCGTTTCGCCTTTCGCCTCCTCAACCATTCAGTGCCGTAAGCCACGGTGGCGGAATCAGGCCCAACAAGTTGAGTCCCGCCACCGGCAAGTTTTTTAGTCTGCGGTTATTTTGGTGTAGTTGACGGCTTGCATCCGGACATCTGCCATCCGGTCGAGACACCTGCCATCCGAGCATCGGGGCGGCGCATGAACCGCGCAGAAGTTGCATCAGTGCATTCGGAGAAGCTTTCCCTCCTCCTTGTTCCCTCTGTGACCGGTCCTCCGCAGCTGGTAGCAATCCCCAGACGCAGAGTCGGGGGCGCGGGCGGGGAAATGGGAAGGATAGCGAGGTGCCATTGCGTCCTAGATACCTTATGCATGGCACATTGGGGTCCATCTTCAGATACGACGCCCTCCGCGACGAAATTGTGGGGATGCTTATTTATTGCCTCCCCCATGTGGAAATTTGCAACGTCTTTAATGTTGCCATGGCATGCATGTCTCTCGTTACGGTGCTGGCGATGTGGGCTTGCGGCGGAGAGCGTTGTGGTCTGCCTACGCGAGAGCGAGCAGTTTTGCAGACGGAGGAGCTGACGGCCGAGAGGCGGGGCCGTTTCACGCCACTTTCTGCACGTCTAAGTAGGGTTGGTTCAGATCCATTTTGCAATGTGACGCGGCATGTGAAAATGGATGGCGCAGTCGAGGCCAGCGGCGGATAATGACTGCCATTATCCCCGACTTTCAACGGGACGAGGCCGAGCTGTCATCGCCGAGGAGGAAATGGTTTATCGGCTCTTGATATAGCTCCGAGAGAGTATTGATATCCGATGTGTTTTTTTTACCTGATCCAGCGACGTTGTCTGGATCCTAAAACTTGTGGTCGTCAGTATGAAGAAATCACGATTGCAGTCTTGAAGATGAAATATGGGTTGAAAGCAAGGCGTAACGATAAAAGCCGATTTCTCGAGGGCAGGTATTGCCAGTGTATTAATTTTGTAGCCTGTATAACAATATACATCTTATTATTGCCAAACGAGAGGGAGAAGTTCAGACTCATTAGCGATCTGCAGTGTAGTACAATCAAGGAAATGAACGGAATGACTCAACAGATGGGGAGACTGCCAGTATAGTCGATTCGAGATCAATGGATTGACCCTTGTTGATAAATATCGGGATAGGGTAATGCGAAAACGTTTGTTCAACGTGAGGTCTTGGACTTCTGGAACTCAAAGCGCCACGAAGTATAGGGTAGGAGTATAGGGTAGACCGTGTGACATTGACATCTCGCCCAAGCACGCCTCTCAAACGAAAGGCAATAAATAGCAATTGAACTCCGCGAACGTTCGTGGTTCGAAATATTTGCTATGTTGGCATACATTCTTCATATGAAGAGGAATGCAGATAGAAGGCATGCGTTAAGGTAAGGTTGAACACGTAACAATTCCACTATATGGCTGCTGTATCTCGCGGCACTCGTTGTTGAACTTCGTGTGCACGTCTCTTGTTTGAGACTGCTATATAAATTTGATTTCTCTGATCACATTGTATTAAGTTAGGGACACCAAATACATTGTTGCCCGCATTTGGATAGAAGGTACGTCTATGGACCAAATGTCGCGGCGGACTCCTTGGGACCACTCTACAGTCGAGATTGTCTCAGCCGACAAGTGTCTCAAAGCACGGGTAAATTTGTTGCTGGATTAGTATGACATGCAACGGAGGGATCTTGTAGAGGGATCTTGTAGAGGAGTTTTGTAGAGGGATCCCGGATGAAGGGCTCTTGTCTAATTAATCGCAGTACTATCTAAACTGCCGTGGTGCAGTGAGCAGCAAAGTCACTGGCACGAGGCAACACAACTCTAGGGAGGGAATTGAGATTATGAACAATTTCTTAGCAACTGTGCGAACATGTGGAAGCTCGAACGTTGTAGCTGTTCCTTGGGAGGGGTATCAAGCAATATACGCCATATACCCTGACTGAGGTATCTTCTCAACACAACGCACGAATACAAGATGAGCTGCCACCAAAATGCAAATCAATGAGCCTTGACCAGATTATTCCTCGTGGGTGGGAGGTCCGGCGTAGTTCTTGTGGCCCCAGACCCAGTACCAGAGTCCAGACACACCCAGGGCGAAAACGAAGACAACGGGAGCGTAGTTGACTGACGCAGCTGTCACGGGGATGATCGTGGGCATGCAGAACAGAGGGATGACCAAGAGAGTCCAGGCTAAGTAAAAAGTAAGCAAATGAAGAGATGGAGCAGGGAAAAGTGCACATACCAATAGACACGTAGTTGGCGACGGTACCAAGGGCACCGAGGTAGAACTGTCCGGTCTTGACCTGCTTGCGGCCGGTCATCAGGCTGATGACAATGGGAATGGCGTAGGCAACGGTCAGGCAGATGACACCGACACCCGAGAAGGCGTTGAAGGCGGAGACGCTTCCGAAGTAGAGGAGACCGAGGAGAAGCTGGACGACCATGGAGAGCATCATGGCGTTGACGGGCACATCCAAGCTCTTGTTGACTTTCATCCACATACCGGCACCGGGGACGGCACCATCACGGGCAAAGGCCCAGATGCATCGCGAGGTGGCGGTGGTGCAGCCGATACCGCAGAGGATAGCCAGGACCATCAGAGGGAAGACGAGGCCAAAGGCTCCTCCAGCAGAACCGACGGCGCTCTTGAGGATAACGGGCACGGGCTGGGTGGAAAGGACGACCTCGGCGATGTCGGGGAGGACGAAGAGGATGGGGATCAGGAAGACGAGTCCGGCGAAGGTGTTGATGAAGATGGTGGCGACCATGGCCTTGGGGACCTGGACGGAGGGCTTCTGGACCTCCTCGCACATGCTACATGGCGTTAGCGATACAGGATTCTAGGGTAAGAGGTGTCAATTCGGACGAGACTTACGAGATGATCATTCCAGTGGAAGAAGTAGCGTAGGCAGCGTGGAGCAGACCGACACAGAAGGACCAGCCATCGGGCCATCCGGTAGAGGCCTCGAAGTGGGTGAAGACGTACTTGGCGTCGTGGCGGCCGTTCTTAGCAATGGCCAAGACGGAGATCATGATGGCAACGAGGCCAGCCAAGGTCCAGAAGACGGCAATAGTCTGGGGAAAAGTCAGAACCAGAGGACGGTTATGGGGACTCGGGCAGACTCACATCAAGCATGGGAAGCCACCTGTTTCCAAAGGCAGACACAGCGTTGCACAGCAAGGTGATGCCAAGGAAGATGAGGTAGGACTGATACGTGGTTCCCTCGAGGACAGCCGAGCCATCTGCCTTTTCAAACACATTTACACATCCAATGAAGAACAGAGTGGTACCGAAGTTCACAGAAAGCGTAATGGTAATGTTACCGACGAGATACAGCCAGCCGCAGATCCAGCTGGCAACGCGACGCCAGCGGGCGGGGGCCAGCATGAACGCTTGGTAGTAGACACCTAGACACGCGATCAATTACATATTCACGGTAATGACGCGCGGGGAGGGAGTTTCGCAATCCGGGTCGGCGCATGGCAACAAGGAAGCTTAGGGACGTGGTAAGTACCTCCGGCAGTGGGATAGACACTGGTGATTTCACCGAGAGACGCAGCAACACAGACGATGATTATGGAGACGGCAACCCAGCCCCAGAGGACGTTGACGGGTCCGCCGCCGACCAGGGGGTAGTAGAGGGTCGTCGCGAGACCGTAGGGGATCGAGGCGAGGACGAAGGACATGAAGGCGACCTGGAGGGTCGATCGGTTTCGGGAGAGCTCAGGCTTGTAGCCCAGGTTCTCGAGCAACTGGTCGGCCGAGTCGGGGCCGTTGGAGCCCGGGTGGCTCTCGAGCTTCTCGTCGACATTGCTGCCCGAGTCTTGTTTAAAGTCGGGGGACGCCATGGTGACGGATGGCAGGCGTGGTGCTGAGAGGGAAGTATTGACGGGCCGGCTCGGGTGGCATGCGAATTGGGGGGCCACTAGTTGGGGTTGCGAACCGGAGGGATGGGATGAGATGGAAGAAAAGAAAAGAGAACCCCGTCCAGGAAAAAGGAATGTGGGAAGGAAGGACGACGATCAGGAAGCAGGGAGGGGGGAGGGAGTATTAGTATGAACGAGATACGGAGGAGAGACGGGCCCAATAATAAAGAGGAGCGGGAAGAGGCTAAGAGCTAGGAGGACGGGAGCGAGGTGTGAGGTCAAGATAACGGGCGTGTTAAGGATGGGCGTGTGTGTCCCAGCTTCAGCTTCGGCTTGCGCAGGCTTGGACGGGAGAAGAAATGGGCGAACAGGTTCGAAACAGGGGTCATTCAATTACACGTGGCAAGCCGACGGTAGAGGGATATGAGAGTCAGGATTTGTTTCCCTTTTGGTTGTTGGTGCTCCTGCGACCTGCGACCTGCGACCTGCGACCTGCAACCTGCGACTCGCTGCAAAGACGAGGATTATGGATTACGGATTACAATGGGGATGGAATGCAGGAAGCATCAGATCCAAGTCGCGTACCCAGCAGGGTTGCGATAAAGGGGATCCGCTCGAGCCAGAGAATCGACGCTGCCACCTACGTACTGTACCATTGAGCAATCCATTGACTGGTTGACTACTTGACTGGCTGGAGGCCCTGTCGGCTTGTCCACGGCCAACCCATGGGGATACCCGTGATCCTTGGCCACCGCGGAGGCGACAGAAGAGGCGTGGGACGACACGAAAGCCTATTTGAGAGCAGATCCTGGGCTATGCTGGTTAGTGCGTGGGGCTTCAGATTTCGGTGGAGTCTATTGAGGCTTTAAGGCTGCCCGAAACGTAACGCTCTCGGCGAGACCCTGCATGGGAGGGGGGAGAAAGATACCTGAGGGCATCCGTATTACTGTGGGAGCTGTGGGTGGGTGCTAGACACGCATCCGTACTGGACTGTAAGTACAGGCCATTACGGAGCACGGTACGGAACACGGAGAACGGACACCGAGTGCCGGGGTACACGGCGGAGGCGAGCTGGGATGCCCGATTGCCAAGGGTTTCTACGTCATGTCCTTGCATCAACGGTGGCGAGTGGACGGGGAGAGGCGGGGAGTGGGTGCGCCAGGCGGCCAGGCCGATCGGGGCTGTTGGCTCAAACCGGAAGGAGATTAATACCTCGGCGTCAGGGGGGGGGTCCAGTTCGTGCTCTGTGGACGAGTGAGAGGGCGACTAGAAACGGGCGAGTAAGCTGGGGTGAGTAGCTCCATCTCCATGGGCCATTTCGACTCCGGCCAAGGGCGCGAGAATGGGGACGGAGGACGGGGAACGGGACCGGGGGAGGGGGGAGGATCACCATGGGATAATGGGATAATGGGATAACATGGTATGGAACGGGTTAGAGCGTGGGCGAGAATGGGATCCCGACCTGGACCTGTATCGTAGTTTATCGCCTGTCCGCGCAGTGACTCGCTCGATGAGAGGCAATCGTCAGGCCATCAGCTGGCGGTGCTCGGTAAGATTGATTGTTGGATGGGCGGCATGGATGATGGACGCCATGGATGTCAGGTCAGTCAGTGAGACCCTAATTAGGACCAGGACTCAAGGACCCAAGGACCCAATGGATGATAATGACTCCCTGGCTGGCAGAGCCCCGAATGGTCACCGAGAGGCTGCAAGCTGGGCCCTTGTCCCGCGGTCTATGTAGCACAAGACGCAAAGTACCGAGTCCGGATACGTACTACTGCTATGGAATGGGATGGATGGTGTCGCGTGCCCTCCCTGGAGTCTCCCTTGAGTCTGGGCTCCCTCGACAGGAAAGAGAAAGTGAGCCAAGCTATCCAAGCTATTCAAGCATAAGCTATTCCCACCCACACCACCGGAACCACCACCAGCGTCGTGGATGTTGGTTTGATGCCGTATCGCCCATGCTCCTCCTCCTATCCCCCTCCCCCCAAATGAAACCCCATGCCATGGCCATGCCAAATCATGCCGAACCATGCAATGCAATGCAATGCAATGCAATTCTAGCTATTCCTTGCTTGCCATGCCCGACATGCTAGACAATTGCCATGCCGGACCGCGCTGTGGCTTGGTGTAGCCGCCGCCAGCTCGAACTCTTCTGAACATCCATCTCTGGCTCACCCGCGGCCGCCGTTGTAATCGGCGCCGCCGACCTTCCTCAGCCGCGCCACAATATCCCCCTCCTCCAGCTCCGACTTGTCGTTGGTGGTGACGGCGATGCTGTGGTGCGACAGGATGCGCTTGACCTCGCCGCTCTCGATGCTGACGCGCGCCTTGCGCATCACCTTTGTGCCCTCGCCGATCCACACGGCCAGCACGAACTTGACGCGGGTGCTCTCCTTGTCGTTGGCGTACTCGACGCGCACGTAGCCGTACTGCACCTGGCCGTCGTCCAGCTTGGTCACCAGCTCCGCGAGGCCCCCGGTGCCCGTCTGCGTGAGCTCCAGCTTGTTGCCGACGTTGGAGGCGTACGAGATGAGCAGCCAGTTGGTGTCGTCCTTATCGTCGCGGACCGCGTCGTACGCGGCCGTGACCTCGGGTGCGTTCAGGCCAGACATTGGGGGGGGCGATGTCGGTGAGCGTGTGTGTGTGTGTCTGTCTGTCTGCTGGTATCTCGGGGACGGCTCGGTGTCGACGGGCACGGGACAAGTATCGTGATGATAGCCAGCAGAGTGCTGAGCGTGGCCCGTGGGGAAGGAATCGGTCGCGGTTACTATGTTGGGGGTTGTGATGCGAGACTCGACGAGGAGCGCGGGTGTTGGTGCCGTGGTTCGCGGCGATCGATCGGTATATTGGCTCAGTTGGGGTCGATTTGGCTATCGCAGCTCCTCTCGAGTGTCGAGATCGAATCAAATCCAGGCCAGCTTCGACTCGACGGGCAATTATTACGGGTCGGGGTCTGGTCTGAGCTTTGTATCTCTCTGGACGACCGGGTTTGCTGGCGGTTTGGCTGTCTAAAACCTCGCTTCAGGGGGGATCCGAGGGGGCGAGACCGCTCCCGCCAGCGTCAATCAATCCAACAACGGGCAAAGGGGGCTGACTTTGCCAATTGTGCGTCTGGGCTGCGGGTCTCATTGCTGCTCTGGGAAAAGATCGCTTTTTCGGTGGCTTCAGACGGTCGGCTTGCCGCTTGTCAGAGCTGGCGAGTGGGTAAGTCTAATCATTAGACTTACCCACCCGCCGTAATGAGGCGTCGTCGTCTGGCTGGCTGTTTTATCCGTCTGTCTGTCTGTCTGTCACTCTCTGTCTGTCACTCTCTTCATCAATTACTGTACGCCGTACGTACTCGCAACGGACGCATCCCCTGCTAGGCCTCTTTCGGGTTACCGTACGCTCGTCTGGCCGCGCCATCTCATCCGAGTTAGCGAGTGCATGGCCCCCATGGCGACTTGGTGCCATGTGAAGTCATGGATGACCCTGTCGACCCCCGTTTCTGGCGTGGAACCGTTTGCGAACCGTCCGTTGGCCTGCCTGTAATGCCTGTAGTGCTTGCAATGCCTGCATCAGGCCGTCTGCTCACTGGCTCAATCCCAGCTCCCTGGCCGTCATCATCAGGCAAAGAACAATTACAGCTTGTTCCAGACTACTACGTAGTACGTACTACTGCCCGTAGTACTAATAGGCTCCACCCCGCTGAACCAGTGTCGAGCCGTGGCTGGATGGCTCGGCCGACGGATCCTGGGTTTCACCACCAAACCGACCGGCTGTCTTGGTCTTGATTGGCCGTGTGTGGGAAATACGGATTCTCGCTGACTCGGACGGAGCCTCGGTCATTTTCCTCTAGTTCCTGCTACTACGTACCACCGTCAAAGTGGACTTTCCTGCGCACCGTGGCCTGATTCCCTCGAACGTCTTCATCGACTTCATTTCACCATGTATGACGACAGTGTGGGCAGTGTGGGCTTTGTGGGCTTTGCCTCCGTTTTCCCCCATTCCTCTAAACAGATTTTCAATCGCTTCTCCACGACCCCATTTATACAGTGACGTCCGCCTCTAGCCACGACCCGCTGGCAGGCCTCCCCCAGAAAACAGCCTTACCACCTCGCAAAGACCTTGAAGCAAATCGTCATTGATGGATCCCGTATTAAGGCTTCCGTCACCAAGGGATCCATCATGAAGGGATCCATCATGAAAGGATCCGGCGGTGCCCAAAAGTGGCTCGTCCACGCCCTTCTCACCATTCTCGTACGTACAATAATAGACGTTCCAAACCCTAGCGACGGGGCCTTCGATTTTTTTCACGATCCATCGCGCAGCTCGACCACGTCACATTACGTGGAAGCCATCAATGCTGTGGAGTATCATCTTCAGCTCACCCGCGCCCAGCCGTTTCACTTGGACGCTGAGACCTGGAAACGCGCTACGCGAAAGAAAAATAAGACAGCAGCACCATCTAAGACCTTGTGCCGAGTGGAGTTATGGGGTGAGGTTTTGTTTTAGAATCAGTGGAAGCTCGCAGCACGTTCCATTTCATTTTCTTGTTACATCCGCTGCGCCTAAAACCGTTGCGCCTTCTCAATCAGGGTATCCACCGAGGAGAGCAATGCGCTGTATTTACTGGCCTGCAAGGTGATGAGACAAAAGGAATCTATTTTGGCGCGCCCTGTTCCTCGGGAACAATGGCCCTGTTGTTTCGTTTCTCAGATATCTCCATCGACCGGTTGAGGCCTATCATCGATCAATGATCAGCTCCGCTTTCTAGCCGGCTCATACCTTCCGAGTCTCTCGAACACAGCGCTTGACATCTGCTGGGAGGAGTTGACGGAGGCATTGTGCCAAGCATGTGTTGAATTGGGTGGCTGTGCAACCGCGCTTTTGCGCTCGACGGCCCCACGACAGCGGGTTTTGAAACATCCATCACTCTTGAAACCGCAATGCGATGTCTATTCTTGTCAAGAGGCGTAGCAAGGGAGTATTGAATCGTGAGTACTGGCCACATGAGTTTCACGGAATATCCATACCGTAGGTTGTGGTTCTATACCTGCGACGAATTTCGATGCCATGGATGATTCAGCTCCTTATTCTTATTTTTCTTCATGCTAAAGGACTTTTAACGTCCCCTAGGTCTTGATGATTTAACCAGGTATTGGGTCCACCATTCGACCGCCAAGCAGTGCTGGTGAAGACGTATGACGGATCCCCTCCAAATTTACCGCATTGCTTTGCGAGCAGGCAAGTACACCGGTTTGCAATCCGAAGCACTCTTAGCACTAGTGAAAGGCGTAGAGGCAGACTTCATTGACAAATTGAAATTTTTGTTCGCACCGGTCTCGTGGAGCTGCTGTTGACTCGCGTGTGTGAAATCTAGACAGTTGTTTCGAGGTATCTTCTACAGGTCACTCATCATTGTAAAGATCCTACATGCTACCTACTTACCGACGAATAAGACATACTTGAGATTTGTACTCTTCCGTAGTGATTTCAATACACTGATGCAAGCTCCGGTTAAACTCTAGTATAAATTCTAGCACAAACGCTGGCACAAGTCATGCCGTGGGTGCTTACGAGGACAGTGATTTGCAAATATGAACCACGTACGTCTTCTTCTCTCCCTCTTCCCCTCGGCTCCCATGCCACGCCATTGACATGGAGAGCAACTGCGACTACGACGGCACTGCTATCCGCGTCCCCGAATTTGCCCGTGGAAAACTCCCTTCTAAGTTCTAACTTCAAGAGAGATAAGAAGTTCCACCATCACGAAGGTGACGAAGGGTTTGTGTACAAGTAGGACCCGACTAGAGAGTGAGGGATGGTGTTCGTCATTCGCAATTAACAAAGTTCCATATTAAGATCAACTGTCTAGCCTTTGTTTTACAATTTATTTCGAACAACGTCGCCTTTCACGGATAGAGCATGATGAAGCTCCTGACAGTTCTTTTCTTTCATGCCCACAACTAGAAGGCATTTAAATTGCAAGTTGCACGTCTAATACGATGTTGTCCATATCTCACGCCTGTGGCCTAATCTCATCTGCGCACTAGGTCACGTTGTTTGACGTCGCGTGACTATAATTCTAGTGCTCAATGCCACGAGGCAGAAGAAGCAAATATAGCTGTGGGGCGAATTCATGATGACCCAAGCAATGCCGTACCTGTCAATGATTTGATATTATCCTGATATAGTGCGGATACACGCAGTAAGGAGCCAATAGTTTTCTTCAACAGGCTGAAGCTTATCGTGCCAATGCCGGCATTGATAGTGGTGTTGTCCATATATAGGTCTACGCTATTCTCTCCAAGGCTAGGAGCAAACATAGTGACAATCGAGAGTCAAATTCCTCCGCTAAGTAGGGAAAACAGACTGTAGTGCCACTTCTCAACCATGGTGATAATTTCCACGTCTACACTGATATCAATAACAATCACCAAGCGCCAGTGTGGTGAATAAGCCTTGAAAACTCCTACAAGTTGATCTACAAGGAACTCGATTGCAGGGATACGCCCCAAACCGACCCATTCAAGTTCCCTGATATCAATAAGGCTATTCTTCATTGGATTGGATCAACGATTTGTGGATCTGCTTGCATGCAGAGTAATCTCCTATCAGCGAACATTGTGAGATATGAGATTCCCAGCTTAAGACATAAAACACCTGTAGGGTAATCACGATCTAGAGATGCGGAGGAAACGACGCCAAGACAAAAGGCGTGATCGTTGGATGCCACTCCGGCCATGATCAATCGAAACAGGAGCCCCAGAGCAGTAGAAACCAAGTGTACCAGCCTCTCCCTTTACCGCAGAGATCCAAGAACTCTTTTTTATTTCGAACATCAAACTCTCAGATCAGGAGTTCGCCCACGTCAGGCTCGTCCTTGGCAGTCTGTGTACCCAGCCTCACAGATTGAAGCTCTTGGCGAAAATGATACGGCTATTGATTATGCATAAAAACCTATTGTGGCATTATCTGCATGAGATATAGATTAGCCCCGCGAAAGTCAGAAGATCATCCGCCTCTGTTCGGGCCTGGGCCGATACTATTTACCCTTTCTGGACCTTTCTGCACCCGAGGGCATGTCGTCCTTTGGGGAACAAATGACGCAAGCGACCTGCTTTTGGGAATTCATGGGTCGGATGCGACAGTCGCCCCGCTAGATGACTGTGCAAGCCAGAACTTCGACCACAACATGTCGACGCACACATGGATTGATGAACAGGGTGTGCTGCTTTCGTGATTGACCGGCGTGTTCGCGCTCCGGGGATGTGACCTTATAAAAACCTGGTTGCCAGTCTGCAACCTTTCCTTATCTCTAGGTTTACTCATGCAAAGCTGATGATCATGGCGGACTCAGACCATCAAGACTCGAGCTCGGGACTCAATGAGGACCAGCAGCCTCCCCAGACAGGTGTTTTCAAGATTGCCTCCCGATTTATTCCATATTTCCGCAATCCTCAGCATGTTCTCGTCTTCAAACTCGATTGCCTGTTGCTTACATGGGCCTTTCTTGCTGGGTATGACTTCTCGCGCAATAGCCCCAAGCAAAGCCCAACAATACAACACCAGTATAGGGACTCTAGCTAACCAGGATTGAACAGCATCCTCAAGGAAATGGACCAATCTGCAACTACTCAGGCCTATGTTTCGGGTATGAGAGAGTCGCTTAATCTGTACGGAAACGAATTAGTCCAGTTTACGACGTACTTCTCGGCTGGCTACGCCGTTGGTCTCGTTCCGGGCCAATTGATCCAGACTAAAGTGAGTGGAATTGGAGTTTAAAGGTTGACTAAGCTTACATTTCCCTTAGGTTCGACCCTCTCTCTTCTTACCATTTTGTGAAATGACATGGGGACTGTTGGTCCTATTGTACGTAGAGACAGTCCGTATAACGTAACCGCAAGCTGACTTCCTTGATAGCACATACAAAGCCCCTGACGCTAAAACTATCTATGGGCTGCGATTCTTCCTTGGGCTCTTCTCTGCAGTCTTCTGGCCTAGCGTTGTGTCACTCATTTTCAACTGGTACACGCCGAAGGAACTCGCGGTTAGAATCGCCTTCTTTACCATCTCAGATGTCGCCGGAGCAATGTTTTTGGGTGCCTTGCAGGCAGCACTTTACAAAAATATGAATGGCGTCCATGGAATTGCTGGATGGCAGTGGCTTTTTATCATTTCCGGCGCCATCACTGTTGGCCAAGCCCTCATTGGCTTTGTCATTATTCCAGATTCGCCAGCATACACCCGCGCCATTTGGTTGACCGATGCAGAGAAAGAAATGGCTAGGAAACGGATGAGGGGATTCGGCGCTAACTCCTCTCAACTGATCCCCGCCAGTGTCTTGAAGAAGAAACTGCGGAAATTGATTGTCCACCCCGTCACCTACTTCTTCGTGTTCGCCTTCGCCTTCAGTGCCTGGGGACACCGAGCCAACTCATATTTTGTCTTGTATCTCGAAAGCTTGGTTGACTCGGCCGGAAATCGTCGGTACAGCACTTATCAAGTCAACGTGCTACCCTTAGGCGGCTATGCCCTCCAGATCCTGACCAACCTTGTCTTGAACTGGCTTTCCGACTGGAAGCACTGGCGCTGGCAAATCAGCATCGGCTCAGCTTTTTGTTTCGGGATTATGCTGTGCGTCTTGTGCGCCTGGCCCTCCGACTACAAGGTGGTTTTGGGCTTCTACTTCCTGACCTATGCGACGAACGCTGGCAGCCCATCGTTTATGGCATGGATGGCCGAACTCTTGCGGAAAGAACCTGAAGCTCGTGCGATCATCGTTGCACTCACTGTTACCCTCGTCTACGTCGGACACGCAACGATTCCTCTACGGACTTTCAGAGTCGCCGACGCGCCGCGATACCCAATTGGTTTCCCAGTTTCTACTGCATTTACATTTGCATCTATTTTAATACAGTTTGGGATGCTTTGGTGGGGAAACAGAAACCAGCAGCTGGTGGAATATGGCTATGATGCACCGAAGAACCTGCCTAGAGTTCTGGATGAAGAACACTTGAATGCCACTCTTCGGGAGGGAGCGGAATCTCCCAGCGACACCAAAACTTCGCACACAAAGGTTCTGAAGGTGGACGATGAGTAGGATAAGTCGTCGAGTGTTTCAATTCTTTTATTCACGATGTCTATTTATAACCGCCAGAGTTCGGCGAGGAGGGCAGATTTCGACTATATCTATGACCCATGACGTTTCAGGCCCTCAACGTAAAACTAGATGTTCATGATAGCCGTTAACAAGGCCGAGAAAATGCACTAGGTCAGGTCAGAAATTTAGGCGTAATTTAGGGTTAAGATTAAGATTGAAAGCAGAAGGTCACGGTAAGTGTGTAACAACTTTATCATGTGATCTAATTAAAAGAAAAAAGAAAAAGAAAACCCCTAAACCTATCTATCTATCTACCTGGTTACCTAGTCACCCAGATCTTATGTAACCCGCACGAGAAATATCCAACTTGACTAAGACTTGGCATGACTTACACAGAGGTAAGAGGCACGGGATCTGAATCGGTCTTCTCAAATGATTGCCCTTTGCCGTCCTTCCGAAGCTGAAAGTCCGCCTCTCCCCAACGTCCCTGAAAAGCAAGACCAGGATGAAAAATGGCCAAGCTAATAGCGGCGAGGACGATCATAACGCCCTCGAGTGCGATGAAAGCCGCCTCATTGTTGGCTAGCCCGCTGTGAAAGCCGTTCTGGAGCTCGGCCATTCGAAATGACGTTCGGATCAAGATGCAGAGCGTCGCGATCACAAGCCCTATTAATCATGCGTCAGCAAAATAGATTCGAGGAATAGATAGAACGCTGGAATAAATACCAATCAGGAAGAGCAAAAATGCTCGGGACCTGTGCAAGGCGGAAAACTTGTAGTCCCATTGGTCTTGGTGCCGGTATGCCCGGAAACCATATTCGGCTGCTAGCATAACAAAGATGGCAATGGCAACCAAGTGTGCTGCCAGTCCAGTTTTGATGATTGCAAGACCAGCATCCGTCGTGCTTTGGTCCTTTCCTCCAAGAATGGCACCTCCTGAAGCTTGCAGAATCAGAGCGACGAAGTCGGATATCATAAAGGTAATCGTGTATGTACGGGGGCTGAAGCGGGAAAGTTTCTCGCTGTAGACGGCAATGATTCGGGCCAGGCAGAGGTAAATCGCGGCGCTGAAAAAGGCCGGAGCAATTGTCAGACAGACAATATACCTGGACGGGATTTCGAGTTAGTGATGTCTGCGGGAGACGAAGAAAAATGTCTTCTTCGACCGGATGACTCTTACACCACAAACTGGTCTTTTCCATCATGCATCTGTATTCGGGCGGCGTATCCGATAATCTCAAGAACATGGCCGCAGAACATGCCGAACAGAAACCCCCAGGTCTTGTGCCTAATGCCGAGAAAAATCTGGGGGATAAGGAGAAGAGCATGGCAGGAGAGAAAAAAGGCATTAGGCGCCAGCATGGGAATATCCATCGTCATCTTGAAGGAAGGGTTCGTACCAGCGGTGTCGAGATAAAATGGGAAACTGGACTGGTGTGGTTCTGATGTGCATCGTGTTCAACGGGATAGCAGGACGCAATAATATATATGCTTATCTGGAGATGGGAAGGCCTTGGAGTTGTAGACGAACTGGCCAATTAAAATTACCCTGAGACATCTTGGCAATGGGGCTCAGCAGCAAAGCCATTCCTGCCAGCATCCGTATTCTTATTTGTACCCGCGCAATGCCAAAGTCCGTTCATCAAGTCCGCTCGTACGTATGTCTTACGGCTTCGAGGTGGAGTCTGCGAGCGGCCGAGTCAGGTTAGTATGTCTTTAATAGCCAGGGGCCTCCATTAAACGGACCTAATTGTAAAAGATGCGCGATTGGCTTTTAGACGAACGGACCAATCAAGCCATGTGTCGGTTGACGACTGCGTGTCCACCGCGGAGACTTATTGGCTCCGCGCGCGGACAATAGAAGCCGGAGGGAGACACGTCGATCGACAGCCATGGATCCTTCCACTAACAACGCCCACGCGTCTGAATATTGCTCTTTGATCCAACTGTTTTCCCTCTTTCTGTCTCGCTTCGGCCGTGTGACCCCAGATTCGTCAAGCCAGCCTGCGCGTCAGATACAATCTGCCGCTATCTATGCTGTCCTTGCCTCCGGACGATCCGGCCGCGGAGGATACAGTTCCTCCGCAGCCTCGACGCAAGAGGGCCAAGCACACCCGCTCCAGACTTGGCTGTGGAGTGTGTCGGTGAGTCAGTTCCGTAGATGAAGCTGGACGAGTTTGATGGCGTCTCCGGGCGTTCATCTTGCCCTAGCTCAACCTTTAAGCTGGCGCTTACACGCCTCTGTCGTCTAGCATCCGTCGAATCCGCTGCGATCGCACGCGGCCTTCGTGCGACCGTTGCACCACCACTGGCCGCAAATGCGACGGATATCCTGCTACTACAGATGACCCCCTGGAGCCGGGTGCTAACGGTCCGGGCGTGTCTCGGCCGTTATTGCGGGCTCAGTCCCACGCTCTGCAAATGTCCCCTCGAGAACTCCCCCTCTCCATCGGTTCGCAGGCGGGCCGGTCTTTACACTACTTTCAACACAACACAGCCCTTGAGTTTTCTGGTTATTTTAACAGCGATCTCTGGAACACTCTAGTACTGCAGGTCAGCCGTCGCGAAACTTGCGTGCAGCAAATGGTAGTTGCCTTGGGCTTACTGCATGAAAGCTTCCATCACGATCATGGTGCGACCAGATGTACCTCTACAGCCAGAGCCCTAAGACAGCAGGCTACCAACGAGTATGCCTTGGGGATTGGGCTTTTGAATAGCCACATCTCTACCCAAGGCTGGGCTAGCCTTGAAATCACCCTTCTTTGCTCTCTCCTCTGCGTCGCCTTCGAATGGCTGCGCGGCGACTATTTTGCTGCCCAAACACACTTGTGGAGCAGCAATTCCATCATGGCTCAGTGGTATGACAAGAAACACCCTCAGCTCAATGCCACCTCGTTGTCTTCGCCTAGTGGACATATGATTCGGACGAGGCTGAGACCAGTCTCTACAAGCTTAGTGCTGCAAGCCCGGAGCATGCCAACGTCTTTATTACTGCCGTGGAACTCGGTTTTTGGCGTGCAAAGTGATATCCAGCCCTTTCATAGCCTTCAGCAAGCAAGGGACAGCCTCGATGTGTTATTGGCCGATGCTCTTCCCGATACCGTTACTGATAGGACCACTGGCCAAATTGACAGCGAGAGGGTCTGGGATATCTCTTGTCGGTTGTCACAATGGTCACAACATTTCGAAAATTATCTCTCAACGAGTGATCCAGAGGAATTATCCAGCCCCCCTGCGACGATAATGAAGCTGTGGCACACCACTGCAAGGATCCTTCTTACGGCTACTTTGAGAGATGACGAAGGAAGTTTCGACAGCTTTCTACCTGAATTTACAGACACTGTTGAAAAAGTAGAAGGACTTCTTTCCTCATCCTCGACGACATTTTCTGTCGATATTGGAGTAGTCCCTCTGCTGTACTACGTTGCTCTCAAGTGCCGTCACCCTCGGGTCCGACGGCAGGCTATCAAGATGCTGGTCGATTCTCCGCGCCGAGAAGCAGTATGGGATAGTTTGGGTGCGGCTTGCGTTGTTCAAGAGGTCCTTGAAGTGGAGGAAAGAGGTCTCGGGGAGGTCTGCAGTCATCTAGACGTTCCTTTCGCTGCTCGAGTATGCAACATGCGTGCTGTTACCGACGTTGAAAATCGCAGGATTCGAATAATTACTATGCAGCAAGGGCCTAAAATCTGGAATGAAGAGAAAGTTTTGATATGGTGATGGGTAAATCAAGACTTTGAACAAATTATACATGCCTAGCCTAGAAATCTTGGTCTGTTTGAGTAACTGCTGGCCTTTGAGTGAACTGGGTATATCGTCTGTATTGTTGGTATTTCCTTTTACTGTTGAGCTTCTAGTCCCCCCTCTGGGTATGTGTGTACTAGGGCACCCTGACCTCTTGATACATGCGTAACAATTACCTCAGTACTCTGTCTTTGTATTTTGGTATAAAATTAAAGCTAAATTTGATGATGCTGTCTATCCTGGGGTTGAGTTATGTATGAAATGTCTAGCTTGTTATAATACAATTCTTCCTTGGTATAAATCCTTCCATGTACAAGCCTGCCGTATTAGTCTAAACGTTTTCCAACGCTATCATGCTCTCAGATGTTGCGGTGTCTGGCCGCTTCTGTAATTGGGCACCTTCAGCAACAATGCACCTCTTCCGGACCGACCACGCGCTACCAATGTGGCCAAGAACCCACCATGACAGGAGAACTGGCAATGCCACTTCATTCTGAAGCTTGCAACCACCCGACCACACCTCCATCAACAACGTTAGCGTGTTGTGTGCGGGCAAGGCGTAGGCCCATCGGTAAAACCCGGCCGACAAGGCGAACGGGTAGATAGTGCTTGCCACGTTGGTAATAATCCATGTCAACATGAAGAATGAAAAGAATTTCATCGGTATCAGTGCCTCAATTACCGTATCGACAACGAGGTAGTTGATTTCCATGTATAACCAAAGGCACATCCATGTCTGGCCGAATTGACCACCAGATACAGCCCAATCCTCTCGGTATGCCCATATATATCCCGCCATGCAAAGACCGCCGAGGAACGTATAGGATTTGCTGATGATGAGCCTGATGAAGTATGTGTCGCGCTTGGAGAGTTTCCTGAAGACACCGGCCTCGCTAAATACACCATTCATTCCCATGAGGAAAAAGAATTGCATGAGCACGGGCATGACCATCGAGACGGTGTTGAGGAGGACACGGGTCCCTTGGTTTATCGGGGCTCGGACGTCGGACGAGGCTCGGATGGGGTTGACGAATGCTGAATAACTGCTCGAGTCGGTGAGATTTACTGCGGCTCGGGCGTCCGTCGCAACGCTATAGTAGGTTCGAGATGCAACGGAAATCAAGGTCTCCATTTTGGCCTGGATGATGGAGCTGGCGATGATAGGGTAATAAGAGGCGTCGTACATGTAAGTGATGGTGCTTCCTGGGTCGTACTGAGTCGTATTTTGGCCCTCAATCGTAGCCATCAGCCGCTTCGACGCGCCGGAGTGTGTGTACACGGCTCCCCAGTAATCTTCCTTACAGATAGCCTCGTGGAGCAGCTCTGGTGTCGGATACTCTGATGCAGAGTGGTATTCAACAGTCGGGAAGGTATCCGCTTGTAGTGACCGGTAAGCTATTGAAAGAGCTTGACCGATCTCGGCTCCGTCATAGTCGATAGCGAGCACCTTGAGCGCATGTGCCCGAGAACCCGACTTGAAAAGGACGCCATAGAGGTACGACATGTTTGCCAAAAAGAGCAACTGAAGAATGGTTGCGACTGCGACAACGGGCATAATAAAGCCCACCCGTCGCTGGGCCCAGTACGGAGACCGAAGCCCGCTTCGGTCTGGTGACAGAGTTGTGAATGGGGGCATGGTAGATTGAAGGGCAGATGCCAGAAAAGAAACCGCGTAGTTTATGGAGAGAAGGATCGAATGGAGAAGGGATCTGTCATGATTTTGTATGAGGATCTGGATTTAAAAATAAAATTAACAAAATACAAGCATGCAGACCAGCATTGTATATATTGGCAGTCCCTTTTCAACAACAAGAGTGGTCCCAGCCCCGGTGTTCCGGTATCCCACCCCCTGGCTCGGACTTCGCGCGAGATGCCAACTTCCGGCACCCACAAAAAACTCCGCCATTCGCACATCTCAAGATCCCGATGCTGGAGCACTGCTGCGGCTCGCCCTCGACTTATCTCATTTAGGAGGAGCATCTATTTTAACGTATCATCCACATGATTAATATCCCTTTTCTGGACGTTTCTCGTCTTTGCTTTGATCCTTTGCCCCTGCATCTCTGGGCATCCCGGGTGCTTGAATCATGCTATCCAACAAGGTGGCCTGGTTCAGAGCGGCAAAGCGACTGACTAAGCGGAACTATGCGTTTTGTCCATCTCCGACGCGCCGTGGTCACGAAGAATCCACTAGTCACATACGAGGTATCGGTAGTTGGCTCGGCTGTGTTTATCGATGTGCTTGTCATATCCAATTAAGACGACACGCAGGCCAGAATGGACGCGCAAGGGCGAAGCTTCCGACTTAGCACTGACGGTAGGCTCGGGATGAGTAATGGGTTATATGATTGCAGTAATTGTAAAAGTCGCATTTTCTTTTCCACTTGGGTTCTAACTTGCACAATCATAACTCTGAAGGAGTAGCTTCGCGAAAAAAAAGACGGCATCACTAATTCGAAGGCCCCAGAGCCGTCGTCAGACGTCCTAGTCGTGGTTCATCCAAGCTTCAGTCGTATGCTTTGTAAGTCTCAATTCAATATGTTCAGCTCGCTAAGCCCTATAATATGATTGGGTGTTATCGGAAATAGGAGGCCATCATAGTAACCTAGGAACGCAAGCAACGCTTCCGGATAAGTCCTGCCCATCGCGGGTGTCGCACTTTGCTCCACAGTTACCCTAGTTGTTCAAATCGAGATAATGTGTGCTTAGGGAATTGCAAATTGGAGAGACTACGGGTGAATGTCAGCTTGGTATTGTAGGTACCATTGCGTCTGGAAGCAGGTCGGCATGCCCCATTTGTGAGGCGTCGAGACAGTGCCCATTTGACGGCGCCATCATACCATCTCACAACGCCACAGCCGCGATCATAGCCATTTTTATGAGCGCAGAGGAATGCGCGGATACTCGGCTTGAGTTTCCGCATTCGTCTCCGGATGCGGCATCTAAGGTTCTAGTGCCGCAATGAAAGGTAGCTGTTATGGGTGCTTTTAACGGATCAGCCCTGGGTGAAGGAGGCAGTCGCCGAGACAAATGACCATGTGGCACTGCGCCACAATTTGCAATAAAAGGTTGGTCAGTAATGATGCGGCTGTGGAAAAGGCATAGGAACTGGCGCACGCGGCGGCAGCACCCCAAGGATGTCAACATATTGGCCTATAGTTTCAGGGTTTGAAAGTTGAGAAGGCTATTTCAGATGTGCTTGAGCAATTCGGTAAGATTGGAGTCTCCATCGGAACCGGGGCGAGCCAGCCGAACTGGGCATCCCGCCAATATCTAGCTCAGGCTTTGACGATGGGGCACGAAGTCATTTCACAAATTACCCTGGAGCGGAACCTGGTACAGTGTAAAAAGCAAATGGCTGCCCTGGAGTATCAGCCGATATACAATGTTAGAAGGGCTATATGAATAATATCGAGGGCCTGTATCTCTGCCATTCTAGAGATGCATTTACAGATGACTGGCACTGATGTGCTTGTCGATGACGGCTACGTGCTCCTACTTAGCAATCGCATTCAAGACTAGAATAGAAAACTCTCTATAGCTCATATCTAACCAGCCACTGTGATTGACCAGTGTTATCAACTGTCCTGTTTGTAGTAGCTTGTTCAGGGTTGAGCCCTGCTGTATCCGCGTGCGCCCGCATCGAGCGCCATCGGAATATTTCGCGCAAGCCATGGAATGTGATAATCTATAGCTATGAGTTAGAGTATGGAAAGTCTGTCTGATACAATGTTCGCGCCTACGTTAAGAGGCTTGTGCTCAAGCTTTCTTAGCTGCCAGCTAGCTAGCCGCATTGTGGTCTGGATGGTCCGCCCCGCGACGGCCCGCACCTTAGCTGCATCATTGCAAGGCCAGGCTGTGTTTCCCTACCACCTTTTCAGCCCTGTAGGACAAATGAGCCGTCCTCGAGGGAGTGCTGGGATGGATTATTCAAGTATTGGATTTGTCGTGATGACAGTAAGCCTCCCTCTAGTCTACAACATCACCGCTCGCATAGATTGTCTCAGATTGTTTCGGCTCCGGCTTCCATGACGGCGAACTGAACAGAGCGCGGCCCAACCTTGACCAGCCCGGAAAGTAAATAGAGCTTCGTAGTGTCGAAAGCTGTGCTGAATGACAATGAATACGGTGGCTGGCCATTTCAAACATTGTGGCTTGGATTTTTCTCCACGATATCATATGCCTCAGACTACAGGATCTGTAAACTCTACGCTATGCAAGGAGAGACTGTTACGCAAGCAGTATGACGTGGCATTGAGGCAATGCTGCTATGTGATTGCAATTGACTCTGCGGTGACTTTCCAATAGTAGATGAAAGCAAATGCCGCGACAGGTTAGAGCAATGCATCCCTATCCGAGTCTCTAAAGTCTAGAAGTCCAGAAGTCTGTATGCATTAAGAAACTTTGAGAGACCACCGGAAATGGTTGAGACTTCAATGTCCATGTCTAACTCAGTCCCAATTCCTTGCATCATGATGAGATGGTCTGATATCGGCGATTAGAAACCCATAGAATGGAGGATGCCCCGCTTGGTTTCAATATCGCGGGCCTATTGTGTACCAAACTCCAAACTGCTGTCACAATTCTGTCTTGTAAATATAAACTATATGGTAGTTGCCTTCAGTCTGGGCATGGGTGGTGGGCGCCTTTGAGACGACTCAGCCTCTTTATGTGCCTTGTGTACTTCCCGTGATGAGACCATTGCCTTCTTTCCACATTGATGGCAGATATTCATCCAATAATTACGCTTTCAGACGGCCTCGAAGGTTTTCCATGTAGGCTAACCAGTCATAAATCTTCATTCCGCTTGAGTGTCTGTCCAGTTAATCATTTTGTGGACCCCAGATCGAGAATTCCAGCCAGACCGAGCTGATCAGCCCCGAGCTTTCAGCTGCGGTTAACATCATGAATTGAGTTAAAGTCAAAGTGAACGATTACTCACAGCTCCACCTCGATAGATGCCTTGACTGTTCAAATTGTCTATAAATACTGCATGATGCCCCCAGGACATCTCATCTTTCGACAACCAACAACCAACAGTCAACAGTCAATCCACAACAAGCACTACTACCTCTTCAAACCCTTTACTCACACTTCAATCCAAATCCTCCAAAATGGCCTTCTCTCAGTCTAGCCGCAACATCCGCGTCGAGAACCACACCCTCTACGCCGATTGCCTCGAGGAGGACAACGTCACCTGGCACCAATCCAACATGGACCTGGATGCGGTCCTCGGCAACATCAACGGTTCATTCCAGTGGGGAAAGAAAGCGTTCAGCCAGTCTGCTGAGAACATTGGGCTTGAGGATACCTCCTACCTCACGGCCAAGCTTGCCAACCAGGTCGGAACCTATGGCCCTCCTCAGAAGGTCAACCTTGATGAACACATTGCCAACATCAACGGTGTTCTCAAGCCTTACCAGTTGTAAACTGATGGCTATTCCATGGTACGTCGACTTGGTCTCCGTTCCATCCTGAATGTGCTCAAGTCTAATGCTACAATAAGTCGGCGCTCGGTCAATGTCCAGAGCACAAGCCCTTAAGATTGTTAAATGCAACGGCAGATATCGCGAGAGGAGGACTTTGGGGTTAGAGGTCGACGAGAGATTCGATATCTTGATGCAACTTGCCAATGACCTCCACCGGCACTTGGGATTTTGATTCTCAGTCTTCCGTATCTATCTTTAATTTTGGCTTACTTAGGTGGCCTGAGGCTTGGGTGGTTGTTTTACGACTCCATCCAGGCTCCTTGCCCTCTTGAATTCACAGATCTGCCGCTGAACTACAACTCCCAATGTGATTTTGATACTTAATATGCTTGCGAATGATTTGAACATTGGCTGACGATGTTCGCAACTGCAACTGCAACGGCCATATATATAGACGCCATCATTGCGACTCCCCAATACAATATCCTGCTCTCGCCATCTGACTCTAGATTACGTCGCGCAATATGAGGCTAGATCTACACTTCGACAGGTCTATCCGACGGAACCACATTTCTCCGTCGCAAGTCGCCAGCCTCGTCATGGTCTTCATCCCACTGAGCGAGTTCAGTTTCCGGCACTCTGACAAGACGGTGCGTCTTCGCTCCTTCATGTCCCACCTCAAGGAGCTCTGTCCTGATTGCATATTTTCCCCATTTAGGGAGCAGATACATCCAAAGAACATAGTATAAGCCGCAGACAATGATGCTAAACCGTGATTAGGTCAATCGGACCGGCGACATTGGAGGTGGAGTAACTCACATGGCGATTCCAACAACGCAGTATGTGGCATACCAGAAACTGACATCACCAGCATACATTCCACCCTTCGGGGGCCACCATGGCATAGCTAGAATAAACACCTGAATAAAAATCCAGAAAACGACGGCAACATGCCACGCTTTGAACTCGGAATACCCCAGGCCGGAGCGAACGCGTCTTCGACGAATGATATAGACTCCAATGGCGAGGGCAAAATTGAACATGGCAGATGGATATGTTGACAAGCTCACCACTATCCAGTTTGGTTAGCACCTGAAGTAGCCTGCACTTTTTGAAAGAGTTGACGTACCGAACGTGAAAGCATCACCGGCGGGTGGCGCAATGATCATGATCAAAGTCAAACAATAATTTAACAAATACGGGCCGATGGGGGTTCCAAAAGGCTTCGTGGACACCCAGATGTCGGTAAAGGGTAGAACGCCTTGCCTATTATTTGAATACCGTTAGCATTAAGAAGACCAAGAAGCATTCGGAAAGTTTCTTACCGTCCAATTTCACGAATCGCTCGAGAGCCGCCAATCAAATACGCCAAAATGTTACCAAATGCGCTCAGTGCGACCAAAAAGTTGAGAACATCCGCGGCTGTATTGCTGTTCTTAAACAGCTTGGCGAAGAAGAGAGACGCTGCAATTTGGCTGGCTTCCGCAAATTCCGCCTTGGGAACAACCGCGAAATAGGCGATATTGCAAAGAAAGTACAGAACAAAGACAATGACAAGTCCAATGCTCGTGTTCCTCTTCAGGGTTGGAATGGGATTCTTGATCTCATTGACGACATTGAATGCGTTGGCGTATCCCGCGTAAGAGAAGACAATGCTGACAAGAGCGCTGGAAAGATCATTTCCGTTTGGGCTTTCGCCTTCAAAAGCATTTCGGAAGTTGGCTTTGGGGTCCGGGATATGGTGAACATTGCCGCCCAATACAACGAGGCCCGCGATACTGATGCTAGAGACATTTGTCAGTACGTGAATGTTACGGGTTGGAACTGATGGCAACGTACAAGACCAGTGTGATGACTTTGATACCTCCGATGACGTTCGACGCCCGCAGTGACCATTTGTTGTTAGAAACAGCGCATATGATAGCCAAGCTGTAGGCAGCAATTGCAACGCCTCTTATCTGCCATTCTGAAGGCGTCTTGTCCGTCATAGCCCAAATGTAGTTCGACAGGACTGGGTGTCGGTCAGCATCTTGTTATTCCAAATCTAAAGAGAGCGATCTCACCAATAGCATTACTACTACCGAAGTTCAGAATAACAGATTGTACGGCAAAGGTGATGGGGAAGAAGTGCTTCGGTCTTGGGTATTGCTGTTCCAAGTAGACCACCTCGGCACCACTTCTGTTTGGAAAGTAGCTTGCGAGCTCGAGGTACACGCCTAAGCCAGCGGCGGCCATGAGAAACCCAATCACCCAATAGATGAGAGCAAGTCCGATGGATCCCGTTCTATTGAGGATGCTTGCGGCTACCCGATTAAGTTAGCACGCCACCTGAGCCCACTGAATCAGAACGACAGATACGTACGCGTGGAGAAGATACCCGTGCCAATCATCATGTTGACGTTGAGGAAGATGACAGTCAACCAGCCAACATTGTATCCGAGAGGAGAAGACGACTCGACAGGCGCTCCGACTGCCTCCTGATAGGACGGTTTCGACCCATTGCCTCCCTTGACGCGGGTGTAGGCAAGATTTCCATCGTGGATCACCTGCGGCTCCGAATCGCTGGAGTCAGGGTCGACTTGTGCAGTGACATCTGACTTTTCATTAGAAAAGACGTGTGAGAACCCCATGGTTTAGTAGTGGCGCATTGGCAAAAGAAGCCAAGCTGATAGATCGAGAGTCTTTGTCTTGCTATGAGCGGATTGAAACCCAATCTAATCGATGATTGCCAATATATATATACATAATCGCAGCCATGCGTACAAACTATCCAGCCAGGGGACTAATTGTGCGTGAAAATGGGGCGGAATGGCATAATCGTGTTGTCCTTGCTCGACTTCCTCGGGGCGTTGGCCGAAGACTGCTACGAAGTAGCCATTCGGAACCTCCGCGGAATCTGGAGTCGGCCCACCTCCACATGTTGGACGAAGTGCCCTTGTAGCTGAGATACGCCACCTGTTCGGCATGCCCACAGCTGGAGCGGGATGCGGTTTGCGGGATGCGACTGTGGGATGCAGGCCACGGGGTGGCCGTGGGGGAGTTCAGCCGGTCTGGCCCAACTGGGAGACCACTGCTACCGAATTTAGTGTGTAACTATATGTCACCCATTGCTATACTTGATAATGACTAAGGCGTTGTGAGGTTATGTATGGGTGCAAGCACGTTATTTTGTGCGGGGGGATATATATAACGACATCAGCACGCTAGATAACGAAATAGTCGTGTCCGGGGGGATAGTGCAACCAACGGTGGGTTCTTTCGCTGCCGCCGCCATCTGATTGGAAACAACTGTTTGATGCTATGTCGGCCTTTCATCCTCGGAACGGCCACTCGGAACCAAGTGGGATGTTTTCGAGGAATGGTGGCCCGTCGATGGTTCAATCACCAGACTATCGGTTTGTGTAGTATTGCGAATCGTCGCTCAAGCATCATAAACGTAATACTTCGGAGAAGCCGTGGCTAATGTTGCGCCTCGGTAGAAGACGCCATTTCGTTGGTCAGGACACTGCCCACCGTGGGAGCGCGACACCTGTGTTGCTGTTGGCACCTACTTAAGAGAAGCTTGTTCGCCACAGTTAGGACCTCAGCGTCAAGAATCTTGGGCAAGGTCGCGTCTTGTAGTATCGTCGGGTCGGCAATGCTCCTCTCCACGAGGGTCTGAGCTGCCTCCGGAAGCTTGAACAGTTGCTTCGGGGATGAACAATGCACGGATGAGTCGTATGGGATGGCCTCTGAATCTCTTTGAATCTCTTGACCGATCGTGGTGCGCACGCCACCTTCTCAGCGACTGGAATTGTTTCCTCGAATGGTTCCTGAGCCTCCTGGATTTCCAATTGGCCCGTTGAAGTCTAGACATGCGTGGATCCGCGGCGCAGTCTCCATTTTGCGGAGGTTCAGTGTGAAATCAATCCAGCCCGATAAAGAAGTACGATTGTATATTTCAGCGGATCTAGACTGAAGTAGTAGACGACGTGTCTGAGATGCGGAACCCCCGCATGGATTAGGGTCCCTGCTGTCGATGACCCTGCAGATGGTGAAGAACCGTGTCCCAATCGGCCTGGAGCTAAGTCCACGTTAGTCCAAAAAGCAACGATTTACCCCACGATATGAGCCTGCCAGAAACTGCATTTCACCTTTGTCGGATTGGTTGGTTGTATGGAGAGGATGCAGCATACCCGGTCGCGGTTGTAGGAGCCAAGATAGTTGCATCAGGAACACCAGATGATCATACTCACCGAATATGCTCTCAATTGGGGTTTTACATCAACGCATGGAACAAAAAAGAGTCTGCTTATTTGTACAAATGTATAGCAATATGGTACCGGGGTGCAGAGGGCAAAGTGTACTGCTTTTTGTGAATCCTCTGTTTCTGGCGCGGACGGCAATTTCTTTTGTAGCTGTCTGACAACCGTTACGCGGCCTTTATTGAACCTTGAATGATTAAAAAAACAACGTTCCCTGGAAGCAAGGTAAGTTGAACAAGTGGAATAATAGTGGATGGCGGTCAGGATTCCGAAGCCCCACATCGACATCGTCAAAGGAGAGGAGAAGGCATTTGAATTCATAATTTGCACAATTCAGTCAGCGACAAATTAGGCTTGGCGCGGGACATGGGCATATCGGACTTGAGATCCGCGTATTGGACGCTTGTCGAATATGCAATCACACGTAATTAGATTGCGGCTAGTCGCGAAGCAGCAATTCGACATTCAATTAATTACGCGAAAAGGGGCGACCAATCTGGACGTCTGGTTGAGGGAGAGTCGGTCCACTCTGCTGCAGATGTCTGTCAGCAATTGATTCTGGGCTGCAGTAGGAGGTAATCCTTCGTCAAGTCGAGAGTTAGGACAAGAGACCTCCCTGAATGAGCTCCCCTGAGACATGCCAGACGCGTGAGGAGGGACGAGAGACAGGAGAGAGCCACGGAAAGGCATGTAATTCCATGCCAGCAGCGTCCTTCTAGCCCAATAAAATGACCTTCTTCTTCATCAAACGCCCTCTGTTCCGGGCTGACGGGCTGAACGCGCGGATACTCGGAGAGTAGTAGTACCCCAGCAACGGCCCCATCCATCCCAACCAAGCATATTTTAGCCTTGACCCCAGGCGAAACAGTCACCTGACGCTGCATAAAGCTATTCAGGTTATCTGGCTGCGATAAGGTAATTAAGGGGTTCAATCCAGCGACGCTAGCATGCCCTCTTCTTAACGCAACTTTTCTCTCGCGATCTGGCCTCAAACTTCGCTCATCGACAACTCCCGTACCTGGGCTGTCCTTCTCCCGCAAATGAGTCCCGTGACAAGTAGCTTCCGTAACAGTGAGGCGTGCGATGGCTTCTCAGATTCAACCGCAAGCAGCGACGAGGCCGACCAGCCCGATGAAGGGAGTTCCACCGCCTTGTTTTCCTCGCTCGGCGGCGCGCGCGATGGCCCCAGATCTCACAGGCATGAGTCTCGGAGCCTAAGCTTTAGTTTTCGAGGCAAGCTTCCATCGTGTGAGGTTGTTTTGTACCCACGGATCCTTGCTAACCGACTGCTGTCCTACAGAAAAGCTCTACAAAGCACTGCGCCTGACGCTGTTCCTCCCGGATCAGCTTCATCGCCGCATATGGCCACGTGTGCATGACATTGAGACCCAGGCTCTCACAGCAGACATGGACCTGGGCGAGAATGACGCCTACCCAGGACGCGTGGACGCGTCCTTTTCCGGCCATATTCGGGCCATGCTCTTTTCTTCCTGGCTCAACTCTCTCCTCGTCTTCGTCCCGATTGGCCTCGTCACGTATTTGATGAAAATGAGCCCGCTCCTAACCTTCACCTCCAACGCCATTGCAATCGTGCCGCTGTCCGCTTTATTGACGGATGCCACTGAACGGATTGCGTCCGATGCCGGTGACACCATCGGAGCCCTTTTGAACATTACCCTCGGCAATCTCGTCGAGTTGATAATCTTGTGAGTGGCGCGAACTGTTTTGCTTTTGATATCTGAAGCTGACCTCCTTGCAGAATGTAAGTTGCAGTCACTGAGCCGCAAAGAATGGCCAAGTCTAATCCGAGCAGTATTGCCCTAGTCAACAACCATATTCGCATTGTCCAAGCTTCCATCCTGGGCTCCATCCTTGTCAACCTACTGTTGATTCTTGGTTCTGCTTTGTTGGCAAGCAATCTCGCCAACTACGAATCCATCCTCGATGAGGCGGAATCTCATTTACTAGCTGGTTTGCTCTTCGTGTCTGTTTTTGTCATCCTGATGCCGGTGAGCCCAACCCCCCTTTTCGTCGTTTGCGCACCGACTGACCCGGACAGACGGCTTTTGACTACACCTTCTATCGCCCGGGAACCACCAATGCTGCAACTCTCAGCATGAGCAGAGTCTCGGCATTGATAGTACTGGTAATTTACATCCTGTACTTTGCTCACGAGATGAGATCCCGCCCGGAAAAGGAAAAATCCACGCCACTCCAGTCGCTAAGTCCCGAAGGTGTCAACATGTCGGGCACCGAAATGTTCCCCATTTTGCGCACCCAGGATTCAGCCTTTCCGCCCCGGACAATTCGATTTTCTGATCGACCAACGGAAACCACCGCCAGGAGTACGACTCGTGAAGTGAACGGGGTCGAAGTGGGTTTGGACCAGCTCGAAGACGCATTCAACGAAAACTCGCGACGCAGAAGTGGGGATATCAGCACTCGGCCTGGATCCGCCCATCAGTACTTCCGCTCGCGCAGGCATTCCCGATCTTTCTCGCACAGCTCTAGCCGTGGGTTTCACAGCCGGGAGTCATCTTTGGGCGGTGGAGGTGGTGGAGGCGGAGTGGCAGCAGCAGGACGCACAACGTTGCAGACGATACTCGACAGTCCTAATCCGCACCAACTGGTTCACGAACTTCCGCGCCCCAGCAACAAAGGGGAAAGGATGGCTTCAGTCAGCGTCCTTATTTTCACCTCCATCGTCATGTCCATGTGTGCCGAGTTCCTCGTCAGCACCATTGACGATGTTACGCACGAGGGTGGGTTGTCAGAATCCGTCATTGGACTGATTATTCTTCCCGTTGTCGGAAACATTGCCGAGTACGTCACAGTGGTTACGGTGGCAGCGAGGAATAAGCTGGATCTCGCAATCGCGGTAGCTGTCGGCTCAGCCATTCAAATCGCTCTTTGTGTGACCCCCTTGACGGTCATTGCAGGATGGATAATACATCGCAACTTGGAATTGACCTTCAATTTCTTCGAGACGATGACCTTGGTGGGCACGGTTCTCTTAGTTATTCTCCTGGTTCTCAACGACAAGAGCAGTAGCGCTAGGACGAGCGGGTTGAAAGGAGCCTTGATGGTCGCCTGTTACGGCATCATCGGGTGAGTACCTCTGACTTCAAACGTGTATGTGACGTGCTAATAAACCTCAGACTCGGCGCCTATCTCTCGCCCCCAACCAAGGAGTGATGTACACCGTCACTCAGCCGAATACCACGACCGCGCAGGAAGAAATCCTGCTTCACGAATTTCTCCAGGTCCGCGACTAGGAGTCGAGCCTTGCAGAGAAACCAGGCAGCCGGCCTCCCATTTTCTTGCAGTAAGGCTTGCTCTAGGCCGCAGCGTGTTGAAGGGAAAATGCATCATGAAGCCGAGACTTGCCCTATCGAGAATAACCTACATTGGTTGATAGGACTTGGCTGGTCTGCCATTTTAGGCGCTTTCTGGACCTCAACTCTTTGTTATAGAATTGGAGGGCACATCTGACAACATTTTTTTTGGATTCGTTGAATAGAATCATCCTTAATTATTCCACCACACGAATATAACGAATCAATCTGCTTCTCTATACCATTGCCCATGTGACTTAATTTGGGACAATAACTTGACTAAAGGGCAGACATCGCAGAATGGGAATAGACGTGTCTCGTTTTGTTGCTTTGGCCTTGGTCTATTTTCAAATCTATCGGAGTATCTATACTTTATCATCAGGAATTACTTTTTTCACCTCGATTAATCCCTCTTGAGACCGATCTTTCCAGTCCTTCTTAATCCCAGTACGCCAATCACCGTACATAATATCATAAAACCAAACATGGTCCAAAAACTGGCTCTATATCCCTCCATGAGTGCAGGAATCTCTTCCATCCCCTTTTGCTCTTTCGTGACCAGGGTAGAAATGACCTGTAGAATGGCAAGACCAAGAGCACTGCCAAACTGTGCAGCAGTGTTAAACACAGCTCCTGCTAGGGCCTGGGTATCCTCTGGGAACACGTCCGTGATGACGATCAATCCGACAGTGAAGAGAGCATCACAACTGACAGGCTGGAGCAACTGGGCAACAAATGCGTTTCCCCAATATGGCCACGACGGCTGAATGACCGCCATGAGGAGGGGAGACACAGCACAGAGAACTGAGGTAACCGTGACAATCCAGATGGCAGGGACTTTGTGTACAAAGAAGCCCATAATCAGATTGACAAGTGCACCCACCAAAGTGCAGGGCAAGATACGGATCGAAGCTTGAATTGCTGGCAGTTCCTGGATTTCTTGAAAACTACAGCTGGTTAGCGATGTATATATGCTTGTTTGCAGGGAACTTACAACAAACTGCAAAACAACTCCATGGAGTTTAGGACGGCAAATGATAGGGCGATTGTGGCACAGATGCTTGAGAAAGTTGCGTTGATCCAAAGCGAGTTGGGGATCAAGGCTGGTTTTCCCTTCTTCACACGATGATGCATCCAGCCAATAAAGCAGAGAAGGGCAATTGGGCTAAGGGACAAGAGGACAATACTGAACGGCTCATTGATCCGGGAAACATCTGCACTCAAGATACTGGATGCCTGTGTTAGTTTCAACGAATGAAATAGAGTGGACACAGTATGAACTTACGCCAGTAGGTAACAAAGAAGAGTCATGAAGGATGATGCAAGGATAGCCCCAACCCAGTCAATCTTCGTCTTGACCTCATGTAGAATGTCTTCGAGTCTTCGGTTCTGGTGGCTCCGGGGAAGAGCCCACACACCAATGACAGCAAGTAACAAGGTCAAACCACCGGAGAGGAACCATCCAGCCCTCCAACCGATGGTATCGACGAAAATCCCACCTAGCACAAGGCCAACAGAGAACCCAAGTGGTTGGCTGAGTCCGAGGCATGAAAAGGCCAAGTTGCGACCTCGTCCTTTGGGCATAATCTGTGTGATGATGGCGACAGAAGAGGCGAGATGAAGTGCAAGGCCCACTCCTTGAAGTGCTCGCATGGCGACTAGCTCGGTACCCTTCCGAGCAGCCCCAGATCCGATCATAAGTGCTCCACTAGTGAAGCATCCTACCAAGTCAACCCAGCGGGGGCCGAGGACGTCGGCGACGGATCCAGCAATAAGCAAGGTGGATGCCGTGGCAAGGCCAGATACAGAGGCGGGCCAGAAAGCCAGGGAAGATGGGAGTTGAAGATCTTCCGTGATGGCAGGCAGTCCAACAATGACAAGTCCATTGATCAGGCTTGAAGTGAAGGTCACACCGGACAATTGGATCGTCACAACCACCTTCTGAAGGCGGGATGATTTAGGAGGCAGTGGATCACACTCTTGGAAATCACTCGAAGAATCGCCCAGCAGTGTTATTGGAAGGCTAGTCTCTGAGAGATGTTCAGTCCCGCCAGGGGAGACCAGGACGGTCTGAGTGAGGGTCGTTGTCATTGTTAAGAAAGCTGGGCCAAAATAAACGTCAAATTTATCAATAAAGAGAAGAATTAGCAAGAACATGAGTTGGAAAATTCTGATCTAATAAGTCCGGGGAAGAATTCGTGTGGGGAGGGTCATTGTTGGGCGTTCTCGTGACAAATCGGAACTCCACTGCCGCCCGATGCTCGGAGGGCAAGACAGGGAAGCCCGCCCGGAGTAAGCACACCAGAAAAAAGCAAAGGGCAACTCGTGATGTTTGGTGGTCTGTTATTGTGTACATGCTTGCGGGTAGACGAGGCTCTTGGTTTACGAGAGTGTTTGGGTGTTGTGCTAGGATGGGGATCATCGGAGCAGCGGCAGTAGAGTGCCATATAAGTTCCCGACTTAGCAATCACTTCCGAAGATCCTTGATACTGCTTGTTGAATCATTTGGGCAACTCTAGCATACAAGAAATGCCATTCGCGGCAGGAATCTCATTGACGTTCGGAGGTACCACGTGGAATTCCACCCTGATGTCTCGTGTTCCTGAAAAGTTGCACAGTGCTAGCAGCTTATGGCTCCACAATCGACCCCGGAGGCTTCTAGACCATGCCCTCGGATTCCGAGATGGAGCCAAGCCCGCTGCTAACCAAACTGGTACCAAAGTGTGGTCCCGTTACGTACACTTTCAATTGATGAAAAGCGGTCTACGGGGAGGGATTTATTGGTCATCGCATGGAATTGAACGGCACTGGGGTGTAGTTAGTTTGAGCCGAGACTGGACGCTCTAGAGAGCACTTGAATGCCAATACGCAGTGATATTCTAACGGATTTGTGGTATTTGGGTAGCCAACAGCGAAGAAATCTAGTGAACAGGAGGAACAGGAGTAGATCCTCGCCCTCGTTATTTACTGCTACCTAATTGCTTCAATCCTCCTCTTAAACATGAAGCTCGTTCTGAAACTTCCGAACTCAATGGATCGTTGACCCTGAGCGCCAACTAAGACTTTCAAGTCGCAACATTGGTCTGATAGACAGGTTCTGCTCCTCCAACGTGAAACTCAGAATCGCCATCGTCTAGCTCCTGTTGGTCCTTGTTAGGTAGGCTATCCGTGTGGCGAATGACACTGTGGCATAACATATGACTGCAGCAATAATCATGTTGGTCGTGAGGGAAGTGTTTCGTACGGACCCTGCCTCGTTCGCAAGTGCTGATCCGAGAGCCTTCCACCAAGAAGGACTGCCGGAGATAAGGGAATGGCACAGATGTAATGACATTAGCAGTGTTTACAATATATGGCTTGGCCTGATCACAAGCACCTAGACCCAGTTCAATGTTAGGTACAAGTCAAACCACAGCTTACACCATACACCCTACTCTTTATAGCAGTCAATATTACTGATGGCCAACACTGCATCGGTTATATTAGACCCCTTGCGATGAACTGAATTTCGATATGGCCTGACGCCGGCATCCAAGAAATAATTGTAATAAAAAACTAATCACGTCCCTTTCAATACAGGTACGTCAATTTCCCCCATCAAAACCCGAAGATAGAGAGCTCTTACTTATCCCGGTTACTATATAAATCGCCATCAGCTATTTCTGTCGAGAAACCCAAATAATGTCCCAGCACCCGAGGGCGAATCTTGACAGTTTCACTCTGAGTTGGAACTTGGCATATTGTTAAGCCTGAAGCCGGATCCTACAGTGCAGTAGTACTGATTATCTTGTGGGATAATAGCTCTGATCAAATAACGTTAAAAGTTATAGGGCTAGGTCCGCTATTACCGCTTGCCGCTACAGGGCAAACCTCGCTGCAGTTCACCTGAAGGAAAAGGAGTCGACAATGCCTCAATGACTTTTATCAGTTGCCAGTAGCACACTAAACTTGGAAGATAAGGCAGGTCCACTGCTGAGGACCCAGGTGCTGTGATGTAATCGCTGCAACCCCGCCTTTACAGCACGCTGTAGCGCCTGGAAACGCCCTCTCGTTGGCTGCTTTATCTGCTCCTTGAACATTGATTTCGTGGCTTTTTTGGTTGCGTATCGCACCGTACCCACTTGTCAAGGCGCTTCCCCGCAACGATCGATAACGAGGAGAGGCAGTGAGGGAATATTCATTGACTCCCAAATATCGAATCCAGGATACAATCACAGAATCCAAATGAATACCATCGTTTGGCTTACGATGCCGGCGGCTCTCGCTGCCCTTACGCTGGGCATCCTGATACAATTGGGCCTGAATCCCCTGTCATGGGGAGTCGTGCCAGATTTGCCTTCTCAAGCCCAGATCATCAACCAGACGGCATTCAATGTCTTGAGCGTAGTCCCACCCCCTGCAGAAGCAAACGCTTTGACGGTAGGCTATGTTATCTCTCTAGTGCATGAGAGAACCTTGCTTACCCCAAGCAGGTGTTTCTTTGGCCCGGCGCCACTCAAGAGTCCCTCACTGCCAAGCCGTTCCACATCTACGACGACGAGTTTTACGATATCATTGGGCCAAACCCGTCGTTGACTTTGATAGCGACGTCTGACACGGATCCCATCTTCCACGAAGCGGTTGTATGGTACGTCAAGCCGTCCTCTAAGTATCTACCTGAGCAAAGATAATGACTCGCACTGCCAGGTATCCCCCAAGCGACGAAGTCTTTTTTGTACAAAACGCTGGCGCTCGGGCGGCAGGAACAGGCCTGGAAAAGTCATCCATCATTCAAAAGATCTCGCTTGCAGAGGCTGAAGCCGTACGAACGTCATCCGATCAGAAGAGTGAGGTGACAGTGACGGTTGTGCCGTCGAATCCACAGGTCATCAACCCGAATGGTACGGCCCTAGCAAGTAGACCAGGTCTTGAGCAGGGTTTGCTAAATTTTCCTAGGGGGAACAAACTACAAAGGCCAACTAGTCTTCGCGGGTGAAGGCCAGGGTGCAAACGTGCCATCTGCGCTTTACTTGATGAATCCGCAGGAGCCTTATAACACCACAGGTAAGATCCCCCCTACGTACACGAACACATTTGGCTATCGAGTCCAAAGCTAACCACAATGTAAAGTCTTATTAAACAACTACTTCGGTAGACAGTTCAACTCGCTGAATGACGTGGCTGTTCACTCCGGCAACGGAGACCTTTACTTCACTGATACTCTCTACGGCTTCCTTCAGGATTTCCGCCCTGCCCCTGGGTTGCGGAACCAAGTCTACCGCTTTAACTTTGACACAGGTGGCGTGACTGTGGTTGCCGACGACTTTACCCTACCAAACGGTGAGCCTTTACTTCGAGATTGATGATGGTTTACTCACAATTAGAAGGCATCGGCTTCTCGCCTGACGGACGTCATGCATACGTTACGGACACAGGCAGCAGCCTTGGGTTCTACGGTCGCAATCATTCTTCCCCAGCCTCTGTGTACGCCAACCCCCCACAACGTTTATTTGCATGGCCCTGATGGATTATAGGTACCGCTTCGACGTGAAGAAAGATGGCACATGGGAGAATCGCAAGACCTTTGCCTACGTTGCCGCTGGCATCCCCGACGGTAAGATGACAAGTCCCTCTGTTTATATATACCCTGATCTCATGCTCTTACAATGCTGATGCCTTTGGCGACAGGCATACATTGCGATTCCAAGGGGAACGTTTATGCCGGCTGCGCGGACGGTGTGCACGTCTGGAACCCGTCTGGAAAGATGATTGGAAAAATCTATACGGCGACCAAGGCGGCAAACTTTCAGTTTGCTGGGAAGCGCCGTATGATTATCACGGGGCAGACGAAGCTGTTCTATGTAACTCTTGGTGCTTCAGGCCCAGCGCTCACTTAGTTTTCGGCTCCATTTGTGCTAGAGAATATTCAATAGCCCCCTCTGGCAGTTACAAAATCCATAGCAATATACAAGACAGGGTTCAGCTGAGATGCTCCTTTTATCCCATATTTGTTGTATGTGCATATGGCACGTCGTAAGATTTATAAGCGCCCGCCAACCCCTCTTTGTTTGCTGACCTCTTCTTCTGTTCCTCACTTCAGCATCAGATGCAAGCAAGCTTGAATCAGATCCAACAATGACACAAACGACAGTTATTGAGCTTCAACACGCTCCAATTGAACTGGGTACCCGGTCAAACTCTAGGCGGTTGAGTAGTAGCTCTTCTCTGGTGGTTCCAACACGGTCCCCACTGGCTCCCATCAGATCACGCGTTTTCGAGGCTGTGCAGCCAGCAAACCTCAGCCCTGCAACAAGACTTCTTATCACAACGCTTCTTGTCTGTGCCAATTTAGTACAGGTAGGACACTTGCCTAGTTATCCAGATGTTTTCTTTTGCTAACGTTGGTACAAGTTTGTCTCGAATTTCGTCACATTTGCAGGTGGACTAGCCTTCAGCAAGGATCTAGGTCATGGAACTGGCCCTGGCCAGTCGAATTGGATGGCAGCAGCCTATCCGTGAGTGTTTTGCTGATTTGGAAATATGATACTTACTGATGGCTTGACAGGTTAACCCAGGGGGCCTTTGTTCTTATTACGGGCCGCCTTGGTGCTGTCTATGGCCACAAACAACTCACTCTAATCGGGTGCACCGTGTTTGCCATCTTTTCGCTTGTGAATGCATTCTGTACTGGTTATGAATCTTTTATCGCGGCCCGCGCCTTGACTGGTATCGGCGGTGGCCTCTTTATGCCTAATGCAGTGTCTGCAATTACAATTACGGTCCCCCCCGGAAAGTCGCGCAATCTTCTTTTGGGATTCTTCGCAGCTTCCCCGCCCATTGGCGGAGTGATTGGCGGTCTGTTGGCCGGAATATTCACTCAATTTGCTGATTGGAAATGGCTCTTTATAGTATTGTAAGTATTCCGCAGGCAGCTCGTGCAATGGCGCTGACAGACTACACTCCAGGGCTATTTCGCAAGGCATGATACTTGCCGGGCTCGCGTACCTGATGCCTAAGGAGATTCCAGTGGATAGGGAAGGGGGAATTGACTACGTCGGTGCCTTTCTGGGCCTCAGTAGCCTGTTACTCTTCAACATCGCATGGAAGTACGTATAAGATGGCACCACCCACGAAATCTTGCATCCCAGCTCACGCGCTTGTAGCCAAGCACCATCTGAGGGCTGGACAACATGGTATCAAATGCTTTGCTTGATAGCCTCCGTCGCACTATTTCTCTCATTTCTCGCTTGGGAAAAGTATTGGGCAAAGGAGCCAATCATGCCACTCTCGATATTCCGGGTTCCGACCTTATCGGCATTATTCTTTGTGGTACTTTTCAGCTACATGGCCATCGGAATATCGCTTTGGTATTTCGTCTCTTGGCAGCAAATCTTACGCCACAGTTCAGTACTCGAAACTGGGATCAACTTTATCCCATTCGGAGTCAGCTCTGTCTTCGCCGTTTACTTTGCCGCTTGGCTTATCCCAAGAGTCGCAGCGCAGTGGATCTTGGCTGTCGGCGTTGCAGTGGTACTTGGTTCCAATCTCTTACTCGCAACAATGCCCATCAAACAAACATATTGGGCGCAAACCTTCCCAGCTATGGTTCTTGGTGGCTTTTGTCCTGATTTCGTTTATGTTGCCGCTCAAATAATTGCCAGCAACAGTGTGACCCGGCAGCAACAAGGCGTGGCAAGCAGCCTCATTGGAACACTTAACCTGTATGGAAATAGTTTGGGCTTAGGATTTGCGGGAACCATTGAGCGAGAACTCATCAAAGATGGGCACGATGATGTACTGGGCTTTCGAGCCGCGCTCTACTTTGGAGCTGCTATTGCAGTGGCGGGCTTGATCCTGGATTTTGCCTTTGTGAGAGTGCCAAAAGATGAGCGAGAGGGCTGGGATGAATCAACCGAGGACACGGCAGATGGGTCAGAAGCATATGCAACTGCAGTGGACACTCGGGGCATTGAATGATTTCTGGAGCGATTTGCATGGCAATTGCGTGTCATCGTCCAGAAGACCATCCGAGAGTCCCGGATTGAAACAGCTTGGAAGCACATGCTGACAGCTTAGATAATAGATTGAAGAAATGACGTAAACCGGCCGAAGTGTAGTAATCGGACGAACACATAATCTGGCCGAGGGTGACATTGAGTTGTCCTGCGCTGTCCACTACTGTGAAGTACACGACCCTGGGAGATTTAGAGCGGGGTTTGCGGGGATGACGGCGTCGGTGTGGGTGGGTCGGAACTCGGTACAGTAACGCAATCATGACTACTCCGTACGTATTGGCGGAGGAAGAATTCCCATTAGTTTTATTCGATCATGGCCCAAATTCGATATATCGATGAAGCAGGTAGGAGCCCTAGAGACGAGGGGTGCTTGTCGTGTCAGTAACTACAATTCTGGCCTCACCATCCTCCCACTCAACCAGACAATCCAACATGACATATACCGACAATTTGGCAATGCGAATGCCTAAGCCGGACAGTCGAAATTCAGATATCGCAGGTACATATACCGAAGCCGGAACAGGCTTACCAATCTCCCACCAGACACCCGGCCTGACAACTCGCACTCGTCGACCGCGACCAAGGCGAACGTGTTTGCGGTGCAGAATGCGCAAAGTACGATGCGATGCGATTCCGAGTGGAACCCCTTGTGGGCCTTGTCGATTAAAATCCAGGGAATGTATCCTGGAATCCACGGTACCCCTGCAAAGGTTGGTCGTCTTCCTGCCTCTCTCACTGAACAGTATGGAGTAACGCATTCACAGGCTCCCTGCACCCACTGCGTTATCTATAACCGACCCGAAAAGACCCGAGATTTTACTAGAGCCTCGTACAAGTGATGTTGCTCCGGAGGCGATAATGTCATCACTGCCGCGCGACATAGCAGCTACAAGGGTCGAGCCACAAGAAGAACCGACCAACACATTCGCCATCCCGACAACCCAGAACGATGAATTACACGAGGCCATGGTGAACTTACTGGGGGACAGGAATGCGATAATGGCAGGGTTAGCGGACTTTCTCAGCGATGGAAGACGTGATACATATCAGGCGGCCGAGAAAGGCCACGCAACAGTCACGGCTATACAAGGTAAGAAACCACCACCGTTCAACCATTCACATTATCAGGTGTCCTGACTTTTATACCTAGGTTCAAAGTCCCCTATAACAAGTTCTTTGCTTGATCCAAAAAATCACCCGCTCCCGAGGCCTTTATTTATGTTCCCTCGTTATCGTCGTATCCAGTATGGCGATATGCGTCGGCTTCGTTCAGAGGATGTTGCCCTCTGGGGCCAGCGAGGTTGCTTATATATGCCGCCACGATATTGAACTATATTTCACAATGGCATTTAATAAAATTAATCCTTTGATACTTTGCTTAAATGAGAGCGCGTTGGGGACGAGATCCCCAAGATTCGGAGACGACTGGAGTGACTACGAAGGCTCCTGCTCCTACCACTGCTTCAGATGCCCATAACACAAGCGCAGCGGCCATTTTTGGAAGTTTCGAATATCTAGATTAATCACAGGGGACAGTGAGACAGGAGGGACCGGTATGGAGAGGGTTGCACTATAGGCTATCACAACACCGCTTTATTAAAAGATCATACTGGTAAGCACCAAGTGGGACAAAGCTGGCGAGGAACAGGCAGCTAAGACCGAGCAGCAACTCACGGATGTCGACAAGTTCTGAGGCTACATAGTAAAGCGAGAAAGCAGCATGCGACGACTACACCAAGCGCATGGAGGAGGGGCGGAAACAGAATGAAGCGGAGGAGACGACACGCGAGAGGTAGAGACATGAGAAGAAGTAAACGGAGCAGTCAAGGGCATATGAGCTAGGAAAGTAGCCCGCCCTGCAGTCGCTCCGCTTGCAAACGAGGGATGCGTCCCTGTTAAACAAGATCTAGTGCAAATCGTATGTAGATTCGCAGCGGCCAGAGTCCGTCTCGGGTCATGGTTAACGGTAAATGTGTCAACACAAGTGAGTGCCAGTGGACTTTGGCGTTCTCCGGAACATCATCTCAGAAGGATCGTGAAGAATCAAGGCTGGTTGGTCGTGTAGGTGCGTATTCATCATCCTCCAGTTTCAGAGGACGTGGCAAGATTCTATATCAATATATCAGTGGTTAGCCTAAGAAGCCGACCTCTGACCCTGTCCCCCTCTCACGCATCATCTTCCCTATCAAGAAGCAATAATGCCTTCTTCTACAGTAACGAGAACCCTAGTCGGCTCAGCTGATCTAGCGAGCCCTGTGGCCATCGAATACACAACGACAAACGAACTTTATACCCTCAAGTGTAATCAATATGACTGCATTTCGAACGGCTTTGAGCCTGCTATGTTGCCTCCGACAGAAGACCTTAATGTTCCTGTCGTGGGCTGTCTCTATCATCTTTCCAGCTCTGGTTTTTTAAGATGCTACCTACATTGACCTGGCGATGACTGTGAGCGAGCTTGATTAGTTAGAGTTGTGTAATTGTTAACATGGTCAAGAAAGAAGAAGAATACGAGGCGTGTAAACATAAAACGATAGAAGGTGAATCCACACGGTGTGATTGTACCTGATGTGACGCCCCCAGCCAGTCCGTTAGCAACGCCGGTTAGGATGCTCGCCGTCTTGCCCTTGAACTTGTCATACGACTCCCGATACCGAGCCGCCTTATTCCGCAGATCGTCGACTATGGCGGCGTGCCCTTCTTGATTCTTCCCTAGGCGCCTGGTTCATCTCGGCTCTCCTTATCTCTACTATTTCCCGCTCTGCTCCCTTCTGTTCGGCCCTCTTCCTTTGTTCAGCCTGCTGTGCGGCATGCTATCTGCCGACGCTATTACAGACGCCAGGTCTTCCTGCAGCCGGCGAAGATCTTCGACACCTTCAATGTTCTGCTGCCGAAGCTCTACTGTCAGATCGTTCCAGAGCTCTTGCATATTTAGGGCGTGATACCCCTGGGTTTCGCAGATGTCGTGACGTATAGACCGACTTGCCAGTGTCTCCTCAAGTGTCTTGCCCTTGTTGACGACCTCCCCTTGGAGCCGCAAGACCACGGGCCTTTCCATCTCGCTCCGCCTGGGCAGACTCGATACTATTCGGCAGGCGGAGCGCGCCTTGTCGATGGCAGTGCCGGTACCGTCCTCTACGTGCCGGACCATAGAAGCACCCTTGGAGATGAGGGTTCCGAAGAAGTGCTCATCGGTGAGGAGCTCCTCCTCGCGACGGGTGAGGTGATTGTGGTCCTGAGGACGACCATTTCCAGGCCACATGGTTTTCATGATGGCGAACCGCGAGTACGACGGGAGATCGCACATAGCCTTGAGCATGTCGATACTGCGGACGCTCGAGCCTGTCATGCGCATATACGTGAGGCGCTGGAGGAAGATGACGCCCAACATGGACGCCAATAGTCAGGACCGAAGATTGATACCACCGATTTTTACATAAAAAGTCTAGCAAGTCATTGGGGAAGGTATCCATTGTGTTTCTGTCCCAGGAACAAAGAGGAATCGTGTGGCGATGTGGGTGTGATAACTTATTGCAAGGTGGACAACATCGCGGCCATGCAGTCGCTAACATCCAGCGTATTAGTCCCTAATCTTTCAGTGCTTGGCGCTTTATTTAAGCGCACAACGCTCTAATTTCTGAGGTGATTGACTCCCAGTCTTGTTATATGTCATCGTCTTTGATCCAGCCTTGGTAAAGCAAGGGTCAGGTCTATCGAGCATAAACTCCTAAGCGGAGAGAATTCCAGGCAAGATAGACGTCATTCTAGGAGTTCAATACCACCGCGCAACATTGGAACTGGCCTTCATCGCCAAAACAAAAGCGAATTAGCGCCCCCACCTCATGATCCCACCCCAACCACCCCACCAGTGCTTAGACTACAACCGATGATCCGAGAGGGGCTTGATCAAACCATTTCCTCCTACTTTATTCATCAACGCCTTGACGGCCTCATCTAGTCTAGCTATGGAGACCCTTCCTCAAGATTTAATCGATCAAATCGTCTCTTACCTGCTGCCTGAGAACTTCAAACCCAAGGGATCATACGATAAGCGTGGCAAGCCTGCCCTGCCTATTGCGCCTCTGGCAGCACTCTCGCGACGCCTGCGTGCCTCGGTGGAGAGATTGACATTCAAGTACATCAAGATCAACAGCGATGAACTTGCTGAATTTGGTCAATTGCTCACGCCTGCGAGGCGTTCATTGCTGGTCGGGTTGACCTTTACCGTCATTCTCCCATCGTACGATGCCGCGGCCGGGTTGCGAGCCGAGTCCCCCGCAGAGAGAGCTGCAAATGATGAAAGCTACACACAGGCCATAAAATCATTGTGTCAAACCCTCAAGAGGTGGGAGACGGAGGATCTAGAAAGCATCGTCTGTCGCATGGCGCTCACCATCAATCATCCGGAGTCACCGAGCGACCGCCCATGGCCATCCGAGGTCGCTCCATGGAGCCCAGGATCCGGCACGGAGGATGAGTGTATTCATGAAGGCCGCTATTTGCATTCATACATTGACCTTATGCATCCGGAAGAGCTACCCGTGCTTAACAGGGTCAAGCACCTGAACATGTTGCGGCCGGAGGCCACTTACGCGCACCGAAACGTCTACCCCAAGGTCCCCATGCTCCTGGCCTCCAAGATGCCGAACCTGGAGAGCGTCAAGTTCGGCATGGACGACGATGAGAAGCGGTTTCCAGACATACGGAAGCGTAATCGGGACGAGGCCGCACACGCCATTCGACAACTGTCGCTGCCGGCGTTGAAAAGTGCCGACTTCCACTTCTTCCTGCGGAGATATCGGAATGAGTCTGTCTCGCCGCCCGTTCTACTTGACCCAGGCATTCCCGACCCACTCAGCTCAGCATTTTGCGAGTTTTCTCACAATCTCGTGAATCTTGATCTCACAGGCGTCTTCGACATCTCCCTGCTCCGCCCTCTCCAGGGATTAAGCGAGACATCTTGGCCAAGGCTCAGATTCCTCGACATCGACTTCCACGCCACCACTCCATCAGGCGGCTGGTACTTCACAAGCCGCGAAGGCTGCCCTGTCCCTTCGTCATACAGCGGAGTGCCTCCCGATCCTCAGTACAACTACTCAAATCTGCACGAAGAACAGTTCAGCTTCCGTCGGGAAGCTGACTACGCATTCCTAACTCCTGTCGAAGTCTTCCGAGCTAGAGTCAAAGACGAGACACTCGTGCCTTTCATCGAGGCATATGCCGACGCACTCTCGGTTATGCCCAAGATCACCTCGGCCGTGTTCAACTGCCAACTCGAGGACAGGTCCTTTGACGACGGGGAGCCCGGGTGGTTCAGCATCGCCTTCTTTGCGCCTTGTGTCAACGCGAAGAAGAACGGCCCGAAGCAGGTATGCACTAACTGCAACCGCACCGCGACGCGCCAGCTGGTGACCTCATTGCTGGGATGGGTACCCGGCGAAGAGTTGGCCGCCAAGTTGCGAGGCATCAAGGATGCATATTCCAAGGCTCCTATGGTCGAAATGGATATCGTCGAGTACATAGAAGAGAACCAGGAGGCTATAGGTTAGTCCTTGTTGCGCATTTTATTGTAGGGTTCCCGAAATCCCAGCATGCTGGTTTGGGTGACAGCACTTGGCTATGCACGAGTGATAACTCTTTAACATTTGATGGTGGCGACAGCATTTCTACCAAATACTACACATCAGAGTCATATTAAATGTAGTGAGATATTTGTTGCGTTTTATCCTATTACACATGCCAAGTGACCAAGACCTCACGTCTGGAGCCAAAACGTCACACTGACCCCGAGAACGGGAGTAGACGTCCCAAGATGGTCTCGAATTTCAACGGTTGATACTAATATAGCCAAAGATTTCTCTCAATCCATAGACCAAAACATTATTTCCCAACAAGCTGCGGCGGGGGACGGACATTCTCAGGAAAGGTGGCCTCCCACGCTGACATGACCTGGAAGATCTTTCCTTCCTCATCTGGTGGCGCTATAACATGTAGAGAGAATGGTCTTCCATTGAAGAAAGCATGGCCTAGTGGGAGATTTCCCACTGGGAAGCCTGCAGCAGCTCCTACACTTGCCGTGCGAGAGTCGCACGGCCCAAGAATAACATCCACTTCGTACCCGTTCATCATCGCCAGGAGCGTACTGACTGCCGCTCCACGGAGAGCTCTAAAGTTGGTCTGGTACTTCTCTTCTGTGATTTTGGTGTCTCTAGCACCTTCGAGGCCCTTTTGGTTGTTGTTTCCTGGATGCGTATCAGTAGAATCCGAGACCAAGCAAAGCCTTGACTAACGCTTAGTAAATTCAATATCGGCGTGCTGCTCATTGAACTGGATGAGTCCTTCAAGCGTCTGAGGTATTCCATCGAACATCTGCAGAAAACCAGGAAACCGGCGATTCAGTTGATATGCTTGTACCATTAGTTCGTGCTTGATCAATGCGGTGCTGAATGTTACTCACGGAATAGGTCTTCCATCTCCACCAAGTCTGGCATTGCGCCAGTGATGTCTTCCCATGATGCCAAGGGAATTGATTTGACGACTTTACCTCCGAGCTGTTGAATTTTCTCTTGAGCAGTGAACAAAGCCGCGTCAGTCTGCTCAAAGAAGCCATCCACTGGTTCGATGGCGGTTGGGTAACTTCTCCACAATTTGGGGTCCACGAAGCCCACGCTGAGTCCCTCCCAAGACTTACGGAGCGGGAGGTAGTGATCGGGATCGCGAAGCTGTATAACAGCAGAGAGTGTAGCGACATCAGCTGTTGTCCGTGCATAGGGTCCCTGGCAGTCCTGTCCGGGGCAACCCGGCATGAAGCCAGTGTTATCGACGCTGTCCGGGGTAAGCTTGATGGCGTATAGCCCGGCTCTAGCCGCCGGCATGACGATGGAACCATCGAGCTCCGTGCCTAGTGATACAGGTGCAAAACCTGCGGCCACACCAGCAGCGCTGCCAGATGACGAGCCGGCAGGGCCCTGTCTGAGTATAAGTGAGATGCCGAAACCGGAGATGAATACTAACAGAGTTTGTGAGGAACGGGCCGTCTTCCTCTACCCCACCTTCAACGTAGGGATTTTGCGTCTACTCAATCAGTTGTCAAACTTAAAGCTGTCTGTGCGATAGGTAGGACTCGTACCTGTCCCCCCACCGCAGACCAGCCAGCCATCAAACCATCTCCTTTTGTGTTTCCCAGCTCCTACAATAACTGTGAGCATTCTGTACGAGCGTTAAAGGTTGGCAATGCGTACACTAAGATTTGCTTTAGCGATAATGATGAGCCCAGCATCATTCAGCGTCTTGATGATGGGGGCGTCTTCTTTAGCTCTGCCCTGCGCAAACGCAAATGACCCGCAAGTGGTGGGCATGTCCACTGTAGTGCATATATCCTGTCCGACTGTCAGCTTTTGAACCAAGTCTGCAAAACTGGCAAATGACCTTGATGATGATGGGCACACCGTGGAACGGCCCCCTCGTCTTCCCCTGCAGCCGTTCCAGATCAAGTTGTCGCGCACGTTCGGAGAGAATTTCTCGGTTGGCTACTGAGATGATGGCGTGGAGCTTTATACCGGCGTGATTATGCTTCTCGATTTGGGCGAGGTACAAGTCCACGATCTTGGCGCTCGTCGTGGCTCCGTCTGTGAGGAGGCTTTGAAGCTCGGCCGCGGTTAACGCCAGGAGATCCACTACCGATTGATTAGCTGATGTGTGCAATATGGATAGACTCTACTTACCGTGGAATGCCATCATGATGACTACTTGTGAGCGCTAGAGGTATCAACGGTGGTACTAAGGTGACGTGCGAAGAGGATAATGCTGCCGGATGTGCAGGTCGGTCAATCAAGGTGGTGAGGCCGGTGAGGTGTGTCGGATATCATGATCCCCGCACCATAAGGTTGCCGCGGAGAAAGAGACGGCCCGTGGCGCGTCCATTATAGTACCAAAACCTCGTTACTTTGCCTTTGTGCCATGTTGTCTTCAATGGACCCGGATAGCACACCCCAAGACAAGCTAATGGCTCGGGTTGTCCAGAGAGCAACAACCGACCCGGCCAGCCTGGTTAGGACGATCATAGTCCGCGACTCTGAGCTGCGCAAGCTCCCTCCATCCATATAACTTGCCAGTAGGCCATCGGTATAACGAAAAGGTCGGCTGGAATTCGTATCGAAATGTTATCGCTTGGCAAGACCTCGATCCGAACGAAGGGGTGATAGGGGGTCGCGGCTAATCTACTGATTTACTTCTGCAATGTGTCAGATAGAACGGCGTACGCGTTTTTAGACGTCGGCTTACTTTGTCACCAAACTCTTGATGGGTTGTCTTGTTGTAAGATTCACTTCCTCTTCTCCGTTGTGCTGTAACAAAACAGCAGCGACCTCCATCCCCAGATAAGGAGGTAAGAGGGGGCTGGGTATAGACACTTCCCCCAGGCCCAAGGCCGGCACGCTTCCCACGAAGCAATGCTGGGCACTGAGCCCAATGGCTTTGAAGACGGTCGACGTGCGATGGATTCCAACGTCAATGGCGATTCCGATTTTACCGGCAGCCGTAGGTGAGCACTCAAGCAAAGCGCCGAGCATGACCGGGACGCCGCCGAGTTGTCGCCCACCGTGGTTTCAGATTAGCAGGTGTGCTTGATGGCAAGAAGAACATCCTCCGCCGTTACTATTCCAAAGTCAATTGTGTGCGAGATTTGCAGGACCGGACAAAACCTACCCCCTTTCAACCATGGCTCCATCCATGTCTATCTCGGAGCCACCGAACTACCCTCTCTCACCGCACATTTCTGTCTGAATGATGTCAAATTATGTCAAATACGGGTGCCTAGCTAATAAGCTTACCATGATCATTTCCGCTTTCCACCTTCGGACCAGGGCTATCATCGGGTCTAGGCTCCAGGATTGGGAACCCAAACTCAGCTGGGTATGAGAAGTTGTTGCGTGACTCGCGCAAACGACTCCCCGGGACTGGCAAAATCCACTGTTACGAAGAGTGCTTTGTAACCAGCGGCTGGCTCAAGTTGATTTGTTTCTGAAGGTCGTTTACGGCCTTGTCGGGTGGGATCCGGAACTTCGGCACACGGAATGATTCTCTTGGCAACGGTTCGTTTGAGGAGAGGCCAGGATGATGTACAGATTATTGCTTTCATTGACCGAGACTTCCTCTAGTAGTGTCATCAACCACGAGTACAACCACACTAAGGTTTCTTTTTTGCTGCTGCTCGTAATATGCCAATCTCTCGATCCATCGGGGTGAGCGAATTTCTGCGCAGCAGTTGGGCCAATACAAGTGGGACGTGGTCTGAATCAGTCAGTCGGCCCACCGATTCGAAGGGGTAAGCAAGCACCTTGTACGTACTTTGAGTCTGAGGATTGCGACTGAAGGGTCAATTCAATCCACATCCTGCACAATTGATGACCTGAGTGTGAATCCAGCAAAGGCTGTCTCGTTATCTTGAAGTGTGATCATATTACTTGATCCATCCTTGCTGCGTTCTGTATCCCATCATTAGCAACATTCTATTCCCATTCCCTGGCTTGGTGGATTACTAGCCCCAACTGTACTCGGTAGCCTTTTGCCTCCCTTAAGGTTCAAATCAGCGGTCCAAGGACCTTAGCCGCTACGGAATGGTGATTTCGCCTGAATATGAGCTGTACTCAGATATGATTCAGAGTAGGATATCAGATGTGAGCCCCCCACATATATCACCCTCGAGAAATCCAAGTGTCCCATTATCTCATCTGGCTCAACAGTCAACATGTGTTTGGGCAAGTCAAGCCGAGCACCGACAAGAATTGGAGAAACTGACACATCAACGCGAGCTGTCCCCTGAGCTGAGCTAGTTGCAGCTGTGATAGCCCACCCGTTTTGACAACCCCACTCAATATTTAATCCATCCATTAGGAACACGTTGCAATCTCCCTTCCATCCGATGCTGTCACCGATGTGGATAGACATAGAAATCATCATCCACTGAAGTGACCAGCGCAGTGAACTTGTAGGAAGCCAAGGTGGCGAAGGAGGTTAACACGATGGATGGAAGCTGAACCTGTATAATCCTTCACTCGGTGAGATAGATATCGCGCATCAAAAGCGGCTGCCTGGACCCATCTAAGTTTAACTTTGGAGCCGCCCATTATCAAACTTTGTCAATGGATGCTGGATATTTAGCGTCGGAATGTTATATAAAACTCCCGATTGAAAGATCATAGGCTTCATTTCTCCCGTTCGTATTCAAAATCGGTGTAGGAAAACGCCCAACCGAGGTATGAGCTCAGCCAGCTACGATGATCCACACCAAAGAGGAAATGGCCGCACATAGCCACCACCGTCCGTCTGTTGGGAGCCGGCAAACAGGCCAGGATCCCGACCATCCGCATCGGGAAGTGGCCGACCAAATTACTGGTAGATAGGAGCAGCTTCTCCACCGTGGGGAATCATCAAATTGACCCGCATATGTGCGAAAAAGAATCTGCCGGCTCGTATTATGCTCGCTTGTGCTGCAGCAAATGCGCTAGAATGCTCATCAAACCGATGGAACTATTGATGTCAGGCAGCTGTTTAAGCAACGCCCGGAACTGTCGTCACTTGTAGCTACAGCACACAGCCTCCTACCTGCGATCAGCTGCTCTAGCTCAGCGATTGTCACTCTGAAGGATCGTAAGATGGATGTTCAGCGGGGCTCATGAGGCTGACTACGGAAAATCTCACAATTAGCCACCGCCGTCGGAATGAGGAGACGCGGAGGGGGGGGAGAAAGATGCATGTGTTATCCAAGTGACCGTTTGAGCTTTGTCAGAGAAAAGCAGCATCGAACAGCAGGCATCCATCAATGACCTTCTGACCGCCTCTCGTTCGATCTGGAAACGGCAACATAAATTCTCCCGTGCATTAATGGGTTAGGCTCCAATATAAATCCGATGCGCTTGGCCTCAAACGGGGCCAGGCAACCAGGAATTCCAACCACCCATCGCGTGCTACCAATCGTATCACTACGACGCCTCCAGACAGGGGATAACTTTAAGAATTTAGCGGTTTGAGTATCTCGGGCCAACGCTCAATCCCTCGACCACTCAGCCCTGCTGTTACTGATGCCGGGGCGGTAGGATGTGCATCCCTGCTCATCCCTTACTCATTGTCGTATCAGAGGCTGTGATCCCAATCTCCAACGAAACGCCCCCAAAAAACTTGTCTGGTAGACGCATTACAGACATGTCTACTACGTGTTAAAATGGCTCAAAAATGTAGCGGAATCATGCCCATTGCGACGCGTTCACAGAGGCCAAGGTACTGGCCTCGGCCGGTTACCCGTTGTGGATACGAAAATGATGGTACATGGGGGTGCCAACACATGGGCAGATCGCTATGTGACAGAGCCCACAGCCCATCTTTGATGAGTACGCATTATACACATGAAACCCACATTCCGGGGCTGAGCTGCACCTACAGGGACTAAAAAGCTTAGCCTTGGAAGGGCGGTTAAAACGGGTTGGCTGTGCACTATTGATGTACACTCCCTCCTTCGATGGGTCTTTGACAGCTCACCCTGATCAGGCTGCCGTTTTTCTCTCCTGCAATGATTTGAATTCTCCGTTCCACCGCGGCATTTGTTAAGAAGTTGACAAGAAGCTTGAGGTCTATTTCAAAAGCCGCGAACTTGTCTCTTGTTGAGCCAAAATGTCTTGGACTTATCAGCTCCTGGGCCAACCTGCCTCCGTTGATGACAACCTGGAGATGCAGAAAGGCAAGTCGGCTGGAACTTGGCCAATGCGTACACGTCTGGTAACGAGGCTGCTGCTACGAGCAATCCTCTTCTTGCTGGTAATCGCTGCTGCCATTTACCTCTATGCAACATTCCTCGCAATCGATGTGAGTTTCCGCAATGAATTTGTTTGACCCGATTTCTTTACTGATGCCAACGCGTTACGCAGAGCCCCAAAGCCCGCCTCTTGAAAGCGGCAAGCGGTCCTCTTTCCGAAGTAACATTCTCCGATGGACAAGATCTGGCGAGTGGACAACGGCGATTCGTGGTTGTCATTCCCGCAGACAGCCCAAATCCAAACTTGTGCAAGCTCATTACCAGTGCAATTGCGTTGGGATACCCAAGCCCAGTTGTTGTCAACTGGGAAGAGACGTCCTACAAAGCCGAGGGCGGGTTTTGGGGCCCTTATCTGGGCAAGATTTCCGGCACTTTGGAATACTTGGATCGAGTTACGCTTCCTGACGCTAATACTGGGGACAAGTTGGATGACGACGACTTGGTCCTGATTGTGGACGCCTACGATGTCTGGTTTCAACTGCCTCCGAACATGCTGTTGCATCGATACCACGAGAGTAACAAAAGGGCAAACGCTCGACTTGCCGCGCAGTGGGGATCCGCCGGCATGCCTATGAAACAAACGATTGTTGTCTCGGCCCAGAAACGATGTTTTCCTACGAAAAAGGAGGGCTCCAACCTTCATTGCGACGCTCTGCCTGAGAGCGACCTACCAGCCGATGCCTACGGCGCGAAGACCGACACCAATATCAATGACTACCACACTGTCCGACCGCGTTATATGAACAGCGGGAGCTTCATGGGACCGGCCGGAGATATGAAGCGGTACTTCCGACGCGTGAAAGAAAGATTAGAAAAGGGACTGGCAGAAGATTTGCCGTTTCCTGGAGATCAAGGCATCTTTGCGGAGATTTTTGGCGAGCAGGAGGTTTGGCGACAATGGCGACGAGATTTCCATGCCTCTCCTATGGGAGATGTCATGCCCGACAACGAAGGTGCGGCTTTCATGCAAAGGGACGTCGAATTCCATGTTGGGCTCGACTACACCCAAGATCTCTTCTTGCCTACAGTCTACGAGGAAAACGACGGCCGGTTCATTTCGCTCAACAACAAATCAGTCATCGAACAGCACTCGTCCAAATTGGGCATCTCGCCCGTCCATCTCCTCGGTGTTCCGAAGGATTTGGTTAACACCTATAACCCGCTTGCAGACATTCTCCCAGATGCCAATTGGGGGGATATGCCCTTGTATGCGGACTTTTTCACAGCAGCCGTGCCTGTGGTTTTACACCACAACGCATGGAAGGACGGAGTGAAGAAACGGCGGATCTGGTGGTGGGATCAAACTTGGTACTTTCCGCATCTTCGACAATTGCTCGAGTTGCACATGAAGCCGGGCAAGCTAAGACCCTTGGCAAAGCTGCCTGCTCGCAGCGGGTACTTGGAATACTTTGCACCCAGGTCGGATGCACAAATGAGAAAACCTAGGGCGTTCAATCGGGACACGGTCAAGACGGGATTCACTGAGATAGAGCTGAATGCAGTGTGTCGGTACGAAGACGAGACGAAGGACTCGGAGGAACATTGGTACAATGAGGTGTTCAGGGATAACAAAGGCCCAATGTAGATATAAATACCCAAAAGAATCAGCGAGCTTTCCTAATAGTTGAACATTTTTGTTTTACATCCTTTAGGCTTGCACCTAAGCTGGCGGAAAGGAGTTGCTCTTTTGTGCTGAGTGCTCGTCCATAAGAGCGATGATGTATCATGTGAGTCTGTCCCCGTCCTCTGCCACCCGATGTCCATCACATATCACCAGCTCTCCGCATCCCCGAGCCTATCCTTGGCGGTGAATACCTCTTTTGTAATGGTGGTCTTATTTGTATTATGTGGGGAACACGTTCTTGGCCTGTCCATCTTGGCTGCACTTCAATATTGCCAAGATGAGCTGTGAGGCCTCCTTGACCCATGACGATGTACAGCACCTTTAAGTCAACATTTAGCCGTCAAAGATAAAGTTGGGACTCTCCGCATTGAAATCACTGCCACTCTTGGCGGCCAGGGGACGAAAGAAGCGGGCAGAGGCAAATAACTCCAGTCCAATCGGATCCGTCAACTCCAACTCCGCCAGCGCCTCTCGGCAGATGCCATTTTCGGAGAAGCCTAATGATTCCAGCTGACCTTGCTCTCTTGAAGGTCACCTCCTTTTAAGGTGAGCAATAATCGTGTACTGGAGGCGAATATCCTTTACAACTTTGTCACGGACTATGGCTACAATACGTACACGACCTCCCTGTATTGGCTTTAAATTCGTGGCATTTTCAAGTGCGCGACTACCTGGCTCGATAGCGCCGCAATCCGCAGTCACTGGGGCGAGAGCAGCCTCCTTGGCCGGTAATGGAAGAAATGGCATCGATTGCTTGGAAGCTGGGTGTCAAGACGCCAATCTTGGATAAAACGTACGGGATGTTGCGGTTAGTCTAGGCGGGACAACTAGGATGGTCATGACTTAACTATTCTCGTACTTTTTTGTCTACTTATTTAATTATGACAATGAAGCAATCGCTTCAATTTCCATCTCAGCCCCGAGGGGCAATTCCGCAACGCACACACACGTTCGTGCCTGGCATCACCGTTTAGCAACTCGTCAGTTCAAGAGACAAAATTTCGGGCACTCACGGGCTTGGGATCTTCTGTAAAGAACTTGGCGTAAGCCTCGTTGAGCTTGGGGTAATGGTCCATGCTTGAGAGGAAGATGGTGATCTTCACAGCCTTGTTAAGGCTAGTACCAGCGGCCTCGAGCACTGCGCCAAGGTTGCTAAGAGCTTGAGTCTGCATGTGCCGAATTAGTCCTGCGGAGCTGTGCTCAATGGCAATGGCTTTACATACCGCACGCGCAGCTGCGTCACCCTCCACAAACTTGCCGGTGGTAGGGTCAAGGCCTAGAGCACCCGAACAGTAGACCATACCATTGCAGATGATGGCCTGGGACATCAGCGGGCTAGGTGCCGGGGCATTGGGGCTGAGGGCAGCGGTTCGAGTAGACATGGTGATTGATGTAAGAGAGGTGGGCGAAGGAGTTGACGAAAATGCGGTGCACAAAAAAAGTACTGAGTTTAGTATTAAGGTCACTTGATCGGCGTCGTTTCTCGATGCTGAATTTATAATTGTATAACGATGGCGATGGCTAAATGGAAGCCATTCTATGCCGAGATAATCCAACGCCATCAATACATAAATGTCGCATCCGCTCTGGGTTGAGAAGTTACAGGCGACCCGCGAGAGCTAGCGGCCCTAAATTGGCAGGCTACAGCGAAAGCCAGAGCTCATGGCCTCGCTTTCGAGTGCTAATCAGGCGTCGCCCCGCTCTCGGATCCGGTGATAACTCGATGGCTGTGGCCGTTGATTGCTTCACCCAAGGGACGGGCATTGATAGACTTGCTCAGATAAAGCCGCTGCTAACCTGCGTTCACAAACGGAAGTTGGCAGCGATATATGTGCAATCATCCTCAGTGCAATCATCCTCAGTGCAATCATCCTCAGTGCAACCAGCACAATGACCGCTACAAACCGTCCCTTCCACCTGTCCGACTCGTGTCTGCCTCACTAGAAGTGCTATGTCGATACACAGTGGATTGACGCCAATCTGGAAAGCTATTCAATATTGTTCACCCCAGTACTGGCCAGACGCGGGCTTTCTGTCCCGACAACGGTCCGAAATTTAGACGCGGCAATTCAATCCTCGCACCACATACTCCAAGCAACCGCTCGGCGTTGCAGTTGCTCTGGTACCATGGAATTTTCCCGTCGCCATGATTCTGCGAGAAGTCAGACCTACGTTTGCCGCGGGCTGCACCATGATGCTGAAGCCGTCCTCCGAAGGTGGGTTTGGTTGGCCATGTTCCGTCATGCTAGAGTGCGGAATAGCTAGCAGCCCGAACTGGCCCGCGAGTCCGAGGTTGCCTGGACTCGTTAGTAAAGAGTGGCACACAAATAGAGAACAAGTGTATTGATGAAGCACATCACATTGTTTGGGCTTTCGTTTAGCAGACAACGAATGGATATCGGGACGCTTCTGACGTGTCTTGCCCTTGCACTGGCTTCGCGGGCTGGATTTCCTCCAGGCGTCTTCAACGTCTTGACAACTTCCTTGGCCAACACACAAAGTCCGTCAGAAGCCATGCGCCTTTCCTCACTTATCCAGAAAGTCACTTTCACTGGAAGCACGGGTGTTGGGAAGATTATGGCCGGACTTTGCGTAAAGGACTTGAAGAAGTGCGTACTCTCGAGCTGGGCGGCAATTGCCCATTTATCAGTTTCGATGAGGCAGATCTAGACCAGGCCTCAGAGTAATTATCTCACTCGAGTGAAGACATGCTGGGCATCATGTGTCAAAGCTAATCGACTCTATGTTCTATCCGGTGTCTACGATATTTGCCTCGATACTAGTGGAAAAACAAGGATTCTTGTTGTTGGAGATAGCGCAAAGGAGGACACGACAATGGGCCCGTCGTCCACACCGATGGGGTCTAACAGGCGGCCATCGTAAATCTTTTTCACCAGAGCATCAGCATGTAGCAGCCTGTCAACACCAATAACCTCATCGATTTCTTCTCGCGCCTTCTTAAGAACCACCGGGGAAAGCGTCATAGCTAGGACAAGACCGGTGACGGACGACACCGTGGTATCGGCGCCTCCAGCGTGCATGGCCGCGGCCGCGTTGTTCATGGTGCAGCCACGGCCGTTCAATAGCAATGATTTACGAACAAGAGAACTACTGACTACTCAAGTATCCTCTCCACTCGTCTTGCCTCCCCGACTACACTCCCAAGGTCTGTCCGGGGCGCAATGTAAGGATGCACCGTTTTTCGGATCATCGTTCGCTGTTCAAAAGCATAACCCAACCCAATGAGTTTCGCGTCAGTGAACCTTGCCCCCAAGAAGCTGAAGCCGAATCTGGATTTTGTTAGAGTCAATTCATGGCCAAGCCCACAGCCACAGTAACTTACGGGATATTGGGAGCCGCCGACACTAATCCATCGGCGTCGGATACGATGGGCTGGCCAGGCGGCATGGCTCCGATGGGAACGGACACAATAGGCGCACCGGCAACCGCAGCCCAGTCCCACGAGAAATGAGATGGTAGAACAATAGCATCGAGGTTATACCGCTTGATTGCTCCCAATAAACCACCTTCGTCACCGTAGTATAGGCCTTGCTGGTAAGCACGCCAGAAACCATATTCCGTGTTGTTCCAGTTTTGTAACGCTGCGTCCCAGAGTTCGGTGGGTTTGTCCGGATATCCCTCCAGCGGGCTTTATTGAGTCCACCGGCGCAAGTCGTGATATGGTGTGGGTTGTAGACCAACTGTTTCAGATACTTCTCCATGTTGACGACGAAATCGCCCCCCATGATTTGGGCGCTCAACAAACTGTTGTTGATGAACTCTTTTGCCGCCGGGAAGTTGGTGTTTTCGATGACCAGAGCGCCAGCTGAGCGTAGAACATGCAAGGATTTATCAAAAGCCTTAATCATTGCCTCGTTACTTGCCATGAGTGAAAGAACATTGCGAGGCACACCCAATCGAGCACCGGCAAGAGCGGTAAGTTTGCAAGCGCCAACTAAATCTAGATCGGCATGAGACGGGATGGCAGAATTATAGTTATTGAAGGGATCAACGCCCGCGATGCTTGCTAATAGGGATTACGAGATGACGTGAAGTCAGTCCTACAGTTATAGAATGTTAGTGAAAGATGCATTTCATGGCCAGAATTGCACATACTTGGCTCCATGATATTGTTGTAACTGGCGGGATCTATGATGGAACCAGCAGTTTCACCACCCAAGCAGAGTGCTGCTAATCCCAGCCTTGGAAAGTTAGTTCTTACTCAATACCAGATCAGATAGGTTCACCTAGGTACGCAGCTACCACCACTGCCGCTGGAACTACCCGAGGGATCTTGGTGAGGGTAGAAGGGACCGCAGGTTTGTCCACCATAGGCTGACCAGCCGTTACTGGAATTGAGCGATATCCTGAAGTTTCCCCATTCGGAAGGATTCGTTTCCCCAAAATAATGGCCCCTGCTTCCCGAAGCTTCTTTGCGACGGTTGAATCTGTAGATACCTTGGCGCCAACGAGTGCGTAAGATCAAGCTGTGTTATTCATGCTATCGTTTGTAGCGATCTAGTTCAAGATTTTGTGTTAACTCAAACGGAGCCGAGAATCTAGAAAGAAAAGATCCAGGCAGATAGGGAGACAGGGGGAACACGGAGAAGGAAAATCAAAATGAATTCGGCTCAAGAAATCCAACCTGCTGAGAGTCTAGCTTGTGTACGATGGGAAGGACACGCTTTTTGAAGACGGGAAATATGTTGGAACCAATATAGGAATCATACCGTGTCTTTGATCAGGATAGGAATTCCATGTAGAGCACTGACATATCAGCAAGAGTGCGGGTATTTATTCTGATGTACTTACCCCCGAACTGCACCGCTTGACCGCTCGTGTCGAGGGCAGAGGCAATGGACAACGCATCGGGGTTGATTTCGGTGACAGCACTCAGGTCATGGTTGACTCCGTGGATTCGGGCATTATAGGTGTGCTGGATGGTGAGTTTCGTGGCCTAATCAAAAAGAGACCAAAGTGACTTGCCCTGATCAAATCGACACTGGTGAACTCTCCGCATGCGAGCCCCTTTGCAAGCGTATCAATATCGGCGTCATACAAACTCGGAAGCGGTCCATCTTCAATCACGTTCGTCATCAAGTGCTCGCTTGGCTGGAAGTACTTGCACGCTCCGCACTTCTGGTTGGGGTACAAACACGAGTTGGCACCGCCTATGACCAAAGCGACGAACAGGATTCCAACCATGACGTTTCTCCAACAAGCAAGCCAGTTCCCGGAACGGGTTTGGTCTTGAGGAGTGGAACTGCTGGTTATAGGTTCGTAACAAGGATCGGATAATTTGCGTTGACGCAGGTCCTGGAAACGACTTAGGAAATGGGCAACTGGAGGGGAAGTTGGCATCGCACTCTCTGCCAGCCTGATGAGTACCTGGTAGTCATCGGCCTGGGATCTTCGGCAAAGGATTTCATGCCCTGGTGATTGGAACAATCGGAATATAAGGCGAGCCTCTGTTCCCATCTGATAACGTAGCCAGGTTCCAAACGCTTTCAAACCCAAACTTAGAGCTTTATTTTCTTTTAATATTTCCCAGTCGGATCAGAGCATCTTCCTCAGTTCTATTGACACATGGCTACCCGTAATATTCTCTTTATCAGTTCTGTCCCGATTGCCCTTTTTGCTTCTTGAGCTATACTGACCTTTCGGCGAGGTGCGAATAGAGGCCTCGGGCTGGGGCTGCTGAAGGTCTTCAAGGAAAGCGGATACAATGTCTTCGGCATCGTTCGACCACAATCGAGATCTGATTCCTCTTTTAAAGATATAAGCTAAGTTTTGACCTACATTCCCAAGCAAGACATTCAGAAATTATAATTCTTCTCATTGGCATCATCAGCTTGAAGCTACTGGGGCTACCATCATGACCTTGACTACCCAGACGAGGAAATCATCGCTGCCGCCGCCCAAAGCTATGGCAATGATCGAGCTCTCGATGTTCTGGTAAACTGTGGCGGCGTCGAGATATACCCTGAGAAGTAGTTGGACACTACCGCCGAATCGCTGATTTACCAGTACCGTATCATAACGGTAGTATATATACTCTGCCATCAGCTCACATACTCCCATAAGTTCACACCACCGTTTATAGGGACTATTACTCGCCAGCAAATCCCTCCTCCCAAGCCTTAAAAAGAGCAAGTTTGTTAAAATCGTCAACATTACCTTGGAGTGGATATCCATTGCAGGTAAGCAAGCAAGCACAGTCTCTCTAATTTCAGGATTCAATGGAAGGACTGATCAAAAACAAAGCCAACAATTGCAGAACACACATCAGCTACCGCGTACCCAAATCGGTACTCAATGCGCTCAGAATCTCGGTTGCCATTGAGCTCAGGGCGGCGGAGGAGAACATTGCTGTGCTTTGTGTCAACCCTGGCGAGGTTCCAACCAAACTCAGCCGATGGGCCGGAGATATTGATCTAAACGACTCTGTGCGCAGCATGTATGAGCAGATCGAGAAGGCCACCATCGAGAACACCGGTCTGTTTGTGAACTGGAGGGGCCACAAATAGCCTTCTTAATAGTTGCATCCCTGTGCATTGATAACATACAAAAGACGAATGTCTCCTGTGAGACGGATTACCCCCCATAGTGTACGATGATTTATTCTGTCGCCCCATCTTAGTACAAGAGCCGTCAATTCCAAGCAAGCAGGAGTGGCATGATCAACAGCTAAAGCACATAGCCTCACAGTGAATTGATTGCTCTGACATGAAATGCCTAGCTCAGGTGCTTTCCTGCCGAGTTGCAAGCCATACCCAGCTGCCAATCATGATGGCCAGTGGTGAATTGCCATCGAGTCTGACACACGGCCCCAGATTACAGAACCACTATTATGTCACTTGCCAGCTCTCGCAATACATATAGTACGAGCAAAAAGAAACCGACCACCGGCGCGTAATGTGGCCAGACTATCTCGCTCGACCACTCAAGATTCGAAGAATGTAACTGAGCCAATCGCCAATCCTTCAATTCCCGTCCAAAAAGATGGTTCAGTTTCTGTTGCAAACTTTACATTATAATTGAAGGGCAAATCTTGAAGCGTGCCGTCCTTTTCAGCCCGGTCATAGTCTTCTCTTGGGGTCACGATGTAGTTCCAATAGACGTATAGTATCGGATTCTCACCTAGAGGGTGCCCCAAAAGAACAAAATTATCAGCAGTAATGTCAAGGTCCATTTCGATGTCTTTGTCGAATAAGCGAATATCCACCTTGAAATCGGCAAAGTCCGGTATGATGCTGGCGTCTGTTCTGCCGTAGAAATAGCCACAGGTAATAGCACAGGGGCTCCTTGAAGTCAATCTCTCTGGCAACAACCATTTGCAAGCGCGATATGATGCAGCTTCCCATCAAGATGGGGTCGATACCTAGCTCCGGTGTCGAAGAATGTATTCCCTTGCCATACACACGAACGAACAGTGAGTCGAGGAAACCAAGCCTATAGTGCCAGCCCCGGTGGGGACGGCATACTGGCCCAGAACAATATCAGGCAGCGGTATCTTGTCGAAGAGGCTGTGTCAATTATTGCCTGGGCGCCAAGCAGTTGCTCCTTATTCGGTTGTAAAATACAGAATAGTATGCCGCACCAGTAATTCTTAATCCTCCAGAGGCCTGCAGCCCCCAATAAGCTGGCCATAGCATGTCGTGGCCTGACTCGCTTCATATAGCCGTCCGAATCGACCTGCTCCACTTTGCTGGTATACAGGAGACCCGTTTTCTCTTGGATTGGCAAGGCATCTAATTCTAAGCGGAGCAATACTGCTTCTCCTTCCCCGTTGGTTAAGATGCCGACAACTCCATGGCCCCTATGTTTCTCTGTACCCGACAACCGAGAGATTCGAGATGGCCAGCAACGACAGCGGTGGTACGTGATTCCTAGCACGGCAGTTGGGGGTGCTCATGGAGGTCTTTGTAAACTGATCCGTATTTGTCCAGGGAGGGGAAGGGTTCTTGAAAGATGGGGCGCCATTCTTCGAAGGAGGGAGGGGGAGTAATCTGCATGTTGGCTTGAGGCTTTATTGATGATATGATGGTGAGGGACGTTTTGCTGGCACAAAGAGGTGTCGAATCGGTGTCAAGCGCCACTCAATGGGCAGTCTCAATTGCAGATTTGCAGTCAGGATGTTAAAAAATCCTTGCTTGCGTCTCGTCTTGTGGCTCTTCTGAAAAAAGCTTTTTATTTATTTATTTATTTATTTTTAAAAAAAAGGAACATTATTCTATTTAAGATTAGATTAAGATTAGATTAATATTAGATTAATAAATAAATAAATATAAAATTCTTCCAGGCCCGAGGCTTCTCTCACCCTCAGGTTATCAACGCTGTAGTGGAACAAGTCCAGTAGATATCAACACGGCTTTCATGAACCCACTCTACCCCCAATTCGCCGATCGTATCACCAAAGTTCGGCTTCGACTCCATCGTTATCATGCTTTTCGGATTAGAGGCCGTTGAGTCGGCCATTAAAGCCTCGCGGAAGTCGGCATACGTGAACAAGCGTATTAGTCCTAACAAGTAGTAGATCCTGGCCACTGATCGCTGCTATCACGGCATCACCCTTGCAACCATGTCCCTGTCGAGCGTGATGACAGATAGTAAGTGCACTGATACTGGGTCGTTTAATCCGGTGCTAATTATTGACTAAATTTTGACAAACACTTGCCTCATATTGACCCGTCCTTCTGGCAAGCTGATTGAGTTTGGAGAATTCGTCGTTCATCGGGAGACATTTGAGCATGACGGTCACAGGATCGCAGCTTCCATGATTGAGCCGGTCCAAAGCTTTGCAGGGTATGAACCCTGTCCGTTTTGATAGGGATTAAGCTCTATCTAACACACACGCAGAGCCCGCATTCCACTCAAGGGCTACCTGGGAGCAGTCCAGGATCTGTGCCACAAGCACAACATCCTCTTTGTTTGTGACGAGGCCCAGACTGGATTGAGTCGCGCAGGGTTTGACCTAGCGTTTCAGGCAGAGGACGTCAAGCCCGATCTTGTGACACTCGGCAAAGCTGTGGCGGGTGGCATGTATCCCGTGTCGGTCCTCGTGGGCAAATCGCACGTCATGGATGCTACTTCCAAGTAAGAGATTACCGGTACCTACTCCGTGTCTCCTGCGGCCTTTGCCGCTGCGCTAGCCTCGTTGGATGTTTTGGAGGAAGAAAAGATATCGGAGCGCTCCCAACGGCCGGGAGACACTGCCCGAAAAGTAGGCGCGCTTCGGCCCGGCGAGGTGTGGTTATCGGAACCGGTGCGAATAGGCTACGGTTCAGTCCACCACTTGCCATTCCAGAAGATAATTTGGTAAAGGCAATCATGATTATGCAGTGTGCAGAGTATCAAGGATGAGGAGCCGCTGGGCGATTTCCGGGGGGGAGTGATTACGGAGTACTTGGACTAAGATAGTACATCTGACTAGTCATTAAGACAATTACGATACTAGTCATCTTTCAATGTTTAAGCCCGCGCCGTATTCAAATCAATCCAGCCAATAGTAAAAAACGTTTCACCTAAGCTAGGTATTCAACTTTGCCAAGGAATTTGTTGATAGTACAGGGTAGGCTTCGCGACACCTTCCGCATTGTGCATTTCGCACGCGACACATTTCCCTGTTGTCCAAGATCAACAAGAGAAAATCCCCTTCGATACCCGTCCTGGATTCATTTTTGTTATTTTTACATGGATTAGATCGACTATTGCATACTCGAAATTATAATGTCGCATATTGCTTAGATGCAACCAAAGTGATTCGTCGACGTCCCATCTTAAGACATGTTGAACATAACAGAAGCACAGACGCTTATTACTCCATATTCAAATGCTACGTTTCACTGAGTTCATCAGGCCTAATAGATGGCAATGGTTGAGGCACTTATGATCACCACAACGCTGATGAAATGAGGCTGGACACATACCTCGGAAGACAGCCCACGGGTGCCACGTGTGAAGAAACATGAGCCGACGTTGATGAGAAACTCAATTGCCGCGGCGACAACACAAAGTCCCTGTATCCATGGTGGACCTAATCTTCTTGTGTCATGGATTCCCAGAGCCGTGTTACCCGGGCAGGATTCCAGTCAGGATCCACTCCCTTGCGGCGTAGATGTTACGACCTACCGCAATGGTCGCGTGCGTTGGTCGTGAGCAAGGAAGGGCATCGCGACTAGAGCTGCAACAGAGGCGATCACCACCACCGGCGTGATAAGATCTTCTCGGCCTCGCCGTAGAGCCTGCATCCTTCACGTGCGACGCAAAAGGCCTGCGACTAGGCTGGAGAACAGAGCAGCTGGTGGTAGCAGCACTCTCCGGCATGGAACTTCCGACTAGCTTGTCCCGTGGGTCGTGTGGATACAACGTGTAACCCAACGAGGCAAAAAATCGACAGCGGGCAATTCTCAGCCGATGCCAAGTCGGGAGCCCTGCGTCAGCGAGCTCTGGCGATGTCGAACAGGATAACCAACCATCTCAGCCCTCACCGGCACGCACTTGTGCTCGGCCAGTGACCAGGGACTGAATCCATCCGTGTAGCTCCCGGCTCGTGGCCCATTGACGGCTCGCCTCCGAGCTCGCGGCACCCCACAGATACGACCGTGGACTCGTGTGGAGAGCTCAATCGTGGAGCACGCAAATGAGACGCCTGACTGCGCGGTGCTATCACTCGCTGTGACCCAACGGCGCCCTCCATGTGCATGTGCTCCCCGGCAGAGCGTCGCAAGCTCCCCAATATGGACCGAGTATCCTTACATGATGATACTGCCGGGAACACTGGCCACGGATAATTCGCCCTCTTGCTATTCCATATCTGATACCGAAGATATGGCTGCTCTCCGTCGAACCTTAGCTTCCTGACCTATCTGGGCTGTCGGGCCGCCCTCGTGTGACCCGTCGCTAATCCGCTGCTCGCTTTATAACCTGCATCTGACACTGTCGATCATCCTCCCGATATTCTCCCCCAACTTCTCCGTCCAAATTGGTCACCTTTCCTCTGTCTTCGTCACTGTCGCATACGGATCTCTCCAATCCGCAACCATGTTCGGATTCAACAAGGGGGAGGAAAACCCGCCTCGCTCCCATAGCGACGAAGATGACGAGACCTCATCTACACCTGTTTCCGAAGGATCTTGGTTCCAGAATGCCCTGCCCGTCTTTGCTTGCGGTGCTGGTCTTTTCTCAGACGGTTACATCAACAACGTGAGATGATTCACTCCACGTCTTTGCTGTCCCGACTCTGACAGTGCTTCATCTAGGTCATTGGTTCGGTCAGCACCACCCTCGCGGTTCAGTACGGTACCGTCTACACCGGTTCCAATGCCAAGAAATATGTTTCCGACATTGCCTTTGTCGGTACCGTTGTAGGCCAGCTTACCTTTGGCTTTCTCGCCGATAGGTGGTCCCGCACAAACTCATTGTTGATCTCAACCATCATCTTGACCATCTTTACCGCCCTGGCAGCCGGTTCTTATTATCATGGAGACAATGTGGCCATGTTCAACATGCTCACCGCCTGGAGATTCTTTGTCGGAATTGGTATTGGCGGTAAGACTCCCTTGATTCTGTCTCTCTCCATCCTCACGCTAACGTCCCGATAGGAGAGTACCCAGCTGGCAGTGTCGGTTGCGCTGAGACCAGCGGAAAGATGAAGGCGGGAACTCGCCATCGTTGGTTCATCCTCTTCACCAACTCCATGATTGACTTTGGTTTCGTCATTGGTGCCTTCGTTCCTTGTTAGTGACCGTGCCAAATGCTTCGATACCTTCTTCTCTAATTATTTAATCTAGATGTGGTTGCGGCTGCAACTCACAATGGCCACTACAGCACCATTTGGAGAACCAGTCTGGGTATCGGCGTCATCTTCCCCTTGATCTTGTTTGTCCTGCGATTGAGACTCAAGGAGCCCGAAGACTTTTCCAAAAACGCCATGAGGAAAGAGACCCCCTACCTCCTCATCCTGAAGTTCTACTGGTGGCGCCTCCTTTGCGTGAGCGTTGTTTGGTTCCTCTACGACGTAAGTTTGAGATGAACCGAGCATTTTCAAGGAAGCTAACCAAGTGTATAGTTTTCCGTCTATGCCTTTGGAATTTACTCATCTTCAATCCTGGCTGGAATCTACAATGACACAGCCCCGCTTACGACTGTCTTTGGCTGGAACACTGTCATCAACCTCTTCTACCTTCCCGGTACACTTATTGGTGCCTTTGTCAGCGACTGGATTGGTCCCAAGCACGCCTTAGTCCTCGGCGTTTCTCTCCAGGCCATCGTGGGATTTATTATGGCTGCCGTTTACTCCAAGATCTCGCAGCACATCGCAGGTTTCGCTGTTGTCTACGGCATCTTCCTTTCCCTCGGCGAGCTCGGCCCCGGCAACAACATTGGTCTTTTGGCTGCCAAGACCTGCGCGACAGGTGTGCGTGGACGATACTATGGAATTGCTGCTGCGATTGGCAAGATTGGCGCCTTCGTGGGCACCTGGGTTTTCCCCTATATCCAGGCCGCTGGTGGTGATAACGCTGTCAAGACAGCACAGTATCCATTTTGGGTCGCCTCCAGTCTGTGCATTTTGTCAGCCGGTATTGTCATGTTCTGCCTTCCCAACGTTGGCCAGGATACCATCACACACGAGGACCTGCGCTTTCGGGAGTATCTTGAGAGCCAGGGTTGGGATACCGCCCAGTTGGGTATCTCTACTAGCGATGGTAGCGAGGAGGGAGTGGCGACGCCGAGGGATGATGAGAAGAATGCTCAAAAGTGAGCTAGCAGTGAGGAAGAATTGATGCGTCTCCGAATCTAGTCCATAGTATTTTAAGATACCCAATCGGCTGTCCTTTCACCAGCTGCATGACTTGTACTGAATATCAAATGATGCCTCTTTGGTTTAGATTCGCAAATTAAACACATCCTATGCTAGACCTGCGACTTTGTCCTGAGATAGATCGTCGACAGCTTTCGTGTTGGAAGTTCCATAGGTATCGGCGTATCGTCCAGACATCCAATCTTCAACAGTGATGGGCGGATACTTTGCTCCGGTCTCTTCATCTTGGCAATCCGTGAAGCATTGAACCAAGAAGTCCGGATTTCCTGCAAAGAAAAATGGAATGCTATATCTCTCTTGCCCTGATTTGTTGATGACTCGATGGAGGTTCGATAGATAACGGTCGTTTGTCCATCTCATCATCAAATTTCCCAGGTTGACCACGAATGCGCCCTTGGTTGGTACAACGTTTATCCATTCGGAAGATGTTCGATCCCACACTTGCAGGCCGCCGACCAAGTCTTGAAGCAAAATGGTGATGGCTCCGAAGTCAGTGTGAGCGCCAATACCTGTAAATTCATTAGTTACTAAATACCACAAAGTTGCCAGGCCTGTTACCTCTCTCCAAATCCGACGCATTGGGGGGCTGAGGAGGGTAGTGAAGCAATCGCAGAGTGGCGATAGGTGTGTCGACGAATTTCGAAACCCAGCTGTCGTCGACCCCAAGCGTCTTGCAGAGAATGCGCACGAGTCTTTCCGAAATTTCGAGCATCAAGTTGTAGTAGGCATCGATCCTGCGACGGAATTCTGCCGGATCCTTCACATTTTGGGGATATTTGTTGGGGCCAAGGTTGAACTTCTTCGCGAGCACACTCGGATGATCTTCAGGCAGATCTAGCCCGAAGTAGTACCCTTCTTTGAGATCGCCCTCGGTCCTTTTCTCAAAGTTCTGAGCTCGAAGTCGTTCATACCCTCTGTGGCTTTGGGTCAAATCTGATGAACCACGTCAATAATTTCCGGGGATTTCAACGGAGAATTCGTTCTATTGATATCACCCACCTTTGTCATATTTCTCTTTCTCTTCAAGAGGAAGGGAAAAGAATTCCTTGGAGCACTCGATGATTTCATCGAGAGAAGACTGGGGTATTCCGTGGTTTGTGAGCTGGAAGAATCCGTGGCTCTGGCAAGCGTCTCGCATTTGATCAACGAGATCCGCAAAGGCAGCCTTGTCCGATCCATTGCTTGCTAGTGAGAGTTCAGTCCACTCTGGTTCTTCAAACGTAGATAGAACCTACCGGAAAAGTCGATACTGGGGATAGATTTGTCGGCCATGCTTCTGGTTGGAGGGACAGCTGAGCTGGTAGTCTGTTGCCTGTCGGTAGATTATCGATGAGGCAGGCACTGTAATTCCGAGTTGTAGAGCAACGGATGAAATTAAATAGGATGAATGATGCAAAGTTTGCCCTGTTATAGGGAGGTTGTCAGCATTCACGGCCGAGATTCTCCATTTCCACCCCGCCTTATCGGTGCCCAGTCACAACTCGGCCGAGATTTGGCCGTCTCAGTCTTAGCGATAAGGCAGAGCACGCAACTTGTAGCCACCAAACCTTCAGCAGCCGCCCTGCAGCCACAAACATTCCTTACAGTCCATGATCCCTTCAACACTGTCCGTCAAGGGGACGCCTTGTGCATCATGCAAAACGACGATAAGGACAAGCAAGACCAAATCAACAAAATGGACAAAGTATTCCGGAGCTCTTTTGTTACAATCGCCGCGGTAGTGGCAGCCTGGAGCATCAAGATGTGCAGGTCCAACAAAGTTAACCGCTTCAAGGATTACGGTTTAGTGTTCGTAGAGGTGGAGGACCGTCCAGACACCTTCACAAGAGTCGGCTTGCTGAAGATCTTGGACTTGGATTGGTTTAAATATCCTGCGAAGAGATTACTATATCTAGGATCTCCGGCGGGGCGTGTTATGGTATTTCTACAGTGGAATCAAATAATAAATTGTGTCAGGAGCAAGAGTATTAAAGGGTGGGATATCTAGATAATGCATCCGCGTAAATATTCCGAGTTCTCACTCCCGGACAAGAGCTCTGATATTTTAAGTCGGGAAATGAGTCTCAGTCGGGAGCGCGGCCAGATTACCGCGCTCAGTCAATGAGTCCAATGCGACCCGGTAGCTGGGTAAAAAAGTGCGGACATTTTACAAAATGAAAAAAAAAAAGATCAAAAAAATTTGTAGCTTCTCTTTGAAGAGCGTGTCATCCTTAGTGCAGGGGCCATGCTACTGTAACGGGGTTAGTAAACTGTTTTCGAGCGGGTTCGAACCCGGAGGCTTTCCAAATGTACTTACATCTTCTCTGTATCGTTTCAAAGACCAAAGTGTTCCGAAGAACGAAAGAGGTGGTGGTAATTTAGCTAATAAGGGTATCTAATAGTGGGGCCTGATCTTGACCCCTGTGAGATCACGTGACTCTACCCGAGCTGTTATTGTCACTGGGCCTTACACAACGAGTCTTTACTACCTCTGGCCTCAAGATCCCCGTGCCTCACAAAATATAGAAAATTCCACCAGGACGATTCATGGGCATGAATCTTACGAATAACAATAAATGGTGTTCGATATGAAGCTCCCGTGGTTCATGTGGTAAGAAAGGTTCCGTAAGCTTGAACAACACCTTCGCATGCTGCATACTTGGATGGAGAGAACCTCAAGTAGGTGTATCTCGGACTGTAAACGCCCAGAGAAATTAAAGTTTCCCTCAAACTTCCGTGATATGTAATCCTGCATTGAAGGTTTAGTAATAGTAACAGCATCCGGCAATGCTTGCGGACACCGGTTCAATAGCCCCTGGTATAGGGTAACAGATTTGGATGCTGGATCAGGAATACTTGCATTATTTATTACGGAACCGCATGAATTTCCATTTCGCTCCTAGCATGTCCTCGCATAAATACCCAGGCCAAGCGGCTGCAATCACGAATAACCGGACACCTGAGGAGTGGCATCAACCTTAACCGACCAAGCACATCACCAGCTCATCCAGGTCGCTTGATGATTTTCTGGGACATTCCACGCGACTTCAATGCATTATTTTCGGTGGCCTTGAGCGTGCATTATGCTTGCACCCCAGTGCTCGGCGAATTGAAGAAATTGTCAGTAAGTAATGTTGCTTGGTGGCTCGGACTGGAAGTCACTGGCACATTCCAGCGAGGGCTAATAAGCACAAGGTCATAGGGTGTGATATACTGTATCCCAGGTGGAAAATGCGGACACGGCGTGGGCTGTAGCTGTGAGCTATGCTTCTTTACCCTGGAAATTAGTTCCAGCCACCGCAATTTGAAGCCCCACCACCGTTTATGAAGTGAAGGGGGTAACTGACTGGGGTTAGAGCTGATTGGGGCTCAATTAGTCCTAAGCCACAGGGAGCGAGCGAGTCACATCACGACATCAGCGGCAGGGATTTAGCAGACCGAGAAGAGCTCGTTGCAGGCGGACTACGGCAGGGCTGCCGGAGGGCTTCCTGAGAGAGAAAAAAGAGCTCAAAAATCATCGAAGGTCTGGGTAATCTAATGGGGTTAAGTGGTAGCCGTAGGGGATTACGATGTGGCTGTTGTCGGGCTCGAGCCGTGACGGTCAGACGTCGGTCACATTCGGATTCTGGACATTGGTGCACCGTTTAAGTGCGACAGCAAAACTCACTGATGAGGCCTGAGGTAGTCGCGTAATCAGGTGTAGGGGCCCGTGAGTGTAAACCGAATTGTCGAGGGGCTGGCAATACTAATCATTAATATGGCTAGCGCTCCATCAGAGTATGGCATTGGGGAAACCTCGTGGTCTCTATTAAATATGTATTCTTCATTGATTAATTATGGCTGGCCATCTGGGTGCCACTTTTTTCGTCTCAGTGCGCAGATATATGTGAGATAGGAGGGAATGGGGATGGGAGCCGTTGGTAGCTTGGGAGCACAATTTGTGACACCTCTTGTGTTGCGTTGACTCTCATAAGAGAATGGGAGATTGTTGGCAAATGTAATTTCAAGAATGCAAAGCAATAAAAAGTCACGGTTTGGTCTGCTGACAGACGTTGAAAGACACGGCTTAAAGGCTTGCGAGCCTGGAGCTTCTAAGTGTGATTTCGAGTATGATAATACTCTGTTCATAAAAAAGAGAATGGGGGATTATACATAATGGAGAGAAGCGAGACACTTTCTAGTAAACGGAACATACTACACAACATATTACAAGCCACGGATTCTAAACAGTCGTGGCAACTGCAGCAATCTTGCCCCAAGGGGATGGCTGCCACTATAGCAAAATACACCAAGAAGAAGATTCTCCAATCACTGCGGCAGATGACTGAGATTAGATAGATTGCTGATAAAATTATGCGGTATTCACGTTCTCCATTTAGTTAACTGCTGGTAGTGGTTAAACGAACTATGTCGCTAATGGTATGTCTGGAGGAGGTATGATGGGGAGCAGGGACTATCATAGATTTGAGTACTGTGGCAAAGAAGACACTGAAACTTGGCTAACTAATGGTAGGGATAAAATATAGGCGAGACTGTCGGTGTGCGGAATTTCCGAACACACACATAAAAACACACCTTGCTTGCCCTGTCATTCTTGTACTTTTACCATCTCAAGTCAAAATATGGCAGGAGTTGCTTATTTACACTACCGTACTGCTTGTCTTCACAAATATACTCAGTGGTCCATGATGTGACAGTTTTGACTTGCTTTCCTAGACCCCATATAGCTACAGGCATGCGCGGACTTTAACACCGCTGTCAAATTAGATTAAGAGAGCAAGGTAGTCGACATCTACCATGATGCGCCGAGTTATGTCACCAAATCTACCAGATATCATGTTCTGTGATGGTGTGTGATACCCACTCCGTATCGCTGTTTGCAATGGAGTTCGCCATGTCGATGATTTGTGCAGTGGTCAACCACACATCGGTGCTATACTCCTCCATACCTGGAAGAAGAGACGACAATGTCTCCTCGTCGTTCGACCCAGCAATTGTAGTATCAACAGCACTATCATCCATCCCCGGGGCCACTGGATTGTCCACAATTTCTTGGTCGGGGTTGTTGGGAGTGGGTGATTGTCCAGTAGTGGCAGGCAGGCGCCTCAACATGTCGTCCAACTGCTGCAACTCGGATTGCCGAAACTCTGCAATCAAGTTGCCTTTCCCCACCATCTCATTGAAGATGGTGTGGGATTTTTGGCGCCAGAGGGATTCGTTCTCCAATAATCGAGGGTTGAGGACTGGCCCGAGGAGGAGAGTCAGGCTGGACACGAAGAGCGGCTCGAGGTCGAACGGAAGAAATGTCTCTGAAATTAAACATCAGCAGGCAAACTCTAATGAGAGATGTGTCATATCTCACCCAAAAGACCCTGACTTTGTAGACAGGATAGGATATTGATCATCTGTTGAGAGGAGTCCATGCACATCTTGATCAAATTCCAGACAGTTTGAGAAGAATTGAGCGTGTCCAGATAGGAAGCCGGGGACTCGAATCGAATCTTCAAGAAGCAAAACAACAACGGTCGCGTTGCGAGAACGATGCACTGAGGATGGTTAGGCTCCTGGTCATTACTTGGGTTCCAACGTACTTACCTGGTGATATAAAAGATGCAAATAGCCCGATGTCCTTGAGACGCCGTTGATGGTTTGGTCGACTTGCATCGGAAAGGTTTCTTGGAGTTCGTCGGCCAGCGTTGCGATATTTGACAGAACATCCTTGGTGCTGAGCAAGAACTTTTTGTTCAATCGCCCATCGGCTCCGTATACTCCTGGGACGATTTAGGAACGAAGACAGTTGGGATATCGATTTGCTTACCTCTGTTGATGGCGGCGATGGTACGGGAAAGTCGAATCTGCATGTTCAGAGCGGCGATGCGATGACTAGAGCCCGAAAAGTGTGGTAGCGAAGGATGCACATCGTCGTCGTTGATGGACTGCGGTAAGCCCATCAAAGAGGTCATTTCGCGGTCCAAAACGTAGGCAGTCCACCATGCCTTTCGACTCCGTTCGACGAGATGATCCCCTAAATGTTGTCGAGGCATATCGGTGTGCATCCCCTGCAAGAGAGCAATCCGTATAGCTTGGCCAATCTAGATGAATGTTAGTACGGTCTCATGCGTTGGAGGGATTTGTTACACTCACAAAGTTATGAGCCGAGTTTCGATAGTCCAGGCATTGGAAGTACAAAGCTATGCAGCAGAGCACCTCTGTTGATAGAATTGTCTCCTGGACAAGGGCATGCGTACTTGGCAGAAGCCGCAGTGCCCTAAGAAAATACTCGGCCCCAGGTGGCTTTTTGGCTTGGTAGTTGTTCTCAACCAATGCCTTGCCAAAGGCAAGAATGAGTAATAACTGGATGTATCGAAGATCTGATCCGGTCTCCTGGTTGATGGGGTCAGAGTAAAAGTCGTACATGTACTTCATAAAGGACTCCTCGTCAAACAGATGGAAGACCTGACTGCAGTGAAACTTGACCGTGTTGATCAAGTAGATGGCATGGTCTAGACTGGGGAGGGGATGGGCTTCTGGAGGGACGGTAGTCCGGGAACCATCCCAGCCCAGGTCGTACGCCGTGCCATCGAACAGGAGAGTTCCTGTGGAGACGGGGGTGTGGTAGACATACTCATGCGTCAGACTGAGAACGCGACGGCCGAAGGACCAATTTGATGAGGTGCCAAGGTAGTCTAGGTGGTGTTAGAGATTGCATCTTATGGCGAATAAAAGAATGGGCGACTGACAAGTTTGCCCCTCAGCGGACGTCATGAACTTTGACTGCCCTGTTGATAGCGGGTTTGTGAGGGTGGAAGCGACAGGGTCCAATCTTGAGCGGCTATTGGAGCTCTGGCTGTCTGACTCGGGCCTGTCGATTGACGGGATGACGATGGAATCCTCCTCTCTGAAAGACGTCGCGGCGACATCGCCTGTTACGGGTGAGCATCTGCTTCAAGCGGCGGCATGTAATGGACAGGACGAACCGTCGTCAACCGGCCTGCCAACCTCATGGCTGCTTTCGAGCGAACCAGGAGTGACATACTCGAGACCCTCGGTGCGCCTCTGATTCTCTACTCGCTGCTGCAAGTCGATGATGTACCTACGGGAATGTCAACGGGCTGCTGCTGGGAGACGGCGACACAAGACCACCTACCCGCGGGTGACGAGTATTTTCTGGTCGCGCTCATCGAACTCGCACGACAGCTTGCGCTTCTGACAGGCGTCGCAAGGCTGCGAGCCCGAACACTTGATCTTCTGCTTGCGGCACCTCGAACAGCTGCAGGCTTCACGGTCAGCGGTGCCGGGCGTTGGACAGGGCATGTTTCCAGGGCCACACACGCGTTGCCGGATCGCTTGGACACGCGGCCTCGCCCTTTGGCGGACGAGTCTGGCGCTCCCGAGAGCCTCCTGGAGTGCGAAGCTGGCGACGGCATTCCGGGAAAAGGTCAGCCGTGTTTATCTCTAGATTGAGGAGCGTTGTGCTGGCGCTGTTGTGCTGGTCGTCGGGGGGGAATGCGATGGGGCTCGGCTTATGCGTCCGTATAACTTGCTACGCCAAATGATGTGTTCGGCGCTGTGCTCCAGGGACCTAGGGAGTCACGGGATCCCTGTAGATGTTGGATATTTACCCTAATAAAGGGGACTGGGATTGCCGCCGAGGATCCTGTTAGGCTACCTAACCAGCAATCTGACAGTAGAGATGGTGATGAGCTGGCCGAGTTTGGGCTACGACTAGCGAGATGCGGGGTAAGGACTTGAGTCTTGGGCCTAATCAATTGCCCTAGCGGTTGAGGCTACAGATACGACAGAGTGCTGTGGGTGTCCTCGTTATCACCCCCATCACGACGGTAGTACTCCTACAATAGCTTCACTCGAAGCCTCTTACACCATGACAGTGGACTCACTAGTAAGCCCTGATCCTTTCTGACCATTTTCATGTGGCGATCCACTGCTCCTCCCCCAATCTTCAGCCGCCTCAAATGACTCGGCACAAAGGCGCCTTTGCCTTGTTATCTGCATCAATCCCGAACTAACAGCGCTCGCCGACGTCGTTTACAGCTAATTCCAGCACCACCTGCTCCAATCTGACCGCTAATGCATCACGCTACAAGATATTTAGTTACCGAGCATGCCCCGAGCCTTGGCGGGTGCGGGCGAGTGCTACGCCCCGAACAGTGGCGCCTTCACCAACATCCCACGGTTCGGCGGCCGTCTCATGATTCACGCAAGGCATTGTCCATTATCGGTATTGGATTCTATTTCGTAAAATTTGCTCCATCACTGCTGCCTCCACCATCGATTCCCTTACTTGCTTTTTTTGCGGCTCCCCGACCGGGTCGCATGGGTGTCTCGGTTCTAGCTTCTCTTCTGCGTTCTCGATGCCGGCAGCTTTGGCCGAATAACACGCAACGGCAAACTTTGTCGGTGCTATGCCGCCTTTGCAAGGACTCTCTGCCAATGCTACTACCTTTTGCAACCTGACGGCCTCGTCTATCCGGCCCTGCTTGTAAAGGGCGTATATCCTGGCCGTCAGCATGGGGAAGACGTTTGCAAACGCTGCGATGCATCCCGAACTCCCGGCCACCAGCCCGCCGATGAGGAAGTCCGACTGCCCGCCAAAGGTTGAGAACTGCCCCGGACCCAGCGTGGCCGAGAGCCGGGTGATTTTCCCGACAGAGCCACATGTAAGCTTCACTCCTACAATGTTGGACCTGCCGCTTGGATGAGAAGCGGCACTCTCGCGAAAAAGGGATACAATTGTCTCCGAGCCAATGTCAAGCCCGTTGCAGACGTCGGGGGAATTGTGAATGACAACGGGGAGAGGAGATCGGGCTGCAACTTCAACGAAGAACCTCTGGACCACGTTCATACTCGTCACCTTGCCAAAGCATCCCGGCGGCGCCACAAGCAAATAGTTGGCGCCAGCCTTGGCCGCATCCTCCGCAAACTGCAATGTCTGCTTTGTCGAATGAGCCCGAACGCCGGCCATGAGCGGAAAAGCCGGGCCAACCGTTTTGCGGGCCGTCGTCATGACCAGGAAGCGTTCTTCCCTGGTGAGAAGAAAGCCCTCGGAGCTGGTGCCCAGGACGACAATCCCCGTCAGCCCGGACTGCGCCAGGTGGGCAAAGTACTTGGACTGCGACAAGAGGTCCAATTGGTCGGTGCCATGGTTGAAGAAGGTTACGGCCGGACACCACACCCCGGCGGGCGGAACGTGGGGATGGGGGGATGGCGAGGTGGGCTCCCAGCCCATTGAACCCATTGACTGAGAAAGGCTGAGCTTGCTGATATGCTGCCGTCTAATATAGTGATAAGGATATCCGTAATAAGGCCCGTCTTGAGTACGCCGACGAAGAGATGGCGAATAGGCTAGATGATTACGACGAATTACCACGAGCGCAAGGCTTATCACCACACCGCCATCAGCCCTTTATCAGTCGTAAGAGCCCGGGATACGATTCAGGAAGCTGTCCTGTGCTCCTACTCCATAATTATCTTTGCCCCGACACGACTCAAGCTGTCATATCTTCACACCGGAAGCCCTGCCGCAACCGCGAGACCGGGACAGGTCCCGATCGATAGCGCTACCGTTTGGACGTGGGTGTGGAGAGCCCCTCCAATCGCGTTGAGCACAGCATCGGAAGGCCTCCCGGTCGTGCGTACCGCCAACTCCCACTCTCGCCTCTCGGGCAAGCCCAAGCTCAAGCCCCAAGAAGGCCGGGTGTCTTTTGGAGAAGGTGTTGTGAGGGGTTGAAAGCGTATCTAGGTGTTTACCTAGTCAGCATGCGGGCTGGGTGAATTTTGGGTGGACCCATTCAAGTCCTTCCCACGGCGCGACTTGCTTGTGGGCAAATACCATCCAACCCCGACAAATGTACGTAATAGCTGCCCACGTTCGGACTTCCCCCACAAGCTAGCCTTCGGGATCGTGTCATCGTGATCATGCCTTTGGGCATTTGGGCTGGCTAGAATGCGGGGGAAGTCTTGGGCTTTTCCGGGGGGCGGTGGGCTAGTCAACTACAAGCCCTGGGTCATTACGGGTACGGGCCCGGTGGGTAGTGAAGGAAGTGGAAGCGCTCTGGAACAGGAACCTGAGTGTTTCTTAAATTGTAGAATTTGGGCCAGGTTGATATGCTGCGTGGTGCTTGTGGAAGGGATTGGGGGGGCGGAACCATACGAACAGCTCGCGCATGGGCAAGGAATTTCCTCCAACGAAGAGAAACTGCATTTGTCTGCTCAGTCAACTTATGATCAGCGTTAATAAGCATAGGGTAGCGTGATGGGTCATGCCGCCGTTGGGCCTGCGTTACACCAGCTGGAGAGCAAAGCTTTCATGCTTGTGAGATATTTCTATCTTGAACTGAGGTTAATTGAGCTAAACTTAATCCTCTCTATTCCTCATTCATTTAACTGATGTGGGAAATAATCTGCTGGAATTGTTCAAGACGGCTGATTCTCACTTTGAACAAGGCCCTGGCCAATAAGGCTAGGAATTGCTTGCTGTTCTACCCACTCGGTGCACTTTACCAGCGGCCGACGGGGCTCTCCAGGTTTGTAGAAAGTCAAAGGATCCCAAGACTTGACTGGTTCAGTCTTCATAGTTTTGATGTTGAAAGCCTTTTGTTTTGGCGGCGGCGGGAGATCACTAAGAAGGCTATCCCATTCCGTTGGATAGGTCGAAGCTTTCGTGTAGCCGATGACCTCTTTGAAGGCGAGATCTTCCCATTGGTCGGAGATGTGATATGGGATTGACTCATATTGCATGCCATTGACGATGTCACCCGTTACGTGGTGCTTCATCCCGCTGCCAGGGCCTTTCACCTCTGTCTCGACGAAGATGATGGTGTGATATCGGGGCCCCAGCATGTCAGGATCCTGCATAGCAAGCTTGAGCTTGAGCTTGAGAACACGGTAGAAGTCAGAATTCGGCATGATGATTCTGAGAGCGGAGGTGCTGCACTGCTGAGAAGTCGGGCTGAGTAACTTAATGATGCAGAAGATGTTGATGGAGCTCTGGTGCGGCCGTCTGAGACGTCGTTGTTTCTGGAATAAAAATTTGATGCACCCAATTTTGGACGTATCAGACAACATGGAAAGTCTCGGCTTATTGGTTCGTACTGGATCTTGGTATTCATCTGGTGTTCTTTTATGTTGGACTACCCACTGCAGTTACAGGGCGTGCTACAGCGGGGTTGCCTTCTATAGCGCAGCCTAAGCGACCTACGACCTCAGCTTCCCGAGTATTTTCGATTGAGACATCGACAGCTTGTTTTGTTCGTGAATGACTGTTGGGTAGCCCAAGATGGACTTTTAGTCGTCTTTAATCCATGGTCCCGAAGGTCTATCGTCATGGAGTATTTCTGGCCAGTAATTCAGCGGAGTGTGACTCTCTGTAATTGACGGCTAGACATCGCCTCGTACGCCAACGTGTAAGTTACCCGCTAAGCTCACTGAGCAGAGAGCCAGCAGTGGAGGCATATTTAGGGCTAAGGTTGAGCTCTACCATCACGTGATTGCTTCATTTTTTGCTCGTTGCATCGGGGTGAAATCCAAGCGAACTCCGAATACGGCGAATGACGAGGCCAACTACAACAAGGCACGAGTGGAATGAATTGCACTGAAGCTCCGTCACAAGTCAAGCCATATTCTCCTTCGAGTGCCTTTGCATGGGCACCCAATCGTCATGTCTACTGATAAAGGGAGTCGAGATGTCCTGCCAAAAGATCTCATGGAGCTTCAGCTTGGTCAGATCGACCTCCTGATGGCCATGTATGCGTCGGATGACGCTATATCGATTGATGCTGCATCGTCCAACTTACTTGAAGCACTCAGAGATTGGTGTGAGAGTGATCGGGAGACGGTACCTGAGTGTACTGAGGAGTGCATAACCATGCTCCTTAGCCTGGACGTTTCTGATGAAGACCATAGCTCAGATGAGACAAAGTCCCTGCAACTTAGCTTGTCTGTACCGTTGGTCTACGAAAAAGGCGGAAAAGCACTAGCACCTACGGAAGCATCACCAGTCAAAACCAGAATACAACAACCAGCGTGGATGAGCAAAGGCGAAGTAGCCCGCCTCACTGCCGAAATCCCCGACGGAGACATATTGACCGTCATTGAACATGTCAAGGAGGCAGCGTGTCAGCATCTGGCAGGGTTAAAACAAGTGGATGCAATAAATGGACATGCAGATACATCAATAGTCCGCGTTTGGTTTTACTTCCCCTCAATCAGCACCCGGTCAAAACGAGACGATCTCGTAAACTACGGCCCAACCTATGGACTGACGGGATTCCTTCTCGCTGGAAAGCCAGGCGTGTTATGTCTCGAGGGAGGATCTCAGGCCATTGATGAATTCATGAAATTCATCAAGACGGAGAGCTGGGGCGACATTCCCTCGCATCATAAAAAAGTCAGCGAGCGCTATCGAGAGGAAGGACAGGAAGTTAGACGGGCGTTCAAGGATATGCAAGAGATTACGGACATGATTGGCGAGAGAAGAGGAGAGCGAGCAAACCGGAACGATATGAAAGCGTTAGAGGCGTGGCTTAACGAAAGTGGCCTAGGTGAAGCCTTTGGCAAAGTTGTCATGTAGTCAGGTCGTCACGAGTCATTGGTGGATTTCTGCTTTTGACTGAGACCTTTCATATTGCAGGATACAAATGCCTCCTGTCTCTTACACACCGTTGAATCAGTCTGGTGGACACGATGGATTATGACGACCTGGACCGCGGCATATTGTAATTTTTAGAACCAGAAGCAATCCAGGTCACGCCTGGGGAACAAAAAGGAAAGCCAATAGCAAAAATACATACAACAGTGGGGATTCGCTGATCGTCACCGACTCAACTACTAATCCACCTCTCGCTAGCTTATCTGTTGGAGATCGAACGGGATCCTGAGTTCTCTAGGGGATATGGTCGTATGTGCTCTCGTGGCGATGCTCTGATGCTTATATTGACAGGTACAGAGGGTAAATACATGTGGCTTCTAATCTAGAGCTTTGCCTTTTGTCCGGGCAACACATCAACAAGTTCCCGCGTCTCTCCAAGACGCCAACTGACGGCGCCGCCCCAATCACCGGCCTTGTCTTTGACAGACGGGTTCTTCCAGCGCCATCGAGGCACAGGCTGTTGGCTGTCAGGCGCGGTGAGCATGTCCTTGACCCAGGCTCCGAAAATGGGGAACATCTTGAAGCCATGGCCAGAATCTCCGGAGAGAAGAACAACCGAGTCGGATGTCTCGGGCACGTAGTCGATGATAAAGTCCGAGTCCTGAGTGTCCGCAAACCAGCAGAGCGACTTTCTCACCAGAGGGCGCTCCGCAAGACTAGGGAGAGTCTGGGACAGCAGCTTTCGAATCTGGTTCTCGTCGTGCTTGGGTAGGAATGCGCTGTCCTCCAAGAACTCCGGGGAGGTGGAAACGCCGGTGCCCGGGTCGGTGTTGATGTAACCGCCGCCCATGGGGCACAGCTTGAGCAGGTTGGTCTTCGGGTCAGGTTCGAAGAAGAAGCCGAGATCGCGGGCATAGGTGACGGGGATGCCACGAAGCGCTGACGTCTCTTCGTCGGTAAGGTGGACGTGGGCAACGGACCACGACTTGGCCACGACCTGCTGGCCGATCTCGGGAACAAGTCTGCTCGCAGCCGCTCCAGCAGCGACGATGACCAGCTTGGCAGGGTAGAAAACGCCAGTCGAAGACTTGACTCCGATGCTCTTCCGTCCCTTAGATGTCTTCTCATAGACAATCTCACTCACGGCGCCCTCATCGCCGAGGACGAACTTGACACCTCTGGCCTTTGTCGCCTTGTATATTCCCTTCAGGGCATCTCCAGAATGCGCGTAGCCATCGTGCTGGTTCAGGTACCCGTGCCACCCGGGGAGAGAGCTTCGGTTGTACTGCCAGAAGCGATCCCGAATATCGGCATTGCTGTCAATCGACACCACCTTGGGCTTGATCTTGGGGTGAATTTCTGCTGCGGCTCGGAATCTATTAAGGGTGTCGAGAGCCTCGGTGGGGGCTTCACCCGAGACGCAGTGCAAGAATCCAACCTGGTGGAAATACGGGCCAAATAAAGGTGTTTGCCAGGCCGCAATTGCTTGCTATATCTTTGCGTCAGCACTGCACGCCCAACCGCACTCGGGGCACTTACAAGGGTCAAGTCCGTGTAGAAGGGATCTTCATACTCGGCTCGGACAATTTTGTTGAGGTCGTTGGCGGCCGAGAATCGAGACGGAATCTCATCATCCTTGTCGAGAACGGTAATGTTCTGGAAGCCGGCGTCGAGCAAATGCAAGACGGTCGAAAGGCCAAAAGCACCGCCCCCGATGACCAGGAGCGGGTCGGATTTTGAGACGCCCATTATGCAATACTGAAGTGAAGCTTTGATTTGATTGCTTAGTCTCTAGAGTGAGATCGGCCGGCATATATGTGCTCTTTAGAAGGGGGTTGAAGCCATGAAGTCGGGCATTCCACCCGATGTTTTGTGAATACTCACTTTCCGTGGCGCCATGATGCCGCGATGGCGTTCGCTATCTGCAACCAAGCGGGGACGGGGTGTCGTCGTGGTTAGCGTAAGCGACAACCGGATGGCTTCCCGCTACGACTACTGCGGGCAACTACTCCAACACGGCATCGGTTCCGAGATATGGTCACGAGGCGGGCTCACGAGGTGGGATCAGCGATACAGTAGTTCAATGGCTTGTTTCGGGGATTGAGAGACTAAGGCAGAGAAGAGGCGAAGGAATGCAGAGAGATAGCCATTGCCGATGTAAACCGGATCTGTCAGGGTTAGTGTTACCGCATACGACATGACTCACCGTAATCTGGGAGTTCGGTTGAGTTATCCTTGCAAATTATGAGTGGATTTTCACTCTTCGTCAATTGAGATCGAGTTGGAGGAGATGTCTCAGGAGAAGGTTAGCTTAAGCGATGACTCCACTCAAGCTAGATCATCGCCAGAGGTCAGCCATGGTGTACTTTCTCGTCATCAATTTTGCAATCATCATTCACCATAATGATTGATCTAAATTTAGAGTGGAGACAACACAGTCAAGTTAACATCATACGATTCGGCATGTCCGTGGCCAAAATATATTCCTGTCAATTTGGCTAAAAGTAGATACACAGTTACGCACGGGCTTCTACTCGGATCGAAGACAAGTTCCCAATCAACTCGTTTCTATTCCTAAGACGTTAAAGTATTTATCCTCAGAGGGACCTGGTTTATCTAAGTGATTGACGAGAAGTGTTTGGCAGAGCCAGATTCACAAAAAAACAGACAACACAGAAATCACTGTGGATGAGAATGTTTGAGAGAAGTCTTTTATTTTATTCTGTACATTCTAGTAGATATTTTTAAACACCCGAAATTCTAAGAAGCATGGTTGCTAGGGTAGAAGAACCCAGACTGGTTGAAGAACTCCTCCTTAATCAGTCGGGGGGCAGTGAAGCGGCGGAGAATATCCGAGCTGCCCGCCCTGTCGGTGGTTCCACTGCCACGGGCACCGCCAAAGGACTGCTGGCCGATAAGGGCAGCGGTAGTCTTGCAGTCTAAAGGAAGAGGTTAGCACAGATAGAGAGTGGTTAGATCCGGAACACTTACTAAGGTAGAAGTTACCAGCAGAGTATCGAAGAGCATCTTCAGCCTCACGGAGAGCGGCTCGGCTCTGAGCGAAAACGGCACCGGTCAGGGCGAGGCCGCCACCGGCCTGGTCAACCTGCTTAAGAACTGTCTTCCACTCGGCATCGGGGTAAACATAGACGGCGAGGACGGGTCCGAAGATCTCCTCGTTAAACAACTGGTGGTCGGGAGACGACGCCTTGTAAACGGTAGGCTCGACGTAGAAACCAACAGAGTCGTCGTACTTGCCACCGGCAATCAGCTCAAGCTCGGGGTCCTTGTTGCTCTTGTCGATGATGGACTTGATCTTATCGAATGAACGCCGGTGGATGACGGGACCCATGAAGGCCTCAAAGTCCTTGTCCGGGCTGCCAATGGTAATCTTGTCAATGCCAGCCTTGAGGCCGGTCATGAACTCAGCAGCGCGAGACTCGGGGACGTAAACTCGGGAGGTGGCAGAGCACTTCTGGCCCTGGTACTCGAAGGAACCACGGATGGTGTGGTTGACAGCGCTGGTGACATCGGCGGTAGGGTGTAGAAGGTGGAAGTTCTTGCCGCTGGTCTCTCCGACAACGCGGGGGAATTCGCGGTACGTCTTCTTTCCGATGCCCTCGCCGATCTTGCCGTAGATGGAGCGGAAGATGTCGGAGGATCCGATAAAGTTCAGGCCAGCGAACTCGCGGTGAGCCAGGCAGATGTCGGTAATCTCCGCGGCGTCACCGGGGACGAACTGGATAACGTTGGGAGGCAGACCGGCCTCGAGGAGGATATTGTAGATGATGGTGCTGGCGTAGATGTTGTATTGCGAGGGCTTCCAGAGCACAACGTTGCCCATCAGGGCAGGGGCGGAGACCAGGGCACCACCGAGGGCAGTGAAGTTGAAGGGGGAAATGGCATACACGAAACCCTCAAGAGGTCGGTAGTCCAGCCGACTCCACATTCCGTCGCTGCCACGGGTGGGCTGGCGCTCCAGAATCTCGGCAGCGTAGTTGCAGTTGAGGCGGAAGAAATCGGCCAACTCGGCGGCGGCATCGATCTCGCCCTGCCACACGTTCTTGCCCTGGCCCAGCATGGTGGCGGCGATCAGCTCATGGCGGTACTTGGTGGTGACCAGCTCAGCGGCCTTTTGGAAGATGGCGACTCGGTCCACGAAGGGCGTGTCCTGCCAGCTCTGCTTGGCCGCCAGGGCCGCCTCAATGGCCTCGGAGACCTGCTCCTTGGTGGCCAGGGGGTAGTTGGTAAAGGTGGTGGCGTGCTCTGAAGGGAGCACTTGGTCCTCGGACTTGTGAATCTTTTGAGAGACGCCATTGTAGAAGATCTCGCTGCGGACGGGGAGCTCAGAGCGAAGCTTCTTCAGAGCGGCCTCGACCTGGATGCGCTCAGGCGAGTTCCTCTCATAGAGCGGCTATTGCAGATTGTCAGTGGGCCTCGATCGTATCATGGAGGGTGTGAACTAACGTTGGGCTCATTCCGGGGGTCAGGCAGCCTGAAGGGAGAAGTGGCATTGGTTCGTCGCTGCTGGAGGCTGAGGCCAGCAGGGGTGGCTCTTAAGGCCCGAGCAAACGATTGTCTCGGCCGGGTGAGGTTAAGCGCCATGTTTCTGGTAGCAGCCATTTTATTAAGAGATCTGGTTGTTCAGACAATTGAATAGTACTGATGAGATACAAAACCAGAATTAATGTCGCTGAAAGAGCACTTTCTTATGCTGCTCTTCGTGTCGCGGAGTTTGGTGCCGTCGCCTTGTCGGGCCCGGTGCCGAGCAGCCTCCGGGACCGGGTCCGACCAAGAAACTAATGCGGGCTCATGACTGAAGACGAGATAGATGATTGAGCCGGTGATATCCACGACCGCTACCGGGACTCGGTCCGGTATGGGAACTAGTCTATAGGAGTGACTGAAGGTTGATGCCTCGTCACAAGGCGACGGCGACGTCGGGTGCGTGAGGAGACGAGATTTGCAGAGGAATTGTCCCATAACAGCAGTCAAAGGACGGCATCACAACTGTTCCTCCCATCGCCCAAAAATGACAACCGCCGTACTGGACCATCCCAGCCGTCAAGGCACAGTCTCCAATCAGAAGCAAACTTGGAGATGGTTGGCCGGGGACATTACCGCCGCTGCGGTCTCGGCAACATTGGTCGCACCGACTGTGGCCATCATCGACAGGTACGCGAGGCATGCTCTCGATGACCTCAAAATCTAATATTTTCAGAGCAATGGTTGAGAAGGTGTCCATCAACCAACCTCTCCTGCGCGGGCTGCGCTGTCACGGCGTATCTGCACTATTAAAGCCAGGACGCCTCTTCCTTAGTCGGCCCTTTGGCATGGTCTGGGCTCTATACGCAACCACATACGCTGTTGCGAACGGTTCAGAGACTCTTGCCAACGAGTTCCAGATGGCTGCAGTTGGGACCATCACCTTTGTGTCCACGATGCTGGTCAACGTGCCCATGGGCGTGTGGAAAGATGTCCGCTTCGCCCAATGGTTCGGCGCCAATTCTGCGACGGGCAAGCATGTCTCAACGCAGCGATCTAAGGTTCCTAGAGCTGCCACGGGTACCTTTTTGCTTCGAGATGCGGTGACCATCTTTGGCTCTTTTACAATGGCGCCGGCAATGTCAGCTGTCATTCCTGATAGTCTTACATCAAATCCACATGCCAAGTTAATCGTCACCCAGTTGACAGTACCGGTGCTGTCTCAATTGGGAGCCACGCCACTGCACCTCCTGGGTCTGGATTTTTACAACCGGCAACGAGTAGGAATGTCGGATCGGGTGACGCAGACCAAAAGGGACCTTCCATCCGCAACGCTAGTGCGATGTCTTAGAATTATTCCGGCGTTTGGGTTTGGCTGTATTGCAAATATGGAAACAAGATCAATTCTTCATGGGGTTTTTGAAAGACTATAAAATAAATAATTTTTCTCATTAAATTTGGCTGTCAGAGTCTCTATGTGACCATGAATGTTTGTGCACTCCCTCACCCTCAAACTCAGATTGAGAATGATCACTTGACAGTCTAGTCTCCATCGTCTCGTATACGATTTGTATATTGAAACAACAATTTTAAACCTTACATCTACTCTTTTCGTGTATCATTGACGTGATCAACAGTCTCCATCAGACGGGCAATCGTAACAGCCTCCCGTAGAGCCCGCCCAAGTGTACCCCGAACCGCCCCTTCTTCCATAACCATGAGCCCTCCAATGGTGCAACCTTCAGGAGAAGTTCCCTGATCCTTTAATACGCCGGGGTGAATGCCACTCTGGAGCATAGTGGCGGTGCCCATCATGGACTGATAAATCATAGTTTGAGCCGCGTTCCGAGGCACTCCAACGGCAACAGCAGCGTCAATCAGGGCATCGCAAATTACTGCGAAGAAGGCTGGCGTGGATCCTCCCACAGCGGTAGTGGCGTTCATGAGCCTCGGCTGAATTTGAACTGTCTTGCCAACCTTCTCGAAGATTGACGTCGTCAGTTGCAAATACTCATCAGGTAACACGGGCTCAGAGTTCTCGAACTCAATGGCTGTAAGTCCCTGCGATGCAATTGCCGAAATGTTAGGCAGCGTGCGCACTACCCACGCTCGGCCGGGTTGGTTTTCTTTGGTGCTTTCGCTCCCGTAGATGGTAGTCTCAAGTTTTTGTCTGGTCCAACCAGCGACCACGCTGATCATGAGCTTGTTTGACAAAGCGTCCCGGATACCAGGTTGCGTCAACACACCGTCGATATCAGCGGGATCCGCTCCAAGGATGACCACATTGCACTCTTGGACCGCCTTGACATTCTCTCCGCGATACACGGTTACTTTTTGCTGATGCTTTGAAAACTTCTCGCTCAGAGATTTCTGGGACTTTTCAGATCGTACACATGCGATGAATTTGGCAAAAGGGAGGCTCTCAGAAGTGGAGTCGACCAGATTCTGCAGAATGGCTGTTCCCAAATTGCCTGTTCACGTACATCAGCATTGAACCGGTCATTGATGAATGCAAACATACCACATCCCAAGACGCATAGCGTAGCATCGCGAAGAGCCGACATGGTGAAGTCTGATAGAGTGACGAGGCTGGTTGGTGTTGAGTGGGACCGTCTTCTTTGCCTTTGTTTGCCGTGAGAGACCACAAGTTGGCTCAGGAGGGGTCAGTTGAACACTCCCAACAGGAGACCTGTCGGACCCAGTTGTATACGTCCTATATCGGACACTAAAGCACAACGGAATGGAACCCGAATTGATAATGATATTCAGAGGGCACATGACTTCGTGAGGGGATGGTGGGCCGTTCGGGAGGTGTACCGGCGGTGGGGTTAGCTGCATCTACGATCGCTTTTGTCTAGTGCAACGCGGCTTTATCTGAGGCTGGAATCTAGGATCCGGAGTCTGCGGGGAACGCGATGGCAAGGTTGGAGCTATGACTTGAGAGACGAGCGAAGGAGCTTTGGTGTTGGTAGGCTGTCTACGAGTCGTGTTTTTGAGTCTGCCTACGATACGTCTATCATCACGTCTCGGAATACCAGGCGCTTTGTGTTGGAAGTAGAGGTCAAAGGTGGCACGGTAATATACGATTTAACGATCAATTCATTCAGTGATCTTTTCTGGAGCTACAACTAAAAGAAAGCTCGCACCCGCCTCCGCGCCTCAGCCTTGAGCGCATTATATTCGTCCCTCGTTCTGGAAGCCGCATCGCGGTTCTCCAACGCTCTTCGCATCAAATATGCCAGACACTCTCCCACGCTACCCCAGGTCGAGCACTTGTAGACCTCGGGGTCGGATGACGACCCATTCTTCAACTGGAGCAGCCCGAAGCTGACTTCATCCGACATTCCTTGGAGCTGCGCAAACTTGACTGGGACCGTCGGGAGGTTGGCCCGGAGCCGGTCCTGGTGGAGGTGGTGGGCTGCCACGACGCTATCCTTGTTGTGGCTGGCGAGGAGCAGATTGACAGAGGGGAATGGGACGCCATTCTTGGCTCCGAACTTTCCAATCTCTTGCCTGAGTGCTCCCTGTGCGATGGAGTCGTAGGCGTCGTCGGTGTTTTGCTTCGTGTCGTGGATCAAGCATCTCTCGTCAGAAGCCAGATAAGCTCCGCGCACCAACTTGAGACCCAGAGTGAACTTGGCCTCAGCCGCAGCAGCAAGATGCTTGGCCAGAGTGTCCGGCGTACTCTTCAGATAGGCCTGGTAAGTGTTGTAAATGGTCGCGATGCCGTCCGTGTTGTACTTCTTCATCAAGTACATCGACACAAGCATAATTCCCCATTGGAAATGCTGAGATTCGGCGTCGACCAAGATGTAAGCTCCCCGCTCCTTGCACTTGGTGCTGATCTCGTCTAGGGCATCCATCATCTGCTGGGGAGGGAGCTTTTTCTCGGAAAATGCCTTTGTGACTAGGGCGCCAGCACCGGTCAACCTTGTGAATGGTTAATATCACGATGTTGATATGGAGGTGGTGGTAAACATACTTGACAGCCAACTGATCACCTTCGCCCAAAAGCTCAACAGTATTGACAGTTCCTGCGCGCCACGCCTCGATGCTCTCGCACCATTGCGTGTCAACTCCTTCAGAAGTCGCAACACCCAGCCCGTGCTGAGCGCCCGTAGCATGATCAAACACAATCTCCTTAGCATATGTAAGAATCGTGCCTCGGAAGCCCATCTCCTTCAGGTGCTTCATGGTGGCCTGCGTCTCGGCCCCAGTCTCGCCCGCGCAGAACTGCTTGTAAAAGGTGGGTTTTAAAATCCATTTGAGAAGTATGTTGTTATCGACGCTGGGCATAAAGCGCCCTGGGGTGGACAGCTTGGATAGCACCCAAAGAGAAGGCCGGAGGAGATTGGGCCGTGAAGTAATGGAGTTGATAAAGATTGACCGCAGCAGCACGCTAGTGGGCAGAGCTGCGAGAGGAGAAGGAGGTTCCGGGCTTGCTGGAATCTCTGTTGCCAGGTGCCTGGAAGTAGAGCTAAGCCGTACTTGCTTCAGGGAAGTCTTTCTTATCCTGGGCAGCATCGCAGCGCCCAGTGGCCGAATTGTAGTCAACGCCGCACTACACGTCGTGGAGGGTGTGTTCCTTAGGACGGTTGACATGGCGCTAATCTTGCCGCAGTAGTGGCGACGATTGAAACAACTCTGGTCTATGTCTACAAGGCCATACAAAGAGAGAGTGTAGGGTGCCTTTTGAACTTGAATCATATCGCACTTCCGCTCGTGGTCTAGGACGGGGCGGCTATCGTCGTCATCGGTTGTGATGCCGATGCAGCAACTGCGTGTCGTGAAGCACATTTGGAGCGGGGTAAGGCGTCACATGGCCTTATGGGAGGTTATCTCGCATCAAATTGTTGCTAATTGGCATGGCTGAGCAGGCAGCCAGCCAAGAGTTGACGTTCTCGAACTCATCTGATGCGGAGGTGGTGCCGGCACTAAGAGCAGAGTGTGGCATCAACTTGGGTGGGCCAATGATATCTCACGAGCCTCCGGTTTGCCACCGACATGAACCGGATCCGTAACCGTCCCCGTTCTCGGCGTGGTGGCTAGGTTGGTATCTTGATACTGCAATGGAATGCGCCGGCTTAAAGCCGTCTAGCCAGACATTCCCCTCCTGTGCTGCGGGACGAGCTGCAGTATCTGTCAAGCGTTTACTTCTTTGGGAAGGCATCTGGAATGAAGGAGCGGCATTGGATTAGTAGCTGGTGATTAGAGCAACGTGGGTTTCTGTTATCTCAATGTATCGTATTGCCCCCACGATCTCCATCCTGGCCATGTTACGGCTGTGTTTTGTATGAAAGCCGGCACTTGCATTGGCGATGTGCAATATCCCAAAAGGCTATGATCTCTATTCGATCGGCTTGATCGATCTGATCTACGTTCTAGATGATGATCACTAGTAGAGGTGTCAAGGATGGGTTCTCATTAGATCAACAGGTGAAAGCCGTGGTAATGCAGCGTTAACAATGCACATACGCCGTTCTTAGGATTCTCTATTTTCTACTCGCAGAGTGCATGACACTAGAACTAGACCTCTTTGTCATGATGTCTTGGATTTTAATATGGGGGCGATACCTATTGAATTGTTCTAACAACCTCGTCCAGCGCCTTCGCAAAATATTCCACATTGCCCTCGTTGAGTCCTGCCAGAGAAATTCTAGACGTATTGGCCATATAAACGTGATGTTTAACTGTGATCCTTGTCAATAATCTATTTAATATCTGAATCCTTGCTTCATACCTTCTAGTTCGACAATTTGTGCCGGGCTGATACCCGTATAGCCAAACATGCCGTTTTGTTTGACAATGTGCGACCAATCTCTAGGTGTCTCCAACCGCAACAGCTCGCTATAAAGCCTTCTGCGCATGGATAGAATTCTGCTCGACATGGTAATCAGATCTTGTGCCCATTGCTTTGCGATCTCGGGGTTGCCTAGGACCGCGGCAGCAATGCGAGCGCCATAAACAGGAGGGTTGGACACGGTGGCTCGCTGCGAGTTTTGCAGAAGGGAGAAGAGCGCCCGAGCGGTTTCAGGAGCCTTGGTGACGAATGCAACAAGTCCCACGCGTTCACCGTAAAGACCCATGCTCTTTGCGAATGACATACAGACCGCGGCTTCGAGGCCTAGATCTTCCACCATATACCGAATGATCCAGGCATCTTCGTCAAACGACCCAGAGTTGAACCCGAGGTAAGCCGAGTCGAAAATTGGAAACGTGCCAGTGTTCTTAATAATGGCAGCGATTTCTTTCCACTGCTCTCGCGATGGGTCGCACCCTGTTGGGTTATGAGCACAAGCGTGTAAGATGATCGCCGAGTTTCGGTCGGCAGTCTTCAAGACGTTGACAAAGCTCTCGTGGTCAAACTCTCCCTTTTTAAAATAGGGAATCTTGTTGACTTCGTAGCCCATCGAGGCGAAAAGCAAATCATGATTCGACCACGTAGGGTCTGTGATAAAAACCTTCTTGATACCAGTATCCGCCTTCTTGAGCGCCATACCAGCGAGAAGAAGGGATCCTGTACCCGAAATTGATTGGCAAGTAGCAACCTTTGGTGTGTCAGATAACGCCATATTCATTTTCTGCTCATTACGTACTCTCTCTTCTTTCCAGGCGTTGGTGCCACCAAAAACAAGTTTCGCAGCCTCATCACGGAAGGTATTCAACCCTTCGATGGGCAAATATTCATGGCCACAGCCAGCGATCAATTCTGTCGCTGCCCGCACAGAGGGCAAGATCCATGGCGCTCCTTTTTCATCACGGTAAGCTCCCTGGCCGAGGTTTACTTTCTTGGGATCTGTATCGGCCAAATATCTCTTTGTGACCTCAAAGATGGGGTCTGGGGGGATGTATTTGGCTCCCCCGAAAAATGACGATGAATCCGTGCCCATGCCTGCGGTGGGATGTGAATATGATGAGTGAAGAAGAGTAGGGAGGAGAATATCGCTTAAACTACAAGGCAATTGTAATTCTTCAACGAATATTTGATATCTGAAATACACTTTATGAAGACGATTTGGACCTGAATCGCAGATGTGATGCATTTGTTTGCTGAGCCTAGAATGGGGCCGGGAAAGGATCCGTTGGTTTCGGGTTTCGGGTCGCAACCCGATTCATGGTGGTAGCTGGGCGACAGAGGTTCTAGACTTGATACTTATTGTAGATTAGCGCAATATGAAGGGCATGCGACTAAGCCGAGAACTGGTGCGCATTTGTAGCTCAGGGATTGCTGCCCACTCCTCGAACTCAGATGCTCCTTGACATCATTGTCGATTCCCGGTGTTCCGGTCCCAAGGCAGGGAATCGCCCTGCATTTCAGACCGAGCTCCCAATGAAGAAGAGATATTCCGTGAAAATGATAAGAAATATTAAACGGAAATTTCACGAAGCCGCCCTATTTGTGAGTTTCTCACACTACATATTTACGGCTTGGCGAACAAGCACAATTGAGTCGGATGCTGCAAATTTCATCATAACGAACGCTACGTTCTAAATCGAAAGCATGCAAGTGATCTCTTCAGGCCGTCCGGGTAAGGCATCTTAGCTTGCATGGCCACGTTACGTAGTTGACAATCACCTCGAGGATCTGCGCTGTGGGATAGCTAAGCTGCGAGCCCTGCTCCTCGTTCGATGAGAAAATTGGCTTTTTGACAACTCTTGAATTCCATCATACTTCTCCAGCTGTTCTGGGGCTAAAACGTCGATAGAGCAACTAATGGTGAAATACTTTCGATTCGGACTAAGATACTGTCTATCGTTTAAACTGCCCTCAACAACAGTTTCAAGCAGGCTTTCAGACCTTGCTGGCGTTTCTTACGAGCTTTCCCAGACCTATCATTTGCAAAATCTCATTCCAGAATCCAACTGGGATCTCCTCGAACGAATCTTCATAAGCATCGATGACAGGCTTTTCCCAGATAAGATCGGCTTCCAATGGCTTGACGATACGCGTTCCCTTGAGGAACTTCCACCCAAAGTAAAGAATAGGGCAAACGAGAAGCATGGTGTAGTAAGTGAAGAAGGTGCGAACGTCCCATTTTCCGGGAAGAAAGACGGAATATCCGTAAACGCAAACGACCGTGGACAGGAAGATTCCACTGATCCAAGCAGAGTAGGGCTGGAAGTATCCGACGTAGGGAAGAGTCTGGCGGTCGAGGCCCTGGGCCAAACACGCCTTGAAGAAGAAGACATAGGTGATACAGATGACGATGTAATCGATGATCTGAGCCGCGGTGATGATGTTCGTGAGCCAGGTCAGGACATTGGCGGTGCTGCTGGAGACGTTGAGGAACGCGAGGCAAGGGAACAGCATGATGACGCAGAGGCAGTAGATGGGAACGCCAGACTTGGTGCACTTGCGAAGGAACCTGGGAGCCTGACCCTCAAGGGCAAGTCCGTAGAGACTTCGGGTTCCGCAGTACGTGTAGGCATTGCCGGCCGAGAAGATACTGGTAATCATCAGAGCGTTCGTAATGTGAGGCAAGACATCGACGCCCAGGTTGTTCATCGCAATGACGTAGGGAGATGCTGCGGCAGTGCCGGCGCCGCCAGATTCACCGCTGAGGATTGAAACCAGAGTCGGATCGTTGTAGGCGACAGCGATTCCGACAGTGAGCGCACCTCCAATGAAGAAGAACGCGAATCGAAGATATGTCGTCTTAAAGGCGTTCTTCAAGTAGGTTCGCGGGAGCTTGGTCTCACCAGACACCATAGAAACGTATTCGGGGCCGACAATAGTGAAAGCCGCACTCCACATGGCACCCAGGAAACCCTCGAATCGTCCCAAGTCGCCGGTCGTCATGAATTCCGCAAAGGCTCCAGGGTTCTGCCAGTGTCGGAAACCGTATGCGTCGTGTTTGGGGTTCCCTCCAACCATGGTGACGAAAGTAAAGGTAAAGACGATCAGGATCAGGAGGACTTTGCCGGAAGCAAGCCAGAACTCGGCCTCGCCGTACCACTTGACAGTGAAAGCATTCAAGATGCTGTAGTCAAGTTAGCGCAAACACGTAGATTTTCTGGTAGGGATACGAACAAGTAAGACACAACACAGGCAGCGACAACGGCGGCCACAGGAATGTCGTCTCTCCAGAACGTCAGGACGAGATTCAATGCAGAAATCTCAAACGGAATCAGAACAGCTTCGTAGATGAAGAAGTTCCATCCCGCCATGAAGCCAAAGGCCTCGTCAACCCAATGACCTGCCATTCGGATAAAGGCACTGGTAATGGGCATGAAGACGGCCATCTCGGCGATGCAGTTGTTGACTAGCGCCAACATGCACGAGTAGAAAGTGTATGCTATCAACAAGCTGCCGGGGCCGCCTTTGTACAGACCCGTGCCGATACTGACGAAACTGGCCGTTCCAATGGAACCACCAATGGCGATCAGCTGGACTTGGCGGTTGCCGAGGTTTCGCTGAAGGTGATCCGTGTTGGTGCTCAATTCGCCGTTTAGGATGCTTCCATTCTGAGTTTTGATTGCCTCCGTCTTGGAGTCCATGACGTCGCTCTTGTCGTCTTTGAGGGATGCCATGGTGAAGGTGCGATGCTTGGGTGTGAAGCTGAGGAGGTGGGTAAGAGTAAGGAGAGAAGATCTCTGACTTCGAACGGCCGGCCGGAGCCTTTATGAAGAAGCGGACAAAACGGTCGTGCGTATCCTGCGTGTGTCTAGACTGCACGGCGTAGTATTGTATCTTAGCGATTATCTGTATCCTGGAGATACTTACAACTAGCGTACTCCACCCCCGCAATGTTGCTGTTCGTCGTCTGACGAGTGGATACAAATCAGCCTGCTGGTTGAGGAGTCGAGGATCCTAGCCACGAAGCCGAGAGGCATCGGGTGGGCTGCCGATATGACGGTATCCCGCCCCCTGGTCCCGGGCCGTGGAGTCGTGGGATCCGTATCACTACGTACTCCGTAATCTGCTGCTATCTGTTGGAACGAACTTTAAACTGATTCAGCAGTATTTAGGGACTTGATAAGTTAATTGTCGTGCATTATCACCCGAGGATTGAACAGATAGATGGATGCTCGTGTCAAGGAACCAAGACCGCGATACACACTTGAACATGGCAAGGTGGCATGAATCTCCTCTGACGCCAGATGGCCCAAAACTACCCATCCCCCGTATCTTAAACGCATTCAGCTCGCCGAGTCCCGTCTCACCAGTGAGCGCCTCACTCCACCTGAATACAGCCCCTCCCGCCATTCCGTTCTCTGAGGCCAGACTCACTTGGCAAATTGAATCCGGGGTACTCAGGGGGCTAAATTCTGCGCCCGCAGGGATCTGGACTTCATGACGTGCGGGTGTATTGGCTCGATACGGCCTTGATAGGGTCCCACTCACATTCTCGGCTTCGATCCCGATGGTACGTGCAACGACTACGGGACGCGTTCCGTCTATCACGTATCGTGGGAAGCGTCCACGTACAAGCAATCTAATCGTGGGTCGAATGATGTGGCACAGCCCAAAATCCGGGGAAATTGACAAGACCCAGGGGTACGGTCCAGTGTTCCTAGTCCTCGAATTAATATTGTACATTAATGTCCCTCAATCATCTCATGTAGCGTCGTTGTCCGATCTCCAGAGGCTCACGGGAATCCCGAGACACGGGCACCTAGAATAGGTCCTAAAAACAGGCAAGGATACCACCTTCCTAAGATGGCCAACACATCTACTTTTACCCTAATACAACCTTTAGGCTTGGTTGCCATTATCCCCCTCAACAACCCACATGCTAGCCAAACATGCCAGTGTCGCCACTCCTGCCAAGAACCAGAACCCCAACTCCACAAATCCTATCCTCAGGCCATATGCAAACATTCCGAGCGCGGTTGGCGGGAATATGGAGCGGCTGAGACTACTAACAATGGTTCCAGTCGTATGAATTGTCGCTCGCGCGCTAGGGTGAGGCGTTGAGTCATTAATGAGCAGTGTCGTGGCTGGAGCTACTCCGGTACGCCCGCAGACGTACAGCAAGAGCACCAATGCGACGGAGATCCAGACGCACGGTTCAGTGATGGCATAAGGAGAGGCATTAGACGGTCGGTTGGTGGCGTAATAGCTGACCAGGGCTGGAAACGGGGCAATGAAATACGTAAATGGAAAGACCAAGAGCCCCGTTCGGAAAAGACGAAGTGTTCCGAGCCAGTCGTTGAGCGTAGGATACAGAACCACTTGAGTTATCACACCGATGGCGCCCTGTATCGACATGACGGTACCTACGCCGCGCGGGCTCATCCCGAGGCCTCCATAGAATCGAAAAGAGAGACTTTGCTGCTTGGCTGAGGGAGCCGGAGTGCTCAGGAAGATTGCCCATAGACTTGGAAAGGAGCAAGTATGGCCGTGGATGAGGAAGTAGGCGGCCATGGTTGCAACGACGTTGAATGTCCAGATTTGAGAGAATTTCAATCTCGTCAGCTCGGATCCTTGGGCAGAAGCAATCGATTGGGAGTCGGCAGGGATCTGGGCCCCTTGATTGCCAAGGAGACTCGTCGATTCATCAACTACTTCGTCGTGGCTTGTCCTATCGGATAACCTCCGACGGTCCAATTTAGTCCAGGCCCTTCGGAGGATGCCCAGGTGAGAATATTTGGTCCGAGGGAGCGTTTCTTCAACGACGACAATGGTCGCTACGGCTAGAATGGCGTGGAAAGCTGCAATGACAATGTTCGGCGCGGCGTACGGGAACTTGCTGAGAAAGCTGTTGTTGCCATTCTCTCTTCCAGGAAAGACGAGAAAGCCGCCGATCAGAGGACCGATTAGACTGCCAGCGTTTGTGCAGAGAGGGAGTAGCGTCAAGGCACGCGCCCGGTGACTGAACGCCGATGTTAGATATGTTTACCAAGACTAGAAGCACTCGCACCGTTTTTGTGGATTTAGCTCTGCAGTGACGCAGCGAGCCATTGATACGGTGCTGTTAAGGACGCCGTCAAGAAGTTGCCATGTCAGTGCCGTGGCAAATGTTCGGGAGAAGCCGTAGCCCAGGATAGAAATGGATGAAGCAAGCAGTCCAAAGACAATGACGGTCTTCCGGCCGCAGTACTCCCAGTCTGCTAATCGACCCCATATCAGCCCGGTGCAGACGTGTGCAGCGGTCTTGGCACCAATTATGATACCTGCTTGAGCAGAGATGGTGGCGGGAGATGCAGATGGGTCGAAGTGCTGGAGTTGGAAATAGAGGTACGACTGAAGACGTGTGAGTGATGTAATCCTTCAGCTTGCGGAAGTGGGTTGGTCACTTGGATGGACGACGAAGTCAGGGATTCGGTCATGCGAATCAGCATGAGCAGAAATAATTGAGGCTATAATGCTGCGGTTAATCTGGGCCATCTGAAAAGGGAAGCGATAGCAGACCTTGTGTGGTAAAGATAGGTAGGATACAGTCGTGACGTCGGAGTCGGCACGCTGATCCTCGACCGCATCGCCATCAGTGATGAGGCCCGGCGCAGCTGGCATCTCTACAGATGAACCAACAAAACACAAATACTTTGACATCTAAGATTGAAATGGAAATTGAATTATAGAATTGCGGAGGGATTGGTTTCATATTTGCCACGGCCGCGCACGCGATCAATGCCTCAGATAAGACAGCCGATGTGCTGGCATCAATGAACGCCATGTAGCATGCACTTGAAACCATCGCTACCTACCCCGCGTGCTAGGTGCCCAAAAACCATCTAGGACGGTTCATCTAGCCATTAAGAATATCAATGGCATCACGACGCATGAATAGCGGCCTGCTCTCGGGCTGCGGCCAACGACCGCGATCAATCTGCGGTACTGTCTAGCAAAGCTTGAATTGGTACTGTACCGTATGTTAGCACCCTGGCTCAGGCCTTGGAGTGGGCAAATTGTGACGTATTGGCCACAGTGGGGTGGCATCAAATCCGAGTCCGCCGAGGTTAACTCCGCATCGCTGAATATCATAAGGGCCGTTTGCGAGCTGAAGGTGTAATTGAAAACAGAAATTTCTTCTTCACTTTTCACAATATTTCCAAATCACAATGGCTACCAGCGAATCTGCCTGGGGCTCGTGGCTCGCAAAAGAGAGCGGCGTCGTGGTTGTGTGGACTTCGTGCCGCGATACAAAGCTGCTATGTGTGCAACGCTTCGTGCGGCTCTTTGCCTATGGCGCCTCGTTTCTCATTCTCGTCCACTTCCTCGCGAGTCTCGGCTTTTCAGACGAACGAATCGGCCTCTTCATGACGCTGACTCTCCTTGGAGACACCGTCATCAGCTTCATCCTGACAGCCATCACGGATCGCGTTGGCCGAAGACGGGTCATAGCCGCGGGAGCCTTGTTAATGATGATGAGCGGCGTCGTATTCTCAGTGAGCTCCAGCTATTGGCTGCTCGCCATGGCCAGCATCTTCGGTGTCATCAGCCCTAGCGGCAACGAGATCGGCCCATTCCGAGCCATCGAGGAGTCGATCCTGGCTCAGCTCACCGACAAGAAACACCGCAGCGATATATTCGCATGGTACACGCTTTTTGGGACCGCCGGCGCTGCCTTGGGCACGTTGGCGTCTGGCTGGATGGTGCAGGCGCTCCAGAACATCGAGACTTGGTCTAAGAGCGGTGCATATCGCGTTGTGTTCCTTGCCTACGCCGTCCTCGGAGGCATTAAATTGCTGCTCGTTTTTGCTCTCACTTCGGCGGTAGAGGTGGAGCCTCCGAGACCAGGCTACCGGGCCGTCCCTATGGGGCAAGAAGATGAGGCTCTTCTCTCCGATAGCTCCGACCCCGAAGCGCATCCCGGCACCTCGTCTAAGTCGGCACCCAAACCTAGGCCTGGTGGCGGACTAGCATCTTTCGTCCCACACATCTCTCACCAATCGCGCGCCATTCTGTTCAAGCTCCTTGTATTATTCTGCCTCGACTCGTTTGCTTCGGGCATGGCTTCGCCTTCATGGCTCACTTACTACTTCACCACCATTCACTCGCTGAAACCAGGGTCTCTTGGGACGCTGTTCCTCGTCACCAATCTCCTTGCCACCATTTCCAACCTTGCAGCTCTACCTCTTGCGCGAAGACTCGGTCCCCTCAAGACCATGGTCTTCACACATCTACCGTCGGCCGTTTTCTTGGCCATGATCCCATTTCCCTCGGCAGGGGGGACGGGAACCTGGCTCGCAATGGCCTTCTTGGCGTTGCGCGCTTGTACCCAGAGCATGGATCAAGCCCCAAGGCAGGCATTCCTCGCTGCTGCAGTTTTACCAAACGAGCGAACGGCTGTTTTGGGTGTAGTCAACATGGTAAAAACCCTCGCGCAGGCAAGTGGTATTGGATCTGCAGGATACTTTGCTGGCATGCATCTTTGGGTCATTGTGATGACTGGGGCGGGAGCAATGAAGGCTGCATATGATTTGCTCATGCTCTGGATGTTCCTTGGGTTGACGGATCGTGAGGAGGAGGAGGAGGAGGAGGAGGAAACTACACATAAGGTGAAGGAGAGGAGATAGAGATGGCATTGGGATTGGGACTACGATTCTCTTCTTGTAATGATTAACGCAGCATTTCTGTACAAATGGTGTTAAACGAATTTAGCTACCCTGGAGGTTTATGTGTTGGAACGAAAATTGCAAATAGTGGGGCGCGTACCGTATATATGAATATAGATGTACCACATAAAATGATAATAGCTCGTACAGGCATACCCGTCGGTCTCCGACCTTCACCCCCACCATCTTGTGTTCTCGCAGCCTATTGGAACTTGGCATCACGTACTTTTGCACTCCGTCTATCGCTTCAACTCCCCAATCTCCCCTTATTAGTCACAGTGTGTATCGTGTAAACTGCCGTCGATGAATCCGTCCTAGCATGGAAAAGCCATCAAGAAAAAAGGGGTTTGCCCCTCGGTCTCGATCGGGTTGTCTCGAGTGCAGGCACCACCACCGGAAATGCGACGAAAGACGACCTGTGTGCACCCTCTGCGAAAAGTACAGTCGAAACTGCGAATATGGCCTTCGCATCACATGGGGCGGTCGCCCTTTTCGAAAATCCACTTTCGGCAAATGCATGTCAGAGTCCGGGAGCCAGCCAATGCCGGTTGTTCAGATACAGTCGGCGGATATAGGTACAAGAGGTATTTTGGTTTCGGAGATCGTATACAAAGATCCTGACATTGAGGACAGATAATTCTCGATCTACCACACCATTTGTGTATGGAACTACCAATACTATAACGGCTGTCTCGGTAGCTGCAACCCCAGCAGACGCCCCGTCACCGCCTCTAGACCTTCCACATCACCTTCCACATCAATCACAACGGAAGGAGACCCAGGTAGCTCCAAGGATGAGAAACCACCAACAAAAAGAAGGGGATACATCTGTCACAATGGCTCCATCTTTCCTCCCCGATCTTCCACCCCATTATCGATCTCTGCTCGACTACTTCACGCGCGTCGCCGATTCGTTTTCCTGCGACGAGCTTGTGAAGAGAGACTTCTACACCACTTTCATGCCAATGGCGATTTCTAAATCCCATGTAATGGCCTCTATGCTCAACTTGGCCGCCGTACATAGGGTTAATGCCGGGTTAACACAAAATCCCACACAGCTAGCCCTTCTACAAGTAGTAACTGTTGAGCAACTGCGTTCAAAAGTTTCCCATACTTTTGCTTGTCCGACAGATGATATTATGGCGACCGTTTTGATGCTGTGCTACTCAGACATTGTAGCCGGTGGTGATAGGGCTCATTCCTGGAGGCTGCATTTAGAAGGAGCGGCGTCTCTCTTTACCCGTGATACAGCGGTATGGACCACGAAACCCCGGAATTCTACGTCCACATTCCTTGCCAGGTGCTTTGTCTCACTTGTGGCGCTTGCAAATGTGTCTGGTCATCCTCCAACTGAAGGTGTCTCGAGGCAGGCTCTTCGAATGATTGAGAAAGATGGCCAGCCAGGATACATTGACGAGTTTACAGCTTACTCGACTGATCTCGTACAAATATTTGTCGAAATCGGCACTCTATTGAGAAACCGACATGGCGTATTGAAAGAAATCAAGCTGCAAGAAGACGAATCCTTGAAGCTCGTCCAAAGAGTACAAACAATGGTGAATGACCAGCAGCCCGCTTTGGAAAAGGGTGTCTTGTCCACCTTGTCTTCGACTCGGAAAGAAGAGTATTTAAAGATTAACGAGTCCTACCATCAAGCAGCCTTGCTACATATTTATCAACGAATTCGGGGCCTTCCATCATCAGCGGCTGAGGTCCAGGAAATCGTCCGGCGCATTTTGGCACTGCTATCTGGTATCAAGCTTCTCAACGGCCCCTGTCCTGGAATCGTGTTACTATTTCCACTATTTTCAGCTGGATGCGGAGCGATTGAGGGGGATGACAGGCAACAAGTGCGAGCCTTGTTGACAGACATGGTAAAAATGTTTGGAATCAATACTGTTCAGCACAGCTTGAAGGTTTTGGAAGCGCTTTGGACTCACCGAGATGTGTATGGCGAGTCTGAGACCAGCATCGCCTGGGAGACGTTTATTGGTATGCACCTGGATGCCCTTTACTTGGACGTTGTAGTAGCTGACGTTTCTTTAGACGGGAATATTGATCTTATCTTGTATTGAAGTATGATCTATCTAGCAAGCAACAAGGAGCCTTTGTGCTTATCGAGAGCTCAACGCTGCATGTTTTATTCTGTAAGACCTTCTACCCTTAGACTCTTCATTTCTTCTGAAATGACCTCGAACATCGCGTCCATTTCCTTGCGCAATGCTTCTTCGTCCACAGCCAATACGTGGAAATCCTTCATAACCAGTCTACCATCGATGATGGAATGTTGAACTGCAGACCCATTGCAGCCGAACACCAGATGGCTCTCCAACATTGTCTTGCGCTTTTTGGGGTCTTTCAAGAGCGGAGTGAACATCTGGTTCTTGGTCAAGTCTACCACGATGACATCGGCCTTCTTTCCTGGCTGAACAGCCCCTGCATTGATACCGAGGGCCTGCGCGCCGTTTTTGGTTGCCATGCGTAGAATGTGCTGGGGTTTTCCGAGCGATGCATCCTTGTGCAAGGCTCGTTGGATGAGCGAGCCGAACTTCATGAGCTCGAACATGTCCGGGCTGTTCTCACATTCGAAAGCGTCGATTCCCATTCCAACATTGACACCGGCAGCGTGCAGATCTTGAAGTCGAGCAATGCCATTTCCTAGCTTTGCGTTGGAGCCGGGGTCATAAGACACCGACGTACCGGACTTTGCAAGCAACGCAATGTCATTGTCAGTGAGATGCACACAATGCGCTGCCACTGTGTCGGGGCCTAAGCAGCCAGATTCGTAGGCAATCTCCATGGGCGTCTTTCCGTATTTCGCTCGAGTATCCTCTACCTCCTGCTCAGATTCGCAAAGGTGGATATGCAAGCCTGTGCCCAGCTTTTTCTTCATCTGGCCTACCTGGGCCATCAAGTCGAGATTCGAAGTGCACATCCATTCATGGCCCATCCAGACTTTAATGCGACCAGACTCTCTGCCGTCATTTTCCAGAAAGGACGCTTCGTTGTCTTCAATCAAGTCGAGCTTGTGCTCTGCAAGAGCTACTTCATTGCTGAGAACAGCCCTGATGCCGATTTTACTGGCTGCATCGGCAAGTGACCCCACGAACCGGTACATGTCGTTGACGGTCGTGGTCCCAGACTTGATCGCCGTGCAGTACGAGTGCATCGCTGCAGTAAAAGCTCGCTCCTTGTTCAAGGCTCGGACGCTTGGATACCAGACCTCGTCTAAATACTCCTTGAGGGGGAGTTCATCTCCAAATCCCTAACAATGAATCAGCTTACTTCTTGCACATGGGGGGAAATAATACCTTTGCCACTGAGGTGTGGAAATGCAAGTCGACGAACCCCGGCATCACCAACTTGTCGGTGCCATCTAGGAGTGTAACAAATGAGTCATTTAGGAGTTCCTCGCTGGGGTTGCCGCCGTAGACTTTGGTGATACAATCATCCTCTATCTCCACTGTTCCCGGATAGTAGAAGTTGTCGTTGTCATCTAGGGTTAGGATGGTGGTATTGTAGATGATGATGCGAGCCATTTTGAAGCGTGGGGGGAAATAGTGACGAATGAGTACCCCAAGGAGAGAGTAAATGCCACGAAGTTTTATTATTTGAAAGAGGGACAGGAATGCATCTGACTCTGCCCTTTTAATTGCATTTATACCCTCTGATCGCTTGGTGTGACATGGTTAATCGGGCTGAGGAGATATTGGTCTATACTTTCCCTTTTCAGTCTAGCATGATATCGCAGGTCTATTCATTCCTGTTTGAGCATAGCGTCGTCTGATATGCTAGGTACAACCTGCTCCCAGTGGCTTCAATCATGCTTCAATGGCCGGAATCATGTTTGTCGGCAGGATTTATGACCCAAGCGTGAACCCTGACGAGAGCCTCGACATCCGCAAATTTGGACGTAATTGATTTTTCACAGATGATTCCTGGAATCGCAGCTGGCTCTGCGTTGCCAAACGCATCGGTTGAGGGCTGCTGATTTAATGATCAGAGTTGAGGTTTAGCTTGGTGCATCGTGAGAGCCGAGGATCAGGGCCTTGTTCTCAGTAAAGCAGTCAACAATATAATAGTGGCAGTGTGGTGTAAGTCTCAACAAATTTTGTTCCAGACTAGCTAACGGGTCGACCCAGCCCAGCCAATCCCTCGAGAACCTTGGTTGCCTCGTATGCTGCCGTCCAGCGGATAGTCTTCAGATACTCGGCAACCTCAACCGCCAAACCGTGAGTGCAGCATTCCGTCGGCCTCTTGCTGTCATTCATCAGAGTCAACGACGCCATTTGAGAGACGGTATTGGTCATCGAAGCCTTGGAGTTCCCGGCCATTTCCCCCTTCTGCATAGAATCATGATTGCAGACGACTCCCTCGACCGAGAAGTGCTGGAAAGCCCAACAAGTCAGCGTGCCAATGTACAGACACCAAGGATAATGAAAAGCTTCCGTGTCGTCCCAGGATTGAAGTTTGAGCAGGCCTTCTCGGAACATCTGTGCTGCGTGCCATGCTGCGTGGGCTGCTGACTTTGGACTTTGTTGTACCCATTGCTGCACGAGCTGTGTGCTCTCGGCGCGATCTTCGGAAGTCACCATGTGCCCAAAGACGGCCTTGGCCCCAGCTGCAATCTGTAGATTGCGCACATCAGTATTGACAATGATGTGGGCGGTGTGGTATAGAGCTAAAAGTGAGACTGTATCCTTCTCAAAATCAGCTTGGATGTGCCCACCCCGAGTGCTCTGGACCGTTTCCATCGAATATGCGTCATAGCGAGCCTTCCATACGTCCAAGGCATGCATCAACTGCAGTCTCCACAATGGTGAATTTTGATCATCTCCTTTGTTCTGGTTGATGTGGATCGCCCTGTTGTTAAAATGCACCATGTCGTTACACATGCACATTAGTCCGTGGAGGAGGAAGGTCAGCGGCAGCGTGCTGAGAGTCTCGGATTGTAAGATGTTGCTGCCTTCTACAATGCTTTGTAGAACGTTATTAAACTTGGGCTGCTCGTCGTGTAGAATGATTAGTCTCTTCCAGTCTTCTTCGCTACTGGCATCCCAAAGATTGTTGTGGCAAGGTAGGTGGACGCTGATGGTTTGGGTAGACATGCTCGGCATGAAAGAGAAGCATGAGACATTTTGTGTGTCCCACATGAAGACAAATAAAATCAGCCTGCGGATTATCAGCGGCAAGAATTTTTTTCAAAGACGCGGGGTTGAGATCCTGTACCTCTTGTACTGCTCAGCATAAGCAAATACCGCCCAGTCTTCTTGGTGGTGCGTCAAGGAGTCAGGGAGGGCGATCCTGGCTCTGACGTGATATCTTGAGAGTCGTCGGATAGCCTGTTAAACCGTAAATTAGCTTGGGAATGAGGGACGAAATGGATAATTTCTAGAATTTACGTTAAATAGTAGCGTATGAATGAGAATTGCGTTCTCCCTCTGATACGGTCCAGCTCGATACATGCCGTAGCACTCCAGAACAAGAAAAGCCTGAAGAGTTGCTAGATCGGGCATTGGGATACTGATTAAACCGCTCAATATGTGTGGAATCACCGCATCATAAAGGCAGACGGATAGCTGATGTGATTCTCGGGATCCGTACGTGGCGCCCATGATGAGCATAGCCAAGAGGACCATGGGGCTGGCCGTGTTGGCGTCAAAGGTAGGTGGGTGTATCAACGGATACTCGGTGTTGAAGTGTTTAAAAAAGAGATCCAAATCATGTTGCATCTTACCCAATCCAAGGTTAGAATTGTGCTCATCGACTAAGGATCCATCTGGGTGTACCGGACGTATGTCTGATATGTAGCTTATAATCTCTCGTCGCTTTGTAGAGGAAATCCGGGAGCCAGTGATGTTGAGATTATTCAGCTGATCGACAGGATCTGACTCTTCACAGTCTGTTTGATCATGGATATGCTCAATGATATTAGAGGTTTCCACACCGGATGATGAAGGTGATTTGACCAGAGTAGAAGTCACCAGTGTCGCCGGCTCCCCGACGTCGATAGCCGGGCATTGGGCGTCAAGGCTCGGCCCGCTTCCACGCGATGGCTCTATGACTGATCCAGTGGTGGGAGCTGAACTCTCTTCGTCCAACCAATCTAGAACACTGAGCGTCTGAGGAGTCTGGCCCAGGATATTGTGGTCATCGAGGGGATCCGATGACAGGCTTGATACGTTAAAATGGACCGAGTCAAAAGCCGGATCGTGATATATGTTTTCCAGTTCTTGCCAGTGGTTAAAGCCTTCTTCAAAGGGCAGTGGCGAGAAGTGCGTCAACGATTGCTGGCGTACTTCGCCGTCTAGTATGCCCTTATCAGGTAGACTATGAGATGTGCCATCAATTGCCCGGGTGGTGGAGGCGCATGCTATCGTATCTACTGGCGAGAGCAACGCAGGAAAGGCAGTGTCTCTAGTTGCTGCTGTAGAAATGTTGGAATCCCGGGAGTGTTGGCCAAGGGCTCGTCTCCTTTTGGTCTTCAGAACGCCCTTACCGCGCCCGCCGGCTAGTCGGTCTTTGTGTAAATGACGGGCCTTGTGCCGCTCTAGATTGACATTTGAGTCTCAATTCAACCGAGAGTCGAGCATTCTACGCTTACCTAGAAGATCTAGCCGTTTAAATGACGCCTGACAACGGGCACACGTCCATTGCGTATCTGAATGATTCAGGGCATGGCGCTCAAGGTGCGATGGGCGGCTGAATGACTTTCCGCAGCCGGGTTTGAGGCAGCGATGGCGTCTGCCACTGCGATACTCGGGTGGCTTCTGCTCCGCCTCATTCTGGTCGCTCATGACTGCAGCGTGCTCGTATGTGAAAAGTGAGGTTACCCGCTGGATCGTCGGAAGCCGTCATCCTTCCCCCTCTCACTAATCCGAACCTGGACCAATCTGAACCAAGCGTCGGCTCTTCTGGTTTCTTTATCGGATAACACCCTCCCCACCTTTTCTGTCGCTCCGTATCTTCATCACAGGCGTGTCCCCACCTTACGATTGTCCCACTTTGCTAACTGGGCCAACGTACCACTCTACAACCCTAAGTACCATCTTAATTGAGGAAGTACTGTAGATGGGGGTGGTGGGAATATCATGGGGCGCAAATGACGGGTGGCTCAACTTGAATAGAGTGGTGCAACTCAGGATGGAAATGATATGGACAATCATGGTCTAAGCCAGGCATATAAACTCTAGTCTCAGCCCAGTATCGAACTGATGGTGCAAGTACAATCGACAGAATTGGATGACACGACGTTACTTTACTATATCACCATGGATTCAAAGTCTAAATTTGTCGATGTCATAATCATCGGAACGGGTAAGTAAGCGGCTTCTAGTCTGTACGTCTTGATCATCTAACGCCGTGGATGCAGGAGTCGGTGGCCTCTCCGCTGCAAAGACCTATTTGGAGGCCGAACCCACTGCCGACATTCTCCTTCTTGAAAAGGTACGCCATGATTTTAAACAAGCTTCATTATGATCCTTTCTGACTATTTTGAGTACAGCGGAAGACTATCGGGGGTGTTTGGGCAGACGAAAACTGCTATGATGGTCTCAAAACCAACAACCTATTGGGAACATACGAGTTCACTGACTTCCCAATGGGCGAAAAATATGGGCTTAAGGCAGGCTCCCATATTCCTGGTTCCGTTCTCCACTCTTACTTGACGGATTTCGCTATTCATTTTGATATCCAACGGCGGATCCAGTTCGAAACCCATGTTCAAGAGATTACCAAGATGGACAAGGGCTGGAAAATCACAGCCAAGGCACTTGGAACGGCTGATGGTCCTGACTCAACTGTGCATTTCCAATGCAACAAACTCATCGTCAGCAGTGGTCTAGCATCCACGCCGAACCCTGTATCTATCCCTGGCCAGGCGGCTTTCGGCAAGCCCATCCTCAACCACGGCCAGTTGAAAGAGGAAGGCCGCCGTGTAGCCGAGGACCCCTCAGTCAAGTCGGTAACCGTTGTCGGCGCCTCTAAGACTGGCTACGACACTGTGCAGCTCATGGCATCCCACGGAAAGCAGGTTGACTGGATCATACGCGAATCTGGAGGCGGCCCAGTGTGGATGTCACCTCCATGGGTCAACATGGGCCCCTTTCGGGTGATGCTTGAGCATCTCGCCACCATGAGATTTTTCTCTTGGTTCAGTCCCTGCATCTGGGGTAACTACGACGGCTTCGGGTGGATCCGAGCGCTGCTTCATGGAACTTGGCTTGGCAGACTCGTCGTTCATCACTTCTGGGAGAAGATTCGAGAAGACACTGTCCGTGGAAACCGGTATAGAGAAGAACCCGCTCTTGCGTTGCTTGAGCCCTACGAGAGGTAAATCCCCAGAGCCCGTTACTGTTTGAAGCGGCGCGTCGTTACTTACTAATTTCTTAGTCTCTTTTGGTCCGCTCGAGTCGGCGTCCTGAATTACCCTGGCAACATCCACGATTACCTTTTGTCTGGACAGGTCAAGCTCACTAAAAAGGACATTTCGTGCCTTTCCGAGAACGGAACTGTACATCTAAGCGATGGGAGTGAATTTCACACCGACGCATTGATCGCCATTACCGGTTGGAACCTAGCCCCTACCGTCAAGTATTCCCCCGCCGGCATAGAGCGCGAATTGGGCATTCCGTGCAGCATCGTGGAGGGAAAAGAGGCATCGCTGTGGGAAACCCTCGACAGTGAAGCCGAGAAGGAAATTCTCTCTCGCTTCCCCTACCTTTCCAAGCAACCAAAGCAGATCATTCCCTACAAGCAAAAAGTCTCTCCGTACCGACTCTACCGGGGCATCGCATCACCAGAGCTCACGACCCGCAACGACCACTCTATTGTATTCATCAAGATGGTTCATAGCACGAGCAACATGATCATCGCCGAGACTCAGGCTCTTTGGGCTTACGCATATCTGAACAACAAAATCGACATTGACAGAGCGCAGGTCTACAAACAAACAGCCCTGACAAGTCGGTATGGAAAGCTTCGCTATCCCTGTGGCTTCTCATCTTGGTATCCAGAGTTTGTGTACGACGCTATTCCATATGCCGACATGCTCCTGAAGGACCTGGGCGTTCAGAACAAGCGGAAGAAGACGTGGAGAAAGGAAATCTTCCAGGGGTATACCATCCAGGACTACAAGGGAATCAACCAGGAGTGGATTAAATCTCACCTATCTAACTCGGCGGTCTAAGAGAGAGGAGATGCCATCACATTGGCAAGGTTGTCCCATAGCTTGATAGACTCAAACACTATTGGAGTTGAGCCTTGCCCTTCCACAAACCAGCTGATGCCGGAACTCAGCGGCACATCTGAATATACCATCGTTGAAAGCGCAAATCGATCATTGGCAAAGACTTCGAGCACATCGCCATCACAAAAGATTCGGAGCCTCAGTTTCTCCAACACTTCCGCACCCTCGTCGTCGAAGCGGAACAGTGTAAACGGCCCGCTAACCTCGTTCTTTTTCACATCTGCTTCGCGGTTTGACTGACTTCTGTCAACCACAATCTCTTCGTCTTGGGCCGAGAAGAAGATGCTTGTTCGCTGGGTCAGGTCGTCGTTGTGCCGGATAAAGAAGCCCGCGCGGCCTTGGTCCCGTTGGACGTTGATGACGGCCTCCAACTCCCAGCTGGGGGACGCATTCTCTGCAAGTTTCCCAGAGTCGCTGTTTTCTCCAATATGCGACCAATGAGTGTGTTTAGCTGGCCTGAGTCTCTGAAGATCAGATAATGGCCGGATACCCAATGTCTGCACGCTCTTTGTTTTCCTCCCTGTTGGGTTGATATCCAACACTTTGATAGAGTGGATATCTTCCAAAGGCGTCTTCAATGTCCCAGTTACATTTTTGGCAGTGAACAAAAATATCTCCCGCGGCAGTGACATGTGTCCAGTCCAACCCTTGGATTCGCGTCGAGCCAAGGATAGCTCATCCTCTTTGAGCCAACCCCAAAGCACCCTTTTCTTTGTCTCAGGATGCTCATATGAGTTTGGCGCATAGAAACATCCATAATCAAACATACCGCTGTACTCGTGTTTTAGCTTAGGCCCTGTCGGATTGTTTTCCAGGGAGCCAGCCAACCACAACGGCTGTACCCAGTTATCGTCCTCGTCGTCGTTGACGCATTCCGCATCTAGTTTGCCTTCTGAGCCCAATATCAAGAAATGTCCCAACTCTGAGCCATGGCCGAGAGTCATGAAGTTGGCACACTCCCAGTTGACACCGAAATTTGCACTCCACCGTCCTGGTGGGCGGTATCCAACAGGCATGTCAACGAACTGTCCCAGGTAGTTCCACTTGGTCAAGTTATCCGGCGATACCGCGTAAATGAATACGGTAGGCCCTTGGTCCAGCACTCCTCCCGACACAAGGCCATAGAGGCTCTTCTCGCCTCGTATGTCGTCCAAAGCGGGCCACTCAGCGAGGAAGGGGTCGCGGAAGCCTGTGACGACAAGGTCTTCGGGCTCGCCACACAAGATCGGATTAAGGTCGCTCTTTTCCCACTCTCGGCCACCGTCTTTGGACACGGCCACTGACAGTCCAGCGTTTCGGGAGTATGGCTTTGTCCAGTGTATAGGAAGCCTCAACGCAGATGTGTAAATGACGCTTAGCTGCCCTTCTTCTCCGTAAAGGCCTGTGGGACAAAAGCAACCGGTGAAGACGCCTTCTTTGTCGTACGGATTGTCGGGTTTGAGCTTGGCTTCATCGCCGTTTTGCTCCCAAAAGATTCCATCTCGGCTAGTGAAGTGTCCCCATGCGATGTTGCCCCAGTCACACGATTCCGGATTCCCTGATACAGTGTAAGTGCTTCGGTCGCATGTGCATAAGAGTGCCGAGTTGATGCTCGAGGAATGAAGCTCACATTGGTAAAATAGGTGGTAGGTACCGGTCACAGCATCATATCCTGGTGCACACGGGTCATTGATCCATCCGTGTGGGGCTTTAAGGTGGTAGGCTGGAGGCGTGTGTCGAAGAGCCCGCTTGGCGACGGCGAGTGAGTTAGGCATGTTGTTCAAATAGCACCAACGCTCTATAGCTGCTCTGAATAAACATAAACGAAAGAATGGCGATGCAAGTTTGAAAAGGGCAAAAGTATTTATGCGAGAAGGGGCTCCAGTTTCATGGCATCTTTAATATTAAATAAATAACCTTCCCCAGGTACCCCTCACTACACTAAACCCATGTCGGTCCGACAAGATCAACTGTCGGTCCGACATGCTTGGCGTGTTGTTTTGCATCCGGGGTATGCATGGGGTGCTCATTCCCCGGCTCTTCCGCTCCGAGAACCAGTCCGAGAATATTGCCGTGAGCTTCAGGTTCATTGCTACAATCCCAATATCGCATTGGTGGTTATATCTGACACCTCATGATCATTCCTAGTAGTCAAACTCCAGCATTTACTGAGCCGTATATCCTCCGTCAACGGGAAGAGACACGCCGGTAATCCACCTCGCCTCAGCGCTAGCAAGAAAGATGGCAGCTCCAACGATGTCCTCGGGAACGCCGACACCGTGAAGAGGGTGTCGTGAACGAATGCCTTCGGCGTCGTCCAAATAGGCCACTGTGTTCTTGAAAATGGCTGTCTGTGTATCTGGAGAGGAGGTGTTAGTAACATGATTCTTGTCGGTTGGAATATCTTGCGACATACAGCCAGGACAGATTGCATTACAGTGGATGCCTTCCGGAGCGTAGTCTAGAGCGACTTGCCGCGTGAGGTTCGACACGGCGGCCTTGGACGCAGCATATGAGCCTAAATTGTTAGCGACTGACAACAAGCAAGGGTTGACGGCGCTAGATAAATTTACTTACAGTTGTTGTGGCCGGCAACCAGTCCGAAAATGGACGACATGTTGATGATCCACCCTCGATCCCCAGAAGGAAAGGCGTCCTGGGTCAGCATCTGCTTGAGGGTATGCTTGGAGGTCAAGAATATGGACTTGACGTTGACGGCCATTGTCGTGTCCCATGTCTCATCCGGGGTTTCGTGAATCCTGAGAGGTGCATTGTTTGCCTCGATGGAAATTCCTGCATTATTTACAAGTCTTTGGCCATGTTAATTGCGGTCCAGAAAACATGCGTCGCCGATGAGATGGGACTTACACGTCAATCCGACCGTACTCAGCAACAGCCCGATGCACCATGGCCTCCACCTCATCGGCCTTGCTCAAATCCGCTTTGATGAACACGGCACGGCCGCCTTTTTGCCTGACCAGCTCATCCGTATTGACTTCGCATTCGGAAGCCACCTCAGCGCGAGCGCCCGGCTTCAGGTCGACACATACGAGGCTGGCTCCCTCGCGAGAATATGCCAAGGATATGGCCCTGCCAAGGCCGGAAGAGGACCCGGTGACGATGCAGACCTTGCCGTTTAGGCGTTGCGAGGTAGAGGGAGAAGCCATTGTGATGTGGTGATGATCCGAAGTTCTTCCAGATGAATACTTGATGAAGTGATCCGGCATCAACCTCTCTTCCTCTTATCATTCAAATCAATAAATATTGCTGCCTAACCTAGCTGCAGGAGGCGCTGTCGGGTGATCAAAGTTTCGGCAGAACTGCCGCTGCTTCTCCTGCAATGAGACACTCTCGTCACCGGGATATGCGTCCTGTTCCTCAATCTGGGGGGTTATGCATGTTCCCCATGAAGTTCATTGGCTGCCAAGAATAGGTTGTAACACGGCGTCTTTCTCACAGTGGACCATTCTGCATGAGGTGCGTCGTCCAGTCGGTAACATTGCCTGGACTTGAGCTTATCAAGCAGTCCAAAGCGCAGACTCCACAACACAGACGACCATAATAAAATAAAAGTTGGAAATTTTACCGAGCCACTTGCGAAGGCAGTTTTCCGTGAAGAACTGCCTCCAACACGGTCACTGCTTGGAATCTTGCCGACAAAACGAACGGGCGAGTTTTACCAACACAAGGGTGGATTTTCACGTTTCTATTCTTCCCTATATTTGCCCGAGTCTATCTAACCCTATAACGCGGAACATATTTCTAGAATATTTTCCTTCATCTAAAATTCTTCATAATTAACATTACCCGGGGCAGTGCCTCTTTGGGACTTTTCTCGGCCGGTCCTCAATGAGATCCTGTAGGAGTCAGGAATTCTCCCAGCTGCCCAAGGAATATCTCTCGTAGTCGATCTTGGTCCTTCTGAGTCGGACGGGCCAAGTTGCCGTGGCGCTGCTCCCAGCTGGTCTCGGTTTCCATCAGCCATGCCTCGGGATCGTAGCCCGAGGGGTCTGAAAAGTGGTAGGATCTGAATTCGGTATTTTCCCAAGCTGTCGCTGAGAATGGTCAATTGAGGCTCGATTGTTCCAAGTCGGCGCCTTACCTCTGGCTGGCTGTACGCCGTGATAATCATTGGTGAGAAAGTGCAGAAAGGCACCGTGTGTGACGACGACAACATGGTCATCGTCGCCAGCATATTGGAGCATCTCGCGGAGTACCTTTCTGGCCTTCGTTGCTCGGGCTCGCACGGCCTCGGCCTTGACCGGCCATGAAACCCATTCCGATGTCGAGTTCCATCCATCGTAAACGCAATGGAGGTCAACAAGAGATTCAAATTCTTGTTTAAGAGTAGCTGGCTCAGAGCCGGTGTCGCACGGCGAATCTGCCACCTCTTGGAATTCCGGGATGGCGACTACCGGGGGCTGCTGGAGAGTGTCTGCCGTATCTCTGTACCCAAAAGCCAAGAGACAAGTCTGCAAGGTTCGTCTCAGCGGAGACGCAAAAAGGCGAGTCACTTGCTTGTGGTGTGGGAATTGAGCTCTCAGCTTCTCGCATTGCTGCTCCCCAAGCTCCGTCAGGCGGGGGTCGTGGATTGCTTCGTTCTCCCGGCACAGATTGTGGAAGCCTTGAGCATGGCGAACCAGATGTATTGTGACGGGCATATTGATCACGGTTGATGTCTGGTGTATTGTGACTGGTCGTGTCTTGCAATGATGATCATCAACGGTACGGAAAATGGTTCTTGATATTTAAAGTCGCCGAGCCCGATCCGTTCAGTGCCTGAGCCCCACGGATGGCCCCGTAACCCCGCTGGTACGACCCGGGGTACCACCGTAGACCGGTACGAGCGTGAAGAGTCACCACCGAATATTTTACCTGGTCCAAGGTGCCATTACAGGTTTGACAGAGAGTGTAATTTTTATTTTCTAGCCGGCAGGACGATATCCCTCAAATTTTGAGAGGCATGCAGACTTCGCTGTACCCTGGTGGATTGTCAATCAAAGCTCAATCCCTGGTCGCTGCTACACGTACGAGAATGGCAATCGCCCATACCCATGTTCGTACGCCAAGGTATCCCCATAGTGTAGCCCCTGTGTCTCGTGTTGGTGTCACGCGGACTGATGGTTTCTTGCTCTCACGGTCCTCGGGACTATTTCCGGTTTTTCTCTCACGCGTGCCAGTCGTGGTGGGCCGTTTGATCTGCGTCTCATTTTAGTTCCGTTGCCGAACGCAGACTTGGGGAAGCCAAGCCGAGCCACTAACGAATCCATCTCGCCTTAGATTCCTGTTGTGATCAGCCACAACGTCCCTGTGATGGAGACGCGACGTTCGGGATGAGCTTGGAGGCCTTCCCCAGAATTTGCACGGCAGTCAATATCCACGTTCCAGGCGATCTGCTCACCCCGCATTACCTACTCTATATATGAAGTAGCATTTATGAGAACAATTTTATTCCATTGCTCCAATTACAAAACTCTTGATTCAGTTGCATAGCCGTTTATTTTCCCGCTTGCTTTGCGAGTATAACACATTTCACTATGACCCATGATGTTGACGTCCTCATCATTGGTGCCGGCATGTCTGGCATCGGCCTTGCTATTCAGCTTGTCAGACAGCACGGCACCCGAAACTTCGAGCTGATTGAGAAATCTGACCATGTTGGTGGAACTTGGTGGTTGAACTCATACCCTGGATGCGGATGTGATGTAAGTCTTTAGCCAAGCGCTATTGGGTTTCTGGTGTTGACCACATTTTTTTTCTAGGTTCCTTCTCACTTCTTCTCTTATTCGTTCGCTTTGAATCCGAATTGGTCACAGAAGTTCGCCATGCAGCCCGAGATTTACGCCTACTTCAAGGACGTCGCCCGAAAGTATGACATTGATAACCACGTCCGATTTCAATCTGTGGTTGAATCGGCAGTCTGGGAGGATGACTCCGGCACATGGCTGGTGACTATCCGAGACTTGAAGACAACCAGAGTCACCCAACGTCGATGTAAGATCCTGATCTCCGCAGTCGGCGCTCTCTCAATCCCGAAGAAGTGTGAGATCCCTGGTGCGTCCAAGTACCAAGGTCGCATGTTTCATACTGCTGAGTGGGATCACTCCTTCGACTGGAAGAACAAAGAGGTGGTAGTTATCGGTAAGTCAAGGCCCAAAGTGTCATGGATTGAGCTCATACAACTTAGGAAATGGGTGTAGCGCGACCCAATTCGTTCCCATCATTAGCGGAGGTGATGGAGCAGTCAAGACGGTTACGCAGTTCAGTCGACAAGCACACTGGCTTGCCGAAAGGCCAAACCCGGAATACTCTGCTTCGTTTAAGTGGATGATGAGATGGGTTCCATTCGCCATGCGAATCTATCGTGCAAGCTTGTACTGGGAGAAAGAACGAGATTTCCGGGGCTTCCGTGTCACATCTGGAGCCGATATTCGTAAGAATTGGTCAACCGAGGCTGCTGACTACATCCGCAAGAATGCACCCAAGAAGTATCTGGACTTTCTTGTGCCAAAGTCGGAAGTTGGGTGCAAGCGTCGCGTCAACGATACCGACTACTTGCTGAGCCTTCACCGCGACAATGTCGATTTGATATACACCGACCCGGCCGAGGAGGTTTTGGAGAATGGCGTGCGCACAAAGTCTGGGCGGGTTGTTAATGCAGATGCCATCATCCTCGCAAACGGATTCGAGACGCAAAAGTTCCTCTCCCCGATGAACATCCAGGGCAAGGATGGAGTCGACTTGAGCGACCATGTAAGCTGCCCTGCTTCCGCTTGAGGTCTTGGATTAACAATCGTCAGTGGGATGAAGTGAGTGAAGGAGCCTCATCTGCTTATTTCGGAACATGCGTTTCAGGGTTTCCCAATTTCTTTGTCATGATGGGCCCAAACACATTGAGCGGCCATCTCTCCGTCATATACACCACCGAGTGCCAGATCAATTTCACCATGCGCGTCATCAACCCGGTGATGAAGGCTCTCCGCAACAGCAGGTCCATCCTGCCCACTATCCGCAGCGCCCCGGATATCGTCGACGTCAAGGCAGATGCTGAACAGAGAGACATTGCGACCGTCCAAGAGAAGGCCAAGGAACTGGTTTGGGCAACAGGTTGTACTTCCTGGTTTATTGAGACAACCACAGGCAGGAATACCATCATGTACCCCGATTGGCAGTATCGGTTCTGGCTTCGGAGTGTCTTTATCGCTTCGAACGACTTTGCTTACAGAAAGTCAAAGCACGCCGTCGTAGCTGGTAAACAAGGTGTAGGTGCTGGCACGTTCTTAGCCGTTTTTGCAAGTGTCATCATTGGCGCGGGGGCATTATTCCTCGGTCGAGCAGTCTAGAACTTGTTCTTCAATTTGTTGGAGGCTAAGATTTACATTATAACGGAACAGCCGGAATCAATTATGAGGGGCTGGTGTCGTTAGTCATAAATATTGTGTATTTCGTGTGTAGATAAGCCGGCGACTTGACCGGTCAATTAAATCATTCCGCCGGGAAGTTTCCGCCGGCCTCGATTTTCCCCGCAATATCTAACCGTCGGCCTTGTGATGTGTCGGGGATTGGCGAAAGGCTTACGTTTGATGATGCTTATTTTAGATGCCAGGTGTCTTGAATTTTCCCCCTCCTTACCTCACCATCACTCTCATCACGAATTCAACGAATAGGTTGAACTTGCCCAGCGATAACAACCGTCCACCATGGCCCCACGCAGTAAGTTGAACATCACGTTTGATCTCAGTTTATCTCCATTACCTGTGTCTAACTGGCGCAGCTATGATTGAAAGATTCAAGGAGCGAATTGCACTTGCTCCAGGATTGCCAAACCCCAATCCAACCACGTCCGCTTGGCAGGAACCACCAGATTCAATCGCGAATATCCAATCGCCAGATTTCCCCCAAGACACGGATGTAGTCATCATCGGCTCCGGTGTCACAGGCTGTGGTGTTGCTCACACTCTTTTGAACCATCCTGCTGGATCTAACTTGCGTGTCACCATACTGGAAGCACGCAGTGCAGTCAGCGGCGCCACAGGCCGCAATGGGGGCCACATTGTATCAGATACAGCCGGTCATTTCCAAAGCCTCGTAGATGGCCTTGGAGTTGAGCGGGCTGTACAAATTCTCCGTTTCAGCGAGGCTAATATTCTTCGCCTCAAAGAATTGGCAGCACAGCTCGAGGACAAGGATCGTGACGCGGCTGAGTTGCGATCACTCATATCCACTTCTATCATCATGGATAGAGAGACTCTGGAACCTCTGAAGCAGTCCCTGAAATTGTTGAAAGAGGCTGTTACATCCTGCACTTTGGAGCAAAAGGTTATCGATGACCAAGACGCGTTCAAGGCAAGTCACAACATATTTGGCAATAGGCGAAGACTAATCGTAGTTTGGGTCTTTACAGGATTATAGGTATAAGGGCGGTGTTGCCGTTTTCGAACAACATGGAGCTGGCGCATTGTGGCCATATCGCCTTTTAACAGCAGTCTTGCGATATCTTTTGAGGGATTACCCGGACCGGTTTTCTCTAGAAACCAACACGCCAGCGACCTCGATCGCCTGCAATGGCGAAGGTTATGTCATCGAGACACCGCGAGGGTCTATCAAGGCAAAGAAGGTCATTCACTGTACCAACGGCCATGCTACACACCTGCTTCCACAACTCACAGGCAGGCTGTATCCGCTGAGAGGTACAATGTCCGTTCACAGTCCTGGCCCTGCTTTTCCTCAGCTGGGAAGTGTTTATTCATGGACACAAATGCAGAAGCATGAATACGACCCGGAGACTGGGAGATTATCGCCAGGTCTCTATTATGCTCAGCAAAACGCTCACACGGGTGATATTTGGATCGGAGGAGAGAACCAGAGCCTCGAGACGATGTTATCAAGCGACGACTCCGTCATCTCAGATCAAGCGACGGAAAATCTCTCCTCCATCATACCGAGAGTCTTTGTTGATACTGAAGGCACGGAGATGAAAAAGATATGGTCAGGTATCATGGGTTTTACGGCAGATGGACTTCCATTCATTGGAAAATTAGGGCCTGCAGTTACAGACAGAACAGGAGACGGTGAATGGATAGCTGCTGGATTCAATGGCCACGGTATGGACAAAGCTTGGCTGAGTGGCGAAGCGGTGGCTCGGATGGCACTGGGAGAAGAGGTGCCCGACTGGCTTCCAGCGGCATATCTGCTTGATGAAAAGAGGCTCGAGATTTGTACCATGGACTTTGCAGCAGAGCAGATGGCCGCTATCTTTCCTTCTGCGTGAGGGGATTCCATGGTTTTGGGACTTTGAGTAATCTATCTTAGCTCTGCGGGACCGTCGCTTCTAGGATCTAGTCCGCTCTGAATAATTGAAATTAACTAAACTCTATGGATTGTATCATCATTCGAGATTTGGCTCGTAGGGCGATGTATTCAGTGAGAGTTGATCATATATTCACACATCTCAAGGCGTGGTCAGTCATCTCTGGTGGTTTAAAAGTCCATGTAAATATTTAATGCCCTCGTTGATCCCTTTCATGAAAACCGTGAACTGAAAATCAGGATTGATGTATCCCAGTTCCATAGTATTAGGCAACTGGAACCTTCCCCATCCATTATCCCTTTTCAACCTATCGGGTACCGATGAACTATTTTTAGGTGACACGCTTTCGACCTAGCGAGACGTTAATTATCCACCGGCATATTTCGATAATGCCCGGTCTATCTAATAACTCCCGGACGACAGACCCGCTTCTTGGGATTCGTAAGCACCCTGGATATATAAACGAGAAGAATGCCCACCTATCACCGAACCAATTCAAAACTCTAACAACAAAGGTCCGTTTCAAATCTAGCTACCATGACTGTCGATACTCCCACTGGCCGCAAGGCTCTACATCTGTATCATGGAGACTCTGAGAGTTGGGTAGCTCGGGCGAGTGAGAAGCGCGCCGAGTGTTTTGAAGCAATTCCAAAGGATTGGGTTCTCACTCCTGGCATAATTGAATCCCTTGAGATGCCGTTGGAAGAGCATAAGAATGAAATTATGGCTCTCGATATTCCCCGTCGTTCAGGTATACTCACGGAAAGGGAACTTCAGATCACAGAAGATTATGACGTCTCTGCACTACTCCAGAAGTTAGCTACCGGAGCCTTTACTGCTGCAGAGGTCACCCTGGCGTTCTCGAAGAGGGCGGCTATTGCCCAGCAATTGGTATGAAAGGCCAAAAACGGCACAAAAAAGGTGCCCATACACAATAACTACATGTGCTAACACTGATAGACCAACTGCCTCACTGAGACCTTTTTTGATCAAGCCATGGCTCGAGCTCAAGAATTAGATTCGTTGATGGAATCTGGGAAGCTGGCCGGTCCTCTCCATGGACTCCCTATTAGCCTCAAAGATTGCTTCCATGTGACTGGAACACAGGCAACTTTAGGACTGATCGCGTATCTCGACAAGTATTCTGACACAAACGCATGCCTCGTTGATATGCTTCTATCTCTTGGTGCCGTCATCTACGTCAAAACCAACATACCCCAAACGATGATGGTTAGTTGTTTGCTCCCCATGCCGTATCTGAAGTTGACACTCGATCCAGACAGCAGACTCGGATAACAACGTCTTTGGTCGAGTCTTGAACCCTTGGAACACAATGCTTGGCGCAGGAGGCTCAAGTGGAGGAGAGGGGGCCTTGGTGGCATTTCGTGGATCGCCCCTTGGCGTGGGCACTGACATTGCAGGTGAGTCCAGAGGTCAAGGCCCTATCTCAACCTAGTGCTCCTTGGTGGAGATTGTCGACAATTGATTTCAATGTAACCATTCGGGTATGGAATTGACCGACTTGAATTTCAAGGCTCCATCCGGATTCCAGCGCTTTGTTGCGGAACATACGGATTTAAGCCAACGGCATCTCGCGTGCCTTACGGAGGTCAACAGAGCTGCAGCAATCGGGGTCTCAAGTTTATCAACGCATGCGCTGGACCTCTAGCCAACGATATTAACGCGCTTGAAATCTTTGTCAAGGCCGTGATTGACGCGCGCCCATCAAAATATGATTCGACAGTTATTGACGTTCCCTGGAGAGCTCTGTCTTCGGACCCAAACCGGAAGCTTCGCCTGGGAGTTCTTGCTGAAGATCCGAAATTCCCCCTGCACCCATCCATCAAAAAGGCTATAAAGGAGGCCACCGAGAGGCTGGAAGCAGATGGTCATCATTTGATCAGACTCAATGCTGAAGATTGCCAGATTAGCAGCACAACCAAGATCGCCTGGGATCTATTCGGCTTTGACAAGACAGCTAGCCTTTTACTTTCCTCAGCAGGGGAAAAGCCCATCCGGTCCCAGGTTCAAATCGCAGCGCAGATACAAGAAGTGTATTCTATGGGAGCGCAAGCCACGGCATCCACTGAAACTGAGATGGACAGGCTGGCGGCCGCCAACATCAAAAGGTCGGCGGCAATCGAGAACTGGCGCAAGATATGGAACCTCTATGAGCTCGACGCGGTGGTGGGCCCTGCAGCTCAAAATACCGCGGTTGAGCACGACATGTATGGACTCCCGCCATATACTGTTTTCCTGAACGTTCTTGATGTAAGTGTCCCGCGATGTCAGCTCATTCCTCGAATATGTCTCAACTGACGTTTTTCCAGTATCCCGCCTGCGTCATTCCGTTTGGGAGAGCAGATGGATCAACCGAACCCCAGTTCGACCTTCAACCTGGTCAAGGCGGAGCTCCTTGTCAGTATACCCAGAAAAGATTAGAAATCAGCTGCTAATGATATCTAGACAACCCCACGCTCATGCAAGGGGCACCTCTTTCGATACAGGTGTTTACTAGCGGGATGCGGGATGAAGAGTGTCTAGATATCTCCAAAGTCGTTGATAAGAGTTTGAATGGAACGAGCCGGGGTATGGACTATTAAATGGTACTGGGATGCGGAGAAGCAAGTAAGTAGCACTTATCCTGTAATACCAAACATTGTTTTTTGTTATTGCAGCTTATTTTACACTAATGGTGACAAAACACTCCCTATGTTATACCATGGGATACTCTCCAAAACATCCCTGGCGGTCCAAAATGATGAGATGAGACACTGGTAATATGCAGCGAAAGGGGGAGTGTAGCCGACCATGTCAGGAATGCGTGAATACCACCGGTCCCTCTCGGCGCTGTCTTGGATATTTAGGTAGGCCACTAAAACAGGCAAGCCGACAGCCACAACGGGTTTTTTGGTTGTCAAATAAGTCACCTCGAGTTGGGTCAAAATGCATGCAGCCATTGTCTCTGCAGGTTTGTCGTTGCAGCCGAAAGGGAATCTGAGTCGATGGATAATGAGCAGCGCAGCCAAACGCATGACTTGCACCTGGCATAGGATGTGGGCAACCTCGATAGTCGTGAAATCTGAGCAGAATTTATCTGGAATTTGGGGCTGCCAGGACAGCACTGCTGATTCAATGGGGTCTAACGCTTCGAGGACTTGGCGGATATCATTGTCGTCGGCATGAGCTAGCGCGTTTCCAAGTTCACAGAGGTCGTAGAAGTATGGAAGTAGTGGAGTCGAGAGCCCCATGTAACGATCCACGGAGGGTCTTGATTCGAGGATCGGTCGAAACCTCAATGTGGGCACTGAACCATGGAGCAAGCAGTGAACCAGTTCAGGCACGATCATGCAGGTCAAAAAGACAAGATCGTCGGAGCCGAGATTGCTCCCGGACTCGTAGGATGGCTTGATGAGGCCAAGGGCTTGGTTGCATACTGTCGAAACATCCGAGACGCTCGAACAGTAGGCGTACGACACAATCATGCCGGCCAAGATGAGGCATTCTGAAACCCCATGGCTGTCGTGAACCTGGAACTGCTGAAGCCGAGCCAGAGCAGACGACGCATGTCGGTTATAGGCATCGGAGTCGACTTTTTGCTCGGATGGCCTGTCGGTGAGTTTGTTCCAACACTTGCCCATGGCGAGAAATGCATCCTTAAGCGTGTGTCTAGAAACCACAAAGTGGGAAATGAGAAGCCCCCGGTGCATTTCCCAAAAGCTCGGCCCGAGAACGAAGGTATTCATGGCATCATCGTCGAAAATGACTTGCTGGATGAGGCGTTGATCCTCGAAGCTCAGGTCATTGAATTGCGAGAGGCTCCGGGTGACGCTTGGGTACAAGGCCGAGAGGAGATGGCCCATGTCCAGACTCTCGACGATTGCCGCCTTGTTCACATTGTCGGTTTCACGGCGTGCGGATGCCATCTTTCGTGGGAGTGCGGCGCGAGGAGGGCGGCCGGCCTTCTTCAAGGGACGCAGGCTCTGGCATTCAAAGCCCAGACGACAGCAGCGGGCGCAATCGCGAGATGCTTTGGTCCATTGGCACCGCTCCTTGATGGCGTGGCAGCGATCACAGGCCCGAGTAGCTTCGTTACGCATCTTCATGTAGCTGGATTCTTCAATATCGTTGGTGTTTGCGTCATGTTCGCTCGTCGAGGTTGGGACGGAGCATCCCCGCATACCGGCCATCCGGTCACATATGCCGTTATCATCAGAGGCCTATGACGAGGCTTCCCCCGCTTTCTTGGTTGGAGTGTAGCACTAATGGGACACCCTGGTCGAATCAAAGCCGCCGCCGATAGCCATTTCCAGTCTAGAGAGATACGGGATGGCTTCATGCACAGTATTGCCCGTTTCTAGTTACGCTGGTGACACTACAGATAGCCATCGAATCGACTGTGGAGACGATGTACCCTCCATAATGAAATACGCCAGTGATACTCAGCGCTATCTGGCCTACACTCCAGGACACTCGCACAACGTTAGTACCCGGTACGTTGATGACACCTCACTGGGAAGACCGGGTTTCTTCGTTAATCTTCAATTGAATCGCTAATCGGTAACAACGAATCTAGATTTATATTTCAAGGCCCACGTTGACATGAACAGCTTTCGTTTGCATGTACCCTTCCAATCCAGCCTCGCCCAATTCCCTGCCCACCCCGCTTTGCTTCACGCCGCCAAATGGAACGCGGAAATCCGAATCTGTCGACGAGTTGATCCATACCATGCCCGCTTCGAGCTGCGAGGTAACTCGGTGCGCCCTTTGCATATCCTTTGTAAAAATAGATGCAGCCAGTCCAAACTCCGTCTCATTTGCCATCCGAATAGCATCTACCTCGTTGTCGAACGACGAAATAGCCGCAAAAGGACCAAATATTTCTTCGCGATAAATTCTCATGCTCGGGGTAACGTCCTGGAAAACAGTCGGCTCTAGAAAAAATCCCTTTCGATCGCATGCCTTGCCGCCGGTTAACAAAGTTGCACCTTGCTCTTCCGCTGATGCGACATATGATAAGATCTTATCCAAATGCTCCCTTGTGATCTGCGGTCCTTGAAAGGTATCGGAGTCAAAAGGATCGCCAACTTTGTAAGACTTGACAATTTCAACAAACCGGGCCGCAAATTGCTTGTATACGCCTGATTGAACAAGCAACCGTGAGTTGGCAGTGCAAATCTGACCTTGATTGCTCATGATGCCGATGTGAGCCCACCGCGCTGCTTGCTCAATGTCAGCGTCATCAAATACTATGAGTGGTGATTTTCCCCCGGTCTCTAACGTCAAGTTCTTCAGATTAACGCTTGCACTTTTCTGAATCGTACGCCCAGTTTCAGTCGACCCAGTGAATGCGATTTTGTCCACATCTAAGTGGCTTGCCAGCGCATGACCGACATCCTTGCCATAGCCATTGATGACATTGATTACTCCGGGAGGGAATCCAGCCCGAGGAATGAGGTTGGCAATGTAAAGCATTGATAGTGGCGTTTGTTCAGCGGGCTTCAGGACAATCGTGTTGCCGGTAGCTAGGGCTGGGCCCAGTTTCCAAGCAGCCATGAGAATGGAATAATTCCAAGGAATAATCTGGCCACATACACCGATAGGTTGCCTCACTGTATATGCAAATTTCTTTGAATGGGTTGGAATTGTTTGGCCGTGAAGCTTATCCGCCCACCCTGCGTAGTAACGAAGGCACCCCACTGCAGCCGGTATTTCCATCTGGAGGACTGCGGTGTACGTTTTGCCGCCATTCCAGGCCTCGATGGTGGCTAACATCTCTCGATGGTCGTGAATAAGATCCGCGAACTTTGTAATGATCGAACCTCGCTCAGATCCTGAGAGATCACGCCATGATGTATGATTGAGTGCTGCTCTTGCGGCTTTCACGGCACGATCGACATCTTCTGAGGATCCCGACTCAACACAACATATCTCGGTTCCAGTACTACATTCAATCCACATTAGCTGTATCAATAAAGTGGGAAGAGAGGCTCGTGCATATAAAATACAGAGCTGGGGCACCAGACTTACGCGGGATCAATAGGTGTGATTTTACTCTGTCCGATGGCAGTAACAAACTGATTGTCAACGAACAGCCCCGAGTTTAGAGACACTTTCAATCCATTAGGCGCAGTGAGATTGAGCTGAAGAGTTGGATCTGACATTCTGATCGCATCAACTGGAATGTGTATGCTCAAAGTGCGGGATGCTGTGAGCTTTCGGACGCAAGGAAACGCGGGATTGCTAGACAATCGAAACACAGAATTTTGAGCATGATATGGCAGATAGCTGAGCCACACCTGTCACATGGCTTTTATATTGCAGGAGCATGAGCGATGGAGTCAAGATCAGCACCGGAACCGGAACCGGAGCCGGTGAGTTTTATACTGGCCCGATAAGCCGGCCAATTTGTGGTAGCCAATTCACTACCATGGCCATGATTAAGTAGTGGAGAGTACAAATTCGGTACTAGTTTACGAACTGCATCCTCGAGTTAACGGGAATAGAAATTAACTTCATGGGCCTTTTAGACCATGGTGTACCTTGCATGTCGTGGTCCGTTTGCTCGGTAGAGGAGAAATACCATCACCTTCCGATGTGCCTCCACTACGTCCAGCTTAGTAGAACCTCGATTCTACAATAAATCGGGAGGATCTTGAAGAGCATTTCTCCGATCATTTACAAGCCGCAAGCATCCGTCTTCTGTTTGAGAACACTGCAGGCAGTTGAAAGATAAAATAGGAAGCGACGCATACGCCTCCAACACATTGTTCAAGGGCAGAGACGTGTAATATATGGAAACCAATCCCCATTTCCAATGCGATCGCTAAAAGTACCGAGAGTCACTGTTGGGTTCCGCTCTACCGTGGAGGCTGCGAGATTTGCACCGCTGAAGACTGGAAATGGCGCGGATCCAGCCAAAGTTGGAGCAACTGCAATGTGCCATTTTAAGCATTCCAGTTCTGTTTGAGGCGGTCACTCTGGGTGAGACTAAAATGAGAACTGTTGTGCCGGATTTCTAGTCGTACCCTCTAGGACACCAAGTGAACAGCCTTCAGCTTCATCCAACCCATTGACCGCGCGTGTCAAATTAGTAGCAGAGCTTTTGTGAACTATTGTACAAATTATCAAGAGGTTAATATTGAGGGGGATATTAAGTACAAGAACACGGGCCGAGAGTCAGTGAGTAGGGACGTTTCTGCGATGTGGTGGGAAAAAACGTCAAGCCAGCTGCATCGTGACTATTCGAGAAATATACAGACACGAGACTCTTGTTTTTGACTTTCTACGATGTTCCCAAAAGTCTTCCTTATGTTTCCACACACCATGAGTACTGTGTGAGGTTGCTTCGGCACTAACTGGGCTGCTGTCGCCCACAAGGTTTTGTGATGATCCAACCAATCCCATTCAATTTAATTGACCGGCTCTCCACCGGCGGCAAAATTCACAGCGCAGCTCAGGGCTTGGCGTGTGACTAGATCTGCCAGGGTGTCGTGTTCCATCCAAGCTAATGTGAGATATCCTCCGGGGCAACACCAATTGCATGTCACATCGCGGTGGGGCGACCGGCGTATTCTTCGATACGCCAATCGTTCAGAGTGCGGGGACGGCATCTAGATAGTTCCCCGAGGTGATAAGGGGGTGGGGTGGGAGGCGACGTCAATATAATTGAGTTGAGCTTGCAAATGTCAGTATATAGGTCTGCATATAGAACACTACGTCTGAGTCATGACTGTCCATTCCCTGGCTGCCCAATAGTGCCTCTACCAGCGGCGACTCTTGAACTTTTCACTGCCTCTGATCCTCCACATCACAGAACAAGAGTCTAACCATGGATATCGAGCCAGCCCAAGACGTCCCGCAGCGGGAGGCTCCCTCTGGAACATTTTTACTCGAAGATAGTAAGTCGTCCTTGTAATGACGAAAAGGATATTTTCGTGCAAGGGGTCTAACTCTGCCAAGAGCACAGCCATGATTCTGGTGAACTCATTCTTCATCCAACCCCAACCAGCGACCCGGACGATCCCTTGGTAAGTACCAAATATTCCATTTCCCTGAACGGAAAGCACATGGATTGCTGACTACTTGATGCGCAGAACTGGTCGAGTGGCAGGAAAGCAGTCAATTTCGGCACCGTCTGCTTCTACGTACTCATCACATTCGTCTTTCTCGACATCCAGACTGTCGCTTTCAGCCAGTACCTTGCGGAATTCGGATGGACCTTCGATACACTCAACAACGCCGGTGCGGCGGCGTTTGTTGGTCTTGCCATTGGTTGCATTGCCTTCATACCCCTTGTTCATCGCTACGGACGCCGACCACTTTACCTCTTCAGCTTGTTGCTTCAGGTTGCGTGCGGAGTTTGGAATGCCACGCTCCACACAAGCGCCGAGCTGATGGTCTGCGCCGTACTATCCGGGCTGGGCGGTGCCATCTCCGAGACGATCGTGCAGGTAACAATTGCGGATCTGTTCTTTGTCCATCAACACGCAACCATGAACGGAATTTTCATACTCATGCAGTCCACTGGCGCATACCTCGGCCCAGTTGCCGCAGGGTATATCGTCGTGGATATGGGATGGCGATGGATGTGGTGGATGACTGCCATCTTGACCGGAGCAAACCTTCTCTTTGCTCTCTTCTTTTTCGAGGAAACAAAATATGTTCCCACTTTGTTGGGAGAAGGCGGAGTAGAAACAGCCGATGTCGCGACTCGTCAGGAATCAGCTTCTCTCGAAGATGCAAAGAAGCTACCCACGGTTACAGACGCGAGCTCTACGCGAATGAATATCTACGTGCAGAGAAAGTCGTACCGTCAGCGACTAGCATTCGTCACCAAGACCGATACACCCATCGCCCATCACTTTTACCAGCCATTCATCGTTGTTTTCAAAATTCCGGCAGTTGCATACGTTTCCCTCACATACGGCCTGCTACTATCCTTATACTCCGTCATCGCCACTGTCCAGGCCTACTATATGATTGCTCCCCCGTATAACTTCGACGCGTCACAGATTGGTCTGTTAGCACTCGCCCCTTTCATTGGCAGCGCCATTGGCACTGTTTTCGGCGGATGGCTGAACGACAAACTGAGTATTTGGTGCGCGAAGCGGAATGGTGGCGTGTTCGAGGCAGAGACCCGACTGTATCTCATCATTCCGGGAATTTTTCTCACTGTTTCTGGGATGCTCATGTTCGGATTGGGTCTCGCATATGTCAGCGCTATCATTCCCTCCTCCACTGTCCAATTTACTGACCAAATATCCATAGTTGGAACTGTGGACTGTTTTAGCTGTAGGCACTGGAATTTATGGCGCCGGCTTCGTTGTCATCAGCAGTGCTGCCTTAACTTATCTTACCGATAGCTACAGCGACGTAAGTGATCCGGCACACGAAAGCCCTTTTTACACTTGACAAGGACAGTCTTGCTAATTGATGATTCCGTCAAAGATAATCGCCGACGCTCTTGTTGCAGTAACCTTTTTCCGCAACGCCTTTTCTATCTTGATCATGTTTACCATCACGCCTTGGCTCAACGCCATGGGTATCAAAAATCTCTTCATATTGCTTGCCTGCGTTGTTTTTGCAATCCTAGCTTTAGTATTTCCGATGATTATCTGGGGGAAGAAGGCCAGATACAGAACTTCGGACTTGCTGAGAGAGCTTGCTTTGAAGCAGCCGGGTACTCGTGAACATTAGTGGGAGACTCGGGTTCTTGCTTACAACATTTGTCAACTTCATGTACACGAGTAAAATCACAGTTGTCTTTACTCACGATAGCATTATCACATATATACAACAATTTCACTCCAAGATCTAGGAAATAATTATTTGTCAAATTGATACCGTAGATGCGACACCCATCCCCTGAAGCTGCAAAGAGTCCAAGTATCTCGAGTCATGTATAGCCAATAAAATGTATTCTATTACACAAGATACCGCAAGAATCTCATTAATGCTTCAATTACAAAACCCTCATGGCGGGGAGATGATTTATTTATCTCATGAATCTGACAAAGGCCACCGCGCTTGGTTTGCCCAAGGTACTCTCCCCACCTGGGCTCTCATCAGACGTGCGATTTCTCTCTCGCCCGGCTGCCCAAGGAAAGGGTTTTCTCCGTCGTTGTAAATAAACGAGTTCACTTCGTCATCGATGCAGATCGCTTGTTCCTGGATCAAGATGGTGTCGGGAAAGCCAATGCCAATGACTGGCCTTGGATTTCGGTTTCTCCAGTCGAGTCGATTCTTCATTTGCACCAAGAGTTCTTCGTAGCTCCCATCAATGAACTGAAGGAGGATAAGTTCAACCCTCTCCAGCGTGGTTGGGAGCGCGGCCAGAAGTGTGAGCAAATCGGTTGAATTAACATAGAATCCAGAAAGGCGAAAGTGCTTCAAACTTGCCAAGCTCTCCGGAGGGATAAATTTCTGGAGAAAAGGGGAATGGTTGTCCTCCAGATTATCCTCCACGATCCATCCATTCATGGCCAGGCTTAGATACTCTAGGCCTCTGCCTCCCGCGGCGCCCGCCAATGCGCACCCCAGGAGATCGTTGTCAACTCCTGGCCATCTGTAACCATATCTTTCCTCCCAGAAGAGATCAAGATGGAGATGGCGAAATGCAGGGCGAGCGATCGTAGTAGCCAAGTCTGTCAAGGCGATGCCAGGCTGTCCAAGTATATGGGAGTTGAGACCCGTTATCAGCTCGTTTGCCTCAATGCGGACGTCTGTGACCTGATGGCTCTGTTTGCTTCTTGCCAGAGCCTGCATGACGAGACGGAGGCCCCAATATTCAATCCCAGCGTCGTCCCACTCACTCAGCTCGAACCACGCATCTGCGGTCTCGGGTAACCAACCTGAGGGCACGGGGTAGTTGAAGCCATGAGGAAAAGCTCGGATTGTAGGCGTCATGTACAACGGTTCGAATAGCCATCCATGAGCAGCAGGTGTGATTGTGATCCTTCGTAGGGCTGGAAACCACTCAAGTCCGGTTTCTAGAGCATGCAAGACGGCATTTGAATTGAGCACCTCGTCCTGTTGCTGGAGGAGTTTCCGGTAATAAGACCAGCTGTCAGACTGAGACAGTAGCTGATCAGCATGTTCAGACTTTTGTTGTTTCAAAATCTTCTCGTTCTGAGTGCAAATAAAATTGAACCAATCCGGCATGCTTGCCTCTTCTTGGACATCATCCGGCGCCAAGTGAAGAATCCATTCATCCTCTTCAAAAGACGTACCCCCATGAGCTAGGAGTGCATCGTCGTAGATAATCTCAACTACCCGGGAGCGCAGGATCTCGCTGTTGGCAACAGAGTGCAGCACCTCGATGTCGCGCTGATGAGCTGAGAGGAAAACCCGTTCAATTTGAAGACGCGCTGTGACTGAGAAGAAGGCACATGACAGACGGAGGTGTTTTATCGACGAGTTGGGGAGATGACTGCAAATAGCAGCAATGATTTCAACTGGAAGATCCAAGACCCCGCAGTTGACCTTTTCGTGGTTTGACGAGGCTGACGAAATGACCGGACTGATGGAAGAATTCATGTTTATCCAGTGTCCAAGAATTAGCAGACTTGGCGATTGGACACTCGACAAAGGAGAGAATATTCCCGAGGTGTGAAGGCAAGTCGGTGTGCGAAAACACGTCAAGCTGGAGCAGGCACCAGTGGATGTCACGTGACATACGACAGAATTCTCAACTACTTCATTACTCAGAGAGGCAATTGATGGAAATATTACCTTCAGGCAAGACGGTAATTATCACTAACAGCAATCACTTACCATGAGAAAATCTGGTTCCGAATGATTGGAGACTGTACCGTCCGGCATCTCTCTGAACTGGGCTTGAGAGCATCTCAAATCATCCAATCAGTAATTGTGTTTACATGATAGCAACTCCGCTTATTTAGATCTTCAGCACTATGAATTGAGTACCTATGCTTATGAGAATAATATGAAATAACCCCGTAGGCAATGTTACAGAGCTCAAGAAGGCACTGCAGAAGTACATAACACGGTTTAGCAATTAGATAAGGTAATTAAGCAGTAAAAAGGTATTTAAATTGGATATTTGGGTAAAGAAAATGGCTACAACCTCTTACTAGGTTTCTGTCACGGCTGCCGAGGTCGTGACATCTGGCGTAAATCCAGATTTGAAGAGAGATCACACAACGGTCAACCGTGGGCGACCAGGCGGGCGACCAGGCGGACAACCAGGCGGGAAGGCGTTCATGGATCATGGATGAGACTCGTTATCATTACCTCATCGCAACTATGCTAATTATTATTGTCTAGGTCAATGCGACCGACCGTGAAGACAGACACCACTCGTGGATTACTCTGGAGTTACCCCGGAGATTCGAGCCGAGTATGGCCTGCTGTCTCTGCGCCACCAGCTGGAACGACTCGCCACAAGGGAGACCGGTCGACGAATGTATTCGGAGACCTTCTTTAAGTACGGCTTGAATGTGTAGCATCTATTGGCCTTGCTTGGAGGTGATAGGATCGCTGATCGCACCCCTGGCCAATGCTTCGTCGAGCGACCTTGACTTTTTATAAACGCCGGGGTTCCTCAGGATAGGTATGGAAAAGGCCGATCCGAGGGCGATACTAGTATTATCGCTTCTCGTAATAATTTTATTACTATCTGTAGCTTGTGTGATCCTTTGCTTCTCGGAAAAAGGCATGTTAGCAGTGATCTTGTGCATCTTTTCCAAAAAGTCAAGCGCAAGAGGCTCGTCCTCAATCTTTCCAGTTTTAACATCTTGAATATGGTGCTCCCGCTGATTGATATGTGCAAATATGCAGTCCAGGATCTGAGATACTCCCCCGCTTAGGGAAAGATCAGAGGGTCGCCCATGGAAACTGTCCTGCGAAGGTGGATCGACTGATGATGATAGCTAATGAAGCCATCATCTCGTCAATTTCATGCCCGACGTCAAGGAATGCGAATCTTCTTGAATACTATCACGAAAAAGAAATTAGTGAGGATTGATTTTTCACAATGACATCGAAATGATAACATGGAGCCAGTGTCGCATACTGAATGCTTGTCCCCCATGGCAGAGCACATCGATTTGGGAACAGAACACGGCGATGCAGCGATTGACGGTCGGTGCGAAAGTTTCAGAGATACATCTTCATACAAATTCTAGATCCGAAACGTCAGGATCATGAGCCGTGACGCGGTGTAAGCTGTTCTCGAGGGTCAGATGAGTGGTGCTGAAAATGACCAGAGCGACGTGCCGCTCAGAACCGGGGTTCTCCTTTTGAATGCAGTCATTATTTGGTCCCTATGTACTCGTGCTTCATCTTCTAATTGATGACAATATTGCCGCTTGATCTTAACTTCCGAGCATGGTCGGAACTTGAAGAGTGGCGTGGGGATGACAAATGGCCCTAGAAATTTAGGATGACAAATGGAATGATGCGACGTGAAAGACAGTTGAGTAATCCTATAACATGAAGACGGAGATAATTATATAACGGTAATTGGCAGCTAGCAATGGTTCCGGTATGGTAATTTGATGAATGGCCGAAATGACAAATATTTCCCCCGTCGTCCACCGCCCTGATTAGTTACTGACAGCTGAGGCTGGTATCATTGTCTACCTAATTATAAGAGAGCAGTCTGCACGAAGAGATCCAAGTATTTTAATCATCCTTTGTGATCCTCGTCTTGTGTCTTTTTGCTTCCACAACATCCGCATTCTCAACCTAATCCTCTAACTTACATCTTTCCATCTTCCAATACCCTCGATAAATACAGCCATGTTGAAGACTGGTCTTATTGTTGGGTCTGGCCGCCAGTCAGAGGCGCTTGTCAACCTCTTGTCATCCACCAATGAGTATCACCTCCTTGTCTTTACCAGGAGCAAAACCTCGACTACTTCGCTTCGATTAGCAGCCCTTGCTAACGTTGAGATTGTCGTCAACTCTGCTGGGCATGGTTATGACCTTGATGCCCTCCTGGCTGCAGCATCCAGATCCGATTTTGTGTTCGTGAATACGGATGGCTTCGAGTTGGGTGAGCAAGCAGAGACCTACTGGGGGATCCGCCTGTTCGAGCTTTCCAGGAAGGCAAACGTGAAACACTTGATCTATAGTGGGCTGGACTATGCCAGTCGGGATTCTGGCTTTGACCCCAGCCTCTATGTTGGCCACTACGAAGGCAAGGCGAGAGTTCAGCGTAAGTTCCCCGAGAATCTTGAGTAGTACAACTCTAAGTGTCTACAGAATTCATACACTCCCAGCCCAAGTCGCCAATGGCATGGACTATTATTCGGTCCGGGCCATATATCGAGAACTTGTGGCAACTTATGGCTCCGACAATAAATGCTAGTGGGACGTATGTATTCAAGCTTCCGCTGGGCAACGGTGCAATTCCGTTCATCTATCTCAACGACCTCGCTGGATACACACATTGGGCACTCTCCAATCTTGAGCAATCTAATGGCCTAGACCTTGGAGTGGCCACCGTACATGCCAGTGGAGCCGATATTGCCAACGCCCTTACCGATGTCACGGCAAAGCCTGCTCAGTATGTCGACCTACCTATCGAGGAATGGCAAGTGGCTACTTGGAAGAAGCTTCCCAAGGGTCCCGATACCAAGGTTGGGTCTCTAAGTGTGAAGGACGATGGAGCACTACTGCAGACCTATGGCGAAAACTTCACCAACTGGTGGAACTTGTACAAAGCCAGCGCGGGGAACAAGGGTTTGATCCAAAGGGATTACGAGTTCTTAGACAAGATTCTGCCCACCCGCGTCAAGGGCGTTGCGGATTGGATGAGGGTGGCCAATTATACTGGCGAAAGGCTCTCAACGCTTAAGATTTTGGACTGAGGTGTAAATAAGATTGACAAGATGAATATTAAGCTTGGATTTGGTGCAGATGTATAGCGAGTGGGTCGCCTCGCGACGTGTACACTTAGTCCATTAACTTTTAACATGCTTTCCTCCACCACCTATGGAGACGCCTTCTGAAGGAAATAGACCGCGGCTTCCCCTCAATATGAGATATGATATATATTTCAGTGTCCGAAAAGTGGCTACAACCTTTAACATCAGCTGAGTCACTCTCGGTCACCATCGGAAGGGCAAACAACCTCGACATAACAGCCCACCCATTGACTAATGTCGCGACATCTGAGTAGTAGAGAAGCGTCACCGGCCTCTTCAGCCAGTCTGTAACGAGATCAAAAGTTTACGACTTATTTTAATTACCAGTTCGTTGATGATATGATCGTTTGTGTTGAAAGCAGAAGGCGGCGGTGGCTATGCAGGATGACGATCAATGCGAATGGTTGAGTTTGTAATCAATGAATTTTCTATTAATTTACATGACTTCGGGCCTGATTATGAGTATATTCCGGACATGGCCGGAATTTAGAATCGGATCACGGTGATTTAGTTGACCAATTGATCATCAATGGTTTCGTCTCCCCCTGCGCCCTTGATACCTGCCCTCAAAATTTCCTCTACTACCGCCCCATGCCTTAGATCTATGGGGAAGGTCGGTATTCTTTTTTTAATTATTATCAGTATTTTAAAGCCAGCTACCTACCAGTGCTGCAGACTTAGAATTTGAAAGGCGCCTGCATCCAAATAGCTGCTACGGAGCAGCTGTTTACTGACAGTAATGAGCCCTCCGAAACCGTGGCGAACAATACCTGCGCCGCCGGGGGTGCAACTAAGATTTATTAAACTTCTAGCAGCTGCAGTGCCCACAGCGCCCTAAGATTCCGGAGGCTACAGTGCACATAGCGCTCTAAGCTTCCGGAAGCTATAGCGGCTAAACCCCCTGCTTATACAGTAGAAGGCTGGCTACAGGGGGCTACAGGGGGCTACAGGGGGCCAAGCTCATCTGCACAGCTAGCAATGAGAGGTACGTTCGGTACGGCCTAGCTTATAACGCACGCCGGAAGTACTTCTAACGTCTAGGTAACCACTGACGTCTAAGGACTCTACGTATCAGGTCATTAACTATTGTCCCCGATGGCTTTGGCAAATATTCTAAGACTAATTCAAGCGACATCTCAGGCATTGCAAGCCGCTCTGTGGTTCAATCTCGGCTCATTCACACGTCACCCAGGTTGAGCCTGCACCGCCTCCGCCTCACCCTCGCAACCTTCTAATCATCCTGAACGATGCGCTACTTGCTTTTAACTTCACCTCTGGTCTCTTCATTCTTGAATATTCGTCGTCGGCCTTTTTATTGACTCTGATAAGCGCTATGGAAACTCTAGCCTGAGGACCTCTTTTGGCACTGTTTCTCCAAGTGTGGGTTCGGAATTTCGACCCCTGGCATCAGTCCTAGAACTGAACTGTGCTGTAGTCTATTCCTTCTTTATAGAAGCCATATGCTCGCGTATAATTATTGCTGTTCTGAAGGCTTGAGTATGGGGAAAACCGGGACCACTCCGCTATACGAGGAGCCCGAGATCATATAGACGACTCGACGCAAGGGATTGCATTATCCACATCACAACAATCCATGATTCCCGCTTCGTCCGCTCTTGGAAGTTGGCCAAGGGTGACCCCAGCGTCTTATGTGGGCCTTGCCCGACTCGGTTCATCCGCAATCACGCCCTTGAGCGGAGGAGCATTATGGCTACGCCCGATCTTAAAAGTGGCAAGCTCATTGTACGAATGAGAAAATTTAGCAAAATACATTAAATCATTTGAGTCGCTGGCTCAGTATTAACTGGAGCATCGGGGTTATTAATAATACCGTCAAGTTACAAGGTGGCCGGCCGACGGATGAAGTCGCTTACCAGGTCACTCTCTAGGAATCCTTGGCGTCCGTTAACTACATGAATTCTGCATTCTTTGCAATGGATATGTCTCTTAGCCATGGAAACACATATCGCTCGTCAAGGGAGGCGCTATCGGAGCAGTCTCGACGTCCACCTTTGATCAGCGACGGCTCCCCAGGTTTGTCGCAGGGCCCGGGGAATGGGTAATTGGGCGGACTAGCTTTATATTTACAAAGCTCTAGACAGCTGAAATATCTGTATTCGCAACTGAGCGCAAAATCAGCAAAAACTGACTGTTAACAAGGTCGGTACGGTTTGGACCCAGAAATCTCTCCAGGGCGTGATGTGAACAGCTATGACGGTCTAGGTTATGCTTTCGTGGTCAAAACACTCGCAGCTACCGTTACTACCTAGCTCTATAGGTGACCGAAATGGCGCAATTACGGCGACGCATGCACGAACGGCAGTGTATTCTTCTTCTCATTCTTGGTGGTCTTTCCATTGTCTACTTCTCGGTATTTGTCCCGAATTCGGACGTTCATCGTGCTGCTCGTACAGGAATCGTAAAGACGAACCAGTAGTACAGGCAGGAAGATACACGTTGCGATTGAATTCAGGGGAGAAGGAATACCATATGTACACCAGATTCTGCTGATCCAAGAATCGGTCAGCGTCTTGGGTACACTTTTTGGGGGATAGGAACCGGGCTGTAGGAAGGATGAAACGCCCCCGCCTCGCCAAGCTACATCGATACGAGTTACAGAAGTATAAGAGACAGGGTGTAGACGGTTTGGAAAGAAGAACTCAAGCAAGTCAAATCCATTTCACTCCCATTCTCAACACATATTCTCGGTCTTTAACATCTCAAGCTACACGATTCAATATCCTCAATATGAAGGGATCCGCCGCTGTTGCACTCTCCGTGGCTGCACTTGCCGGCCACGCCCTAGCTCTCCCGGTTAAAGCCAACGAAATCCAGGGACGAGAGACCGCCCCGGAAGCTAAAGCTGCCGTCGCTCCGGCCGTTCTCCCTCATCGAGTGGGCGAGGCGGTTGGTGCAGCGGATACCATCATCATCCGGCACGAAGCTATCAATCAGTAAGTTCGATGGTGCACTCGATGTTACGGTGCGCAAATTGGAGGCAAAATTGACTGATTCCGTTGCAGACCCGTGAAGCGCGAGCGAGCCAAGAACGGTGGCTATTGCACCGTCGTGTAGATGGTCAAACCTGGAATGCAGTCAACAGTGCCCGAATTGAAGCGTTTGTGCGAGGGAGCAATCTGCACGATCCCCAGGCACCATCATCTGGCAGATTTTCGGGAACTGTTCCCGTAATGCGGAGAGCTTGCTTTCAGAACCCGTGCAAGGAATTGGGGACTTGGGGGCGTCGGATTCGTGTCGGACGAGTGACTTGAGATGACACAGCCTGAGTTGGTATGTTCAATAGAGAATGCATTCATAGGAAGAGCAGAGATATGGACGAGTGGCCTTGAGGCTATTCAATTCACTGGCATTTCCTGCGTGTTCAAGCTATTGTTGTTGCGTGTGTGTCGTAGAGCATGTTCCGTTTCCGCGGCATTCCCTACCCGACATTACGTACGTATACTGCTGGCGCTGCTGAGCGCGAGCACCAGTTCTGATTCAAGCGACATGTAAAGTACGGCGTAATAAATGCATGGTAACGGGAGGTGGAACTGGGCACGGCAATACGATTCCCTTGAGGCTCGTGAACGTCCGAGAGTGGTGATTTTACCTGCTCTCCTTGATGACAGACAGACCTATGGCAGTAGCCTGGTCGGCCAGGTCATCACTCTCCGACGCACTGTAGCACTCGGATGTGGGAAGAATCGCGTTGCCAGGCAAGCCAATTGACATGTTGCCCCGAAGAAACCGCGTTGGACTGGAGTTACACTTCATTTCTCAATATCCCCACGTTTGCGGGCATCCCCCTTTCATTTTCTCGCACGCGTGAGGACGGGCCCGCGGTGTCAAGGCGACAGACAGCCGAGTTTACGGTGAGGGTTCACAGGGTCACTTGTAATCAACGTAAAACGTGCGCCTGGATGGAGAAGGCTCAGGAGTGGCGGGCGCTGCTCTTGATCACACGTCCCGTAGCGGAGCTTGTCCCACCCGACGGGTAAAATTTTCTTGCGGCAGCTGAGGCAGCGCGTTTGAGCAGCAGTCAATAATTAATTGAGATGGCGCTCGAGGTAGATGGGCGACGCCGACAGAGGTGGAAGCCGGAACGCATGGTTTGGAGTCTGGACCGGCAATTAGTGACTCCCGTGAGGGCTTCACGTCTACCGCCGGGCCCGAGATGCTCCCATCAAACCAGGCAACGCGCGGGCCGATGGAACCCGTTGACTGACTGATGGCACCAAAGCTCTCTGTTTGGGTCTCAAGGTCACTCATTATCTCTGATCAGGGGGGACACGCACGGGGGATGGATCTCTCTCCGGTAGCCTGCCGAGTTGGACGACGAGACACATCCAAGGAAATAACACATCCTTTGTCGCATTTGACAGACCAGGTGCATGGGATGCATGGATGGGAGCTCTCGATTTCTAGCTAATTGAAGGTTTGCAGCAGCCTTTGAATATCTGAAGGGAAATGACCGTGTTCCGACTGGACCCAAGTGATCCAGGTTATTGAGACCAAGTCCAAAAATACCGTTACCAGCAGGCGTTGGGGTTCTGTGTGGAAAGTAGGACCATCAAATATGGCTTTAATAGCTAATAGATGATGTGAGGTCCTTGGTGCTTCTTCCCACCACTATCGCCTCATCTCATTTCCCAGTCTCCGCAACGTAGACCATCATGGGCTGTATACCCAAGAATTTATCAAAACTGCCCCAAATTGTAAAGTCATGGTCCAGAGCAAGACTTGCTTCGCCGGATGCTCGTATCCATGGGGTACAGATGATGTCGACCAGGGCCCCCTCCTCAGGGGAGGGGCCAGTTTCCTTGTGGTCCATTACAGGCCAGCGCTGTTTATACAAGAACCCTGATCGCTCGAGCGTGTCGGGGTGATGCATACCGAGCTGGTAGCAAAAGGGCGACGCCTGCATTCTCAGTTCCATCTTGGTGGCCATGTGCGCCACCCGGTTCAACAACTCGCCTGCTTCAGCTGTGATTGTCATGAATCGGCCGAGTTGCTCCGTCAGGATTTTCTCAATGCGCTCGGTGTCGGAGCTGTTGCCGTTAAGCGCATATGCCATGCGGGCTGACTCAAACTTCCAAGTATGGAACCAACCAGCATAATCACTGCTGGGATCCTTGAGGCGTTCTAGATGTGAAATAAGTCAGCTTCTTTTACTCGTATGTGCTTTATGTTGGGATCCACGCGGTCTGTACCTCGAAATTCGGCCAGCATAGTCCCAAAGCTCTCCCAGGCCTTGCCATACCACTTTTCGGTGCAGTCAGGGGAGAACAATTCGTCGATTAGGATATGCCACGTCAGAGATTCCAAGGCAAACACCTTGAAGTCCGAGGAACCACCCTTGACGTTGTTCGTGATCTTGCTCTTGATGTTGCTCCCTAGAGCTTCGAGCTTGTGTCGGGCGTCAACGGCCAACTCGTCCCAAGGGATATATCCGCAAGCCCCCAGGAAACGCATAATTTCATCGTCAAGTTTCCCAACTAGGTCCGCGACCATGAACTTGAATTCGGCCCATGAGGAGCGAGGACTGAGTTCCTCAAGTCGGTCATACTCAGCAGTCGTAAAGGCGGATGAATCCCCCTCCTTGGGGCGAGTGAAAGGCCATCGGATGAGTATATTGCCTTCTTCGATACCACCTGATGTAAATGCATCAGAGGGCTGCATCTGATCGTCGGTCGTAGGCGGGACGCTTTTTTCGACCATGTCAACCTCGGGAATGTCATTGTGGCTGCTGACCAGGTCGATCTCAATGTCGATCTCAGCAGTTTCTTTGTCGTTGCTGACCGAGACGATCTCAGAAGTTTCTTTGTGATTGTTGGCCATCTCGATCTCAACAGTGTCATTGCGGTTGCTGGCCGGGTCTTTTTCAGCAGTGTCATCGTGGTTGCTGATCAGGTCGACCTCGGCAGCATATTTGCGATCACCAGCCATATCGACATCAGCAGTAACATCGCAGTTGTTGACCGGGTCGATCTCAGAAGTCTCTTCGCGTTTGTTGGCCATCTCGATCTCAGCAGTGTCATTGCGGTTGCTGGCCGGGTCTTTCTCAGCAGCGTCATCGTGATTGACAGACATGTCGATCTCAGCAGTTTCTTTCTGGTTGCTGATCGGGTCGATCCCAGCAGCGTCATCGTTGTTGCTGATCGAGTCTTTCTCAGCAGTGTCATCGTGGTTTATGGACATGTCGATCTCGGCAGCGTCATCGCGGTTGCTGACCGGGTCGATCTCAGCAACATCTTTGTGATTGTTGGCCATATCGACATCAGCGGTATTATCGCGGTTGCTGATCGGGTCGATCTCGGCAGTGTCATCGTGGTCCATGGACATGTCGATCTCGGCAGCGTCATCGCGGTTGCTGACCGGGTCGATCTCAGCAATGTCTTCGCGATCACTAGCCATGGCGGCGGCAACATCCGGTCCCTTGGGGGCAGCTTGGTGAGATTCCATGTTCAAGTTGGGCCTCTGTGCCGATGCTCGCCTAGCCCGTTTAGTCGCAAGATGAGGTGAGTCGTCCGTTAGCCTACCACGGCGTTTAGAGGGAGTGGCGTTGTTGGGGGCTCCAGGAGCCTTCCGGGCAGTGTATGGAGCGGCGTCAGGAGTGGTGTTGGAAGCGGCCTCGTTGACGGCTCCGCGAGTCTTGGGAGTAGTGTTGGAAGCGGTGTTGGAAGCGGTGTTGGAAGCGGTTTGGTTGACAGCTCCGCGAGTGCTGGGGGAAGTCTTGGGAGCAATTTTGGAAGCGGTGTTGGAAGTGTTGTTGGAAGCGGCCTTGTTGACAGCTCCGCGAGTCGTGGGGGAAGTCTTGGGAGCAGTGTTGGAAGCGGTGTTGGAAGCGGCCTTGCTGGCAGCTCCGCGAGTCGTGGGGGCAGCGTAGGAAGCGGTGTTGGAAGCGGTTTGGTTGACAGCTCCGCGAGTGCTGGGGGAAGTCTTGGGAGCAGTGTTGGAAGCGGTGTTGGAAGCGGCCTTGCTGGCAGCTCCGCGAGTCTTGGGAGCAGTGTTGGAAGCGGTGTTGGAAGCGGTTTGGTTGACAGCTCCGCGAGTCCTGGGGGAAGTGTTGGAAGCGGCCTTGTTGATAGCTCCGCGAGTCCTGGGGAAGGTCTTGGGAGCAGTGTTGGAAGCGGCTTTGTTGACGGCTCCGCGAGTCCTGGGGGGAGTCTTGGGAGCAGCGCTGGAAGCGGTGTTGGAAGCGGCCTTGCTGGCAGCTCCGCGAGTCTTGGGGGCAGCGTAGGAAGCGGTGTTGGAAGCGGTGCCAGGAGCCTCCGCCTTTGCTTTCTTACCCACCATCTCAATACCAATTAAGGAGAGTTTCAGTACCGTGGTGCGTGCTTCTGTTGTTGTGTGTCACCAGAAGGCGGGTAGAGTTACAGGTCGACCGGGAGATGACTGGGAGAAACGGGACTGGGTAATTGCAACGGAGGTGACGAGTTACGTGAGAGCCTCCCGTATCACACACGGTCTCGGACATGGATGCAGGCGGCTTTTCTTATGGTTGCGGCTTCATACTATCTACCGGACCGCATCGGAATGGCAGTGCTACGGAGGGAGGCTTTTGGAGTGGCTCACGCGGACGGCACAGGCCAGGAGGCGGACAAGTTCTTTGTCTACAGTCGTCCTCCTGACTTGCCTTGGGTTCACTGCTTGGGCCACATCGTCGTGTTCGGCAGATGACGGAAGGGAGAGGGCATCCGCTAGCGGAGTGAAGGGGTTAGTGCAGATGCAGCTCCAAGTGGCAGACATCCCCGTGTGGTTGGTGTTTCTTTGCAGCTCGACTGTTCCCCTGAGTAAACTTTAGCCAGCCAGTCAGCCAACGCCCGAGACCATCCCATTTATTCCTACCACAAAGCCTGTCAAAGATAACCAGGCCTGGGCAGGAGGAGGTGAAAACTTCGCCGCCTCTGGCCGATGGCGGGAGGCCGATGGCGACTTGGCAAGGAAAACGAGACACGGGGCACCGCAATCTAATTGCGGCAAACTCCACAGAGAGAAAACAAGTATGGTCAGAGCGGAATGCCTCCTGTGGCGAGCCGCATGGCGGCTTGAGGTCGGTTAAGCGGGATGCCGCTTGTCCCATCGGCTCACTGCACTGCCCGACCGGGAGTGAAAAGGACGGCGAGAAGAGAGAGTGAGGAGAGAGAATGAGAAGAGGGGTAGGAATGGGAGGACGAAGCGGGAAGACGAGCGGGAGAGGCGGTAGTCGTATCGCCATGGCAAGTCTGTAGCCAGACCGCAAACGACGCATTCATGAATGGTCTCATCGTAATTCAGCTGTAGAAGAAACAGACAGTCATCACTCAAGCACGGAAGGCATACTCCATTTCGCTCTTCACTTTGCCAGGTAAGAAACTAGGCGACCCCTTTTCCTCCCCATCTGAAGGAAGTTGCATTGTAGTGCATCCATCGACCTGCTTCTCCCAGCTTCTCCCTCCTGCGCGAGGTGATTCAGATCCACATCGTTGCTGCAGGCCGGGGTGGCGGCATTCAGAGCTGGCGGAGTGAGTCACATATTAAATGTATCAAATGTACCAGTGTGGATTCCAGCTTGGCCGATGTTGCTCGGGGTTGATGCACATGTAGACAACAGCTCGCCCCCCAAGGGATCAACTCTCTAAGAGCCCACCGATCAATCACACCCCGTCTCTTTCCCCGTCCCTGTCCCCTTCTTTCCTTCTTTCCTCCTCCTCGCCCCCCTCTCTACTCCTCATCACCTTCTTTTCTCGTCTCCCTCTTGCCAAAGTCGTGGAGAAGGAAGGAATCATGGAACCTCACAAAAAGACCCCCATCATCGGCTTCGACTTCGGAGCTACGTAAGTAACGGCCGGTCACTCCTCGTCTCCCTGACAGTACACTCTCTGACGCTGTTCATCAAAGGTTTTCCAAGGCGACTGTGTTGATACCTCGCAGACACGGCATGCAGTTCCACTGTGAAACTATGGTGCCGACTATTCTGGCCATCGACGACATGCCGCGCGATCTCACATACATCACAGGGACCGAGCAGGAGGCATCCGACAAAACGCTGGAGAATTTTAAGCTGTCCCTCATGGAGCCGGACATGTCCCGTGATGAACGTTCGGATCGAAGGCTTGTCGATTTTATTCGACAGAGCGTGTTCAACAACGCGCCATCTGGCATCTCACCAACTGTTACGGTATCGGCTTTTTTAAAAGGCCTTTGGGACAAGTTCAATGGGGATGTGGCCCGGCAGATCCGGCTTCCTCACCCCTACCCCTTGAGCATGGCGATCACGTACCCTTCCTGTTGGGATGAAGGAGAGCTTGGACGTCTGAAGACGGCGGTTGTCAACGCGGGAATCCCGACCTCAGCGAAATACGTCTCGGAGCAAAAGGCCGCCATGTACGGGATCCTCCATACACAAAAGGCCAAAATCTCGCAGGATCTCAAGGTACGTGTGTCCGCATGTGCCACATACTGCCCGGGGGCAACACTGACACGGCGTACAGGAGGGAGATTCGATCATCGTCGTCGACTGCGGAGGATCCACGATGGTAAGTTGGGTAGCCATCCCAATCTCGCCTTGAGGCTGACGCAATACCTACCACCCATCTAGGATTCTGCGCTTTACAAGCTAAAGAAGAGCCCAGCCCAAAATTTAGCCCCGGGAGACTTTTTGGATAAAGAGTCAACTCTTTACGGCGCGATATCCATGGATTTGGCCTTTGAGGCCTTGCTCTCGGAGACACTCTCGCGACGGACCATCCCGGCGAGCCTAGATGCAGATCGGGTGAAGGATGCTGCCCAGTGGTACTGGAAGGAAAGCAAGACGACAGGGATTAAATTTCAGTCCCTGGCACTCTTCAATGGCAGTCTGACCGTCCCGTTCCCGGGGGGGAATTTCCCTTCGGGATTAATCCGTAAGTGAAGATGCCGACTCATGCTATCTAGATCCTTGCTCATTCTCTGCAACCAGCGATGGGATTTATTGTATTTTCCAGGAAGCCGTGGAGCGTGTCGTTGGAGTGTGCACCCGCTTCAATCACTCCGCCAGGGCTCACCAATCGACTGCAAAGGTAGGTAGGGAAGGGCTGTTCACGGCCTCTCCTCCTCTCATGGATTACAAGGCTCACACGTTTGATCACAGGTTGTCTTCCTTACTGGAGGGTTTTTCGAAATCGCGTCGCTCGCAGACGACATCAAGCAGAAGCTCAAGTCAGTTCTGGGCGACGGGCTGCAGGTGATCGTACCATCCGATCCATCCAGGCTTGCCAGGTAAGTCTTGTGTACCCCTCCCGCCAACGCACTGCCATCTTCCAGACGCTGACAAGTCAAGGCGATTGGTGGTTGCCCGTGGCGCAGCCTTATGGCTAAACGAAGATCCAGAGCGCCCGGACGAGATCTAAGATTGCTTATTGGTTCTGAGCAAAGGTGTGCATCGGGGCAGGATTAGTGAAACGTGATGGAGGACCATACTTAGCTTCCGTAGGTATTCTTGGAATACTTTCCTTGGATTTCAGCTTGAGGACGCCGGTGCCGTTGCGGGCTACCTGGTGCTACAATTGAAGACGCCTGTCCTCCACATCCCTTGCGCCCTTCTTGCCCTTCTCGCTCTTTCGGTCTCGCCGATGTGGCACACATCAACCAGCAAGTAAGCGGGGACCGGAATAGGTACGCGGTTGAAACAAATATGCACGGGGGTCAGGCTGGGTGCAACGCGGAAACGCCATCGGACAGGGCACCCTTGTGCTTGTGCCTCTGCACTCACGTTCCGGTGCGTGACGTGGCTGTGACGTGCTGGCCGTGTACAGCAAGGTACTTGTAGTACTTACGGTACTTATGGCACCTATAACACTACCGACAGGACGGACGATTGCGGGGAGAGATCGGAGACGGAGCATGTACATCTTGTATAGTCTACCAAGCACCATGTATCGGCCAAGCAACCTTATATGCGCCTCCCCTCTCAATCAGAGCCAACTCAGCTCAAACCAGCCCTCTCAATCAGAACAAACTCAGCTCAAGCCAGCTCTCTCGTATCCGGATGCGCCATTCGGGATGCATGCGCTTCCTGTCTAACTTGGGCACGTTGGTCTGTCGTACTACGCCTCCTGACGAGACGGCGCACGGGAGAAGTAGATGACCTCCCGCCTCTCAAACCAGCAAACTTGAAAGAAGCAATCTTTGCCTGTGGGCCCAAGTTCATCTCGCAAGATGACGGACACTTGGGGCACGGATACGGCCAGAAGCTGGTTCTCCTTCATCTCTCCTCTCTGTATCAGTGCGCCACCCCTTCCATCAGCTTCTCTTTGGTACGTTTGCCACGCAGTCTGTTTGGTTTACCCGCAGGTTTCAGGCGACGCTGACACCCGTGACTATTCCTGATGTTAATAGTTGAGTGCGCTCTCGCACCCGACCGAGAGCATTCAGCCGTGTGGTAACCACCCTCCCGCGGAAGAGGAGAGCCCGGCTGCCGTGGCCGTCGGACACGAATCCAACCAGACTGTGTCGTAGCCGTCGGGCACGAATTCAACCACACTGTCGTGGCCCACACTCTCAGAAGCCTGACCAAGTGATGGATCTGGCGCAGACGGGAGCACATCCCACGTACGGCGCAACTGATGCCGCTGGAGGCTGGATGACCTCGGGGTGATTTGGTAGGTTGCTTTTTTTTAGACCGCCTCCCAACCATTGAACCTGGCCGCCGCATTTTCTCAGCTGATTGAAATTTTCTTACACGATACGCTCCAGCCTTGAGCGAACTGTCCTCTTTCTCTCAGGTAAACACCGAGTCTCTCCCAACCCAGCGGCCCGCCCTACCATGGCTTTCATTGCACGCTTGCCATTCGGAGGCCCGTGGTCGACTGCGGTAGGTTCAAGCTCTTTGTAAATAGATAGCGTTAACTCAAATTTTAGTTTCCGCACGGAGAGCTAACATGTCCATGTGTAGGGTTGCCGCGAAGGGAGCCCATGACAACAAAGCAACTCCGGATCACCCACAAGCATAGCTATCACCGAGATCTCGTCTGGCACCGTCGCACCATGGAAGCAGAAGAGATCACTCCGTCTGGTAAGCCCTCTCTCTCCTTGTTGCCCTCGCTGTAGGCTCTCCTCCCCCACCGACCAAAGTCCGAGAATTGACGTCCCTCAACCTGTAAACTGATCATTCTGTAGCAGAATCGACCGTCTCCCGTCCCAGACCCCCCATTCACCACGAACCGAGTTCGCACCCCAACCCCGAATTGCCCCAGGAGCCCGCTGGCCCCTTTCGGATGCCTCACGCTGTATAGCGCTGAGCTTGAACGTCCTAAACTCTGCGAACCGACTCGAGTCCTCCGATATAATACTGGTATAGCATTTCGAGACATGGCTGGTCCCAGACGTTCTCGCCGTCGTGATCGCAACAACGTGGTAAGTCCCCTCGCGGCTTGGTGACAGCCGGAGACTGCACTCAAGACAGACATCAGTGGTATCCAAGGTCGTCACTAACGCATAGCGTGCACCAGGAAAGCGAGCAGCCGTCATGTTTTTCAGCATGCCTTCGAGATCCGAGCGGACCCAGATTACAGGCACGCCGAATCGCCCTACGAATGCAATCCCCGGCCGTCCTCGAAAACTTCGTCCGTCCAGCATTTATGCTGAAGGCTGGCAGCATTCCCGCGAGGAGTGAGTACAAATCCCGAAGCTGGTTAGGTTTGGGCAGCGAAGGCGAAGAAGGTCCCTGGCTAGTGAGTGACGGATCATTGGGCGGCAGAATCTCCTGCTGCCCGTGGTTATCCTTCCTGGGCGTAAAAGGGGTGAGGTGCTAATCTGTCCCCCAGTCCCTCAGTCGCGAGCCATTCCTCCACCAGGAAATCCCGAACGACCGCCTCGATGCCGCCGCGATCCCCCAGACGGCCCACAGTGAAGTCTCGAGCTCCCGCCAGAGTCCAGTACATATCTTCTTCCATCACCAGTAGTCCCAGCGCTTTCCAGGGCCCTGTAGAAGGTAAATAGGACACGTGGAAGAGTACGGCAGCCGGGACATTAGGGTTGCGTTCCGTGTCATCTGCCACTGCTCTTGAAGAGGATCTTGTAAGTGTCTGCGTCTTGTACCGTGCTATGTCCTATTGGATTGAACTATTCTTCTCAAGAGCAAGCCCATCATCGCCCAACTTCCATCCCCCGCAGCCTCTTGGGAATCCATCGTCCTTGTGAACCAGCCACCAAAAGCTACAGACCAAGCATCCGTGATTCCTGTCCATCAGCAACAGCTTGGCTCAGCATCCCATTCCGCCCTCCTCAACTTCCCAGCGATACCGGCATTACGCGGTGTGACCAACAGGTGGCGCAGAGCTTTGTCGGCACAGATATCACTGGGCTTCTAATGCAATTAGACCATTTGCACATTCGGGGTCACCGTAGGCAAGCAAAAGACCAGGGACGTGAAGATTGAGGTCGCTTTTCATGCTTTATTCCGCGACGGACTCCTCCATCTGCTTACGTAGCTGTTGTACGAGAGTGAGGCTTTGGGGGAGGAAACGCACATTGTTCCTCTGAAGTTGAGACAATTCAGAGAAGGATTTGGCAATGTAGATGGATGAAAAGCGCGATTGCGATTGCAACATGACCACCCGCTACCGAATCAGCGTCTTTGTCGCTGAAAGCGACCCCCTCATCTTCCACTAATTAATGCACACAATTGACGTCTCCTCCACGTTTGACGCCTGTTACAAAATGAATGCCAGAATTTCGTCCCGGCGCTCTCGTGTGGAGGTACCCAGGATCTTGCAAGCAAAGCTACTCAACGCTTCCGCCAGAGACGGCGCAGATGCCTCCGAGAATGTATTCCATGTGCAACTGGCGTGCGATGCGCTCAATCTAGGGCAAGTGTGCGATGTCAGACAGCAACTTTTAGCGAGCGGAGATGTCGCTTACACGACCTGGAGTCCGCGACGAAGCAGCTCGACTGCATCTCCATCACAAGCAGATACGGACCGCAGATTAATTGCCCCGTCCGACGTCACCGACTCAGAGCCTGGCTCTCCACCCACATGTAAAAGTCGTTGAATTGTGTTACGCCCGATGCGATTTGGCGGCCTTCTTACTGCTACCCAGGTAATTAATTGTTTGATTGCGCGGCAATATTACTGGAATAGGACCTCGACAAAGGGAAGATTGCCCCAGCTGGCAGTAGGAGGACATTAAGTCATCGCGTTGTTTTTGCTGCCCACTCACCTAGATGTCGTCGAATTTGAACACCGAACTGCATCCTTCAATCAGATATAGTTGGGGTAATATGCAAATGACGATTCGATTTCCTTTTTCATCGATTGAGAAGAGCTCAAGTGTGAGAGGCTCACGAGATGCGACCTTACCCTATAGGACTGCCTGATACCCGCTGGCAATTATTGTCTCCGTTTTTCCTCCGATATTCCCGAAAAGCGACACGCGAGTAACGGAATACTCTCGCCACTCCATGTGGCATAATGATGACCAGTAGACTAATGCAAAGACTGGCTTGTATATAAGTCACCAGCGATGTTCCAGACTCGATCTGACAGAGGCCCACCAAAGTGGAGTTGGACTAACTCTGGGAAGTGAGCCGAGAGGAGAAATTTTTCCGAATCGTACAGAGAGCACAGTTGGTAGACGCAGGCTAAGACAATTCCAGTTTAGAATTATATCATTCAGTAGGTGGCTTGTTTCCGAGGGGCGTCGATCGATCCATAGAGAGATGGACACAGCTTTGTTTTTTGTTGTAGCCCGTAAATTGTACAGCGCTTCAATTGACACCGTGTCTAACAGGATTATGATGCGACACCATACCGAGCTTTTCTAAACCACTCAATCACTCATCTAGTTTATCCTTTCGACATACCCAACACAAAATGGGTTACCCAGACAGGATTTCGGATTGACTCACAGACCGAATGGACCAAATTCCGCAGAGCGGAAGTGAGCAGCGTCTCCGATCACCGTGCATCCCACCTGACTTCGTCCCCAGTTCAAGCCCAAGCAATTCGAGGAAGACGACGTCGACACTGCCCTCGAAGCGTGCGGAGTTTGCGGTAGCGACGTGCATAAAATTCCCGGAGGATGCGGCCCTTTTTCTTCGCGGCTTTATGTTGGCCACGAAGTCGTCGGACGAGTCGTGCGAAAGGGCGCAGAAGTCTCGACGGTCGGGATTGGAGACGGAGTCGGAATTGGCGCTCAGGTCTCGGCCTGTGTCTAGTGCAGGAACTGCAAGTCCGACAATAAGAATCACACCAGATTGGTGAGTATTCCGGATGGACGGGCCTTGAGGGTAGATGGCTAGTCCTGATCAGATACATACGATTGACTTTATCCCAACGGCACATTCAGCCAAGGAGGCTATGCGAGCCATGTTCCACCGGCACGAATACGTTGTCTTCAAAATCCCAGACAACATCTGTCACACTGAGTGGATAGAACCAGAATGACGATGCCGAAAGCGCTCATTCTCCTATCTAATGAATGACTAGGGATCGGTCTTATAGATGAAGAAGAGGGCGGCCTCCGGCAGCCTCCGGGCCCGAGATCCGGAGGTCCGGAGGTCTGAGACCGGAGGACCCACCCTTCCATCCTCCGATGCTACGTGTGCCATTTACCACAGCCCCAACAAAGCTTCGGATGCGACGACTCTCGGCGCGACCGAGTTCATCTCAACCAGTGTCGAGGGATTGCATAAACCCGGGGCTTTTATTTTTTCGACTTTATCCTGAACACGGCAGACACCACAGACAGATTTGACATGGAGGCCTACATGGGCACCCTGGCAGTCAACGGGACGTTTCACAATGTCAGCCTGCCAGACAAGCCGCTGCCTACAATGGGTGCATTCAGCTCCATTCCGGGTGCTACAACATGCCGGTCAGCCATCGGTCGCAGGCCTGAGATGTGGCAGGTGCTGCAATTGGCGAGCGAAAACAAGACCAAGACGTTTCTTCCTGATATTCCACTACAGACTTGGAACTGACGGACGATAGCTGGGTCCAAACAATTGATATCAGCGAAGAAGGTGAGGAGTGTCGTTCGGATAGTCATAGACTCTTGTGGTTTGTTGACAAGCAACAGGATACAGGCCATGTGGTACCTCTGCATGGTCGTAGCACATATCGGAAGCTCGTACCAGATTTCCTCCAAGTTGGCAAAGTCATCGTCGGCTGGCATGGTGTTGTGTCGTTTTGTTCGTGCGCTGGCCTGGAACGTGGGTGACAGACTGTCGTACCACTTCTGGAGGTCTGCATCAAGTATATTCCAGCGCCCAAACAGCTGGTCCTGTGGCACTCCGATGGGAAACCTCTGGCCCGGGAGAAGTGCAAAGTCCGCTGGGCGAATGGCATTCCTCGAGGTCAAATAGTTGACAATCCTCCCTGGAAGCCAGATAAGTTTATTGCTTCTTGTGTATTTTTGGATGTCGGTCAAGGCGCGGAGATCTGCCGTGCCAGAGGGATTATGTGACAGCAGACCGCCGTTTTCGTCGGCTGCTGAGCCTGCATTTTGCCACAGTGGCATATCGAAGTGCGTCTGAGTCTCACTGAGGGCTATTGAAGTGTAAGCGTAGGAAATTGGATCTCTGTTGCTGTTGCAGGACAATTACAGGCGTAAAGGAAACCTGTCTCTTAAGACTGCAAAAATGGGTCCCTTGAAAATGGTGCGCGGAACGTTGACGGAAGAGCAAGCGATGGCTATTGGGTTGTATGCAGGACTGAGCAAAGGCAGAGAATTGAGATGAGCTTTCCAGTCTATTCCAGGAGCGTGCATAAGCTCATACATGCTTGGGATGGCGATGGTGGCAAATGCCACTAACGTCTGGCTGGTGTGGTCGGCTGGGTCCGCATCGAAGGCATGGAGAGTGATGGCGGTTTTTAGGTCGCTGATGCCGCGATGGTAGTATTTTGCGGCTTGGTATTGCAAGTCGATCTAGGCATCAGGTTAGGACGAATAAGTGATTCTTTTAGAGGAGGATAAGTTCTGGACGTGGTATTTGGAACATTTCGAATGCAGTATAGATGCTTTGCGGCCTGCGCGCACGCGGCAGACTTCAGCAGTGGCCAGGATGTCGCCATGACGGGCACCTTGCAGGAAAAAAAATGCCGTCGTGTCAAAGACGTCCATCATTTGGCTGGGTTAATGAGGGGCAATATGCCGGGGAAGACGTACGCACCATTAACCAGGTTCCTCTTTGAAGCGCTTTAGTATATAGGGATTCGTAGGTGGTGTCGCAGTGCAACCATCTGGGGCTGGAGTTGGAGCCAAGGATGTAATTTAGCTTCTTGGAATTGCGTGGGTGGTGGATTCATCGTGGAAGTGAGCTGGGTTTCGTCTTGGAATTGTATCCAATGTGCCTGTTACATCGAAGTCGTAGGGGTTTTCGATGCTAATGAACGTCACGGGGGAATTCTTAGCCCTGTCAAGAGCGTAAATATTGACCATGTCATACGTCTGCCGGTATCTTGAACAACACGGTGCTCTCATCAAACAGCGCAGCATCTCGCGCAGGAGGCCCGGCTATCTTGTCGCTACGCCGGAACAGCGACAGGTCGTTGAAGCTGCTATAGATACATTCCTCAGTAAAATTACACCCGCGATACTTAGTGCATACCCCGCAGACGGGCCTGGCCCTGCACGTTGAGCTGTGATGGAGGGTCAACATGGGGGAAATGGTCGCGGATGGCAGGGCGCAAACCAGCCACAGTGAGAGCGCATTCTGCCTCTTCATGCTTACAATATCTCGGTATGAGAGTATGCGTCCACTATCATGACGTGGCAGCCACTGCTGCAGCCGCGACGCAATGGCAAACGAGAGAGTTGAGGAGTGAGCTCAAGCTTGAGAAGTTGAGATTGGGGGGGAAGGCCAGGCTTCTATTTCGCCCGGAACCCCTGGGATTCCCGTTAGCTTTACCTACCAGTTTACGGTAGCTTAGGCAAGGCGCGCAAAAGTGCAACAATAAAAATCGGAAATCAGAAAATTGCAAGTTTATATTTATAGGGCTGCAGCCTCTATAATTATAGGGATCTAGTCTGTGTGGATATAGGGCTCTAGCCTCTATATTTACAGCGCCCTACCTACTATAGCCTCCTATAATATAGTAGGCAGAGCCTGCAAGTTATATCTACACCAGCCAGCCTTCTATAAGATAGAAGATCCAGCTGCTGTAGCCGGCTCTATAAGAGAAATCTTTCGCTATTGTTTTTTACTGCAAGACGCATTGTCTCAGCGGTAGCTTTCTCTTATATATCAAGCTATGGAAGCTGCAATCTTCCATCTTGTAGGAGGCCGGCTGGAGAGATATAGCATACAGGCTCTGCCCACTATAGCCCACTAGATATCATATGTTGTAATGGGCTATAGTGGATATGGCCCTATAAATATAGAGGCTGCAATTTATAATTTCTCGATGCGCGGTTTTGCGATTTTTATTGTTGCACTTCTGTGCACCTTGCCCAATGTGCCACCGTATTAGTTGCCCGGCGTAGACCCAGTGAGACAATACGCAGCCGGCAACTGAGACAGTATTACAGATGTCTTGAAGTTGGAGGTAATTTGCGCCTGTGAATTTGGCTAATTTACTCCATGGAATTTTAAATGTTATCCAATGTCTGAAAATGGATCACTCTAACTATCAATCTCGGCCTCGATGCCATCTAAAAACCGGCTTGTCCACCCTTCGTCGGCACTCTCGCTGCGTGCGACACTGCCCCAGAAAGACGCCATATTTTACATCCAGCAGCTTTTCGTTTGTATCAAGATTGGGTTTGAGGACTCGACCCGGCTTGCTCATGCGATGCATGATGCTCCGCGGGTCCTCCGTTTCCCCATCCCGCCTGACCCTGGCCGTCGTTGCTCTAATAAGCATCGCCGCGCCATAAAGCACCGCAGCGTCGACATAATGCGGGATGATTGCAATAACACTGCGGCTTATGGCGATGAGATCCATCAGCACCTAATTTTTGCACTGGCTTCCCGACATGAAAATGCTGCGGATCGAGTGGTGGCTTCGTTCATCGGGTCGACAATGTGCCGTGTCTGCAGCGCGATGAACATGGTTGAGCAGTAGCACAGCGCTCGGCCACGCACACTGACGTCGCTAATGATCCCAATCATGGTACCGCGGATATTGGCGTCGGCGACAGGTGACCGGTTCCTCCATAAGCCGCCGTAGAAGAAGTGCCCATGCGCCAAATACGAGATCAAAGCCGCCCATTCCCTCTCGGCGACGCCTTGTAGATATTTGCTCAGGGAGTTATAAATCTTGGTGTCCTGCCGCTCAACCTCCACTATTGTGTCCCGGGACGCAGGGTGTGTTTCTATTATGTGTCTCACCAGCTCTCCGGTTGCAGATTGACCGTGTTCCACCACCCAGGTCCCAGGGATGAGTACATCTCGTTACGTCCCCCGGCCGTCATTGACGAAGATAGGGTCTTGTGAGATGGCGAGATCGCAGGTCGAGGTGCCAGCCACTGCAGTCAGCCGTGTAAGTCAGATGCTTGGCTCATGTCCACATCCAATTGTTGGAGCCCTGTATCCACTTTAGTATCGACTGTTCAATCCATCCACTGTAACATTAATATCGATGCTGCCAACTGCAATTCCTACAGAAGGCCCAACTTTTAGCCAGCCTTTTGTAACAGTAGACCAATAAACTCCCCGGCGCTCTACTATAGCCATCATACGCTCGCATATTAGAGGACAACGACTGATCGCCTTGAGATTAATTATTTTCTCAAAGCCGTCCCAGTGTAGGTAGGTGAGCACGAGCAGCTGGCATATATGTGACTTGCATACTACGCCCTATCCTTCTCTCCCCGCGCTAGCTCGGTAGGGTTATGTCACAGCGACCGGCGGCGGAGAAGTGTCGCCGGGTTTTGTAAGGTAGCACGCCACAAAACTGTTATTGCCGATGGTTCGACGTACAATTAAGAAATAAGGTTAACATCCGAGTGGGATCGGAATAAAGCCTCTATCAGCTGATGTAATGATGCCTCATCAAATCTAATCAATTTGATTCCATCCATTCTTCCATTCTTCCACTTCTTCTCACTCACTTTGTCAGCCAATGCAGTCAGCCTGCACTGATTCCAAACGCCCTGCCACTAGCGCTTATGGCTTCCTGCACTTTACAGAGCATACCGTTCTACGTATAAAAAGAAGTAGTATCCGAACGCGTTCGGCTCTTAAGTTTTATCGGCCGTCATGCTGCAGAATCGCTGACGGATCAGTGGCCCTTCCAGCCTGCCCTCATGATAGATATGGCACTTATATAATTCTGATTACTGAAGGCGGATGAGTTTCCGATGAGTCTCGGGTGGATTCTCAGTGTAATTATCTTGCACTGGCAACAATATATATGTAACAGAACTCAACTCTCCTGGTTCAATTCGCAAATTGTATCGACACCAACCTCCAAATCCTACTACACATTGCTTGCTCAATCACCGAGCGCCGATTAATCAAGGCTTATTGAACTGATATATCACTTTATCGTTTGCAAGGAAGACAAAATGGCCGAGACTGTTGCAGATCTTATTGCGGCCCACGAGTCTGTTCTCGCTGTGTTCATTATCACCGAAACGTTCCTAACCTGATGAGAGTAGACCCCAGGCGTTCGTACCGTTCCCAACCATCGCCGACGTGAACAAGGGATCCAAGCCTCGCCTTACCATCGTCGGTATGTGTCCCCGTCTGTCTTTTTTCCTCTTTGTCTGGAGACTCGCTCACCAACTGCGATACCGTCAGTGGCCTGTGTGGATCCTCGGTGTAGCGTTGACCGGTTTATCGATTTAAACCTCGGAGTGCCCAATGGTGAAAGTAAGTAAAGAAAGAGAGAGTCGCCCGCAGGAATACTAATCAGGAACCAGTGGTTATGGTCTCGCGCAATGCCGGTGGCAACATCCGCTTCGCGGTCCGGGACATTCTGCTTCTGGACGCGAGATTCGGAATCGATGAACTCGTCGTTGTTCATCATACGGATTGTGGCTCGACGATGTTTACGAACGATTGGATGCGCGACGCTGTCAAAGCGCGAGTAGGTGAGAGTCATTGGGACGAAATTGACCAGATCAACTGGGGTGCCAATATAGAGTAAGTATTAAATCTATTACGCCGAGGATCTGTTACGTGGAGAAAGTTTGCTAATATTTGGGTACAGCATGACGGACAGTGTTAAAGTTGACCTTGAGTGGCTTCGTGCCAACAAGGTTATCAGGGATGAGCTTAAGAACACGGCCAGGGGCTTCCTCTATGATATTAAGACTGGAAAGGCTGAGGAAATTAAGCTTGCTTAGTCGCTACGGTTTATAATGAACCGGAAGCAGCTTAGCAATATATTGATCTAGAGGGGAATTCTTTTAGTACTGGTTTCAATTATTGTAGTAAATTATGAAAGTGCTCTTGATCTGTTTCTAGGTTGAAAGTGCTGTAATTCTGCCATTCTAGCCTGCTGCATGCAATAGTAGCCTTTGCCTCTAGCAGCTGTAACACTTCTGGATCACTTCTTGCTTGCAACACACAAACCACTGAGATGTCGCAATCAAACAGCAAACCCAGATCCAGTAACAGATGTATGGGAAAATTCAACAGCTGTAGGTTCTAATCGGATCAAAAGGAAGCACTGCATTAATAGGTGCAGTTGTATAAGCCGAGATGCGAAATATGTACCTTGCGGCGTTGGACCAGGAAAGGAGTCACAAAGATCAATAGGTATGGGACCTTAAAGAAGCCATCTGGCTAGAGGGACTAATCACCCTCATAAAAATCAATCAGAATCACGGTGTAGAGGGCTGGCGGATGTCCTGGAGGTAGGGGGAAGCCATATTTCAATTGGTCTCTTTAGCTACGGTACTGTCACATCTAATTTCCTCAATATCTTTCTGTAGACAAAAGAAAAGCCTTATCTAAGCTTCATCCGCAAGCTCATCAATAGAGCTCATCACTCCATACAGATTCTTGGCACGCTGGGCATCCTCCACTAGCTTGTTGAACTCCTCAACTCCCGTGCCTTTCCCATCGTAACCCCACTCCATTCCGTAGTGCACAACGTTGCTGTCGAACGAGTAGCGTCCCCTGTCCCTGCACAAGCCGCAGAAGATCTCCCTGAACTCTTCCGCAAAATGGATGCGCGGAAACGCCTTGCAAATCTCCTTGAACTCCTCATCCGTCATGACCCCTTTCAGGTTCGGCAGGTCATCTGGCAGCCCAAGGAGGTGGAGGCTCGGGCCAAGGAGGTCGCCATGAATGCCGTAGTGGACAAGCGCGACTTCGGGCTCTTTCCAAGGCGCAAAGGCCTCCATCGTATGCAGAGCAATGGCATCCCACGCTATCTGCATGCGGCGGCCGTTTTTGCTCCAGTCACCATCTTTCTCTGGCGTGGTATCGATGAAGTCGCGAGCGAGGTTGGCGCCATCAACCTCGAAACGCCTTGTATTCGTCACAAGCTCCTTCGTTTTGGTCCAAGCGAGGTCGTGGAGGAGACAGCTGACGACGACAAGCTCGACGTCAAGCGCATCCCCCAGCTTGGCGAATTCGGGCATTTTCTTCTGGAGGAGGAGGCAAAAGGCTGCACTTCGCAGAACGTGATTCATGACTCCCGGGGTCGAATACTTCTTTGCATGTTGGTAGGAAGATAACACGAGGGGAGTCGTGGGGAACTTGATTCCCGTCAAAGGGAAAGAAGGGAAAGGGTTGACAGTTGACGAAGCCATGGTTGTTAGTGTCGATTTGAGATTAGAATATCTGAGTCAGTGACAGAAGATATGATGAGTGCGTGCGACTACTTACAACGATGGAATGGCAAGCGCCTCATATAGGAAAGTATCGGGTAGACGGATCTGACTAATTGATCAAGAGACATGGAGAGGATCTGTAATTGTGCCGTCTTAACACCCGAGATGCATCGGAGCTTACCTAGGTACTTACATATCATTGATTTGTGGCAGGATGCGCGCATGGCACTTGACCAGAGGTCAGTTTCTGAACTACTGTAGAACGGTTTCAGGTGAGAAGTACCTGCCCGCTGTCAGCAGCTACAGCGCCTTAATTAACCTTTCAGCGGCCTTAATAAGCTTCTAGCTGCTATAGTTATAGTTACTGGACGCTTAAGATACTGCGCTGCTGAAAGATTAGTCGGGGCGCTGTAGCTGCTGGAGGCTTACTAAAACAAGCCCTATGTAGCCTCTATAGCTACTCCTTGTAGCCCCCTGTAGCCAGCCCCTATAACATTTATAACTAGCCCTCTGTAGCCACTATAGCTACCTCCTGTAGCCAGCCCTTATAACCACTATAACCAGCCCCTTATAATTTTTAACAACTAACTCAGCGTCATACTGTCGTCTCTATATCCCCAAGTTTTCGATTACTTTTGCTGCCCAGAAGGGAAAAACTCGACTTTTAGCGGCCTCTCATATCTAATGTCTGAGTTAAGTTCTAATAACTCTGCGAATCTGGGCCTAAACACATTAAATCCATTTCTGTTTCTAAACATGTGTCCCGGTGGTTCAAACATAAGCCAGCGCTATAAGCTACAGCGGAAGGCCCCAGTTTGAGCTACCTTAGGGGAGGCTGAGCCCCCAGTAGGCACCCTGTCGAGATCAGAAGCCCCGAAAGTGGCCCAGAAAGGATCGAGATCTCTTGTTTCGGGCCCTGGTTTGACTCGCACACGCAGAACCGAACTTACAGTTCTCATCTGATGCTTTAGTAAAGTAGATTCCGCCAATTTAATTAGTATATTTCCTATTCGACCTGTCAACTTCATGGGTCTTCCTTGGGCAATAATTCTTGAACCAGTCGCTCGCGCAAGAGCCCATGCAGGTAGAGAAATCCGCCAACCAAGGTGCCTGACCACCACTGCACTGCCACGTGGATGCCTATGCCTTGCTGCCTGAATGCGACGGTGAACCGAAAAAGTGGATAAACCGCATGTTTACCATTACAACAGTTAAATCTCTAATCTTGCACTAAATTCTCCGATCTACAGCTTTCGGTTGTTCTGAGACTTGTGTTATCAACTAACAATTGCCTGACTTTCTCCATTTAACCGATTAGTGTATCAGAAAGTGTATCAGAAATCGTCCGGAAATGACTGCCAGACGGCCACCATTTTCAGTCGCCGGGGGTGTCAAGCCTTGGATACAAAAGTTCAATATCACTTCTTCAAAGGATACTTTTCTGAACCAGTTTGTTGGCACATCCGATGCAAGAATAGTTGAGATAAGCGAAGTATCTGTGAGAACAATTGGTTTCAGCTGTTCGAGGTAAACGTCTAACCTTCTCGCCGCAGGGTGGAGGCGACGCCACGTATGTCTCTACATCACTCGGCTCCAATCACGCCAAAGACTGGCCAGACCTCACCAAGTTCATTGAAGTATGCTGCCACTATAATGCATCTCTCTATATTTTACGGCTGTGCTAAACTCTTGACAGCTTCCCCAGTCCGGTAGACCTCGAGGCATTCTCAGATTAGCGTAAGACTTTGAGTCATTTATTTGAAGATACAGATGAGGGCAACAATGTTATAGATCTGTTAAATCCTAACGGTAATAGGATCATACCGTTCAATACCAAGGATGAAAACCTTCCACCATTGTCGTGGAATGGATTTCAGCAACACCTCGACCTTTTGCATCTACGGAAATCCTACTTGTACGATGAAAACATGCAGACCCCTCCCAGTTGGTTTGAGGTCCCCCTAGAAGGAGGTTTAAAAGGTAGAGCTAAAAAATGAAACACATTCTGCAAATACTGAAAGTCTCTGCTAATCGTGGCACTTGCAGGGTTCATGTTGAAGCCGGAGCGGTGGGACTCAAATCTTGCCAACTTCAGTCTCTCTGCTGCCTACTGTCCAGCTTCAAGGACGACGAATGTCGTAGCGCGTATGCTCCACAAAGCCGACGTGGAGCATCTTCTTCCGCGACTGCAGAAGCTTAGATCAATTGCTTGGCATCCTTTTCTCGTACCGCTCATTTTGATGGAACGACGAATGGAAGCAACTGCAAAGGAGCTGATATCCGTCAAAGACTCCCTTTACGCAGTGGAGAGGAGAATAGGAACTCACAAGAACTACCATGGCAGGAAGCATCACAAAAAGCTCCATTATCATGATTACGGTGACAAGGTCTGGGAGCAAAGAAACGAAGATGATATTGCATTCGAAACTGCTCCTGGTACTTTGACTTCCATCGTTTCTGAATGCGCCATGTTTGAAGCCAAGTGTCTTATCAATGAGGACATCCTCGATTGGCTTCATGGACTAAACGCGACTCTCTGCGAACCCGACATTAATGCGGAACTTTCGGCCGTATCAGCCGATTCGATCCGACTGAAGATCTCAACCATGAAAATGTGGTGTGGCAACAACCGAACTCGAAGTTCCTACCTTGCAAAGAGAGCAGAAGCGCAGATGCAAGCCGTCAGTGATTGGATTTCTGGGTCTCTGCCCAAGGACCGCAGCGTTCGCTAACGGAATATAGTGCTTCAACCTCATGGCCCAGCGTGATAATGCGCTGAATCTAAAAACGACCGAGGCAGCGATTCGTGATAGCTCCGATATGAGGGCAATCGCCTGGGTTACCCTTGCTTTCCTGCCAGCGACATTTGTGGCGGTATGATCTCCCAGCATTTCATCAGGCCTAACTTTACTGACTGATATAAGACTTTCTTCAGCACGTCCTTTTTCAGCTTTGGGCAAGACGGGCGCAGGGTTTCTGATTTAGTTTGGATATATTGTGTAGTTTCTCTTTTTTTTAACGATAAGCGTTCTTGCTGGTTGGGCTTGGTGGATTAGACGGGAGAGCAGGAACTAGATGTGGAGAGGTGGTGATGATTGAGAAGACAGGCACTTGTGTGCAGTTTGGTAATGCGGGGGAACTTGGCTCAGGAAGAGTCAGCGCAAACGCCAGTTTATATTCATAGCAATGTAGAAAAGAAACACCCAAAGTAGGAGATTGACCCGGATCCAGACCCAATCCGCGACCAGACGAAATTTCCCGTAACGTCAGAGCACTCTCCAAATCTAGAGCGTCGCATAGATCTTTCATCTGCCGGTGGCGATTGACCATATTTCGAGAAATCTCAATCAATTCTCCACTCATCCCCTCGTCCAAGTCAATCCCAAATAGCCATAACCACCAAGAATAACACTCGACACAAACCGAAACAGGCCTTTGCCAGGTACGCCCTCCTTCCAGCAAAGGTATCCGTCTGCGGCGCCAGCCACGACGAGCAGGCTCAAGATGGTATCTAGGGACCCGTGATCACCTCGGAAATAGAATGTGTAGATGGCGATGCCAAACATGGACATCCGAGAGCCGTAGGCGGCGAAGCACGTATGGGCCTCGCGGCACTTGGCGATGTGGTCTGGCAAGCCAAACTCCTGGATAGCACGTGCGGGTTTCCAGAACGGGAGCATTCCGCCAAAGGTGAAGGTGGTGGCAATGAAAAGAGGCGGGATGTGCCAGGGAGAGAAACGAGGAAGCGTGGTGGTCATGTTGAAGATGAGTGCAATTGACGGTGATGTCTTGGAACGGATGGCGTTTGGGAGGAAGAAGGCGGGGGCTTATGAGAGAGTGAACAAGTATGTCTAGTGTATGTAAGCCGGAATTGAGCCAGGGAGCCACCTATGCTGTCTCACCTGTAGCTTGAGTTCGTCTCATAATACCACGACGTTGTAGTCTGAGGCATTATCCGGGAGGAAATCCGCTATGTAATACGCCGATCAAACCGTGGACTCGTTCGTAGTGACATTTCTATTTCCATTGCCATTCCCCATGAATCCTTGCGACCCTTCGTTGGCTGGTTCTCCCCCAACGGCCGGAGGGATGCGTCACTCGGCCAAGCTTGCTGATCGCCATTCCAACACACCAACAAGCCAACAAGCCAACAAGCCACGGTTCAATAATGCTCCTCATCCGTTGGTTCCGGCCTCTAGCGCCCCGCTCGTGCTGACAGACTAATTTACACATGCAGGGGCGTTTCAGCTGCCGTGGCCGAAGATCCGGCATAAGCTTATGGTGTGAGCTTCCTACAACTTCATCCTTTCATGACGATGCAGCATTGTCGACGGGTCGCGCCTCATCAATGGCGCCGAATCTTCGTTTGAACAGGGGCACGCTGCTCCGGTCGGCGGCCGGCCTCTTTTGCTTCGTCTTCTTCGTCCACGTCTTTTGGCCGTCGTCGCGATTGGAGTCGGCCAGACTGGAACAGTACATGAACCATGAGCCCCCAACAGACGCCGGATACTCCAAAAGCAGCTTCGACTGGAGCAAGATCCAGTTCAAGTATCCTCCTCAGACGACGTCCGCATTCACACTGCCCAAGACGCGCGCAAAGTCGTTTCCCCGCATCCAGCACGCGTTTAGGGCGGAATCTAGCGCCGCCGCTTCAGCTCGCGAAGAGCGTCGCCAGGCGGTTCGCGATGTTTTCACCAAGGACTGGGCCAACTATCGCCAATACGCCTGGAAGAAGGATGCGCTCAATCCCATTTCCGCGACTCCTAAAGACCAGTTCTCGGGCTGGGCGGCGACACTGGTGGACTCTCTCGACACACTCTGGATCATGGGCATGAGGGAGGAATTCGACGAAGCAGTCTCTGCCGTCGTGCAAATCGACTTTGGACAATCCAGCTCCTTCAGAGTCAACATTTTTGAAACCACCATTCGGTACTTGGGCGGCCTGTTGTCCGCATATGACCTCAGCAAACGCGATGTCCTGCTCGCCAAGGCGGTTGAGCTCGGAGACATGCTCTACGCGGGCTTCAACACGCCAAATCGAATGCCTGTCGACTTTATCGATTTTCAGCAGGCCAAGTCGGGCGAAGGCTTGACGATTGAAGCTTGGGTCGTGTCTGCGTCTCCAGGATCTCTGTCAATGGAAATGGCACACCTCTCTCAATTGACAGGCGACATGAAGTACTACGATGCCATCACCGCCGTGATGCAAGTCTTCCACGAGCAGCAGAGACAGACAAGATTGCCGGGCCTGTGGCCCTTGTGGGTGTCGATGAGGAAGCCGGATGTCAGCTCCAGGGAGGAATTCACAATGGGTGGCGGCGCCGACTCTGCCCATGAGTATCTCCCCAAGATGTACGCCCTCCTCGGCGGTTGGGATCCCATGTACGAAACCATGACGCGGGAGTTTATGAAGGCTGCCGACGAGCACCTCTTTTTCCGGCCCATGCTTCCCGGCGAGCAAGACATTCTCATCTCGGGAAATGTCAACGTCGACGATCATGGAAACAAGTCCTTTGACCCCGAGAGCGAGCACTTGACATGTTTCATCGGCGGTACTATGGCTCTGGGCGGCCAGATTTTCGGACTGCGCAAAGACGTCGAGACGGGGACAAAGTTGGCCAGAGGTTGTGCGTATGCGTACAAAGCCTTCCCGTCAGGCATGATGCCCGAGAGGTTCAACACGATAGCCTGCGATCCTCCGCGCGCAGAAGTATGCAAGTGGAATGAAAGTATCTGGATCGATGAGCGCGCCAAGAGACCCGAGTGGAAAGCCCATATTCCCAAAGGCTTTACAACAGCCAAGGATCCGCGATATCTCTTGAGGCCCGAGGCCATCGAGAGTCTCTTTGTGAATTACCGCATCACGGGCGATGCGGAGCTCGTGGATATGGCCTGGGACATGTTCAAGGCAATTGCCAAAGGATCGGCGGTTGAGTTCGGCCACGCAGCCGTGAAGGATGTCACCTTGTCAGTGGAAGACCTCCCAAAGGAAGATTATATGGAAGTAAGTTGAGCTGTCTGATGCAAGTAATCGCACGTGCTAATCAGGCCGTAGAGTTTCTGGCTTGCCGAGACGCTGAAGTACTTCTATCTCATCTTCTCGCCTCCGGATCTAATAAGCCTCGACGATTATGTTCTAAACACGGAGGCACACCCGTTTAGAATGCCTGTACCTTGAAAATAGGTGGATAAAGATGGGTTTATGGATGGAGTTGGGTGGGTTTTGGGGCTGGACTGGGTTTCTTCAGCGTACATGTGTATAATTTCAAGATAATTCAGACATCCCACAGCCCCTGAGAAAGGAGCAAGCAAAGGCTCGATACACTTATCCGGGTGGGGGCTCTGAGGAATACCGTAATTTTTGACACATCTAGTCCTGCAATGTTGAGGAGTTAGCTTAGTTCACAGAGGAGAGCCACAATAACGGGTAAGACCTTTACCGTCATCGATCGGCACCAGAACCTTTACTTACATCGATGAAGCGCTGGTAGATGCCGGTATTCTGATATTTGAAAAATAATCTCAGCTATTTTCAATCCTTCCAAGTGAAAAAATAAACTGGATCCTTGCTCGGTCCCTATCCCATGCCCCAGCACAAGTTGTCCATACCACCAACAACACCTTCACCATGTCGGACAATAAGGTCAACCAACAATGCCGAACATATCTTTTCGGCCATCCGCTGCACCAATCCCTTGCGCCACTCCTGCACTCAACCATCTTCAAAAGCCTCAATGTTCCGTGGACGTATGAGCCCATCGATTCCATAGACAAGAACGATTTCCTCCCGAAGCTCAAAGCGGACGACTGCATTGGCTCTGCCGTCACAATGCCACACAAAGTGACTTGGATGAAGGAGTGCGATGAGGTGACTGAGGAGGGCCGGGCCATTGGGGCCATCAATACCATCTTCATCAGGCGGGACCTTGATAGTGGCGAGAAGAGGTATATCGGAACAAACACCGACTGCATTGGGATTCGCGAAGCATTTCTCAACAACTATCCGGACATTCTCTCAAAAAGTAAGGGCCACCCGGCTCTGGTAATTGGGGGTGGAGGAGCGGCTCGTAGTGCCATTTACGCACTCTACAAGTGGCTGGGAGCCTCTGAGATCTACCTCGTGAATCGCGACGAAGACGAGGTAGTCGGCATTGTCTCGTCATTTTCCGGTGTCGATGGAGGGCCAACTTTGACTCACATCTCAACAGTTCAACAGGCTGCACAGCTTAATGCCCCAGTACTTATTGTAGGAACAGTGCCAAATTTCCCTCCTCGCTCTGTGGGAGAAGTCACGGCCCGGAATATCACGCTTGAAATCCTGCGGAAAGAGTATAAGGGATATGTGCTGGAGATGTGCTATCATCCTGAAATAGTAACTGAGTTTTACAGTCTGTCTCAGCAAGAAGGCTGGGCGGTTTTGCCAGGTACAGAGGCCATGATATACCAAGGGATCGCTCAGGAGGTCCTTTGGATGGAACGACCGCTGGAGCAGATGCCATTCGAGGATGTCAGATCTGCTATCGCAGATGCGCTTTCAAGGAGATCATGCCAGGCCGAAAAATAAAATATAAAGGACATAGAGTAGAGCCTTATTGATTTGTTTCTTACCAACGTATGAAAACACTATCAGTTCAATTTTAAAAATCCACTTTCCGATGGAATACTCTCGTTTCGAAGTATGTTGTTTAATTATCGTATTACGTCGTTCTAAGTTATGTTACAGGTATATGCATCGTACAATCTTCATGCCATGACTGATGTTTCTATCCCCATCGGCTTCCTGGGGCCGGCTGGATATTCCACAGAGTCTCCATTGGAGAGCGTCTCAACCGAGATCCGAATCTCTTCCGTCTTCATAACCCTTCCTGACTTCAAATCATTTAGCTGAACTTCACTGCCAGCATCATCTTTGAAGACACCCCCCTTGGTCTGCGTACCAGTTCGCCAGTATGCGCCGGATCCTTGGGTGTGCGTTGCTTTCGATCGGTTCGTTCTGGATCGAGCGTCGGTCGAGGTGCCTCGGTAGCCGGACTTGTAATCGCTGCTGTTGATGCTGGAGTTGATAATATGGGCCAGTTTTCGGAGCAATGGTCGTAAAGCTGTGAGCGCCACAAGTATGATCGATACGCAGAGTTCGGATGTAGCCCAGAGATCTGTTCCAGCGTTCAAAGTAAGTATCGTGCGGCTTCAAGGAACATTGTAGTGAGGAGTCGTGCAAGTGATTTACAGTTGGAAAAGGCACCATTTCCCGAGGTAACCATATTAGTGAATCGCCCAATGCTTATGGCGATAGTAATCACACCCAGGCCTAAAATCACTGCAAGACCAATCTTCTCCCTACGTCTTGGGAGCTTCAAGTCTCGGATTAGTGGGAAAGGAAAAGCGACGTCTGTTCTGTTAGTATGCCCGGTCAAGGTGCTTTGAGGGGTAATGACATACTCAGGACCTCAGTGGTAAAATTGAGAGACCAGTGGATTCGCATCATTATCAATGAATTATATGCGCTGCAAACACCACGCTCGGGTGACCTAAAGGAAGGTGGAGAGTCAGTACAAGGGATTTGGCAGGAGATTCGACAACGAATGGCCGCGTGGACATAGAAATCTCAGAAATCTCTCACCAGTTCGAAGCAATATCAGCTCCGCACCAAAGTGTCGCATCGAAGAATGTAACGAGACAACTCGCGACCGTGATGCCGGTAAGAGTGTATAAGGCAATTCGCATCGTGGGCTGGGTGGGTGGGACCAGCGCGTAGTAGAAGGCGATGATGCTGAACTTGGGAAAGTACATGCCGGTATCGAAGAAGTAATTGACAGCAAATCGAATCTATTGATGTCAGCGACGATTCTTGAGCAAAAACAGCGGGGAAGGATTGTGATTAACTACCTTGAGCATTCGAACACCCGGGTCAACAAAGTTGAACATGGCATTGGCCTTGTAAGCCAACGTGTCGCAGATGACCAGCCCCAAAGCAGAGCAGACAGCGATCAAAAGCCATGCGTCCGACCAGTATATCCTGTCTTTGTTCATGTACAGCCGAACATACAGACGAGCAGCCACCAAGATGATGGCCAAGGATAGCAGGACCCATTCTCCAGCCTGAGCGAGCGTTAGGTGGAGTCTGGAGGATTGCCTCGACAGGAACACTCACGATTACCGCGGTGGGCGACATGCTTGACATGCTGGCGAAACACCCCAAATGGAGGAAAAAGAAAGGCGAAATCTGCACAGAGGCTGACACCAAGGGGTCAGCGGGAACAACATGTTTTCAAGCTCGGAACGCAGCTACGGCTGCACTCAACACGGCACATTCCCCTGTCAAATGGCGACGGCTTCGGAACGAACGAGTCATGGAATCGGCGTAGGTGCCACCACCAGAACCACTAACAAAGCCACAGACAAGGTTGATCAGCCGCTACTCAACTGAAGGTACCCGAGAAACCCGCGCCGAATGTAAATTATGTGAGTCGGAGCGTAGCTTGGCGCATGCCATTATCCCGTAACGGGAGAGGCGGTCTCTCCCAATTCTCCTAGAAAGGCCTGATCGCTCAATGCGCCGTAACTTATCACTCCCCCTACTCTTCTCAATGAGGGAAAAAGAGGACAAGGTACAGATCCCCCTCTTCACATCGACAAGGAAGCAATCCTGCCAAGGCGAGGTCTAAGAGCGGGGGTGGAGCTTCGATAGCTAGACGAGGGTCCCCTTAACTAGGCCCTTGGCGCTCTGATACTCCACCCCCAGCTTCTTGTAATGGTTGGACCACGACGTGATCCGAGTGGTCAAGTTCCGTGAAGACGTGCGGTCATGGTTATCTCCCAGCCGTACTAATCATGCCGATGCGACATGTTAGCGGTTGGTAATCTCTTCCGACTTCCCGATCGCCTTCAACTTAAACGTAGCTACCGGCAGCATCCGAGTTGTCCAGCATTGGTCAGCGCTAGAACCCTTGCTGTGGCTCATCTGTGCACCGGTCACCTGAGCCAATGGCCTTGGCGATTTAACAAGAGGCATTTGCAGGAGGGAGTCGAACCACGTGGAGCCAGGGGACGCGATAAGGGTGGCAAAAGAGGAAGCCATTTTGAGAGATTGTCAGATCTCCGACAAACGCCCGAGATAAGGTTGAGTAGACGAATGCAGTAACGAAAAAGAGAAGATCTGAGCTTGTTATTGGAGCTGAAGCGTGCCCCTGTTATAGCTAATCTTGATGACACCGGCTTAAAGTGGCCTGAATGGCTAGAAATGGACCCATGTTCATGAAGACATGGTTTCTTGAATATGTTACTATACACAAGCCACAAGAATGGGGGGAGTAGCTTTATGCAAGTGCGAGAGAGCGTCTCGAGGTAGTTATTTTATCTACATTTATTCTCTATCTAGTGGGATCAAAGACAGCTCGCGTGCTGGTTCTCAAATAGCTTTGGGCAACGTCGCTCGCGCCAGCGACAACTACAATCCCTTCCAATGCCGGTGAATTTTGCAAAAATATTTAGTAGCCAGGATTTTGCCTTCATGAGCCAGTATAATTCCGATGGCAAACCGCACCCAAACTGCAAGCAGAAGCATGGGAGTCATCAGCCACACCCAGCTCTGTTTCAGTGTGGCTGCGTTCCAATCGCTGCTGAGCCACGGGAGAACCGGCACTCTTCTCCGGGTAGCCACCCTGGAGTTCCCACACCTGCGCATCGTAAATTGTGCAATCTATGCTGTGGATGCCTCTAAATGCACTGAGTTTGGTATTTAAAGTATAAAATATTACAGGTGTATTAAATAGAAAAATTTACCCACAGTCAGGATACTTGATGAGACTGGGTGTATGAAAAATGTGCGTAGGCTATTGAGCTTGAGTGAAATCCCAGTGGTGGCATCGTTCCGAACAGAGCTGACAGCCGTCAACAGGAATCTAACGGGATCCCTTTCAATTTTCTTTTACTTGGCTCACTCTCATAGCCTACAAATACTTAAATGTCAGTGAACCCAGAAAATTTTTAATACTCAACAACGTGTTTGACGACATCTCTGGGGAAAAGGCGATCCACACCTGTTCCGAGTTCCGAGCAGCCAATTGCCGAGAAGCGGGAAAGAACTTTGCCGTCCAGCTCCGTCATGTCAACCGTGTGGGGAGGGGGATTTCTCACGCTAGCAGACACTATACAACTTGGATAAGTGGGATGGTGACTTAATAAGTCAATCGGTATAGATATCACCGACAGGGAGCGTCCCCAAACATTTGGAACAACACGTATACACCACTTGAATGGCTTTCAATCGCAAGCCAGCAACACGATTTGAAGAAAAGGCAGTCTAGGTAGCTAAGATTAGTAAGTGGCATTATAATTTTGTCCCAAGAGCACTCAACATGAGTCAATGTTTCTGTGAATGTGGTGGTGCACTAGCATTCTGATCGTGTTTATTTTTACACCCAGCGTCCTGAACTCTCAACTTGACCATCAACCTCCTTCACACTGACATGACTTCTGCACGGCTCCAGCTTTCTCTTCGCTGACTCCCGCGCTCTAAGCACTACATCCCTCCCTGAACGTCCTTATTTTGTCGGGAATGCGAGCCTCATGGGGTTGACGTGAATAATGGGGAACGGCAACGTCCCTACCAATCCAGCCAAAGGCCGCCACCCAACGCCAGATCAAATTGAAGTTTCGCAGTCCAAGCGGTCTCGCAGAGACACGGAAGAAGTGCGAGATGGAGTCTACAACAACAATCGGATACGGATCAGTCGGGCATGCGATGAATGTCGACGACGTAAGGATCGCTGCGACGGTCAACGACCGTCCTGTCAGCCATGCTCCGTCGCCAAGCGGGCGTGTAACTACAACCCATCCAAGAAACGCGGCCTTCGAACGGGCTATGTCAGATCTCTGGAAATGCTTCTCGGTTTCTTTTTCGGGACCGTTGAGGGAAGTGAGGCTTGGATGTCTGCTATTCTGGAAGGCAATGCGACGAAGCCGACACTGCAGCTCCGGGCGTCGACAGAAATCGGTCAAGATGCCGCCGAGTTTGCTATGCATACGTGGAGAAAGAGCGATGTGCTAAAAAGGCTCGAGAATTTGCCTTCCTTGGCTGAATCGGCAGAGGATGATGACGAAACTTGTGATACCTTTGAAGGCAGGTTGGCCCAGGCCTTGGGAGGCATTGCTGCCATGGACAACCTGAACGGCATCTTCGATACGCCCAGCTTCGAAGGGCCAGCTCAAGTTCCGCTGAGCCCAATGAATACAGATGCAACCTCTCCAGTCATCATCCCGGCAGTTCCCTCACACCACATCGCCGTGCCACAGGAAATAGTCCCGAGGCCGAATACCACTACGACTTGCTCAACCGTTCCCCGCGATGAGTTGGGGATTACATCGCACTCAACCATGGAAAAACCTTCTGACGACGACCGAATGGATCTTCCGACGAATTGGTCATACCTTCTTGATCTTCACTTTGCCAACACACACTGCTGGTTACCCATTTCGCACAAACACGACTTGCTGCGGACAGCATACACCCTCGCCAACAATGCCAATCCCCCCAATCTCACAGACCCTTCCCAAAACGGCGACTGTGCGTTTCTCTGGGCCGCGTTGGCGTACTCGTCGCACCAAAGCGATGCCCTAGATGTCATCCAAGGGCAGACTTCTCCGAAGAGAATCTCGACGGATTGCCTTCTGGCCACAGCGAAGCGCCTCGCTACGTGTGAAGAAGGGGCCCATGCAATCGGCCATGTCCGGGCCTGGATACTACTGGCTCTGTTAGAAATGGCCCACAGTCACTGGAAAACTGCATTGGTCAAAATTGGCCAAGCTGTGTATATTGCAGCTGGTCTCGGTATTCTTCCCGGCCTTCATACCCAGACTCTTGGTCTCGAAGAGGGTGTGAAGCGAACTATTATGGGATGCATTGCCTTAGAGACCTTGATAGCGACTAGGCTTCATGTCAGGCCTTACTTTATGCACTCGGACATTCGGACACTTGGATCCCTTCAGACAGAGGGTATAGAAGAGTGGGAACCATGGCAGCCACGAATGCCACACAACCCGCAATCCTCCAACTACGGCGCTGAATACCGTCATTCTCCAGGCCACGTCTTGAGCATATTTTCACAGTTTATGGAAATCATGGAACTTCTGAACAAATTATTGACTCATCCGTCTCGTCAAAGCTGTTGCCAAGAAATTGTTCAAAGCCTTGAACATTTAAAACCTACGATTCCGCTGCTACGTCCAGACTCTTCAGGTACAGAGTCATCCCCACAGCTGCTGAATCTACACTTGGCTTTCAATTGCGTGGAAAAAATGATACGATCTGAGCAACTCCTTCTCCCAGATAGTCAAATCAGTCAGCCCGCGAATGAAAGCTGGAGTAATACACGAAAACTGGGTGAGGTGTTAAGCGAGCGAGTCCAGGGCATCGGATACTTTTGGATACCCCCTTCAGTTCTTTCATATTTATTCATATTTCGTCAATTGCTAGATGGAGAGAAGAAATCCATCTATGATACTTTTGGCGACGAGGAGAGAAAGGGATTGAGCACGTCCCTCAGCGGACTGGAACATGCATGGCGGGATATCAACACAGCTGCCTCGGATTTGACCCATCTCAGTGCAAACGATGGGGTTTCTCTCCTAAAGTACAAGAAACAGAACCATCAAGACCAGGAAGCCGTATACCTAAACATGGACCTGGCGACAACGCCCCTCGTTGCAACCAGTTCAGCGCCTCAACTTTGCACCCAGGGAAGCATACAACACCAGTCTGGCACACTCCAGACTGTAGAAAACACAAGTCTGGAGGCACTACACTCTACATCAAGGCATGGTGTGCCGTCCGAATCACAAATCGTGATGAATGATAGAATCCGCCCTCCCCCTCAAAGTCTGGACTTTGGCTCTTTATCCGATTCTCTAGTCGGAACAATGGATGATGATGGCCTCTTCGACAGTTTGGCCAATTTAGACCCGGAAGATTGGTATGGTATCACCCGAATCTAAAATTAAACGCTTTATCTTTATTTACTAATTTGTCTATGTAGGGTGGCGAATCCTCCAGAGTTTATGAGACACCTTGGCGATCTTCGCGATGCTCCAACTGATCTTCAGTCATTCTTTGAAGAGAACTGATATAAAGCTGGAGGATTATTCTTGCCTGGAGTGTGATACTGATATAAGGATGATTGGAATCCTAATTTGCATCATACACGGCAGATTTGTAAACGTAAAATAATACATATGAGCTTAGTTTCGTCATAAATATGCGATTGACAACCTGTGTAAAAATGTGATAGTAGACTCAATCAGTAGGTGTCCGAATAAAAGTTGACGAGCGGAACTGAATTTTGCCGCCTGATCAATAACCCAATTCGCCTACGTCACCTTAGCTGCTACTACAAACAAAAGAGCCCAAGTCCCTCAATACATCTGCCAATTGGTCATTTTACAGTACAGTGACACGAATTCTGCTGCTCATCTCCGCTCAAACATACAATCATGAAATCGTTTCGCCCAGCCATTATGTCTGCCTCGCTCGGCCGCGCCTGGTTGCACAGTTTTGAAGAAAAGGCCCGTCAGGCTGCTGTACATGGATTCGAAGGAATCGAGATCTTCTATGAGGATCTGGAGTACTTGGCCAAGAGCCTCCATGATACCACGGAGCCAAGTGTGGATCAGATTCTCAGCGCCGCCTCGCACATGCGAAAACTCCTTGATGAGCTCAATCTGGAAGTCATTGGCCTGCAGCCATTCTTGTTCTACGAAGGTCTCCTCGATCGCGAACAACACGCTAGACTCATTGAGAAGATCAAAGTCTGGTTCAAAATTGCAAAACTTCTCGGAACCAATACGATCCAGATCCCGGCCAATTTCCTACCCGCCGAACAGCTGACTGGCGACATGGATGTCATCGTCAGTGACATGATCGAGCTCGCAGATCTCGGCCTGCAAAAAGACCCCCCCATTCGGTTTGCATATGAGAGCCTTTGCTGGAGCACGCATATCGACACCTGGGAAAAGTCGTGGGAGGTAGTCCAGAAGGTTGACCGGCCGAATTTTGGGCTCTGTCTCGACACCTTCAACATTGCCGGTCGCGTCTGGGCGGATCCAGCTTCTCCGACGGGAAAGACGCCCAACGCGGACAGCGAATTGAAAGATTCTATCGGTCGGCTAGTACGAGATGTTGATCTGAACAAGGTCTTTTACATCCAAGTTGTGGATGCCGAGCGGATGGAGGCCCCGCTTGTCAAAGGCCACCCGTTCCACGTTGACGGAAATCCGCCACGGATGAACTGGTCCCGGAATGCAAGGGCCTTTATCTATGAAACTGATAGGGGTGCATATCTACCAGTCGAGGGTATCGCAAGAGCATTGATTGAGGACATGGGATATAAAGGCTTCGTGTCAATGGAGTTGTTCTCGAGGACAATGTCAGAGGAAGGGGAGCATGTCCCAAAAGAGCATGCTCGTAGAGGGATTGAGGCGTGGAAGAAGTTTGTTAAGCAGTTGGACTTGAAGTGAAGAGATAAAGAGGCAGATCTAAGCAGGAACATAATTGACGAGCATTATTTCTTGTCAATATCAGTTATTTTCAGTATCTAACACTAGACTTTATCTTAAAAATGATAGGTAGTGCAACTTGAAGGACTCTTGGCAGTGAGTAGCTCCTTGGGGTCTATTGAAGGTGACATATATCTAAAAGTTGATACCAGGACTCTGTTCTGCCATCTCCAACAACAATTTCCAGGCACCATCCCTGTCCATCTTCTTGACAAGTTCTTCCCCAGCCCACAACTTCCATTGCGTCTCAATCTGGTGCCCGATTACATGAGTCCCTTCCACCGCAGGCCAGTTGTGCTTCTCAGCTAGTTTAATCATCCTCGTCCGGCGTGGCTTGAAGCACATATCCAACAAGACTCCCTTGGCTGGCCGAGAGAGGAACTCTTCCAACGAATCCCTAACCGCCATCTCTTCTGGAGTTTGAGGTTCCAGATCGGGAACGGTCCCAACGACGTAGTAGGGCGTTTCAAGCTCTGTAGCCTGCCCTGGCTTGACGTGGATGATCTTTGGGGCTGAAGACAATCGCTGCGAGTCGCGAATGAGATCCGTTACTTCGCCCTCTTCTCGGTTCAGCACGTAAACAACCGATGATTTGAAATATGTGCTGAGTGCATATACGGCAGCGCGGCTAGCGCCTCCAGCCCCAACGATGAGGGCAGGCTTGTGCAGTACAGGTTCTGTCGCACCCTGAGTCTCCAGCAGGCACCCCTTGATACCCAGCCAGTCAGTGTTGGTTCCGCGTAGTTTACTTGGATCATTGGGATCACGGTAAACGTTGTTGCAGGCACCGATAGTGGCAGCCAGCTCATCAAGAGCATCGAGGTGTTTGGCGATGACGTTCTTGTATGGCATGGTAACGACCAGTCCGATTGTCGAGTCGTCCCGGGCTAGGGAGACGAGCTCTTTCTCTGTAACGCATTCGGTAGCGAAAAACGTCCATGGCAAGCCCATGGACTTTGCGATGAGATTGTGCATCGGGGGCGCGATGGAGTGGCCAACCCCAATTCCGACAAGATGAAGGGTCTTCTTTTCGGACATGACTGCGCCGTCTATTGCCTCAATCGAAAATGGTCGGTAATAGGGACTTGGAGTCTTTTGTGATTGTAATGATCATAATTAGAAACGACGGATGGAAAATGCTTTTGGCTTGTCGCATTTAGCAACAAAAGCGACAGGCGTGGCCAACTTCCAATCTACGACGGAGTTTTTCTTTGCCGCCGGTCCATACTGATGACAGTGAACACGAACTTGCCACCAAATCCAGTTCGCCAGAGTCGGATTATAGTTATTTGGATGGGAGAAGATTTGTTTCGCAATTCTCATTTGATATTACATATGGATAGGATTATGATACCATGGGGGATGACTTGAGCAATGACCGCACCTCGTCACATTCGTCTCCAAACCGAGTGGGAAAAATAGAACGAACACTCCCTCTAAGGCAGGTAGATTTTGGATTAATTCTTATGTGCTAAATACAGTCCTGATTTTAATTTACAGGTCCGATCTGGCTTCTTCTCCTGCCCAAGCCCGCCGAATTAATTCCCGAATTGCTGCGCGCTCAATGTCGCGCGGGTTCCAATACGGCTTAGAGACAGCAATATCCGCCGCCTTGTCGATATCAGACTCCTTCATCCCAAGGGCCTTCAAGCCTCTTTGCACCTTGAGCTTGGTGAGTAGGACATTGAGCCCAGCGACTGCATCTCCATTGCTCTCCGGGAGGACCGAGGCCAACGCACGCATGGCGCCAGGGACTTTGGGAGCATTGTAGGCGAGAGCATGGGGAAGAACAATCGTGTGCGTCTCGGCATGAGGCAAGTTGAAACTGCCGCCGAGAGTATGACACAACTTGTGGTGCAGAGACATTCCAACATTGCCCAAGCACACTCCGCAGAGCCATGCGCCATAGAGAGCTGAGGACCGCGCAGATTGCAAGGTCGGATTTTCAATCAGCTGCGGAAGAGCAGAAGCAAGGGCTTCGACGCCTTTCTCAGCAAACATGTTGATAATTGGGTTGCTGTTCTGCGCGTAGAGGGCCTCCACGGCGTGTGCAATGGCGTTGATGCCGCTGGTGGCGCTGAGAGAAGCCGGCAGCGTCAGTGTAAGATTTACATCATAGATGACCGTCCCAGGGAGAATCGACGGGTCTGATCGTGTTTGCTTCAGCCCGTCTGCCGTTTCACCGAGGATCGGAGTGACCTCGCTGCCAGCGTATGTGGTGGGAATGGCGATGTGGTGCAACCCAGTCCGGAAGCTGATGGCTTTACCGAGGCCAATTGTGCTGCCCCCTCCAATCGACACGACTGAGTCTGCTCCCTTGGACTTGGCGAACTCGACGGCGCGTTCTGTCACGTCTAACGGGGTGTGCATGGTTGCCTCGCTAAACAGACCCGCGATCTGGCCTTGAAGCAGTTTCTCAACATCGTTGGCCTGCTGAGTCTGATATGGTGTCGAGAGGAGCAGCGGGCGGGAGAGCTTTAGCTTGGAGAGCACCTCGGGAAGCTTTGCGATAGTTCCGCTTCCGAATACGACCCTTGAAGGGTTTGCGTTGTATTCAAAAGCGTCCATTTTGATAGTAAAGATAGGGCCTGACTAAAGCTGACTGAGTATCACAGGATAAATGGAATTAGATGAATCAGATGTGAAGAGATCAATTGAATCGGTAAATTATGCGTTGGGTCAACCCCATATCTAGTTGGAGTCGGTTATACTGGGAGTAGTTAGCGGAACCTACGGAACATCGCGGGAAACCAACATCCCTTAGCTTAGAACTTCCCCAGATACAGAAATGAGGGGGAAGCTTACTCCACGCTTACAAATCTGATTTCGGCAGATGCTTTGGCGCTTTATACAGCATGGTGGAGGTGGCGTGAAGCTTCTTCCGGTATAGCACTTATCCGTTCGGAGTTCCTTCGGCAAACGCCGCTATGAATAAGGCCAGTACTGAAAGTGAGTGGCATGGCTATACGGATTAAGAATCAAGCAATAAATGATTGAGGTCGACTACATCCGTCCTATCCGCCATACCTTTCATTCTCAAATCTACAGCTTCTTGAATTGCTCGCACGCCAAATTTCCATAACGAGCTCCCACGAATCGATCAGCATCTCTTATACACCACCATCGCAAAATGAGCCACTCACTTCCTGCGAAAGATCTCACAATAGACAACATCACAGAGAACGTGCACGCAATAAATTCAAGTTGCGATGATCCACGCTTGCGCTTTCTCCTCGAGAGACTTGTCACGCACCTCCACGACTTTGCTAGGGAGACGCGACTAAGCACGCCTGAGTGGGAGAAGGCGATCAAATTCCTCACCGACGTGGGACAAATCTGCACCGACGTGCGACAGGAGTTTATTCTCCTGTCCGATGTTCTGGGCCTCTCGCTTCTTGTTGATTCGATTGACCATCCCAAGCCCGAAGCTTCAACAGAAGGCACTGTGCTTGGACCGTTTCACACACACGAGGCTGAACACGCACCCAATGGCGCACTCATATCCCATGATCCAGATGGCGAACCCATGTTGGTAGTGTGTTCTGTCAAGGACACGCAGGGCAACCCAGTTGTCGGGGTCAATATTGACGTCTGGGAGACAGATTCCAAAGGCTTCTACGATGTCCAACACGCCGACCGCGCGGGTCCAGACGGTCGTGCCGTTGTAAAGAGCGACGAAGATGGCATGTTCTTCTTTCAGGCCATCGTCCCAGTTCCGTATCCAATCCCAAACGATGGGCCCGTCGGGCAGCTATTGGGGGTGCTGAATCGCCACCCGTACCGTCCAAGCCACTTTCACTTTATGTTTGACAAGCCTGGATATGATAAACTCATAACGTAAGTGGGATTTCTGCAGCTGATATATGTGCAAGCTTTTGATTGACTGTCAACTTAGGGCGCTCTATCTTCGCGGTGACCCATACGAGAGATCAGATGCTGTTTTCGGAGTCAAGGAATCCCTTGTCATCGACCTGGGGACCGTCTCGGATGTTGAAGGCTTGGCTGAGAAGCACGGCGTTTCCCCTAGCACGAAATTGCTGCAATATGATTTTGTGTTGGTCGGGGAAGACGAAGTACGAAAACTCCGCGACGAGAAGGCACGGGAGGCAATTGAGAAGCAGGGTGCTACGGGTATTCGAGTAGTAAACGGGACTCTCATCCCGGAGAGTTATTGTCAATAAACAATACGTCCAGATTGAACACTATGTTCTACATTACCCGTGATCTTGACGCCATGCTGCTCTCATTCCGTCATGTCATTCCATCATGTACTGTAAGTTAGCCGTATATCCGAACCTACACTAGAGAATATTGCGGGGAGGATATTGCGGGGGCGGGGCAAATGTCAATGCCGCTGCATCTTGTTGATTGCGGTGGCGGCTAAAGAAACAAGCGTGTGGATCATGTCTGGCTGCAGGATCAAGCACTGGACGACAAGACGTATTCCCTCTCTGTCAGTGTGCAGAGGAGCTGAGATTGAGACATGGGAGAAGTTGCGTAGTCTTGTCCGCTCAAATGAACTCCGTCATTCAACAGTCGCTCATCATGCGTCGCTCAGCATCTCAGTCTCGGCAATCTTGAGCCCTCAGCAGAAGCAATCCATTTGCGCCTCCAGGGCCAACTGCCTTTAGGCCAGTCCGTATTAACGCCATGGCCACAGTGCCTTCTCTCCCTGAATGCGCTGGAGGAGAGGCCCCGGATAACGTCAACAATACACACTTGTCGCCTACACATCCTGCAAAACAGCCACAAGAACATGGCCAGCCTTCTCACTTTGGTTCAAATGCGGACAGAGAAATGTCCTGTCCGCCAGGTTCTGTCTCATCACCAAAACAACCAGCCACAAGCGCATCCAGCGCGCGAACAAGTCGCGACCATTCGCCCGTTTCGTCGTATCATTACCGACCTGGAAGCAACCCTGTGACGCGCAAATACAATGCCGACGCATCCATTGCTCTCATCGGCATTCGCGGCACAGGAATGTCCACGTTGGCAGTGATAGCCTCAAGCGCCCTCGGATTTAGACTGATCGACGCCGACCACCACTTCTACCAAGTCACTGCACTCTCGCGCGCCGCGTATAAGTCGGCCCATGGGGTCGCAAAGTATCGACGAGAAGAGCTAAAGCTCATGCGCTCTATGCTTCTCGATAACCAAACCAGGGCTGTCATCGTCTGTGGGCCCGGTGTCGTGGAGGGAACTGGCCAGGCATGGCTCGCAGAATACGCCCAGAGCCATCCCATCATCTACATAATGAGAGATGCAGAGTGTATCGAAAAGCATCTTCGTGTCTGGGACACCGAAACAATTTCCCGTCTCGCGCGTCTAAGTGGACCAACCCACCGAAACTTGTCCAACTTTGAGTTCTACAACCTCTCCAATCCGTCTTCAGGGGATTCCAACCAGACATCTCCGTCCGGTCAGCAATCCCCCCGGTCACTGGCCTTGAAGCAACTCGAGGTCGATTTTATCCACCTATTATATGCCATCACCCGGCGAACCGAAGCCCATGAAGCCCGCCACAGCCTCTCAGTCTTGCCACCCGAATCGAGATTCTTCACTTATGCGCTGTCATTGCCAATTTCCATTCCAGACAGCGTTAGCCACAGCCTAGGAAGAGGTGACATGGCAGCAGATGCAATAGAGCTAGTCTTGTCTCCGTTAGACGTGGCAGAGAAACTGGACAATTCTGCGGCGAATTACATCACTCGGCAATTCTGGACGACCAAAAGAAACCTCCAACTTCCCATCATCTTTCATGTCAAGTCAGCTGAGATTAGGCCTCGGTACCCCGATTCTCCGACTGACGGTTTTGATACGGAACAAGCTTACTTTGAACTTCTTCACCATGGCCTCCGTCTTGCCCCAGAGTACCTGTCCGTCAATCTCCTATCCAACGACCAGAGAATCCTTGATCTCGTTGCCGCGAAAGGTCCCACGAAAATTATAGGCGATTATTTCGACTCCGATGCCGCTCAGCGCGGGTGGGATCATCCGGTACGCAAGAATATGATACGGAGAGCCGAGGCGCTTAGCTGTGACCTCGTTCGACTGCGCCAGGAGGCGGCCTCCCTGGAGGACAACTTCTTAGTCCAGAAGTTCGTCCAAAACATCAGAAGTTCGGAAGACTACCAGATCCCATTGATCGCCTATAACACGGGTCGCCTAGGGAGAACCTCATGCTTCCTCAATACAATTCTGAGCCCAGTCACGCATCCACTGCTGCGTTCAGTCGCACCCGAATGCGCCCCTACGTCACTCGTCACGGTTCAAGAGGCCCAAAATGCCCTGTACTCTTCTTTCATCTTAGACAAGGTCTACTTTGGCATCTATGGTGCGAATGTGGCACAGAGTCTGTCGCCTGCGATGCATAACGCCGGCTTCAAATTTTACGGAATGCCGCACAACTATCGCATTTTCCAGCACCAAACCTTAGATCATCTCCAAGAACTGATCAAAGACCCCAAATTTAGCGGCGCCAGTATCACAGCGCCATTTAAGCGCGATGTAATCCCGCTTATTGATAAAATAAGCCCTGAGGCCCAGGCCATTGGAGCTGTGAATACTTTGCTGCCACTCCGTTCCACAGATGCGAACGCGTTGTTGATTCGTAACCGCGCTGGGCCAGCTGTGGCCGTGTATGGCGACAACACTGACTGGATAGGAATTCACGTTTGTATTCGACGGAATCTGTCACCAATCAATGCGGTTAGGCGTCGAACAACCGCACTCATCATCGGTGCTGGAGGAATGGCTCGAGCAGCGATCTATGCACTCATACGTCTCGGCGTTCGAACCGTGTTTATCTACAACCGTACCCAACATAACGCGGCCGAACTCGCACGCCAGTTCCAAAACTGGCCGTTCCAGGAGAATTCGGGCAAAGGAAGTGAGTTGGGAACGGCGGGTTCACGGAATGTTGGAAGCCCTGACCCTGCGACCGACAACCTCACGATCCGAGTCATTCCGTCCAAGGATGATCTCTGGCCAGCGGATGCCAACCACCCAACAATAATTGTCTCATGTATAGCGACTCCAGAAATCTATGGCAAGAGCTTCGTAGATACAAGCTTGCCAAGCACCTGGCTCGCGAGTCCAACAGGAGGAGTTGCCATCGAGGTATGTTCACTCAGACGATCCTTTCACGTGGTACCTAATGTTTACGTAGTTGAGTTACACGCCGCTGAAAACACCATTACTTAATCAGATTAACGAACTCAAGGAGGAAGGCTGGATAGCAGTCGACGGCCTGCAAGTACTTCCGGAGCAGGGTGTCTTGCAATTCGAGCTTTTTACTGGGAGGAAGCCGCCACGGGAGCTGATGAGGAGAGAGGTTTTCCGCGCCTACCAGAATCGAACATCAAGTGAGACGGGACACGTAATTCACGAATCCCTTTCTCCTCTGGGGAGATTTTTAGACGAGGAGAGGTCTAATCCGATACTGTAAATTAATGACTGCATCTCGGTTCACTCCCAAACCGTGAACCAATGCCAAACTTGTATATTATTAACAGCATTATTACAATACAACGGGATGTTAAATTACGTTTATGATGTGTAACTACGTTGAATCTACACATAGAAAATACAAGAAGAAGATAGAATATCTGTCGCGGAATAGGGATGGACGTCGAAAAATACGTTTGAAGAAAGTTTACGCAATGAAGTGACGCCAATTTTCAAAATAGATCTCTCCTTATCAGTACTCAATATTTAAAAGGTCCACCTTACAAGGAAGTCCCGGCGGCAAATGTCTTTTCCATCATTTGGCACGGAGCAGGGGCGCCTTGTCCATGAGGCCATTGTGGACGGAACTCGTGTCTTGCTCATTTGTGACCGTTCGATTAATATTTGTCCTTCTCGCCTGTAAAGCTTGGAAATTAGACCCAGTTCTTTATCTTTGGCCATTCTCGTGCCATCTTTCAACATGACCACTCCTGAAAACCAGCCGCTCCCGGCTCCCACAAATGCGATAGACGTCATATCTCAAAGATATGCGAGTGGAAAGCAGACATGCATCCTTACACTCACCTTCCCAGATCTTTCTCAGGTCGGTGATCTCTTGAAACGCATCGAATATGGCGTCCATTGTTGGGAGCTTCGCGGCGACCTCCTCAGCCCGTCTGGTGCAGCCGAGGAATCCAACATCCCCTCGGCAGAATACGTTCAGAACCAGATCCAGTGCCTTAGATCGCACTCAAACCTTCCAATCTTCTTTAGCTTGAGAATGAAATCGCAGGGTGGAAGATTTCCTGACGCCGAAATTGCGGCTGCGGCAGAGCTGATTTCGCTGGCTGTCAATCTCAAGTGCGAGTATGTTGAATGGAACATCAACTGGCCATTGGATACACTCAAAAGGATTACCAGCAAGCCAACTGGGACAAAGATTGTTGGGTCTGAGCATGACGGAACTGGAGACCTGAGATGGACAGACGCCGGCGTGCGGAACATTTGCAAGTCCATCGACCAGTACGCAGGTGAGGCCACCATTTCATTTTTCATTTTCAAAGCTAATCAACCGTTCCAGATATTATCAGTGTGAGCCTTCTGGCAAGTGATATGGACGATTGTCACGACTTGGCTCAATTCACTCGAAAACATCGACAGAGCAACAAGAAGCCTCTTCTTGCAACCTGCACTGGCTTGAATGGCCAACTCTCGCGAATTATTTCCCCAATTACGCAGGTTACACACCCCGGTTTGCCATTTCCTGCATCTGCAGATCAGCCCACAGTTGCCAAGGTCAATCAGGCATTAAATATTCTTGGGCAGTTGCCAAAGAAGCAGTTTTACATCTTTGGGCACAACATCGCACACTCCCTGTCGCCCACTCTCCACAATGCCGGCTTCCAAGAGCTTGGGCTACCGCATCGCTACAGAATCCACCAGAGTGAGAATGTGGACAAGTCCGTAGAGGATCTCGTCAATCGCCATGATTTTGGTGGAGCTTCGGTCACGTTTCCACACAAATTGCAGGTTGGAAGGCTGTTGGACTCTGTTTCCCCTGTCGTGGAAAAAGTCGGGGCCGTCAACACTATCGTGGTGAGAAAATCGGAGGACGGCAGCCGAGTGTTGATCGGAGATAACACAGACTGGCTAGGGATCAAACGATGCATTGATTCGGCATCTGTCCGTCATCTTGGAACGTCTGCTGCGCTTGTGCTTGGAGCAGGAGGCGCAGCTCGTGCCGCCTGCTATGCCATTCAGAGTCTAGGCGTTCAACACCTCTTGATCGTCAACAGAACCCTTTCAAAGGCCGAAGACATGGCAGCTCTGTTCCCAGACATGAGAACAACGATTTTTGAAAGCCTCGAGGCAGCTTGTGAATACACTGGGCCATGCATCAGAGTCATCATTGCCTGTGTGCCTGCCGACGATCTAAGCGAGGACAAGATCCCGACCAAACTCTTTTCCGGCGCTGATACGGGCGCCTTGGTCGAGATGGCTTACAGGCCACAGGTGACGGGCATGATGAAGGTGGCCAAAAGATTCCCCGGATGGAGCGTCTTTAAAGGTATCGATGTATTGGAAGAGCAGGCATATGCGCAGTTTGAGCTCTGGACTGAGATGCCTGCACCTTCAATCGTGATGGGGGATGCAATGAGAGCAAAGGCAAGCGGGAAACTGTAGTGTTGGGACTTGAAATATACAATTGAGAAATATGTCTAAAGTTTGCTGGAATTTATGCACTGATCTACACGTGTGTTAGAGGATTATGCAAAGCCTGGAATTGTAAGGAGATTGTCATGGCTTGGATAGTGTAGGGTGCCCCGAATGGAACTCGTAGTCACACTTCACGATACGTTTAGCGGAGTGAAGCTGCTTTGCGGGAAGTGGAATCTTTGTGTTTTATTTCTGCAACTAACTGGGAGCGTCTAAATATCGATGCCCTTTCCTTCAACCCAGCTCTTCGCCTGCCAATACAAGAGATCATGCTTATCGAGATTTACAGTCCCAACATGACGTCGATGCCCCGGCATATCCCCAAGCACCGCAACACCCATTGTAGTTTCCTGAAAATACGCGAGATACTTGTATCCGGGCGGATAAGTCTTGAGCTTTTCCTCATCTATTACCGGGACCTTGGCCGGATTCGTTGGAATCACCTTGTCCTTCTCGTACCAGTGGCGAACCAATCGGGCGCCCCATCGGCCGTCGACCTTTTCAAAGAAAAAGCAGAACCGGCAGTCGGCCTCGACATCAAACTCAACGCCATCAATATCGAAGCGCTGGGTGATTGTGGCTTTCAGCTTAGTCACTGCAAATGTGCCCTCGATGTTGATGTCTGTCGTGGAGCCGTGGCATCGGTGCATAATGAAGGCGCCTTTATCCATCCCCGCCTTAGAAGCAGCAATGAAATCCGAGAACAAAACACGACCAGACCAAGTAGTGTATACATAGGCGCCAGGGTGGAAAATCGACTCAAAATTTTCCCATTCGCAGGCGTCCCTGGCAAATCGTTAGCGTTGGTCGAACGGAATGACCACGCCGTGCGCTGGATATACCTGTAAGAAGGCCAGCCCTCAGCCAATTCTCTAAGCTTGAGTCTTTCAATGACTAAATGATCCGGCCCATTGTTGCGAATAGCCTGAGATGGCCTTGAGCCCTCCGGGAGGCTGTGAAGATCGACCATGTTGATTGATGACTGGATTTGGGTGCAACTACTAACGGCTGAAGATACCTACCCGGTGCTGAAGTCTCATATAGCTGCTTGATGTAAAATGGAACAGCGTAAAATTCAGTAATCCACGATGCCGGAGAAATCCTTCTACGTCCAGCCGTCATTAATAGCAAGATGGCAAAGAAATATCCCCTCTGGTCGTGTCCGGACCTGATTCCGGCTCTTGTATTCGGCACTGTCGAATGCGGAGCTCTGGGGAAAATCGCCAATTGCCGGGAGAAAGAATTGACCATTTTAGCTCCGCTTCAGGAAAATCAAGAAAGGTGCAATCGGCCAGTGGACGGTGGAGGTGGCTGGGCGGAGGAATTCATGCCCGCTGTGACACTAGCTATCTCATCCCCACTTGATCGACATCCGGCGAGGCCGTGTACTAGGTAAGCGGCGCTTCCATGAGATGGACAATCGAGTGAAGGTCTCTCCATCTTAGCTCATCATTCTAAGTTACAACTGAGACCTCAGTCAGGTTTATTCTGCCCTATCACCTCATTCCACGACACACCGCCACCATGGGAAACTCGATTCTGCTCATCAACGGCCCGAACCTGAACCTCCTGGGCACACGAGAACCCCACATCTACGGCCACACAACACTCAGCGAGCTGGAGAGCAACTCTGTTGAGCGTGCTCGATCGCTCGGGGCTGAGCTTCAAGTGTTTCAGTCCAACCACGAAGGGGCCATCATCGACCGCATCCAGGCCGCACGGGGGTCTGTCGATGTCATCATCATCAATCCCGCGGCGTACACGCATACCAGTGTCGGCATCCGCGATGCGCTAGCAGGCGTCGACATTCCGTTTATTGAGCTTCACATCAGCAATACGCACTCGCGGGAGAGCTTTCGGCACCACAGCTACTTGAGCGACAAGGCGACGGCGGTTATTATGGGATTTGGTGTTGAAGGATATGGATACGCGATTGACCATGCGGTCAAGAACATGGCGCCCAAGAAGAGCAATACATGACCCGCATGGATGGAGCTGTACTACGTAGTATGTCCCGAAATAGAATGAATCCGCCTTACCTCTCGTAAGGCAGACTGGCTCCATCTCGAACTGGAACCGGCGTCAAATATTGCCGTGTCGCCCTGGCAGCAACCGGCCAATGGCTGGGGCCACTCAATCTGACTCCTTTATCTCTGCAACGCTGCGATCGTCTGTTTGGCAGATAAACTTCTTCCCTACTGGTAGCCGGGAGCCCGTACGCGCAGAGGCTATGCTGTGGGCCGTGCTGTTGGCTGTTACCATGCTGAAATTGCAGCCGGGCAGTGTCGTCGGTCTCGCATTGAGTGGGACGCGACACCGAGTTAGCTGGGATCGTCGACAAATCGCGAGTCGCTGCGAAACCGAGCGCGAGACCGAATCCCAGAATCAGCGTCAAACAAGCGCTGTGATGCCAAAACACACGTCTAACTTCAGCCATTTCTGTTCAATCATCTTAAAAAATGGTCGGGGCTGGCTTTTGGGACTGTTGATAAATACTGCTTGGGAGCTAACATCTCCTCTCCATTCTCTATCAGCCGCATCGCATTCATCTCTTCGTCTTTCATTACAACCTTCTCATTCAACCACAGATCCACTCTTCGTGTCGACATTCAGCAACCGCCAAAATGATGGGCTTCTTCACCAACCGATACAAACTCCACGTCCACATCTTCCAGGTAGTCCTAGTCGTCGGTATCGTGGGCCTCACGGTTGTTCGCATGTTTAATAAACCCGCCGGGATGCCACCCGGGAGATCAAGCACAATGGCCCTGGGAATGGTTCGTCTTCCCCCTCCAGCACACATTCAGCCGGCCGCTAACAGATAATACCAGGGTGCCAAGTCGCTCATTATCCTTCTTTACGAGATCTTATCCAGCCACACCCGCGCATTCAAGAAGTGGGGAAGTCTCAAGGCATACCTCATTCTGAACGCTTTGGAGGTTGTCTTCTGGGGCGCTGTGGCGTTTATGATGATCCAGGCAAACCTCAAGTTTTGCGAAGGTATCAACTGTACCCTGAGTTGGGTTGTGGTCAGCCTCGCCGGTATCATGAAGTATGTTCTTGCACATTCCCGCGTGATGGATCTGGAACTAACCACATTTCCTTAATAGCCAAGCCGCAGTATACATGACGATCGTCTGTTGGCTCGACTTTCGATACTTCAAGGCCAACGGAGTCGAGCGAGGCTCCAAGTACTCCAACGTCGATCGACTTGAAATCCGGTCCGTCGATGCCGGGTCAGCATACAAGGGGCGTGAGAGGACCCAGGAGCAAGGGATTGACCTCGATGGTCTCATGGCCAACCCGGCCGCCATTGGTCGCGAGACTCCCAACAGGAGCCAGAGCCAGAGCCCCAGTGGATATCCCCAACCGTACGAAAGCTACCGAAGCCACGGCGAACCTCCCAGCCACTACGACCAAAACCAAAGAAGCCACTACGACCAGCGAATACAGCCAAGCCACCAAGGGCAGTACCAACAACCTATGCCTCACGGCTATCACGGTCAGCAATAGAGTCCAATTGGGTTTCCAACAGCAGTTACTACATCTCCTTTGTATTCATCAAATAGCCAGCACCCTCGCAACCATAGAGATAGATCTCCTTTGTTAAACCATGTTATTCTTGACAGTTAGCCCTAGGCAGGACACCGGAGTCAAGACTTATGTACGGAGTTAATAAAGGCCTCTGATTCTTAGCACATCTTTCTCCTCCAACAGTGACAATTCCATACCCACGATACGCGCCACCACAAATTGGTACTCTAAGTTCCATCTTCGTTATGCCGCCGTATTGACAAATGTTGTGACAATCATTCAGGGTAACTCCCGTTAATAGAGTTCGACGATGACCTTCACGGCATTCAATAACGCCCTACACGCTGGAGGAAGCAGGCAGACTGTTCGTGGATCGCGGCAAGATTTTTGCAGCTGTTGATATGGGAATGTCTTTGGCATTTGTCTTGGCCATGCTCGCTGCACTCTAACCGACGGTGAGATTGCGCTTACACAAAGAAACACTGCAAAACCAGTCAAGACATCATCACTGACGGTAAACTGCAAAAGTGGAATGCTGCGCTGGAGAGAGCTCACGCATTTCCGGATATTTTATGACAGAATACTACCCTATACGCTGGCTCCGCTCGGGAGCGGTCCATGAGTTCACCTAACGCCGTACCACCTTGCCCCCGGTAACTCTTGTCCACATTTTTAACCAATTGACATCTCATATCAGAGTCCTTGGCTTGTATCATATGCGATGGTAGCAGTAGTAAAATGATCGAGGATATTGATGGGGGTGCGAGCATCCTCGAGTCCCCAAGGAGCATCCCCGGAGCTTCGACAGATGACCATATTGAAAGGGCATGGAACTTATACAGGGGTTATCCTTCCACAATGGCCTGTGCGATGGCATGCGATTTCCGAAAGATCCAAAGTGGGTTGAATAATGCACAAAAGTATGTGCAGATGAACTTCCTCAAATTTACTTGCTTACTAATGCGTGGACTACCCAGACCAAATCCGATGGCGAACACACCGATTGACAGGTGTCAGTTCAATCGATTTAATTTCTAAGTTTATGATGGATCCTTTACGGTCAAATTGATCAGGGCAATAGTGTTGAAAGTGATGATGATGTTGATGATTGCTTAGGCTCGGATAGACCGAACCGTCAGAGAGAAGTTTTCTGACACCTCCTCTAACTAAGGTCATGATGTCAATCTATCGGAGATTTAATAATACAGAGCCAATTTCCAACAGTCTATTTAAGCATAAAGCACAAATCACTAGAAATTGACGAGACTGTGTTTTATTCACCCCTGTCTTGACAGTTCATCGGGCATTTTGTGCATGACATTTAATTGTAACCCACCGCAACGCAATCGATCGCAGCTCCACGTCTTGTGAGAGGGATATTACTTGTGGTAATCTCTCTCATACCGTGCATCGCGGTCGACTACATCGGAAGGCAATTCCTCGCTCAGAGTTGTAGCGGCTCCGCGATGACGTCATGTCTGTCCCGCCCCCAGATAACTGTGTGATTAGCAAGGGGCGACTGGTTTAATAGGCAGAATGCTAGTCCAACCTACAAGGAGAACAAAGGTTAACTAGATCTCGTATAGATGTGTATGTAGAGGTACTTGTGGCGAAGTAACTCTTATACGTCGAATATGGTATATCTACTGTTGCATTTCCTTTTCCGCCGTGGAGATAGATGCGGACGCCAAACTTTGTTATCCTTGTCGGTTGTAGTTAGAGCAATCATGCAATCACGCAATCACGAGAATTAGAAATACGGACTACCTCATGTCGAAAGTTGACTAGTTCGTATAACTGTGTCCCACAACCCGGAATGAGGGCCTCTTCTACCCCTCACCTCATTATCCAGCTTCTCCACCATATCGCGCAACCCCCAGAAATTGAGATCATGTCTGCAAATCACCCCGTGTGTGCCAAGACATTCACATTGAATAATGGCAAGTACTCTAGTGATGTTGCTACCGTATTTAGTATATAAATGCGGTGTACTAACACACCTCTCCCATGTTCTAGGAGACTCATTTCCAGCCGTTGGTCTCGGTACATGGCAAGGTGAGCAAAATACTCGGTGGTTTTAGCTGCCGACGTCCACTACCCGTTCTATGATAACTTATTCTCATAGGCGGGGTTGGGACTGAGGATGCCGATGCGCTGGAAAGGTCCATCGTCTTCGCTCTACAGAGCGGCTATCGACTCATCGATACTGCCCAGCTTTACGGCGTTGAATCCGACGTAGGGAGAGCTATCCGTGTCAGTGGCGTTCCTCGCGAGGAGATTACCGTCGTAACTAAGTTCTGGAGTGATTGGCATCACAACCCTGGTGAAGCTTTGCGTATTTCGCTCGCAGAAACAGGGCTGGATTATATTGACATATTCCTGATGCATTGGCCATGTGCAACCACGCCCGCCCCCGAGGAGAAGACTCTTCGGATTCATGAGAGCCCTACTTTTGTCGAGACGTGGAAGATGATGGAGGGGCTTGTCGGGCCAAAGTGTAGAGCCATTGGCGTGAGCAACTTTACGCAAAAAACACTCGACACGCTACTCTCAAGTGCCAAGATCGTGCCGGCGGTGAATCAAGTCGAGCTTCACGCCCTCAATCCGAACTTGAAGCTGGTTCCATACTGCCAGTCAAAGGGAATCCATGTGATGAGTTGGAGGCAAGATCTTACGTGTTGAACTGGGGTGCGTAAGCTAACATCGTTATAGCACCATGGGAGGCGGAGGTGGTGGTGGTGCTGGAAACCAGATTCTAACTGATGAGCTATTTACCAAAATAGCACACGACAAGAACTGCTCGGCTGGAGTCGTCTCTCTCTCCTGGGCTGTGCAACGCGGCATCACCGTCATCCCCAAGAGTGGCGCGGAGCGACGAATCACCGAGAACATAAAGCTTGTCACACTCGACGACGAGGAAATGGCCAAAATGAACGATGCGCACAAGATTCTGCAGCCATATAGAATTGGGGAAAAGATAGAGGCTTTGCAGGTGAAAATTGATGGAAAGACAACAATCCTCGGATGGTCTAAGGTGGACTTTGGGTGGGAGGATGAGGAGGGAAACTGGCTGACTTGAGGTGGCAATATACCGTATTGCTCGCCGTGTGGCGCACATCGAGACTGTACCTCTGTTACACCTATTTGAGACAGTTGAAACTTTGTGCAGTCACACATCTTCCAGTCGCACACCCGTCGCTTTAGTACAACCATGCTTGTAATCTTTCCACATAGCACAAGTACTATTGGATGTAACAACAAAACCAACATGGATAAATAAATCCACCTAGGATACAAGCAAAAAGTCAATTGAATTATGCCTATTACTATCTGCGTACTACTACAAAGCCTACAGTTCCAACACTGCCCTGAAGTTCACCTGCGATGCGGGTTTGTGCTGCATCGTGTTGACCTCGGGTGCAGCCAACCAGCACGGGCTCAGCTCACTTCAAAGCTTGACTGATGAGTGGAAGCAAGTAAGCTTCTGTCCAAGTCCAGATCAGTGTGCTGTCGTTATCCACGAATGCTGCTCCAGTCCAAAATGTGTTCGTCTTTCCTTCGAGCGCGTAAAGCTTCTTGTAGAAACCTTGCTTGATGTCGTTGGCTGAGACGTGGATGTGATACGGAGCATGGTCCGAGTAGAACTTGAAATGCGCCTTGCCATGTCCAATATTTCCTGCCTTTGCTAGGTTTCCGAGTTCCTTTTCAATGAGGAGCTTGACTTCCTTCTTGGTCATGCTGGGGTCGAGGCCGCCGATGTAACTGGATATCTTATTCGTCGCGACCTTTCCGACAAGTGGGTTGATCGTGTATGATCCGGGTAGCTTCAGAAGGTTGGATGGGGTATTCGTTCCAATGTTAGTGTATGCTGTCTTGGTGCCGATGCCGCTGTACTCAAAGACAGCTGATCCATACAGGAAACCCTTGAACTTGCAAAAGAGATCGGATTCCTCCTGAGTCATGTCCAAACCAATGTCCTGAAGATACTCCTTCAAGGGCGGGATAGCAAGGACCAGCTTCTTTGCCTTGACAAGAATTTTTCCTTTGGGTGTATTGACCCAGACCTGAACACTGTCATGGGATCTCTTAATCTTTCGAACGTCTGCGTTATACACAACATTCTGTCCCAAGAAATGCTGGGCTCCGCGGTAGAGATCCAGGTTATCACCTGACGCAGCATTGATGAAGCCAGTCGACAGTGTTTGGATGAGGAGTAGACCGAAGACCTTGATTCCGTATAGTGTTGGTCGTTCGAGAAGATTGCCATTGCAGCCTGCGATGCTGTTGACCAGCTGAACCATGTCCTGCAAACCATTCGCCTCGATGAATTCCGAGTACGGCGCCAAAAGCTCCTTGGGCACGGGGTCTGGCAGGTCGTATCCCAAGGCGAGATAGGGATACTTGGTTGCGATGATCTGGGCGTACTTTTGAACGGCTGCCCCTGAGGCTTGTTGAGAAGCGGGCGTAAATCCGTTTACAGCCCGGCCGGTCGAGAAGTCGTAATATGCTGTGTTGAGAGCCGAGAATCCAGCCGTGTTAACAGCGACTCCGAAGGTGGCGAAATAGTTTCGGACGATGGGAGAATCATGGAAGACGACGACACCTAGATTGAATGGCTGGTGTGTGTCGGGATCAGTGTAAGTGACTGTGTGACCGCCGAGATGGTCCTCTTTCTCAAGCACCACGACAGATTTGCCTTCCTCCTTCAGGCGGACGGCAGCATATGTACCCGAGGACCCTCCACCAATGATGACGACGTCCCGCTCGACGACTTTCTCATTGTACGGAGGGCGTCTGGCGACTGAGCCAGCCACGAACAAGTGTAGGATCCCGACAGAGAAACGCATCGTGGGAATGGATGGAAAAGGTGAACCTCCGTGTGCGGGCACCGTGCTGGATTGGGAGCTGAATTGCCATGGTGGGCCTGGCTTTTAAACATATCGACGTGTCTGCCAAGGCCTCAACCTCAGCCACGTCTCAGTCGTGATGTGTGGCTTTGAATTTAAGATCAGCTGGTGACATCTAGACGGTGGAGTGTGTTGTTTTTCACATCGTCATTCGCTACAGCGAGACACGAGAAAACGCCCCAAGCCACTGGGACGGTTGTGCGGCACGTAGCGGCATTGGTTTAAATGCCGATCCCTGAACTTGTTCTAGATCGAATATGTTTAGCGCTGACGTGAAAGTAAAGGTTGAGCTGGTTTGTCTCATTCTGTGCAGACGTGCTGTCACCACTGTTGGGTGAGAGTAGGGTCGCTACATCAGGCAATGTCCGAATATTAATACAGGGAAGATATACCCTGCTCTATGTTTTTAACAAGAATAATCAAGCTCTTCAATAACTTTTTACTTCGTAAAGGAGCCTGGTGATCACGGAGGGCTGAGTTCCCGAGCTTAGTGGCAGACGGCTATGTGCTCTAGTCTGAACCTAGTAGTTCGAAAGGAAATTAAAGAGGGGGAGGCCAAATGAAATCACGAAAGAGGTGCTTGGAAAGCGCATGCGATTTCTTGTTTAGGAATTTGGGGGCGCTTGATAATCGAGAATGGCGTAAAGCCACCCGGCTGTGCTCCAAATTGCAGGAATCCGCGTGCGCCTCCGTTGTTGGGAAATCGAGACGGAGTATCAGGAGGTATGGTGTCTGATGGTGCAGTCGCAATGCAGTCACGATGCAGTCAGATGATAAATACAGTCAGATAACGCGTGGACAACGCACTAATGTAATGTTTAATGTTTCCGACGGTACCTAAGGTAGTATGGGGTAAGATCTGACACATGGCTGACCCAACGCGTTCATTAATATTATAGGATGGAGTACGGACTAACTTAGATCCAGCAATGGATGTTCGAAGCTGGGGTATATTCGGTTGTATCAAACGCCTGGAGTACCAAGTAACAGTGGCTGGTTGAAAGACACCCTGCAAATGATGGGAACTATGGCTTGTCACGAATAAACCTGCGTTGGACTGAACCAACAAGTAGCCTTTGGGATAACGACAGTTGATGATCTTGTCTACCTTGCCCTTCGTGTTAAGACGACTGAGATTCCATCTACCAAGCCACGAATACCTAGGTGTTGACAGCCTAGGCCACCAATCAAGATACCCAAACTAGCCACGGTCCCTGAATCCACCGCCACACCACTAACAATCTAGAGCCCCTACTCCACTCCCGTTAGGGGTTGTAATTAGTCGGTTTCGACCTTCTCAAGCTCTCCAGTCTTGATGTCAAACAGAAAACCGTGGCAGCCTTTCTTGAGGTCCTCTCTAACAAACGGGCTGGCCCGAATCCACTCAAGATCGCTCTTCACGCTTGCTTTCATACTATTCGTTGTCCTGTCAGTTTTGCATCCGTAGCAATGTTTCTTAGGGGATTCTTACTCGGTGTTTGAGCCAAATTCCATCTTTTCGATGTCAGTGTGGTGTTCCTGACCCGCGATCTCCTTCAGGCTAGCGCGGACTTTCTCGTCGGTGACATGGGTCGTGCCACAGTCAGTGTGATGAATGATGGCGATTTCTTCCAGCTTAAACAGGGTGTCTAGGATGTTGATATCTCGGAGAGCAAGTCGAATGTTTCCGCCAGCATTGCGGTGGACACCAACCTCTGCATGGGAGGTCAGCCTGGGTTATTCCTCTCGGGTGATGGTCTCTACTAACCTCCTGGGCTAAGGCCGAAGAATGCCTCGGGGACGCAGCGAGGATCGACGCAAGTTACTAGAACGCAGACGCAGGTTAGAACCAGGAGCGAGACGAGGCGGGGAGAAATTCAAGTGGACATACCGATGAGAGTCCGGGGAGGAGGAGCTCCAGCTGCGCGGAGCTCTGTCAGATATGGGAGGGGAGTGTGGGTGATGGCCCTATACCTGGGTTAGCAAAGTCAATGGGAGTTAGATTAGAATGATGGACAGACTTGTTTCGGGCCAGAAGAGTCTCGATGGTAGCCATGATGTCTGATTTGGTAAAGGTGATGGATGATGATGATTGGTGAAGCTGATTGGTGATGATAACTGATGAAGATAAGTGGTGAAGCGGTCTAGGTAAAGCTGAACTTGATGTGTTGCTGTGGACTATTAAAATCTTTGACAGTCGGTGCTCTCAAGACCTTTATAGCCATTGACTTGTTGCTTGGAAGTCCCAACATGACATCGACCTGACGCATCAATCGTGGCGATGGATTCGCAGCCTGTGACAGTGGCTTGAAGGACTCCAGGGTACTGATGTCCCAATTAGGAAATACAATTCCTCACGACAGTGCCAGGGAGCACACCTGATGGCGCGTTTAGATTAAGGCTGCATATCTGTATTATTCATCAACACATTCGCAGGAGTCGGCTCAATTATTTCGCCGGGGAGATCACGTCACTCAGGGTAATTCAAGATGGCTATTCCGCTTTGGGTATATGGTACCCTGGATGTCCAAGATGACTGCGGTTACTAATCACGGCGAGCCAGCCGAAAAGGGCTGCCGGTACCCTGGTCGATGAAGGCTGGATCTTGACCCCACCGGCGATAGTTTCCAGATGCCCGATTTACATCATAATCAACGGCTTCCACTACAGGCTGCAGGCGGGCACGCGCCGGGGAGAATTCTGCAGCTGCGTTGAGGAGATGGCCTTCTCCTTTGTCAACTATGATGGCCCGAGGCTCTCTCAGGATCCGAATGTGCGCAAGCTGATTCGGCGACAAGCCATGAGAGATGCGGGGGCAGACCGGAGAATACGGGGCGGCTACGGACAACACAATCTGAGGCAGTGTCCAGCATCATCGGAAAGTGGCACTGATGATGTGAATTTGTCACTACTCGGAGAGACTCTGCCAGATGAGTCGGTGTATCGCCGCAATCAGCCGTCATCAGACATCGTGGCATCGGACCGAGGGACAAGAGCACTACAGAGAGCGTCGCAACGATCCACCGTCTCTCGACATCGCACACACGCGTTACCAGTCTCAGTCCCATATCTCAACTCCGCTAGCACGGAGAAGTTCGCGCTATTACTGAATCTCACACCGCTGACAGGGCTGCGACTCGGCATTGCCAAGTTCTCATACCTCAAGTCCGAGGCAGTCTACTCTGGGAATCTCCCCTCCGCGTCGAATTTGGCAAGTCGCAAACTGGCACATTTTATCATGAGCCGATATGAACAAGTGCCGATACTGAGATATGCCACCGACTGTGTTCTTGCGAAGCTCCACCAGATATTGCAGCCCCCAGATGGCCTGGGGAATGAGAGAGTCTTGCTGCACTACACCCGGGCGTTGAGGGCCGTTCAAGCGGCCCTGGATGATGAGAAACAAAGAATGACTGCAGAGACGTTGTGTGCTACAGAATTATTGGGCGTTTTCGAGGTATTTGCCTGCCTTTAGTGGTACCCTGAACTCCTGAAAATTGTAACAACTAATCGGTTCTGAATTTAGTTGCTTAATGAAAATACGAAATCCCACTCCTGGATACACCATGCCGGCGGAGCTGCCCAACTTATACAAATACGAGGCGCCCATAGCTTCCAGACCGAGTTTGAAATGGCACTCTTCATGGCTCATATTGGGCCAACAGTAAGCGTCACCAAAACCCCTCTACATCCTCGTCGGGAGCTAATCGTCTCTCGTCCCAGGTAATGAACGCTTTTCTGAGCAATAAACCATGCTTCCTGGCAGACGAAGGATGGGATCGAGTCATGCGATCTGTGATTTACAACGATGACTCCTCCTACAAACAGAAGGGTCTTATCCTCGCGCTGTGGAGCCATCTCGTCAACGCGCCAAAGAAGTTCAAGGACGTGACAGACGCCATCTCCTCGCCTACTCCACCGCCGCAGGATGTGATCGACGGAATTATAGCGCACATACTAGAAGACCGAGAAAGTCTGCTCTTCTGGCTGGAAATTGAACGCACGCTTCCAGACTTGGTGGATGGAGACCATGAGAGGGACAAATATGGCATCATATTCCCGCGCCTGACGCTCGAGAAGGGCATAGCTAGCCCTAAGCACGTTGCTCAGCTTGCACTACGGGGAACATATGTTTTGTGTCGGATCCTCAAGTCCCGGCTTTTAGTCGCCATGGCGCCACATCGGTTTCGGTCTTTAGAGACTGAATGCCAACACCTGGCAGCTAGGATCACGACATTGGGGCAATCCATGGTCGAGAACAACGACAATGGGCTCCTTGAGACCTTTTTTGTTTCGCAGAGTACTTGGATTGCTAAAGGTGTAGTGGAAACGAAAGACCTATGGAGCCAGGGACTTCAAGATTGCAGGGACGGCATGATTGAGAAGTGGAAATTTGAGGCTTGGTGTACGGCTATTGGAAGAACTCCCATAGAGTGAACATGTGTGAGGGAGGGAAAGAGTCAGGGTCACACTCACCGAGTGATCGGGGAAGACGATCGGAATATTAGGCTCATGAGCGAGAAGTGAGGTCTATTCTATTTCGGTAATTAGATACAAGTGCACACACGCCTTGATGCGTCCAAACCATCACTTCACAAATGACCACACTTTAGAGACCAAGGCAAGCATCCAGCCCAAGAGGACACGAAATGTAGCCATCGTCAGCCACACGGTATACGCAACGGCGCCATAGATGCCACTGCCGAGGAGTTTTGCCGCGGCCGCTGGATCCCTGATGCCCCTCCTCGCAGCGCCCAGCGCCCACTTGGCATCTTTCTCGGCCTCGGCGACGGCCCAGGTCAGCGGCGACGGCTTCTTAGGCGGCTGCCGGACCTTGGGCCTGGACCCGGGGAACACGGCGGCGCCCTTCTTCTTGCCGGCGAGGTCCTTGAGCGTGAGCGTGTGGTCCTCGTGCGCCCGCGCCCGCACGCTGTCCCGGGTCAGCTTGCCGCGGATCTTGGCCTGTTCCTCGGCCGAGTTGTGCTCCCACCACCCGCGCACCGCCTCGAACATGTACTTCTGTACGGGCGTCTTGCTGCGGCCGGGAAACGCCGGGTGGTGGAGGATGGACAGGATCTCGTCGATGGTCTCCTCCTCGTCTCGGAAGCTGTCGTCGTAGCAGCGGACGACCTGCTGCGTCGTCCAGTTGGTCGTGACTGTGGCGACGAGGCCGGCGGGCTGGTTGAGGACGTTGTTGAAGTGATCCTTGGACAGATCCGAGTGGCTCGGGTCGGACCCGTCGCCGTCGAGGTAGACCTCTGCTGAGGTGGACTTGGCCGCTTCTGCGTCGACTCGATCCTTGGCCGCCCTCAGCGCGTTGCGCAGCTGCTGGATGGACGCCTCGATCATCAACGAGAGGTATTTGAACACGAGCTCATCGGCGTACTTTCCCAACTGCGTGCTCGACTCTTGATTCAGCGGCTCCGTGTCTTCCCGCGCGGTGCTCTCCTGGAGCCACTTCTTCAGTCTGTCGTGGAGAAAGAAGATGGGCTCGATGGACTGCCAGAGAATATTGGCGTCGACGCTGGTCTCGACACTCTGGCCTTGCTCCTTGGCTTCTTCCGCCTTCTTGAACAAGACCCCTGCAGCTTCCAGCTGCTTGAGCAGCGGGTCGTTGATTGTTGTCGAGGCCAACGAGGACAAGCCCTGGATGGCGGCCTTGAGGAGTTCGTAAAGCTGGTCGAATGCCATGGCTCCAACGTTGAGATCCTCGTCCGGATTAGCTGAATGCTCTTGACGATGATCAGTATGTACTCACCGTTTCCAAATTCTCAAGCGAGCCCTTGCATTGCAGCACCGCCATGTCATCCGCCTCACCAAGGAGGCTGTGGAAGATGTCCAGCATCCCAAACGTCCCAGTCACCACGGGCGGCACCATCTTGCCGCTCCATCCCGGCGTCTTCACCCTGCATGCGGCGCCGACGAAGGGAAAGACGTCGTCCTCTCCCAGCTCCCGCAGACAGAGCTCGGTGAAGTTGCTGTGCGCAGAGAAATCCTCGAGCGTGTGCAGAGCAGCGCCCAGGTGGATGAAGGCTTCTTTTCTGGCGGCCGGGTCATTCTTGCGCCCTTGTCGCCCGAGCCTGATGGATTCGCGCAGCTGTCCTCGAACGTAATCGGCAGCCGTGTCCCAGCCGTTGCCAGAATTCGCGATATAATTCTTCATGCCCGTGTTGGGGTCAAACTCGAGCTCCCTCGGATCCAGCGGGCCCCTCAACCGCTTATCGACATCTTTTGCATTATCCGCATAGCCCTTGGGGTTGTCGATGTGCTCGACGTGCGTGTAGCATCCGAGTCTTTCCCTCGTGACCTCAAACTCGTCGGTAGCGAAGCCAAACTCCATGAAGCCCAAGACACTCACGATGGCACGCAGGGCCGGCTCGGGGAGGTTTTCGAGACATGTCGTGTCGATGACCTGTGAAAAGTCGCGAAGCCAGTTGCCAAAGTAGATCTGGCGACGTTCGAGCAACGTGAACCGATAGTGCGTGATGAAGCTGGCTGGGAGGTATCGAAGCACCTCGACGATGTCGCCGTGGCGCCATACAAAGCCGTTGAAGTCGCTTGTACCTGCTACTTCGCCAGCACCAAAGGCAGATGCCTTGCCGACGAAGAGAAGGCTGACTAGCAGTACTAACAGGAGGGTTGATGTCGCTGTCATTTTCGAACTTCTGCCGCCAAGCTCTGCAATGTCATGATGTCATTGGCCTCGAGGTGCAGTTGACCTAGTCTACTTAGGCACCTATCCGAGACACTGGAGTCCCTCACTTTTGTGCATATCGCTGTATCCAAAAGTATCTCATACATGAGGCATCACCATCCTATATAAAGATTTGAAGTTCGCCTGGCGTTTATAATTTTTGTCTTCATCGCGGAAGAAATAGGAGCACAATTTTGTAATACTATACAAGTGTGAACTCTACTACCTCGAAGCGAGCGAAATCCTGGTCATTTAACCACATATATGTCACCGCATATCCTATGCGACGGAACCTGTTGTCCCCTACTTTATCAAGCAGTAGAATGAATGGAATATTGGGCGGTCCAGTCGAAACCAGAAGCCAGCACTCACGCGACTCAAGCTGGTTGGAGTCCATGACCGCTTCCGTTTCAGCGAGTCTAGTCGAATGAGGATGATAATAATCACCACCCTGTTCAAACTTGACCGTTCCTGAATGACCGCTATTGCCAGCAGTGGGGGCCTCGTACCACAACTGTATTAGAGGCGCGCGAATGCGTAGCTCGCCTTGCGCCTCTGTCGCCATCAGATCATCGCGGCCACGGCTAACGTTGACACCCAGGATTTCAAAGTCCCGCCAGCGCTGTGGATCTATGCGTGGGGATTTAGAATAAAACTGAACCGGTCCTCTGACGCTCGCCCAGCTCCAGCTCGGGAAACACGGGGTGGTGGGCTTCGACAAGCGATGGAAATCGAGGCTTCTCTTCACTCGAGTTTCACACTGCTTTTTGTTTCTCGCGCCCCAGAACAAGCCGCGGTGCAGGTCTTCCTCCCACAGGCCTGCAACGTATGTGCTTTTACCGGTGCTGGTGTGGTCTCTGCCGGTCAAAGTACGGAAGCGGATTGCAGCTCCTGCGATGGCGGGCAAAATGTCCGCGTCGACCGTGAGGTTTCGACTGCTGAACTCTTCTACCAGCTCATACCAAGCCTCGAATTTAGGGCTGATAGTGCCGGTGTTATAGTTCCGACGCAGGACGATGAATGAATTTGTGAGGTCGTCGGCTACGTCGCCCCTGTTGGTGCTCCTGCTCTGTACAATTCTCACGCATTAGCAATGCTGCAAGGACGTCCTCTTCTTGGGAAGATGCAATCTTGGGTTGTGTAAGCTGACTCACCCTGACCATTCCGTTTTGTTCAAATATGAGACCCTCCTGGCACTCCCACACCAACTGCTCGTTGCTGAAGTGCAGCAAGGCCGGCGATAGCAGACGTTCTTGCATGCACCAACCCCTCGTATCAAGCGCACTCCGGTCCAAGACGTCGACAGCCATTAACTCTTCCTGGCATACCGAAAAGCCGCGACTTATCTTTGCGTACCCGCGCTGTCGATCCCCGAGAAATCCTTTGGTGCTCTTGTCAGAATCAAGGGCTGAAACAGTAACCAGAGCCTGGCTATAGAACGATGCCATCTTGCTCGCTTCGGCTTGCCAGTCGAGAGTCGAGTCCTGAATAATGCATAGAGCATCGATCCATATGTATCGTAGTCCGAGCTGGCGGGTGACGCTGATGGCATCCAGAAAGTTTTGAGGGAGCTGGCTCATGGGAAGCGCTTGTTGGTATTTCTGGAGCACCGCTTCCGTCAGCTTGCAGGGAATGTTTCCCCCCCAGCAGTGACTGAGTGCAACATAGGAGTCGGATTGTCCGGCTGTTTGAGTGTAGAGCCTTGGAACCTCTTGATAAAGCGGAGGCTCGCCAACGTAAATAACTCGTGTAGGCAGAGAATTATGCGTTTGTCTTGAACAGTTCTTGTGGCTGTCGGCGCAGTTTTTTAGCCAGTAGCGCGCGGTATCAAACGCATCTTGGGAGTTTGAACTTCTGGGGATAGCGCGGTAGAAGCGGTCTGGTTTCCCTACTTCAATTCCATTGGCATCGAATACACACTCTTTGACGGGGTCGTAGGGCCGATGTTGGACGATATTAAATACGTGAGGCTCCCAACGACCGAAATACCACCAGAGGGATTTCCGTTTCTCAAAAGTAGCCAGGAACTTGCATGGCCGGGTTCTAAAAAACAAGTGTAGGCTTAGATGGCCATCTCCATTGGCGCCCTTAGACCCAAAGTCGTCGGCGAGGATACGACAAAGCGCACAGCCAGTCCCGGCGCTTGCGACAAGCTCGTCAAATGTGTCGTGGTGCCGAAAGAACGGGCGGTACTCAGACAGTTCCTCCCAGCGCTGTGAAAGCACAACTGGTGGGACAGTCTCTGTACTTTTTTGGTAGTCCGCCTGCGGTGCGTCTATGGCAAATTCGGTGCAGATATTGCAGAGAGGGTCACTGTCGTTCAAGGCTAGGGAAACGGCCATTCTCTGGAAAATGGTTCCAGTAAATGGTGTTGGTTCAATAATGGGAGAATAATCGCGCAAAGCAGCAAGGTATCTGGAACAAAGCACCGTATAATAGCACGTGATACGAGTCTTGTGGATGGTAAGCACACGAATGCCGTCAAACTGATGCCGTTTTCTTACTGACAATCGTTTGAAGCCTCCACTACACGCATGCACATCTCAAATTCCAGAAGCATCGGAGAGTCAAGAGGCTCACAACCATGGGATGAATTCGCGGGTAATTCTAAACCTATTAACTCCCGATCAAGCTATTGTTTTACATACGCGAGCCTTACCCGAACCAACACAACAAGACAAACCCTCCCGTCAACCAGCGACATCACACCGCAACGTACCACATCTCTAAGGCGCGTGTTAACGACAGAATGGCTTCAAACACCCCGGTGCCGTTTGACTTATCTCTTTCTCACGAGCTCCTGAGTGAGATTGCTTCCTTGTGGCCCAAATACGCTCGCCTCTATTGCTACGCCTCATGCGTTCCACAGTCTCCGCGTTCGGGCTCACGGCCATGAGCCAGAGCACTTCATGCGCATTTCCGACGAGCACATAAGGCCGTTCGTTAAAGAGATCACATACGACATGTGGCTAAGGGGGGTCCAATTCAAGCACTCATTCTCGAAAGGAATTTGAGCCCGGTGTTTTAATTCTAGACCTATGGAGTAAACTCCCACGTTTGTACATATCTATTTTAGTACAACAATGTATCTACATGTTTACACTAATTTTTAACACCTTACTATGCTGTAAGAGCTCCATCAACATTCATCTGCCTCGTTCCTCGTTCTATTCCCAATACCCTTCAAAGCTTCTTAGAAACCTTCAAAATCTTCTTCGCAGCATGCACGGCAGCCACCATGATGGAAGCCTGCGTGTTGCCAGTGGGAACCTCGGGATGCATGCTGCCATCGACGATAAACAAGTTCTTGGTGCCCCAGACACGGGCGTCAGGGCCAACCACACTCTTGCCGTTGTTTTTGGCACCCATGTTCGCCGAGCTAAGATGATGATTGCCACTGTAGAAAACCTCCAGAAGCGAGTCGGAAGTCATGTTCTCGGGAACAGTGAGAACGCTGCCGGACTTCCTAGTGTAGCTCAGAATTTCGTCGAGGAAGGTCTTGACAGCCTCTCGGTCGCCGACAGTGTTGAGAAGGGGCGTCTTGGTGATGCTGGTCCTGCCTTCAGAGGTAATCTCGAGGGTACCAACAGAGGTCAGGCCGTGAGTGAGATACACCTTGGCCTCGACAGTGTTGTTGGATCCAGCAGGAGCGTTGACAGTGCCTTGAATGTAACGGGTGACGCCGTCACTGCACTCAATGGCCTTCCAGAAGTTGAGACGCTGTCCAGACTGAGCAAGGAGGCCGCCTCCCTGAGCGAACAAGTCGACATTTTCCTGGCTAGGTTCCAACCATGCAGCTCTTGGTAGAGTCTCGATAGGTTCCTTGGTCTGGAATGGGACGACAATGATGGGGTGGTCCTTGAGGAACTGTCCAACGGGGAGGTTAATCCATTGGGACTTGGGAGGAAGGGTGATGTTTGTGGAGCCGGACTGGACAATCTTGAGCTGCGCCGTGGGTCCGATACCAGAGTTGAAGAGAACTCGGGGAGTTGAGTGGGTGCCGGCAGAGAGCACCACAGACCCGCCCTTCTTCAGCTTGATGATCTCCCGGGAACCGTCATCATGCTGAACCTCAACGCCAGTAACGATCGGGCCGTTGCGGACGGCGCGGAGGACCATGGCGTTGAGCTGAAGGTTGAAGTTGGGAAGAGCTTCCGCATCAGGGAGGATCTCGCGAACTGGACCACCTCGTAGTCCATTGCTGATCTATATCCTGTCAGTCCTGCCCCCCTGAACTTCGTATGATGAAAATTTACCAGCCATGGAGGGTGAGTGTAGACTGTGTCCTTGGACTCAACATCGTTGAGGGCATCCACCTCATTCCAGCCGTTGCTCGACAAGAACTCAGACATGACCTCGTAGGCAGTGTCATCGTATCGCTTGCCATCAGAAGAGGCAAGGATGGTGCCAGGCAGACGCTCGTAGAGAGTTTCAGCGGCATCGGACAAGCCATCCTCCCACCGCCAACCCTTCGGCCAACCTTCGAAATCAGCGGCGCGGGGCTTAACATACATCATGGCATTCAGCATGGTTGACCCACCAAGCAGACAGCCTCCAGATGCGCCAATATCCCGGCACCACTGGGTAGTGGGTGAGGTATCGGTGAAGTAAGCCATACCGGGGACGTCGTACATGGTGATGGTGCTGTTCCACGGCATGAGGTCCCCACGGTTGCCCGTGCTGTAGAACGAACGACCACCTCGCTCGACGAGAAGCACACTGTGGCCGGCTTGAGCGAAGCGCTCAGCAACAACCAAGCCTGAAGCACCCGCGCCGGCAATGATGTAGTCGTAGCTGGTCTTCCGAGTCGAAGTCTCTCCAGCGAGAGCCGTGGAAGCCAAGCCCAAAAGGGCTGAGCTGACAGCTGTAAACTTCATTTTGCCGTCAATGTAAAGACAAGGAATGTGTAAGGCAAGTCCCGATAAAGACACAAGAGTAGCTTGCATGAAAAATCAGAGGCATGGAGCACGAGTATAAGTAATGAAGATTAGATGAGATTGATAAAACGTCATGACCCACCTCGGGGATCAATTGAGCGCCACTCCCGAACGGTGTGGGTTATCAGATGGAGATTCCCAGGGTTTATTCAACGCCGTTCATGCCGATCTCTCAGAATTCCACTTTTACGACCAGGGATAATTAAGCATAAAAATGCCTCAAATGCCTCATTATGTATAGGAAACGGTTCCAACTTCTTCTTCTTTCCCTTTCCACTTCTAAGTCAGAGACTCCGGCTCCTTGGAGCTGCTCAGTATGTTTATGTGCAGTTCTTAAAATGCAACTTCTTAAACGCAAGGGCGATGGCAATCGCATCTCCCTAGAACCGTTGTGCCGGGCCAAGAAAAATATTACATGAACGGACCCTCTACTCGGGAAACCCCCACTGCCGATCCAACTCAAGAGCGGATTCATTCTCGGCGGAAAGTCTCTTTTAGGGGTCGATGTTACATAGGTCTGTGGATACACCCGAACATCGGATGGCTCGCCGAACCGGACAAAATATTTCCAGGTCTATCAACGTGTCTGCTGCTGTTCAGTCTTACTTTATTTATCGACTTCAAGCTCGCACCGCCACTTTGAAGGTAAACTGTTTATTAGTGTTGTTCTACGACCTTCCCTTGAAGTCCGAGGGCGGCCTTGGCGTGCTGGGGATTGGGTCTTATATTAGGGCTGTCTTCTCCATCCGCCAGGTCTTCAGTCGGTCTATCGAGCTTCTTCCAAAGAGAGGATAGCAATGCAATTGCCCTCCACTATCGGAAGTTCGTGTATTCCTTCTTCGCATATATCTTCGGCATCGTTATTCCACTGTCCAGAAGCGCCTCAGGGAATAACTAAGCTCAAAAGCCGCCTGGAACGAGTCCCGCAACAATTCGAAATAAACATGCTGTCATATTGATGGCGATTGCCCACTATTTTGAAGTATGAGTGTTCGCCCCAGAGGAACGATGTCACTTCCGCTTGTGATGTGCCTCTAAATGCAGTTTATCGATGGTTTTGCCATCCCATTTCAGTCTCTGCTTTGTGTCTTATGCGATGTCATCAATCGCCTTGGCGAACCGGGTCAAGCACCTTGGGTTCCAAGCTCGGAGATGAACGGTTTCAGGGGACCCTGTCTAGCGTACCTAGAGCTGACAAGCCCTTTTCCTGTTGCCAAGACATTCACAGAGTCTGCGATGGGGGGCAGCTCTGTCAGCTTTTATCGTCGCTGGTAGCAGAAGGAAGTCGTTAGATCATAACAATCTCCGAGACTGCAATAAATCCTTCATTAAGACTATAGCAGACAGGCATATCGTATAAAGGCTGCCTCGACGCCAGTCCGGTATTCAGGTGCATATTTTCTCCAGCAAAATTAGTTATGATTGCACATCATATGATTTAATTTCTTATTTTTTCTCGCCTGCCTTCCTGTCGCATGATCTTACCTTAGATCCGTATCATCTAGCTCGAGGTCAAGTGGTAACCGCAGTCGACCACAAGGAAGGCCCAAAACTGAGGTTAAAGGTTACCAACTACTCAATCTACTAGCTGAGCAGACGTTGTATGAGAGCTGATGGCGGGTGATATGGAAATGAGTCGATGTTGAGCCGAATAGCAAAGAGCACATAAAAGCGGACATCTGCTAAGAATTTATTCAAGACTTGTAATGTAATCCGTGACGAAAGCTGCCCCTTTGCCTTTTCGTATCTAAGATTGTGTGCAGACTCACCGAGGCCGATAAAACTTTGTAAAAAATGATGAAGAAAGCTGGTATTTCAGTGCATGGATGGACATTCAAGGATCAATCTTCTAAGCCCTCGACAATGATTAGGTTTTCAAAGATCCTTTAGTCAGTGTTTTCTAACGAATGAAGCCGTCATTCACTTTCTTTGAAATAGTGATCTTGTCTCTAGTTCCATACTCTGATTCTCGGTTTCGCTTTGGGGCGCCTGTACTCTGCAGTGATGGACAATGCTATATGAATATAAATCAGACATCAGTTTCTCGCCCTACACCACCTGCCCATTCTCATCCCACGGCTGTCGCCAAACACGCCCTCGCATTCCGCTTCAGACCACGAACCTTTTGTCTAATATTGGAACACTGAACTGACCTATGGGCCGGAAATACCGAATATTAACTCTGTGCTGCCTACCATCCGCACATTGCCTACTATCTGCTCATCGCCCACGTCAACACAACCACCACCATGTCCAACTCCGAACTTTCAGTGGGATCCCCCCGGGCTTACTTGTCATTTGAAGTCTCTGGAGCCCGGTATCTTGTGGATCGTTGGTGGTTGGTAAGATTATCGCAATACCTTCATGTTTCCATTGAACTGACCTGAAGAACTAGGGTGTGGCTCTGCCGATTAGTCGAGACTTTGCCTTGGCGACGGTATTTTGCTTCCCCCGACAAACCGGATTCCAAGTAACGAAAGAATGGATACATCAGATGGTACAACGGTATAACACCCAATATTACGTCTTCAATCAAAGCTTCCTCTACTATGTGGTCTTCAAGGTAGTCCCTGGATTTGACCAACATAACGTACAAATCACGCCGGATGCTGAAAATTATCTCAAAGCCCTTGGAAACATGGCTTGGTCTATCGACGCGGCTCTACCCGCGTCACTGCTCCCAGGCCCGTACGCCCTTGTAAAGGGCGAGTTGCGACGAGTTTTGAAGCTGGTGAATGATTCCAATGAGACTTGCATGGCTACTCTGAAACCGTTGTCAAAGTATTCATATCCCCTTTGTGTGTCATGGCCTCACTGACTCTCCCCATAGATCATCCGACACATTTGAGGCGGTCCCTATCAAGAGTTCTGACGAGCAGTGTCTCAGTTCCGCCCTTCCGTCTCGAATCAGCACTGTCGCCCATGTGTCGCCCCTTGCCGGTTTCCCCATCATCCAAGACAGCATCCATCTCAAAGGTATAAATACGTCTGTGGGAAACAAGACATTTTACGACACTTATCGACCACGTATTGAGTCAGCAAGGTGCATCCAGGACCTGGTCGACCTTGGCATCGTGATAACTGGCAAAACAAAGATGGGTTCGTTCGGAAACTGGGAGGAGCCCACCGAGCACACCGACTATCACACCCCGTGGAATACCCGTGCCGACATATGTCAATCCCCGGAAGAGGTAGTTCGGGACGTGCTTGTGCAGTTGCAGCGAATTACCGGCTTGACATTGCCATAGGCGCTGATAGTCAGTCGTTGCCCTTAATACTTTATCATATATTTTACCCTAGCTAATATGTTGATATGAACAGCCCGGGGATGCTTAACACAATGTGCCTTATGGTGTGGCTGCTTTGGCCTTCGTCCCAGCAGTGGGGCGGTCTGCGTGGCTGGTGTGGAATCCTGCATCGAGTAAGTACATCTCTTAACACTAATGAATTCCGCTCGAAATGCGGAGAGCTGTTCAACCAGGCGCCATACACAAGCCTCCCGAATGAGCGAGTGGTATGCACTCGCTCTTATTTATGTGTTAAACGGAGCGATTCAAACACCTTTAATAGGTCTATTGGGAAGGAAATATCTAAAGAGGATAGGGATGTTGGGTTTCAACGCATCGACATCTGCATGAAGTGGTTCAACAGCACGATCTTGACAAGAGATAAGTCAAATGCCGTTGCCATCCTCCCGTTAGTGACCATGACCGCAAGATATAGAGTCCAGCCGCCGTAGTAAGGATCTAACCAGTCAATTCTGCGTGGCAAATATTAATTGAGCTTGAGATTCTAGCGGCGGCCACAGTATGGCATCCACGCATTGGCACTTAGACCAATTCTCGGTGCAGCCCCAAGTAAGAATAGACTTGGAGGAGGGGTGAAAGTTCCATGCTAATATATTGATAGTCTACGAAATTCCGTATTTCTCTTCCGTCACAGATCACGACGAAAAACCTCCTTTTGCAGTGGCAGTCATGGGCCTCCCGGGTAGGCTCGAGTCCCAGCTCTTTTGTGTACGTACTGACAAATCATCTAGGCATGGACATGGCAATCATCGATACGACAATAGAGACTCTAGAGGGGCTACAATTGCCAACCGTTCTTAAGACCGGAAAGTTCATGTTCGATTCTGACACAAGGTGTCAGTTGGAAAGAAATCGGGACAACACCGACGAGGTTGACGTGGTATCCACCGCAGTGACAATACCCACGGCTTCTAGACCGCCAAGGCAGGATGCATGTGATAGAGAAATGGTGTAAATTAATAAAACCTTCAATACCAAAATGGCCAAGTGCAAAATCTTGACGCCGTGGCATCATCCGCGTATAGAGTGGAGTTGTTCCTCACCCTGGTGAATCTGTAGGGCAGAATCTAAACTGTTGAACTGGAATACGGCCTAGGCTCTATCCTGTTCTGTACTACGGGAATTAGCGACGGTACTATCCCTTTTGCATGGTGCAATGGGAAAAGCTTCGACCCGTCCAATCTTCCCTGGCGCGCTGCCAAACGCCATGATCCACATCATTGTAAGACCAAATGACTAGCTTGCTTCATGGGCCTATCCCAGCAGAACTCTCAGATACGAGTATTCGATTGAACGTGCCTCGGCAGTGCTCCACTGATTCATCAAGGCTAATAGCTGACGCTTTGGGCAATGTTGGCTGATTTGATCTAAACATAGCCTCTTCCGCCCCGCACTCGCTCTCGCGTTCGGTTTCGCCTTCGCATTGCCATGATCACTAGAGGCCGCCAGGGAGGGCAAGGCACAGCGTAATTAAATATTTGAGGCCCTTGAGACCCAAGCGAGAGCCAGTGATTTGATTTGTATTTTTCTCGTAGAACATGACACCGTGCATTGATGAGGCTCAGCCTTCAATTCAGTACATCTTTCATGCCGTTTGCCCATTTCTTTGACAACCGCTGATGCAGATCCAAAAACTCAAATTCTTTTTCTCCATCTCGCAGCTAATATCCATTACGAAATCAGAGGCTGAGGACTCTTGTCACAATGCCTCGGCTCGGCTATTCCAAGTCACGGACAGGATGTGAATCGTGCAAGCGGCGGCGGGTCAAGGTGAGTCGTAACCATCTTTCCACCTCATCACGTATGATTATTGAACTGATAAAAAATAGTGTGACGAGAATCGACCATGCAATGCATGCTTAAGGCATGGCGTGGAATGCAGTTTGCTTTCAGCCCCGACGCAAGGTCCACGAGTCACTCAGCGACCAAAATCACAGACACTCACAAAAGTATGCCGGATTCTGGACTGACAGCAAGTTTTGATACTAATACAACTTCAGACCGCATCTCGGCGCAGGCAGTCCAAACCAAAACCGGTTATACAAATCACTCCAACCTGGCAGCCAGATCCATTCACCTCCACCCTCCATGAGCCAATCAGTGAGGATCAGAACGAGATAGGCGCACTCTGGACTACAGATTTGCAGCTCATGCATCACTGGACAGCTGTAACCTCTCTTACCCTTCCAAGAGCAAGCGAAGTCAGCCGCATCTGGCAAGTTACGGTAGCTCAGCTCTCCTTCCAGAACGAACCACTCCTACACCAAGTTCTCGCCACTTCAGCATATCATCTAGCATATCTGAACCCCACTGAGCGAGTCGCATACTCTCTTGTGGCTTCAAAACACCAAAACGACGCATCTCAGGCTTTGAGACACGCCATAAAGGATCTTTCCGTCAACAACTGCGACGCCTCATTCGCAGCTGCGTCTTTAGTACTCATTGGATCCTTTGCTTCTCGAGCAGTGCATCACTATGAAGGCCCCGCTCCTAATATTGGGGACATGATTTACATATTCAAGTTGGCAAAGGGCATGAATCAGGTCTTGTATGCATTTCAGAACGTGATTCAAAGTGGATGCCTCGGAGATCTATTCATGCTGGCGGGCAAGCCTCCGAGAAGTGTGTCCATGGAGAGGATTTGTGAGAAGCTGAGCGAGCTGCAAGAATTTCTGAAGACTGAGCACATCGACCAAACAACTGGGGCCATCGTCGATATTGAAGCGCATCAATTTATTGAAGGGATACAGAACGCTGTCCAGACCGCCCAGGTTCCTCAACTCAGAATGACAATGACATGGCCGATCACCATGTCGGACGAGTTCTTATGGTTGTTGGGGGAGAAGGATCCTTCGGCGTTAGTATTGATGGCATATTATTGCCTTTTGGTGCACGAAACCGTGCCATACGCTTGGTACACAGCTGGTTGGGGGGGTAGCGTTGTTAGTGATATCGCGACACAAGTTTCAGGGCCTTGGTTAGAAGCGATACAATGGCCCCTCGAAAGGATATTGAATAGTTCATCTTGAATAGGATAGGTTGTTGCCTAGGGAAACATAGTTAAAGAGACAATGGTCTAAAGATGAACCAATAAGTCAATGGATCTGATGACCAGTTCTTCTGGTGCATTGTTGCTTGGATATCCCACATGCGAACTACTTTTGGATTGATTGTCCGAGTCCCGTTGAACTATCCCAGTTGTCGTCTGTCTTCACTTAGTATAGCTGTTGCTTACGCAGCCAGAAATCTCGGTGACTGAGTAATTCTCCAATCATTGCAGCTTGTCGCCGATCGAAAGATGATCTGACATACGCTCAATATTAGCGTCCCCTTGAATTGAACGTCATACTAATTGTTAAGATCCACTATGATCTGACCCCCAAAACAGGTATAGATCGTACTCCAAGGCTGACTGGCTAACAGGCATGGCCTGTAATTATCATCAAGTATGATTGGTCTGTTCGTACTCGGCTATCGACACAGCCCATTTTGGTCATACTGGCTGTCAGCTGCATCCTACCAGCACGTTGGAGATCTGAGTGAGCATACGCCTCCTCTTCGCAAGCATGACGACGCGATGACGGTGAATATTTCATTCACTTCAATTCAACCGCCAATACCCCGACCATTCTTTACACACCATTTACTGTTCACCACCTGAAATGTTGTCACCGGGGGATCAAGGTCCTCACCCTCGACGCTTGCTTTTGCCGAGAGTGAAGAAATCCCTCCAAGAGGACGCGTCGAAGCAAAGCCCAGCAACAGGGTACGAGTACAAACCCAGGGCTGGAAAACCCAAAGTGCGCACCGGTTGTTTCGTCTGCAAGTGAGTCGAGGAACGCTCCCACGTCTTCTCGAACTGGATAATAATGAGTAGTCTAGAATCCGTCGTGTAAAATGCGATGAGGGGAAACCAGAGTGTGCGAAATGCACCTCGACAGGACGAAAATGCGAAGGCTACGCGGTAAAGAGCACAAAGTCAAGACCCGACCTACCAAGTAAGACGACATCTACGCCTCAACCGGAAGTCTCGCCATCCCTAGCAATTCAATCAAACCCCAGCAGTCCCAGCGACATGCGATTCATTCATGTCTTTTGCTTGATATCAGGAAACGACTTTTCTCAGCACTTCCAGCTGGCTAGTTGGACACAGACTGTCCTTCAAAGTGCACACGCCTATCCAACCGTTCGGTGTTCTCTGAATGCCGTGAGCTCTCTCTACGAAGTTTACTTGCGCAACGAACACAAGTCACACAAGTCGCAGGCCATACTGGACACTCAAACAAGCCAACTTGCTCTAGCAGAGTACACCAAGGCTGTCAACGTTCTTTCCAAAGATCTAATGGCGAATCGCCTTCCGTGCCAACCAGTGTTAATCTGCTGTCTTTTGTTTGTGTGGTTAGAATTCCTACGGAATGACTTTATCACCGCCTTGAGACACCTCAAGAGTGGACTATCAATTTTGGAAGGCATTCACAATTCGTCATCTCCATCAAACACACCCCCATTCGGCGATATAGATGATTCTATTCTCTACATCTTCACCCGCCTACAACTACAAGCCACCATTCATGGTTGCCCATCATCAGACTTCAATTTGGTCGCTTTAAAATGTCCGCTAGAAGCCACCATAGGACCTGTCCCTCCTCTCTTTTTGACTTTGGTAGACGCTCGCCGGTGTTTGGATATGAAATTGATATCCACGACACAGTTCATCCGGCGTAAACAAAATTTTGAACGTCAACATGGCCCTGACGCACCACTCTCCCTTGAGTGGGCAGAGATGCTCTTAAGTCGCGATTTGTACCTTTCAGAGTTTGAGCAGTGGCAGAATGCGCTGCAAAATAGCCCAAATCTGATGACAGACGGGAGTATCTCAGAGCCAGGTGTTCTTTCCCTCAAGGTGGACCACCGCATGGCGGTAATGATGATGAAAATGTTGTTCGCAGAGACGGAAATGGCCTATGACAATTGCAACAACGATTTCAGGTGCTTACTCACCTTGTCTGAGCAACTGCTTCACCATTCCGCCCGGGATACAACCTTGCCAACGCTGTCATTGGACTCGGCCGTTATCCCTAGCCTCTTTTACATCACTTTGAAATGTCGCGAGCCAAATATCCGTCATCGCGCTATGCTCTTACTGGGGACGGCGCCTGAACGCGAGGGAATATGGCATCGTGATACAATGTTTGCCGCGGCTGCATGGAAGATCGCCATGGAGGAATCATGTAATGTCGAATCGGTAGGAGGAAGTATATCCACGAAGCCGATAAGGATATACCGAGAGATGGTCACAGATGCAACAAGTGAAAACGAGATAGCTACTGTGCGCTTCTCTGGTGGGCCCGAAGGAAGTTGTAACGTTTTGTGGGAAATAAACGGCCTTCTTTCCCAGTTAGGTGACTTTTTATGAGAAATAAATAGGTATCCTTGCATTTTTAGACTGTTATTAGCTATTGTAGAATAAGCAATCAAAGTCCATAATCTGTCAGGCCTGATATCCCGGTAAACGCTGGTCGGCAAGTGTTGCCGAGATGGGGAATCGGCCGACGGATCTGTGACCAGGTTGGGCACTGGGCGCAGTTTACAAGCGAAAACGAACTGGCCAATCAAGCTACAGGATTTATTTAGATCATTTATTGTCCAACCTTCATATGACGCGGAGGGTGTAAGCAGATGGGCAACTAACGCGCAAGATATTATCACTCATAGAGCCGGAATGCATATAAATACGTCAAGCTGTCGCACCTTGAGTGAATCTTCATCCTCTCTCTGCATCTCAGAAAACGAACCTCTTCACTCTGCACCTTAAGCTTCAACCATGATTTCCAACTTTCACGTATCTATTCTTTCCTTCCTCCTCCTAGCAACACATGGATCTAGCAGTCCCCTCTGCGGAAACACGATCCGATGGGTCAACTGCAGTGAACATATTCCTTCCTCGCTGAACCTGACGGGTGTGGATCTTTCTGATCTTCCGGAATCTCTCCACTGTGGCCGGGTCGATGTCCCAATGGACTATTCCAAGCCCATGTCTCGGCACAACATGATCACTCTAGGCTTGGCCATGTACCGTCCAGAGAACCCGAAGGGAGTTCTTTTTGTGTACGTTGAGCCAACAAAACCTTCTTTACTGGATCCATGTCACTCACTCTGGCTCATAGTAATCCTGGAGGAACCGATCCAGGAGTAGTTCTTGCCTGGCAAGCCGCTCTGAACCAGACAGACATGTTTTCTGGTCTCATGGACTATGATCTGATGAGTAAAAAGCTCTCCTTCAAGCGGACAGGCAATATTATTTGAAGAATCTAACTCATTCAATCTATAGTGTTGGATGTTAGAGGAACCTACAGCTCAAACCCACTCAACGTATCTCTTGATGTCTTTGGGTCCATACCATCTGCGTAGTAAGTTGCTAACGATCCTAAAAACTCTCGATCTAGTCACTGACTTCAGCCAGCCCTCAAAATGAGTCTGACTTCAAGGCCTATCGCCAGGCATCAAGAGCCATGTTCCAGTCCTGGATTGATTTCAGCTCTCCCCCGGGAATCGCTCAGTTCGTAGGAACGAGAGAGGTAGTGCAGGATTACGAACAAATCCGGCAGGCTCTTGGCTACGATAAGATCAATTTCCTCGGAGCGTCATAGTGAGAGGACCCGAGTACTACATCATTATCTGCATACCTACTAAACATATTTCATCCAGTGGTACATACAGGGCTTGCCAATATGCCTTCACGTTTCCGGATCGAGTCGGTCATTTTGCACTCGATGCCGTTGTACCTCACGGGAGGGTGCGTAATTGAAGCACTGGCATTTTGAGACTTCTTGCTAATCAGCCAAGACTTTGTTTGACAAAGCCCAAGATGGTATCAAGGCACTCAACAGAGCTGTGCTTCGCGCAGACGCATACTGCCAGAAGGACGAAAACTGTCCCTTCCACAAAGAAGGCCGTGGAAGCATCCTTCGGGTAAATTCCCCAAAACTTTCTGAAGATTGTCATCTCACACAAAATACTCTAGACTTTCCAGAGAATCATCGCGGGTGTCCAAAAAGCAGAGAGCTCTTGCAAGGGTGACTGCTCCTCCGTAGTCTCTACTGCGGCAGTCCAGGCGTCCATGTCTTCACTCTTTCAGGGCCAGCCGGATTTCGGGGAGATTATTAACACACTTTCAAGTGCCATGGTGGGAAATTTCACATCATTGCTGTCTGGTTCAACAATATCTGCAGAGTTGGCAGTTGCCCTACCTCTTGAGTGTGGTGATGTTGGTACGCCAGCGCCTTCTGTGGTCTAGTTGTTCTTCGCTAACTCATCCACTGGAAAGTTTACAACAAATATGATTATCTTGATTTCAAGAAATCTTTGGAAGCAGGACTTGCAGTAAAATTACATTTTGTCCACAGTCCTGAGCCCAGCTAACACCAAGACAGATTGACAACTCCACCATTGGAATGACCCAAATCTGGCTGCTCCAAGTAAGTCACCCATGCGCATACCCAATGAAACCGACTAAGTTATTCATTTCAGCTCTACTGCTCTGGCTGGCCATTTCACGTTTCTCCCGAAGTTGAAATGCCGACCCCTGAGCGCATGTTACTCGTGACATCTGATTTCGACGACGAGTGAGACGACCCCGGCAAATTTGAGCAGAATTCACTAACAATATTTGAAGCTCCCCAACAGAATGGACATCCTTTGCCTGGGGTCAGATTCCCAATGCAGCTTTGGTTGACCGTCATGGTGATGGCCACGTCTCCTTTCTAGGTAAGTCACACTTGCGATGTCGAGTCCAGAACCACTACTGACACGAATGCAGACCCTGGTCATCACTCTACCATGATCACAAAGGAGTTTCTCCGCACTGGAAAGCTTCCGCCGGCGCAAGATGAAACGCTTGTTTCGGTCTACTCGCCGGGTACGATTCGGCCTCCTGTGTCTGATCCTTACTTGGTTCCTATTTAGTGGACACGGTATGAAAATAACGTAAGGGTTCTGGAATTGCTCAGTTACATTATCTATTATTTTATTAAGAAGGTTTTCTACAGTCTAGCAATATTACTTTTATCTACAATTAAACACGGCCATTCATGAAAAGAAGATCTTGCACAGATGAAGCAGTGGATGGAGGTGATGTGGTGAACTCCGCCTTTCGGATCATGTCATCCTTCTCATCCGCCAACCAACCAGAGTTCGTCTCAAACTTGGGGTCCAGCCAGAAGCAAGCCTTGTTGCCCTCCTTGACCATCTGATAGATAGGCTTGGCTTTGACGTGACCACCAGCGTAGAACAGAACGCAACGGATGGCGCCAATGACGGATACGAACGCGTAGAGCTGCTTGTAGACGGGGTATGTCAATCCAGCAAGGAAGCGCACGCGCAGGTCAGGCCGGTTCCAGCACTTGACGTAGTTGTAGAGCATGATGGGGAAGATGGCCGTTAATGAAAGGAGGACAGCCGTACGCCAGAAGGAAGCATCGCTGCCCATGGTGACGAAGATGGGAACGCGGACCCAGTCGATGATGATGCTGGCGACGGAGTAGAGCATGACAAACTTTTGCACAAGAATACCTGTGATGGTTCGTTGGCCATTGAGAGCGAAGAAGCGACGGATAAACTTGAACAACAGTCCATGTCGACCCATCTCCCACGACTTGACGCGCTGCTTGAACCAGTTGAGGCCTGGTCCCAGGAGTGTGGTGGGAACCTCTGTTGCAAGGACGACATGGGCATCGAAGGCAATGCGCTTCTTCATGCGCATGAGGGAGAAACCAGAGTTGACATCCTCGGCGATGAAGTCGATGGGATGGTACTCGGCGAGAAGCTCGACGAGTGTCTCTCGCTCAACAAACCATCCAGCGCCGTGGGGGAAACAAACACCACAGAGACTGGCCTCAGCGAGCTTTGTTAGACCAGCCATGCGGTACTCGCAGTCTTGCCACGCAACAAGGAACATGGGAGTGTCGCCCTTGGCATCGATTCCCTTCAGTGCAAAGGCCACAGCCTTGACCTCGTCGTTGATCATGTGGGTTGGGTGGCGGTAGTTGACAGGCAGAGAGACATCGTCGTCCGTGGTCAAGATGTAGCGGAAGTCCTTGGCGGCCATGGCACCGACCATTTGAGCGGCATTCTTGGAGCCTATGGGAGACCAGATGTAGTTGATGTCCGGGTGCTGGGACTTGACCCAGTCTCGGAATGAGAGATCGTTGGGGTATCGTGAGCGGCCGTTGTCGACGACGAAGATGTCTTGAGGGCGGAAGTAAGGGTACGCAGACGCAAAAACCTTTTGGAGAGCATCTCGGTCAGAGTTGTGGCAAGGAATGACAAAGGCGGTGTCGTAGTCATCGGTAGAGTTGCGTACGGCCTGCGCCTCGATGTCGGATAGTCTCTTCTTCTCGACTTCGTGTGCGGCCTTCTGCACCTGGTTGTCAGGGTCATCAACCGAAGGAATCTTCGCAGCAATGAGGATGACGAGGAACATGAGTGGCTCCAGGCCAATGACGATGATGAGGACGGGCAGCATGTACGATCGGGTAATGGCCATGGACTTGGAGATCCAGTCAGTGTAGAGGTCGGACACGAAGATGCCAACGCAAATGGCAGCAACAAGAAGTAGCACGAGGTATTTCTTCAAGGTGATGGGCCACAGGTACTCGACGGGGTTGATGAGATCCCAAATCTCCTTGATGGAGATCTGGTTGTTGACGGCGCGCAAGAAACGAGACCAAAGGTTCTCTTTGGGCTTGGCGGCAGGAGATTCGACGAGTTTCTCGGTACTCTGGTTCAACGGAATAATGGGAAGCTTGTCGAGGATGTCAAAGCTATTCCTTGCCTTTGGGGGAGGAAGCTCAGAGAGAGTGTCGAGACTCTGGTGTGCGGTGGTGCCACCGTCGAAGGAAGTACCCAGGGAGATGTGCGACTCAGAGAGAGGGCCAAGAGGCGATGGCCCGTAGATGCCAACCTTACGAGCCGTTCTGTCCGATGATATGGACTGGAGGGGAAAAGAGTGTAGGTTGGGAGAACCGGGCGGAGTGGCAAAGGGGTTCTGTTGAAAGGGCGAAGCCGGTCGTGAATGGTTTGGGGTGACGGGTGGCGTAGCGAATGGATCCTCCGGGTTGAGAGGGACTGAAGGATCAAGCCGGGCAGGACGGGGTCGGCAGATGCCAGGGATCAAGACCGGGTCAACGGCGATGGCCGGTTTGGATGCCATGCTTGCAACTGCTCAGGCAAGTGTTAGTCAACAGTGGTGATGATATGGGCGTGGGGTCGGGACCATACCGTGAACCAAACCTGGGAAGCAAAGAGGTCGAATGAAAGCCCAAAGTCAACTGCGAACGAGTGAAGCAGGACGGGGTCTCTCAAAGTTCCTGGGGGTAAAAGAGTGAATGCCGGAAGGCCGGGGGTGTTTGAACGATGGATAAGGACAGACTTCATGGAGAGACGAGTTTGGGCTCTGAAGTCATCTTATACGACCTCTTTGCTATGACTGATCTAAAGGAGGGTAAATGGGTGCTCTTGTAATTCCTATAGGGCTAATAATATCCCCGTTGGCCGGCTTCCGGATCAATAGTGCAGTGTCTAGCAGCCGCCTTGCCCAGTTGAGGCTTACATGACAGGATCCCGGATGCCGATCCCATTCAGTCCTCTGGATGAGTGCCTGGCACACCCGTCCAGGATCTTCTTAGCTTGGAAGAAATGGTTGGCTTGGGTGAGGAAGCAGTAGTCCCAGAGCGTCCAACGCCTGGCTGAAGATTAAACTTGGCGGATGGATTAGCTAGCCTACTTCTCCACCAGTACGTGTATTCTTGGCCAACAGCTACGAGGCGGCGCCACTATTGGAGCGAAGAACCAACACGCAACTGCCGGATCATGAGCTGGAACGAAAGGGGATATTTTTGTTTGAATCCCTGCTCCGCCACCTTTCCAGCCCTGTCGAGCTAACACTGTCATTGGATCACTGGGATCATCTGAAGCGGCGCTATTTGGGCTCTCGAAAAAAGAATTCTGAAGATCCATGCGTGTAGGTGCGGTGGCCGCTTACCATGTCGTCGGATCCTCGGATGAAGCCATTCGGGGCTGCCATCAAGAGGCTTAGACCCAGCTGAGACACCACTCTTGGGCCAACGGAGCATTTGTCGCGGCTCGTTGTGCCTCTGGATTCATCTGTATACACCCTAGCCGTGGCTCATGACCGTCTCAATGCGTCGGGATCAGCCATAGACGTAGCTGTGATCCTTGTGCAAACCCGCTTGATGTTTTGGGGTCTTCAGCTCGCCATCTTCAGCTGGCCACCGCCATCGCCAGGGTCTATTTACTACGCCAAGGAACTATATCCCATGTTGGTCAGCATTTCCACCGCCGAGGAATCAATTTTCATGGGAGTGATGATTGATCATGGCGTCGGAGACATGTTTGTGCCCAAAACTCGCACCTAATTACATGCCGGAATTTGAACCCAGCTTTTTCGATAGCGGCATTCCACTCTCTCGGTGTTGCAAGCTGCTAGAGGTGATTGGTCAGAGCAACTCCACAAAAGGGGCCGCGCTCCAATGTACTAGACGGCGGCAGACCGCCCTTTTGCTCTGTTAGAAATCAAGGCTCATTCATACCATTGAAGGTATGCGCTTATTGGGGAAATCACGCAGCTCGTGACACTCGGGTCTAGATCTCCAACTAACCGGGATGCTCTGGAAGTTGTAAATCTACCAGTGCATGCGCTACTCTGGAGAATTGTCGTTTGGTGATCCTGGAGCCAGGTTGTTGCCGGTACCTTCTGCAGTCGGGGGAGGGTGGACGCAACATCGATCAAGGACCCGGAATCGTTGAATTATCAACATCTTACCTTGAGAGTGCCCCTGAGCTAGATCAGCACACTGGGTATATAATCAACGCCAAAGACGCTCAAGAGTGAATGATGTTGATATCCAAACCCATTCACGGATCTGTCTCCCTTACCATCCTTTCCCGGTGTTTTCCTCCACCATGGACTTTTGTCTCTCTCCCGTCCACTCTCGCAGTCCCACTGACACGGGATCTCCGTCGATCTCCCGCGCCCAGTCCTTGCCCAATCTCAACTCGTTGCCAGGTACCCCCGGTACCGAGCGGGATGTGCTCTTCGGCCAGTTCACCTCCCCCGGAGCGCTGGGACCAGACGACAACGAGTACGTGCTGGTCGTGGGCGGCCTGGGCTACATCGGCAGTCATACTACGTGGGAGCTGCTCAAGGATGGTTACAATGTTGCGGTTATTGACAACCTGAGCAACGCGTTCACTACCGTTCTCGACACGCTGAATCGAATGGTTGATGATCATGCCCAGAAGAATGAGCTGCGTCGCCCAGACCTGCATTTCTACGAGGCTGATTTTCGAAACGACAGCAAAGTGCAAGAGATTCTCCAGCGATATGCGGCTGGCACTGGTGGTTCCTTGATCAAAGGAGTCATCCACTTCGCCGCGTACAAGTCCGTCTCCGAGAGCATCCAAAACCCTCTCAAGTACTACAACAACAACGTCAGCGGCCTGATCAGCTTCTGCAGCACGCTCTCCTCCTTCAACATCAAAAATCTCGTCTTCTCCTCCTCTGCGACCGTCTACGGGTCCCTTGCCGACAAGGGCGGCTGCCTCCCGGAGGAGTTGTGCACGCATGCCGAGACAAAGTGGACCGACGCCAACAACCAAGCCCGCACTACGCTGGCAGGCTGCACGGGTCTGACCAATCCCTACGGGCGGACCAAGTGGATGTGCGAGGCCATTCTCTCCGACCTGGCTCTTGCAGATCCCGCCTGGACGGTTGTGGCACTACGGTACTTCAATCCGGTTGGGTGCGATGAATCGGGCCTGCTGGGCGAAGATCCTCGCGTGACGCCGACCAATCTGATGCCGGTTGTGCTCAAGGTCATGCTGGGGGAAATGGACCATCTGAGCGTTTTTGGAACAGACTGGGATACCCCTGACGGCACGGCTATCCGCGACTTCATCCACGTCTCCGACTTGGCGAGAGGCCATCTAGCCGCGCTCTCCACCAAGATGCAGGGCTTCCACAGCTTCAATATCGGCACCGGGACTGGCCACTCCGTCACGGAAGTGGTCGACGCGATGCGGGAAGCTTCAGGCAAGGATATCCCCGTCGTCCGGGTTGGGCGTCGCGATGGAGACGTCGGCATGTGTGTGGCCGATCCCGGCAAAGCCATATCTGAGTTGGGTTGGAAGCCGCGCAAGACACTCTTCGACAGTTGCCGGGACCTGTGTCACTTTCTCCGTACAAGTGGAGTCGACATTGCAGGCGCGTAGAGCCGGGGATGATCTCACCTCTGGCCCGGAGACTGGGGTACATCATCTTGGACTTCATGGTGGTAGTATCGGTGGTTGATACTTGGCGTGTTATCTTCAGAAGGAGGCTGTTCGCTTATGTTTTAATTTTATGTAATTCCTGATCAATCAATTCATTAATTTCCACCAGCCAACGTAGTCATATAAAACCCAACGTGAAAAATGATAGACTGGAACTATTCCCGACCACCGTCGGATGTAACAACAAACATCACTCCCGTTCGCCCTCCGCCAGCACAGAAATCCACCAGCGGTCTGTAGTCCAATTTCGCAGCTCAAAACGGAGTCAATTTCAAGCACTAATCCTGTCCACGCAGGCATGTCTCTCCCGTTCACCGTCGCACACGGAGGAAACTACCGTACAGTCCCGTAAGCCGCCACCGTCAACGCCAACACAGCCAACGCTGTCAGTGTTGGCTCAAGGCGGCCACCGCAAGCCTCAACGGGACTACCGACCCCTTCATCAATCGTGCAAACGACGCCGTCATCCGGGACGCTCGTTGCTGTTGCGGAGGCATTGAACGCTATCTCAATCCACTGGATCTCTAGCGTTGCCTGCTCCCCGACAGCCATGTCGCCGGACCACCATCCGCTGTTGCTCCACATGTCGATGAAGACGGTGCTCGCCACCTGGGGCACGTTGGTCTGCGTCGTTCTCAGCTGCTCGCCGTCGACGTACCACACGCTCATGTCGAGAGACGGCAACCAGTCAAGGCGATAGACGGCCCAGTCGTTGGTAGACGTGGACTCAGGCAGCGAGTCGTTAAACGTTGCTCCAGAAATGATCTTTTCGTTTTTATCTGTAGTAGGCTGGTTGGAGAAGTGTACCCGGCCGTCTCCGTCTTTGGTCAAGATCTCGATGTCTGACTCCTGGGTGTCATTGTGGTACGTGAAAAAACCAGCCACGGCACCGGAAGCTCCCGACACTCAGGCCGACACCCTGAGCGAGATTGCGTCGACATCGGCTCTGCTGTAGAAAATCTCTCCCCCCAGCTGAGTGTTGTTGCGAAGTCGCCGAGTGTTTAGCGACAAGTAGGCAGATCCTGCTTCGCCACCTGGCTGCTTGTTAGTGGGAACGGGATTGGCAGGATGAATGCAGCCACTGACCCATTGAAACCATGCTTGGGATATAGTGCAGTTCAGTGAGGCCCTTGGCGGCGACGCCCCGGTAGTGGACGCGGACCGTCCAGTCGTCGTCCCACGAGGAATCATTCGTCGTCTTGTTCGAGACCAAGGTGCTAGACCCATCCCTATCCGCGGGCCACTTCCCCGTTGACATGGTCGTGTGTGATAGCGACGCATTTCGGAAGTCGTAGAATCGATAGAACGAGAAAGTGGCTGGGAATGAACCATTTACGGTGAAAGCAGAGCAGGGCTTGTCGTCGGCTCTGACGGTCGGGATGAGAAGTCCCAGCAAGCCCCAAAACAGGTAGTAAAAGTATTCCATGGTGTGAGTGTAAACTTTAGTAGCTGAAAAAAAGGATCAGTAGTCCTGAATGGGTGCAAAAGGCGTAATATTCTCCCGCCTTAGTACTCTAATTGGGTTCAATGGCCATGAATCGTCACGAGGCGTCGTGGCTATTGAACAGCCAACCTCAATAGCTCGATACGTGTGGCGGAGAACACGCCAGCATCCAGCCAAAACAAATGCCGGGGACAGTGGCCAGGGTCAGTGAGTGATTGACTCTCCTCATGCGCGACCCTGTAATGATCCTAGACACGGCGGCCGACGGTACGGTGACGGGTGGTACAGAGCGTACAAGCGTATAAGCGTTGAAATTAGGTGCTGACAGCTCAGATCTGGGCAGAATCTTAGGGCCGTCTAGCCAGCCACAGCTTCGGTAGTCGCGTCGTAGGGATCGATGGAGCGTGTGTGTGTTGGACGAAGGAGAAAGTTGAAGGCAACGTGATGGTGAACTTGTTGGCTGAGGGATGTTGTTGGTGCTCTGCGCCATCCTCTCCGGTGTGCGTCAAGTCCGCCAGCAAAACGGCACGTTCACACCGCAGAGCTGATAATTTACATTATGAACCTTGACAGTATGCTTGTTGAATGTCTATTCAGCCTTCTACTCACACAGTAAGCCCCCTTAGCCACGCCGGTACCATCTGTATTGTCCTTCCCAAGCCTCCTCAGCCCATCCCAGCCAACATCCATTCATAAGGCTTCCCCACCGCGCTAATGAATAGATTGAACCGCCGTGGCGGCCCTGAGCCTCTCTGGTTAAGCCCATTGATCTTGGCAGCATCACTTTGCTTTGCCCAGGCAAGAAATTCGGCATGTGAATGCGCCTCCTCGCACTCTGCACTCATTTTGGCAATTACCAAGCCGATCGCACTCAGAAGCCGCAATTCAGCCGGCAATCGGTTAGAGCATTCGGTAGATGGAGATCAGTCCGATTTGAAGCCCGTGAAGGGACTGTCGCTGTACAGTAATTACTGCCGAGGAGTGGGTGCAGCAGGCGCAATCATCAATCGTCCTGTGCAAATCCCTCGTCCACCCTTAACATGCCACTTCGCTTCTGTGTCAGTATCTCGGATGTGAAAAATAATTTGTGTAATGGGAGAATTCATCGATGTACATATTTTTCGGTGCATAAATATGGCGGAATTTCTGTTTCCCTTTGTTATTGTGCGCCACTAAGGTCTGGAATGAAGAAGTGCGGCACAAGTTGGTGAAGACAACCGAATGTTGCTGATCAGACCAGGATTTTTAATGCACCCGAAATACTCAAGTCTAGATAGACCTGAACCGCGGTTTCTGCAAATCCGTTCAGTGCGATGCCGTTGTGCTCTGCCGGGTTCTGGTTGCTGAACACACACCGACTCGCTCTGCTCCAGGGTAGGTCCGAAGCCGATTCGCAATCGAACACTTGCATGTATTCCCCGAATAAGGATGCACCACTGCAAATATAACTTGTAAGAATATTAAACTCACTGTTATTCATCTGAGAGTTAGCCACCTGACTGTCCATTCAATTAGTTGGGCATGACTAGTTACCAGGAAATGCTTGCTCAATGTGCGCTTCATGACTTCAGAAAACACAACATTGATGTGGAAAGATCTGATCAAAACTCAATTGTTCATATTGCTTTAGCGTCGGAAAGATGATCCCTTGGCTTGCTTCTTAGGGCCAGATGAGCTAATTCTCAATGCTTCAACGCCTTCGGTCTTGTCTACAATGATACCCTTTCCAGTCTTCGGGTCCCTACGCGTAATCGCAAATTCTTTGCGTGCATACTCAGATTTCCCGCATAGAGCCATCTCTGCTAATGCCTTGCCCAGAAGTGGGACAAACTTCATGGCCCAGCCAGCAGTAAAGATGGCGATGCTCTTTTCAGGACCCCCGCGGAGGTATTCCTTCGGGAGAAAGTCAAGAACGAACATGTTGTCTGCGTATTATTAGCGAATGGGTTACTTCGCGATGCATTGATCTTACCGAAAACATTGGTCTGCAAGCAGCTGACGGTGGATGCAGGGACGGTGTAGTCAACACCAACGACGTGATCCCTGATGAAGTCTTGAGTGTCACGAATGTCTTCCGGATCAAAGACATTCGCTTGCCTCTCGTCGGGGTCCTTGATTACTCTAGTAGCCGCATCCACTGCAATACGGACAGCGTTGGGAGGCCCCCATGGGACTGCCGGCATGCCGTAGAACAATTGAGATCTGTCGTTTTTGTCGGGCGCAAATTGAAACCACATGCCTGCACCGATGAATTAGAAACTTCAACATAACATGAGGACTAGACGTACTGGGAAAGATGGTGCCACTGGGTCCAGCGTTTGCGTTGAAGTAGCTTGCAACCATTTCCCAAATTTGTAGGTCCAACGAAACGTCAAAACTGGGCTTCAAAACGTGATTGACGTAGCTGCCACAGGTAATGACGATCTTCTTGGTGGAGTAAACGGCAGAGCTCTGACTGTGAGACAGAGTGTGGACATGCCAGATGGAGCTGTCTTCCTTGGATGGCACGATCTTCTTGACCGCCGTGTGCTGCTTAGCCTGTGCACCGTAGTCTTTGGCTAAGCTGAGTAGACTCCGCAAGAGCTGTTGAACGTTGATGACACCATTGTCAGGGGCATAGACGCCGGTCCAATTGGGGTTGAGATTCTTGAATGGATACTGGGCTTCAATCTTCGCAGCGCTCACTTGGCAGGAGAGTGTTAGCATGCTCATCAGCGATACAAGATCAAACGTTCACGAACTCACACTCTTTGTAGCTCATATCAAGTAGCTTCAGGTTGTCAATCGGTCCTCTTAACGTTCCTATTCGTGGTTGGTAAACGAAGAAGTAGGCGCGACTGGATGTTGTACCTTCAGGAGTGCTTTCGCCGTAATCCTTGTCGCCAAAGTTGAGAAGGCCGGTCATCCAGCGCAACGAGACACCTGCGTCTTTCTCCAGAGCACCCCAATGGCCCATGGCCTCTTTTGCGAGGCGAGCCATGTATTCTTCCGTGTACCTTTGGGTCTTGTTAGCTGGTGTTCACAAGCGACGCCGTAAAAGCTACCATACATGGTTCGGAACATGCGTGCCAAGTCACCTGAACTTCCAGCCTGGTTGAAGAAGTTGTTTTGCTCAAGCACGAGAACTTTCTTGCCGGCTTTTGCGACCTCGTACGCAGCAGCCAACCCCACGGGGCCACCACCCACCACAATAACATCAAAAAGTTGGGACTCCATAGTCAGAATAGTATGATAGAGTGAAGTTGATTGATTCGGAAATGAACTTTTGTGTTATTTTGAGGCGACGTGATCCAATATTTGTAGCCAGCTTGCCAGATGCTGAATGCTGGCCAACATGGGCGGCCCGCAGATGCATACACGAAAGACGATCCATGACGATGGAAGAAACTCCACGTTGTATCAGAAGAATGATTCGTATATACGCGAACGTAAGGATCAATTAGCGAGTGGATCAACGCGAATGATAGGTATTCTCATGGGTGGTGGCTTAGGCACATTGAGCTGAATGAGATAAAGCGGCTCACGCAGCGGGCTGAACTGGAGTCTGTTGGTGCCATCTGCACCGAATACCGGCACTATGCCCCAAACAGCAGCGCAAGGCGTGGTATTTGGCAATAAATCGGTGTCCTAGCGTGCATGATACATGCACCGAGTGTAAGCGCCGCATTGCGGGAACCAATCTCAGCGATTGCCCGGCTGCAGATGATCAAGACTTAGGTAGGGAGGTCTGGAATAGGATTAAATGAGGGGTTGGAACTTGAAATCGCTGAGCTGAGCGGCGAGGTTGATTTGGCATCTCCTTCACCGTCTTCTGCCACAGAATGCAACTGGCCGATATCAAGGTCTAGAACCTTTGCCGGGTGAAACATGCGTTGAGCCAGCGGTCATCATCACCACCTATCTAGCCACTGGGCAGCGATAATTTGACTCGTCAATTTGAAGCATGGAACTATTGAACCCAATCTCTTTCCGTTCTACCCGATAACCAATAAGTAGCGCATGCGTCTCTGACGACGGCTACACTATAGACTCCACCGTCCACCGTCCACCGCCCAGCCCTAGAGTCAGCAAATATCAGCATACACATGATTGCCTTTGTGAACTAGGCGTTGGAGGATTAATCAGATATATTTGGTCTGAATCTGGAGCATTTCTGGTGGCCTAAATACGGACCTACTAATGGACTTGCGGCTGACTTGTGAGATTACCCTTGTTTATAAGCCATTCTAGAGCTTAAAAAGTCCGCTTGTGCTCGCCAAGTTCAAATTATACGCCTTGACCTATTTTGAAGACCATGAGCAAGTCCATGTCTCTGGCGATCCACTAGCTCCGTTATGGTTGACGATGCCATTGTTGAGAGGCGACATTTTGCTACACTCTCGGCTTGACCAGGCTGAATCCGAGACAATGTCGTTATGACACTCCATTCCTAATTCTTTACAAAATTGTGATCCGCGGTCGCACCTGATGGTACATCTGTGAAAAGCGTGACGGAGCTTACACTCGCTGCACTTACCGCAAGCCTGCTGTACCATTTCGGCCGTGAATTTCTCCAAGGTCCTGGAAATTGGGCTGCGCCGAGCAATAAAGAAACGGAGTGTTTGAATCTAGATGCATACAGAATATTTTACTAAAATGACAGGCAGTCACTGATTAGTGATATCTTAAACGCCGAAATGCACATACGGGACCCAAAGTAAGGGTTCATCGTCATCTTCCTCTTCGACAAGAACATGCCGCGGTAGACGATCTTTCCCTGTAGCTCCATGTCCTTCATTGCAGCCATGTCCCTTGTCATATCTAGACGATGTCCCCATGTGCTCCCTCTCTTCTGCTCCTTGTGCCTGGGTGTTCAACTGGCGGTCTCGAAGAGCTCTGGTTGCCTTATGAAGCCCCAGACACACTGATTCATCAGTCATGCCGCCGTCTCGCAGGCCTTCGTAGAAAATCCTCGCCATATCCACGCAGAGTTTGTCATTGACTTCCCATAATGTGGCTATGACGTGGCGAAAGCCTGCCATCTGACATGCTCCAATTAGATGAATGCTTTCATCGGAAAACACCTGATCCTCGAGTCTGCCCGTTCCGCAAGCTGATAAGTAAGCTAGAAATGGATTCTGCTTCCGAAGTTTCAGATTCATGAGATCGGTGACTGTCAATGAATCTCTCTTTCCGTCTTCTAGCATCAATTGGATTGTAAATGGGTCGTTTTCGTCAGTGCGACCATGTCCTGCGAAGTGAAAGATTCCGCATTCCTGTAACCCTGATAGAATTTCGTTCTTGCATTTTCGCGGCTCGAGGTGACTGATATTCATCGACGCGCATAGTTGACGGACAGTGGCGACTTCCTGTGGCGCAAATTGAAGAGTCGAACTTCCTGGTCTATGCTCCCTAGCAACAAAGAGCGCTTTTGTCGGAATAGACGGCGGCAGAACAGATGCGCGACGAGCACTTATTATCGCCTTGATGGAAGAACTGTAGGAAGACATTGCTCTATCCAACACGGTGTCGGAATCTGCAGTAAAGTGATAGCCAGCCGCATGCAGGGGAAATCTGCAAAGAGTACCTGTTGGTATCCACCATATGTGTGGCCAGCCATTTCCGAGCGGAGGTTCAACAAACCCAAGGCTACTGAGAATTAGACCCGCGATCACGTCTCAGAGCCATTCCAAGTTCTCTCGACTTCCCAGATTCCCTTTTAATGACTTGCTGTTCAACTCTTCTTTGTTGAACTTATCCAAGGTTACGAGTCGTTCGCTATGCTGGTCAACAATTATCGCAAAACAACGCTGGAGACTGATATTTATGACAACGATTGGACCGTATTGTCCTGCGTTGCGGATCTCGGATGCACTTGGAGGGAGCAGAAAGTCCTCAAAACCAGGCTTGGTGTGGATCTCGGCAATGAGTTGGGTAAAATATTCATCAGGGTTGGACTGTTGATCAGAGACTGTCAAATCGACATTCCTGCGATTTAATTCCGGTGCTGTGAAATGCTCCAGTTCGTCTCTGACGCGGGCAAACCTTTCTGCCAAGGCTGGGTATTTCCTCTCAAGCTCCGAGATGTCGGATTGCATTCCCTCAATGGATGTAGTAAGAATGCCCCGACCCTGCTCAAGGAAGTTCAAAGCAGTTAGGGGCCCATGGCCAGCCAATAACGCTACGGATGCAGCCTCGCAGGAGAGATTTCCCAATTGACCAAGCCAGTGTTGTTTATCTGAATTACCAAGAGATCGCAAAACCAATTGTGGTATTAGACGGATAGCCGTACTTGCAGCCTCGAAGGCTTCCTGCCATCTGGAGCGCGCCGCAAGATAGCGAAGTAGCGCTGTGCTGGCTTGAATTTGGTGGATTATGGGTGAGTTCGTATAACTCATCGCAGGTTAGTGACAGACAATAGCTTCGTCAATTTATATCGATCGCTGAGAAGAATCGAAAATGTGTGAAGCATGTCGGCTCGACTGGTATCATCCATATAGATCAAATTGAGAGCCTCTTGCGTGAATTCAATTGCCTCGTCCAGGTCAGCCAAGAACTCTGTGGTCATGTACCGCGCTCTGAGAATAGCTCCACGGGTGATCAGGCAAACTGTGTGATTGGGGTGATCTTTTGAAGTCGATTGAAGAGCCTCGTGTGTAAATTGCAGTGCCTTGTCGAGGTCGACTTGGACTTTCGTTTGTGCATATCTATCACCAAGTAGAGACCCAAGGTTGCTTAGTCGCCCTCCGCGATTTGGATGATCTCGGGGTGTGGCATCAATTGATTCCAAGGTAACATGAATAGCATCACCAAGATTCGCTATGTCGTGAGTAGATTCATGCTTCATACGGAGCAGACTGCCGAGGTGAGATTTGTAGGCTGCCCATAATGGGTGGTCTCGAGGGGTTCCATCAATATGGTCTTGCGTTATCTGAATGGATTCGTCCAGATCCTCCATCGTCAGTCAATTTGAAGACTCGGAGTATCTTAGCGTGAGAAAATCCAGTCCTGTTGCCCGTCTCTTGCGTCAATGTTATCGATGGACTAACGAAAGGAATAACCTGGCGGGCCGCTGACAACCAGTTGTGGGTAGAAACCTATTTCCTCAGTAATGAAGACAAACGATGTAGAATAAGACTAAGAGAAGGTGATTTCTCTCTGATTTATGTGAATTAATAACTCAACCAGGCAAAACCACGTGTGATGTTTTTATTTGTGCCAGTCCCCGCTGTGTAGCCCATCTATATGACCAGGCACCCAATAGGAACGCGTCTCACGCGCGTCTCGCATTCCAAGCCGGTGAGGGCGACCTACAATTTCGATGTGCTATTTCCCGACGAGTCGGAGGGCGTAGGAGTCATATTTGTGGGCACTTTACCGTACGACACCGATTGTACTTCTCCTGGAGCATCCTCATATGCCTGTGAGCATTTTCTACCCTCTACTGCCATGCATTAAGGGTTGCTCGGTCGAGACATGCCTACTTGACGATAATTGGAAGTATTGCCGCGGACGGAGGTGTTAACTGCTTTTCCATTAACCAGGATAGCAGATAAATTGCCTAGACACCAAGGTCAACCTACCATACCAAGACCATACTAAATCTCAGTGTCCGAGCATGATACTTGATATCACCAAGTATAAATATTGCGAGAGTAAGTTTTCAAATGCATAAATAAAAAGACTCTATTTGAAATAACAGAACTCTCATACATTACGCCCCCAGTTCTCAAGATTGTAACCCATTTCAACAGAGGAGAAACGTGAAGCAGCTGCCCAGTCAATACCAGCGTACGAAGCTATACAATCAGAGGAAGTGAAACAATACTCTCCCCCAGTATAGAGTATGTGACAGGCTTTGTTGTGGTTGGGGTCTCTGGGAACCATAGGATCCTCGGGATAGCACATGACATGCTCGTGTAGGTTGGTTGGAGTACCTTTGGCGAGTCCGGGCATCACATGTATACAAATAGCGAGATTGAGGTTTTATCTTCGATTCATTTAGATGAAGGGGAGACGTCACCTTCTAAGATTCCGTGGATGCAAATGTTCCCCAGGTCACATCGATGGCCTACACAAACTGAGGTTTTATCAATCGAGTATACTATTCCCAGTGCATTAACATCAGCCGGAGGACTAAATAAGCGAAGAGACTTTTAGCCGTATACTGTATTCGATGATCTTTCCTACTCTCATCATAGCCCTGTTGCCTTGTTTCAAACTCTCGGAGCTGGTTAGGTTCAATTACACATTTCCTGGGAATCCGTTTGTGCTCTTCCGGGGAATTGATCATGTCTTCCGGGGATCACATCAGCCCCACGTCCCCACACACCTCGGATTCTCGGGCCGACGCTTGGTATTCCAGGGAATACAACGACTGAATCAGCGACTGATAAGATGCCGATGCACGGGGTTGGAAGGATCCCAAGCGATGTAACCGGACATCAATGATTTTCCATGGCAACACACTTTCCCGCGGGCTAACTATACCCGAGACTTTTAATGTTTGATCAGAAAGTAGTGAATATTTGCCCAGGCTTCACTCGGACGGCTCTGTTTCGCAGCCGTACGTCTTGGGGGTGCAGAGTAATGTTAACCACGGCAAAGTATCAGACTACATGTGCACAACGTTATTCTTCTGCTGGACATGGAGTATTGAGAGCAAAATCTTTGTCTATGAGAACAATCTATGACGCATGATTCGTTCCCAAACTTAATAGGACTTCGTCTCCAATCTCTCAAGATTGGCCCTTGCCTCCTCCGCCAAGCTTGCCAAGTCAATTTCGCCAGGTAGCTTCTTGCCATTCCAAGCTGCCACTTGTTCCGCAACATTCAAAACTTCCTTCATGGCCATCAATGAGATTCCCAGCCCCATAGAGCCTTTCAAATGACTTTTGGCCTGCCTTGTGGCGCCCATTGCGGCGATGGCACCTGCAATTATGACCTCACTGAGGGGAAGGGGTTGCACCTTGTCTGATCCCCCGATCAAGAAGCCGAATACAGCTGCGGTCGCTATGTAAGCTGTTACGAGGATGAGCATGACGAAAATTTGAGTGAAGCAAGAAGGCAACAGTGAACTTACAGAGTTCGGGGAAGAACTCGCCCATCATTTGTCCGACTTCTGCGTTTCCCACAGCTCGATAGATTGCCTGATTGGTTTCTTTGCCCTTGGACAGCCAGTCACTCTCGTGGAGGAGAGGCGTAACGAATGTTTGTGTTAGCTTAGTTGAGTTGTATCCAGCTATATCACAAAAACTTAGCTGTCCAACTGGCTAGTGACGGTGATATTGCGCAGCTGGAGCTCATTGACCAAACCCAGGCAGGCTGGTATGCAGTGTGGCAATCCGACGAAAGGCCAAGTCAGGTTGATGGCATGTCTGAATGACAGAAACAATGTCTTTGTCTGCCCGTTATCCTTATTTTCGATCAAATCTCTGAACAAGTTGGGTACAGAGTCCCCACGGCGTTGGGCACAAAGCATCGTGGCCTGGAATACTGATTTAGTACACTGTACGACTGGTGCTCGGGGGGCATCTGACTACTATGGCTGGAGCTACTTGACTGATGCTACCATCGTCCGCATTTTCAAGGCGGCTCACAAGGTTGCACACAATGGTGGAATCGTAAGGCGTCGCGTTTGAGGGCAGATTCGCGTTTGTGTATTGGGAGCTGAACTCCTGGGGTACCGTGTCTGTCATCTTTGGATACAGTAGGATCACACAGAGTGCTGTGGACGGAATGTCGATTATTCCGAGCTACGGTAAATGGAAGCCAGGAGATATATCTGGATTGGATCTGGACGGCAGTCGTATTGTAGGGATGTCTCGTTCCGGGGAAGCGCAACAACAATGATAATTCCCCGGCAACCAAAGTGAACCCATCTTCCACGGATACTAGTGTGGAGACATCGTACGACCTGGATTTTTTACTTCAGTGGGTATTTAGAGACCAAGTTGCGTCAATGTCACTTGTTCATATTTTGTCATTGTCGAACAGGTCATTAACAACTGGCTGATTACGTTGGACTCTGTCAATATGGTCGAAATCTCCGAATATCACAAGTACGACTACCACGGCCACGTGCCTAACAAAGGAAAGCTCATGATCTCACATCAAGTCCCGGTGATTTCTTGCTAAACAGTACTAACACATCTTTGCAGAATGGTCCCGATCCCAAGGTGTCGACTTCAGCGATCCCTACAAGTACTCCGAGGCAATTGTGAATAGCCCGCAATTTCAACCGTTGTGGAATGCATAGACGGGAAATCTTGACGCACCATTTTTTGGAATCACAGATAATGGCATCAAAAGGGAAGGACTTTATCGTCTCCAAGACGAAGGGGCGCCGACAGGAGACATGGTAATTGGATGATCAAATATGGAAGTAACTCGGAGAAGCTAACATTTAAAAAGTCGAGGCTGCACGTAATGTGTTGCAATCACTAAACGCAGATGAGAAGGGCAATGCCTTACGCGATCTGAATTCGGAAGACTGGTAAGTCTGTGAGCCTGCGACGGCTGATCTCAGAATAGACGTGAATGAGTTTGCTAATTCCCCCTACTTAGGAGAAAGGGGTCCAATCCAGAAATTATCCTGTTCAGATGTGGTGTGCGCCTAGAGCATCTAGATAAAGGAAAGGTCGAGCTCATTTTAGAGCTGCTGAAGAAATCATTGAGCGAAGCGGGCTTCAGCAAGGTCACAGCGGCTATGAAGACGAACAAGTTCCTTGGAGAAATCTGTGGCAAAGAAGCGATTTTGAACGAAAATAGTTATTGGTATGATGAGATTCAATTTCGAATTCCCACCATTTTGCTAACAAACTTATGACGCAGGTTTACACTATTTGGCAAGCCGTCTGAAACTGAGTCTTGGGGTTACATGTTCTTCGGGCACCACCTCGGCTTGAATGTATTCGTCAATCGGCAGCAGATGGTCATTGGACCAGTATTCCTCGGTGCTGAGCCTTGTGCGAGTGGCAAATAATCTATGCAACGTAACATCACGTAGCTGACGGTGTTTGAGATAATCGACACTGGCCCTGACAAAGGCATAGAGCTTTGTGAGAAAGAGGGCCAGTTAGGATTGTATCTCATGCAATCTCTGTCTCCTGAATTGCAACAAAAGGCACAAATCTATTCCCATATGCATGATCAAGCTATGCCCGAGGGTCGCTGGAACCCAGCAGATGAAGTACGTGGTGTTGCGGATGATTGTTCCTCTTGAGAGTATTGTCAGCTAACGCAGGCACTTAGAGACACATGGCTGGAGCTTTCCAGGACAACCGAGTGATTGCATACGAAGGTATCCTCGCCACGGACATGACGGCGGAGCAGCAGACGGTGCTCATTTCCATCATCTCTGCGTTTCTGGCGCTCTTGCCCCCCAAACCGCTCCAGTTCCGACTAAACCAAATCGTCGGATTCTTTTCAGAGACCTATTTTTCATGGATTGGTGGCTTTGGCCCAGCCGACGCATTCTACTACCGCATTCAGAGCCCAGTGGCGCTCTTTGAGTTTGACCACCACTCTGGTGTGTTTCTTACAAATGATGAGCCTGCAAAGTATCACATCCACACAATACAGAGATTACCCAATGGCAATGATTACGGAAGAGAACTTAGAAAGCTTGCCTTGGTCCGGGAGACCAACTAGCATGCGTCTTTGGACCCCAATGGCATGATGGGTATGGCGGCCAACAGGGGCCTGCTGCAAAGAAATATCACGGCTTGTATTCGAGCAGGACGGGCGTCGTGCTCTTTCAGAATTTTAGGTGTTTGTCTTGTCCTGAATTTTGGGGGCTACAGCTCAGTTACTACTACATCAATTCATTCTCCTCTGCCCAATTCTTTGAAGACCACGCCCAATACGTACGATCGCACGGGCCGGCTTATTTTGTGTCAATTGCTGCCCTGCTTCTCCTCTGAATTCGTTTTTGAAACAGACATCTCGATCTCAGCAGATCCGACAAGGGTTTTCAATGCATCATGGGGAGATGGCATTGACGCAGGCTGGCTGAATGGGGGGACATGCTGATCTTCAGGCTAGCTCAATGACTAAAGAACCTCGGGTACTACAGCATCTCCCAATCCCGCTCTTATGACTAGTCTTCATAAAGGGATAGTAACTCTGGTATAATATGTACCCCGCACAAGCTTAGTTTCGGGAAGAAAATCCGGGGTCTCGGAGATTTGTCGAAACCCCGGTGACCGATGCAAAGGAGTACTCTCTATATAATTATAAACCCCGCGGCTCGCTGAATCCCCGGAAGAGCCTTCACCTTGCAGCTGGATCTTCACGTTCCGTGGAACTCTTGCCAACTCCGGTGTTATCATGACCAACGCCTCGACTCCCCCAACCACCATTCGGACGCCGCGTGCGAAGCGAGTCTCTAGAGCGTGTGATTACTGTCGCAAGAAACGAGTAAGCTCTTACCCAGTTCCACTACGGTGCAGCCCAATGGTCTTATCTGGCAACAGCTGAAATGTACACCAAACCAGCGTCCCTGCTTGAACTGCCAACTGTATCACGCCGAATGCACCTCAAATGACCGAAGACGGCGCCCTGCCACCCAGATTGCCCGAAGAGGCGATGAATCATTCCATGATGCTGAGATTGAGTCTCCTTCTGCTCCTGCCATCCATGTCAGCACTTCAGCACTCATTCCATCACCCTCGAGCGTAGGACTTTCTCTTCCCTCAACTGTTGACGTGGACGGTACCTTTAACACCAATTTGCCGCCGCCGCCATGGTCCCAAGAAGAGGCTTTTGAGGATCATAGTAATACTAATGACTTTGGTAATGCGCTTCTTCAGCTTGGAATTGGTGTTTCCTCAAACTTCTGGGAGCCAGACCAGGGGATGCTCGGCGACATACCTGACGTCGATCCAAGCCTCATGGACGCGTCAGCAGCAAATGCGCCTCCAACCCCCCGAATCACGTTAAGCAGTGCTCAAAATGCATTTCTTCCCTTCCAAGACTCTCCTTCCCTTGCGTCCCAATCCACCGTAAGTTCGGCCAATGGCAAGGTGTCGAGCATTGAGACTCTGCGTGGAAGGGATCCGAACGACGCGAGTTTGCAAGGTTCTGTGCCTCCAGGCGTCTTCATTCGCAAGAATGAAACTGTGGCTAATTACATTGGTGTGTATTTGATCCTTTATCTACCAATGCCGACCGTTGCTTACAATCCATTAGGCACGACTTCGATTGGCGCAACTCTGGCCTTGTGCCTAAAGGATGCCCTTGAGAGCCAACAGATTCCTCTAAGTCCTCGTTCTCTCGGCTTCCTCATAGAAGCAGGCCCCTTTGTGGACGAGGTTGGCCTGTCTTCCATGTTTAATCTCCCAACACAGGATCTCTCTCCCCAAGATGCAGCGCTGCGGAGTATAGACGGTATTAGCACACGTGCCCTTTGCATTTTGAGAATGAGTAGACTGATGATCGTGTAGCATATTTCCAGAACCTCAATATGTTCTATCCTATTCTAGACGAGGATTCCTTCAGAGCAAGGTTTCTAATGTTTTATACATCTGATCGTTCACAGCTTGATTTCGTCGACTACTGTATATTTTACCTTGTAGTGTCAATAGGGGCGTTAAGTGACAAGCACACCTCCGAAAATGCCGTCGGTATTGATCAACTTGCCGCATCGACATATCAGCTAGCTTGGTCCATGATGCACGACTCGATTTCATCACCTTGCGAGATCTCGATACAAATTCTTCTACTGCATGTAAGTGTTTACCAGTCCGTAAGCCGACCATTCTAATTCTTCAGGTTGTGCGCCATCTTTACTTTGGGAGGTCAGGAATAGCTTGGGTCTTCTGTGGGCTCGCTTTACGCACTGCCCAATCTCTAGGGCTGCATCGAGAAATCCCCCAGGAAATGGATTTACCTGAACCCCAGCTGGAACTTCGTTCTCGGCTTTGGTGGATGGTGTTCGGCTTCGATGCGTAGGCTTTTCGATTGTGTACGCGATAGACTGATACTAATACTCCAATAGAAGTCTCTCGTTATCCCAAGGGCGACCATGCGGAATTATGAACGCTGCATTCGATAAAGAGATAGTCCATCAAGATGTAGCCATGGACGTCGACAGCTCGTTATTTCCCAGCTTTCCACAGATCTACTTTTGGACGCACCAATTCAACAAGGTACAGAACAGATTTTGCACCTTGATGCACTTGAAGAATACAGCTGCTGCTAGACTTGAATCCATCGTCAAGGTGGATCAAGACCTTGCGGCCTGGAGGGATGCATTGCCTCCCGTTTGCCGTCCAAATAACATGATATTGGTGTCACCTGACAAATATTCAAATGTGTTATTGATGCACTTGGAATATTTTAATTTACTACGCGCCATTCACTGGGCGGTTATAACTTTGAAGTCGAGTCATAACGGTATCTCAGAAAGACTTGACTACCGCCTCCGAGCCAGCGAGGCTTTATGTGTTGAAGCCGCGCGATCATTCATTAAATGTTTGAATGAGTAAGTCATCAATCCAATTTCAATGTAATTTAATACCTAACTAACACCACATCAGTAGCTTGGAAAATCCGAAAGTGAGGAAAGTATTTGTCATTAGGTAGGCCCCCTCGTCATTTAATTTGCGTGTGGCTCCCTGACATGCCCCAGTTTCCAAACCAACAATTATATGGTGGCCATCAGTACTCTATATCGCTACATATTGAGAAATCCGTCCAAGATCTCAACACGGGCCGATCTCGAACACTTGCGTGCAGGGAAAATTCACTTGGATCGTGATGCACATAAGAATTTCGCCATTCCGGGGGCGAAGGCCCTGTTTAAGAATATGCTCTCTTCTGCTCAGGATCTGGTCTGGAAAGGCAATCCTTCTCCTGCAGGGGGTGAATAGCAATGTGTACGTTGGGGCTCAAAATAATCGTTATTTTAGAAGAGTGCTTACAAATAAGGGTTGGCAGTAGGACGGTTTCAATTTAGATCTCAGTCTATCATGTTAACGATACGTTTTCAGTAATCCGATCTCACCTTTGATACTCCAGGCCTTATGCTATTTATCTTCACACCTCACTAATACACAGTCAAAATGTACGTAAACGCACGCTCATCGCGCCGACCCATTTAGTTGTTCTTTATTCGCTTTCTTTCATCCTCTCGCCGCTTTTTCATGACGGTGATGAACACCTTTCTCTTCACAATCCCGGGCATCATGTCAGCCATAACTTGCTGCATCGCGTGAGGGAAATATCCCACCACCACGGCCCTCCCACAGCCCACTCTCGCCAGTGCCGCCCTTGCAAATGTCCTCGTATCCGGATTAAATAGATCTGGCTTCATCTGGATTTTACTCGTCCCAGTGACACCTCCCGTCTGTACGCACATGACCTCTACTGCTTGACCCTCGAGAGCCATGTCATGTGCCAATGTCTGACAGAGGATGCGGCCGAAAGCCTTACTCCCGTTGTAGAAGGACATCAGCGGCAACCCGTTGTCTGACATGGAGCCCATGTTGATAACCAAGCTTGGTGCATTGCTCACCAATGTCGGGAGCAATCTTGAGAGCAGCAACGTCGGAAACATGGCATTGAGGTTCACATTATCCATGATCTCTCGCTCGGTGTAGTCAGACACCATGCCGAAACTCGGAAAGGGACCCCCGCCAGCATTGTTTATCAGGACCGTCAGGTTCAGACCTTGCAGCGCCGAAACAATTGTATCCGTTGCACACTGAGACGCGTCGGCAACGATTGTCTTGAAGGAACAATTTGGAAATGCTGCAGCAAGCTCCTCACGGACATTTGCTAGTTTTGCGGCGCTGCGGCCATGCAGAGCCACGTTGAAACCATGAGATGCAAGCTCATAGGCATATGCCTTGCCAATGCCAGCTGAGGAACCGGTGACTAAAGCCCACGCGGGTTTTCCAGCGGTTGTGTGTCGATAGCGGTGCAGCTTGGATGGGCGAAGGTAGATGAAGAAGAAGCTAGCGACTTGAAAAAGCGCACTGCTAACAGCGAGGATCCCGGCGCCGAACAGCAAATTGACGATAATTTCGCGCATCTTCTGGGTCGCGATGGAGAAATCGATGAGACGATGATTTGCAACTCCTTGTCAGTTACTAATAAATAAAATTGGTGCTCTTCCGGCATGGAGTATTAATGTTCCTGCAATAATTATTAGCGCTGACTCTTGGCTGAGCCACATCCACTCAATCGGGCGACAAATCTCATCATTTTTCAACACTCACCAAGCTACGACGTTGAACAGACTCAGTCCTACCACAACTATGAATACGATGATGGCATCTTCTCAGCCTATATCCCCTCATGTTCCCTTTCTTCTCCTCACCTCCCGCCTCGTCATCGTGCCCACACCTACCGCCATCTCTCTTCCGTCATATTGCGCTCTTTACGCCAGCCTACATGCAAATGCACTATTTTGCAAGACTGCCTTTGGTCATCATCTTCCTCCGATGAACTGGAGCAAAGAAAAGACTCATGAGATGGTCTTGAAAGACGTTGTTCATCGTTGGGGAAAGAGAGGAATGGGTGATTTTGCGGTTGGTCTCCGTGCATCGATGGACAATGGCGGGCTTGACAAGGGAAGATCATTGGGGTCACCGCAGGAGTTGCGAATTTTTGAAGGAGACGATTATAATCAGCTAGTTCAGTCCGATGAACAGACTCTAGATCCTATCACATGGATTGGCTACGCGGGGGTACGCGACGCCACCACGACGTCCATGCCGGCTCGGACAGAAGACGATCCACCATTGCCCCCATGGCTGGAAATGATTGAGCTTCGCTACGGTTTAAGCCAGGATTATTGGGGACAAGGCCTAGCCAAGGAAGCCGCAGAAGCAGTTATGCAGTGGGCCACCACTGAAAGAGGTGCGACGAGGTTCATCGCCGAGACGGAGAGAGAGAATAGCCAGAGCGGAAGGGTGTTGGAAAAGATGGGATTTTCGCCAAGTGGGACAAATTATTGGAAGGAACCCAGCGAGCTGGAGTGGGCGAAAACTGTCTGAAGGATGTGTGTTTTATACATAGAAAAGCAATTATTTGGACCGCGCACTTTACCGTGTCTGATTGATGTGTGAACTTTGTATTGATTAGTTCTTAGGATAATGGAAGCTCTTCCTGTCATAGATTGGCGCCGATGTTGGGCAGTATGCTGTTCAATCAGCACCGCAACCTAGCTGTTGTCACAAGACCAGTTCAATATATCAGGGAGTAAATAATTACAAAAAGAATTACATCACACTATCGTTCTTCATTTTTGACCATCAGTAGACCCTGGTCGAGTTCTTGAAGCGTCGCGAGGTCCTGCAGCCCCCAAACCGTACGATTAGATGACGCCTGAGACGCTGGTCCAGCCCAGCCAACCAACGCTGGCGACGTGTCTCAGCCATCCATGGATCGGGCCCCCTAATTCACAGTGATTTTCACTGTCTTGCTCACTATTTCGCATTGGTGACCGGCTCTGAAATCCTTGTCTTCGAGAACTGGGTATTGATCAAGGTCATCCAGCTTGTATCGCCAATCTAACATCCATTTTTAGGCTTATCTTTGTTGTTTTCGCTCACACTACCGCCCTCACGGCACCATGCCTCGCACCATCAGCGAGTTGGTGAGCTGCTCAGCTCAGCCCATTTCTATAGACACTTGAAAAAGAACTGCTCTGGAATACAGTATTAAAATAAAGTCAGTCTAGTTATTGCTCTCTAAATCTATAGTTCTATTCTATCCCTCCCTTAGCTGCTCTCAATTCTATCATCTAATTCCGCCGCAGCAGCAGCCCTTGCGGCGTACTTGCACTTCTTCCGTATCGCCGGTCCGTGTTTCCATAAAACAAACGGCACCGGGATACATGCAAGAGCAAGAAACGCAGGGAGCGAGCTCGCCCATTGCGTCCCGAGCTTATCGTACATTTGCTTCGTGAACATGGGGAATGCGGCTCCGAATAGCGACCGCAGCACGGTGTTGGCGGCGAGTGCAGACGCCGCGTAGATGGTGTAGGCGTCGATGAGATAGCTGAAGACGGCGGTGAAAATAAGTGTCAAGCCGAATCCAAACGGCACGCCAGCTGCGACGGGAGACATCCAGTGTACGGAGCGGTATGTTGTCCTGTTGGTAGATGAAGTTAGACGGCATGCCAATCATTGTCAGTGTTGAGACTCACCAGGCAAACCAAAACATTCCAGCCGGGAGCGAGATGCTGCCAATCATGCCTCCCGGCAAACGCAACTCGGGCACGAGCGCACCGTCGGGAACCTCGGCCGACTTCTTGATATACCAGCGATTTATCAATGCGACAGTAGGTACGGCGGCGAACATGCCCACGGCAATGCCCAGAAATGCCAGGCCTCCCTTGCCAGGAGTCCAGCCCCTCTCGAGCTGGAACACGACCGGGTACGCTCCAAAGAGCATGTACAACGTGCCGTAGAGGATGGCGGTGTAGATCGACAGGATGAGGACGATGGGCTCGGCGAAGAGCAGGGCGAAGGGCCGAATGAGGGCGGTTCTGAGGATCTTGGATGCCGATGTGTTCGCGTCTTGCACTTCAAGTTCGGTCTTGAAGACCTTGCCCGTCTCGGTTGAAAGAACTCGGCTGCGTTTCCTGAGAATCACAGGGGCGTAGGTTTCGGGGACCAAGGAGACGCCTAGCATCCAAGAAAAGCCCGCGAGAATGGCCATCAAGCCCATAACCTACCGATCAGTCAGCTACAAAGTCCAAACTCCACATATAATCTGAAAACTAACCCATCTCCACCCCTCATCCATGCCGAGATAGCCTCCAATAAAAGGGCCCATTGTAGGTCCCATAGCCGGAGCAAGCGAGAAGACGCCCATGGCAATGCTGCGCTCATTGGCCTCGAACACGTCCGAGATGACACCTCCGGCGTTTGTAAGTGGCGACGAGCCGAACGCGCCCGCGAAGAATCGCAGAACCAAGAGAGTCGCGACATTTCGGTCTGCTGTGCATGCAGCGCTGAACACGGCATAGGCGCCGTAGCTGACGCAGAAGACAATTTGTCGGCCATATATCTCGGAAAGCGGTGCCCAAATGAGAGGGCCAAGGGCAAAGCCCAAAACGTATAATGAGACGCCTCCGGTGATCAACGTCTGGCTGGCTTCAAAGTGTATCATCAGTTCCGTCATAGTTCCTAGTTCGATTATTAGCCGCCATTCATCAGTGATACTCCCCAGACTTACCTGTGTATGCGCTCGAACTGAAAGCAACAACAAAACACGTCATGGCCGAAACCATGGTTATCATCCAACGCAGCCATTTCGGCCAATTATGAGGATTTCCCGTATCGTCCGGTATCCAAGCTACAATGAAGGGATCCTCGGGAGTTCCCTTGCCACGGTACTGATGGTGCAAAACAGAGTCGTCGACGCGGGCCTGGTCGAGCAGGAGATTCAAGACAGACCGACGACTTGGACAGGGGCCGAGCGTTTCGTCGTCGCTCATGACTCCTTGGGTTCCATGAATCATGGGCTGATGCGGATGGGGGGGTTGCGTTCCAGGGGTTAAGCAATCTACGACTCGGGGTCGGTGAGGATCTAGATGAACCAGCGACTTGGTTTCTTGGCCACAGGAGAATCTACGCATTCGGTCGACGGCGTACATATATATCATCTAAACCCTTGTCTGGAGTGATTTACTCGGAATCGCCGGCCAGCTGGGCTCGGGTTGAAGGCCCGACAAATGACGTGACGCCCACTTCTCGACTGACTCTTCCCCTGTGATGGATTCTGCTTTATCGTCGCCGGGGACAGACTCGTCACGATGGTGCCACCTGCCAGATCCATCGTGGCCGTCACCTGACGACGCGGTGAAGTGCCGAGGAACCAAGAGCTGGCGACAGGGGTTGTCGCCAAGAGTGTCCGTGATGCGGCTCAACTGGCCAAGCATGTGAAATACAGGGCCATGGCGATTTCCGCGTCCATCCTGGCTTAGTCTTGGGCTTGTCGTGGTCGTGCTGTGATCTGGCCGACCCGCGCTATCCGAAAAGTCCGATCGACCTAGGATTGCCACCAAAATGCCGTGATCTGATTGCCTCCCAAGTGGGTACAGCGCGAGACTTTTACTTGCTAATATTAGAATATTAGGGCCATCACATGCACCATTCAGCTGTCAAAATGATCGGGCGCTGTCCTTATCATTAAACTACCACTCGCCAGGACGAGCCAGGACGAACCATGACGCATGTGCATCTAGACGATATGCCTCTTTGCAGGCATTTAATATCTACCTATGCTTCTGAGATTCCCACATGAAGCGGCTGGTCAATTCACAAATGCCACCTCCTGAATGCCAGCGCGGGTGACTTCCCATATCGTCCAAGCCATATCACAAGCCTCCCAAAATATAGCGACCTGGTCTGGGCTGCAACCCTGAATCCTTCTCAATCGCGCTATACTAAACCCCTATAATTAAGCATATTCTAATTCATCCATGCTAATTTCCTTCCGTCTTGTGTGTGAGCAAGCACATGGCACTCGTCGGTCGTGAAGCGGATCTCTATAATCTCGGCAAAGACAGCCTCGGTCATCACACACCTAAAAGAAAATTACCATGTCTTGATACGCACGGCCAAATTGCTCAGATATTTCATTTAAGCAAAGTGGTGCGCTTTACTACGTACTCCGTAGAGGGAGACGGAATAATAAAGCATTTTTGGTGTGCAGGGTAGGAGAGGGGGCGCAGTACAGAGGAAGCCTCTGATTTTCACGGACAATTGAGGCGCAGCAGTTCTTTCCAGCCTTCAACCATCTCTTACAGCTTAGCCTCAAGCCGTCATTTTACCATAAATTTACCGTGCTTATCTCATCATGGTCTTGTCTGTTTTATTTTCATGCATAAAAGTACGGAGCACCAAATGTCTGATTGGGTATAGGGTAAGCTTACTTGATGGAATTTCTCATCCACCACTTGATCTTATCTCATATCACAGATAAGAAAACAACAACTAGTTGGAATCGTCATTATTGAATCTCATAACCTAGAGAGGGGGCGTATGAAACCCTCGAGTTTGAAATTGGTGACCGCCTGAACCCGGGTACCAAGCCCGCAAGCCTCAACTGATATTGTTACGTAGCTCCTTATAATGGTGATAGCCTCTTGCATTTGACATCATACTTAAGCAGGGAGCTCTGGATCACACGACTGCTTCTTACACCCAGGACAAGGCCCGTGGTTCACACTGTCTTTTCCCATTGGCGAAACCATAAGCACCCGTACTCCGTACACTCCGTACATGGTGGTCATCGTTGGCCTCGCTTATGTTGGCCTGGGACTTAGTGCAAACCCACATTAATCCCAACTGCCGAAAACGCTAAGAATCAAGTGCATATATCCTCAGTCAGGTATGACCACGGGATCTGGGGTACTTGGTGTCATGAGTGTGAATCCAAGAGCTGAACGTCTTTTGTCAATTTCCAACTGCTTTCAATTCAACACCTCTCACGCCACGTGAAGTTCATCCACAACACATGGCCGAACAACGGCATGTAACCCCATTGCAGAGGCGCTCCCATCTGTCGAAATAAGAACACACCAGCTGGCATGAACTAGTTTCTGTCCGAAGGAGGGGAGAAATCATACGATTGCGGTCAGGAAAAAGCTACCATGCATAAGGCTGTAGCCGAAGTAGGCCGCCGGTATTCTATTCGTTGGTAAACGAACTATCGGATGCACCTGCGGCAGAATGGGCGTGAACGGAGTATCCGGGAAGGCAGTGCTCGTAGTGAACCAAAAAGGGCAAGGTTTCTCAGATATGCACCAGGCACGGATCGTCGCTGTGAGTCTTACGAGACTTGACGGTGAGCTTACCATGTCTACTGATTATCATGGTCATGTTGGGTAGTAGGGTCAGCAGAATACAACGTGGAAGCAAGCGAGGTCGCAACGACTTCCACACTGAGCAATTCACGGCCAGCACGTTGTACAGGCTCAATCCCCTCAATCCAATCATCATCATCTTGGACAGGAGAGGGGGAACGGAGAACTTTTGCCGCTGCGGACCATCGGCATGGCTGACCGTAGCGACTGCCACAAGGCCGGGCTGAAATGCTCCCGTAGCCTGATATCCAAGCCCAGGTCGGCGAATGGATCATGTGTCGCCTCATCCAGCCTCCCCTTGTTACGCCGGGCTCCACGAGGCGTCAATAATTCGGGGATTAGATGCAGGCGCGTGCTGTCCGACACTTGGGACGAGGACATTGGATTAGCTGAAAGACTTTAGTCCCAGCAGAGCGTGATTCTGAATCAAAACGTCACTGGAAAAAGCAGCCATCGGCCGCCCAGACAGCTGGCAAGGCGTCCAATCGGATGTCAACACAGGGCAAGCAAGCAAGCCTGCCATGGCATGAAGTCGAGGCTCGCCAGTGAATCCTGACTAGGCCAGCCGGCTTTGCGAGATCCGGGCCCCATTCCCCCAGCGGCTTGGCGAGAATAATCCATTGCAGCTCCGTCCATAAGGCTGAGTTTAACGGTACACGGGCTGAAAGTTTATTAAAAGGTTGTTTGATAACTCTGGCTACCCGAGGTGGCACTAGAGGGGGCAGTGTAGGTGGACGCATCATGGGATGGGGTTGGGGCAACTCAGAGTGGACGACGGAGAGGAGACGTGACGAGAGTGAATAGGAACTGGACGACCGGGAAGCGGAAGCGGATGCAAAAAAGAGAGAGAATAAGAAATTCTCACCTGCATGAATGAATGCACCCCGTGTGGTCCATCACTCGCCGGCGTGGGATCAACCAGGGCCTGGCCAGCTTTTGTTTCTTTTTGTTTCGTTTGCGTCTTTCCCCCTTCGCGTGTAGCCCGCTTTTGATCAGCGCACGCAGTCAGAACACCTGCATTAGCGTCTGGAACGGACGGAATACGGATCGATGACTTGTACAAGATCAGCCCGAGCGGGAGAATATTGGCTGGGCGATGTGTTGGTCCAACGTCACAATTACCAAATCCAATCGTCGATTGGAAATGGCCATTCCGTTTCCGCCGCGTTGCACACGCTGCTGGACTCGTCCCCCGTGGGCCACCGATCGGGGTAAGGCCTGTACTCTATTACTCTATTATTGTGCGGCGCTCCTCGTACCGCGGGTTGCACAGCGTGGGAAAGACGCACCGTTGTAAACCCAAGTGCCGCATGGAAACGGCTGGTTGGTAAGTTGGAGGAGTGGAAGAGTGGAAGAGTGGAAGAGTGGAAGAGAAGCCATGCAGCCTCCGTCTTAGTGGCACCCAACTGCCATTTCCTGGTGTCATACCCACCCTCACCTTGGACGCCACATCTAATTTTAGGCGGCACACCCATTTTTTCCCATCTTGCTGTCCTCGTTTTCCTTCTTTCATGATCCTTGTTCTGCTCTAAGTTACCCCTCACTTCGTCCAGCTGCTGCTTCTCGCGGAGCAGCAAGCAGCGAAGGCCCTCCCTGCATCGCGGCAGATGCTGTCTCACCCCAACCATCGAATAGGACAGTAGGGCTGGCCCTCAGCTCCAGGTCAGCTCGTGCGGCGGTGGAGCGAACTGCCAGCGCAGCGCCTGCTTCAGGGGCAGTTGAGGCTTGACGGGTACGAGCCGAATGGGCTGGACGTGTGTATGCTTAGTTTTTTTTGGGGGAGCTCTGCCCAGCTCTACTCGCTAGCTCTGTTTGCTCTGCCAGCTCTGTTAGCTCTGTTCCAGTTCTCGTCGTTGTCTCTTGTGTCTCGGCCAATTCTCGCGGCTGTCTCAGCGGCGGCACAACATCCAAAGCCGAAGTCCCAAAATGGCCGCACCCAAATACGAGTGCCTGCAGACCGATGATGGCTCCCTGACGGCACCACGACCCCGCTTGACCAGGTTTCTCCCGCTTGACCAGGTCCCGGGCGATCGGCCTTCGGATGTCGGTGCGGCCGGAACGAGGTCCTCGCGGCAACGGGCAAAAGGTGTGGTTACATTCAGGCCGGCTGTGCCTAACGCTTAATTATGTCTCCGCATTGGGGAACCTGGAAACTGGTCATGATCGAATCTGCTGCTTGTGGTCTATTGTCACGGCTGGCTCGGCCACTTTTGGTCGCTCTAAGTCACTTTCTGGCTGGTCCAAGTCGCTTTGAAACCTGCTGTCTCTGCTGCATGCCCCTTTAATCCATCACAGGACACCGCCAGACGAGCCCAAAGCGCCGTCGACTCTCTTTTCAATACGCGCCCAACAATCTCGCTCGTCCTTACAGCCCAAGCGCCCGGATCGTCGCTTCGCTCAGCTCGCCTAAAGCCGATCCGGCCTGGACCATCTGGATGCAGCTTCCGCCTGGCCAATCGACGCGCCACAGGGCCTTTTTACCCCAGAATGTGGCTTCACTATTGTCTGCCGCCTCTCTGCCGCTTGTCTGCCGCGTCTCGCCCTGTCTCTCCCTGATTTTAACATGTCTAGCCAGGGCCCAAGCTGCTCCTTAGCTACTCTTGGCTACTCCTAGCAGGCCGGTGACCCGAGTGGCGCCGCCTCAACGGATCAAGGCACCGGGATGCAACATCAATCGACCATTGGCTGCTAAAATCAGAGCCAGCAAATAACCTACGAGCTCGATGAGGAGGCGTTTAGCCTTTGATGACCGCAGCTCGTATTCCCAGGTGGCAGCCACCAAGTATGCTTCCGCTTTTCAAAGGAGCGCCACCAGCAAATGATCGTTGGCCAACATTGTCATGGTCGGGTGAATACATCGTCGAGGCGTTTAATACACCTAAAAATATGAGCTAATGGTCTATTTCCGAGCAATCAAAAGCCGCCGCGAGCTGAATATACCCTTGTTCCGGGCGCCTGCACGAGCCGACGGCCTGCATTCAAAGAGCAAACTGGTACAACCGAGTACAATTGCTTCTGTTCAGCTAGCTTCGTATTCACGAGCTGTGCTTGTTGGGTCTAGACGGGAGTCCAGGTCAGCTTCCAAATATGGGGTGCAACTATCAAGCCTCATCGCTGGACATGGCAATGGACCGTCAGAGGGAGAGACATGAGTGACCCTCGGGCGTCTAGACTTAGATTATCCTACTCTCTGAGCCTCTCTGAACGACTATATAACCTCGACTCTTCGCCTCCTCTATCCGGTTTTCTAAATCATCCTCACCTCAACAACAAAGCCTCCTCTCAGTCTTTCATCACCGACCGTCTCGCCGAGACTACCTTCGCTCTTCTCCTCTCTCTTTGCTACACCTCCCACAATCTTTCACTCCCCGGTGTCGAGACCCATCTCTCGCCCATCATGCTTCTCAAGCAACTCCTCCTGAGTGCTCTGCTCACTCTGAGCTCAGTCAGCGCTCTTCCCAGCCCTGACATTGACAACGCCGCTGTCGAGGCCCGCGATGTCGATGGCGAGCTCGACGCCCGCGGTGCCTACGAGCCCCCCAAGTGTGGCTACGATGCCGACTGGAAGTACGGCAAGTGCGTCTGCAAGAAGTCCGCCATGAGCTACGACGAAGACTCCAAGTCGTGCTCTTGCCCCTCCGGCACCACCTGGAACCCCAAGACCTACAAGTGCGAGACCAACTGCGGTTATGATGCCGAGTACAAGTACGGCAAGTGTGTCTGCAAGAAGTCCGACATGGACTACGACTCGGACACCAAGAAGTGCTCTTGCCCCGACGGCGAGTACTGGAACGACAAGACCAGCAAGTGTGAGCATGACTGCGGCAAGGATGCCGACTGGAAGTACGGCAAGTGCGTCTGCCGCTCCTCCGGTATGACTTACGAGGAGTATGGCAAGAAGTGTGTCTGCCCCAAGGGTCAGATCTACTCTTACGGCAAGTGTACCTACGACTGCGGCAAGGATGCTTCCTACGACTGGAAGCAGAAGGCCTGTGTCTGCAACAAGAAGACCATGGTCTACGACTCCAAGTACAAGTCCTGCTCCTGCCCCAAGGGACAGACCTGGACCGGCTACAAGTGCGAGTATGACTGCGGCAAGGATGCCTCTTACAAGTACGGCAAGTGTGTCTGCAACTCCAAGGGCATGATCTTCGAGCAGTACGGCAAGACCTGCGCCTGCCCCAAGGGTCAGATCTACGATGGCAAGAAATGCACCTACGACTGCGGCAAGGATGGCCACTACGACTGGGACCAGAAGGCTTGCGTCTGCAACAAGAAGGGCATGCTCTACGACAACAAGTACAAGTCCTGCTCTTGCCCCAGTGGCCAGAAGTGGACCGGTTACAAGTGCGAGTACGTCTGCGGCAAGGATGCTACCTACAAGTACGGCAAGTGCGTCTGCAACAAGAAGGACATGCTCTACGACGAGAAGTACCAGTCTTGCTCGTGCCCCAAGGGCGAGAAGTGGACCGGCTACAAGTGCGAGGTAGACTGCGGCAAGGACGCCGATTACAAGTACGGCAAGTGCGTCTGCAAGAAGGCCACGATGGTCTACGATGCCAAGTACCAGTCCTGCTCTTGCGCCAAGGGATACAAGTGGACTGGCTACAAGTGCGAGTACGACTGCGGTAAGGACGCCTCGTACAAGTACGGCAAGTGCGTCTGCAACAACAAGGGCCAGGTCTTCGAGGAGTACGGCAAGAAGTGCGTCTGCCCCAAGGGCCAGAAGTGGACCGGCTACAAGTGCGAGACCGACTGTGGCAAGGACGCCTCATACAAGTACGGCAAGTGCGTCTGCAAGAAGGACGGCATGTGGTACGACGACTACGCCAAGAAGTGTGCCTGCAAGGGCGGCAAGGTCTGGGACGAGTACAAGCAGGTGTGCGGCTGCCCCAAGGGACAGAAGTGGGACGTGTACTCCAACAAGTGCAAGTCCAGCTACTAAAAAGGGAAAACGAATGAACGGGATCATGCATCACGATGATTGATGGGTGCTGGATTCAGCAGCGGGTTCTTCTCTTCTTCACACTCCGCCGGCGCCCCAGCTTTTTTTGGGACGCCGCGGCCGACGATCCTTCACGCGAAGTTTTACATAATGTTTTTTAAGCTTATTTAGCTTGCCTATAGGATATATAGTACAGCAGGATAGGGCCTCCTCCCTTTATGAATATTTTAAGTTCTGACGCAGAATCGATGCACCATAATGCGACTCTTGATATGACTCTTGCTTATTTGCTGATATCCTGTCGGTCGCCAAACCGTTTTAGCACTGTCAAAGGGATTATCCTAGACAAGGCGGTGCGTAAGCCAAACACGCAGAAATTGAACACTCTCTCTCTGGGATTTCTTAGTGGTTTATTAAACGGTGAAGAGATTGGATGCTTTCGCCTTGACTCTGGTACATAGGACAGATGAGCAATACTCTTTTTGTAGGAAAGCAGGCGGAAATAGATGCGCCGTCAATGATATTCTCAATACAACTTTGTCTCATTCACTCATATCCCTCCTCAGTTGGCAAAAGTTGCCTTATCACTGTCAACCGGATTCACCTTGACGAGGGAGGCAGTGCTTGAGCTCAACGCAGAAATTAGATACTTTCTCTGTAGTCCCACAGTGGCTACTATTCTCCGTCGTATCGCCTGACAGGGCGGTGCTCAATCTCAACGGCGCAGCGATTGGATGCTCTCTCTCTGCCTTCTCTCAATGGCTCACACTCTCCATCGGGAGGGCGGTGCTCAAGCTAAACGGCGCATCAAACGTCATCAATTTCACAGTATTTTGTCCCCTTTGCAATTTTTCGTACTGGCCCCAGTTTCATTTGCTAGTTTGCGCGGCGGCTGTGTAAGAAAATGCGATGGCACGCACAATCACCCTTGATGTTGCGTCTCGTACTGCGGGCCTTCTCATTCGCTGCCTCTTTGAGATCCGCCCCCGCTCAGCCCCCCTGGCGTTGTTATGTGATTGAGGCCTCGGACTAGATTCAACTGAAGACGTTGGGTATTTAAACAATGGCTATTCCATTGCCCATTGCTCAAACAAATCACTACATTCGCATACATCGATTCTCCTTTTATCCCACCTAAACTTGTTCCGAAAACGCTACTCCCTTCACCACCTAGTCACCCACGCAACCATGGCTGAGAAGAAGTTGTATCAATATGACCCGTCCCTCGCGGCCGCCATCATTTTTCTCATTATATTTGCTGCTTCGGCGGTACTCCACACCTGGCAGATTATCCGGACAAAGAACTGGTACTTTATACCGTTTCTTGTGGGCACTCTTGGTTGGTTTCCCCATGGCAGAGAGTTGCAGATGCCTCGACGTGAGAAGCATCGTCGCTAACAGCCCTGCCAGCCGAGGCGATTGGATGTATTGGAAGGGCTATCGGCGCCAAAGAGAGTCCCGATTGGACCAGGGGACCATATGTTATCCAAGCTTTACTGCTCCTGCTTGGACCTACCTTGTTCGCCGCATCCATCTACATGGTCCTCGGCCGTCTGATTGTACTCCTGGAGGCCCAGAAGCATTCATTCATCAGACCGAGCCGGTTGACCAAGTTCTTCGTTCTTGGAGACATCATTTCCATTGCAGCACAAGCACTAGGTCAGTGACTGTGGACGCATTGACTAGTTAGATTCTAGCAGCAACCGTAGCTGACAAGTAGAAACAGGTGGCGCAAAGCTCGCAAACGCAGATACGGCAGATGCAAGAAGCCAGGGAGAAACCATCATCATCGCGGGTCTTGGTGTGCAAATCATCTTTTTCGGCCTCTTCATCATTACCACCGTCCTTTTCCACCGCCGCATCAACGCCGAGCCTACGGAGAAGAGCATGACCCTCACCGTTCCCTGGCGACGACTTCTCACGGTCCTGTACGCCACGAGTATGCTCATCCTGGTCCGATCCGTCTTCCGAGTCATCGAGTACATCATGGGCCGCGACGGCGTGCTCCAATCCAAGGAAGTCTTCATTTACATCTTCGACATCCTGCTCATGTCGGGCGTGGCCATCGTCTTCAACTGGTTCCACCCTTCCAAGATCATGAGTGTCCCAGGCAAGGAACGCATCGACGGCACCGATTCAGAGATGCAGCTGGGAGGCTACGATGCTCCTCGTCGCAAGTAAGCAGATCCGGACGACCCGAGTCTTGGAGGAAAACAACCCGAATTCCGTGCGAGCCCGAATCCCGCCCGTGGGGATGGGCTCACGCGAGCAGTGACATGAATCGGGGGCGTCACTGGGTGGTAATGATTGGCGCGCTTCAGGATGTACTGGTTGGAGTCGATAATGAACAGTTTTTTCGTTTTCGCTTTTCTTTGTATTTTTATCCGCATATAGAAAGCCGACAGCGATTGAATAATTTAGACAAAGTTTCCTACAACAAAATTTCTCGAATTCCGTCTTGGCAACGCAGTGAATGTCCCAGAGTGCTTCGTCGATTCATGCCCCCCTGTACGCTATGGCTCCATGCAATCAAACGCGGTCCAACACTTGCACATCCTGGGTTAAGGCTCTTCTTCACAGGGATTAGCGGCTCCATCACGACGCTGTTTAGCGCGCTCGTCGTACTCAGAGGCATTCAATTGGACAGAGATTAAGCTTACATTGCGGGCCATGGCGAGGGAGGCTTGGGCTGCTGAGCCACCGTCGTCGTCATTGGGAGAGCCCTGTGTCCTGTGTCGGGGTGCTTCTTCTCTCTGGACGTTCGTCTAAATAGAGCTGGATGCTAAATGATTGCAAGATCCGCCCACTATCAGCTCTCCATCTTCGCCCCCATGACTTCTTCCAGAATGACGGCGCCTGATACCCCGGAGTCCACAGGCTCCTCGGGCGCTGTGCCGCCACGCGTACGACGCCCCCATCGCAAGTCCCGAAGAGGGTGCAGGCCGTGTAAAGCGAGCCGGATCAAGGTCAGTTGCAGCAGTGGACGCCCTGGGGATTGCGTAACAGACACTACTTGGCTGGCAGCGTGCTGACTGGACCTGATCTAACGGACAGTGCGATGAGTCCCAACCAGCTTGCTCGAATTGCATCAGGAAGGAGATCAAATGCAACTACTTCGAGACGGTCCGCACTACTACCAGTGGACCCAAGCAACGCATACGAATACCTCCTCTTGAGCGCAGCACTTCTCCCGAAGAAGCTCTGCCGGCCCTCATACTGCAAGGATCATGGGGGCCAAACCTGTCGTCGTCAGATCGCATCTCTACAGCTCTTGTCAACTATTGCCCCTACCCGGCGACGGTTGGCACTCCTCGGGACTCTCTTCTCGACCTTCGCCTCTTTCACCACTATCACACGATGGCGGCTAAATCTTCAGCGGCCCAGAAGCTTTGGTCCATCTGGACCGTCGACATGGCCGTGAATTCGGCCACCGTCATGGATGCCGTTCTTGGCTTTTCGGCATTCCACCTTCGACGTCTTGGCTCCCGCGACTTGGACATTTGTGAAGCGTCTCACAAGTACATGATACGGGCTATTCGCTCTCACAAGGAACAGGTGCAACTCGGCCTGAACGAGTCCAACGCAGCCCCGATGATCGTGTCTTGCGCTCTGATCCTGTTCCATACAACCATGAACCAGGATTTTCTAACCATCAAGTCCGGGCCTCAGCTACCATTACACTGGTTCCACCCGTTCCAGTCTGCCGGCGCCTTCTTCCGCCTCATGTGGCCTTGGCTCCAGGACACCCTCATTGGCCAGAATATCTGGGGGCGGTTTGCACCACTGGACATTCAAACAGAAGAATTTCCTCAGCATAGGTTTGACTTTTTACTGGAGAACATGGAGCCCGAATATTTGCAAGACGAGGACATCATGACGGCCTACCAGGGAGCCGTCTCGCATCTTTCGCTTGTGGTCAGCAATCCGCGGTATCGAAGACTCCTTCAATTCCCGGCAACCGTCACCCCACGGTTCGTCGAGATGCTGGAAGCCGAGGACCCTAGGACGCTCGTCATCGTTGGCTATTTTTTCATGCTGGTCAAGCAAGCCGACGTGCTGTGGTGGGTTGAGGGGGCAGCGGAGCGGGAGTTTGATGCCGTCATGTCGTTTCTGCCTGAAAGCTGGTGGCCGTTGATGGGCTATGCAATCCAAGAGTTCCAATGGAGTCCAAATGGAGCCAAACCGGCGCAGATGGAATCGCCTCCTCACGAAATCTCATGGCCTGTCAACGAAAAGAATTTGCTCGAATACCCAGATTTAGGAGTTTTTACTTCAAGAGCGCGGTAGATAGAATAAAGAGATACGGATTTTGTATTGACCAAAGGCACAGACACTGCATTACATGGCGTTGTTTTCAGTTTCAAGACAGCAACGGAGCCGGACTTCGAATTTGGGCTGAGATGATTATATATCCCGGGTGGTCGATTGTTGAAACCCTCACTGAGGAGTGCTGCAAGACTGGAGAGGAAATTCGGGAAACTGGACTGGCGCAGCAGCTGAAAAGGACAGACTGCAGAGCTGTCCATTTGGGTGACCATTGCGACAGCTCTAGCGGGTAGATGTTCGAATTACTAGAGAGCCTTATCGGACACAGGGAGCGCGTGTTTAAGACCGAGGAATTAGCCAAAGAGTTGACATGTTGTTTTACACTCTACTATCTCCTCCACATAAGAACCCCGAATTGAAAATCATTATTTAAGACCATGTTCTGGTGGGGAGTATTCGTTTCCGGAAGAGAAAACCTCAACATGTGCAATGGCAGTCCGGGCCTGGATAAGGATAGGAACAGGGCCATCTCCGTGATCAGGGTCATAGTCAGGCATATTGGCCCATCTCCCGCTATTCGACTCACTGTCGTTGAGGATTCTCTCCGTCCGTAGTTGATGGGTTTCCTCATCTGCGATACTCTTCTCCTCAAACCTCAAGATCTCCGTGTCCTGAAGAGTCAGCTAGTTTATTCCTTGCAAAATCGCTTGCTTGAAGAATGCAGAGATGGCATCTACCGAATGGGGCTACAGGCAATATGTTTAAAGTGACCGAACTTTAGGGATGTGGTAATGCCTTAGGATTCCCTAATTTTTCTATTGAATTAATTACTGTATAAATTTATTATTGAGATTGGGTAAAGCTAGAAATCAAAGTTATATCCCGAGGCTCTTTGAAATCAACGTGCAGGAGCGAATTGACATACCCTACACCACGATTTAATGGCCTTATCTAAGCATAAAGTCAAGAGTCAGCCAGTGGCGCACGCTTGGCAGCTTTTGGGCTTAGCTGCAGTTTCGCTGGCGGACTCGGCCAGTCTATTTCCGAGCTGAAAACAATAGTTCAGTTGTGGCGTTGGAGCTCTGCAACCATTGATCGAGATGATCCAATATTGGCACGCTGTGAACCAGTCTAGCTCGGTCTATTTGCAGTGTGCCTGCTTCCAAGACCGGCATTGCCGATCTACGGCTTTGTTCAAAAAGCAGTGCATTCCCAAGATAAGCCCAGCAAGACACGGCATGCTCCCTTGCAGCTCCGTGGCGTACGTGGCTAGACATGGACTTTTTGAAGAAAGCAAAGACTCAGGTCAAGGGCGCCGTACAGGATGCTCAGGGGATGTATGGCCAGTATAAACAGCAAAAAAAGCAGCAGCCACAACAGCCACCACAAGGGAGCTATCACCAAGTCACTCAAGGAAGCCATCACCAACCCCCTCAAGGCAATTCTCAGCAAGCGCCACCACCAACACCGGGCTATCCGCAACATCAGCCACTGCAAGGTTACCAGCAGCCAGTGCAAGGATATCAGCAACCACAGCAGGGACACCCACAACCTCATGCGGGATATCAGCAACAGCAGCAGAGCTATGTACCTCAAGGAGGCTATCAACAACCGCCACAGTCGCCTCAGCAGGGCTACCAGCCGAATCACAATAATGGACAACCATCCTACTCCACAGGTAGCTATCAAAACCAATACGGGAGCCATCCCCAGCAACAATACGGTGGCTACCAGCAAACTCCAACATCTCATGCACCTCCACCACCAGCAGCAGCACAGCACCCTCCCCAACAACCACATCAACCTCATCCAAACCAGTCACCAGTCCACCATAATGCACCGCAACCGGCCCCTCTTCCACCGCATCAACCCTTCAACATGAACTCGTTGCATCAGGCACTTCCCGATGCCACTCACCAACCCCCTCCAGCATCCGCAGTATCGTACTCTCAGCCACTCGATCAACTACAACAACCGTCACCGGCGAATCAAATGACACCACCAGTGAACCATGATCGTCGACCAAATTTGCCTTCTGCTGTGTCCTCTCCTCCACCACCACCGGTTCCCGCAAGCGCAGCTACGAATGTCGTGAGAAGCGCTGCTATTCCGCAGCCTACCGATTCGAGCTATCCTACGCCTAGTCATGCTCAGCCGCCATCGGTTTCTTTGCTAGCAGCAGTACAAAAATGCCCTCGGCATGAAGAAGCATCGGTCGACCTGATCCAGTTCTACATCCTTCAAGCTCACGTCCTTCAGCAAGTCCAGCCGGCTTTGGGAGCAGACAGCCTTTCCATGTGCGCTGCGTGCTTTTCAACCTACATTGCTCCATATCCGAATCTTGCGAGTAATTTTCAGCTTCGCAAGAGGACCGAATCACACCCAGATGCACCACAAGCCAGCTTCGAGAAGTTGACTTGCCATTTTGCCTTACCCACTGTGCGACAGATCTTCTACCAGCAGTGTGTACCCAGTGGCACAGTGGTGCCTCTCCTTCAATTCGAACAGTTCGCCGGTACTTTGCCGACCTGCAAAGGGACCCTCGTAGAGCAACCTGTCGAGTACTACGAATCGAACAGAGGCGATGGATTTGGGTGTTGTAAGACATGCTTTGAGTTGTTCATCCGCAGCACCGCGTTCGAGCGAGGCCTGGTACTGAAGAGCCCAGACAGCGGTTGGCTTTGTGACATTGGGGCTCGGGGATACCTCTTTCGCGCGCTGATTGCCGATCTGGAAGATCAACGACCCGACTTTGATCGCTTTTCATCCAAGTCGAAGCAAAGAACCGCTCTTCCGTTCTGCCTGGGGAAGGGAAACCGGATTGTCCCAGAAGGTTCCGACGGCCCTCATTTCACATTTGAACCTGTGGGAGGCAAGTCGGGCGTCTTGTGTCAGGCTTGCTACTGGGACAAAGTTCACGGAACGAGCATGGAGCCTTTTTTCAATGTCTACACCGAAATCGAACTGCAATATTATGATACTGCAACATGCGATTTAGCAGGGATCGTCGAGACATTCGCCATGGAAGCCGCAATTCGAGCCGGAGATGATGAGGTCTGGCGACGTTGCCTCGTCGGGCGTGCGACTCTGCCCGCATGTAAAGGTGTCGAAGGCGTCGAAGAAGAAACACTTGAAGGGCAAGACGAGACAAACAAGTGGTACTGCTTTACCGAGTACCCCTCGATTGAGGTTTGCCCATTCTGCTATTGCGCCACCGTCGAGATCCTTGGAGCAGGCCATCTCTTCTCACCTATAACGAGGCCTCTGCGCCCCGGAGTCCTCCGCATGTGCTTCCTGGCACAAGCTCAAGATCTAGATGCAGACGTGTCAGATGCGAGCAACTTTGAAAACACGCTCGTGTGGCGTGGAACTATGCTACGAAACTGGCTGCATCACGGTTACAGCTGCCATGGCAACTTCTATGGCCTAAAGCATGTGGCAAAGGCCATTGCATCTTGGCCTCCGCCTTGCAATGCTGGTTTGCACGCATTGAAGCCTGTTAATAAGCGGAAGTGGTATGGAAACAAGTTCTATGCCGTGGGCGATGAAAATATGACTGGAATTCGGTTGTGTGAAGAGTGCTTTGAACATTATGTCAAGGACACACTGTTGGAGTCGTTTGTCGGCGAGGACTTGACGGACCAAGTGTACGCATCGCTCCCAGACGGCTGCAGATGCTGTACGCAAACCAGACGAGCAAGAGACGAGCTCAGCTCTGCATGCCAGAAAGGCGACTTCCTCCAGTTTTCAAAGTACTGGGCCGCAAGAACAGACTGTCGAGAACGCCACGAAGCCATGAACGAGCAATGTAACCGGCAGGCAGCAAAGCAGAAACAAGCGTTGGATGTGCTGAATATGCAGAACCAGATGGCCTCCATTCAGCTGATGCAAGGGCTGACAGCCAACACGAATGCAATCATCATGGGCATTGGCGGATCCGTAGCGGAGGCTGCATCCCCTGATTACGGGCAGAGATATTGCAACGCGGCGGTGGGCAACGGATACTTGACGGGAGCTGGTGCGAATGCTGCACAAGCTCGCATTGATGCAGCGGCGACAATGTCAAAGGGAATCAGTGTGGCCGACTTCCACTCTGCAGGTGATACTTGGCAGGACACCCAGCAACTACTCTTGCTGTCTAAGGCCTTGCAAGCGGAGTGGGATGCTATTAAATGAGATTTCTTTGTTCTTTAGGATAGAACCCTGTGATAGATGGAACTAGAATTGTGCATGGCCGAATGCAGGACATACGCACATTTCCCTTAGAGCTCCATGGTGTCAATCGCTTCTTTGGCCTTATCCTTCCAGTCCTCCCTCCACCGAGTCAACGGCGGCCTCCCTCCTACCATGTCGCCTGCAGTCCACAGCATTCGCTTCCTGTCCAGAGCTTCCGTCACGTCGTTGTCAGGGCATATCACCCAGAACTGCCCCTCCTGCATCTTCTTCTCGAGATACTCGACTACCTGGTCTGGCCACCAGGCACCATCTGGCTTCGTCTTGCCTGCGTTGGGCACATTGCCCGTCATTCCTGTGAATGTCCACCCTGGGACGAGCAGATGGACCGACACGCTCTTGTCTCGCAGGTCCCAGCTGAGATGTTCGGCAATTGACTTGACCGCAGCCTTTGAGGCGTTGTATGCCGGATTTCCTGGCGGATTTGTGATGACGATGGAGGCAGCTTTGCCATCGGAAGCAGCTCGCTCAACCAATGGCAAGAAGGCGGCGATGCCATTGACGACGCCCATTATATTGACGTTAAACGTGTCTTGAAATGCGGATGTATCATCCCACGATGCCTTCCGGCCCATGCCGGCATTAAGAGCCAGGAGATTGACTCTGCCTATGTATCTAGTTAGATGCCAGGTCGCGTCGTGGGGAATGCGTAGACTTGCCGTCGAACTTCTCGTCCACCGTCTTCTTGAGAGCTTCCCAGCCCTCCGTCTGCGCGACATCCATCTTGAACGGAGTTACATTTTCGCCCAAGGTTTTGGCGGCGGCTTCGAGGGCATTGTTGTCCCGATCGGCGATTATCACGCGCATGCCGTAGCCCTGGCATTTCTTTGCGAGTGAGAATCCAATCCCCGAAGCTCCGCCAGTGATAATGGCTACTCCGCCTGCGGTGAATTGTGCAGCCATCTTGGTTACTTGGTGTGTCGCTTGGTGTATGAATGGGCTCAATTGGGTGATATTCAATGGATTATCTGATAAAGACAAGATGAGAGATATGACGGTCTGTGAAGTGACGATAGTCAACCGGGACCATCATCGTTTTTAACGCCGCACGCACTGCATCGGAGATAAGCCTTATCTGCGGATGATTGGAGATTGAGGTCATATCTGCTTTCTCCGCACATGCTGATAAATCACAGCCTACAGTACTTCACTTGAGAAGTAGAAAAAATATGGAACAAAACATTTCAATTGCGAATTGGGAGCTATCATTTCACTATAAACATACCCCTAGTAGGCCACGAACGATCTCGGCCCTGTGTTGAGAGCGTTGTCAATGTGCTTTCTGTACTCGACTAGGCCGCCCAGGAAATTGCGCATTTCTGGAAACGGTTAGCAATAAATACACAGTCTATGAGATGGTTTAACTTGGTCAAGATGTTCAACAATATTTTGCGTCAAAATAGAGATCGAGTTACTATCTGCAAGGACTTGCTTAAGCCAGTCCCTGGCGCCATTCATCATATCAGGTAGCGCCTGATCTAGCCAGGCATTGTCCATTTCGTACGTACTCTTGCCTGCTAATAAACCTTTCCCAGGAGGCCGTTGCTTTGCAAAATAGACAAATGTCCGGGAGTGATGTCTGCTACCTTGGCACAGCCAGCCAATCCCATGCATAGCTTAAACTCGTCTAGAAGTAGATCAAGGGCCAACCCCACGCCGTTGGAACCGTCGTACTATGGAGCGCATACATATTAGCATCAAAAACTCTTCATGAAGGCGGCGGAAGGGATATTACTGCCAAGCCCCAAATGGCGATTCTTCCAACAAACACGAAATCTGCACCAAGCGCGATGGCCTTGAAGATATCTGAGCCACGTCGGATACCTCCATCGATAGCAAGACGTATTTTGCCCCTTGCAACTGGTACAACCTCGCGAAGGATGTCTACTGTTGCAGGTGTGGTATCCAACTGTCTACCGCCATGATTGGAGATGATGACTCCGTCCACGCCGTGCTGTATAGCGATGGAAACGTCTTCAGGGGACGTGACTGTGGCTGTTCATCAGTAATGATGGACGAAGGGGGAGTTGTTGGGATTGAGATGACCTCCTTTGACCCAGAGTTCAAGATCAGTCTGACTTCGCAACCATGCAATCGTCTCATCCCAAGTAGCCGCGGTATCTAATGGTTTATGATGAGAATACGGCCATAGTATGAAACTCATCCTGGAACACTCAGATACATACCGAAGGAGAGGTCGGGAATACCGCCACCCAAGCCGCCAGGTTCAGATGAAGTTTGCGAGCTCAGGTTCGGGAATTTCGTGCCTGGTGGCACACTGAAGCCGTTACGCAGGTCTTCTAGGCGTCGACCAAACATGGGAGCGTCGACAGTCAAGACGACTGCTTTGTATCCGGCAGCTGGATGAGTAACCAAGTTAGCTACAATACGGCCTTATGATTTCGGGGAGAGGACATAAAGTGACTGACCTTTTGCTCGTACGAGAAGGTTGGCCGTGATTTGGCGATTCTTGAATGGGCTAACCTGGATCGCGTAAGGTGTCGATCCGTCACTGCTCTGCGCAGAAACATCTTCGAGAGTGTCGTTGGAAAGGGCTGAGAGGATCATGGGCACGTGGCGAGCGGCGCAAGCTTTAGATGTCCCGACCTCGCCGTCGGCGTGTGCAAGTCGATGCATGGCCGACGGAGAGAGTCCGAGTGGGAACGCCGTAGTCGCACCCCAGAGGGTCGTGGCGGTGTCGATGTTGGAGACGTTGCGCAAAACTCTGGGCCGGATCAAGTATCGATCAAATGCAGTCTCGTTTTGTTCAAGTCTATCATGTCCGAGAGGGCAATCTCAGCATTCTGACACGTCGAATATGTCTCGAGGTGCGACTTACGTTATATTGTCCATGGCCCCGCCGTTGTAATAGTCTGGTTTTAATGTCAGCGTTGACGTAATTCATCTTGGATCAGGCATGGCACACCTCGATACATTTGGGACATCTTTTCCGATGCTGCCTTCTTCAGGTCTTGGATGCAGAAGATCTGCGACTTCGGGGTTTCAGCACTAGACATGTTTGCGTGGTTTGCTTTGTGCCAACGACAACGGGTAAATTCGAATCAGGTTATAACAGGTGATGAAGAACTCTTTTCTTGTTGAAAATGAGCCATGCACATATCATCTTCTGGCACTAGCTTTATATGGTGGCTTCCACGACTTTGGGTCTCACGGGAAGGGTACGCTTATACCCCCGGTATCAGACACATTCGGTCGTATGTTTGTCAGACTAAATCGTTCGTCTAATGAGTTCCGAATAATTCGAGCACCTATTCCAAAACTACCGGTCGACACAGACGTCCGACAACGGTGGACCTCCGGGATAGCGGCAAGACGTAGCATCCAAAGGCAGCATGTGCGTGGGGGGCTGAAGCTCCCATGCACTCTCGGAGCTCTCCGCCGTACCTACTCGGAGGGTTTACAAACTGCCGCAAACTAGCTCTGGTCTTCGGATATTTGAGTTATCTCCATCCAATAGTCTACGCTCCGATATTTTGTACATTTCTACCGGCATGTCCGATCAAATCCCGTCAAGGCACCTGATGGATCGACGTTGACGTCTCATGCGCTCACGTCAGGCCCAAATACACCAGACAGCTGTCGACACCGGAGATAACTACTCACATAAACCCCGGTGTTAGGTTCTCAAGGTTCGCGCTCTACCGGGGGCCCCTGTGAAGTTTCCCCTATTATTACCAGGTCAGCTGGGTTATTGCGCACACAGGGGGAAGTAGCCTAACCTGTCAAGAGGAATGTCGTCCAAAAGGTATCCGGAGCGGTTTATATCAGTTTTTGCGAATAAGCATACCAAGTTCCTCGATTCTCTCCCTAATGTAGTAAATAACTGGATACACACCCCGCATTCTGAATCTGATATTCGCGCAATTCCGCAGGGGTTACCAGAAGATATCCCTAACCGCCCAGGATTGGCCAATGCATGCTTATGGCTCATCACATCTCTGAAAGATATATTCCCACGGGGAAAGATATTGCCGCGGAATTTGCGCCCTTCCAAAACGCCGTTTTCCGTCTCAACTCCGGTTCCGGCATTCAATCGATTTCCCGCCCAGCATACTCCCCATCAACGATGGTATCATGTGAATTTCAGGACCAACAGAAGCCCTCGTATAAATCAAATATAAATATAATAGGGTCGTGTCAAGTCGAATATTGACTAGAGTATAATAACACATCTCGTGCCAGTCTGCTGGACAAACAAACCCATGCCGATCCTTCTCGATGCGCACAGCTCCCATCTTGCTTTGTAAGGTTGAAACGCGTGTGCATTAACGAAAGAACTAAGAAACGGATGCTGCATTAGTGATTACACCTGCCTGAGGTGAGCATGGCCACCTCAGGTCGGCAGGGATCCGCAGATTTCGTCCGACTTCAGGATACTGGGATGATTTTGTCACCCGAGAGCTGCTGCGAAGGACTAGAGAGGATTTGTATATTCTTTTGCTGGTAAGTATTCTATGAAATGCACTATGGTGAGCATTTTAGATTTAAGATTTTACACCCAGGTCTTTAGATGTCCTTAATCTGTCGCATTTTAAGCTTCAAAGACCGAACGCCTCTTATGTCGTCATGATTTCCCTCCCGGTCTTCGCCCAGCTGTATTACAGCATTGAGGAGAGATTGGCAGCTTTGACCCCCGAATAACCCCATCTCTCCATCCTTGTTTCCGTCTTTCAACCTTGACGATACTCGATAATGCTCCGGCAGGCCCATCAATTGCTCAACCTGGTGGAGTTGGTGTTCTGTCAGATGCACAAGCAGACTCCCTGACAGTGTCTGATCTGGAGGAATCGGCAGGCCTCCGAGGTAAAGCGTTGGACTGGATGATTGCCCTGTCGCAATCAAAGTTTTTGAACTGTTGGTTAAGAAGTCGAAGACTTTGGAGAAGATGATGTCGTAGATGGAGACGATTTGTATATAGCAGGATAGTGCAACCAGAAGCTGCGTCGTGCGTAGGCGTGGCGTAAACGATGGAGTGTATGAAAACGCCGAAGCTGCGTGTTGGGCAGTTCCTGGCGGTCGGAGCCCAACCAGCAATCTTTCAAGTTTCGTTGATACCTTGGACACTTGGACGAGAGGATGTGGCTCCGAGGTTTCTAGCTCTTCGCCATTGCCCTTGTGAGAGACGGTCAGGCTCAGGGTGCCCTTGACGTCCCACGGTACTGATCTTATGGAGAAGAGCTGCGCACAGAGTTCCGAGTGCAGTTTTGATAACATTAGCTCGATATCGTCTGTCCAGATAGGCAATCCAGGGTCCGTGGGGCCAGCCCCAGGCATGCCATTGAATTGGTACGAGGCCGAGTGGGATGAACTGGCCTCCACTTGATTCTGCGATGGAACAATGATTGGTGAAACACCTCGTTGACTTGTTGATTGAGAGGGCAGGGAAGCGTCAACCAATATGTCGTCATTCGTGATCAAGTCGGAATGCTGTATGCCTATGCTGTGCAGGAAGCTGTCCACAGACATCTCATAGTCCAGCCCGATCATGTCGATATCCGCCTCGTTGCCGTTCCCGCCGGGTGAGGAAATGATGGTTTGTGAGGAGGAGCTATTATCGGTTTGGTCGATCCGGGGTGGTAGTCGCGAAGGTGGGCGACCCGTTGGTCGGGCCGTACTGGTAACACATTTCGCTCCCGACTTTAAGCACCTGAGACATGCTTCTGTAGATCCCTCTTCGTCGCGGTGACACCGCAGCTTCTGGGCACGGCAGCGATCGCATGCAGAGCGCTTCCAAGGAGCTCTGGACGCAAATTTGCCGGGCATCTCGATCAGATGTTATGATGAGGGAATAACAAAGGTCCATGAATTCTACCACCCTGGGAAAACATGAACAGATGTGTCATTAAATCACAAGTCACCGTGGAAAGCAGGTGCGCTTAAATCCATATCTGAAGGAGGGACGTTTGGCACCGCGTCGTACCATCCCACCAATGATGCAGACTAGCGGCACTTCGTGCGATGACGAAATATCGGAGCAAATCAAACAGCTGCCTTGCGTGTTCGAGCGGAGAAGCGAAATCCTTCGACGGGACGCAAGTAGGGATCGTGGCTGACACGCATGCGTAATCTGATCCGTTGTCCCCGAGACCGTCGGCAATTGGCCACCGCGCTGTCACATTTAGTGACGAGTATCCTTGACGACAGTTCTTGATTTCAAACGAAGCTGTTAGAGTTCTTCTGCTTGCATTCTGAGAGGCAGCTCCTGTTGACCTAGGCCTGTGGAACGTGCTAATCCTGCGCCTCAGCCGTACATCTGCACACTAAAATCAGTCAGCATCCTCTCGGGGTACGACGGTAATATACGAAAGCCCGAAAATAGCAACAGCAACGAGGAAAGCCGTGTTGGTTCTGCCAGCTGCCGATGTCTCACCTTCCAAGCTTTCGCCAAGGCCACAGTTCCTCGTTGGACGCCAGCTCAGGACTTATAGTAACCGTAACGCAGATGGTCTCTTGACCCACTGTAACGAGAAGCTCCTATGCAACTGCGGAATAGAGTAGCAAATAGACTATGGTTCTAAAGCAAGTGCTCGGACCGCATACGACCTCAAAGACCAGGCCGATCTCGGAGTGCGTGACTTTCTCCCAGTCAGAGTCACACGCACCCCGTCCTCGGCATGCTATACAGCAAGAGGCCAGAGATCGATCCATCTCCGCGCACTTTCGCAAGTTCCACCGGATGAGTAACTCGCTGCAGAAACGACATACGGCACAAAGGTCCAATTGTCCAGAAAAGGAAGACGAGTGTCGATTTTCGGCTCTCGCTTCGAGCTAAAGTTTGGAATTCGGCATGTGTATGGTCCCCGAGCGGATGGCCGTTTGAATTACAGTAAGAATCACGCCATGAGATGGGTACCCAAATATCCCGCGGCTTGTTTCCGTCCAGTATTGCTAGTCCTGAACCCTGGTTGTGGATCCCTGCATGCCTTTCATTACCCCTGTTCCTGATTTTCACACATGTCACAGTTGCGATGTGGTATCCAGAACCGCTAAATTTACGACCCTGACTGTCTCCCCGGAGAAGCGGATCTGCCGGCGGGGAGCGACATGCCAAAAGGCCAGATCCGATAGTCTCTTCAATGGCACTCCCTCCTCCCCCTCTCGTCCCTCTAATCCCATTCTCCACTTCCATCACCATCAGGGTAGCAAGGGAAAGCTCAAACAGCCCTTTCACAATGAGGCGCTAGATACCTAGTTCCCTACGTGAGCCTAACCATTACGTTATTGTGTGCTGCCGCGTATGCAGGATCTGCGGGCCGTGGCTGCGGCGTGGGCGGCCCGTGGCTGGGCGAGATCGGGCAGGTCGCTAAATAGTTCCGATCCAGTCGGGGACGTACTCTATATACCCCATGTAAGCTTACATGCCTCATTTCTAGGCCTCATTGGGCGATGCCAGCAGGGGAGGAGCCGAGTATCCGAGTCAGCCTGAAATTCTACGAACCCAACATCTGCCAGGGCAACTTTCACGGGCTCACTGAAGCCCTCGGCCTCGGCAAAAGCAAGATCTAAGCCACATATCTCTTAGTAACACCCTCTAGCCAGGGGTCACAAATCTCCTACCGGTACTTGTCAGTCAGGGCCAACACATTATTACCACCAAAATGCTAGGGTCCTGCAAACAGTAGAGGCCGAGAAACTAAAGCAGGGTTGACAGGCAGCAGCGCGACCGTCTGCCGCCGTAGAGATGCTAGCGTAACAGCCGGGCCACGCTTAAAATTGCAAATTTTCAAGGAAACATCTGATCTGGAATTTTTGAACGGTGTTTTGAAAGAGTGTGGTGAAATTGTGCAAAATAGTGTAAGTCATTCTCAAGGCATGGTCGAGATTGAGTTAATTGTACCAAGTCTACCCTAACCGGATCCAATTCTCAGGTGAGCTTGATTGCAGACAGGGGATCCGGAGAAGCCATAAAATCCGCTTTCTGTGTCTTCATATCAGTTGAGAAGCTTAAGTGATCATGGATCCATTTCCATTGTCCATCCTTGTTCTTTCTAGCAATCCCCGTCCTTCGAAATGTGGTATCAAATGAACTACAACAGTGGTGCCTCATGTGTGTTGGATCATAATTGATCAGGCGTATTCCTTGAACAGGGTCGGGACTTCGATTTCCTTGTGGTCCATGTTTTCGTGATTCCAATAGTGCAGCCAGCCGTGGTAGAGTCGATCCATGGCTTCCTGCTCTTCTTCGGCAAGGTAGGGATTATGACACTTTTAAGACGGATGAGTAGGAGTTGATCAAAACAATACGTGCATTTATTACCTTGTTCTCTGGCTTACGCAAGAATTTGAACTGGTTCTTAGCATCGCTGTATTCTGCTTAGTCCTCAAATTTTAGCAATGCACGGCATAATTGCCGTTTGGTACCAACCGCATCCTTGAAAAAACAATTTTGATAGACTTTTGCGTTTGAGTGGTGGTGAAATATCCATATATGAGGTAGGATGTAAACCTGGAGTCATAGAGTAGGCGAGGACGACTGATTGTCTAGAGTAGCGGGTTTTTGCCCCTCGAACAATCACATTTTAGAGTTTTAAATAAAACCACATCATTACGGCGAAAGCATGAAGATGATTCAGATTTAATTAAACAGTACCATGTGACATTTTCGAGTTTTTTACTCTCGTGGAAATGGCCTGTGGATGGCTCCCCTCTGTCAAACTTGATGTTTTCAGCTGTCACTTCACAACAGTCAAGTCTCCAGAAATCCAAGCAATCACTACAGCAATATTATGTGAGGCCTGGGCTCCCTCAGGGATAACCTCTCAAATGGGATGATGAATTTGTTCATCCACTATGTCTTGTACCCTTCATCCCGATGTTTTGTAACCTCAAATGAGAATTTAAGATCAGTATCCCCATTGCTCTAACCAAGTATTAAACCAAGCTGCGGAGACAGGTTTCAAGTCAGCAAAGATGGAGCTCTGCGACAAGCTGTTGTCCATGGCCCAGTTGAGATCCCCGGATCTAGAGCTAATCTGGGAGCTTGTTTCTGACGAAACGTCTTGGTTTTCTTCCCCCGCGAGCATTTGGAAGAAAGACAATAGCTTGAGCCCGGTCTGAGACCTGCTCGCAGTTCCGTGAGTCCCGTTGCCGACATCACGGACGATGGATGATTCGGCATCTCGTAAGGAGTTGATCCACTGCTGGAGTGGCACAATTCGTACTTCTGCCGATAGAGCCGTCTCCAGGCGAGATTTTATGTTCGGGAGCACATCACCCCAGCTGCTTGTCTTAGGGTTGAGGAGATTGTAATACGTTTCCTGGACGCCCGTCGGCAAGTCGAAGCTGACGAGTTGTCCGATAATCTCGGCGAGGAGATCAACTGGAATCCAATCAAGGGTGGTGGCAGAGCCTAGATCAGACGGTAACAAGCGAAGATGAACCGATGCATCAATGATCTATGTTGAATGATTAGAATATGCCCTGGAAAGGAAAGGTGGCCATCACTTACTGCCGGCACCCAATCCCTTCGGGTCCATACGCCATCTTCCCCATGGGTCTTAACGGGGCCTGCGACTTGACCGACTCGTAAAACAGACAGGTTCAGGACACCTGATCGCGCGGCTCTCCCGAGTAAATGCTCAGCTACCAGCTTGGATGCACCATAGCCGTTTATGGGAGCATCAAAGTTGGGTATATAGGCTTCTGGTACAGGGCCCAACAGCTCAGACGGCCAGTTCATGGCAGCGCTGATGGATGATATGAAGTAGAATCGGACCTTGTGCACAGTATTTTGGCATATATCGACAAGGCCTCTGAGGCCGATGAATTGTAGTTCGAATGATGACAGAGGTAGGTTAAAATTCACCTCCCAAGCGTTGTCTGCGTACAGCATTTAGTCGCGGTAGTTACTCTTCTGGGAATGCACAACCAACTCACGAATAATAACGGTTGCTTGATCTTCTATCTCTTGAAGATCCGCTCGGCTCAATCCAAGTGTCTCGGATGAAAGATCATACTGGATGAACTGGGCTTTTCCATTCCAATCTGACGACAGACCCTTGGCCTGGGCCAATTTCGCCTGTCGCTGGGGTGCGTTTTCACTACGGTTGAGGCACCAGACCTTAGCAACTTGGTCATTCCTGCAAAGGGTATCGAGAAGATACGGGCCGATGGTCCCAGTTGTGCCGGTGATCACCACGTACTCCTTCGTTCTCCGGGCGAGCTGGAAAGACTGCGAGTGTTTGGCGAGCATTTGAGATGTGACGCTGGCATTGAGTGCCTTTTCTTGGGGCCCCTGATGAAGCTGGGTCCATAGCACACTGGCCAACTTTGTGATGGAAGGGTTTGTGTAAATCGTACCGACTTCGACCTGCATAAGCTTATGGAATGTAGATTTTAGTAGCCTTGCAAGCCGGGTGACATGAAGCGAGTCGAAACCCCTGGTGAAAACGTCATCATCGTCGTTGAGTTCTCCAATCCCCGACACGGTACGAATCGCCTCTCTGACAGCGGCCCGAATGGCTTCTTGGCTGGTCCCTTTGACATGAAGAGAAGATGTAGCTTCGATAGATTGTTCATAAATGTCCTCGATTTCCTTTGCAAAGAGCTTTTCTGTTTCGTTTCGGGCGAAAGTCCCTTTTGGTGTGCGAGGGAACGGAGTTCGAACGACTTTGACAAAGTCGCGGTGAATCTGGGCAAAGGCAGGAAGAGACTTGTTCACATCCTCGATGGTTGGCCACACATTTTCAGTGATGCTGGAGTCGGACTCGTTGATGTACTTCTCATCCGGATAGAGCAGCGTGGCAGCTTGGAAGCGGCCGCGGCCCGTGATGAAAGCAGTAGAGATCCAAGGATGGCTGATCAGCCTCCCTTCGGCGGCGAGTGGATTGAACTTTTCCCCATTAGACAAGATGATGAGATCATCTCTACGCATCTCGTATTTCCAGAGGTCCACGGCTGTAGGGTGGCGAGAGTACAAATCCTTCGTTTCCCAGATATCGAGATCCGGGAATGTGACAAACACTGGTTGGGTCGGAGCCAGTTCGTCTTTCTTGACAAACACTAGCTCAAAGAGATCATCTGAGTAAGGGCGCATCTCGAATCCTGTCCTTGGGTGGAAGTAGAAGTACGCCCACTCATCTGGATGTGTTACGACGGATGCAAGCCATTGCCCCTCGGTCATGCCCATGGTCTGCCAGATTGGTACACGAGGGTGTATCACTTCGCCCACAGACTGAGCCACCGGACCGCCAGCTGAAGTGACGAATTTCAGTTTCGATAGTTTCTCAAGCACGCGAGGCGACTTGGAAATGTCCTGGAGGACACTGGGAGAGATGAAGGCCGAGTCAAGTGCGATGTTATCGAGAGCGTCTTCAATGGCATGTTGCATAATGGGTCCGGTGGACGGCAAGATGACGCTCCATCTGAAGAAGACGGCAGAGAAAAGTCCGAGACAAATACCGGCAACCTAGTTGTAAACAAATGTCAGCATTGGCCTCTGTTGCCACGGACAGTGAATCCGTACGTGGAAAAGAGGCATTGCACACAGCATGCTTGTGCCGGCCCAGTCTACTCCAGTTGGCATTTTACCGTTGGTCGGTTCCATCAAGTGAAACGCATCAACGGTCGCCGCGGTGGCAAGATACAGCGGCACAAGTTTTGGCAGACCCGTGGAGCCCGACGTGTGTAGTAGCGCGAGAACATCCGACCGGCCTTTATCCCACTGTTTCTCGTACGAATAGGCCTTGACCGCAATGGGATTTAAGAGATGGGACAGTTCGGGCGCTTCAGCACGAGGTACCTGAAGGTCTTTTATGAATTCGAGGTTGTCGATGCCCGATGATGTGACCCAGAACTCGCAACCAGACTGCTTGATTAAGGATCTATGCCCCTCGATACTATTACGCGGAGAAGAGAGTAAAAGCTTTTGATTTGTCAGTTCTTACTGGAGGAGAAGAGAATGATGATGATGGTGGGATCATACTCTATGCCCAGTCTTGGTGGCCGCTATCATCATCAAGAAGTATCTCAAGTCATCTAAAGAAAGCATAAATATGAGGATTCAATGAATGCAAAGAAGGAAAGGAACCTACTTTGTCCGATGTAGCCTATTGTTTTGGACTCTATGTTGGAGCCTAATTGTGACTCGAGCCACCAGCATAACCGGTTGATGGAATTAGCAAACGTCCTTGCCGTCACTACCTCATATCCTTGGGAGGGCTGGTTGTTACGGGGAGTATAGAAGAGCACACGGTCGGGTTCGTGTCGTGCAGCATCGTCTATCACAACCGGAAGCAATCGATGACCATATCTGGGCGGGGCTGGAATTGAGCCCATCGTAGATGCAGATACAAAAGGGTGAAGAAAAAGATAATCTGGCAATGTCTCCAAGTCTAGGTATAGTCTCTTGGACCCGGGTTGACGGGAAACAGACGACGAGGACTAACACAGTTATGACTGATTGCGGCGAATGTATTTGTAAGATCAAATCGAAAGAGCCTGAAGGAGATAACGAAGCGTGTTTGTGAGCGAGTGGGTAGGATGGCCTATCCTACTAATTTCCATTTCACGCATGTCACCTAGATCCAAGATATAGCTCTAGCTATTCTAGCATACGGCTGTAGCACCGATGCGCATCTACTAAGTAGACATCCGAACGGATGCTTTTTCGGGCTCAGACCGGAGCTTTGCCTGTCTCTGTTTAGTCAAAGCTATCGCTCCTCGGGAGGCTATGCTTCACACAGACATGACGCTTACAGACAAGACTCAAATATTGACTCGGATCTCTATTGCGGTCAGTATTTCTGTTTGAGGATTGTGATCGGAAGGTTTTCTGAGAGCCCCGACCGAGGTGGAGTCGTGTTCCGGCGCCAACCTTGTAACTGTCCGAGTGCTCGGAATCCGGGGCGGAACCCAGAATATCGGGTAGCCGAGACATTTCGGGGCTAATATTCCGCAGGGCAGCTAGCCTCTAAGTAGATCCTCAGTTTGGCATTTATAAAGGTACATCGGTAGAATGAAGCTAGCTAAAGTTGAGCTTCTACCTATCAAGACTATATTTACTATCATTTCCTCTGCAAGTCTGGGTGTGCTTAGTTCTATCCTACTCATACCGTCCACACCAACCAGATTGATCCAATATGGCGGAACAAACTTGGCACAACTTTGAGACAATCCAACTGCATGCGGGGTACGGCCGTCTCTCCCCATCACCAGGAACAAAAGTCAACCGAATGATGTGAATGAAGCTAACCAGTCTGCAGTTACACACCGGACCCGCAGACGAGATCCACCGCCGTGCCAATCTATGCAACAGCCGTTAGTTGCAACTCGTCTAGAAATCTACTGTCCATACAAAGAACTAATTGAATCTTAGAGTTACACCTTCAATGACTCTGCTCAGGGAGCGCGGCTCTTTGGCCTCAAGGAGTTTGGGAACATCTATAGCCGCATCACGAACGTAAGCATCCAAGGAATCATCCCCTCTCGCGGCTCGTGTATTGTTTGCTGAAATCAAAACTTCCAGCCTACCGTTGATGTCTTTGAGAAACGAATCGCTGCACTAGAGGGGGGCATCGCTGCCGTTGCGACCTCATCCGGCCAAGCCGCACAGTTCCTGACAATCGCCACCCTCGCAAAGGCCGGCGATAATGTTGTTGCCAGTTCGCATCTGTATGGGGGCACATATAATCAGTTGAACGTGCTCCTTCCCCGATTCGGTGTGACGACCAAGTTTGTGCGAAGTGGAAAGCTCGAGGACTTTGCCGCTGCTATTGACGAGAAGACGAGAGCCATCTATGTGGAGAGTATGAGCAATCCTGACTATGTTGTTCCGGATTTTGAAGGAATTGCCAAGATTGCACATGACCATGGTATTCCGCTGGTAGTGAGTTTACTGCCTCGGGTGTTAATAGATTTCATGTTGACTGACGACTATAGGTTGACAACACTCTTGGGGCTGGTGGCTATTATGTCCGTCCCATCCAACACGGCGCAGATATTGTGGTTCACTCCGCGACCAAGTGGATTGGCGGCCACGGAACGACTATTGGCGGTGTCATTGTCGACGCTGGAAGATTCGATTGGAACAAGCACTCGGTTCGTTTCCCAGAGATGGTTGAGCCTTCGCCGGCGTATCATGGACTGAAGTATTGGGACGTTTTTGGTCCTGCCACGTTCATTACTCGCGTCCGGGTAGAGATGCTCCGCGATATCGGGACCTGTTTGAGTCCTTTTGCAGCACAGCAACTCCTTCTTGGTATCGAGACTCTTGGCCTTCGCGCTGAACGACATGCCCAGAACACCGCGAGACTTGCCGAGTACTTTGAATCCAGCCCTCATATCAGCTGGGTCTTGTGGCCCGGTTCGAAATCCCACCCAACTCATGCACACGCCAAGAAGTATCTCACACGGGGCTTCGGAAGTATGCTGAGCATTGGAGTTAAGGGTGACGCCACGACCGGAGGCAGAGTCGTGGATGGACTGAAGCTCGTATCGAACCTGGCTAACCTTGGCGAGGCGAAGAGTCTCGCCATACACCCGTGGACAACGACACATGAGCAGCTTTCCGATGAGGAGAGACTGGCCTCAGGAGTGACGGAGGATATGATCCGCATCTCGGTTGGGATCGAACACGTCGATGACATTATCGCTGATTTTGAGCAATCATTCCAACAGTCCTATGGAAAGTAGGTCTTTTGATGGTGTGCGGATGCACCGCAAGTCGGTATGAATGATGCTATAGTACTAAAAATTGAATTATGTGTCTAAGAGTTCAATGGCATGGATGAGTGATTTTTCTGTTCCATTATCTTAAGTGATAAAGCGATAAGACCTGGGTCTCTTGAAACCTTGTGATTTGAGCTCAGTGAAGACTTCTTGTCCGAAGAAGCTGGAAGACGTTAAGGGACTCTTTGAATGGAGCCCGGGGTGTTGGTAGATACGACCATGGTCCGCTAAGAATTGGGAGGATCACATGGCCATTAACACACTCGCGCACCCAGCAAAAGAGAGGCGATTTAATGACTCCAAAAAAAGGAGCTAAAGCCAGTAGATCCCACAAAACAACTGATTGCAGAATGAATCTCAAGACCCGTTGTGACTAAACTAAGATGTGACGAGTCGACGAAACACCCATATTGTTACTTCACCTCACGAAAGAAGACAATTGATAGCCTTTGGATTAAAGGTCGCGTAGATAGAGACTTTCCGAGATGTTGAACCAGACCCATCGGCCTAGTTAGGAGGGCGATTGAAGCGTGCGGGAAGATTGAACAGCTCCGATGGACAGGAATTTGTGAGAGGAAGAGAGTAGAGAGCTTCCACATAGGGATTTAGGTGAACGCATGGGCGGAGGTACCCCCTCTAGCTGAACGACTGGGATAGAGAAAACTGGATTAATCTCAGTAGTCGGAGGCTGTAATTACCGAGCCGGGGACCACTCGGAGGTTACGGTTGTCTCAATCGGAGACTTCTTGTGGCGAAACAGCTCCCAGAGTAGAGATATACACGACCCGATCTGCCCGGAATAAGCCATCAACGAAACAGGCACATTAATTCCTACACCATAATTTTAAAATTGATAGATGTATCATCGCGAACAAACGCGAACATAATTGGTGGGCTTTTATTCAAACCAGAAGTACGCATGATGAGTGTGCTCCGACCTCGCCGATTTGCCTTCTGGAGCATGGTACTCCGAAATGACCGAAAGCTTCCGAACGTGACTGAGTTCCACCAATGCATTGCAAATTTTTTGACAGGTAGTGTTTTCACTGAGGATATCGGCTAGAGCTTCGTTCGTAAATAGTTTAATATAAGTCTTGATATATAGATCAGGCGAGGGCGCATTTAAAACTTTGTGAGCCACATCATCGCAGAAAGGCGTCAAATATTTAGTCCCTCCGTGAACTATTCTCTGACGGCGAATTACACTTTTTGCTTTGAAGCTGTGTAAGCCTTTCTTCTTTAGTAAACAGGCCATCCGATATGACAGAATTGGTCCCAAACAAGACGTGGGTGTTCAAGAAACCGCCCACAGAACTTCCTCGGCCGGGCATCAATACTATCATCGAGGATCACCCCCTGAAGCTAGTTCCACCGCCTGGTGGTCTGGTGATTAAGCTCCTCATCGCCGGACTCGATCCACACCAGAGAGATCGTATGCGGGGACCAGGTCTTGCAGATTATGTGCCTGGCTATGAAAACAACGAGCCCATCACCAACTTCTCGATCGCCAAGGTCATCCGCTCGGACAACGAAGCGTTCGAGGATGGCAGTTTGATCGCAGGTAGTCTACCCATCGCTGAGTATGGCCTGATCCCCAAAGAGCTCATTGACGCCCGGGCAATGGCGTCGCCGCTCGTGTGGAAGGTGGACAATCGGTACAATCTGGACCTTAAGCACTATGTTGGTACGCTGGGACTGGCGGGCATGACTGCCTGGAACTCGTTCTACGGCCTAGTGAAGCCGGTCAAGGGCGAGACAATCTGGGTGAATGCCGCATCGAGCTCGGTGGGAGAAATCGTGGTCCAGCTCGCCAAGATTGAAGGAATGCGAGTGATTGCAAGTGTGAGCTCTGATGAGAAGCTCGACTACGTTCTGAACGAGCTGGGCGCCGACGCCGGCTTCAACTATCGAAAGGAAAGCGTCAATGACGCGTTGAAGCGACTGGCCCCAGAGGGATTAGACGTGGTTTTTGAGAACGTCGGAGGCAATCACTTTCAAGCCGCGATTGAAAATATGAAATGGTTTGGACGGATCATCAGCTGCGGGGCGGTAAGTTCCTCTTGGCTGGGATTGCAAGCGACAGCTAACGGTTATGTTTTCAGGCATCACAATATAACAAGCCGGTCGAAGAGCAGTATGGAGTTACCAATCTATCGGAGATCTTCCGTCGCCGCATCAAGATTCAAGGCTTCATTTTCTGGGACGAGAACATCTACCCAGACAACATCGCTAACTTCCATGCGGCGATGCCGAAATGGATCTCGGAGGGAAAGATAAAGTCACGATACACTGACTTTGAAGGGATTGAGCAGGCTGATAAAGCGTTTCTCTCCATGTTCACTGGAGGAAGCTTTGGAAAGACGGTACTGAAAATTAGTGTCCCATGAATCGTTATGTAGTATTGAAGGTTGAGAAGAAAAGGGTTCGTTGTCTGGAGAAGCAAGGATTGATGACCTTCAAGATTCTTTTAGGTAGACACAGTCACCTTCCTCCTATTTATCCAATATAACGGCTCCTGCCACTTCAGAAACTCATTGCTTTAGAGTCAGTCCTTCATATCGGAGTGTTGAGAATGAGGACGATGAATCATGTCCGAGATGACCTCGTAATCTGCCTGTTTGATACAAAACTAAAGAGGAAATGCCACATTGGAAGCAATAAATACGAGGATACCTAGACCTTCAAGCCCAGCGTGAGTTCTCTCTGCCTCAAAAATAAAACTGTTCACATCACAGGCGCAAAACTCATATCAAGAGAGCTTTGGCAATCGCAAAATTGAAAGAATGTGCACTCGACGAATTTATATTGCCTCCCTTGACGTATTTCGTAACCCCGGAATTAAACTATAGCTGGTGTCTGCATTATATCGCCAAGATTATCGAACAAGAAACCTATTATCAACCAGTTCAACTGATGCGACTCAATGAGAAACGCGTCATGGCCGTCATGGCTCATGATTTCTCTCAATTTCGCATTCGGAACACACCGAGCAATCTGCTCTTGCTCAGACAGAGTGTATAGTCCGTCACTTCGTATTCCGAGTACAAGTGTGGGTTGTTGAATCATCGACAGCGCTTCGGGAATGGAATCTGCACGACCCCGTGATAAGTCGTGGGAGTCCAGTTTGTGCGTAAGGGCAATGTAGCAATTGCTGTCGAATCGATTTGAGAATTTCTTTGCTTGGTATCGTAGATACGACTGGGCTGCGAAACCGGAATCTTTTGGTGTGAATGCGATGCAGCTCTCATGAAAGAAAGATTGAACAGGGACACATATCCCATTGTTTGGTGATGGTTCTTTTCGTGTCTGATTGCCATTGAGCTGATGCAGAGACTTTGCGTTGGCATTACTGTTGGATTGGATTGGCATCTCCAGACTTGTCTCATACCCATTTGCAGCTTCTGCGTTCTTGCTAGACCTGTCACGCCCAAATCGACTCTCGAGGGAGTCTCGGCTTCGATATGTCAGTAACGCTGCCATCCGGGCTGCCTCAAGGCCAGCAACAGGAGGATCATGGAAGCTGTAACGACCATCCTTATACCTAGCATCGCTATAGATGGCATGACGCTGGGCTTCTCCCCATCCTATTCCCCAGGCACTCTGATGACTGGCAGTTGCGACGGGGACGATGCAACGGACGTAATCTTTGCCAAAATATGCCCACTCGAGCGTGAGCATGCCGCCCATGGAGCCACCAATGACAGCAGCCACTTGGTGAACTCCTAGGTCATCCAGGATTAACCGATGAATACTTGAGAAGTTAGGATTCCTGTGGTAACTTGTTGGGGTCCTGCAGATATGCTCACCGGACATCGTCGCGTATGGTGGTCGACGGAAAGTCGGCACCGTACCATCCGTCGGCTAGATTTCCATTCTTGACCGTAACAGGGCTGGCCGTTCCATATGGGCTTCCCAGGCTATTCATGCAGATAACGAAAAATTTGTCGGTATCAAAAGCCTTGCCAGGTCCGAGAAGAGGGCCCCACCAGTCGCTGATATCGGCGCTTCCTGAGAGAGCATGACAGACAACCATGGCGTTAGATCCGCCAACAGAGAGCTTTCCCCAGCTCATATATGCCACAGGGACATTCTGCATTTCGACGCCGGACTCGAGTGTGAAAGACGGGATGATAGCAATCTTTTGCCCCGGAACCCGGTGTGAGAAAGGATTTCCAGGCTGGTCATTTTTCCTCTCTACACTAGTTTAGTGAATCAACAATACTACGAAAAATAGGCTTGCCTGAAGACTAACCAAACCGTCGCTTTTTGCCATTGCCACTGCAAACTGGAGAGGATATTGTCGCTGTCATTGTATGTAACGAGAGCCACTGAGTCTCTTCCGTTGGTCACAGTAGAACCCCCAAAAATCAGTGATGGAATAATAACAATACAGGTGGCCTCTGTTGGTTCTAGTTGCATAGGTAAATGTGGTTATGGGGTATGTCGTCAGCTGAGGGTGAAGTATGTACCATGGACTACCTAGGTACGAAGGTGCATAGACCTGAACAACACTGATTCTCATGATAATTTCTTTGGATTGGCGTACGCCGGTTCGGCAACAAACCTCCGGTATGGCAATACAGCATCCGAAATTTCGGAACCATACGAGAAAAGACTGTTTACTTACTAGTCTCGCTTCTCTTACGTGCGGCATATCTAGTGTTTCATTCTCCAAATTAACTTGTAAGGCCGATCCCTGCCTTCCGATTTCGGATCTTAACAGGCGATCCGATTAGTTGGAGTAGCATCGGACCAAAAGTACTGAAGTCCCACGAACCCGCACTGGGTAGACAGTTATCCCGCAGTGATGAGGGTATCCTGCGGTGTGGACTCGAACTATCGATCCCGGAAACTCACGCCCATTCGGGATTGACTCTCTCGGAGGGTTATTTCAAGATGGCCCCTGGTCCATCGGAGCCATCAAGGCCCCACCGTGAAATCAGTGGCAAAATGTGGACGGGACAATAAGAGGTGCCGCCACTAATTAAAGCGGTGCAATTTGGAATATCCAACATTCCTTAGCTGTCGCAGCTCGCGACCTACTGGCCTTTTGTTTACAGCTAGCACACTTTCGACAGTCCCAAAAATGCGGTTCTTGTGTCTCCATGGCTACGCTACAAGCGTTGAAGTTCTCCAAGAGCAAATGGAACCTATTACATCGCAACTGCCTGGGAATTGGGAATACGAGTTTTTGGAGGCGGGAATGGAACCATCAGAATTAATGCTTCGTAAGTACCATCCAGGTGATCACAACATTATATTTGGTAAAGCTGACTCTTACTAGCTACCCTTAGCCAAGTCCCCGAACCAAATTACAGCTGGTACAATTTCCCTTATCCCGAGGATGTGGAACGGGCCTACGAGCGCCTTACATCTTTTATTGAAGCGGAAGGGCCTTTTGATGGCGTTTGGGGTTTCTCGCAGGGCGGGTCAATGGCCGCCCTTTTGCTACTCATGCATCAAGCGGAGAATGGCGGCACGAGTTACCCATTCAAGTTGGCTATTTTCACCTCGGCCTTCCTCCCTCATCGTTTCGATTCAGGCTTCATTACCTGGGACCTGACAGAGAAAAATCAACCCACTCCAACATATGAGCCTGGAGTGTATGATGCTTCCCGCGGGGAAGATGTGGATTGGACACGGGATCCACATACGTCAATCGAATACGACATGATCAAGGCGGTCCAGGACAAGATGACGTTTCCTGTTCAATTCTTGCCCAAGTACAGGCCTAGTGGCATTCAGAAGAAGATTGCGCTGCCGTCCGTGCATGTTCGCGGAGTTAAGGATCATTATGAATTTGTGGATGACTCCGTATGGGAATTGTTCGACCCGGAGACATCGAGGAAAATGACCCATCGTGGAGGTCACCATTTCCCTAGGTTTTCCGAAGAGCTGGTGGACTTCGCGGAGTTGATCATTGAAACAGTTTGTACCCTCAATTAGCATAGCATGGTAGATTTGGTCAAGCTGTGCCTGAACACCAACCAGGATCTTTTGTTTAGGTCTTTGGTTCTTAGTACAGTTATAGAGTGATTAGAAAGCAATGATGCTTATTCCCGCGCGACCCTATTTCTTTTGGTATTCAGGTTAAGGCTTAAGGACAGCATATAATGAGGCCGATCAGTTTTTGGTAGACGGAGATGTGTAACAACTTGAATCTGAAGAGCTTGCGTGCAAATTACTTATGCCAAACTGGATATAACAGACTGCTTGTGCTAAAGGGCCGCATTTTATTACTTCCAACATGACATTCTAGTTATTGGATATCATGACATGACAACCTGGAGTATGTTTGCGTATTATATGTCTATTCTAGATCTCTACCATTTATTCTATAGTGAGTAGTTTCGCATGCAGTGTGTTTATGGCTCTCGTGGCGTCCTTGGCGGGGATCACGCAAGAAATGTTGATTTCGCTAGCCCCTGTCACGTAGCCATAATTAGTACACCAAATAAATTACAAGTGCCCCAAAGTCAGCCTCGTATAATGATTGGACGTACCTTGTGAAATCATTTCCATGTTCACTTTGTGATCCCCCAGGATGGAGAACATTCGCCCGGCAATGCCAGTCATATTACTCAGTTCCTCCCCCACCAGACTCAAGATCGCCATGTCGAGGAGCACATTCACCTCACCTTCTTCAGCAAGCTTGAGCCGCGCATCTCCGATTTGTGCCATGTCCGTGTTGGTCGTGTTGATGGCCATGGAAATATGAACTTCGGACGTGGAGATGAGGTCGACCGAGATATCGCGGTCTGCCAGGATGGTGAATACCTTGACGAAGAATCCGTGGGACATGGACTGTTTGTTGCTGAGTATGTTGAGAACGATGATGTCTCGCTTTATCGTAACAGCAGTGGGCATCCCCGAGAGTGTGGATATCTCCGATGGCGATGGTGGCGTATTATCCGAGTCGGAAGTGTCTAGGTCGTCGATTTGGCGCGGCGAGCCTTCATCAGCCGTGTTCGGAACAATCACAGTGCCTTGACCCCAAGGCTTCTGCACATTCTTGACAAATATTCGGATGGGAGGCTCTGCTTGGATGGCCAGAGCCAAAGCGAGGTGGTGAATGACTTCGGACCCGTAGAAGGTCAATTCGGCTGCTTCCGACGGCGTTATCGAGGGCAAGCATCTCGCATCAGGCACTTCCCTGGGGTCAGCCGTGAAGATACCATCAACTTCCTTCCAGATCTGCACTCTCTCCGCTCGCAGACCAATAGCTACCAACACTGCGCACAAGTCCGAATACCCTCGTCCAATGCCGCTATCGATCAAGTTTCCCGGCACCACACCGAAGAAGCCGGTAATAATGGGCACCCTGCCATTGCATGCCACTATCCGCTCTCCGAAGACAGCCGCAGCCTTGTGGAAGTATCTTGGCTCTAGCCGATCCGAGCTGTTGCCGGGTATGATCTCAGAGAGATCTACATACTCGGCGTCGACATGCCTGTCTCGCAACATGGCGATCATGAGTCTACAGCTCAACTTCTCTCCAAAACTGACCATCTTGTCTTTGGATCTGCCGTTTATATCGAGATTGAAACGTCTGGTAGCAGCGATATAGTCAAGTAGTTCTTGACAGTCTTCTCCAATCTGTCTGCAGGTCTCTTCTCGGATATGAGACGACTTTACAAATGACTGCACGGTAGACACTTGGTCGTCACGAATGTCTCGGATGATGCTCCGCATCTTGTCAAGTAACAAGTTCTGCATGCCGCTGTCATGAGTGACCGCAACAATGCGTCTTAGCGTTTGGTACACTTCTAGTAATCTGCGTGTTGCGAATCGCTTCAGTGTGCGTGAACCATAGCGTCTTGATGTTCGGGGTAGCAACATACCGGCTTGTCGTCCCGAATGCCTTATTGTTAGAACTACGTGCGGAACATACCACCGCCGGCCTGTCCCCGTTAAGTTTTGCACTGCTCTTGATCATTAGCAGATTGAGCGGGTCCATAGTGTTTTGACGGCTTAACCGTACCTTGTTATGATGTCTGCAACCTATCGCGAGGAAGTTGAGTGGGCAGAATCAAAGCAAATCCGGTGGACGAGTTCGAACTTACCTTGTCTGGAAATTTCCCGACACTCGTTCCTCCGAACTTCTGAATAACCCAACAATTCTTTCTCGGACGATACATGTTTGTGAAAGCTGGAGGCCACGTTCAAGGGGATGAGAATGCCACAAAGTTGGTGTATCCGAGAGAATTTTGCCAAATGCCAGGCTTACTTTCAATTCAATTTGATAACATCATGAAATGATCGGAAATGAATAGATTATTAACAGTGCTCGTAGTGCTTATAGAGATACATGTGGAAGCCCTGGTTCCCTGGTCCGCCAAGAGCACCACTTGTATTGTTCCTCGGCTGTGGTCTGCGCCGGTCTGAAAGGCACCGACCCCCTGTTCGGAGATTCGGAATGTATGCTCTATTACGTAGTAGTGGCCGAGGAACAGGCAGTTGTCTGACTGGCACGAGTTGCAGCTTTCAGCGCATGTTAGCCAAGTAAATACACGAGAGATAAAACATCAAGGAATGAACAAGCAGAGGTGCCATGCCAGGGTTCGCTAGTCTTAAGATTCAATACCCATTAATTCACTGAATGAAGCATGGTTATGTGTCTAAGTGGAGGTCTCCGAGATAAATCTCGACGATGATGAACATAGTCACCACATCGGAGACGTTCGGGACTTTTTAAAACGGTCCGAATTTGTGCTTGCTATATCGACATCTAGGGATAAAGAGGTAGAATGGAGATATTTAATTAGGCAATAGGTCATTATAACCATTAGAATGGCTATCGACACGTGTATAATCAACTCAAGCGTTTTCTCAGCCATAGCTATACATCCTTGCCAACCGATTATTTTATTCTTCCTTCACATCATTGATCATTCCATCGCGCCAAGGGTGGCAGTCTGAGTCACATTTCCGAACAGTTGTTCGGTCAGTATTGCGCGGAGTGGAAAGAACTGACAATTATACGAAGTTTAAGGCGTAGAAAGATGTTTCGAAAAAGCGGAGAGGAAGACGCAATAAATATCATCGAACAATGCATTTCTTCTTGCAGGTCTGCTATAAGCGTAGCTGGTTTAATGCTCATAGTTCAATGCCCGTCTATGGATCATGGTTCTCCACGCCTACCTTCACTCTACTCGGCTACATCCTATCCCGGCTCCACGAGTACGATCAGGGTAGTATTGCAAAAAGCCTCCTTTCGAGTGCTATCATTTGCTCTTGAAGGACCAAATCGTCAGATGCTCATAATCCCAGACACCTCCTGCGGTAAAAATATCTCTCTTTATTATTTCCCTAATCTCGTCTTCGTTTTCAGCCGTGATAATCATGACGGTACCGTTCTCGGCGGGCTGCTCGCCCTCGACACCGTGTTGAGCGAGAGTGCTGCCGAAGAATGGAACACGGCCTGCCTTGACCAAAGGCGCCGCATCTTGATTGTGTGGTTTCATAAGGGCTAGTCTCTTGGACAGAATATTCGGAAGATCAGGCACGTGAACGAGATATTCCCGGAGAGTTGGACTTTTGTCGGCGCTCATGTTGGGCCTTGCGTGATGTTCGGCGCGTGGACTTGTATGTGGGTTGGAGCTAACAACAAAGTATTTGCGGTTCGTAGTACGAGGTATGGAAAACAAGCTATTTGGAGTGATGCGATATGCGCTCCTTTGGTCAGATTCCTCGCATATGTATAACTACGGGAGTATCGGGATGCAAATCGGTTCAATCACCCCTGGCAATACCGGTGGCTAGAGGTTTCCGACTTCCGGACCTATCGGAGACTTGTCCGACACTCCGTTTGAGCGGACCATCCGATTCGGAGGCTTCCTCGGAAGTTCAGAAATGACCGTCCATTGTTCGAAATATAGTTTGGCAAGAAATTTTATGAAGGGATATGCTTGCATATTCATGTTTGTCAGATAATTCGCCCCCCCTTCTAAGCAACCTGTCCATTAGGGTATCCAGGCTCGTTTGTTGAACAGAGGTATCTCCCTGATGGAGTGCAAGAGCTTTTGCAGTTTGCATCGCCAATTTGACCTATCTACTACCTGAAGCAAAATATGATTCAATATTTATTACTCTCACATGATTCCTTAACACAGATGATAGATAATTGATTCTTGGAATGTGATATTATTGCTACTCGCGTTCTTGTGTGTAAATCGCTGCCCACAGACCGTTGAGTCATAAGAGCTTTAGGGGCTGCCGCTGTGGACTGACTGGATTGGCCCCTACAACCAAAGATAATGCAGATTATGGTCTGGTTGTAAAATCCATATTATCAAGTCCATCACATACGGTCTAATTGATCAGGGTAGCTAGGAAATACGATGACCTGTAGATTGAAGATCTTCGAGACACTAGAAGTCATAGTGAAAACACGAAATAATTATTCATATAATTAGGAAATATCTTGCAACGTAACATAAGATAACAAACGTCATACTACCTAACATGATCCAAGCCCCATAGAATTCTCAAAGCTCCTCAAACAAGACTGGATGGGACAAGGGCAGTCTTTGCAATGACCTTCTTCGCAAACCCAGACAATGGATCGTTGCTGACAATATCGAAGACTGAAAGATCGGCCTGGAACTCCTTTAAGAGCCAGGTACGGATCTCGATACCGACGAGACTGTCGATGCCAAGGGCTGGTAGAGACTTCCTCGGATCCATATCTTCAACATCCGTTTTGATGATCCTCGAAACTCCTTCCAGAACCTGGGCTAGCACAATATCGTAGACCTCGTCTTTAGATGTGGCCGCTGCGAGGAGCTTCTTCCAGTCCTGTGCGTCGTTGGTGCCGTTTGCGCTGGCACCTTGTCGGTCGAGTTGGCTCAGGGCGGCAAACCGTGAATCCGCAAACCAGTAAGGATCGTTGGCATCCTGCTTGAGAAGCTGGCCGCCGGTAGATGCTCCCAGTGCAACTTGTGTCGGAGCCCGTCCGGATATGGCTGCCTTGACAACGTTGAGGACGTCAGTCTCATCCATACCTAGCAGGCCACCATCCTTCAATAGTTGAAAGACTTCGTCTCGTTCCGTCGACACGCCGATTCCAACTACTAGACTGAGGTTGATGCTCGTCGCAGCTAGTCCCGAAGCTGCGCGGTGATGCATGAGCGCATCTTGGTATGTGTTTCCTGCGTTGTAGTTGGCCTGGCCACGCGACCCAATGATTCCTGCAATTGACGACAAGCAGACAAAGAAATCCAAGTCTGTGGGCAGAAGCTCATGCAGATTCCGCGTCGCCAGAAATTTAGGGCGAAGTGATAAATTCCAATCTGTCACCGACATGTTGTTGTAGATGCCATCCTGGAATCAAACCGTTAGATCGCATCGTAAGAAACTCTCGGTATCGTGGAAGTAACTTACCCTTAAATCCATAGCACAGTGGATCACTCCCTTGATCGATGGGAACCGTTGCTTCACCTCTTTGATGACAGCCTCCAGTTGAGACTTTTCAGCGACGTCAACCGAAATTGCCGTCGCCGATACACCTTGGGACTGGAACTCCTTCAGAAGTGATCTAGCTTCAGGGCGGGAACTTCCTGATCGGGATAAGAAGATCAAATGTTTGGCACCCTTGTCGACAAGCAGTTTTGCGATGGATCGACCGATTCCACCAAGACCACCAACAAGAATAAAGGTGCTCTCTTGCGACAGGCGAAAAGATCCGAGGCCTTCTGGGACGACCTTGAAAGATAGTTAGTAATATTTACAATTATCCAACAATAAATTGTAGAACGCACCGGAATAATGTCATCAAGCTGTGGACTTAGAACTATCTTGCCAATGTGACCTCCACTTTGCATGAGTCGGAATGCCTTCTCCGCGTCCCCAAACGAGTAGCGTAGCAGGCTCTTCAAGGGAGCGATAGCACCCTTCTGAAGGAGTTGAACCACCTGGGTCCCGATCTTCTCGAATCGGTCGGGATAATCGATGACTTGTGTAAGGATGTCAAGGCCAGAAAATGTGACGTTGTTCAGGAACGGGCGCATCTCCAGGCCGCTGTTGTCATAGATATCACGCTTTCCAAGCTCGATGAATCGACCAAAGGGTGCAACGCAGAGCCAAGTTCGCCGGAGTGCCTCTTGTGCTAGCGAGTTGAGCACAACGTCAACGCCCTTTTGTCCCGTCAGCCGGAGAATGCCGTCAGAGAAAGAATAGTCTCGGCTATTGAATATGTGCGACTCTCTGATCCCATACTCCTCCATAAGGAATGTTTTCTTCTTCTCGGAGGAGACTGTGGCAAAGATCTCCGCGCCGATGAACTGGGCAAGCCGGATGGCGGCCTGACCGACTCCGCCAGCAGCTGAGTGAATCAAGACAGATTCGCCAGGCTGCAGTCGGCCGACATCGATCAGAGAATGAACAACAGTAGCGTATGTGCACATCAGAGAAGCAGCCTCTTCGTCGCTCACGTTCTCAGGAGTCTTTTGGAACGTTCGGGGGTCGACTCGAACACGGGTCTGGAAGCAGCCGGCATGCATACCAAAGACACGGTCGCCGACATTGAACTTCTGAACGCCATTTCCAACCCATGAAACGACTCCGGCGCATTCTATGCCCAGCGTTGAGTCTTCCATCTGGCCCATGGCGACCATGACGTCGCGGAAGTTCAAGCCCACCGCGGAGACTTGTATCTCAATCTCACCATCGGCAAGGGGGCCAGACAAGTTTGGGATAGGAAGATACTCCAGAGTATCGAGTAGTCCAGCTTCTCGGATAGACAGTTGGAGCGTTTGGTGAGCTTGTTTGAAAAGAATCTTAGCAACTGGGAGAGAGCTTCCAGATTTCGACGAATCCAACAAGGCCTTCAGGTCTGGATGCGGCACGAGACGTTCAACTAGCACATTGCCCCCATGAACCACATACTCCGAGTCTGTGGCCTCTCCCAGGGTCTTCCTGGACATCTTCTCCAGTATCCGAGATACGGTCTTGATATTGAGTTCCGTGTCAAGAGGGGCAGTCGGGTCGAGTCCCAAGGTAGTAAAAGATATCTCCGGGTGCTCGGCTCTGATGGTCCTGCCGAGACCCTTAACCAGACCCCTAGATTCAGTGTCCACGGTCAACCATAATGTTCCGAGCGAACCAAGGAACAAGGAGCGGAGTTTGCCGAAGGAATCCTCGTCCAGATTCTCTAGGATGGAATTATCAACATCGAGCGCTGCAACAGTCAAGTACGGAGAGGTTTGTTCTGGAATGTCGCCAAAGGGCGCTTTGATAACATCATAGCTCGGCGTTCTCAGGCCACGCTCGACTTGGTCGATGGCGCGACCGAGTTCCTCGGAGGGGTTTTGCGGCGTGATAATCAGGACTTTTCGGACTGTGGGTTCTAGTTCGAGTTTCCGGTGTGCAACAATGAAGCTTGGTGAGCCAGAAATGTCGATGTTGGTCGAGGTGAAACCCGCAGATGCTAGAATTTCGTCCGTGATGGAGTTGCCGAGAATGCTCGTGGAGCCGCTCGCAATCAACAAGACTCCCCAGCTAGGATATGTTAGCCTGAGTACGAACAGCGTCTTTAGAAAAGACTAGGCAGATAACTTACGGCTTCAAGAGCATCTTGATACTCTTCAATACTGTTGAGTAATAATCGCCGTCATGTTCAAGAGTAGTGTCCAAGACCACTATGTCGCGAGAACCATCTTCAACACCCTGCAAACTAAAATCCTGAGATAGATCCAGCTTCTGGTACTGAATTAATGGCTTCCATACAGCAGCCAGGGAAGGCTGAATATCGATGGTCGGCCCTTCGAGCGGCCCCGCCAGCACAAGAGACCCAATGCGTTCATTGACCTTGTCCTCGGCCCGGAGAGATGCCAAAGCATTCGTCAGGAGACTTCTAGACGATGTGTTGTACTCGAGAATATCAAGAACTGGGTGTACATGCGCGAACAAGGCTATGTACTTGCCCAACTTCGTAGCCAAGTCTGGGCCTTGAAGGAGTCGTTCAAGCTGAGCGGCATCGGCGAATTCCACGTCTGGCGCCATGTGCGGGATAATGGGGACATGGCTGAGAGACTGGCCTTCCGACGTGGAAACCTCTGGCGATACGCCACGAAGAGGCACCGTCTGACATCCGCGGAGAGCGATCAGGGCCTTCCCTTCGTTGCCGAATGCGATGACGTCGCTCAACATGTTGACAGCACTGTGTCTTCTCGACGATGTGAATCCATGATAAGTGGTGCCGCTGGAAGAGTCAAAGTCTGCCGATACATACAACGACGCAGTAGAGACAGGAACTCTTGCTTTGAGTCCAGTAGCATCGCCCGTGCTAGATATCAACAGATGGATGAATACATCGAGGACCGCTGGGTGGATGAGATGAGGAGGCTCCCATTTCTTGGGATACCATTCTTTCGTGTCCAGAACCTCCATCGAGAAGTGGGATTTATCTTGGAGGAGGTTAAGCGCCTTGACGCCACGGAATGCTGGCCCGAGATTAAATCCTGAACTTTCCATCTTTGTATAGAAGACCGAAGGGTCGAGACTCGGCATGTCGTCCTGCACAGTCTGGTCATACATTGCCTTGAGCTGAGAGTTGGTTGCAGCCTCCTCGTCCAGGAATGCAGTGTTGGCTTCTTCCTGCTTGTATGAAGTCGCAATCAGACCTGTACAGTTGGTCGTCCAGGCGCCGCTCTCATTCCGGCTGGAAACTTGGAATTCCGTCCAATGCGATGCGGTTGAATTCGGCCCAGAGCGCCACGGCGAAAGCTGCAGTCTCGTTTCAACCGTCTGATCTAGCGCCACGACCAAGGCACTTCGAATGTTTACATCGAGAATGTGGTAGCCCGAAACATCCGTTCGCGTCTCGACCTGGCGTGTTGCCTCGATTGCCATGACGATCATACCAGCCATGGGGTAGATCGGAGTGCCTTGAAACTGGTGATGTTCAATCCATGGCTGCTCCGCGATGCGGAGGTAGTTGCGCCAGGCGGGCTCAGCCTCGGTTGATCGTTCGTCTCTCGCACCGAGCAATTCTAGTCGTGGGTAATTCCTTTGCTTGTAGGCAGAGAGCGCGGCCGACTCATGCCAATAGCTGTTGGACGTGTTCCACGCATAAGGTGGGAGATCTACCAGTGCAGATATCTCACCGTCCGCGTCGCCATAAGCATTCGCCAGGGGAACGTTGACGGGGTGACCAAGAACAAGAAGTTCCCCAACCACCTCCAAAGTTGTTTGAACAGCGTCCTGCTTTCTCTTGATGGCCGACAAGTAGCGAGGGGCCGCGCCTTTGTCGTTGATGCTATCCAGAATCTGCTTCAACGGTCCCTGGAGCGCAGCATGAGGTCCGATCTCGACCATTGCATCGGCGCTTCCCTTCTTCCCCGAGGCCTTTCGCTTCCCCAAAGCACCTATTTTCGCTGCCGCTGTGACTGCACCGGAGAAGTTGACGGGGCTGACCAAGTTGGCGACCCAGTATGAAGGTCCCAGCTCGGTACCATCGATGATCTTGGCCGAGACCGAGGAGAACATACGAACGTCAGAACGGCCTGACTTAAGCTCCCATGCGTCTGCTAGTGAGTTGAGATACTCCTCAGCGATCAGCTGCATGTGGTGGGAGTGATAAGCTGTTGATACACGGAGTTTTCTGGCAAAGATGTCATCCGCTTGCAAAAACTTCAAGACTTCGTCGATGCCCTCCACGTCGCCCGACAGTGTAACACTTGATGGACTGTTAATACAAGCGACCAAAACCTTACCCGCTGTTACTCGGCTGACGTATTCGCTCACAGGTCCAGCGCCCAATCCTACGGCAGCCATCGAACCTGTTTTTGTGATCTGACTCGTGAGAAAACCTCTGAAGTAGGCGATTCGCATGGCGGCATTCTTGTCAAAGGCGCCCTTGGCATATGCTGCGGCAATCTCTCCGCTCGAGTGGCCAATGGTTACCTGGGGGCGTATATTCCAACTCGCCAGAAGATCGATGACACCGAGTTGGAGAGCAGTGCAAGCTGGTTGGCTGATAACAGGAAGATCAATCTTCGATTCCTCGGCGCTGCGATTCAACTCTTCAACCAGGTCCCAAGTACAGCCGAATGATTTGAGGTATGCGCTCGACGAACTAAGAGATTGTCGGAAAACTGAGTATTTCTGAAGAGACCTGCCCATGGCAAACCATTGCGCTCCTTGCCCTGTGAAAATGAAAGTCAGGGTCCCCTGCTTGGGCACTCGTGCCGCCCGGGCCGATGTACCATCAAGAGCTTGGTGTAGCTCCTCTATTGTCGATGCTGCGACGGATGTCTTCCAGGGATGATTCCACCTTTTCTCAGATAGTGTGTAAGCTAGGCGGTGCAAAAATCGCTCTTCAGGTTCGTCCTTTAAAACCGCCTCGGCGAGATATGCCTGGAGACTTTGGCTGAGTCGAGCAATGCCAGACTCCTCATGAGAAGAGAGAACAAATAGCCGTGGGGTGCTCCCAGCCTTGATTGTCTCTCCATTCTGGGAGTGACCATTTGATGCAGTTGAAGTCAAGACATTGGAGGTGAGACAATCAACCTTGGTATTGTGGCGAGCTTGAAGGTTATGAGTCTTGAGGAAGTGATAAGCATCGTCCAGTACAGCGTGGGCGTTGGCTCCACCGTATCCGAAACTGTTGATGCTGGCACGTCTAAGCCCCGTAGGCCACTTTATCGTACTCGTCGGGATGTCGATCTTCCAGTCGTCAAGTCGAATTTTGGGGTTGACTTTCTCGAGGCCGTATGTCGGTGCAATCAAGCCACTCTCGAGGCTGTATATAGTCTTCACGAGGCCAGCAATCCCGCTTGCACCCTCAAGATGTCCAATGTTGCTTTTGACTGAGCCAACGTACACGGGACGCTGTCTAGTCGGACCAAAGACGGAGCCAATAACGGAGCACTCGATAGGGTCGCCCACCTTTGTGCCGGTGCCGTGAGCTTCGAAGTAGTTGGTCTTGTCAAAGCTCAGATCAGCCGAAGCATATGTCGAACGGATTAATTCCTCTTGTCTTGCGGCTGATGGCTGAGTGATGCCCAGAGTTCGACCGTCTTGGTTGCTCCCCGTGCCTCTAATGACGGCGCGGATGGTGTCTCCATCTTTGATAGCCTTATCCAGCCGCTTCAAAACAACGAAGCCACCTCCTTCTGCGCGCGCATATCCGTTTGCAGAGGCGTCGAAGGAGTGGCATTTATCGTCAGCACTGAGAAATGACATCGAAGACATGAAAACTCCAAAGTTTGGAAGCAGATGCAATCCCAGGCCTCCGACCAAAGCCTATCCAAGAGTGTAAGTCACGTATCAGTAGTGAGAATGCGGGAACCGTACCGAATCGCTTTCACCGTGTCGGATGCTCTGGCTTGCAAGATGCAACGCAGTCATTGAAGACGAACAGGCTGTGTCAATCGTGATACTTGGGCCTTTGAGGTTGAAAAACCATGAGATGCGATTTGATAGTAATGCCGGTCCTGTGCCAGTTGCCGTGTATTTCGGGGCGCTGTCCATGTCATATGCTTGCATATCCCAGTAATCATGCTGGCATGCTCCCACGTAACACGACATGCGCTGGTTGGCGACTTCATCAATTTTGAGACCAGCTAGGATGGGTCAGTCAAAAATCGTCGATGACATTACAATGCTCACATACCATTTTCGAGACTCTCGTAAGCAAGTTCCAGCAGAATTCGTTGGGCCGGATCCATTCCCTTTGCTTCCTCTGGAGTGATGGAAAAGAAGCCGGCGTCGAAGTGATCGATGGCTTGTTTCAAGAAGTAGCCTTTCTTGGAGTTAGAGGTTCCAGCTCGGCCGCCATCTGGGTGGTAAAAGCCGTTTACGTTGAACCGGCTCTCAGGTACTTCTCCTAGGGCACTCTTGCCCTCCTTGAGCAGGTCCCATAGGCGTCGGGGTGTTGTGCCATCGCCAGGGAATCTTCCAGAGACACCAATAATGGCAATTGCTGATGAGGGGTCGCCATCTTGAAATGGAGTCATATTGTCGAGGTCTCCATCCGGGAGTTTTAGATGCTCTTGGGTACCATTAGAAGCCCCATTCGTAGTGCCGTTTTGACTCCTGTTGTAGGCGCCATTCGTGCCGTTGGAAAGCGTCATGATGCTGCTCCAAGTACACGCAACTGAGGATATTGAGATGTGCTCGTTACAGTGATGATAGCCGCTGTCCTGGCTGACTGAAAAGTAGAATGGACGGCAGATGTTGATATGCTCTCGAATACAGATTACTTGTGTGGGATTGATGACTATTTTGAGGCATCTCGTACCCTTGAATCATGGCCATGCAATCAAGTCGGTATCGGAGCTTGCCCGTGAAATGGCAAGCATTTCTCGTTTACTCGGCGATTATTCGGAAGTCCTCACTCAAATGGCGGTTCATTAATGCAACATTCGGATGGTAGCCAGATCGAATCGGAGATTGAGTCATTTTATTCGGCTCCGACGGCACTGTCGGATCTCGCTGCAACGTACATGCTACGGTGAGTAATACACCTCGTAGTCGTAGTACGCGTATGACGGGTCAGACAGAAGTGGAACAGCACCATGCGGTTGCTCGGGACAGTTTCCCAGCTTACAAAACCCTCCGTTTAACCAGGGCATTTCGGCGTACAACTCCACTCCGAGGTGAGGGCGGTGACTCGGGCGACTAGGGAGTTGATTCATAATTTATCACGACTTGCGTATTTCGCAGCAGCATTCACAAGGTGCAAAGAAATCCTCCAAGCCTATGATAGGTGCAACGACGTCAAGTAAAAATGCCAGTAAATTAATGACTCATGTAAAGTTGGACTTAGGTTCTGTGCTCCGCTACGGAAACGTAGGTTTTCTGTCGGTTTTCTTTTAGTATGTAGTATTGAGCATGGCGTGTCGGTACTTTTTGTTGTCCATGTTGTGCTTTATTACGCGGCTTTAATCTATCTTAATTCTAAATTACAGGTTTGAGTATGAAGGAAAGAGAGAGAGAGATGAAAGTAAATATCCACCTAGTGAGAGGAGGGTTTTCGATTGAGGGTGTCCGTTGGTGCCAAGTGACTCGCCAACACAATGCAGTGCTATAACGACCCACTACAGTAACGAACAGGAACTTAGTCCATCATGCAATGCTGTGGGACCGGGACCTCCAAACCTCCTCAGCTTCGACCATGGCCTCATCTTCCGTCGTGATCTGGTGTTGGGTACGCATTTTTTGGAGAACTTTAGCAGCTTCGGAGGCATATTCGCACTTCATCCGGATTCTGCCACCGTATGAATAAAATAAAAACGGGAAGGGAACACAGGCAACTGCTAGAAATGCTGGGATAGAGCTAGCCCAGTGTATTCCCAAATTCTCATACATTTTCTGAGTGAATAGGGGAAACACTGCACCGAATACCGATCGGAGAACTGAGTTGGCCGCCAGGATAGAAGCAGCATAGACGACATCTATTCCCAATTAGCACAGTAAATCTTGAAAGAATAATAAAAACTCACAAGAGTCGATTAGGTAGTTCAGGAGCGATAGAAAAACCATAACAAGGCCACAGGCAAAGAAAACGGAGCCCACGATTGGCACAGCCCAGTGAATAGTTGGACCGCACGTCCAAGCGAACCAGAAAAGGCCGACGGGGATCATGATAGATCCCACCATAGCGGGAGGAAGTCTTGCTTCTGGCTCAACAATGCCCCCTTTGGCAGCTACCAACCGTGTATAACGCTTGTTATCGAAAACAGCAGTTAGAGTCGCTAAGACAACTCCAACTGCAGTCCCGATAAAAGGTAATCCACCGATGCCTGGGCTCCAGCCTCTCTCTACCTGAAAGACAATAGGGAACGCTGCAAAGTTCAAGTATAAAGTACCGTAGATGATAGCGATGTATACAGAGGTGAGTAAGACAATGGGCTCTTTGAAGAGTAAGACCCACGGCCGGGTAAGTGCCGTCTTGCATTGGTCAACAAGCGATTTTGGTGGTTTTCCAGCGTCGATGGTCGAAATGTAGGCTCTATCAGTGGTTTTAGAGAGCATTTGGGCTCGACGCCGAAGAAGAACAGGGGCATAAGTCTCCGGGACAAAGAGAGTCCCAAGGATCCAAAGAACGCCTGTGAAAATAGCCATCAAGCCGTGGAGCCAGCGCCAACCCTCCGTCTCACTGAGAAACCCGCCAACAATTGGGCCTGGTATAAAGTTAGCGGGCGTTCAATGACGTCTTGGCCTCGACAACCTCACCTATAGCTGGTCCCAAGAATGGAGCCATAGCAAACACACTAGTAGCAAGTCCTCGCTGGGAGGCATTAAACATATCCGCAATGACTCCGCCGGCATTAGTCAATGTTGACGAGCCAGTGGCGCCGGCGAAAAAGCGAAGGACAAGCAAGGCAGGCATGCTGGTTGCTCCAGCAGCTCCAGCATTGAACGCTGTGACAGCCATCATTGTGATTATGAAGATGCGCTGTCTACCATACAGCTCAGACAGAGGAGCCCAGAGAAGTGGCCCAATGGCGAAACCAAGAACGTATAGCGAAACGCCAAGAATAGCCACTTCATGGGATACTTCGAAGGCGCGAATGATCTCTCGTATCCCCCCCGAATAAGCCGAGCTCGCAAACGTGACAGCCAAGGTTGCTACCGCCTGATGACAAGTGATCATCCACTTCCGGAAAGTCGAGAAGGTGGTGGCATCTTGGGGATCGTTTGGTAGAAATACGACAATGAACGGGGTCGCGACGGTTCCATTGCCTGCGTAGTTGTGACGCAACGCTGTAGCTTGGTCGATATGAGCAGGTGCAAAAAGCTCGATTTTCTGGAGAATCTTGGAAGTTGTCGCTTGCTGTGGTTCAAGTCGACTGTCTGTGATGGTCGTTGAGGACGACGACGAGGATAGGGGAGGACCAGATATCATGATGTCCGACACAGATGAATTCAAATCAGCTATCGGAGATATCAAGAAAGTATGTAAATCGTTACATTGAGGATCTAATATCTAATATTCGAACCATGGTTCTCGTAGAACCGCATTTAATTCAGGTGTTGTGACGTCCGGAAATTGTGTTTCGGTGTTTCTGTTTCGGCGATTTCTCCCTCTCACGCCGCGGAAATTTTGACATTGTTGCCTGGGTAAGCCGCAGCACACCTGTTTAGTGGCCCCTGATGGGCTCATCATGCTGAAGATAGCAAGCCACGTCATTATTCTGATAAATGGTGCTATTCCCTTTGAGCCAGATTTATCATCACAGCCCAGGAGGTGGACATGACGAAGATCCGAGCCCAGTTCACTCACCAATTTTTGCTACCCTAGACACGACGTGGGCCACAACAACACCCTTGCAATTACCTCTTCGCCACTAAAATACCGGCTGACAAAAATAAAACATACACAATAGAGATAAGGTGTCGAGGGAGGCAGCTGAAATGGACTGACTTGAGCTCTTTACCACCTTCCATAATACATAATACCGTGTAGACTCGACAAATTGGCCTGCTATCTTTCACATCAGTGCCCACAAATTACTCCATGGAGGTATGACAGGCCAACGGTTTTGGAGCCCACTTGCTCATGCCTGTAGATCACTTCCTGATATAGTTAATTATGGGTCATTTGCGGGAAAGATTGCGGGCCAATCTGATGAGTCAACGGGGATAAGATGAAGAAGACTCACGGGAACAACAGCCGTAGTTATGGGTCTCGGCATTATAAAATTCCCTCGCTACGAATACGAAACGCCGAAACGCCGAAGCTCATGACGTCTCCAAGTTCCCCCGCGCTATAAGCACTTGTTCAAACTCCGCGCCTTCACCATCGGCAATAACACGAAAGGCATTTGTCAGGATGGACAGCGCGACCGCTACGACCGACAAGAGACAGTCTTCTTCACGGCGGCAGCAGAAGCAAGCCGGCCCACCCGGAAAACCCAGCAAGGCGTGCGTGCCTTGTCGCGCGCGCAAAGTAAAGTGTGATGCTGCGCTGAGGGGATTGCCTTGTAGTGGTTGTGTCAGTAGACAATGCCCTGAAAGCTGTGTCCTGTCGGCTCGCAAGCGCCGTAAGAGGTAAGCCAAGGCCCGATATCAATTTCAACCGTCAAGGCTCATACTCACATTGATTTGTCTCAGAGCCGAAAGCTCACTCGCCTCCCCGAGGAAGGGCGAAAGTCTGATACAACGAGGAGATGTATATGTACGTGAATGACATTGAATTTTCGCTGACTCCTTCTCTGATTCTTGCTTATTCTTCTTCCTTTCGACATGCTTCCTCCAAACACTAATCTATACTCCTAGGTCTTGTCATCCCCCCCGGATTACGCCACAGACAGTGGCCAGTCAACTCATGCAGAAGATCTTGGTTCAGAAAAGCTTGATGAAGCCGCTTGTGCCGAGAGATTCTCTCATTGTCATCACATCTCTGACCCTTTGAGTTGCCAATTACATTACCTCAATGTCCTGAAAGATGCCGTACATGACACGGCGTCTAACCAACAGCATGGGGGCCCCATTAATGCTTCCAACCCAAGACAAGAGGATAATTTGACCTCCCAGATCCGAATTTTGTCCAAGTTACCGCAGCTGGATGACTCCTACAAAGAATTCCTTACCAAGAAAGGAGTCTTTGACTTACCCCCTCAACGTTACTTGTATTTCGCATCCAAACAACCCCACAGTCTCAATTTTTGCTCACATATAATTAGGGACGTTCTTATCAAGACTTACTTTGCTTATGTCTATCCTTTTGCTCCTGTGATTGACAGGATTGACTTCATTCGAAACTACCGGGCGGGAAACTACTCACTCTTTTTGCTGTATGCCATGCTGGCGACTGCAACTCTTCACGCACCGCCAGATGTCATCTCCGGGTGTGGATTTGAGGATCGATCCACAGCGCAAGCATCTTTCTCTGGAAAGGCCACTCTGCTCCACGACTTTCACTTCGAGACTGATCTCCTGCCAATGCTACAGGGCTCTCTCATCTTGGGCGTAGTTATTCTCGACCATTCGACGGACAAGGATTATCATTACTGGTTCTACAACTCTACCCGCCTTGCTGTAAAGCTTGACATTCATAAAATGTAAGCCATAGTTAGGTTGTCGAACGAAATGTTTATTTGGATCAGCAGCTAACCTAGTGACAGCTCCATGCGAGACGACAAATCGAGTAGATTATCCAAACTCTATAGAAGGATTTGGTTGCTTCTTTACGTATGTCGTTAACTGTACTTGTGATCGGATGAACGGTTACTGACTTGGCTTCTAAAAGTGCCGAGATAGTTTTTTTCATTTACTATCCGGCACGCGGACCTTGCAGCTCATCGGCAACGATCCCCAGATGAGGCCAATCACGAAAAATGATTGGGAGCTTGAAGAGATTCCAGTAGACTTCCAATCGCTGCTACTCCCGATATCGAATCGACAGAAGTGTTCTTTCAGTCTCCATTGTGAATTGGCTCAAATCTGTATGTTCTTCTTTTTAGCTCCCTCGACGCGGTTAAGCTGACGGAAGTACCCGTAGTTGGACGTTTATTGTCGGCTATCACCAATGATCAAGAAAAGGACCCCAGACAATTGATCCGCCCGCTAGATGCTTGGCGCATGTCTCTGGCGGAGAAGATGCAGATTCGTGACCAATCATCCGACGGCGACATGTATTATGCAGAATTACGCGGGAGCAGCTACAGATTCGAGTTTGTTATATGCCGTCTCATTCGACGCCGGTGGCAGTCCCGAGATGCCGAGCGTTGTGAGTGGGCAAAACAAAGGCTACGGTCAGCGATATTCGAGCTCGATGCCATTGCCGGTAGAATGCTAGCAAACGGCACCATACAGGATTTCCCGGTGTCATTGTACGTACAACTCTCTCCCTTTATTTTATTCGCCTTCACCATTGTTCCAATATTGACTAGTTCTCTAAACTCTAGCATAACTGCTATGCCAACCTTGCTTGCACTACACATAGAGTCAGCTCTGGACACTTCGGAAACAGACCTTGTTCGATCAATGTCCCGAATATCCATAAGCCAAATGATGCTAGTCCTTGGGGAACTGAAAGAGATTCCTGTAATCAAAAGAGCCATCCCGATTTTTGAAATGGTGCTTTCGAAGAAAAGTCTCAGTTCTGCTCCACATGCCACAGTTGAACAACATATGCCACAAACCCCAGCGGACGAATGTACTCGAAATGAGTCGAATGACCAATCGCGAATGCAGTCTGGTGTCCTCTCATTCCAGGATGCGCAAGAAGAGTACACTTCATTTCTTGGGGAGTTTATGGACTTCGACGTCTTGGATCGATGGGAACTTGGGCAGTTAGACTTTCCAGGTACATTTTGAGTGCGATCTGGTTAAGGGGGATCATTCTACATATTTGGACTTCCAATATTTTACAACCTCGCTCATACTTTTCTTTAACTCAGCACGCAAGATATCCATTCTCAACGTTCCAGTGGGCTGGTATTTTCTATTAGTACGGTCAAGCAACATCATCATTCACCCATAAGAAAGACTAAACTCTTGTAACATGTGACGCATCATCACTTAAAAGCAAGGATGGAACTTTGGCTGCTTCCTCGGGTTGCCCCATACGTCCAAGAAGGGTGTCCTTAGCATATCCGAGTCGAATAGCCCCAGAGCCTCTCCATCGCGGAATATATTCCTGTCAATAGGGCCCCTGGTATAAATCTGTAAGCAAGAGACCACTGGCAACAGCCTGCATGCTTCCTCTACCAGTTTGAGGGTTACCTACGGTAAGGGAGCATTGATCTAAATTCCTTCCTTGGCATATTGCTTAATCTAGAGATCTTGAACCCCACTCGCCGGGCTGATCCGAGTACCAACAACTGTCACGGCCCATCTTCCACCTAATTTCAAGGGCTAATAAAACGGCTTAAACTAGTTCGTTGATATCCTTGTTTACCTTGGGTTTGGTGATACATGGTGCTAGTATTGTGTGTTGCGATTTGCAAGGCCAAGCTAACCGGGAAGGCTGCGAGCGAGATCTGGAGAAGTCCACAGCCTAAGCAATTCAAGCTAGTGGAGCAGAGGCCATACTCGTCTAAGCCGACACTTCAAACACGCAGCAGGTTGAAGCCTTCCGCTTGGCCATCGAGGTAAATGGTCACACAGCGGGGTTACAGGCTACACATTTCTAACAAGCGGTCTAGACAGTTCACCGGCTGGATATCCTTTAATTGCGCCGGTTATTAGGCATAATTCGGGATCTTTGCCAATGCGTCGGAGGACTTGAGGTTAAAGATGGTTGCTGTGAATACCCTCGGGACCGCCAGGATGAGTCGCAAGGCCGTTCGTCAATTCATAGAGCAGGATTACGACGCCAACTGGGGACGTCTCGGACGATTTGTCAACGTCTCATCCTGCATTGGTGTGTTTGGGTTCCCAGGCGAGGTCGCATACCTACTCTGTGATAAAGGCGTCCATCAACCATATAACGAAAGCAGGAGCCCTGTATTATACAAAAGACGACATCAACTTTAATTGCGTTGCTCCCGGCGTGGTTGCGACTGGTATGGCTAGACAGAAGTTTGAGAATAGTAAGATCCGCGACGTGATGAGGAAAGCAACTCTATGGCCGAGGCTTAGCGTCTCTGAGGACGTTGCGGGAGTGGTCGTATTTCTCTGCTGCCCGAGTCGCAATGTATGACTGGCTAAGTCATCTCTGTGGATGGAGGTATGACTCTTGGTGTGTCACCTACTCCAGAAGAATGAACACGGAAGCTGTCGATCTAGGTAACGTAACGTCACATACCTAGGTCAATGTAGAAATCAACACATATTTCCCTCCACATACTCTGCGCAATAATTCCAGAACCCATCTTTCCTAATATTGAGAGGACGAGCCGAGGTTGTCTTGCTGTATTGAAGCGCTACTCTGCGGAGAGACCGATGAGATCCACATTAGCAGGTCTCGGTCTAATTTTGTGCATTCGGAGCATCTTCGCCATTCATCGATCTGTAGTGGCGTGTTATATTGCCCCGAACCCAAGCCGCGTCAAAATTCAGTCCGAGACTCAGATTGAAAATAATTAAAACTGCGGTATTTATACCATCTCGTGACGTACTAAGTGCCGTTCATTGAATAACATACACAGTTGCACTCCCGACACCCATGTTAATAATGGCACCCGCTTGGACGCATCTCATTCGTTTCGTGGCCGTTGAGGATGGTCACGTCCATCTTGGCCAGTTGGAGGATTGCTCGATAGATGCCGGAATTGCCTCCTTCGAAGGCAAGAAAATTCGGGCTCGTATCATATTGGGTTCCATCTTTGACGGTGTGGTGACGGACAAGATCTTGACCGTATCTCAGGTTGGTGTAGTGGATTAATTCAACCCCTCTGTCACTAACGCAATCCACCCAAAAGCTCCTGTCGCCAATCTCTATGAGAGAAGTACCCATCATCCGATGCATGGGACTCAACTATCACGATCATGCCAAAGAGGCCAACATGCCCGTGCCGTCACACCCTGTCCTGTTCATCAAGCCACGGACCGCACTTTCTGGGCCCTATCCTCAAAGCATCTCGATTCCTCGTTTTGTGCAAGATGAGACGACAGATTATGAGGCCGAGCTAGTCGTCATTATTGGGAAGGAAGGGAGAGACATTCTTGAATCCAGTGCTATGGACTACGTCTTGGGGTACACGGCCGGGAATGACGTGAGCGCAAGGACAGAACAGTTCCGCAATAGCCAGTGGTCATTCTCAAAAGGTATTGAACTCAACCACAAGCTCATAGAAAAACGGTCTAACGTCAATCATTATAGGACTAGATAAGTCAGCCCCGTTGGGACCTATCCTGGTTTCCAAGGGCGGGTTGGAAGATCCGCAAAATCTAGCCATCGAGGCGACGTTGAATGGCGAAACAGTTCAAAAGTCGCACACAAGAGAAATGATTTTCAGCGTGGCGAAAACAATCGCCTTTCTTTCTCAGGGCACGACCCTCGAGCAAGGAACTGTCATCATGATGGGCACTCCTCCAGGTATAACTAAACATCGTACGATTTGCAAGTTAGATCATCTGACATTCAACAGGAATTGGAGCAATGAGAACTCCAAAAATATGGTTGAAGGATGGCGACGACATGCGCGTGTATATCGATGGAATCGGTTTGTTGGAGAATTCAACATGAATCAAACTCACAGGCTAATGTGTTGCAGGAACTCTAATCAACAAGGTCCATTATGAGTAAATTGTTGCTTCGTGTTGCGTAACGTGATGGCCATTTCGCTTTCAAACTGAGGCGACAGATGCGGAGAGGGGTTTGGGGGCTTGGATGAGGTCATTGACTCGTTGGCGAAGGGCCACATCGTATGTAGTGGGATTCTTCATAGAAATGCGAAGTATCTCTACGAATGTTGATCGAGTCATCCCGATTTATGTGTGTCTTCTAGACATGGTCAGATCTAACCATACGATCAGACATTTCACTGAGACCCTCAGGTGCTGTGAACGGGGATCGTTATGTTGATCATTGAAAGCGCGAATGGCCGTCTAGGTGTTCTGATTCTGGTCTTCACGTTTCCTTCGGATTCATATAAAAAACGAGGTCTCTTCAACGCATAACTTTAGGGCGTTGATGCTAAGTTGGGTTGGAACATTTATGGCGATCTCTGCATGTTGCAGACGATCAATAAGTAATCGAAAGTAAAAGATGCAATCAATTCAACCAATGAGTCGATACAACATCTGATACATTATCAGTTTTCATGATTCAACTAGAATTCTTTGCATAACTCAGGATAGAGTTCGTAAGTCTTCAAGCATCAAAATAGGCACTCTGGCTATCTAGTCCACTATAGACTCCTACATCACTCTGTCACTGTTCTCATTCCAAAAAGTCCACGGGTAGATCCGGTCCTGATAAGGGAATTAGTTTTACCAATATCATCAGAGTGTTATATATACTTACCCCAGACATGCAACCCATCAGGGCTGGCGGGAGTGATGTTGGTTTTGGTGTGACAATTTACTTGGTCTCCATCCACATAGTGCTCCAGGATAAACATGGAGGGATCATACCTAAAAGTTCCGTAAGTACTAAATCTTACCAAACCTTCAGATGCGCCAACCTACCAATAGTCAAAAATCTGACTGCCCATGATATGGCGGCCTATGCCCCAGCAGTTTTGGTAGCCCTTGTCACGTAGCCAATCGTGCCCAAGTACTTCAGTGTCGAAGTCATGAACTTCATATGATGTGTGATGAACATGACTCTTTGGTCCTTGGAAAATGAAGAAGCTATGGTGATCGGTGAATTCCTCACCAAGGTCGATGTGCATGAATGCGGCAATATTTTTCTTCGAGTCATCATACTGTATCTGTAGAAAATGAGTTAATACTTGATATCAACAACAGTGTTCGCAATGACTTACATCGCTTGGAACAAAATTGAAATGCTCTGTGTAAAACTCGTACACTCTCTGAAAGTCGGTTACACACATGCCGAAATGGCCCAACTTGTGGACAGTAGCAGGCTCTATTAAATGGTAAGAAATGATGGTAGTGGCCTCGTCCAATACCTGAACTTGTGGATGCACGGAAACTTTGCAGAGTCGGGTTCATAATCTCTTACCTTTCTGAAATCTCTGGAAAGAGTTGCCGGGGCGATTCTTTTGTTTGGGCTAAATGGAGATGGTGAGCATCCACACTGTGAGCGAAAGCAATGAATAATCTTACGAAATTGAAATCCAGGACGCGATAATCCTTCAATGGTTCTACCTCTGTTTGTCCATATACGAGGTGGAGTTTCCAGCCATCGACCGGATCCTGCACCGTGACGCATTTCCCACCGCCAGGCACATTCACCAAGTCGTGGATTTCAGATGCCGTGGGGAATATGGCTCGAGCCCTTTCGAGGTCGCTGAGAGACGCAACAATCAATCCAACGCCACCAAATTCGTCTTCGGTGCCTGACTCAAGACAGTAAATAAATGGGTCTGGGCCATAGCCGCGGTAGAAAATCTTTCCGCCACAACGCTCGGTCTCAATAAACCCGAAATCGGCAAGAAACTGCTCTTGTCTGGCTATATCTTTGTGCTTGTAATACACATGAGCCACGCGCAATATTTGTATTCTCGGAGCAGTCGACATGGTTCGATGGGGATCACTGACTGATCTTTCGGCACTCTGTTATGGGTCGAGGGTAACAAGTCTGAGGCTCGGGCAATATTGGTGGGACCACATTAAGTAGGAAACCTTCGGCATAAATAACATTATCTTCGGTAGAATACGGACATATTGACTCGGTATTGAGAAAATATTTCGTCATCGTCCCGTGAGTGTAAAACATTATCCATTCGGGCTTACTTGGCCGTACTAACAAGGTGCGGTGTTAAGTCGGTCGAATTGGAATAATTTCGGGTTAATTGTCATGTGCCATTGAATGGGGAGGATCAACTCATATCACCTGATTATCTCCGGACAAACCGCGGTCCTCAATTGGCATTCCCGTCGCTAATGAATACGAATGAAGTTAGGGCTTTATTTTGGATGACCTATATCCCCCAGGCCTTATATGATAATTAACGGGTGTCCCCTTTCACCATCCTGTACGATAAGATTTCCTCGACAGATACACGTGCTTTCGATAGTCCTTTGGCAGACCTACGCAATGACGAACACAAACGGGCGTATTGTCGACACTGATGTGTTGATAATTGGAGCCGGCCCGGCAGGGGCGTCTCTGGCCTGTTTCCTGAGTTCACACGGTATGCTGCTATCTTTTAATCCAGATCTGAAACTTTCTGCGACTGACCTTCAATAGGGATCAAGGGAATCATTATAGACCAGAATTCAACTAATGCCGACACGCCACGCGCGCACATCACCAACATGGCTGCACTTGGTGAGCTTACTAGATACCCGTGTTGGACGCTTTTAGGCATGCTGACCGCGGTTCTGAAAGAATGTCTGCGAGACATTGGACTAGATAAGATATTGATGGACCTTGCTTCCAAGGGCAACTGCATGGTGCACACACGTTGGTGCCACAGTATGGCCGGTAAAGAGTATGCTCGCATCTACTCCTGGGGAAATGACCCGGCAAGAAAGGTAAGGCCACGGGTTATGGAGCCGAGAGAGGCATTCACAATGTCAAATTCATTACTCTCTGGCCTGCGTTTACCGTATCTAACAGTTGGAAACAGGGCGACTACGAGAAAGCCAGTCCTTGCGAGCCTTGCGATCTGCCACAAACATTGCTGGAGCCGCAGCTGGTGCGATATGCTACGCTCCACGGGTTTCAGATACGGTTCGACTCCAAATTCCTTTCTTTCGAAGAAACTAGTACAGGTGTAACGGCCATGGTTCTTGACAAAGTCACTGGCGTAACTTATACCATCTCCTCCAAGTACCTTTTCGGTGCAGACGGTGCCCGCTCTCAAGTCGTCGCGCAGCTTGGCCTCCCGCTGACCAAGGGACCCGGCGGCGGCCCGGCATTAAATGTTCTTGTGCGTGCAGACATATCTCATCTTATCCAACATCGCACCGGAAATCTGCACTGGGTTTTGCAGCCAGATGTTGAACATCCTGACTTTGGGTGGTCGTGTATTGTCCGCATGGTCAAGCCCTGGTATGAGTGGATGTTCATCTTCTTTCCCTATCCAGGTACTGCACTAGACCGGCAGCCGTCTGAGGATGAGTATCGAAGAAGGGTGCAGCAGGTGATTGGAGATGATACCCCTGTGGAAATACTGCGCATCAACACCTGGAATGTCAATGAGACTGTAGCCGACAAGTACTCAAGTAAACGAGTGTAAGTGGAATCTCTCAACCGCCGTGACCAGTTCAATCTTTGGATACTAAAAGCCGCAGCTTCTGTCTTGGAGACGCTGTCCATCGACACCCCCCTTTCAACGGCCTAGGCTCTAACACGTGCATCCAAGACGCGTTCAACTTGGCATGGAAGGTAGCTTACGTCATTCAAGGTATGACAGGTCTATCTAACTCAATCCTTGCGTGTGCTGATATGGTTGTCGGGTAAACAGACAAGGCCGGGCCAGAACTCTTGGAGAGCTATTCCACTGAAAGGCAGCCCGTAGGAGAGGGCATCGTTCGACGGTACGTTCATCCTCGCATTTATCTCACTGGGGCTTTGAATGTAGCTAATCGATCTCCTCCAGTGCAAACCAGGGATTCCGTGACCATTCTCGCATTTGGTCAGCTCTCGGAGCACTTGAGAAATCCCGAGCTGACGGCGCCGCTGCACTCGAGGAACTAAGTGCGGATAGCGATGTTGGCCAGAAGCGTCGCGCCGAGCTTAGAGCAGCCATTACCGAGACCAACCACGAGTTTCATGGCCTCGGAATTGAGATGAACCAACATTACAAATCCTCAGCAGTGTATCCGGAAACTAATCCACAGATTGAATCCGGAAATCCCGATCCCGTCCTGTACCACATTCCCCGTGCTCTGCCCGGCCGACGCTTGCCACACATCTGGCTTAACACAACAATTCCCTCCTCCCCTGTTTCCACAATTGATATTGCAGGCAAGGGAGGCTTCACTCTTTTTACAGGAATTGGCGGAAAGCCGTGGAAGACGGCGGCGGCTGCTGTGTCAACGAAGCTTGGTGTTCCCATGCGGGCTGTATCAATCGGCTACGGCCAAGAGTACCAAGACCTCTACTTTGATTGGGCTTCTGTCCGTGGCATCGAGGAATCAGGCTGCATTCTGGTCAGACCAGATCGGATTGTTGCATGGAGCCATAACTGCATGGAGGGCAACACAGCCTGGACGGAGGAAATGTTATTGAAGGTTATGAAGACAGTTTTGTCACTGAATTCTTAGATAGCCACTCTTATCATTATAGTTATTCTAAGAATGTGATACCTCAAAAACAGATATGACTGCCACCATCACGCCATAGGGCTTCTCGTCAACTCTGATGTGAATCGATCGAACATATTGTTCATATTGGCGATATCACCCGATGCTTCCAAGGTTTCAAAGGCTGGATAAACCGAATGATCCGGCATTTTTGAGATGTAGGCCATAGAAAGATCATCAATAATGGTTTGCTGCTCCGGTGTTCAATCCAAAAGGCAGCTTTCGTTGGATTAGTAGATGGTGGTGATAGGCATTGTGTGACTCCCAGAGTCGATGGACTCTGTGTAGTGGAGAAGAGAGACCGCCGATCACACAAATCAGCCATGCCTGTTAAATCGACGGGCGTTGACCTAATACTCAAGCCTCACTCCCTTATTTTATCGGGATGGAGACTGAACTAGGGACACACGTCACTCTAGATGTTACCGCCTTCTTGGACGTGCACACTTAGTCAACATTTCACACTTCAGATAAAGGCAGATATATGGCGTAATTTGTACAAAATAGCTCCAAACACTATCTAAATGCAATCTCCGTTTTGAAGCTTTTCATGTCCCCATGCACCACCACCAGGCGACTCCACGATCACGCGCTCCCCAGGAAGAAGCCTCGTGGTGGCTTTGGTCCCCAGATTCACCACCCTCTTCCCGCCTGTCATCTGGTCGTCGATAATTACCAAATTGACTCCAGCTTTACCGTCACCGCCTCCCTGCATTCCATAGGGTCGACGGCTCCGGCGCTCGCTGAGGATGGAGCACTGCACAGGGACTCGAAATTCTATCTCCCTAATCGTTCCATCGCCTCCCATGTTCTTTCCAATGCCTCCTGAACCTGTTCGTAGCTCAAATCGTCTGAGGATGCATGGGTATCGCTTCTCGAAAACTTCAGGATCCGTGATACGGGTGTTGGTCATGTGTGTATGAACACCGCTCTGGCCTGCCCACGTCGGGCCAGCACCAGCACCACCAGCAATTGTCTCATAATAGCCGAATCCATCTTTGTGCTCTCCAGTGACGGGATCTTTGCCGCCGGTACCAAAAGTCAGGTTATTGCAGCATCCTTGACTGGCTGCACAGGCACGGAACGCACGCAAGACGACGTCGGTAACACGCTGCGATGTAAGAACATTGCCGCCGACAACTGCGAGGCCTGCACTTGGGTTGAGGATGGTGCCTTCTGGGATCCTGATATCGATGGGTGTGAGGCAACCCTGATTGAGAGGAATGGAGGACGATATCAGGCCACGCAGGCAGTAGATGATTGCAGAATGGGTAATGGCCTTGGGTGCGTTTGTGTTGCCCAAAACTTGAGGCCCTGTGCCGGTAAAGTCGAAGATGGCCGAGCCATCATCCGAGATGGTAATTTTGAGCGAAATAGGGGTTCCGTCATCCATGTAGTCAGTGGCAGTGAGAGGTTCCGGGCCAAATTTGGCAACCGTAGACAGCATCAAAGAGCGCACAGCGTGTTCTGCGGTATGCTGGATGGCATACATGTATCTGTGAACGCATGCAAGACCAAATTCGGCAATAAGCGCCTTGATCAGGAGGATTCCCTTGGCATTGGCTGCAATTTGAGCCTTGAGGTCAGATATGTTGTCCTGCAATCGCCTTGTACCCGAGCAGCCTTCGTACTTGGCAGGTTCCTCCAAGAGGAGTCGTCGAACTTCGTCCTCGTCAAAGCGGCCCTCGCTGACGAGTTTGGTTGACTCAATTGAAGCGCCTTCTTGCCATAGCGCAGATGAGGTTGGTGGCATAGATCCAGGGAGAATACCGCCAATATCCGAGTGGTGTCCCCGCGAGGCAACGTAGAAGGTAATCTCGCCGCCCTCAAAAACGGGTGTGATGACTGTGATGTCAGGCAAATGGGTTCCGCCACAAGAGGGATGGTTCGAGACCAAGACATCGCCGTCTCGAAGCTTGCCTTCCCACAGTTTGTGCTGGTACTGGACAGCAAATTGCATGGACCCGAGATGAACCGGCACATGGGGGGCGTTGGCAACCAGGCCGCCATCAGGGCTGAAGATGGCGCAAGAGAAGTCCAGGCGTTCCTTGATGTTGGTTGAGACGGCAGTCTTTTGCAAGGTCCGGCCCATCTGTTCAGCGATGGACATGAATCTGTGCCCGAAAACGGTGAGCTGGATTGGACTAAACTCCTCCGTCGTTGGCTGCGACTTGAATCCGTCTTTCAAAGCGCCGTCAATAATGACATAGCTATCCAGCGTAGTTGCCGTGACGCCCGGTGTGACCAAGATGGTTTGCGTGTTGTCAATGATCATGGCAGGTCCCGAAATACGCGTTCCCACGTCTATTCCTTGGAGTTCGTAAATCGGAGTGTTCAAGTGACCATGGTCCTCAAAGTAGACGAGACTTGTCCCACTCGGTCGCGCAGTAAGCACAATCTTGTCTTGCACTGCTTTGAGTTGGACAAAGGGACTCTTAGCCTCTTTCTGTCGAGCCAAACCAGTAGCCCTGATGCGAATGTCATCGACAATGATGGACTTCTCCGGGAAGTGGAATCCAAATCCGCGCTTGTGGGCGTCTTCAAACTCGCGCCTGAAGTTCCAATCGGACCCCTTCAGGATCATGATGGAGCTGCTCGAGCCCACATATCTCATGTTAAGATAGGCGTCGTAAGATATGCGATCCGGGGCGAACCCTTGCTTTGTCAACTCAAGCGTGGCTTGTGCAGCAAGATCTTCGAGCTGCTCTCGAATGGCAACCTCTGATTCCGGGGTGTATGTAGTGGCAGCAGGGCGTTGAATCTCGTGAACAACGTCTGCAAGTGACATGCCGTACGCCGAGAGAATGGAAGAGTACTTGTGGATGATGATGCGCGAGATGCCCAGAACGGAGGCGACGGAGCAAGCATGCTGCCCTCCTGCACCTCCAAAGCACGCGAGGTGGTGGTCAGCCGCTTCGTAACCTCGAGCCTCAGTCAGAGATCTAATTGGTCCTGCCATGCCCTCATTGGCGACTTTGAGGAAGCCCAATGCCACTTCTTCGGGCGAAAAAAGAGTGAGGTTGGACGACTTTCTGTCTTCGTTGATGGTGTTTGTCAACTCTATGAACTTGGCCTCGGCAACCTCTCGGTTCAACGGCTCGTTTTCCTTTGGGCCAAAGACCTTGGGGAAATACTCAGGCAGCAGTCTTCCCAGGAAGAGATTCGCATCAGTGACAGTCAGCGGACCTCCCTTTCTGTAGCAGGCCGGCCCAGGATGTGCCGACGCAGATTCGGGTCCCACGTTGAACAGCCCGTTCTTCCACGTCAAGATTGAGCCACCTCCAGCAGCGACGGTGTGGATATCAAGCTGAGGAGATTGGATTGCGATTCCAGCAGTAGTAGTCTCGAAGACGTGGTCGTATACTCCCGCATAGCGAGACACATCTGTCGAAGTACCACCCATGTCGAAGCCAATAATGGGACAACGCTCCTCCTCATCCCATGAGGTCTGGGCATAGCCAACGACCCCTCCAGCCGGTCCCGAAAGAATGGCTTTGAGGCCGCTGAATTTGCGGTAGTCAACAAGACCTCCGTCAGACTGCATAAACTCGATCCGGGTCGCCGCTGAGGAGAAGCCTCCGTTGAAGTTGGCCGAGATGGAGTTGATGTACTCTCGGATGATGGGCGTCAAATAGGCGTCAGCCACAGCAGACATTCCGCGGGGCACGACATTGATCATGGGTTGCACTTCGGAGGATAATGTTGTTGAGAATCCCATTTGCAGGGCGAGGTTCCCGACCAACAGTTCATGCTCGGGATGTGCATATGAGTGAATGAAGACGATGGCAATCGAGCGGAATCCGTCCTTCCATAGCTGTTCAAGCTGAAGTTTTACGAAATCCAGGTCGGGTTTTCTGAGAATTCGAACAGTCTCCCCGGTAATGGCGGTGACAAGGTCGGTGTCCGCGAGGCTAGGGATCGTCTTCGAGGATTCCGGATCCTCGGTGTAGTCTTCCATTGTGATGCGCTCATCGACCTCAACAACACGGTCGAAGAGCACTTCTGGGCGGGATATGGACAGATCAAAAATATTCGGCCGGGACTGGTTTCCAATGGCGAGGAGGTCGCGAAAGCCTGCGGTGGTAACCAAGGCCACACGCTCGCCCTTGCGCTCGAGGAGGGCATTTGTAGCGACCGTGGTGCCCATCCGGATCGACTCGACGTGGAACAAGTCCAAGAGCTGTCCTCTGGGCAACTGCTGGCCCGTCACCAGCTCGAGGATCCTGCGAATGCCCTCGGTGGGCGCATCTTTGTAATTGGCCGGGTCGACCGAGAGAAGCTTGAGTATGATGTCGTCTCTCCCGGGAACCGCGGCGTGAACGTCGGTAAAGGTGCCGCCGCGGTCGATGGAGATTCTGATGCGATGGGACTTGACGGTCATGATGGGCAAGGAAAGGCGCTGGAACGGAGGACAGGTGTGGAGAGAGGAGGTAGATTGAGACCCAAGCAAGATATTCGCCCAGATTGAGAGATAGCCAGATTGAGTCGCATCGAGTCTTTATTATATACAGTCGAGTCTTCTTTTCTCGTCCACGCCATCATCGTCACCCGCTATCCGGGGAAGCATGGCGATCGTCTCGCCAGCTCTCCGTAGATGGCCTGGAGAAACGACTCCACCACGCTTATCGCGAGAATAGCGACGCACTCTGGTTGGAGGACTCGCCCCCCCGCGCCGGAGTGGGTCCCCGCCCTTCTCAGTCCATGATCAATGAGGCGTCAGTGAAACAGGGCGACGTTCTCGGCTATTCTGTGACGCCAATTACGCCGTAGGCCACTAAGACGGCGAAAGCTAGGCGTACAAGACAGCCGTCGGTCCAGCTGTCCGATGGAGGTGCGTGAATGTGCCAAAAGACAGCCGAGGCGAACAAGAGATTGAGACAAGACTGACTCGGTGATATCGTACAATTCCCACCCTGGTCGTACAAAGCGTTATCACCGAGTGGGTCGATATACAAAGAGGGGATTATTCCTCCTCTGCCACGGAGTACTCCTAATCAATCCTCAAAGACTAGAAGCGTCACCATGCTCCAATTACAGCCACGTGCCTTGTCCTAGTTCTAGCCCCGGACTTCCTCCCCCGCCCATCTTGGCGATCCAGCCTCCGCCATAGCACCAGATTGTCGTTGTCCAAATTGGACTCAAACACCAGCCGCAATTCCCATCGTGTCCACAAGACCCCGCGTTTTCGTAGAGATTCGACTCCACCGGAATATAGTCGCGTGAGGCAATCGAGATGGCGACCAGGGGAACACCGTCTTCTCAGACTGGGGAGTCCAGCACGTCGAGGCCTGTCGCGTGAGTTGGCTGTTTTCTTTTTACGCGGAGTCCATGGCTTACATGCATCTTCCCCGGCTAGGTGTCTGCATTGCCGTCAGCGACGGTCGTACTGCTCGAAGGAGAGACCGAGTTGTTCAAGATGTCGCGACGGTGGCATGAATTGTACCTACGAAGAAGCGCGGAAGATCCTGGTCAATGAAACGTGAGTCGGGTCGCCTACCCTACAGCCAAACGCAACACTGACAGTTCAGGTATTTGAGAGAACTTGAGAGAAAGGCGAGAGCCCACGATGGTACGTTTCTGTTTGTGACTTGCATTTTTTGTTTTATTATCCCATCGAATTTTACTCACACGCAACAATCTAGCGGCTTGTTCTCAGTCCCGAGAGCTAGGCATGGGCAAAGCAAGAAATTCGTTCGACGATGACGAAGACGATTTCGAGTATGAACATCCCTTGTTGGAACCCTTCACTCAACTCGGCGTCGACAAACCCTCCACGAGTAAGTGCACCTATGCTGTATCCAAGTCCCAAGCATCTCCGTCTAACAGGCACTGCAAGGCTTCAAAGGGCCCGCCTCGTCCGATCACTTTCTCCGCAGCGTGAGCAAACTTTCCGGCCTCCATGACGATGATGGCAGTCTCGATGCGAACCCCAATTTCTACGAACCGGGAGCCTTGCCGTCTCGACGAGGAGTTTTCGGTATGAATATACGACTACCGCCGTTGGACATTGCACGCCGACTCTTCGCAGCCCAATACACCTACATCGGGACCATCTTTGCCTTTACCGACCCAAAAGAGACATTTGATCAACACCTGCTCCAGGCATACTGTGGACTCCCAGACCCTGAAGACAAAGACGGTTGTCTCATTTATGCAAAGGTCCTGGTGATCCTTGCCTTTGGTCAGTTGTATTCGGTAAACCAATGGGTCGACTTTCGTGGACCTCCAGGCTTTGGATACTTTACGAGCGCCTTGAACCTGCTTCCCGACGCGCACGAAGTGGGCTCAGTTCTTTGTGTAGAAACGCTGGCCCTCGCCGGTTATTTCATGCAAAACATGAACCGCCGTGATGCTGCCTTTCTGTACATCGGAATGGCGCTCCGCATGGCCACTTCGCTCGGCCTTCACCAAGAGGTCGGCTTCAACACATCCACGGGCCTGTCTCAGGGCCAAGACTCGGCGCATGCATTGGACAGCGCCGCCCGAGAGCATCGTCGCCGAGTTTGGTGGTCTGTTTATAGCCTCGATCGCATCCTGTCAGTGAAATCCGGCAACCCCATCACCATCCAGGACGAGGACATCGGCGTGGACCTACCATCCAGGCTCCCCGGGGATCCTGAATATTGCCCTGCCATAGTACTGCGTCATTACACCCAGCTGTCTCGCATCCTTGGTGACATCCACATGACCATCTATCGAAAGGCCAGTAAATCAACGCCGAAATCCGGGAAGCGCCTGATGGCATCCGTCCAAGGCATCATCCTTACCCTGTCGAAATGGAACCGCGATCTTCCAGACGAGCTCCGGTTCGACCCTGTCAGATTAAGCATAAGTCGCGAAAGTGTCAGCACATTTGCGCATTACTATCAGTGCATCAACATGACTGCCAGGCCATTGTTATTCCACGTCGTGCAGAAGCGGCTACAGCGGATCCGAGACAGTAGGGACCCTGGGGTGAAGGAATGGGATTGGAGAGAAGGTCTATCTCAGACGACTGTGAGAGTAATAGACATGTGTATTGGAGCGGCACAAGACACCATCAACATGATGATCATTGCAGCGCAACGAGATCTCGTTGGTAAGTTCATCCTTCTGCCTTGTGATGGATATTTTATTGACATATTTCATAGCGACCTACGGCTACATGGATGGAGAGCACATCTTCTCCGCCGCCATCGTCCTTGTCATGGTCTGCGTTGCGTTCCCAACAAATGCAGCCAATACCGTGGCGATGAACGCAGGGCTAGACTTGCTCCGGGGCATGGGTGAGCGTGGAAATACCAACATGGGAGCCCGCTATGAACTGCTTTCCAACTTGCGCTCCACGGCAATGCCTGGCATTGTTGTGCATGCCGACCGCATTCGGTCATTCTCGAGCAACCTTTCATCGGCAGACTCGGTGATACACGACGGCACCAGCCACTCGCTTGTAGCCATGCTACCAATGAGCACCAGTAATAGCCAGGGAAATATGGCAACCGTCGGGTACGCGTTGAGTGACGGTAATGGAGAGATGCTCACGTTTCCGGTGGTAGACAATAGCTCTCTGGGCGAGCCGTTCTACGACGAAAACACAAGCCCAGGAATTGACATTGGTCTCTGGGAAGAAGGGTTCGCTGACCCGGCCATGGATGTGGATTTTGACCTGACACAATGGACCTCAACGGCAGGGATGAGCGTCGTGGGAGAGACGAGGGCATCTTGAAATTTGCAACTATTTCGTAATTACCTGTATCATGTATTTTTTGCTCTTAGAGAATCGGCCTGGCTGTGAATCGCGGGCGCGCTAGCGTATACAATTTACTTCGCTTGGATATACCAGTAGGACTTCGTACTCCGCGCACGCGTGCTATGATGATGAACTTGACATTCTTACTTTTGGCTTTGTTTCAGCCACTATCACTAGGGCCGGATGCTGAGGAATTCACCCAACTCCCCGTCAAATAGCCTGTCAATTGAGCTGAAGTGTGAATTGAGCTGAGGTGGCGCAGCATGGGTTCACGACAAGGGTGCGACGGCAGATAACAAACACGCTGTGGATTCCGCCGTCGCAAGGCAGAACGTCCAGCTGGTCCAATAACCAGCGGCCATGATGGCCTGATACAGTGGAAATGCCACGGTACGCACGACATCCCTGAACCAGCACGACTAGGGAAAGGACTCCGATCTAGACCAGTGGGTCTCCGCTATCTCCCACGACGATTATCACCTAGAACGGAGAAAGCCGCATGGTAGGGGTCGGTGATGAGCTCCGATCCTACCCCGCAAACGCCCAACTTTGTTCTAAGGCGTTCTGCCGTTGATGGTGGCTGGTTGCGTCCCTGAAGAGGATGGTCGGGCGGACTAAAGCTGGGGACGGGCTTCATCCGCCGCCCAGGACTGGCTGTAGATAAAGATGCCATGGTTCGCACCAGATGAGGCTAAATATCCTGCCTCCTCACTCTCAACTCCATCGGTTTTCCCTGACTCCAACTGAGAGGGCAGTAGCTGCTTTACCTGCAATCCCGGTACCCAAACCTCATCCTTGGTCACCATGACATCCATCTCGACTGCCATCGACGCTCCTGGCTCTCTCCAGGAGAAGAGTCAGGCAGACTTTGCCAAAGAACTCGATCGAGTTGACTCCAGCAAAGAACAATCGACGTCGGTCGAATCCCTCGACCCGGTTGCCGAACAAAAACTCCTCGTGAAGCTCGATGCCTTCTTTGTCCCCATCATCATGCTCGTCTACCTCACCTGCTTCCTCGACCGAACGAATATCGGAAACGTCAAGGTCGCCGGAATGCCCGAGGACATCGGCGCCTCGCCACAGGAATTCTCGACCGCAGTGTCTATTTTCTACGCCACCTATGTCGCCTTTGAGCCCCCGTGGACCATCATGATGAAGTGGATGACACCGCGGATCATGCTCACGAGTCTGTGCATTGTTTGGTCCATCGCGACAATCTTCTCCGGCTTTATCCAGAGTATCGGAGGGCTGTACGCTGCGCGTCTGGTGCTTGGCGCATGCGAAGCCGGCCTGTTCCCTGCCCTCAACTTGTACTTGACCATGGTGTATAAACGAGAAGAGCAAGCCAAGAGAGTGTCTTACTTGTTTGTATGCACTGCTATTGCAGGTGCCTTTGGTGGGCTGCTTGCATACGCTCTGCTCAAGATGGACGGTGTTGCTGGCTACGCCGGCTGGCGATGGGTTTACATTATTGAGGGCATTTTCAGCATCCTCGTTGCGCCCGTCATCTGGTTCCTACTGCCGAATGATCCCTCGAATGCCTATTTCCTCACCGACGAGGAGAAGCGAATGATGAAGGTGCGCGCAGCACAGCGGGCCCAGTACATGGGCAGCGAAGATTTCAGCTGGACGGAGATCAAGATTGCGCTGAAGGATCCGAAGCTCTATCTCAGGTCAGTCTTGCCTTTACAAACCACCTTTCACGGGAAATCTATAGCCTTTTACTAACCCTGTCAATACAGTGGCCTCATTCAATTCTGCCAAGACATTCTCCTCTACGGATTCAGCACTTTCCTGCCCTCCATCATCGTCAGCATGGGGTACACCAAGCTTGAGGCCCAGTATCTCAGCATTCCCGTCTACATCTTTGGTGGCATATGTTTCCTAGCCGTCGCTTACGTCTCTGATCGTCTATGCATCCGCGGCCCATTCATTCTCTTGACCAACATCCCCGGCATTATTGGCTACATTTTGATGCTAGCCCCCACCAGCAACGGAGTCAAGTTCTTCGGAACGTTCCTCTGCGCTGTCTCGGTTTACAATGGCCCTGGACTCAACCTTACTTGGCTCAACGTTAATGTTGCTCCCCACTACAGACGTGCGACAGCCATTGGCGTCCAGCTTAGTATGGGAAACTCTGCTGGCATTGTCGCTGGCCAGATTTACAGGACGGCCCCATACACACTTGGAAATAGCTTCTCTGTTGGTGCAATTGGTGCAGCTCAATTGCTGGTTGCTATCAAATGGTTATACATTCGCTGGTGCAATGAGAAGAAGAGGAAGATTGCGAACGGAGATATGGACGACAACAGGAAGGTCAAGACTGGTGACTGGGAGCTGGACTTCAAGTACCATCTTTAAGCGCAGACTTTGTTGACTGGTTCGATTTTTCAGTTGGAGGAGGGAAAACGTAGGCTCTTGTTCAAGAAGTCAACGGGCGGGGGCTGTTGTCTCTATTGTTGTGGTTGGGGTAAAATTTGTAGTTATCGCTGTAGTCTTAGGCCGCTTTTACATGCAAATATAATCTGCCATCTAGGTCAAATCGTCGAAGTTGAAAGTGAGAAATAGATGAGCCTGCAAAGAGGCAAGTCTAAGTGTATGATGGGGGTTAATGGAGTCAGTCTAAGAATCACGTCGACTCGTTCAGGCGACAGTATTCTGGAAAGAGTGGTCTCGTATGTGAGGACTGTAATTTCTAGCCGTTGGAGTGCTTGTTATATAAGTTCCTGAGGGGTTCTGCTGCCAGACGACATTAAGGCGAGGTTAACTTGACCTCCATAGAACCATATAGCTCCTACCCTAGACACAGTGGATTCTCTAGATAATTATTACTAGTTCAAGAGAGTAACAACAAGAACAACCAACCATGCAATCAAGCATTGATCTGCATTTCTCTGGCTATCCCTAATCTTTACTCAAGACTCACCGCATATCTAACACTTTTAATGGAGGGTGCACGAACGCAAATGTGATTTCCTGTGGACAATTCCAGCTACAGTGACTGTGCTTCGAAGATATTAAACCGCATCAGTTTAGCTCATGCCTGAGCGGGATTTTTCCACGCCAAAATAGAGACTACCAATTGTGCTATTCCAACAATAAATGAAAGAAAGCCAAAAAGCGCCGCCAGAAAGACCCCGATGATGGCGACTGTCAACGCATTTCTCTCGCTCGTGTGTCTTTCAAACCAAGAAGTGAACGAGTTCGATGGTGGGGGATTGTCGACAATTTCTCGCAGGATATCCAGCCGCTTCTTCCAATACATCAACTGGAATGGCTCCGGTACGGGGCGGATAAGTCCGTCATAGATGAGAATATCTGGGTCGAACCCTCTTGTCTTTTTTTTGGGATTAAGAACCAGTTTTTTTGCTAACTTGGCCGACTTCTTGTCAAGGGGCAGCAGGATGTGATAGATGCTGTACAACGTCTCGAGGAGTAGTTGTGGTGGCAAAGTTCCACTATCAATCGTCAACTTCAATGCCCCAGGACTTAGGCAAGTGTTGGTGTAGTATCAGGCTTCCTACTTTTTGAGGCTCGTGTCCATTGGCTCTAACAAATCGTTTCCAGACGCGTGTCGCAATTGAGCCTTCAACCAAGCAACTTGATGGAAGACGCTGAGGCATTTTGTTTGTCGATCGTAGTAAAGATGCTGAACAAGGTCGTCCGTGGGAACGATGTGTATGCCATACCTCTTTCGAAGCTTCCATACTTTGAGGGCTCGGTCCTTTCTAGAAGCAGTGTATTTCGAGTCGGCGCTGTATGGGAATGCACTTTGTACAAGCTCAACCAAGGTTTGTTCGCGACGCCACTCCACTGGGAAACTTCCGTCGCTTTCAATTTTGAACTGCTGGGAAAATGTTTTCACTGAGGCGCAATCGAACATGTATGCAATCTTGACAATCACCCTCAATGCTTGTTCGGCCTCTTCCCTGTCAGCACCAGCGAACATTTCATGGATGAGGTCAGTCTGAGACTTGTCAGAGTGGAGCCTTAACTTGGAAACCAACGACAGTATCTCTGAGTGGGATCGGAAAGCTGGAGTACCCATAGAAATAACATGATGCTCTGGGTTGGGACTGCAAGAGGTGACTTTCCCATAAAATTGACAAAAGGCTCGATATTGGGCTTCCTGAGCGTTGTCTTCGTGGCACAAAAGCCTTAAGGCATCGTCGATCTCGGTGGTGTTTGGTACCATCAAAGCCATTGCCATACGTGTATTGGCAAGGACTTTCAAGTCGTCAGAGGTAAAGTCAATTAAGGCCGCCTACTTAATCGCGAATTTGGGCAGAAATTAGGCAGCACATCTTCACGTGGTACTGCTCCCAGCCTCAATTGGCATAGCCCCAATGCATGTCAGTTGTGTTACAGGCGTTGATAGGTGGGCATACGATTATTGCAACCCTTTCAACCCATTGATGCGGGCAAAGCAATGCAGCACAGTCCTGATCTTACTCAGTCGGTCATCATAACGGTTACTACACGTCGATGAATGGTTTAAAGATTGTGCCCTGCGCCCGACAGAGCGCCCTAGCTCCAATGTTCCACCACACTCCACCTTGCGACTGTGATCTCATCTCCCCTTTCATCTCCTCTTGTTCAGCGAATATCTAAAAAATTTCCTCTATACGCGTTGGAAATGGTGGGGCCTTATCGGATTGGATTGACGTCCAGTTCAGTGTACTCCGAGCGTGGGCACTTGGAAGACGTTGCGAACCTCGCCCTCGCTAGGGCTACAGTTCCTTCACAACACCAACGAGGGATCGATCACGACAGGAGCAAAGAGGAAGAGGAAGAAGCCGTTGAATCTGAGGAGAAAGTCTTCACCGTTAGCAAATGGATTCGTTCTCTGTTCAAAGGACTCGTCGATTCCGAGTTCGAGAAGAAGATTCAAGTAACTCAGCATGACCGGCATGCGACACAAAGACCCGAGAATGATAATTGTCATGTTGCAGATGGTATGGTTTTATCAAGCCTAAAGTCTAACTCGAACTGAGAGTAGCTAATGATCGATTACAAGCCGGCCCTCCGCTGCGGTACAACTTCCGCGACGGCGTCAAGATCCCATACGTCAAACGACAATCGGAAGTCTTCTTATATCCCCGCGCCGAAATCTACATTAGTAGAGAACACAGAGCTCGCTATCCGCAGCTGGTGAACATCCTGAAACTCGCCGTGGAACAAAATGCCAAGTTGGCTAAGGATCGGAACTGGATCGTCGGCACGGCTTATTCCTTGGCTATGTGTGGAAAGGACATGAACTCAGCTGTTCCATCTGTGGTGGTATTCTGTCCTGAGGGAGACATGGATAAAGTGAAACAACTGCAGCGCACATTGGCCCAGGATCACGTTGCTGCCCAGTACGACGGCCCAACAGCTCCCAAGTTTCAGGTCTACGTTTGGGCAAGCTCGTACACGCTGTGTGGAGGAACAGACGATCAAGTCAATATTCAAATCGACTACGAACGGTCCATCTGCGGCGCTGTGGTCACCAGCCACATGTCTGGCGAGAGACTGTGCACAGTTGCCGCCGTCCTTAAAATTGGGTCTTCCCTCTATGGTCTGACTTCCGCTCATGCGTTTGCCCAACATTCCTGTCCTCCAACCACGATAGCTAATACAGAAGATGGGTGTGCTGCTGCCGGGTGGCAGGACCAAGGCTCTTCAATAGATAGCAACTAGCTGTTATGTGGGGTTGAGTATGACTTCCCAGTTGAAGGACAAATACTGGGCCTTGGCCACTCCAAGGCCTTGGAACCAACAGGGACGGCTGAAAGGCCAGTGGTATGCAGCGTTGTACGAGTTCCAGAGGACAGCAATTGGACCGATGAGGAGGCGAACCTCGACTTTGCCCTCATACCCCTTCCTGACGAAAGGCCCTGGATGAACAACTCTTACAAACTGACCTACGAGAACAGACGGACGGCTCATGTGTCTATCGACTGTACCCCGGCCAACCGACCCAGTCGATCTCGCTACGTCCGGATTCTGACGTCAAACACTGAACCGAGATTTGGCATGATCCAACCGGCTCCATCATTCGTCTCAAACTCGTCCAAGGGCGACCACCTCTGTGAAGTCTGGGTTGTTTCAGTCATCTCTGGAGGCGGTAAGGTTCAGCAGAATAGTGTTGGCAATATGTTCAATTCGCTAACATGAATTCAGTGCCGAGTATGGGAGACTCGGGGTCTCTTGTTGTCGACGTTGAAACTTGCCAGCCTTACGGGCATGTTATAGCAGTGAACCCCCTTGAAGTCTACGTTGTGCCGCTTCAAAATACGCTGCGTCAAATCGAGAAGATGTTCAACTATGATCGCGTTGAACCATTTTCCCCCGAGTCCAAGCCTTTCACCCGTAAGAGACGGTCGATGCAGGTTCGCGATGCAAGCAGTGGATGGCTTGGGAAACTTTTTATTGCTGTTTGCGAGGGATTGGTGCGCCGTATGCTCGGATTTTGAAAGTAGGCATGTGATCGCGACTATCCAATTCAATTCGGCAAGCTGGCATCTTGGAAAGAATGCCGATATATCCTACAGTTACTGTCATGGCCAAAGACGTTGGCTTTCTCACGTTTTTTCCCCCGCGTTTCAAAAGAGAGTTGCCCAGGTAAATGAAGTAGTCTAGGCGTGGTTGTTTGTAGTGTTTATATATAACTATATAACTATGAACTAGTAATAAGATATACCAAGAGGTTAGGGTGCAGCCGAAGTGTCGAAGCGCATCATATTAAGGGTTTATTGGATGGCAAAGAAGCTGGTCGGCTGCATGGCGTTACGTCAGGACCAGAGAGGGCCAGCCACGTCAGCCCTGGAAGAACTTGGCGCATACCGGGCTCTGCTGGCTTTCAATTTCTCCTTCTGTGAATTGTCACACATCTCAAGAGCAAACTGGCCCTCGGGAAATGCGTCCCAGAATTGACGCAGCCAGTCGCTGTTGCGTGTTCCGGATTAGCCGCGACACTCGAAGGCCACTCACCACCATGCCACTACTATTGCTGTTTCTCTGCAGCCTCCTGTCAGGATACCTCAGATATTGCATCACCTGCGCCTAGGATATCATTTCAACCAAATGCCGCCTAAGCGAGATAATACTAGCCTATTAGCACAATGATGCGATGCGAATACGTTATCGTGCCAAATGCCAAGATGCCACGTAGGGAGAGGGCTGCGCGATTTCGTGCTGTGGCTTGCACATTGCAGTATACTATCTTGCTCACGAGGACATGTACAGGATGGTTCTTACTCATATTACCCCGCTCTTATCGCCTCATGTAGGATGTAAATCGCACTTTGGCTTCAAAAGCAGCCGACGCGATTGGCTCGCATAGTAAAAAGAATCTTTCAGACAAGCCACAGAATCACGCGGATACAAATGCAACCAACCAGTCCTCCCATGCCTCAATCATAAGTAGGTGACGGCCACGTCGAAAGAGAGGACAAATCTCCGTTTATCCCCCTTTTGTTTGTCACAGGTATTCCCGAGGCGTGCTTCATTGACTGGCGAACGATACTGTCTTTTCAGAGAGTCTCTCAGAGACTCACGAATGATCTTAGACCTACCAAATCGCATTCAGGGTACCGACCATGGCCGGGACATTGTTCTGCAAAGTTTTCAACCGTATCCTTGCGCCGGATGAAAAGCCAATTCACCTGGCACTAGTCGGTTTCGACTTTCAACGATCCGAACTCAAGCCGCGTAGCCCATCGAGCACTTCATGCTTATTGCAGCTTCCTAGCAATGTGCAGTTTTTGCAAGTTGGTATATTCGAACTACCATCCACCTCTGACATCCGGAATCTCTTTGGAGGGTCTTCAAATGAGAAAATCGCCCATGTTGCGACTTTCAAAGCCCCAGACCCGCCCGCCGTACCACCTGACAATCACCATGACCCCGTGGCGAGAACGTCAAAAACCTCCGATCCTCTCGATCGAAATGAAGGCAAACAGCCGGTCAGGATGGAAGTTAAATGTAGCTTCGCCGGACAGTTAGCCAAGATCGATGTCAAAGATTCCGATCGATTTTGTGTCGCGGTTTCGCTTTTGAGCAATATCGAAGGGAACTCGTTCGAATTCACGCTCAAGAGCGCTCGAGATTCAGGAAATAGGGCTTCTTGGAGAGTTCGGCAACGCGGCAACTTCTCGAAGTCCATCACCATTAGCAAGGGAGCGTCAACTGATTGGATCCCGTTCATATGCGCCGTGACGAATGAGTGGCATGACGGCATGACCCTACTTGAGCAAGGCTGGGGCCGTTTGAGAGAAAGGGATTCCTCGGGCAGGTCAGCGCTATCCTGGATCGCTGGCGGGGGAAAGGCTGTGATGACCGAGAAGCTTGTACAACTTTTACAAGGTAAAGAAGAATCCATTGACGACCGGGACTCTACTGGGAGGACTCCTCTATCATGGGCCGCCGGGAACGGACATACTCAAACCGTGAACATCCTGTTGCACCACAAAGCCCATTCTGACGCTCTCGATCGCTCGAAAAGAACGCTGCTGTCATGGGCCGCGGGGAATGGGCACATTGAGGTCGTGGAGGTGTTGTTGGCGTTACCAAATATCGAGCCTGGACTGATGGACGACAAAGGAAGAACGCCATTATCATGGGCAGCAGAGGGCGGACACACCGAAGTCGTCAGCAAACTTATCGAATATGCAACAGAAGGTGACGGAAAAGAGCCTTGGGACAGATGTGGTCCAGGCCAGGAACATCCACTGTACTGGGCTGCAAAGTCAAACAAGGAAGAGCTCTTGCGCGTCATGGTAGCGGCCAGTCGATTCGACGAGAATTGGTTGCACAGATCTGCTGAGAACAACTGGACCGCTTTGGCCAAGATTTTGATCGATTTCGGCATGAACGTCGACGCGGTCCAGGTTGGGAAAACCCCCCTCTGCGTTGCCGCTGAAAACGGACAGGCCGAGGTGATCAAAACATTCATCCAGGCCAAGGCAAACAGAAACTATCAGGTGGAAGGGACAAAAGATACACCTCTCTGCTTGGCAGCGCGTCTTAAAGAAACTGGTCACGAAGCAGTTATGGCACTACTCGATGGTGGCGCCGACCCTAACATAGCAAACTCGTCTGGCTCTACGCCTATCGACATCGCAAGGCATAGCATGACGATAGCTAAGCTTGCTGCTATGGATAAAATATCGAAACTTTCCGAAGAATCGGACCCCGAGCACAAAGACATCGACGAGAAGTTCGAGGCAACGGTTGTCGAATTCTGGTACCAATCTGATGGCACCTTCCAACCTACCTTCTACGAAACAAAAGTCCGACTTGCTCTTGAGAACCCTCGAAAAACCACTGGCCCCAGTACTTCCAATCCAGCGTTTCGATGGTTTCATCTCCCGGCAAACAACGTGAGTGGATATTATCCGAAGCTTAGATCGCCTTATTGACATTCCCCTAGATGGCATGGGTTGAAGTAGGGTTACCACAACTGTAGATGTAACCACTGAGCTAACCAAGCAACAGGTCTTGATTTCAAAACTCTACGAAGACCTGTATCTAAGCCGCACACTGTTGAAGCCAGATCGTTGGGTACGGCGACAACACCATGGCTCAACGAGTCGACACCATGCCAGATTCATGCGCCCTCTCTGCCAAACCTTTGCCAGCACCCAATCTTGTATGTCAAATATGACTCGCGAATTATCGTACGAACCTCACTAACTCTTCCTTCCCACCTCCGAAGCAACAAGACCTCCACAGCAGGAATTAGGGAATAATCGAGAGAACCTCGTGCTATTCGTAAGGCTAAATACCTTTTCTTACTGGCTAGGGCTCATCAAAACGCAGATGCCTTATCTCCACTGGCATATGAAAGACTGGTGGCGCGAGGACGTAAAAGCTTTTCAGCCTCAGCCTCAAAACGCCAATCACACATGGAACCGAAGCCAAGAACTACTAATGGCATATCTCCAAGCCGAACGCCCTATCCACATCCGCCGCACATTAGATCAATATTACTACCATGCTCTAGATGAGACAGCGCAGAGGGATAACGATCAAACTGTGATGCGCTACTTGACACGAAAGAAAATTCAGCCAGAAATAATAACGATGGTCGACCAGCTGTGGCTTTGGGTCATCAGGGAAGGAACCGAGCAACCGGATACAGTCATAAGCTGCTTCCCGTACGTTGACACATCCTCCATAGGGAGCCCAGGGCGACGGTGGCATCTTCCCGATCCATTGACGAAGGTCAAGCTTCACATGCGAGACGACCCATCGGCAGTTCAATCAGCGTCCGACCTGGCGAGCCTGATCACGGCAAAGTGCTCAAGACTGTCTCTTGACATGGCAAACACTCCCCGTTTGTTGGAGTATCATTCACATGCCCCTGGAGCCCTTCGTTCCAACACTTGGGAACCTCCAGATTTCGGTCAATCTTCAGAGCATGTAACGAGAAGTACCTCTGAAGGACAAGAGCTGTGTTCGCTGCAACTTACGGAAGTCTATAACCAAGCGATTATCAATGCGGTGAGCAGACATAGTACTAAGAATTCCATGATCGATGCTTACAAAAACTCTAGAATCATGATGAAGCGACACGTTTCAAAGAATTCTCGAAATTAAAGAAAGAAGTCACTTCCAAAATCGACAAGGATATTAAACTATTGGTCGAAATGAAAGATGTGTTGGATGAGTTGACCATCATGAGCCAGTTGTTTGACGAACAGAAACAGTGCATTCAGACGATGAGCGAGTTTGCCTCGAACTTCGAGAGCGACATGTCTTTGCATGAATCTCTACTGCGCTACAAAAGGGACTCAAACTCGATCCTCGAAGAGTCCATACACTTCCCCATCGACGACAATGAGACAGATCACAGCCAGGATCAATCCGATCAAAGCACAGACGAGATTGTCGGCCCGGGAACTAGTTCACGACAACGGACCAAGTCATTTCGTGAAGGGGCAGGAAACTCAAGCGGCACCTTACTCACGAAAGAAGTCAACACCAGCATCGAAGCTATCGAAGACATGAGTAGCCGAGCCCAGGCAGTTCATGATGCGGTATGAGCAAGCATTTCGTAAATTATGATTTTTCTTCTAAACGACACAGCCTTCAGCGATCCTTTCTGAGATAGCGCGTGCATATCGAAACTGATGTTCTTGTTTATAGCTGAACCTACTCATCGATCTCAAGCTCAAGCATAATAGTGTCATAGATACCAATGAGGCGATTGGACAAGGACGCACCATGCTGATTTTCACTATAACAACTATTGCATTTGTACGAGTTCTTTTGGCGCGAAATTTCTGCAAACCGAACAGAAACTAATACATATAGTTACCGGCCTCATTCTTAGCAGCTTTCTTGGCGCTCAACATTCGGGAATTCAAAACAGACAAGCAAGGGGATATGGGACTCGGCTATGTCGCGACAATCATGTGTAAGAGAGCCCACCCAATCAGATCGTGTCAATCAAACGGTATCCTATTATTTCGCCTCGAATACACTTTCTAACAGAGTCTACCTTAATCTAGTCCCGATTTCAGCTGTGATCTCGGGTATGCTGATCTGGGGAGCCTTTAAATGGAACTGGGCGAGACCTAGGTAGCCTGTAGAGCCTACATAGGCAACAAGGCAAGACCGCCACCACCGTTGGGAACTATTTTACTGGACGATCAGCTTGGAAAATGACGAGGCACTTTATTTATCTTGATGTTCAGGGGGCTGCTTGGGGAGAGTCACTGTTATAGCATGAGAGAACGGTTAATTAAAGTCTTCTAAGAACCCTCCTTAACTTACATATCATGTCCATCAAACCGAATTTCAGTCAGTCGGGCTTCGCGTCTATTCATATCGAGACTCGTATAGAGGATCGATCCCGCCGTCCACAGCCCGAAAAGCCTTTTCTTGATAGAAGTCGTCTGGCTATCCATGCTGGCGATAGATCAAAAGGTTAGGGTGCCCTAGTACACACACACCTAGAGGGGGACTAGAAGCTCAACAGTAAAACGAAAACGCCAACAATAGTATCAACAATATAGACTATTTAGTTTTTTTAGCTTTACTCAATATCATCAGATAGATCAAAGCCATACAGTAATCTCAAACAGTAGGAATAAACAATAAGTGCTTTACCCAGCACCAGAAGAAATAGTAGCTAAATAATAAGATTATTATCTACTAGTCTCTACCTAAAGCTTCCATTCAACCCCTCTAACTTCAATCCTATTATTTGCAGTTAATAACCTTACTATCTATAATTAATAACCTTAAGATAGTAATTTTATTCTAAGTAATAGAATATAAGAAAGATTATTATCTTCTATTATTAAAAAACTAACTTTCCTTCTAATACTTATCTTATTATAATTAATTTTTAATATAGTAAATTTTACTTAAGTAATTTTTTTTAAAAATAATCTATTATATCTATAACGTGCATGATAAGCATGTGCACCAAACAAGCATGTGCACCAAAAATCCCTCAATCTCTACTCTTTCCATCTAATCAATTGTTTCTCAACTACAAAATATGTCACAGTCAAATAAAGAGGCAAATATTCTTCTTGCCCTTCAAGCTCTTCAAAATGACCCCACATTGGGCCTCCGGCGCGCCGCAGGGTTATACCAGGTCGATTACTATGCCCTACGCCGGCGACAGAATGGCATTCCTTCTCGAGGCGATTGGATCCCTAAATCACGAAAACTATCTGATCTAGAGGAACGAATCATTATTCAGTTCATTCTCGACCTAGATTCGCGAGGATTTCCCCCACGACTGCGTGGTGTAGAAGAAATGGCTAATCGACTACTCGCTGACCGCGACGCGTCACCCGTTGGCAAGCGCTGGGCTTCCAACTTCGTCAAGCGACACCCAGACCTCAAGACGCGATTTTTTCGTAAATACGACTATCAGAGGGCCAAATGCGAAGATCCGACTATTATTCGCAATTGGTTTTCGCTCGTGGCGAACACAATCGCGAAATATGGTATTACCCTTGCTGATATCTACAACTTTGATGAGACTGGCTTTATGATGGGTATGATCGCAAGCGGAATGGTCGTTACAGGCGTAGAAAGGCGTGGAAGGCCGAAATCAGTGCAGCCTGGAAACCGGGAATGGGTTACAGTTATCCAGGCTATCAATGCGGAAGGCTGGGCGATCCAGCCGTTCATCGTGGTTGCGGGCCAATATCACCTTGCCAGCTGGTACCAAGAAAGCAACCTCCCGGGCGATTGGGCCATCTCCACGACCAAAAATGGCTGGACTGACAACGAGACGGGTCTTGAGTGGATTAAGCACTTTAATCTGCACACAAAGACCCGATCAAATGGTCGCCATCGCCTTCTGATCCTCGATGGGCATGAAAGCCACCACTCGACCGACTTCGAGACATATTGTGAGGAAAACAACATCGTCACGCTTTGTATGCCACCTCATTCGTCTCATCTACTCCAGCCTCTTGACGTCGGGTGCTTTGGGCCGCTCAAAAAGGCCTACGGTCGGGAAATAGAGCATTTGATCAGATGCTCAATAACCCACGTTTCAAAGACCGAGTTCTTTCCGGCCTTTTACGCTGCCCACCAAGCCGCTATGACAGAAAACAATATCAAGGGAGGTTTTAGAGGGGCCGGGCTTGTTCCTTTAGACCCGGAAAGTGTTATATCAAAGCTTGATGTGCAGCTACGGACTCCGACACCTGTTGAGGACGATGCGAGCCTCCCCGACCCTTGGGTCTCAAAGACCCCAAAGACCGTCCTTGAGGCTAGCTCTCAGTCTGAATTCCTCAAAAGACGAGTTGAAAGGCACCAAAGCAGCTCCCCGACATCTATTTTTGAAGCGATTGAGTCGCTTTCTAAGGGAACGAGGGCAATAATGCATCAGATGGCTTTAATGAAGTCTGAAATCCAGATCCTTCGACAGGCGAATGAGACCCTTAGTAAGCGGCGCAGAGCAAAAAAGACACGCCTCCGTAATGGAGGAAAGATGACTCTAGATGAAGGGAGGGATTCAATTGAACAGAAGGATGTTGATGCGCAGGTAGTGGCCGAATCGTCGAGAAATCGTGGTCAAGGAGGGTCGGCGCGACTGAAGGAAAGGCATTGTGGAACATGCGGCAAGACCGGGCATAACGCAAGAACATGTCAGATAGTTGTTGCAATATCTGGGGAAGAGCATAGTGGTTGATTTTAATTGATTAGATGCTTTGTTGTGTTTTTTTGCTATGTTTTATCTTCATGGTTAAGTGAAAGTGGTGCACATGCTTGTTTGGTGCATATGCTTATCATGCACGTTATTATAAATTCTAATTTTAATATAATCTTAAATTCTCTTAAAATTTAAAAAATAAATTAAAAAAATAAAAATTAAATTTTCTTTTAAATTTTTTTTTAAAAAAAATCTATTTAAGCTATTATTATATTATCTATAATATCTAAATAAAAGCTAATAAATTATATTAGCTATTTTTAAATATTATTTACTTTTTAATAATAAGATTAAAATTAATAAATAAGAAAATTAAATTTTTATTTATAATCTTATTTTATATATCTAAATAGAAATAGCTATATTTTATAACTTAGCTAAAAATATTAATAATCCCAATTTAAAAAGTTAAATCTTCCTCTAGAATATTACCAGGGCCTAATATAACCCCTAGTTCCAGGAGCTATTATATTATATTGGGTTGGTATAGATGCTAGTTATATAGGGTGCTGGCTAGAGGGGGGATTCGAATGACTTAAATAGGTTATCATAGACGTTGGGGATCTCGGGGCGTTCTAGAGGTCGGGTCGTGGGAGTTTTCAGTGCATTCATCAAGGTTAGACTGGGTCGAAAAAGTTAGACAGAATTCCGACAGAGAAGAAAAAAGCAGCTTGAAACCCAAAACTTGGGCCTTGGCAACTGTGACGTGCGCGCAACGAAAATGCAGTAAATTCAAACACTAGGTTCCCTCATCGAGGGACAATGTAGACTATATACCTAATCTATTTAAAGAACGATAGTAACTTGGATAGACTAAGGGTTCTAGCAATTAGAATAATAATTTGCATAATACTCTACTACATATACTTTGCATTCCCTACTTACATCGTCTACACCCCCTCGAAATACCCTCTGATCAAGCCTTGTATGGCAAAATATCCATTTGCCTCTGCCAGCTCGCATGCCCTTTGGCCATTCTGTTGATCCTCCCCTCCACAACCGGCCTCATAATCAAGAAGAAGTTGGGTTATGTCAAGCCTACCATTCTCTGCCGCACCCTCCAAGGCAGTTCTTCCGTTATGCTCTGCAGGCTTGGCATTGACATCGGCGTCATGTCGCATCAAAAACTCGACAATTGCGCCAAACCCATAGATGGCTGCGTATTGCAAGGCCGTCGCCCCTCCCTCTGGATCTGGCGCGGCGTTGACTTTGGCGTCGTGATCGACGAGATATCTCGCTATATCGAGTGATCCGTTCTTAGCGGCATGCTGAAGCGCAGTACCACCCGGATGGCGCTCAGGGTGAGGTGCAGCATTGACGTCGGCGTCTGCTCGAACCAAAACTTTCACCCAGTCAAGATCTCCCTTGGAGGCAACAACTTGCAGGCAGGTAGTTCCATCGAAAGAGGAGGGCGGTGCATTAACGTCAGCTCCGTTTTCGATAAGTAGCTGTGCAATATCAAAATGCTCCCCCATGAGAGCAAACTGTAGGGCCGTCGCGCCACATGTTTCGTTACCTGGCGCATTGACATCGGCGCCGCCATGTAGGATGAGAAATTCAGCCGCCTTGAGATAGCCCAGAGCTGAAGCGACCTGCAAAGCGGTTGCTGCGACTGAATCTCTGGGGGGCAGGCCCATTACCGAAATTCGGAGTTTGGTGTCGACATCGGCTGGTTGTATTCCATAGTCAAACAGAATCTTGATCATGTCGAGAGGGACGCGAGGATCAGCCAGACACCCGAATGCCTGGTAATCTAACGGTGATGGGCGGATTCCAAAATCAAGCAACAGCTTCAATAGTACCCGATCGCCTTCACGCACCGCATGGTGCACCGGGGACATCAATTCATATTTTGACCTCCATATAGGGCCATGTTGACCATAGCCAGCCTTCAACAGGTAGGATACGATATCATATCGTTCGTCCCAACCTTTGGATCTCGTCTTGGAAACTTCCGAAAGCGCTGCATGTAATGGACAAGGATATTTATCATCCTGATCTATTGCAGTTGTCGCGATTCCTCTTTTCAGGAGGTCGTCGACAAAGACCGGGTTCCGTAGCTTGATTGCCTGTATCAGAGCCAGGGTTTCAGCATCGCTGGTATTTTTACCGGGTGTCGACTGAGTTATGATTCTTCTCAAAACAATCTCAATGATTGCTCGACTCAATCCGTACTCGCAGTCTGCGACTCTAAGTGCTAACGCGTCCAGGGGGTCTGCTCCCGCATCTAGGAGTGCTTGTGCCGCAAAACCTTGAAACCTGCTTTCAACGACGGGGTCATAAATATGAGGTTTACGAATCTTTCCGAGACGATCACCACAGAAAAGAGCTGCCAGAGGAGTGAAGTGGTTTTCAAACCCTCGGACTGTTTCAGTTGGAGTTGGATGCGCGCCAACTTCAATCAAAGCGCGACACACTAGCCAGTTGCGTGAAAGTGAAAGAAGACATGCCACAAGTGGTACGACGCAGCCACAGGTGCATAGGGCGCCTCCAAGATTGTAGATCCTCCGGAAATAATTTTTGTACCGCTCAGAGTGCAAAGCTTCCGAAACCCCAGAAGCATTCGGATTCGCGCCTCTTGCGACAAGACGGTGGATCAAATCGGGGTCTCCATACTCAGCTGCGACCACCAAGACATTGATACGATGTGCATGACCACATTGACATAGTCCGAGATCGATTTCAAGTTTGGCATCTCGAGCAAGAAGGAGATCAATCATCTCATTGTTGCCTAGCCTAATTGCAGCACAGAGTGCAGTTTCTGAGATGTCTCCGTATTTCACTACGTCGTTGACGTCAACCCCCTGATGAATGAGATATGTGGCCAACGGAGAATTTCCGCGAATGATCGACATATGTATGAGACCAGCGTCCAGTTCAGACATGTTCCGGAGAAATGGCTGAAGCTTCTCGCCGTATACACACTGTAAATTTTCTGGCGTCATGGTACTGAGAGTTGGCACGATCAGTCTCGCAACCAAAGCGCTCGGCTGCTCAGTGAGCAATGTAGCAGCACATTTGCAGGACATCAAAAGCTCCCTTGACACTTGTGGTATGCAAAAGTCTAGGGCTTGCAATAGCACCTTGGATTGTAAATCCAAGTCACTCATGTCGTCTAGACACTCAAACATCCAATGCAATTCGTAGGGTCTGAGTCGACTCAATACAAGAAAAAGCTCTGGGTCTCTCCACACACTATATTTGTCACTCGAAAATAGTTGAGACCAAAACGAGAAGTCTTCTCCGATCATCGAGTCCAAGAACGTTCTGATTGTGGGCTTGTTGTAGTGGTCTGACAATCCATCAACCGCTCTCGAGCCCCGAGCGGTGTAGTAAGCTTGGAGCTCTAGAGGGCTGCTGATGAGGTAGTTGTGGCCTGAGTAATTGTAATCAAAGCTCACGGTCGCATCGGCCCCTGCGTCTTGAAGTAGAGATACGATGGAGAAAGGGTATTGTGGCATGTCGGCTACTACATTTACGCGAAAGCGCCACTCCGCGCAACGTTGTAGTGAGGCACCAAGCGCCGAGTTGATGTCACCCGTGGTTGAGCAATGAGGATATGATTCATTGTCCAGGAACATGCCAACCAACTCGGAGAGTTGATACCTTGCCGCAATTATCAGAGGTGACTGCCAGTCGTCTAGCCACTTCCAGCCGACTTCCAAAAAAGAGTTGAAACGGTCCAAGTGGCCTCTCAAGTGGATACCAAGATGATCGGTATTAACCTTGGCTCCGTGACTGATCAACGACCTCACAAAAGCCGTGATGGTAACGACATCCTCTAGCCTTTGTAATGAGGCGTCTTCTTTATCCACAACTCGCGGCTCCAGTCTCTCACGCCAGCCTAGGATAGCTAGAACAATGGCGCTGCTTCTCCATCCTGCATGGGGCTCGTCAAGCTTTGCATTGTGATGCACGAGCAGCTCGGCCATCGGGAGATTTCCAGAGAGAAGTGCGAATTGAAGGGGATTGACATGAGACTTTGGTGGACAATCTGGATGATAACAAGAATGTCCATTTGGATTCAAGTCGTGCTCGAGGAGATATTGAACAGTCTCCAGATCTTCCGCTTCAATGGCAAGTCGAAAAACCCTCTCAAGAAATGCCTTAGCAGTTGAATTTCTTGACAATGGAGCAGAATTCAGCATTCTCGGGATGTTCGCTTGTTTCAAGACTCTGAACAACTTATGTCCGTCTTCATGATCAAGGTTTGTCAGATGGTTGTTGGAGAGCACATATGTTATGAACCTCCACCACTGCTCTATCCGAGTGTGCTGATCGCTGTGGTCGACAAGTTGTGGGATTTCTGAAGCGGCAGATGCCGGAAGATACAGCGACATCAATGACTGTGCGTGCTGCGCTGCGGCGGAGTTGTAGAGGTCGATGACTGTTGTTTTAAACTCGACAACATCCACATTTTGCGCTAAACAAATGAGCAAGGGATCAATGAGATGACTGAGAAGAAAATGCATGGCTTACAAGGCAGTTTGAAGCTCTTAATATCGTCCCAGAAGTCGGTGAAAGGTAAATTTCTGGTGCTGGGCGGCGCAGGCGATTGGACAAAAAGATTGAAATTGGGGGGCGTTCGAGGGGAGGATCCTTATGCAGAGATTAGAGCCACGTATTTGAACTAGAGAATATTGAAGACTCACCTTCAAGCTGCATCTGGTCAAGACTTGTGAGGTAGCCTCGAGTGCGGAGAACCTTTCCAGTGACCAAATCCCCCTTGAGGTGGAGTTGAACTTGTTTGCCGCATTTCTTCGCCTTGGAGACCTTATAACCCGCGACTTTCCAGTCATGCGGGTCTGTGTCCTTGTAGTACTTTGTGTAGTTCCACTTTCCCAGCTGTGAAACATACTGGGATTTCCTGAGACTAGTCAAATCGGCGAGCGGGAGCGGCTGCAAAGGAGAGGACTTACGATTTTGTGAAGCCATGGACTGTTTTCATCACCGCCATGACACCCCTGGTACCTTCCAGCGGAAGGTTTTGTTTGACATAGAGGTCGTGGATCACATGCTTGAACTTGATTCAATCCTCTGCGATGATTACTGAGCCGTGGGACATGGTGAATTGGGAGAGGCTGTGATGGTGAGGAAGCGGAGAATGAAGTCTAGACAGGCTCTATGAGAGCGACCACGAGCTGTCTTAAATGGCCATTACCTCGCTACTTTCCTGAGCCCCTACCCCGCTTTCAAAACGAACGAAGAGGGATTTGATTGGGTCACGTCCAAATATTTTCCCTCACTCCAGTGGCGTAGGAATCCCTGCCTGGTGATAGCCAGCCTCACTCCTCGAAGCCCTCGTTTTATTGGATGGAATCCAAATTCTAGACGTATGCACGGAGGACACCACACACACCGAGACACCGCTGGTCTTGGCACTGTTATGTGTGATTTGATTGGATATTGCCCAAATTTTCTTGTTCCCGCCTGTCTTGTGCACACCGGGTGGGAGAGGTGGTGGTCAGATTTTGTTTGCATTTGGGCCGCGAGGGACCCTACATCCAGCCCCAGAATAATTGAATATGTGATTGGATATTGTCCAAATTTCCTCCTTCCCGCCTGTGTTATGCACGCCGGGTGGGAGAGGTGGTGGTCAGATTTTACCTGCACTCAGGTCGTGATCGCCGTGATGGTATATGTGAGTGGTCCCTACTTAGATGCAGCCCCAGAATAATTCAATGTGCGCAAATACCTTTTTGATCACAGGCCACGAATCAAGTGCAATATTTTGCCGAACACAGAACTTAATAAGCATGCTGAACGACACTAATGCGAGTGCTCGTGTAATTCTTGGGGCGTTGACCAGTGAGAACCGCGATATCGCTCGAGGCATTTCTGTCCAGGGATAAAACAGCAACGTCATATTTGGTGTGGAGTTGTTTGAGCTCAGTCAACTGGAGCCCTTTGTGCACGTTAATGCTTGCTCCCCTCGCAATGGCTAGTCACGTCCATTTGGTCTCAAGGTATAAATCCAACCGTCTCTCCCACCTCAGGTGTATCTTGATCATACCAAACACACTCACACAGGCGTTTCCAACCAGCCGATGTCTTGATTCTTTTTGTGCTATCTCTATCTAGTCAGTCCCAATATTTCTTCTCCAAACCTCCTCAAGATGCCTGATCAGGCCCAGCCTACGGATGATTTGAATCAATGGTTGGTTCTTCCTTTCTCTTCTTCCTATCTCTTCTTCCTTGAATTGTTCATTTTGGAGATTTTGCCTACTGGGCTGGCTGTAGAGATAGTTTGCACCTTGACATATTACACTGGAAGCTAAATGTTTGATTCAATCCAGTACGAACAGCGCCGATCGGACACAAGAGACTCGTGACCCATTCGAACTTCATGCCGCGACGTATGAGCCACACAGCATCTTTATGACGATTCAATCCAACTCGGGAGACGTCAAAGATCGAAAGGAATACTACGAGACACGAGCAAAATATTGCCTTTCAGACTTTATGCTGAAATTTGAAGGTCGTGGCGCCCAGCCTGCACGCCGGCCATCATGAAGCGGCATATGGGCTGGGTGACTAATACCCAGAGTAGATTGAGATAGCCATGAGAATATTAAAATTGGGGCCCTATCACAAGGGCTGGACATCTTATGAATGAATGCACTTGCATATTCGTATCGAATGGAATGTGCCTGCTGTAGATTTGTGTTGAATCGCATGCGCCCACCAATCAAGCGACACCGCCAGGCGCCTCTGCCAAAACGCGAGCACTGAATTCAGGTGCGTCTTTTTTATAAATTCTTTCGGACACCCGATGAGAAGGGAGTCACATCCACTAAATATAGCGGTATTGGGCGGCTGGCCGTATTTAAGGACTGCTCGCTCCGGGTGCGGCGGGCAAGTCATTCTGTTACATCGCAGTCTCTATCCAAGGATTAGTGGCTCGATTAGGGAAGTCTAGGGAATTGCCCCCTATAAATACAGGGGGTATGCTCCCAGTTTTTTCTCGTTGGGACAACTAGACTGCACTTGAACAATCCCGAACACCTACCCTGGAGGCGACGATGTGCTACAATTGAAAGCCTCACAATCTGCATGCGGGTACCTACAAATATGTCTGCATTCCCCGAGAAAGCTTGTACTATTTTCCTGTTATTGTTGATTGCATTGCTAACAAAAGCAAATTAAAGCACATGGCCTCGACCAGACAGGAGTGTCACAGATATTCATCTAAAAATAAAGCCTTAAGGTACTGATCTATTTTCACATAATTAAGAAATTGTCTAATTGTTTTCGGCGATGCTATAAAAAAAAGTGAAAGCCAAGGATACTAGAGCTTCAAAACCTGTTTGTCTGCTACTAGCCTTGCTGTTAGATTCGTACGGTCAACATCTTGTATGTTAACACCCTGCTGGATCGCCATGATCGCCGCTGTCGCAGCACTCTGACCCAAGATCATATATGTTGGCTCCATGCGGAGGGCTGAATATGCAATGTGTGTGCTACTCATGGTTACTGGGTTGAGAAAGTTTGTCGCATCGCTTGCATTCGGGACGATGGCGTTGAATGGGATGGCAAACGGCGCAGAGGTAACAATATGTACGAGTCCCTCATCGTAGATCCGCCCATTAACAAGTACGCGCTCCACTTGGTGCACGTCTAGGTAATATGAGCCCATGCCAATGACACTGTCGTTCTGAAAGGACCCCGGCTGCTGGACATCACTTTGCTTCATGGTGTAACCGCCGACCATGCGCCGGCCTTCCCGGAGATACATCTCGTACGGCCAGTTGCCGTTCTTGACGAACTCATCCTTGGAATAGCCCCAAGCGCCGATATTCGTGCGGATCGACTGTGGTACACGTGGGTGGTTTGCCAGTGTCCAGAGGAAGCCCTGCGCGTAGACCTTGTGCGCAAGGATAGTATCTTGGCGTTGCTGATACGAGTCCTCCACGTAGTTGGACGAAGGACCGTGATTCCCTCCAATGAGATCCGTGCTGACCTGGCCAGCTGCATTGGAATCCGTCTTGTTATTCGGCATAAGCTGAGTCGTGAAGAAAGGGCCTGTGTAGCCTGACTCGATGTAGCGGAAAAGGATTTCGTAGGCGGACTCATTGTAGCTAGCAGGCTTGGAGAACGCTATCTTGTTGCTGGCCACTTTCGTCAGGCTCAATCGGTAGTTGTATGACTGGAGGCTGTAAGGATCTGACTTGCCCTTGACCGCCACGGGATCGGCGAAGACTTGCTGGATCCCTGCGATCAAGCCGCTACTCGAATCCCCCTTCACAATGTACGGGTCGATGTTGGAAAGTCGGTTGGCGCCATTGACGGAAATTCCTGCCGCTGATTCATTGAATTCGTCTTGACCTTCGCGTCCTGTGCGATACGGAACCCCTGCCGCCTCCATAAAGTCGCCCTCATAGCTAGCATCGATAAACATTCTTCCGGCAAAGATGGATCCATCTTGTGTTCTGATGGACGTGATAGTCGTCCCGTTCTTGGTCACTCCGCTCCCAGAACGGTCAATGGCTTTGTTCCGAAAGACCGGCACCTTCCAATCCTTGATCCATCTCTCCCATATACTCTCCGCAACTTTCGGCTCGAAGGTCCACTGCACTTTCTTGCTCTCCTCGATGGCCATACCCGGCTGGGCGCGAATATTCTTCGATATGTAGTTCGATCGTGTCTCGTATTTCCACGCGCTGGTGCCCTGGTAATAGGTGAAGATTTTTCCGTAGAATGTTCTGGCGATGCCGCCAATGGAATTCCCGTTCTTATTATCCGTCCAGCTGAGGCCCGAGGTGGTGAGGCCGCCAAGAGTGCTTCCTGGAGTGATGATCACCGCCGTCCTGTTCATGCGTCTTGTTTGTACTGCAGCTGCCAATCCAGCGACCGTGTTGCCGTAAATAACCACATCATATACGACGGTGTCGCGCGCGATTGGGGTGGAGGAGACAGGTGTAATGAGAGAAGTCATAAGGCATAAAACAAAAAGAATGTGAAGTAGACTGCTCCTTGAGCAAGCCATTTTGCGGTAAAGACTGACTTCCTTCCGGAACTCGAGAAGGAGTGAAATTCGAGTGAAACAGAGCGGAATGACGGGGGTCAAAGTTGTATAACAGAAGAACAGATTGGCAAAATGAGTGGGATCAAGGAAATTAAACAATACGAGATTTTGACGGAGGCTGCGGCAGCTGTCTCGTAAGCGAGACAAAGTTGGAATGACACGATCCGTGTATCGATTCCACTTTTCCGCGAGTCTAATGGCCTGAGACAAATGCCATTGGCAGGTAGCTTAGTCCACTTTGGTCCAGAACGACTCCGTATTCAGTTGGTTATCAGTAACATCTCTGGAATTCGGCTGGTGCAGGGGCGATTCAATCAAGATTATTTCTCCATTGAGTGTGTTTACAGGCTACCCACGTTGGCCACCGGGTCCACCCCGTTCTCGTGGAGCCCATTCAAACGCTATTGCAACCCAGAGAGGCGCTATTGACTTACTTACTCCTTTCAGTCGGAGGGGCCGAATCGACTCGGGGCCGCGAGATCGAGTGGAGTAACAGGTGTGAGTGAATGAGATGCGGCGGGGCCAAGTCGCTTATGACCACCAATTATGGTATCGTTCCAAGGGCCACACTATTAATTCAGGGCTTGGGGAGGAACAATACTAGTTAATGTGTGCCAATTTGACGTCCTGTGAGAGCCGCGAACCCCCGTGAGCCTGATAGATTGTGGAGTTGCCATCTAGCACCAAGGAAGGGCGGGAGCTATTGTTCTTTTAGCGCCACAATTACCACCCAGCGATGAAGGGTCTCAGCCAGCCACGGTCAGGTCCACGCGTATAGAGAGGTGAGCTTGAGTCATTTTGGGATTTAAGGATTGCTGAAACCCTGGAATGGGCCTGGTGGATACTCCGGCTGCTGAGACTGCTGAGAAATGCTTTGGTGCTGTGAACCCACGTTCTCAATGAACCAGGCGTGAACATAAGCTGGCATGAGTCAGGTCATTGTCTGAAACCGGACATCATTTTACCGCTCTTTTAAAGTTTGCAAGCTTATTGCTACTGAGAAAATCCTCGGGAGAGGGGAGTTATGTTACTTCCACTCTGCTTTAAATCTGGGTTTACCATCATCCATTGCTTGTATTACTAAGTGCTTAGATTGGAAATCGTTTGAACCATTGCTGAATCTCATTCGAGAAAAAAGTGCCCAGTTCAAGTTCATCCTGAAAGCTAGTAATCGTTCCTTCTTGCATCGGCATTCCCATCAACAACTCTGGTTGAATATCCATATTTTCATGAGGAACATCCACCGAATTATATTGAGGGGTAAACTGAATACCAGAACTAGGCAATTCTAGCGTTCGAGGAGAGTGCGAGGTTCCTAAACAGATTTCAGCATGGCCACACAAGTAGCTGCTAAATATAAGCTCACCCCAGTTTTCGACAAGCGCTGATAGCCGTTTTATGTAGTCGACGCATCGACTCAGAATGCCATTCTGTGTTCCAAGTTGCACAAGGGCATCGGCCGCCTTTTCGAGGAACTGTCGTACTCGATCCAAGCGGTTGACGTCGATTGGATCGTTGACAATATCTTCCATGGGAACCAAAAGACTGCCGAAGATTACCAATGCAGCATTGAAGGCTTGAGGATGTGCTGTTAGCGCATGTCTTTGACAACCGGAATGGTATGGAAGCGGTGGAGAGCGAAAGACGCACTGTAGTATAACGTGAACCACCAGGCTCCAAACAAGTGCCGCCCGAGGCCTGGCTTGGTGAGGATGGTATGAATAATCTCAATAATATCCTCCGCAGCCCTCACACACGTCCGATTGAAGTTTGTCTGCATTTGGTTAACGGACCGCTGATTGCGGCGCAATGAAGTCGGATATCTCGCGCATCCGCCAAGCGAGTTCGTGAGCATGGGTCGGTGAAGTAGAAGCTGCACACTTAGATATCTCAACGACAGAATTAATCTGAACCGTTCCATCGGTCGGTCCTCCAATAGACATTCCTCAGGTAGGTTTGTTGAGGATCGTAGGAACAGTGGTGACGGCAAAGAATTATGCCAGTCACTCAGTTCCTGCTCCAAATTAAATATCTGTGTTATCATCAATGTCTCAGATGGAGGATCATCACAGCCTAAATTGTGACCGTAAAGAGTAGCGATAACCTTCCACATAACTCTGTACAAAAGGCTTCTGAAATTTAGCAGATATTAGGACGCAGGACTTGGGAGAAGATCCTACATTGTGGCATTGAAGAAGGCAATGCTCGTGTCGTTGTGAGTTGTGATCACCCCATCGCATGGGAGGAGCGGTATAGGAAGGTCCAATTTGACGTAGTCTTCAGGAATTGCTCCTGGACGGCCGAAAGTCATACTTAAGCTCCTACAGTATTATGTTAGAATGATGAGCCAAGCAAGTCCACTGCGGTAGTTATGGAAGCCAAGGAGAAAATGCAGATAAACACTGCTTGGGGCACGATTGGATGTAGCGCACCTATCCAACAAAACACATCCAAACCACGTTCTCTTTCTCATTTCCTGCTCTATTGGCGGAAATTTAGACATGGCGTCTCTCGAATGGAGGCCAATTGACAAAGCAGCTTTAACTGCTAGACCGTGAGTAGTCCATGTTTGCACAGATTTCTGTGTGCTTTGCAGGTACTGGCTCATGAGCAAGAGGTATTGCACTTGTTCAACGTTAGTAATCCATCGGAAAAGGTTCGTCGCAAAGTTCCTTTGAAGAAGCCTTACCAGTTTCAAGAGTAGTGCCCCTGAGCATCTGAGTCTTGCAGAGTTCTGTTGCGCGACGGTAATAAACATCCGATTGCTCATTCTGATACTCTGTACCATCTTCTGCCCAACCTGTGCATATAGCCATAGCGAGTATCATGTTCAGCAGCCCCAGCCATGTTCGACGTACGTTGATTCGGAAGTTTTGTTGCCTCATGTGTTCATACGTCTCCAAGAAACTTTCTTGGTGGATGAAAGGAAAGAGAAGACCGGTGTTTGAGAAGTATGAGTGTATAAGCTTTCGTGTTTCATGATCAGGAGGTAGCACGTTCGTCTCAACCGCACTCGACGTCTCCCCCGCGCGGCCTTTTGCAGAAGAGGACGAGAGTGGACGAGAGACATTGATCATGCCTGTTTGGTACAAGCCGATGCCGTTGGATGACGACGGGGAAACAGAATCACCAGCTGCTGCGCTTTGCTTGGCCATGGCGCGGAAGATTTGGCGCATGAAAGCAATGTTCGATGACGGCCCTTGAGCATTGGGTTATCAGTCGTATTATCCATAAGGCGAGAGGTAGGTAGCATACCAAAGAACCCACAGTCTTGATCGTCAACAAATGACAGAGCCATCCCATCCGTCATGCTCTGATCCGTTGTCTGATCTTGTATACCCTCGACATTGACAACAACATTACTGGGAAGGATGGGTAATTGTGTGGCTGGTCTTCCAGGATCAGCCCCGTTGGGACGGCACGCTTCAACCTCTGTTAAACGTTGGCCTTGATGCTTAACGGTCACCTCGAGGATCCTGACCTTCTCCTCCAGAGCGGTGAAGAGGCTAGCACATTCACCCCGTTAGCAACAGGGAGCAGGTCTCGGAAGAAGATCGCACTAGACTAGCCATGGTGGTGCGGGTATCACCAAGAAGGTCCAACTTACTCTCTTGGGACCAATAGATTGGCAGATGTGTCGGGGAGTTCGTATATGCATTCGAAGCCTAGCCGCTCACAAGGTTCGCACCTTGGTCGTACACCATTGCACTACGAAGGGAAACTCTATCGGTTCAGCACTATCCATGGGATCGAAAATGGGCCACGACGGGGGCCGGAACGGGGTCCCTCACGCGAGATTTGCGTATCCGGCATGCGGAACAAGCCAAGCCAACTCGGCGGCGTTTTGGGGCTGGAGCTGGGTCCTGATCTTCCACGCTCTCGCCATTGGAAGTGTGGTTAGTGCCCGCGATGGACAAATCATCATCGTGGCCCATTGCACTCCGTCGACCTCGGCCTGTGGGACGGAAGACGGAATTGGCCAGGGTATCAGGATCAGGATGATAAGAAAAGTGGGCAGACGGTAGAGGAACGGGTCCGGGAGTCGCCGATCTCAAGTAGTGGCCTGAGACTCGGGGAAAGATTGGGACGGAAGCCGACTCTTATAATCAGCGGAACGGAGGAGAGTGTGGGGAAGGGCGTCACATCTCCACATTCTACTGTACGTGCTTTGACTGAGTTAACTAGATGACATCGTCCCTAACAAAAGAACATGGCCAGGAGAGGGGCTTTCCGCTTTATCTGGGGTTACTCGAGTCTGGAGTCACAAGGGTTACGCTGCCGAAGCATCATGCAACCAATTGCCGTCCAAGACTGGCTCTGTTCCGGCGTTCCGGACCAGCTCCTTTCCTCAATTAGACTAGCTGACTTCGCGTCTCGGGGAACCATCGGGATGGCTCCCCGGCTGAATCCACCCTGGAGCTGGAGGGCTGTGATAAAACAATAATTTACGGCACTCTGCGATGCTGGACCGTTTCTCGAATAATCTCGTCATCAGCAGTTGTTGATAAACGACATTTCAGTACCCGACCGAAATTATATAAGCCACTCGACAAGATGAAGGTTGCTTGGGAGCGTTTGATTCGATTTGTCGCGACAGATGGACGCGTCCTCTACGGAGAGCCAATCCTTCCAACCCCAGACTTTGACATTGGCGACACTACCGATAAGACAAAACTACGGGCGAAAATCATTGAAGGAAATGACTTGTACGACACTACAGGGGCCACTCGGGTGACCGATGACATCGTCACTGTGAAGAAACTTCTTGGCCCGATGACACCCTTGGATGTGCCCATCCTGCGCTGTGTTGGACTGAATTATGCGACACACAGTGAGTACATCCTTCGCCGATAGGATTGGTTCGGACTGTAAATATCCTACCGATTCTGACATTTGCTGCTCGCAGTTCGTGAGGCTGGCCGGAAGCAGCCGCCCTTCCCCTCCATCTTCTTTAAACCCTCTACGACTATTACCGACCACGGAGCGAGCGTGGTGATCCCAAAGATTGCTCAAGATGACCAGGCGGATTACGAAGGCGAGCTGGTAAGTTTCAGACTATAAGTGGCGTCAACATTCCGGTGGAGGAGAGCGCTCATACATTCTTCAATTCTTCTAGGTTGTCGTCATAGGTAAAGATGCAAAGGACGTAGCCGAGTCCGATGCACTCGAATACGTCGCTGCATACACCGCAGGAAATGACATATCGTCGCGAAAATGGCAAAGAGACCCAGCCCTTGCTGGAGGTGTCCCGCAATGGGGTTTCTCCAAAGGTTTCGACACCTACGCGCCGCTCGGCCCCGTCCTCGTTTCGGCCAGCCTGGTTCCTAATCCTGCCGAGCTTCACCTCCAGACGATCGTTGATGGAGAGTTACGCCAAGATGCGGGGTTGGACGATCTTGTATTTTCTATCCCCAAGCTGATTGCCCATCTATCTTCCGGAACTACTCTACAGAAGGGTAGCGTTATTATGACGGGTACCCCAGGAGGTACGCTTATTCTATATTTGTGCAACACTGAACTCAGCTAACCCGTTTTTGAAGGAGTTGGTGTTGGTATGAAACCACCACGATTCCTTGTTCCTGGAACGAATATGGAGGTGAAAATTTCGAGAATAGGGACTCTGAGAAACGGCGTCGAATTTTCTCCATAAAAGATAGATTAATTTAGACATGGTAGACTAAATATTGATCAATCACAAATGAATTTCTGCAGGGCATCATTGCGGGCGTAGTTTTTGCAAAGTGAGGCAATGAGTAGTTTGTCGACCTTGCCTGCCACTATTGTGTCAGTTCAACCGACCGCGAAATAAGTTATGGCATCTATGGATCGTTATATTTGACGATCGGGATCGAAATACCAAGTCTTGTGATTTCTATGTGACTAAAGTCTACGGATCAATCGTAGAGCTACAGATTATTGAGGCCTCTCGCACCCGCCGGGGCCGTGGGCAGAACGGAAGACCAGGATTCCGAAGATCTGAGGCCAGGGCTAGTAGGTGTAGGTTCCGGTGTCTGACGCTACAATACGGAAATGGCTGGTTCCGGTTTCCGGTGATTGTGATAGATATCCTAAATGCCTTATTTATCAAAAGGGCAGGAATTAATAACATTGGGCTGGTAGCTTGCGTTAATTGCATCGTTGCATATGTGTCGTGGAGATATTTGTTGCACCTTCCACCATAAACGAACTTCACGAGGGACAAGGTATTCTGAATTGCGACCTCCTCGCTCGCGACAAATTCTCTTTAAGCATCCTCATCTGCCCGACATCTTCACCAGGATCGAGCGCAGTACTACATTTTATGCCTTGCACCCAGTCCAAACGTAGCTCCGCCCTCGGAAGGCCAGGCCTTTCTCAACTCTTTCTCCGCATCATACCCATATGTCCACAGTTGCGTCACAGGGTCGCTCCACTGGTTGGTACTCTCGATGAAATATTTCCCTTCGACTTCAGCTCGCATCCCGCGATCTCGAGCCTGCTGCTCTGCTCCGTCTGGGAAATGCCAGAGTTTCCCGTTTACCAGACTTGCTGTTTGCATGCCGTAGCTGCGGCCCATTCTCTCCTTCTCGAAAACTCGAAGCGCATCGGGGACTTGATCCTTTGACGAAATAAGTGACAATGCTTCAGCAAGTGCAGCGCCATCTTCGACAGCCATGGCGGCTCCCTGGGACATGTAGGGCACCATGGCATGTGCAGCGTCGCCGAGGATGACGAGCTTCTGGCTTTTGGAGATCCAAGTCGGGAGGCGAGCGCCACTCAGAAGCGGCCACTTGATTGTCTTGTTGACGAGATGGATGACCTTTTTGAGCCTGAGTATCGGTGTGAGCATTCCATCAATACACGTAACCGTTACGGAAGGGATGGCTTACTTGGGGTCCCAGTTTTCGAAGTGCTTCCTCATATCTTCAATGGCGTTCTGAGGGTTCCAGGTGTTGGGATCACTGTGGTCTATATGGGATAGCACCATGTTAAAAGATTTCCCTCCAGCAATGCAGTAGGTCATAACATGTCGACCTTCTCCGATCCTGAATGTTGAATGTTAGTAAATGTGTGACTCTAAAGTAGAAACACCCACCAAACGTTGATACCCGGTTTCTCCAACAACCAGCAAGTGTCGGGATCGGCTTTCATCTGATCAGTGTCCACCACGGCGCGATATGCTGCGAATCCTGTCTTTGTTGCCGGCTTGTCCACGCCGCCGATGACAGTAGGTCGTGCTACAGATTTAACACCATCGGCAGCAACAATGAGATCCGCAGTGTACTCCCTCCCATCTTCTGTTGTGGCTGATGGTACACTCTCGTCGTATTTAACAACCTTGCTGTTGGTAATTATTTGAACACCCTGCTGAGTTGCCAGGCGGCACAGGGCATCATGGAAGTCCGCGCGGTGGATGACAAAGTACGGGGCGTCGTATGTCTCACTGAAGTTTGGCTTGAGTTTCGTGTATCCAATAGCAGTACCGTCTTCCCAACGGCGGAACGTCATGCTTTCCGGCTCTACGACCCGGCCTTCGAAAAAAGGGCCGATGCCCCAGGAAAGTAGAAGCCTCGCGGAATTGGGTGGAATCTGAATCCCCGCTCCAACCTAACGTAAGGGCATTGTTAATGCGAGATGTTTCTAAAACAGCTAACAAGGACGTAACTTACCTCTCCCAACGCTGCCGCTTGCTCCAAAACAGTAACTGCATGTCCGCGGCGTGCTAAAGCCACTGCTGTAGCGAGGCCGCCAAGACCAGCACCAACCACTAAGATGCGTAAAGGAGCTGCAGCTTTGTGCAGAGTCATGCCTTTCTGGTTGCCATTGTCCAGATTTTGCAATTTGCTAAGGAGTGATGTTGACCGTGACGGGTAGTCGGATACCTATGAAAATGGAGTCAGGTCGGTTCGTTGCCTATGCGCGCCAAGGTGATGCAATACCATTTCCGGTTTCATTGTGCCGTTCATTGTAACTGTAGTATCCTGGTGGCTGTGGCGACTTTAGTGCGTAACAGAAAGTATTACAAATAATGAAAGCTTACAAAACTAAAAGCCTTGTACGCTTGTAAGCTATTATTAAAGCCTCGGACGTCCTCTGCTCTCGGGGAGCGCTCCCGATACTTCCCCGGTGCTCCATGGAATGGCCCAACAGCTTCGGTTCCGCCGGGTGTATATCGGAAAACTCGTCGGAACACTCGTCATTTTGCATCCGGAAAAAGAAAAGTACAAAACTATGATGATTATATCCAAATATATGATCGAAACAACTGCAGACCAGCATTGAGCCCAAGCCACCATCTCCCTCAAGTTTGATACCAACCTCCCAACGGTTAGAACAAAAAGCACAATGACAGCCCTTAACGGACACAACGGCAATGGCGCCTTGGCCAACGGTCATGAAATTACTACTCAGGAACAGCTTCTGAAGGCCTTAGAAGTTACGAAGACAGCCCCGCTATGGGCACAGATGCAGAGGCTGAACCCACCTGCCCCGAGTCCTAGAACCGTTCCATATCTCTGGGCATATGACGCTATCAGGCCTTACCTCCTGCGAGCTGGCGCTCTTATCACCGAGAAACAGGCCGAGAGACGTGTTCTCATGCTTGCCAACCCGGCCCGAGGTACGTCTACCGCTGAACTTCGTGATGTATCCATTCGGCCGAGTGTTCCAGAACTGAGGATGTGTTCAGAGGCCCCATATACTACAGACACCTTGTATGCCGGCTTGCAGCTCGTTCAACCTCGAGAAACTGCACCTGCGCACCGTCACACTGCGTTTGCGTGCAGATTCATCATCGAGGGCAAGGGCGGCTTCACTGCTGTACACGGAAAACGTGTGCCGATGCGCCCCCGGGATGTGATTGTCACTCCTACCTGGAACTGGCATGACCACGGCAAGAAAGGCGCCGATGAAGAGGGTGGAGATGACCAACCTGTTATCTGGCTTGATGGGCTCGACTTGCCCAACTTCGTGCACTTCCCAGTCCATTTCGTGGAGCACTTTGCAAAGGCCCGATATCCGGCTGAGGATAAGGAGGAATCGCCAATTTTGTTCCCGTGGAAGGACATGCAAGCCAAGCTTGAAGCTAGCCAGGCCGAATGGACATCGGCAGCGTATCTCAAAGCCGATGGTAGAGAAAGTGAGTTCAATTTTCCATACTTCCCCAGAGTTTTGCCTGTTTCCAATCCTTCCATACCTGAGTCTGTAAGCTTGCGTGTCCTGTCAATTCTAACAGTCCACCTTTCTACCAGTTGGTCGCGTTATTGGCGCATTGGCCGAGAGGATCACTGCCGGCGGTCAATCCCCTGTTGTGCGCGAAACCGCGTCTTCTGTGTATCATGTCATCGAAGGATCGGGCCACTCCAAAATTGGTGATGTGACCCTCTCATGGAAGCAAGGTGATACGTTTTGTATCCCTGCATGGCATCAGTATCAACATTTCGCGGATGACAGTAGCAAGGTTTATCTCTATCGATTTGATGACAAGCCTATGCTCAAGGCGCTTGGTTTCTATCGCGTCGAGGGCGACGATGTGGAGAAGTTTGTGTCGGACTGATGTCTGGCGTGGAAGAGAGAAATTAAATTGTCTGTTTAATTCTCGCGGACACTTATTATCGGAGAGCGGTCACCGGTCTATCATTATCTGAGACTGTCCTTAGCACAAACAAGAATGACTTTGTTTCTCATGAAGAATAAATATTAGGGTCCCACCTTGGTAAAAATTTCTTGCGTTATAGAACTTATGCGCATCCTATCAAAAAAATGATAATCTCAGGCTTAAATATAGCGCAACTGAATGGTTTGAGTTTCCAACAAACATGCTCTCATTTAATGGACAGTTCAGTAACAACCAAGTACGAAGGGGTTCTTTTTATATGTAAGGTATATGCTCTCACTCTTGCTGTAAGGAAAACACCACAGTTACTCACATAGCTAGAAAGCGGTGTTCTTGACTGAACGCGCTTTCGGGAGTGCCATCAACCTACAAGCGCGAGGATGGTCAGTATCTTGACAGATTCAGCCGTTTTGTGTTGGGATGCTGCCGCGTCGTTGTTCCTGATGGCAAGTTTTAACCTCACTTTAGCGAAAGTTAGCCCTGGATGGAATTATGCTTGCCAGACAAACATGATCTAGCCTGGCACGACCACTTGGATGGTCGATTCCTCCACAGATGTGTACGATCGCCCTCTGTCATTTGAACTTGCCGAGAAGGGTCGGATTGCGGAGGACTTTGGGGGCTAACCAGCCTCCCCCGCATTCACAATTTACCCGTACCATGCCGGAGTTATTAGTTTCGTCACTTACCCCAGACTATGACACACCGTGGATAGTAATCGAATCGGAATCGGACCTCGGCGCCGCTTCCCGATAGACGGGCTCTCGGCGCCGCCTACCGGACGAGACTCGGTCCTTCGTGCTCATCTGGGAGGCGTGATAGCTGAGGTGCCTGTTTCGGCGCTTTTTACGGTCGTGAGATACCGAATCGTATAGGAAGACATGTGCAGATCACTTCTTTCTTAGTAAGAGCGTGAGAGCATAAATACCAGTGCCATCCGCTCAATGCCAAAGAGACGTTTTCTGATAGAAGACCAGAACGTCCATCCAAATAAGGAAACAAAGTTCTTGAAATCTCGGATACTGCAATGTTTCGTTCACTCATGCTCTTCGCTGCCCTAGCACCGTCGGTCCTTGGAGCGGCAGTCAAGGCTAGAGTCTACAACTCTTCTCCTGCTGTTGAGCTTCAGAACGGCACCTACTACGGCATCCACAGCTCGACCTATAAGCAGGACTTCTTCCTCGGCATGCCGTACGCCCAACCGCCACTGGGTAACCTGCGCTTCCGTCATCCTCAGCCGCTCAATACCACCTGGGACGAGCCTCGCAATGCCACGACCTACCAGACGCCCTGCTACGGCTATCCCTATCCCGTTGGGCCTCTCCTTGGCGGCAGCGACGACTGCCTGACTATCAACGTCGTGCGCCCTGCAGGGACCGATGCTGATGCGAAGCTTCCTGTAGCTTTCTGGATCCACGGCGGGGGCCTCGTCAGCGGCTCCAATTCGGACCCTATAACGAACCTGACCTTCATCGTACAAGAATCGATCAAAATGGGTCAGCCGATCATCGCCGCGAGTATCAACTATCGTCTACATGCCTGGGGCTTCCTATGGGGCGCCGCTTTAGAGGCTGGTAAATTGGGAAACCTAGGCTTCAGGGACCAGCGACTTGCTATGCAGTGGGTGCAGGAGAACATCCCAGCCTTCGGAGGCGACCCAGACAAGGTGACAATCTGGGGCCAGAGCGGAGGCGCCCGAGCTGTTGCCACTCATCTGACAGCTTTTGGCGGACGTGATGATAAGCTGTTCAGGGCAGCCGTCATGCAAAGCGGCACTGGTTTCCCTACCGACTTTGGTGAGATCAGACCTCCTCAGTCGACGACGTGGGAAGACGCATACGAATCGCTCCTCAGCAAGACTGGGTGCGAAGGTGCCTCGGATTCCCTGCAATGTCTCCGCGAAGTGCCCTCTCACCAGCTAGCTTTGATCTTTGCCGACGTTGCGTTCCCGCCTTTTCTCGACATTGTTGACGGCGACTTTGTCCAGCAGCCACGGGTTACGCTTCTTCGAGAGGGCAAGTTTGTCCACGTTCCCGTCCTGACCGGTACCACGATCGACGACGGCGACTACTTCTCGAAACAGGGCATCAACACAACAGAACAGTGGGAGGACTGGCTTGTCGCTGGGGGCGCCGGTGATGCCACAATTGAGGCTATCTCGGCACTATACCCTGACATCCCGCGGCTTGGCCTTCCGTCCACCTACCCGGGTCGGCCGACAGGCAAAGATGCATCATACGGTTCAATGTGGAAGCGGGCAATGGCATTTGGTGGTGATAGAGCCATGCAGGCTCCTCGTCGAGCATGGGCGCGGGCTTGGACCGAGGCTGGCGTGCCAGTGTACAGCTACCGCTTCGACCAGGTTACGGGTGACAGGCCTGCGGTACAGGGCGTTGGCCACTCGGCAGAGCTCAAGTTTGTCTTTGGGGCGCCTGTAGGCAGCTTGTTTCCGCAAGAGCATGAGGAATTGAAGAACCTGTCCCATCAGATGAAGAGGCGCTGGGTCAGCTTCGTCAACCACATGGAACCGAATGTGGGTTACGGCACGGGGGCAAAGTGGCCAGTATACTCGCTTAAGAACCCGGAGAACCTGATATTTGATGCTGATAAGCCCAGTTCAACATATATACAGGCTGATACTTTCCGGGTTGAACAATTTGAATATTTGAATAAGAAGTTGTGGAAGGTGGGATTGGAGGCGAGTGAAATGACTGACGAGCAAGGAAGAAATGAAATCTAAATAGATAGTTATTTTAAATATTAATTAGCTTTAATTTAGGAAAAGTCTTACAAGCTAGCCAACTAGCTTCTGTCCAGTACATGCGCACGAGCTGCACATTAACTTAGTGGTACAATCGAGGTCTTGAGTTTTCTTTTCCAATGTTTAGACATCACGGTTTGACGATGGGCTGCTGGAACTCCAAGACAGCGCCGGCTACTTCTCCCGCCCAGGTCTTGAGCAAGTTGTCGACATCCGCGTCGCTTTGGAAGTCATACTCGAATAGCTTCCCGGCAAACTTGGAAGGGTCGATTATCCTTCTGCGGTCTTCGGTCGCCGTCCTCGTGCGGAGGTAGTGCAGCGGATAAGGGCCGCCGGCAGTCCGAGCAGACGCTTGAATGTCGCACTGGATGGGGCCTGAATGGCGGATAACCGTGGCAAACTGCATCTCGGAGGGTATGCCACGTTCGGTCGACGAGTTCTCCTCGATTGTCCAGACGCAAGTAGTTCTTCGCGGGGCGCCCCGCGGAGTACCCACGACGGTGAAGGCGTGTTCTACCTCTTTTATCGTCTCGTCCTGAACCGAAGGGGTTGCTCCGACCTCCACGAGACCGCTGCCCGTGAACTGTAGAGGAAACTTGATACCCCAGCCGACCTTTCTAGAGATTTTGTTACAGCCACCGAATGACTTGTGAGGAGCATAGGCCCGGATTTCGAGCGGATTCACCGGGCCGCTGCTCTGATTCGCATACTGGGAGGGAGGCTGTGCCGGCTTGGGTTCGGAGAACCTGCAAGTAAGGACGACACTTTGGAATCGTCTTCGCAGCCCGGGATGGAAGTATGCGTGCCAGACGAACATGGTCTGGCCCGGCTTGAGCACTTGGATGGTCGATGCCTCCACAGATAGGTACGATCGACCGCTGTCGTTGGAACCTGCCTGTATGTTCGTGGCCGTGGTGTGTCCGAGGTTGTCTTGTGGTAAAGAATCTTCGGAGCCGGCGGCTACTTTCGAGGCGGAATTCCCGAGTTGTGCGTTCTTAACAGGATCGTATTCGAGCTCGATGGTGAAGGCAATGCCGTCGGCCATCTTGCAGAGGAACCTTGCGCGCCCGCCTCGGGAAAACACGTATTCGATAGGAAGTCTGCTTGATCTGCGTAGAGACAGATGCCACGCACTCAGAGGGTGCGTCTTTTTCTGCGAGGCTGAACCAATAGCATCAGAAGGCCCCCAAGGGCGAGGTTCAGTTCCACGAAGAGCCAGCGGAATAATAATGATGCGGATTTCCGCCTCATCCCTGCAGTCAAGAGATGTCTGTCTCAAGGTGGGAGGCCTGAAGGTCTTGTGATGTGTGACAGGGAATTTTGGGTGGCCTTCCTGCTCCTCACTTAGGCACAACCACCCACAATCTTTCAACGTTATTTGCAGCACGTCATGTCATCGACACTTCGCCAGACAGTCGCTTCTCTGAGATGCAGTGGCCAATATCAGGCCGCCCTGGGGTTACTTGCTGATGTCTCTACACCCGATCTTTGGGTCATCTGCGAGCGGGCTCAGTGCCACTTCATGTGTCACCAATTTGAACAGGTCATGCAGGACTATCTCCAGTTAACAGCCACTGGGGCGACGGTGGGCTCGATAGAAGAGGCCATTGTGAGAATCGTCTACGATTTCTCCCGCTTGCACCAAGACATGGCATTCGAAGAGGCTGTGCACACTGCCCAAGACATCTTCTCAACATGGCTCAAGGACAAGCCTGCCGAAGCCTTTGAAGAAGACCTTTTGTCCCTTCTCTGTCTTCATCACATGATAGAGGACCTTGGCTACCGTTTCCTCTCTGACTCAGCGCAGGAGCTCGGCTCGAGAGATGTCTACCCGCCGTCCTGGGCCGCGCTGGAGAGCCTTCGAGCCAGATTTCTTAGCGAGCGCAGGGTTGGCCTGCTAGCCATGATCCATCTCGCGGAGCGTGACTCCCACCCGGCGGAAATGCAGGCCTCCAGGATACGCCAGACTCTGGACATTATGACGGCTGACGCGGACAACGATTTACGCGTGTACCTTGGAGTTCTCCTAGCTGAGTCTCTCTACAAACAAGGAGAGAAATCCCAAGCAGGCCAAGAACTAATGGCTCTACGCAGCGCCAAATATTCACTTTGCAATCTGGAAGCGCAGTGGCGGGCAGAGTATATTCTGTTGCGGAGCGAGGACCACGAGGGAAACAACATGAAGCCGTTGAAGTGCCTCCTTCAGACTTGCTGTGACAGTGACGTGAGAAACACAGCGACTGCGTGCGCGTTTCTGGAAGCAGAAAGCTATTTAGAAGGAGGCGATGAAAAGAAGTACGCCGAGTGCATAAAGAACCTACTGGATCGAAGGTAAGGCAGCCCTGTCAAGTTCCGGCTGCTGGATATCGGGCGTTCTGACCGTGGCAGCCATGCACTCCATTTGCCTACCAGACACGATCTGAAGGACGCGGACGTGGGTGTCCCTTCGATATCTCAAGCACCACCATATTCGTCCTTCGAATTTTGGCTCCGGTACCTATCGTTTCTGAAGGGAGATATGAATAGTCGTACGAGACTAGGGCTAGCAATATCTTGCTGTACGCGCTTCTTCCAACGGCATGTGAACTGTTCATTTCCTCAGCTAAAGAACACATTGGCCAACAGCCTGGCAGAGTCTTACGAGGAATGCGGCGACATTCACCACGCGTTGCAATGGACAGCTCGGGAGAAAGCCTTCGCGGAGGAAGCTAACGACCAGACTCTGGTGGACGAAGCCCGATTTCGCATGGGTTTCTTGATGTCCCAAGACGCGGTGAAGATGGCGGATGACCCTCACGGAATTAAGCTGGCAGAAGGGAAGCTGGCGCAGAGACGTGATCTCGAAGCTCTGTACGAGGAAGCGCGACAAAAAGGTCTCGGCGATTTCCAGTTTCAAAGTGCCTCCAGGCGCCTCGACAAGGAACTAGATGATGAGGTCAGCAGAAACGAGCCACCATGCGGACACATCTGGCTCCCAAAGACACTGGAAGCACTCAGTTACCTGCCAGATCCTGAGAGAGGCCTCCAGACCCAGCTCATCAAGTACAAGATAGCTCATGCGAAATTCGACGCAGAAGATTTCAAAGGCGCCGCGGCCGCTCTGGCAGAAGTCACCGCGTTCGCCGAGGCAGATAGCAGCGGCCGAGCAGACCAGGTGCTTGCACCGGCTTTCTTCACCAAGGCTCGAGCACACCTGCACGAGTATCTGGCTTCCCAATCGCCGCAGTCGTGGGATGCGTCCCTAGAAGCTCTCAGCAGATCCCAGGCTGAATCAGAGAAGCGGAACCGCATTGACGAGGTAGCTTGCTGTCACGTCCTCGCAGCCGTGTTGTGGCATGCGCGAAGTCCGGCGGACAGTATTGCTTCGAGTACGGCTCTCCACCATATCGCAGAGGTCCAGAAGCTTTGGAACGAGGAAGCCGGCGGCTTGTCTGCGTTCAGCGGCATGGGGCTCGACAGCCTGCTCGTCAAATACTCGATGCGCGGCCGCAACGAAAGCAATCCTTACTCGGTCCTAGGACTCGCGGTTGACATCTGTTTCGAATCGGGGAAGTTTGAGGCGGCCTGGAAATGGGTTGAGTATGCGAAAGCGCGCGCCTTTTTCGATGAGACACGTCTACACGGGCTCGGTAGCGAACCAGCCGAAGTTGTTCTCCCAGCTCAAAACGACACAATCGCCATTCCATTGTTCCAAGAATCCGCCGTTCTAGTTCACTGGGCTTTTGTCGGGGACACTGTCTATTTGATGACATGCCGCAACGCCACGGAATTCCACATGTTCAAGCTTGCCATCTCCGTGTCCGACATTGAACAGTGGTACCAAGCGTTGGTGGCGACGAGAGAAGACTTCACAGATGCAGAAACGGCCGAGGAACTGCTCTCAGAGTTGGCAGAGCTCTGCACCCCGCTGTTCGATCCCGCCGTGTCAGTAGCAGACGAAGTGCTTGTGTTCTGTCCCACGGCAACTCTTTTCAAGATCCCTTTACACGCCATCATCGTGGATGGGAAGCCTCTACTTGAGCGCAACCCCGTGGTGTATACCCACTCCTTCGCCCTGCTGGATCAGTGTCAACGCCGCACGACACCATTCAGAGAATCTGGCCGGGCCGACCTTGGCTTCTTGGGGAACCCAACCGGAGATGCCCCCGCGGGAGAGCAATCGGTGAAGGACCTGGCACAGCGGTTCGCTGCGAGGCGTTATACAGGAAGCGAAGCGACCAAGCAGACGTTCTGCTCCCTCGCCTCGACCCTGCGTCTCGTTCACTTCCATGGACACGTCCGAGCCGACTACCACGCCCAGCAGAACGCCATGCTCTTCGCTCGTGGCGAGGAGCTCAAGGCAATGGACGTTTTCGAGCTTGACCTTCAACAATCTCGACCGGCCGTGGTTCTCATCGGCTGCGGCTCCGGGGCGGAGCGTCTAACGACAGGCGACGAGCCCATCGGCTTCATATCCGCCTTCTTGTACGCAGGCGCCAGCTCTGTCCTCGCGACACTCTGGCCCATCAGCGACCGCCTATCTGGAGCAGCATTCAGCGACGTCTTCTACGTGACGGGATCGAGTAGTCCGGGACGAGCAGTAGACTTTGCACGCCGTCTTCGGGCGGCTGCCCTACATATCAGGGCGCAGGCGGAGACTACGGCGCCCTACTTCTGGGCAGGTTTTGTGCTTTATGGTAACCGAAATTTCCTCTTGAGCGATACGGAATAAATGAAGTATGGAATTCGTCTAAACACGCAGAGATTTGCATCGGATGATGTTGAGTAAACCAGAACCAAGAACCAAAATCTGATACCTTCACTATGGGTTTAGAATAACTGTCTGTGTCTGCAGAAACTCCCGAAGCCCCCATTCAGCACCAAACCGTCCAAATCCACTTGCTTTATTGCCACCATGTGGTAGCGTTGACTCATCGTGGACAGTCGAGCCATTGATATGCACTGCGCCAACTTCAAGCTTTCTGGCCAACTCCAGAGCGTGATAGTGGTCTCGGGTCCAAATAGCAGCTGAAAGACCGTACTCGCTTGTGTTCGCCGTCTGAATAGCTTCCTCCTCATCCGAAACAACAACCACACCAACCATCGGCCCGAAAGACTCGACTGAAAAGAATTCCATCGATGGGTTAACATCTGTGATGAGTGAAATAGGGACAACTTGATTGCTAGGGTGGCTGTCAGAGCTGTTAGACGAAGACGTGACTTCTGCGCCTTTGCCTGTCGCGTCCGAAGTCAGGCTATGCCACCTCGCCGCGCTTTTAGGGGATATCAGTTTGTATGATGTGTCAAGTCTCTTGCGGAGGGCTTGCTGCAGCTGGTACTTGAAATCATCTGCGACTTCCCGGGATACAATTGCAAGGTCTGTAGACATGCAGATTTGCCCTCCCTAGTACGAGTTAGTATGTATATGGGCCCAGGGGATATTTGCCGAATATCACTGGTCTTGGATCAAACCCTGGGAAGATGGTTCGGACTCACATTTAGGGTGGCGCCGTGCAAAACGGCTTCTGCTGCCTTCGCCGTGTCTGCGTCTGGGAGGATGATGGAACAGTTCTTTCCGCCCAATTCTAGTAGCACTGGCTTGAGTGCTTGCCCAGCCATTTGCGCGATAATCCGCCCCACGGTCGTCGAGCCGGTGAAGTTGACCTTCCGGATTGCCGGGTGTTTGATCAATGCCCCAACAACTTCAGCCGCATCCTCTGGTCGGTGTAGAATAAGATTTACAACTCCAGACGGAAATCCGGCGTCGACGAAGAGTTGAGCAATGAAATGATGGGTTCTGGGGCTCAATTCGGAGCCCTATACAGTTAGAACTTATTTCATTGTGTGAGTTTGCATGACATACTTTAAGAACGGCCGTATTTCCGGTTGCAATTGGAGCCAGTACAGCTCGGAATCCTAGTATAAGCGGGCCATTCCAGGGTGCAATGCCAAGAACTACCCCCAGCGGACGGTTGAAGACAAATCCGTAAGAATCCTTTCCATCTGTGTGGGGGATAGATCCGTTCATTGAACTTGATGTGATGAGCGACGCAGTTTCTTCGATCATGGCAATGCTATCGGAGACATTTCCAGCCGCCCACTCTTCCGAGCAATGGATTTCAGTTTGTATAATTCTCATGGCCTCATCTTTGTGCTGAAGGAGCAGCTGGGTTATTAGAACGTATAATTAGTATTGAACTCTACACACAGGGTAATGCATCTCGCTGACTAGGACGAGATCACCTACATGAGCTAGCTTGAGAAACAGACGCCGCCGCTCCAAGGGAGATGACTGCGACCAACTACCAAAGGCATTGCTACAGCTCTCGATAGCCTTGGAGCAATCTGAGATATCGGCACCTTGAAAGAAGCCAGTCGGTGATATTTTTTGCGTTCTGGCTGCCGATGCTTTGAAGACCGGCAATCCATCAATTAAGAGTGGGATGTTGACATTTTCGGCAAGTGTTTTTGAGCGATTTTGGATGTGAGGATTCGACATGTTAGATGCGGTTTGATGTTCCAAAACAGTCATCTTGAAACAGAATTTCCTGAAACACGGAAAGATAAGGATAAATAGAGAACAAAAAGGCAATCGACGAATTCCTCAAGATTTGTGAGTTTGATGGGTGGGTAGCGGTTGAGTAAAGTCTCAAGAACACTTTGCCCGGTGATTAATATATTGGACTTTAATTCCACAAAGTTGAATGCAGCGGGGAACCTTCGGGTATGCAGCCGCCATAGTACCATGGTGAAACGAAAGGACCGGGGCGTACGGGCAACCGAGCTTGATACGGCTTTAGTACGCGGCTCATAAGTTGCACCACCATGACTGGCCGTAGGTCGCCAATGAAGGATACCCTAGTTCTAACTCACTGCAAGAACGACGCAAATAATTCAAGTCGAGGGAGACGTAGGAAATGAAGCACAGATGAACAACGATGATGGTAATGAAGTTATGTCGAACCCGACTAAATCACCGTAGCCTTCACTGTACAAGAATGCCTGTAAGCGAATTACTATTTCTAGGAGAGCAACTATACTTGATTTCTCATAGGCAAACTAATCAAATGCCTTACAAGATTTAGAACTACACTCTAATTCCGGCACTATCAATGCTACAAATTCTTTAAGTCTTATATCCTATCCTCAAGGGCCGAAGCCTAGGTGGTGCTATCAACGGATCCAACTACCTTCAGAAGAACCTTTTGATATGCCTCCCGAGCCTTGCGCCCATAAAGATAGATCGGAATCGCCAACAACATAGACAGGCTAACCACCATAAACATGATCATATAGACCTGGATCCAACCCTGAGAATTGATCCAGTCAACTGCAACGTAGAGAAACAGAAATGCAACGAGATTCTTGGTGACATTTATGGCAACGAGGATCTCTTGCGCAAAGACAGGGTAGGAGTCGAGTAGATATGTCATTGCGACGTTGGGAGCGTAAACGGTGCCGAAGGAAACTAATTGGGCGAGCATGTCAGTATCCTTCATCTTCAATACTAGGAGCAGCTTACCCATTCCAAATCCAACCGCAATTACTGCCCAGTGGAGCGATTTATCACAGGCAAAGGCAACGATGATGCAGCCGATTGGTGCGACAAGACAGCCAGGACTGAGGGATACAAGACGTTGCTCAGGGACAAAGACGCCACGATTCCGCACAATGCACCGAGCAGTTATCACATCGCAGATATAGCCGCCACCGTAGCAAGCAACAACAAAGCCAATGATGGCTGCGATCTGCATAAGTCCCACGCTGCTGGAAGCAAACAGGTAAGGCGGAGCAAGAAGAAGAGATGGGAAAGCAAAGCTAGTCGGATATGTCAGCGATTTTACAAACGGCTGGTCCATTTCGGAGAGGGGAGGGTCGAAGACACGTACATAAGAATGACTTGTGATGCAAGCGCGCTGCCGTACACAAGAATTGTCCATAGCACCGGAAGACAGCCCAAGAAGACGAAAGGTAGCGCGAATGCCCTTGGAAGACTGATGTTGGGGTTGTAATGGATGAAAGTCGTCCAGACTTTTGGCAGTGAGATGGCAACGACGCCATTACCACCCTGCTCGCTTTCATGATGCTCGGAATGAGGGGCAACATTCGATGCACTGTCGAGTTCCTCTTTAGGGGTGCTGCTTTCGTCTCGGTTCGAACCTGAGGGTGGAGAGTCGGGTAGCGGTGGGCGAACGAATGATGATTCTGGGTAGAAGAGAAAAATGGCGACGAAATCAAATCCGGCAATGGCAGCGCAGACCCAGACAAAGTCTCGCCACGTCCCAGGGCTGCTTTCAACCATGAATCCAGCAATCAACGGGCCGACCGCTGAACCGCAAGAGATGAGAACTACATATCTGCCACGACTGTCAGTTTGTGATGATGCCGAGCCAAGAAGGTTGACTTACATGGACATCATGGCTCCTCTTTCGTGAAGATAGAACATGTCCGATATAACTCCGGGCACAATGCTCTGGGAAACATTAGCATGGTGCTCACGCGCAACAGGGTGCCTCCCTGATTTTCTTTTCTGATATTTCGCGCCCAGGTCCACTTACTTCGCCAGCTGCCGAAACAAATCCAGAAAGACACCGAGCGGCAAGGATTTGTCCAAATGTCTTTGCCTTTGCTGTCCAAACAAGAACTGCGAACAGCATACCCATTGAGATGAGCAGAACGGGTCGTTTGCCATACTTGACTGAGAAAGGGACCCAGATCATGTTGCCTATTCCGAGTAGAAGGAAGTTGAACTACACCCGACAGGCCAAGAGTCAGTTTTGCTCAATAGGTAGCATGAATTTTGCGCGAGGAGTGATGTAGCTTTTGCTTACAGTCATCAAGGAATTGACCTCTTGGGCCGTCTTTTGGAACTGCATCTCGAAGAGAACAGCTGCGACGGAAAGACCAGCGCCGGCAAAGTTTGCCACAAAGTTGAAGAATGCGACCGAGATCAGGGCAAGAATCTTAATCCATCGCGGCCAGCGCAACGGGTCTTTTTCGTCGTTGGACGGCGGTGGCCAGAGTCCTAAGTGGTGGTGCTGCTTGGAAGAGGCATCGACGACGACGTTATCTGCCGGGAACAGGATCCTGGCGTCTGCCATGGCTGAGATGAAGCGTACGAGTAGTTGACGTCAAAGAAGATTCAGTAGATAGTTGTGAATAACAGAGGTATAACTTTGAAGGAGTAGGAGACAATGACCCAACGCAAGAAATCATGGAAAGGGGCAGGCGACTCCAAGATCTTAGTCCATCAACAAATGATAGCGCTCGGCACTGGCCCGGATTTCCCCACGAAGTCACCGCGTATCTATCCGGGGAGCATAATTATACTCTCCAGATGCGGAGACCCCGCAAGGATTGAGATTGCGCGGCCTCGTCGTCGCCAATAGAGATGAGACCATTATAGTCGCATCGCCGGGGCAGTATCGGGAACGACCCGAAAGGCTCTACGTTAAGTACCCCGTAAAGTACCCCGGACTGAGCTAGCCCCGCATCCATCAACTCATCCCACTCCATTCACACGCGCTGCTAATTAAGCAACGTCTTTGTTTCGCTATCATTCATCATGGCAGGACATTTCCGCGGCATCTCGTCCCAAAGCGGCAAGGCTTTCCCCAGCTTGCCCCAGTTCTCGGGCTTTATGAAGCCTTGCCGCTTCGAGGGCGAGATCCGGTATCTCGAGGTAGAGGGTGGCTTGCCCGAGGAGCTCGATGGCACATTCTACCGTGTGATGCCCGATCCGCAGTTTGTGCCGTTTGTCGAAGATGACCCAGTGAGTATTTTCCATCAACCAATGCTCCCGGCAGTTGAAACCCGGGGCGCGTCACACTGGCTAATATGCTACTTCTAGTGGTTTAATGGGGATGGAAATATCACTGCTTTTCGTTTCAGCAAAGGCAATGTCCACCTCCAGCAAAAGTACGTCCGTACTGAGAAATTCATCAAGGAAAGGGAAGCACAGCGCGCACTTGGCGGTAAGTCTTGCAAAATATTGCAATCGTCGTGAATCCGAAAGACTGTGCATTAATTCATTTGGATATCTTTAGGCAAGTATCGAAACAAATACACGGATGCCGTCGAGTTCAAAGTCCGTACTACGGCCAACACCAACATATTTTACTTCAACAAAGTTCTCCTCGCCATAAAGGAAGATGCACCACCATTTGCTATGGATCCCATCACGCTCGAGACCATCGGCCTCTGCGATTTCAATGGCCAACTACCAAGTCTGACCTTTACCGCTCATCCGAAGCTCGATCCCATCACCAAAGAGCTAGTATGCTTTGGTTACGAGGCCAAAGGTGACGGTACCCCGGATGTATGCTATTACAACATCGATGCGAACGGTATCTTCACCGAGGTGGTCTGGTTGGTGTCCCCCGTCGTGGGCATGATTCATGATTTTGCCGTAACCGAGAACTGGGTAAGTATATAGAAGGCAGGATTGATGCACACCGTCGTTTGGATAAATGCTAATATGGGCTGATGATAGGTTTTGTTTCCCATGATCCCTCAGGTTTGCGACATTGATAGGCTCAAACAAGGAGGCGAACATTGGCAATGGGACCCAAAAGTTCCCTTCTACTTGGGCGTTCTCCCACGTCGAGGAGCCAAAGGGGACGATGTCAAGGTAAGGCTTAGAATACCTTTACCAATGGGTAACTGTATTTGAGACGCATCTTGAATCCAGAGATCGACTGTTCGCGTCATTCTTCCAAGACCATGCTAACCTGCTCATACAGTGGTTCAAGGCTCCGAATGCGTTTCCTGGCCACACTACTAACGCATACGAGACACCAGAAGGAAACATTGTTTTTGACCTTCCTCTAACCGACAAGAATGTTTTCTTTTGGTGGCCAGATGCCGATGGAAATGCACCCAACCCCCACGACATCCAAGCCAAGTATGTCCGTTTCACCCTGGATCCACAGGCGTCAGAGCTCGAATTACCAACCCCTGAAATCATTTTGGAGCGTGATATGGAGTTCCCGAGAATTGACGATCGCGTGTCCATGAAGCGTCACCAACACAGCTTTTTCGACATGATGGCTCCGGAGCTAGGCACCGACTTTGCTGCAATCGCCCCGGTACTCGGCGGCGGACATCCTTTATACAACTCCCTCGGTCACCTGGATCACCAGACTGGGAAGCTCGAGGTATATTTCGCAGGAAAGACGCACATGGTGCAGGAACCAGTGTTTGTGCCGCGATCGGATGATGCTCCAGAAGGCGATGGGTTTTTGATGGCGCTGGTGAACAACTACAGTACCATGTCTAGCGAGCTGCATATTCTCGATACGCGAGACTTTTCTACTGCACGGGCAATTGTGAAGCTGAACATTCGACTGAGGGCAGGTCTTCATGGCAATTGGGTGGATGCAAAAGAGCTGGCCGATGTTTAGTGTGTATATATTGATGGTGTGCTGATGTAAGATGGAAGAAACTTTTGCTACCAGGGAGCGAACAAAATACATATCTATATGCTTATTGTGCGATGTCTAATTTAAGTACTGATTTAGGTGGAAAACTCTGTCAATTTCCCATCTCATTTGGCCATAGGTACTAGCCATACGACGAAATTGCACTGTGTTTGTGTCGCTCCAGGGTAGGTCACTTGCAAGGCCATGCGTCGCTCGAGCGTTGTCATCCGCGGCGATTCCCGTCATGAAACTCGAAATAAATTGCTCGCCAAGTCAATGAACTTGAAAAGGGGTCTTCTTTTTAGACTAGTGTTTGAGTTTGGACAGTGGTTGGGTAAGCCAATATCTTCACTGTGGCATTAGAAGCCACCCTTATCACTAGGCAAGGTGACCTCATCATGTGTATTTGTATGGGATTCCCCCACCGCCAATTCAGTCGCAGAACTTTATCAATAAGCACAGCTGAGACGGGCTGGAACGTGGCGCTACGCAGCGTTAAACATTGGGCCGTCACCCTTTGGTGGACAAGATGATGCGCCACGCTGAAAGCCCAGAATGTGCGTGGAACCAACCACGACGGACGCTTACAAGTAAGCTGCAAGCCGACTTCGAGATGTGGTCAGCATAAGCCCGTGGCAACATCCGCGCGTGAGACCTGTTCTTTGTTTGTCTCTTTTAGCTTTCATTTTCTCCCAGTTGGCGGGATAGGCTTGGGTCTCGGCCCTGCCAAAGACCAGCTGTCATCAGCATGCTGATGGTGGCTTGGTGCTTGGACAGATGGCATTTGGCCATAAATACTCTGTGTCTATCGCCATTTCACGTCCGGCCTCTCCCAAAATCGAGCCAGTAATATCTTCACCAGACTGTTGACTAGTCTTTGCAAGAATCTCCAAGAGTATCCGCAAACGTCTTCACCATGGCCTCTCTTTACGCTGATCATCCTTTCCCTTTAATCCCGACTCCAGCCCACAAAGAAGCAGAGGTCAGCCTTACCTGCCCGTGCTCTATCATCTTCTAACCGTTTTAAGCCCGACATGTTTTCCCGAGTCGCTTCCGAAATGTCCCTCGTCCATAATATGGTTATCCGCGGCCTCAACTCCATCTACCTGCAAGCCCCACGAGTCTCCCAGAACGAGGTGCCCTCTTTCTTGCAATACGCGCTCGCTTGGTGGGCACTGGTCAACGTGCATCACACGGGCGAGGAGACGGACTTTTTTCCATACTTGGAAGATGCCACGGGGCAGAAGGGGCTGATGGACGTCAACGTGGACCAACACCATGCGTTCCGAGACGGGCTGCAAAGCTTCAAGACATACATGGAGGACTGTGTTGCTGGAAAGCAAACATTCGAAGGCAACAAGGTCGTTGGAATAATTGACGAGTTTGGAAAAGTGTTGGTCACGCACCTGACAGACGAGATCCCTACCCTGTTGCAGCTGCGCGAGGTTGGAATGGATAAATTGGGAGGTCTGGAGAAGCGGTTTGGCCTGGAAGGAGAAAAGAACATGGTGCGTCTGAACATCAAATTGAAGGAATTGAGCGCCCGAATTTATGAAGCTGACGATGCAAATACAGAAACTGCTGGGACTCGTACAGGGCTTGCCCTTCTGCTTCTGCAACCACGATGTCCAGTATGAGGATGGTAAGTGGGCGAGTTGGCCGCCAGCCCCGCGCATCGTACACATCCTTGCTCGCCATGTCACGTACTGGGTGCATCGAGACCGGTGGAAGTTTGCGGCCTGTGATCGATACGGACATTTACGGCCGCTCCATTGCCTTTCCCAGGAAAAGGCGTGACGGTAACGCCCAGATTTCTGTCCTGAATGTTTGCTCGATATGGTAACTGATCAATTGGAATTTGGCGGGGAAGGTAGCTTGTTCGAGGTTAATTGGAGCCTGAATTAACGTTGTATATCTTGCCCCTGTCTCTAATCTCGGGCATTAATTATCATGGTTCGATGCTCCAGGCCTTCTTAGCTTGGCTGCTCATGGAGTGATTGAGAAGAGGTTTGCATAGGGAGTAAATCGCCGAAGAAGGGAGATTTGAAGGCGTACTTCGGAAGGGAGCCGATATGCGGGGCTGGAGGAGGGGGGTCGCGACCATCCTCAGTCTCACCGAGGCACAACAAACGTGGCGCCGGCGGAGATGGTGCATGAGCTGATCGCTAGCGGGGGAATGACCCCAGTCAACCCAGCCAGCTACGGAGTGCATAGTGTAGCAGTTAAGAGCTAGCATGGTATTCAAGCCAAGGAATGGCAAATGCACATGACGGAATAGGGAGAGAGATGAAATGCGATCGCTACCGGCGCTTCGGGCTCTGAATACCAGCCATGGGAAAGTGGCAAAAGAACACGAGAAGGAGATACCTGTACCACCAATATCGTGACATTTATGGCGACTCCAAGGACGTTTTCCCAACTTTCAACACCGGTAGTCAGCCGTTTATTCTCCGAGCAAAACCGTTCTCGTCGTCGAGTTAGCTTGCCCATCGGAGTGGAGTCGTCCGTCACTCATTCCCACATCTGGCAATGGCACGGACACGACTTTGACACATTGGCGATGTTCCCTTCGGCGAATATACGCTTGGACCCCCTGACGGATTCATGTGTGCGGTGCGGAATGCGTCGTCGGCTACGGAGACATGATTCATGTTCCCCTGAGAACGCGTGGGTTGCGAACTTGAGATGGGACTAGAAGGACGCCAACACCCATCACAGAGACGCTAGGCCACGCGCGGATCAAGCCCCGGCCATGGCTTCAGCTGTCATTGGCGATGGCTGAAGCTGCTAAAGGAATTTCTCGGATCTCGAGAGCGAGTGTCCGCTCTGGCTGCGGAGAACTCCACCTTCGCTTCCACCCTCGCTTCCATCTCCGGCTGTCGAACTCCAAGCAGACGCCAGTAGGGCCGATGAAGGGACTAGACTCAGTCGACGACGCCTCGTGGCGGCCATGTTGCAGAACCTGGCAATGGATCCGGCAGCCAAAGCCTGGACAAGCGGTGGAGCGGTGTTACTGTAGAAGGCCGGCAAACCTCCGCATCTCGATCCTCGTGGTCATGGTCCTCCTCCCCCATGTAGATCATCTGCAGTGCTGGCAGGGGTCGTGACGATCACGGCTGCCCTCTTCCGAATCCCAATGCTAACGGTCGTGCCTCGGGCTGGCATCATCGGCTCCAGTCCTGTATCTTGCTCCGTCACTAGCATTTAGTGTAGACTTGCCAACTCGCAAATGCCCCGGGAATGGCCATCACGTTAGGCAATCAATACCACGAAGTCGGCTCCGCGCAAACGCCTCAAAGTCAAAGCGCCATGCCACGAGTTCAATATCTGCGACGGTAAGGGTCTCCCATCTGCGGACCTATTCCATTCTTGGCCCCACTCCGGAAGCCGTAAAACCTCTGATTTGGGGTCACTGTGGCAAAGGATGTCACTGTCCGACGCGCTCTGAGGTAGCCTACGATTCATTTCAGCCTTCTCAGGGGCAGGTTATAATGGTTGCAGCCTCCGCCCCGCCTGTCACGTCCGTCTAGTCGGTTCTTGTCCTCTCATTTTGCTTCTTCTGCATTTGAGCGTGCGTGGCCGCATCACCACTGACCATGGCCTCAACTACCGACATCAAAGTGGCCTCGTTGGCGGCTGGCTTTACCATCGGCTTTGGATTGTTGACCTGTTGGGAGGCCATCAAACAAACGAGGCGGAATCGTAACCCGTTACGAAGTGCCTACATTTACATGCTATGGGGTGAGATTGCCGCTAATCTCGCCATTGCCATCATCGGCTGGATTTTCTTGGACGGTATTATATCCTCAACGTAAGTCATTAGTTACCCCGTTGTACGCTAGATGTGGCCTGTCCAACTGACATAACCAGCGTTCCGGTGCTTTTCTTCATCCTCTTCCTTTGGGTCTTCGAGGTTCAGTTGCTCATGCAAATCATCGTCAACCGAATCGCAATCATCGCCGAACATGAAAGCACCATCCGAAAGCTCAAATGGGGCACTGCTTTCATCATTACATGCATCAATATTGCCGTCTTCTGCATCTGGATCCCCGCACATACTGTTCCACCAGCAAGCGCCCTGTAAGTGCACTCTTGTTCAGGAGGAACTGCCCTCAAACATACTCCGCATCCAGTCCTGACTGAGAATAGCATTGTTCGTGTTAATGAATACTGGGATCGAATGTCCAAAGTCCTCATCCTCCTCGTCGATGCAGGGCTCAATTGGTATTTCCTTCGTACCGTGAAGAAACGCCTTGTCGAGCAACATAAGCTAAAGAAGTACCAACCGCTTGTTGGCTTCAACGCAAAGCTGATGGTGGTCTCTATCGCCATGGATGTGAGAAACCTTGCCCACACCCATACAAAATCAGAGAATTCCCATCTAATCACCATCACTAGGCCATGCTCATCGGTTTAATGTCGCTACCAAACCAAATCGTCTACATCCAGTTCCACCCCGTCGCATACATGGTCAAGCTGAACATCGAAATGTCCATGGCCAGGCTCATCACTCGCCTGGCTCGGGGAAATAACGACGAGGACTACCCCTCCATGTCGAATTCCAACCATCACACAAACGGACAACATGGCAGTCAAAACAACACCAATAATACTCCTTGGGCTCAGGGCAATGCGATACAATTAACGCATAGGTCCAAGGTAGTCGCCGGCGACTCAGACGAAGACCTGACTGGCACGCTTAACAAATTCGGCGTTGGAGTGGGCATCCACAGACGGACCGACATTGAAGTCAAGGTTGAGGAGGACCTGAAGAATTATAGGATGAAGCGGGACAGCCCAAGGGGCAGGGCACCAAAGGAAGTCGATGATGAGCTGCCACTGACGTTGGACACCGGGCATCCAAAGCAGGACCGAGATGGATCTTCGATTGGCCAAGATTCTGTTTGATGGGGATGGGAATAGTGATTCTAGACCATCCATCTATCCTTAATACTTTACATAAGCTCTCTCTAAACATAATTCTTTAACACTGGGGAAGGGGGCAAGCTATCGTCTTTCGTTGCTCCCATTGCCGGATTCGACCTTTAATTCCAATGCGCAAACGGGTCCATCTTCAGCAATCTTGTTATATCAGTTGGCTGGATGCATGGCCCTGCCATCCCCTAAGATCTCGATTTCCCAGAATGTGCTACCGTATATCCGTAGTATCCCCCCCTTTACTAATCTTAAGGATCCAGGCAGTACGTAACGTTGCCGAGCTTATAAAGCGACAATCGGTTGGCATCAGGTATGAACCTCTCAAAGGTGGGCTCAAAGGTGGGATGGAGGAATATACCTTGTTGTAAGTCAATTCAGTCGGTACATACCAGGGTCGCGACAATCTCGCGTTCGATATCGTCCACCGTGCTTTGCCGCTCTTGATTAAGCACCGTTCATTCACGGGTCGCGTTAATCAGGCAATATTAGATACCTAATCTTAGGGGACTCATCAGATATTCTCATCCCGGTCGGTTGGTCTGGCCCTTTGACATAACGAATTTATGCTATCGCTTTGCCACCGCCATTTGAATGTTATTGGGACACTCTCGCGAATCAGAAGGTGTTAATTACATCCGGCTGCGCCTGGGCTGAGGCTTGTCAGCCGTGCGGGCCTTCATCGGGCGTATAAATAACGTGTTTTAGACGTGGTATGACTGGATATGAAAGATGGTGGAGCGTTTAGTCGTGCCATCATGTCTCGTCCTAAAACCACGATCAGGTGACGGCTCGAAAGATGTACGAACTACGCGTCGCAACGTGATGGTTGAACGCGTCGCATACTCAATTAACGCGTTCATAAATAGGTTCAGAAGCTCTGAGATCACACCTAGCTTCAGAAATCTGTCAACCTTGTAAAACAATCAAGGCGAAGTTTTATCATTGGATTTTTCTCCGCCTTTGTCTCAAAGATAGCCATATATCACTTCCGAGATGACTTCCAATGTGCGCCTGGTCGAGGAGTACCTATCGCAGACGACATGGAAGGGCTCTGAGAATGCCAATTCAACCTACTCGCACCAAGGACTCATGCAGTACGTCTCCCAACATGTTATTTCGGAATATTGGCTGCAGCAGCTCTACTCCGAAGAGATCCGGACGTTCAACGAACAGAACCGCTTCCACATCCATGACCTCGGATTTCTGAGCGCCTACTGTTCAGGTTGGAGCATTGAAGACATCCTCCTTCAAGGCTTCGGTGGCGTTGAGAACAAGATTCAGTGCAGACCTCCCAAGCACCTTAACACTGCCCTCAACCAAGCGGTCAACTTCCTCTTTACGCTTCAAGGGGAGCTCGCTGGAGCTCAGGCCCTCTCGAGCTTCGACACCTATCTCGCTCCTTTTGTTCGAGCCGATAAACTCACGTACACCGATGTCTTCAAGTATGTCCAGAGCTTCGTCTACTCACTCAATGTGCCTACGCGGAGCGGATTTCAGGCGCCCTTCACCAACCTCTCGATGGATCTGATTTGCCCCAAAAGCCTCCAATTCCAACCTATCCTCATTGGTGGCGAACCACACCCGACTTGGATGTACGGCGACTTCCAGGAAGAGATGGATATGCTCAACAAGGCTTTCGCCGAGGTCATGATACAGGGCGACGGCAATGGCAATATCTTTTCTTTCCCAATCCCGACGTACAACCTTTGTGAAGGCATTGACTGGGACTCGCCTCGCTGGGAGTCCATCTGGGAGATGACGGCTAAGTACGGCGTCCCCTACTTCGCCAACTTCATCAACAGCGACTTGGACCCCGAAGACTTTCGATCAATGTGCTGTCGGCTCCGCCTCGATCTCAGCAAATTGCACTGCAGAGTCGGTGGTCAGTATGGTGCGAGCCCGTTAACCGGCTCCATTGGAGTTGTCACGCTCAATCTGCCGAACCTTGCTTTCCGATCCAACGGGACGAAGGAGTCGTTCTTTGCAGAAATATCCGAAACACTGCGGGTTGCCAAGGACTCACTTGAGATCAAGCGAAAGGTGGTGGATGGAAATTCTGCCTTGTATCCCTATGCAGCTCACTATCTATCTGCCACGAAACACCGCACAGGATCACATTGGACCAATCACTTCAGTACCATTGGCGTCAACGGCATGAACGAAGCGCTGGTCGCCATTTTTGGCGAGGGCATCATTGACCACAAGGAGTTCGCCCTTCAGACACTGGACTTTATCAAGGAGCGGCTTCAAGAGTTCCAGAACGAAACTGGCAACCTCTACAATCTGGAGGCTAGTCCGGCAGAAAGCACCTGCTACAAGTTTGCCCGACGGGACAAGGAGCTTTTTCCGAGTCGCACCATTCCAACCTTCTACACCAACTCTACAATGCTCCCTGTAGACACGACCGAGGACCTCTTTGAAGCCCTTGGCCATCAGGAGGAGCTACAGTGCTCATACACGGGCGGGACCGTTTTTCACGCCTTCTTGGGTGAGCGTTTGTCGAGCTGGAGGATGGCGAGAAACCTCGTCAGATTGTTGACAGAGCGTTACCGTGTCCCGTACTTGACCCTCACGCCGACCTTTAGCATCTGCAAAACACATGGCTACATTGCAGGAGAGCAGCCACTGTGCGCCGTGTGCGCTGAAGAATGCCTTGTGTACTCACGAATCGTTGGCTATTTCCGTCCCACTCGCGACTGGAACAAGGGCAAGACGGCCGAGTTTTCTCAGCGAAAGACTTATCGTTATGAAATCGGTCTTCCCATCGACGATAAAGAGAAGGAGAATAACAAACTGCGGGAGCTGGAGAGCCAAGTCGCTGAGATTGTTGATTTACCTGTGGCTGGGTACACAAAGTTGACTCTCAGTGACTGGCCCGGCAAGATGCAAGCCGCTATCATGTTCACATCTCGCTGCAACCTTTCGTGCCCTTGGTGTCATAACGGGCCGCTCGTTCGTGGTGAGCGTGACAACTTCACGATCCTGGACATATTTCGCCACATCACGTCGACACCACATAAGTCACTCGTCATATCAGGCGGTGAGCCGACTATCCACAAGGGCTTGGTCCCTTTCATGCGACTTCTCAATCAGGCGGGCGTGAGTATCAAGCTTGACAGCAACGGCACGTCACCCGTCGTCTTGAGGCGCATCTTCGCTGAGAAGCTTGTCGACTTTGTGGCCATGGATATTAAATGCGCACTGGAGAACTACAAGAAGGTGACTGGCCGAAAGGTAGCTCCCAAGGTTCTAGAGTCTAGCATTACACTCATAAAAGAGAGCGGAGTGCCATATGAATTCCGCACTACAGTTGTGCCGTCGTTGGTGGACATGGAGGATCTCTTCGAAGCGAAACGGCTGGCTGGTGGGAAGTTGACGATGCAACGTTTCCGCAAGGGAGACAACAACTTGCACGAACAGTTTCGCGAGTGTCAGGAGCACACTGAGCAAGAATTCAAGACGATGGTTACGCAAGTAGCATAGAGAGAAAGATGGGACAAGGTTGCGTTTGCTTGTATATTCTCATTCTCACTGGTAGATTTACAATTTCAATGATCAGATAGTGTAGGGAATAATTTGAGATAAACGTCATGCAAACCTGCAGTGTGCTTTGATAATTTGCGCCCGAGTGAATAAAATGTCGGAGCCAACATTACTCCATCACCCGTTTTCGCTGTCTTGCTAGTCTTCAAAATTTTTAAGTCTTCCTGATTATTCTGTCCCTAGGTGTCTTCGGGGAACGCAACAACGACACCGTTGAAAGATGCCCACTACATTCTCACACCCAACTTCGGCGGTCTGGGACTTTTGTGCATTTGTCCACACTCGGCTGCGCAGAGGGACACAAAGAATTTAACCTCATTAGCTGTCATATACGACAGCATAAAATGAGCCTTTCTAGACCTGTTTGTGTTCAGAGGCCACACTTAATTCTCAACGAACAATAGGGTAGGGTCGGTAGTAGATACCCCGAAATGTGTCAACTACCGTAATGCCAAGGACAAAGATCGACACTACCACAACTCGTATTGAAACATGGTATTAATTTCCCACCCATACAACCCTTGCAGAAATCGCGTAATCCAGACTTGAGACGAGAACGACAGAGGGGTAGCCCTCCACGGGAAATTGCCTTCCAGAATCAGCCAACCATGTTCTTTTACCAGGGCAGTACCCACGTTTACATGTTTCCCCGCGCACAATAGCGGCGCGGTTCCTGTCAAAACTGGCTCGGCGTGAGCCGGAGAGGCTCGTTCGGATCTTTCGGTGAGCAGTTTCCGATGGAACGTTTCAGGCGGCGCTACGTCTTTAAGCTTAAACCTTAAGGGTTTCTTGTCGGTGGATTCAACCGAAGTAATGGTCTGTCTGGTAAAATTGAGGACTGCTTAGAGTACCATCGGCACGTGGTAGATGTTTCGTTATAGAAGCAAATAGGGCTAGTGCCGCTCAACTGGGCCGAGGGGGATGTAAAAATTGAGTGTTTGAAACGTGGTTCCGTCGGAGTAATAGAATGTCTGGTGAGGTTAAACGGATTAGACTTGGACACATCACTACCTATTTGAGGCTGGGGCTGGACATTTCTCCACATCTGCTAACAGAACCTATCACGACTGTGCTACTTTTGAAAGCTATGTACTTAAAAGGATAGAACGGAGCCTCGATGTCCGGGGTAGATGTGGATTGTCACTAAAAGTCCGCCACGGAATTTCTCCCCTGCCTTGCCGTGGATATATTGGCATGGCCCTCATACCATGCTGCTGACATGATGTGTATTTAACATTGAAGCTAGCAGGCCACAGTCCCCCGCTCATTTAACACAATATAAGACAGCTGCTTCACCCTCTTATGAAACGGAAGGGAATCACGACCACCGCCTGGTTCTGCATTCTTCATTCTCTCGCAAAAAGCGCAAGAGAAACGCAGCCATGATCAACCCACTTTCCCTCACGGCAGTGCTCGCACTTGTCTCCCTCGTCCAGGCCCAGTGTGGCTCTGGCACACCGCATGCCAAAGTGACTGGCTCAGGCTCTTCTTTCACCGCCACCAGAGGGTCAAGCTCGGTGTACTCGGGCTCTGACTACCGCGCCGCCATCCAGGCCGCGCTCGACTCCATTAGCAGCGGCCAACGAGTCTCTGTGATGGCTTCCGGCTCCATCGGTGCCAACACCCTCACCATCACCAGCGGCAAGATCTTCGAAGGCTGTGGTACCATCGACGTTGCCCTGAGGAGCGGACGCGGTGCCATCGAATCCACAGACACTGCGGGAGTTCAAATTCCGTACCTCACCATGACTGGCAACCCGTATTTCGGCTTGCGATTCTCTGGCACTCAAAACCTGGTCTTGGGCAAGATCACCATGAACCTAAGCGGCGGCCTGGGTATTCGATTCGACCGTGACAGAGCCGCAAACTCCAACGTCAAAATGGACGTCATCACCGTTACCGGAGCGGGCAGCCACGCCGTTGAGACCTGGAACATTAACGGTCTCGAAATTAACCAGGTTATCGCTAGAAATGTCGGCGAGTCTGGTTTGCTTCTCCAGAACACCAGAGATGCGCGGGTTGGGCTTGTCGATGGTAACAACGTTGGCGCAGGAACTGGATACGGAACTTTGCGTTTTGCCAACAAGAATGGCGACCGTGGCAATGGAAACTACCAGACCAATGTTTATATCGACAAGGTTGTCTCTCGTGGCGGCGGTCGTGGTGTTTTCTGCGTCTCGGAATCCGGAGGCGCAGAGATCAAGAGTGTCGACCTCGCAAGCAACGGTAACAACGCCATTCTTATTGAGAACTGCTACAACGTTTCTATTCTCGGCGGTACCGTCAACGGAGGAGGAGAGGTTCGTCTCGCAGCTCGCACCGAATTTGCGAATAACCGCGATATCTCGATCACCTTGAGAGTGGATAACAACACCGTTCGGGAGTCCCCATGCGGCGAAAACACTACATGGAAGCTCACTGGCAATGCCAAGCAAAGCATTTGCTGAGTATGAGGAGTCGTAATCAGGCCTGTTTTAAACTTAGTGAACAATTTTATATGGAAAGTGCACTGTTCTGTGTTACACATGTTTGATCTTTAACAACTAATTTGTTTTATTTGACGTTGTGCAATCTCTAGATCTCACTTAAACAGCCATGCAGGAATGGTAATATTCGCGCTCAGGCTAATTTACTCTAGTTGTAGATGTGAGGTGTTTAACCATCCTCTTTCTCTTGAACGCCCTGTGCGCCAAATCTGTTGAATTCAAAAGACGCTTAAGTAGGTCTTCAACGACGTAGAAAATTATTAGGGCCACTTGAAAATACACTAGTTTAGTTCTGATAAGGGCATCACCAAGGGATATGTTAAATCCTCATTGACTCTCTTGCGGTTGGTAATGACATGAGTCAATAGTTCAATGTCCCATCTGATGTGCAAGTGGGAGACATGTACGTGTATCTCTCGTCATTGTGATGCACAGACGGCTTTGGTGAATTACTAACGATTATGATGACTTGCTGATAAGTCGATTGGATTCGAGTTGATCTAACGATAAAGCAAGAAGTCTGTCAGGAGGGTTGCGCCATCGCATTGTCTAATTAAATAGTTCGGAATAATAATTCCATCTAAAATCCGTCGAAACTCTTCAAAACTTTGCGTAAATCTATTGAACCCCATCAAACCATATTTGGAAGTCTCCTCTCTATAATCGCATATTATGTCACAGGAGCCCCAGGCAAAATGGCAGGAAGAAGGCACTGCACATTTGGATCGCCAGTGGCACAATGGCAATAGTGGCGGTGGAGTGAGGGCCAGGCGTTATATTCCAGCCCCAAGGTGCTCCAATGGCCATGTAAATCATACCTATAATATCCAGTCAGCATATGAAGGTAAACGTCTTCTCGGAGATGTACTTACCACCAGTGAGAATCAGGCAGATTGCCCAAGTGTATCTAAACGTCTTGACCATCTTGTCTAGGCCAATTGAGAAACCTGTTGGTCCAACCTCTTTGGCCGTAGATGCCCACTCAATGTCAATGGAAAGAGCGTGGCATAACAATGCCTTGGCACAGTTGAGACTGATGCCGCCAAAGAAGATGATCAAAAAGGGAAGCCATTTGACAGACTCCCACAGCGCCTTCCAGAAGGGGGCTTCATTCATCCTACGGCGGAGCACGCTGAAGGTGACCGAACCGAAGCCGTTGAAGACGACAACGAGGGAAATCCAGATGCCCCAGGAAGGCTGGTAGACGTGATCAATTTCGTCTGGGAAGAGGCCGATGACGAAGTAGTTCACAACAGTGAGGAACATGCCCGATGCAATAGCATAGTCTAATACTATCAGTATGTAAGTAGAATTGAGGTGGAGGCGGTGTTGAACTTACAAGTGAAAATGTAGGCGACGATGGTAATCTTACTGGTGATGGGAATGTTGCTCCACAGGAAACGGAGGAATAGCCTTGTGACAGGACCTTTGTAAATCCATTTGTAGCTGTAGCAGGTTAGCAGTGTACTACAGCAATAATTCCCGTAGACCTACAAAGGGTGGAACACAAGTTCATTGCATCCGTACGCGTACTTCTCCCATCGCGTCAACTCATCGTAGAGTGTCAGAGACACGCCCTCTTTGAACTCGCCGTTATGATAGGTCGCAAGACGGACTGTCATACCTGCCATCTGAAGACGCAAACTGATATCAAAATCTTCAGAAACGTGAGCATCAGACCACCATTTTGTCTGTCCGTCAGAAGGATCGACAAATGCAATACTTTGGATGGCTTTCCAGCGAAGAATTGCATTGTGGCCAACAAAGGGGGCAACGTCACCGCTGCCAACACCGTACCTGATGGCAGTATAGACGACATTGGTGAAATAGGTGACTGCATCGTGTCAGGGGCTTATGCGTCGTTTGTGATAAAGATCTACACTTACTTCCATTCTCGAAGAGGTTGTGGGCAACTTGCATAACTCCAGAGCCATGTTGAAGAATTGCAACTTCAGGGCTCTCATGCATCTCCAAAGCGGCATAGAGGAGGCAGTCAACTGGGACCCGAGTGTCACAATCGATTCTACTGTGTGTTAGCAAGGTTCAAAAGTTGGGTTTGGGTGAACGTTACATAAGAATCAGTTCACCAATGCGAATGTTCCCATCAGCCCCTGTCTTAGTTAGTATAGGTGTCGTTATCAAGTAAAGCATGGAAGAATACATACAAGTTCGTCCTTCATCCTCGGCAAGTACGTTTTGCAGGGCTTGTTGATAGATTTCCTCGTCTTCATCGACCGTCAAGTCGGCGTCAGCGCAGCCACGTCTCTCGCACTCTACAGTAAGCAGACGGCTCATTTCATCCTCAACCCGATTTGAGAATGCCAGACCGTAGTTCATGTTACTAGCCTTCTTGAACTTGCCCTTGCGCTCAAAACCGAGGTGGTTAGCCATATCTTGAGGGGTGAGTGGAACCTTCTCTTCCCCCTCCTTAGAAGCTGCGGACTTCTTCTTTACGATCTTCCTGTTGGGAAGGCGAGCTGTGTATCCAATGTCATTTTCGCGGTAGTACTGCTGTCGGGCCTCTGCAAGCTCCGGGTGGATGCATTGCATACCATCGTCGTTGATGAACACGGATGCGGTACCACCTTTCTCTTCGTAATGCTGAATAGCGGCCATGACACTGACCATCGTGGGTACAATAACACTATAAAATAGTTAGCTACGTAGCTAGAGCAAGGTTAAGACATCGGCGCACCCTTTGAGGCCTTCTTTGTAGACAGGCATCTGAATCGTTATGTGCGGGAGCTCATAATTGGCGTGCCTTTTCGGGTTGGGTTTGATAGCTATGAATGTTAGCCCGGACGAAACCGATAATTCAGGTGAGTCGGGACCAACCAGAGTGAAACTTTGAATTCTTCAGGCACGGGCTGACAGGTGCCAAGATTTGGAAGAAGCCGGTGACAAGATTGATGAAGAAGAACTGAAGCAGATTAGCTAATGCGCTCATACTTGAACGAAGAAGACGTTTCTTGCCAGTGAGAACAAGGCCAGAGGAGGGATTGTCGCGGCCTAAAGCACCGTCAGTCTCTGCATTCCATGCGTTAATTGTTCAACATACGAGAGCAAACCGTAGTTTTCCGCCATCCCACATGTACTGGTTCAGCAACTGTCCATTGTAAGCACAATCATACCTCCACACTATGATGTGGGAACATACCTTCGAGACGGCAAGACTCTGCGTGACGATGACTAGCATGATAGCGAAACCAATCTTGAACGCATGAATGCGTAGTCTAGGTCGAGGAGGCACGGCAGATTCAACATCTTCATCATCTCCTTCCTCAAGGGCCACAGCCTTTTTGTAAACTTCGTTCTTCTCGTCTATTCCGCCACGGACAACAGGCTCTGAGTAGTGGCGCCGATGGGGTTGCGGAGCGACCGATGATCGTCTCGAGGTGCGTCGCGTATTGGAATCGGTATCGGGATTGAAGCTCTGTGATTGATGAGCTAATGTGTCTTTGTGTGAGCGATGTACCTACTAGACCTAGAAGCTGTGTCTCGATATCGTGGCCTGAGTTCACGATGGTCCTTGGGTCGTTGGACCAAACCAACATAACGCGTTCCCTGACGACAATACAAGCCCGAGAGACCATGGTAAGGCTGGAGTGGACCTCTTCGAGTGATTGAACGATCGGTATCTTCATCCCCGTAGCCTCAATCACAAGCTGTCTTTGGCCGGGTTGGATGGAATCAATAATGCTAGGTAAGACCTCGGATGACATAGACATGACGGCATTGTTGTCAATCCTGGCTATGGCCAGGGCTAGGAGGGGATTGACTTCAGTAGGCTGAAAAACATAATCGTCGTCTGCGGTTTTGACAGCGACACACGTCTCGTTGAAGCCATTCACTAAGGATTGCCTCTCAGGTTCGTCAAATAAGCCAAGAAGGGTCGCGCGCCGAGACAGGTATTTGGCAACCTGGGTGATTCAAAGCGTTAGAACTCACTCAGGGACATACGTGGAATAATACATACCATGCCAGGCTCTTCCAATGTGGCTTCATGGAGGGAGGCGGCTCTGGAATTAGCACGAGAGCTTGAAGGGCTCATGAACTGCTGAGACAGCGGTCGAGCTGACTTGGGCCGGCTTGAGTGCAAGTCGCCCTGACTTCCCAGGACACCAATGTCATCCATTTCGCCAATGACCTCGGCCGTGGAGAGCTGGTCTAGCCTCTTGGATGACTCAGGGGTATCCATCGTTTTGGGGAGTTCTGATGGGCGAGCTCTACCAGAACAACTTGAAAAATATTATTCGATGGGACATGAAGAGTATAGGAAGAACCAGAAAAGAGAGGAGAGATTACAAGCGCAGATTTATGGTGTAGATACCCCCTTGAGGCACCCAGACCAAGAAGTCCAAACAGGGACGGTGGAGAGAAGGCCCATGGTGGTGACCCAGGCAGACCGGAGATCTAGACTAGCACTCTGGGCCCTTGATTTGGCCCTTGATTCTACACGAAGCTAAGATTCAACTATTGAAGGTGGCTTGGAGAAGACAAGAACAGAGATAACGGCCAAATCGAGGGCATCCGCTGGTAAGGAGAGATGATGTGGCAAGTCTAACCTGAATCGTGGGACAAGTTTGGAGGCCAAAATCCCAGCCTCAAAATAGCGCCTGGGATTTGACGCTATTCAAACCGGTACTGTTGGCCTCGGTGGTGTTTAGGACGAGCTGAAAGATGCAAAGCAGTCTCCGGTGGAACGATTTTCCAGACTATTGTTTTGATATCAGGCGTCGCCAGAGATAGCCGTACCACGATCCTGGCACGTACAGCTAGATACGACATGCGACTGAGATGCCGCTATTGAAAGTTGGCGCACAGCTCTTAGTCTGGCAAACAACCCGAGCGAGGTGGGTTCAGCTGATACGACGAGAGCGTGGACGACGTTTTGGAGCCTACGGCGGCAACGGCACGGCGGCACTGGAGGTTTAGCACTGGAGGTCTAGCGCTATCACATTGTATGATCGGTGCAAGGGTAAGTGTCACGATGTATTGGCCCAAGATCAATGAAGTGGGATCCAGGGTATCAAGTTGGAATAGATTATTGATGCCGAAGGCGTCTACGAGATGATGGTTGTTCGCGTAAGTATACCGCAGCTACGACCTACAAAACTATTTAACTTGCATGATCAAACAAAGAGGCAGACGCTCGGGTCTCATCTCGGTAAATGACCAACACGATGGTCATTATCAGTGCAGTGGGCTAATCTACTGGGGCAAGCACGACATACTTGGCGAGCACAAGGAGCTGAAACGGTCAAGAGATTGCTTTACGAAGAGGGACTCGGATGAAGCCGGCTACTTCGATATGTTTCAATGTCCGAAAAGGGACCCGAAATCAATGCAATGACTCGGATTCCAATACCCAAACCAGCAACGAGATGCTCAAAGCGGCCTCATCAAAACGGCCTCATCAAGGCTGTGGCTGACTGAAGATAAGAAACCGCCAAGCCCACTCATTCAGGGCAACGGCTGCCGTTACAGCCTTGGCTGCAGGGCTAGACGAAGAGATGCTAGCACAGATTCCGAATGCGCTAAAGAAACACACCCGTTCCGGTTCTACCGGTCCGGTACATAGCGTGGACATCGCCCCCACGCAAATATCTCGTTAGCGTGCCCCTGGTCGCATCCCAGAGACCCATGTCCCTCATTCCATTTCAATGTACTACGTAGTATCTCGATGTATCTTCGCCAACACACCAGAGACTACCGTTTTGATCTGGCATGATGGACAACAACCAGCTGGATCACCCTGGTCAATAGATCTGGCTTCTACCTGGGCAGCCGCAGGAGGAATTCCGGTGGCACACCGCCCAAGTCAGTCCACCGCGATACAACTCCAACCCCTGCGTGAAGCCTAACCGTATCGTCAGATTGCAGTCGATGGGAGCCCAATGAAGTGGCAGACTCGGAACGCCAAGGCCGTTGCTGTTATCACAGGCCACAGGTTGGGTCAGCCACCCTTGCTGCCAGAGGCCCCTGGTTTACTACGTAGGGGCTTACGACTTCAGCTACACCTTCAAGCAAAGCCGGCGCAGCGCCACTATCGTGAGAACCAGCTCCCTGGTTTATGGGTGCGATAGAAGGTTGGTTTGTTTGGTGGCTGACGCGCTATTTTGGGGGGTTTCACGAGGAGGACAGAGCGATATCCCAATTCAAACATCAGCTTCGTGTAGCCGAATGACGGCCCCCGGTACAATCTCATCCATGAGTCTGGACTTATTGATGGTGGCTTCCCGTTCTAGACTATTGAAGCTGGCTGATTATCAATCCCAGCAGCGCGGTTCACGAGGCCAAGTCGTCCAGTGGTTCCATCAGGCCGAGGCCTTACTCAGTAACCACAGGATAACTGGCTAGCGTCTCTCTGCCAATGGTGATGGTGAGCTGGTAATTCGGTGTTTTTGTTTCCGACACTTATATCATTGTTCTGCAGCGCATTCGCGCAATCACCCAGCGAATCCCTTATACTGCGTCGTTTTGGTTCTTCCTCTATCACTCGTCACTACCTCTCCCAATTTTCCGTTTACCTACCAGTCCCTGCGAGTAGTCATTTTCTCTACTCGGCCACCATGGCGGTTCGAACCCAGATTGCCACCGTGGGCAACAGGGGACGACATTCAAGCAACCCTTCAGATCCCTTCAACCTTGGAAGACCTGGAGGGTCCTTGATGGATCCAACAGCCCCAAACCCCTTCGCAACCCCCGATTTTGCCACGCCCGCACCTTCGGCCCCTTCACAAAGTTCAAGATCCTCGGGCTACTTTCCCAAAGGCAAGCCACCTAGACGTATATTTCATGTCTTGGTACAATTTCTGACACTGCCAATATAGTATCGGCACCTCGGAGGCGCTTCAAGAGCTCACGTCTTGTTGGGGAGTATGGGCACCCGACTCATTGAGCATGATTCATACTTACTCGCAATACCACAGGTTCGAGAAACCTTGGCTCGAAGAGAGCAAACGGACGATCAATTGGGATGCTGTCATCCTTTACACCTTCGTTTTGGCAGGCCTCGGTACGATCCCCTTGGCTTCACCACAAAACCAGTCGGCGCTCTAACCATCACAGGTATCTCGGCCGTCATCTGCTGGCTTAATGTCAGAAACATCTCCAACCCTGAGGTATGTCACCTTTGTATTGAATCCGGAAATAAAGGTGTTCTGACATAGTTTCCAGTACTGTTTAGTCCTCGAAGACAATTTCGAGACCTTCAACAAAGACGTGTGGAGCCATGAAGTGCAAATGAACGGATTCGGGTAGGGCATTGCTCCGCATATTTTAATCTTGGATAATACAGCGGGCTGATCTTTCGTAGCACCGGGTCCTTCGACTGGACCACTAGCGACCCTGCCAACTCCTACGTTGATGCACGAGGCCTCCACATTGTTCCCACCTTGACTCTCGAGAGCACAGACATCACTTATAAGCAACTGACTAATGGGTAACAACACTACTCTGCCTACAATCGCCTTACACATCACTAATCTACCCGCAGATACACTGTCAATCTGACCAAAGATGGTACCTGCACAAGCCGCGAGCAGCGCGTCTCCAACATCGCCGGAATAAGTCAGCCATGTTCCGCAAAAAGCAACTCCACCAAAGGCACAATCATCAATCCTGTGCGTTCCGCTCGTCTTACAACTGCAGGTAAAAAGACGATCAAATACGGCCGCGTCGAGGTAGTGGCCAAGATGCCCCGCGGAGACTGGATGTGGCCTGCCATCTGGATGATGCCGCAGGACTCGGTGTACGGCGATTGGCCACGGAGCGGAGAGATTGACATTGCTGAGTTGCGCGGTAATGATGCAGAAGAATACCCTCTTGGAAACAACATTGTCACTTCAGCACTGCATTGGGGTACGTCTTATACGGACGATGCGTGGAACAAAAGTGCTGGCGAATGGGGTGGTAAGAGGACGAAGTATTCGGACGACTTCCACCTCTATTCGCTGGAGTGGTCGGAGAAGTACCTGTTTACTTGGCTAGACGGGCGACTACGCGTAAGTGGTTTGAGTCATGCCCGCATGGAATCTGGGCTAACCATACCTTGCAGCAAATCATATTTTTCGACTTCAAGAAGAACAAAAACATGTGGACATTTGGAGAGTTCTGGAAGTCTCCTGTCAACGGCACATTCAAGGATCCTTGGAGCCAAACGGGCAGATCCAACACTCCATTTGACCAGGAATTCTACCTCATCCTCAACGTTGCAGTTGGAGGAACAGGGGGCTGGTTTCCGTACGTATTGATTCCCTCGAATCTCCCCTTTTGAAGGTCGATGGTGTGGAGTCAAAGCTGATCGTATAACAGAGATGGCATGGGTCAAAAGCCTTGGACTGATAAAGGCGATACCCCCATGAGAGACTTTTGGCAGGCTAACAGTACTTGGCTGCCGAGCTGGGGCCCGGTGGAAGACCGGGGCATGATAGTGAAGTCAGTGAAGATGTGGCAGGAGGGGGCATGTTAGTCTACACCAAGACGGCTCAGGGGAATTTGGTTCCCTTTTCCCCGATATTCTAACCTGTTGCAAGGCGAGGACTGTGTGGTACGCTAAATTAATCGGTTCATTTTGGCTTATAGAAAATCCATATCTTTCGACCCTGTTGGTGGCTGAAAATTAATCCCTGACACTATTTCCGTCCTGACTTGCTGTAGAAAACCCGTATCTTTCGGCGCTGTTGGTGGCTGAAAGACCCCCTGCGCAATCAACCTAGCGCTGAAGCCCGAATCGTCACACCAGCGGCAATCACAATCAGCCCATGTCGCTAAATGGGAAATCAATACACTATCGGCTTGGCAATGTAACCCTGTGCCGGCTGTTCGGAAATGCGTTGGAGAGCTTGCACCAAAGGGAATTCAGGTGCAGCTGTAGTTTGATGCTTTTGAAGTCTGTCTTGTCGGGATATCCTGCTGTGAGAATCAGGCCCGTTGAGGTGTGGGCAAATAAATGCCTGCTGCAGAAGTCTACTGACCTCGCTGGTACTTAACCCTCTCGTACAGATACTTCTGATGCTGGCGTAAATAACCCAAGAGGAGAGTATCCAGGACCTGGAGTCCTTATCGCATCCACGCAAATGCATATTTAGTTGCCAATAGACAAAGCTCCTGCATCCGACTTTACCTCTGGGAGCTCTCTGGTGGAGCTTTTATGCAAGTATGACTGGAATCAGCCTTTCCAACCCTTGCGGACTGTAGCACGTGACATAAAACGGGCTGTGGTATTTTCCCTCTGGTGGAGTTGGTCCCCACTATCGTATCCCGTCTCTCATCAACGTGGAGATACGAGAGAGTCTCGTCGTTATCACAGCTATCGTTATCGAAACCGAAACCTGACGTTAGACCAGGTATCAGATCAGGTATCGGCATCGAGCTCTACTATGCTGCAACTACATCTGCGGCGTCTGAGACATGAAGCGTCCCGCATCAGAGCTCATGTCTCCAAGCACGCGCTCGCAACCTACATGACGCGTCCGAATGGCGTCCCTCGTCTTCGCATCGTCGGCCCAACGGTGTGGTGTCTTGCCGCAGCCGGTACATTCTATCTCGGTTGTGCCGGCTGGGAAATCTATCGAGACGTCCAGCATGTGAACAAGAGAGGCCTGAGATCAACCAGCTCCAGCTCTCCCGCTACGTATGACCAACTGCAAGCCGCCAAAGCAACGGCTCGGCTATGGAGCCGCCAGTCCGAGCCAGCGCTAGACCAAATATCCTCTGAGACGTGGCATCGTCTGCTCGGGGCGGACAAGATGGTGGCCGGAGCCATAGGGCTGAATACCCTCATCTTCGCAACATCTCGCCCTATTCCCGCATTGCAGATGCAGTTTATGCACTTTCCTGCCGGGCCTTATAACTACACACTTCTCACCTCCGTGTTCGGACACGCTGGCCTGTTGCATATCGGAGCGAACATGTATGGCCTGTACCGCTTCGCGCCCCAAGTGGCCCGCAGCCACGCTTTCGAACGGAGTGGCGCTCACCTCACGGCCTTCTACCTTTCGGCCGGCGTCTTTACGAGCCTGGCTCAACACCTGACGTCGAAGTGGGCATCTCCACGAGCCCGTCAAGGCGGTTTCTTCACACCATCATTAGGGGCCAGCGGCGCAATCTTTGGCATCCTAGGTGCCTGGGCTATGCTTTTTCCGGATGCACAGGTCGGGCTTCTTTTCTTGCCTGGGAGTATCCCAGCAGACCAGGCGCTGGCGGGGATTGCACTTTTTGAGGCGTATGGACTCGCCGTGGGATTCAAGTTTGTGAATTTCGGCCACGCGGCACACCTGGCAGGTCTGGCGATTGGATCAGGATATGTGTATTTTGACGGAAAACGACGACTTTGGCAACCAGCCCGAAGATTTATGTTTAACCAGATGAAATTTCTGGGAGTCATCTAGGGGCTACCGTTGAGTTCTCGGCCGATCGGCTTTTGAAAAGAACTATAACAAAAATAAAACAATTCTGCCCATAAATCTTAAACTGAGTCTTATAGGCATTTATACCATACTCTACCGCTGGATTGGCTACCCTAAATCTGCCTATTCAGGCTGAGCTGGGCGATCTCAGAGCTTGGACGGGCTAATAGACCCTTGGTCTTACGGGCTCCCCCACATCTAAAACAGCTTGAATTTGCAACTGACGAATCATACTCCCCACTCACTCGGATATTATACTATTTTCAGTCTAGTCATTACACATGCCGAAAATACACTTGCTCTTGCTGTCCTGGGGCCTCCCATCATCTGGGTGGTATTTATTCAGTGCCCCAGCTGCTTGCTTATTCCACTCCCGTGGCTCGACAATCTGAATATACGCAATGACTTCTCGGTTCGGACGACGCTACAAGCGCGAGCATATTCCTACCCTTAAAGTTCCTGCCGCCATACCATGGCTAGGCTATGCAGCTCTCGCTATTGCGGCCCTGATCTGCCTTCACGGCCTTGTCACCTTTTTCCTCACTGCCTTTGCCGTTTCAGGCAAGCAGACGACCAAGCTCAAGCTCCCACTCATAGCCCGCGCTATTCAGTGGACAGAGCTTGCAATTGTAAGCTTTGGAGTGGCTTTGCGCTCAACTACTCATACTAATCATGTTCCTTCTCCAGACCATTGTAGGCCTTGTTTTCTTTGACTTTTATTTCCTCATCTCCCAACGATACCACATCAAGGAGCTGAAAAGCTTTTATTCGCAAAGAAATGTCAGGTTTTTGAGAAAGTGCCTCGTTTGGTGCTGGTTCCCTAGTCGCCTCGTGTTCCTGGGAGTGTGGATTGTCCTTGCCGCATTTCAGTCGCGATACATCCCTATCCTAGGACATAAAACGCTGTCGGATTGTTCTGGGCTATGGATAGATAAGAAAAGGTGTAATGCGGTGAATGGAAGCTGGATTGCAGCCATTATTTACTGGTAAGACTGGTTGAAATGGCCTAAGTTATATAGCTAACACTTCTAGTATCCTGTATTCCGCCTCTCTCGGCGTGAATTTGATGCTGATACTGAGGCTGCGTTGCTCGGAGAATGATTTTGAGAATTTGGCATCAGCAAACGACATGCCGAACGCTCAAGCTTCCAGATCTGTAAATGGACCCTCGTCAATACGCGGCCCTTACGCCCCTATCGCAACAGAGGATTGATCGTAGTAAATACTCGCTGATAAGAGCACTGCATTTTGGGCCGGGGCTTGTTATATTATTTGCAGCCAATCAAGACTTGTCTTGCTGCTTGGTCGACGCGACTGTAGACTATATACATTATCCCTGTTAGAGAAGTGTGTTGTTGGAGTAGAAAAAGATCTAGTCGCTGCCTCACTATCGCCCATTGCTAAGTTTCCCCTACCAATCCAAAAGTTGGAGCTACTGGCCTCATAGCTTACAGCCAGTTTCAGAAATAGGCTAGAGAGAAGGCGGGAGACTTCGCGTAGGGCGGGGCAGAGGATCCGGTCCATTTGCTGCATTTATAATCACATAGACGTGAATATCGTTCGACTCGAAAAGCTTAGAGGCTTACAGTATTGTAGCATTATTGCACCATCTCCAATTTTCTGCTTAAGCCCGAACTAGATCCTCCGCAGGCCGCATTTCACCAAGGAATTTCGTCGCCTGCGTAGCGGAATGCCTCAGGTCTATCGTCAAATTCCGGAGCACGAATGTTGAGGAACTTGCCATTGTCATCCTTGCCCACGCCGTGTACAATATCTAAAACCGCCTTCGTGCTTGCTTCAATCTCGAGATCGGCGTCTCCCCCGCCCAGATCGGTTTTCACCCACTACGTGAAACAGGTTAGCACCTTGGATACAATGAGGTCGTATAGTCACTTACGCCTGGGCTTAGTACAACGATAGTAAAGCCTTCATCTGCCATAGCCAACGCGTATTGCACGGTCAACATGTTAAGAGCCGCCTTTGCTACTTTGTATGAGGGCGAGTCTTGCTGCGCCCATGCGGGCGCCCGAGTGATAGAACCAAGCCCAGATGAACTATATTTTGTTAGAAAGCGCAACTCGTAGGAACTGACTGGGGAACAACTAATTGATGATTTTCTTCAAGTTGCCTTTCTTAAGTAGCGGTAAGAGGGACTTGATGAGAATATGTACGCCAGTCACATTGACGTTAAAAACATAGTTGAGGTCGTCCCTTTATGGAAAAAAGGAATTAGTCTGAGGAAGTCTGAGTACGACATTTCGAGGGAGCTTACATAGTTGTGACGCCCTCTGGAAAGTGAGTCATTACGCCCGCGACATTGATAAGAACATCCAGGCCTTGAGGCCCGCGAGAATGCTCAACCAGGCTCGCAGCAGTCTTGACACTCTCCTCCGATTCGACGTCTAAGTGCACAATCTCGATCCGCCCGCGAGCATCACTAGAAAGCTTCTCCAGGCCCTCAGTTCGTGTCCGAGCACCCGCGTACACGATGGACACCTCCGAGACGGGCTTGTTCACCAGCTCTCGCACAAGGTCCAGGCCCAGCCCCCTAGAGGCACCCGTAATGAAATAAGACGCCATGAGCGGCAAAAGAGATGAGAATGGTATACTCCTGGGTCTGTCACTATAATCGAGGTGAGGTTGGTTGAATGTGTTATGGCTGAAAGACTCTGGTTATATTTATTTCTTCATAACTATCCTGTTGTGCAAAGCCGGTGATACTCTCGGCCAATTTGGATGGTGTCATGAGCGAGGCTTCGGGGTTTAGCAACGTGTTAAAGCCGACGCAGCATTTCCGGGCCCATTAACTATCGCCTATGGCCGAGCGAGTGGAGTCGTTGCCTCTGAGAGATTTGCTGCCTACCTACATTGATGTACGGATGTACTGTACTTCCATTCAGGGGGACAAGTCTGGTTTGATCAAGGCAGGATCCACATCAAACACGTCATGCATGCATCGAAGGAACTTGGATCACACTCGTGGGTCCCGTGGTCCTTTGCGTTCCGATCGGGTCAAGTCCCGAGGTTTACTTAGCCTCTACATGGAGAGATTCTACATCGACGACATGCAACCTCAAAATAAAGGAAAGGCTTAAGTAGCATGAATAAATGATCTAGTTTGGGATTGGTGAGCATATCATACGGCACCTCATCGTCACATCGCCTTTCCTGCTCCCAGAAAAAGCGACGATGGAGCACCCGCGTCCTGAGATTGAGTCGTCAACCTCCTAGCAGGCTAGAGCATTTCATCATGAATCTGCTCTTCTCCATTTTCGGGGCCGTTGTTTGTATTGCCAATGTCGGCAGTCAAAGTATTGAAAGAGCCTCGAGACGATGTCGCCTTCTTAGTCGCCGGAGCCTGCTTCTCGATCTCAGAGCCGGTGTCGTTGGAGGACACCGTGTAGCGTGTCTCGGGTCAGCGTAATTTGGGCAAAAAAAAAGGAGAAAAGAGAGTGAAATGAATTGAAACAACCAAGCATCAGAATGAGGAAATTGTGACAAATATAGAAGTGGAACAGGCTAACCTCGCAGCTGATGGTTGAATATCGGCCAGCGGTAGAGAACGTGGATGTCTGTCCTTTTTTCAAGTCCAACAAGCGTCCTCAGACATCCTTTAATACATGTTGAGCTCGGCGCCGTTGTCGCGGTGTAAAATCTTAGCTTCCATGCCCTCCGGAGCCGACTTTGACTGGATGCTGGAGACTTGTGGGACGGACATTCCCTTTGACGACAATGCTACTTTTTTTTAGTGCACCAGGCTCACGACAATGCCGTCATTACTTTAAAGCCGAAGCGCGATCTTGGGTTTCAAATACCGACCCCCTTGCTGCAACCATGTGTCATAGACTATCCCCGCCCGGAGATGCTAGACCTGACAGGCCAAGATAAAGACAATCGGCCCACCCCATCCCTGTCGGACAAACGGACTAACCAACTGTCCGTTGAAATACCGAAGACCGACTTGCCGAGATCGGGCAGTGACGCAGTGGATGAGTGGTAAAGAAATGAAATGGAAGAAGTTTATTAATTCAGAAGTAACGAGACTCAATACTCTCGCCGCATTGGGCTTTGAATCATAAGAAGAACAGGCCCCTTTGGCCCTTGTTGAACGCCGCGTCCGGCCATTTCTTCAGCTTTCTCGCCCCGCATGGATTTAGCTACGAAGCCACAAGGAGGTCTCAACGAATTGGCCGTAAGTCGTATAGATTAGGCATCCCCCTACCCCTCTGATCTGAGACTCTGGCGGCGCTTGGAATTCTGACAAATATTAAATAGTGTTTTAGCTGCAAGGCTCGCAAGGTATTCCGGATCCTCTACCTAGTCCCTGCCAGACAACGACGGACAATCGTTACTTTTCGCGTTGTAGAGTCTGCTTACAACCACACTAGATTCGGTGTGACCGTGTCAAACCTACCTGTGATGGATGCTTCGCTCGACGTCAGATCTGTATCTTTCCCGAGCGAAGGAGAAGGAAAAAGGCCAATACCACCACTGCACCACCCAAACCGGCGTAAGTGTGCTACACCTCGTAACTACCTTATCTCCCCCTGGACTAACACATCCTAGCACAACCGGAGATGGCCTTCTATTGGATCTCCTCGACAGGATGCTTCAGGTCGAGAAACCCTGTTCGCGGCTCATCACTTCTTCACCAAAGGATGGAACCTTGACCGAGCCAATAACGCCCGCCCGCCATGACCTTGGAAGCCATCGAAGCTCTCCTTCATTGGCGTCGACTCGATATCCCGGAGCAGAACCCGCGATTCCATCGGCATGGCCAAAGAGGGACATAGACAGTGTTCCAGAAGAGCCAGAAGCACGCTCTACAGCCAATTGCACCGCTAAGCCTCTAAACGCCGAGGCGCGTCTCAAACACGCTCTTGATAAAGTTCTGCATCTCAAGCGTGAAAACCTCGAAGAACAAACTGCGACTCTGGACTACCGTGTCCCACCAGAGATTTCTAAAGCGTGTCTTGACAGTAGGGCGTTGCCTTTCAACTTCTAAATTGGTGTCGAAGCCTGACTGACGGCCTTCATAGATTTCTGCAAGCACTACCAGGTTGACATATTCCGCGACTTTATTAACATCAAGCTGATGTACCAAATTCTATGCATCATCGACGTACCGGAGATCAGTGTCGACCCAGCCGCACTTATTCTCTATTATAGTATACTCTACCATGGGTCCTTGACGATTTTGCCTGAAACGACACCGCAGGTTGGGGACCTTGCTCAAGCCATGTACGTTCACTGTCTTCGTGCTATACCGGCCTGGCAGAAGCAAGCTTCAGGGACAAAGACCGATGTAATTATCGCCATCCTTCTTGTATGTCCGCTGAAATTGGCCACGATTTCCCCTAAACTATACGCAGAGGCGGCTAATGTTGAGTTATTAGATGCGAGCCGCCTTTCAGCAGTATGACTTCGAGTTTAGCTGGAGTATATACAAGCTTGTGTGGCATTACATAAGAAAACTCGATATGCACAACCTTGATCAGACCTTTCCTGGTCCATTCATGGATCCCAAGCTTCCAACGGAAGGGGCGGACCAGCACAGGATGGGCTTTTGGGCCTTGGTGCTTGTCGATATCTTCTTCCGGCTGCTGCAAGATAAGCCTGCCGTTATTACTGCGAATATCGCCGAATGGCGCGTCAATCTTCCATCGATAAAAACGACATCCGAGCTCGCCGAACATGTGGTCCCCACGTTGACCTTTTTCGTAAAGTCTCGATTGACTTTCCTTCTCCTCGGCTTCTTTGATATGCTCAGTCAAAATGCGGAAGACAAGAGCAGTGTAATCAAGCGCATCGAGGAATTGTGTAAAGAAATCGAAGCTTTGTTCCAGGAATGGTCTGTGGTGAGTCTGTCGCGGCTCCTTATTCCCAGCCACTTTCATCCTGTTCGGTCAAGATATACATGTTGCCGTCAAACAATCCCATCTTACTGACCAGACATTCCGCAAATAGACCGATTCAATGGCTGCATACGAGGATAATGCTGGGTTCTGGTGGATGCTCTACGACCTGACCCTCACAGCATACTGCTCCATGATGGTCATGAGCCGTGAACTAGCTATTCTTCAGTCTGGGCTCTCTGGCGAGTTCACAGCAAGCGGCGACGTGCCCATCACACCTCTATCAGTTAATATCGCACGCCGCATCATGCATCTCACTCTGTTGGGTCTAGGGAAATATCCAAGCCCGGCAGCCGCATGTTGTGTTTTTGGCACATTCCGCTGTTACGTGGCATATGGCTGCTTAGCCGAACATCTTTTCACGAACGACCATGGAGATTCCGGCTCTACTGCAAAGTCTGATATGGTTTTGCTGGACCAGGTTTCCCAAAAGATGGCTGCGATAGCAGAAAGAGATCAAGATCTTGTGCCAGTAGTGCTCACGCTCTATGAGCTGAATAGTAGTATTCATGCCAAATGGAAGAGAAGCCAGGAAGCTGCCAGCCTTTAGCTTTCAAGTGGAGGCATAGTTCCGGCAGATTTTCGTTCGTCTCAGTCTCGTCAGCTTTGCTCTCTCGAGGTCCCTCGCGGTTAGTGTGACGTCAATAGCTCAACTTCCAAGAAATCCCACAGAGTTTATTAACTATCAAGAGGTTAGACTACTCTAGTACAAACATACCCCGAGGGTGAACCAGAAGCTCAACAGTAAAAAAAACCACCAACATTAGGATTAACAATGCAGACCATATACCCAGTCCATTTAAAGGTCAAAAGTTTGCTCAGACAGACTAAAGTGTCTAGGTCAACTGGAGAATTTGAAACAGAAGAGTGATTTCAACAATGATTTTCCTCCTAAATTTTCCCAATGCAAGACATCTCCACAAAGAAAAACACCCTGCTCATTAGAGAAGTTGGCTACATCTCCCACTCAAAGTTTCGACGCCGTAGATCGCTGCCGTTCTTGCTCGGCCCACTCTCGGATGACTCTCTTCAATATCTTGCCGCTGGGCAGCTTGGGGATTTCCGGCACAAAAGCAACACCCCCCTCTAACGACTTGTAGCTCGCCAGTCGATCCTTCACGAACGCCTTAATTTGATCTGGCGTCAGGCTGGATCCTTCCCTCAAAACGATATAGGCCCTTGGCAACTCGCCGCTTCTCACATCTGGAACCCCGATCACCGCGGCGTCAGTGATGTCGGGATGCGACGTGAGGACGCCTTCTAGCTCCGCTGGGGCAACCTGGAAGCCTCGCACCTTCAGCAGCTCCTTGTGTCGCTCAGTCACATATAAAAGGCCACTTGTTGGGTCTATCTGTATGATATCGCCAGTCTTGAAATACCCCTTGGCGTCCCAGCTCTTCCTGTTCGCTTCTTCGCTTTTGAGATAGCCGGGGATGACGATCGGTCCCTTGATGCACGCTTCACCCCTGCCCGTATGCGTCACGTCATTTCCGTCTTGGTCAATTAACTTCATTTCGACATTGGGCAACGGCTTGCCAATGGATCCCCAGCTAAGCTCGGCAATCTCGGGTGAGACACTTGTCGCGTGGGATGTTGTTTCTGTCATGCCCCAAATCTGTACCAAGGAAGTCTTAAGTTAGTGGATTTCCATGTCTGAAACAGCGTGCAACTGATGATAGGTACCTGTGTCAGGTGTGCAGAAGGATTGAGTAATTGATGAAACCTCTTCTGCATGTCGGAAGAGAGCGGTGCGGCCCCGATGTATCCGGCACATACTGAGTTTAAGCTGTACTTGTACTCGGGAGCATCCGGATCTACCATCTTGCTCATGACCACCTGGACCACCATCGGAGGCGCCATAAAGACTTCTGTAATGTTGAAGCGTTCGTGGTAAGGCAGCCACCGTTCCAGTGTCCACCTCTGCATGATGTATGCTTCTCGCCCATCCTTCAACTGAGACACAATGATGGTTGGGAATACGCCGATATGATACATCGGGAATACATGGACTGTGCGGATCTTGTAGTCTCTTGGATTTGGCTCCCAGAACAGCTGGTGCTGAGCCACCAGGTTGCGGTGCGTGACCATGGCGCACTTGGGAGAGCCCGTGGTGCCGCTTGAGAAGAAGAATCCGGCGACTGTGGTGGCCTGCCGCTTCACATCGTCGAATCGGATCCAGTCTTGCCCACAATTCTGGAGTAAGACCTTCCAGCTGCGAGATCTTGGCCGAGAGACTTGATCACTACGATGGTCCAAGAGAAAGAGCTTCTGCCCTACATCCAGCCCAATCTTGGTCATTGCTTTTTCCATCGAACCGACGATTTCGGGCTCGGAGAGGACGAACTTGACTTCAGCCATGTCGAGTGCGTTCGTGAGCTCCCTTTCGGTGTAGCTTGGGTTTGTGCCCACGAATGTGCCGCCTGCGCCAATAATGGCAAGGCAGATCGCTGGCACGTATATGCTGTTGAAGCTGTGGATGCAGACAGTGTCGCCTGGCTTCAGACCAGCCGACAGCAAGCCCGCGACCAGGCGACGGATAAGTGAGACGCATTGGGTATGGGAGAGCGAGTTGGAGGGGCTGGTGGGATCTATGTATATCTAAGTTCCACATTAAGTCAGCAAGCATCTTAGACTGCGTCTGAAATCATTCCTCTGGGTCGAGGAACACAGGGCGAACGAACAGGTTGATGGACGTCATAATGAGGGTTATCCAGCGTAAACGATAGAAGGTCAAGGTTAGATATACTCCTCTGGCCAGTGGAAGGGAGAGGCATATCTGTGGCGTTTGGATATTTCGGTCTTTTTCGTTTCACACAGATTGAGCATGGAATGTTGAAGCTGACTTTTCTGAAGCTGGGGGTCGACATGGTAAGCTCTCAAATAGGTACAATGTGATAGCACAGCACGGTGTACAGAACCGGTTGCCCGGACCCGTACAGTTGCGCAAATGGCTACTAAAGGCGACACTTTCTGGCCGGTTAGGACTCCAGCCGTTCGGTAATGGTGCTGGCAGGGAATCGGCATCAGGGCAGCGCAATGGCGTATGTGGTATGGCTATCGATAGCTACAATACATATGTAGTTCCAAGTATAGTCTTAAGAAAATCAAGACGATATTGAAGGTGCAACGCGCAAATGAATTGGTGAAGTTGGGTGTTCTGGGCTACGAACGCAAATCGCGTCGCGCACTTTCGGAGCCCACGAACGACAACCGCACCAAAAGTCAAACGTCCAGTTTTAGTCAAACGTCCAGTTGTGCCAAACGTCCAGCTTTACCAAATCCCAGTTTTGTCAAATGTCCAGTTTTATCAAAGGTCGAAAATGGATGTTGGGATATCAGGAAGCTCAGCCATAATCAGGTGATAAAGTTACTAGGCGACGGTATTTCGATGCTCCCGGTCCATTTTCAGCAAGCTCTTAGTTTGGGTATTCTGGGAGAAAGAGGGTCCAGAGACGTGTCACGGGCCGGTCTGCATAGACTACGTGACGCTGGCTGGCTGTATCTACTCTTACCAATTTCTAACTAATCTCGACGGGATCACGATTTCCAACCGTGATCCAACAACAGGATCACGATGTCAAACCGTGATCCAGGCGTACGGATCACGATTCACAACCGTGATCCACCAGGAACACTCTTAGTATATAAGCACATTCATTTAGCACTTTACATAGGGATAGCCTCACCAGCTATCAACAGACTTGGGTACACAAAGACTCACTTTTGCACATTACCAGACCGTGACCTATATTGCTCACTACGACGTCCCGATCCACTCGATCATAAACCCTACACGCCTTGGACCTACCCTAGTACCCCTAGAGTAAGCCCGACTGTCACAAGACGGGCAGATATACTTAGCCTGCAATTCGGCATCTGGCTTGAAGAGGAAGCTATGCATATTACACCACTCGATATGCGCGCAACAGTGTTCTAGAGCGGCCGGCTACGCATATATTACTCACCATCGGCCAACGGCTCGGCTTGTAGCAACTTGGCGTTGCACTGTGCAAGGACTAGTAGAGTGAATGGATACGGGATTCAAGGGGATTTCGCAGCAGCAGTGCGTTGTCACTGCAAGATGAAAACAGCGGGTTTGTTTGTATGTAGGCACAATTAAATTCAGTGCGTTTTTGGAGAACGGGGGTCCAGACAAACCCCGAACCCCCAACCCCCAAGCGCATGAGCAGAAGCGGAAAACCGGGAAAGGCAAACTCGGTGGGTCTCGCCCTCGCCATCACAGATCACGCTAAATCCTCCTTGAGCTCTAGCAACACCTTTGGGAGCAGGGTCTAGGATGTGTTGATGGGGTTAGAGAAAGCTCGGACGAGTAAAAATCAGCCCTGGGTAGGATAGCCAAGAGGTCTCTTTCATAACTATCAATGCGTTCCCCAGGAAGTTTCTGGGTCAGTCGAAAACGACGCCTTGCCTATTCTAGAAGCACTAATAAACTTTCACATAGCCATAGACAGGCCTGTAGCTGTCTACACGGAACTAGGTTTATCAGGTTACATCGATCCTTGCGCTGTTGCTAGTCATTAGCTTGGCCAAATTGGTCCGATTATTTTGCCGACGGTACGTATACCTCGTACTACGTAAATAGCGCGGGTCAATGCGAGGAGCAGGGATAAGACCGAGACCGAACCTAAAACTTCAATACATCTCGTTTATAGAAAACGGTGAACCGAAATATCCGATTGCTTTCAGACCCTCTGCGATATATAAAACACCCGTCGGGGAGGCTTATCTGATCTCATCTGTCTCTTACTACCAACCCCGGTAACATCAATCTTTTCCATCTTTATATGACCATGAGGAGTTTATTCCTATCCTTCGCGTGGATTGCGATGGACGTTGCTTGCGCCAGTGCTGTCCGTTGCAATAACCTGACGACGGTCGACCTAGGATACGCAGTGCATCAAGGAGTCTGTAATGTATGAAAACAGTTCCGCCCAAGATAATCTCCGCCATTCGGCTCTGTCGCTCCTATACAAACACTGGAAACTAATTAGTAACCCCAGACCGCATTCGAGTACTACAGTTTCAATAACATTCGTTATGCTGAAGCGCCTGTAGGAGAGCTACGATGGAGCAAGCCTATTCCACCCAAAACCACGAACCGGACGCTGAACGATGGTACCGATCAGCGTGTCTGCCCACAGTCATACCCTCGCTGGATACTAGAATCTCGAGCTGCTGCTGCTGGAATAACTGTTGAAAAAATGGCGGAACGAGTCATGAGCAATCCTCGCATGAATGAGGACTGCCTACTTCTTGATGTTCATGTCCCTGCAAAAGTCTTTAACAAGAGATATGCAGTAACTTCTGGGTGTAAGCAATTGAAACAAACTGGCCGCTCTTGGCACAATTATGGCCCTGGCACTGACAGAGCGTTTTGGTAGCTGCCGTCTTGGTCTGGATTCATGGAGGTGGCTATGACATTGGTGAGTCAACTTCCCCTCACTATAAGAGACTTGTGGGGTAGCTAAAGTACGTGCAGGACAGAAAGATTCTAAGCAATACGACCCATCAGGATTGATATCCCGTTCCCAGCTCAACGACCAGGAAGGAATCATCTTCGTTGCCCTGAACTACCGACTTGGCATGTTCGGATTCCTCGACGGCAATAGAGATGATATCCTGAGCAACGCCGGGCTGTGGGATCAAAGAATGGCCCTTGAATGGGTCCAGAAGCATGTTCATCTCTTCGGCGGAGACCCAGATCGTGTCACCGTCATCGGAGAGTCCGCAGGTGGCGGCAGCGTCATGCATCAAGTTACTGCTTTCGGCGGCAGGGGGGAGGTTCCGTTTGCCGCTGCGATTGCCCAGAGTCCTGCATTTTGGACGATAACGAACGACCTTAAACTTTGGGAGACGACTTTAGCCGTTGCATCTCAGCTCTCCAGTGTGGAAATTACAACGGCTGAGCAACTACGCCTGTTGAACTCATCGACGCTAATGCAGGTAAACCAGGCTATGACGTATAACGCGCCTTATGGCTTATTCGTCTACGGCCCAACGGTAGATGGGACATTTGTTCCAGACATCCCTAGTGTTCTGCTTTTAAATGGCCAGTTTTATGACTCTATTAAGGGAGGTTTAAACAATATGGATACGGTCGTTAAGCTTATCGAGCTAACTGTTACTTAGATCATGGTCGGTCATAACCGCGACGAAGCTTCGACATTTACAGCTTCATTAGACACCAATGAGCAGCTTATTTCCATGTTTCAACTCAGCTATCCAGTGTCTGACACCGCGGAACGGTACATATTCACCGACCTCTATCCCAACATCTTAAATGGCACCTATGGATACACAAGCCAACTCGGCCGCGCCAAGCTTCTCATCTCTGAGCTTGTTTTCACCTGCAACACACGCTTTCTTGGTACTGCTTTCCGCAATCAAACGTACAACTATCGCTTTGAGTGCCCTCCAGGACTCCACGGTCAGGATCTTGACTGGACATTCTTCGTTGAGGAGGACCCGGATGTAGCTCCGGAAATTGCCATCGCTATGCAGAGCTACTTCACGACCTTCACCATGACCGGAGATCCCAATGGCAATGCGGGCTTGCCAACGTGGCCTCTATACGGAGAGGAAGCAACTTTGGTCATATTCGGGGCAGGAGGAGTTGCAACAGCGAAGGACGAAACAGCCAACAGGAGGTGCGAATACTGGCAGAAGGGGGAGTACCGGAAATCTGGATGAGTCGTGGGATGAAACTTGGTGACTCTTTTGTATTTCGCGTGTTATACAGCCATCCTTACTATACACTCCAAAGTATAAGATGATCATGGTCCTAGTAAGCGATCAGGGGTCTAGTCGACCGGCCCACTTACAACGTCGCCAGAGAAACTACGGCAACTCCATGCAGCTAGGAGGCTATTCCGAGAGTCACTTAGCCAGCCGCACGTTGTGCTGGGGACGCCAATTCCACCAACTCAATAAAGTAAGCGGCGTTTCCGTGCTCTAGCTTCCTTACCTCCCGTGCAGCCAACGACCCATCCAATCGCCTCACATTCTGACCCATCTACTGTCTGAAGCAGCACAACTGGTGTGGATTACTCTGACTTGACTGCTATGTTCCACAGGGCCGGGAAGCATCCGAGACCCCCCTTATGTTATCATGATGGAGTTTGACAAGTACAACGGACCGGTGTTCCTGACCACCCCTGATGGCAGGAAGATCGTCCTGATTCTCCCCGTAGAGAGGGACTTCCTTATCAGAGCCACTCTCTGCGCTCGCATCCAGTTCCCCCTAATCGTATGCTACGCTATTACCGTTCACAAGTCACGAAGCATTATAGAAGATATGATCGTTACCGACCTCTCCTGCCAGGATTTCCAGACTGGGTTAAGCTACGTGGCTGCCTCTTGTGTGAAAACGCTCGAGGGCTTGATAGTAGATGCCCTATTTGATTGCAATTACCTGATTTACTTATCTTTTCCGGATAGTATGAAGATAAAGATGAGGGATCAGCAGCTTCGGAGACGACAGGTTCTTACACAGAATCCCTATAAGACAGACTACGGTTCTGCATAATTCTAGGTGATTCTACTCGCGATAAGAAGAAATGTTATAAAAATTACTCCAGTGCGTAAATATGTAATGGTTGTAGATAATTGCTTGACCCGCGGACTCTCAGCCTTCGGCTGATTGTACCCCTTATACTATCGCTCTAAAGTGCAAGGGGTGACGTAGTATTTTAGAAGACAGCTTTATAACCAACCAATTTAGCCCCTAGCCTTTTATTTCTAGCTCCAGTAAATCCAACCCACTGAGCCATAACTATGCGAAGTATATTACATACCGATAGTGTTCCTACCCCGCCGGATATAATCGTGGTTGAGAGGGTAACTGACGTAAGTCCAGCCCCATTCGTCTTGTGTAGCTTAGCGTTGACTATAGTACAGGAGTGGCCAAAAGGATTTACTCAAGCAGATACGATCCTTCAGGGGGGGAGAAGCTTAGTGACGATTGGGTAAATAATTACCCTCCCAGCCAGCTTTGCATTATTTACGAACGGGGCAAATGTCTACCGAGACCTAACTCTAAACTTGCATAACAAGTCAGGGCAGGGGCCGTTGGAAAGTTAAAGATAAGCTTATGCTTTCAACTGAAACTTGCGCTAGCAGGAGTTGAAGGAATTATCAGATCAGCGTCTGCTAAGGGTATAGGCCCGATAAGCACAGCCATCATGCATTGCGGACTTAAACCCAGCAAAGCGTCTTTAATTCGTTGAATCATCACCAGCCTTAGAGTGATCTCGCCTTATTAGACGTCACAATAGAAGACTGTTGGATTGACCCCTCGGGTGCTGGACTAGGGCCCGGCTAGAAACAACCCTCTGATACATCAATATCCTGTCTTAGTCATAAGTTCGGGTTTTGATGCGAATGCGAATGCGAATGCGAGAAAGGTCCAACGTTCATCTACTAGATCCACCTAGTGGAGTGGTAGGTACTGAGAGCTGGTGGGACAGCCACCAAGTACACTCACCTTCATCTAGTCAAAGTCGGCACTTAAGTAAAGTTCAATTAGTGTGGCGTTCCAATTCATTCACTGTCGTAATCATAAATGATCCGAAGATTAGTCCGACATACCCCGTGGTCTCGAACATTTAAACCTCTGACGATTTTACCTTCTAATCTTCCAAAACAGGTGCGCCCGGTAATAATCAACATGACCTCCCAACAAGCACAGGCGCGCATTGCAATGCGCGACGCATACTATAATGAGCATTGCTGGATTCAGGCTGCAGCGATGCGGGCTGCCTTGGATCTGCTCCCGGGCTACCCGGCGAACAAGTCTTTGACAGTTGTCGACTACGGATGCGCACAAGGTGCCAACGCATTTGAGCCGATGGAAAAAATCGTCTCGTCCCTCCCAGACGGTGCAACAGCAAATCTATTCTTCGAAGACACGCCATGGAACGATTGGTCCACTCTCGCCAAGACTGTCAACAAGGGCATAGCCACGCTCTCCAAAACTGGGAACGTTCGAATCTTTCCCTCACTAGTCCCAGTTGGATTCTACAACCAGGTCATCCCCTTCCAGACAGCTGATGTAGGTTTGTCTTGGTCTTCATTCAACTACCTCGAAAACCAGCCAGACCTTAAACTTGACCCTACTGCGCCGCCAGCAGAGTTCGTAGCTGCGCGCCAAAAGGCCTTTGGAACAGCCGCCCACCATGACCTGATCAAGCTGCTGAAGCTCCGGGCTACCGAGATCCGCGATGGGGGATACCTCGTAGCAGCTATAGGAGGGCAGCAGCCAGCCTCGGACCCCCGGCCGACCAACACCGGCTTCGCGCCGCTGCAGGCTGCTCTGCTAAAGATGATGCGGAATGGTCGCATAAGCGGGACGGAGCTTGCGCAGTTTGCCTTGTTCCCCAGCCACGAACGCACTCCGGAGGAGATTCGGGCCGTCTTGGGCGTTCCGGAAGTTGTTGCTCTGTGGGAGGTCGAGGTTCTGGAGTCCAAATTGATTGTGCACCCTGCTTGGGTAGCCTATCAGAGCGCACTCCAAGCCGCCGCTGACGATGACGCCAAAAAGGAACAGGCTTTCCAGGCCTACGCTCGGGCGACAGTCATGAACCTGATTTCCTCCTCTGGTTGGTTCTGGTTGGAGATTTTGGAGAAGAATCGAGGGCACGACTGGAAAGGCGGCGAAGCTCTCCTCGAGGAGCTGACGCAGGTTGCGGTGCAGGAGGTCGTGGAGAACTTCAAGGGCATGAGGGTGGAGATATGGTACACGTATCTCAAGTTGAACAGAAGGAGTGGGCGCGTTTAATTTGTCGAGGTCCTGCTCGCTTTCTCTAGAGCCCTACACCTACTCCTCTCCTGGACTGTACGTGCAACCCGCGACAGGATCTCAGCCTCGTCGCGCCGGTTTTGGAGGCAACCACCGAAGCATCTCTACCTGTCAGATATGTCAGAGGCGAAAGTTGCCACCCATTGCTACCTATTGCCACGAGGCTTAGCAATCAGCTTCTAGCTGATTCTATACAGAAGAGAAAGGGTATATAAAGCTTGCCCTGAAACCTCAAGATATGGGGGAGGACGGAGAACACACAATTTTTCACCCTAATATTGGACACTACCTCACTACATGAGGGTTAAAAAATTTATTGGTTTTTGTTGTATAATTAACGTCGTAAGGACTGCTAAAAAAGAACTGTCCACAGAATCCCCTATGGTGCGAGACGACGTGCTAGGCTAGTCTAGACTATCTCGCAATTAAGAGGCTCTAAATCGGCGCTCATGCTGGCCACAAACCTCTCTGGCTCATACGGCCCTGGTGTCGCAACCCCCACACGGTCCCCAAAGCGTCAACACACGTGGCGTGGCCTCGCATAGCCTGCTGCCGATAGGGATTACTCCCAGGCTTCAGGTCTATAAGATGTATGGTATTCATGAGCACCGCCTATGTGACTCCACCTCAAGAAGACACAAGAGCCGAAAGGGCACTAATTACTAATATACACGTACATTGCCCAAATTGTGTCATGGTCTCCTTCAGCCCATATTGAGTCCTCTTATTGCTTATACTTCCTTTGCCTGTCGTATATTCCTTCTTCTCTGCGGGTTCCCATAGGTTAGTAGAAACGGCGAACTAGCTTGAAACCAATTCTCCAAGTGTTCAGTGTCCTATCTACGGCGGCTGAACCAGTGCTCGCTATTTTGGCATTGGTTAAGGGTGTGGTGAAGTTCAAATGGTAAGGTTATAAGGAGGTTGATAAAATTATAGGACATAAGTCTGGAACCACCCACACCACTTTTGACACCTGCATTGTACACACCTAACTTCAAATACAGATTGCGCAGCCAATTTTAATCCAAATTAAAAGTTATATACATAAAAATAATGCCCTGCTTCTGGCATTTAATATTTTATATACTAATCTCTAGTCCGGCGTACAGCGGCCAGACGGTGGGGGAGTGATTCAATCAGCTTCCGGATCAATATCTGGGGGATTGCTGCCCACGCCAACTTCATGCATTTAATCAACTCTGTTCTATCTAACTTATTATCTTTAAGATGGCATATATAAGGGAACATCTTATAGAGGTTCGATTTTAATGCCTTCCAGATGTGTTCAATAGGGTTCAAATCGGGCGAGTGTGCAGGCCAGTCAATATACTCAATTCCACGCAATTAAAGCCATTCCGGCGTGCCTCCAAAGTTGTGAATTCGTGCATTATCCTGCTAGAACCGGCGCGTGCCGTCATAATAAGGAAGAAGACCGATCTCCAGTGCCTTCTGATAGCTTTTGGCAGTATATCCCTTTCTCTTTCCGCGGTGATCTCGTTCCATAATAATAAGGTCCGATTTCCCAGTCATCCAGATAGCTGCCCAGACCATAATCGAGATGGGGGCCTTCCCATGGATAACTATATTGACCATATCCTTCAGAAACCTCTCGTAAGGCTTCTTAAAGATCCATTTTCGAGAATTATTAGACTGATTTTGACAGTTGACTCATCCGAGAACATCACCTAGAAAGCGGGTTAGCCAGATCCAATACACCAACTTCAACACCGTATACCTCTATCAATTCATCTTCATCATCCCTCCAAGCGCATGCCTATTAAAGCCGAACTCTTGCTATTTCTTTGGATATCGGAATACAAGATATACTTTTCCATTTGCAACCATAATAGCACTTAACAATACGTTGTATAGTTCGGTAAGAGACGCGACCACCTATCGATCCAACTAGTACAGAATAAGTAACATTCCGTTATCTTTTTAATATAAGAATAATATACTTAATTTCTGTATTGGTCAATTTCGTCGGACGCCCAGATCTGGCCTTTTTCTCGAATATATACTCTGTTTGCCATCGATTCCAGATCTTCGAGACTGTCGAAGGTAATACATGAAATTTGCGTCCGACATCGCAATTACTCCTTCCCTTATCTTTCTCGCTGTAAATAAGGGCTCTGGATACAGAATCCAGCTCTTGGTCAAAACCGCGATTTTCGCTTATAATGACACCAAAAGACCTTCTTGGAGTCTTCATTTGAGCAAATTGTGTGATATTAAAGAGGGAGGGTGTGTCGGAGGGTGACGCGACTCGCGATCGTGACGTGTCAAGTGGTTCCACACTTATGTCATGTAATTTTAGGGAGACGCCTGTCTCCGTAGCTAGCTTAAATCGAGGCGGCCTGTGGCCAATGCAAATCGGATTGTCGCTCAAACGGCCTCCATGTTTGGCGTCCATTTTTGGTCGTCTGATAGTGACTTCCCTCTAAGTTAGAGGGAAATATTACCTTATCGGGTATCAGTGCACTAAAGCATTTCCAAACGGTATACAGTCCACTTTCGGCATCGGAAGAGGAAATATTCAACTATCTCTCTCGCTTATCTACAATCGCACCAGTCCGATAGTACCGCTTTGATATAGGAGAGATATACATTCAGTCTCGCCATATCTATTCTGAGCTGAGCAAGTATATTAGCTTCTTTCTATAATAGCTAGTTATAGAGTTATTTTATATATTTGCCTGACAGTACTGTATCTGCTTATTTAGAGTATTTGCCGACCTTTTCTAGTAGTATTCTATTTATATTAATTTTCGATTATACAATTCTAAGTAATATCAACTATATGCTGGTAAGCTGTTTGTCGGAGTTGGCTTCTTGCTATATCGCCTTCCGAGCCTCCTCCTTAGTATACTATACTTAAGAAGCTTATTCTCGCTACGTGAGCGTAGCCACAGAACATTCACGACATTTTCATCTTCCCGCAGCTCCTCAATTAAATCGTAAATACCGCGTATATATTCTTGTCCGGATTGTTAACGGGGCTGCTTGAGTGAGAGCGCAGCAGCTTTGTTGCTCGTGATAAGTAAGATGCTGCGATATTTGAAGTATAGTAGGGCTCGCCTCAAAGCATATTCCATTGCTGCAAGTTCTCCGCTATATAGGTTCTGTTCCGTTCTTATACCAAGAGTAAACGACAAGGTCTCGAGCCTCGAGCTACCTCTCATCGATACCGGAAACTTGACTGCTCCCCCCACTTATACTATATCGTTCCGCGCAGAGCTGCTTACCACGATGCATATGGCCCAACCTGCTTTTGCTTCTCTTATTGCTGACTTGTCTGTAATAGCTTCCACCCGTTTTCTCTATGGCGCCAGTGTGAATGGTTGAATGGTTTCTAACTGCTGTATTGGTATACTTCTGAGTGATAAGTATTGTCACTACCTGGTAGAGCGGTGACCGATAAGACTTTCTAACGCTCGTATACGAGATATCATCCTGCGAAGAGGGTTGATATCAGGTAATATGTGAATATCCGTCTATATGTTAATTGCCCTCTTCTAAAACTGTTGCTATGCTGGAGCGATATGAGCTTCTGCTTCTGCTATACTCGTTGCCACTGTGCTAAACGTCCTAACAATTGCCTATGCTCCTGCTTTCTGAACCCTATTAATCGGTCCTATAAGTCTGTCTTTAAACCTATGCACTATGCATCCATGTATTAGAAGCGTAGTCCACCACAGGGGCGACAGCAGCTCTAAATAATTATCTTGCTATCGCTGGCGGTAGGCCCCTTAACCTCTTCAGTTCTATTGCTGCTTCTAACCCCTTCGAAGTTGCCCTTGCAATATGTTCCTTGTACTTCCTGGCCCCGTATCACTATCACCTACTCACCATCCCTCAAGGGGGTAAATCTCGGGGCGGCGGAGTTACAGCAGGTTATTAGCCTCCCGGACTACCTTTACGCTGGTATTAAGATAACTTCAGAAGTCTACAAGACCCCTGGTAATAGGCTACCTACTATAGTAAAGTTAGAGGTAAGTATATTAAAGAGATTTGTAAAAGCTGGATGTACTGGGTATTGGGTTACCTGGAAGGGGGTTAGGATTCCTTTTTACCTATTCTATATAAAGCAGGTATAAGAGTTTATAGAGGCAGAGATAGAGGGTAAGATAGTAATAGTATATTATTACTAGGAGATTTTTAGCAGACTTCTTTTATATATACTATAATAGTTCTTAGAATAACAGCTAGAGGAGGGGTTTATAAAATAGATAAAAAAACTAAAGTCAGTAGCTAAGAAGGAATCTTAAAATAGATGGTAATATAGCAACGGAGGCGTTGAGGAGACTGCAAGGTACAGCCAGTTTCAACCAGGCAGACAAAAGGCCGGGAGTTAGTTTCTCGACACTCATAGTCGAGACGTAGAACAGAGATTAACACTTCTACCTAACACTTCTTTACAGCTTGGACTATAGTATCTTTCATCTGGCTATCATGGACGTTAATTGTAGTCAGATTTTATCCAATCTGGCATGGTCGCCAGCAGATCTTAGCAGTTTCACGTAATCTATGGAAACTCATCCATGCCTAATCACAAGTCTTAGACTCTGTAGGATGTGTACAGGAGCCCTTTGATAAATTGAGAACGAATCTATAGAATCGGCCATAATCCTGCATAAATGTGCAACCCTAATGTCTCGATTGCCAGAGTCTTAAGGTGCCTGTGGCTGGTACTGCGTCCAACTGACAAGCGCTCTCTTGTACTTATGCTCGAGCCTCAATCACGGCTCTTTCGACGGGTCCCCTCCACTTGCAAGAATTGCATCAGGTGCATGAGTGCTACCTGTAGTTTCTGACCGCTCGGCATATATCTCAACGTTCGAAGTTAAGATCCCTTGATCACTCCCCGCATCTGATACTTCGAGTGCAGCTCTATCCGTTCTAGTGTTCCTCAAAGTGGACATATAGTACGATGAGTCGTTGACATTGCAGTCTGCCCCGGTCTGGTTTATGCCGTGCTTTGAACCAGTCATGGAAGTCGATAGGCCCAGTCGCTTGAGAATTTTCTCGAGGGGCCTCTTGAGCGTAGGGATACACGATGCTATGATGCTGTACGATAAATTGTCAGCTAATTCACCAAACCGCGTGTCTGAACGCTAAGGGCACAATTACCTTAGGTACAGCTCCACTTCGCCCCACAGTGCAATTCCCATGCCATTCCAGAACGTGTCTCCGTTCGCACCGTATGACTTGGCTTGCACTGTCCTGATAACGCTCCCTATGCTGGCAAACAATCCTAACCCCATGACGACTCCAAGCGCGGCTTTTTCTCTCGGCCGCAAACTCACCAGCTTCAAGATGAATTTGAGAGGCATTAAAGCTAAGATGAAGTCTGTCACAATAGTGAGACATGATAATATGTAAATGCTAACCTGCAAAACCTCCGTTGGGAGGCAGGTTGCATTAGTGATTGCTTTATCCCAAATGGCTGCTAGCGGTCGGCAGGCGGAGAGCTGAAAGCACATCATCGTAACGGGAATGAGGAGGAGTGCGGCGATCATGAGGTAGAGGAATATGCGCCATAGCCGCGAGTCTCGGTCGATCCGCAGCAGTAATAGGGCGATGGATACCTTGGACATCGATATTGCCCAGGCCCATAAAGGCTGCTATATGAAAAAAAATTTCGTCGCTTCTCTAGATTGCTCTGTCGATAAGTAGTAGTTATGTCGACCAAATCCGTGTAGTACGGCAAGGAGCATGAGAATCCAGGTACTCGTGGCAAGAGCCTGGCCAAGAAGAAATGATCAGCCCGTGGCTAAAGAAACCGAAGGGAGGGCTTTCAGGCAGGGGAGCGTACCATAGACAAAATAATAGCGTAATCGTCCCACCATAACCGAAAAGCCGATCTTAGACGAGTGTAGATTCTTCCGCCTACGAGGATCAAGGCGATGAGCTCGAGGGCGGATGTGACAGTGACCATCTTCCACCCCTGGTCCTCGTCAGGAACCCCCGGAGGAGGAAGACCCTTGACGGTGCTCATACTAACGCAAAAAGGACTTCAGCTGGGAGTTAAAGCAGTTTGAGATGAAAGGATCATAAGGTATGGGGTCTGCTCCGGGTAGAATGGATTCAAGAAATCAGCGTTGCCATTGTAGCACGCGTTCTGGGCTTCGAGGCGTGGATCTTTTTATTGACAGATCTACAGTAAAAGTAAATTGCATACCAAATTATCGCTAGCTCATTACTCCAGAGACCACAGAGTGGTGGCACAGTACCTGCGTACCAGCGGAGATTGGGGGATGACATGCCATGGCCTGCCTCCGTGACCTAACTATGCGCCACATGCGACACTTTGGGGGTGAGCTAACTGCGCCAAGGTAATGGCATATGGATTAACAGTCCCTAGCGTTCTACCGCCAGCCTTACATGTATATGCAATATGACTCGAAGACTTTCTCTCGAAGGTGAGGTGGCTTGCATAAAATCAATGGATAGAATGGATAGCGCATTCTTATCGTAAGTTTCTAGCCCTCCATCTCCTTCTTTCGTTCCGACCGGTTCGCCAATAGTAATCGTGGCAACTGAACCTCGATCAGTCCTCAGTGACATACATTATAGTTATGATTAGCTCCCTCAAATTTTTTGCTTTTTCTGTGGGTGAAGACTTTTGAAATCGACATCTATATACAAATCAAATTGTTATTCTCACGTGTCAAAGTGGAATGCGACTCAAGTCAAGCCAAATACCGTAACAACTCAGTTAACTCTCCCAAGTAGCGCCTCCACTTTGTCTCCATATTTCCACTGTTAACCGCAAAAATTCGCAGAAGTGTCCAAAAGCAGCTGATCTCATTTGTTGCCCCATGTTTTTTATGGGGGCCGCTACTTGGGCGAGATAACTGAGTTTCTACGGTAGTATGGGGTGGAGAGCCGGGCGCTAGTTTAGGCTTTCCGGTTCTCCGCGCGCCAGTTACAGTACGACAATGCCTCCATTTCCAACACGCCACCAAGCCCTGCCTTCCCTTCGATGCAACCTTGGGCTCCCACATGCTAGCCACCAATTTACCGGCCATGGCGATAAATCCCTCGCTTTGTTTCTCCAGCGCCTCGCCGGCTGTTTCCAGCCAATCCCAAATGGCAGCATTCCATTAGAACACACAGTGTAGCGGCCATTGAATTCTAATGTTGTCAATTACAGCCATCATAGCTATAGTACAATTGATCTACTCTCTCAAACTAATGGGTTCGTCACCTTACTAACCAAGTCTGCGGCAAAGGCTGGCATCTAATTTAACAATTCGGGCTAACACTCCAGACAAGACACATCTTCAATCAGTGATTTACTTACAACAACCCGATCAAATGCATCAGGATCGTACCGAACCTCTTCACCTTCGACAGTTAAAGCTTCCAGAGGGCCGGGATGGGCTGGATGAAGAGGCAGACTTCGGTGACGAACTCGATGGCGAACTAGGGAGGGTCGCTGTGAGCATATCTATTTGTAGTCTGTTCCAGTTGTAGGGCCCACGGAAACAGTGTAAAAGAGCTTCAAGTTGAGAGAAGTGCCCTCCTTCTGAATGTTCCATGCATTGTCCATGGGCTTACATTGGAAGACAACGACCATGGTCGCTTCGACGCCCTCGGCCACCAACACGGCAAGGAGCGCCTGGTTGATGCGTTGGGAGACGTGGCCGGGAAGCAATCGAAGGTAGAGAACCGCGAACGACATCTTGGCCGTAACGAAGCCCCACACGTAGGCCAGCTTTGTGACGAATTGGAGCTGCAAGGCCTTGGGGTCAGCTCGACACTTGAGCAAGGCTGACAACACTCCGGAGGAAAAGTGCTTCATCAATCGGCGCATTAATTGGCGTATGACGTTATTAAACTCCAAACTACGTGAAGTTTGTGAAATAGCACGCATCCCGCTCGACTGGACACATCGACCGAATTACCATCCCCTCTCGCTCCAATTTTCCCCTTTGCATGCAATATTTTGTAACCGCCCAGGTTCCAACGGACAATTGCGATGGCATCTCAGCCTCTTCTCGACTGTGAAGAGCTAGATCCCCCTTCCTATGAGGACACCATCTCTCCAGGTGTCATATATGGAGAACTGTCTGTGACTGGTACGAACACCTTGTCTAGTACTGTCGGTGTCATCGGCTCTAACGTATTTCATAGATGGTGGCTGCGTCAGCCTGGACCCCAACTCTCCATGTTTCCGAACCCTGTCACGTTTCGTCCCCGACTTCAAGCGCCCACCAACAGCAAGCAGAGAAGGGTCCAGCTCTTTTCAGGCAATTCAACTTGACGATGAGACTGCGAAGCAGCGTTCGCCGCCCAAAACCCAAACATGGAAGGCTCGACTAAATATCGTGGTCCAAGTTGTTAGCAGTCGCGGCGATGTACAGCCTTTTGTTGCACTTGGAGCGAGCTGCAACAATACGGCCACAGGGTGCGATTGGCAACGCACGATACCTTCGAGAAATTTGTGACAAACTCCGGCCTGGAGTTTTTCCCCATTGGTGGTGACCCGTTGGAACTCATGGCCTGCATGGTGAAAAATCCCGGTTTGATCCCTAATATGAAATCGTTCTCAGCAAATGAGATCAAGAAAAAGCGAAAGATGGTCACGGAAATGTTGGACGGGTGCTGGCACTCATGCGTAGATCCCGATCCTCAAACGAGCAAGCCCTTTGTCGCACACGCAATTATCGCAAACCCTCCAAGTTTCGCTCACGTTCATTGCGCCCAGGCGCTGGGGATTCCCGTACATCTGATGCGAATAGGGTCGCTAGTCACATATGTGAGGGTATTTGAAGTTGTAGAAAAAGGGGTTGATTTCTCTATCTTACGGTCGTGGGCGCGGGACCGTAAGGGTCCCGTCCACGTAACCGAGGGAGGCCTGATGCCTCAGACCGGACCCTGAGCTTGAGGCTCAGGATCCATCTTTCCGCATTAGCATATGTCCGATTCTGCTGCTCCAATCCTGTGCAGGTAACTGTTGATCCTCGCCATTCCCGTGCGCAGCTGTGAGAGCATGTCTGATTCGCGCCTTTTCAGTCCATCGTACAGGGGGCGTGTGTGTGTGCCTGGTATCGCTTTGTCGATACGCTTCGAATAGTTTCTGACCCTATCGGGCAGAGTCTTCTGACGTTGCTGCTGTGCGATCGATAGTCTCATCCGCATGGAACGAGCATGATATGATGCTTTCAAGTATTGATTTGTATTTTCAGAGAAATAACTAATAGTAGAGGCGCAGCACGTCTACCTATATAGGCCGTCTACCTTGCATCCCATTGAATCCTATTCCGCTCCTCGCGCGGGGCACTGCCGGTTCGCAAGCCAATATCAGTTTGCTCCTTAAGCCCACCTCCACAGCCAACCCAAAGCCCCATCCTCGATGGCCATATTTAGGATCCTGTCCTCTCGGTAGACCGACACGCGCGTCCGTCCTCTCTTGCCATATGGAAAGCGTTGTAACTGCAGTCTCCCCCCTCCCCCCCCCCCCCCCCCCTCCCCAGACTTCCGTCGTCACTAAGTACCAATACTTTAGGTGAAGGAACTGAACGTAGTGTGGACTTGACTCAACGATGAATTTGACCTTGTGACAGATATATCCGACATACAACAGTCGGAACCAGCTGAAAAGTTTTAACAACATGGGTCAAGGTGATGAACTTGGATCGCTTTGATCTTTAGGTTAAAAGAAAGTAACCAAGTTAGCTTTTGTGTAAATTATATTCTAGTACATATGATCAGCCCTACTCCTACTGCCACTGCGGGTCTGTTCTGTCTTATTCAACACGCGCCGAGTTTATAGGCTCTGCTCGGATCCTTTTCAATCACTCCCGCGCCAACAGCCTCGAGGTAACTCCAGCGATAATCATTGTCCAGCTCGGTCTTCCAGGACCAATACGTCCACCCCAACCCTCGCTCATAGGCCATAACCTGTGCAGCCCACCATTTCTTGTAGAAGCCCTTGTTTGTGTCGTCGGCTACTTGGAACTCAGGGGAATGTTCTTCAGACGTCTTGGGCCCTAAACTCCACTCGCCAACAATAAGGGGAGTTTCTCCAGGAGTGATGAGATTATCATTGCAAGACGTATTGAGGTACCCTTCCTGTGATAGCGGTACGGTGAGGTCAGATTTGAGGTAGCGATGGTTGTCGTAGGCAGTGTAGAAAGTCTTTGTCAGATTCTGCTTTGGGTTTCCTGCACCCCACTTGCTGTCCATATATTGGATGTGCAGACGGTCTTTGACCCTTACGCCGAGGGAGGACTCTATAGAACGGATCTTGGAGTACGCGGTTGGGTTGAAATCAGTTATAACGGATGGCTCGTCCCAATTCGGCTCATTAATAACCCCGAGCATGCCCACGGTCCGGAAATTGCGGTTGGTGTGGATGAGTTTTGTCAACCATTCAAGGAACTTGTAGGCGCGCGCAAACTCTGTAGCATTATAAAAGCCAGGCTCCTCAACCCACTGTACGTATCGTAAGCAATACAGCCCCCATGAATCACGGTTAAACTGTCATGTTGGCAGTCGAGCTTACCTTTCCTGTAAAAGCCTGCCACGCCGTTTGCGCTCCAGGTGCCCCGTGCATTTCCAGGATAATATAGAAGTCACGCTTAGCAGCCCAGTTGCAGACTTTCTCCAGAGAAGGGAGGGCTCCTTGCGGGAAGTACTCGTCGGAGTATACAAGGCTCTCATCCATCCAGAATCCTAGTGGAATACGAAGCGTGTTCAGCCCGAACGAAACCATTGCATCCATGTCGCGTTCGGTAAACCAATGATTCCAATGATGACGAAATGCGGCATTGGCTTCAGCTTGTCCCAGGGCTTTGACACAGTCGAACTCTGAATTCGTTCCCGCACAGCCCATAGCGGTCCATTCCTTTGGAATCATCCAAGGCTCGACGACGAAGAGGGATCCGAGATTAACTCCTCGGATCTTTTCTGAGCGGTGATGCCATGGCTTCGACGGCCTTCCATTCCCTTTGAAAAGACCACGGTCGGCTGGCAGCCAAGCTTGGGCAACGGTAGCGCAGAGAAGAACGAATGCGAAGAGTTTCATGACGGTTTTCGATCTTCAGTTGTACATGAATTGATGGTAAAAAGGATGGATAGGAAGGCAATGACAATCGAACAGAACCACATCCAGCGGAGGATAGCTGGAATTTATGGCTGAAGTAGGAGGAAGCATGGGAGTTAATTAACACTCGGGTATAAATAAGTATTTTGCCAGCGAAACAAGGCTTGGGCCGATTTCCAAAACGGGCAGAGAAATAGTCTAGCCTAACTTATCCTGACCCCATGGAGACCCCGCAGTTGTCAATTATGGGCACGGGAGGGGAAGCAGGGATTTCTCGTGTGCTGAAGTGACCCGGCTTTTCGCAGTGCTATTCTCACTCTGCATTTCGCGGAACGCTGCTTCCCTTGGCAACACGCTTTGTGGTGTTGCTGCGGGACTGCATTTCTCCGAAGCTAGGTAAATCTGCCTGTGGGAATGCACCGCGAGCTCAATCCTTGGCTCGCTTAATGCGGCTATTTCCCGTAACTGTGGCAGCGGAAAGCCGGAAAGCCGTGCTGTTGGAAAAGGTGTAGAGGAATGCACAAGACTAGCGGTGTTGGCGCTGGGCCAGCGGAAAGCCGGGTCGTGATTGTCTGGGCACGGGCCAGGTGGGATTGTACAGACTACCAAGGCCACATATGACTAGAGAAATGCACTAAGCATTGGATCTCTCATCATGTGGTCATGTGGCGAAGGCGAACCTCGTGGAGTCGGCCAATGTCACGCCGAAGGTTTTCCAGGGAATAAGGCAGTGTCCGAGTAAGTGAGAAAGCCGCAATGGGGTGCTGTATAACTTAGTCTGTTCCGTCCGTAGCGGAATAGACTTACAGCTGTTTGTGACCCTGTTCTCACGCGCCCCTCGATGTACTCCAGCTTCCACTCTGCAGCCCACACTGGTTGCGTTGGTTGCCTCCACAGGCTGGTTTGCCTTCCAGTAAATCCAACCCACTGAGCCATAACTATGCGAGCCATATTGCATACCGATAGTGTTCCTATCCCACCGGATACAATCGTGGTCGAGAGGGTAACTGACGTATGTCTAGCCCCGTTAGTCTTGTACGAACTGCTAATTTGCTGTGCTTAGATCATCGATGGCCATAGCGGCATTTATCGTCTGTGCGAGTCTGAATCCATTCGATTTCCCCTGTTCCGTTTCCCAGAGACCAAGTCAGGGATTGCTGTTCGACGAATGAAAGGATTCTTAACATGGCTCTGCGCGTTTCTCAGGAGAACTCGCTGGAAGGTAAAGGATGGGACAGAATCCAGCGGGGAGAAAGTGTATTTGCTGGCGGAAGACGGACCTCCATACTGCAGTATGCTATAATAGGATCAGATACTGCAAAAGCTGAGAGCCTTATGTAGATGTTTCAATATGTTAGCTTAGCGTTGACTATAGCATAGGAGTGACTAAAAGGATTTACTCAAGCAGGTACGATCCTTCAGGGGGCAGAAGCTTAGTGATGATTGGCTGAATGATTACCCTCCTAGCCAGCTTTGCATAATTTACGAACGGGGCAAAAGTCTACCGAGACCCAGCTCTAAATTTGCATAATAACTCAGGACAGGGGTCGGCAGATAGTTAATAAGATAAACTTATGCTTTTAACTGAAACTTGCGCTAGTAGGAGTTGAAGGAATTATTAGATCAGCGTCTGCTAAGGGTATAGGCCCGATAAGCACAACTATTATGCATTGCGGATCCAACAGAGGCTTAAAGTTCGGGTTTTGATGCGAATGCGAGTGCGAATGCGAGAAAGGAAAAAGAAGTCGAAGCCGTTACAATTTACTCAGCCTCTTATACCATAAACTTAACAAATTCAGACACCTTGGCGTCGTTGCAAAAACTGAGGTAACCTTTTTAATCAGTCGAATGTGACGATTTTGCGGGTAAGAATAGAAACTGACTATGCTAAGGTGTCTGAATTAGTTGAGTTATACGGAGTACAGTATGTTAGATTATATACCTGCACAATCACAGCTATAATCATCAGTGGGGTATCCTACACTTTTGCCCAAAATAGCGCGGCTGGGAATCCAACACAGCATTATGAGGCTATTCATACCGCCTTTCTTTCCCTTGTTGCATTAACCCCGCAATCTTGCTAAAAGGGCCCGCCTGTCTATCTACCCCCTGAATAAAGCCCCAATTGAATTAATGCAATAATTAAGTTTAGAATGTTACAAGCCTACCCTTCAACCATTATGATGGGGATAGCCAACGGTGGTAGTACTTCCGCCTAGCGACTATGCCGTCGGTCCTTGCGGCCGATCTCTTCCTAACGGGAGAGATCTTCGCTCAAGCTTCCTGATTCTTTCTAACTTGTTAAGATCCAGGCCCGGACTTGCCGGTGACTTGCGACTCTTGGATAATAATGACACCCTAGAGGTGGGGGCAGAGCTAGCTCGCACGTACTGCAACACAGCGTAGCTCTCCTGAGCGGCGGTTGCTAGCGAAATGAACGAATTGGTCGTACGTTAGGTCGCCGAAAGTTTCATCTATACTGAGGAAGTTGCAGGGAAGTGCTGAAAAGGACTGGGGTTAACCATGTTAGTCGAATTGACCGCCAGTTCCGAGAAAATCAAGAAGAGGAAGACTTAGTTAATATATAAGCCGGACTGTAGAAGCCTCTGGTGATGCCTTATTCTTTCTTGTTTAACTCAACTTCTTCCACCAGACCACGAGTCACCGCTCTCAAGATGCACATCCCGACTCTCCTTCTTGCGCTATCCATCGCGGTGGCCGGCCTGAAGATTCCGTCCTTCAAACCACCAAAGTTTGCACCAAGCACTATTGAAAACGATGGCGTACGTCCCTCTACTGTGTTTTGTAGATTAAGTGTCTAATATTCTAATATTTATCGATGTAGACTTACGTGGGTCGCTATGATGTTCGCAGAACGATGGCCTGGCAGGACCCTAGCCCTGACACCCTCGGCAATCTCAACAGGTCAGTTGTGTCCCGCGTCCAATCTTCTTAGTTAGAAAGAGGGCCGATACTAATTATTTTCCTTCCATCTGTACAGCTACTTCTTCCTCCTCTGGGTCACTCTTGTAGATGGCCGCAAGTATCATGTCACGCTTGCCCCCAACTTCTTTGCTGGCGGAACTACTGGAATCTTCGTCCTGAACGACCTTCAGAACCTCTCGGAACAAGCTCCGGGTGGAACTGCATTCGCTCCGGGCATCGGACGGGAAGATCAAGTTTACCTTGAATCAGCAATCCAGAACTTCTCGAGCCCGGCCGGTGGTGACAATTACACCGACCTCTACTACAAAGCCGATTTTGCCGGTGTTAATCTCGATGTACATTTCTCGCCCACTGGAAAGAATCTGTACATTGGTGGAAGTGGCGGCGTCACAATCTCGCCAAACAGAGTTAGCGGAGACGACTTCCGCCGCCTCATTCCGGGGTATTCCTGGTATTGGGTAAGAAAGAAATCCGTTTCCAGCAAATGGCCATGGATGGATGTTAACCTCTCGTCAGGGAAATCCCACGATGCGCGTCGATGGCACTCTTACAGTTGATGGGCAGCCCACTGAGATTGATTATGAAAACTCTTTCGCTTTCTTTGAACGACAGTCGGGTATATTTGACATTCCGGGAGGGCACTTGGGTTTCTGGCTGTACCTTTCTAATGGCGTCATGGTACATTGCTGGACCCTGGCTCCAACTCCAGAAGGCACGCTGAGCAAGCGCGCTTGGGCAACCATCTGGCATCCTAACGGTTTACATGAAGTGGTTGAGGTTGATTCCAGCTCTCGCGCATTGGGCAAGTGGGTCAGCACAAAGACCGGATTATCATACTTTTCCAAGTTCGTACTGAGCCTGTCGACCCGAGAGGCAAGCTTTGAGATAGAACAGTCAGCCAAGTACTCGGAAGCGACGCCTGCTGGGGGTTACCACGGATACAACATCACTGAGGGATATGGCCAAGGTACTGGCACATGGGAAGGAAAGAACGTCACCTTTTTCGGGCATGTTGAGCAGCTTTCATTTATTTAGATAAGCTCTTTAGGCACGGCTCGGCATGGGAAGGGAAAGTCGGATACATCAACGCAACTAACATTCAACACCGCTACTACTACTACTTTCCGAAGCTAAACGGACTGAGGTAACTTGTAACTTTTCGACCAGATTTTCTACCTTTTTCTCATTGAATATACTACTCTGATTGGTTTGACTTGTTCAACAGAAACGTGATGAATCTACCCGTTGGCCAGGCCCAAACAATCACAGGATAGGTAGCCCACGTTATGTCCCGAATTTAGCGAACAGCCTGGGGAACTACCCTATCGTAAAAAGGCGAATTCAAGTTGTCCTTTACCGCCTTGAACATGAATGGCTCAACAATTTAGGTAGTAGAATGCAGGACTCCGGCTTTTTATAGCACTGAAGATGGAAAGAGAGACATCCCGTGCTAGATGTGTTGAATTAAGAAATCATGTGTGCCGCCCACCAATGCCAGTCTCACTCGAGATTTGGGCAAGGCATGCAGGAAATGACCGTCCATAAGATATGACAAGCAATAAAGCTAGTGTGGCCTAGAGTCAAGTGACTTTTATTAGGCGTCTTTTCCATCAGATATTGACCATACAAGCGAGACAGAGCGAGCCTACCACCGACAGATCAAATTGAAAGGCAAGGCAATGCCAATGTTCTAACGCAATTCGGGTCATGTCAGAAGAATAATGGACTGGGAATTTAGGTCTAAGCCTCTAGAGCCTACGCGGAACGAATCATGGGTTATTCAAGGCTCGGTCATAGACCGCCTCAACTATAAACTAAATACGGCACTCAATACAAGACCATTCAAATACAACTCGGTTTTTTGGCATCAATGGCGATGTCTAACTGACAATATTCCACAGCTGATAGACCGCCTTTTATATGTTCTTGCAGCTTGCCATGTCTCGTCAGCTAAGATTTGTGTTCAACCTCGGCGCGCTCGACGTCCACCTTGCCAACAGGTGAAATATTGGCGTCCGGCCCATCAAAAATGATGGAAATGTGACCGAGCCCTACTCCGGTTTGTGGGTAGATTTCAGGAGCTCATCCAAAATCCTCAATCGGTCGGCAGCGTCCGGAATCTCGTCTTTCCAATACTGCAACAATTCCATAACCTTGGTAACGAAGACCACCCATTCAACAGAAAGCACATCATCGAGCTTCGACCGCGCTGCAGCGAGCAATACTAATGCGCTCCGGGTACAGGATCGGAGCGTAAGCCACGTTCCGTGATGACGATACCGGAATCCTGGCTCGTTCTCCTTAATCCGGCGAACGCAGATCTCGAACCCTTTCCGAGTAAAGGTTTTAGAATTAAGGTTATTATATAAAATTCTATAGATTGTATCGACTATAAAAGGCCAATATATCGTCTCGTAGCAGTCCAAAAGGTGACTGTTTAGGATAAATCGCAATGGAGCATATTCATCACAGCTGTTAATGTTCTCATAGTGCGACCCTTCGAGTCTTAGTGAACTAGGGAGAGAATCGAGCCTAGAAATATATGGTGAGGTCAGTCAGAGCATTCGATCAGGGATACGACGTACCAGCTATAGGCTTGTTGCTCAAACTCGATTGTCTTGGATACTCTATTAGCAATCGAGCTTTCCGATGGCTTGAACTGGCACGTATGCGTCAAGATCCTGTTCCCAAGTCGCCTCAAAGCAATCTCAGCTAAGTAAAAGTACCAAGTTCCTTCGCCCTGAGACTGGAGACTTTTTGGGGGTGCCGGGAAGAATTCGGGATATTGCAGGTTCCAAACACTATTCTCGGCGATATTCAATTCCAATCGTAGTTCCCTATGATCGACCATGTCAGCAACCATAGCTTCGTCATGCCATCATACCACAGTGCATACTCACAGTTCAGACTTAAAGCATGTCCAGTAGATACTGTGATATATCTAAGATCCCTCTTGCTGTAAATCGCCCGACGGCGGTTGAAGTGTCTGGCAGCAAGCCAAGGCTTGGATGAACATTCTCCAAGCTTCAAATGGCCTGATCGTGGTCATGAGATACACTCCGGCTAAGAAGAAAATCTGTGCTTTAATGATGCCACTGTTGCACAATGCTGGGCCAATTCGTCGTTGAGCAGCTAAGAAAAAAGACTCTGCGCGCCGAAACTGGTCGGACTGAAAAAATACTAACGAGGTTTCCGAGTCAGACCGAATTTCGGGGACTGCAATGGTTCCCAGAGCGAATATAAGAAGCTGGTTGTGATTAGCCTTCTTGTCTGCGCGCTGACTTGAGGAGACTCGAAATACCGAAAGGCACGACTCTGCACCCCAACCCAGCCCGTTATAAACGGTGCTCTTTACGTATTTCTCGATGCACGATATCTCCAAGACAGGATTGTAAATGTGAAAATTCTTGAGGAAGCATTGCAGCAAAGATCCAGTGTCAGTGGCATCAAGGTCCGATGTTGACAGGAGGCGAGGACCCGAACTCAAGTTCCCTGTCTGGATAATGCTCTTCAGTCCTGACTGTGGACCTTGATGCTCTACTTTGAGAACTGGCCATTCTAGAGTCGTCTCGATGTTGATGGAGTAGACCTCAGAGGGTAAGAACCGTTCTGGGGTTGCAGATCTGACGCTTTGTGTCGTATCTTCTAGAGATGGCTCATGTTGAATCGCACGGGGCCCTAGTGTCTCAGGGTGTGCAATTTTGAACAGATCTTCCAACGTGTCGAGCCGTTGCAGTATGGCAAGACTAGCAGCGTCGAAACTAAAGTCAGGGTTCGCTTAGCCCACGACGATTCTCAGGGGTCGCGAGGATGAAACATCTGAGTGAAGCGAACGTGCCTTGACTTATCGCTCTCCTGA